CTAACCCTAACCCTAACCCCCTAACCTAACCCTAACCCTAACCCTAACCCTAACCCTAACCCTAACCCTAACCCTAACCCTAACCCTAACCCTAACCCTAACCCTAACCCTAACCCTAACCCTAACCCTAACCCTAACCCTAACCCTAACCCTAACCCTAACCCTAACCCTAACCCTAACCCTAACCCTAACCCTAACCCTAACCCTAACCCTAACCCTAACCCTAACCCTAACCCTAACCCTAACCCTAACCCTAACCCTAACCCTAACCCTAACCCTAACCCTAACCCTAACCCTAACCCTAACCCTAACCCTAACCCTAACCCTAATAACCCCGCCTAACACTACTAAGACCCCATGCTAACCCTAACCAGCCCCCCAAAAGCCGCTCTCCCAAAAGCTAACACTAACCCAAGGGCCCTTCGGGCCCTTCGGGCCCTCCGGGCCCGAGCCTAAGACTACTAAGCAATCCGCCTAACACTAACCCAAGGGCCTTCGGGCCCTCCGTACCCGAGCCTAAGACTACTAAGCAATCCGCCTAACACTAACCCAAGGGCCCTTCGGGCCCTCCGGGCCCGAGCCTAAGACTACTAAGCAATCCGCGTAACACTAACCCATGGGCCCTTCAGGTCCTTCGGGCCCTCCGGGCCCGAGCCTAAGACTACTAAGCAATCTGCCTAACACTAACCCAAGGGCCCTTCGGGCCCTTCGGGCCCTCCGGGCCCGAGCCTAAGACTACTAAGCAATCCGCCTAACACTACCGCGATTTCATGATTATCGCAATCTGATCACGATCACGACAATGGGGGAGTGCAATGGAAATACACGTCTAGTAGGATCCCAAGGTTCAACTGAGACGTATCCAAGCACAACCCGTACTTGTATTACCCGCCTAGGCTACTTCCCATCCTAGGGTACTCCGATATCCCCTTAGTAGGGGGAAGTCGCCTCTCACTCCTAACTATTATCATCCTGAGTCACCTTTAATTGACGGACGTAATTCCCCGTCACAAACCCCATCAAACATTCGGAACCCAAGGGCCCTTCGGGCCCTTCGGGCCCTCCGGGCCCGAGCCTAAGACTACTACACAACAGAAAAACTTACAGGTCCGGCGGTGATCGAGTTCGCCACCGCGCCGTCGCTTCTCGCGTGATGTCGAGGTACAAGTCCGGGTTGGCACCGTAGTCCATGTGGTCACCGACGTCGTCCGCCGGCGCGCGCGCCGGCTCGATCTGCGTGCCCTCGCCCCACTCGTTCCAGGACGTGATCGAGACAAGGTCGGCGCCGGATTCGACGGCAGCGCCGAGCATCTGTCGAAAGTAGGCGCCGTTTCTGCGGTCGCGCGTCGCTACTCCGTTCCACGGGCGAATGCGCGTGTCATTGTAGCCGGGTCCGGCTGATGGGCTGAACCAGAGGTTCTTCTTCCGCGCCCAGGCGGCGAGCAGCTTCCAGTGGGCGCTCGTGGAGCCGTAGGTGAAGCCGTCCGTGGCAAAGTAGGAGTAGAATCCATCAAAACACCCGTTTACCACAAGCTCTTCCTCGTCCCGGTTCAATAGCGTCGCAATCACGACGACGTCATGCGGCGTGCCACGAACGGAAAGGTCGCCATTTTCACAGAAGAGGCGCGCCCATTCTTTTGCGGGCGTGTGATACGCGTCGTACAAATACACGACTGGAAGTCGATCGTGGCCGCCGCAGGGCCTCCGCGGGAGGCGGTAGAGGTCGTGCGTGACGAGGTGCGCGAGGTCCAGCGCTACCGACTCGGCGCCGCGGCCTTCGTACGGTTCCAAGTGTATAGCGGCACCGATGCCCGCGCGTTTGGCCGCAGCGAGTGCCAACGGCACAATCGCGTCCGTGCCGACGCCTTGCGTGTCCGAGACCGCGCCGCCCGGTCGGCCCGTCCACGAGAGCACCGCGGCGTCGACGCCGGCGTCGCGCAGCTGCGAAAAGTGCGCGTCGAGGAGCTGCGGGTCCGACGAGCTGTAGGGCCCCGCCACGGGGTAGAACGGCGCGTGCAGCCGCGTCGGCGGTTCGTGCGTGTAGTTCTCGAGGTGCTTGTATTGGCGGCGAACCTTTTTGGTCCAGTGCGGGAGGACCGCGTGGTCCCAATGCAGCCACTTGCCGTCCGTCGTCGGCGTGCCGTACCACAAGTAGTAAAAGGTGTGGGTTTGCTTCTTGACGACGCACGCCGCGCGTGCTGCCGCCGCGGTGATCACGAGGACTAGCTTGTACATGCGTATTGTTGCGTCGTGTGCCAGCAGCGTTCGTAGGGCGTTGTGGGGCGTCGAATGACTGTTTTTTTTTGCAGCGCTGCGTATCGCTACGCCTTGGTTTCGCGAGTCAAAGCGCCAGAAAAACCCGTGCGCTTGCTCGATCGCGACGGTCGACGCGCTGCTCGCGCTTGCGGATCGGCGGCGCCGTGGGTTAGCAGTGTAATCTGCAGCTCTCTGAGCCAGCTGTGCCAGCGCTGCGCGATCTCTACGTCCAGCCATGCGCATAATGGCTCATGGTGCCATGATGCTGGCAGTGGCAGCAAGCGTCGCAGCGCTGCGTGCCGCGGCACCAGTGAGGACACCGCTCACGCTGCGCAAAGCGAGCGCTGCCGACGCCATTCGCGACGCGCTCTCGTTCGCGCAGCGCGCCTCTCCCGCCACCGCGGACGATCGCCTAGCGCACTCGATGCGGGCGCGCGATCTTACGGAGGACGAGCTGCGAGCGGTGCTCGTCGGGCGCGGCGTCGACGAAGCGGCGACGGCGGACGTGCCGCGCGGGATCCTTGCAGACTTGCTGGGCGAACTGCGCGCCGCGGACGACGCGCGCAGCGCCGCAAAGGCGCTTGGTACCGCGCCGTCGGCTCCACGCGAGTCGCTGCTGCCTTCTCTGGACGCGTCGCCGCCGCCGACTCTCCGCGACGTCGTCGCGCCTGACGCGTTGCGCCAGGGACTCGGAACCGCGGCCAGCGCCGCGGCCAGCGCCGCGGCTCAAATCGGGCTCGGCGACGTCGTGGACGACGCGACGCGCGCTGCTAAGAATGTCGCTTCTTCCGCGCTGCGGTCCGAGGCGGCGGCGCCGGTTCGCAGAGCGGCGACGCAGGCGGCCGCGAGCGTCGCAGCGGAGAGACCGCGCGAGACGGCGCGCGCGGCCTGGACCGCCGTGAAGCAAAAGAAGCCGCTGCGGCGGCTCCGGCGGCTTCCTCGCGCGATCGTCCGCGGTTCGTCGCGCGCGGCGGCCGCGGGCTTTCTCGAAGCGACGACGGGCGCGGCGCGGGGCGCGGCGGCGTGGGCTGGCGCGGGCGTTGTCGGGCCAGGGCCAGTGGTCGTTGTCGTGAGCGCTGCGGCGATTCTTGGCCGAGGGCGCCTCATCGCGCCTTTGTCGGCACTCGTGGCGTTGCGCGTCGTCGCCGGCGGGCTCGCGGCTGGCGAGGACGATGACGACGGGGGCGGCGAGTAACGTTGAGTTTTGTAATTTCGCGGCGATATCCGCTTCCAGGCTTGCGACGACGCTGGGCTAGAGGGGCTACCTAGTATTTGGACAGCCAACTCCGGCAGCGCGCTAGCGCGAGTCGCTGCAACCGCGACGAGCACGTGGCAATTCATCATTAAGTAACACCGTTCCGCTGCCAGGAAAATTAAGGCAGCCCCTCAGGCAGAAGAAGCAGGAGCATGGGGGCCGGCGCGTCAACTGGCCTGCCAGCGGCGGCACCGATCGATGCCGAAGCCGTGGCAGCCGAGGTCGCGGCGTCGGACCTCCTGGAAGTGGCTGGGCTCTTGAATGCCCTCGACGCAGATCGCGCGGTCGACGTGCTGCGCGGCGATGGATCATATGGCTGCTTGGGTCAATCATACGACCTTTGCCGCACGCAAAGTGAAGGAGGCCACGGCATTGCTCGAGGAGGCAGCAAGCCGGGGCCACGCTGGGGCGCAGGAGGCTCTTGCTGTTTTGCGCGGCGGTGGTGCTTAGAGCTGCGCATCGTGTGTAAGTGGCGACGGCGCGGTTGCGAAATCGATCACCGCCGGACCTGTAAGTTTTGTTGTTCTGTCAAAGCGATTAACTACAAGTACATTAGCTAGGAACGAAGCGAAAAACCAGGTTCTTCACCTCGGGCGGCGCGCCCGAGCGCGTCGGGTAGTCGACCGCGGGCGGCGCGGCGCGCTCGAGGACGACGTCCTTGATCGCCGGCGCCGTCGCCGCAAAGTCCTTGAGCGCGAGGCCGCAGGTCCGCGCGAACTTGCGCGGCAGGAGCTTGCGGCTGTTTGTCGTGCAGAAGAGCCGGCCGTTCGGAGCGACGAGCGGCGCCGCGAGGGTCGCAAGCGCGCCGTAGTCGCGCGCCGCGCTCCAGCGCTTCTTGTTGACCGTCGAGGTCGAGGGCGGGTCCAAAATGACGACGTCAAAGGTCTCGCCGCGCTTCGCGAGGCGTTTGAGCCAGTCGAAGCAGTCGCCGTAAATGCAGTCGTGGACCTCGCCGACGGGCTCGCGCGGGCCGTTCGCGACGCCGTTCGCTTCCAGCGACGGCGCGAGGTAGGCGAGCCAATTACGGTCGCAGTCGACCGAGAGCGTGCGCGCCGCGCCGCCCGCCGCGGCCGCCGCGCTGTACGCGCCCGCGTGCGCGAAGAGGTTCAGCACCGTCAGGTTGGCCGCGTGCCGTCGCAGCCACAGGCGCTGGGGGCGCTGGTCGAGGAAGAGGCCTGTCGACAGCTTCTTCTCCCCCAGCTCGACGCGGAACGCCGTCCCGTGCTCGAGGACCTCGAACGGGCCGGCGACGCCGGGCCCGCGGATCAGTTTCGGCAGGGGTTGGCCGCCCCGCGACCGGTCGACGCGCGTCACGATCTCGTAGACCGACGACGACGCCGTCGGCGCGTGCGCGGCGTCGATCGCCGCGAGCGCCGCGTCGCGCTCGCGCGCCGGGACGTCCTCGGGCCGCTGCACGAGCAGGTGCTCGCCGTAGCGGTCCACGCACAGGTTCGCCGGCGCGCCGTCCGCGGCGCCGTGGAGCTCGCGGTAGCACGTCGTCGCCGCGTCGGCGCGCAGCGCGGCCCGTCGCTCCGTCCACCGCAACTCGAGGTCCGGCGGACGCGGCGCCTCGAAGCAGCGCCCGCCGCGCAGCGCGACGCGCTCGCAGTGGACCAGGGCGCGCGGCGCGGCGCGGTCGACGCCGCAGCCGTGCCGCGCGTCGCCGCGCGCCGGCGCGCCGGCCGCCGCGAGCGACTTACGGACGTCGCGGCCCGCGACACGGACGACCGCGCCCGCGGGACCGCTTTCAATAATGGCACACGCGCCCCGTGCGGCCGCGGCGCGCGCCGGCTCGTCGTCGACCAGCGCGAGGTACGACGGCGCCGCGTCGCGCAGCGCGGCGTCGCCCGCAGCGCTCGCGCCGAGGCAGAGCACGCCCGAGCAGTCGGCGTCGAGCCGCTGCCGGACCCGTGGCTCCGCTCCAAGCAGGTCGGCGACGAAAGCCGCGGCCGCGTCGACGCTCCAGCCCGGCGGCTTGTCGACGACGACGACGTCGGCGTCGCGATGCAGCACGCGCGGCGGCGCGGGCGCGGGCTCCGCGTCCAGGAGTTGCGGCTTCCACGGTCTCTTTTGTTGGCTCGGCGGCGGCGGTCGACCGCTTCGTGCCAGGCCGCCCGCGCCGACGACGAGATGCAGCAGCAGTAGTGCAGTGCGGGCAGACATTACGTTGTAAAAGCTGACCGCGCTGAAGAGTTCGGCTGTGAGCGCCGGCAGTCTTGCTCTTTGGCTGCAGCCAGAGGACTGGGCCAACTCGCGCAGTCACCGAAGCAGCGATGCGCAGATCGCAAGGGACGTGCTGCTGGAGTTCGAACGAGCACTCCTACAGCTTCGCTCGTCCGGAGGACGCACGACAAGTTTGAGAGGGCCGCTGTGCAGAGGCTGCACACACTGAGTGCAGCCCAGTGCCCTGCCGCCCGCCAAACGCAATCACGAATCGAAGCGACACGCGCACGCGTTCCACCGAAGTGGTTGCAGCACTGCAGAGCCGCCAACTGCCAGCTCGGCACGCGCACTCTTTTCCATTGGCACCGTGTGCTTGCAAAATGCAACAAGCAGTCCTCGTCCTCGCGGCAGGCACATGCCTCGCCGCGCGGACGCACCGCTTAACAGTCTCGAACGTGCCGCGGTGGGTGCCGACGCGACGCCTCTTGGGCGACGGCGGCTGGCGCGCGGACGGCGACGCCTGGACGGCGGAGCTGACGACGCGCGACGCGTGCGACGTCGCCGCGAGCATTCGCGGCGTCGGTCTCGACGGTCGCAAGCTGCTGCTCGAGGCGACGCCGAAGCTGCCGCGACCCGCGGTGCGCGCGGCCCGCCTCGAGGACGCGCGACGGCGGCGCACGACGAGCCCGGGCTTTACGCGCCGGGGCGCCCGCGTCGACGCGGAGGGCAAGTGGTCGCTCACTCCCGAACGCCTCGCGAACGAGATCGCCGACAAGGTGCCCGCGGGCAGCTCGGTCTTTGACTGCTGCTGCGGCTGCGGCGGCAATGCGATCGCCTTCGCGCGGCGCTGCGCCGTCACGGCCATCGACGTGAGCGCGGACCGCGTCGCGCTCGCGCGGAGGAACGCGAAAATCTACGGCGTGGACGTCCGCGTCGACGTGGGCGACGCCCTGCGCGACGAGCGGACCGCCGACGTCCTATTCGTCGACGCGCCCTGGGGCCGCGAGTGGGACAAGGAGCGCACGGACCTCGACTCGCTGCCCCTGCTGCGGGACGTGCTCGCCGCGGCGCCGGGTCGATTCAAACGAGTACTCGCCAAGGTGCCGCCGTCCTTCGCGACGGCCGCCGTCCCGGGCGCTGCGGCCGAGGCGTTTTTCGGCCACGAGTCGGGCGACGCGCGGCGGATCAAGTTCGTGCTGCTCGATTTAGTTTTGTGACTGTGTGTGTCCTGAATTTAAGTTTCTCTCTAGGTATATGTTTCTAGATATCAATCTAGTTGTCGTTAGGCGCCAAACACTTCGGGCGACACGTCGACGGGGTATCAGTCAACTTCAGCGAATGTTACATCAAGTGGAACGGACTTTACCATCAGTGGTCCATCACCAACCCTGGAAGCTATCAGCATTATGGATTGGTGGTGACAAAGAATGCTGGGTATTCGCGCCCGCACCGCTATAGGGCCGTATCGCGGCAAGGTCATTCATACCGGCTGGTCCAGATTTATTCGTCGAATGATTCTTTCTGATGTTAACATTATTCATCGTAGAACGAGATTGGGCATGCGTCGCGCGCCCCATTCATCGCCGAGATGTGCGCCGCCGTCGAAAAGGACTGGCCCGTCAGCTCGCGCAGGCACACGGTCGCGTACGCGCTCGACGGCAACTGGAACTTGACGACCAGGGCGTCCCGCGCGCCCGGCGTCGGCGCGACAAAGGGCGGCGCGTCCGCGCGGTCGTCCGTCGCCAGGAGCGGCTCGTCGGCGTCTGTGTGCCGCACGACTGCCACGCTCAGGCCCGCGGGCCGCACGACGAACGGCCGGTAGGCCCCCGAGAGCGAGAACTCGCCGTGCTTCTCCGACCGGTAGTCGTCGAGGCGGCCGGCGTACGCGTCTTCCGCTCCGTCAAAAGTGGGATACGTCACGGCGTGCCCCGGCAGCGGCAGCACGACGTCGTCGATCGCGTACGCGCCCACGTCCGCCGCGCCCACGACGCGCACGGCCGCGTCCGCGGCGAGCCGCCGACTCTCGCCGCCGCGCTCGAGCACCAGGTCCCCGGCCACGACGGCGAAGCCGTGCCGCGTCGCCCGCGCGGCCGCGGCCGCGTTGAAGACGCGCGACTGGTGCCTAGCGTGGTGATGACTGTGACTTCTGAGTCCAGCTCGATAGTAAGCGTCGTACGACCCGTCGAACGCCACGAAGGGCATGGCCTTGGCGCGAGGTGCGAAGTCCCGCACGGCCGCCTGTCGCCGCCCGTCGAAGTCCGAACCAGACGAGAGGTTCCAAAAAAAGAAGCAAAGACGCCGGGCCGCCACGCGTGTACGTACATGAGCCGCAGGTTCTTGGGCAGCGTCTCAAAGGCCGACAGGTGCGCGTTCGCGCCGTGCCGCACGAGTCCTTCCAGCAGCCCGCGTTCGACGCGCTGCCGCCGCGGCATCGCGTCGACCGCCTCTCGCAGACGCCCCGCGGCGTAGTGCGCCTTGGCCTCGACCTCGCGCGGCTCGTCGCGCGCGCGCGCGCCGAGGATCAAATCGGAGACTGCCTTCCACTCCCCCCGGCCCGTCGCCGCCTTCAGGACCGCCTCGCCGACGATCGCGTTCGACGTCGCCCCCGTCCCAAAGCGCTGCAGGCCAAAGTAGTTCACGAAACCGCGCTCCCCGACGCGCCGCGCCGCGTCCGCGGCCGCCGCGACGAGCGCCTCCCGGTCGCCGCCCGCGACGCGCGCGCGCCGCAGCGCGACCTCGAACGCGTTGCCGCTCAAATCGCCGAGCCGCAGCGCGTCGCCCACGTACGAGAACCCGCCGCACCGCACCGCCGGGAACTGCCGCGCCACGCGCGCGACCGCCGCGGACACCGTCCGGGCGTCCTTTCGGTGCGCGGTCGCGAACTGCGTCGTCGCGGCGCGGCGGTCCTTGGTCCCCGCGTAGCCCACGCTCGACGCCTTGCACCGCAGGGCCCGCGCGAGCGCGCCGACCACGGCCATCGTGTCGCAGTTCTCTTTGTAGAGCGCGAAGCGACAGAACCGCGGCCGACCCGCGGGCCAGACGTTGCGCGAGTCCTGCCGGCCGCCGCCGTCGCGGGCCCGCTTCCGCGAGCCGCCGGCCTTCCAGACGCGCACGTGCATCGCGGGACCGGCGCCGTCCGTGTCCGTCGCGGCCCCGAGGCGCCGCGCGTACTGGTGCTGCGCCGTCCGCGCGGCCTTGTCGGAGCACGGCGGCAGCGCGGCGGGGCCCGGGTCGGCGCCGCTCAGCACGCGCTCGATCGCCTCGACGACGTCGGCGCCGCCGCCCGCCAGCGCCGCGAGGCCCGCGGCCGTCGCCGCCGCCTCCTCCTCCGCCGGGACCTCGTCGGGCGCGTGGGCCGGCGGCGCCTCGGCCACGACGCGCGCGACGGCGCCGTCGGGGCCGACCTCGCGCACGACAAAGTCCGAGTAGCGCTCGCGGAACACGCACTCGATGACCTGCGCTTGCACGGGTGCCATGCCCACTGCTTCCTCGGTGAGCGACATCTTGTCTCTTTTTGTTGTTGTGGACTGCAATGCAGTGAGGAGTGCCTGCTCGCTGCAACCGCCTGGGAGTCTGCCGTGCCTGCAGCAGCGTTGTGTGGCGAGCGTTTGAACAGCAATGCACGATTAATGACTGCTTTTTCTCGTTCAATGCTGTGCTGCAGCCTGGCTTGCTTTCATGCTAGTGTCTTAGGGCCGCTAGCACGCGTAGTCGTCGCGTGGTGCGGTTCGGTTAATGGGCACATGATGAATCACCCATAGCCATTTCGCCTCGGAGGGTGGTGGCGGCATCCATTCCGCGCGCGCGCGGGGCCGCGTTCCTGTCGATTTCGCGCGCGAGACCCACTCTCCCGTGAGCCGAGGATTCCGACGAAGTGCCAGGTCCTTGTTTGAATTCCACGAAATCCAACCCTTGGAGCGCAGAGCTAGAATGCTAGAGCGCCAACAAAGACACGCTCTGCATTGATTGTGCATATACATTGGCTCACGTGGTCTCGCTGCCGCGGCCCAGCATTCCTGGAAAACCATTACACCGTTGGGCAGCCGCAGCGCGCACCAAAACCTACAAGCGGCATGGCTGCTATACAGCAGGTGCTGGAGGACTAGAAACTAAGAGCGCAAGCGTCATATGGGCGCCGGCGCCTCGGCGAGCCAGGTGCGCGAGCACGTCGAGGGCCTGGGCAATGCGTACCAGCCCTACGGCACGACGCTCGAAGACAACGGCGTCGACGGCGCGCTCGTCGAAGAACTCGCGCACGACGACCGCGCCGGCGTGAACGCGACCTTTGACGACCTGGGCATCACGAACAAGCTGCACCGGCGCAAGCTGCTGCAGGCGGCGCGGGCGCAGCACGGCGTCCAGCCCGACCGGCCCCGCAGCGGATCCTCGATTGGCTCCGTCGAGGGCCCGGCCATCGCCGTCGCCGAGGACCTGCTCGCGGAAGCGGCGCCCGCCGTCGCGGCCGTCGCCGTCGACGCGGCGCCGGCGCCGCGGTCGCGCTCGAATTCCCACACGACGCCGCGCACGCCGACGACGGCGACGTGGACCGTGAACTTGGCCTGGGAAGGCCCGGTGGATCTGGATCTCGCCGCGGCCGTGTTCGGGGAGCGCGGCACGTTCTTGTCGCTGGCTGTGTGGAAATCAACCAGTGTGTCGGGTGCACCCGACAATTCTTCAGTAAGTCATTTCTCGGCGATGACGCGGCCGTCCTGGCTCGGTCGAGCGGCGAGGACCCGGCATCGCCACGCCATCGAGCAGGCGTCGCGTCGATGGCGTGGAGGACGACGCGATGATTCAGCACCCGGCATCGCCACGCCATCGAGCAGGCGTCGCATCGATGGCGTGGAGGACGACGCGATGATTCAGCACGAACGCGCCGTAAAATTTTGATTTCCACACAGGTCGCTGGTGTACTACGCGAACACGGAGGCGATGAACCGGGGCGTCGTGCACTCGGGCGACGCCAAAGGAGGCCAGGGCCAGTCGCAGGAGACCATCGTCGTGCGACCCGCGGCGCTGGATCCGCGCGCGACCGCCATTGTGTTGTTTGCGCGCGTGCACGACGACGGCGCCTCGCTCGGGCAAGTGACGTCGGCCGCGGTGAATCTGACGGGCACCGACGTGACAGTCCAGCCGCTGGCGCACCACGCGACCGCGCGCGCCGCCGTCGTGTGCCGCATGTTCCGCGACCGGCCGCGGGCGCCGTTCTGCGTCGAGACGCTGGACGCGCCGTTCGACGATAGCGATTTGGCGTCGCTCGTGCCGCGGTGCCAGAACCTGCTGCGAGACGTCGTGGATGTGTCGGCGAACGCGGACTGCAAGCTCGTGCTGCTGGACAAAGGCGGGTTGCTGCCGGTCGAGGGCACGCACTTCAAACTCGGATTGGGCTGGGATCCGGCGGAGGAGGGCGCTCCCATGGACCTGGACGTGGGCTGCGTGTTGCTGGACAAGGACGGCATCTACAACAATTTCGTGTATTTTCACCAGCAGTCGGCGCCCGGCGTGGAGCACTCCGGCGACAATCGGACGGGCTTTGGCGACGGCGACGACGAGTGGCTGCGGTTTTCGTTGAATGACCTGGATCCGGCCGTCGAAACCATCTCCATCGCCATCTCGGCCTATTCGGGCTCGTTCATGGCCGTGAAGAACGCCTTCTGTCGGCTCGTGGACGAGGACCGGGGCGTCGAGGTCGCGCGGTGGGAGCTCAGCGGCATGTTCGAGGAGACCTCGCTGGTGGTCTGCAAATTGTATCGGGACGCGGGCTGGTGGAAGGTCTTCGTGATCGGCGAGCCGATCGGCGGGCGGTCCATCGTCGACTTCTTCTTCACGGACACCTACGGGCCCATGGCCGAGCTGCGGGAGCAGTTCAAGCGCGTCGCGCGCATCGCCTACTCGGACGCGCAGTTCTTTAAGGTGTGCGCCGAGCGGGAAGGGTACGGGCAGTTGTCGGTTACGAAGGATTAGTTGTATATTATATTTTACGGAGCGACGGGCGTGGGGTTATCTTAGGCGCCTAGAGGCGCTAGAGGGGAGATTCATTCAGATCTTTTCAGTTAGATTCACCGGTCGTGCGCTGCGCCTGACTGGATTCCTGTTGGCACCTCCCGCGTCAACGATGCATCACGGGTGCCTGCGGACGCCGCCGCCGGCCTCCGAGTCGCGTGTCATTGATGCGCCTTTTGCTCCTGTCAGGCCGTGTCCTGCCGTGAATCCAGGCGCTATTCTGCCCGCGCTGCCGGTGCTGCGCGGCTCGTCGAACAGCCAAGACACAAAATTACATCACGAGGATGCCGCCGCGCGCGTCGCGCCGCGGTTTGGCGCCGGCGCACCTCACGGAATCTGGCCCGCCGCGGCGCGCGGCCGGTCAGCATTCGTGCCTTTTAAAAAATTGACGTTGGTGACGCCCAGGCCAATCTCTGTGACGCCGTCGAACTCGCCTTCGAGACGCCGCAAGCGCGACGACACGGTGAGCGCGACGCGGTCGAATCTCGATTCCGAATCCGGCGTGTGCCACTGTAGGAAGTTCGTGTGCAAGCTTTGCACGAACATACCGCGTGCACGGAGCGTGGACACGTTCTATTGAAGCCGCGCGCCGTGCCGGCGTCGCGCTATGGGCCGCCGAACGACGGGCGGCGCCGGCGTCGTGCTGACCTGTGCTGTTGACTAAGCCTGTGTATATCCTCCCGAGCCGCTTGTTGCCTTGTAAGAGGGGACCAAGACGAGGGGAGCTGGCCGGATCCCAAAGTTCGAAACGACAAAAAGTTAGGCCGTCAGCACGAAGCGCTGCGCCCCCTTGGAGGACTCGAGCTCGGCGAGGACCTCGTTGACCTTTGCGAGGGGCCGCTCGACGACCCTGGCGCCGATCTTATTCCGCGCGCAGAACTCCAGCATCTCGACCATTTCCTTGCGCCCGCCCGTATTGGAGGTTGTGATGTTGTGCATCGTGAAGCCCATGGTAAAGACGTCGGCAGAGATGGGCGGGCACATGCCGACGAAGCACATCGTGCCGCGCGGCCGCAGCAGCGTGAAGAATTTTGTGAAGTCCACCTGTGTGGGAATCAAATATTCGGCGCCCCACGCCATCGACGCGATGTCAGCCTAACTCACTGGTTGATTTCCACACAAGAAGTCGACCTTCTGCTGCGTCGCGAGCGTCACCAGGATGAAGTCGAGGGAGCACGCCGCCGCGGCCATCTGCGCCTCGTCGGCGTGCGCGACGAATTTGGTCGCGCCGAGGTCCAAAGCGGCCCGTTTCTTCGAATCGCTCGACGAGAGGGCCGTGACCTCGCAGCCGAGCTTCGACGCGAAGGTGATGGCCATGGTGCCGAGGCCGCCCAGGCCCAAAACGCCCACGCGGTCCCCAGCTTTCGTCTGCTGGCGCAGCGGCGTCCACACGGTCTGGCCCCCGCAGAGCAGCGGCGCCGTCGCCGCCGCGTCCAACGCGTCGGGCAGCGCGAAGGCGAAGCCCGCATCCTTGATTCGCAAGTAGTCGGCGAACGCGCCGGCGTTGCCGCCGGCGCACGTGCAGTCCACGCCGTTGCCCGCCTGGCAGAGCTGCTCGTCTCCTCTTAAACAGTACTCGCAGCTGTGGCACGAGCCGCACTGCCAGCCCACGCCGCAGCGCTGGCCCACCTTCAGGTGGGTCACGGCGCTCCCGACCGCCGTCACCTCGCCCACGGCCTCGTGGCCGCAGATCTGCACCTTCTGGCCCGCCGCCCAGCCGGTAAAGTCCTTGTAGTCGCCGTCGGCCCGCCAGAGGTGCACGTCGCTGCCGCAGAGGCCGCAGTGCGTGACCTTGACCTCGACGCCCGTCGCCGGCAGCGGCGGCGCCTCGAAGGTGTACGGCTCCAAGGGTGCGCCCGGCGCCTTGGCGGCGTAGGCATTGATCGTCCGCGTGCCGGCTTCGGACATTGCGGCCATGCTCTGCTGGCAGGCTATGCTCTGCTGGCAGGCTGCAGTTGCTCTCCGGTGCAAAATTGCTGCTACGTCCTCCGAAAAGTGCCGGGGGCGCGAAAGCTAGATAAATGCCGCTACAAGCGCTACTCACGGCCAGCAGTGCGATGCTACAGCGGCTTGCAGGGCTGGTTTGAGGTGGCTCGAAACCCGTTTTGATTGCCCTTGCAGCGCCAAGCAGGAGGAGTCGTCTTAGGACGTCAAACTGTGTCCGGAGAGCTACTACTGGGTGCGTGGAGGAGCACTGGCGGGCGACTGGCGCTTGCCTTGCATTGCACAGCGTGGCTGCTGGCGGTGCTCTTGCAGACCGCATAAGTGCTCCTGTGGTATTACAGTAGTGCTTGAACACAAGTGCATAGATCGCATCAGACATCAAATAATTCGCGCTGCAGCAAAGACACAGAGAGCCATGCAGCTCTGCACCCTGCTGCTGCTTGCAGCCTCCGCGGCGGCGCTGCGGCCAGCCCTGCCCGCGACGGAGCATCGGCGACGACGCGGCGCCGTAACAATGATGGGCCGCAAGTTCGAGAACAACAAGGTGAAGATGGCCAAGACCGCGGCGGCCAACGCGAAAAAGTCGAGCTACATCGGCAAGAAAATCAAGGTCGCCGTCAAGGCCGGCGGGCCCGACCCCGACGCGAACCGGGCGCTCGGGTTGATCATCAAGGAGGCGCAGGCCTTGAACGTGAAGCGAGACATCGTCGACCGCAACATCAAGGCCGCGTCCAGCGATAAGGACGGCGCGGACTTCAAGGAACTGACCTACGAACTCTACGGGCACGGCGGCGTCGGGTTCGTCATCAACGCGCTGAGCGACAATTCGAACCGCGCGTACACGGACGTCGGGACGGTTGCGAAGAAGGCCAACCTGAAACTCGCGGAGAGCGGGTCCGTGCTGCACAACTTCGAGAAGAAGGGGCGGTTAGCGGTAAACTCGGCGCTCGAAGAGGACGATCTGATCGAACTGGCGTTGGAGAACGACGTGGACGACGTCGAGGCGGGGGAGCCGGACCCCGAGGGCATGCGGAGCGACGGCGAGGACGTCAAGACCGTGGCCTGGGTGGCGCCGACGGACCTCGGGGCGATGCAGAAAGCTTTGGTCGATGCGGGCCACGACTGCACGGCCAACCTGGTGCACGAGCCGATGATGCTCGTCGAATGCGGCGACGAGGACCTCGAGAAGAACTTGAAGGTCTTGGACCGGCTCGAGGAGGTCGACGACGTCGACACGGTCGAGCACAACATGGCTCTCTAAGTATGTAGATACGATCTCGATTCGAATCTTAAGTCGTTGGGGGTGCTCTATTCCGTCGGCGACGCCGGCCGCGTGTCGCCGCCGTCGGAGACCGAGCCGCGCGGCGACGACGCGCCGTCGTCGCTCGAGCCGCCGCGCGCCGGCACGGCGTGCGCCGCGGCGAGGTCCGTGAGCGACCCCGACGACGACACGCCGACCAAGGGCGGCGCCGGCGCCAGCGCCGGCGTCGCCGCGGCCAAAGCGGCCGAAAAGCGCGCGGCCCAGGCGTCGTCCGGCCGGCCCCAGCCGCCTTCACTACCTTCGCCGCGCCGCCGCCGCGCGTCCTCGGCGTGGAGCTCGTCGACCAGGCCCTCGATCAACAGCTCGAGCTTGCGCAGGTACTCGTCGCCCTGGGAAGCGGCCTCGGCGCCGCGCGCGCGCCACGCGGCAAAGGGCGCGCGCTCAATCGAAGGAGGCAGCCACGCCTCTAATACTTCGCGCCACCGCACCAGGTCGCCCTTGGCCTCGCGCGGCGCCGCGTCGAAGGGCGCCCCGTCCAGATTCCCGAACGCCATCGCCGCTAATTTAGCGGCAAAGTCGTCAACGGGAATCACCGACGCCGACCAGTCGACATCAGAGGGAGCCGCGTTCAATCTAAGGCAGGCCCGCAACAACACGACGAGCGCGTCGTCCTCGGGCAGCGTCGCGCCGGCCCGCCGCGCAAATCCTAAATCGCCGATCTGCAGCGTGCAGCAGACCGCGCCGGCGTCGCGCGCCGCCGCCTCCAATACCCTCTCGGCGGCGTCCTTCGACAGCCGGTAGCCCGTCGGCGCCTCGCCCTCGAGGGGCAGCATCGTCGACGTGAATAGTAGAGGCGCCTTTGCTCTCAGCGCGAGCTCGGCCGCGAGCTTCGTGCCCCCGACGTTCGACGCTTCCAGTAGAGAAGGGGGCTTGACCATGTTCACCTCGGCGGCGCCGTGGACGACGACGTCTAAGGTCTCGACCAAATCCGTCGAGAGGCCGAAGTTCTCGGCGTCGAGCTTGCCCGCGACGGCCTTGATTTTGGCGTACCAATCTCCGAGCTCCCCCAACCTCGCTTCGCAGTTGCCCTGGAGCCGCTGCGAAGCCTTGTCATCGTCGGCCGCGCGCACGACAGCAATAACCTCCTTGACGTCCTCGCGCTCGGCGAGCGCTCTACACAAGAAGGCGCCGACGTACCCGGTGCCGCCGGTCACGAGCACCTTCGCACCACTTGAGCGTTGAGACGCCTTGGCGAGGATCGCCTCCCTTCTTTGCGAGGCGGACAGGCCGTCGTCGACGGCCACAACATGCCTCAATGCCGCTTCCGAAGGATCGAAGGTCGGCGACGCGCTCTCGCCATCTAATATCCTAGAGACCATGCCCGATAGCGTGGGCGCCGCCACCAAATCGCCGACGGGCACTTTGACGCCGAACTCCGCCTCGACGGACGACGCCAGGCCCACGAACGCTAAACTCCCACCAAAGTCGAAGAAGTTGCTCTCGCCGCTAAACCTATCTTTGGAGGGCGGCAGCTTGAGCGCGGAACACCAGCACTGCGCTAATCTTTGAGCTTCATCAGACAGTACCTCGGCGCCGTTCGTCAGCTCCGGTAAGGACGCGAGCAACTCGGCGAGCTTCTTCGGCGTCGGCCGCTTGCCCGATTTCAACCACTTCGCCCGCTCCGTCCGCCAGTCGGAGTTGTCCATGTTACGGACGACGACGGGCACCATGTGCGGCGGCAGGCGCTCGCGCAGCCACGTTCGTAGGGAAGAGGATGTTAAACCTTCCTTGCACGCGACCGCGCACTCGAGGCGCATCTCGGCGTCGGACGCGCCGACGGCGCCGGCCCAGGCCGCCTCCACACTGGGATGCTCGGCGACCTTGGCCTCGATGAGGTCCGGGAAGACCTTGAAGCCCCGGATCTTCACGTGCGACCCGGCCTCGCGCCCGCAGAACTCGATGCAATTGCCGCCGACCCACCGCACGAGATCGCCCGTCCTATAGAGTTCGGGCGTCTCCTTGATGCCGTCCTGGGTCCAGTAGCCCCGGAATAATGCCGGGCCCTTGACGTGCAATCGACCGACCGCGCCGACGGGCGTCGGCTCGCCGTTCAGGTCCAGCACCTCGGCGTGGACGTCCGGTAGTAATGGCAATGATGAAGCTCCTTCACCTAAATCTAAGGCCGTGTCGCCGCCCTCGTTCGTCGAGTAGCAGTTCCGGACCCTCAGACCGTCCTGCCCTATTTTGAGGGCTCTGGCTCGCAAATCGGAAGGTAACCGCTCGCCCGTGCAGTAGACGACGCGCACGGTCTTGAACTCCTCGGCGAGGCGTTTCTGGTCCGGCTCCACGTCTAAGACGGCTTTTAGTATCGATGGGGTTACATAGAGTACTGTCAACTTCTCGTCGCGGATAAAGTCAAATAACAAACGAGGATCGGCAAACGCCTTGTCCGGCAGCGCGAAGACGCTTGCCCCTTCCATCATCGGCGGCAGCATGTACCAGGCCAGCCAGAACAGCCCGACGGCGTCGCCGGGACCGATGTTATCCTGCGCCATGTACGCCGCGCAGCCCATCAACGCCGCATGGGGGCACACGACGAGCTTCGCCGCCGCCGTCGTGCCCGACGTCAGCACACAAAAGGCACCATCCCTCTCATCATTCGTATAAGAACCGGGCCCGTCGAGCGGCACGAGCGGCCCGTCGCTCACCGCCGCCGCGTCCAATCTCACGACTTTCCCCTGGAAGGCCTCGGGCACCCTCGACACGGTGCTCCCCACGGCCAACACGACGTCGGGTTGAATCATCCCGAATAACCGCCGCACCTCGGGCGCGGCCGACCCCGCGGGCACGTCCGCGAACCGATAACCAGCTAATAACGCCCCGAGCATGCCCGCGACGCAGGTCACGTCCTTGGGCGCGAAGAGGCACACGGCCGGCTTGTCCACACCTTCTACTGCCGTTCTAATTGCTCTTGCTACACCAGAGGCGCGCGCGTGCAGTTCCGAGAGCGTCGCCTTGTCCTTGGCGTCGCGCGCGGCGATGGATGACGGGCGTTTTTGTAAAGCGTCCTTGAGGAGGGGCCGCCACGGCACGCCGTACGGCGCCTTGGGGACGCCGGCGTTGTGCCTTGAAAAGGTCGCCGCGGCTTTGCTCCGCGCCTGCTTCAGCGCCTGGTCGACCTCGACGAGCGCCGTCGTGGGGTTGGCGACGCGGATGGCGCCGAGGACGCAGCGGTCTTCGGTGCTGGCGGCGCGGCACGCCGATGCGGCCGCGTCGTAGCTGTCCTGGTCCGCTAAAACCACTACCGGCTGCTCCTTCGATGCATCTAACTTTTCGATGAGTGTCTCGGGCGTAGACGTCACTATCTCTACGTCGTCGCGGGCAACTGTTTGGCTCCAGCTAGCTGTGCTTGAGCTGCAGCATACCAGCGTAACCGTCTTATGAACGGGTTGAGGCATGTTCAATATCGAGGCTGCAGCGTTTGCACACGTCGGTGATTGGATCTGTCTTCCACTATTCGCCCAATTCCAATGCCCAAAGCGTCTGCGTCGACATTTTTGTTGGAGGGGAGGGGGGGGTCGACGATGGACCCCTAAACCAAGAGAGCAGTCCTCGGGAGACGCTCTCCCAGCTCCTGCGAGCCTGGAGGCAGAAGAAACCGCGCATCGCCCGTCCATCTCAGACGGTGTCTCCCAGCCCTGGCAGGGCGCCGCCGAAGACGCTGCGTCGTGCCGAAGCAGTATATTAAAAACCACATTATTAAATCAACCATTCCTACCAAGCACGACCCCCGAGAAGAAGTCGAACGCCGCGAACTGGATCGCGGCCGACGGCGCCGCCCGCAAGAGCGACGGCGCCAGCCCCCGATACAACCGCGGCACGCCGTCGGCGCGCACGAGCGATAAAGCACAGTCGACATACCCACGATACTCAGCCTGGGGCTGCTGGAGGCACCGCCTTATGGTATCGTTCGGAAACGTCGCGACGCCCGCCACCAAGCCACCACAACCCCCATACACCGCCGACCGCCCGACGGCCCGCCCCCGCGACTCCGGCTCGTGAGGGTACCGTCGTAGCACGCCGACGACGCCGAAGCGAATCCCGTCGAACGGGATTGCTCCCAACAAAGTAGGCGTCGCACCGCGGTACAGTGCCTTCACACCACCTCTCCGGAACGCGTCCACGAGCACCTGCCAGATACTGCCCTTGCCCTGGCCGCCGAGCACGCCGCGCGCCAGATCCAATGGGTATGTTGCGGCCGCGGCACACATCCCAGCCAAACCGCCCGCGGCGAAGCTGCCCGCGGCATGCCGCTTCACATAGGGCCGCAACCGCTCGTTCACCGCAAACGCAATGCCTCTAGCTGGAAAGACCCTCAGTATCGACGCGCCGTTGCCCGCCCACAACCCTTGAAAACCCTCCGTGCGCCAGACGCGCCTTAATGCAACCACGAAGGACGTGTCTTTACCGACCTGCAGCAGGATGCGCGCGCGCTCCAGCGGCGCCATCGCCGTCTTCGACGCGCAGCCCGCGAGGCCGCCGCAGAGCACGGCCTCGGCGGCGGTCTTCTTGCGGCGCGGCATTCTTGTTTTATTGCTGCTGTTGCGGCGACGGCGTTTGGCACTGCTAATTGCACTGGCGCCGCGTGTGTTGCTGCTGCTGCACGCTGGCGGCTGCTTCGCAACCTTTTGAGCACCAGCGATGCAAAACTGATTTCGCGATGCAAGGAACTGATCGAGAGACTCCAAAAAATGCTATTCACGGCACTAACTCGCTCGTCCGCTTGGCAAAAATATCCCAGCCGCCCACAAAACCCGTGGCAAACACCGGCGCATACCACTCCTCCCTACCGCCTCGCAGGTTTCTTCTATTGGCATGATTGATGGGTATGGGCGCCCTGGCGTCGAAATAAGCCAATCCTCAAAACTGATGATTGAGCTCTGCGAACCAAAACAGCGTGCTTTGTGCACAATTAGACAGCTTCTGACGCGCAGCGGGCCAAAGCGACCCAGTCTACCTTCGCGAGAGCAAAAAAACGCAAGCCTCGAGCGTAAATCAGCGCATCAGCAGCCTTGCTCACCATGTGGCGCTGGCTATTAGTGGCCGCGGCACTGCTCCAGCAAGCCACACCGCTCTCGGTGTCGGAGATCAACGTGCCGAAGTTCTGCGCTGAGTGCGGCGGCCGCACGATGGCTGCAAGGACGCCGCCCGGCGACGAGCGTCCGCGAGCCGTGTGCGGCGCGTGCGGCTACGTCGCCTACGAGAACCCGAAGGTGGTCGTAGCCGTCGTCGCGCGCGCGCCGGACGGCAAGGTGCTGCTCGCGAAGCGCGCCATCGAGCCGCGGCTGGGCACCTGGGGCATCCCGCAGGGCTTCATGGAGCTCGGGGAAACGACGCGGGAAGCGGCCGCGCGGGAAGCGTTCGAGGAAACGGGTGCTGTCCTGAACCCGTCAGAGATGGCCCTGCTCGCTCTCTATAACTTGCCGGGCCAGGTGCAGGTCGTCTACGAAGCACCGTTGCCAGCAAATGCCAAACTCGAAACGTCGACGACGGAGAGCTCGGAAATTAAGCTTTTCGAGGAGTCCGACGCGCTCAAGGCGGATTTGTGCTTTCCGACTGTGACGTGGGCACTCGAGCGGTGCTTTTCGTCGCTGGATCGCTGTAGAGGAGTGCAAGAGCGAACCAAGGCGTTCCAGGGCGGCGAGTGGCGCGTACTCATCGACGACGACGGCGGGGGATACTTGGCTAGTTGATATGTAACATAAAATGAGGCTGAGGCTAGTTACGTCGCAGGGTTCCCCGTACCCCTCCCGCTCCCCCCGGGCCCACCCGTCCGGCTGGACTAGGACGCAAGGGCTGAGTCGCATGGACATTTCGCATTTCGCTAGTGTCTTACGGGCTAGCTGGCAGATCCGCGCACGCTCCAAATTCGCCTGTTCCATCACAATTGGCCACATCTGGAAGGGGCAGCCTCTCTATCGAAGCTGTACACACGACAATGGACGAGCAGGAGCACCGCCGCAAGGTCGAGGCTGTGTTCCGGAAGCATGATGCCGACAACTCAGGAACCATTGACGGGTCCGAGTTGGTGACCGCGCTACGTGCGCTAAACGCTCTGCCCGATGGTAGTCCCGAAGCCCAGCGCAAATTCGTCGACGATTTGTTAGCGCGTGTGGAGCCGGACGACGACGACGCGTCGTCTCTCACGCTCAGCGAGTTTCAGAAGCTCTTCGACCTCGGCCGGGTGCGCGCTGCGTTCCACGCCGTGGACACGGACGGAAGCGGGAATGCCACGGCCGCCGAAGTCGCCGCTATGCTGCGGCGCCTCGGCGTGCCCGGGGCATCGCTCGCAGACGCGAAGAAGTTCATCGCGCGTGTCGACACGTCCGGCGATGGCACCATAGATCTCGTAGAGTTCGAACGGGCCTTCGAATTCGTGCCGCTGGCGTCGCTCCAAGCCGTGGCAGCGCGCTGGGCGGCCCTCGGAGCGCTGCCGGAGTGCGGCGGCGGAGACCTCGGGTCCGCGACCGTACCGGTACCGGGACTTAGAACATGGCAGACCGTGATGGCGGGCGGCATCGGCGGGGTCGCGAGCAAATCCGTCGTCGCGCCGCTAGAACGCGTACGCCTCGCGCAGCAGACGGGCAAGGCGGAGGGCCTCGGGCTTTTCGGTCTCATGCGGAGCATCGTGGCGGCGGAGGGCTGGCGCGGCCTCTGGGCGGGAAATGGAACCGCCTGCATACGTGTATTCCCCACGGGCGCTATCACCTGCACGAGCTACGTGAACCTCCTGCAGCTCACGCCGGCCGACGACGAAATCGACGCAATGGAGCCGGTGTATCGCGGCGGCGCCGCAGCCGCGGCAGCACTCATCGGACAAGTCTCGACGTACCCGATCGAGGTGGTGCGCGCTCGGGTGACGGTCTCTGGCGCGCCTGTGATGAAAGTCGTGCGCGAGGTGGCGGCCGAGGGCGGATTCAAGTCGTTTTACGGCGGCCTGGCTCCGACGCTCGCGGCGGTCGTGCCCTTCGTTGCCGTTCAAAATGCCTCGATTGATCTGGGCCGGCACTCGACGGGCCACGGAGCCGGTGGCGCCCCCTCGTACGTGCACCTCTGGCTGGTGGGTGCGTTCGCGGGCTGCAGCGCGCAAACCTTTACCTACCCGCTGGACGTGCTCCGGCGGCGACTGCAAGTGGGCGCGCTCGCCGACGAGGTCGCGCGGGGCGGCTGGGTCTCTGCGGCGCGGGGCGTCGTGCGGAGGGAGGGCTTCGGCTCGCTCTTCGCCGGCATCGGCGCGACGTATTTGAAATCCGTACCATCGGTTGCGACGATCGCCACTGTCTGCGTCTCGATGAACCAGTATTTCGCTCAAAAGAACAAGACCGAGCACGAAGCGAAGGTCATGCGCGGGGATCATCTCAATGTGTAATGTTAAAGCTCCATCTTAACCCCCCCAACGTCCCACATATCATCGCCGTCGGAAGAGTCGTCCGAGCAGTCGCCGTAGAGCAAGTCGTCCACCGCCTTTGGCGCCGCCGGCGCGCCCCGGCCGCGGCCCCGACCTCTCCCTCGACCGCGGCCGCCCTTCCCGCCGGCGAACGCGCCGAGGCGAGCCTTCGCGTCTCCCCGCGACGACACGCCCCGCCCCGCGCCGGTGGAACTCGACGACCCCAGCAGCGCCGCCCGTTGTTGCCGCGCGCGCTCCTCCGCAGCAGCCCTTTGCGCCTCCTCGGCCTTGACCTTGGCCGCCGCGGCCTCGTCGGCCGCCGCGGCCACCAAGTCGAAGACGACGGGCCCCTCGTCCGCTTTGCACCGCGCCGCCAGCGCCGCCCCCACGCAGCGCAGCTCGGCCTCGCTCAGGCCGCCGCCCGACACGCAGACGGCCGGCGCCGTGCGCGGGTACGCCGGCGCGACGTTGGCAACTAAAACGTCGAGCACGAGCGGCGGCGCGCCGGCCGGCGGCTCGTGGCCCGCGACCACCACGCAAACGTCGTCCGGCCGCGCCGCGTCGGCCGGCCTTAAATCGTCGCCGAAAATCGCCTCGAGGGCCTCGCGCTCGTCGCGACGCTCCTGCGCGGCCTCGGCGTCGTCCGCGTCGTCGGAAAGCTTGCCGAGCTGCACGGCCGCGAGCGCGCGCCGCGCGTCGCCGTCGTGGTCCTTCGGCGTCGCGTCGCCGTAGCCGCGCTCGTGCAGCCAGCGCTTCTTCGCGCCCATGGTCTCGCGCGCGGCGGCCTCCGCCTCCCAGGCCGGCGGCGCCGCCTCGGCCTCGGCCTCGCCCGGCGCCGCCGCGCTGGCCGCGCCCTCTACCTCCAGCTGCGACAGGGCCGCATCCAAACCAGACGTGCCGTCGCCCGCGCGCCGCCGCGCCGCCTTCTCGGGGAACTGCGCGTCGCGCCGCGCGTCCTCGAGCGCGTCGACCAGGAACGGGTCCGGCGGCGGCGGCGGCGCGTTCGCGCCCGCGAGAAACGCGTCGCGCGCCGCGTGGCGCTCCTCGATCTCGCGCCGCGCGGCGTCGCGCTCGGCCTTCTCCCGCGCGTTCTTCGAGTCGCGATTCGCTTTGTCCCGGTTCTTCCGCCACCGGATCGCGTCCCTCTCGTACTGGAGCCGCTCCTGCTGCAAGTCCGGGTGCGCCTCTCGCCGCGTCTTCTCGAGCTTTTTCACGATGGACTTGTCCTTGTCGATGCGTCTTAATCTCCGCAATTTCGAATCGTGAAAACCAACGGCGCCCGCCTGCATGCACGTCTCGTCTTTATGTAAATTCGCCCAGGGCGTCCACACCACCATGACCGACGCGCGCTTGCAGCCCTCGATCGAATTCGCCTTGACGAGCTGGCACATCTCCTCGACGACCGGATCCGGGATTCTATCTAATAAATCGCCGCACCGCACGCCCGCGTCCTGCGCCGCCGCGAGCGGCAGTCTCAGGTAGACGTGCGCCGAACTCAGTCCATCCACGTGGAACCAGACGTCGCGCGTCTGGCCCCACTCGATCAGGCCCTCGTTCTCGTACTTGTCGGCGCCCATGTACACGATGTAGGGCTCGCCGCCGGGGTCCTTGTACTCGCAGGTGAAGTAGAAGACCATGGTTGCTTCTCCTGCAGCGTTTGCAGCACGTGCTTTTCTTTCTCGCGCGTTGGCAGTGCTATCGTGGTCCACGCTTATGCCTCTGTTACACAGATAACTCGCCTCGGCTGGCGTAATGGCTGCAAAGCATCGCCTCCGACCTAGAGGTGTAGACGTACTAGCTCATCTCACTTCACGCGGAAATGCGGCGCCTGGAATGATTTAAGCACCGATCTGGCCTGATACGCGCTCTCCAGTATCACAGCGACGAGAAGAGCCTGGCTGGTTTGCGTGCAGATGACCACTGGGGCACCAAATTAGGCTGCCCATTTTTGGCATGCATGCCACCGCAAAGGCGTCGCGAGGCCTCGTGGTACTACTCTCTATCATCATCTATACCGCTGGCCAACAAGTCATTGATGGCACCTCACTCGAACCGCGCGACAGGCCACTCCGCACGTACACGCTGCCGCGGTCCGGCCCGGCCACAGTAGCTCAAATGGTCGGAGCCGAGCATACCGGTGCGACGCAGTGGGACGCTGGCCACGCTTTAGCTGACTATATCGAAAGGACGGCTATCGGTGCGGCCAACTGCTCGATCGACGGCTGCTATGCCTCGTCGCGGTACGCCAATCGGACGGCTCTGGAGCTCGGAGCGGGCGCCGGCGGACTGGTAAGTATCGCACTGATACGAGCCGGTGCTAACGTGCTGGCCACGGACGGTGATGAGGGCGTGCTCGAGTTCTTGAATTTGAATATCAAAGGGAATACACGCGGCGCACCCGGGCAGCTCTTAGGTGCCGAGCGACTCTGCTGGGGCGACTCAGACGCCATCGACGCGGTACGAGAGCGGCTGGCGCACGATCTCGTAGTCATGAGCGACGTCGTCTTCCACACCATCGATACCGCGGCGCTTGTGGAGGCATTGGCGAAACTGGCAGCGGCCGAGCCCCCGCCGGAGATTATCGTGGCGCATACCTGGCGCTTCGTGAGAGAAGACGAGGACTTCCTCGAGGCCGTCGACGCTGTCTTCGATCGACATACCGTACCCGCGGAGGACCTGCACCCGCGCTTTCGCGAGGGACGTGGGGGGGATACGTCGATCATGCGGCTCGTGCCGCGACGGAGGCCGCCTTGATGCGTTGTGAATAAAATTGGATAAGGAGCCTACGGATAGTCTCCCTGGAGTTCCCTTGCGCGGCCTCGGCTCCGAGCAATTTTACCTAGAGTAATAGATCGCTGTGTTATTCGGGAGTCAAACACGAGTCGTTGTTTGTTAACCTCGGGGAAAAGAAAGGATTTAGACGTAGAGTCATATAAGTACGCGCAGGCATTTACCCCCCTACTGCGGTACCTAGTATATTTTTGAGCACAGAGATGGATGCTCGTAATCGCTGCTGGAATAAGTGAGCCAGCGTGTCCTCATACCACAGGAGCAGCCGTGGTATCTGAGGGTACAGGTAGCCGCTGCCGAGGCCAAACGAGCAGCGCTCGGGCGACTCCACGCACGAGCAGCAGCGGGATTTGGCGCCAAGGCCGAACAGTACCTTAGAAGCGCGGGAACGCGCCCGGGCCACGCCAAAATTGCGCTGGGACGCGCGCTAGCCGCGCGGCAGCGCCAGCAAAAAAAACAAGAAAGAACAGCCACACAACCAACCATGGCGGCGATGGCCGCGGCGCGCGCGCTCACGGTCAACCAGTACCTGGAGCGGCGCAACCGCTACGACGGCCTCTGCGCCAACATGGAGGTCACCCCGACCTACGACCGCGCGCCGGCGTCGCGCGAGGTGCCCCTCTTCCCGCAAGGCCGGCCGCCCTCGCCCGTGGCGGACCCCTTACCCGTGGTGGCCTTCCAGCCGCCGCTGTCGCCGCCGACGCCGCACCGCGCCGCTGCCCAGCGGCCGGGCCGTGCGGCACTTCCGCCGCCCCCGCCGCCGCCGCCGCCGCCACCGCCGCCGCCGCGCGAGGCCGCGCGCGTCGCGCCGAAGAAGCGCGGCCGCGACCCGAAGCCGCGGAGCCCGGCGCGGTTGCCCGCGCGGCCGGCGGCCCTGCCGCCGCCCGACGACGCCGCCGAAGTGCACGACGAGATTGCTGGTAGTTTGACGCCGCCGGCCGCGTCGCCGCTCCAGGAGGCTCGCATGTTGGACGACGACGACCTGCCCCAGGCGGCCCCCGCGTCGCCGCCCGACGCGTCGCCGCCGCGCCTCGCCGACCCGAACATGGGCGCGCTCGCGAAGCGAAGGATGGAAGGACAGGAAAAGGCGCCGGCCAAGAAGCGCGGCCGCAAGAAGCAGGCCCAGCCCCCTCCGATGATGGCGTCGCCGCCGCGCCCGGAGAACGGCCAGGCGCCTCCCTTGCGGTTGACGTCGTCGCCGCCCGGGTTGTTAAGCGGCCAGGAGCAGCAGCAGAAGCTGCGGATCAACGCGTCGGGACGCGTCGCGACCTTACTCGAGAAGAAGCAGCGCGGCTGGCTCGTCGTCGAATTAGATGAAAATCAAGGCGAGGACGGCGCGCCCTTCGAGCAGCGAAGCATACGGTCGAACTTCGTGACGTTTCTGGACTCGGCGGGCAACGACGTTATTCCCACGAAGAAGAAGCGCAAGCGGCCGTCCGTGCCGGCCATCGCACCTCCAGCACCGGGCCAGCAGCCCGTGTCCTTTGCACAAGTCTCAGATCAAAACCGGCCGCGAAGCGGTTCGGTGGATTTGGACGCGCCGCCGCCGCCGAAGCCCAAGAAGCGCACGAAGCGCAACAAAGTAGAGTACAACACGGGCGATCGAATTAGAGTGGTCGAGCACGCCAAGTACCAAGGTAGACTGGGCACGGTCGTGAAACGAACGGTCGCGTGGGTCGAGGTCCACCTCGATTCACTGCAGCCGGGCGAGAAGGAGCTGACGGCTTCATTTAGAAAGAAGGATTTGGTCTTATTGAATGACGCCGGCGACGCGGCGCTGACGGAGGCGGCGTTACCTCCGCCGGCGGCGCCCGCGCCGCCGCCGCGCCCGGTCGAAGACGACGACGTCATTAGTGATGACGAGCTGCCGCCGCACCTCGCGCAAGTCATCGGCAAGAAGGTGGCCATCCCCATGCAGCAGGGCGGCGGCTACGGCGTCGTGGCGCGCATCCAGGACGGGATTTGCGAGGTGACCGTGCAAGGTAGAGATAAAGAAGAATTCGTGACGTCGCACATCGACGAACTCATCCTGGCCGACGGCACGAAGCTAGGACGGTTCATCCGGAAGGGCGAGCCGGACGTGCCGCCGACGCAACCGCCGGCGCCGGCGCCGGCGCCGCCGGCCCCGGCCCCGCAGGAGGACGACGGGGCCTTCGAGCTGCCGGACCCGCCGCTGCCCCTGGAGGTGGGCTGCGCCGTCGTGGATTTAAATCAAAACAACCGCAAGGGCCGCATCGTGGACAAGTCTAAAGCCTGGTTCAAGGTCCAGTTCCCGGGCGACGCGAGCGTCAAGTCGCTGCAGAAAAAATCCTTGAGAGCCATCCCCGAGAGCCAGGCGGCGGCGCCGCGGACGCCGGCGCCGCCGCCGGCCGCGGCGCCGGCGCCGGACTACGAGTTCGACGAGGCCGCGGCCGTCGCGGCGCCCGCGCCGGCGCCGGCGCCGGCGCCGCGGCTCGCGTCGCCGGCGGCCTTCCTGCCGGACGTGCCGTCCTGGCCCACCGGCGACGCGGCGGCGCCCGCCGCGCCGCCTCCGGGCGTCGCGGCGGCGCCGCCGCCGCCGCCGCCGGCCGGCGGCCCCAAGAAGCCCGCGTCGAAGCCGCGCGGCCGCGTGCCGGCCGCCCCCGCGGCGCCGGCCGGCGTGATCCTGCCGCTGGCCGGCGCGCCGCCGGCGGGCGCGCCGATCCGCGTGCGCACGGCCGGCGGCCGCGAGGCCATTGTATTGGAGAAGATGCAGCGCGGCTGGTTTAGGGTGGAGCTCGACCAGAACGCGAACGACGAGGGCGGCGCGGGCGAGCGCAAGTCGATGAGAAGGCCCCACGGCTTCGCGCCGGGCCAGGACCACCTCCTGGACGCGGCGCCCCAGGCCGCGTTCGTCCCGAAGCCCAAGGGCTCGGGCTCCTCCAAGGGCCGCAAGTCGTCCGTGCAGCAATCGGGGCCCGGGCCCGTGCCCGTGGGCGCCGTCCAGGCCATCACGGCGGGCGGCCGCGTCGCCACGATCCTGGAGAGGAAGCAGCGCGGCTGGTTCGCGGTCGAGTTGGACGGCAACGCGAACGACGAGGGCGGCGCGTTCGAGCGCAAGAGTATGAGAAGGCCCATGTTCGCGCCGGGCCAGGACTCCGTTTTAGATTCCGCGCCGGAGTCGGAAGGCGTCAAGGCCGTCGCGGCCCAGAAGGCCGCTGCCGGCCCGAAGCCGCCGAAGCAACCGTCGAAGCCGCGCGCCAAGAAGCCCGCGGCGTCGCCGTCCGCGGCCCTAGCCGCAGCAAAGGCCCCGCGGCCGCCGGCGTCCGACGACGAGGCGGCGCAGGAGCCGCCCCCGAACATCGGCGAGGGCCCGCCGGGGCCCGACAGGGGCACGGAGCTCGAGGACCCGGGCGCGCAGGACAGTGACATGTTCACGAAGGGCGCGCGCGTCGCCGTGGTGTCGGGGTCGCCGGATTTTAACGACGGGCCGCCGCGGCGCGGCGTAGTCGTCAAAGCCCGCAGCGACGGCACTTTTGTGATTGCCGTCGGCGATGGAACGGGGGGTCCGCTAGAAACGGCGGGCCCCGAGTCGGTGACCTTCGAGGGCGCCGACGATGATCTGGTGACGGGGGACAAGGTCGTGGTCATCAAGACGGGGCGGACGGGCGTCGTCGCGTCCATTTCTGGAGCGCAGTGGTATAGAGTTGTGATGGATGATACGAGGGGCACGCCGGCGCACGACGAGCTCGGGGAGAACTTTCGGCCGTCCCAGATTCGGAAGCGGGGCCTCGAGAAGCCGTCGCCCGATATCGTGGAGGGCGCGCGCGTGATCATCGAGAACGACGCGCCGTCGCGGCTCGTGACGCCGAAGGGGCTGCCGCCCCGCATCGGGCGGGGCACGATCGTCGAAGTGCGATCGGGCGGCTGGCGCGTGGTCCAGTACGACCAGGGCACGGGCCGCGCGACGGATTCCGTGCGCGTCGCGCGATTGGTAGCATTAGTGCCGGCGGGCGCGCCGCCGCCTTTACCAGGACCACCGGTGCCGCCGCCGCCGCCGAAGGAGAAGCCGCCGAATTACCAGAAGATCACCAAACTCAGAGTTCATTCCACGGCGCGGCGCGAGCTCGATCGGGCCAAAGCAAGGGCCGCGCCCGACGAGGAGGGGATGAAGTGCCAGTGCTGGTCGCGCAAGAAGTGGGACGCGAATGTGGAGAAGCTGTTGGCCGGCGACATCCACTCGTTACCCGGTCGGAGCGGCCCGCTGAAATGCATGCGCGTCGGGCCCTCGATCCGAGAACAGAAGGATCGGTTCATGCGCGAGAAGTCGATTGGGGTGGAGTGCGACGAGCAGTGTCTGAATAGGGCCCAGTCCATCGAGTGCACGAACGAAAACTGCGGCGTCAACGGAGGCACCTGTAACAACCGGCAGTTCCACTTAGGGCGGAGCCCGAAGATCGACGTCCGGAAAAAAGATGGGGAGTGGGGCCTCGTGGCCGCGGAGCCGCTGGCGAAGAAGCGGTTCATCATCGAATGCCTCGGGGAGCTCGTGGACCGGGAGGAGGCCAAGGATAGGTTCGCCAAGGCCCGGGACGGCTACTTCATGGCGGTCTCGTCCCTCGGCTTAGTTGTGGACGCGACGAAGACGGGCTCCGCGGCGCGCTTCGCGAAGCACTCAAACGAGCCGAACTGCGTGATCGAGACGTGGAAGTGCGGCATCGACGAGAGGTACGGCCTTTTTGCTTTGAGGGAGATTGGTGAGAACGAGGAGCTGACGTACGACCACGGCTGGATTCGGGAACTGAGGCAACCCATCAAAGGGGGCCGCGCGGGCCCGGGGGCCGCCGCGCGGCGCGCGTCGGGCGCTCTCCATGGCGAGGACACGGACGACGACGTCGAGAAGGGTTTGGCCGCTCCTAGACCCTTCGCCGAGGAGGAGGACGAGCAGTACTGCGACGGCTGCCACGCGCCCGTCAGCGACCCGGCGGCCTGCAAGGCGTGCAAGAAGAAGCTCTGCTACGCCTGCGCGAAGACGACGGCCGAGGAGTACGAGGAGGCGTCGCCCTGGTACTGCCCGGAGTGCAACCACTGACCGGAGACCCCCCCATCCCTTTTTATCCGGCGGCGGATTGGCTGAGACCCCCTGACTAATCCCTTTGAAAACAAATGCTTACAACTATCCTAATAGAAGGACATTTCCTTCCCGCCTCGGCTCTTGAGAAGCCGATTGATGGCGTCGAAGTCGTCCTCCTCCGTGGCCGATGAGAGTCCATCATTTTGGTACCAATTTACCTCTACGATGAGGGGACAGCCGCCGACGAGACGCAGCATATTCGTCGACGTGAGTACTGGAGTCTCATAGACCATGAGGGATCTGAGGGTCTGGGCGCTACGACTTTGCAAGATTGTATCGATTGCCGCCGGGCTCAAACTGTTCTCCGCCGTCAGCGAAAGATGCTCCAGAGACAAACTATCGCACAGAACTTGCAGGCACGCGTCGTCGACCTCACAGTTCCATCCTAGTTCGAGGCTTTTGAGCGTCGGCCGCGCCTGCACCAGCGAACGATAGAAGTCAAGCCCAGCAGCGAATTCATCCGGCAGGCTCAAGTGCGTCAGCAGCTCAAAGCCTCTAGCACACTGGAGGACTGTATGCAGCGAGATCTCAGTCTCAGAATAAAAGTCCATCTTTTTCAGACGACCCCTCAAAGGCGTCCGCAACAGCACATCCATCAAGGCCGGCCGTACAGTGCACTCGGAAAGATCCACTTCGTCCGCGCGCGTGCACGCCCGCACCGTCTCTTCGATCGCGGCGTACCGGACCGGCTCCCCACCAAAGTTAAGACGTTTCGTGTTGGGAAAATGCTTGGCGTAGCTTTCGGCTTCTCCGATTCCAATAATGGGGTTGTAATTGGCATTGCCGAGTTCAACGTGTTCAAGCAAGGGACACAGGCCGCTTAATTCTGCGCAGAATTCATCAATATCCTCACCCGTGATGGTGTCGACCTCACTAAAGCGCAAAGTCAATTCCTTCAGCTGTGGGGATGCGCGGCACAGTTCCAAGGCAAAATCTCTACCAATTGAGTAGGGCATGGGAGTGACATAGAGCTTGAGCAGACGACCTCGCGTGCTTACTACGAAGCTCCGAAGCGCGGCTAGGATATCAGCTGACGGATTATTGTTGCAGTGGTTCGTAAATACTCTGAGATGTCGGCATCCGCTGCCGAACACCCGTCCCTTGGCCTCGATGGCTTTCCCATCCGACCCGCCATGCGACCCCATGCCAGGTCGGATAGACAAGTATTCCACCACTGCGTGATCCCTGGCGGCCAAACGCACCGCGGCCACGCACGCGCGGCAGGCGCTCCGCAGAGCGAGTAGGTCGGCCGGATCTCCTTTCTCCCAGGAAATTGTTCGATGAAATTGTTTCCTTCGCCCCGCATACAATGCGATACGCGCAAGCAGCTCGACAGGCAATCCATCGAGCCGAGGTGTTGGCCGCGCTGCCGCAGCGCTCGCAGCCATGATCGGTGCGCTCCTTGAACTCGCGCTTACAATTTTTGGACGCACGGACACCTGTGTTTCGACCAAAAAAGCCAAAAAAGCCAAGTGACGGCGTGCGGCCTTGTTTACAAGTGTAAGACACTAGCAAGCCGGGAAAAACCCTCTACATGATAGTACATCGGCCGAGACCCTCTGTTTTAACCTTCGAGTGGACATGTAAAAACCGACGCGTCTTAGGACCTCAGCCGCGGCCGCCGCTCCGTCCCCGGCCGCCGCCCCGGCCCTTGCCCTCGCGCCCCCGGCCGCGGCCCCGCCCCCGGCCCCGCCCGCGCCCTCGGCCGTCCGCGTTCACGCGGCCGCCGCGGCCGCCCTTGCCGGGCTGGTGCTTTTTGCGGGACTCCTCTTCTTCCGCCACCATATCAATAATTTCGTCGGGAATTCTCAGATATTTGATCGAGTTCCCGCGAATGTAGCACTGCGGCAGCTTCCAGAAGCGGTCGCCGTCGCGGCTCGTGCAGATGACGTCCTCGAGATTCACGTTCATCCAGGTGTCGGCGCCGACGAGCTTGCCGTTGTACGTGTCGCCGTTTTTCAGCTCAATCAACATCGCCTGGCCCGTGGCCGTCGACAGGAGGCTCAGCGGCAGCATGTTTCACCGCTTCTCTGCTTAGCAGCCCTCTGGGTGTGTTTTGCAGGACGGCGCGGCGCGCGCGCTGGCTGGCTGCGAGCGCAAGTGATGCGGCTTCTTCTGGCAATCGTCTCAGAACGCGTAGCCAAATCGACGCGTAAATCAGCGTCCCTTGGCCGCCGCGCCCCCGGCCCATGCTAGTGTCTTACAGCCGCTGCTACGGCTCGTCGCGGAGCTGAGTTTGCAAGGCTGGAGGCAACGTAGGCACCTGGCAGTACCGCATTGGGATCGCTTGATACGCCAGCAAGTCCAGCGCTCTCAATTGATAGCCGTCAGAGGCTGGGCCACAGCATCCCTCGCCGTCAGCGCTTCAGACGCCGGCACAGCATCCCTCGCCGTCAGCGCATCATCAGTGGAAATGAGCGCCCGCGGCGCACAGATCGTCGGACGCCTCGCCGGGCGCCGCCGCCTCTCGTCCCCATCCGGCGGCGGCCGCGGCGCCGGCCGCGGCGGTCGGGGCCGCGGCCGAGGGAAGGGCCGCGCGGCGCGCGGCCGCGGCGGCCGCGGCCGGGGCACGGGCCTCGAGGCGCCGCCCGGTGCCGTCGTCTGGGACGCGCAGGTGCACGACCCGCGGCCGCTCAACCTCGGCTTCGTCCGCGACGCGACGAAGAACGAGATCCACGCGGCCCACAAGGGCGGCGTGGAGATAGCGGCCCTGAGCGCCAAGCATGGTTTGCCCGTGGACCGCATCAAGGCGATTTTGATGCTCAAGGACCTCGAGGACGACGCCAGAGCAGCCGGCACGGTCCACGAGGGCCTCAACAATGAATTCGAGCAGCACGCGACCCAATTCCTCAAGGAAGTGAGCGGGTACTACGGCGTGCCCGTGCCGAACAGCCATCATAGAGCGGACACGGACGCGGCGGCGTCGTCCTCTCAAAAGCGCCTCGTGGCCCTCGGCGAGGACGACGACGAGGCGGCCGTGCGCGCGGCGCTCGCGGCGCGCGACGAGGCCGCGGCGGCGGACTCTGATGGTGTGGCGGCCGAGGAAATTGTAGAGGTGGCGCCGCGGCCGGCGGAGCCCGGCGCCTTCGTCTTCCGGGACCTCGACGCGGATACTACAAAAGTCGTGTCCAAGGGCGGCGGCGAGCGCGCCGCCGACGCGGCCGACGAGGCGCACCGGTCCTGGGCGCGCAAGGAGCCGTTCTGGGACGCGCACGCGGCCGAGCGGCGCTGGGCCGAGCGCGGGCGGAAGGAAGGCGTCGAGGAGGCGTCGGCGGCGTCCTCCTCAGAGGGCGTGCAGAGCTAATATTTGTGTAACGCACTCGTTCGACACGGGTTTTCCACACAGAATGGGAGAGGCCAGGCTCTGTTGCATTTGTTAGCCATCTTGGCGTAGCGTTTTACTCGAGCAGGCTTGCCACAAGACCAGCAAACCGCGATAGAAGGAGTTATAGCTCGACGCTTCGCGTGTGGAAACCACAACAGGGCCAGCTATAAACAGTCTCCTGGACAGCGTCGAGACGCCGTCGACGCGTCAAGCATTGTGGCTACAGCCCTGCTCCTGGGGGCGCCTCGTAGTCATGACGCGAGACCCCACCGCCACCGGTTCCGGAGACTCCAGCGCGACGACCGAGCTTGGAGAGCGCGACGAGGTCGTGATTACCGTCGCCGAGCTCTCCGTGGACACTGCGGCGGCTGCGGCGCCGCGCACCCCGCCTGGACGCCCAAGTGCCGCGCGTGCGCCGACTCCTCCTCTTCGACGCTCGCGTCGGACCTGCGGCGCGCGTCTACCGCTTCCTCTGACCCGTCGACTTCCTCGGCGGCATCCTTCGGCGCACCGCCACCGCCGAACCCCATCTTCACGCGCGCCGCGGCGCCGCCCATCGACGCAGCGGCGGCGCGCCGCGCGGCCGCTCTGAGAACGCGCGTCGAGAACGACGCCCTCGACGGCGAGGCGGCCTACCAGCTCGCGCTCATGTATACTAGTGGAAACGGCGTCGTGCGCGACGAGGCCGAGAGCCTTCGTTTGCTGCGCGGCGCGGCGGAGGTCGGCCACCGCGACGCCGCGGCTTTGTTGGGTGTGGCGCCCGTCGTGCAGGCCCCTGCGCCGCCGCCGCCGCCACGACGCGTCGTTGCGCCGATCGGCTCGGCCTGGGCGGCGGCGCCGTCGCCGCCGCCGCCGCGCGGCCCGCCGAGCCCCGGCCGGGTGCTCCCCGGCCAGGGTCGAGGCTTCTTCTCGTTCGGCGGCGGCCTCTTCTCCCAGCGACCGCCGGCGCCGGGGCTGCTCGCCGAGCTCGGCGGCGAGCGGCTCGAGGACGTGTCGCCGCCGCTGGCGTCCTCGCCGCCTCTGCTGGCCCCGTCGTCCATGCTGGCGCCGCCCCCAATTCCTTCGCTCCCGCCTCCGGTGGTTCCACCGCCCATGCCGGCGCCGCCGCCCGCGGCGCCGGCGCCGCCGCCCGCGCCGGCGAAGACGCGCGGCGTCGTGCGCTGGTACGCGGCGGACAAGGGCTACGGCTTCCTCTCGAGCGGGCCCGGGGCCGACGTCTTCGTGTTCCAAGACGACGTCACGGACCACGAGGCGCGCGGCCCGCTGAAGGAGGGCGAGGCCGTCACGTTTACCGTTTCGATGTACCGGGGCAAACCCAAAGCTCTGGACGTCGAGCGCGACGTACCGGTACCGGCCGTCACCGTCGCGCCCCCGGCTCCTCCAGCGCCTCTGGCGCCTCCGGCCGCGCCGCGCCGCGTTGGTCGCGTGCGCTGGTTTGATATCGCTCGCAAATATGGTTTCATCGTGCCGCTCGACGGTGCGCCCGACGTGTTCCTGCACTTGCGGGATTTGGACCCAGGCGTCGCCGAAGCCCTCGAGGAGCTCGCCGTCGTCTCCTACGACGTCGTGCCCTACCGGGACAAGACCAAGGCCGTCCGCCTCCAGATCGTCGACGCGGCGGCGTACGCGCAGCTCGTGCTCGAGAATCAGGGGCGCACGCTCTCCGTTCAAGACGCGGCCGTCGAACTCGGTCGTCTACGCGCTATCCCCCTCCCTCCGCGCGCCGGCGAGGATCCGACCCGGGTATAAAGTGTCCACAACAATTATTTACACGCCTAGCGCTGCCGACTTCAGATAGTTGTCCCCGGGACCTCTGGCACGCTGTCGTCATCTTCCTCGTCGGTCGCCAATGGTTTCTTCCACCAGTGGAAGTCCTCCTCCGCGACGGCGAGCAAGGCTCGCCTCGCCCGCACGGCCGCCGGCCGGTTATTCTGCGCCTCCAAGCCGCGCCGGAGCAGCTCCGACGCGTCGCCGTCGCCGCGCGCGAGCTCGGTGAATATCTTGACGGCCGACGGCCGGTCGTCTGCGACGTCGCCGCCGCCCTCGTCGCTCGCGTCGTCGTCAGGTTCGTCGAAGAAGTGTCGCTGGCGGGGCGGCGCCCGCGCGCGCGGCGTCGGCGCGCGGTTCAGCCTCAGCGCAAACTCATGGTCGCGCCTTTCCTGCGACGCGCGCCTCGCTTCCTCCGAGTCGCGTGCCGGCGGCTCCACTAAGCTTACAGCTAGCGCGTGGTCTCGCCGCTCCTGCGACGCGCGCCGCGCAGCCTCCTCCTCCTCGGCACGCGCCGCGACCGCCTCCGCCTCGGCGCGCCGCGCCTGAGACAGGCGCCGCGCTTCCTCCTCGGCTCGGCGCGCCGCCTCCGCGCGCCGCGCTTCCTCCTCGGCGCGGCGCGCTTCCTCATCGGCGCGTCGCTGCGCCTCGGCGCGCCGCGCTTCCTCGTCGGCTCGTCGCTCCGCCTCTCGTCGGGCGTCCGCCTCGTCCGCCGCCGGGGCCACTTCGGCGTACCACCGCGCCTGCGACGCGCGCCGGGCCTCCTCCGCCGAGGGCGACGTGAGCGGCGAGATGCTGTCGTCCTGCGTCTGCGAGACGTCGTACTGGAAGCCTCCCGGCCTCGTCGCGCCGACCGCGTCGCTCTGGGGACTAGACCCGCCGCTGTCCGTCGGCTCCGCCTCGTCATAGGGCTCCAGCGCATTGGGCTCCGGCCGCGCCGCCGGCGTCGGCGTCGGCAGCACGGCGTCCAGCGCGTCGGGCTCGAGCGCGTCGCCGGAGGCGGGTGCGGCGAGGACAGGGCCGCGGGAGGCGACGGCGGCGAGCGCCGCGCGGCCCGCGGCGAGCGCCGCCTGCCCGCCCTCGAACGCGTCGGCGGCGGCCCCGCGCGCCGCCGCGATGTCGTCGACGAGCTCCCGGCGCGCGTCCTTGCCGCGCCGCTTCATGATCAAGCGGTGCCGCGTGTCCGTCGCGCGCATGACCGTGTTGTTCGCCGCTTCGAGCCGCGTGGCGACCTCGCGCAGCGCCTTCAGGGTCGCGCGCCGCGTCTCGCCGCGCGCGCGCAGCGCGGCCACCACGGCCGCGTCGTAAAACACGGCGCCGGCGCGCCACGTCGGCGCGCCCCGCAGCGCGAGTTCGTACGATACGCCCGGCTGGCCCGGCCCGTCTCCTAGTAATTGCACTCCATCACCATCGCTCAAGGACGCGCGCGTGCCCTTGCCCACGGGCGCCTGGTTGACCGCGAAGCCGTTGTTCGTGTGGCACTCGACGACGGCATTTGTGTCCTCCGTGCGCTGGAAGATGCAGTGGACCTTGCTGAGGCGCTTCGACGCCTCGAGGGCGACGCGGTCGATCTGGGTTGAGGTCACGTCGGGCAGCGCGTCGTCGTGCGCCGACGCCGTCCTAAACACGGTGTCCGGCGCCTCGTAGTGCTCCGGCCGGCGCCCTACGACAACTCTCGTCGCGCAGAGCGGGATGACCTCGGGGAAGGCAGCGTCGCCTTTTGTGCGTCGCAGGACGCCCCAGCAGGCGCGGTCGTGTTCCATTGCCCGCTAGCGCATTTTGGTGTTTTGGTCTGCTTTGGCCCCAGTGCCTTGCTGCACACCTTAAGACTAGCCGGAATCGATGCTGCGCTAGTAACTATTCAAAAATAGTCACGACTATGCTGTAGCTTGATCGCTGGGTCGGTCTAGGCTGCAAACGAGATTCGCGCCGAGCACCGATACCTAGCGCTGTAAGACACTAGCAATAGGGTTCCGCGTATTAGCTCTAGTCCAGCCGGGGTGGGCCCGGGGGAGCGGGAGGGGTACGGGGGACCCTGCGACGTAACTAGCCTGAGCCTGAGCCATCGACGCCATCGACGCGAACGCACGCCACATCGACGCCATCGCCGCGCCGTCGTAAAACTATGGTCCCCCAATTTAGGCCCCCCACTGCTGCGCCGCCGCACCGGCCGCCTGGGCGTTCGGGTCCCACTGCTGCTCCGGCGCGGCCGGCGCCGCGAAGCCGCCGGTCGCGGCCGGCGCCTGCTCGAAGCCCGCCATGGCGTTCGGGTCCGAGTAGGGCTGCTCCTTCGGCGCCGCCTCGCCGGCGGAGGCGTTCCAGGTCTGGGCCTGCTCCTGCTCCGCCGCGAAGGCCTGGGCCTCTTCCGCTTTTTCGAGCTCCTCGGGGTCGCGGTAGAAGAAGAGGTCCACGGGCACGTCCCAGGGGGCTAATCTAGATACGGTACCTCTCATCCTCAAGACCTCTCTGGCCAGCAACCAGTACAAAAGTCCGATGGAGAGCTTGCCCTTGTTGTTCGACGGGATGGCGACGTCGACGTGCTGGAGGGGAGAGTCCGAGTCGCAGAAGGCGATGACCGGTAAGTTCACGTAGGACGCCTCGGCGACGGCCTGGGAGTCGGTCCTAGGGTCCGTGATGACCAAAATGCGCGGCTCGCGGAACTGCTTGGTGATCTGGTTGGTAAAGGTACCCGGCGTGAATCTACCAGCAATGGACGCGGCGCCCGTGTACTGCGCGAACTTCAGGACGGCGCGCTGGCCGTAGGGCCGCGCGGAGATGGCAATCACGTCCTGCGGGTTCTCGATGGCCGTGAGCACGCGCGCGGCGAGCATCAACTTCTCCCACGTCTTGCCGATGTTAATAATGTGGACGCCGTCCTGCCGTCTCCGCCAAATGTACTCCTCCATCATGTGGTCCGAGTTGCGCGTGCCGATGTGGCACTGCGCCGCGAGCATCTTCTGGATGTCCTCCTCCTTGGGGGCGAGGATCGACATGGTGGACGCGTTGGCTTGCTACCTGCGGGTGGCGGCGGTTCATACAGATTTGTCGCGGCGGCGGCGTCAAGCTCTCTCTCAGCGCTTGGACGTGCGGCGCTCGAACGCCGCGGCGAGGGCCCCTGCCGGCACGGCCTGATCTCGCGGTGCGAGAAGGGCTGGCGCGGCGGCGGCGTCACGCTCTCGGCGTCTCTCTCCAGCGCTCAGGCGTGCGCCGCGCTCAAAGGCTGCAGCGAGGGCACGGCCTGATCTCGGCGTCACGGGGCTCGCCGAAGGCCGCGCTTGCTCGTCGCAGCGCTTCCTCCATCGCTGAAGACCTCTGCTGCAGCTCTGTGTCATTGACGCGGTGTGGCACGAGTAAAAGCGGTCCCTTTTACTGCGCTCACTGAATCGCTGAGCCCGCGACTTAAAATCAGCTATGCGCGCCACGCCTCTGCTGCTCGGTTCTGAGGCCTATGCACGAGTCCTCGGGACCACACACGAGAAAAACGGCCTTAAAAAAAGCGGCCTGAAATTGGAGGCCCGGCTATGATGAGGGAGGGCGCGCTTCAGTGGGACCCCGGGACGACCACGAAACCGTCGTCGTCCGAAGACTTGACGGGCCACGAGGCGTGCTCTGTCGCCGTCCCCGTTCACTTGGCCTTCCGCTTTTTTACTGTCTTCATGTCGGCGATGGCGTCGACGCTGACGATGTCCGGGCAGGTCCACTTATCGTGTGTGAGACGCCCATAGTACCCCACCGCGGTCGACGGTTCGGCCGGCACTGTCGAAAGGACAAAACCGTACCTCCGGAGGTTCTGCCCAAAGGCTGTGTAGTCTCTTGAGTATCCGCAGCGCTCTAGCAAACCCAACGCAGCGGTTTTGTCGCGGATCATGATGCAGCACTTGTCCTCGACCCACGCGATGGCATCGTCCGCGTCCTCGAGCACAGCGGCGACAAGAGTCGGAAACGAGCCTTTCGGCAAAATGGAAGAGGCGGTACGCGCACGCCGCGGCCGCGCCGGCGCCGGCGCACGCCGCGGCCGCGGCGCGTACCGCCTCTTCCATTTTTGCGCCAAATGTTTCGCACGACAAAGGTCGCACAGCTTGAATGCTTTGTCACCGTTCCAGCTGAAGACTCTGCTACCATTACAAGTGCCACAGCTGCGCACTTCGTGATGTTCCGCGACAGCGTCGCACGCCTTCGCCCACGCCAGGGCCTCGTCGCCTATCTCGTCACGCGACAAACCCGTTCTGTCGAGGAAGACCTCTAGTGCCGGCCGTGCCGGCGCGGCGTCCGGTGGTGTGCCGGCCGGTGGCAGCAGGAAGTCGGCAGTTAGGCCGAGCTTCCTCAACAAGTCTGTCCCATCTCCGCTCGTGTCCAACGTGCCTTCTTTGAGCCCTTGTACCTCCACCGTGAGCGTCTCGTGCCTTTTTACCCATAGAGTGGCCATGCGCTCGAGGTGTGCGATGTAGTGGCCGGGTTGCTCCGCCCTCCGCCGTCGCAGGTCTTCCACTTGTTGATGCAGCCACGCACCGGAATTTCCTGTCGCATCGACGTCCGGGTCCGTGCGTTCCGCCGCGCCGACCAAGAGCGTCTCCAGCGCGGTCCGCGGAGGCGTGGCGACGGTCTGGTCCCTCGCTCTGTAGAGGTCCCGTTTTTCGACCTCCAACGCATCGATCTTGCCAAACATCCGCTTGGCGGCGAACTCGAGCGTCACGATGCGTGCCGCTTGCTTCCCCACTTTGTTCTTTCGAATAGTTTCCTCATGTCGCGCCGACAATCTCTCAGTTGTAGCGAGACGTGTCGCAATCGAGTCGTCGACATCGCCTCGTCGCTGGCGCTCGGGCCGCTCGCACGAGCCGTGCGCGCTCTTCTGCTCGGCCATGCAGATGTGGCCGGCCTTGGGGAGGCCGCAGCGCCTGCAGCGGTACACCCGCGCGCGCTTCTTCTTCTCGACGGGGGCCGCGGCGGCGGCGGCCGGCTTCTTGGAGGCGGGCTTCTCGTAGTCCCACTCGCCCTTCTCGTAGTCCCAGGTCGCGCCGTGTGGCGCGCCGCCGCTCGGCCGCGGGATGGCGCCCTCGATGCCAGACACCTTCTCCGCGCGGCTCTTGGCGCGCTCGACGGGGTCCGTCTCGTGCGACGCGGGCTTCTTGGCGGCGGGCTTCTGCGCCACCGCGTTCTTGGCCTTGAGTTTCGCCCACTTTTGCTCGACGGCGTGACCCGTCCGGCCCGTCCCCAGGCTCTCGGCGATGGTCTTCCACGTCTCTCCTCCCGGCTCGCCGACGAGCGTTCGCAGGCGCGCCTCCTCGTCGGACGTCCAGCGCGGCAGCCGCTTCGGCGCGGGCGCGGCGTCTTCATCACTGAGATCGTCGGCGAGGCGCCGCGTGCGCGACGGCTCAGCGGGCGCCGGCCGCGCGGGAGCCGCCGTCGCGTCGAAGGGCGTCAATAGTCCTTTGGCGGCTTCGTTGTCGCCCATCGCGACGGCGTGACGACCTGCCGCGTTTTGGAGCGCTTGCTGCTCGGAGAGTGCGGCGTTCAGTCTCTAGTCAGGCCGCAGCGAGCAACGATGTCACAAAAAAACTGCTGCTCGATGTTACGGAGGCTGCCCCTACGGCTGCGGCCACCGCTTCGGCCGCTTTTGCGTACAGCTAGACGACTTGTTGGTACCTCGGTACTTTACTAGTACCCTTCACCGTAGGTATCTATTATCCGCTCCTTATGCGAATCGGCGCGCGGAAGCCATCCGATAGTAGCCGCTACGACGAGTAACGAGATACTTAGTCACAAGAACACAACGGGAGGCGGCTTCTTCAGCAGCGTCTTGGCCCCGAGCGCGACAGAAGTCGAGGCGCATCGGTCGTCGTTCGACGGACGGGCCTCGACGACCAAGTCCCGTCGCCGGTATTTATCATATTGTTTACAAAAGGGGCGGGGCACACTCCACATTCATAGAGCCCGACGCGACACGCGCGGGCGGACACAGGGAGGAGAGCGGGAGCAGCGACGGGCGCGCGTCCTGGGGGTCGTGTTTGGGTTCGCCGGGCTCAGGCAACCTAATTCCTAATCTGGTAGAGTACGGGCGGCGGCGTTCCAGCTTGGATCACATCTCTAGTACTCTGTTGGATGGCCAGGACCGCCCTATCGATGCGGGGCACCCCATCTCTGAACGCCCTGAAAACCTCCGCCTCCATCGCCTGGAACGCGTCGCGCAGCCGCTGCAGTTGCTCGTCTCGAGCTGTGATACGGGCCGCCACGATCGCCACGAACATGCCTCCGTTCGGGTGGTCCCGCTCTAGTTCCGTGCGGCTCTGGTACACGGTCAGGAACCACAACATGATCGCCTGGCACACATTCATGTAGCCGTCCTCCGCGTCGTAGCGCGCGCACACCATCGCAAAAATGCGTCTTTTGGTGGCGGGCGCCGCCCGTCTCGCAATGCCCGCGAGGGGCGGCACCGAAGCCGCCCGCACCGCTTGTAGTTTGTCCTTCTTCAAAATCTCCGTGAGGAAATCCTCAGCCTCAACGCCCAGACAGCGCGCCACGGCCCGGACCGCTTCTAGTCGCAAGCCCGTGCTCCTTGAAGTGGCCTTCGCGGCCCACCGTTGTAAGAAGGCCCGTTTCGTCGCGGCCGGCAGCCTCGAGTGCACGGGGAACGACTTGCCGACCGCTCTCAAAGCTCGCAAATCCACGTGGTCCGCGAACTGCCCGACGCCGTCCAACGCACGGTGTCGGCCGACGAGCGGGCTCGGGCCCCCGGCTCCCATCGCTGTTGCTTCGGGGCTGCCTCTTTGGCTGGTGGGGTATTTGCAGCTCGGCACCTCGGCGGGTAGCGCGAGCGAGGGCACTTGTTGGCCGCGGGGAACGTGCCACAGCGTCGTAGCGCGAGAGGTATTCTTCTTGCGCACTGGACTTGGCCAGCAAAAGAGCGTGCAGTCCCCTAAAATGACAAGCTCATACAGCTCGTATAAGTACTGGTACCGGGGCGCGTCGCCCTACCTTTGTCGGACCTGTGATTTAGCGCTAGGAAAAGCTGAATTGATGCGATATAACGGCCGCCAAAACAGTAGATTGTACGCGGTAAAATTGATACAAAACGCGGTAGCAGGATATCCTATGCAGTAAAAGCGGTGACGGCGCTGGATACAGCCAGAGCTAACCTTGTCCGGACCGCGGAGGCAAGAGAAGTCATCGATCGTGGCCCAGACGCACGCACGGCCAGCCAGCTGCGCTTGCACGCACTAAAAAGCACCTTCACACGTGAGCTTCAGCTGCCTGTGTAGGCAAGCGATGCGAAGCGCGCCGGCGGCGGTCGGCCAGGAAACGCACGCCAGCGCGATGGAGCTAGGAGTTCGCCCGCAGCTCTGGGCTCGCGTCGCAGCTTCTCGATTGATGCCCGAGCGCGGCGAAGGCCGGCCAACGCGGCGGCCGCGGCACAGATAGACCGTCAGCGCTAGACGCGGCGCAATCATGAGCGCTGTTGCGACCAGTCGACTAGCGCGAGCGGGTGCCGCGCTCGAACCACTGCGCGTCGTGGTTCTTGCGCGAGTGCTTCGCGCAAGTCCCGCTTTGACGCCCGGTCCTATGTGACAGGTACTGCTATGGATGGCCCATGCCCATAGCTTCGCTCTGCATCACGACTCGTCGACGGAGTTTCCGGCACGACGTGCAGGGCGCTTTGTCGAAGCAGTAGAGGACGCCGCTGCCCTGGCCCGCGCGGTGACTTTCGAGCTGCAAGGGCGTGGCCGCGACGACCGGTCCGAACGCATTGGCTATCACGCGAGAGTCGCGGCGATGGCGTCGCGGTGACGTAGAAATATGATCTCGTGCGGGCTTGACCCCATCGAAGAGCGCTCCTACACTACCACTACGCCATCAATGCGCGTGGCGGACCACTGGACGCGACTCGACGCCCTACGGCGCCGGCGTCCGACCACCACGTGGTGGCGGTCCTCGAAGACGCGCGCGTCGCCGCGTCGTACTCGCGCGTCTCTCGCTCGATGGCGTGCGGTAGCAGTTGCGGGCCGGGCGACGCCTGCGCGGACTGGCCCGGGACGCCGTGTTCGTGCGTGGTGGGCGTGCCCGGCGCACCTGGCGATGGTGTGCAACCTAGATTTTGCTGAAAGTCGGGCACTATCGGGTACTCTAAGCACTAGAAGAGTAATCATTACACGGGGGACAGGGGTGAGCGGTGACAGAGAGCTCCTACGGCTCCGCGGCCCGAAGCTTGGCGATCTCGGCATCGACTGCCTCTCTCTCGGCGCGGACCGCGGCGATCTCCCGCCGCAGAGCGGCCTCGGCGCGCGCGTCGTCGACGTCCATGGCAGCGGCGCCGTCCTCCTCCTTGTGCTCGTCGTTGCTAGCCGGGTCGCGGTGTTCGGCCTCGCTGCCATACGCTTCTCTCAGCTGAGATTTTGTGGGCTTGCACAATTTATGGAGCGTCTGCTCTGTGGCCAATACCTCTTCGAGGAGCGCGTCGGTGAAGCCCGGGGCGAGCACGTAGGCGAGCGTGGCCTCCGTCCAGTCCGTGGACGCGAACTCGCAGCGGTTGATCCTCGCAGTCCCCAAGGTCGTCGGGCCGTACTGCACCACTAATTTCCAATGCTGACTCCGCCGCTTATCCAAAATTTCGTACTGGTCCGCCTGGTTCATGTGTCTACAAAATGCCAGCAACGAACTATGCGTTCCTGCGAAAGTCACCTTGTCTCGAAGATATAGATACCGCCGCAAGGCGTCGACCGTGCCCGCGAGGATCGCACACTCAAAGCTCAATAGCCTCACCCGGCTTTGCGCAGCTTTATGCTTTATCTTGGCCACGTCCAAAGCGCTCTTGGCTCTTGCTTCCGCGCGCATCGCCGTGAGAGCTTCTGCGTGCGCGCCCACGAGGGCTCTCGCGAGCTCCTGCGTCGGCATGTCGGCTCGGAAATCGCTGCGGCCCCGCACATCCACGATGTCCGCCTGTTGTCCCGTTGCCGTAGATCCCGCGTCGTTCACTTCCTGAACCAACATCCGCGCCTCGCGCCGTAGGCTTTCGTTTTCTCGCGCCGCGTCGTCCGTCTCACACAACAACCTATCCCGCGCCCTCGCGTTGACGCCGGCGGCGCCGCGCTCGGTCTCGGTCTCCATCTGGAGCTGCAGCTCCAGCGCGGATGCCCGCGGCGGCTGCCCGGCAATGTCTTCGGGGGCATTATTTTGCGCGGCCACTATTTCGGCCATGCTATTCGGGTAGCGGAGCGAACGGAGCCGCTTTTGCGTAGAGAGCTAGTCGACTTGTTATGGACTTACTAGTACCCTTATCGTCCGGCATGGAGGCGACGCAGCTCCTCGTGGTGTGAGTGACCTGTCCGGCAATAATAGCAATCAGTGCGCCGCTACTGATCCGCTACTGAGGTAAGTACAAACCAGTGCGGTAGCTCGTACAAGTATACTTGTGATACCGCAGGTACCGCGGTAGGCGTATAAAGTCGTCTGTCTCGCGACGTAGCGACGCGAGCAGGGACCCGGGCGCGAGCCGCACCCCACCAAACAACGCACGATTGATGGCCGACGCGCATGCCGGGCAGCCCCTTGGGGACGCCGCCGCGGGCCAAGCCAATGCAGCAGCACCAACAGCACCAACAGCACCAACAGCTCAAGATGTGGCGGCGCTGAAGGTGGGGCACCAAACAGCCGTTCTGGAAAGTCTCGAGAACCGCGTGGAAGCTCAGGACGCCCGGAGCCAGCGCGATGAACTGCGACATGACAACGCGGTCCTCCGGCGGCAATTGGCGGACAAGCTCGTTGGCCAAATTCAGTCGAGTCGTTTCGCCGCCGATGTGTCTCAGAGCCAAGGCGCCGCCGAGCCGCCCGTCGCGGCCGCGCCGGTCAGCGGCGAGCCTCCTTTGAGCAGCTCGGGCCCCGCGCTACCACCGTTCTGCGAGGACTCAACAGACTCAGACCTCGGCAATTTACTTAGTGGAGTCTTCCACAAATATGTGGCGAAGGACACCGAGCTTGTGCAAGCAGACCGCCACGAAAAGGCATGTGCTAAGGTGCGGTACCAAGATGCTGCCGAATATTTGAAACAGCATGCCATAGCTGTGGTGAAATGCGGCACTACTGATGCAGTCCTAAGGATTTACCGTCTGCAAAATCCCGAGGCTACAGCGATTCCTCAGTGGCTTAGCCTGGATATGGATGCAGGCACCTATCAGGAGCACGTATCTTTGTTTTGGAGGTTGGTGAAATGTCTCGGCCCAAGGGTCCTGGGGAACGAGGTTGACCTCAACGAGTTAGCGTTAGCCGGGTTGATGACGGTCTCCACGCGCAACCGGCCGAGTCAGGAGCACTGTCTATCTGAAAAGACGCTCACATCGATTGTGAGAGCGAAGGGTGCACTCGAAGAAGCCGTCCTGACGACGGGGGACTCCGTGGAGGATCTGATATCTCGCAAGGAAGGGTGTCCGAGGGAGACGGACGACGTCGGCGCCGGCGCGTCGCGGTCTCGAAAGAAGCCGCGCTCTACCAATCCGCCGACCTCTTGCCTTCCAGCCGCCGCGTCGACGGCGGCGACCGGTCGAGACACGGGCAAATTCGACGCGCTTCGACGTGAGCTCGCGGACGAAAAGAGGGCCCTCGCTCTCAGTAAATCGGAACTCGCTAAGCTCAAAGGCGTGAACACGGCGACCGACGATGCGCTCGCCGGTTGAGTTGGCTGGGAGTTGCTGGGTGTAAGAGAGTGTGATTTGTAAATGGTACTAGATGCTGGGCCGCCGTGTGAGGCCGTTGTGGGGAAATGCTCGCATCCTAGAGAGCCTCTCTCTAACCACCGTCCTTTTTTTGTTGTCTTGCGCTTTACGCACGTGCTCCGGTGCCCCACTGGCGCTTGCAGCTTCGACAGGCTGGTCTGAGGGTCGCGCCGCCAACTTTTGTTGGGCGGCCGACGCAAAGGCCGGGGCGAACTGCATAGTGCTCTCCAGCATGACATCACCTTTTTGGGCCATACGTCGCCGCGTGGCGTCGTAGCTGGGAGATTTTCGAATTGAGGCTCGCACAAGGCATGTCGTGGGCAGGGTGAACTGACTCCAGATGTCTGCAGTGTTTTAGCGCGCCGCGGTCGCGTCGAGGCGGCCCGACCGCGCACCTGTTGCATTGCGCTCAAACGCTATCCCTGGAGCCGCACGGCTACTCGGCGTCGACGGACCCATACCAACGGCCGATCCCGGACCTCTTTGGGATCTTCAGACTGCAGAAGCTCATGGACGCCTTCTTTGCGATACCGCTCCGGCGGGCTAAACCGGCACCGGCGCGGACGGCCTCGATGGTCGCCCAGCGGGTCCGCGGTCGAGTCGGTAGCATCCCTGCGGCGTTTCGGCAACCGCTGCGGGTCGCGTGGCGGCCTCGGAGGTTGCTGGAGGCCGTCGGAGGTGTTGCTCAGGCATACAAAGTTCCAATTTACGACCGGACCGCGACGAACCGCCAGGCGTCGGGAGGGCGGCGTAGTAGTTGTGAGTCGTGTAAAGGATAAAATTTAATAGCACCCCTACAAGCCGAGGGATCGCAGGCCTGCGGCGCCACGCCGGGGTACTACTGTATGGAAAAAAGCCACACTATTAGAGGGGCTGTAGGAGATCTACTTGTTGCCGTTGGAGTTCGAGCCCGCGTCGACGATGCCGCGGCCCGTCTGGTAGATCTTGAGGACGTCGCCGCCCTTGGCTTCCACGGCGGACTTGAACTGGGTCTGCATCTCGTGCATGAGGAGGAAGGCGTGGACGAACTTGAACATGACCGCGAAGTCGTCGAAGTTGAAGTGGTTCTTGGCCTCGTCCGGGGGAATGTCCTCTCTTAACGACGCCAGAAAGCCCTGCTGCTCGCGGTACAAACCGCGCGCGTGGTGCTGGGCCTTTGCGGTCTCCGCTCGCGAGGCGTACACGGCCTCGGCCACCTTGTCGTCTTTCAAGCTCTGAATGACGGTGGCGTTCTTATTTTCGCGGGCGATGCGGACGGCCTTCTCCTCGTCCGTCTCGGGCGGGCTCTCCGCCTTGCGCTTGCGGGTCTCGCCTGCGAACTTCACCGCCAACGCGGCGGACTGCTTGGTGTACTCGTCGCGTACTTGTTTGATCGAGTCCGCCTTATTGGCGTCGCTCATGTTGGCGTCCGCCCGGATCGAGGCGATGTTGTCGTCGGTCAGGCGTTTCAACGCATTGATGGCGCCCGGGAAGTCCTCCATGGCGTGGTATTGGAAGTCGACTTGGTTTGCCTGCGCGTATGATGCGTTTTTTGCTGGACTTTTTCTCGCGGCGGGCGGCGGAGTATGTGTGGGGGGCGTACGCGGCGTGTCGCGTGCTGGGGCTGCAGTGGCGGCTCGCGAGGACGCCGCAAATTGCGAGCTAAGGCAGTCGTCTTGCCCAATGAATAGGCTAGTACGTTCGGTCGCCCAGGTGGATCCGGAGCTATTCGGAGAGGCGCGGAAGAGCCCAGATTGCGACTGCAGGCGTAGAAACGTGCCAGGTACGGAGGCACTTTCCCGGCATCTAGTATGTCTCTCTGAGGCTGGGCCCAGCTAAAAAAACTGAACAAGCCAAAAACTCGTTGTCAGCGGTAGTTCGGCGCGCTAAGGAAGCGCACTAATAGCCGAACACGAACGACTGCAAAAGACTGCGACAAAAGGACACAGCACGCGTAAAAAACAAGCTAAACAGAGCACTGCTAAAAAAACAGCAGCGCTACTCACACACGTAAAGAAAGGCTTCGAAAAGAGGACACAATGCCTGGACGCGGCCGACGCCGCCGCTCCCGCACCCCTCCGCGGCGCTACTCCACGGAACCCCTGCGACCACAAACAGCGCCAGCAAGGACGACCACAAACCGCGCCGTCACGGCCATCGCCGAGGCGGACGTGCGCATCCCGCAAGCGCTAGCCCAAACCCAGCACCGCCGCACGAGTAGTGGAGGCTGGTTCCGGAGCTCGCGGAACCGCCCGGTCACCGCGCCGCCCGTCGCCGAGATCGTGCTGCCCACGACGACGCCCGTGGCCTCGGTCGTCACGTCGCACTCCTTCCGACGCGAGCGCGACGGCAGCATGTCGTCCTACCCGGCGGCGACGTGCGTCGGCGGCGACCCCAACCCGGCGCTCGCCGACGCGCGCGCCGCGGCGGCGGCCGCGCCGCCGCCGGCGCCCGCCGCCGCCGCGCCGGCCCCGGCCCCGGCGTCGACGGGGCCGGCGGGCCACGTCTCGGGCGCCGAGGCCGCCCGGCTGGCGGCCGCGAGGGCTCCTCCGGCGAACCGCGGCGTCGCCCTCCCCGGGATGGCCGGCGCCGCAAATGCTCCGCCGCCGCCGCTCTCGCCGGCCACGGTCGACCGCCACGTGGCGTCGCCGCCCGCGCCTGGCGGCGGGGCGGCCGCGGCGTCGCGCGCGGCGTCGGATCTAAGGTTGGACGACGTGATGGCCGATACGTCGGCGCCGCCGCCGCTCGCGCGATCGAACTCGGCGGCGCCGCCGCCGCTCGCGCCGATCGCGCCCGTCGCGGCGCCGCCGCTCGCCGACGGCGCGTCGGGCCGCTGGGCCATGGCCCAGACGGTCACGCCCCCGGACAGGCCTCTGCTGTCGCCCGCGGTCACGCCCGAGACGCCGCCGCTCCTGACGCCGGCCTCCGCCGCGGCCGCCGCGCCGGCGCCGGCGCCGGCGAGGCCCGCCGCGGTCGTCAGCAGCGACGCCGCGAGCGGCGGGCCGGCGCCCGCCGCGGCAGCATCGCCCGGGACCGCCGCACGCGACCGTCCCTGGACGACGTACACCGGCGCCCTGACGCCGGGCGCCGCCTCGGCCCTGGCCGGCGCGTTCACAGATGCGCCGGCGCCGGCGCCCGCGGCCCCGTGGTGGCGCGGCACAGCTCAGACCCCCGAAACAACCAACGGCCCGCTCACGGAGGCGCGCTGCGCGCAGCTAGCCGCGGTCGCGCGCTCGGCCGCGGCGCCGGACGCGCGGACGGGCGCGCTCACACTACTAGGAGACGCCTCAAGCGATTTGGGAAGGGCGCCCGCCGCCTCTGCGTTAGCCCTGGCCCTCCAGGGCGCGCTTTTTGCTGATGATGCGCGCGTGCGCGCCGAGGCGCTGCGGACGGCGGCCAAGTGCGGCCTCGTCGAGGTGGCGCGCAGCGTCCGGGGCGACGACGACGTGAACGTGCGGAGGGAGGCGGCCCGACTGTTGGCGGCGGGCGCCTTCGGCGACGACGACGTCTTCCGGAACGATCATACTGCAAGGCGCACGTTTCAAAAAGTAGCTGCTTTAGCGTCGGCGCTGCGCGACAAGAGCATCGATGAGCCCGGTCTCGTGGGCCAGCTCGAGAAAGCCTTGTTAAAGACGGGCGTGCGGCACGAGCGGCTCCTGGAAGCGCCGCTCGACAGATGTTTAGAAAGGCACCCGTCGGCGGCCGTGCGCGCGGCCGCGGCGACGACCGCAGGCGCGCTGGGCTGCTGCGAATGTTTGAGGAGGCTCTGGCTCGTGCAGCCGGATCAAACCGCGACGCGCCCTGAAATCGTAACAGTGCGCGTGGCGGCCGTCAACGCGTTGGCTCGGAACGGCTCCAGTACGACAATTCGGGAGCTGGCGGCGGCGGACGACCTGGCGGAGGTCCGGAGGGCCGCCTACGAGTGGCTCGCTAGATTAGACGACGCCGAGGGTCTCGCGGAGAGGGGCCTCGGCGACGCCGTCCCTGCACTGCGAGCGGCCGCGGCGTGTCTCCTGGCGGACGTTTTACTGAGACGCGCAGCGAACGACGCGCCGACGTGGCAGTGGCGCGCCGACGCGTTCCCGCGGCCGCCGCCGCCCGCATTTGAACACGCGCCGCGGCGCCTCGACGCCTCCGCCGCGGACGGGTTTGAAAATGCGGCCTCGGCGCTCATCCAAGCGGCGCAACGCGATGCGGAAGAGAACGTACGAGGCGCGGCCCTCGAGAGCCTCGGAAGATTAAGGTGTGTCCCCGGCGTCGCGGTCGGTTTGGAAGATGCGTCCGAGGACGCGAGGCTGCGCGCCGTCGAGCTCCTCGAGGAGCTGGCGGGCGACGAGGCCGCGGCCGCCTTAGAAAGGGCGCTGGACGACCCGTCAACAGAAGTGCGACGGCGCGCCACGGACGCGCTCGGCCGCCTCGAGGACCCGCGGGACGCGTTGTCCAGAGTGGCCGTGCGCGACGCCGATCCTCGTGTGCGGGTGATGACGGCGATTCTGTTAGGAGAGCTGAAACGCCCGCAAGCCCTGGTCGAGACGAGCCTGGCGGACCCGCTCTACGCGAGTGTCCGCGCGGCGGCGGCGTCGAGCATCGGCGGCCTCGCGGCCCAGGCAAAGGAGGGCGACGCCGACGCGGCGGCCGCTCTCGACGGTCTACCGTTGAGGCAGCTCCTCGCTTCTAGATTAGGCGACGCCGACCGTTCGGTACGAGGCGCGGCCGCGAAAGCATTGGACGTGGTGGAAGGAGGCAACTGGGCGACTATCGTGCGGGGCGATGTGAATGATGTGACGCGCATCCACCACGCGCCGGGCGCGCGGGCGACGGCGGTCCTCGTGTCGCTGTTGTGCGACGCGGCCGAGGTCGACGACAGGGTCGCGGCCGCGGTCGCGCTCGGGGGAAGAAACTACGACGGCGCGATCCCGCCGTTGGTCGTGGACGCCTTGTGTGCCTGTTGTGCTGCTAGAGGCTCGTTACCAGCACCTCTCCGGGTGGCTTGCTTAGACGCGCTGGCAGCTTTATCGGTCACGGCGGCTCTAGATGGTTCCGACCAGGTCGACGTGGCCTGCGCCCACGCGCTGGAGGACGCGGAGAGTGTTGAAGTAAGACGCGCGGCGGCTTTATGTGCCGGCGCCGCGAAATGTCTATCCAGAGGCAGATTGGTACATAGGGTCGCGGAGGATCCCGATCCCACAGTAAGAATCGCCTGCGCGCAGTCTCTTAGAGAGTTTGGAAACGATCAGGGCGCCGCCTGGGCGCTCGTCGCCGCTTTAGGAGACGGCGACGCAAGAGTGAGAGAACACGCGGCGGCCAGCTTCGACGGTTTTTGCGGAGACGCGTCGGCGGCTTTTAGATCGGCCGTCGCGCGGGCGGTCTGCGCCCGTTTGTTGGATAGAAGCGACAAGGAGGAGTCGAGCGCCACGACCAAACGGTCGGCGGCCTGCCGCGCGCTCCGTCACCTGCACGATTTTGGGGAGTCTACCTTAGATGCTTTACATGATGCGCTAAAAAACGACAAGAACGTCTTCACGCGGCGCGAGGCGTGCCGGGCCCTTGCTGCTTTGAAACACCCCCGCTCACTACGCGCTTTAGCTGGTGCTTTACGGGATCGGCGCGACGCAGACATGCCCGACCTCGCAAAGGAGGCGATCCTGGGGCTGGACTATGGAAGAGGTGGCTTATTACGATCGAACGAAACGGCGCTGTTCACGGGGCCCGTCCTGAAGCGGCAGGACCGCATGGTCACGCGGACGCGGCTCAAAGCGCTCGTGTTGACGGACCAACCTAGATTATTCTACTGCGACGCCGACGGCGCGAATCCCAAGAGCTGCGACGTCGCGTCGCTGGCCGCCGACGGCGCCGACCTGTCCGTGGTCGTCGAGGGTGGGCAAGGTAGGGTGCGCCTCGCGCCGCTCTTCGGCGACGCGCGCGAGTGGCTCGAGGCGCGCGACGCGTCGGCGCGCTCGCCCGGGGCGGCGCTCGCCGAGGCCTGGTCGGAGGCGCCGGCGTCGGCGCCCGTCGCGGAGTTTGTCAGGGAGGCGTCGGACGAGGAGGTCCCGGTCGCCGTGCCCAGTGCGTTGCCGAGCGCGCCGCCCGCTCCAACCGCTTCGGTGCCCGTGCGGTGATGATGTCCCTTTTTATGTGTAAATTTTTGAACTGGACGTTGTCTTTCTGGATCTCCTCGTCAAAACCCGTTTTCGAGCCTTAATTGATTTTTGCTCGCGCTGCTCACGCGCGCCAGGCAGCTGTACGCGTCGTCATTTGCACAGCGCGCTTTACAGGCGCTAGCAAATTGCCAACACTCGCTGCGGAGCATCGCTGCTCGCTGCGTTAACGCACCTGCGCTGCTCATTTTTGAAACCTCGCCAGAGGCTCTGCGGCGCGCAAAGCGGTTTTCAGCCGCGACAGACTTAGAGCGAGCACCCATCACGCTTGGTCTCGATTGCAGAAAGCGGGTCAAGGCGCATAAAGCACAGCCATGGCCTCGGTAGTAGTAGTAGGCTCCGGCGGCCGCGAGCACGCCATCGTCAAGGCCCTCGCGGCGAGTCCGAAAGTATCAACGGTCTTCGCCGCGCCCGGCAACGGCGGCACGGAGGCTATGGGCGGCAAGGTCCAGAACGTCGACGTCAAACCGAAGGATGTTGCGGGATGGGCGGCCGCGCGAGGCATTAGTCTAGTGGTCGTGGGCCCGGAGCAGCCGCTCGTCGACGGCGTCTGCGACGAGTGTGCTGATAAGGGCATACCGGCCTTCGGCCCCTCGGCTCTCGCGGCGGAGATCGAGGCCAGTAAAGCGTGGTCCAAGGCCTTCATGGACCGCCACGGCCTGAAGACCGCGGCCTTCGAGACGTTTAAGAGGGAGGAGGGCGACAAGGCCCGAGACTACGTGAAGAGCTGCGGCCATTCGGTGGTCGTGAAGGCTTCTGGTTTGGCGGCGGGCAAGGGCGTGTTGGTGCCGCCGCCCAATGATATAGAAGCAGCCCTGAAAGCCGTCGACGAGATGTTCCACCCCACCAATAAAGCCTTCGGCGCGGCCGGCGACGTCGTGGTGATCGAGCAACTGTTGACGGGGCCCGAGATCTCATTATTCGCCTTTTGCGACGGCACGACGGCTCGCTGCATGCTCCCGGCCCAGGATCATAAAAGAGCCCACGATGGAGATAGAGGGCCGAACACGGGCGGCATGGGCGCGTACGCTCCCTCGCCCCAGATCTCGGCGGCGGAACTCAAGGTCGCGGAGCGCATCATGCAAGAAGCGGTCACCGGTCTGAAGAAGGAAGGGAGACCCTTCGTGGGGTGTTTGTATGGTGGGTTTATGTTGACACCAGATGGACCCTACTTGCTAGAGTTCAATGCAAGGTTCGGCGACCCGGAGACGCAGGTCGTCCTACCTTTACTGAAGTCGGACTGTTTTGAAGTGATGAGCGCGTGCGCGGCGGGCACCCTCGATTCGGTGGAAGTCGAGTGGCGCGACGCCTGCGCGTGTACGGTTGTGGTAGCGGCCGGTGGATATCCGAACAAGTACGACAAAGGCCTAGTGATGTCGGGTGTGGACGACGCTGATTCACTACCAGGTGTCACGGTCTACCACGCTGGGACAAAGACGAAGGGCGATCAATTAGTAACGTCGGGCGGTAGAGTGGTGGCCGTGTCGTGCATCGCCCCGGAGCTCAAGGGCGCCGTCCGCGGGGCTTATGCCGGCGCGGCGCGTATTAGATTTGCGGGCGCGTTCCACAGGGGCGATATTGCCAGAAGGTGCTTGGACGCGCCCCTCAAGGTAGGCGTGTTAGGAAGCACGCGCGGTACGTCATTACAAGCCGTGCTCGACGCTTTGTCGGGAGGTACTTTAAGGAACGTGGAGCTGGCGTGCGTCCTCTCGAACAAGAAGGACTCGGGGTTATTAGATAGGTGCCGGTCGTATTGCCCCGTCCATCATATCCCGGCGAAGAAGGGCGAGGATCGAGCGTTGTATGATAGTAAACTCACGGCCAAGCTCCTCGAGCACGGCGTCGAAGTTGTGCTGTGCGTGGGCTGGATGCGTATTTTTTCAAAGGAGTTCTGCCAGGCGTGGCGCGGCCGCTGCATTAATGTGCACCCTTCTCTCCTACCAAAGCACGGCGGGCTGATGGACTTGGACGTTCACGCGTCCGTGCTCAAGGCAGGCGATAGTGAGACGGGCTGCACGGTCCACCTCGTCACGGAGGACGTGGATGGAGGTACCGTACTAGTACAGAAGAGTACGACAGTGGAGAAGGGCGACACTCCAGAAACTTTGAAGGGCAAGGTCCAGGCGCTCGAGGGTCCTTCACTCATCGACGCCGTCGAGGCGTTGAGAGATGGCGACGCCGGGGCGCGCTTCGCGCCGCGGCCCCGCGTCACGGAGGAGGAAGAAGTTGTAGCGAGTGGCAGTGTCCCGCTGACGTACGCGGCCGCCGGAGTCAGTATCGACGCGGGCAACGCCTTGGTCGAGCGCATCAAGCCTCTGGCCAAGGCTACCACGATCCCGGGCTGCGAGGGGAGTCTAGGTGGCTTCGGGAGCGTCTTCGACCTCGAGAAGGCGGGCTTCGGCGGCCCGGACGTGCTGCTCGTAAGTGGCACGGACGGCGTCGGCACGAAGTTGAGACTGGCGCAACGAGCCTCGTTGATCGGCGACACGCGAACGAAAGCAGACATCGCGCGCGGCCTGGGCATCGACCTGGTCGCGATGTGTGCAAATGATATTGCGACCATGGGTGCCCAGCCGCTCTTCTTCCTCGACTACTACGCTACTGGGGCTTTAGATGTCGATGCGTGTGCATCATTAGTAGAAGGTGTAGCGGACGGCTGCGCCAAGTCGGGCTGCGCCTTGAGTGGAGGGGAAACGGCGGAGATGCCCGGCTTGTATGGAGCGGGCGACTTCGACGTCGCGGGTTTTTGCGTCGGGGCGGTTAGGAAGCGCGACTTACTTCCAAGAACGTCATCGATGCAAGCCGGCGACGTGCTGATTGGCGTGGCGTCGAGTGGTGTCCACGCGAACGGGTTTTCTTTGGTAAGGAAGGCCCTCGCGAAGTTTGCTAAACAGCAGAACACGTCCATTTTCGCATTGTTGGACGCGCCCGCTTCCAGTGTCGGTGCGGGTGGTGACGAGTCGCTCGCGTCGGTATTATTGGCGCCGACGCGGTTATACGCGTCGACGATGGGCGCGGTCCGCCAAGTACCAGGGTTGCGGGGCGCGGCCCATATCACCGGAGGCGGGTTAACCGAGAATTTGCCAAGAGTCCTGCCGGACCACCTCATGGCGAAGGTCACGCCGTGGGCGCTGCCGCCCCTGTTCGAGTGGCTGCGGCGGGCGTGCGGCGGCTTGCCCGACGACGAGTTGGTGCGGACGTTCAACGCGGGCATCGGCCTCGTCTTCGTCGTCGCTGCCTCCGACGCGGCCGCGCTGAAGAAGGCGTTATCGGACGCGAACGAGGGCGGCGTCGTCGACCTCGGCGTCCTCGCGGCGCGCGGCGGCGGGCCGGCGTGCGTCGTCGAGGGGAAGCTGCGGTCTTCCGCCTGAGCTATATCCTTGGACTCCCCCGTTTAAGGAACTTATCCGTGACCGTTGCTAGTAGAGTTGCACGCTAGCTTGCAACCGTCGCGAAGGACAGGCCGCATATCAAGGCAAGGCTCGCACTATGGCGCCGCAAAAACCTTGCAGGTAGAGACAAGGCATCTTCGTTCCAGTAGCGGCAACCTCGCTGCACGGCGCTAGTGCACAGAGCAAGCACAGGCACTGCAAGCCTTGCTGTTGCTGTGCCTGCGGAGCGAGCTATCCGCCGTGCTAGACGCCACCGCCGCGCCGCAGCTAGACGCCGCCGCCGCGCGCAGCAATATGGCCGACCTCCGCCGCACGCGGTCGCCGCGCGAGGCCGCGGCGGCGAGTGAGGCCATGGTCGCTGGCTGCGTCGCCGGGAGCATCGGCCAGCTCGTCGGCTTTCCCCTCGACACCTTGAAGGTGCGGACGCAGCTCCAGGCGTCGCCGTCAATGGCGTTGTTCAGCGGCTGGCGCGTGCCGGTCGCGACGGCCGGGGCGATAAACTGCGCGAATTTCGGGGTCTACGACAGCGCGTGGCGCCATTTAGCAAAGGACGTGGACGATGATGTGGATGCGCCGTCTCATGTGGTCTTCGCGGCGGGCGCGTGCGGCGGCTTTGTCATTTCTCCGGTCTCGACGGTCATTTCTCGAGTGAAAGTATTGCAACAGTCGTGCGCCTTTCCTGGTAGGGGGGTCTTCGACGTCTGTCGATCGTTGGTGGAAGGTGGAGGCATGCGTTCACTATGGTGCGGCTTTTCCGCGAACTTTTGCATGGAGTGCTGCCGCGGGTTTTACATGCTGTTTTTTGTGGGAGCGAAGCGCTACCTCGGTGGCGAGAGCAAGGACCTGGCGTTGTGGAAGCGGTCGCTCGCGGGGGCCTTCGCGGGCGTCGCGTCGTGGGTCGTCGTCTATCCCCTTGATGTGGTGAAGACGGCCGTGCAGGCCCAGAACCCGCAGAAGGGCGAGCGGACGTCAACTCGGGAGATGGCGCTGCGCTTATATCGGGACGGCGGCGTCGGGAGGTTTTATAGGGGGCTGGGTTTCACGGTGCTGCGGGCGGGGCCCGTCGCGGGCGTGCTGCTGCCGACGTTCGACCTGACGCTGTACTTCCTGCGGCAGCTGCGGTAAGGTTTATTTGTGTGATTTTTTTCTCTGTCGCGTCGATGGCGTACAGCTAGCGGCGTAGGACTCTAGTCCTTTTGTCTCTGCCTCGTTTGAGGCGTCCTCGATGTGCGCCACGCGGCTTATCGATGCTTGTCGGCTTTGATTATAAAGTGATCTGAACAGTTCGCGACGAATAACGACGATTTACTGCTCGGCTCCAGCTGTGCGGCGAGATTATTGCAGCACCCAGCACCCAGCAGTGTGCAGCGGCGGCATTGCTGGCGCATTGGTGCATTGGCAGCACTACATGAATGCGACGCCGAGGCTACGAGGTGTTTCGCAACGCCGCGTGTGCGAAGGCGTGCGCACGCGTGCGTACGGCAGCGCTGGCAGAGGCGGCGGCGCGGCCCTGGACCGCGCGACTGCGCGAGGCGCTGAGCTCCGAGATCCGCGCCCCTTGGCGCCGAGCACACGTCGCTTTGGACTTGACCGACGACGTCAAAACTGTGCTCGCCGCTGCGACAGTTCGCGCGGCGCCGTCGTTGTTTACGGCAGGCTTAGATGATGAGTCACACCTCGTCGAGCTGTCTTGCATGATCGCGTTTCCCGGCGCGACTGAGCAAGCTGCGCACGCCGACGTGCCTCGGGATACGGAGACGCCTACGTGTACGCTCTGGGTCCTATTGCAGGACGTCGCGCTCGCATCGGGCCCGACGCACGTGTTCCCGGACGACTGCGACGCGCGGGCGCGGACCCTCGAGACGCACGCGGCGAGACCGACGCACTACGCGCCCGACGGCGAGCCTGAGGCGGACATCGCGCCGATTGAGGCGCCCGCCACCGCCGTGGCCCTGACCGGCGCAAGCGGCGACGCCCTAGCGATGGACTGCCGGCTTGTGCACTACGGCGGTGCCAATACCTCTACCGCGCCGCGCGTGCAGCTCTCCGCGACGTTTCGGCGCGGCGAAACGAAGGGAGACGCCTTCACCTACCAGCTCCGCGACTCGCTGCCACCACTGACGCTCGGTAAGATACAAGGATATTAAGCAGGGAATCTACTCCTTCGCCGCGGCCTTGCAGTCGCGGAAGCATTGAGCTTCGAATAAATTGCAGTCCGGGCAGTCCCAGGGGTACGGCTTCGCGCGGATCTTCATGTGGCTGTAGGCGATGTCCTCGTGCTCGTGGGGGTGCATCATGTGGCGGTACTCGACCTGCGTAGGAATCAAATGTCATGATGTCATGTCGTCCCTGCGGCTGCTCGATGGCGTGGGGCCTCCTGGTTGATTTCCGCACGGTACTCACGATGCCGATGTACGTCGACAGCACGCCGCAGAAGGCGATCGCGCCATACGAATACTTGGTCCACTTGGCCATCTCGATGGCCGCTTCGGCGGCGTCGCCGGACATCATCCGCCGGCCCAGCGGCGCGGCGCCTCGCCTCAGCAGGGCAGCGCTTCTAGCGGCAAGGAAGCTCATGTTGGCTCAGATCTGACGCGCGACGCTTTCTGCGGTTCTGAGAGTTAGCGCCGGGGCTCTGTAGAGGCGATGCGTGCGTCAAATGGGCCAGCGGAGCGCGCGCGCCTGCGTTTAGGCCGATTTTTGCGGCCGCAAAAGCGAAATAAACCCGTTTTGTTCGCCGCCAGGGCTGCAAACTCAGTTTCCCTTTTCGGACACGTCTAAGAGCCATCGATGTGGCCTATGCAGCCATAAAAAACGGGAAGGTGGAGACACGAGCTCAACCAAGACAGCCTGGTCTGCGTGCTGTGCGTGCCGTGGTCTACACTGCACTCGGCACATCCTCGAGCATCTGAGGTCTCGCAGCGGTCCATCAACCATGCGCTTGCTTAGCGTAGCTTTGGCGTTGAGCACTGTGGCTGCACTGCAGCCGCCTGCCTCCAGAGCTGCCGCAGCCAAGGCAAATCCCGCGGCCATCGACGTCTACAGCCGGGCAACGGCGACGAGTGCCGCCCGCGACGTCGCCCTCTACGGTCTGTTCGGGCCGAGCGAGGCCGAGAAGCGCGCCGAGCAGGCGCGCCTCGACGCGGAGCAAGAAGCTCTCAATGAGAGGTTCCGCAAGGAGAGCGAGAGCGACTTCGCGTTCATGAGCGTGTTTGGGGTGGTCACGCGCGTGGGCGGTGTCCAATGAGCCAGGTGCCTTCATGAGCGTCGGGCACACACGCCTTCGCCGCGAGTATGAAACGCGATGGGGTCCAGAACACGCCATCGCCGCGACGCAAGCGACGACACACGCAGGTCGCTGCCGATCGTCTACCTCATCTACCTCGCGTTCCAGGTGGACCCCGAGGAGGTCGGCGCCGGCGGGATCTACTGAGCCCCGGTAGCGAGTAACATTGAGAGACTCTTATAAAGAAAGCGGCCGCACCGTGTGCGCGGCGTCACTAGAATCGAGCCGGCGACCGCGACCGCGAGCGCTGGGAGCCGCTCCCGACGGAGGAGTCGTCGGCGGGCTCGACGGTCGCGCTCGACGCGGCGCGCCGCATCGACGGCCGGCGGACGCGCCGCGGCCGGCTGCTTTCAGGAACAGTCGGGTCCGCGATGTCCTCGGAGTGGGACCGCTCCGAGACGACGGCCGTCGGCAGCGTCCCGCTCGCCTTGTCGTTCGGGCTGAGCTCGGACGTCGCGCTGCAGTCCGAGGAACTGTGCGACCGCGGCACGAGGAGCGTGAGGTCGTTCACCGGAGATTGTAAGGACGTGAAGTCCGTCTGCGTGCCCGTCGTCGCCTGCTCGGACCGGAACTTGCAAATGTGGCCCGCTTTTGGGAGGCCGCAGCGCCCGCAGCGGTACGGCCTCCGCGGCTTGTGCGCGCGCTTCTTCTTCTCGACGGGGGCCGCGGCGGCCGTCGCGTCGAAGAGCGTCAATAGTCCTTTGGCGGCTTCGTTGTCGCCCATCGCGGCGGCGGGACGACCTGCGCGGCCGCAAATTTGCACGTTTTTATGGAGCGAGCCGACGAGTCGTGCGAGGAGGACGCGTACCGCGATGATGAACCGGTTTCGCAACGTGTTATTGTCCACACAGCGCTTACCAAAATCTGCCTGTACTTTTTTTAGCAGCTCAAAACTTCATAAATAAGCGGTCGTGCAGCACGCAGCCGTGCACACGATGTCAAACCGGACTCAGTGGTCTTCTGCTGCTCAAGTTACGCTGAACAAGCCTTGCGTGCAGGAGCACTGCCCGAGTTTGTTGGCACTTGGCAGCTGTGCGAAATTTTCACTAGCGGCTCGCTGCTCCAAAGTTTGAAAATACGCGACGCCTTCCTCCGCCTGAGGACCCTTCTCGAGCATAGGCAGCACAGATCCGCGTCTCGCGAAGGGTGGGCTCCCCAGGCGCGCGGCGCGGCGCCGAGCGCCATAGTCCGAGCGCCCGCGAGCCAGCCTGCACTCAGCGAAAAAAACGCAGGGCGGAACGCTCTGGTCACCCCTCCGAGTCCGCCGGTGGCGTATCGGCCGGCGCCCCAGCCATCGAGCAGACCGCGGCACCGCGCGCGATGTAGGGCGGTTTCGTGCCTCGAAGCAGCCCGAAACCACACGCCATCGTACCAGCACGTCCGCGCATCCGGGTTGGCTCGTTGCAATAGTCTTCGAACATGTCCACTAAAAAACAACTCCTCCGACACCATCGCGGAGCTGCGTCGCGCCGAGTCTCCATACGGGGCCCACAGAGCTTGGCAGGTGTTGTGCCTCTGTAAAGAAAACCTCCTGAAACTCAGATAAGGAAATCTCCCACGAGAGTTGCATCGCGCCATCGCTTTGCTGCCGATAGCTAGGAGAGGCCAATCTCCGCCGACAACCTAGCAACGCGAGTCGACGCTGCCAGCGCTCGATTTTTCCCGCTCGGCCCGCTGCCACCGCTAGGGGGACAGCCCGGAACGCCTCCTCCGCGGCCCACGGAGCCTTAGAAGCTCAAAGCTCGCCGCCCGGCCTCCGCGCCCGCCCGCAAAAAGCCAGCAAGAACACTCGACGACCTCAAACCGACCATGGAGAAGTACGAAAAGGTCGAAAAGGTCGGCGAGGGCACGTATGGCGTCGTCTACAAGGTGAGGAATGTAAGGACCGACGCGATCCTCGCGTTAAAAAAGATAAGGTTAGCTGATGAAGAAGAAGGCGTGCCCGCGACGGCCATCCGCGAGATCTCTCTACTGAAAGAACTCAGCCATCCGAACATCGTGGCCTTGCACGACGTCGTCTACGTCAACAGCAAGCTCTTCCTCGCGTTCGAGTTTCTGGACCGTGATTTAAAGCACCACATGGACGCGCGGGGAGGTGTTGGATTAGATGTATCAACAACAGCTTCCTTCGTCTACCAGATTCTCTGCGGCGTCGCGTTCTGCCACGAGCGGCGCGTGTTACATAGGGACCTCAAGCCACAGAACCTCTTACTTGATCGGGTAGGAACGTTGAAATTGGCTGATTTCGGTCTAGCTCGGGCCTTCAGTAGCCCAAGACGGGCCTACACGCACGAGGTCATTACGTTGTGGTACCGCGCGCCGGAGATTTTACTGGGCGCCGAGCACTACTCGACGCCGGTCGACATTTGGAGTATTGGGTGCATCTTCGTGGAGATGGCGTCGTCCAAACCATTGTTTCCCGGGGATTCGGAGATCGACGAGCTGTTTAGAATTTTTCGGGTCCGAGGCACGCCGAACGACCACGTCTGGCCCGGCGTCAGTCGCCTGCCGAACTACAAACCCGAATTTCCCCAGTGGCACGAGCAGCGCCTCGACAAGGCGGCGCCCGCTTTGGCGCCCTCGGAAGAAAACGGCGGCGACGCCGCGATCGACTTGCTCGCGCAGATGCTGACGTACGCGCCGGCGCGGCGGATCACGTGCCGCAAGGCCCTGGACCACGCCTTCTTCCAGCCGCCGCGTTTAGATAGGACGCGCTTCGCGGCGTCGACGGCGGCGCTCGGCTGACTACGCGTGCTTTGTGTTGGGGTTATATTATTCGCTTTCTCTGCTACTTCTCGCGTCGGGGGCGTGCCACGGTGTGTGGGATAGGCTGGGAAGTTACTGGGCGCGCGAGGGGTGGAAGAGGTAGGTCGAGGCCTTCTCGACGTAGTGGCCGGCCTCGGGAGCGTTGTCCGTCGAGAGCTGGGCGAGGAGCCCTTCCCAGAAGCGCCGGGGCCGCGACCGGAGCTTGCGCGCGTCCGTGACCACGAGCCCGTTCGCGTACTCGCCCGACTGGTAGAAGCTGTGCATCGACCCCACATGGGCCTCGAACCACTTCCCGAAGGGGCGTGGCGCCGCGGGGGCCAAGGACCGTCGACCCCGCCGCGTCTGGTAGAAGGAGCACTCGAACGTGGCGTCGACGGTGCCGGACCGCCGCGGGCGACTCGCAAGGGGCGCCGGCGCGTAGTCCGGGCGTAGGCGCTCGCGCAGGCGCTTCCGCCGGTCGTGCTTGTCGAGGTTGGCGGACGTGAACACGTAGGAGCCCTCGAGCTCGTCGTATGCTTGGACGATGTAATACACGAACGCGCCGTAGTCACGCCCCAGGTTCGGTCGCATCAGCGTGGGGAATTCGTGTCGCGCGTCGCCGTGTTCGACAACAACGACAGAGGCGGCCCCATTGCACATGGCGCCGATCTCACGCACGGCGGCAACATCGTTGTAGGACTGTATTATGACTCGCATTTTTTCTTCTATTTGGGTCACCCACTTTTTTGCCGCTTTGGTGGCTTTCCTCGGGTGCCCTTGGGAGACCCGGGCCCTGATGCACTCGCGCCGGCCGCGCAGGGACAAACAGACGGCGGATGACCGCCGTCCGGGTGGAATTGGGTCTCAGTGGGTGTACCTGACCCGGGCAATAAGCCGGGCACTGGTCCCCAGGACGCCGGCGCCGACGACGCACACATCATGAATCACAAAGACCGCTACTTACTCCGTGTAGTCGAGCCGTATCCGCCGCCCGCACAGCTCGGCCCCGTCGAGCTGCTCGAGCGCCGCGTCCGTCTCCTCGCAACTATGGAAGGAGAGGTAGCCGCAGCCCTTGAACTCTCCCGAGTGCTTGTGCGTCACCCAGCGCACGCCGCGGATCGGCGCGACGGGCTCGAAGAGTTTGCGGACGTCCGAATCTGTAGCTTCGTACGCCACGTTGCCGATAAATAATTTGAGCGTCCCATCGGCAGGCCGCGGCGTCTTCTCCCGTACCACGGTCTCCTTCTGGCGCGTCTGCGAGTCGTTGCCGCGCGGCGGCCAGACCTGTGCGCAATTCGATTAGTGAGTCTGGCACTGAATCGAGCGGTGAGAGACCACACCGCCACGCCATGAGCTGACATCGCGTCGATGGCGTGGAGGTCATGATTGAGACGGCATGGCGACAATGGCATCGCGTCGATGGCGTGGAGGTCATGATTGAGATGCGCCGCGACAATTTGATTTGTGCACTGGGCCAGACGTCGCCGGGCCGCGGCGGCGCGAACGCGATCTTCACCGGCCGGCCGCCGACGTCCTGTCCCGACCGCTTCACGGCGGCGCCCGCGGCGGCGGCGTCGCTCGCCTCGACGAAGACCGAGCCATAAAACTTGCCGCTCTCCTTGTCCGTAATTCGCTTGATGGCCTTCAGCTCGCAGCCGCAGGCCTCGGCCAGCTGGTCGTCCGTGATTGACCACGGCAAATTTCCCATGAAGAGCCGCGTGGCTCCCGTCGGATTGTCTGCAGTCTTCGTCTTCGGCGCCGGCGCGGCTGGTGCCGACGGCGCTGCTGTCGGCGCTGCCGCGGGCGCCGCGGCGTCGTCGGCGTCCTTCCGGCGCTTCTTCTTCTTCTCCTTCTTCTTGTCGTTCTCGCCCTTGCGCTTCTTGTCCTTTTTTACGACCTCCTTGACGGCGCCGTCGCCGTCGACGATGCAGAACGCGACGCTCGACTGATTACTCTTCTTCTTGGACTTCTTCTTTTTGCGCTCCTTTTTAGCGGCGTCGGCGTCCATCGCTGCGGCTCGCGGTTGCTGTTGAGTGCTGTGCTGCACTGCAGTGCTAAGAGCTTGCTGCAGGCTTGCGCTTTTCGGCGATGCAGCGGTGAAAGCTGTCGCACTTCTAAGGATACGCAAGAATAACAAGGGTCGCTGCCAGGAAGGGCTCTGCACAGGCGCTCTCGCCCACCAAGCCCAGCCTCCGTAATTCCTAGTGCTCGTGTACGCTAGGTAACTCATCGGCATCGAGAGTTTCCTGCCACCGTCGTGGACGAACGGGCGGTCCAGTTGATCTGGAAAGACGACTCACGACCCCTCGCAGCGACACTTGTCTCTGAGGCGGAATAGCGGTCGCGAAACCGCGAGGTTTCACAGATATAAGTTAAGCAGAGGCAGACGCTAGGCGTCGACGGCGCGGCGCCATCGTCTGAAAGAAACACAAAAAGAAGAGAGCAACATGCGCTTCGCCGGCTGCTGCAACATCAGCTGCAAGCGCATCGACGCCGTCGAGCACAGCGACGACCTCGGCGCGAGCCGCATAGGCATACTTACGTGTCTGCGATCGCGTCGCCGATAAGAAAGACCTGGCGAAGAAGTGGGCCGAGGCGCTGACGACCGGCGCCCAGAAGCAGCAGCCACTTGGTAATCGCTACGACGGCGAGGACGTCTCGACCAAGAATCCGTTCCAGAAGGCTCTCGCCCGCGTTCAATCGCACGCTGGCCGGCCCGCTTCCTAGGAACCCCCCTCCCCCAATTTCCGCCCCCACCCCAGTGCGTAAGGAGCGGTCTTTCGTTCGCAATAGTTCGTTCCCTACATATCGGTGCCCAAGGAAGTCTTTCGGAATAGGGATCCTTACGAAGACGCCTCCTCCTTCTTCGGCGGGGACAGCTCCGCCGCGACCATCTTCCAGACGGGCTTGCCGAGGCCGCGCCGCGCGACGGTCCCGTCCGCGCGCACGGCAATCACAATCCCGTCCTCGGCCGCCGTCTCCGCGCCCTGGCCCGCGGCGACGGCGCACTCCGCCGCGGCGTAGGCCTTCCACTTGGCGGCGTCCACCGGCGGCGCGACGAAACCATACGAATCGCTCCGCCGGCCCATGGCCGCCTCGACGGCGTCCTCGGCCGACGTCCGCACGGGCACGACGAGGACCTCGGCGGCCGCGAGCGTCTTCTGCTCGATCAGCGCGTCCCGCAGGGCGTCGTCGACCACAGATGAAGGACCCGCGACGACCACAACCGCCTGGTTCGCCGCGGTCCGCAGCGTCTCGACGTTCGCGACCCTTTCACCCGCGACCGTGACCTCGAGTTTTTGGAGCGTCGCCAGGTTCGCGGCGATGGCCTCGTCGTCAATCGTTGTAGAAGGGGCGCCGTCGTCCTCCTCCAACCCGCTGTCGGCGGCGCCGTCGACCTTGGCGCCGTACGCGCACGCGGCGACGACGCCGAAATCCACCACCACGTTCTGGATGGTCTGCTCCAGCGGTAAAGCATCAGGTTGTTTGCTGACGGCGGCGGCGAGCTGCGTCAGCGCCGTGAGGCCGCCGACCGTCGCGGAGAGCGCGAACGCGCCGTAGATGAATTTGCGGACCGTGCGCCACGGGCTCTCGGCCTCCTGCAGCAGCTTCGCCTTCAAGTTCGGCGAGATGGATTTCTTGGCGTGCAGGGGGATAGCGTTGAGTTTGGGTGCGACCGGTGCCTGAAACGCGTCACATGCCAGGAGAGCATGCAGCAGGAGAGCTCGTCGCAGCACCATTTTTCGAGCAAGATCTCTACCGCTGCTACTAGTGTCGTTGAATTGCGACTGCGCCTTTGTATTGCAAGCGTGTGCGTGCAGCTTTATGGCTGTGACAAGGCAAGCTCCGGATGCAATCCAAGCTAGCGGGCCTGTAAGGTACTAGTTTTTTAGTAGGCTTCGTGCCCATCACTCCAGTCCTCCTCGAGAGGCTCGCCTGCCGCAGGCATCCTTCGGTCCGAGCGTCTCCACACCTTGATCTCGCAGCGCAGCACACGGAGAGGACAGCAAAAGCGAGAGGAGCGGTCGCTACGACTGGGACATCGCAGCCCCCGCGACGCCTCTGCGACGTAGCGCTGCTGCCTCAAAAGCGTCGGCCTCAGGGAGCCGGGGCAGCCAACCCAGCCCCCACAACCAAGCTCCTCCACCCGGCACGCCGCCGCCGCGACAGTAAGCCATGGAGCGCCGCGAGTGGCGCTTCTCCGACGAGTCCGCGGCGGGGCGCCGCCAGGTCATGTCCCACGAGGAGTGGATGGAACAAAGTTCTGTCACGGCGACGAGTAGGCAGGAGCGGGCGACCCAAAAACGAATAAGGGCACAACGGAGCGCATTGGTAGAGATCACGTCGGCCCATGCGGCGAAGCGCGAAATCGGCATTAAGAGGATACTGAAGAAGCGCCATAAAAGGGAATCTAGGGTTGCGGCGTCGGACACGATCATCAAGCGACCAAAACTGGAGGTCTTTGTGATTTGTTGTAGGCACCTGCCGAAGATGGACATGTTCGGTCGGGCCGACGGGTACGTCGTAGTGACTGTTGGAGATGTAGAACAGAAGACGAAAGTTATTACAAGGAACTACAATCCAGTCTACCAACAAAAGTTCATCTTTGACGTGCCGCCATTGACGGACGAACTGACGATGGAGGTCTTCGACTGGGACATGGTCGGCAGTGACGACTTCATCGGGATGATTAGTGAACCACTACTCTCAGCTCAGACTAAGTCAGAGGAAGTCATCCGGAAGGTCTTGGTGAACGACGAACGAAAGTTCAAGCGCGAGGCCTGCGTCAAGTTTAAGCTGCGGTGGCTCCCGGAAGATTATGATGAGGCGCAAGAGGCGATCCAGCGAGGGTCGCGGAAGTCGCTCGACTCGAACCAGCGATCTTCGAGGGTGTCCTTCGACGATGATGGATTGCCCACGAAGATCCCTCGGTCCCAACGGCCCTGGAAGTGCCAGCGCTGCAAGTTTAGTGAGAATCCTCCCACGGCTCAAGCGTGCGAGGCGTGTGAAAGGAACCGCAAGGAGGCCGAAGTTCCCATCCGGTCGTCCTTCGAGATCCTGGCGAACTTCTTTGGCTTTTATAGGACGAAGTCGCGAGATTCGCGGGGATCCATGTCGTCGCGCTGGTCACGTTCATCAAGGGGCTCGATCGACAGCGTCCACCCCGACAGCGACGAGGAGGACGAGAATGCAGAACCGGAGGAGACGGAGGAGCAACTCAAGGCCAGGTTAAGGAAGGAGGCGAACCTCCGCCAGTACTCCAGGAGTGCGGAAGAAAGAGAAAGGGCCGCGCAGGGCGCCATCAGCGACATGTTCGAGCTCGCCGAGGAGGACGAGAAGACGCGCAAGAAGCGTAGATATAGGGAAGCGAGGATCGCGGCGGGCAAGGACCCGGACAAGCAGGACGCGGATGATTTGCAGAAGGCGATCCAAGAGCGGAAGGAGAAGGCGGCGAAGGGCCTGTCCGCGGTGAAGCAGAAGTTCCGGAAGGCCGTGTTGGGCACGGGCGTCGCGCTCGTGGCCTTCGCGAACGACATGAAGGACGCGATGTGGAAGGAGGACGCGTTCTAACTTATGTGTTTTTGTGTACCTCTGGGTTGTCACACCGTCTCACGATTGTCACACGGGGTCCAGACAGAGGACCACCACACGACGCGCGCCGACGACAGTTAGAGATGACAATAATGAACAAGAATTACGCGTCCGGCCACAGGGTCTTCAGCAGGTCCTCGTGCACGGAGCCCATGGACCCCGCGGACGACGCGGACGCCGGCCGCTCGCCTCCCCACGGCGCATATCGCTTCGGCGCGTCCGGCGTGACGGAGCGGACGCGGCGCGGGTTGCCTATCGGCTTTGCGGTGACCGGCGGCGGCGGCGGCGCCTCGCTCAGGGGCCGCACACGTTTCCCACGCCGTGCGGGCGGCCGGTGCGCCACGAACGCGAACGCGCCATGCGCCTCGAGGAGGCTCACGCCGGAGAAGTGCGGCGGCGTGGACGGCGTCGCGGGGTCGTCGATGGTCCCGGGCCAGTCGAAGTGGACGAGGCGTCCCTGGGCGACCACGGGCTGCGCGACGCCCGGCGGCGGAGTCGTCATGAAGTCGAGGAGGCCGCCCGGGGAACTACGATTCATGGCTGCTCCTGCGCGGGATGCATGTGATGATGGCGGCTGCAGCCTCCGCGCGCGATTTGGCTGCCGCGCGTCCGGGGGATGGGAGGGTCGGGTTGGGAGGGCGCGTTGCGGTACTTGCCGGTGCTGCGCGCCGCGGTGCGGCCTCGTTTGGCAGCTTGCTAATTGCTGCTGTGCCTTCCAGCCCCATCGAGAGCTGATGACGATGTCAACCGGGGGTCCAGACAAAACACCGCGCGACGCGTGCCAGCGCGTTAAATGAGATGTGGGTAGAGGTAAACTGGAGTCTCGGCGCCGCGGGCGACTGCGTCGCTTGCGCGATCGCGGTGCATGTTTACCACTTGGATTGATGATCACCGTCCGTACGGGTCTCACGCAAACATGGATGCCACCCAACTAGTAGCCTGAAACGCCAAGACGACTAGGGGCCAAAAAGCTAGTGCCTTTAAGGATTAAGCTTTTTCACAACCGATTTGCAAATCAAAGTTTCGCGCTGCAAACGCAGCGTAGAGGAAACAGCTTACTCTGCGCTTGCACCCACGTCCTCAGTGCACTGCCGCGACACAATAGACACGAAATCACGCCCCATCAGCACGAAACCATGATGGCGGGAGAGCGCCAAAATTACAAATCAAAATCCAGTACGACGGCGACCGCGCAAGCCGACGCGACGCGCAACACGCGCAACAATGACGGCCAGCTCCGCACAGCCGCTACCTCCGCTGCGACGGCCGCGCCCGTCAACGCGGCGCAAACCAGCGAGCTCTGGGTCCGCGTCGAGAGCCGCAGCCGGCCCGGGCGCTTCTACTGGACGACGACGGACGGCCTGCGGTCGCAGTGGACGCGGCCGGCCGCGCGCAAGATCGTGCCGCCGACCAACGTCGCCGGCAACCTCGGGAAGCTGCCCGGCGACGCGCTCAACCTGATCCTGGCGGACTACTGCGACCCGGCGGCGGCCGCGCGCGCCGCGGCGGCCTCGCGCGGCGGCTACACCGCCGCGGCGGCGCCGAAGGCCTGGCTGGCGCGGCTGGGTCTGACGCCGCCCCCGGGCAAGGACCCGCTCGCGCTCTTCGCCAAGCCCTCGCTGCGCCGCGACGCGCCGCGGATCATGTGCTGCGACGCCAAGGGCCGCGAGCTCTTCGCGGCGCGGCGCCTCGAGGAGCTCGACGCGCAGGAGCGCCCGGACGAGGCCGCCAGGGCCTGCTTCGAGAAGTTGAGAAGAGACGACTGCACGCGCAATTTAGTTGCGGACGGCGCGCTGACGGTCGCTGAGCTCGTCGAGTGCGCCCGCAGATACGCGGACAAGGCGGCGCTCGGCTCGGACCCGAAGTCGCTGTCGCCGCGGTCGGCCGGCCGCCACACGTCCGTCGTGCGCCACGTTCTCTTGGCCGACGACGAGATCGACGCCCTCCTGGCGAAGCGGAGCCCCGCGATGGCGCGCCTGCGCCGCCGCGAGGCCCTCTCGGCGCTCGACGCGCTGGGACCGGCGCCGACGCGGCTCTCGCTACTGACGATCGAGGCGGCGAAGCCCGACGCGCTCGCCTTCGCGGCCTACCACGCGGAGCAGCTGCGCAAGTGCTGCGAGCGCTTCCGCGGCGTCCGCGACCCCCGCGCCTTAGTCCGGGCGACGCTCGACTTGTCGCCGGCGCTCCGCGGCCGCGTCGCCGTCGGCCGCCTGCCGCTCGAGGACGCCTGCCGCTACACGGCGGCGGACCGCGCGCGCGCCGAGCAGGCGCTCCAGCGCAAGCGCACGGCCATGCGCCTCGAGGACTTCTCGCGGAAGCGCTTCCGGCCCGCGGCCGTGGCTTCGCGCCCGGTGCCGGTCTTGGGCGCGTTCTAGATGCTCGCGCTCGCCGGGCGTTTTACACACACACAGAGATTCCCTCGCAGCCGAGTGGTAACTGATGCAAAACTTTAAATACTTACTGAGTAGTCGAGTGAGTAGTCTGGAACTAAATAGTCGCTATTGTCCGGAACCACCGTGACCACCTGTCCGTCGTACAGTCCGTGCACGCCTGCGTCCTTGAGGGGCGTCGCCAGCGAACTTGGGACTGCGTCCGCCGCGATGCCCCGGGTTGACCCTAGACTGCCGCAGACCAGTCCAAAACCATTATCTGGCCCATATTGAAACTCCGCTTCAACATATTTGAAGAGCGCACCGACCGTGTCCGTCTCCACAAATCGGCGCGTAAAAAGTGGCGACTCGCTCTCTACGTCATCCTTGAACTTGAGCATGATGCCGCCGGTCCCGGGTTCCGGCGACAGGACGGCGTCGGCCCAGGGTTTCGGCCGCTTCCAGTTTCCATCTACGTAATCCGAATCGGACCGCCGATAATCCTTGACGAAAAACGCAGTTCGCTGGGCGCTGATAGCATCGCTGCTAAGAAAGCGTCTTAGCCCATCAACGACGTAGTGAGCCTCGTATCTTGCGCGTGCGGGGTCTTCGACCGACTCCGAGTCAGAGTCGTTTTCGTATTCCCTCAGAGCGATATGCAGGCTATTGAACTCGTACGTATGAGGCTGGTGGTCCTCAGTCGTATTAAAGCCGACCTTCAGCTGCAGTATCATCTCGTGAATATCGGCCCGGTCAGATACAGGGGGACGCGAATTCAAGTAGACGTATCGCTCGCCCAGCTCGCCGTCCATCGCGTCCGTGTCGCAGATCGGCACCACGACGCCACTGACGAGAGCGAAGACACGAACTTCGTACCATGGCTCCTGGTTATGGTGGCCAGCCGTATCCAAGTCAAGAGGTACGATTAAAGTGCGCGGGTTGTTTGCCCACGGTCCACAGTCAGCGAGCCGCACGACCTTGCTAGCGAACGCGTTGTAATTGCCAGAATTGTCCCGCTCATAGATCTCACAGAAGACCCACTCCTGCGCGAACGGGAGACGCAGGCTCGCCGGAACCTCATCGCGCGGCCGCCACGCAAATACTTCCCCGTCACCGTGTGTGCTTCGGAACTCAGCGGGCGGCCACGCCCGTTGCCACGGGAGGAATTGCAAGCACAGGCGTCGCGGGTCGCATCCGAAGCTCGCCAGCGACGCAACCGTGGAAGCGGCGAGACTGGACCCAAAGCTGAGCTCCGTGGCAACCCGCGGCGCCCAAAGGCGGTCCGCTGTCGTGAGGGTGCGAAGGCGGCGCGACGTAGCGCCAAGAGACAAAACCTCTTTGATTTGAGACGCCTCCAGGACCTCAAACACCATGTCTTCGGCGAGGCGACCGAGCTCCGTGCCATCGCGCCTCCGTCGCGCAGCCCGTTCCGCTATTTCACGGCGCCGGTCTGCCACCGCTGTCCAGTGCTCCGCCTGATCGCTGTGCCAAGTTCGTGCAGCGCAGTCTTGCTGGCTGGCGGCCTGTTGGCGGTGCCACAGTGCTGTAGCTTCATGAGCAGCAGTCAGCGGGTCTATTGGTTCAGGTGATTCCATTGATCGTTTCACCCAAGAGTGGTGGAGAAAATATTGAAATTAGTTGCAGATTAGTCGCGGTAGCCCTGCACTACTGGTTACAAATCGTGTGCCAAAAAACCGCAGCTAGCGGCTGTAAGACACTAGCAAGCCGTGACCGTGTCGAAAACTCAGGGAATAGGGTATCTTAATCGTGAGAGGGGGGAGACGCCGCGCACTACTACCGCGCCGGCGTGAACGCGTTCTCCTTCGCCGTGGCCGCCGCGCCGTCGAAGCGCACCTTCCGCGCGACGGGCGCCGGCGGCGAGTTTGCCGCGCGCAGGCCGCGCGGCTTCTCCGCCGCGCGCTCGGCGCGCAGCGCCGCCAGCCGGTCCGACACCGACGGTTTTGGTTTTTCCGGCGGCACGTACGTATCTAAGGTAACGGTGAGCTCGGCGGCCTCGTCGTCATGCAACGGAAATCCAGCCGTCCCTCTAGGTGACGCCCGCGGCGACTTGCGCGCCGACGCCCGGAAGGGCGTCCGCCCCAATTCCGCGCGCGCGACGTCGCCCTTGAGCCGCGTCGCCTCGAACTTGGCGTCCTGCAGGTCGGCGCCGGCCTCGGCGGCGGCGCAGCGCGCGTCGTGCGCTTCCCTCGCGGCAACCGCCGCGGCCATGGTCTTCTCCTGGAGCTGCGCCTCCAGTTGCCGTACGCGGCCGGCGTACAACCGCAGCTGGTCCCCATCATCAGATACATCGGCGTCGAGCTGCTTCGAGGCCCGGTCGAGCGCCGCGTTGAGCTTCCGCCGCAGCAGGTCGTACTCCCGCTCCAGATTACGATGCGAGGCCTCGAGCTTCGCGTCCCGCCCCGACCCGCCGGCCGACGCCGGCGACGCGCGCGACTGGCGCAGGAACGTCGCCTCGCGCTCGGCCTTGTTGAGGCGCGCGGCGAGCTGCGTCAACTTCGCGTCCTTCTGGCCGAGGATCTCCTTCCCGTAGGCCACGCGCGACTCGAACTGCGACTTGTCCGCTCGTCTAGCGTCGTGCTCCTTGGCTAATTCGTTCTCGAGCGCCGCGCGCGTCTCGCGCGCCTCTTGCGTCGTGCGCGCGACGGCGTCCTGCACGGCCCGTTTCTCGCGCTCCGCCGCTTCAGATAGCGCCGCGTTCATCGCCCGCTCCGCGGCCTCGGCGTCGGCCCGTCGCGCGTGTCCTAATGTACCCTCCAAAGCCTCCTTCTCCTCCAATAACCGCTGGGCCCGGTCGGCCTCGACGGCCGCCGCGCGAGCTTCCGCCTCGGCCGCCGCCCGCTGCTCGAGCTCCGCGCGCCACCGCGCCTCCGCGCTCCGGAACCGCGCGCGCTCCTCGTCGACGCGCGCGTCGCAGTCGATTTGGAGTTGGCGCTTCTCGCGCTCGGCGTCGGCGGCGCGCCGCGCTTCCGCGCGCTGGAGCTCCGCCTCGTAGCGCCGCAATTCGTCCCGCTTCGCCTTCTCGACGGCGTCGCACGACTCCTTCTTCGCGAGACTCAGCGCCTCCTCGACGCGGGCGTCCCTATCTGATTCGACTTGTGAGACGCGCGCCTCGGCCGCCTGCTCCGCGTCCTTCTTACATGCCTCGAGGAGGCGCTGGCTTTCAGCACTCGCGGCATCGCGCTCGGCCTTGCGCGTCGCCTCGGCTTCTGAGGCCGCCTTATCCAAGGCCGCGCGCGCGTCGCGGTCCTTTCTTAATTCCAAATCGTCCAAGGCCAGTTTGAGTTCCGCGGCGAACCTTTCGGACGCCTCCGCGGCGCGGCGGCGCTCGTCCTCCCTCAACCGGTCCTCGACCTCGGCGACCTTCTGCTGCTGGGTCTCCAGTGAAGCCGCCTCGTGCGCGCGCCGCGCCTCGCGCAGCTCCTGGGCGTGGGCCTCGGCCAGGGCCTGGAGAGCCGCCTCCTTGTCGCTTTTGAGCCGCGCCTCGGCCTTGCGCAGCGACGCGTCTCTTTCCAGCGCCGCCTCCTGCGCGGCCTGGTGGACCGCGGCGTCGCGCTCGGCTTTACACGCGGCGAGGGCGCGCTCGTGGTCGTCCTTCAGGCCCTTGGCGAGCTCCGCCCGTTCGTCGGCCGCGCGCGCCTCGGCCCGCGCCAGCGCCGCGCGCGCCTCGGCCGTCTTCTCGTCCATGGACACGCCGCGCGCCTCCTCGGCCGCGAGAACTTCATCCCGCAGCCGCGCGACCTCGCCCCTCAAACTTTGAGCCTCGGCCTGCGCCCTCTCGTCGCGCTCGGCGACGGCTTGGGCAACAGCAGTCTCCTTCGCCTGCTCGGCCTCGGCGGCATCCCTAGCGCGCTCCGCGTCCCTGGACGCCTTGAGCGACGCCTCCAGCCCCTCCAAAGCACGAGCTTGGGCCTCGTCGCGCCGCCCGTTCGACGCCTCGAGGCGCTCGCACCGCTGCTCCGCCAATTTCAAATCCTCGCGCGCCGCCTCGGCCAATCGCTTCTGCTCACCGACGTCCCGCGTCCGCTGCAGCTCCAATCTAGCCGCCTGGGCCTTGATCGCGCCCGCGTGCGCCTCACTCAAAGCAAAGGCCCGGTCGTCGAAGGCCGCCGCGAGCGCCGCCGCCCGCGCGCGCGCGTCCCAGTCGCTCCTGGCCTCCGTCTCGGCGATCCGCGCCTCGACCTCGCGCTTGCGCTCGCGCTCGGCCTCGCTCGCGTTGCGCTCGGCCTCCGCTCGTAACGTCGCCTCTAGATCGGCGAGCTGGCGCTCGGCGGCCTGGGCCACGTCCCTAGCTGCCGCCGCGCGCGCGTCCTCGACGCGCTTCCTATGAGCGTCCCTTGCGGCTCGGAGCTCCGCGTCGTGCGCGTCGCGCGCGGCTCGGAGCTCGTCTCTGGCTTCCTCGAGGGCAACCTCGAGACCCAACCGGTCGGCGGCCGCCTCGTCGTGACCTAAAGCCAGGCGCTCGCGCAACTCAGCAGACACCTCGGCGGAGCGAGCCCTCGCACAAGCGTCCGCCGCGGCGAGCGCGTCGTCGCGCGTCGCTATTGCTTCCCTCTGGGCCCGGTTCAACGCTTCGGTGGTGGCCCGCCGCGCGGCCTCGACGGCGGCGTCCCGCTCCCGCGCCGCCGCCGAGGCCCAGCGCTTCTCCGCGTCGCGGATCGCCGCCTCGCGTTCTCTTCTAGCATCATCTAAATCCCGCGCGCGCGCCGCCTCGGCGTCCCTTAATGCAAGGTCATGCTGCGCCACCAACTCCCGTTGTAACACCGCCGAGCGCTCCCGTTCACTTTCCACAGCTCTTTCGCCCTGCGCGACGGCCTCGGCTCTCCTAGAATCCGCCTCGGCGCGCGCGGCGTCCAACGCCCGTTGCAGCGCCGCATCATGGTCGCGCTTCGCCGCCTGCGCCGCCGCCGTACTTTCGCGCTCCCGCAGCTCGGCGTGGCGCGCCTCGAGCTCCGCCCTGACTTCGGCCTCCCTCCTGGACGCGTCCTTCGCCAGCTGGCGCTCGCGCTCGGCGGCCTGCTGCTCGACGGCCGCGACAGCGCTCTCCAATTTAGCTTCGGCCTCGGCTCGGACCGACGCGATCTGCGCGCCCGCGTTCGTCGACGACGTCGCGGCGTCGGCCTCGATCGCGTCCAGCCGCGCTCGTAACGCATTCTCCGACCGGGCCCGATCCGACACGCAGCGCGCGACGGCCGCGTCCCTTGCGAGGTCGCCCTGCTCCTGGGCTTTTCGGGCCGCGCGCTCGACCTCCCTCACCTGGTCGGCCTCGAGCTTCTTGGTTTTCTGGAGGGTGTCTTGCTCCTTTTCAGATAAAGCGCGCTGGACGGCACGCTCTTGCGCTTCATTCAATTCACGCTGCACCCGTTCCAAAGTCTGGGCGGCCTCGTCCTTACAGGCCTCGAGGGCCGCGTTGCTGCGGGCCTGCTCATCTTCCACGGCTTTTTTCGCGGCCCCTTTGAACTTCTCGAGTCGCTCGGAAGCTTTCTGGCGCGCATCCGAAGCGTCGGCGTCGCGCCGCGTCCGCAACGCATTCAGCGCCTCCTCGTGGGCGGCGTCGCGGTCCTTCAGCGCACACCGCAGGTCCTCGTCGAACTTGCGGCCCGCGTCCAACGCGGCCTTCGCTTGAGCAGCTTCGCCCCGGCTCTTCTCGGCGGCGATGGCCTGGGCTACGGCCTTGGCTAATTGATCTTGCGCGTCTTTCGCCTGCTCGTCGAGCGCTTGCGCGTGGCGCGTCCGCAACGCATCGACGTCCTCCAAGGACCGTTTGGCGGCGTCGCTCGTCGCCTCTTTGAAAAGAGTGCGGTGCTGCTCGGCGGCCTCCTCGCCGCGCTTCCGTTCGGACGCGAGCTCTTCCTGCGCCGCCGCGAGCTCGCGTCTCACGGTTTCCGAGTCGGCTCGGGCGGCCTCGAGCTCCCTTAAAGCCTTATCTCGCGACGTGTCGCCGTCGGCGGCGAGGGCCTTGAAGCGCGCTTCCTGGGACGAGATGCGCTCCGCGGCCTCGCGTTCCACTTTGGCGGTCGTCTCCGCGACTAATCTTTGCTTCTCCGTCTCAAATTTATTGAGGGTCCGTTGTTCATCGATGGCGTTTCGAGCTCGCTCCGCCGTCTGCGCCGCCAAGGCCGCGTCGGCGCAGAGCCGTTTGGCCAGCGGCGCCGCGGCGCGCTCGCGCTCCGCATGCACCAAAGCCTGCGCCTCGACGGCCTCGACGGCCTCCTGGAGCCGTTGGGACAAATCGTCGCGCTCCTTGGCGAACTTGGCTTTCAGGGAGGCGGCGTGCTTGGAGGCTTCGTCTTTGACAGCAGCGACGGCCTCGGCGCGCTCGGCCTCGCACGTCTCGACCAGGTTCTTCTGCGACGCCTGAGAAGAAGCCTGGGCCTTCTTGAGGGCCTCGGCGGCGGCGGCCTTGAACTTGGCGAGGCGATCTTCACTCCTCTTCTCGGCCTCGCGCAACAACGCGTCGCTCTTTTCGGACGCGGCCGCGGCGTCGCGCGCCGCCGTCGCCTTCAGCGAGGCCGTTTCCGCCCGCGCTTCGGCGAGGGCCTTGACCAGGTCCGAGTGCTTCTGGTCCACGCTCTCGAGCTCGCCCTGCAATCTCCGCGCGTCCGAGTCGCGGCGCTTCCGCAGCTCCTCGACCTCCGAAGCTTGGCGCTCCAGCTCCGACGTGGCGCGCTCCGCGGCGCGCGCGCGCTCCAGTGCTTTTGATAGAGCTTCATCGTGCTCGCTCGTCTTCGCGTCGAGCTTCTCGGCCAGGTTCGAGGCGTGCGCCTCGCGGAGCTCGCGCCGCTCGTCGCGAAACTTCGCCTCGAGGTCCGCGACGGCCCGGGCCTTCTCCTCGCGCAGCGCACCGAGCTCCTTTTGGAGCGTGGCCAGGCGCTCGTCCGTCGACGACGCGCTCTCATTCCTCAAAGCTTCGGCGCGCCGCGCGTCCTCCTGCGCCGCCGCCAGGGCCCGCTTCGCGGCCTGGGCCTCGCGCGCGGCCTCGGAGGCCTTCACCGCGGCCTCCGACGCGCGGTCTTCCGCGGCCGCCTCGCGCTGCGCCGCGGCCCGGGCCTCGGCGCGGGCCGCGTCGGCGTCGGCGGCGCGGCCCTGGGCCTCCTGGCGCGCCTGGCGCGCGGCGCCGCCGGCAGCCTCGGCGAGGTCCCGCAACTTGCGCGCCTCGCCGTCGCGCAGCGCGTCGAGCGCGTCGCGCGCCGCGGCGGCGGCCGCGTCCCTATCCAAAGCGGCCTGCGCCTCGAGGCGGCTCCGCGCGCGCTCGGCGGCGGCGAGGGCCGCGTCGGCGTCGGCGCGCAGGGCCGCGGCCGCGCGCGCGTCGTCCGTCGTACTGTGTAAAGAGCGCTCGAGGGCCGCCTCGCGGGCCTGCGCGTCGTCGGCGCGGCGCGCGGCGGCGGCTACATCGGCCTTGCACTTGGCGATGTCCGTCTTCGCCTTCTGGAGCGAGCGCTCGTAGCTCGCGCACATGCGCTGGGCGTCGTCGCGCTCCGCTTCCAGGGTTGAGACCTGGGCCGGGTCGAGCTTTGATAATTGGTCCTCGGCCTTGGCCAGCGCGTCGCGGAGCCGCTCGACGTCGCCGCGCGCCACGGAGGCGTCGGCTAGGGACGTCCCGTCGTCGTTGACGGAGGCGCCCTCGGCCGCGCGCGCGCGGGCGCCGAGCTCGGCGGCGTCGGCGCGGAGCTTTTCGGCCTCCTGCGACGCCTGCGCCGCCGTCGCCGTCGCCGCGTCGCGCTCCTGGGCCGCGTCCCGCAGCGCCACGGTCGCGTCGGCCAGCTTCTGCTTGCACGCGTCGAGCTCGGCGGCCCGGGCCTCGAGCGCGTCGCGCTCGGCCTCGGCGCGCCGCAGCTTCTGCTCGGCCGCCGTCGCCTGGGCCTCGGCGCGCTTCAGCTCCAGGGACGCGTCCTCCGTGGCCCGCAGCTTCTCGCGCGCGTCTCTTAATCGCCGCTCGGCGGCCGCGCCGGCCTCGGCGCGCGGCCGCAACACGTCGAGCTCGTCGGCCTGCGCCTTCGCGCGCGCTTCCGCGGCGTCCGCTCTAGCTTCGGCGCCGCGCGCGCGCTTCTCGGCGGCCTGGATCTCGCTCTTGGCCTGCTGCGTCGTCTGGCCCTCCTCGGCGTCGCGCCGCTTGCTCTGGTCGAGCGCGCGGACCTCGGCCTGCAGCGCGCGCTCGCGCTCGGCGTCGCGCTCGGCCTCGAGCGTCGTGAGGCGCGCCTCGAGCTCGGCCTGCGCCTCGCGGGCGGCGCGCGCCTCGGCCTTGGCGCGGGCGCAGGCCTCGCGCTCCTCGGCGAGGGCCCTTGCTGCGGCCGCCGCTCGGCCTGTGTGGATGACCCGTGAGTGAGTTCGACGCCTACGCCCTCGACACGACGCCTGCTCGACGGCTCGACCCACCTCCACGCCATCGATGTCCACGTCCGTCCAATAAAGAAGGTCCATGGACGCCGCGCACGCACCGGCGCTCTCGGGCGCGCGCGGCGACCGGGACGCCTGCGCGAAGCTCAGGCGCTTCGCTCCTGGCGAGGCCTTCCGGTTCGCCGCGTCGAGCGGCTTGCGCTGGCCGGACTGGGCCTCGCGCTCCGCGGCCATCTGCGCCTTCATCGCGCCCATGAGCTGCTGCTGCTGCGCCTGCGGCAGGCGCAGGATGCGCTGGATGTAGGCGCCGCGCTTGCTCGACTTGTCGCAGCACGCCGCGCAGTAGAGCAGGATCTCCACGGCGGCCGTCGCTTCCGCGCCCGTCGGGTTCGTCGTGATCGGCCAGCGCTCGTACGCCGCCTCGGAGAACTTGCGAGCGAGTTGTTTCGCCTGGCCCCACTCGCCGCCCGGGGCGCAAGCCTTGGGCGACGCGTGGCCGCCGTCCTCCTCGACGATGGCCCGCGCGGCCTTGCCCACGATCGAGACGGCCGCCGGGCCGCCGTCTCGGAGCTTGTGCGGCGCGCCCTTCTCTACCACGGTGCCGAGCCACGCTTCTAGGGCGGTGGTGCGGTCCGCCATGTTAGTTGTGTTCTTTTTGGTGCGCGCGGCGCGGTTTAGTCGCTGCGCCGCGCGGTTTAGTCGCTGGCGCCGCGCGGTTTAGGCGCTGCGCCGCGTCTCCTCTTTAGAGCAACGGTGCTCGAAACCCCCGCCGCAGATCGCCGCGTCGCGCTCCGTCGGCCCCGCCTGGTAAAAAGCGCAGCGCTGGAGGCCGTCCGCGGTCTACAATAGCCCGTAGCGCCGCAGCTAGGCGACAAAACTGGCATTCGCAACTACCATTTTTTTTTTGCTAGTGTCTTACGGCCGCTAGCGTCTGCGTTGCGTCTTTTGCATGGATTGCTCCCAAACCTTCTGCTTGATCCGTGAACGGCTTCAGAGACCTTTCCAGCGGCCGACAAGCGGCCTTGGCAAAAGCTGGAGCAAGGCTGCTTTGCGTGCCAGTGCCGGCTCACACAAAGAGCGGTGGGAAGTACGCATCCCGTCGCATTCGTCTCTGGTTACATCCGTCCGGCAGCTGCATCACTTTCGCGCGGACGCAACACGGTGCCGCTGCATTCAGACCGGCTGCACTGCTGCAGCACTCGCATCGCTGCTCCGTTACGCGCCGTCGCTGCGCCGTTGCACGCAATCGCTGCGAAACGCCATCGCTGCGCCGTTTGCACGCCATCGCTGCGCGCCAAAGCACGCCATCACTTGGAAACCACACGCATAACTCGCAACAACCATGGGCCTCGGCGATGCGGTCAGCCAGATCCTGGCCAAGGACGTCGCGGCGCCGGATCCCGTGCTCGCGAAGCGCAAGACGGCGCTGATGAAGGAGCTCGAGGTCGACCAGAAACAGGAGCAAAAGAAGAAGAAGCGGCGCAAGGAGGAGGCGGCCGCGAAGCAGCGGCGCGCCGACGCGCAGCGCGAGGCCGACAGCGTCGTGAAGGAGAAGCAGCTCCGCAAGACGGCGACGCGCGCGGTCGTGGCGCTCTTCAACGCCGTCGCGAAGCATCAGCACCCCGACGACTTCCAGGACCGATGACCGGCGCGTCGCGCGGCGTCTCTACGGTCTTACGCGGGAACGGGGACGATCATTTAACACACCGACGCCTCTGACGAACACAACACAAAAAACTGATATAATGAGGCCGAGTTCCGCTCTGATTTTGCCGTTTCCCCCCGGGCGCGCACCTACGCGACGCACAACGGGTCCGCGCGCAGGTCAATCTCTCTCGCGCGCGCGCCTGGCAGTCGTCTGAAAGTAAGTATCGATGTTGTGAGCACTAGGAACACATCATCGCAACTTACTCGTCGCCGCCAGGACCCCGAGCGCGCGCACGCAATGGCGGTCCTTGGGCCGCTCGGCGCGGCACCACGTCGCCGCCGCAGCACCCAAGGACTGGTCCTCGCGGACGACGAGCGGCACCTGGCTGCCCTCGTACTGGACGACGACGACGTCCTCGACGGCGCCCGTGCCCCTGCCGACGTCCTTCACGTGCGCCGTCGCGGCCTCGAGGACCGGCGCCTTCTTCTCCTCGAGGCGCCGCCGCGGCTCCGGCTCGGGCTCGGGCTCGGGCTCGGGCGCGAAGAAGAGGGCCCGCGTCTGCTCGACGGCGGCTTCATAGCCCGCCCGGCAGTGGTCCCAGTTTTGGGCCGAGGTGCAGGGCCGCCCCCGCTGGTCGTAGACGTCGCGCGGCCGCGCGCCGGGGTGCCACTCGGCGCCGTTCGCCGCCGCCACGCAACTGTCGAAGCACTCGTCCGTCACGCCGCGATTGAACGCCGCGAGGCAGGAATTCGACGCCTCCGAGCGCTTCTGCGCCGCGAGCGTGCGCGTGCGCTTCGCGCAGAGAGTCTGCGCGTGGAGCCGCCGATGCACCGTCTTGCAGTCGGCGCGGCACTCCGCGTCCGGGTCCTCCCTTACGACCGCCGCGGCCATGTCGTGGCTCGCACCAGCTGTGAGAGCCGGCAGGAGCAGCCATCTTATGAGTGGCATGGTGTGGCCCCGCGGCTGCCTCTGTGTAGCACTGCCCTCCTTGGGCTGCCTCTCTGTGGTAGCTGCCCTACGTTCCTTGGGCTGCCTCTGCGGTAGCGCTGCCCGCGGCGACGGCGTGGGGCTTGTCCGGCACGAGACGTGGCGCAGCCGCACGCTTTCGTGAGCCCTGGTTTCACGCACAGCGCGGCCCCCAGCGGCTTTGTCTTTTGTGAGGGCGCTCTCCCGGCCGGATCGCTGGCGGGCGTTCGGAGGACGTCTTTTGCCGCGCGAGGCGTCGCTGTGGACGGGTGTTGAGTGGAGTTTTTGCTCCCTAGTATCTCTACCTAATGTCTCACTGTCCAGCGCGGTGTATTTTTGCCCGCTACACACTATTATTTATGAACGGTGCGCGTCCTGTGCATTATTCTTGAGCGGTGCAACCAGCGAGCAGCAGCGTTTGCAGCAATTCGAGCTGTGTGCAAAATAGTACCGCTGTGCCCCTGTGAGAGCTGCTTGGCGGACGCCGCGAGCCGAGCGTACGAAACGGTCGAAGCAGCACGATAAATGGCGCTCCCCGGCGACGACCAGCACCGGCACCTCTGGCAGACGTTCCTGCAGAGCGACGCGGGCCACGCCGGGCTCGAGAAGCAGCACCAGGAAGAAACCGACCTGCACCGCGCGGACTACAAGGCGCGCATCAAGCCGATTCAATTACGGGAGTTGGCCGACGCGCTCGAAGGCTGCTCACGCGACGTGAAGCGCGCCGTGGCCCCCTTGCTAGAATACGAGTGCGTCCACCATATTTTGTATGGGGTGCTCGTGAGCTGCCACGTGAAAAATGTGGACTTCTCCGACCACCTCCAGTCCCACTCCATCCGCAAGCAGCTCGAGCAGCTCGCGGAGGACGTCCGCATCAATGCACAGAATGGCGTCGACGTCGACGGCGAGTACTGGGCGGGCGTCACTCGGAAGCTGAACGCGACGGAGCACGCGACGCGGTTTGTCGACCTGCAGACCTTCTGCGACGCCCTGAATCAAGGAAATGCGACGCTGGCGGTCGCGCGCCAGAAGTGGGACGAGGGTCTGTACGAGGCGGCCTTGGAGCGCTACGAGGGCGGCGCGTCGGCGCTCGAGTTCCTGCGCGTGCGCAACGCCGACGACGCGGCGAAACTTTCAGAATTACAGACGCGCTTCTTCCGCAACGCCGCGGCCTGCGCTTTAAAATTAGACAAGTGGTGCCTCGCGCAGAGGCTCTGCCGGAAGGCGCTGGCGATCGATCCCGACGACGTTCGCGCGCGCTACAAGCTCGGCGTCGCCTACGCGCGGCGGGGCGACGCCGTCCGCGCGGACGCGTGCTTCGCGGCGATCGTCGCGGCGGGCGACGAAGGTGCCGAGGCGGCGGCGCGCGAGCGCGTCAAGCTGAGGGAGCGGGCCGCGCCGACCTTCGAGCACGGGTTCCTGGGCCGCGGCGCCTTCTCGGAGGGCCGCGTATCCGCTGATGACGAGGGTCTCCGGCGGAGGCTGGCCGCGCGGCTCTGCGTCGACGGCGACGGGCCCGTCTTGGACCGCGACGCCGTCGTCGAGCTCCAGCGGCGGACGCTGGAGCTGTATCGGTCGCCGGCGTTCCGCGACGTTCCAAAAGATGATATATGTGCGCTCGACGCATTCCGGGCTGATTTACTAGGGGAATTTGGCTTCGTCGGCGAGCGCGGCGCGCGGGCGGCCGAGCGGGCCGTGGCGCGGTTTCTCGAGGACGAGGAGGTGTTTGCGAATGCGAAGCGGTTGTTCGAGCTTTGTAGTGGTGTGTAATTTGTTTCTTTTTTCTTCACGGGTTTTGCTGCTCGAACAGAGGTGAAGTAGCCTGTCGCGCAATTGCTAGGGCCGGGCATTTTTATTCTGCGGCGTCAAAGCCTCCGCGCTGTGAGATAGATACCGATCCAGTGGCCTAGCTCAGTGACTTAGGCCAGTCTGCACTCAGAGAGCATGGAGATGTTGCCGCCGGCTACGAGCGTCGTCGTGGGCGCGACCATAGAAAAAAGATTCCCCGGCTACGGCGTTCACCGCGGCACCGTCGCCGAGATCGACGGCGGCAAGGTCCTCGTTCACTGGGCCGCGACGGACGAGCGCAAGAATCGACGGTGGCACGCGGGCTACAGGGACGCGGACGGCAAGACGCGCTTCATTGGCCTCTTCGACACCCAGGAGGCGGCCGCGCGCGCCTACAACGCGGCAATCCGTCGCGCAGGCCTCGAAGGGAAGCGGCGCACGAACCCGGTCGTCGACGGGCAGCTGGTGCCCCGCGCGTACAAGGCGCGTGGTCACGGGGTCGACGCGTTGCGCGGGCGCAAGCGCCGCCGCGAAGAGCCCGCGGCCACGCCGTCGGCGCGCGCCCGCCGCCCGCGCCGGGACTAGGCTCGTACGTAAGATGACACACCAAAGCTAGATTACTCCCCGAGGAACTTCGCCATCGGGTCGTCCTTCGCCACCTTCGTCCGCCGGTAGGCCTCCATCTCCTCGGCCGTCACGTCCGTCGTCGCCAGCGAGTTGTACTTGCGCTTGCCGTCGCCCGCCTCTTTCGCGGGCTTTTGCCGGGCCATCGCTTCCCGGACCTTGGCCTCGTCGAGCTGCTGCGACGCGTCGGCCTCGCCGTAGAGCGACGCGCGCGACGGCGGCGCCGCCGTCGTCCCCGATTTGGAATTAGCGAGCATGGGCCGCTCGACGGGTTGCGTCATGCGCGCGACGGCCGCGTCGTTAGCGCGCCGTCCGGCCTCGCCCGTCGCATACGAATGGCGCGTCGTAGAATGGTCGTCGGCATACCCCCACCGGAACGTGGCCGCGCAAAAGTACGAGCCCCAGACGCAATCATGCCCTGACTCGTGCACGTCCTCGGCATAGCGCGATTGTCGCGCGGCGACGGGCGCGCCCTTGATCACGCGACCGTCGGCGCCGTACTCCACGTATCGCTCCGACGTGGCGCGCGCGCCCCTTAAGGCTCGTTCGTCAGGATCGTCCGCCGCCGCGGCCGAGCCGTACCTCTCCGCGATCTCGCGCTGCTTTTGTTGATCTGCCTCTTTCCTCTTCTTCTCGAAGTCCCTCCTAGCTAATTCGGTACGAGAAGGGTCGGCCTGCGTATGTACCACATCACCTCCTGCCTTCGTGCCTCGCCGCTCCGCGTCCCACGCAAAGCACGACGTCTTGGCCAATTCCAGAGCGTCGCCCGTAGCTCTTGCAAAATTGTCGCCCGCATAGATGAGATCCTTCGGGTCGCCCAGATGCGGCGTCGGATTCTCGCGCATCGCCCGACTCTTCGGGTCGTAAAAAGCTGATTCGGGGTCCAGGTTCCTCAGATACTTCGCCGTATCTTCTCTGATACGTAAATTCCTGACGGTCGTCTTCATCTGCGCGCCACCGACGCCGCCCTGCCTCGCAAATCGTTTCTGAAAGTCCGTGGCGCCGGCGTCGTTCTGCCTGTAACCATCGTCCTCCTGGTCTTCCGCGTCGCTGTCACTATCGTCGTCGGACTGGGGCTTGTTCTGGGAACGGGCAGCTCGAGCCGCGTCCTGCTCCTCGTACTTTTTGACCTGGTCCTGATGATAGCCGTCGCCATCATACCCGTGCCACCTATCGCGTTTCGCATCATACGCTACTTTTCCCAGTTTTTCTAATCCAGCTCGTGCCCCCATCGCACTCTTCGGTAACTTGCAGTGGGCTCGCGGCGTCCTTCGGCCAATTTGGCCGTTCTCGAATTCGACATCAAGCGTCCCATCGAGCCGCACCGCCTTCACCTTGCAAGGTAAGTGCGGGGCTTTCCCTCGTCGTAGAGCTTCGATCCAGGTGCCGACAGGTACCACAGGTGGACCATCACCACTGGTCTGGGCCTTCCAGGCACTTCGTCGTCTCGCCACGTCGGCTTCGGCCTCGGCCAGGGAGACTTCTCCTACGGGCGTGCTCCCGACACCCTGATGACTGAGCGTGGGACCGGCGTCGTCGCCGAGGTACCAGGGCTTCTTCGTCAAAAATTCGGGATTATGAGGATTGATCATTTCGCCGCCGCGCTCCTTGTCGAGCGCCGGGGCCGCGGTGCCGGCCTGGCGCGCCTCCATGAGTTCCCGTTCCTTCTGGCGCTCCCGTGCGGTTTGGGGGGGCTTGGAGGCCATGGTCGCTTTGCGCTGCGCGCTTGCGGTCTCTGGGAGAGAGGCTGCTGCTGCACTGGTCTCTGGGCGCTCGGCGGCGGCGTAAAGCTGGCTTGCTTTCACAGCGTCGTTGAATGACAGCACGTGACGAGTCTTATGAGCCACCAGGGGGCGCGCGCCGTCTGTGTGGCGCCTGCGCTTTGCCAGCCTTGCTAGCGTCCTGTAAGACACTAGCAACGAACACTAGCCTGAGCCTGAGCCTGAGCCTGACGCCGTACTTACGCCGTCGACGCGCCGAAGACGCACATCCAGGGCCATTTACTCGGATACCTACCTCTTCAGCCGCAGCGGCACGTCGAAGACCAGCAAAGGCGGGCCACGCGACGCGTCGACGTGCGGGCCCGCGCTCGCCGCCCAGGCCTTGTGCTCCGGCGAGTGGAGGTAGTTTTTGAGAGCGTCCGCGTCGCGCGCGAGCACCGTCAGGCACCAGTTGAAGCCCTCGCTCTTGTCCGGCCAGCTGACGAGGTCGAGGAACTTTTGGCCCAGGAAGGGTTCGAGCGACGCAGAAATACCGTCCAACCCATTAAACTTCTCCACGTGTAATTGGAGCTCGCCGGCATTCACAGTATCCTTCAGTCGAAACAACACGGGGTGGAGCTGCTGATGTATGGATGGATCGAGGGGCACCTTCAGCCGCGAATCAAACACCACGATGCCCTTAATGTGCGGTTTGACCGCGGCCATCCAATCTTTCAAATGGGCGTCCGAGTGGAGGTAGGTTTTGAGAGCTTCGGGGTCCTCGGCGACGACGAACAGACAGTGCGTGTAGCCGTCGGTCTTGTCGGGCCAGTTTAGGGTTGTGAGGGCGTCGGCCTTGCTTTGCGTGGCAGTGCCGTGTGCCGTGAATTGGACATTGATGCCCTCCAACGCGTTGAATTGCTCGACGACCGCTTGGAGCGGCGCGTCGTCCTTTAACTCAGGGAACTTAAACAATACCGTATGCTGGATGGCCATGCTGGCGGGGTTGATCTGGCCCGTTTCGTCTCTGTACGCTGCTCGGATCGACGCGGCGATCTGCTGGGACCACTCCTGCCACCCTGACATGAGGGGGCAGCCCTACACGCGGGCAATATCCTCCGGAGAGCCGAAATCGAGAGAGCTGGCTAGAGTGTTACAGGACGCTAGCCCCGCGTTTTTCCGGACGGAAAAAGAGGCCGCCTCGCTGCCGCAGAGAGCTAATTTGTCATCGAGCAAGCTCCACGTATCTAGCATCGATGCTCCGGCACGCCGCCTTGCGCCTGCGGCCGGTCGCGCGCCGCACCCAGCTCCTGCCTCCTGGAGCCAGTGCTGCGCGGCAAGGAGCCCTGCGGCGCATCGCGACCGCAAGACCGAGACCACTCACGCTGCCGCAAAGCCGCGCGCCGAAACTGCTGCCGCTCGCGTGCCGTGCCGCCGCCGCGCGGCCGCTCTCGTCAACGCCGCCGCCGCTCGAGGAGGAGGAGAAGGCCCCGGCCTCGGCGAGCGAGCGGGCGCAGGCGTTCGTGGCCAACCTTACCGTCGCGGACGCGGCGCGCTACGGCACGTACGCGGCCGGCGGTCTCGGGGTGTACATGGTTAGCAAAGGCGTGCTGGGCACGATCAACACGCTGCTGCACCTGCCGCCCACGACCGTCGCGAAGTACGGGTTTTACTCCGGGTTTCTGGTGGCGTCGGCGACGGCCGTCGCCATCCGCCAGGCCTGGCTCGCGATCCACATCCGGCCCGAGTTTGTGTATCGCGAAGCCCTCGCGATGATTCGAAGAAGCCAGGCCGTCGTCGACCACCTGGGCACGCCGTACCCGTCGGCGGTGCCGCTGCGCACCTACAATTTGGACGGGGGCAACTTCTTCCCCGGCGGGGCCCTGGGAGTGCAGTGGAAGCCGCCGCGCGTTGTCATGATGTTCGCGGTGGAGGGCGCCAAGGAGGAGGGCATTGTGTACCTCGAGTGCCTCAAGAACTTAAATGGAAGGCTCCACTTCACGTTCGTGGGCGTGGACGTCTGCGATATTAACGAAACGCGGCTCATCGTGCACGGCTCGGACGAGCGCATGACGGAGAAGGCGGACCACCTCCAGAAGCTCATCGACTTCAAGAAGGACAATTCGCCGCCCAAAGAGTAATTTTAGGATCTTATTCAGCCGGAGAACGCGGACTAGTCGCTGGCGCCGCTCTCGAGGCGCCGGACGGCTCGTTCGTTGTGCGCCGCCTGGCTCGCCGCGTGTGGAAATCAACCAGTGCGTCGGGTGCACCCGACAATTCTTCAACAAGTCATTTCTCGGTGATGACGCGGCCGTGCTGGCTCGGTCGAGCGGCGAGGAACCGGCATCGCCACGCCATCGAGCAGGCGTCGCGTCGATGGCGTGCAGGTCGACGCGACGATTCAGCACGAACGCGCCGTAAAATTTTGATTTCCACACAGGACACAACACGGCCGAGCACGACAAGTGCGCGGGCCCCTGGTACTGCGCCAAGAGCGCGTCCTCGCAAGAGTACAACAAGGATCTCTTCTCGGTCAAGCGAGCCCTATCCTACCGGCGGGCCATCGACTCGTACTCCTGCGCGACGCTCGAACAGTGCTTCCCGACGGCGGAACAGGCCAAGGAGGCGAACGTCCAGCCCGCCGATCTACCGTCGGGCTCGGGCGGGAACTCGTACGCGCGGACGGCGCACTTCGGCGGCGTCCGCGTCGAGACGTCGTGCTGCGCCAACGGGCGCCACTACAACCACCTCGTGGACCAGCCGTGCAACGGCGCGGCGGCGCGCGGCGGCGTCGCGGCGCTCATTGTCTCCCTGCTGTTTTTACTATAAGTACCTCCGAGAAACCAGGGTAAACCCGAATTACGTCGCAAAGGCGGCCATTTTTGGTTCAGAGGCGCTGTACGGACGCGCTGCGCCCAGAGCCACGAAAGGCTGCCTCAAAGGCGCCGCAGGCCAACCGCAGTCAAGCCATGGCAGCCCTGACCCACGTGGGGACGCGCACAGAGGCACCAACCCCACCACCACAGGAGCTCGATGATGAATTCAGCAGTGAAAGCGATCTCGAGGAGGGCCAGGATTACGTCCCACCGCCCCCGCTGCCGCCCTGGCCCCGCGGCGCGTCCACGAAGCCGCAGATGCCGCCGCGGCACAAAGCATTAGACAAGCTCAGGCTGGGCCACGCCCTCACGTCCTTTGAGGTCGTGCGAGCCTTGCTCGGCAACGACTTGTTGAGAGCGGTGCCGACGGACATCAAGAGAACGATGGAGTACTCCGGCGCCGAGATAAGGGTGGTGGGTCTGCTCTGGCGCGGCGGCGGCGACGAAGAAGAGGTGGACGACGAAGACGCCCTCAAGCCGGACGAATGGCTGCCGCGCGAGGTCCTGGCTTATCCACCTCTGCTGGAATTACCAAGGGAGCAAATAATGAGGATCAAGCACAAGTTGGATGCGCAGGCGAGGAGCGACGCCATCGAATTGGGGCGGGAGTACCCCGAGCCCGACGAAGATAATGAAGTAATAGAGAAGCTGCGGGCCGCGCGGCCGCCGGAAATTGTCAGAAAGAAGCATCCTGAGTTCGACACGGAGTTCGATCCGGTCAAGGTCGTGCGCCAGGCCGAGAAGGATCGGCTGGAGAAGATATCAAGAGAATATAGGGAGAAGGAGCGGTTCCTGCGACCGTCTCATGTAAAGGAGGACGTCGTCGAGGCGATACAGCGCGTGGCCGCGCCGCGCAAGTCGCACGCCAAACCATTGCGACCGCCGCCGCCGCGGCCTCTGAAGAAGGAGTACCCCTTCCGCATCGGCCCGCCGGCCTTTTCGCGGACTCAGGCCATGCACGAGGACATATCGAAGCGGCCGGCGCCGTCGGGCGACCCCGCGGATGGATGGATCCAGGAGTTGTATGGAGAAGACGAGGAGCGTGTCCTGCGGCTCGCGGCGGGCGCGCCGGCAAATATAAAATTTGAGTGGAAGGACGGCGCGCTGGTTATTGTCGGGTTTGTGGACGAAGAGGCCGAGGCGCGCGCTCACAAAGCGGGCGGCGTCCTGGGGGCGCGATTGGCTTCGGTGAACGGCGTCTCCTTGCAAGGCCACGGCCGCGAGTCTGTGATGAGACGCATGCGGGATCTCGCCTCCGTCGCGCGGCGGCTCGGCTTCGCGGCGGCCGCGCCGTCGCAGTGGCACAAGCCTACTGGCGAAGCCGAGTCTACTGAAGAGTCGCCCGCGGCGGAGGCGTCGCAGTGGCACAAGCCTACTGGCGGGCCCTCGGAGACCGTGCCGGCGGGGCCGTCCGACGAAGAGCACAGGCCGCCGGCCGACGCGATTCCGGCGGGGCTCTTCGCGCGGCCGACCGCGCGGCCGCGGCTCTGCGTCCTCAAATATGTCGACGCCAATGCTAATAAGAGAGACCTGCCCGCCAAGACCAAGGAGCGCACGAGGCGGTCCCACGAGAACGAGTACCGCTGTCTGCGGGATTTAGTACCACTACTTCTCGAGCAGTCGATCTACGCGCCGCGGGTCCTTGCCTGTGTGGAAATCAAAATCGCCGCGTCACCGCTCGACGGAGCCAGCGTGGCCACGTCGTCGCCGAGAAATGACTTCGTGCAACCGACCCACTGGTTGATTTCCACACAGGTCCTGGCCGTGGAGTCCGACGGCGAAGGACGGTACCTCTTCGCGCTCGAGTACCTGTCCAAGCCGAACTTCGTCCAGGAAGCGTGCCTCACGGAGACGCAGGACTACCGCTGCCTCAAGTGGCTGGCACGCTTCCACGCGCTAGGCTATCGCCTGAAGCACGCGGGCTTCGACGGGCTCGGGTTGTGGGCCCTGGGCGGCCACACGTCACTTCGAGTGCGCCCGACGGGCGAAGAAAAAAAGCTCCCGAAGACCTACTCGCAGTGGCGCCTGGCGTTCGGCGCCGACGCGGAGTTCACGCCGCCCGCGGGCGACGTGGGGAAGCGCCTCGCGGCCGTCGCCCAGGACATCGATAACTGGCTGGCCGCGGCGCCGCGCACGTTAATCCACGGCGACCTCAAGGGGGGCAACATCTTCATGCGGAAGCACGATGCCTACGTCATTGACTGGCAGTGGTGCGGCTGGGGCTGCGGCGTCCACGATGTGGTCTATTACTTGGCAACCACCGCAAGTGACGAAACGGCGTCCGACTACGCGCACGCGCTCTGGCTTTACCATCACGCGTTGGTGAACGAGGTGGGTCCGGAGTTGAGGAAGGAGCGGCCCTGGCCCTTTCCAGACACGCATCGGTTGTTCATGCTCGCGCTGTTGGACTATATGCGCTGGGCCTGGTCCTATCGGCTCGTGGACGAAAATCCGTTCCTCTACCGCCAGCGGCAGAAGGGCGAGGCCGATACCAACTGCGGCGCGTACCGGCGGTCCTTCAAGCGGCTCAAGGTGCTTTGTGATTTGGCGGAGGCGTTCCTGCCGGGCGCGGAGAGTGGGGCTTTGGGGAAGTCGCTCATGGACGTGTTATAATGTATGTGTTAACTGAGTAGCCCTGGTCGTCGCCGCGGCTCGTAGTCTGGGTCGTCAGGCCCGGCCAGGCGATTCATCCGGCGCGCCTTGCGCACGAGCTCGAGGCGGAAGCCCTTGTTCGTCAGGCACCGTGGTCGCCGTTCCTTGAGCAGGCGGACGATCTCGATCAAATTATTGATGCCGTCGTCGAGCAATAGCGCGGCGGCGATGGCCGCCGAACGATTCGCGCCGACGTCGCTGTGAATCAGAAATACCGCGCCCCGTGTTCGTCCGGCACACACGTGCGAGCGAATTTTGCCGTACCACTTGTCCGAAAGTATTGGAAACGATGCTCGGTCCTCCGCCTCAATGCCCACATACTGGATGCTTTCCGAGTTGGGTCCGAGCGGACACCACGGCTCGCAGATGTTGACGAGGTCCGTGATGCCTCGCGAGTTCGCGGCTAGGACGTCCATCGCCGCGCTGCGGCCGCCGATCCACAAATCAGTCGTCAGTTGCGCGGCGTCGGAGCTATTCTCGCCCGTTGGCGCCTCGAGAATTGCGGCCAGACGCCTCATCCACCGGTCCTCCACCTCGTCCGCCGGTGTGACGCCCTCGTCGTCGGAGCGGTGTTCATCGATTGCGGGGACGGCGCGTGGTGCGCCGCTAGCCTCGCGTGCTGCTACCGCTAACTGGACCAGGTTGTGGGGCATGGTTTGTGGGCTCGACTGCGTGTCGATTCGAGACGCTTGCCGATAGCTCGACGCGTACGCTGCCCTGCCAGTTGACAGTGGCTTTGTTGACAACACACGAACTGGTGCAAATTTTGGAGTTGGGCTGCCCCGCTGTACTGTAGCGATGCCACGCGGGCTGAATAACGCCACAGGCAGGGAACTGCGCTACAATAACGACGAAACGCCGGCTGCCCGTTTGCTAGTGTCTTACAGCACGCTAGCGGCAGCTCGTGCGCGAGCTAAATCTTGGCCCGCACTGGCCTGCGGCATTCTACGATATTGAGCGCCTCCTTGACGGCACACGTCCATCCTACAGCAGCACCGGACAGGGGTGCAATCCTTAGCATCGTTCAGCCACTGCTCTCACTGCCCTCAACTTGACACCATCGCCGCGACACGCCGCATCAGTGGTTGAACGAATCAATTTCGTGCGCGGCTACCGTGCTAATCCCGGTAGGCGGCGATGACCGCACTCGTCGCGCTGCTGCTAGCGCTCCCGGCCAGAGCCCTCGACCTCGCCATCGTCGGCGCGGGACCAGTGGGCACCAGCGCAGCGCTGCGCGCCGCGGAGCTGGGCAAATCCGTCGCGTTGATCGATGCGCCGGAGTTCTCCGGAGCCTTGTCCGCGGCGGACGGCGAGGACCTGTCGTTCGGCGCGCCGTCGGGCCTGTTCTCCAAGGCCCTGCGCGACACGGCGAAGAAGTTCTCCGTCGAGACGCTGCGGCAGATGGGTTTGGACGATACTTCGATATGGGACCAGATAAAGTTTTCCTGCGCGTCGCTCGCCCGAGCGAACGCGCGCGCGGCCTTCCTGGACGTCGAGAGCGCCGGCGTCGAGTATATAAGGGGAAAGGCCGTCTTAGCGGACGGCGGCCAGACGGTCTGCATCGATAATCAACGGAAGCTCTCGCCGGACAACATTTTGCTGTGCACCGGGTCGCGGCCGTTCCGAATTCCAGGGATCCCCTTCGACGGTAAGCGCATCTTCGAATCAGATAGCATAAACACGCTGACCTACCTCCCCAAGAGCATCGCCATCACCGGTTCCGGCATCGTCGCCATCGAGTTCGCGCAGATCTTCGCGAGTTTAGGGGCTGAGGTCACGCTCATTGTGCGAGATCAGAATCCAGCTCGAGCTTTATCGAAGATCGGGTTGGACAAGGACATCGCCGCCGCAGTCCTGGCCGATCTAAAGGCGAAGCGCATCCGCACGGTAAAGGGCGCGGAGGCCGTGGCATTTGAGGTGCCCGAAAGGCCGCGGCCCGTCGTTGTTAAATTACAAGCCCCCGGCGGCGGCCCCGTCAAGGGTTCCGTTCAAGAGTTGAGAGTGGACGCCTACCTCGCCGCGGTGGGGCGGAAGCCCAATACCGACAACCTGGCGCGACGCGGTGCTGAATCATCGCGTCGACCCCCACGCCATCGACGCGTTCTCATCTCAGTTGATTTCCCACGCAGGGCCTCGAGGAGGCCGGCATCGAACTCGATGAATATGGAGACATCACCGTGGACGGCACGCTGCGCTGCCGCACGGCGCAGCACTCGATTTATGCCGCTGGAGATGTTGTAGGAAGACCATTCTTGGCATCTACGGGCGCCGCACAGGCCGTCGCGGCGGTGGGCGCGATGTTCTCGACGGTGGGCGACTACTGCTCGCTCGACGAGGGGCTGGGCGCGACGGGCGCGCGCTACGACCCGGCGTCGCTGGCATCGAACCCCTTCCAGTTCCCGGTAGGGCTCTGGTCCACGCCGGAGGTCGCCTACTTCGGCCTGTCGAAGAAGCAGGCCGATTCCATAGGGTACGAGGCCGACGAGGGCCTGGCGCTCTACAAGCAGTGTTTACGAGGCGTTGTGTTCGCGCCAGAGGGCCTGCTGAAACTAGTTTTTGAGAAGGGGTCCGGGAGGATCCTGGGCGTGCACATTGTGGGGGCCAGTGCACAAATCAACTTTCGCGGCATGCACCCGACTCACTTGGTTGATTTGCGCACAGGTCGGCGCCGACGCCTGCGAGCTAATCCACTACGGTATGGAACTGGTGCGCGCGGAGCGCACGATCCAGTCCGTGCTGGAAGCGACGTACTCGGCCGTGACCTTCCACGAGCTCTACACGGTGGCGGCGCGCGCGGGCATGGATCCCAAAGGGGGCCGGGCGCGGCGACGGGCAGCGGGCGCTGCCTGGGCCTCGCGGCGGATAGCCCTCAAACAGGGGACGTTCAATTAAGAGATAAATTGTGTCAATTCTATATTTACCCGCGACGCGACCTACGCCAGCTTGGAGACCTCCTTGCGCTTGTACCACGGGATGCCGTCGTGGACGTCGTAGATCTCCTGCGTCATGTGGATGAGGTAGAGCGCGACGTGAATCGGGATCAGGTACGGCCTCGCGGCGCCGACTTGCGGCACGACGTGCAGACCCAGCAAAGCGACGACCTGGCCGAGGATCATGGGGTGCGGCAGCACGTTGTAGGGGAATTTGGTCACGAACTTGTAGTCCGCCTTGACCACGCCCAGCTCGATGCCGAAGTAGGTTCCGTCGACGCCGAGCGCCGCAGTCGCGCACAGGCTGACAAAGTAGCCAGCGATGATCAGAACCAGAGAGTCGGGCCGGAAGCAGGGCACCGGCTCGCACGTCGTCTCCTTCCACAGCGGCGACGCGTATAAAGCGAATAATTGCATGAGAGCAATTGATTTAAATAGCAACACGTCCCGCTTGAACGCGCCGAACGCCACGCCTTTGCGGACGTAGTACGTACAGATATATCTCAGGTAATGGAGGTACTGCGTCCCGTACAGGAAGACGTCGTAGGACGTCACCGACGACAATAAGGCCAACGCCGCGTAGAAGCACACGTTGCCGAAGCCCACGTACTTCTCGACGGCGTTGTAGGCCACGGTGGTACCGTTCACACCTAAGTCGGCCACGAACTTCTCAAATTTCGACTGGGGCGCGATCGTGGCCAGAAAGAGCGCGCGGAACGCCTCGTTGTACTTGGTAGACAACCAATGTAAAGGCTTGCCGCAGCACCACCACAGCCCTCGCGGCGCGACGGCGTAGTGCAGCTTGAGGATCATGCGCCATTTTTGGGTGGGGTCCTGCTTGAGGGCTTCGACGTTGTCCGGGTGCCAGGCGCCGCCGGGCTTCGTCGAGATGAAATGCGACTCGCGGTGGAAGTCGAACCCGAGAATATCACCTTCGACGGCCTGGCAGTCCGCGTGGGCGTTGGGAAAGTGCGTTTCATAGCCCGCGACGTTCGCGTCCATGGCTACGATACACCGGAACACCGACGCAAACGGAAAGAAGCAGTACGGCCCGTCGACGTGCTCCGTGAAGAACACGTCGTCCGAATTCTTGCTGGACTCGTCGCGGCGGCACGGGGCGCTTACGTAGAGCTCGTTCATGCCCCTTACGGGTTCCAGCGCGTAGCCCGCCTTGCTGAACTTGGTCCTAAATAAGTCGTCGACGACCTTGCCCGTCGCTAACCTCTCGAAGGCCTTGAGCGTAGGCTCGTCGAGATCCGACATCCACCAGTGCGACGTCATGTCGTGGTTCGGACCCTTCTGGACGCACCAGGTACGGCACGCTTTCAGGTCTCTCACGTCCTCTGGGGACGTGAATTTGCCCTGTAACAGACGGCTCTTGGCCGGCAGGAAGGGTAGGCCAGGCAGCGAGTCCGAGTCTATCGACAGGTTGCCCCACGCCACCAACAGAGCGGGTAAGAGCGTACAGACAGCTTGGATCGTGGACGACGCCGACTCCACAGTTAACGGGAGCAGGTACACGACGTGCTCGAAGAACATCGAGATCATGTCCGTAGCCTGGACATCTGCAGCGCCCCAGCTGTTGGCTTGGAGCGTCTCTTCTCCATAGATGATATGAGCTAAGTCCTGCAAGCCGTAGCCCAGCACAACGAGTACGACGGACGCCGCCCAGCCCAGGTCGAGCCGCAACGACACTATGGAGACGACGAAGAGCACGCAGGCGCACTTCGCCGCCAGCAGATTCGGCACGTCCGTCGCGAAGAGGGCGACGGCGTAGGCGAGCCAGACGCTCGCGGCCGTGGCGCGCGCAACATTTGCTCTCTGTTTGTCCTTGCTCAGGGAGACGCAGCCTCGGATAATGAGACCGGCGGTGCCGAGGAGACCGAGCAACAGCGTGAACGCGTGCGCGTTACAGTTGCCAGGCAACTGGTGGTACTGCGCGAACTTGGCGTGGACCGCGGCGTAGGAGCCGGGCGCGTGTTCGACCGCGGGTGGTGCGCGTTTGCCGAACATGGCTGCCGCGGCGTGTGGATTGGCTGGCCAGCAGAGGGTTTCCACAGGTAGTTGTGTGGCCGTAACAGACGAGCTCGCAGTGCGAGAGCGATTCAAATGAGAACTGTGGAGGCCTTGAGGCTACAGAAACAGCCTTCACGACTCCTCTGCGCTCGCCTACGCTGAGGATAGCGCTCGACACAGTCGAGCTGGCCGCTAGTACCTTTTTCTATCTAGAGAGTTTACGCTAGAAATTTCCTGCGATGCAGGGCAAGCCCTCGCCGCCCGCCAGGCACCGTAACATGATGATGTAGTAAAACTTCTTACCGGCGGCAGCACGCGGGGAAACTCAGTCGCTCTCCTCAAACGAGTCCCCATCATCGCCCTCGACGACGGACGCCTGGCGCCCGAGCCGCGACGAGTACTGGGGCGACGCGCTCACGGCGTCGAGCGTGTCGATCTCGGGGATGTCGTCGACGGACGCGGAGTCGTGCGAGTCCGCGAGCGTGCGGCGCGTGCGCGCCGGTTGTGCCGGCGACGCCTCCCCCAGCGTCGGGATGTGCACTTCATCGTCGTCGGACGACGGCGCCGGTTGCGGCGCCTCGGCAATATCACCATCGTCGGACTCGGAGTCGTCCCAGGAGTTGTCGCTGTTTGAGGGAGAGTTCTTCGCCGGGCCGTCGATGGGCGCGGGCGCGGGCGCCGGCGAGAAGGGGCTCCGGTAGGGCTTCTTCGGCGCGGTTTGTGGCGGCGACGCCTCCTTGGTGAAGGGCTCGGGCAGCGTCTCGTCGTCGGGCAGCGTGTAGGAGCTTCTACCGGGCAGCGGCGGCGACGGTGCGGGCGCGGGCACGTCGGGGTTGCCGAAGGGGCTCTTGTAGGGCTTGCGAGCCGACAGGGAGGCCTCGGAGTCACTGAAGGGCGACTTGTAGGCCTTGGGTGACGGCGCCTTGGCCTCCTCGACGGGTTCCGGCGGCGGCGACTTCTTCTTCTTCGGCTTGATCTTCTCGACCGGCGACGAGAAGGCCTCGTCCTTGGGCTTCGACAGGACCACTCTTCTGGAACGCCCGAGCGGGTCGTCCGATTTCGTGGACGACGACGCCGTCTCCGAAGGGACACCGCCGCCGCGCGCGAGCACCGTGCGCACGGACCCCGGCGCCTGCTGCCGCTTTGAGGAAGATGACGAGGGCGGCGGCGGCGACGTCGTGGTCTTGTCATCGCCGCCGAAGTGACTCGGTGACGACGCGCGCTGGAAGGAAGCGCGGCCGTGCTCCAATCTAACATCGGAGTGGAGCTCGTCGACGCGCCGCGCGACGGCATCTAACTCCACTAAAACACGATCCGTCCTTTGTAGCGCACCCTTGGCCACGTTCCGGACGCCATCTAGTTCCACCCGTCGATCTCTCTCGAGATCGCGCATTTCCTTCGCGAGCTTCTCGACGGCCAGCGTCTGCGACGCGGCGAGCTCGCCGTGGTGTCTTTGTATTAACTGCCTCAGATCGTTCTGCTCCGTTTCCACCGTCGCGACTCTTCGCTCATATTGTTGTGTGGTGCGGAACTTGTCCTGGAGTTCCTCGACCTGGCGCTTCGACGAGGTCAAGAAGGCCTCGTACTTCTTCTGGATGCCCTCCAACGTTTCTCTTTGTTGGGAAAACCTCCGATCCGAATTCTCGGAGGCCGCTTGCGCCTTCGCGAGGGCATCTTGCGCATCCCGTTCACATCGCGCCACGCGTTGCGGTTGGAGCGACTGCGCGTGGGCTTTCAAAGCCGCGAGCTGCTCGTCCATGGCGGCTAACCGTTGGTTCTGGGACTGATCTTCTTTCCTGAGCAGGTTGTCGGCGTCGGCCAATCTCTCTAAAGTCGCCTCGGCACCGAGGACGCGGTCGCCGCCGTCGCGCCAGGCCTCCAAGCGTTTCACTCTACGATCGTGCACCTCCAGGTCGCCCTGGCGTTCTCTCAGCGACGTCTCGATGGCGCCGCGGACGTGCGTCTCCAGCGACTTGACGCCTTCCTCGAGCGCATCCAAACGAGAAGAAGCAGCACCAGCTCGCCTAACAGCAGGGATGTTCTCGACGTCGGCGATGGCCTGGTTCCTTCTGTCTTGCTCTTTGGCTTCTAGCTGGGAAATGGCCGCGAGCGTGTCCGCGTGCTGGCGTCGCAACGCCGAAACGTCGGCGCGCGCCTCGTCGGCATACACGGAGCACTTCTGGAGCACTTCCGCCCGGTCGCGATCCCGTCGCGTGCGCGCCGCGGCTTCCGCGGCATCGACGAATGATTGAGTTTGCTTAGTTGCGTCCAAAGCTTCCGCGGCCTTGGCCAGGGCCTTCTGGCAGGCGTCCTCCACCTCTCTAGTCCGTTTTCGATCTTCATCTTCCAGGAACTGCTCCCGGTTCTTCACGCGGTCCTGAGTGCGCCGCACCTCGTCCCGCAGATCTCGTAATAAAGTATCGTGCTCTTCCGTACGAGCGATGGCCGCGTCGACCTTCCGCTTCCTTTCCTGAGCCTGGTCGGCGGCTTCACTTCCAAACGCGGCGTCGCCACCCAAGACAGCTAACAAACCACCTCGGCCGCGCGTCCCGGCCGCCTGGAGCTTGGCCAACACCTGGTCCTCGGCGTCCTTGGCGGCGCGCTCGGCGTGTCGCTCGAGCGTCGGCTGGAGCTTCACCGGTAAGGCCTTGGCGAGCTTCTCCTCAAGCCTCGTCTCGGCCTCGGAGACCGCGCCGGCGACGACGCCCTTGATGAGGAGCTCGGACGGTCGCTGAGATGTGAGCGCCTCATCAACGTCACCCGGCGCGATGTTCTCGAAGGAGCCGCCGGACCGCAGGGCCGCGACGTGGCGTCTTACCAAAGATAATTCTCTCTCCAGATGAGCCTGGACCGGCACGACGGCGGCCGACGCCGCGGCGTGCGCCTGGACCTGGGCCCGCGCGACGACGTCCCCTTCCATTCCATCGCCCCCGGCCATCCTCCTGACCGTCTCGAGCAGCTCCGAGTTTTGGCGCCGCAACTCGTCCCGGTCACTTCGCAACTGCGCGACGTCCGCGTCGACGCGCCGCCGCCAGGCCTCCTCCTCGGCCCGCTCCGCATCTCGGCGCGCGAACCAGTCCCGCTTCGACTCGGACTCGTGCCGCAGTGCCTCCAGAGCGAGCTCCAGCGTCTGGCAGGACCGCTGCGTCTCCTGGTACTCCCTCCTTCGGAGTTCCATGTCGCCCTTCAGGTAGTCCGTCGCCGCCTTCGCTTCCCTCGCGTCGTTTCCCACTACTTTGAGCCCTGATCGGAGCATGTCTTCCAGGTCAGCCTTTAAAGCATGCGCGGCTTTGACCGTCGCCCGCCTTTCGAACTGGGCGTCGGCCTCTTCGAGCGGGGACACGGGCGTAGGGCGACGCATCAAGGCTTCGCTGGGCGACGCCCAGCGCTGCGGCCTTCGGGGAGGCGGCACGTTCTCTTCCTGATACGACTCGTAGCCCCGGTTGTAACTATCGAGGATGGCGCGCGGCGCCTTGTGCTGGAGCTGGGCCTCCCAGGCGTCGTGGCTCAGGTACGCCATTGGCCCGCTTCCAACTGAGACTGCCTTGGCAGACTTACTCCCTCAACCAGCCTCCGCGTTGGTCCTGCGGCGCGACGGAGCGCGGTACCGGAAAATTCGCCGCGAGGGGCTGCGGTAGTCGTCGCGAGGGGCTGCGCTTTTGTGCGCTTTTGTGCGCTTTTTGCACCCAACTGTTGGCCTTTGGTTAAAATACTACTATTGCGAGGTTGTGCGCGGGGGGCCCTGGCGCGGGGACGACTCTTCTTTGGGGCTCTGGGGAGGAGTGGTGATGGGCATGCGTGCCGTCCGGAGTAAAAAAAACCGGCGGAAAAAAACGCGCGACGCCGCGGCTCCACAGATCTCCTTCAAAGTTAGATACACCGCGAAATTACACAGAGATAGTGTCGCACCGCACGAACGGATCATCATCGGAGCAGAGCCTAGCCGGACCCCGACGGCAGCAGCCGCCGCAGCGACGAGAAGGCTTTGGACGCGGCGCTCTTCTGGCGCCGCGGTTGCACAGCAGCGGCCGGCACTTGGGCGAGCTCCTCGTGGCCCAGGAGCCCGCCGCGCGGCGCCAATTCGGAAGGAAAGCGCTCGACGAGCCGCCACAAGACGTTCGACATATCCCGATCCGCGCGGTGCTGCGCGACGCGCTCCCACGCATCATCATCTTCAATGCGCGACATGGCCGGGCCGACCGCCGTCTCCGAGGGCTCGAGGAAGCCGGACGAGCCGTCCCTTTCCAGTTTTCCTTCGGGGAGCCCCTGGAGGTAGGGGTGTTGTAAGGCTTCGTCCAATGATAGTCTATCTTCTGGTAGGAACGTAAGCATCTTGTCTAATAAATCAACACAGTCTGATGGAACGCCCCGCAGCACGCGATGCAAGTCCGACGCCTGCCGCGGCTGCAACCTTCGGAGGTAAGCTTTCATGCCCTTGTAGTCGTGCTCCAAACTATCAATTTCCGCGGGCGTCGGCGTGCCCCGCACCCGAAAGATGGCTTGGAGCTGATCATTCTTCTGGTGCCAGCCGCCGCGCCCCCCGGCCGCCGGCGAGAGCGGGAAGCAGCTTCTACCGGGAAACAGCGGCCTTCTGCCTTCCCTATGCTCCACAACTTCTTTACAAGTGCCCAGGAAACACTCCGCAATGACACAAGCACAAGCCCAGACGTCGACCGCGAACCCATACGGCTGCAACAGCACCAACTCCGGGGACCGGTACCACCTCGTAACGACGTGCTCCGTGTAGGTCCGCCGCATCTCCGGCCGCTGGCCGACGGTCGGGGTCTGCGCGCCCGTCGTCTCCTCGTCGGACTCGCCGTCGCCGACGTCGATGTCCTGCGTCGCCACCACAGGACTCGAACCGGCCTGGCCCGTCTCCACGTCCAATTTGTCGAAGTCGCCCGTCAGCGCCTCGACGTCGTCGGCCGCCGGCAGCACGCGTTTTGACTTCGGGGGTGTGGTCTTCTCCGGGTGCGGCATGGGAGACCGTTCGCGCGGCGCGATGCGCGCCAGGCCGAAGTCGCAAACTTTTAATGCTCCGGACCCGTGCAATAATAGATTCGCCGGTTTTATATCTCTATGAATGACGTCCTTCGAGTGGATATGTCTCATCGCGGTAATAAGTTCTCTTGTTAAGCGTCTCGCATCAGGCAGGGTCATATAACACTCCATCTTCGTGAGCTGTCTGAAATCAACTACACAGGCCTCGAACCAGAGGTATAAATCTCGTCTGTGTCTCGATGACCTATCTGATGGCGTCGAGCAGCCATATAAACTCACGACTCCGGGAGCTTCCCGCAACCTTCTCAATACTAACAATTCGCGAACAAACCTCCGGGAGATCTCCCACGACTCCATATCCACATCACGCATGACCTTGATGGCGCAGGGCACCGTGCCTCCCTTGCTATTGGAGGTGCCGACCCAGCTCGCCTCGAACACCTTCGCGTACGCACCAGCCCCGAGGCCGCCCCGCATGACCCAGCCCGGGCCCAAGGCGTCCACCACATGACTCGGGATCTGGCCCGGGTCGCCTCGCGACGTGCCCGCACTGCCCCGCTTCCTCTCGAGGAACGCTAACACTTGATCGACGCCGATGGCCGGTCGCTCTGAAGAGCCATCCGGTAAACCGTCGTCCTTACGTCTGACGGAACTCCGCCTCGGCGAGCCGGAGCCCCCCGCGAAGAAGCGCATCATCGGTGTATGTCCCGGTTTTGTGTGAGCCCTTTCAGCTCGCGCGGGTAACCGGGTACCGCGCCTATGTGCGCTGCTCGCTGCCGACCGCCGGCGCCGCTCGTAATTAATGCTTGGCTTCGCGCGCAGCTTTTCCGGTCGCCGGCGTCAAGCCCGACGCTGGGGTATGGCTTCCTATGGCCTCCCTCGGCAGAGGTCGGCAGCGCGTCGCCGGCGCAGCAGAAGCAGCGCCGCTCGCCTTTTTTTGAGATGTGCAAAGGAGCACTACGCAGCGATGCGCCTGGGATTTTGCGTCTTTTCACGGCGCCCGAGTGTGCAGGCTGCCTGGTATTTTGCGCAGCCTGCCTCGCTCACTCAGAAGTGCTTCCAGTGCTCGGTGATCAGTCTGAGGGGTGCGTTTGTCCGTTCGAGGCTTGAATTTGAGTCCAATCCCATCACATGGCCCGCGCCCGGTGGCCGCCATCCGAGATACATATTCGAGGACGCCCGGGGCGCCTCAGGAGCGGTGGCGGTGGAGCCGTGCCGACGGCCGTCGATGCGGGCCAGCCCTTTGTTGACACTTCGCAGTAAAACCCGCGCGCGCGCAGACAAGGGATCATTGGCTGTGAAGAAGACAAAAGAAAGTTAAACAACACCCCCGCCCCGCCGACGCGAGAAAGAAGGCGCTGGAGGGTCACAGGAACGACAGCTGAAGGAGCGCGTGCGCAGCGTCTGTCTCGACCGCGTTGGCCTCGGACCGGATCCTTTTGACAGTCGAAGGACTCGGCGACCGCGAAGGACTCGGCGACCGCGAAGGACTCGGCGACCGCGTCCGCTTCCTCCGTGCGGAGGGGCGCCAGGGGAGGAAGTCCGGTGCCGGCGCCGGCGCAGAAACGTCCACCGGCTGAGCGCGCGCCGTCGCCGGCGTCGCAGCCGGCGGCGCGGCGGCCGGCGCCGGCGCCGGCGCCGCGGCGAGGTCGGCGGCGCGCTCCTGGAACTTCGCGACTTCCTTGTCCAGCTCGCGTTGTCCCAACCGGTCGTTCTTCCACAGCCCGATGCCCTTGCCCCAATCCGCGAGTGAAGGACCCGCGACCGTCCAGGCGCTCATGATGACCTTCGTCGCCTCAGCCTTCGACCGCCGGAGCGCGCCCGTCATGCAAATCACAAACTTTTTGTCGGTCGCCGCGCGCACGGCGCAGCCCTTACAAAAGCGCACGCGACCGCCTCGGCGCGCCGCGAAGAACGCGTCATAGATGTCGTCGCCGTCCCCAGAGCCGCCGGCGTCGGCGAGGTCGAAGTGCGCCTGAACGCCCAAAAAGCCGTTGCCCGGGCAGGGCGAGCCGGCGGAGGGGCCGTCGCAGTAGTGAGTTCGGCCGCCGGCGAGGCGCACGCACACGAAGGACCCGCGCGTCCGCGCCTCGGCATCGCCGCACTTGGGGCAATGCGTCCGGAGCTGCCGCAGCGTCGCGCGCGTCTGCGCGACGCGCGCGCCGAGCGCCGCGCCCGTCGCGCCCGCGGTGGCCACGACCACGCACGTCGCTCGCGTCGCGCCCGGGCACGCAGCGCCGCCCGTGCCCACGCAGAGGCCCGTGCGCAAGGGGATGCACACGACGCCGCCCGCCAGCGCCGCCGCTCGACGGCCGCACTCCGCGCAGTGCGTCGCGACGAGGCCGTCGCGCTCGCCCCTCGCGAACGCCTGGCGCGCCGCGAGCGCGAACGAGTCGCGGTCCGCCGGCGCGCCGACGTAGGGCACGAGCCCGTAAGCCGGGCTCAACGACCCGCAGCCGCCGTTCTCGAGGCACGGCGCGCCGCCGCCCGGGCCCTCGCAGACGGTGTTGATGACGTCGACGGGGAACCTCGTCGTCCCCTCGCACACCGCGGCGCAGCACGTCGCGCACCACGTCGGGGGCAGGCTTCGCACGGCGTCGGCAGCCGCCCGGACGACTTGCGGGTCCGTCGAACCGCCCGCGTCCGCGTAGGAGAAGTTCGCGTACGCGGCGCAGCCGTCGCGGCACGTGCACGGCCCGGCGCCCGAGCCCTGGCACAGGCCGCCGTGTCTCGACGGCCGCCACGGGACCACTCCGATGTCCGGAAACAGCCGCGCGTCGGGCAGGTCTCCGAGCCCCTCGGCGGAGGTAAAGCGGGCGCCGCACCTCGCGACCTCGGCGACGCGGGCCGAGAGCGCCGCGTACGCGTCCTCGACCGTAACGTTGCGCCCCGTGACCACGATCGTGCGCCGCTCCGGCGCCAGCCGCTTGGTCGTGTCCTGCAGGAGCGGCAGCTGCTCGAACACCGCGCCGTCGACCGACGACGTCGGGAAGTGGAGCCGGTCGAAGACGCCGACCGGCTCGCGGATGACTCGCGAGAGGCCGAAAAGGCCGGGCAAGGAGACGGGGAGCGACGCCCACGCGGCGGCCGTGTCGCCCAGGGCCTCGTTGTCCCCGAAGTACGCGCCGTGAGGAGGAACCACCAAATAGCCCATCGCGAAGGCGCCGCCCAAGCGGCCGCGCGCGCGGTCGGCGTGGCCGTCGCCCTTCAGCCGCAGCATCAAGGCGCATACCGTCTTGCAGCCGGTCGCGCCGGCCGTCACGAGGCGCCCGCATCGCAGCGGCTCCTCGGAGCGCCCAGCTCCAGTCAAGGCGTCGGCCTATGTGCACAGCTCTTTGAACGCGAGTTCATCGCAGCGAGGCCGGCGCATGCAGCGCATCGCGAAATGCTCGAGGCGAGAGCACTGCTTTGTACACGACGCTTCGATGATGTGGTGTGTAAGGCGTGCGTATGCAACTTTTTTGCTTGCTAGTGACTCACCGCTAGAAAATTATGGACGCGGGCGCGCACATGGGCGGTCATCGCCGGGTCGAAGTCCAGAGCCGAGGCCGGCAGGACCAACCTCGGACCGTACGTCTGCACCGCCACGCGGGAGTTTCGCGGGCCCCATCCGCACTCCCAAGCCCCGAGGCGTTTCACGAGGTCGCGGCCCGCCGCGCGGACGATCTCATACGCCTGCGGGATGTGCGCCCCGGCAAAGTCGCGGAAGGCGCCGCCTCTAGCGCTCACCGGGAGGAGCACGCGCGACTCGTCGTCGTCGCCGACGCGCGCCGCGTTGCTGACGACCGCGACGGCCCGGTCCTCGAGTTCACTCAAGATCCGGCCGCCGAGGTCTCGCAGCGTGCACGCGCGGACGACGACGCTCGCGCGGTCTTTTGGGCGCACCGCTGGCAAGCCTCCCTCCTGGTCTAGGCCATTCGGGTGAATCGGGTCGCCGAGACTCACCGATTTCCCCGAGAGGAGCTCCTCGAGCCAGACGTCGATCGCGCGGTCTTTTGGGCGCACCGCTGGCAGGCCTGACTTGAGCCGGCAAAGGGCATTCGGGTCGCCGAGACTCACCGATTGCCCCAAGTGGAGCTCGAGCCAGACCTCTGGCAGTTTTGCCTCGCGTTGCGAGGGGAGGGCGAGGTGTTCTAGAGTAACCTCTTCGCCACCGTGAACGCCCCGCGCCGCCCGTCTACAGATGAAACCAGACATCGATCTTATGACACTTTTTTGCCTCGCTAGTGTCTTACATGCCGCTAGCTAGCGCGATCGGTTGATACCATTTGCCCGTGTGCGGGTTGGGGCGGCGCCTAACGAGGCTGTTCGCGAGCGAAAGGAGATCTCAACGGCGAGGGGAGACGTAGTAGTGGGGCCTGGGAGGGGCCCCGGTCGTCGTCTCAGGGCAGTGGCCACGAACTCGGCGAGGTGGTGTGCTGACGCTCGTGGCCCCGGACTGTGGCTCCGGGAGACTCTCGGGCCGGGCGGGTCGTCGCGAAGTTCGCGACGTGGGGCGTCAGGGCGGGTCGAGCCGGACCGGGGTCAGGCGCGCAAGGTGGCCTGCAGACCGGGTTGCCCGGCACGGCGGGCGCACGTCCGGCACGCGTTGTCCCAGGAGCACTACGCAGCGATGCCGCCGGGATTTTGCCGATTTCGCGGCTGCGCGAGTGTGCTGCCTCGCGGCGCACTTGCTTTGCCTCGCTCACACAGGAGTGTCTCCAGCGCTCGGTGATCGGTCTGAGTGGTGTTACAATGACTACAAAAGCGAATTATTTTCACACAAAACCCGCGCCTGTTTTTGAGGCGCCTGAGCTGATTTGAAAGCTGCGCGCGACAGGCAGCTTGCTGCGGCTAAATAGCACTTCGAGGCAACCGCTGATAACCGTTGCAACCATATATCCACGACTCAAAGCCGCTCGTCGCGAAACCGCCGCAGACGGAGCCACAAGGCGGGAGCCTGCCAGCGCGCGCTGCTAAAAGATGTCCTTCTCCGGCCAGGGCGGCTACTTCCAGGAGAACAGCGACGACGACACGCGCTTCTCCGCAACCCTACAACCGCCGCAGCCGCGCCGCGCGCCGCCGCCGCGGCCGTCGCCCAAGCAACCCGCCACCCGGGAGAGCGGCCTCGCTTTTGGAGCTGTCCGCTTCCCGTCGACGACGAGTGTGCTCTGGGACCGCGCGTGTTCGGCGCCCTTCCGCGCGTCGCTGGCCGACGACGCGCCGGCGGTCGTCGTGACCGCGGACTGCGCACGCACCCTCAACGACTTCGTGGATGAATCAAACGACACGCGGCGCTTCGTGGGCGCCGTGGCGGCCCGATCGAAAGTCGCGCGCGCCGTGGATTCAACAAAATGCCCGCCGGCCGCGACGGCCGCGCGGCGCGCGGTCGTTTTTGGCGACGACGTCGCCGTGCAATCTATCGGCGGGCGGCGTTTGGATGTTGTCGTGTCGACGCAGAACGTGGGACCCGAAGATGATAATGATGACCTCACCCTCGCGGCCACCGTCTCGAAACGAGACACAACTTTGAGGATCGAGCTGGCCTGCGCGGCGCCGGCCACGACCTACGCCTTCTCCCAGCTGCGGATGCCGCTCGCCGTCCTCCCGACGCCGCTGGACGCGGCGCTGCGGCGGTCGAACGGCGCGTCGCTCCCCAGAAGACCGGGCGCGTACGACGCCGCCGTGCGGTGTGGCTACGTGACGCTCGACGAGGCGAGGAGAGCGGTGTTTCTGTTGGACGACGATCCCTTGACGGAAGCAACACCACTGGTCGGCGTCTTCTGCGCGGGATTCGTCTGCGCGGATGCGACGCGCGCGTGCCGCGACGGCGCGGTCGTCGCGGCCTGCGCGGCGTTCCTGCGGCGGTCGGGCACGGCCTTGGTAGCAGCGGAGACGTGCCTCGTGGCCGTCTTCTGCGCGCCGGCGCGGAACCAACCCGCGGCGCCGACGTTTTTTGAGTGTCGGGGCTCCCCGGACGGCGGCCGCGAAATTTTGGATTTCGCCTGCGACTTGGATGTCGACAGTCTGGGCGCATCTGGTGAGGCGCCGCGGGCCGTGGTGGTGGCGGCGCTGAAGCGGCGGCCGGCGCTGGCGCCGCCACCGCCTGCCACGGCTCCTCCCGCCAAAGCGGCGCCGCCGTCGCCCCTGAAGGACGACGACAGCGCGACGACGACGACGATGGACGAGTCGACGGTCGACACGCGCCTGAAGCGGGCGACGGGCCGCATCCGCGAGCTCGAGGCGCGGCTCGCGGCCTACGAGGGCGCCGCGGCCGCGCCCGCGAAGGCCGACACGGGCCGCGTCCGCGAGCTCGAGGCCAAGCTAGCGGCCTACGAGGCCGCGGCGCCGGCGACGGCCGAGCCCGCGGCGCCGGCGCCGGAAAAGGCCGCCGCGCCGGCGCCGGCGCGGGCCGAGGCGCCGGCCCCGCCACGCGCCGAGGCGCCGGAGAAGCCCCTGCCCCCGGCAATACGCCCCAACCGCGCGGCGCAGAGCATTCGGCGGACCGCCGCCGTGCGGGCGCCGCCGGCGTCGCCGGCGCCGGCGCCGGCGCCGCGGCCCGCCGCGTCGCCGGCGTCGCAGCCGCCGCCGCCGCCCGACGTCTTCCCGACGCGCCGGCCGAAGGACGAGCTGCGCGCGTCGGCGGAAGACGTCGCCGACGTCATCAGCGGCGCCTACGACGACGCCGGCACGGACGACGACGAGGACGTGAGCTTCGCGAGCGTCGGCGTCGTGCGCGCGCTGCGCCTGCCCGACGCGTCCGTCGGGAGCGTCGGCCCCGAGACGAGCGGCGGCGCGCTCGAGGCGGCGGCCTACGCCTCCATGCCGCTCACGGAGGTGAACGAGAACTTCCCCAAGGCCGGCGAGGGTGCTGATTTGAACGCCTTCCCGAAGATCCGCGTGCCGCCCAATGAGTGCTTCGTCGACCCGGACTCGGACGACGAGATCGTCGCGCAGTACGTCGAGACTGGAACCGTTGACGCGTGATAATATCCCCCCTGCCCCCCGGCGTAATCTTCGAGCGGGTCCAGATCATCCCGCGTTCGGGCCCACACCTCCCCCTGGTCAGGCCCACCATAGACGAACATTACTCGGAATCCTAGTAAAAGGACGGGGGCAGGACGGGGGCATCTCCAACTGAACTCGCCGACGGCGGCTCAAGATTTCGCACCGTTTTGGCTACGAGGTCGTCACGCCTCGACGACGACCTCGCCCACCGCGCGCTCGAAGCCGCCCTCCGCGAGCAGCGGGACGACGCTGGCGAGGGTCTCCTTTAACGCGGGTCCGTTCGCCTCGAGGGACGCCATACTGTCGTAGACGGCGCAGGAGCGGATCTCGTTCGCGCTCGTCTGGGCGAAGGTCAGGCTCAGCACCCCGGGTAGAGATCTGTACCCGGGGGCGGCGTCCTTCAGCGCTGCCACAACCTCCTCCAATTTGCCCTCCTGGACTGTGAACCGCACAAAGCTCGCGGCTTTGCTCGACATTGTATCTCTGGGAGTTATTGATGGAATACTGCTGGGAAATGGGATTCGGGCTGCGCCGTGCACCACGCAGAGCTTCCTGCAGCTGGTTCCAAGAATTATTGCCGGATCGTGCTAGTGTCTACATGCCGCTAGCTAATTATTTTGCGGCCCATATCGCTGCGACGCGCGCCGAGGAGTGAGCTCAGTCGCACAGCACATCGGCATTGCGCCAACCGCCGTGACCGCAGCCGCACGTCACGTGCGCGCCGGCTGCCCCCCCTACATCTCGGGCTGCCTAAAACAAAAGCAGACCCCAGCCGAGCTAAGCAAAGCACCAAAAACCAGGCGTACACCATGAACGCCCCGGAACGCCACCGCTCCTACCAGCTCGACGAAGGACAGGCGCGCATGACCTACGAGCCCGACCAGCGCGTCGCCTCGGCAGGCACGTTCACGATAAACAAGGAGGATCATACGGTCGGTAATTTATTGAGGATGCAGCTCCTGCGCGATGGCGACACGCGCTTCGCCGGCTACCAGCTGCCCCACCCGCTCGAGCACGTCTGCCACGTCAAGGTCGAGACGGCGCCGGGGCGCGCGCCCGTCGAGGTCATGGGCGGCGCCGTCACGGACCTGCGGCAGGAGGTCGAGCTCCTGGACCGGGGCTTCCGGGACGAGTGCGCGCGGGCCCGCGAGGAGGCCGACGCGCGGCCCATGGAGACGTAAGTACTGGTAGTAGAATTCAAATTATAATGCCGCCAGTGGCGGGGGGAGGGGGTCGCGTGGTCAGGACTTGGCCTCGGAGATGCCGCCCGCGGGCGCGAGGCCGTCGAGGATGGAGTCGTCCGACCCCGCCGCGGCGCGCAGCTCGGCCGAGCCGGGCATCTTGACCGACGTGGGCAGGATCACGTCCCCGTGCTTCGACGAATCGAGCTCAGAATCCGAAGTGCGGCCCCCAAAGTCCGACCGCACGCCGCAGGTCCGCTTCATGACCGCGAAGAGGCCTAGGACCGGGACCGCGACCCAGGCCGCGTCCAGCAGGATGAATACGATGGCCGCGGCGAGCGAATTGCCATTGCCGCCGTAGAACGCGCCCATGCACCGTTGGCCCCGACTCGTCTCGTAAGCTGCGTCGTAGTACCGAGGGGTTGCGAAGAGCGCGGCCGCGATGAGGCCCCACATGCCGCAGGTCGCGTGCACGGAGACGGCGCTGCAGACGTCGTCGATGCGCAGCTTGTATTCCACGAAGTGCGCGGACGCGCCGTAGAGCGGCCCGGCCACGAGGCCCGTGAACATAGCGCCGAGCGCGTTCGACGTCGCGCAGCCCGGCGTGATCGCGACGAGGCCCGCCAGGATTCCGTTGCAGGCGGCCGCGGGGTCGACGCGCCGCTTCGTCGCGTAGAAAAAAACGCCCGTGCTGAGGCACGCTGCAGCACCGCTCAGAGTCGTAGTAAAACAACCTGTGTGGAAATCAAAATTTTACGGCGCGTTCGCATCGTCCTCCGCGCCATTGACGCGACGCCTGCTCGATAGCGTGGCGGTGTCGGTGCCCGACGCACTGGTTGATTTCCACACAGAAAACAACAGTGGGCCGCGATGCCCGCCCGCGAGGCCGACAGGACGCTGCCGCCGTTGAAGGCGAACCAGCCGAGCCAGAGCGTGAGCGTGCCCAGGACCTGCAAAACGACGGACTGTTGCCGCATGGGCACCGGGTCACCCCGCGACGTGTACTTGTTGTCCCGCGGCCCGACGGACCACGCCGCAGCGAGCGCGGCGACACCGCCAGTCAGATGTACGACCCCTCCTCCGGCGAAATCGAGAAGCCCACAGCCGAACGCGAGCCTCTCGTCCCGGTACGCGGACAGCCGCCCACTCTCGTGCCAGGCGACGTGCGCCACGACCGGGTACACGAAGGCCGTCAGCAGGCACGCCAGCAGGAAGTAGGGGATCATGTTGCACCGCTCGGCGATCGCGCCCGAGACGATCGTCGCGGACGTCGCCGCGAAACTCAGCCCGAAGAACCACTCCGCCTGCCCCCCAAAGCCCGGCTTCCCAACCGTCGCGGCGTTGATGTAGCCAAAGCCGGACGTGCCGAAGACGCCGTTGGCGCCCGAATTTCTAAAGCTGTCGTCGCCGTTCGCGATGGCGTGGCCCACGATCCACCAGCTCGCCGCGCCGATGGCGATGTCCATGATGTTTTTAAGCAATATCTCTTTCGTGTGATCCTTCGCGCAGGAGCCGACTTCCAGCATGGCGAAGCCCTGCTGCATCGAGAAAACCCCGACCTGTGCAAAAATCGACCAGTGAATTGTCCGTCTCGAAATTTGATTTATGCACTGACGCCCACGGCCGCGACGAGCAAGAAGAACGCGTCGACAACCGTCTCATCGATGTGGCCCGCATGCTCGTCGAGGCGGCGTCGCGAGCAGGCGTCGGTCAGTTGACCGAGCTGGGCCTCGAGCGCCGCGAGGCGCGCCTCGTGGTCTAGCCCCATGCTCTGTGAGTGGGCGGGGGGGAGCCGGGGTGGGCGTGGGCTGAAACCGAACCGGGGCTGTCGCTCGCTGGCTTACCGAAAGCCCGAGTGCGGCTAGAAGCGAACGCCTGCCGCACGGGGGGCAGCGTACCGGCAGCTCGCTGTGCCGTTCTTCGCTGCGGGTTTGGATTCCGCGGGTATTCCGCCCGGACTAACACCGACCCGTCGGTGCTGAGCGACATCCAGACGCACTCGTAGGAGCGACCCGGTACGGTTCTTCAGTTTTTTTAGGGTCGGGTGGGTGCGAGCGCCGCCGTCGGACGCCGCGAGAAACGCCCGGACGGCCTCTACGGACGGCTCGGACCCATACGCTATCGCCGCGCCGCCGAAGACTCGACCTACAGGATGATACTTACCGCCCGGCGAGCAGCTGCGCCGCGACCCCCCCGAGCGTCGTCGCCGGCGCGACGCGCCGGAGCTCCTCCACGAGGGCTTCGTGGCCCTGGGAAGGGACCCACATCACCTCGATGAGACAACGCAGGAGCGCCTCCGCCTCCGGCGCGCCGCCCTGGAGGAGCGCCGTCGCCGCGCGCGGGAGATGGTCCGCGAGGACGGCTTGCACGGCCGGCGACCGGCGGCACGCGGGGAGCGTGTGGCGCACGAGCTGGGCGCAGGCCCGGGCCAGGTCCGCGCGCGCATCGTCGTCCAACCCGATCTGCGAGAAGGTCGCGAGCGCCTCGAGCGCGACGACGAAAAGCCCGCGTGGCGGCGCGGCGCAGGCGTCGGCGAACGGCACGAGCACGGCGCCGTCGCGCGCCACGAGCGCGTCGAGCACGGCCGGCATGCCGGCGATGAGGGCACTGTCGTTCCCGTCGACGCACCGCGCGACCGCTCGCCCCACATCCCCAAGAAAGGCCGCCGAGACGACGGCCCCTTTGAGCAGCGGCGAGGCCGCGGCGCGCGCCGCGAGGGGCAGGGCGTCCGCGGCGCAGGCCTTGACGCTCTGGACCGCGGCCGCCGCGACGCCCACGGCAAGCGCGCGCACGCACTTTTCCAAGTGCGAGTCGGCGCGCAGCTCGTGCGCGTCTCGCGAGGCCACGCGCTCCAGCGCCGCCACGAGGCCGCCGTCGCGCCCGTGCTCCGTCGCCGCGGCGGCGCCCGGCGCGAGCTGGCAGATGCGCGCGAGCGCCGCGGCGCATTTCGCCCGCGCGTGCGCCGAGAGGCCGCGGCCGCCGGCCAGGGCCCGCGCGAGCGCCGGCGCCAGACCCGAAGCTTCGGCGCACGCCAGGCCGCCGTCCGACGCGAGGACGGAGTTCGCAACATTTAAATGAGCGAGCTGCCAGCGCGCGTCGTCGGAGTGCCGCAGCGCGTCGGCGCAGGCCGCCGCGACGGCGGGCGCGCCGCCGAGGCCCGCGCAGGCCTGGCGCACGGCGGCCGGCGCCGCGAGCCCGAAGCGCCGCAGCGCCCTTAACAACTGCGCGAGGGCGCCGAGGGCCGCCCGCGCGAGCGGCGTCGGTTCATTTGAAACGCGCCGCGCGAGCGCCGCCGCGACGGCCTCGGGCCGCGCGAGGAAGGGCGCCGCGCGCTTCGCCGACGCCTGGGCGAGCACGTTCTCTAGCGTGCGGCAGGCGTAGGCCGCGAGCTCCGCGTGGTCGTGATTGATATGGTCGACGACGCAGCGCGCGTGCGCGGGGTCGACGCGCCACGCGTCGCTCTGCTCCAAACTGTCCTCGTCGTCGTCGTCCTGCGTCGCGACGTAGAAGAGCAACTCACCTAAAGCCGCCAGGGCCAGGCACCGCGTCGCCGGGTCCGCGTCCGCGTCCGTCGCGACCCGCGCCAACGTCGGCGCGAGCGCCGCGTCGTCCGCGGCGTCCGGCACGACGTACGTCGCGTGCCGCACCAAGAGCCCGAGCAGGACGAGGAGCTGTCTTCGTAAAGACGCGTCGCCGTCGCGCCGCCGCGCGAGCTTCAACAGGAGCGTCACGAACGACGAGTTGACCACGACGTTTGCGACGTGCGAGACCTCGCAGCGCGCCGCGAGGTAGGCCACGATGTTCCTTCGATGACTCGCATCATCATCATGCACGAGGGCCTTGTAGGCCAGCACGAGGTGCTTCTCGAGGGCGTCGTGCTCGACCTCGGCCAGCCTTGTCTGGGACTCGGCCGCGAAGGGCAGGCTCGCTTCGTCGCAGACCTCGCGCTGCGCCGCGAGGGCGCTGCCGACGATGGGCTTGACCTGGCCGTCGGCGGGGCACTCTAGTAAATTGCCGTCTACCTCGGTCGAGGGCACGAGGCCGCTCTCGTACCAGGCGCCCTTCTCCGTCGGCGGCGAGGCGGCCGTCGCGCCGTCGTCGCCTAAGGACATCTCCATCTGGTCCGCGGTGTCCTCGGTTTTTGTGCGGCGGCGGTCGCGGTACGTCCGCGAAACTCTGAGAGGATCGTCGGATTTGGTGGACGACCCCGTGGACTCGCGCGGGCGCTTCGCCGGCGTCTCGTCGTTCATCGGATGAGACGCTAGAGCTAAATCTCTAGCTAACGCATCAAACAAGGGCTGGGGCGGCAGCGGCCGGTCCGGCGGCCTCGGGACCACATCCCGGAAGTAGCCCGTTCGGACGTCGTCCCAGCTCGGCCTTTGTAAAGGCGCCTTGGCCAGGAAGAGCCTGACGGCGTCGGAGAACTTTTGTATTGTTGAAGACGGCTCCGGGTCACTTTCCGTCGCCAGGAAAATAGACTCGTCAAAGTCCGGCTCCGTGCTCGAGATCTTCCTTATTAAATCAGGCAAAGCAGCCGCCTCGAAGGGCGCGCGGCCCGACGCGAGTTCGTAGAGGACACATCCCAGGGACCACAAATCCGACTGGTACGAGTGGACGCCGTCCTTCACGAAGAGCTCGGGGGACATGTAGTAGGGCGTGCCTCTATTTTTGGGCGCTTTGGCCTTGTTCGTGGCCGTCGGGATTCGTCGAGCTAAGCCGAAGCCGGCCAACTTCAAAACGCCGTGGTCATCCACCAACACATTGCTTGGTCGCAAATCACAGTATAACACGCCGTGGTGGTGCAGGTACTGCAGACCAGCTAACAGATCACCACCAAATAATGTCACCGCTGGAACAGGTAATTGTCTATCAACTCTCAACAGACTCTTCAAATCACCGCCCGAACAGTACTCCAGAATCAACCACAGGTTGTTCCGCGTCTCGTACCAATCAAAAAACTTCAAAGCGTGGGGATGTCTAAGGGCGTGCATCATCTGGACCTCGTTGACGACTTTACTCATCTGGTCCTTGGCGACGCGCTTGACCGCGACGTAGGTCACGGTCTTCTTCTGCCTTCCCTTGAAGACCTGGGAGTTCTTGCCGGCGCCGATCTCGTTGAAGATGTGGTACTTGTCCATGGTTTTTTGGTGCTGCTTGGTGCTGCTTTGTGGGCTGCCTCGCCGCACGGCTCCCGGTTGGCGGCGGCTGCCCCGCCGCGTGCGCTGCGCGGGCGAGGTGCTGCGCGCGCCCGTGCGTGCGTTGCGTGCGGTTTAGGCAGTGGTTCGGCGTCGCGCGCCTTTGAAAAATGCTGCTAGCGTAAGACACTAGCGGCCGCGGAGGTTCAGGCGATGGTTCGGGCTGAGTAGCAAGCCATGGTGATGCATATTATAAGACTAGAAGCCCGCAGAGGACTCAAAAATCCGGGAACCCGTTGTCGCGAGGCACGGGAACCGGTACAGGAGGCGCGGGCGGCGGCGCCGCGAAGTCGTCGCCCATGGCCGCCTCGGGCGTCGACGCGGCGACGAAGGCGACGGGCCCGGCGTCCGGCGGCGGCACGGCACCGTAGCGCCCGCCTCCTATTGCGCCGACGCCCGCGCGGTCGTTCTTCGGCTTGAGATTATCCCAGATGCGCGGCGACTCCGGCGGCGCCGAGGGGTCGGGCTTCGGCTTGCAGTAGAAGGTCCGCCGCCGGTCGTCGACAAACACGCCGAGGGCGCGCAGTTCGTCCCTCAATTCATCCGCTCGCCCGAAGTCGCGGCAGCGCTTCGCCCGGATCCGCGCGGCCAGAAGCGCGTCGATGGCCTGGATGTCGTCGCGGTCGCAGCCGTCCTCCTCCCTTTTATAGTCGTGCGCGTTCTCATCCTCGACTCGTTTTCGTGGCTCCCGTGCCGGTTTTGTCGAGAACCGGAACGTGCACGCGTCGTCGTCGAGCACCAACCTACACCCGCAGCGCGCCGCCACGGCGTCGAGCTCGTCGCGGATCGCTCTAGCCGACGACCAGTCGCGGTGGCGCACAGCGCGCTGCCTCGCTTGTAGTCTTTGTACTAATTGCTCGTAGTCGTGCGGCGCCAAGGCGATATTGCTATCGTCTTCCACGGACCTTGAATAAACCTTCTCGGGCTTCACGGTTCGGGGCGGCCGCACCTCATACGTCCGCGCGCGATCGTCCACAAAAACCCCGGCATCTCTCAATAATTGTTGCACGCGGTCCGCCGCATCATAATCCCGCTTCTTCTTCGCCATCATGCGCTGGAAGAGCAAATCATCCAACTGCGCCTGCTCCGGCGCGTTGACGACCACAGTACCATCATCTTCCCGTCGGTAGTCGTGCGTCGTCGGCTCTTCCCGCTTTTGTCGAGGCGGCCGAATTTCATACGTCCGCGCGCGGTCGTCCACGAACACGCCGGCTTCGCGCAGCATCTGTTGTACTTGATCGGCCGCGTCATAATCTCGCTTCTTCTTGGCCGTCATTCTTTGGAAGAGGAGGTCGTCGAGCTGCGCTTGATCCTCAACGGTCATCTGCACCGTACCGTCGTCCACCCTCTGATAATCGTGCGTCGTCGGCGCGCGCGGCAAGATTCTATAGGTGTTTTCAGTGTCATTAACAGCGACTCCGGCTTCCCGCAACTGCTTGCGCAGGTCGTCGGCGCGCTGGAAGGCGCGGTCTCGTCGACACAGCACCCTCTCAAAAATCAACGCGTGTAATGATAATGCGTCGGTCTCGTTGATAACAACGGAGCCGTCGTCCGCTCTCCGATAGCCGTGGGCTAGCTCGAGGGCCGCGGGGCCCTGCTGCGCGGTAGCGTTTAACGCTGCGGCGCGCATGGTCGCGGCGGCGTCTGGTTGCGGCGTGTCTTGCATCATCTTTTATCGATGCGCAGCGCTGCGGCTGCGTCTTCGTGAGCAGGTACGCGCACAGCGCTGCGTCTTGGGCAGTCTGTGGGATTCGCTTCGTGGCAGGCGACAGTTTTGCAAAGCCGTTGCCGTCGAGGAATGTGATTAAGGAGATACCAGCTGCGTGCCGTAACACCCAGGGGAGGATGGCGCGAGTTTGCGTTTCGGCCTCGGCAAAGCTGAGATGCTAGTGTCTTACCGCCGCTAGCCGAGCCAGATTGCGCGCCACGCGTGTGGGCCTTCGAGCAGGTGTGGAGACGCGTCGAAGACGTCGTTGGCACGGGAGGAAGACTCGAGTCACAGCCAAGCTCGCCCTGGTCTCCCGCGATTGGCTCACCAAAACTGAGCTCACAAGTGCTCATACGCGCGTGACGGTCACTCATCGTCACCGCTCTCACCACTACTCGATCACTAGACCGCCGCCGCGCCGCCAGACGTCCAAGATGGTGCAAACCAGAGTCCAGGGTCAATTCACAGATATGAAAACGCGGCGCGACGGCGACGCCGCGATCCTCCGCGAGCCGCCGGAAAACGCGCGCATCGATCGCGCGCGGCGACGGGCGCCACCGGTCCGCGGCCGGGGCGCGCGCGGCGGCGACCCGATCGACCCGGGTCGCCGCGCCGCCGCCGCCGGGACGCCGCCGCCGCGAGATCAACGCTAAACAAAACGCAGGCCGACATGGCCGCCGCCCGCGCGAAGATGATCGCGCGCCGCTTCGGCGGCAAGGACGTTTCGAAGACCGGCGGCAAGGGCTCGATGCGCCGCAAGAAGAAGACGGTCCACAAGACGGCTCAGAGTGATGATAAAAGGATTGGCGCGACGCTCAAGAAGTTGGGGGTCAGCGACATCCCGGGCATCGAAGAGGTCAACGTGTTTAAGCGCGACGGTTCAGTGGTGCACTTCAAGCACAACGTCAAGTTGCAAGCCTCGACGGGCGCGAACACGTACGTCATCACGGGCAAGCACGACGAGAAGTCGATTCAGGACCTCATGCCCGGCATCCTGCCGCACTTGGGCCCCGAGCTCGCGCAGCAGTTGCAGGGCGGCATGGGCCTGGGCGGGGGCGGCGGCGGCATGAGCGCGCCGCCGCCGTCGGACGAGCTCGGCCTGCCGTCGGACTCGGACGATAGTGACGAGGGCTCGGACAGCGAGGACGACGTGCCCGAGCTCGTCGAGAACTTCGACGAGGCCCAGAAGTAGGTTTGTGGGCGGGCGTAACTTCTCCTTCCTCTCTAGTCTTTCGACGGCGTGCGGGTATGCGCGCTACGATGCGCGTCTGGTGTCTGGCCTGCTCCCCCCCGCCGTCGTCGCCTCCGAGCTAACACTCGGGGCGACGGCGTATGAGGGCCATTGAGGGCGTGCGGTCACGCAGGCCCCGCGTCGGCTCCGCGGCTAGGCGGCCTAGTTCTAAGCAAAGCAAGAAGCAAAAAAAAGTCTCAAACTTGAACAGGTTAGTACTAAGAGGCGGCGGGCGCCGGCGCCGGCTCGGCCTCGACCGGCGCGGCGCCCGCGGGCGCCGGCGGCCCGCGAGCCTGGGCCTGGGCCGCGACCTGCGCAAAATAGGCCGCCATCATCTGCGCCGCCGCCGGGTTCACGGGCGGCGGCGCGCCGACAGGTAAAAGCGGCGCGGGCGCCGGCGGCGCGTAGGGCGACGAGTAGCCCGGCTGCCGCCCGAAGAGCTGCTGCTGTTGCAATAAAAGGAGCTGCTGCGGAGTTAATGACGGCGCCGGCGCGGCCGCCGGCCGTGCCGCCGCCGCCGCGGCCAGCAGCTGCGACCGCTGCTCGGGCGTGAGGTCCGCGCCGTTGTTTTCATGATTCTGGCGGTGACGCAATAAGGCGAGCTTGTAGGAGTAGTTCGCGACATACGGCATGCACTGCGCCAATAACTGCTGCTGGCGCTGCTTCGCCTGGAGCGCGGCCTGCGCATCCAAAGCGCCGGGCGCCTCGCCGGCCTTCTTGCGCGCTTTGGTGCGCTTTCGGGGAGGCGGCTTGTGCTTCGCGTCCTCCGCTTCCCGTTTTCTGGCGGTGGCGGCGGCCTGGGCAATAGCAGCGACGTCGAGCAACCCGTGGGCGTTCAACTGCTGCATCACGGCCATGCAGTCGAAGGCCAGTTCGATCCTATGTAATTTGGTAGAACCTTCGTCTTCGCGAAACCTCGCTTTCAACATGCCACTGACCGAGACTTCGGACGGGAAGCCCACCCTTCTGAGTCCCGACGTCTCGAAGCGCCACGCGCACATCAATAACGGTCCGGCGACCAAGATCTCGCGCGCATTGCACGCGTAGACGACTTTTATGGACGAGAACGCATTCGCATTCAAATCCTCAGACACGCACGCGAGCTGCTCCTTCGCGGCGTGCACGACGGCTCGCGCCTTCGCCGTGTCGTCCGAACCTTCGAGAGCCTTTGACGCTTCGTCTTGCGCCTTCTGGACCCTTACTTGTCGCGCCTTCGCGTCCAATTGCTTCAGCCGCCAGCATCTTGCTCGGATCATCTCCGCCAGGGCGCCTATCGACTTCGTGTCGTCGAGCAACTGCTCCAATCCGGTAATACGCTGCGTGTTGGGCGTCACCGCAGTACCGAACGCCACTCTATAGGGTTCCCGCGGCAACAGTAGTTGGAAGTCGTCCGCGACGAGATCGCGCCACTTCTCCTCGTTCACCTCCGTCGCGGAGCGGTACTTGAGGAAGTTCAGAATGAGAGCTCGTCTCAGCGAAGCCTCATGGACATCAGTCGTGTCCAACTCGACTTTCCTCTTGGTGGAAGCCTTCTTCTTCGGCGGCAAATCTTCTTCATTTGTGGAGTCGCCGTGGTGCTGCTTGAGGAAGTCGACGTACATCTTCTTGCGCCGCTGCGCGGACTGCATGCCTTCCCGTCGTCGCGATAGAGCCTCCGCGGCTCGTAAGTCCTCTTCATCGATGTCGGGCGTCTTTTTGCGTCGACGACCTTTCCTGGCTTCGGCCGTCTGGCCTCGCGTCCGTCTCCGCTCGGCCTCGGCGCCGACGGGTCGCGTCCGTTTCCGTACGGTAGCCAGCACGTCCTCGAGCGACTTGCTCCCGCCCTCCTTCCACGTCCCCAAGGAAGCCTGGAACAGCCCGTCGGAATCTAGACCGGCACTCCCAATCCCGTCGAAGCTAAACCCGGGCACGTTCATCTGCGGCGGGCCGTCCTCGTTAAACTGGAAGTTCTCGACACTATCCATCATGAAGGGGTGGATGAGCTCATCAAACGAACCCGAGGCCATGCCGCGCGGCGCGTTTGACGGAGGGGCTGGTGCGGGCTTCGGTGCGGGCGCTGGTGCTTCGGCCATGGTTCTTTGATGATGTCAAGCAAGAGAATCCCCGGCCCACGGCACGAGGCCTCTATGATGGTTTTTGCCTTCCCCTGGCTGGGGGGGCTGCCCTTGGCTTTTTTGCGGGCGCGGGGCCGCTCGGTGTGGCGGCTACCGCTTCTGTGCGTTCGTAGTGATGTGTCGCGCCGCGCTGCGTCGTGTGCGCGCGTCTCGCGCGTGCTTTTATTGGCGTCTCTGTTGCGCTCGCGGCCCATGGGCCCAGCTCTCAATTATTGTGCGCGGGCTCCGCGCGGAGGGCTGGTTGGGCGTCGCCGGAGACGTGTCTTACGGTCCGTCGTCGGCGATTGGGACGTGTGGGGGCGCGATGGTGGCGTTTTGGGGCCAAAATGTCACAAAAGGGCAATTTTTTGTTCGCGCTCGCAGGATGACGTCTCTGGGCACGCGGAGGGCTCTCTTTTGGCCGAGGGATCAGAAAAAAAAGGTGCCGCTCGTAGTAGGGGGGTTAATCGCGAGCTGGACTGAGCTCATTCAAGGCTGTAATTGCGACAGGATGAGGGGTGCTGGAGCAGCGTCTGATGCCGATTGGGGACCACCTTCGATGGCTTGCTCGCGCTGGCAAGCGAGAGCCCGCAAAAAACGGCGGCCTGAAGCGATATCTAAGCATAGCTGCTCTATCACGCGAAGCCGTCAGCCGTCGGCGGAGCGCGAGAACGGCCGCCCTGGGCCGCGCACGTGCTGGCGGCTGGCTGCGCGGCGCAGCAGCCGAGAAGTGTGCGGCTGGAAGCTCGCAGAGGCCCGAAAGCATTCGGCCTCGGCGCTCGCGCCGCACGCCTCTCTTGCTCGCTGCCCGCCGCCGTCCCGCCCGCGGCCGCGCGCGCTCCGGCGGCTGACGGCGGCGGCATGGCAGCGTGAGCGATGCGCCGGGTGCTCGATGGCTCGAAATCACTCGGCCCTCGGCGCTCGGCCGCTCGCAACACTCTTGCTCTGCTCGCTCGCCGCACGCCGTCGGGCCGCCGGCCGGCCGCCGCGGACGCCGCGCACGCGCGCAACGCGCACACACATCCGCGCGAGAGAGAGAGAGTCCGCGCGCGAAACGCTCACAAAAAACGAACGCAGTGCTTCTCGCCCTGATGCTCGCGCCCCTGGCGGCGGCGCTCCAGCCGACGCTGCCGACGAGCACGCGCGCCGCGCGGCCGTCGACGGCGCTCCAGATGGTCTACGGCAAGACGCGCGCGTCTTCACGAAAGTTCGTGCCGGCGGTCTCGCAGAGCGAGCTGAGCCCCGGCAAGGCCGTGAGCGGCATCTGCGCGGGCCTCGACATCTGCGTCGCCGTCGACACGGACGGCTCCGTCTACGCCCTCGGCAACAAATCGCCGGTCCTCGGCACGCCCATGGCCGCGGGCCGCGTCGCCGGCGGCGAGATCAAGGACCCCCTCACGGGCACGTCTTTCTCGGTGAAGAGCGGCCAGGTCGTCGGGCCCTGGTGCCCGAACTTCCCGTTCAACTTCCTCTTTTCGGTCATCGAGCCCCAGGGCCTGCCCGTGTTCAAGTGCAAGACGGGCGGCGGCGCCGTCCAGGTCGAGGTCGACGTCAACGCCAAGACCAACTTCGAGTCGGGCTACTGGAAGGGTATTCTGGATGCCCAGGGCAAGACCGACGGCGGCTACTACTGAGCGCTTGGTTGCGAAGTTGTTTCCGTTTGTCCGTTTGGGCGTGGTGACGCGGTTTATACGGGGCGCGTGTCCGCGTAAAGGTGCCTATCTCTACTTAGTGCGTGTTTTTTGTTGCGGCGCCAGGACTCATGGGCGAGCCTAGCTTTCTTCCCCGCGGCCAGCAACCATGCATCGTCTACCGAGCGAATCGCGGCGCAGGCTTCAGGCCCCGGGAACCAATACTTGCTAAAGAAAGGATTTACTAGACCTGATAGTCCGGGTCGATGACGGCGATGGCGGCGGGCGGTGAGAATCATACTCTCTCCTGCATCCTCTTCATTTCTGTGTGCTTCCTCATGGCCGGGCTCCTCATTTCTGCGGCAACAAAATTTTCTTCGGCCTTCTCTGCGTCTTCCCCCGCACCGAACAGGATCGCGCCCATGACCAAGGCGCCGAAACAGAGGATCGCCGTCGCGTTGACCTTTTGCCACGTCGCGAGCACCTTGCACCCGCCGGCGCCGACCCGGTCGCTCTTCTTGCCATACGCCAGATCTACGCCCCATAGATGGACGCCAAACTCGAAGAACTGGTCCAGTTTAATGAGGACCTTACACAGTTTTAGCGCTGGTTTGCTTTCCTTTCTGGCAGCTATGACGACGCCGACTTGGCAAATTAGGCCAAACACAATCCCGCCCAACATAAGAGCATACCACAACCGGAGATCCTTGTCGCAGTTTTCCGCCATGTCGTAGCCGGCCCAGAGCCCGAACCAAACCGCACCCATTACCAATTCCATGATTAGAGTACACTGCGCAACAGCCACAGGCGACGGCTCCTCGGCGTTCCTACCCAACCTCTCTGAGCCCTGGCGGACGAGGAAGCGCGACGACATCTTGGTTGGGGCTGTTGCGATTGGGATCGAGCTGTATCGGGGGCTGGGGCAGCGTATAGGCAGCGTGAGATCCCAAACAACAGTGAGATCCGCGCAAAATTAATCCTGCCGGCCTAGCGGCCTGTAAGGCACTAGCAAAGTCAAAGACCGCAAAAACCAGCTGCCTGGGCGCGCTTGTGGCCCATTGACACGTGCAGGAGCTTCTCGACAGCGTCTTGTCCCGGCTTGATTCGCTGCGGCCATCGGTGAGCCGTCTCCCCGCCCGGGAAGAGCATCTCCAACCGGAGAGCATATTTACAGCCTCCCACTGCACGCACGCTAGATGGCCTCGCTCCTCAACTGGTTCGGCGCGAGCAAGCCCGCCGCGCCGGCGGCGCCGCCCGGCCGGTGCCTGAAGCGAGTAGCAAGAGATGTGGCGACAATCCGACGCGACCACGCGACGAACCTCTTCGCCGAACAAAGGGAGGCCGTGGCGACGACGGTGGACTGCGTCGTCTGTGGCCCGGAGGGCACGCCCTACTACGGCGGCCTCTTCCATTTTCGCGTCGAGCACCCGCACAGCTACCCCGTCGAGAACCCGACGTGCACGAACCTGACGACGGGCCAGGGCCGCATCGGCTTCAACCCGAATTTATACAGGACGGGCAAGGTCTGCATGTCCATCCTCGGCACGTGGGTCGGGCCGGGGTGGAACCCCTCGCATTCTCTCTCGAGCGTGCTCCTGTCGATCCAGTCGCTGATGAACGACCAGCCCTACTGTGCGCATCTCGGAGTCCCTTCACGCCATCGCCGCGACGTCTGATCGGTGGCGCGCCGTCGACCACGCCATGCGCGCAGGCAACGAGCCCGGCCGCGAGGGCGTCGCGCGCGACGACCCCAACAATAAGGCCTACGACGCCTTCCTCAAGTACGCGACGCTCAAGTTCGCGTGCGTCGACGTCCTGGACCCGGCCAAGGCGACGAGCGCCGAGCCGCTGCCGGCGGCGGCGAAGCGGTTCTGCGCCGAGCGCTTCCTCGAGCGCTACGACAAGATCATCGAGATGGTCGACGCTGAAATAAAAGCTGGTACGTCCGGCCGGCTCAAAGATCCCTCGCGCGCGTCGGCGCTCGGCCTCGGGCCGGTGGACTACAAGGGCCTCCGCGTCGATCTAGCGAAGCGGAAGACGGAGGCCGAGAAGCTGCTGGAGGCGGAGGACAACGACGACGACGAGGAGCCCGCGGTCGAGGCGAAGGAGGAGCCGTCGACGCCGCCGCGGGAAGCGCCGTGAATGGCGATGTGAGTGATGTAAGAAACTTGAAATACGAGGAGGGGGGGATGCTTCGAGAGGGGTTCACTTCTTTTGGGGGGGGTAAGCCGGCACGTACGCCGGCCCGCCGTACTTGTCGGCGGGGAGCGCCTCCATGAAGGCCGTGAACTTGGCCGGTCCCGGCTTCGCGTGCCAGTCGAACTTGGCTTCGGCGCGCGGCTCGGCTTCCGGCGCGGGCGCTTCGACGCGCGGCTCGGCGGCCTCGGCCGGAGCCGCGCTCGGCTCAGCATCCGCGTGCGACTCGACCTCGGCGGTCGCGGGCGAGTCGGCGCGCGGCTCGGCGCCGGCGGGCTCCGGAGCCTCGCTCAGCTCAGCGTCCGCGCTCGGTTCGGCCTCGGCGGGCGGCGACGCTTCCGCGCTCGGCTCGGCTGGAGCCGCGATCGGCTCGGCGTCCTCGCTTGGCTCGGCCTCGGCGGGCGCGGGGGAGTGCCAGGCGGCGCCGGCGGCTCTTCGGCGCGCGGCCGCCGCTTCGAGAGCGTCGACGGACTCGCGCGATGACATGATATATGGTGACCGTGGTGTCGTGTGAGCAGAGTCTGGGGCGGGAGCCTCCCGAAAACAGCAAAAACAGACAAATAGTGCTCGTCAGTTGGCTCGAAAGAGCAATGGATGTCGGGGCGCGGTGGCGGTGATGTCTACTACGGGGCGGTTTGATCGACGTACCTCGTTCAAGGTGCGCGGTCAAGATTTTGCTTTTTTTTCGGCTGGGAAAACCCGTGCGAAAAGCAGAAAGCGTCCACCTAGACCTCCAGCAGACCGCGAAGTCACAGACAAACACTATTAGTCCACAAGCAGTTCACGCACGACGTCGTCCAACACCCCGTCCGCCTTCAGCAGAGCTGCGACGTCGTGCTCGTCGCCGGCGTGCGCGACACGGGTCGCGCCGGGAGGCAGCGCCGCGGCGTGTGCCGCGTCGCGCGCGTGGCCCGCGCAGAAGTGGACGCTTATTGGAATACGCCGCCGGAGCGCGCGCTCCACGGATCTGAGCAGGGGCCCCTCGACGTGGCGGCGCGCCGCGGCCGCGCACAAGTCCTCGCGGCCGACGTGAGGATCCTCCGCGAGATTCGTCACCTGCGGCGCCAAAGCGCACACGGCGTCGGCGTACTGCGCGTAGCGGAGCGCGGCAGACCCGCCCATGCTGTCGCCGACGAAGGCGACGCGGTCGTAGCGCCCTCTAAGCCCTCGCAGCACGCGCCGGAGCGCAGCGTCTCCCCTATAACGCCAGCAGGCCCCGCCCGTGTGCCACGACGCCGCCGGGTCCGCCGCAAACAATACGTCGAACTCCTGCTCCTGGGAGATGCGGTGCGCCGCGCCGCGCCACTCGTACCCGACGTGGCCGCGGCTCCCGAGGCCCGCGAAGGCCACTAGAATGGTATCGGCTCGGGATCTGCGTCGGTCGCCTCCATCGAAGCGCGGCGACCGCCTTATATCATCGGCGGCCACGAGGTCGTAGGCCACGTCGCCGCGCGTCTCGCGCGGCAGCGCGTGGAAGTGCTTCGCGACGGCGCGCTCGAGGCGGCGCGCGTCGGCGCCGTGGCCCCTGGCAGATAATGCAGCTCTTGAGAGCGCAAGCGCGTAGAGCACCCCAACGTGGTCGTCACAGGCCAAGTCAGGTGTTGCTTTTGAGATCGCGTCCGCGCACTCCCAGAGCAGCACGCCCTCAAAATCCGGGCTCCGCGTCGGCGTGAGCAGGTCGCGCCTTGCTGATTGTCGTCTTTCGACGAGCTCTTGGCTTTGTAGTGCTGCGAGGACGCTGTAAGCACTCGCCGTCGCCGTCGCGAGTGGGTTACTGCCGAGCGCGTCCAGTGCGTTTCGCGCTCGCGCGGCATCGTTGGCTCGCCAGAGGATCTCTCCGAATTTTGACGTGCTCCGAGCGTGTGGAAATGAGTCCTGCGGCAGTGGTGCGCCCGCGGCAGCGTTTTGCAGCAGGGAGAGCTGGCTCTGGAAAATGAGCTTGCTGTCACGCAGGGCTGGAATTCGTGGCAGAATCGATGCGAGCACGAGTTGTGCGACTCTCATCTGTCGCCTCGCACGCTTGCATGCAGGAATTATGCCAGCAATGCGCCCCGGCCTGCCAAGCAAATTGATGCAGCAAACTAGACACACTAGCCTGACCGCGATGAAAAAGCCTCCGCTGTGCGCGCGCGCCCCCCTAGCCACCCCGCGCACCCCGGGCTGCCCGCGACGTGCAGCGCCGCCCCTGTTAGCCCGGAAATGAGAGTTGCCCGCGTGAAAAATGGCCCAGAACCCGCTGAGCACGGCCTTCAGCTTGGGGGCTGCCTTAGCTGCCGCGTCGCGCCGCCGCCTGGCCTTCGCCCGACTTTTACCTTTCGCCCCTCTACCCCGTGGTGACGGCGCGGCGTTTCGGCGGGGGCTCCATCGTGAACGCGCACAGCCGGGGGGCTCCATCGTGAACGCGCACGGCCGGGTCAGCCGATCTTTCTTTCCGGGCGTCGCCGGCATGGCGCGCCTACTTTCTTTATCATTGGCGGGTCGAGCCCGGAACACGGACGGCACCCATCCTCGGGCATCGAGTGGTGCGCGTTCGGAGGTATCCGGCCCGTTTCCTGAAGTTCTGCCGCCGGCATGGCGGCGAGCCTCATCTGCCTGCGACCGGACCGACCCTACGGAGCGGAGCCGGTCTCGACCTGGGAGGCGTTGGGGGCGGCGGCATGCCGCCCCCCGTAACCTTGGCCGCGCCAGCCGAGCTTTCGTAGGCCCTCCGAATCGCCGTGGCATCCATTGAACCCATTAGTTCCGTTCCGACGAGTTATTGTCAAGGGCCGTCTGGGCGGGTCGGAGCTCTCGCTCCCCGCTTCAGGATTGCTCGGCCTGGTGTGCGAGGGCATCTCTCTCACCACTTGATTTCCGGCTCGTCGTAAAAGAGGAGCCAGCGGCCAGTTCCACATCCTGACGGGGGTCGTCCCAAAAGAAGGGGGGGCGTGCGAGTCCCTGTGACTCAGCCCTTGCGTCCTAGTCCAGCCGGACGGGTGGGCCCAGGGGGAGCGGGAGGGGTACGGGGAACCCTGCGACGTAACTAGCCTCAGCCTCAGACCGCCACGCGGTAATCGCCTCTGCGAGAACAGCAATTTTAAATTAGACTCCTCCCTTCAAAGTCCGTGTCCAGCAGGGACGGCATCTCGACGGCGGGCGCGGGCGCCGCGGCGCGGTCCGCCCGCCGCCGCACGCGCTCGTCGTGCGCGCCCGGCCCGAGGAAGTCCGTGTCCGCGGCGAGCAGCGACTGGCCCGACTCGACCTCGGGCCGCTTCGGTCGACACCGGTCGTACGCCAGCGTCGCGATCGACAGGAGGAGGATGAAAAAATAATACTGCGCGGCCTCGTAGCATTTCTCGGAGGCCTTGGCGGGCTCGTCGACGCCCAGCACATACAGGGGCTGCCGGTGGAGCAGGAAGCCGATCAGACTCAGGAACAGCACGCCGCTCGTCGCGAAGACGACGCAGCAGTTCGCGCAGGCGAGGCACCGCGGCGACGGGAACGCCGCGGCGGCGCGAGCGCCGGGGTAGGCCGTCGCCATCGATGCGTTCTCCCAGCGCTGCTGGACACGTTGCGAGTCAAGCTCGCCTCTCAGCCCAGGGTGCGGCGTTTTGCACCAGACTTCGCTGGCGCAGGGTGACAACGATAACAAAGACTGTGTCCGCCCTCTGTGCAGTTTGGCTCGATTTGTGGGCAGTACAGTGCCGGCAAAACCCTTGCTGCCCATTCGCTAGTAAGTTACCGACGCTAGTTAGTTGCCCGTGCAAGCCGTGCTCGCGTGTGAGCTTGCTGGAGCACCAACGATGTTTGCCGCGGCCCGACAGGGCCTCGGCCGAGTCGCCCAGGCCGCCAGGCCAAGGACGGTGCCGGCGAGGCGGCACATGAGCGCCGATGTACGACACAGCGAGCCAATCAACCTTTTGGGCCGCGCCGCGCCCCCCGCGGCCCCGCCCGGCCGGTCCGGCTTGCCACTACCCAACGGCAGCGGTGGGCAAAAATTCACGCAAAAAACCGGCTTCGCGCGGCCGCACGAGCGTCCCGAGACCGAACGCAGCAGTCGCCCCAAAACTGCACACACACCGCACACCACAGTTGCCCGACGCCGTCGACCCACCGCAGGTGTACGTCATCGGCGGCAAAGAGTTCAGCACCGAACAAGTAGTGGGCCTCGTCTTCGGCTTCTACTGCGTCCTCGGCTTCCTCGGCACGCGCGGCGGCTCGAAGAAGGAGGAGCCGAAGGTGGCCGAGAGCGCGCCGGCCGCGAGCGGCAGCGTCGTGTCCATGCTCGACGACGGCTTCGAGGCCTGGGCGGCCAACCCGTCCAACATGAAGAAGTGGGAAGACAGCATCGCCGAGATGAAGTAGACCCGCCCCCTAAGACTTAGTATATAGTAGTAAAAACTTACTGGAGGTTCTCCACGAGCGCCTTGTGGAACGTCGCGATGGAGCAGAGGCCGCCCTCCGCGACGTCGTCATACAACTTGTGCTCGCGGTCCCCGAGTTGGGCGCCCGTGGCCCTGAAGAGGGAGAAGATGTCGTCCTTGTCCCTGAGGTTCGTGAACTCGTCGTCATCAATGCCCATCTGCGACAAGGCGGACGGGTAGAGCAGCTCCTTCCCGGTGGGGTCGTCGCCGTAGTTCTGCGAGTCGGCGACGGACCGGACCGCGTACTTCGGGATGTCCGTCCGCACGGAAGGCACGCCGAAGGTCCTTCCCCTAGATTTCTCGGTGAGGATGTTCCGGTACCCCGGAGTCAGCGTCTTGCCGAGCTCGGGCTCGGGCTCGCAGTCTTCCGGCGCGTAGTCGCCGGCGATGCACTGGCGCGCGTCCCACTCGCCCTCGCCTCTTACCGACTTCTTCCCATAGCGGTGCATCTTGCCGAATTGATACGCGCCGGTGTGCCCGAGGTACCTCGATTGCCCGAGCTTGTCTTGTAGGGCTTTAAAATTGCGCATGCGCTGGGAGATGATGGGCTGGGGGTCGAGCTGCTCCATGGCCGCCGTCGCGCCCAGCGCCAGACCGTTCAGCGCGACATAACTCCCGACGCCTTCCCCAAATCTATGAGTCTTCAGGTCGCAGCCCTTCCAGTCGTAGTCTCTTGAGCGTTGTTCCCCGGGACCGTAAGAACCGTGGCTCTTGATGTACTGGGCCCGTTCGCCCGGCACGGGCTTCGCGGACGGCATATAGATCAAAGTTTTCGAGTCGTTCCCTCCAGGCGTGATCGTCGACTTGCCGAACTTGTGCTCTCTTGTTCTACACTCCTCGGGTAGCACGTGGCCGTGCGAGAAGCACTTGCCCAGCGGCTCCATCCTCGTGGAGTGATAATGTCTTTCAGCTTGCGTGAGCTTCGTCTGGGCGTACTCGCTCTCGGCCCCGGGCTGCGCCAGCACATCGTCGACGTGTTCGCCCTCGCCCGGGTCCTTCTTGCGCACGCCGAAGAACTCCGGGTGCTTCACGTCGCGCCAGTCGTCGACGCCGCCCGGGTGGATGATCCGCGTGCCCGGTACACTGTAGGTCGACTTGCGCCACTTCTTGTACCTATCGGGGGTCGGCGGCCGGTCCTCGTCGACGAGGCACTCGGACGTCCTTTCATTGCCGTAATTTGGCCTTGTACCAGCTTCGGGGGGCAGGGCGTAGGGGTCGACGGGGCGGCCGCGCAGGGTCGTGGCCATCTTGGCCGAGCTGTTGTATGTGTGCTAGCACCGCGCGGGGCCGGGGGCAGCGTTTCGGTGCCGCGGGCTGCTTTTGCCCGGCGCCGCTTGGGCGTTGATGGCGGGGCTAGAGGGAAAAACGCCCGCCCCCTCTCGGAGCTCTCGCGTCGAGCGGTCCGCAGCGAGCTATGCCTCCAGCCCACGGACGGCACGGATCCCGGGGCCAGCGAGATGCCAGCATCTTGGCCATATGGGCAGCCATCGCAGCCTGCTCCGATCCAACGTGTCTACCGGTGACAATTAAGACGAGTAGGAGGTGGTTCGAGTAGCATGTATAACGCGGAGATGGCTGGCGAGCAAATTGGCAGCGTGTGCCTTGCGGAGGTCGTCGCAGTAGAACAGTCCGCGGCGGGGTCGGGCTTCCTGGCCGACGTGGACGTCTTGAGACGCGAACTGGGCCTCGCCGGTCAGGCCTTCGAGGTGGTCGCGAGCGCCTGCCGCATGATCGGCGTGCCGGCGGAGGGCGGTCTCGTCGCGCAGGCGGCCGCGTGCCGCGCGGCGCTGGTCGGCGGGCCGCGCGCAAACCCGTCGGACGACGCATTTGTCACGGAGCCGAACTACACAGCGTATACGGGCAAGGCATTGCACGCGCCGGCGGCGGCCCAGATGGATCGGGGCTTCCCCATCGCCGGGCGCGAGGGGCCGCTGCGCCTGACGCTCGCGTCGCACCCCGGCCAAGCGCTCACGTTGGAAGGCGATTGCTGTTGTCCGTTTCCGCCGCCGGTCTTCGTCTGCTGCTGTTCCGGCGTCAGGCTAGGGGACGAGCATCGCGCGATGCAAGTCGTCTACAATCCGTTCCGCGGGCAGCTCCTCCGCCCCGAGGCCTGCAACCAGCGCATACACAACTCGTGGGAAAATTTCGTGCCCAACAATGAAGTGAATTCCTTCCACTGCGGCTGCTTCGACTGCGACCATCATGAATCCTGGACCCTCTACTCGGACGGGACGATTCACTCGAAATATCATCCGGAGCTGGTGCTCGGCGCCCGCGACGACGGCAAGCTCTGCCTCGTCCGCCAGGAAGACCAGCGGAGGCGCCTCGCTCTTCTGCGGCGGACGAGGCAGAGCTTGCGCGCGGGGCTCCGTCGACGAGTTCTGGGACGCGCTCATGAAGTTCGTCGACGGCCAGAAGGGCGCGACGGGCGCGGAGGGCTTCCTGCTCGAGGCCCTGCGCGCGTCGACGGACTACCGCCAGTTCGCCGTGACGATGCGCCAGATGCGGCGCGACCGGTCGGGGAAGTAAAAACTTGTAGTGTTGGGCTGCCCCCAGTCCCAGCTTGACCGGTGCGGCTGCCAGGGAGAGCTAGTACTAGAAGTACTACAAGTACGCCGGGCCCGCGCGGCCGCGCCCCCGCGTGTTAGCTCGGAGGCGGCCGCGGAGCTGTGCGACGCGCTCGCGCAATCGGAGAGGCGTTGCCGGAGGCGTTCTTCCGTACTTCTCCCGCGGTGTTATCCCGAAAAACCCGCGTAAGTGCATTTAGCAAAAGCTCTCCTTTTTTTTCAAATAAGTGTTGTGCGTTGGGCGTCTAGCGTCAACGCTCAAACACAGAGCATTCGTGTGCAGTCTCCGAGTGCAGTCTCACGACAGAGGCCTAAAAAAGAATAGCAAAAGTTGCAACTTTTTGGCAAAAGCCAGCCCTCTGTCGCGTTTTTCGTCTCATTTTGCGGCAAGCACCGGCGTCTCGACCGCATGGCTTCGGCCACATTGCCAGCAGTCACCCCTTTCACAACTCTCGTGTCTGGTCGAAGCCATCCTTCATATTGACGTCGCGGCGACCTCGCGAGCGCGAACGACGAACGGTACGCGACACGCGAATATCCTACGAGACGGAGCTACGGCGCGCGGAGAGGGACGGATGAGAACAAAGGATGACCCCTACGATCTTCTCTTCAAACATTCTTATTACATTGGGTCGCACCGCGCAGGCGACCGCCCCCGTTCATCCTCTGAACGCACGACTCCCGCGTCTCCTTTAGCTCCTGCGCACGTCCCCGTACGCGGCGGTCGTCCGGCACGCCGTCGATCGTCGACCGGTCTCGGGAAGGTGCTCTCTTAATTTGAAGGCACCGCCGCGTCTCGTCGCGCACGTTCAGTCACCTCCCACGCAGGCCGCCGCCCGTGGCCGTGCCGCCGTCGCTAAAGCCCTCGTCCCACACGTCGAGGCAGCAGCCAAGTCGCTGCCGACGCGCCGAGCTCGCCGTCGACGCCAGCGCGGGAATCTTTACCTTCGCCGGCCCTTCTTCTGGTGGTGCACGGTCGCGCCCTTATATATACGTACAAGCGCGTTCCGGGCACGCCGTCCGTCGCAACACTTTGCCCCGCCGACTGCGTCCTGGCCGCGCTCTAGTGGTTAGGACGCGTCTCCGCGGCGCGCTCGTATCGTTGATCTCCACACAGGCCGCCGCCCGTGGCCGTGCCGCCGTCGCTAAAGCCCTCGTCCCACACGTCGAGGCAGCAGCTAAGTCGCTGCCGACGCGCCGAGCTCGCAGTCGACGCCAGCGCGGGAATCTTTACCTTCGCCGGCCCTTCTTCTGGTGGTGCACGGTCGCGCCCTTATATATGTGTACAATTGCGCGTTCCCGGCACGCCGCTCGTCGGAACGCGTTGCCCACACACGGCCGCGCTCTAGCCGGGATGTAGAGGTTCGACGCGCGCACGTCCGTCGCGCTCGAAACCTTTCTTTCGCCAAACGCAGGCCCGCCTATACAGCCAGGCCTATACAGCCAGTACCCATGCCGAGACATAGAGACCGAGTTGTGAAGGGGGCCCTGTGGTTGGGCCGCGGTGGCCGTCCGGACGGCCCACTCCACCCGGTAGTCGCACAAAAATTAGAAGCTGCCGTCCAGAACTGCAATGCCGTCGACGCACAAGGGCTGCGCGATTTCTGCGACCACGCCACGCCCAAAGAATCGCTCGCCTTGTTCGAGAAAGGCGAAAAGTACTGGATTCATCCGGCCGGTGACGTGCAGCTCTTCTTAAGGACGCAGGCCGCAGAAGCCCTCGGGGCTATTAGTAAAGCCAAAGACGTGGAAGCGGCAGTGCGGGCCGTCGGCGCCATCCAAAACGTCTTCGGCTCGCACCTCGGCGTCCACTTCTTCGAGACCGAGTCGTACGTGAAGCAGTCGAAGCTAGAAGTCCAGGAGGGCAAGGTGCTCGTGATCGAACTGCTCTGCGCCCTGCGGAACAACAAGTTCAACAGCATCAAGGACCCGGAGGATTCTCTCACCGCAGCCGAGATATATAAAGCGCTCACAGCTGTCGCCAAGGCGAGCGGCGTAGCGCCCCGTGTGGAAATCAACTTTCAACGCGTCCCAGCCCGACGCGACGTCGTCCCCGTAACGCATCTGATCGATGTCATGGGCGTTCGAGCGTCTCTTGCAATAATTTCCATTCCACACAGGTAATGCCCCAGTATATATTGATCCTGGAGGCGGTCCTCGTCCCTGGTCTAGATGGCGTCCTGGTCATCGGCAAGGTCAAGGGCGACGTCTACGAGTACAACCCGAGCCCCAACATCCACGCGTTCGCGCTGAACCATCTCGAGTCCGAGCCGCGCGCCGCGCTCCTCAACAAGTGCCGGGAGGTGAACGCGGCGATCCTCAAGCGCATCTCGGACGACTTCGTCATCGTCGCGTGCGGCGGCAATGCCGAGGTCGAGCTCGGCCACACGCTAAAGCTCCTCAGCGGCGACGCGCGCCGCCGCCTCGTGGCCAAGTACAGCGTGGCCCACCCGTCCGTGCTAGCATACTGCAAGCCGAAGCAGGTCGAGTTCGTAGCTTGGGCGGAAGTCAAAATTTCACGACGCCTTCGTGCTGAATCGTCGGCCTTCACGCCATCGACGCAACGCCTGCTCGATGGCATGGCGGTGTAGCTACCTTACCACTCGATGGAGCCAGCACGGTCATCTCATCGCCGAGAAATGACTTCGTGAAGAAATATCGTGCACCCGACGCACTGGTTGATTTCCATACAGGTTCCTAGCCAAATTCGCCGAAGCCGTAGACAAACTCTGCTTTGCCGACGGTAAGGGGCCGGCCGCCTTGCAGGCATTAGCGGCCACGGGCGACGCGCCGTTGCCGGAGCCGTGGAGTGAATGCAGGAGGGCGTCGGGGAACAAGAGCCATGCAGGCCGCGTCTACATCGCCGCAACAAAGGACGGCGGCCAGGTCTCCACGGGCAGCCGCATCGATGCGATGAACGCCTCGTTACACATCGAAGAGCATCCAGACACGTCCATCGAAGATGCCTTGACGTTCGTCATCAAGGAGCGCGTCGCCTTAGATTACTTCGAGGTCGTCGGTACCCGTGTTGAAACCGCGTTGTCCCGTTTCCTAACTCACTGGTTGATGTCCACGCAGAAGGTCCGGGTCAGCGGAGGCATGTGGTGGCACAAGTACCCCGGCTTCCCCCCCATTGGCAACCACAAGCACGCGGTGGCGTTCTCAGCAGCACTCGTGGCCGCGGGAAAGCTCGGCGCGCCCGCCAACGACCCGCTCGTCGCCGAGCTCTACCACGAGACGGTCGGCGTTCACCTCGAGAAGCGGGTCGCGGCGAAGGAAATGCCCGGCCTTGTGCACACAGTCGTCAACTTGCAGCAGAACAAACACGTATGGGCCCACGGCGACCTCGTCGCGACCAGCGAGGACCAAGCCCGGAAGTTCTCGGCAGCGCTCAAGAGCAGAGGACTCCTCGAGGCGCGCGCCGGCGACCCGCGCGTCCAGTCCACCGCGCGGAAATAAAAGTTCACGGACACATCTTCGCCAAGGTGCGCCCAACTCACTGGTTGATTTCCACAGGTCCAGAAAGCGTACGACGAGGTCATCCTCGCGCCACTCCTCGCCAAAAAGGAGCAGAGAGGGTTGATAGTCGTCCTCCAATCGAATCCTCCTGCAGTATATAGATGGCACCTCCCCGGAACAACTATGTATCTGACCAAGGAGAACGACGCCAAGGCCTTCTCGGAAGCGCTGATCCGGGCCAAACTCGTCGACGCGCCCGCCGGCGACCGGCGTGTCAGGGAGCTGTTCAACAAGACCTTCCCGGACCTGGCCAACAAGAAATGGGCTAACTACATCAAGGCAGTGACAAAGGCGAAGATAGCGGCGTCGCCGAGGCTCATCGCGGTGGCGAAGGCCGCCGCCGCTGCCGCCGAGCGCCAGTCGCCGCAGAGCTCGCTCACTTCGTCGGACGTCGCTGCGCCTCCGCCGCGGCCGCGCGCGTCGGGCGTCGCCGCGGCGCCGTCGATCAGTCAGCAGAAACGGAAGGCGTCGCACCCTTCTCTGCAGAACTTCTTTAGGAAGAGGACGAAGCAGCCGCCGCGCGCCGCGCCGTCGCGCGACGAGCTGGCCCGCGCCGCGGCGCCACCGTCGCGCGACGAGCTGCCGCCGGGCGCCGCCGCGTCGCCCCGCGACGAGCCGGCGGCCGCCGCCGCCGCGCGCCTCTTCGCGGCGCCGCCGTCGCGCGCCGCGCCGTCGCGCGACGAGCTGGCCCGCGCCGCGGCGCCACCGTCGCGCGACGAGCCGCCGCCGGGCGCCGCCGCGTCGCCGCGCGACGAGCCGGCGGCGGCCGCCGCCGCGCGCTTCTTCGCGGCGCAGCCGTCGCGCGCCACGCCGTCGCGCGACGAGCTGCCGCGCGCCGCGGCGCCGCCGTCGCGCGACGAGCCGCCGCCGGGCGCCGCCGCGTCGCCGCGCGACGAGCCGGCGGCGGCCGCCGCCGCGCGCTTCTTCGCGGCGCAGCCGTCGCGCGCCGCGCCGTCGCGCAACGAGCTGCCGCGCGCCGCGGCGCCGCCGTCGCGCGACGAGCCGCCGCCGGGCGCCGCCGCGCCGCCGTCGCTCGCCCAAGTGACGGTCAAAAAGCGCAGGCGCATCGTCGAGTCCGACGACGAGGACGAGTCGCTGCAGCCGTCGCCCGAGGCGCACCCGTCCAAGATGCGACGCGTCTCGCCGCCCACGGTCACGGACGAGGCGACGCCCGACGCCCCGGACCCGCGCGTCTCGCCGACAATGATGGCGGACCTCGTCCAGCTCGCCCGCGAGGACCCCGGCGCCTTTGAAGCGCTCTGCGCCGCCGTGCGGCGGAAGGCGCAATCATGAGCGATCCGCGACGCGATCATCGCGTTCTAATGAAGGGCGTGCCGTCCTCCCTTCCCATCCCTCGCAGTCCCCCGTCTAAATATCATACCCCCGTCGTGTAATGCCAGCATTGGCGGGTGACAACTCCCGCATGAGAAAGGCAGAGTCAGCGACTATATAATCCGATGCTCTAGCCGTGTCTCGGACCACGACCGCCCTTCGACTTGCGAGAACTCCACAATCGGCTCGATTGCCGAGCTCCGGAACGCTTCACGCTTCGTTTCCACGCGCAGGAGATCATCAACAAGCTTCTCAACAACTGCGGCAACCAGAACCTCCAGTACTTGCTGGTCCCGTCGTGCCTCGAGGCCGCGCTGCTCGTGCTCAATATACACACCACTCCATTGGTTTCTCCAGAAACCACCCGTTCAACCCGAAGATGTCCATACTCTTATCTATCATCGTCGCTTATTCGTAGTTCTCGGCTCGATGTCCTGGTCGAAGGCCGACGCCGTAGTTCTCCGTTCTAAGGAAATGTCCTAACTCGATGTCCTGGTCGAAGGCCGCACGCCGTAGTTCTCCGTTCTAAGGAAATGTCCTGCGTAGGCCTGTGTAGAAATCAAAATTTGGACGCCCCACGCCATCGATGCGACGTCGTCCCCTTAACTGTATGTTCGATGGTGTGTAGATTCCACGCCATCGACGCGAGGTTGCCTACATTCCTGCGTCTGCTCGATGGCGTTCAGGTTGACGAAGTTCTCCGCGATAATTCTCAAGATAACCGAATTCACTGCTTGATTTCCACACGGTCGTGGTTAATTCGTAGGCCGCCCCGCTCCGCGACGCGTCCCGCTCGTAATCCTTGTGCAGTAACCCGAGCGGCCCAATCGTCGGGGCAAAGCGGTTCTTGTGCGAGGTCTAATACATGTCGTGCGCCATCGCGGCGTAGCTGGCCGTCTCGGTAGCGTGCGACGTACAGCCGGCGCTGGCTGGAGGGCCGAAACTGTGAATGCTAATAAACGCAGCGCGACGTCGTAATCCTGCACGAAAAGGCTGCGAAGCTACGCACTGCGCCTCACATTGACGGCTCGTGCCAGAGGCAACAAAGCCGAGAGTCACGAGCGCTAATAATTGCCAGCATCCCTAGTGTCTTACAGACCGCTAGCGGATGGCTCAATAAGTGGCTCTCTCTCTCTGATGGCTACCGGTACGAGACTACTTCTAGTACGACGAGTCCCAGGGAAAAAATAAACAGCACTCTGAATTAGGCAAGCAGCTCGTGGCACCGTTGCAAAGCCCCGGCGTCCCTCGACGATCACCAACAAAGATTGGGAGGTCCTATCTCTCACGACGCCTCGGACCGCCGATTCGGCTAGAGCATAAGGGTGCGGCTTCAACAAATTCGCATCGTCGCCGGCGCCGAAGCGCGCATACCCATCGTCATACAACCGCTCAATTTTCCGGAACGGGTTTATCGCGACGACCACCCCTCCGAGAGAACTATAAATGCGATCTCGTCGGTACCTCCGCCTCAAACACTCGAGCATCGTCGCCTCGCTCAGGTTCTCGAGGGCGGCCATGTCCTCCGTCTCCTCCAATGTTTTATCATTGGTTAAGCGTTCGACGTCGCTGCCGAGCTTCTCGAGCAGCACGCCGCCGTCGTCCATCTGAGTTTGAGCGTCGCCCCCAATCCAATCCCTTGCGACCCCGTGACGACGGCCGTGGCCCAGCCGTGGTCCTGGTCCTTCACGATGGAAACTTGAAAAATACGGATAAACAACGGCGGGGGTGATTACTAGATGCTCATAAATATATTTCATCGTCTTCTCAGGCCACGCCGTCGAGCCGCAGGAGTATATATAGAGTACGACGTTAATAGGGGGAGAGGGGACGGGAAACGCGCCTAGGACTCCTCCTTGGGCGCCTCGGGCGCGACGTTCTCCTCGTCCATGGCGTCCTCCTCGCCCGTGGTACCGTCCGCGACCGCAATCAAATCTTCGACGCGCGCCGTGAGGGCGTCCTCGCCGTGCGACGCCGCGATGCGCCGCGCCAGATCCAGCGACTCGCGGAGCTGCAGTCGACGGGCCAAATCGTAGGCGCGCGCGTAGGCCCCGTCCTTGGTAGCCGCGACGAGCTGGCGCAGGACCGCCCGGTCTCTTTGTAAAATGGCCTCGTTCGCGGCCCGCGCCAGATCGCGGGCGATGCGCTCGTGCTTCGCCGCATCATCAGAAGCCGGGCGTCTGGTGAAGGCCAGGACGCCCGCCGCGCCCGCGAGTCGAGCCCGCTGGCGCGCTAGAGTCGTGGGCGCCCCGAGCCCGGCCTCGGCCCTCCGCTGCGCCGCGTCCCGCGCGGACGACGCGTGGGGCAGTCTCAGCGGCAGCGCGTCGAGGACCGGGCGGGCCCCTCTACACTGCGGCTGCGTCAGCCCCCCCTTGAGCACGCAGCAGTGGACGGAGCCGTGCTTCGCGTAGACGGGCCATTCTCTGTCACCGATGTTGTGCCTCGTGGTGGCGGCGTCGAGCGCCGGCGCCCAGCGGTGCCCGAAGTCGTCGACCAGGAGCCAGAAGGAGCCCTGGGAATCACTAGCTAATAAAACGCCGTCGTCACTCTTGAACGCGAGCCACGTCAGCAAACACCCAGGCTGCAGAGGTAATCTCGTCCCGTTGCCATTTAACGTCTGACGCGATTCCACGTCCAAGACCTGGACCTGGACGTGCTGCCTCCCTTCTCCATCAGGAATACCTCCATGGTAGGCAACAGCCAGGTACTTGCCGTGGGCCGCGCAGGCCACCACCGGTCCTAAGGAAGCCACCACGGCATCTTCGACGCCACCCGTCGAGTAGATTCGGATGAGATCGCGCGACGTACAGGCCGCCACGAAGTCGTCGCCCGCGCACACAACTTGAACTCTCTCACCAGGAGGCAGTGTGGCCGACCAGCCGGCGTCGCGCGCCCACGCGTCCAGGGGACGGAAGTGGAGGATCGACGGCGCGTTTTCGTTGTCCTCCTGACCTTCGGTCCCGAAGACGGCGCCGTTCTTGCCCAGGGAAGCGACCGTGAAGTCCCTCCTGTCGACGAAGCGCGTCGTCTTCGTCCGGGCCAATCCCTCAGCGAAGTGCTCGACCTCGAAGGCAAATTCTAATCCACCTTCTTCCGCGCGAGCGGTGACGCAGCCCTTCTGCGACCAGTGGAGGTAGCGTGGGGCGCCCTCGTCCTCCTCTATTGTACTAGAAGGCATGAAGGGCTTCTGGCAGGGGATCAAGGGAGTCTGGACGACGGGCGCTTCCTCGTGGATCGACTCTTCCTCGGGCGGCGGCGCGAAGGGCTCCTGGCCGGCGAAGGGGTCGTCGAGCTGTTCATCCCCAATAATCTCGTCGTCCTCGGGACTCGGTTCGTTCTCGGCTTTCGGGGACAGTGATAAGTCAACAGACTCGTCGTCCTCGACGATGCGCTTCTTCTTTCGGCGAGACACGATGGGCACTTCGTCCTCGTCCTCATCAATCTTGCGCTTCTGCGGCGACTCGGACGCCTGGTCCTCTATCAATGAAGGTTCTTCTTCAGGCTCCACAACTAGTGCCGTGGCGAGGGCACCATGTTTGGAAGCTAATACCAGCGCTTCACCCTTGTTGTGCGTGATGAGGGCGAGCGACTGGACTCTAATATCACAGGCAAAAACTTTTAAGGTAGACCCGGTGGCGGCGTCCCAGATGGCCGCGGTATTGCTTGTGAGTTGATCGGTGATGGTCGCGACGAGCGTACCAGCAGCATTCCAGGCACAAGCTACCACGGCACCGCCTTCGAACAGGGCCTTCTGGTCCTCGTCGGGGAAGACGCCCTGGGCCGACTTGCCCCAGTCCATGTCCGTAGGCTCTCGCTTGAGCAGTGTAAGTTCCGGTCGCCCCGGCGCCGCGAGCCATTCTCCAGAGTTAGGTTGCCAGGCGCACTGGAAGAGGGGGTTGTCGTCCTCGAGGGCCGTCTGGGACAGGGTCTTCTCGATCTGCAGGGAGCACCTTGACTTTAATGTAGAATCATCAACACCAGAACCAACCGACACCTCGTACAACGAGAGTTGCTTACTTCCGAGATCTACAACGGCCAACGCCTCGGCATTCTTCGGGTCGAATGATGAATCCGTGCCTGTCGTATCAAGTTCCAGGGAAGAACCGGACTTGACGTCCACGACGAGCACTTTACCATCTCTACAAAGAGCTAATTTGGAGCCGTCCACCGACGCCCGCAACGACGAAGGCATGACGTCGTTGGCCTTGACGAGCTCTTTGCCTTCTCCTTCATCAAGGTTGGCGTACAGCCTCAAAACGCCGGTGTTGTCCGTCAACGCCACTGACCCCCCAGGCAGGGGCACCGTGAAGGCGATCTGGTCCACATCATCCGGTTCGAGGGCGGAAGAGGCGGACGCGAGGCCGTCGCCCTGCCCGGACGCCGCCGCGTCGACCAATTTGGCGGCATCGACGACATACGCGCGGCCCTGGCGGCCGCTGCTCACGGCGAGCGCGCCGTCTTCTCCATTAAGAGCGAAGGCGCCGGCGTACTCTTCTAGTCCAAACTGGAGGTCGAGGGCCATGGTTGTGGCTGCGTGCTGCGGCTGGCAGTTTTGAGTGCTCCGCGCCAAGCGCTGGTACGCGGCCGCGGCGGCTCACGCTTCGCTGCGCGAGGTCACAGCGGGTCACAGGTGCTGCGGCGAGCTGCCTGCGTGACCAGTTTGGCCGCAGATGAGCTCAAAACCGGCTCGTCTCGTTCAAACTCTTTGAGAGCAACCCGCGCGATTTTGATCCAGCCCAACCACCGTCCCATTCCTTCTTTGCGAGTCTGAAGGCTCGGTGTGCACTTTCCGAGGGGTCGGAAGCGCATCTGCTAGGCAGCCCATCGCTTTGGAGGCATCTCCAGCCAGCACGGTCATCACACGCCCTACACCGCACACCGTATCACCCGGCGCCTAAAATGCTCTTCAAAAGCCCAGATCTATGTTGCCTTTGCTCGCCCAAAAGCTGCGTGCAGCGCCGACCTCGCCATCACGAGTTTGAGCAGTGGCAACTGGTCTGCAGCAGCCAGTGGTCGGGCGCGAGGAGTGCCCACGCATACGTGAAGCGTCAGTCGTGCTGCCACGCGCCGGCGTGCACCCCATCTCGCAGCTGCACACGCGTGAGCCGGCACTCGCCACGACGCGACGCGCGTCCGCGGCACACCCGACTCGCAGCCCCGTACGGTTCAGCCGCCACAACACAACACGACGCGCGCCCGCCGCAGGCGAACCATGGCCCTCTCGAAGCTTACATTAGCGCCGGCCCGCGCCTTAATGCGCCAGGCCGCGCGCGGCATGGCCCGCAAGCCGATTGTGGGAGGCAACTGGAAGTGCAACCCCGCCACCGCCTCGTCGCTCGACGAGCTCGTCAGCAACTTCGACGGCTGCGCCCAGTACCTCGACAAGTGCGACGTCTACGTCTGCCCGTCCAACTTACACGTCGCGCTCGTCAAGGACTCGTTCAAGCCCGGTATTAAAGTGGCGCCCCAGAACTGCAACTTCACGGGCTGCGGCGCGTACACGGGCGAGATGTCCGTGGACCAGATCAAGGACATGGGCATGTCCACCGTCCTCATCGGCCACTCGGAGCGGCGCGGCGAGTTCGGGTTGCCCACGCCGAAGGAGTCGAACGAGCTCATGGCCACGAAGCTCCAGTACATTTTGGACCAGGGCCTCAGCTGCGTCTTCTGCATCGGCGAGCCGCTGCCCATCCGCGAGAAGGGCGTCGACGCGGTGCTCGCCGAGTGCGCGAACCAGCTCGAGGACATTGTGCCCACCTGTGTGGAAATCGACGCGACGCCTGCTCGATAGCGTGGTCGGGTGCACCCGACACACTGGTTGATTTCCACGCAGGTACCCATCCTCAAGTCGCTCGAAGATAAATCTAGAGTCGTCATCGCCTACGAGCCCGTCTGGGCCATCGGCACGGGTGTGGCCGCGACGCCCGAGCAGGCCCAGGAGACGCACAAGGGCATCCGCGACTGGATCGCGAAGAACGTCGACCAGACGACGGCCGACGAGATCCGCATCCAGTACGGCGCTGTGTGGAAATCTATCAGTGCGTCGGGTGCACCCGATTCCATCGAGCAGACATCGCGTCGATGGCGTGGAGGACGACGCGATGATTCAGCACGAACGCGCCGTAAAATTTTGATTTCCACACAGGTACGGCGGCTCGGCGAACGCGAAGAACGCCCCGGAGCTCTCCGCGTTCCCGGACATCGACGGCTTCCTCGTCGGCGGCGCGTCTCTCAAGCCCGAGATCGCCGACATCGTCGCCGCGATCTCGGCCGCGAAGTAGGCCGTGTTCCCACGCTATATACGTGTCTTCATCACATGTTACACAACTAGCACCGGTGACTCGCCGTCCGCCGGCGGAGGAGTTGCCGGCGGCGGGCCGGGAGGCGGCCGCGGCCCCCCGCCGGCGCCGCGCCCCATGCGCCGCTCTTCGGGAGGGGGCGCTGGCGGCTCCTCTGCTCGCGCGGCAACGGCGACCTTCGACCGGAAGTAGTCCCGGTCGCGCTTGACGTTCTCAAGCCGCGACTCGGCCTTCGCGTTGAGCGCGACGAGCTCCTCGACGCGCGCGGCCAAGGCCGCCCGCGCCGCCGCATTTTCAGCCGCGTCTGCGTCCCACGCCACGAGCGCGTCGGCGAGCCAAGCTTCGGCAACGACCGCGCGCGCGTCCTTCGCCACGCGTTCGGCGCCGAGCGCCGCGCGCGCGTCGTGCATAGCCTCCAACGCCTCCTCCGCGACTCGACTCTTCTCCGCGATGATCCGCTTCGTCGCCGTCTCGAGCGCGTCGCGAGTTGAGGCGTCGGCGCGCTTTTGGACGTCGACGCGCTTCGCCGCCGCCGCGCGCTGCGCCTCCTGCGTCGCGAGCGCCCCTCGTAGCTGCTCGTTGGCCTTCAATAGAGCGCGGAAGCGGCTGCCGGACAGGAACGCGGCCGCGGCGTGCGCCGCCGCGGCCGCGCGCGCCACGTCCGCCTTTTGGGCCGCCAGCGCGTTCGCGTCGCGTCGCGCGATCTTCTCCGCGGCGTCGGCCGCGACTGCTGCATTGCGCGCCGCATCAATTTTCTCGGTGGCGCGATCCGCGGCGGCGGCGCGCTCGCGGGCTTCTCGCGACTGTTGGGCCGCCGCGTGGGCCCGGACGGCCTTGAGGTCGCCCTCGGCGCGGTCCCGCGCGGCCTCGGCGGCGTCCAGCGCGGCCCGCAGTCTCTGAGCTTCGGAACTCGCCGCGGCGAAGGCCGCGTTCGCAGCTCGGCGCTCATCCTCCACAAGCGTCGGCTCGAGCATCCGGGCCTGCAGCGCCTCGAGCTTGCCCTGCATGTTCGCGAAGTTCGCGGCGAGGTCCGCGTTGCCGCTCTCGGCGGTGAGCGGCGACGTCGGGCCCGTATCGAACGTATCGGCCCGCGGCGCGCTCTTCTGCTCCGGGTGGCCCCGCGGCGACGACGACGCCGACGACGCGGCGGACGCGGCGTCGGTCACGAGCCCGTCCGCCGCGCACGCCGCACGGCGCCGCGCCGTCTGGCCGCCGAGGGCGCCCGTCGTCCGGGTCCACCCCGGTGTCTCGTCCGAGTCCACGAGCGTGCCCCCGGGGCTCTCGACGCGTGGGCGGCGTCCGGCCGTCGGGCTCGAAGCGCTGGACCGCCGCGAACTCGCGAACTGCGCGTCGTAGCCGCCGCGCGGCGGCGGCCGGGCCAGCGGGGAATGACGAGCGGCGTCGTAGAGCTGCCGCAGCTCGTTCTGCAACGGGTGCTCCCACTGCGAGACGCCGTCGTCCCTCAAGTAGTAGAGGTGGCCCTCGGCGGTCCGGTAGCGCGCCCAGTCCGCGCGGCGCCAGAGCGCCGCGCGCGCGCCGATCCAGGCCAGCGACTTGTCGGAGATGCCCAGGAGGCTCATCTGCTCGCTGACGTCGTCGACGGTGACGGGTTCCGTACTGTTACGCAGGTGCGCATCTAGCAAATTGACGGCGACGCCCTCGGGGTCGCCGGCGCAGATCTCGTGGAGCGCCTGGAGGCCGCGGCGGGCCATTTGGCGCTCCTCTGTAGGCTGCCAAGTTGGGGAGCGGTGGCCTTTGCCTGACTTTAACGTCGCGTCGGCGGCGGGTGTATTGGGCCTTTGCCCACGTTGGGGCAGCCCAGGAGGGCGTAACAATAAAGCTGCCCGGAGGGTGCGCTGCTAGCGGCCTGTAAAGACACTAGCAAGCGGAGATCCTCGCCATGCCTCCTGCTTAGCGACCCGGGCGACGAGTGGGTTGAAAAACACAAGTTAGCCACAACAAAGCACACTAGGACAGGTCGAAGCCCGCGCCCGAGTGGATCGACGTGAGCAGCCGCTCCTTCAAAACCTTCTCCGAACTGTAGGAAGGTAATTTCAGAGTGTTGAAGCACGTCGAGGCCGAGGGCAATTTATCAGAATCCGGGATCTTGCGGATGGTGAAGGGCGGCTCGAGGGCCCCAAATCCCAAGGAAGGCCCGCGCTCGCACGCCGTGACAAATTTCAACAGCGCGGCCCGATCGGACGGAGAGAGCTTCTTGCAGACGGCCCAGAAGCGTTGGATCGTAGAATCATTGGAACGGCAGTTTTCATAGCGAGTGAACTTGCGCAAATCATCAACGTCGATGGCCGCGTCCGCGCCACTGATCAAGACTTGTAGTTCGGGCGCCGCGAAAACCCTGAGTAGAGACACATCAACCGCATCCGCCAGACCGCCCACAAACGCCTCCGACGGCTTCTTCAACCGATCGACCATGTGGAACCGCGCGACGGCCTGGACGTACGCGTGCTTGTTTTGGTTGGTGACGTCTGTCTTCGAACCGTCGTACCTCAAGTCCTGGGTCACCGTCTCGCCGAAGCGCTCATAAGTTATAGTGAAGTCCAGGCCCAGATCCGCCGCGTCGCCATCGTACAACTGGAGGAACCGCAGATTCTTGTGGAGCTCCGGGTCTAAGCTACGAAGATCTTCTAACAACGTCACGTAGTTGAAATCGCCCGTCAGGAAACTCAGGAAACTCCGCGAGAACCTCGGCTGCACCGTCAAGCCTTCTCTCAATGCTTTTCCTAACACCCTTCCAACAAATCTGAACAGCTCCAGCGCTTCCCGCTCGCCGTGTGCCGTCGCCGCGTCGGGGTTTGGGTAGAGCAATCCATCATGCTTCGTCGTGCGGAAGAGCCCGAAGGCCTCGTCGAAGGCCCTCTTGGATAGCTCGGTCCAGAACTCCTTGAAGAGGCCGCCCGCATCAATCCCCGCCTCCGTCCGGCCGAAGTCGTCGACAAATTGCACGCTCAGCCTCCCTTGGAGTTGTAAAGGCGTCAAGGCCGCGACCTGGGCCAGGCCGTCGTCCAAGATGCGGCACCGCCGCACCCGTACGCGCGTCGCCTCCGCGGCACTCGGCCGCGCGTTGTCCGAACTGTGTAGTGAGAAGGCGTCGGCCCGGTGGCGGAAGGACACGCAGAAGGGCATGCGCGCCATGAGTCGCTTGCTTCGTTGCGACTGTCTCTGTGCTATTTCTGCATGCGCGTCCTGCGCTTCATCCACTAACCAACCGCTCGGCTTGCATAAGGGCCGCCGGCAGTGCCTCGCATGCAAGTCTCTCAACAACGTGACGACCCACGCAAACAACTCGTCCCTCACGGCATCTTTTTTTGGGGAAGACCAGCAGTAACTAAACGCCGCCGGTTTATACATTTGTAGGACTTTGCGCAGCATGAAGGGCTGTAGTGGATGGCCTTGGAGCACGTCGTCGTCGTCCGCCACTAATAATGCATGCCGTAGCAACGCCGCGGTCACACAAGCCAGCGCGACGTCGCTCGTCAGTCGTCCTCCACTAAAGTACGCTGATAGAGCGTAAGTCACGCGCTCCGGTTGCGCTGCTAGGAACCCCCAGAGCTTTCTCGGAGCGTCGTTCCGGAAGGTCAATTGCGTCAGGGCCTTCAGCCTTAAAACAGGAGAGCACGCCGCCAATCCCAGACATGTGGCGAGGGCCCAGGCCTCGGCGTCTCCAATTATCATGGGAGTCAAGGAAGGCGCCTTGATTTTGGTAACCGAGTAGTTTTTGGGAGCCGGTTTCTTTTTCGACGAGTAGCCAAAGGCTCTGAGCACGGACTTCTCCATGCTACCCGCGGTCTTCTCCAATTTTCGAGCCCACTTCGATCCTACCATATCGGCGAGGGCCGACCGCTTCTTCTTCGCGGCGGCCTCGGAAAACTCGTCGGCGGTTTGTTGGGCTAATTGCGCGTCGAGGGCCATTTCACTTGCCGGGGGCGCGTCGAGGAAGCCTAAATCAATCTCTGATACCAGAGCGTCGAACAACACGCCCAGACACCCGTTCCGCGCGTCCACGAGGTCCTTCGCTCTATCTCTAAGCTCGCGGGACGCCGTCACGGGCGTCTTCGCGCCGCGCACCACGCGCCAGGCCACGACCACATCCTCGTCCGTGAATAATGATGAGGCGTTCTCCGTGCGCTTGAGTGAAGTGGCGACGGCGTCGGCGAAGGCGCGCGCGTCACTATTTTTTGATGAGAGGAGCCGCCGTCCCAAACTACCGAGCGTTCCCAATATACGAGCGTGCGCGTCGACATCTGCTTCACCACTCTCGGCCAGCGGGCCCTCTTCAATCATAGCTCGGAGCGCTTTTGATGAACCATCGCCGACGAGCGCTCGTTTACCGGCCTCGCCCGCGACCTCCACAATATTTGTTGGCCACAGCAGCCGCGCAAAGAGCGCCTCCTCACCTAAACGTCGCGCCGCTGAAGCTGCCGCGGCGACGGCCGCTTCGAGGAAGGCGCCGCGCCTGCCTCGAATTGCTACTCGCAGCGCGCCATCGTCGTCGAGGATTAATTCACGCAAATCAACATCGCCGCGCCGGTTTAGTAAAGCGCCGACGGCGTCAATTAATCCTTCGTTTCTGTTACTCAGCCCGACGCGCCAGCACCGCGCCGCGAGGACCTTCAGCCGCCACGCGTCGTCGTCTTTGCAATCCGCGAGGCCCGCGACGTTGATGATGGCTTCGAGCGCTTTGGCGTCGAGGGCGTCGCGCGCGAGCGCCGCGTCTCTCAATAAAGGCCCCGCGTGCTCCGCCGGCAGCGTGAAGGGTTTGTTTGCGGCCGCGAGCAGTTGTTTCAGTTTCGCGATGTCAGCAGACTTCTTCGTGCAGCGCTCGGCGCAGCTTTTCCGGAAAGCGGTTCTGTGTGCTTGTCGTCGTATAGCTTTAGTGATCACTAACGCGGGCCGCTGTTCGCGCTTGGCTCGCGCTCGCGCTTCTCTTGCTGCTTTGGCTTGTTCGATGGTGTCGTTCCTCGTGTTCTTTTTGTCGCTGCTGCGGGAGGTCCACTCCATTTTAGCACCTGGTCTTTGTGCTGCGCACGGAGCGGCGTGCGGTTGGGAGAAAGCTGTGCTTTCGGCGCAGCCGTTGAACAGGTACAGGATTATAGCTCTTATCACGATGACTCGTTCGGCGCTTTACGCCAGAGCGCTTTTTGTCATTATTGACAAGGGGCTAGCGGCCTGTAAGATACTAGCAAACAAGCAGACGTATCAGACGCCCGCAGATACGACTCTATAGGTATTCATACACAAGCTGCTTACGCTTTTTCTGTGCGGCAGTTATAGCACTTGTCCAACTGAGCATCACAGATGACACAAAGGTAAGCGGGGCAACAGGGCTGGCGGTTCATCTCGTCGTGGCGCCTTGTCTCACTGCATATCGGACACGTCTTCGTGCCGACGCGCCGAATGTCGAAGACGTCGGTACCGTCGTACGTCGTGCGTTCGGACGCGCCGCCCGTCTGAAGGGTGCACGACTGCCAGGACTCATCATCAAGCTCGACGATGGTCCCCTGGGCACGCTCATCAGAATCGATGGGTACGAAAATCACATTCGAGCCCACGCGCAACTGGAATAACCTCGCGTGAAATTCGAAGCTTGCGGCGGCCTGGACGACGACGGTGTTCTTAAACAGCGCCTGTTCCGATGTTCTCTTGAGTTGGTTGTCTAATTGCACGCGCTCGGCGTCGCTAATCTCTCGGAAACCACACCTTTCCCAGAAATCGTCATCTCGTCTCACGGCCTCCACGAAGGTCCGCGGCATGCCGCGCTGCGCCGCGATACGAGCGAGGTTTCGCAAAAGAAACTTGGCATAGCCTCTTTGCCGCACATTCGCCTTAGTACACAACAGGCGCACTCGCAGCCGGTCCGTATCGTTGTAGCCGCCCAGGCGCAGGGGTCGAGCCGTGACGACAGCCGCGGCGGAGACAGGAGCGAGCGGTGCGTCCGCACGGCTGATGCAGACGAACCGGACGGTTTCGAAATCGCGCGTTTCGCTCCTGATGATATCTTTAACCGCCGACGTGGGGGGCCGGCCTGGGGCGGTGAATCCTTCGGTCAGGAGCGTCCGCGCCGCAGCCAACTCGGCTGGCGTCTTCGCGACCCACAGCTGCATCTCGCGCGTCTGCCCCTCTCCTTGAAAGTCCAGGGTCTCCCGCAGGTGGTTATCCAAACGAGAAGTGACCCTTCTGGAACGCCGCGACGACCTCGTAGTTTCGGGTTGCGCCTCAGTAAATTCCCGCCAGTGCTCCAGTGGGGGCTCTGACCGCTGCGCCGCGGCGGGCACGCGGGGCCGCCGCCGCGGCGCGGGGCGGGGCGCGGCCGCGAGAGCCGCACGCGCCGGCTGCCGCGGCGCGGGAGGCGGCGCGGGCGCGAGACGCGCCGGCGCTGGCGGCCGGCCGCGACCACGCGCGTCGCGCTCCGCGCGCAGGCGCGCAATCTCCTCGTTCGCGCGGCCCAGCCTCCTTTCGGACTGGTTCAGTCGCAAACGCAAGGAAAGGATGAGATCTCGCAGTTCCTCATCCAGTGATAGCGAGCCGATCAGAGGAATCCCGCGAGAGACAACGTCCGGGTCATCCGACTGCAGGAGCTCGTATATCTCGGCCGCGGACAGCTGCGGCGCTACAGGCGCACCGGCGGCAGTGGACTCGTCGGACTCGTCATCATTCTCGGGAGCGGACGCTGGCGGCGCCGGCGACGGTGGCGGTGGTGGCGCAGCCTCAGCGGGCGCCGGCGCCGGCGCAGGAGCGGCGGCCTCGTCGGGCTCTCCGGTGCGAGCCCGCTTGCGGCGCGTCTGTGCCGGCGCGGGCGCCGGGGGGCTCCGCTGCTTCTTTTGTGTCTTGCTGCCCCAGCCGCCGCGGCCGCACGTGTGGCGCCTGTGGCTGCCGTTGCAGGCCTGGCACTTGGCGGGCGGCCGGTCCGACTCGCTCGACGCATCGTCCTCGACTGGCTGCTCCTCCTCCATCGTGTCAGCAGCTGGCCGGATATCCGTCTTCGGGTAATCACCGTCGTAGCGCCTAAGCCCGCCCTTAAAAAGGATCCGGAAGTACTCCGTTTCCTCGATAGTGCGCACCGAGTCCACGCGGGCATCGAGCCACCGGTCATTGACCTTGCACTGGCAAGGTCCGCCAATGGTTATCCTCTGCCGCCGCGGCGGCGGCGCTTCAGCCATAGATCCTGGGGCTTGCAACAAGGGCCTGGTGGCTATGATCTGGCTATGGGGCGCTGTCCCGCCGATGACCACGGGCAGCGTCTTGTGTAGAACTGTCGCGTGGTGCGTCAGGCCGATTCTAACGCGATCAGCGCGCGTATCGCGGCAGACAAAGCGCATCTAGCGCGCCTGGCATTCTAGCTAGCGGCATGTAAAGACACTAGCAAAAGCCGCCGCGACGCGCCGGTAATTCGAGCAAGCTCAGCAGCCATACATGCTGCATTCCAGTGCTGTCCATCACCTGTAAACGCAGCACGCCGTCGGAGCGACGGCGGAAGACTAGACGCCTCTGCTGGGTGTGAATGCTTGGAGACCTGACCATGGCGCGCCGCCACGGCCACGCGCCGCTCCCGCCGGACAGCTCATTTCCCCGCCGGCCGTCGCACGAGAGCTTTGGGAAGGGCCACGCGCCGGCTCGAGGCCTGCTGGCAACTGTGCTGGCCGCGGTAAAAGGCGTCCTGCAGACGACGGTGTGCACCATCCGACGGCCGAAAGAGTCGTGTTCATCATTGCGGCGCTTCTACAAGCAGTTTAAAGGGGGCGCGACGCGACTCTGGGCCGACGGACGCGTCGCCTGGCGGCACCGCAAACTCGACGAGCGGGACCGGTGTCGGTTGTTGGACTGGAGGACCGCGCGCATCGCGAGGCGGGCGCCGTGGGAGGTGCTGCACGTGCTCTGGCTCGTGTTCAATCCCATGCCCCCGCCGCTCGGATTCTTCTGCATCGCGGCGGCCTACCGCTGGCCGCGCATGTTGCTGAGTCCCCAGTTCCACGAGCCCGAGCAGAAGGCGCGATTTGCGAGGGACGACGACCGGCAAAGGGCCGAAGCACGCGCCATGTTGCGAGGCGGCCAGTTGGCATCAGCACTAGTGGCGGCGTCATTATGTGTGAACGACGAAGCCGCGTTGCGGGCGCAGTTCCGCGGGCCGCTCGCGTGGAGCCGCTTCGACGCGCGCGACCGCGCCGCGTTACTCATGCTCGCGGACCCGGCGCCGCGCTGTTGCCCCTGCTCTGTTTTGAGTTCTCGGAGGCTCGCCGCGAGGGCGGCGGAGCTGCGGGAGGACGACCAGTTGCTGCGGCCCGCGTTGTTATCTTTAAAATCCGCGGAGCTCCACGCGTGCGCCGCCGAGCGGGCCCTGGTGGTGGACGCGGCGGGCGACGCGGCGCTGCGCATGGCGCTGGAGCGGTGGCTCGACATGAGGGCGCGGGTGGGAGCGGCGCCGGACCACGCGCCGTTCGTGCTGGCGCTGCTCGCGGACGCGGGGGGTGGGCTGGGGCTGGCGTAAAGTAGTTATCTGTGGAAATGCTAGTGTCTTACATGCCGCTAGCGCGCACCTGGGAAAAAACGGGCCCGTAGCCGCAGATTGATCGTGAGACGTCACTACACGTGGTCCTCGAATTAGCCTTAGTCACTCCGTAGCACACTGGACCCTGTCGAATCGGTGGTCCTGCTCTAAACACTCTCAACTCAGGATGGCACATTTTACGGCAGGCGTCGCTCTAGCGGTCGTGATCCTGACCGCAGCAGACCCCACGCTACGCCCGTCGACGCCACCGACGCGACCGCCTACGGCGCCGTCGCCGCGCCCGACGTCGAGCACGCCGCAGCCGACGGACCTCATACGGATCATCGAGCAGGACGTGCAGAGCGCGCCGTATGGGCTACCGTCGAATACCTGCGCCGCCTTTCAGGTGTCTTTCGAGGGCGGCAGCGACAAGAAATTCAGGGTTGAGATCACCGACTCCGAACGCGGCCTGAATTACGTCGCCGCGGGACTAGCCTACTACAACAAAAACGAGGTCTACGGCGATCCCTTCACGCTTGCAAAATGCGATAGTGATTTCGACTACGACGCCCAGAGCCCCCAGCCGCAGTGCTGGGGGCCCGATTCCAGCGCCGTCGACGTGAGCGGGTACAAGGACCGGGCCGACTGCTCCGGCGACGTGGATGCGTTTGTGAAGGACCTGGGCGACGACGTCGTGACCACCTTTGCGTTTCGTGCCTCAACGAATGCAAAATGTAGGACGTCGTCCGGCGACTACTACCTTTACGTCTACGCGCAGCGACGGACGTCCGTGAGCTTCCTCGTCACGTCGGCGAAATCGTCGTGCGGCGGCAACAACAAAAAAGCGGAAAAAGTATCCTTAACCCTCCTCGCGATCTTGCTCCCGATCGCGTTCTGCATCGCGATCATCGTCTGCGTGGCCTACTGCGGCTGGGCGACGTGGGAGAATTGTAAGCCGTCGAACCACCGGCCCACGGAGTATCCGGAGCATCCCCCGGAGGGCTACGGCCAGGAACCGGTGTTCGATACTCCGGCAACCGGTCAGCTCGACCAGCCCGTCAGCGCCGGTTATGGGCATGGGGGCAACTGGGCCTCCGCGACGCCGGTCGCCTCGGCGCCGCCCGTCGAGCAGAGTACAGGGTGGACGCCGGCGCAGCATGTCTATAAATAAAGTTAGTCCTCATAAACCCAGAGAAGAATGGACCTTCGGGGAGGGCGAGAAGTGGGCCTTCGGCGGCGGCGGCGGCGGCGTCTCCGCGAAGGCTGCGTCCAGCGCGCCCGCCGTCGTCGCCACGTCGTCTGGCTCGTCGTCGCTCGTGTACGGCGAGGAACTCCGCGAGCGCCGCCGCTTCGGCGACCCAGACCTCGACCGCCGCCGCCGCTGCGACGTACTAGGCGCTCCAAGAGACGGGTGGGCTCCAGAGACGTATGCGGGCAGCCGCTTCGGTCGCACGCGGATCTGGCCGTAGCCGTCTCGCGCGACGAGCAGTAAGGCTGCATCGTTTTCTTCCCGTCCAAAGTAGTTCCTAGCGCTAAACAACGTCACCAAGCGGCCAGCATGCATGTACTTGTACCCTCTTCTAACGTACTGATGCGATCGCACGACGAGGTCGATGCCGTTGCCCTCACAGAATCTATCAGTCACGTCGGGCCCGAACTCAACACTAATCCCCCCGCGCGGCGACATGTGCACGCCCCGCCGCATGTCCGCGTCGGAGTCTGAGGGGTCGCTCCACAGCGCCTGCACGACCCAGGCCGGCGCCACCCTCAGATCAGATAACGGTCGCGGCACGCCCGCGGCCAGGTCCTCGAGCCGCCAGCTCCCGTCGCCGACGCCCCCGTGGACCACTAATATGCGGTCACCGACTAAAGCAGCCAAAGGCAACCACTCGAAGACCCCGAAGCACGCCTCGTACACTTCATGTGCGTCGTTCGGCGGGAAGGCCCGGCTACACGCCGCTTTAAATGAAGTAGCGCCCATGCGCTCCGACGTACTTCGAAATTCGTGGTTGCCCCTGACCAGATAAATGCGCTGCGGGTAGAGTGCTTTGAGCGCGAACAGCAACGCCACCAAAGCGACCTGGTGCTCGCCGCGATCGATGAAGTCGCCGTTGAAGACATACGAGCACAACTCGACGTCGCCCGCGTTCTTGTGGGTGGGCGCCCCAAAGGACGCGAACAGGAGCAGCACGTCCCGCAGCTGCCCGTGCGTGTCCCCGAAGATCTTGCAGGGCAACCTCGCGCGTACCAAGGGCGGCTGCGCCGCCGCGATGCGCTTGCACGCCTGCGCGAGCTCCACTACTCTTCGTGCGAGGACAGATGGATCTGTGGCATCTAACAACAAAGCTAGAGCGGCGTCCGGCGGGTCACACAGCCACGTCCTATCTAATTCATCTTCCGGCGCGTTGAGGCAGCTGCGAGCCATAGCCCCGGCCCTATCCACACAACCCATGGCCACATCAAATAATTCCGAGTCGCGCTGCGCGGCACCCGGCCCCCGCCAATCAAACTCGCAGGCCAACGGTGCCGCTAACTCCAGATCGGCGTTCACGGCTTCCGGGTGCACCGGCCGCGTGACCGCCTTCCGCGACACGCCCTCGCAGGATTCCGAAGTGGACGCGACCTGGGCCTCCGTGGCGCGCGTGACCGCGACCTGGTCGTAGGCCTCGAGAGCCACGCGCAATCCCGGGCGATTGGCCTGCCCGCCGTCGGCCTCCGCCCGCGCGTCGGACGCCCGCCATCGATGGCGTCGTCGCCGTTGCGGCGAATCCCCGGAAAAGCCCATCAGTAGATCTCTTTTTTCTAACCCTCGCGGCCCCAGCAGGTCCTGATCGAGTAAATCGCTCAGGAAATCTTCCTCGGACAGCCCCTGCTCGCCGCACATCGCATCTGGTATTAATCTAGGTCTATTCTTGGATTCTCGATGCTGTTCCAGTACTCGCATGACATGGTCGACGTGCGTGTCGCCCGCACACAGATCCGCGACAAAGTCCCGGTAGTCCTCCCTCGTCAAGCCCTTGGGGCCCCTTCGGTCGTATTTGTGCCATAGAGCCGCCCCGCGCATGCGATCCAACTCCGGGCACGGCCTCGCGTCACGATGATGAAAGGCCTCCCGCAGCAACAGATACTCGCGCTTGTTCAGCGTGTCCTCGCCCGTCAGATCCGCCGAAGCGAACGCCGCCGCGGCTTGCACGTGGTCGAGGCCCCAGAGTTGCCGCGCGGCCATCAAAAACGACTCGCGCGTCATATTTCTCGGTCCGTTCGTCTTCGTTTGCGCGCCCACGATGCGGTGGAACTCCGTGTCCGACCGCATCTTCGCTTCGATCCTGTCGTCGTAGAACCCTAGTTTTTGTAATAGCGCCTGCTCCCGCTGTTCCGTTTCTTGCGTACTGGGTTCCTCTTCAAAGTCGATCGAGACGCTCCGACAGTAGCGCAGCGCGCCGGCGGGGCCGAGGCGGCCGTAGTTGGCCATTGTTGTTTCTCTGTTCTCTGAGATCGCTTTGGGGCAGCTCTTTGGGCAGCCTCTCTCGCGTTGCTCGCTCTGCAAGTGGTGCGCCGCCCAGGTCTGGCTCTGTAGGCGGTGCTTGCCCACTGCCTCTGTTTTGGCGCTGGCTACACGACGAGCTTAATTGGCCTCTGGTCTTGGCTTTTGTGGGCTGCCCGCACGATCAGAGGCCGCCAAGTGGGTGGGTGGGTGGGCTCTGCTGCAACTTATGCGAGGAGTCCTACTAAGAATGGCGGGTGTTTGGAGGGTTTGCTCCTTTCCGCCGCAGGCCGTCGAGCTCTCACGGCGAGGCGCAGTTTCAGTGGCAGTAACAATCGCACGAATCAACATGGCGGCATAACGACAGCGTATGAATCGAAGACACATACCAATCCGTCATATGCGCACAACGCCGCTGGCCGCTGGCACTCACACACTGCCTGGTGTGGTCACCACTCTCTGTCGTGGTCGCGGCGCGCGGAGCGATGGTGGCTGTGCACGCACGACGCACCGTGGCATCGCTTTTGCACTGCTGCACACACAACAAAGCGTCGATGCGAAACCGCACCGCACACCGTCGTCGTAACGCACACACGAACGCAGGCGCGCCTCTTCTCGACGGCCCGGCGGCTCGTGCCCATCGCCGACCGCGTCCTCGTGAAGCGCGTCGAGCACAAGACGCAGACCGCCGGCGGCATCTACCTGCCGACGGAACAGAAGGTGAACGAGGCCGACGTCGTCGCCGTCGGCCCGGGAGCGACCGACGAGAGCGGGAAGCTCATCCCCATGGAGGTCGCCGTCGGCGACTCCGTGCTGCTGCCCGAGTACGGCGCGACGGCCGTCAACATCGGCGAGGAGGAGTTCCACCTCCTGAGGGCGTCGGACATCCTCGGCAAGTTCGAGGGCTAGTGTCTCTCGCATAAATAGTTGGTGTTCTTAGTTAGCTGTAAGACCTTCGTCGATCGCGGCGCTCGCGCGACCGCGACCGCCTGTGCCGTGCCCGCCCGCGAGAGCGCTCTCGCCGGTCGCGTCGCCCGCCGTCGTCCTGGCGCCGAGATCGGGACCGCTCGTCGTCGCGGCGGCGCTCTCGCCGGTCGTCGTCGTCGCGGCGCCGCCGGCCGCGGCGCCGGTCCCGCGACCGCGAGCGGTCCCGCCGCCGCCCGCGCGAGCGAGACCGCGACCGCGACCGCGAGCGGGACCGCGACGGCGCCGGCAGCAACGGCTTGCCGTCGGCGCCCACGATCACGTGTTTAAGGGTGGCGGCCGTCGCGGGCGGGCGCCGCGCCGGCGCCGCGGCCGCAACGGCGGGGGCGTCCTCGGCGCGGCGCATGATGCGGAAGACGCTGCCGACGTTTTCCGTTCCGGACAGGACCTGCTTCGACGACCGGCTGAAGCGCTCCAGCACGCCGCACGCATCCTTGGGAGTGGTGAGGCACGGTTCCTCTTCGTTGCGCACCTCGCCTTCGTGCGGTAAGGGTGCGAAGCGGCTGTCCGGCTTTATTCTGCGGTTGAATTGGTTGCGCTCCGTCTGGTGGCGCGACATCCTCTAGCTTGTGTCTTAGGGTTTGCGGTCGCGGCGGCTTCGTGCCGTTGGGCGCTGCACGATCGATCTGTTTGTAGTCTCTGAGCACTGTCGACTAAACTGGCTGTCCAGCTGCAGTTGTGCGACCACTGCGGCCGAAAATTGCCAAAGCACAGGCGCGCTAGCGGCAGTAAGACACTAGCGGGAGTAAAACCGCGCAGTGGCTCCGCCCACTAGTCCTAGCACCGTCGTAACAAGTATAAGTATCTCGTAAAAAAACGCGCCCGCCAGAAGGCGCGACGAGTCCTGGAAGCGAGAACGCCATCGCCGCGCCACGTAACTAGGAACAAATCTTACACACAACGTACAGCGCCGCCACAACCGCCGGCGCGCGCCACGGCGGCCAGCGCGACGGCTCGAACAGTAAAGCGCGTGGCAGGTCCACGAGCAGAAATGGCCAGTGCGACAGTAGGATCGCGTCCCGGCCCTGCGCGAGCCGCTGGAGCTGCCGCTGGTGCCAGCCGTAGTTCAGGCCCGGGACCCACACCCTCCGGCCGCCGAGCCACGACGGCATCTCGCCGAATTTTGGAGGTTTGAGTATCACCGCTTTTTGATCATGGAGCCACTTCGAAGCACAGGCCGGGTCCACGCACGCGGCGCGCGCGACGCCGGCGACGTCGGCCACCTGCAACGCCTCCGACGCGGAAGCTCGATCGGAGACGCCGCCGGCGAGCATCAAGGCCGCCTTCAGCGACGTCGAGCGCCGCAGCTCGGAGACGTGCGGCGCGAACTTGAGACCGGGGCCCGTGCCGGGGAAATCGGCCGATGCCCCCAGACAAGCCACACCAGCCTCATAGGTACCTCCCGACACTTCCGCGAGGTCCAGACGCACCAAGGGGTCGTCGTCCAGGATTTCGAGGACCGTGCGCAGGCGCGCCGCGTCGTCATGAGCGCCGTCGAAGTCCGAGGCGTTGACCTTGACGCTCAGTATCTGGTTGGGACCGATCGCTTGTCGGCAGGCTCGACACACGTCCACCAACACTCTCGTGCGGCTCCCATACGCATCGTCTCGGTCGTTCGACGCCCCTAGAAACTGCGATAACAAGTACCCGTGCGCCGCGTGGACCTGGACGCCGTCGAAGCCGCTTCGCACGGCGATGCGCGCGGCCCGCCCGAAGGCCTTGATCAGGTCGTCGACCTCTTGCGTCGTCATCGTCACAGGCGTCCGGTGCAATTGGGGCCCGACGCCCCCGAGCCGAAAACTCCGGGCAGAGCAGGACCGGGGCCGGCGCCAGCTCGCGGCGATGGGCGACTGGCGCCCCGGGTGCGACAGCTGCACGAGTACGAGGGCGCCGCCGCTCTTGGCCGCGCGCGCCCAGTGCGAGACTTGTTTCGTATCTGTCGCTCCATCGAAGACGACGTTCCGCGGCGCCTCCAGGGCCCGCCGGTCGACCATGACGTTGCCCGTGATGACTAAACCCCAGCCGCCCGCTGCCCACCGGCCGTAGAGCGCCGTGAGTAATGGCGTCGCGTCGTTGGTGCGCGCGTCGCCGAGGTGCTCCGACGTCGCGACCTTGCACAATCTATTGTTGAGCGTTCTACCGCAGCGCAGCGCGAGCGGTTGGTCCATTATTCGCACCGCTGCGGCGCGTCGACGGCGTTTTCAGTGCGGAGAGCAATCAAGCTCTCCGGTGGTTTTGAGCACGCCACGGGCAGCTGCAGCCTCAGCGGTCACCGATTGTGTCCTGGAACAATGTCTAAGCGCTCCGGCGCGGTAACTGTGACGCGTTTGGCATTCGCCGCGCGATCTATATGAGCACGGGTTTTCATCCGTCGCGTTTTGAGGGCCCAGAGCCTCAGCATCCTGCTCTCCTGGGTCGATGCCTCACATTCGTCGTTCATTTATGGCCACAATGCCCTCTACAACGTCTGGCTGACGTGCGAGGCAGCTGTGCCGAGATCCAGCCATGGCAGTGCTAGCAGTGCTGCAGCCTCTACGCAAACGCCTCGTCGCCGGTGCAACAGTGGTCACGATTGCCGTCCTGCTGCGGCCAAAGCTCCAGCGCTGGTGGCGCCGGCGGCGCTGGGCCCGCGAACAAGACCGCCTCGCGACGCTGGTCTCGTTCGACGACGCGCCGGCCGTCGCCGCGCTCGTGAGCAGGCTCGACGCGTCTGAGCCGTGCGTCGTCGCCGGCGTCGCATTGGTCGAGGACCGGCGGAGGGCCGTCGCCGTGGCCATCGCCATTGAGTTGCCGTCGATGAAGCGCATCGACGGCGCCGTCGTGCCGGTCGCGACGAGTCTACCTTACGAGCCCGGATATGTTGGGTTTCGCGCGGCACCGTTCCTGGCGCGAGCGCTCGGCGCGCTGAAGGTGGACGTCGCCGTCGCGTTGGTGCGCGGCCACGGCTTCCTCCACCCGCGCAAATTTGGGGTGGCGTGCCACGCGGGCCTCGTCGCCGGCGTGCCGACCTGCGGCGTCGCGGACTCACTGCTCCGCGTCGACGGCGTCGACGAGGCGGCAATCGTCTCACGAGCCCGCGCGTCGCTGCAGCTCGGCGAAGCCCTACCCATCGTCGGCGCCTCGGGCATCGTGTGGGGCGCGGCGCTCCGGGCGACAGTTGAACCGAATTTCCGGCCGACGTACGTGTCGGCCGGGCCCGGCGTCTCGCTGGCGACGGCCGTCAAACTGGCCGTCGCGTGCCGACGGTACCGCGTGCCCGAGCCCGTGCGGCTCGCGGAGCTCGAGGGACGCGTGGCGTTGCGCGAGCGCGTCGTGGACTAATTGTTTTGTTGTGAAGAGTGCTGTTCAAGCAGGCTCAGGGTCAGGCTAGTTACGGCGCAGGGTTCCCCGTACGCCTCCCGCTCCCCCCGGGCCCACCCGTCCGGCTGGACTAGGACGCAAGGGCTGAGTCACAGGGACTCGCACGCCCCCCCTCTTTTCGGGACGCCCCCCATCAGGATGTGGTATTGGCCGCGTCCTCTTTTACGGAACTAGTGTGTCTACAAGCCCGCTAGGTCTCCTTCACTAAAGCTGCCTGAAGTCGGAGCGCGCTCGCCGCAGGCGTTGCCTTGCCTCGCGGTGCAGTGTGTGTACATCTAACATCTCGCGAACACGGCGCAAGCCAACGGAGAGACGCGAGCATTGCCGCTGCAGAAGACAGTAGAGAGCGGCTGACTCGCTGTGGCAAGCGGTTACCGACGTCCGGGACCACCGCGGTGCAGCGATAGGCGGCCGAGGACCAGGAGAGCGGCCGCGAGGTCGGCGGATGCGCCTACTCGCCATGCTCCTGGCCGCGCGGGCGGCGCGGGCGCTGCGCCCGGCGCTGCGGCCGCCCCGCGCGCCTCCACAAGCGTGGCGGCGCTTCGCCGCGACGCAGGAGCCGCCGCCCAAGGAGACGGAGATCATTCCGATTGAATTGGAGGACGAGATGGCCGACAGTTTCATGAAGTATGCCCTGTCGACAATTCTAGGACGAGCTTTGCCAGACGCCCGCGACGGTTTGAAGCCCGTGCACCGGCGCATCTTGTTTGCGATGCGCGAGTTGAAGTTAGAACCATCATCACAATACCGAAAATGTGCGAGAGTCGTAGGTGAGGTATTAGGAAAGTTCCACCCGCACGGAGACTCATCAGTGTACGAGGCGCTCGTGCGCATGGCCCAGGACTTTGTCATGTCCGAGCGTCTTGTGGATGGCCACGGCAACTTCGGAAGTGTGGACGGGGACCCGCCGGCGGCGATGCGCTACACGGAGTCGCGGTTGACGAAGTTCGCGGCGTCCGCGTTGCTGAATTCATCGGACCTAGGCCAGGGTCGCGCGGGCGCGTCGTTGAACGGGGGCATCGGCGTGCGCTTCTCCGAGAACTTCGACGCGTCCGAATACGAGCCGGACGTCTTGCCGGCGAGATTACCGGTGTTGCTCGTGAACGGCGCGCAAGGTATTGCGGTTGGGATGGCGACGAACATCCCGCCCCACAACCTGGGCGAGGTCTGCGACGCGGCGCTGGGTCTAGCGAAGGCGGCGAAGAACAATGAGGTCTTCGACGACGATGCACTGTTAAGAGCTCTGCCGGCGCCCGACTTCCCGACGGGCGGATTGATCATGGGCACGACGGGCGTGGCCCGGGCCTACGCTACGGGGTCTGGTTCCGTCTTGGTGCGAGCTAGGACGTCCATCGAGAAATTGCGGTCTGGGCGGACGGCGATCGTGGCCACGGAGCTGCCTTATTTAGTCAGCAAGGCGGATCTCCTCGAGAAGACGGCCGAGGCCGTGAACAACAAGAAGCTGCAAGGTATTCGTGATTTGCGAGATGAAAGCGGTCGAGCTGGGATGCGTGTGGTGTTCGAACTGAAACGTGACGCGCATCCGGAGACGGTGCTGGCGAATTTGTTCAAGTCGACGCGGTTGCAGGCGTCGTTCCCCGCGAATTTGGTGGCCGTGGATTGTATAAGAGACGAGAACGGCGTGGAAGACCCCGACAGAAAAGCACCGGTCCGATTAACTTTACGAAGTGCATTGGAGCGGTGGATGCGGTTCCGGTTCGATTGTGTGCGGAGGCGGGCGTCGTATGAAGAGGCTCGAGCGGCGGCGCGACTCCATATCGTGGAAGGCTTGGTGTTGGCGCAGGCGGCCGCGGACGAAGTTGTGGCCGCGGTGCGGAAGTCGGCGTCGCCCGAGGACGCGAGGAATCTATTGATGAATGGTGGCGTGCCGGGCCTGAAGGCCCTGTCCGAGACGCAAGCCAGGGCCGTCCTGGCGCTTACACTATCTCGGTTGACGTCTCTGGCAGCCAATGAGCTCAAAGACGAGGAAGCGGATTTAACGCAGGAGCTCGCCCGTCTAAGGAACGAGCTGGAGAACGACTCCGCGGTCTACGACCGCATCTGCGGCGAGTTGGAGGACTGCAAGAAGCGGTTCGGCGGGCCGCGGCGGTCGGAGATCGTCGAGGAGGACAGCGGTGAGGTGACGGAGGAGGACACGACGCCGAACGAGCGGAGCGCCATCCTAGCGCTGGCCGGCAATTATCTCAAAAGGACGTCCCTCAAGGAGTTCGCGGCGCAGGCTCGGGGCGGCGTCGGGCGGCGGGCGGCGCCGCTGGCGGTCGAGCACCTCGCGACGTGCCGCGATCATGATACTTTGCTATGTATCACGGACGCGGGCGTGGCGTACGGCGTCCGAGCCTTCAAAGTGCCGCAGGCTAGTCGTGCGGCGCGCGGGTCTCCCTTATCTCGTGTCTTGCCGGTCGACGCCGACAGAAGTATCGCGGGGCTGTTGCCCGTGTCGCAGCAGCAACTCGAAGGCGATCAAGATTACGTGGTCCTCGTGACGAAACAAGGGCTAGTCAAGAGGACGCCGCTCTCGGCCTACAGAGACATGACGTCGCGCGGCAAGATCGCGATTCGCCTGAACGAGGGCGACGCCGTGGGCTGGGCGGCGCTGTGCACGTTGGGCGACTCGCTGGTCGTCGCGACGGCCAAGGGCATGCTGCTCAAGTACGACGTCGACGCCGTGCGCGAGACGGCGCGGGCGACGATGGGCGTCAAGGCCCTCAAATTGAGGGACGACGACGAGCTCGCGACGGCGCGGGTGGTCGCTCCGGACAAGGACCACGTCCTCGTGCTGACCGCGGCGGGCTACGGAAAGCGCGTCGACGTCGAGGCGGTGCGCGCGCGCAGCCGGGCGACGATGGGCGTCCAGGCGATCAAGTTCAAGAAGGAGGGCGACGTGTTGGTGGACGTGAGAGGGGTAGCCGACGACGACGAGGTCCTGGTCGTGACGAGCGGGGGGACCATCGCTCGCGTGGCCGCGAACACGATCGCTGCGCAGTCGCGGACGGCGAAAGGGGTATCCGTGCAGAAGAGCACGGCGAAGGACCCGTGCGTCGGCATCTCGCTCGTGCCCGGGGACCTGGCGGGCGTCGTGGCGGACGAGTGAGTAAGTGCTCTATTTAGGTCACTGTACGGGTTTTGCGCGATTCTCTAGTTTCACCAAAAACCAGCGCGTTAACAGTATCGTGCGTTACAGGGGGCCAAGGTTACGAGAACTTCACTGTACGTACGCTCTCAGAGATGTAACCGCGCCCGACCGTCTGAAACCCCTGAAGAGGTGGATACGCGGGCCCGGTCTTCGCCGGAGTGTGCGTCAGCGTGGGCCTCGTCACGCTCGTGTTTGCGCTCTATCTATTCCTCTCCGAAATGAAGACCTACGCGACAAGGACCCGCGTGGGAAGGCAGCTCTCGAGCTCGGTCGACGCCGCGGCCAACTACGCGAAGAAGAGAATTCGCCGCGTCGGGTCATCTGAGATCGGCGCTGAGGAGGAGGCCAAGGACGACGCGGCGGCGGCCGCGCTTTAGATGTTTTGGGCCCTACTCTGGGTCCGCCCTCCCCGCCCCGATCCCACTAGGCCCTGGAGGGGCGTGTACATAACATCCTATCTTACGGAAATAACCCTATCTCGTGCTAGTGTGTCGACACACTGGAGCCGTCTCGCGCCGACGCGGTACCGGCGCGCCAGGGGCCATGCTCCTCGCACCACGCGAGCACCGCCGGGTGCAGGAGGGCGGCGGCGCGCGCGCGGTCGCCGCGGGCGAGCGCCTCGCGTGCGGCGGACGAGGAGATGTCGGGCAGCTCGGGCCCCATCACGAGATGGCCCGCGTCCAGGTCTACGCCCGCCCGCCGCGCGCCCGCGAGCGCCTTTTCCGTGAATCCCGGCCGCCCCAACACGATCATCCGGTACTGCGGCCCGACATCCGCAAACTTGTTATAGCGCACTACATCGTCCGCCCCGTTCATGAAAAAGTGGACGAAGTGGAGGTGCGGGTGCGTCTGCCGAAGCAGCCCGACCGTCTCGCCCTCGCGGCAGGACTCCCACGATAGCCACGGCAGCTCCTCCGCCGCCATCTTCACCAGCGCCAGCCGCTTTTCCGCACTCAGCGACGCCTCGCCCTTTTTCGCAAGCTTCCGGTCGACGTACGACGATCCGTTGAGCGAGATCAGCCCGAGAACGGCACCAAACGGCTCGAGGTTCGCCGGGCGGGCCACCCCGGCCTCCACGCCCAGTAATATCCTCCGCGCCTCGATAAAGGCTCGTGTGTGCCCGCGCGTCACGGGGCAGAGCGAGCCGAGCAACGTCACCACGCCCACGCGCGTGCCCGGCTCTACGTCGGCGAGCGCGTCGTGCAGTTTTTTTAGCGAGCCGTCGAACCACGCTGCCGCGGCGCTCGCTGGCCGCGCGGGCGGCGGCGGCGCGGGGGCGGGGGCGGGCGCCGGCAAACCCAGCGCCACGAGCACCTGTTGCAGAAGGAGCGTCGGCGGCTTGGTGCCGTCGAGTACGAGCTGTGGCATCGGTCCGCCCTCTCCGAAGCAGCTCTCCCAGTATTTGTAATGCCGAGGCCACAGGTTGCGGTCGAAGTACTCCTCCGTCACGCGAGTCGTTGCCATGCGCCGCTCGTAGCACGCCTCCCTACTAAGCTCGATCCAGACGAGGTGGTGGAGCAAGTCGACCACGCCACCCGGAGGCCGGCTTGCGAAGGCGCGGAATCCCTCGACGATGACAAAGTGCTTTGACTTGCTCGCCTCGACGACGACGTCTCGGAAGGCTTTGAAATCGATCGAGTCGGTGCTCTCCCAGCCGCCCTCCGCCTGGGCGGCCAGCCCTTTCGAGGCGAAGCGGTCCTGGCGGATCACGGCCGTCTTGGACGCTCCGAGCGCCTTCGCCAGCACCGAGGCCAACGTACTCTTGCCGCTGCGCGTGCAGCCGGAGATGCCAATCACAAGTGTAGGTGCGTCCCGGGCGAAGACAAAGAAGCTGCCGTACCACTCTCGAAAGGTGGGCCCGTCAGCGCTCGGCGCGTCCAGAGCCTCTGCGAGGCATCGACGGACGTCGGCAGCGGAGAGCGCGCGAGCGCAGCGTGGCATCAACTCACTCATGAAGCCTCCGAGCCGATTGATCGCGATTTTTGTCCGCGGTGCAACGTACGCGATGGCGCCCGCTGCCAAGATGGCCTCGCCGAGGCCTACCGAGCCGGTGCTGCACGCCGAGGAGACAACAACTGCACCGCGCAGATCGAGGCGCTCTCGGATATCGCTCGCCCCCAAACGCACCCGACACCGCTTTTCGCCGTCCCACTGCATCGCAAAGCCCGCTGGATCGCCGTGCATGCCCACGTGGACAATGCGCGGGCGGTGCGTACGCAGGGCCTCGGCGATCTTGTCGACGGTCAGCGGCGAGGCGTCAATGTGCGACGAAGGGTGCAAATCCCACCAGCTGCTGTTGTCGAACATGAGGAATGGCGTGGAGCTCGCGAGAAGAAGGTCGTGCAGGGCGATGTACTCCGCCCACCCCGGTTTGAAGCTCTCGCCCATGGTGGTCGCCAGCTCGGGAGACCGGGAGCAGGCGAAGAGAAGCACCTCGCAGCGGGCTAGCTTCGGCTCCTTGCTTTCAATTGGCTCCCGCGGCGGCCGGAGCTCGGTTCCCCCGTCCGCCGCGTCGGCGACAGCGAGCGAGCCGCTCTCGGCCAGCTGAAGCTCGGCGCGCAGCTGCATCCAGATCTCGGCCAGCAGGTTCTCCCCGCGGGCCGTGACCGGGTCGAAGCCCCAGACCGCGTCCCGCTTGAGGCTGAGCAGCGGGTGCTGCCCCGTCGCCAGCAGTAGCTCGCGCAGGCCGCCCGGGTCGGCCGCTAGCTTCGCCCTAACCGCTGTCTCCATGACGCGGCGCTTCCGCCGGTCCCAGAGCGCTTTGTCCCACGGCTGGGGCTTCTGCGCGTGGTAGTAGGCCTCCGACCCGGCGTAGACCCGCCCGCCGATCGTGAGCGGCGGCTCGTCGTAGCGCCAGAACGAGTGGACGTTCTCGAACTCAGTGGCCCAGGCGTAGCTCCTCCCTAAATGCGCCACCGCGGCGTCCACGCCACCGGGGTCGTGGCCAAGCGCCCGGCCTACCAGCCGCTGCGGGGCCCAGCACGGCAGCGCCAGCCCGAGCGCCGCCAGCCCGGGGTGCGCGGCGACGACCGACGCCTGCGCTGCCGACAGCCAGACCACGGGCTCGTCCAGCTGCCCCAGGAGCGCGGCTGGCTTCTCCGCCTGCTCCGCTGCATTCTCATAAGACGACATCTGTCCCACTCTTCTTTCAGGGGGGCAGCTCGGCCCAGCCGAGGGGGGATTTAAACGCTGCCCCACTGTCCGAACGCTGCCCCACTGCCCCACTGTCCTGCCCCACGTCCGGAGAGGATCTGTGCTAGTATGTCTATGAACTAGATAGAGTCGGGTCGAGGCGCGCGCCATCGCTTGCTGCGCTTGCTGAGCCAAATCAGTGCAACCGCTACGTCCCTACGCGTTACCAGCTCTAGTGTCCAGCGAAGCCACTGGAGCGACGCCAGCGCGCGAGCACTAGGCAAAAAAAAACAAAAAACCATGGAGGTGGACCCGCCGCCCGCGCCGGCGCCTGAGGCGACGCCGGCAGCGCTCCCCGGCGACAGCTTCTACGCCGTCGACGAGACCGCCGTCGACGCGCAGCGGCAGGCGAAGCCGTGGACGCAGGACGCGACCTACTTTAAGAGGGTAGCTGTATCGCCGGCCGCGTCGACCAAAATGCTCGCGCACGCCCAACGAGGCTGCGAGGCCGGCGTCAAGGCGGGCGGCAAGCCGCTCGAGGTCATGGGTTTATTGCTGGGTTATCCGGACGCGGACGCGTCGAAGCGGCGCCTCGTCGTCACGGACGCCTTGCCCCTGCCGGTGACGGGCTTCGAGACGAGCGTCGTCGCCGACGACGACAACGTGGTCAACTACATGATCGCGCTCTCCGATCTGGTCGAGAAGACGAGGAAGGAGCGCCTGATGGGCTGGTACCACAGCCACCCCTTCGACGTCGACGAGGACCACGACAACTGCTTCTTTAGCTCGACGGACCTTTCTACGCAGCTCAGCTGGCAGAACGCGGAAGACCCGCAAGGTAACCCCTTCCTCGCCATCGTCCTGGACCCGCTGCGCAGCGCGGCCAAGAACTCGGCCGCGCTCGCGGCGTTTAGGGCGTACCCGCCGGCCTACACGCCGCCCGCGAACCAGTGCCCCGACGGCGAGATCTGCGCCGACGACGCGCGCCGCGTCGAGGTCTGGGGCTCGTGCTGGCACCGCTACTACCAGCTCGATCTCGAGTACTTCACTGTGTGGAAATCGAGCAGGCGTCGCGTCGATGGCGTGGAGGTCGACGCGACGAGTCAGCACGAACGCGCCGTAAAATTTTGATTTCCACACAGGTACTTCATGAGCGGCCAAGCTAGAGCTATAGTCGACGTGCTCAACCGGAGCCACCTCTGGGCGAAGACGCTGAGTGAGTCGCACCGCGAGGACACCACGGACCGGGTCGCGAAGATCGCCGACAAGCTCGCGCGCGCGCCAGGAGCCCAGCCGCCGCGTGCGCCACGCTTAGGCGGCTACGGCGGCCTCGACGCGCTCGGGTCCGGCGCGGCGCCGAGCGCTCGCGCCGACCAGGCACCCCTCTCCAAGGCCGCCGACGCGGCGGCGGGCGTCGCGACTGAGGCGCTCCACGGCCAGCTCTCGCAGCTGACGAAGCGCCACCTCCTCTGCGGCTGCAGCGGCTTCCAGCGCGCGGTCCACTCGTACCTGGCGCGCAAAGGGCAGGTCGCGAAGCCGTGCGCCTAGCGGCCTAGGCCCCATCCCCTGTGTTAAGAGTCGGCTACGTTACTCCGCATTTCGGCGCGCCCTGTGGAGGCGCGTGCGCGAGGTGCTTGAGCGCGTAGTCGAGGAGCGCCCCTTTGTTCTCGCCTTTGTGCCCGGCAAGATGCACGACGAAGTCGCCGGGCTGGTACGCCGCGCGCGCCGCAACCTTGGCGCTCGGGCCCGACGCGAGGCGCGGCCGCACCAAGTACGCGTTGAGCGCGCACTGGGGCACGACTTTGATGTGGGACCGCGTGCGCGCGGCGGCGGCGGGATCGACGCGAGGCACCTTCGTCGGCGACCGGGCTGCCCACTTGCGCCATGACGCGGTGTCCGTGAGGTAGTGCAACGCCCGTTGTTCGAACTCGAAGGGTAGCGTCTTGGCGTACCAGGGCTCGCGGCGGGCGAGGTCCAGCTTTCCGGTCGCCGCGTCGGCCATCTTCCGCAGCAGCTCGTGGGAGAACGTCGAGTTCCGCACGAAGAAGGCGCCCGTGTTGTAGCCGCCCCAGTCCTCCGCCATGACGACGTCGTAGGCGTCGTCGAGGAACGACTCGAGGCAGATGGCCGGGTTCGCGACGAGCGCGTCGCCGTCCAAATACAGGAGCCAGTCGAAGCGGCGCAGGTGGAGCAGCAGCGCGTCGACCTTCGACCAGGGCGCCGGCAGCGCCGCCGCGGGCTCGTGCACGATGAGCTCGTAGCCGTGGTGGTCCGCGTAGGCGCGCTTGTTGTCCAACGATTTTTGCGAATAGCGCTGCGTCTGCACGTAGCGGGCCTCCGACGCGGTGTCCGCCAGGACGACAATGCCAATACGCGGGTTTACGGCGGCACGTTCCGGCGGCGGCGCGCGGCACGGCGGCTCGCGCGGCTCCGGTGGCGCGGCCTCGAGCGACGCCGCGAGCGTGCGTCCGTAATTGGCGCGGTAATAGATGATTGAACAGGCGGCGACAATCAGGGCGGCAAGCGCGGCACGCAAGAATTTGCTGTTGCGACCGCTGGAATTTGGCAGTGCTGGCGCTGGCCGCTGCTTGTTGTGCGCCGGCGGCGCTGCCGGGACGCGCCGCATCATGCGTTCATTTGCTATAGATGGCTGTACAGATGCCTGTACAGATGCTCCAAGAGATGCAAGAGGTAGCCTGAAACGCAAAGACTGCCCGACAAGCCGACACACGCCCACAAAACTCGTTTTTTGTGAAAGTTAGAGAGGCTAGCGGGTTGTAAGACACTAGAAGCAAGAAAAGTCCGTGAGGACTCCCGGCGGCCGCGCGCAGCGGCACGTGGGGAGTATTCCGCCCGTCAGAAGGATCTCGTGTACGAGCTAGCCGCTAACTAACTTACAGCCTCCCCATGCTTGTAGCGCCAACAAGGGGGAGACTGCGGCGAGGCAGCCCCGTGCCGCCGGGGGCAGCCCAAAGATGATCGTCGCCGTCCAAACACGCAAAGCCCGCGCCCAGCGAGAAAAAAGGCGCCTCGTAGACGCACGCGAGAAGGGCTTTGATGGGCGCGCGCCGATATGGGAGCGCCGCATCCCGGCCTACGACGCCAAAACAGACCCTTATTGCCGCCTCTACCACGAGGGCAACGACCCCCCGAATTCAATGTCGACCATGTCGTCGGGCCTCGTGTCGGCCCCGCCGCGCGACGCGCGCGCCATCCTGGCCGAAGCGCAGCCCGCGGGCGCCCCCGCCGAATTCGCCTCGATCTGCGCGGCCTGCGACTTCGAGCCGCACGAAGGGACCGACCCGCACTGCCAGCTCGCCGTGCTCAAGGCTATCCTGTCGAGGGAAGCGGCGTTGGCCGCGCTCGAGGCCTTGTGCGAGGACGTCGCGCGGCGAGCGCACCGCTCCTGGGCGCTGCGGGAACCGCCGAAGCCGCTCGACCAGGTGACCCGTAGGGAAGCGGCGGACGCCATGAGCGCCCTACGAGACCGGACGCTGGAGCTCTGCGAGGCCCTGCTCGCGTGGAGGGGCGACACGGACGTGGCCGAAGCCAAGCCGTTCCTCTGGCACGGCCGCGACTACGCGCTCAAGGTCGCCTCCTCGGACTCGGACTTCGTCGCGGCCGTGGAGCCCCTCGCGGCGGCGCTCGGCGTCGACGCGCGGCGCATGCGGAGGAACCCTCTGATGCTTCCGCGGACCCTCGACGACGCGCACGTGGCGCCTCCGACCGGCGAACAGACCGCCAAGGGGGCGCGCTTCGCGGCCGCCGAGGCCTTCCTCGTCGCTGAAGAAGTGAGAGCGGGCAAGGGCATTACTGCCGGCGACGCCGCGCTCGACGACGACTCGCTCCCCGCGCTCGCCGCGCCGGCGGGGCCCCAGAGCGACGCGCTGCGGTCGCAGCAGGCGCGGGCGCTGCGCGCGCCCGCGGAGACGTCCTGGGCCGGCGGCGGCATCGCCGCGCGGCACGGGTCGCTGCCGCCGGCCGCCATCGCGCCCGTCTCGCTGGCCCACGCCGCCGACGCGGGCTGGGGCTCGAAGAAGACGGAGCTCGTCAACTGGCGCGAGCAGGCGTCGGACCAGCTGGCGAACCTCGCCGACCGCGGCGAGAACGCCGCGCGCCAGGCGGCCACGCGCCGCCTCGGCGGGTCGGCCCGCGGGACGGTCTCGCAGCGCAGCACCATCAACACCCACAGCACCAGCTCGGCGCCGGGCCACCCGCTGGCCATGCCGCGGCGCAAATCCACCTCCCGCCGCACGAAGAAGGGTGATAGGAGGGGCGCACCAGCACCACAAATCGGCGCGCCCACCCCGACGCTGGCGCTGCCAGACGACGATGCTGGATCGTACGCGTCGGACGACGACGTCGCGCACTCGGCGCCCGACGCGGCCGTCAAGGCCGCCGCCCACGCCGCGGCGGCGGCTCGCACGGTGGAACCTGCTGATCTCAGCACGCTCGCCGGCCTCGACGCGCCCAAGGAGGCCGTTGCCCTGGTAGCGGCAGCGGCTTTAACACTCGCGGCTGGCGGCGGCGCGGGCGTGCCTGGAGACGTGCGGTGGCCCGCGTTCGTCGAATTTGTCGACGCTGATGCGGCCGGCGTAGCGAGCTCGCTGCGCGCGTTGGACTGTAGTGCCGTGGCCGACTTCAAACGCCGCGCACTCCGAAGGTTTCTGGATGCGGCGGCGCCGGCTGCCAGCGGTGCGCAAACGCCCGGCGGGCCTGCGGACGCCGCCGCGGCCCGCCTTCATGCATGGGTCGCATCGGCGCTCGCGGCCGCCGACGCCGCGGCGCACGCGCGTGCGGGTGATGATGAGGCCGCCAGTCGCGCGCTCTCCGCCGCGGCTGCGGCGTCTCGCCGAGCTCGCCGCGTGCGCGCGCGCCGGCCGCCGAGCAAAAGACGGGCGCGGACGCCTGCCTCGCCGAATCAGACTGGCCCCAGGTCACCCTCTCGCGGCGCACCGCCTGCTAGTCTGGCCGCTGACGTCGTCGTGACGTCCAAGCTCCGCGACCGCTTCGGCCCGGACCCGCGTCGGAGTAGCGGCCAGCGCGAGGCGTGGCTCGTCTCCGTGGTCGCCAAGCCCGACGGATCCTTCGAGGCCAGGGCTTACCACCCGGGCACGTCGGTCGAGCTGTCGCTGCCGGTGCCGCGCGCGGCCGCGCCAGCAGGGAAGAACCCGGACCGCTGGGCCGCCGACGTGCTCCCGAGCAAACTCGTGCTCGACATGGGGAGTGGTCGGCCCGAGCTCGTGCTCCGGTCTACTTCGCCGATCCGCAGAAGGTGACTCTCGAGCGAGTAAGTTCCCCAGTTTACTTAGTCGACTTCCGCGCGAATGAGCCCCGAGCAGCGGCGCCGGGCAAGGCACCCCGGACCGCTCCTAAGAGTGGCTCTGGTCGCCACGAGCTCCGACGACGCCTGTACGTGTACGTGTCGGGCGCGCGCGGGTCCGGAGATCAGCGCCCAAGCTGCCCGGAGAGCAGGAGCAAAAAGCAGGAGAAAAAGCTGGCAAGCCCGGTCGCCGAGGCAGCCAGATAATTTCAATAAGCTCAGCCCCCAAGTTCGACGGGAGCCGCAGGCGCGGCCGCGCCACAACACCTGCCCCCAAGCTCGACGGGGAACCGCACTGCGGCCACACCACCATGCCGGCCTCGCCCAACAGCTGGGCGGCCTGCCCCGGCCCCGCCGCCTTCGAAGGCATCAGCTTCAGCCACGACCCGGACATTCCCGACGAGCCGGTGCGCGATTCGGCGCCCATCTCGCTGCCCGCCCTGGCGTCGCCGCCGAAGAAGCGCTCCAGCGGCGGCGGCGCCGGCTACGGCGGATCTGGGCGCGGCAGCGGCGGCAACTCCGCACGCGAGACCGAGAACGACAGCCGCGTCCTGTCCTGGATCGAAGATTTGGCGGACGTCGACGGCAGTGCCTACCCCGAGGCGACGCGCGAGCAGCGCGCCCGCGGCGACCCCGAGGCGCTGCGCGAGGCGACGCGCGAGGCGCGGCTCTCGGGAGAAATGGCCACGGACGCGTTCTCCGGGCCGACGTCGCCCTACAGCTCGCCGTCGAATCGCCGCTCGCCCGGCCGCCACCAGACGCTCGAGGCCCTCGAGCACCACGGCCTCGCCGCGCGCTACGTCGCCTTCGAGGAGCCCGGGCCGAAATCCCCGAGCGGCTGGTCGTCGCCGGCGGGCGAGAACCCCTTCGACGAGGCCGTCCGCGCGTCGGCCGCCGCCCAGCGCCTCGCGCCGTTCAAGGACCCGCTGCTCGAGTCGTTCTGAAGGAAGTAAGTAGGTATCGACGAGTTACTCCCCCAACGGCGACGAGGGGCGCGCGCTCGGCCGTCTGGCTGCGCCGCTCACTTGCGCGACTTCTTGCTCCGTCGCGACTTCTTCTGCGCTTTGGCCTTCTTCTTCGCGGCGCTCTTTGAGATTCCGTCCTCCTCGGCCGCCGCCGCGGGCGCGACGTCGACCACAGCAGCCGCGGGCGCAGCGTCGACGACCGCCTCCGCCACCACGTCGACGACACCGGCAGCGTCGGCGACGACGGGCGGCGCCGGCGCCGGCGGCGCCGCCGCCGCCTTGGGCGCGGCGGCGACAAGGTCCTCGAAGGCGGGACCTGCTTTCGCCTTCTTCTTCTTCTTGAGCTTCTTGGGCGCCGGCGGCGCGGCCGACGCGCCGCCCATCGTCACCGGGTTGGCCTCGACGGTGCCCCGAATATATAAGGTGGAGGCCGTCGTGATCAAATTGTTGCAGAACCAGTAGATCGTCAGGCCCGCCGGCACGTTGAGCGAAAAGAACCCAACCATCACTGGCAAAAACTTGAGCACCGCGTTGTTGCCGGGCGCGTTCGGATCGTCGCTCTGCCCCGGCGGCGCCAGGAGCTGCGTCGACACGCTCTGCGCCACGACGAGCAGCACGGGTAATGCTAAATAAGCGGCCGTGTCCGACCACCCCAAAGGCGGCACGGCGCCGTTCCAGTTGTCGAACTTGAAGAGCCAGTCCGCGTTCTGCGCGCCGAAGACGGGCCCTTCGAGGTTCGGGATCCAGAGGAACGACTCCTCCAAGAGGTCCTCCCTCGCCAAGCTCAGCAGCGCCCTGTACAGCGCGATGAAGACCGGAATCTGTAAAAGCGAAGGCAGGCACCCGGCCAGCGGGTTGAGCTCGTTCTCCTGATACAATTGGGCCATCATCATGTTCATCTTGTCGGGATCGGCCGCGTACGTCGCCTGGATCTTCTTGATGGCCGGCTGGAGCGCCTGCATCTTCGTCGTGGACTCGATCTGGGCCTTGTTTAGCGGGAAGGTCGCGACCTTTAATATTAGTGTAAACAACACGATGGCGATCCCGTAACTCCCTACCACATCGTGGAGGAACGTGATCACCGACTCCATGGCCTGGACGATGCCGCCGAACCATCCACTCTTATCAATGGGCACGGCGTTCTCGAGCTCCGCCACGAGCTGGGTGGGCAGCTGGGCCAGGTCGACGGGGCTGGCATGGAGCGGCGGCGGCACGCTTTGCCTGACCGGTGCCAGGGGCGCGCGCGCCGGCGAGACGAACGCGCGGGCCGGCGCGGCAAGCAGCACGGCGACGAGGGAGCGCATATTTGCTCCAGAGCCGCTCCTGCTTGCAGTGACCTCAGGTCGATGCTCCGGGGCCTCGGCGTCGCAGGGTGCACGGAGACCGTTCAGGCGATGCCTCTTGCACTTCTCACAGCGCAGATCTAGCGCTGCGCTTGCCACCTAGGGCCAGCACTGAGCTAACTTGATCACGGAGGTGTTTTGCTCTAGTATGTTACGTGCCGCTAGGTGCCCGCGGCATGCAGCCGTTCGAGCATCGTTCGGTTCGCTAATGGTCCAAAGAGACAAATGGGACACTTCTTAGGGCGCGAAAAAATTAATTTTTTTAATTCGCGATATTGACGACGCCGCCATGGCGGGCGCGTCGGTGGAATCCTGTCAATTCGTGGTCCAAAGGTCTCCCCGGAGGCGCCTAGGGTCGGATCTGGTCGCGTGCAATCGCCTACGCCGCCTACGCGGCCGCTTCCAACGTAAGATACATCTCCCAAGGTCCTTTGCGCTATACCTCTATTGGCCATGATTTGCCAAAGATTTCGATCCAGAGCTCTCTAGGGAGCTCCAAGTACGGGCGCACGCGGCGTAGGCGACTATCCGACCCCAGACCCATCCCAGAGGGCGTCCGCGAACCGATCTACATCCGAAAAAAGTAAGTAATTTGGGCCCGATGGCGCCCCGTTCCCGTAAAAAACGTCAATTACCCGAGGCCCCCCAGGAATCGTAATAGCGGTCTCGTCGGACCCCATACTACCCCACCGATAGTCAACTACGAGTATATGGCATCTACACGCCGAGAAGGGTACTTTGGGCTGCCGACGCTCGGGTCGTGAACATCTTGATCTGGACCTCGCGCAAGTCGGTTTATCATGGAACAAATGATCGCGTCAAGGTCCATGGTAATGTTACACGCGCTGATGGTCGCAGGGCCATGTGTAGAGCTTGAATTAATGAGATCGTGGACTCGCGAGTTGGCCGAGCCGCGCGGAGCATCGTGGGGTCTCGAGCAATGTAGTAGGCGCTCAGCCCGGTTATCTGGCCCGTCCAATTACCGAAGCGCCTGAAACGCAAATTTATTTTATAACTCACCGGTCTGGGACCTTTCTGGTGCTCCGTCAACGTACCGTCGTCCGCGGAGAACGGGCAAGTCGGTCGATTGTGAATAGAACAACGGCGTTATGATCCATCTGGGTAGTGGCGTCGCTGATACTCGCAGGTTTAGGTTCTGAGCCTATTAAGGGATAAACGTGGGGTCGCGGATTCGTCTTTTCGCGCAGCTCTAACGGAGTACATGATCGCGCTGGCCGATGTCCAGGTGGCCTAGATGGACTCTACCACTAACAAACGGAAGGAAACGAACATAAACGCGAGAGTTGCCTAGTAGAATTCTTCTCCCGCCCTCCGAGCGCGGGCCGTCGGCTCCGGTTCCGTCGATTGTGTATGAAAACTGGACTGGAGTTGATATAATGTCCTATTCGGACGTTAGATGGCGGCGTCAATCGCTGGTGTAGTTTAGCGAGCCGGAAGACTCATCCGCGAATGTCGCGGGCGGTGCCTTCCGGGAGGCGCGAGGGTATGTTCCCGGGCCGCTATTCTGAAATCTTTGGTCGCGGCGATCGACTGGGATGTATTCTAAATTTGAGTCATTCTTTTGACGCTATCGAGGCGTATCTTTGGATTTACTAGTATGTCGATATACGCTAGCTCGGTTTGGCTCTTCTTTGTATAAACATGGGGGCCCGGAGCAGAATAATCTCGCACCACAGCTGTGAGAATAATGCTACGTATGTACTCGTCTTTAAACCCCTACTCATCGCTAAAAAGCCAATCGGCCAGATCATCAGAGTCGCTGCGGCGGCGGCGGGCGGGCTTCTTGGCGCGGGGCTTCTTGGCCCGGGAAGGCTTCTTGGCGGCGGGCTTGGCGGATCGCGCCCTCGGCTTTGCCGCCGCGGGCGGACCCGCGGCGGCCGGCCCGGGCCGGGGCGGCGGGAGGTGCCGGGTGGTCCTGGCGACGTAGCGCGCGACGAGCACGGGCTTCGTCCCGTCGTACGGCTGGCCGAGCTCCACGAGCTTGATCCGGAGCTGGTCGACCGTGAGCTTCTTGGCCGCCCGCGTGGCGGCGGCGCGGCGCTCCTCGCCGAACGGGTCGTGCCGGTTCAAATTCTCCTCGGCCCGCGCCAGGAGTCGCGCTGTCGCCTCCCGTGACGCCTCGAGCACAAGCGCATGAAGTTCGTCGTGCTCTTGGTCGTGGAGCACGACCAGGGCGTTCTGCACGTACGTCCGCACGCGCTCCTTCTCGTCGGACGCGCAACCCTCTAGCAGCTGTTCTAGTCCGTCGGGACCATCGTAATCCCCTAGCTCGTCGATGGTGACTTGTGCCGCCTCCGACGCGAGGAAGAAAGGACTTGGCGTGTGCGTGACGTAATCAATGCTCAGGCGCGCCCCCATCCTGCTCAGCTCACCGAGCGTCGTCGCGCGCGAGATAAGTAACGGGGGGTCTTGGCGTAACAAATGTCGCCGAAAAAAATCGGCTTGGGGGTCTCGTTGGTCTTCGTCCAACCCGGTGATCTGGTCTCGCATCTGCCGTTGTATCTCTCCAGACAACGTGGGTCTGTCCTCGCTCTGGAGGATTCTCCAGTAAACGTCGCGGACCGATCGCGGCGGCGGCGCGATCCGCGTCTGTGCGGGCGGCGGCGGCGCGTCTTGCGACGTACTTTGGCCCATGTCTCTCTTTGTGGAGCGCTTTGCCTCCCTGTGCCTCCTGCCCAGTGTATAGTTTCTACGGCTTGGAAGGGTAGTACGTTCCAACACGTGGTGCGCTGCGCTGCGCTGCTTGCGTGAGGCTACGAAAGCACCTTGGCGGTGTCTGCGTTGCCACTAGCCGCACAGATGGCCAAGGCGCCTCGGTGGCCGCTAGCGGTTGTAACATACTAGCAACTCGAAGCCGGGGCAGTTTTTGCCTGCTTTTTTGACCGAATTATTGGCTATTGGTCGCCGGAAAGTTGCTGCTGCCGCAACTTGAGGACTGCCAGCTTTGCTGCGAGCTTTTGGCCACAAACAATGGACCCACCGCTGCCACCGGGCTGGTCCGCTGCCCGCGACCCCGCGAGCGGTCGCACTTATTACTACGAGCATAGCACACGACGAACAGCATGGTCACGGCCAGCGCCGGCTGCCTCGGAGGAGGCGGAGGAGCTGCCGCCTGGCGTCGAGAGATCAGCGGGCCCGGCAGCGCTACCGCGGCCCGCCCCGGCCTCTTCCGCCGCCGCCGCGCCACGCGCTGCCGCGCCGCATACTGTCGCCAGGCCAGACGCGGCGGCCGAACCCGTCGCGGAGACGCGCGCCGCAGCGCCAACACGCAAGCACCGCCTCAACACGGCCTGCACCTTCGTCATCGCACCGGGCGCCAGCGGCGCGAACTTCTGCTACGAGTTGACGGAGTGCCTGCGTCGATTGGGACACGCCACGGAAGTCGAGAGATGGCACGGGGCCTACTCGAAGGACATAAAGCGGAACGCGGACCGGCTCGAGCGTTTTGCTAAAGAGGCTGCGGCGGCGTCGGGTGAGGGGTGCCGCGTACTGCTCGTGGGCGACGGCTACGGCGGGAGAGTCGTCGCCCACCTGCTCGCGCGCTGGGCCGCCGGCGAGCCGCCGCCCGCGAACGTCTTCGCGGACGCGGCGCTGCTCGTCGGCTACCAGCTCTACGGCGCGGCGCCGCCGCGCAATAGCGGCGACGACCGCCTCGCGTTGCTGCAGGCCCTGCCGGCGTCCACGCGGCTGCTCTTCGTGAGCGGCGAGAAGGACGAGTTCCTCGACCGGACGAAGGGCGGCACGGCCTGGCGCGACGTCGGAGCGGCGCGCGGCGTCGCGGCGCTGCGCGCGGCGGCGGCGGATTTGCCCTGCGCGGCGCACGCCACCGTGGTCGGCATTGAGAACACGGGCCAGCAGCCGCTGCGCGCGGGCCGCAAGCGCACGGAGCCGGCGAAGGCGCTCGTGCTGCGGGCCCTCGCCCCATTCGTCGACGCGTTGGCCGGCGTCGTCGACGACGACCGGCGCTTGAAGCGCCTGCGCGCCGACCCCGACGACGCCCTCGCGCGCGCCGACGACGACGAGGCGGCCGACGGCCTCACGCGCGCCCACGACCTTGAGGCGGTCGCCGAGGGCGAGAAACGCGGTGCGTATGGGTACAACTAGCTAAGATTTTGATGTGAAATCACGGGTGTCAGCAAGCCGTCTCCTTGCTAGTGTCTTACAGGCCGCTAGCATCGAGAAGGTATTTCCATCTTGAAAGTCAGCATCCGCGAGGTTTCCGAGCTTGGGGGTGGAAGGTGGTCAGTATCATTATTAAACAATTGCGTGGCATCGATTGAGATAGCACACGAGCCCTTTGCGCGTACAGATAACTCACCCAAAGTTGGACCTAGCCCTTTAGCAAATCCAGCGCTCGCTCGCGGTGCATCATGACGCGCGACATCAAGTACTTAGTGCTCGCCCTCGCCATGGCCGCGACGGCCGGCGCAATCGCGCCGCCATCCTTGCGCGGCGTCAAGGACGCCTCGGGCGCCGAGACCGTCGGCGACACGTTCGAGATGTCGCTGGCCAAGGCGGTCGACACGACGCCGAAGCTACGTGGCGCCGCTGAGAACGACGCTGCTCACAGGCGGGTTGGTCGCGGCCTAGACTTTGGTTACCGAGCCCGCGAATGCCCGGAGCTCGACGTGCCGGACGAGTGCCCGGGCGACGCGACGGGCCTGAGAAGGTGCGACGAGGTGCTCTCGCCGCTGGAGGTTTACTGCGTCGGGGACGCGTCGACCTGCTCGGATCCGCGTCTATAGGAGCTCCCTTCGCCACGCCATCGTAAAATGCGAGGCCCGCGCAGGCCCAGACATGCCGGCGAGCGACTGCCTCGCGCATTTTGGCGGAGACGGCGGCCGTCGGCGCCTAGATGCGACTAGCCCGGCGCCCACGCCTGCGCCTCTCTATGTCTTTGCGGTGCGGCAGCCGACGCCCGCGCCGACGCCGGCCGAGCCCACCGCCAAGCCGACGGGCGATCCGACGCACAAGCCCACGGCCGCGCCTGCGGCCGCGCCTGCGGTCGAGCCGACGGCCGAGCCCACGGCCGCGCCTACGACGGCCGAGCCGACGGCAGCGCCTACGACGGCCGAGCCGACGGCGAAGCCGACGGCGGAGTCTACGGCCGGGCCGACGGGTCAGCCGACCGCGTCGACGCCAGGCCCGACGCCCGCGCCGACGCCGGAGGGCACATTCTCGTATGGCTACTCTCTCTCGTATGGATACCAGACGGACGCGCCAACGCCCGTCAGCTATTGCCACGGGACGGAGTACGCTGACCCTCAGTCGTGCGGCGACGCACCGTTCCCTGCGTGCGAAGGCTACCAGACAAGTTCGGGGTACGGCATGGGCTACCCCTGCGTGCCGGGCCCCGAGGGCAGCGACGAATGCACGGCCTCCTCGGACCCGTGCACGTTGCCTACGACCGCCCCGACGCTCTCGAAGGCGCCGACGGCCACGCCGGCGCCGACGGCGGCCCCGACGCCCGTGTGCGTGTACCCCGAAGACCAGAGGCGACTGGAGTCCGGGAGCGACGAGCGCCTGGGAGGTCGCGCCGAGTTCCTCGGTCCGGCGCCGGATTACTCGCGAATCGTCAACGGTGGCGATGCCATCCAGGGCAATCAACCGTGGATGGTGGCGCTCTTAAGAACTGGCCCCGGGCTTAAAGATGGCACTGGTAGCTACTACGATAGGCATTACTGCGGCGGCACCTTGATCCATCATTCGTGGGTCCTGACGGCGGCCCACTGTATTGTGACTCCTCACAGCACCAAAATGTTCCCCACTACGGTCGTCGTCGGCGCGTACGACCTTACCGATTGGCAAAACGAGGGAGACACAGAAATTCCAGCGCCGGAAGAGAGAGTAGTGAACGACGTGCTGATCCACGAGAAGTACTACGAAAACCCAAAGTTGACCGACGGGAGTCAAGATCCCGACGCTGACGGCTCCAGTTCCACTTCCAGCTTTCCTTCTTCTTGTCCAACACCGCCACCTTTGTAGCACATACTTTACACGTCGGCGTGTCGAGGAGGCAATAGAGTCGTTGACTACGACCCATAATCTTCGGCACCGACACAAACGCCCCCGCCCGACCCAAGGTCGCGCGGGCCCGCGCCGTACGCGGCCGTCATCCCTTGTCTGCTCCCCGTCGCAACGGTCTCGGACGCGCTAGCCTAAGAGACCTCTCGCTCGTAAATGAAACAGTCCTTAAGCGCCCGAAAACCTAGGCCGTGTAGAACGCGAAGTCCGTCGAGGCCTTGTTCACGTGCTTCTTGTACGCCGCGTCCAAATCTTTGGGCAGGACGACGTAGCGGTTCTCGCGCACCGCATGTAAACCGGCCTCGTTCGCGATGGCCGAACAGTCCGCCGCCGAGACGCGCTCCGGCCGGTTCACGTAGTCCTCGAGGTCTACACTGTCCGCGAGGTTCATGTTCGCCGTGCATGCCTGCAGCACCAGGCGCTTCTGCCTTCGATCCGGCGGCGGGAACTCGATCTTCCGGTCCAACCGCCCCGGTCGGAGCAGTGCGGGATCCAAGGTATCCGCCCTATTGGTGGCCATGATCACTTTCACGTTCGTCGCTTGATCAAACCCGTCCATCTGGTTTAGTAATTCAAGCAAGATGCGCTGGACCTCCCGATCCGCGCCCGTCTGCGCGTCGAAGCGTTTGGTAGCGATCGCGTCGATCTCATCAATAAAAACGATGGCCGGCGCGTTCTCCCGCGCTAATCTAAAGACGTCGCGGACCATGCGCGGCCCCTCGCCCAGGTACTTCTGGACGAACTCGCTACCGACCACCGATATAAATGATGCTGTCGTGGAGTTCGCCACTGCTTTCGCCATCATCGTCTTCCCGGTTCCGGGCGGCCCGTACATGAGCACGCCTCGCGGCGGATCGATGCCGATCTGCCTATACAACTCGAACTGCGTCAAAGGCAATTCGACGGCCTCGCGCATCTCCTGCTTCTGCACGTCGAGGCCGCCGATGTCCTTGTAGGACACTTTCGGTTTTTCCAGCATGAGTTGTACGGTAGAATCGGACTCGGGCGGCAACACGTCTACCACACTATGCGAGTGTCTATGCAAAGCTACAGAGGAATTCGGCTTGAGCTTTTCTCTGTCTAGAGTGGATAGTACTCGTACATAATAAACGGACCCAGCAGTAGAAGAAGCAATACTATAGGTCCCGTCGACCATCTCGTTGAACTGGCCGATGACCAATGGTACAGATTGGATCCTTGCTACTTCCTCTTTGGCCCTTATAAGTTCTCTTTTGAGGTTCTTGATCTCGTCCTTGACGTAGCGCTCCTGCACATCTAGGAACGCTAATTCGCCCTCCTTCTGCTTGAACAACGCATATAAATCACCTTCTGGTATTGCTGATTTAGGTTGGGGCATGAGCTCCTCGTCCTTGGGCCGCGGCTCCTTGACGTCGACGTCCATGGCGGCGGGGGCGGTCGCGGCGGCGGCCATTTTTTTGGTTTTTTGCTCTGATCCGCGCGCGCGCTCGCGGCGGCTCAGGCGGCGCGCGTCGGCGGCGCTCGCGGGCGCAGCGACCTCGACTGAGCTTGCTGGCCTGGTGCGCGGCGCGGCTCAGCGCGGTTTTACAGACGCGAGCGCTGGGGGCGCGCGGCGACTTTAAGCAGTCCTACGGGTTCCGCGGCGGCACAGCGGTGGCGCAGGAGCCAAAAGAGCGGACTTGGTCCAAGCGGACGAAACCCGCACGAAAAAGCTAAACGCGTCTTCCCGCGAAGCAGCCCGTCCCCCGGCACGGGTCTCCGGTATTACACGGGACTGAGACGACTCTGCAACCTCCCTCATTTTCGGGGGCTGACCAACCTCGATCGACGAGGTGGATGCGTGGGCCATCGACTGGTGTTGAGTAACGTGCAACGCCGAGTCGAGCAGCGTACCGTATCTCTGAGAAGCGTTCGCACGCGCAGCAACAGCTTCGCTGCGTGCGCCTGACGCTCACGAAGCTGCATCGCCTCATTTCTAGATCCAGGGCAGCGACGCCGCCGCTGCGCGCGCAGCACTGAAACAGAGGGGCCCGCGGGGCGACCTCTCGTGCGAGGCGATCAGCTAACCTGCGACACGAATCGGAAGAGGCCGCTGAAATAGCTCCGATGTCACTCCTCACGACGTTACTCGCGAACGCGGAGGCCTTGGCCTTACTAGCCACGGCCGCCGCCGTCGCGACAGCCGACGGCAGCAGCATCTTAGGCGCGTCGCTCTTCGGCAGTCTCTGCGTGGCGGCTATAAGACCAACCTACGGCGACGCCTCTGATGTGTACGCGACGGTCGGAGTCATTGTGTGCGCCGTCGGCGCGTTGAGCGGCGGCGCCGTCGCGGCGCTCGCGCCGCAGAAGGTGACGGCCGTGTCGGCCGCGGGCCTCGTCGCGTTGCCACTAGCTCTACTCCTCGAGAAGCACGGCAAGTGCCCCGACAGCGGCATCGCGCCGGACGCCTCCGGTTCTGTACTAGGCGCCTTGCTCATTACCATTTTATGTGGCGTGGCTTTGTACCTGGCGGAGAGAGATCCGAGACGGGACGCCCAGGTGAAGAGGGTGGCGCACGCCCTAGGAGCGGGCTGGTTCGCGGCTCTAGCACTAGATGTCTCCTTGGCGAACGGCGCGGCGTTGTGGGTCCACGCCGTGGCCGTTGCGAGACCAGGAGACGTCCCCGGGCCGGACTTCGTGAAATATACCTTCAATGAACTTTGGGCCTGTTTGGTCTGGGCGGGCATCTCATCCATTGTGTATGCGCTGCGGCCCGCCACCAATAGGATCGGCTCATTACGAGCGGCGGCGATGCCGCGGTCTTCCGACGTGCGGAGGGACGACGGCCGCGCGTCCGACGCGGCGACGCACCAGCTCCACCTCGTCGCCGCGCGGACGCAACACTTCAACCTCTTCGACCCGCTGAAGCTGCCGCCCGCCCTCAAACGCTTCTCGTCGAAGACCTTCGCGTCGGCGGAAGCGCTGGGCAACTTCTTCGGGCTGCAGGACGACAACGTCCGGAGCCAGGTGCGTACTCGGCGTCCTTATTTTTCGCGTCGACGGCGTCGCGTCGACGGCGTCGCGTCGATGACGTTGTGACGCCATCGTGCCGTCAGGGCGCGCGCGCGCAAGATAGAGAGAGAGCACGCCAAGACGCCGGAGCGCTGCACCATCGTGCCGTCGGGACGCGAGCACACGACAACAAAAATCAACGCAGGCCGAGCACGCCCTGATGCTCTTCGCGAATGCATTAGCAAGGCAAGCGCCCGGCAAATCATCAATCGACGAGGCCGACGAGCAGGCGGCCAAGGCCGTGCACGCGAAGTTGTTCGAGAACTACCGGCAGTGGTGCTCGTCGCTCGAGGTCGAGCCCCACTTCTCGAAGGAGATCGACGAGTGCGGTGGGGTTTATGGGGACGTGGTGCTCTGGTTATGTGTGTGGGGCGAGTGCGCGAATCTGAGGCACCTCCCGGAGTGCGTCTGTTACTTGTATCATAGCGCGGCGGGCGAGTGGGCCGCCTGCGAGGTGCACGAGCGACAGGGTGAAAGAGGGGCGTCGTTGTATCCCGGACATTTTTTGGACACAGTAGTGTCGCCGATATATGATGTGATAGCCCAGCAGATGCGCCTGAAATGTGATCATATCAGTAAAAAGAATTATGATGATTTCAACGAGTTCTTCTGGTCGAAAGATTGTCTGAGATATCATCGCTCGCCGGTCGCGACGGAGACGGCCGTGCGGGCCCACAAACGGCGCTCGGATAAAGCGCGGCAAAAGTCCATGCACGAAGGTACCAGCCTCTATGACGACTCGACCTTCCCGCCGCCCGTCCACAGTGCCTTGTCAGGAGCTCCTAAAACTTATATGGAGGAAAGGACGTGGCTCCACGTGGCCTTCGCCTTCGGTAGGGTCTACGAGTACCACGCTCTGTGGTTCCAGGTGCTGGCGACGTTTGGCTTTGCGACTTATCTCGTGTGGGACACGGCCTACGCTATGCAAGTCTACTCCGGGTTATTTATTGCCATCAACTTGTATGCTTTGCTGAATGCGTGTCTCGAGGCGAAGCTACTAGCACCCGCAGCGGACGACGTGCAACGCGGCGCCCTCGCGACGAGGATAGCGGGTAGATACGCCTGCTTCGTCTACCAGTGCATGTACCTGAGCTGGGCCTTCGACGCGAACGAAGTATTACCGAGGAGTCCCGTGAGAAGTTTGGGTCGGACCAATGCCTTTTGGTGGTGGCAGTACGTGTGGCTGTCGCTGATCCCGATGTGCATTTATGTGACCGAGGCTTGCTTACAACTGTGGCCGCGGGCCCTGACGTCGATCTACGAGTCTGGTGCGAACAGTGACATCTCGCGGGCGTTGTTAGCGGTCTTCCTCCCTCGCTCCACGAACTACGTGGGCAAGAACGTCCACGAGCCGCTGGCGATCGCCCGGACCTACCAACTGTACTGGCTCATACTCGTCAGTTGGAAGCTCATTTTTGGCTATCAATTTTTAGTCAAACCGATGGTAGCTCCGACGATCCAAATCGTCGACGACTACCTGAACTACCCCCAGATTTCCGGAAGAGGCCTGAAGACGGCTTCTCAGTTAATAGGAAGGTGGGCGCCGCCCTGTTTGATCTTCTTAATTGATAGCAGTATATGGTACTCGCTGGCGTCCTCAGCTGTTGGAGTCTACGTGGGCTTCCGGGACAAGCTGGGTATCGTGCGGGACTTCCCCGCGCTGCGGGATGCGTTCCTGTTATTACCGACGAATTTCTGCGCGAAGCTCGTGCACGGCGTCGCGGAAGAGGGCCTCGCGGACCGGACGCCCGCGTCCCCGTCTCCCGGCGGTCTGAGATTTGCGCCGGGCGACGACCCTCGAGTACGAGAAAGTACGTCGTGCCTCTACCAGACGGTGTGCGGCGACGACGATCCTCAAAGACCTTTTAGTCCGAGAAGGTTAGGTGATGCCACCACACCACCTACGTCGTCGTCAGATCTCGCCTCGACGTTGGGAGCGGCCTCGGCCTACGGCGGCGCCCTGGCGCCGCGCCTCCCGTCCTTCCTGTCGATGGCGGACGCGCTCGACTCGCCCCCGGACACGGCGCGGCGAGGTTTGCTGGACTTGTTGGAACACGGTTCCCATCAAAAGCACTTGGAACCATTAGGTGCGGCCGACGAGGTCCAGTGGGTCTTGTTTGCCGAAGCGTGGAATGATGTCATATCTGCCATGAGGAATAGTGATGTGATCAACGACTACGAGCGGGAGGTGCTAGCTTTCGATCGGTTCCCTGGTTTTTCGAAGCCGGTCTACTTGCCTATCTTCGTGACGGCCGGTGCCTTGGAACGAGCCTCAGCCGCGGCGAATGATGCGGCGGCGGCGTATCGACCTTTACAAAGATTAGCCGAGGACTACAAGGGCATCGACGAGACGCGGTCGAAAACTCATTTACAAGCTGCTAGAAGTGTGGACGACGACCTCGCGAACGCGTTGAGAGCGGATGTTGTTGCTACGGAGGCAGTGGACGAAGTGAAGGAACTGGCGACGGTGTTGCTCCTGAAGTTGTTGGGTCCGATCCACAAGGACGACGTCGTCGCCATCATAAGCATAGTGGAGAAGTGGGCCCGGGGCCCGGAGGCGTTACTGCAGAATGTTTACCTCGAGGATCTCACGTCTAAAGTCCTGAAGCCTCTGGCGGACCTCGCGGGGTTGCTGGCGTCGAAATTGCATAAGCGCTCAGTTTCTGACGCGTCACCACTGGACGCCTACGCCAATCTTGAGAGTGGACAACCTAGTGAGGACGCCTCCGACGCTGATGGTGAAAGTCTGTCGTCGATGCCTCGCTCGCAGTCCACTTCCGGCCTAGCTGCTCTCGGTACGTCGACGCCATCCATGAAAACACAACGGAACAAGTACTCTCTGTCGTCATCAAAGTACGTCGCGTCTTCTCAGAAAGAAGTCCGGGATCCCCTGCGCGATGCGTTGAGGGATAAACTGCGATCTGCCTTGACGGGCGCCATGGCCTGCGTCGTCAAGTCCAACGTGAAGGGCAGCTACGCGAAGGAGGTCAAGGATCGGCTGACTTTCGTCTTAGCAAACGAGCGGGGCTTCTTCTGGGACGGCCGTTACGCGTCGGCGTGTGCCGACTCCTTAGCCTTAGATGCGAAACTACTTAAGCGGTTAGCCGTGAAATTGAAAGGGTTGTTAACTACTCCCCAAAGAAAGACGGAACCTCGAGGGCAAGAAGCGACGCGAAGGCTGACCTTCTTCGTGAACTCTTTACTGATGGACCTGCCGCCGCCCCCACCGTTGGATGCCGCCGTTTCTCTCACGACTTTGACGCCGTTCTACTCCGAAGACGTCATCCTGTCGGAGGCTGACCTGAGGAAGAAGAACAGCGATGGAGTTACGACTCTCTTATACTTACAAACTTTATATAAAGCTGATTGGCGCGCCTTCTTGGAAAGGAGAGGGATTGACGACCACGCCGCGAGAGATGCTGTATTTAGCGCAAAGCATGCGACAGAGACGCGCCTGTGGGCCTCGTTCCGCGCGCAGACGTTGGCACGGACGGTCGAGGGCATCATGCAGAACGAAGCCGCTCTACGGTTGTTAGCTCGTTTAGAGAGAGTCAATGATGCTAGAAGAAGTAGAAGAAGGGCAGGGGCCCCGAAGACGTCGCGATTATATGCCGCGGCCTGCGATGAAAGCCCGACGCACCCCCAAATTTCGTTAGATGACCTCCTCAAGCTCAAGTTCGGGTACGTCGTCACGTGCCAGATCTATGGCAGGCAGTCGGCCCAGCAGGACCCGAAGGCAAAGGACATCGAGATGTTGCTGAAGCGGTTTCCGTTACTTAGAGTTGCGTACATCGACGAGCAGCGCGTGAATCGTTCAGGCGCCTCGGCGTTCTACTCTTGTCTGGTCAAGCATGATGCGACAACAGACGGTCCCGCCGAAGTCTACCGCGTGCGACTCCCGGGCAACGCGATCGTCGGTGAGGGCAAGCCTGAAAATCAAAATCATGCCGTCGTGTTTACCAGAGGGGAAACTTTACAGACGATCGACATGAACCAGGACGGCTTCTTCGAGGAGGCCTTGAAGACTCGTAATTTAGTGCAGGAGTTCCGGGGGCCGCGGGCACCGGGCGCGCCGCCTGTGGTCATCGTCGGCTTCCGGGAGCACATCTTTACTGGTTCAGTATCATCTTTGGCGAACTACATGGCTTTACAAGAATTATCATTCGTGACGCTAGGCCAGCGGGTCTTGGCGGACCCGTTACACATGCGGCTGCACTACGGGCATCCGGACATTTTTGACAAACTGTGGTTCACGACGCGAGGTGGTGTCAGTAAAGCGTCGCGAGGCATCAACCTGTCCGAGGACATCTTCGCGGGCTACACGGCGGTGATACGAGGAGGCGGCGTGACGATGCGGGAGTACGCCCAAGTAGGCAAGGGCCGCGACGTCGGGATGCAACAGATCTACAAATTCGAGGCGAAGCTATCTCAGGGCAACGCCGAGCAGTGCCTCGCGCGGGATGTATCTAGGGTGGCCGCTCGGTTGGACTTTCCGCGGCTGCTGTCGTATTACTTCGGGGGGATTGGCCATTACATCAACTCGGCGCTGACCGTGGCTACCATACAAGTTGCTACTTATCTATCTTTACTATTAGCTGTGTATGGCGCCGAAAGTATCGGCCATCGATTAGTAGTGCCGTTGGGGACTTTACAAGTGGTGTTGGCTGGCTTGGGGTTGCTGAACACGTTACCTTTGTTAGCTACCTTAGCGGTCGAGCGAGGTTTGTTGGCGGCAACGAGGGACGTGGCCCAGGTCTTCGCGTCGGGCGGCCCGTTGTATTTTGTGTTTCACATCCAGACGCGGGCCCACTACTTCATGCAGACTCTATTAGCTGGAGGTGCCACGTACCGCGCGACGGGCCGAGGCTTCGTCACAACACATAACAGTTTCGACGAGCAGTACCGCTTCTTCGCGGCCTCGCACTTGTATCTTGGCGTGGAACTAGCGGCGGCGTTAGGGCTGATGGGCGCCCACACGCAGGCCGGCCAGTACCTGGGCCGGACCTGGTCTTTATGGCTCGCCTGCGGGGCCTTTTTGTTAGCACCCTTCTGGTTCAATCCCTTAGGGTTCTCGTGGCCCCACGTCGCCGACGACTTTGTCGCGTGGCGGCGCTGGATATCCTACGGGACACGGGGCGGTTCGGCAACGGACTCGTGGGACGTCTGGCACAAGGAGGAGACGGCGCCGTTACGTCGATTATCTAATAGGTCGAAGTGCGTCGTGTCGCTGAAGGCGGTGCTCTACGTGGTCCTTGCGAAAGGACTGTTTGACTTCTCGGGCAAGGCGGCGACGCGGCGGTTGATCGCCTTCTCCTACGCGTTGTTGGTTCTGGCGTCGCTGCAGGTCTGCGCCTACGTCGTGGACCGCGTGGCGCATCGCCTCCATTATGCGTGCCACCGCCTCGTGCAGATGGTCTTGGGCATCTGTTCGGTGGGTGTCGCTCTGTATGAGGTCTGCGCCCACCCGGCCTCGCTCAAATTCGCCATCTCGATGTACTACCTCGCGGCGGCCGTTTGTGTGCTGGGAACGCTCTGGGGCGGCGAGGGCCCCGCCGTCTACGGTGGTAGAAGACATTCGTCTTTTGCCGCGATCGTACCATCACTCACGCGACACTTGGCGCGGCTCCACGATTTGGTCGTGGGCTACGTGTATTTCGCGGTCTTCGCGCCGCTCTCCGCCATCAGAGTCGTGGACGTCGTGCAGACGTGGCTCCTGTTCCACAACGCGCTGTCGGAGGGCGTGGTCGTCGACGACATTTTGAAGCAAGCTAGGCAGTCCCAGGAGACGTCGTCGTCGAACGGCCAGAGCGAGGAGATCGCCCAGCTCCGACGCCAGGTCGAGCTCCAGCAGCGGGCGCTGGGCGCGCTGCTCGAGGGCCGGGGCGACGCGTCGGCCTACTACCAGGCCGCGGTGTCGCCGCCGCCACCGCGGTCCGACTCGGACAGCGCCGTCGACGGCGGCCGGCGGCCGAGCGCGCCGGCGTCGCTCTCGCCGCCGGCGGACGCGGCGGCCTTCTCGTTCAGCTCGCCGGCCGAGATGCCGCCGCGGGACGCGATGTCGGACCCGGCGCCGGCGAGCGGCGGGCTGGCCTGAGGCGTCCTCCCCCCCCATCTCTTGAACGCGCGCGGGGGCATAACATAAACTGAATCGAGGCTTCGCTAGTTCCTTGGAGCTTTCTTGAGTAAGCCCGCACGCGGGTGGCACAGCGCCGCGCGCGGGGGTGTGCTTATGCACAGCGCCCTTCGCTGCGCTTGCGCGATGCGGTCGGCAGCCCTGCAGCTCGCCACGAGTGGATCCTCGATCACAGGGAGCCGCCTGTTAGAGCATAACAGCCGCACCCAACACGGGTAGACTTTATGCCTTGCATAGATGGATGTTGTGAGCACAGTAACGAGGTGCTCTGCGCAGACTTGGAGCCGCAGCCCTTCCATCACGGCCGAACGAGCGCCGCCCAGAGTACAGCGAAATCGCTGTGCTTTTCACAGCCACATCGCTGTGTCCGGCACAGTGACGCGGCCGTGGTCGGCGCAGAGACGAGAGCACTCTTGAGCCGCATCTGGAGCCACGCAGCCCTATCACGGCATCACGGCGAACGAGCGCCGCCCAGAGTACAGCGAAATCGCTGTGCTTTTCACAGCCACATCGCTGTGTCCGGCACAGTGACGCGGCCGTGGTCGGCGCAGAGACGAGAGCACTCTTGAGCCGCATCTGGAGCCACGCAGCCCTATCACGGCATCACGGCGAACGAGCGCCGCCCAGAGTACAGCGAAATCGCTGTGCTTTTCACAGCCACATCGCTGTGTCCGGCACAGTGACGCGGCCGTGGTCGGCGCAGAGACGGCGAGCGCTTGAGCCGCATCTGGAGCCACGCAGCCCTATCACGGCATCACGGCGAACGAGCGCCGCCCAGAGTACAGCGAAATCGCTGTGCTTTTCACAGCCACATCGCTGTGTCCGGCACAGTGACGCGGCCGTGGTCGGCGCAGAGACGAGCGCACTCTTGAGCCGCATCTGGAGCCACGCAGCCCTATCACGGCATCACGGCGAACGAGCGCCGCCCAGAGTACAGCGAAATCGCTGTGCTTTTCACAGCCACATCGCTGTGTCCGGCACAGTGACGCGGCCGTGGTCGGCGCAGAGACGAGAGCACTCTTGAGCCGCATCTGGAGCCACGCAGCCCTATCACGGCATCACGGCGAACGAGCGCCGCCCAGAGTACAGCGAAATCGCTGTGCTTTTCACAGCCACATCGCTGTGTCCGGCACAGTGACGCGGCCGTGGTCGGCGCAGAGGCGAGCACCCTTGAGCCGCATCTGGAGCCACGCAGCCCTATCACGGCATCACGGCGAACGAGCGCCGCCCAGAGTACAGCGAAATCGCTGTGCTTTTCACAGCCACATCGCTGTGTCCGGCACAGTGACGCGGCCGTGGTCGGCGCAGAGGCGACGGCGTCACCTTGAGCCGCATCTGGAGCCACGCCCTATCACGGCATCACGGCGAACGAGCGCCGCCCAGAGTACAGCGAAATCGCTGTGCTTTTCACAGCCACATCGCTGTGTCCGGCACAGTGACGCGGCCGTGGTCGGCGCAGAGGCGAGCGCCTTGAGCCGCATCTGGAGCCACGCAGCCCTATCACGGCATCACGGCGAACGAGCGCCGCCCAGAGTACAGCGAAATCGCTGTGCTTTTCACAGCCACATCGCTGTGTCCGGCACAGTGACGCGGCCGTGGTCGGCGCAGAGACGAGAGCACTCTTGAGCCGCATCTGGAGCCACGCAGCCCTATCACGGCATCACGGCGAACGAGCGCCGCCCAGAGTACAGCGAAATCGCTGTGCTTTTCACAGCCCATCGCTGTGTCCGGCACAGTGACGCGGCCGTGGTCGGGCGCAGAGGCGAGCACCTTGAGCCGCATCTGGAGCCACGCGCCCTATCACGGCATCACGGCGAACGAGCGCCGCCCAGAGTACAGCGAAATCGCTGTGCTTTTCACAGCCACATCGCTGTGTCCGGCACAGTGACGCGGCCGTGGTCGGCGCAGAGACGAGAGCACTCTTGAGCCGCATCTGGAGCCACGCAGCCCTATCACGGCATCACGGCGAACGAGCGCCGCCCAGAGTACAGCGAAATCGCTGTGCTTTTCACAGCCACATCGCTGTGTCCGGCACAGTGACGCGGCCGTGGTCGGCGCAGAGACGAGAGCACTCTTGCACCCGCAGCAGCTCCAGTACCAAGTTGAGTAATTCTCATAGTGGACTAGTATCTACGCGAGTAAGTATAAGTATATTAGGGGAAAGGGAGGGGTGCTGGACTACTACACCGGTGGTCGCGGCGGCCCGGACGCCGGCGACGCCCGCGCCCCCGATCGACCCGGCGCCCGAGCCCGAGGAGCCCGAGGAGCCCGAGGCGCAGCCCGAGGAGCCCAACGAGCCCGAAGATTCCAAGCTGTCCAAGTTGGCGAAGTTTATGAAGATGGTGCCGACCGGAAACTGAGGCTCCGCGAGGCGGTGCTCGGCACCGCGCCCGTCCCGAGCTATACCCCTGGTAGGACCGATCTAAGTTTTATGATTCAAGCATTCAGATGACTTTTCCCCGGCCGCGCGAGACCCCCGCTCGACCTATGCTGGGCTCATCGCCGCCCGGCACCGCGGCGGGCGGCTGCCTCGCGGGCTCTCGCGCCGCGATTATCTGAGCTTGTCGTGGCCGCCCAGTCACAACCAGAGGCCTCCAGGGACCCTAGTCCCTCCCTCGGATGGCGTGTGCGCCTCCATCGACCGCGCCCTTTCTCGTGACCACTGGGTGAATTGGGTCGACCGCCGCCGTTGGCCCAGAAAGAGCGCATCGAGTGCAGCTAGTTAGGGACTTCTCTTAGTACGCGGGCACAGCCGCCGACTCGATACCGGCCGGGAAAGGATCCTCGAACTCGTCGTCGGAGAGCGCGTCGGCTTCGTCGCGGCGCCGCAACGGCGGCGGCGAGAGAGATGATGACGTCGCGCGGCCGGCGAGCGCTGCGTCCAGCGCGCGCTGCCATCGCTTCGCCGCCTGGGCGTTGAGCGCCTCGTGCCGCGCGGCGAGGCGGAGCCGCTGCTTCGCGAGCGCGTGCTTGGCCGCGCGGCTCCACTCCTCCTTGACCTGGCGTAGCCAGTTTGCACAGCGCTCGCGCAGGGAGGACAGGGCCGCGGCGTGCTCGGCGTCGCGCTGGCGCAGGTCGCGCGCGGCCTTGCGGCGCTCCTCGTCGACGGCGGCGCGGGCCGCGCCGAGCGCGTCGACGCGACCGTCGCGCGCCGCGGCGTCCTGGCGCTCGAGCGCCGCGGCGGCGCGCCGCGCCTCCGTCTCCGCATGCTGCGCGGCGTCCTCGGCGCGGCGGACGTCGTCGGCCGCGCGCCGGAGGCGGGCCTCGGCCTCGCGCGCGAGCGCGTCGAGCTCGCGATCCTTCTCCTCGCAGCGCTTGCGCCAGACGGCGGCGGCGTCGTGGTCGCCGGAGACGACGGCGACGCGCGGCCGGGCGCGCGGCGTCTGCAGCGGCGACACGATGGTCCGGATCGTCGCCGCCGCCTCCTTGAGGTGCGCCGCGTCGTCGGACGCCGACTCCAGCCGCGCCGCGACGTCCTCGACGGCCGCCGCCGCCTCGAGCGCCCCGCTGCCGGCCCGCGCCAGCACGGCGAGGCGGTCGACGTACACCTCGTAGGGCTCCGCCGTCGCGGCGACGTAGTTCGAATCGCCCGTCGCCGCCCAGGCCTTGCGCGCGTAGGCCGCCGCCGCGTCGCGCGCGCTCGCGACGTCGTGGCCCGAAAGCGCGTCCGTCTCGCCGACGCGGCGCGCCTCCTCCTCGAGCAGCTTGCGGAACTGGTCCAGCTGGTCGCGGTGCGTCGCGTCGCGCCGCGCGAGCTCCGTGGCGTGGGCCGCGCGCAGGCCCGCGAGGCGGCTCGCGTGCGCGCGGTCCTTCTCGCCCGTGGCGTCCGCGGCCGCGCGCGCCGCGTCGGCGAGGCGGCGCGCGGCGGCCTCGTCGGCGCGCGCGTGCGCCTCCGCGGCGGCCGCCAGGCGCGCCGCGGCGTCGTCGCGCTCGCGCCGCGCGGCGTCGGCCGCGGCGCGCGCGCTCTCGGCCTCGGCCCGCGACGCGCCGGCCGCCGCCGCCGCCTTGCGCGCCGCCGCGACCTCGGCGGCCGCCTCGGCGCGGGCCGCGTCGACGTGCGCCGCCGTGTCGCGCGTGAGCGAGCCCGCCGCCGACGCCGCGGCGCGCGCGGCCGCCAGCTCGTCGGCAAAGGCCGCGCGCGCGGCGGCGAGCTCCTCGGCCGCCGCCTGCTCGCGCGCCGCGGCGTCGGCCGCCGCCACGGCCGCGGCGGCCTGGGACGCCGCCACGGCCGCCGCCTTGTCGGCATCGCAGGACTCTACGGCCTCGGCGACGGCGTCGACGACGGCCACGTGCATCGCCGACTCGTAGGCCACCCGCTGGAGGTCCAGGGCTTCGGCGCGCTCCTTCGTGCGCACGGCTAGCTCGGACGTGAGCGCGTCGACGCGCGCGCCCCAGGCCGCGCGCGCCGCCGCCTCGCGGTCGGTGAACTGGCGCTCGGCCGCGAGGCCCCGCAGCGCCTCCGTCGCTTTCTTCGAGGCCGCGGCGCCCTCCTGCACGGACACGCCCTGAATGCGCTTGAGCGCGACCTCGTGGGCGCGCTCCACCTTGCGGAGCTTGGCGTCGGCCCGGTCCTCGACCTCCCGGAGCTTGGCCTCGTAGGCGCGCGCGCTCTCGAGCCGCGCGAGCTCGGCCCGGCGCGCGGCGTCGCGGGCCTTGGTGGCCTCCTCGTTCGTGTGCGGCAGCGCCGCAGTTTTGGCCGCCGAGTCCGCGACGGCCGCGGCGGCCGCCGCGCGCGCCGCCGCCGCCTCGCCCCGCGCCGCGGAGATCTCCTCGCGCGCCGCGGCTAGCGCCTCGTCGCGCTCCCGCAGCGTCGCCTCGACCGCGTCGCGGCCCTGCCGCGCGACGTCTTCGGCGCAGCGCGTCGCCGCCTCGAGCTTCTCGCCGTCCAGCAGCACCTCCGTCTCGCGGCGCGCCGCCAGGTCGGCGACGGCCGCCGCCGCCGCGGCGTCCGCCGCGTCGGCGCGGTCGCGCGCGGCCGCCGCGGCGGTCGACGCTTCCGCCGAGGCCGCCTCGACGGCCGCCACGCGCGCGCCGAGCGCCGCGCGCTCGACGGCCGCTGCCGCGGCCGCCTCCTGCAGCGCCGCGCGCTCGGCGGCGGCGCGGTCGCGCGCCTCGGCCGCCGCGCCCTCGCTGGCGCCGGCCGCCCGCTCGCCGCGCGCCGCGACGAGCGCCGCCGACGCGGCTGCGCTCGCCAGCGCCGCGCCCGCGGCCGCCGCGGCCGCCTCGGCGTCGCGCGCGGCCGTCACCGAGGCGCGCAACGCGGCGGCCTCGTCGGCGAGCTCGCGCGCCGCCGCGTCCGACGCGTCGGCGCGCGCGACGGCCGCCGACACGGCCGCCGCAACCGCGTCGCCGCGCGTCTCGTCGGACCACGACGCCGCCTCGGCGCGCGCCTCAGCTGCCGTCGCGGCGCGGCGCGCGGCGGCGGCGTCGGCCTCGGCCGCGCGCGCGCGCGCCTCGGCCGCCTCGAGCGACCGGCCCCGGTCCGCGGCGAGCGCCGTGGCGGCGGCCGCCTCGGCCTGGAGCGCCGCGACGCGGCGCTCGAACCCGTCCGCGCGCGCGGCCGCCGCGTCCGCGTCCGCGCGCGCCGCCGCTGCCGCCGCGCGCAGCGCCGCGGTCTCCTCTTCCTCGTGCGGCGCCGACATGGAAGCGTGCTCCGCCACGGCCTTCGCGAGCCGCGCGTCCGTGGCGTCGCGCGCCGCGGCGGCCGCGGCGGCCGACGCCCGGGCCTCCGCCGCGGCCTCGGCCGCCTCCGAGGCGGCGGCGTCGCTCGCGTCGCAGCGCGCCTTGAGGCCCGCAATGTCGCTCCGCAGGGCGTCGCGGTCCTTGGCCGCCAGATCCAGCGCGCAGCGCAGTTCGTTCTTCTCGTCGCGTTCTTGCGCCGCGACGCGGGCGCCCAGCTCGACTTTCTCGGAGGCGTGGCGGGTCGCCAGGCGCGCGAGCTCTTCCTTGAGTTGCTCGCGCTCGCGCGCCGCCGCGCGACTCTCCTTGCGGCGCTCGTCCGAAAGGCTCCGCAGCGCGGCTTCTGCGGCTTTCAGCCGCGCGCGGAGCTCGAGGTCCGCGCCGCGTTGGTGGCGCGCATCCTGGCGCGCGAGCGCGTCCTCCGTGGGTGGAGCGGCCACCAGGTAGCCCGCGAGCTCGTCGTCGTCGTCGCCTTCCTTCTGCGGGGACTCCGGCGGCGCGACGTAGGGCTCGAGGGCGTTCTCCTCTTCGTCGTCGACGTCCTCGCCCAGGTCGAGCCGGGCCTTTGTGGGCGTGCCGTCGCGCTGCTTTCTGGTCGCGAGCTTGGCCTCGAGCGACGCGTTGGCTTTTTGCAGCGACGCCTTCTCGTCCTTGAGCTCGTCGATCCGAGCGTTCCGCGCGTCGACGGCGGCCTCGAGCTCGCAGCCCTTTTGCGTCTCGGTGCGGAGCTCGCGCTTCGTCTCCTCGAGCTCCGTCGTCAAGGATTCGATCACCTCGTCCTTGGCCGCCTCGAGCGCGGATTGGGCCTTGAGCGAGTCGGCGAGCATCTCCTTGACCTTTTCGGCGTGGGCCCGTTCTCGGGCCTTCGCGAGCGTCTCGAGCGTCGCGCGCTCGAGGCGCCAGGCCGCCTGCTCGTCGTCACTTTTCTTGGGCCGCGAGGCCGCCGCCTCGAGCGCGAGTATCTTGAGGCGGTCCGCCTCGCCCCGCGCGGCGGCGGCTTGCAAGCGCCGCGCGGCGTCGGCGGCCCACGCCTGGAGCTGCGAGAGGTTCGCGAGCGGCGGGTCGGGGCCGCGCGTCGCCTCGCCCTCGGAGTCGTCGTCGATGACGCGCTCCGGGAAGAGCGTCCGGTTGGTCTGCTCGTCCGGCGACACGCGGCGCGTCTGGCCGGCCCAGAGGGCGTCGCCCGGCGTCTTCTGCGGCGCCTGGCTCCGCAGGTCCGCGTCCCAGGCGCCGAGCGGGTCCGCCTCGCCGAGGATCTCGTCGAGCGTCGACGCGAGGCCCAGGTCGGGGGCGCCGCGGTCGTAGTCCATCGTGCGGCGCGCTGCTTTTTTGCAGCGACGCGCTGCAGCTTTTGCGCGCGCTCCTTGCTTTGCGCGCGCAGAGTGCTTTTGCTCTCTCTCGCGGTTTCACTCCTTATGTGCGGGCTCAGGCTATCCAAACACAACAAGGCGACAGCTGGTGCCAACCAATGCTGCTGTGCAAGCGTGGGGCTGGGGTGAGCAGGTCAAATGCGAGCTCGGCGTCTCGCGCCTTTTGGTTCAAAACCCGTCGCCGTGTTTGCGTCTAGCCATCGGTACGCCGGGACGGCTCGGCAAAGGGCTCCTCAGGCACGAACTCGCGGGGGGCGCACATGGCATCGCCTCCATGTTTGGGGTTGCTGTGCATGGGCTTTGGAGAGGACCACTGCCGAGCAGGGCTTGTGCAATATACGCTCAAAAAGCATACTCTTGCAACAGCCTAAAGGTGTGTCTCGCTGATCACGCTCACGCCTTGCTGCGTCTCGCTGTTGCTGCAATCACTGCGGTGCCACTTGGCACAGCTGGGTGCAGCGACGCGCGCGCGATGGCTGCAGGAGCACCTCGACGAGTCATGTTGTTGTTGTTCGCTGCTGCGACAGCAGCCGTAAACGGCGCAGCGCCGCGCCGCGCGCCGACCGCGTCGCTGGTGCGACGGCGGCCGCAGAGGCCACCGCAAAGGCTGTGGCTCCGCGGCGGCGCACGCGACGACGACGACGACGATGACGACAACGACGACGACGAAAAGGAGCCGGGCGCGGTGGCGGCGTTATTGGGAGACCTGCCGCCGTGCCTCCGAGCGCACGTCGTCGGCGTCGCCGCGACGACGGCCATCGCGCTGTCGGGCGTCGTCGACCCGAACACGGCGCTCGCACTCGACACGCCGCGCACGATCGGCAAGCTGCAACTGTGGCGACCGATCACGTCGGCGTGCTTCCTCGGGCCGCCGTCGATGGGCTCCGCGACGTCCTTGTATTTGCTCGTGAAGTACGGCCGGGAGCTGGAGACGGCGGTCGGCACGACGCCCTTCGCCAAATTCCTGATCCTCCAGACGGTGATGCTGGCGCTCTTCGGCGGCGCCCTCGGAGTGCCTTTCGTGGGCAACGCTCTGATCACGGCGGTGATCTACGCGTGCTCGCGCCTGGAGCCCTTCGGAAACATCCAGTTCCAGTTCGGAATAACCCTGAAGTACTGGATGCTGCCCTTTGGTTTGATGGCCGTCGAGATGCTCCAGCAGCAGGGGTCGGTCGCCGCCGTCGTGCCCCACATACTCGGGGTGTTGTGCGCGCACTTCCACCACTTCTTCGCCGTCGTCTGGCCGCGCATCATGCTCGAGGAGAACGGCGGCGACGCGCCGGGGCCGCGGTCGAAGGCGTCGCCGCTGGCGCAGACGCGCGCGGGGCGAAAGCTGGGGAGCGGGTAGTAGAAGTGGGGCGTCTATATATTCAAGAATGGTCTGAGTGATACGTTGCGAAGCTTTGCTTAGTCCCCCAGGGAGACGGCGCGGCGCCGCGGAGAGAGAACGAAAGGGAGGGAGGGGGTTGCTTGCCCAGGCGGGCTAACACGAGGTCATTCAGGCCGCGTCTTGGGCGTCGCCGTTGACGGCGGGCTCCGCCGTCGTGGAGTCGGAAATCAAGGCGGGCTTCTGCCAGACTTTAATTTCGCCCGGGCTCAACCAATGCCCGCTGCCCGAGATGAGGCGGCCGTCTGACAAAACAGCCATGCAATTGATGGGATACTTGTGTTCGTCCAACACCATCACAGTACTACCCGCCGTGACGTCCCACACTCTAATCGACCGGTCTTTCGAGCCGGAAGCGAGCAGGGTCAGCTTCTCGTGCGGCAAGTCCGACAAGCACGTGATCCAGCCAGAGTGTCCTTCCAGCGTATGAATGCGGTCCCCGGAATCATCCTTCGACACAATGATTTTGTAGTTGGCCATGCACGTCGAGGCGATGCGTTTTCCAGTTAGACTTAGCGCGTGCGTGATCGAGCTCTGGTGCTCAAACTCAGAAATGACTTCCGTGGCGGTACTGTTCCACACTTTAACCAAGCGGTCCCCGCCGCCAGAGATGATCAGCTCAGACTCGCGAGTAAAGGCGATGCACGTAACCTTCTCCTCGTGCGCCTCTATGCACTTGTAATAGCGCGAGTGAGGATTGAGAGACGACTCAGACGCGTGTGGACCCCAATATTGGATCTCACCACTCGAATGTCCTGTGACGAGCGTGCCGTCGGCCTTGGCCCCCACGCACGTGACCTATCAAGTTGGCGTACGTACGGTGAGATAGCAATTTCAAAAGAGGCTCCGCGCCGCACGCAGTTCTGGGTCCACGTAAACGGCCGCCCCACGAATACGAGTTCGCCGTGCTTGTAGCCCCAATAATTCACATAAGGGGACCTGTGCGGAAATCAACCAGCGATTTAGGTTACGAGCCGACGCGGCCACGGGGACAACGCCGCGTCGATGGCGTGGAATCGCCACGCCATCGCGCAGACGCAGCTACGGAAGCACGTCGCGTCGATAGCGTGGGCGCCCGAAATTTGAGTTCCACTCAGGAATGGGCCCGTTGCCGTCAGCAATTAAGCCGTTCAACTCATGACAGTTCCAGACTTCCTGCGAGGGGAACGTTGTGCCGCGGGGCAGGTCGCTCGCGAGAGACGCCGCGGAATCGACGTGGTACTCTCGATGACCCCTCGCTTGCAGAACGTGCATGTCCCCGCTGTCACGTTCTATCGTAACGATGCCCCTCGGTACATAGGTGCCAAGAACCTGTGTGCAAAAATTCTAAAGGCCGCGGGCCAGATCGCCACGAGACGCCGCAGAACCGACGTCTGACTGTACATGACCCGTCGAAGTCTTCAGGCATTCGCGACGATCGATGTCCCATCTCTTAGTAATGCCCTCATGCGACGTGATGATATCGCCAATGCAGCCTTCGGGCGGGACAATGATGCTGTAGACCTACGGAGCGGATACAGCCAAACTGCACATGGTCGAGATCAACGCCGGCGAACGCACCGCACCCATGTTGTTCCCTCCGATCGATATGGCCTCCGGAGCTTCGTAAATCGCGTCCTTTCCGGAAATCTTCTCGAAAACCCTGAAGGGCTGGCGACCTGCGCGAAGGGCGGTGAGCTGGTGGCGTCGACCGCGTTGGACCCGACACCGATGCGAACAGATCGGACAAAGAGCCGGCCCCGATTGCGCTCGTTCGGTCAGGCGGATAGCGCAATCGACGCAGATTGACGTGTGGTTGCAAGGGTGGAGCCGCGCGTTCGGAGCACAATCCATGCAAATAGTGCACAAGTTCACGGCGGCGGCCGGCGACTGGAGGGCCCGGACGAGAGTCGTCGCGCGGGTTGGGGTCGACGGCGCGTTGTCGATTGGAGCAGGCTCTGTGGTGTCCTGTAGCGCAATTATCGGGGTAAAACATCTAATCAGCGGGGTAATAAAATGGCCGTCAGCCCCGCGGTTGGTGGGGCCGTCGGGCCCGATCATGCTAATGAAGGTTCCAAAAAGCTTTGCTACTTCATCATGTACAAAGTTGGCCGCCTCGCAGTCGGTGTGGCGGAACGCCTCACAAGCAACTGCCAGCGGGTTAGTGCCAATCTCAGTGCCGAACCGCTCGACGAGGTTCGTTGGATCCAACCTTGCGTGCTCGCCCGTCAATAAGTTCGCGACCACGGCGATCCAGGCGTCAGTGTCCTCGCCCTTCGTGCCCGTCGCGGCTTCCGGAGCGAAGACGCAACCAGTAAGATCGTCGAGATGAAGGACCGCGAGGAAACCAGGCCCCGAGGATAATATAGTCGTGAGATCTTGAATACGGCCCGGGACGCAGCGCACCGAGATGGCGGCGGGGCACACGGCGCCATGGACGATGTCGCACGCGCGCAGATGATCCAAGCCAGCCGCCACGTCGGCAGCGAATTTTAACCGTTGGCTTGGCGACATTTCCGGGTGCATGAGCAGCGCATTCTCGAGCGTGCCCACGAACTCGCCGTCGTGAAAAGTTTCGCCGTAGTGCCGCACGGCCGGAAACGGGGACGCGAAGCATATAGGCCCGGCATCGTCGATATGGTAGAAGAGGATCGGACACAACGCCGGGTGCGAGACGAGGGACAGTGTCCGGAGCCTGTGTGGAAGGGACGCTGATGCACCGAGATGAGTGAAGTGTTTCCCACACTGCCTCGCGCCGAGCGGCTAGAGTGGGCCGCGCGGTGCTGGGGTGATCGTCCAGGCGTCTGATGACGACGGGTCGCCCGTTCAAGACGCTGACGGAGGCTTGGCCGAAGGCGCCGCCTTTCTGGTAGGGGGACGCGTGCGCGATTGCAGCCTCGAACGGGCCGAAACTTAGTTGAAACGAGCACCCCGCGCTGCCTACGTTCTCCATGATGCAGCGAAGGGCGGCGTGGACTAATTTACGAGGCTGCCGGCGTGGCGCGTCGTCAATTGGCAATTTCGGTTCTTTTGGCGTCGATTGCGTGGGCAGCCTCCAGATTAGGGCCTTGACATCGGACTGCCTGCTGCGCTTTTGCCGGGTGGCACCTGCAGTCGTCCGGGAACGGTCCCGAGGCTTGCTGACGACGAGTAGATTGTGGCTAACGTGCGGGTTTTGCTAGGCGATGATGATGGGCCCGATGATGTCGCTTTAACAGGCGCACAAGGCCCAATTCATAGATCTGGTTACGCAGAATCTGTGCGAGCTCCGACTGCACAAGTCGCCAGCTCTGCGTGCAGGAATAGCGCACGTCTAAGGACGCTGCAACAGGCAGAGCCATGAGCGCTGCAGCAGCTCAGGAGGCAGCAGCACGAGCACAGATCGAGTACTACTTCAGCTACGCCAACTACAGTCGTGACGAGTACCTGCGCTCGCTGGCGGATGCAGATGGGTACGTCGCGCTCGACGCGCTGCAGGACTTTCCCAAGCTGCACAAGCTCACGCAGGGCGATGGCGCGCTGCTCAAGCGCGCCGCGGCGTCGTCGACGCGGCTCGAAGTGTCTGAGGACAAGGTGCGCGCGCGGCGCATCGGCGCGTCGTCGACGGGCCGCCAGGCGCAGCATTTGGTGCTCGACGCGAACGCACTAGTACGGGGCCGCGGCGCCGCGCTCCAGGCCTACGCCGACAACTTCTGGACGACGACGGAGGTGCTGGCCGAGGTCAAGGACGCCGAGAGCAGAGCGCGCCTCGCGGCCCTCCCGTTCCGCCTCGAGACGCGGCGGCCGTCCCCCCAGGCCGTAGACCGCGTCTCGCAGTTCGCGCGGAAGACGGGCGACCTCGCGTCGCTCTCGCCCGTCGACGTCCAGGTGCTGGCGCTCGCGTACGACCTCGAGCTCGAGGCGGCGGGCTCGGACGACCACCTGCGCCGCGAGCCGGAGGGCGCCGCGGCTCCGTGCGCGAAGAAGGAGCCAGCGGCGGCGGCGGCGCGGCCGGCGCCGCGGCCCAAGCCCCGGCCCGCAGTGGCGCGCACCGCGCCGCCGCCCGTGTCCTGGGCCGCCGCCGTCACGGCGCCGCCGCCGCCCGTCGCCGAGGCACCAGTCGAGGAACCCGAGGCGGCTCCAGAACCGGCCCCGGTGCCGCCGCCAGCCGCCGAGGACCCGCCGGCACCACTGCCGCCGCCGCCGCCGGAGGTCGACGAGGCAACCACGGCCGACGGCGCCGCCGCGCCGCCGTCGCGGATTCTCGCGGGCAACGCCATCGGCGCGATGGACGCGGCCGACGACGACGGCGTCGGCTGGCTCGACGCCGACGACGTGCAGGCGGCGGTCGCGACGGGCGAGCTGGCGTTCGACGGCCGGCGGTGCGCCGACGACGCGATGCCGCCGTGCGCGTGCGCGTGCGCCACGGCGGACTACGCGATGCAGAACGTGCTGCTGCAGCTCGGCCTGCGATTGGTCGGCGTCGACGGCCTCGTGATCGCGCGGACGAAGCGCTGGGTCCTGCGGTGCGGCGCCTGCTTCCACCTCGAGGACGACGCAAGCAAGTTGTTCTGCTCGCGGTGCGGCTCGACGCCGCTCCGACGGGTGGCCGTCGGCGTCGACGCGTCGGGCGCGCGGCGCGTCTACCTGAACAAAAACAAGGCTCCCAACGCGCGCGGCTCCAAATTCGGCCTTCCCAAGCCGGGCAAGGCGGGCCGCTACGAGGGCGAACTTTTGCTCCGGGAGGACCAGCTCCACACGGGCATCTGGCGCCAGAAGGCGGCGCGCGCGCGGTCGGCCAAGGCCGCGCGGTCGGTCTTCGGGCCCGAGGTCACGGAGTCGCTCGAGGCGCTCCAGCTCGTGCAGCGCGCCAATTTGACCGTCGGCGTCGGGCGGAAGAATCCGAACGCCATGTCGAACGGTCGCGAGCGGAGAGGAAAGAAGAAAAAGTAGTAAGGTCAGTACATGTCTTTACCCGCGTCGAGCAGCCCCCAGAGCTCCTCGGCGACCTCGAAGGGCGTCTTCGTCGTCGTGTCGATGCGGAAGCGCTTCACGCAGTGCGCGTCGTCCAAATGGACCGACCCGGCGATGACGCCGTCGCCCGCGTCCGGCGCCCAGGCGATCTTCGCAATGTCGCGATACAGCGCGACGGCGTTCTCGAGGACGCGCAGGCCGGGGCTCGTCGCCCGCTCTTCCGCGACGGCGATTGAGGATTCCTCCGAGGCCGGCGCCGACGCGAGCCGCTCGCGCTCGAGGTCCGCCATCTCGGCCGTCAGCCGCAGGTACTCGGAGCCGTCGCCGCTCGCGCGGCGGCCCGCGTCCTTGGTGCGCGAGCGCAGGTCCTCGAGGCGCTCGGCGGCATCCTCGGCGGCCGGCGTGGTCGCGGCCTCGTTCTCGGGCGCCGCCGGCGGTTCGACTCGCGCTGTCTGGCGCTGCGCTTTCGCCGCGTCGTCGAGCTCGCGCTGGGTGCGCCGCGTGTCTTCGCGGGCTTCGGCCAGGAGCCGCCGCACGGCCTCGCAGCGCGCGCGGAGTTTGGCGTCCTGTTCGGCGAATGTGTCGTCGATGGTTGTTACGGTCATTGTTTGTCCACCGGCGGCCAGAGCCTGTTTTTTTTTTTTTGAATTTGTAGGGCTGGAATGCGTTTCCCCAGGACTGCTCTTTCGTGTGCTGTCGCACGGGTCGTCTGGATGCTCGAGATGCTGGCTTATTGCGTCAGCGGAGGTTTTGGCGCCGAGCGCGGGCTAAAAAACGCGGCGCAGCATTTGTGCCCAATTCGGGTTGTATTCGAACGACGTCTCCAGGGAGGACGCGTCCGAGAATTACGACGACAATTCCGCGGCGCGCGCGGCTGTACTACTGTGTGGGTATTCGATTTCGGGCCGTCGACATCTCGTTCGTGTACGGCGGCGCTGCAGCAGCCCCTTGCCATATTGATGCAATAGCAGCACGCGGCTGCGAACCAGTACCATTCTGCTTCGCGTGCGGCACAATGGCGGACGGCGCGGCAGTAATTGGTTCTAGCAAGCAAATAAAACTCGAGCTCTTGGGAATTGCCTTGAAATCGTATGACTGGGTGACTAACCACATCGAATTGTTCGAAGCGGGAGAATGTGATCTGTCCTTAAACACGCTCATCAGTGTGGCTTCAAAGCACCTCGTCGCTATTGAAAATTGGCATTTAAATTGCATGAGCGTCGATGCTTCGGATCTCGAATGGAGTGAGATATTCCGGGACGCCATACCGAGCATCTACAAGTGGATCGGGCGCTGGCGAGACGCCGCCACTGAGGCTGCTTCCCTTGGGTTGGGCGGCTATATTTCATGCAAATACTGGAAGCAAAACATTGAGCTGCCCGAAGTGATCACCAAGGCCCGAAAGTGGTTCGCTCTGGCGGAACAGCTGGTGAAAAAGCTCCCGTTGCCGCGAAAATCGATCATCAAAGGCCATACTTTCATATCCGCCGTCGCTAAGTGTCGGAGGTTTTGGCCCCGGTACCGGTGCTTGTCCATAGTAGGTTGGGTCCACAAATGGAGTTTGCTACTGGCGAAGTGGGCTCATACGCGCGCGTATTTCAATAAATGTGAGTTCGATGCTCACTACCTCACTCTAGCCGAGGCTCAAGACGCCCTCACGAGGCTCGAAAAACAGCAGACGGCGTTCCGCGCGATTATGCTCAAAAAGCGGACGTGCGCCCACTGCGGGACGACGGGTCCTCTCTCTCAGAGATCGTTCGCCTATTGCGGTGGTTGCCGGGACTCGGGCGTCGCGCGCGTAGACTGGTCGCGATACTGCAGCGAGGCGTGCCAGCGCGCGCACTGGGTCGCGGGGCACAAGGACGAGTGCCCGTGCGCGCATTGAATCTAGACCCTTAACAGACATAAAACTTACAACGCTTCACCGCCTTCGCCTTCGCCGCCGATCCGAATCCCGACGCCTCTTTGCCGCCCGCGGGGCGCGGAACTCGAGGCGCAGCGGCTTCTCCAGCGCGCGGACGAGCTCCAGGGCGCGGTCGTACTCGATGTACTTGCACCGCTCGCCCGCGATCTTCGACAGAACCATGCCCGGCCGCACGGTCGCGGCCACGGTGCGGGGACACGACGCCGCGAAGCCCAGCACCGCCGGCCGGCCGCTCTCGTGCTTCTCGAAGAGGATGCCCGTCGGTCGGTCGTCCTCGAGCACGACTTCGACGCGGCGCGGCGCGTCCGGCGACGACGAGGGAGAGCACGAGCGTGATCTAGACCGCGACCGGCCGCGCACGAAGTGCGGCGGCGCCGGCGGCTCCGGGCGCGCCAGCGCGGCCGGCGTCACGCGGCGGTTGTGCGACTCGACGCCGGCGAGCGTGCGCCGCAGGAAGTGGCCGTTGTGCAGCGCGACCTTGCCCTTGCGGCCGGCGAGCGTCGCCCGCTCGTCGCCTTCCGACGACGGCGGCGGCCGCTGCGCGAGCTGCTGCAGGCGCCGCACCGCGCAGCGGTCGAGGGCGTCGTCGAGAGCCGCCGTTTCTGGTTGCGGCAGCGCGGGCGCTGGCGTCTGGAAGCGGCTCGGGTTCGGCCGCTTGCTCGTCATCGTCGATAGCAAAGGCGCAGCACAGCGTCCCGCAGGCTGCAGCAGCCTGGCACAGGAAAGCAGCCTGCACAGGAATGCCTTCGGTGTCGAACCGGTCAATTCCTGGTGCAGGCCGTGTGCTTCTTGAGCCCTTATCTAGCCGGGGCGCGCCCGGCGTTAGCCTATTGAGCCGCCCGCAGCGCCAGCAGCAGGTGCACAGCGCTGGGCTTGGGTGAGTGTGTGCGAGTCGTTTTCACGCCCGAGGGCTGCAACGGCCTGCGGGTCTTAGCAAATAGTAGGAGGAGCCACAGAAATGCACGCCGCGACGACAAAATGAGCGCTGCACCACCGCGCGGCCGGGTGGCCTGCGTCCAGCTGGAGCCGGTCCACGGCCAGCCCGACGCGAGCCGGGCGAAATGCGACGCTCTCCTGGACAGCACTCCCTTGGACGGCGTCGTGCTGATCGTGCTGCCGGAGATGGCGTTCACGGGCTATTTGTTCGACGCCGCCGCCCGCGTGCCGCGCGACGCCGAGCAAACGCAGAGGTGGTGCGTCGAGCGCGCGCGGCGGCACGGCTGCGTCGTGGTCTGCGGCGCCCCGAGGCACGCTGGGAACAACGTGTATAATGCGCAGCTCGTCGCGCGATCCGACGGCACGACCACGTGGTACGACAAGCGCCACCTCTACGACGCCGACGAGGCCTGGTGCACCGAGGGCGCGAACCCCTTCCAGAGCCTCGGCGACGCCATCGCGGACGAGCGGCTCGGACTGGGCATCTGCATGGATATCAATCCCTACCGCTTCACGGGTCCGGGCGGCGAGCTGGCCTCGTTCCACCGGGACGCCGGCACGTCGATCCTGGCGTTCTCGAGCGCCTGGTGCGAGAACCACCCGTCCGACCCGCCGAGCGTCGTGCGGCGCGAGCGCGGCGTCGCGCCGGCGGCGCGCCAGCGGCGAACAATCCAAGGGTGGCTGCGGCGGCTCGAGCCGCTCGAAAACTGCATTTTTGTGTGCGCGGACCGCGTCGGACGGGAGCCCCTGACGTGCCTGGGCCTCGGGGAGGGCGACTGCGTCTTCTGCGGCGCGTCGTGCGTCCTGGACCTGGCGACCGGAACGTTGCTGGGCGCGCTGTCGACGACCGAGGAGGGCGTGCTGGTCGTGGACCTGCCCGACCGCCACTGCGACTAAGTTTTGTGTTTGTATGTCTGCCGCGGTGCGTCATTGAAGGGTAGTAATTTCCCAACCGATTAAGGCGCCCATAACTAAGACGTGGCCGGTGGCGGCGCCCCCTTCCCGCGGCCGCCTTGCCGCCGGTCGCCACCGCCACGCCCTCGCCCGCCGCCGTTCGGCGGCCCCCGGGGCGGCCCGCGCGGCCCGCGCGGCGGCGGCGCGCCGTAGACCATGCCGCCCGGCGCCATGTAGGGGATCGGCGCGCCGGGGCCGCCGGGCACGCCGCCGCGCGGCGGCGGCACGTAGGCGCCGGGGTACATGGGCCCGCCGTACATGGGCATCGCTCCGTACCTGTGTGGAAATCAAATTTTACGGCGCGTTCGTGCTGAATCGTCGCGTCGTCCTCCACGCCATCGACGCGATGCCATCGACGTAGACGCACTGGTTGGTTTCCACACAGCTCCATACGGGTCGTACATGGGCGGCGCCGGGTACATCATGCCGTCGGGGCCCATGACGAAGGTCGGCATCATCGGCGGCGGCGCCGTCGGCGGCGGCGGCGGCGCGGCGGCGCCGGGCGTGAACTCGGTGGCGCCGACGTTGAATTTGAACTCCTTCGCCGTGGCCGAGAGCTTCGTCGTTTTCTTCTCCTCGGCCGCGGCCGGCGCAGGCGCCGGCGCGGGCGCGGGCGCCGGTACCGGAGAAGGAGCCTTCTTCGCGCCGTCGTTTTTCCCGAGGCCCGGCGGCGGCGCCTTTGAAGGAGCGGGCTGGCGCACGACGCCGCTGAACCGATCCTCCTCGTCCCTCGTATCCCCGATGTCCTGGCCGCGCTCCTCGGCCAAATGGACGTTGTCCGTCCGCGCGCCCTCGATCTCCCGCGCGATCTTCTCGGCGTCCGCGCGCTGCTGCGGCGTGAGCGCCGAGGCGTCGAGCGCCGTCGTGTAGTGGTTCTCGTCGAATTCTGATTTCGTTCCAAATAAACGAGCGTTCGCCTCGAACTGGTCCCACTTCTTGCCCGGCGTCTGGCGCGCGGGCTGGTTCTTGATCTTCGGGGCCGAGAGCCAGCTGTTGTCGACGGCCTCCAGTTTCCGTCCCGCGAGGTTTCTATCTGGTCGGGCGATGTCGCCGTCCGTCCGGAACCCGGAACTCCTCGGGTCGCCGACGACGCGCGGGCAGCGGAATGTTAGTAGTTTGACCTTGTCCGCATCCAGGATCTGCGTCGACGACGGCGCCGTCGCGCGCGGGTCGGTGTCGTCGACGACTCTAGCGCCTTTCAGCACAATTTTATGAGGTAAATCCGCAAAGGGCGTGGAAGTGTGCAAAACGCCCTCGACCTTTTTGTCCCCCAGGTCGGCCTCGCCCCGCTGGCCGACGAGCAGCGCCATGACGTACAGGTAGCGGTCGCGCTTGGCCTTGTCGGCGTCGGCGGTGTACTCGGCCATGTTTTTTTGTGGCTTTATAGATGCCGACACGGCAGGCGCACGTCGCGCGGCGCGGCGCTAGGCAGCGTGCTAATTTGGCGGCAGGCAGTCAAGCTGGCTTAGGGGTGGCGGGGAGCAACAAAGCACGGGCGTTTCGTCTTTGGTCGCTGCGAGCGCTGCGAAGGAGTCAGGAATGCGTGCGTATGGTACTGGGCAGGCAGCGATGCAGCGCGGCACAATTTGCGAGTCGCCGCTCGACCTCGAGCTGAGGGGTTTCATCTGGCGCCAGCTCTCTCCAGACCCGTGCCAGGCCTCGTGGCGGCGGGGAAGACTCGTCTCCATGAGTTTTACCTTGAGAAAAACCCGTGTACTCACAAAATGCGCCTGGGCTCAGTGGGCTGTGGCTCACAAGGCTATTGTAAGGTGCCAACAGCTGGTCTTGCGTGCTCGTCGGGCCACCCTGGTGGGTAGTAGCCAGACGACGACAGCTGTGGGGGTGACGCCACATCCCTAGGACACCATATGCGCCCGCTGCCGCTGCTGGCATCGATGCTGGCGCTGCGCCGCGGCCTCGCCATGAGCACTGCTGGTCCGAGGGAGCTTCGGATTACGCAAGCGCTGACGAGCGCCTTCGCACCTGCCCATCTGGAGGTCCTCAACGAGTCGCACGGCCGGCGCGAGGACGAGAGCCATTTTAAAGTAGTCGTCGTGAGCGACAAGTTCGAGGGCGTGAAACCGCTCATCAAGCGCCACCGTTTGGTGACGGCGGCCATCACGGCGGACACGGGCGGCCAGCTCGACTTCCATTCACTGAGTGTCGCGGCGGCGAAGACACCGGCGGAGTGGGACGGGGTCGTTGCGCCTTCCCCAAAGTGCGCGGGCGGCGACGGGCGGGGGACGAAGCGGTGACGCGTCGTCCGTAGTAACCTTGGTTTGTGGAGTACTCTTACTTATAAATAACACAGCGGGGAGGGAGGAGAGGCACCGCGATCGTCACCAGGGCCACCGCGGCCGCGGCTCGTCTGGTATATCAGTCGGCCGCGGCGCCATGGCCGGCCCGCGCGTCGCGTGGCTCCGCCACATGCGGTCGCGTTCAACCTTCCGCTCGTCGAAGAGCGGCACGAAGAGGCGGAACGTGACGTACGCAATAAACACGTAGAGCGTGCAGCGCCGCAGGCCCTCGCTCGTGAGGAACAGGTCCATCCACGTGATGATTTCCCGGTCGTAGCTCGCGTAGCGCGCGGCCGGCGCGGCGTTCATCACGTGGGGCTCGACCATGCTGGGCAGCGTCCGCGACCGCTGCGACGGCGTGCCGGGCTGGCTACGTGTATGTGCTGCTGTCTCTCTGGGCAGCCGCGCGCGCCACGGCACTTGCTGCAGGTGACGCTCGCCGATCTCGGGCCTCGCTCTGTGCGCTGTTTGGGCAGCCTAGGCCGCTACCAGCAGCGACGTACGGCCGTCGCGTATGTTTCTAGTACGTCTATAATGCGCTAGCCTGAACTGCACCCTGCAAAAACTGGCTTAATAGAGCAGCGCTAAGACAACGCACGCGCATCAGGAGCTTTCCTGGCTGCATTTGTCATGCTGCACCCCTGAAGCAAGCGATTTGCGCGAGCGCGATGCTGCGGCGGCTCGCCGTCACACTGTGCGGCCTGCTCGCCGCGAGGGCGCCTCACTCAGCCCTGCTCGCGCTAACGATGCCGGGCGCGGGCTACGCGCCGCGCGCGCACGCGCCGCGCGCGCCGACGCCCCGGACGCCGTTCCGCATGCCGCGCTTGGACGCCGAGCAGCCAAGTAACGACGCGGCCGCGAAGCCGCGGCGGCGGCGGCGCCGCGGCCGGCGGCGCCGCGGCGGCAAGGGCGCGGCCGCCAAAGAAAAGACCGACGTGGTGATTGGGGGCCCCGCGGCCGCCGGCGCCGCGGCCTCGTGGGCGCGCGGGCGGAGGCGCGACGACGTCAAGCCCAAGCCCGATGCCACGAAGAAGGAGGAGACGCCCGAGAAGGAGATGAAGCGCAAGGCGAACCGCGAGGCGGCGCAGCGGCGGCGGCGGCGGAGGCGGCGCGCGGCAGCGGCGAATCGGACCAAGGTCGAGAAAGTGGCCGTGCAGGACCCGCCCGACGCGCAGAAGCGCTGCGTGTGCGGGTATTGTGGGGAGGTCTTCGCCAGTCGCTCGAAGTTATTTAGGCACTTGCGCGAGGCGAACTCGTGCCGAACGATCGCGCTGTCGCACGGAATGCCCCTCGAGAACCCCATCAAGGCCGTCGAACGACGTCTGAGGCGCAGATACGGCGACTTATTGTTGGCGGGCTGCATCGTGCTGCGAGTGAAGCCTGGTTTCAATCACGACCCTTCCCGAAAGGCCTCGTTCTACAAATCCCCCCGCGGCCTTTTGTTGAGGAGCCACCAGGACGAGACGGACGAAGTCAGAGACGCGCCCTACGATGTGGTCGTCGTGCGGGGCACGGAGCTGTGTGGAAAGCAAGCCATGTTTTCGGCTCCAACTTGGACACGATCTCCGAGAGATACACGCGACCGAGTGGAGAGACCACGAATGGAAGGGCGCTTGAACTTTGGTTTCCGCGCAGGCACCGAAGGCAAGCAGAAGCCGGGCTTTCCGAAAGGAAAAATCGAACCCGTCGACCGCACGATCCTGGCGGCGGCGCTGCGGGAGACGTGGGAGGAGGCCGGTCTCGCCGCGAATCAGTTACGAGCCTTACCGCACGCCGCCGAGGCCGCGGCGAACGCGTCGGCGCGCTTAGATCAACCGCAACTCTTCTCGGAGGATGAAACGGTCTTGATGGAGTCCGACGGGGCATCCGAGGGCGAGGCCGAGGACGTCGACGAGGACGACCTGAAGTTCGCGTCGGTAGACGTGCGCGAGGTCACGGGGCGGTCGGGCAAGCGCGCGCGCTACTTCGTCTGCGGCCTGCGCGAGAACCCGCCGCGGCCCGTCGAGCTGACGACGCGGCACGACGTCGACGGCGACATCGCGGACGCGTCCTGGGTCGACGTGAACGCCGCTTTGGTTTTGTTGGAGCGGAAGCGGCGCGCGGCTCTTCGGAGAGCGGTGCTCATCTACAACGCGGACGAGCGGGGGGCGGCGGCGGCGGGTAAGTAGCTCCTGGCCGCGATGGGTATCTCTCACGGACAGGGTGAGGACTCACTGAGGAGGGCGCGCGGGGCGGGGCACGCGAGACGGGCCGCGGGGCGCGTCCGGCCGGAGCGCGGTACTACTCCCGGAGAGGGGTACACGGGGTGCTCCGAGGCGTGCGCCCAGGCACGTGGGCCGCTTGCCTAGTGGGCTCTGCCCTTGAAAGAAGTGCCGGCGCCGGGGGCTTGTACCGGCGCTGGACTCGAGGAGTACCCGAAAGGCAAAGAGCGCCCTTGAAAAGGAGGAGTGCGGTCTACCCAACGGACGTGCGTGAGAGCTGCCCGCCGACCATGGGGCGCCGCCCGACCCTGCTGCTGCTGCTGCTGCTGCTCGGGGCCGCCGGCGCGTACGACCCCCAGCACTGCCCCCTCGCGGTCGAGTTCTCCTGCCAGGACGGGCAGCCGGCGTACAGCGTGTGCCGCGAGGGGACCTGCACGACCACCGCGCTCTACTACGACGGGTCGCAGGACCTCTCGAGCCACGACGCGAGCAAGTGTCGGGAGCATAGCTGCACCTCGCACGATGATGATTGTTGCGGCTACGACCACGAAACGTGGTGCGCGGACGGGTACACGCTCGTGCGCGGCAGCGACGGCGGCGGCTGCTGGCCGGGCAACAAGGGGTACCGCTGCCTTCCGCCCGACGCGACGCCCGCGCCGACGTCTAGCGCGACGCCCGTGCCGACACAACACACCGTCTTCATCGACGGGACGACGCCCCCGGAAATCGTGCGCGCGTACGACGCGACCGCGTACGACGTCTGCGACGCCTGGGGCGAATGCCCGCTCACTCGGGCCGTCTGCGAGAGCGACCCGGAGCTCCGGGACAACTGCGAGTGTGCGTCCTACGACCCGTGGCGCCCGGACTGCCGCTACGCCTCGTGCGGCCAGTGCAACTGCGACTGGTGGCACGACCCCCTAACAGACGATTGCTGCTCGGCGCACTGCTGGCAGGAGTGCTGGGAGGAGGCCTGGCCCGGCAAGGACGGGCTCCCGGGGCCGGGGAACGCCACGCGGAACGCCACGGACCGCGCGACGGGCACGACGTGCTTCAACGGCTCGCCGCTCGCCATGGGCGAGACCGTGCTGCGGTGCCCGGCGGGCCAATACGCGCCGCACGAGGGCAGCTGCGTCTGCGTCGCGGACCAGACGCCGCCCGAGCCGCCGCGCTGCCTGTTACGGGACCACGCGGACGACTGGGAGTGCGAGACGTGGGACGGCGAGGAGCACTGCTGGCACGAGACGATGTGGCACGGCTGGGACGTGGACGGCGCGGCGCAGACGTGCGACGCGCTGCGCTGCGACCCCGCCACGGGGACCATCTTCTTCGCGGGCTATTCGAAATGGGACCACCACTATCGCGGAGAGGGGCGCCGCAATTCGGACAAGTCCTTCTGGAAGGAGGAGCCGCTCGCGTGCCTCGTGGCGAGGACGGACGGCGTGTACGCGCGCCAGAGCATCACTCAGGAGCAGGGCAAGTGGGAAGCGTGGATGTGGAAGGAAAGGGGCCACTGGGGGCGCTGGCAGGACGTGGCGTCGCCGCTGGGCAACGCGAGCTACTACGGCCGCGTCGTGAGGGCGTGCGCCGACGAGTGCGGCGGCTGCGCCGCCATCGCGGCCTCGGCGGAGGAGCTGCGACTACTGGCGAATTTGGAGCGGGCCTACGGGATGAGCGGCGGCGGGCCCGCCGTCGCGCCGCTGGGCAACGAGGCGGACGCCGCGTGCTTCGGCAAAACCTTCCGGGCCGGCCATTACCACTATGACGATCAGTGGTTCTGGATCTCGACGGGCCACGCGCTGGTGATCGCGTTGCTGGCGGTCCTGTGCGTCGTGCCGCCGCTGACGGCGTGCTGCTCGTCGCACGACTGGTGCCCGTGGTACGGGCCGCTGCAGCGGGCGCGCAACAATTTCGCGGAGCTCTGCCCCGCGCTCGCGAAGTGCCTGGACTTCTGCTGCGTCGGCGTCTGCAACCGGTGCGACGACTGGCGCAAGCGGTGCTGCAAGTTCTGCTGCCGGTGCTGCCGGCGCGAGAAGCCGTGCCCCGTCGTCGCCGCGTCCGGCGCCGTCGAGCTCGCCCCGCTCCACCTCGAGGTCGTCGCGGCCGGCCCGCCGGGCACGGCGATGGCCGTGCCGCTGCCCGGCGGCGGCGCCGTCCAGGTGGCGGTGCCGGAGGGCCTGGCCGCGGGCGCGACGTTCGCCGTCGCCGTGCCGGTCACGGAGCAGCCCGTGGCCGCCGCGCCGCCGCCGCCGCGGCAGCTCGACGACACGCTCGAGGTCGTGGCGCGGCCGCGGTCCGTGCTGAGGCAGGTACGGCTCGTGCTCTGGAAGCAGCTGCGGGTTAAATATAGAAGCCCCTTCGCGATCCTGGCGCAGCTCCTCTTCCCGGCCCTCTGGTTCGTCTTCATCTGGATGCTCTACATCTTCATGGCGCGCACGTTCCTTAGCTACAACCTGCGCTGGAACAAGGACCACTACAACTTCGCCTGCAAGCGCTCGGCCGCGCGGACCAATACAACTTCGACCCGGGCCAAGGGCCGCATGGGGTCGCGCGAGCGGGGCGACTACATCTCGCACGGCTACCTGGAGAACTACCTCGCGCCGATCGCCTTCGTGCCCTTCCTCCAGGTCGTCGTGGTGGGCGTCGTGGTCGAGCACCGCGACAAGCTCGTCGAGGCGATGCGCATGGCCGGCCTCAAGCCGGTCTCCTACTGGTCGGCCACGTTCATCTTCGAGGCGCTGATCACGGGCTTCTGGAGCGCGTTCCTCGTCGCGTGCGTCGCCGTCGGCGGCCTGTTCAACGCCGCGGGCCACCACGACGACCCCTTCGGCATCCTGCTGGCGCTGCACTACGTCTACATCATCGTGTTGGTATCTCAAAGCTTCGCGGCGACGATGCTGCCCGTCCTCCGGTCGCCGACGACCGCGGCCCTGTACGCGCTGATCGCCCAGGTCGGCTGCCTCGCGTGCTACAACGTCATGGTCGTCCGGAAGGAGGTGACGTACAAGCGCACGAAGAAGAAGGTCACGCGCAAGGTCTACCCGCTCTTCGAGGCGTCCGTCGAGTCGCAGCGCGCCGCGTCCGTGGTGCCGCAGCTCGGCTACTCGCTCCTCGTGGACTCCTTCCGGTCGCATCGCGTGCACAAGTGCGAGGTCTCGGCCGGGTACCAGGGCGAGGTCTGGCGGTCGCAGCTCATGAAGTGCGGCTGGCGCGTCGACCGGACCTGGAGTTCCGTCGCCGCGTGGAAGAACCTCACGGTCCCAGGCGACCCGCTGACTCCGTGGTGCCCCGGGTTCGGGGAAGACGACGGCGACGACGACGACGACGAGCGCCGGCGGCGCCTCGACGAGGAAGACGACGGGGCGGAGCAGGTGTGCGAGCGCCGGCGGCGCCTCGTCGACGCGGACGACGACGACGATCTCGACGACAACGACCGCGAGGTCTGCCCGAACCCGACGTGCCCCGACGGCAGCGCCGCGACGTGCTGCGACACCGCCGATGGAGACTGCGACGACGGCGACGACGACTGGTGCTGTGGCACCGACTTCCTGTGCACGAACGATTCGCCGGACTGGGCCGCGCACCAGGGCGGCGTGCTCTGCTGCTCGCTCGGCCACGCGCCGACGACGCCGAAGACGTGGCCCGGCACGACCGGCTGGTGCCGGTCCGAGCTCGACTTCGAGATCGGCAATTACAACGGCACCGAGTGCTGGGCGGCATGCGAAGCGATGTTCGGCGCCGAACTCGTGGCCGTCGACTGGGACGCCACCGATTGCTACTGCCAGGACGCCTGCCTGTGCATGGACGACCACCTCGACCCCGGCGTGGGCCTCGCGACGCGCGCTTCGCTCGCGACGCTCCCGGACCAGTGCGCCTACGACTTCTGCAAGGTCGAGGTCCGGAGCGAGTACCCGCCCTTCTACGGCGTTACGGACACCGGCCAGGGCCCGCGGCCGCGCGACGCGTGGACCGGCGGCATCTACGGCATGCTCCTCCTCGACGTCGTGCTGTACGCCCTGGTGGCGTGGTACCTCTCCCAGGTCTTCTCGGCCGAGGGCGCGTCGAAGAAGTGGTACTTTCCGTTCCTGCCCTCGACCTACGGCTTCGGGCGCGAGGAGGCGCGGGGCGCGGACGTGAGCGAAGAGGACGCGAACCCGATGCTCGCCGCGGAGGAGGACGAGGACGACGCCGACGCCGAGGCCAAGTTCGACCCGCGGCCGCCGGGCTTCAGGGCGAGCATCGACGTGCGGCGCCTCTCGAAGACCTTCGGGACGCACCGGGCCGTGGACGGCGTCTCGCTCCAGCTCGCCGATTCCGAGATTTTTTGTTTGTTGGGCCACAACGGCGCGGGCAAGACGACGACGATCGGAGTACTTACCGGTCTGCTCGACCCGGACTACACGACGCGGGGCATCGCCGCGTTCGGGCGCGACGTCCTGGCGGAGGGCGGCATGGACTTCCTGCGGGCCACGCTGGGCGTGTGCCCGCAGCACGACGTCCTCTTCCCGCGGCTGACGTGCCGCGAGCACGTCAAGTTCTTCTCCATGCTCAAGGGCAAGAGTGCGGAGCGGGCGGCGCGCGACGCGGACGCGCTGCTGGACGTGTTCCACCTCAAGGACCGCGGGCGCCACCTCGGGTCCGAATTATCCGGCGGCCAGAAGCGCAAGCTGTCCGTGTCCATCGCGCTGTCGGGGTCGTCGAAATTCATTGTGTTAGATGAGCCGACGGCGGGCATGGACCCCGTGGCGCGGCGGGAGTTCTGGTCGCTGCTGCGCGGCGTTCGCGAGAACCGCTGCCTGCTGCTGACGACGCACCACATGGAGGAGGCCGAGGCCCTGGGGGATCGCGTCGCGATCATGGCCGCCGGGTCGGTGCGGTGCGAGGGCTCCGTGGCCTTCCTGACGCGGCGCTTCGGCGCGGGCTACACGCTCAAGGTGGACCCGATGAACGACGCGGCCGCGAACGCGCTGGCCAAGGCGGGCTCGTCGGCCACGGCGTCGGGGGGCCACCAGATCCCCATCAAATCGGCCGTGGCGCCCCTGCTGGCGGAGCTCGACGCCGCCGGCGTGAGCTACGAGGCGTCGGGCACGACGCTCGAGGACGTGTTTCTGGCGGTCGGCGAAGATGAAGTGGCACACAACGTCGGCGCGGTCAAGGACTGGAGCCAGGGCTCGGTGCGCGCCGGCGAGATGGTGAGCGCGGCGCCGAAGCTGTCCGAGGAGCGGCCGGGCTTCGAGGGCCACTTCCGCGCGGTCTTCACCAAACGCCTGAAGCTTGTGATGAACGACCTGCGCCTGTTCCTGGTGCCCGTGCGCTGGGTCCTGGCGATCTTGCGGGACTTCGAGGTCGAGGGCGCGGCGCGGCTCCTGGAGAAGCTCGGGCCGCACGGCGGCGGCGCGCGGGGCGTCGTGCTGCTCCTCCTGCCGGGGCTCTGCTCGGTCATCATCTGCGCGCTCTACCGGGATAAAAAATTAGTGAGCAAGTCGCGGCACCACGCGGACGACCTGGCGAACTTTTACGTGGCGGTGTGCCTCGCCGGCTCCAGTATTTTCGTGGCGGGCATCGTGGCGGACTGTGTGGAAATCAAAACTTACGGCGCGTTCGTGCTGAATCATCGCGTCGTCCTCCACGCCATCGACGCGCCGCCTGCTCGATGGCGTGGCGGTGCCGGTTCCTCACCGCTCGACCGAGCCATGACGGCCGCGTCGTCGCCGAGAAACGACTTAGTGAAGAATTGTCGGGTGCACCCGACGCACTGGTTGATTTCCACACAGGTGGCGGAGCCGCTGGTGCGGGAGCGGGCGCGCCGGCTGCGGAACCTGCTCTCGGTCAGCGGGCTCGACGCGAGGGCCTACTGGCTCGGGACGGCAGCCGCGGACTACGCGATTTTATTTGTGGGCGTCGTCGTCACGCTCATCGCGCTGAAGAGCGGGAGCGTCGCGCGCAAGGCCGACTCGAGCCACAAGCTGTGCATAAGTCAAATCCTCACGGCACGTTCGGAGGTGCCGGCTCCTCGCCGCTCGACGGAGCCAGCACGGCCGCGTTCTCGTCGAGAAAGGACTTAGTGAAGAATTATCGGTGCACCCGACTCACTGGTTGATTTACGCACAGGACCCAAGCACTTCCACAAGGACTACACGAAGCGGGAGCTCTGGGTCGAGGACGAGTGGGTCGTCTTCGTGCTGATTCTCGCGCCGCTGGCCGTCGTCGCCTTCGGCCACGCCGGCAGCCACGCCTTCAGCGAGCCCGTGATGACGCTGGCGGGGTTCCCGGTGATCAGCATCGCGCTCCTCGTGGCGCCCCTGGTGGTGGCGCTCATGGTCTGGATGCTCTTCGGGGGCGTGCTCATCCCGCGGAAGCGCGCGCCGGCGCTGAAGCAAATTAATCTCAACTTCTTCGAGCTCCAGGCGACGTACGCGTGGCTCTGCACGCTGGCGTCGCCCGCGGGGGCCCTGCTCATGGCGATGCTGAACGCGGCCAAGATCCGGCTCCTGCCGGTGCGCGGGTCGGGCTTCGGCAAGGCGTTCCTGGGCGACCCGGACCGGAGGATCGAGACCGTGCCCGGCGGCGGGGCGCAGACGTCGGCGCCAGGCGCGATGGACGTCGTCTGGCCGCCGATGTGGGCGTCGCTCTTCGTGCTGCTCCTGCACGTGCTGGTGTTCGGCGCCATCGCCTACGCCGTCGACCGCATGGCCACGCGGCCGCTGCCCTTCAAGAAGGCCAAGCTTTCCAGGCGGCGGCGGGCGAATCTGGATCCCGACGTCATGGCTGAGCGCCGGCGGACCCTCGCCCTCCTGGTCGGCCACGCCGCGGAGGCGGCGGGAGACGGCACGGAGGTGGAGGTCGTGGAGACGGAGGCGGCGCTTCCACCAAAGCCGACGCCGCCGTGGCGGCGCGTCGCGCAGCGCGTCGCGGACCGGCTGGCGGCCAAGGTCCGGGCCGTCCGGGCGGCGATGACGAACCGCCTCTCGCAAAATGAAGACAGGGCCCCGGACCTGAAGAGCGCGTGGCCCGGCCTCGGCGCCTTCGAGCTGCGGAAGATCTACCCGCCGCAGCGATTCGGCGCCAAGGCCGTGGAGGCGGTGCAGAACCTGACGTTCTCCGTGGCGCCGGGCGAGGTCTTCGGGTTGCTGGGCGCGAACGGCGCGGGCAAGTCGACGTCGATCAGCATGATCGTGCGGGCGGTCGAGCCCCATAGCGGTCACGCGACGGTGTCGGGCAAGTCGGTGCTCGACGATTTCGCGGGCGCGAGCCGCGGTTTAGGAGTTGTGAACCAGCACAACACGCTCTGGGACGACCTGTCCTGTTTGGACCATTTGCTCTTCTTCGCCGCGCTGCGGACGAAGGTCGGGCACGAGCGCATCGCGTTGACGACGCTCGCGCAGCTGGAGCTGAGTCATCATGCTCACAAGATGGCCGGCCGCCTGTCGGGAGGCATGAAGCGCAAGCTGTGCTGCGCCGTCGCGCTGGTCGGCGACCCGCACGTTGTTCTGCTGGATGAACCGTCGGCGGGCTTGGACCCCGTCTCGCAGCGGAACCTCTGGAACCTGATCAAGTCGACGATGACGGGGCGGGCGGTGCTCCTGACGACGCATTCGATGCTCGAGGCGGACGCCCTATGCGACCGCATCGGCATCCAGGTCCGGGGCCAGTTCCACTGCGTTGGCAGCTGTGCATAAATCAAATTGTCGCGGCGCGTCCGCCACTGCTATCTTCATGGCCTCCACGCCATCGACGCGTGCATCCGACTGACTGGTTGATTTGTGCACAGGTCGGCAGTCCGCAGCACTTGAAAGATCGGTACGCGTCGGGCTACGAGCTCGTCGCGTACCTCGAGACCGAAGACCACGAACCAGCGCTCGGCGCGTATCTCCGGTCCAAACTCGAGGCGGCGGGCTGCGGCTGCGCGCTCGCCGGGCTCGCCGCGGGCGTCGCGACCTACGAGCTGCAGGGCGAGCGGCCCCTGAAGCACGCCTTCGCGTGCCTCGAGGACGCCGACGCGCGGGCGCGGCTGGGCGTCCGCAGCTTCCGGGTGGACCGCGCGTCGATGGAGAAGGTCTTCATCCGCATCGTGGGCGAGGGCGGCGACGAGGACCTGGACACGGACGCGACGAACGCCATGGGCCGCTCGGTGGCGCAGGCGCTCCAGGACGACCAGGAGGAGGATTTAGAGTTGGCGCGGGACCTCGCAGCCGTCGGCTTCGACGAACCGCGGGACTGCTGCGGCATCCTGACGCGGTTCGGCCACGCGTCGTTGGCGCGGTACTCGTGCGCCATGTGCTGCGGCACCTACGTCTACTGGTGCATGGGCCTTTTTATTCAGGGCATCATTCCGTGGCTATTCTGCTGCTGGTTCTGCGAGCTCTGGTGTGTCTGCGGCGTTTGGCACTGGATTTGCTGCTGTTTCGCGCTGCGTGGAAATCAAAATTTTACGGCGCGTTCGTGCTGAATCATCGCGTCGTCCTCCACGCCATCGACGCGACGCCGGCTCGATGGCGTGGCGATGTCGGTTCCTCGCCGCTCGAGGGAGCCAGGACGGTCGCCGTCGCCGAGAAATGACTCCGGTTCCACACAGGCTTCACGAAAAATCCCGACGGAAAGAAGACGTCGTGGGCGTCGCTCTGCTCGCAGCTCTGCTGCGTCATCACGCCGTTCCTGATCATGGTCATAGTCGTTATGCTCATCTGATAGCTCTTCCCCCCCACGTCGACCCCCTCCTCCTAACACAACTTGCTAGTTACTACCAGGCCTCGTCCTGCTCGTGGAGAGACGTCGCGAGGCTCATCGGCGCCGCGTCGTCGTCCGACGACCCCGACTCGTCGTCCGACGAGGACGAGGAGGACTCCTCGGCTTCGGCGGCGGCCCACTCGCGGAAGAGCGCCGCGACGGCGGCCTTCGTCCGCGGCAGGCGGCAGGGGTCGAAGGGGAAGAAGAGGCCGTCGTCCGCCGCCTCCGTCGCATCCCGGCGCGCCTCGCGCACGCGCGCCGCCGCCGCGCGCGACAGGAAGGGCGGCTCGCGCGCCGCCACCCGCGCGAACTCGCCCAGCAGCCGCGCGCGGCAGCCCCGCAGCGCGTCGAGCGCCGCGGGCGCTCTGATACCCAACGCCGCGTCCCAGCTTTTCGGCGCGCAGACCGCGTCGCAGCGCGCGTCCCAGCCGCGCCTTCCTAAAATCTCCTCGCCGCGGAACGCAAACACATAAAGCAGCCCGCGCGCCGCGTCGACGTGCCGTTTAGCAGCGAGGTGCTTGTCGCCCGCTTCGAAGAGCTCGCGGCACCGTCGACACCGCTCGAAGAGCGTCGCGCACGCTAAAGCTACGAGGCCCGCGTCGACGACGGCCGCGCGGCAGACGAAGGAGCTCAGGTAGGCGATGGCCGCGGTCCGCCGCGCGTCGGCCGTCGCCTCGTCGCTCACGAGGGACGACAGCGTCCGGCAGAAGGCCGCCGCCCTCGTGGGCGTCGGCGCGGCCGCGGCGAAGACGACGAAGGGCGCGGTCTGCGCCCGCGGCGTCGCCAGGCAGGGCCCGAGCGTCGCCTGGAGCAGCAACTCGGCGTCGGCATCTGATACGCAGGTCTTGGCGACGTAGGCGATGAGGCGGGATACGACTTTGTCCGCGGCCGCGTCCTTGGCCGCGTCCTCGTCCATCGCGAAAACCTGCTGCGCCGCCGCGCAATCCAAAGCAAGGGCGCGCTCGACGCACGTCGTCAGCAAGGGCCCCCGGTCGTCGCAGCACCGGAGCGCGTCTATCACAAAACGCGTATACCCGTCGTGCGTCTCTTCACCAGCATTGACGTAGGGCCAGGCCTTCCTTACCGATGACGTCACCTCGGCGCGGCCCTGCGGGCACCGCTCGACGACGTCCGCGAGGCATTGCGCGAGCCCCGTCCTCATTACATCGTCGGCGTCGGCCGCGGCGGCGCGAGCGATGCCGTCGAGCGCGTCCTTGACTCGGGTGGCGTTCGCGCTCACGACCTCTCTGAGGCAAAAGGCCCGCTCCGCGAGCAGGCCGTCGCCCTGACTGATAGAGTCGCAGAGCGCCCTCCAGAGGCGCGCGTGGCGGTCCTCGGCGAGCGCGGGCGCGCGCGCCGCGAGCGCTTTCAGAATCTTGCGCGCGGCGGCCAGGCCCTCGGCGGTCTCGGCGTCGTCCCGGAGCGCCGTGATCAGGCCGCGGTACAGTCGGCCCGTCGGCTGCTCCGCTCCTAAAACCTTGTCGACGAGGGCCTCCTCGGGCGACGCGGCCTGCTGCTGCAGGGCGGCCATTGCAGCCTTGCGCGTGATAGCGATGGCTGACCAGGCCTGCAAAAGCAGCAACCAGGCCTTCACACAGCTGCAGCTGGCGGAGACGACTCCTGCAGAGAGAAAAAGCTTCCAGAAGGGCGCAAAGCCAGCCCGCAACAACTTTTTACAGCCGTATAGTTGCTGCAGGACTTTGCCCACCTGGAATTAGCTAGCGGCCAGTAAGACACTAGCACCAGTTTGCCCTTTGACAGATGGACGCACGTCGTCGTACCGCCCTCGTAGGCGAGTAAGAGCGCAAAGGATGCGCGGCTTTCGGTGTCGCGTCGATGGCGTCCCCGCACACGGGTACGGCTTCCAGCAGCAGCGGCGTGTAAGACACTACATGTTCGTCCCTGGCTTGTATTGAGCTAGACATAACAGCAACTCTAGTTATCCTCGGCGGCCTGGAGCGGCTCGCCCTCCCCCTCCAATAATGCCGCGAACCACCCGAGAAACGTCCCCCGCCGCAAGACGCCGTGGCCGCCCGGGTCCGCGAAGAACCGCTGCCGGTCCATCTCCGCCTGACCGAGCACGTCCCTTAATCCAAGCTTCTCGCACAACTCATCAAAATGATTCATCGAGAGCTCGCCCTCCTTCGCCTCGTCCAGCCGGTCGAACCAGTCCGCGGCGTCCCGTAACTGGGCCACGAGGTCGTCGGCCGCGCTTTGCGGTTCGTCGTCGTCCCGCGGCGCGAAGAAGTTCACGTCGTCCTCTTCCCCTTCCGAGTCGTCCTCGACGCCCTCATCCTCGTCCTCGTCGCGCGGCGCGAAAAAAGTGTGGTCCTCCGCCACGCGCACGAAGCCGCCCACGTCGTCCTCGTCGTCATCAGAACCTTCCGCCCTTTTCCTCAGCTCCTCGTACTTGTCTCGCAACTCATCGACCGTCCTCTGGGCGAGCGCGGGAAACTTCGCTTGGATCGAGACCCAGTCGCCGCCGTGGAGGCGGTGGCCGTCGACCACGGCCTCCTCCTCCGCCTCCGTCCAGCCGTCGTCGTCGGAGCGCGGGCTCCACGTTTCAGCGGCGTCGTCGTCGTTCGTCGCCGGCGGCGTCCAGGCGTCCGTCGAGGTTGTGGGAGGCGGCGGCCAGGCGTCGTCCTCCTCAGGTGGTGCGGGCTGCTTGGGCGCCGGCTCGGGCGATGGGGGCGGCGGCTCTGATGGAGGCGTCGGCGCCGGCATGGGAGGAGGCGCCTTCTGGGGCGTCGGCGGCGCGTTCTCGTCGACGTACGCGACCGTCGAGCGCGTCGCCGGCTCGCTCGTATTCTTGCGAGGTGGCGGGGCATTGAGCCAGGGCCAGGCCTTGCCGCGCTCGGTCGACACGCGCCGTCTGACCTCGACGTCGTACATCGCGCGCTTGTAGCCGTCCAACAAAATCTCCTTGGCCTCGTTGACGCGCCGGAAGTGCTTTTCCGCGCGCTTCGCGGCGTCGGGATCGTTTTTGGCCGTGCGATCGGGATGCCACTTCAAAGAAGCCGTCCGGTAGGCCTTCCTCACGGCGTCGTCGTCGGCTGTGGACGGTAGCGCCAGCACGGCATAATGCGTCGCCTCGTGGCAGTCGCGCGCAAACGACGCGCGGGCCCGCCACTGCGTCGCACGCTCGTCGCGCGCTTCCCTCGATGCGTCGTCGAAACTACGAGAGGCACCCTCGAAGTCATACAAAAGCTCGAGGCACTCGCCCAGGACCGCGGCGGCGTTCGCATATACCGAATTATTGGACGCGGCGGCGTGGCGCTGGAGCGCTTTTCTCGCGTGGTCGCTCGCCGCGGTGGCGTCCTTTAATCGCAAAGAGGCCTTGGCGCAGTTGAGTTCCAAGCGAGCGAGGTCGATCTCGGACGGCGCGGCCTCGCCGTCTTCCACCGATCCCGCACCTTGTAAAGCCGCCGCAAAGTGCCGTCTCGCGCTCGAGAAGTCGCGCCGCCGCCAGGCTCGGTTGCCCGCGGCGGACGCGTTCCAGAAGCGTTCTGCTGGTGATGAGAAGCTTTGACACGCGGCGCCTTTGGCTAATGTGGAGGCCGTGCTTTCGCCATTGTACAGGTCGGCGTCGGCGCCCGCCCTTAGTAAAGAGGTCGCGGCCTCCGCATTCCCTAAAGACGCGGCGACCATGAGCGCCGTGTTTCCCGAAGCATCGGCCGCGTCGAGCAGGTCGGGCACGCCCGCCTGGGGCGCCGTGAGGTCCGACTCCAGTATTAATTCAAGACAGGGCGCCGAGCCGCCTCGCGCCGCGTCGTGTAACGGTGTGCCCTCTGTACTTCTGAGGTCGTCCTGGAGCGCCCCTCGTCGTATCAGCAGCCCGGCGGCAGCGTCGTGGCCGTTCTTACACGCCTCGCGCAGGCAACTCAGTAACAATCTAGCATAATGCGTCGCGCGCGGCTCCGGCTGCAGCGCCCTCCTCAATGCGACGACGTCGCCTCGCTGTGCCAGCGCGACGACGTCGTCCTCCCGCAGCGATTTTTGACCCGTCTTTTTTAAGAGAGAAACCTCGTGCCTTAATGCAACAAGTTCCTTGACGAAGTCGTCTCGGGCATCTCGCGTTTGATCTTTCAAGAGTCGCGCCTCGTCCTTCGCTTCGCGGGTTCTCCGCTGTTCGGTGTCGAGCGCGGCCTTCAGCCGGGCGATTTCCCGCGCCGCGTCGCCGAGCTGGCCCTTGAGCTCGTCCTCGCTGCGCTTCTGGCGGGCCTCCCGCGCTTCGGCGTCGAGGCTCAGCTCGTACAACCTATCACTGAGGCGCCAGCCGTCGTCCTTCGGCTTGTCGGCTTTGTAGCCCTTGGCGCTGTAGAGACCTTCCCGCGCGGCGTAGCCGCGCGAGGCTCTCGCCGCGTAGCCGTCGAAGCCGCCTTGGCGCTCGTAGGCCGCCATCGCGGCAGCGCTGCGGTCAGGGCGTGATTGCTGCGTATCGACACTCCAGCGGCTGGTGCAGGTCGGCGCTGCAATTAAAAATCTCGGCAAACGTCTCGAGATGAGCCCTCGAACCCGATTTGTTTTGTGAATTGAGTACGACGGAATTTGCATTTATTAACGGCCGGAGATGAGTCGTGCGATGCATCTTCATGCCGATGCTGAATTGGCGCGGCCGTCTGCGTCCGGCGCGGGATGCAGCCAGCTTAAAATCTCTGAGCCAAGGAGGCGTGCATCCGTGAAGCAAACAGGCATATTTCGAGCACTGGCCACTGCTTTAAACGCTACGGGCACCACGGCCACAGCGGCACACAACTGGAGCACAGCACAGCCCTGCACAGAGGCTAGAAGGAGCGTCGACGCCATCGACGCGACGATACAACAGCGATGGCCTCCTACTACGGCCTAGGAATAAGAGCAGTCGCCGACTCGCCGACCGTCGTTAAAGAGCTCGAGGCCCAAGACGACGCGACGAAGCTCACGCTCTTCGGCTGCGGGCTTAGAAGTCTGCGCGGCCTGCCTCCGCTCCGACAGCTGACGGAGCTCGTCCTCGCGGCGAACGAGCTCGGCCCATCATTAGACGCGTTGTTTCCGGCGCTCGCCGTTTGTGGTCTCCTGACGAAGCTGGACCTCAGTCAAAATGCGCTCGAAACTCTCGTCACATCACATAAACTCCCGTCCCTGGATGTCCTGGACTGCTCCGCCAACAAGCTACGATCTCTGGACGGCCTGGCCACCTTCGCGCCGTCCCTCAAAACATGCAAAACACAAGACAACCTGGAACCGCTCGAGTGGCAAAATGATGACGACGTGGACGCGTTGGTAGAAAGGGCCCTCCGCACGTCGGTGGAGGTCCCGCGACCTTCGGAAAGGCGGAAAATGGCGGCGATGGCGTCGGCCACGACGGTCCAATTCGAGGAAGCGAGACGGCAAAGACTGCGCGCCGACGCGGTCGAGAAGGAGAACGCCATGCTCGACGAGGCGTTGGTGGCGGCGCATGCCAGAGTTGAGGAGCTCGAGGAGCGGCTGAAGAGTTGCCAGCAGCAGGTTTCTTCCGCGGAGCGCAAGGCTACGCGTTCCCTGAGGCGGGCCGAGGCCGAGGCGCAAGATGTGTTACGTAAAGCGGCGGCGCGGCGCGTCGTGGGCGCGCTGCGACGATATGAAGACGGCGCTTCCATGAAATCGGTGCGCGACGTCTTTGTCTACTGGCGGCGCGGTACGCATGCGGTTACCTCGCAGAGTATGGAAGCCAAGCACGCCGCGGCCTGCGATTCACTAAGAAAGGACCTCGAGGCGGCGCATCAACGCCACGCGGCATTGAGTGATGAACTGACCGAGGCGCACGACGAGCGCCTCGCGGTCGAGGCGGGCCGATTGAGCGCGGCCGAGGCCCGCACCGAGCAGTTGGAAGCGCGGCACACGACCCGTATGGACGAGCGGGAGGCGGCTCTAGAAGCTTCACTGCATGCGCGCGCGGCGGATGATGATAGAAGGCGCGCGGCCGAGGTCAGACAAAGGAGCGACCTGGAACGGGCACTCAATGCGGAACTAATAAAAGAGCGACGAGAGGCCGACGACCGCTTCGCGCACGCGGCCGCGGCCGGCGCCGTCGCGTTCTCGGCTATCGAACAGCGGGCGGCCTCGAGTGATGCGGCCCTTATGGAAGCGCGGAGCCGCGACGCGAGCGCGCGCCAGCAGCTCGCGGAGCTGAAACGGGCCTACGCGGCGCTCGCGGCGCGCGAGGCCGACACGGAGGCGCGCGCGACGCAAGGCGCCGCGCGCGAGGCCGCGCTCCGCGACGCGCTCGCCGAGGTGTCCGAGTTCACGCGGCTCCAGAAGGCGGCGCTGGTGGACGCGACGGCGGCCTCCCAGCGGGCCGAGGCCGCGCGGCATGAGGCCGTGACGGCATTACGCCGCGACCGCGCCGCGTTCCGACAGCGGCTGGACGCGGCGGAGGCGGAGGCGGCTTCGCTGAATGCGCGGCGGCGCGACGACGAGGCCGAGCGCGCCCGCTTAGACGCCCTCGTGCACGAGTCCGTCGAAGCCGCCGAGGAGGCGCGGCGTGTTGTGTTAGAGAGGGACGAGATGGTGCGGGAGGTGCGCGCGTCGCAGGAGGCGGCCGACGCCGCTGCGGCCGCGTCCAGTAACGAGCGGTCGCGCCTTCATGAATCAGTAGACGAATTGCACGAGGAACTGGACAAAGCGCGGCGCGCCGCCGACGACGGCGGCCGCAAGCTCCGACTCTCGAGGGAAGCGGAGCGGCGGCTGCGCGGCGTCGTCGCGGAGCTCAGGGCGCACCCGCGCGACGACCACGAACTCGAAACGGTCGAGGCGCGGCTCGCCGAGCGCGAGCGCGAACTGAAGTACGCGGAGGCGGAGCTCGCGGGCCTTTCTTCCGTGTTCGAAGCCAAGGAGCGGGACCTGCGCGCGGGCCTGGAGGCGGAGCGGCGCCAGCTCGAGGCGCGGGCGCGCGAGGCGGTGGATACGGCCGAGCAGGCCCAGGCCGACGCTATTGATGCGCGGAACTTAGTCGGGGAGTTGCGGGGGCGGCTGCGCGGCGCGCTCGAGAAAACTGCGCCCGCCGCGCCGGAGACGGAGCCCCCACCAGATCCTCCGAGCGCGTGTCCGTACTAATGACTGGGGGTTTTGTAGTCCGTCTCGTTCGCTCCTTCTCAAGTGCAGCACCCCAGGCCAAAGTTAAGCTGCTAAATTTAAGGTCAAGTCGCAAAAAGCGGTGCGTAGAGATTGAAAATCGGTTGTTTTGAACGTGTTTTCTTACCTTTTTTGCCGGCGATCAGACGCTCCGAGCGCTCGCACAGCTGCTGAGTCACAGCGCTTTCAGTTGAGTTGCATAAAGCTCTGTCTGTCGATTGCGCCTTTAGACCCGGATTGGCCGCCGCGCGGACGGGCCAGGCTTTGGCGTCAACCACGGGGACAGCTGAGCGGTAACAGGTCATTCCACCCGCTCCGCGAAACCGCCGTCGGAAACGGAGCATGGCCGAGCTCGTCGGCGAGGCGCTGGCGCCGGGCGCCGGCGCCGCCATGGTCACGCCCGAGGCCTCGCCGGGCCTGACGCCGTGCGGCTGCCGCATCCTGCCGACGCAATTCTTCCAGTGACCGCTCGGGACCCTCCTCCTCTGGAGGTTTCCCCCGGGCAAGCCTGCGAATCTGAACACTGTAACTACTAGCTACTACGACAGCACAAGCCCCGAGACGTCGGGCGGCGGCGGCGGGGGCGGCTCCGCGTCAGCTTCCTCGTCGTCGGCTTCCTCGTCGTCGGCTTCGTCGTCGGACTCCGCCGCCGGCGGCAGGTCGCCGTCGGCTTCCTCGTCGTCGGACTCCGCCGGTGGCAGGTCGCCGTCGGCGAGGTACCCGCCCTCGGGCGCAGCGCGTGCCGCGCGCGCCTCGGCGCGCGCGGCCTCGCAGTCCGCGAGGAAGCGCGCCTCGGCGGCCGCGACGCCGTCGCCGTCGACCGCCGCCGCGTACGCCTCGAACGCGTCCGCGTTCAGCGCGAAGAAGGCTCCGCCCGACGCGAAGGGCGCCAGCAGCAGCTCCGCGTCCCGTACCAAACCGGCGATGCGCAGCGCGGCGGCCAGCGCCTCCGCCGTGTTCAGGTAGAGCGGCTTGCCGTAGTTCACCTCGTTGGCGGCCACGAGGAACGGCAGCCGCCGCCGGAGCTCGGGCCGGCCGAGCGCCGAGAAGGGCACGGCGTCGAGGCCGCGCCAGGAGCAGTTCACGCCCGCGAGGCCCTGGGCCGCTATGATGGGCGCGTCCGCCGGCGACAGGACTTGGGGGGCGTCCGCCGCGAGGACGATCCCCCGGAAGGCCGCGCGCGCGTCGAGCCGGCGCGCCAGGCCCTGGCGGACGAGCTTCGAGCCGCTGTCGCGCCGCGCGTCGTTCTGCGAGAACTCCCAGAGGCAGACGCGCGTCGCCAGCGGCGACGGTTGTGCCGCGGCGGCGCCGCCCCGGCCGCGGCCGCCCCGGCCGCGGCCGCGGCCGCGGCCGCGCCTCCCGCCGGCCATCAGGCTGCGCGATGGAGGTGCTTGCAGCCACCTTGTGCAATGCGCGGCGACTGGTGATTTGTTGCGTTTGGAAAGCGCTGGCCGCAATCAATCATCACGTGGCACGCCCTCGACGCGGCACAGGTGCGCTAGTTTTGTCTCTTGAGCTGCTTGCCATTTTGTCAGAGCAGCTCTCACACGAGGTGGCACCGCCGCATTGCAAGCATGCGTGCAGAACGCCTTCTCGCAGGCGTCCTCGCGACGGCTGCAGCCTTGAGCCCCACGGCCACGCGCCGCCAGCTGGCTGGCGGGCTCGCCGGCGGAGGCCTTGCCTTGGTCGCGCCGCCAGCTTTAGCCGCCGACGTCCTCGAGATCCCGCCGGCGACGACGAAGATGGGCGGCCTCCTCGAGAAGTACGCGGACGCGACGCGCGGCGCCGAAAACTCGTACGAACCCCTGCACGCCGTAGGCGCCGGCTCGCCGTCGACGCGGACGTCGTGACGAAGTACAGGCCGCGCCCGACTCGCGCCGCGCGCAGGTGAACCGCGGCTTCCGCCTCTTGAAGCCGACGACCTGGAACCAGTTCGACGGCGAGCCCGGCGCCTATGATGTCAGATGGGTCGACGTCGTCGCGCCCGCGGAGAGCGTGACGCTGTCGACGTCTTCCTACAATGCCGGCCAGAGCATCGAGGACCTCGCGGCCGTCGATAAATTAGGAGCGAAGCTTGCGGCCGCGCGCGGGACGCTGACGGGGGCGCGCGCGCGGCGGAGCGACTCCATCCTCTTCTACGACTACTCGTTCAGTGGAGAGGGGCGCAGGGAGCTGTTGACCATGTGCGTGCACAAGGGGCGGCTCTGGCAGCTCACGGCCAAGGCGCCCGAGGCGTCCTGGGGCAAGCGCGAGGCGCTGTACCTGAACGTCGTCGGGTCCTTCGTGCCGAAGCTCTAGCGTGTAAGAAGTGTGGTCCCTCCTGCCGACGAGGGTTGCGGCTGCTGTACTTATGCTAGAGCCCCCCGCGACACGCGCCCCGCCTACCTGCACGCGGAGCACGTAGCGCGCCCGCCCGCGTGGGGCTCTTCTCCTCGACCATCGCCACTTCCTCGGACGGCGGCATCTCAGCGTCGCAATCCCTCTTGTCTCTGGCTCGTCGCGGGCGGTAGCTGTGGCAAGGGCTATTACGACGAAGCTGAAAACTGCGTGAAGCAAGACACGGCGAACTGCTGCAAGTGCCCAAAGGACCCTAAGTCGTTCAACTACAAAGGGTGCAACTGCGTGGAAAAGGAGCGGTACTGTTCTGGGGATCTGGAGGAGTACCAATTAGTGTCGGGGGGGTCCGCGCCGGAGTTGTTTGACAATCTGGAGGACGCGCCGGAGTTGTTAGACGACCCGGAGGACGAGGGCGGCAAGGGCGACAAGGGCGAGAAGGGCGAAAAGAAGGGCAAAAAGGAAAAGAAGGGCAAAAAGGAAAAGAAGGGTAAGAAGCGCTAAAGCCGCCGCGAGGCCGCCCGCGAACAAGGTCGCGCGCCGCGCGGAAATTAACCGGGCGCGCGCCGTCGACGGCGTCTGAAATTCGGTATCCTCGCAGGCCGCGGGCGGACGCCTCGACACCAAGAGCCCGGCGCGGGGGCGCCGCCGGGAGACGCCTATGTACACACGCCGTCGCGGAGACGACGGCATCGACTTTCCCTTCCCCCCCTGTACCTGACGACGCAAGACCGACACCGCCGCGCATGACTGACCCCCACCGTTTTTCCGGCACAAGGGGTCACGACCAGGCGACGCTCGTATCTAGCACGCAAGACGCCACACGCTGAAGCCAAATCGTCCCTGGGAGTCCCGAGCCTGCCCGCGTAATCTCATGACTTCGAAAAGACTAGACCCCCGGCGGCGCCGTCGACCTCTTGAGGACGACGGCGTGCGTCCTCCCCGCGTCGAGTGGAGAGTAGGAGTCAAAAATTAGGCCGGCCGCGCCGGAAACCGGAGGAGGTCGACGACGTCGCGGAGCTCGGCGCCCTCGCGGACCAGCCATGTCGCGAAGGCCCCGCGCGCGGCGGCGGCGACCTGTGTGGAAATCAAATTTCGGGCGCCCCACGCAATTTTCTCCGTAGCTGCGTCTGCTCGATGGCGTGAAGTTTCCAGGCCATCGACGCGACATCATCGCCGTGACCGCACGCCATCGACGCGATATTTTCTCCGTAGCTGCGTCTGCTCGATGGCGTGAAGTTTCCAGGCCATCACAACCTAACTCACTGGTTGATTTCCACACAGATCGCGACCGCGGCGGCGCGGTCGGGGCCGAGGCGCGTGGCCCCGGCGAGCGCCGCGCGCGCGCGGTCGGCCCGCGCGTGGCGCGCGTCCAGGGCTGCGACATGGTCCGCAGGCAGCGGCAGCGGCGGCGGCTCGGCGGCCCCGCGCCCGGGCGGGCGCAGCAGCGCGGCCGCGTGTCTCCGTGGCGAGGAGCCGGGCGGCGCGGGCGCCGCGAGCGGCCGGCGCCGCGGCGCCCCCGGGGCGAGGGCGAGCGGCGCGTCCCAGCGGTTCGGCGCGCGGGGCGGCAGCAGCCCCGCCGCCGCGGCGTCACGCGCAAGGCCGTCGTAGGCCGCGGCGAGCGGCTCGAGTGCCGCCGGCGCCCCGCCGACGCAGAGCGGCGCGGCCGGCGTGAAGAGGCGCAGCGTCGACCTGCGCGCGAATCAACGGTGAGTCGGGGAGAACCGCGAAAAGCGCCGTAAAATTTGATTCGTGCGCTGGCGCCGACTCCGCCGACGCGTCGACGACGACGCGGTGCGCCGCCGCGGCCAGCACGCATCGCGCGCAGTGCGTCAGCGACGCGACGCGCGCCGCGCCGACGTAGACCAAGCAGTCGACGCAGGCCACGACGCGCACGCAGCGCACATGATTCGGCACGTAGACACGGCAGTCGCGGCACCGCTCCACGAGAATCGAACATTGGTTTTCATCGACGACGACGACGCTTGACCGCTTGGAAATGACGACGTCGTCTTCAGATACGTCCTCGAAGAGCGTCTCGGTCAAGGCGCCCGCGACGGGGGCCGTGGCGCGGACCGCGGCGGCCGCGCGCCGCTCGCGCTTCGCGTGGGGCGCCTCGTCCTCGGCGGCCGCGCGCGTTTGGATGCGGGCCTCGTCCTCGACGACCGCGGGCGCCCGCGACGCCGCGAGCGCCGCGCGCGTGCCCACGAAGGCCGCGAGGGCCGCGCAGGGCAGCGGCGCGTCCACGGACGCACTCTGATGGAGCGCCAACCCCACAAGCTCCCAGGAGACCCGCGCCGACGGCTCGTCCCACCTTAATACATGCCACGCCGTCGAGACCCACGCCGGGTAGGGCGCGCGGTCGCCGCCGGCCTCCTTCCGCAGCGCGTCGCGGACGGCCGCGGCGTCGTCGAGCGTCAGTCGCTCCTCGGTCGTCGTCGCGCCGTCGGGGCCCCAGCACCAGAGCTGCGTGACCTCGGGCCGCAGTCGGCCGCGCGGCTCCATTGGTCCAAGTTTCAACGGTTTAGCCCAGCTTCTTGGGAGGACCAGTAGACCCCTATCGCCAGCTATAACCCGACTCTGGTTCGCGCCCGCGCCCGTCAAGGCGCTTTTGCACTGCAGCCTCCCCCAATTGCTCCCGACAGTTGCGTTTCGCCCCTGTCGTCACGCGAAACTTGTGTGTAGCGCGTTGACAAAGCAAGAGCTCTTTGGATCTCGCAGGATCTCGCACAAGCACTGTGTTTTGTTAATCGGCGGCTGATTCTAGTGTCTTACAGGACGCTAGCAAGCGGGAGAGGCAGAGGACAAAAGCTTTTTTGACACATTGTACCGCGCTTGTGGATACCCGTTGTACCGCAGCGCTTTGTTTTCGTCACCCATTTCATGTTGGCTGCCAACAACCAAAATTCTGACGTCTTCAGGTAGCTTTCAGCATTACAGAGCAAGACCACTTGTGCTACATCATCATGGCATCCTTCGATAAACCACCACAAACGACAGCGTCGGCCGTGGGCCTGCTGCGCACGCTCGCCCGCGACGAGCAGAAGAAGCTCGCCCAGCTCCGAGCGGCGGGCGGCGCCGCAGACGACATAGCCGCCGCAGAAACGCGCGTGCGCGACCTGACGGCCAAGCTCAGCGCGGCGGCGTCGGTCGGCGGCGGCGCGGCGGCGCGCGCCAGGCAGGTCGGGGGCGACGGCACCGAGGTGCACGTCGGCGCCGCGATGACTGACGCGGAGCTGGCGGCCGCGCGGCGCGCGCGGCCGGACGAGGCGCCAACCGGCGCGTGCGCGGCCTGCGGGGCTCAGACTGCGCGCTCGGCCCGGACGGGCCGCATCTCGTCGTTCTTCTGCTCCGCTGCGTGCCAGAAGCGCGGCTGGCGCGCGCACCTCGAGCGCGCGCGGGCGGCGGACGCGGCGGAACGCGCGCGCCGGCGCCGCGACGTCAAGGACGCCGCGGCCGCGGCGCGCGAGGCCGAGGCAACGCGGCGGCGGGTGGAAAAAGACACCGCGTACGACATGGACTGCCTCGGCGTGATCCGCGGCGGATGCGCCGCGACGGACTGCCCCGCGTACGTGCAGAAGCGGGGCGCGCCGCGGTCCGTCAGACCGCGCGCGCGCGCGGACGGGAGCATCGAGGACGGCGTCTGGGCGTGGAACCGCGTCGACCACCTCGTGTGCGCGCGGTGCGGCGCCCCGGCGGGCGCGCACGCGGACGTCACGCAGGAGGTCGAGGCGCGGCACCGGGGACGCGTGGCGTCGAAGCCCGCGGCCTGGCCGCGGAGAAGCCTCGGCGCCGCCGCGGATGCGCCGGTCGGGCGCGCCGGTCGCGCGGTCCAGCGGGGCGCCGCCGCGTCGGACTCTTCTGGCTCGGAGTCGGACTCCGACGCGACGGTCGAGCTGGCGGGGTAGGTCTCCGACGCGACGGTCGGGCTGGCGGGGGTGGTGAGTGATGTGTGATAAATATGGAGGTTTTATGTTCGGGGGCCCCGGGGGCCTACTACTCGGCATCCCAATCGTCCTCGACGAAGTTGGCGTCGGGCTTGACGGCGCCGAAGCCACCAATCGGCCCGCTGGCGCGCGCGGGCGCCGGCTTCGCGGGCGACGCGTCCCAGTCGTCCTCGACGAAGTTCGCGTCGGGCTTGATCGCGTTCGCGAAGAGCGACTTGATCTCGTCGTTTGGCGCGGCAGCCTTCTCCTTCCTTGCTTTTTTCTCGGCTTTTCGCCGGCGCTTCTCCTCCTTGGCCTTCTTCTTCGCGGCCTTCTCGGCCTCGTCGCGGGCGCCCTGGACGGAGGCCTTGCGCGCGAGGCGCTCTCGCTCCTTGGCGAGCGTCGCGATGACGTCCTCGGTCGACTCCTCGTGGTCGTCCGCCGCCAGCGGCGTATCCGCCGGCGGCGGCGCCTCCTTCGGGGCCCGCTTGGACTTGGACTTGGACTTGGCCGGCCGCTCGCCGCGCGCGAGGCGCCGCGCGAGCGCCGACGGGGGCTTCTTCTTGGGCTTGTCGTCGTTCCAGTCGATGGCCAGCTCGTCGCCGCCGACGCCGCGCCGCGCGATGCGGACCGGGGTCTTGCTCTTCGTGGGAGCTGAGGGAGGCGCCTGTTGGACGGGCGCGGGCGCGGCCTCGGGCGTCGCGGCCTTTGTCTCGGGCGTCTTCGCCGGCGATGGGGCGGCCTTCGGCGACGGGGCGAAGCGCTTCGCCTCGAAGCGGTCGTCGGACTCGTCGAGGGCCGGCCGCACGATCTCGGTGCCCAGGTCGATCTCGTCGTCGAAGAGCGGGCTCGCGATGGGCGTCGTCGACTTGCGCTCCTTGCGCTGGCGCGGCGTCGGGTCGTCGTCGCGGTCCCGTCGGTCGCGGTCGTCGTCGCGGCGGCGGTCGCGGCGGTCGCGGTCGTCGGCGCGGTCATCGCGGCGGCGGTCGCGATCGCGTTCGCGGTCGCGGTCGTCGTCGCGGCGGTCTCGGCGGTCGCGCTCGTCCCGGCGGCGATCGTCCCGCTCGTCGTCGCGGCGGCGCTCACGGTCGTCGTCGCGGCGGCGGTCGTCGCGGTCGCGGCGCCTCGGCGGGCTGTCGAGCTCGTCTTGGTCGTCATCATGGCCTCGTTTGGGCGGCACGAAGTCGTACGCGTCGCGCTGCGGCCGCTCGCGCCGCGGCTTTTCGCGCTTGGGCGGTTCGCGGTCGTAGAGGATGTCGTCCATCTCGGCGTTCAGCGCGTCCAGGTCGTCGGCGTCGTCGTCGTACCGGTCGTGGCGCCCGCGGTTGGGCGACGCGGCGAGGCCGAGCTCGGGCGCGCGGCGGCGCTCGCGCTCGCGGCGCTCGCGGTCGCTGTAGCGCGTGCTGTCGAGGCTTTCGCCGTCGTGCCGCCGGTCGCTGTACCTCGTGCCGTCGAGGTCGTTGTCGTCGCGGCGTCGCTCGCGGCGCTCGCCGCGCCGCGGCTCTTCGTCTTGCTCGTCGCGGCGTTTCTCCCGGCGTTTCTCGCGGCTCTTGTGGCGCGGCTCGTCGAGGCTGTCCTGATGGTCGTCGCGACGTTTCTCGCGGCTCTTCGCACCATCATCAAAGTCGTAGAGGTCGTCGCCGTCGGCGTCCTCGTAGAGGGACCGGTACTCGTCCTCGGCGCCGCCGACCGGCTTCTCGCGCTGCGGCACGTTCAAAGGTTTCCCGCCCGACTTCCGCTCGTCATCAACCAAACGCTGGAGGCCCTCGACCCACGTCTTCTTCCCGGCCGCGTCGCTCGCGTGCAAGACGTAGCTCCGCGACGGGTGCTCGACCACGAAGAGCGCCGGCCCCGCGTCCCGCACGGCCTCGACGTCCCCCAAAAAGAGCCAGCCGCGCGGCTCCGCGTCGGCCTCGCGCCGGTAATAGCAGAGCGCCAGCCGCGGCTCGTCGCCCCGCTGCGGCGCGATCTCCTCGACCCGGAAGAAGCGCTTCTGCGTCCGCACGAGCAAACTCTGCTTCTTGCCCTCCTTCTTCAGGTAGCCACTGAGGTGCGTGGCGGGGGCCATTGTCACTGGGTGCTCTTGGCTGCCGCTGTCTGTCTGTGGGTGTGGGGGCTGCCCGTCGGCTGCTATGTGCGTGCTGCTGGATGTGGGCAGCGCGCGGACTGTCGCGTCGCGCGCACGGCTGCCTGTGCACCTGTAATTGCGGCTCCACGGCGGTAAAAGCGCTCCACCTTCGCGGAGGCAATAACCGTTATGGTGGGGGGGTCGTGACATGCGAGCTCGTCCAGGGACGGCTCGTAGGGCTCTCGACCTGAGCCGTAAGTAAGGAGCGCTCAGACCGTCGCCGCGACGTCCGACCGGCGGCGCGCGCGGCGACTCGGAGAATCGCAAACCCAGATCCCATCGACCGGGCCGAGGAGGGACTAGTAAACGAAAGAAACGGTTACCACAAAACGCTCACGCGGCCTTCTTCTTGACCGGACTCAGGTAGAGGCTGAGCTTGCGCGCCTTGCTCTCGGCCATTTCCGAGCCGAGCGAGAAGGCGCGGCCCCAGTATTTTGCTTTTTTCCGCAGCCAGTCGAGGCCGACGAAGTAGAAGCCCAATGCCACAACCACGGCCGCACTACTACGCGTCGCGTAGTAGTACTCTTCAGCCATTTCCGTCGCGAACTCGACGACGGCGCGGTCCTCGACCCAGTTCAACACGAGATCGTCGACCGTCGTTAAAGCTCGGAACTCCCTCAAAGCGCCGGCAAGCGTCACCCACGCGAAGATCGTATGGCATTGGGCAATGGACTCTAAAGCTTCCGTGAGCTCGGCGCGCGCGCATTGGGTGGTGGTGCGCTTCACGAGCCGCGAAATGCGGCGCGCCGCGTCCAACAAGAAGACGCCGTAGGCGCAGCTGTCGAGGCACCCGGGCGCCTTCATCCGTAACGTTTCGACCACCGCCAGTGCGAAGAAGGCGTAGCCCGAGAACCGTAAGGCTGCGCGACAGAATAATAAAACCTCGGCATTCCTTCTTACATAGGCGTCGTCGTCGTCGGGCTCCGGGGTTTGTTGTCGCATTGTCAGTTGCCCTGGCGCTGTTTGTTGCACGAACAGACAGCGCTTAATTCCTGGCGTTGAGTTGGGTATATATTCGATGAATAAGGCACAAATTCAGGAGTTGTGGTGGCTTTTTGTGCTGCGGATTCATCAACGGTAACATACTAGACTTTGCTGCGGTTTGTCGACGCGTTTTTTGTGGCTCGGGCCCTAGACGCTCGGGTTACGCTAGCATTGACGCATTAAGACGCGTATTTTGACGTGGGCAGCCAGTTCTACAAGCGCGCGGGCAGCCCGGTCCGCACGAGCACGATGGGTGCCGGCGCCTCGGCACAGCCCGAGGCCGAGCAGGAGGAGCCCCAACAAAAAGCCCTGCCGACGCGGAGGGAAGCGTGCGACGCGAGCTTCGCGACGCTCCAGGGCATGGTTACACGTTCTGGTGTTGGCTTCGCGCGGGCTCGGGACGTGAATGACCGAAGCTTCGACCTCAAAAGTGGTGGAGTCTTGTGGTGCGACGGTCGGGGCATATATGTGGGCCGCCACCGCCACCAGCAAGCTGCCGCGGTGGCCTGGAGCGACAACATCACTTTCTCAACCAAAAAAGACGGCCTCATGATTTTAGGAGATACGACGCAGTGGCGTATTGAGCTCAATGGCAAGAGCGAGGTCGCGGCCTGGCTCGCGTGTTATTTGCACGCCTTCGCTCCTATCACGGAGTACACGCAGACCGTCACGTTTACCGAGTGGGGTCAACTGGGCATCGCGTTCGGCGTCTTCATGAAACGCGTCATTCCCGTCGTCTTCTCGGTCGAAGGGGCTGCTCTATCGAATGACGTGCGGCCGGCGTCGGAGCTGGTGAGTGTGAATGGGAGGAAGGTGGAGGCGTTGGGCGACGACGACGATCTCTTGGAGTTCGTGTCGTCCGCCTCCTTCCCGAAGACGTGCGTGTTCCGGCGGCGAGCCTTATCGGGGTTCCACGCTCCACCTCCACGCGAGCCGGAGCCGGAGCCGTCCGAGCCGGAGTTGTTGCCGCCGGCGTCCGCGCCGCCGGAGCCCTAAGTTTTGGTCTGTGTGTAGTTTCAGCTCTAGCCCGGATAATTCTCCCAGACGAACGCGCGCAAGGGCACCTTTCGTCGGCGGAGCGCGGTTCGCTAGTGCCTCATTCCGCTAGCTCGCCCCTCCTCTCCTCCTCTCTCCTTTGACGACGTCGAGCTAGGGATCCCCGGCAACACGGCTCTCTCTTTTGGCCGGGGCGCAAGCGGGCATAAGCAGGAAGAATAGCCTTACAGCGGCTAGACGCTCGATCCTCGCTGGCGCGCATCAGCTGGCAAAGCCTCCACCCTTGTGGCGTAGTGATCACATCTGTGGGAGATGCTCTCATATATGAGCATGACTCAAAAGCGGCAGCTGGCGCTTTGCCTGCGCAACACAGTAGTAGGGATGACCCTGTCGTTCATCCTGTGGCAGGCCTGGGGCGCAGCGAACGACCTCGCATTGGAGTAAATGCTGCCAGCGCTATGCATCGCTCTCGCGACACGGCTCGCCACGGATGGCGTAGCAAAAGTCGACGGCGTCCTGCCCGCGGCGCTAGCCGCAGACGTGAGGGCTGTCGCGCTGGCATCGGCCGTGCCTGCTCAGCGCCAAGAGGTCCCGCTCTCGCTCAAAAACGATGCCGTGGCGAGCGCGGCAGCGGCCGTGGCGTTGTCTCCCGTCGGTGCCGCCCTGGAGGAATTGTGCGGCGGCGACGCGCCGCTCTTCGACCTGTGCGCCGTGATCAGTGCACCCGGTGCGGCGATTCAGCCGCTGCACTCCGACTTGGGCTTCGACGGCGCGGAAGCGGCGCCGCTCTACACGTGCTTCGTCGCTTTGCAGGAAACGCCATCGGCGCTTGGACCAACCGAGTTCTGTCTGGGCAGCCACACCGACGCCGCCGCGCACAACTCGCTTCGCGCGGGAGCTCTCTCACGGGAGGCGGTCCCCTTCCCTCTCGCCGTCGGCGCGGCGGTCCTCTTCGACCCGCGGATCGCGCACCGCGGCGGCCCGAACTCATCGAATCGTCGCCGTGCCTATCTGTCGATGACGTTCGCCAACCCGCGCGGCTCGGCCCCGGTGATCGTGCCGGCGCCCGGCGACGTGCTCGTGTCCGAGGGCGGGATTTCGGCCGACGACGGGGGCGTTTGGACGCTTCGCGAGCTCGGCGCGCTCCACCCCTGAGACAGTTGTGTGTGCCCCTACTAGTAAGTGTTCCAAGAACTACAAGTTAGAGGCGCGTCAGTCCACCTTCCCCGCGTCGCCGCGCGCCGCCGGCACGAGGAGCGCCTTGAGGTGCTTCCTTACCGAAGACGCGGCCCGCGTCCGCGCCGCCTCGAGCCGCTCCGCCCGCTTCTTCAATTTCTCGCCCTCCTCGACGTCGTCGGGCGGCTCCACGGTCTCCTCGGGCGCCACCTCGTCCTCGGCGACGCCGAGCGCCGCCCGCAACGCCAGTAATCGCTCGCGCGCGAAGGCTGCGTCGCTGTCGTCGACGGAGTCCAAAAAACGCCGCGCCGCGTCGGGCGTCGTCGCGACCTGGCCCAGGGCCTCGGCCAGGCGCGCCAACCGGACGGTCGTCACCTTTGGTGACGACCCGCCGAGGCCGCTCAGCGCGCGTCGCAAGCAGTCCGACGTCCGCAGATCCTCGGTCTTCAACTGAAATCGACACACCGCGAGCCGCAGCCCCCATACGCAGGCCTCGTCGGGGCATCTTCCAGCAAACGCGTCCGACACGGCGACGTCAAACAACGAGGCCGCGCGGAACAGGAATGCCCCGCACCGCGCCGGGTCCTGGGCCATGAGCGCCTGCAGCGCTCGATGGAGCCGCTTCTCGCCCTGCTCGCAGGCGTGGTCCTCATCTAACCTTTTTGCGATGGCACAGAGAGCCGCCAGCAACCCACAATCAACCAAATCGCGGGAAGGCTGTTGTTTAGGATCCACTTTCGTCGTCAACGCAGACGCGTCGTCCCGCCGTCGATCCGTGTAGATGCCCGAGGCCCGTTCCACAATCGCGAGGCAAGCTCCCAATAACATTGGCACGTCACCTTTACCACCGTGACCCAAAGCCCTTGCCAAGTCCGCTAGAGCGGGTAACGCTAAACGCGCTTCCTTCCGCAGGATTTGCGTGCAGCCCACGTCCCTCAAGTTAACGTCGCCGCACAGGGACGCTAGCGCAACTAACGCTACTCCGCCGTCGTTCGCCGAGGCCTTTCCAGTAGTGTCGCTGAAGGCTAATTCTCGGAGTCCCGTCGCTATACATGGTCTCAAAGATACATGGTGCTGGAAGGCGTCCCGCAATAAGAAAGCATACCTTGGGCCCGCCGCCCGCAACGCGTCAAAAATTTCATCTTCCCGCGGCTTGAGGAGCCACGAACTTTCAGAAGAAGATCGCAAGAGACGCGCTATTTTAAGACAATCCGTCACATCCGCCTCGGTCCACGTCGCGCCCCCGCACAAGCCATACGACGAGAGCGACGCGCACAAGATGACAAACCTAGCTGCATCCACGGCGTCGTTCGGCGGCGGCGCCGCCCAGACATTGTCCGACGTCGTGTGCTCGATCGTCTCGGCGTCGCTGTCGGAGTCGAGGTGGTCCCACTTCGAGTAGTCGAAAGCTGTGGTCTTCTTCTTCGGCGAGGGCTTGGGCTTGTCTTGCACTCTAGACGCGTACTTGCAGACGCGGGCCCTATTCCCTTCCAGCAAATAGCGCACGCCCGTCACCGCGATCGACAGCGCGAGGTCCGCCTCTTCACTTCCAGCGGAAGCCTTCTCGCAGATCGATTGGATGCCCTCGACGGCTCGAGCTGCGATTCTCAGGTTGCAATCCGCGGGTTTCCGCAGCGCCTTCGCTAAAGCGGCACATTGGTCCGCCCTTACATCAGGATAGTCGTAACACAACGACTTGAGGACGTCTGATGGTGAGGGACCGACTTGCGTGATGGGCGGCTTCTCGGGCGGCGGCGGCGGCGGCGGCACGTCGGCGGCGTTGACGGCAAACTCTTCGGTAGGGGCATCGACGGACTCGGCGCGCCTCCTAGCTTCCGTCGCTCTGGTATGGTTCGTGACGTCGCTCCGTCGAGAAAGCGCCTCGACGCAGGCCTTGACGAAGGCGTCGCGTTCCGCCTTCTCTTCCGGCGTCTGGGCCGCCGTGTTCGGCCGATCCGCGGCGACGCAGGCGAGGCAGCGCCGTTCGTTTTCTTCCTTTTGCCACTGCTCCTTCGCGTAGCCCTCCCTCGTCAATTTGTCCTTGCAGGCGCCGCATTTCTTCTTTTCCGGCATCGCTGCGGCGGCGTCGGTCGCCGAGGCTGCTGCCTGTTTTTGACCCCAGCTGCTAGATAGCTGCTTGCGCTTGCTCAGCTGCTTGCGCCAGCCACTCAGCGTTGTTGGCAGGCCTTAAACTGCGATTGCTGATGCAAATCGCTCTATGCTGGCACCGCTTGGACGCGATTATAAGCCGTCCTCTCCGGCTTAGGCGCGGCCTGCCGAAGCGGCGCAGAGGGCCAAGGAATCTCTCAACGCACTGCAATAGATCCCTGAAGACAAGTAGCGCCCTTCTTTTCTCTTTTTCTCGCCTCAGCTGGTTTGCACGGGTTTCCGCGGCTGTGTTTACGACGTTTTGCCCAAAAAGCGTCCAAATTGCAGCTGTGCGCTGCAGCAGCTTCTCTGATCTATCGTACTCTAGCACCTGCACAGCGCTGCGTCGCTCGAAAGGCATCCGTATGGCACCAAGCTCCTAATAGCATCATGGCCGAGGAGCTAGCGTCGATAATAGCGCTGTGCTACGCACCAACACCGCAAAAAACAACACCGCAAAACGCCGTCGAGGCGACGGCCGCCGTCTCGCTGCGCGCCAAGGCCGCCGTGCCGCAGCATAGCCTAGCCTACGACGTCGCGAGTCCCGTGGACGCGCAGCTCTGGCAAAAGCTGCCTACGAAAATCAAGGGCCGACCCGCTGATTTAGCTTTGAGATTTGCCCACGTGCGCATGAGCGTTGTCCGGAGGTGCGCGGACCGGGCCGTACTTGAGTTAAGACAAGGTGATTCCAGAGTGCGCGTCGTGTCGCTCGGAGCGGGTTTGGATGGAGAGTGTTTGAGACTGGCCACGAAATTCGAGTGGGTGGACTGCGTCGAGCTTGACCTCGAAGCTGTCGCGGCGCAGAAGCGTGAGTTAGTAAGCCACGCAGTTCTGAGTGTCGACGACGACCTCGCGAAGCTCGAAGAGTTGTTAGGCGACACGGGACCGACGTTAATCCTGGCGGAGGTGTCGCTCTGCTACGCATCACCAGAAGCTGCACGGAGAGCCCGGCGCTGGGCCGCGTCTCTGAAGCGAGCGTGTTACCTCGAACTCACGCCCACATCAAACGCGGACTCGCGCTTCGGTCTCGCGTTGCAAAGCGGCTTCGGCACGCTTTTACGGTGTGCGCCGCGCGACGCCGACGACCTGGCGACGACGCTGCGTTCATCAGGCTTCGCGCACTCTAGTATCTTAGATCTCGACGCCGCGCGGCGCCGCCTCGGCGTCTTACAAACAGGCGCCGACGAGGCGGCTCTGACACTAGCCTTGAGGCGCTACGTGATGGTCGTCGCGAGCGCCGACGCGTCGTTAGCGCGCGGTATCATGCAGCGGCCCGAGGTTGTTGTGAGAAAGATGGAGGCCGCCGACTCAACTCATGCCAAGGATGCGTATATAGCGGCCATGGGTTGTGATGGAGCGATCCGGAAACATGCAAAGAAACAGTGTGTTGTATTAGATACCCTGCCTGCCTTCGTCGCGACGCTCAATGCTAGCATTGTTGGCGCCGTCGCGCTTGACGATCAAGGCGAGGTGCGCTGTTTAGGTGTCGTGCCTTCTTTGAGGAGGCTTGGGGCCGCTTCTCAATTGATGATGAGTATTGAAGCCGCGGCTTTCCGGCGCGGTTTCGAGGCGTGTACGCTGCGCGTGCCGCCGTCCCAACAGGCCGCCGTCGCGTTATATGCCAAGCGCGGCTATTCTACTAGAGAGGACCCGCGGCCGACGGGCGCGTACCCTACAATCTATCTAGAGAAGGATTTGAGTGTCGAGGCGACGCTCGTCGCGACACCTTTGATAGCTCAGGACGCGTCGAAGCCCAAGGTGCTTCTCGAAAAGGACGAGGCGCGCTTCGCGCTGCCTGATTCTCTATTCCCGACGATGGGCCTCGTCGTCTCTATAAATGGCGAGCGCTTCGTGTGCCGGCGCGACCCGGACCCTCCATCAATGCCGACGCTATCACAGGGAACGCGCGTTTCTTTGGATATCAAGTGGGGCGCGGCGCCCGCGTGGGCGTGGCCGCGGCGCGTCCGGTCGTACGCGCCCGTTGCTGGTAGCGTCTTGACCTGCGACAACGGCCACTCGACGGTCGACGGGCCGTGCGCGTGCAACGCGGAGTGTTGTTTGTCTTAATGCTTGTCGTTTTTTGTGGTACTACTAGCTTACTATTTTACAACAGGACTACACCTGGGCCGCCCGACACCGGGCGGGGATGAATTGTCCGGCTAGCTCAGGAAGCCCAGCTCCGCGCCGTTGTTCTTCGCGAGCTTGACGAGGTTCGTCTTCAGGGTTTTGGGCGCCTGTGTGGAAATCAACCAGTGTTGGGCGAGCAGGCGTCGCGTCGATGGCGTGGAGGTCGACGCGACGATTCAGCACGAACGCGCCGTAATAATTTTTGATTTCCACACAGCTGGGCGCCTCTTTGACGAATTCGTCGTAGTCGATGACGCAATTGTCATCTTCATCCGCCCGCTTCATGATGGCGTCGATCTGCGCCTCAGATAAGTGGTAGAACCCGAGCTTCTTCAGCGCCCGCTCGAGCTCGTCGCGGTCCACGGTGCCGTCGCCGTCGAGGTCCGCGAGTTCGAAGAGCTTCTGTAGCGCCAAGCAACCGAACGGCGAGTCGCTCGTGTCGACGAAAGCTTGGATGACCTTCGTGTGCGCGCCGATCACGCGGCCGCGGAAGCTCAGGAACCGCTCCTTGCCCACCAAACGCTTGGCGAGGCGAACAATGGGCGAAAAAATCCCGTTCTTCGCCGTGCCCATCATCACGACCGTGCTGGCCGGTGTGCGGCGGCTGGCGGTGACGCCGACGTACGGCCGCGGCGCGAACGCTGACGCCGCGACGGCGCAAAGCGCGAGGAGACGAGTGCGTACCATTGTTTCAGATGGGTTGCGCGGAGGAGTTTAGAAAAGAGCCGATGACAGCGTGGCTTTGTGCTCTCTGAGATGACGTCAAGAGCGCAGCGCTGCAACGCAGCAGCAAAAACAGCTTTCTTGCGCAAGTATTGCACTACGCCGAATGCGCTGGCGAGCCAGAGGTGGTGCGAGACACCGATTTAAGACGGCTGACAGGACTCAAGGAGATCTCCATAGAGATTTCGTCAGTCGACGGCTCTCGGGATTGATGCACAGGTGCCCGTGTGTCGCGCAGCGCTCGCTCGAGCGGCCAAAATGAGTTGTCCTTGGTGCTAGCGGCCTGTAAAAGGCACTAGCCAAGCATGCAAAGCGCTGGAGCTGCAGTCGTGCACGCCGCACAGCTCTGGTCGTAGTGCAACACGGTAACTGGTAGCTCTGGTAGTGGCCAGTGCACTGCTGCGGAAGCGCTCACTGGCACTGGCACCTGCATCATGGCTGCACTCCGGCTCCTGCTCTGCACCGCACTCCAGACGTGCGTCGCGCTGTCGGCGCGCGCTGCGTGTCGCCCCTGCGCCCCGCAAGCAGAACCGCTCAAATGGATTATTGTGGGAGGCGGTCCCCACGGCGTGCACATCGCGACGGCGCTGCTGCAACAGGTGCCCGGTGTCACCACCTGTGTGGAAATTAAAATTTTACGGCGCGTTCGTGCTGAATCATCGCGTCGTCCTCCACGCCATCGACGCGACGCCTGCTCGATGGCGTGGCGATGCCGGTGCACCCGACTCACTGGTTGATTTCCACACAGGTCACCACCGCCAATTTGCGCATCGTCGACGATAACCCAGAACTCCTCCACGCCTGGAAGACGCGCACGCGGGACGTCGGCATGACTCATTTACGGTCCTCCGCCTCGAACCACCTCGACGTCCGCGAGGACGCGCTCAAGAAATACGCGGAAAGCAGCTGGTATCGACGTGGCCGACACGTCTTCATTAAATACGCATCTATTGTCGGACGGGACGCGCATCTCCGACGAACGGCGGTTGCAGGCGGACGCCGCGGCTGCTGATGAACCGATGGCTTCGGACGCCTCGCGGCGCTTGCTCGATTTCGCGCCGCACGAGCCGCGGAACGGTTTGTTGTTTCCGCCGGCCTACGAGGCTGTGAATGCAAAGCCGGTGGTCAAGGCGATCCAGCGCGCGAACACACGCGCTTCAAGGAGGAGCCGCGGGCGCGCGCAAATACGACGGGCAGCTACCCGGACCTGTCCTCCGTGTCGTCGGAGACGACGTCGCCGGGCGACGAGGGGCTGGTACCCATGACGCCTAGAATTATGCCAGGAGCTGGTGATGAATCGCCGCTGATGACGTGGGGCGCCGTCGCGGCGACGCCGCGGCGAATATTGGAGAGAGACGACCGGCGCCAGGAGCTAGGCCGCGCCCTCGACGCGCGCGCCAAGCGGCGGCGGACGGCGCCGCCGGCGCCCTCGCCGCTGCGGGTGGCGCTGGACGCGCGCAAGCGGTCGTCGTCGCGGCCGGCGCGCGGGTCGGCGCGAACGCCGGCTCGGAGCCCCGCGCCGCCCCGTCCGCGCTGATGATGTGTAAGTTGATTATGATGTATCCAGGGCTCAGGCTCAGGCTTACGCCGCGGAACCCCCCGTACCCCTCCTGCGCCCCCCGGGCCCACCCGTCCGGCTGGTCTCGGACGCAAATCGGAGCCTAGTGTATCGATACACTAGCACGAAAAAATTAACTCGGCGCGCTGTGCCTTGGTACGACGCGAGTTTGCAAATACAGCGCCGTTCTGAGTGGCATACATTAGACCGAGTCGGGCAGCATGCCTCCGCGCAGAAAAAAGGCCGCCGGTGACCAACCAGCTGCAGCCAGGAAGCGAGCAAGGCCCGCTGTGAAGCCTCCCGCGCGCGGCACGAAGACGTGCTCTGGATGTCAAGCGGAATTGCCCTCCTGCGCCAAGGAATGTGATAATTGTGGCAAGACGTTCGGCGCTGGTCCGAGGCAAGTACAACCGCCGCCGCGGCCGATCCCGCCGCGACCGCCGAGCGACGATGAAGCAGCAGAGGAGTTGCGGCGGCTCGCTCGGGAGGATTTTGGTGCCGATTTCGTCCTGGACAACGTCAAGCTAGAAGGAAACGACCGGCCCGGCACCTACAACCACGTGAAGCGAGGTCTCTGCACGAAGACCATGATGAACTGCTGCGCCGCGTACATGATAGCGTTTGGCTTCACGTACCCCATGGTTGAGACCTCCTTATGCTGCGCGTGGTGGTGGTGGAGTTGGGTGGGCGTCCTAGTGTGCTACTGGAAGAAGTACGGCTGGGGCCTGTGGTCGTTTGCCATTGACGAAGGCGGCAACCATACGGGTGGAGGTCGACCAGTAATGAGGGCGCTCGGCTTCATGGGCGACTTTGAGGATTGGGTCGCTGGGAGGACCCTTAGTGGAACGGCGCTGCGCTGCCTAGCTTTATTCCTGGACTGCTCCCTGGACGCGCTGCCTTCTGGCCTCTACATGATCCCCTGCTACGGTCCCATGCTGTCGGCTACTTTCATGGCGCTCAATTGGTATTTCCCCCTCCTCTACATCACCATCGTGTGCACGAAGCGTGGCGAGTACGTCTGTAAGGGCGCGGACCTGGGCGAAGAGGCGATGCACACGGTTCTGTCGGGCTGCTTCTTCTTGAGCCACACCGTCGTCAACAACTCGGCGTACTTTCTCTGCCCGTCGGCGTGGCTCGGGCACGAGAACGACGACCAGCCCTACTTCATCACGTTCGTGCTCCCGGCGGCGCAGCTCTACAAAAAACGCGTGGTCTGCTGGTCGATTCGACATTCTGAGCCCACGCTGCGAAATGACGAAGCCTCGCGCCGGCTCGTTGATAAGTTGAAGGCCGCGGCGCGGCTCTACAATATCCCGCTGGCGTCGAATAAAACGAACCACGTCCTGTGGGTGCTTGGTGTCGTTGATTGCTTTAGAGTGAACGCGGACGTCGTCGCGAACAGTGTGTAAATCAAACGGCAGTCGGCGCCGGCCCCGATGTATCAAACAAAGCGTTCACGCGTGCCTGACGCCTCGCTTCAACGCGAACCTACGCGAGCTCAGATCCACCACCCGCGCAGGTCGAGAATTGGAACGACGCGGAGGCGAGAAAGCTGTGCGGCTGGGCGTTCCGGGGCGGCCAGTGCGAGCTGCGGACGCTCATGGCGAAGTACGGCCTGTTGTTGTGCGGGGACGGCAGCAACAACGAGGTTACGTTCGAGGCGCTGCCCCCGGACTACTTCAAGAGCGTGGGCCTGCCCGAGCGGAGGATCGAGCTGGAGGTGCGGACGCGCATCGCGATGCACCTGTGGATCGAGGAGCACGGCTGGCTGGGCTTGTTCAAGCACGCCCTGAAGCATGGCGTGCTGCGGGTCGACGCCGGCCAGGACCCGCTCGAGGGCCTCATCGGTAGCAACAGCAAACCGGTCCACGCCGCCGTCGCCGAGCGCGTCCTACCTCCGCCGTGGGCCGCGGGCGTCGCGCGGGTCCGGCTCGCGAAGAAGCCGCTCTTCCTCACGTTCGACGACGCGCAGCGCGCGGCCATCGACGAGGAGAGCCAATCTTCGTGGCGGCGCTGGTTTGGGGCGGGTTGGTCGGCGCGGAGCTCCCTCGCCAACGCCCTGCATCGAAAGCACCATTGGGGTTTCCAGATTGGCGCCTGTGTGTACGACCCCGAGGAGCAGGAGTGTCCGGAGGCGGACGAGCACTTTAGGAGGTGTCTCGGGACGACAGCTCCTCCGAATGACGACGAGTCCCAGGGCGACGACGCGTCCCAGGACGGCGACGATCCGGAGCTGCACGAGGAGTTGGACGACGAGGAGAAGCGCCTCGCGACGGAAGCGTTAGATGCGGCGGAGGTCCCGCGCGATAGCTTCCTGCGGCGAGCGGCCAAGGCATTCGCTAGAGCGGTGCCCCGATTGTGCTCTACGGGGCCGGGCGACGTCGCCCGGGGGCCGGAGGCGCCTCGGGACGCGGCGGACGCGGGTAGTGGACCTTCGGAAGATGACGAGCGCTTCAAGTCGTGCTTAGCTTTGATGAAGAGCGGCGCGCTCCCCAAAAAGAAGACGCCGGCCGGCCAACGGCCTTGTGGTGAGTGTTGGAACGCCCTTCACAGGGGTGGTGCGACTTGCAGGACCTGTAAGAATATGGAGCGGCGGCCGGTGCCCGGGTCGCGGCGCGGGACGCGCGATCGCACTGTGCCGGGCTCGACGCCGGAATTTGTTGGAGTGAGGTCATGCAACGAGGTCATGGACGTCGAGACGGGCCTGCGCACGGACGGCGGGATGACATGCCAATGTTGCTTTGATGCGGTGTATTTGGATGAAGGTTACAGAGGACGTCATGCTACCATCGGCGGCGAGCCGTATTCTCAGTGCTACCGCAAGGAACAGTCGAGGAAGGACTCCTTTCTCGTGTCGAGGCTGAAGCAGAAGTTGGAGAAGCTGCGGCGGCAGCGAGCCGTGGGCAACATCGAGTGAGGTGCCCGCGGCCATGGTCTTGGGACGACCTTAAAAATACCCACCCAAAATTAGCAATGCCCGGGCGCTTACAAGCGGGTACGTCCTGGGATATGACGTCGGAAAACTGTCCCACCAAAATTGTTCGCGGCTTCCTACCATGGTGAAGCCGCGGCGGTTTGACAAGGCCTGGATGGAGGCCTTGTGAGCGGGGAGTAGGACCATGCCTACGTGCGCACGTGTGACGTCACTGGGAATTTACCTGTACGTTGCTTTGGATCTACCCGTGCGGCCCGGGCTATCAGACCCGGGTCCCTTCTACGACCATTACCATTACGGACCCCCGGGTCCGCTAATGCAGCCCTCCCCTTGTGGGAGTGACCGTGACAAGCCGGTATAAATGCAGAGTTGGTAGAACAGCGGCGATGCGGCACGCGACGTTGGACGCGGCGGCGGCGCGTCGAGGTGCAGCTTCTATGATCACCACCACCATAATGCAGCCTCCCCTCGCGGGGATGACCGTGACAAGCCGGTATAAATGCAGAGTCTGGTACATTCTGGTGAGGGGTTATAACCACCACACGTCGGCGGGACTTGGATGCGGACGATTTGATACGTTACACGAGTTTTATCAAAGAATAGGGTCGTGCGTCGTCGTCGTCGTTCTAGGAGCCGTGGATAGGCGTCGACGCCTGCATCCTTACAACGACCACACGCTCGTGCGGCTCGGTGGCGCGGGGGACGCGGTCGGTATCCATCGAAATTGCTGTTCTGCGTCATCGACCTAATATACGCGGGAGGCTTCGCGGCGCGGCCCCCTCGACCCCTTAACAAAAATTGTATACCTCTAGGGAATGAAACCCGCACGAAATTATCATGATATACTAGTATATTTTCAAATTTCTTAATCTGTTAGGTTCAGCAAGGCCGCGACCCCAGCCAAGACCCACGTGTCCGAACCAACTCTAGAGTCCTTGGCTAGCGGCAGCTCCAGATTTCAGTCGTGCCGAGCGCTGCTGCAACACCACTCTGGTGGCTTATCCGACTGCTCTGGTAGCTCTGGTCGTGGCCCGTGCAACGCGGCAGTCCGCAGCGCGCTGCGTAATAGCTGGCTGGACTGCTGGCAACATGACTGCTGCAGCACTCCGAGCAGCAGCACTGGTCTGCACTCTCCAGACATGCGTCGCGCTGTCGGCGCGCGCTGCGTGTAGCCCCTGCGCCCCGCAAGCAGAACCGCTCAAATGGATTATAGTGGGAGGCGGTCCGCACGGTGTGCACATAGCGACGGCACTGCTGCAACAGGTCCCCGGCGTCACCACCTGTGTGGAAATCAAAATTTTACGGCGCGTTCGTGCTGAATCATCGCGTCGTCCTCCACGCCATCGACGCGACGCCTGCTCGATGGCGTGGCGATGCCGGTTCCTCGCGTGCACCCGACTCACTGGTTGATTTCCACACAGGTCACCACCGACAATTTGCGCATCGTCGACGATAACCCCGAACTCCTCCACGCCTGGAAGACACGAACGCGCGACGTCGGTATGTCGCACCTGCGCTCGTCCGCCTCGAACCACTTAGATGTGAGAGAAGATGCCCTAAAAAAGTACGCGGCCGAGACCTGTGGAAAAGATTGCTGCCGGCCAGGTAAAAAATCGGTCTTCGCGGCAGATTACATGCGGCCTAGACTGGACTTGTTCAACGACCACTGCGACGACGTCGTAAAGAGGCATAAGTTAAGAGAGAGTCACATCCGAGGTATGGTGTCTGATATCGTGCCGGGCGCTATTACATCATTGAGAGTGCGCAGAACTGATGGCCTGGTCGACTTACGGGCGGAGAATGTGGTGTTAGCGTTAGGCGGCGGCGCGCCGGCGTATCCAGAGTGGGTTTGTCAGACGGCCGTGTCGCGAGGTCTGATCCGGCACGTCTTCGAGACAAGCTCTGAGGGAGGGGACTCGGTCGCGATAATCGGAGGAGGCATCTCCGCGGCGCACCTCGCGCTGCGGCATTCGCGTGCAGGTGCGAAAGTGCACATGGTCTTCCGCCACGACATGAGGGAGCAGTCGTTTGACTGCCACCAGGACTGGATGATGACGCGCGACGCGTCGGCGCGCACGGGGTTTATTCCCGAGCGGCAGCTCGCCTTTGCGGGCGTCGAGTCCTTCGACGAGCGGCGGGACATCATCCGGCGCGAGCGGTTGGCTGGTACCATGCCGGCCTCGGTGTCGCGGGGCCGAAACGGCCTCAGGTATGCAATTGAGAAGGGCGCGGTGCGGCACCATAAAGCCGACGTCGAGCAAATGGTGCTTGACGGCGACGGCGTCTCATTAACACTGACGACGGGCGCCGAGATTCACGTCGACCGCGTGCTGCTCGCGACGGGCTTCAGCAAAAAACCGCCCGGCGCGGGCCTCGTCGAGAGGATGGTTCGGAAAAGTGACTTGGAACTGTGCTCGTGTGGATATCCCGCGCCGGACAAGTATCTGCGGTGGGGCGACGTCTACGTCGCGGGCGCGCTCGCGGAGTTGGAGCTCGGTCCTTCTGCGCGGAATATTGCTGGGGCGAGACTTGCGGCGGAGCGGATCGTCGAGGGGGCGTTGTTGCGCCGTGTGTAAGTTGTCTGTGGAAGTCTACCTCTGTCCGAGTCTGGAACCGTTGTCGCTGGCGCGAGCCAAGTCGCGAGCCCGCCGCCCGGCGGGCGGGCCCTTGGTTGGGGGGGCTCCGCCCAGGGGCGCGCCCAGCGCCGTCCTAAATTAGCTCCCGCCGGACCTCAGTTTTTAATTGACTAAGTATTTTACTAGTACTATAACCATATTGAATATTCATGTATTTGAGCCGGCACTTTACGTCACAACACTCACTTGGCATACCGACGTAGGACCCCTGAGACAGCCTGGTTGCTTTTTGCGATGGCCGCCGGCGTCAAGCCCTTTCCATTCTTTTTGTCCGGTTTGGCGCCTTTTTCCAACAACAGGCGGGCCACCTCGGCATGACCGAGCTCGCACGCTACGTGCAGTGGTGTTGTCTTCTCCTTGTCCACTCGGTCGACCTTGGCGCCTTTGCCTAGCAACAGCCGCACCGCGTCGATCTGGCCGTTTTGGCACGCTGCGTGCAGTGCCGTCTTGCCGTCCCTTGCCGCCCGATTCACCTTGGCGCCGCGTTTTAGCAATAAATTGATCGTGTCGGTGTCTCCCGCCATAGATGCGACGCGCAGAGCAGTTCGGGAATCGCAAAGCCTGACGTCGCCCTCCAGGAGCCTCTTGATTTCGTCGAGGTTGCCCGCCTTGGCTGCAACGTGTAGCGGTTTATCCAAATGCCCCTCGAGCAGATCGATGATGGCCGAATCGTCCTTTTTCTCTGCGAAGGCCAGCGAACAGCTTACGTCAGTCACGTTGTCCAAGAGAAGCTGCACCACCTCGGTGCCCTCCTCTAAGGCGACGTACAGTGGCGTCGCGCCGTCCTTCGTCGCCCGGTCGACCTCCGCGCCTTTCTCCAGCAGCAGCCGCGCCGCGTCGACACGGCCGTTCTCACAGGCGATGTACAGCGGCGTCTCACCGTCCTTGTCCGCCCGGTCGACCTCGGCTCCTTTATCTAACAACAGCCGCGCTGCGTCGACACGGCCGTTCTCACAGGCGACGTACAGCGGCGTCTGGCCGTCCTTGTCCGCCCGGTCGACCTTCGCGCCGTTATCTAGCAGCAGCCGCGCCGCGTCGACGTGGCCGTACCTGCAGGCGACGTACAGCGGCGTCTGGCCGTCCTTGTCCGCCCGGTCGACCTTCGCGCCGTTATCTAGCAGCAGCCGCGCCGCGTCGACGTGGCCGTTCTCGCAGGCGGCGTACAGCGGCGTCGCGCCGTCCTTCGTCGCCCGATCGACCTCCGCGCCTTTGTCCAGCAGCAGCCGCGCCGCGTCGACGAGGCCGTTCGCACAGGCGGTCCATAGCGGCGTAACACCATTCTCCGTCGCCCGATCGACCTCCGCGCCTTTGTCCAGCAACAGCCGCGCCGCGTCGACGTGGCCCTCAGCGCAGGCGACAAACAGCGGCGTCTGACCGTACTTGTCCGCCCGATTGACGTCCGCGCCTTTATCTAACAACAGCCGCGCCGCGTCGACGTGGCCGTTGTCGCAGGCGACGAGCAGCGGCGTCAATCTGTCCTCATCCGCCCGGTCGACCTTCGCGCCGTTATCTAGCAAAAGCCGCGCCGCGTCGACATGGCCGTTCTGGCAGGCGGCATACAGTGGCGTCCGGCCGTCCTTCGTCGCCCGGCCGACCTTCGCGCCGTTGTCCAGCAGCAGCCGCGCTGCGTCGACGTGGCCCTTCTCGCAGGCGGCGTACAGCGGCGTCCTGCCTTTCTGCCATCCCTCTGACACCGCCCGATCGACCGCTGCGCCGTTGTCCAGCAATAGCCGCGCCGCGTCGACGTGGCCGTTCTTGCAGGCGTTGTACAGCGGCGTCCATCCGTCCTTGTCCGCCCGGTCGACCTCCGCGCCTTTGGCAGCGCGCCGCACCTCTTCCTCGCGCTGCCGCCGTGCCTCCTCCTCCTCTTCCTCGCGAGCGGCTTTCGTCGCGGCGGCGCGGCGCGCGTCCTCATCATCATTTTCGATCCGAGACCCGTCGTCGAGCGCTTCGAGAAGCCCTGCGTTGCCGCCGAGGGCCCTCGTCAAATTGTAAATCCGGTGCGCCGAGCCCTTCACCTCGAGGAGCCGCGCGAGCGACAGTTGCAGCTCGCCCACGAAGCCGGCGATCTCCACGTTCACGAGCACGTCGCGATAGCCCGAGTTCTCGACCGGCCTATTGATGCGATCCTTGGCGCGGCGGATCAAGAGATCGCCGCTCCTACCGAGCGCAAGAAGCTGAGCGAGGGCTTGCCCGCAGCTCACGAGGTCGTCGAACACGCCCGTCGCCCGCACCACGTCCACGACCCGTGCCACGTCGTCGTCATAGTCGTCGTTCGCCTTGGCGCGAATCCGATCCTCTAGTTTCAGGGGCCCTTTCTTGTACGTGCCGCCGGCCTCCTCGACGATCGGCCGCAGCGTCGCGTGGAAGGCGTCGCTCGCATCTCCCGCGCGTGCGAGCAGCTCCTCCGCACTAGCAATGGCCACGGGCTGCCTCACGATCCCGTCAGGGGGCGCGAACGTCTCTTCGAGCTCGGCGCTCGCCATCTTGAGTTCGTCGATCGCCTCGCGTTCGGCACCGCGGACGCAGTCGTCCCAAGCCCTCGCATACGCGTCGGAGTCCTTCCGCTGTTCTTCGGCGAGGAGCTTGTGGACCTTGGCGAGCTCGGCCTCCGCCCGCGCCGCCCTGTCGAGTGCTCTGTCGTCGCGGGGCGCCGTGGATGGCGCGGCGACGGCTGCCTTCAGCAGCCAGTGGTCGAGGTGCGCCTCGACATTTTCGCTGCTGTTGAACTGCGGCCGAGGGGCCGGGTCGACGGTCAAGCAGCGGCTCGCCAGATCCAGGAGCTCCGGCGCGGCGACGCTGGCCGCGTCGGGGAGGGGCGGCGGCGGCGGCGGCACGCCGCTTGCGGCTCGGGCGACCAGCTCTTTGGGCGCGAGCTCGTCCCAGGGGGCCTTCCCAGAGAGGAGCTCAAGGAGCACGCTTCCGTAGGACCACGCATCACATTTTGTGGGCTGGACGTCGGCTTCGTCGCGCAGCAGCTCCGGCGCCGCGTAGCGAGAGCCCGCGGCCGCGCGCTGGGTGGCGGCCGCGACGCCGCCCCCGAAATCCGAGAGCTTGCAGTGAACCGTCGACCGGTCCGCCAGGAGCACGTTCTCGGGGTGGAGACCGAGGTGTGAGATACCGTGCTGGTGAAGGAAGTCGAGGCCCAGCGCCACGTCGCGGGCCGCGCGGACCGCGTCGAGGCGGTTTCTGCCGAGACCGTCGCGAATGCCCGCTGCCAGCGACGCCTTCGCCAGCTCCATGACGACGTTGAGCTCGCCGTCGACCGACGCTACGCCGTACATCTCCACGACGTTGGGATTCGGCAGCTCGCGCAGCGCGAAGAGGTCCGCAGGCGCCACGCGCGCGCGCGCGTCCGCGTCGCCCCGCGCCTTCGGCCGTTTAAGCGCGACGCGCATCTCTTCGCGGCGCGACCGCTGCCAGGTCGCTGCGCTGACCACGGTGCCGAAGCGGCCTTCGCCGACCGTCCGTCGATCTCGCGCCACCTTCTCGCCGTCGAGGCGCGGCGCATCCGCGGTCACGGCCGCGAGTTCCGGCGGCTCGACGTAGACCCGCGTGCGATCGCGGAAGCTGTCGTCGAGGATCTCGTCGGCGCGCGCGCGTAGGTGCCCGAGGGCCGAGACCACCTTCAGCTTGTCGAGCCGCTTCGGCGCGACTTCGTCCACGTCCGCCTCTTCGAGCAGGAGCGCCGTCGCCGCGTCGAGCTCGTTCTCCCGGATGAGATCCACGACCACGGACGGCTTGCCGGCCTTCTCCGCGGCCTCGGCGAGGTCCTCCCAGCCCAGGTTCTGCACGCTGACCGTCGCTCCCCCGCCTTTCCCCATTTTTATTGCTCTCCTCGCTGGATAGCTGCCTAATTTGTCATTCGGCTGCTCTCGCGGCTGTAGGTAGATGCCTGTGTTGAGTGAGGGCAGCCCACAGCGCCCGGTCCCACATGCAGAGGGTGGCAAGCAAAACTCGGTTGTGGACCAAGGCGTTACGGAAACGCCAGTCTAGGAGTCAGTAGGGAGTCGTGACGAATAGGGCTCCCATTAGAAACTTAAGCGGGTTTTGTCTCTAAAAATTATACCCGGCCGCGTGGGCCGGCCCGCGGCGCCCAACCATCAAGTATCTGCGGTGGGGCGACGTCTACGTCGCGGGCGCGCTCGCGGAGCTCGAGCTCGGGCCGTCGGCGCGGAACATCGCCGGGGCAAGGCTTGCGGCAGAAAGAATCGTCGAGGGGGCGTTGTTGAAGGGGCGTGTGTAAGTTGTATTTCTGTTACATATCTAACGGGCTAGTCCTAGCGGCCGCACTGTCTGGGTGCGCGTTAACACCCACCGCCACACCCACCGCCACACCCACCGTCACACCCACCGTCACACCCACCGTCACACCGCGCCAGACATAGTAGCGGGCATAGTAGTACCTGAAGTAGTACCCCGGCACCGGCGGCTAGTCCCCCGGCACAGGCGGCGACGTAAATACCGCCACATCCTCGACGAGCTGCGCATAGTGAGCATCTTACAGTCGGGCAGCAAAAACAGCCGGAACGAAACCCGTCTGCGCTCGTCCAGTCATGCGTATTTCCGTGGGCGCAGCGCGTCGTGACTTCAAAAGTATTGCCGTGCTTACGCGCCAAGTGAAGGTCCCAGCATAGAGGAATAGGAATACAACCAGGAAGAATATGAATAGGCAGGAACATGATCGTCCAGCCCTTGGCTTGGTAGGAATTGCTGTCATGAGATATGATTTTTTCGCATGAGAAAGGGACAAATGGAAAGCACGGAAAGCAGGTACAAAAGTTTCCAGCGAACGACCGCGCGTCGGGGAAAGCATGGCTTGGAGGACTCGAATGGCCCTCGGATAGACGTCCCTCGGGCTCCGGCACCGTCTCCACGCCCATCAGCGGGCCCGACGGCGCCCGCACCTCGCGCGTGCCGCCGGTCGGCGCCGGTCGCGCGGCCCGGGCGACGGCGAAGCTCAGGACGCGCCCGGGCCCCGCGGCGGCCGCCTGGAGCTCTCGAACGATGTCGTGGCCGTACGTATTCGGACCGCAGACGAATAACGATCGGCCCGGCGCTCGGATGCTGACGAGGCGGTTCCCGACGTCGACGCGGAACGCGAGGGGGCTCGAATGCGAGACTCGGACGACGCGGTGCGAGTTGCCGACGTCGAAGTGGAGCCCTAGCCGCCCCGCGGGGACCTCGATGTCGAGGGACGCTTCCAGGCGCATCGCCTGCACCGGCACCTCCTCGTCTGTGGAACCTGGTAGTGCCGGCACGCGGATCGTGAACGCCTCGCCCGCCGCGAGGCCCGCCGGGATGGGCGCGCGGATGCTGCGGCCGTCGGGGAGGGTCGTCGTCACCACGTCGCCCGCGGACGCGCCGGCCGGGCAGCTCACGCGCACGCGCAGGTCCGTGGCCGCGGCGTCGGCGTCGGGACGCGCGTCGGGAGCGTCGGGCGCCGCCGCGCGCGACGGATCGGGCGCCGCCGCGGGTGGCGGCGGCCCCCCGAGCAGGATCGCGCGGCAGCGCGCGGCCCGCTCCTCGCTCGTGCCGCTCGTCTCCGCGACGCCGAGCTGGGCGCAGGCCGCGGCGAGGACTTGCACGTTCGTCCCCGTGAGGCGCAGGTGCGTCCGCAGGTCGTCGCACATGGTGGCAAAGGTCGAGACCTCGGGCGGCGGCGGCGGCGGCGGCCGATGGTCGGGCGCCGGCGCCCACACATAAAGCTTGTCGCCCGGCGCGCGGTAGCAGTGCGCGAGTTTGACCTGGTGGTCGAAGCGCTTCAGCACCGCGACCGAGCCGCAGAGCGACAGCACCGAGTAGCCCCCGGCGCGGGCGAGGTCCTTGAGGCCCTCGATCACATGATCCGCGCGCCAGTTCGGGATGTATTTGAGGTCCTTCTCCTGGTCCACGACGGCCACGTTAAAACCGAGGTGCTCGGTCCAGGCGCCTCCCTCTAATGCCGCGCCGTCACCGATCTCGCGCCAGCGGAGCTCCGCGCGCAGGCGCTCGTCCTCTTCTTGCAGGCGCTCTAGGTCCGTCGCCATGATGGGCAGCCCCCGCTTTGCCAGCGCGACTTAAATATATATCTTTGCTTTGCTTAGAGCTAGGCCGCCTAGCTACCCGGCCGCCGCGGGGGCTGCGTGACCGGACGCCCGCCCCGCCCTTTATTTTTGCGCAGATCTGCAGATTTGCGCGCGGGTCTTTCACAGCTCCCGTCTCCCGTCGCACGCAACAGGTGCTGTGGAGGCACCAGGCAGCCGCAGAGGTTGGTTCCGACGTCGCAAGGTGCTGTGGAGGCCCGGGGCCGGAAGCAGCAATTGATTCCGAAGTTGGGTGTGCCAGAGGGGCTGCCCAGCGCGCGCCATGCTGCTCGCCCGGGCGGCGCGGCCGCTGGCCCGCGCGCGCGCACTATCGACGCCGACCTTCACGCTCCACGCCTTCACCGACGGCAACGACCTCGGCTTCGGCCGCGGGGCGCAGTTCTGCATGCTCAATTTGAGACATGACGCCCTGTTCGCGGCTGACAACCCGGCCGCGCTCTACGCGGCGAAGTACGAAGCGCGGCGCGCACGCATAAAGCGACTCTTCGAGAAGTTGGACTCACTGGAACTGGGCGCGCTGGACCGCGCGGCGCTGAGCAAGGGACTCGACGACATCGGATTGCCTGCGTCGCCGGAACGTCTGGATAGAGTGTTCAACCAGTTTGAAAGCGGGAGCGGCAACCTGGCGCTCGAAGGATTCGAGGCGTTCCTGGTCGAGACGTGGGGCTTTCCCCTGCACGTGGAATTCTCGTCCGAGCTCGGCTCGATGGGCCTGGGAGGCACGCAAGCGATTGCCTGGGTCGGCCGCACGGTGCCGGCGCACTTTGTTCTGCGCGCGCTGCGCCAGCTGTGGCCGTTGGATGTGGAGGACATCGCCATCCTCCGCAACGACGGGCCCAACCCAGATCTGGACCCGCAAAGGATGACCTTGCACGACAGAACGTACACGCCATCAGTCGGGAAAGATACAGCGACGGCGGGCGGGCTCGCGCGGACGCTGCTCGCCCAGGACCCACTCGACAAAGGCGGCTTCGTCGTCCGCGTCACGTCGACCGGCGGAGACGTGACGTACGTACCGCTCCGGGGACTCCGCTACAGCGGCGCCAAGCCGGCGGCCGTAGCCAACCCGGAGGTGACCGGCGTCGAGTGGGCATTGCGGTCTGGTTTGGGGGCCGTTGGTTTGGGCACCACCCTTTGGTTGGGTTTGGTGATTTTGAAGGGCGGCTGATCCGTAGCCCCATTTTGTTTCCGAGCGTCCGTGCGCTCCCGCGTTTCCTAGTATCATATGTATAAATTTGCTAGTGTCTTACAGGACGCTAGCTCGGCCGCTTTGGTGGAGTTGTCAAGGCCAGCCGCCAAGCGGGCCAGCTCTGCCCAATTTCACACGTGCGTGACGCCTGGCCAGCACTGGATCCCTCTCGTGGCGTTGCGCCAACGCCTGCCCGCGCGGCACCCTAACCTCGGCACCCAACAAGGCCAAAAAGCCAGCCGCAGCGCGCGACGCCAACCATGGCCGCCAAGGACACAACTTCAAAAATGTTCGTCGTCTGCGGTAGAGATGCGGACTTACTCTACGAGGCCGAGCTCAACGCCAATTTCGACGCGGAGTCCCCGACGGCGCATTTATCGCACTTCGTGCTGCACGCGGCGCTGGATAATGTCGATCATCTCATAGCGACGACGCCCGACGTGTATTTGAGGGTCGTGGACAATTTCAACGAGAAGCGCGTCTACGCGTTTTGTACCGGCGGACATGCGAAATTCCTACTGCTCCATGAAGGTAGAAACGAGGACGCCGTGCGCAATTTCTTCAATGATGTGTATGACAAGTACGTCCAGGCGCTGTTGAACCCGTTTTATGTGCCGGACTCGGAGCTCACATCGCCAGCCTTCGATCGAAGTGTGAGAGCTGCTGCCAAGAGGTATTTGTAACTATGTGATCAGTAGGTCTCCCCCTAGTGGTGGTGTCCTTCTCCCCCGCGCAAGAGATGGTGGGGCGAGCAATGCTCGCACCTCGTGCTGCGCCCGGTCCTCATCCTCGATACCATGTGCTCTACCAACCAGCGAAAAGGCCACCGCCGAGGTCACCAGACAAATACAGACGCAGAGGAACAGCGGGTCCCTTACTTTTGCATCGCCGGGGTCGTGCGTCGACACGGCCCAGGGACCCAATGCGGCGACGGCCTGGTTGCAGACTAAGAGTAGCGCCACTTGTGTGCCCATGGATTTTGTAGGGACGTCTTCCACCAGTAACGACATGCCCGGTCCCAGCCAGCACTCCGACACGAGGATCAGGAGGAGTAAACACGTCAAAGATCCTCCAAAGGTAGAAGCGTACAGACACCCATAAGCCAGAGGGACCGCTAAGACGGCGCCGATCGCCGCGACGTCGCCGTGGGCCCCTTTGCGCCGCACGGCCCAGGCGTCGGCGATGTATCCCCCTCCTGAGGAGGAGGCGGCGCCGCACAGTAAGGTACCAAGGGCGTACGACAGCGAGAAGGCGACGGCGTCCTCCGGAAACGCTCTAGAATAGTAGGTCGGCAGGTAGGTCCATAATGAGACGGTCGCGGCCATCCGCACGGACGTCGCGCCGTACAATCCTAACAGTCGCTTGACGCGCAGCACGTAGAGCACCGCTCGTCGCAGCGACACATATAAGCTGTCGGACGGGATGGTCCGCCTCGGCGGCCGGTCGACCACGAGCCACAGTAGCGCCGCGGCAAAAATACCTACCACGCACGCCATCGTCGTCGTCTGGCGCCAGCCGACGCCCATGGCGAAGAGCAGCGAGAGTGTAGATAGAGCCGAGCCCGCATACGTCCCCATCGAATAGCAGCCGTTCGCCGAGGCGCGCTCGTGCACCGCGTAGTGGTACGCCGTTACTGGATACGCGCACGGGGCGTTGAAGCCCTCCGCGACGCCCGTGATGAACCGCGCGAGCACAAGCATGGAAAACGAAGGATAGATGACGGGCAGGAAGCCTGCCAACGCCCAGGTCAAAGCGGCTCCGGCGTGCAACCGCTTGGCATCGAGCCGATCCGCCAAATGGCCGGCAGCCAACCCAGACAGTGCGAAACACGTCGTGAAGGCGACGGACGCGAGCAGCCCGTACTGGCGGTCCGAGACACACGCGGCATCTCTGATCGAGTAGTAGGCCGCGTCGGCGCCCGCGCGACACGTCTGGCACTCGCCGCACTCGTCGTTCTCGCACACATCACACACCGGCACGAAGGCCGCGTTCTCGCATTCTTTCAAACACTGAGGTGGGATGACGCTCGCGAGCGCGTAAATGAGGTTGCGCTGCCAGAAGTTCGAGGCGTTGGCCACGGTCAGCGCCGCGAGGGCGAGCCGCCGCCGCGCCGGCGGCGGCCGCTGCTGGCGCCCGCTCTGGAACTCCGTCGTGTTTTGGTGTCCTTTCGGGTGCCGCTGCCCACGGCGCTCTTCCAGCTCCCAGCGCTGGATTTTCCCCTAGCACCGGCTGCCCCCGGCGTCGGAGTACCGGTGCGCGTGCGTGCGACGAGCTGTGCCGCCGCCGACACGCCGCAACGCCCCCAAAACGCACGATGTTTGAGGCTGGAAACCCGTATTTTCGCCTGAATTGCAGCTGAGGTTGAACGTCGCGAGAAGCGCTATTTTTTGCCTTCATGGGCAAGGGACGTGTCCGGAGTTGGCCCAGGACCGACGCGGGGTGAAGAAGTCGCGCTCGCGCTCGGACGCGGCGGCCGTGCGCAACACTGGAGCATGAATAAATCCCCGGCCGGCGCATCGACCATTCCCAATTACAAGAAACACATTATATATTACAAATTCGCCCGCCGCTCACGAGACAAGCTCCGCCTCAAGCGCCCTCGACGCCATCGCCTTCTCCCGCACGAGCTCCGGCGCCGTCGCCGTTTTGAGCGCGTCGACCGCGACGCCCAGCGCCCCGCGCGCGGCACTCCGCACCGAAGAAAGCGAAAAGGGCGCCGGCCCGCGCCTTTCTTCAAACGCCGTCGCGTTCTGCGAATCGGCCAGCAAAAGCCTTAAACGTTCGAGCCAGGCGCTCGCCGTCGCCGTCTCGAGGACTTCTGAAGAAGGCAGCGGCTTTAGTAATTTCTCCGTCAGCGTCGACAAGACGGCCGAGTTATCCCCCTCGAGCCACGCGAGCGTGTCGTACCAGCGCAAACAAGTCACGTGTAAAACGTGGTCCATGGACCGCGTCCTTCTCTGTAGAGCGCCCTCGAGCCACAGGTCATAATCCGAGGCGAGCCCCCACTTGTATTCATTATCATCGAACGCGGCGGCGCGCTTCAGTAATGATAACGGGGGCAGGGCCAGGCCCGGGTCCCGCCAGGCGTCGCCTAGCAACTCCAAGGCTCTTTGACGCGTCTCCTTGGCTACGGGCTTCGAGAGCTCGTCATAATTTGTTCTGTCGTAGTCGAGACCCCGCATATATAAGACGAGCAGCTCGCCGCAGTCGCGCCACCAGGCATTTAACGCTCGCGACGCGGCCGCGCGCTCGTACTCCCGCCGCCTCACGAAGACGTCCTCGTATCGCGAGGCCATCGCATCATCCCCCAGCCGCTCCAGAAATCTCTTCGTGACTCTCCTTTGTTGCGAACACCATTCGGTAGCATCCTGGCTGAGGTCGTAGGGCCTAGCGCGTGGATCGTTCGACGCTAGTTGGTCGCCGTCGTCCGATCTGGCGAGCGTCGGGTTGCCGTCCGCTTCTTGAGCGATGGCCCGGAGCTCGTCCTCCGAAACGACAGAGTAGCCATACTTGATGCAGAACGCGTCGTAGATGCCCACGCCGTCCATGAAATATTTACCTTGGTCTTTCTGGTCCTCCGCGACCACGGGCGCGATGTAGTCCATCACTGAAGATGCGACCCTACCTTGCTTGCGCTTCGTCGCGTCGTGGATGTCCTCGAGCTTATGGAGTGCCGAGGCCCGGAAGTTGTGCCTCAACCCAAGCGTGTGGCCCACCTCGTGCGCGACGACGTCGACCAACCCGGCCTCGACAAACGTCTTGGAGTCGACGTCGGCGTCGCCGCGCGCGGTGAGCCCAACAGCTAAGCCCTCTAACACTTCATGTGCCGACCGGTGGCAGTGGCGGTGCGCGTCGTGGCCGTGGCCGTGGTCGTGGTCGTGATCATGGCCCTGCCCGCCGTGGGCATGTCCCACGGGCGCGTGGTCGCCGCGGTCGTGGCGCCCGGACGGGTCGTGGCCGATCGAGGCCTCGTCCAACCAGCTCCCCGTGAACGCGCGGATCCAGCCCTCGCCGAACACGATGTTCGCGTAGAGGATCTCGCCCGTCCGGGCATCCACGACGGACGGGCCGATCGCCAATCCTAGGTCGGGGTAGGGCAGCCAAGTGATCGAGGAAAACCGCACGTCCCCGGGATCATACTCCGCCGGCCAATCAGCATCATCCGGTTCCACGACTTTGATGGCTTCCTCGAAGCCAATCGCTTCAAAAGCTGGCTGCCAAGTCAAGACGCCGCGCTTGATGGCTTCCCTCAAAGGTTGTGGTACGGTCGGGTCGAGGTGGTACGTGATTGGTACCCTGGGTTTGCAGAGTAGTCTCCGACCGTGAGCCAATCGACGTTCGGTGCAGTCCTCATCTTTTTCTAGACGCCTCCTGTGTGGAAACCAGTGCGTCGGGTGCACCGACAATTCTTCACTAAGTCATTTCTTCGCGATGACGCGGCCGTCCTGGCTCGGTCGAGCGGCGAGGAACCGGCATCGCCACGCCATCGAGCAGGCGTCGCGTCGATGGCGTGGAGGACGACGCGACGATTCAGCACGAACGCGCCGTAAAATCTTGATTTCCACACAGGCCGTCGCCGGTTTATCAAGTTCACTCTCCGGTCCGCATCACTATAGGAAGCATTCGGCGCGTCCGTGTGGAAATCTCTCGGGAGGGGTCCGAGCTGCTCGTACGTCGTCCCGAAGAAGCCCACCCTATCATCAGCGCGCCTCGGCGTCATCGGCTCGTCGGGCAACAACGCTAAAGAGTAGGCTATTTCTACAGCCGTCGGGTCGTTGGCGTACACATCTTCCACATCCCACAATGAACACGCGACGACGAACTGCACATTTCGGGGAAACGCCGAGACAGATCGCAATTCGAGCTCGCCGTGGCAGCGCTTCGGAATATCTACAATCGCGGCGCCTTCGTTCAGGATCCAGCTCCAGGCGTTGTATACGACTGCGCCGTCGCCGCAGTCGCCCGCCTTCGGCAGCGTCGCGACCCAGCCCACGGCACCCAGACCGTCCTCGGCGGCCGCCGCGTACGTGTCCGTCACCGGCCTTACACTTAGGGGTGGCCGCGTGACGCGCGCGTCGCCGCCGTGTGCTGATTCTCTCAATGTGAAATAGCTGTCCTCGACGCCGACGCCGTAGTGGGCAAAGCCCGCGTCGCGGCCGGTTGTCCTTCGTGTGGTAGCTATCACCGTGAACGGCGCGGAGAGCGTTTCGTTGGGGATCGTCAGGAGCAGCGACTGGCTCGCGTAGTCGGCGTGCGCGTGCCACGTCGCGTTCGTCGCGTTTCTAGCCGCGCAGGCTTGCTTGGCCGGGTCCGGCGGTGGTGGCGGAGGGGTCAGTAAGGTAGCCAGCGTGAGCTGCAGCATTTCTAGAGTGGTCGCGAGCGACGGCTGCCGCGGCGTCGCGGCGACGGCGTAGGCGATGAGTGCGACGACGACCGCGGCGCCCGACGCGCCGCAGCACGCGCGGAGCCAGCGGCGTTTCCTTTGCGGTGGTGGCATGGGTCTGCTGCCGTTGCGCGACGGGCTCGACGGGCCCATCAGTTCGATGCCGTCCTCCTCCGAGTGGTGTACTGGGTTGTACTGCACCATGGGTTACGGCGAGGTGCGGCGGCAGTTTTTTACGGCCGTTCCTGGCTTTTTAGCACCGCTGCGGTAGCGCCGGCCCAGTGGGTTTCGGAGATGAGTTAGGCAATGAGGGTTACGGATGCTCTGAGGGCGCAGGAACCGAATGGCTGCTAATTTTAGACCACAAAGGCGATACGAGCAATCGTCAGCTGTGCTCCCGACGCGAATCGCGCTGTGCGGCCTGAAGCTGCTCGCTAGTGTCTTACAGTCCGCTAGCGCTCCGCGACGCCGCACGCCTCGACGACGACGACGCGCCGCCGCCACGCGCCAAAAAAGGAAAGAAAAGTCACCAGAAGCTATTTTTATACGGCCCCCGCCCGCCCCCTCGGCCCGGCCACGCGCGTCACTTACATCATCGACGGCATGTGGAAGTTGCCCTCGAAGGGGATCATGTAGTTGCCGTCGTACGGCGGGATGAAGGTCAGGACCGGGACCGAGCCCGGGACCTTCGAGGCGCTCATGAAGCCGAAGATGCCGAGCATCGCCGCGCGGCCGTTGTTGATCTCGATGAGCCGCCCCCGCGCGCGCTTCTCCTCCGTGTCCATGCGCTTCCGGAGCGATCCAAAGGGGTCGAAGAGGTCGAACGGCACCGGGTGCGGGTAGCCCTCGCCCTCGGCGTACGCGTCGGAGAACGACGGGAACATGCCGGGCTTGCGGCCCATCATGTAGTGCGGCGCGACGGACTCGTCGAAGAGCTCGAGCATGCCGACCTGTGCGTAGAACGTCGCGTCGACGCCATCGCCGCGACCACAAAAATTCGAGTTTCGACGCTGAACCAAACGAAGAGGATAATTTGCCACTTGCTCGCGGCCGGGAGCGCGTCCCACTGCTCCGGCGGGGAGCCGGACGGCCAGTCGGCGCCGCCGAGCGTCATCTTCGTCGCCCAGTGGCCGCCGTTCGCCTGGACGCAGTAGCCGACGAAGGCCGCCATGGCCACGCGGCCGTGCTTGATCTCGGCCTGCCGGTACCACGCGATCGTCTGCTCGTTGTTGAAGCCGTAGAGCGAGCCCGACGCGCCGGCGACGTTCAGGGGATCCCAGAAGCCAATCGTGGGGTTGAGGCCCTTCGCCAAAGCCTCGAGGTCCGACTTCGACTCCTGCAGCCGCGTCTCGGCGGGCGCGGCCGCCGGGCCGACGAACGCGGCCGCGGCGGGGAGGACCGCCAATGCGACGGCGAGCTTCATCCTTCTCTCTGCCTGTGCGATGAACGACGGTGGCGGGCCCGCCCGCAAGCAGTTTTCTCGCGGGCGTTGTGTGTATAGCCAAGCAGCGCCGCGGCCAGGAGGTCCGCGGCCAGCGCTATGCGTATACGCAAGCAGCGCCGCGGCCAGGACCAGAAGTCAATCCCAGCGGTACGAGTCGCGTCGCGGCAGGATTCTTGTGTGTAGAGCAGCAGCGCGCAGCCCAGCTTCCGCTAGGCGTGGTCATCCGGTCGTCCGAAGCCTTTGTAGGTCGCCCTTTTGGCCCAAGGGCTAGGCTAGCGGGCAGCAGGCAAAACAGATGGCCAAACAATGGAGCTCGAGTGCTCAGCCGCGCCGGCGAGCCGCAGCTTCAGATTCGCAGGGCTGTCGCACCGCTCAGTTCGAATGCTATTCTCGAATGTGCAGCCTTGGGAGACTCGCAGACGCGGAGCACTGACCGCTTTTACTGTCCTTGACTCGATCCAGCCCAAAAAATGGGTTCGGGTTGCTCGCCTGCGACCGCAACAATCACGCCAAAGTTTCACCCCGGAGGCCGTTCTTCGCGATGACGGCGACTGGCAAAACGCAGGAATCGCCTGCCGGGCTCTAGAGGACACTAGACTTGCTCAGGGCAGCCCTTGGCCGGTGCAGGCGCAAAAGGCGCCGCGGCAGCCGCAGCGGCGCGCATGTACGCACGTTTGATCAAGGTGCAGTGAACTACAACGAACAGCGACGAACGGTGACGCTGCGAGGACGCGTGGGACCACACCAACTATGAGCCGCCGCCCCCACCCCAGCCAGCGCTTCATGGCGCACGCCCAGGACGCGTCGCGCAATGACGTGCTGCAGACGGAGACGAGTAAGAGTTTGAGACAGGTGCTGCGGGCCGCTCGAGCGACGGGCGCCCTCGCGCTGGCAGGTAGACGGTTGCGAGAACTACCGGTGGAAAGCTACGCCCCGACGCCGGACGATTTGGACGAGGGCGAGAAGTTCTGGGAGATCGTCGAGTTGAAATCCTTCGATTGTTCCCACAATAAGTTAGATGAACTGCCTTCGGATTGGCGCGCAATTTCGACGCTGCGACAATTACGAGTGGCAAGGAACTCTTTAAGTATGCTGCCGGAGGCCCTGCTGTCGGACCTGCCTGCCTTGGAATTGCTCGACGCGGGCGACAACCGGCTGCGGAGTTTACCTCCTGTACCCGCGGCGGGTTGTGCGCTCAAGACGTTGTTGGCACCTAGAAACGCGCTAGAAAAGCTAGAAAGGTGGAATATTTGTGAGTGTTTGACGCTCGAAACCCTGTCGCTATCTGATAATGAGCTGATTAAAGTCCTGCCGTCACTGCCGAAGCCGTTGCGAGCTTTAGATGTTGAAAATTGTAGTTTACAACACCTCCAGCCCACCCAGTTCCTCGAGACGCTCGCGGCCGCTAGGAACAAGCTGAAGGGCGTGGACGTGGGCGGCCTGCAAAAACTGAAATATTTGGACCTGCGCCAGAACGAGTTGCAAGGCTCTTTACAACTCCCGTCCTTACCCGCGCTGGCCGAGTTATTCATAGGACACAACCAGCTGCAGCACTTCGACTTGAAGCCGTCGCCATTAATAGCGACGATCGACGTCTCTTCCAACAGTCTACAAAAGCTCCCCGAGAGTCTGGGCCGATGTATCAATCTCAGAGCCCTCGACGCGTCGAACAACGACCTCGCGGAGTTGCCCTGTTCCCTCGGCACCTTACCGAAGCTGCAAAGGATCGCGCTGGACGGCAATCCGTTGCGAAGCGTGCGGCGCGACGTGATAGAACGCGGCTGCGAGGCCATCAAGGCGTTTTTACGGACTAGGGCAGCGACGCCGGCCGAGAAGACCAGTGACGATGACTTCGACCCCCTCGCGCTGGCGAATAGGGTGCGGGACCCCGTATGCGTGCGGCGTCTTTTTTTTACTTCGGATGCCGAGCTCTGCTGCGATGCCATCGACGCGAGTCGCATCGATGGCGTATCACCGATAAACCCCGCAGGACGCGCGCGGCGTCCTGAACCTCGCCGGCAAACATTTACGACATTGGCCGCTCGATCGGGACGTCTGCGCGAAGGTGCGCGAATCCCTAGAACAGGACGAGGGCCTAGACGCCTACGTCGACGACGCCCAAAAAGCCTCAAGGACGGCGCGCGTCAAGAGTATTGATATCTCAGAGAACGCCCTGTCCGAATTACCGGAGGCGTCGTGTCTGCTGGCTCTAGGTGATAGTTTGCGAGAGCTGAAGTGCGCGCGGAATCGCCTACGCCAACCACCTTTGCTGAGTTTGGCCAATGTCCCGCTCAAGGTGTTGGACGCCTCGCGCAACGAAATTACCAATGATGACGCCGACACGCCGCTGCCGGACGCGTGTGCCCTCGCGAGGAATCTGTCCGAGCTCGACATGAGCGGCAACCGGTTGATACGCATTCCCCGATCTTTATTTGGCTTGCAGGCTTTGAGAAGTGTCACCCTGGCTCGGAATGAACTCTCGGGCGACTTAGGCCGGGGCTGGGCTTCACTATTAGCGCTCGAGACGCTGAACCTGGCCGACAACCGACTAGGAGCTCTAGGTGATGTTCATAAAGCCCCAGTCCTCCGAACGTTGGATCTGGGCAACAATTGTTTGCGGAGCGTCCCGCCCGAGTTGGGATTATGCGACTGCCTGCGCTCCTTGATCCTGCACGGCAACCCGCAGCGCGCCATCCGCGCGGAAACGCTGCCAAAGGATACGCTCAAAGTACTAGCACGGCTGCGCGACCGGTTACCCATGGATGTCGTCGAGCGACACATGAAGCGGGAGGAAGATCTACAGTCAATAGAGGACTCGCACGAGTCTTTTGACGAAAGGTATACCTCCCCGCCGCCGCCGACGGGGCCGCCGCCGAAAACGGGGTATGGGAGCACGCCACCGCCCCCAGATGGCCCGCCACCCGTCCTATCGGACTACGCGCCTCCTTCCGCGGCGGCGCGCCTATCTTCGGCCGTCGACAATAGAGCATGTCGAGCGATGGCCTGGTCGCCGGCACCGGGCCAGGGCCGCGCGATGGCCTGGAGCCCCCAGGACGGCCAGACGATCGAGCGAAAGAAGAAGCCTCTACCAAGGGAGAAGAAACGGAAACCTTTCGAGTCCGTGCGAGCGCCGCGGCCGGTCTTATCATTACCGTCGCCGGTCCTAGGGAAAGGCGTGCTACCGCGCCAGTCGCCTCGGACAGAGGAGAAGAAGGAGCTGAAACCCAGCAATCGGCCGCCCGCGATTGGAAGGTCGTCCAAACCGTCGATCGCGCCCGAGGACACCATTACGTTGAAAGGTCTCAACGAGCGCGTGTCTTCCTTGGATGCTCGTTTAACCGAAGATGGGGCGTCGCTGTCGCAAGCGAAAGTCTACGCCCTGAAGAAGCAGCTGGCGCGCGCGAAGGCCGATAGAATTCGGTTCGAGCGGCAGCTCGCGGCGGAGCCGGACACGTAACTTTACTAGTATGTAGTACGCCGCCGCCGCGAAGACTAGAGAGACCATACTTAGCAGAGCTGCAGCTGGAGCCCCCGCCGCAGCGCCTGGTCGCGGAACGGCCCCGCGAAGCGATACAATAATTGGGCCTCCCCGAACTTGTGCTCCCTCCCTCTTTCAATCTCCTTGTAGATGCGCAGCCAGGCGTCCCAGTCGTCGGGGTCCGCGTCTACCGCGTCCTCCGCCAAGCCCGCCACGTCATCATCAACAAGCCCTCGTACGGGAGGCAGGACGTCATTCGGTGGATCCGCGTCGACCACAATGATGGCCCTTATCGAAACCCAGGGCCCGAATTTTTTATGCGCACATAGACCGCCTGGTAAAATTTCGACCAATCCTGCCAATGCCGCACACGCCCGAAAATCTACGGCGTCGCCAGGTTGGTCGTCCCAGACGTCCGGTAAATCACCAACGGGTCGTTGGATGGGCTCCTTGGCGTGGGGGCACTTGGGATGGTGGCCCATGGCCGACAGATAGCCGTTGATCGACTTGCAGCCTGGTAAACAATCTTCGTGCAGCGTCTGCCGTTGACCCCTTGTAAAGTGCGTTTCCTTCAGCTTCTCAAAGTCCAGGAACTTGTAGTCGCCCTGGTGCGCGAACTCGTAATGTCGCTGCGTCCTTCTGTGTAGGTTAGCGTCGTCGACCGCCTCCAGCACGGCCTCCTCCACGAACGAGTCGAAGGCGTTTAGCCCTCGGCTGTTGTTCGGGTGGTCGGGCCAGGCGCTCCGCGGCTCGCAGCGCAGGAAGTACTGCCAAATATGTTTTGAACTGCCGACCGCGAAAGCCAAAGCACCGTTCCGCCGCCCGAAGTCGTGCAGTTTTTTATTCGAAGTGGTGTCGTTGTAGGCCTTCGTCGAGAAGGCTGCAGACAAGTCGAAGCCCTTCTTGTACAGGGCGGCGGGCAGGAGCTTCTCGATGTCATTGTCTAGGGCTGCCATTGACTGCTCGCGACGGCTGCCCGGGCGCGGCTGTTGGTTTCAAGGTTGTCGATGCTAGCTCTAGGGCCCGAGGCTCGATTGATGCCGCACGATGGAAAGCCGCGCCCAGCGCCGGCGCCGCTGTGGTATTCGTATGGTATCGTATGGTATGGATCGTGCCGGGGGGGGGTCCCCCGTCGCGTCGATGGCTTCGGCGGCCCCCTCGACGCCGTCGCCGCGACGCCATCGGCGACTCGCGCGGGACGCTGCGGTTGGCACTCCCGACGGACGGCGCTCGTCGCCGGCCGCGCCCACGAAAGCCCATAATTACTACGGAAGTTTTACACGACTAGTCTACTCCGCGGCCACGTCCCGCGTGAAAATCCACTGCGTGTGGTGGTAGGAGACCATCTTGATCATGCCCTTCTCCTGGAGCTCCTTGATCGCTGCCCGCGCGAGCGCGCCGTTGATCTTCAGTCGCTCGACGAGCGCCGACGGCGTGATCAGCTTCATTTTGGGCACCTCGGCCAACAACCGCGCGTAGGTGTCCTCGTCGAACAGCACCTTGTTCGCGACCTGGTCGCGGACCTTGCCCTTGGACCACTTCTTCTTCTTGGACTTGCCGCCGGCCATGGCGGCCGCCATCTTGGCCTCTTTCGACTTTTGTTGGACCTTGGGCGGCATCTTTGCGGTCCCTCCTCCTCAGTGCTATCTGTTCAGTGTGCCTGCGGGTGGCGGGCGGTGAGCGCTCTCGAGTTCGTGCGGTGCGGCGACGGCGTGTTGGGTGTGAGCGCTCTCGAGTTCGTGTGTCGACGGCGTGTTGGGTGTGCCAGGCGCCCGCGGCAAGGGTGCAGAGCCAGCGTGTAGCCGTGCTCGGCGCGCTCGAGTAGAGCGGCGGCGTGGCTTCGTGTGGTGCAGCGACGCGTGCTGGCTGGGCCAGGTGGCTGCGCTCGGGGCGCAGAGCCAGCGCGTGGCCGTGCTTTGCCGCCGCGCCGTGTTTTTTAGCCGTATAAGCTGCGCTTTTGTGAGCTCGCTATATACGTCGCCTACGGCTCCGCTGGCGGCCCTCGCTTCGCACACCCGTGTTCGCAGTGGTTCAAAGGGCTCCGGTAACACACCGAATCGGTCTATCAGTCCTCCCGCGCAGCGTAGTTTGCAATAAACTCGGCGCTCGCTGGTCTGAATTAGCAAGTTTAGGCAATCCCGAAACTAAAAGCAAACAAAGGCGTCGCAGCCGCCTGCCGGCCCAGGAGAGCGCTCCGCGACAGGTGGAGGGCTTCGTCGATTTTTGAGCTAGCGGTGAAAGACACTAGCGCAAGCAGCAGCTCGGACAAACAACTCGCTTTTTGCGAGCGAATTTGCACGAAAAAATCAGAATTCGCATTGCTGTGGACTGCCACACGACCTATCATCGCAATTCTACAATCAATTTGCCCCCGCTGTACTGCACTGCCCACACTCAGTGCGCACCCTCATAACACCGAGCACAACTCGCGGCGCGAGCACGCCATCGCAGCGATGGGCGCCAGAAAGCGCGAAAAGGCCCAGGAGAAGAAGGCCAACACCCGCAAGAAGCAGGCGGACTACGAGCGCCGCCGCGACGCGTACAACGCGAAGCGGCGGCAGGCGGGTATGAGCGTGTTACGGGGGCTCCATAGAATCTTCCTCGTGATTCTGGCGGTCGGCCTGATGATGCGCTTCGCCCGTTTTAAGTTAGAAAACAACGAGAAATTGACGCGGACGACGTCCAATGAAACACTAGTAACAATCAGACGGGACGTCTTCGGGGTCGCCGTGCGAGCGTCGTTAGATACATGTGCTGTTGGAGGCTCTTTCACTAGTAAGGGTCTGACCGAGGCCCGGTCGAAGCTAAAATGCCTGTGGCCCCTCATGTCCAACAGAGATCCGAACGCGACGTACTTTGTTCTGAGAAGAAGAACGTGCGAGGCGTGGCGGTTAGCTGTCTTCCGGCCCGTCGTCGGCCAGGCCTACGCGGCGCACTCCATTGATATATGGTCTGGAGATAATGTATCTGCCGCGTTACTGGACGAGAAATGGCTAAATGACAAGGGCGGACAACGGCAAGCGCGCGAGGATTTAGTCAAGAGTTTGGATGCGGCCCCCTTCAGCGAAGGCGGCTGGAAGGGCTCGGCCGAGATTCTACAAAGAGCGGCGCATTTTAGGAGGCGGGACGACGACTCGTCGTTCCTGGCTTCTCTGGCGAAAGTGTCTCCACCGGAAAATTCGCTGGTACGATTGAGGGGCGACTCATTTTATCGCGTTAGTGATGCTGTCGTACTGGAGCAGTACCGCGTGCCCGAGCGTTCGTTGCGGCGCGTCGATCACTGGAGAGAGGAGACTAATGTCTGTTGAAACTTACTTGTACCCTGCGCGATGGCGTGGCGATGGTTCCACGCCATCGACGCGGCGTACATATGGGGCTAGGCGTCAATCAAACTTACTTGTACCCGCTGTGCACCGCCACAACTCCAAAGGTCATGTCCCGCACCGTCGGCGACTTGAACCCCGCCATGGCTAACTGCGACAACAGCTCCAGTTGCGACGGGTGTTTTCTGATGGACTCGACCAAATAGTCGTAGGACGCCCTATCATCAGCAACCCGATGACCAATTTCTGGAATAATATGCTTCGAGTAGGCGTCATATAAAGCTCGGAGCGGGGCGGGCTCGACCTTACTAAATTCCAAACACTCGAAACGACCTCCTTTTTTGAGTACTCGCCGCATCTCTCTCAGAGCCGCGTCGATGTCCGTGACGTTCCGCAGACCAAACGAGATCGTAATGACGTCAAAGGTCTCGTCCTCATAGGGTAAGGATTGGGCGTCGCCGACCTCAAATTGCAGACAGGACGCGTCGATGCCCCTTTGTTGCTGCCGTTCGCGACCAACGCTCAACATCTCCTCGTTCGGATCCGACACCGTCAAGGGGATGGCACCGTCCTCCTCGAGCGGCGGCAGCCACGCCGCCAGACTCTCGGCCATGCGGAAGGCGATGTCACCCGTGCCACCCGCGACATCTAGGCATCGCGGCGCCTGGCCCGTCGCCCTCGCTACCGCGGGCAGGTTCAATCGCCCCACGAAGTCGTCCTTCCAGAGCCGGTGCATGCCGCCGGACATCAAATCGTTCATGAGGTCGTAGTTGTTCGCTACCGAACTGAAGACGCCTTTGACGAGGCCGGCCTTTTCCTCCGTCGGTACGGTTCTATCGCCGAAGTGCGTCGTCGTGCTGCTCGCGCTGCTCGACTGGCGTGCCGCGACGGCGCGCGCGTGGCGCGAGGCTTGGCGCATCAGCATGGTGATTGAGAGAGCTGCTGGATTGGAGCTAGCTGGGTGCAGCGACTTCGATCGCTGTTGGCGTTGGTGGCCTGAAAGGGTCGCTTGGCTTCGTTTCTTTGGCTTCAGGCTGCACTCGTACGCTCGAACGCGACGACTTGCGCGATGAGGTGTCGAGTTAGCTAGCGGTGTAACACACTAGCAACGTACTAGCCTGAGCCTGAGTGGCGGAGCGGTGTTGCGGCACGTCCACGTTTGGCGAGCGGTACGAAAGCTAGCTCAAAAGCGACTTTCTCTCTCTCTCACGCCATCGACGCGACGCAGAGCGGCACCGTTTCGTAAGACGATTTCATGTCACTTACTCCTCGGCGCGCAGAACGCCCCGCGACACCGATAGGTAGTCCGCGCGAGGACCTCGGCCCTATTGGTCTTCGACACCAGACCAGGCTTCGCCGCGATGGCCCCCATCGATTCCAGCGACTTCTCCGCATCTAGTAGAGTTTGCAAGTCGTCTTTCCGAGGCTTCGGCTGGCCGGCCGGCTCGCCCTCTTCGGTAAGAAAGGAGAAGGCCCGCCGGAACGACGACGGCCCGGCCTCTATATTGTTTTTGAGGTGCGCGGGCACGACGCGCCTAAAATCCCATTTGCAGACAGCATCGACCCAGTCCAGCGTCTCCACCGGATTTCTGTTGAGTATGAGCGTCTGGATGATCGGCGCGACCAGTAAAGCATCTTTGCTATCACCAGATAAAGCCCGGAACGCTTTCACATCATCCCGCGCCCAGTCCCACGGGTAGATACCGGCAAAGTCCGCATTGACGTCCGGCCGCCGCTCTGACCAGGACTGAGGTACGGAGTGAATATCAATAGCAGCAGGCATGAAATATAAACCAAAAAGTTGTACTCGGCGCCATCCTTTTCGTAATTGATTCATATCGGACGGGTCGATCCTATCAAGAATGCCGTCGCGGGCATGGTAGAGTAAAGGCTTCTTCGCGGCTTCGTCGAGCAGAAAGATCTTCGGGATGTCTGCTGAGACTTGCTGCACGGCGTCCGTGACGAAAAGAGATTTCGTGGGTTTGTGGAAGAAGGCCGTCTCGCCGTAGGCGCCGTCCCGCGAGATGAAGGGCCCCAAGGTCGCCTGCTCGAAGTCGTGGGCCCATGGGGTGTCCGCCGACGATGCCTGCGCGGAACGACGCCGTCGCGGAACTCTCCCTGACGAGACGCGTAGACTCCCACGCGGCCACGTCGACGGCGTCGAGGCGGTGCGGTCTCATGAAGACGCCATCGCCGCGACCCCGGCAAGTTCAAGTTCATTTTTCACGCAGAGTCAGCACCGGTAGGACTCTCGTCCTTCCGACCGGGAAGCCCGTCAACTCCGGAGGTAGATCAAGAGGAAAGTCGTACTGCCCCGGCTGGAGCCACACTGTCGCCTGGGGAAATTTTTGAGAGAAGACGCCGGCGTACGTCTTGTGTTCGATGGCTACGGTCCCGAGCACGACGTGCTTGACGGGGCCGTGTTCTCTCTCCAGCGAGCGGACCATGTCCAAGAGTTCGCGCGTCGCGGCGATCGGGTTCAGGATCCAGAGGCCTCCTCCACTCAATTTCACGATCGACATCCTGACTGGAACTTGCACGTTCAGGATGCCGAATTTCTGGTCTATGGTCCAGACCTGACCGGGTACGATCGTCTCCAGCGGTGCGGACCGCTTCGCTTTGTACGGTCCCACCGGCAGGACGCCCCACAGGCCATAATCATACGGTTGAGGCTCGCCGCTCGCCGCGGCGCTCACCGCGAGGAGGCCGCCGCCCACCAGCGCCGCTCGGCGGTCGACTCGTGGTTCGTCGGGGACGTCGTCGAGCGTGCCCGCGTTTTGGATGGTGCGTCGCTGCGTCTGCGGCTGGCTGATCGGCTGTAAAGCCAACGCACAGCTTGATGCCCATAACACAGCGAGGGCGGCGCCACGCATCGCGATTTTCGCTAGGCGTCCGTCCAGAGCAGGGATGTACACGAGAATCCAATTCCTGAGTCGCGTCGGCAGCGTTACGCGGAGGTAGAGGCCTGATCAAGCAGCCAGGTCACCGCTCTAGTAGGTTACGCTAGACAAGGTCGAAGTTAATGTGGGCGAGGGTAGCTCTCAAGGGCAGAGCAATTGACGGAGAGACTCACGAGGCGCGCAGAGAGCTCCAAACGCTGCATTATATACCAGCAGCCCCGCGCTTGACCTTTCCGCGATCACAGAGCGATAAGCACTGCGAGAGCAGCAACTGCAGCGCAACCATGGGCAAGAAGTACAACAAAGGACGAGGCGGCAGCGGCAAACGAGGAGGCCCAAAACACACCGCGAAGGCCACCGTCAAAAAAGGCTCGAAGGCCCGCCTCGCAAGGTTCGGCAAGATCGCGAAGCAAGGGCAAAGTGGCATCAACAGCGCCTACATGACGCGCGGGACCATTCTGAGGAGGCTGCAGCTCACGCTGAAAGATTTTAGACGCCTATGTATCTTGAAAGGAGTGTATCCGCGCGATCCCCCGAAAACGCCCACTGCCGGTAAAGATAAAGTCTACTACCACGCCTCGGACATCCAGCAGTTGGCGCATGAACCGCTGCTCAAGGAGTTCCGCGACTTCAAGGCCGCCATGGTCAAAGTCCGGAAAAGCGTGGGCCGGAAGGACATCGATCGGGCAAGATCGAGGTACGAAGAGGCGCCCCAATACGATGTACATCATCTAGTGAAAGAAAGGTACCCGACCTTCGATGCGGCATTAGCTGATCTAGATGACGCCTTATGCACGATCGCGCTGTTCGCGACTCTACCAGCCGCGGGTCGCGTCTCGCCGGAACACACGTCAGAAAGCAAGAAAGTACTAAAGTGGTGGCAGCAGTACGTCGCGCATTCCCACTCCCTGCAGAAGGGCTTCATCAGTGTGAAGGGCGTGTACTTCCAGGCTTCTATCCAGAAACATACGGTGACGTGGTTGGTGCCACATAGCTATACGCAGGACGTGCCTAAAAAAGTGGACTTTAGGGTCATGCTTACCTTTTTGGAGTTCTATACCGCTTATGTGAAATTTGTACTTTATAAGTTGTACAAGGAGTCTGGTCTAGCCTTTCCGCCCGCTACGGCAGACACGACGTCGCAGTTCTTCGAATTAGTTGGGAGTGACCACGAGGGCCCGTTGTCCGGTTTATCTTTGTCTTTGCGGCGGGAGGCGTCCTATTCTTGGCTCGACTTCGCGGCTTGTAGTGCCGGTGCTCGAATTGTTGATGAAGCGGAGTGTACGCATATCGTAGCTGATCGAGTTCTGAAAGATATTGATAGCAATAAGGAGCACGTCCAGCCCCAGTGGGTCATCGACTCCTTGAATGCGGGCCGGGCGAAGCCCTGCGCGCCGTATCAACCGGGTGGTAGTGCGCCGCCGCATTTGTCACCGTTCGTCGAAGCCGACGACGAGGAGGATAGTGATAGTGAGGACGAGGCCGACGCGCCGCCTTCACCAAAACCGGAAAAGGAGGCCAAGGACATGGCGAAGATGCTCATGTCGAAGAAGGCCAAAAGATTGTATGGCAGGATGCAGCACGGCCGCGAGCGCAAGCAGGCCGCCGTCGCGAGATTACGGAAAAGGAGGGAATTGCTGGCCGCGCGTTCTAGGCAGTAGTAAGGGGGAACTCTGTGAATCTACGCGACTAGTTACCGGCAAGTAGAAGAGCACCTGCTCGCGGCGCGCGCGTGACGGCGTTGGCGGCGCGGAGCCTTCCTCAAGGTATCGCGTTGATGGCGTAGAAGTGGTGTGTGCCGCCTCCTCCACGCTATCGAGCAGACGCAGCGCCAGAGACATCGTCGCGTCGACGGCATGGACTGGCTGCGGTGACGCGTCGACTCGCGAGCCGTCTCGCCGTCGAGCCTGAGGCAGTACTAGTAAGGAGGAACTCTGTGAATTTTACGCGATCGAGAGATAACTACTTCGCGGCGAATAAAGTCTTCTTCTTCAGGGGTGACGGCGACCGGTTCTTGACGGGCGTGCGACCTTTGGGGACGGGTTGTGGGCTTCTAGGACCGTCGATGCGCACGCTCAGCAAATGAATCGCCTCCTCCGCGGCCATGACGGACCAGTGGCCCGAGAAGGGATCTGATAAATCGCGCAACACGAAATAGAAGAGCGCCGTCGCGGCGACGCCGGACGCAAAAACCACGGCTTCGACCCACTCGTTGTCTAGACTTACAAGTGAGAAGGACGCGCCGATGAAGAGGGCTAACGTTTCTAGCGTGCGCCATTGTAATAACGGTAAATCGGCGTTGATATTCGAGATTCTTTTCGCGGCGCACCGGTGCACGTCTCGTAACGTTTGATGCACCGCAGCGGCGGCGCTTTCCGAGGTGATGGGCCCGTCGGCTACTAGTCGCAGTAAGTCGCCTAGTTTGACGGTCTTGCCACCAATATCAAGCTCAACAATCAGTGTAGCCGCATTCGAGAGACCGCCCGCCAACAGGTGGTCCGCGTAGGCCTTGATCATGCGCTCGCCGGACCGTAGAGCCCGTTCGTCCGCCAGCGTCGCGCCCAGCGTCTCCCAGAGCCGCCACAACGCCACTGATTCTTCGAACGCGGCGTCCTGAATCGCGCCTTGTCTGGCAAAATAGTACTCGTAGGTCTGGCCGATCATCACCGAAAAGACGAGGCCGACGACGGCCTGCATGACGCCGAAGCCGTCGCCATCGATCGTCTGGAGCCCATAGTATGTTTTTAATGGTGTCGCGAGCTGCTTGTGTGTTATTAAGGTAATAACGAACAGGAGCAGAATCCGCACGAACAAGTTCTTGACGATGTCCGGGTCGTAGATCATCCTGTATAAATTGGGTGGGGCCGGTCTCGAATGCTGCTTGCTGGGGCTGCCGGGCGTCGCGAAGGACACGGCCGGCGGCGGCAGCGCGAGGGGCGGGGGCTCGGGATCGGTGGTGCGCATGGGGCTGCCCCGGGGGGCGCGGGTCGGTGCTGCGGGGGGCGCGCGACCGGTTGGGCCGCCTCGCTGCCTTGTCAAGCCAGCGGGAGCACCAGTTGCGGCGCGGGGCTGCCTCCTCCTTGCAAATGGCAAGCAAGCAGAATCAATAAATCTCGCGCTAGCTAGAAAACCGGTCGTCCCACGCGTGATTCGTCTGTGACGCCTCGGTGAGGCGTTGCTATCGAGTCCCCGGCGGGGCTACGTTCAAATTTCATATTCGAGCGGGTTTCGCGGGGGGTTTGGCCGTCAAAACATCGTTTGCGTCGCGCATTGCTGCCCGCGTGACGCATACGCGCATACGTTCCCAAGCTCGCACGCCGCGGCTGCCCGACGCCGTCGCTGCAGCAGAGCCACCCAGAACGGCTGCCCAAAGCTGAGCTGGGCCCAAAGCTGAGCCGGGCTGTCACAAAGCTGCCCGAGGCAGAGCAGCCATGGTGAAAGCCGGCGTACCTGGCGCTACTTATCAGTGGTCCAGTCAAGCCGCCTTCACGAAGATCGAGCGCCTCACGCCCCGCGTCTGGCGCGTGGAAGCGGACGACGAGTCGTGCACCTATGTCATTGTCGGTACGGAGCAAGTGGTGCTGGTGGACGGCTATGCTTCAGCTTACGGCCCCTGGGTCGACAGCTTCTTGAAAGCGGCGCTGCCTCACGCATCGAAGCTGCCGCGGTTGTGCGTCAACACGCATCGCGAGCGCGCCGGCGGCAACGCATCTTTACAAAAACTCGGCGTGGAGGTCGCGGCTTCAGCAAGGCCTAGACCGGCGGCCCAACATACCTTCGAGCCCTACACTATTGATCAGTGGCTCCACAACGAGGAGGCCATTGATCTAGGTGATGATCACCAACTGAAAGTGCTCCAGACGCCGGGGTACACACCAGACTCATTGTGTCTCTGGTATGCGGAGGACCAGATCCTCTTCACGGGCGCCACGATCATTGCATCCGAGGGGGAAGACACCGAGGCGCTGCACCGGTCCGCGACATTACTACAAACCACGTATCGCGGGCGCGTCGCCAAGCAGCAGACGCATGAGAGGAAGGCGGCATCAATACCAAAGCCGACGCCAAAGAAGAAGTCGCTCTGGGGCACACTGAGAGGGGCCACGTCGTTGCTCCGGTCGGGTTCGAAGCAGCGCCTCGACGAGTTGCCGACGCCCTCGAAGACCACCAAGTACCGGACGACGCGCGACCACCGCGCGCGGCTCGTCGCCTTCTACGAGAAATATGACCCCTCGAAACTAAGTTCGGTCGATGCCGTGTTAGAGGCTTGTGCGGGCAGCGAGGTTGATATGTGGAAATTGTTGCGGGCGACGTACGAGCCCATCCAGGAGGAGGCGAAGGAGGCGCCTCGGGTAAGGGTGCGCGCCGACGCGGCTTCGGAAGCATCGAGCTTGTTCGATCTGCGCGACTCGCTTAGTCGATTGGCCTTCGTCGCCGAGGACGTCAAAAAAGTATGTGGAGGCCGCGGCCCGGTGCTCGGACGCGACGCTCTCGTAGATTTACTGAAGCTCGTCGAGGACGCCGTCACGCGCAAGGTGAAGCCTGTCGAACGGAGCGCTGGGATCGTGTTCTTCGAGCGAGGGGACGCGTCTTTTAGAGCGAGGGCCTACGAGCTCCAGATGTGACCCTCGCGCCCTCCTCTCGCGGCGACGCGCTGTCGGCGACCCTCGCGCTGTCGCGGCGATGGCGTCACGCTCGCGCCGCCGATGCGACCGGGAAAGTAAGAATGGTGTGTGTCTTAGATCCCCCAGACCTACTTGCCGATCGATACCAGCCCGCCGCCCCCGTCCACGGCCACGACGCCCTGCGCGTCCGTGAGGAAGCACGCACCAATTGAACTCGTTTCGACCGACACTAGGTCAGACCAGGGCTTGACCTCGCGCACGACCACATTAGTAGTGGTACTCACGACTAAGTACTTGCCCGAAGAATCGAACGCCACGGAAGCACCCGCACCGTCAACCTGGAAGCTTTTCAGTTCTTTGAGCTTCCGCAGGTCCCAGAGCTTCACCGTACCCCCTTCGTCACACGACGCGAGGTGGTAGCCGTTCTCCGAGAAAGCGACAGATGATATGGGTGCCGAGTGCCCGTCGAAGGCGTGCACGGGCTTCTGGTCCTTCACCTCCCAGACTTTCACTCTGTGAGCACCATTCGTCGAAATTGCAGCAGCCACGATCATCCCATCAGGGTGAAATTTGATGGAAGAGGTCGCCGCGTCTCCGGGGTCGACCGAACTTTCAGCCAGTACCGTTTTGGCTTCCAACGAGATCAGGGACCAGGCACCCGTAGCTTTGAGGGCCACGGCATATTTACCGGTGTTGTGCGCGTCGACACTTTGGTACGTGCCTTGAATGGTCCCTTGCTCCTCCATACTTGATGAATAAATAGTGATGTTGTCACCACACGTTAGTAACCCTTGGGGCAGGAAGCAGGCGCCTGAGGTCGGTTTGTCCACGACCAAAGGTTTTTTCGCCGAAGAGCAGTAGGCAATGCCCTGCGGGCCCCAGACTAATGTGGAGCCGGACTTGACGTCGTGGGCCAGACCCGACGCGCTTCCGAGGACCTTGGCGGGCTTTTGCGGAGACCAGGTCTTGATTTGAGATGCGGATGCCAATTGCGCGGGAGCTTTTCTCTTCTTTCGCGTCTTCGACGTCGCCTTCCAGTAGTCTTGCAGACAAGCGTAGGCCTGCTCCAAGGCGGCCTGGTCGACCTGCTGCGTGACTACTACTCCTTGACCTGATCTAGCCAGTGCCAATGCATCATCACGCTCTTTCGTTAATCTCGCTATGACTCTACAAGCGGCGTCGTGCTGGTATAAAGCGTGGGAGAGTTCTCGCCGCGTCGCGTGCAATTGCTTTCGTGTCGCGTGGCTTTCGACGACCAAGTCGTCCCACTCGTTCTGGAACATCGCGAGCATAGCTGGTAAAGATGTGGCCGAGAGCGGTCTTGGCCTCTGGGCCAGGTCGCAGGCGACCGGGAGCAGGTCTTCCGGTTTTAATTCTTCTCCGGTCACGGGGCACCGGTTCTCAGACGCTTGGAGTGCCTTTTCGATTAAACGTCTCTCGAACAGGTGGCCGGTCTTCCGGCTCACGACGGGTTGCTGGGGGACCTCGCCGGAGATGGCGCAGTACATCTTATTGGCTGTTGTTTTTTTGTGTTTAAGAGGGCGCGCGGCGCTCGCTGGCGCTTTGGGCTGAGGCGGCGACGGCCCTGTTACGGGCCCTGGCGCACCGAGCGATGCGAGGCGCTAGTGTTTTGAGACAAGCGACACTCCAGGCAGTATATTAGTAACGTAGCACGGTCAGCGCGACCACAGGGACTACACGCTGCAAAAAAAAAACCTGTTTTGCTTCAATTTGTTTCGGGGGGTCCGGGGAAAGTCGTTCTTATTTTTCCATTTCTCTGATACTGCGTCAATGGAACGTCAATGGATTGCTACATCAAAATAGCAGCTTCTTTTAATGGGACGGGTTTCACCTCAGCTGTTCCTCTTCTTCGGGCCGTATTGTCCTACGGCGCCCACCGTGCACCGCCTCGAGCCTCTTCGCGCGTCGTGTGTCATAGCGGGAGGCGAAACGCACGAACGGACACCGCGTTTTGGCGGCTATCTGATGAGCACACGGGCTAATTCTTCACTTTACCTAGTCTTGCGTTATAGCGACCCCGCGCCGTGTTGCCGGGGATCCCTAGCTCGACGTCGTCAAAATGGTTTGGCGTGCTTTGCTAGTGTGTTACAGGCCTCTTAGCTAATCGCGGCCTTGGATGCGAGGCGTTTCCTCCGCGCCCAGGCACATTTTGGACGCGCCAGAGCATTTCGGGGCCACGTTGCATTGGCAAGAAAGCATAGAAGCAGCCACGGCCACTGCCGCCCGCGGTTCCCGCTCCTTGGCCAGACCGAAGACAGAACACCAAAACGCCATCGCCGCGGCGCACCCGCACCCATGGACGCCGCCGTCGACCGCCCCAACGCCCTGCGCACGACCACGAGCGGCACGGACGACGCCGGCCGCGACCCCATCGTTCTGGGAGACACGATCACGCCCGCCCAAACACCGGCCCCGAACACGACGGGCCTGACGCCGCGTTTAGGAGCTGCCGTCATCGCGCCGGGCCTCCAGCTGCCCGAGCTCACGCTGACACAACCACCAGAGCAGAGGCCGCGTTGCGGCTCGGAAACCGATGGCATGAAGCGCGTCCGGTCCAAAAATGTTTTAGGAGACGCCCCGAAGGCGCCGCGCGTCGACCTACAGGAGGACGCGCCGACGGCGCGGCGGCGCGCCGAGTCCTTGCACGAGCAGCCGTCCCTGAATTTTTTTGAGGAGCCGACGCGGAGCGGGTACACGCCGGAGAAGGAGACGAGGGAGCGGTCCTCGACGCAGGAGCTGACTGATGATCAGCAGGACGAGTCGGATAGTGACAGTTCGGACGACGACGCGGCCATCGCGTGGCTACAACGGCAAAAACGCCCGTCGGCGACGCCGTCCAAAAGATCGTCCGCGGGTTCGAGGAGGCGGTCCTCGGCGTCGCAAGCCCTGTCGCCGCCGCCACCGCCGCCGCCGCCCCAGCCCGAGAGTCCTACTCTACCCGGCTTCTCGCGGAAGACGCGCGAGTCCGAAAGTGCCAGGAAGGAACGCGCCGCGCAGCGGCCGGCGCCGTCGCCGAAGCCGCCGCCGCCGCCCCGAAGCGAGTCGAGCGACGACGGCGGCCTCGACGACCTCCAGGCCATCCACACGGCGCCGCGTTCGCGGGAAAAGCACTCGCGTAGTCACTCGCAAGGCGTCGCGCGGGCGATGGCCATCGCGAAGCGGAACGGGCAGCGGTCGGCGTCGCGTGGTGGGGGGTAACTCTATCGCGTCGTATTGCGTCGAGTGTGCTAGTGTCTTACCGGTCGCTAGCTTCGCGGCTTTGAACTTTTGAGACCGCCGCGCTGACCGCATTTGTGCCCAACGCCGGCGGAGACAACCGGCAGCGCTCTAAATCCAATCGCTGCACTGCGCTGCGGCGCTGAACGAGCATCCGTGCGAAGTGCACAACACAATGGATCCTGACCTGCTACAGCAGCGCCTGCGCGAGGCGCGCGCCGGCCAGCAATCGACTACCTGCGCATCACTGCCTCCGGAGTTACTCGCAAGCATTGTCGAATTCGCGTTTCCCTACAATCACAATCATCATTACACCTCGTGGAGCGGCTCATGGCTAGGCAGCTTTCTACGCATGGGCTGCATCAATTCTTCCTTTCTAGAGAGCCTGAAGTACGTCACCATGCTGCAGATCGACTTGAGCTACCGGCTCTTCCGGCGGTTTCCGACAGTGCCTAACGGGGTAATGCTTCCCGCGCGCTACGACGCAGACGTAAGGCGGTGGTGCGACATCGCGAGCCGCCGACTGCGACATGTACTCATCGTGACGGAGTGTGGAGGGGGGAACGCGTTCAATCCCGTCCAGACGAAGCATATTGTGGACTGCGTCGCCTCTTTCCCAAACGTGTGTGAATTTACCTTGAACAATACGGAGACGGTCTCTACCTGCATGTCACTCTCTGCGGCACTGCGCGCGGGGCGGTTCAGCATTCTCCAGAAACTTACTATAGATGGTGCCGGTGACATGTGCATTCTAAAAAAAACAACTTCTTCAACGTTCAACGTGAGGCGGATAGCGAAGTTCGCCTTCCAAGAGCTCATCTCCGTGCTCCCGCCCGACCGAGGCATTGAGTGCTTGGTTGAAGGGGTATTTCCGGAGCTGATGGAAATCGGCGACGAGACTTCTTGGGGCCTGTGGGCCGCGACGTTCTTCAGCCTGGTCGGAAAGGGCGTGGACGTGCGTTCACGACCGATCCTTGGTGAAATTGCGTACATGCATCAGAATAGCTACGAGGGCTTCCGAGAGTCTCTCGACGGGATGAGGACGTTCTACGGCACCGTCGAGCTGCTGCTCACGGAACACGGCGTCGATCCTAATGCTCCTTATGACGTTGCGCATTGGATGTCTCGCACTCCGCTGTGGATGATATTGGACTCGCTCGCGGAGACGATTGAGGTTGTTCAGAGTGATCTTCTGGCCGAGGCTGACCCGGAGGTCGACTCTGATTTTGAACCGGAGATTGATTCCGAGCTGGTCGTGCCGATGCTTCGTTTCTTCATGCGCACCGTCGACCTGCTCGTCCGGCACGGCGCGAGGAGCACGAGGGCCGACTGCGTGACGCGTTCCGGACGCGATGACACTACATTGCATCCCTGGATCCTCGCGCGCCCCGACTGCACGCAGGCGATCCGGGACGCGGTGGCCCGGGGGGAGCTGTTCCATGACAAACATGGATGATAAAGACTAATTTGAACAATACTAGAACAACCGCAGCCCCCACGCCAGGATGAAAAGAGCAAGAAACGGCCGCACGACGCGGTCCCGCAGCACGCGACGCACCCTACCCCCGACACCCCCCGGCACGTCGTCGACGGGCCGCGACACCGACACCGCGCCCGAGCTCCCGAGCCGCATGAAGACTCCTAAATCGACATCGCCCGGCCGCCGCGCCGGCTCCCGTAGTGTGTCGGGCGTCAATGAGACGCGCCCCCGCCGCAAGTCCAAATCAAAGCGCACCGACGCCACTTCATTCGCAGGCGAATCATACCCAAAGGTCACCAAGGCCGCCGGCGTCGGCGCGCGGAACACTTCCACAAATTCTGGTTCCGGTGGAGGCGGCGCCTCCTCCTCCTCCGTGGGTGGAGATTCCTGGTCGTTCTCTGCGCAAATCTCGACGTGCGTCTCGTGCTCGTGGGGGTCGTGGGGTTCCTCGACGACGACCGGCGCGGTTTTCTTCGACCGGCGCGTCCGTCGCGACAGGAGCCGCAGCCTGCGTGGAACACCGTCGACGCGGCGACGGCGTGGAGCTCGACGCCATCGATGCGAGGACGCCGCGCCGCACGGATCCATGTCCAAGACCGGGGGCTCGTCGTGGCCCGTGCCCGGCGGCGCGATCCGGATCGTCGTGGGAGCGAACGCTATTTCCGCCGCGTTCCTGACAGCAGCCGCCGCCGCCTCGGCGCGAGCATCCCCTTCAAAACACAGTTCCACGACCATCTCCCGCGCGACGATGCGCTTCGCGATGAAGGCGTATTTCTGATTCGGCGGCGTGTTGAACGAGGCCCAGCACTTTTTTAAGTCTGCCACGCGTGACGAATTGTCTACACTTCGCGCGTCGACGCCGGAGAAGGTCACTCTTAATGTAGCGTTGCTCCCGCGAGCAAAGGGCGTCTCTACCCTTCGCGCCACACATACCAACTCGTCAATCAAATAACGAGCGCCCTCGACGGTCGGGTGCTCGCGCATGTAGGAAGGTAAGGGCCCGAACAACGACCGCCACTCGATGCCCGCTCGCCTTAACTCGGCATTGGTAGGTCGCTGCAGTTTTTGATCAAAGTCGAGCTCGGCCTTGGATATTCTAACCTCGAGTGGATCTCTATTTAATGTAAACACCGACGTCCAAGCTATTGAGACCGCATCACAAGCACATCGCGTGAGCTGCAAGGGCCAGTTCGTGTCCGTGCAGAGCGGGTTGAACAGCTTGTTTATGGCTCTCGCGTCGCCATTCAACCGTCGTAAGGAAGCCCGGCCCCGCCGTGCGGACACAGCTAACTGCTCCTTCGGTTCGAAGTCCGGCAGCAGCACCTCGAACTGCCGCCGGAAGAGACGGAACACTAAAGCATCGTCGAAGTCGGCGCTCGTGACACTTCTCCTCCACGCGGCGACCTCGGTCTCGGCCTTCTGCTGGTCGGGCGACCACTGCCAGGGGCCCGTGACGGGCTTTGGGGGAGGGGGCGTCGGCGGCGTCAATGGCGGCTTGTCGGCGGGCGGCGGCTCCTGGGTCGCGGCGTGGCGCCGCGTCTTTGGGTGGTGTGGTGGTCGAGACGGCTGGAGCGCGACGCCGCAGACGCCTAGCAGCAGCAGGGCGCGCGTCGACATCGTTAGCTGAGGCCAACTGCTGGGCTGCACTCAAACCACCTCACTGTTGTCTGAGCGAATCGATGCCCTTCTTTTTCTCCCGCTGGCACAGGGCAGTAAAATAGCGCAGTCCTATCAATCAATCACTAACGCTGCTCTATGCGCTGAGGTACGGCCGGTTTTAAGATGAAAGGCTGTGTGCTAGTGTCTCACATGACGCTAGCAAGCGGCCGGGTCGCGAGCTTGTAAAAAACACTCTGTGAGGCGCACTTTTGCAGCTCAAATCACGTTTTGCACTCGTGCCAGCGCCAGCGCGTCGCTGACTGCTCCGCTCAGCCACACGCCGTCGACGTGCATGCGCACCCATGGGCTCCTTCCTCGAGGACCTGCTCGAGCCGGGCACTGCCATCAAAATGGTGCCGGTCGCCAACGCGGCGCTCATAGCACTCATGGTGGTGATGCTGGCAAGTGCCGTCGCGTGGCCGAACATCGCGATCCATCTGTACGCGATGACCGGGCTCGCCCTGGGCCTCTTCGGCTCGCTCAACTGGGTCGCGAAAGAGCTCCAGCGCGAAAAGGCAGACTAGCACTCCTGCTTTTGCTGCACGCCGTCGACGCCGTGAATCTGTACGATGTAGTCAGACGGCCGCCGCCGCGTCGGAGCGCGCCTTCATTCTTTGAAGTGCCTGCGTCGAACGGCACGCTCGTCCAGGTGCCCAAGTTGATCTACGCGACGGCGCACAAGCGCCACCGAACTGCGGAGCTGGTGAAGAAGGCGTTCGACGCTGGTTTCCGAGGTGTGGACACGGCGCACGGCGAGCGGAAGCGGTACAACGAGAGCGCCGTCGGCGAGGCTCTGGTCGACGGCGTCTTTCTGTGCATAAATCAAATTCTCGCGGCGCGGCACATCAACGCGACGCCAGCTCGATGGCGTGGCGGTTGTGGGTCTTACACCACTCGATTCAGTCATCACGGCCTGCGCCCGGCTTACTGTTTGATTTGCGCACAGGCGTCTTCGTGCAGCTCAAGGTCCACTACACGGCGTCGTCGTCGGGCGATGCCGGGCGACGGTGCTACGCGGCGGCGCGGCGCGGCCTCGACGAGCTGGGCGTGGCTCGCGTCGGCGGTCTTTTATTGCGGGGCCCGTCGGAGGAGGCGCGGCAAACTAGCAAGCTGACAGACGACGACGTCGCGGCGTGGCGCGCTGTGTGGAAATCAACCAGTGTGTCGGGTGCACCCGATAATTCTTCACTAAGTCAATTCTCGGCGATGACGTGCCCGCGCTGGCTGATACGCGTCGTCGTGAGAGACCCACGCCGCCACGCCATCGAGCAGGCGTCGCGTCGATGGCGTGGAGGACGAAGCGATCACGCGCCGTACATTTGATTTCCACACAGGTGGCGCGCGCTGCAGCGCTTGGTGAAGGAAGGCCGCACCGATTTGATTGGCGTGTGCAACTTCCCGCCGCCACTCCTGGAAGAACTTCTACGATTGGACGGGCCTAGATGTAGCCTGCACCAGACACGGTTGCGAGCCGACCGCGCGTTCAACGGCGAGGACCGCGCTTTAGCTGAAAAACATGGCGTCGTGCTCCAGGCTCCTGGGCTTGTGACGACGAACGCGCCCGCGCTGCGGCGGTCCTCGGCGCTGTCGGCGCTGGCGGCGAAGCGGGGCGCGACGCCGGAACGGACGTTGTTGGCCTTTGCTCTGCGGCTTGGTGTCGTCGCCGTCGTCGGTTCCGCGTCCCCGAAGCACGTCCTGGACGACCTCGGCGCTGTGGAGTTGGCGGCTTCGTTGTCTCCTTCCGACATCGACGGCGTGCTTGCTGCCCATCCGGATCGGCACAAACCTGATACGCGGCGGGGGATGCGGCGCGGGCCCAAAAAACGGAAGCGGTCCCTGCGCGGCCGCGGCGGCGGGGCCCGCGTGTGAGTAATGCGGTTTGTGGTTATGATATTCGTGCACGGAACTTCTAGACGCTCATTGCCAGTCGTTGAGACGCGTGCGCGAGTCTGCTTTTCCCACCCCGATTTACAGTTATTTTGGCACAGCCTCTCTTTTTAGGGGTGATTTGCGAGGGCGCGACGGCGCGCGGCAAACAGTTACGTATCTCACGTCGGTAACAATCACTCACACGGCGTCGACGCGAAGCGACAAGCCGAGATACGCCCCCGCGGTGGATAAAACCACAGCAGTAACTGATCGAAAAAAACGATGCCGGCGACGCGGCGGACGCGAGCACAGACCGCCAAGGGTCCCAAAGTGAGCCTCGACACGATCCTGCTCGCCACCGCGGTCGGCGCCGGCGCCGCGGCGTATTTCTTCCTCGACGTCGCCCCAGAGGTCGTCGTCGCGTCATGTGTGGCGGCCGTGACGGTCGTGCTCATCTACGGCGGCAAGGTCCAGAAATACGTGCGGGGGCGCAAGCCCAAGGCCGCCAAGCCCAAGGCCGCGGCGTCGCCGAAGCCGACGCGCGTGCAGCCGAAGCGTTCGGCGACGCCGGAGCCCCTGAGCCGCAAGCCGAGCTCGCCCAAGAAGCCGGCCGCGAAGCCCGCGGCCAAGCCGGCGGCCTCGCCCAAGCCGAAGCGCGCCGCGGCCGCGTCGCCCAAGCCCGCGGGACCGCGGCGATCGGCACGGCAGGCCGGCAAGCCGGCGAAGTAAGGCCGCGCCGGCGGTCCGCGTCCGCCGCCCCGCGCCGCCCTGCCACGCGACGCGCTCCTGGATAGCGCGGCGCGGCCGGGCGGCCGGGCGCCGGCGCGGATCACCGACCAAGCCCTTGCGTTTGCCACGACCCCTCCCCTTTCCGATTCGCTTGGGACCGTAGGTTCAGTGAAAAAAACACTAGACAATCTAGCATCAGCTGCCGCAGGGACAGACACAGCGCTCGGCGCTCTCGCCCCCCGCCCCAGGGCCCAGGCTTCCATATTACAAGCTTACAGACGACGGAGCTCTAGTCGTCCTCCCCGGGCACCCGGAGCTGCTTCATGTATCGCGACGCCGTGTTGCCATTCGCAAACGTGATGGTGCAGCGGCCCCGGTATCCTAGCACCCCGACCGTAACGCGTTCGCCGGTGACGGAGTCGCGCATCACCCCCGAATCCAACGCCTTCTTAAAGTCCGTGTCCGACCATTCTCCCGTCGCACAATCAAATCCGTAGAAAAGAGGCCTATCATCCGTATGTTCATGCACGTATCGGCACCGTTCGGTTGGATCGGGACGGTTTTTTCTAGTGCAAGCAGAACCTTGTGGACATGGTTGGTTGAAGACCGCCAAGTCCAAATTGCCGGAACGTTCCGCAGCCATATTTTGTACTCGGCGCGTTTCCGCCTCGCGCTTTGCCAAGTAGGCCTCGCGGCCTTCGGTCCCCCTTTCCGATGGCAACAAGTCCTCGACCGACGGCCGCGGCGGCGCTTGAGCCGCAGAATACAGACCAGCAGGCGACCCCGTCTCCCTTAATATCATAGCATCATCTGCTTTGGGCTTCCTCGCCGCGGCCATATTTAAATACCAGGGCGCCGCGTTTGTTACTAGGCCGTCCTCACCAATGAGAAATCGGCGCGGCGTCTCCTCGTCCTCGGCCGACGCCTCGTCCTCCTCCGACGACGAGAACCCAGAGCTGCGCAGCTCGAGCGGTGGCAGCTTCCCCAGTAATGCATCGAGAGGGCTGTCCGGGAGCTGTTGCACGAGCACAAAGAGCTTTTCGTGCCCCTTGTCGCTCCGTAGCCTTCTCGGCTCCTCGAAATCAATCACTACTGGCGGCGTCACGTTGGGAGCGCACTGCCGCCGCGGCGCGAATATCGACGCCAGCGGGACGTCGACGCCTCTGACTGAGCTGCGCCACGTGTTGCTCGCCTCGATCAGCATGCCCGGGCGTTCCGACCAGTTGTCCTCGTTGAGGGCCCAGTCGCCGTCGTCCTCGCCGCGCCGGAACTCGTCCTTCAGCAATTCTAAGGCTGCGTCCCCTGGTGCCAGCTCCGCCGTCGCGGTCGACATGGACGACGCGCCGGGCCGCCCCAACAACGACGGCACCGGGGGCGCGTCGTCGTCATCATCTGACGATGATGAGGCCTTCGCCTCCACGCCGGCCGCGGCCAGGAGCCGCGCGAGATGAGCGCATGTCGCAGAGTTACCACGCGAGGAAGAAACTGCGCCGCTGTGGAAGCGCAAAGTTGTGAGGAGCGCGTCTTTTCGATCAGCGCAAGTTTGAATCGCGGTGCCCGACGCCTCCCACCTCCAGACCTGACCATCCGCGCCGTCGCAGAGCGCACACCGGACCCTACCATCCACCAAAGCCTCAAACTGGCGCCGCGGCGTACCGTCGGCCGCCTGGAAGCCGTTCCTAAAACTTTGACCGGCGTAACTGACCGTAAGCACGCCGTCGAGCTGCGCCTGCAGGTACTCCACGCGCGTCAGAGGGCGCGAGCAGAACGCGGCCTCGTCGTCGGTCAAGACCGTAGGTACCAGTTGCGACTTCCGGAGCGGTACAACAGTGCCGCTCGTCGTGCGCACGTCCAGGGTCTGTCGAGCTCTCCCGCGGAGTGAAACCACACCGCGTACGGCCGCGTCGTCCTTGGCCTGCACGGGCGTGCCGACCGCGGGCGGTGGGGCGCCAGCGCGGGCCCACGGCGGCGGCGGTGCCGGCGCTGGCGCTGCCGGCACGACGGCGCCGAGGCCGCCGCCGAGGCCGAGCGACCGCATGAACGCCTCGTTCCGCGCGATGCGCTCGTCGCGCTCGATCTCGTACTGGGACTTGGGCGGGGGGACCTCGTCCGTCGCGTCCTGCGTGAGCGGGACGCCGCCGTCGGGTCTCTCGCCGCCGCTTTTCCGAGGCCTTCTGTTCGCGCTGCCAGGAGCGTCTCGCGGTCTCGCGGCCTTGTCCGGAGACCCGGGGCCGCGGCCGACCATCTCGAGCCGCCGCGCCGCGTCGTCGACGTCCGCATCGAGCGCCGATCTGCTGTCGTCCGCGCGTTCCTGCCACGTCATCGCGGCGTCGACGGGGTCCCCGCCCTGGTGATCCATCGCGCGCGTGTGGCAGCAAGGTGTAGTCGAGGCAGATGATATGCAGTGGCTTCCAAAGCCGTAGGGTTCGTAAGAATTGTTGGAGGAGCTGTGAGAGTAAGCGTACGACTCCAGAGAGCTGTTTTATGCAGCCTCGCGGGCGAAATAGCCCCGCGGCGCCAGATTTTGCGCTAGCGGTCGGTAAGTCACTAGGAAGCAGCGCGCGCACGGCTTTGACGCTGCGTAGAGCTCGTTGTGAGAGCTTTGGAGCTTAGCACCTGCCGTTCGCGATACGTTGGCACCTCGAAAAAGCCGCTGCTGCAATCGCGTCACGTCTGGTGACGCTACGCCGCGCTACCACTGAGCAGTCATACAAGCCGCGCCAAGAGACCTCGCAAAGATGTCGCTGGTGAGGACGTCCGGCCACCAGCTGGCGCACGGCGCTTACACAGAAAAACAGCAAGCCACAAGCAACGTGCTCAAACATTCGAACATCGACGCCGTAGAGATCGCGCCGCTCATGAACGACTGGCTCCAGCACGCGTTGGCGGGCGCGTACGGCGCTTCGGCACGCCACCGCTTCATGATCGGGGCGATGGCCGGCTCACGCGCCGCGGCTTTCGCGTCCGGAATGGCGATAGTCCACGCGCGCCGCGGCTTCCTGACGGACGCGTATGTGTGCGACGAAGCGCGGGCCGCGGTGGACGCCTACGAACGAGTGCTGGCCGTCGCGCCGCCGCTGGAGGCCTTGATTGTGTGGTCCTTCGCGGACCTGCCGCCCGCCCTGGCCGCGCGGCGCACCTACTTCCTCTCGGGCTTGGAGTGGCTGGCGCGCTGCGGCTTCGCGCTCCTCAACCGCCTCATTCGGCAGCGGCGCCTCATTATGGACCGGGCGACGTTCATGCGGCTCATCGCCTTCCTCAATGCGGACATCTGCCAGTCGCGGCGCAACATCATCCCCGGGTGGTGCCCCGAAGACGACACGCGCGTGCGGCTCGTCGTCGTCAGCTGCGTGAACGTCGTCGACTTCGCGCGCGGCCACCCGAAGCACCAGCTCGAGCTCGCGCCGCTCCTCACCGCCTGCTTCGTCGAGACGTCGAAGAAGGAGATGGTCTCGACGGCGTCGGACCGCTTCTACAAGTACCCGATCCACCAGCACTTCCTCTACTGCCTCTTGACGCACATCGGCTGCTGCGTGCCGGACGCCGAGCTCCCCCAGGTGCGCCTCCAGTTCGGGGAGGCGTGCCGGTCGATTCGCCCGATGCATCATAACTGGGGCTTCGAGACCGCCGAGGCGGGCGGCTCCGCCGGCTCGTGGTACGGCATCCACAGCAGCGTGGTCGCGCCCCCGGACGACATCGCCCGCGCGCTCCGGACGCACGGTCCGAACCACCTCCTCGACCTCACCGACAAGGCCACCGTCAAGCTCGTCCTCGCCGCCCACCAGCGCGGGACGCCGTGCGGCGCGACGCAGATCGCGCGGCTCCTGCGGAGCCGCGACGACTACGAGACGCCCGCCGTCCCTCGGGTGTAGATTGTTAAGCAGTCACTTGTTAAGAAACGCGCGACCGAACCATGTTGCTAGTGTCTTACATGCCGCTAGCGCGTAATTAGTTCGCAAGGAAATCCCGGCTTTACTCGCAGCGCAAAGTCGTCATGAATCGCAGATTCTATAAGCATTGCTCTAAGTAACCGTACGAGCAGCCCAAAGGAATTCTCGCACTTCTGCATGGTGCCCGTGGTGTTATTAGTAACTTATTACTACCCAGTGTGCGGCGTGGATACCCACCGGCGAATCCGCGATTCGGCGACGCGTGCCTCGGAATCCTCGTCGTCGTATAGGATGTCGTACAAGCGGTCGCCGCGAATAGCTGTGATCTTGCCGGTGAACCACTGGTTGCCGCCGCGCGACCGCACCTCGACGCGCTGGTTAACCGCGAATGCGGCATTGTAGGATGGGCGCTCTCTCGCCGCCGCTTCCCTCGCGCGGGCGGCCTCGCGGCGCGCCGCCTCGTCGCGCTCCCTCGCGCGGCGCGCCGCCTCGTCGCGCTCCCTCGCGCGGGCGGCCTCGCGGCGCGCCGCCTCGTCGCGCGCGGCGCGGAGCTCGGCGCGGGCCCGCTCCGCCTCGCGCCGCGACCGCTCGACGGCGGCGCGCCGCTCGCGCTCCTCGGCGGCTTCGCGGCGCGACCGCTCGACGGCCTCGCGCCGCGCCGCCGCGTCCTCGTCTTCTCGCGCCGCTTCCCGCCGCTGCCGCGTCGCGTCGCGGTCCTGCGCCTCCTCCGTAGGGCGAGGAGTAGCGCCGACACTTTGTCCATTGACGAGCAGGGCGCCGCCCGGGATGCTCCCGAAGCACACCTCGCAGAGGGCGTGGCCGCAGGGCAGGGCCACGACGGGTTCCGCCGTCTCTAAGCAGACGGGACAGTGGGCCGAGGCGAAGACTCTGTTCCCACAGGCGCGCCGTGGGGGCTGCGTGCGGCAGATGGGGCAGGCGAGGACCCGATCGCGAGTCTGAAACCGCACCTCATGTGAACCCACAATTCGCCCAGACCTGCCCACAAAACTCCGGTCGCCCACGGGGTTGATGTTGAAGACGTAGTCTTCTCCCGGCGGCTTTGGGGTCTGATGTTCAATGTGTTCGCTGTGTGTGTGACGGCCGTGGGCAGCAACCGCTCATCATTGCCGCGATAGTCCGCGATAGTGCACGGTATGCAATTCGCAATTGGAGGGACCAGGGCTCCCACGTTGATATACGAGTTGCCTTTTGCAGGGTCTGAGGACTCGGCGTTCGTGCAAAATAGAATGGAGACTAAAGTTCCATCTCCTGCTTCATTCTCGGACGGGACATCCCTCAGATCTGCTCCATTTACGGTGATTCTCTTTATCCACTGATGGTAACGGGCCCTGGGAGGTCCACCTCCTAACCGGAGGACCAGGTGGAGCGTCGATTCCATGTGGATGTTGTAGTCACTCAGCGTGCGGCCGTACTCGAGCTGTCTGCCGGCGTAGATGAGGCGAAGCTGGTCCGGAGGAACGCCCCTGTACCGGATCTTCTGCTTGACGCTGTCGATCGCGTCGCTCGGCTCGACGTCGAGCGTGAACGTCTCGCCCGTCATGGTCTTGACGAAGATCTGCATATCGGTGCAGCGCTGCGTCGCAGGGCGTATTTTGGCACCAGTTTTACCACCATCAAGCCAGCATTGGTGATGAGGCCAGCCTGTGCTGGTAGCAGCAGCAAACGGCTGCCTCGCGAGTAGGTGAATGCAAACGGGCTGCCCCCAAAGCGGCGGCGGTGAGCAGCAGCACGTCGCGATCCAGCAGCTCTCCGGATTTGCTAGTGTCTTACATGCCGCTAGCGCGTGTTGCGCAAGGAGCAGCCCAAAGGAATTGTCGCACTTCTGCAGGTGTTTAGTAACTTATTTATGCCCAGTGTGCGGCGTGGATACCCACCGGCGAATCCGCGATTCGGCGACGCGTGCCTCGGAATCCTCGTCGTCGTATAGGATGTCGTACAAGCGGTCGCCGCGAATAGCTGTGATCTTGCCGGTGAACCACTGGTTGCCGCTGCGCCACCGCACCTCGACGCGCTGGTTAACCGCGAATGCGGCATTGTAGGATGGGCGCTCTCTCGCTGCCGCTTCCCTCGCGCGGGCGGCCTCGCGGCGCGCCGCCTCGTCGCGCTCCCTCGCGCGGCGCGCCGCCTCGTCGCGCTCCCTCGCGCGGGCGGCCTCGCGGCGCGCCGCCTCGTCGCGCGCGGCGCGGAGCTCGGCGCGGGCCCGCTCCGCCTCGCGCTGCGACCGCTCGACGGCGGCGCGCCGCTCGCGCTCCTCGGCCGCCTCCCGCCGCGACCGCTCGACGGCCTCGCGCCGCGCCGCCGCGTCCTCGTCTTCTCGCGCCGCTTCCCGCCGCTGCCGCGTCGCGTCGCGGTCCTGCGCCTCCTCCGTAGGGCGAGGAGCAGCGCCGACACTTTGTCCATTGACGAGCAGGGCGCCGCCCGGGATGCTCCCGAAGCATCCCTCGCAGAGGGCGTGGCCGCAGGGCAGGGCCACGACGGGTTCCGCCGTCTCTAAGCAGACGGGACAGTGGGCCGAGGCGAAGACTCTGTTCCCACAGGCGCGCCGTGGGGGCTGCGTGCGGCAGATGGGGCAGGCGAGGACCCGATCGCGAGTCTGAAACCGCACCTCATGTGAACCCACAATTCGCCCAGACCTGCCCACAAAACTCCGGTCGCCCACGGGGTTGATGTTGAAGACGTAGTCTTCTCCCGGCCGGAGCTTTGGGAAACTGATGTTCAATGTGTTCGCTGTGTGTGTGACGGCCGTGGGCAGCAACCGCTCATCATTGCCGCGATAGTCCGCGATAGTGCACGGTATGCAATTCGCAATTGGAGGGACCAGGGCTCCCACGTTGATATACGAGTTGCCTTTTGCAGGGTCTGAGGACTCGGCGTTCGTGCAAAATAGAATGGAGACTAAAGTTCCATCTCCTGCTTCATTCTCGGACGGGACATCCCTCAGATCTGCTCCATTTACGGTGATTCTCTTTATCCACTGATGGTAACGGGCCCTGGGAGGTCCACCTCCTAACCGGAGGACCAGGTAGAGCGTCGATTCCATGTGGATGTTGTAGTCACTCAGCGTGCGGCCGTCCTCGAGCTGTCTGCCGGCGTAGATGAGGCGAAGCTGGTCCGGAGGAACGCCCCTGTACCGGATCTTCTGCTTGACGCTGTCGATCGCGTCGCTCGGCTCGACGTCGAGCGTGAACGTCTCGCCAATCAGGGTCTTGACGAAGATCTGCATATCGGGAAGCCAAGGAAAGCGGAACTAGTCCCGTGCCGCGCTGCGTCGCAGGTCCGCTTTGATGATGAGGCCAGCCTGTACTGGTGCAGCGGCAGCAGCGAACGGCTGCCTCGCGAATAGGTGAATGCAGGCGGGGCTGCCCCCAAAGCGGCGGTGAGCAGCAGCACGTCGCGATCCAGCAGCTCTCCGGATTTGCTAGTGTCTTACATGCCGCTAGCGCGTAATTAGTTCGCAAGGAATCCCGGCTTTACTCGCAGCGCAAAGTCGTCATGAATCGCAGATTCTATAAGCATTGCTCTAAGTAACCGTACGAGCAGCCCAAAGGAATTCTCGCACTTCTGCATGGTGCCCGTGGTGTTATTAGTAACTTATTACTACCCAGTGTGCGGCGTGGATACCCACCGGCGAATCCGCGATTCGGCGACGCGTGCCTCGGAATCCTCGTCGTCGTATAGGATGTCGTACAAGCGGTCGCCGCGAATAGCTGTGATCTTGCCGGTGAACCACTGGTTGCCGCCGCGCGACCGCACCTCGACGCGCTGGTTAACCGCGAATGCGGCATTGTAGGATGGGCGCTCTCTCGCTGCCGCTTCCCTCGCGCGGGCGGCCTCGCGGCGCGCCGCCTCGTCGCGCTCCCTCGCGCGGCGCGCCGCCTCGTCGCGCTCCCTCGCGCGGCGCGCCGCCTCGTCGCGCTCCCTCGCGCGGGCGGCCTCGCGGCGCGCCGCCTCGTCGCGCTCCCTCGCGCGGGCAGCCTCGCGGCGCGCCGCCTCGTCGCGCGCGGCGCGGAGCTCGGCGCGGGCCCGCTCCGCCTCGCGCCGCGACCGCTCGACGGCCTCGCGCCGCGCCGCCGCGTCCTCGTCTTCTCGCGCCGCTTCCCGCCGCTGCCGCGTCGCGTCGCGGTCCTGCGCCTCCTCCGTAGGGCGAGGAGTAGCGCCGACACTTTGTCCATTGACGAGCAGGGCGCCGCCCGGGATGCTCCCGAAGCAGGCCTCGCAGAGGGCGTGGCCGCAGGGCAGGGCCACGACGGGTTCCGCCGTCTCGAGGCAGACCGGACATTTCGCCGATGCGAAGACTCTGTTCCCACAGGCGCGGCGTGGAGGCTGCGTGCGGCAGATCGGACAAGCGAGGACCCGATCGCGAGTCTGAAACCGCACCGCATGTCGATCCCGGAAGCATTCACCAGACCTGCCCACACAACTCCCTCTGCCCAAGGTAGCGATCCTGAAGATGTAGTACTCTCCCGGCCGAAGCTTCGGGAATCTGATATTCAATGTGTTCGCTGTGTGTGTGAATGCCGTGGGCAGCAACGCCAGGACACGAGAGCCGTTAGCCAGGACACATTCCCTTCGTCTGTCATCGCCCCCACGACATGTGATAGCGAACGCCTCTACATTCGACGATTCATTCCTAATTGGAGGGATCAGGGCGGCCACGTTTATATACGAGTTGCCTTTTGCAGGGTCTGAGGACTCGGCGTTCGTGCAAAATAGAATGGAAACTAAAGTTCCATCTCCTGCTTCATTCTCGAACGGGACATCTGACGTCCTCAGATCTGCTCCATTTACGGCGATGCTCCGTATCCACTGATGGTAATACGGGCCAGGAGGTGCTCCTCCTAGCCGGAGCACCAGGTGGAGCGTCGATTCCATGTGGATGTCGTAGTCACTCAGAGTGCGGCCGTCCTCGAGCTGCCTGCCGTAGATGAGGCGCTGCTCGTCAGGAGGAATGCCCTCCTTGTCCTGGATCTTCAGCCTCACGCTGTCGATCGTCTCGGACGGCTCGACGTCGAGCGTGATCGTCTTGCCCGTCGGGGTCTTGACGAAAATCTGCATATCGGGATGCCAAGGAAAGCGGAGCTAGTCCCGTGCAGCGCCAGGTCCGATTTGATGATGAGGCCAGCCTGTGCTGGTGTAGCAGCAGCAGCGAACGGCTGCCTCGCGAATAGGTGAATGCAGGCGGGGGCTGCCCCCAAAGGCGGTGAGCAGCAGCACTGTCGCAATCCCGATCGGCGGATTAGCTTGCTAGTGTGTTACAGGCCGCTAGCTAATCGAGCCGACGACGCACATCGCAGCCCGGTCGCCAGTGACGGACTCGTCGAAGATTGCTGCACGTGGTAACAGCACTGCACGACCGCCCCAAGGCACCGCATCACTTTCGGCGCGCACCATGGGCCACAGCCTGAGTTGAGAGGGGAACAATGCTGCGGCTGCGGACGCTGCTGCTCATCGCGGCGGCCGCCACGGCGACGACGACGACAACAACAACGACGGCCGGCCCCCACGACGGACGGACGGACGGCCCGACCCCCAGCAAGGCCCTCACGGCCCCCGCGACGTCGGCCGCCGTCTCCGCGGGCCCGCCCCGGACGGACGTCGCGCCGCCCGGACGAACGCGGGTGCGCATGGTCGTGTCCGGCCGCGACCGGCACACGCAGTTCTGCATTGGGGAGTTGGTGTTTCTGGACTCCTCAGGTAGAGAAGTAGCAGCTTCAAAAGCCACGGCGAGCGCGCCGCGCGCCCAGAAGGGCTTCGAGCCCAAACTACTCAGCGACGGCCGCCTGCACCACGACTTTTGCAGCGCCGAGCCGACGGGCTGGGTGTCGTTGGATCTTGAGGTGCCCCTACGCGAGTTAGCCGCGTATAGAATAGGATCGGACTGTGGGGAAGACACGCCGACGGACTGGACCCTGGAAGCCTGCGACAGCTGCGTCCACTCGGATGAGGAAACGTGGGAAACGTTGGACGTGCGCACAGCAGAACCGTGGCGAAGTGGGTGTGACGGCGAGTGGCGCGACTATTCGATACAGAGGTGGAGAGTATTGAGAATATCATCAGGAGTGCAGGACTGGTGCTTGGATGCTTTGAGATTGAATGGGGAAGAAAACAAACCGCTACGAATTAATAGCGCGAGGCCGGTCGCCGCGCCGGGCGCCACCGAAGCGTCAGGCGCGCGCGACTTCGCCCAGCGCGCCTCCACGATATCAAGGCTGGTGGGCATCGGCGGCCCGCCCTCGGACAACGGGCAGCCGTGGTGCGGGACCGTGACGATCTGTGTGGAAATCAGATTTTGGGCGCCCGCCATCGACGCGATGCTGTACCTATAAATGCGTCTGCTCGATGGCGTAGAGTTCACGCCATCGACGCGACGTTGTCCCCTTGGCCGCGTCGGCTCGATGGCGTGGAGGTGCACGAAGGTCTCCGCAATATTTCTCAGGATAACCTAACTCACTGGTTGATTCGACACAGGTCACGATGGGCGCCTTCGAGCCAAGTATGGCGACGTTCTGCGCGGACCTCGTGCATGAGAAGAGGAGCTGTGGTAGCTCAAGAGTCCTTGGTAAACGGGACACGGCCTCGGCCTGCGCGCGCTCTGTGCACCTTGATGATGAATGTAGCGGTCAGCGCTTCGAGTTCGATTCTGATAGTTCACACTGCGCGTGCTGTGCGTCCTCGGCGACGAAGCCCGGCGTCGGTTCTGTGTATGAGTACAACTACTGCGCTTCCCTCGTTGTTGATCTGCAACCTCAAGGTAGGGTACCTGTGGTAGCCGTACGCATAAGACGACCACAGAACGAGGCGCCAGCACCGATGAAATTGCGCGTGGACGGGTGCCTCTGGGACCGGTCTCCACACGATGGGAAGCGGCTCCCCTTCGGCGGCTGCCGCCTCTGGAAGCGCCTCGCGACGGATACGAGAATCCAGTTTAACGGAGACGGCTGGGCCTTACTGTCGCTGCCCGGCGGCGTCGCCATAACGAAGTCCGCGCCGCCCTCTCATTTTTTCGACGAACTGGCGACGTCGCCCGGAGTGGGCACCGCGCGCGGCCCCGGCCAGGCGGCGCCGCGCGCGGTCGCCGTGGACCTGGGCGACCACGTCTGGGCGCCGGAACCCGACGGCGTGAAACTGCGGCGCATCAAGCTGACGCAATCTCATTTGCACGACATGTCGCGGATGAGTTCCGGTAGGGTCGTCTCGGCGACGTTCGCGCGCAATGTCAGTGGAGACACCTTGCTCGGGCGCAGCCGGGGCGACTCGAGCGTGATCAATATACGGATGTAATGTTTTATGTACACAAAAACTATATACAAAATCAGTAGAGGAGCGTCCCGCTCGAGCTGAGGTCCTGTAATGAAGAAGACCGGCAGCGGAGCAGGTAGCGCCAGGGGCTCTTGTCCTCGGGCCACGGCGGCAGCGAGAAGGCCTGTGTGTAGATGCCTTGCGTCGACGCCGTAGCGCGGACGAGGGGACGCGGGGGCGCGCCAATTGCGAATTCGCCGCCGCGAGCGTCGCGATGCGCGAAGCGGCAGACGACGGCGAAGCTGAGACTCGGCGCCAGGCCAAACAGCAACAACCAGACGCACGACGCGGACAAACAACCGAGCATGACGGGCCGCCGGCCGATCCTGTCGGATATCGCGCCCCAGAACGGGAAGCACAACTGCCCGAGCTGGTATGACGCCGCGGTCGCCGCACCACCACCACCTACCACGCCTCATGTGCATCGCGTTTTTTCTGGGCCTCCTCGCCTCGCAGGTGGGCCTCATCGTCCACGCGTGCTTGGCTAACGTGACCTATCCGCGCGCTCGCGCGTCGGCGATGGCAATTCATAGCATCTTCGACGACCTCGGCAAGGGCGGCGGTCCCTGGCTCGTGGCCAAATTCATCAAGCACTACGGGCGCCGACGGACATTCGTCTGGACGACTATCATTGCCTGGGGCGGTGCGGCGTTCTTTCAATACCTGTGCTCGTTTACACTAGAAGCTGACGAGCGCAAGATCCGCGAGCGCGGCGGCGGTGGGGCGGACGTGCCCGTCGCGAGGCATTCGTGGCTCGCCAAGCAGTCGTCCGCCGACCTCGAGAGCGAGTTCCGCGACGCTGCGGACGAGACAACGTCGCTGCTGCACCGGAGGGATCGCGACGCCGCCGCACCATCTCGCTTCGACACGGGGCAGTTCAGCTTTCGTGATGCCGCGCAATAAGTTCGATAGACTACTCTCTGAGTTCACGCGCGTTCCGCGTCCCCCTAGCCCAGCTCGGGCGGCGCTCGGGTCCGTAGCTCGTCGTAGCCGTCTGGATCCATGATTTACGCGTCTGCGGCGTCCGATACGCGTGGAGCTAGGTAGTGTATCAGACACACTAGCTCTTTTTTTTTGGTTTGCGGGGCGCGCATCGCAATCTGAAGCCAGCTCGCCGTGAGCGGTGCTGCCCGGAACAGCGATTGTTCTAAAAACTATGAGTTCTGCCCAGGGGCAGCGCTCCCAAAAGCCCTCGACCTGAGCGAGGCAGCCACCAGTGAGTGAGTGCTTGCCCAGCCCTGGAAGGGCAGCTAGCTCATGGACGGCTACGACTCGCCGCGGGTCCAGTACGCCAGCCCCCGGCGCCAGTTGTCGAGGAGCGGCAAGAAGAACACCATCGCCCGGGACTTGGATACGCGGACGCCGCGCTACTCGCCTCCGCCGCCTTCCACACCACCGCCCGCGTCGCCCGCCCGACGCTCACCATCACCGGAAGCGCCGTCCTACACAAGAAGAAGACCGTCGCCGCCGCCCTTCGGCTCGCCGGACACATTACGAAGCCAATACACGGTGCGGACGGGCGGTAGTGCGGCCGCGTGGGAACGGGCTTTACATCGACGAGTGGCGGCTCTCGAACACCAGTTGAAGGCAGAAGTCGCGGCCAACGACGAACTTAGGAGGCGCGCCGCGGGCGACAATGTCGGTGATGATGATAGATCATTAGCAGCAGCCCAGGCCGCGTGGCGGAGGGAACGAAGGGTCTTGGAGAGACAGCTCCACGCGGCTCGAGCGGCGGCCGCCGACGCCGTCTCGCGCAAACCCCATCCTACAGTAATGGAGGACGACGATTCCGTCGACCCCGCCGCGCTCGTCGGCCGGGCCGCGGATGCGCTGGACCGAGCGTCGTCGCTGCCGTCGCCCGTCCCCAAGCTCCGACGCAAGTTGAAAGCGTGGGCCCTGCGGTCGGCCTTCTCCGTGGCGTCTCGCGTACCTTATAGAGCGGTCGCGCGGCGGTTTGCCTTCTGGCGCGGCGCTGCTACGGTGCCTCCATTATTGGAGGGAGACGACCGCACGTTACGGGTTGTGGCAAGGGTCATGCGGCGCGTTTTGAAAGATTGGCTCCACGATAGTATGGAGGCGGCGTTCTGCGACTGGGTCGCTGTTGTGAATCGATCGCAAGGTGCCGATTGGGTGACGCGCGTCTTCTCGACTCACTTCACGCGACGAGGCTTTAGGAGGTGGCTCCGCGCCGCCGAGGCCTCCGTGCAGTCACGGCGCCTCGCCGAACTGACGAACGCGAGCGACGTTTCTGGAAAGCGCCAGGCCCACGAGCTCGCGAAGTACGAAAAGGAGCTGCGCGAGGCCCGCGCTCGTCACGCCCTCGAATTGGAGAAGGCCGAGGCGCGACGAGCGGAAGCCGTCGAGGAATGTGCCGCGCAATTCAGGCAGCGCAACGCCGAGCAGCTCGAGGAGGCCGAGGACCGCTACCAGAGGTTAATTGACGAGGCCTGGCAGGCGACCGAGCGGTCGCGGGCGCAGGGCGTCGAGAGCGTCGGCGCGGTGACGCGGCACTTTGCCAATGCGGCTCTAGGCCGCTGCTTCGCCCAGAAGCCTCAACGATGCCGACTGGTCTTCTTCCGGCGCTGGGCCCACAACACGCGCTGCGACGCGCGGTGGAACGTCGCCACGAGGCGCCTGCGCCGGACCATAGGAAGGTGGTCCTCGCGCCAAAAGTCGCAAGCGTGGCAGACGTGGGTCGACGTCGTCGAGGACGAACGGCGCCGGGTCGAGCGCGAACGCGACTCGGCGCGACGGCTCCGGTCGACCGTCGGACGCTGGTGTGAGCGCTTTTTAGCAAGAGCCTGGCGTGCGTGGATTGAGGTAGTGGAGTACGAAACTCTACTCGCTGCGAACGAGGCCGCCTCCGCGCGACGCCTCCGTAGCTGTATTCAACATTGGAGCCTGCGGAAGACGGCGAAAGCCTGGCGCGCCTGGACGGAAGCTGTTGAGGAATCAGCGCGGGGCGACCGTCGTTTGGCGCTGTCGGCGCGCGACCTGCGGCTCTGCGTGAAACGCTGGGTCTGTCGCGAAAGGGCGGCGGCGTTCCGGACCTGGCGCCGGTTCCTGGACATACAGAGACGCCTCGAGCGATGTTTGAAACGGTGCCTGAACCGCCACCTGGCGATGGGTCTGTCCAAGTGGACGAGCCACTGCCACTTCACGAAGCGCACGCGGGAGCGCCAGGCCATGGCGTTTCGGACGCTGGAGCGCTGCGTCGGGCGGCTGTTGCATGGGCACCAGGCCGAGGCCTTCGACACGTGGCTCGCAGCCGCGGAGGCGCTGAGCGCCGCGGACGCCCTCCAGGAGCAGTCGACGTTCTCGCTCGAGAAATGTTTAAGGAAGTGGCTGCAACGCTTGACGTCGAGAGCCTTCCGCACGTGGACGGCCGAGTCGCAGCGCATTCTACACCGGAAGCGCGCCATGCTGCGGGCTTCCCGAAGATGCGTGCTGCTATGGGTCCGGGGGGAAGTTGCCAAGGCGTTCCGCCGCTGGTCCGGGCGCGCCTCGCGGCTCATGATCTGCGCGGACGCTTCCATGCGGATCGAGCGCATCATGATGCGGGCGCTGCGGCGTCTGGTCGCGACGGCGCGGGCGCGCGCCTTCGCCGCATTTCGGGAGGTAGCTTCGAAAAGCCGAGCCCTCGACCACCTTGCCACAACAAGGCGCCTCGCCCTCGAGAAGTGTCTGAGGCGGTGGACGAAACGATCGTTAGCAAGGGGCCTCGAGACGTGGTCCACGACGACGACCTTCTTCCACAACCTGCGGAGGTGCGTCCTCCGTATCCTAAGGAGACGGCTCGCCACCTCATTCGTCACCTGGTCGGGCGAGAGCTTTCATTTAAGAAGACGCGAGACAATGTTGAGAGACGCGGCGAAGGGTCTAAGACGGTGCTTGACGCTCTGGCTCCGCCGGAAGCGCGCGCGCGCGTATCGGAAGTGGAGCGGCCGCTGCTCTCTTATCAGATTAAGGAGCGACGCCATGAAACGCTTGGACCGCGTGAGACGAAGGTGTTTGCAAAGGATACGCCATGCGACTTTATTAAGAGCGTTGAACACGTGGGTCCATGGGAGGGACGTCTACCGCTTCCTGGAAGGCCATTCCATCAAAGCAACCTCTGCCCTACGAAGGGTACTCAAGAGATGGCTCCACCGCGAGAAGGCGAAAGCATTAGAGGCCTGGTTTAGGACCGTATCCTTCATCCGAGGCATGGAGCGCGTCGTCGCGCGGATTGTACATCGGCTAGTGGCGAAGGCGTGGGTCACGTGGACCGGGGACGTAAGTGCGGGCTTACATCGGAGGGCCTTGCATTTACGAGGGGCCTTGGATTGCCAGAGGTGCGTCCAGCTGTGGCTCCAACGGAAGCGGGCGCGCGCGTTCCGCAAATGGTCTGGGCGCATACTTGTATTAAGAGGAACGAGCGCCGCGATCCGCCACTTGACACGGGTGCGGCGGCGCGTTCTCTATAGGATGCAATCTGCAGATCTGAGCCGGGCCTTCTGGACCTGGTACGACTTGTATTGTGAACGACGGGCCCTCGACCTGAAAGGTGATGAACGAGCGTTAACGTTACTCAGGGTCCTGGGGCGGTGGCCGCGACGGGCCCAATCGAAGGCCTGGCGGAGCTGGGAACTACGAATACGATTGCTAAGGCAGACGGAGCGATGTGTGAGACGGTGGCGGAACAAGCGCCACGCGAGGGCAATGAGGGCCTGGACGGAACATGTATGGGAGCGTAAATCTCGTAGAGACGCCCTGGACGGCGCCGCTCGGACCATGGGCGTCTGCGTTGCGGCGTGGTCGCGCAAGAAGGTCTACGGAGCGTTCCGCGCCTGGTCCCGGCGGCGCGTCCATCTGACAAGCTTAACTGACGCGGCTCGACGGCTCCACCGTCTTAAATCACAATCCTTGCGACGCTTGCGGTTCCTTCATGTTGGAAGGGGCTTCACGACCTGGTATCGCTTCACCCATTCCATGCGCATGCTTGACAGTGTCCATTCGACGCACCGCCACATGCTGTCGAGGATCGTGAAGAAGTGGGTGCTCCGGACGCAAAGTGTTGCCTGGAGGACGTGGTCGCGACGCGTCGTGTTGCTGCGTTTACTCGCCAAATCAGTAATGAGGCTCGTGAGGCGGGAGGCGTCGCGAGGGCTGATGAAATGGATTGCCGTCCTCAAGAGAGATAAAAGGGCGAAGGCGGCTCTACGACGTGTGCTCACGATGTGGACGAAGCGGCGCTTCACGCGCGCGTTCCGGACGTGGGCCGGCCGCTTGTTTTTGTTCAGAGATCGGCGCCAAGCCGCGAAGCGTCTACAAAGGATCAAGGCCTCGGTCATCCACCAAATCCAGCTACGTAAATTAGCACGCGCTCTAAGGACGTGGCGCGCCTACGGCTCGTCGTGTAGGGCGCTGGATCGGAAGCTGACCCGCAACGTCTTCACATTGAAGAAAGTACTCAGGCGATGGCTCAACCAGACGAAGGCCGTAGGCTTCAAAACCTGGCACAAAAATTCTATATGGAAGCGCGACTTCCGGCGATGCGTCATGAGGATGCTGCGGTTCCACCTCTCGCAAGGCTTTGCTGTTTGGGCCGAAGGGTCCTTCGAAATCGGTGTGCGAGGCGACGCCGCCCGACGTTTACGGAGGAAGATGTTTATCGTTGCCAAGCGCATCATGCACAACAAGTTGCATCAAGCATTTGTGTCCTGGCTTTTGGTCCTCGACGAGGCGAGAGATGAAGAAGCTCGTAAAGTCGAGGCGTCTTCACAGATGCGCCGCTGCGTCGAGAGGTGGCTCACGCGAGGACTGCGGGACGCCTTCGACAGTTGGGCCGACGCCGTCGTGTTGAGGAACGACTTTGAAAAGTGTGTGAGGCGGATGCTTTCCCGGCAATTGTCAGCGGCATTCACGACGTGGTCCGGTATTAGTTTCCTGCACAAGTTGGGTAGAGCGGATAGACGAGGCGCTGCTCATACTATAAAACGGACGTTGACACTGTGGCACTCTAGGAAGAAGTTTTCTGCCTTCCGCAAGTGGTCCGGCCGGGCCTCGTTCCTGTCGAGGCGCTCTAGAGCTCTCCAACGGACCTTACTGATAAAGCGGAAGACCTTCCACCGCTTCCGGAACCAATTGTGCGCCAAGGGCTTTCGGACGTGGGTCGAGCACGGCCTGAGACGACTTGTATGGAAACGCTCTCTGATTAAGCAGCAACAAACCGCGAAAAGAGTGCTGAGGCGGTGGCTCAAGCGGCACAAGTCGAGGGCCTTCCAGACCTGGATCATGCGCGTCATTTTCTTGCGGTGTCTGCGGCGGTGCCTGCTGCGGTTATTGCGACGGCGGTTGGCCGTAGGATTTACTACTTGGTCCGGGCGCTCCTTTAAGTTACGAGATGCACGACGACGGTTCCAGCGTCGAGTCTTTGGCGTGAGAAGGTGTGTGAGACGGCTGATGCACCGAGAATTGATGATGGGACTATCGACGTGGTCTAAATTTGTCGCACAATGCAAGGAAAAAGATATTTTTGAGAACTTCAAGGAGATCCAGGATTTGAGGCAGCACCGCCAGCGCCTCGCGACCTTCTCGAAGTGCGTCAAGGCGTGGCAGAGGCGGGACCGCGGTCGTGCCTTTCGGACGTGGGCTACTACTACTATGTTCCTGCGGAATCTGGGACGGTGCGTATCGAGGATGTGTCATAGGCAACTCGCTGCGGCTTTTGGGAAGTGGAGCGGCCGCAGCTTTGCACTGTCAAAAAGACGCAATCTTCACGAGGACGCGTCGAAGCGACTAACACGCAATTTGCAGCGGTGGCTGCGCTGGCGGCGGAACCGCGCGTTCCTCAAGTGGACCGCGATCGTCGGTGCCGCCAACCTCTCACATAGGGTTCTGATAACGGCGACGCGCGTCCTAAGGAGGTGGCTCCTGCGGCAGGCTTCAATAGCCTTCCGCACCTGGCACTCCCTGACAATGATGGAGACGCAGTCGAAGCAGTTCGAGGCGCTGTGGGATTCGAATATGGGCCGTACTAGGAGTAGCGTCGTGCGGCGCCTGACGCGGAGCTTAGCAAGATGGTCAAAACAACGGAAATCCATGGCCTTCAACGCCTGGGCGCGTAGTGCGTTCGGCGACTACCACGGCGACCTGTTAAAGTGGTCCGGTGCGGCTCTGTGTCGACGGGCGCTGGAACGGCGGCATCGAGGCATCGTCCACTCGAAGCTTCTGAGGTGGCGCCGGGCGACGTTCCTGGTGAGAAACGCCGAGAAGCATCGAGCGGTCCTCGCGGACGCTGAAATGAGACGCCGCCACTCTGAGAGTGAACGCAAGGCCCACGCCGCCGCTCGCTTGCATCGGTTCCTGCGGTCAAAACGCTACGGGTGCTTAAGGTTGGGCTTCGACGCCTTCGAAGGGCACACCCATAGCCTGATCGAGGCCCAGGCCCATCTCACAAAGGTGCGATCCGAGAGCTTGAAGCGATGCTATTTGAGATGGAGCCGCGGTACGCGACGCGAGGCCTTCCGCATCTTGCAGGGACGGCATGCGACGCTCGGGAAGAGGCAGAGCGCGTGCCGGCGCTTCCGGAGAACGTTGGGTCGCTTCGAGGCGTTCTCTGTTTCCACGGCCTTCCAGCAATGGGCGAGAACCATCAGAGGCGACGCGCGGGCCGAAGTTATATTAAGAAGGTGCCTCGGGCGCCTCGCGAACCGGGCCGTGGGTCGCGCCTGCGCGGCCTGGTGGCGCGTCGTGTTTGCGTCGAGGCGGCGCGAGGAGCTCCTCGAGCGGGCCTCGTCATTGTTGTGGCGCGGCGGCGTGACCGCTGCTATCATAAGGTGGCGCCGGTCCGTGAACCTGCGGACGCGCCTGACGCGGCGGGAGGCGACGCAGCGCGCTGCTTTACGTTTAGTAGCAAGAGGTCTCGAGGGCCGCCTCTCCACTCAAGCTTCGGCTCTGAAGCGCCACGCGCTGAACGCGTGGTGGTCTCAAATCGCCAAGCGCGGCTTCGTGGAGCAGCGCCTCCGCACCATCGCCACCCGCGTGGGGGCCGCGCGGACGCGGACCGCCTTCGGGACGTGGCGCTCTCACAGTCTTGCAACGGAGAAGCTGGCCTTCTCCCAGAATCACGCCGCGCATGCGATCAAGCGCGTTCTAGGGCGGTGGACGAAGCGGCTGCAAGCGCAAGCCTTCGAGGTGCTCGCGCGCCGCGCCGCGACGGCTAGGTTCTTGATTCGTATATTGATGAAGATGCTGCGTCTCAAGGTAGCGTCGGCCTTCGCGTCGTGGATTGGCGACGTGGCCTTGCTGAAGAGTCGCAAGAACGCCCACAAGGCGAGCGTCTTGCGGTTACGAAGGGTCGCGAGACGCATGGCGCGGTGCCTGAGCTACTGGCTGAAGCGTATCCAACTAAGAGCATTCCGGACGTGGGTCGACCTGTTGTCGAGGGAGGTTTCGAAACTTTATGCCACGAAACACGTCGGGTTCATCGTGACGCGGTGGCGTCTGAGGCAGGTCTCAAGAGCTTTAAGAGCGTGGCGCTACACGACCGGTCTCACATTACAGTCGGAGCACTTTGAATTGTTGTGGCGCGGTTCGTTGGGGCGAGGCCAGGACGCGGCCGCGAGACAACTGCAGCGGTGTCTCACGAGGTGGTTCGGCAAGAAGCGAACCCTGGGCTTCCGGGCCTGGGTGTCTTATGTGGGCGACGCCGCGTGCCGCCAGAATAGTGCTTCGTTATGTCTCCGCATCTGTAAGAAGGTCGCGGCGCGCGCGTCCCGACGGCGGTTATTGCTGTGGAAGCGCGCCTCGTTTTTAGCGAGGAATGCGGAAAAGCACCGGGCGGTGCTCGATGACGCCGCGTTGCGGCGGCGCCACGCGGTTTCGGAGCGGAAGGGCCACGCCGTTGCTCGCTTATCGAGGTACCTCCGGAGCACGATGAATGGCAGGGTGCGGCGCGCCTGGACTGATTTGAAAATAAATGCGGAGCGGGGCCGGTCTCTCTTGCAACAGGACGCCTTCCTCGCGCACCAGCGCAGGCATGCGCTCCGAAGATGCGTTTCATATTTGAGGAGCGGTGCGAAAGCTATGGCATTCCGAGCCTGGTTAGTCAACGCCGATCTATTGAGGACGAAGACGGTGACACTACGACGCGTTTTGGGGAGGTGGACGAAGCGCGTCCAATACGAGGCCTTTGAAGTGTTGGCAAGGCGCGTCGCCACCGCGCGGTTCCTGAGCCGGGTCCTGCAGAAGATGCTGCGCCTCAAGGCATTGACGGCGTTCACGACCTGGACCACTCATATACAAAGGCGCCTCACTTCCCATAGATCGTTGCTCTCGCGCGCCCGGGCGTTGCGCCGGTGCGCCAAGCTCGTCAAGGGAGGGCGGTTATCACTCTACTTCCGGGCCTGGGCCTTGAATATAAGAAGACGCAGCCGCGCGGAGGCCGCCTGTCGCCGGATACAGCGCGCCACGACGCGCTACGAGCGCGCTACACGATTGCGATACGTGCGAAGGTGGCTTCAGCGCGTGCGAGATGATAAGAGGGCTTCCATTATCTTGAGGAAGTGCCTCGGCCGCTTCGCGCATCGGGCCGTGGGCCGAGCGGCGGCAAAATGGTGGGGGGATATCATCATTGAAAGAAGACGGGAAGACCTCCTAACGCGGGCCACCGAACTCTTGTGGCGCGGGTCGGCGACAAGTGCCATCTTGAGGTGGAAGTGCACGGTGCAGATTATCGGAAGGTCGAGCGCTGCGTTCCAAAAGTTACGAAGGCGGCGGGGCGTGGCTTTAAGGTTGCTGAAGCGGGGCCTTGTCGGACGTACGACCAGGGACGCCGGAAATCGATTGCGGCGCGCGTGGTTCAGATGGCGGGGCCGAACTAGGTTACTGAACGCCCTAGCAAGGAGGCTCTCCCGATTGGCGACGGCCGAGGCGCGCTACCGACTGAGGCAAGCCGTTCGGGACTGGGATCGGTTCGCCCAGGCCAAAATTCTGATCGAGTTAGATGATCACGGTCTGAACGCTGTTAGGTTTGAGGAGGCTAGGGCGAATGCGTTGCGCTTAAAACGCCAGCGGTCGACGGTGCGCCACGTCGCGAACGCGCTGCTGCGGCCGGCGCTGGCCCGCGGCTTCCGAGCCTTCCGCGGCCACATGATGCGCATGCGGCGCCTCGCGAAGGTCTGCCAGCGGGCGCACATGCACGCGCGCTGTACCGTACAGAAGGCGTTCTTCACGATGAAGGCCCAGCGCACGAGAGGAGACGCGTTGTCCATTGTCCAAGCCTCGGGCCGGTGGGTCCGCGAGGCCGGCGCCCGAGCCATGCGGGTCTGGTTACGAAGGCGGGCGCGCACGTTCGTGCTGTGGGCCTGGCGCATTTGGATGCTTAATATCAACGAGCAGCGTCTTGAAAACCAGCGGCGCCTGACGTCCAACTTAAATCTGGTCCAAGGGGCGTCGCGCCTGGAACGGACGCTGAAACGGTGGCGCTTCGCTACATTAGCGACGGGTCTCCAAACCTGGCTTGACCGCGCGGCTCTACTAAGGCACCGCCACGACCGCAACACGGCCACGGCGACGGCCCAGATCTTCCGCTCTTTACATAGGAAGTGGACGCAGAACGCGCACCGGAGACTCGCGGCGTGGCGCCGCGCCGCGTTCCTGCTGCGCAACGCCGAGAAGCACCGTTTAGTATTAGACGAGGCGGAGGCGCGCCGCGCCTTCGCCACGACGAAGCGCAAGGCGCACGCCGTGACGCGCCTGGCGACCTGGGTGAGGCGGTGGCACGACGGTAAAAGGGCAAGGGCGTTTGTGCGGTGGTGCCGCTTTGTGTTGAACCACGAAGCATCTTGTTTGAGAGGAGGCCTGCGCGCGGACTGTTTAAAACGCTGTCTGCAACGAGGAATCAATCGTTGGGCCCTCCACGACACGTCAAGAGCGTTCCGGGCCTGGAAATCTTATAGGGACGCCTTTAACAACGACGCGCTGCGATACGGAGCCCAGACGGCTAAGTTCAAGCGCCTGCTCGCCAAGCACGCGCGCCGCACGACATCATACATACTTCGGGCGTGGTCCCAAAAGGCGCGCGCCGAGGCCCGGGCCGAGCGCATTTTGAAAAGGTGCCTCGGCCGCGCCGCGCACCGGTCGCTCGGCGCGGCCTGCTCGAGCTGGTACGACTTTTTGCGCTTCCAGGAGATCACAGAAACACGTGCGGCCAAGCTCGCGCGCTGCGCGCGGCGCCTCCGGCAGCCGCAGCAGTTCCGCGCATTCAACAGATGGCGCCGCGTCCTCGCGCTGTCCACGCAACGTTCAAATGCAGCCGCGCGCCTCGAGCGCCTGGAGCGGCGCATTGTGCGGCGATTGGTGAATGCGCGGCTAGGGGCAGCTATGGACGTCTGGTGCGCCCAGCGGCATAAAGTGTCGAGGGCCGAGCGGGCGCGGCGCCGTTCAGTTGAGGCGCTGCGCAAGGTGCTCACGCGGTACGCGTCCCGTGATAAACGAGCGGCCTTCCGCCTGTTTGTGGACGTGACGCGGCTTCATCAGACGCAGAGCCGCGCGGCCCGGCAGTTGGTGCGTGTTTTCAACCGAGCGCTCCGGAAACAGAGGGCCGCCCACCTCGTTACGGGGATGCGCCATTGGCGCGCGTACGTCGTCGAGGCGCGCGCGGCGGACCACCGCCGCGATCTACGCCTCCTCGACCTGAGGAAGTGCGTGGCGCGGTTCGGTCGACGGTCCCTCGCCTTTGCTTTTTTGAGGTGGGAATCATGTATAGAGGCCCAGTATCGATTGCGGCGCCTGCTGTCGAACTGCGTGCTCCACAAGCGCAAGGCGGCGTTCCGAGCCTGGGCGGAAGGCGTGATCGAGCGCCGCGACACGTCGGAGGCGGTGCGCCACCTCTGGCATATTCACCACCGCATCTTTGTGAAGTGGTCTTTACGGAGACAGTCGTGCGGGTTCGTGGCGTGGCGCGACGTCGTAAGGACGCAATCGAATCGAACCCGCGCCCTCGCGCGCGTCGCCCGGCGCTTTTCTTCCTACCGGCGCGCGCTCGCGTTCCGCACGTGGCTGCGCCTGGCGGCGCGCTCGCGGCGCCGGGCCGAGCGACTTAAGCGGCGGAGCGACTCGAATGATTCATTAAGAGCTCGGTCGCTCCAGCTGCTGCGGAAGGTTTTAGTCAGGTACTCGCGGAGCGCCGCGCGGCTCTACTTTGTGAGCTGGGCCGCGCGCGTCGACGCCCGGTCGCGAGCGGCCAAGCTGCTCACGAAGTGCGCTAGACGGTTAGCGCATTTGGCCGTCGGCAAGGCGTGTTATGCGTGGTACGATTTGATAGTCGAGGATCGAAATCAGAGGGAGGCCCTGGACGCTATGTGTAGATGTCTGAAGCGGTTCCAGCACGCGCGGCTCTGGGCCGCGTATCGCAAATGGATGCTGGGGGCCCACATTGCGCAAAGGCGCTTGCACGAAGCGAAGCGGATCTATCTCATCAGGCGCAAGGCCCTGCGGCGCTTCCGTTCAATGGCCAAGGCTCGAGCCTTCACGACGTGGCGCGTCATGTCAGAGAGGTGTAGACGCATGGCGAACAAGTCGTTGGTATTGTCCATCAAGCTCAAAGTACCTATAGATAGGTGGACGCACCGGAAATTGTACAGAGCCTTCGGGACCTGGCTCGAGCTTATGATGGGCCTCCGCAATATGACGAGGGTCCTCAAGCGCCTCGGGAAGCATCACCTCGCGATGTCCTTTGATGCTTGGAGCGGCCACCACTTTACAATGGCCCGGAAGCGCGACGCCGCGGCGCGGATCCGACGTATTGAAAGGCGCTGCGTTTTGAGGTTACAGGCGCGCCAGGCTTCGCGAGCGTTGCGGACCTGGGTTGCTTACGTCAAAGCCTGCCGCCTGCTCGAAAGGCGCTTGCTGCGCGTCGAGCGCATCCTCGCGAAGACAATCAAAAGGTGGGTCTGTCGCGTCAAGAGCGCCGCCTTCAACAAATGGAGGGACGGTTTGGTCTTTTTGAAGCATTTAGAAAGACTTTTACTAAGATTCGTCAAGCGGCATTTGTTCGTGGCGTTCCAGACGTGGTCCGGACGTTTACTCATCATCGACCGGCGACGAGCCGCCGCGAAGCGGCTGCACCGCTGCCAGCGGCGGGTGCTGAGGCACTTTTATAGTGTAGCGGTGTGGATGGCGCTCCAGAACTGGAAGCAGCTCTGCTGGGAACTGAGGGCTCAAGATGGAAGGACGGCGAGTGGGCTCGGGATCATGGAGAGATACTTGAGACGGTGGCTGAACCGTAAGGTTGGGCGCTACCTCACCACGTGGGCCTCCATAACAATATGGCTGCGCAACCTCGAGAAGGTTGTGCAGCGGTTGCGACGGCGGCGCGAGGCGATCGCGTTCGGGACCTGGAGCGGCGAGCGCTTCCGGTTAGAAAGGCGCCGCGATGTGCTACGGAGGGGCCTCAAGGCCCAGCGGCGGTGGCTTCGACGCCTGCGCCACTTCTCGGCTCAAAGAGCGTGGCGGAGCTGGATGAGTCTCGTCCTTTCCTGTAGAGAAGTTGACAGGACGCGCGGCGTCATCCGCAGCATCCTCCACAAATCAGTGAGGAAGTGGGTCAATCGGAAGGTCGCCAAAGCTTTCACCACATGGTCTTCCAACATCGTATTCCTGCGCAATGTGTACAGGGTCGTCTCGAGATTAGAACACCGTTTCGTGGCCAAGGCCTTCGACACGTGGTCTCTGAGAAACTTCGCTCTAGACAAGAGGGTGGATTCGATCCGCCGAGTGTTGTTGCAGAAGAAACGATTACTTAGACATTTGTGTCTGAGAAGGTGCTCGCGCGCGTTTTTGGTCTGGCGCTCCCGGTGTCTCGAAGGTCACATACTGGACAAAGAGCAGGAGCTCGGGTTCTACAAGCTGCGCAAAGCTCTGAGGAAGTGGCTCCGGTGCAAACAAATGAGAGCCTTCGAGACCTGGTGTTCATTGGTCGAATTCAAGCGGAACCTATCCAGAGTTTTGATGCGGTTCACGAAGCGCAAACTCGCGGTGGGTTGGCGGACCTGGACGGACCGGAACTTCACGCTTGTTAGGAGACGCGATTCCTTGCGACGTGCACTGCGGGCCAAGGACCGTATCCTGCGGAGGATGATCCTCAAGAGCTGCTCGAAGGCATGGAGGACGTGGCAGCCCCACGTGGTGTGGGATAGAGCTGTCGCGGCGGACCGGGTGCTGGGGTTGCGGTGTTTGCGGCGATGCTTGTCGAGATGGGCGAAGCGCGACGTTTATGCGGCCTGGCGCACGTGGGCCGCGAAGACGAGGAGGACGCATCTTGTGAGGAGGTGCTGCTTGTATTTGCAGAAGCGGCGCCTCGCCCTCGGCTACCGGGCCTGGGCGGCGCACGTCACACGCCTCACGAAGAAGGAGGCCGCCGTCGTGCGTTTGACGCGGCTGGCCACCGGAACTCTCCGGAAGTGGCGCCGCCGGGGCCTCGCGAAGGGTCTGCGGGCCTGGCGCGGCTTTGTGGCGGAGTGCACAGCACTCGAACGTAAATTCGCGACGGTCGTGCGCGCGCTCCGGGCGGGGTTGCAGTGGTGGGCGACGGGTCGCTTGAAGGTAGCGTTGAGGCGGTGGCACGCCACTATCGCCTTCTTCGACGATCTCGAAAGGTGCGTCCTGCGCATGTTGCGAAGGCGCCTCGCGGTCGGCTTCCAGACTTTGGTGTCCGTAGTGGGCCTCGCCACAAAGCGCCAACGGGCCATCCACCGGGTCCTGCGATCAAAGAAGCGTAGTATTAGGCACATGCAGCATAGGAGACTAGGCCGGGCCCTGCGCGTTTTATGTCTCAACGGCTCGTCAACAAGTCAGAGCTCCAAGGACAAGGGCACGGCCGTGGCTTTGCTCAAAAGGTACGCGCGGCGCTGGGAGGGCGGCCAGAAGCATTTGGCGGTGCGGATTTGGTGTAGAAATGCGGCCGCGCGAACGTCCAAGGGCGCGGCGGCGCTGCGGGCTCTTAACATAGGCCAACGGGCTCTGAGGAGGCTTCTTCGACTCCGTCTTTCAATGTCAATGAACGCGTGGCGTAGTAGAACGGTCAACGATCATCGGGCGATGGCCATCCTGGCCAAGGTCGCGCTGCGCTGGAGGGCCGGCGCCGTCAGCAGATCATATAGGAGGTGGGCGTTGACGGCGCGCCGGTTCACGGCGCGCAAGGTCGCCATGGTTCAGTTGGGGAGGGCCCTGCTGCGGTGCGGCGCCAGGCACCGGCGCAATGGGCTCGGTGCTGTTCTGGTCGCGTGGCGCGCACTATGTGTGATGGAGTCCGACTCGGACAAGGACAAGCGCCACGCCATTTCTGTCTTAGCGCGGGGCGCTTTCAAGTCAAAACGCCTCGCGCTCATCCATGGCGTGCGGACGTGGCGCGCCCACGCTCTTATTATGAAAGACGACGCGGCGCGGGCGCGCATCCTGCACCTTTTATCAAATCGCTGCGGCCGCCGCGTTCTTCGTAGAGCCATCAACCAGTTGCGCCCTGTGTGGAAATCAACCAGTGTGTCAGGTGCTCATTTCTCGGCGATGACGCGGCCGTCCTGGCTCGGCCGATCGGTGAGCAACCGGCATCGCCACGCCATCGAGCAGGCGTCGCGTCGATGGCGTGGAAGACGACGCGATGATTCAGCACGAACGCGCCGTAAATTTTGATTTCCCCACAGGTGGCGCCTGAAGCGCACCGCGCCCGCGAAGCGCGCGCTCAAGAGGCACGTCGTCGCCCGCGTCTCGGCCGTGTCCCGGCGCCAGCTCTTCAAGGCCTTCGTCTTCTGGCGGTCGAGCGCGCCGCGGGCCGCCGAGGACTTCTGGCACGCGAACGAGTACTTGAGAAGAGCCGTGCGCTCGCGGCGTCCCGCGAGGTGCCTTCTTTTGGCCGTTGCCGTGCGTACGGATGCTCTGCTTTCGCCGCGTGCGCATGACATCCACCGCCCCGCGTCGAGGGCCGCGCCAGCAGTCCGAGACGACCCACGCGCGCCGCCACTGCGACGCACGCCCTCGACGCGACCCACACGCGCCGTCGCCGCCGCCGCGAGCCACGCACACGGTCGCCGCCGCCGCGAGACCCGCCAATAACCCCACAAAAACGCGCAGGTCACCTGCGTCGAGGTCCGCAACGACCCTTCATTAAAAGCTGCGCTGCGATCCTGCGTGCTGCGTTCGGCGAAGACCGAGCGAGGGTGGTTGCAATTGCAGGCGTGCTGCTTCGATGGGGATGGCGTCTACCTCGGCCCGTCGCTCGCAATATACAGAGACGGTTTGACAGATGAAGTGCTGTTAGATGGCGGCGCGGCACAAGTGACCGGAGAGGGCTTTTGTGTGGACCGCGTCGGGCGGTCGTCGCTACCGTATGTGATTTCGGAGGGCGACGCCTGGGTGGCTGCTGTGGATGCAAGTCTAGCGCACCACGCCCTCATATTGAGAAGACTCCACGGCGACCCGCGCTGCCGGCGGCCCTCGCAACGGCGCGCGGCGATCAAAAACTTCCGCGAATCGAAACCCGCGTTCCCCCCGCCCCAATTTGAAGAAAGAGCGTTAATACCCTCCAACCCTCAAGTCGCGTCGCCTCGGGAAGTCGCGGCGGGCGTCTTGGAAGTGGCCCAGACTGGATCTGAAACGAGACGCACGGGCCTCCACTCGTTAATTGTGAAGTCGGGCTATTTACTGTATGAGCGGCTGCCGGGCGTCTGGCGGCGGCGGTTCCTCAAGCTACGGGCGGTGAGTTTCGACGTAGCTTCAAGATACGCGGGGCCTTGCGTCGAGTCTTCGTTAGATGAAGACTCCGAGCCTCTGGCGACGTTTCCGCTGGATAGCACGAGGGTGAGATCCGGGGCGTCGGAGGCGGGCCTGCACCCCATGCTCTTCGTGGATAGTGCGTCGGGCGCGTCGGAGCGCTTCGCCGCGGCGACGCGGAGAGATAGAGACGCGTGGCTGGCCGCCGTCGAGGCCGCGCGCGAGCAGCATTCTACCGTGATCGATTCGTTACGAGGTGAGGTGAGGAGGCCGCCGCCGCCGCCTGAAATACCAGAAGAGCCGGAGCGGACGCACCTCTTCCGCTTTGGGGTCAACGCCTCCAAAAAGTTCCAGTGCGTCCACTGCTCGTTTCGCGGGACTTATGAGGAAGTGGCAGCACATGAAAGGAGCTGCCCCGACGGTGGGATAAAGGGCATCCTGAGCTGCTCTTCTCGAAACTGGAATCAAGCAAGGTACGAGCTGAAAGGTGGCGCTTTGGTGGGCGACGGCCAGCGTTTTGAGTTAAGGGGGGCTTCTGTGCGCTCTGCCGAGCCGTGCGGCTTCGACGTCGAGGCGCCGGGGCGGGGACCGGTGTCGTTCGTCTGCGCTACTGCCGTGGAGCGGGACGGGTGGGTGCGGGCGCTTGGGAGGGTGTGTCGCGTGGCTACGCCCTCGTAATTTATTGTGTTTTGAATTATCTCCAGCACGCGTTCCCTGGGCTTCGTGCGCCGCGCTTGCGTTTTTGAGGCTGCTTGCTAGTGTCTTACAGGCCGCTAGCCTATCGATCCGGTTTTTTCACAAGCGCGCGGCGCTGATCGCGAGCGTCGGCGGCGTCGACAAGCTCGACTCCTTCTGGGGTCAGCGGGACAAGACGCGGCAGCAACGCGACCGCGAGAGCCGCGCGGCGAACTTCGACCGCCGGCCGCGGCCTGATGGGTTTGCCGGGCTGTTCTTCTTCTGAGTCCCGCGGCCGCATGGGTTTCCCGGCCTGATCTTCTTCTGAGTCGGGCTACGCTATCGGGGAGTAAGACGTCTGGGTAGAGATTTAAGAAACAGACCTTAAACGCGACGGCGGGGCAAAAGATCTACTTCGCGCGCGCGCGCATCTTTCTGCGCTTGCGCTGGAGGCGGCGCGTGCGCTTCTTCTTCCACTTCCAGCGCATCTTCGACGTCGACTTCTTGTAGCGCGACGCCTCGCCGCCGCCGGCGACGTTCAGCAGGAGCTCGATCGACGAGCCGTCGGCGAGCTCGTTGTCCTCGAGCGTGCCCGTCGTGAGGTCGCGGCCGCCGGCCGACAGGCGCTGGAGGTCCGCGGGGATGAAGGACTCGTCTTCGATGACGTCCTTGAGTTGGCCTACCGTTAAAGCGCCGTCCACATCCAATGTGGAGGTCCGCCCCTCGGCGGAGACGAAGAGCTGCACCTGCGGGGGAGGGGCGGGTGAGCGGTGGCGCGCGGCGGCGGCGTGGGCGGGAGCTCTGGTAGGGGGGGTGTGGGAGCAGTCGGGCAGGCGGCGTCTCGGGCGGTCCCGGTGAGCCTCGGTGGCGCTAGCAAGCCCTCGGGCCGTCGCGGGCCCCCGCGGTGGCCCTAGCAAGCGCTCCGGGCCGCTGCGAGCCCGGCAGCGCGTACGGGCGTGTGCTGGGCCGCGCCGCGCCGCCAGGGGGCCAAATTTAGCTGCAAGCAGCAGAGGGCTGCTTTTGGCCGCCACGCGTCGTGTGAGGGCCCCGTCTTCGGAGGAGGTCTTTTTCGTGGCTAAGGCTAGCCGCGGGAGGTGTTGGCTGGGCGCTGGAGTCGTTACCATGGGTGCAGAGCGCCCTTGCTCGAGCGATGCCGTCGCAAAAGAAGAGCTAGTGTCTTTACAATCGCTAGCGAAATGATTCAATTCAAGAGCCATCTGTCCAAGTGCGACGCCTGGGGCACCCCTGGGACAGGCTAGCGAGCCACGGCGTGAGCGGCGACTGCAGCCCATAAAAGAGCCAAAGCTGTGCCAATATACAGCAGCTGCAGCGTAAGATCAGCTGCATTTGTCACGGCTGACCCAAAAAAAACACGTGCGCTGCAAAAAATCGCTTCCAGACGCCGCAGACACAGCCGACACTGAGGCTGCAAAAAGCAACACACCACAAGACGCCGCCGCAGCGATCATAACTTGAAACAGCGCCGCCGCAGCGACGCGATCACAGCGTGCAAAAAGCGCCACCTCCGCCGCGACAACAGCACTACTCACAAACATGGCCGAGTTCGACGCCGACGCCTTCGCGGACAGCCTCCCCGGCTGGGACCCTGAAGCGCGCGCCGCCTTCCTCGCGTCGCTCGACGACGACGAGGCGCCCGAGCTCCCATTGTTAGCGGAGTCCGTCGACGAGATGGACCCGGCCATGGTCGAGGCGTTGATGCAGCTGAGGGACGGCGGCGAGCCTCCCTCGGAGCTCGCCGTCGACGCCAAAAATAGAGGCAATGCCCATTTCAAACGGGCGGCGTCGACCAAGAATAAACTCTTCTACCGCGAGGCCGCCAAGGAGTACTCCGACGGCCTCGCGCTCTGCGTCGCCGCGCGGAGCGAAGAAAACGATGAAGAGGACCCGCAGACGCGGCTCACGTTGCACGCGAACCGCGCGGCGTGCTCGCTCGCCTTGAAGAACTACGGCGAGTGCGTCAAGGACTGCAAGGCCGCGTTAGCCATCGACGAAACCAACGCGAAGGCCGCCTACCGCCTCGCGCGGGCGTTGATAGGACTGAAGAAGCACAAGCAAGCGCGGGACGCGGCGCAGTGGGGCCTCGCGAGCGCGCCCGACGACAAGGCTTTGACAAAGACCTTGGCGGAGGCGCAGCGCGGCCTCGCCCAGGCCGACGCCTACGCGGCCAAGGTCGCCGCAAAGAACGCGTCAGAAGCCGCGACGCACCGCGCCGTCTTCGACGCCTGCGACGCGCTGAGCGTGCGCCTCGGGCCCGCGCCGCCGGCGACGGGCCGCGCCTACGACGCCTGGCCCTTTCTGGAGGGAGGGGAGCTGCGCGTGCCCGTCGTCTTCGCCTACCCCGAGGTCGACGACGCGCCCCCCGATTTGCTTGAGGCCTGCGCGCCCTCGGACTTGATCGCCGACTGGCTCTTGACGTTATTTCCGGACGACAACGGCCCGGCCTGGGATACTGCCGGCGCGTACCGCGCGCCCGTAGTTACATGCTACGCGCGGCTGCGCCAGGTCACGGGCTTTTACCGGGGCGACGCGTACGCCGAGTACCGCGCGCGGCGCGAGAAGGATGGGGGCAGGTTCGACGGGGAAGACGCGCGCGACGACGCGTACCTCGAGGTGCCCGCGGCGGCGGCGTTTCTGGACGTGCTCTCGCACCCGCACTTTGTCCTGGGCGGGCCGTTAGTCGTGGAAGTGCGAGCGCCGTCGGCGGACCACGACGGCTGGCGCGCGCGGACCAAGGTGCGGGAGATGTCGCTCGTCGCGGCGTGAGGCGTGTAATGTCTGTGTTGTTCTTCGGCGGGTGTATCTGTTACGGTGCTGGGACTAGTGGGCGGCGCCCCTGGGCCTGTGGGAGACACCGTTTCATCGGCGGCGGGCGTGCCGCGTTTTTTATAACAGCGTACCTCTTTCTATGCCCCAACATATTGTTACGGTGCTAGCTCTGTCTAGGACGTAGCGGCTAGTACGTGACACGCTAGATCAAGCAGCCAAGCGCGAGGGAGCTCGCTTGGCAAGCTAAAAGCATTGCATCATTCAACGGCACTCACGAGAGCTGTACGTGCACCGTGCCGCGTGCATGCAAGCACGCCTCAGCATCTCTCAGCTAGCCAGCATACCTCGCACAGCGGCGTGAAGCGCTGTAGCGCGGCGCGGCCGTACCAGTGGTCAGTGCGGGCGCAGCAGCCGCAGACGACACGCCGCAGTGAAAGGGCGAAACGCCGCGTCGCAGCAAAATGGGCAAGAAGGATCGGCTATGTCCGAACCCCGTGATGGCCCACAAAAAAAAGATGAAGCAGAAGGAGATCAAGCGCAACAAGCGTCACAAGGTCGAGCGCCAGGAGGCGCAGGAGCTCCTCCGCGACCCCGACGCGCTCGCCGCCGAGATCGCGCGCGTCGCCGAGGACGCGACGCATAGCTCCGAGGCTCGTGCGAAACTGAAGGCGCTCCAGGCGCACCAGAAGGTGCTGGCGAAGAGCATCGCGGCGGACGCTAAGCGGCGTCCCGAAGAGCTTGGCTTCAAGGGAGCGGGCTCTCCTCGCGGCCCGCCGCCGCGAGGCGCTGCAGGCCCTCGCGGCTCCCAGGCTCGGCCTCCTCCGCCACCACCCCGGGGCGCACCGCCCGCGCACGCGTTCGTGGGCCGAGGTCCGCCGTCGGCGCCTGTGTGGAAATCAAGCACTGCGGGAGACCTTCGTCTGAAGTTTGAACTCCGCACAGGCCGCCGCCGCCGCGAGGGGCGCCGCCGCCGCCCCGAGGCGCGCCGCCCGCTCACGCGTTCGTGAGCCGCGGGCCGCCCCCTCCGCCTCCTCGCGCACCGTTCCCGCGAGGCGCGGCGCCGAGCGCTGGCTTCTGCCCGCCGCTGCCACCGGGCCCGCCGCCGCGCGTGCGCCGCCGCCCGCCGCCGCCGCCCGGGAAGCCTCCTCCCCACGCTTTCCCACGACTGCCGGAGAAGCGCGCCGCCGCCGACGCGGGCCCAGTGGGGCCGGCGCGGCCGAAGGGACCCAAGGTGCTGGGCCGCGCGGACGGTGTTGAGGACCTCGTGCGCGACCAAACCTTTGTGCCGGCGAACATCCGCGGTGTCCGGCGCCGGCCAGCGGCGCCCAAGCGGAAGCGACCCGTGAGCGCGACGACGACGTCGGCGCCGGCGCAGATCCACGCGGCGCCCACGCCCGCGCCCGCGCCCGCGGACGCCGCCTTCTCCGCGTTCATGGACGAGATGCGGGAGCTGCCGGAGCCGGGTAAGTCTTGATCGTACGTAGTACTAGAGTTTATGCGGGTTCTAGTTTTGGGGGAGGTACATCTGACTGTACGGTGCTTCGGTCAAGGGGGTCCGCGGAGGGGGTAGTAGAGGTTCGCGGCGGAATGAGGGGACGGGGACCGAGCGTTGAGTGGATGTATGTTCATTGCGCCGTCGGCGCGCCAGTGGCCGTGGGCGTCGAGGTCGGGGCGTACGTTTCCGTGGTCGGTGCGTAGCTCGGTGCTTCGGTCGTGCGCGTGGGGGCGTAGGTCTCGGTGCGGGTCGGGGAAAGCGTCGCCGTGGGCTCTGGCGTCGTCGGCTCGGCCGTCGGCGCCTCCGTAGCCGTGGGACTCATCACGTCCGTGGTCGGCGCCATCGTGGGTGCCTCTGTAGTGTAGCTGTAGGAGTACGTCGGCGGAGCCGCCTGTGTGGAAATCGCCCGGTGATCCTCGTCGATCTCGTGCCGGTGGGGTAGAAGTTCAAACGGACACGGGTCGCGGACAGTGCTTGTCGTCGACGATGGCATCAGCGTGCCGAGAATCTTGATAACGCGCAGTAGCCGCAGGAGGGCAGCACTAAGTCTTGCGGAGCACCTAGCGTAACGACATACTAGCAAATTCAAAAATACGCCTCGATGGCGTCAAAAGAATAACCCAAATTCAGAATACATCCTAGTTGTTCGCCGAGACCAAATATTTCATACTAGCGGCCCGGGAACATACCCTCGCGCTTCCCGGAAGGCACCGCCCGCGACATTCACGGATGAGTCTTACGGCTCGCCAAAATACACCAGCGATTGACGCCGCCATCTACCGTCCAAATGGGACATTATATCAACTCCAGCCCAGTTTTCATACAAGTTCGACGGAACCGGAGCCGACGGCCCGCGCTCGGAGGGCGGGGGAAGAATTCTACTAGACAACTCTCGCGTTTATGTTCGTTTCCTTCCGTTTGTTAGTGGTAGATTCCATTTAGGCCGGATGAACACGTACTCATCTACATTAGGGGCTCCGTTAGAGCCTCGCGAAACGACGAATCCGCGCCCCACGTTTTTACACAGACAGCCGCAAATCCTGGACCTGCTGGTATCAGCGATGCCACTATCCAGATGGACCATAACGCCGTTGTTCTATTCACAATCGACCGACTTGCCCGTTCTCCGCGGACGACGGTGCGTAGACGGAGGGCGGGAAAGGGCCCAGACCGGTGAATTATAAAATAAATTTGCGTTTCAGGCGCTTCAGTTCTAGTACGGGCCAGATAACTGGCCTGAGCGCGTCCTACATTGCTCCGAGACCCCAAGATGCTCGGCGCGGGTCGTCGGACTCGCGAGCCCACAATCTGGCTATATTTGGCTCCAGACCCGAACCTGCGACCATCAGCCCGCGTACCTTCACCATGGACCATAACGCGATCATTTGTTTCATTATCGACGGACTTACGCGAGGTCCAGATCAAGATGTTCACGTCCCGAGCGTGGGCAGCCAAAAGTACCCTTCTTATGATGTAGATGTCATATACTTGTAATTGACTATCGGTGGGGTAGTATATGATCCAACGAGACCGTTATTACGATTCCTGGGGGCCCTCGGGTAATTGACGTTTTTGACGGGAACGGGGCGCCATCGGGTCCAAATTGCACACTTTTTTCGGGGGCTGATCGGCTCCCGGACTCCCTCCGGGATAGGTCTGGGGTCGGGTAGTCGCCTACGCCGCATGCGCCCGTACTTGGAGCTCCCCAGAGAGCTCTGGATCGAAATCTTTGGCAAATCATGGCCAATAAAAGGTTATCGCAAAGCACCTTGGGAGATGCATCTTACGTTGGAAGCGGCCGCGTAGGCGGCGTAGGCGATTGCCCACGTCTTTTACCGACCCTAGGCGGCCCCGGGGAGACTTCAGGACCACGGATTGACAGGATTCCACCGACGCGCCCGCCATGGTGGCGTCGTCAATTTCGCAAATTAAAAAAATTAATTTTTCGGCCCCCCAGTAAGTGTCCCATTGATCTCTTTGGACCGTTAGCGAACGGAACGATACTCAAACGGCTGCATGGCGCGTTCGAGTTTGCTTGCTAGTGTCTTTACATGCCGCTAGCTGTCGATTTGCCGAACCTCCCCGCGGCGCAGGGCTTGCCAACGCTTCAGCAGCGCAGGAGTTACGCAAATATACTGCGTAGTCTGGTCGCGCTGGCGCATTTCATCGCTAAGGCCGCGCGAACCCTCTCACAAGCCACGCAGCACACAGCCTCACGCAAGGCAGCCATCACAGTGAGCTAAAAAAAAAAACATGCTCAGCGTCTCCCCCCACTTCCGAGCCAACCACCCGGCCTTCGCCGCGCACCGCGCGCCACCACCTGCAGCGGCCGCGGCCGCCGACGACGCCGACTACGTCCTCGCGCTGTCGCCCGAGTGGGCGGCGAAACTCAAGCCGACGATCGAGCGGCTCCGCGCGCGCGACGGCGGCGGCGGGCGGAAGAAGCAGCCCCGGCGGAGGAAGGCCAAAAACAAGCGCCCGGCGCCGGCGCCGGCGCCGGCCGCGGACCTCGCGGCCCTCGCCGCCGCCGCGCAGGAGTACGCCGCCGCGCGCAGCAATGACGACGACGACGCGGCGGAGCCGACGACGGCGCGGACCATCAGCGCCCCCCCGGACGAGAGCGCCGCCGAGCCCACGCTCCAGGAGTCGCTCGAGACGCGGCGGGACCAGCTTCTGGCGTGGCTCAGTCTAAGTTGACACGTTTACTACCCTTTCGCGTCGATGGCGTCTGGAATTGGGGGGGCCAGACAGCGCGTCGATTCGCGATATTCGTCGCCGCCGAAACCCGACCACACGGCTTTACTACCGCTCCGGGGCGCGGCTTCCAGGGCCCCCGCGCTTAGGAAATGTTCTTTTACGGTGCTAGGAGTAGTGGGCCGCGCTGAGGGGCTAGCGCCTGTTAGGCACTAGCAAGCCAGTTTGATGCGCATGCTGGTTTCGGGCATTTCGCACAGCAGCAGCCCGTGCCGTTGCGCGTTGCGAGCCCGCATTCGTTAAAAGGGCAGCCCCTTACACACAGAGAGATGGCGTCGGGCCTGCGCCGGAGCTCGGGCGGCACTTGGCTGGAGGAGGACGAGGCCGACGACGCCGAGCCCACCTCGCCGCTCTCGGCCGCGACACCGGAGACGCCGGGCACGGAGGCGAGCCCGCAGACGCTGGACGACCGCCGCTACCGCGCGTCGATCCATGCGCTGGAGGCGGAGGTTGATACTCTTCTGTCGCGCGCCGCGGGCCGGGGTGGCGCGAAAGCTAGACGGGACCGGGACCGCGAATTAGTGAGGCGGTCCGACGCCATGGAAGCGTTGCAACTCGAGAACGCGGAGCTGCGGAACGACCTGGAGGCCGCGGGGCGCGAGGTCGACCGGCTGCGGGCGGCGTGCGCATCGGCCCAGTCCGACGCGGAGCGCTGCGCGCGCGCGGCAGCTAGAGCTGCGGAGCGCGCCGAGGCGAATGAGCTAGATGCGGCCGTCGCCGCGGCGCGGCGCGACGAGGCCGTGGGCGCGGTGAAGACACGGCACTGGGAGGAGTCGCAGCGGTTGGCTGAACAGCACGCCCAGGCCGTTTCAATGTTAGAGGGGCGCCTCGAGGAAGAAAGGGAGAGACGCATGGCCGCGGATTTGAGGAACGAGTCCCTCAAGGCGGACCTGGATCTGATTAAAAAAGAGGCGTCGCAGTTGACTGAAAAGTGCGGCGCCCTATCAAACCAACTCAAGGACGCCGAGTCCGAACGAGACGCGTGCAAGGACGAGGCCTCGCGGTCATCAAAACACGCGGAGCGCATGACCGCCGCCTTGGACGAGGCCGAGCGGCGCGCCACTCATGCAGAAGCGGGCAACCAGCAATCGAGAAGTGACGCCTTGAAAGCTGCGGCGGCCTCCGCGCAAGCGAGCGACGCAAAAACGACCGCCGAGGCCGCCGCGAAGCGCGCCGAGACCCAGCGCCGGTCCTTCGAGAAGCAACTAGCCTACGCCCGGAAGGAGGTCGAGAACGCGCGGCTGCGCGAGGAGGAGCAGCGCGAGCGCGTCGCCGAATTATCCCGGACGAACCGCGAGCTCATTGCTGAGAGGAGAAAACTCGAAGCGCGCGAGGTCGACCTCGAGGCCCGCGAGAAGACTGTTGTTAAAAGAGATGCAGCACGTCGGTTCCGAGGCTTGACCGATCTAAAACCGATGGAGGTCGCGGAGCTGCCGGAGGCCGCGCTCGGCGCGTGGCGGCGTAAGTAATTCATTTCTTATCCTTACCCCTATCAGTAGTCAGGCGCGACTTGATTCCCGCCTGCGTCAGCAGGTCGGGGATGGCGGACTTGATCGCCGCCGTGCCGCCCTCGAGCTGTCCCTCCTGGACGCCCGCGTCCCACTGCGCGGCCGTCCAGCCGTTCGCCGCGAGCGAGGCAATATGCTCCTCGTCGGTGATGGCGTTCTCCATCTGGTACTTGGCCAGGAACTCGCGTTCCGCGGAGTGGACGACGCCGTCGGCCAGAGCCACGCGCATAATTAATTCATACATCGTGACCCGCACGTCCTCCTGCATGATCGTAGGTAACTTGCGGGGCGCCACGGGACCGCCGGTCGCCTTCCGCGCGGCCTCCTTCGCCGCGTAGTCGTACTGGCCTCGTCGTCGCAGGCCCTCGACGAGGTCGAAGTACAACACGTTCAGTATGGCCGCCTCGATCGCGGGATTCTCGTCCATCGCACTGCGTAAAGCACCGTACGAGAACTCGACGACGCGCGCCGGCTCGGCAGCTAGGGCGGTGGAGGGGTAGGGCTGGGCCCGAACCGATGGGTCGAGCAGTGCCGTCCCACCAATCACGCACCCTCGTATCGGCACCTGGAAGCTATTGACCGTGCTGTCCTGGGGCCGCGCGATGTCCCGCTTCGCTCGGTATCTGTATAGTCTTTTGAGGGAGCCGTCGGGCGCGGTCTCGTAGGAGTCCACAGATCCCGTCGCAACTAAGACAATCCGGTCCATGGACTCGCCGGCCCGCACCAGCGCCTCGCCCGGCTGGAGCGTGCGCCAATTCGACTTGCGCATCATCGCCTGTGTGGAAATCAACCAGTGAGTCAGGTTAACTCGACCGAGTGGAGCGAGCAGCGCCTCACGCCGACCGCGACACACCAAAAATTGAAGGGCGCTTGAACTTTGCTTGCCACACAGATCATCGCGAAGAAGTTGTCCGGACTGACTCCATAGGGCCTCAGAGCCGACTCGTACAAGGCCATCTCCTCCTTCGTGAAGTAGAGCTCCTTCTTCTCCCCTAAGAACAGTAGGGGCGCCATGCCGAGCAAGCAGCCCACCGTAATTCCAATAATCGTCGCCCAGGTCTTCACGATTCGGCAGGATCGTAAGGCGAGCTGTTCGAGGGACAAAGCCTTGGTTTTCGGTTTTCCGATGATTTTTTCCGAATACCTATCGATGACGTCGCCGGCGCCGATGCCCACGACGTCTGACAGTAGATTGCCGAAGCCGGCTGCTGCCAAGGTAGAGATACCTAATGTAACACCTATGGACTTGTCGATGGCGTCGCCCGCCAGGATCATGATGACATTATCGGCAAACCCGAACCCCACGAAGGGCACGCCGTTCGCCAGCGCGAGGCGCCAGAGCTGCGCTCGGCTCGGCGGCTCGACCTTCGCGCTCGCCTTTTGCTGTCTTGCTGCTACGGCGGGCGGCGCCGTAGATAAAGAACGGCGCGCGGTGAGGGCGGCGCGGCGCCACATCTCGCGTCGGCAGCGCAGCGACAGCGCGCAGCCAGTGCTCTGAAACTGTAGCGCTGCTACACCGTTTCGTTGTGGCCAAGAATTTCTACGACTCTTCTACGACTCAGTGTATGGTAGTGTAGCAGCGATTTCGAGCCAGATCTCGTGCAGGTGGCTTTGCAGGCTGCGAGAGACTTGCAGATATCGAGTTATCTAGCGCACCAACACACTAGTCCCGGTCGATTTAGACCAAAAGACGCGGCGCGGCAGCGGCGCAGCGTCTTAAAGCAGTCTCAAAGCAGTCTCACAGCGAGTAGGCTAAGTTGCACCAAAACCCGCCACTCAGCTAGACAGCAAAGGACCTCCGGCCCCCGGCAGCGCGTGAGCCAGCGCGACGCGCGCGATTCGACTCATCTGAGGCGGGAATATTGTCAGACAAGCTTAGGCCATGGATCAGAGCGCCTCCACGACCTCCCCGCGGAACGGCGGCGGCGGCGGATGGATGGACGCCCGCAGCTCCGCGTTCATGGCCAACCGCCGCCGCGCGATGGCCTCGGCGCCGTCCAATGCTCGTTCAAGCTCCGCCCGCCGCGCGCGCCTCCTCTCAAACCGCGCCGCCGCCTCCGCTTTACTTTGCTCCTCGGAGCCGTCGAGGCGCCGCGCGAGCGCGTCGAGGTCGTCCGCGTCCCGCGCCGCCCTCGAGCGCGCCGCGTCGGCCTCCGCACTCAATGCGTCCTCGTCGCGGCCCGCTTGTAGACGCGCCGCGTCGGCCCGATCCCTATCCCTCGCTAACCGCTCCTCGAGGCGTTTTATGTCGTCGACGACGCCTCGCAACCTCGATTTCCGGGCCTCGGCGTCGGCTTGTAGGGATGAGGACTGGAGCCTAGCGCTCGCGAGAGCTAGCTTGACGTCCTCGCCTCTCTTTGCTACTGCTTCCTTCAACTCGTCGAGCTTCGGCGCGATTATCGACGAAGCGACCTCGGACGCCTGTTCGAGGGCGTCGGCGTCCGCGACACCCAGGTCCAGCCTGTAGTTCGTCCCTTCGGCGTTTTTTGCCGAAGAAGGTACGAGTTGCAGGCGCCGCGCCGCCCGCTCATACGTTTCCGCGGCGGCCCGACACTGGGAGGCGTGATTTCGCCCGTCCGCCTCGGCCTTACTAAGCTCCTTGAACTCCGCCGAGGCCCGTCGCTGCCGCCTTCTTCTCGCCAGGTCGTCCTCAAGGCGCGCTGCCTCCCGCAACAAACGCTCTACCATAGGAGCGTCGCGGCGCGCCTTCGACGCGGCCTCGCGCGTCGCCGCGACGTTCGCCTGGGCTCTCCTAGCGTCCTCCCGGGCAGCCGCGGCGGCCGCCGACCGCTCGGCCAGCGTCGAGTCGGCATGTGCTAAACTACGCTCGGCCTCGTCGGCGTCGCGCGCCGCCTTATCACATAAAGCTTCGGCCTTTGATCGACCATCAATAGCTTTAGAAAGAGACGCCGCCGCGTCCTTCAACGAGGCGATTTTTGCGAGTGCCGCGTCCCTTCTGGAGAGCGACGTCTCCCTTTCACTAGCCGCGTCGGCGCAGCGCTGGCGGAAGGCCTCCTCCAATCTAGCGTTCAAGGCTTCGCCGGCGGCGTCGTCGCCGGCGAGGAACAAGGCATACGCGTCCGAAGCGTACTCGTAAAAAACGCGGTCCGCGCCCTGGTGTTCGAGCTGCACGGCGACGTTGCCCTCCTCCCTTTTCGAAACGTGGCGGCGGTCGTGCTCGATGAGGTCCACGAGCCACAACAACGCTGCGAGCAACGGCGGCCAGGTGTGCGCAGTTCCCACTGCAGCAAGAGCCGTCCGCGAGATGGGAAAGGGATACCTTAATTTCTTGAAGACGTCGACGAACTCGTCGTCGAACTTCTTCTGCGAGTCGCGGCGCCAGCTGTCGTCCAAGAGGCGTAGTAAGAACGTCGCGGCGTCTTCGAAGTCGCGGCCCGTGGGTCTCGCCAGCGCTTGCGTCGTGCAGGCCCCGGCGAAGCCTTCTTCTCTCAGGAATTCCGCTAGTCTTTCTACAGATTGTTTCACGTAGAGCTTGTCCCCGACCGGTCGCGGTTCCCGGGCTTTCCTCGGTCTCGTGGAGGAAGGAGTGAGTCCACGATTGTGGCGATTCGACGCGCGGGCGGACCACTTGTGCTTCGAGGCGCTGAAAGTTGTACTTCGTTCTTTCAAAGGAGTGAAGGTGGATGAAGAGAGGGGCGTGGTGGTCGCGCGGCGCGGCGTGACGGACGGCGCCATCGTGACCCTTGGTCGCGTGGAACTGCGTCTTGTGGATGCGTGGGACTGGGCCCTCGCGTTGAGCGGCATTTTTGTACTCGTAACGCGGTGCGCGGTCCTCGGTGTTCAAAGGGCTTTTGAAACAGGAGGGTGCGTTACGCCCTGCTGCGTTCAGCGGCAGCGGCAATTGGGCTGCGGGAAGGTCAGAGGCAAGCACTGGCCTTACAAATTGTAGTTTTAAGGCCTGAACGCCGCAGCAGCGCGCACTTTTGCTTGGATTGCTAGTGTGTTACAGGCCGCTAGCTAGCTCCGTTTTGCTGGCTTTTGGCTCCTCCAGGCTTTGGCTCTTCCTCCGAAGACCGCAAGAGTTAGATATTGGCTCTTCTCCCGCGGCCGTCGGCTGTGCGTGCAAGATATCGCTAACCGAGGATGGCAAGGCAGGAGGCCGCAGCCAGTTTGTGCGCCGCCGCCGCGACCGCAGCGCTCACCGTCTCCCTGCTACGACGCGTCCGGCAGCGCCAAAAAGCTGCACGAGACGCCACGGCGTTGATCGCGCAGCTCAAAGCCCTGAACTCGACGGCGGCCTTGGTAGTGACCAATGCAAAGGGCGACGCCTTCGCGGCCAAAGCCCTGGCGAAGTACGTCCGCAAGGTCTGCGGTGTATCATCAGGAGACGCATTAGAGGACGCGACGCGCCTCATCCAACACTGCAAGAACGCGACGCCACCGTCCGCAACCGCCTTCGGGCCTCGCAAAACGCTGAGGCACGTTCTAGTAAGAGGCTGCGTCAGCCCGCAACTCCTCCATGAAAGGTTCCCCCAAATCAAGGGCGCCTACACGCAGCAGGCGCTGGATTACGGCAAAAATAGTAGGTATGGCGACCGCTGGAAAATATCGTGCTATATTGTGGTCCTGGAAAAGTGGAAGCCGAAGATCATGCCCCACGAGCCCATGGTCTCTGCTCTGAGCGATGTCGTCGACATGTGCTGTCGGCGGTTCGAGGAGTGGTATCTCGAACGGTTTGAAAGAAAACGTCGCGCGTCGGTGATGAACGCGTTTGTTACGAGGTACCGCCCCAAGCCCGACGAGGCGGAGCTCAAGAAGCACATCGACGGGGCGAACGTCGACGGGAGCGTGATCCTGGCCCTCCCGACGGACGAGCCCTTCGAGGGTGGTCATCTCAAAGTCTGGGACGGCCGGCCGACCGTCCTCCACGAGTACGCGATGGCGCCGGGCGACTGCATCTTTTTGGACGCGCGGGTCTGGCACCAGGGCTGCGCGATCACGAGCGGCGCGCGGTACGCGCTCGTGCTGTTCCTGCGGCTGCGTAAGTAGGAGTTTTGTTAGTCGCCCCCTACTACATGTAGTCGACCTTGTCCGTGAGCCACTGGAAGCCCGCGTCGATGCCCTTGCCCGTCGTCACCGTCGTCTCGATGACGCGGACGTCGAGTCGGTTTTGCGCTTGCAACGCGTCGAGTTGTAAAGCGGCCTTGACCTGGTCCGCAGTCAGGATCTGGGACGACCGCGGCGTGGCGGGAGGCTCCTCGACGGGCGGTTCTTTGGTCTCGTCCTTCTTGCCCTCGTCGTCGGACTCCGACGACGAATCATGAGGCGCGGGCGCGGGCGCCGGCGCGTCGGCCTCCGCGTGCACGGGGTTCTCGGTAGGCTGCGTCTGGCCGTCGGACTTGTTGCATAGTACGAGCAGAGGCATCTTTTTTAACGCAGGGTGTCGAAATAGCTGGTGGAGCTCCTTCCGCGCGAGACCTAGCCTATCAACATCCGTCGCATCCACCACGAACACCACCGCATGACTATGCGCGCAGAACATCAACCACGCCCCGCGCCAGTTTTCTTTGCCAGAAACGTCCCACACCCTCCAGTTCACGCGTGCCCGTCGCTCGCACCGCGCCGTCGCTGACCGCGTCATGGCAAACTCAACTAACTGATGCCCACATGTGGGAGCTGTATGCAGCTCGTCGACGCCATGCTTGCGCGCCCATTTTTCCAAATTGCGCCGCACGGCGGGCACGCAACACAAAACTGTCGTCTTGCCCGCTCCATCCAACCCACAAATCAACGCGGCCCGCGTCTTCTTCCGCGCGATGAGCGCCCCGCAGCAGGTCCGCTCAAACGCATCGCAGCAACTCCTCAAGCTCTCGCCCCAGGCCGCGAGGCGGTCTTCGCACCTCAGATAGAGCTGGTCCATTGGGCCTCTGTGTTGTGCGGCGCGGGATCAACGTCGTTTGCTGGATGGGGCCGTGCTTGTCAAGCGTGCGCGTGCTGCTTGCCGGTGGCGTGCCGATTTGGGCTCGGCGGGCAGCCGCAAAACCAAAATGGACACCCCGCACGCAGCCGTGAAATTCGAGCGGTTCGAGGGTTTCCGCGACCGGTCCGTTGCGAGGGCAACGTGTACCGACGCATAAAACCTGGCTAGTGTGTTACAAGGAGCTAGGCCGCAAAAACGCGAGATTCTCGGGGGCGCGGGCGAGGCGCAAGCTGGGCGTTGGCAGTGGCTGTCCGAGCATCCGTTTGGTGCGTGTTGCAGTTATAGTGCCGAGTGAGCGAGTGCTGGCGGAGTTGCAGCCAAGAGCCGATCTGCCTCCTCAGCTCAGCCCAGCGGAATCTGGGCGGCGCTATAGGGAGGGGCACGCGAAAGTAACAGCGCGCTCTAAGACACACAGCACTCCGCTGCGACGGAGTCGCTGCGTGGTTGGCAGTCCGTATCGCGAGAGCGCGAAGTCCGAGTCGTGAGCGATGGTGCTCTTCTACGCGAATAGACCGGGCGAGCCGGGCATTATACTGTGGGAGGTCGCGGCCGCCGCGCTCTGCTTCGAGGCCCTCTACCGGAGTTTTGGAGTGGCGTTCCGCACGCTATCCACGAGAAAGGGCGTCGCGCTGGATCCGAAGCGTCGGCCGACCTTCGCGCGCGACGGCAACTCGTACGCCGTCAGCTTCGTCCACGCTCTTATCGTAGTGTTGAGAGGGTGCCAGCACCTCGTCGACCAGTACCAAGCGCCTGTAGAGGCCAAATTCGTGCAGCGGCCCTACGGCTCCACGAGCGAGTGGGCCGCCGGCGCCGCGGCCATCGAGCCGACGAATACGATCTTCCTGGCGTTTCTTGCGTATGACGTAAGCCACGTCCTGCTGGAGTACCCTAGGCTGGGCGGTATGGACGTAATCGCGCACCACGTCTTGTTCGCGGCGGCGTCCTACGTCTGCGGCTCCAATAGAGTTTTTCCTTGGCCCTTCGCGTGGCTGATTATTGGGGAGCTGTCGACGCTGCCGCTGAATCTGCGCTGGGTGCTCATCCAGTCCGGAAGGGGAGACACGACGATCATGACGTGGACGAACCGTTGTTTCGCGTTCACGTTCTTCGTCGGGCGCGTCGTCGTCTACGGCCTCGGGCTCCTGCACCTCGGTGCGAGCTGGCATCCTTATGTTGAAGATGCTTGTCAACGGGTTTCTGGGCTGCGCGTCGTCTGCGCGCTCTTCGTCGCGGGCTACGGCCTGAACCTGGTCTGGTTCCGGCGCATCGTGCGCGTGGCGACGCGCCCCGCGCGCGCCGCGGACGACTGAATTCCCGCGGCGGCTATGATAATCAAACTATACTGTGCCGACGGCATCGATTTGGCTAGCGCCGGTAAAACACTAGCAAGCAAGCAAGCTGGGATGCAGACCGGCGAGTGCCTATAGATCTAAGTCACGGCCTCTAGGCCCACCGGCAGTTCGCACAGATCGCTGGCGTAACCGTGCCAGCTCGAATTCAGACAGCTCGTTGCTCTGCACACCGCACACCGAGCCTGCAGGCTGTGGGCAGCAGCAATAGGACATGGGCAGATACGGCGGCGCCTTCGCCGGCCGCGTCGACGACGCCGCGGACACGTCGGCCGAGGCAAAAGAGCAACGCGTCCGCGCCCTGTTCCCGGCAAACGCCCTGCCCGCGACGACGCTCATCGTGCCGGAGACGCAAACACGGGACCGCTGCCGCTTCAGCTTCTCGCGGACCACCGGTGACCTGGAGTTTGCCGAGGACGGCATTGTAGGACCGGTCTCCGAGAACGGCCACCGCCTCGCCTCGGAACGCGTCTCAAGTGTACTGAACGCCGTCGTCAGGGAACTGACGCCGACCCTCTCGACAAATCTGCGGGCGGCCCACGTCCACGCGCCGCGCTGCGGCTCGGAGCCCGTCGTCGCGCTCGTGTACGAAGGCGCCTCAAATGACGAGGCAGCCTGGCGCGTTGATGCGGAGGAGCTGCGTTCCACGGTCCAATGCAGCCTCGTCGGCCGCTTCAAGGGCCAAGCATTAATCTGTGGGAACGACTTCGCGCGCGAATTATTAACTCTGGACGACGGCCGGGCGCTCGAGTACGAGTTCCCCGAGGGCTCGTTCTGCCATCCCAACGGCTCGGCGAACGAGCGGAGCGAGAGCTGGCTCTGTGGTAGAGCATTATCAATTGGAGGGAACCTGCTCGAGCTCTACTGCGGGGCCGGCACGCACACGTGCGCCCTATCCAAGTACTTTGAGAGGGTCGTTGCGGTGGAAGTGGACGCGAAGCTCGTGGAGGCAGCTCAACGCAACCTGGCGGCGAATCAGTGTGCGAACGCGACGGTCGTCGTGGACAGCGTCGGCAAGCGGCGCGGGCGCCTGCATTCGGTGCTGAGGAAGCGTGCATGGGACGACGTGCGGTTTGACTGCATTTTGGTCGACCCGCCGCGGCGCGGGTTAGATGATGCGACGCTCGGGGCGCTCGCCGGCTTTGCGCACGTGCTCGTCGTGGCGTGCAACCCCGAGAAACTAGCAAGGGACTGCGACGTGTTGCTGCGGACGCACGCCGTCGCGGCGTTCGCCGTCGTCGACGGCTTCCCGGGAACGCCGCACGTCGAGTGCCTGGCGCACTTCGTCCGGCGCGACGACGGCGACGCCTCGGCGGCCTAGAGCCAGCTTTTGTGTGTGTAGTCTGTAAGAACATGATACTAAACAACTACCCCAACCAAGACCGCGTGCGAAACTGGGCCGCCCCGAGGCTCGTGGCGAGCGCCTCGACGGCCGCGACATCTACATCTGGCCGGTCGACGGCCGTGACCTCGACGTTTGATACCGCCGACGCCCGCCGCACGAATGCGCAGGCGTCCTCAAAAGCCCCGGGCTCGCGCGGCTGGAGCAGCTCGTCGTATTTTGATGCCTCTGCGGCCGGCAGGAAGACGGAGACCGTCTCGACGAGTCCCAACGCGTCGAAGATCGCGTCGGTCGCCCCCACGCCGAGCGTATTCAGGCGAAACTGTGCCCCCGACCCCTGGGCCAGCCGCAGCGTCTCGCAGACGACGTCCTGCGCCGCGAGCGGGTCGCCCTCGCCCTGAATCACGACGGATTGCGCACCGGTCTTGTCGACCCAGTCGCGGACGAGGTCGTTGAGCTCGGCGCCGGACGGCTCCTTTGCGCCCGCCGGCAGCGGCTCGAAGCCCGAGTCCCGAGCCGTGCGAGTTATCCGAGTACCGCTCGGCGTGGTCGTCGCGGCGCGCGACGCCGGCAGCGGCGCGAGGCCTGCGTCTTTCGTCGCGAAGGCGGCGCCGCGGCACGACCGCATCGTGCGTTGCGCCGGCGACCGCGCCGTCGGCGCGAGGTAGAGAGCGTCCAAAACATATGCGATGCCGGGGCGGAAGCTGTAGAGCGACTGCAGCGTCGCGAGGCTCACCATTTGCGTCGACGACGCGTTGCGCTTGGCCGCGAGAGCCTGGTCCTGCCAGGCTTGCGTGCCCCAGTAGGCGCGGCGCGCGGCAGCACGCAGCATGCTGACGGCACTCGTTTGTGTCTTGACCGCGCGAAGCATGCTACGGCAGCACTCCGCTGACGGCAGCACTCGTTTGTGGGCGTGTCTCGGCCGCTCGGAGAGCAGTTTACTGCTCGCACGCGATCGATTATAGATATAGATGATCACTCGCACGCTGTTGCGACGGCTGATGCAGAGATTTGGCACCTGCGCTGGACGGTGGACCGGAGAGCAGCCTCTGTCAAATCGGGTTTCCGCGCACGCGTGCACGACGCCGCCGTGCGTGCGTACTACGCAGTGCCGCTGCCAAGGGAAATACAAGATTGGTAGCAACCGCTACTTATCACAAACTAGCTCGCCGCGCGACTGTGCTTTGCACGCGGCTTTAGTTTCCGCCACGGAGGCGCAGGACGAGGTGGAGCGTCGACTCCTTCTGGATGTTGTAGTCCGAGAGCGTGCGGCCGTCCTCGAGCTGCTTGCCCGCGAAGATGAGACGCTGCTGGTCGGGCGGGATGCCCTCCTTGTCCTGGATCTTCTGCTTCACGTTGTCGATCGTGTCAGAAGGTTCCACGTCCAGAGTGATCGTCTTGCCCGTCAGGGTCTTGACGAAGATCTGCATGCCGCCGCGGAGGCGCAGGACGAGGTGGAGCGTCGACTCCTTCTGGATGTTGTAGTCGCTCAACGTGCGGCCGTCCTCGAGCTGCTTGCCCGCGAAGATGAGGCGCTGCTGGTCCGGAGGAATACCCTCCTTGTCCTGGATCTTCTGCTTCACGTTGTCGATCGTGTCCGACGGCTCGACGTCGAGCGTGATCGTCTTGCCCGTCAGGGTCTTGACGAAGATCTGCATGCCGCCGCGGAGGCGCAGGACGAGGTGGAGCGTCGACTCCTTCTGGATGTTGTAGTCGCTCAACGTGCGGCCGTCCTCGAGCTGCTTGCCCGCGAAGATGAGGCGCTGCTGGTCCGGAGGAATACCCTCCTTGTCCTGGATCTTCTGCTTCACGTTGTCGATCGTGTCCGACGGCTCGACGTCGAGCGTGATCGTCTTGCCCGTCAGGGTCTTGACGAAGATCTGCATGCCGCCACGGAGGCGCAGGACGAGGTGGAGCGTCGACTCCTTCTGGATGTTGTAGTCCGAGAGCGTGCGGCCGTCCTCGAGCTGCTTGCCGGCGAAGATGAGGCGCTGCTGGTCCGGAGGAATACCCTCCTTGTCCTGGATCTTCTGCTTCACGTTGTCGATCGTGTCGCTCGGCTCGACGTCGAGCGTGATGGTCTTGCCGGTGAGGGTCTTGACGAAAATCTGCGAGGGGGCGGTCGGGTCGCTTTCTGGTCGCGATGTGGGCTGTTTTTGTGGGCGCGCGGAGCTCGGTAGGCGCCGCGCGGCCCGCCGCAGCCATGGCGCGGGCCCCTGGCGGCCGGGCGGCCGGCGCGGGGGCCGCCGCGCCGACTGCTGTTCGGGGGTCAGCGCGTTCGGCGGGCTCAGATCTCGGCCGCTGGCGCGCGCGCGGCCGCGCCCGGGGTCGCGCGCGGCCATAAAACAATCAAACTTAATTCTGACGGCTCCGCTACGTTACCTGCATGGTTGTTGAGTAGCTATGAGGCTGTAAGAGCTCGGTGCCAAAGGACCTCCTTTTTTTTGCGCGCTGCGCCCTAAAAATGAAAAATTCCATATCACTAATAGAACGCGCCGTACGAAGGCAGGGATAGCATCGAGAGAGATACCGGAGCCCCTTTTGAATTTCGGCAGCCTCCAGACACAGAGGCTGCTTTGGGTGGCAATGCGCACCGGCGCTGGCGTAAAGGGCAGCCCTTGCTGCCCTGGCATAGCTCGTCCCAGATGGTAGCGGTCCTACGCCGGCCGACGCGCGAGCGCGACGCCGTCACGGATGCCGCAGTGGAAGAGCCTCCCAAGCCAGAGGCAGCAGCCGAGGACTCCTTCGCCACGGCCAAGCACTCCATCTGCACGGCGCTCGGCGTCGTGATGGCCGTGCACTTTTACAGTGCTTACGTGCAAAATACGGCACTGATAGGTGCCGACGGATTGGTACCTTGTGCCGCGTACGTAAAAGAACGAGTAAAAACTGGAAGTTTTTGGACCTGGCCCTGCGTGTGGTGGTGGATAGAACCGACCGACGCTAATTTAGATGCGGTGGCATTAACGGGCCTGGCGAACGCATTGCTACTAACAGTAGGAGCGCACTATTCACATCTCGTCGCGATCTGCTGGCTCTGCCACTCGTCAATCGTCAACGCCGCCGAGGCGTCGTCCTTCTATTCGTATGGATGGGAGACGCAGCTGCTCGAGACGGCTTTTCTGACTATTTTTTTATGTAGTCCGACCGACCGACGGGCGCCGCCGACGCGCATCGTGCTGTGGCTGTTTCGCTGGCTCGCGTTCCGGATATCGGTCGGCGCCGGCCTTATTAAAGTAAGGGGCGGCTCGTGCTGGGAGCGGAAGACCTGCCTCTGGTATCATTTCGAGACGCAGCCCATACCTTCTCCTCTGTCGTTCTTCTTCCACTTCCTCCCTAAAGCGATACTGTCGCGGGGCGTCGACATTGATTTAATCGTGCAGCTCTACGCGTCGTGGCTCGTCTTGGTGCCTTTACGAAACGTGCGGAGGGTAGCGGGCTACGCGCAGATCGCGTTCATGCTAAACATCGCGGCCTCGGGGAACTTCTCGGTCCTCAACCACCTCACGATCCTACCGTCCCTGGCCTGCCTCGACGATAAAGCTTGGCCGCGATGCTTGCGGCGAGCACCTACGAAGAAGCGGCGGAATTTAGGAAGACGTATGACGGACGTCGTGCTGCTGCTCGTAATAGCCTACCTGTCGCGGCCCGTCGTAGCCAACTTAGTATCAAAAAACCAGGTGATGAACACGAGCTTCGACCCCTTCAAGCTCGTCAACACCTACGGGGCCTTCGGGTCCGTCGGCGAGGGGCGCTACGAGCCCGTCGTCGCGCTGTCGGACGACGGCACGACGTGGCGCGAGGTCGACCTGCCCTGCAAGCCGACGGACGTCAGGAGAAGGCCGTGCTTCTCCGCGCCCTACCACCACCGCCTGGATTGGAATATTTGGTTCATCGGCTTCAAGCCGCATCGACCGGTGTGGAAATTAATCAGTGAGAAACATTGCGTGGACCTTCATCGACGCCGTCACGGCGACAACGTCGCGTCGACGGCCTGGAAACTCCACGCCATGTGGGGCACCCGACATTTGATTTTCACACAGGCATCGGCAGATGCTCGAGGGCCGCGAGCGCTGGCTCTACGCCTTCCTCGCGCAGCTGCTGCGCGACGGCGACGCGCCGGCGCGCCGGTTGGTGGACGCGTCGTCGCGCGACGTCCGGGGTCGTATCGCGCGCGTCCATATGTACCGGTACCGCATGGCCGCGCCCCTCGCCCAAATCTTGGGAACGGCGCCCGCCGAGCGCGTCTGGTGGACGCGCGCGTTCGAGGAGGTCCTGATCCCGCCCGTCGTGCTCCGGGCCGACGGCAACCTCGCGTACTTCGAGGCGCCGCGGCCGCCGCCGGGCAATCGGTTCGTGGAGCGTATCTAGGGTAATGTTGTCAGTAACTTAGGTGAGCCCGGCAAAATCGGGGGCGGGGTGCACGGGCACGGCCGCGGCAGAGGTCTTCTCGTCCTCCTTGACGTCGACGAAAGCCACGGCCATGAGGCACAAATCGTTGACGACGGAGTCGACGATGAAGGTGACGAGGAAGACCATGCTGCGCTTGCGCCAAAAGTTCGGCCTAACATAACCGTAGATCATCGGGAAAGGTAGGGTAAAGAACGTCGACATGATGGCCACCACCGATGCCACCACGACGCGCGCGACCGTCCGCTTCTGCTGGCGCAAGATGTCGCGCGTCTCGTCGTCGGCGTCCGCCCCCCCCTCGCCTCGCAGGCTCGCGCTCGCGCGGCGCATCGCCGCCACGAAGACGTAGACGAGCGCGAGAGTCACGAACATGTGCCCGCCTCCGAAAAAGATCATCGTGCCGTATATGATGATACTGCCCCAGGGATGCGGCGGCGGGTCGGGGATGCGGAAATTCGGGTCGTCCACGTCGTACTCGACATAGTTCATGACCGCCAAGTCGTACATGAAATAGAATAACACGATGAGCCCGACGCACTCGAGCGCGATGAAAACGCGGATCGCCGCCATCAGCCGCGTGTCGGTCCGCCCGGCCAGACCTCGTAGCATCGCCGCCCGGAGGTAGAGGATGGCCTGGAGTAGCACGTTCGTGAACATGCCGCCCCCGTAGAGGGCCCCCCACCGGTGCACGACGGCCCACCTGCGCGGCCAAGGCCGTTATCGCGAAGGCCGTCGTCGCGCGGCGGGCTGCTGAGATGACCGGCCTTCAATCGACGCGGCTGTTCCGCGCGATGGCGCCCTCCCGTTCGTGGCTGAAGGGAGTCCGACGGAATTTGATGTGCGACGCGGCGGCGTACCGCGCGGTCCCGTCGTCGATGAAGAGCTGCTTCCGGTCGACGCCGTTGACCACGGCGCAGGCCGCGTACGTCGCGTCCGGGTACCCCGGCGTCCACCTGTGTGGAAATCAAAATTTTACGGCGCGTTCCTGAATCGCCGCCTCGTCCTCCACGCCATCGACGCGACGCCTGCTCGACGGCGTGGCGGTGTGAATTCCTCACGTGCACCCGACGCACTGATTGATTTCCACACAGGCGTCCACCACGCGTCGCAGTTTTGCTCCTCCTCCGCGACGTCATCATACCAGACGCAATCATCACCCGGTTTCTCCCTCATTATCGCGCTTCGTTCTTTTAAAAAGAAAACTGAAAGCCACCATGGGAAGACCTGGCGCCACCCGGAGTCGCCGAGCCAGGCCGTGGGGCCCTGAAAGGCGGCCCCCTTCCTTGCCCATCGCAGCGGGCGCAAAGACTGGGCACCCGCGTCGCACGCGGGGCTCGTCGCCGTTCCGTACCCGCAGCTCGCGTCCGCCTCCACGCCGGCGAGCGCGCAAAAATCCAGACCCGTGTAGTCGACGCGGTTGACGACCAGGATGTTGTGGTGCTTGCAGCGGACGTCGACGAAGGTCGCGAAGACGACGAAGTTGACGGCGAGCTGGCAGTAGAAGTAGGCGCCGACGGCCGCGACGTACCAGCGGTAGGGCCCGCCGGCGAAGAACTCGGGCTGCCTGCGTTTTCGTATGCGTCGTGACTCTCGCTTCGGCGGCGTGGCGACGCGGCCGCCTCGACGCCGTCGAGGCGACGACCGGAAGGCGTCGACGCGCAGATGACACAAAGGGACGCCGCGCCTGCTTGATGGCGTCGCTGTAGAGGCGGAAGAAGAGCAGGCACCCGATTCCGGACACAACGGCAGTCAAAAAATGCATCGCATACAGCGCCTCGAAGTTGTCGTCGTCCTCGTTGGCGCCCCACTCCGGCGCGCATGGAATGCCCAGGGCCACGAGCATGCTATCCACGGGCGCTCCGGCCACCCGCATCTTGGGGCAGCGCCCTGCTTTACATTCCTTCGCCATGTGCGCGAGCAGGTGGCGGTGATTGCACGTGCGCCCGACGCCCGGGAAGTCAATTCCCGTGTCGTTCCTGAAAATAACGGAGAACGCCTGCTCGAAGAGCGCGCAGTCGTAGGAGTAGGCCCACGCGGCCACGCGGTCCGCGTAGGTCGTGTTGCCGAGTTTGATAGCTTCCTGCGGCGGCTGGAACGGCGCGTCGGCCCCCCGGAACGGGGCCGACGGGTTGTTGCCTGTGTGGAGATCAACCAGTGCCTCGGGTGCACCCGACCATTCTTCACTAAGTCATTTCTCGGCGATGATGCGGCCGTGCTGGCTCCGTCGAGCGGTGAGGAACCGGCATCGCCACGCCGTCGAGCAGGCGTCGCGTCGATGGCGTGGAGGTCGACGCGACGATTCATCACGAACGCTCCGTAAAATTTGATTTCCACACAGGTTGTTGCCGTCGGGCCCCTCGTAGGGCCCCCTCCACCACTTCGCCCGCAGGCCCAGCGCGTCCATGTCGAGCGACGGCGACCACGCCCCGTCTAGCCTGGGATCGCGCGTCGACCTCGAGGCCTTCTGGTAGTAGCGCTCGTAGCCGCGGACCATGCCGCAGTTGTCGCGGGACCTGTGTGGAAATCAAAATTTCACGGCGCGTTCGTGCTGAATCGTCGCGTCGTCCTCCACGCCATCGACGCGGTGCACCCGACGCACTGGTTGATTTCCACACAGCGCGGGACGGGACGACGCCGTACAGGAAGGGCCAGAGCAGGGCAAGCAATATGAGCGCCGTCGGGAGGCCGTAGCCCACCGTTTGTGGTATTTCGCCGCGCTCGCGGAACCTTCTCCACCTCTTGCGCAGCGCGTCGGCCGCCTGCTCGCCTCCCCCCATGCTCTTTTGCTGCGCGGCGGCGGCCCCCTGTGGCACCTGCTCTTGTGCTGCCCCACCTGTTGTCGAACGAACGGTGCACGGGGGCAGTCCGCTCTTAAGTAGGTCCAAAGCGCTGCCTACCGGGCGCGAATGGCTGCCCTTTGTCGAGTCGTCGAGCCGTTCGCACGCTCTTGCAAAGCAGTGCCCAGCGCTTTTGCAAAGCAGATGCTCACGATCGTACGAGCGGGTTTGCGAGGGACAGCTCTCGGAGCCGTCGCATACCCCTCCGTCGACGCGGAGACGACACCGGAGGGCTACGGCGCGCCAGAAGCGTACGGGTGCGGCGGCTGGTGGTGCGACGGCGCCCCGGGGGGTGGGTAAACATAGGCTATGCGGGGTTGGTTGAGCCGGTAAGAGGAGTTAGCTTTTTAGGAAACAAAGGCCCTAGCTCCGCGCCTGGGCATCACCCAGCAACAAATCCACTGACAAAGAAAGGCCATAATAGCCGGGGAACAGGCTCGAAAAGACGCGGCAGCAATTGGGCTGCGTCTCGCTGAGAAAACGGCCAAAAACCATGAAAAATGACACTCGATCGGCTTTTTTGGCGCCGTTTCGCGCCGATCGGGCCACCGCAGAGTCGGATATCATCGCCCACATGGCCGTCGACGATCTGAGACAATTTGCGGCGGCAGCGGCCCATCGGATGTCGGTCTATTCGGTGTCCGCGTTTCTCGCCGAGACGCTGTTTTTGGTGAAAACGCCACCAAAGGCGCCGAGATTTGGCTCGGGCCTTCCCAGCTACCACGTCGGGCATCTCCGAGATTTTGGGGCGCAACGGCCGCGCGGCTGCCGCAAAAAAGCGTTTCGGGCAGCCTATGCTCGCAAAATCGAGCTTTTTACCTGCTGCCCCTCTGGTGCCGCAAATTGGCTTGATGGAATCAGCGCCGGCATGGCTTCCATTTAAGCCCGTTTGGGACACCAGAGGTGCAGTTGCGGCTGATATTGGGGCCCTGGCGAGCGCGTTTTGGGCCGCGTTTTTGTGCGGGTTCGGGCCTTGGTTTATGTTTACCCACCCCCCGGGGCGCTAGACACGCAATGTGCGGCCTCCCGGTCCACGGAGGAGCCGCCGGGCGCTTTCAGCAAAGCGCTTCCAGCACCATGCCGCTGCCCCCGGACCCATAGTACACATAGAACAAGATGGTGCGCCTCGGCGGCCAGTCCGGTGTAGGCCGGGCCTGCGACGCCATTAAACGAAGGGCGAAGAAGCTCCTGAAGAAGTTTGGCGTGGTGCAGGATGAGCACAAGACGCGGAGATACTTGGGCGGCATGCGGCCGGACAAATATTACGATTCCGTGATCTGGCGCGATTTAGGAGAAACTCTACAAATCCTAGGCTTCACCTACGATTCGGGGTTCGACGTCTTCTCGGCGTTCATCGACATTGACGACGACAACAGCGGCGAGGTTGGAGTGAGTGAGTTCCACAAGTGGCTCGGGTTCCCTGCAACTAAATTTTCAGAGCGGGTCTTCGGGATTTTAGATATGGACGGCTCGGGGCAGTTGGATTTTCGCGAGTTCATGATTGGGGTCTGGAACTGGAACACGTACGACGCGACGGGCATCACGAAGCTGGCCTTCAACACGATGGACGTCCGCGCCCGGCGTCCTGTCTGCTCGATGGCGTCACTGATTGATAACAACACAGGTCGACCAGAAGGGTGCTATCGACTTGCATGAAGCGGACGCCATGCTGCGCATGGTCTACGCTAGTCGTAAAGCGGACCCGCTACTCCTGACGCAGATTGACATCAATGGGGACGGCGAGGTCTCGATGGAGGAGCTCCAGCAAACGGTTGAAGAGGACAATTCCGTGCTCGCGCCGGCCTTTCAATTACAACGAATGCTGCGCCAGCGCATTTTGGGGGTACGGTACTGGGAGCAGGAAACTCTCAGGAGGCAGACGTACTTCGCGGGCTACGACTCGGGGACCACTACGTCCTGGGACGCCATCCGGGATATCCTGGCCATCAAGCATCGGGAGCGACTCGAGGAAGAAGAACGGCAGCGCCGCTTGAAGGAAATGGAGGAGGAGCAACGGCGCCAGGAGAAGCTCCAAAAAGAACTAAAATTCAAGGAGGAGATGGTGTGTATACGGCGTCCTGTGATTGCCACGCCATCGATTGTACCCCACGCAGGCCGCGAGGAAGGCCAAGCGAGCGGAAGAGAAGCGTCGCCGACTCGAGACGCCGGAGATCCGAGCCGCGCGCGAAGCGAGAGAGGAACTGGAAAAGTGTAGCGCCGAGCGCGACGAGGAGTGCATCTACGCGGATTTGGCGCGAAGATTAGATTTGAGGGAGCGGTACTGGACGGCCTTCGAGACCTGGATCAGGTGCCAGCGAGTTGTCGAGCAGATGAAGTGCGACAAAAAATTGAGGTTGGCGGTCGGGCCCGACGTCCAGATCAAGGTCGACGAGGACATTGTCACGGCCGAAGGGTATCAAGATCTGAAGCGGGAGGTGCTGGTGCTGTACACGATGGAGCACAGTGACTACTTGTATCAACGGGACTGGTGCGGCGACGCGTGGTTCGCCTCGCTCATGATCCGCCCGCCCGTCGACGAGTTCGATGATGCGTATGAGCCGACCTGGGTCGCGAGACAAAGCATCAAGTTCGCCAAGCCTTGGACGAAGAAACGACTCGCGAAGAAGGCGCGCGAGCTCATGGTCGACGACCTGCGCGAGCGGGAAGAGTTGCGAGTGCAAGAAGAAAATGAAGAACATATGCAGAAATTTGAAGATGATTGTAGAAAAAGACGGAACGAGGAGATTGGTGGTTATGGCAAGCCTCGCAGTAGGTGGGAGCGGCTCTGGGACGCGGACGAGGGCAAGCCCTACTGGCACCAGTGGGAGACGCGCGAGTCGGTCTGGGACAAGCCGTGCGTCTGCCACGTTTGTGATAGTAACATACCAGTAGATGATACGATGTGCTTTAAATGTAAAAACAAACGGTCGGAGTTCAATCAGAAGATCTACGACGACAACCACAAGAAGATAGACTACGCGGCCTTCCTGGCGGCGGGCGGTGTCGATGACGAGTCCACGAAACAGGAACAACAGGAAGAAGTTGTAGATGTTCGGGAAATGGATGATGATGATGGGCCGCCGACGCTGTACCAAAGGTACCTCAAGAAACATGTCGTGTTTTTGAAGAAAAAAATGACATTAACAACCGTACAACCGGTCATCGACAAGGTCAAGGAGAAGTTCAACGACCGCGTAGATATGATTTATGATACCTATGTCCCGGCGTATTTCAAGATGGACAAACGCGATTACGAGATCAGGAGGAGGCGGTGGCGCGAGTGGCGCCAGAAGTGGATCAAGCGCATGGGGCTGGCGGCGCGTCCCAAACGAAAAGTGATGCCCTGGCACGAACAAGATGAAGAAGATGAAGACGGGCTGCGGCGGTCTAGGCCCTCTCTAGCTGCTCAACGGCGGTCGTTTGAAGAGACGGGGTTCAAGGGCGGGCGCGGCGACGACTAAGGTGTTTTGTTTAGTAGTTCTTTTCGCGCCGGCGGGCCGCGGCGTCGTTGCATACTTCCGCAAGCAGAACGCCTCGGCAATCCCCGCCCCGGCGTATATGTTACTTTCTATCTTACACATGTACAGTAGTCCAATCCCACGGCTCCGAGGTGGACTTGTGATGGTCGTCGTCCGTCGTCGAGTAGAGGTGGCCCTCCGAACGCAGGTAGTGCACTGCTGTTCGGACAAGGGCTAGTTCCTCGCCGAGGCCCGCGGCGACGGCGTTCACGTGGCAGCCCACGTCGTCGCCCGTGCCGTGGTCATTGTGGTAGTCGATGACGCGCCGCTCCAAGGAAGTTAAATCCGCGACCCGGTGCCCATCGTCCATAGCCGAAACCTCCAATCTTTTCAAGGACACGAGGAACGCGGCTGCGGTCCTGACCTGCTCCACCGTCGCGCCGGGGATGGCGGCGGCGACTTCTTCGACCGGGATGTAACGGAGATCGTATCCACGGGAATCGTCGTATCGGGGCTGGTGCTCGTAATGGGCCAGAACACGCCGCTGGAACTCGGACACCCGTCTGGACTGCTGGTTGATCACGACAGCGCGAGCGGCCAATCTCCACGAAGAAGAGCGAGTGACACAGTGCCGCTCCGCGAAGACGCGAAAATACTGCTCGGAGCCACCGCACCACGAACTTGCGACGCGCAGCGCCGCGGAGGCGTCAGGGAGAGGCAGCCACTGCATCACCAGCCACGGTGGCAACGAAGCAGGGAAAGGCGCCGGCCTCGCGTCGATCTCGGCCTCGGCACTCGCCGCGAGCGCACGCGCCGTCGCCGCTAATGCGCGCAGCTCGGGCTTCGTGAGGCTGGGGAAGCCATCGGCCGTACCAGCATGCAGCACGCGTCCTGCGCGTTCCAGCCGGTAGGAGTCCGGTGCTATGGGGTGTTGTGCACTCATCTGTACACGGCAAATCTATGGAGTTAGCCGGCGCGGTCGCCCACAGTGGTTGCCCACAGCGTCGTAGTGCTGCGCGACACGGCAGAGCCGAGCCGTATGGGTCGTGAGCCGCAAACGTGCGCCGCAAACCAAAAGCGGCCTAGCGGAGTGAGGCACTAGCTTTTCACCAGAAGTGGGGCACACGTCGAACGGCATCCAAGCCCCAACGCAGGGCCAAGAACACATTTGGACACTGCCAAAGAGCAGCTTTAAGACGTCACGAAGTTGGGGCCCCTTTGTACATTCCAGGGAGGCGTAGGAACTGCGTGCTCAAGTGAGGGCTGTTAAGGCATAAAAGGACGCGCCGACGAAGAAACGGCTGCCGCGGGGCGCCCGCAACCATAAAAAAAGATGCCCGCAAGGAAGCAGGGCCTCCGCGCGCGCGCCCAGCGCCACGCGGCCGTCGGCGACGACGGCAAGCTGTTGTTCGACCATCCGGCGTTCAAGGACCTGTTGGATTCCCACGCGACCTGTTCGTCTCCCCACGTCGAGAAGGAGACCGTGACGGTCGACGACGCGAGAAACGGGTTTGACGTTCCTGTGATTGTGAGGAAGCCCCACAAAGCTAACCTAGGATTGAGGATGCCGAAGCCGTCGTTATCACCGCGAGACGTGGCCAATGCGACCTGCCCGAAGTCGCTCATTCCTATCTTGGATGTGAAATTGCAGACGTCGCAGAAAAGGGCCTCTCTAGACGAATGGTGCCAGTACTGGGAACGAACGCCGCGCGCGAAAGTGCTCAATGTCATTTCGTTGGAGATTACCGGTACCGTGTTGGGTGCCCAAGTGAAAGCGCCGGACTTCGTCGATGAAGTGGACTGGAGCGCGACGGCGTGGCCTGCGGATGCGCCGCCTTCGACGTTCAAGCACGAGGGCTGCGGCTGCGACGGCGGGAAGAGGATTCCTACGCTTGTCACGGCCCGAAGGATGCTCGGTTTAGAACCCTTGACCAAGGGTGACGAGGAGGAAGGTGACAAGGTCCAGCACAAGAACAGCGCTCGACTGCTCTCGCCGCCGCGCGTGCGCAAGTACGTGCTCATGAGCGTCGCCGGGAGCTTCACGGACTTCCACGTGGACTTTGGCGGGACGAGCGTGTGGTACCACGTGCTGCGAGGGGCCAAGCGCATGTACTTGGCACCTCCAACGGAAAAAAATTTGGACGCGTTCAAGCGGTGGACGCGCGGGTCGCAGCGCGAGAAGACGTTTGCGGAGTATCTGACGGGCAAAGTCTGCGCCGTCGACCTGCATGAAGGTGATACATTGATCATCCCGTCGGGCTGGATCCACGCGGTCTACACGCCTGTGGATTCGATGGTTTTTGGCGGAAATTTCTTAACTATGAGCCATGTGCCATCGCAACTCCGAATATGTTCTGTTGAGGACTCACTAGATGTAGCACCAGAGGCTAGATTTCCGAACAACGGCGCGGTCATGTGGTACGCTCTACTTAGAGCTGCTGATGCTTTGAATGAAAGTCTGGCGTTCGACGCTGACGATCATTCCGAGAGAGCCTGGGCCGCGTTCCGACGGGCCCCTTCGACGATAGCGGAACGAAGCGGCCTCAAGCTGCTCGCTAGTTTCCTGCGGAAGACGCTGCAGTCGTCCAAGTTCGCGGCGGGGGTCACGGCCCCGCCCGACGAAATTGCGGACGTCTGCACGTACGCGACGCTGGATGCCGTCGACGCGATGCTGAAGGGTGAGCGTTGTGTCGACGTGGTCCAGAAGGGCGTCCTCATCAAAGGTGTGTCGACTCTGGGCTTGTCCGCGGCAACTTTACGATGCAACGTGCGCGTGCCTCAAAGATTCCACCCAGATAATCGTGCGTCTCTTATGGAGGCGGGCGGCGCGCGGCGGCGGAAGCCCGGGGAACTGAAAAGGCGCGCGGCCGCCGTCGCGGGACGGTTTGTGGCCGCCTGCGCGGCGGCGGCCCGCGCCGAGGACGCGGAGCCGTGGCAGGAGAGGGCCGAGCGGCGGCGGGTCGAACGAGAGCGCGCGGCCGCCCACGCGGTCGCGCGTGCCGCGGCGGCAGCCCTGGAGATGCCGCCGCTGCCGCCGCTGAAGAAGCCGCGCTCAGCGTACCTACGCTTGCCGCCCTTCGTCGAGGCGGGCGAAACGGTCGACGTGCCGCTGCCGCCGTCGCTCTTAACAGCGCGGCGGCGGCGGCAAGGCCCGGCGACGACGCGCGTCGTCGTCCCAGCGGACGCGTTGCCTCACCGCGTGATGAAAGTATTGGTACCGGCCGATGACATGGACGTCGTCGTGGGCGCGCCGGCGCCGGCGCCGCCGCCGACCGTCGAGGAGATCCGGGCCGCCTACCAGCGGGAGCAGGCGGCGGCGCCGCGACCACCGCCGCGGCCGGCGCCGCCGCCGCGCGAAAAGTCCGCGCGGCAGCAGGCGCGGAAGCGGGCGCGGGCGGTGACGCAGGATTCATGAGGTCCGTCGTAATCCAAATTGAGTATCCACCGAGGTACTTCCGGCCGAGGAGTCGGCGCCGGAGGGAGGAGGGCTGGAGCGCTCGCGTGCTGCAACGCCTCGCGTCGTGGCGCGCGACACCGGAGGAGGAGGTCTACTAGTAATTTACACCATTTAAAAAACCCAACCACCCGTTCCACAGTGCCTTGACCGTCGTGATCAGCAGGAAGGCCTGGGAAATCGAGATGGACATCGCGTTCGGGAGCCGTGGACCCGCAACCTCCGGGGGGCACGCGGCGCAGCCGCCGGCATACGGGCCCACAGCGTCGGTACTATCACCACGGACCGTGATCATGGCACCCTGCCCGAGGATCTCCAGGCTATGCTTAAGGTACTCTTTTTGTCCACCGGGGCACTCGCGGGCTTTCTTGGTCCCACAACTGCCGCTCCGTTGCGTCTCGTGTGCATCTCTCCGCACGATTCAGTGCATTTTCGCCCCGCACGCGCGCCGCGCATTTCAAACGCGTATCAGGCGTCGACCATGGAGCGCCTCGACAGAGAGACGCAGCCAACACGGCAAGTGAGCACAGCTCTCGCACAGACCGCTAGCGGTCAGAACGACCAGAACCGAAGAAAGCGCGACTTCTCTGCTGCAAATGACGAGCAATGCGACGCGACAGGCTCCTGCAGCGGCTGCGCGCGACGCGACGAGCCGCAGCAACAACACAAGGCCTCAACCACTATCGGCGTCGATGCGTTCGCGCCGCCAATCGGCGAACGCGCTCCGCTTAGCAAAGGCGCCGCCGCGCCAGAAATATTTGAAGACGGCCTCGACGACGGCGTCAAGAGCGCCGCGCCGGCCGCAAAGAAGCTCAAACAGGGGCCGACGCAGTTCGGCGCGACGCCTGGGACGGCGACACCCGCCTTAGAAGTGCCGGAGTGGTGCGATCCAGGAGGATCGCTCCAAAATAGTAATGTGGGATGGCGCGTGGATCTTCCGGGCGTCGAGCGCGCGGCTCCTGCGCCAGCACCACGCCTTGAATGGCGCCGCTTCTTCCCACTGCTCGGAGTGTCCCCGGCGAGCGACGGAAGCGGCCTATCTTTTTTACCTCAGGCAGAAGCGTCCCCGGTGGCGCAGCTCCTTCTTCAGTTAGATTTTCTGAGAAGAACTGACCGAAACTCGATAAACTTTACGTCGGGCCACGTTGTCACAGCGGTGGGCGAAGTCCAAAGTCTTATCTCAGAGTGCGGCTATGATTGGTCGCCTAAAATGCAACAGAAACTAGAGACAACTCTGAACTCATCAGCTAACGTTGAATACGCGTTACGGTATGCAACAATGGCATTAAATTTTCTGGTACGAGAGGTCCTGCTCTATTTAGCACCGGACGCCGCACCCCTTGATCAACTCGCTACCGTTGAGAGTACTAAGAAAGGAGCTTTTTGTGATAGCTACGATCAAATAGGGCTCCTCCACGAGTTGGCCCTGATCTTTTCACGGTTTCCTACAAAAATGCAGAAGCGCGGTGGCCTAGGAGCCGTGCATCGTGCGCTACGAGGCGGTCGCGCATCTCCGCCGCCTCCCACATCTGCTGCGTCTCTTAGTTCGGTCGGGACGACGCCATCTGCCACGATTGCCGCGGCGGACTCCTCTTCTGTCACGGTCGCGACGTTGTCGTCGGCCCGGGACGCCACGATGGAGCCCGTATGCCCTCCACTACCTCCTGTGCCTCCTACATCGTCTAGTTTGGGCGGGACGCTGCCATCAACCGAGTCGGTCGCGCCGTCGTCCTCCTTGACAAATAATGTCAAACCCACGTCCGACACGGCCGCCTCGACCAAGGCCTATCCATCAGAAGGCGCCCTCGCCGACCTGAGAAGAAGACTAGCCTCCCGGGAGAACAAGGACAATAGCCTCGGCGCGACCGCCATGGTTGTTGATGAGAAAAGCTCGGCGCCGGACCCTCAAGTTCTCGCGGAGCTGATCGAGAATTACTCGTTTGATTTGCCGGACGGCTCCGAAGCTTTAACAAAAAAAGACATCAAGATTGGCGACGTCTTATATACTGTTCCTATTAACAATGGCTCGATGCCCCTCTGCCGGGTTGAGAAAATCAGCGGTGGTTATGTTCATGTGAAGGACTCCACCAACAACGGAGGGGGGAAGGCCTCCAAGCCTCGCCCGGGCATGCTGAGAAGAGCCTCTCGGGATGATGTTAATAGGTTCCCTCCGAAGGACGGGCCCTTGACGGAGGCGCCGCTCCTCGCGACGCCTCCGCCACCGATCTCGCTGCCGCCAAACGATATTATTACTAAGGTAGTTGATGGACTGCGCTGCCTTCTTTTAGAACGGGACCTCCGCTTCGGAGGATATGGCGACAAGGAGAGACGCCGGATGCAATCTCCAGTCGAGACCGTATCTGATGCTTTAGATCTGCTTCAGTTCGTAGTTTGTACCTTAGACGGCGCCCTCTCGGCCATCGACGGAGATAGGAAGCGGACGATAGGTCAAAAATCGCTCGATACATTTAATAGGGAGGTGCGGCCTCTGGTGCTGTTCGAGTCCTTGCGGAGCCTCCTCAAAGAGTGGGCCAAGGTCCCGGAACACGTAAGACCGCCGTTCCTTACTACCCCGGTCGCCCAAGCCAGCAACGACTCAATCCTCACAAAACCGCGGGACCGCAAGACGACGGAGCGATTAGCGGATGACCTGGACGCGCAGAAGTCTTCATACTGTGCGCGGTACGCGGTGCGGCCGGAGACGGAGGCGTCGTGCGCGAACTGCGGCGTGGCGTTTACTTATACTGGTCATGAGCACCGCTGGAAGTGCTCGAAGGACGACTGCAAGAAAGTATTTTGCGGTGAGTGCGCTGGTCTGGCTTCCCAACAACCCTTGAACAGCAAGTGGGTGTGTCGCCTCTGCAAGTCCAGTGAGCCTATCGACGTAGTAAAGCCGACGCAAACAAGTGGAAGTCTGATTCACGGCAGCAAGATTAGGTTGTTAGTTACGGGCCGCATTAGATTAGCGTTGGGCGATGACTACGAACCGTACTGCAAGTACATGGGCCCCAAGTTCGGGAGCAAAGCCTGGTATGATTTAGAGGTGTTCACTGGAGCGTACGAGGGCGAAGCGGCGTGCCGCCGCTTCACGAAAAGCACCGAGGGCACGGCGTCCATCCTCATTGACTGGAAAGGCAACGGCGTCTTCGCGGTCTTCGACGAGTTCTGGGACTACTGCCGCGAGCCGGGCGAGACGCCTCTCCAAGTAGCGGAACGCATGACGGTCGAGGTCCACCCGGGCTTTGAGGTCATCGCCGGGCTGTTCAGGTGGGGTGTTCTAGATTATTTAGATGGTGCCAAGGGCGGCTTTGTTGGTGGCTGGCGCATGCAGAAGCTGCGCGACGACCATGGCGTGGGCCAGAGTTCCATGCCGACGGTGTCCGACTTCCTAGCCTTGCCGTACCAGGAGTGCCTCGAGCACCTCAACGACCCGGAGTGGCCGACGCCCGAGCTCAAGGACATGTTCTGCGAGTACGGCGCCGAGGAAGCACGGCGCCTGGCTAGTTCCGGTCCCGACGTCCCGCCGGCGCGGCAACCCGCTCAGGGCCCGGGCTCGCGGAACCACGCGTTGGAGACGCCGGCGGTCATCGTGGCGGACCGCGCGGACCGAGATGTTCGGGAGCGCGCGACCCTCGAGTTCCTTTTGGCGTTCAAGGCGGGCCGGCTCCACGATCCTGCGATGCAGGTCATCGACGGCCTCCACCGTATCTCTGGGTGGCTCTCAATCGCCTGCGCGGACGGCAACCTCGGCGCGGACCAGCACATCAAGCAGCAGACGCCCCTTTACTTAGCAGCGGTTCGGGTCCGCGAGCTGATGGGTGAATCTGAGACGCGCGGGCCGTTCATCCGGTCCCCGCTCAACAATTTCCTTTGTACTGGAGCCGGAGACGGCAGCGACCTCGACAAATTACGCCATCACTGGAACGTCTTCATGGGCGCGTCCTGGCGCGCGCGCTACCGCGAGACGCCCACCTCCGAGTACAAGTACGTCGAGCTCACCGCTGTGTGGGAGAAACACGATCCCGCGGCGCGCGCCGCCGGCCCGGAGGCGCTGCCGGCGCCCTCGTTCCGGGCTCCGCGCTCGCGCAACTGACTTCGCGGGCATCCCCTCCCCTATCTGTCTGAAGCAAGAGTAAGACGTTTTCGCGTTGATTAAATTGGCGCACCGTGGTCGATGAATGGGATGGGTTGGGCTTGCGGTCGTCGACGAGGGGGGAGCAGTAAGTCGATAACACTATTATTTATTTATTTATTTATTTATTTATTTAACTGAACAACCCTACGAGCCAGTTCCACACCGCACCGATGGCCGTGAGCACGATGAAGAGCAGGACCGAGAGGTAGCCGACGCCGAGGAGACAGTCCGGGTAGCCCGAGGCGCCACACCACCCCGGGGACACCTGCGTCACGACGATGGCCAGGCCTCCCACGACCGCCACAACGCCGCCGCCGTACGCATCCCAGCAGCCGCGGCCGCACGCGACGTATGGGCCCGCCGAACGCCGCTCGCTCTCGGCCGTGTAGGCGCCGGCGGTGCTGATGACGTAGACGCCGCCGAAGATGAGCGCCAGGCCGGAGGCCAGGAACCGCCGCCGCAGCATCACGTCCGGGAAGAAGCGCTTCGGCCAGCCGAGCGCGGCGAAGACGGCGGCGGCCACGGCGAGGCAGAGCGCGGCGCCCACGAGCGCGTCGAATTGATGCGAGCAGTCCGAGCCGTCGACGGCGTCGCGGATTGCGGTGCCGCATTCGCCCTCGGAGCAGGGCGCGCAGCCCCCGCCCTTGACCTCCTGTGACAAGGCTCGGGTTTCTCCCTCCCCCCACTCCTTCCATCCACCATTTACCGTCCAACCATGGAGATCGTAGGCCAGATCGACGTCGAAGTAGCACGAGCAGTCCCAATCCCAGCTGCCGGAGCCATACCAACACTCAGACTTGTATCTGTCAGAGTCATACTCGTACTTCGTCTCTGGCGTCTTCGAGCAAGCGTACCAGCACTCGCAGTGGTCTTTGGGGTCGAGGGTGGCCGCGGCCCAGTGCCGGTTCTCCAGCAGCGCGAAGAGCTCGAGGAGGGCCACGAGCAGCGCCGTGCCCATCAGCGGCGTGACGCGCTCCTGCTGCTTCTTTTGCTCCGCAGGGCTAGGCTCCGCGGCGGCCTCCGGTTGGCGCGCCGCCTCCGCGTCGTAGTCCTCGTTGCGGCGCGCCTCGCGTTCACGCGCGCGCTCGCGTGCCCGCCGCCGCTCCTCCGCTGCGGCGGGTCCCTCGGAGATGGAGCGCGCCCGCTCAAGCGAGCGGCCCGGGTCCTGCCGCGCCTGCTGGCCGCGGACGGCGGCCTGGACGCGCGTCGCGCACTGCACGCGCGTCGCCGGCGCGAACGGCGCCGTCGAGTGGCCCGCGACGGGCGCCGCGATCACGGGCTGCAGTGCGCGCGCCTCCGGCACTCGACGCTTCCGCGCCTCCGCCTCGGCCAGGCGCCGCCGCAGTGCGGCCAGTTCTTCGCGTAGGGCGTCGGCCTTGCTTTGCGTCGCGCTCATGGCGTCGCACTGCTGTTACAGCGCTGTAGCAGCACGGGCTGGGGCTGCCCCACCCCACTTGGTCTCAGGCTGCGAGCGGTGGCGGCGTCACTGATGCCGGAGACGTTGTTGTCGGCGGCTATATTTGTGCTCGTGAACGAGAACGTGCGGTGCCGGCCTGCACTGCACGAGCTCCTGCCCCCGTTTCTCCGTTAGTGCAGCTAGCGGTGTAACACACTAGCGAACAGGCCCCGGCGCTCGCGTTTTGGCGTAGGGGTGGCTGCTGCGGCCTATCCACACGCGCCAATTGGTGAAAGTGTTCCAATTATACGTCTGAAAACGAAACGACACGCAACGGGCACGCCTGGGGCCTCTGCACTGAGCACACAGCACGCCGCCGCCGCAACCCCAATACTGTAAAGCACTCAAATATACCGCTCTCCAGCGCAGCGATACGCCGCGGGAGCACGTCGCCGCCAAAACAAAACCATGGACAACGACGCCTTCCGCAAGATCATGGCCACGCCGCGGCCCCACGACGGCAAACCAGCCGAGAAATTTGACAAGAAGTCGATCCGAAAACTTGTGGATGCCGATTTGCAGCGCAGCAAGGCTGGAAGCAAAAAACACAAGCGCGAGAAGCCCGCCAAGGAGAAGAAAGTTTCCCAGAAGAAGGAGAAGAAGCCGTCGAAGTATCGGGACCGGGCTGAGGAGCGTAGAACGGACACGAACAAAGACTATGAAAAAGATGACAATATTGCCGCTTTGGAGGTCGATGCGGAGGCCTCGAAGTACTTGGGTGGGGACGTCGCGCACACGCACTTGGTGCGAGGGTTGGATCGGGCTTTGTTAGAAAAGACTCGTACGGATTTGTCCAAAGCTATGCCGCCACCTGCACCTATCAGTAGACCAAAGGCTGTTGTGAAACAGGCTACGCCATTAGCGAGAGCGGCCCTGTCTTGCTTCGAACCGGCAGCAAGGTCGGCGACGGCTTCTAGACGAGTGCGCGCGGAGTCTCGGTCCTACGACTTCGCCGGTTTATCAGCACCATCAAAGTACGACGCGCCGCCAACCACCATCGTGCGGTCGGCCGCGGATCGGTCCCAGCTCTTCGACGATGAAGCGTCGGCGCCGCGCGTTTCCGCAGAAGTTGTGGCCTGCGCCGTCGCTGCCCTTTCGAGAAAGGGCTCGCGCAAGCGGAAGAAGGCCTCCGAGAAGGCTGTGCCCGTCACTACTGCCGCGCCCGTCGTTATGGGAGACGACGAGGACATCTTTGCCGGTGCCGGTCACTACGTGAAAACGGAAGGTTCACTGGCGGAGCGCGCGGCGGCGTCGCGGCGGGCCGCGGCTGAGGCTGATGAGGACGCGGGCGACGCGGCTCAAGCGGCGCAGTACCTGCCTCAGAAACCGTCGAAGCCGCCGCCAGCACAAAAAGCCCAGGACTCTGATGATGAATTTGAGGAAGCGGCGAGGCGTGACGAAGCGGAACCGGTCGTTGTTGTGGAGAAGCCGAAAGAGAAGGGCAATCGCAAAGAAAGGCGCAAGGCCAAGCAGGTGGTCCACCGCGATCCGATCTGGGGCGGGGCCGTGCCCGCGCCGAAGAAGCAGGCGCTCTCGCGCAATTTTGATGGGAGCGCGGACGCGTACGGGGAAGTCACGATGTACGATTCGGATGATGAGACCTACGCCATGAAAAAACAAAGGGAGGCCGCGGCCGACGCGGAGGCGGCGTACTACCGGCAGAAGGGGAAGAAGCGGCGGAAGAAGGGTGACGACGACGACGAGGGTGAGTAATGTGTGGTGTTAGCTATATTCTATCCAGGGGGTCGCTCCGTTCTTGTAAAACCCGTTTTGATGCTTTGTGAGCGCCGCGCGACACGCGCGACGGCGTACCGGCGGCATAGAGGTGCGTGAGGAGTCGTACACGTCGCCTCCATTAAACGCACGACCGATCTGCTGTGGTTCCGTCTATCGCGCGGTTCTTGATTGGTAATTTCAGATTTGACTCCTCAGCAGCCGTTTGTCTCGCCGCGTCTACCAAGCCGCGGGACCCCCAGGCGACATAATCTGAGACATGAAAGTGCAGCAAACACTCGCCCAGACCTGGAAGCGGCGCCGCGACTCGGACCACGCCGAGGCGAAGCGGCTGATTGCCGAGCGCGGCGTCGGTCTCCTCGCGGTGCCGGACGAGGCCGCGCTGCCCTTCCTGCCGCTGGCCTGGCTGATTCCGGCGAACGTGCTCGTGTGCTCGGGCATGAGCTGTCGGGCCGCCGCGCGCCAGAACGACCTGGGCGACGACGCGGCGGGTTATGTGTTGGCGCTGGCCCTGACCTGGGGCTACGCCATCCTCTGGTCGTGGAGCATCTATCCCTTCATCTTCAGCGTTCTCTCGAAAACGGAGAATCGCTTCCTGGGCTTCCTGGCGGTCCTGGGCGCCTACGGCGCCTGGGGCGTCGCGAACGCCATCGGCTGCGTCGTCGCGATGGAGGCCGTCCGGTCGCGCGCCTGGGCTGGGGTGTTCGTCTGGTTCGGCGCGGCGGCGGCGTGGAACGCGTGCCTGTTTTGTCGGAGGCCTCCGCTGCGCCGGGCGAAGGTCGCGTAGTAATGATTTTACATATCCGCCTCCCCGAGTCCGAACGACATCGTCCAGCAGCCCCTTGCCGACGCCTGCTTGACGCTCGAGCACTATGTAGACTGGAAGTAAGGATATGTGGGCTAGCGGCGGCGGCGTAAGGGGGGGTGGGGACCAAACTATGGAACGCGTGCCTCTCCAACGCCCTGTTCTGCGCCGGGAGCTCTGCAGGCTTGCGCGCGCGCACCGTTCGCTGCGCTAGGCGCGCGCCGCGCTCGAGCCATGGCGAGCGTGACGCCGGTTGCGGGCACGTTCCAGGTGCAGGCGCCGCCGGGTGCGCCGGCGGGCAGCCTCATGCAGGTGACGGCGCCGAACGGGGCATGCGTGCAAGTGACGATTCCCCCCGGCACGCCCCCCGGCGGCGTCTTCGAGGTGACGATGCCGCCCGCGCCGGTCGTCGTCGGGCAGCCGGTCGTCGTCGGGCAGCCCGGCGTCGCGGCCGCGCCGGCGCCGCCGCGGCCGAGCCCCCTCGACGCGTCGGTCGGACCCAACGCGTGGGCGCACGGCCTCTTCGACTGCGACGGCCTGGGCTGCTTCGACTGCCTCACGCTCGGACTTTTTGGAGGGAGTTGTCGCTACTGCGACGCGGTCGCCTGGTCGGGCGTGGACCCGCTTCAGTTTAATGCCGACAGGGGCGGGCGCTGCTGCATTTTTTGTCTTGCCATATCCATCGAGGTGGTCCCGTGCCAGGCCATCGCCGCGCACACGATGGCCAGGCTGGCCGTGGCGAGAAAATACGGGATTAACCAGACGCTGCTGCACGCGTGCTGCATCTCGTGCTGGTGCCCGTGCTGCGCGTTCCGCCAGGTCGAGCGGGAGGTCCTTGCGCAGGAGAAGCTCCGCTGGGGGTGCTGCGGCTTCTCCGCCGGGGCCGCGCCCGTTGCTTCGGGCGCCTAGAGGGCACCGCGCCCCCGCACAGGGGTGAAGGGAGGTCGGCGCGGAAGACGTCGATCGCGGCGCCCCGGCCGGACCGCAACGCGCGGACGGCGTCGTGAACGCCATCGGCAGCCGCCGCCGGTTCGGCGCCGGGCGAAGGTTGCGTAATATCTTGATTTACTCGGGGAGACGGACCTAGCACTTGCCCGCCAGCCCCTGCGCCGCGAGCTCGTCCAGGTCGTCCGTCGTCTGCACGACGATCTCGGAAGTACCGAGCTTCGTGATGTCCAGGCCCGCGGCCTTGTCCTTCTCGACCTGGGCCTTGATCCAGAAGTACGTCTTCTTGAGGCCCTCGGCGACCGGAATGCTGGGCGCCCAGCCGAGCTTCTCCTTGATCATCTGGTTGTCCGAGTTGCGCCCACGGACGCCCTCGGGGCCGGGGATGTGCTTGATGGGCAGGTTCTTGGCCTCGAACGACAAAGCTAGTTTGGCAAAATCATTCATGTCGATCATCTCGTCACTTCCTAAATTCAAAGGCTGCTCGCAGTCGCTGTCCATGATCTTCTGGATGCCCTGGACGCAGTCGTCGATGAACATGAAGGATCTAGTTTGTTTCCCGTCGCCCCACATTTCAAATTCGGTCGTCGCGCAGACGGCCTTGCGGCAGAACGCCGCCGGCGCCTTCTCGCGGCCGCCCTTCCAGGTGCCGCGCGGGCCGTAGACGTTGTGGAAGCGCGCGCACCGGAACTTGATGCCGAAGTCCCGCCCGTACACGATGCCCATCTCCTCCGCATACAACTTCTCGAGGCCGTACGTGTCCTGGGGCTTCGCCGGCCAGGCGTCGCCCTCCTTCAATCCCGGGTTCTCGGGGTCGAGCTGCAGGTCGTCGTTGTACACACACGCCGACGACGAGTAGAAGTAGCGCTTGACGCCCTTGCATCGCGCGGCCTCGAGCATGTTAAACGAGATCATCGTGTTGTTGTACATCAATACGGACTCGTTCGACTTGATGAAGCCCATGCCGCCCATGTCCGCGGCGAGGTTGTAGACGTCCCTGCACCCGTCGCACACTCGCAGGCAATTGCTCGGGATCCGCAGGTCAGCCAGATGGAACTCGTCGCAGAACTCGGGGACCTCCATGAATTCGTTGCGCTTCCAGTCCGCGCAGATGACGTAGAATCCTTTTTTCTTCAAATCTAACGCGAGCCAGGACCCAATGAACCCGCCGCCGCCGCCGACGGCCACACAAACTTTGCCCTCCTTGCTGGCGCCGGGCGCGAGCTCGACGGGGTAGGTGGCCATGGTCGTTTTGTCTTTGTTGGCTGCGTTTGCGGAGCTATGCGCTGCCTGTGCGGGTGGAGATGCTGTCGGGCATTCTATTGGCTTTTTCTAGGTCGCGCGTGAGGCGCGGCGACGCAGCGTTTTTCGTGCTCGCGTTCGAAAACAGATGACCAAGGACGATTTGAGACGCCGTGCACGTTACCTACTGCAGTCTACGCTGTCAACCACGCTATAGCCAAATGCCTGAAAAAATTGCGTCGGCTAGCGTGCGGGGGTTCAGCCGGCAAATCGAGTCGTCGGCGGGTGAGGAGGCTGTACTTGCACCGATAGACAAGGCTAGCGACGCCTCAAGGGAGCTGGCCGATGACGGGAGCAGCCATAGCTTGGACTTGATGCCGCAGTCGAGGCGCCGCGTAGATAGCCGTAGCAAGCACCGCATAAGGCGCACGACGCAGGAGTGCATCTATAACAGAGAACGGCTGCACGCCAGCATCGCTGCGCAACGCAGCGCGACAGATAGACAAAAAGCATGATCCTCAGGCTCAGTTGCATCGCGCTGGCGGCCGCCCTCGCGCCGACGCGGTCGACGCTCCCGCGACCAGTCTCACGAGTAGCGCGACCACCCGCGACGATGAGCCAGACCCAGAAGTCCAACAAGTCGAAACTCCAGACCATCGTCAAGGATAAAATTGAAGAGGACACGAAAACAAAAGAAGATTTAAATATCGAGGAGCCCTGGCGACTTTTGTTGCATAACGACGACGTGCACACCTTCGAGTACGTGACCTACATGATCCAGAAAATAATCCCGACGGTGTCGAACGCGAAGGCTTATCAATTGACCATGACGACGCACTGCGAGGGCGTGTCGACGGTGACGCAGACGGCCAAGCCGCTCGCGCAGAAGTACTGCGTCCAGTTGCAAAAAGGCGGCCTGACGGCGTCGATCTCGCCGGACTCGAACTTCAAGAACAACCGCGAGGGCGGCGGCGACGACGGGCCGGACACGGCGTAACAAAGTACAACAATTTATAGTAGGGGGTGGGCGACGGCGTCGACGCCGTCGACCTCACTTCCCCCCAAGATTCAGCGACGCCACCCACCCCTCGAGCAACGCCAAGCAGGCCGCGTCTTCCAAGACCTCGACGTCCACGCCCCCGTCCCGCAACCGCTTGGCGCCGTTCCCCGCGACCCAGGGCGCCGGGTCCGACATGCCGATGACGACGCGGGCGCACCCTGCCGCGACCTGCGCGGAGCATCGTATTCACTGGAAACGGTCCGAACGGCCTCAAATTTGGACCAGAGACCACCCACTTCATCAGAAGATGGACACGAGTCGCGTCGATGGCGTGAAAGCGCCGCAACACCTCAAAACGCGGAGATCGCACCAGCGCGTCGCAGCACGGCGGCGTCTTCCCCACGTGCGAGCACGGCTCGAGCGTGACGTACGCCGTCGCATTCTTCAAAGAGGACGTAACGCTCCAGTGGTCCGCGTCGCCTTCCCTTTCTACGGTGGCGCCCGCGTCCCTCAGGGCAAAAATTTCCGCGTGCGGTTCTCCAGCTTTGGGATGGTAGCCGCGGCCCACTATTTTGTTGTTTTGGACGAGGACGCAGCCGACCTGGGGGTTGGGAGCCGTGGTGTCGGCGGTGACCGTCTGTGCCAAATCTAAAGCTTCGCGCATGAAGTCGAGGTCGGCTGCAGTCGCGCGGTATTTGAGGGGCGCTTTGCGGATTGATGGGACGAGCCCGTGCGCAGCGACGAGGAGTAGGAGTCGCATGCCTGCGCGCGGGTTCGTGTGGCGCTGCTCTCGCGTGTTGCTCTGCTCTCGCGGATGAGATGGTGCGCTCAGCGTGGTTGTCGAACGTCGTCAGACGCAGCGGCCGTTTTGGCCGCCGTCGGGTAGAAGTCACCGAGCATCTCCACTGCTGTGGGATGTCATGCATCAGTGCGCTGCTGGGTTGTGTTGCTGCGCTGGGTGCTCGCTTTGCGGAGGGCTGCACTAGGCTGCCTGGCTGCACTGGTCACAAGCTCGTCGCAGCCGTCGCAGCGATGGCGTAATGGCGCTGCGGTGTCTTTAGCAGTGCTGTCAATGCTTCTGCACGATCACTCGCGCTCACTACTTAGTGCTAAGCTCACGTACGCTGCACCCAGGCTTGCTAGTGCCTTTACACACCGCTAGCTCCGTTTAGTTTTCGCATGTTACGCAAGTTACGCAATACTTGGACGTCGCGCCCTGATTCTAGGGTGCGCGGTGGTTCCTAGGTCGACGGCTTTCGCCGTATAAGTCACGAGCGGCGCGAAAAAAGCGGCCTAAAGTTGCTCATCCATGCCTTCCCCCTTCGACAGCCTGCCGGCCGAAATCACGCAGAAATGCGTTCAATTTCTCCCGTTTGATGTAGTGACTGGCGAGTTGAAAGCGGTATCGAAGGAGATCCGCGGGTTGGCGCGGCGCGAGTTGACGCGCGGCCGGTGGAAGCCAATCCGATACGTGGCCGTGCAAGGACTGGCGGTCTGCGCGGCCGATGATAGCCTCCAAGAGTTTGGGCTGGGTGGATTCCCGGTGGAATTTGCGCGCGATCCTCCGCCAGCAGCGTGCGCGACCTTCCGGGAGGCGTGGGCGCTCGATCCCGCACTGGTGATCAAAGTCATTTGCGATTGGGACACCAGCGGCCTCGGAGCTCATCTCATGGGAGTCTATCAGGGCCGTTTCCTATCGATCGTTGAGCCACCCGTTGAAGGGCTCGGAATCTATAATACTGTCTCGCGTATGGTCCCCTGTTTGGAAGCCATGTATCTCATACGCGTTTCCGATGATGCTACTCATGGAACCGTACGCGACAAGTGGAATTTCTTTCCGTTTGTGATGCTACGCGTATGGTGGACTTTAAATCGAGGCGGGTCGCTTAACAACCCCGGAGTGTTGCGTTCGGTCCTAGGCAGCGGGCTGGAAGCTTGGTCGGACGCAGAGCTCGCGGCAAAATTCACGGGCGAATACCTTTCATACTTAGGCTATTGGGATACCCCAGAAAATATTTATTCCTTGGCGAAAGCCTTCTCGGACGAGTGGTCGGACCGCACGAAGGCAGACGTGTACATGACGGAAATGGCGGAAGTTCGAGAGCGGATCGCGCGGCAGCCCGTCGAGGATGTCGCGCGGGAGTGGGAGGAGGAAGAAGCGCAGGAGTGGAGGGAAGCACAAGCACGGGACGACGGCGACGACGACGACGACGAGGACGACTATTACTACCCGTACTAGAACGGGGAGCATTATAAGACACTTACTCATGACATGAACTTGCGAGCTCGTTCGGCCGCCTCCATCGCCGGCGACCTCGCCTTCACTATCCTATCCCCGTCCAAATCGCGCCAGCGGAAGTAGTCAGCGCTCGCATCATCGACCCAACCGACGCGCACCGAACCCCGCACGAGCTCCACGGACGTCGGGTGCTGCAGGACCACGCACTCCACTAATTCTCTATTCACATCAAACGACAATTTCTCCAATGCCGACCGCGGCAGGGGGCAGTCCCGCAGCAAGAGCATGCGGTGCGTGTACATGTAGGCGAAGACGAGCATCAATTCGACGTCCGCGTCCGGATCATTGAGCGGTTCATCATAATACATGTCGTGCACGGCCACGACGTATTCGTCGAAGACTGTGGCAGCATCATCAGCCGCTATCCTAACTCTAGGCATGACGCACCCGTCGATATCATCCACACCGGTCCTGTCTAGCACAAAAGGTTCTTGACCGGGCACCGTGACCGTGGCCTTCCGCCAGAAGACGCGTTTATGACCAGGAGGTACTGGTGGTAAATTGTTTCTAGGATGGAGTTGACCGTCTTCCTGATCTGCGTCGTCGACGCTCCACAAGACATCATTACATAACTTCTCCTCCGTTTCTTTTGTGGTACGCGTTCCTAACCCACCAATCTCGGGCTCTGCCGGCTCAGCAACGGGCGGTTCCGCGACGCGGGGCCGCTTCGGCGCCTTGGGCGCGGCCTCCACCTCTTTGTGAACGTCGAACTCCTCCTCCTTATCATCGGAAATCTTCGGCCGATCCACGACTTGCAATTCACTCCTCTTGTAGGTGCCGCACCACCGCCCGCCGTCCGTGAACTTGCGGGCGCCGGCGAACTTGACCTCGTACCTCTCATTACCTTTGGCCTTCGTCACGATGCACTCGGAACCCTCGACCTGCGTGGACATCGACCAGTGAGCCTCCACGCCATCGAGCAAACGTCGCGTCGATGGCATGGGACGCAGGAGCGGACGACGCACTCCGTCCCGACGAAGGGATCGAAGCCGCCGCGGTACGTTATTAACAATTCCTCGGCCTTTTTCTTTCTAGTATCACTCGACGTACTCGTGGAAAAGTGCTCGAGGCAGTCTTCTGCGGTTTTATCTTCCTCAATAGTCCCGTGCCGCAGACAGGCCTCGAGCAACTGCAACAATGAGTCGAAGAACTTCGGGCTATCCAATCCACTCCTTTTAGTTCTCTGAGACAGCTCGAGACACGCCGCGCGCCAGCAGCCGCTCCTCACGTCGTTTGATAATGATGGGGTGTTCTTGAGCGCCTCGCTCGCGCGCACCAATGTATGTATAGGGACGCCCTTCGCAACTTTTGTAATGATGTCCAACAGAGCCTCGCGGTCGTGCTTTTGTAAAGAGGCTTCCTGCCTCGCGGGCTCGGCGGACGGCGCCTGGGCAACCTTCGAGACGCGTGTTAATCCACCTCTTAAGTGTCGCGCCGCCTTCCGCAGGATCTCGTCGTCCTCGAAGGTGACCGAGGCCTCGCGCTGCAGCGGGGGCTTCGGCACGGGGGCCGTCCGCGGCTGGGCCTGCTTCCAGCGCGGCATCGGTTTCTCCTTCTCCTTCGTGAGGTCGACGACCTCCGGGGGTTTCTGCGCTCTCGGCGAGACGGGTGGCGCCGTGCTATTGTAGTGCGCGCACCACTTGGCGATGAGCGCCGAGGCCGCGTCGGCGACGGCTCGCGTCTCGTGCTTGCGGACCCTTGCTAGCTTTTTGGCTACCAACTTGATAATGTCTTTGATGGGGACCGGCAGCGCGTCTAATCGATTGAGCACGGCGAGGCAGGCTCCGTCGGAGGCGCCGTCGAGCATATCTACGAGCTTGACGCGGTCGTCCATGTCGTCGATTTGGAGTGGTCCATCGATATACATCAAGGCCATCGCTGCGGCGGCGTCGTGGCAGCGCTTCCTGGCTGCGGCTTGCTTCCTTGCTGGTTCCACGCGTCTCGCGCGGCGGTTTTGCTTGGGAGAGCCCCTGAGAGCAGCTCCTTGTTGGAGCGGTTACGGCTCCCGAGCAGCAGCGCTGACGGTTTCAGCGGCGAGGAGAGGTCGCGTGGGCCACGCGTGGAGGTCAGTTGCGTCCCGAGGCTGGTCAGCGGGCTGTGAGCGCACGGGATGGCGCTGGCTGTGCTGCCGGCACCGCCTCTGGGCTGCCCTCCTAAACCCGCAAAAAGAGCTCCAAATGGATCCCTCCGTCGCCTGCACCTGTCCTGGGGCGAATCAGAACGGTCTACGAACCCCGAGCTAGCGGTGTAAGACACTAGCAAACCAAGCAAAAGCCGGCCGCGTCTCACGCACGCAGCGGTTGGTGCTGCAATTCTGCTCGAACTGCTGGCTCTGGACAGTCACCACTCATACCAACCAGCGCTGGTCAAGTTCCTGCAGAGAGACCGCCGCAAGGCAAACAGGCAGCAGTTTGCTAAAAAATAAATAAATAAAACCGCGGCGCGGCGGCCATGGCCGAAGCCGAGATCAGCGACTACGCCGCCGAGGCCGAAACGCTCGCGGAACGCGTCGACTGGGCCCGCGGCTCGGAACTGACCGCCGCGCTCGAGGAGCTCGAGGCCGTGAGCGCGGCCGCGCCGGCCGAGGCGGGCCCCCACGCCACCTCCGCTTTGGTGCGCTTGCTGGCGAAGAACGACTGCGGCCCCGAGGCTGCTCAAAGAGCAGTGGAGACCCTCTCCCGCCTGGCAGACAGCACAAAGCATGGCGCCGCCGCGACGAAGAACGGCGCCCTCTTCCTGAGCGACCCGAAGAACGTCGTCGTCATCCTCGACGTGCTCGAGGAGGAGCAGCAGGAGACGTACACGATTGTGGTCGCGCTAGAATTAGTTGCGAGCTTACACAGAGACCATGCCGAAAGGTTACGAAGAGCTTTACTAGATACGCCGGCCGGAGCGGCTAGATTATTGGACAGAATAAGCGACCATAGGGACGCCGTGCGCAACGCCGCCGTCCAGCTCTGGGAGAGGCTCACGCGACCCGAAAGTGTGGAATCGAGAAGTAGTGACGACCTGCGCCTGAACTGCGCCTTCGCGGACGTCTTCGCGAAGTGCTACGCCTGTTTGGAGGATGAAGGTGATTCCGCGGCGGCTCGGGCGTGCGTCCATCTGGTCGCGAACGTTTTGAACGGGCCGCCAACGATAGTAGCGCTGTTCGACGACCACGGCTTGGCCTGGCTCGTCCCGTTGTTGGAGGTGCCGCCGTTGGATGTGGCGGCCACGGGTGACGAGGAGGTCATCGGCTCGCCGTCGACGCCTCGCAAACAGGTGGACACAGAGGCCTGTCGCGACGCGCGTCGCCTCGCGTCCGCGGCGTTGGCGGTGTTGAGAAGGTACCTAAAACGGTGCGACGATGATTCGCGACGAAGAGCCTGGGCCTTCGAGGACCTGCGGTTATCTGTGTTAACCCTTGCTCTGACGGATGACGAAGGGCGAGTGGTCGACTTGGATGCTCCCCAGCTCTACCCCGCCGGTCTCGTGAAAGATCCATCATCGGAACTATGGTGGTCCACACTCACGGATGAGTCGGCCAAGGCTCCCTCGCGAGACGACGTCCGCGCCGCGGCGTTGGAAGTCGTACAACTCAACGTAAGGGACGATCCGCAGCTATGTCTCAGTTTCTGCGACGCAAAAGCGCCCACTGATGGTCTCAGCCCACCGGCCTTTGGCGTCGCCCTGGGCATGGCTTTTAAACCAAGAACCTTCGGGCCGGCGTCCATAGCAGCCTCATCTTTGGCAGAAACGATCTGGGCCGACGAGTCCGCGGCCATCGCCGCAGTGATGTTCGCCGTCGCGCCGCCGCCCGACGCCGAGGGCGAGAGCGCCGTGTCGTTGCTGTTAAGCGAGCTGGACAATGCCTCGGCTTTGAGCTTGTTGCGCTCATTATTGGCTCGGTCCGACGCCGTCCGCGACTTGGCCCTACGGTTGGAAGGCGGGCAGTTATTCTCAAAATTACTGGAGAAGGCCTTGACGAACGAGGACGCGTTGGCGCTGATCTGCCGCTGGCTCGACGCGTGCTCGCAGGCTTGCAGGGCTATGGTCAGAGACCCGGAGCTCCTATCAAGACTGTGTGAGGTAGAAGGGTCGAGACTGCGGGGCTTGAGCTGCCTCGCCTTGGGGTTGTGTGCGACGCACTTCGGCGACGAGGCGGGTGGCTGGTCTTCTCGTAAAGTGGCTGATTTTGTGGCCTCTACTGTTGGCTACGGTCCCTTCGCGTACCTATACCAGCGTTGTTCATTTGAGCGAGGCCGGTGACGAGACATATCCATGAATTCCTTCGCCGAAACTATCCAACGATGTGGACACACACCTAAACAGTCGTCCGAGGCCCGTTGTCTCCACACATCCAGTAGGAATCCGTTGTTACGTCGCTGATCATCCTACACACACAGGCGCGCCTTAGATGCTCTACAAGAAGACGCCTCGACGTCCCACCGGCGACGACGGGACAAGGGTGTGGCCGAGGACGTCTTCGAGAGTGACTCCGACCTCGCGGAGTGGGTCCGACGAGCGTGCGACGCGGCGCGAGGCGTCGTCACGGCCGGCTTGGTCGGTTCAGGTGACGCTGCTAGAGACGAAGCTCTCAAACAACTCCAGGAGGAGGTCCGGCAGCTCCGTTCCCGAGAACCGGCGGTGGTTCTGGACGACGGCGCCGCGGCGAGGGAAATCGCACAGCTCAAGGCCGAGGTCGCTTCCCTAAGACAGCCTTTGGTCGAGGTCGGCGCCGAACTTTTAGGAAAGTACGCGGGCGACGGCAACTGGTACGACGTCATCGTCGAGGCTGTTTCAACAGATAGTGCGCGCGTCCGCTTCCGCGACTACGGCAACTCCGAGGACGTGGCGTTGTCGGATCTGCGAGCCAAAGGTGATGATCGAGACGCGATTATCGCCCAACTGCGCGCGGACCTCGCGGCGCAGCCACGGAGCTCGGAAGACGCGCTCCGCGACACCGAGTTGGCTTCACTTCGGGCCGAGCTCGCTTCGTATAAAGACGCGGAGCAGCGCGCGTCGTTGCTCGAGGAGACCGTCGCGTCGCAAGCCGAGGAGATCCGTCGGTTGAGCGAGGCTTCCCAACCGGCCGACGCGTCTGCCGCGCTGCTCGAGGAGACCGTCGCCAGTCAGGCGGAGGAGATCCGCCGCCTCACTGAGGCCGCCGCGGCGCCACAGGCCGCCGCGGCGCCGCCGGCCGACGCGTCCGCGGTCTTCGGCGCGGCGCCGGCCGACGCCGCCGGTTTGTTCGGAGCGCCGCCTCCAGCCGACGACGGCGTCGTCGATGAATTAAAAAAGCGTATCGCGGAGCTCGAGGCCAGCGACGCGTCCGAGGCCCTCGCGGCGCGCGTCGCGGAAGCAGCACAATTACAGCGACGTGTCAAGGCCCTGGAAGAAGAGAACAGCGCCACATCTAGCGCATTGGAGGAGGCCAACGAACGCCTCCAGACGGAGCGCGCCGCGCGCAAGGCCAACGAGGCGACTCTACTGTCAGAAACGCAGCAACCAATGGTAGACAAGTCGCGAAGGGTCCGCCGGAAGCTCCGGAAGCAGACGTCGAACTTTTCGAGGACGATGAATGAATTATTTGATATTAGTGATTCTATACTAGGTGAGCTCCAAGCTCATGAGGAGGACGACAGTGGCGACGAGGACGAGCGCGTGCTCGAGTCATTGAGGGAGAAGCTGCCGCAGGCGGTGGATGCCGTCGTCGCTCGCAAAGTACAAGAAGTGCGCGCACCGCTCGAGGCCCAGCGCGACGAAGCTAAAAAAGAATGCGACTCGGCTGTTGATGATTTGGCGGACCTCGAGGAAAGGTTATTTGGGGCCGAGAAGCGTCTGCAGGAGGCCGAGGCTTCTGCAGCGCAGCGGCAAGCGGCTGACAACGCCGACGAGGACGTCGTGCAGGCTCTGGTGCAGGAACGCGATTTGTTGAAAGATCGAGTGAGGGAGTTAGACAGTGAACCGGCGAAGTGGGAGGAGCGCCTCGCTTCTCTAGAAGAGCGGTTGCGCGACGCTTCCGCGGAGCGCGACACGCTCCGGGAGGAGGTCGCGAACGCCTCGACGGAGCGCGACGCGCTCCGAGACGGGCTGCGCCGCGTCGCCGCGGAGGCGGACGCGGGCAAAGGCTACGAGGCCCAGCTGGAGGCCCTTCGATTGAAACATGAAGCGGATAAAGCGGAAGCGGTCAAGGAGCGGGAGGCATCCAGAGCTGCTTATTTCGTCGAGCTTGAACAGGCTTCGAAAAAAGTCGCGGCGCTGGAACAGGCTCTCGCGGACGCGAAGGAGCGGGAGGCGTCGCTGGACGAGGCCGTGGGCACTAGTGTAGACGCCGAGATCCTGAGGGCCGAGAACGCGCGGCTGACGGAGGCGCTGGCGGCGCGGGCGGGCGGCGACGCGGACGGCGACGCGCTCCGCGCTCGCTGTGCGGAGCTCGAGGCGTTGGTCCGGAGCGCGGGCGACGAGGCGCGCGCCGAGGCGGTGGCGCTGCGGCGCGAGCGCGACGACGCCTTACAACGGCTTGCGGCTGGCGACGCCGACGCGGGCCGGCAGCTCGCCGAGGCTGTGTCCGCGCGCGACGACGCGCTCCAAAAGCTCGCGGCCAACGATGCGGACGCCGGTGCGCGGCTCGCCGAGGCGACGCAGGCGCGCGACGAGGCTGTAGCTGCCGCGGCCTTCGCGAAGACTAGTGCCGAGAGGCAGCTCCAGGAGCTCGCCGCGGCCTCCGAGCAACGCGAAGCTTTGTCACAACAATGCGAGGCGGACCGCGCGGCCCTGAATGAAGCCATACGAGCGAGGGACCAGGCGGTGAGTGACGTCAAGTCCATCCTCGAGGAGTTCGAAGGGTTGAGACGCGAGGCGGCGGCCGTGGCGGCCGAGCGCGACGCCCTGAAGAACGACGCCGCCGAGGCGCGGACGACGTGCGCTTCACTAGCCGGCGAGCGCGATGCGCTGAAGAATGACGCCGCCGACGCCCAGAGACTGAGAACGCAGTGCGCATCACTAGAGGAGGCCCAGCGCGCCTCGACTCAAAAACTCGAGGACGAGCGCCGTCGAGCCGCTTCGTTAGAAAGAGAACTAGACCGCACGGAGACGGAGTCGCGCACCACGTTGGACGCTCTTGAGAGAAGAGTGCAGAAAGTGGATAGGCAGGCGGTCATCGCCGAAGAAAGGTCCGCGCTTGAGGTCGAGACGCTGCGCAAGGACGTGTCGCGCCTGAAGAGGGCCAAGGCCAAGTCCGATGAAAAGTGCGCGAAGCTCGAGAACGCCTCGTCGCAGCGCGAGGGTCTGATGAAGAAGGCGACGAAGGAGGCGTCGCAGTTATCTTCAAGGTTACAGACCGTCGAGGCGCAGATCGAGGAGCGGTCTCGTGTGATCGAGCAGCTCCGGGCTGCTGCGTCCCAGTGGGAGCGACGGGCGCTGGACGCCGAGGCGTCGTCGGCGCATGAGGAAAGGGAGCTCGAGCAGGAAGCTTTGGAAGCTCTGAGGAGTACCGCGAATGAAGATGCCGCGGCTCGCCTCGAGGCGGAGAGCGAGCGCGACGCGCTGCGGGAGGAGCTCGCTTCCATACGACAAGCGCATGAGAGCGCCTTGCAGGATTTGCGGTCCGCGTGCGAGCGAGACGTGACCGAGGCGGAAAGTGCGCGGCGGTCGCTCGCGGACGATATCCAGGCCGTCGAGGCGCGGGTCGCCGAGGCCGACCGGCGCTGCGTCGGCGCCGAGGAGGCGGCCGCGGCGCTGTCGAGGGACATCGACGAGGAGCGCGCGCGCGCGGTCGCCGCCGACGCGCTCGTGGCCGAGCGCGACGCGGCGCTTGCGGCTTTGCGCGACGAGGTCGCCGCGTTGCAAAGCAATAGCAGTGACGACATCGCCGTCGGCGCCGAGCTCTCCGGCAAGTTTTCTGGGGACGGCCAGTACTACGATGTGGTTGTCGAAGAGGTGACGGACAGCGGCTACAAGGTCTTGTTTACGGAGTATGGTAATAGTGAAGAACTACCCCGTGAAGATCTCAAGCAACGCGACACCAGCAAGGCCATGAAAGAACTAGAAATACGCTGTTCAGAGGCCGAGGCGCGAGCCGATCGCGCGGAGGCGGCTCTGCTGGAAAATTTCGACGACAGTGAGTCGGATGCGGGCGACACGCTCCAGGAGTGGCGGGAACGGTGTCTGCGGGCGGAGGACGCTTATGCCGCGATGCAGAAGGACGGCATGCGAGATAAGTTGGAAGCTCAAGAGCGGATCACCGCGGAACTTCACGCGAAACTCGCTGATGCGGACCAACGATATAAAGCGGAGTTATCGATGAGAGAAGAAGCCGAAGCTGTGGTGGAGGAGCTGCAGACGCGGCCGCGGACGGGAACGGCGCTTGACGAGTTAGCTGCCGATCTGGACGAGGCGCAGGAGACCCTCGCTGAGGAATCTGAACGACGGCAAGCGGCGGAAGCGGCGTTGGCCGCGAAAGGGGGCTGGTCCGCGGACCTCGATCGCATTCGCGACGCCGAGGCCCGAGCAGAAGCGTTGGGGCGGGAGTTGGAAGATGCGCGATTGAAGGCCGCGGCTCTCCAAGCTGAATTAGATGCGCCGTCGGAGCTCGACGCGCTCGCGGGCGAGTTGCGGGCCGAGGCGGCCGTCGCCACTCATTTAGCTGACCTCCACCCCGAAGTACCACCACAATCGCTGGAGAAGTTCGACGAGGAGTGGCGCCAGTTGGAAGATGAACATAACGATCTCTTGGCGTTGTTGGCGCAGCAGGAACTGGAAAAAACGGCCATGGCGGAATTGCTGTCGTCGCGCATCGGTCCCGAAGCCGTGGTCGAAGTGAAGGAGAAGGCGCGCGTCGACTGCGAAGCTCGATATGGGTCGTACGTGGACTACGCGCAGGACGACGTCAACGCTTTGCAGCGGGCCGAGGAGGAGCTCGAGGGGTTCGTCGCGTCCGCCTCGGAAGAAGTGGCGCCGGTAATGTGATGGAGTATCTTTCTTTTTGCTTCCCTTCCCCCGTGTTCCCGGTCGAACCGCGGGGAAGGGGTGCGGCTGCGTCGTGGCGTAGGGGTTTGATTTTTCTCTACGGTGTTCTTATGAGCTAGGCCTGGGGAGGGGTCCAGGCGCGAGCGCAGTAGGCCGAAGCTATGCCTCAGGCGGAGGCGGAGGCGGAGGGCCCGAGGCCGCGCGGGCGGCTTTCAAGACAAACGATGCCTTGCGCTCGATGCTGCTGGGTCGCAAGCGAAGCGCTCACTTTTCTTGGGAAATTGGACGTACGACACCTTCTTGCTGTAGAGCCCCTCCACTAATACTCGGACGTGGTCGGCGGCCACCTTTACTACTTGACACTTTCTTAAGTGCCCACAAGCAAGAGCGACCTTCTCGCACGCAGATTCGAAGCCCTCGTCGGGCAAGGCATCACGTCGTCGTCCGCATCGGCCGCGGTGATGTCGCCGGCGAGGAGGCGGTCGACTCCATTGTCTGATGCGGACGACATGATAGCTCCTGATCGCCCAGTAGCCGCTCTCAGACGCTCGCAGAACAGAGGTCTCGCGACGACTGCAGCCTCTCAATGTTCAGGGCTCTCCCAGCGAGGTGCACACCTCAGAGCGTTCGATCCGGCCGTGACGCGTATGAAACGTGCCGCTTAGTCAATGCCTACGCACAAACTGTCGCAGAGACGAGGCTGTCGGATCTCACCGTGAAACCTTGATGGGAAACCCGTTTTTTGTTGTCCTGATATTATAACCCCATCGACGAACGCCTGACTAACAGAACTAGCCCCCCAACTCTAGTCAATCGTCTCCTCAAAAGCCTCAAGCGCCCCCTTTGCACTCGTCGCCGCCGTGTCCGGAAACCGCCGCGTCGTCCCGACACGCGCGGGAAACCCCATCGCGCTCTCGTTCAAATACGCGCCCGACCCCGGCGGCAGCCCGAACCGTCCGTCGAAGCAGCCGCCCAACGGGAACCGGAGCGCCGCGTCCCAGTACGGCGCCCACTCCGCGGCGGGCCGCTTGCCGTCCATGGACGTGAACTCGGGCCAGTGCGCGTCCATGTCCGACGCGAGCTTGTACTGGTGCAGGTACCAGCGCCTGTGCATAAATCAAATCCTCGGCCGCGTCTCCGCAACCGCTGGATCATGGCCTCCACGCCATCGACGCGACGCCTGCTCGACGGCGTGTGGAGGTGCTGGTTCCTCACCGCTCGACGGAGCCAGCACGGCCGCGTTCTCGTGCATCCGACTCACTGGTTGATTTATGCACGGACCAGCGCGCGAGGCACCGCTCGGCGGGCGCCGTCCGCGGCTGCGCCGCGCGCAGCGCCTCGAGCCGCGCGAAGTGCCCGCGGAGATTCTTTCGCGTGATGTTGCGGCCGAACCGGTCCGTGTAGTACAGGATCCACTCGCGCGTCTCCTCGTCGCGGCGCACGCCCTGCTTCGCGAACCCGGCCTGCGCCTCGCGCTCGTAGGTCACTTTGTAGGCGAGCGCCGACGTTTTCGCCCGGCCGGACCGGTGGTCGATGGGGTCGACGATTTGCACGTACCGCTCTAATTTCCTGCACAAATCAACCAGTGAGTCGGGCGTACCCGATAATCTTCGCAAAGTTGCGCGGTCAGAGAGGTGTCGCGTCGATGGCGTGCAGCGAAGCGCCGCGGAATTTGATTTATGCACTGCTACTTGCTCCGACTCGATCAACGTCTTCAGGTCGGGGTTCGAGGCCAGCAGCTCCGCCTCGAAGCCGCGGACGCGCTTCAGCCAGTGCACGAGCGCGGGCCAGACCATGCCGTACATCGTGTACTTCGTCGTCAGCCGCGCAAAGTCGCGGAGGTGCGGCCACTCGAAGACGACGGCGTCGGCGAGGGGCCGCGACACGAGGCTGAACGTGTCGTCGTAGTGGCAGTACCGCCGCAGGCCCAGGACGAAGGGCTTCGCTGATGCGGGCACCGCCGCGAGGGCCGTCACCAACGAGTCAAGACACAACATCGCGTCGGGCTCGACGCGCAGGACGTACTCGGCCCGCGGCGCCGACCGCAGCGCGACCCAGAACGCCGCCGTCACGAGGTCCCGCCAGTACTTGCGCGGCATCATCTGCGCGCAGCGCTGGGACCGGATGCGGATGTCGCCGCAGTCCGCAATGGATCGTAGCCGCGGCGCCTGTGCACAAATCAAATAAAATATCGCCCGCCTTCGTGCTGAATCATGACCTCCACGCCATCGACGCGACGTCTGCGCGAGGACGGGTCTCTCACCGCTCGATTCAGTCAGCACCGCGGCATCGTCACAGAGAAACGTTTCTGGAGGCGTATATCTGCCCCCGACTTGCCGATTGATTTCCACACAGCTCGATGCCTCGGTCGCGTACTCGGACACGTCCGTGCCGGCGACGGCCGCCATGTCCGCGTTCTCGACGTAGCGCAGGCGCGTCGTGTCGAGGCGCTTCTTGTTGAGGGCGTGGTCGTGCCGGTCGGCGACGAAGATGACGGCCGCGCGGCCTGTTTTTACTGCCTCAGTCTGCTGGAGCCGGCGATCCACGACCGCCATCAGATCCGTCTCCGACACGACGAGCAGCGCCACGACGCATTTCGTGGCGCTGAGCACGGGCAACGGCGCGGCGGCGGCGCGCTTTGCTAGCACGCCGGCGCGTAACCGCACCGCTTGTCGTCGATCGGGAGTGGTAGTGACGCGCTGTGCCAGCATGCCGCCGCGCGCCCGCACCGCGCCCCGTCGATCGGGCGCCGCGGCCGGAGCTGCAGTCGTCGGCACTTGAGTAGGTCCCACGGGCGTCGGCGCGCGCGTCGGCGCCGGCATCCGTCGGCTGCGATGCTGCTGCTGCCGGCGCAGGAACTTGTCGATGCTGCTGCCCTTTTTGGCCGTGCAGAGGTGGATGCAGAGGAGCAGTCCCAGCATCATAATTGCAGATCAATTGTTTTTATCGATTGCGGGGCATCGTGGGCTGCCCTTCTTGCATCAGTGTGGCGTGCGTGGAGCCCAAAGCAAACGCTGCCCGAAGCTGTCGGCTTTGAAACGCCGCGGCGCCGGCTGCCTGCTGGTTGCTAGTATCTTACAGGCCGCTAGCCCGGGCTGCCCCGCGCAAATGTAGCTTAAAACTTTAGCCCCCCGACCCTAGTCAATCGTCTCCTCAAAAGCCTCAAGCGCGGCCGCCATACTCGTCGCGGCCGTGTCCGGAAACCGCCGCGTCGTCCCGACTTTCAAAGGGAACCCCATCGCGCTCGCGTTCAGGTACGCGCCGACCCCGGGCTTCCCTTGGAACCGCGCGTCGAAGCAGCCGCCGAGCGGGAGGCGGCGCGCCGCGTCCCAGTACGGCGCCCAGTCCGCGGCGGGCCGCCTGCCGTCCATGGACGTGAACTCGGGCCAGTGCGCGTCCATGCCCGCCGCGACCTTGTACTGGTGCAGGTACCAGCGCGCGAGGCACCGTTCGGCGGGCGCCGTCCGCGGCTGCGCCGCGCGCAGCGCCTCGAGCCGCGCGAAGCGCTGGTTCGGGGGGAACTTCTTCCGCGTGACGTTGCGGCCGAACCGGTCCGTGTAGTACAGGATCCACTCGCGCGTCTCCTCGTCAAATCGCACGCCCTTCTTCGCGAACCCGGCCTGCGCCTCGCGCTCGTAGGTCTTTTTGTACATTGCCGCCGACGTTCTGGGATTACGGCCGGTGTGGTGGTCGATGGGGTCGATGATTTGCACGTACCGCTCCAATTTCTCCGACTGGATCAACGTCTTCAGGTCGGGGTTCGAGGCCAGCAGCTCCGCCTCGAAGCCGCGGACGCGCCTCAGCCAGTGCACGAGCGCGGGCCAGACCATGCCGTACATCGTGTACTTCGTCGTCAGCCGCGCAAAGTCGCGCAGGTGCGGCCACTCAAAGACGACGGCGTCGGCGAGGGGCCGCGACACGAGGCTGAACGTGTCGTCGTAGTGGCAGAACCGCCGCAGGCCCAGGACGAAGGGCTTCGCTGATGCGGGCACCGCCGCGAGGGCCGTCACCAACGAGTCAAGACACAACACCGCGTCGGGCTCGACGCGCAGGACGTACTCGGCCCGCGGCGCCGACCGCAGCGCGACCCAGAACGCCGCCGTCACGAGGTCCCGCCAGTACTTCCGCGGCATCATCTGCGCGCACCGCACGGACCGGATGCGGATGTCGCCGCAGTCCGCGATCTCGCGCAGCCGCGGCGCCTCGGTCGCGTACTCGGACACGTCCGCGCCGGCGACGGCCGCCATGTCCGCGTTCTCGACGTAGCGCAGGCGCGTCGTGTCGAGGCGCTTCTTGTTGAGGGCGTGGTCGTGCCGGTCGGCGACGAAGATGACGGCCGCGCGGCCGTCGCGCACCGCGGCGGTCTGCTGGAGCCGCCGGTCGACGACCGCCATCAGATCCGTCTCCGACACGACGAGCAGCGCCACGACGCATTTCGTGGCACTGAGCACGGGCAACGGCGCGGCGGCGGCGCGCCGTGCGAGCACGCGCGCGCGGGCCCGCACGACGCCCCGCCGATCGGGCGCAGCGACGGGCGCCGCCGTCGTCGTCGGCGCGCGCGTCGGTGCCGGCGTCCGTCGGCCGCGATGCTGCTGCTGCCGGCGCCAGAACTTGTCGCGGCTGCTGCCCTTTTCGGCTCCTGTGGTGCTGCAGAGGTGGATGCATAGGAGTGCTGTCAATTTCATTAGTGGTGTCGAGCAGTTGTTTTTATCGATTGCTGGGCATCGTGGGGCTGCCTCTTTTGCATCTGTATGGCCCGCAAAGGCTGCGGTTTCTTACGCGCGGGTTTTGTCCTACGCTATCCCTGGAGTTTTTGGATTGTTAGACCACTTCCGGGCAGGCCGGTACGCGATACTTCGCGAGGGTCGACGCCCCACTTCGTGGCGGGGGACCGGAGGAGACCTGGACGCCTCCGGTATTCGTGACGCGCGCCTAATACGCGGCGTCGGCCTTGGCCGATTCGGCCTCCTTGGCGAGGAAGTCGGTGTGTTCTTGGAAGGGCGCCTTGCTGAAGACCTAAGTAGAGAACGACGAGTGAGTGAAATTTTCGACTCTCGACGGCCCTCGGCGTCCATAAAATGAAATGCTGACTCTGGCACTCGCCGTAGGCTTCCATAACTCGGGCGACAAGTAGCCGTACGAGGCCGACACCGCGTTGAAAACAGCGGTAATAAAGTTGCCCGTCGTGCGCGAGTGGCCGCGCGTCGTGGAGTAGCAGTCCTGCGTGCAAAGGAGTGAGTTGGCGTTTCGCGTCATGGATGCGGCGGCCGCTAAATAGCTGGCCCGCCCCCGCCGCGACTCGAAGGCCTCATTAGTTGTTGGACGCAGCTGCTGACCTCGAGGCCAGCCATGGCGAGGATCTTCTTAGAGGCCGGGGCGGCGACGAGGCCCGTGCCGCGCGGCGCCGGGATAAGACGCACGCTAACGCTACCACAGGTACCGGAGAGCTTCATGGGGATCGTGTGAGGAAGCCCGGAATTTTTACTGTGTAGATCAACCAGTGAGCGATGCAACGTTTACAGCCCCGCGGAGACTCTCTCGAAGTGGCAGACGCGTCGATTCTCGTTTTCTGACGCTGTCGCGGACCCCCAGTAGCCGCGGCGGATCGGCACGAGGTGCATCTTGGCCATGATAAGAGCGCCTCTAATGGCCGTAGCGACCTGTGCGCAAATCAATCAGTGAGTCGGGTGCGCGTCGATGGCGTGGAGGTCATAATTCAGCAGTGGACGTGCCGCGACAATTTGATTTAAGCGCAGGTAGCGACCTCCGAGGAGCACTTCTTGCCGAGGCCGATGTGGCCGTCGAAGTCGCCGACGGCGACGTAGGCCTCTGCGTGGAGTAAAAACGGTGAGTTTCGGCGAAGGCTGACGTTTACGTCAACATCGACGTTGAAGGCGAGGACGCTGGCAAATACTGAATCTAGTTCTCTGGCCAGCCGACGACTGCTTCTGAACGGGCTTGATGGTCATCACCTCGTCTTTGAGCTTTCCAGCGGTCGGCGGGAAGAAGTGGTCCACCTGCGAGAGGAATACGAGCGGTGACCGCGCGCTTAGCTGGGGCTGGGGGGCGGTTAAACCGTCTACGCAAAGGTGCGTCGACGTTGCGTAGATCGAAGGCGCCTATCTCGGCGCCGAGACGGCACAATCTGGTGCTCCTTGATCGGCATCGAGTGAAGGAAGATTTCCTGTGCGAAAAAACGGGTCGCGAAAACGCTCCGCGACGCCTAGACTCTCTCATGATCACGAAGACGGCGTCGAGGCGACGTGGTCTCGTGAAGACGCCATCGCCGCGCCGCCCCGGCGAGTTAAAAATTCATTTTCTGCTCCGGTGCTGACCTCGAGCGAGCGGATTCTGCCCTCCTTCACGAGGCGGCCGAGCTTGGTGACGGGGATCTGTGTGGAAATCAACCGGTTAGCGTCACGTCATTTTGGCGTGGCGGTCTACGCGTCTATTCAGAAGGCGCGATGAAAAGATTATCCGCACTGCGTTTTGCCCATTCGTCCTTATCGTCGCCCCCGCGCCTGAGTATATCGACCAGTGAGTTCGCTGCGCCATTGTGTCGATGTCGGCGAAAAAACGCAACCGTATCTGGAAAAACGCGGCCGTTTCTGGGAAAACGCAGCCACTTGGATACTTTTCGACGCAGCGGTGGTATAGCTTGCTCGATAAGGCGCTCTGCGCCCACTGGAAGCATTGTAGTGAAGGCACCTTCGATTTAAGCACTGCGGATTTACCCTCTGCCACGTCCGCGGCCGCGGCCGCGGCCCCGGCCGTCGCGGCCGCGGCCGAAGCCGCCGCGCCCGCCGCGCCCTTCGCCTCTACCTTCTCCAGGAGGTCCGCCCATGCTGCTGTATGATATCTGGCCTGCGGGGACGATCGGTTAGCGCCGCGTCATCTCGTATTGCTCTCTTTGCGGCGACGGCGCTCTCTCGCGTGCAGACTGTGCTGCAGCAGTCACGGGTGACGTCTCGTAAGCTCTGCCGAGCCGGCGCAGCGTCGACGGCGTCAACGAGCGCCGCGAGGCTGCTGGCGACGCAATGTCGTAATAGCAGCCTAGGAGCTCGCCGCGCGCCGCGTCTTTTGCAACACGGCTCGGCTGGCTCAAACGCAGCCCTCTCGCGAGCTCTTGCTGCAGGAATACGTAGCTGGACGCTGTAGCGGACGTCTAATGCCAATCTCTATCACTGAAAGGCGATTTTGTGCGGGTTCCGCGATATGCGAGAAGCACGAAAAGCACGCATTGGCACGCCATATAGGACCTCCCGTACGCGTCCGAGGCAAAAAACGCGACGCGCTTCCAGCTAGCTCGAGGCCCACAAAAATTGGAGTTCACATAAGACATCAAACGCCGCCCATTCGGCGCCACCGATGCGCATGGGTCGCGCAGCCTAGGCGCAGCGAGCGCACCGCAGGGGCAGCAACCATGCGCATCCTCCTTGCGCTGGTCCCGTGCGCACTGGGAGAAATTGCCCTCTCCAACGAGTGGCGCAGGCAGCACTGCGTCGGCGACATGCGCACCCGAAGTTTGGTGGTAGCGACGGCGACGGACTCGCCCAATTTACTCCCTATCCTGGCGGTCATCAACTCGACGCTCACGCACGCCGTTGACGGCGACGTTTCTCACGTCGTCATCACGCGGCACGTCCGACGCCTGCACGCGGCGGTCGCCAAGTTCACGCCGACGGCGCAGGTGACGATCTGCGGCGGTTTTTCCGATTTATTGACCCAAAGGCCACCTCTCGACAAATTGCAAAGGTTGGCAGATACTCAGAGGGTTAGAAGGAAGGAATTACTATCACCGTTCAACTTCGCGGCGTTCTACTTACCGTACGTGCTGCGAGAAGCCTCTCGCGTGTTGTACTTGGATACCGATGCGGTCGTGGAAGCGGACGTAACTATGTTACGCTCATTGGACATGGGCGGAGCGCCCGCCGCGGCGGTGGAGGACTGCACGCAGAAGGTGCATAAGTACGTGAACTACGAGCTGCTCGAGGAGAAGGACCACCACAAGCTGGGCGGGGAAAAGCACTGGTCTCGGTTCGGGTTGAGCGATGCCGCGTACTCCAACGAGACTTGCGTGTTCAACCGAGGTGTCGTTTTGTTCGATTCGGCGCGATGGAGGGAATTACGCTTGACGGAGACCATCGAGGATCTGGTTGACGCGTTTGTGAGTACAAGGGCGAAGTTATGGAGAGGAGGGATCTCGCAGCCTCCGTTCTTGTTGACGCTGGCCGGAAGATACTTAAAGTTAGGCGTGGAGTGGAACGTGCGCGGTTTGGGAAGGTTGGAGCTGGGTAGAGCCGAGTGGATGTTATTAGCGCAAGGCGCTCAGGAAAGATACGGCACGCCGGGCCTCGACGCCCACACGGCCCCCGCGGGGCCCTTCCGCCACACGTTCAACCCCTACGTGTCGCCCTTCGCGGCGCACGCGAAGATTTTGCACTTCAACGGCGACGTGAGAGCGCGGCGTCCCGTGTGAAGCTTCGACGTGATAGTACGCTGTCGCGGCGATGGCGTCGCGGCGGGCGTACAGCTATTCCCGTCGACTCATCGATCGAAGGACGCCCCGTGAAGACACGTGATGCTTCGTGAGACGAACATAGCTTCGCGTCGACGGCGCAGGGAGGGGTCTCACACACAGGTCAAGCCCTGGATGCTCTCCAAACAGGACGCAGAAAACTGGCGGCGATTAGGTATTGAGGTGTCCACCACGGAAGACACGACACGCCACATCACCGGCGTCTGCAAACTCGCGGCCTGCCCGACGGCCGTCAACGTGACGACTGGGAGACGCCTACGGTCCAAGTGCGAGACCTGGACGTCGTCCGAGGACGTCGATGGGCGGGTCCGCTACGACCAGCAGCGTAGAAGCTTGAGCGGCGAGCGCTGGACGGCGAAGACTCTAAAAACCTTCGGGGCCTACTACGGCCACGCCTGCGTCGCGCGGGCGCCCCTCTGCACGTGCCGCTCGGACATGTCCGACGACTGCGTCACCTCGTGCGCGGCGCTCTGGCACCGCTACGTCTCGGAAGAGTTGTCCCAGAGCTTCGCGGCGTCCGACGTCGCCTGGGCCAACGACTCGATCGCGTCGACGCCGCACCACCTTAGGGCGCTGTCGGATTCGCGGCGGCTTACAGAAGTACAATGGTGGCTCTGACGACGCCGTGCTCGTGGGGCAGTGTCCTACTACGCCGTCGCCGCGACCCGGGAACGCACCATCAGACGCGATAGTTATTAATCACAATGTTGTTACTAGAGTACCTTCTTCGACGGCGCGACGTCGGGCCTTCTATCTTGTTCGAACTTCATCAGCCGCTTGAACGACGTGAGATACTTCCGCTGGGCCTCGTCGTTCATGACGTGGGCCACGTTCTTCTGCTCGACCTTTTCTCGGGCGGTCCGCGTGTGGATACCTACCGAGGTCACACCTATGGGCCAGGCCGCGTTGCCGATCGCCACGAGAATGTACGCGTCGTTCGCTTTCACGAACTCGCCCGCGTCGCAGTGCGCGATCATCTCTATCAAGCTAGATTTGATGGACGGCTCGAGGCCCTTTCTTTTACATAGCCTTGTCAGGGGTCGTATGTACTCCTTCGTTTGTTTATAAGTTTTTGTTTTGAGCCGGCCCTGCGCGGAGCGCTTGTCCGCATCACTCCTAGATTCGAGGGCCGCCTCCCAGGCCTTGAGCCGCGCCTTGATCCAGGATCTGATACGAGAAAAGTCGTCTGTCAGATCTTCTTCCTCCTCTTTTTCTTCCTTGGTTTCTTTGGCCTCGCTGATCTCGTGCCCCCCTCGCAGCCGGAAGTCGTCCTCCCCCTCGTTCCGCGGATCATGTAATGCTAATCGTCGTATTCTCTCATCAGCAGTCTCTCCAAATAACGTGACGGGCTGGCCCAGTTGCCTCAGGCGCTTGATCACGTCTCCTTGCGGCAGTTTAGTTAACGCTTTGACGCGCTCTTCAATACGGTCGTCGTCTTTCGGTGTGGTCGGTTGAACTTCTTCCACAACGACGGGTCTGGCGACCGGCTTGCGCGCGGCCGATGCCTCGATGTCCTTGCGCCGCTGCTGTTGCAAGTCGGCAGTGCGGACCCAGCGGCGCTTCGCGTCGCCGCCCTTGGCGCCGTCGACCTGCTTGCGCTTTTTTGCGATCTCGGCCGCGAGGGCGTCCATCTTTGCGTCTTTGCGCTGTTCTTGGCTGCGCCGCGGCGGCGTCCGGTGGCACGGCTGCGGCCCGCGGTGCGCCTCTTGAGCAGTGCAGTGTGCAGCACACGGCGACGGCGTCTGGGGGTGCAGCTGTCGCGGAGCAGCGCAGGGCTAGATCAATATGGCTTTAACTGGTATCAATGCGCATGCGCGTGGCTTATAGCCTCTGTTTTGCCTCCTTTTACTCTGGGCTAGTGTTTTACAGCCCGCTAGCCTCACTTTGCTAACTTGTCCTTCGTCGATTCAGCGCTTGCTGGCGAGGGACTTACCGCACGAAGCAGGCGGTCTGAAGCGTCCTTTGTCGCCGCCCCCGAGTGCTGGTGCAATCTCAGCTCACGCTGCGTCTTGCTCTTGCCGCCTGCGAGAGAAGAACTGCTGCCTGCTTGCCTGACGCATTGCCGCCGGGACGCGCAGCGCACCGGCGAAGCGCCTGGACACGCAACACACTGGTGAAGCTTGCGATGGGTGCTCTCAGCCGCGGCGCAACCGCGAGCCGCGCCTCGACCGCGAGCCGCGCCGCGCTCTGCGCCTTGCTGGCGGGGCGCTGCGCCGCTTTCACGTACTCTGCGCGCCCCCCGCGCTCGGTGACGTGCCGCTTCGTGCTCGAGCGCGCCCCCGACGCCGCCGGCGCGCCGCCGCGCCGCAAGGTCGTCCGCAAGAGCACGCAGACGACCTGGGACGAGCGCTACCGAGAGCTGTCGACCTACCGCAGCACCTGGGGCACGGCCGACGCGCCGCTCGGCGACTCATTGGGCCGCTGGTGCCGGACGCAGCGGCAACAACACGCCGAGGGTAAGCTGAGCGACGAGCGCGTCGCGAAGCTCGACGCGCTTGAGTTCTCCTGGAAGAACCCCACCGAACTTTCAACAGACGAGCTCGAGGCGATTTGGGACACGAACGTCGAGGGTTTGAGGGCCTACGTGCTCGAGCACGGCAACGGCCAGGTGCCGAAAAAATACAAATTGAATCCGCGCCTGGGCGGCTGGGTCGCCGCGGTGCGGAGACGGGGCCCGGACGCGCTACCACTAGAACGACGGTCGGATCTTGAAAACGCGGGCTTCGAGTGGATTTCGACGCGGAAATGCGGCTCGGCCTTCATGAAAAATTTTAGAGCGTTGCGCGATTTACCAAAGGGCGAGGCGCCTTCATCGGAGTTAAAAGCGTGGGCGGCGGCGCAGAAGAAGCTCGCCGCGAAGGGCGGCCTGTCGGCGGAGCGGCGCGACTACCTCGCGTCGGTGATGGACCTGTGAGTTTTTGTAGAATAAACATACCTTGAACATACCTGGAACCAGCCTGGGTCGGGCACCCGCGGCGACGGCGTACGAGGGCCGGGGGCGGGGCGGGTGTGGGCACCGCGTGCGGTCACGCAGAGTCGCAGACCCCGCGCCGGCCGGGTGGCAGGCAGCCTAGCTCTAAGCAAAGCAATGGGACGCAGACGGGTCCCGGGCACGCGCAAAAAAAGAAGTACAGCAAAACTGTTAACAGGCGCGGCCCACAAAACTGGGAGGGGGATGGGGACAAAGGGCCGGCACCAAAACGACTTCAGGGCTCATCGGCGGCAAGCTCTTCACCACTGATGAAGTGCGCGAAGGTCAGCTCGTGGGGCTCGTAGAAGTTCGACTTGACGGCGTCGTAGACGTCGAGCTCCGTGAGCTCCTTGGGCGGGATGGACTGGCCCCAGAACTTGCGCATGTAGTGGGCCGACGCGTTCTTCGCTTCTTGGTTGCTCTGGTCGAAGAAGGCCGAGGCATTATAACGCATGACGCAGAAGGGCGACACGCCCGTCGACAGGCCGACGTCCATGCCCGCGAGGCCCTGGGCGTTCGTGAAGAAGGGCATGGGCGACTCCTCCATGCGCTTCCGCGCGAGACCTTCCAAGCCGGCGGCCATGCCGACCTCGCCCCAGCCTGTGTTGATCGTCGCGTCGATGGCGTTTGGGCGGGTCTCTCTCGCGGCCGCGGCGACGGCGTCGCAACGGCGCGGCGATGGCGTGGGGGTCGTAGCGTCGCCGGAAGTACAAAAGGACGCCGCGAAACAAACCGGCCCACTGCATCGCCGTGCAGGGCAGGCCCTTGGCGTTGCGGTAGCGCGACAGCGAGTCCAGCAAACTATTGGCGGCACTATACGGAGACTGGCCAGGATTGCCATAAGTAGCGACACTAGAAAAGAGCCACAGGAACTCGAGCTTGTCGCAGTTAAACTTCTCGAGGGCGTGATTCAAATATAAAGCCGCCCAGGCCTGTGTGGAAATCAAATTTCGGGCGCCCCACGCCATCGACGCGACGTTGTCGCCGTGCCCGCGTCGGTTCGATGCAACCTAACTCACTGGTTGATTTCCACACACAGGCAAGGGCCTTGGGCTTGAAGACGGCGTCGTACTTTTCGGCATCTTGATTCATCAATAACGCGTCTCTCAGTATTCCCGCCGAGTGCACGAAACCAACTAGACGATCCGCATGTTCCGACACGAACGCCTCGACGGCCTCGCGACTAGACACGTCGCACTTCTCCTGGGTGACCTTGATCGAACCTTCTGCAGCTAAGCGTTGCACGTCGTCCCACAGCTGTTGTTGCGCCGGCTGGATCTTGCAGGACCGCGACAGGAACTTGATCTCCAACGAAGCCGTCTTTCGTTGATCGCCCAACCTTTCTAGGAGGTACTTGCCCATCACTAAACCTAAAGCACCGTTCCCGCCTCCGATGCCCACGACACCGGTAGAAGGCGGCTGGAAGATTTTGGAAGAGGTGTATCGAGGTTCAGCTAACACCATCCTCGCGACGAACCTTCCTCTCCAATTCAACCGCACGGAATTCTCGCCGAAACCGGCTTTCCTAGAAACCTCATACCCGATCTGCTCCACTAAGTCATCGTCCACTTTATATTCGCAGTCCACGTAATGAATCGGTGTGGACGGTAACTCTAATCTGCAAGTATTGCACATGCCGAATAAGTGGGAGGCTGCTACTAAGCCAACTCCAGCTTCATTCCAGGTCTTACTTTCGTTCGAATGCGTGTCGGTCGTCAACACAAATAACTTCTTCGCATAGCTTGGTTTGCGTTGGATGATTTGTACTAGTGTGAGGAATACTTTAATGAGTCGGTCGGACCACTTGACCACATCGTCCGGATCATTACTTTCCGGCGAGTCCGCGCCAGCCCCGAACACGACCACGTCCCATGAATCAGCTAGTAACTCTTCGACCTTCTCCGCATCCAACAAGTCGTCATTACCGTAGACGTTGACGACTTTTTTGGCGCCGACATGTCTGTGCTGTTGGAGCGAGTCGAGGACCGAGGTCGTTAATCCCGATTCGTCGGCAAAGGCCAGAATATCTAATTTGCCCGTTTCGGAAGGATCTTCCTTGGGGACCGCATCGATAATGGCCTTCGGGAGCGTGGGACCGGCCTTGCGGATCGTATCCCTTATAGCTTTTTCAGTAGGGGGTAGCGGCTGCTCGACCCACTCTACTAGACAACAAAACTTGCCGTCGACCTCGCTTATAATTTCGGGCTTGCGCTTCGCGTAGAGGGCGTCGTCCCAGGCCTGCGTTGTGTGGTGTCGTGGTGCGGCGTTTTTTGTGCGGACGCCGGCTCCGCGCGGCAAAGACTTCGGACATGGTGGTGGCGGGCGCGGCGGCGGCGTCGGATGTGGCCTGCGGCGAGGGGCGCGTGACGTGGCGTCGCCGGCGCGGCGGTTTGCGCGACGGCGCCGCGGCGTAGGGCGCCGCCGCCCCGGCGCGCGCGCGCGTGTGCGACGCCTGTCCGACGGATGCGCGCCACGATTCGCGCAGCGCCGTGGCGCACCGCGCCGCGCTGTAAGCGCCGTCGAACTGCACCGCTGGCGCGGCGCGCGTGTTAAACTGCTCACCGAGGCGACATGCTTGCAGGACACTGAGCGTCGCGCCTGGAGCGCTATTTATTGCGCGGTCGCTTCGACGTCTTCTTGACGTATCAGTGCGTTGTCTCGCGCAGTACGAGCACAAATGGTGCGCGCGACGACGAGCTAGCAGTCCTCAAAACCGGGTAGTGGACTTGCAAATATGCACCCCGCACGCAAAAGAAGGACCAAAATTTGCGCGGCATACCTCGTTTCGGAGCCTTCAGACGACGCGGGGAGACGCTAGTTCAAGAACTGGGCCGCGCGCTTCTCCTCCGTTAGCCCAAGCCGGCAGCGCAAAGGGCAGCCATAAGACCATGCCATCGGCCTAACAACACACAGAAAGCGAAGAATATGCCGATCGCACGCCAGCCGGCGAGCAATAGCATCGGGGCGCGGCCTACACCATTCATCAAGACCGCATCGGCAGCTACCCAGCAAAGGATAAATGAAGTGCTGGGCGCCGAAGGAATAGAGCGCCGAAGAATGCTCCTCGTCTCGACCACGGGGCCGACGTCTTTTGTGGTTGCGGAACAAAACGCGCCAGACGGCGACGAGGCGAGCGAGCGGCCCGCGCGCGAGAAGCATAGGGTCAAAATAGGCCACCGCCACTCGTGCTCATGTGGACACCTGGGAGACGGCGAGCTCTGCCACCACGCCCTGTTCATTTTGTTGAAGGTGCTGCGCGTCCCCAAAGACAACCCGCTGGCCTTCCAGACTTCTTTGCTAGAGTCTGAGCTTGAAGCTGTCCTACGCTTCCGCGCGCTGGCGGACCAGCAAGCGCGGGACCAGGCGAAGCGCCACCGCATCTCCCAACTACGGGCCGAGCGAAGGCAGCAGCAGCCCGTCGTTCCAGTAGTGGAAGCGCCTGATGAGGCGTTATGCCCCGGACCTAGAGCACAAAACGCCCCGCAGCCGCCTCTGGATGGCGAGGACTGCCCCATCTGCATGGATTCGTTGACGGATGGTGCTCCACTCACCTATTGTCCGAAGACGTGCGGGAACTGGGTCCATGTCAGATGTTTGAAGGAGTATGCTGAACATACCGCACCAAGGGAAGCAAAGTGCCCTCTGTGTCGCGACGCCTGGGGCGGCGTGGAGCTGATCCAGGCGTGTAAAGCTAGACTACGGCGGGAGGCGGCGCAGCCTATGATAGGTGCGAAAGGGTCTGATACCCATAGATTGCGATGCGCGGGCTGCGGCGTCACACCCATCGTCGGCGAGCGATACCGGTGCGTGCGCTGTGTTCAAGGCGTCGATTTGTGTTCGGGGTGTTTTGGGAGAGGCAAGCACGGCCACCACGGCTTCGTCGCCAAGAGTCTGGTGGGCGACGCGTGGGCGGCCGCGCCGCGCGTCAAAGCGCGACCGAACCAGTGGCGGCCCGTCGCGGGGCTAGCCGACGCTAATTTACCAGCGTCGGCGTTAGCTGCCTTACAGTATCGGGATCTGGGTCCCAACGACTACGCTCTGTTGCAGCAGCTCGATCAGCCGGCGGCGGTGCCGACCTTCCGGTCCCTGGGTTCTTATTTGACCAAGGGCCTCGCGTCTTCATCAGACGGCGTTTGCGACGTCTGCGGCGCGGCGTGCGACGCCGTCCTCGCCTGCGGCCACGGCGTCCACCGCGCGTGCGTCTCGAACGCAATTGACGAGGGAAAGCCCGAGGACGTGCTCTGCCCCGTTTGTGGGGTATCGGCCTTCCCGGGGTTGCGCCGGAAGCCGCGGCGGCCGCGCCCCGAGGCGCCTCCTTCACAACCGCAAGCCGTGGCGGCCTTCGGTTCCGTCGTCGAGCGCTCGGCGTTCAACGTGCCGCGGTCGCCGCCGCCCGGGCCGCAAGGTCTGGAAGCGCTCGTCGTCGGCTCGACGATCGGCCCGGCGGCGTCTGTCGTCGGGCCTTCGGCGGGCTCGTTGTTCACCGGCTCGGTCGCGGCGACGTCGGTGGTCGAGCCGCTGGCGGCGCCGTCCCTGCTGGAGACGGGCTCGGTGTTCACGCTGTCGAACGCGGCGCCGATGAGCCCCAGCTCGCGCGCGGCCCTCGCCGTCGCGCAGCGGTCCCAGCGCGCGGCGCTCGAAAGGAGCGACCGCGCGGAACGGGCCCGCCAGCGCCGAGCAGCAGCGGCGTCGCGCGGCCCCATCGAGTTGGCCGAGGCCGCGGAACGGAACGCGCGGGCCGACGCGGCGCTCGAGCGGCGCGACACGGCGCGCGAGGCGCGGCGGCGCGCGGCGGCGGATCGACGCGCCGCCGCGGCGGACCGGCGCGCCGCGCGCGCGGGCAATGACGTGCCTTTGCTGGCCCAGGCGTCGGTCGCCCGCGACGCCGACGCGGCCCTCGAGCGGGCGACCGCGGCGCGCGAACAGCGGCGCCGCGCCGTCGCGGATCGCAGGGCCGCGGTGGCCGACCGCCGCGCGGCCCGGAGCGAACCAACCCTTGACGCGGTCGCAGCAATGCCGCCAATGTGGCTCGCGGACGCGGTGCGCTCGGCGTCGGCGCCCGAGGACGGCGTGCTGCAACGGCGGCGGCTCCTGAAGCAGCGCCAGCGCCTCCACGAAAAGAAGGCCGTGGCGGCACGCGAACGCCGGGAGCGCCTGGCGGGCCGCGTGCTGGTCCTGGCGCCGCCCCGTTTAGGCTTCGCGCACGAGTGTTAACCAGTGTTTGTTTTTTTCAAGTTTCAAGTTTGAACACTGGCACTACTAGTAACACAAAGAACTTTACCCGAGCGCATCCACAGCCGCTCGACGCGACAGACTCTCCTAGCAACGCAAACTGCATACGCCATCGACGCCGCGAGCCACGCAAAAGTCACCGCGCGTCCCAGCAGAAGGACGGGTAGTCGTGCTTCCGCCGCTTCGACCCCTTCTGCTTGGGCGGCAAAGGGCGCCAGTTCGCGCCCGGCCGGCCCTGCTCGTCGAGCTCGTCCGAGTAGTCGCCCCTCAATAGAGCCGCCCGCAGCCAGGGCTTCGTCGCGAGCCAGTAGAGCGGCGCGGTTATAGCCGCCGCGAGTACAATGAAAAACTGGATGCCTACCAATAAATGGGTGTAGCGCTCGACGTCGGCCAAGGTTAAGCCGTGGTGGAACTTGTGGTAGAACCAGCGCTCGATGGCCATGGTTTGTTGTTGTTGCTTTTGTGCCGATGTGAGTGGCTGCCCCGGGAGTCCTTTTCGATGCGAGCAGGCTGCCTCCTGGCGTCGGACGACCGGAAGCGTTCTCCTGCTTGGTTCTCAGCCTCTCACACGGGGCGTTTTACGCTCGGCGCTGGCCAAGCAGCCCCACCGATTTGTTTTTTAGCCGGGTCGACGGCGCGGTCGCAGCCAAACTTTGTGAGGTTTATGAAGGAAGCCTAGAGAGGGGTCCTGGCTGATTTTACGCCGCATCCGGCCGGGCCCACTACATGTCTTTGAGGCCACAGCACATCGCATTTAGGCTGGGATCACGCACTTGCGAAACTCTGGTAACGTTAGGCATCGTGAGTTATCGTCGTTAAGGCACAGCTGCACAAGCGACAAGTCTCCGGCACCGCTTCCCTGCTTTGCACAAAGTTGCAGCCTGTCACGTGTAGCCTGCATCACAGAGACGCACGCGCAATCCGCAACTCAAGCTAAAAGCCCACCGCACGAAAAGCAAACAAGATGCTCGACGGCATCTTCCCCTGGTCCGCGCCCGTGGCCGGCCTACCGGTCGTTTTATCGGTAGCCGTAGCGCGGCAGTACTTGAGTGGCTTCCTCATTGGGTGCGGCGTCGGCGGCGTGGTAGGAGCGTCCACTTTGGGAGTGGCTATGTTTTCGCTGAGCGCGCCGACGGGCGAGCTGAAAAACTTCACGGCCGTCGTACCTGTGGTCAATTGCTGCGCGAACGTCGGTACGGTACTCCAGTACTCGAAGCATGCGAACAGAAGTATTTGCATGAAGATGTGGCCGTTCATCGTGTTGGGCATCTGCGTCGGTACCTGGTTACTCCCTCGCATCGACGAGGCGTCTCTTAGGAAATTTACTTCTGTGGTCTACGCGCTAGTCCTCGCGCAGTCCGTGAGCGAGTACTTCCTGCAGAAGCAACGGGCCAAAAGCGCCCAGAAGGAGGACGACGCTCTGAAGGACCAGAAGAAAGCTTCCGAACAGTTCTACGGGAGATTGGAGGTTGCGGCGGCCATTTCGATACTTTGTGGGTTGCTCACGGTGCTGACGAACAACAGTGGTCCGATTTTCAACATATATCTGTTGAACTGTGGTTTGTCCATGAACCAGTTCGTCGCGACGAGAGCGGTCCTGATGGCGGGCAAGAACGTCGCGAAGGTCGGCGCAAGGCTCGTGGCCGGCTCGATCTCCGTCCCAGTGATCATCCACGGCCTCCAGATCGGCGTCATGTGCCTGGTCGGCATCCAGTGCGCCAAGCCCATCAAGGACCGGACGAGTCCGCAGCTGTACAAGTTCTTCACGTGGGGGGTCCTGCTCTACACGGCGGTGAAGATGTGGTTCGCGTAGGGGTTGTAAGTATAAGTCGAGTCGAGTTTCATCTCTCCCGTCCGCGTCGATGGCGTGCGGGTGGCGCAGAATTCAGATCTTGGACGCCGCGCGGCGCCGCGCCGGGCGTATTACACAAATAAACTTATATAGCCGCGGACCGTCGGGCCCGCGGGACTACACGACGGAGAAGCGCCGCCGCGCCCGGCGAAACACGTGCGCGATGGAGTCGTGCTCGACGCTCACGACGCGGCTCGCCGCGCGCCGCGCGCTCGCCCGCCGCATCCGCGAGCGCACGACCTGCACGGCCCGGAAGCCGCACTGCGCCAACCTCAGCCAGCGGACGCAGCGCAACGCGACCAACAGACGAATCAGCCGCAGGATCCGCGCGATGAGCGTCGGCAGGTCGGGCAGCCAACTGGCCAAATAAGCGTCCACAACGCCGCCGATGCGTGGGGCCGCCTCGCGGAGCCGTCTCTTCAGGTCGAATGCCTTCAAAATCCGTCGCGCGATCTGGAGGGGTCCCGGCGGTGGGGGCTTGCACTGCGCCCACCTGTGTGGAAATCAACCAGTGTGTCGGACGAACGCGCCGTAAAATGTTGATTTCCACACAGGCGCCCACCACGTGTCGTAGGAGCCGACGGCGCACCTCCTCGGTGCCGGCACCGCCGCCAGCGCGCTCGGGCCCAGCGCGCCCAGGACGTCCGGCAGGAGCCAGCCCGCGGCGTAGTGCCTCATAATGCGGCCGCGTCGTAAGATCAAAGTACCTCCTTTATCCACATAACCCGTGTGCAGGTTCAGCGCCGCGTCAGCGACGAAGAAGGCCGACCCCATCACATTAACGTTCGGGTTGAGCACCATCGCGACGGCGACGAGCGCAGCACAAAAATCCCAGAGGCGCCGCGGGCCCGAGTTCGGATGAATCACGCCCGCGTCGCGGCTCGTCTGGCGCATGAACGTGACCCGTTCTCGTAGCGGGAGGGCCCGCGACGCGCGCTCCGCGCCATCCGCGAGCGCGTCGAGCGACCGCCGCGAGGTGCGTCGTCGTAATGGCGGCTCGGAGAGGGGCGCGTGCGTCGGCGGCGACTTGATTGTCGGTGTGGCGGGCAGGGACCGCGGTGAGACCGGCGGTACCGTCGCTGCTGATGGTGACGTCGGCGGCGATGCGGGATTCGCGTCGAACGTCTTCTCGGCGGACCCGAGGGCCTTGCGGCGGCGGCGTTTCCGCCGCGCTCGCACCGTTACATTGGGTGAGGGCGTGCAGACGTCGTCGTCGGCGTCCAGCAGGGACTGGTGCGGTCGCAGTGGTGACTGGCGCTGCCGCGGCGGCGTCCTTGCGACGGCGGTCGGCGCTGCCGCGGCGCATGCCTGCTTCTTGGCCTCCCCGATCTCAGCGCAGTTCTCCGCGCGCGACGGGCCCAGGGGCGCGCGCGGCGCAGGAGCCGGCTGTGGCAGCTCTTCGCAACTGGCGCGCATCTTCACCACCCCAGCGGTTTGGCTTAAACACAGCCCGGGCAAAAGTTAACTGCGAAAACCTAGCGTATCAACACTACTAGCTCCGTGCTCGACGGCTTCCGCCGCCACAGGGCGCCTCTGGGCAGCCCACCACACGAGGTTATGCCTTAATAGTGGTATTACTAAGGCCCTGTCGCGAAGGATTTGCAAGAAACGCTGCCCGAACACCAGAAGTACCATTCAGCACCGCGAGGCCGACGCGATGGCCGAGCGCACGTCGCCCGCGACCCTCCGGTCGCAGCCGGACTACGAGGCGTCTCCCACATATCTGACGTCGGCGCTCCCGCCCCGCGAGGGCCAACGACCGCGGACGGAGTCGTGCCTGCCCCACGCGCAAATGGAAGCCGAGAGCCCGGACGCAATTTTCGAGGCGCTCACCGCGGCAGCTTCCGCGAGCCTGGGCGATGGCGTGGTGGAGGGCCCTACGACGGTGTCGGTGCCATCCACGTGGCCAGCGTACCACCTTTGCAGGCCGTGCGGCGACGCCATGCCGCGCGAGGCGTGCATGACGCCGGGCGGCCCGGCCTGTGGTCTTGAGCTGTGTGGAAATCAACCAGTGCGTCGGGTGCACCGACAATTCTTCACTAAGTCATTTCCCGGCGATGATGCTGCCGTGCTGGCTCCATGGAGCGGCGAGGAACCGGCATCGCCACGCCATCGAGCAGGCGTCGCGTCGATGGCGTGGGGGACGACGCGACGATTCAGCACGAACGCGCCGTGAAATTTTGATTTCCACATAGGTCTAGAGTTTGCCCACGTGCACGCCCGATATATCCCGGGCGACCATCCGACCGCGGTCCAGGCCAAAGCCCGAGGTCTGCCATGGCAGGCGTACCAGGGCGGCGGTCAGGGCTCGATGCACCTGTGCCTCACCCTGCGAGACGCGGCGGCCGTCCTGGACGCGGGCTGGGGCGAGCTGCACCTGCTCGCCGGAAGGACCATGGGGCCGGGCGCAAAGGTGCCGCGCGGACTCGTACTCGTCTATGCGCCGCGCACGGCCGAGGAGGTCTCGACGGTGGTGCGGATCCTGGGGGCGTCGCATGCGTTTGCCCGATCGGCGTGAATGTGTAAAGATGAAAATTGTTATCCAACTAACTGGATTGGCCCCTCAAACGTACTGGAGCTCTGCGTAAGATAAATCTCGTCCTTCACGGCCGGCGCCGGCGCCGGCGCCGGCACGGCGGCGTAGAGCGCCGGCGCCGGCGCCTCGACGAGCGGCGCGGGCACCGGCGCCTCGGCCACGTGGATGCGGTCCACCGAGAGCGTCGAGCCAGGCGGCGGCGCCGCCGCGTCGACGTAGGCCACGGCCTCGCGCACGGGCGTCAACGTCGCGCTCGGCGAGCGCAGCGTCGTCTCTTCGAGTAGCTCGGTGATGTGGTCCAAGCGCTGTCTCATGGATTGTTGGCTGCGACTGAGCCGTATCTTCAGCGACGATTCGCGGCGTAGCAGCTCCTTCACGTCGGCGCGGAGCTCTATGTGGAACTCTCGTAGTTCCGCGGCGAACTCCTTGTCTGGGATATGCGCACCGACGGTCTCGACCGCCGCCGCATCCTTGGACAGCGCCTCGACGGCCGTCGCTTTGGACTCGCCGGTCGTCTGCACCTGTGTGGAAATCAAATTTACGGCGCATTCGTCCTGAATCGCCGCGTCGACCTCCACGCCATCGACGCGACGCCTGCTCGATAGCGTGGTGGTGTCGATTCCTCACCGCTCGACGGAGCCAGCGCGGCCACGTCGTCGCCGAGAAATGACACACTGGTTGATATCCACACAGGTCTGCACTCTCTCGGCCACAAGCCGCTCAATGGCTTGCTCGATCCGGTAAGTTCGCTCGAGGTAAACATTGTCAGTCGCTAGGCGCGACGCGTCGCGAAACATCTCGAGCTGAAGCTTGATGTCGCGGTCCAGCTCAGACAACGAATCGACGTGCGACCTAATCGTCCACATGCGCTTGAACCATCCCCGCTCGCCGAAGGCCCGCACGGCGGCGTGGAATTGACGCAGTAGCTCCAGCAGTTGCCGCATCCGCGCCTCCACGATCTCCTTGCCTTCTACCAGCGACTCCGCGTTCTTATTCATCAGCGTCACCAGCTCGAGCACCTCCACGACGCGCCGCGCCGCGGTGACGACGTCGTCCGCCTTGTCCGCAAATTCGCTGGCGGAGCCGAAGAACTCGTTCGCGACCTCGGCGATGTCTCCCACAAACGGCACGAGAGAGCCCGCCGTGAGCAATGTGTTCACCAGAGACATGCCCGACGCCACGACCTGGGCGACGTCTTGGTGCTGCTCCAACGCTGCCTCGTTCGCCATCTCCGTCGCTGTGAGCGCCGCGGCGGCACCGGCCTCCGCGGGCGCGACCTTCGTGCCCTTGTCCTTCCGCGGGGACGCCCGCACGAAGCCGATGCACGCGCTGACGCCCGCGAAGGCGAACACGATGACGACGACGACGATGATAATGATGGTAACATTGCTGTCCTCACCGCCGCCGCCGCCGCCGCCTGAGCCCCCGGGACTTGTTGTTGGAGCTGAGGTCGGCTCCGGCGTCCTTGCAACTTCCATGCACACGGCTTCGACGGTCATTCCGGCAAAAACGACCTGATTACCCGTTTCTGCGGCTTCCTTATGCATGGCCCTTTCAATCTCGCCGGCCCCCACTGGAATAAATGACACGGCGTTCGCTGCGTGCTCCACCGATTCGTAGCGAATCCAGTAGGGGACGTATACGACGTCACCACTCTGAAGACGTCTTTGCCCCGTACCGTTACGGCATACGTCATCACTCTGGAGACGTCTTCGGCCAGATGAAAACGTCACGGTGACCCGGTCGGGGTGGACGCCGTAGACGCTGGCGATTGCCGCCACGAAGACGTCCGCGAGCGCCTCCGCGTCCGCCAGCGAGATGCCCGCGCACGTCAGCGAGCCCTCGAGGAGGCCGTCGGCGGCCGCGGTTAGCGCGCCCGGCGTCGGTGGGCGCGTACTGGGCGCGGGCGTCGGCCACAAAGTAGGTAGAGGTGTCGGTTGGGGTGATGGGCGCGTGCTGGGCGCAGGCGTCGGCCGGAAAGTAGGCATAGGTGTCGGAACCGGAGTCGGGCGGAAAGTAGGGCGAGGCGTCGGGCCGGGCGTAGGACTTGGCGTCGGGCGTGCAGTCGGCGCGCAGCCGCCCGCCACTTGCGTGACGCCGCACGACGTCGACGCGCACGGAGAGTCAACGAACGCGTTGTTCAGGTTCACGCCGTCGTCCACGCACCAGCCGAGGTCCTGGTTAAAGGCGAAGGCCTCGGCGAACATGAGCTCCATGCTCGTGACGCTGTGGACCGCCCATCCACTGATGTCCTGGTCGAAGGCGTCGGCTTGGTAGAACACCCCGTACATATCAGTGACGCCGTCAACCGCCCAAAAACCGATGTCCTGGTTAAAGACCGAGGCGCGGGCGAACATAATGCGCATGCTCGTGACGCCTGAGGTGTCCCAATCACCGAGGTCCTGGTCGAAGGCCGAGGCGGAAAAGAACATCCCGTGCATGCTTGTCACGCTGTGGACCGCCCAATTACCGACGTCTTGGTTAAAGGCCGAGGCTTCGTAGAACATGGACCTCGTGCTCATGACGTTGTCGACCGCCCAATCACTGAGGTCCTGGTCGAAGGCTGAGGCGCGGGCGAACATGCACCTCATGCTCGTTATGCTGTCGACTGCCCAACCGCCGATCGGCCGGTTGAACGCCGAGGCGCCTTGAAACATGTTTTGCATGGTTGTGACGCCGGATGTATCCCACGCGCCGATGTCGTCGTTAAAGGACGCCGCGGCCGTGTTGTAGTACGAGCACTCAGCACCATCGCTGCAAAACAACTCCGACATGTCCGTCACCCCGCCAGTCGCCCACGTCGAGATGTGGCCGTATGTCGTCTCTGCGGATGCGCTGTCCGAGAGCCACGCAGCGACGGCTGTTCTAATGTTGCTGTCGGTCATGACGTACCCGAGCTTGCGCCGCGTCATGGACGCGTTTGCAGTTCCGAAGGGCCGGGCCGCCGCCGCGAGCTGCGGAAAGGCCAGCAGCACGCCGAGGACCCGCGCGCGCCCCGCGGAGCTGCCGCGCGTCGGCAGCGCCGAGCCGGACAAAAAGGCGCCGACGCCCGTGACCGCAGCAGCAGCACTCTGCGGCGACGACCACCAGCCGACGTCCGCGCCGGCGCGGCGCGTCGCCGCCATCGCCGCCAGGACCGCGAGGGAGGCAGCCCAGCCAGCTGTGCAGGGGCAGCGCCGCCTCATCGTTCTCGTGCGCGGGGTGCAAGATCCAAACGCCGCAGACACTCTCGCGCCGCGTTGCTGCGCCAGCTGCAATGCCAGACTCGCCGGTCAGGAGCACCAGTGGGGGCGCTCCGGCATGACGTCTTGCCATGGTGCGGGCTTGCCGTGCGCGCGCCGGGCCAGCTCGGAGTTTGTCTGGAGACGGCAGGGACGCTGAAGGATAGCCTTCCACGGGACTCGGCTCGTAGAACGCAGCACGAGACAACGCGGGACAAGCAACTAGATATAAACGAAACTTTAGATTCGATAACCCGACTCACTCGTCCTTCGGGTTGAAGCCCAGGGGAATGCCCAGCGCTCTGAAGAGAGCAACTTGCGCGTTCCACTTTTTCAAATAACCGCCGCCGCCGTCCGGGTTCGCCGGAGGATAATTAGCAACCGGATGCACGGCGTGGAAGTCCTCCTTGATGCCCACCGTGCCCCTCAGTTCATCATCATCAATATCGCTCCAGTCCCGCGCGGTGCCGTCGCCGACGATGACCCGATTGTACTCGTTGTCCCCCGTCCACCTTGCAAAATAAGGCTGGCCGCCGTCGTTCTCCAACGCTTTATTGTACCAGTTGTAGAACTTATATATTAAATCATCACCTTTTCCTGCCTTATTTATTCTGGGAGCACCTAAGTCGTCGATCATGTGCGCCTGGCCCTGCATCACACTGTAGTCCTCCAGGCCGATGTGGTAGTTCCAGTTGTTCACTAACACCTCTAAGAACTTCGGGACTCCGGGGAACCCCGTAACAGTCGTGAGAATAGGTCCCTTCGGCAGGTGCTGCCGCAGCAATACTCGTGTCCGCTTCGGCGCAATCGGGACGATGTGGAACTCCTCGTGGAAGCCACTGACGCCGCCGTGCCTTACAATATTCGGCGCGTCAAATCTCACAAGTTTGTTCGGCTTCAGGGCGCCGCGCAGCTTGCCGACGTGGCCCGGTCCTACGTCGTCAGAAAACGCTTTCATCAATAAGTTGTCCGTGTTCGACCGCCTCATCCCCAAAGCGGCGATGGGCGGGATCGACCCATCGTGTAAGTGGAAGAGGTGGACGGAGTCGAGGTTGTTCTCGACGATGTACTCGAATCCGACCTTGTAATCTAAGACGGTGTCGACGGGGTACGTCGGCGTCGCGTCGGGCACTTTTTGGGGCAGCTTCGACGCGTCGGCCTCGAGCAGAGGTCCTCGCCACACATAGACAATCCCGTCGACCTCCTCCGCGGCAAATTGCTTCAACGAACAAGCGTTCTTCTTGAGCGTCCCGTCAGGCTTGAACTGGTCGACGTCAGCCCGGACCCCGTCCTTCCCGAAGGCCCAGCCGTGGTAGAAGCACCGCAAATTCCCGTCATCCCCAACCCTCCCCATGGACATCGGCGCGGATCGATGCGGACAGGCATCCGCGACGGCGTTTATTTGACCGGAAGCATCCCTGTAAATAACCATCGGTTCTCCAAACAAACGCGTCGCGTAGGGCGTGTAGCCGAGTTCGTCGAAGTCGTCGCCCTCCTGCCGTTCCAATTGTTTGGAGAAGGCGACGGCGTACCAGGCGTTCTCGAACGTCGGCTTCTTTTGTAACGCGGCGGCACCATGGGATAAGATCGGTAGGTACGAGACGGTCGTGTCCTGGCGGTCCACGACGAGCTGGTCGTAGATCTGCGAATCTCTCCTAGCAGCAAAGGCGTAGTGGACCGCGCCGCCCCATCTTGCGCTGTGTTTGAGCAAGTCGAAGTTCGAATCCTCGAAGAAGGCTCTCGCCTCGTGCGTGAAGGGTGACGGGAGTAAGGGCTTGAGGTTGTCCGTCAAGACGACTGCACTATCGGGCGACGTCGTCGACGCGAGCAATAAGTCCTGGAACAGCCTTCGCTTGGGGAGGTCGTCCACATAAAATAGGACAGCTTCCGAGCAGAACAAAGTAGGTCGCTCCTTCGAGAAGCCGGCCGACGTGAGGATATCTAACGGTGTCGCCTTGTCGGGGTCGCCGGCGTCGTTCAAATCATAAGGTATATAAGAAGGCTTCTTGTAGCTGTCGGAGCCGTGCTCGGCGACCCACGTGTCCCAGAGGCCCGACTTACCTTTGCAGACGTGGGGCAGGTCGAGCTCGTAGATGTCGCCGTCGATGTCCCTTATTCTTTCAGCGTAGCGCATGGCCCGCGTGTCGAAGCCCGCACCTAGTAGGACAATTTGGGGCTTTCCTGCGCCACTGTTCTCGACGGCGGCTAAGAACTTGTCGACGGCGGCGTCGATGAACTTCGTTCGACTCGTGACGAATTCGGCGAAGCGCGCCGCCGGTTTGAGGGCGTCCCACTTGGCGACGTCTCTCGTCAACTTCGGTAACAGATTGTGGGCGACCTTGTCCTCGAGCTCACCCGCATCATCGAGCAAAGCGCGGGCCCACAACACTCTAAGGTTCTTGGACGAGTCCTCGATGCCCGACGCGTCGCCGAAGTGCAGCAAATCGAACAAGGCGCCCGTCACGGCGTCCGTCGCGTAGCCCAGAGGTGATTGGCTTGCCTCGCCGTCGTCCTGCACCACAGACGCCTCGTCCGCCTCGAAGTCCTCGAAGACCTGGACCATGTCGCGCGCGTCCGTGAGGACCTGCGTGGTTCGGGGCGTCGCGGCGATGGCGTGATCGAGCAGTAGTCTCGCTCGCGTCGATGGCGTGGTCGCGGAGCCTCCCCGCGCCGCGCGCCGGCGCCGCGGCGGCGGCGCGGGCGCGGGCCCGACGTCTACGGCGGGCGCGCGGGCCGTGCGCTTCGACGAAGGTACGGTATGGTGGTTTCCGGCGCCGGGACGCGCCGGCGCGGCCCGAAGGCTGCTTCTCTTCGTGACCTGTGCCTCGTCGGCGACGGTGGCAGGGTCTTCCGTTGCTACATTCAGGCTGACGGCGCGCGGCCGCGGCGCAGGCCTAGCCGGAGCCCAAGCACGCGCCGCCACAGCGAAGGCCAGCACGCCTGCGGCCCGCATCTTCGAGCGTGGAGCGTTGCAGAGGATCACTGGGAGTCAGTTTACAGCAATGGTCTGCCGCGGGGGTCCGTCTTGGCTGCGCAAACAGGAGATTAGATCGAGGATCACCTCAAAAGCTGCTATGCGATCCTAAAGTTGCTTTTCGTGAAATGTCCTCGCACGGCTCTCAGCGGCTTCACTACGCGTGGCATAATCGCGCAAGACGCCGCAAAAAAATGTCGGAAAAGGCAAAAAGTATGGGCGTGGTCCAGATCTTCGGCACCCGTCGCGCCACACGCAAGAGCGGTCCATGCGGCGCCGACGGGGCGTCTGAACGTCTCCGCCGGAGGCCTTTCTCTGAAGTCTAGCGGCGCTCTCAAAGTTGAGTGGGGCAGCAGCGCCATCTCTTGGGCAAGAGAGGGCTCAATTGAAGCGGACCTAGCCACAATGGAGGACGAGCAGCCCGCGGCCGCACCGATCGTCGGCGAGGAGCTGCCCGGCGAGGCCGAGCTCCAGCTCGAGGTGGGGCAGGAGCCCGCGGCTCTGGAGGAGCTGGGGGCAGCGCCGAGCCCGGCCCGGGGCGCCGTCATCATGTCCCGCGGCCTGCGGACGCGCGACGGCGACTCGCTGCTCGTGCGGTTTGTGAACCACGAGGGGTGGCTGGAAGCGCGGGCCTTGGACTGCTCGGGTGGAAAGGTCGGGCGCGTCGTGCTGTGCGGCATTGCGGACGACGACGCCGCGGCGCAGCGGCGCCTCTGCGAGGAGCTCGCGCCTCGATTGATCGTGCGGGACGGGACGTTGGCGCTGGGCGACGCGCCGCGGCCGGCGGACGAGGGCAGCGTGGCGGACAGCGTCCAGCTCGCCGAGGCGCCGGCGCCCGCGCCGCTCGTCGAAGCGCCGGCGCCGGCGCTCAACGCCGCCGCGCCGGCGCCCGCTCCATCAGCGGCCGAGGCGCCCGTGCCGGCGGCCGAGGCGCCGGCGCCCGCGGCGCCCGAGGAGCCTGAGGCACCGGCGGCGCCCGCGGAGCAGCCGGTCGAGGCGCCCCCGACCCCGCCAAGGCTCTCCGTGCGCTTCAAGGAGACGGTCACGTTCCAGAGCGCCCGCTTCGGCGCCATCGACGCCGTCGACGGCGCGCACGCCGGCGCGGCCAACGCCTTCGGATTTGAATCAAAAGAATACGACGACGAGGACCCGACATCGCCAGCAGCACTGGTGCGGCGCGCGGCGGCGGCCGCGACGGTGGCTGATTTAGCTATGATGCGCGCCAGCATCGCACTAACACGTGCAAAGGAGGCTTCCAGCGGCGCGAACCTCGCGCACCACCGCGACAACCGGAGCATGTGGACGGGCCTCGTCGCGACGGCGTCGGCCAAGGCGAAGTGGAAGGCTCTTAGTAAACGCAAGAGCCGCGTGACGGCGCTGCCGCCGGCTCGAAGCTACGACACGACGCCTACCATGAGACGGCGCCAGCGCGACCGGGAAGCGATGAAGAGATGGTGGGCCGCCGACGCGCCGCCCTGGGAGCGCGACGTCACGGCGGCGCTCGCGGTGCGGACCGCACCGGCGCCGCTCATGAGGGTGCCGCGGCCCGCGTCGGCCGCCGTCGACATCGGCGCGATCGCGGCCGCCGCCGTGCCGCGCCTCCGGCCGAAAACGGCGCCGGTGCCGCGCCAGGTCGTTTCGCGACGGCCGGCGCCGCGGAAACCGGCGCCGGCGCCAGATGGCGCCTGGCCCCTGCCTCACTTACTACGGCCGCGCGTCGCGCGGCACCGCGAGGCGATGGAGTCCATGCGGCGGACGTATCGGTGCCCCTAACACTACGGTTTTTATTCTACAGTGTGCGACATCTGGCGTTGTTTCTAGATCGCGTCGACGGCGCGGGAGGAGTAGCGTTCGATATCGTTGTATTGTTACGTTGCTAGGACTAGTGGGGCGGCCCCCCTGGGCGGTGCGCCGTCCTATTTGCGGAGCTAGTGTGTTTAAGTTCACGCTAGGTTCGGCAAAGGGCCACTTTTTGGCTTGGAGCAAGCCAGGCTCCCCATAGGTCTAGAAAACGCGCAACGAGCAGTCGGAGTGAGTGCTGCTGCTGCGCCCGAGAAGTTGAGACATCATCCAACGGTGAGCGAGCTGAGCGAGCACCAGTGCTGGAGCCACACTGAGTGCCACCGCAAAAACGATGCCCTACCCGCCCCCACCGCCCGCGGAACCCACGAAAACAACGCCACCAATAGCCTTCGTGCAACGATTACGCAACCGCGCGGCCTGCCTCTGCTGCGCGCGCTGCGGCGCCTTCGCGGGAAATGACGCGCTGGTCCAGTGCGCCGCACCGTCGATACCACGAGACGGCGCGTCGCTCGCCGACGCACTGAAAGAATTGAAGATAAAGCACCGTTCTCATGGTGTTGTCTTCTGCGGCTGCGGTGCTGTTTTTTGTTCAGAAGCATGTCTCGACGACGACGAGGCGCACGCGCTGCACTGCTGCGGGCCGCGCGCCGAGGGAGATCCGGTCGTGGCGTTCCGTGCATCAATCTGCGGGCTGCCCTACGCCGACGAGGTTTTGCTGGCCGTCGCGGTCGCGTGCGCGGCGGTCAATGACTCAGAAAGCGAGGCGGCCGCGTGGGTCGAGTTCGCGCTCTCCGCGTTTGACGCGTCTTCGGAAGACATCCCGTGGGCTAAATTGATCGAGGGCGTGCCCGCTTTGGAGTCTTTAGGTGTAGAGGGCCTGAAACGCGTGTACGGACGAGTGAGAGAAGAGGCCCTCTCAATCACGCGCGAGAGCCCGCTCGTGGCGAGGTGCCGCGCCTGCACGGACGCCAAGGACCAATCAATTCTTGTAGAATTCGCGCGGCAAGACGACTACGACGAGGACGAGTCGGATGAGCCACCGGAGGACACGTCGCGCGCGGCCTTGGCGGTCGCGGCGGCCTTCGCCGACGAGACGAGCAGTAGTGATGAGGAAGCAACCGAGGAGTCCTTCGCGAGCGTCGCGGCGGACGCGGAGGCGCGCTTCGAGCCGCTCGAAGTGCTTGTCTTGAGCGAGGCGCGGCCCCACGCCTGCGCGCCTACTTATACATTGAGTGCTAACTCAAAGTCGGCCCCCCTCACGTTACTGGAGAAGCGCGTCGCGCCGGGGCCCGCCACTTTATCGAGGGTCGACACGGTTCTGGAACGGGAGGACCGCTTGGAATGGCTCAAGATGAAGGGCCTCGAGTGCGATTGTTCAAGGTGCCGCTTCGAAAACGGCGAGAGCGTCTCCAGTACTTTGTTACGGGCCGTCGCGGCGTGCGCCGAGCGCGACGGGAGGTTCGAGGACGCTTTACGAGCGCACGGCGCCGTCCTCGCAGAGGACCCGAGTGATGGCGACGCGTTGTATGGGCGAGCTCGAGTGCACGGCTGGTCGGACAAGTGGGGGATTGAACGACGGTTATTGGAGGAAGCGATCGCGCTCGCGCCCGACCATCCTGATATAAGGAAAGCGGTAAACACCAGAGACGCGTACCACGCCGGGGCCTGTTCGTCTAGAACCTTTGGATTTGAGACCATCTCCCGTGGAGGCGTGAGCGTGTGGTCCTCGAATAGCGTCGTCTCTTCAGAAGCGTGCGCGACGGCGATCGAGCTCGCCGAGGCCCACGCTTCTGCCACAGATGGCTGGACGACGGCGAGGCACTTCGCGGTCCCGACGACGGACCTACCGGTCCACGCATCTCCCGATCTCCTGAAGTGGTTCAACGCTTGTCTGAAAGATGCCATCTTCCCGGCGGTCGCTCAAGTGACCGGGGCTTCTTCGGAAAAGCTAAGGGTCATCGACGCGTTTGTCGTCCGTTACGACGCGAGCAAACAGAAAGCATTACCGCTCCATAGCGACCAGTCGGAGTATTCCATTACATTACCATTGAACGATCGGTCGCAATACGAGGGCGGCGGCACGTATTTTGCTGCCTTAGATGAAGCGGTGAACTGCGACACCGGCGGATTGGTCGTCTTCCCCGGCGCGCTGTACCACGCCGGCGCGCCTACCACCAAAGGTCGAAGGTACGTCATTGTCGCATTTTTATTTGAGGATAGAGATCAGGATGAACTGGAGAGGCGATTGGACGGCGCGGACCGAAAGCTGGATGGAGGCGCTGGGTTCGCGGACGATAGCGAGGACGACCTCAGTCGATTGTTAGCGAACATGAACGACCAATAATTATTTTTAACTTATAGCATCTAGAGCCTTTGATGTTCGCGCCACGAGCCAGGTCGCCGCGTTGATATCCTTGTTGTAGGAGTTGCGGTTCCAGATTTTTGAGCCTCTCTCCAACTCCGCCGGCGACGCGTCGATGCGCGGCCAGAGGTACGAGAAGACGAACCGCGCCTTGTCGACGACGGCGACCTCGAATTGCTGTTTAAATGCATCGCCGTCGATGTCGCGTAACGTGGCGAACTCCGCGAGGTACAGATCGACGAGGGCCCCATCTAACAGCGACCCGTCTTCACTCAACAGTTCGGAGCCGGCCACCGACGCCGTCAGAAAATGTGCGAGGTCGGTGGCAGCAAGTCCATCGCCCACATACTGAAAATCCAACAGAGCCACGTCGTCTCCTCTGACGAGCACGTTCGCGGCCTTCAGATCGCCGTGAATCAACGTGCGCCACTCTTCCACATCAGTACAGTCGTCGTGGGCGAAGGGGTGCGCCTCCCGCCCAGCGGCCACGGCCGCGCGCTGGACGCGGCCCCCGATCGATTCAAGATCGAGGTCCCGCGTCGCCGGCGAGGCCTCGAGCACGCTCCGGAAGTTGTCGAGCAACCGCGGCCACGCGGCCTCGACAGCACTCTCGAACTGCTCGGCGTTCTGATAGGCGGGTTGCCAGTGGCCGCCGCAGCGCCACTTTTCGTCCGGGCGCGGCCTCCGCGCCGCCTCGGAAAAGTGCGCGTGGAAGCGGGCCAGCGCCTTCAGCGTCGCGCGCAGGTCGTCTCCCGCGAGCAGGTTGCTCTGCCGGTAGCCGTCGTCGGGCGAGAAATCCCTCAGGAAGAGCAGCGACGCGGCGTCCAAGGGGTCGTCGGTCGGCGTGTCGACCGTCGCGGACAGCACCGTCGGCACCTGGACGCCAATGGCGGCCAGTCCCTTCGCCGCGTCCGACGAGAGGAACGCCGCCTCGACGCGGAAGGATGCGACATCTCTCCGCAACTTCTGCGGCTGCGCCGTCGCCTTCTTCACGGCTGCGGGTAGCTCCCGCATCTTCACGCGTTTCAGGAACACCGACGTGTCCGCGACGCGCAGGCGGCAACCGGCAGACAAAGCGCCGCGGAAGGCCTCAGCCTCGGGCGCCTGGTAAGTAGACGCTGCCACGCCCGCAGCTTCCGCGACCGTTGCGACGGCGAGCGGCGCCCCGGTTAAGTCGCGAGCTATGTCGGCGGCATGGGAAGAACCTCGAATACCGTAGCGCTCGAGGACCGCCAGGGCGCGGGCGTCGCGCCGCAGCGTCGCGCAGGCGGCGTCGTGGGCCTTGGACGCGCGTGCCGACGACGCGATGACGCCCAGCGTGTTCCCGACGGCGCCCGTGTAGGACAGCGGGGCGCCGAAGTAGTCCGTGACCCTGCCGCCGGCGGCGAGGATGGCGGCGGAAGGCGCGCAGGTGTCCCAGGCCGACGTTTTGCAGTGGAGAATTGCCACGTCCGCTTCTCCCTCGGCGACGCTTTTTAGTTTGTTGCCCGCGGCGCCGCGCACCGCGAAGTCCGCGCCCGGGAAGGCCTCGACGCCTGCCGCCTGGGCCGCGTCGGAGCCGTCGCCCGCGATTACCAGTAGCGTCTCGCTGTCGCGTTTCAGCGCTCGCGGCGCGTCAGAGGGACCCACGGACCCGCGAGAAGTAGCGTAAATGACGCGCGGCGGCCCGCCGTCCGCGGGAAACGGCAGGCCGACGGCACCACACACGGGCGCGTCGCCCACGGCGACGCCGACGAGGCACTGCACGGCGTCGAGGCGCCCCTCGACGAATTCTCTAGTACCATCCAACGGGTCGACGAAAATGCGCGCCTTCGACAAATCCACGCTCGTGGTACATTCCCAGTCCAGTAGGGCGTCGTCGAGTGGTTTGTCGAGTTCGTGATCCTCATCGAGCGCGGCCTCGTCCTCCTCGCCGACAATCGTCAGGCCCGGCCACGCCTTTGAGAGCGCGCCGACGACGGCGGCCTGCGCCGCGAGGTCGGCTGCTGTCAACGCGGATTTCGCGTCGCCTGCTATTTTGAGCGTCGCGTCGGTGGCGCCGGACTCCTGGACGCGTCGTATGCGGTCGCAGCCCCGCGCCGCCGCATCGATGCAGGTGCTCAGGAGCTTGTGGAGCGGGACGGTTTGTGGCTGCAGCGATGCGGCCATTGCAACGCAGCAGAGTGCTGCGGCAAGCCGCATCGATGCACGCAACGATTGGTCTTGCTAGGCAACCGCTACGCGCGACGTATTCACAGTGTGATCTCGCTGCTGCAGGAGAGCGGCAAGTCAATTTGTGATAGTGCTCCGCTGCGCCGTGATCTATCGCACGCGGTGGTTGCAAGAGACGTAACGCACTGCTTGGAAGCCATAAACGCTGCGCCGCCGTCCCGCGCACAAAGCTAACCACAGCACTGCTGCCTGCACAGTGTGCTGCCAGTCACCTCCGCGAACGACGCGTTGTGCGGAAAGAGCTGCTGTGCTGGCGCTCTACGAACCGTGCGGAGCGGTGCGGAGATCAACCGCTGCACGCCATCGACGCGAAGTTGTGAGACGACCGAGACGGCATGGCGTCCGAGATCAACTACCGCGACGCCGTCCTCGAGCGCGCCGACCTGGCCTTGTTCGCACCACCACATTGGCTCAACGACCGCGCCATCCACTTCGCGATGAAGCTGCTCGAGGACGATTCGGCGGTGAAGTGGCTCCTCTTGGACCCGGCCGTGTACGCCTTCTTGATGCTCCAGTGCGAGTTTGAGGATGAAGATGAGGTTTCGGATTTGCGGCGGGGGCTGGTGTTTCCTGGTGATGAGCGGGTGCTTGTTACTGTTGTATCGGATGCAGCGGGATTGCACGTCGGCGGCGGGTCGCACTGGTCCCTGCTCGTGTATGATGTGGACGCGGATCTTGCAAGGCACTACGACTCCATGGGGCGCTCGGCAAATGAACAGCGCGCTAGGCAGTGCGCGGAGAGGCTGCGGGTCTGCTTTGAACGTGAAACGGTGACGTTCGAGGCCATAGACACGCCGCGCCAGACCAATGCTTATGACTGCGGCGCCTACGCCCTGGCGGTCTGCCGCGCGTTGATGATGAAGGGGGACATTGGGTTCGTGACGCCGGCGACCGTCGAGGCGCTGCGAGAGGGGTTCGGGGCGCGGGCGCGGGCGATGTTCCGGGAGGCTTCTTGAGTAGGTGTTGTTTGATTGTATTATTTGGTGTCTCGTCCTGGGATTCCTCCGCGGACCCAGCTCTGCTCTGTGGAGAGTTCAGCAAAAGCTAAGTCTGAGAGCCATTGCAGTCCGTGCGCAAATAGGTCGTCATCACTCGCGTTTGCCGCACGATTCAACTATACTCTGCAATATGGTGGACCTCGGCTTCATGAAGCTCCCGTGCGCGGGCGACTTTAGCGTCTTCAAACTGCTCTTCGGCATGGCCTGTGCCTGTGTGTCGATCGCTAAGGTGTTCGCGTTTACAGATCTGGTCGGTCCCGCGCTGGCGACGAGCCTCGAGGCCTCGCGCGGCGGCGTCGACTTAGAGCCACTTATCGACGCGCTGAGACCGGCGGCGCTCGTCACGCTCGGGTGGAACGTCCTATTTTACAACCTGCTCGGGTCGCAAGTCTGGACGCTCGCGGTCGTGCGCATCTTCGAGTTTGTGCAACCGGAAGAAGTCGACGAGGCCTACCACCGCGTCGCGGCGCGCTGGTCGGCCAACACCCTCGAGCAAGCTCCGGTCTTCCTCTCCTCGCTCTGGCTCTACGCTCTGTTCGCCGACTCGGCCTCCGCGGGCACGCTGGGCGCCCTCTACTTAGTTTCGAGGTTAATGTACCCGCTCGTCTATTGCTGGATTGGAAGATTTACGTTCGGCTTCGAGCCCGTGACGCAGACGGGCTACGGCGTCGTCGGCGTGTTCTGGCTCGGGACGTATATGGCGCTCGTCGACCAAGGCTGGCTCTGGTGGGTATCGTCTGTGGGACCTGTCCCGGCGGCTCTGACGGGATTCGCCGTCGGTTCGCTGGCCCTCTTCCCCGGGCTCCCGACGGCTCCGTTCTACACGTTTGCACACTTCAAGTGCCACACGAGGAAGCACAAGCGCGCCTAGGTCGGCCGCCGTCGACGGGGCCGCAAGAAAAGACCACGACTCCCTCCCCCCAAGATAAAGTCCCGCTACTATTAGTGACTAGTATCGGTCCTTCTGTGGGGCTGGAGTGCGTCGCTGCGCGGCGGCGGCAAGCCGGCCGCGCGAGCTCGAGCTTCTTGGGCAGCCTCGCAAAGCAGCAGTCCAATCGCTGGGAGTGGGCAAGTGGAGACCATGCCAGCTGCGGAAAAGAAGAAATTGGTCGAGAAAGGAGATGGGGAGCTCGGTCTCACAATGGACCCGTCGCTCCTCCGCGGCGCCACAGCTGATTTGCTCATCAAGAACCGCAGTGAGATATTCAGCTCGAATGTACTCTCCCAGAAGGACCTGGCGCAGCTCCACGAGTCCACGGCGATCGTCAGCTTCCTGCACGACTTTTTTAGTCACAGCTGGCGCACCGCGCGCCTCGACAAATGGGCGGCACTACTGCTTTATTTGAATGTGCGGGCGGCGGCCGTGGCGATGGTCGGGAGTTGCTTCCTCTGGGCACTCCTGGAGGATTTCAAAGCGGTCCCGCGACTGCTCGTGATCACAGGACCCGGTTATTATTTTTCCGGAATGCCTGTTCTCGTTGGTTTATGCAGCGGTTGCTTCTTCCTCATCAATTGGCAACGAATCCGAAAGTTCTTCGGTCTCGGTCCGCGCTACTGCTTCCTCGACAAGGTCTGCATCGACCAGGTCGACGAGGTGCGTAAGTCGGCTGGGATCGCGTCGCTCGGCGCATTTCTGGGCTCAGCGGAAAACTTCGTCGTACTATTCTCGCCGGATTACTTTTCGCGACTATGGTGCTGTTATGAGCTCGCAGCCTTCCGGCACCTGCAAGTCGCGGGCAAGCAAAAGATTACCTTCCTACCCCTCGCCTTTCCCAGGGTGCTCTTCGCCAACGCGGTGGCACAGTCCGTGATGTGCTTGCCGCACGTTCTACTCCCAATCTTTGGGCCCTGGGTTGGCATCGACATCAATAACGTCGATACCAACATGTACTTAGCATTATGCATACCCGGGTCTCTGCTGAGTGCGTGGACAATGTATGAGGCCCAGAGGTACGTCGACGCCCGCGACATGATCGACGAGCAGCTTGAGAACTTTTCCATAACAAAGACGGAATGCTACGAGGAAAAGGATCGCCCGCGCGTCGAGCGAGAAATAGCAAAATGGTTCGGCGACGGCGACCGTGATGAGGGCATCCGCAAATTCGACCAGTACGTCAAAACTGACGTCCGCGAGCTCATCGAGGACATGGTCGGCAAGCGCAAGCCGTTCGGCGCTGGTATTCCGTGGCTCTACATTCTCCTCTCCTCGACGTGCGCGATCCTGGAAGACATTTCGATGTTTGCGAATATTTATCAGATACATGGCGTATGGGATAAGGTATTTTTCGCCATGTCGCCCCTAACCTGCATACTTGTCGGAACGCCGATGATACCGGTGTTATTACTTTGGTGCGCCTCGAAGGAGTACCGTGTTGGGGGCAAGGGGCCTATGATATTCCTCGCGCCGCTGATCGGTTGGATCCCGACTTACCTTCTGATCGTCGGTTTTGTGACACCCAACCCGACGTTCTGCCTCATTCAATTTCCGCTGGTCCTGGCGTTCGGGGCCGTCGTCTTCCGCGACTCCATCGCCAATTTGCTGGGCCTCAACAAGCAGCGAAAGGTCCAGAAGCAGCAGTACGTCCAGCTCCCGGCGCATTCCTACGGCTCCAATCTATGAGCTCTCCATCCCCCACTGCCTGACTTTGAGTAAGTCTCCTACTTCTGTTACCCAGAGCCCTAAGGATTACTGCTCGCGCGCGCGCGCCCCCGCACGGTCTCGAGCTTCTGCTTTGGGCAGCCCTGCAAATCAGTCGCGGGAGCGGGCAAGCGGCGCACCATGCCGGCTGCGGAAAAGAAGAAGCTGGTGACTGATGGGGAGCTCGGCCTGACTATCGATCCCTCGCTCCTGCGCGGCGCCACAGCTGATTTGCTCATCAAGAACCGCAGTGAGATATTCAGCAGCAATGTGCTCAGCCAAAAGGACCTGGCGCAGCTGCACGAATCGACCGCGATCGTCAGCTTCCTCGACAGCTTCTTCTCGCATAGCTGGCGCACCGCGAGACTCGACAAGTGGGCGGGTCTGCTCCTCTACCTGAACGCCCAGGCCGCCGCGCTGGCGATGGTCGCTGGAACGGTGTTCTGGACACTCCTGGAGGATTTCGGCGTCGTCCCCCGGCTTCTCGTGTTTTACATGGCAGACCGTCATATGATGTCTACCGGGATGCCTATACTCGTTGGCATCGCGAGCGGAATCACCTTCCTCATCAATTGGCAGCGAATCCGTGCGTTCTTCGGTCTCGGCCCGCGCTATTGCTTCCTCGACAAGGTCTGCATTGATCAGGTCGACGACGTGCGCAAGGCGGCGGGCATTGCTTCCCTTGGCGCATTTCTGGGGTCAGCCGAGAATTTCGTCGTGCTCTTCTCGCCGGATTACTTCTCAAGGTTGTGGTGCGTCTACGAGCTGGCGGCGTTCCGACACCTGCAAGTCGCTGGCAAGCAAAAGATTACGTTCCTGCCGTTAGCCTTCCCCCGAGTCCTCTTCGCCAACGCGTTGGCGATTGCAGTCGCGTGCTTGCCCTATGCGATCACTCCGATCATCGGGCCGTGGCTCGGCATCGATACAAATGCAGTCACAACCGGATTTCTGAACTGGGGTTGTCTACCTGGCACCTTTCTATGCATGTGGACGATGTACGAGGCCCAGAGGTACGTCGACGCCCGTGACATGATCGATGAGCAGCTCGACAATTTTTCCATTACGAATACTGAATGCTACGACGAGAAGGATCGCCCTCGCGTCGAGCGCGAAATCGCCAAGTGGTTCGGCGACGGCGATCGGGCCGAGGGCATTCGCAAATTCGACCAATATGTCAAAACGGACGTTCGTGAGCTAATCGAGGACATGGTCGGAAAGCGCAAGCCGTTCAGCGCGGGCATACCGTGGCTCTATATCTTCCTCTCGTCCGCTGGCGCGATCCTGGTGGACATTATTATGTTTGCTACTTGTTACACCCAACCGACCTGGCAGGATCGGCTGTACGAAATCGTTGCGGGCGCGTCTTGCATTCTGGTCGGCACGCCGATGGTCCCGGTGGTCTTTATCTGGTGCGCATCGAAGCGATGCAGATTGGGGGGGAAGGCGCCGATGATTCTGTTGGCTCCAATCATCTTTCAGATTCCGCAGTGCCTACTCATCATCGGGACGTTGTCGGCGGACTTCACTTTCGCCATGCTCCAGTTCTTCTGCTTCACGTTGCCGATCGGGGCCGTCGTCTTCCGCGACTCCATCGCAAATCTGCTGGGCCTCAACAAGCAGGGCCGGAAAGCCCAGAAGAAACAGTACGTCCAGCTCCCGACGCACTCCTACGGCTCCAATCTGTGAGTCCCCCTTTGCCTGAGTACAACAATATGTCCTAGTTAATCCGCCTCAGACTTCAGCCCGAGCGCCCCCGCCTCCTCGGCAGCCTTCGCTTCCGCCCTCAACCGCTCGAGCCGCTTTTGCCGCGCGGCCTCGGCGTCCGCGGCGAGGCGCTGGAAGTACGTCATCCCCTTCGCTCGAGTTGTGGTGATAGGCCGCGGCGTCGGCAGAGGAGCCGGCGCCGATGCGGCCATCGCCTCGGCCGCGGCGACGAACGCGTTCTTGTGGTGCGGCGCCCGTAGAGCGTCCCCGCTGCGGCGATGATTGGTCAAAAAAGGGGAGAGTTGTGAAAAACCACCGGCGGCGCTCGTCGGCGCGAGTTTTCGACAGTTTATCGTTACGTGTCAATAAGTGATGCAACCTCGGTCGATATGGCTCCCGCTGGACCACTACGCGGGACCTGCGGTCGCTACGCCTGAAACCTGTTTTGTCGTTGCCCACGAATCGTACCAGCAGCATATAGAGCAGGTACTGGAATGATGCGACGACTCTGGACTTCTTGTACGACACCTGAGAAACCCGCGTGGGCACTTGAGCTTTGGCAGAGCGTCGCGTCTCATCGCTCCGTGCTCCGTGCCAAGGGGTGCAAATATACGCGAAGAATTCGCAGGCGTCACTTAAATACTGTGGCCTTCGCGCTGCCAACGCGAATTCGTGCTCGCCGGCCGCTCGCGGCGCGCACACAACATCGCAGTGCTCACTTGCAGCAAGGCGACGCGCACATCAGTCGTTGCGGCTGCAAGACGACAACCATAAGCGTTTCCCAACGCTAACCGACGATGAAGCTCCTCCTCACGCTCGCCTCGGCCGCCGCGCTGTCGGCGCCGACGCGCCTGCCCGCCCGAGCCAGCGCATGAATCAAACTGTGTCGCGGCGCGTCTCCGCTCGTAGCCTCCACGCCATCGACGCGACGTGATTGATGCGCGCGCAGGCCCTGGCCGCCGACAAGCAGCTCAAAACGATCTTCGAGAACAACCGGAGGTGGGTCCGCGAGGAAGTCAAGAAGGACAAGGACTACTTTAATCGGATGGCCTCCGGGCAGTCGCCGCAAATCCTGTGGATCGGCTGCTCCGATTCACGAGTCCCTGCCAATCGTATTATGGGTTTAGATGCGGGAGAAGTCTTCGTGGCGCGAAATGTCGCCAACCAGGTCATCGGCACGGACATGTCCATGATGTCCGTCATCCAGTACGCCGTGAACGTGCTGAAAGTACCTCATATCGTCATCTGTGGCCACTACGATTGTGGAGGTGTGAAAGCTTCCATGGAAAACGTCGACCACGTCCCACCTTTGGAGAATTGGCTGCGGAACATCCGCGATACGTATCGGTTGAATCGCCAGGAGCTGGACCGCATCTCCGACAAGGACCAGCGGACGCGTCGCTTGGTCGAGTTGAACACCTTAGAACAGGCCTTCGCCGTTTTTAAAACTGGAGTCGTCCAGAGGAGGCGGGTCCAGACCTACGGTTCTGATCAAGAGCCCTACACGCAGCCGCGGATCCACGCCGTCGTGTTTGATCCCGGGACTGGCGAACTGAAGGAACTGAACGTCAACTGGAAGCAGGAGCTCGACAAATTGGGGCCGATCTACAATTTGTATGCCCCGGAGACGGCGGAAGCTAGAGCGGAGCGGCTCGGCGACGGCGGTGCTGCGGCGGCCGCGCCGCCTCCTGTGGAGCCTGCGAAGAAGAAGGGCCTCTGGGGGCGTCTTCGAGGGTGAGGGTTGTCCGGTCACGCTGGCACCGGACATTGCTAGGGAGTAAGTTAGATAGCTTTACCCCTTGCCGGTGGCGTGCACGTGTTATGTATATTCGAAGACCACGCTCTTCCCGGCTTCGCGGGCGCGGAGCGTGGCTCGCGACTGTCGTAGAGCGTCCACAATCCCCGTTGCGAACGGATGCGCGCCGCCGAGCACGCGCCGCGTGGTCCGTTCCAAATCCTCGAGTGTCCTCACGGCCTCGCGGATATCGTCGAGCGTTGCGTCGGGGTCCGTGTAGAGCGCGTCCGCGTAATTCCACCCCAATTTGAGCGTGAGCTCCTCATCATTCTTCCCGCTAACGCGCCGCGCCACGGGTATCGTTTTGCGATACAATGCCTTGGCTTCTTCGTGGCGCTTTAGAGTTAATAGGGACGCCGCGTAGTTGTTGGCTGCTATGGCGGTTTGTTCATGTTCCTCGCCATGGAGCTTCAAACGTCCAGAGTATACATCTCGAAGCATGTTTGAGGCCTGTTCGCTTCGTCCAAGCTTCGTGTGCGCGTTCGCAAGACGTGTCTGCGCGATGAGTATGCTTGATTTCCACACAGGTATTGATCACGAGAGCACGCTGTTTTCGGCGCTTAATCTCGCTATATCGCTGGTTACGCTCGAACGTTGGGCAGAAGCTAAGTCCCTGGTGCGCAAGGCATTGCCGGCCGCGCGCCGCGGCGCCCTCGGACGGGATGACGAGATTACCCTCAAACTGGAGAGCGCGCTAACCGAGGCCATCCATCGGGATGATAGCTCGTCACTCGATGAATTACGCAAGGCTATTTCGTACGCGGCGGACGGATGTCGGAGGGCGCGACGCGTATACGGCGATGCGCATCCCATCACGGAGGAACTCGCTGCGGTGCTAGACGACGCGCGCGGGAACCTCGCGCGCAGGGCCCAGTCATAAGTACAAGAATAACCATCTATTCTTAGTCGAGCTGAAACACCGCCCCGACCGGCGAGTGGTCCGCGAAGGGCCACGCGTCGTCCGTCGACAGGATGAACGCGTCGGCCAGCTTGAGCGAGGGCGACGCCAGGACGTAGTCGAGGCGCAGCCCTCGGTTCATGCCCCGGTTCGCGACGACGCGCTGCGAGTAGTACGAGAAGACGCCCAGGGCCTCCGGGTGCTTCGTGCGGAACGCGTCGACCAGGTCGGCGTCCGCCAGCAGCTTTGAGAACGATTTGCGCTCTTCCACCGTCAAACCGGCCTGCTTCGCCGGGCCCGAGAGGCCCTTGTATTGCTCCTCCACGGGCACATCCCCGGCACGCATCTCCGCGAAGTTCGGCCTCGTATACATATTATGTATATCTTCGGGCAGGTGGCAGCAGTTCAGGTCCCCAATGACAATCGTATTGCCGAGACCCTTCACGTAGGAAGCGAGGCCGCGGTCCCAGGTCTCGCAGCGGTATTGTAATCTGTCTAGTTTTTGACCCGAGTTCGGGACGTACGTCGCCACAATCGTAGGTAGTCCTGGCGCTTTTAGTGTGAGTAAACGACCTTCCGTCTTCACGATTTCATCAGTAGTCTCATATCCAGCCGTCACGTCCGCGCCTTCCGCGACACCGCCCCTCCTGATTAACATAGCAACACCAGAGTAGCCCTTCTTCGCCGTGCTACACGTGAAGTGCTGTAAGGAGACGGGGTAGTCCGGCAGGAGTGATGCTAGTTCTTCCTTCATGGCGTCCACATGACTTTCCTGGAGCTTATGTTCATTCAGACATAGGACGTCGGGCTTTTCGTCTTGGACAAGTTTCTGTAACGCGTCCCTTCGCGCGGCGTCCTTGGCTGGGTCTAGTAAAGCCCTCAGGCCGGCGACGTTTACCGATAATAATGCAAGCTTCTTGCCTTCCACTGAAGTGCGGGGGCAGGCCGACCGCGGGATCGGCCCGGCCGGCGCCTTCGCCTTTTTGGTCTTGGTCTTCTTCTTCTTCTCGTCTTGCGTCGAGAGCTTCGCGACGCCGCCGACCCTTAGCTCGAGGGACCCGCCGTCGTCGAGCGTCGTCGAGTGGCGCAATTTGCCGAACTCCGCGCGCGCGTCGGAGTAGGACTGGGGCGCCTCGAGCGTTTCTTGAATGGCGCCTTTGCTGTCTAATCGAACGATTTCTATTTTCTGGCCGTCCGGCTTGGGTTTCGCGGGCGACTTGGCCTTCTTGGCCGACGGTGGCGGCGACGGGGCGGCCGGCGGCACTTCGGCGGACCCGTCGCGAGCCGCCGCGACGAGGCGCTCCACGAGTTCGGCCTTCAATCCTTTCGAATCGGCGCCGGCGGCCTCGAGCGCGGCGCGGAGCTCGGCGACCTTGAGCTTCTTCGCGTCGCGGGTGGCGGCGGCCTCGTCGAAGGCGCTGGCGTCGCGTTTGGCCATGGCTAGGACGGAGAGCTGTCTGGTGACTGGCCGCCTGACGAGTCGCAGCGCGGACAGACGCACCGCCAGCGCCAGCGCGGCGATGGCGTAGTAGTGTCTAATTTTGAATTTGCGCAGCGATGCGCAAGAGCTGCGCTTGCGATGCGGCTGGCGCGAGAAGCTAGCGACCTGTAACATACTAGCAAATCGGGGAGTGTTCCAAAGATCGGGAACGCTGCCCTTTAGGAACTGCAGCGACTATCGCGCAGTTGCTATAGCTCACAAAAATGCGAGCACATCTCGTGCGGCGCCTGGTCCACGCCCGACGCGGGCAGCATCTGAACCGCTCCGCACTGGCAGCCATGCCTTCCTCTGCTTCGGCCTGGCACGTGGCGACGCCATGGGTGAACGCGCGAGCTCCACTCGCCACCAACCTCGCAGCGGCGGCGTCTTGTCGACGGGCGTTCAGCACCGACATAGATGCGCGCATCGCCGCCGAGAACAAGTCCCTCCAGGCGCGAGATATGGAAAAGAGCGACCCCGATGGCGCAATGGCGCTCTATCGTGAAGTGCTAAAGGACTACGCTAAGCTCAGGGATGCATACGTGGGCCTCGGCGACTATGCCAACGCGAGAGACGTCCTGGAGCGTGCTGTCGCGATCGAGGAGCGGGCGTACGGCCGCGACCACCCGACAGTGGCCCTCACGCTGACAACCCTCGGGTGCGCGTACGTCGACTCAGGCGACCACGCCAAGGCGCGAGAGGTCATGGTTCGCGCGCTCGCAATCTTTGAGCGGGAGTTCGGCCGCGATAGCACGTTTGTGGCCACCACGCTGACGAACCTCGGGATCGCGTACGGCTACTTAGGCGACCAGGCGAAGAAAAGAGACATGCTGGAGCGCGCGCTGCCGATCCAGGAGCGGGAGTACGGCCGCGACAGCACGCAAGTGGCCACCACGCTGACGAACCTCGGGAACGCGCACAGCCAATTAGGCGACCACGCGAAGGCACAACACATGCTGGAGCGCGCGCTTGCGATCTTTGAGCGGGAGTACGGCCGCAACCACACGAATGTGGCCCGGGCGCTGAATGGCCTCGGGTGCATGTACGGCGCTTTAGGCGACCACGCCAAGGCGCGAGAGGTCCTGGTTCGCGCGCTCGCGATCGACGAGCAAGCGCACGGGCCCGATCATCCCAGCACGAAGCAGACCAAGGAGAATCTCGCCAACGTGCAAGCCGACTTAGAGTTCCCGCTGCGCGCTGCGGCAAAGAGAGGCGACGTCGACGCTATGACTCAGCTCCTGGACGAAGGCGCCAAGGTCAATGTGACGATTCAGAACGGCCAGACGCCGCTCTATATCGCGTGCGAGCAGGGCCAGATCGACGCGGCGCGGCTGTTGTTAGATAAAGGCGCGGAAATAGACCGCGCGAACGAGCAGGGCGCGACGCCGCTGCTCGTCACGTGCGCTTACGGCCACGTCGATGCGGCGCGGCTGTTGCTGGAGAAAGGCGCAGAGGTCGATCGGGCGGACAAGAACGGGCAGACGCCGCTGTACCTCGCCTGCGCTCTCGGCCACGTCGACGTGGCGCGGATATTGCTGGAAAAGGGTGCCGACGTTGATCGGGCGACGGAGAACGGAGCGACGCCGCTGCTCGTCGCCTGCCATCAGGACCACGTCGACGCGGCGCGGCTGTTGCTGGAGAAAGGCGCAGAGGTCGATCGGGCGGACAAGAACGGGCAGACGCCGCTGTACATTGCCTGCCAGAAGGGCCACGTCGACGCAGCGCGGTTGTTGTTAGATAAAGGCGCGGCGGCCGATCGGGCGAATAAGAACGGTGTGACGCCGCTATGGACCGCCTGCTACTGTGGCCAAGTCGACGCGGTGCGGCTGTTGCTAGATAAAGGCGCGGCGGTCGATCGGGCGTCTGAGGACCGTGGGACGCCGCTGCACGTCGCCTGCCATCAGGGCCACGTCGACGTGGCGCGGCTGCTGCTGGACAAGGGCACGGAGGTCAATCGGGTGGGCAAGGACGGTGCGACTCCGCTGTACCTCGCCTGCCAGAACGGCCATGTCGACGCGGTGCGACTATTGCTGGAGAAAGGCGCGGAGGTCGACCGGGCGGAGAAGCAAGGTGCGACGCCGCTGTTCATCACCTGCCAGCAGGGCCAGGTCGATGCGGCGCGGTTATTGCTGGACAACGACGCGGAGGTCGATCGGGCGGCGGAGGACGGCCGGACGCCGCTATGGACCGCCTGCTACGAGGGCCACGTCGACGCTGCGCGGCTGCTGCTGGACAACGGCGCGGCGGTCGATCGGGCGCAAAAGCAGGGCGCGACGCCGCTGCTCGTCGCGTGCTACAACGGCCACGTCGACGCGGCGCGGCTGTTGCTAGATAAAGGCGCGGATATCAATCGGGCGACGGAGGACGGTGCGACGCCGCTGTCCATCGCTTGCCAGAACGGCCACGTCGACGTGGCGCGTATGTTGCTAGACAAGGGCACGGAGGTCAATCGGGTGGGCAAGGACGGTGCGACTCCGCTGTACCTCGCCTGCCAGAACGGCCATGTCGACGCGGTGCGACTATTGCTGGAGAAAGGCGCGGAGGTCGATCGGGCGAGGGAGGACGGAGCGACGCCGCTGTCCATCGCGAAAAGCAAAGGCCACTCGTCCATCGTCGCGCTCCTCGGGGAGCATCAGAAGTGACTACACGCGGACGAACCTCGGGCCCAATCATCTTAACACGGAAAAGACCAACACAGAACCTACTTACCAACTGGCTCCTGAACACGACGGCCGACGAGAGTTTTCTACCTCCCTTTTAGGCCACTTAATTTCATCTAGTTCTATGTACTACTTACCCGCCGACGACGCGTTGAGCGCCGCCAGCCTGGCCAGCGCCGTCCGAAAACACCCGAGGTTGTAGTCGATCAGGTCCCGCTTCTCGAGGTTCTCCGTCCTGAGTAAGCAAACTAACGCCAAATTGCGATCAACTTCATCCAAGACCAGAGCCATGCCGTTCGACAGCTGGATCGACGCGGCATTGGACCGCGTTTGCTTCGGCTCCTCCTCTCGGACAGGCGTATCCTCTTCAGAGGGTTCCGGCTGTTGGGTTTTATCAGGGGCATATATGGACGCGACGTCGAGCACGACGTCGATGGCGTCGGCGCACAGCTCGTACGAGGCCGAGTCCACAGGGGCACTATCCGTGGCCACATAAACTTTGGACGCCACGTCAAACAGGAACGACTTCTCCATGTCGCAGGCCGTCACGAGCGCGTCGAGCATCTTTCTCAATACAATTCTCTGGGGCACTAATGCCCTCGACACAAGCTTGGAAAACGCCTCAAAAACAGAATGGTCATATATAGACGTGAGAGAAAAAGCAGCGCCCGCCAGACAGTCGTCCGCATACGCCTGGGCCTGCTGGGGGTCGACGGTTTCGTCACTGCCATGGGCATACAACTCCGCAAGTTCCGCGCGCGCGCACGCTTCCACCTCCCGCCGACAATCCAACTTCTGCTCCTCGCTCAGGAAGTGGTCGCCATCCACCTTGTGGACGAAGACCTCGAGTTGCACCCTGGGATTAGCTGCTTTGGCCGCAGCAGCGACCTCCGCTAGTCGAGCACATTCGGAGTACGGGTCCGCCTCGGCGTCGACCACGTACGCCAAGACGACGCACCGCCCGAACAAGTCGCGCGGCGTCATCTGCGCGTCGCGCCACCGCAATTCGCTCAAGTCCCTATCTCCCGGAACGTCGAAAATGCTGAAATGTACTAAATCGCTGTTGGCCACCAATCGTAAAGTGGGCTGCGCCGTCGACGGGACGAAGAGCGTCTCGTGGGGGCTCATCTTGCCGAAGACGACGCGCGCCATGGACGTTTTACCCGAGCGGCGCGAGCCCATGAGCACGATGCGCGGGGCGCGCTCGGCCCGTTCGTTGTCGCCCTCGGAAGGTGTCGCCGGCCAGCGCTCGAGGTTGGCGTACATGTTTTTGTGTGGTGCTGCTGGTTTGAGTGCCCACGGTGCGCGGCGACGGCGCGCGATGCTCCAGCGAATTAGGCTCGACGGTAGGCTGCCAGAGGCTTGTCTACGCGTGCAGAGCTGTGCAGGAACGCTTGCGGCGGCGTGTCTTTTGTGTTTTTGCCTGCTGGCTAGTGTGTTACATGCCGCTAGCTGTGGTTTTGCGCGACGCGCGCACGGGACGAAGACCAGCCTTCAGCGCTCTCCGAAGCTCGCGCGGTACTTTATAGATCGCTCGAAACGGCCTTGGCCTCGTACGGCTGCGCCAGGCGGAGTCCGGCTGGGTAGCTCTCCCAAGCTCAAAAGTGCCAAAAAACAGCGCGGACAAACGCATAGCTGGAAAATAGAGCTAAAAAACAATGGCCGATGACGCAGCACCACAAGCGGAAGCGCCAGAACCTACTGCCGAGCCGAACGCGGATGCCGCAAACGAGCCGGCGCGTGCGATACCGCAGCCGCGCCCGACGGCCTGGGTCACGGGCGGCGGCGCCCTGACCTACGCGCGGCCGGTCCCGGACGTGGACGAGGCCTCCGCGGACGCCGAGCTACACTCCGCGCGGGCAGCCGCCACGCCGACCGCGGACGACGACGCCGACGACTCGCGGGAGGGACTGGACGACGATGCCACAAGCACGGACAGCGACACGGACAGCGACGGCGACGAGGCGGCCTGGGCCGCCGCCGATGGGTTAACAGAAGACCACCGCGCGTTGCGGGTCCAGGGCCTCGCGTGGGACGGCGTTCCACAAAATAGGCGGCGACGCGTCTGGCTGGAGCTCTCCGGAGCTTCAAGGAGGGCGGGCGACCCCACGGTGCCTCCTGACGAGCTGCGGCGGACGACGGAGGAGCTTGAGAGTGTCGTAGGGAGTCGCGTCGCCGCAGATGTCAAACTCGACTGTGGACGGGGCGGCGGCCGGACGAATAGTCGAGAGCGCCTTGTGCTGCGGAGGGTGCTCCTCGCCGTCGCCGCGAAATACCCGGCGACGGGCTACGCCCAAGGGTTAAATGTGGTCGCCCAGACGCTCTTGGAATCTGTTGGTTGTGAAGAGTCTATCCTCTTCTGGCTCCTCGCGGAATTAGTTGATGGGAGATTAAAAGGATGGTGGGCCGGCGACTTCTCCGTGTCGTTGGGTTCAATAGCGTCGGCGCTGGGCAAGTGGTCCGCGCTGAACGGCGAGGACGAGTGCCTGCCGTCGTTTGCCACCACCTGGGCGCTGTCCCTCTTCGGCCAGCACGCGGGGAAGCCGACGCCCAAACCTTTCAGGAGGGCCTGCCTCGACGCGATATTGTGTTCGAACGAGGGCGGCGTGCAAGCCGTCCTCGGGATTGCATTGGCGGCCGCGGACGTCGTACAAAGGTGTCCCTCAGAAGACATGGTCGGGCGGGGCTTGGCCGTCGCGCGGGCCTTCTCAAATGAAAGACGCCAGGTGCTCCTCGAAGCGAGTCGCCTCGCGCGGACGGCGCTCGTCGAGGTCGAGCCGAACCAATTGTTGTTTGACGCGCCGTCGGAGTTCTTCTGGTTACATACGGCGCGGCGCGTCGCCGAGGCGCGACTGGCACCCGTCGAACAAGCTGTTGAGACCGCGGCTCCATCATTATACGCGACGACCGCCTCTGCCAGAAAGGCAGCGGACCGCAGTCTCGCCCACGACGAGAAGCCGCTGCTGCTGATTCTTGGAGACGCTTCATCAGCGGACGCCTGCGCCTACGTGGCGGCGGAGCTGCTCGGCGTCGACAACGAGCGATCGCCGCCGGTGGAGGAAACGGACGAGCCAAGCTGTAACCCGGGCGCGGCCCCCGGCAACGTGCGCTACCGCTGGGGCGACGCCGCGATCGACTCCGTTTCGTCCTTCGGCGTGCCGGTGCGCTCGCGGCCGACGGCCGCGCTCCGGCGCGTCGACGCGGCCGTCGTCGTCGACGCCGAGGTCGCGCAGAAGTTACTCGCCGAAGCAGACGGCGTCATCTTCGTGATCGACGCGTCGGCCGAGCTGCCAACGCCTGCGTGGAAACCAACCCGTGATTGTGTGCCGCTGATATTTGATTTCCACACAGGTCGACGCCCTGGCGCCGGCAGAGCGCGCCCGTCGAGCGGGCCGCCTTCGCTTCGATGGACGCGGGCGGGCCCCAAGTCCGCGTCGTCTGCGTGACGACGGGCGCCGGCGACGGCGACGACGAGGTTGCTAACCACTGGAACGCGCGCGGGACCCAGGCCGCCTTCCGCACAGCGGGCACGGCCCTCGCCGCCGCGGGCGCGCGGACCGCGCGGCCGCTGCCGGCCTTCGGGGTCCTCGGCGTCTCCTCAAAAACGACGCGTGCCGAACTGCGGGCCCTGTCGAAGCTCGTCGACGGCCTGCCCGCGGCGTGTGCCGAGAAGGCCGTCGCGGCGTTACTGGCGCGCTGCGATTGCGTGAGGGCGGTCGCGACGACGCTCGACGCCCTCGCCGCGACGCCGCCGTCGCGGCTCTACCGGTGGAGCAGCGCGCTGATCGGGCTCGTGACGCCGGAGACCGTCGCGCCGATCCTAGACGAGGCCTCCGCCTACCGCGCGATGCCGGACGACGCCCGGCCGCCGCTCGCCGCGTCGGCGGCGGCGTGGGAGGGCCTGGATGGCACTCGGTTGGCGGCTTGGGCCGACGCTTCACCAGCGCGGAAGCGCCTCGACCGGGCCCTCGACGTCGAGGCGCCGGCGATGCTCCGGGCGGCGCAGAAGCGCTGATTTTGTGTAGTTGTCCTAGGTATGATGTCGTGTTAAGAAGGGGAGGACCTATCCCTGCATGAGTCCCTGCAGCAGCGCGTGGCCCGAGAAGGGAGTAGGAGAAGGTTCCGCCGGCGCGGGCGCCGGCGCGGCGTCCTCGCGCGAGCGGCGCAGGGCCTCGGCGAGGTCTCGCGCCTCCTGCGCCGCCGAGACGGGGCCGGTCGCGAGCTGGCTCGTCTCGGACGGGGCCGGGGGCGGCATGCTCATGCGGACGTCGCCGTCGTCGTCATATCTCTGGGGCGTGCGCCGGCGCTTGTCCGGCGAGGGCGTGCGGCGCCGAATACCGGGCTTGTTCGAGTTGAACTCGTTGATGGCCTTGCGGTTCACCCTCCCGAACGTCGACTCCTGGACCCAGCGACCCAAGCACGGCTCGTTCGCCTCCATGGAGTGGGGCGTCGGCGGGAGGCGCGGCATCTTTGTTGTGGCTCTATGGAGATCGCGGCGGCGGCGATTGAGGCGCGTCGCGCGTCCGTAGCGTAACCGCTCGATTGATGGTGACCGGGTCACTCGGCTTTTTGGAGACCTTTGGGTTTCCCGCGGTCTTGAAACCGTGGCCCTGTCTATCAGTGATATGTCGGGCGTCTCGCGTACGTGCCGGATCGACGGGTACACACGCGCTAGACCTCCCAGAGCTTTTTTGCTCGAGTCTCGAAGCTAGCGTCCAGTAAGACACTAGCAAGCAGAGGCGTGATGAGTCAGTTCGACAATGAGCCAGTTTGAGGAGATCCCGTCCCCGGGTTGCGGCTTCCAGGGCTCCCGCGTTTAGGAAATCCCGCGCGCTAGCGGCCTGTAAGACACTAGCACGCAGAGGCGGCCGCTTTGGCAGGCTCCTGCGCGCGGACAGTAAGCGTTTGAGGCACGCCACCGCTGCAGGGACTTTCTCTCTACACCCTCAACACGACAACTAACACGTATTGCTGCGGCCGCAAGCGTAAGCGGCTCAAAACCCACCGCTCTCCGGTAGCACAGCGATGCCAGTCTTCGTAGCATACATCAAGGCGGACCTCGAGAACGTCGGCAGCGCGTCCGTCGACGTCGCGAGCGCCACGCTCACGATCGACGTGAAGCAGGGCCAGAGCGACGAGACGCGCGAGTCGGTCACGATCTGTAGAGAGGACGAGGTGCCGCTCGACGGCAGCCGCGGCATCGCCAACTTAGTACTAAGTGACTGGAAGGCGAGCTGTTCCGTGCTGACCGCGGACGAATTCACGACGCGGTTCAAGAAGAAGAAGCAGGCGCTGGCCGAGACGCCGCGCCCCGTGACGGACGAGGACTCGGGGAGCTGGGTACCGCTCGTCGCCTTCGAAGCGCGAGGTTTAGATGTGGTGCGGTGGCGGCTGCGCGAGGGCGACGTCAGCGTGCGGTCGACGGCAGGCTACCCCTTCGAGGACGTCGACCTGTCGGACGGTGACTGGGCCGACTACGACGTCGAGGCCGACGCGCCCGTGGCTCTGTCGGATATCGAGACGAAGGTCGAGCTCGTGCGATGATAGGCAGGCGAGTAGGACTATTTAGGAACTTGCGAACGAACCGACCCCAGTCAGTCCCCGCGCGAGCTAGCCAGACTCGCGCGCGTCCCAGCCCTCGTGGGCCGCGCCGTAGGCCGCGGCGAAGCCCTCGCGCTGGCCGGCACCGGCGTCCGGACGTAGACTGCCGACGGCGATGTTGTCCTTCGCGTCGCGGCCCTCCCACTCCGTGCCGTACGCGCCCTCGTACCCCTCCCTCCGAGAAGCACCTTTGTCGGGCATGAGGCTACCCGTCTGTAAGTTGTCCAGCGAATCCCTGCCTTCCCACTCCGAGCCATAGGCTCCCTCGAAACCTATTCCCGCGCCGGCGCCGGCATCGGGAACCAAGCTTCCGACTTGTAGATTGTCCTTAGCGTCGCGGCCCTCGTGCGCCGACCCGTAGACGTTGGGCACCTCGTCGCGGCCCGCGCCCGCGTCCGGAATCAAGCCTGCCCCGAGGTTGTCGAGCGAATCGCGGCCCTCCCACTCATTACCGTACGCGGCAGCGAATCCTTCGCGCGCCGCCGCCGCCTCGGTCGTCGTAAATCCTCCCTTCGCCCGGACGATATTCGACCGCGTGTCCTCGCCCTCCCACTCATTCCCGTACGCCCCCTCGAAGCCTTCCCGCGCGGCCTTCGCGGCCGTCGTCGTGATCCCAGCTTTGACGTTGACAAGGTCCGAATGCGTGTCCTTGCCCTCATGCTCGTCGCCGTATGCTGCCGCGAAGGCCTCCCTGGCAGCCTTTTCCTTCGTCGTCGTGATGCCGGCCTTGACATTCACTAAATCGGAATGAGTGTCCTTGCCTTCATGCTCCGTGCCATACGCTGCGGCGAACGCCTCGCGCGCCGCTTTCTCGGCCGTGGTAGTGATGCCAGCCTTCACATTCACCAAATCGGAGTGCGTGTCTCTCCCTTCGTGCTCCGTGCCGTACGCGGCCGCGAACGCCTCGCGCTGCGCCCCCTTCTTCGTCGTCGTCAGGCCCATGGGTCTTTGAAGCACATTGCTATCGAAATACTCTTTATTGGCCTGGTGCGCGAGCACCTCGCGCGCGCGCTGGCGCCGGCGCTGGGCCTCCAGTTTTTGCTGTCGTTCTTTCTTCCTCCAATAGGCGCCGATGGCGGAGCTGGACGTCGTCCAGCGGCCGTAGTCGGCCATGATAGCTGCCCGGGCGCCAATGAATGGCCTTCTCCCGGCGCTGCCGCGCTGCCCACCAGGGAGAGCAGAGCTTTTGGATCCGTTGCGCCCGCGCGTCGGCCCGCGCGTCGACGGCGGCGGGCCGACGCAGGCGCGCCCTCGACGGATACCACGCGTCGTCGACGGCGTCGGACGTAGGACGAGTCGCCCCGGCCCCTCGCGCTCGCGTCGACCCCGCGGAAGGACGCGCCGACCCAGGACCCAGCCCGACAGCTAGACCCGACAGGTCTCCTATGATCCTTAGCCGCCGCCCCCCGGCCCCGGCTTGACCCGAATCCCCATGAGCGTGCTCTGGCCCTCCTGCGCGATGGCCTGCCACGCGAGCATGATGCCGCCCAGGAAGAGGACCGAGACGAGGGTCGCCAGGTAGGGGAAGGAGTGGGCCTCGTTCGCTTGCATTGGGGAGGCGCATCCTTCCAGAACGCAGGTGTGCCAGGCGTCGTAATTTATGATCGGGTCCCTCCTTCTGGTTGTCGTCGTGAGTAGGGCTATCGCGGGGATGAGTAATGGTAAAAGGTCGTCTCCATGAAATCGTCGTCGTCTTACGACGTCGTCGGCGCGCGTCATGGTGGTGTGTGGAGAACTAAGCTCTCGAGATGCCCAGCGGTCGTCAGGCAGCCAAACCGCCAAAAGGGCTCGTCGGGCAGCTCAAACAAGTCCCCGTCCCGTGTTTTTGGGCCTCTCTGCGACGATGAACGCAGCCCTCTCGAGCGCTCCAGTCCGCTGCACCCGCACGTTACACGAAGCGCCATCCCACGCGTCCCACGCCTTCCACCAAACCCCGCGACGCGTCGCCCGGCAAAACTAAGCCCCGGCGCCCCGCGCGCGGATCACATGATGGCTGGGCCATCAGAGTGAGGCACGGCCGGCCCGACTGACTGCACATAAATCGCAGGGCGCCCCCGGGCGCGCCGGGCGCGCAGGTCCGGAGCCGAGCCAGCCGGACCATGCGACCGCTCCTCGCGGTCGCCCTCGCGGCGCGGGCCGCCGCCTTTCATGGAGGCAGCCCGCCTCAGCGGAGGGAGGTCGCCGCGGCGGAGGCGCCCTGGTGGGACGACCATGGCACGGACGAGCCCAAGACCCCCTGGTGGGAGCCGGCCGCGGAGAAGGCGCATGCGACGCCCTGGGCCGACCACGAGTATGACGACCACGAGAGCTATGCGTCCGGGCCCTGGGCCGTCGTCGCCTTGGCTGCTCTGGGCGTGTTGGCGGCGGTCTACGTCGACGCCGATCAACCTGAACCAGTTGTGAGGCGCCGCCGGCGACGAACGCGCCACGTGCGGCCGGCTCCCTCGATGAGCGAACCTTCGTCCGCTCTCCGGGCCCTCTTCGCGCCCCAGCCCCAAAAGATCTATGGAAACGATTCCGAGGCAGAGGACGCGTCACCACGAGCCTTGGTGACCGAGATGAGGCCCTTCCACGTCTTTGGCGGAGCGCATCTGAGGATCGTGCGCTTCGACCCCGCAACTGCACAGATGAAAGGACCTTCTTACAAGCCGCTCACGGACCGGTTCCGCTCCGTGAGTGATTGTCTCCTGATCGATGAAAATACGACTCTACCAGAGGGCACGCACGTCTTCGCGCACGCGCCGGGCTGCGGTGCTGACTTAAGGGTCGCGCCGCCGCTCGGGTCGGGTCTACCGTTCGGTCGGGGCGAGTGCTGGCACCACCTCGTGGCCTTACCGCTCCCTCGCACGCGGGACCAGGGCGGTGCCGTCCAATTAGATCGGAGGGCGTTGGCCGTCGGGGCCGCCGGTGGCCAGCTCGACATCGACGCAAATGGGAGGCTGAAGAGGTGGTGCTGCTACACGTACGCCTCTTACGTCGACGCCGAGGCCGTGGCGAAGGTCGCGAGGCACGTACCGTTGCCTTTCGAACGGTTATGGCTCGTCGCCGTCCAGTCGTCGGAGGGCGAGTGGCCGTTGTGGATGCCTTCGGTGGAGCGGCGCCCTTCCTTAGAAAAGGGTGGAAGATTGGAGAAATGTGGTTCGAGAGCGTTCACCATAAAAGCGACGGCGCACGACGACCGGCGAGCTTATGAAAAGGCGAAGCGCATCGCCCTGAAAGCGCGGGAGGCGCGTCGCGAGGCGCGGATCGCGCTCGCCGACCACGGCCCGGAGCATCCCATTACCAGAGAGGCGCTGCACCTGCGAGAGGCGGCGAAGCGCGAACTGGTCGAGACGGGTTCATTGCAAACGTACGCGCGGGCCGCGCACGAGCGGCGCGCGCGGCGCGCGCTAGGCCTGATCGACGAGCGGTGGCCCCGTCTCCTATGCCGGCTGCGGCTCCTGGAGCTTGCTCAAAAATGTCCAACGAGCCCATTGGGCCGCGTGCCGCCGGAGATCGTCGGCCACGTCGCGTCGTTCCTAAAGCTGCGGCCGCGGGACCTGGCCGTCGCGCGGCGGCGCTGCGACCCGGGCCCGCTCTGAAATTCATCCCCTATTCCCTGTCCATAGTCTTTGCTAACGTTCCTTGTGCATACTCGTACCTTGTCGCCATCGACGCGAAGCCCCCTCGCGTCGGACATCATGTTTCAGATGGACAGGTGTTTACACATACGGAGGAGGGATGGGCGTTGGGGGAATCGGCACTCACTTGCGCAGCGCCTTCTGGCGCTCGGCCAGGTGCTTCTGGTGGAGCATCGTCGCGAGTTCTTGGCTGAACTCCTTCTTGAAGGCCTTCGACGCGTCCGCGAGGCGCTCGGCCTGGAGCTCGGCCTCGCGCTTGTACTTGGCCGCGGCCTCCTTGTCGCGGATGTAGAGGTTCTCCTCGACCGCCTCGCGGCCCTGGAGCGTCTTCTCGAAACTGCTGAAGGGGTGCGCGCCTGCGCGTGGGGTTTTGGTGAGGACACTCTGTCGGCGTCGCCCGCGCTCTGAGGGCGTCTTGGCGGATCCCGGCCACGTGAGAAGCTCTCGTCTTGCTGGGAGGCAGGTATTGTATATAGCTTACTCTCTCGCTATGGTTTCAATTCAAAATGAGTTCCACGCTGCGCGTATAGACCTAGCTGCCAGGGGAGCTGCTTCTCTTTACAGGTTGTCGTAGTGCCGAGGGCCGCAATTTGCGGGCGCGCGACCCGAGCGAGACGGAGGGTCCGGAGCATCGTTGCTGGCAGCTTTTGACGTCGTTCGTGGCGTGAATGGCCCGTGCTCTGCTTCGGATCCTCGTAGCTAGCTAGTGTGTACATGCATCTAGCAAGCGCGGATTAAAGAGCAAAAAAAGTAGCCGCAGCACGCGCACGAGGCGCGAGGCTGCAAGCATAGGCGTGCACCGCTGCCACAGCACCGCTGCGCAGCCGCACAGCTCAAACGCAGCGCAACGCCGGCCGGCGAGCTTCCAAATAGAAACCATGGCCAGGCTGCTCGTGCTGCTCACGGCAGCCACCCGCGCCGCGCACGCGCTCGAATACTGCTCCGCCCTGAACGACGGCCAGTGCGAGACCTTGCGGGCCCACGACACGGGCGCGCCCGTCTTCCTCGACACGGGCTCGTTGGGAGGCGAGACGACCCTAGACGACTTGTTGGACACGGGAATCAAGGAGCTCAAGTACATGAAGGCCCACACGTCGCCGCGGAAAGCGCGCGGCGCCTCGATGGGCGCGAAGTTCCGGAATTTCCGGCGAGAAACGTTAGATATGCGCTGGGACGACGGGAGCAAGGAAGGAGTGTATAGTGGCGACCTCGCGGGCCTGGGCCGGACCTCGACGCTGTCCTACGACGGCCACACCTTCTTCTTCATGCTTCATGGAGAGGAGGTCGCTCGGTTCCGGATGAACAGTGACGAGAATGTGTACATCATCGAACCTCTACCTGATGATCATGAGGTCCGCAATAGCGACCAGTACAAGGCCGCGCTCGAGGAGCGGACGTTCATGCGCGACTACGCTAAAAGAACAGGAGTGCCTTGGTTGGCGTTCTATCCACGGCCCAAGCCAATTTTAAATATGTGGCCGGCGGAGTTCCTCGGCCAGACCCACGTCGTCGCGAGCCCCCACGCCTACACCCATGAAGAGGGCATCGCAGAAGGAGATTTAGCTCTATCCTTACAAGTCGTCAGCCACGCGCCGCAAGGGCCTCGAGTGTTCCTCGTGAGGGAGATGCTCTCGCAATTTGAATGTGATCATATTATAGAGATGGGTACCAAAGTTATCAGAGAGTCGATGGTCGGCCAAGGTGGGGGCTTCAAGTCCAAGACCCGCACCTCGAGAAATGGGTGGCTCCGTCGAAGCGCCTCGCCGACGCTGGAGCGGATCTACAAGCGCTTCGGGGACGTGCTGGGCATCGACCACGAGTTACTCTCGTCGAACCGTAATGCGGAGGAGTTGCAGGTGGTACGGTACCAGCAGTCGCAAGAATACGCGCCGCACCACGACTTCGGCGACGACGGCACGCCGGAGCAGCGGTTCTTGACCTTACTGTTGTATATCCAACTCCCGGACAAGGGCGGGGCGACGTCGTTCCCGAAGGCCGCCGATGGACGGGGTTTACAGGTAGTACCAGCTAGGGGCGACGCCGTGCTCTTCTACAGCATGCTTCCTGATGGGAATGCGGATGACCTCGCTTTACACGCGGGCATGCCCATCCACGAGGGCGAGAAGTGGGTCTGCAATTTGTGGGTCTGGGACCCCGTGCGGAAGTAGTCGTCCGTCGCTATCGCCTCCTAAGTCATTGTGTTATCGTGCTCTACTAGTACTCTTTCACAGGCCATTACACAGGGAGTGGGTTTGCCCTACAGCGCGATGTTCTCGAGAGCCGCTTGCGACGGCATCCGCTCGAAGCTGATACGGAGGTTGTTTCCAGTGTGGCTCGACGCCGACGGCGCTCTTAGAGCCTCGTGGCGGGGGTTCCAGTACTTGAGCACTCGCCAGCAAAGCTCGTTCGGGAAGGTCGGCGCGAAAAGAAGTTCGAGTTCGCGCGGGGTCTTCGCGCGGAGGCGCTTGATGCTCCGGGCGCGGCCGCGAGCCACGAGCGACCGGAGGCGTAGCAACTCCTTCGGCGGCACGCGCGCATAATTTTTCCAACTCCCCGCGGCGCGCAGGTCGGCGACGAGCTGCTTACACGCGATATAGTGCTCGTCGTTAGCAAGCTCGTCGAAACCTCGTCCGCGCACATCCAGGACATCCTCGGCCGTTAATGAGCCACATACATCATCGAGTGACGCCCCGGCTCGCAGTAATAGCTTTACGCTATCGAAAGCTGGCCGCCGTCGGTCGTTAGTGTACCAATTTTTGTACTTCAGTGCCATGTAGAGAGGAGTCTCTCCCCCCCAATTCTTGTGATTCACAGATGCGCCAGCTGCTAGATAGATCCCAATGATTTCCAGGATCACTGCTTTAGCCAAGGCCGGAGCCAAACAATCGAGGCAGCAGTGTAAAGCCGAGTATTCGTCTTCGCCATCGTCGGGAATACAATTCACGTCCCCGCCGCGCTGTAGCAATATCTTGGCCAACTCGATATGCTGAGTGCTGACCCCGTCAGCCTGCGGTATACCCATCAACAGGGTGTCGCCCGGAAAAAACGGGCTGCTGTGACTGGCGGTGTCGTTCACGTCGCCTCCCCCGTCGAGCCAGGCAACCACCGTGCTCACGTCGCCTTCGTTCACGGCTGTCACGACATTGTCGGGTACGACCATCGTCCTCCGGTGTGAGCCCTCGGCCGCGGTTGGCCGGCGCGGCTGCGGTCCAGACCACCAGAGTCGCCTCCTCCACAGGTGAGGCCTCTTGCTGCTCTACGGTTCGCGCGATCGCTCACAGGTGGCTTGCAGCGTCAACGCGATCACAAATTGATGTGAAACCGCACCTCTGTGGTACTACCGCCGGCAACGCGCTTGAGCTCGAGCTGCTTGCTTGCTTGCTTGATTGCTAGTGTCTTACCGCTAGGCAAGGACAGCGCCTAACAATAACTGGACGACGCGCGCGGCTAGAGCGCGCGGCCCGCACCACTCGAGTGGAAAACCTATTTTATAGACGAGGGGGGGAAGCCAGAACCGACTACTGGTTCTGCGCCGTCATCCACGCCGGCAGCGTCGTGCCGCGGCCGCGGCCCTGCGGCCCGCCCGCCGGCCGCGGCGGCGCCATCGGCGGTTGGGCGCCCCACCCTTGTTGGGGAGGCGGCGCGCCCCAGCCCTGCTGTTGAGGCGGCGGCGCGCCCCAGCCTCCTTGTTGAGGTGCACCCCACGCCTGTTGTTGCGGCGGCGGCGCCCACTGCTGCTGGATCGGCTGCAAGGGCACCGGCGCCGGAGCCTGCTTCTTCGGCTCGGCGCGGTGCGGCGCGAGCTTCGCACCCTTGGCCCAGTCCTTCGCATGTCTTTTAAAGTAGTTGAGGACCTCATCGGTCGCGAAGTACCTTCGTTCCCTTAACTCCAATCCCTCAGGCGTGACCTTGACCCATTCATTCTTCGGTCTCGAGGCCCTCGGAGCTAAGTAGGTCAGAGCAAATCTACCAGGGTACCGCGGGTCCACCCACAAGACGTAGGGGATACTGGAGGGAGCCGCCCGGCGCAGCGCCATCAGCTTTTCCGAGGCGGCGTCGGGATCACTCAACTCGGCGTCGTACTTCCGGTGTCTACAAACGTCCTCCGTCAAATCATTCATGGGCAGGACGTATCTCGCTAACAGCTCATCGAGGTCCTCGTACTCCTCCTCGTCGATTTTATATTTTTTGTCCGTTTCATCAATTTCGACATGCCTATACACGTTCTGGCGGAAGGACCAGGTCAATGCCACTTTTCCGGAGGACGACGGCCGCAATATAACTTCCCCCGGGTCCATCCTCGACAGGAGCTCTTCGGCTTGCCGGTAGTCGCAGTTCGGCCGGTACGCGGGGTGCGTGATCGCCCGTCGCGCTTTTCTCTTCGGCAAAGCATCGAGCCGCGCCCGTTCCTCCTTTTGTTTTCTCACATCTGTAGCGCGCTTCTTCCGCTGGGAGGCCAGATCAACGTAGTCCTGGACAACCGCAGCGACGTCGAGACACGCATCTACACTGTCCGTAGTCGCGGCATAGTAAGCGTGAGAATCACTCGGGAAGAAGACGTCGTCGTCCCTCCTACTAAGTTCGACGCGCATCCGCTCCGGATCCACTTTCAATATAGCACATTCAATGACATCCTCCAGACCCAATGCAGCATCAAAGGGCGGCCTCCTATTCTTCTCCCGGAGCCACTCGTCGCAGTTCTCGACCAGTTGGCCACTGACATCCAGGTAATCCTGGTGCAGCCCGCCCTGCACGCCCAGATCCGTGGTCGTAAATACGCGGTACTTGTCCGCCCTTTGAATACGAGCAGCAACGATCTGCCGCGGTCGTATCTGGCCATTGTCACCACCCGCCGTGAGCCACTTGAACACTAAGCTATCGGGCGGCCGCCGCCAGGGCTGCCGTAAGTCGCGGTACGGCGTTCGCAATTCCCTCTTGATGTCCTCGAGCATGAGTCTCCGTTTCCCTTTGCCCTCGCCTTCTAGGAGCTGCGCGTACGCGTCTAGGTCGAGCTCCGAGATCTTATCATCCAAGGCCTCGTCGGCGCCCTCGTCGGCGCCGGACAGCGGCGCGCCGAACGGCGGCGGGCTCCAGAAGGCCTTATCATCAAATTCATTTTGTTGTTGCTTTCTGAGATCTTTCTCCATTCTAGTTCTAGAGTCATCAAGAGCGGCAATGACCACATCTTGATACCCTTCCGGGTCGTCGCGGTCAAAATCTCTATCCAAAGCATCGCTACAGATCTTTTGGGCAAAATCATAGGAAATTCCCTCCGTCTGGTCGAAGTAGCACTCCGGGTGGATGCGCGTGTCGTCCAACGGGTTCGTGGCGGCGTCCTGCAGGGGGCCCGTCGCTCGCACGCGCAAGAACCCGGCCGCATTCTGAAAACAGACCGTTTCACTCCCTCGTTCTTCCTTGTGATTCTTCGTGTCGAAGAGCGCGGCCATGGCTCGTCGCGACGTGACCATACCATGCCCGCCGCCTTCTCGAGCTGCTGCACCTGCTCCTGACCGAGCCGCTCGTCGGAACGCTTGGGCCTTCCTCGGCCCGAGTCCCGCGACGAATTGGAGCTTGCCGAAGTGATGATCATATTGCAAGGCGCGGTTCACGTCGACGCCAGAACGACAAACTTGGTCGACTAGCGTCCGCTCGAAGGCTTGCAGGAGCTCCTTCGGTCGTACGAACGACTGTAAGGGGTGTAGGGGTAGCGCCACGAGTTCCTCACCAGCCAAACCCAACCCGGTGCCGTTCTTGAGTCCCAGCGACGTGAAGGCGTAGGTCAGTTCAGCCAAAGGGTCCTGGGCGGACCTCGCTAATGACGTGGCAATCCTCAGGCCCATCGAGGCCGTCTTGCCGAGCTCTCGGTCAGACCTCACGGAAGCCGCATAGCACCTCGCCAGACCATCATCCGCGAACGCCAAAGTAGGGTTCCAGGCGTTCACATTTTCTTGTTCTTCTTCCCTTCGCATCGCGGCGTCCGGCATCTCGTCCTCGAGAATCGGGTATTCTGTGCGAGCCGCGGCCAAGGCGTCGCCGATGAACCGCAAGGTCCGTCGGCACGCCCCCATGCCCGCCGAGGTCGACACCACGACGATATCGGGCAAGTGGTTCCGCAAAAACAGCGCCGCCACGCGCAGCGACTCCATGTCTCTTTCGGTCGCTCGCGACGACACCCCTTCCTGCGCTACTAAGGCGCCCGACGGTGCTAATGCCGCAAAGATCGTCGAGTCGCCCATCCTAGCGGCTCCCCTTCTTCGCTCACACCGCGCTTCGCTGTTCGGCCGCGGGACGCAGATCCCGACCGCGCTACACCCTTCCAGCCGCTGCGGGGCGGACTCGGCCAGGCCGTTGCTGCCACCTTCGACGACCGCGAAGGGCTGGACGTCGGCCATGCGTCTGAGAGCGTTCGCCGCTAATGAAGCGACGGCCTTTTGGCCTCGGCGTTTGAGTTCGAGTCTGATTTCATCCACAAACAGAGGCGCTAGTAACTTTTCAATGGCGTGCGTGACGACCTCCCTCCGCAGCGCGTCCCACTGCTGGGCCACCTCTTCGGTTGGCGTCGCGTCGTCCTTGACGGGTTCCGGCTCTTGTTCGCCAGTCAAGTCGAGCTCCGCAAAGTCCTCTTCTTCCTCCTCGGGCTCCTCTTCGACGACCTCCTCTTCGACGGGCGGCTCGCCACCGAAGACGTCGTCGTCGCTGTCCTCTTGTACACTAGGCTTCTCGGGGGCCGCCGCGGGCGCCGCGACGCCGAAGAGGTCGTCGTCGTCGTCTGACAACCCGTCGTCCTCAATCACTCTACGCTTCTTCGGGTCCTTGGGCACGATTTCAGGCGCCGGTTTCTCTGGGACGGACCCTTTCTTGATGGGTGGCCCTGGGGCGAAGTCGTCTTCCGAGTCGTCATCCTCGGCGGCCTTCGGCGCGTCGGCGGCCTTCGGCGGGGGCACCGAGCCCTTCTTGATCGGCGGGCCCGGGGCGAAGTCGTCGTCGCTGTCGTCGGCGTCCATTGGGGCCGCCGGGGCCGGCGCGGCCGCGGCCTCGGGCGCCGCCGCGGCTGCGGGCTCCGGCTCGGCCGGCGGAGCGGGCGCGGCCGCATCATCATCAGACGAGTCCCCAAAAATGTCGGCGGCAGAGGGCGGCGCGGGCGCCGGTGCGGCCTCCGTCGGCGCGGCCGCGGCCTCGGGCTCTGGCGCCGGCGCCGGCGCGGCCGGCTCAGGCGCGGCCGCCTCGGGAGCGGCCGGCGCGGCATCGACGTCCATCGGGTCGTCGCCGCCGCCGCCGCGCTCGTGCAGCACGCCACTCCCCTCCTCGGCGGCGATGGCCGCCTCGGCGGCGCGCGCGAGAGCCGCCGCGTCCTCGGTCGCGCCTTCTTCTTGTTGAATGGCAGCTTCCGCGGCTCTAGCCATGGCCATGGCCTCGGCCGTCGCCGGGTCGGCCGGCGCGGCGTCGGGCGCGGCGGCCGCCGGCTCCGCCTTCACCGGACCCTCGTCGCCGGGGATCGCCTCGTCCATGAAAGCAGCTGCCGACGATCTAGGTGGTAAAGGCGCCGCCTGCGCGACCTCCTGGACGGGCGGCGCCCAGGTTTCCGCAGCAGCTAAAGCCGCCGCGGCGCCGGCGGCCGACGGCACCTCAGGGGCCGCCGCTTCGACCGGCGCCTGGAAGGGCACCGCGAGATACGCCGCCAGGACGCGCGCCGCGATGGCCTCGGGGCCGCCGTACGTAATGGTGGTCGAGATCAGACCCTCCTGCTCCGCCTTGAGTAGTCGCACATAATCCGCGGCGGCCAAATCATCTAGAGAATCGGAAGGGTCCTCGTCAGCTCTACGCTGCCGCCCCATGGCGCCGTCGAGGAAGGTCGCCACGGGCTTGTCTCTCAACCTTTGTAAGCCGTGGAACTCGTGGGACGGGTCGATCTCTTGACGCCCTTTCTCCGTCGGCTGCGATTGCAGACACGCCTTCCTCCGGAATTCTGTGCGGCACGCCTCTCTCACACTAGGTAAGGCAGCCAGCTCACGCGCCGCCACGGCGATGGCGTTCGTTCTCACGCGTTCCTCCGTGTCGCAGTCGCCCACTCCCACATAATCCAAGCAGAGCATGTCGACGCTCTCCGACGGCGTCGGGGGTAATTTGACCTCGTCACTTCGCAGTGCTTTGTCCAAATCTTGGGGCCGCAGCGTGAACTTGCGCGCGAACTGGTCGACGCCCGAAGCCTTGGCCTTGGCCCACTGCGCGGCTTCCCGGCGCGCCGGTCGTCTGGCTTGGGAGGTTATTAAACCGTGTTTGGCCGCCTGCTGGCGCGCGTAGGCGCGCGCGTCGGCGTACGCCGTGGCATCGGTCTCCAAACAGGCCTGCTGGGCTACCGACAACGAACAGCGGCCCTCGCCGGCACCGTGAACAGCTTTCACAAATCTCTGCGAATCTTTCCTCTTTTGGACGAGAGAACACCACTCTTCATCGAGGTCGTGGATCCGCCAGAGTTCCTCCACTCGTACGGGCGCGAGGTCGTCTCTCCGATACGCAGCGACGTACGGCGGCTCCAAGGCATCCTCGTTGAAGAACACGAGACACCTCTTCACGGCTTCGATCTCCTCCTCGGACGACTTCTTCATCTTCGACGCGACCCACTTCGACTCGGCATCCAAATCCCGCTCGAACTGGGCCCGCCTCCTTCGTACGGTCGGTAGTTGTCGACACTGCAACCGCTCCGGAATATCTCTCCTCCGAATGTTCTCGTCGTCACCCGTCACGTAGTACTCCTTCAGCATCTGCGGCTCGAAACGAGACAAAGTGGAGGGCTTCTCGCGCTGGACGGGCGCCTCCTCGTCGGACATATCTTCTAGCTTCTCCTCGCCGAAGATGTCGACCTGCGTTGGTGTTGTGAGAGCTCCGCGGTGACGCCATCGCCGCGCGTGTGTGTCACCTGTCCCCGACGCGCCCGACGCGGTCCGAACGGCCCGGGAATCGGAAACGGAACCACTTTCCCCCAGACGCCATCGCCGCGACGCGTATGAACCGGACGCCGTGTTCAGACCATGTCCATGAGCTGCATCTGACTTACATCAGTAGCAGGGCCATCTCGAGCACCCTTCAAGGAAGCTTCGTGTTCGCGCTTCAGAGCCTGCTGGATGCCGAGATCATCTTCAATGAAATCATCAAAGTCGTCTTCATCAAAAAGGCCGTCCTTCTTCTTCGTTGGCTTCGCCGGCTCCTCGTCGCTATCATCTGCGAAAAGGTCGTCGACGGCGTCGCGCTTCTGCTTCTTGGGCTCCTGCTGCTGCAGGTTGTCCTGGATTAATTGGAGGTCAGCTAGTTCGTCCTCCTCCCGGTTTCTCTTCAGTCGGTTTTCATCTTCTTCTTCGTCGTCCGAACTGCTGGCACCGTCGGGCTTCGGGGCGGGAATCAATCCCTCATCATCGTCTCCCACGACGAAGCCGTCCACCACGTATTCATTTTTTTCTTCTTCGGGGACAGCTTCGTCTTCCTTGGGCGCGAGGTCGTCGTCTTCCTCGTCGGCCTCCTCGTCGAAGAGCTTGGCGGTGGGGTCCGCCATCGTGCTGGCGCGCGGCCGAGAGGCTACGGGGCAGACGCAGGTGTTGCGCGGCGCTGCGGCGGCGCCGGCTGCTGGCTAAGGGCTTCTCCTTCGCGTGCGCGCGCCGCTGCGACGCGGCGGCGAGGCAGCAGCTGTGCTCGCCTAGGGGCGCCCCGCGGCCCTCAGCGGTGCGGTCTTCGCTCCTGCCGTTGCAGCCACCGCCTGCAGCACTCGTGCAGCACAACGGCTACGTTTCTGGCTCACTACTAATGGCGTACGCGCTCGCAAGCGATGCGCCTCTATCGAGTCGATAAGTCCCGCACGCTAGGTGTCTAGCGTTTTAGCCGCCACGGCTATTTGCAAGGCGTCCAAGCGACCGCTCTGTACGCGATGCGTGGGTCGCGAGACGCATCGCAGCTCGGGTCACTGGAGCGCTTCGCAGTTGTGGCCTCCGAGCAATTGCCTGCGCGCTGGGCTAATATCTGCACACAAGTACTGCATCACGTCGTACAGGACCATTTCACTGGTAAGCAGCGGCCCACGCGGTTTGAGCGCGGTTCTTGGGCGCCGCTAGGAGCAACACTGCAGCAAAGGTCCTCGGGTCGGAAACGGCGCCGCGCTCACCACCATGCGCTCCCTGGCCCCACCCGTCGCCGGAGAGAACCGCCCGACGGCCCAGCAAGCCTACACCAATGCCGAAACGGCCCCACCGTCGCAACGGAGGACGCTCCCGCCGCTCGAGTCGTTCCAGGTCATCAGCCAACGCAAACAAAGATATGTGGGCCCGACGGACGAGTCGAACTGGGTGTTGCCCGGGCGATTGATGGTCGGCGCGTTTCCTGGGGTGAGCGATGACCGCGAGAACGATCGACTCCTGAATTCGATACTCAGTTGTGGAATTACGACCTTCGTCTGCCTCCAGCGCGAGTACGACCCCGACGCGCCCGAATCGGCGTGGCGGAGCGGCGCCGCTATAAGACCGTACTATCCGAGCGCGGTCGCGTTGGCCGCGCGGCACCATCGGGGCCGACGGTTGGAGTTTATTCATTTTGGGATTGAGGACTGTTCAGTGGTGGAAGACGACGCCGTCGCCGCCTTTTCTCGAAGTTTAGCTGATAGGTTACGCTGTACGGATGAGGTGATTTACCTACATTGCTGGGGCGGGCACGGTCGCGCTGGTACGATTACCTGTCTTTTGCTACACTGGCTCTACGGCCTGAACGCCTTGGACGCCATGGCGCGGTGCCAGTTCGTGCATGATTTGCGTAGAGTTCCCATCGTCGTCGGTTCTCCCCAGACACAAACCCAAAGAGACCAGGTGTGTAGAGTTGTCGCGTCCTCACTGGCCTCGGACAAGCTCGCGGCGGCCGACGCGTCGGATCTTGCTAGAAGGCAGCGCGCCGAGAGCGATGAAAGACTAAGGCGCCAAGTGGCCGCACGGCAAGAAGCCGCACGGCGAGAAAAGGTTCACAGGGAAAACGCAAGGCAAGCGGCCGCCGACCAAGCGCGGCGCGCCCAGCGCAAGGCTGGTTCTGTGTGGCACCCGTCGCGGACGCCGTCGCCGGATGCGTTGCCTACTTTATTACATGGTGTCGCTGTGAGCGATGAAAACGATCCTCGGGGAGCGAACGGCTTCGCTCCGGTGCGCGCGCCTCCAATACCACCTTCCGGTCCCATCGTCGTCCAGACGCAGCGCGTCAAGGCGCAAGCCTCCAAGCCGACCGCCTCCGCCTTCGCGCCGCCGCCTTCTGACGAGGTGCCCACGCCGCCCGACGTGCCGGTCGTGCGAAAGCGCATGGCATCGAACCAGTCGCTCCACTCGGCGGGCTCGCGGGGCTCGATGACGGCCATCGGCGGCCACGGCCCGCCCCGCAAACAGATGCAGATGCCGCCGCCGGCCGCCTCCGAGGTCCCGCGCGGCGTGGTGCCGCGGCGGCCGGCCGGCGGCGCCCCGCGGCCCGCGGGGCGGCCGAGCGGCGGCCGGCGCATCGTCGCGACGAGCCTCGCGCAGCACCAGTCGCTGAACGGCATCGTGCCGCGGCCGCCGCCCGGGCCGCGGCCGCCGCGGCGCGGGCCCCCGGGCTAGTGCTAGTAGACCTTAATTCGTAGTGAACGTGATGCTTCATTCGAACGCTAGATTTCAGGAATATATTTACTGGGGGATCGGGAGAGGGAGAGTCGACGCCGCCTGTCCGCGGCGTCGTGGGGATAGGCACCAACCGGGGTCGGCAGGCGCCAGAGTGTCGTCTCAACTACGCCGCGATGACGACGGGCTGCTCTTCGTCGTCCTCGACGCGGTCCGGACCTTTAATAGTCGCTTCGGAGGGCCGAGGCGACTTGGCGGAGTCGGATCCCTCTGAGCCGGGGGCCTTGGGGGAATCGGGCTCCAGGCCGAGGACGACGCTGAGCCGCATGGCTGCAATTGTATTCCAGTGGAGTTTCGCGATCTAGTCACCTCTCACGGCTCCGCGGGCCCCTGGGTAGTCGCAGTATCAAAATTTAGGATGGCGTTGAGCTCTGAACTTCGAGCGGTGACGCCGCTGGACCGATACGCCACGCGTGTCCAGCGCAAGTTTGCAAAGATAGAGAGAGACTAGTTACTCGGTTTTGGGGACGCTAGCCTAGCTCAGGGGGGATGGACGACTAGAACCAGGCCTCTAAAGGTCCGAATCCAGCGTCACGTCTTCACCGTCGGGTCTTCGAGCAGGGTCCGCCTGGGGGGGCACTTGAGGATTGTAATCGTCTGCCACATGCCCAGGCCGAGTCGTGTCACCGCTAAGATATGAGTTGGAAAACCCGCCACAGTAGACGAACAATACATATATTAAGCCCCCAAAAAACTACTCCTCCTCCAAAAACTCCAAATCCCCCTCCTCCTCCTCGCCGCCGACGGCGTCCGGCGTGACAACGTGTGAAGAGACGAGCTCGCCGCCGCCGCCGCAGAACGCGCGCTTCGGGTCGCGCACGTCCTCCCTGAATAGCCCGGCCGCGGCCGCCGCGGCGTAGAACAGCGCGTCGACCCGGACCAGGGACCGCGCGAATCCATAGAGAGCAATGTCCAGCCGGTTCCTCTCCATGAGCAACGACCGGTCCACCGCCGACAGGTTCCGCTTCAACATCATTCGCTTCCTTCCACTCTGACGGTCGCGCACGGGCAGCACCTCATTTAGAGACCAGGGCCGCCACCGTAAAGCGTGGCGGACGATCGGCAATGCCTCAGACGCGTCGTCCGTCGTGAGGACCACCGCGTAGTCTAGTAATGTTCGTTTGGCTTTATCTAACATATCATCATGCGTATGTAGCGGAGGCGTCTCGCCGTCGTACGGCCTTGGTGAATACGACGTCCCCAGCAGTGAACGTGTATGATAGTCCGACGACAGCGCGCAGACCATGGACCAGTCGTAGCCCGTCCGGTGCGGCGCTGCCATCGTATAAGGTAATTCCTTCGCCGGGATACACGATCCATCATCCTGGAACACGCCCCTAAAATACTCATCAGGCAGACTCCGGACCTTCTCGTGTTTTCTAGGTCTGGCCCTCAGAATGGTACTCCAAAGATGGTTGTGGTGCGACACGATGCGATCGAGAGGATCCCGCAACAACGTCGCGTGCCAGATGTCCGGAGAACACGTAGCACCGCCGTTGTCGGCCCATCTTTCAATCGCCATCAGTTCATAGTTATTCCGCTCGAAGATCGCCCTTCTTGACTCACACGACCGCTCGACGGCGGCGCACCGCGCCCGCCGCCCCTTCCCCACGGACTCCTTGCTTTCGTGCATCACGGACAGGCCGCGCGCGCAGTTGCCCCAGGTGGGACCTGCGCGGGAGACGGGTCGCGGCGATGGCGTGGGGGCGGCGCGAGGTCCGACGCCATCGACGCGAGCAAACGGACGCCGCAACCAACCGTCGCCCGGCGCCCAGAGCGTCGAGAACCGCGGGGGAGCTTTACACCGATTGCGTGAGGCTAATTTGCACAGCGACGTGCCCGCGGCTTTTGAGACATGTAAATATACAAGGTACCTCGCGGCGCGCTGGGCCTCGACGAGCGCGTTGGCGCAGGCGTCGATGAAATAATTCAACGGTCGTCCCTCGAGATCGGACGCCGCGAGCAGAAATAAACGCCGGTCGGCGTGCATGGCATCTGTTGAACCCGTGGCTAGATTTGACGAAATAGCGGCGCCCGCGCGGTAGGCCGCACAGGCCATCACGTGTTGCCTTCGTTTCAGGGTCATTTTCTGAACCGTTGGAGATGCGAGGACCTTTGCGAGTCTGGCGACCGTCGAATTTTCACTGAACCGCTTCTCGAGCGCGTGCAGCGACAAGCACGACGGCTCGGCGGAAGAAGGAAGCCTCGCCTCGACTGCATTTATCGCCTCAGATAATGCGGGAGTCAACTCCGAGAGGGGCAAGCTTCGCCGCGTGTCGACGTGCCTCCTTCCCAGATCATTGCTACAGTCGCTCTTCAGCACCTTGCCGGACGGCGTCGCCGACGCGTAGAACAAGCCCCTATTCGTCGCTAATCGTCTGTAAGTATTACTTCGGTGCCCGCAATTCAGCACCTCGACGACGGCCCCTGCATCCCGCATGAACAGCGCATTCGTGAGCGACGCGCCGTGGGCGCCCACCAACACATGGGAAGCTTGGGCCATCCTAAACTGCTGGCGGAAGGCGAATAAATGCGCAGCGGTGTGGACCTCGAGGCGCCAAGTAGGGTGTCTTGTGGCCAAGTACGACTGGAGCTGTGCCACTAATTCCTGCGAGTTGGACCAGCCGGGGCCCGCTCTCCTCGCGGGCCCGCCCTTTACTGATCGTAATATGAGCGAGACCGTCCTTTCTGCTGATGGAGTGGTCCCGTGGCGTTTTGAGGCCGCTTGAATGAATGCCCTTGTGGCGTCCGGATCCTTCAAGTAAGTCGCTCGCGGGACATACGTGGCATGCACGACGCGCCGAAAACACTTGTCCCTGCCAAGGCCGTCCCGAAACACGAGAGACGAATCGTCAGCCTCCGCACCCAACGCATCTAAAGCAGACAAAGCCGTCTCGCGGAACCAGTCCGTGTCGGCCCCGCGCGCCGTCAGGAAGCTCGGGGCCCGCATGACTTGGGGCAGCGCGAGCTTGTCGACCTTTACTTTCTGCCGATATAATTCTTCATAGGCTGGGAGCGTCGAGGCGGCGAAGTGCTCCATGTTCGCCCAGTCGCTCGCCGTCGCCCGTCGTACCCTCTTCACGGTGACGACCCATAATGTAGACGGGTCTATGACGGCGTTCGGGCCGGCCGCTAAGAAGCGGGGGTTGCACGGGCCGCGGCCGCCGCACGGCACGCCGACGCACGTGTCCGGGACGCTCACTATTTTGGCCGTGGCGTTTGGATCCTGCCATGCATTTCCGGTGGTGAGGAGCGCGGCGAGCAGCCATCGCAGCATATTTTTGGTGCACGCAGCAGTGCTGCGTACAGATGCTTTTACGATGCGTCAAGCAGCCATAGCTGCGCTTGTTATGCGGAACAATAGCTACGCAGCGCGGATCGCTTAATATAGGCCGCACAACAATAAAATTGAGCCGCAGCGCAAAAAATCAGCTAGCGGCTGTAAGACACTAGCTGTCGCTCCCGCCGGCTGGGCAGACCTTACTGCAGGAAGCAGCGCGGTTGGTTCTAAAAAGCACGGCGCACGTGAGAGATTATGCGGCGCTTTGCCAGTGTGGCAGCCTTGTACGGCAGCACGCGCCCGGCATGCCGCGCCCTGCGCCAGCCCCTGCGCCGACCCGCGCTGCGCAGCGCCGTCGCGACGACGCCAAAAGCCCTCGCCGCGTTACTATCGAGCCAAGAGGCGGGCGGCGGCAGCAAGCTCTCCCTCCACGCGGCGGTCGGCGTCGCCGCGTTGAGCGGCGGCGCGGCGGCCTGCGCCGCGTCAGATGATGAACAGGCAAGCCCGCCTCCCCACAAGGACTACGCTGCGAAGTGGACGGCCAACCCTATCGTTGCCGGGGATAGGGTCCTGGGGACGATTAATGGCGTGGACTGCTCGGAGGCCACGAAGGCGGTTTGGGGCGTGCAGTTCACCAAGCCTTATCAGAAACTGGACGTAGGGCAGACGGCGACGGGCTGGTTCGTAACGCAAGTGCCGTTCGGCGTGTTCTCGGGCGAGAACTTTTCAAACGTCGGTAATAGATTAGGGAGTCACCTCGCGCAAGCGCACGTCATTGGCTTGGCCATTGGCGAGGACGGCGACGACGCGGACCATCTGCCAGAGCTAGAGAAGAACCTGGTGAAGTCTATCGCTGACGCGACGCACAAGTACAAGAGCACGGATCAAAATCTGATAGGCCGACTGGCGAACTCGCAGACGCTCATCATCTACAAGGGCGAGGAGATCCTGACGTCGATCGACGTGCAGCGCCCGCCCCGAAGCGAGGATCCGGCGACGACGGGCCTCCCGGAGCCGATCCCGATCGACAAGGCCGAGTTGGTGCGGAGCGCGACGTGGTTCTGCGACGTGGGCGCGGTGCAGGAGTGGGTGAAGGTGCTACAGCTCTTCACGGCGCAGAAGGCCGCCGACGTCATCCGAGATGCTGCGGAGAAGGCGCAGATGCTTGCGCGGCGCGAGGCCGTCCGGGCGGCGGCGATGGAGGACGACAAGACGGGGACGGGCTTGGAGGTCGTGTTCGCGGAAATTATGGGCGCCGCAACTAAAAAAGAGAGGTTCCCGAAATTGGGCGAGCTGCAGGACCTCGCGGCGCGCGGCGGGTTCGCTGAGGTGGAATATGATGGCGCTGCCAATAACTGTGTTGGAAGCGTTTGGTACCAGTACCCTCGGAATCGAATTGTCGTGGTCCCCGACACCACGCGCTTTGATGAAAAAATTCCCAGGTGTACTGTCTGGTCCCACGCGGCATACTCTGGTAGGGTGATCTACGCGAAAGCATTTGTCGAGCTGGGGAAGCTGGCGGAGGCCTGGGACTGGATCGAGGACTTCGACGCGTGGCTAGAATCGAAGTCGATATTTATGCCGAATCCGGAGAACCCTCAACGCACTCATTGTGGTAGAAAGCCCCTCTCTATACTGAATCCGGCCGTGGAACAGCCGCCGCCGCCGACGACGTACAAAGACCGAGCCGGCGTTGTTGTTGAAAGGAGAGCGCCTTCTGCACGCACTACGAAAGGAACCTACTCGCGATCGTAAGCTTGCTCGTCGATACGGCGGACGTCGTCGCGTCGTCTTCGCTGGGCCGGGCAAGTTGCAGAGTGTCCGCGTCGGTGACGGACCTGTTATGTGTAATACAGTTACCTAGGTTCGAAGTCTCCGCCCGCGCGACCCCCGTCACGGTGGCGCCGACCGCGCCTCCCTCGCCGTCGGCGTCTATCACAGCCTCGCCGTCCGTGGAGACCGAATCCGTGCCGTCCCGGCCGTCCGCGGCGCCGACGTCCGCTCCGCCGGCAGCGACTCGCGGGCCCGCGGTGCCTGCTTCAACGTCCATGTCCGACGCCGTCGCCGCGCCGCCCGCGCCCTCTCCGGGCTCGATCCCGCCCATGTCGCACCCACCGAAATTTTCGCCGCCGCCTATACCCCCTGAGCGACGGCGAGGTCGCCCGGGACCCCGCCGCCCGCGCCGTAGAAGCGACTATCGTCGACGCGCCCGCGCGCCTCGGCGCCGGCGTCCACGAGCGGAACGCCGTCGATGCGGTCGTCGCCGCCGGCGCCCGCCGTCGGCGCGGCCGCGGCGTCGCTCGCCGCCACCGCCCGCGCCGCGGGCCGCGCGGGCCCCTCGGCCCCCGTCGCGTCGGCGGCTCTGGCGCGCTGCGTTCCTGGTCGTGGGCGACGCCGTACTCGTACAGCACGGGACGTACGTCCTCGAGAAGTTGGAGCCCGAGGACGATGGATTGATCGCCACTGGCACGCGCGGGCGCCGGGAGCAAGAGTCCTAGGACTAAATATTACACGAGTCGGAGTCGCACAGGAAGGCACAGTTCAGTCAGAATTCCGGGATTTGCAGCCCCGGTACGTCCGGCTTCACGCGTCTAGCGTCGCCACTGGCGCTCTGGGGTGTCCTTGCCGGCGGCGGTCGCGCCTTCAGCGCCACGCGTGCCGGCGAGGTGGCGCTCCCGTCGTCCATCGGGCCGCTTCCGTTGGCCTCGTCGTCGTCCGATTGGACCGGCGACGACGTGGGCGTCGCTACCGGGGTCGACGCCTTGGCGGCGTTCCACGACCACGCGGCGTTCCCGGGGTGCTTGGGCGCCGCGCGCCGCTTAAGCTCGGCCTCGACCGCGGGTTCGAGTTTGTCGCGCACCTCTGCCGATAAAGCCGCCGCGAGTCTTCCGAGCCCGGCCCGGCGCTCCGCGCCGCCGCCGCCGAACGCGGCGTCGATCGCTGCCGTAGCTGCTGCGTCGCTGACATCCTTGCACGTGACGGCTTTGACGAGTTTGTCTTGCAGCGCCGATTCTGCTTTGTCGTCAGCGGCTCGCCGTGCCCTCGCAGTTCCGCCGTCGGCGGCCGGAGCAGCGCTTGCCATTATTGTCGAGGTCTGCCGCGTCTACAAAACTGCGGTTTCGGTACGCATGCGTCGTCAGCAGCTCGCTGTGCAGCTCTGGTGGCGAGCCTCGGCCACAGATGTGCGTCTGCAGCGCCTCGGCGCCCACAAAGCTGCGTTGACGTGGACGCTCGGCGCCACAAAACGGGTTTTCGAGCAATTTTTTTTGCAGCGATTTCCATCGTCAAAGTTGCCGCGATGCCCTTAATTCTATTATCCGACGCGGCCCTCCTCGCGAGGTTGCAGGGCTTGAGCTTTCAACAGAGCAAGGATGCCTGGTTGACCGCCAACCAAAAACCCCTCGTCGCCACGGCGATCGAAGCGATCGAGGCGGCGATGCTCAAAGTTCCCATAAAGAAGCGACGCTCGGTGTGGTACCACTGGTGGCGCACCTATGTAGATAGAAAGCATAAAACCGGCGTCCCGGCACCGAGTCGCGACAACACGTTCCTCGACGAGACGACCATGCGGCTCTGGCGGGCCAAGGACTACGAGGGCCTCTACAAGCACTTCCGCGAGAACTGCGAGGCGGTGCTCGACGTCGGCTACCCCGACGCCGAGATCAAGAAGGGTTCGCGCAAGAACTTGAAGAACCTGAGGAAGGTGAAGAAAGACCAGCGCAAGATAGTCTCCGCCTTATCCTAGGCATATTTAGCTAATATTTAATCTGTTTCATGTGCTCGAGTCCGGCTCCTACTGAGTGCAGTCGTAGTGGCCCACGCGTTCCGTGCAGCGCGTTGGCAGAAGGCCGTCCGAGACACGCCGCCGTGTCCATCGCGCCGACCTAGGTGGAACTGCTGGCGTCGAGCGCGTCGACACGCGCCTAGGCAGCGGCCAGGGGTCCGTCTCGACGGGCAAGCAGCGGCCGGCGCCGACAGGTCTCCACCGCGTCTGGGGACGAGGACACCCGTCCCGCGACCATCTGCCGCGAGAAGACGCTCCTCCGTCCCTAACCACGCCACCCGACGCAATCCCGCATCCTCCGAAGGGCCGCTTCGTGGCACACGCGCGGGCGCCGGCCGCAGCGCCACAAACGCGCGCTGAACCCGTGTCGGCGCCGCACGAGGTGCCGCACTTGATTACGTCGGAGCCCGATAATCGTTCGAGCGTTGTGCGTCCTCCTGAGCACGCTCGTGCGGATGATGCCTCGGTGCCGACCGGGACAGGCGGGCGGCCCCGGGCGCCGCCGCTTCCCCGCCGACGACGCGTCTTCTACGCGCCGCCGCCGCGCGACCGAGCTATGCTACGTCGTGAGCCCCCACCCTGCCACGCACTGGTGGCCGCGGCGAGCAGCACCAGCATTGACAGCATTTTTGCAGGGCAGCAGCAGCTGCGTACAGCTCGCTTTACGATGCGTGAGCCATTGCTGTGGTGCTATGGGGAAAGAATGCTGCAATCCGCACCGCGAAACGCCCACAATCTCGATGCGTATGGTGCCCACAAAAGTTTTGTGTGCTTGCTAGTGCCTTACCGCTAGCTCGGACACCTTTTGCCAAAAAGGCACGCAGCGCAGCCCAAACGCCCCGAGGGCTGCCCGGATGGCGCAATGAACCCCATACGCCATCGATGCGATGAGCTTGCTGCTGCTCACCCTCACGGCAGCCAGCGCCGCGCCGCGCGAGTGCTGGACCGTCAAGTCCGTGACGGGCCGCGTTCGCGACAATGTCGGGCACCAGGGCGAGGAGCTCGTTTATCGCCTCGTCGCGGCCGGTTTAAGACAGGCGCCGCCGCGCGCGGTGTACTGGCCGTGGCCCATTTTGCCGTGGAGCCGCGAGGTCCTCGAGGCGACGCTGCCGGACGTCGAGGTGGCGAGCGGCGACGGCGCGGAGGCGCCGAAGGCGTGTCTCAAAGGTGAAAAAATCTGGCGGCCCGAGTACAAGCGGCCGCAGTGGCCCTCAATCAAGATCCACGGCGAGGCGCGCAAACGCGCGTACCGGCACTGCAACCTCTACAACACGTCGCGGAGGACGCTCGTCGTGCGGATCCTGCAGCGGCGCGACTCGAGCGAGTACGTCGTAGGCGTCAAGAGACGGACCGAGGTCTGCGGCGGCGGAGGCATCAAGCGCAACCTGCGCGACGTCGACGAGCTCAAGGCGACGATCTCCGCGGCGGCGAAGCGGGCGGGCATCAGTCTCGTCTTCGAGACGGATTACGTGGAGAACTCCGCCCCGGGCTCGTTCTGCGACCAGCTCCGGCGTTTCGCGACGGCGGACGTCTTGGTCAGCGTCCACGGCGCGCATCTGGTGAATGCGCCCTGGATCGCGCCCGGCGGACTGCTGCTCGAGGCGCTGCCGTACGGCCACAAACGAAAGAAACACCACGCGCGCCTCCTGCGGAACACGGACCTCGAGTACGTGCGCGTCTGCGGCGTGCGGCCCTCGTCGTCGCTTCCCAAAAAGGAATCCCTCTGCGAGGGCCGCACCGCCGCGGCGCGAAAGTGCGCGCTGGTGGCGCGCGACTGCTACGAGACGCCGCTCCGGCCCCGGAGCGACGTCTGCGCGTCGTCGGAGCCGTGCGAGTGCCTTGGCGTGTTGGAGAAGCGGTTGACTGGTTTTTTCGCGCGGCGGCGGCAGTCTGGTGGTCGTCATCGGAGGCGTCGTTCTGGGCGGGGGGAGGAGGCGTTGTAGTACTTGTATTAAAATTCACACAATACTTACCACTTGTCCGCGATGATCGCGAGGCCCGTTTTTGGTTTGGGGGAAGATATGGGCGGCAGCGCCACGCCGTCATCGTCGGACGCGTCCGACGCCGTCTCATCGTCGTCGTCCGACGGCGCGGCGGCCTCCCACCTCGATAGTTGAGCGTCGTCTTTCGGACCTGTATACTCGGTGTCCACGGGATGGAGCACGAGCATGCCCGACGCGTCGCCGGAAGCAAGATACGTCGGCGAGAACGCCAGACACCGGACCTCGTCGAGCGCGGGCACGACCCGCTGCGGCGCGCCCGTCGCGACGTCGTGGAAGGCTATCCTTTGGTCCGCGCCGCCGATGGCCAAACAATTGCCGTCCGTCGAGTACGCCACGGCCCAGACCGCCCCCTGGCGCTTGATGGTCGTCCGCACCGTCGCGGAGGGCAGGTAGTATATGACCACTCTCGAATCCAAACCGCCCGCGGCCAGCGAAAAGCCGTCCGGCGCATAGGCCAGGCACCGCACAGCCGGGTGACAGTCTATCCTAAAGTCCCGCTCCTTCTTAAAGGGGCCCGCGGACGTCGCATTGATGATGTCGTCGGGGCCTTCGCGTCTTATTTCTCGCGTTATCTCATTCGTTTTCGTTTGAATAATAGCGATCGAGCTGTCGTCGTCGCCGCCCACGGCCAAGGAACACCCGTCGGGCGAGAAGCAGAGGCTCCAGACCCACAACGAGCGCCCAGGGAAGGGCAATTTCCTCTTGCCGTCCTCACCAAAATAAGTCAAATGGACACCACCTTCCCCCCCGACACAGACCTCCCGTGATTTGGGCGCAAAGGCACAACTACGGACGCCCTCGCCCGCCGCGATCTCCCGCACGAGCTTGCCGCGCTTGTCATATATGGCCACTTGGCCGTCGGCGCCGCCCACAGCTAATGAGCCGTCGTGCGCGAACGCTACGGTGGAGACAGCAGCCGTCCGTTGGATGCTCCCTCGGAGCTCCCGGCCCTTCGTCGCGTCGTAGAGCGTGACGCGCCCGTCGTCGGCGCCCACCGCAATTGTTTTTTGGCTCGGATGCCAGGCCACGCAATTGACGGCGTCGTCGCTGCGCTTCAGGACTAACAACTGGGCCGGTCTGGGCATCGCTGCGGTGGTTTGGGCAGCCTTTGTTGGCCGTTTTTGACTGGGGCTAGCGGGCGGTAAGGCACTAGCAAAGATCGAGCAACACAAGACTTTAGTGCCGTGCGCGCCTTGTTGCTGCCAAAAGGCACTGCATATTGCATACAGCAGAGCCTCGCTGTCCCACGCGTGCAGCCCGGCAGCTCAGCGAGATGAATATGAGAGCCTGTGCTTGGTGCTTGCTCACCTGCCTGGCTGCCGCGGACACGGGGCGCCGGCTGGGCTTCGTGATGGACGACAGCAACATTCGCACGGCAGTCGATGCGTGGCTTTCGTGCCCAACGTGCGCAGAATATTCGTACGGCCACATTTCTACGTGGGACACGTCGGGGGTGACGGACATGTCGTATTTGTTTTGCGCCTGGTCAGGGTGTTCGATCTACAACGCGGCCGCGGCATCTTTCAACGAGGACATCGGCGCGTGGGACACCTCTGGCGTCACGACGATGCGCCATATGTTCCTCGACGCCTCGGCCTTCGACCAGGACATCGGTGGTTGGGCGGTTCACAGCGTCAAGGACATGCGGAACGTGTTCTACGGGGCCTCGTCGTTCGACCAGGACCTCGGCTGGTGCCTGGACGAGGACGTGGAACTTAGCAACGATTACCTGATAAACACGTTCCTCGGCACCCCCTGCGAGTCGACGTCGTGCGGCGTCGGCGTCATTGGCTATTCGAGATGCCCGGACCTCGACGGCGACGGCGTGGTAGACGCGGCACCCGAGGGCGAGTGCTGCATCTCCGCCTATGGCCAACCATTCACCGACGCTTGCGGCACGACCCTGACGGAGGTCGAAACGTCCGGGTGCTGCCCCGACGATTTCCTCCTGCGGTACTCGCACGATATCTACGAAATGGGAATGGCGGACTTCACGCGTTGGGACTGTGTCTCCTTCGTCGACAAGGAGGCTTGCGATCTCAAGGGCCCTCCCTACACCTGGGGCTCGGGCTCGTGCTGGGGGAGTAGATACGAGCAGGCGGCGGCCACTTGCAAGACGTGTACCGAAGATAATGGCTTCGATGTGCGAGCCTGCCGCGGTCTGTTCTTGCAGGAGGCAAAAGGGAAGTGGAACGATTGGTACTACAACCCCGGGATGAATCCATACTGTCATGAACATTCGTGCTGCGCACAGGACCCGAACGACTGCTGCGAGTCGAACCCGGCCGCCGTCGCCGGCGCCGTTATCGTCGGTCTTGCGGTCCTGGCCGGCCTCATTAAATTATACTACAAGCGCTGCCGCAAGGCCGCAATCGCCGAGCCGTCGACACCGCCGCCGAAGGCACAACCGGAAGCCGCGTCCCCCAAGGAAGAAGGGGCCACCGCCGTCGCCCCGGAAGCCGAGGAGAGCCCTCAGGAGACCCTCACTGGGGAGGCGCCGCCGCCGGCGCCACCCGCGAAAAGCTGGTTCTGGCGCGGAGAGCCCGTACCTGAACCCGTGTGGGAGGCCGAGGAGACCCTCGCCGAGCAGCCGCCCGCGCCGCCCGCGCCCGAAGGTGAAGCTGAGTCGGCGCCCTTCGCACCGGAAACCGAGGAGCGACCGCCGCCGCCCGCGAAAGGCTGGTTCTCGCGCGCCGCGCCCGAACCCGAACCGGAATTCGAACCCGAGCCCGAAGCCTAGCCGCATATCATTCGCATCCGCCCCCTCCCCGCGCGCGAGCCCCTCAGGCTAAGCTTAGATACTACTCTTACTTCCGCATCTTGTGCGACGCCTGGTTCGGCGCGCCGGCCATGAGCTTCGCCGCCAGCGCGGGGTCCGACGCCGCGAGGTCGTCCATCAGGGCTTTCCCGACGACCCTCTCAGGATTGCCCTGCTTCTTGTTCACCAGAGCTTTGCCGTAGTTCGATTGGAGGAAGGTAGCTAATTGCGTCTTTTCCACCGCTCGCAGATAAGTGACAAAATCAATTTCCCCGCCACCCTTCCCCTCCTCCTTCATGTCGTCCCCAAAGAGCATCTTCAACCGGTCCTCCATTTTGTGCCTCCCGTAGCGCGCGTACAGCAGCTCCATCGTCTCATCCACAGAAACCATGCCATCTTCATCCAAGTCGAAGATGAGGAACATGACGACATTGAACAATTGCGACGGCTCCAGGCCCGTCGTATCTCGGATGTTCCGCTGGAACATGAGCCGCATCTCGTCCCAGCTCACACAGCCGTCGAGATCCTCGTCGACCTCCCAGATCATGGCCTCGGCGTCCTTCTTCTGGGCCTTGCGGCCCAGCGTCTTCAGGGCCTCGAGGAGGTCGACGCATGAGACGAGTCCGTCGCTCTTCTTCTCAATTTCCTGGAGGTCCTGCCGGAGCTTCTCGACGTCCGTCTCGAGCGACTGGATCTCCGACGCCACCAAAATATCGGCCTGCTCGTCGTCGGCGGACTGTCGCAGCTTTTCGAGTTGGTCCTGCTTCGGTCTCAGTAATTTGAGGACCTTTTTTTTGGCGCCGTAGTCGCACAACAAGCGATGAACTCGTCGTAACTGGTTCTCCTCCTGGGGCGTGATCTCGGCGGCCTCGTTGCCCTCGTAGGTCGACATCCTTGGGGGCTGGGTTGGGCGGGCGGCTCGCAGGGCTGCCCGGCGGCGCTTTTATGGTGCGTGCGGCCGGGCTCCGAGGCGTGGGGGCTCGAGGAGCTGCCCCGGCGCGTCGACGGCGTGTCGGTGCCGCTCTCCTGGCCGTGCCGACGGAGCTCCAAAGTCCGCGTTGCGCTCGGTTGTGAGGAGAGCCCGCACGTCCGCGGCTGACGCGTCGACGCGTGCGACTGCGTCCAAGGCTCCTCCACGCCTCGTTCCAAGAGGCCTGTGGAAGAGCACGAAAAACCCGCGGCCTGTCAAAAAGTCGCGCCGTTGTCGAGCTGCAGGCGCGCCGCGCGGCCCATTCACGGCGCGAGGCGCAGCCACAGCTCTGCCACAGGGTCCCGACAGCCCGGCGCTGCGACACCGGCGCGCGCGGCCGTAGGAAACGATGCTCAGCATCCGCTTTAACCAGCGCCAGACCGACACCCATGTCACGCCGACGCTCGATCGCTTAGCGGGCAAGCACGGCCAGGAGAACGAGGACCCCGGTTTGATGTCTGATGGACTCGAGAGCGTCGGCTCTCCGACGACTCCCCCGGCCGCGGCCGTCCGCAGAGCTCAGGCCGCGTCGGCGACGAAGCGGCGCCTGTCGTTGGGATCGCCGTCGCCGCCGCGCCGACCTTTAGGTGACGCGACGAACGCGAAGCCTGTTGTCAAGCCGGCCCCCGAGGTCGCGCCGGAAGTGGAGCTGCCGCCAGTGGCCAAACAGCAGCCCGTCAAGGAGTGCCGCCGCCTCGGCCTCTTCAGTGTTGTTGCGCTCGTGGCCTTCCTGGCCTTCCCGCTCCTCGCCGTGCCGCCCGTGACGCACAAGGCCGTCGAGCTTCGGTCTACGCCGGAGCGCCAGGTCTCGCGGACGGTCGAGCGCCCGGCGCCGCCGTTACCGCCGCCGCAGCGCGCCCTGCCGCAGCCGGCGGTGATGAAGCGGGACCCGCTCGTCGCCAAGGCCGGGCGTGCGTTTATCAAAGCCCTGCTCGCGCCGCTGCGGCTCGTGGGCGCGGTGCTGCGGTGCCTCTTCGGCAAGGCGTGCCGCAAGAACTGAAGCATATCCTGACCTCCCGGCGGCGGCGCGCCAATCCTGTAGCTTAACTTATATCACACTCGTAGCTTCGCGTCGCTGGCTCTAGTCGCTGGCCAGCTCGTCGCCGTCGTCCGCGCGTGTCGCTCAACAAGCCGCCGATGCGGCGCGTCGTCGTCGTGTCGCCGGGCAAGTCGTCGTTGGTGCTAGGACTAGTGGGCGGAGCATTCCGTTGCTCGCTGCGCGGACCCCCCCTCCTCGATTCGCAGGGCTGGAGCGCCACTCTGCCAGGTTATCCTGCCCTGCGCTGGGTCTCTCAGGCGCACAGATGGCGCACGAGGCGGCAACGGATACATCGTAGGATTGCCAGGCGTTTTTCCGTCGGGCAGCCCACAAGCCGTGCGGCGGGCAGCCCCTGAGGAGCAGCCAGTGCTGGGGCAGCAATACCAATGCCGGTCAAGACCGGCCGCAAGCTGCCCCGCGCCCGCGTCGATGCGAAGGTGGCGCAGGCAGCGGTGCGCCTGGCCCGGCACGTGCCCGCCGCGCCTAGCACCGCGGGAAGCGCCAAGGTGCCGAGCACCCCATCCCAAGTCACCTTAAATCTTACGCAGACCCCGCCGGCGCGACCTAGCACCCCGCCGGCCAGCCCACTCAACGCCGAGGTCGCGGATTTGCTGGAACGGCTGGCCGCGGACGCGACGCCGAGGCGTAGAGAAGAGGTCGAGCGCCACGTCGAGCAGCTGACGACGGACCAGCCTGTTATTACTCACGAGCCGCGGCCGCCTCTGCCCCAGTCCCATCCTGATGTGGTCGCCTGGCGGAAACGACGGAGTGCGCGCACGCGGTTACTACAGAGGCAGGCGAAACTCACCAAATCATATAGAGAGGAACTCCGGTTAGCAGCCACAGGTGGCGATAACAAGTGGGACTGCTGCGACTGTGCGAACCTGTGTGGAAATCAAATTCCGGACAACCTAACTCACCGGTTGATTTCCACATGCAGGCGAGAACAAGGACGGCTTCGTGCTGCCCTGCTGGGACGAGACGGACAACGGGGTCCCCGACGTCTGCATGAACTCCACGACGTGCCCGTTCCACCCGGACAACGGCTGCACGAACGACAACTTCGTGTGCCACATCTTCGGCAACGTCGGCTTTCCCTACTTTGATAAAAGGAGAAAGTTGTGGATGGGCCTCGCGATGTGGTCGACGCTCTTCGCCATGTTCGTGACCGCCGTGGGAGCGCTATCTCTCAGTACGGATAAAGACATCGTGCGGAGCACGTACTGGGTGTATGTGGAGGCGACGAATTCCACTGAACGAACGAGATACTTCCTGGGGTTGCGGTCCATCGTTTACGTCCAAGGGAATGATGTTAAGTCAGAGCGATTAGATACTGATCTCATCGTAGGGACTTTGCCTGGCACGAAACGAACAGACCCCATGCGGCAAGCTCTGTTAAAGTCCTGCGCCGACAGCGCCCAAGCGTCGGCCCTAGGCGCATTACTCAGTTGTGTCACTCTTATATTTGCATTAATTGGAACGATGAACCGCATGCGCTTTTCGAGCGATGCCAATGTCCAAAAAGCGTTAGGGCTCATAACGGACACCTGGGGCGCCTTCTGCTTGTGTTTTACGCTGTTCAATTTTTATTTTGACTGCTACGCGGACCTACCTTCGTCGGTAGAAGACTTCCGCATACGAAAACGGTGGGGCCCGGCCTGGTACTGTTATCTATTTTGCGCCTTATCGGGCATCATCCGCGCCTGGGCGCACTGGGTCACGCCGACGCCGGACCACGGCGTCGGCTGCTGCACGTTCCGACTGCCGCACGCGATCATGGCGTTGTTAGATGTTGACGGCGACGGGAAATTAACGTGGGAGGACCAGAAGCTCTTGTTTGGGTCGCTGCGGACGGTCCTCGCCCAGCAGGCGTCCCAGAGGGTGGGAAGCTTCAGGAAGTCGCTGTCGTCGAAGTTCATCTCTCCACCTCCCAAGGATACTTGGAGCGGCGACTGGCAGGAGCGCGACCGCCGGAAGAAGCTTGAGGCTACGATAGCAAGGCAACGGGAGGTGTGTGCGGAAGCGGTCGAGGCGCGGGGGGACAGCCATGATCCGGAGGTCGACCCGGAGTTAGGTATTGTGGCGGCGCGCCAGGCGTGCGTGCCGACGTTTCTCGTGGGGCTGTCTCCCGACGCGCGCTACGACCCTAGAGTACTGGACGCGGAGAAGCGGAAACGTAAAGTCGAGGCGGACTGGAGTTTAGCATTGATGGCTCAACAAACCCCGGTGTCTCAGAACAAGGCGCGGTGGCTCAAGGCCAAGGCTAACTTAAGAAGAGTCGCCGCCGACGCGCGCGACGACGAGGAGGCTAAGAATCATGTGTGAACTACTAGCCTTACGCAAGGAACCCCCTAAAGCTGCTTGCCCCCCTTCATGATCTTGTAGAGCATGCCGTCCACCAGCCCGAGAACGGTAAACGTCCCCCCGACGATGGCGCAGACGCTCGTGACGAAGTCGTACCACCTCCTACCTTTCGAGGAGACGACGACGGCCATGGGCGACAGGTCGTAGGCGAATTTTGCTTCAGGCACGTCCATCTCCGAGTAGTGCATCACCTGCGACTGTACTAGAGTTTGGTAGCGGATGACGTCGCGCATCTTGCTCATCAAACCGCCGACCTGGAAATGCGTCGACACGACTTTAGAATAGTGGTGGTGCGCCTGGTGGAAGTCGGGCGAGATGAAGCGGCCGCCGTCCAACGGATAATTGGCCTGGAACTGGGCGTACTTGCTCAGCTTTCGCTCTGTGCTGGAAGCTAGCGGCGTGCCGAAGGACAGGTGGTTCACGACATGGGATAAGTTGGTCATCGCGGCGTTGAGGTTGTGATGTAAGCTCCTCGCCTCGATGTGGAAGTTGCCCGGGACTCTGTTGACCAACACATAGCCCGAGACCATGCAGCCGGGGTGTTCTTTGGTCTCGAGCATGCGCTGCTTCCTGCGGGGGTGCCAGTCCTCCATCGTCTTCTCGAGCTCGACCTTTTGTTTGAGGAAGGCCGTGAGCGCTTGGACCGTCCGGTCCTGGCGGTAATCCAAGCCGTATTGTTTTCCGTCCTTGAAGAATCTCAAAGTAGGAAACGCCTGGATCCGTTGCGCGCCACAGAGGTTCCGATTGGCAACACAGTCGACCTTCGCCACGTCGACCTCCAAATCCTCCGACGCATCCACTTCCTCGGCCATGGCCTCCCACGTCGGCTCGAGGCGCTGGCACCAGATGCACCACGGCGCGTAAAAGTTTATAAAAGCGTAGGGATGCGACTGCACGTACTCCTCAAAACCGCCCTCGGTCAGGGGCACGGCGTGGATGCCGTTGGCCATCATCTCTTCCACCGTTTCTGGATGATGTTCTTCATACGAGATCGCTTTTTGCTCCCGGTTTCTACCTTGAAAGATCATCCGCTTGCCGTGTTCGTCGAGCTGCCACTTCTCGACGTTCTTCGTGACGTTCATGGAGTTCGTGCCGAGCACATCTACCACATCGACCGCGGCATAATCGCACTGCAAATCGAGCATCGTCACGTTGAAATTTATTCTTAGTAACGTGTCACTGTTCGTATCTAACATCACTCCCGTTTCCACCGTGGTCGAGAGGAAGGCATAGAGCTCGACAATGAACAAGACGCCCATGAAGATGCAGGCCGCAACAGATAACGCGGCTCCCGTGATCGTGGTTTCGGTGAGGTCCGCGGGGATCTTCCTAAAAAAATCCATCATCTTGAGACCGCTCATGGTGCTGAGCTTCGCCGCCGCGGCGCGTCGACGGCGTCAAGCGGTGCCGTGTCCCGCGTTCGCCGCCGCAGCTTTGGGCAGCGAAATCGCTGGGGCACAGGTGTCTAGCTACCCGCGAACCGCGGACGCCCAGCGATCAAGGCAGGGCACGAGACGGGTTGCGAGAGAGTCTCGAAGCTGCCGCTCGCTGCAAAACCCCAGCAGCGACGTCGTGCGCGTGCTGGATTAATTTTTGCAGGGCTACGACGCGGGTTTTGGTCGCTAGTGCGTTGTTGCGCTAGCTCATCTCCTCGGAACTCGCTCTGTCCGCAAGCGCGGCCAGTCCTAGAGCAGTTCAGAAAATATACCAGAGCCTTAAGGTACAGGAGGCCTCGGCGCAGGAGCCGGCGCCGGCGCAGACCCAGGCGGCGGCCGAGGTAATTCCGCAGAGGGAACCCGAAACACGCGCACCGTGCGGTCGTCGCCGGCCGTCACGATCGCATCCTGCGCCCACGCCGTAGCTAAACAAAGCGGCGCGTCACTATGGCCCCGCAATTGTAACAACGAACTACCGTCGCGCGCATCCCACGCATGAATGCACCCGTCCGCGCTACAGGCCACCACTACTAATGAGCTAGGCCGCCACGCCATGGCCACGACCGCGCCGCCCGCGCCCAAGGAGCACCGCAGGCGCGCGCTTCCCGAGATGTCCCAGACCTTGATGGTGCCGTCGGCTCCACCGGTCGAACACCAGCCGGACTCCGCGAAGGCCACGCTCACGACGGCCGCGCCGGCTTCCTCGTCCTCGTCATACGTCGGCGCGTGCTCCAGTCTACATATTAATTTTTTGGAGGAGCAATGGACGAGAGCCGCGCAGCCGTCCTCCGCACCTCCCAAGACTAAGTCAGGGTCCGACGGGTGGAAGGCGATGCACGACACGGCGCCCTGGGTCATGACGACGGCGTCCGTGGACGCACCTTTGTGCGGTAGGAACGCGTGGGCACATTGGCCCTTGCGAGGGTTCCAAACTCTCAAAGATCCATCCGCCGAACCCGAAACTATTTTTTTGCCATCACACGTAAAGCCCCCACACAAGACCGCCCCGTCGTGGCCCGCGAAGACGCGCATGCAGGCCCCGGACGTCGCGAGCCACATCCATAAAGTGCCGTCACAAGCCCCACAAAGTACGACGTCGCCCTTCGGGTGCCACGCGAGCCACTCGACGTCGCCGGGGCCCTCCAGCGTCCGTAGGAGCCGTCCCGACGCCGCGTCCCATAGTTTGACAGAACCGTCGTAAGCCCCGGTCGCACACATCGAATCTTGGTGACTAAACCCGCAGGCCGTCACGGAGTCATTATGACCTTCCAGGCATATGGCTCCTCGCGAGCCCATGGGCGCGGGCTGGAGCCACGCCCGGTCGTCGCCGCCACCGCTCAAGATGGCGCCTGCCTTGGATACTGCGACACAATACACGGCGTCCTCGTGCTTGTCGAATTTGAGGGCTGCGTCGTCTTCATGCGTGGGTAGTTCTTCTTCATCCGACTCGGCCAGCCCGCCATCATCTTCGACTTCCACGAGCATTTCTCCGTCCTCGTCTTTGAAGCCTTCGTCGACGTCCATGTCCTCCATCTCGCGTCGCAATTCCTGAATCTGCTGGCGCGCCGGCGACGGCTCGGGCACCGTGGGCGCCTCGGCGTCCATGGTGTTGCTGTCGAGTGCTGCAGAGAGTGCTGCTCTCCCGCAGCAGGTGTGACCTACGCTTGCGGATAATCAGCCAGTGATGGATGAGCAGCGTTCACAGTGCAGAAGCGAACGAATGCCGGCGCCAGCGTGTGTGCTGGCTCACCATCGCCCGCGGCAGCGCCTAGCTTTGCCAGGCTTGCTAGTGCCTTACTGGCCGCTAGCTCAGCCGTCCCGGAGCCGTCCAGGGAAACCTCCGCCGGGCGCCCACAACGGTGCCGGCGCCCGCCGGCCGCACTTCATCTCTATTACAACACTGAGAGACACAGTGATTGTAAAAACTCGCGACGCTGTTCAGCGCGCGCGACATACCTACCGCGGTTAATCCAGCGCAAGCGCAGGAGCCCCTCGCGCAGCCCACGCACCACCGCCGCGGCCAGGCGCCGCCGCCGGAGCCGAGGGGCTGCCCCGGACACGAACCATGGACCCCGCTGCCCACCCGCCCCAAGCGGCCGCCCCGCCGCCGCACGCCGCCGCCCCGTCGCTGCACGCGGCCCTGCCGCCGCCGCCGCCGCAAGCCCCCCGACCCGTCGGCACGCGGCCGCCGGCCGCCCCGCCGGCCGTTCCGCCACCACAAGCTCTTGATACGCGGGACGAGCGGCTCCGGCAGCTCGACAGCCTGCGCCGCGCCAAGGCGGCCGCTCAGCCGAGACCCGCCGTATTATCACCGGCCACGGCCGCGGGAGCGCTCGCGGCATTAACGAGTCAAGCTAGACAACACACGACGAGACAAGACGAGACGAGACGGAGGGATGACGAGCGCATCGATGTGGACGACTCCCCGAACCCGACCGACGTGAAGAAGGCCCTGACCTTCAAAGGGGCGACTGTGGCCTGGGCAATACTCAAAAGACATAAAATCATCGAGAGCAGGCCGGTGCGCTTACCGACCGGAGGGTGGATCGCCGCGCACGTGGGCAAGGGAGCCTTCAAGGGTGATTACTCGGCTCGAATCCCGAACTGCCCGTCGGAAGAGTCGTTGCTCCAAAGGTACATGGGTTGCATTGTGGGCCTGTTCAAAATAAAAGATTGTAGAAGACCGAACAACTGTGGGGGGAGTGTCTGGGCGGAAGGGCCCGTCTGCAACGTGGTGGAAGCGGTCATCGAGCTCCCGGAGCCGGTCCCGGTCACGAAGGGCAAATTACATGTGTGGCTCATGGACGAGGGGACACGACTTAGGGTTGCGGGGCAGTTGGCTTCTCTACCAATACAGTATACGGATCTATCTTCATTACCACCGTTCGAGCCGATCGTCGGGCCCATCACGCCGGGCCGGAATCGGAGCTACAATCGGACGGACGACATTCCTTCATCGACGCGACCGCCCTCCTGGGTCGACGAGACCGCGCCTTTGCCCGTGCACAACGACTACGGCGCGCGCTACGGCGGCTACCATACGGAGGGTTATTACGCCGGTGGTTTGGGTGGCTACGCGCAGCAGTACGCGGCCGCGCACCCTTTGGCTCCGGCCGCCGCGCACTACTACGTGCGGTTCTGTGTCTCGTCGATGGCGTGGTCTGACATTTGATTTCCGCGCAGGCGCCGCCGCCGGGCTATAGCCCTTATCCGCCGCCGCAGCACCACGGCTACGCGAGCCCGGGCCAGATCGGTTATCGGCCGCGGCCAGCGCCGCGGCGCCACTCGCCGCCGCCTCGAGAGATCTGCGAGGGAGCGCTGGCCTGGTACGACGGCCTGCAGCGCCGGCCCCCTGGCGGTTAAGTTTTATAACATTACAGACACTAGGCGCCGCCGCGTACCCCCTTCTCGAACACCAGAAACCCGTGCTTGTGCCCCAACGAAACGCCGCGGCACGCGTAGACGGGCGGCACGCCGGCCCAGGAAACTTCCGACACGTCCTCGCCGTTCGCGTTTCCGATGCCCCCCTCCCACGCGCCGCCGCCCCAGACGTAGACGCGGCCCGTCGCGGCCGCGACGGCGCCGTTCGTGTACGACAGCGCGCCGGCGCAGGCGCGCACGCCGCGCAGCGCTTCCAGTAGACCCGGCGCGTCGTTGTTCACTGAGGACCGGCCCAGCGCGCCGCCGTCGCAGTCGCCCCACGAGTAGCAGCGCCCGTCCGTCGTAATGGCGACCGTCGAGTACGTGGAAGCCGCCACAGAGATCACAGGAGGCAGGCCCTCGACGCGCGTCGCTGCGTGCGGGAACGATCTCTCGCCCTCGAAGCGCGTCGCCCGCGGGCCCAATCCGAGCAAATTACCGTTCGACTCGTCAGCGCCGTACTCGTGGCCGAAAACATATAAGGAACCGTCGTCCCTCAGGGCGCAGCAGTGGAAGGCGCCGGCCGTGAGCGCGGCCAACTTCGTCCCACAAAGCTCCGGCACCTCCCGCAGCTCGCTCGGTTGCCAGTCGTCGGAGAAGCGCCCGGCCCACGAGACGCGCGCGCTCTTGCCGGTGCCGCCAGAACCTAGGTGTGCCGCGACCGCGGCCCCGTCTCTCGGCGGCAGCGGGATACTCCAGGTCCGTTGCACCGCGATGAACTCGAGCCCGACGGCGACTTTTAGAGTTCTCTCACTGTCGCCGAAGGCCACCTCTGTTGGTGTGGAAACGAAGTAGTCGGCCGGGTTCCGCGAGGACGTGTCCCGTGCATGCAATGTCTGCCCACAGACGTTCATGCCCCACGTATACAACTTGCCCGATGATGTAATAGCAGCAACAGTATAGCCAAAGGCCCTCCCGCGGCCGTGGTAGTAGCCCGACGGCGTGCACGCCACACTTACGACGTCCGCCAGACCGGCCACTCTTGTAGGTGTCATCGTCATCTCTCGCGACGCCTCGAGGACCGGGCGCTCGAAGTCCGGCTCCCACCGCTTCCCCCAGTGGTACAGGGTCCCGTCGTCGCAGACGGCGAAGGTCGCCTCGTCGCCGCAGACGACATTCACAACACTCCTCGTAATCGAAAAATCGAGTAGAGTCGGCTTCGGCGCGTCCTGCTCCAGCCCCGAGACACCAGCCCGCCCCCACGCATAACACACGACGTCCGGCAGCCAGAACGGGTCCTGCGAGGCGGCGCGCCACCGCTTGCACACGAGCGCCACGGTGCCCAGGAGCGAAAAGTGCAGGAATGTGTAGACGTAGGAGAAGGCGTCGTCGCCGATGGCGTGGCACTGCGACGCGCTGCGGAAGGGCATGAACTTGACCATGGCACTGGCTTGTGCCGTTCGATTCCCGGAGGGATCCCACACCGTCTGGGGGACGGCGTCGTTCCGATCTGAATTCTCGTACGATCTAGCGGCGGCGGCCGCGGCTTCCTGCAGGTCCTGGCCGTTGCGCCAGGCCGTTAAGATCTTCTTGCGCAGCGCGTCGGCGGCGATGAGCGACGGCCGCAGGTTGCGCGCGTCGCAGGCCTCCCTCAACGCGAGGGCCACGCGCGCGAGGCGCCTTTCACAACTCTCGCCTTCCTGCTTCCGCTCGGCGACGAGCGCCACGGCCCGCGCCTGGACGTCCGCCACGAGCGTCTTGCGCGTATGGTCTCGCAAGAATGTCTCGCGCACGAACGTCTCGGCCAGGTCCGCGTGGTCGTCAGCATCTAGCCCGGCCTCCCGGAGCGCCTCGTCGAGCGCATACAAAGCGAGCGCCTCGGCCTTGGCCCACTCGCCCGCGCGCTCATCGGCCGCCTTGTCGACGGCCCGCGTCCACGCGGGCCAGTCGTCTTTCGTCGGCCAGTCGTCAAAATTCCCGCCGGCAAGATCAGTCACGGCCACAACGAGCGCCTTGCGCGCCGCGGCGCCGAGCCGCGGCTCGCCGCGCGCCGCCGCGAAGATCCAGCCGCCCGGCTTCGGCTCCAGGGCCCGCCGGACGGCGTCTCCGATATGATTCGACACCGCCGCGGCGTCGGCCGCGGCGACGGCGTCCGTGAACGCGCCGTCGACGCTCAGCGCCGGCACCTCGGCCGTCGTGAGTTTGGCGACGCGCTCGAGCGCGGCCGCGGCGAGCGCCTCCGCGTCGACCGGCGGGCCTTTCGGGCCGGAGCGGTCCGCCGCCAGGTCCGCGGCGCGGCGAGCGCCGGTCGCGGCGATATTTTGATACTCGTCGAAGCGCGCGCGGACGGCCTCCGTCCCGATCGGCGCCTCGCTGTGCACAAAGCGCGCGACGATGAAGCGGCGCGCCGGCTCCGACGCGTCCGGCGGCAGCAGGGCCCGCGCGTCCGCGGCCCGTCGCTCTGCGCGCCGCTTCGCGACCGCCCGCGCCGCGGCGCCCTCGAGGGTCACCTCCTGGCGCTTCCGCAGCGCGACGGCCACCGTCGCTGCGAGCTCCTCATCGACAACGCCCAACGCCCCGAGCGCCGCGGCGGCGGCCGCCACCTCCGAGGCCCACGCGTCGACGGCGCTCTGTGCTGCTGCGTCCGCGCTCGCGGCGCCGGCCTCCAACGCCTCGAGCGCGACCAGTCGCAGCTCCGCGACGACCGCGCTCGGGAAAGTTGAGGAAAGCCGCGCCTCGACGGCGGCCGACACGTCCGCACCGACGGCGTCGTCTGCCGCGCTCAGCCGGCACCGCTCGAGCGCGTCGCGCGCGTCGAAGCGCTCGTCCTTCAGACGGACGCTCCCCAGGAACTCGAGCCAGCCGCCCCGCAGGAACTCGTTGACGACGACGACCATGAGGTGGGCCCGCGTCACGGCTCTATACAAAGATGACCGTGTCTCGTCCTTGACGGCGTCGAGACCGCAGCAGATCACGACCAGTCGTTCGAGACCGTCCAAGTTATCAATCGCGTCGACGACGAGAGACGTCCCTACGAGCTCCGCTGAAGCGCCAGCGGCGGTCCGGACTCGATAGTTATCAAACGCGCCCGTCTCCAGGAGCTGTCGTCGAAACGCGTCGTCTGGAACGGCGACGCAGACGCGGTCGTGCAGGTCCAGGCCGGGGAACGACGTCGACACGTGCACGAGGGCCGCCTGGCAGTACTTGCCGTACGCCTCGAAGCGGGTTTCTTCCTCCGCGTCGAACAGGAACGACTTGAGGGGCGGTCCCGCATCTTCCGACACCGACGCCGTGAGCAGTTTCCGGTCGCCGCCGAGCTGGAACGCCATGGCGCCCGCCACCACCCGTTGCGAGCACCGCACCACCTCCGTGAGCTCGGCGGCGTGGGCCGGCGGGTACGCGACCGCGGAGGCGCCCTGCGACGCGTCGCTGAGCAGCACGCGTTTTGATGACGGTGACACGCAGCTCTCCACGGCCTTCCGCCGCGCGTCATTGGCATAGACATGATGCGCCTCGTCCACTACCACCAGAGAAAACGAGGCGGTCGCGTCGCTCACGAGACGTAGCGCGTCGCCCTCGCGCAACGCTCTCCGCGGCCCCTCCGCGAACGGGTCGACCAGCACGAATAGGCGCTCGAGGCCCGCGGGGCACCTCCGGTAGATCCAGCGACACGCGAAGAGCGCCAGCGCCTCGTTCCTTGCACAAAACAACACGTTGGCACCGCGTTCGATCTCCGCGTGCGCTCTATGGAGGCCCCAGTGCGTCTTGCCGGCTCCGGCCGGGGCTCGCAGGTGGACGTCGCCCGTCGCGGGCAAACTGTCGAGCACTTCCCGTTGATGCGGCGTGAGTCGCTCGGCGTCCGCGGCGCGCTTTTTTTCGAGCGCTTCGACGAAGCACGCGCGGTCGGCGCGGACTCTCAGCCGCGTCACGTCCGAGGCGCGTCTGTCGTAGGCGCCGCTGAGCACCGCATTTCGTATCGATGCGACCGCTGACACGTCGTCCAGCGCGCAGCTCACCGTGAAATTGCTGGGACCGCCCGCACAGCTCGCGCGGCCGCCCTGGCGCACCGCTGCCGCGAGCTGCCTGCAGCACTCGTCCGCATCGGTCGCCGGCGGCTCGAGCTGCACGCTGAACTCCAGACTACTCATCTGTGCTGTTTGATGCGGCCACTTTTAATCCGCAACGGACCAAATTTGTATCAATACCGCGGCGCGTGTGTGCTTGGCTTGTTTGCTTGTTTGCTAGTGTGTTTTAGCTAGCTGGTTTTAGCAGTGGTAACTCCGCAGAGCCCTGGAAGCCGCGCCCCGGAGCGGCACCCCTCAAACGCACCGGACCTGTATTCGCCGGGACGGGTTTCGCTGGGGGACTAGTAGTAGACTCCTTAACGCGATCACGAGATCGCGGACTTAGAGAGCTGACGGGAAGGAGGGAGGGAGGGAGCACGAAAGGGGGAGGATTCTCAGACGCCGATCGTCGAGGAATTTCTCAGAGCTTGATGGCAAGGCGCATACCGGGCGCAGACCCTGGTGGCAACACGATCGCGAGGATGCGCCCGTCGGGGGCCTGCACGTGGATCGTCTGGCCGGCGCTGCAGCCGTCGGGCACGGTGACGCGGAGCTCCTGCCTGGTCGGCGTTGTTGGCGTCGGCGCCGGCGTCGCGGCGAGCGACGCCGCCTCGGCCTGCTGGAGGAGATCGATCAGCTTCTTGGGCTCGACCGTCAGCGCGGCGCCGTTGACGCAGGCGTCCATGGGCGGGTGCACGTGCAGGAGGACGTCGCCCTTCGTCGCGGGCTCGACCTTGAGCCAGGTCACGGCCGCGCCCGTGGCCACGTCGACGGCGGGGAGCGTCTCCTTCCGCAGGGGCTCCGGGGCTGCCGCCGGGGCCGGGGCCGGGGCCGGGGGCTGGACCGGTTCGGCCGGTGGCGCTGGCGGCTGAGCGGGAGGCGCTGGCGTCGCCTCCTGCGGCTGCGCGACGGGCTGCGCGACGGGTTCGGGCACTGGCACCGGCGCAGGCTTCGGCGCCGGCGCGCGCGCGCGGATCTGTTTCTGCCAGACGAGGTAGAAGCAGCCCGAGGCGATCGCCACGAGGCTGCCGAGGCACGCCAGCAGCGCCCGCGCGATGGCGGTCTCCACGCCTCCCACCGCGAACCACACCGCGAGATTAATCACGACCATCCCGAAGATGCGCAGGCGCACGCCGCGCGCGAACTCGGCGTTCTCCGCGGCCTTCTGCTTCTCGTTGAGCGCCTCGTCGGCATGATCAGAAACTTGCTTGCCGACGCGGAAGCCCCGCGTCAGGTTGATGAGGCCCATGACAATCAGTAGCCCACAGAAGAGCATCCGGCCCCAGACGGCGTTGATGCCGAAGAAGAGGCCGGCGCACAAACCCACGAAGGTCCAGAGCCACCCGCTCAGTTCCAAGCACGAGCACCACGTCGCCGCGCAGAGTTCTTTGGGGGCGCACATGCCATCCGACGCTTCCATATTAAAGTCCTTGCCCTGGTGTCTCAAGGTAATCGACGATATCAGTAGAAAGAAGCCGTAGACCCACACGGGCAGCGCAACATAAAAAACGCCGCGGGTCACGGCGAGGGCGCAGCACACCCGCGCGCTCAGGAAGGCGCCGGCCGCGAAGCCGAGGGGCGGGACCACGTAGCAGCACGCCACGACATGACGCTTGGTGAGTGCATACGCACCACTCACGAGGATCGCGCCCCACGCGACGAGCGCATTACCAAGCTTGTTCGCGGCGCCCCCACCGAGACCGTACGCGAGGACCCAGGCGTAGGCTAAGGCCGGCGACCGGTGGTCTTTGATGATGAGTAGTAGTAAAGCGCCGAAGCCGGCCACGAGAGAAGCGGCATCGGCAGTCTGGCCCATGTACTCACCAAATAAACCACTAGCGTTCCTGGCATAGCCCGCCGTACCCAGGCCCGCGCCCACCAGTAAGGCTTGGCCGAAGCAGCCCCAGACGATCTTCATGTCGTTGCGTTTGTTCTCGTCCGTAAACCTGTCGTGCCAATCGAAGAGCACGACAATCGTGACTGCAGAGACACCTACAATACCCCCGAAGAAGTAGGCGAGGCCCATGGCTGTAGCTGTTTGGGCTGCTAAGAGGAGGCTGTCCTTTGCCTTTTCACCGTGAGGAGTATGCATGAAAATGAACAGCTCGAGCGCAGCTAGTAATACAGAACCAGCAGCGAAGACATGCCAGTAGGGCCTCGACGCGCCGATGACACCCGAAAACTCGGCGAGCACGGCGCCACTTACGAGCGCGACGGGCGGCGTCAGGGCCGCGGATACCGAAGGGTGGTCGAAGACCCCGATGGACACCGCGCCCGTCGCGAGTGTGGCGGCGACGCCGAGCCATCCCTTAGTAGGAATAGACGCGGCCAGACCAAAGGGCACACACCACAGGTAGGCCACGACAAAGGCTTGGATCTTTTCATCGCAGACCCACAATATCAAAGCGAGAGGCAGCGCTATTAGTGAAACGACGGCGCAGGCGCCCGTCGCGTTGCGCTGCGTGCGCCAGATCATGGACTTGAACGGGTAGAAGGCGCCCTCGCCCTGGATGTTCACGACCAACAGATACGTGCCGATCAGCAGTAAGATGGTCAGTATCGCCTCGCCACTGATATTTTGCGAAGGCTCCTCCTCTTCTTGCACTAACTCTTTCCCCACAAGTACAATGGCCGCGACTACCACAGGAATCGCCGCGACTTTCGAGGCCGGGCCGTTGACGAAGGTGAAGGCCGCGAGGAGCCAGAGCGCCGCGCGGCGCCTTCGGTTGATGGGCGCGCCTCCCAAACAGCCCTTGAAAGAAAAGTTTTTGTGCACAAAAGCGGCGAGGGCCCCGAGGCCCCGCGGCGGCTCGGAGGCCTCGACGTCGCCCGGCTCATCAAACGAACCCTTTGCGGGTCTCGTTGCTTCATCTGATGGAGGCGCCTTCTCCTTCTTCGGTACGAGGGACAGCGCGCCCAACACCAAACACCAGCCCGCTGAGGTAATAGCGAGCGCCGGCAGCGTGCGCTCCGGGATCCGATACAGACCCGCGACGCAGCAGAGCGAGATGATTGGGATGACGACGTCCGACATCAGAGCATGTTTCGCTAGGATGCTCCACACCAATACAATCACGAGCACGGCAACCACAGAACCGATGCGTAATCCATCATCTAATGAGTTGAGCGCCCCGCCCAGGCCCAAGGGTAGAGCGTACAAGTATACGGATGCATGCGCCACGAACCGCCCGACGTCGTCATCAGAAGTCTTCGCTAGCACACAACTACCAAGCAGCGTCAGCCCCGCGGCGATGCCGGCAGCAATCGCGTGGCAGCCCGTCATCCCGAACTGGAGATTCAAAACCATGTCGATGGCCCCGAAGAACAACAACGGCAAGGCCAGCAAGACCCGCAAACCTCCCTCCTTCTTATCGGTGAAGACGAACCAGCCCGTCGTGAAACAGACGCCGATGAGCGCGCCCCAGCCGAACGTGGCCGGGCCTATTAATACCACTCCTCCTGTGATGAAGGCGAGTCTGAAAACGCCCACTAGTAGACCGCTTTCGTTATCTTTCAGGGACGGCATCGGCCACATGAAGACGAGTAATAACGTGCAAATGCCCAGGATGAGCGCCCACCACTTCATGCCTAAACCGTACAACCCCAAGTAGAGCTGGAACTGGGCCCTTACGAGGAAGGTGAGTGTCGCGACGATGGCTGCGGGTAACGACTTCTCCATCCTCGCGAGCGCGACGGCAAACAACGCCGTCGGTGCGAGCGCCAGGGGCATGGCCACTTCCGTGGCTGCTAATACGACCATGCTCAGACACGTGAAGACGGCATTTTTATTGCCAGGACCTTTGGGCGCCGAGAAGTAAGTTGCGACAAGTCCGCACTCCATGAACAATATAACGGCTGAGAGCATGAAGGGCGCGCCCGCCGCCTCCTGGACGCCCCGCTTCACGATGTTGTGGATGATCTGCCGCCCGTTCTGCACGACGACCGCGATGGCGAAGGGTAAACAAGATAACGCCAGTACTAGCGCCGCGCCGGCCAAATCCGGGAGTAACGCCGTTCTTGTTTCAGCCTTCCGGACCTTTTGTTGTAGGACGTGGAACACGACCAAGGCCGGTAACAACGCGAGGAGGGGATAGGCCGAACATTGAAAAGTGGACGGCCCCCCGCCGCAGTCGCCTTCGGACAAGAACGCGATGGCCGCCACTAATAACAAAGCGCAGGCCCCCAGCACCGTATCATAGCCCAATTCATCACTAGAACCAGCCCCGACGACTCCGGCCACACACGCGGCTACTGCTACGACATATGTCACGAAGTTGAACGTCTCCAAGCGAGCCACATATATAAGAACGGCGACCATGGCGCAGCCTCGAGCTGTCCGGACCGCTGCTAGGGGGGCCTTGATGCGCTTCGACGACGTGACTCCTAAGAGTATCACGGCGAAGAAGGCGTGGAGTAATGCTATCACAGCATCTGGTGCGGTGTTGCCGTCTCCACCCCTTAGTGAAGCCATCGCTACCAGTGGTAATGCAAATGCTGCTAATCCGCAGATGGTGGCGTGCGTCTCGTCGCCAGCCACGGCTCGTCTTCGATTCGCGTCCGCTAATATTAATGCAGCAGGCAACAGCAAAAACGCTCTTCCCGCGAGGAGCCACCTATCACAATCATTCAGCGCATCGAGCCAATCGACAGCAACGAAGGACCCCACGCCCAGGAACACGCCAGAAATAAACAGGGAGGGTTTGATCGAGCGCTCGTACCACGGGGCGCTCTCGACCGTCGCGGTGTCGGGCGCGACTCTAGCGGGAGACGCCGGTGCAGTATCTGTCGTGACCTGCGCGTAGGTGTAGGCGCCGCGCGTGCGCCACCTGTGTGGACATCAAATGTCGGCCACCCCACGTGTCAAACCTAACTCACTGGTTGATTTCCACACCGTGCGCCACCAGGGCATCTGCATCGCCCACCACGCCGCCACGGCGACCGGTGCGGTGACCAGTAAAGCCGCTCTACCGGTCCAGAAGCTCGTCGCGAAGAAGACGAGGGCGAGCATGGACCGGCGCACATAGAGGAAGTCCGAGGGCGACGAGTAGTAGGCCCCGCAGCCAATCAACAGTGAGACCCAGATCGCCACACTTCCAATGGAGATATAAGCTTTTGGGTCGGCGCACCTGACAATGATCGCTCCGACAAAGTCCGCGAGCACGTGCAGAAGTAATGCGAGTGATGCCGACGGGCCGTCGCCCCCATCGTTCGACTCGGCCTTGTTGAACAAGGGGTGGCGCACGGCGGCCGTGACGAGGTAGTGTATTGCTGAAGAGCCGGCGAGGCCGCAGGGCCATACGATCAAACTTCTAGCACCTCTGTCGAACTGGCCGCCGAGTGCGGTCACTAGGACGGAGATCAGCGTCAATAGCGCGTGTAGCAATTGCAATAGGCCCGCCGTCCGGCCCCTTTTGAAGGCCGGCGCCGCAAGAGCTAACGGGGCGAACGAGCCTAGAGCAACGACGCAGCAAGCGGCCGCGACGGCACTCGCGTGCACGCCGGGCCCGACGCTGATCCAGAAGCCGACGAAGGGCAGCATTATTGTAGCTAAGCAAGCAGGCAGCCATGTTAATATTTCTTTCTGGTTCGCGTACTTGCGCCGCTGCGATCTTATCAGTAAAGAGTGGCCCAACGAGAGCAAGGCCAGGACACAAGCTAATGACACGACGGCGGCGGGCTTGTCGCCCCGGACCATGGCGTTCGCGCCGACGCATACGGCCGCACTGTTCAAAGCGACGACCACAAAAAGTGTCCCGAGCGCCGCCACGTGCTTCGGCAGGGCCAGATCGTCGCCCAAAACACATTCAAAGGCGCCCTGCAACAAACCCAAGACGGCCAACGCCAGTAAAACCAGCACGACGCCCGCCACATAACCCTGGCGCCCCCCGAAGATCTCCGGGAGCAGTGTGGAAAACGTGATGACCCCAACGGTCAAGCCCACGGCGCCCAGCAGGATGCAGGTGAGCACGATCTTCAGCTCGCCGGACATGGCCGGCTCCGGGGCCGGCGCGACGTCCGCGGCGGCCATGGCTGTTTCTAAGGCTGTTTTCTTGTGATGTCTGCCTCGGCGCCGAAACGTGCGTGCGCCAAGGCGGCGCTTTGCTCGAGACCGTTTCGATGCGGCTTCGAGCTTGCGTGGGCTGCCTCGGGCCTGGAACGTGCCGCGCGGGCAGCCAAAATCTCGGACGCTTTGCTAGTGTCTTTACGCTATCGACGCGACGTCTGTGAAATCAAACTTACACTTAGACATATATAGATAAATAATCACCGCCACCGCCACGCATATATCAGAAGACCGATCAGCACGCTGCCCGCCGCCGGCGCGCGCCGATCGGCGGCCGCGGCCGCGTAGAGGCGCTTGGCACGCTCAACTACAGCGGTCCAGACGGCGGCCACCGCGGGCCAGCGCCGCACCGGCTTGACCTGTGACGCCGCAAGCGCGGCGGCCGCGCGGTCGGCCGCGTCGGCAGCAATTTGAGCCGCGGCCGACGCGGCATCCGACGCGCGTTGCGACGCCGCGCTCAATTCCGACGCGGCCCGCTCGACCTCGGCCAGGCGCTCCCGGTCCGCGTAGCTCCTGTGAATGCCAGACCCGACGAAGACTAGCGAGTTCACGACGATCAGAGCCCAGGTGCTATACAGCGACAACGCTCTATACTTCTCCTGCCACATGAGCTCGCCGTGGTACTGGGACCGCACCGCTTTTAGAAATGCCCGCTCGGCCGCCTCGGCGGCGCGCTCGGACGCTTCCCTCGTGATTAAGCTCTCCGAGATCCGCGTTTTCAGAGAGTGTTCATCCGAAGTCAAGCGCGTGAATTTCTTGACGTCGTCGGCGTCCCAGGCGTCGCGGCGCTGCAATAGAACGGTGAGGTCGGCCTGTGTCGAGGACCGGCCTTGTGTTAATGAATCGTGCGCTCGTAACGCTTCCGCCCGTTGGGCCACGGCGGCCTCGTGCGCCGTTTCTGCCTCATTTACCGCTGCTTTGAGGCGCTGGAGTTCTCCTAGTCCAGCACCATCGGTGACTCGGTTTACGACCGGAGCTAAAAATGCAGGCCAAGCGCTGCTCGTGGTGGTGCTGGCTGAGCGTGCGACGAGCGAGCCGCGGAACGCGACGGCGCTGGCGTGTCGCAGCATTATCGATGCCAACTACGCTCTTGAGGCAAATATCGCACCGCTTGCGGCTTTAGTCGCCGAGCAACGAATTCAAGACCTAGCGACCTGTAAGACACTAGCAAGCATACGAAATCGGCCCGTCGTCGCGCTTTTTGACGCATCCTGGTCATCATCGGCTTATCCAAGCGCCGGAGAGCTGCAGTCTCGTGTGACGAAACGCGAGCTAGCGGACGTAAGACACTAGAGGATTCGGGGCAACTCGGCTTTAGACCGTCGTAGCTGCATAACCCTGGGTCGAAATCACATTTTGAGCTGCCAGCGGTGTTCATCTTCACCCTGTGCATGGGCGCGAATCGAAAAACAGCGCTCGTTTAGCCGTTCAAGGCGCCGAGATCGACCTTGCCTGGTCGAGCGCTTCTCCAGCTCAAGACGCGTTCTCACACAGGCAGCGGAAGGATGAAGAGCGCGCTCGTCCTCGCCGCGGCGGCCAACGCGCTCGTCGCGCCGTCGGCGCCGGCCGCGTCCACGGTCGTCAGGCAGGCCGGGAAGGTCATCCAGACGCCGCCGATCTTAACAAGAGACGACGGCCTCGAGACGCGGCCCATGGCCGCGGACATGCCGGGTATTGGGCTCGAGTTTGGGGGGAAGATCTTTGACCCCATGGGCTTCGCCACCTTCTCCGACGAATCATTGATCTGGTTCCGGGCCTGCGAGCTCAAGCACTCGCGCGTCGCCATGCTCGCCTGCGCTGGCTGGATCGTGAACGGCCTCCACTTAAGCTTGCCGGGCACGATCGATTACTCGACGAAGTTCAGCGACCTCGCCGCCAAAAAACCGCTCGACGCGTGGGCCGCCGTGCCGGTCGGCGGCAAGCTCCAGATCCTGGGCTGGATTTTTTGCGTCGAGTGCGCGTCGGAGATGCAGAAGCCGCACTACCTGAAGGGCGGCGAGTTCGTGACCTACGACTGGGCGAACCTGTCGGGCGCCATGTCGCCGGAGTCGCTCAAGCGCAAGCAGGAGGCCGAACTCAAAAACGGGCGCCTGGCGATGATCGGCTTCATGTCGTTCCTCGCGGCGAACAACATCGAGGGGTCCGTGCCGATGGTCCCGCACTCGGAGGCGGCGAAGAGCATCCTCGGGCTCTGAGTTGTTGGGCTTTCTTGTGGGTAAGGGGCCTCTCTATAGATAGCTATCCGGTGGTCCTTCGATAAGTAGCTCGCTGTAGGAGCTCGGTAGGAGCTCGGCGGAGGAGCTCGCGGGCCCGCGGGCTACTCGCGGGCCCAATGCGCAACGTCGCGTCGGAGGCGTCACGACGGAGTAGCCGGTACGTGCGGACAGATCGCCCCGCGGACGCGTGGGGCGCTAGCTCACGGCCGCGCGCGAAGCCAGGCCGCAGCCTCGCAGGCAGCCCAACGGGGGGCTGCCTTGCGAAGCTGAGCGTGCCGGCGTGCGCCCCGCCTTGCGTTTACTGAGGGTTCCAGGGCACGCCTCGCAACGTCCGCTCCATACGCCATCGCTGCGGCGGCAGCCCAACCTGGCGAAGAGCAACAGTCCACGGATCACAGTGGGGACGCCAGCTGTGCTAACGACGCTCGATACGAGGTACCATGGAGGTCACCATCCACCACGAGTACCACGCCCCCGAGGCGCGCCTGCGCAAGAAGCTTGAGTTGGTCCAGACGGCGCTGCGTCTTGACCGCGACGTCCTGGACGAGATGCGAAATGAGTTAAGTGGCTTCCGGTCGGCGTTCGCGCGCACGAAGGCGCTCGCGCTCGAGCGGGCCGCTTCCCTCGAAGCGGAGAACGCGCAGCGGTTCGCGCTGAGCGAGGTCGCGGCCGCGGGTTCAAGAAGAGACGTCGAGATTGTAAGAGCGGAGGCCGAAGCTGCCAGAGATGCCGCAACAAATGCGACGAAGGCCCGCGCCGCCGGCGAGGCGGCCTTTGCGGCGATGCGAGCCGCGGCGCGCGCGCAAGCCGTTTCCGGCGCGGCGGACCTCGACGCGGCCCGCGCCGACGCGGACGAGGCCCACGCCTCGGCGCGCCAGGCGCGCGCCGACGCCGACGCGGCGGCCCGCCAGCGCGCCGAGGAGTCCGCGGCGGCGCGGCGCTACAACGACGTCGCCGCGGCCAAGGTCCGCGAAATTGAACAGAGGGCCGAGGGCGCGGCGCGCGAGGCGGCGGCCCTGCGCGCGGCCGTGGCGGGCGCCGAGGCCCGCGCGTCCTCCGCCGAGAATGAGCGACGGCGCGCCGTCGAGGACGCGGCGGAGGCGGTGCAATTGAAGGCGCGCCTGGAGGACGCTAAAAATGCCGCGGACGCAGCCTGTGGCGCCGCGGCCTCGTCGGCGAGCGCCGCCGCGGACGCTCACCGCGAATCCGCGAGCGCCCTCGAGACGTCCATCAATGCGGAACTGCAAGCCGCCCGGGCGGCGCGGGACGCGGCCGAGGCCCGCGCGACGGAGGCCCTCGCGTCGGCGCACGCGTACGGCAAGCGCGCCGTCGACGCGGAGACAAGCGTAGCTGACGCGGTGCAGCGCGCTGCAGAAGCCGAGGCGCGCCTGAAGGCGCTCGAAGAGGCGATGACTGGCATGTCGGAGACGGGGCAGGCCGAGCTCGCGAAGCTCAAGAGCCGCTTGAACGACGAGCGCAAAAAATCAATGACCCTCGTGGCGGAGAACGACGCCGCGCGCGACGAGAACGAAAAGCTCGCGGAGGCGCTCGCAGCGACACATGAGGAACGGCGCCAGGACGCCGTGAACCTCAAAAAATTAGCGGAAGGGGTCGTCCAGGCGACCGCCGAGAAGGAGCGGTTGACCGAGCTGTTGAAGGTCGCGGCGGGCGAGCAAGCCAGACTCTCGAGCGAAATGGAGGCGTTGCGGCGGGCGCCGCCGTTGCCGGCGCCGTCGTGCGACGAAAGTGCTTTGCGGGAGCAGATCGCGAATTTGGAGCGGCACGTCCATAGGCAGGCGGAAGAAAGGGTCGAGCTGCTCGCGCGGCTCGAGGAGCGACGAGAGACGATGCCACCACCGATAATGGCGAACGTCGGGAACCTCCCGGCGATCTCCCAGTCGCTGCCCGAGGACCACGCGATGAAGTTCATCCAGCGCTCGCGGAAGGCGAAGGCGACGGCTCAAAGACGGCACCAGGCGCGACGGGTATAAGTTTGTCTTTGGCTCTCGCGTCGTCGAGATGGCGCACACGCGCCGTCGATCAGAGATCTAGGATACCCACGCCGTCGCCGCGACGAATATATAGATCATCTTACGCCCGCGCGGCGCCCGCGCCGGCCACAATTCCCCACCTACCTATTTCCGGCACGTCTCGTAGTTCGCGCAGAACCAGTCGCAGGCCTTCTTTAGGCCCTCGGCCATGGGCGTGAACTGGAAGTCCGGTCGGAGCCCCGCGAGCTTCTCGTTCGAGGCCGTCTTTTTGTACTGGCCGTCGGCCTTGTCCTGTGTGGAAATCAAATTTCGGGCGCCCCACGCCATCGACGCGATATTTTCTCCGTAGCTGCGTCTGCTCGATGGCGTGAAGTTTCCAGGCCATCGACGCGACATCATCGCCGTGACCGCTCGAATAACCCAACTCACTGGCTGATTTCCACACAGCTCTCGACCGTGAGGAACTTGACCTCGCCTTTGAACTCCATGGCGTCGCGGATCATGAGGGCGACGTCCTTGATCGTGACCTCCTTTTCTTCGGGTACGCTGAGGATTATGGGGTCCGTGCTGTCGTACGAGCGTAACACCCAGACCGTGAGAGCAGCCAAATCGCCGGAGTAGATGAACTGTCTGAGGGGCGAGCCGGTGCCCCAGACCTCGAAGGGCGTGCCGTTCTTCTTGGCCAGATAGCACTTGTGGATCAGGCCCGGGACGACGTGGCCGCCCTGGATCGAGTAGTTGTCGTGCGGCCCATAAATGTTCGTGGGAATGACGCTCGTGAAGTTGCACCCGTACTCGTCCTTGTAGCACCTATTCATGACGTCGATCATCCGTTTGGCGTACGCGTAGCCCTCGTTCGACAGGTGCGGCGCGCCGTCGTGGATCATCGTCTCGTCGATGGGATACGTCGTCTTGTCCGGGAAGATGCACGTCGACAAACAGGACACGAGCTTCTGCACTTTGTAGATGCGGCAGCACTCCATGACGTTGTCGTTCCTGCGACGGGGCCGCGTCGATGGCGTCAACGTCCACGCGTCGTACCGCGCGCTCTCTCTGCTCTCTGCTGCTCTCTGCCACGTAACGAGACACTGATAAAGTACATGAGCATATTTTCCCGGTAGAACTCGACCTTTTTCGACATATTCGCAAACAGGCCGCCGACCATCGCCGCGAGGTGGATGACGTGCGTCGGGCGCACGCGCTCGAAGATGGCCTCCGTGGCCTTGCGGTCGCGGAGGTCGCCGTCCTTCGACGACAGGAAGACCCAGGTCGCGTCCTTCTCCTCCGCCGAGCTGTCGACGTGTGCTCTAATAGCCATGCCATAGAGGCCCGAGCCGCCGGTGACCATGCAGACGACCTTGCCATTGGTTTCAGACATTTTGGCAGGCAGTCCGCTCAGCTGGGAGTTTTGTTAAATAATTGGATAAGTTGGGCCACGCGACGTGTGCTGGCTTTTGCAGCTCGGTCTCGCTGAGTGCTGGTCGCTCAGTTGCTGGATATCGCTTCGTCAAGCCTGCTCGTGCAGCCAGGCTGCCGAGACGCCGATATCGATGCCCGACGAGTCGACGCGCCGATTACTAGTGTCTCATTACGCTAGGACACCGTGCAAAAACATGGAATCAAAGCATACAGTATGGGTCCTCACGACTGATAACGTCGCCCGGGACGGATCTAGCTTGTCGACGATTATGCTCTTGTTTTGCATCAGTGAGAGTGCAAAGCTGGGCTCTCACGCCAGGCGGGTACGATTCGTGCTCAGTTAACGATTATTCATTGTCACAACAGCGCGCAGCGAACTGCACTAAAAAACTGCAGCTAGAAAGGCAAGCAACAGCACAGGGCCTGCTCACCTTAGTGCAGCATAGTGCAGCAAGCGCACGGCTGCGCCAGACCTGCTCACAACAAGCACAACAAGCACAACAAGCATACCACAGCACCGGAATATGTCAGCCCGCACCGCCGCCTTCAAAGCCGTCGTCGACGCGCTGAAGGCCCGAGGCAAGACGACCACCGTCGTCGAGAGCACGGCGGGCGGCCTCATCAGCAGCTCGATCATGGCCGTCGAGGGCTCGTCCGCCGTCTACCAGGGCGGCTCCGTGGCGTATAGTACGCAGAAGTGCAAGCCTGTCCTGCTGAATGACGCCGAGCTGCACGCGTCGCTCCTGAACGCCTCGGCGGCGGACGCCGCGTCGTACAAGGCGTCGAAGCGCGACTGGACGGCGAAGACGGCCGTCGCATACTGCGAGGCCATGGGGACGGACTACGCCGTCGCCGAGGGCGGGGCTGCCGGGCCGACGTTCCGGCCGAAGGGGCTGGATTCGGGGTTCTCGGCCATCGCCGTCGCCGCGCGGACCCCCGACGGGATCAAGGTCGTCCGCCAGACATTGTGCGAGAGTCCGCACGCGCGCCGCGGCGACAACATGGAAAGGTTCGCCACCGCCGCGGCGCGCGAGCTACTCGCCGCGGCGACGGGCGACGGCTTGGACCGCTGCGCGGGCGAGCGGGACAACGCCAAGGCCATCGCGGCTTACGCGTCACGCTCAGACGCTAGTTATGTCGTCTGCGACGGCGGGAAGGCGCTCTTCGAGGCCGACGGCAAGCTCGAGCGGCTGTCACGCGCCGATGCTGCGCGCTTCGGCGACGTCGCAACGGCCACGTTCCTGGGCACGCTCGACGGCGCGCCGCTCTTCGCCGTCGACGCGACCCTCGAGACGGACGACGCCCGCTTTAGGGATACAAGGGTACATGGACCATTCCTCAGCTTCAGCGAGAACCAGGTGGCCCTCGCGGCGACCGCTTTAGTGACTTGGAAGAGACGGTCAGGCTTCTGCTCCATCTGCGGGGGCCCCTGCACGCTCGGGTCCGCGGGCCACGCGCGCACCTGCCAGACCTGTAAAGCCGTCTCGTTTCCTAAAAGCGACCCGGCGATGATCTGCGCCGTGTCGAACCGCGCGAACGACAAGATCCTGCTGGCGCGGTCGCCGCGGCACCCCGAGGGCGTCATGACCACGTTAGCTGGCTTCGTCGAGGCGGGCGAGACCTTCGAGGCCTGCGTCGCGCGCGAGGTGCTGGAGGAGACGGGGGTCCGCATCGACGAGGGCTCCGTGCGCTACCTCAAGTCGCAGCCGTGGCCGTTTCCGCAGAGTTGCATGGTCGCGTTCCGAGCGACGGCGGACTGCGGCCAGGAACTCGTCTTAGATGATGAATTGCTCGAGGCGCGGTGGTGGGATCGCTCCGCCGTGCGGAGGGCCTGCGGCGTGCCCGGCGCGGTCATGTCGCCGGACGTTGCGAAGGAGGCCTTCGACAAGGACCCTTCCCTGGAGCTCCTCGTGCCGCCCAAGAAGGTCGTCGCGCGGGAGCTCATCGAGGCCTGGCTCTCAGAAACCTAAATTAAACTTAACAAGTACTAACTCTAGATACGCCCGTCACGTCGTCCGCACCGCGCTCGAAGTGCAGGACACCGGTGAAGAAGTCGAAGGCCGGCACACAAGCACCGGCCTCCGCGTGGAAGATGGCCAATACGACTGAGGAGGGGCAGGCGTCTTTGATACTCTTCTGCGCTACTGCTTTTGATGCGGGATCGAGCGGCGAAAAGATCTCGTCCAGGAGCAACAGGTCGGGGCACGGCATGCCTTTTTCGTGGGGCAAGAGGACCTGTCTCATTAGTTCAAACTTGACGCGCTGGCCGCCGGACAAGCTTCCGCAGAAGTCGTCCTGCTCCTCGGTTAGCAGCGTCGTGTTTGTGGACGCTCCGGGGTAGAAGTCCAGGGCATCGAGTAGTGATGCGACGTCGTCCACACTCGCCTCGACACGAGTAGTAGCCCAAGCTAAAGGTACGGCGTGGAGCGGGCAGTAGGGCTGCTGGGCGACGTGTATTAATGTACGAGGCACGGCCACGACGCCTTCATTTAAAACTAGTCCAGGCGGGGGCGCCGCGTCGCCGCGCGCGCAGGCTTGGAGTAGCGCAAATAGCGACGACTTGCCTCCACCATTCGGGCCGGACACGGCGAGGACGTCGCCCGGTTGTGCTGAAGCCTTGGCGCGGACCTTTGCCGCACCCCTCGAGAATGAAACGTCGAGCGCCAGGTCGCCAACGCTACAAGTTCGAGCTAACGACTCGTCCTCGTCATGCACTTCATCCAACGCCCGAGCGAAGGTCTCCAACCGTTCGACGTCCGCTAGCAACTCGCCGAGCTCCGCCTCCGCGCGACTCCGCGTCAGGAGCGTGTCGAGGCCGTCCTCCAAGGCGCGCGCCGTGACCCAGACCTCGCCCACGTCGATCAATCCTCTCTCGAGCAACCCAGCCAAGGCCACCTCGAGCGCCGGCGTGAGAAAATCGGACCAGTACAACCATCGCACGTACCTCCGGATCGTCTCGTAGAAGGTCCCAAAGGCCTTCTCGCGCTCGATCGAAGAAGCTAGAGACGCCCACCGTTCCTTGACGAAGGCCTCGCCGTCGGCGGCTCGGAGAGCGTCCGCATCTTGGACATCTCGCGCTTCCACCTTCGAACGCGTGGAGGCGAGCGTCTTGGCCACTTTCCTCCTACGTTCGACGGCTTGCGTGAGCGCCGCGATGCCTCTCGCTTTGGCCCCGTCCAACGCCAAGAAGACGGGCAAAGCTGCGAGAAACGCTTTGGGATGTCGAGAGATCATCGTTGGTAATAATAGAAGCTTGGGCACGGAGAAGACCTTCCGCGACGCCAATTCATAACATCTTCTAGCAGATGTCTCGAGCGTCGACGCGTGGGCTTCTAGCGTGAGATCCGAGGCCGCGACGGCGGTGAGAGCCCGCGCGTCGCCGCCGAGCACGCTGTCCAGGCGCAGCGATCTAGTGAGCGAATGCGTGTACCGTCTGAATGATAATTCGTAGGTCGCTTCCAGCGCCGTCCGCTGCACCAGGTACGGAATGGCCGCCGCCATCACAAAAGCGATGACCTTCCGGCCATACGGTTTCGCGCCGAGCGGCTTCTGGCCGCCCGCCCCCACCAACAGATTCTTCCGCCGCTGCGCCGCCCGCAGATAGTCGACGCCGAGCTGGCCCACGCCTAATTGGATGCGCAAACCGACGAAAACTAGAGCCACGGTCCGCTCGCGGAAGCCAGCACCGCCGACGGCCGCGAAGGCGCCGTAGGCCCGCTCGAGCTCCGCGACCGGCAGCAAGTAGCGAGCTACCCGCGGCCCGGCGACGAAGGCCCCGAGCCCCGCCACCAGCGCGGCGAGGAGACGTGTGAACTGTGGTCGTTGCGCCGCGGCGAGGCGCTCGACCAACTCGGCCTTCCGGCCCGTCGCGTCGGCGCCCGCGGCCTCGAGCGCGGCTCTCAGCTCAGAAACCTTCATCGTTTTGACGTCCGCGGCGTCAGTAGTTGTGGGTGCCGCGGCGTAGGCGACCGCGAGCGCGACGAAGGCCCGCAGCGCGAGGCCGCCGCGGCCGCAGGCGATGGCCGCGCCCGTTACGGTGGAAGCGACGACCGCGCCCAAGAGATGCTGCGGCGCGAGGAGCGACAGGACCTCGCAGGCAGTCGTGAGGGCCATGTCGCGCCAGTAGACGGCCGTCGCGAGGCGCTGGGCGTTCACGGCGGCGAGGCACGCGAGCAGTACTGCTTGCACGTAGACGACACCAAGGCGTTCCCGCCGGCCGCGGAGCGCGACCCGTGCAAAGGCTGTGCTGACGGGGATTGCTACTGCATCCCTTGCGAGGGCGACGAAGAGCTCCTCTGCCGTGAGCACCGTGAGCATGGTAGCGCAGCGATCGCTTGCGAAACGAGTGCACAGCGTTTGCACTCTCGCCGATGAATCGCTCTCGCGCAGCCGCCGGCGCCAAGGTGCACGCTGCTAGCGGTGGTAAGACACACTAGCAAGCCTTCAATATAAATACGCAAGGAGCACCCGCATCGGTGCGGCTAGAGATCGCTAGAGATCGCTGCGGAGACCTTTCAACAGATAACATTGCTGGCGAATCGATCGCCCGCTGCGCTCACTCCAACATGTCCTCTACAAACACAGCCACTCCAAGCAGCCCCAGCGCCGTCGACGCGGCGCCGCAGCCCTCGAGCACTCCCACTGGAAACATCTCCCGCGACGCCGTCGACGCGATGCCGCAGCCCAGCACACAAAAAGACGACGCCGACGAGACCTGCGACCCCGACGCCTTGTTGAGTCCGGACCGCGTCGCGTCGAGCCCGCTGCCCGGCGTCGTGCTGTTAAAAAACGCGTTGGACGAAGCCGGCCAGCGCGAGGCGCTGGCCTGGGCGCTGCGCCACGGCATCGACCGGAAAGCGTGGCTCGACGCCGACGGCGCGCTGAACGCGCCGCGCCAGTTCCGGGGGCGCTGCTATGATGCGGTGGAGGCCGTCGATCCCAGGGCCGGAGCGCTCAGCGACGCGCTGCAGGAAGCGGCGCGACGCGCGTATAAAGAGGTGGACCCGGTGGGCGCCTCGACCACACATTTGCTCATGCTCTTCTACGCGAAGCTCGAGCGCGGTCTCGGCTGGCACCGGGACAACGGCCGGTCCGACGGCCGCGACCTGACGCCCGTCGTGTCGCTGTCGCTCGGCGCGGCGTGCTCCTTCCGCATGAAGCACGGCCCCAACGATCCGGAGACGACGGTCGTGCTCGAATCGGGCGACGCGATCTTATTTGGAGGGCCCGCGCGGCACATCATGCACGCCGTCACGGACCTGCAAAAGGGCACGTGCCCGGCGCATCTCCGAGATATGGTAAGGGGCCGCGTGCCGGGCGACCCGGCCGAGTGGCGGCTCAATTTGACGTGGTGCGGCGCGGTGTGTCAATCATGACCTCCACGCCATCGACGCGGCGCCTGCTTGATGGCGTTCACTTTGATATCTGCGCGCAGGCGGCACGCGCCCGAATTACGAGGCCTCGAGGGCGGCGACCGCTTCCACATCCTCGGGTCGCCGACGGCGACCTTCGTCGCGACGGCGCGCGAGAAGGGGCTGGCCGCGGCGCGCGCCGAGGCGAACGCGCGGAAGCTCGCGCGCAAGCAGAAGAAGGCGCGGCGGCGCTTCGGTACGGACTGCGCGCTCGGCGCGGGCTGCGACCGGCCGTGCTGCGCGCCCCGGACGACGCGGACGCACCTCGACTTCGTGAAGCCGGCGGAGGAGGAGCCGCCGCCGCCGCCGCCGGCCTACCTCATGGTGCTGTACCTCGTGGGGCCGGTGGCGCTGGGGGTGGGGGCGGCGCGGGTGGCGCGGTGGGTTTTTGAGGGTGGTGCGTAAGTTTCGTACGTTTTTATGTTACACTCCTCGGGGGATGCAGCGGGTAGCCTTCGCGCCTAGGACGTGAGGACGGCGCCGCGAGGGCGGGTGTGGGGAACAGCAAAGGGATATGTGCACCCGATCAGACGTGGAGTCTGTGGGCCTGCCCGCCCGACGTGGAGTCGAGCGGGGGGATATAGATTGTCGTCTCATTTGCGGCAGACAATTCGGCGACATTCACTTTTGGGCTTCGAGGCTCATAAAAATCTTCCATCCATAAAAAGCTGCACGGGCAAATGTTGCCATCGCAATCCGGCCCAACGGCGCCACTGCACTCCTGGAGGCGCCGCTGGAACGTGCCCTCGACAAACGCGGCCGGCTCGCCCGCGCCGCCATGCGCCAGCGCGACCGATGGCTTCTCGTTCGACGCGAGGCCGAGGAAGCGGCTCTTGGCGTCTTCGGGGACGCTCAGGTCGCGGTCGCGGTTGCGGCCGCGGAGGTGCGCTTCAGGGAGCGCGTTCGCGGAGAGCACGAGACAAAAGAGGACAGTACGCATCTCTTTAAGCTTCGTATGCGTGCGAGTCTTCCTGTGCCTGCGTGAATCACTGCCGTCGCGGTTCGTGCCCTCAATGATTTTCGAGCCCGGGCGGCTCCGCGCGGGGCAAACCCCCTCAATTGACGACGCGGCGGCGCCGCACGAGACCTGGCCTGCTTACTTGTTTTCTCCTCAGAGCTGCGACGCGGCCAGGCAAGCCGTTCGACCAATCTGGCGTCACAAATATTAACTTGACAGTAATTGCCGCCCCGTCGGTTCCTCCAGAACTGCGTCGTCGCGGCTTGGATGGTGAACCCAGCTTGCTAGTGTCTCACAGGCCGCTAGGTTAATAACCCTAGAACCTTACCCCCCCAGCCGCCCAAGCAACCCCCGAGCTTGTTCCGCGACGGCCGCGTCGTCGAGCTTCTCCTCCGAAAGCATTTTCTGTAGAGCCGTCCGGATGGAAGCGGCGTGCGCCTGGATCGCCGGGTGGCCCTGGACGGCCAGGTCGATGAAGAACTGAGCACACGTAGAATTTTCCCCGGCGTCCTCCTGCAGAGGTAACCGAGGTAGCACGAGCCCGAGGACCTGGTCGACGGGCGCACTTTGAACATCCGCAGCACAAACGCGGAACATGGACGCCAGCGCGTTGTCCGAGGCCGCGGCGTCCTGGGCCTGGCGTTCCGCCTTTGAATTGTCCGCCCTTTGCACGAGTGGGAACAGCGCGTGCAACGCGCCCTGGAGATGAGGCTTCGCGTTCGCTGGGGCTCTTTCACACAGCGCTCCGAGGCCAAACGCCGCATTCCTCGCGACGTTCGCATGCTGATCTCCACAAGCCGACGCAAACAACGGTTGTAACGTGCCAAAATGCCGGTCCGCGGCCAGCTCCGGCGGTAATTCCACACAGAGCTCGGCGAAGCAGCCCAGGGCCATGGCCCGATCACTCGCTGAGCGCGAAGGCTGCGCATACCGCGCGAACGCTCTAAACATGGCGTCCGTCGCCTCGGTGCCTAAGCGCGCACCGGCGACCTTCGCGACGCCGCCACACAGGTCCGCGACGTTGTCCATCAGGACGTTATCATGGTCGTCGTCGTCGTCCTCGTCGTGGTCGTCGTCGTCCCCTAATAAAGTTTGGCAGGGCGCCTTGCCGTTCGCCAAGAGTATTAATGCTTCTAGTAACTGTGGTAGTCTACTCATGAAGGAGGACGGCCCCGCGTCCTGTATCAATTCATTCAACGATTCACAAGCGACGGCAGCGACGCTCTTGGCCGTGTCCTCCGCTATGAGTCGTAGGAGTAGCCCGACGCAGTCCTGGACGTAAACCGCGAGCTGGGGAGGGAGCACCGGCTCGTCGGACCCTTTCGTCCAGTTTATTGCTTTGGGCTCCTTCTCGTCGTTCGGCGGCGCCGCATATGAGGGATCCCTTGCGGGTCCCCCGTGCGCGAGACACGCACCGTGCACGAGTTGCTGCAGGGCGATCGCCGCGCGTTCCCGAATCTCGTGATGGAAATAATCTACTAGCACCTTGAGGCACTGGAGAGCTGAGTCTAAATGAGGCGCGAATAAGCCCTCCGTGTACTCGGCGAGGTTACCTAAGGCAACAATGGACGCGCGCTTCACGTTCATCATCGCCGTCCGGACGGTCACGACGGCCTGGCCCGCGAGCGAATCGTCGTCCGATTCCTCGCCCTCGTCGTCCTCCCATTGATCCCCGTCGTCGCCCTCATCTAAGAAGGCCGCATTGAAGCCGCCGCCCTCCTCGTCGTCGTCTTCCGCGAAATCGAACGACGCCGCGTCCTTCCTCGCGGCGACATCTAGGAGATGCGGCACGAGCTGCGGCAAAAGGGGTCCGAAATCGCTCCGCATGACCTTGGCGCAGTTCGCGAAGAAGCCGTAGGAGTATTCGGCTAATTCGGTAGAATCTAATTCCAAGTTTGCGGCGGCTGCCCTTAAAGCCGTATCTCTATACGGCGCAAATTTTCCATTCCCGACGGCTAATGCCACGTGGCCTAGCGCTTCTAGCGACCGGCCGCGCAGCTCCCAGGCCCGCTCTTCCCCGAGCTCGACCATGGCGGCTAGTCGCGGCGCCGTGCCCTCCAAGTAAGGGCCGAACTTGTCCGACGCCGCGACGGCCGCGGAACCGACCGCCGCGGCCGCCATCTCCCGGATCCCTAACAAGCGATGGTCCAACAGAGGCACGAGTCTACACATGAGCGGTTCCAACAAGGGCTGCAACTGGTCCGAGTCCATGCTCTCGCAAAAAGTTTCCAGCACATAACAAGCAGTCCCAACAACAGCGGCCCGCTGGTCGTTCAGGAACTCGAAGACGACCGGAATCACGGCGTTGGAATGGCCGATGATCTCGGGCTGGCAGTGCTCGGCTAATTGGCCGTAGGCGAAGCAGAGGCACTCTCTGGTAGGCGCGTCCGTCGCTTTTTGAGCAGCTTGGGCCAACTTCGCCAACACGCTACCAAGGTGGTGCTCCCGGAGCGGGTCCTGGAACCCCTCCGCCACGACGCCCACCGCCGCAGCGCCCGCCCGCCGCGTACTGTCGTCTGGCGCGTCAAGGCATTGGAAAGCCAAACCCAGTGACGGCTCGAGGGACCACTTGTGGGGCACGTGCAAAGCGATCTGATCTAGAGTAGTTTGAGCTAACTCTTGGGACGAAGGGCCTTCATACGCCTCGTCGTCGCTATCGTCATCGTCGCCACCGACGAGCCCTTGGGCGACCCTAGCTGCCTGCGCTAGTGCTTTCTCCTCCTGTCTCAGGCGCTGCAAAGGTGTGGAGACGAACAACGCCCCGGCACCCCCGCCGGACTTGGCCGAAGCATCCGCCCTAACCATGATCTCGCAGCACGCATGAACCACTGGTGTCACCAGATTAGCTTTTCCTAACAGCTTGGGCTTCCACTCGGCGATGCAGCCCACCACACTGGCGGCGCCGTCCCTTGTGGTTCGTTCGAGGTCATCATCTGAGGCTTTCATCACCTCCAGCGACAGAGACACGACGGTCGTAATGTGCGGGGTTAACACGGGCACCGGCGTCTGCGCTAACTCGCTGAAACAGTCGAAGAACTGCCTCAGGACGTTGTCGTCCTTGGCTAAAGCGGCTTGGCGTGCTACGGCCACCATCGGAGGCACGAGGTCTCGGAAGAGGAGCGCCTCGTCGTCCGTCGAGAGGGTCTGCACAAATGCACAGCACGCTCTCAGAGCGGCGACGGCGACCGGTCGTTCCTGGTCTTGCAAGGCAGTTTGGAACAAACCCGCTAGTCTTGGCAGTTCCGGGGCTAGCGCGGTTGCTACGGTTTCCGACAGCTGCACCAGCAAGATGTACGCCAGCTCCCGATGGTTCCAGTCCGCATGCGTGGCGCACTGCGAGATGAACTGGAGGAGCTCGGGCCACTTGTTGGAAGGGAGTAATATCTTAGCAAGAGCAGACGCTAAGGCAGCAACGGACTTCCGAACAGCCCTTTCCGGCTCCGACGCCAATCTTTCAAGCAATAGACCTTTGGTCCTTTCACGAGCGTTCTTCTTGACCTTCTTCCAGAGCTTGCCGATTTTTTTGCGTAAAATTACCGCTGCGATCTGGCGGACGGCCGGATTCTCGGAACGCGACACCTGCGTCGTCAATAGCCCCACAGATTCAGGTCGTTTCAGCACCGGCTTCAGGGCGTCCTCGGCCTGCTTGATGCGCGTCGTGTCCGGCGCGGTTAAAGCTGCTAGTATCTCGCCGAGCTGCTGGTCGTTCTGTCCCAGAGCTACCGCCATGACGCGTTTCGGTATCGCACCACTGGCAGCGACTTTCTTGCGTCTCGCCGGCTCGCGGCGTCGCCTGTCCTCCCGGAGAGTGGAGGTGCTGCTATTATCGCTTTAGCTTTGCTCTGCCGTGAGCGCAAGCTATTGATCGCGATTCGTGCACCACGCCTTATTGCAGCACAAATGCGCCTTCTTGCAGCAACCACACTTTCAGTGTCCTCGCAGACGCTGCTATGGCGATGCCTGCCTTGGCTGCTTTGTGACTGAAAATGCAGTGAAAAAATAAGGCAAACACTCGTCGAGAACGCGTCCACGAGCTCTAGACAACACACGAATCCCTCGCAGCGGGCCTGCGCCGGGGTTCGGGTTCGTGCACCAGCTGATCAACAGACAGACTTGCCCATTCGGTGCTGCCCGCGTCGTCGTGGACCAACGACCGTCCACGGGTCGCGTTCGACGCAAGTGCTGCCTGCCGCACGCGCACGCGCCGCAAGCACGCTGCCTCGGGCCGCGCTGGTGGTGAAAGGGCTGCCCCAGCTCCAACGATACCGGACGCGCACGCTGCCTCGAGCTACCGAAGGTACAGCAAGGTGCCAGCCCGTAGAACAATGGCAGCAACCCCATCAGTAATAAGAACGGCAGACGAGACGGACCAATCGATCCAGGACGCACCGAAAACAGTACGACTCCTCATCCAGTCGTATGAACCAACGCGCAGAAGCACTACTGAGGGACGGGGCAAACCGTACGTTAGAGCTCACGTTCGTGGCACCGAGGGCTTCCAGAAGACGCGCGGCGCGTCCCGAGATGCCGATGGAACAGCTAGGTGGTTCGAGGCCCAGGAGCTCGAGCTGGACATCAGCACTGGAAGGATCGTGAAGTTGTCATTTGTCGACGAGGCTGGAAGGTCCACGGAAGGAGAGATAGCCCTGGGACCGCTACTACAGGAGTTCGTCCAATCACCCTGCGGTGTGGTCCGGCGGTGCGTCACGTGCGTCGATCCCTTGGATGAACTGGAGGCGCTGGCGGACAACGAGGACGTGCGGTATGCTTCCAGTTCTGGTGTTTTGCGCTTCGGCGTCGTTTTTCTGACTGATGATAAGCCGCAAGCGCCACCGCCTCCACGAGTCAAAGCGCGCGTGAGGATCCGCTTCGAAGCCGGTGACGCCGTGGTCAAGGCAGCGTTGTGTGCGTCGGGCAAAGTGGTCGAGTGCTCCCTAACAGAAGCGAGGACCGTGGTCTTACGGTCCAGCCACGCGGAGATTGATGTACTATGTATATCGACATCAGAAGGTTCCCTCAGAGTGCCCCTCGGGCTCTTACCAGATGGTAAGTATCCGACGGAAACGTGGTCCGTCGGTAGTGATGTGCAGCTGAGTTTACGCGTGGAGCGCGCGTCCGAGGAACGGCCCGCCACGCCCGCGTCGCCGGGCGTACCGGTAGAACAAAAGCCGAAGCCTACCCAAAGGCGCGTCATCGCCACGGCCGCCAAACGCATCGAGCGGACCGTCCCCATCCGCTGCTCGTTGGTCGGCGTGCAAGAAGATCATGAATTGGTGGACTGCGACCGCTGGCGGCTCATCGCGACGATCGACGGGAAGGGGCCTCGCCGCGTCGACGGCGCGTCGCTCGTCTTCGACGCCAAAAGGCACTCATTTTTGGACGTCGCTTTAGGACGAACGACGACGCATTCCTCGTTCGTCGGTGATGGTTCCACCCAAATCCACGCTCCTGCCATATCGTTGGATGCTTTAGTCCAGATTGGTGGGGAATGTGTCGTGTGGCTGCCTTTGATGGAGTCGCACGCGGAGCTCGGCCTGAAGCCCCAAATAGGCGTGCGCATACGCGTCAACGGCCCTCGGTCGTTCAAGCGGCGGCCGTTCCGAGGATGGGTGCATTGCGTGGCCATTTGCCAACAAGGGCCCGTGTCATTAGCTCTCGAAGGATCAACAGAGGAGATGCCGCCCTGGCCCGACGCGGAGAACGGGGTGGTGCTACCTTTACGGGTCGCGAATTCGAGCGACGCGGCGACGGTCTCACTGGAAGTATCGTTAGGGGACGCCGTGGGTTCTCTGCCGCTCACGACGTCGATCCTAGACGGCGGCGACGTCGCGTCGGCGACTCTCGACTTGTTAAGGGATGAAGAGTGTGTCTCGACGGCGCGCGTGACCGTGCAGGCGCTGCCGGGCGAAACACTACTATCTAGAAAGCTCGCCACGCAAGAACAAACACAAGTGGATCCGCGGCGACTCTCGGTCAAAGTCAAAGGCGCCCGGTTCCTGGAGCACCCTAGGTGTCGAGGTAGAATAGAAGCCTACGTCAAGCTAGCTTTGCTATGTGGCGACGATGAGACACAGGCAAGAGGCTCGGTAGCTACCAGAGGCACGGACACGCACCCCCAGTGGGACGAAGATGTACTGTTGAGCTTACCTAGAGCTTTATCCTTGCTGCTAGATGCGCCGGATTTGCGGAACATGGAGCCGCCTTCACTCACTTTGACAGTTGTGGCGTCGACGATGCCGTCACATGATGACAATATAGGCCACGCTTCTCTCAGAGTGCCGTGGCCGACGTTTACGTCCAGTGAAGAACAGGCTACTTTAGAATTGCGCGACCAGGCGGGCGCCTTCCGCGGCGAGGTCGACGTATGTATCACAATGGCAACAGAAAAAACGTCGACGCCGTCGATGCTCTTCCTCGCCACGTCCTGTAAGGCGCCTTTGTCGTTAGAGTCGAGCGGCCGCACGTGCGCCTCCACGAACGCGTTGTGGCCCTTGACGGGTCGAGACGACGACGCGTTAGTTGTGGAGCGTATCGATGGCGCGGGTCTCGCCGACTTGAGCGACCTCGCGCTGCGAGCGTTGGCGCATCCGGGTACGGTCGAGACCTGCGAGGATACATTAGGAAGGGGCCACCAGGCCTCGCATGTACAATGCGAGGCTTGTGTGCTGAGACCGGCAACTGGGTCGTTGGAAGTCGTCGTGGAAGCTTTGGACCTCGACGAGCAGGCCTGCGAGCGGGCCGCGAGACTGACGGACGGCGAGGCCGACGCGCCCTCGCTACCGTCGCGGACGTTTTGTAGGGTATCGGTCAAAGGTTCATTAGGACACGGTGCTCATACACGAAGTACTACATCATTGGTGGGCAAGGCGGCCTTCGGAGGACCCCATGCGGAGAAGCTTTCACTGGAAATCGACGCTTCTCGACTGATTGATCCGCTGTTTGTGGCGCCTTCATTGGAAATAGCTGTCTTAGATGAACGAGGTGGATGGAGGAATAGGGTAGCGAAGGGTTCGGTGGCCTTGGCGCCGTTGATTGCTTTGTCTACAGAACGCAGTAAAGAAACGCGAGGCCTCGTCCTTGCACTCGAAGACCCGGTCACTGGTGCTCAAAGAGGCTCGTGTACCCTATCCTGCGCCTTCAAGGCCGTCGCCATCGCAAGTGTTGGAGCACCGACACCCTCGCAGTGCGCCTCCGCGGCTCTGCTCAAAAAAGTGTTTTTCGATTGTGACGGCGGGCCGTCCCATCCGGTCCCACGTTCCGTGTTACTGGCTTCCTTGGATAGTAACGATGCGCCGTGGGCGTCGATCTTGGATCTCGTGCAAGCTACGTCAGAAGTAACGTGGGATGTGTGGCGCGATGTCGTCTCCACAGTAAGTACGCGGGCGGACCTACTCGCTGCCATCGCGACCTCATCTCAGAAGAGGACCGTGAAGCGGAAACGGGGCGGCGGCCCCGGCGTTGTGTTTTCATTGGCCTTTTCTGCTGCTTCCCAGATCGCTCTCAAAACTGATGCTGCAGAGAAATGTATAGTGCGAGGCGCCGAATTATTGTTAAGGGGTGTCGACGGCCGAGTCGTGTCCGTCGTTGGAAGTTCGTGCGCCGTGTCTATTGGTAGAGCCGGTTTTGATGGAGATGGGGTGAAGAAGGTATTGAGTGAGGTCGACGGTGAGGCGCCGCTCGGGGCTGCCGTTTTGAGGACGCTCGGCCCTTGTACGCTGTCAAATGTGAAGATAGGAGCTGGAGCCGATAAGATAAGGAGTACCACTACTCAAAAAAGGGCGTGGGACCCCACTCTGACGCAGGACAGTGTGCGAGACGACGCGAAAACAAGGGCGGCCATTGCTGTTGCTAGGGATGCTCGTAGAGCATTACGACGAGAAAAGAAGGTGCTGGAGGCCGTGGTTTGTGCGGGTGGCGGTAAGAGGGCCGCCGCGGCGCTATTGCTGGCTGCGACCGAGACGGTGCGGACGCCGACGCCCAAAAAGGGGAGGACGCCGCGGTCGTCTATTCGCAGAACGCCGCCGTCCTCGAGAAGGCGGTCGCATGACGACGCCCTCTCGCCCTCGAGCGTCTGGGCGGCCCACGCGCGCGAGGGCGCGGCGATGGAGCGCGAGTCGCTCGTGAACGAGGCTGAAGCTTTAAAGGCCCAGGCCGAGACAAGTGCTGAGTTAGCTGACGGGTTCAGGAGGGCGGCAAAACGCGCCGCCGACGACCTGGAGGACGCGAGAAGGCGCGACGCCGAGGCCGAAGCTCGACTACGGGCCGCGGAGAAAGCTCGTAGAGCCGCGTCGGCCGCGCTGGAAAGGAGGGATGCGGAATTACGGGAAGTCCGCGCGAAGAAGCGCGCCGACGCGAAACGGGAGGTGTTTCGGCGCGACTACGCGGCGAAGGCGGCTTTGCGCGTCGAGGAGGCGGCGAAGGAGCAGGATAGCGCGGCGCGCGTGTTCCAACGGAGGGCGCGGCCCTTCCTGGCGAAGAAGCTTGTTGAAAGGGAACGGGAGGAGGTCGTGGAGAGGAAGAAGGCCGCGTCTACTTTAGTGAAACGGCGGCGGGAGGTCATCGGGCAGCGCCAGGAGAAGAAGGCGGCGACGTGCGTCCAGAAGACTTATAGAGGTCTCACGGCGCGGCGCGCGGTGAAGCGGCCCGTTCCTGTTGTCGCTGCGCCGGTGCCCGCCTGTGTGGAAATCAACCAGTGAGTTAGGTTGCGAGAGACCTCCGTCAACCTTTACGCCATCGAGCAGACGCGGTGACAGGGATATCATTGCGTCGTCGGCGTGGGGCGCCTGAATTTGATTTCCACACAGGTGCCAGCGCCGACACCCGCCCCGGAGCCGAAGTCGCCGTCCGCGGCGCAACGCTCAGCGAAGAAGCCCACCGTCGTCGCTGCCCCGGCGCCCGCGCCGGCGCCGACCGCGCCGAAGCCGGTACCGGTCAAGTCGCCGCCCGCGGCGCGTCCAGCTTCGCCGGACCCCATTGTGCTGCGGGAGAACGAGCGACGGGCCGCGGCGCGGCGGGCGACGCGCGCCGAGGACATCCTGCGCAAGCGGCGCGCGGAATTACAAAGGGAGGCGGAGCTGCGCGCCGAGAAAGCCGCCGACGATAGGAGGCGGCGCGCGTACCTCAGCGGGGCCTCTTGTCTGTACCGTGGCGTGGAGCGTGTGGTGCTGCGGCGTTGTCGTGAATTCTTCGTGAGCTGGCGGCGGGGCGGTAGGGCGCCCACCGTACGGCGACGGCGCACGCGTCGTAAGGGCGACGACCGCGAAGCTTACCGCCGCGCCGAGGCGAACCGGGATCTCGAGGCGGAACGCTCATCAGCGCTCGAGCGTGCTGAGATCGCGCGGGCCCGGGCGGACGCCGAGGAGGCGCGACTGCGGCTTGCGCGCAGAGAGGCCGATGCTGCAGACGCGAGGCTTCGGGAGCTGGAGCGACGGAGGCACGAAATGGTGCGGGCGTCGCAACGGGCGTCCCCGCCGACGACGCCGCGCCGCGACGCTCCAGCTAGGCCCGGCCTGAGCCAACTCGTGACCCGGCCCGAGCCTTCTCCAGAAAAACCTGCCGAGGACGACTCGTTCCCGTCCTTTCACAAGGAGCCGACGCCCCGGGACCCTACGCCCCGACGCGCTGTCGCGCCGTCGCCGCGTGTCGAGCCAGATCCGGTCGTTCCGTCGCCGCGCGTCGACGAGCCATCAGTGGCCCACCTCGAGCACACGCCCGAGCCGACGCCGCGGCAGTGGCCGCCCTTCGGGCAGGCCCTGATCGGCGCACATGTCAAAATTAATGTCAAGGGCGTCTGGCTACGTGGCGAGATCACGGACGTGGCCGCCGCGATGCCAGAGTTGGAAGGCGGCAACGGCGTCTGTATTCATGTGAACGACGCGGGCGAGGACGAGTGGCATGAGTACGGGAGCGACGAGGTCCGTATACTAACGGACGAGGAAATATATGTTCATCCGCGGCCGCCCTTCGGGGAAGAGCTTGTCGGAAACTTCGTCCAGGTCCACGTGGCGGGCGCGTGGCTCAACGCGGTGATTACGGAGGTCGACGCGGACCACAATGGCCATGAAGAAATCTGCATCCAATACGCGCAATATAAATCGGCGGATCCGGAGTGGCATCTCTACGACAGCGAGGACATCATCTACCGCGATGACCCTACGACACCAGGAGCGAGTCACATGAGTCGCGCAACGCCCGAAAATGATCCTGAGTCGCCGCGGGTCATCGACGCGACGCCCCAGCGAGTGCCTGCCGAGGCGCCGAATGTCATCTCGGAGTGGAAAAAAACCGATCGAGCATGGCCTCCCTTCTCAGAAGACCTCGTGGGCTCCTCGGTAAAGGTCCTCGTCGACGGGGCGTCGCTGGCGGCCGAAATTATTGAAGTCGCGGAGGCCATGGCCGAGCTGGACGGCCTCAACGGCGTCTGCATCCGCTTCCGCGACGACGAGCACGCCGACGAGGAGTGGCACGAGTACGGGACCGAGGACATCCTCTTCGTGCGCGAGGAGCCGGTGGCGAGCCCGGGGAGTTTCTTCCGGTAAGAGAATGTCTGATATGATACTCCCCTAGACCCGAATATTTGCGCTATTTGCGGCGATACTTTTAGGCACTTTAGGCAAATACGCGGTCACTGCGAGTCTATAATAGACGTGCATTGCCACAGAGCACCAACTTCTTATCCCAACTCGCATCCCTGCTCGATCTGCAGTCCTGCACGCGTTAGCGCGTAAACAAGGGCTGACCGTGCGCTACAGCAACCACAGCAAATTGCGTCGCAGCGTGCCAAAGGACACATTCCACGCCGCCACCAGCAAGCTAGAAGTGCGCACCATGGGCTCGAAAAAGCTCATCGCGAAACTCACGACAAAACTCGGCCGCGCGCCCACGGCCGACGAAGTGGCCAAGGCCAAAGCCAAGAAGGAGAAGAAAAAGGCGAAGCGCGCTGCTGCCGACGACACGCCGCCGCCCAGCAAGAAGGCCAAGACCAACGGCAAAGCGGGGAAGACGGACACCGCTGCCTGGCGCAAGACTCATGACGTCAAAGTCGAGCCCGACGACGGCTCCTTCGCGCCGCAGGGCACGTGGCGCGAGGCGCGCAGCAGCGTGGCCGAGCCGCTCGTGGCCCAGTGCGAGGGCAAGGGCTGGGCGAGTCCCACGCCCGTGCAGGCGCAGTGCTGGCCGGTCCTGAGCCAGGGGAGAGATGTAGTGGCCGTGGCCGAGACGGGCTCGGGGAAAACCCTAGCTTTTGGCCTGCCAGCGCTGTCGAAATTCGCCGCCGACGACGCAAAGGCACCCCGCAAAAACCGGCAGCCCGCGATGCTCGTGCTGGCGCCGACGCGCGAGCTCGCCTGCCAGTCCTACGAAGTCTTAGATGAGTTCTGCAAGATCGTCGGCGCGCGCTGCGCCGTGGCCTATGGGGGCGCGCCGCGCCACGAACAGCAGAGAACGCTCAAGAACTGCGCGGCGCTCGTCGCGACCCCGGGCCGCCTCAAGGACTTCATCGACGACGGAAGCTTGGACCAGTGCACAAATCAAATTTCGCGGCGCTTCTCCGCTCACGGCTGAATCCGCCATCGACTCACTGGTTGATTTGCGCACAGGTGTGGACCTCTCGAAGGTGCGGTTTTTGTGTTTTGACGAAGCTGATAGGATGTTGGACATGGGGTTCATAGATGCTGTGAGAGCTATAGCCGGCGCATGCTCATTGCCCAACAAGCTCGTGTGCATGTTTTCCGCGACCTGGCCCCCGGACGTGCGCAAGGTCGCCGACGACTTCCTAAGCGCGGACCACGTCCGCTGCGTCGTCGGCGCCAAGCGTCTAGAATCCTCGGGCCCAGAAGCGAACCGCCGCGTGGCGCAGACGGTCGTCGTCTGCGAGCAGCGGGCCCGCGACGGGAAATTGATCGAGCTCCTACGCAAAAGGTACCCTCAGGGAGGTGCCAGTTCGCACTACTCACGGTCTAGGCTCATCGTCTTCGGGCTCTACAAGAAGGAGTGCGCCAGACTCGAATCGGACCTCAATCGAAAGGGCTGGCGGTGTGTTGCCATACACGGCGACATGAGCCAAGCGGCACGAACCAAAGCTTTCGATGATTTCAGAGGGGGCAAGGTACCGCTCCTGGTCGCGACGGACGTCGCCGCTCGAGGCCTAGATATCCCCGACGTTGAACTAGTGGTGAACTACTCGTTCCCGCTGACGATCGAGGACTACGTGCACCGTGTCGGGCGGACCGGCCGGGCGGGCAAGAGCGGCGCGGCGCACACGTTCTTCCACGGTGATGGCCATGAGAAGGCGCTCGCAGGGGCATTGCAAAATGTGCTTCGTGCCGCGGGCGCCACGGTGCCACCCGAGCTCCTAAAGTTCGGTTCCACGGTCAAGAAGAAGGAAGACAAGAACTACGGAGCCTTCGGGCCGCGCGCGGACCTCGCCGGCAAAAAGGCGACGAAGATCGTATTCGACTAAGAAAAGCTACTACTACTAGTAATCCCGAAAAAGAAAACTCGGATAGATACGATCAGGACAACACCGCGCCGTCGGACAGCTCTAGCCCCGGCGAGTCTTCCGGCGCGACGCCGACGCGCAGGCCCGACGCGTCGCGCGCAGCGGAAGCATCGCCCTCCGCGTCCGTCAAAGCGAGGATTGATAAACACAAATCGTTGATGATCGAGTCGACCGCGAAGAGGACGAGAGGCTGCGCGAAGCCTATGGCAGGGTTAAGGTAGCACACCAGCGTCGAGAACACCGCGACAAACGTTGCGATAAGCACGCGTCGCGTCTGCGCGCGCAGCGCCGGGTCCCCGACGCCGAGTTGCCGGTCGGCGTGCCACAGGGGCCGCAGGAACGCGTAGCACAGGCACACGGAGACAGATACGTGCAAGCATCCGATCAGTGCCATGACCGACCCCGTAAATAAAGTCGCCGCTTCTAATGCGCGTCCTTGTAAGTTTTTTCGACCTTGTTCGTCGCTCGTGACGAAATTCTTAGCTAGGTCGTACTGCAAACAGTACCTGGGGTGGAAAACCGAAGTGAGTCGCCGCGATATTTGATTTCCGCACGGGCTTGGACGTGAGTATCGTCTGTAACGATATGATAAATAGCTGGCAGCCCACGACCCACCGCAGGACCTTCAAGGTCCGCGGCGACGGCCCGCCCGGCACGCCTCCCAAGAGGTGGACGCGGCAGACCAGCACGAGCTCGAGCACAATGTTAGTCACGATGCCCATCAAGAGTCCTGCGATGTACGTGGCGCAGCTGTGGGCGGCGCCCTCGGGCGTCACCTCGTCGCCGTAAACGTGGGGCCAGTTCCTCGAGAACGATCCCTTTTCACCCGCGCACCAGCCCTTGAATCCATCAAGCCACTCCCAAGCGCCGCCGACGATGTCCGCCACCGTCGGGTTCGGGCTCTCGCAGTCGCAGTCGTAGGCGCGCGTAGTTTGTACGTTGTGGTGCTCGCCTGTGTGGAAATCAACCAGTGTGTCAGGTGCACATTTCTCGACGATGACGCGGCCGTGCTGGCTCCGTCGAGCGGCGAGGAACCGGCACCGCCACGCCATCGAGCAGGCGGCGAGGAACCGGCACCGCCACGCCATCGAGCAGGCATCGCGTCGATGGCGTGAACGCGCCGTAAAATTTTGATTTCCACACAGGTGTTCGCATCGCCACGTCATGAAGCTACAGAAGACGGCGAGGTTCGTGAAAAGTTGGATCACGAAGTACGCCACGAGAGCCTTGAGGTAGGCGCGGAACGGCGTCGAAGCCGCGTCCTCGTCGCTCCGGCGGAAGTCTCGCCGGATCAAGAGCGCCGCGGCCACGCCGAACGCCGAGGCGGCGACGGCGAGGAGATACAGCGCGTAGAGGCTCGCAAAATCGTTGTCCTGCGCCCACCAATCCCAATATGGCGGCGCGTAACTCGGGAGCCCCATATAGAAATCGCGGCGCCACCGGCAGCCGCGAATGTCGCAGGCCCACCGGCCACCACCCCGTTGCGTGTCCTCGTACGCGCGGTCGCAAGTGCAACTGCCGTCCGTGGCGCTACGCCGCGATTCGCAGCGCCCGGCCGCGCAGGTCGCAGCTTCGACGGTGAACGCGTCCCCGGCGCAACTCGCGCACGTGGTGTCCTCCTCGCACAACGATAAATCACGAAGCGTATAGTTACGCGCCCAGTAATCATGGTCTCGAAAAGCTTGGGCGTACGACTCGTCGTAGGGGACGAACAGGGTCGTCTTGTTGGAGAGATTCTGGCAGCAGGGGGGCAGTACGGCGTCGTCGCTGTGCCACGTCCACGTCCACCCCCACTTAATCCTTTCTCTGTAGACGCCGCCCCCGGGCCGGGCCGCGTTCACGCTGTACTGCTGCACGACCCAGCAGCCCGTGCCGGCGCTCGCGTCGGCGGTCTCAGATACGAGCTCGGCGTACACCGGGAGCAGCAATAACACGGCAACGACCGAGCATGCGATCGATGCAAGCCACTTGTGGGCCAGCACGCGCTCCTCGATTCGAATTCGGTCGGAGCTGCTGCTGTCCTTGGCAGCGGCCATGCTTGCCCTGTCTCTGTTTCAGTGCAGCAGCAATGCAAAGCAGAGCACTGATGGGTGGCTTTGTTTCCCTGGAGCTGGGCTTAGGGCAGCCTGGGGCGTGAATCGTTCGATAGCTTTGTCTTGGTATTGCTGGCTGCCCCCTTTTGAGTCGTCGAGCCGTTTGCACGCTTTTGCAAAGAGCCCAAAAAGGCGCTGATCTTTGGCAAATCTGATCTGCCGTGCGGGACGGGATGCGCCGGATGATCTGCCGGATGGCTCCTCCTCCGGAGGTTTCTCCGAGCCATCAGTACCGAACCCCAACAATACGCAAGCCAGCCGCCGGCTCGGGCGCCGACGTCAGAGACGCCAACGCGCGGGCCCGGCGTCGGAGCGTCGGTAGAAAACCCCTACTACATCAAGGATTACTAGGACTCAAAATTACAAAATCTAGCACGGCGGCGGCGGCTCGTCGTCGTCGTCGGCCGCGGCAACAACGGCTGGGGGCGGCGGCGGGTCGTCGACGCGCCGCGTCGACACGGCGGCCATGCCATCCTTCTTCCGTCGCGACGACGAGTCCTTGACCATGAGGTCGGCCATCGACGCGGACAAAGCGGGCCGCCGGTTGTCCAACGGCTTCGCGTGGACGCCGACGCTCTGCTTCTTTGTCGGCGCCCCCAGGCCCGGTTTCCGTTCGCCGTTCAGGCGTTGCAGGCGCTCCTCCTTCTCGGCACGCGCTTTGCTCTTCCCGAACAAGGTCGGCGCGTTCTCATTTATTTTGGGCATCTCGATAAGTAGGTGACCGGTAACCTTAGATCTCTTGGCCGTCGACAGCGACGCGTTCACCTCGGACGGTAATTTCAGTCTCAAGACCTTGGACTTGATCACGACCGACACATACGCAGGGTGGATGTCGAGGTCTATCAATGATGAATCTAAGTGACGCGACACATGTAAGTCCAGAATAATACTACCTTTGACGGACTCCTCGTCGAAATGAAACTCCCACTTGCCCTCGTTGCACTGCAGGATTTTCCCTTCCTCCTCCCGTTGCCTTACTCTCTCGACTTTTTTGCGCTGCTCGCCGGCGTGGTCGCGCTCCCGGGGCTGGCGTCGCAGCTCGCGGTTCTCCTTCTCAGCCTTCTCCTCGGCGAGCTCCTCGTACATCTTCAGGCGCACCTGCGTGGGTATCGCGAGTCGCCGCCGCGACGCGTCGAAGGACGCCGCATACCGTACCTCCGGCGTATAGGGGGCTTTTTCGTCCGTATCAATATCCCGATAATCGACAAACTCTTTCTGAGCCTTCTCGTCGCGCTTCTCCTGGGCTAGTGACCGCAGCTCGACGGCGAGCTTCGGCAGCTGCTGCTTCGCGATGATCTGCATTGACCGTGTTATTGCCTCCCCATCGAGGAATTGCAACTGCGGCAAGCGCGCAATCACATAGTTCTTGAAGCCCGGCCAGTTCGCCTCACAAGGGTTGCCCATCATGTAGAGGTCTTTCAAGTGTTCTCTGTCTGCGAGGTGGTCCATACTGGACTCCAATTCATCAACATCGACGAAATTCACGGTTAAATCTAACTTGTTGAGGAACTCGCACTTATCTAAGCCTTCGATTTTCGAGACGTTGTTCAGGGCCATGTTCAAGTACTCCAGATCTTTTAAATGATGCAAGTGTTGGATCTTCGAAATGATGTTGTTTTGCAGGTAGAGGATTTTGAGCTTCCGGCACGTCGTCCCGAGACACGGCTCGATGGCCACCAACTCCTCCTGGTGCAACGTGAGCTCCTCAAGGGTAGATATAATCCCTTCGTTGTGCTCGGCGCGCTTTCGGATCAATTTCAGGGTCATCCTATTCATGCCTTTTTTGGGCGGCGGGTACTTGTCCTCCGCATCAGGATCGGGGACCCAGATGCCATCGCTCGCCATCGTGGCGGGAGGCCGCGGCGGCGTACGGTATCCGGCTACGCGGCTGCCTTGTGTGCCAGGAGGGCTGCGACGACGGCGTGAGCGCTGCGCCAAGCCCTAGCAAAGCTTGGCGGCTGCCTCTTAATGCCAGTGAACGACGCTTTGCGTGCAGATAGGCGGTTCACGCGCCATGCAGAGCTTTGGAGCTCTTTTAGCTAGCGGCATGTAAGACACTAGGAATATCAGTGCAGGCGTGTGCGCAGGCCTACACGCAAGCGCTGGAGCCCAGCGCTGGAGCACACTACTGTTTTCGACACCTGAGAGCAGCGCGCAAGCCGCAGCGCTGCGAAGAGACGAATTGAGATCGTGGAGTGAGGACACCATGGCATCCAGAGCTGCAGCTCTCGCATACCTCGTCCACACGGCTGCATTCCTCGCGCCGAGGACGCCCACGCAGCGATGCCCACTTCGTGCGAGCGTCGACGCGCGCGACGCGGGCGGCGAGACGCCGCTCATCAAGGCCGCCGAGGCGGGAGACTGCGATGCCGTAGCCAGCCTCTTACAACAAGGCGCCGACGCGACGGCCGAGAGCTACACGCAGTGGACAGCACTACATGGCGCCGCGGAGGCTGGCTGTGTGGAGTGCCTAAAACTGCTCCTCGGCGCGGGCGCCCGAAGCGACGCGCGGGCGAAGAGCGGCCTGACGCCCGCGGGCATCGCAAAGAAGTACGGGCGAGACGCGGCGTTCGAGCTGCTCTCCCAGACGCCTCTAGATACGTACCCCGTTGCGGTGCCCGAGACCGGCGGGAAGATAATCATAACCCCGTGCCCGGGCAAGCGCCAGAGAGACTTAGGTTTGGATCTCGACCACCTGAAAGGCATGGGTGCCGAGGCGGTCATCACCATGGTCCAGGACCGCGAGCTCGACCTGCTGAGCGTGCGCGACATCGGTGAAAAGTGCGAGGAGCGCGGCCTCATCTGGCTCCACTGCCCGATCCCGGATTTTGACGGACCGGGGGCCGCCTTCGAGAGGGCCTGGGCGGACGCGGGCCCGCGGGCGCGGGACATCCTGCGGCGGGGCGGCACGGTCGTGAGCCACTGCCGCGGCGGCATCGGCCGCGCGGGCACGGTCGCCTCTCGACTACTGATCGAGCTCGGCGCCGCGACGCCCGACGAAGCGCTACGACGCGTCCGAACGGCGCGGCCCGGCGCCGTCGAGACGTGGGAGCAGGAGCAGCACGTCCTTTCTTGTAGGGCAGTCGATTAATCACATGTTAGTAGCACACTAGTGGCACGCCGACGACGCGGCCGCATCGACGGCGTCGACTGGCTCACACGCCCCGTCGACAAGGCGCCGCCGCCGCGCCATAAAAACTCAACACGCCACGTCCCACGTCCCACGTTCCCAGTCCACGGAGTACTCGCAGCGCCGGTAAGCATCGTCGTGCCACGGCTTCGTCGGGTAGCGCGCGCCGCGGTCCCGGTAGATGCTCTCGACCGTCGATAAGCGCGCGTCGAAGTCGTCAGAGTCGAGCCACGACGTCTTTGGTGGAGACGGCGCGGCGTCCACCAATTCCCGGATGTACGCCCAGGCGCTCGAGCCTTCTGCCGTCGTGTAGTGCAGGTCCTGCTCGCGTCCCGACGCCTCGATTGTACTAAGACGTTGGGCGACCCAGCTTTGTCTCTCACCAAGCGGCGTCAGAGCGCCTTCACTGGTCGCCCAGGCCTCTCCTAAGTAACGTGACTGCGCCTCGAAAGTTGGAATGGGACAAGGGACGGCGAGCTGGATACCCACGAAGCCCAGGGTGGGCCTCTCCGCGTGCTGGAGATGTAAGTACAAGGGTCGGCAGCTCCTTCTTCCCTCAAACTCCATGCCAACTTCATCTTCCTGCAAAAAGGGAAACGCGTACACGTAGCCCGTCGCCAGAATCACGGAATCTACGGGAGGACCCGGTGCTTTTGTAGAATCAACGTAGAGGTGGCCGTCCGCGTTCAGTGCAGCACCAACGGGCACGTGCGTCACGCGCTTCTGTGAATCCGACACGAGGTCCGAGCATTTTTTTTCAATTATATAAGTCCAATCCGCTACGTTTTGTAATTCCCGACTGATGTCCACGCCCGAACTCCTACCTCCCACAATAAGTACCGACTTGCCTTCGTAGGGTTCCGGTACGTTGTAATGCAGTGAATGTATAATAGAACGATCGCCGTTCAACCACTCATCTTGCCCCGGGATTTCTGGGATGTAGGGCGCCTCGTAGTGGCCGTTGCACACGACGACGGCGTCGTAGTCGTCCTCCACACATCCTTGTTGCGTCTCGTACTTTACCTGCCACCGATCGTCGGCCAACGGCGTGACCTCGAGGACTCGGGCGCCGAAGGTCGCTTCCACACCGAACTTCTCCGCATATGTTGAGATGTAGGCGCCTAATGCTCTACCGTCGACGTAGGACGGTAATGAGGACGGAAAGTCCAAGTCGGGACTTTGCATGACCTGCTTCGGGAGGTTCGTCCGTAAATTCTTGTACACGACATTATTGGTCGGTCGTTCGGCCCAGACGCCGCCGAAGCTCGCGCCCGTTTCAAACACATTAGGTTTGTGCCCCGCTTGCTTGAGGAATCGAGCTGCCGCCACGCCGGCGCTGCCGCCTCCAACAACAGCCACTCGCCGCGAGACGCGCAGGCCCTCCGCCAGGGCCGCCGCCATCATGAGCAGTGATTTGTGCATGCAGCACTGGCTGTGGCGAGGCTGTGGCGAGTGGTGGTGGCTGAGTTGAGAGGCTCCCTGGGTCGCAGCGGTGCGCCCTTGTGTCGCAGCCGTGCGTACCACCTCCTGGCGTGCAGGGGAGAACCCTGTGGAATTCTAGAGCTGCGCTGACGGCGTGTCTTATGCAAACAAGCGAGTGGGCTGGCCGAGTGCGCTAGCGTCCAGTAAGACACTAAGCAAGCGCTCAAGCAAGCTCAGCTCGCGCACGGAGCCGCTGCTGCGCCTGGCGACCTTTTGACAGCCGCATCGGTCACTCTACTTATCGCTCGCCAGCCTTGGTTGGAGACCGCGTATTTTAGGCCGCCCTAGTCACCGCGTACACTCAAAGCCGCCGGAGGCCGCAGACGCGCCGACAGCGCAACCGCGCGCACCCAGCAGCAAAGCAGGAACGATGCGCCCCCTGAAAGACCGCGGCCGGCCCTGGACGCTCCGCGACGTCGGTAGCACATATGACTACGAAAAGACCGTCGGCGAAGGTGTTTATGGGGAAGTCTTCCAAGCGACGGAAAAGCTCACGAAGGACGCGCGAGCTTTGAAACGCGTCAAGACGGACAACGCCACGGAGCGCGAAGGCTTCCCCATCACCGCTTTGCGCGAGGCGAACGTCCTCAAAAGGCTAGCTCATGAGAACGTCGTCACGTTGCATGAAGTGCTCACGGACGGCGACGGTGGAGTTATAAGCTCGTTCGAGTTCTGCGCCCATGATCTGGCTGGACTCATTGAATCCCCAAAGATGAATCTGCTGATCAAGCGGCCGGCTCGAGTTCGCAGCTTAGCGAGGCAGCTCTTCGCGGGGATCGATCACGCCCACGCGCATGGCGTGTTGCACAGAGACATAAAAGCGGCGAACTTACTGGTCACAAAAGATGGTGTACTTAAGATAGCTGATTGGGGCCTCGCGAGGACCTATGAAAGTGACTCAAAATTGACGAATCGCGTCGCGACGCTCTGGTACCGGGCGCCCGAGCTGTTGCTGGGGGCGACGCGCTGTAGTGATGGCTACGGGCCCGCGCTGGATGCCTGGTCCTGCGGATGTCTCGTCGCGGAGTTATTGAGAGGAGCACCAATTCTACCAGGGAATACTGAGATCGAGCAGGTGGACCTCATCTTTGCGCTCTGTGGGTCTCCCACCACCGACACGTGGCCGGGCGGCCCGAATTTACCGCTCTGGGATACCTTCTGTAATGTAGATGAGGATGATTCGTCTGTCAAAGAAAGAACGCTGCGGGAGCGCTTCTCGGCGTTCGATGCGGAAGCGCTGGATTTGGTCGATGCCATCCTCCAATGTGATCCGTCTTCTCGACTATCGGCGTCGGACGCGCTGCAGCGGCCCTACTGTCGGGACGCGCCCCGCCCTTCTGAGCTCGAGCCTTTGGACGGCGAGTCTTCCTTAGAACTCGAGGTGCGGAAGCGTCGGCGCGAAAAGAAAGGTAGTGGCGAGGCGCGTAAGTCATAGTTCAGTTTTACACAGTTCGCGAACGTCCACGCCATCGAGCAGAGGGAAAGGGGAGTCACAGCTGGGCGTTGCAGAGCGGGCACGTCGGCCGCTTGCCCCTGCCCGCGCTCAACAACGCCCACCGGTCGATGCACTCGACGTGGAAGCAGTGGCCGCACCTCGGTAAGACGCGGTAGACGTCGTCGCTCTCCCAGGTCTCGCTGCAGATCGCGCAGCAATCAAAACGGTCCGCGAACGCTTTTTCCAGATCTCGGCGCTCGAGGCACGCGCGGGCCTTCGAGCCGAGGCGCCGTCTCAACTCGGCGACCGACAGGTGGCGCGGCTCTTTGTAAATTTCCGTGCGCATCTTGCGCACGCGCTCGACCGCTTGCGCGAAGGCTCTCTCATCTCTAGGTGGTGGCCGCGGCGGCGGCGCCGTCGCCGCGGTCCTCAAGGACTCGAGGATGGTTGGTGCGGCGACGGCCGCTATGACGAGGCCGCACGTGAGCAACGGTACCAAATGCTCGGGCGCGCCTCTTTGTAAGAGCATGAGGCCCGCGCTCACGGCGACGGAGACGAGCGCGCCCTGGGCGCCGTTGCCGCCGGCGTAGAAGAAGAAGACCATCGGCGCGACTCGTCCTCGCGACGACCGTCCGGAGAGGCGCCACGCCCGGCGTTACCGTGCGCAGTTGTCGCCAGACGCTGCGGCCGTCGCCCTCGTCGACGATGAGACGCGTTTTCGGCGCGCGGGCGGCTGTTGGCTGGGCCGCTCTCCTTGGCACTATGTTCTCACAGCCGTGCGGGCGAACTCGCGGCCCTTGTAGAGCCTCTGACACTCTTTTGTGGTTGTCACGAGCTCGTGAGAGGTCTCTGCTGGTGCGTTGGCGCTTAGCAGCTCCAGAGCATTTTGCTGCAGGCAGAGCTGCCTGCTGGGCGACATCGCATTTACGGCTCTTAACAACCGCACTGCTCTATTATCGCTCGACCTGTGCCGTGCATCAACACCAGGGAACCGCCGCGCAACTCTGCAACGGAAAGCAGAGCACTCGCGCGCGCCGCAGCCGCACAAAAGCAGCACTTGGGACCAGCACCTAAATCGCGCCGCCGACGCGCCTCACAAAGACAGCGATGGGCAAGAAGACCGGCGGCTTCCAGGCCTTGGGCCTAGATGCGCAGCTCCTCAAGGGCGTCCTCGGCATGTATTCGCAACCGACGCCCGTGCAGCGCGCCGTCCTGCCCGCGGCTCTGGAAGGCCGCGACGTCGCCTGCATGGCACGAACCGGAGCCGGCAAGACCGCGGCCTTCTTGATACCGCTACTGCAGCACGTGACGCGATCGAGGCGGAAGGACGAGCCCCCCTCCGCGACTGTCCTGTCGCCGACGCGCGAGCTCGCCCTGCAGACGTACAAGTTCAGTACAAAAATGGCCAAGTTCTGCGTCGGCGTTGACGGCGAACGCTTCTCCCAAACACCGTTGGTCGGTGGTGAAAGCATCGAGGGCCAGTTCAACGCCCTGGCGAAGCGACCGGCAGTCCTCCACGCGACGCCGGGCCGACTCGCGCACTTGCTCGAAGAAGCGCCGGCTTCTCTCATCACGCTATCAGCATGTAGACTGGCGGTCTTCGACGAGGCGGATCGGCTGTTCGAGATGGGCTTTGCGTTACAACTCCAACAGTTGTTGCGGGCGATGGCTCCATCTAGACAAACTTTACTATTTAGTGCCACGATGCCGCGGGCCCTGGCGCAGTTCGCGCGCGCTGGTTTAAAAGATGACGTCGCTCTCATTCGATTAGAACAGGAGACGAAGCTGTCCGACACGCTGCGAGTGGCCTTCTTCCTGACGAGACCTAGAGATAAAGTGGCCGCATTCTGCGCTTGTCTGAAGTTAGTGGTACCCGACCCGTCGAAACTGACCATCGTCTTTGTCGCAACTCGCCACCATGCGGAACTTTTATTAGCTTTATGCAGGGTGGTGTTTCCCGAGAGAAAAGCCCATGCTATATATGGTACTTTGGACCAGCAAGCTCGCACGGACCACCTCAAGGCCTTCCGCAAGGGCGACGCGCCGTTACTCATTGTCACTGATGTTGCTGCAAGGGGTCTAGACGTCCCGCTCGTCGATGCAGTCATAAATTACGACGCGCCCGCGGCCGCGCGACTCTTCGTCCATCGGTGCGGGCGGGCCGCGCGGCAGGGGCGGCCGGGCTTGGCCGCTACGCTCGTGGAGCCCGACGAGCTGCCGTACGTCGTGGACTTGCACCGGTTTTTGGATCGGGAGCCCTCGGACGACTCCGAACCGTATTCGGTCAAGGAGTGGACTCCCCAACAGGTGCACTACGGCCAGATTCCGCGGGAAGTACTAGATGCAGAATTATCAGTACTGGAGAACGCTAGAAAGGACGACTCGTCGCTACCAGCGCTCGAGAAAGTGGCTTCGAACGCCAGTCAACAGTACAAGCGGTCTAGGCCCTCGGCGTCGAAGAAGGCCGCGCAGGGTGCCAAATTGCTACGAACGTCCGAACCGCACCCGTTGTTCAATACCGGCAGCTCAGACGCTTTACGGAGGGCCATTTCCGGCTACCGGCCGCCCCAGTCCATCCTCGAGCTCAAGTCCAAAGATGAGTCGCTGGGTGCCGCTGCCAAGGACTTCCGCGCGAAGATCGACCGGAAAAAGGCCCTCGAGGAGCGGCGCTTGCCAGTGCATAAATCAAATTGTCGCGGCGCGTCTCCGCCACTGCTGAATCATGATCTCCACGCCATCGACGCGACGCCTGCTCGATGGCGTGGCAATGGGAGTCTCAAACCACTCGATTCGGTCAGCACCCGGACTCACTGGTTGATTTATGCGCAGGCGTTTGCAAGCCGCCGAGGCCGCCGCCGAGGCCGCCGCCGCCGACGACGACGACGACGACGAGGAGGCCGCGCCCGCACCACCGCCGCCCCCGCCACCCGTGGAGCGCAAGCGTCGATTATCAAAGGCCGAACGGCGCGCGCTCAAGACCGGCCAGGCACCGCGCGTAGTGCCAAAGAAAGCCAGTACGTCCTTCAAAGATTCCACATATATACAATATGGAGACGCGCGCCAGGAGGAGCTGGATCATTTACTGAATGACGCGAGGAGGGACGACAGTGCCGCGGGCGCGGGATTGCAGATGCTGGAAGAGGCGTTGCTCGATGTGGCGCCCGACGAGGCCTTAGATATGTTGAAAAGGAAGTCCATGCACAAGTGGGACGCGCGCAAAAAAAAATATGTGCAGCAGAGCGTCTCGGAAATCATCGACACGCGCGGCAAGAAGCAGAAAAACGAGTCCGGCCAGGACGTGAAGAAGGGCGCGACGCGGGGCGAGCTCTACCGGAAGTGGCGCGAGCGCAAAGGTGCTGACGGGGAGAAGGTCGACTACCGCGGGGCCAAGGGTTCTCGCGGCAAGGCGAAGAAGAAGGCTCCCTCTACTGCAAGGCCGGTGAAGGATGAAGTGAGAAATGCGGCGCAGATCGCCAAGCAACGTAGGGAGAAGCGCGACCTGGCGCTGAAAAATTTACCGAAAGCTAAACGGCGCGCCCTGACGCATAAGAAGTAGTGTTTGTTATCCAGACGCCACCGCCGCGATCGAAGAGAGATAGACTAGTATTTTTTTACAGCCGCTACATCTAGCGGCGGAAGCGCGGCGGCGGGTCGCGGTTGCGCCGGTCCGTGCGCGACCGGGAGCGCACGATGCGCTGGTGGACGGCGGCCTCGATGCAGTAGTACTGCTTGATGTAGATTTTGGGTAAGGCGTACGTCTCGAAGGCGGACGCGTCGCGGATGTCGCGCATGGAGGAGGCGTCGACGATGTTGCGGACAATAAAGCGCTTGATGGCCTTGTCCTTGGGGATGGCCTTGCCCGTCGACGCGCAGCGCACGCGGTTGACGTGGCCGCGGCCTTTTTTGTTGCGGCCGTGCGACCGGCGCTTGACGGTCATGTTTTTTTGTTGTTGACGACCTGTGTTGTAGTAGGGTGAGCGTCGATGGCGTCGCCGGCTGACGATGGTGTGTGGGCGTCGTGCTGCGACCGGCGCGGCGTCTCGCTCTGTCGAGCGGCCGCCGGTGCGGCGCCTCGCTCGATCGCGCGGCGCGGCCTCGCTGGCGCGCGAGCGTGCCGCAGCTGCCGGCCGCGGCGGCTCGCAAGCTACTGTTGGGTGCCACGGCGCGGCGCCGGGCGTCCCGCGAGCGCTTTTGAGCCGCCGGCGGCTGCTCGCTGCACAGGTCCCACAGGGATCGCTGCTCGCCGAGATTTTGCAACCAGCCTCGCTGCGGCACAGATGGAGACCTCGTAGCTTCCTTTTGTAGCGTGGACGCGTGAACGGACGCAGCGGCGGACGTGTAAAGCCTATTCGCTTTTAATTGAGCCGGCGATGGCCACTAAAAACGCTAAAAATCCGCTCGTCGAAACGGGGCAGTAACGTATTGCTCCATGCCTGCAAGGATGGCTCGCGACGCATGGACGAAAAATTCGAGGCTCTGATCGGCCGGTTTGCCACAGCGTGCCGGCGCTGGCATTGGGCAGCCGCGTGCGCCGAAGCGGTGGTGAAGTAGGGCCGCTGGGACGCCGGCGACGCGGCACGGCCACGGTTGCGCCCGCGCCGCGACTCCTGCGGCAGCGAGACCGCTTGGACCACTGCCCAAGCAAGCACCCTGCCCAAGCACCCAACGACAAGCCGCCGACGCACGGCTAAGAAGGATGGCCGAGAACGCCTTCGCCCTCACGGCGGACGGTATCGAATTGAACGAATTTGGGAAATTAGATAAGGAGGACTGGGACTGGGGCCACCTGCAGCCCGGGCAATTTCGGTTCTGCTTTCTGCCGAGAACTCCACTCAGACGACCAGGGGACGGCGACGAGTCGAGCGACGTCTCCTCAGTATCGAGTGACGGCATGATGGACCAGATGGCCCACATCGCCGAGGAGGGCCTGCACGCGGCCGGTGCGGCCATGGGTGCGGCCGCGGGCGTCGTCGGCCATGCTGCTTACGACGCCTCGGCCAAGGTCGGCCGGGCCATGGCCAACGACCTCTTCGGCGACGATGCTGATCAAGTAGTACATAATGTGGAAGTAGCGATCGAGGACGCGGAGCGCTACGCTGCCGAAAAGATGGACGAAGCTGCGCAAGCGCTGCATGCGGCCGAGGAGAAGGCTTCGGCCGTGTTGCACGCGGGCGAGGACCTCGCGAAGAAAGTGGGTGGTGAAGCGCTACATGCTGTGGGAGACGTCGGCGGCAAGGCGCTGCACCTGGCCGACGACGCCGCACAGGCGGTCGGTGCCGAGGTGATGAAGGATCTGGGGAAAGTTGGGGATGTCGTCGGTGGTCTCGGCACGGGCATGTTCAACAAGGCGAAAGGCTTGGTGGGCGTCGCGGGAAACGAGGAGCTCAAGCACGCCACGGACGAGGACCTCGCGAAATCCAAGGCCCAGGCGGGTCTGCAACACGCTACTGAGGCAGACGACGACTCGATCTCCACCAAAATGACTGAAGAGGGCGTCGCCGAGGCCAAGGACGAAGAACCAGAGAAGAAGAAGAAGCGCCGGTCCTGGTTCGGGTCTCGAGGGTCGCGGCCGTCGACGTCCGAGTCGCGACCGGGCACCGGCGACAAGCCCAAACGGCGAAGTTTCCTCTCCCGTTTTTCCAGAGGGAGTCGCGCGTCGACGCCCGGCGAAGGCGACGAGAGGCCTCGGAGTCGGGACGACGACGACACGCACACCTATACCGAAACGATTGATGATACCGCCTTCGACGAGACGACGTTGGACACCGAGGTCAGTGACTCAGCGTGATTTCCAGCCTTTTCCAACTTCAACTTCGCGTCGATGGCGTCAACGCGGTGCCACACCGCCGTGACGCCATCTTCATGATCATCAGAGAGTCTACGCGTCGCGTGCGGGAGCCGCGGCCGTGTCGCGACGCTGTCGTTCGACACAGGCCTACGAGCTGCGCGAGCGCGACCGGAAGCGGGCGAAAAAGGCCATAAAAGACGCTCGGGAGTGGCTCAAGGACCCGACGCCGCTCTGGGCGCGGACGACGAACTGGCGGTTTGATATCTGTGTGGGAATCACGCCACGCCGTCGACGCGGTGCGTCGAGTCGCGATCTCGCCCGAAATGCGCTCAAATCGAAAATGAGACCACCCACGGCCTCGTCTGACGGAGGCGAGTCGCGTCGATGGCGTAGGACGCCACAGTCACCGGTCGATGTCCACGCAGGTTGATGCTCAAGGGGCCCCTCAAGGAACCGCTCGCGCTGCCGACGAAGGACGCGGCGAACGAACCTATAGTGTATCCGAAGCCTATTGAAGAATTTGAGGGTATCCGATCACTCATCGAGAATGTGGTAGCGTTCCTGAACCCTCGGTCGATCGGCCGAGCGGTCCGACTCGGGAGGCGATGGGCGGAAGTGGGTTATGACGAGCCGCTCTACTACTGTTTAGTACAAGTCGGCCAACCGAGTGTGACGATCTACGCGTTTCAAGCTCGAGTTGATGCGGTGGTCCACACGGGCGAGGCGATCCTCGCGAGCGGCGACAAGGGCGTGAGTGCGTTCCACGTCGACACGGGCGAGTTTTTAGGGAAGACGTCGATCCGAGATACCTCCGCAATACCTACCTTGTTTATTACGGGCCACTCGCTCTGGACTTGTAGTCGCAACGGGGCCATCCGGGAATGGAGTTTACCACATGACGTGCGCAATATTGAATTCAGAGCGCAAATGTGGGAGCACAACGCCGAGGTCAACGACCTGACCTGGACGCGGAACAACCCGATGTTTGGGGGTTCGGCCACGGAGCATCCGCGGCTCGTGTCGTGTTCCGACGACCGCTCGGTAAGGGTCTGGGACCCCGACACGCACTGTTCCACGGCGGTGCTGAATCCCTTTTCTCACCGAAGTGCGACGATGCGGTCCGTGTACGTCTCGCAGGAGCATCTTTATGTTGGGGGTTCCGATGGCACGGTTTATGTGTACTCCGTGGACGGCTCGACGCGATCCCTACGGAACAGGGAGAAGAAAAGAGTGGGATTGGAGCTCATCTACCCCCTGGAGACGGAGCTGAAGTCCGGGGACGACGTCGTCGGTGCGATGGCGATCGCTCATGAGAGGACTGACATGTCTCGGTTGTTCGTGACGTCCTGGTCCGGTACGGTATATGTCTGGAAAATTCCGAAAGAGGATCTGGACTATGTGTTGATCCATGAGATCCGGCACCATACTCGTAGAATCAACGACGTGTTGATAACGCGGGCGCACTTCCTGACCTGTTCCGATGACGGTACGATACGGTATTATGGACTGTGTCACGGTGACCAGTACGAGAAGGCCTTGGAGAGGGTTGTTGATTGCGGGTCTCGGGTCAAATGTATTCATGTGACGCCAGGCGACCCGGGAGTGGTCGTGGCCGGTTTAGCTGATGGACGGGTCCTGGTCTACGAGCTGGGGAACATCATGTAAGTTACTTTGTTTGTTCGATGGCGTGGGGGGGGTGGCAAGTCGTCGTGGCGACGGCGTGCTTGCAGCCACGCGCCGCGGTTCCAAGTCCGTGCGGCGGGCACGCCTCGGCGGCATACTCAAGTCTCACGCCATCGAGCAGACTCGGACGCCAGAAAATGCAAGTAGATATATCCCACTTACTCGTGCAACTAGCGGTTCGCCGTCAGGTTCGACGCGTAACTGACCCGTTCCTTCGTGTCCTGCGCGAGCGCCTTGCCGTAGCCCGACGTGTAGCCCGACGACAGGCCGCCCTCGCCGCCACCACCGGCGTCGGGCTTCGGCGCGGACGGCTTCGCCCACTCGATCTTGAGGATCAGGTGGTCGTAGCCGTGGCCCTGGAGCGCGCCCATGGCGCGTTCGGCATCTTGGCGATGCACAAACGACACGAAGGCGAAGCCGCGCGAGATCATCGTTTCTCTGTCTTTCGCTAGATAGATTCTAGCTATACGACCATAAGGAGCGAACAGCACCTGTAAATCTGCCTCGGTCGTCTCTTCCGAAATGTTCGTCACTCGCAGCGACGACTGATCCCTATCATCATATTGGGGCATCGCCGCCATGCGCGCCAACGCCGAGCCGGCCACCCCAGCGCCCGCTTGCCCGCGCATGGAAGGAGGCACATAGCTTGTACGCATGCCCGGCACGGCAGCGGGAGCAGCATCATCACCAGGAGGCATGCTGCCGCCCTCGCCCTCGACGCCGTACTTCTGCTGGAGCTTGCGCCACATCTGTTTTTTGGCGAACTCGTTCATGCTCGCCTTGGCCGCGTTTTGCTGGGTATCGTTTTCGCCTCCTTCTTCTTCCAGTGTTACGCGCTCGTCGTTGTGGGCGACGATGGTCACGTTGCTATCATCTTTTTCTTGGCCGGCGATGCCGAAGCGGTTGTTTCTTAAACGTTGCACTCTGCCTTGGACAGCTTTGGATTCGCGCGTCTCGACGACTTTGACGAAGATTTCTTTGGTCGTCTTCACCTTCTGCTCCGCCGCGTTCCGCGACCACTCGACGACGGTCTTAAAGCCTTTTTCATTCACGGCCGTCTCGGTGCGCGCGGGCAGGGCCTCCTCTTCATCATCGTCGTCGCCCCAGGCCATGGCCGCTTCTTGTCTGCCGCGGCGGCGCTGGAGTGTAGGCGCAGCGCGTCGGAGCAGTCCTGCGGCTCCTCGCTGGACCCGGTGTGCTGGAGCGTCGAGCAAGCGGCCCAATCAAGCTGAATCGCCGGCAAGGCTGTGAGCTAGTGTGTCTGTCTACGCTAGGTCATGCCTTCAGGGGTAAGGAGGGGTCATCCATGAGTACTTCATCGGCCAGGAGGAATCACGGGCTCATGCCTTTGCATAAAGTGCCAAAATAAAATGATGCATGCAATTGCTGAGACTGGGACACGGCAAAGCCATCAGCCATGCATTGATGGTGCAGCGCCATCGCATCGCTGAGCAGCGGTAGCGACGCAGCGATCGGCAGCAAAAGCACACCGGCGGGCAGCACAGAGGCATCCCGAGCACCTGTACAGCCGGCAACAAAATGCGGCCGTGCTTCCACCTCGTCGCTATCGCGGCGGCCGCCACGGCGGACGAAGCCGCCTGGACGCCCCGCGACCTCGACGACGCCACGCTGCGCCTCATCCGCCACGCGCGTCCGTTCCAGCCCAGCGAGCAGGCGAAGCTCTCGCAGCTGCCGGCGCGCTTCAGCCGCTGCGCGACGCAATTGGCCTATTTCGACGTGTACGACCCCGAGGCCTGCGGTCATAAAAGGGCTCCATCCTGTAGTGGCGACCACTGGCCGTCCGTGTCCGTCGTGCTGCCCCATCGCGGTCGCGAGTCGACGACGGCGCGAGCGCTAGCTTCTGTCTTGGCTTCATTTAGATTATATTGTGGCAGTGGGGAAGTCGTGCTAGCTAGAGACGGTCCAGCATTAGATGAGACCGCAGCTAAAAGGTTGACGCATCTCGTGGAGCGTGTTTCATCACATTGGGAGGACATTGAGGTCGTGGAGACAAAACCAAGGTCCATGGCGGCGGGCTACGGGGATGCTGTCGCGACCGGTTGTCGACGGGCCACCGGAGACTATGTGCTCCTGTTGAACAACGACGTCACGCTAGCGCCTTTGACGTTAAGAGTGCTAGCCGCGCACTTGAACGCGAGAAAAAGCACAGCGGCGGTCGGCGCGAGACTAGTAGACGAGCACGGCGAGCTCCAGGAGGCCGGCGCCGTCGTCTTCAAGGACGGCGGCGCGCTCCAGTTCTCGAAGGTCTGGGGTAGCACTTCTCCATTATTCAGGTACGTGCGACGCGTCGACTACGCGTCCGCGGCGTGCCTGATGGTGAGGTCGTTACTACTAGCCGGTGGTTTTGATGAGCAATTTAGACCAGCATACTACGAGGACACGGACCTAGCGATGCGACTGAGGCACTCGCATGACGCTGCGGTCGACTACAACCCCTTCGCCGTGGCGGTCCATGAAGGGTCCGCGACGTACTCGGGCGACCGCGCCGCGGAGAAGGAGCGCCAGATGGACCGGAACCGGGACACCTTTGTCAGGAAGTGGTCGGGACAGTTGACCTGCCACTATGCATCCCATATACCGTGGGCCAGTCGTGGTGCTTTTTTGCTCGCGACGCGCCAGGCTCTTGCACGAGTGTTGGTCTTAGATCACGACACGCCCTGCGCGGCGCGCGACTCCGGCTCGGTGCGCATGCTCAACTTCATTCGCGTTTTACTAGGAAGGCGGCACCACGTGACCTTCGCTGGCGTCGAGTCCGACGCGGACGACGCCTGCGCGCTGCAACTCCAAGCCCTGGGCGCCCACGTGACCTCAGCCGGCCTGCTCAAGTTCCGGAGTCTATCAACAAAGTGCGACTACGACCTCGTTGTGGCTTCCAGACGATCGGTGGCCAAGGCCTGGCTGCCGCTGCTGCGAGCCGTGTGTCCCGAGGCGCCTGTTGTATTTGATACGGTGGACTTGCACTTTTTAAGGGAGATCCGGGAGGTCTCCGTCGCCAAGGGTTATGACTATGATCAATCACTCTCGGCCTCGGAGAACGCCCGGCGCTTACTCGCGCAGTACCCTAACTTACAGAATACGAAGACCTGGCGTCTGTACGAAGAAGGGTATACGACAGAGCTACGAGTGATGAACGCTTCCGACGCGACGATCGTCGTCTCGGGCGTGGAACGCAGGGAGCTCGAGGCCCTGAAGCAATCAGGTGAATTACGGTCTTCCCTCCCAGTGGCGGTTGTGTCGAACATCCACGACATTGTTCAAAGACGCATGGAGCGCTCCACGTTCGGCCAGCGACGCGGCGCGTTATTCGTCGGGAATTGGCAACGTACCCGCGTCTCGCATGTTTTCGGCCCAAGCTCGGACACGACATACACTCGACCGTATTGATATAGAAACGCCTCACTCCGACCACGAATTGAACTTTGATGTCCACGCAGGCAGCATCCCCCGAACGTCGACGCCGTGAAATTTTTGCTGGAAGAGGTTTTAGTGCTGGAAACCTCATTACCGGACGACTTCGTGGTCCACATCGCCGGGGCGGGCACGCAGCCGGACTGGCTTAAATCAATCACGAAGGCCGGGCGGTTTGAAGTCGTGAACCACGGGTTTTTGGCGTCGTTGGCCCCGCTCTATGCTTCTTGTAGGGTAGCACTGGCGCCATTACGGTACGGCGCCGGCGTGAAAGGGAAAGTCAATCAAGCGATGCTCCATGGCGTTCCCGTGGTCGCCACTCCAATAGCCGTGGAAGGCATGCACATTTCTAGTGGCGAGGCCGTCGTGGCCGACGGTGCCGTTGAGTTTGCCCGATCATTAGCTGAGATCTATGTCGACGAGGCGACGTGGCGTCGCGTCGCGGAGGCGGCTAGATTGTCGGTGGCCAAGCATTTCTCTGTTGATGTCGCTGCCAAAAGGTGGGCGTCTTTAGAGTCGGAGCTGGCTCTACGGTCCGACGCGTTTCGCCACGCGCTGTCCGAGGGTTCGTCGGCGTTCCAGAAGCCTTGTCCTACGTCAGGTAGGTACGGGACTTCGTCAGTCGTGGCCTTGTCTGATAAACGATCGGACCCGCCTTCCTTGATTCCCGTCCCTCTTAAGGTAGGAGAAACGTTGAAGTCCGCGGCACCTTTATCTGATTTGCGATATCACGGAGTTAATGAAGAGGAATTAATGACAGTATGCTCGGCTCATAGGAATTGCGTCGGCTTCTGCTTACGACCGGAGGCCACGTCGCGCGTCTTCCTGTCGCCCATTGAAGCGACGACCAAGGCCGAGGGGCCCGGGCCGGCGCTGTGCCACGCGGCGCCCGGCGCGCCGCCCTCTACGGGCGTCGCCTTTACTCGTGTCTCCCAGAAGGCGCCGCACTACGTCTTCTCGGCGTCTTATTCATCAAAGAAGTGGCGCGTGTCGCGCGACGCGGCGGAGGCGTTTTGTGCTCAGGATGCGACGTGCACGGGCTACTGCCAGAACCCGTCGGGCAATACGCTGTTCTACGATCGGAAGGTCGGCGACATGCGCCCTCGCGGCAAGGCCGACGCCGTTCCTCCCGGTTGGGTCTGCGCGAAGGCGAAGCGGTATCAAATGGCGCCGGTCGCGGCCGCCCTTTTGGAGCCTCCACGGCCCAGGAAGGCCTCGGCGAAGCGGGCGGCGGCGCACAAGGGGGGGCTCTAGTTATAGGTGTTGTTTGTGTCACAAGAGTTACGCTGTACAAATTAGGCGTGTCGAACCGGCAAATACCTTTCTCCGAATCATCCTTGTCATGTTTATGCTGCTGCTGAAGTAAATCCCCATAAAGATACTTGCCGGTAGCGCCACTTCTCGGCGAGGGGATACGGGCAATATTGTATGAACGGATCGACCCAGAAAGTCCAATCAGCATGGCCGCGGCAGCGTTCTTTGAGGAGTGCGGTGAGATCATCCACGTTGTTACCGTGTTGGGTGCCCTCGGGCAATGCGACGGCGAGCGGGCTTAATTTGAAAAGCCGCCAAGTAAGCCGCGCCAACCGGGGACAGCCACGCGCGAGGCGTAGAATCCCCGCAGAATTGACAGCGGGGGTAGCGTAGAAGGATGCGGAGCGTAAAGTCTGGGCGGTCGGACTCCGCAAGATGATGTCGACTACCGCAGGGGTCACCGTGTTATTTTGGTCGATGATTAGAGCCTCGAGCGCAAAGTTCTCGCAGATCGCTGCCACGCACGCGTCGTCAAGAGTCGTTTCATCATCTGAGTACCCAAAATGAAGTTCCTTGAGAGCAGGCCGAGCCCGTGCCAGGGAGGCAAAGAACTCGGGCGACCCAGTAAATTGATTTGGAAACACGATTTCCCTCAGCGCTTCCAAGCCGGCCGCGAGTCGCAGAAGCGTCGGCTGCGTCATATGTGTATCGTGCAAGTGCAAGATTTTTATGCGGCTTTGTAACGGCGTCCGAACGAGCAGTTCAGCGAGGGCCGGATACACTGAGCACCGGTCGAGACTGAGTGTCTCCGCGCCCACGCACTGCCGCGCCGTCGCTTCGATTTTGTCAAAACGAGCCGGCTGGTAATCTACTAGGCTTTCGTCTGCAGCCTCCAAACTAAGGTACTTGAGGTTCGGAAAGTGCATCGCGTAGGTTTCCGCCGGGCTCCAGGGTGCGTCCGTCTCAATCTCGACGCTTTCGAGCAGCGGGCACGAGCGGCTGAGCGCCGCAGCCAAGTCATCCACGTCCGCCCGCAAAATGTTCGGCAGCCCATAACCTGCGCTCAGCTCCTTCAGCTGCGGGCACGCGCTGCAGATCTCCAAGAGGAGTTGTGCACTTATCGATGAGGCGCAGAGTGAGAGTTCCCGCAAGCGCCCTTGAGTATCTACGACGAATTGCCGGAGCGCGCTGAGCCCCTCGGGGGACGTCCCCTTGTGATCTCCTCTGTAGGCGAGTCTCTCGCACCCGCTGCCGAGCACAGCCCCGACGGTCGTGACTTTTTGCGTTGTTACGTCCCTGTAGAAAGTAACCTGATTCCTCGGATGGCTTTTTATGGCCCGACGAACGGCATCGAGGCACGCGCGGGACACGCTGCGCAGGACCAGGAGGCTTTCGTCCCTTGTGCGAACGCTGGTGCGTTCCGTGTGGCGGTCCAAAAAGAGCGCGACGTGCGCGAGCATTTCTACAGGCAATGCATCCAGTTGGGTCGACATCTCTGCGCTAATGCTGGGGGCCTAAGCGATCTACTTGCGAGCCAGCGCGGCGCAGCGATGCAAATCTGCGCTGAACCTGCGCTGTTGATTCCTCAGCCTCGTCTCTGCAGGCCGTAAAGCGGCCAAAAAAGCGGCGCGCGGCGCAGACAGCTAGCGACTGTAAGATACTAGGAAAATAGATCTTTACCTGCGCACTGACTAGTGCGGACTCTAAAGATGGAGAAGGAGTAGAAGAAAATCAGCCGACGAGCGCGACGTTGACCATGAGGTTGCAGTGCTGGGGTTTTCCATCGACCATTCCCTGCTCGCCGAACGTGAAGAAGCAGAGGAATTGCGGAGGACTCGCCAGCGCCGCGGCGAGCCCGGCCTCGACCTCCTTCGTGAGGACGTTGAGGTCGGGAAGCGTCGACGCCGAGCCCGCGCAGACGTCGACGAGGGCCAGCTTGACGGGGGAGGTCGCCGCCTTGGCCGCGTTGACAACCAATTCGCGCACGGAGGCGGGGATGTCGGCAACCTTGCGCGAGTTGAGGCGCAGCTCGTGGCCCTTACCGATGGGTCCAAAGCACTCTATCGCGCCGTCGGGCAGCACGCGTTTCATGTGCACCAAGCGCGGTCGGGTCTGCTTTTTCGACGCGCGTACGTCCAGCGGGAACAGCGCCGCCGCGCGCACGACAGTGCCGCCCGCGCTTTGTTGGCGCTTCAGCTCGCCTTTGCACCAACCGTCGAGCACCTGTACCGCCGGCTTGCCGCCGATGGTGCTCACAACGCGCCCGCTCGCGACAGTCGCAACACCCTTGTGCTTCGTGGGAATGTAGACCGAGCCGATGGAGCACTGGCACGCGTCGGGGTGGCGCAGGTAGAGGCCCACCATCACGACGCTATTCTTGCTGACCCGCCACGCCTCGCCGTCGGCCTTTCCGCAGAGCTGCCACCAGCCGCCGGGCTCGGTGTGGTTGAGCACGCTCTCGTCGGCCGACGAGCCGCCGAATACCGTCACCCCGTTGCCGAGGACCTTCTGTACGCCGCGTAACACAAACTCCTCGCCGACGGGCGCGCTCATCAGGAGAAGGAGGTCGGGCGGCGACGTCACGCGGCCTGCGCTCTGCCGCGCTGCGTCGGCAAGTAGCGCCGTCGCCGCCGCTTTGCCAGCCGCCTCGGCGTGCTCTGCGCCGATGATCGGATACTCGGCCGCCGTTATCAGCCAGGCGGCGTGTTGTAGGCCTACCAGCCCGAGACGCGCGCCGCCCCGCTTCGAGAGCACGCCGCCCTGGCTCGTCTGACCCACGAGTGTCGTCATCCCCCCCTTGGCCTCGCTCGCCCGTTGCAGCGCCGCCGCGACCGCCTTGCCATCGATGTCGCTCGAGCAGAAGAGCAGCGCGAGCTCGGGCGCAGCGCCGCCGAGCCCTTGGCACACCTGCCACCACGCGTCCTCCGCCGCGGCGGCCGCGTCTGGCGCGGCGGAGCAGCCGACCGCCACCCGCGTGAGGGAGGCGTGGGGCGCAGGTGCATGCTTTGCCGACTTCGTGCGGTCGCGGAGCCGCACCGACATCATCGGCGGATGCTCCACGGCGTCGCCGAGGAGCTTGAGCGAAATGGCGGGCGGCTGGCTTGGGTCGCCCCGCGGAAAGGCAACCTGTAGCACGCGCACCTCAGCGTTCCCAAAGATGGGGTCGAGTTGCAGCTTCAGCGCGTTCGAGCCCACGTCGTCCTTGAGCGCCTCCGTGACCGCTCGTTGCAAAGCAGGAGCGCCGGAGCACCGGCCGACTGGTAACTGCGCGAGTGTGGCCTTGTAGAGCTCGCGCAGATATCCCTTGTGCGCCACGACGGCTATCGCAGTTTCCTGGCGCCCGCGCAGCAGGTCAAGCAGCGTTGCCGCGCGTTTCTCCACCTGCTCATTACCCTCGAGGAACTCCGGCCGGAACTTCCAGCCGTCGTCGCTCCGCGCGTCGAGCCAGGCGATGGTGTCAAAAGATATGTGCGGGAATTGCTTCGCCGCCTCCGCCGCGGGTCTTCGCTCGTCACAGGGTTTGCCGGTGCGCTTTTCGCGCAGCCGCTCATGCGCAGACATCTTGGGGTGGTCCGGGAAGAGCAGAGTAGCCGTGTGCAGCGTGCGCTGCAGCGGCGAGACGAGCACGCACTCCGGCGGCGGGTAGTGCGTGCGCTTGAACAGTTCTGCAAGCTCGACCCCCGAGGCGGATGCTTGCGACTGACCCTTGACAGAGAGCGCGGCGTCGAAGTTGTCCGGATTGTCGAGCACAGCCTTGCGGGCTTCTTCCGCCTCCGCGTCGGAGCCGCCGCGTTCCTTGACCGCCTTTTTGGCCGCCGCCTCGAGGATGTTGTGGGCAGCCTGGGCATGCCGCACGAGGTACACGATCTTTCTGTCGACTTGCTGATCGGGCAGCTCGTCCCGTATGACCGTCGACACGCGCTGCATCGTCGGCAGCAGCGCCGACGGCGTCGTCGCGAACTCGTTGCATTGTACTTTCTCTGAGGATGATCTGCGGACGAGTCGTTTCTCCTTCTTAGACTGCCAGTGGATGATGCATGCCGCCCCGGCTGCCCCGGCGACGACGCCTGCGGCGAGGGCGAGGTACGATTCCATGGCAAGGTTGGCTGGGCAGTTACTCCACCAGTCGTTGCGCAGCCAACCTACGGGAGAGGCCACCGGGACGACGGAGAGGCTGCCCCAACACTGTCCCAAGCAGCGCTGTGGCAGAAGCTTCCGCAACTTCGGATCGTGGAAAATCCTAGTGTGTCTGTACCGCTATTAATTCGAGCTAGCTGCGCGCGCCGCCGAGCGTGATCGATATCGCGTTCAGACAGACGCTGTAGCGCGCTCATCAGAGCGCTGTCGCAGCGCAGCGATCGGAGCGCTGTCCGCATTGACGCCCTCGACGCTCATCAGAGCGCACTCCTAGGGCAGTGATCACAGCGCTGTCGACTTTTGAGTTCTCGACGCGGAGCGCTGTCCCATACGCCACCGACGCAAAGGTCGTCCAGACGCCGTCGACGCGAGGATGGCCGCCTGGTCGGCCACCAGAGACTTCCAGACGGACACGCAGCTCATGCGCCAGCTCGACAAGTCACCGTCACAAATCCAGGAGCTGCGGAGTAAAGCGCCCGCACCGGTGCCCCAAACCGCGCGAGCGCTCCGCGACGCGTCGACGGACCCGGTTGCGAGCGGCTTCGACGCACTAGACCAAGCGTTGGGCGGCGGCGTCGCGCGCGGCCGAGTCACGGAGCTCGTGGGCCGCGCCGGCGCGGGCAAGACGCAGGGGTGCTTGACGCTGGCGGCGGCTTGTGCTTCGCGAGGGGACGCGATGGTCTATGTTGATACTGAGGGCTCGTTCCGCGCGCAGCGCCTTTGGCAGGTCGCCGAGGCCAGAGGGGCTCAAAATAGCGAGGAGTTGCTGCAGCGCGTTCACGTCCTCAGGCCGCAAAATAGAGAGGAATTGTTAGCTGCTCTGGAGACCGGTGTTGTCGAGGAACGGGCCCGGCAAGCGAGAGCTGCTTTGGTGGTTGTGGATTCCGTCGCCGCGGCGGCTCGGGGCGGCACGTCTTCCGGTAGGTCGGACCTGATCGACCGCCAGCGCTGGCTCGCAAGGGCCGCGGCGGCGCTGAAGCGAGTCGCGTGCGGCGCGGATTGCGCCGTCGTCGTGACGAACCACGTCATGGCCGATTTGAAGGCCCAGGACGGCTGCGACGCCGTGACCGCGGCGCTCGGTTTTACTTGGCACCACGCCGTGAACGTGCGCGTGATGCTCGACCACGTGAATGGAAGGCGGACGGGGCGCGTCGAGAAGTCGTGTAGTGACGCGGAGTCGGCGTTCACCTACGGGATCGGTTCTGCGGGATTGATGGAAGCTGTGGAGGCGCCGGCGCTGTCGCCGGCGCAGCGGGAGCGCATCGAGCGGAACCGGGCCGCGGCGTTGGCGAAACGGCGCCGGCGATCGTGATGTAAGTTGTTCCTGTGGATAATTCTAAGTTTAGACGCGTGGAAGCTCGGACTCTCTAGCTGAGCCACGAAGGACCCGTGCCCAGCGCTTCCGGCGCGGCCGTGGCGCGGCCCGGCGACGAGTAGGGCGAGCCGGACCAGGCCTCGCGCGGCATGGCGGGCGGCGCGGCGCGCGAGATGCCGAGGCTCGCGAGCTTCGCCTTGGACGCCTCCGACGCGGCCGCCGCGGTTGCGAGCTCCTCGGCCGACGGCCCCTGCACGGCCGCGGGCGGCGACGAGGAGAACGACCGGGCCGGTCCCGCGGGCCAGGTCGCCGCGCGGAAGGCGTCGCCGCTCCACACCGCGTTCGTCACCTTCGTGGCCGTGGCCTTGGCCGCCGCGGGAGCGCCGCCCGCCGCGCCGTCGCCGCCCTTGCCCGCGAGGGCCGCCGCAGCACCGACCGCCGCCACGACGCCGCCGATCACAGTCGGATCGAGGCTCGAGACATCCACAGCACGCTGCGGCGCCGCGCGCGGCAGCGACACCTTGTGCCCCACGAGTGCGAGCGCAGCGGTGGGCAGGAAGACGACCCTCATCGTTTGAGGCTGCCTCGCGAGAATTGGCAAGCTGCCCAGGTCTGGCAAAATCTTGGCAGATCTCGACAGAGTCGTGAGGGGTCGGGTTTGCATGCGCGCCCAGGCGCTCCCGCTCCCACGGGACTCATCCGTCGGGCTGGGACAGAGTAAGGTGGTCGCATGGACGCATGCGTATGTAGAGACCCGACGCGCAAGTGACGCGGCGTCTGCGAGGGTCCCTTGCCCGTTAGTGCTCGGTCGACTCGGACACGGCTCGGTTCGCTCACAACCCGATCGTTTTCGTTCCCTCAAGTTAAAATCGCCAGGATCTTGCCTACTAGAGAATTGTGCTGAAAGCATAGCACATTGGCATAGTGCTCAAGCCGAGATAAATAAGGTGAGCCTACCGGCGCGGCTTATTTGTCCAAGTTACGGCGCGCGACTTCGAAAAACGCGACAAAAAGCCGCCGCAAAGCGTTACTCACGTACGTAGTTTTTGCACTGCAGCCAGCAAAAGCTGGCTTTGGCGGCGCGGCGGCGTGTCGTTACTGCGCGCATCTATCAGAGAGCGCTGGGAGCGCTGAGTCCCGCCGCTGCTGTTGCCGTCCGCCAAACGAGCCGGGACTGACGTCGTCGCGTGTCTCTAGTCTCGACCGCGACCGCCGACCGCACAGGCCTAATACCACGATGGCGACCACCTACCAGACGATCCCGACCGAGCCCACGACTGCCCCCGAGAAGTCGCGTCGAGGCGTCTTCTTCGGCGTCGCGGCGGCCGCCTTCGTCCTCGGCATGGTCGCCGCGACGGCCGTGAGCGCCGCGTCCAAGCCGACGGCCTTATTCAGTTTCAACAATAACGGACTGGGCCCATACGAAGTTCAATGCCCGAACTTGGAGACCGGGGGTTTTTGGCCCATCGGTGATGTTCGCTATGACTGTGATCGTGATCAATCTTATATCAATTTCAACTGCCGTGAAGCGTGGGAGGCCTGCGAAGCAATAGAAGTACAGCGTGAGCGTCCGGACTGGTGGGGAACCTGCGACTGGATCGAATCGAACAGCAACACCGACGGCGAGCAAGAGGTATTTAACATCGACGGGACAAATCCGAGCTCTCCGTTGGAGTGCATCGCTCTTGTCAAGGAGCAGTACCCAGACGCAACGATCGCGAACGTCGACCACGGCTCGGGAGACGGCACCTGCTGGGCCCAATATGGTTCCACGCCGACGAAGGACAATTTGGGCTGGAAGTCCTGCGTGCTCGCTTCCGTCCACGAACCTCAAGACCTCAAGTCCTTCCAGTTCGTCGACGCCGACGACACGCTCTATAAAGCAGTCAACTTTTGGATTTACTTTCGCGAGTCAGCCGAGGCGACGTACGGCCACATCAAGGACTGGGACACGTCCCATGTCACACACATGAGTGAATTGTTCACGGATAATAATCATTTCAACGACGACATCAGCGCGTGGGACACGTCTCAAGTCACGACGATGAATTCGATGTTCGATGGTGCCTCGGCGTTCAACAAACCGATCGGCAACTGGGACGTCTCCAAGGTGACGGATATGAATGGTATGTTCTACTTCGCCAAATCCTTCAACCAGGATCTCAGCGGATGGGACGTTGGAAACGTCAATGATATAACCATAATGTTCGACGACGCCTCGGCCTTCGACCAGGACCTCGGCTGGTGCATGCAGAGCGACGTTCAGATGAACGACGACGGAACCCCGTCCTTTAACGCGAGATGCGGCATCCACGTCAAGGGCGTCGACTGCTAAACACCGACGTGACGACGTCCAAAACCCCTCCCCTCCCTCCCTACCCCTGAATAACACAAACCAAATTTATTTCTCTGCGGTCGCAGCATCAGTAGCCACGGCGACCGGCCGCAGGTCCTTCATAGACGTAGGCCGCGCGATGCTCATAGTTCCGCCCAGCAGCCCGAGCGGCTCGCCGCTAAACGACGCGTACGCGCGCAGCCCGTGCGAGGACCGCGCCCGCTTCTCCGTGTCGGCCTCCCGCCGCACGTCCGCCACGCGCCGCCGCGCCGCCGCGACGGCCCGCAGCACCTTGTGCGACGGGCCGGGCGCCGGGAAGAGGGGCACGGCCGGATCGGGCAGTGCCGGAAGCTTCTTCCTCGTCCGCGTCGGCGAGGCGGGCGTCGGCGGCGCCGTCAGCGCGAGACGCGTGCCGTCCGGAGGTACTAAATCTAAAGCGTCCAAGCCCGACGAAAGCGCGAGCGTCCTGCGTCGTCGCAATCCATCTATAACCGTGTCACAGGATAAGGGCGGCAGCTTGCCCAGGTGTTTCTCCCTATATCTATCACCGATCGACGTGAGCACGGGAACCATCTTGGGCGTCGTCCGCAGGAGCAACTCGCCGTAGGAGACACATTGCGGGTCCCGAGATCTTTTCCTGACGAGGGGCTCGACGGTCCTTAGTACAATCTCGTCCTCCTGGTCATCATCCGGAAATCTAGGTTCGAAGGGCGCGTAGACGATGTCGTTCAACCGTTGCTGTTCAGCGCGAATGTACTCCTCCTCCGCGTCGACGCTCTCCTCGTCCTCCTCTTCCACAACTTCTTCTGCGACAGGCAACCGTTGCAATGCCAACAAGGGCGCGATGGCCTGCTCGGCGTAGAAGCGCAGACAGTTATTGGCGACCTCCGCAGCTTCGAGTCGCTGCATCGCCTTGTGCACAGCTTTTTGAGCCTCCGCGTCCAGCCGATCGAGCTCATCTTGGACCTTCTTTTGCGCGCGTTGTTTCCTTATCTGAACAAACAACGCCTCGACCCTGTCCACCTCAGCCTTATTAGCACGAACCCGAGCCGCCCGCTCGTCCTGGTGCTTCTTCCGGCGAGCCTCCTCTCGTCTTTGACGAGCCCGCTCCAAGCGCGCCTTGCGCTCCTCGGCCTCCCTGCGCGCTCGCTCTTCTTCTTCGAGCTGCTTCTGATACGCTCGATCTCTCGCCTCGTCGCCGTTGTCGAGGCCCGAGCCGACGCCTCTTGTTCTGTTAAGACCTTCGGAGTCCTCGAAACCTGTGCGGAATCAACCAGTGAGTCGCGTGATCGCCACGCCATCGAGCAGGCGTCGCGTCGATGGCGTTTCAGGACGCAGCTCGAAACCCTTCTCGACCTCCGTCAGCAGCACCTGCCGGTCCTCCTCGTAGAAGACTTGCGTGACGTCTCGTACAGCTTTGTGCGCATCGACCGTGACCGAAAAGGCACCGACCGCGTCGTACGTGACTTCGAGCTCAAGTAAAGCCTGTCGCATCAGTGCACTCCGTCGGTCCTCGTCGACCATGCCTTTACGAGAACCGCGCTGGCGCTTGCCCTCCTCGCGCGCCCATTTTTCATCCGTCCATTTCTTCGCCGCGTCGGCCTGCGCGGAAACGGTGTCGCGACGCGGCCGCGTCGACGGCGTCGCGGCGGCCGCGTCCACTTGAAGAACATATCAATGGACTCTGAGTCGCGTACCTGGAGCCTTCTCAGTAAATCTAATTCTCGCTGTAATCGGTCCGCCGAGTACCACCGCAACATTTCATTGACGGACCACCGCTCGTCACTCGTTGAGGGATAGACTTGATACCGAATAGGAGGGGGTGGGGGTCTTGCGGGTACGGCCAGCGGTGGTAAACTCAGTATGAGGAACTGATTCTGATTGGAATCGGGCGTCGATCCGGGCAGGTCCCGGCAGGCTCGAAACCGTCTCTTACATAATTCGTTCTCCGCGGCTTTGGCCAGAAATACGGCACGCATTGGAGAAGCACCGTACCACCGCTTGAAGGCGTTCGAGCACTGATCGAGACCGGGAATGCCATCAGCCTCCGCTTTATCTAAGACGTCTTGGTCCTCGTGGGCTCTCTTACACTCAAACTCGGTGAAGACGCGATTCCGCGTCTCGGCATCGGTCGAGTACCACTTGACAAATACCTCGACTCTGGATAAACGTTCAGGCGTCTCGAAATCTTCCGGTTCTGGTACTTGAATCATCTGCTCCAAGGCCGAACCGACGACATCGGGCAGCAAGCACGCGAGCCGTAGTTCATTGTTCCGCGACGTAGAATCAAGGGAATCCCACAAAGGCGCCGTAGGTTCGCCCTTGTCTTCCCGGTTCTCCAGCGAGTCGAGCGCCATCTGGTCCGCCCGCTTGATGACGACGTCCTCGTCGAAGTCGCCAAACAGCTCGATGTCGTCCGGGTCCGGCAATTCATCATCTTGCGTTGCTCTCTGGATCTTCTTCTCCTTCGCGCCCCTCTGCATGCGCAGCATGGTCATGATCATGCGCACGTAGACGCGCAGGTGCTTTCTTTTCGGGGGCACGTAGTTGGCCAGCGCTTCCTCGATCTTGCCCTTGACCTGCGCGGATTCATCCCGTCACGGCTCACTCTCTGATGATCATGACGACGGCGTCGCGGCGACGGCGTCGTAATTCCCACGCAGAATCACGGACCTCGTCGACCTTGTTGGCTCTGCCTCCCAAGAATGCTGTGCGCGCTTTCAGGCGCGCCGCAGCAGCAGCTAGGCGCGCCTGGACGCGCAGCGCCTTCGCGGCGGCGTCCTTCTTGCGCTTCGGCGTACTGACACGCGTCGTGTGCGTCCGCGTGGGAGAAACCGCTTCAGAGCCGGAGGGCGACTTGACGGCTTCAGGGACGGCCTCGGCCACAACCACGGTCTCCGGCTTCGCCTCGACCACCTTGGCCACGGGCGCCGGCAGTGGTTTCAGAGCGGCGACCTCCACCACCCCGTCGTTGGGCTTGCTCGAAGCTTTAAATGAGGCCTTGTGCGCGGCCTCCTTCTTCGCCTGGGCCCGACCGCCTCTGACGAACGGGACAGCTTCTTCCTCCTCTTCAGACTCTTCGGCTGCCGCGAACAGGTCGTCAAACCCTTCATCCTCGAATTCCTCGCTGTCCGAGTCGTCGCAGGCCCCGGAGTACCACTTCTGGAACTTCTCGACCCGCGCAGCAGCTTCGGGGTCGCTCTTGGCCTTCTCGAAATCTTCCTTCGACGGTGGCGTGACGCCCTCGGCGGCGGCCGCTTCTTGCATGTTAGATTGTGTTGCGGCAAACATCATCTCCCTCTCGAGGAACTCCTTCCGCACCTGACCGGACCGGGGCCACCAGTGCTCCCAGGCGTCCCATCGTTTCTTGGCCGCCGGATTTCTCTCTCTGATAATTGGCTTCCAGTCATCTGGTTTACAGAGTTCTAATCCAGCTTCCTCAATAGCTGCCTTGACGAGCTTGTCCTTCAAAGCGGCGTTCAGCTCCGTCTGCCGCGCCTCCGGGGACAGGTCGGCCCAGCCAATACCTATTTCGTTCTCCGCTAGTGCACCTACTTGTGGTAGCGGTGGCGTCGTGAAGGCGATTCGTGATGCCACCAGGAGCTCCCTAGCCTTGTCTTGGAGGTTCTTGCAGAGCTTGGGTCGAGAGTCGTCCGGTGGGACTTCCGTCACGATAGCGTAAGCTACATAATCCTTATCTGGCTGTAACCCTTCCAAATCAACGGCGTCGTCAGTCGCGACGACGCCGTCTGATAGTACTTCATCGTAGGCCGGCGGCGGATCCGAGACTAGTGCAGCTTTCACATAAACTTGCAAGGCACACCGCCCCTCCGGTAACCGCCGCGCTTGCCTTAGCACATCCTTTGACTCTGCTAACTCTTCGGCATCCGACGTACGTTCATAAGCCACTCTCAGCTTCACGAGGACGACGTGAGACACCTCCGGAGGGTCCTCACTCAGGACGACCTCCTCGCAGCTATTGTTGAGAACTGAAATGGCCGTGACCGAGGGACCCAGCCTCGAACGGATGAACTCGCAATCGAGCAACCGAGCGAACACGATGAAATCCCGATAATTGCCCCGGTCGCCGCCGTGCTTGCAGCGGTGCGCCTGCTTGTACAAGTCCCGGACCGCACCCTTGTCGACACCTAATGCGGTACCATTGGCCGCTACAGGCCACTGCATCAGTCTAGGAAAGGGCAGTAATCTTTTTTTGTCGTTTGGTGGTAATAGCGAATTAAAAATCTCGTACAGCCCCAGATCGTACTCATCTAGCGAAGCCCGCTCGGCGGCGAGGGGGTCCTCCGGTTCTGCCGCTTCCTCCTCGTCGGCCTCGAGCTGCGCGCGTCTCGCAGCTTCTTCGCGTAACCGCTCGGCCTCCAGTCGACGCGCCTCCTCCTCCTCCTCCTGTTGTAAACGCTTGAGTTCCGCCTCATGCCTCGCTCGAGCGCGAGCCTCGAGTTCGGCTAACCGTCTCCGTCTCTCATATTCTTCATCAGAAACCCCGTCCTCGAAGACGAAGCCCCAGTGCCGGCCCCTGATACCTTTTATCGGCTCATTATTCTTCTCCTCCAGCCTTCGACGTTTCTCGGCCATGAGCTCCCGAATTTCCTCGGCTTCCAATCCGCCCAGAGGCATCTGGCCGAGGCTGACCGCCTCCTTCTTCCTCGCCTTGAGGAGGGCCCAGCCCTTGGGCTTGACCTTCTTCTTGCGGAAGACTAACGATAAATCCTCAGCTTCGACCGGTGTGGGCGACTTCGGGCGTTTCCTCACGTCTCGGATGCCCCTCATGGCCTTGCGAGCTCGCTCCTTTCCTTTCATAGCGTGCTTGTCGGTCAACGACGACGTGAACTTCATGGTCGTGAGCTTGTCGTCCGTAATCGCGGGGCAGGATTGCGAAGGAGCGACGTTCGACGTGATGTACGGCGGCCGCCACGCCGACTCGTCCGCGTCCGCGCCGTAGATGAGGGCCAATTTCCGGCGCCGCTCCAACTCGTCGTGATCCAACGGTTCCTCGTCAATCGACGGCGGCGCCCAGTCCTCGATAGCTGTCACGTCAATAGGTCCCTCCAAAGCACCTTTGGGCGGCGTCGACGCCGGCATGAGATTCGCGTGTCTACTCACGTGTTCCTTCGTGTGCGGTTGGAGCCGCGGATCGTCGGCCGGCAAGGGCCCGAGCTTCTTCTCCTTGAGGATCTGTTGTCGGTAGGCGCTCGTGCCGGGCAAAGAAGGTGCCACTGGTTTATCGACGGTTTTCAACTGTCTACCAGTGGTATCCGAGGGCGCTACGGGTACGATGGTAGCGGACGGAGAACAGGGCTGGGTCGGGGGCCGCTCTTCCTCTTCAATGGCAGTGCCGGGCCGAGCAGTAGCCTTGTTCTCAAGGTGGGCCGGATACGCCTGTCTAGGCCCCCGATCCGCCGTATGCTGCACAATATGCGAGGGAATCTCCGGATTGTGCGTAGGCCCTTTGCCGAAATACGTAATCAGTAGATTCGGCGTCCGCGGTTGCCTCTTCACGGATTCTTTGTGGAAGACCCGCTTCTCCACCGGAGGAGGTGGCGTCCCGGGCGGCTTCACGGAGCCCTCCTTGCCGCCCAGGATGATGGCCCTTGACTTACTCTCGCCAATTTCCACATCGCACCCGCGGAAATTGTGAGTCGTAAAGTGCTGGTCGTGGTCGACGTCCGGTAGCTTCTGGCGTAATGGTGTCGGTGGTCGTTGCGGTATGATGGCATACATCCCAATGCGGCCGAAGACGTCGCGTCGTCGCCGCTGCACGATCATTGAAGACGTAGACGCGTAGGAGCCAACAAAGCGCCATAAATCAGGGTCGCCGCCCTTCAACGGCGGTAAAATGACTAGTGAGGACGGTGCCCGACTCACCGGAAACCTCTCGCGAGCTTGTAAACCGTGCTCGTCAAGCACCCACCTTACTATGGATTCGGCCGACGCCGTCAGTAGCGAGTAGGCTTGGCCACCCTTGGAGGACGCTATACATGTAACAGAAGATGCATGGCACGTCTGCGTCATAGTCCTGACGGATTCATCCTGACCAGGTAGTACCCACACTTCTAGAGAGCCAGTAGCACTTCCGATAACAATCTCACCCACTAGACCTTTCCGCGGCTCTAGTACAGCAGCACAACCACATGCAGACGCATCAAACCGTCCCACCAGCGGAAAGCGCATGTCTCCTTCATCTTCATCCAATATTGACGATAAGTCCCACAACCGGCACTCGCCATCTCTCGACAGAACGAGAACCTGCGTCCCGATGGCCTCCGCCAGGAGGATGGGCGCGCCGTGCTGCGGCAGGTGGAAATCAGGCTGAGAACCTATTTCCGCCGACCAGCCGCAGATCTCGCCTGAACCGTACGCCGCCAAAAAGACCTCGCGCTGGTCGTCGCCCGCAATATTATCGATCAGAAAAGACGTGCACGCCGCGACGTACGACGCCCTACCAAGCAGTTTTCGGGGTTCGCGGCCTCGCCCTCGCGAGTGGGGCGTGATGATCTCGAGATCTCCGTCCTCAAATCCAACGAGCCAGCCCGGCTCACTATCGCCAAAGGCCTTGAGCAAGACTCGGGCGATGGCCGACGGTACTCTTGTTAGTGGTCCTGCGGCGTCGTCGCCGTCCAGGTAATTCTTTGATAGAGTGATCAAGGTATCCTCGGAAGATTGGAGTTGTACTATCTCCTCAGACACTTCTACGCGTCGCTCGGAGTACGGTTCATGCGTGAGACCACAGATGACTGCCTTGCCCGCACAGACGACGACGCGAGACTTGTATCCGAACACCTTCATAAAACCATCGCCGGAGATGGGTAGGAGTTGCGGCACGCGCGCGCACAGCACAGCTACACAACCGTCCTGCGAGACGTGCCAGCCTCTCACTGTTCCTGATGAATCACCGACAAGTAACAAACAGCAGTCCTCGGATTCGGCGTCGCACAAAGTCGAGGTCAGGGGCGCGTAATTGCGGTGGTCGACCTTGGTCCGGGCCTCGGCCTGGTGGGCTCCATCTAAAAACCACAATCTTGTACAAGTGCGGCGCATGGTCGCTTGTCTCATTTTTCGTCGCTCTTTGTCGGATTTCGGTTCGGACTTGGGCGTCGGTCTTTCCAGAGCAGCGAAGCATCGACTGGGCGCATGTAAGTGCGCCCGGAACAGCTCCGACGAAGCCATAGGCCCATTGAGCTTGGCACCGGCAGCTAATGATTGCCCGGTATAGGCGTCCCAGCACCAGTAGTCGCCCTTCGCACTGAGGGCTACGAGGACGCCGGCGTCGTCCGAAGCACATAACGCGGTAATCACAGCATTTTTATCGACCTTGATCTCCAGGCGCTGGGGAGCTTTCACATCTCTCTGGTCAAAGCCTCTCAGTGAATGACACCGGACCGCTCCTGGGTGTGCTGATATCAACTCGCCGAGACCGCCATGTATAGTACAAGCCGTCGGCCTCGAATCGAGTACGAGTAACGGGTAGTGATGGATCTTATCGTCTCCAATATAAGCGTGGACTTCGCGTTCCTCTTCAAAAACAGCTACGAAGCAGCCCTTCTTTCTCGGCACATGTAACAGTGAGGACGGTACTATCTGGCCGATGGTCCGTTTCGTCGCTAGAGCTTCGCACTTCGATGGACGTTGGATGTCGTCTTTCAAAGGCCACCTCCATAAAGTGAGTAAACCCTTGGCGTCGCAGGCCAGCGCGAGGTCGTGGGCGGCGTCGAGGGCCGCGGCGGCGCATTTCGCGTCGTCCCATCGCGCGCTGGCTTCGACCTGCAGGGCCCAGGACGACGCGTAGGTGATCGGAGGAGCCATGCGGGCTCGGCGCTGGCTGCCCCAGGCAGGCTGCCCACTCTATGGGGTAGCGCCACCCTTGGTGCTGCTCAGCACGGCTGGCTGTCCAGCCCGTCTCGTGGACCTACGAAAGGCGTGCCCCCTTCACTTCTGCCCGCGAGGGCAAGCCGGGACGCCGCGTCTCGCAGCCCAGCGCCGAGGCGCTACCGCAATCGCCACTAGCCGGGTTTTGGCGGTTGGCTTCGCGAACCCTGGCCCGAGGCGTCGCCTTGACCTTTCTAAGAGCCGGAAAATACCAGTCACTGGCAAAACTGGAGGAACCCGTACTCGACGTTGGTCTAACAGGACAGGCTGCGAAGGGCGCCTCGCACGCACGCTACGCGTCAAGGTTGCACAGGACGCAGCCCCGCGACGCCTCTACCGATAGACCAGCAGCCCGCGCTCGAAGGGCTGCGGCGCAGAGGCCCGGTACGTAAGACCACAACCGACGAAGCCAATCATGGCCTTGGTCCTGCACAACGCCGCCGAGGCGGCGAAGCGCCAGCCGAACAAGCGCAAGACGCCCGTGCCCACGGTCCCCGGCGGCGAAGTACTCATCGAAGTGCAACCGACCGACGCGGGCCGCGAAGCTCTGCAGCGCCTCCACAAAGCGTCAAATGCGCCGTCCCTCGTCACACTGGCGGCGCACTTCCCGCCCTCGTCGGCGCCTTGTTCCACGAGAGACGCTCGGTTAGTGGCGGACGCCGCTAAAGCATTGTGTAGAGGTGCTACGGCGACCCATCTACGAGGCCTCGAGGTGAGTGGCCAAGTACCTTCGCAGTGTGTGGATGCGGTCCTATCAACACTATCCCTGCAACCGAAGCAAAGCGTGTCGTGCGGGCTGCGCTACGTGACCCTGGAAAGCCTCGCGCTCTCCGCCGAGTCGACGAGATTACTATGTGGCTCTCTCGGAAAGTGTCCCGCGTCCATCATCTCGTTGCGACGATGCGGTCTCGACGATTCATGTGCCATTCACGTCGCCAATTTGATAAGAGCGCACGCGTGCCAGCGCGACGAGTCCGCGTGGGCGCGCGGCTTACGACTCGATGCCTCGAAACGGCGCCTGCCCGGCGAGGGCGGGTTGCGAGCGTTTGACCTGACCCACAATTGTCTGGGAGATGCGTTGTGCGACCACGTGGCTTCCGCGCTGTCGGCGGACCAACACCTGTTGGCATTGAATTTGAGTCACAACCGCGTCACAGCTAAAGGAGCGCAACATTTCGCTTCCGTGTTGGTGGATGCTCCGTCCGAGGGCAACGCCTTGCTGTGGTTGGGTCTGGAAGGCTGCAAAGGGTTTCTGAGTGACGCCTACGCACAAACCTCGAAGGCACTCGAACAGAGGAGAGAGAAGGAGTCAACTAGTAGTATGGCCGAGGCCGACGCGGCAGCAAGGCAATTAATAGAGTGCTGGCTACGGGATGCCACGACCACACCCCCGACGGAACTGCTCATAGCGAACAGCCAGAAGCCGCCCTCGCCAGACGACGCAGCGGCGGAGCTCTTCGCGAGACGCGTGGGCACGCACGCCCCTTCTCAAAGATTCCGGAGCCCGGAGGAACTTGATGCTTGCTTGAGAGGTGTCCGCGTCGACGTCGCGGATGCCAGAGAACTGCGAGCAGCAGACGCGGCGGTACGTAGAGCCGCGAAAGCTTTGCGGCGAGATTCCGATTGTGATGAATGGGCCGCCTCCTTAGCTTCGTCGGACGGCTGCGTGTCGAGTGCCGCTGTTTTATCTGGACTGAGAGTACTACTGGCAGGAAGCCCGCAAGCGTTGATCGACGCGGCGGCGCGTCGACTGGACGCCTTGGCGGGGCAAGCTCCCGGCGTGCGCGTGCCTGCGACGGAGTACGGGCAAGCGTTGCGGGAGGCCGCGGAGCATTCGGGTGATCAGCACGCGGCCGCTCGCGACGACGCCGTCGGTGCTGTTCTCGACGCTATCGATGCGTACGTCAAGACGAAGGGACGCGTGGGGCTGTTCCAGGACATCGCTGGGAAGAAGCGTAGCGCGTCGGTGGCCGACCTGCGGGACTTTTTGAGTCGGGAAGGCCTCGGGACGGTGACAATCGAGGCGGCGACCGATCAACAAGATGAGTTGAACTTCGTGTCTTCGTCTCGAGCGCGGCGCGGGACGAAGCAGTCCGCGAAGAAGGCAAGACTCCCGCGCGACGCGGAACAGGGCGACCTGGCCTCGTACTTGGTGGCGTTGGCCGGTGCGCCTAAAAGGTTGACAGCGACGCAACTGGGAGCTGCCTTGATCGATGCGAAACGTAGAGCCTCGCGAGCGTTGGAAGTTGCGTCGCAAGCGTTGGCTGTGAGAGGCGTCGCAACTTCCTTACAAGTTGACCTGGAGGAGTGGAGCCGCGCCCTGGACCCGGACGTGACGGGCAAAGTGTCCAAGGCGACCCTCATCGAAAGTCTCATGTCAAGTCAGCCGGCCCTGCAAGCGGCCGGCGACCCGGCGAAGCTCGCGGCATCTTTACAGGCCGACGCCATCCTCGCCTTCGCCGGCTGCGACGAGGCGGACTGCCAAGTTGATGACGTCTGTCGCGTGCTGACGGAGAGTGGTGATGTCGGTGCCAAGGCTCTCAGACGAGTCGCCCACGGCGCCGGCGCCTGTAGCGTGCTCGAACATGCTCGCAAGAACCGCTGGACCATCTCGACATTGACAAGGCAACTGCGAGGCAAGAAGGACGCCGCGCGCGCGCCGCCGGGCTGCACTCGCAACGAACTGAGGTCGGCTCTACGACGGTGGGGTCTGACGACCCAGGAAGAGAACTGCGTCGACCGGTTCCGGGAGATGACTACCAGAAAACCTATAATCGTGCCGCCTTCACCCAAGAAAACTGTCCAGAAAAAGAAGGAACCGACTGTTTCCAATAAGAAAGTAACAGTGCTGTCGCTGGCGGACGTGTTGACCTTTGCTCGCAGAGTCGCTGACGACGACGCTGCTGCCGTGTCTTCCACTCGCTTAGATGATGCGGTCCGACGATCGAGGAGACGAGCAGCCACGGCCGCGAAGTTACGCGAAGGCGCGTCCGACTTGGAGGCTCTACGAGCCGAGTTACGGGACCGCGGCGTCGAACTAGATGCCTGGCTCGAAGCCGCTGAACGAGTAGTCCCTTTATCCGGTGAATTGCATCCTTCCGGGACTCTCTCCGCACCCGCGGCTCTATCCGCGGCGGACCTAGCTACTGGACTGAGCGGCTTGATGCGCGTCAGCGAAGCCCCGGCCGCGGCCCGGGACGCCCTGACGTCCATCGTCGACCGCGCGGTTCATGCTCTTGCGGCCTATGCGCGCGAGCCGAGCGACTTCCCGGCTCTTGAGTTGCGAGAGTTGCGCGCGGCGAACGCGCGAGCGGCGGCCGTGGCCAAACGAGCCCGAGACGACGACAAGGTCTCGGACGCGAAATTGGTGGACGCGGCCTCCGATCGGAGAGACGCCGTCGTCTTTAGGGTCGCGGAGGCCATCGACGCCATCCTGGAGAGGAAGAAGTGGCGCGTCGCTGATCTGTTGCAGGCGGCAGTCGCTTTCGACGACCGCGGTCAAGATAAATGTTCGCCTCGAGCGCTGTGCAGAGCTCTCAGGGCGTGGGGCTTGTTTCGCTGTCGAGATGCCGCGGAAGATGCTGATTATGCTAGATTTATCGGCGAACCGAGGTCGATCTCGAAGCCCCCACCTCCTCCAAAACGCAAGGACCCCTTCCGGCGGAAGAAAAAGGTCCAGCCGCCTCCCGTTGAAATCCCGAAACCTAGAAGAAAAACACCTCGGAGAAAAGCTCCTCCCTCGAGACGGAAGCCGTCGGCGGCCCAGGCCGCCAAGGACGCCGAGGAAGCGGACCTGCTGGCGCAGCTCGAGTGCGCGCTCGTGACGATGGCGTCCAAGATCTCGCACATCGAGTCGAAGCTCGAAGGGAGTTCTACGTAGTCAAGTCCCCCAATCCCCAGCATAAGACTACTTAGGCGTCCTCCGCGCGCGCGACGGTCTCCTCGTACTTCTTCGCGAACTCCATAGCTACATGTCTGAACGGCCCTTCGTAGTTCCCTTGCAAAGCCGACGTCTCGAAGTACACGAGGCCGTTCTCCTTGGCGAAGTCGCGGCCCCTTTGCTCATCAACGACTCGCCTTTCCTCCAAGTCGATCTTATTGGCAACTAACACTCCCGGTAACCTGTCCTCCCGCCCTTTCCTGACTCCCTGGATCCACTTCGCACACGACGCAAACGAATCCTCCTTCGTCACGTCATACACGACAAATAAGAACCCGGCCTGGTCGTACTGCGACGCGTTCTCCTCGACCTGGTTGAAGACGGGGTCTCCGGCGCAGTCAAACAAATAAAGCTCGACCGCCGTCGACGTGTCGGGAATGTCCACCTGCTTGACCCGAAAGTCGACCCAGGACGTCATGACGTACTGCTTCGGGTAACTGGCGCCGCCGCTGTGGAACATGGAGATGAGCGCTGATTTTCCTACTGTGGCGTCGCCCACAACAACTACTTTGCACCGCAGCATGAGAATGGTCCGGTGCGTCGTCTCCATGCTCCGCAAGCAGCTCTCCATGGGCTCGGGGACCTCCCACTTTTGGGCCTCGACCGGAGCGTCCTCTCCTTTTTCCTCTCCGACCGCTGCCATCGTGATTGCTGGTTGGCGGCGCGGCTGCCGGGCTGCCGGAGTTGCTCGGGCCGCTTCGGTTCGTCACAGATGCGAAGCGCTTCCGCCCGCGGGCCTCGGCTCGTCGGGCTTTGGCCTCGGCGCGCTCGTCGGTTGGTGGGGCAGCAGCTCGAACCCGAACCCGCGGGAAATGGCCAGTAGTGTTCTGGGCCGTGTGTGAGGCGTCCTGGACTGCCTTCTAGGCGTCCTGGGAGCCGCCGTTAAGCACACAACCTAGCTGCAAGACACTAGCAAGAAAGCGCCTGGCCGCAAAAAGCTGCCAAGCACTCGCGCCGGAGCTGCATTTGTGTAGATTCGCAGCGAACGGACTCGTGCCAACCTCTGCGCCGCAGCCAGGCCCGAAAAATCCATCTATAAAGTCTCGCAACGACTCAAAAAGCAGCGCACTCCCAGAGAGCCAGACTAGGAAGCATAGCTGAGGAGATGATCTCCCTCCAGTCCATGAAGCGCCCGCCCTCACCGCTGCAGCCGGAGCGCGAGTCCTCGTGGCGCGACTTCCGCGAAGCTGCATCCGAGCGACGCAAACGCGCGAGACGACGACGGCTGGACGTGGCATTCCTCGCGGTCGGGTGCGCGGCGGCCGAGCTGCCGGCGGGCGCGGCGCCGGCGCTATTGCCCGCGCTGGCGGCGTGCGGCGCGACGTTCGACGGGCTCTGCCTTGTTGGCGTCGCGCACCACGTGGGCGTCGCCGTCGCTGCCGCGGTGGGCGTCACGAGCGGCCGCATTGCGTTGGGCGCCGTGGCGGTGGCCTGCGCCGTGCTCGCGGCCGCGCCGCTCGAACGAACCGAATCGTCGACGCTCGCCGCGACGCTCGCCGTCGCGCGGTTGATCGGCGGGTTTTCCGCACGCGCTGCTGCTGATGGCCTCGGCGCGCGCGTCTCCGCCGCGGCCGCCGCGGTTACGACCGACGCCGATGAAGCGAACACGGCGTCCGCGGCGCGAAAAGCCGCCCTGATCGCCGCCGCGGCCCCGACGCTCGGCGCCTCGCTGGCGTTCGCCATCGCCCTCGTGTTCTCGGCGAGCCGCGCGTACGACGATGAGATCACGGCCATGGGCACGTGGCGCTACGCCTGGAGCTTTTTCGGTCTCATTGTGTGTGCGGCGACGGCGGCCCTGCCGGCACCGCCAGCGCGGCCGCGGGGTGCGAGCGAATCGGAGACGTTGGGTGAGCCAGTCTCGCCCCCGGCGGCTCCGTCGCCCGTGGTCACGCGCGCGGCGGTGGCGGCCGTTACTTTGGACGCGGGCCTCCGCTGCGCATCGCATGTAGGAGTGGTCGTTGCCGCCGCGGCGTGGCCCGACGACCAAATCCGAGGCGCCGCGGTGGCAGCGGCGGCCTACATCGGCGCCGTGCCGCTTGGTGCTGCGATTGGCGCCGTCGCGTTGCGCTGCGCGACCGCGCGCGACAATCGACGAGCAAATGCCACGGAGACCCAACGCCGCGGTAGGCTCTTCCGGCTCACCTTGCCGGCGTCGCCGCGCGCGGGCCGCTATGGATCCATCCCAGCTCGATGGAGAACGGCGACCGAGCTCCGTCTCGCGGCCGCGCGGCGCCGAGCGGCTTGCGTCGTCGCGATCGTGTTTTGCGTCGCGGCGCTCGCCGTCGCGAGCCACGCTAGCGGCGCCGACGCGCGGACGGCCGCCGTTCTACTCGGTGCGGCCGTGGCCGTTGCATGTGGCTCGTTGCCCGCGCTCGCAGTCCTCTGCGGGAACGCCAACCCGACGGCCTCGCCCGGGTCAGCGCTGCTGCGCGCTTTTCCTTTGTGTATTGCGGGGCTCGTCAAATCAGCCGCTGCTTCTCCAGACGCGATTGCGACGGCCGCGACCGCTACGGCGGGCGCCGCGCTACGCTGGTTCCCAGGCTTCGCGGCCGCCGCGCTCGTTTTCGCGCTCTGCGCGAGGCATCGAACGCCAGTCGTCGGACCGCCGAGTCCGCCGCGGGCGCCGCGGGGATACGTCTCGTTCCCGATCCCGCAGACTCCTGCGGCACCTTAATGTTAATAATATGTACACATTACACAACTACACAACACTTGGGGGCCGCGACAAAAGCGGGCTATCCGTCCCGGAGCCCGCTGATCGGGTCCGCGCGCGCCCGAGGACCGGCGGCGCCGTCGGCGACGGCCGCGAGTGATACGTCACGACGCCGGCGACCATGGCGACCAATGCCAGGAAATATAGCGGCGGCGGCAAGGCCCGGGCAACAGCGGCCGAGAAGAGAATGGCCCACGCATCACTCGCAAGCAGATTGAGGTTGTAAAACGCCGCGTCGCTTTTTGCCATGAACTGGGCCGTGAGAGAATAGAGTAGTACCATCGTACCGACGAAGAGGATCAGATATATGTTCGCTGCGGGGTCATCGGAAGCCAATATCCAAAACGCGTCTGCGATTTGTCGGTGCTCAAGGGCCGCCGCTTGCACGACGGAAACGCAAAAGCCAGCAACGCCGAGGCGCCCGAGGAACGCTCCCGGCGTCGGGAGGTCTCTCACCAAGTACTCCTGCATGACATTTGACGCGGCATAAAGAGCGGCGCCGGCCATGCAGAGCGCGTCGCCTACTAACGGATGAGGCGCCGGCGTCAGATCGATAGCGCCGCCGCCCGCGCCCCATGGCGGTGGTAGAACGTCCGAGAACACCGTCAGCGCGGCCCCGACCACGCACGCCGCCGCGCCGACGAGGTGGAGCCGCGTGAATTGGGCGCCCAAGGCGAACTTCGACAGCACCAGCACGCACGGTATGGCGAAGCAATCGAGGAGCATCACGGACGTCATCGACGTGTGCTGAAACGCCTTGACCACGAGGTAATTGCCCTCGACGTCGAAGACGGCAATCGCTAGCCAGACGAGAGGGCCCGGCGCCGTGTCGCTGGCGTCGTCCGCGTAGATCAGCGCCAGTATTGCATAGACGAATGCCGACTGTGCGGTCGGCGCATTTACACCACTTGCCGCGAGCATGGACGCGCCGGCACCAGTGGCAGCCGCAAGCACTGCGCACAACTGGCCGTGCGCCACGATTGTTTGTTTACTACTCTCTGCGCGCTGCAGCTCTGCATGCGCTTGAGCCGCCATTCGTGCCCGTGCGGTTCGAATCGATCGCGCAAATTCTTTATTGCTGCACACAGTGCTGTGAACTAATTCTATATGGCTCAATTAAGGCGCTAAATGCAGCCGTCGGCGTGTCTCGGCACTTAGCCCAGCCCACTGCGTTTGCTAGTGTCTTACAACCGCTAGTCACGGGACCCGCTAGCGGCAGCATGGGTTTTGTAGCACCCTCTCCACGCCATCGCCGCGAGCATTCGCCAAGAAAACGAGAAAAAACGACCCGCCTTACTACGAAAGCAGCACCGACGACGCGCGCGACGCCGTGCCCTCGAGGAAGTCCGAGTACGCCGTCGACAGACAGAGCAGCCCCAGCCCGGCGACGAGGCCGCCGACGACGTCGCTGAAGGCCTCGGGGTCGACCTTCCTGTTTATAGTGGTGCCCGCGGCCGACGCCGCTAATACCAATGGTAATGCCGCGGCGCCTTGGGCCACAATGTCCGCGCTCAACAACCCTTCGGCGTTGAAACGAGCCAAGGACAAGATCTGCACCGGCAAAAAGAAGCGGATCAGCATCGCCCTTAAAGTTGGTGGTGACCAACCTCGGGCTTTGCCCAGAACAACGGCGACCGGACCGGGCTCGGCAATGGCCCCGCCCAAGAAACCCGCCGCAAAGCCATACGGTATGGTAGTAGCCACGCTCGCCAATTTCGCTTCTTCAGAAGCAGGCATCTCCTCGCTCTCGCTGCCGAAGATGTCGTAAAGGCCATACAGCAGCAGAAAGGACCCGACGCCGGCCCGTATCGCCCAGGGCTCGACCTGCACCAGTGCGGAGACGCCTATCGGCACGCCCGCGGCGGCACCTCCAATCATCGCTGCACTTGTGGACCATCTGCCTGCAGCTTGTTGAATGCCTCCTTCGATGTCCGCGACCGCGTTCGCCGCCGTCAGGAAGAAAGTAACGAACACGACTAAAGGTGCGGCTTGCGTCGCCTCGAAGTGGAAGAGGACGGCTAACAGAGGCACGGCTATCACGGCGTCTCCGAAGCCAAAAATAGAAGCGAAGAGAGACGCCCCGGCCTGCAGCAAGCAGATCCTCAAATCAACATGGGGTAACGCTTGAATAATTTGGGTGCCGAAGGGCGTCAAAGCGAGTGCCGCGGCGCCGGCCGTCGAGGCCGCCGCGACGGCGGTCTCGGCCGTCGCGCCGGCGGCCGCCTCGGCCGTCGCGCCGGCCGTCGCGCCGGCCGTCGCGGTAGCCGCTGCTGCGGCGATGTCGACCGCGGCCTCGACGAGGGGCGCGGCGGCGCGCAGCGCGGTGGTCGCGCCGCGGACGTAGCACGTCGGCGGCAGCATTGTGCGGTCGAGACCGCACAAGTGCGAGTGGTAATTACTTGGCAAGGCGCCTCGACGGCGTTAGCTGCTGTGGTTGCTGCCAGGTGCTATGTACAGTGATGCTTGTTTGGCACGTTCTGCTGCAGCTGTTTGAGTTTGCGCTGCTTGGGTGATCAAAGAATGAGCTGCTAGGAGTCCGACAACGATCGATCGTCGCCCACGCGGCGCGATTCACGCGATGCTATTAATATAGCTGGCTGGGGCGACCCGCACGCCGCCTAAGCGTACGCCTCGACGACGCAAACCTCGACCACAGACTTACTCCACGCGTGCCCGCTTCTCCCCGCCACCCTCTTCCCCATAAGCGTCGACGTCGTTGTCCGCCCACACTCCCGGGCCGGTACTTCTACCCACGACGTCCCCATCCTCCTCCTCCTCCCGAGGTCTCTTCTGAGCGGACTCTTTTTGGGCCTCCCGCTCCTCCCGTCGCACCTGCACGCCCGCCAGGTGCTGGCCGTACTTGTTGCCGAAGATGTTCCGAGGGGCGTCACTTGATGAAGCACAACCTCTACAGCCCGTAGTGGGACACTCGACAACACTAGACTCACCCAAGGACGAGGGCGGCACTCTACATATAGAAACAGTGCCAAAATTGTAGTTCCGCGTGTTGATGACGTAGGTGCTACACAGGCGCTCATAGCCCGGCTTCCGCCACTTCTTCGCGAGATTTTCGTCAATTATTTTGTTGCGGCAGCAGTAGTCCCAGACTTTTTTATCGATCTTCTTGTACTTGTAGTGCATGTCGTAGACGTATCTTGTCCTTTGCCAATTTATCTGGTGGACGGGCCACAGCGACTCGACTTTTCGTTTTCCCTCGTGCGGCTCGTTCACTTTGTCTCGCAACTCGTTCTCGAGGGCTTCTAAAACCGGCTCCAAATAATCATAGCCCGGCGGGGGCTTGCCCTTGCGCGCGAACTTGGACATGGCGTGGCTGCTGCTGTCAAAGGGGGGTGGTCCTGGGTGGCGCCTCGGGGCGGCGGCGCGGCGGCTGCGCTGGTTGCAGAGGTGATTTGCAGCGTAGCGCGCTTCGTTTCAGCCAGCGGGCGGCTTGTGTAGCTTCGTAGAGGGCCGCGTCGACGCTGGCCGGCAGAGTTAGCTAGCGTGATGAGAGGCACTAGCAAGCAGCGCGGCCGACCAAAAAAGTCGTCTAGGGCGGCCAGCTAGCAGTAGCGTTTCGCAGAACTCGTTAATTATCAACATACGTGCCTTGCGCAGCCGCTGTTGGCAAGCGCGCAGCTCACAGTGCCCTGCAGAGGCGCTGCTTTCAAAAGTGGCCACAACCGGCGCTGCACGCCATCGCGGAGAGAGCGCGCAAAAGCCGTAAAACATGTCCTGCTCCCACGTCGTCGCCGACGAGGTCGCGCGGGGCAACTTCGAGGACACGGGTCCCGACCGCGATTGGGGCGACAGAAACGAGGCGCTCTTAGCGCTCCAAAGACTCTTCGACGAGGCCGCTAGGATCGAAGAAAACGATGACGAGGCGATGTTCGACGCCGAGGCCTGGCGAGCTTTACGCTTGCCGTTGCAGCAGTGTTTGCGAGATCCGCGGAGTCATCTCGTGAGAGAGGCGTGCGGCTTGTTAGCAAAAATCGCCCACGCGTGTAATGATGAGAGGGGCCTCCCGAAACAATGGGTTTCTAGAGATGGCGGCCGCCCTTGTTTACGAGATGCGACACCCGCGTTGTTCGAACTGCTCGGCTCGGGGAACAAGCTAAATGGCCGAGTGGCCGACGACTGCTTAGTTTCAGTTATTGATAGTACACGGTCGAAGCATTTGGTCGGCGCCGTCTTCGAACATGCGTCGGTGAAGCGCGCGGGCAAGGCGCCGTTCGTGCGCGAGTGCTGCGCGGCCTACGCGCTGCAAATTCTACGAACGTGGGACGACGTGTCGCGACTGGGCGATAATGAGGTGAGGCAGTTGTGTGCTGCGGTCTCTGATTTGCTGGAGGATCCGGCGGAACGGGCGCGCGCGGCCGCGCGGGACGCGTACCACGCGCTTGCTGAAGTCTGGCCGGACCGCGCGTCAGAAATTTCGAGAGACGTGGATCCCAAAATAGCGCGGTTGTTGCTTTCTTCGAATGTCGTCGTAGAGAGGCCACCAACACCACCTCCACCACCTCCACCGGAACCGCCGTCGGGCGTCGCGGAGGGTACTAGAGTACGAGTGCTCAAAAATAGGACAGGTACCGTCCGCTTTATTGGTGAGACGGCCTTTAGTTCGGGCGCCTGGGTCGGCGTCGAATTGGACGCGCCCGACGGCAAGCACGACGGCGTCGTCGACGGGAAACGTTACTTTGAATGTGGGGCGAATCGCGGCGTGTTTGTCCGGGCCTCCCAGGCCCAGACCCTGTCCGAGGACGTTGCGCAGTCTTCCGAATTACCCAGGGCCGCTTTGTTGTGCCATGCGCACAAGCATCTGCTGCGGGATTTGATGCGCGAGCTGCAAGCTCAGCTCGGGGCCGTCGGCGCGTACGAGAAACGGAGTCCGTCGATCGAGGCGGCGGCGGCGTATCGCGTCGCCGCCGAGCAGGCGGCGCCGCCCCTCGTGGAATTGCTGGCGGCTTATGAATTACGAGTGGCGGAGCTCGCGTCTTCTGCAAATCCGCCGCGGTCGCCGGGGCCGGGGACGTCTAGCGCGGGGCCGCCCGTTGGTGGGGCTGATTAAGACTAGCAATTTATGAGGCGTCTGACGGCGTTTCGCGGGCGGCCGCGAGCGCTGCTCGCACTGCTCGCAAATCCCGCTCAACCTTCACAACCTCTGGATGGGCAGCTCCGAGGACGCGTCGCGCGGTCCGTTCTGCCTCCTCGAGCGTCGTTAAGGCTTCGCGGACATCGTCGAGCGTGGCGACGGGGTCGGTGTAGAGCGCCCGGGCGTAATTTATTTGCGACGTGAGCGTGAACGCATCACTCTTTCCGAGAACGCGTCGCGCAACGGGAATCGTTTTGCGCCAGAGCGATTTGGCTTCTTCGAAGCGTTTACTCAACATAAAGGAGGCCGCATAGTTGTTGGCTGCATTAATCGTTTTCGCATGTTCTTCGCCACGGTGCTTTAAATATCCGGAGTATGCGTCTCGCCGCATGGGTAGGGCATCTTCAAGCCGTCCGACCATTTGATACGTGTTTGCAAGATTGCTCTGCACGTCGAGAATTCGTACTTCTGGTACGCCGTTGACGCGCCGCAGCACAGACAACCGCCCGGTCGCTATCGACTGCGAGCGCCCGACGGAAGCGTCTATGCGGTTCGAAGGTCCAAATTTGAAAGATTACCCGAAGAGCCGCCGATCATCCGACGGTCGTCGTCGTCCATGTCCGAACCTGTGTGGAAATCAAAATTTTACGGCGCGTGCTGAATTGTCGCGTCGTCCTGCCCCGGTCGCCGCCGCGCGTGCCCGACCTCGAGGCGACGGCCTCAAACAGCCCCATGGAGATGGCGACGCCGCGCGCCGGCGACGATAATAGTTTAGAGGCCGCGCGAGCCGCGGCCGTGGTCGCGGCGGCCGCGCCGATGCCGGCGCCGCCCGTTCAAAGGAGAAGGAGCGTCGAGCCGTGTTTAGCTTCATTGATCGACGACCTCAAGCTCAAGCCCGCCCAGGCCGAGTCGCTGGAGCAGCTCCTCGACGAGCACGAGGTCCACGACCTCGCCACGGCGCAGATCCTCGACGCGGACGACTTCAAGGAGATCGGCATTAAAGTAGGGACGCGGAAGAAGCTCCTCGAGCGGCTTGCGTCTTCCGCGTCGGAGGCGTGAGGAGTGGGGCGTGCCTTCCCGGCGGGTAATACGTATCATCTAGTGCTCTTACGCAAACTCCGACGGATGTTCCAGCCTGTTCTGGAGGATCTTTCGCGCCAACGCCAGGCCCTGCTCGTAGCCCAGTGTCTGCGGGTGTTGGTTTCCAAACACCCGTCTCGCGGTGCGACAGATATCCTCCATGGCCTCAACGTGTGCACGCACGGCGTCCGTGCTCTTGTCGACGCGGAGAGCGTGCGCATGGGCCCACCTGAGGCGGATCGTGTGTTCGTGCTCAGGCCCGAGAACACACTGAGCCGTGACCAGAAGCTCATATTCGCGCAAGAAAGCGTCCAACTCGTCGATACGTTGCACCCTAACCATATCAATCGTGAGATTGGCACCTGCTAGAAGCGTGTCAGGGTTGGCGACTCCACCTACTTGTTTGAGTTGATCGAAAATGCCGCGGCGCGCCACTAGGGCCTCGGAGGTTCTGCCGAGCTCACTTAAGCAGCCCGCGATATTGCCTTTCAACGTGATAATGTTTCCGGTGTCCCACGGATAATGTTTGAGCCGCACGGCCAAGGCTACCTCGTACACCTTAAGCGCCATCTTGGCGGATTCAGGGTCTATCCCGCCGCGTTCCCCTCCAGTCATAAACAAGGCGTTGCCGAGAACCATCAGCGCCTCCACCCGACGCGTGCTGGTCTCCAACGGCCGGCCCGCGTACGTCTTCCAGCACGCCCAGCCTAGCGCGCACCCCGCTTTGCCGTGGTACCATTGCTCGCACTGATTGCACGCGTACCACCGCATCCACCTCTCATCCAACGCCTTGTCACCCAATTTGTTCTCCTCGACCTCCGCGACCAAAATCTTGGCCTGCTCCGCCAGACATGACACGTGCACGAAGCCCGCCGTCCCGCGGCACGCGCAACCGCGCACGAGTCCTTCCTTCGTTTTCCAGTGGAGGGCCTCGGTGCAGATGTAGCACGTCTGGCCCTTCGTGGCGTCCGCGCATTTCTCGACCGCGGCCACGACGGCCTCCTTGTAGTTATTGTCAGCGTAAATTTCTTCCGGGCCGCCGCGACGCTTGATCACCGGACACAGTTCCTTGTGGCCGCCTTTCCAGTGCGTTTTTTGGCAGTCCCGTCCGCAGTAGCGAGTCTTACACACGCCGCAGCGCGGTGCCGTCAACGGGATCTGTACATTACACGAGGCACACTGCGTGCGAAGCATAATTGATGATGTTTGTTATCCCGAAAACCGGCTGTACGCGTCGTTTTGGCAAGGACCATCACAGCTAGCGTCCCGTAAGGCACTAGCAACACCGGCAAACAAGCGCGCGGCACAATTGAGACGCTGCGCGAGCACGCTGCTACCCGCATTTATTAGAATCCCGCCCTGCGCAACCCGCAGTTGCCTCATAATCAACCTCACGCGGCCTTGCGCCCCCCGCAAGCCCCGCGCCAGACCCACAGCCCCAGCGGTCACAGTCGCTGCGCGACCGCCAGACTGCCATGGCCGCCCAGCTCTTCAGTGAACTAGAACAGACCTTCGCCCGCAAGGACGACGCCGCCGTCGAGGACGTCGTCACTCGGATCAAAGTGGCTCTGCTCGACGTCGACCCCTCTCCGCAGTCCGCTTTACTAGGCCAAAGGTCTCTGGAGTACGCCGTGCTAGCGGCGGCGCGGCGGTCGGACAAAGCGGCCTTCCAGAGGCACGTCGCGCAATTGAAAGCTTCTTACTCCGACCCGGCATTGGCATCGCAATCCCAAAAACGCAGAACCATTCTAGGCTTGCACTTATTGTTCTTAGTGACGGAACATAGACTAGCCGAGTTCCACTCGGAGCTCGAGTTGCTCAGCAAGGACGATCTGGAGTGCGCGGAGGTTCAGTTTTCGGCTCAGCTCGAGCGAGCTTTAGTTGTCGGAACTTATGAAAGAGTACTAGCAGCGAGAAACTCGACGCCGAACAACGAGGCCTACGGGCCCTTCATGGAGCTCTTGGTGGACACCGTGAGACAAACTATTGCTGATTGCGCGAGTGCTGCTTATGAATCTCTAGACGTGGGCTCCTTCCGGCAGATGCTCATGCTGGCGTCTGATAGCGAATTGCAAGAGTTTGCTGCGTCGAGTCATCCGGAGTGGGTCCTGGACAGCGGAAGAGTCGTCTTCGCCGCTCCAGTGACCGCGAAAAGTGAGCGCGTGCCGGCGACGCGGCTGATCAAGGAGAACCTCGCCTACGCGACGGAGCTGGAGCGCATCGTGTAGGAGCCTAACTTTACGTTATTTCTAGTCGAATCTTCTAGTCGCGGCGCCTCCCTCGGCGTCCAGGCTCTAGCTCTCTCCGCTCCAGAGTTGCTCTGCCCAGTTGGCTTTGTCTCGCGTAGCTGGCGCTCGTGCAAGAGCTGCAATGCGAGTTCTATTGCTCGCCGCAGCTTTACGACATGCGAGTCGCACAGCTCACGGTCTTAGCCTTGCCACGCAGCACCGTCGGCGCGTGTTGCGTGGAGTGCTACGGCAGGAGCTGGAGGGCCAGCACCGCGCGCGGGTAAATTTGGAGGCGGAACTCGAGCGACGACGCGACGTACAGGACGTCGACGACGGCGAGGCACATAAAAAGGAGTACGCGAAAGCCGTCAAGCGCGCCGCGGCCGTGCCGCGGCGACTCGTCGAAGTAACGCGCCGCGGCGAGCAACTCGAGGCCTTGCTCGAGCGATCGCGCGGCGCGACAGAGGACGAGGTCAATAATCTATATCAAGAGGTCGCGGACGAATTAGCTGACAAGCTCGAGACGTTCGACGTGGACGCGGCCGCCCGCGACCAATTTGGCCGCCCGGCGGGCTTCGATGGACTCGTAATCGCGAGCCCGCGTGGCGTTCCCATTTTGGTCGCGCGCCGCTCCTTCAGCGACGAGCTCCTGCGTCGCGTCGGCCGCGGGACGGACCTCTGGTTCCAGTGCGTCGAGGGCCGCGGCGGGTCGCGCGTGCTCCTGCGGACGTCCTGCGTGCCGTCGCTCTCGAAGAGCCCGCGCGAGTGCATGGAATTCGCCGCGGACCTGGCCGCATACTTCGGCGGCGGGGCGCGGGGCGACGACGCCGTCGAGGTCATGTATACGGACTCGCGGCGAGTCGCCAAGCGCGGGAGCCGTGTCGGCCAGCTCAAGCCGAAGAAGCGTCTGGGCACGGTCTGGGCGCGGCCGGGCCGCGTCGCCGACGCCGCGCGGGAGGCGCAGGAGGACCAGGGATTTCTGTGATCTGTTAGTAACGACATAGTGTATTTTATTTGTGTTTTGAGCCGCACCCCCAGCAGCGCGCGCGGCCGTTCTTGTGCGGGAAGAACGAGCAGATCTTGCGCTGAGCGCGATCGCTTCGGCGGCGGGGGATGTCGTAGGTCGTCCGGAGGTAACGAACGCCCTCCGCATAACCAAACGCAGAAATTTTCTCCCAGACCGGGTCAAGTTCCCGGTCAAGAGCTTCCTCAAGTTCACGTCCTCGCAGTCCCGCTTCGAAGAACCTTTTTTCGACTAAATCGACAAGCCTACAAAACTCGGTCTCTTCCTCGACGCACTTGCCGCAACCACAGTAGTCATGAACGTACTCGCCGCCCTCCATCCGCAGCTGTTGAAACGGAGCGATTTGCGCTCGCACACATATCTCGATCTCGTTGAAGTGGAACTGCAGATAGCACGCGCTGGGGTGCTCGCTTTTCGGGCCGCCGAACTGAAGCGTGACGGTGGCGTCCCCGTGGGTCGTGAGGCTGTTGAGGTCGACGCCCGCGACCGTGTTCACGGTCGCCTGGCAGAGCCAGCAGGGCCCGTGCGGAATGACGGCGCCCGCGTGCCCTTGGCTATCGTATTGTAAAATCGGAGCCTGCAAAGAAAACGTAAAGCAGACGTCGTGCGTGTCCGCGGTCTGCAGGAAGCTGACGGTGTGAGCAATCAGCTCCGGTGGTAAATTTGAAACTGAGGCCATAGCGTTCCCTGAGATGTGCAGTACTTGCCGTAGATGGCAAAACCGCCGCAGCCAAGAGGCGCTTTTTTCAAGTTTTTTGGATTGATACCGTAAGGACACGCGCGTTAAGCTAAGACGCACGCGTCGATATATAATGGACAGCGCGGTTGCGGGAGGCCAATGGCTCGTCTAACACGGCGCAAAACTGCGCGCCGGTGCGCCGCGCATTTGCTGGAAAAACCCGTGCCAGTCCTCGACCGCCGGGCACAGGAACGCATCGTCTAGGAGCGAGCCAATAACGACATAATGATATTACTCGCGTCGTCGGCCCCACCACGACGACACGCTACACGAGTATTCGAGAGCTTCGACATAATGCCACCAGCCCGGCGGGATGTACAGGACCTCGCCCTTCAATAATATGAGATCGACATAGGACGCACTTTCAAAGAGCGGGAACTTCCGGAGCGCCTCCCTTCTTTTATAAGGATTGGTCGGAGAAAACGCGTCCAGATCAATTTGCGACGACACGTCCCGGTGGACACCGTCTGAGACAGGATATAATGAAGACGACTCCGACGGCGCATATAGTCGAACATATTTCGCGCCGACGACTTGCGCGAGCAGGTTGTGCGACTTATCTCGATGCAAGGGACTAATGGTACCGTAGCCGATCCACGCGTTCTGAATCACGTCTCCCTCGCCACACCCGCAGTAGTCATGACTCGCTATATCTCTCCTCAATCTAGGTATTTGATCTAATAAAGCGTGCTGCGCGAGATAAGCCTGGGCATCGCCCCTTTGCACGTATTCCCGCAGGAACGAAGAGAGGGGCATGAGCTGCTCGTTCATTTTCTCATCCAAGTAGTGTCGTCCCAACTCGACGGGTACCAAACGTCTCCCAGCCACATGGTCCAAATAGCCCAGGTCCGACCACTTTTGTAGCGCCGGCCAGTGCTCTATGCAGCCCTCGAGTACCGCTGGTGTTGACACGTCAAAGCATTCATTCTTGAATGTGGAGATTGATGGTGCTGACAATCGCAAGATATCCTGCGAGGAGGAGACACTACGAGCACAGGAATTGGGCATCGGACTTTTCCACGGCGGTCCTTCATATGTTGAAGGTTCGGGGTCCAGCGCCTCGATGAGTTCTAGTAGTTGTGATCTGTGTCTTGTATCACCGAGCATGAGCCCTAGGTCCGCCTGTCGGACCGCTTCCTCAACATCATCTAGTAAAGACGCTCTATAATAAGCAGCCACGGCGTAAGCTCTTCTCCACTCGATAGGAGCGTCGCGCCAGTGCCGTGAAGGGTCGTGCAGCACCTGGTAGGCCTTGTCGCACACCAAACGCCAGGCCTCCTCATTCCCTTGATTGGCGGCGGCCGCCTCGAGCAGCGACGCGTCGGGCGCGTCGACGGCGGCCTGGGTGGTGATGGCGCGGAGCTCCCTCAGACAGTCGTCGACGTCCGGGCCTCGTAAGTTGAGGCGGGGCCGCTTGCGCGGCGGCGGGGCCGTCGTCGGCGCGGCCGGCGGCTCCGGTTTGGGCGCGGGCGCCGCGACCGGCGCCGGCGCCGCGCCGGCCGGCGGCCCGCGCCCGACGAGCTCGGGGAAGAGCACCGCGCGCTGGACGGGCAGCTCGACGGGCGCCGGCGGAGGACACGGGATCGCCAGCCGCAGGGGCCCCGCGCCGGCCACGATGGGTGCCGAAGAGTACTGCGCGTAGTAGGCGCGCCTCGCAGATGACGACGCGTTGGCACCAGACGAATGAACGCAGTCGTCCGCCAATAATACGACGTCGCCGGCGCCGCAGCGGACGGGCACCGCCTCACCCGCATGTTTGACGACGAGGCAGCCGTTCGCCTCATCACAATCGTCCAACGCACACCAGCAGCTCACGTAGCGCGGGCACGTCTCCGGACTCCAGCCCGGGATCTGGAGCTCGGCGTCGGCGTGCCAGCGGAATTCGACGGACGTACAAGGTGGCTTGACGACGTAGTGCTCGTTGAAGAGCACTACCTGTGATGAACCGAGGTGCTGCTCCGCGATTCGAGGCAGCACTTCGAAGAGCACCCTTTCTGCTGGAGGGCGTTTCCGTGCGGCGACGTAGGCCGCTCTATCAATGCGCCAATCACCTTCCGGTTGATCTTTCAAAGGTTCACACACACACCCATTCTCGAGCGAGGGCGGAGCTTCCGCCGCCAACGCGTCGGCCTCGCCGCGCAAGGCCTCGAGCTGCGCTTCAGTAAGCGCCTCTCTGATAACTGCGAAGGGCCTCATTTGTTCTTCTGGAGCAGCCAGGGGTCGCCGCTGCCTCGCGCCATCGGCTTCATAGCTTGTTTCACCCACCAGGCCAAGGCTACCGCGTGGCCGAGGATCAATGCGACGAGGCCGAGGCCTAATAGAGGATGGTCTGTGAAGAAGAAGGTCATTCGTAGGCCAGCTTCCGCGGCGCGCGCACCAATATAATCCTGGAGCTTGCTAGCGTATCGACACACTAGCTCTGGTCCACTTTTGCATTGTGCCGCCTCCATTTGCGTGCGGGCTGCCTCTAGATCGTCAGAACTACGAGACAAGCCTGGCCACGTGCGATGTCGGTGCTCGACGACATGGCGGATCATTTGATGGGCCTCGCACCGCCGGAGTCGCAAGGCAGGGCCTCTGGCGTGCTTATGGATCATCAAGACTTGCTAAAACATGTCCTGGGCATGTGCGGCGAAAGTGAACGAAGCACGGAGGCGCTGTTGCGGGACCTCGCACAAGATGGACTGCAAGGCTGTACCAGTGCCTCTGGTTTTGTCGCCACCGAGGCCACAGGCCCGACGCATCGACCGCGGCGCGACGACGGCCCCGTGGGCACGTTCGAGGTCGACTTCTCGGGCACGCTCTACGAAGGCATCAATTACGTGACGGCCCCGGGCTCGTCGACGCGGCTCGCGCGAGGCGTGATGGCCCGGCACGGGATGGTCTTCGAGGGAGAGGTCGATCCGGCCATCCCGGGCTACGTACGAGTAGCGCGCGAATCCACCGGTTTGTACACCGGGCTATTTGTGCCGACGTCGTTCGAGGGCCGCCTGTGCGTGAAAAAAGTCGCCGATAGTACTCCTCTCTGTCCGGCGCGGCCGCGGACGCCTCCCGAGCAAGGCGAGTTGCCTTCTGACGTGAAGGGCGCCTGGGACCGCTACTTCGCGGAGTCCGGCGTCTCCGTCGAGGAGGTCGTGGCCGAGGCCTGGGCCGCCGACGGCGACGCGTCCTCGACGACGTCCTCGTCGTCCTGCGGCAGCGAGGGCTCCCTGCTAGAGTAAGAAGGCGTAAACCCACTAGAGAACGTTGAGAGTTGCGCGCCGCGCCGCTTGACGAAGCGAGCGCTGCGCCGACGCCAGGGCTGCCCCGAGGCCGCCTGCGGCGCGCAGGATGGCGGACGTAGACGCGCGGCCCTGGCACGAGGCCAAGGGCCTGGAACTGGGCAACTGGTTGCGGAACAAGTGCCCGCAGCGCCAGTTCGGCGGCCAGGCGAAGGTCGATGGGCTCGTGCGCACATTAACCGCCGCGCACGAACGCCTCGAGAAGGCTGAAACAGATGAAGAGCGGTGTCTAGCCTGGGCCCACGTCGCGCTGGACCTCGAGGCGTCCTGTAAAAGGGCCGGCGACTTCCACCAGCTCTGGGTCGCCAACTTGTTGCAGGGCACGCCGTCGGAACCGACGACCGAGGCTGACAAAGAGGCTCAGACTGAGACGAAGGAGACGACTGAGACGGAGGCACAGTGCGAGATCATCGAGCCGGCCCCGACGCCCAAGTCGACGTCGACGGTACTACCACCGCTGGACCTCGCGGCCGCCTCCGCCGTCTCCGTCGAGCCGTTACTCTCGAAGACCGAGCGCCCGAAGACCCCGAAGATCGACCCGCCCGGGTCCCAGAGCGCCCGGGCGTCGACGCCGAGCCCGGAGGAGAAGCCGAATCTGCTCAAGATGTCCATGCTCGAGCGCCAGGAGTACGTCCGCAAGCAGAAGCAGGCGAAGCTCGAGAAGGCTCGGCAGGCGAAAGCTGACGCCGAGGTGGCGGAAATGCGGGCTCCTCGTTTAAATAAACCGCGGCGCGTCAATGCAGCTCCAGTTGTCGCTCTCGCCGCCGAGAGGCTCAAGAAGCCCCTCAAGGTGCGCGACGAGAACAAGGCCAAGGCAGCTCCCAAGCCTGTGGCCGAGAAGAAGAAAGCGCCTCCCAAAAAAAAGAAAGTTGCGGCCGCGAAGCCTGAACCCCCGAAGAAGGAAGATAAAGATGAGCAGTTCATGACCCGTTTAGCCGCGTTGCGCCACGACGCCCAGGCCAAAATCGCGCAACAGGCGGCCGAGGAGGCGGAGGCGAAGATCGCGCAACAGGCGGCCGAGCAGGCCGCCGCCGCCGTGGACCCGGCAGAGGCGGCGAGGGCTCTGATACGGACCGAGGTCGAGTTCGACCGGAAAGTTGATGGAAGATACTTCTATCGGTTGCGCCACGCGGACGACATCGAGGCCAAGTCGATCTACCGGAGGCGCGCGGGCAACGGCGAGGGCGTCGCCTTGTCCGTCGGGCGGGACGCGAAGAACGCGGAGCACGTCCTGCAGGTGCTTTTTGACGAAGACCTCTGGAACGCGACGACGGCCCACGACTACCTCGTGCAGCACTACTCCGTGGAGTACTCGCGGAGACTCGAGAGTAACTAACTTATTTCCCCCTAGAAGGCGCCGAGGCCATCGTCTCGACGCAGCCGTCGCCGTCCATGTACTCGAAGCGCCCCTCCAGGAGCTTGTTCCGGTACGCTTCTAACCAATCAGCGACAGATGATTCGAGGCGGTCGCCGCGGCCGTCGCCCATCTCGTACTCGTAGACGGCGTCGTCGCCTACCACCAATAACGCGTCGTCGATGTCCCTCGCGAACGGCACATAAGGCGCATCTACATCGGATAGCATCTTACCGATGGACTGCGGATGGAGCAATTCATAGCCCTCGAACCAAATCCCGGTACAAGCTTCCCGCCAGAGCTCCTCCAACGCTAATGGTAGATCGCGTTTTTTGCTCAACTCATCAATAACGCTTTGGTCGGCGCCCTTCGCGTCGAGGTCGGCGTGCTGCGTGAACCAGGCCACGATGTCCTTAGAGCACTGGCGCATCTCGGAGGGCGTCATCTCGCCCTTGCGTTTATTTCCCTCCTCGGCCACCTCGATTTTGCCACTCGGCGGCATCGTTACTGCTGCCCTTGGCTACTGCTGTGCGTGCCAACCGTTGTGAGGTTTTGAGCGCTGCGCTGTGATGCCTTGGAAGTCACCGCTGGACCCGATTCGTATCGGTTTGTGCTGCCAAACCGATACAAATAATCGACGGGCGCTGAACCCGCACGCTAGCTACGGTACGTTCCCCATCGCCTATGCGGTCGGCGGGGACTTCTAAGAGGAGTCCTGGGACGAGTAACCGAACGACAGCGCCCTAATTGCATAAATGATGCAAAGTTCAGAAGGCAAATAAACCAACACGCACGCGCGGCACGGAGCGGCGCGGTCGCGACGGTTCTGACCGCGCACGACCCGCGCGAGACGCGCGCCGGCCGCTGCGGCACGAGCTACGTGCAATTTGAGAAGAAAAAAAGTCCCAAAATTGCTTTTGCCAGGCCACTCCAATTCCTAAGCGCGATGCCCACGCCCTTCGAGCACGCGTGGCAGCGCTTCGGGACGTCCTGCGTCGGCGCCGGATGAACATCCAACGTCGCGTCGATGGCGTGGAGATTGACGTGTCGACTCGCCGAGCATTCGGTCACGCACGCAGGTCGCCGGCCCGGACGGGCATTTTCATGGCGTCCTCAAATGACTTCGTGAAGTCGAATTGTTGCGTATTATGCGACGACCGCCACCACTTCCGAAGCCTGCGCGAGAAGTACGAGCACCTCCGGAGCAAAAAGCATCTCTTCAACTACCTCGCATGTAAGTTCCGCGTCGCCAATGAGACGCCGTCGACGCGTCCCCCGCGCAGACAAGAAGCATTGCGCCCACCTCATGATCGAGAGGCGTCAGCTCGAGCGCGTCGAGGCCGCGGCCGCGTTACGCCGCCACCCCTTCTGGCCGCACGGCGACAGCGCTTCCGCGTCATTTCTTGACGCCGTCTTGCTCGACTACATCATTTGCTTCGGCCAAGTCCGCCGGGACGCCGTCGCGGAGGCCTGGCGCCGCCACGTCCGGAAGGAGCAGAGTTCGTTAATAGCGCTCGCCGCCGCGCGCACCGGCTCGGGACACCTCGTCGTCGAGCTCGTCATGCCCTTCGTCGCCGGCCGGCGCCTCGGCGACGCCCCGTTCTACGCGTACTAAAACATGTGTTATCCGAGCTTCGCCCTCGGACGCCGTCGACGCGGGCCTCACACGAGCAACTTAAAGGACGACGGCGGCTCGGCGTACAAGCCAGGTAGAATTCCCTTCGACATGGGGAAGAGGCACGCCGGTAAGACGGGCGGCGGATCTTTTGCTTTGGGGGCGCGTGCGCGCCAGCCGTGCGTCGAGGCCCGGTCCTTCGGCGCGCCCTTGACCTTGCGTTTCCGGCGCTTCTTCTCGACGACGACAACTTCTTTGTGCGCCGACTGGGGGACGCGTTTGTTCCAGGGCGGCCGCAGCGCCGGCGCGGAGGAAGGCCGCTTTTTCACACTCGTAGACGTCGCCTCGGGGATCCACGACGTCGGGGGCGTCTTCGGCGGCCCCAGTAACTTCCTCTGCGCCTTCTCCTGGGCTAATTTTCTAGAAAGCTCCCGTGATCTCTCCTCATTTTTCTTCCGACGCCTTGCTTTCGCCTCCGCACCAAAATCTCTCTGCAAGACTTCGGCCCGTTCGTTGCGCCGTAAGGCGGCGGCCAAGTCTCGACGCCGTCGAAGAGCGCCGGTGTCCGCCGTCCGCGGCCGCGCGACGGGCGACGTTTTCACCGCGAAGGACTCCTTGAGGTTCTTGAGCGGTCTAGTCAGCCCCGCGGTCGACGGCCGCGCGTGATGCACCATGCGTCGGTTGAACGCACTCCGCAGGTCGATGTACTTCTGCGCGAGGAGATTCCGTCGGTGGAGCAAATGCTCGGCCTTGACGAGGCCTTCGGTCTTGGACGCGTAGTCGGCGTCCGACTGCACTTCTAGACCTCTCTTCAATTGTTTCCCGGGATTCCAGTTCCTCATGTAGCCCGGCGCTTGCGGTCTTGAGGGTTCGGTAGCTTCGTCATCCTCAGTTTGATGCTCCCAGGTCAGGTGCAAGTCAGCTGCGGCGGAAGCAACAGCATCGCGAGCCGCTCGAAACCGCCGTAATTCGGGATCCTTGGTCTCGACCACGGGACTCTTACAATCGGCCCACGCCGGTTCGTCGTCCGGGTCTTTGTACTTGCCTCGGCGCGCCGCTACTTCGAGCCAAAAGGCCACAAAAATACCTTCCAGTTGTCCTAGATCGGCGGGCTGGCCGACTTTCCCGCCGACGCTCGCGAAGAAGTCCCTTGCTTCCCAGACCGAGAAAGGTACATTTAACAAGGCCGTCCCCAGCAGCAACTCGGGAAACGTGTATGTAGTTTCATCTTCTTGCGTTTTGGCTTTCGGTCGGAGTCGCGCTCGCTTCCCGAACAAGTCGTGCACATCGGTAAAACGCTTGCCTTTTTTTGAACGTACGGCATGGGACAGTCTTGCACAAAATGTCGCCGCCCTACTGACTCGAGCTACGATTCGGCAATCATCGACCGTCTCGTCGAAGTCATCTAACATGCGGCGTCTCCGGCCCTCTATGAGCTCGATGACCTGCGTGGCGCAAATTCATTGCTCGGCGATGAGCAGGCGTCGCGTCGATGGCGTGGAGGTCTCGCCACGATAACATTCCTGCGCCGGCACGCGCCGCGTCCACGAAATTCTCTTTATCAGCATTGGTCTTCGACGAATCTTTGTAGGCTCTCCTGTCCAAGTCACATACCACATCGGTGCGCGCGGTCAGAAAGTTCGTCATGAGGTTGATCGGTTTTGCGGCTACGGTAGCGGCGTGAGACGGATCCCTCGCACCTAATCCTGTCGACTTATGGCGCGACATCGATTTCAATGAACTGTGACCGGGGTCCGCGCGACAGCCGCTCCGGAACAACAGGAACTGGTGCTCGTGGGCCGGACTCCATCGCGCGGTTTCCGTACTGAGGGATGCGGTGCGATCGTCCTCGTACTGGCTTTCAAACGTCCGCCACAACCCTGCCATGGCTTCGAGGCACGGTTCTGACCTCGCCAAGGAGTTCTGGGGGCCCTGGCCGCGACTGGGCCCGAGCAACCCGGGGTCGCCGGCGTCGTCGCGCTGATCCACGCCCGCGCGATCCGCCCTTGCTATAGCCAGGAACTGCCTTAGTCGCAGCAAAAAGTGGGCGCCATGCGCGTGCCGTAGCTCCGCGAGATGAGCCGCGTGGTCTTCTTTCGCCTCGAGAATGAGGACGTCGGCGTAGGCTCTCGGCGGCTCCTGCGTCTCGGGGGCCGCGACGTCTTCCTTCGCTTCGTCGCTGGGCTCCGGCTCGGGCTCGGGCTCCGGCGCCGCTGCCGCCTCCGGCGCGTCAATAATCGCATCGAGCAAGTCGCCGAGGTCGTCGTCGGCCGCCGCGGCCGGCGCCGGCGCTTGGACGCCGGGCGTCTCGGGCTCGAAGTCGTCCTCGAAGTCGTCTCCATATGAAGCGGGCGTGGCGGGCGTGGCCGGGGCCGCCATCGTCGGCGCCTGGCTGCCCTTGCCGGTGCAGTGGCTTTGGATGTGCTGCCGCGGCGGCGGCGTCTGCTGGTGCCGAAAATGCGCAGCCCCGCGGGTGTGGTGCGTCGATGGATGCTGTGGGTGCGCCTCGCGAGGTCGTTACGTGCCTCCGCGCGCACACAATACCATGCGCTGTGCTGCAGCGCCTGGCCAACAGCGGACTCGAAAAAGCCTTGCTTCCGCCAGATATCTGCGGCAGGACTCCTGGGGCCACGCCTAGGAGTCTTCGAGCCATCGCTTTTGCGACTCGGCGCCGAGGCTGTCTGCGACGGCCCAGAGACGCGCCCCTCCTCCGCGCGCGCTACTGGCTTCACCGCGGCACGCATTGCTCGTGGCAGGCGCTCTCCGGGACGCCTCACAGCGATTCCCGCATCGGTCGGCCGTGCCACGCGGCAGAGGACGAACTTGGACCCGCGCGCCTCGCGACCCTCCTGGGCATTTTGAGCGCGCTAGGCCGCCGTTCAAAAAACCACTGCGCACAGCAGCGCGCGGCGACGCGCAGCGCTCCCGCGCCGAGTTTGAAACCCAACACTTGCGACCATGGGCCTCTCCGAGATCGACGACTCCGACACGGAGCCCTCCGAAGAGGAGGAGCAGAAGTCCCCCGAAAAAGAAGAGAAGATGACCTACGAGCAGGCGGCTCAAATCCTGGGAGTCGCCGAGGACGAAGAAGACGAGGCCGTGTTGAGAAAGGCCTTCCGAAAACAGTCGCTCCTCCACCACCCGGACAAGAATCCCAACGACCCTACCGCCACAGCTAGGTTCCAGAAGATCGGGCAAGCTCTAGAAATGCTCACGCGGAGAGCTAGAGGTGAAGTCTCGGACGATGATTATGATGATGATGATATTTTCGGCGACGCGTTTTTCCGGGGCGCCACCCAAGATTTCGACGACGAGGAGGCCTTCTCAGATTTCATTAGGATGATGCGGGACTTCATGCGGTTCCGGGCGCGGCGCGGAGGTGCTGCGTTCCACATGGGCGGTGGCATCTTCTTCTCCTTCGGCGGCGATAGTGATTCCGAGTATGATGATAGGGACTACGAGCGGGAGCGGTTCGATCAGAAAGCGAAGAACATGTGGCGCAAGCGCGAGGAGTACTCGGAACAAGTGGAGAAAGAGCGCGAGGAGCGCCGCGCCGCGCGCGACGCTCGTAGGGCGGAAATTGAAGCTGCCAAGAAGGTGCGGAAGCAGCGCAAGGAGACGGCGCGGACGCGGTTCGCGCAGCGCTTGGGGTGTAGCCCCGACGGCAAGCTGCGCTATTTGGACTGGAGTTTCAGTGCGCTGAAGGGCGAGGCCGACAAGCGCAAGCTCAAACGGCCGAAACTAGTCGACGGCGCGACGCTCGCGCATCTGCTCCTAGACGACGACGAGCGTCAGGCGAAGCGGAAGAAGAAGGTCGTCGAGCCGGTGGTGGAGGAGGCGGCTCCTGCTGCAGAGCCGTCGCCACCTTCCTCTGATGCAGAATCCGACGACGACTTCGGCCAGGCGGCGTTCTTCTCGCGTGTCGCGCAGAAGAAGCCGTCGCCGCGGCCGGCGAAGAAGTCGCTCGAGGTGCCGGCGCCCGCTCCCGCGCCGGCGCCAAAGCCCAAGCCCAAGCCCAAGGCGCCGACGCCGCCGCCGCCGCCGGGCGCCGCGCCGGAGAAAAAGAAGCGCGTGCGCAAGAAGAAAGCTCCCGCGCCGGCGCCGGTAGCGGCGCCGCGGCCGCCGCACCCCGAACTTGATGGCTACGATCTTGATTCAGAGGACGCGGCGCTACAGCGGGCGTTGTTCGAGTCGGCGTTGCTAGCGGCGGCCGAGGGCCCGCCGACGCCGCCGCCCATGCCAACTGGACCGCCGATGCCGGCCGGTCTATCCGTGGGCGACCGGGCGCGCTGGCGGGCGGGGCAGCTCGACGTGCCCCCACCACCGGTCGCGCCGCCGGCCGACGCGTCTGGTTTATCTGTTGGGGCACGCGCGCGCCTGCGCCGCGAGCAAGCGGCCGCCGCCGCCGCGCCGCCCGCGCCGGTCGCGCCCCCGGTCTCCGCGCCGCCGGCCGACGTGTCCGGCCTCTCCGTCGGGGCGCGGGCGCGCTTGCGGCGCGAGCAAGCGGCGGCCGCCGCCGCGCCGCCACCCGCGGCGCCGTCGCCTCCTCCGGCCGACACCTCCGGCCTGTCCGTGGGCGCTCGGGCGCGCCTGCGCCGGGAGCAGCAGCAGGCCGCCGCCGCGGCGCCGACACCCTACCAGGCACCTGCAGCGCCCGTGCCGCCGCCGGCGCCCTATCAAGCACCTGCCGTGCCGCCCGCCGTGCCGCCGGCCGACACGGCCGGCCTCTCTGTGGGTGCCCGCGCCCGCCTGAGGAAGCAGCAGCAGCAGGCCGCGCCCGTCGTGACGCCTCCCGCGCCCGTCGCGGAACCGCCGCTCTCCGTCGGCGCGCGGGCCCGGCTCCGCGCCGAACAACAAACCCAGGCCGCGGCGCCGCCCATCGACCGGCCCTACCACCCCGAGCTCGACGCGGCGCCGCCGCCCGCGCCGCCCGTCGGGCTGAGCGTCGGCGCGCGGGCGCGCCTGCGCAAGCAGCAGCAAGAAGCCGCCGCGGCGCCCCCAGCCGGGATGCCGCCTGGCCTGGACCCGCGCGACGCCGAGATCGCGCGGCTCCGGGAAGAGAACGCGCGGATCCAGGCGGACGCCGCGCGTGAGGTTGAGATCGCGCGGCTCCGCGCCGAGAACCTCCTGCTTCAAGGCTCCGCGGCACCGGTCGCTCCGGTTGATACGGCGGGCATGTCCGTGGGTGCCCGCGCCCGATTACGCAAGCAGCAGCAAGAGGCCGCCGCCGCGCCGCCGCCGGTCGCGCCGCCGCTCCAAGCCCCGTACGCTCCGCCGGTCGCGCCGCCGGCCACCGCGCCGGCGACCGACGGCATGACGGTCGGCGAGCGCGTCCGCGCCTTAAGAGCTCAGGCGGCCGCCGCGCTCGCCGCGCCGGCGCCGCTCGCGCCCGTCCCGACCATGGGCGGCGCCTGGGTCTGCACGGCGTGCACCTTCGAGAACCCGAACCCGAACGCCCTCGTCTGCGACCTCTGCAACACGGTGCGCCCGGTCGCGGCTTGATCGGTTGGCGGGCGCCGTCGCGCGCGTCGGCCTCGGAGAAGCTCAAGGACTCCTACCCCGCGCGGTACGCGTGTGCGCGTGCCTAAGGCGCTGGTATGTTGATCACATGGCTCGTATGCCCGCTCGGGGCCGGCCCCGCGCGCAGCGCGACGATTTTTGAAACAGCGCCTCGCGTCACATTGCGCTTGCTTGAGGCAGCCGCGTCACGAGCTGGCTGCGGGCAGCTTCTTGCTCCTTGTGCTCCCACGATACCCCACGATACGCCATCGACGCGGCACGACGCCACAAAGATGCTGCCCCCCAAGATTGATGCCACCTTGACGGTAGCCCACGCCAGGACAATCAAGGAGCACCGCGACGCCCATCACCGCGCGTCCCAGGACCACCGCCTCGCGCAGGAGCGCTGCGAAGCGTTGGAGGAGGAAAACAAAGAACTGAGGGCCGCGGACGTGAGGCGCGAGAGGGCGCTGCAAGACGCGCTGAAACTACTGAGCGTGGCGACGCGCGGCAAGCAGGAGGCGCAGCGCGAGGCGACGCGCCACAAGCGCGAGATGCGTAGAGCTGCGACGCGCCGGATGATCGCGCGGGGGCCGGCGCTGCCCTCGGCCGTCCAGGAACGCCTGAGGGTGATGCAAAAGCGCGTCGAGGCGCTCGAGACGGCTTTACATAGAAAAGATAGGAGGTGCGCCTTCCTGGAGCGGTGCCTCGAACGGTGCAAGGGTGGCGCGAGTGCGATCCGCGCGGTCGAGGAGTCGGACCGCGCGAAACGCCTGGCGGCCGAGTTGGATGCCGCGATGCGCAAGCTCGATGATCGGAGCGCCCTTAATCCACCGCCGCCGCCGCCGACGCCGCCGCGCCGGCGGCGACCGGTGGCGAGGACGCCTACTCACGAGTCGCGCAACACTTTATATGTTTCGCCGCGCAAGTCGGCGCGGAAATCTATTGAAGCGTCTCGGGTCCTGTCGCCAGCTAGAACGGTGCCCGCGTCGCCGGCCGCGCTCGCGCGCCGCGCCGCGCTCCGGCCGCCGTCGTCTCCGTCTGAATCGCCGCGGAGCGTCGCGCGCACGCCGCCGCGGGCGCTCGAGGAGCCGTCGCCCGCTGGCATGTCGCTGTCGCTCGAGGAGATCGCTGGGTTATGATACTAGTATAAATCAAAGTCGAATATGAGTACAAGAGATAGTGTGGCGGGCCACTGGTCGGCCGGATCCGCGCTTATTTATTTACGGTGCTAGGACTAGTGGGCGGAGCCCCGGGGGGGGAGACACCGCGCGTCGCCGATTCATCGGCGGCGGGCGCGGGCCGCTTCTTTCATAACAGCGTACCTCCTTCTAAGCTGAACCGCCTCGGCAAACCCCCCCGAACAATGCGCAACGTTCGCCCGTTCAATCAACTTGTCCCGCGACTTCCCGCAGGCGACCTTGGACCGCGGCGACGCGTTCGGTACCGTACATTCCAACAAAGCCAGTAGACACTCGGCCCGACCCTTGACAATCGCCACGCCCCACTCCCGGTAGATCTGGGCCTGAATCATGGCCGCCGCGTCCTCGACCGAATCAGCGTCGATCAGGCCCTTTCGGAACTGCTTGCCGGCGATCTCGTCGGCGCAGACGCGTGCGAGGCGATGGACGTCCGCGGACGCCTCGCCGGCGCTGCCGAACGCGAGACCACAAACCTCGCCGCGGCTCCAAATGGTGTTCTCCATCGGACCACACTCGACGCCCCCGACCGAGTTGTACTTCACATCCAGGTTGTGGGCCTTTTTCAGGTACTGCCCGTTCACGAGACGGGCGCGCCTATCAACCGGCGCGTTACCGCGCTTGTGCTCCGCCTTCATATAGGCCTCGATATGGCCCGGCGCGTAATGCTCGGTCGTCGCCGCGACGGTTTTAACGTCGTAGAGGATGCCCTCGATCGCGATGTCCGGGACTATGCTCCCTTCGAGGTCGCCCCCGTCAGACTCGACCAATTTATCCCACGCCTTCGAGGCGTCGCCACCGAGACCCTCGGTGCACAACTGAATCACCAGGATCCGCGCGCAGCTAGCGCATAGCGGCACTAGCCCAGAGCTTAGAATCTCCGCTCAGACAGAGCCTCAAAAAACCGGCTGTTCTGCCTCGTAAAACATGCCACGCGCGACACGAGCCGCAGCGCTCGCTGTCTTGCTGTTCGCCGGCGATGTGGCAGCCTTCACGATGCGCCTACCGGCCCAGCAGCGCGCACCGCGCTCCAAGAGCCTCCTCAAGGCGCACTCCGGCCGCCGCGCCGCCTTCGCCGCCGCCGCGACGGCGCTCACGACGTCGCTGACGGCGAACGCCGCGCCGGCGGACCAGCGCTGGGCGGCCTCGGAGTTCTTTGATGAAGTGCGTAATGGAGCGGTCGATAGAGTCACGTTTGCCGCAGAAGGTGGCGCTTTAGTGGCCGTCGACGCCGACGGCGGCCGCCACGACGTGTCGATCTTACAGTCGCAAGTCTCCGAGGCCGTGCAAGCTTTACGGGCGAAGAGGGTCCCCTTCGCCGTTCAAGCTGCTCAACAACAGGACGGCGGGTTATTAGGCGTCGTAGCGAATCTCATAGTGCCGGTAGCTCTACTCGGCGGCCTCCTCTTCCTCTTGAGAGGTGGCCCGGGCGGGCAAGGAGGCGGCCCGTTTGGGGGCGGAGACGGCCCGATGGGCATGCTCCAGAGTAGAGCTAAGGTGGAAGTAGAACCAGAAACTGGTGTGACCTTTGAGGATGTTGCTGGTTGCGACCAGTCCAAGCTCGAGCTCGAAGAAGTGGTGGAGTTCCTCCGATCTCCGGACAAGTTCGAGGCGGTCGGCGCGCAGTGCCCGCGCGGCGTGATCCTCGAGGGGCCTCCTGGTACTGGTAAAACGCTGCTCGCGAGGGCCGTCGCTGGAGAAGCGGGCGTGCCCTTCATCTCCACGAGTGGCTCCGAGTTCGTCGAGATGTTCGTCGGCGTCGGCGCGTCGCGCATCCGGTCGATGTTCGGCGACGCGAAGAAGAACGCGCCGTGCATCATCTTCATCGACGAGATCGACGCCATCGGCCGCCAACGGGCCAGTGGCGGCGGCTTCCAGGGCGGGAACGACGAAAGGGAACAGACGCTGAATCAAATCCTCACGGAGATGGATGGATTTAAAGGTAACAGTGGGGTCATTGTTATTGCAGCTACAAACCGAGTGGACATCCTCGATAGCGCGCTGATGCGCCCCGGACGGTTCGACCGTCGCGTGCCGGTGGATCTACCGGATAAAGAGGGTAGAGTCGCGATCCTGAAGGTCCACTGCCGCGACAAGCCGCTCGGCGGGGAAGTGGACCTTGATCAAGTAGCGCAGAGAACCACTGGATTCTCGGGAGCCATGCTCCAGAACCTCATGAACGAGGCCGCCATCTACGCTGTTCGCAGTGACAAAGAGACTATTGGTGCCGAGAACATCGATTCGGCATTGGATAGATTGACGGTCGGGCAGAGCAAGGACACGGGCACGAACCAGAAGAAGCGCCAGGAGTTGGTCGCGTGGCATGAAGCTGGTCACGCCGTCATGGCGGCGCTCACGCCGGGCTACGACCCGGTGGCCAAGGTGACGATTGTTCCGCGGTCGAACGGTGCCGGCGGCTTCACGTTATTTACACCGTCCGAAGATAGGATGGACGGCGGCATGTACTCCTACCGCTATCTTGTTGCTCAATTGGCGGTCGCTCTTGGTGGTAGGGTCGCCGAGGAGATGGCCTTCGGGTCTGATGATGTTACTACTGGTGCCTCCAATGACTTACAACAAGTTCGCAGTATCGCGAGGCGCATGGTCGCCCAGTGGGGCTTCACGGCCACGGACGAGCGGCCGTCGGGCGGCACTCTCAGAGCCCCGGTCGCCTGGGAGCTCCCAGAAAAGAATATGGGGTCGCCGACGACCGCCTCGAAGGCCACGGAGCGCGCCATCGACCGCGAGGAGCGCAAGCTCGTGAACAAGGCCTACGCCACCTGCAAGGAGACGCTCAAGACGAACCGGGCGCTCATGCAGGCTTTAGTGGATGCACTACTTGACAGAGAGACGGTGGACGGGGCGGAGCTCGAGCGACTTGTGGCGGAGAAGGCCGTCGTGTCGACGTTCGCGGCGGCCTAGGCTACCTCTCCCCCGGCCTTAAGGCACTAGGTCACATTTATCACATAAGTAGGGGCGTGTCGCGGCGACGGCGTGGGCACACCCGAGTTGCGCGGTCAGAAAAAGCCGCACCGCCACGCCGCTGAGCAGGCGTCGCGTCGATGGCGCGCAGGACATGGTTCAGACGTGGGCGGAGAAGCGCCGCGGCATTTGATTTCCACACGTTGACGCCGCCGTCACTGCGCCGGCAGCAGCTCCCGCTTCGGCCTTTTGGGTTTGGACGCGTACAACAAAATCCCGAAGGCGACCGACGCCACGGACGCGAATTTTACGGGAGTGAGACACGCCCTCGCATCGTCCCCACAGAACGCCAATTCGGCAATGCCCACCACAAAAAGCATCTGCACGCCCCGCGACAGCGTCAATGCGACCGCGCCGGCCCCCGCCAACAGCGCGTAGTGCGCCAGGGCGTGACATAAATCTGCGAACCACAGCGCGACATAGACGATGAAGACCGTCGTCGGATCGCCCTGGTGCTTCAAAATGTGCTTCAGGTAGAGTTTATCCGCTCCTCGCGCTAGGAGGAGCACGACGTTATGTGCTAGTAACACCGAGGCCTCGACGCCCCCGACGTATGTGGCTAACCTGAAACTCGTGAGCTCTTCGCCCGCGCTTACGGATTCGGCACAGACTAAGGACAATGAGTGGAGGGCCGTGCCGCCCAGTATGACGCCAGCGCCGAGCTCGAACCGCCCGAGAGCGCCGTGGCCTGCATCTAGAGCATCTTCTACCGATGCTAGACCATTCAGGGCCATGCCTAACGTTGCGAGCGCGACGCCGCACCACTGCCTCAGGGAGTAGCGCTTGCCATTTACTGTCGAAAATAACGCCGCGAAGGCCACTCCACTACTGAAGAGGACCGCATACACTCCAGCGCCCACAAACAGCAGTCCAATCATCACCAGCACGTTCGCGAGAAAATCTAAAAAAGCTACGAAAGCGACGCGTCTCAGTAATTTGCCCTTCAGGCGCCAGCTCTTTATATATGATACCCAAGACCACTGCTGCCTATCGATGTAGGAGCGCTTTTCACTCAACAGTAGTTCTCGTAGGGGAGCCACACAAGCAACAGCTAGGGTATTTGCGAGCATCGGTAACATTGCCACACCGGTGGCGCCGTTGGACCGGAGCCAGTCGACGAGCGTGGGCTGCAGCGCGCCCGAGGCGGCATACGCCAAGGCGCACAGCGCGACGTGAACGTGCCGGCCGCGATTGGTCTTGGCGGCTCCTTTTGGCGTGGTCGGTTCGTTGTCGTCGGGTTTTCGTAGGTTCCGCTGCATCGTGCCGCTCTTCGGCTGTCGGGTGTGCAGCTCTGCGTATATTGATGCGTCCTCGGTGCGCGTCCAGGCTAGGTTCGACGTTGTGCGGTTGTCGGTGCAAACTCTGGGCAACTAGAAAGAGCCGCGTCAAAAGTCAGCAATGAAAACTGCACGATGTGGCGCTCAGATATTGCTAGCAAGCAGCCACCGCAAGTGATTCATGCGATAGTATGCGACGATATACGGCTGGCAAAAATCGGCTGCTGGTCGAGACGGGTTTTTCCCAGATCGAAGCATCCGTCCGGGCCGACGCCACGGACGCATCCACACATAGAAACGAATCGCAGGCACGAGCTGGCAGGGCCCGCAGCGCCGGCCCGCACCGTTTGGCAAGCGTTGCCGACGAAGCGAGTAAAACAGCCGCGCGGAGGCAGCCTTTCGGCCATCGCCGTCTTCGGCAGCACCGCACGGTCGCGCGCGCACGCCGGGCCAACGCACGGGCTGCCCGCGCGTTCACCATGGCCACGCGCTTCCTCGAGGTCCGCCTGAGTGGCATCGGCCCCGACGCCTTCGATGCGGCCGCCTTCTATAAATCACAGCTCCAGGCCACACGGACCGTGCAAGTCGCGCGCGTCGAGAAGGGGATGAAGGGCGGCACGAAGATTTTGCTTAGTGGCGACGCCCGCGAGTGCACGCAGCTCTTCATTAAGTATCAATCAAAGACGCGCTTCATCCACCAGGGCTCTCAGGTGCAAATGTGGGCGCCGAACGCTCCATTACATCAAGCTCCTGTATCAAAGCAGAAAAAGCCTTCGAGACCCACGGCGTCGCAGTCGGACGCAGTGCGCAATCAATTCCGAGCTTCACGCCATCGACGCGACGTCTTTTGCACACAGGTCGTTCTCGCGCACGCGACGCGCGTCGGCGAAGGCGCCGCGGTCCATGGTCGATATTATTGATGATTTAGGGCACGACATCTTACCGTTGCAACGGGCTTTCGACGAGGAATGTGCCGTAGACGAGCGGACGCCTACGTTGAATACACGTAGCAGAGGCGCTCGCTCCGCAAGTGGTGTGGAAGACGACGCGCAGGTCATCCCGCTGCAAGGCGCGTTGCGAGCTTTACGTAGAGCAGGCACGGAAGTGTCCAGTAAGCAGGCCGAGGACGCGCTGAAGGCGATGGGCGCGGAAGATCGGAGGCTCACGCTCGGATTTGACGACTTTTTGCGGTTGCACGACATGGCCCGTGGTTCCAAGAATGCTGGGACGCGTAAAATCTTCCAGCGGTCCGTGCTGGTCGATGGGAATAGATCAAGGGCGGAGACTAATGTTGAGGCCGTGTTAGGGGAGGGGAAAATTGCCCGCGGGAGCCTGCTCGCGGCGACGCTGACGGCGTCCCTGAACTTCGAGGCGGACGCTGAGGATGACGAAAACAAAGCTGAGGAGGAGGAGGAGCCCGAGGTCATCAAGGGGACCGTCCGCGAGGAGACCATTGGGAGAAATACTGTACGCGAGGAGGCGCCGCCGACGCGACCGCGACCCAAAACGCAACGTTTGAAAGACGCCTTCGGCAAGCACGACCTGTACGGCGACGCCGCCGCGCCGGGCGAAATCTCCTGGTCGTCGTTACCTGCCGCTTTAGCGGAAGCCTGGGGCCGCCAGGGGCCGTCGCCGCAGGAATGCGTGAGAGCGGCCGCTTCCATAGATATCCCGCCGCACTACCCCGTGTCGCTGGCGGACTTCAAGCGGCTGTCCGAGGCCCTGAAAGGTAGGTTCGAAGCCGAACGTGTGGAAAGGAAGAAGGATTTCGACGACCAAGTGACTTCCAGGGTCGATACCCAGCGCGTGTCCTTCGGCACGACGAAGCGCGCGGCGACGATCAAGGAAGAACCGGGCGTCGCGAAGCACGACGACGCCACGGAGCCGATGATGGACCCCGAGATTCGAAGCATTCGACGGCTGGCGATGAAGCAGAGGTATGGTTAAATTTTCTGGAAATACGCGTGCGTCTCGTAGCCCCCTCTCCCGCCAATAGCATCGATCGTCGGGTGCGGCGCCGGCAGGACGTGGAGTTCCTCGGGCTTGCCTTGCAAGAAGTCGCGGCACGCGTCGTAGGCCCCCGGAAAGATGCCGTGGCGCGGCAAGTCCGGAGAGGTCACGTCGTCGACCACACAAATAGCGCCCGGGGCCAACCTGTCGTAGATGAGCTCGAGCGCGTCCGTGATCGACGCGTAGAGGTCGCCGTCGACGTGGGCAAAGCTCAGTTGCGACGGCACCTCACCTTGCATCGAGGCGAACCAGCCCTTATGTATTGTGGGCTCCGGTAGATCTAGCTTCCGAAAAGTGTCCCGCACATCATCAGGCGAGCAACACATCGCTCCGGCAGTCTGATACGCAGGCGGGTCCTCGGCCGTGCCTTGTGGCAGCCCCTCGAAGGAGTCGTAGACGTGCAACGGCGTCGCCGGCCGGTGCGCCCTTAATACACTCTGCAATAACGCCGCCGTGACACCTTTATTACAACCTGTGCACAAATCAACCAGTGAGTCGAATGCTCCGCCACACCGTCGAGCTGGCGTCGCGTCGATGGCGTGGAGGCCATTAGGACGCGCCGCGACAATTTATGCACTGGTCATAACCGAGCTCCGCAACCGCGCCCGGTACGTTACGGTCGATCGTCCGCCGCAGCAGCCAGTAGATGTTGAGGAGCTTGCCCTCGCCGGCCATGTTGCCTTCCACATCTTGTAACGCGGCGCAAAGGAGCGGGCTGCCGTCCCGTACCGCTTTTTGTACAGCTTCTGAGGACGGCACTTGCTTCGTCGTGCCTTGCTGTTGATACGCTGATAGAGCAAAGGTCAAGAATGAAGGCACATCTAGCCCGCGTTGGCGCGCGTCGAAGGCCAGTTGTTCATAGGTCGCGACTTGCTGGCGCGGTCCGCTCCCTCTCCAATCTTGTAGAGCGAGGTCCGTCCGCGCCGACCCGCCGCGGCAGCCGCTCCACAGTTGTGAAACATCCGTCTGGGTCTTGACCGGCAGCCGTCGCACGAGAGGGAGTACTGATGCCGTCGCGATTCTCAGTAGAGATGGAGCGTAGAAGCGCAACCTCAGACCTAATGTAGCGAGCGCCGCCCGTTTTTTCTGTTTAGGGGCCGGCCGCCAGCTGATGACCAAATTCCCCGGCGCCGTCAGAGGCAGCTCGTCCGCGACAGAGACCTGTGTGTGATATATGTCGAGTCGCGATCTCGCCCCCAACGCGTTCGGCGAGTCGCGTCGATGGCGCGTCGATGGCGTAAGGCCGCCGGAAGGCCACAGGACGCCGCGATCAGTACCTCGCGGCCGCGCCTCTCCATCAAAGACGCGAACTCCGTGCCGTTCATCGCCTCCGCGTGGACGCCGTGGTTCCAAGTGACAAAGCCGTAGGGCGTGCGCTGGGCGAGCCTTACCTGCGCGGAGCATGGCGGTCGCTCGACTCGGTCCGAACGGCCCCAAAATCGGAAAAGAAACCACCCACGACCTCCTCTCCCGGAGACGAGTCGCGTCGATGGCGTGAAGGCGCCGCAGCACCGCGGGAAGGCGTCTCTACACGACGGGACGCCGAGTCTTACATAAGGTTTCTGGATCTTTCTAGGTAACTCGGAAAGCGCAAAGTTCGAATGGAACACATCAAATTTCTCCTGGAACAAGTCGTGGTCCCTCAGAAAGCGCTTGCCCGTCGTGAAGCGCTTCGAGCGGTCCGGTGGGAGTGCTCGTTGAATATACTTCCTGCATAATCGCTGCACTACTCTCAGATCGAGCACGCGATAGTGGGCAGCGGCTCGCTCCCCGGCCAGACAGACCTGGGCCTGGCCGCCGTAGCCGCCGCCTATTTCCACAATTTTTTTGTCTGTCAGTGGACCACAAACTTGTTCCATATCACCTCTGACGCAGACGTACCGCAGCTGCGTCGGCGAGACATTTCCCCATTCATTGTAGTCGTAAGTGGAGGGCGAGCCGAGTTTTGACGATAGCGTGACCGCTTCTCGAATGCCCTCGTCTTCGAAAAGTGACGGGTGGTCTATTTTGAGGCGGTGCTCGTAGCACCTACCGACATCATAGGAGACGTGTTCTAGGACGTCTTGGTAGGCCGCTTGGGCTTTGAATTGTGAGAACGCTTCGTCGTCGTCGCAGGCTCGCTGGCAGACTCGTTCGTACTCGGCGTAGCGGTCGGCCAACGTATCAGCGTTGTCGTACACAAAAGGCTGCGTGCTCGCTTTTAGGGCGGTGCGGTGGCGTAGTGGTGCTAATGCAGTGCACAGCGGCAGGAGCAGTGCGGTTATGCGACGCATGGCTGCACTAGGTGCTTGTGCTGCAGCAGTGACGGCAGCACGAGCCGTGAGCGCTCGGAATTGATTGATGCACAGTACGGTGGTGCTGCGAGGCAGGTCAGCGCCGTGTGTAGCGCACCGCTGGCGTCGCACGCGCTCGGCCACACTCGACACTCAACCTCAGCTGCCAAGGCTTGGCTCGGCTGGCGTAGGACCCTTCCACTCGTCATCGCGGGCAGGATGAGTCGTGGGGAACCCCAAAATGCGACTGCTATTTCGATCTTGGAAAACCCGTGCGTGCTAGTGTCTTACTGGACGCTAGCGTGCTCGGGACTCGAACTGGAGTGTTATCCAGCGAATTATAAGCTGCGGGTGGCCAATTTTCACATCAAAATCTCCCACCAGCTGTCCTATGGCACTGTGCACGTTTGCAGCCGAAACGGCCGACTAGTCGCCACGATGAGTTTTGAAAAGGGCGACGTGTCGTCGTCCCCGACCGATGACGCGGCGCCGGAGGGCGAGCCGGCGCCTGACGCCGCGCCATTGCCACCGCCCCCCGTGCCGGCGTTCCTGGAGGGCGTTTCCGCACCGACAGAGCCTCTCGCGCCGAGCACGGTCACCGCGCCTTCTACGGTCGAGGAGCTCCCGGCCGCCGCGGCGCCGCCGCCGGCCGCCGCGCCGCCGTGGGCCAGCGGGCCGCCGCCTCCAGCCGCCGCGCCGCCGCCGGCCGCCGCGCCGCCGCCGCCGGCCGCGGCCGCCAAGCCGCCGTGGGCCTGCGGCCCGCCGGCGCCGTCGAGCCCGGAGCCGCCGCCGCTCCCGGCCTCCGTTATCGCGCGCGCGTCGCCGCTCGGCGCCACGCTGCCACGAGCGTCGCCGCCGCGGGTCCCGGTCGTGACCCAGGCGTCGCCCCTGCCGGTGCCGGCGGCGCCGCAGCCCGCCGTGACCGTGCCGCGAGCATTACGCGAGCTCGCCGCGCACAACACGCCCGCGACCACGACGGCGCTGATGGCGGCCGCCGCGCCACCGCCACCTCCACCAGTGACCGGCCTGCGCTTCAAGGGCGGCGTGTCCTCGGAAACGGCCGCGGCGCTGCAGCGCGCGGGCGCGGCGCCGCCGCCCCCGGCCGCCGCGGCGTCCGCGCGGCCGCCGTGGGCCTCAGGACCACCGGCGCCGCCGTACAGCGTCGGCGATTTGGTGGAGGTCAAGCCCGACTGGTCGCCGGGCTGCAACCGCGAGGGCGGCCCCGGCCGCGTCACCGCCGTCAACAGCGACGGCACGTACGACGTCAAGTACTCGTTGGGGAGAGGCACGATGCAGGGCGTCCCGCTCGCAGACATGTCCATCCCGTCCAAGCAGAGCCAGGGCCCGGGCGAGGCCGCGAAACGGTCGCGGCGACGGCAGCCGACGCGGCGCTTCAGCGAGCTGGCCCAGGACGGCCAGAACTACGGCGAGCCCTCGGACGAGCCGCCGCCGCCTCCCAAACGACGGCCGAAGAAGAAGCGGGCCCTCGCGGTGGCCATGGGCACTGATCTTAGACCTGCGGCGGCGTTACAGAAGCCCGCTGCCGTTGCGCAGCCGTCCCGACCAAAAGATCCTCCGTTACCTCCGGGCTTGTGGGGCTCGTCCGAAGCACTCGTGTTCAACACTACGAACCCGAAGCGGGGCATGTCCGCCGAAAGGTATGATAGGTACAAGGCGGCGACTACTGTTGCCGAGTTCGCTCAACTAGGTGGGTCTACTTCCGACTTGAGGTTTGACTTAGCGCGAGGGTATGCTCGCGTCCTCAACCCGGCGATGCAGCCCGCGCCGTCGTCGCCGCGAGGTCGGCGGTGTGGTGTCTGTGCCGGTTGTCTCGCGCAGGACTGCCGGCAGTGCCCGTTCTGTCTAGATCAAAAACGCTACGGCGGGCCCGGCAAATTACATAGGACGTGTCAACGACGGAACTGCGAGGCGCCATTACCGTCCGCACCTCCTCCGAATGGTGTCAAGCGCAAGGCACCCGTTGTTCAAGAGCCGAAGAAGCGAGGCCGGAAGCCCGCGGCGAAAGCACCCCCGGTAGCACCGAAGCCGGCGCCGAAACGATCCCCCCAGAAGGTGCCGGATAGAGCAGGCTTGGAAGCGAGGATGACCGCCGACGGCTGGACGCGCGAGGAGAAGCCTCGCGAGGGCTCGACGCACGTCGACAAGTACTTCGTGCCTCCGAACGGTGGGAAGAAGCTACGCTCCATCCTGGAGGTGGCCCGCGCCCACTACCCGTCGTTCATTGTCCAACAGAAGGTGGCACCGCCTCGACCGCTGACGGGGACCTCCGCTCCTGGTCATGTGTGGAACCAGAACGAGCCGGAGGTCGACGAATTAACTGGTGTCGCCTACCAGCCGTGTGGGGTGTGCAAAGGTAAAAAAGGTGGCGAGTTATTGATGTGCGACGGGAAGGATGGGACTTGTGATAGGACGGCGCATACGGGCTGCTTAAATAAAGAATTTCCGCCCGAGGGCGACTGGTTCTGCGCCCAGTGCCGCGCGGCGGCGCAGATCGCGTCGGCGCCGCCCTTCAAGAAGCCCACGAAGAAACGTAAAAGTGCTGCGAAGAAGGCTGCCGATCTACAACGGTTGGGTCCCGAGCCCCGCGTGCGGTTTAACGATAGCGTGACGGTGATCCAGTGGAAGGCGGCGCCCCGGGCGGCACCGCGGAAGCGCGGCGAGCCCGTGCTGGAGGACGACGCTACTCGAAGGGCCATTGCGGCCTCTCTGGCTCAGTATAATGATGATGATGGTAGCGAGTACTCTGATGACTCCGAGGAGCCCGACGACGACGACGGCGGCGAGTGGTCGCCTGACGTTCCAGCGCCTGTTGTTCAGAAGAAGAAGCCTGTGGTGAAGAAGTCGCCGCCGCCGCCGCCGCCGGCCGTGCTCGAACCGTTACGAGTGCCATCACAACGCTTCGCCGTCGGCGCTAGAGTAGAAGCGCGCTGGGAGGGCGAGTGGTGGCCGGCCATCGTCGACCAGGTCTGCGAGGACGCCTACGAGGTCGAGTGGGTCGAGGAGCCCGAGGTTTTTAATCGGCTGGATCTGGAGGACGTGCGGGCCGCTCGAGCGTCGCCCCACTTCGTGGCCGCGCCGCCGACCGTGCCGCCGGCCTGGACTAATGCAGCAGCCGCGCTCGCTACGAGTTCTCCGCCGTCGAAGGGCGGTACAATACGGCAGCCGTCGCCGCTCGCGGCCTCTCCCACGCGCGTGGTCTCGCGGTCGCCTCCACCTGTTGTACAAGCGCCGCCCTCGCCGACTGCTGTTCCCGCCGCGACGGGCCGCTGGGCTCCTGCCGCGCCGCCCGCGCCTTCCGCTCCGGCGACGTGGCCGCCGCGCGCGCCGCCGGCGCCATTATTACCGATGGCCGTCGCGCCGCCGCCGTCCGTGCCGCCGCTCTGGCCGGCCGGGGCCGCGCCGCCTCCAATTGATGAGCCGAACGGGACGCCGCGGCGACCACCTCCGCCGGACGTGGAGATGACGCCGCGCGCCGAGCACGACGCGTCGCCCGGCGCGACGCCCTCCTTCGCACAGCCACGCGCGCTCGATGATGATGTCTAACCAACCGATCGTTTTATTACTACTCATCTAGGCCATGAAGACGAAGTAGCCCCCGACCGCCGCGACCAGCGCCCCGGCGACGGCCACAAGCAGGAAGGAGTCGCCGTTCCCGGTATGCGCCGGCGCCCGCAGCGCCTGGAGCTCCTCCTCCGTCGCGTCGAGCGTGCCGACCAAGAACTCCTTGAGCTGCTGCCGCGCGTTCATCGAGTGGCCGATGTCCTCGAACATGTCGTCGGCGTATTTGCCGGCCAGTTCCAGTAACACGGCGTCGCCGCCCGGATGCTCGTCAAGGTACTTCGTCACATCATACACCTTGGCGCCGCCCGTCCTTTCATTCCCGATGATCAAATAGCAGTCCTCTTCTCGGTCGTGGGCCGCGACCTCCGCTAATGTTAGAGTTTTGCTCATTTTTCAGTGCTTTGTGGCGCCGACGCGCTTGCAGCGGGTGCGACGACTCTTGCTGCACCGTAGGCGGCCAGGCTTGTTGCCCTCGCAGCCTGATTTTGTGTAGTTTGATGTTGTGCCACTGTGCCCACACAGCTGCTGCAATGACCACAGTTGTTGATGAACTCACTTCCGCAGCAAAGTATGAGTATGTAGCGCTGCTCGAATGCGTCAGCGGTGCTTCTCGCTGCCCTACTGAGGCGGCTGCAGCGGTGTTGGCATAAGACTTGACACCAACTTTTGTCAAATTTGGGCGGAGGCGTCTTGGGTCTGCGGTATCCCTGAGGAAGCCCTTTGACCAATAGAGGACGAGATAGGCGCCGAAAAAAGCCAAAAAATGGAAACGCGGGCCGCGCCCCGCGCGTCCACCAACTCAAGCGAGACAACCCCCCAAACGCCATCGACGTGAGTCAACAACACACACTAGTTAACCCACATGCTGCGAACGCGCCCGCAGCGGCCCGAGCACCTCGGCCGGCAAAGCGGCCAACACCGCGTCCATGTGACGCCGCGCGTAGTTGCCCGGAGGTACACTTCCGGTCCCCGACAGGGCCCGACGCGTCTCCGACGCCGCGTCGCGCCGCTGGTGTTTCCTAGCTTCGGTCAGCTTCCGAGCTAGAGTGACGTTTTGCTTCGCCAAAAAAAATTCCGAGCTCAGTTGCGAGTAGAAGTCGACGGCCTCGGAATGTAATTTTCGCGCAAATAAGTAGCACGGTGAGGCTCGCTCTGACTTCTTGTCCGTGACGAGGCCGCACCGCAGCTTCTCCGGTCGGTACGCGCCTCGGAAGATCCGCGCGGGTCGTGACGCGGCCACTTCTTCGTCGTCATCCGCAGGCCCCGTCGCGCCGACGTCGAACGCACACAATTCGTGGAGTTTCTCCAAAGTCTCCATGGACAAGGCCCCGAACTGCACGGCGTGCCACTCGCTGCTTTCGAGGCGGAACGGCCTTTCCCCGCCGTCGCCCCAGACCGTCACGTGGTCCTTGATCCCGAAGCGCGCGAAGGTCAGCGACACCGGTAATACACTCCTTTCTTCGTTGGCCATCGCGAGCGACGTCTGGACGTAGTGCTCGTCGGCGAAGGGTGGCTTCTGGATCGTATGCGATATTCTCCCCCAGTCGCCGAGCTGGTCCCGCAGCTTCCGTCGTCGTAATTGTTTTCTAGCGAACGCGACGTACCACTTGCGGATGCCGTTCTGGTTGGCGAGCTTCTGAGCATGTGATCTGGTAAGCGCAAACCACTGCGAGCCCTTCCTCCAATCTTGTACGTGCGGTCGCGTCGTGTTTCTGAACTCGTAGAGCGTCGAAAAGCGCATGTCAGACTTCTTCGTTTCCAGGAAACTGAGCTCAGACGCAAACAACACGGAATAAGTGCACTCGAAGGGCCAGAGCGGCACGTCCGTCTCACTGAGGAGGACGAAGCGTTCGTTCGCCGGATCTCGCAGCGCGTAGGACAACAAAACTAACTCGGCATGGACCATCTGCAAGGACGCCCACTTCACTTCATAGCGATGCTCCTGCTTGATCACATGGTCCTCGAAGAAGTGGCCTGCCGGGAAGGCGAAGCCGCGCGGCGGATGTACATATATAGAAGAGCGTTTCTTCGCTTCATCGCTCGCGAAAAAACTCCGCCAGATGGGCTCCGTCGCGACGTTGGAACCGACCAAGAAGAGGAACGCTACTTTCTTCTCCTGTACTGGTAACAAAGCCTTCGGTCGGTACTGCCAGGCATTCAGGACTGTGTCATACAATGCCGAGGCGAAGCCAGGAACCACTCTAGGCGGCCAGGCCTTGCACAGCTCCTCCGTGATCTTGGCGACCAACGCGTCGCTAAAAGCTTCCTTGGACATGTCCTTCGTGAGCTGCGGTAGATCGCGCTTATCTAGAATCCAGGCGCCGTGCTTGACATTTAACAGTCGTCTCGCATCAGGTAAAGGCACCCAGGGCCCCTGCTTCTCGAACTCGCTGTAGGTTACCGGTTTCGGCGCTTTGTAGGACTTCGTCGTGTGCTTCGGCCGTCTCAGGAGGACCCATGCGGTGGTCGACGCGGCGGTGGCGACGATGGTGCCGAGGACGCAGGCGATTCTCCGTGCTCTTCTCCGGCGGTGTTTCAGCGGTTCGCGCGCCGCCATCGCGTTGCGTCGACGGCGTTCAGCAGCGCTGCTCCAGAGGTGTTGCAGAGCAGCGCGCGCCGCGAAGCGATGGTCCAGTCGATCAGTGCGGATGCTGCGACGGCGTAATGATGCCGCTAGCTCATCTATGCTGTCGCGAGCTGCGAGCAATTTTTTTTTTGCAGCTAAAAACCCGTGTAGACGGGTTTTCTCTCTACGTGTGTTGCCGTGGGTATTGGGCGAGCCATTATTTCCAGAGGATCGCTATGTTGTAACCATTACACACTCTACGGCGGCGGTGGCGACGGCGGCGTCTCGCGGGCGCGGAGCGCGGCTCGCGACCTTTGCAGTTCCCGCTCAAGCGTCTTTGTGAACGGGTGCGCGCCGCCGAGGACGCGCCGCGCGATCCGTTCCGACTCCTCGAGCGTCGCCACGGCCTCGCGGAGATCGTCGAGTGTGGCGGTGGAGTCATGGTAGAGCGCCCGCGCGTAAACCCATCCCATCCTAAGCGTGAGATCATTGCCCTCCCCGAGAGCGCGTCGCGCCACGGGTATCGCTTTGCGAAACAGCGACTTGGCTTCTTCGAAGCGCTGTAAACTACAAAGGGTTGTTGCGAGGTTATTGACAGATATGAGGGTATCCCTATGTCCGGTGCCACCCTCGACGATCTCCGCGAGGCCGTGACGACGCTCGAAGACTCGCAACGGATCGCAAGGCGCGTGTTTGGCGGCGCGCACCCGCTCACGATGGGGATTGAGGGCAGCTTGCAAGACGCGCGAGCCGCGCTCCGCGCCCGCGAAACGCCGCCGAAGAGGGCGTAAAAACAAAACACAATTACTCACTTCAAGACCCCCGGGCACGCCGCCTCCACCAGCAGCCGCGCGACGGCCGCCGTCGTCGCGGACCCAAAGTGCCGCATGTCGCCGGCCTCGAGGGGGTCGTCGAAGGCCAAGGCAGACGGCGCGAAGACGTCGACGACCGCTATACCAAGCTTCGCCGCCGCGCGCGCCGCCGCCGCGTTCGCTTCCACCACTCTTGGTGAAGTCATCGCGCGCTTGGCCCGCGCCGCACTTAAGGGCACGTCGACGGCGCGGTGCGCCCCCTGCAGTTTTATGGAAGAACCCGCGCGCGGGCACGCCGACCGGCCCAGAAAATGCTCCGGAAATACGTCTGTTGTCGCCGCTAAAACGACTCGATGGAACTTCTGCGACGCAAACCGCAGGACCTGCTCCACGGCGGCCTCATAGGAAGCCGAGCGGCCGTAGGCGACCTGCCACAGGCCCGCGACGTTAATCACCAAAACCTTGGAAGAAGGAGCCTTCCGTAATTGCTCAAGATGCGCCGAGACATTCACGGCGGTGCCCCGCAGCGGCGTGTAGGACACGTGGTGCTTCCTCCCCAATTCACATTGCAGGAAGAACGAGACATGTCTCATTATGCTGTCGCCCGCAAAAACGACGTCACGAACACATTTCCCGAGGTTCGTCATCGTCAGCGTTTTTGGTGGTTTGCAATTTTGAGCGTACGCGCGCGTGATGGGCTCCATCTTGCGGTAGGGCGCGAAGAAGCTCTCGTAGCCGCACGCCGGTCTCCTATCTTTTCTACCGAAGATAGCTCTATCTGAAGCGACCCAGCGCGGCGCGTCGCAGGCATCATCTTTGATGTTTTTGAGGGCCTTCTGCGCTTGTATCGCTAATGAATGTGTCCCTCTTGTTGTCTTCTCTTTCGCGGTCGAGGGCCTCCGCGAAGGAAGCTTGAGCGTGACGTCCGCTAGATTCACACCGAGGAACGGGAGCGGTTCGTTGTCATCTATTCTTTTGGGGTCTCTTAAAGCTGCTTGTTCGGAAGTATAGTCGGCAAACAGCTGTACATGTATCGAGGTCGCACCGGCATGGCCTTTCGCGACGGCTAGAACGCATGCTTCGCTACCGCAGGGTATCCTTCGTGTTTCCACCGCGGATCGAGAAAGGAACTTTCCAGAAGCGTCCAGGGACGTGGCTCGAGCGCTTGTGACGACGTCTCGCGGCACCGCGGCGATGACCGCGACGTTGCCCTTCACCGCGGCGGCGCCCCAATTGGTGGAGAGGCAGTCCTTTTGAGTTGTGTCCTTTTGGGCTTTGCTGTTGTAGGTGAGGCCGACTGCTGCGGCGGCGGCTGCCACTACGGCCAGGCAGCTCAGGGCTCGGCGCAGGCCGGCCATGGCTGACTGGCTTCAATGGATCAATTCGTAACTCTTGGGCAATGCCTGAGCATGCCTGCGCTGTTCGCACGCGGCAATATTAAATTTTCGCATGGATGCTAACTAGCGTCGTAAAGACACTAGCCCGCATCGATTGTCCGCCCGCCTTAGCCGTGCACACTGATCGCCAGCGCCTCGTCGTAGTCGCATCGATGCAACCTCCAGCGCTGCGCAGAGATCGGCAGTCGTGCGACTCGCCACTGCTGTGAAAATGGGCACATTGTGAGAGCACCACTTTTTACGCCATCGAAGCGATGGCTGCACGCTGTCGCGGCTACCTCGCCGGCTTGCAAAGCTGGGTCTCGCCTCGAACTCGTCAAACATTGCTCGGCGGCGAACCTTTTGGTAGCTTCGAGCATTCGTACGACGCGCTCGGCGGCGTCGACAACGCGGACCTACTCGCCTTCGAGGCCGACCTAAAATCAACACGCGGCTGGGAGTTCAAATACGGGTCGCGGAACTGGAGCGTCGTCGAAGCCGGCGGCGTGCGCGCTCTGCTCAACAACGAGGCGCCGGCGGCCGTTCAGAGCAGCATTCGCGTCGACGGCGGCCCGCCGCCCCTCTCCGGCCCGCTCGGGTCCGCTGTGGGCGGCCTCGGCCTCGCTGCACCCCTGTACAAGTCGGCGGGTTTCGGTGGGTGGGGGAAAAAGCCGGCTGTGCTGCTCCTGGGCGGCGGCGGCTGCGCGTTACCACCCGTCCTTCGCGACGCGCTAGGAGCGACCGTGACAGCGGTGGAGCCGGACGATGAAGTTCGGAGCATCGCGCGCGAGTATTTTGGGGCGCCCGCGGAGTTGACCGGCGACGACGCGGCCGAGGGCGCGCCCGCGGTGCCAACGCCTGGAAGTTGGGGCCACCTCGTCGGCGGCTGCGGCGCCACGGCGGTGACGGAGGCGCGCGATGGCAGTTTTGACATTGTTGTTGTCGACGCCGCGGACGGTGGGAATGCGCCGCCTGACGCGTTGGCGTCGCCTGCGTTCTTCGCGGATGTAGGTCGAGTTCTCGCTCCGAGGACGGCGGTCCTGGCCGTCAATCTGGTCGCCCGGGACGCCGAGACCCTGACGCGTGTACGCGACGCGGCGGCCGGCGTCGGCGGCGAGCTGTTTGAATGTGAGCTGCCGGCGCCGCTCGTTGCGGAAGGATCTCCCGATTTCGCGCGGCTCCTGTTCGCGGTCCGCGGCTATGATACGTCACCGTTGTGGGGGCATCCGCTCCTCGCGCACGTTGATGAGTCGGAGTTGTGGATGACAGGGTTCCGGGGTCTTGTGTAACGTTGTTTTGTTGACTCGTGCGACTGCGACGACGGCTTTGAACTTGCTAGTGTCTTCATGCCGCTAGCATTATGTGGGGCACGCGCACATCGAAGCATTGACACGCACCATCGAGCACCAACGCGCCGGGGAAGAGCTGAGGTTCAACAGAGACTCAGACACGCCCTGCGGGCCGGGGCCCAACGCGGCGCCGGCGGAGGGTGGCGGCGGCGGTTCCAAGAAAAAGAAGAAGTCGTCGAACGACTCGCTGGCGCTCGGGCTCGGCCTCGGGTTGGGTTTGGGCGGCTTGCTGTTGATCGGGCTCGTCGCCATGCTCTGTATGTCCAAAAAGAAGTCTCCGACGTCGACGCGCGACGCGGACGTCGAGAACGAGATGGTCAAGACGGGCGCAGCCATGTCCTGAGCGCGTCTCCATTTGCCCATGTTCCCCCCTACCTCCTCCTCTGAGTAACGACTGTCCTCTCGGAGTGTACTTCGGAGTTCTACTCCGAGTGAGTCCGGCGAGCCAGTCCTGGGAGCCATCTTCCTTGCCAGAGTGTCCACTACGCGGCGACGTCCGGAGGCGAAGATAGATACAATAAGTTACTCTACTGGGGACGAGGAGCCCCCTCCGGCACCGGCGCGACCTCCGTGCGCACGCCGTAAAGGCGCTTGTGCTGCGCGTCGGGATCCTGGACGAAGGAGCCGTGCGCCACGTGGAGCACGCCCGTCAGCGTCGCAAATCCAACAGTCAGCGCCATCATGTGGCCGAACGTCTTCTGGCGCAGTCCAACAGCTAGACCCGCGGACGCGCCGCCGCAGATGGCCGGCACGACGTCGTCGCGGCCCGTTGCCGCCTTGGCGGCGGCCTCGCCAATGGAGAAAGCTGCCGCGACGCCGGCAAAGATCAAGGCCTGGCCGCCGACGTGCTTCCACATCGTGCGCAAGCTCGGCAGCGCGTCCTGCCTTATTTCAATACCATCAAGCTTGTTGGTCGGCGGCGCGGTCCAGGCGGAGACGACGGAGCCGTACATGCCGCCGACGCCGGCACCGACCATCGTGTTCATGATCAAGCCCGGTTTGTCGGCGCCCATGGTGGTGCTTGTGGCTGCTTGCCCGCGAGGCTGTGTCTAGGCCGCTACGGTAGCCGCTGCGGCGGCGCCGTACCGGTGCGGTGCGCGCGCCGACGGCGTGGGGTGGCTGGGAGCGCTGCACCCTGTAACTTTGCCGCTGCGTGTCGCGGCGCGCTCTGGTCTTTTGCGGCCGACTGAAAACTTCAGCGAGGGCTGCAAACCGAGCGAAAACCAGCCGCAGCGTCGTCCACGGGCTCGAAAAGCTCCTGTCCTCAAAACTAGCATCAGGTTGTACGGGTTTTCTGCGATTTTGGGATTTGCTCCCATGGGGCGCGGCTACCCTTCCCCTCCTCCGTTTGGATGGTTCGGACGGTTTGTGTGCAGTTCTACACCGTGCAGACAGCCCGGGGGCTGCCAGGCTCTCAGTCTTGTTTTGTTTTGAAATGCCATGGCTGCCCAGACATCACGCATGGAAAGCGTGGCTCTCTCGCGTGTGTCCGAAGCTCCTGCAACGACGCTTAAGAAAGCAATGGAGATCCTCGTGGATTGCGGCCAAGGCGAGGCAGTCATTGCTGCCCTGGACGAGGCACAGCAATCGCAGCAGGCGGATGACAACCTCGCGCGGCTTTGCCAGCAGACGCTTGACCACATCGCGCGCGAGAAGGTCGACCGCGCGGCCGTCGGCGAGCAGCTGCTGCGCAAGGCGCCCGCGGACCTCGTCGGCGAGATCCAAGGTTTCGCGGCGCCGGCGCCGACGGAGCCGCGCCGCGTGCGCCAGAAGCGCGAACGCGATGCCGCGGAAGCGAACGAGCGCCGGAACGAGCGCCGGAGCGTGGCGGCGCGACCCCTGCTGGAGCTGCTGCGCCGCAGGCGTCATGAGGGCCACGTGAACATCAAATCTGTCGAAGCAGTGCTCCTGGACGCGGCCGAGGACGAGCCGCTCGACGCTGACGCGATCGATTCACGGAGGCTGCTCAGCTGTGCCCCGTCCGATCCCGTCGGGGCGTGGCTGGACGCAGTCACGATCCCGCGGCCGCCAGCTGCAGGGGAAAAACGGTGGGTCGACGACTTTGGCTACGGTATGGAGCATGAGGCGATTTCGCTGCTCTACGCGGCATGCTCGTTAGGCGACCTCGAGACGGTCAAACTCTTCCTGAGGCACGGGGCCTGCGTCCACGCGGGCTCCCGCCATAATGATTGCGGGCGAGCCAACAAAGGCCATCCGCTCGAGGGCGCGCTCGGTCCCCCTGGCCGCTCGCCCGCGTGCGCCCTTGCGATCTTGGACGCCTGGATGGTAGACGATGACACCGGGCTCAGCGGCTACCCGGACAGCGACGGTAGCGAGCCATACCTTGACGACGACAGCACGCTCCGGCGGAATCCGTTGCATGACGCGTGCCGTCTGGACGACGACGCGGACGCCCTCACGGTCGCGAAAAAGCTCGTAGAGCTCGGGGCCCGCGTCGACGCCACCACTGGCGACAGTCTACGTCCGCTCCACATCGCCTGCGAGCGCGGCCACGCGAAGCTCGTGGCGTTCCTGCTGCGCGAGGGCGCCGACCCGGCGGCTCCCGGCGAGCAATTCGAGTTCGACGACGAGACGGGCATCGACTTCATGCTGCAACTCAACGCATGCGGGACACCGCTGGAGATTTGCGAGGCATATGGATACGAGGACTGCGCGGGTATGATTCGGAAGGCCCTCGGCAAGGCTGCGCCGACCGAGCCGACGACCCCGGACGCCTACCGCCGGGACCTCGAGACCGTCCGTGCGTGCGTCGGCCGCGATTTCTGGCGGTACTACGGTCTGAAGGGCAAGGGGATCGGACACCACAGGAGGATAGCGAGCGATGACGCCTTCCCCAAGACGACACCAAGTGACGTCGACTCGGCGTTCAGACGGCTCAAAGACCAGGTTTTTGAATTGAGGGAGTATCAGGCGCGGCGGCGCGAGCCCGAGCTCTACGCGAAGTGGGAGGCCTGGGAGAAGTCGGAGGCGGGCCTCGCGTGGCGGCGTGGGGGGGATTATGAGAGCGACTCTGATTCGGATCCGTTCGCCGGTCCGTTCGGCACGCCCGACTATTAACTGATTTTTTGTAAGTTCACTCGGTCCGCGCGGATGACGAGTTTCTGAGACTGGATTATTTTTACGGTGCTAGGACTAGTGGGCGTGACGCGCGGAGCAGCCTAGCGACAGAGGTACTAGAAGTGGAGGTGCTTCTCGCGCGCGCACAAATTGGGCAGCAATTGGGTAGCACGAGTGCAGCAAACGGCTCGTGGAGCCGCGCCGTAGCCTCCTCAAAAAAACGCACGACCACAGTTCGAGGCAGTAGACGCTGACACAAAATAAAAGACAGGAGCCTCTTGGGCAGCCCCACCATGCAACGGCGCCCCCCCAGCTCGCCGATAACGACACCGCCTCCCGGATACTTCGATCCACCACCGCCGCCGCCGCGTCCGCCGCCGGGCGCGCCGTTGCCGCCCAGACCACCTGGTCCACCGCCGTATCAACCACCGCCTGGCGCGTTCCTGGCCTTTCCGCCGCCGCCACCACCACCACCTATGACGTCGCCCTTCGCCGCGGCCCTCGCCGAGTTCCCACCGCCGCCGCCGCCCCTCGACGCCCCGGGAGCACCGCCGCTCGAGTCGTCGCGCATTTTGCAGTCGCCGCTCGAGCCTCGGCCCGTGCCGCCGCCGCCGCGCACGCCGCCACCCGGCAGCAACCCCTGGGACCGGCCGCCCGGGAGCCCGCAGACGCTGCTCTTCCGGACGCCGCCGCCGGGACCTCCACCGGGCCCGCCTCCCTTATCAGCTTTCAGGACGCCGGGCGGGCCCGGTATCCCGGGCCCGCCGCCCGGACCGCCGCCGCTCAGCGCCCTCCCGGGCCCTCCGCCGTTGCCCGGGCCGCCACCGTCGCAACCGCCTCCAATACCGGAGCCGCGCGTGCTGCCGCCCTCGCCGTCGCTCGCCACGACGCCGTCGAGGCCGGTCGACGAGGACGCCGCCGTCCACGAAGCGCGAACAGCATTAGATGAATACGACGCAAAGGTAGCCAAGGAGGCTTCCAGTAGAGACAACGCGTCCATCTCGTTACTCATAAGAGCCCTCCTCGACGCGTCGGAACGACGCGCGCGGGACGACGCCTGGGCCGAAGCTATTATAAGGGACGCCGTGGCCTGCTACGCGGGCGAGGACGGGAAGTGGGGTTTGAGGGAGTGGCGGTGCTTCTGCCGCGATGCGCGCCTCGAGGAGCCGACGCCGGCGCCCGAGCTCATCTGGCTCACGTTGTACGATCGGGCGGCGACGTCGGGCGGCGGGTGTGCGCTGACGCGCGTCGTGCGCGCGGGCATTGCCGACGAGCGCGCCGACGAGATGCAAGTCGTGGAGCTCGTCGAAGCGCTGAGCGCGGCGCATCTTGCCGCTCGTTCCATGACCGAGGATATTGATCAATTCACGTGGCGCTTGTTGGCGCCGTGTGCCGCGCGCCATCGGAACGGAGGCGGGCCCGGCGACGCGCGGAAGCTCGGCGCGTGCGACGGCCGGACGCTCGACGTCATTCTGGAATCACTACCGGCGTTGTGGGTGCTCTTCGGGGCCTACGCGCGCGACGGGCATAATAAGAGGGCGCCGCAGGACTTTCTGGACGCGTTCCCGCTGAGCGTGCGTTTTGCCGCGTCCTATTTCCGTCGTTTCCCTACCGCTTCGTGCCTATCGACGCGACGCATCTTGCGACCTCCGCGTCGATGGCGTCTCTATCCCCTCCACACGTCGCCGACGCGACCGCTTCCCGTCCGCCGTCTGTCTTTCCCTATCGCTTCGTACATATCGACGCGACTCGTCTTGCGAGCTCCGCGGCGATGGCGTCGAACCCACACAGGCCAAGGTCGCGGAGAAGGCCGCCTCGGGCGCGGGCGACGGCGACGCCGCCTTCGAGCGGGAATTACGACGGGACGGCGTCGCGCCCGCCGACTACGCACTTTCATTGACGCCGCAGCGCTTCGTACTGCTGTGCGACGACGTCGGGCTCTCGGACGTCTGCGCGCCCGGCCAAGCGCTGGCCTGCGCGAAGCGCGCGAGAGTGGCGCGTGCAGCGAGCTCGCCCAAGCAAGCGCCGCAGCGCGCCGCCTTCCAGTCTCCCCTCCTGAAAACAACCGCGGCACAGCGGCTCCGGGAGCGGGCCGTCGCGAAGCGGCGCCAGGAGCGGACGAGGGAGACGGACACGAACCTCGCCTTCACGTGTTCTTCGTATCGAGCCGCGCCGCGGCCGCGACCTCCCACCGCGACGACGCCGCGCCTCGCGAAGGTGAAAGGACTGTCGTTCTGCGAGTTCGTCGAGGCTTTGGTAAGCCTCGGTGACGCCGCCCTCGCGGCCGACGCGCACCTGCGGAGCCTCTACCCGTCGCCGCCCGAGCGCTGCCGCGCCATCTTCGACGTCTGGTGCCTCGCGGACGTCTGCGACGAGGTCGCCGCTCAAGCTGTCGCGAGCGCGCCTCGGCCGCGGTGGCGGAGTTCTTTTGCCGCGCGGCCGACGCGCGTTTCTCGCAGCTAGCGTAAAGACGCTTAGCATCAAAATACGCGCTGTGGCGCAAAAGATAACCGCACAAACAACAAAACACACACTTAGCCTACCTCACGTCATGTACCGGATCTTCGCCGTCGCCCAGGCCGGCGGCGTCGTGCCGGGCGGGCACTCGTAGACGACGTCCGTGCGGACGAGGTGCTTGGCGCCCTCTTCCAGGAAAGCGCCGCCGTGCATGAGGCCGTGGTCGAAGACGAGCGCGCGCCCGGGCAGTGGGGCTATTTTTGCCCGGCCGACGCCCGGCAGCGGGAAATAGGACTCCCCACCTTTCTCAGGCGCGTCGAGGTACAGTAATAATGATTGGAACGACGTGACCCGGCCGTGCCTCTCATCAGAAACCTCGGGCACGAAGTGCGAGTCGCGGTGCGGCCGGAAGTAGTCGCCCGGCCCGTAGCGGAGGAACCGAAACACGGAGTTCAGGCCGACGGGCGTCCAGCCCGGGTTGGATTGTTTCAGAAGCGCCTTCACCGGCTGCATCGAGGCAGATACGGCGAGGCGCGCCCAGAGCCGGTCCGCGAATCTTTGGGAGTCAATGACGCACCGCCCCGAGATGTTGATGACGCTCGTGTCGTTCCTGCGGCCCTTTCTTCCAGAATGCTGGATCGTCTCCTCGGTCGACTCGTAGCCCCGCGCCGTCGCGAGGTCGATGAGTTTTGAACACTCGGCCTCCGTCAGGAAGTCGTCGACGACGCCGCAGACGGGTTGTCCGGTCGCTCTCCCCTGGTCGAAGGCGTACTGCAACGGATCAAACGTTAATGGCTTTTTTGTGAGGTCGGGCCGCGGGCCGAGGCAGGTTGCTGGGTCCAGCTTGCTGCCAAACGCTCGGCTGCCGGTGCGAGCGGCGCGGCGCAGCACGAGTCGATAGGCCATCAGGGCAGCATCGTGGGGGCTGAGGCAGCGCAGCGATGGACAGACGTGACGAGTCGATTGTTTGGGACCAGTACGCGCCGTCTGTTGCCACGCACAGCAGCTTTTTAGCCCCGCAGCCAGACCCAGCTTTCAGAAGCTTCGGCGCGCGAGTCCGGACGGCTCCTCGGGAGCCCTCGGCGGCAATTCCCAGGGCTCCCCAGGCGCCGTTCCAGACCAATGCAGGACCAGAATTTTGAACGCTAGTGTGCCTAGCTAGTGTTCACATCTTTGAGAGCTCTTGTCAGCAGAGTCGTGTTCGGCAGCCAGCTGCGAGCACGAGCCAAGCAAGGATGCAGAGGGTTGTGTTAGCAATTTGTTTGGCCGGCGCGGCCGGCCTCCTTGCACCGCAATGCGCCGTGCGTGCGCCGCGGGCCGTCCTGCGCGCCGAGGCCGCCGAGGCTCCGGCCGAGGCGACCCCTGCGCCGACGTTCAAGGTGATTGACATTCCGTCGGACAAGTGCGCAGCAGCGTAGAAACAAGAGAAACCGCCCTTGAGACGGCCGCGCCGCCCGGGTTCGAGTTCGCCACCCGGGGCGCCAAGACAACAAATGACGCCGCCGCCGGCCGCATACGCCGGCGACGCGACAGTACATCGACGCCGAAACGCCACCCCGACGTCGTCGACGCCCGCGACGCCCGCGACGCCCGCGACGACCGGACCGCCACCCCCCCGCAGGCCCAAAGAAGAAAAAGAAGAAGAAGTAGTGGACCCCAAGGCCGAGGAGGAAGAATTAACGAAGAACATCAAGGGCAAGCCCATCATGGGCGTCTCCGGCTTCTTCAACGATGCCACGCGCAGCGACCAGCGCGTCCTGGACGTGCTCCACGCGCAGAACGTCTGGGGCGCCATCGTCGCGTTCTCCGACGACATGGTGGCCAACAAGAAAAGACTTATGAGTCGTTCCGCGCGCTACTCGGGATTACTTGGAGTGTTGCGCTTCGGCGAGCTCAACTCCGGAGATGTGGCGACGTCCCTGGAAAACGCGGAGGTCCAGGCCTGGCTGGCCTTCGACGTGGCTCCCACGGAAGTCGGGGCTACTTTACAAGCTGCTATTAAAGCTAAAACTGTGGAGCGCGTCGTCGTCGCGTCGACGGGACCGGTCCCGGACGACCAATTGAAGGTCGTCGAGGGTGAAGATATTGACTGGTCCGTGGTTTCGTTCGACGTCGCGGCGTTGGCTGATGATTTACCGGAGGGCGGTCCTCTAGCTGTTGATCGTGATAGCCAGGACCTGGCCTCGGCCATTTCTCGGGATGATGCTTGTAGGGTCGTCGCGGAAGCGTTCGTCCTGGAACCGGCCACGAAGAAGCGCTTCGTCGTCAGCAATGGTGGGGAGATGTCCGCACTTTATTTGAGATCTTTGAGGGAGCAGGGCTTCTCGCGCCGAGCGGAACTCGGCAAGCTCATCCAGGGCGACATGGCCGCCTTTGAAGAGGCCCAGAAGCCCAAGGAAGAGGTCGTCGAAGAAAAGACCGAGGAAGAAAAGAAGGCCGAGGCCATCGACCGCGCGAAGGAGTACGAGGAGCTCTTCGCCGAGTCGCGCAAGCAGGCTGCCGAACAAAGAGAACGGGCCATCAGTGCCAAAGCTCGGGAGTGGCTCAGTGGCCGCTGGGAGGCGAAAAAGTACTCGACCGCCGCGGGCATCGACGTCGAGGCGTACATCGAGGAGAACTGGGCCGAGGGCGTCAAGGAGGCGTCGGCGATCCTCGGGTATACGAAGAAGAACGCCCAGGGCATGAACGTGGACGATGACGACGATGATGATGATGATGACGACGACGACGACGACGACGACGACGAGTAGGCGTCCTTCCCGGCTAACTATTGTATACTTATAGCCTTCTCTCGCGGCGATGGCGTATCATCGGTGTTTGCTCGTGCTGCTACGGTAACTGTCTCTTGTGCTTCGTGGGACGTGTAGACGTGTCGCGTCGATGGCGTGCGAGTGGTCGGACTCGATGTGGTACCGTAATACATATATCGCTTGCTAGTGCCTTACTGGCGCTAGCTGTGCCAGCTTGGGCAAAAAAAAATCGGCTGCAGCGCACGGCAGTGCAACGAACGATATACGAGGAAAGACAGATTCTCTATAGATCGCTAATCGCAGCGCCAATTTAAACGAGCAGTTCTACCTGCTCTCAAAGCACAGCACCAGACCTGCAGAGGCCGACGGCAGCGAGCTGCAAAAATGAACAACGTCAAAGCCATCCTCCTGGCCCTGCTGGGTGCATGGTTATTAATAGGCACGCGCTTCGCCCAGCACCACCACTTGACCGCGGAGGAGTTGGAAAGAGACGCCGAAAAAGCACTCGAATTCGAGCGGCGCGAGTGGATTGCTGGCGAGAAGTTCGTCGAGCACGAGTGGTCCATTGTGGAGGGCGCGGTGGAGCGGGAAGCCAGACTGGGCGCCGAGGCGGCGAAGCGCGTCCTCGAGCGCTTCGAGGCGCCGGAAGCCAAGCGTCTGCAGGAGCGCTTCGAGGCGCCGCCGCCGCCAGTCCCGACCGAACTGACCCACGACCGCTGGCGTAGGGTAGGAAGGCCACCGATCAAACTGCCCGACGGCCCCTTCGTGAAAGAAAATGACGCCTTACATGGAGACGTGACGACGCACTGGCGGGAGAACCCGGATTTTCGGGCACGGGTTGAGCGGTCCCGCGACAAAACCGTTTCTGAGCCGGGCTGCGACTGGCGCCAGTGCTTCGACGACCGGAAGAAGGCCAAGTGCCTGCATTTCTGTCGGGAGGATGCGAGACATGGTGACGAGGCGCCCTCTACCTATGTACCGGACCCCGCTGCTATCAGAAAGCGGTGGCTCGCGGAACGCCAAACGACGTGGCCTGCATTACCGAAGGAGCTCTGCGAACCATACACGGTGCAGGGCGCCAAAGGACCGGATACCAATAAACGATTGCTCGACGAAGCTCCAATCAAAGCATCACCGTTTGTGGAAAGAAAAGGCCCGCGACTCCTCTGCGTCATGTACACGACAGCAGAATCACATGCGACGCACGTCCGAGCCGCGGTCGAGACGTGGGCGCCCGGGTGCGACGGGTTCGTCGCGTTCAGTACCGAACATGACCCGTCACTCAACGCCGTCAAGATCGACCATGCGGGAGAAGAGGCCTACATGAACATGTGGCAGAAGCTGCGGAGCATCTGGGCTTATGTACATGAACATTACTCAACAGATTACGACTTTTACTTCGCCGGCGGCGAAGATCTCTATGTCCTGCCACAGAATTTGAGGGATTTCCTGACGGGAAGGGATCCGTCTTCGCCTCAATTACTGGGGAGGAGGTTTCGAGATTATGGAAGGAATCTGTTCAATTCCGGTGGCGCTGGGTACGTGTTGTCGAGGGGCGCTTTGTCCGCATATGCGAAACACAAGGACGATGCCGTGTGCATGCCTTCCCTGAAGACGCCGACCGAAGATGTTCAGATCGCGAAATGTTTGAAGAACACCGTTGGTATCGAGCCTGAGGATACGCGGGATAGTGAGGGCAGGGAACGGTTCCACCCCTTCGCCCCTGGGCACATGTTGACGATCAAGCCCCCAGCACAAGGCCAGCCGCGCGACTGGTTTTATGATTACACGAAGGAGTGGCCGCCGCTACCGGGCGCCGAGTGCTGCTCCTCCGGCAGCGTCTCTTTTCATTATTTAAAGAAGCCGGCGATGGTGCGGCACGTGCACGCGGTCCTCTATGACTGTCCTAGTAAATTGTGAGTTTTATAAATACAGAACGACTACGACTTGATTCGATAAATAGATATGTGCGGCACGCCGTCGCCGCGATCAGTCCTCGGCGAGCGCCGCGACGACGTCGTGGAAGTCCTCGACGAACCAGTCCGCCTTCGCCACGACGGCGTCCCGCGCCACGACGCCCCCAAAACCAATGAACGCGTCGGCCGGCGGCTTCGCCTGGGCGTCCGTCGCGCCGTCGCCAACCATGACGATCGTCTGGGCGCCTTCTTTTTTAAGTTTCGCGATCACTGCGGGCTTGCCCCCGTCCCGCGAGGTCGGTTCGGAAGCGTCAAAACCGCTGTACTCGCCGTTGGCATCCCACAGGATGGTGTTCGCGAATATGCGCTCCTTCGGGACGCCGAAGGCCTCCAGAGCCGTCGCCTCGATCATGGCCCGAAACCCGCCAGACACCACATAGACGGCAGTGCCGCGCTCCGCCAGCGCCGCGCAGAGCTCCGCCGCGCCGGGCGTGACCGGCGGCGGATGCCTCCTTAAACATTCGGCGACGTCGTCCTTCGACGGCTTGATGAGGTCCAATCGAGCTGCGATCGCGTCCTCGAACTTTACACCACCGTCCATCGCCTTCGTCGTCCAGGCCGCGACGGCCGGGCCGGCGCCGCAGTGCTCCGCCAGGACGTCGATGCCTTCTTCTCCAATGAGCGTGCTGTCGAAGTCAAAACAAACAGCATCCGCCGTCCTCAAACAATGCTTGGCGTGCGCGATCGTCGAGGCTGTGCTCATGCGTCGCATGGCGAGCGTGAGGCGCGGCGCGGCTAGGGTGAGGGCGCGGCGCATGCTTACTTGCCTGACTGCGGCGCGGCGACCGTTTGCTGGCTGCGACAGTTGCGCACGGCAGCGAATCGATGCGCAACGTATAATTGATGCAGCCGCGCTCGACTATCTAAGCGAGCGACTCGTTTGCGCCAAGCTGAGCTAGCGGCCTGTAAGACACTAGCAATGCAGCACACTCGAGCTGAGCTGTGTAGAGATCGATTCACGCGGCGAGACGGCCTGCGGGTGACGCGTACTTATCGCCAACGAAGCCTCGTCTCGCCCTGAGACGCGTACACTTACAAATGAAACCCCCACTATGGCTCCTCCTGCACGCCGCCGCCTCGGCGTCGACGGAACAACTCTTCCTGCTGGTCACGGAGCCGCGGTCTGGGAGCGATTGGCTCGTGGACCTGCTCGACGCCCACCCGAATGTCTGCGTCCCCGCGGGCCGTTGGGCCGAGAAAGGCAGTGGCGACAAACACCGCCGGCGGCCTCGTACGTGACGCCCGCGTCCACTATCTTCTTCCACGACCCTTGGACGAGCTCCACCGTTTTCGTGAGATCTGCGCGCGGCGGCGCGGGTGTCAGATTGTTACCCAGCATCCTCTCTCGAGGTCCCCGTGACTCTTCGAACGAGACGCTGGCAGCGCCGCGCCGGCGCCGGCGGCCGCGCCGGGGTCGCATGGCCGGTTTCATGCCGTTTTGCAACGGAGAACGGTACTGTGCGTACTCGCGTGGACAGCAAGCCAATTTTTGCCACGGTTTGAGCTCCGCGCGCCGCGGCAATTATGATGATGTCACAATTGCTGCTCTCACAGCTCGCAGAGCGCGGCGGTTTCAGCGGTTTGCGGATTCTTTGCAAAGGGTTCGGACTTTGAATGATGCTACTCACCTCCAGAGCTCATCTTGTCTCGCTTTCTAACTCGAACTTTGACAGCAACTCGACGCCAACACAAGAAGGGAGTGTCGTGGCACTCTCGGGAGCGCGACGACTCGAGAGCAACTAAAAGGGACAGGTCTTCTTAATTCGCCCCAAGGAAGGATCACATAGTAGGAAAGAGCTCTAGGCCTGGACGACCGCGTACGACCAAGACGACGCGCGGCAGAGCTGCTCCAGTTCTTGGTTTTCACCGGCAATTACGACGCCGGCCACACCAACGGACTTCGCCCGGACCAACGTATCTTCGTCCACGGGCAGCCCCAAGACCAGTTGACACGAAGGCTTGGCCGCGTCCACAAGTTTCCCGCACCACGCGCCATCGAGAACACCTTTTTGTGTTATCGGACAAGCTACAACCTCCGCCACACCCAACGACCGAGCGGCTTCGACGTCCGCCTCGAGCGCCACGCGGTCCCAGGCGTCGCAGCTAGCCCATCTTTTGGTCGTCCAGGACGGCCGGAGATGAAGCACCGTCTTCGACCGGGGATTCGCTTGTCTGGCAGCAGCCGCCGCGACCGCCGCAAAGCCCGGGCCCCGCTCGCCATCCACGTCGGCGCGACCGGTCTCCAGCGCCGAGTGCCGCGCGTCCTCGACGTAAACGGCAATTCTTCCCACTTCCGTGTGGATAGGGGCCGGCGCCGGTGCCGGTGATTCGTCCTGGGACTCGTCTTCTGTCTCCGTGAGGTTCGACTCTACCGAACGTCTCTTGGCGGCGGCGGCTTCCCGAGCTTTCGAGGCATCTCTTCTAGTACGCATTCTCCTCTGGGCATAGGTTCTAGGGATGGCGGCGGCCCGCACCCCATCTGGAGTCAGGTGCCACTCGCCGGCCAAGACGACCTTGTGCGGGCGGCCCGTGAGGACGGCGTGGCCCCCTCTAGGTAGGATCAACATCGTTTCTCCAGGCCCGAACTCGTCGTACTGCAGTAGACCTCTATTCAAGCATCCTAACAAAGCGTCGGCCTCGAACTGGAGCAGTCTCGCATCGGCCTCGCCGCCAAGCTTCATATACACAAGTGCTTCTCTTGAAGCGTGTAAGCACGCCGCGACGGGCCTCGGCACGCCCAGCACGCGATTCTTGCCCGCTAGCGTGTGGTAGAAGACGGCTTGCACGCCGAAGTCGCAGTGCGTCGGCGTCAGTCCTCCCGGCCAACCAGCAATTAAGTAGTGGCGCCGGTCCTCGTCGCCCGCAAGCGTCTGGCCCCGAGGGCCGAAGCGCCACCCATCAGAGGACGGACAGACCTTCTCGACGCAAGCGGTAGCAGCTAATCTATTACAGTAGTCGTCCAGTTCACTTCCTACGCGTACTCGTGTATCGAGCGCGACGCATCGCGTCTGAGAAGCTAGTTCCTTGCCACCTTGCGCCAACCCATCGATGCCCTCGAAGGACGCCGTGCCAAAACCACCAGCGATGGTGTTGACGTGATACGCTCCTGGATTCGTCGGCTCCAAATCACCTCTTGCTTCGGGGGCATGATCCGGCTTCTGGAGCGAGCGCCTCAGTCGTCCTTGTGGAGGCGGTGTGAGCGCCGTCGCGCCCTTGCCGTCGCCGCAGTCTAACCTCACGATCTGGGGCAAGGCACCTTCGGCCTCCGCTTGTTCCAAAGCTTGCGTCAGGCGATTCTCCACGGCCAGCCAAAACTCCGTCAGGTGGCCCTTCTCGAAGGCGTCCTGGAAGTCTCTTAAACATCTTTCGTAGTCGATCTCGGACAGCAACGTCGTCGCCGCGGTCGCGCCGTCGAAGCACCCAAAGGGTCGTAGCTTGCCACTTCGAGGCCTCTGGGGCTGGGGGCTCTGGAGCCGTTCTCTTGTACTTTGAGGTACGGGCGACGGTTCCAGGAGTTCTTTGATGTCTCTGGCTGCTTCTTCTATACTTCTACTAGGTGCTTTCAACACAGGTACTCGTTGGTTCTTCTGGGCCGCGGCGACGGCCTCGAAGACCTCCGCTAGCGGTCGGCCCACATCTAAGCCTCGCCTCGCGTCGACCTGGCCCCGTCTCGTCGACGGCGTCCTCGCTGAACGCACTTCATTATTACCTTCAGGGTCATATCTAGGCTCCTTGCCGCCGTACTTCTCGAGCTTCCGTCGTTTGGTAGGTTGCCGCGCGCGTTGGGAAGGTTCGCGCTTCGGCGCCGGCGCGGCCCGCCGTCGCGGTCGTGCCGTCTGCTTCGGAGCATAGATCCTTACTAAGACACAATCCGTACCATCCTCTAGACAAGAGCCGCTCATCTCGAAGTGGCCGAACCTATTGTCGCCGACGCACTTGATGGTTCTTCGACCATCGACGACGTCCGCAATAGATAAAGAAAGGGCCTCGTCGACGCGCAGATTGCCCGTGAGCTGCTTCAGGTCGAAGCCGCCGTCGTACACATCTCCTCCTGGTGTGCGCGCCTCATATTTAAACGCGCTCGTCTCGACCGCGTCGCGCCCAAAGCCCCACCGGCCCTCGAAAGTGCCGCCTCGCAACGTGCCCCGCAATACGGCCTGGCCGGCGTCCTTTTGGATCGGCTTCTGCTTGCCGTTTAGAGGTGGGGTGGTTGCGCCCGGCGTCGTCGAGGGCGCGGGTTGTGGCGCGGGGGTCACTTCGGCGGTCGCCGCGGGCGTGGGCGCGGGCGCGGGTGCGGTCTCCGCGGCTACCTTCAGCGGCGGCGTCGTAGCGGGCGCTTCCGCCGGCAGCGCGCTCTTGGCTGGGGCGGCGGGCGCCGCATTATTTGGCGTTTCAGGCGGCGTGCTCTCACTGTCTATGCTCGAGCCACAGAGCGGCTGGGGCTCAGCCAGCGCCACGGGTGCAAGAGGCCCGGGCCCCTCAACCATTTGCGGCCGTCAGCTCTGTCAGCGCTAGCCTATAAGTTGCAAACAAGAGGGCAAAGCGCGCGTCGGTCGCCTCTGCCCCCAAGCTTGTGCCTTAAAGCAAAGGCGCGAAGACGCGTCCCAACCCTCGCCGAGGAGACCTTTGAGGAGAGTTCGGGGCCGACGCGCTTCGTTTGGCGCTTGTCGGCTTTCAGCGTGTCGGGTTTTTTCAATATTTTTTGGCGTCGGCAAAACTTAGAGTTTGAAGGCGCTTACGCTTCACGTCAGCCTCGCTGGACACGGTGCAGCAGTGCCACGTGGTCCAGTGCATCGCGGACGCACGAAACCGGTGCACGCAGAGACCCATAAGGCTGCAAACTGCAGCCGTCGGCAAGGCCAGCCAACCGCCGACAGCTTACGCCGTCGACGCACACATCGCATTGGCAGCCAGGGAACGCCGCACCACCACCAGCGCAACCATGGCCTTCTTCCAAAGCGGAGACAAAGAAATAGTTGTGGACGACGACACCGTCGAACCCTACGAGAGCCCGCTCGCCCATCAAAAGTCGTACGACGACTTCAGTGCAGTACAAGAACCCAAGGCGAGGCAAGGCCGCGTCTATCGCCTCCAGCCCGCCGTGAAGCAGTACGCCTGGGGGATCAGAGGAGGTGATAGTCGCGTAGCCCGCTATGGCTTAGAAACGGGCGCGTTAAAAACGATCGATCAAAGTGCTCCTTATGCGGAGATCTGGCTCGGCACGCACCCCTCTGGGCCTTCATTATTAGATGATGGGACTGAGTTATCCAAAGTAGTCAAGGGCGGCAACCTACCTTGGTTGCTGAAAGTCCTCAGTGCCGGGAAAGCCTTGTCCATCCAGGCGCACCCGGACAAGTCCCTCGCGGAGAAGCTCCACAAGGACAAGCCCGACTTGTACAAAGACGCAAACCACAAGCCCGAGATGGCCATCGCGCTGACGCCCTTCGAGGCCATGTGCGGGTTCCGGCGGCTGTCGGAGATTGCGGTCCACTTGCGCAAGCATCCGGAGTTCGCCGCTTGTATTTCGACCGAGGCGCAGCTCGCCGTCTTCACGGCGGGGCCCCGCGATTCGAAAGCGCAGAAACTGGCGTTGCATAAAGTGTTCGAGTCGTTTATGGTCTGCAGCGGTGTCTCTCAGAAATTTCAACATGCGGCGCTCTGCTCGATGGCGTCACGTGGATTCTACCCCACCGCCACGCCATCGCCGCGACGTCGACGCGACGGCTCACCGGTCACGCAACGCAGGCCTGCGAGCCCGACGTCTCGTCCGCCCAGCTCAAGCTCTTGGTCCAACGCCTAAGGAGGGAGCAGCGCGCCCAGTTCCGGCCGAGCGGCGCGCAGCACATCAACCCCGCGGCGCCCGTCCTCTCGCCCGGCTCCGCGGCCAAAGATGATGAGGTCCCCGAGAGCGCCTGGGAGCGGAAGGCCGCGCGAGCTATTTTGAGATTGGAAGAGCAGTTCCCGGGCGACGTCGGGGCCATGGCTCCGTTGTTTCTCAACTACTTATTGATCGCGCCCGGAGAAAGCTTCTTCATGGCTGCGAACGAACCGCACGCCTACGTCGCCGGAGAAATCCTGGAGTGCATGGCGTGTTCCGATAATGTGGTGCGGGCCGGACTGACGCCGAAGATGAAAGATGTTGATAATCTCGTGGACATGCTGACCTATAGCATGGGTGGCCCTGACATCGAGTTTGGTCGATTAGTCCACCAGGGGCCTGGTACTCGTACCTTATGTTATACTCCCCCAGTCCCCGAGTTCGAAGTACTCATTACGACGGTCGAGACCGGTGCTACTTATGATATCGCTCCTTGTGAGGTTCCTTCTATATTAATCTGTGTGGAAGGTATCGGGCATACTCAAAGTGCTCCTGGGCCTGATGGGGTGGAGCCCCAAAGAAAACATAGATATGAATTGTGCCCGGGCAAATCGCTCTATATCACGGCGGGCACCGTGGCGCTGACGCTCGTCAACGACATGACCACGAAAGGACCGCTGCGGGTCGCGCGGGCGCGCCAGAACCTGAGCCTGGCGGGGCGCGCGGAGGACTCCCAGTGATTTCGCGGCGACGGCGTACAGCTTGCGTAGACGCGAAGGATGCCGCGGCGATGGCGTGGGGCGGCGGCTAGCTCTGCCTCTTGTAACACAACAAATATTCGTCGGTCATAGATATGGCGGCTTGGTGGCTAGGCGGCCTAGCTCTAAGCAAAGCAGATATAATTCGAATTAGAAATGGGACCGGCGGGTATTGTACGCGCCGCGAGGTCCGCATTTGTGCTCGAGCGGAGCGGAGCGAGCGATAGACTACTTGGCGACGGACGCGCTCATCTCGTCGGCGCGCGCCTTCGCCGCCGTCACGGCCGAGATGGCCGCGTGGCGGAAGCCGTTTTCCTCGAGAGCGGCCACGCCGGCGATCGTGGTCCCTCCAGGAGAACAGACCTGATCCTTGAGCTGGCCGGGGTGCGTCCCCGTGGCGAGCTGCATGGCGGCCGCTCCTTTTACCGTTTGAGCTGCTAGCTTGAGAGCGGTGGCGCGCGGTAAGCCCGCCTTCACGCCCCCGTCCGCGAGGGCCTCGATGAGCAAGAAGATGTAGGCCGGTCCGGAACCACTCACAGCTGTAACAGCGTTGAGCTGCTTCTCGGGGACCTCGACGACCACACCTCTGAATAGTGCCATGGCCGTCGCGACATCAGCATCAGTAGCTGTCGTGCCCCTTGCTACTCCCACCGCCGCTTCACCAACTAAGCAAGGAGTATTGGGCATGGTCCGGACGCATCTCGCGCCGTTGCCGGCCGCGATTTCTATGGCCATGAGCGGCACGCCAGCTGCGATCGACACGACCAATTTGCCGCGCAGTTCCAAGGGCGCTAACGCTGAGGCGACGACGTCCGGCTTGACGGCGACCACTATTATTTCGGACACGATGGCGACCTCCGCATTACCAGTCACGTTCAAGCCTAGAGCTTTGGCCTTGGCGCGCGCCGGCTCCCAGGGATCACTGGCGCTGATGCGTCCTGGCGAGATGCCGCTTGCGAGCAGTCCTTTGATAATGGCGCTCGCCATGGCGCCCGCTCCAATAAAACCAATGTTACGGTTGTGTAGAGGTGAGGCGGCGGACATGGCGCTCATCTTTGCGCAGCGATGCTGGCTTGCAGTTTGTGGCTATCCGAGGGGGCTTCCGCGGCACCAGTTCGCTGCGCCGAGCCTTTGCGAATTATGTCGCGCGCGCTTGCCGGGTGTCGACTAATGCAGCAGGCTTCAACTCGTTTGCTCTTTAGCCTAGCCTCTGCTTAACCGACGGGTTTTTGCGCGCGGTCTTGCGGGACCCCTCCCCGCCCCAGGGGACTCGTCGCAGAGGTCGTGCAGCGATGTGCGGGGAAAAAAAAGGGGAACCGCCACCACACAACCTTGGGTCTGCTGAACGCGGACGCGGAGGCGCTTTGCTTGAGACCCGACCCAGAGCTAGTCAGGGTATTCGGGATCCCGCCGTGCCGCCGCTCCGTGGAGTCGTGCCCGAGTGCCGCCGCCAAGGAGGCCCCCGTAGCCTAGTGATCCTCGCCGCCGCGCGCACGAGGACCCGACGGGGAGTCGCGAAAAACACACCCGCCAGGTGCCCCGCACGACACGACGACGGGCCCGGGCGGATCTGTCCAAGGAAGCAGCTTGAATTGCTGGGGTGAGTCAACATCGCCAATGAAGGCCCGTCGACCCGTTGAATTGCGAGGAAGCCGAGGATGAATCGCCTACTTGCCCAACATGTCACGCCACGCCGAACGCCGCCATGACGCGTTCGCGAGGCCCTCGCGCACGCCCGGCTGGACTTAGAGATCAGAAATCGCGTGGAGATCAGGTGTCGTCGTCCTCCTCCCCATCAGAACTAGATTCATACCCAGCCCGCGCCATCTCTGATTTTCGACGAAGCGGCGCCGAGGCTCGAACGAGCGGCCTTTCAGGCCCACGGACGACCACTCCCGCCCTTGCGACGCCCTCCTTCGCGCGCGCGGCCTCCCGACCGCGTGCGGCCGTCACCGCCCCCGCGACGGCCGCCCGAGCTCGATCTGCGTCTCGCGCGCGTAGGTACTCGTCCCTGAGGCCCGCGGCAGCCTTCCCCAGGGCGGTGGCCCGCTCCCACTCGCCCTTCATGCGAGCCGAGGCCGCCGCGACTCTACCCGCCAAAACTTCCTCGAGACTCTCGACCTCCATGTGGTCGACGCCTTCAGCCACGAGCCCCTGCATCGTAGCCACGGTCTTCCTCACTTCTGCGATGGTTTGCTCGGCGGCCCCGAGCGCGCCTTCAAAACCGCCTCCCACACTCGCTACCGGCGGCGCTTGCAAGCCCGACCCCGCCACGTTCTCGGCGTCCTCCAGAGGCGGTAAGTCTTCGTCCGGGCCGCCCGCCTCAGTCAGCGAATTCTCGACACCCAGCGAGATGTTGCGGGCATACTCCACAACTAAAGCCGCCTCGCTCAGAGCAACCGCGTCCTGCAACTGGGCGTCAGCCTCTTCCTCCTCCTTCTTCTTCTGTTCCTTCACGACGGCGGCGGCCTTGGCCACCTCGGCCCACGCGCGGTCGCAGACCACGGCCGCGCGGCGCATGACGGCGTCCCGCTCTTTTTCCTCCTCCGCGACTCCCAGCGCTTGGGAGAGACCCTTCGCCCCCTCGACGATGGACTGGCCCACCGCGGCCTTGATCGGGGCCTTAACCGACGCCCCCTTCCTGCCCGGCCCCGGCGCAGCGCCCTGGCCCACAACCAGACCGCGCCGCTCCTGCGCCTTCGTCACCAGATCCTCCCACTGGACGCCTCGCGTCAATTCCGATTGCTCGCGCCGCTCAGCGCGGATCTCGAACCGCACCCGCTTCTTACTTCCCACCCCACCGCGGGAGTGAGCCTTGGGTTTGCTCTTCTGCAGCAACTTCTGCGCGTCTTCCACGCTCGAGGCCTTGGCACTGCCGCCAAGGACCACCTTCTTGCCGCGCGACGGCAACCCGCCGCGCACAGGGCCCGTTCCGGCCCCGGCGTTAGATCCTATAGCACGCGCTGTGCGGAGCGCCGCGCCGTGCAGGGGCAGCTTTGACGCGTCATCAGAAGCTCGGATGCAGTCTTTTAAGCCCATGCTCTCTGTTCAGAGTGTGTTGCAGTTGTAGTTGCAGCAGAAACAGTCGGCGCGCTACAGCTCTTCAGCTGAGGCTTGCTAGTGTGTTACAGGCCGCTAGCGAGTTATGCGCAGACATCTTTCTTACACAAGCTTCACTCCCCTACGCTGTGTCGCCAAAGAAGAACTCGAGGACGCGGCCAGTGACCGCACCGCCCGCGGTGGCGTAACCATGCGCCCGCGGCGGCGTGACCAGCGCGGCGGCGGCGGCGGACTCAGCGTCCCGGGCCCGCGCCACAGCCTCGGCCGCCGCGTTGGCGGATGCGGCCCTCGCTGCCGCCTGTGCCGCGGCCGCCCCGCCGAAGGGCTTGAGAAAGGCAGCATAGGTTAAAGTTGTTTCGCAGCGCCATTGATTATGGCTGAGGTACCAGCCGGCCGCCTCCATCGCCCTGAGCGACGGCGGATGCAGCTCGCCGATCACGTCGAAAAAATCGCAGTGGCTATTCGAAGCAAGGTGTCTGTCCGGTTCAGGCCACTCTGGGTCTTGGTTCGCCTCCGAAGCCGCGGCGTGCTCGCGCCAGAGGCCCGTCGCGCGGACGAGCTCGGGGACGAGGCGCGCGTACCCGCGTTTGCACTCCTCGCTCCGCTCCGGATGAGCTCGGGGCCAAGGATCACAGAGACAAGATCCCAACACAGCTTCTTCTACGTCGCAGCTTGGAATGTCGTTGTCGCTGAAGAATTCCAGATTGCAGTCGTGATCACCACTGATTCTCCGCCGACAGCTCCAGCACACCATGGCGGGGAGGTTCGCCTTGAAAGAGATCTCTCCGTACTCGAACGTGTGGCTCAGGACCAGCCCGTTCTCTAGGAAGTCCAGGACCACCGAGCGGATGTCGACATCGCCGCCGCCGCACCGGTCGATCACGAGCGCGGCGCCGAGCGCCTCCGATCTCGGCCAGCTCGAGTACTTTCCCCCGCGCATAGCACTTAAAGTTGTTCCAGCGCTCGCTGGCGCCGGCGCGGGCGCTGTGGGCACGAGGGTGGCCTCCGCCTCCCCATCCGATAGCGACGATACGTCATCATCATCCATGAGGTCCGAGATGCTCTCCGGGTCAGAGATGCTCTCCGGGCTGTACGGCTTCCAGGTCGACGCGTGGTCAGTGCCGCGGGCTTCGCGCAGCAGTAGTAAGTCCAAAAGAGCTCTAGCGCAGGTTGCAGGCGCCAGGGAGACGAATGCGCAAGGCGCTTCAAGGCTGATCGAGGTGGTAGCGTAGCGAGGCACTAGCCTGCTGGCAGAAATCCGGCGCTGCTCTGCCGCTTTTCGAGGCCCGTGAGTGCCCCACGCATCTGTAAAGGGTCTCCGGAGTAGCTACTCCTGCCCCCTCGCCGCAGGCCTGCGAAAGAGCGCCGCTCGCGCAGTACCATCGTCGGCCGGCTGCCGAAGCCGGAGAGCGCCGCTCAGCAGGAACGCCGTCGCCGCGACCATGGCCGAGAACATCCCCCTGTTGAACGAGTCCATGAACGGCGCTAGACTAGCGGGCGTCGTCGACTACCTAAGACATCAAAAAAGAGACGTCTACTATGGATTTGTCGGCCCCGCGAGAGAGGAGGGCCAGCCCACGAACAAGGCGAACCAGGCCTACTTCACGCAGCGCGACTGGTTAGGTGGAGAAACTTTACAACGGGGCGCGGAGGTCGCCTTCACCCTAAGCTACAAAGACGGCAAGCCCCAAGCGAATGATATTACGCCCGTCGAGCAGGACCCCGCTCTACTACAAAAGAAGAAGCCGCAGAACAAGAAGCCTCTACAACGCAAGGACACCAAGTCGACGAAGTTGACGCTCGAAACGCTCTCGACGCGCGTGCTGGAGCTCGTCGACGCGGAAGATGGTGAGTTGTTATCGGCCAACCTCAACCGGAGATACAGGCGCAAGTACGGTTGTGACTTAGATTTCCGAAGCTTGGGCTTCGAGCGGCTTAACCAATGTTTGAGGGAGGTACCTGGCGTGTCTGTAGGAATAGGAGCAAGGGCGGTCGTCGACCGGACCGAGGGCGAGAAGAAGCCTACTACTTCCAAAAAAGCTACGGTGACGTGCTGCTACTTTTTGAGAGATGCCTGCGACAAGGGCGACGCGTGCCGCTACGTTCACCAGAAGCCACTGCCCGCTGGTGAGAAATGCTCGTGGGGCGCGCGGTGCCGCTTCGGCTGCGCGCCTCAGGTCGAGAAGGAGGCTCCCGCGGTGACGGGTGATTTGGATGCGTTATGTGATCAAGTGCTCAAGCTGTGCGATCAGCATGGGAGCATCCTACTAGCAAATCTCCCGAAGACTTATAGCACGGCCTACAAGACGAAGATCAACCCTAGGGACTACGGTCATGAAAAACTAGCTCATGTCCTACAAGGTTTACAAGGTTTACATGTCGAGACGGGGCCCCGAGGGTTTGTTGCTAGAGAAGGCGACGACGTCCAGCCGCCGCCCCAGACCTCCACGGAGAAAAAGCCCGTTAGAGTCGTGTCGGAGAAGGCGTCCCCGGATACGCTCGAGGCGCTTTCGACCGAAATCCTGCAGGTTATTGACGCGAACGAGGGCGAGGTCCTAGCTGCCCATTTACCGAAGCGCTACCATAGGACCTTCGGCAAGAAATTGGTCCCGCAGGACTACGGCTGCGAGAAGCTGCTTGAGTTACTCAGAGCGACTCCTAGGGTCGGGTGTGGTTCCGGGCCGCGGGCGACCGTGACGAGAAGCGCGCCGCGCGCGCCGGCGGCCGCGGAGGACGACACCGACTTGGCGAACCCCACGATCGACACGATCGAGGTGTGCGATCTCGGCGCGCACGCGCCGACGTTCACGCCGTCGGCGCAGTAGATACCCCTTCCCCCCTTCACCCGTTTGGAAATCCAACGGGTCACGACTCTCTGCCCTAACTTGGAGGTGCACACATCTTTTCCTTGCTATCTTTTCTGTTGTGGTGCTAGGACTAGTGGCTGGGACGGAGCAGACAGTCATACACACACTGCACGGGTTTTCCTCCGATTTGCGCGCTTGAGCGACCATCACGCGCGCCGGCGCCGAAGGTGATTGTCGACGCCCCTGACGAGCGGTTTCCCTGTCATAAAAGGCGGGCCCGGCTAAAGCAGGCGACGCCCATCGTTCGAAAGAAGACCGAGGGAGCATACCAGAACTCAAGCGGCAAGTGGTCCAACTACAACATGTTCCCCGGCCGCGAGTTCGACGACCTCGACGAGTACCGCGCGGCGAAGAAGCAGCGCGCGGAGCGCCGCGCCGCGTATTTGGCTCAGACATCCTCAAAGTACAAGAAATAAGAAAGATTTGTACACTATACTTACTCACCGCGCCGCCGCCACGGGCTCCTCCGTCCGCGACAGCACCGTCGCGTTCAGCCCGGGCGGCTCCAACACCCCATCCGACGACAGCGGCACGGCCTTCATCCGCAATACTCTCCTTTCGTCGGCCTCCAGGACCACGAAATCATGATCATGGACAATCACGTGGTCGTCCACCGCAGGTATTTCCCCGGCGTGAAAACACAGAAAACCAGCAGCGGTAGTAACGTCCATAATATCACTAGGCTTGTTGCCCTCGCTATCCCTGAGAGCGAGCGCCGCGACCAAGTCATCCACGTTCGCGTTGCCCAGGATGTCGTAACTCCCATCATCATTCAAAATGACGTCGTCGCCCAACTCTATTTCCGCCTCGTCGTCTTCATCATAAATCTCGCCGACCACCGTCTCCAAGATATCTTCGAGCGTCACGACGCCCGCCGTGCCGCCGTGCTCGTCCACCACAATCGCCATATGTAAGCGCCGTCTCCGCATCTCCTCCAGCACTTTCCAGGCGGCCATCGTCTCGGGAACGAAATAGGTCGGTTCTATAAATTGTGACAGTACGATTCGATCCAAATCTTCCGGCGTCGACGACTGTTCGAGGAACCGGAAGAGTTGCTTCGCGTTCACGACGCCGACCACGCGGTCAATTTCATCGTCGTATACTGGTATTCTACTGTGCCCGGTCTCATCGACCAAATGCAATAACTCCCTCGAAGTACAATTCTTTTCCAGAGCATTGACATCGACCCGAGGCCGCATGATCTCGGAGACGCGCCGCTGCTGGAGGTCCAAGACGCCACCAATCATCGCACCCTGTTCACTCTCGGTGCCGGACTGCACTACTAATCGCAGTTCCTCCTCGCTCACTTCTTCGGCGCTGTCTTCATCATCAATCAGTTTGCAGGTCCTCAACACCCACTTTGATAATTGCGCAAATTTGAGGCCGACGGGGCCTACCACTCTCGTTAAGAGTCCGACCGGAGGGCACAGCAATCGCGCCGTCATCTCCGCATTATTAACACCAATCGTTTTTGGGATCAATTCACCGAAGAATAGAGTGGCTGCGGTTAATCCTGATGTTGCGAGCGAGATGAAGCGTAGGGAGCCCCTTGATCTTCTCGCAACCACTTCCGTGAATATGGCCGTCGACAGGATGTTGCAGATCGTCGTCGCGATCAACACGGTCGACAACACGCGCGTGATGTCCCGGTCGAGCATCGTGAAGATGCCCTTGCCCCGCTCCTCTTCGGCAAATTCTTTGACCTTCCACGGATACAGAGTTGTTATTGATACTTCTGCAGCATGTAATAATGCGGAGGACAGGAAGAGCGCGCCGAAGGTCATGGCCTTCCGGACATCACCAGAAACTGTGGAGACGGCCAGGGCCGCCGCAGGGTCGACGGGGCCGGCGAGGCCCATGGCCCGCGGTTTCGTGTGTGCTATTCGTTTCGGCGGCGGCGCCAGTAAGGCCGTCGCGGCGGCGGCGCAGCAGAGCGCGAGTTTCAGCGCGCGCGCCATGCTGGTGTGATGCTGACTGCGCCTTGCTGCTTGAACACTATGCGCTGCCCTGTGCTAAACTGAGGCCCGCGGCGAGCCTGGGATGCGGCGCGCTGCTGTAGCGCTTTGAATGCTCTTTGCTTGTGTGTTCACCGCAAGGGCGCGGCGGCCCGTTCTACGTATACTGGCCAAACAAGCAGTCACTGGGCTGCACCGTGGCTCGTGTTCGATTATCTACGGGCGTTTTTGGTGGAGAACTGGGCCAAATTCAATGCCCGCCGGCCGGAGCTAGCTAGCGGCCTGTAAGACACTAGCAATTCCAGCCCCAAGCTCCAACGCCTGGTTTTGGCAAGCACGGCTGCTCTACGCCCGTGCTAGGAGCCTTTTCGACGACTACTTTTGCTGCGCGCACTGGCAGGACACAGTTTCGCCGCGTGAAAAGCATTGGCAAGCCAAGCAGAGGACAAGCTCGCCGTACAGTGCTGCGTCGTGCGACAATGGACCCGAGCGAGGAGGCGACAGGCTCGCTCGACGACGACGCGTCGTCGTCAGACGGCGCATCATCGGTAGACTACATCTCCGAAGTGTCGGACGCGGAGTCGACGGCGTCCGAGGCCGTCGCCGCCGCGCTGGAAGACGTAATTGATGCCGTCGAACGCCGCGTCGACCGGCAGCGGCGGCGCGCGGCACTGCGGCGGTTCGTGAGACGAGTTCTACGGACGACCGTGCGCGCGGCGCTCTTTTCTATACTCTGCCTCGCGGCCGCCGCGGCCGCCGCGGCTCTCGAAAGGGAGCGGGGCCGCTGGTTAACACGGTGTCCCCTTCACGCGCCGTGTGGCGACGAAACGTTTCCCTGCGTCGGCGCCATCACAGAACCCTTCGCGATACCCCGCGGAAGGGTAGGAGACGGCGTCGCGGATTGTTGTGGTGGCTCCGACGAACCTCATGGAGATGTTAGTGTATGTATGAGAGACGCCCAGCAACAACTCGAAGAGGCACGACGAGAGATGACGAGCATGGAATTGTCGATGGCGGCGCGCCGCGTGCTCGCGGAGGAGGCCCCCTTCGCGGCGGCAAGAGCTGCTGTGGAAGATGCGCAGTTACGGAGTGACGAGCTGCGCTTCAGCGAGTTGCAACCTAGAAGTTATCACGAAGCGGCGCAACTGCAAGCGGTAAGACAGAAGATCCAGCGGTTAAGGGTCCAGGCTGCGGGCGCGTACCATCAAGATCCGGACATTTACGGGGACGACGGCGCCTGGCTCGGGCTTCGCGGTTCGTGCTTCGACTCTCCACCATTAACGGAGAAGAGCGTGCTGGGGGGCACGTCGAACGTCGTCGCGCGCGCCTACGTGTTTCGGGTGTGTCCATTCAAAAACGTGACGCAGCGCGAGGCGGACTACCTCGAGTGGAAGCGGGCGACGGCCCACGCCGAGGGCAAGAAGATGAAACGCTCTGCTCCACCGGAGCCCGTCGTCCTGGGGGAATTTCAAGTATGGGCTGATAGCGGCGATGACCGCCACCCTTTATATTATGCGCAAAAGCAGCTCGTCGTGGCCGAGGCGTCCGCTAAGGGCGCGCGCCAGATCTATGCGGGTGGGGAGCCCTGCGCTGGGGATAGACAAAGAGTCGCGATCGTGCGGCCCGTCTGCGCCGCGGAGACGAAGCTCGTCCGCGTCGACGAGGACGGCGTCTGCAATTACCTGATGGACCTCGAGACGCCGGCGGCGTGTCTGGGTGTGTCGTCGGCGCGATTGCGCGATCTAGAGCGGCGGCTGGCGTATCCGGTCGCTTATGCTACGAGGCGAATGATGGCGTCGGTCGGGCGGCGGCTCTGGCGCGAGAACATGCTGCTGCTGTTGCGCGCGACGGGGCGGCGGCCGGTCGGCGAGTGGGTCCCGCGCGTCGAAGCGGTCCTCGCTCATTGCCGGGCGCGGGCGGAGGCTTGGGTCGTTCGGATGGTTAGTTAATTTATTATTTGTGTTCTGACTTAGCGACGTGTGTCCGGCAAAGGACGCAGACAGACAAAGTCGCACACAATCTTAGAACAAGCTCAGTAGTCCCCCTCGTCGTCCCGCCCACGACCGAAGCCCTGGGCGCGAGGGCTCTGGCGGAAGGCCGCGCGTCCCGGACGCGTCGGCGCCGGCGCCGCGTCCTTGTTCCCCCAGGGCCGGAAGAACCGGAGCATCTTCTCCGCGCCGCCGCTGCGGGCCTTCCGCCGCCGGTACTCCGCCTCGGCGGCGGCATCCACATTCCTAAACAGCTGCGGGTTCGTGCCGAGCTGTTCCACGGAGTCGTCCGAGTCGACGGCGGCGGGCGTTCGCGCGCGGTTCGAGCTCCGCCGGCGCTCGGCGCTCCGCGTCTGCTCGGACGGACGCGGCGCCGGCTTGGACTGCCAGGGCCAGCGATGCTTCTTCGGCGCCTTGCCGCTGCTGCCGCGCCGCGCCCGGGCCGGGTCCATGTCGTACTCGCCGTCCGAGTCGGGTTCGATTGGTGAAGAAGGCGCCGCGCCGCCGCCGCGACGAGGCGCCGAGGACGCGCTCCCGATCGTCACTTGCGAGTAGTCCCGCTGGGCATAGCGCCGCGTCCTATCATCCTCCGCCGCGTGGCGGCCGAGCGGCGCCGACTGGCGGCCGAGCGGAGCAGATTGGCGGCCGAGGGGCACCGCCTGGCGCCCCGGTTGTACGCGGCCCACGGGCTCGTCGTCCGAGTCCGAACCCCACTGAGGCTCGGGCGGCGCCGGCGGCCGCGTCGCTCGGTAGTCGCGCACGTGCGACGCGCGCTCGGCGGGCATGTCGTCGTCGCGCGGGCGGTACGACGGCTCCATGTCGTCGCGGCGCAGCGGCGGCGCCTTGCTCCGGCCGAAGAGCCCTGATTTTTTCGCGGGCGGCGGCGGCGTCGCGTCGGAGTCGTCCTCGTAGTCCTCGTCCGACGACTGCGGCCGCTTCTCCTCGGCGGGAGGCTTCGCAGCCGGCCGCCGGAAGAGGTTCAGAGGGCCGCCCTTGCGCCGCGCTTTTGACCTTTGCTCGCGCGCGTCCTCGGCCGCGTCGACCGATTGCAACCGCTGCTGCTCCGCGCGGCGGTCCCGGACGTGCGACGCGCGCTCGACGGGAAAGTCGTCGGTCTGCGGTCGATAGGCGGGCTCCTCGCCTCGCCGCCGCGGCTTCTCCTCGCGGCGGCGCCGCGGCGGCCGCTCCGGCTCGTCCCAGTAGCTGTCGACCTTGGCCATGGCGTTGACCGATGCCACGGGCGGCGCGACGCGCTCGGGCGACGGGCTCCGCGGCCGCGGCGCGCGGCTCCGGAGCTGCGTGAGGCGCCGCTGCGCCGCCGCGGAGCGCTTGTGGAGGGCGTCGACCTCGCCCGGGACGACCGTCTTCGGCGCGTTCACGCTCCGCAGCCGCGCGCGGTCGGCCTCGAGCGCGCTGCGGGCCGCGGCCATCTTGGACGAGTCCGGCGCCTTCGGTCGCGCGGCGCGCGCCTCGAACCAGTTTCGCCGCGCGGTCTGGACGTCCTCGCCCCTCGACGCCGCCGTCGCGATGGCGCGGCCGAGCTGCGCGAGCTCGGCGTCCGTCAAATCATCCGTGTCGTAGGACCCCGCGCGCTGCACGGGTCTTGGTGCTAATCTAGCTTCGTCGTAAACGTCGATGTCCACCGCGGGCGCGGCGGGCGCGGCAGAATTTTCCGTGGGCGTGTCTCCCCAGTAGGAGAAGACTTTTTCCTCCTCGGCGGGCGCCGGCGCGGGCGCCGGGCCCGGCCAGAGCGAGGCTAAGAGGCTGTCCATGGCCATAAACGTCGGCTTAAGACGCTGTCGAGCTAGAGTATAACAAGGACTGAGGCTCGATTGGCTGTGTCAGCCACAAACGCTCTCTGTGCCAACCAAAGTCTGTGAGGGCTCAGGAAGCGACAGCACTATCCGAGCGTGGTCCCAGGCGATCAATGGCAGCCCAGAGCAATTCAGTAAGTCAGCAAAGAAGTTGCCAGCGGCACAGCGCTCGGAGCCGAGCTGGGGGAAATTGAGCTAGCGGTCTGTAAAGACACTAGCAAGCAAACACGGAACGCGAATGCAGCCGTTTGTGTATCGTTCGGTTCGCTAATGGTTCAAAGAGATCAATGGGACACGTACTGGGGGCCGAAAAAATATTTTTTTTAATTCGCGGGCGACGATGGCGCCATGGCCCATGGCGGCGCGCCGGCTGAATCCTGTCAATCCCGGCCATTGCAGTTTTTGCTTATGGAGAATCAGACTCAAAGTTCCGGCGTGCCCGCGTTGAACAGAAGACTGAACTGCGGGACGATGCAATTAAACCGAAAGGTGACGAGCTTTTCTCATTCGCCCAGCTCTATCACTTCATGTACGACAACTACGAGCCGCAGTACTGGTGGTTCGAGTGCTTCGACTACCTGCGTCGGCTGGCGCTCACCGGCTTGATGGTCATCGTTCTCCCGGGCTCTGCGCTCCAGGGCTTCATCGGCGTGCTCATAGCTCTCGGCGGGCTGCTGTCGTACAACACGTTCCAGCCCTTCGTCGAGGACGCGTCGGATCACCTGGCGATGGCTGCGCAGCTCTCGACCTTCTTTGTCTTTCTGTCGGCGCTGATGATCCAGGTCAACGCCGTTTATCATCGCAAGGGGTTTGGGGCGTTGCTCACGGTCGTCACGTTCGTGCCACCTTTTATATCTCTCTGCGGTGCGTTTTACTCGTTCTACGGCGCGATGAAAGATGCACCGGAGCCCGATTCCTCGAAGGCGGCGAAGGAAAGCGCGGCGGATCCCGAGTCGTCACCTACATCTCCTCTTGCGCGGGGCGCGCCGCCGCAGGAAGATGAGGAGGCGCCCGCGGCGCCCGCCAAGGACTGATCTGCTTAGGGCCGCGGACCTCACGCTCGCGTGCCCACGACGCCGCGCCTCTCAGGCGGGCGGCGTCTCTGTACACAACTCCATCGACGAACGCCGCGGACGAATGGCATCGCCCCCGGGCAATCGACGACGAGCCCGGCTTCCCCGATGAGTAATATACCTCTCATCTTCTAGCGTCGAATCTCAGGGTACGCCATCGCCGCGACTTATTAAAACATAATATTAATCAGCCTTCCCGGCAAGCACCTTCGTCGTCGAAAAGACGGCCCCGTCGAGCAAAGACGCCAGCGCGACGCACCCCCCGACGACCGCGCACAGCGACACCAAAAACTCCAGTATGGACGTCCGCTCCTTCTTGACCTGCACCATGACGGGGAAGAAGTCGTAGAAGAAGACGATGCCCGGGACCGCTGTACTGTCTGTCTGTAACTGTTTTGCAGAAACATAAGACTCGGCGAGCGAGTACTGGTTCGCGACTTGCGGGAACCAGCCGTCGTCGAGGACCGTCGGGATGACCTTCAGCGCGTAGCGCGCCTGGCCGTCGAGGTCGGGCGAGACTAACCCATCTAAGGGCGCGTTTTTTGTTACTGATGATCGGCTCCCGAACCTGAAGACATGCACTTTATGCGTCATGTTCTTTGATGGTCCGGCATTCGTCGCTTGCCGCAGAAAGGACTGGACCATGATCACGTTCGGCTTGGCCGGGGCCGCCGCCGCTGTGAGCCCAACGGAGAAGTGGGCGCTCACTTTCCCCACCCGTAGCTTGCCGTCCAAGGTGCAGCCTTCACTGGTGGAAGCGTCGCTCCACCCATACAGCTCCTTCGCATGCGGTTCCCGGAAGTTTATTCGATCGACCGCGTCCCGCAGACCTCGGGCGGCCTCTATGGATAATTCGAGGTCGTCGCACTTCACGTGCGCGAACGTTGCAGATAATTCAATGGGGAGTCGGTCGGGGACATGAAAAGGACGGCTGCCGATGGACGCGTCGCCGTCGTCCACTCCGAGGTGATGTATTGAATTTGGGTAGAAGTACGACGACAGCTCACCGGTTAATAGTGATAATATAAGTAATACGCAGCCGCCCGTAATCAGAGCGCCGGAGACCGTGCGCTCCTGGACGCCCTCGACCGCCCGCGCGAGGGGGTGGCTGGACATGACTGCCTAGCCTGTGGCAGGCAGGGATTGTCACGGCTCGCAGCGGCGTCGTGTGCGGCTCTCAATACGTGCAAAACCGTTGCACAAAGCTGCCACAGTGCCTGATTTCGAGCTGCGCCGGCGCCTGCGGATGCCTAGTGTCTTACAAGCGCTAGGTTAATGATCCAGGAGCTTTTTTTGCGCGCAGCCCTCGGCTCGGGAGCTATCTGCTATCTCCCGTTTAATCTACACGAGTACGTACTTCGTTCATTCCGCCCTGCAATCGGCACGAGCGCTTCACGCCCGCGTTCCACACAACTTTTGACCTTGTAAAGTTACTCAGGGTCCGAGTCAGGGAGTTACAACAAAATAACCTGATGTCGGCGCACGTCTGCGGCGGCTTCACGGAGGAGCGGCCACTCGACGAGGAGGCCGCGGGCGTCCTGGAGTCGTGCCGCGCCGAGATCGAGGAGAAGGTCGGCGCCGGTTACGTCGCGGACATCGTGAAGACGCAGGTCGTCGCCGGGATGAATTTCTCGTACCGCGGCAAGCTCGCGAACGGCAAGCACGCGAGCGTCAAGATCTTCCGCCCGCTCCCCCACACGAACCAGCCGCCGCGCGTCACCAACGTCCTCGTCGCGTCCGTCGAGGGCGACACGATGACGGTCGAGAAGATGTGGGACGAGGCCGTCCAGGGCGCCGCCGCGGAGTGAGTAACACAAACGATACACATTACAACTCGAGGTCCACCCCGATCAACGCCCGCCGCCGCCGCAACTCCTCCACGAGCGGCTCGAGCGACTTGACCGTCGCTTCGACAACTCGCGCGTGGCCCGCGAGCATGGCGTCCTCGCCGTCGCTCCGCATGTCGCGGATGCTGCTGCGGTAGTCGTCGTCGTAGACACTGCGCGACAGGGCACGCTGTACCGGCGAGTTCATAAAAAATTCCGCGGCCTCGTCCCAGCCACTAAAGCGGAGGCGGTCGCGCGTCAGCACCAGGTCCTCAGGGGCGTTCACGGGGCCCTCGAACCAGAACGAGACGCAGAGTCTTGGAGAGGCGCCGCGCCACCTCTCTACCGAATGGAGGACGCGGTCCGACTTGAAGAGGACAAGGCGGTTCATGAGCGGCCGGAACCGCGCGCGGCGCCGCAGAAAAGGCGCCAGGCACAACGCGCCGCCGTCTTGATCCGAGACCGCCGCACCGTCAGCCCGGCCCAGATACAGCACGGCGGTCACGCTCCGCTTCGACGGCGGCCCGGCGTTGTCGTAGTGGCAGGCAAACGCGCCGCTAGTGTTGCGCTGAATCTTGATGGCCGCGTCGCCGTCGAAGACTCCGCAAGAAACAGCGAGGGCCGGCACCAGCGCCTCGGCGACGCCGCGCAGGTCATTCGCAAGAGAGGTCGCACACGTGCCTTCGGCGAGGTCGACCTCCGCGACGCCGGGCTTCGCATACGTCTGGCCATCGTACACAAAGGTATGCTGCTTAAACGTCTCTTGGGCCGCGGCGTCGCGGATGCGCGCCGCTACACTAGGTAGGAGCGCGTCGTCTAGGACGGCCCAGCCCTTGGCGCCCGATACGGAGGCGCCGGCGCCGCGCGCGCGTCGACCGAACGCGTCGTCGACGAGCGCATCGGCGTCATCATCATCAGACGCGTCGGCGACGTCTGCGAGAGCGCCTCCCAAGCCTAATAGGTCGTCGAGCGCTCCTGCTTCGGAGTCGTCGTCGGCGGCGTCGACCAGTGCCGTTTCGCAGAGAGTAGCCATGTATGCCTTGCGATCGCTGCTGCAGTTTGCAGCCCTGAGAGCAGGCAATACAAGTTTTGCTGCTCGCTTTCGAGGTTGCGTTTGGTGTAAGCAGGAGCCGCAGAGATCAAAAGTATTGCAGAAAGTGGTGTGTGTGGCCCGTATGCAGCGTATTTCGAGCTGTACGGCTCGTCAGCCGAGCTTGCTTGCTTGCTAGTGTCTTACATGCCGCTAGTAATTACCTGGGGGCATAAGTGACTCTCTCTCTCTATTACCCAACCCCTAGCCTCCCATACGTCTCGAGCCCGATGATCGCCGTCGCGAAACCAGCGATCGCGCCGAGACTCGCGCGCCCACCGGGGACCGCCTCCGGCACCGCCTCGTCGGCGTCAAGCGCCGCGGCGCCGTAGCGCGAGCCCCACGCCATCAGCGCCGGGACGACTCCAAACAACACAAGGATACCGTACACGCCGGCGAGGTCGACGGCGGCGAAAAAGAGCGACGGGTTGCCGAAAACAGCAGCTATCGCCGCGGGCGGTGCCAACGCGGCGGCCCAGAGGTACGGTGGGCGGTTGTCACCTTCTAGCCCTTCCAGATCACCGAAAAAATCCACCAACCCTGTGGCGAAGCCCAGCAAAGACGTTCCGACAGCAAGAAGGCTAAAGTACAAAATGGCGGTGCCGAAGTCGTCGCCCGACGCCCGCGCGAGGGCCATCGGATCAATCGACTCGCCGGCCACATACGGCGTCGAACCGAGGACCACCACCGACCACGCCAGGAACATGCATAGTGGAATCGTCAATCCCACGAGAACGGCCCGCCGCACCGCTCCCAGGTCGCACTGGAGGCGATAGCATAGTGTCGGCACGACCGTCTGGTACACATAAACAACGGGAATCACAGGGAGAGCTGGAGCGATGGCGGACCAGTCCGCGCGCGTAAGCAACTCGGGATCGACGCGTGAGATGCCACCGGCGACGATGTAGCAGAACGAGGCGACGACGCCCGCGGTAAGCACCGTGTTGAGGCGTTCCACCGTCGCCGGCGGGAGCAATGCGGCAGGCGCGCCTATCGAGGCGGCGAACGCGGGCGCCGCCGCCAGCGTATCCGTACCACCAAGTGCCTCGCCGAGGAGTTGACCCCCTTGCACGACATATGCCGTGAGCAGGCAGTAGTGCAGAAACAAAAACACGGCCGACGCCGCCGTCGCGCCCGCGTCACCCAACGTCTCCTCGGCCATCGAATTAATGGACACCGCGTCCCGATCGAGCACACACGCAGTGTTCAGATCAACCTCCGCGATGAGCAAGCCGGTGGCAGCCATAAATAACCAGCCGCCGATCAACAGAGTCGCGGTCGGAGCCAGGCCCGCGGCCAGCGTCTTCGCCGGTAAGGCGAGGATGCCCGCGCCAACAGTCGTGCCGGCCACGAGGGCGGCGCTGCCGAGCACTGTTCCGGGTGCTTCGTCTGGCACGGCCCGGAGCCTCGACCGCGAGAGCTGTCGCGGCGGCGGCCTGAAGAGCTGTGATGGCTGCAGCAGCAGCGCGAGCAAAATGAGCCTCATCCTTCGGTGCTACGGCAACATGTGGTCAGAAATGTATCGCAGGAACGCCGTACCGCTCGACAGGCGCACTAGGTGGGCGCACCGAGCTGCCAGATTGACATGCTCTCTTTTGGCAAAAACAGCTCTCTGTGGTTATTGATTGCAAGCGCTCTCGGGGCCAAGCGGTCAACGGGGCTATCAAGCAGTCTCATTGATCTATCTTCGACCGCCCCGCAGCAAAGAGCATGCGCGCGATGGGTCATCAATTGCTGCTGGCAAGCTGTCTCCTCTCCATCACCACGCACGCGCTCCAGTCTCCCGCGCGGACGTGGCACGACATCAAGTGGACGCCCACGAGCATGCGCTACTACGCCACGCGCCCGCCCAAGGACCTGCCCGCCAATAATCAGACGACCTTCGTCGCATGCGTCCGACACTTCCTCGTCAAGCGCCGGCGCGCGCTCCTCTACGTGGCGTATTTCGCCCTGGGCGTCGCGCCGGCGAAGGCCGTGCACCACGACAAGTGGACGGCGCTGCGCCAAAAGCCGGCTGACCTCGGCGGCATTCGGACGAGACGGCGGCGCGCCCAGGCGATCTCGCAATTCGCCGGAATTGGCTACTCGCCGCGCGTCGTGGCGCTCGCGGGCTTAATGCTCCGGGCGCTGGTCAAGTGTTTTAGGGCACCTCTCGAGCCGTCGATCGGCTTCGGGGTGGGCACGAAGCTCGCGGCTCGGTACGCCCATCGGGAATGGCTGCCGTGCCTCGTGCTTGGGTGGTATGCGGGCGGGCCCCTGTGGGACGCTGTGCGGAAATCAAAATTTTACGGCGCGTTCGTGCTGAATCGCCGCGTCGTCCTCCACGCCATCGACGCGACGCCTGCTCGATGGCGTGGCGATGCCGGTTCCTCGCCGCTCGACCGAGCCAGGACGGCCGCGTCATCGCCTAGAAATGACTTCGTGATGAATTGTCGGGTGCCCGACTCACTGGTTGATTTCCACACAGGTGGGACGTCCTGGACGTGAAGCCGCCGGCCTGGAACAAGGGCGTCCCCATCGTCGTGAATCGCGTGCGTCCCGGCTGGAAGTGGCCAACAAGGGGCGGTGCCCTGATACAGCCCGGCGTCTGGGAGCAAGGCGCGCCGCGCGAGTCGAACGCGAAGCTGCTCTTGGATCTGCGGGCGGAGATGCCGGGCGAGAGGGCGGCGGAACAGCGGCTGCTGACTTTGTTCTATGCCACACGAAGAATAGTCGATGCGGCCGGCCGCGCATTGCCGCAGGGGCAGGCCGTCGACGCGTGTCTATACAACGAACCGTTTGACCGCGGCGACGCCATCGGCGCGGGAGTACCTTGCCTCCTCGAAGCGGATGGCGCGCTCGTCGTCGCCAAGGATCGAACGCCGTGGGAGTTGAGCACGTTCGAGCCCGCGACTGATTTCGAGACGCTCGAGAAGGCCCTGGCGTCGGCGGAGGCGGTAGCCATCCCGCCAGACGCACGGCTCTGGGCATTCGCGCTGACCGGCGCGACGAGTGACGAAGAGAACGATTCCTTCTAAGTCTAGTATGTATCAACTTAATGGGGAACGGGCGGAACTCTACTACGCCTCCATCGACGCCGGCGACTCCACGGCCTTCATGCGCTTGGCGTCGGCGTCTTCAGTAGTCGGCGCGGAGCGCTTGCGCGACCGCGACTTCTTCGGTTTCTCTGAGGCAGTCACGCTCGCTCTAGGAGAAGACTTGGGCCGCGAGCGGCCGTCGAGGTCGCTGTTCTCCTTCTCGACGAGCTTGATCAGCAAATCGGCGCGCCGTCCGAGCTCCGACGCGTTTCTCGACTTGAAAAACCAGTCGAAGTTGAACTGCCACGCGTTGCGGATCTCGACCCTAATTCTCTCCCAGTTCCCGTACCCGTAGGTGTGCATCATATTGAGCAAAAATGCGTCTTCCTCCTCGGTCCAGACCTTGCCTCTGGAGGCGCCGTAGTTCAGCGGCAGGCACTCGTGGGGTTTCGGCGACCGGGCAATCTTCTCAGCCAAAGCTTCCCTAATCTCCTTCGACCGCTGCAGGCGCTTCTCGCCCTTCTCGATCTTATCTATGACGCGCTCCCAGTCGGCGAGCTCCTTGTGCCGCTCCCAGAAGACTTTGTGATAGCGCCGCACCTCCTCTTCAGTCTTCCCCGTCTCGTTCGACGTCTCGCGCGCGATGACGTCGACCTCGTCGCGCCCGCGCCGCTCCATGGCGTTCAGGAACGACCGGAAGTCCTTCCTAGTCCTGTGTGGAACGGACGCCGTCGCGAAACGGCCGCGGCTCCCTCGCGCGACCCGTAGACTCTCATGCGGCCGCGTCGACGGCGTCGAGGCGACGCGGCATCGCATCGATGCCGTCGCGACGACCACGTCACGTTGAAAGTCAACATATATATATATATACATCTCCACGCCGAGTCGCGGACCAGTCGACAAAGCCCTCCCGCAGCAGCTGCTCCTTCTTCTCGAGCTTCGCGCCCGTCAATTCATATGAAGAGCCCTTCTCGAGCTCCTTGGCGACCTCGCGCGACTGCTGGAGGTGGGCCTCAGCCTCAGCGCACGGACTCGGTTCTTGGCCCGCAGCTTTCGCTTTGGCATTGGCCTCGTCTTGCGCCTTCTTGCCCTTCTGCTTGAGCTCGCGCGCCAGCGACTGCGCGTCCTTGCGGCGCTGCTCGAGGCGCTCCTCCTCCTGGACCAGTTCTCCGAGCTCTTCTCTGTTAAAGAACTGGAAATCATGCATCGCCGGTCCTTTGCGCTTCTTCTCCCGCGGCTCCTTGCGCTTCTTCGAGCCGTCGTTGAGCGTGTCGCGGAAGTACTCGTCCACATCATAGTTGCGCTTGCGCTCGCGCGTCGGCAGGTTGATGAGTAACCCGGCGCCCTTGGCTCCCCGATAATTGGCGCCCTCGAACTCGAACAAGGAACCAGGAGCCGCGTCTTGCGTCGTGAGCGAGAAGTTCGCCAGGTTGTGCTGCGCGTCCGTCTCGATCTTCTTGTTCTGCTCCGCGGTCCGTTCCTCGCCGCGCTTGAGTAACACGTCAATGTCCTCGTCCGTGAGCTGCTTGGACTTGGACGCGAAGATCTCGTCGGCGCCGAAGCGCACCATGGCCATGAGGTCCTGTTTATTGACACTAGTGTTCTGCTCGGCCAACCGCCCCTGCTGGATGACGGCCGCGTCTAGGAACAGCTTCCTATCAGCTCTTTCTACAATCTTCTCCTCGACCGTGCCCTCCGTCACGAACCGAAAGACCGTCACGGGCTTCGTCTGGCCGATGCGGTGCGCGCGGTCCATCGCCTGGAGATCGACCTGCGGGTTCCAGTCCGAGTCGTACAAGACGACGATGTCCGCCGTCGCTAAGTTAATACCGAGGCCGCCCGCTCGCGTCGACAACAAGAACGCAAATTTGGGCGAGTTCGGCGCGTTGAACGTGTCCATCTGCAGGTCGCGGTCGTCGCCCGACGTCGACCCATCGATTCTACAGTACGCGTAGCGCTTCAGCCGCATGAAATCCTCCAATATATCGAGCATGCGCGTCATCTGCGAGAAGATCAATACGCGCGACTGCTGCGCCTGGAGCTTCGGCAGCAACTTCGACAGTAGCACTAATTTGCCCGTGTTCTCCCAGAGATGAGGCCCGTCCAAAAACGGCGGCCCCGGCTCGGCGCCCTCAAACAGGTAGGGGTGGTTGCAGACCTTCCTCAGTTGCATGAGGATGTTCAGCAACCGCACGCGGTCCGGCCCGCCGAGCGCGTTTAACGTGTGCGCGTCCTTGCTCAGGATCTTCGTGTACCAGAGCCGCTGCATCTCCGTGAGGCCGATGTATAATTTAATTTCTCGTTTCGGCGGTAGGTCGGCTTCCACGTCGCGCTTGATGCGCCGCAACATGAACGGTCTCAAAACAGTGTGTAACTTCTTAACGACGTTGTCCTTCGCGCCGCTGTCTCCACCTAAACTGAACCAGGTCTCGAAGTCCGCTTCTGACGAAAAGATGTCTGGCAGCAAGAAGTTCAGCAGAGCCCACAACTCGTTCAGGTTGTTCTGGAGCGGCGTGCCCGTGATCAACAGTCGGAACTGCGTCGGGATCGTCCTAACGATACGAGATAACGACGAGTTCGGGTTCTTGATGCGGTGCGCCTCGTCAATGAGCAAATAGCTCCAGTTGATCTTACATAAAGCTCCCTTCTCCTTAAGGACGCCCTCGTACGACGTCACGCACACGTCGAAGCTCTCGGGGTCCCGCAAGTCTTCCCGGATGCACCGCGCGCGCTCGTGCTTGTCCCCTAATAATTTAACAGGCCTCATGGTAGGGCACCACTTGCGCATCTCGCGCATCCAGTTGTTGACCACACTTTTCGGCACGATGCAGATGTGGGGGCCGTGGATGTTTTTTGTTTCCGCGAGGTAGGCTAGTAAGGAGATGGACTGGAGGGTCTTGCCGAGGCCCATCTCGTCCGCCAAGATGCCGTTGATGCCGTTATCATGCAACTTGACCAACCAATTCAAACCTTCAACCTGGTAGGGCCGCATGGTCGCCGTGATCGTCGAGGGCTGCCGCGTCACGCGGTGCACCTGGAGCTGCGACTGGGCATCTTTCATCAAGCGCGCATCTTCCGCCGCCTCGGTCATGCGCGTGCGGCCCGTCTTGCTCTTCTTCTTGCCCAGGTTCAGGTCCGAATTCTCCTCCATGAAGTGGGAGAAGACCTCGGACTGGGCCATGAGGTAGTTGAGGCGCTTTTCGCGCTGGTCGCCGGAGCCGCCGTCGACGGAGCCAAACTCCTTGAGCTTGGCCAGTCTTTCCTTCTGCGTGCGTCTAGCTTCGGCGATCTCGGGCTCGACGTGCGAGGGGACGCGTCTTATGACCGGCGCGACCGGCGCCTTCGTCGCCTCATTTCGGGTGGCCATGCCGGTCGTCTCGGGCACGAACTCCTCGTCGTCATCAGCAGCCTGCTCCTCGTTCGGGTCGTACTCGACGCCGTCCATTTCCACATCCGAATCGTCGGACTGGCGGCCGGTCGGCTCGGGCGGCGGCGGCGCCTCCTGCGGCGGCGGCGGCGCTTCCATGGTGCTTGCTGTCTTTTCTGCTGTCCGCACGCTTGCGCGCTGGCGTTTCACGGCACCACACACAGAGTGCTTTGCCTCACACTCAGCGAGAGAGTTGCTAGGTAGCTCGAGAACTTCGGTGTCGCGGCGCGAGGCTGCTGTCTGCTTTCTCGTCAGTCCGCGGCGTGATTCGGGCGGCAGCAAATGAGCACGCGGCAAAGCGATGCAGTGAGACGGCCGCGCAAAAACAGGGAGGCGGAGCGCACAGGAGACGTACGCGCAGCCGTCTTGTGCCGCACAGGAGTGCTACAGGACGGCTCCTTTCGTAGCCGGTATTTTTTTCGGGTAGAGCTAGCTACATACTTACTAGAGCTAGCTCGGCGGCCGCAAAGACTGCTGTAAGGCCGCACAAGCGCGCTCATTGCTGCTCGTGGGCTATCGCACAAATCTGTGCGCTGCTGCGGAACTGCTGTCGCAATCGCTGCACGCTCCAGCCTCTGTAAACTAGCCTGCAGCCGTGCCACAGCCTGCAGCAAAAAAGGCATGGCGCGCAGCAAGAAACGCCGCCGCCCGGACGCCGCGACGCCGCAGATCGACGCCGCCCGCGCCCAGCGCATCTACGCCGCCTTCGCGGACGCGTCCGACGCGTTCTTCGCGGGCGACGCAACGGCGAAAGCGCAAGCGGACGCCATGGAGCTCGACGGGCCCATGGCCGATTTAAGGGGCTGCCTCGCGCTGCTGGCGGCGCGCGCGAAGCCGAGCTGCCTGATCGCCTTTGGCATGGAGCCGGCGTACGCCAAAAGGTTGGTGGAGGGCCTCTGGGCGCCTTTTTGTCGGGAGCACCTGCCCGAGATCCAGATACGGATGATCGACGGCGAATGCGAGCCCCTGCCGGACTGCTCCCTCCGACATCAGTACGTCGCGTTTCCGGAAACGTCGCGAGACGTTATACAAAGGGCCTACTTCTCTGGTTTGGCGGGCGAGCCCTTGTTCGAGGCGATCGGCGGCGCCCTGGGCTACCCGAACGCCCACGGGCTGGCGACGGATTGTAGGGTGGAGTATCGCATCGGCGAGGACTTCGTCCTCGAGTTCCTGGCGTCCTCGGACGGCTTCGGCGCCGTCGCCGCGCACTTCGCGCGGTGCGCGGAGGCCCTCGCGGGCGTGGGCCCGCTTCTGATTAGTGTGGACGGCGTCGACCTCGACGCGGCCGCGGTGGCCGCGGGCGACGAGGGCGCGCTGCGCGCGGCGGGCTGGGCGCCGGGGCTCAACGCCGTCGAGGCGGACATCGATTTTAGCTGAGTGTAAGGAAGGTGATCCTGTAGTCTCGTACGGCTCGTATGGCGGCATACTAGCATGCGTCTCTGCAGCGCGAGGGGCGCTGCGCGCTGCAGCAGGGTGTTGTGCCAGCGCGTCCGCTGTAGGTCGAAGACCTGATGTGTTGCAGAAGCGCGCAAGCGTAACCGGAGGCGGCAGCCATGCTGCGGGCAGCGAAAGCGTAGATGCAGGCAGCCATGCTGCGGGCAGCACTCTTGGGCTGCCTCGCCGCGGCGGCCACAGCCCCAGCACCCCCCATCGCGCGCGCTGGTAACGCTACGCGTGCGCGTCGACGGCTGTCCGTCGACTACCAGGAGGTCGCGAAGCTCGTGGCCAGCGACGCCGCGGCGGGCGACAACTTCTGCTCTGTGGCCATCGACGGCAACACTATCGTGGTTGGGGCTTACCAAGACGACAGCGGTGGCTCGGGCTCGGCCTATGTCCTCCGCACGAGCGACGGCGGCGCCACGTACGTCGAGGTGGCCAAGCTGACGGCCGCCGACGCCGCGGCGGAGGACTTCTTCGGCTTCTCCGTGGCCATCGACGGCAACACCGTCGTGGTCGGAGCCCGCTACGACGACGACGCGGGCTCCATGTCGGGCTCGGCCTACGTCTTCCGAACGAGCGACGGCGGCGCTACCTACGATCAGGTGGCCAAGCTGACGGCCGCCGACGCCGCGGCGGAAGACCAGTTCGGCGTCTCCGTGGCGATCGACGGCGACACCATCGTGATTGGGGCCTACAAAGACAACTCTGGTCGTGGCTCGGTCTACGTCTTCCGCACGACTGACGGCGGCGCCACGTACGGCCAGGTGGCCAAGCTGACGGCCAGCGATGCCGCGGAGGACGACTGGTTCGGCGCCTCCGTAGCGATCGACGGTGACACCATCGTGATTGGAGCCTACTGGGACGACAATCTCTCGGGCTCTGCCTACGTGTTCCGCACGACCGACGGCGGCGCTACCTACGATCAGGTTGCCAAGCTGACGGCCGCCGACGGCGCGGCGGAAGACCGCTTCGGCGTCTCCGTGGCGATCGACGGCAACACCATCGTGGCCGGGGCCTACGGCAAGGACAGCTACACGGGGTCGGCCTATGTCTTCCGTACGACTGACGGCGGCGCCACGTACGGCCAGGTGGCCAAGCTGACGGCCGCTGATGCCGCGGAGGGCGACGGCTTCGGTCTCTCCGTGGCGATTTACGGCGACACCGTCGTGATCGGTGCCGTCGGCAAGGACAGCTACACGGGGTCGACCTACGTCTTCCGCACGACTGACGGCGGCGCCACGTACGGCCAGGTGGCCAAGCTGACGGCCTCCGACGCCGCAGTGGACGACGGCTTCGGCTTATTCGTGGCCATCGACGGCGGCACTATTGTGGCCGGGGCGTACGGAGACGACGACGGCGGCGACGGCTCGGGCTCGGTCTACGTCCTCCTGGACGCCCCCACGGGACCGACGCCACGCCCGACGCCCGCGCCGACGGCGGCCTGCACCGACGTCGTCGACATCGAGGGCACGATGCACACGTGCGACGAGGCGAGCGCCAGCTGGGGCCTCGACTGCGTCTGGCTCGAGGTCGCGCGCGGGCTGAACTGCCGGGGCTGCGACTGCGCCGTCGACGGCGTCCAGAGCGGCAACATGTGGAGCATGGAGATCTACGACGCGACGTGCACCACCGCCCGGCCGCTCTGGGGCGCCGGCGACGTCCTGGTGGCGGAGGACATCGGCGGCGCCATCTTCCAGGACGGCCAGCCGGCGGTCTTCGCGAACGACGTCTGCAGCGACCTCTTCGACTGGAACGGGCGGCAGGTCTCGGTGCGCGGGCGCTGCTCGAACGGCGAGGTCTGGGCGCAGTGGTTCGACGGGGCGGGCTGCGACGCGGACGCGTTCTACGACGCGGAGGCCAACGACCGGCACTGGCTCGGCGGCGCGTCGTCGTGGAACGACGGGGAGTGCGTCGTCGTGGAGCTGCGGCGGCCGTCCACGCCGACGCTGAGCGAGGCCCTGCGTTTCGCGTGCGTCGCGACGCCGGCGCCGACCGTGTCGCCGACCCCCTCTCCTTCAAAGCCGCCGACGTCCCTGCCCACGCTCACGCCGACCTACTCGCCACGCCCTACGGTCCCGCCGACGTCGTCACCTTCCTCGCCGCCGTCGTCTCAGCCGTCGCCCCGGCCGACGCGCGTGCCGACCGCGGCGCCCAGCGCCGCACCGACGCCCTATCCGACGACGTCGCTGCCATCGTTGCTGCCAACATCTCGGCCCACCGCCGTGCCCTCTCGGTTGCCGACCGCCGTGCCGACGGCGCCGCCGACGCCCGCTCCGTCCGGACTGCCGACGACGGCCGTACCGACTGGACTTCCAACGACACCGCCCCCGACGCCGCCGCCCTCAAGCGTACCGTCGCGCGTGCCTAGTTCCCTGCCGAGCGCCGTCCCGACGAAGCCGCCCTCGAGCGTGCCGACCGTTCCGCCGTCGCGCGCGCCGAGCCCCGGCCCCACGGTCACGTTCATGCCCTCGATACTACCGACACCACTACCATCGCCCTCTCCTACGACGGCCGCGCCCACGATGCTGCCGACGCCATTGCCGTCGCCCGCTCCGACGACAGCCTCGCCGACGCCAGCGCCGTCTCCACTACCTTCGCCGGCGCCGACCATTTCCCCCGGCCCGACGCCGGAACCCTCGACCTCGGCGCCGTCGCGCTTCCCCAGCGCGGCGCCGTCGGCCTCGCCGACCGTGCCGCGGCCGCGGCGCGAGGAGGTGCGCGCCGCGGCGTGGCGACCGCCGCTTTGGAGTTTTATTGTGCTGGCGGTCCTCGTGGGTGCCGCGCTGATGGGCCCCGGTGCGTGGTTCGCGCTGAAAAAGTACAAAGCGCGGCTGACCGACCGCATCCGGAGCGACGTCGAGTCCAAGATGCTGTCGCCTCCGGAACGGCCGCCGCGGGCCACGCCGCGCCGCGACTACGACTACGAAACCACTCGAAATTTGCCGCTGCCGCTCGCGCCGACCGCACCGTCGACGTGGCACCCGCCGATGCGGCCTCCGGGCTTCGACGCGTACAGCCGCGCGACGCGGTCTGCGGGCCCCTACGTCTACAGCCGTGCGCCGCCCGCCACGCCGCATTCGTCCCGGTCCCGGCGCAGTCCCCTCGTGGCGCCCTACACGCCACCGTCGCGGCGCTCGGCAAAGGTCGCGCCGACGCCGACGTCCCCGCTCGAGGCCGAGCTCTCCGAGCTGCGGTCGCGCCTCGAGGCCGTCGAGGCGCCGATCGTCGCCGAGGTCGCGGAGTTGCGTGCCCGCCTCGACTTCGTCGAGCGGTCGTCGCCGCACCACTCCCCCGACGCCGCCGATCGAGTGCACCGCGCGGACGCGAGCGCCTACTCGTCGGCGTCGCGGACGCGCGCCTCGGGCGTGAACGCAGACCACGCCGGCGAGCGGGCCTGGCCGATGATCCCGCGGCGGCTCTTTGCCGACGAACCCGCGCCGGCGCGGCGAGATCCGCTCGCGGCATCGCCCGGTTCACGAGAGTCCTACGGCCCCGGGCGCCACCCGTCGCGGAGGCGGTCGATGAACGACGAGGCCGCCGCCCCCTCGACGCCGCCCGCCGGCGACGATATGCGAGTGGAAGACTTGTGACTGTTAAATATATAAATAAATTAATTAAGGGAGATTAGTAGATAATACTACTGCGTAGAACTACTTGCGGACGCCGCGGCCGATCGTGGCTCCGACAGTGGCACCGACGACCGCACGCCCGCCCCGCCCCCGGCCCATTAGTAATTGGGATTAAATCTAATCAACGTCCTCCCGGCCCATGCCCTTCTCCCCGTGCAGGTAACGCTCGATGGCGGGGAGGACTTGATCGGCTCGGCACGCGATCAACGCCGCGACGATCTCCTTGGAGCGACGGCGCGTCCGCGTCTAAATTGTCGTTCCGCAGCGCCAAGGTGATGCGTTGCGTCGGGCCGCTTGTTATTTCGAAGGCGCGGGGTCCGGAGTCCTGGTTCGCGCCGCCGGGGCCCTTCACATATGCATATCGCAGCAGGTTGGTTTCAATGTTGTTTTCGCCGGCTTTCACCGATACGAGGAGGCGTGTTCTGACCAATGTGTTTAATAACCGCGTGCCGGCCTCGCCCTCGTCACCCTCATTCGCGTCGCGGCGGCCGGACATTTTTGTTGTCAAGGTCGGCTAAACATATTGAGCTAGTTATGACCCACTAGATTTTCACGCTCGACGCCGCTTTTTGAGCCGTGGTTGGGCCGTATTGTTGTGCATCACCCGCAGTTGTGCTCATCACTCAGTGGCGCGCTGCGCCTCAATCGGTGCGGCTGCGCGGGCGACGCGGTGCGCCGTGCTGAGCCTCACAAAAATCGGAGACTCCTGGCGCCTGGCGGCCCGCGCGCGGCGCGACGCGTGCAAAGCGCCGCCCCCCGGGCCCGCGCTCGGCCTCGGCCGCATGCTGAACGACTCGGCGCGCTCGCCGCAGCGGTACACGTCTCGCCGCTGCGCGCCGCCGCGGCCGTCGCGGCCGCGACCGCATCGATGGCGTCGGGCGGCTCGCGGGTCGCGCCCGAGCTGACGCCGGACGTCGCCGTTGACTTCTGATAGCGGGCCGCGCGGCTCGAAGCGGTGCGTCGATTCTTCGTGGGATGCGGCACACTACCGAAGTCTTGGAAGAGGCCAACTCGGATTTGATCCGGCCGAGACGCATACCTAGCTTTTTCGACATCATGTCGGAGGCGCTACCTTTCAGTGTGTAGTCTATCTCGTCGTCTATGCACTACTACGACGACATCTGACCTCGAGACGATCTATCGTGGGCTCAGAGCACACCGTCGTCGAGGGCAATCAAACACGTCGGTGTCCTGGCATCTCGTGGCGCGCTACTAACGTTCCGAGGGTGCCGTTCTCGGGGGCTACGACAATCACCAGCCCCGTCGCGCTTGCAAAAGAAGCGTCAGCCACGTCGTCGCTCGGGGTTTCTAATATAGCTGCTCCTATGCTGTAGACATGCTAGGACCGGTGGTGGTGCGGCGCACACGGCCACACACGGGCCGCCGGGCCTGGGAGAGGCTCTCCGCATGTTGGTATTGTTGCTCTCCGCACGCGGCTCCCCGGTGCCAAAATGAGCCGGAGAGGCTGCGCGTGCGATGGTCCAGTAGAGAAAACGCCATTTGGAGCAGACGTCCAGCTGTTCGCAGACCTGCGAGTAACACTGCCGCCCCCACTGCCGCCGAGCGATGCCGCGCACGACTCGTGTTACTGGCCGTACGGCGCGCGAAACGAAGAAGAGTACGACGCGAAAGTAGCGCGCAACGAGCTCCTGCAGATGGGGCCGTACGAGCGCGCGGCGCTGCGGGAATGCATGCCGAGGATCCGCAGCCTGGACGGCCGCCAGTTTCAGCTGGCCCTGAAGCAGTACGCGAAGACCGAGCGGTTTAGATACGCGGCCGCAAGGATGCCGGCCTGGTTCGCCGAAGGGTGCCGGACGGGCGCTTTCGCGCCGTACGTCGCCGGCGAGGAGGCCGCGCGCGCCGCCGCCGCGCCGCCGTCGGCGCCTGCGAGAAGGGCGCCCGCCGCGGCGCCGCCGCGGAGACGACTTCTGCGCGGCGGCGCGCGGCGGCGGCCGCCGCCGCCGGTCCCGGCGGCCGTCGAGCCCGACGAGCCCGACGTCGAGGAGAAGATCGACGTGAGAAGGCTGACGGCGGCGGACTACAACAAGCCGGGCGCCTCCATGGCCGAGAAGGACGAGACCCTAATAGCTTTATTGGATGCGTGTCGAAAGGGCGTGTTCGGCGAGGAGCTCCGGGACTGCGACGTGCCGAAGAGCTGCGTGGTGGCGGAGGACTACCCGCTCGGCGTGCACGTGGATAGACGACGCGGCACCTTCGGCCGCAACGGCGGCGACGCCGCCGACGCGGAACTGCTGGCCGCGGGCTTCGTGCCGGTTAGTGGTCGAAGCAACGTGGCGAGGGTGGACGAGGCGCTCGAGCGGTACAGGCCGGTGCTGCGGGCCGCGGCGAAGCAAGGGCTAATGTCGACGTCGTCGAAGGAGATTGCGGACGGCGTCGCCATGTTGGCACGGTGGGTACGGAGGGCGCGCCCGTCGGACGCCGTCGGGAGGGCCTACCTCGATCTCGCCGTGGAGCTGAGCGCTGATGCGGAGCCGAAGAACATTCCGTCTTACAACGGCAAACAGTACTGGGCGTACCGCATCGGGGCCGAGGCGAGCGCCGTGCTGGCGCGTGCGAACGCGGAGGAGGACGACGACGACGAGGACGATGAGGACGCGCCGCTGCCCGCGAAGCGGCCGAGAAAGAAGGTCACCTACGCAAGCGACGACGAGGACCAGGACGAAGGGGTGGCCTTCGTTGCTCAGGAGGACGACGGCTGCGACTCGGCTGACGAGGACGTATTTGACGACGAGGAGGACGACAACGACGCGCCCGCGGCTCAGCAAGGGACTGACGGGCCCGACGAGTCCGACGACAAGAAGATCGACGTGAGAAGGCTGACGGCGGCGGACTACAACAAGCCGGGCGCCTCCATGGCCGAGAAGGACGAGACCCTAATAGCTTTATTGGATGCGTGTCGAAAGGGCGTGTTCGGCGAGGAGCTCAAGGACTGCGACGTGCCGCAGAGCTGCGTAGTGGCGGAGGGCTACCCGCTCGGCGTGCACATGAATAGACGACGTGACACCTTCGGCCGCGGCGACAACGACGCAGCCGACGCGAAACTGCTGGCAGCGGGCTTCGTGCCGGTTAGCGCGAGAAGCACTGTGGCGAGGGTGGACGAGACGTTCCTGCGGGTCGCGCCGGTGCTGCGGAACGCGGCGAAGTGCGAGCTCGGGACGACGTCATCGGCGGAGATTCAGAACGCCGTCGCCACGTTGACAACGTGGGTACGGAAGGCGCGCACGTCGGACGCCGTCGGGAAGGCCTACCTCAAGCTCGCAGTGGAGCTGGGCGGCCTGGCGCCGAAGAATGCGAGGGGCGGCCCGTGGGGCACCGGCGTTTACTGGGCGCACCGCCTCGCGAAGCAGGCGCGCGCCGTGCTCGCGGGCGACGCGCCGCCGCCGCGGACGAAGAAGAAGGCTGCTGCTCCCAAGAAGCGGGCTTCGTCGCCGCCGCGCCTGCCGCCCAAGAAGCGCGCGAAGCCGGTCAAGAAGCGGTCGGGGCGGCGCTAGGGCGCCTGTATACTGTCTATAGAATTTAAACCAAAACGCTTTAATACTACTACTGCGGCGCGATCTCGTACGCCAGGATCGCGTCGAGCGACGTCTCGCCGTTCGAGATCTTGGCGAGGTCGACGACGAGCGCCTTGAAGCGCGGCTTTTGCGCGACCAAGGCGCACAGCGCCGCGTGGACGCGCCGCCGCTCGCCGACGGGGAGCTTCGCGTCGAACAACGCGTCGTCGCCGAGCGCGTCGCCGAGCCAGGCCACGGCGTTCGACGACGGCGCCGCCGCGGCGACGGCGTGGAGGCACTCGCTCAGCGCCGGCCTCAGCTGCGACGGCGCGGGCCCGGCGAGGACCCGGATTGCCTCGCGGCAGGCCGCGGCGCCGTGCGCCCCGAGCTGATGTCGGTGGGCCTCGTCCTGCGTCGCCCGCTTCGCGAGGGCGCCCAGCAGGTTCGCCGCGGCGCGGCCCGCGGACCCGCCGGCGTCGGCGGCGCCCAGGCATCGTATGCAAAACGCCCAGAGCGCGCCGCAAAACTCCGAGGGCGCTGACAACGTCGACGGAGCCAGCGCGCAGAGCCGCACGAGCAGGGAAAACATTTCTGATGAAGGTGTGTTGTGTCGCGCCGCGGCCGCGACGACGCGCTGCGCGACGGTCGAGAGCAAGGCGGCGCCGTCGGCGCGCGAGGCGCACGCGTCGACGACCTTCGCCAGAGCTTCCAATGAGGACGCCCAGGCGTGCGCCTCCCAATACACTAAGGCGACATTTGCGAGTTGTTGTGCGTCCTCCACCGAAGGGTCCTCCTTCAGCGCGGCGCTCGCGTGGCACCTTAATGCAGAACCGACGACGACCTCGTCCAGGGCCAACGGAGGCGCGTGGCACGCGCTCAGCAGCGGCATGAGTCGTACGGCGAGCTGCTGCCGTAGTTGTGGCGGCGCGAAGCTTGCACATGTGTCACATAATTGCAACGCGTGGACGACGCGCTTGAAGGCCCGCACCTTCGCGTCGACGTCCACGGCATTTATGGCCGCCTCGACGCAGACCTTGAGGGCGTCGACGAGTGGAGCGCACGTTTTTGAGGCGACGTCGACAGAAACATGGGACGCCGCGCGCGCGACGCCCTCCACCACCGAACAGGCCGACTCGTCTCCGGTCATGGAGACGGCTGTAATAGCGTCCCTTAATGAATCGGGGGCGGACCACACGACCTTTGAATGAGACGAGCAGACCCGACAGAGAGCTTGCCCCGCGGCCGACGCGACGCGCCGGTCGCGATTTTGCGAGTGCGTGATCACGCCGCTGAGGAACGCTACTGCATTTGGGGCTTGCGTGGAAAGAGCCGGCGCGAAGGCGCCCAGCAAATCGCAGGCTCCGGCGCACAACACGAAGCCTCGACCCGACTGAAATAAAGCGCCGAACGCGGGATGCTCCGCGAATTGGAGCACGGCCCCGACGCTCTCCCTCGCAGAAGCAGCGACGTCCGGTCGGCTCTTCAGGTCCGAGCAGACCTCCCTTCTCGCCACCCGCAGCACATACAGAGCGGCCTCGGCTCTCTCGGGCGAGCCGCCTTCCGTCAGCGCTACCAATGAACTCTTCATTTCATCAGCAATAGTCCTCATATAGGTCTCCCTTAGCAAGAAGTAGGTCGCAACTAAAACATCCGCGGCGACGGCCCGGAACTGGAACAGCGCGTCCTCGGGGTCCTCGTCGTCGTCCGTACTATTGGCACAGCTCCGCGTGATGGAGACTAGTAAACGGGAGAAGGCGTCCCTCGTCAACGCGGGGTGCCGTTGCGCTACGGGCACGTCTTGCAGCACGAGAAAAGCGTCCAGTGCTTGGGCCCCTATTCGTCGAGAAGGGTGCTCGACGCACGTCAAGGCGAGGTCCCAGACCTCGGGTAAGTGTTGCGCCAGTTGCAGGCCGTGCGGCTCGCTCGCCGCGAGGGCGGCCGTGAGTCTCGCAATGTCCGCGAGGCACTCCGCGTCATTTTCTTGTCGACATTGGCCCAAGAAAGCTCTTAAAGCTTGCAATGACGCGTCGTCTAACACTTGACCGCCCCCCGCTTCCGCGGCGACGATCAACGTCGAGACGGCGGTCCTTACGGATGTTAATTTCGAAAAGGCCGGGGCGTCCACACCGCCGAGCAGGTCATGGAGCGAGCTCTCGGAACCATGCTGGAGCCAGGCCGCGAGGACCTCGTCCACACCAGTTGCTTGTAATAGTGCAGGAAAGACGTCCGCGCGCGCGACTCGTTGCAATTCAGCTCTGAGCGGTCGTATCCGGTGCGCGCCCGCGTCGACGTTCGGCGCCTCGTCCGCCAGCGCTTTCAGTAAACCTAGACCGTGTGTGCTTCGACCACACAGCTCCAGCGCCAGTCGCGTGCACTGGCCCACCGCTGAAGGGTCCTCGGCGGCCGTGCGCAAAGCTAATGTCGCGCAGGCCACGGAAACCTGCTTGGCGACCTCGCCCGGGACGTCGCTCGCCAGGGCGGTCGCGAGCTGCTGGACGAGCTGGGCCCGGAGCGCGGGTGGTGGGGGCTCCCGTCGCGCTTTCCGAAACAAAGCGGACGCGGCCCAGAACCTCGTGGCCGCCTGTTCTTGAGGCGTCGTCACGAGTTGCAGGAGGGCGGGCCAGGCGTCGTCTCCCGCCGAGGCCTGCTCGAGGTACTCGCCGGCCCTTTGTCTAGTGGCGGGGTCTGTATTTGGCGCGTACATGGCCGCGCAGGCTAATCTGATTTCGTCGACGGCCATGGACGGGGACCGCTGCAGGGGCATGGCGGCCATTGCTTTATCTATGCGCGACGCGTAGGTGGAGCTTAAGAGATGCTTATGTGGCTTTGCTCTCGCTGGCTGCTGCTATGGGTTTTGCTGTGCGCGCCAGCGCACGAGACCAATGCGTGTGCACGAGCCTCGTCCAGCGTTCAGCCCTATCGATACGATCCTTAATGGATACAAGCCTTTTTTGGTGCAGCGCTTGGGAGATGCTAGTGTCTTACATGACGCTAGCCCCGCGCAAGTCGAGGAAGCTCATTAAGGGCTGCATCGCGCTTGCTATCCTAAAAAACAGTCCCCAGCTTCTCTTGCCGCAGCCGCTCCAAGTCCTGCGTCAGCGCGAGCTAGCGAAGCAGAGCTCCAGAGAGCAGCCATCTAGCCACTCCTCGGCGTGCGCGCGCCGCGCCGTCGCTGCATGAGCTCAGAGGAAGGTAGTCCTACTGTTGTACATACTGAAATGAGAAGCCGCCGCACCCGCATGTCGCCCGAGCCGGAGGCTATCGGAGAGGACGCTCCAGCGGTGGTCGTCGAGGAAGCAGAAGAGTTGTTAGGAAACGACGAGGCACCTGAACAATCGACGACCCCGGTCGGCCGCGTTTATGCTTTCTACGAACGACTCTCCACCACATTCAGCTGGCGCTACGTCGCTATCGTCTCGTTAGTCTACGGCGTCAATCAAGGAGTGGGAGAAGCGTGTCTGTTCACGGCGCAAAAGTACTACCTGTTTGACTATCTCAAATTAACACCAGCTCGTTATTCAAAAGTAGACGGCTTCGCGAACATCCCCTGGCAGGTCAAGGCCTTGTATGGCATGGTTTCTGATTCATTTAGCATCTATGGGCTTCGAAAGACGCCCTACATCATCTTAGCTTCTATTGGCGGTATAGTATCCGCAGCGTCGTTGTGGTTGGCCCGCCTCGACTACCAGACGGCTGCTGCATTATTATTGATAGCAAATCTCTCGATCGCGTCGCCGGACGTGATGATCGACGGGACGACCGCCGAGAATAGTAGAAAGTTCCCGAAGCTCGCCGCGGACCTCCAGACGCTGAGCTGGGCTAGTCTCTACGGCTGCGCCATGGTCGCGAACCTAGCTGTGGGAGAACTGGTAAAACCGTCGTCGATCGGCGCTCGGGGCGTGTTTGGTTTGTTGTGGCTGACGTCGCTCGCGGCGTTGTTGCCCGCTTGTTTAGGATGGTTAGGAGAAAGACCCGCTACGGTGATACATGAAGCGTCGTCAGACAGAAAACGGGTCTTCGCTTGTGCCTTCGCGACGTGTGCTGTGTCCGTCGCCGTCGGGAGTCTGCAGGCGTTCTCGACGTTTTCCGATGTCGTGCAGGGCGTCTCGACCATTATCCTAGGAGTGGTGCTAGCAACCACAATTCATTTCTTGCTGAAACCCGTATCAAAAGACCTGGCAGGAGCGGCAGTCTACATCTTCCTGTCGGGGGCCTTGCAACCGGCCACCGACGTCATGTTCGCGTGGTTCCATTCCGACGGCAAAGCACACGGCAACTGCGCGACCCATTGCCCCCCCGGAAATGAAGACTGCGGCTGGGCGTCGGAAAGGCACTACCCGTGTATTTCCCCCGAATACTACTCTGCGATGCGCGCGACGGCGCGGTTGTTTGGCCTCGCGGGCATCGTGCTGTACAACGCCTACCTGAGCGACTGGTCGTACAGAAACGTGTTCGTGTTGGGCCACTGCGTGACCTTCGGTGCGAATCTGTTGGATTTTGTCTGGGTTTCGAGGTGGAACATCTCTCTCGGAATTGATGATCGAGCGTTCTTACTTGGTTTGGACGTGGTCCAGCCAGTGGTCAGTAAAATAGCCAACATGCCGTCCTACGTCCTCGCGGCCAAGGTCTGCCCGGCGGGCGTCGAGGCGACGCTGTTTGCTCTATTGATGGGTCTGTCGAACTTCGGCAGTACGATCGGTTTATATAATGGCGTCTTCCTGCTGAGTGCCTTCGGCGGCGTCGAACAGCCGGAATTTAGGCATTTACCGGCCTTCGTTCTGATGCGGACGGTCTTCTATTTGGCTCCCGTGGCGTTGGTTTTTATTTTCGTGCCTAGGGGAAGGCCGTCTGATGCAATCGAGGAGGAGGACGTTGCTTCCAAGGAAATCGAGCTGACTCCTGTTGCCGACGCTGCCGCTGTGTGAGTAACTCTATGTAATGTACATGTGCGTCTAACATATGCGTAGATAGAATGCGTAGAATATATGCGACTCACAGGTGAGGTCTGTACGGCGCGCGGCGACCCCGGGTTTTTTAGCAGGGTACCTCGGGCCCAATCGTCGTGGGGGGACGCCCGAAGCCTAAAGCCGTCGAGTTACCTCGCCAGAAGTCCCCGGCCGTCGGCACCGGTTGCTAAAAAACAAATCGGGCAGCATCCAAAAACCTGCCCACCCGCCGGCGCGCGGCGCGAGCGTCTACGGGCGCCACCGGCTGCCCATCGAACTCCACGACAGTCTCCGGCGCCCACGCAGCCCTCCGCTCTTTGCCGCGCGAGACCGCTGCCCATTTTTAGCTGCCCTCAGGACAGGCGCGCCTCTACGCCGCCGCTGCGCCGCGCCACGCGCCGAGCCAATCATGGGCTGGGCCGACGACGAGGGCGGCGGCGACGCGAAGGCCGGCGCCAAGGACGAGCCGCGGCGGCGCCCGCGGCGGGCCTCGGACGAGCCCGCCGAGGCCAAGGACGCCGGCCCGCGCCGGCCCCAGAAGTCCGAGAACGCCTGGGGCTCTTCCTCTACCGGAAAGAGCTCTTCTACGAGGCGCGACGACGACAGTGATGGGGAACCGCGGCGGAGGAAGCGCCTCGCCGACTCCGACAACGAGGGCGAGACGGAAATTACGATGATTATTCCGGACCTCGACGAGCAGGCGGAAGAGGACATCACTTTACAAGTCGCCGAAGCTCCTAGGAATCGTACGATCAAATTGCCTACTCTAGCTGAATTGAACGCGGACCTCGCTGCTCACTCAATAATCCCGGTCAAGCCCGGTGAAAAAAGGCTGGATCTATCATTGTTAAATAACCGGCTGGTGCCACCTGCTATGGTGAAGGAGAACACCGAGGACTGGACCTGGGACGGGCTGCTGCGAGATGTCGCTCGAGACTTCCAGGAGGAGGCCGAGCGGAATCAAGTGATGAGGGAGAAGAAATTAGCGTTCGAGCAGAAGTTCGCTACGAAGTCTGAAGATACGGGCGAAGCTTTGTTGAAAAGACAAGCCAAAGGTGGGAGACGGGCCGCGCCCAAGCCGAAGAAAGAAGAGGGTAAAGAGGACAAGGAAGAACCGAAAACTGCCGATACAGCTGAGCTCGATAAAGCGCTGGGCAAGAAGGAGAAGAGCGCCGCGAAGGGCGGTAGAAGGGCTCGCAAAAGGGACCCCGAGCCCGAGGCCAAGCCGGCGCCGAAGGAGGACTCCGATAGTGATGATGGCGACATCGCGATGCAATCGGAGGCGAAGTAGCTAGTTAATCAATATAGCTTTACTAGTACTCACGACGACTCTCTATTTGCTCTAGCCGGCCGCCGGCGGCCCATGCGTTTGTCGCGTCGATGGCGTCTGGCGCCACCCATACGCCATCGCCGCGACCCGATGCACACTCTCCGACTCTCGTCGCGTCGCGTCGACACGTGCGTCGACGGCGTCAACCTCTAGCCCGGGCCTGAGTCCTAGACATTTGCCCTATGGACTCGGAGTTAATCAACATCTTCATTATCCCCGTCCTCAAAACTCCAGAACGTCGCCGTCTGCAACGGCGATGCCTCTAGCGCTAGAGCCGGGAGGGGCGCGGGGAGTTGTTCTCGCACAAATTTCCTGAACTCCGCGTCGCCAGCAGCTGCTGTTCTATGTGAGAGAAACGCCACATAATCGGAGTCGTCCCGGAACCTCGGGTCGCACGAGTAGAGTCGGGCGAAGGCGTAGTGGCGCGCGTCGTCTCCCGGAGACCAGCCCTGTTTAATTCCCAGTCCCGGGAAGGCCCATCCCTCCAGTCGCGCTTCGGCGAAGGGCACGGCTCGGCCATTGTCTCTCAATAGTCCCGCGGCGCATCCTAAGTTATCCAACTTTGGTTGAGCGTGCAACCGTATGCGTGCACGTTGTCTTCGTTTGAGCAGTGTCTCCTCAGACAGATATTCGCCAAGATCCAACCAGCGGCGACACCGCGCCGCATGCTTCGACTCGTCGTCCGAGAACGCCCGCGCGCAATGCAGACAGACGCCTACTAAACCCTGAGGCTCCAGCAATTTCACAGAGGAGAGTTTTCGGGTCGGGGCCAGGCCCGACGGCCTCCTCACCCAGAACACTCCCAGTAAATCCTCGCCTTTGGAATTCGCGGGGTCTGCCAGAGTCTTCTTCAGCATGATGCCACAGCCATAACAAGAACCGACGACACTCGCGGCGCGGGGCGGCAGCACCGACAGCTTCCGGAACGTAGTGTCGACGTCGACCGTCTTCGTCCTCATATCGACAAATTTCCCCGTCGCTTCCACCTTGTGGGCCCTTCTACGTAAGCAGTCCTCGCGGTGCACGGGCCAGTGCCGCCGCTGACACGTGCGCGTGCAATATCTAGCGTAGTGGCATCCTCCACAAGCCAATAACTTGGGCACCAGTAACCCACAGGAAAAGCACCCGCCATGACTCCCGACACACTGGCCCGTCTCCAAGCAGCGCTGCATCATCTGATTCCTCATAGCTTGCTTCTGGGCTTCCGGCAGCTCCGGCGGCGGTGGGTCCTCGCCGATCTTGTCGAACTTGCTGTAGTCGATGGGCATGGTGGCTTTGCTTGCTGCGCGGGGGCAGCCTTTCCGGCCAGCGCTCGAGTCGAGCTTTTGAGCTAGTACGTTAGTACATTAGCTCCACCTCGATTAGGATTGCGAGAATCAGTAAAGACCAGCAATACACGGGGCCCTACCTTTTGAAGACGGACCAAGGCTTCGCGGTGCCTCGTTGCTTCAGCGGACTTCGCAATCCTACGATGCCACCCCTCACCCTGGCCATCTGCGCCGTCGCCGCGGCCCTGAGCCCCCTCCAGGTCTGCCACCACAAGACATGCTCCAAGCACGGCCTCGCGAGGCGGACGCTGGACATCGCACACGTGCTCGGCGGCCCCGAGGCGGCGGTTCAGACTTTAGAATGCCAGAGCGGCTGCAACGCGGGCACGGTCTCCGTTGTCGGTCGCCGCTTGTACGACGTGGAGCGCGCGTCGGCGGCGACGCTCGCGGCGATTCTGGAGATCGAGCTCGGCGTTGCGGTCACGGACGCCGCAGTTGATGCCTGTGATAAACTAGCCGCCGCCGACGCGGCGCAGCGGCGTGGCGACAAGGACGTTGCGCGCAAAACGCTGCGCGCGCTGCTCGACGATGCGGCCGCCCTCGCCGCGGCGCCGCGCCTCGAGGCCCTCGCGGCGGTGCGCCTCTTTGACCTCTTAGCGGGCGAGGCGGAACAGCGCGAGGCCCTCGAGCCGATCTTGATCCGCAGTGCGGAGCACGACACGGCGGCGACGTGGCGCCTGGCGGCGTCGCGCGGCGCGCGGGGCGACTGCGACGGCCAGCGCGAGGTGTTGATCGCGCTCACGAAACGTGAGCCTGCAGCAATCGACGCGGCGCGCGAATTGATAGAGGGGTGTGACGTAACGTACACTTAGCAGGGATGACGTGGCCCGCCGCAATAGATTCGACGCCCTGCCAGGTGTCAACGTCCCACTTACGCCATCGAACAGTCTTCCTTGTGGAAATTCCAGGCCGTTACTTCGGGGGGAAGGGGAGCGAACTACTCGGCCGCCGCGATGAGCCGGTCCAAATCGCGCACGAGCGGGTCCTCCGCCGGGTAGCCCGCGCTCAGCAATGACTCGCGCTCCGTCCGCAGCCTCGCACGCTGCGCCTCGACGTCCACCGGCGAGTGCGCGACGCGACCGCCGCTCGCAAACGCCTCCGCTTCACCAACAGCAGGCATCGGCGCGCCGCCCTCGTACTCCGTCCCATTTACGGCATCGAGCGCATCTTCGTCGAAGACCGCTCGAGGCGACGGGCCATCCCTCGGCTCGACCCGTCTTCGGCGCGGCGGACTCAACTCCTCGACGACGCTCCGAGCCGCGTCCCGCGCTACATTCGCTCTATCCTCCCGCTCCGACGCGTTGCGCCGCAGCGCGTCGAGCTCGGCCTTGATCTGTTTGAGTTGCTGCCGATCACCATCTAGCACGAAGCGCTCCTCCCGGCCCTTGTACTCTAGTCTCAAGGCATCCAGATCGCGTCTAGCAGCGTCCCTATTCTCATCTCTGGCGCGCTGCAACGCTCGAGCCAACCGATGCACATGAGCTCGCAACCGCTCCCGCTCCGCTCGCGCGTCCGAGGTCTCCGCATTCGCCCTTTCTAAGCGAGCCCTTAGATCGGAAGCCTCGGCCTTGGACTTGGCGACTCGAGCAACCAACTCCGCCTCGGGCGTCCGCCGGTGCGCCTGGCGCCAGCGGTCAAAATCAGCATCAGCAGCAGACGCTCTTTTTTCCGCTCGTTCTTGGGCGGCCCGCGCCGCAGACAACGACTTCTCGACGGCTTTCCTCGCGCGCACCTCCGCCTCGACACTATGCTTCGACTCGTCCCTGAGTCGTTTCTCGAGCATCTGCAGGTCCAGAACCTTCGAGGCTCTATCTCGCTCCAACCGAGCTTCCGCGTCGTTCAACGACCGCTCGCGCTGGTCGCAGTCCCGCAATGACGCCCGTAGCTTCGTTTCTAGGCGAGAGTATTCAGCTCGGGACTGGGCGAGCGCGTCCCGCTCGACCTTGCAGCGAGCTTCAGCCTCCTGCTCGACGCGGTGAATCGCTTCCCGCTCCCTATCCCGCAATCGCGCCGCCCAGGCCCGCTCTTCTTCCCTTCTCCAGTCCTCCCACGCTCTCCGTTCCTCCTCGTGTTGGGACTGGGCATCTCGTTTGAGTTGAGCGAGTTCGGCTAAGCCAGGCTGGGGCGCGCCGCAGTAGCGGCACCCGTCTCCAGAAGGTTTCGGTGGTGACCTTCTCGGCGGCGACCGATGAGGGCCTTGCCTCGGTGGCGGCGGGTCCCGCCGCCTCCTCCTTGGTACCGGAGCCACGTTCCCACCGCGCACGCCGCTTTCGGAAAGGTCGTCGTGCTCCTCTTCGCTACTAAAACCCTGGCTGTCCTCCTCGGAGTAAGGTGATTCCGAGGACGGCGAGCGCGCATCATCAGCACGGCCAGCAACAACTCTAGTGGTCAGCACGAGTTTTCTATCGCCGGACCTTCGTAACTCGATATCGGCCTCGCGTCTTTGCGCGGACAAGCGTCGCCATGCCTTCGGTGCTTTATCCGAGAAGCCTCGGCACGCATCCCCATCGAGCGCCGCCGCCAGATCAATTCTGCCAGCAGCGACAACTCTACCTTTGTAGTCAACCGCTTCAACGTCTAAGGGTGCCTCCCGCAACAATTTCCTCACGTCCGTCTCGGGGCCGAACTCGAAATGGGCCACAGCGCCCCGGCCTCGCACCGCTACACTGGTGGTAGCCGCAAAGTCCAGAGAAGCCGTCTCGGCTATAGTTCTTTGGCCGAGCTGCGGGGCGCCGTACCGCAACGACACCGGATCCGTGTTCCCGTCCGACCTCGTGGCAAATAACAGACTAACTTCTAACCGCCAGGCGCCCTTGGCCGACTTCTCGCCACTGTCGGGCGAGTCCGGGGCGTAGCCGACGTCGTCGTCGTCTTCTGGTGTTCCCGCAAAGGCCGGCTCGAGCTCGGCGGCGCTCGGCGCGCCTGCGTTGTTACGGTGTCGCGGCGACGGCGTGACGCTCTGGTTATGCGTCTCCGGTGGCGCCATCGGCGCGTCGCGTCGATCGCGCGGTGTGAGTGAGCGATGGCGTGGCGCGGACGCCATCGACGCGACGTGAACGGACGCTGTGTCGTACCGCCGGCCATGAGCTCCTCGCGCGTTGATGGAGGCGACGTGTACGGCTCGGAGGCCGGCTCGTAGGGCTCGGGCGGCGGCGGCGGCTCGTAGGGCTCGTTCTCGCCAATCGTAGGCTCGACGAGCGGCACTTCCGGTCTTAGCGACGCCTCGCGGCCCAGCGGCCCCTTGTAGGGCGCCGCCTCCTCGTCGGACGGCCCGACGCGCCGCACAGCCGCGAAGACCTCGAGAAAACCCGGTGTAGGTTCGCCGTGCAGCGCCGGCGCCGGCCGCTTCGACGCGACGTCCCGTCGGACGCGCAAATCAGACGAGAAGAAGTCCTCATCTGAACGAGAAGCAGGCCACGCCTGGCGCGGCAGTAGGTCCGCCAGGGACAGTCTTGCGGCAGCAACCACCAAATCGTCTGTACAAAGAAACACGTCCAGCGGCTTGGCGAGTTCCTGGGAAAGTTCATTCACTGAACACCGCAGCCGGAACCAGTCGCACTCGACGGCGAAGCCCGGCGCGTCTAGGGACTCGGAGGAGAACTGTTCCGTCTGGACGACGACACCTAGTAATTCATACGAGAACCAGTATCGAGGTCTTGGTGAGTACGTAGCAGCATCTTCCAGTTCCCGTCCTACTAACTTTCTCAAATCGCCAGCTTTTTCGAGCGAGACGCATAATTCGAACGTCGTAGAACCTCTTCCTAACTGTTTGGCCGGCGGCTCGGCCGGTCGCTCCACGATAGGTGCACTTCGTTTCGCCGCGGCCTCGACCAGAATCTCCGCCGGCGCGGCGGCGCCTCGCAGCTTCGACCAGGTCCTCACGCCTCTTCGCAGAGTCCGGACGTCGAGATTTAGCGTACCCACAGCAGCTGAGTTGGACGGACTGGGGTCCACATTCGCACCGCCCTTCGTGGCGTAGACATACAACTTGAGGAGGGGCGTCTTCTTTTCCGCCCTTCTTAATGCTTCTTCTGAATCAAAACGCCACTCGAGGGAGCCCGTGTCGCCGGCCCAGAAGGCCTCGCCGGCGCGCGCGCCGCGGCCCCACCTGCTTGCTCCAGTTTCTCGGCTCGCGCCGTCGAGCGCTCCTTGCACGCGCAGGCAGACGTCCTCCCTTCTCGTTCCTAGCTTGTCCAAGAAATCGGGCGGCACATGTTTTAAGCTGCTGATCTGGACGGAGACGGACCAGGCGGCCATCTTTTACGTAGCGCTGTCGGCTGCGCTCGGTGTACGCAGCGGCGGTGCGCTCCGCACTGTTGCTCCGCAGGGCTGTGTTCAGCCGGTGCGCCGCGGTTTACCGTCGGCCGAGCTTGTGCTGGTGCCGGCGGACTGCTGCGACCTTACGTACTTACCCTCGCAGGCCAGCACTTTTCTGTGAGGCCGCGCGGCTTAAAATACCGACGGCAGGTGAGAGACAAATTAAATCGGGTTCGGGTTTTTGAAACGTCCGAAGCCGAACGATGCTGTACAGAACCAGTCGCGGAGCCGTCCGCTGCAAGCAGGCAAGAGGACGGAGGCGTTTGTTTGGTTGGAGCGGGTATTTTCACTCCTCAAAGCCAACTTTTTACGAGCCATTGCTGAGCCTCCATAGTTCCGCTGGGCACATAAAACGCAGCACACAAGTGCCGTCGTCGACCACGCAGTCGACGCGCAGCGAAAACTGCATCACGTGAGCCCTGGGAGCCGCACAGCTGCATAGCCCCACAGCTAAGCAGCAGCAAAACGCCGTCGACGCAACACGTGAGTGCTTAACGCCATCGACGCAACACGTGACGCGCTATGGACGTCGCCCGCGTCCGCCGCTTCGCGAGCGCGCTCCAGAACAAAGCAAGTGTGGACCCGGCCCACTACGCGACCAATAAAACAATCAGTGTCTGGTGCGGTACGTATAATGTGAACGGAAAAAAAGAGCAGCCTTTGACCCTAAGCCACTGGTTACGACAGGGCTGGGATGATAATCATGGAGACTGGACGGGGACGGCGCCGGCGTTGTATTGCATTTCGTTGCAAGAAATGATCGACCTGAGCGCGGGAAATGTGTTGAGGGACGCAGTACTAGATAACACTGGTGGAGACGCTTTACAGAAGTGGCGCGTCGACTTCGAAACGGCGTTCAAGTACGTGCAAAGCGCGAGGAGGCTTTGTTTTGGTCCTACGAACGAGTTCCCGCAGTTGGTAGCTCTCGAGCACATGGTCGGCGTCGGTGTATTAGTCTTCGCGAGACCAGATTTATTAAAAGCGCACCAGATCCGGACGGCTCGGATTCCTACCGGATTTGGGGGTGGTAATCTTGGGAACAAAGGTGCGGTGGCCGTGTCGCTGCAGTTAGAATCAACGTCGTTATGTGTCGTCGGTGCGCATCTGGCGGCGCACCGAGGTGATGTTGGTGGGAGAAATGCGAACTACCATTCTATAGTCGAGCGGGACTGTTTCAGAAGGGGCCTTGGCTGGTCCCAGAAGGAGGAGGGGAGCCGGTCCGTGCCGTCGTACGAGAAGAACGCGTGTCGAGATGGGTTTGGTGTTTTAGACCATGATGTGGTGCTGTGGCTCGGGGACTTGAACTACCGCTTCCAGGCCGACGTGCCCGACGAGCGCGTCATCGAGCTCGTGAGGAGGAAGGACTACGCCTCATTAACAAGGTTAGATCAATTATGCGATGCTATGAACAACAACAAGGCCTTCTCGACGCACGACTTCCGGGAGCATTCATTAAACTTCGCCCCTACTTACAAATACGCGACCAATTCGGACAAGTACGACTTCGAATTGCCCCAAGAAGAGCAAGCAAACAGGAAAATAAGGTGCCCCGCCTGGTGCGACCGCGTGCTGTGGCGGGTGGCTCCCACCACACCCCGTTCCGTGGGTGAAGTGACGGAGAGCGTCATCACAAAGGTTTATGAGCGGGGCGACGCTCGCTTGCGCGCGTCGGACCACCGGCCCGTGCATTGTGCGCTGTCTTTGTCGATACGATGCGTCAAGGATAGGGGTGATGCGCATGCTTCTTCCGTGAAAGTGCCCTCTGCGGTACGAGGGTTATGTTTGGAACCTACTCACGCCTCGCTATCACTTACGGTGAGAGAGGTCCAATTGGTGTTGAAAAACGAGTCCGATGCGCAGTCCAATTGGGCCTTTTCCTCGTTACCGGCGTGGGTCGAGGCGGCGCCGGCGTCTGGTTCATTAGAACCGGGCGCGACGGTGTCCATCGTCATCCGCGCGCTCGAGAAGCCCGAGCTTGGGGTCAATAGAGCCTGCGTCGCGGCGCTGAATTCTTTATTGGTTCCCGTCACGCTGCGCGCGGGGCCGGGGCGCGATTTGGGGGCGTTTGTGGCCGAGGTTGGGAGGCGGTGGCCGGCGTTGGTGGAGCAACCGTCGTAAGTTTTGAAGTCTAGCTCCTTGTGTGTCGAAGCAAGCACCCCGGCGTTGAATCCCAACGACGGCGAGCCCCTTGGAGACTCCGCGCCGCCCTCGTCTCTTGCTAGTGTCTTACAGCCCTCTAGCTCAAGCTTTCAAGGCGGCGTAGGGGTACAAGTCGATAAGCCTTGTCTCAGACGCCGCGGGGCGCACCAGTGACGCCTCGTTATAGGACTGATCAATCGCAACCGCAGTAGAAGTCTCCGGGACAGCATATTCCTGCATCCCTCCTGTATCGGCGCTTTTTTTGATCTAAAATTGCGCACGCGTTCTCGCGAAACAGCCGTGATCCGTGCTCGCAGGAACGACGTGCGAACATCGGAGGACCATTCACGGTATGCAATTGGTCGTCGCGGCCATCGCGCTCGCGGCGGCGTCAGCGTGCCCTCTCCACGATCTCGCCGACGCGCTCGAGCGGGGCGTGCAGGCCGCCGGGCCGCACGAGTGGCCCTACGCGGCCGCGTGCGCGGCGTACGCGAACACTACTGAGGCTACGTGGTGCGGGCCGGGCGTGCGGAACTCGTCGGGCCTCGCGGCGCTCAACGCGTGGTCAGGAGATGGCTATGGCGCGTACCGCGTTGCCGAGGAGTGCGGCGCGCCGCTGCCGCGGTGCTTCGTCGACGTCGACCGCGAGGCGACAGCGATCAAGCTGACAAAGCTCATCGATTGGGGCCAGGAGTACGAAGACGACACCGCGCGGTGGGATCGTGAAATTACGGAGATCTGCCACGAATACATCGATTACTGGCAGCCGCACATCGGTGCATACATCGGGCGCGGAGAATTTGTCGAATACGCGTACACGCTATCGCCGAAATTTAATGGCGAGAGTTTTCTCCATTCGCCGATACACATCGTCGACCTTGCAAAAGGCGAGCGCGACTGGGTCATGACCTACACGTGGCGCACGGCGGCCGGCTTTGCTGGCGAGACGCTCGACGGCAAGCCGGAAGAGACGACTATCCTCATCCGACCACCCCTAGTACTACGCCTCCCTATCATTACATGTACATACGAAATAACTTGACCTTAAACAAACTAACGTTGGGGCGGCAGCAGCCGCATGGGCGCGAAGACCCGGGACGCGGCCACGCGCCGCGGCGCGAGCCAGGCCCTCACATTTTCCAGATCGCTCTCGATCTCCGGGGCCGTCGCCTTGTTCGCATGCATCAAAGCGTCCTCCAACAAAACCTCGGCGAAGAGCTTCAGCCCTAGGGCCTTGGAATCGTCGCCGTTCACCGCTAATAACGCGTTGGCTCTCGCATGAGCTAGGTCGACGGTCACCGGGTGAGCCGCACCAAGAGCCCTCAGCGCTCGCGCGTAGCTCCGCTTTAGCAACCCTAATTCAGAACGCGGGTCGCCGGCTCGCGCTCTTGCCGTGGCCAAACAAAGAGCCCTTCTGAGTGTCCGCGGGTGGTCCGAGCCTCGTTCCAGCGTGATCTGTGTTAAAAGAGTCTCCTCCAGATGAATCGCCTTCACATGGTCGCCCTTCAGGCCATAGACCTGCGCCAAATTATGTGTGGCTTCTTGTAACGCATCTCTATCCTCGGGGAAATGCGCCTGGCACAATGCTACATCCGCCCGATGGACCCGCAAAGCGTCATCCAGTTGACCGGCGGAAGTAAGAGCATTCGCCAAGACACTTAAAGCACGCATCTTGTCCCAGCACTTATCTGGTAAACTGATGGAGCCGCGCCACTGGCACTTGGCCAATGCTAATGCCACATCCGGCGCGTGCGGTTGATCACAAACTAAGCACCGGTGCCAGCCAATCACCTTCCCGGACTTCTGCTGGTACTCCCTCGCACACCTCGAGAGGCAAGCCAAGTGCGCTCCACTACTACAAGCACAGCCACTGTGCACGATCCTCGACGTAGCGGCACTCCCCCCACAGATCCCGCAAAACCCCTCGTCGCACCCTCTTCGAGCCATGACCTCCTGCGCCGCGCTTTTAGCGCTTCCATCCGCGTGGCATACTTCCCATCCTCCGATCTTCGCAATTCGTTTACAATCGTCCTTGTGAATGGACCAGTGGCCGCGCTGGCATTCCTGGGAGCAGTACCACACTCTACATCTAGAGCAACGACTGGAGCCTTCTTTGCCGCAGGCGGCGCAGACCGTGGGCGCGACCGCTACTTCTTTGTTGTTGTCGGCGGCCGGCGCGCTGCCCTTGGCCGGGGTGCACTTGTTCGCCTTGGTGCGTGTTGCGCCGTTGGCATCGACCAGGGCGTGCTGCTGGGCGCCTTTGCCCATAGCGCCCTTGCCCATCGTTGTCCGTGACGATTTCGTAGGCGAAGGTGAAAAATGGGCTGCCCCTCAGTTCTTCCGGCAGCGATCGGTTTTTGCAACTACGCGTCGGCAGCGTGGTCGCCGTGGTCCCCAGGGGTTGCTGCGTGGGTTGCGGCAGCGATGCAATTGCGGGACGGCGAACGCGTGCCAGTCTCGACGGCTCACCTGAAGCGATTCGTCGATGGAGGTCTTCGGTCGGGGCGCGCTCCTGCGGCCACGCTTCGTGGCCCATGGAGGCGTAGTGAGGAGTGTGTTGAGCGATGGGAGGAGTGCGCACGCGTGCGGGTTGCGTGGGCTAGCGGTGTGAGGCACTAGCAAGCCGGGGGGCTGCAGCATTTTAGCTCGTGTTGGACCAATATTGCCGCACGGTTCTAGATATTGCGACATTCCGAGCCGCCTGGTCGAGTACTACAAGAATCCGAGCGCGAAATCACGCATAACTGCGGGCAAAAGAGCTGCATTGGTGCAGCCTGCTTGCAGCCTGCGCAAAAGAGCCTCGTACCGGTGCAACCGGCGCACGGATGAGCAGCGACCAGCCGCCATCACTCCGCCTCGAGCTCGCGGCAGCCACGGCCCAGTGGGCTGTGCGACAAGGTGCCGCGCTGCACGAGCATCTGCGATTGGAGGAGCGGGATGGCCGGGGCATTTGCTTGGTCGCAGCCGACGCCATCGATGCGAACGCAACAATCATCCGCATACCTAGAACTCTGTGCGTCACGAGCGACGCCGCGCGAAAGGACGAGGACGTGCGACGCGTTCTTGGTGGAGACGCGCACGAATCTTTTGGTGCATTACTTTTACTGACGCTGAAACTGCTCCAAAAACCGGAAGGCCCCTACTTACAGTACTTGGAGCTTATTGCGGACGCGACGTTACTGCGACCGCCATCCATCGGCGGGGGACCTCTACGGGAGGCCTTGTGGAAGGCGGTCCACGCCCAGGACCAGGCCTTCGACCAAGCCTTCGCGCCGACGTTGCGAGGCGACCCCTGCTTCGGAGGCGTCGACGCGACGTTTTATGCGTTATGTCGAAAGCTCGTCGAGACGCGCGCCTTCCAGCTCGATTCAAATGCCTCATCTAGGATCGACAGCGTGCAGGCCTTGGTTCCGGTCATGGACCTCGTCAACTACGCCAGGGACTGCGGCACTCGTCTGGTCATCGCGGACGACGTTATCGAGTTGCGGGCGACATCTATCTTACAAGGGGAAATCTGCTGGGACTACAGTGGACCTCAAAAGGCACCCCTGGACGTCCTGACGCAGTACGGCTTCTTCAGCACGGGCTTGAATGTGAGGCACGTGGTCCCGTTGAGGTCCGAGGCTTTGGGTCAGCTCTTGGACAATGCCTCAATGGTTCCAATCATCGAGGGCGCCCGCGACACGATGCTCCGGCGCCGCCGCGCCGTCGCCGTGCGGTTTTGTGTTGACTTAGAACAGCCCCCCATCCTCGAGCATCGACGCGAGGCGCCCTCTCAAATTATTTTCTGGGTCGACGCCGCGGACCCGCTGGCCTCGCCGCTTGCTTTAGCGCTGCGCGCGGCGCTCGCGGACGATAGCGAAGTTTTTGAGCGAGATAGGACGGTGAAAGCGTGGGTCGTTCCGATCAACGCGGAGGCGACCGTCACGAGGGCGCTGCGCGACTGTGCGTTGGCTGTCGTCGAGGAGCTCTCCTCGGATACGGGTCCCGTCGTCGAATATCAAAGAGAGCAGCTGTCGAAGTTGGCCGCGCGGCTGGCCTGAGACGCGCCCCCTCGACGCCGCCGAGGCGACGAGGCGCCTAGTTGTAGTAATTTTGTCGTTATGTACAGGTTGGTCTCCCGTGATATGTGCAACCACAAGACGGGAGCGGGACGACTTGGGGGAGGAAACATATGTTCAATCAGATGGCGTACGTCGCGTCCATGTAGTCGTAGTTTTTGCCGATCATCGTCGTCTTCACGATGTCGTAGACCGCGGCCCAGGCCTCGTGGACCTCGGTCGTGTAGCCGTCTCCTAAAGCGTCGGATAGCGTCGCGAGTAACGCTTCACCGACGACCTCGTAATGCGCGGGTTCCACCCCATAATTCACGTGCTTCTTGCCCAGGTTGACCAGGACGGGAATCAATTTATCCAGCTTCTTCAGCATGCCCACGGCCGTATCGACGGTGCCCACCACTTTGGCCGCGTGCTTCCGCAGCGTCTTATTCTCGAAGAGCTCATCACACACATTCCCGCCGGCGCAGTCCTTGAAGCTGAACAACGCCAGCGCCTGCGGCGCGATCCGAAAGATGTGCCTGAAGAGGATGACCCCAGCCGTCTCCGCGACGCCGTCGCCCAGCGCGTCCTTGATCTCCTGCCACGTGCCCTGGACGACCGCGATCGTGTTGTCCAGCGCGTCGTCGGTCGCCTCGTCGAGTTCTTTTTGGTTCGAGACCAAGTCCCCGCCCCCGTCGTCCGCGAAACTGATGCGCGACGCGCGGCTCGAGTCCATCTCGTTCGTCGCCTCTACGAGCGTCTCGAGCGTGTCTCCAGAAGGTGATCTGCCGAGCTCGTCCTTGCCCACCGCTAATAACTTGGCTTTCATTTCTAAAAATTCTTGTTCCGAGACGATGCCCTCTTGTCGGAGCGTGTTGAACTCCCGTAGAGCGGATGCAACCTTGAGGACGTTGTCGACGTCGGACTGCGCCGAGTCCATGGAGGCCGAGCGCTCCTCGCGCGTCGGCGGCGTCATGGCGTAGGCGAGCTCGGACATTTTTTGCTGTGGCAGCTGGTGCTTGTAGCAATTGGTGCGCTGATGAACAGCGGGCAGCCCGATTGCGTGGCGGGCGTGGGGAGGCAGGCGTGCGATACGTCCTGCGCTGCGCCGTCTTGCGATGCCGCTGCGCGTTTTTTTGTCTCGCTCAGATGTCAAGTGATGATCGTCGTGACAGGGAGACTTGCCATCAAACGTAACGCCCGGGAAGCCTCGTTTCAAGGGGTTGGGCGCCGGCGAGCGGTCGCCAGAGCTCGTGGCCCGGCGCGATTGCGGTCTAGGGGTCGGCACCTGGTCTATGGCCACCAGCGCTCTGGAATAGGTTGGGCGCGCGTGAAAGTTGTCCGGAGTAATCTGCATATGATGGGCGGAGTGCCGGTTTCCTGCCCTCGAGCCCGTGATATTTGCTCCGTGCGCTAGTGCCTCTATCTGCCTCTGCGCACGCTAGCTATGGTGCAGCTGCAAGCGCCAGCGTGCCTGGGTTACAGCGGTATTCGTGCTCAAACTGCTGTTGCTGCGGCACGGCAAAAACTGTCGTCAACCAGACGCCATCGATGCGACGCAATGCCCGCTAGGAGGCGATGAAACGACTCATCACTATGCTCTCGCTCCAGCACACCGCAGCAGTCGTCCTCAAGCGCGCGGCAGCGGCGACGCCCCAGGCCTTCGAGCGCGCCACGGGCTTGCGGGTGCTGCATATGTCGCCCGCCGTCGTGGTCGTGGACAAGCCGACGGGTTTGCGGTCCGTTCCGGCCTACGGCCCGACGCGGGCGCTCCTCGCGGACTTCGCGCGGCGCCAGGCGGCGGGCGAAGCGGATCTGCAAGAAAAGTTCGAGCGGCCGACGCGGCGGGACCGGTGGTGCGGCGTGGCGCGCGACCTCGACGGCCTAGCACCAGAGCTGAGAAGGCGCTGGGACTCGCTGCCGCGGACGAAGAGCAAATTCATCAAATTCTGCGGCGGGCCAGCGGGCGGGAGATTGAATCTAGACGAAGCCGAGGACGCCTGGCAGCTTTTAAGGGCAGCGGTCGCCCAGCGCGAAGCCGAGGAGGGCATGGAAGAGTCAGACAGCGTTCTTCGAAGGGTCCAGCGCGAGGCGGGGTTTCCGGAGGCGTGTCCGGTCCATCGATTGGACTACGCGACGTCAGGTTGCTTAGCGGTGGCCCTGACGCAAGCGGGCGCGTCGGACATCTCGCTGCAGTGGCGGAAGAGGACGGTCGACAAGGCGTACGAGGCGGTGGTCGAGGGTACCGTAGCTCGTGATGAAGGTCTGATCGACAAGGCGCTTCTGAGAGTCGACGCGGTGAAGAGGTCGGGCGACCCGTCTCGCGTCGAGGTTGTGGACGACGATGTGCCGGGCGCGAAATTGTCGCTGTCCTCGTACAAGGTGCTCGCGCGGTCCGATCGTGCCACGGTGCTGGACCTGACGCCCCACACCGGGCGTTTGCACCAATTGCGAGCTCACTGCAAGGCGCTCGGCCACCCCATCGTCGGCGACTGGCTCTACGGCACGGGCGACGCGAACCGGCTCTGCCTCCACGCGTCGCGGCTCGCCTTCGACGACCCGGCGCTCGGGGGGGAGCGCGTCTGCGTGGCGTCGGCGGCGAGTTGGGAACTGTCGGAGCCTTTCCCGGAGTTGGTGTATGTTTCGTAAATTGTACTTGCTTTGCTTAGAGCGCTGCCTCGCCACGACCCGCAGCGGGGTCGCGTGACCGCGCGCCCGCCCCCTCGACTTGGGGCCTTGTTTATGACTACTCACGAGAGAGAGAATAGTAACGACGCGTACGCTAGATTTCCGTTTCCACCTCGCTCGCCCCACGCCTTGGCAGCCATACCTGGCTCCTCGGCGGCCGCGGCGCCGCCCGCGTGGAAGGAACTACGGTTTAAGTATCGGTACCCGTGCCTCGCGAGACCTGCAAGCGACGAATTCGGAGTCGTCGGCGCGAAGGCGGCTCAGAACCCTAGTGTGTCGAAGCGCTAGCTCTCAGCAAAAAGTGAGAGCTCACCGACGGAGGTGAAACCTAGGCGACGGTCCCCAGAACGGGCTGGAGCGCGAGTGGATGTACGAGCGCTCCGCTTTGCTCAGGATCATGTACCGCTGGACCCGTTATATTTTAGTCTACAAAGAGGACTCCTATATGTGCTCCACGTATGTGGCCTACTATCTTAGGCCGCGCCGCGGCCGGTGCGCCGCGGCGTCTATCCTACCCCTCCCGCGCGTCGCCGGCGGCGGCGATGCGGGCTCTGGTCCCCGACGGCCCTGGTCGGACAAGCATAGGACCCCCCTAAGATGACTTACTCGACAGTTCACCGGAAGTTAAGATACACAAATCGAATTACTGCCCGGCCTTCATCCGCTCCTCCGCCAATCCTGCAGCATACGCGTAGAAATCCCGGTCCAGGGGCATGCGCCGCGCGATCTCCTCGTTCCAGTCTTGGCGCCACGCCTCCAACAATTTAAGATTGGGCGCCGGGTTCCTCTTCGCACGGAACGCATCAAAATCGGAGGAAGCCCAGCCAAGCGTCCGCTTCACGAGGGGCCCGAAGTCGCCCAGCCTTTCAGTTAGCAGAATGACGCTGAAAGTTCTTCGTAAAACATCCTTGGCCTTTGCTAGCGCAGTTTCGTCCACAACGACCGCCCTCTCGCCCATTCCTAGCAACCGGCGGACGTAGTACGCGTCTAATGGCTGCTCCCGCTCCACAAACCTTCCAAAGGACGGCGCATCATCGGACACTTCCGCGACGTCGCTATTCCCGCGGATTCGCTTCGTCGCAACAGCATACAAGTCCTTCCGCCGCCACTTCCAGAAGTAGTACGAAACGAAGCGCCGCGTCGGTTCCCGCACCACGATGGCATACACGAGCTTGTTTGGGTAGGGCGCTAGAAGATTCGCGCTGCCTGCGCGGAACGACGCCGTCACGCTGCCTGTTTGTGCACGAGGCGCCTAGACTCTCGCGGCCGCGTCGACGGCGTCGAGGCGGCGCGGCATCGCGTCACGCCTTGGCGGAGACCAAGTCAAGTTCAAGTCCAATATTCATTTGATACTCCGAGTCACGGACCGGGGAAGCCCTTCTCCGTGGCCACGAAGCGCACGTCCTGCTGTCGCAGCGTCGCGAACCAGCGCGTCTGCTCCGAAGCACCCATGGTCCACCAGGGCACGCGGCGGCCGCCGAGCTCAGGATCGCCGTTGCGATTGACACGGGCGAGGCCCGCCCGGTTTCCGCGCGCCATGTCCACTAAGGTCGTGCCGCCGCCCTTGTGGACATGGACGAAAACCAGGGTTGCATCATTACAACGATAGAGCCGCTCGGCGCAGGTGCGCTGTGCGGCCGCCGCCGCGTCCGTCAGAGTCGCAGCGAGCGTGCCGTTCGTCGGCGCTGCGCACCTCGTGTCGCAAGCCTCGCCGGCCGTCTTCGGCAGAGGCGTGTGGGAGCCCTGCCACCAAGAGGCGCAAACGAGGAGAATCGCGGCGACGCCGCACCAGACGTAGCGCCTCTGGTCCGGCGCGGGCGCGCGGCGCCGCTCCGCGCCCATGGTCGTCGCGGCGGCTGGCTACCCTAGGGTGGTTTTGGCACTACTGCTGTACAGAAACGCTGGCGCGTCGTAGCGTCCACCGCTGCAATTCGCGATAAGACGCCGCAGTTATTAAGCAGCGAGAGCTTGCACAACAAATGCGGTGATCAAGCAAATAAAAAAAGCTTGCTAGTGTCTTACAGGCCGCTAGCGCGATTTCCTAACGCGGGAGCCCTTGGAAGCTGACCTTGAGGCCGAAACCCCTCAGAAAAAGGCAAAACCCGTGGATTATTTTCAACTTACGCCTCCTCCTTGTTTGTCAACACAAACAAGCCCATGATCGACACGAGCACGTACTTGAGCGCCGGGTAGTCGTTTAGAATGATGGTGACCATCCCGACGTAGCGTAAAGTGCCGACCTGTGCGCAAATCAACCAATGAGTGTGATGCAGTCGATCCCTGGGCGTCGCATCGATGGCGTTCAGCTCATGATTCGTGCACTGGTGCCGACGGCTCGCCCTAATACATCGTCTCGTTCGAGCCACAGCTGCCCGGGCGCGTAGAGGCCTCGGTCGTCGACGCGATTATTGTCTCCTTTCGTGAGGAGCTCGACCGCGCCCGACGCCTTCTCGTGGACCTTCATCACGCGATGCACGATAGGAATATCGCGGTCCTTAATCTTGAAGACGACGACCTCGCCCACCTGCGCGCAAATCAATCAGTGAGAACGGGCGTCGCGTCGATGGCGTGAAGGCCATGAGTAAAAGCAGCGCAACAATTTGATTATATGCGCTGCCGCCCACCCGGATCGGGTTCGCTTGGTTGTTAAGGAACAAGATGTCGCCGCGCTGAAACGCCGGCTCCATGCTGCCGCTGAGCACCACGACGACGGGCGATTCACTCTTCGTCAGGAACATGAGGCCCTTCCAGATCATCAAGGCCGAAAAGACGATCATCGCGAGGTTGAGGCCCTGGTGCAGCAGGAGCCGCTTGTTCTTCCATAGCTTCTTGAGCTCGGCAATCTGGTCCTCAACGATCTCGAGCATCCTTGGCTAGATGCGCGGCCACGGGGCCCTGGTTGTTGCCGTGTGTGCAGCGGAGTGCTTGCAGTGCAGTAGGCGCAGCGGGGGCGCGTTGACAGCGTCGAGCGGTCCCAGCAGTGCTCACAACTGGATACGAAAGCGCACAGGTGGACTTAGAGGTAGCGTTGCGACGTACAAGACGATCGCTTCAGCCAGCCAGCCTGGACAGCTAGCGCCTGTAAGATACTAGCGTTGAACATTTTGGGAGGAAGCTGTATGAAAGAAACAGCACACGCCCGCCGCCGATGAATCGGCGACGCGCGATGTCCCCCCAGGGCTCCGCCCACTAGTCCTAGCACCGTAACAATAATACCGTCAGGCGCTAGCCGTAACATGCGCGCGACTGCGCGACGGTCAGGCTTGGGGCGGGACGATGGGTCGGCTTGGCGGTAATCAAGGAAGTAATCCACAAATTGCGGAGCCTCAAGATAGATAAACACTAATTAGTCAGCAGTCAAGAGAAGTTCGACACGTGGCACGCCTCGAACGGCCGCAGGTTCCCGAGCGACCCGTGCGCCGCCTGCGCGTGGCCCTGGTCCCGTAGAAAGCGCGCCGCCGTCGACGCCACGTCGTCGTACGACACGGCGTCGATCCTCGCGAGCAGCTCGGCCAACGGCAACCTCCTGTCATACGTCAGCAGCTGCCGCCCGAGCTCCTCGCACACATGAGCTAAAGCATCTAATTGCGATATCAGATTCGCCTTCAGTTGAGCCTTGGCTCGTTCTACATCAGACGGCGACATGACCCGCTCCGGCTTTGTTGATAAAGTTGCAAAGTAGGACATCGTCGTCGCGACGGCCTGGTCGACGCCTTCGGGAGGAGCCACGAGATACAGCCCAAAGAGCCCCGCATCTTTATAGCAGGTGTTGAAGGTCATGTACGAGTGGCAACTGTCCGAAGAAGCTAGGGATCGAGCTAGAGCTGCAGGCGCCGAGTCGACGCCGCCCGCGGCCGGATTCAACCTATCCCACTGCCCGACCAGCGTTTGTAGGACCATAAGCGGCACCGAATAGGGCGACGTCCACTCCGCACCATCAAACGCCAGAGCGACATGCGCCCGAGGTTCACTTAAGTCTTCATTACGAACTTCTGTGGGCGTGAAGACCGCCCGATCAAAGTCCACGGGGAAATCGGTCGAAGACGTCGTCGGCCGCCCGGACCAGTGTTCTTCGGCCAACCTTACGACTTCGCCGTGATCTAGAGCTCCGGCCGCGGCGACGACCATCCGAGGCGCGGTATAGTGCGTGTCGATGTAACTCCGCAGATCCTTCGACTTCAGGGTCTTGATGTTCTCCTCCGGGCCCAGGATCGTCCTCCCAAGGCCACCACCGACGTAGGCGGCCTCGTGCAACAAGTCCAGAATGAGCTCCTCGTGCTGCTTGTTGACTTCTTCCATCTCCCTCAGAATGACGTCGCGCTCCCGGTCGACGGCACCACTGTCAAGTAGTGAGTTCTGGAGGATGTCGCCCAGGATTTCCATTCCAACATCAACATCCTTCCGGAAAAGTTTCGCGTAGTAGACCGTCTGTTCGCGAGACGTGTAGGCATTCAAGTGGGCGCCCATGTCCTCGATGGCGACTTCGAGCTGGCGCTGCGTCCGTCGCTGCGTGCCCTTGAACGCGATATGCTCGAGAAAATGCGCGGCACCATTATTGGACGCGGCCTCGTAGCGCGACCCGGCGTCGATCCACACGCCTAACGTGACCGTCTCGCACTCGGCGGGGACGCGTTCCGTGGCCACTCGTAGGCCGTTCTTGAGGGTGGAGACTTCGGTGTATTCCGGAAGCGCGCCTAGGACGGCCGCCGACGATTTGTGCCTTTGTATGACGCGGCGCGCGTGGCGGAGCATGGCTTGTTGCGGCGACTGGCGTCTGGTGGTACTGCGGTGTCGCGGCGACAGGCGTCTGGGGTGCTGCGGTGCTGTCGCAGCGACTCTTGTGGTGGTCACCTCTGCAGCGGCAGCGATGGACGCAGGGCCCAGCGATGGACTCAGCGATTGATGTCGATAAATAATGAGTGCAGAGAGCGCACAACGCGCCTTACCTGCTCTACGCGAAGCTCACGCTGCGCCTGCTTGCTTTGCTTGCTAGTGTCTTACACCGCTAGCCCCTGACGCGCGCGACGCGTGATCCACACGACGACAGGGTCGTCCAGGCCCAGGCTCTCTCGCTTCGGAGGTTACATTGTATTTACGCACTACTCGCCGGCGTTTCGCGGGAGCGGAGCGCGGCTCGAGCCTCGGACAGATTATGCTCAATCGCTTCTGTGATCGGGTGTGCGCCGCCGAGCACGCGCCGCGCGATCCGTGCCACGACATCGAGCGTCGTCACGGCCTCGCGGATATCGTCGAGCGTGGCGCCGCTGGCGTTGACGAGCGCCCCTGCATAATTCGCCCTCATCCTGAGCACGACTTCTTCATTCTCGCCGAGGACGCGTCGCGCCACGGGTATTATTTTCAGAAGCAGTGACTTGGCTTCTTCGAAGCGCTCTAGACGACTAAGGGTGTCCGCGTAGTTGTAGCCTGCGCGAAGGGTTGATGGGTGTTCCTCGCCACTGAACTTTAAACGTGCGGAATATACTTCCTGTCGCATGCGTAGTGCCCGGTCTTCCTGTCCGAGCCTGTAGTACGTGTTCGCAAGATTGTTCTGTACGGCGAGGATGCGTTCCTCTGATACGCCAAGGCGCCGCTTCGTGGCCAACTCGGCCTCTAGCACGGTCAACGCGTCCTCGACTTGGTGTGCAACGTATAGACCGTTCCCGAGCATGTTCATCGCACATAACACTAATGTACCGCATGCGGTACATTAGTGAAACTGAAGTGCAACTTTGACTTCAAGTTCAAAAACCCGCCTCGCGTTCTAAGTTGCATTTTTGGATTTGAGGTGTGTTTTTTTAAACTCGAGTTTAAACCCGGGGTAGGGGGTGGATTTTTGAGGGCCTTCGCGTCCCAGAAAGGACCCGGAAAGGGCCTCCCTGGCGCACACGAAGCATATGTGCTCGGCGTGCAGGGCAATCTTGCAGGCGCGTATATACAGCTCGGACGGATGGAAGAGGCCTCACGGGTGCTAAGAGACGTATACTCCGGACGTTTGAGGCTCAACGGCGAAGAATCTATAGAGACCCTCATAGCAGCCAACAACTACGCGAACGCCCTTTTGAGTTTCAAGTGCCTCAAAGAAGCCAGGTCACTGTTGCTAAAAACGATTCCTGTGGCGCGACGCGTTCTTGGAGAAAGTCATGAAGTTACGCTCAGGGCGAGGGCGACTTACGCGGAGGCGCTCTACAAGGACCCCGCCGCCACGCTCGGTGATCTCAGTGAGGCCGTGACGACGCTCGAGGAGATAGGACCGATCGCGCGGCGCGTGCTCGGTGGGTCGCATCCGCTCACAGCGCTGTTTGAGGATGCTCTACGAAGGTCACGAGCCGCGCTCCGCGCCCGCGACGCGCCGTCGACGAGTGGCTAAGAAGATATACTATGTTACAAAAAACGGCGCACTCAAGAGTGCAAACACCCCGCCAGATCCGCCCGCGTCACAACCCCCGCAACGGAGTTGTCCTCGTGCGAGACCACCACTAAATGCCGCAGCCCCATCGTCACGAAGAGCCGATACGCTCGCGACAGCGGGCAGTCCGCGTAGACGACGTAGGGCGACCGCACCATGACCGGTCCCAAGTCGAGGGGCTGCGGCCCCGACGCCAGTCTTCGCGGCGGCGTCTGCGGGCCGTCCCACCCTGCCGAAGACAGCGCCCGGTCCCGTCGGTCGTCGCGGCCGTCGCGGCGATGCGCGAGTAGAGCCGCGACGTGTTCTCGCAATACTAAACCAGCCAACGGCCTCTTGGATGGGTCCTCGGGCCCTTCATCACTCGACACGACGGGGAACGCCCCATGTGAGCAAGCATGCAGCACCTCCGACGCCGCCGACGCCGTCGTTAATCGAGTGAGCACTACCGGTACTTTCATGACGTCGGCCACAAATTTCCGATCGAAATTCGACGGCACGTGCTTTTCCAGGAACGGGATATTTTTCGAGTGCAACGCCACCTCGTAAAAACCTCTTGACAGTAAGTTGCCGACGAATCGAGCTACCACAGTGGTCGCGACGATCGGTAGGAGCATGTGCACGTTGCCTGTGCCCTCCAGTACGATCACCACCAATGATACGGTCGTGCGTTGGACGCCCGCTAATAATGCGACAGCACCTAAAACCCCTAAATGGCGCTGCGCGGGCGCCTGGAACCGTTTGCTGTTCTCGAACTTCGTGGATCGCGCCGCGGCGCCGCCCAGACACGCGCCGCAGTAGATCAAGGGTAAAAATAACCCTCCAGGTAGAGCGGTGCCGAAGACGAGCAACAACGTCGCGAATGCTAGGCACCCGCAATAGAACAGTGACGAGGCGGAAAACGCGCCTCCAGCTAGTATTTTCTTGATCACGTTCTCTCTCGGAGCGAACCACAGCGACGCGAGCTCGTTCACCTCGTCATCATCACAGCCGAAGCGCACCGCAAAAGAAGAATCAGTGGTCCAGGCGTGGCTGCGCCCCTCGCTGTCCTCTTCGTGTATTTGGACGCATCCTGTTGTTTTTGCCACTGCTAAGAAAGCTAGCGTCGTGATGCCGACGCCGAAGGCCGCTTCGGCGGTTCTCGCACCGACGCGCCACGGCCGCGACGAGTAGGACCGCTCGGCGATGAGTCTACGGATCCTTTCTAGGAGCGCCCAGGCCCTCACGAAGAAGCCTCCTAATATACCACCAACTAAACCAGCGGGAATCGCCAGTACAAGTAATTCTACCGACACATTTGGATCAGAACCCCCTAAGGATATCAAGCCGTAATGCGACAGTTTGGTGAGGCCGATGATGCCGTGGTCCAGCGCCAAAGCGGCGAAGACGGCTAGGGACGACGCGACGAGGCCTCTCCATAAAAGTTTATCGTCCCAGAAGCTCGACGCCTCTTCCAGCGCGAATAGAACACCTCCCACCGGAGCACCAAAGGCCGCGGCGAAGCCGCAGGCGCTTCCCAGCGAGAGGAAGTCGCGCCGGTCGATGTCCGTCCTAAAAAACGACGGCATCGTCTGCCGTAAGCGCACGCCGCCCGTGAGGAACGAGCCTGCCATGGCGCCGAGGTGCACCAACGGTCCCTCGGGGCCCAGCGACGCGCCGGCGCCGACGGCCATAGCTGTGCCAAAAAATTTCACGAGAAAACACTTCGGCGAGAGGCAGCCCCTTACTCTAACGCCGTTGAGGTAGGCCTTCACTACTGGTATTCCTGATCCCGCCGCTCCGGGTGCTAGTAATGTGGTCGCGCCGGCCGCGAGGCACGCGAGGAGGCAGTCGAACAAAATACAACTTCTCATCGTGCCAGGATCACCACCGAACCGCGCCCGCCGGTGCGCCACGATGGCGTTCGTGAGCTGCGACAACGCGACGGCGACGCAGCCCGTCACGATTCCTAAAGCAGCGGTTACCGCCCACCGCCAGAACGTTCTTCCGCTGTAGCCGAGCAGGATGCGTTTCTTCGCCGGCGTGTACTTCCTCGCTTCAGACAGGGAGGCGTCGCTCGTGAAGGGGTCATAATTAAGACTTCCGAAGCCGTCTTCGCTGGTCTCTTCTCTTAGGATGGTGCGCACGAGCTCGAGCGCGCGCGGGTATTGGGGAGGCGGCGGCGGCGTGATCGGTTCAACCTCGTCCTCATCGTCGGACCCCGCGCGGTTGCCGGGCAGCGGGCTGTAGAAGGTCTCGCGGTCTTCATTGTTTGCGCTGGCCATGGCCTGTGAAGTGACCAGCTCCAGTGTTGCTCGCGCACCGGCCTCTGAGCGGCCGTGCGACGCAGTGTTGATTTATGCACCCGAGGAGGTGTGCGGCAGCGCCGGGTCTTGTTTGATGACGAACTGCTGAGCGTTTTTGCTCTGGCATAATTCCTGGCATAATAACTAGCGTATCGACACACTAGCCCCAAAAAAGCACGCTTTGCTGCCGAAGCTTAAGCGTACCGCTCACCGGGCAGCCGAGCGCGGGCAGCCCTTGTCGGACCCGCACAGATCGCGGGCCCCTTGTCGGACCCGCACAGATCGCGGGCGCGGCCGCCATGGGCGACTCGTCAATGAGCGCCAGTGAGTTAAGGAACCGCTATCATCAAGGGGGCAGCGCCGGAGACGCGGACCTCTCCGCGTCGCAGCTGCGGGCGCGCTACGGCATCGCGTCGAACAGGGCCGGTGCGCGACGGCGTCCTTTTCGCGTCGACACGCGTCGCTTCGGCGCAGTGTCGGAAACGCGTCGTTCCCCCCCGCGCAGACTTCTCGACGGGCTGCAAGGACCGGCAGAACATGGCCATGGGCGCCGCGGCCGCCGTCGTCGTCGTGCTGCTTGTGCTCTACTTCTCGCTCGGCGGCTCGTCCGCGGAACCGGAGCGCATCGTCCTGACGCGCGGGTAACTTATGGGAAGGGAGTATGGGGTCGAGGGTACGCCTGTCCGCGAAACCGGGGCGTAGAGAGCTCCCTTCGCGGCGGCGGCGCGTAGAGCTCGAGAGCGCGGGCGCGCGACGCGACGGGCATTTCGGCACAAGCCGGCGCCGCTCAGCCCTCGCCGCGCCGACGAGGCGACTCGAGAGCTCCGCGCACCACTCCCGACGAAGGCTACCGGAGGGTATCTCCGGAGGGTACGGGGTCAGGCAGCTCAGCCGCTCGACAGCTGCGCTGTGCCAACGCCCGCGCCCGCCGCCGGTAAAGGCTGCCCGATCACCAAAGACGCGCCCAAGGGTGCGCTCTACGCCGACGCCCGAGCCCGAGCAACGACGAAGGGCTGCCCCCGAGCGCGTTGGCCAATAGCTCACAGCAAAACCCAATAGCTCGCCCCCGAGCAACGACGGAACGATGGCCAAGCTCCCGGCCATCCGCACGGAAGGCGCCTCGCCCTTCGCGCGCCGGTCCAGGATGCCCGCCGGCTCCTTCGACGAGCTCCTGGCACCCCAACGATCCATCAGCGAACAACCCGTTCGGAAATCCCTGCGGAGGCCCGCCGGCCTGCGGAAACCGCTCCGAGACAAGGACCAGGCCGTCGCCAAGGCCTCGGAGCAGCTCCAGAACAATAGGCAACGTAGAAAGGAATACAAAAAATTGCACTCCGGTAGTATGCGGGATGAAAAAGCGTGTGTGGTGAAGTCCTTATCATTGACGGGTGGCACGGACGGCTTGGACGCCATGGCTGCTGGTTGTTTACTCCCTCAATTAGCTGCGACGCCCCAATGTTTTAGGTATCTACAAACCTTGAATATGAGTGGCACGCGCATCAATGCCCAAGGCGTCAAGTCGTTGGCTACGTTTTTGTCGTCTGGCGAGGACTGCCACGTCAAGAGTTTGCGACTGGATAAGTGCGGGGTCTCCGACGCGTCGTCGGCACTATTGTTCCGAGGTGTAGAGCGAGCTCGTTGTTTGAAAGTCCTATCAATAGCGAAGAATAGGGTGGGCCCCAAAGGTTCAGTAGCGTTAGCTAAATCTATACGGAGTACGCATCTCAAGGAAGTTTCGTTGTCGGGCAACGCGCTACACGGCCTCTCGCTGGGCTTTCTTTGTGAAGCGTTAGCCTACACCACAACCATACACAGACTAGACTTGTCCTGGAACTTACTAGGGAAATGCACGGACGAGCAGGATTACGGGCGAGGCGGCGACGCCCCTCCAGCCATACGAGCTTTGGCGCTGATGCTCGCGACCAATAGGCATCTACGAGCGTTGAATCTCGCGAATTGTTCCCTAGATTTAACAGCTATCGAAACCATCAGTGAAGGTCTCCGAGAGAACACGTCGCTCATCTCCCTGAAAATCAACGACGGAAATTGTGGGAAACTCGACGCGAAAATGTCCGTGACTCAGTGTCTGTTTCTGACGTTTTCTGAACTTCAAGTTCGCGTCGATGGCGTCAACGCGACGTCACGCCACCGCGACGCCGTCGACGCGGCCGCCAGAGAGTCGACGCGCCTCGCGAGACGGTATCACTCGACGCAGGTTCCTCGAGGCCGACGCGCCGTTGCAACTCGGCGAGAAGAAGCAGGTCGACCGGGGCCATCGGTGGTCTGAACCTGGTTATAGAGAAGTAGAGTTCATGTTCTCGCCGTCGAGCTGCGCGCAATTTGACCCGTCGCGACCCTTGTATTTGCACTTGGAATGCGACCATTGGCAGGCCGACCAGCTGGACCTCATGGAGCCCTTTGGCTTTGTAAGGTTCAGGGTGCTGCCGCCGGGGAAGCAGTACTACTTTTTTTCCCAAGGCGATCAAGTGCTCATTGCAGATGACCATGCGTCAGAGATCCATCCTAAAGTTCATTCTCGTCGGAATTACGTGGAGACCACACCTGGTCATTTACTCAAATCGATACATGATTTAGATCATGCCAGACCGAGGGATCGGGACTGGGCTGACCTCGAGCAGACGCCGTGGCTCGTCGGCAAGTGTCCTTCGTGGTCCATGCAGCACGCCTTCGTCGGGCGGCACCGGCAACTGTCGGATGCCGAGAAGGGGGACCTGAAGAAGACGAAGGCTGATCCGAGGTTGTTTGCTGTTGTGCCTCCGGAGCGGTTCGGCAAGACGAGTCAGCAGGCCTGCGTGTTCGATCCTGACAGTGTTTTTAGGGACTACGAGTTGTTCGATTCTCCTGGACGTAATCATGCGGCGTCGTACGAGGACTGGTGTGACATGAAGTTGACTCGACTAAGATTGGTACCGGAGAGCGACGAAAAGACGGCCTTGGATGGTTTACGATCACACTACGTTCTACTAGCATCATTGTTCCAGCACTTGCGATGTGTGGAATACCCGAACCATCGCACGGAACTCAAGGATCATGTGGACCTCCCGACGATGCTTAAGCTACTTACTCGTACTGGATTGGTCGTACCCTCTACGAGAGTGCAGACGCCCCACGTCTCGCCCGGCGGCGCGAAGGCCTACAAGGGCAAGGTCAAGAAGCGCAATGCGCGCAAGAAGTCCCTCGGTTGCGAGCACTCGTCCGAACCGATAGATACCAAATCTTTGCGGGAACTGTTCTACATCGTAAATGTGTCCTTCGAGGAGCACATGGCCGACCCCGACGAGAAGGAGTTACTTGATAGAGGGGAGTTTGTGGAACTACTCTGTAGACTAGCTTTGCTGAGATATGCGGATCCGGCCGAGCCTGATGGGTTAGAATTACCTCGAGCATTAGATTTATTGATAGAGAACCACGTCGGCCCCTACGTCGACCACCTCGCTCAATCAAGTTCATTGACACCATCCACAATAGGTAGAAATGACGGCTTTCGAGTCAAATTCTTTTATACGCCTCAGACCGATGCTGTATTGACGAAGTACGAAATGCACCTGAGACGCATCTTCCGCGACTACGCCTGCGGCCAGCACGCCAAAGATCCGTTTGGAGCTGCCGAGAAGAAACGGCTCGCTCAGTTGCACAAGAAACCGAAGAGGCCGGAGCTCGACATCTTCGGCGCCGACTCAGCGCAGAAAATGAACTTGAACCTGACGTGGTCGCGGCGATGGCGTCGACGCGGTGCCGCAGCGCCTCGACGCCGTCGATGCGGCCGTCAGAGAGTCCACGCGCCTCGCGAGCGTGCCGCGGTCGTGTCGCGACGGTGTCGTTCCCACACAGGCCAAGAAGTCGAGGAGGACGAAGTTATTTGTCAAGTGCCGAAGATCCAGTTCGCTGATTTACTTGAATTAGTAGTGCGGACCGGAGCTTTGGATGTCGACTATCTGCGGCCCAAAAAACAACCACCGTCTGACGGTCTTGGGAGAGGTCGAGTGACGGAATATGAAGTGTTGCAAGACGCGATCAAGTCCGAACTCCTGTCCATCGACGACAAGGGCGCTGGAGCACAAAATGCGTCCCTAGATTTTGGGGAGTTTCTGGAGTTCGTGTGTCGACACGTCTGGCGCTTGCATGTGTTGGAGGGTGCTTCCCATGACGCAGGGCTGGCCCACTACCATTCTAGATTGGACCACTGGATCGAGGCGTTGTGTGGCATCCTCTATTTCGAGGACTCCCATGCGGAGCTGCGGGCGAGGTATGTCAGAGGGGCTTTACCACCCACGCCGCAAGAATCATCAAGGCCGCAACCGCAGCTCCTGGCCCAGGCCTCCGCTATTAATGTAGCAGCCAAATTAGCCTCGAAGATGCGCGGCCGCAAGTCGAGCATCGACTCGTGGGCCTTTGCGCCGCCTGCGGACGAGTATGACGAGGAAGAGGAGGAGGAGGTTGAGCCGGAGCCGGAGCCCGCCAAGCCCCCGCGGAAGGCCGCGAAGAGACAGACGAAGAAGAAGCACGCCTACCAGACGAACCCCTACGCGTTACCCGCCGGGCCGCTCCGGAAGACGCGCAAGGAGAAACCGAGACGCAAGCACAAGGACGGTCCCGCGACCTTCGAGGGCTTCTTCGTCGAAGGTGGGGAGGACCTGCCTCCTCACTCTCCCATAAGAACGCCGAATCGACCGTCCCTCGACGGGCTGCCTGCTGCTTCTGATCCTAGAACTCCTGGTGGAGGCTTGAAGGAGGAGTACCTCGACGACGAGGAAGAAGATGATGAAGAGGAGTACGAGGAGGAGTACACTCAACCGCTCACGGCCGCGGCCGACCCCCGGACGCCTGGGGGCGGTCTCAAGACCCTGAGCGAAGAGGAGTTCGAGGACGAGGAAGACATGGAGGAGGAGCTGTCCCTGACGCCGGCGAAGCCCATCACGGCGGCGGCGGACCCGCGGACGCCCGGGGGCGGGCTACGAAGTGCCGAGGAGTCCTACGAGGAGTCCTACGAGGAAGACTAAGTATCATGTGACTGACTCACTTACGCGGGGCTCCTGAGAAAAGCGTTGCGTCGATGGCGTTGGCAGCTGCGTGGGCGTAGGGGCCATCGGCACGCTGACGCATGGCGTCGCTTGCAACAAAGTACTAGTAGTCCGCACCGTGTGAAAGGGGGCGGACGCCAAAGTGAGAAATTACCGTAGGTTTTCTCCCTGAATAGCTTGAACCCGGAAACTTGCTACGAACATACTTAAGGTAATGACTAATATTCACGCAAAACAGGGGCTGCAAACGGTGGGGGGCTTTGGGGTGCGCCGGCCGCGGGCAGGCCGCGGGCCGGACGGCGGAGACTCAAAGTTCCAAATCGACGTCGTCGTCGTCCGCATCGTCGTCGTCCTCCGGTTCCACGGGCTGGGCCATCGTCCTCTCGGCCTCCTCGTCGCCGGGAAGGTCGAATTCGTCCTCCGGCGGGTCGTACTCGAGCAGCACGTCGAGGAGCTGTTCGTCCTCTGCCGCGATGACCATGGCGGGAAGATCATACACACAATAGGTCTGGGTGTCCTTCTTGTCGTAGGACCTGATTTCAGCGCAGATCTGCGGCGGATCAGTGTCGTCGACCCACTTCATTCCGACGATCTCGCCGGCGAACCGGTACTCGTCGTCGCGAACACAGAGCCCAACCCACTTCTCTCCTAGCACTTTCCCGCCGTCCTTCTGGTAGCGGGCGGCCTCCTCGTGGTTCTCCAGCTCCGCTCGGACCACGCGAGCCCCATCGTCCTCCTTTGCCTTCGGCCGGCCGCGCTTGGCCTTAGTAGTACTACTACTTCGGATCGCCTCCTTCCGCATCGTGATGCCGTCGCCGCCCTTGTACTTCTTCAGAATAGTGGAGAGCGGCGGCGGCTCCTCCGCGTCCACCTCGGCGATCCTCACCAGACCTCGCGAAGCCGCGACGGCGGTCTGGACGGCGACGCGGCGCCACGGCGCCTCGTCTTTCTCTAAATCCAGCACCGCCGTCCCCGAGCCGCCTTCTCGATGAGCTGCGCGCAGGAGTTGCGCCTCGGGCGATGGCTTGCCGCCAGCGACGAGCGCGGACTTGAAGAGCGTGCCCGCGAGGCCCGCGAGGTTCGCGAACATCCGGCACGTGTTCTTGTCCTTCTGGAGCAGCTCGAGCGTCAGTAATTGAAGCCGTCCGGCGGTTACAATAGCAAAGGTAACCACGACGATGCCGTCCACGTTTGCTGGTAGCGACGTGTCGATGAAGTCCCACGCCATCGCCTTGATCGACTTGTACGGCACGACGTATTTTTCCTTCCCCAGGACGTCGAGCTCCAGGACGCCCTTGAGATTGCTCTGGCGGCACTTGATCGTCGGCGTGCCCACTTTTTGTATGGCGGCGTGCGGCTTTGAGTGGACGAGCTCCCACGCCGCGTCGCCGTCCACGATGAAGGCCCGCGCGACCGGGAACGCCTGCCCGTTGCCCGAAGCCCCTTCGCGCTTCAATAAGTGCGGCGCCGCCATCGCCATCTCGAGAATGCTGCGGCCCTTGGACGCCTTGCGCCCGTACTTGGCGCGCACCCACGCGTCGCGGAACGTCAGCTTAAAGTTTTTGACCGTGACGTTCGTCGCCGCCGCGATTTTTGTCAAAATCTTCGGCGCCTCGCCGACCCGTGCGCGCCTCGCGACGCCGTGGTCCTTGTCCCGCTCAGTTTGTGTCTTCAGCACAAACGCACGCTCTTCCGTCTCCTCGAAGTCCGCGAGCGCGGCCCTACGACTCTCCGGGCTCTCGTCGATCGTGTTCCGGTAGGTGCCAACGCCGCGGTTGAAGGTCCAGGACCGTGCCCGGTCCTGCAGGATCGACGCGGCCAGCAGGATCTTGCCCAGGTGACGCGCGACCTTAGAAATTCTAAGGTGCTTGTCGACGCCCCGCAGGATCGAGTGCATGGTCTCGTTCGACGCTGAGAACGGCAGCGTCGACCGGAGCTCGTCCGTCATCTTGTTCTTCTTCATCAGCGCGAGGATGCCGGTCATGGCCTCCTCGTTCATCAAATACAGCTCGTAGAGGACCTCCGAGATGAACCCTCGGTACCGTTGCGCGCCGCGCGCTCTCTGGTCGATGTTCTCCTCGCACTCCTTGTGCCATGCACGCAGCTCCGCGTTGAAGGCCCGCAGATTCCTAAGATTCTCCTCGAACGTAACTTTGTCGCCCTTCGCGTCGACGCCACGCGCGACGCGCTCGGACTTCGCGATCAGATCGCACAGCCACGCCGCGCCGTCGAGCCCGACCTGTGTGCGCATAACGTTCGACGCCATCCCCACGAAGACTCGATCCCCGCGAATCGCGGACGCGGGACGGTGCCTCGCGAAACAGGTCGCCCATCTTCCCGCAGAGGTGGGCCGGCTTCGAGGCCATGCTATCTTTTGGATCCACTACTTCCATCGTGGCGAGATCAGCGAATTCCTGGTGGAACTCTTTGGCGCGCTGCTCCCCGAGCTTATCGGTGAGCGACACGTCGTCGACGCGCGAGTAGGTAGGGTCGCCCGGCTCCGAGAGCGTCACCTCGCCGTTCTCGGTCGGAACAATGCCGCGCAGCCGCGTCAGGAGGATGTCGAAGCGAATCTGTTGGCCCTTGGCCAAAATCCAGTCGCCCCAAAAATCTCGTTTCAGGCCCTTCGTGTCGTGCTGGTCCATGTCGGACCCCGACCAGAACGGCAGCTCCTCGGCCTTTTTCACATTCTCGAACAGCGGCGTCTTGTCGCCGGAAGATTTCCCTTTGATTATTTTCCACGCGTCACGATTCGGCGACGCGCCGTCGCCGCCCGCGAAGATCAGCCACGAGCCCTTCTCAAAACACAGGCGGCGCAGCTCCAAAAAAACGTTTGCGATGATCTTGCCCGTCTCCTCATTAAGAGGCACGACTCCGAGGCAAATCTCACAATTTACGTTCTTGCCGTTGAGCGCGTGGAGCATGACCGTCATAAGCTTCTTCGCAATGTCCTTGCCGCCCAGGGCTTTATCATCGTCGAAGTCGTCCTTCCCACGGGCCGCGCCCTTAAGCCCGTCCGGCGACGCGGTGCCGAGCACGACGTATTCGCCGTCGATGTCCCTCACGACCTCCAGGCGCGACTCGCCGTGGACACAGTCGAAGGTCACGCCCAGCGCGAGACCCTCGGGGCCGCCGAGCGTTTCTAGAGCTGCGTCGACCATCGACGCCGAGACGCTGACTATCTCCTTGAGCGGGAACGGCGTCGCTGCATATCTTCGGAGATGACGCGGGGTTGGAACGCCCGGCAGATTCTGCAGCATCCCATCAAAAAACTCGGGCACGCCGGGCAGAAACCGCTTCGCGCCTTTGGCAATAGCACCGCCGCGGAGCAGGTCGATGGCCGACGTGCCCACGACGGTCCAGTAGACGATCCAGAAGCGCAGCACGTCTTCACCCTCCGGGTTGCCGTGCCAGGCGTGCCGTCCGTACTCGAAGATGTTGTTCATGATCAGCACGTGCCGGAAAATAGTCATCAGGACGTTGTAGACGAACGTCCCGGGCTTGCAATAAGGTCTCATCCTATCGAAGAGCTCCGTGAGCAGGTCCTTCTTCTCCGGCGTCGCGGTCGACGTATCAGTCGAGACGCGCGCGCGCTTACTGCCGGGCTGCACCGGAATCGCGGTGTCGTCCTCGTGAGTGCCCGTCACCTTCAGGATGGTGTGGAGGAAGTCTCTCTTATCGAAACCTGTCTGACCTACGTGAGCACAACCGGTTAGATCAAGTTATTGATTTTCACACAGGTACTGACAACCATTCGAGGGCAAGAGGTCCTTGACATGTGTCCTGGCGATCTCATACATGTGATCCTCGCAAACCCAGGTCTGCTTTTTCGTGCCATAGACGCAGTGGGGGTCGAACGTCAGCGTCCCTTTATTGTTGGAGCGCGTCCCATCGTTCACCATCCGCTCTAGCTGCGTGATAGTGGCCTCACAAAAAACCTTGTTCGGGCATCGCTTGCCCGAGATGCAGCAGCAGCACGACTTCTCTTTTGGAGGAGGAGGCAGCTGCGTCGTAGGCGTCGCCTTCTTCCTCTTCTTCTTGGGCGCGCCGCCCCGAAGCCGTAGTCTCATGTACGCTACGACCACGGGTGCGGCAACGACTTCATCATCGCTATACTTCCGTCCCTTGGCTGGGTAAATGAGCTCGACGTCAGCATCAGCAGCGACCCCGAGGCGGTCGAGTACTTGCCTAGCAGTAAGACCGTGCCGCACGAACTCGTCCGGTCGAAGGCATTTCTTCCCTTGCACGAAGAACTTAACCCTGATGCCCCGGTCCGGGTCCGATAAAGGCAGCGCGGCAGCGCCCACAGGGGCGGCAGCGGCTCGGTACACAAACGTAGGAACATTTGAGCTAACGCAGAAGGCGGAGCCCAGCACGAACACGACGAGAAGAAAGATGGGGGGCCCATACACAAAAACAGAGGTGAAGAGATTGACGAATAAATCCAAGAGAGATGGTACAAATACTGTACGGCTGCCGCCGGAATAAGCACTGCCGCTGCACCCGGCTGTAGCCGCAGCACAACTACGAAGGTGAAATAGGTAGTAGAACTGCATTTTGGCTGCCCGCGGCCTCGCGGCCGCGCGCGCGAGCCCGCTCTCCGGCGGCACAGACCCGCACGGTAGCCTCTAGTTAGGGCTCTCGTTTACACAGACCGACCTCTCCGTAAGCCCCCCTGAGCTCAGCCGGCCCTTAAGAGGGCCCTACGAGTCCCCCCGACCGATCCGCCTCCTTCGGGCGCTCGGTGGAGCGAATCCCTATGGTGGCGTCCGGCCCCGTCCGTGTGACTGGCAACGCCACTGGCAAGTGCAACGCGCGAGGCCTAGATGCACGCCATCGCCGCGACTCGCTAACACCACGAGCACGCCGTCGCCGCGACTCGCCAATGTATACGCACTCCTTACGCGCCCCCCCTACACGCCCTCCTTGTTCCGGCGCTCCATGAGTGATTTCATGCTTGGGTCGGCAACATTTTGAGGTCCGCCCCGGACTTGCGCCCGTGCTCCGCCAGGAGGTCACTCAGACGCTTGAGGTAGTCGTGCTTCGTGTACTCGCCGTAGTCCTGGTTGCCGGTCCCCTTCGACACCCTGTAGCCAGTAGGGGCGTACGGCGACCAGCGCGGGATGCCGTAGCCATAATCCCGCATCTTCTGCGCATTTAATAAAGGCTTGCCGATGACGGGTGTCACGGGTCGCGACGAACCAGCCGACGCCGGCCGTCTCGTAATATTCACGGCCTCCTTCATCTGGTCCCGCTTCGTCCGCCGCATCGCCGAGGCGGATTTGGGTCTATTGCGGAACTCCGGCGCTTTGAAACCGGTCGATGACTGGGCGCCTCTCCTTCTTCCATCGTTCTGGGCGGCTCGTCTCGCGTACGGATCGCATCCCGCAGGTGTGGCGGAGCGGTACCTCCCGGATCGACGACTGTAGCGTTTCTCGTTTCTGTATAATCGCTCCGACGCAGACATGGCCTCGCGCGGCGTACATTGTCTACTACCAGGACGAAATGTCGCGGCATGCGCACTCGGCCCGCTCGTCCAGAACTCGTCGGGGTGGCCCTGCCAGTGCGTCTTCCTAAGCTGCCCGCTCCACTTGCTCTGGCCCCACTCCGGGTGGTACATTGTCTATCGCGGTGGCGCTTGCGGCCCGTGAGTGGTTGCTTGCTAGGGTGTGGAGCTGCCCGGCTGTTGCTCCCTCCAGTCCGCGCGGGCTGCCTCTCGTGTCCGCGTGCTGCTGCTGGCTGCTGCCGCTATGCGCACGTTGCCTGTCCTTACGGATGCGCCCCGCTCGGATGGCTCTCGCGCGTCGCGTCGATGGCGTTGTGGAGCCTCGCGCTGATCGCGACTCGCGCTAGGTGTGTTTCGCCAGCAGCTTTCTACGGCTCCATACGCATCGCTACCGGTGCCGCGGCGATGTTCGAGCTAGGTGATGTGCGCACTAGCTTTGTGATGCGGAGGAGAGGCAACCAAGGGCAAAGCTTGAGCACCAAGCGCTACGGCTTGCAGCCACACTCGCCAGGCTCGCATTCCTTCGGCTCGAAACCGCTGCGACAGTTTTGTCAGTCGTACGCAACCGCTGCGCGACATACGGCCGCACAGCAGTAGAGCAGCGGCTGCAAGCGCCGTGCGACGCGAAATCGACGCAGCGCGAGCGCTATGGGCTACAAGGAGAACGTCGGGCGCTACTCGCCTAAGGGGATCACGCTCAACTTATTTAGTCTGTGCGTTTTTGTGACGCCGATTATTCTCACGACGCGCGGCTTCCAGGAGTGGGACTGGCTCTGGAAGGTCAACGTGGGCATGTTCCTCGTCATGTTCGCGACGCCGCCCTGGGGCTGGAAGAAGCCCCACCCCTATTCGGACCAGCGGCACCTGCGGTCGCGGGGCACGCAGCCGGGGCCCTGGTAGTAGTCGTGGACTAAGTATCGGTAACACTCCAACGCCGTCGTGCCGTTCGAAGGATTAATTCCGAACCGAGTCGTGTCTAGAACCACACATCATCTTACTCGTCCTCGCCGCGCCGCGCCTCGAGCAGCAACACCCACGGGCACGCCGTCGACGCGCGTACTGCAAACCACACATCACTCGTCGTCCTCGTCACGAGACCTCTTGAGCGCCTTGACTTTTCGAGATTGCAATTCGTCGACCTTTTGATTTCCGAGGTGGAGCCGGCCGTGGACCTCTCCTAAATCGGTCGTCGAGCGGTTCTTCCGCTTCTTGGGCTTCAGGCCCTTGGGCTGTTTCAAGGAAGCCTTCCACAGTTCTAGTGACGGCTGGTGGTCCCGCCGCATTTTCAAGGATAAAGGCGGCCCGGACACCTCCAAGCGAGTATCAGGCAAGGACCCCGAGCCCTTCTTCAGTCGTAACCGATGCGGTTGTAATGATATCGTATCTTCCCTGAGACCAACCACCACGACCGTATCAATTCCCGCGAGATTGATGCGATCGACGTCCGGACCCCTTAATAAATCCTGCAGGAAGTTCTTCACTCTCTTCATGATCGGATCGGCGTCGAAGTCCCCGACGAACACTGTACAAGGCTTCGAGCCTAGTAGCTTCTCGCACGGACCGCCAGCCTCGACAACTCCAAATTCGAAGGCGTCCAACAAGTGGCCGTCGTGCAATCGTCCTAATACCAGATTGTCGGGCCGTTTTTTGGACGACGACGCGATGGCGAAGAGCGACGCGTCGTGGCTCGCGCAGAGCTTCTCGACGCTACTGCAGTCGTCAAAAGGCTTCAGGTCCTCGCGCTTGCGGTCGAGGACCTTCGAGTGGGGCTTGAGGAGTAACGCTAACGATTTGAGAGCAGCTGTTGAAGACGTGGAGGTCTTCGAGCCTCTCAGACAAAGGAGCGTTTTTGGGTTCTCGCGGAGCTTCGGCGCTCGGCTCTCGAGGTGGCGCTTGCCGGCGGGCGTGACCTTCTGGCCGCCGAAGCTTGTGGACTTGGCCTTTTTGGGCATCTTTGTTTTGTTCGGTGATCGCTGCGGCTTGTGTGCAGCTTGTTGCAGCCTCGGTGTGAACTCTGTGCGGCGTGTCTGAGTGCACACCAGTGAGTCAGCGCTGCGACGGCGTGACCGTGCCTTGCAATATTCACCTCTAGCGATTGCAATTGCTAAGCAGAAGTGCAAAGACGGTGCTTGTTTTGGCATCGCCTGCTGATGCTTCTAGTGTCTTACTGGACGCTAGCTCAGGCTCGAGCAGAGCCCTGGAGGGCCGCTACCATCGATTACGGACGCAAAACCACGCCCGGGGCTTTGCCCGCGTTCGAGCTGACGTCCAGAGAGAGCGCGCAAGTTACCTCATCATCTAAGACTTTTTTTCAGTGGGGGTGCAACACAATCATGGCCGAGTTGGACGCCGCGGCCATGGAGCGGTTGAGAAAAGAAATGGGCGAGAAAGTAGAGATCCCAGTGCCGGAGGGCATGATACCAGTCCACGACAACAAGGCGACCGCCGTGTTGGCCGCCCCGGGCGATCTGGAGAGGTTGCGCGAGAGCATGGAGCCAGAGTTAGTGATGAGCACCCTGGTCGATCCGCTCGCCGTCGTGCGGCTGACGCCCTTTTCGGCCATTCCGGAATGGGCCAACCACTCAACCTTTTGCTCGATCACGCGGACGGCGGATGAATTGTCGATCGTAACGTGCTCCTTCGACGTGCCGGCGACGGAGCAGCGGGAAGGCCCGTTTACGGCATTCATGGTGCACGGCCCGCTCGACTTCGCCCTGACCGGGATTCTGAGTCGAATCGCGACGGCGCTCGCGCGCGCCGGCGTCAGCATCTTCGCCATCTCGACGTTCGACACGGACTACGTGCTCGTCCCGAGCGCGGACGCCGACAAAGCCCGGAGCGCCCTGACGGCGAGCGGGACCTGCCGCTTCACCGATCCGTAGCTAGGGTTCCTAACTCGTGTGAACTGACTTCAGCCCACCTCCGCGCCATCGACGCGAGATCGAACGACAGGGAGACGATGATATACTAAAACATTACTGAAAAGGGGGTCAGGTAGTAGCGACGCGCTTCACGGGCAGGCCCTTGCGCCGGAGCATGTCCGCGTAGGAGAGCTGCTTCCGCTCCGGTTGTGCTGGTGGCGGGTCCTCCGGTTGGGGCCGCTCCGACTCGGGGTCGACTTGGACCTCCTCCTCCTCGTCGGACGACGAATCATACACCGTTCGCACCTCGAGCGGCAAGTCGTCGCGACTCGTATGTCTGAGACAAAGGTCCATGCCTTCCGTCCGCAGCGTCCAGCAGTTCACCCTCGCGCTGAATTCGCGCACTTGGGGCGTCAGGTCGACCTTAAACTTCACGCCCTCCTTGTCCGTCCGGAAAACAAGTCCCACGAAGAAAGATCTCGTTTTTCGCGCACCATTCGTGTTCTCCAGAGGCGTGGCATGGACCCTGGCTGGCGTTTCTAAATCTAGTGCCACGACGAACTGCCTGAGTCTAGACTCGCACCAGGCCGTCCACCTCCGTAGGGCATCATCGCTGTCGGCGGACACGTCGACTTGCACGTAGTGTCTATGGGCCTCGAAGAAGTCCGACGGCCGGAAAAACCTCCGCCAGGCCCGCTGGAGCTGCTTCGGCGTCCGCGTTTCAGAATGAGCGAGTTTCTGGATCCTCCGCGTTTCGGATCTACCAAGCGTCAGCTCCTCCTTGATGGCTCGCAGCTGCGGCGCGCCGATATTGTACGACGAGTTCATGGATGGGTGCGCCGGCGTGACGATGGGCGCGAGGTGGGCGCGGTCGCGGGGGTTGAGCCTGCGTTATCGAGCGTTGACGCCGTCGTCGCGACACATGACAAAGGGACACTGCATAAGCACCGCGGGTTCCACGCCCGCGCGTCGTCGGCGGAAGGCTGCCGCAGCATGATGGGGTTCGGCCACTCCCACACCTCCATGATCCGGAAGAACTTTTCCAGCACGACCGCGGGGTCTTTTAACGGGTACTTCTGGCAGACGAAGGCGACCAGGATGGCGCAGTTGATGCCGCCCAATAGCCCTAGCACATTGCTGTAGAGTCCTTTGCACCTAGCCCATTTTTTGATCGCTCGTAGGGCCACTCTAAATACGCTTTGATCCGGTACTAGATCAAGCAAGTACTCAGCTACTCGGGCACCATTCAAACTCCGCACGGACACGTCATCGAGACCGTTCATCAGCGAGTCGTCCATGATATCTAGGGGCTCAGGTAATTTTTCTAGGTCTAACGGAGCAAACAATAGATCTACGTCCGTCGTACTCATCCGGAACTTCAATACGGGCGTGTAGGCGTCCCTGACGGGCATGACCCTGCCTTCTCCTACATCCTCTCGGTTCTCTAAGCGCTTGGCCAGTCGGTCGAAGAATGCTGTTCTAGTACAATGCCTCGGCGCTACTAACACAAGATCAATATCCGCGTCGGGCGTGTGGACATCTAATTTAACGGAGCCAAACGTCCTCAGCTCGCATCTAGGTGAAGAATCATGATCATTCCCCTGCAGGAGCCACTCCTCGCGGCACCAGTGCTGGCACTCGGCCGCGACGTCGTCGATCAGCGAGGCGCGTCGTCGCGACCCTTCCTGCGATTCGTAGACACCTAGAGCTTTCAGGACCGTGACTAGGGCGGCACTCGAGTCCTCGTCGCCGTCGTGGGGCGGCGCCTCGTCGAGCGGCTGGGTGATGCCGTACTTCGAGGCGTCGGCGGCCATGGCCCTCGCGCCGCGCCGCCGGCGTTTGTGTGTTTGTAGTCTCGACGGCTGCTTTTCCGCGCCGCCGGTCAGTGGTCGTCGCGGCGCCGCCCGGAGAACGCGCGCCGCTCCGGGTCAGCGGTTTTATGAGTAAGCCCTAACTAAGGCGCTGCGGCTCGTCTCGCGCGCCGGCACGTAGAGCTCGTCTGTCTTTCGATCTATGCGCTGGCTGCGCAGGTCGACACGGCGTTTACGCGCAGTGCGGAGCCTAGGAAAGCCGGTAGCTAGCGCGACGGCCTCGACGATTGCTAGTGTCTTACAGGCCGCTAGCCGTCGACGCGACAGCCCTGCCGGCACGCGTGCGCCGGCGAGGAGTCGCACGGAGCGCGTGAAAGCGCACGCTAACCGCCGTGCGGGGTGCACCGAAGAGTCTGGCGTGAGGCAAAGCCAGCGGCCACGCGGGGCGCCCCAGACGGTCGCTGGCGCGGCAGGCGACGGTTCCTGACCCCCTCCGCACGCCTGATCAAGTTTGACGCGCGCGGACGGCGGGGCAGCGGCTGCCCCGACTTTGAGGCAGCCTACCCGACGCCGCCGCCGAGACGCGATGGTGGACGAGGACCTCGAGCGCATCAAAGCGCTCGAGGTCCTGGACGAGGACCTCGAGCGCATCAAAGCGCTCCGGCTCAAGGCCGCCGCCACATCAGCGCAGGCCGACGACGAGGAGCGGGACCGCATCGCAGAGCTGCGCCGGCGGACACAAGGCCACGCCGACGAGGACCTCGAGCGTATCGCGGCTTTGCGCCGGCGGACGGCGGCGACGCCCTCATGGACGCCGGAGGACGACGAGGAACTCGCTGCGCTCAGGCTCAAGGCCGCCGCCGTTGCCACCGCCGCCGCGCCGGACGCGATCCGGCGCAAGGCGCCGCAGGAGCTGGCCACGACGGTCACGCCCGACGGCAGTTTTAATACCCAGGACGAGGCAGACACGCCCCACGCGTCGCGCGACGATTTTGCCATCGAACGGAGCATTGGCAAGGGAGCGTTCGGCGAAGTCTTCCTCGCCACGTCCAAACAAAATGGCAGGACCTACGCCATCAAGACGATCCCGCGGGGCAAGGCCGGCGACGAACGTCGAGCGCTGTTGGCGGTCAAGCACCCTTTTGTTGTCCGATTACGGTATTGGTTCGATGGTCCCGCCGACACTTGGTTAGTGATGGACTACGCGCCTCGAGGCACGCTGGCCTCCCACCTCGAGAGAAGGCCGGGGCGTAGATTGCCAATCGCCCACGCGCGGTTGGTGAGTGCGGAACTCGCCTCGGCTCTACTAGCACTACATGCGGCGGGCGTCGTCCACCGCGACGTCAAGCCGTCCAACGCCGTGTGGACATCAAATTTCGGGCGCCCCACGCCATCGACGCGACGTTAACCCAACTCACTGGTTGATTTCCACACAGGTCCAACATCCTCGTGGACGGCGCGGGGCACTGCCTGCTCGCGGACCTGGGCCTGGCCGCAACGCGTGCATCGATGCGGCTCTGTGGCACTTTGGAGTACCTGGCACCCGAACAGCTCCGAGGCAAGACGTACGGGCGAAGTGTGGACCTGTGGGCGCTCGGGTGCCTCACGTTCGAGACGTTAGTAGGGTATTCTCCGTTTTCCGCGGCTCGCACGCGCGCCGTCTTCGAGGGCATACTGCGGCACGAGCCCTACTACGTCGCGTGCGGCGATACTGACGCCATCGACCTCGTGAAGGGGTTACTGCGGAAGGACGTTGAAAAACGCTTCGGCATCTCCGAAGATTTATTGGGACACGCCTACTTCGCTGATGTGGACCGGTCTCTGCTTTATCAGAGGCGGCTGCCGCCTCCACTTAGTGGGGAGGACATCGTTCCCCAGGAATCTGTCGGGTCGTCGGTGGTGCCCTGGCCGTCCGTCGGCTCGTCCATCGCACGGGAGACGCCTCTGCAACGAGAGGCGTCACCAGTGATCGCTGTTCAGAAAAAGCACCACAAGCGCCAGAACCCGCTCGACCGCGCGCGGCAAGACCCCGCGTCGAAGCCGCGCGGGCCACCCTTGCCACCCCGTCCAGTTGAGGAGCAGCCCGCGCTGCTAGCCGCAGCGGCGACGACGGCGGCGCCGTCGCGCGAGCGGCCCGTGGTCGACGCCGCGTTGTTCGTGTCCACGGACGAGCTGCGCCTCTGGGCGGACTCAGATGAGGAGAATGGACCTCCAGTGTATCGAAGGCGGTCGGGGACGCTCTTCCGGCACGAACAGCTTTTGACGCCGGAAGCGCCGCGGCGGCGGCCTCCGAGGCATACCGTTTAATTTAACTTCTGTAGTAATAGGGCCACGTGACCTTGTTTGTCGTTCCTTCCTTAGGACCTTAGTACGCAATTCCGCGGGGGTACCGCGGCCGTCGGCGTTGGCCTTTAGAGTGGCGCTACTCCCGCAGAGCCGTACCGGACTGCTCCAAGGAGTGAATCTGGATGCGTCTAGCCCCACGGCTCTCGCGACGATAAAACAAAACAGGTTTTACTATTGACTTGGCCATTGGATTTTCGCGCTAAATCGACCGCGCCAGCAAGAGCGCGCCGTCGCAGCGCCATCCCTGAAGCCGCGCAACGCGCCCTGTGCAAGAAACCGGCGCCGCGAGCCGCGCTGTGTTTATTTCTCTCGGAGAGCGCCAAGTCATCTCAGCGCAAGCGCGACGCCGCGTACGCCGGAAAGCCGGCGCCGCCGTCGCGCGTCGTCATCAAGCTGCCGCGCTACGACTACGACGAGATCATCGACGCGCTAGAAGGCGAGGAGGACGACGCCGCGGACTCCGACGCCGGCGAGGACTACGAGCTCGCGGGCTGACTCATATATATACCCTTCCTTCCCCCACACGTCTAACTTTATACGATACAAATTATACTAGGCCCCAGCGAGTTCGCTGGGTCCGGATCCCTGAACGACGTTCTCCAGCGCCCGCGAAAACGTGATCGACGCGCCGACCACAAACAGCTCCACGGCCAGGTGCGCCGACCCGAAGCCGACGGCGCCGAGCTTCCCGAGGCGGTGGCAAAACATGATCTCGACGGCGCCGAAGAGCGAAGCTGCCGCAATTGATAGTCCTAGAATCAACCGCCGCACGGACCGGTCCGTCTTCGCGTCGCCCGTCTGGCAGCCGCGGATCGCGTGCGCGCCGTACGTGACGCCCGACACGAGTCCAACGTAGTCGCCGCCCCACGCCGTCAAGAGCCCGTCGCCCACGAGGTAGGCGCCGAGGCGCCGAGCCCCCGCCCGCGTCGAGTTCAGCGCGCGGGCTAGCTGGAAGAAGCCGAAGATATAGAAGTAGTGCGAACCAAACCAGGCCCACGGCTTCTTAAACTCGTGAGCAAGAAAGTGCGACGCGTGCCACAGAAAAATCAAGAGGAAGCCGCGCCCCAGCGCGGCCTCGCGGCCCGGCTCGTCGCTCGCGCGCGCCCGCCGAAACGCGCGATATGCGAAGACCATCTGTGCACAGCCATAGACCGCGACCGCCGCGGCCGACGGATCGAGCGCAGCACCCGCTGCCCCTGCATATTCACAGACGTCTTCCGGAAAGCGATACGACCGGCACCAGCGCCACGCCTCGCCGAGCGTCCGCGGATCGCGACCATTCTGCAACGCTCGCGGCGCCAGCGCTCCCGGCGCGGCCGCGAATTTCAGCCATGGCGCGCGCATCGATGGACTGATGCGGCGCATCGTCGATGGCGTGCGCGTGCGGCGCGGCACGACGAGTGCTTTGCATGCACCGATGCTTAGAACGCATCGCATGGCTCGCATTGCTGTGCAAGGCATGGCTGTGCAAGCTGCCTTGGTACGTGGATGATCTGGCCAAGCAGCGCTCCGCAAGTTGATGGCGTGCACAAATGATGAGTTTTTCTGCGTCGTGAGTGAGCTAATCCGACGAATGGCACCAATACGTCAGAGGCAGCTGCGCTGCGCCTGGCCCAGGCGCAGGTCGGCCCTGAAACTGGGGGGCATTTAAACGCTGCCCCACGCACCAACGACAGCACGCGAATTGCTAGGAATCGATGAGCGGCCGCTCCCAGGCCCGCAAGAGCCAGCGCGAACTGCAAAACGTCTTTACGGCTGGTCGCGGAGGCGCTGACCAGCGGTTACCTGCCGCGCCTCGTTCGATCGCTTTGCCAGCGCCGCCGCCAGCGCCGGAAGGACTACCGATGGCGGAGCGCGTCGTCGGCGGCACTGCGAATGCGCCGGCGCCACAAGCAACGACTTCGGAAGACGTCGCGGTGCCGGGCGCTGGGTGGGCGAACGGCGCGCGCCAAGTGCAGAGCACATTAGATGGCGGGACGGTGGGGGACAATCCGGAGTGCTCGTGCAAGTGTCTTCCGGCGCGTCTGGATAGGAAGAACGTCAAGTTAGGGTGCATGCACATCACGCCGTTGAAGACTGTCGACTGCCCCAAGTGCAACAACTCGAGAAGCAAGAAAGCGCACTCGATTGGCTGCGACAAAAGCGAATATTTTGGCCTGACGCACGGTGAGATCGCCTCGAAGAAGGGGGGCAAGGACCCGTTCAAGGGTAAGATAACGAAGAAGGACGCCAAGGGTACGGCTCCTCTGTCCTTCTTCAAGAAGCCTCCCAATCCTCCGACGGCTCCCGTCGCACCGCCCGCGGAACCGCCGGCACCCGCTGCACCGGCGCCGGCGCCTGGAATGCTCAATAGACTTAAGGCGGCGGCCGTCGCTCTCGTGCGGCCGTCCAGCACTAAGCGTGACGCGTCGACGGCGATCGGAGATGACACCGTGGGCGAAGAGGACACCGCTGACAGGCCACGGCCTTCGTTAGCAGAAGAGACTGCCAGTTTGGAGGCCGAGGACGACGCCACGCCGCGGTTGATTCCAGAGCTCGAAAAAATCATTCATACTACTATAGAAAAGTGTCCACGCGTCCGCTACGACGACAAAGAGCGTCATTTCACCGTCTTCAAGTATTCAGGAAGTTTGAGCGCCGATGAACAACGCGAATGTTTCGCACCTGGCGACTTTAGGGTGGTTTTTCACGAGACCATCGATACCGGCGCCGGGACGCGGCCCAGCTACATAAAACACGCGCTACGTGGTGTTGAGGTCATATTTCTGCGTCCGGACCTTAATCGGTACGGCGACGAAGAGGTGGCAGATTCCTTGCGTTGCTTTGGGTGCCGGGGGCGGCTACAGTTCTCTCGGTGGACTTATTCTAAGCGTAAGACGTGCAAGATGATCCTGACGACAGGTCGTCCACACTTCCTCGTCGAGGGGTCCTACCAGTGCACTGAATGCAAACAGATCTATGGAGCGTCGCAATATGAGATGCGGGTGATGCAGCCGCCGCGAATTCAGAGCGACCTGCCGGTCGACACGGCGTCCACTGTTTGTCTTCTGGTACATCGAGTCGATCGCGACACAGTGGACGCGGCTCCTGCGCCGGCTCCGTCTAAGTCAGGCGACGAGAAGAAGAAGAAGAAACTAGCGGCCGTTCGGAAGTACACGGGCTGCCCGAAGTGCGACTGTGGGAAGGTCGACGAAGTAGAAGAGGAGAACAAGCGCCGCGCTAACAAGGTTCCTCCGATGGGCGGGCTTCGCGGGAAGACCGTGTGGTGCAAGGACGACTGCACGCAGTGGAAGTGGATTGTCCAGCAGGGTTACCGGGAACCACGGTCTACAACGTGATTCTTCCGGTTTCGAAGTTCGCACCGTGGTGAATACACCACGGTGCGTAACGCCGCCATCAGCAGTCACGTTCGCGTTCGCGCGAGAGCACTTGCTATGGCCGCTTTTTGTTTGCTCCCCCTTACTTGCTACCGGCGTGTCGCCCTAGGCCTCCGTTATAGTAGTAGACCCTATTCATGGCAGCCCCTTCCCTTCGATAGATACACGCCGCGCCCCACCGTTGCTGGAGGAACATCCCCAGGCCTCCGGCGCCCACGGGCGCCTCCGGCGCCCCCCTCCCTCCCCCCTTCCTCCCCCCCCCCGACATGCGCCCCCCCCCCCCACAGAGCCGGCAGCTTGGACTGCAGCTCCAAAGGCTTGCACTTGCTAGTGTCTTACAGGCCGCTAGAACGAATCGATCAGACTCGATTCTTACGCGACAAGATCACCCCAATAATAACGCGCTCGCTTCACGTCGTCGATTGACCACGGCCACCGTCGTTCGCCGCGCCGCGTCGCGCCGTCGCCCCTCGCGCCATCGCACTGGCACAATCCGAAGCCCTGTAGTCTAAATTCGCGCGCGCGGCGACTTACGCGTCCCGCGACCGCTTGGCGTTCCGCCGGTTGTTGTCCTCTGTGCACGCGCCCGGCGCGTATGTAGCGTTCGCCGCCAAATCTTCCGCCTTCTTTAGTAATTCTTGCATTTCGTCGTATTCAGGGTCGGACTCGGGAAGCCTTCGGAAGTACGCGTCGCGTACCTTCGCGAGCCGCGCGTCGAGTTTGCGCGCCTCCTCAGGGGAAAGAGATACCGCGCCCTCCGGGGCGCCCTCATAGCGCGCCGTTGGGCCACGAACGACATTTTGATCGGACTTGTCCATCGGTAATGGCCACTGAGCGAGCGCTCGCAAATGGCGCGCAAAGACTCGACCGCTCGAGCTAGCGTCCTGTAAAGACACTAGAAAGTAAGGACCAGTATCTTATGGCACCGTAACAATCAGAGTAGAAGCAAAATTACGGCCCCATGAACCCCCCGACCTCCGCCACCAATAAAGCGTGGTCGAAGGGCCACTGCGCCGTCGGCATGAGCATCTCGATCGTGTCCCCCGACTTCAAAGAAGGGAACTGCTCGACGCCTCGTACCAAAGGCTCCATCTTCTCGCCGGCCTCGTCGGCCCGCCAGGCCACGACGAAGTCCTTCAACGAAACGTCTAGAACGCCCGCTTTCTTCACTTGGGTCTGCAAGCGCGACCTTCTTTTCGCGACGGTCCGAGCCGCGGGATCCGAGGCCTCCTCGGCCATGATGCCACAACTTTCGAGAGCCGCCGAGAAGGCGTCACTATCACTGGTATTGGAGTCCATGCCCAGGACAAAGGCAGCCTTGTCCGAGAAATGCGTCGAGAGGGCCCTCGCGAGGGCCGGGACGAAGGCGTTGCCCACTTCCGAAGCGCCCTTGCCATGCACGGCGCACAAAGCTACGGGCACCGGTCCGGAGCGAGGTGTGGACCGCAGTCGGAACGAACCCGCTCTACGAGTCATTCTGTCGACGGCCGCCCAGCGCTTCGGTAACAATGAGGCCGACTCCGAGACCTCCGTCCGTAAGCGTCTTGCTTGGACGACGCAGGTCCTTTGGAGCGTCGTCTCCCAGTCCTTCAGGAGCTTAGGGTCATCTCCGTACAGCTTTCTACCTTCCGCCTCCAGTGTGAGATACCAGGCGGGCTTCTCCTCCTGATCTTGGATGGTCTGGAAGGCGTCCCGCCTTGCTAGTACCGCTGTTTCTCCACTCGAGTTGATGGCGTATTTGTCCGCGAACATCGAGTACATCCGATCTGTTAAAGCAGATTTACCACCGCGAGAAATCTCCACGAGGTCATACGCCTCCTGCAGACAGACGACCTCCGGGAATTGCAACTCAGCTAACAGCTCCACGAGCTTCGTGTACTTGCCCACTTCTGTCGTGAAGTGCAGCCGATCGTGGAACGACAGGTGTTCGCGCATGATATCTCCACACGATTCAGATGAAGGATACATCCTCCTGAGCGCTTCAAAACACATCGCATCGAAGATTAACAACCCTGCAACAGCATCACCTAATGATACTGCATACTTTTTCGCTCGTTTCGCCCAGGCCGCCCAGTCCTGGTCCGACGTGGAGTGCAACCAGCGCAGCCAGGCGCCGAAGAATTGTTGGACAGAATCGTCCTCGACGTTGGCCTCGAACTTGAGGAGATTTTCTGGCATTTCGAGGGGCGCCGGTCGCCCCACCCGCAGCGACGCCAAATTGCAGGCGTTGAAGAGCATGGGGCAGTCGCGCGTGACCCTCTCCAAAGCTTGCTCCCACGTCGCATCATTTAACAGGGAAGTAACAACACTTTCCGTGCTTCGCGGCTCGGACGCCATCTGGGCATACGCCGCGTCGACGGCTCGCTCCAGCCCTTGGCAGGAAGCCGGCCCCGCCTCGGCCAAGCAAGCATTCGCCTTCGCAAAGCGCTGGCCCCACTGCTCGCCCAGCTCTGTTAAATCTCCTCGCATCTCGAACTCGAATGAATTGGTATTGCGGCCGCCCACGTTTAACGTGCAGACCGTGAAGACGGGGGACTCGAGTTCCGGGCGGCCGTCGTCGGACTTGGCCTCGGCGTCCATGGCTGGTGTGTGGGGCTGTTTAGGGGCTGCCCGGGCTCTGCCGGGGCGCGCGTGTGTCCACGGCCGCGTCGACGGCGTGTGGGCTGGGTCTTAAGCGTCCGCGCCGCCAATCCGGTGGCGCAGCGGGGGTCGCGGCACGCTCCGCTCTTGCACAGCGGCCAGAGCCGGGCGGCGTCGCGGGTGCCTCTCTCTTCAAGCCGTCCAAGCGTGCGTCGACGTCTCCGGGGCCCCGGCGAGCGATGGCGAGGCCCTTACTTGGAAAAGGCTCAATAAGCTCTCGGGGCAGCGGATGGGCAGCGCTAAAAAGGGCTGCCCTCGAACGCCAGCCGCCACGCGCCATTTGCAACTCAGACACGCATTTCTGAGAGCCTCACGTTAGCTTTCCAGGGGCCCGCGACGAAGGACGCGCGCCGGCACGCTGCCTGCCAAGCAGCACCATGCCGCTCCCAGTGTTTGGCACGTCCGTCCGGGACAACAACAACTGCGGCAACTCATTCATAGGGACGCGGTACTTCCAGAAGTACCCGGCGCCCGGGAGGTATGAGACGGGCCGGACGACGCTGAACACATTACCTTTATCGAGGTCTAGGACGTCGGACTGGACGCGGAGATATAGGAACACGCGGTCCATGGAGGGCACGCAGGCCATGCTCTCGCTAGGAGGCGCGGACCGCGTCGGTAGCGTATCGGCGTGGAACGCACCATTGCGTCGATGGCGTCTTAAACCCGCGATTCCCACACAGGCGAGAAGGTCGGCCCGGCCCCAGGCACCTACGAGGCGCCGCCTGACTCGTTCGCCAAAGCCATGTCGCGCCGCAACACCTGGACGGCGGCCTTCGCGGGCCGGACGTCTCGGTTGCCGCCGCCTCGCGATGCGAACGGTACTTACTTGCCCAGATACGGTGTCCGGGAAAAACGTTCGGTGAGGCGGACCCTGCCGCCGCGCAAGAAGAAGTGGACGGACACGCGACCCGTGACGGCGCCGACGCCCAAACAGTTGCCCTACGAGCCGCCGATCCTCGACGCCGTCGACGACGAGGAGCCCTCTTATGATTTCTTCGCGGCGCCGACCCGACGGCCGCCCGCCTTGGCAGAGTTCACCCTACCAAGGGACCGCGTCCGCCCGCGGGAACGGCCCGTGACCGCTTCCGAAATCATACAGCACCGTAGGGCAACCAACGAATTCAAGGACGACCTGCGAGCTGTGAGAGCCTTGAACAAGTTCAAGGTCCCCAAGTCGAGGACGTCGATCGTAGCCATCTAACTTACACTCCTATCTCGTAGTTAATTGAGTCGCGTCGGCGGCGTGAGTTCTGGGTGGTGAGTCGTCGACGCCGCCCCGACGCCGCCGCCGCGACCCGATCGTAGACTAGCGCAACTCGGCCGAGAGGATCATGGGCTGGTCCCGCAACTTGAACCGGTCGAAGTTGCGCCCGGCGCCAAAACTGAAATGGCCGCCCGGGAACCCAATAACGTTCGCCGCGGGCTTGCCAAAATCATATTTCGCGGTGTCGTAGACCGGTCCCGGCGACCGCGACTGCTCCTCCTTGAGCCCGAAGAAGTTCCTTCCCGTCAATGGGGCGCTCTTGCCCTTGGGGAAGCGCGGGAAGTAACTGGCATCCGTGGCAGAAACGATCAAATCCTTCCTTTTGCTCTTCGCGAACCCGAGCTTGACCCGGCCGCACGTCGGGCCGTTCGAGTAGATCCCGTCGATATTATAGTCCGGTCCGGGAGTTTTATTGCGACCATATCTCTCCAATCTGGAAGAGTAGCCGAACTTGATGGACGGTGGAGCCCTCAAAGTAACATTGAGCGGTGGATTATAATTTCCTGGCGAGGCGTAGGGGTTGTACAAATCTCTTTTGCTCTTCATCGTGTTCTCCCAGTCCGACCTGGTTGAGGTGCCGAAGGGCGTGCCGCACCGCGACCGCGTATCAGGTAGTTGATATAGCGCGTCCGTTTCACTTACGGTCCGCTGCCACTTCATGCGCTCCTCGCCCACATCAATAAAGGCGACGTGGCCCGTCTTATTTGGTATTCTTTGATCCTGCTTGACGCCCGCATACAAGCGGGGCTGCTTTTTTCGGATGATGGGCATGGCGCTAGGTGCTCTGTGGCAGGGTGCGGGCGGGGCCGCGGGCGCTTTTTCGACGGGGGCAGCTTTGGATGGGGCTGCGGGCGACGGCTGGCGGTCGCGCGGGGCGCGGGGGCAGCGCGGCGACGCTTTTAGCGCGGCGCTCAATGGGCTCTCACACGGCGCTGCATCTCTCTAGCTTTTTGAGTTCGCCTCATTGCTTGGTGGTCCGGCAGCCAAGTGTATCGCCTCGGCGAGGCCTGCGAAGCTTACAAGGGGGTTTCCTCGCAGGGTCGGGTTCGGGCAGCTTTTGGCAGGTGCGCCGCACGTTTGTATAGCGCGCTGCCTCGCCGGTTGCGCATCGATTAACTCATTGCGTTGCGGCATCGGAACGAAGCACTCGGGCAGCCCCGAGCCATGGCACCACCCTAGCTGTGAGCAACTTAGCACTCACACAAATGAAGCGGGCAGCGCCCTCAGCGCGCTTGTTCTTCGTCGACGAACCTGACGGCAGTCCCGTCGCGTCGACGCGACGACTGGCCGACCCGCCGTCGCCGCCGCCGCGCCAGTCGGTCGCGCGAGACCGAGGCCGGGCGACCGCTGCGGCGCCGACGGCGCCAGTCGATCGACGGCCGCTTTCGTCGGGTCCAGCTGCCAGTAGAAGTCCACGTTCACACCTTCCGCCGGTGGTCGCGCCAATCGCGGTCGCGCCGGCACCGGCCCCGATTGGAGCCGCGGCGCCAGCACCAGCCCCAAAAACACTACCCGAGGCCGTGCCGGGCCTGCCGCCGACGGAGGCCGTGCCCGACCTCCCTCCCACAACTCTGGGCCGCTTCTCGCTGCTCCAGAAGCAGCTCCAAGCGCTAGATGAGGCCGCGGCGAATGAAAAAGCACAACAAGCCTCGATCCAAAAGAAACTGCGCGAGGCTAGAAAGGAGCGGGACTTGAGATCCACAAAAGCCAAGTCGTACCGGCGCGAAGCCGCGCTGGCCGCGATCGCCGCGAAGCGACTGGAGCTCGCGATGGCCGACGAGGCCTACGCAATCGCGGAACAAGCCAAAAAAGAAGCCCGTGTCAAACTGGAGGTCATGGACCGCGACACCGTCGTGGCTACGAAGGAGCAGTTCCGCGCGACGGCTGCCATCAGAGAAGCGGAACGGGCCAAAAAACATGATGCTGCCTTGGCGTCAATTGCCGCGGAGACCGCGTCTGTCGCTTTGGAGAAACTGGCCGTCGAGCATGAGTTAGCTCAATTGCAACTGCAGAAGCGGGAAGCCGACCGGACCGCGTCGTTGTCCACGGCAGCATTACTCGAGCGGGAGCTCGGGGACGAGCTCCGAGAGGCGCTGGTGACGTCGGCGGGCTTGGCCGCGTTGCCCCCAGAATTTCCTGGAGACGACAAGGAAGCAGGTCTGGAGCTAGCCATGGCCTCGGTCCTGTCCTCGACGGATGTCACGCCGCGGGCGAAGACCGCACCCGCATCAGAAGATCCGGAAACAGAGGCAGAGAACTGTATAGCATCCTTCGAGGACCGCGTCAGAGCGCTCGAGGCGGAAGCTGCCAAGTCGCTCGAGGAGGTCAAGTGGGCCGAGGGCGCCCTCAGTGGCCTGGAGGACATCGAAAAGGCCGGCGACGAGGCCCTCGACGCGGCAGCTTTGGCGCGGGCGCAGAAGCAAGATATGGAGAAGCTTGAAAGAAGGGAGGCCGAGACGTATGGCCACGGCGGCGTCGGCGAGTGGGATGATCAAAGGGGCGCGTTGATCAGGGTTGTGAGAGGTGTGGTGCTCGAGCTTGGACGGGAGTTCATCACCGAGTTGATTGGCGAGGTCGCGCATTCGATGCATGACGAATGCGACAAGGCCCGTTCATTGATTGTTGACGCTGTGAAAGGTCTGGTGGATGGGCGTGATTTGAGGACGCTGGAACGGGCGCGCTCTGAGTTATTGATGAGGAATATGAATAATGAACGGGCCGTCCCGACAAGAGCCGCGCGACGGTTGGCATCCATTGAACCCACTCTATTATTCCTGCCGGGACTCGATGGTTGCATCCCAAAACCAAGCTTGAAGACGGATACACCTTTACCTCCGAGGCCGCGCCTTTTAGAGTTAGGCGAGCCCGTCTCGACGATATGCTGTAGTCGAGGCGTCACGGTCACTGATGATGAGTCTTCAACAGTCTTAGTAGCGGTCGGCGGGCGGCGCGGCGGCGTCGCCATTGGTTCGGTGGCGCATCGGCCGAACCCACGCTATGTGGACGAGGACGACGCCGACGAGGTCGTCGCGTGCCTGCGAGACACGATCTATCCTACTACATCATCTCAAATCGTCGCCCTGGGTATCGGGAGAAGACGACGGCGGCTTTGTGCCGTCGACGCGAGCGGTCTGATCCGCGTGTGGCGGTTCGACCTCTCACCGACGCTCCAGGTCAAGAAAATGGAGCGAGAAACGCGCCTCGACGCGTGGACGCTCCAGGCACGGTGCCGGGACCTTCAAGCGCCGGTCTTCGTGCGCGTCGACGACGACGACGAGCTGTGCGAGGCTGGGTGGAAATCAAATTTCGGGCGCCCCACGCCATCGACGCGACGGTGTGTCCCTGACTCTGCTCGACGGCGTAGAGCTTCCACGCCATCGACGCGATGCCATAACCTCGCTCACTGGTCGATTTCCGCACAGGTTCGAAGGCGAGGACGCGTGGATCCGCCGCGACGACGCGCCTAGACTATTGGTCATGGACTCGCATGGTGTTGGTTGTAGGTGGCAGTGCCTGCCGGCGCCGCCCCTCCCACCTCAAAGGAAGGGCTGGTTCTGGCAGAAGAAACGTGTTGCCCCGGAGCCGAACGACCGCGGTGTCGTGTTAGAACTACTCCGAGGCGAGGGGGGAAGGCCGCTGTGCTGCTCGACGAATGTGTCCGTCGATAGCTACGGCCTTGTGAGTGTGTGGCCCGCCTTTTCTGAGGGTGATGCCGACTGCTCGGTGCAAAGGCGAGTGTCAAGTGTGGAACCGGACGTCCTCGGCCGCGTCGTGACGGCGGCTCCTTCGTGTTCAGATAGAGACGCTTCAGTCCTATACGATGAGGGGCCACGAGGGACGGCCCTCGCGCAGTGTCTTCGTGGCGACGCGGTGGCCCAGGCGGCACCAAATGTATATATGAGAGGTGGCGCTACGTACTCGTCATCCGTACGGGACGGGGCGCTGGTAGCATTACGGGAACGGGTCGTCGAGCAGAATGACAGCGCGGAGGTCGTCGCTGCCGCGGCGACCGCGGACGGCGTCGTCGTGCTGTGCCGAAGGTCAAAGCTGCTGACCGCGGCGGTCGTCGAGTGTAGTTCTACAGAAGCGCCGCGCGTCGACGCGAGTAGAAGTGTCGCGCTCCGCGGCGAGGTTGCGGGCGACGTGACCGTGGCCGCGTGCGCGGGCCGCGTCTTCCTTAGAAGGGGCGAGGAGCTGCTGGCCTTTCGGAAGGGGCGGGAGGAGTTTTCCGTGCGCGTTGGTGGAGGCGTTGCCTTGGCGGCTTCAGAGCCGGGCGTCGTCGCGGCGGCTTCCGGGGACCAGGTGGCGGTCTTCGACGTGAGTCCTTGTCCTGGGGGAGGGGTGTTCTAAAAGGTGTGTTGTTACCCAGCCGGCCGCGCCCCACGCGGACTCCGTGTCAGGGATTAGCTTTTCGTCGATGACGTGCTTCGGCGTCCCTATGCGCCGTAGCCGAGAGCTATCTTGTGTTCGGCCGGCTTCTCCCCTGGACAACGACGACAGGAAGGCCTCCAAAACTGAATTAGCTAGCGGGATGTAAGGCACTAGGCATCCCTAGAAACTCCAGCTTAGATCGCGGTCGACGATTGGCTGCCCCACACCGCGGCTAGGGAGAGCTGCCAGCAAATCAGCCTGGGAGCGACACCCAGCATTGCCCGCACGTGGCCGCAGCTGTGAACGAGAGCCAAGGGCAGCCCGATGGAGTGCGTTGGCATCTCCTGCTTTGATCCGGCCGGAGAGCCGGAGGAGGAGCTCCTCGCCGCGGCGCCCGAGGAGGTGCTGCTGGGCGCGTGCGAGAAGGACTGGAGGACCGAGGCGCCGACGCGCGAGTCATTGATGGGCGCGTGCGCGCTGTGCCATCTCGTGTATTGGTGGCAGGGGCCGCAGCACCGCTCGCTCGCTTCACTGAGAGAAGACGCGTTTAAGAATGAAGCGCCCGCCGCGCTCGCGCCACCTTGTGAAAAGACGGGGGGCGGCGGGGCGTACGAGTTCCAGGACCGGAACCAGGTCCACAAATGCGTCAAGGCGGTTTCTGAAGAACTCCACGACGAGGCGCGCGTGGCGCTGTGGCTCGACGCGATCCACTGTGGTGTGATCGTGGAGCCGGCGCGCGTCGTCGTCGTCTTCCGCGGAACGGTCGACGCGGACGAGCTCCGGGACGACGCCAACATGCTCCGGTTGGTGAAGTTGCGCAAGGGCGACCGCGCGCGCGTGCACGCGGGCTTCGTGGCGCACCTTAACAAACAAAGCTGCGGCGAGAAGCTACTGGCGATAGTGCTCAAGGAGGTGGCCGCGCGCCAGCCGTGCGAGGTGCTCCTCACGGGCCACTCGCTCGGCGCCGCCGCGGCGACGCTGCTTGCCTTTAGGCTCGACAGCTCGACTTTGCGCATGCGTTTGACGCTGATCACCTTCGGTTCACCGCGCGTGGGGAACCGCCCCTTCCAGCGGGCCTTCGACGCTTCCCCGAGAATGCGCCACTACCGCGTGCAGAACGAGTTGGATCCCGTGGCGCGCGGCCCCTGGTGGCTGCCCTTCCCCGGTTGTTATAAACACACGGGCCACCACGTCTGGCTCGACGCGTCGCCCTCGTGGTGTCGTGTTCCCTGGTACCGTCATCGTACTGTAGTTTGCCGGTGGCGGCGCGACGGCGCGATCTGGTCGGCGGCGCGGCCCGTCAATTTATTGGTGTACCCCTTTCGCTGGCTCTGGAACGAGAACGCCGCGGACTTCCGCACGCACCAGCTCGGCGGCAAGTACAAGAAAGGTTATTTAATCAATCTGGAGAAGGCGACGTGGAACGTCGAATGATTAGTTCCTAAGTATCCTACAAGCTCTTCAGCTTGGCCGCCCACTCCTGCGCCCCCCACGCGGACTCCGTGTCGGGGACGAGCTTCCCGTCGATGACGTGCTTCGGCGTCCCGTAGACCTGTGCGAGACAGGTAGGTCAGCCCCAACGCCATCGACGCGGCGCCGTCCCCGCGAACCACGTTGCTCGATGGCGCGACCACGGTTTGATTTCCGCACCGACCTCTAACGCCGTAGCCGAGCGCGACTTTGTGCTCCGCGTATGCTTGGCGGAGCAGGCGAAGATTTTGATCGCGGAAGTCGAGGATAATAATTTGGGGGACAAGGCGTTGAATGAGAGGGTCAAACGGTGGTACTCGTGTAGTCAGTGCTTGCAACAATACCACGGCGTCGTGCGGTGCGCGCTTGGGTGGGCGTGCTGGAAGACGTACTTGGGGCGGCCGGAGGCGGATGAGATTCGGCAATTCGCGATGAACCAGCTTGGGAACGGTTTGTACAATACAAACCACTACGAGGACGCGTTGCCCGTGCAAGAGGCTGAGTTGTCTATGCTGCGGCGCGTTGGCGCGTCATGGGAACCCATTCTCCTCGTCCAAACAAATCTCGCGGGCACGTATCAGCACCTCGGACGAGGTGAACAGGCCATGCTAATGCAACGCGAAGTCTACGCTGGACGTTTGAGGCTCGACGGTGGGGAAGCTCTTGGCACTCTCGCAACAGCCAATAATTTTGCGTCGTCCCTTTGTGCTCTAGGCCGCTTCGAAGAAGCCAAGACACTGTGGCGCACATCGATTTCCACAGCGCGACGCGTCCTCGGGGAAGCTCATGATCTGACGCTCACGATGAGAATTAATTACGGGAGGGCGCTCTATGAAGACACCGGCGCGACGCTCGACGATATCCGCGAGGCCGTGACGAGGTTCGAGGACACTGCACAGAAGGCGCGTCGCATTCTAGGTGGCTCTCATCCGCTCGTCGTGAGGGTTGAGGACCAATTGCATGACGCACGAGCCGCGCTCCGCGTCCGCGAAACGCAGCCGTAGCTGGTGGTGGGAGTGTGGCGTAAGAATTATCCTGAGCAGTGAGAAGTATCAGCAACAATTATCACACGTTAAACTAGCCCCTCACTCCATCGCGCTCGTATTCACCAGCCGGTAGTACGCCACGTCCGCCGCCGCGTCCTTCAAACCGCGGATGAACGACGGCCGGTCGTCCGCCCGCGCCCACAGCACGGCCCGCTTCTGGCCGTCGTCCAATCCCTCTAAAGAAGCGATGCGCTGGGGCAGGAAACTCCCGAAGAATCCTGCTAAATCGGGGGCCGCGAGGCGATGTAAGAGTGCCGCGGCCTCATCTCCTAACAAGGCATGCCTTCCATCCAACAGCGCGCCCAATAAAGCGTCGCAGAGCGGCGCGCGCCATCTCTCAACAAACGGTTGAAAATCGAATAGCCGACGTTTTTCATCAGCATCTCTGAGCGCGGATAAAGAAGCCTCCACACACCTCGGCGGCAAATCATCCCCTCTAGCAGCAAAACAACACAGGTCGCACAACGCATGAAATAAGCGCGCAGCCCTTTCGTCCACGAGCACCGCCGGCGCCGTCGCCTGCAGGAGCTGCTCCTGCGGGGTGGTCGCCTGTGTGGAAATCAAAATTTGACGGCACGTTTCGTCCTCCACGCCATCGACGCGACGCCTGCTCGATACTGGTTGATTTCCACACAGGTGGTCGCGTTGTTCGGTCGTCGCACGAACGCCGCCCATCGATCCACCAGCAATCGCCTCGACGTTTCTAGGAGAGGTGGTAAGAGATCAGGCGCATATTGCGAATTCCTCGACAGCAAAGCGCAGTGGTCCAATAGCAAAGCACACAGATCGAGCGCCGCGGACTGCGCGCCTCGACCCTGGCACGCGGCCCTTCCCACCACAATGGTCGATTGCACAACCGCCACACAGGCATTCCGCGGCGGCACGGTCGACTGGTTCTCCGACAGCAGCTGGGCCTGGGGCCGCGTCGCGTCCAGGGCCGCGCGCAGGAACGTCGCGGACGACAGAGCGGCATCGCCGCCGGCCTCGGGGTCGAGCTTGGCCGCACACGCGTTCAGGTCGGCGAGCGCTGTTGCTAACGCTAGGTGAGGTGCCCTAGATGCCGCTACTTGCCTCGCGATGTTGGGCGGAGCTGTGCGATCCGGCTGCGGTTGCAACGCGCGAGCGGCGGCATACGCAAGTAGGCGCGGCGTCACGGCTAAAGCGGTTTGTAAGCTCTGTCGAAATGGTGATCTCACTCCATCCTTGAAGGCGCCGGCACATAAAGCTGCTAGAGCTCGCGCGCCGCCTCGTGCGAGATTCAAGGTCTGTACGTCCAACGCGTCCGCAGCAAACAAAACCGAGTCCTCCACGTTCAGAAGCTTCTGCGACGCGTCGGCGAGGGGTGCCACGAGCGGCGCCGCTAATATAGCGTCCGCCTCCTGCCCCGCCGCCGTGTGGACGACCAGAGCCGCTCGCAGCGCCAACGCGCGCGCGGGCGCACAAACGCGTCTCGCAGCTCCCGCCGCGCCCGCCGCCGCTAGAGCTCTCAATTTTTCAGATCGACCGAGCCACGGCGCTGATGCCGACGCCTTGGCCACCGCTAATACCAACCACGCGGCACAGCGAGCTAAAGGTTCTGGGGCCGGGACTACTTGGTCGTCTAAGGCCGCGAAGGCCGCGCTTAATACGCCGTCTATCAATGAAAGTGATTGGTCGCCCGTCGTCGCGGCGCAGGCCGGCGCGAGGGCTCGTAACGCATCGAGCGCCGCACATCCAAGCGCCAAATGCGCGGGCCCGAGCGAGTGCGCTCGATTCGCGATGCAGGTCTGTGCTAGAGACGCTACAGCTTCAGTCGCTCTGTACAGTTCTGGAGAGGCCGGTGCCGCCGCAGCTAACACGTAGAGGGACGTCGCGGCGTCGACCGCGCCCGACCGACATGAGGGAGGCGGTCCGTTCTGGCACTCTTCGGGGGGCGGTAAGGCCTTCGGTATGGCCGACTCTAACGCCGTTAAAGCAGCTTGGCACAAAGCAGCCGCAGCTTTTGCGGAGAGAGGCCCGCGACACGCTTGCGAACACAACTTGTGACCGTCCACGAGTAAGCCTCGCAACTCCCCACCATCACCTTTCACGCGCGCCTCGCCACCCAACGCCGGTTGTGACGGACTACCACCAGAAAGTTCCTCGAGGAGGTCCTCGTCGTTGTCGTGCGCCTCGTCTTTTTCTTCTCGGTCGCTGTCGTCGTCGGCCTGGAGGTCACTCAAAGCCTCGCCGTTGTTCTCGAACAGGCATCGATCCCTGAAAAACGCCACCACAACATCCACGATACCCGACGCGAGGGCGTCCGGACATGTGTCTCGTTCACCGAGGTACGCTACGAGTGTATCCCAGGGCCGCAAGTTCCGCCTCAAAGTTCTTGGATTGGCCGCTCTCGAAAACAACACACGAGCTAACAAACCCAACAACTCGGCCACCGGAAAGTCGGGCCTTTGCGAAATGCGCGGCACGTGCAGCTCGACGAACGTACTCACAAGTTCAGAGGTGGCGGCTAAAACGTCCTCCTGGTCCTCGCCATCGTCGTAGGAGTCTAGGGCCGACGCCAATGTTCGCAATAGCCCTAATACTAACGCCCCCACTTCATCGATGAAACCGTTTATGTCCGGTGGGATAAGGTTTTTCGAGAGGATCGCGTCGAGCGCTCGCGCCGCCGCGTCGCCACAGAACGTTTTACTGCGAAGATCTTCATCTATTAACTGCACTAATGTTCTCAATAAGTCTCGCGTGACATAACCCTTGAGCGGCGCCCAGGCCACTAAGGTTTCGAGGCATTTCAGAGCACTTTGCATCGCGTCGGCGTCCTTTTCTACTAACACATCACATAGTAAAGCTACAATTTGCGGTAGCCTCATTGCTACTCCTTCTTTTAGTTCTCGGCCCCGTTTCACGGGAATCTTCGAACCAGAACAGAATTCCTCGGCACAAAGAGCTAGTAGATCCAATCCTAGCGTCTTCGTATCAGTGGAGAGCGCTGTTCTACAGATCTCGTCGAGGTAGTCGGGCAGTTCGGCGGGCCAAGACTCTTTGCCGACGTCCACGTAGACCTTCTGCAGTCGCGTGGCGATGGCTCTTGGTAATTTCGGCCTTCTCCCGGCCGCGGCGTCGACGAGGACGCCTCGGGAATTGGCAGGGTCGAACAACGCGGTCCTTACGGCGGCTCGGCCCTCGGCGCCGACGCGTTCCGACCCGAAGCCGACGCGCACGGCCTCCTCTAAAACCGACGCGGAAAAGTAGGTCACGTAGTACTCGGCGCCGTGCGACGCGTCGACGGCGCGCGGCGGCGTGAGCCACAACAAGGCGTCGCGCCAGGCGTGCGGCGCGGCGCGTCGTCTATTCAATTCTTGGTCGAGCCAGGCCTTCTGGGCGGGGTCGCGGCCTTCGTAGAAGGCCGTCAAGAGGTCGGCCCACTCCTTGAGGCGGGCCTGGACGGCGGCGTCGAGCTCGGCCATCTGTGCTGTGTTTTTTTGATCGGCGCGCCCGGCGTCGGCGAGATTGGCAGTGGCTGTCCCAGCTCTCTTTGTGTGATGAGTGGCGACGCGTGCCCTTGCACCGTTGCGCTCGGGGCTACTTGTGGTGCTGGCAAACCAGCTCTTTTGCAGTGCCTCCGCTGCGCGCAAAAATGGCAGCGTCGCGGCCAAAAGTGAGCTAGCGTCTTGTAAGACACTAGCCAAATCACGACGCGGCTTTTGCAAGCCAATTGATCCTCATCTCGCAGCTATCAGGCCTCGCCGAGCAGCGGCGGCTCGCCTCGAAGGCCAGCTCAGCATGGCTGAAAAGTTTGACGACGAAGACGAGGTCGGCACGGGCCTCTACGTGCTCATCGGCTGTGCAGCCGTGACCGTGGTCCTCATGTATTCGTGGATCGGCTACACGCTCTACCAGGGCTTCAAGGCGCGGCGCAAAGTCGATTAATGGATTGCAGCATCTGTCTCGACGCGCTCGACAGCGGTGTGGTGGCGCTCCCCTGTGGCCACCGCTTCCACGCCGCGTGCCTCGCGCAGTGTGCTGCGGCGGTGGGCACGGCTGCGACCACGTCCCGGCGCGGCACGCTGACGGCGTGCCCGAACTGTCGCACAACTTCGCGCGTCGCGCCATATAAGCCTGCTGCGTATGACGTCGGTGATCGCGTTAGTGCGCTGTGGGGTTACAAGTGGTACCCGGGCGTCGTCGACGAAGTGCTCGAGGGCGGCTACAAAGTCGCCTGGGACGATGGCGACGAGGGTGAGGTGCCCGCTGCCCACGTCCGGGCCGAACAGCTCACGGTCGACGTCGATGTGCCGGCGGCGCGCGACGCTAGCCCGCCGGCGGTGGTGACGCCGCGGGCAGCGCTGCCAGTCGAGCCTTTGTCGCCGGCTCGGCCACCGCCCTCGCCGCTGCCGACATACCCCGCCTGGATCTTCGAATCGCCGCTCGAGCAGCGTGAGCCTGGGTCGCACGTCGATCTGTCGCCGGCCGTCCGGCGTGCGGCCGTTGCTGAGTACCGCGAGCTGCTGGTGGGGCGCTCGCGGCCTGCGCCGGGTGCATCTACAGCTCTCGCGGCGCGCTATGGCATCACTCCTCGATCCATACAACGATGGAACGAAACGCTGCGCAAAGCCGAGGCCAAAGGGGAGGACCCGGTCAAAGCATTGGAGTCCCAGCGCTTCGGTAGGTCGCCAACCAACAAAGTCGGGGCCCACTCTTGAACAGAGACGAAGCCGCCGGCCTGAGCCGTGCGGCGCGCGGCAGCGTCGTCCGTCGGCGCCACCTAGATAGCTCCGTAGATTAAGTGATATATGTAAAACTGATGCGGCCGGATGCGTCTCTCACTTTCGCTGAGTGGCCCGATTTTTGCGGCCTCTACTATGAGCCTGGTGCGCTGGTGCTTGCCGTCGCTGTTTGCGGAGCCGCGGCGGTCCTCGAGACCTCGAGAGTGACTCATAAGCACGCTCAAAAGACCGGCCGACTGCGCCGCGACAACCGCGAGGCGCGCCGCCAATTTTATCAATATAGCTCAAGACTTAGTTACTACCAGCAAGAGAGCGACAGTAATGCAGAGCTCCATCTGCCTAGAGGACGTCGACGAGGGCGGCCCGGCCTCTACGGAGCGGGACGGCCAACCGCCCGCGAACGAGCCCCCACCCGTAACGGCCAACTTCGAGCCGCCGCCGGCACCCCCCAAATCAGGCCCCTTGAAGCCCGAGGCGTTTTTGGCGCGGCAACGCCAGCTCGGGAGCCTCGGCGGGAAGTGCGCCGGTTCTGTCGGCGAGAACAAGTTTTTGGTGCAACTCGCCGTCGATGGACGCGCTAGGTGTCGGGCCCGACTTTGGCCTGTGGACATAGATTTCATGCCTCGTGCCTGGCACGCCTCGCGGGCGCTAACGGCACGACGCCGACGAGACGCGGCGCGCTCACGACGTGCCCGAACTGCCGCACGGTCTCACGAGTGGCGGTGACGCCCGTCGCGGCCCTCGGCGTCGGCGACCGCGTGGACGCCTTGTGGGGACAACGATGGTATCCGGGCGTCGTGGACGCGGTCGCTGACGGCGGCCGCGCCTACGAAATCGTGTTTGACGACGGCGACGAGGGTGAGGTGCCGGCTGCCCATGTCCGGGCCGAACAGCTCACGGTCGACATCGACGCGCCGTGGACGCGCGCCGGCGCCGAAGGTGATTGTCGACCCCGAGGCGCCAAGACTCTATGCGGCGGAGGCCGCGGCCCACGGCAAAAATTGTACTGGGGATGACGACGGTCGACGACGTGGCGCAGGTCGCGAGGCGCTCGAGGCACGGCTTCCGCCAGCGCCGAAGGAAAAAGTGATCAAGTGGAAGCTGTCGGGATGCACGGTCGCGGTCACGCCGGTGATGGTGCCCGAAGCAAGCCGTGTGCCGCCGAAGAAGCCTCGCTTTGTTCAGAGGTGCGTTGAGGGAGCCAGGTCGAAAGCGAACGGCAAGTGGTCCAGCCAACATTTCCCCGGCCGCGAGTTTGACGACCTCGACGCGTACCGCGCGGCGAAGAAGCAGCGTGTGGCACAGAAGTACCGCTGAGTGACTAGTTTAAGACATTATGTATATAACACAACTACGAAGCGGGCGCCTCCGCCGGCTCCACGCGATCGAGCACCGCCAGAGGCCGCTCCGCCGCGGCAAGCTTCCGCGCGTCCACTTCATCCGCGTCCTCATCACCACCCTGGCCGAACTCGTTGATCCTCGATTTATCGATCGGATAAATCCACCGCTGATACAACGTCGCCAGAAAAATCACGTCATCTCTGAGACAAGCTAATCGACGAAGGGTCGGCTGCTTGATGATAAATGCAAAAATATCATCGATAAATGTGTTGAGAGATTTGTAGACCATGGCCCGCCACGGCAGATGCGCCACAGATCTTAATCTATAATTAATGTACAGCTGCGGCGTCATCATGACAAAACCGAAGGCGTAAATAAAACCCACAGCCGACGACACGAGCCACGAGTACCAGCCCTTGTGGAGGTCCGTGACTAGTGAATAACAAGAGTAGCCTACGAGGAGCGGCGCCAACGAGTACATTAAGTGACTTGTAGCCACGTCGTCGTAGGCCTTCGTCGGGCTCTCGGCGTAGGACTCCTCCAGTCGTATGGAACCGTTCTCCCACGTCACAGCTTTGGTGAGCTTCCAGATTTCTGTTAACAAACCCATACCACTCGAGAACAGGACCATCCACGACGTATCGTTATCTAGGAGATACAGCATCACTATAAGTTGGCAGAGGGCGTTCCAGGCGATGGTCCGAGCGCTAAGACCAACGAGCGTCTTTTTATTCCTCCAAAAAGAGACGTTGTTGCGGAACGCGAGGAACTCAAAGACTGTGTGAAGTATGGATACGATAAAAGTGACCACGAGCACCCAGGGCTGCGTTTCCAGGAGCATCTCCCGCAGCATGTCGTTCTCTCCATCGCTCCCCATGCCGAGCTTGGCCTGCTGCCGCCAGGACTGCTCCATCGAGGACTTGAGCTGCCACCTGCGTGGGAACGACTCTCTGGCGGCCGCGTCGACGGCGTCGCGGCGATTCAAGTTCATTTTCTGCGCCGAGTCGCTACTTGATCGTTCCATCGATCTCGAAGGAACACGTCAGATTTAACGCTTCTACCGTGTCGTTGACCGGCACGAGCAACTTGTGGAGGAGCCAGAACTCGTCCTTGTGGAGCGGGGGGAGGTAGTCTCCACTATTGTCGAAGGTCAATAAACGACTGATGGGGTCGGGAATGCCGCCCCTCGGGAACTGGGGCGGCAGCATCGGTATGCGCACATCTAATGAAGGCTTCCAGTGGATCACGGGGCGGTCGTCATATTCAGCTTCCTCTGCCGCTTCGTCGAGCAGCGACCGGCCCTTCTTTCCTCGCGGGAGTTGCTTGTACGTCGTCAGTTCGTGGACGGAGTGCATGTCGTACGTAGAGCAGCACGTCTCATTGGCCGTCGCGAAGAGGTGTAAATATATAGTTTGGTTATTCCACACCCTTTGTAGGCACTCGGACGCGTTGTGCCGCCACAGCTGCAGGGTCACAGTCCTAGCATTACTAGAGTCGAAGGAGTAGTCCAGATCACCTTCGGACCACAACGCCGTCAAATCATCAGTAGCGTTCGAACAGCCGTAAAACGCGTGCAGCCAGAAACGATGGCGCTCGCCCCACGTATTCATATGAGGCGGCAGCCGCACACCGTCCATATCGTGCGACGCGAAGCGCGGCGCCGGCGGCGGCTGCTCCGGCATTTTGGACTTGGCCCACTTCTCGAAGTCGGACGGTTCGCGCTCCTCGATTGGCGCGCCCGGGGCGGTTTGCGGCGCGCCGAAGAGTAGGCGCGTCATGGACTGCGTGATGAGGAAGATCATGACGACTCGTTGTAAGCCGAAGCCGTTGTCCGGTTGCTCTTCCTCTGCTTCGGCCATCGTGTTTTGCGGCGCGGCGACTGGCGTCTTGGCTGTGGGCTACCTGGTGGGCTGTGGCAAGCCGTACGTATGAAAGGCGGCCTCGTACCACACGTGTGGATACTCTGCGGCGTAAGAACAGCACAGGTGCAAGCTCAAGATGCACAGCGGCGACGCGCGGCGGCTCGACGACAGCGAAACCTAGCGTGACACATACTAACCACAAGCGCTGTTTGCCCAACGCGCCGGAGCCGCGCCCCGGCCAGCCAAGAGGCAGCCCCCGCCCGCGAGGAGGCCCCAGCAGCAGCTCCAAGAGCCCTGCCGTCAAGGCTTCGCCGGAGGCCACGCCCGGCGGCGCCCACTGGGGTGAACAACAGCAGCCCCAAGGCGGCAGCTCCAGGAGCCCTGCGCGCGCGAGGCAGGAGTCCCCACGTACCCCACGCAACGCCCGCAGCACCCCAGGACGCCGTCGGCGCGACACCGCAGCCACGATGGTCGCCGCGTCCGGCGACTCCAAGGGCTTCGACCTCCAGAAGCTCAACAAGTTCTCGAAGAGCGAGATCCTCGACCCCTTGGTCCAGGAGGAGAAGAACCTGGCCGCGCAGCTGCGCGAAGGGCTCTCGAAGCTGCTGGATATGCACAACCCCGCCGAATTAGGCTCGTTATGCGGTGCCATGGGCCTCGTCGAGGAATGCGAGTTCGGGACCCATGCGGAAAAAAAGGCGGGAGTGTTGCGGAAAGTAGCTCAAACGGGTGCGCGCTACAATAGCACGGAGCGAGCCCACATGGAGTGCCTCGAGACGATGTGGGACGGGATTTTGTACGAGTACTTGAGGGCCGAGGGCCAGCCGCTTCGAAGTGCGAGGGTCGACCCGCGCGTGTTCACGCTGCAGATGTGGCGGAGAAGAGCGGCGTTCTCACAAGGCGGCCAGGGCATTTTTCGGCCCCACTACGTGCCTCGCATGGTGCGGATGCGCGACCAGAAGCCACCCCGAGCTGCCGATCTCGAGGGTTTACTCAGAGGAGTGGAAGCCAAGGAGCTCGCCCTGAAGCATATTGAACGGAAGGTGCGGAAGGAAAGCGACTACCGGAACGTTATACGCTTCTTGGCCGATACAACTTCCTTACACGAATTTGAGCGCGACGCGCGCGACTACCTCATGCACGAGCTCGAGAGTTGTCGGGACCGCATCGACCACTACCAGGCGTCGCTGGAGATGACGGGGGAACAGCTCGGTGAGGCCGAGTTGGTGCACGAGCGAGCTACGACTACTTTGGTCAGTCAGTTAGCTCGAGTGGAGGCTGAATTGGAGTTCCAGTACGATCTGTCAGCTATTGAGCCCGCAACCGAGGAGCAGATGATTGTGGGAGTGCTGCGACGGTTCCTGGCCACTCCTGGTCCCATGGACGGCACGCTCACTCTAGAAGATAGCCCAGTAGCCCTACCGTCGCTAGACGACGACTGGTCCGACTCCGACGACGAACGAAGCGAATATCGACCGCCGTCCACGAGACCCGTGACGCAGGGGCGGCCTACGTCCGCCGGGAGTCGAGGGCGAGCCCCGACACCACTAGAAGGAGTACGTCCTTCTTTTGACGACTTCCAGGAGGAGACCCAGTCCGAGATCGATGAGCGAGAGTTCCGAATCGAAGAACACCGGCGCAAGGACGACGTGAGACGGAACTGCGCGATCCGCTGTCCGAACTACGAGCAACGGGAGCCTGCGGTATTAGCTTGTTTGGCGTTTGAGAAACATCGAGGAGATGTGAACGTCATGCGGTTGCGGTGCGAGGCCGCAGAAGCGGCCTTCGACGCCCTCTACGACTGGTTCGACGAGGCCTCGGCGGACCGCGCGGCGAAGACGGCAGAGGCCTATCACGCCGGCAAACGGGGCCGCATCCTCGGTCAGCAGATCAACATGCTCATCGAGGAGGCGGCGAAGGCCGCGGCGACGCCTTTCGCGGAAGTTGAGCTGTATAAAGGCATCGCGGCTCGCGCGACGTGTGACGCGTCGGATGCTAAATCACGATTGCGGAATGCGACGCCTACTTTATTAGCTATGATCGGGGCCGACGACGGTTCGATTGCGGTCTTGGGGGCGGTGCTGTCCGTTGCTTTAGGTGCTGTGCCGTCTCGCGCGGCCGCTCTGGAGCGCCTGGAGGCGGCGACGATGGCGCGGGAAGAGTTGCACCAACGGACCGTCGACGCTTTGTTGATACCGACGCCGACCATGTCTGAGAAGAAGAAGGCTGGGAAGAAGGGTACCGCGCGGTGCCGAAATCATTTCTCGGCGCCGACGCGGCCGTGCTTGCTCAGTAGAGCTCGCACCGCCACGCCATCGAGGAGATGTCGCGTCGATGGCGTCGCGATGAGCGGCCGTGTGGGCTCGGACGAGCGGCTGGGGGCCGGCACCGGCCCACCGTCGAGCAGACCTCGTGTCGATGGCGTCGCGATGACTTATTTGCTTTCCGCGCAGGCAAGGATAAGAAGGGCGGCAAGAAGGGTGGGAAGGGCAAAGGCAAAGGCAAGGGCGGCGGCAAAAAGGAGAAGGGTGCTAAAAAGGGGAAAGGCGGGAAAGGTGACAAGAAGGCTGCCAAAGGCAAGGCTAAGGCGAAGGGTGGCGACGGGAAAAAGAAGAAGGGTGCCAAGAAGGGCAAGAAGAAAAAGTAGCCGCTGTGTAAAAAAATTGCTTAGAGCTAGGCCGCCTAGCCGTACTTCTAGCCGCGGACCGCCGCAGGGTCTGCGTGACCGCACGCCCGCCCCGCCCCCGGCCCTCATACGTCGTCGCCCCGGGTGTTAGCTCGGAGGCGACGACGGCGAGCGGGGGAGCAGGCCGACGCCGGAATCCCAAGGCCGCGACGGTGGTGCATCGGGGGAAACTTGAAATTCAAAAACAACTAGAATTAGGCCACCCTTCCTGGGAAAGGGCAACAACAACTCACGCGACGCGCACGCGGATCTCGCACTTCTGCTGCGCCGTGAAGCCCATCGCGTCGAGGTCCTCGTCTTCGAGCAGGGCCAAGTCGGAGACGCGCCGCGCTCCCAAGGATTTGAGAGCCTTCGCGTAGACCCCGAGGCCCCTCCTATCGAGCCACATCTCCAAATGATCCCGCGGCGGCTCCAACACGGGCACGAGCCGGTCGATCCGATCTAAAATCGCGGAGGGCGTCACGACCCCCTTTGACGAGGAAAAGGACACCCGCGGCGCGAAGCGCTCGCCACTATCGGTCACGCGCACGTAGGAGTCGCTCCAGGACACGTCCGGCGCCGCGACTTCCGCGGACTCGCGCGCCAGTACTAACTCTCGAGAGCGCCTCATGGACACCCACGAGTCGCGCAGCTCCTCGAAGCTCGCCCGCTTCGGCGGCGTCTCCATCGAATCGCGGCGCCGCGGGTCCGAGTCCCGCACGTGACTACTCACGCGCCGCCGCCGCGGCGTCGTCGGCGGGGAGACGCCGCCCGCGCGCGGCAGCAGCAGGCTCGGCTCGTCGAGCGCCTCGGCGTCCATCGCCGCGGCGTCCGCCGGCCAGCGGTCGGCCGGCGCGAGGCAGGCCATTTGAGCAGCTTTGGGCAGCAGGGGTGCCAAATAGGGCTTTGCTCCCCAAACCACGGGGAGCTGCTTGGCCTCGCGGCTCGTGGGCCTACGGCCGCCGCGTCGCCGGTGCTCGCGGGCGTAGAGGGGCTGCCCGCGCCCCGATTTCGCAGTCCAATCTTCGAGGCGGCGGCGCGCGCGAGATGAGCAAGATGGAGAGGGGGGGTCCGCGCGCGCGCCGCATCCGCCGGGGCCAGGCCTCGGGGCAGTCCTGGAACGGGATCCCGCACCGCTGCCATCACCACGGTCCACGCGCAACAACTCGAATTAAAAACTTACCCCTCCGCCTCGGCCGATGCCTCGGCGACGACCTCCTCCCCACCCGCCCCATCGACGACGGGCCTCGCAAACCTTTCATCGTTCCGCCGTTGGGCCTCTTCTCTCCTTTTTTTTCTTTGGTCGTAAGCCGCCTGCAACGCCCTTCTCTCGTCCTCGCAGCGCGCCGCGCCCAGCGCGAGCTCCGCGTCGACCCTCTCCGCTGATTTGGCGAGCAACAAATCGGTCATCGGCGTTTTTTGAGCGGGCACCCAACATAAAGAAGGTTCCGTCACTGTTCGTATCGTATGTCGCAGCACGTCATGCGACGCTTTCCAGGACGCGTGCAACAGGGAAGCCTCCGTCCTCCGCATGTCCGTGAGGATCTCGTCGCGTCGAGCCTGGTCCTTGTATTTCGCCTCGCACATGCGGTGCCTCGCGGCCGCGCGAGATTCTCTTTTCAACGTCTCCTCGCGCTTGAGCTTGAGTTCCGACGACTTCTCCTCGCGCTGTCGCAATTTTGTTTCATCCTTCTCAAAATTTTTGCGCGCGGACGCGAGGTGGCCGACCAAGCCGCCGAACAGCCTTTTGGACCGTCGCGTGTCGGCGTCGGATGCATGCGCCGACAGCTGGCGCTTCCTTGCGACAGCGTCGGCTTCTTGGGGACGGTATCTGTCTCCCAGTGCGTCTCTGAGCACTCCCTGCTCCGTGGCGCGCTCGTCATTGCTATCGTTGGGGCCGCGCCCCGGTCTATAGTAGACTTCTCGTCGCCGCTGTGGTTTGTGTTCTCTTGTGGGCTGGCTCCGTCGCGGCGGCGGCTGGCGCTCGGCGCGGCGCTGTTGCGAGATGCGGGCCTCGACGCGGTTGCGCTCGTCGTCTAGTTTTTGTAGTTTTCTTCGTAATGCTTCGGCGTCGTTTTGCTGGTCGTCGACGTCCATCCTTACTATACGCGCGTTGCGCTTTTGGGAGCCGAAAAGCAGGCTAGGAGCCCAGCCTTGTTTTGTCTCTTCTACACAACGCGTGCGTATGCGGTCTTCTGTGTCTGTGGCAGCGAGATTAATGCGGAGCTGAGCGATGCACCGGCAGTGCGCTCTCGCTATATGTATGGCTGCGTATTGGCTACAAAGCCGCGAGCTTGTGTTTGCTAGTGTCTTACATCACACGCTAGCTGCACTCCAAGCCCAGCGTTTTTCGCCGCCAGAGATTAACATTGATACTCGCGCAAGGCTAAAAAAAAATCCACCTTTGAGGTCGGAAAACAGCCTCGTAAAAATCTAGCCGCTGCGAGCACCGGAAAGCCGCGCACCTACAAGGGCCATCTCCAGAAGGCTATTTCATCGCGCGCTACGGGCTGTGCGTGCATCTACGGGCCATCGGAGCCGTCGTGCGTGCGTCTTGAGATGGACCTGTTACGGATACCACCGCCTCTCGGACCACCGCTAGCAGTGGCGTGCTATCACAACCGCGTTGACGAAGTAAAGCGACTACTCGCGTCCGGTGCCGACCCACTGGAAGAATCAAAAAATAGTGTTACTGCTGCACAGTATAGACCCCTGTTTCTATGCATCCATTACGGTTACGCCGCGTGTGTGAAGGTGCTGCTGACCGTCCGGCCCGAACTGGTGGACTCGGGCGCAACATTAGCCATGGAAGCGAACAAGATCCCGCCCCTCCTGTATTTGCTGCAACAAATGGGCAATGAACGGGACTATATTCGTCACCCGCTCGAATGGCCCGGTTCCGACCCCTTGGGGTGTGTCCGGTTGCTTTTGGATGCTGGAGCGTCGTTACAGCCCGTGGTGCAGGGTGGCTGGGGGTGTACTTATACCCACCTCATAGGCCAGTATGCCCTATGGTCGAGGGAGAAGTGGAGAAAGGCGCTCGTGCGCATGATCGGTGGCGCCGCACGCCTGCGTTACTCGACAAAGACGCACCGCGATTTCCCTCGGCCTGCTCGCTATGCCGCCGCCGAGCTTCTCCGATTGGGCTACCAGATCGAGTCCGGCGTCTTGACTCCCGTCTGGGCGGAGCACGTGCTTCCCTTCCTCGTCACGAGGACGAGTCGCGGCGCGGTGCCCTCCCCGCCGCCTGCTTTGCTGTTTATCGACGCGCTCTCCGAGTCCGAGCTCAAGAAGATGGTTGCTTGTGGCGACGCCGCGAAGCTCGAGCTCCGGCGGAGGGGGATCGGGAAGTACCCACCGCTGGTCTGATCTGCTACACTCGATACGGGGTCTAAGCCATGTTGTAAACACCCAGTGAATTTAGACAAAAACTCAGAATCCGCGAGGCGGAGGAGAGGGAGGCGCCCGCGCCGCCAACGCGGACACGTGCGCCGCACAAGCCCGCAGGAGCCCCGGCTTTTGCACTTCAGTATCTTGGTCGGGCGACGCCGTCCTACGTGTCCCGGCGCGTTTTGCCTCTTTCGGCGGCCAGTCCCACGTACTATACCCGCCTTCTAGGATCGAAATGCACGATGCTCGAGGCGACGCGTCCAAGACCGCGTGCGTGAGCCACTCGTAGTCCGACTCGCGGAACCAGTGGTACAAATCCGCCTCGTAGCCGTCGAAGCCCGCGCTGAAGATGACCAAGTCCGCGTCGAACCGCTGCAACGCCGGCAACAGTTGCGCACTGACATCTCGCCTTAGATTCGCACCGGCCTCGTCGCAGAGTTTCGCTCGCTGCGAGGCGGTTAATGATTGCCTCGCCCGCACATCCCCGGGCTTCGGTCCCACCGCAGCCAGAGGCACGTTCACGATGGTATCAGACGACTCCTGGGGACCGCCGCCGCCCGGATAGAAGGCGCCCTTGGCGTCCCACAGGTGCACGCTCCCAAAGAAGACCTCGTCCCCATCACTTTCATCCAACCAGGGCTTGTGCACTTCTCGGTACTCCGCGGGCCAGCTATCAGGTAAGGGCTTTTGCACTTTATGCGGCTTCAAACCTTTGACAATTTCTTCCGTGCCGTTGCCGTGGTGCACGTCGAAGTCTATTATTGCTATTTTTCGCAGTACTTTCGACTGCTCGGGGACGGCTCGCGGCCGCCCGTACCTGTACCTCGCGTACGCGCCAGCGACGGCCGCCGTGTTCAGCAGACAGAACCCGCAGGAACACATGTCCGGCGACCGCCAGAAATGCCTGAAGCAGGCCACGGCTCCCCGAGGCCCGGCGTGGTGCCCCGGGGGTCTACACGCGACGAAGACGTTCTGCGCTCTATTTGTCGCCACTAGATCAATAGCTTCGCAAGCCGCACCACACCCACCAAGCGCCGCATCTAGACTATTAGCACATAGCCTCGTGTCCGTGTCCAAGCAGGCGCCTTGTGCTGGAGTGACGTCCGAGGTTGCGGGTAGCTGGGAACACTTCTCTTGTAGAGAACGGACATAATCGGCGTCGTGGACTCGCACCACATCTCCCAAAGGACATACAAACGACGACTCCCGCGCTTCTACTTGTAATTCCCGTAACCCGTCGCTCACGACGCCGAGCACGGCCAGCCGCATGACGCTTTCCTGATGCTTCGCTCCGGTGTCGTGACCTAACCCCGCCTTCGAGTACAGCACTACTGTAGATGAAGCACCGGTCGGCGAGTTCTTCAGCTGCTTGATGCCCACCGGCGTCTGGCCTAGTGAGGATCGCTTCGAATCCCCAGACCTGTTGCTGCGAGGCCCGTCTTCATCCGAAGACCGGTCGAAGCTCACCCTGAGGTCGTCCGCGCCGCGTTTCTTGTCCAGGTTGACGCGCATCAGGGCCGGCGTGAGCGAGTCGACGACATCACTAGAAGTTTCGGGACTTTGCGGGCCGAGATCGTGCGGCTCGAACGCGATGGGCGGCACGGCGGCGCGCATGCGCTCGTCGTTTTGTGAAGCGGCGGCGGCGCGGGTCGTGGCCATGGTTTCCTGGCTTTTTTGTTGCTGCGGCTTGCTGCGGCGGCGTGTTTAGGGGGCTGCAGGCCAGGAGCCTTGTTTGGCGGCTCCGTTGGCGGAAGCGTTCTAAGTTTCCGCGTCGGCTGACGCGGTGAGGGTCTGAGCAAGCGTCCGGTGATCTTTACGGTGCACGCGGTGCGCTACTCCCTGCGTCCAGCGCAAAAGTAGCTTGGAGCGGAAACTCTAGTGTTGGTACAACGCTAGCTCACATCCAATAATCGCGGCAGGTCTCTGCTTAGCTCGCCGCCGCGATTTGGGGCAGCCCGCAAAGTCACGCCGTGCACACGCCCGTCGCAGCAGCCCCGAGCCGCAGCGACACGCCGCCGCCGCAAGCGTTCGTACCCCGGGCAGCAGCCGAAACAGAAACAGCCTACCAGAAACAATGGGCTCGGATAGCGACGACGACTCTCGCCGCAAGAGCAGGAAAATGTCCGACGACGACAAGTCGCGCTCGAAGTCCCGCTCGCGCAGCCGCTCGCGCAGCCGCGGCGGCGGCAACAACAACGGGAGACTCACGAAAGTGGTTGATATAGCTAAGGACGACGCGGCCTTTGTCCTTGGTAGAGGCGGCGCGACGAAGCGCAAGATCGCTAGAGTGAGTGGTGCCGACATTGAACTAGATGAACACGCCCTCACGATCACGCTGAACGGGACGGAGTCGCAATGTAATCACGCCATCGACTACATCGACTTCATCAAGCAGCAGCGCGTCGGCCCCGTGACCATCGACACGGAGCGGTCGCGGGGCGACTACACGGCGTATACCGTACCCGGCGACTGCATCGGCTTCGTGATGGGTAGGAACGGGCAGACGCTGCGGAGCATGGAGGAGGAGTGGGGCGTGCTGATGTTCTTTGCGAAGACGGGGAAAGATGGGGGCGAGTCGAGGAGAGGGGATGATGAACAGTTGTGTATTTTCGGGCCGCTCGCGGCGCGTCGCGGTGCGGAACTGAAGACGATGTCTGCGGTCGAGCACAAGCATCCTGGGTACTGCGTGTCTTCTAAAGGTGAATTGAGAGATGTGGATCGAGTGCCGGGCGACGACGACGAAGGCGGCTGGGGCATCGACACGGTGCCGCTGACGGACGATTCGTTCTCGTACGCTCTTGGAGCGCGCGGGTCTACGCGTAGGAAGCTAGCTGCTGCCTCGGGCTGCATCATCGAGTACGTGGGCCGCTTGGCCTGTTTCGCCGGTTATAGGCAGGACCGCCGCCGCGGCAAGGACTACCTCCGCTGGCTCCTCGAGCAGCGCACGGGCCAGTCTGTGGTGGACGATCCTAGAAGCCGCGACGACTGCACCATCGTGAAGGTCCCGTCGAAGAGCGTCGGCTTCCTCACGGGGTATAGGGGAGAATCTTTACGAGCCATCGAGCGAGAAGCGGGCACGTTTATGTTCACGGACGGCAGCGGCCGCGACGGTCCCGAGGAGAACCTACTGATCTTCTCCTTTTCGCGGAGAAACCGCGACCACGCGGCGGAGATCGTCCAGGATCGCGTGAGACATCACGAGCGGGTCGGGGATCGGCCGCCGATGGACCGCGGCGGGGGCTATGGGGGGCCGCCGATGGGAGGAGGAGGCTACGGAGGCCCGCCTATGAGAGACAACATGTGCTGCGGCGGTGTCCAAATAAAAATCATACGTCGATGGCGTCGAGGTGGGCTCTCACTGGTTCATTTGCGCGCAGGTGCTGGGACTTTCAAAAAGGGCGGTGCACGCGCGGCGCGATGTGCCGCTTCTCGCACGGCGAGCCGCCGATGGGCGGCGGCGGTTACAACCAGGGCTACGGGGGCGGCCGGGGCCGCTCGCGCTCGCGCAGCCGCGACCGGAACCGCGACCGCGGGCGCCGCCGCCGCGACGACTCGAGCTCGCGCTCGCGCTCGCGCGGGCGCCGCCGCCGCCGCGACTAGGAGCTCGGCCCTTCCCCTTCCCCGCCCCCATCTCGTTCTATGATCATCACGATCCATCACCTCGTTCTCTCCTGTTCGGTCTGTCTGGGGGCAAGTTTGTGGGGGGCTTCTTCGTCATCACACACGTCGCCGGACTTGTCGCCGGGGACTCGCTGGTCGCGGCGACGTCGTCGAGGCGTGTGATGTCCCTTGGTGGCGCACTCGCCGAGGATCGCGTCGGTTGTGTTGCCCGCGCAAGCTCTTGTTGCTCCTGCTTGATCGTTATGAAGGACTGCCTGGAGAGCTGCTACGGTGCTAAGACTAGTAGATGGAGCCCCTGGAGAGCTCTCGATGCCGCTAGATAATTCAGGCTCTCCGGCATCTCACGCATCGCTGGAGGCTATACGCCAGAACTAGTGACAGCGCGACATAACCAAGGTCGTCTTTACACTTCGGCAGCCTCGAGGTAGCACAGGGTGAAGCACCGCTGCTCTTTACGTCGCCAACACAGAGGAACAGCAAGCCAGCTAAAACAGGCAAAGACAAGACATCCGCGGCCTTAGACCCGAACACAATGGCCTCGGACGACGACAAGTCCCGCAGCCGCAGCCGCTCCGCCGACAGCCGCCGCAAGTCGCGCAAGAGCGATGACGACAAGTCCCGCTCCCGCTCCCGCTCCCGCTCTCCAGCGAGGGAAAACCAGGAACGCGTCACGAAGGTCATCGACATCGCGACCGACGACGCCGCCTTCGTGCTTGGTAGAGGCGGCGCCACGAAAAGAAAGATCGCGCGCGTCTCGGGAGCCAATATCGAGCTCGACGAACACGCTTTAACGATCACGCTGAACGGCACGGAGAAGCAGTGCAACCACGCCATCGACTACATCGACTTCATCAAGCAGCAGCGCGTCGGGCCCGTGACGATCGACATGGAAAGATCCCGAGGGGATTTCACGGGGTACACGGTCCCCGGCGACTGCATCGGCTTCGTCATGGGGCGCAACGGCCAGACGCTCAGAAGCATGGAGGAGGAGTGGGGCGTGCTCATGTTCTTCGCGAAGACTGAAGGGTCGCAGCGCGGTCCGCGACGCAGCGTGGAAAGGCGCTTCAATCTAGCTCATACGCCATCGACGCGACTCGTCTCCGTCAGAGAATGCGCTGGGTGGTCTCGTTTCCGATTTTGAGCTCCGTCCGCACGCAGGTGATGATGAGCAGCTCTGCATCTTCGGGCCGCTGGCGGCGCGGAGAGGCGCGGAGCTGAAGACCATGTCCGCCGTCGAGCACAAGCACCCGGGCTACTGCGTCTCCTCGAAGGGTGAGCTGCGGGACGTCGATCGCGTGCCAGGCGATGAAGATGAGGGCGGCTGGGGCATCGACACCGTGCCGCTGACGGACGACTCCTTCTCCTACGCTCTCGGGGCGCGCGGGTCGACGCGTCGTAAATTAGCGGCGGCTTCCGGGTGTATTATCGAGTACGTCGGGCGGTTGGCGTGCTTCGCGGGCTACCGCCAAGATAGAAGACGGGGCAAGGACTACCTCAGATGGCTCCTAGAACAAAGGACCGGTCAATCGGTGGTCGACAACCCGAAAGATAGAGATGATTGCAAAGTGGTGAAAGTTCCGACTTCGAGCGTCGGCTTCCTGACGGGCTATCGGGGCGAGTCGCTGCGGGCGATCGAACGGGAAAGCAGCACGTTCATGTTCACGGACGGGGATGGCAGAGGAAGCGGCGAGAGCGAGAATTTGTTGATCTTCTCCTTTAGCAGAGGTGCGCGCGACCACGCCGCGGACATTGTGGAAGACCGCATCCGCCACCACAAGCAGATCGGACGAGGTGGTGGTGGCCCTGGTGGTGGGTACAATGATGGCCCGAGGGGCTACGGCGGCCCGCCCGGCGGATTCGGAGGTGGCTATGGCGGGCCGCCGAGAGGTCCGCCGATGGGCTACGGTGGAGGCTACGGCGGGCCGCGGGGCCCGCCGATGGGTGGAGGCTACGGTGGTGGCTATGGCGGCGGCGGCGGCAACTACGGCGGCTACGGCCAGGGCGGCGGCGGCGGCGGCGACCGCCGCGGCCGGTCGCGCTCGCGCGACCGCAAGCGCTCGAGCCGCCGCCGCCGCGACGACTCGGACTCGTCGCGCTCGCGCTCGCGCTCGCGCGGCCGCCGCCGCCGCCGCGACTAGACGCCGACCGGCCGCGCGACCTGAACCCCTCCCCCCCTCGGCGCGCACGAAGCTCCTCCTCCCCTACAACAACACGCTTCCTCTCTTTGTTCACGAGGCGTGACCGGCCTCTATCCACATCGGTCTCGGGGGGAACACTTCGACACGCACTCGTCCTCAACTCTCCTGGAGATCCTCCGGTCCGAGTCGTCGAGGAGGAAGTGCTCGGGCGGGGGGCTCCATGCACGCATCGTCACGGACTCGTCACGGTCGCCCCGGCCGCCCGGACTTCCGCCCGGCGTCGTGGGTAGGTTGCGACGGACGCTGCGTCGTGCGGGGACGTGCTGCTGCAGGGTCACAACATTAAATTTTTAACTGTCCAGTGTACGTAGTTCCGGAATAGAACTCGAGGACCACGGACTTGGACGACGTCGCGATATCATCGCACGGTCCGCACGAGCGCCATCGTCGCCGCGAGCCCGAAGAGCGACGACGAGTAGTGGGCGAGGGACGTGTCATAAGAAGCAGGCACGTTCAGCGCGCTCTCGACGAGCAGCCAGAGCGGCCCCGTTGCGGCCGAAGTGAGCATCACACGACGAAGACCCTCGCCGTACGAGTCCGCCGGCTCGAACTGCCGCGTCGCGAGGCCCGCGGCCACCCAGAGCACCGAGAGGCAGGACGCCGACGCGACGCAGTACCCAAGCGCCCGCAGGTCCGCGCCCGTGAACCCCGGCACCTCCTTCAGGGGGTTCGTGGCGAGCTCGCGGCTTAATTCGCGGGCGAGGCACTGACACCAGAGGACCGTGACGTCGAGCCTTATCTCCAACGCGTCGGCGTCGTCGAGGCGCGAGTTGAGATGCGTGCCTCGTCGCGGCGGCGCGCGTGAGATCGGTGCGATCAGGGCGTGCGCGACTGCTGCGCACAGGAGGAGTCGCATGCTTGCCTTCCTGTTTTTGGTGCCAGTAATCGCCACAGATGTCGACCGATAGCGGCTATACAAGCGCTGCTGGCAGCGCTGCTGAGAGGTGCTGTGTCGCTGCGGCGACAGGCGTGCAATTCTTTGTGCTTGCTTTGACCGACTCAGTGACGACTCGTGTGGGCACCACAACGTATTTTGTGTGCACCGCCCAGCGATACAAGGCTTTTTTTGCCCCTGGCTGCTTGCTAGTGTCTTACATTACGCTAGCAGCGCGCGCCGGGCAAGCGCAGCATTTTCGCAGCCGTGGTCCGCGCAAACACCCTGCCACACACATCGCGGGGCTATTTCACCATCGCGCGCCAGCGCTGCGCACCGTGAGAGGTCCACAGAGCATGGAGGAGCATCCCTTACTGCAGGCTGCACCAGCAGCAGCAGCAGCGCCAGCGCCAGCGCCGGCCGCCGCGACGGACGAGGAGAAGCGCGAGCGCAAGAAACGCAGGAGGGAAACGGGCCCGCGCCCCGTCTCCAGCGACGTCTCGTTAGGAAACCACCAGCGCTATTATGGGTATCGGCCTCGAGTCCAGGGCGCCGAACCCCGAAGAGCGGACGCGCGGCTGCGCTTCCTCGACGCGACCTGGTGGAACAACAAAAAGGCCAAGGACGTGGGCTGCAACGACGGCACCTTCTCGCTAGAAATCGCGCGGCGCTTCGAGCCCCGCATTTTGGTCGGCGTCGACGCCGACGCCGGCTTGATACGAGCGGCAACGGCCTTGGTAGCGAGACGCGCGAGAGAGGTCGACCCCGATGCATTACTCGCGAAGACGGAAGTGAAGAAAGGCGTCGCCCGGAAAGGGCCCCTACCTTTCCCGCACAACTGCTTTTTTGAGAATGAAGATGTCACAACGGGAGGAGGAGACCACTCCTTCGACGTCATCTCGGCTTTCAGCGTCACGAAGTGGATCCACCTGAACCACGGGGACGCGGGGCTGCTGAAGTTCTTCCGGGGGGTGTATGCGTCGTTGAAACCGGGTGGGCGGTTTGTCTTGGAACCGCAGCAGTGGAAGTCCTACCAGAACCGGAGACGGGCCTCGGAGCAGATCAAGGCGACCTTTAAATCGATACAAGTGAAGCCGGCGGACTTCGCGCGGGTCTTAGTGGACGACGTCGGGTTCGAGAGCTGCGAGCTCCTGGGCACGCCGGACGACGAGGCTTTGCCCGAGGGGTTCCGGCGACCGATCTTCTGCGCCGTGAAGGGGTCTGGCGCGTAAATGTGTACTTCTGACTCCTGGCCGGTGCGTGCGGGTCCGCCGTGCGGAGGAGGTCCGCAGGGAGAAGTGAGTCGTGATCCGCGGGGCGCCAGAAACCTGGGCACGCCATCGACGCGTGACGAGTCGCGCCGACGGCGTAGGGGCTGTACCGGCGCCCGGACCCTACGGGGACAGATACGGGGACCCCACGCCATCGCCGCGACGAGAATACAAGAATAACCTACTCGGGACTGGGACAGAACAGCTGACTCTCCTTCCGCGCCGTCCATTGAACACCATTCGCGTTGAGCACGCCGCGGACGTCGCGCAGGCCGTGCGCCGCGACGGTCTTGCCGTCCGAGCCGCACACGTAGTCGTCTCGCACGGCCAACAACGTCAGCGCCGACTGGTCCTGGCGCGCGTTGCCCCTATGTGAGCCTTGGGGGCAGACGCAGGCCCGATCGAGCGAACAGGCGACCCAGGGCTTCGTTATTGAGTCATATCGCCTTGACCCTTTCATGTGGGCGCTGAACGCACCATTGCAGTTCCGGAATTTCGAGAACGGCTCGCCGAGGCGGTCGTTGTTATCTAAATAACCTTCGCCCTGTTCCCTAAGTTCCTTGACCTTCGCCGCGAAAGCGTCGGAGAGGCCCCACCTCGCGACGCCATAGTCCAGCTGCTTCTCATGACTAAAGCGCGCCAAACCCTTGGCCGTCTCGTCACTCAAAAAGCCCCCATTCTTTTTCGTCAGTGCAATAATTTTTGTCAGACTCATCACGACGGTCGCACCGCTGTCAACCCACATCACCACGGTGTTCTCAGAACTCTCCTGGAGCACCTCATCGATGATGGGCGGCTTCCAGGCGTAGCAATGTAAGTTCGCGACATGACTAGGATATCTGTCAAAATTGAACTCGCGATACTCGATCCCGAACCTCGCCCAAATACTGGGAAGGGACCCGTCTCCACATTTACTCTCGCCACCGAGATTGTATGATACGATCCGGACGTTCAGGCCCTCCTTCGTCGCGCGTTCCCGCATCTGCACGAGCACCGCCAAATCCCTTGCTCTGTATCGGTCGTTCGCCGCGGAGACGATCGTCAGGTCCGGCGCTCGTGTCGGGGCCTGCGAGGGCGCGGCCGGGTCGCGGCGCGGCGCGGACGACCCCTCGTGGACCGACGTGGCGAGCGAGACGAGCGCGACCTTGTCCCTATCTTCCCGATGGGTCCCCGTGTCGCGCGCGGATACGGACGCGGGAAGGCACCTCGCGTCGATGGCGCGGCGGCCGACGCTCACATTCGACGCCGCGCCCGCACGGCCGCCGCCGGCGCCGCCGGAGCCCCCACGGGCTTCGCGTACAGCTTCTCCCAGTAGTCGAAGTAGCTTCCAGGTTTCACATGAGGCTCCCAGATGCTTTGCGCGTCGCCGCCGCCATGCGGCCCGCCGGCGCCGCCGTGCCAGTGGATGCCGAAAGCTCCCTCGTACCAGTCGCCGTACTGCGCATGCATCGACTGGAACAGCCAGTTTCTGTTCGGGGGCTCGGGCCACTTTATGGAGGGTCTTGTCATTTCTCCGGTATGATGTCCATCCATCCTCAGCCAGAAGGGGTCCCAAGAAGAACAAGGTAGCGCATACGTCGCCGTCCCGCTCATACGCATGATCTTCGCGGACCAGATCGCGTTGCCCCAGCCCTTGCAGCACCCTTTGCCTTGCAACTTGCCCCCGTGTTGCACAATCTTCATGCCGTGCCGCTTCCTCAACCCTTGGACCGCGTTGTTGAACTTAGATTGATCAAAAGACCATTGATAAACAAAATGCATGCCGTACAGCGGCCACATGTCCCTCAGCAGCACTTGGTCCGCGTCGAAATAAACCCCGCCGTACAAGTACAAGATGAACAACTGGAAGAAGTCACTGAAGTGTCTGGTGCCTTCTTTTTTGTCCCCCGGTCTATCGGTCGACCAGTCGTGGGGCAAAATGGCTCTATTGACATAATCTTCAAAGGGCGTGCCGTGGGCTAACTCTTTGGTTTGTAGGACCTGGAAGACGACGGGCGCGCCGTCCATCTTCTCTACTTCTTCTACTAATGCCCTACCTCTCTCGTTGGCTCTTTCCGAACCCTGAGTAGGGGTCCAGACCACCAATTTCGCGCAGGTCGGGTTCTGGGTCGCCCGAAAACTCCGCAAGAATAAAGCCACGACCCGCACCATAGGACCGTCCCACCACGTGTGTGCTAGAAAGGCCGTCTTGTCGCATGTGATTTGACGCGCTTCGGCATCATCTATTGCTTTGCGCTTCCGCAGCGCCTCGAAGCATCTCGAAGCGTTCGACCGCAGCTGCAACGCTCGATCGTACTTCCGCTCGGATTCCGCACAGGCCGGGTCGAAGATCGATGCAGGGGGTTGGTGGCCGCCCGGCATCGCGAGACTCGCGTAGCGGTCGTTCGCCGCCTTCGGCGTGGGACAGGGCGTCAATGGATCGTCGTCCCAGCACGTGTTGTCGAACTGCGGCAGGCTCGCGTTGAGCGCCGTCGCATGTGTTAATGCCGCGGCGAGCGCGAGCCGCATTGCCATCATCATGCCTGGACAGGTGTGGCCGCGTCGTCGGCGTCTGACGGGCCGCGTCGCGACCGGGATGGGGCAGCCCCTGTGGAAGCCTACCCCAGGTAGCCGCGCAAAGCGCGATGCAATCGATGCCAGCGGGCCTCGCGCCGATACCACGCCGTCGCGGCAGGCGGCCCTCGAGCTCTTGGGGCTGCAGCGCGTCCAGGATGTCCAAAATTTCATTGCCAACGTGCGGGTCGCGAAAAAATCAGCCGGCATTTGCGAGGCGCAATTGCACTGCATTCACGCACGCCTCGCCACAGCAAGAAGTAATGCATTAAATCTACAGTAGTCATCGGCGGGGCAGCCCTCGCGGCGAAAAAGGCAGCAATGCTGCGGGTCTGCACCATCCTCACACTGCTGCGGGCCGCCGCCGGCGACCCCACGTCCGAAGCGGAGGCGCAGGCCCTCGTGAAGCTCACGCACTTGTTTAAGAAAGACCCCGCCGCCGCGGAGCAGCTGGTGCAGGCGGCCAAGCGTAGCGCGCCGGCGCCGGCCTCACCGACACCATACGAGGAACTGCTGGCTTCGGTCAAGAGTACCGCGGCGTCCCCACCACCGCCGGCGGCGCAACCGGGAGCCTTCACCTGGGCCACGGCGCAACAAAATATGAGAAGCTGCATGAACGGGACGACTCCAGTACCGAGACAGGACCGCTACGCCTACTGGCGGAGCACGTCGGCTCTGGGGAATGCCCTGAACGGCTGGATGCACGTCTTCTTGTATGCGCTAGCTTCGGGCCGGCAGCTCGTGGCGGGCGACGGTTTGGCCGTCGAGCTTTTGTGCGGCACACACGGCGCGTTCATTTGTGGAATACCGTACCGAAGCAGGTCCTGGCTCAAGCAGCAGTCGTCGCGCGGCGTCGACGCGGGCTGGACGGACTCCGACCACGCCGTCCATACCGCCGACCTCATGTGGTTTAAATATTCTGGTGTTTCTACGGCTATCATGAGGGGCGCGCAGGGCGTCAAATCCCGGAGGAGGTGGCTTCTAAGGTGCTACGCCGAGGCTTTACGATGCCCAGAAGGTGGGGAGCGCTTGTCTGGTGGCCGGGAGGAGTGTTTGATGGCGCGCGCGATGCAGTTACTCTTGCCCGGGAGTCGCCTAAGGCCGGAGTTCGTCCATGCTGCGTTAGTGGAAGCTAAAAGAAGGTGGCTCGGTTCCATTGAAGAGTTCGAGCGAGTCGTAGCGACGAGACGAGATGTGATCGGCGACCACATTTTTTACGACCCACCCTTGCAAGGTGACGCCACGACGAGGTGGGAGGGCGCGCTGCACGTGCGAGGCATGCCCAACGCGTTGGAAGGAGGCCACGACGGCGGCACCTTCCGGCAGTTCCACGCGAACCTCGCGAACGGCTCGGCGTCGAACACGTGGCCCTGCGTCGCGCAGCGGGCGCGGGCCTTCGACAAGCAACATACCATACAGGATGCGCCGCGGTCGTTTTACCTCGCGACGGACATGAAAGGACTATGTCGCGACGCGAAGCGCGCCCTGGAACGGCACGACTCGTCGCTGACGATCGTTTGTTTAGATGCAGCTCCGGTCCACCTGACGAAGTCGAAACACGCGCCCGTGTCCGTCGATTCCGACGACGGGTTGGACGGGCACCAGGCCGTGGTGCTGGACTGGTACCTGTTGACGCGGTCGCGGTGGCTGGCGCCCATCGTCCGGAAAGGTACAAGGTGCCACGGGCCGGGGCGGGGGGCCTCTACGACGGGCCGCCTCTACGACGTGGGCCAGCCCGGCCAAAGTTTTTTCGGGTGGGCCTTGGCGGCGGCGGGGCTCGGACCGGCGCCGCCCAAACAATTGCCGTGCAACTGCGGTCTTGATAGGAGGCGCGTGTCCGTGTTTGGGCGGCCGCGCTGGACGCCCGTGCCGGTGGCGGGCTCCGATGCTCCGGCCGCGACCGCCGCGTCAGTGAACGCGGGAACTCCGGCAGGCAACGCCATCGACGGCGCCATCGGCCAGGCCCTCGTCGCCGGCGCCGACGCGGTGACGGACCGCGCCGTCGACGCGGCCCTGCGCGAGGGGGCGGCGGCCGCGAAGAGCGTGCGCGAGGCGGGGCAGGCGGCCTGGCAGCAGGTGCCCGTGGGGCCGGCTCCGGACATCGACCTCGCGAGGGTCGTGGAGCGCATGGCCGCCGACGGGTTTGTGAAGTACCGCGACGGGGAAGGCTCGTACTACTCGAAGCCCGGCGATGCGACGCAGTACCGGTCGCGGGCGGAGGTCGCGCGGCGCTTCTATCTCGATGGAGAGTGAATAATTTGTAAACATTATGACACAGCACAAGTGCGCTTCTCCGGGGGCGGCGGCGGAGCGATCTTCCCCCGCATCATGGCGCGCTCGCCGGAGCGTGCGTCGCGCCGCGCCTGCCGCAGGGCGTGCCGCGCCCGGGCCACGGCGGCGTCGTCCGTCAGTTCCGAGGCCTCGTCGAGCGCCGCCGCGGCGTCGGCGTAGCGCCCGGCCTCGCGGAGGCACGTCGCCCGCAACAAAAGCCCCTTGGCGCGCCAGGCCCGGCGCTGCTCCGTTGTTGAAACATCGTCGAGGGCACTCAGCGCGGCGTCGACGTGGCCCTTCGCCTCGGAGGTGTTGGCCGTCTTCAGCAGACACCGCGCGCAGTTCAAGTTCGCTGGCACCGTCACGTCGAAGAGCTGGCCCCGGTGGTCGTCCGTCAGCTCGAGCTTGACCCAGGCCTCGTCGAAGTGCGCCTGCCACAGACTCCGCGCGTACGCGACGCGCGCCCCGTCAACGTCGTCTCCCCGATACCGCTCGTTGCCCAACTCCCGCAGCGCCGCCGAGGCGGCGAGCCGCGTCTCGAAGACGGCGCCCCGCGGCGCGGAAAGTCGCTGGTCGTCACTATAGGACGTCCAGTCGCCGGGGTGGGGTTGGAGCGCGTCGTCGGTCGCGGCTTTTTGGGGGTCCGGTTCGGGCGGGAAGAGGAGGTCGTCGTCGTTCGACGCCATCGATGCGTCGGCGTCGCTCGACGCCATCGATGCGGGCCCGGCGTCGTTCGACGCCATCGATGCCATCGATGCCATCGATGCGGGCCTCGCGAAGAGGTGCTGCTAAGCTGGCAGCAGGTTGTGGGTGGGCTACAAACTCGTACGCGTCGCAGGCGTGGCCTACGCTTTGTGCAGCGCCGCAGCAATCAAACGAGAGCGCGTGGCGCGATTTTCACGCCAATTTTCACGCCAAACGCACCGCGGCGTCCACTCTTGTCGAGGTTGCTGCCACAGGCTAGTGCCTTACAGACCGCTAGCAAGCTGCAACCAGGCAAAAAAGGGCCAGAGCTGCACAAAGAGACCCGCAGGAGAATACGCATCATTGCTGCTGCTGTGCGCATCGGCCGACGTAGATCTTTGCACCGCTTGTGACCGGAGAGCGACGCTGCAGCATCACAGAGCGATGGCGTCGCGCCGGCTGCTCTGCCTCGTCGCCCTCTGCACCATCGGGAACGCGCTGCTGGCGCCCACCGTCCACAGGTGCAGCCTCACAAATTGCCGCGCGAAGAGCGGCGGCTTCGGCGCCACGACGAACAAAGCGCCCTCGAAAAAAACAAAAGCGAAAGCCTTCACGAAGAAGCAGGCCCAGCTCGAGGCCGACCGTATTGAGAAGGCGCCCGCGCGCTGCCCCTGCCACCCGGGCCTGGAGTATCAAAAATGCTGCGCGCCCTGCCATGCGAAGACGACCACGGCGGCGACGCCCGAAGCGCTACTACGGAGCCGCTACGCGGCGTTCAGCCTGGAATTGCCGTCGTACCTCGCGGCGACGACGCACCCGCTCCACGACGACTTCGACAAAGATACGGTGGCCTGGGTGCAGCGCCTCGCCAAGGGCCTCGACGCGTCGTACTTCGAGGGTCTGCGGGTGTTGGCCCAGGAATCGCTGGGGGAAAATGAGCACGAGATCACGTTCGAGGCCGACGTCCGGCCAAAGGACTCGCCCGAGGGCGCCGGCGTCACGCTCCACGAGCGGTCCCGGTTCATGAGGGAGGACGGCGTCTGGTTTTATAGAGAGGGCCTCGACGTGTCGAGTAAGAAGAGGTAGTTACCAGGAGAAGACGGCGGCCACGAGCTTCTCGCAGCAGTTCCGCGGCTCCGTCGGGTGCCGCAGGCGCGGGTGGAGCATGAGGTTGTCCGGTGTTCGGGACGGCGCCGCCGGTGCCGCGGGAGCGCCGCCGCCGCCGCCGCGGAAGCCGAAGCGCCGCGCCGCGTCGTCGTCGACGCGAAGCGCGCCGACGACCGTCCTTCCATCGCCCAAGACGAGCGCCTTCCGCGCCAGGAGCGCCTCGCACTGCCACCGCGACGCAAAGCGCGCGAAAAGCCAGTTCCCGGCGCCGCGCTCGTGCTCGAGGACGTCGCCGTGCTGCGCTAGAGCTGTCAGGGCGTGCGGCGCGTCGTCGGGCCCGAGCCCAAAAACCAGCACCCAGCAGTCCAGCGCCCCATCGTCCGTAAACCCGGTACCGGCCGGCTCCGCGCGCGAGAAGAGCGGCGCATCGTCGGGCTCGCAGGCCATCGGGCTCGCGTGCTGCGGTCTGGGGGGAGAAAAGAGGTCCGGCGGCTGCCGCGGCATCTGCTCGTCCAACAGAGACGCCGTCGGGGGGCCCGGGCTCCGCGTCGCGCGCGGCACGTGGCGCGGCGAGGCCAGGCCGTTGCCCAGCGGCGTCGCCTCGGCCCCCCGCCGCCGCCGCGGCTCGCCGAAGCCCTGCTGGCCGAAGCTCGACGGCGGCGGCGAGGCGTACGCGCCAAAGGGGCTCTGGCGGCTGTCCGGCGGGTTCGAGCCGGACCGCTCGCGCGCCGTGCCGAGCGCCGGCGACGCGAAGAGGCTGGGGGCGAGAGACATGTGGCTGGCTTCTGGCGCTGCTTGCCTGGTTGGTGTGTTTTGCAGCGTTTGTGAGTAGTTTGCAAAGCTAGTGTCTTTAATCTAGCTCGCCGCGCACCGGACCATTCCAAAAACACAAAAAACACGTTAGAAGGGCTACCCAGCGCCGCGCCCGGCGGCGACCAGCTCCGCCGCGAGGTCGACGCGCGGGCACTCGAAGGCGCGCGTCCCGAAGGCCAAGGCGTCGCCGACGGCCGCATGCCGCTGGCGCTCGACGAGCGCGTTCAGCGCGGCCGCGTCCGCTTCGAGTTCACTTCGCGAGGCGCCCGCCCGGATGCGCGCCCGCAGCGCGGCGAGGCCCTCGTCGACGCGCCGCCGCAAGTCGATCGAGGGCGGCGCGACGTTTTGGGCGGCCAGCACGCCCGCCATCTCCGCGCCCGCGCGCTGCGCGGGGCCCAGCGCCGCCGAGCGGTGCGGCTGCGCTTTGAGCTTTTTGCCGCTCCCGTCGAGCTTGTCAAAAACGCCGCGCCGCGCCGCGTCGGCGATTTTGCGGTCGGCAATTATGGTCGATGGATCCGTCTCCCCGACGACCGCCGCGTCGCTGCCGCGTACCAGCGCCGCGTCCTCGTAGAGCGCGCGCAGCCGCGTCCGGCGGCCGTCGTCGGCGAAGCAACGCCGTAGCGGTGCCAAGACGCGACGCATGAGTCTCAGATTGCTGCAAGCAGGTCCGCACGCACGAGTACGGTGTGCCGTGCGGGCGACGCGGCGCCGACACTGCAGCACAAGGATTTTGGCTCTCAGCGATGCGCGCGCTTTGAACCCGGATTTTTGGATGGGTACGTCGATAACGGACCGCAATGCGCGCCCAGGCGAGAAATGCGGCTGCCTGGGCTGGCGCGTTGCGTAACGCGCTAGCGGCCTGTAAGACACTAGCCTCGAGCTGCCCGCCGCCGCGACGACGTGCCGCCTCGCAGCTGTTGCTCGATTTCACGGGCACTTACGATTGCCACAATACGCCGCGTGGATCCTGAGCTCCCGACCGGCGGCGGCACAGCGCTTTGGGCTGTAACCCCTCACAGGAGATGGAGACATCGAAAACCTGCGCGTATTGCTCCAAGCCCGACGCCCTCAAGATCTGCGGCCGCTGCCGGAACCAGCCCTACTGCAGCCTCGAATGCCAGCGGAGCGACTGGAGAAGGCACAAGGCGTCGTGCGCGCCGCTCGCGCCACCCCCGCCGCGACGAACAAACAGGTTACATAAGGACGCCTTCCGGCCCTTTGCGAAGAAGGCCCTCTCCAAAAAGAACAACGCCGGGTGTAGGGTCGGGCTGCGCAACGAGGGCAACACCTGCTACCTCACGTGTGTCCTACAATGTTTAACGTATAGTCCTTTAGCTGGCTACTTGCTGGAGCTCGATGTAGACGGCTCCAACAACATGATGGCCGAGCTCCAGAGTCATATCCGCAAGGTCTGGAAGCGCAACGAACTGCTGTCGAGGACGGAGCCGTCGAGAATCGGGTCCGAAGAAGATAGTGATGACAGCGCGGAAACGGTACAAGCCTGCAAGACCGAGGACATCGACGTCGCCCGGTCGTTGCTGAAGCGTACCTTACACAATGGGAGGATGCAGGACGCCCACGAAGCGTTAGTGGACATCCAGGCACAACTCTTAGAGTCTTGCGGTGCAAGTAAATCATTGACAGGCAAAGCACTCGCAGAATGGGAGCGGTCGACCATTGTGCATGACGTCTTCGGTTCTGATCTCGAGCAGGCCTGCGTCTGTTCCGCCTGCGGCTTCCGCAGTCCTTCAACACATGTAGAAATGATGTTGATGCTCAATGCGACCTTAGGACTGCGGGACGAGGACTTCCTGCTGAGCGCCGAGAGTTCGATGGAGAAGCCCTGGGAGTCGCGGTCGGCGACCAGAGAAGCTTTAAAAAGGGGATCGGGGACCTCGCCGCGCGCGCCGCCGCCGCCGACTACTGTGGAGGAATTATTGAAGTTGTATTTCTCGACCGAAACCATCGACGACTACGCCTGCGACGAATGTCATGAAAGATGCCGCTGCGACAAGGTGTCGGGCTTCCGGACGACGCCGAATTGTCTGGCCACATATATAGACAGACAGCCCCAATACAACCAGCTCTTCGGCAAGCTGAACCGCGTCGTGACCTTCTCCGAGACCTTGGATTTGAGGCCTTTCTGCGTGGAGCCGGGCTCCGACGAAATTTACAGATTATATGCGGTGGTCTGCCACCTCGACGTCGCGGGCTCGACGTTTTTTGGACATTACGTCTGCTACGTGCGGGACGACCGCGAGCGGTGGTGGCTGTTAGATGATGAGAGCGTGCGGCCCGTGGGCTGGGACGCCGTGCGCCGCGTGAACCCGTACATGCTCTTCTACGCGCGCGCGCGGCCCCACTTGGTTTTTCGCGCGGCGCCGGCGCGGCCGCGCGAGGGGGAGTAACCTAGAGGAGTAACCTTTATCCTTAGTTTTTTATCCCCCAGAGCTTGAGCAACCTGTACGACGCAGACACGACGCGCCGTCCGTCCGGAAACACGGCAACGCTCCAGACCTACGACGAAGCCAGATCATCACAAACGTACAGTGGACGCCGCAACGCACGGAGTCCGAGTGCCCTTCCAGCGTCGCCACGCATTTACCGGTCGCCACATCCCACACCTTGAGCGTGTTGTCCCACGACCCAGAAACGACGCGCCGCCCGTCCGGAAAGACGGCAACGCTCGAGACCTACGACGAAGCCAGATCATCACAAAAGTACAGCGGACGCCGCAACGCACGTCGCTCGAGTGCCCTTTCAGCGTCGCCACGCATTCGCCGGTCGCCACGTCCCAGACCTTGAGCGTCTTGTCGTTCGAGCCAGACACGACGCGCCGCCCGTCCGGAAACACCGCGACGCCCTTGACCTACGACGAAGATAGATCATCACAAAAGTACAGTGGACACCGCAACGCACGTAATTCGAGTGCCCTCTCAGCGTCGCTAGGCATTTGCCGGTCGCGATGTCCCAGACCTTGAGAGTGTTGTCGCCCGACCCGGACACGACGCGCCGCCCGTCCGGAAACACAGCAACCTACAAGGAAGACATATCACAGAACGTACACAACGCGGACGCAGCGTGCCGCACAGGGGAGGAACCTTCCAGCGTCGCCACGCACTGGCCGGTCGCCATGTCCCACACCTTGAGAGTCTTGTCGCTCGACGCAGAAACGACGCGCCGCCCGTCCGGAAACACGGCAACACAATTGACCTACGACGAAGCCAGATCATCACAAACGTACAGTGGACGCCGCAACGCACGTAACTCGAATGCCCTTCCAGCGTCGCCACGCACTTGCCGGTCGCCACGTCCCACACCTTGAGCGTGTTGTCGTCCGACGCAGAAACGATGCGCCGCCCGTCCGGAGATATGGCAACACAATTGACCTACAACGAACACACATCAACACAAAAGTACAGCGGACGCCGCAACGCACGTCTTTCGAGTGCCCTTCCAGCGTCGCCACGCACTTGCCGGTCGCCACGTCCCAGACTTTGAGCACACCTGGCTTTAAAACTTCCCCATCACAAGACACGACGCGCCGCCCGTCCGGAAACACGGCAACGCTCGTGACCTACGACGAAGCCAGATCATCACAAAAGTACAGTGGACGCCGCAACGCACGCTCTCCGAGTGCCAGAGCATCTTCAGCACGGCGAGCTTCGATGGGTCTATCGCTTCGACTGAAAGCTGTCGCTGCCTCGCCTGCTTGAGCTGCTCCTGGAGTTCGGCCTTGCGGGCTTCGAGCTCCGCGTGGAGCCTATCGCCCTCGTCGAAGTCGTCGTTGTCGAAGGCAGCCTCTTCCTCGGCCGTCAGCTTTATGATGCGGGCCTGCAATGCGTTGATCTTGAGGATGCCGCCCCTGTGCGCAGCTTTGATCTCCTCGATGCGCCCCTTGATCTCTTTGCACTTCTTCCCGTCGCGATTCCCCTTGGCCTCAGTGAGCTCCTTCTCGAGTCCAGCGATCAATAACTCCTCCAAATCGGCGGCGAGGACGATGAGCAGCTCGTCGGCGGTCCGGTAGCGGTGGTAGGCGTCGTGGCCGCCCAGCTGTTTTCGCAGCAGGAGCATTTTCTCGTGAACGAGCTGGACCTCGCAAACGTGTTGGTGAGGGTCGTCGGAGCGAACGATGTTCAGCAAGCAGTCGGCCCACCCGCCGCTGGTCCGCCCGCCCGCGAAGCGGTTCTTTACGCGTACAATCTTCCAGCCATGATTGGCCTCAGAAAAGAACGTCAGAGCGGCGCCGAGCTCGCTCATGCTCCCGCACGTGACCATGCCTCTGACGACGTCGACGATGCCGTCGACTTCGCCGCGCCGTTCCGCTTCCGCGCGGAGCATCGACTTCTCGATCGCGCGCGACATCTTTTTCAGCGGTGCCACGGAGATGCTCGCACCGGCGAGTGCGCCGCGCGCCGCGTCGAGGAGGCTCGCGAACGGCGCGCGAGCGCCCACCGCCCCAGTCTCGTAGAGCTGCTCGAGCCGCTGCGTCGTCTGGCGCGGCTTCTGCCGCGGGGCGTTGCTCGCGCAGCGGTCCGCCTGGGTGTTGAATTCGGCGAAGCCGGGCTCCTTTGCCAACAGATTTTCGTAGACGGACTGGTAGACCCGGCTGAAGTTGGTCAGGAGCTCCGCTCGCAATTTCTTCAGAGCGTCGCGATGCGCCGGCGCCTGGTCTATCAGCATCGAATAAACGCCGCGGCTGTGCTCCAGCGCGCCGCGCACGGCCGTGCGCTCCTGCGCTGTCCAGGCGCCTGAAGACTCCAGCTTCCGCTGGAGCGCCGTCAGGCTCTCGACGCACGAGGCCATGTCATCGCGGTCGACGGGGAGCACCAGCAGAGATGCGCCCGCCCCCATGATGCTCGCCTCGCGGGTGTGGGAGACGGGCAGCCCTGCTCCAGGTTAGCGCAGGCACCTTGTTGCGGCTCGCTGCGCGACCCGCCACATCCCTAACTCACCGGTATTTGTTACGTGTAGCAGTTTTATACGGGCTACGGGTCGCTAACTAGACTGCGTGTGCGCATATGTGCATGGGCAAGTGCCCGCGACGCTCACAAACAATACCCTGAGCAATACTAGAGGACACTTTAATTCAATTTCGCAAAACAATTAGCTAAATAGATTCTTCTTCAGCAACCGAGAGGCTAGGCTCCGCCCACCATGTCAGAAAAAACGAGCGGCTGCTCCGCGGGCCCGTCGGGACTACTAGTACGAGCAGCAATTCAATAGACAAATATAGTATTACTAGAAGTAGACCTTCATGACCCGCTCCACCGGCGTCCGGCAGACGGGACAGGGCCGGCCGCCGTCGTCGTACACAACCGCGCAGGTGTCGCACAGGAGGTGGCCGCACGGCACGAGCGCGCATTCCCGAGTCGTCCCGAAACAAACTGGACACTCGTCCGCTCTCGGCTGCCTCGACGGCTGCCTCGACGGCGCCGGTGCGGCCGGCATGCTAAACAGCGACGAGCCAAAGGGCGACGCCTCCGCGGCGAGTTGCGCGGGCGCCGGGTCGCCGCCCATACTGTAGCCAAACGGCGAGGCGTCGGCCGCGCGCGTCGGTGCCGCCGCCGTCGGCGCCGCGGGGCCGATTGCGTGCGGCGACGGTCCGATGGCGGCGACCGCCGGCGACCGCGCTGGCGCCTCGCAGGGCGCCGCGAGCCCGCCCAGCGACAGCGACGGCGCGGCCGGCGCGACCGGCGGGCGGCGCGGCGGAGCATTCACGGCGGCCTTGACAGAGGCTGGCGCTTTTACAGCGGCCGGTGGTTTGACGACCGCGGCCGGCGCCTTGACCACCGCCGGCACCGGCCGCGCCGGCGCCGGCGGAGCCGGTGGGAGCTCGACGACGACCGGCGCGGCCTTCTTGCCCTTGCGCCGGCGCCGCGCGGCCGGCGCGGGCGCCGGCGCCTCGGCGGGCGCCGGCTCCGGCGCGTGGCGCGCGAGCCGCAGCAGGTTCGCCTCGCCGTCCGAGTCGCTGTCCGGCTCGTCGTCGGCGACGACGGCCGGCGCCTCGACAACCACCGGCGCCGCCGCGGCCTTCTTCTTCTTGCGCTTCTGTTTTTTCTTCGATGCCCGGGTGGCCTTGGCCTCCTCGTCGTCCAACAAGCTCAAAAGCTCGGCCTCGGCGCGCGCCGCGTCCTCGGCGCGCTTCGCATCCACAATGACCGTAGAAACGCCGCCGCGCCGCGACGCGACGCGCTCGCGGACGTCGCGGGCTTCGTCCCACGCGCCGCGCACCTTCTCGAGGACGCAGACGGGCAGGCCCGACTCCAACGCCGCGCGCAGCATCCCATCAAAAGTCACGTCGCAGGCCGCGACCTTGCCGAGCTTGCGCAGCTCGCGCGCGTAGACGACGCGCCCGACCGCGTGCGACAGGGGTTCGTCCTCGTCGTCGTTCGTCGCCAGGGCTTCGAGGATGCGGTAGGCGCACTCGGCGGACGCCGGCCGCTGTTCCCTGAGTAGGGCATACAACGCGTCCACACTTTTCGGTTCGGCCAGGTTCCGGAGCCATCCTTTGGCGCCTTCATAGGTACAAGGGAGCGGATCGTGGTCTGGGCAGGGCGGCCGCTCCTCCGGCCAGGACCGTAATTGCGCGTAGCAGATGATGCTGACCACATCCCTTACTTCGACGGGGTACGGCTTTGTTGTTTCGCCGTCGATCTGAGCACAGACAGCGGCCCAGTCGAGCCAGTCTTTCGGTACTTCGAAGGGGTCCCGGCTTTTCAGGAGCTGGATGAGCATGGGGGACTTGCGCGGGTCGATGCGAGGGACTTGGAGCAAGGGTGGTCCCACACAGGCCCGCCACGACAATCTTAACAACACGTCAATCGAACTGTAGACGGTAAACCTCGAAGCAGTAGACGACGAGGCCTTGACGAGAGAAGCGTTGCAGAGCAAGGACCAGGCGTGCCAGAGCTCCAGCGGCCCCTCCTGAGGAGGGGGATACACCTCGGCCAACGCTGCAATACCAGCGATGAGCGTGCTACAACGACGTTCATCGGACGAAGACCGTTCCAAAAACGCCGTGACATCTAGCAAATACGACGTACTGTTCAGGTCGTTGCGGTCGACGTCTGGCAAAGTGAACTGCACAAATGAAAGCATTTGAGCTAAAGCATCCACGAAAACGGACCACGAAACAGCATCGTGCGTCGTGAGTAACTGTAGAGCCGGAAACAGTCCCGAATGTGCTACGGCTCTGGCGAAGTGGTTGACGCGCTTGTTTTGGTCGTGCAAGGCCTCTGCCGCATCACCTAGCGTGTCGACGAAGCGCCGTCCCAACGCATCCACATTCTTGGGCGACGCCAGCGTCACGAGGTTGGCCAGGATGCGCGCGGGCTTGGGCACGACGCCGTCGTCCGCAATCGCTCGTTCCGTGACGCTCGCGAAGCATTTCGCTGTTGCGGCGTCGACATCTGGTAAGGACGCTCTAGCGATTTCCGCGGCGGCCCGTCCCGCCGCGTCGACGTTCAGAGACGCAAAGGCCTGCAACGCGCGGCCGGCCGCGGTTATTGCCGCTTGCGCGGCGGCGTGCTTGCCGTCTTTCGCTGCGAGGCCTATGCTCAGGGCCAGAGCTCGCGGCGCGCCGGCCCTCCGAGCCTCCGCGACGCCCGTGAAGTTCGCACCTTCGAAGAGCACGCGCAGCGCGACGGCGGCGCCCGCGCGCGCCGACCTTGCTTTCACGGGCCCGAAGCCCCGTGTCCGCGTCAGCGGCTCGTCCTCGTCGTCCGACGACTCGCCGGGGTCCTCGGCGTCCAACAACAACGCCTTCGACAGGAACAGTAGTAAACTCTCGAGGCCCTTCCCGGTCGGACCCTGTAAACCACCAGTGACCGCGGCCCTCACGACAGCCCCCGACAGACCGGCCAAGGCCTCGGCGCACCAGACGCCCCCGGGGCGCCCGTACTCGGACGCCAGCCGGAAGGTGCAGGTCCGGCCCGGGTCCGTCGGTAATAAAGCCTCAGCAAAGTCCGCCCAGAGCCGACTCCAGGGCGCGTCGTCTTCTGTTTGACTCAGTAACGCACCTAGGGACGCCGTGGCCTCGCCGGCGGCGGCGTGGGCTCTAGAAGCTATTTCTGTGTCGGTGTCCGTCCGCAGCGTCGCCTTGAAGAGCGCCCAGAGGAAAGCCGCGGCGTTCGCTCTACAACAGGTGCAGGCCTCGCCGAAGACCGCGGTTGCCGCCTTGGCTAGGCGCGGTACTAAACACTGGGCGGCCCGTCGCAGTGCGGGGTCTTTGCTTGCGAGTGACGCTCTTGCAAAAAATAAATGAGGTCCTTTGTGGATCGAGGGGTTGCCCAGGGCCTTCTCGAACATCAATGTGGAACCATAGAGCCGGGCGACGCCCCAGGCCGACAGGCCGGGTCCGAACGCGGTTCGCGCGCCTTTGCACGTTGTCGAGGCCGCAGCTACCGATCGAACAGCTAGACCTTCGCTCCCGCCATTTATATGCCTAAACCTTGCTTTCTCCTCCCTCGTAAAGGTGGCCTGGTCGCCATTAGGATCCACACCCAACAAGTCCTTCAGAGTGAGGCTCGCGTCGCCTCGGACCAACGATTCCCCCAAATGCCGCACGCGCCGATCCGACGTGCGGATGTGCACGCCCAGATATTCCAAGAGCAAGGTGCCGGCGTCTGAGACGGCCTGGAGCCGCTCAAGCTGGCGCTGGCACGACGCGATTTGATTGAGCAGCTGTTGCTTCGTCGCCTCCTGCGTCTCGACGATCTGCGAGAGATCCTTGACGAGGTCGTCGTCGGTGACGGCGTCGAGCGTGATATCCAACTCGGGCCCGGCGCCGCCGTCGCTGGCCGCCTGGCCCATGGTTTGTGCTGGGAGCTCCCTGGGGGCAGCTTTCCGCGCGGCGAGCTGCGAGCTGCGGTTGACTTGCGAGCCGTCGGCGCGTCGGACAGTTCGTGGGCAGCCGCAGCTGTCGCAGCCGGCCAGCGACCGGAGACGGGATGCGTCGCGTCGTGTTTCGGACGGGTTGCGAACGCGGGGTTTCGGACGCGTCTGTTTTACGTTTCAAGGCACGATTGGGAACGCCAGGGAGCGGGTGGAGGCCAAAAAGAAAAAGGCGCGCCTCCTCGTCTTAGTTTAATTTAGCCGAGAGCGAATTGCCAAAAACGGCTAGCACCAGCGTCCAAACGCACCCTGAACGCACAGGCGCCCGGAGCGCACTCGTGCGTCATTGATCTCGCGCGCGCGGCAATCAACGCGCAGCGAAACGACCGCCCGCGCCCCTCCGCAGCTCAAATACAAGCAGCTGCCGCAGCGCTGCCAGAGCGCCCGCCCGCCGCGCGCGCACACTACCACCCTACTAGCTGCATGGGCGCCGACGCCGCGACCGTCACGCCGCCGCGCGAGAGCATGGGCGGCGCGAAAGATGAGGACCTCGCCGACGGCTTTTCGTTGGGCGAAGTGTTCGGTGGTAGCAAGGCCCATTCGGGCTACACCTATGACGACATCATCGTATTACCAGGAGAGATCGACTTTGGCGTGGAAAGCGTCACTCTAGAAAGCAAAGTGACGCGAAAGATTTCCCTCCGAACGCCCTTCGTCTCGAGCCCGATGGACACGGTGACCGAGGCGACCATGGCCATCGGCATGGCCCAGCACGGCGGTCTCGGGATCATCCACTACAACATGCCCATCGAGGACCAGGTGGCCGAAGTGCGAAAGGTGAAGACCTATAAAAACGGATTCATTAGTGATCCCGTCGTCCTGGCGCCCCACAACACTTTATCGGATTTAGACGCGGTCAAGGAGAAGTACGGCCACTACGGTATTCCGGTCACGATCGATGGAAGGTTGCACTCGAAGCTCGTCGGCATCGTCACGAAGCGGGACGTCGACTTCCAGGAAGACCGATCGGTGCTAGTCGATAGCGTGATGACCAAGGACGTCGTCACGATCCAGGAGCCCGTGACGCTGGCCCAGGCCAATGCGAGACTCGCGGACTGCAAGAAGGGGAAGCTGCCGGTGGTCAATGCCGATGGTGAATTAGTGTCACTGATCTCGCGTACGGATCTGCGGAAGGCCAGAGATTATCCTCTCTCGACCGTAGCTGCTTCAGGAAGCTTGTTATGTGGTGCCGCCGTCGGCACGCGACCGAACGACCGCATCCGACTCGCGGCCCTCGTCGAGGCGGGAGTTGATGTCGTAGTACTGGACTCGTCGCAAGGCGACTCGTGCTTCCAGAAGGACATGGTCCGGTGGATCAAGTCGACGTATCCCTTGCTCCAGGTCATCGGGGGCAACGTCGTCACGCGTCAACAGGCGAAGCATTTGATCGACGCCGGCGTCGACGGTTTGAGGGTGGGCATGGGTGTAGGCTCCATCTGCACGACCCAAGTGGTGTGTGCGTGTGGCCGGCCGCAAGCCTCAGCTGTGTACGCGGTGGCGTCGTATGCGAACTCTCGTGGTGTTCCTGTGATTGCCGATGGAGGTGTGGGCAACACGGGCCACATCATCAAAGCGCTCATGTTGGGCGCGTCCTGCGTCATGATGGGCAGCATGCTCGCGGGCACGGACGAGGCGCCCGGCGAGTACTTCTTCCAGGACGGGGTCCGCCTCAAGCGCTACAGAGGGATGGGCTCGTTGGAAGCGATGTCGCAGGGCAGCGACAAGCGCTACTTCGCGTCCCAGGCGAAGGTGAAGGTCGCCCAGGGCGTCTCGGGCACGGTCCCGGACAAAGGACCGTTGGCTACCTACATCCCCTACCTGCGCCAGGGCATCGCGCACGGCTTCCAGGACATGGGCGTCCGCGATCTCGATGAAATGACTTCTAGAGCCGCTTCGGGTGCTATTCGGGTCGAATTACGTTCCCCTGCGGCCCAGAAGGAGGGCGGCGTCCACGGGCTCCACAACTACGTGCTCCGCACGCACGCCCAGGCCTAGAACTACCCCCCCCTTTAACACACTATCCTGTCTTCACTCGCGGTCGCGGCGGTGGCGTTAGATGTCGGCTCCGAGTCATGACGCCGTCGACGCTAGATTTTGACCGAGCTACTTAGTCGTCATCAGAACTAGAAGACTCCTCCTTCGGTGTAGGCTTCTTCATGAGCGGCTCGTCGTCGGAATCGACTTCCGCCTCCTGCTCGGCCAACCGCTCCTTCTTGTACTCCTCGAGCTCGCGCGCGTACCGCGCCCGGTCGCGCGCCGCGAGGTCCTCGAAAGGCTTTTTTTCGCCTGGTGTGGCCGCCTTCCACATCGCTCCTACCGTTTTTCCGAGGTCGCCGAAGGTTAACGAAGCGTTTTCTCTCTTTAACAAGGTCCGGTGGTGCTTCGAGAAGTACATATACGCGGACGTGGCGCTTTTCGGCGCTCGGGGGTCCTTGTAGCGCTCCTTCCGTTTCTTCACGGGCTTTGGGCTCGGTGGTACTTTTGGGGAGTCCTTCTGGAACTTCTTTTGTTCGGCGTAGGTTGCGCTCAGGACGGAGTAGGCTCGGCTCTGGTCCGCGGGTAGGGCCTTCCACCGTCGCGCGATCTCGGACGAGACCTCGTGCGGTTGCAATTTGGGGGACTCCTTTTCTACTTTATCTCGAACTTCGCAGTAAAACAACATGAAGGGCGTGAGGCGCTCTTCCGTCATGGTGTTGCGGCGGCGGCGTTTAGGGGCTGTTTCGCTCTCAGCTCGCGGGTCGCTTTGTGGCGCCTGGCGCGGCCTGTGCAGGGCGCTCGCGGTCTCAGCTGCTAGATATACTATTGATGATTCAGAGCACGCAATGTGGTGTCCAGAAAGGCGTCAGCGGCCTCGCAGGAGCGCTTTTTGTGCCGGCTCTCAGACGCTAGCGGCATGTAAGACACTAGGAATGGAGGCCGATGAGCTTTGCGACCTCGTAGGCCTCCTCGTAGCTACCGCATTGATCGTCGCTGGCTACGCAGCGCTTGTCAGCAGACGCGCACTTATCCCGCGTTGGCTGGGAGCGCAAAAGTTTGCACCGCCAGAGACGCCGTCGAGCAGCAGCAGCACCAAGATGAGCGACCGCCTCACAACAAGCCAGCGCAAGGCCAAGGAGTGCGCGACGAAGGCCGAGGACCTCTGCGCCGTCGGCGACACGGACGAGGCCACGCGCCTCTACGAGCGCGCGTGCAAGCTCGACCCGGACAACGCCCGCTACAAGATGGGCCTCGACAGCATGAAGCACCAGAAGGAGTCCATGGGCTACTTCATGGAGCAGCTCGCCAAGCACAAGGCCAATAGGAAGTACGAGAAGGCGTCGCCCGACGCGTCCCAAGCCGACGTGGCGGACGCCGCCGAGCAGCTCTGTCGCGCGGCGGAACGGGGCGAGCTGCCGTCGATCAAGGGGTTGATCGATAGCGGTCAAAGCGTGAACACGTGGAACGAACTGCGGCAGGGGGATTCAGCGTTGCATTACGCGAAGGATGCCAAAACGGCCCTTTGTTTGTTGGACGCGGGCGCTCATATTGAGGGAGGACGGTACTCGTGGACGCCGCTGATGGCTGCTGTTAGGTTTGGAAGGCGGGACGTCGTTCGAGTTTTGTTGGATCGAGGCGCGGACGCTTGTCGGACTATACCTAGAAAGGAGCCGGGTGCCGGTAGGAACGTGTTGTTTTGCGCGACGAGCGGCTGCCACTTGTCGCCTTCTGAACGAGCTGAAATTGTTTCAGTATTGTTAAAAGCGGGTGCCGATCCCACAGCCTGTGAGACGGAGACGCACTGGACGCCGCTCCACGACGCGTGCTTGTCCGGCGACGCGGAGGTGGCCCGCTTGCTATTGGATGCCGGTGCCAACGTCAACGCCGCGTCGACTCGATCGTGTGCGTTTCCGATGAGTCGCGGCTGGGCGACGCCTTGGGACGTCGCGCGCGGCGTGGGCTTCGAGGAGCTGGTCGAAGAGCTCGGTGTGCGCGGGGGAACGGCGTTCGAGCACTTGCACGCGTACGCGGGGCCCCAGGGTAGGGTGTAATCTGTGTTGTTGTAATTCACATCACGTCTTCACGTCTTCACGTCGACGGCGTACCCGTGCTCTTGGCTCACGCGGTTCCATGTCCGAGTTGCACCGGACCCCTCGGTACCTGACGAAGGGAACTGGGCGCTGGGGGCGACGGGTCTCCCGACTGGGCTAGTGTCTCTCTCGATGCGGCGATGCAGTGCTTGTGTTTTGTGCGCGTCGCATCACTCACATACGTGTAACCAAACGCCCAGCGCTGGCCGTTGAAGTCATCTGCACCGAAACTAACTCCTGCAGGCGCTTTACGCCAGTCGACGCGGCCCGCACTCATAAAATGGCAGAGCAACACTTGGACAGCAAACAGGTCCGCAAGGCCGTCAAAGCCTTGTTGGGACACCGCCAGCAAAAAAACACTCTAGACTTGGATGCTGCTGCGTTTACCCTACAAGTAGGGCTGAAGAAGGCGCCCGTAGACCCGTCTCCAAAACCGAGGTTGATACCATTACCGCACCGCGTGCGCAATGATGCTGGAGACAGAAGAGGTTGTTTAATTGTCAAGGATGCTGATAAACCGTGGCTCAAGGCGTTACTGTTAGATGGGGAAAGGCCTGGCGCGAAAACAACAAGAACAAAATTAGACGGTACGCGAGCCGCGAAGATGGCTCGGAGAAGCGAATCAACGCGAGAAGCGGGTAGCAACGGCGACGACCTTACGATAGAGGGCATCCACAAGGTGCTCGCTCTCTCAAAGTTGAGGACGTCCTATAAACAATTCAAGGACCGGAGAGAACTGCGCGACCGCTTCGACGACTTCTACTGCGATGATAGGGTTGTGCCCATGCTGGGCAAGTTGCTGGGGAAGAGCTTCTTCGATAGAAAAAGGCAGCCTATCTCTGTTAGGGTTACAAGAGGTCCTGAGTCGTTGCGAGAGCAATTACGGAAGGCCGACTCCTGCGCGCGCTTCGTCCTCAAGGAGGGCACGTGTGCTGCTTTAGTGTGTGCGACGACGGATTTGAATGAAAAAGAGATTGTCGAGAATGCGGTAGCCGCGTGCGACGGCCTCGTGAGCTGCGTCCCCAAGAAGTGGCGCAACGTGCAATCGGTCGTGCTGAAACTGCCGGACTCGGCGTCGCTGCCGGTCTTCGCGGGTGAACTTGATCAGCCGAAGCGGAAGGCTCCTTCCGATGAGCCTCCTAAAAAGAAGAAGGCTCGCGTCGCAGAACCAGTCGTAAAGAAGCCGGGCCGCAAGTCATTGAAAGCGAAGCTTCGGGACCTGAAATAAACAATACTACTTAGTCTTCTTGCCGCAGTGCGTATCCACAAATGCGGTCAGTTTCGCGTCAGAAGCACCGGTCATCGCGTCCTTTTTGGCACCGTTGACGAAAATTTGAAATGTGGGCATGGCCTGCACACCACAAGCCTCGGCGACGTCGTCGAGGTCGTCGACGTCGACCTTGACGAAGTCCGCGCCGTCGTAGGTCGCCGCGAGGCGCTGGAACAAAGGTGCGATCTTCTGGCACGGGCCGCACCACGTCGCCGTGAAGTCCACCACTAAAGGCCGGCCTTCTTTAGTCTTCGCGACGCGCTCTTCCCAGTCCTCGTCGCTGCTCACGTATGGCACTGTCGGCAGCTGGTCTACCGGTCGCTCGTCGAGGGCAACCTCTATCGTTGGCGGCGCTCCCGTGAACTTCTCGAAGAGCCACTTCAGGCCCAGGACGATGACGGGCCAGATTGCGTTAATTGGGATGCAGACGCCGCCGAAGCATATGGTGCCGCTCATGGCTGCTGTATATCGGCCGCGCGCGGTTGGGACTGCCTGTAAGCTCTCGAGCGCGTCGATGGCGTGCTTGCGACGAGCTATGCGGCCCGGTGTGGTCCAGCGCGGCCCTCCGCTCGGGCTCAAATCGCAGCGTCGAACTAGCGTCGCTGACATACTAGCTCTACTTGATGCCACGGCAGCCCACGCCGGCAGCCCACGGCAGCCCCGTGACCAGGCGACTGCGTTGCATAGATCATTCAATTATCCATTACTACCATGAATGCGAGAACATTCGTGCTGGGGAGCATCGCTTTGGCAGCCCAGGAAGCAGCACATGCGCTCACCACGCCGCCAGCGAGCCGCCTCGGCACTCCCGAACGCGCAGCGCTCGGCGGCGTGGGCGCCGCGTGGGTCGCACTCGGTGCGCGCACCTTTGACGCCGCGAACGCGCGCGAGGCGGTGGGAGCCTTGGGCGTCGCGACCGCCACGTTCGAGGACAACATCCGCGAGCCCGCCGCGGGCTTCCTGGAGCTGACGTCGCCGCTCTTCGTGCTGCAGGGCGTGTTATTACTCGCTCTTTCAGCAAACGTGTTTGCGTCGAAGGATGCCGCCCGCGTCAGCTCGTCGATCGCCCTAGCATCAGCTACGACGCTCCTAGCATTGGCGCTGGCCGTCGTCGCGGGGGCGCCCGTCGAGAACGGTTTTGAATTCATCACGGATCCCTTGTTCATCACGGCGGCGGTGGCGCTCAAGGCCGCGGGTTCCACTGAAGAAGACGCTTTCGAGCTCATCCGCGGCGACGTTGTGGAGCTGGCGACGGACGGCGGTTCCGTAGCACCGGAGGACGGCTACGGAAAAACGCTCGCGACGTTCTACCGAGGGTCCTGCCTTGTTGGTATATTGGTGGGCGCGTCGTTTATTCTAAGCCCGATCAATCCGATAGGGATATTTGACACGGAGTCGCCGGCGACGCACTTCTTCCGGGCTTTATGTGGCATAAGCATCGCCCTCGTGCTCGCGCCGGCGCAATCTATACTATGGCGTGCGGCCAAGGCGGGGGAGTTGAGCGCAAATTCATCGCGGGCCCTCAACGCCGCTTTGGGACTGGCGTCCGGGCTGTTGGTCGTCGACGGCCGGCTCCAGGTCGAGGAGGGCACGCGCCAGTTCGCTCAATTGGATCCCTCGTCGGCGATCGCGAAGGCGGTTGAATTGGGGGATGTGGGGCGGTCCGTGACGAACACTGATGCGGCGTTTTCGGTGGGGCTAGTTGTTGCCTTGTTCTACGTGGCGCAGGCGGTCGCGCCGGCGCGGCGAGTGTAAGAGTGTGTTTTACTAGTAGTAGTTCTAGGCGGCCTCCTCTCAGTCGGCGACTCGCGCTCGCACGCCTGTGGTGATGGCGCGGCGGGTGCAAGAGTGTGCGGTATACTATGCTTAGGCGGTTTCCGACTTGGGCGCGTGGACGCGGGCGGCCAGGCGTGCTGCCAGCTTTCTCTTCGCGAAGTCCAGTGTCCGTTGGCAGCCCTGTGCTTCCGGGTGGTTAGCACCGAGCACGCGCCGCAACGCCGCCTCGGTAGTAGTGAGCGTCGCTACGGCCTCGCGAACATAGACGCGGAACCCTTCACCAATTGGCGTACAACCGTAGTCAACAACAATTTTGGGACCCGGTTCCGCAAGGCTCCTGTCCTGGAAGCTACCATTGAGTTAGCAAAACAACGCCTCGCGTACAAACTCGATCGCTACGACCGCGCGGAGCAACGCTTGCGACGGGGCCGCGTCGAGGACCTGGGACCGTCTGCGATGTACTTCGTCGGTTCCCGCGCGATGAATGATACCGTTGTGGAATCAAGGATGCCCGCGCGCGGTACTACGATCGTCGGTCGCTACGCGTTCACTCACCTGGAAGGCAACGTTATTCGATTCGCTCCACTCTACCAGCAGTACAACGGTGGTTCTACAATGAGCAGTCACTGGATGAAGCGCAGGAACGCCTCAATCTTCGAGCCGCCCCACCGAAAGCGCCGGGGCCGGGTCTCGCAGAACTACCGGGACGAGCTGCAAAGAAGGCGGGCGAAGAAGGCCCGGCGGGCGGCGGGCGGCGAGCGGGGACGTAGCTAGTAGAACATTGTAATGTACACATATGTTACAAGGCGATCTTCACGCGCGGATCTTGCCGCAGCACGGCGTAGCACTGATACAGCTCGTCCGCCGACGCGACGGGCGCCTTGATGGTTACTGAGGTATACGTCTTCTGCTTCGAGTCGTTCTTGCTGAATGCAATATCATCAACTGGCTTGTCGACGACGCCGGCGATGTAGCGGCACATATCTGCAGCAAAAGTGTCGTCGTCGAAGCCAATCACTTTGATCGTAAATTCGCAGGGGTAGTCCACGAGTTTTTCAAATACTTTTGCGCCTGCGCGCGACGCGGGTGATCGGGACTGCGGCTCGCGCGAGCTGGCTCGGAGCGACGACGCCTCGGCGGCGACCCGACGGCGTCGACGCGACGCGTACGCAAGAAAAGGACGCCGCTTCCCACCGTCGTTCTCCCGCTCGAAGCGCGCGATCGGATCATCTTGACTGTTGTCGAGGATGTGGCGGACGGGTGCCCGTCTTTGCTGCTGTGGTGCCAGGCGCGGCAGCAGCGCCGAGGCTGTTGACAGTAGCGCGACGAAGGCGTAGTGGTGCGGCATGAGTGCGGCTACGTGCGGCGATGCTTCTTGTTCGCGCCGCGGCGATGGCTTCGCGGCGAAGCGAGTTCTTGCGGCACCTACGAGTTCGACGGCAGCTAGGCTAGTTCCGTGCGGCTCGTCGGCGCAGCAGTGCACGCGCGTCGATATATGCTATGCGTGAGTGTCGTAACAGCTTGTCGGCTCTATGAAATGCCACTGCACAGCGACTGCACCAGCTGCAACGCGGCACGCAAAAATAACTAGCGGCATGTAAGACACTAGCACGATTCTTCGCGCTTGGTTTTAAATAAATTGCACAGCTGGTACGGCCCGCCAGACACTCAAAAGCCTGCGGCAGGCAGCTCTTGCAGTCCTGCGACCACACACCAACGCACACTTCCCAAGTCGCCGCCGTTGGCGGGCAAACATTGCGCCAAGTCACAGCGGCCGCCACGCAGCGCGAGCGGCGCGTAAAGCAGCCATGGCCGGCTACGACGCCGTCCCCACGACCCAAGAACCAAAAGCACCGAAGCAGTCGACCCTACTAGCATGTATCTACGGCTTGGTAGCGTCGCTCATGTGCGCGCCGGTGATGATGTCCTTCGCGTCGATCATCTTCGCGGACCCGTTCTTTTCCGAATACTCTCCAGAGTTAGTAAAATTGGTCCTCTTCTCGTCGGCCGTCCATCAACTGTGCTACGTGAGGTGGAGCACGATGCCGTTCGCCGTCGGGCAGGTCCAGGACGCCGGCCTCATATTTCTTTCAAGTATGGCGCGGTTTGTCGTTGCTGATGGGTTGCAGCACGATGACCATGCGGCGACGACGATGGCGGCGGCGCTGTGGACCCTTGGACTAGCGACGGCGTTACTTGGTGTCATGCTCATTGTCATCGGAAGACTAAGGCTGGCTTCGTTAGCCCAGTACCTGCCGGTGCCCGTCGTCGGAGGGTATCTAGCATATATAGGCTTCTACTGCGGCCAGGCCGGGTTGGCTATGATGAGTGGCGTCGAAGTCACTTCTCTCAAGGACTGGCCGAGGCTCTTCCGCGGGAGCGGCCCGGCGAAGATGTGCGTCGGCGTCGTCGTGGCTTCTGCTATTGTATTGACGTCATCAATAGCCGAGAAGAGAAAGTGGTCCCGCGCGTCCAAATCACTGATCATGCCTTTTGTTCTATTAGCTACTTGCGTGATATTCTACGTCCTCCTATATGCGGAAGGGTCGACGCTCGCCGAATCGCGTGAACATGGCTGGGTCGGCGCCCTGCCCGCTCGGAGTGAGAAAGGAGGCAGTGGATGGAGGAACGTTCCCATCCTAAAGCCGTGGGCGCTCTACGCTCCTAGAAACACAAATGAGGTCCTGCGAGCCGTCGGACGCGTCGCTCCTCGATTAATACCGTCGTGGCTCGCCATGGTCTGCGTCGTGGCCTTTTCTTCCTCGTTGGACGTCGCCGCGGTGGAGATGGAGCTCGGCTCGCCGCTGAACTACGATTCGGAACTGCAGACGGCTGCGTGGAAATCAAAGTTTTACGGCGCGTTCGCGACGCCTGCTCGATGGCGTGGCGATGCCGGTTCCTCGCCGCTCGACGGAGCCAGCACGGGTGCACCCGACTCACTGGTTGATTTCCACACAGGCAGACGGTTGGCCTCGGGAACCTGGCTTCTGGCTTGTTAGGAGGCTTCTCTGGTAGCTATATATTCTCGCAAACAATATTAAATGTGAGGTCCAAGGTAGCAAACCGCTGGAGCGGTGCCGTGGTGTGTCTCATGGAAGTGTTACTCGTATTATTTCCGGCGCCTCCCACTGCATATATACCTACGGGTGCGTTCGGTGGGCTACTGTTACTGGTCGGTGCTTCATTAATAATAGAGTGGTTGATAGAAGCGAGGCATCGGTTCTCGGCACCGGAGTACCTGGTATTACTTTTTACGTTCGCCTCCATACACGTCATCGGCCTCGAGGCGGGCTTTGCCGCCGGTTTAGCTTTCAGTGCGTTGGCCTTTGCGTGCCAATATGCTCGGGTCCATGATGAAGTGGGAGGCGTCGCTTGCAGGCGGTCGAAGAAGGCCCGCTCCGTGAGACGGAGATCTTTTGAGGAACGACGAGCGTTGCACGACCACCGCGAATCGATAGTGGCGTTAGATGTGGTCGGCTTCGTCTTCTTCGGGGCCGCGGCGCAACTGCTCGCAAAGCTGAAAGACGAAGCGAAGGGAGCCGCTTGGGTGGTATTAAATTTCGAGGAGTGCGTGGGCTTGGACGCGACGGCGGCGCGGTCGTGCTTCGCGCCCTTCAAGCAGTACCTCGTCCAAGAGAAGTGTTCCTTGTTGGTTGCTGGTCTGCGGCCGCACGTGTCCGAACAGCTCCAATGGGATTCGTTTGTAACCACAGATCAAGCATTGGAAAGTGCCGAGGATTCACTACTAGCAAGATTTAAAGTGGTGAAGGGCTCGTTCTCCGAGTTGTCACAGGAAGACGGCTTTGATGCTATCCTAAGACCCTACGTCGACGGCATGCAGGTCGACGCCAAAGCTCTAACAAAATATGTGGAAGCTACGTCCATCAAAGCGGGCGAGCACTTGTTTAGACAAGGAGACGCCGCGGACCGCGTCTACTTCGTGCGGGCCGGAACTGTGGATCTCCGGTTGGATCAAAGACGCATCGCGCGCGTCGCGCGCGGCGCGGTTTTAGGCGAATTGTGCTTCCTGCTGAAGAGGAGGCAATCGTTGGACGCGACGGCCCACACGCACTGCGCGCTGTGGTGCCTGTCGCGCGATCGTTTATCAGCGATGAAGCGGGAACGGCCCGACCTGTTCAACGTGCTCCAGACGGCACTCCTAAAATCCATGGCGCTGCAGGTCGAGGAGAGCCTCGGGAGCGGTATTTGGTCCGCGTCTAGCTAGTTGTTGTACATATAAGTATCTGTTCATAGTAGTACTAAATATTACCGTCGTCCGTCGAGGTTCTAGATGTGCGTGAACTCCCGCGGCGATGGCGTCACATTGGCGTGCCACACAGCGCATACGCCATCGACGCGACGCGTCGTGAATGGGGGCGAGAGTAGTCGCAACATTCTTACGCGCGCCCGCGCGCGGCGCGCGCCCGCCGCCGTAGTAGTTGTAGTGAGACTAAATACGAACAGGACGGTCTTACGCGACCCCTACTTCTTCTTCTTCCCCTTCTTGCCCTTGCCCCCCTTGCCCGCGTCCAACCTCCCCAACGTGTTGAACAATTGGTCGGGCAGCGAGTGGTCCACCTGCAGCATTTGTATCTTGCCCGGCGGGCCTTTTGAACCTTCCAATTCCCCTCCATTAAAGGCCGCGAGCATGGTGTTCGCGCCCTTCTCGCCGATGCGGTTGTGGAGCAGGTCGACTTGTGATAGTAAACTCGTCTCGCGCTGCATCACGCCCGCGAGCTGCTCCAAAGCTTCGAGGTCCTCGTCGGTGGCGGCGATGGCGTTGTCCGCGAGCGACAGATATTCGAGTTTGTTATTATTGTCCATTCCCGAGAGGATGCCCGACCTGCGTGGAAATCAAATTTTCACGGCGCGGGATCGTCGCGTCGACCTCCACGCCATCTTCATGATATCTGCTCGATGGCGTGGCGATGCCGGTTCCGCACTCACCGCTCGATCGAGCCAGGACGGCCGCGTATCGCCGAGAAATGACTTAGTGCACCCGACGCACCGGTTGATTTCCACACCGTTCCCGACAGCCCGCCGCCCCGCATCTTGTTGCCCTGCAAGTGGAGCTTCTGCAGCGTCGTCTTGGCGTAAGATAGCACCTCGCCCAGCGGCGCCCCCGCGTCCTCGTCCAAACCACAATAACAAAGGTGCAGTTGTTTTAAGGACGCGTTCGTCCGCAACCCTTGACAGAGCGCCTTACAACCATCACTACCCAGCGACGAGTTGTAGTCCAGTTTTAACGTAAGCAGCGACCGGTTCTGGCCGCACATCAAGGACTGGCCCAACGCATGCGCTCCTCGGTACCCCACACCACAATCCAGCATTTCAAGGTAGGCCATGGGCAGCTCCGCGCCGCCCAGCCTGAGTATTTCAGCTAAGCAAGCGGCCCCGTCGTCGCCGCAGTCCATGCGCCAAAATCTAAAGTTCTTGGCCATCTTGAACACGGCCCCGGACATGCCCGGCGCGTTGCCCATCAACGCCGTGCAGAGCGCCCTCGTCCCGTGGGGGCCCAGGACCGGTTCGCCATCTATTACAAGTTGTTCATTTTTCATCATGATTTCTAATTGCTCCTCATCTCCGCCTAGTTGTGCCAATACTTTGGGATGCGGCGTTAATGCGGCGAGCTTGCAGTACTTCTTGTAATTATCAACAACAGCTTCCGGGTTCATGGACGGGTCGTCGGGGTCGATGGCCGAGCCGCCCTTCTTTTTGGGCGGCATGGTGAGCTAGCTACCAGTGTTGCTTGCTTGCTTGGTGCTTGCCTGGGGCAGCCTCGCGGTCGGCTGCTCGCGGGCGCCGACGGATGGTTGGCTCACTGTTCTGGGCGCTCGTACGCGATCCTGCGCTCGGGCAGCGGTGCGCTTTCGTGCGCGCTTTTACAGGCGTTGTCTCGGCTGCCCCCGACCGACAAGCAGGCGCGGCACTAGGGGCCCACCACCGCTACTGCTCCCCGGGGAGCCCCTCGGCGCCGGACCGGCTCGCGCGGAGGAGTGCCAATCCGGGCTTTCGACTCGGGGGAGAGCCTGCAGCGGCGCTGGCCTCTCCCTGGCAAAACGCGTGGGCAGCCACCAAGGGTGCACGACCGACGAGCGCAGGTATCGTGCTCTCGATAAGCCGCACGCGCGGCATCGATTTGACACCCTCGACGCCGTCGCGCCCAGCCACAACTCCTTGCGGGCAGCCTCACAGACAGCATGGGCAACCGCCGCCGACCGCAGGGGGACACGCGCCGCCGCGCGCACGGCTGCACGCACCGCACGCACGGCGTCGACTTCGAAACCCGCGACGCCGTGTCGATGCGCCGTCGGGGCCAGCCCAACGACGCCGGCGTCGCGTGGGTCGTAGCCACACCAGGACCCAAGCGCTTCTCCACGTCGCGCGGTCCTAAGCAAAGCCCGATCCGCCAGCAGCACCAACAGTTGAAAGTTCCGATGCCTTCTGACGTCCGAGCACTGATCGAGCGGAAACACACGACCATAACAGCGGTCCGGGGCGACCCGCGGCGGATCGGCCGCGTGCTCGGCACGCCGGTGCCGACGGAGCGCCCCGCGACGGCGCCGGCGGGCCGGCGCCCCTACGAGGCACCAAGGTCGAGGCCGCAGTCGGCGCGGCCCTGGACGACGCGAGGCGGCCGCGCGCTCATCGACGGCAAGCACACGACTGTGACTGCCGTGCGATACCAACCTCGGTACAAACCGCCCCCCATCTACTGTAGAGGAAGGGAAGTTACTAGAGACGATGCTACGTATCATACGGCCAAGGAAAGGTTGAACCGCAGCTACTCGCGGCCGCAGACGGCGCCCGTGCGGCGGCGTAATGGTGGCGTCGATCACGTGAGAACGCACGCCCAGTCGCCCCTCTTCGACATTCCTAATACGAAACGGCCGCGCCCGCGTCAAAAGTTGACGAAGGAGGAGCGGCGTTTTATGCTGGCGAACGGCTGGCCCGCGGCCGGCCCGAAGGACGCCGCGGTGACGCACTGGGGCGGCGACCACGCGAGTCGTGTCTTACCGTTTGCCGCGGGCTGCGGCTTCGAGGCGTACCCCGACGACGACGCGTCGTGGGAGTCGGAAACGGTCTTGGAGCGGCGCAGCCGCCTCAACGCCGCGCGCCAGACGCGCCTGAGCGACTTATGCGCTGCTATCACGCCGGATAAGGACGACTCCCTCGAAGCAAGGCAAAGGCGCCTGTTCCAGATCGACGTAAAATCGCGTCCGAGGAGCGCGCCCCCCAAGAAGGACTACACGATCTACGGCCCCGCGCTGCTCGACGTCTCTGACCGCCGAACCGGTGGCTCCTCGCCACAAGCCCCGACCCTTCCCCAGGAACACACATTGGAATATCCTCTGCGAGTGGATCTGCCTCCTCCAGACGATAGAATTTCGGTTATTATTTAATATTACTCTCTAGCCCGAGGACGACGAGTCGTCGCGGTCGCAGACCGGCCGCAGCATCGCGAAGAACAGTTTGGCCGGCTGCGTCGTGCTGCGGTTCATCAACCTATAGGTATTGTTCGGCGGCACGTAGAACTGGTCGCCTGGACTGAATTGGAAGCGCAAAGCTTCTGACTCGTGCGGGTCGGTCACCATGGCATCTTCTGAAGGAAATAGTGTCAATTCAACAGCTAAGTTTTGGGACGTCGACACGAAGAAGAGCATCGTGAGACTACCCGTGCTTTCCGACCCTTTCACACCTCCCATGGGCAGCTCCATCACGCCGGACGCCCAGCCGGGGTAGACGTCGTCTCTGGCAGCATCCTCGGCGGTAGCGATGGCCTGGCAGGCCATGACGGCTGGCTCGTCGCCTTCCGTCGGGAGGGCCGAGAAGCGGTGTTCACTAAACCTTGCCGCGAACTTCGTGGTCTGCGCGTGTTGCGAGCCCTCGTTCCACAACCGGGCTTCCGTGCCCTGCGCGTCCGACTCGTAGTCCGACGGTTGCAACGGGGTGTCGTCGACGATGATTCCACCTATTTTCTTCGTGAGGTGTCTCGGTCTCTTTTTCGGTCTTGGGGTAGGTGCCCCCAATTGTACTGCCGCTACTTTCTGGAGCCCCGTCTGGGAATCGGGCTCGTAAATCACGCGCTCGCCCTTCCACCACTTCATGACTGGGAACCTGGCGCGTCGTGAGCGTCGGAGACCCTCCGCCGACGGATCCGGCTGCGGCGGCTCGTACGGCCGCCTACGACTGTCCGGCGTCCTCGCCTGCCTCGCGATCACTTCCTCGCCGTCGGAATCATTCATAGGAGACTGGGGGAGGTCGTCGTCGTCGTCGTCGCCGAACGCAGGTGGTGAGTCGAGGGCTTCGAGAGCATCCACACTTCCAGCGAAGGACACGGACGACCGCCTCCGCTCCGGTTCTTGCCTCGCGACATCTTGCCCGTCGTTGTCCCAGGCCGGCTGCGCGGCCGCGGCCCAGAACGCGTCTATCGAGTCGTAGGCGCCGTCCTGCGCGAGGTCCTCCGTGTCGACTACCACTCCGGTGCGGCGGCCGACGAGCTTGACCATTGTTGTATGCTTCGTTCACCGTCTTGGATCCGCGCGCGCTCGTCAAGGCTATTTAAACAGCTTGGCGCACCGCTCGATGTTTGAACCACTGGACGCGCGGCGGCTGGCAGCACTGCGCGACGTTGGTCGTATGTGATGCGTGCGAAGTTCTAACAGTTTATTTGATTGATTTATGCAGCAGCGCGGCTGTAACCCACTGGCGCGCCTTGAGCTTGTTTGGTTCATAGCGTAGTAAACATACTAGGATTTCCACAGGAGCCCTATCGCGCTCTTTCAGTCGCTGTGCTAGTAGGACACTCGCAGGAACACGCTTGTAGAAGGCCAGAGCTGTTGCAAGCCGCCGGAGCTTTGCCCGCTCACTTTGACACACGCGCGCGGGTTTTGTCCGCCGGACTCTGGACGCGCTCCACGCCTCCGACGCGAGCGTAAGCCCTCAAGCTAGGGCCCGGGTAAAGCCGGGTAATTATTTCTCGCCCGATTTTGAGGCATACTCCATGAGTCCTAATTAAGCTAAATTACCCTGCGAATCCTAATACTGCGTGGAGACTTCGAATTTTATAGGGGGGAGCGCAATTAGTCGACGTTGATTTTGATTTTGGCGCAATGCGCGTTTAGCCACGCGCCGGCCGAATGGCGGGAAATTTTTGCTGAGGCGCAGGTTCCGTATGCTAAAATAATGGGCTGTGCGCAATCTGGTACCATGCGGGCAGCCTCGCGCAGAGCAAGCAGCTGCGACGCGGTGCGACCATTGCGATAAAACCCGAACCCCAAGCCAAAAATCGCCCCTGAGACGTATAAATTGAACCACAATTACGGAAAAATTATTTCCTAACGTTCCATAGGTATATAGGGCTCTAAGGGAATTTCCGGCTTTTGGCTAGGCCGACCCTCAAGCTACAAATACAACCTTAGCCCCCGAGCCCCGGCCGCTCGGCGACGTTTGAGAGAGACAACCGCATGCGCTCCAAGTTCATTTCATGCGCAGAAGGACCGAGCCACTCCATGGGCCTGTTCGCGCCCTTGATGCGGGCCACCTCCCGCTCATAGGCCTTTGTCTCCCGCTCCGACCGATTGATCGAATCTGGAGCATGCTTCCAACCGAGACACGTGACGCGTCTGACATCAATACCGTTCCGCGCGAGCACCTCCCTTAACATGAATCGATGTTTTTGCGAGACGCCGCCGGCTTGCCGTATCTTCTCGAAGACGGGTTCTGGAGGGTTCGAAACCCGAAAAACTTCGTGCGAGCCATCGGCATGTTCACATAATAACCGCCAATCCCCGTCATGGGGGACGGTCTCCTCCACAGGCTTACGGGGTCGCTTCGGCGAGGTGCGATTCGCGTGCACGGGGGCCTTTCTGGGTCTATGACCTTGTAAACCGTTGTTGACCACATGAGACAAAGGGTGCTTGCCCGCGAGATCAAAATCGAAGGATTCCGCGCCTCTGGACGTGCGGAAGACGCTCCCTACACCGCCGCTCCCTACAAAGCCGCCCCCTCGAATGCCTCGGCTTAATGGCCCTTGCGAATCTTGCCGGCTGCCCATCTTCGTGGACGACGCTGCCGGTGGTCGTTTCTTGCGCGCTCTCACGAGACCGGCGCTAGTCCCTAGTCCTAGAGCACCTTGGCAAGCTCGGCGCTGTAGATTGGCTAGTGTGTCGAAACACTAGCAAATCTCGCCTTTACGCGATGTACTTAGTAGCGACTACTATGGACACATGCTTATGGACAGACTTGGACTCGGAGAAAACGGGAGGGAAGGCGCGGCGCGTATGGACAGGGAAGACGCGCGGACGTCGTCGTCGAGGGACCGAGGCGGGGGGGGAGATCGAGAACTTGTCGGGGAACTTTTGGCACCCAGGGGGCTTCCGGACATCAGTAGGTGTAGTCGTTGCCGTCGTACATCGTCGTGCCGTATTCGTCGTCAGGAGAGGGCCCCCCACAGGAACATATTTCGCAGCATATGGCGCCGCAGCTCTTCCACTCGTCGCGCTCGCTGTATTCGCGAAAGCCCTTGCGAGCGAAATCGAGTCTGCGCCGCGGATAGGCCGCGCTGCGCCGCGGATAGGCCGCGCTGCTGGGCTGCGCGAGGGCGCGCAAGGGCCCGGCGTGCTCGTCACAGGGGACCCCGTTGACAAACAGGAGCGCGTCGCCCTCCGCGACGACGCCGCGCAGCGCCGACGTCGGGTCGACTCGCCCCACGACGAAGCCCGGCTCGTAGCCTTTGACAGCATGCGGGAGGCGCCGCGCGTCGTTCTCGAAGGCGAGCCCGAGCTTCCCGGGCGGCGCGTAAACCGCGTAGTAGTCCTCGGGGCGGCGGCCCGACGCGCGGTAGAAGACGAGCGTCCGATCCGTCGCCCCGTCGTCCTGGGCCGCGAGGACGCCGAGCACGTCGTCGCCGACGACGCAGTCGTTGACCGAGACCAGCTCGTCGCCTGGGTAGACGGTGTAAGCAAGGGCCGACGTATAGGGGGGGAGAAAGCGGAAAACGACGCGCGTCGAGTCCTTGAACTCCAGGCCGAGCGGGCCCGGCGGCGCGCGGCAGTAAAAGTGGTCGCAATGGAGCTGCCGCGGCGCCTCTTCCGCTGGTTCTGGCGGCGCCGGGGCCTCCGTTTTCCCGTCCCGCTCCATTTCCGGCTCCGGCTCCGGCGCCCGCCAGGAGGCCAGCCGCGACAGCATGGACGGGCGCTCCTCCGCCGGCTCCGGCGCCGCCTCGCTCTCCGGCGCCGCCTCGCTCTCCCACGCCTCCTCAGCCGCGATGCGGCTCACGCCCGGGCTCTCCATGCGAGGAGCTTAATACAGGGCAGCCTTCCTTTGGTCCGCTGCCGATGCAAATGCAACCCGCAGCCCACAGTTCACGGGTGAACGGTGCGCAGAAGCAGGCAATGGCTGCCACTGGGTGAAGGCTGCCCTCCTCGCGCTGGCCCGACTCGGGAGACCGGCAGCATGATGCGCATGGGGCCTGCCGGGTTGCCACGCGCCGACACGCCGAAAGCTCTCGCGGGAGCTCTCCGATCGCCTTTACGCCATCGACGCGACGCGCAGACGCGACGTAGACTTTCCAAAACTTACACACAGAAGCCGCGTCAGCCCGCGGCCAGCGCGTCCAGAAAGACACCCACATGATGAAAGACCGTGTCGTGCGGGATGTCGTTGTGCCCATACCCAGGAATCCACGCCGGGTCCACGGGACGTTGAGCCAACTTCTGCAAAGCTCGCCCGCACCGTAAAGGCACCACATCATCGTCGGTGCCGTGCATGATGAAGACGCGAGAAGACACTTTTGCCATTTTCTCGTGGTTCACGAAGATGTCGATGGGCCGCAACGCGAGCGAGGACCCGTAGCCCAGCGCGCACCTTATTGCTGAATCGATGGGTGATTGTAGTATCAACCCTTTCGCTTCCACGCGCGACGCCAGATCGACGGAAGGGCCGGTGCCAATACTTCGACCGTAGATGACAATTGTTGTAGGATCGACACCATGAGCAATGAGGTAGGCCCAGGCCGCGTCGATGGCCCGGTAGCACCCGCGTTCCGACGGCACGCAGTCCTTAAAACGCGAGGGGCCGTAGCCGACGTACTCGTAACTGAAGACGTCGGCGCCCGTCCTATGAGCCAGGGCCGTCACGAACGGTAAATGTAAAGCGATGTCTTCCGCGTTGCCATGACTAAATAACAGGGTCACGTTCCGCCGTCGTCGTAACGGTGCTTGGATGTGGATGGCCGGGATGCGCTCGCCTTTTTTCGTTTCGAGCCACACCAAGTCTCGTCTCTTCAATAAGTCGTGGTAGAAGGACTGGGGGAGCTTCGGGACCGGGAACGCCAGTGAGGATACTAAGCCGCCCATTGTTGTGCTCACGCGTCGGCGGCGTGCAGCGTCCCTGAGGGCTGCAGCCTTGTATTTGCTCGCTTTTGCTCGCTTTTCTGAGCAGCGAACGGCTGTGAGCAAGACAGCGCTATCGATATAGTATTTTTCAGATGTTACTCTTGCAAAACTTCGAGCGGTATGCGCGTTTGACGGGCAAGAGCTGCGTTTTTTGCAGCTTGCTAGTGTGTCTTACAGGCCGCTAGCTCCGAGGAATCCGCGCCTTGCTGTGACGCGTACAGAGACCTCCAAAGGCGCCCGAGCAGGCATCGGGCCTGGTTTTAGAGCGGCTTTGTCGGTCCACTTGATGCCATGCTCTTGCTTTTTTGCGACGACGTCTGCGTTAACGCATTAGCGATTCTGCCGCAGCAGCACTGCCGGTAAGGTCCGCAAGGGCTGTGCTCGCCACCCGCCGGCATTACACTGCACGAAACGACGATTATCGGGCGCATCACATAGATATAGCATGGTGCTCAAGCAAGAGCGACGAGTAAACGCCGCGAGCGTAGCCAAACGCCAGTCGATCAGCGCGGCAGCAGCCCAGAAGAAGCTTGAAATCGAGGAGGCGGCAAGGGAAGCCCAGCTGCAAAAGGCGTGGGCCGTCGGCGCCGACGAGAGGAGTAGACGACGACAAGACGAGGAGAACCAGCGCGAGACGCGGCGAGCTGAAAAGCAACAGGCCAAGGACGAGGCCCTGCGCAATGACGAGATCGAGGGCCCGTCGCTCGTCAAGCCGCGACGAGCACATTCTTCTGATGATCTGCTGGGACTCGCGTTAATGCAGCAAACCGCAGAGAAACGCCTCAAGGCCCGACGGAAGAAGCCCAACTCTCCACCTAGGACGCCGTCCATGTCCTCGCTGCAGGAAGACATGCTCGACGTCCAGCGAAACACGAATCGCGACGTCGACACGGACGCTTTACGACGGGAGGCCGCTGATGAGAGGATGCTCTCGTCCGTGCGACGGACGCAGTCCTGCGGCACGCTCGGTGGGTTAGTGGTGCCGCCGTCGCCGCCTCGATCAAACGGCAAAAAGTTCAGTCGGAAAGGCGTGCGGAAGGTTCCCTCCAAGAGCTCGCTGCGCTTCGTTTCCGAGGAGCTGTGCTGCGCCTAAGGTATGTGTCCTTTATTTACGTAGCGGCGACGGCGTCGGGGGGATGCGGCGGCCGCCGCGGGCGCGTCCCGCGCCACCACAAGGCGCGCGGGCTTTCGTATTCGTCTAATGAACCCAGAGACGTCCGGTGACGGCTACAAGAGCCCTCAGAAGCGTCGCGCGGAACGCGCTTTGGCCACAGACGTGAAAGGCAAACAAAGCGATTGAGCACGCTGCGCGCCTGGGAACAGCCCTATACGTGAGTTTCACAGCGGTTCCAGCGCTTGGGTAGCATCACGCGTGGCCTGGCAACCTGCTGCACGCGAGCAAGCCGCGTTGCTTGGCACACTCAAGCCACAAAGTGCCACAGTCCTCTGCTAGGCAGCAGAGGCGCGTCGAGGCGCGTCGACGCCATAAACCATGGCCGCGGTCCGCTGCACCATAGCGGCGGCCCTCATCGGCCAGGCCTGGGGCCTCGTCCCACCTCAACCGACGCAAGCGAGGCATACGACGCTCCACGCGAAGCGACCAGACTACATTCCCGGCGTCATCTCCGATCCAGGTTATGTGAGAATATTCGACACGACGCTCCGAGACGGCGAACAAAGCCCGGGCGCCACGCTCACGTCGAACGAAAAGCTCGACATCGCAAGGATGTTGGCCAAACTGGGAGTCGATATTATCGAGGCAGGCTTCCCCATCGCCTCTCCCGATGATTTTGACGCCGTCAACCAGATCGCGCGCGTCGTCGGGAATGAAGTGGATGAGGACGGCTACGTCCCTGTTATTTGTGGCTTGTCCCGTGCCAATCCCAAGGACATCGAGCGCGCGTGGGAAGCAGTCAAGCCAGCGGTAAGACCGCGCGTCCACACGTTCATCGCCACATCACCAATACACATGGAGACGAAGCTCAAGAAGACGCCGGACGAGGTTTTACAAATTGCCGTCGATGCCGTAAAATTTGCCAAGTCGCTCGGCTGCGACGACATCGAATTCTCGCCGGAAGATGCGGGTCGCAGCGACCCCGAGTTCCTGATCAAGGTGTTGAGTGCCGTGGTCGACGCGGGGGCTACTACGCTGAACATCCCCGATACGACGGGATGGAATGTACCCTGGGAGTTCGGACCCCTGATCCAGCAGCTCCGGGAGGGCCTCGGCGAGAAGGCTGATAGGGTTGTATTTAGTACGCACTGCCAGAACGATCTAGGGTTATCTACCGCTAACAGTATCGCGGGTGCGGCCCATGGCGCGAGGCAGATCGAATGCACGATCAACGGCATCGGCGAGCGGGCGGGCAACGCGGCATTGGAGGAGGTAGTCATGGCTCTGGCCTTGAAAGGACCGACGCACTTCGGGGCGAAGGGGCCTTGTGGTGAAGGTCCTGATCTGAGGACGGGCATCGACCCCGTCCACATCACGCCGACCTCGAACATGGTAAAAGAGTACACGGGCATGGCCGTCCAGCCCCACAAGGCTATTGTGGGGGCCAACGCCTTCCAGCACGAGTCGGGCATCCACCAGGACGGCATGATCAAGAACAAGCAGACGTACGAGATCATGACGCCCGAGTCCATCGGTTTGATGCGCGGCGACCAGCAGTCCGGCGCGGGCATCGTTTTAGGTAAACACTCCGGAAGGAACGCCGTCTCGACGAGATTGAATGAGTTAGGATATGAGTTAGATGATGACAAACTACAAGCGATTTTTATTCGCTTCAAGGAGGTCGCCGAACGGAAAAAGGGCGGGTTGGACGACGACGACCTCGAGGCTCTTGTCGCTGATGAGGTTTATAGTGCCCAGGCCATGTGGCGGTTGGAGCGAGTGCAGGTGACCACGGGTTCTGGTGTCGTGCCCACCGCGACCGTCGCGCTCACAGGACCGGACGGCGTGGAACGCCAGGGCGTCGCCATGGGCACGGGGCCCGTCGACGCGGCCTACAAGGCCATCGACGCGTTGACTTCTGTGAAAGTTCATCTCGAGACGTACAGCATGGAGTCTGTTAACGCGGGCATAGAAGCGATGGCGACGACGAAGGTCGTGGTCAATCCCGTCGACTCGGCGACGTCGCTGCACTCGTCCGGGTATACGACTTCCCGGAAGTTTTCTGGTTCCGGTTCGGATACCGACGTCGTGGTCTCGTCGGCCCGCGCGTACGTGGCAGCGGTGAACAAGCTCATCCGCTGGAACATGCGGCGGGCGGCGGCGGAGCAGGTCGAGGCGCAGGAGGCGTGAGTCGCGTAAGGTGGGGTTTCTACGTTCCTGCGTTGATGGCGTGAGAGGTGCTAGGACTCGTAGGTGGCGCCCCTGCGGGGGAGACACTGCGCGTCGGTTGAGGGGGGGGGGAGAGAGAGAGAGTCGATTATTGAGCTAGCCCCCTAGCACGGTCATGAGTGACCCGCGCGCTAGGCCTCATTCCAGGGCGCTAGGAAATCCTCGTGAGCTAGCGCTGTAAGACACTAGCACAAGCTCATTTTTTTGGTCGTCCAAAAAGCGGTGGACGCGTGGCCCCGCTGTAGGGTTTCGTGCAAGGAGGCTAGCGAAAACTTGCTTGAGACGTTCTATCGCTGCGGTAAAGTGGCGCGAGCGCTTCGCTGAGCTTGGCCTGAGCCCAAGCAAGAGAGGCCGACGACCCAGGCATCTCGCCGCCAGCGGCAGCGAGCAGCCATGTCTGGCTACCCGCCGCCGCCGCCAGGCGCCTACGGCCAGCCGCAAGCGCCGCGCCCTGCCTATGGTCAGCCGCAGGCGCCCAGGCCTGCGTACGGTGCGCCGCCCGGTCAGGCGCCCGGAGGCTACGCCCAGCCCGGCGCACCAGCGGCGCCGCGAGGCTATGCGCAGCCGGGTGCGCCGGCGGCGCCGCGCCAGCAGTTCGGCGCCGCTCCCGCCGCGCCGCGACAACAATTTGGGGCGCCGGCGCCGCGATCATACGCGCCCCCTGCGGCGAGACCGCCGGCCGCTCCGGGTGGCTACGGCCAGCAGGCGCCGCGCGGCTATGCTCAACCAGGGGCTCCGGCGGCGCCGCGGTCCTACGCGCCGCCGGCCGCGAGGCCGCCGGCCGCGCCCGCGGCGCCGCGAGGCCTAGCGCCGCCTGCGACGGCGCCCGCGCGAGGCTTCGCGCCGCAGGCGCCGCGCGCGCCGGCCGCGCCGCGGGGCCTGGCGCCGCCGGCCACCGCGCCGGCGCGCGGGCCGCCAATGGGCGCGCCGCGGCCGCCGATGGGCGCCGCGCCGGCGAGGGGCCCGCCGATGGGCGCCGCGCCGCCGATGAGCGCGCCGCCGGCCAGAGGACCGCAGGCCGCCTTCCACCAGGTGCCGGCGCGCGCGGCCCAGCCGCCCACTGCTCAATTCGGCCAGATGCGCGTCGCCGACGGCGCGCCGCCGCCGCCAGGGCCTCCAAGAGGGCCGCCCTCGCGCAGCGGCTCCATGGTGAGCGCGCCGTCGCAGCAGGCCCCGAAGACGTTTCAAGGCTACGCGCCCGCCGCGGAGGGCGGCTACGTGCCGACGGCCCCCGGCGGCGCCGCCGCGCCGCCCGGGGCCGCGCAGCCCAGTCGTAGTCGCGCCGACATTTTGGCCTCGCCGCGGGGCTCCATGTCGCAGCCGGCGCTGCCCGCGGCGCCTATGAGCATGCCCGCGCCCCAGGTGGAAATAGATGAATCATCCCAGTGTGACGGCCGCTACATGCGCTGCTCCGTGAAGACGCTCCCGTCGACGGCGCAAGTCGCGTCCGCGTCGAAGCTCCCGCTCGGAGTGGTGTGCCAGCCCATGGCCCTCGATAGCCAGCAGGACGCGCCTCTGGACGTGGTTAACTTCGGCTCGACCGGTATTGTGAGGTGCAAGAAGTGCCGCGCCTACGTGAACCCCTTCGTGGCCTGGGTGAATAACGGGAGGCAGTGGCGCTGCAACGTCTGCGGCTTTAGCAACGACGTTCCGAATAGCTATTTCTGCCAGTTGGATGAGCGAGGTCGACGTAGAGATCGAGATCAAAGACCGGAACTGTCCAAGGGTAGTGTCGAGTTGGTGGCTCCGGGCGAGTACATGGTGCGACCCCCGCAGCCACCCGTGTACGTGTTCGCTGTGGATGTCTCCGCGCCGTCCGTGGCGTCTGGGCTGGTCAATGTCGCTGCTAGTACGATCAAGAAGTGTCTTGACAGTTTACCAGGAGCACCTCGCACTCAGGTTGCCGTCGTCACTTATGATAGCAGTGTGCACTTCTACAACCTGAAGGCGTCGCTGAAGCAGCCGTCCATGTTGACCGTGCCTGATCTTACTGATCTATTTGTACCGTTGCCGGATGATTTGCTGGTCAACTTGGCCGAAAGTAGAGAATCGATAGATATGCTGCTCGATAGTCTACCGCAGATGCATTCTGGTTCACCGTCACCGGCGTCATGTTTGGGTGCAGCGTTAACCGCGGCGTACCGCGTCATGGGCCATGTCGGTGGGAAGTTGTGCGTCTTCCAATCCCAGTTGCCGAACTGTGGCGAGGCTGCTCTGAAGAACCGAGAGAATCCTCGAGCCTATGGCACTGATGGGGAGAGAATGCTTTTACTGGCCGAGCAGAGCAAGGGCAAGAGTCCAGAACAAACTACTGCGTCGTGGTACGAGACGAGGGCCATCGAGTTTTCGCGGCTCCAGATCGGCGTGGAATTATTTGTGGCTCCTCCTACGAATGCCTACGTCGACCTCGCGACGTTGGCACTCCTCCCGAAGATCACGGCGGGCCAACTCTATTACTATCCGCAGTTCTCGTCCAAGAAAGATGCTGCTAAACTCGAGGCAGAACTAACGAGAGCTCTGACGCGACCGACGGGCTTCGAGGCGGTGATGAGGGTCCGATGTACGCGCGGTCTACGTGTCTCCGCCTTCCGAGGCAACTATTATGTCAGGGGCCACGACTTACTGGCGCTGCCGAATTGTACTCCGGAAAGCGTTTTTGCCCTTGAAATTGCACATGATGCGGAAGCTCCCTTGACCGCTGGGGCCGCGTCGGTGCAGGCGTCTCTACTGTATACGACTTCCTCCGGGGAGAGGAGGATTCGCGTGCACACTTTGGTGCTGCCGACGTCTCCCGACGTTGGTGTGGTCGCGGCGTCGGCGGACGTTGATGTGGTCGCTAATCTGTTGGCGAAGGCGTCGGTCGAGGCGACCCTGAAAGCCGGCTTGGACGCGGCTCGCTCGCGTTTACAACAGCGGTGCATCGACGTCGTGGCCGCCTGTAGGCACGGTCGCTCGTCAGCCTCCGTGGGCGGTTATGGAGCACCAGCAGTGAGAGGGGCTCCCGCGGCACCTCAAACGCCGTCCCAGCCGCCGAAGCTGCCCGAGTCGCTGCAGCTCTTGCCGTTGTACTGCATGGCGTTGCTGAAATCCGCAGCATTTCGGGGCGGCGCCGACGTCCGCGCCGACGAGCGGTCGTACACGCTACAAAGGTTGGACGGCATGGCCCCCGAGCAGACGCGCTCCTTCGTCTACCCTCGACTCTTCGCGCTGCACAAATTGCCGCCGTCCCAGACGCCGTTCGCGTTTCCGCCACCTCTCAACTTGTCAGCAGAAAGCATTTCGAGCGACGGCATCTATTTGTTAGATGACTCCTTGCAGCTCATGGTCTGGGTCGGCGGCGCCTCTGATCCAAAATTATGCGATTCGTTGTTCCTCCAGGACCCGAGCGATGGCCGAGTGATGATGAAACCGGACCCGGGTGGTGATTCACCTTTATCTAGGGCGTGCAAGGTCATCGCCGAATTGCGGAAAACGAGACCCGCTTATTTAGCCCTGGAGATCATCCGCGAGGGCGACCCACAGCGGCAGCCGGTCTTCTTCCGGCACCTCGTCGAGGACCACGCGTCCTTCCCGGGCGGGCAGTACTCGTACCAGGAGTTCATGGCGCACGTCTCGCGGCACGCATAGTGGTGGTGTCGCTTCCCCCTTCCCCTTCCCCCTCCCCCAATGGATAATACGTTCATAGACACGTTGTTCAGGGTCAGGCTCAGGTAGTTACGTCCCAGGCTCAGGCTAGTACGCCATAAGCACTTTATTGCCCGTTGCCATCAGAAGACTGGGCGGCATGAGGAGGCCGCCCGACTTTTTCGCCTTGTATACGCCAAAAGGAAGGCCCAGAAAAGTACAATGAATGCTTTGTACGCAGGTTTTCACCTGGCTCGCTCGTTGATTGAACTCGGGCGGTACGCTGATGCCAAATCACTCGTGTTGCGGTTCCTGCGCGGAATCGACCCGGGTGACGACAAGGGCACCTATCTGCGAAGACTCCACGCGGAGACCGTCTACAAGACCGAAGGCGCGTCCCGCGACGACGTCTTAAAGGCGGCGACGACCCTCGAGGACGTACTAAGCTTGCTGCGGCGACGCTTGGGCGCGGGCCATCCGGATACACTGGAGACGCTCGCCGAGCTCGACCGCGCGCGCATGACGCTCGAGGATAAGTTTCAACAGTAAACATTAGTCATTCCTCCCAAGCCGGCGCCCGCGCCGCCGCCCCGTACGCCGTCGCCGCGGCCTCCTCGAGCACCGCGGGCACCGCGCCGCGCACGCGCTCCAGCGCGTCGGGTTTGAGTGTGAGCACCTGGTCGGCGAACGTCGGAACTTCGTACGCATCATCTAGAAACTCGACGCGCCACCGCCGCGCGCGATCGCGCGCCTCCGGGTTCCCGACCTGCTCGCCCAGCCGCAACAGCCCATCTCTATCGCACTCGACGTAGCAGCCCCCGCCCCAGTCCGCCGCGAGTAAGGAGATGGGCGTCTCGACGACGTCGCCTTTCCGCTGCCGCAGGTCCATGTCCAGTTGCTGCCACGAGCCGAACGAGCTAGAATTGCACGCTATGCCCCCGCCGAAGGTCATGCCGATGTATTTGTCCGACACGCTGTTCATCAGCGACAGCACATGAGGTCTCACTTCGTAGAGGGCCCACCGACATGTGGCCCTCAGTTCCAAGTCCGGGGACAGGCCCACGTCGGTTCCTCTGCTTCGTAGATAGCGCTTTGTCACTGGACACTGTAGCGCGACATGGCCTAGTAATTTGGGTTCATCGGACGCACCGAAAAGTCCAGCCGCCGCGACGCGACCTGCTGCTCTAGTAGTCCTACGAGTAGACTCCCAGAGCGACTCGGTCTTGGAGGACAGTCTAGATGATTGGGCGTTCTGGTGGTCGATCACAGCGTTGAGTTGCTTGCCGCAAGCCAGCACGTCGTCGAGTTGCTGCGATAGATCGGCAACATATTGGTCCTGCTCAACCGTGCCGCCCGACGGGATGGGCGGTTGATGTCTCGACTGGGGAGCGACCTCTGGTCTCAATGGTGCTGGGGGCGGCTTCGGCACGGCCGGCCCGCTCGTAAATTGGTTCTGGAGCCACCCACCCCAGGTCATGCCTCGGATCTCTCGCGCGCTTCGATCCAACAGGTATTTATTGGAATCCGCGACGATTTCCGTCTGGTGGAGCTGCTCGCCCTGTTCTTCGAGGCGCTGGAGCGTCGCGGCGCCGGCCTGCAACGCTTCGTCGAGGGCGGCGAGGCCGTCTCTATTGGATTTTGGGGCGGCGGTCGTCGACGCCATCACTGCTCGATGGCGTGGATGCTGTGAGGTGCTTCGCGTCGGTAGCGTGTGATTTCGTTTCGCTGGCGTCGCTTTATGCGGCAGCAGCCAATAGAGCTCTCCGGAGATTCTGCTGCTCTTAGGCTTGATCGATGCGCTAAGTCACGCTTGTGGTCGAGCAGTGGGACCGAAGAAGCTGTGCAAAAGAGCGCTGTGTCCCACAAGCGCCGGCCGGAGATTTTTCTCCGTAACAAAAATCGATGGCTAGCGGCATTAAGACACTAGGACAAGTTGTGCTCGGCACTGTTTGCCACGCGAAAGGCGGGCGGAGCGCCACAAATCGTGCGCCGCGCACACGTTCTAGTACCGCAGCTACAGATAGCACCGCGTAGCGGCAGCCCCAGCATTCATGAGGGCAGCCCCATAGAGCCATGCGCCTCCTACCGCTTCTCGTAGCTGCGGGCGCCGCACCGACCTGTCAAAAATGCGGTGTGAAGAGAGAGGACGGCCAGATGCCGGACTGGAACTGCTGCTGGGCTGGAGGCTCGTGGCACGGCAAATGCTCTGAGAGCGGGCCGTACACGTGGCACGACGGCTGGCATGAGTGCAAGGAGCCGAACGACGCCGAACGTAGGAGAGCGCACGGCGACGCGCAGGGGCATTTTGGAAGAGGCATGAGCCGCGTCTGTCCCCACGCGTCTGCCAGAGTTGTGGACGGTCCTCTCGGTACAGGTATTTCGGTCGTGTATGTCGTCTACGGCGCTTCTGGCGGTGAGGCGTCTTCCATTGAATTCTTCGGGAAGCACGGTCTCGACGAGATGACGAAAATCGACGGCGGGACTTCTGTTCAAGTGTTGAGGCCTCAGCACCTGGGCGCGGAGGTCGTGGCGTCTCAGTCATCAAAATTGACGAAGGCCATCTCTGATTTAGAGAACGTTTGTAGTCATTGGGCGCGCTGCACTACCCATGAATATGCCGGGTCGAAACTACGATGGCTCGCAGTGGCATCAGCGTGGCGGCGGACGCCCGCGTCGTCCTACGTACTTTGTACGAGTCGTGTGATGGGGCCCGCCTTGCCGACGTACTACACGGGCGCCGCCTGGCCTCGAGCATTAACCTCATTACTGGACAACACGACGTCGCTGGTCGCCACTGCGTTACGCGTGGACGGCTGCGACGTTAGGGTAGACCTCGCGAAAGGCGTCGTGGCCCTGTCGGCGTCTCTCGTAAGGCAACTGCTGGTGGCGGGCCCCGACCGCCTCGAGTCCGACGTCGTGAGGATGGTGCGGGATGGGCGCGAAGCGCTGAAGACGTTTGAACCAGGTTATGAAAGGGTAGACTGGGACGCGTTTTGGAGTTTATGTGCGTTTAAAGGTACACCTCGCCTGCCAAAAGATGCTTCATCAGCCTTCGCGCAGCTGTTCGCTCCGCAAATGACACCTCTCAGCTATGCGCGGGACTGGCATTCAAATGGGAGAGATATCGTCGCGAAGCGGCGCTGGAAGGGCGACACTCTTGTGGTTTATGCCTATCACGAGACGCCCGACGCCAAGGCAAACATGGCCTACTTTCTTCGAAATGGCCTCCGGAACTTGATGGCTCATGTGATCATCGTGGTCAACGGGCCCTCTTCACTGAAATTCCCTCAGGACTCGGACCGGTTCAAGAACACGCTGCGGATCATACGGAGGGACAACTCGTGTTTTGACTTTGGTTCGTGGGGCGTCGCCCTGGCGGACGCGAGGAAGCGGCTCCGACTGGTCAACGTCATCCTCATGAACGCGTCGGTGCGGGGACCGTTCCTGCCGGCCTACGCGCATACAACAAACTGGGTCGACGGCTTCCTGGCGCTGCTGCGGGGCGACGTCGCTTTAGCTGGACTGGCCGTGAACTGCCCAGACGGAAAAGGCCGGAAATGGCCGCACGTCATGTCCATGGCCATGGTGCTCGACGAGCGGGCTTTGCGGATCGCGGACGACCACGGTATATTTGCGTGTGCGTCTTCTTATGACGAGGCCGTCGAGCGCGAGGGGCGGCTCTCGAAGCTCGTGCTGGATGCTAAGTTAAACTTGGGCACGATGCAACACAACTATCACTCGACAGACTGGCGTAAAGTGCTGCCGACCGTGGAACACGCGGCGCTCGTGCCCAATAGTGCCAACTTTCCCAGCTGTCCTGGCATTGATTTAGATATATTCTACAAGGAAGGATGGCATTCGGGCTCCACCCCACATCCGGTAGAATTCTTGTTCTATAAGACCAATAGAGGCGTCGGCGCCGACGCGGTGGAGGCGAGATCATCGCCGCGCTCGTCGACAAAACGCGTTTTGCTGGCCTCGCACAACTTCGACGGCGACGGCGCGCCGCGCTACCTGCTCCACGCCGCGGAAGTGCTGAAGCGGGACCACGAGTTACTGGCATGGTCCTTCGAGCGCGACGGCCCGCTGCGGCGCGAGTTCGAGCTTCTGGGCGCGGAGATCATCCCGTCGCCGACGGACGAGGAACGGGCGCGACAGCGGCTGAGCTGGAAGGACGTGACCCTACAGAGCGTGCTGAACTTTGTAAACACCGACGTCGACGTCATCGTCTTCAACACCGTCCTCTGGGCCAACGTCATCGCGAGCGGCGACGGCCGCGTGCGCGGGTCGGGACCGAGGATCATGTGGATTTTACACGAGATGGAGATCACGGAGCACAGCGTGCCGAGGCATGAGAAGTTACGACTGCGTGGAAATCAACGCGTCGATGGCGTGGGGCGCCTGCAATTTTATTTCCACACAGGTTCACGATGGGGACCGGGTTCTGGTACGGGCGCTGGTTCCCCGTGTTGCTGCCGGCCCAAAGGTGCGCGACGCTCGCTCGTGCGGACGCAATCATATTCGTCGCCGACGCGCAACGAGCTTTGTGGTCGTCGTGCGATCGGGGCACGTTCCACACGGTGCGGGGTCGACCGCACGCTCTCGCCGAGGATGATGTGGTCACGTTGCTCGACTTCGAGGCTGTCGCGGCCGCCGCGGAGACGGCGCTGCGCGAGAAGCTCGCCCTGGAGGTGAAGGCTCGGCCGCAAGTGCCGCCGGCCGCGCTCTTCAAGCCCGACGTGAAGCGCGCATCATCGACACCGAAGAAGAAAAAGAAGCGGCTGGGTCACCGCCACGAGCACCGGAGACTGACGTCGACTGCCGTGCGCGACGAGCTCGCGATACCGCAGGACGCCTTCGTCCTCACCACCATCGGCACGATCTGCCGCCGCAAGCGCCAGAAGTGGGCGCTCTACGCGCTGCGCTACCTCGTGCAGAAGAAAATAGATGCATATTATGTGCTCGTCGGCGCGCCGTCCGACAAAGGCGGCAAAGGGGACCCTGAGTACGTCGTCGAGTTCTTGAACAGTGTGCGGAAGTTCGACCTACAGAGCCGCGTGCGGTTGGTGCCGTTTGGCGTTTCTGTGGCGCCCTACCTGTCGGCGGCCGATCTACACACGTCGCCGTCGTCCCTGGAAGCATATCCGCTCAACACGCTCGAAGCTATGAGCCTCGGAGTGCCCGTCGTCGCCACCGCGGCCGGCGGCACGGAGGAGCAGTTTCCCCTCGGCGGTTTACGCGTTCAGTGCAGCTTTTGTCTCGTGCGGAACATTTCTTCCTCCCGGGACTTCCTCGAGGCCAGCGCGCGGGCCGCTGCTCGCCGGGGCGCGCGGCTGCGCCAAGACGGCCAAGCCATGCGCGACGCCGTCGCTGCGCCCGCCGCCGAGCGATTTGCGACTGCGCTGCGCGATGCGTTCTCGTTTCGACGACCACGGCCCCTCGTGTCTTTCGTGGTGCGGACCTATTGGGGACAGATGGCCTCCGCGCCCTTTACGCTCAAGAGGACTTTGCGGGCTCTTCGCAAGCTTAATGATCCGAGGTGGGAGGCCCTCGTCGTCCAAACGGACGCGACGCCGATACCAGGGCTTTACCAGCTTTTGGCTGAGTTCCTTGACGCGAGGATACGACCCGTTGTCTTTGAGGACGCCCCGGCGACGTCGAGCGGCGGGTACGAGGTTACCGATAGAGCCCTCGCGCTCGCTCGCGCGTCAAAATGGTTAATTGTTACCAATGGAGACAATATCTACGATGCGAGCTTCCTCGCCTCGCTGAGTAGGAGCTCGTCGGATCTCGTGGCCTTCGACTTCTACTCGCGACATGTATCTGCCATGGACACGCGCTACCTGGGCGAAGGGTGCGAGCGCTACTTTTCGGCGCCGCATGGAGCATGTAAAAGGAACCTGTTGGCGGAATGGCATACCGATCTGGGAGCGAACGCCATGTCGGCGCGTCGCTGGGCGTGCGAAGGGCGGCGGTTCCTCGACGTCGACGCTGGCCCCGGCGAAGACCGCGACGGCAAAGTCGCGTGGAGCCTCGTGTACTGGGGCTGGGACGTGTCGCACGTGCGAAGCGGCGACGGGGGCTGTCTTTTTGATCACAACCCGAACGCGCACGCGTGCGTCGCGAGCGGCGAGGACTGGGTCTGGTTTGAAAGGAATAGGGAGTGCCTCAGGCGTGGCGCTCTGGAAGGCGTCAACCCGCCTCCCATGTTTTACGAGAGCCCTCGCCTGCCGGCGGGGACGGAGGCGCTCCAGGGGAGGTGTGCGGACTAATATTAGTTGTGTTAATCAATCGACGCGAGCGACACATATCATCAACGAATCATTTCTGCGAGTTCGGCAACGAGCGCGGTCGATGCGGTGCTGTCGCCGGCGGCCTGGGCGCGTTCGACCATCCGCAAAGCTGCGGAATGTTTAATTGCCTTCAGGAAGCGTCGCCTGTTCGGATCCGCCGCGGCCGTCGCGTCGATGGCCCGCACGAGCAGCTTGGCTAATTGTGGCGCGTCCGCCGCCTCCCACAAGATGCTTCCGCGAACCCCAGCGTCGACGCCGCCTCGTAACCGAAGACAAAATGGGCGACTCGCACGGATTAACGCCTCGAGAAGGAAGCCTACAAACTCGCGTGACGCGAGGCACCTCCCGCCTGCGTTGCGCTCCTTAAAGTACGTGGAGGGCTCACGCTCGTCGGCGTCTTCCACCGCGTCGAGAAGCAGTCCGAACGCCATCTGCAGCACGTTTGGCCGGGTCACGTGAATCTCCCTGGCTGTGCTTGCATGGACGAACGTCGACAGGGCAACTTCCTTGCTCGCGATCAGCGCGGCGCGCTCGAGAATGGCCCCAAATAGCTCTCCGTTGCGCCTTCGCTCGACGGAGAGGTGTCCGTGGGCTCTCCCACCCGCATCTAGGCCGTCTATGCCCACCACAAGCTCGCCCGCGCTCCGTCGCCACCGCCGGTACGGCTTCACCAATGCGTTCGCATAGCCGCCGCCACGGAGACGCACCAGATAGAAGTAGTCTTCTTCAGCGTCAAACTCGAGGCTCAAGACCCGGACGCGGTGCAGCGGCGCGTCGGAATTTCCCCGCCGCACGCAGACGTCGCGCAGCACTGAGGGAGACGCGAGCGGCGCGCCCCTCACAAATTTGTAGTCGTCGTCCTCACCCCGCAGAACTCTCAGGCTCGGCGAGTGGCCCAGTATGGAGTCAATACCCACGGCGCACACGCGCGTGCCATGCAATGAGAGCCGCCGCATGGTTTGGTGCCTCGCGAGAGCCAGGGCCCCCACATCCGACACCCTACCACACCCACTCAGATTCAGGCACCGTAGCCCGCGGCACGCGTCGGCGAGCGCCACCGGCGCTAAATCAGACAGGCCCTCGCAGCCCGCCAAGCTCAGCCGCTCGAGCGTCGCGCCGAGCCCGCCCGCGAGCGCTAAAACGGCTTCGTCACCTATTCTCGTGTAGCGCTCGAACGACACCGTGTGGAGGACCCGCCCGTCCGTATTTCTTCCGGCGACCCGCGCTAGCGCGGCCACGCCGACGTCGCCGACCCTATCTTTGGCAACCGGCAGATTCGCCGAGTCAAGCCTAATTTCCGCCAGCGTCTCGCGCACGCCGGCCGCTAGAGCGGCTAAACCGGCGTCGCCGACCTTCGTGCCGATGAGGGAGACCTCCTCCAGTCTATCCAAGCCCGCGGCCACGGCCGCGCAGGAACCGTCGTCAAACCCCCGCACGCCGTCGATCTTCAGCGAGACCACGCTGCGTAACCTAGGAGCCCCAATGCCGAAGACCGCGCTGAGCGGCCGCGCGCAGGACTGCGCCGGCGTCTGACCAACTAAAGCGAGCTTGCGCGGCTTGCCCCGCGCGACCCACCTTAAAGTAGCCGCGAGGGACGCGTCGCGCGCGCAGGCGTCAGCTTTTTCCGCCTTCGTGCGCCGCGCTTGCCGCGAGTCCCTCAATAGAATGCCCGACGGCGCCTCGGCCAGCGACGCCGGGCCGTTCGCGCGGCTGACGTCGCGGAACTGGCGGCAGACCCGTGCGAGTCGACAGTAGGTTTTCACGTCCCCATCGCCCGCCACGACGTCGAAGACCCGTCCTAGAGCGTTGTCCGAGATGCCCGGCGCCTCAAACGGTACCGGCGTCGCCAGGGCGTGGACCTCTAATAAAGCATCTGCTACACTACTTGTCGACTCCACACCTGACGCGCGTGCTAATGCTAAAACGAGCTCGTAGTGGGCCGCGCCTAACTCCACTTTACGTTTGAGCTGCCGCGTCTTCGTTAGGCCGCGCCGGGCCTCCGCCGCACACGCATAGGCACACGCCCTATATGTCTCGTCCAAATCAACATGGGGATCCTCCAAACGGTCGAGGAACTGCCAGTGCCGCCCGCGCTCCGCGACCGAAGCCAGCAAATGTTCATTCTCATCTAGATCGGCTAACGTCGCTTCGACGACGTGGACCACCTTGGGCGCGTTGTATTCTGAACGTTTCCGTCGCAGTGTCAGGGCCGCGTCCAGCAACGCCCTACTAAGAGCCCCGCCCGACGTGTTGCAGGCGGCGCGCGCGAACCAGGTCAAACACGCAGATACTGTTGCCCTCATCTCGCGCAACGCACCCGTCGCTAGTATAATGGCACCATCATCGTCGACGACGGCCCGTGATGCTCTTGAAGCGACGGCCTGGCACATGCCGACGTGCGTTATCGAGCGGCGCACGATCGCTGCTGAACCTCGCGCGACGGACTCGCTCAATTGCTTCGCGGCGGGCGTTTGTGCTCCTGCGTCTCTCGACCCCTCGGCCGCGGCGCCGTGCAGCGCCATGGCTTCGCGCAGCGACCGGCCCTGCGTCTTTAGGCCGTCGAGGACCTCGTCGATGCGCGCTCGTTCCACGGTCTCGTATTTGCGGGCGGCCTCCTGGAGGAGCTCGAGCTCCGCTGCTGCTCTTAAGTTTGAGAGGTCCTCGAGGGACATTTCATTTGTCGTTTCGTGCAGGGCCGCGAGCTCTTCCTCGGCCATCCTACCGTTGTAGGGCTCAGGCAGCCCTCACTGCAGCTTGGTCATAGCAGCCCGCAGCACTGGGCGGGGCCCAAAATAAATAGGCAGCGCGCGCCGATTTAATCGCACCGTTGCGTTCTACGAGTTCTTAGGCTGCCTGCGTTGCGTTGCGTGCGGCAGGTGCCCAATTGTCCAGTGCCTGCAGCTGGCAAAGCCGGTCTGCGAAATTCCCCGCCCCCTCGATTTCTCGTTGGAAGATGATTGCGATGAGTCCCGCGACGGTGGGCGCCGGACCAGACGGGTACGAAAAAACCCGTGTGCTACAGCTAAAAACTCAGCAAAAGCAGCCTAAAATCACTGCCTCCGCGCGGCGCCACGCACGCCTGGACGTTTAGAACAGTCGTGGCTTGCACGCCGTCGCTGCGGAACACCAAAAATCTCGCGCCGAGCACCCGCTGCTGCAAACCACAGCACCACTCCAGAGCCCATTGGAAACAAGAGAGGCGATGATGGCCACGCCCCGGGCCCACGACGAGGAGCCCGTCGAGCTCGTCGCCAAGGGCACGCTCCATAAAAAAAGAGGCGGTTTAGGGAGGCACACGTACGGCGTAAGGTCCTCGCCCTACGTCCGGCGGTACTTCGAGCTTACCAGCGACGGCGTTCTCAGTTATTGGGATGAACATGAAAGACGGAAAGGGGGCGACCCGCGGAACAGCCTCAATCTATTAGCGTCGCGGGCCGTGTTATCTGTTGTAGCAACAACATCGGGCGGCGGCGCGCCGGCCGAAAGGGTTTTGGCCATTGCGCACGAGCAAGGCGGCGCGAGATGGAAGCTCGCGGCGGATTCTGATGAAGCGAGAGATGCCTGGCGAAGAGCTCTGGAGCCCTACTGTCGGGCCTCGGCGCCGCGGCCCTCTGCTGACGTGAGAGCAGTGGTACCCGACCTCCCGCCCGACCTCACCGCGACGAGAAGGAAAGCACTTACGAGATCGTCCGTGGCCATGGGCGACCGGGGTTCGACGATCGTCGCGCTGGCGGCGTTCTCGTTTGTAGTTTCTGTCATTTCGGCAATCGTGTGTAGTGGAGGCGCCTTCTCCGTGTCCGTGCTGGCTCTCGTGCACGGCTACGCTCTCGTCGTGCTCACAAGGCGAGGCGCTTTGGATCCCCGACCCTGCACATCCGTCGTAAAAGTCGCAGAAGACGATAGCTTACCTCCCCTGCCAGAGGGCATCGACACGGCGTCGGAGAAGAAGGGCCGGCCCGTCGCTGGCACGACTATAGCTCGCTCTGATTTTGATATCACTGGAGGCGGGCCGCCCGCGACGTGGAGTAGAGCTCCTGGTTCTACTTTTAGGGTCAGACAGGTCGGCTACAAGCACCACGGCAAGAAGGCCGTTTCTGCCGAAGCTTTTTACGAGTGCGTTTCTGTCGACTTATTTGATACTTCTTCGAGGGTCCCGTGCCTCGCCGACAAGGTAGAGTTGCCGGCACCCGAAAGAGTCTCGCCGGACTCGGACATTCCCTCGCTCTTCATCGTAGTGGCACACATCCCCTCCGAGACGGGGCCCATGTCGGTCGGGCCCGACGCGGACGGTTTCTTTGCTGTGTCCTTTCTTGAGTCGCCATCGACGCGACGCCTGTCCTTTCGTGACCTCGCATCGACGGCGTCTGCATCGACGCGACACCTGCTCGATCGCGGCGACGGCGTGGAGGCTCAACGATCGCTCGCGTGGTGACGCCATCGACGCGAGAGCCCGATCGCGCCGACCGACGCTCACCGGCGGGGCGCCCGCGCAGGCCACGGCTACCAGATGTGCATCGCCTTTCAGCTCACGGAGCGGACGGTCCAAGACCTCGCTTCAATGAAGCAAGGTGGTTCATGTGAGCGGGAAGCGTCCCTCAAGCTCCTCAAGCGGTGGTGTTCCGTAGCTCCGGAGGAACCGTTCGCGGAACGCAAAGAATTTGGGCGGTTTAAGGTACTGGCGCAAGTCCGGAATATTGATGATGTCTCCATCCCGTCCTTCGCGAAGCGCTACAACGGCAAGCCCGCTCTTATCAGAAAGACGGGCATGCTCTACCGATGTGGCCCGTCCGGAAGTTATTTGAACATGGACATCAACGTCCATGCTTTTGGTTATATGGCGCGGAGTGGTTTGCAGTCCATCTTCCGGGACTTCCAGGACTTTATTCTTTCGGTGGGGTTCACTGTTGAATCGAGGTCAGACGAGGAGCTCCCAGAATGTATTTTGGGCTGCTTCGATTTGAACCACGTCGACTACAATGCTGCGGTGCCCTGGGAGTAAGGACTAGTAATGTTAATTGTCGCGGCGATGGCGTTGAGCGGGGAATTGGTCGTCTCGCTCGAACGCGCGGATCTACCCCGCGCTGGTGGCCACCGTCCACTACGTATCCTCCTGGCGAGGTTCGTGTTGTCTCCAATAGCTATGACGACACCCTTGCCGTTTCCTCTGAGGCATTCAGCACCTAATGGCACAGAGTCGCCGACTTTGAGCGAGACGGGTGCGTCAACACCATTCAATCGTAGCATTGATACCAGAAAATCATCAGTGCACGACGCGAGGCGCAGATCCGCCGGCGCTAGTTCCCCTTCCTGCACTAATACGAGGTCGCCTCGTACGACATCGACAGCATCAACATCGTTCCAGGCGCCGTCGCGCCGCACGCACGCGTCCTCCGTGACGCAGCGCGCGTAGGCCCGCATCGACGGCAGCGACGTCAGACAAGGCAACAGACAACAGACCACGGCGGGACAGTCGCATGGTGGCCTCGGTTTATTTGCACCTTCCCTGGCTAGTCGGTCCCGCGCGTCGGCCCAGGAGAGGCCCTCCGTCCCGACCTCCATCAGTTCCACGTCCTCGTCGCCGTGGATGGCCGAGCTCGTCATTTGTGTGATTCGTGCGCGCGCTTGCGTGATTCGTGCGCGCGCTACGGCGGCGTGCGGCCACTTGCCCGCTGGCTGTGTGAGGGCACAGGGTCTTTGCGGCTCACAGCGATGGCGAATGGCTGCCAGCGTTGTGCAGCTACGATGAGCACAGGTACTGCAACTTAACGATCGTGCACAGACGAGCTGTACGTCGTCTCGCGCGCGCCAGCAAATTCGGGTTTTGACGGGTTTTCTTGAAATCGCCCCGCCCCGGAACCGTGCTCCTGGCCCTCAAGCCGTGCGGGGCCGAGACATAACGCACCAGCACGAGCCTCAAACGAAACCGCTGCTCTCCCGCAGACTTTGTTCCCAACGCGCGCCGCATCTCCACGCTGGAAATACGGCGTTCGAGGGCGCCACAAACCGGGGAAGGCGCACACGACAGCAACCGACCCAGGACCGCCCTACGAGGCAGCCCCGTGCGCGAATCCCGTAAAAACTGGACGCTGAACAGGGCAGCCTCTGAACAGGCGCCCTGAACAGACAGCGCATCTTACAAAAACAAAGTCGTGACGCCGCCGACGCTCCACGACCATGGGCGCCGGCGCGAGCACGATCGCGGACTACAAGGAGGCCGCGAGTAAATCGGACGAGTCGAGCTTTCCCGAGGCCTTCGCGCAACTAAAAACCAGTGTCGAGGCTTTCGAGGGCGACGCAGAAGCCGCATTAAAATATGCGGAGGAGCAGTGCAAGGCTTTGAGTTTGAACGTCACGCTGCAGAGCTCCAACGGCCTGAGTTTGAAGGTGACCGGTGGTTCAGGTGAGGCTCCAGCAGCTGAAGAACCAGAACAATCGAACGAAGAGCTCGAGAAGATCGCGGACGCTGTAGCGTTAGAGCTCCTCGAAGCGAAGACGCAGTCGATCGTCTGCCTGACGGATGGCTCGAACAATGCGCACAAGGCCTTCGAAGTGGCCAAAGCGCTGCGCAAGGACGATGATGTGCTCAGTGTCGTCCACATCAAGTCCGACAAGGACTACCACGACGCCGCGACGAACTTTAAGTCCGACCAGATCCAGCTCAGATACGAGACGGAGTTGACGCCATTGCTACCGTCGAGCAAGTGGCGCTACGACATGGTCACCAAGAAAGATAACGTGTCCACCAAACGAGCCGTGGGCTTGTGGGTGTCTGGTCTCAGGGACGTGCCCATCGACGATCCGAAGCGCCTGCCGATGCCGAACTTCCTGTGCATTGGTTTCTCTGGTAGAAAAAACATGAGTGATGAAGCGCCGTCGGTCCTGGGCCAGGTCGCGGATCTCAGTTTGAGGACGGTGCCGTGCCCTTGTGTCGTGGTGAAGTACCCCCCGTCGGACGGCCCGAAGTCGTTCTGTCTGTTGGTGGCCGACCTGCCGCGGTGCTGGATGGCCTTTGAACTCCTGCTACATTTACCTGCCGAGGGTGATTCATTGAAGCTGATCCACATCCACGAGGATGTTGCTGCCAAGCTCGGCGAGGCCGACGAGCTCAAGGCCAAATATGAAAAATATTTAGCTGAACACCCGACGAAGTTCAAGGTCGAGTTCGAACTGAAGGGCATGGCACGCGGCACTTCTAAAAATGAAGTGATCCACGGCCTGCTCGACGACGCGACGTACGAGTACATCGCGCTCGCGACGCACCCGAAGGACCACATCGGTAGTGTCGCGGACTACCTCATCAAGAACTACAAGGGCAACATCATCTGCTTCAAGGGTGAAAATGCCGAGCGGAACGTCATGTACGCCTAGAGATCGGCGTAAGGGCACATCACTACTAGTTACTACCTTCGATGACGCCATCGAGCAGACGCACCGCGTACAGTGTCGCGTCGACGGCGTCGCGGCGGCGCGGTCGCACGAAGACGCCGTCGACGCGACTCGCTACTCGGGCGGCCGCTCGCTCTTCGGCAGCTTCGACAAGAACCGCGAGCCCCGCGCGAGCGTGAACAAGGGATTGGCTCGGGTATCGATATTGGAATCCCAGAAGCCCTCGACCAGGGGCGTCACGTTTCGGGGAATGTCGAACCCCCGCAGCTTTTTTAATTGAAACGCCAACCCGTGCTGGTCCCACACCCGATGCCGGACGAGCTCGTCGACGGCAGCTCTGATATCGGGGAGCATTGCGCGCGGGATGATCCGCAGCGCGTCGGAAAACCGCGAGCCGTGCTTCGCCCAGGCATGTAGACATCTATCTGTCGGTGGTCTCTCATGAAACGCACAAGGCGTGTGATGAATATTCAGGAACACTTCTCGGAACGGTAACCATAATTTATCAATGACCGGTGGCCTCGTCAGATCCGCGAGGTCGCGCTTGAGGAACAGGTCCGCCCGTAACGAGATTAACACGTCCCACGCTTGAGTCGCGGCCAAGGCGTAGGCCCTCTGTAATAGTTCATTGGGCCTTACTTTATTCTTCTTGTCCTTCCTTAACTGCGTTTCTATCACCTCTGATGCGGAAGCTTCGACATTTTGCAGCCAGTCGTCTACCACGTCCGACTGATGCGTGCACGCTATCACAGAAGATATGGTAGCACCGGCTCGTTCCAGAGGCCTCCTGATCTTCGTCAAATGGTTCTCGATGACCGTCGGGTGGTTCGCGTTCACTCTCACGAACTTGCCGCCGTGCCTTTCACTTTTATAGCTACCGTAGTGCATACCTCTATATAGTAACGCTACGTTGATGCCCTGCCAGTGGGTCATGTTCTTGCGTCTGGCGTTTCTTAGTTTCCAGGGCTTCGTGGCATTCGTTATGTTTGTGGCTGCCGCGGCGGCGGCCAGCAGCAGTAGGTAATTTTTCATGCTGCTATTTTTTGGTCTCCTCGCTTTCTGCGAGGCTGCCCGCGGCGATGGCGTGCAACGGGAGCACGCTGTTGGCTGTTACCGACGATTCATGCTGCCTCTTGGCAACATTTGATGCGCTTTTTGTCTCGACGGCTCTCACCCCCTAGCGTCGCAGAGATACTAGCCTAGTGCAACATAGACGTCCATGGCGTCTCCGTCCGTCCACAAGCGCGTGATTGTGCTGCTTGTACCCGTGTTTGGACACCTGGGGACCCCCGACATTTTCATGACCAAAAATCGACAGTCAGCATTTGCGCGCTGTGATCTCGCCCGAGCGCAGTGGTTTTGCAACCAAACGAGCTCATAGTTCTTCCAAGGCCCTCTAGACGTCGACGAAGGCCTGACGAGCAGCGGCGCGCTCTAACTCGCTGTAAAAAGTTGTCTCCGACCGCCGCCCACCAGACGCCGCCGAGGCGAATTATCTACGCCCTCGTTTGTTCATAGCACCCCTTCGGCAGCGTAACAAGGACGCCAGCGGGTCACGCTGCGACTGGCGAAACGAAACTCGGTCTATAACTGCCGCACGAAAAATTATTCGTTCCGGACCGTTTCCAGACAATGAAGCAATCGAACAGCTGGCTCTCCGGCTTGTGGAGAGCCGCCGACATGGCGTCGCGAAGCGCATCCCCGGCGAGCGCCGACGACGAGCGCCACGCCGTCGTGTCCAACCCGCCGAGCCCGACGCAACTCACGGGGCTCGTAGCGGCCGAGGCCAAGTCCCACCGAAGGCAACATAGCGACCAATCCCGCTTCGCGAGGCCGGCGAAGAAGAACGTGCGGCGGGCTCGAGTGGTGGAGCCCGAGACGGACGAGGAGTACACCGCGTCTGAAGATTGGAGAAGAGACTGCCGCGCCGTGGCCGTGCTCGGCCAGGGGTCCTTCGGGCGGGTCCACCTCGTGACCTTCCAGGGCGGCAAGTTCGCCCTGAAATCCGTCGCTGTCGCTAGTCTCACAACACCGAAGAAGCGCGAACACGCGCGGTCGGAACGAGTAGCTCTGGCTTTGCTGCGAGGCCACCCCAACATCCTGCGGATGCACGCGGCCTGGACGGCGCCGGGAGCTCTACACTTAGCTACGGAATGCGCCTGGGGCGGGGAGTTGTTCAGACACTTGCAGAGAAGGAAGCGCTTTGCTGCCGCGGAGACGAGGTTCATCATCGCGGAGCTAGCTGCCGCATTAGTACACGCGCATAAACACAAGGTCGCTTACCGCGACGTGAAGCCGGAGAACGTGCTCTTTGGCGGCACGGGCCACGTGTTATTGGCGGACTTTGGCCTTAGTAAAATCGTCTCCATAGACGACAAGGACTTTCCCACCAAAGGATGCATTTCTTTATGCGGCACGCCGGAGTACATGGCGCCCGAAGTTTTAGATAGGGCGCCATACGGCGGGAGCGTCGACTGGTGCGTGCTCCGCGTCCTTATGTATACATTTGTATGTACTGCAAGTATTTATACGTATTTTTATGTATTCAACGTGGCGCGGCGACGGCGTTCGGCTCATGGCTACGCCCACCTTACGCCATCGACGATGTATGCGTATGTTTACATACATATAAATTTTTTGTATTCACAGGTGGGCGCTCGGGATGCTATCTGCCGAGCTCCTCACGGGCCTGCCGCCCTGGTACACGGAGGACCGCGTCGAGCTGTTCCGTAGGATCCGGCGGGCGCCGCTCGAACCGAGGCACTTGGTCTGTCGGGATCCTCGCGCGCGCAGAGACCCTCTGCAGCGCGACACGGCGTTACTGGTTGAAAGGTTGTTGCGACGGGACGCGACGCAGCGCCCCTCCGACGCGGACATCAAAAATGATCGCTACTTCGCCTTCTGTGGTGGCTTGGAGGACCTGCCGAGCATGGAGCCGCCGTTCAATCCCTCTTCATCAGATGCGGACCCGGGTCCTGCGTTCCACGACCGCGTGTCGAACGAGCGGGCGCCTTCCCGTCGAAGGTGCGCGCCGCTGTCGGAGGTCGCTGCGGTCGCGCGGAACTTTGAAGCTTCCGATTCTGTCAGCTTGACCGCGGACGCCGTCGCGCTTGATGTGGCTGCTGCTGCGGCGCCGCCACCTCCTCCTCCCGACGGGGCACCCGGCTCACCCGGCGTGCAGTCGCCGCAGTTCCCGGGATGGGTTTATCCGTAGTCGCTCGTCGTTTTAACTTAGTGGTTTCGTAGTCTTACACAGTTCGCGTCAACAACGCTTGCTAGTGTCTTACAGGCCCGCTAGCAACGAGCCTAGCGGCAGAAAGACACGCTGGGTGAACTAGAGCACGCTGGGGCCCTAGAGTGATTCAGCAGTAGCAGCAGCGGTGCCCTGTCGTCAGCCATGGCTTCCTCCTTTGTCGATTCGTTGCACCAGTTTAGTGGGTACCTCCAACGGCATTGGAGCGGTTTGACACAGAGCGAGAAAGAAGAGTCACGGAGAGTCATGGCGCTGTTACGTGAAACCGTCGACAACGCGCAGCCCGGGTCGGCTGCCGCGGCGATGGAGACGACGGACGACACTGCGGCCGCGGCCGCGGCCGCAGCCGTCGACGGCGCCGCGCCGGGCGCCTCCGCTACCGACGCCGCGCCGACCGTCGAGGAAGCGCTGGCGCGGGCCGCGCCGCCGGTCGTCGCGCCGGCACGCGACGACCGCGTCGCTGAGCCGGTCGCGGCCGCGCCGCCGGCCGAGCCTTCGCCTTCGGTCGGCAGTGCGATGGCGCTCGATGTCGTGCGGCCGGCCGCGCCGTCGGACCTCGCGTCTGACGCCGACGAGCAGCCCTTCGCGCCGGCCGAAGACGCGGAGTCCATAGCGGAGGACGGCGCGATGCTATCCGACGACGAGGCCAGCTCTTCTTCTGATGACGACGAGCGGGCGGCCATCATGGCGGCCATCAGACGAAAACCGACGCCGTGGACGGGCTTCCGAGGCGACTCCGACGAAAGTGCCGCGCCGTGCGCGGCCGACGCCCGCGGCGGGCGCACGCGCGCCGTGTTCGGCGACATCACGAACGGTGGCGATGGCGCCGTCGCCGCGACGGCCGAGACGCCGCGGCTCCGCGTGGCGCCGACGCCCGCGAACGTGCCGCCGACGCCCGACGACCTGCCCGACGACCTGTCGCAACTGCGGGAACTCTGCACGCAGCGGGGTGTCCCCTACAACGCCAAGGACAGCATGAAGAGGTTAAAAGTGAGACTCGGAGGCCGGGCGGCAGCAGCTGTGAGCTCAGACAACGAGCCGCGCCCACCCCCGACACCTCCGCTGACGGCGACAGAGCGCTGGGGTGAATCCTTGCGGCGGCAGACGCGGCGACGACCCGCCGTTGCTACTCCGTCGTTCTTCTCGAGGGGCGGCTGGACGCCGGAGCTGGACGGCGCGTTGAAAAAACTAGTAGAAGAGCACGGTGCGAAGAAGTGGGATGCGATCGCCGCGGCGATGCCGCGACGCTGTGGGAAGACGGGCAAGCAGTGTCGAGAGCGGTGGGTCAATGAGCTCGACCCTGCGATCTCGAAGGCGCCCTTTACCGTCGACGAAGTGAGGACCATGTTAGTGGAGCACCACAAGCGCGGCAACCGCTGGGCCGAGATCGCGCGGATGCTGCCCGGCCGCACGGACAACGCCGTCAAGAACCACTGGAACAAACACTTGGAAGCGCATTTCGAGCGCGTCGTCGGGGAGGAGGTCGGCGCGGCGGCCGTCGCGTCGCGAAAGTTTGACCTGTCGGGCCAGCTCCTAGAAAAAGTGCTCAGCGCGTGCATGTCCTCATATACGCCGCCGAAGCCGCGGGCGAAGCCTACGCCGCGGCGGTCCCCGACGCCGTCCGTTCGCCTCCCGGCCGAGAACGTCGACGACGACGAGTCTTCAAGCGAAGACGAGGCCGCCGTCGAGCCGATTGAAGATTTGTGGGTGCGGTCGCGGTCGCCGGAGTTTTACACGGCGGTCCTACGGAGCTTCGCGGCCGCGGGCGCCGCGAACACGCCCGTCGCTCCGCTGGAAAGCATGGACGTCTGCGAGTCGCCCGGCGACGTGGCCGACCTGTCGCACGCGCTGGCGCTGTCCTCAGAGATTGACGGGTGCGCGGCGCTGCGGGACGCGGCGGCGGCGTGCGTGCCGGCAGGCAGGGGTCGGTACGGTGGCATCCACCTAGCGACGTGTGCGTCGGCGGATTTGGTCGAGGTGCGGGAGGACCTCGGCTACGTCGTCGCGTTACCGGGCTTTATTGTTCCATGTGATGTAGGAACGAACCGACACCCGTTGAGGGCCACGCTGTGTCGCGGACCTGTCCGGATAGTGGACGGCAACGTTCGTGCGGCGACCGAGATAGCGTTTGACGTGGCGCGCGTCGTGCTCTCGTTCTACGCGCCCCACGAAGGGCAACTGAGTCACATTGCCGATCTCCAGGAGAGGGCACGGCTCTTCGCGCTGCGGGACGCGTACGCGAAGCTGCCAGCGCTGCGGTGGAGCCGCGGCTTTACTAGAAGGATCGCGCCGGGCCTCTCGTTATATCCAGGCGTCGCCGGCGCCCCCAATCGCCTCAGAATTAACGTCAAGGGCTGCAGTAAAGTGATGCTCGAAGACACGCCCAAGAACCGCGAGAAGGCGTTGCGCGTCATCGCCAAGTGCGACTCGTATAAGCTGAAGCGCAAGGCTTTGATGAAGGAGCGTGAAGCCGCGCTACGGGACGGCACCAAAACCATCGAGGACCTCGCCATAGAGGACGGCTTCTATTACCTGGCGCCCGACGAACGGGCCCCCATATCGTTGGCCGAATTGTTGGAAGAGGACGAGGGCGCCACGGACGAGGGCCCCGCGGACGCGGTCGACACGCCGGCGCCGCCGCGGCGCCACGGCGACGTAGAGACGGCGCCTACTTTGGGCGGGGCGGACGCGGACGCCGCGGGCGACGCGCCGGCGCCGTCGCGCCGCGACGCGCGGGTGGCACCGGCACCTATCGCGTCCGACGTGCCGGTTGCGGACGCCGCGGGCGGCGCTCCGGCGCTCGCGCCTGCTCAGGCGCACCCCCTGCCCGCGCGGCCGCCGAGTCGGGCCGCGTGCCGCCGACTGGTGCGCGCGGGAAAGCCGGATCCGTGGGTGGCCTGGGTGCGCCGGTCCCAAGAGTCCGAGGTCGAATGTGCCGCGTCGGCGCGACGGCACGGCCTCATGTACGCGACGTCGGCGAGAGACCAGGAGAACTACCTAAGAATCTGCGCGACCCTCGACAAAACGGAGTCGACGCCGGCCGAGCGCTTTGAAAGGATGCTACTCGACGAAGCGGAGGCGATCCAGCGCTACACTCGAGGCCTCCGCCTGGCCGCGCCGCCGTCCGACTACCCGGTGCCGTGCGGACTAAGCCAGATGGTGGGCATGTCCCGAGCGACGCGGGACGACGTGCGCCGCGACTTCGAGGAAGCGATGCGCCAGTTCGAGGCTTCGAACCAGGCTTTCGAGACCCTCGCGGCGAAGTACGCCGCCTTCAAGATAGTACTGAACCGCGTCGCGCGCGCGTCCGGACTACTCCGCGGCCTCGTGGCGGCGCGCCTCGGCGCGCCGCTGAGCGACTTCGCGTGGAGTCGCCTCGACGGCTGGTTCGTGCTCGACACGTTCCTAGACTGCGGCGCCTTGATACCGGACACTGTCGTGCTGATGCCGGCGACTTTCGCGCGCCGCTGGAACGGTGGCGCCGACCTCGAGTCGTGGAAGCGCTACTTCCACGCGGGGCGCGTGCAGCGCGGCGCCGCGCCGATTGCGACGGCGACGACCATGATGGTCGCGAGCGAGCGCGCCGGCGTCGCCGACGACTCGGACTAGTCGCTTGGCGGCGGTGCGGTGGTGCGGATCGCGCAACCGGTCCACTGTAGTAAGAATGTATACTCTCTTTACTCAATCCCCGCGCGCGCCGCCGGCCGCGCCAAGGTCAAAACTCGGGCCGCGGTTTTCGCGGCGAGGACGATGCGAGAGGCGTCCCGAGGGGTGCCATCACGGATCCGGAGCTCGCGTCCGGTGCCTGTGACGATGGCCTCAGGTGTGAAGAGCTTAGCTCTCCCAAAGCGGGCGACGTATTTTGTAGGTCTGACTTTCGAAATCGAGTTCGCGCGCGGAGCCGCGACCCGCGACTCGATTCGGACGCGGTCGTGACCATGACCCCCCGCAGGTGCGCCAACCCGAAGAACCTGTTCGTCGACTTCGACACGCCGAACTCGCACTTCAGCGACTACCGCAACATGCTCAACAAGGCCCGCCGCTACACCGCGGGCGTCATGGAGACCGCCGCGGCCTGGGTCCGCAAGGCGCTCAAGGCCGAGGGCAAGGTCACGGCGTGCATCTAGGCTCCGTCTGATGCCAAGCCGCGGTCGAATATACTTCGGTCATCGCATGTTCAGCAACCCCCACGCCATCGACGCGACGGGTGGGTGATAAGATCTTACGAATTAACGTTACGCCAAGGATGCTTCGGCCCCGAGCCAGCCTTCATAGGCGCGAGGCGTCCAGCTTTCGCTGGATGCGCCGCACCGCATCTTACCTTGGATTCCGCGTCGCGTGGTTTGTTTATTGGAACCGCGACCCGGCGCCGTGGGACGCGGAGCGGAAGGGCGTCCACGCGGCCTTCCTCGCGCGCGCGGCGGTCTTCTGGGCGCTGAATTTATTCTGGTTCTGGAAGCTCGGGCGCTCGGACGAATGGCACCTGCGCGCAGCCCCTCTGCCCGCCGTCGCCCGGCGTGGCGGCGGCGTTGGTATCGCGCCAGATGAATTAGGAGGCGGCCCTCGATGCGCCGTGACCTTGTGGAGGACGGCGCGGCCAGCGACGAGGAGCGCGAGCCGCATGATGATCATGACCTGGAGGGCCCCGTCGCCCCGGCGTGGCGACGGCATCGGTAACGCACCAGATCAATTAAGAGGCAACCCTCGATGATGCGCCGTGGCGTTGTAGAGGACGGCGCGGCCGGTGTCTGACGTCGTCGAGGCCATTTGAGGTGCGCCGCACGGCGGTACGCACCTCACGACCTCGTGTACCCCGCAGGCCGCGTCCATGAGTACTCTCAATCGCTCGTACGCGCGAAGACCGTCGCCGACCGCCTGTCCACGGCGACGCTCTATGCAAGGCCCACGTCTCAAGCACCGCGTGCGCACCCCTCCTGATCTCGCACAACCCTGCGACCGCGTCCTCAATGCGATCATCGCGCTCTGGTGAAAAGGCGTACCGTCCTTCCTTTCCCATCCTCCTTACAGCTCGTTCCCTCACAGAAGGGACGAGACTTGATCGGTTTCTACAAACACCATGCACTGAAAACGAAGAGCTTGGCGTGCCCTTAACCTGAGCACTGCGAGCATGTGTGCGGGCCCGCGGAGATGTCCTTTCTCGAGGAGGCGCCTCGGAGGAGAACGTTTCGGAGCAGACCACCGCACTCAGCCTCGACCCCTTTGCGACGGCCACATGATACACACGGCGGGCGCGCGAACTATGTTGGCAGCCCGGAATCTAGTTCCAGTGGGTGTGAATCACGGACGGAACACATGTAAAGGGATCGTCGGCGTCGTCGTGCGGTGCCGCCGCCGTTTCGTCTTGCGTGCTGCGCCCGACCCCGTAGCCGCTCGTCGTCGAGCCGTCACAGTTCTCGTGTCACACTTGCACGTAGATGAGCCGGCGCCCGCAGCTCTGGTTGGCGTCAAGTTTTTTTTTTCTCTTTGCGGCCGCACTTTCGTGCGGCCTGTGGCGCTACTCTGGCGTCATGTTTTTTTTATTGTCATCTATCTCGTGGCCGCGGCACGCTACGCTAGAGCGCATGTCTGCAACACAGCTGTGCTGGCGCAGGAGAGCCGCGGCGGCGCGCTGAGAGCTGGCGCAGCGCAGCGGCGAGAGCAGTCCTCGCTGGATAGGCTCCCGGAGAACCCCAAAGCTTCGGAGCCGCGCTGTAACGCGTGCTATTTGCCGCATTGAGAGCTGCACCTCTCAGCTCCTCTCAAAGCTCGACCGTCGAGGCGTCCTCAATGGTTCTTCGCGAGCAGCCCTTCGACGCAGCGCACCGCTCTGCATAAGAATCGTCCGCGAAAGGAACTTGCTTCGCTGCAGCGCCAAAACCCGGTTTTTAGCGCCGCCCGCCGCTGAAAAAGTGTCCTTGCTCCGCTCTCGATCACCACAATAGTTAAGGAGAAAAGGAAGCCATAATGCCGGCCTTGAAGCTGTGCCAAGCCAGCGCCTGACTCATAACTTGCGCGCGGGCGCGCGTCGTGGGGCACTGAATAGAAACGTCTAGCGCGCGCCAACGCGGGGAGCGAGCTGCGCCCCGTCGGGGACGCGTCGGAAGAGTCGCGAATCGAATGCCAGACACCAATTCTCAACTTCTGAGCAATTGGAAGCTGCGCAGACAGCGAAACCGCCTCAGACCCACACGTTCTCGCTTCCCGCCATCGCTCCCACAAGGAGTCTCGCCGCGCCGCCGCGCCGTCGACGCGACCGCCGCACTCCCACGCCCCGCCGCAACTCGCGCACCGCTTCCCGCCGCGCCGTCACCCTCGCACACAACACAGGACCAAGATCGACTGGCTCGAGAAGGTCGCGCAGACGTTCTACGCCGTGTCGCTGCTCGCATTCCCCGAGTGGTGGCTCACGGAGAACTTCGTCGACGGCGCCGCGTTGGCCAATAATGATTCCGTGCTGGCGCTCGCGAGCATCATGGGCCTGCTCTGCCTGACGATTATCGTCATCACGTTCATCATCCGCAACGCCAAGAACACGCGCGCGGAGCTGATGAAGAAGATGGACATCGCCACCGCCGTGACGTGGAGCTTCTTCCTCGTCAACAGCATCCGGCTCCAGCAGGACGGCATTGCCCCGGACGCCGCGTTCAAGCAGAACCTCGGCATCTTCTCGGTCATCATCGGCGCATACGCGTACCAGTCGACGACGCGCAAGCCCAAGTCCAAGTAGACCTCTATTTGCTCCGCGCGCGGTAGCCCGGGGCCTTTTCTCTCTCGACGTAAAAGCATTACTTCGACTTACTACTAGATCCACACAACTAGCGCGCCGGCCGCACGTCCTCGGCCGCGCAGTCGCTGTCGTAGCGCTTGCCCCAGCCCAGGAAATGGACGCGGTACGAGTCGCCATCGACAGACAATATCTTGGCGCCGTACCAGCGGTCGCTCCAGCGACAGTAACACGCGCCGCCTACTCGCAAATCATCGGCTGGGTCCGGACCGTCATACGCCGCGAGCTTCGTCTGCATGTACTCCATGGTCGTCGCGCTGCCCTGGCACAGGATGCCGCGCTTCAAGCACTGCGCCATAAGGCGCGAGCGCTCGTCGCCCGGGGCGCATGCCGTCTTCGCCGGCGCCTTTTTCGCTTTCTTCTTCGGCGGGGCCGCTGGCGGAGGCGCCGCGGGCGCGCGCCGCCGCTTGCGCACGTGGCGCAGCGGCAATTGCTCCTCCGTTTCCTCGTCAGAGGTATCATACTCGACGTCGACCGTATCGCCATGGATAGCGGTGATCGTCGCGGGGTAGAAGTCGCGGCTGTACTGGTTGCGGTGCCCATCCGCACGGACGAAGAACTTTGCCTCGACCTTGTCGCCGACGGCCCACGGCGCGTCGGGCGCCGCCGCCGCCGCCACCTCGGAATAAAGCTCATCAAAATCATCGTCAGTGTCGTCGCCGGCCGCCAGCGGCGGTCGCGTCGGCGCCGGCGCCGGCGCCGGCGCCGGGGGCGCGCGGCCGCGGCTTGCGCGGCGCGGCGGCAGGCCCATGGCGAGGCGCCGGGCCAATTCCGCGTCGCCGGCCGTCGCGTCGGCGGGCTCGGCCGGCGCCTTGGCCTTGACCTTGGCCTTCTTGGCGGGGCGCCGCGCGGGCGTCTCGTCGCGAGTCGCGTCGTCGTCGGACGCGGAAGCCGTCGTCGGCGCGTTCGACAACGGCGAGGGCGGCAGCGGCGGCGGCGGCGCGACGCGGGTCGGCGCCGCGCGGGACGCGTCCGGCGTCACGCTTGCGGGGGCCGCGTCCGCCTTCAAGCGGCGCCAGGCCCCGACGAAACGCTTTTGCACCAGTGCGGGCCACGTCGACAGTTCGAGCGCCTCGTCGAGGTCGTCGTACTCGACGCCCGTCAAATCCTCGAGGCGGTCGGCCACCGCGCGCACCGCGGCCCGGCGCTCTGTGCTCCCGACGTGCTCTTTGAGCCACGCGTCGAGCGCGCGCGCGGAATCGGCGTCGCTGAGGGGCATTTTTGATGAGCTAGCGATGCCGCGCCGATGGCGTGCACGCGCAGCGCAGTCTTTTGCGGGGGTGCGCGAAGACCTCGGGCACTTCCTACTGCCCCCGGGGCCGGAGAGCAGCTCGGGTCTGTTGAGAGCACCGCAAAAAGTTTGTCGCTTCTCAGCGGCCGAAAACGCTGTGCGGCGGTCACGACCGATAGATAGGTTCGCCCGCGCGTCGCGCAGAGTGTTCAGGTCCTTGGTGGCCGCGTTTTAGCCAAGGGTCAAGCGCTGGCTAGCGCCTTGTAAGACACTAGCAATCAGAGGACTCGTAAAAACGCGTCAAGAATCGGCGACGCGCGGCGTCCACCGTAACATAAATAGGCTAGAGTGTTACTCCGCCCCCCACGGCGTCGCGCCGAGCACCGCGCCCCGGAATTCGCCCCAGGAGACGCGCTGGTCGCCGTCCTCGTCCAGCGCGTCGATCGCGCGGAACACGTCGTCCGTGCCCACGTCGACGCCGAGCACCTCGGCGAACTCCTCGTCGTCGCGCAGCGCCGCGGCGGCCTCGCTGACCGATATGGCGCCGTCTCCACTCGAATCGACCCGGTCAAAAATGCCCCTCAAATACGCCTCGAGCGCCTCGACGTTCGCGTCCGGCGGCGGCGGCGGCAGCTCGTCGTCGGGCTCGTCGTCGTCCCACGGCCCGAGCAGAGCCTTCCGGAACTCGTCCCAGGAGATGGAGCAGTCCCCGTCCGTGTCCATCTCCGCGAGACTTTCGATGAGTTGCTCCTTGGTCCAGCCCTCCCGGATCTTCGTGCGCCCGTCGAAGCCCATCGCCTCCGCGAAGTCGTCGTCGTTCCGACACGCCTTCACCGCCTCCGCGACGGAGATCTCGCCATCATCACCAGCGACTCTGTCAAACAAATCACGGACGTAGGCCTCCATCTTCTGGCGCTCGAGGGCCTCCATGGCCGCATCTAAAGCCGCATCTCTAAATTCCTCCCATTCGATCTCGTCGGACCAGTCCCAATCTAAGGCGTCGAGCATCCGGTCGGCGAATTCTTCTCTGCTCAATCCTGAATTTGCAAAGCCGGAGCCCTCGGCAAACTCCGGGTCCTCCTTCAGAGCCTTGACGAGCTCGCCGTACGACAAGGAACCACTCCCATCGACATCGACCCTATCAAAGACGACCTTGAGGTAGGCCGCGTACTCGTCAAGATACTCGTTCACCTCCTCGCGCTCGTTCTCCTCGTCTTCGAGCGGGCCCAGGAAGGCTTCCCGGAACTCCTGCCAGGACACCTTGTTGTCTCCATCTTGGTCCAGTGATTGTAACATGTCAGTGAGCTGTTCTCTACTACCGTCGGCCTGCCTTACTTTCGTCCGGGACCCGAAGCCCATGAGTTCCGCGAAGTCGTCGTCGTTGCGCACCTGTGATAAAAAAAAATTATATATATGTAGACATACGTATACATCGTCGATGGCGTAAGGTGGGCGTAGACATGAGCCGCACGCCGTCGCCGCGCCACGTTGAATATATATATATATATATGTACATATAAATACATATAAATATATGTATACATAAGGACGCGGAGCACGCACGGCCTTGATCGCCTCCGCGACACTGATCTCCCCATCACCAGACGTGTCCGCGGCCTCGAAGATCGTCCGCAGGTACATTTCCAGCCCTGGTAACTCACAGAGGTCGACGTCGAACGGTGACCTGTGTGGAAATCAACCAGTGAATCAGGTTATCCTGAGAAATATTCGCGTCTCGCTATCTCGGCGCCGCGGCCCTGGTTTCGGCCCAAACTCGGCCACGATCTCCGAGAGATACACTCGACCGAGTGGAGCGAGCAGCACCTCACGCAAACCGCGAGAGACCCCGAATTGAAGCACAAGTTGAACTTTGATTTCCTCACAGACGGCGACTTTTCCGGTTCGACGAACGGCGGAAGAGGGTCCTCAAACTCCAGCGCACTCCCGAAATGTTTTCTAAAAGTCTCCCGGCGGTGCTTCAGGTCCGACTCGTCGCCGCCGTGGAGGTTTACTGCCTTGATCTTGTCGTCTGAACTCACGGCAATGCCGTCCAGGACTCTTAATTGTTGCAATCTAAATACGACGCGTCTCCGATAGAAAGGTAAATCGCTACAAGGGTTGCCCTGCAATAATAATGAAGAAAACAACGGCAGTCGTTCCAGGAACTCCACTTCCCGAACTTTTTCTATACAGTTGTCTCGAGCGTCGAGTTCATCGAGCGCCTGCAGCGGCTCCAAGCCATCCAGCGTCGTGATCTGGTTTTGTGCAACGCCGAGCCTTCTCAAATTCACGAGGTTCTCGAGGCCATCTCCCATCGTGGTCAGTCGGTTGCCCCCGACGTCGAGCTCAACTAGTGCTGACAAAGTCTCCAGCCCGGAGACGTATGAAAGGTCGTTGTTCCTCATCGACAATATCTTGAGTCTTGATAGGTTCTGTAGACCAGTGATCTCGTACATGCGATTGCCATCAAGCACAAACTTCTCGAGTCTTCTATGTGTAGATTGTTCACCAAGGACCTCTATGTCATTGTCCGATAAATCCACCTCAATCAAGTTCGAGCCGGCGTGCTTGCGACCGAGGGTCCAGGCCTTTTCGCCAGGCACATTCCGCGGAATCTCGAGATCGAACTGCGACAGTTTGTTGCCAGAGGCGTTGAGTCGCGTCAAGTACGGCAGATGCTCCAACGGTGATAATGACGTCAAATTATTACAAGAGACGTCGAGCGCCTGAAGGTGCTCGTAGGACTGTAGCACGTCTATATCTACGAGCTGGAGACCGCTCACCGAACAGCCCAGGTAAGCATGCTTTAAGTCAGCAGTCCGGCCCAACGTATGCAGTCCCTGGGCAATATCATCTCTCTCAAGACTCCGGGGCCCCCGGTCGACCCGGGCCCGCCTCGTGACTTTCCCGCGATAAATTCTACCGATGCTGGTAGCCGCCTGAGTCTGTTCTCGACGTTCGTCGACCTCGCGACACGCGATGCGGCCGCGCTGCCGCGTCTGTAATAACGAAGCGGCCTGCTCCCTTTCTTTTTTGAGGGTCTGCGTGCGCTCGACGGCCTGGCGGTCGCGGTGGCCTCTACTAATGGCCTGGAGGCGCGTCGCCGCATCCTCCTCCTCTCTTTGCTCGTCGCTGAGCATGCTCGACGGCTGTCCTGCTGGCCCTTCGCGTCGATGGCGTCTCGGGGGCAGCCCGATTAAGGTGAGCGCTGTCTGCTGGACGCTAGTACGGAGCGTGCGGGGCGCTGCAAAATTTCTCCGTCAGGGGTCTGCCGCGGGCCCCAGGCCTCGCCGCGGGAGCGCTGGGGGCGGCTTCCTTCGGGGAATTTGCCATTGCCGCGCGGCCGGCCGTCGCGCGAGTTAGACGCTAGAGTTAGACGCGTGAGTTCTACTACAGATAATTACTTAGCATCCCCCGACATCATCGCTTCCATCGCCTCGCGTAGGGAGCTCACGTCGCCCGGAGCTGTCTCTTCGCGCCAATATCCATCACGACGGAGCGCTGCTCGCGACGCTTCCACCTCGTGCTCAACACCCATCACGAACGGGTTGGTGCCACCGAGCACGCGCCGCGCGGTCCGTTCCAAGTCCTCGAGCCTCGTCACGGCCTCGCGGACATCGTCGAGCGTGGCGGCCGGGTCCTTGCGGAGCGCCCGCGCGTAATTCCTCCTCATTCCGAGCGTAAGTGCATGACTCTCGCCGAGAACGCGTCGCGCCACGGGCATAGTTTTGTGCAGCAGCGATTTGGCTTGTTCGAAGTGTTGTAGATCCATGAGCCCTGACGCGTAGTTGCTGGCTGCTATGAGGGTGCTTTTATGCTCTTTTCCAGAGAGCTTCAAATGCCCGAAGTACACGCCTCCTCGCGTGCGTGTAGCCTGGTCTAGCCGCCCTACCTTTTTATACGCGATCGCAAGATTGCTCTGCGTGGTGAGCATACTCTCTTCGTCTGTAGGGCAAAGGTGCCGCACCAAAGCCAACTGCGTCTCTCTCACGGACAAAGCGTCCTCGTTGTGATCTGCGGAGGATAAGCCGTTCCCAAGCTGGTTTATCGCATAGAGCCGAGTCGAGTCTGTCTCCGGCCGCCCCGCATAAGTCTTCCAGCACGCCCACCCGAGCGCGCACCGCACGACGCCGTGGTACTTCTGCTCGCACAGACTGCACGAGTGCCACCGATTCAATTGCACCTTACGTTTAATGTCCAAATTGTTCTCCTCGGCCTCCTCGACCAAAATCTTCGCCTGCTCCGCCAGACACGACACGTGCGCGAAGCCCGCCGTCCCGCGGCACGCACACATGCGCACGAGGCCCTCCTTCGTCTTCCAATGCACGGCCTGCGTGCAGATGTAGCACGTCTGGCCCTTGGTGTCCTCCGCGCACGCCTTCGCCGCGACCGCTACGGCCTCCGTATACTTCGTATTTGCGTTGTATTGCTCGGCGCCGCCTGCTTTCTTTATTTTCTTACAGATATTATCGTGGCCACCCTCTTTCCAGTGCTGCACCTGGCATTCAGGCCCACAGTAGCGCGTGCTGCAGCGGCCGCATTTCTTGCCCAAGGATAAGCCAAGCTCGGTGGCGCAGACGGCGCACTGCGTGAGGATCATCTTGTATATGGGCAAATCGCTCGGGGGCAGGGATGAGGCAGGCGATGCATAGCCCAGCTGTGATGCCATTCCTAGTGTCTTACTGGACGCTAGCTGGAGCTTGCGCCAACCACACGCATATCGCCGCGAACCGGGGTCCGTCGCGGGCCCCAGGCCTCGCCGCGGGAGCACTGGGGCGGCGGCGGGGAATTTGGTATCGCCGCGCGGGACGCCGTCGCGCGAGTTGGAGGCTTGAGTTCTACTACAGATAATCACTTCTTAAGCATCTCCCGGCGTCATCGCTTCGACGGCTCCGCAGATGGAGCTCACATCGCCCGACGCTGCCTCTTCGTGGGCGCGGAGCGCGGCTCGCGCCTTTTGCAGGCCCTTCTCAATCCCCCCTGTGATCGGGTGCGCGCCACCAAGCACGCGCCGCGCGGTCTGCTCCGTCTCCTCGAGCGTCGACACGGCTTCGCGGAGCCCGGCGAGCGAGGCGCCGGCGTCCTTGTAGAGCGTTTCCGCGTAATTCCACCTCATCCTGAGCGTGTAATCGTGCGACGCCCCGAGAACGCGCCGCGCCACGGGCATCATCTTGCGCAGCAAGGCCTTTGCTTCTTCGAAGCGCTTTAGCTTCACGAGGGAGATCGCATAGTTGAGGGCTGCTCGGAGGGTGTCTTCATGTTCCACGCCCTCGAGCCTCAAATATCCAGAGTATACGTCTCCAATCATGCGGCTGGCCTCTTCAAACCGTCCAAGCCCTTGATACGTGATCGCAAGATTGGTCTGCGCGACGAGCATGCGATCTTCCCGTGCGCCAACGCGCCGCAGTATAGACAACTCGGTCTCTTTCACGGATAACGCGGCCTCGTGGTGTTTTGCAGCGCCTAGACAGTTCCCAAGTTGCCCCATCGCGCTGATATGAGCATTGTGCACCTCCGGTCGCCCAACGTACGTCTTCCAGCACGCCCACCCGAGCGCGCACGCCACGACGCCGTGGTAATCCTGCTCGCACAAGCTGCACCTGCCCCACCGATCCCACCTCGCCTGCTTCACCTTTACGTGCAAATTGTTCTCCTCGGCCTCCGCGAACAAAATCTTCGCCTGCTCCGCGAGACACGACACGTGCGCGAACCCCGCCGTCCCGCGGCACGCGCACCCGCGGACGAGACCCTCCTTCGTTTTCCAATGCACGGCCTGCGTGCAGATGTAGCACGTCTGGCCCTTGGTGTCCTCGGCGCACGCCTCCGCCGCGACCGCTACGGCCTCCGTATACTTCGTATTTGCGTTGTATTGCTCTGCGCCGCCTGCTTTCTTTATTTTCTTACAGAGATTATCGTGGCCACCCTCTTTCCAGTGCTGCACCTGGCAGGCCGGTCCGCAGTAGCGGGTGCTGCAGCGGCCGCATTTCTTGCCCAAGGATAAGCCAAGCTCGGTGGCGCAGACGGCGCACTGCGTGAGGATCATATTTTCTGTGGTCTGATTGCTCGGGGGCAGCCCTGCGATGCAAATTAATTTTGCTCAAGCCAATACCATTCCAAGTGTCTTACTGGACGCTAGCTGCCAAAGTTCGGGGTCCGTACAACCTGGGGGTGGGTTCAATAAGTGGCGCTCTCTCTCTCTCGCCAAAAATCAGTTAGCTATCACCCACACGCGGTCTTGAGCGGCAACCAGCCTATACGAGTCCGTCTTGATCGAGAGACAGACCCCCACGCCTCCGCCGCGAGATAAAGAACACCTATACGTTACAACCCCAGCGCCGCCGCGCAGGCCCGAGCCCGAGACTTCACCTCCGCGTCGCCGAAATAGTCCAGCGCCGCCCGTCGGTACTCGGCGAGCGTCTCTGAATCGGTCGCGTCGATGGCGTCGTTGTCGACCCTAGGAGAAAACCGGAAGTACGTGTCCGACGGCGCCAGGTCCAGCAGGGCGTCGTGGATCAGAGTTGTTGATGTAGCACTATCAATTAACTGCGAGACGATGTTGTCCCAGGAGATGTCCCCATCGACGATGCGCTCGTCCAGAGATGGTGTTCTTTCTCCAGTACCCACACTTACAACAGCGTCGACCTTGATACCTGGGAATAAACGAGCCGCTTCATGTAGAGCTACTGCCGCAGGATTATTTGCTTGTATGGCTCCGTCGCAGAAGACCTGGGATCTAATCTTGAGAGGAGTGAAGAGGGTAGGAGCCGCCGTGGCCGCCCGTAGGGCTTGTCTAAGTGGCAATCGAGCCGCGCCGGGGTAGCGCGACCCGGCCGGTAACTCATAGGATCTGAAGAGCGCTACTTTCGCCGGCCGCACACTTAGTAGAGTGGATAACAAGGCGACGTCGGGCCCATTCCCACCCGACGCACCCAACAGTTCATCATCTCCGAGCAATTCGTCAAAAACCCGCTCGATATGGCGCTCGTCGTACCTCGCCCTTCGTGTTAACAATCGAGCTTCGCCAGCCAACTCCTCCTTGACGAAGATCCTATCTAATAATAATTCGTACATCTTCTCCGCTGTTTCGAGGGAGCAGTGCTTGGTGCCTAGCAATAAAGCTAGGATCGCACCTGTCGACGTTCCAACAACGAGGTCGAACACATCAGAAGGTTCTTTCCCGGGAAAGGCTACCTGCTGCAGTTGTTTCAGTAATTGCACTGTTACTACTCCTCTTGATCCTCCACCGTCCAACGCGAGGATGCGGATACCTCGTTGTTTCGAGGGTCGTCGGTAGCCGAGAGCATGTGCTAATTTGGCACCTAGCATGTGTTCGTCTTCGGCTTGTTTCGACGAGAGTAGGCCTCTAGTGTCCGTCGCGTTCGTGCCTGGCGGTCCTGCGGATTCATATACAGCACAAGCGGCCTCGGCCCGTGATCGCGCTTCAGCCTTCTTGTCATGTTTTCTTTGATACGTTAATCTACGTTGGCAGTAGGCGTCTACTCTAGGTTGTTGTCTGAGAGCCGCTTTGGCCTGCGTGGGATACGTCGGCACGCCGCCGCCGCGACGCGAAGGGACACCGGACACGTACGGAAGCGGCCCCCGGCGCGCCCGGCGCCGTCGCCGCCAAGGCCAGCCGCGCCGCGGCGACGCGCCGCCGCGCGCCGCCCCGCAATAAATTCGAGACGGCCTTCGAGAGCTGTTTCGCGTCGACGACGGGCGTCATGCCCTCGTCCGTCAGCGTGCTCGTGCCTCGCACCAAATCTCGACCCGTCGCGGTATCATCTAGTGTGATGAGACCGGCCAAGGCCTCCGCCGCCCGCACGGCGCGGTCCGCGCGTTTCTGCCGCCCGGGCAGCCACCATTGTATTGATTTCGCGGCTTTGAGGAGTGTCGGTGCGAGAGAACCTCTACCTCTTGCCGAGGACACGTCCGCTGAGGATCGAGCGGCAGAAGCGGCAGCGATGGCCGCGTCGACCGCTAAGCCCGGTCGTAAGGATGAAGCCGCTCTCACAGCTGCGTCGACGGAGAGCTCCGCGTGTTTCGTGTGCTCTTGGACGGGTGCCGGTTTGAGGGTCACGGGAGCATCACTCAACGAGTAGGCCTCGACGGACAGCTCCGCGTCGAGGACGGACCGCCGCTCCGATGTGGCGTGTCCGGTTAACAACTCGTTGTGTTTTGAGTGGTGGAGCACTTCGTCTCTGTTTCGTTGTATGTCGTCGACGTCGTCGACGTCCTCGTGGATGGTCGTTGTTGGGGCTTTCAGCCAGGAGGCGACGTCGAAGTTGAAGCCTTTCGTGGCTGCGAGGCGCGTGGGCTGGCGCAGCGCCGCGCAGTTTTGCAGCAGTAGCAGTGCCACTGCTGCTAATTTTGCCATCTGCGTCGCTAGCGGTCCCGTTTTGCACTGTGATTCGATAGATTTGATTGCAGTCTGTCGATGAACGAGTCCTGTTGTCGCGTCGATGCTTGCGCGGTCGGTTTCAGGGTCGGTGCGTTTTGGAACACAGCTGAATTTTGAGTCTTTGCGAAGCCTCGCAACGCCACTCAACGTGTCCCAGGGCGGCTCGAGAGGCGTCCAGAAGGTCGAACACGCGCCGGCACGTCCAGCCTGGATTGCTAGTGTGTTCATGCCGCTAGCTAATCATTTGCCAAAAATCGTGAAGGCCCTCGATCATTGCATTGCGGTGGCTATCTGGCTGCGTTGTTGCAAGTAGTGTTCACTTCACTGTCACTGCTTCACAGCTGCAGCGACTGCGACCATCGCTGCGTGCATTGAGGCCGCCTGTGCGACCCGAAAACAACACACGTGGACCGCAGCACTGCAGAGATGCGTCGCTTTGCAGCATTCGCCGTCCTGGCCCTCGCGGCGCTGGCGTGCGCAGACGAGGAGGCCGGCGGCGGCAAGCGGCGGCGCCGGAAGCGCCCTGGCGCGGGCGGCGCACCAGGCAAGGCGGCCGCCCTAGCCGCCAAGCGACGCGCCGGCGGCGCCCCGAGCCCGCCGGCGGCGGCGCGCGGCGGCAAGGGCGGCAAGCGCGCCGGCCGGCCCGACCCCGAGGCCATGATCGGTTTGTTAAAAGCCTACAAAGAAGCCAATGGCCACATGAACGTGCCGCTCGACCACACGGCGGAGCTCGAGGGTCGCGAGAAGCCCGTGCGGTTAGGCAGGTGGCTCGCGGCCGTCCGCAAGAACGCGGCCAAAGTGAAGCCTGAAAGAGTCGCGGCGTTGGACGCCGTCGATCCCAAGTGGCGCGGCGACTAAGTATTGTGTTTACTCGTTCATATGCGTGCCCGACCAGGCGGCGCTCGGCGAGTCCGTGAGGTCCGACGCCGGCGAGGCCCAGCGCGCCTGCGTGACGGCTTGAGATACGCTCCGGCGCCGCCGGTGGCGGTCGCCCGGATGCTGGGGCGACGCCTCCCACGAGTCCTCTTCGTCCACGGTTCGCGGCACGCGCTTGCTCGCGCTCGCCTCGCGGGCATTGCGCGGCTTCGGCGTCGGCTCCACGGTCTCCCAGGCCGACGACGCGTCGCTCGCGCCGCGGGATGGACCGTTGGTGGCGTTGGCCTGCGACGCCGGCTCACGGTGACGAACCGCGACTCGGCGACGATGGACGAGGCCGAGCAGGCGCTGGGCCTGAAGGCGTCGAAGGACTAGGCGCCGCTCCGTTCCCTTTCCCCATCCCCTTCCTAACATACGGAGTGTTCATTTCGCTTGTTTGGGGGCGGCGTCGACGGCGCACTGAGGGAGGATAGATACAAACTTGGAGACTAACTAGTGTGCGCTGAGGGCGATGCCGTCGCCAGGAAGGCGAGCTTTCGCCGGGCGGCGCGGCTCGGCCGTCGCCGCGCCCGAATCATCGTAGCCGAGGGCTCGCATGCTTTCTCCGCACGTCGCGAGGACGAAGGCGCGCTGGTCCGCCGAGAAATTCGCGAGGCCCGCGCCGACGCGGCCCGAGCGCCTCGCGCGCGCGAGGGCCGTCGGGCGCATCGCGGCTTTTTGCGGGATCGGAGCGCCGAGTGCCAAACCGAGAGCTGCGACGCGCTCGACGGCGGCGTCACGGGCCTCGCCAGCCGCAACAATATCCTCGAACCGAACAACGTCCGCACCGGCGGCGAGCCAGTGGTCGTGGAACGCGGCCCAGGACCGCGCATGTCCCCGCACGTGCGCGTCCCAGCTGGCAGGCTCGCGTCGGCGGCTCGTCCGCTCGTGGGAGCGCGTCGCGAGAAAGTGCCACATACTCTCGATGGCGTCGAAGGGGTTGCGCGCCACGACGACGGCCGCGGCAACGCGCAAATGCCGTCCTCGCCTCTCGGGCCAATGCGACTTGATGCACCAGCAGTCGACGCGCCCCTCGCCTCTCAGTCCGACCGCGCGGAGTCTGAAGACCAAGGGCCAAGCGAGCGAGCCATCCGAGCCCGTGCAGAGGCCCGTGCGTTGTTCAAGTAGGAGGCGCATTAACGTCGAGCCGGAGCGCGGGAACGACACGAGCCCGACGCGGCCCCGCAGCGCCGCGAACTCCCTTCGCTTTAGTCGCCGCGCCCCGTGTCGGTAGCGCACGAGCTTGCAGAGCGACACGAGGCGCGAGCCGCAATCGAAACATGCGTGCGGGCCGCAGTATAATGCCATGGCAGTGCTGCAATTAGCTCATTATTGTCGACAGCTACGACACATCACCGTGCAGCGACGATTCATGGTAATGCGACACACATGGGCTGCCTTGGGCTGCCCGCGGGCCGTGTGGCTGAGAGCATGACCTAGGTAGTAACATACTAGATCACAGCGGCCGCATTTGCGCAACAGTGGCAAAACAGAGCAAAGGGCAGCCCATTTCCCTCCATGCATCGTCAGACTTAGTGCCCGGTCCGTATATGGACGACGATCCAAGTCTCCTCGACCCTGCGACCAGCACCATGTCTTTGCTCCTAATGGGTGGGGCAGCGCTGGGCCTGGGCGCATTCGTACTGCGGCGCTACCGGCGCAAGGCCAAGCGGGAGCCGGCGGCGAGCAGTGTCTGGGACCTAGAGGGCGGCGGCGTGCCGCTGGAGCCGCGACTACACCGCCGCGTCCACGCGCCGGTCGACGCCTACGCGGCGGCGCCGCGGAGCCCGGCGCGGCACCCGGCGGCGCCGACGGTCGCCGTGGCGCCGCCGCCGCGGCCAGCACCGCCACAGCCAACGCCACCGCGCCAGATCGGCCAACTGTCCGCGAAGCGGCTGCCGCCGGCGCGGGGCAAGTTCTCGCCCGAGCCCTACGCGTACACGCCGCCGGCAGCCGCGCCGCCGGCGCCCAAAGTCTCGGCGCAGCGACTTACCGCTCCTCGCCCGCCGCCGCCGCCTGCGCGGGCGCCGCCGCCGCCGCCTCCACCCGTACAGGCGCCGCAAATGATGCAGCCGCCGCCGCCGCCCCTGCCGCCACCCGTGCAAGCGCCGCGACCTCAACTCCAAGCGCCGCCGCCGCCGCCCCCTGCGCCGCAGATACCACCGCCGCCGCCACCACCGCCGGCGCCGCGGCCGCAATTACAAGCGCCGCCGCCGCCACAACCGGTTATGCCAGCGCCGTGGCCGCAGCATGCGCCGCCACGCCCCACGCCCGCCGCACTCGCCGCGCCGCGCGAGCCGCCGCAGCAGGCGCCGCCGCAACCCGCGCCGCCGCCACGCGATCCGCCACGTCCGTACGCTCCAGCCGAGCACCGGGACGACGCGGAAATTGCTATGGATGAGCTTGAGATCCTTGAGAGAATAGGCGGCGGCGCCTTCGGGCAGGTGCACCGCGGGCGGTTTCGCGCTACAGAAGTTGCAGTCAAATTGGTGCCCCGAACGTCCCCGCAAGAACTCAAGCAGTTCCGGGCCGAGGCGGCCATGCTCGCGCGCCTGCGCCACCCGAACGTGTGCCTGTTCATGGGCGCCTGCTTCGATGAACAGGCACCGCACTGGGCTTTAGTTACCGAGTACATCAGTCAAGGAAGCTTGTGGGATGCTTTGAGAGACCCCCGCGGCGACCGAGCCTGGCCCCTCGGCCGACGGTATAGGGTAGGCGCGGGCATCGCGCGGGGCCTCGCCTACCTCCACGCGCACCGGCCGCCCGTGCTCCATCGCGACGTCAAGAGCCCGAACGTCTTGGTCGACGTGGGGGACGTGGCCAAGCTCTGCGACGTCGGCCTGGCGCGGAACGCGGGCCTCGGCGACGCGAGTAGAGCGGCGATGACAGCGGGATGTGGCACGCCGCAGTGGATGGCTCCGGAAGTTCTCCAGGCCGAACCCTATAATGAGGCTGCCGACGTCTACGCTTTAGGTATTGTGCTCTGGGAGGTGGCGACCAGGAGGTGCCCCTACGACGACGCTCCCGACCTGGCCGGCGTGGCGCTGGCCATGCGCGTCGTCCGCGACGGGCTGCGGCCGTCCATTCCGGAGGGAAGTGATGGAGGTTTGATGGGTCTCGCGAAGGCGTGCTGGGCGTCAGATGCTGCGGCTCGCCCGTCGGCCGCCCAGGCGCTCGAGCATTTGGAGCGGTCGACGCCGCGCGCGCGGCGGATGTTCTAAGTTGGGGGTATTGTGTGTCTATCTCATGTGGTTCATCCGTCGCGTCGATGGCGTCAAGGTGGAACCTCGACGCTCGGTCGGCCCGCGCGCTCAGGCTGCCGCAGCGCGCCCCGGGCCAGGATGCGTCGCCTGCGCGTCGTAGGCGTCCGGGGTTGTTCTTTGGTGCGCTCGAAGGCTGGCCCGCGCGGAGATTTCCAACCCGTACGTTAGGGAAGTCTGCTTGCTTGTGTCTTTATTTGCTTTGTGCTACGCCATTTGTGGTTTTGCCAGCGGTCTGAGTGCATCACAAGCTTTCCAAGTCACCGCTGCGCCAACAAGTGCTGAACCTTTGTGCAGTAACGTGCGGCACACCTCATTATCAGCATTACCATCCCACTGCTCTATTGAGTGCACTGCATCGCGTGGTCACCGAACGCGTCTAAAAACCACTTCAGTCGCTGTATATTACGTGTGCAGCAACGGCTTGAAACCATATTAAAATTTGTACCACAACTCGCAACCATGCGCTGCATCCTCATCCTCGCCACAACGCAAGCGCTGCAGCCGCCCGCGCCCCGCGCGCTCAGGCAACCGCTGCACGCGACGAGCAACGCCAGCGAGGACCCGCTCCAAACGCTCCAAACGAACGTCGACGCGATCTGGTCCCTGCCTGGCACCGGGCCCGCGAACGTCCGGTCGCGCATGACGAGAGAACGCAAGGAAGCGACGCACGCGACGCTCTGGGGCAAAAAGGAGTGGGACCAGCAGATCGCCTATAGACACGGCCCGCACCGGCGCTACGCTAGAGTACTTGCCAGATCGATCTACTCGCCGCTCATGCGTGGTTTAGCCCCCACAATCGCGCTGCTCTCGGTGTGGTCGGTGTTCGTGTTTCAGAAAAAGCTGACGATCACGGCGAACGGCCTCGGCTTTTTAGCGAGCCCGATCGGGCTGTTACTCGCGTTTCGCGTGAACTCTTGTGTTTCGCGGTTCCACGCGGCGCGAGAGATGTGGGGCCGAATGACGTTTGCGTGTCGCGACGTCGCGTCGACGTTGTCCGCTTGTTCTGAAATCGATGCTGCGACGAAGGCGCGGTGCGGCGCGCTATTGGCGGCCTACGCGTGGTGCGCCAAGGCCGCGTCGACCTTCGAGGAGGCTCCTTCACAAGTAGTGCGGACTTTACTCAATGAGGAGGATTCAACGACGGTGTTGAAGGCGCGCAAGCCCGCTCTGGCATGTCTGTCTCTGGTAAGAAAGGCGACGATCGCTTTGCCCTTAGGACACCACGTCGAGAAGGAGCTGTATCATTCGATCTCGGACCTCAACTTATTATACGGCGGCATCGAACGACTCATCTCGACGCCCTTGGCGCCGATGTACATGCGCCACTATCAACGGGGCTTACTAGCTTGGTTGTTTTTACTACCGTGCGGTCTCACGAAGGCCGGCTGCTCGACGGCGCTGAAGTTAGTCTGCGTCGTCGCGTCGGCGGCCTATTTATTTCTGGGCATCGACGAGATCGGGTTACAAATAGAACAGCCGTTCTTCGTGATGCCAGTGCACGCGCTTGCCGAAGGATTGACTCGTGACGTCGTCGAGGAGTTACAACACTAAGTTTTATCATCTACCGAAGCAGCCCGGGGCGCAGCCCACTTTTGGCGGGGGGGTTGGTGGGGGCGGCGGCGTCATTGATGCTTCCAACGCCGCGAGCCGCGCGGCGCGCGCGTCGCCGTCGGCGCGCGCCGCCGCCAGCGCCGCGACGGCATCTAACCGCTCGGCAGCTAGAGCGTCCCTATCTTGCACCGTCTCGGCGAGCTCGCCTCTGAGAGCGTCTCTGGCCGCAGACGCGACGCCGAGGTCCGCCGCGAGGGCGCGCCGCGCCGTTTCCGCGTCGTCCTTGGCCCGGGCCGCGGCCGCGAGGTCGGTCTTGGCCGCCGCGAGCTCCGCTTCGAGGCGCCCCGTCTCCCGCTTCGAGGCCTCCAGGAACTGGGCGGCCTTCTTCGCTGCCTCCTCGAAGCGCTGTCCCATGGCTTGAAGCGCCTCCGCGCAGCGCGCCGCCTCCTGCTCCGCCGCGTCGCGCGCCGCGCTCGCCGCGTCGCGCTCCGCCACGGCCTCGTCCCAGAGCCGCTTGCCCTCGGCCAGGCCGTTGGCCGCCGCGTCGCGCTCCCGCTCTGCGGCGTCGCGCGCGCTCGCCGCGGCGTCGCGCTCCAGCTCGGCCCGCTTGCGCGCGTCGCGGAACGCGTCGCGCTCCTGTCGAACCCGTTCGCTCGCGCTTGCCGCCGCGTCGCGGTCCCGTTCCGCCTGCTCCCTATCACGAATGGCCTGGTCCCGGTAGCGCACCGCCGTGTCGCGTTCTTGAAAAGCCGCGTCGCGCGCCGATGCCGCCTCTTCCACCAACGCCGCCGCGTCGCGCTCCCGCGCCGCCGCGGCTTCCGCCCGCGACCTTGCAGACGCCGCGTTCTCGGCCGCTTTTTCGGCCAGCGCCTTGTACGCATCCGCGGACTGGACCGCCTCGTCGCGCTCGCTCTCGAGGGCCTCGCGCTCGCGCCGGTACGCCCGTAGAGGGCTGTCCGTCGTCGCCGTCGCCGCGGCGGCGGAGGAGCGCTCGCGCAGCGCCTCGAGCTCGGTCTTGAGCCTCTGTACCTCGCCCTGCGCCGCCGCGGCCTCGGCGCGCGTCTTGTCGCCGGCGCCATCGCGCTCCTCGTTAATTTGCTCCGCGTCGGACGCGCGACACGTCGCGTTGGCGACCTCCAGCTCCAATTCCCTACATCTCAACAAAGCCGCGTCGCGCTGGCCCTCGAGCTCGGCGACTTGTAGCGCCGCCGCGGTGAGTCGAGACGCGTTCCGCGCTTCCACTTCGTCTTCCTCATCATCGATGGGCGAGGGCGGCAGCGCGCGCGGCGGCGTGCTAAAGGCAGGAGACAGCGGCGGCCTATCACCATCGTTCTCCCAGCCGTCCTCGGCGCCGACAAACTGCCTGAGAGATTTCGAGGCCGTTTCATCCAGCGAAGAACGCTTCGCGGCCACCTCGCCCAGCCACGCTCGTAATCCTTCCAAGCGTCTTGTCAAAGCTTTTGACGAGGGCTTGCCCGACAAACCTCCGGTCAGTATGGCCGTGCGAGAAGGAAACGGCGCCTCGACCCTCAGTTCGCAGCGCCGCACCTCCTTCAGCAGCCTCCGGAACTCCGCGAAGCGTCTGACAGCAACACACCGTCGCGTCACCTCGTACCTTAATTCTACAACAAAGAACTGAGGCGCGTTTTCTTTCGTTGATTCGGCAAAGGCCACGTCGACGACCCACTCGTTGACGGGCGGCGGCTGGGTCAGCGTCGTCTGCCAGGCGCTGGCTAAATTTCTTGTTTGCTTGGGTGTCGTATTGGCGGACATTTTTCGGCGCTGCCGCGTTTCGAGCTGGGTCCTCTCCTAGCTTGTGAGGAGCTGTGTGAGTGTGTGGCGGCCCCAAGCGATGCCAGAAACTTCGCTACGCTGTAGCCGTTGATCCTTTCGATAAATGCGAGCGCAAGTCGTTCGTGAGCGGCCACGGGCGGCCTGCTGGGGCTGGGGTGTTTGGCAACTCTAGTGTCTGTCACGCTGGCCGAAACGAGCCAGAAAACCGCAATCTAGCTTCACGCCTATCCTGGGCGCGTGTAGAGCTCTTTGACCGGTCGTTCTCGCACAAAACGACCGGCTTCAAGAAGGGGGGGCTAGATTTGTTGCACACCTGAGAGAGACTGAAAAACGAGGCAAGCGCAAACCCCAATCGTTCGTGGGGGTCTCGAAAGGGCCCTAATTTCTTGTTCGCAGCAGCGCCAAGGCGTGCGCTGCGTTTTTAGCCCTCCGAACGGCGCGCTTGAGCGCTCGAGGAAGTTCTTGTGCCAATCAACAAAGGCGCGCCGCGCGCGACCGCGTACAATGTCCGCGCCGACGACGCAGACAGCTCCCACAGCCCCGAACGGCCAGGCGGCCGCGGCGCCGCCCCCGCTCCCCGTGGCGCCCGGCGCGTCCCCGGCCCTAAACGCGAGGAGCCCCTTACTGACCTCGTCGCCCTACCTGCGGAGCATGGCCCTCCTCGACAACATGGACCTCCAGCAGCTCATGGCCGGCGGCGACCTGAACCAGGAGGAGGCCGCGCGCCGCGCGCAAGGCCTCGCCAACGGAGGTCCTCAGCGGAGCCCCGAGGACGCTCTAGGCGCCCTGGCCGCCATTACAGCGAGGACAGGCCACACGCCGCCGGGCCAGTACGATTCCTTGGCACCGCCGGCCGAGGACACGAACACGATGCGACGTGTCACTAGCCATGACCAACTCACCGCAACAGCTGCTGCAGTAGCTGCTTTATCCTCCCCGCGCGAGGCGTTCCCGAAGCCGACGCGACGAGCGCCCCCACCAGCTCCCGCCGAGGACTCGGGCCCCGGCGCCGACGCGAGAAGGAGGGATGTTCGGCGCGAGCGGAACCGCGAGCACGCGCGCATTTCTCGGGAGAGAAAGCGCCAGAAGCTCGAGCACCTCCAGGAGGAGAACGACGCGCTGCGGCGGAAGGAGCAGGTGTTGGTCGACGAGCGCAACAGATTGCGCATGAGGCTCGACGAGCAGGAGCGCCAGAACGCGGGCCTGCGGGCCTACATCCAGCGCCACCGCCACCTGCTGGGGGACGTGGCCGCGGCGGTGCTGGCGCCGGCGCCGCCGCCCGCGTGAGGCGTCGCTGGGGGTGCCATCGCTGAGCGCGCCCCGGCTAACCAAATATATGTCGTAGCTTTCGGCGTTTTTTCGTGGGTCCGTTCCCGGGAAAGCACCTGCCCGGAACGCGTCGCCGGGTGGGCCCCTCCTCCTCGGGTAGTAGGCTCTCACGGAGCTCCTCACGGGCGGGCCGCGCGCGGTCAGCTCGTGTAGTCGGACAGGTGGTCCCGCCGCGTCGTAGGCGTCCCGCGGCCGCATCCAAGCCCCCGAAAAGCCGAAGCGCCGCCTCGGCGTTCAAAATCCTAGTGGGCGGCCACTAATTTAGCGCTCCCTTGCACTCGCTACGGTATTCAGTAAAACGCGTACCAAAACGCGCTACCTCGCACGTAGGCACCGGCGCCCACTGCCAAAGCAACCTTCGAGGCCCAGACGACCGCGCGGGCACCGCCGCGCCGCGGGCGGACGCGGTGGGGCAGCCCTTCATCGTAGCGTCAGCCCCGGAACTCCCCGCGCGCCGCCGCACCCTTGCACGCGCAGCTTCATTACGCCGTCGCCCGCGCAGGCACCACCCGAAAAACACCCTAGAGAAGCACCATGGGCGCCGGCGGCTCGGTTGCGCTCCCCGAGGGCGACTCCGTCACTTTGGACGAGGCCAAGGCCTACGCCGGCGAGGGCGGCTGGAACGAGGACGCCCAGAAGGCCTTCGACGCCGCCGCCGCCGACGGCAAGGTGACCAAGGACGCCATCTCGGCCTATGAGGCCGAGCAGAACAAGGCCGCGACCAAGCTCCAGGCAAGCATCCGGGGGCAGCAGGAGCGAAAGAACCCGACCAAGCCGCCGGAGAAGTCCGGTGACGCGCCCGCCGAGGGCGGTGATGCTCCGGCCGAGGGCGGTGATGCCCCGGCCGCTGATGCTCCGGCCGAGGGCGGCGACGCCGCGCCCGCCGAGCCCGCCGCGGATGCCGCGCCCGCCGAAGGCGGCGACGCCGCCCCGGCCGAGCCCGCCGCTGATGCGCCCGCCGAGGGCGGTGACGCGCCGGCCGCGGACGCACCGGCAGCGGAGTAGACTCGACGACGGCGACCTGACCCCCTCCCCCCTTATTTCGTCCCGGCGAGTAAAAAACGTTAAAAGTACAACCGCTCGCGCGCCACCGGCGTAGTAAGCGGAAGATTCTTACGGGTCAGCAGGACGATGGGGGCTCCTACGCAGCCTCGGCGGGGGCGTCGGCGGGGGCGTCGCCATCGGCGGCTGGCGGCGCCAGTGCGGAGATGTCGCCACCGATGCCGAGGTAGAAGCCGGGCGGGCCATGCGGGTTGCCAGCTTCCTTCGGCATGATCTCGATCTTGACCACCTTGCCGGCGTCGTCCGCCCAAACCGTGAAGGTCTCCGGGCCGATGCTCACGGCCGTCCCCGTCGTCTCGATGGCTGGGAGCTTGTCGGGCATCGGCGTGAACGCGGCGCCCGAGTGTGTTCCCGTCACGACGATGTCCGCCGCCCAGGAGCCGTCTTCTTGCTTCGTCGGCGCCACCTTGGTGGCGTTAAACGTGAGGTCTGGGAACGAGCCGACCAGGTTGCCCATCGCGCTAGAGAAGCCCGCCTTGTCGAAGAGCGGCAGGGGCAGGGCGTGGGGGCCGACGAACTGGAGCGTGGCGGCGTCGGCCACGTGCTCGGTCGTCCACGTCTCGGCCTTGCCGGCCATGGGCTCGCCGTCGAAGAAGATGGCAATGCTCTCCGGCGGCGAGGCAACCGGCTCGGCCGGAGGCGCGGCTGTCGCATCGGTGCCCTCGGCCACGGTAGTGACCTTCGCGCCCTCGTCCGTCAGCTCCTTCGTCGATTCGGCTGCTCCGTCGGCCATCGTTTCGTTGCTGCGGTGGGGGTTTGGCGGGGCTGAAGCGTGTTGTGCACAACAGTTCGCCTCTTGTGCAGTGGTGCTGAGGGGGCAGCGATGCGGCTCTTTGGGAGCTCTTTTACCACTCGGCCAGACTCCGCAGCGCCGGCTCTCAGCCCTAGTGGCGCGCGCGGCACGATCAGGACCGCGCCCACGCCGCCGCCGCAAAAAAGAGCAACTATAAAAAGTCTTACTATGTACCACTAGTCGTCCTCCGCCTGCGAACTCCGCTTCTTCTTCCCGCCCTCCATGATCGCCTTCTTCTTCTCGGCGGCTTCGATGGCGGACGTGATTGAAGGGCGCTTGCTATCAATAACTTGGATGTCGTACTCCTTCGGTCTTTTACAACAGACCACCTTCTGAAACGTCTCTACATAAGTGAGTGGTGGATCGCGCCCGTGCGTCCGCCGGTGCTCGTTCTTGAAGCGCTGTTTCTGCACCGACTTCATGAGGTCGCGCCACCGCGTTTCACCTAATGTTTTTTGCTGCATCCTATCTTGTAGTCTAAAAGCAGGAAAAAAAATCATCGGGTATCTAGTTTCAATAACCTTGAACTCCTGGAAGTCGATGAGGCCGTCGTCATTACTGTCGAAGTTCATCAATGCCGTGCCCATGTTGCCCGGGAACAAGGGTGCGCCATTATTCACTGTACTGAGTAGTGCCATGAACTCATTTTCATCAATACTATTGGATTTATCCTTGTCAAAAGTATCAAAGCAGAACCGTAATATGTCGTCCTTCGTGTACATGCAGTAGGTTAAGAGTACCGCAATGAACTCGTCGAACTCGATGGTGCCACTCCCGTCGAGGTCCATGAGCGCGAACAATTCGTCGGTCAACGGCGTGCGTTCTTCGTCGAGCATGTCGAAGAACTCGACGGCGTCCATGGAGCCTGCGTGGCGCGAGCGTGAGCGGCGCGGCGACCGCGTCAACCCCACGCCATCGCCGCGACGGCCCCGACGCGCGTCGAAGGCGTCAAACGCGGAAACACGAACCGGACTGGTCGACGTCGATCTCGTCGAACTCGCGCTTCAGGTGCCTCAAATCTTTTTGCGTGAGATTGAGAGCGTTGACCGCTTCCCGCGCCGCGACGGTCTCGAGCTTGATCGTCTCCGGGACGCCTGTGGGTGAATGACTCCGTCGCGAGGCGCGTAGACTCTCTGATGATCATGAAGACGCAACTTGAACTTCGGAAACGTGCGGCAAAGACGCGGAGTCCGCACCGAACATCTGCCAGAGCTTCTTGAACCTCTTGCTGCGTTTCTCGGCCCTCCTCTTTTTTTCAGCTTCTTTAAGGCGTTTCTGGCGGTCCTCATACGACTCCTCCGCGGCCATGGCGTACTTGTCCGAGGGGCCGCCCACTGCTGCTAACGAAGCTTTCACGGCGTCCGCGGCGCCGTTCAATCCTGAAGTCCTCTTCTGAGTAGGTGCCTTGAACTGCTTGCCGCGTTGTGGGGAGGACGTCTCCTCCTTCGTCTCCTCCTTGGACTTGGACGACTTCTTCTTCTTCTTGCTGTCGCGGCGCTTCCCGCTCTTCGGCGACTTGTCCTCGGCGGCCTCGTCGCCGGGCCAGGCCTTGCGGTTCCGGCGCTTCGCGGAGCCCTGCTTCACGAGGGCGCCGTCGGCGGGAGCGACCTTGTTCTTGTCCTTGGCCATCGCAGCCGCGGCGTCGCCCTTGGGAGGGGGCTAGGTTGGGGTAAGGGGCTGCCTCTTCACGGCCTGATATCGTGCGCCATGGGTGGGGCGGGCAGCACGGAGAGGCTGCCGAGGTCGTACGGTGGCCGGGGCCGGCTCCTCGGCCCTCTTCCCTAGGGTTTGTCCGGCTATGACGACGGGGGGACGCCGGCAACTTTGTCAAGGTGCGGGTTATTTAAACCACGCTTCGCGGGGCTGGCAATCGGCTCCGGCCGGAGGGCTCGGCGGCGGCGGCGACGGCTGCCTTGGCCCCCAAGGAGGCTGGAGCTGTCGAGGCTGTCGAGGCTGCATGTTGTATGCGCGTCGTACGAGCGCCGTATTGATTTGACGCCGCGGCAGGGCGACGGCATCGATCTATAACAACGCAAGCAGCGAGCAAATTGCAGCGGCGACGAGCTCTGCACTGAACACTGCACTGGGAGAGCAAGCAGCATCGCTCTCTCACGGGCGCGCGCAGCACCGATACGCATTGCGGTTGACGCCAGCTGCCGCGACGACAGCAACCAGCACTGCACCCAGCAACGCCATCGAGCCAACATGGCCCAGGGCCTCCGCGCCAAACCCAAAAAAAAACAAAACCCGAAGAAGAAGCCCCTCACCAAACGCCAGCGCACCGGCGCCGCCGCGAAGAAGACGGTGAGACGGAAGCACCACGACAGTGCCACGAAAATGATCAACGCCTCGGTAGAAAAACGCGTCGCCGGCGCGGCCGCGAGAGGCGGCCAGCACTTCGAGCTCGGGACCGTGAGCGACGCGTCGAAGGCCGCCTGCGCGGAACAGCGCGCCGCGGGCAAGACGTCGAAGAAGGCGCGGCGCCTCGAGAAGGCTGCCGAAAAGGCCAAGGCCGTCGCCGCGCGGCAAGCTTCCGAGCGGGCGTACAGCTGGATGTGAGTGTCTGCCTAAGCTAGGATGTGTGTCAAAAAACTAGGCCTGCTTAGCCATCTGCTCCTCGTACACCTTCTTCGCCTCTTCCGCGGCCTTCGCCCGCAGCTCCGTCTGTTTCTTCATGATCAACTCGCCGATTTTTTGCTGCTCCTCCTGCTTCGCCTTGACCTGGTCGTCGACCTTCTGGACCTCCTTGGCGATGAACTCGAGGCGCTTGGCGACGTTCTCCTTGACCTCGTCGTAGTCTTGCTTAAATAAAACGGGACCGACGGTCTTGTACACGCTCGCGCCCTCGTCCAGGGCTAGTTCGTCTCGTACGGCCTCATTCTCCACGCGTTGCTGGATGAACCTTCCCCTCGATTGGAGTAATTGCTCGACGTGGCCTTGCAAGGTCTTATACGCCTGGAGCTCCTCGCCGGCCTCCTGCTCGAGCTGCGCGTTGAGGTTGGCGGCCATTTGTTTGTTTGTTGGATTGCTGCGGCGGCTGGCGTGCGTCGTACGCTGCGAGTCGTGGACTATTCCGTGCGCGCGGTGGTTTGCTGTGCTATTTTTTTGTCTGGGCTGCCTGAGTGAGGAGCTGGACGCGGCTTAGCGTTGCCGGGAGCGTTGCTGGGCAAGCGAATGGGTGCGTAGCGACTGCTGTTGTGCACGCCTACAGCGCAGAGGCACAAATGCGGCAGTCTGAGGTCGATTTGTGGGCCGAGGCCGGCAGCCAAAATCGACGGCTAACCCGCGCGATACGTGCTAGGACTCCTCTCCGCGCGGGGGCGGCCGCCGGAGGGCCCGAATGCTTCGAGGAGAGCCCTGCGGGATTTGACCTCGACTAGAGAGAGACCGCGCTAGTGAACGATTCGTCAAAGCAAACGAGGCCGCCGCGCGCCCCAGATCACCGCCGCTGACCGCTGTAGAAGCGCGAAACTGCGTCAGCAACCAACCTGCAGCGCGGTCGCCTTCCCTCCGCGGCGGCGGCTTGCGAAACCGCTCCGCTGCGCCAAAAACAGTCTCGGCGCTGGCGCGGCCGCGCACAGCGCGTACGCGCGGGCGCCGCGCCGCGCCACGCCGTGGCGCGGCAGCGACGGTCCACGCGCTGTCCACACGCGCTGCGCGCCGCGCGCCGCGCGTTTGACGCGCCCACCGCGCCGCACCGGCACCAGAACGCACGCGCCACCCCACCGCAGGCACACACACACCACACACACAACGAAACAAGCAAGGATGGCCGCCGCGACGGAAATGGCCGTCGAACCCACCCAGATGGAGGAGCACGCCGAGGACATGGAGGCCGAGGAGGCCTATTCCGCGTACTGCCACGTGTCCGAGCTCGAGCAGCACGGCATCAACCGCAAGGACACCGAAAAATTAGCGTCGGCCGGCTTCTGCACGGTCCAGTCCATCGCCTACGCGACGCTCAAGTCGTTATGTCAAGTGAAGGGCGTCTCGGACGCCAAGGCGCAAAAATTAAGAGAGATCGCTTATAAAATAGTGCCGTCGACCTTCACCACCGCAGCGGCGGAACTAGAGCAAAGGCAGAACATGGTCCAGCTGTCGACGGGATCGAAGGAGCTCGACAAGCTCCTCGAAGGTGGCATCGAGACTGGAAGCTTAACGGAACTCTACGGCGAGTTCCGCACGGGCAAGACGCAGCTGTGTCACACGTTGTGTGTCACGGCGCAGCTCCCGCTCGATCAGGGCGGCGGCGAGGGCAAGGCCATGTACATCGACACCGAAGGCACGTTCCGGCCGCAGCGATTGGTAGCCATCGCCGAGCGTTACGGCGTCGCGGCCGAGATGGTTTTGGAGAACGTCGTGTACGCGCGAGCCCACAATTCCGAACAGCAGAAAGAGCTACTCAAGCAGGCCTGTTCGCTCATGAGCGAGGACCGCTTCTCATTACTAGTTGTCGATTCAGCAACGGCGCTCTACCGGACGGACTACATGGGGAGAGGAGAGTTAAGTGAGCGCCAGATGCAGCTCGCCCAGTTCCTGCGCGCGCTCACAAGGATGAGTGCCGAGTTCGGCATCGCGGTCGTGTTGACCAATCAAGTGGTTGCGAATCCGGATGGGATGTCCTTCGCCAAGGACGCGACGAAGCCCATCGGGGGCAACATCATCGCCCACGCGTCGCACACGCGCCTGCAGCTCAAGAAGGCCCGGGGCGAGAACCGCGTGTGCAAGGTCATCGACTCGCCGTCGATTGCCGAGTCCGAGGCGTCGTTTTCCGTCGGGCCGGCGGGCGTCGAGGACGCCAAGGAATGAGGCGTACCCAAGATCAAGCAAGCTTCCTCCCCCCGTGATAACTGATTCTACGTAGTATATCCTAGCTCGCCGTCGTAGTTTCCCCCTCGGCGCCCTGGTGCTGCATTTGGGCGAGTTGCGCTTTCAGTGAAGCGCATTTGGGCACGGGACAGGAACCTCGGGTGCATTGCCGCGCGTGTATCTGCAACAGGGCCCAGATGCGACGGCAAATAGCACAGCCGCCCTGCACTCTCGTCGTACACGTCGCGCCGTGGCGCATCAGGTCCTTCATCTTTCGGCAGTTCGCTGACGGACAATTGGCGTCACGGCAGGCCGACGCGTGCTTGAGGAGTCGCATGTGCAGTCGTATCGATTCAGCCCGGGGGTCTTCGCGGGCGCGGAGGGTGGCTCGCGACTTTCGCAGATCACGCCCAATCTTTATTGTGAGCGGATGCGCGCCACCAAGTACACGCCGCGCGATTCTTTCCGCGTCCTCGAGCGTCGTCACGGCCTCACGGAGGTCGTCGAGCGTGGCGGCGGGGTCCCTGTAGAGTGCCGCCGCGTAAGACTTCCTCATCTTGAGCGTAACATCATCATTCTCTCCGAGAACGCGCCGCGCCACGGGCATCGTTTCATGCAGCAATGTTTTGGCTTCTTCAAAGCGCTGGAGACCATTAAGGGACAGTGCGCAGTTGTTGGCCGCTATGAGGGTTTGTTCATTTTCTTCGCCACTGAGCTCCAAACGTCCGGAGTATACGTCTCGCTGCATAAGCAGGGCCTCTTCAAGCCGTCCGAGCTCTTGATACGTGGTCGCGAGATTGCTCTGCACGACGAGAATGTTGTGTTCTGAATCGCCAAGGCGCCGCCGCAGAGACAACTCGGCCTCTCTCACGGACAACGCCTCGTCGTGGCGTTTTGCCTCGGCTAAACCGAGCCCAAGCAGCGTCATCGCGTCTCTCCGATCCCAGTCCCCCTCCGGCCGCCCGACGTACGTCTTCCAGCACGCCCACCCGAGCGCGCATTTCACGACGCCGTGGTATACTTGCTCACACAGACCGCACGTGACCCACCGCGCAAAGCCTGGCCCACCGTGGCGACGGCGGCGCTCGACCGCGGCCTGTGCTCCCTGCGCCAAGCACGACACGTGCGCAAAACCGTCTTCGCCTCGGCACGCGCACCCGCGCACGAGGCCCTCGTCTTCATCGCCCTCGCCATAACAGATGTAGCACGTCTGGCCCGCCGTGTCCTCAGCGCACGCCGCGACTGCGGTGTGAACAGCGCCACTGTATCTCTCCTCGGCTTGCTCGGGCCTCAGCAGTTCCAGTACCGCAGCAGCGACGAGCTCGGCCATGGTCTCGACCACCGCTGCAAGAGATGGGCTGCGTGCGAAGGCAGCCGCAGTGCTAAATCCCCCTCAACGCGAGACGCGAGGCGCTCTCAGATCTGAGACCCCGCACGCACGCGAACACGTCCAACCACGTAGAATAATAATAAATCTTAGTCGTCGACGTCGTCCAGCCCGAAGACCGGCAGGTGGTCCGCCAGCGCGTCCTTCAGCGCCCGCTCCCTCACACCTCTGTCATCAAGCGAGGCCGCCAATTGCTTCAGCGTCTCGGTCCCTTCGTAGAAGGACCAGGCCGGCGCCGCGCCGCTCCGGTCCTCGACCCAGATTCGGAGCGGCGACGACGGCCGCGGGCGAGGCACGGCCTCCATCTGTAAAGTATCCCGTCTAGGAAACACCCAATAGGCGTTTTTGTTCCTATCATAACCGAGCGGCTCGAGGCGCGGTAGAGCTCGCGCGCGCACGTCCCGCACCTTCGCCCGGCGACGCGCTATCTCTTCAAACTTCGCCTCGGCGTCTCGGAGAGCCTCGCACGCGTCGGCCACTTCTCGACAGACCCAGCGCTTCGGAGGAATGACAGGCACCTTCGGCACGGGCTCCTCGGAGAAGCAGAAGTCGACTTGCGGATCGAGCACACGATCACCAATCTGAGCCATGTGAGGCTTGCCTGTGTGGAAATCAATGTCGCGGCGCGTCTCCTCCCACGGCCCAATCATGCCCTCCACGCCATCGACGCGACGCCTGTCGCACGCGACACACTGGTTGATTCCCACACAGAAGCTTGCCCTCGAAATACCGTCGGACGTCCGGCCGCGACCGCAACTGCACGCCGTCCGGGGGGTAGTAGTACACATCCACTTTGTCCGAGGACTTCCTAGGTTCACATTTCCGGAACCAGCCCGGCGCCGGGTCGTCCTGGCCCTTCGGCGGCGGTGGAGGTGTATCGTCTTCTTCCTCGGGAACTAAGCCTTCGAGCAGCACTTCGTCAGAACGCGCTTGTTCAAGAGCAGTCTTCAACGCTTGGACGTCGACGCCGTGGTCGCCGGGCTTGCAGGCGTCTCTGAGAGTAACAATGCACTTGCGCCGCGCGTCTCGCAATGTCTCAGTTCGTTGTTGCAACCCCCACTCGCTCTCCTTCCGCTCCAAGGCAGGAATGGACGCCACGAACTCGATATCGCCGCCGCCACAGGCGTCCACGGCCCGTGCGTGGGCTATTTCAGCTCTGAACCGATGGCGAGTAGGCGCGGCGACCTGGGCCGGAGGCGACGCTCTAGGTGAAGAATTCTGGGAACTAGGCTGCAGATCCGTCGTCGCTTGAGCCACTTCCTCGTCGGGCGACGGCATGGAGCCGTCCACACAAAAGGTAGCGAAATCTGGTATAGGATCATCTTCTCCCATAGCTCTACAAGCCGTATATTGTCGCGCATGTAGCGGTGTCGTCAGCGACGTATACCCCCGCGCGACGTCGTTGAAGATATCGCCTCGCCGCGCGCCCAGTCGCAGCATCTCCTTGATGGTAGTAGCGCTTCGATAGCGCTCATATAAAGCGTGGACCCTCGAACCAGGTAATTTTGGATTTCTCTGTTCTACTGAGCATGGAGCATCTATATTGATGAGGTGGTCCAGCAACGCCGACAAAGGAGGCGGCGCGGCCCCGGGCCGCGGCCGCGGCCGCTTCCCTTCACCGGAAGCTTTCTTCGATTTTTTCCTAGGCTTCTTTTCGTCGATTTCCGGAGGGACGTCGCAGCCCATCTCGAGCGCGAGCTTTTCTCGTACTTGTGATGCGGTTTCTTTTTCTTTTTCGGCTAGTGTTCGTTTTCTCTCTCGTTCGTCGGCCTCGGCCTTGGCGTCGCGTAAGGCTCGTAGTTCCGACGCTTCATCTACGAGCGTAGCGCAGCCGTAGGACGAGGCGTAGGCGTCGCATAAGGCCTTGAGCACGGCTACTCTTTCTCTTGTGCCGAGGCCACCATATGGATAACCCTCGGAGAGCCACTTGCTTGCTCGATGTAACGCTTGCGGCGCCTCGTCGCGCTGCGCGAGGCGCGCGCCGACGGCGCCGGCGAGGCAAGCCCAGGTCTTCGGTCCTACGGCTTGCTGCGGCGGTCTCGGCAATCTAAGAGGTGCGGGCGGCGGCGGGGCGGGCGGCGCGTCCTGCGTTGATTAAAGTGAGACGCCATCGCCACGAATGAAGGACGCTGGCACGCACGAGGTTGTCCTCGAACGGGTCGAAAACAGGCGGCGGCGGCACGTCCTCGACGAGCGCGCGCTTCTTCGCCGCGGCGCGGTCGTGGGCATCTAACACGAGCGCCTCCTGGACGGCGTCCCGCGGGAACGGAGCGGCCTTCGAGCCACCGAGCTTCTCCAAAACCTTCTCGCGCTCCTCGCCATATTCCTCCAAAATAGTTTTTTTGGCCTTTCTCCCTCGCCTGCGTGGCACGGACACTGTCAGACCACGTCAAGTTCAAGGTCACTGGAGACGCCGCGTCGCGGACCGCCGGTCCTTCTTCTTCTCGTCGTCGTCTTCATTTACTTTCTTCGCGCGCGGGACCGGTGGGAGCTTCATGGGCTGTTCGTCGTCCGTGTCGTCCGATTTGGGTACCAATGACTCAAGTAACTCGGACCTGCGTGTGACATGTGTCGAGTCGCGTCGACGGCGTGAAGACGCCGCGAGCGCACAGTTCCAAATCTTCTTCATCACCCTCGAGTTCTCCGGAAGAAAAGTAGACGTGCCACAGAGCTGCTGGTTTTCCCTCAGAGTCGTTGTAGTCGCTTCTAGAGGCGTCGAGCCACCCTCGGACCGCCCCTTCACTATGAGATATTGGTTTGCCGGTGGCATCCAAGACGCTTCGTCGCACACTTCTGCCGAGGTACTCGCTCCCTTCGACGCGCCAGCCTTCCGCTCGGGCCCTTCTAGTCTCCTCTCTGGCTTTGTGGTTGACTTGAGTTGTATCAGCTAAGTGAGAAGCCCAGGTCCGCGCCGCCGACTCGGCGTCGTCTCTTCGTGCTGCGTCTCTGTCCGCGGCGGGGCCGGTCCAGCACTTCGGCCGCGCGTCGCGAGCGGCACTAGCCAGTGCTAATGCACCTGTCTTACGTTCGTCAGCAGACAAATTTGAGAGGTGTTCCAACAAGTTCCGAGCACTTCGCAAAGTAGTAAACCTAGCGGCACACCGCAGCGCGTCTTGCGCGCAGGCCGACGACGCCTGGTCGCACGCGGACACCCATCGCCTCGTGTCCGCGTCGGCCTCGTTGCCTCGTTTTAGCTCCGCTACTACTTCTTCCGTCGTCCTCACAACGTCCCAGACCCGTTCTGAGGGTTGTTCGTCGGGCGGGTCCTCGCTCAACCGCTTCGTAGCGGCACGCGAGAACCGTCGCGCGACGCGCGCCCAGGGGTGCTGCCTCGCCCTTAACTTCGTCGTTTTTGCTGCTGGATACCGGAAGCCGCCGTCGTCGTCGGAATCGGCCCCAAAATAGCCCGGGTCCTCCTTCACGGCGGGTGGAGACCAATAATCATCAGCTGAGGCGTCGTCTAGGAGCACCTCGAGGAGGCAGGAGTGGGCCCGTCGCAGCGGTTCCAAGGCTCCCCTCGGTCCTGGTAATGTTTTGAGAGGTGAGGCTAATGCGGCCGCGAAGGCATGCAAAGGGGGCGGCTGATTTGGCGACTCCTCTAGATCTAAACCGGTCGAGGGTCGGCCTCTTTTGAGACCCTTGGCCGTTCTCCGAGCCGCCACGGCCTTCAACAAAGCATGAATAGCGAGCACATCCCCGACCTTGTCTGGAGGCAGGCCTCTTAACAATTCCACACAAGGGTCTTGGGTCTGAGGCCTCTCAGCCAATTCAACAGGAGGCTCTTCAGATAATAACGAATCGTCAATGGGGTACTTCTGCTTGCCGCGTCGTTGAACAGGAGCATCCACAGAAACGCGCTTTTTGCGCGGCGCCCGCGACCGCTGGAGCGCGTCGCGCTCCTTCGCTTTGCGCTTCGCCTTGCGCTCCTCCTCCTGCTGGGCGCGCTTCTCCGCAGCTAGTCTCGCTTCCTGGTAGAGCTCCTCGAGCTTGAGCGTGCACTCGCCGAGCCGCTTCGAGACCCTCCCCTCGCGCTCGATATCATTGATACAGCACTGCCGCCGGTCCCGCGCCGCCTGGTACTGCTCTATGCGATACGCGAGCTGGAGGTCCGTCTCGTGGATGGGCACGGAGCCCGGGGGCTGGTTCTCGGCCTTGTGGACCGCTGCTAACAATTCGGGAGACGCGTCGGGCAGCGGCGTCTCCTTGAGGTTCTCCGTCGCCTCGGCGAGCCGACCGCGCGCGCCGGCCTCCTTTTCTCTCGCATCCTCCAGCTTCTCGCGTAACCGTTCGGCTTTCGCGTTGGCCGCGGCTACTGATTTACTACCACGATCATCGGCTTCCGCGTGCTGCTTCTTCAACACGTCGGGGTTGATGGCCTCCTGTTCATCATCTAGCACGCGACCCAAAGCCGCTCGGAGGTGCTGCGTGCACGCCGCGAAGCGCTTCGCGTGCGCCGCTCGCCGTCGCCCTTTCTTCGTCCTCCCGAACGTCGACGTCGCCTTCGTCCGGCGCTGCGGCACGGCGAGGAAGAAGGCTCTCGCTACTTCTGCTCGGGAGCGGTAGCGCTTGCCCGCGGGATCGAAGTAGTACACATCGTAGGTTCCCGCCGTGTCGCCTTCTTTCCTCGTTTCTACCGTGGCCTGCGGGTGATGCGTGTCGCGGCGACGGCGTGCGGGCGCTCCCTAGCTCTCTGGTGCGTCTATCGCGGCGACGGCGTGAGGATGCCATCACGCGGTGTGCCATGTCGCGTCGATGCCACGCGGCGACGCCATCGACGCGCCGCGACGCCGTCGATGCCACGCGGCGACGCCGTCGACGCGACGCGACGCCATCGACGCGACGCGCCGACGCTATCGACGCGACGCGACACGCCATCGACGCGACACGCCGTCGACGCAATTCGAGGACGCTGTTGCGTTACCGTCCAATTCTTCACCAAATCCGCCGACCCGCCGCAGGCGACGACGTACCTTTCCAGAGCCTCGACACAAGCTTTGTTTCTCTCATCAACACCCATCGACGCGAGATTTTGCCTTGCAATTGGCGCCGCGGAAGGTTGCCCCACGGCCCCCCACCGGTTCCCACCCAAGGGCGCGCCGGACGACCGCTGGCCCGTCAGAGCACATGCTAAGGGTGCCAATTCGTTGCCGTTCTCCTGGACCGACGCGCCGTCGATTTTGAGGCGAATCTTGACGTGCCTCGTAGCACTCGCTCGTGGCGAGGAAGGCGGCGTCGCCCCCGTCAGGAAGTCGTCGTGCTCGTCTTCTTCGTCGTCCTCCTCCTCCTCCGACGAGCTCGATTCCTCCATCGGTTGTTGTGGCGGCATTTGCATCATCGGAGGCACGGCATACAGCATGGGCGCGTTCGGCACGAACTGCGGCGCGTAGGGCATGCCCTGTGGCGGGTACTGCTGCAGGGGCACGACCGGTAGAGCTCCCGGTGGGGGATACTGGACGTAGGGCGCGCCCGACGCCCACGGCGGCGCGGCCTGGGGTGGTGGCTGGGTCCCTGGGGCCTGGAAGTCGGCGCCGGACGCCCATGGCGGCCTCTCGTTGGGCTGAGGCGGTCCGTTCTCGCTCATAGTGTGTCTATTGCGTTCTATTGCGGTTTCGCCTCCGGACCCGCGCGCTCTGGCGCCGCAGCGTCCGGGGCGCCCGTTGCACTATCCCTGCCTTGGCTGTCGCGTATCGAAAGATTCCAAGCCTCTGCGCCGCCCCCCAGCGCCGCGCGCTGGTGCAATTGGCATAGAGCGAGTCCTCAGCCTTTTATTGCGCTTTGGCACCAGAGGCACCAGAGCCCAGCAGGGGGTCGCGTAAGGACGCCTAGCGACGCCCATTTGACGCCTGGGCTACTCCTCCATGTCTCCGCTTGCGCCGAGCAAGCGTCGGAGCCGTTCCTCGAGGTTAACGTCTAGCGTCTTGTAAGGCACTAGTCTGGGCGAAGTGTGAGCGCGCTCCGTAAAGCACAGCTGCTGTTGCAACCTGCAAGCTGTACAGCGCTCAGCAATTCGCACAAATACGTATCACCAGGACTAAGTGAAAAACGCTGTCGCTGCAGCCCTCGTAGAGCTTGAGCGCTGCACTGCACACGACTGCACTGCAAAAACGCCATCGCAGCGATGCCCCTCGGCGGCAAGGCCCTCAAACGGCGAGAACAGGCGAAAGACGCCAAGAACGGAGTTGTGCGCGACGAGCTCGCGCTACGGAAGGCCGCAAACGCGAAGGCCGACGTCCACTGCACGGTCTGTGCGGTAGCATTTAAACTAACGAAAAGAAACGTGGACCAGCGGGCGCACGTCGAGAGCAAGCACCCCGGCAAGACGTTCGCGGAGTGCTTTCCCGAGTGCGTCGCCCATGAAAAGGCGCTGGCCGAGGGCGGCGGCGCCGCCTCGAACAAAAATCCCAACAAAGGAGGCGTCGGCAAGACCGGCGGGAAGAAGAAGAACAAGGATGAAGATTTGTCCGCGCTGCTGAGCGAGGGGCTGAGCGTTGGGGGCAAGAAAAAGGGTAAAAAATGAATTCACTACAATACGCCATCGACGCGACGCCTCGAAAGAAACTATGATTTACCCCTACGTTTCTTCTTCGCCACCTCCACGACTTCCTCGACCGCCGGCGCGACGGCCTCGACGCCCTCGAGCCGCTGCGTCAACCGGTCCCACCTCTTTCTAAAATAGCGCGGCAGCGACGGCCGCGGCGTGTGGTCCGATAAGAAGGAAGACATCGATCGTCTATATTCATCGACGAGAGCCGCCGCCGTGGACGTGTTCATCGACAGGGCATGAGATAATAAAGCCACCTCCAGACTTCCGGTCGTGTTATACACGTCCGACTTGAGACCGGACACGATCTCTCTCAGGTCATCTCTGTCGAACGTTTTGGCCCCATCGGCCGACGGGACGACATAAAGATACACGCAGAACCAGTGCGTCACGGCTCCCGCCATGACAAACAGGTGCCACACCACATGCCATCCTGGGTGCTTGTCGGCCAGTATGAATGGTATCACACCAATAACATAAAAAGCGCCTCCCAAACCTACTAGAAAGATGGCCTCCGTCCCCAAAATCTCCTTTATCAGGCCAATACAAGGGAGACACGCGAAGCCCATCACTCCAAAGGTAGCTAACTCCAACCAATTCGTTTCGGTTTTGCTCATCCCGACCCCGGCCGCGGAGAATAAACAGCCGCCGCCCGCCAGTAACCACTCCAGGGCCACAATAATCGCGATCGGCACGTGGCCGCGACAGCCCACACTGATCAAGGCCGTGTAGGATCCAGCTATCAGTAGGTAGATGCCTGCGTGGGACGGGCGCCGTCGCGATACTCTCGCGAGACGCGGAGACTCTCTGACGGCCACGTCGACGGCGTCGAGGTGAAGCGGTCTCACGAGGACGCCATCGACGCGTCGACGGCGCCGCGGCGGCGTGGTCTCGTGAAGACGCCATCGACGCGACTCATTTCAACGCTGACTCCGTACCCATGTGGTCCACGCGCATCCAAAAATGAAACATCTTCGGGTTGCTGAAGTGGCCGTGGTAGAGCGTCGAGCTCCCGAAGCATACTAACAGCGTGGCCTCGTAGGCGACGCAGCACCTGCGCGCGTATCGTGACGCCATCGCCGCGATCCAGGACGCTGACGCAGCACCAAAACGTGAACCGGTCCGCCTGATAAGCATCTGTCAATAAAGGGATGCACGCGACCAGTGCCACGACAAATGATAAACCATGGGTCAACGCCGACAGCATCTCCTCGGTACTAAAATTGCCCACGGACTCGACAGTAACATTTTTTTGTTTCGAGGCCGTGCTGATTTTCGACACGCCCGGGAAGTAGAGCGAGTTGTTCGAGACGTCGATCCGTTCCAGGGACGGCGCTTGTCGCACGGCCTCGGCGAGGGCCGCGCAGGCGTCATCTCCAAAAGTGTAATTCTCGGTGAGTATGAGAGTCCTGAGCGACGACTCCCGCAAACCCTGGGCGAGCTCCTCTATGCTGACGTCGTCGAGGCCGCACTGCGATAAGTCAAGCGTTTCCAGTGATTGATTGCGTTTGAGTATTTCGGCTAGGGCTCTAGCATCTGCGGCGGGCGACGCGCCCCGCTCGCCGTCCGCTCTGAGTTTCAGCTCTGTTATTGATTTTGATTCAGCTAGAACGTCTATCAACGGTAGTAAACCGCCCCGCCCGAAACCGAGCGAGGGCGCTAATAACCACCACCCGGTGGCCAGCGTCGTCGACGTCGCGGGATCGGGCGTCACGTTGTAGGCCCGGCAGGAGTTGAGGTAGGCCGCGACGTCGGCGTCGGCAGTCTTCGACGTGCGCTTCGTGGAGCGCGGGGCGCCGTTCTGCGGCGTCATGCAGTGAGTGCACCTCATACAGTGGTGTTTTGAGCGGCGTACGCGTTTCGCGCGTCGGTTTCAGTGGTGATGCAGCAAGTGCTACTCTGAGATCTCCGAAGCAGGCGCTCGGTTTCGAAATTCCTTAAGCACTTGTTATGAGCGATGCGTTGGGGTCCTGTGCCGGGCGCAGCGTCAGTGTTAACGCGTCGTGCACTGAGTGCGCTGCGATTTACAAAGTGCTGCAGGCAGGATGACAAGCTTGTGCAAATGCCGCTGAAGGCGTCCGAGGGCCGGCGAACCGCAAGAGGGAGCCATCTGCGGACATTTCCAGGAGTTTCGTCGGATAAGGTTCGGGCAGAGGGTCTGCGGCCGCGGCCACTGGCATTCAGTTTTAGGGCCTCCCTGCGCGCCATAGAGACGCGCAGAGACCTTCAAACTTTGCAGCTGACCCGCGGCCTGCCAGCGCTGTCCACTCCGAACTCCGGAGCGCAGGGCATTAGCTTGCGCGCTCAAAAGAGGGCTCTGCGAGTATTTTGAAATAAGGCCCTTTTAGGCCCCGCGCGCACGCCAATCGACGCGCCCATCACACCGGCGCAACTGCCCAGCACAGCGCTACACGGACGGCCGGCACCGACCGCCCCCGCCGTCGTGCAATTGCGTGAGCGGTAGCCGCGAACCGAACCGCGCTCTCCCACACCAACATTCGACGACTGCACGAAGCGGTCGCCGCACAACACTCAAACGACGCAGCCATGGCCTCGGACGCGCCCTGGCGCACGGAAGGATCCGTATTAATCGGCTTGGACTTAGTCCGTTCAGTGATGGGCGTCGAAGGAGGCATCAAGGAACAGGCCCACGCGAAAGTCGTCGGCTGGTTGTCCGCGGCCGAATCGGACTTCGAGGACACGCGGGGCAACCCGGCGCCGCTGTACCGCATCAAGTACTTAGATGGCGCGCTCGCGGGCGACGAGGAGGATTTGGAGGAGTACGAGGTGCGCAATTCGGTGCCAGATGCGGATCGAAGAGCTCTTGCCGAGCGCGAGGGCGTGCCGTACGTCGAGCCGACCAAGAAACGGAAGGTCGCGCCTCCGAAAAAACCGGCCGCCAAGAAGAAGAAGCGCGGCGGCGCCATCGCGGCCACGAAGGCCGCGCCGCGGCCCAAGAAGAAGAAGAAGCGCGAGTCGTCGGTGGTCGTGCAGCGAGAGGAAGCTCCAAGACCTCTCAGAAGGGCCGCGGCGCAAGCCGCGTTAAACAGAGGTTTTGCAGATGGCATGATGGCGTCCGCGCACCGAGGGAGGGACGAGGTCGTGCGCATCGGGCTGGCGCGGCGCGCGTTGCAGGAGCTCACGGTCGAGACCGGGGCCCCAAAAGTGAACCGGCGCGACGTGACGAAGAAGTGCGCTCGCGGCGTCCTGCGGTGCTGCGGTGCCTTCACTTCCTTAATTCCAGGGGTGGTTTCATTTTTGATTTTGAGGCGATTCGGACCGCGCAGGTGCCGCGAGCTCGCCGGCAAACTTTCAAGAGGCGACGTGACGCACGAGACGGCCAAGGACCTGAGCGACGACGACGGCTACTTGCATTCGGACGACGAGGGCATCACGGACCTGCCGCTGGCGTCTTCTCTCGTGGAACACGCGCTCGATGCGCTCGTCGAGCAGGGCGAGGTGAAGAAGTCCGGTGATGATTATGCGCTGGTCGTCGACGACGACGGGGACTGGCGCGGGGCGGCGTCCTGTCCGAGGCGCCTTCCGCTCGGCGCCGTCGAGGCGCCGTCGCGTCGATGGCGTCTGGCGCCCCCCGTACGCCGTCGCCGCGGCCGCGCGAGAGTCTCACGCGCAGGTCCGACGACCCGGACAACCAGCAGCACAAGTCTTTACTGTTCTCGAAGCCGCCCCAGAGCTACGAGAACGCGCTAGCTAGAACACTGAACGAGCGGCCGTCGGGTGCGCGCGCGTCGTGGCGGTCCGTGCGAAGACACGTTATTGTGCTCCCGCAAGGCCCTGATGAAGACGTCGAAGAACCACAAGAGGAGGAGGAGGAGCAGGAGGACCCGGAGATGGCCCAGGCGCTGCGCGACGCGTGCTTCGAGGCCGCGCGCATCGCGGCGAACGACTCGTCGGAACGTCCCACAAAAACGGCGTTCGCGATCTTCAAGGTGCTGACTCGGCGTTTTCAGTGATCTTGAACTTGTCGGGGTCGCCGCGACGGCGTAGTGTCGCGACGGCGTCGTTCCCGCGCAGGAGACGTCGATGAAGGCCGCGGTGGCCAAGACGATGGACGGCCATTCCCTGAACGACGACCCCGCCCCGGGCTGGTACCGCGAGCTCGTCGCGCGGCGGTCCGGAGATAAAGTGGACGCTTATTATTATCCTCCTGACGGGACGCAGCTGCGGTCGCGGCCCGACGTGCGCCGCTACTTCGAGGCCCATCCCGACGAGGCCAAGGTCGGGGATCGTACGTCTCGGCGTCTTCACGCCATCGACGCGACTCGTGGGTGGTGCTCTGGTCCAAATTTGGGCCGATTCGGACCGCGTCGATGCTCCGCGCAGGTACGCTGGACCCCCAGAGCGACTTCCAGTTTGCGTATAGCAAAGTTCCCAGTAGTGAAATTGCGAGATGTAAACCTCTGGACCGGACCGCGATCAGTGAGGAATTGAGACGGCTCTGGGACGCGTTGTCCGATGACCAGAGGAAGGTTTATGATCAAAAAGCCGATCAACTGAGAGGCGAGATGGCTCGGGAGCGACTCATCGCGGCTCGAACTGCGCGAGACCGGGCCGTCGAAGCAGCATTAGAGTTAGGTGCCAAGGACCGCGACGCGCGCTTGATCGCGGCGCGCCAGACGAAGCAACTGTTTCCTGATGTGGATTGGGAGCAACTGGTCAAGCCTTCTTCACCTAGAGAAACAGACATGCCTCCTACACCTAGCTCGAAGGCACTCATCGCCGAGTTGGAGGGCGAGCCGTCGTTCGACGATCGTCGAGGACGGCCTCGGCGAGCGGCGGCTGCTTCCGCGCCTCGCACGTACTCCGAGAAGCCGGCTAGTGCGACGGATATTGTTCTAAGGGCACTTGATAGTCGAGAGGGCGATCCGGAGGCTTCCGAGGGCTGCGACTGGCCCCAGCTCTGTTCTCTCGTCGCTGCGTCGGAGCGAACGAAGCCTCGGACGATCCGCTGTGTCGCGTTCGCCTCGGCTCCTTACAAAGCGACGCGCGACGGTCTCGCGTCACTCGTCAAGAGTGGTAGGGCTCGGAGGGATCTGTGCGACCTGTCCGGCGATACTGTGTTACAAACAGATGACGCTGCCGTTGTCAGACACGAGCGGACGGAATGTGCGTTACGAGCCCTGATCCTGGCCAAGCTCTCGCCACCTCGCAATGCTCTCGCACCATTACTCCCGGGCAACCCGCAACCTTCCCGGAGGGACCCCTGGAACAACCGCTGCATTCAGCTTGCGGGGGCTTGCGGCCGATTGCTACCTTTGGATAAGACGAGTGACGGTGGTCGCAAGTGCATCCTCGACGACTCCAGAAGTTCCGACCGGCAATTAACCAAGGCAGAAGTGTTTGAGGGCGTCGTCAGAGCGACGCCGGCCGTGCGGTTCCCGGAGCTCGAAGTTGATTCACTGTGTGAAAAACCCGTCATGGTGTACTGGCCCATGGACCGGTTGTTTTACGAGGGCTTGGTCGTCGCGTCGCGGCAGGGGCCCCCGCTTACGGAACCGCCAATGTATGGCGAGGCGTCGCCAGCTCTCGAGCATTTGGTGCTCTACGACGACGGCTCGTCCGAGTGGCTCACGTTGAAGAATGAAAAAGTCCGATATGTGCAAGCGACGCGCGCCGCCCAGCTCGTCGGCCAGGTCACGGCGTCGCTGTCGGCGGACGACGACATGAGTTGGTTTGCCGCACCTGTAGGAAGCCTGTGTGGAAATCAAATTTGGGGTCGCGCGCGGTCGGCGTGCGGTGCCGGTCTCGGGATGGTCTTGGCCGAGTTTGGGCCTCTCGGAGGGCCGCGGTGCGTCATGACGATGGCGTGGAGGCTCGACGACGCCCTCCGACGCCGTCGACGCGATTTCCACGCAGGTCGAGGCCGAGGCGCTGGGCCTCGTCGACTACCACAACGTCGTCACGGAGCCGATGGATTTGGGCACTGTTGATGATCGGGTCCAGCGGGGCTACTACGACCGGACACCTCTTGATGATGAGGACGTCGACGAGGAGTTGTTGAGTCCGCTGGAGCTGGACGAGCTCCGAGCGAAGCGCATAAGAACGGGCGCCGCGGCCGACATAAGGCTCACGTTCGAAAATGCCATAAAATTCAACAGCGACGCTAGAAATGCGTGCCACCAGACGGCTCGGCGGTTGCTGGCCAAGTTCGAGGCCGGGCCGCTCGCGGGGGACAACTCGAAGCTCCCGCCAGAAGACGAGGCGCCCATCGAGGTCGAGATCGAAGTTGATAGTGACCCGGACTATTCGGATGACGACGACCGTCGATTACGACAGAGAAGAGTGCGAGCGACGCCGACGGCGACGGCGCCCGGCCGGCATTGTGTGGAGAACGCTTTACGGTTCGAGCAGATCCTGACGTCGATCGCGAACAACCACAACGCCGTGACGATGCAGCCCCCTCCGGAATTCGATATGGTGCGCTTGTATAAAAACAGAGGGAAATTAGTAGAGGACCTGTATCGGTTAAGAGCCGAGGCGCCTTTGCTCGAAGGGATGTCTCGGGAAGACTCGGAATTAGTTAAACAAAGGGACTTCGGGATTGCCTCCTACAAGGCTTCTCTCCGTGATCACAGACGAGCGAAGGAGGCCTACGACGCGCATCAGGCTTCGGTTGCTAGATATTTGGCGGAACGTGCTAACGCTGCTCCTGAGGCCGTGTCGGCGCTGTCGGCGGCGCTGACGCCTGCCCAGGCTGCACCTGTGCCGCCTGTTCCGGCGCCGGTGCCCTCCTGGCCGTCTGCCGCGCCGCCGGCGGTGCCCTACCAAGCACCTGCCGCGCCGCCGCCGCCGACGAGCGCCCTCGCGGCCACCGTCGCCGCCGCCGCGCTCGCGCCGCCTTCGTCACATCAAGCGCACGCGGTGCCGCCGGCGCCCGTGCCACAACAAACGCCCGCCGTGCCCGTGCCGCTTCCATCGAACGTGCCGCCGTCGTCGATGCCGCCGGGCGTCGTCTCAACGGGCGCGCTGCCTCCCACGCAACCCTGGGCGCCGCCGCCGGCGACCTGGTCGTCAGACGCTCCTCTCCACGAGCGCGGCGGCGGCGGGCTCGACCCGGACGACGAGACGTTGGACGACCTGCGCGCCAAGGCAGTCGCGCCGCCGCCCCAGGACCTGCGAGCCGCCTATCTGCGCGAGCAGGCTTTGAGAGCACAATTGCCGCCCGGCCCGCCGCACCCCGGGCCCGAGCCGCTCGAGCCGGCTTCAATGGACGTCCGGCCCTTGTTCCGCGGCCGCCAGCACGTGGAGCGGGCCTACTACGAGAAGGCCCACGCCGCGTCGCTGCCTTCGGTGCCCTATCTCGGGAGGATCACGAACGGCCGCTGGGAAATTAGAGGGGCGCTGGCGAAGGCCGCGCTCGGGCATGTATTGGGCGGTTTGGTGAAGACGGGCCACGTCGTGGAGCTGGCGGACGGGGGCTTCGTGGCGGCGCACCGTTATCGGCGCGGGACGCCGTATGAACGAAGACGCCTGGGCGGGCCGCAGCGCGTCGAGGAGGTGGCCTTGTCGGAGTACGAGCTGGAACGTCGGGCGCGGATTGAGCGCAACCAGGCCTTCCTCGCGTCTCTGGGGTTCACGTGAGGATGGTGCTCGACTCCGGGGTACTAAGTAGTATATATCGCTCATGCGTTTTTCTGTTACCTCAACGTTGCGAGGACTGGTGGGTGGAGCTCCTGGAGGGGAGACTTATGCGTCTGCGCGCTCAGAATTGCTTTATCGCCTGGCCCAGCATGCATGCATTGTTAATCCCGCGTGCTGATCAAGGTTGGAGATGCGATTGATGATGGTGGTTTCGTCAAGGAGAGTGCTAAGCCCAACGTCCTTGATAAGCGAGGGATGAGTCTCGCTCACAAGACCATAATAAGCGTGGCCATGAATACCTACAAGGCCGTTTTACGGAAACGCCTGTCGGACGCGCTGGATCAGGTAAGCAAAGAAAAGAAATTTACCAAGAAGGAACTCGAGGAGTACATTGCCGCTCACATTAGGGAAAGGGGTTTATAACGGCGTCTCCGCCGGGAGTCACCGACCCCCTTCGGCTCATTGCTTCTCCCCTTGCATAAGTACTAGTGCACAAACTCAAACAAAGCCGAGCGAGACGCCATCGACGCGATCCGCGGTGATTGATAGATACTCCTTACACGAACGAGCTCAGCCCGTCGCCGAGCCCGAGCCCGCCGCCGCCCATGCCCTTCGGCTGCGGGATGAGCACCTTGTCGATGAGGCCGTACTGGACGGCCTCGTGGGCGCTGAGGTAGAAGTCCCGGGACCTGTGTGGAAATCAAATTCACGGCGCGTTCGTTCTCCACGCCATCGACGCGACACCTGCTCGATAGCGTGGCGATGCCGGTTCCTCTCCGCCCGACACACTGGTTGATTTCCACACAGCCCGGGACATGTCTTTCTTTATCTTCTCCAAAGGATGGCCCGTCATCTGGACGAGGGCTTTCTCCTGTGTGATGATCATGAAGACGGGGTCGCGGCGACGTGGCATCGCGTCGACGCCGCAGCTCTCTCGCGTGGCCGCGTCGACGGCGGCCCGGTGGCGCGGTCTCACGAAGACGCCATCGACGCGAGATCATGAAGACGCCGTCGACGCGCCATGCGGTCGTTATCCCTCAAATTTTCGCGCACCATGAGCCCGATGTCCGACGCCTGGCCCTGGTAGGGGTCGTCGAGCCCCGTGCGCTGCATGAGGAACCGCGCGTTCGGCAGGGCGTAGCGCATGCCCTTCGTGCCCGCGCCGCAGAGGAAGGCGCCCATACCCGTGGCCAGTCCTAGATTGACAGTTGTGACCGGGCACTCGAGCGTCCGCAGCGTGTCGTAGACGGCCAAACACGGCTTCATGAGCGCTCCCGGCACGTTGAAATAGATGGAGATGGGCTTCCTCGGATCTTCGAACCTCATGAAGAGTAACAGAGCTATCAGGCTATTCGCCTGCTCCTCGTCTAGAAAGTTGCCCACGAGCATGATCCTGTCTCTGTATAAAGCTTGGTAGATGTCGACGTACATGTGCTGGCCCTGCTCCGCGCCGGGCGGCGAGTAGGGCACTTGCGGGACCGACTGCGGTCCTAATACAATACTGCTCCTCGGTGACGTGCGGCCGGGCGTGAGTTTTGTTGGTGGTGTCATGACGTAGGCCGCGGCTGTTGTGAGTAATGCTAGTAGGCGCGCCATCGCGGCGGTGGCGTATCGCTTGCGCTGCGTCGTCGCGTCGCGTGTGCGTGCCTTGCCAGCGAGCTGTGCAAGCCGACGCGAGTCAGGGCTTGCGCTTGCAGCAAGGAGCGGCGAGCGCAGCGATGGAACACGTGCGTAAGACCTTGCAGCTTTTGCTGTGGGCGTGCGGTGCCAGCTATGCCTCTCCTCACTTGGTGCAAGCAAGCGGAGCTAGCGGCCCGTAGAGACACTAGGATCCAGCCCGCGGCCCACACGTCTCACAACCGCTCGAGGCACGGCTCCAGGCCGGCGTAACGCCATCAGCAGGCCGTGAGGACCCAGTCTAGTACCCAGTCTCGAGACCTCTCCGGTGCCGCGCGGCTTTAAATCGCGCGCGTACCTTTAGCCGTGCACCGCGCACCCTCACGGGCTTGCGCAGTGATCACTGCGACCGCACAGTCGCTGCGCGCGTTCAAATCGCCGCGCGAGCAGCTGTGCGCCAAAGCCCCAGCTAGCCACATAAGCAAAAGCGCGCGCGACGCCGCGCGCAAGTTAAGATGGCCGCCATGGAGCTCGAAACGGGAAAAGTCGACGAGGCCCTCTACAGCCGCCAGCTCTACGTCCTAGGGCGGGAGGGCCAGTCGAAGATGGCGTCGTCGACGGTGCTGGTTTGCGGCCTGACCGGCACCGGAGCCGAGCTCGCGAAGAACGTGATCCTGGCGGGCGTCAAGGCCGTGACGCTGTACGATCCTACTGCCGTGACGCATCGAGATCTTGGCGGGAATCCCTACGCGCGTATTGCAGACGTCGGCAAGCCGCGGGCCGACTGCTGCGCTCCTCGGTTAGCTGAACTGAACCCCTACGTTACTGTAAGTGTGATGAAGAACGGGTCTTCCGGTGAAGCCATGGGGTCTTTGCACTCGTGCGACGTGGACGAGTGGAGCGCGCGCGTGCGGGGGTATAGGTGTGTGGCCATCTGCGACGCCGTGTCTGAAGCTGAGTTAAAGGCCATCGACGACGCCTGTAGGAGGGAGAACGTGTGCCTCGTGGCTTGTGAATCGAGGGGGGTCTGCACGTCGCTGTTCTGCGACTTTGGCGACGACTGGACAGTGACCGACGCCGACGGCGAGCCCGGCGCGGCCTGCTTAGTCGCGTCCATCACGCAGACGAATCCCGCGCTGATCACGGTCGTCGACGAACAGCGCCACGGTTTAGAAGTGGGCGACATCGTATCGTTAACGTCGTGTGTGGGCTGCGACGCCCTCAACGAGAGAGAACTGAAAGTTTTGAGGGTCTGCTCGCCTTACAGTTATGAAGTAGACGCCGACGCGTCTTCCACCACACCCTACGTGTCGTCGGGCTACGCGCAGCACAAGAAGGGCGGCAAGGTCATACAACACAAGCCCTACGGGTCGACCTTCGACGACGATTCATTCTTACGTTGCGATTTCGCGAAGTTCGAGCGGCCGCCGACGCTCCATAATGCCTTCACGGCGTTGCGCAAGTGGCGCTCTTCCAATGGAGGAGCCTTCCCTGCCGAGAAGGATGCTGATGCTGTGGTAGCTTTGTTCGACAAGACGTCCGAGGACAAGAGCGAGGAGGTCTGCCGCGACTTGGCGCTGACTTCTGCAGGTGATTTGTCGCCGATGGCGGCCTTTTTAGGAGGTGTTGCCGGTCAGGAAGTGCTCAAGGCGTGCACGGGCAAGTTCGCTCCTGTCTCCCAGTACCTCTACCACGACTGCCTCGAGGCCTTACCTGAAAGCGCAGACCGCACGCCCAAGAACGACAAGAACGACTCCGTCCGCGTTATTTTTGGTAATGACATGGTCGCCAAGTTAGCGAAACTAGATTATTTTCTGGTGGGCGCCGGCGCCATCGGCTGCGAGGTCCTCAAGAACTGGAGCCTCATCGGTCTTGGGGAGAAGAGTGCCGGTGGCAAAATTCTAGTTACCGACATGGATAGAATTGAAAAAAGTAACTTGTCGCGACAGCTCTTATTCAGAAGCTCTGATATCGGCCACGCGAAGTCGACGCGAGCGGCCCTAGCCGCTCAACAACTGAACCCTTGTATCAATGTGGAAGGCATTGAAAAGAGAGTAGGTGCCGATTCCGAAGACGTCTTCGACGACAAGTTCTGGAGCTCGTTAGATGGTGTCTGCACGGCCCTCGATAATGTGGACGCGCGATTGTACGTCGATTCGAAGTGCTTGTTCCATCATAAACCGCTCCTAGAGTCGGGAACCCTAGGAACGAAGGGCAACACGCAAGTCGTCGTTCCTCGTCTCACCGAACACTACGGGGCCACGCGGGACCCCCCCGAGAAGTCCATCCCCGTCTGCACTTTAAAAAACTTCCCCAACAAGATCGAGCACACGCTGCAGTGGGCGCGGGACTGGTTTGCTTGCGGTGTGGAGGTCCATGAGCCGCGGCGATGGCGTACTGGTGGCGTAGAAGCACTTTCGACGACGGCGCGCCGACGCCAAGCTCCGCACGCCATCGCCGCGACGCGCCCTAGGAGATTGCCTCACGCCATCGACGCGCCATCGACGCGACGCCGTCCCCGAACCTAGATCCACGCAGGTTCGAAGGAGCGTTCAAACAAGTACCGGATGATGTCAACCAGTTCCTCAAGGCCGGCAACGACGCCTTTGCGCAAGAACTCAACAGTCAACCGAACACGAAACTAGATACGGCTCTGCGAGTCAAGACGAATTTAGTGGACCAGAGGCCGTCGTCGTATCAAGACTGCGTGGCTTGGGCTAGACTAGAATTCCAGCAGTGCTTCCACGACTCCATCGCGCAGTTGCTCCACAACTTCCCGGCCGACCAGGTGACGGCGTCCGGCGCGCCGTTCTGGTCCGGTGCCAAACGAGCTCCCACACCGCTCCAGTTCGACGCCAACGACGCGACGCACCTCGAGTACATCCGGTCCGCCGCGGACCTGCGAGCTTATAACTACGGGTTAAAAGGCTCCGACGCCCCAGAGCACTCTGAGACATATATCAAGAAGGCGTTGTCCAACGTCATGGTGCCCGAGTTCAGGCCCAAGGAAGGTATTAAAATAAGCGCCAACGAGGCGGAGGAGAAGAAGCGCCAGGAGGAGGAGGCTTCCTCGTCCATGATTGACGTCGATCAGGAAACTTCCAGAATCCTCAAGGAGCTGCCGTCGACGACGTCGCTGGCGGGCATGCGGCTGGAGCCCTGCGAGTTCGAGAAGGATGACGATTCGCACATGGCCTTTGTGGCGGCTTGTAGCAATTTGCGCGCTCGGAACTACAAGATTCCCGAGGCGGACGTGCACCAGTCGCGCTTGATCGCCGGGAAGATTATTCCCGCGATCGCTACTACGACGGCGTTGGTCGCTGGTTTGATCACGATGGAGCTGTTCCACCCGTGCATAAATCAACCAGTGCATCGAACGCGCCGTGAACTTTTGATGTCCACGCAGGTTCAAACTCCTGCAGGACAAGCCTCTCGAGGCTTACAAGAGCGCCTTCGCGAACCTCGCGATCCCGATCTTCTCGATAACGGAGCCGCAGGCGCCGAAAACCACGGTCAGCAAGATTCCCGGCGGCAGACGTAAAGGTGAAGAGTGGGCGTGGAGCCCCTGGGACTGCATCGAGTTGTCCGATCCGTCACTAACTCTCAAACAGCTCGTCGATTACTTCCAGGACGAGTACGGCCTCGAGCTCAACATGTTGAGTTACGGAGTTTCCATTTTATTTTCTAGTTTCGCGAACGCGAAGAAAGTGAAGAAGCGCATGCCCATGGCTCTTACGGACGTGATTGCCGACGTGACGAAGGCTCCCGTGCCTTCTCATAAAAAGTACCTCGTGTTGGAAGCGATGTTGCAAGATGAGGACTTCGAGGAGGTCGAATTGCCTTATGTTCGGCTGAAGCTGTTCTGAGGTAGGCGCCCCCCCTCTCAAGGATAAGTAACATGCGCGGGTCTCACGCGCGGGTTTCGCGAGCGGCATTCATTCAATCGAGACAATAACGGCACACGTCCGCCAGATGACTATGAGCGTGTAGGGATTCGCTCCAATGCCAGCCCGCGCGCCTCCCAGCTATCCACCGCTGGGCTGCGCCCAGCCAGCCGCTGTGCCAAAAGAGCTGGGAGCAGGGACTTACGGGGAACGAGAACTACTGAAAAATGCTGCGTGTCGCTGCCCTAATGATCGCGAGCAGCGCCGCGCTCCGGGCCCCCGCGCGCGGCCCCAGGCTGAGCACGTGCAACAAGCCCTGGAAGGGCTGCCCCGAGGAGGGCGGCGACCTCGGCGAGAAATTAGCTGGCTTCTTCGAGGCCATGGCCATGTACGACGACGACAAAAGCGGCAGCGCGTCCGCCTGGACCGGCGAGAACGGCCTCGACCGCGCTGCCTCCAAGGTATTCGCGACGAGCGTCGCCGCGACGATGGCGCGGCTCCAGCTCTACCAAAACGACGCGGCCAACGGCGGCGTCGACGAAGAAGAAGCGGCCCAGGGCTACCTCGGGCGGGCTCTCGTCAAGTTGCTTGCGATTTCGCTCGAAATTGTTGTGGGACTCTTCGTGTTCGGAAGGGTTATTCCGCGGTGCAGTAGCGCGGCGAAGGGCGCGGCCTGGCGCTCGTCCGTCGTCGGCTACCTGCTCTTTTGGCCAGAGATCGCCCTCGTGGCGGCGGCGGCGACTTCGGTCCGCGGCAGCAACTACACCATTACGAAAAGTTCCGAGCAAGACCAATGAGTCTCCGAGCTCGTCAGTCCAAAGCCTTGAGCAGCGGCGCGTGCTCTCGGGCTACGTGATGACCGACAGCAACATAAAAACGGCCGTCACGGCGTGGCTCGCGGACGCGACTGCTGCCGAGGCGACGTACGGCCACATTTCTACGTGGGGCACGTCGGGGGTGACCGACATGTCGTATTTGTTTTGCTCGGGTTATGATGCGACCCATCGGCCTCTCTGCAACAACGCCGCGTCGTCCTTTAACGAGGACATCGGCGCGTGGGACACCTCGGGCGTCAAGACCATGTACGCGATGTTCAGCTCAGCCTCGGTGTTCAACCAGGACATCGGTGATTGGGCGGTCGACGGCGTCACGAATATGAGCGAGATGTTTGTCTACGCCTCGGCCTTTAACCAGGACCTCAGTGGTTGGGCGGTCCACAGCGTCAGAAAAATGAAATTCATGTTCCACAGCGCCTCGGCCTTTAACCAGGACATAAGTGGTTGGGCGGTCGACAGCGTCACGGATATGTACGCCATGTTCTACGAAGCTTCGGCCTTCGACCAGAACCTCGGCTGGTGCGCGGCCGACGGCGTGGACCTGGGCGCTGCGTTCGACGGCACTCCGTGCGCGTACACGTGCGGCGTCGGAAGGGGCCAATTTTTGGCTGCGAGCGGCAGCTGCGAGTCCACTCCCGCGCCAACTGCTTACTGGGATGGCGTGCATCACACGGACGTCAGCATCCGCACGGCCGTCGCGGCTTCAGGCGTCGGCGTCGCGCTCCTCGTGCTCGCGCTCGCCACGTGATCACCTCTCCCTTCCTCGCGCCGCCAAGTTCGAGGCGTCCCCGCAACAACTCGCCCCTGAACATATCCCCCCCCGTCGTAAAAAAATCGATTACTAGTACTATCACGCCGCAGTCGAACAACAAGACACACTTAGAAGACCCACTGGTCCGCGAGCGGCACGTAGCGCGTCGCGCCCCGCGCCTCGTCCGGCGACGTATAGCTCCGCGCCGCCTGGGGGGGGGGGGCGCCGTGCCGAGCCAGCAACTCCGGTGGATAAGTAGTAACATGATTAGATCTGGGGGCGCTCGACGCCGAACTCGGCCACGAGCCGGTCGATGCGCGCGTTGTCCGCGTGGAGCGGGATGCCGTTGACGCCGCGCGCCCTGATCAATTCGATCGCCGCGCGGGCCGCCGCCTGGTGCTCCTCCACGGCGTCCTCTCCAGTGGTCACGCTTCGAATGATGGCCACGGCGTCGTCGTCTGTCGGAGCGTGGACGGCCCGGGCGGCCCGGAACCGGGCCAGCATGGCCGGATCTGCCCTCACGATCTCCCCGAACCGCCGGGCTTCGGCCATAAGCCTTTCCTCCTCGGCCCGCAAGTCTGGCACGTCCTCGACGCCAAATTCGGCCGCGAGGCGGTCGATGAGCGCAATACTCCCTATCGTATGTTCCATGCCGGCGCCGAGGTTGCCGCGGCTGGCGAGATCGTCGATCGCCACACGCGCGGCAGCTCGTTGCTCGTCGACGTCGTCGAAGGCGCTCCGGATGGCAGCCACCGCGGCATCATCTGTCTCCGCCGCGATCGCGGCATCAGCGGCAGCCGAGACTGCCGCTATATCTATGCCATCGTCCTCCTCATCATCCGCCTGGGCCTGGGCGCCCGCCTGCGCTCGAGCTTCGTGCTCGCGCTGGAACTCCCGGAATTCATCCTCGTAGACCTCAAATATCCGATCGGCGACCGGCGCGACTTCTGCTAGTGTAAAAGACGTCATGGCCTCGAGCTCCGGACGCCAAGCCGGCGTCAGCTTGAGATTGCGACGAGCAACTAACAACACCGCAGCAGCCAATTTGGCGGAAGGTACTTTATCCCCAGAGAACTCTCTATGTTGCAAACACATGCTACAAAAGAAGCAACACCATTTTTGCACATACAAAAACAATCGTTCCACTCGTACCTCATCATTGACCGGCTGGTTCCGGTGGTGGTCCGCCAGCACGTCTGTACTTTCGGGATACAGGGGTCTTTTACTGACGTATATCCGTAAGAAATGTAAGGGTGTTGGGGCTAGTATTCTCCACCCTATATGTTGCCTGACGTATAATTCACACTCCCTCGCATCACTCTGGCGGCACTGCTGCGCAAATAAGTCCGGCACGGCCTTCTCTAGTAGTGCTGAAGAGGGCTCTTGTACGTTGTGAGCGTCCGCCGCCACTCTGAGAGCTCCAACACACAGATAGGCCGCTCTACTTCTTAGGGTTTTGGCCGTCCAGGCCTTTTCGTCTGAAGAAGCGTGCGGCAGCAGCCAGATCAGGTCCACGAGCTTCGCCGCCTGTGTGTGATATGTATCGAGTCGCGATCTCGCCCGAAATGCGCTCAAAATCATGAGACCACTCACGGCCTCGTCTGACGGAGGCGAGTCGCGTCGATGGCGTATGATCTCAGAAAGGCCACGGGACGCCGCAATCAGACGTGATGAGCTACGACTAACTGCAATTCGCACCGCTCCGCGAGACCGTGCAGCGAGTCGACGACGGCCCGCCGGTACTGGTTCCACCACCTGCTTTGACATGGTCTAGCTCCAGTGGGAGGGCCCTTCTCCTGGACGGGTACCTCGTTGCGAATAGCTCGATCTACAAGTGCTAGAGTCGTCTCGAGGGGCTCTTCATCAATAATCGCATGCTGCAACACTCGAATAATCACGGAATGGGGCATCGCATTCCTCAAACATCTCAATGTGGCCGACGCGAGCTGCCTTTCTGATAATGGTAACAAGTGGCCCCACGATCCGAGGGCGCCCGGCTGCCTCGTTAATAGCCGCGCGGGCGTCGGCGCGGGCGGGCTTTCTCCTAATAAGAGTTTGGCGGGGTCGTTCATTTTTTTTTCCTAGCGTCGACGGCGTGCTCACGCGCGTGTTCCGCGGCGCCGCGTCCAGTCGCGCCGACGGGGGGCTGTTTTGGTTTTGCGTCTGTAGCGCGTCTGCTGAGCCGCGCGGGCTGGATTTTTCGCTGCAGGCGTTGAGTGTTGGTAGTTTGCTAAAGTTTTCACTGTGTAACTCTTCCAGCGGAGCTGAGCTTCGAGCCAAAATGGTGCCCGAGGCGCTTTGCTAGTGCCTTACCCTACGCTAGCTCTGCATCGCGCCGCGGACTCGCTTTTGTCGCACTAGTGGCCCCTGCTGCCCTAAGGAGCGTCCAGGAATACGATTATAAGACACGGCTGCTGCGTGAGCCCTGACACCCGCCCCGCGTGCGAAGAGGCTCGGTAGCCATAAGCTAAGGAAGCTCGCCGCCGCCGCGACGCGCCGCGAGCCGCGCGCCAGGCGCCTGCGCATTGCTCAGCACCAGACGCCGGAGACGCTAGACGACGATGTACGGCGGAGGCTACGGCCGGCCCCCGCCCCAGCAGTACGGCTACGGCCAGCCCCAGTACGGAGCCCCACCACCCCAGTACAACTACCCACCGCAACAATACGGGGCGCCGCCGCCCCCGCAATACGGCCAGGGCGCCTACGGCTACGGAGTACAACCACCGATCGCCCCCAAAGTACCAACAGGTAAGATTGAGGATGTGAAGTCGTTATGGTTGGGCGAGGTGCAGCCGGACTGGACCGAGGAGTACGTGCGTTCCATCTACGCCGAGTGCGGGAAAAGATTTAACGTGAAACTTTTGAGGGACCGCGCGACGGGCCAATCGCAAGGTTATGGATTTTTGGAGTTCGAGAGCCACAAAGACGCCGAGGAGGTCCTCAACCTCTACCGAGATAAACCAATACCAGGAACACCTTTTAAATGCGCCTTGAAGTGGGGCGGCGGCCACGGCAACGCGCCGGCCAAGAACTCGGAGTGGCGGGCCCATACGCCTGCTGGGTACTCTGGTCCTCCAGTACAAACTGATTTCAGCATTTTTGTCGGCGATCTGGACTACAACGTGACCGAGGAGACGCTGCACAACACCTTCGCGAAGAAGTACCAGTCGATTATCTCCACTAAATTAGTCGTAGACATGTCTACTGGATTATCGAAAGGCTTCGCGTTCATCAAATTCTCCTCGTCAAATGACCGGGACAAGGCCATGAACGAGATGCACGGCCAATATGTGGGCGAGCGGGCCATTCGCGTCACTCTAGCTACTACAAGGGAAGAGCGAGAAAGGGAAGCGAAGATGCGCGGCGAGCAGCAGTTCTACGATCCCTCTCGCGTCCATGCTCCTCGCGCGACCGAAGAAGGCGAGAACACGTGTGTCTTCGTCGGTGGTTTAGATGAAAGCGTTTCTCCAGACATGCTGCGGCACCACTTCGGGTTACTTGGTGATATTGCCTACATTAGGATCCCTCCGGGGCGAGGGTGCGGCTTTGTGGGGTTCGTGCATCGCAAGAACGCGGAAGCTGCAATCTCTACCTTACAGGGTTTGAGAATTAACGGCTATAAAGTAAGATTGTCGTGGGGTTCCATGAGGCAAGGGCCGAAGAACGCCAGAGTCGCGCAACAAGCTGCCGCTGCTCGCGCCGCGGCGCTGGCGGGCAAACCTTTAACATCGCAAGCGAGGGAGCTCCTCGGCCAGACGGCCGGAGGCATCTTGCCGATGGTGACGCAGATAAAAAAGGAGCGGAAAACGCCCTTCGGGACCCTCACGAACGACTACGTCGAGAAGCTACCTGAACCTAGACAACCGTGGCCGCCGCCTCCGTCATCTGCAGCTCAAGCTGTGGTGCCGCCTCCTTTACCTCCCAAGAAGGCTACCGTATCAGTACCTGTCTCGCCGTATGTCGCTCAATTGAAAGCACGATATGACGCCTACAACGCCGCCGGCGGGAAGCCTACCGTTGCCAAGGAGACTGATACCGTGGAACGGGCGCCGGGCGCGGCCTTCTCACTCGCTTCGCGACGCTCTGAGAGACCAGCGAAAGCGCCTCGTTTACAAGGCGATGTACTAGATGAGGAGAACCGTCTCTATGCGACGAACGTGCTCAAGCCCTCTCTCCTATCTCTGAGTGCCGCCTTTTTAGCGGTACCACGACCTAAACCAGCCGTCGACGCGTCGGATCCGGTGAAGGCGACGCCCATGGAGACGTTCCTAGCTAAAGAAGCGAAGTAATACACAAACTTTTAGTCACAGCCCCAGAGCCCCTCACTATACCCGAACGTGCCGAAGTAGCGGTCGCCGAAGTCTCCCAGCCCGGGCACGATGAACTTCTGGTCGTTCAGCCCCGCGTCGACGGCGCACGTCACGATCTTCACGTCTGGGGCCTCGCTCGCCAAACGCCGCAAACCCTCCGGACAACTCACGACGTTCGCGAAGACTACTCGCTCGTCCCGGACGCCCGCCTGCCGGAGCACGCCGAGGGCCATCATCGCGGAGCCGCCCGTCGCGAGCATCGGGTCGCACAAGACGACGTTTTTCTCTCCGATGCCCGGCGGCAGCTTGCTGTAAAGTAACGACGGCAGAGCCGTCTCCTCGTCGCGTTGTACTAATATTTTTGCGGTGCCGGCGCCCGGGCAAACGCGCCGCACGGCCTCCTGGAGGATGCCGCCGCTCCGCACAATGTCGACAACGACGACGTCGCCGTCGGGCGGACAGATCATTCCCGTCGTCGGCCCGCAAGGCGTCATTATCGGTGCGTTGTCCAGGACGTCCGGGAGCAGCGCCAGCGCTTCCTCAGCCAGGATCGAGCACAGTCGGTCCGCCGCGGCGACAAATGCTTGTTGCGTCGTCCCTTTGGCGCGCAGCGTCGTGAGCAGCATGCGTAGGGCGCGGCTTTCGAGCCGTATGGCATTCTTGTTGTACTGCTTCGCGTGTTCCATCTTGATTAACGATTTATGCGCTCGATATTCAGCGGCCTCGCAGGGCTGCGCGCGCCGCGCCGCTGGGGCCCAAAAGCTCTGGAGAGGCGCGTGTGGTACCCGAGGCCACCCTGATTAATTCTGGGCGTCAGCGGGGACGAATGCGCTGAGCTAGAGCCGACCTGTGCCAGGTGCTCTCCAGGCTCTCCCTGCTGTAAAGGCCAAAAACTCACCGCCAGCACCGCACAAATGCTGATGCGCGCGATTGTTGCTTTGCAGCTCGCGGCGGGCATCGCTGCGGCGCCGCAGACCACAACAGAATGGCTGCGCAGCGAGGCGGGAAGCGTCTGGACCAGCATCACCACAGACCCATTTGTGCACCAGCTCGCCGACGGGACGTTGCCGAACGCGACGTTGGCGCGGTATTTAGTCCAGGATCATAAATTTGTGGATGCTTTCATGGTTTTGCTCGCGAGCATGGTGGCCCACGCGCCGACGCTCGAGGACCGCGTGCCGGGCGCCAGATTTCTCGGCCTGATCGCCGGCGACGAGAACAGCTACTTCCTACGCTCATTCGACGCGCTCGGCCTGTCGGAAGCCGAAATAAATGCGCCGCCCGCACCGGTCACGAAGCGCTTCGACGCCCTGATGCGGAGCGCGGCGGCCTCGGGCAAGCTCCACGAGATGCTCGCCGTTTTAGTGGTAGCTGAGTGGAGCTACCTCACCTGGGGCGAAGCGGCAAAGCCCGTCGCCGGCCTCTCGTGGCTCCACCTCGAGTGGATCGACCTGCACCGCGGCGACTACTTCGCGAGCGTCATCGCGTACCTGCGCGGCCAGCTCGACGCGCTCGAGCTGACGGCGGCGCAGCGTGGCGAGGCGCGGGCCGCGTTCCTCGAGGCCGTCGCCTGCGAGAAGGCGTTCTGGGAGATGGCCCGCAACGGGGATGGTGGCGGCGAGCTCTGAGAGATTGTCTAATGTGCAAGTTTTAAGGTTAGTAGTAGGTCTGCTCACGTCGAGTGCGTCGTCGGGGACGCCGTCGCCGCGGCGGCCTCCTCGTGCTCCTCCGCGCCGGACGCTGAATCGTAATCACTGGTGTACATGCGCTGGGGAACGGCCTCTGGATCGGTTCGCTTGAGGCCGATCGCGGCGGGACCCTCCAGGACAAAATCGGCGATCCGCATCTCTACGGCGACGTCGGCCGGGAAATCTTCGCCGTAGCCCAAGATGCCCGGCGGTCCTTGAGTGTGGAGTCGCTGGAGCGTCGCCGCCCATTCGTCGGAGGTCTGGCCCGAGAGGCTCGCGAGGGCCGAGTCCCAGATGTTGCGCTGGCGGATACACGCTGCAGTCTTGTGCGCCATCATTTCGCAGGTCAGCGTGTGGCCCACGCCGTTGGGGACGATCGGAATCGTGGGAAAACTTTCGCACGGCGGCTCGCTCGTACTGACGCGCGCCGAAACTCCCGTTCGGTCGTAGACAATCCCGACGCTACAAAACAAGACCTACGCGGAGCCAAAGGAGAGCTCGAGGATCTATTGCGGACGACGCGCCGCGTGTTTGGTACATCTCATCCGCGGTTTGAGATTGTCCAGGACGCCATAGAGAAGGCAAATGAGAATATCGAGACTCGGAGGGCAAATGTACGACTAAGTCTCGGAATCTAGATAAACAAAAATACATCACAACACCCCGTCGACACGCCCCCCATGAATAAGCTCCGCCACAACACCTGCCAGCGCCGTGATCGCGCCGTTGCAGAACTCCAGTTTCTTGAGCTCGCGCGGCGCGACCCAGCGCGACCCCGCGGCCTCGTCGTCGAACTGGAGCGGAGCGTCGCTCGGGATGCGGTAGAAGAAGAGCGCCGTTGCCTGGAGGTCTCTGCGCGCGACGTCGTCGTACGCCACCTTCACGAGGTACGACGTGCCCGGCGCCAGATTGATTAACCCAGGGTCGTCATCATCTATGCTCAGGCCCAGTTCTTCCCTCAAAGCTCTCGCTGCCGTCGTCCGCCAGGGCTCCTCGGGGTTCGAGTGTTCGCCGACGAGGCCCCAGGCGCCCGGACACGTCTTCATTTTCATTGAGCGGTGCAGGAGCAGGATCTCGTCGCCGTGTGCGCCGCGCCTGGCCACAGCGAGCCATAGCCCGCGGTGAAACAGCCCTTCCGCGTGCGCGGTGCTAATTGGGACGGTGGTTTTTCGCGAGACGATGCGCGCGTCGTCCAGCTGGTCCAGGTTATGCATGCCTTCGAAATCAACCCAGTTATTGCGGCCGTCATAGCTGTAAATTGCTACGTCCGGGTGATGCTCATCGCTTGTGTGCCACAGCCGCACGAAGACGAGCAAGCATGTCAGGAACGCGGCGGCGGCTCGCGTTGAACGGTTGAGCCTCGCCATTGATGCTTCGCTCCAACGCGCGCCGCTTTAGCTTGTTTCACTGCCAGCACTCATTGGCACTGCTGCTGGCCCTCTAGCAATACGTAAGCGATTGATCGATCGTGGTCTGATTTGTACCGTCACAGTGCACTACTTTCGTGCCTTTGGCTTGATCGTCAAGCCCTGCTTTGCGCTTTGCGCCTCGCGCTCGGGGCTAGCGGTGTAAGACACTAGCAAGCAAGCAGGCTCGAGCGCAGCGCAGCAAACACCGGCGCCAGAACCCGTGCGGCACGCCTGTGCATGCATTTGTAGCCCTCCGGTGCGCACAACTCGCTGCGAACGGCTGAAAGCGCGCGTAGCACAAGCCACGTCTCGGAGAGCCCCTGCAAGCTCAGGCGGCAGCGCTGCGCCATCACGCCGGCGCCGCGCGGCGGACCGTCGAAACATGTCGCCGGCATCCATACTACTGCTCAGTGTATGCTCCGTCGCCCTGACGCCGCCGCAGCGCCGCCCGCCAAAGCCGCCGGCCAAGCCGCCCGCGAGCAAGCAAAGGCGGCCACCAAACAATGTACCAAGAGCCCAGAAACCGAAAGTTACGGACGGATTAGCCCAACTGAGGAGCGACGCCCAGGCGGGACGCTGGCGCGAAGCATTGGCAACAATTACTACAGCTGAGGGCGCGATCGAGTCCGCAAGAGATGCGGGCGCGACCTTCTTCCCGCTGCCCGTGGAAGCCTATAATCTGGCCATCACGGCCTGCGGCAACGGTAGAAATCATGAAGAAGCTTTAGGCGTGTTGCGGAGGTTGACCATGGGTGTAAGTCCAGAAGAAGGGCCTGGAAGTGCCCAAGCGGCGAAGCGCCCGCGGCCCGACGCCGTGACCTTCAACGCCGCCGCCGCGGCCTGCGCGAAGGCCGGCGACTATCAGAAGGCCGAGCAGGTTTTGAAACAAGCTAGAAGATTTAATAAATTGGACGCCATCCTCTACACCTCCGTCATCAGTGCCTGTGGAAGGGCGGGCCAAACGAAAAAGGCCCTGGCGTATTTAGAGGCTTTACGGGAGGATTTAGGAAGGGGCGACGTCGTCGCGTACACCGCGGCGGTCGATTCGTGCGCGCGGGCCGGCGACTGGTTGAATGCCGAACGAGTTTTGGGGCAGATGATTTTTGAAGACAAGGTCGTGCCCAATCTCAGAACTTATCGGGCGGCGTGCAAGGCCGCGGCGGCGGCGGGCGAGTTCGCGAAGTGCGAAGAACTGCTGGACGACGTCAAGGACGCCGTGCAAATAGCGCAAGGCGCGCGGTTCTGGGGTCCGAGGGACCACGCGGCCTGCTTCGAAGGCGTTTTGAAGGCGTGTCGAGGCAGAGGTGCTTGGAAAGAGGCTCGGAACGTCCTCGAGAGGTTAGAAAACGAAGTCACGGCCGGTAACAACGAGGACGACGTCGAGGCCGTGGAGCGGGCCGCGACGGCGTCCTACGTCGCTGCGATTGGTGCTTGTGCTCGCAACATCGACGACGACGCTCAGGTAAGGTGGTCGTGCGCCCGAGATCTTTTAGATCGCTTAGAAGCTAGATTGAAGGCGCCATCCAGGAAATCTAGATTGTGGAGGACGAAACGAGAGCGCAGACAGGCCTACACTTCTGCCATGGTCGTCGCGGGGCGGGCGGGAAAGGCCGACGAGGCTCTGAAACTCTTCGACGCCTTCGAAGCCGATAACCTCAAGCCGGACACGGCCTGCTACAACGCGGCATTAGCTGCGTGTAGACGATCTGATGTTGGTAAATATGCGGACTTTGCGAAACGATTGTGGCGGCGCTGCTGCGATGATGACGACGCACATCCTGATAGTCTCACAGCTGCCGAGGCCGTGGCTTGTCTCGAGAGAGCGGGAAGATGTTCCGATGCCGATCTTATTTTTGCGGAAGCGCTGGAGCTGGGCGTGCCACTGAAACAAGCGCGAAGCGCCGGCCCGCAGGGCGTCGCGAAGCGGTCCGTCGCGTGGCTGGACGAGAATTCGGAGTATGACGTCAGCGGTCTGTCCGTACCCCTCGTGAAGTGTGCGATTAGGAAAGCGTTGAAGGATGAAACGGCTTCCGACCACACGGCTGATTGTGTCTTCATCACGGGCGTTGGCGCGAAAAAGGCGAAGGACCCTTCGCATGTACCTCTTCGCGATAGCGTGCTGGAATTTCTCAAAGAATTTGATCCGCCCCTGAACGCGTTTGTCCCTAAAGATGCCCAGGGGACCGTCGTGGTCAAGCGGTCGTCGTTGCTGGATCGGCTCGATTATGATGATGAGGAGGAGTTCGTCCGGGGGGGTAAGCGGAGGAAGTAGTATTGTTGTCTTTTCGGCGATGGCGTGTTGGGGCTGAGGCTGAGGCTAGTTACGTCGCAGGGTTCCCCGTACCCCTCCCGCTCCCCCCGGGCCCACCCGTCCGGCTGGACCAGGACGCAAGGGCTTGCTAGTGTCTTTACAGGCCGCTAGCTGCACCCTATGTGTACGATTGACTGGGTACTTTTCCTCGCAGAGCAGTGCGCATCGTGGCATCCTTGTTTGTTCGTCTGCACTCGGCGTACGGGTCGCAACCCCAGAGGCCACTGCGGAAGGCGACGACATAAGTCGACTTCCTGGGCACAAACGCAGCCCTTGGCACACACAGGAGTGTCCGGGCACTCCATCGCTCGTACCTAGCCCACCGCGCAACTTCCGCGGCTCGGCGCGGGCGTCGCGCGCATCTCCATCTACTGGCAGAGGTCCCCTTACAAGCTCGTACGCACATCAAGCGTCCACCGACGATGGTCACCAGCGAGGAGCAGAAGCTCCGCAAAAAAAACAAGAAGCTCAAGCGCAAGTACAAGCAGAAGTACAAGCTCGCGCGCGGCGCGAGCCGCCAAGCCTCCAAGAAGAGCCGAGGCGAGGAGATTATTGCAAACTTCCAGAAAAGCGTACAAGATGCGCAGGACCGAAAGGCCGAGCAACGGATTACGGATGCCGCCGACCTGGCGAGAGCGCGCTGCATGGCGAGGGACCGCGAGGCCGACTCCCGCGACAGCGAAGCCATGCGCCGCGGCGCCATCGACGCGACCGAGTTTGCGAAGCGCGCCGAGGCGCGGCGCGAGCAGCGCCGCATCGAGCTCGATGCGGTGGACAAGACCAGAGACGCCGACCTGGCGGCGTTGCGGCGCTCGTTCCGTAAGCGCGACGGGGCAGTCAGCTCGGACTCGTCGAGCGACTCGTCGGGCGACTCTTCTGCCGAGTCTTCGGACGAGGAATGAACCCCTCCCCGCGAGCTGAGCGTGTAAAACTTCCACTCAAAACGTGTCTGGGGACTCCTAGACGCCATCGCGGCGATGGCGTATGGCGGTTCCGTATCACAAGACTAGTTAGTTCATGACGGGCGCCGCCGTCGGCGCCTCGATCAACCCGAGCGCTTCCAATAAACCTCGGTCCTCGATGGACGCCACGTCCAGGCCGACGTCGACGTCCGACAGAATTTCATCCTCGGACGGCGCCGCGCAGGCCCCGTCCCGACAGAGCGCGCCCTCGAAGTCCGGCACGAAGTAGCCGTACCGCCTGAGTCTATTCGCCTTCGCGCCCCACAAGTACGATTTGAGCTGGGCCCGGGCGCGCGGCCGCGCGATGTCGCGCAGAGCGACCGCGCCGGGCACGCACGCGTGGACGCCGCCCGCCGTCGTGTCCTGTCTCAAAGACCCGGCCTTGGCGTCCGTGCGGCCGCCCTCAAGCCAGCAGGCCACATACGCTAAATTCGAGCGGGCCAATCCCTTGAACGGGGCGAGTGAAACACGACGGCCGTCCACGATCCTCTCCAGTGATTTTGGGATGACGTCGGGTCGCAGGGAGCAGGCCTCGGCGTGCACAATTGCGGCTTGTTTCAGGGAAGAGACGTCCGCCAGCATCTTGTCGACTAATTGGATCCACATCTCGATGCGCCGGTCGATGCCGTCGTCGGGATCTCTGAGGTACAGCGTCTTCTTGAAGTTCCAGCGGTTGTCGAGCCACTTCTCGATGGTCAGCGCCCAGGCCAGCGGGTGCCTCAACACGAACACGAAGCGCGCGTTCTGAGGAAAGAGCGCCTCGAGGAATAACCCTCTTACAAAGTTCTCCGGTGTCTTCTCCACGAGGACCGCCGACGACTGGTTCCAGTAGGGGTACCACTGGCGCCAGAGCTCCACGGCCTTTTGGGGAGACGCCTCCGCGCCGTCCAAGGACAGGCGATCAACAGCATGCACGGAGTCGCCCCAGTCCCGCAACATATAGGCGTAGGGGTACACGTCCTGCGCGAACTTTCCTTCCAATCCACCACTTTTTATCACGTCGTCAAGGTAGCGCCGCGTGACCCCGCGCCAGCGCCTCAACGCATCGACGCGCGCCTCGGCCTCCTCCTTTCTTAAATTTGCGAAGAGCCACCGAAAGCTCTGGCCCGACGCGTCCGGCAGCGCCTCTAGTGCGGACGCGAGCGCCGTCGTGCCGCTGCGCTGGAGGCCGCCAACGAAGACCAGTAATCGATTGGGGTCGCGCGGCCGCAATCGCGTTACGGGAGCCGCAAGGTGCGGGTGCTCGTGGACTGTCGTCGCGAGGTGCTGGTGCGACGCAAGCATGCCGCCGGCCGCGAGCAGTGCGGCGGCCGCGAGGGTGTAGAGGGCCGCACTCATGATGGCGTCATGCCGCCTTGCATCGATGCGACCCCTGCCGTGCTGGATGGGCAGCCATGTGGCTGCGCTGTGCGTTTTTTGGGAGCATGCAATGCCAATTTTTTTCATAGCGTGCGGGTTGTGCGAGCCGAGCGCAAGGCTCGTGTCCGGCGCCGGGGATGGCTCGCGAGGGATCGCGCACGGTTTGCCTCACGCTGCTTGCTAGTGTGTAACAGGACGCTACTAATTTCTTGAGCTTTTCGACGCTTGGCTTGAGCACGCTACCGCACGCCGGGCCACCGCGTGCCTCTGACGGTTTCCCACAGTGGTCTGCAAATACCGGGCCGAGTTTTAGGCAACCGCGGCGGATATCTGAGATTATATCTCTGTGCAAGCCTTGAAGCCAAAGCAACAACGAGCGACGGACGCGGTCAACGCGGCCGTCGCGGGGTCGGTCGTACCTGCTGCTAGGGTAAATGGTAAAGCTGGTGAGTAGGAAATGCAGTGTTTTTGCGGCGCTGATGCAGCGCCGCGTTAAAAAATCAAATACGACCGTCGCGTGGGGTCACGTAGATTTGTTGTCAACGAACAAAACCGCCTGTCGGCCGTCGAGGCGGGCGATTTTTTGGGCGCAATGGCCGATGCTATTTTGCTGTGTTTAGCGTGCGGGGCAACGGAAACACTACTCCCCCGCCTTACGCTTCTTCGACGCCGTCTCAACAGCCGTCGGGTCCACCCTCTGATACGCGAAGGCCTCGCGCCGCGGCGCCGGCCGCGCGGGCGTGGCCGCCGGCACGCCCGGCACGTCGACGCCCCAGCGCCCCTCCAGACACAGCTGGGCGTCGACGGCCGACACCTCCGCGTCCTCGCCCTCCCTGTGCAGGGCGTGGTCCGCGGCGCGCTCCGCCACCCTATCCGCGAACGCATCCAGCGCCCGCAACAGCAGCGCTTCCGCGTCGTCGTCCAGCGCGTAGGCCGCGTCGCGCGCCGCGACGGCCTTTCTCAACTTCCGGCGCGCGCCGTCGTTCTCCTCGAGCGCGCCCTGCGCTGCCTTCTCGGCGGCGACTTTTGTTTTGAGGCTCTGCATGTTGCCTATCCTTTTGCCGCGGCTCGCCATGGTCTCCGGTGAGTGCTCCGGCGTCTGTAATGTGGCGCGGCGACGGCGTATGTGATGCGCCGGCGACGGCGTCTTGTGCAGCTAGTCCAGCTGTGTGCAGCAGCTAGCGCAGACGGGTGCAGCGCGGCAGATCGTCAAGTTGCGTTACGAGACAGCGCGGATGGAACCAATAAAGCAACGCTGCGCTGCTTCTAGCCCACGGAGACAGAGACGGCCGGCGCAAAGTTAATGCGGGGAGGGCGAGGAGGCTAGCGGCATGTAAGACACTAGCAAGCAAACTCGGAACGCTCATGCAGCCGTTTGAGCATCGTTCAGTTCGCTAATGGTCCAAAGAGACCAATAGGACACGTACTGGGGGCCGAAAAAAATAAATTTTTTAATTCGCGATATTGACGACGCCACCATGGCGGGCGCGTCGGTGGAATCCTGTCAATTCGTGGTCCTGAGGTGTCCCCGAGAGCGCCTAGGGTCGGGAAAATACATGTGCAATCGCCTACGCGGCCTACGCCGCCGCTTCTAGAGTAAGATACATCTCCCATGGTCCTTTGCGCTCTACCTCTATTGGCCAACGAGGGTCGCCGCGTAGTTGCTGGCCGCTCGGAGAGTGTCTTCATGTTCTTCGCCGTTGAGCTTCAAACGTCCAGAGTACACGTCTTGAAAAGAATTTGCGGCCTGTTCAAACCGTCCAAGTCTGTAATATGAGGCCGCAAGATTGTTCTGTGTGGCGAGAGTGTTCTCTGCTGAAGCGCCTAGGCGCTTCATCATAGACAATTCCGCCTCTCCCACGGACAACGCGTCCTCGTAGTGTTTGGCAGCGTCTAAACCGTTCCCAAGCACGTTCATCGCCAGGCGCCGAGACATGTCCGTCTCCGGCCGGCCTACGTACGTCTTCCAGGTACAACGGGATCATACAGCAGGAACTTGAATCACTTGGGCGCCGGGGTGTGATTATTTATTTAGCGCGATAAGCCGTGACTTCTGAAATGACAGGGCGTCTCGCCTTGGTCGTTATTGGTCGTATCGCAAAGGTAAACAAAAGGTAAATAAAGTGGGCGGGCTAGCGGCATGTAAGACACTAGCAAAAAATTAGCCTGAGCCTGTTTCCCTTTGCTTAAAGTTTGGCGGCGGCCTACCCACGGAGCCGACGCCTCTCCGCGTAACCGCGCGCCCGTCCCGACCCCGACCCTCATACGCCGTCGCCTTCCTCGAGCAGCGGTGGCGGTGGGGGCAGGTAAAAACAGCACAAACTTACACAATATCAATTCCGCTCGCCGACAGCGTGCCGCGGCGCGGCCCGCGTCCGCCCCGCGGCCCTGGCCGCGCGGTACGCGTCGTCCCACGGCGCCGGCGGCTCGAGGCGTCCCGTCGCCGGGTTCACCCAGCAGCCCTCCACGAGCGTCTCGTCGCGCCGCGGCGCGCGGCCGCCGCCCGCCGCGAAGGCGTACACCGCCGCCGCGCCGAGCGCCAGGAGGACGGCGCCCGGGCCGAAGAGCCGCTCCAAGGACGTGACGGGCGCCGCGGTCCCGGCGTTCGCGCGCGCGCGCGCCCGGCTCGCCGCCGCCGCGTCGCCCTCCCAGGCGGGTTTGTGCGCCTCGTCGTGGAGCGCTCGCTTCGCTTTGTCTCCGATGATTTCCCAGGCATCGGCGATGGCCCGGAAGCGCGTCGCGTCGCCGCTCCGGTCGGGGTGGTGCTGCTTGGCGAGGCGGAGGTACGCCTCCTTCGCCTCGGCTCGTGTTGCTGTTGGAGGTACGCCGAGCGTGTCGTACGGGCAGCTGCCGAGGCGCCGCCGCGATGCTCGCCGGAGGTGGTGGACGAGGGGGCGTGCGCCCAGCATGTGTGCAGATGTCTAAGCCAGGCTGTGCTGCAGCGCACTTAGCTAAAAAGCCTCGGTAGCAAGTAATCGATCGAAAGAATGAATTCTATCACAATAACGCTACCCTTGCGGCGCGAGACAGCGGCCTGCGCAGGCGTGTGCGGCAACCAGGTTGCTAGTGCCTTACAGCACGCTAGCCTCGCATCTTCGCGTTTTTGCCTTTTTCACATCAACGCGAGCCAGTGGCGCTTGCGTGCGCGTTGAAGTGCTCTCGCAGCAGTTTCAGCGAGCCGTCGTCAGCCAAGAGCGCTGCGCGTCGGCCGCGCAGCACGAGAGCCCACACGCTGCGCCGCCGCCGGCCGCACAGCAGCCAAGCCCTGCAAACATGGCCCCGCGCCGCTATACCGGCCCTCTGGCGGCCTTCTGGATCTTTTTACTGGTGGCCTGGGGCCTCAACGCCACGGCCATATCGATGGGCATCAGGACGCTGCTCAGTCGACTCGGCCTCTGCAAAGCACCGACGCACATGGAGTTTTTACAAGCACTGATGGCCTTCCTACAACCAGTGATTGTGGAGCGGGGCCAGCCGCCGTCCGACGAGGGCTGCATTGTGCTCTGCAACCACGTGAACTGGGCTGATTTCGTCCTGGACATTGTGTTTCTACCAAGAGGTGTTTTTGTGTCGAGGAATGCGTTATATGTCGTCTTCTGGCCGGCTTCTTTCCTAAGAGACTGGATGTTTAGCGACATGATCTTCTTCAAGCGGTCCAAGACCGTCAACAGTAAAGCGAAGCAGGACCTCTACGATAGGGTAGCGCAGAAGTGCCAAGATGGAAGGCACGTCATTGTGTATGCGGAGGGCACGCGGAACAACACGGGCGTCCAGAAACCGCTCAAGGTCGGTCTGATCAAGCTCGCCTACGAACGAAATATACCTTTATATGTCTCGATGGTCGCGAACAAGGAGGCTATTGTGGATGAGAAGCGCCTCTCCGTGACCTTCGGCGCCGAGGTGCGCAACGCCATGAGCGGTCTCGTGCGGCCGGGCGACCACGCGGACTTCGCCTCCTTCCTGCAAGCGGCGCAGGGCGCCTGGGACGGCGTCTGGGCGCGGACGCATAAGAGCTAGGAAGAATCGTCTCTGTTTTTCTTCTCTATCGTCGGGGCGTAACGAACCCGTACGAAAGCTCACTCGAACACTCGGCGCAAGGGCAGCCCGCACATCGATGCCGCAGGCAGGCCGATTGGGGCATAATTTGCACTACACTAACCAAATCTAAGCGTACGCCATCGATGCGCCGCGGAGCTTGAGTAAAAGACACGTTCAGACAGGCACAATAAATGCCAGCCGCCGGCGCCCTCGTGCTGCAGGCCGTCGGGCTGGCATCTTTAAGGGAGGCCGAGCGCGCCGCAGCATCGATACAAGCGGTGCAGCCCGACCTCGAACACATTGTCATAGGGGACGCGGAGACGCTGCGCCGGGCGACGGCCACCTTCCAACGAAAAATCGACGTCGAGGAGGGCCTAGACGCCACGATCCGGGCGGCGCTGCGCCGCGCGGCCCGCGTATCAACAGGCTGCCGGCGGCGGAGCGGCTGCGCCGACGAGTTAGTAAGGGCGCTCCGCGTGGCGCGCATCGCTCATCTGCGGCGCCTCCTTACGGAATATGATTACGTGGTTTCGATGGATGCGGACAGCCTCGCGTGCCAAAAGCCGGACTTTGCCTTAAAGGGCGCCTGGGACGTGGCGCTCCGGCCCGTGCCCGTGGCCGTCCGCAAGGGGCCCGCGCGGGACCTGCCGCCCTACCCGCCCGAGTTCAGCGGCGCGCTCCTCATCTTGCGCAACACGACGGCGACGCAGAACTTGCTGGAAACGTGGGCGGCGCTCTACGCTTCCTACAACGACGGGAAGCACCCGACTTCGGACCAGCCGCTCCTCCGCGTCGCGCTGCGCGCCGCGGGCGCGCGCGTGCGCTACCTGCCCGTGCGCTACGGCTGCGCGGTCTGGTCCGCCTCTGCTCAGTCCTGCCCCGCGTACACGGGCGCGATGAAGCGCGCGGTCGCGGGGCCGGCGCGCGCGGTCCGCCGCGACAAGCTCGGGGGGCCGAACGCGGCGCTCTGGCGGGCGCACGAGCGGGCCCTAAACCGGGAGCCGTGCGTGCTGCTGCACGGGCTCCACGGCTGAGGTGTGTGTGTGTTAATTTTGTTGAATTGCTTAACCTCGGGACTCGGACCGGGACCGAGGTCCGAGTCGCCCTGCCCGCCCGAGTAGCCCCCATGCGCCGTCGCCCCGAGTGTGAGCTGTTACAAACACTTTTACAACATATCGATCGCGTGAAGGCGGTCGTCGCGTGCTCCAACGAAGACTCGCGATCCGACGATGACCGGCGCCGAGAACGCCTTCGCGCCGAGGTCGCACTCGGCGATGGGCGCGCCATCAGTCGCGGAAACGACGAAGACTCGGCCGTCGGTAGACACGGCGACGAGCGTATCGGACACGAGCGCAGGTGCCTTGAAGAATTTCGCCCCGGGAACCGATCGCCGGTGCTTCAAAGCGCCACTGGTCGCGTCGCGGAAGACGAGGCCGCCCCGGTCGTCAGCGACGCAGACGTTCGCGCCGACGACGGCCACGGGCGCGTAGACGGGCGCCGCGCTTCCGACGATGGACCAGCGTCCCGCGCCGTCGTCGTGCGAGACCGCGTGGACCGCGCCGGAGACGTCGCCGTAGATGACTGCATCCTCGTGGACCACGGGTTGCGCAAACACGGGCGCGCCGGCTTTGCGCCATAGCGGGGCCAGCGTCGCCGCCTGGAGACCGTGCACCGCGCCGGCGGTCGTCGCCACGACGAGGACCTCACCAGCTAAGGTAGGAGCTGCGAAGACCGCGCCGCCGAGGTGCTCCGAGGTCCGGCGCACGGATCCGTCGGCGAGCGCAAGAGCCCTTACGAATCCGCCGTGCGAGCCGACGACGAGGGTCGTCGCGTCGAGCGCCGTCGCCGCGCCTTTGATCGGGCCCGCGCACGGCGCCGACGTCCATCTTAGAGTCCCGTCCGCTACGGCCACGGCGTAGACCCTCCCGTCGTACCCCCCGACAAAGGCCGCCCCGCCCACGATCAAACAAGGGGCCTCGACGGCGGCGTCCGCCTCTCCGGCGAGGCTCGCGCCGAGGCCGACGCCTGCCGTCCAGAGCGCCGCCCCGCTGCGCGTGTCGAAGCACACGAGGTCGCGGCCGTGCGACGCCACGAGGCCCTTGCGGCCGTCGTCGAAGAGCGCCACCGCCGCGTCGACGCAGGCCTTGAGCTGGAGCGACCACGCGCGCCGCAGTGTCGCCGTGCGGGCGCGCTTCGGCGGCGGCGGTGCCAGAGCATTGTCGTCGGTGGGCGGCGCCGGGGCGCGAGACTTATCGACGAGCGGCGCGAGCTCGCCGATGCTTAAGCTCAGCACGTCGTCCGGCGCGACGCCCAGTCGCCACGCCGCCTCGACGGCCTGCAGGCTCGTGCCGCCGAGCGCCGCGAAGGAAGTATCCCCGGTGACGGGCCGGCCGAGGACCGCCGCGAAGGCGTCGAGGACGGCCGTCGTGGCCGTGGTCGGGCGTGGCACGGCCGCGGCCGGCGCCGGGGCCGCGTGATTCGGCGCGAGCCGCCGCAGCGCCGCGCGGTCGACCTTCCCCGTCGGCCCGCGCGGCAGCGGGGACGCCTCGCAGAACGCGGCGGGCCGGTACCGCGCCGGGATCGTGGCCGCGCGGCGCCGCGCGTCCTCGACGTCCTCGCAGCACGCCACCAGATGACCGTCCCTAACGACCACCGCGACGCCCGCGCCCAGGCGCTCCTCGACGTCGTTGCACGAGACGCGCACGCCGTGCACGTTGACGACGTCGTCGAGGCGGCCGCCGCAGATCACGGCACCGCATGCGGCGCACGCGGTCCCCGCGTCGCCCGTCCGGAACGCCAACGCCCCGCTCGCCGCCTCGAAGCGCGGGCCCGGGCCGGCCGCGCCCAGATCGGGTGGGTCGAAGCTCGGGCGGACGAGGTCGCCCCGCGCAGCGTAGCCGAGCGCCAGCGTCTTCCCGCGCACGACGATCTCGCCGCCGTCGACGGCGACCGTCGCGCCGGGGAGCGCGCGGAGGCCGCCGCACGCGCACCGCCCCGGGGCCGTTTCGACGGCGAAGGCGCAATCGGCGGCGGTCTCGGTGCAGCCGTAGATGTTGACGAGCGTCTGGGACGCGAGGCGCCGCGCCAGGAAGCGGTCGCGCAGGCGGCGCGGCAGCGGCTCGCCCGAACAGTGCCAGCGCGCGACGGCCGGGAGCGACGCGGGGAGCTGGGGGTCCGCCCGGAGCCAGGCCGCGAGCAGCGACGGCGTGAGCGTCACCTTCGCGGCGCCCAGGTCGCGCGCGCACCGGAGCGCGTCCGCGCCGGACGGAACAAGCAGCCCGTCGCCGCGCAGCAGCGCGCCGAGGACCTCCGCGACGCTGTCCACGAAGACCGCCGGCGTCCGCAGCAGCGCGGCGCCCCCCGCGAACGCGTCCCACTCCCAGCGCAGCCGGTGCAGTGTCGCCGCCGCCGACCCCACGACGGCCTTGCGGCCGCCGGCGCCTGTGCCCGACGTGGCGAGGGCGTAGAGCGCGTCCGGCAGCCACGCCACCGGCGCGTCGGCAAACCTCTCAACGCCGTCGGCGTCGACGCGGCAGGCCGGCGCAAGGGCGGCGCGCGTCGCCGCCGGGTCGTCCGTGGGACAGTACACGGCGCCCACCGCGAGGCACGCGAGCTGGCAGACCACGGCCTTCGCCGGCGCCGCCCGCTCGTCGACGGCGTAGGCGACCGCCCGGCCGGCGGTGGCGCCGGCGGCGCGCAGCTCGCTCGCGAGATCCCGGGTCGTCCGTGGGACAGTACACGGCGCCCACCGCGAGGCACGCGAGCTGGCAGACCACGGCCTTCGCCGGCGCCGCCCGCTCGTCGACGGCGTAGGCGACCGCCCGGCCGGCGGTGGCGCCGGCGGCGCGCAGCTCGCTCGCGAGGGCCTCGACGGCCTCGTGCAGTTCCGCGAACGTCGTCACGGACCCGTCGCGTTGGTGCGTGAGCGCTGGTTTTGATGCATGTGCTGCCACCGCTTGCTGCCAGAGGCGCTGCAGCGCCTCCATGGCGCTGCACCGATGCCTCGTAAATTTTCCGTCCATTTCAGACGATCCAAACATCTCTGAGGCTGCTGAGCCGGCCGAGACCTCGATGCTCTCCGTGCTTGCTAGTGTCTTACAGCCGCTAGATACTCAGGGGATTCTCTCTGCACTCCGGCCCGCCGGTGACGACGTCGCCGCGCCGGTAAATTCATTCGATTCTTTTTACACGGGGAAGTGGTGATTTGATCAAGGATGGGAGTCGCGCCAACCATCGTGTCCGGTGAAATCAGTGGTGGGTGAGGAGCGGGGGACGTATATGATGCACCGTGTTTTCCGAGCGAGAGGCAAGCTCGATCTTGCGAGGTTCAGGCCTCGCGGGCGACGAACTGCACCGTCGTCGCGATCGCGGTACAGTCGTGGGCCGGGTCGCGTGCCGCGAAGTCGACGCAGAGCATACGTGCAAGCGGCTGCCGCCCATCGCTCGCCGGCGGCTGATGCCTACCGAAAAAAGACGACGGAAGACCTGCGCCCAGGAGAACGGCAACCGGGCGCGTTTGTTAGGAGCGGCCCTCACGCTGCAGCGGCCCGACCTCTTCGACGTCAAGTGTTCCTACCTAGCGCCGCCGTCGAACTTCACCTGCGCCCAGACGGAAGTCGGCACGCACCACCGCCTGGAGCTCGAGGAGGCGAGGCGGCTGGTGTTGTTGTCACCGCGCGCCGTGAAGGACTCGAGGTGGGTCGAGCCCGAGGACTACGCCCGCTACAAATACGTGCTGAACCTGCCGGGCCAGACCTCGGGCTCGTACAGCCGCAACCTCAACCACCTCTGGGCCGTCGGTGCCATTGTATTACTGTGGGACGCGAAGATCGTGGAATGGTACTACGCCGCGCTGCAGGCGGGCGTGACCCATCTCTCGGTGAACGCGTCGACGGCGGCCCGCGTTATTGATGATTTAGACCCTACAACGATCGAGAGACTCATCGAAGGCGCTAAAAAAGTACAAGAGCTATTGGTCTGCCCCGACTGCATCGCGCACTACCTCAGACGAGTGGTCGATGCTATCAGAGAGCGGGTCTCCTACCGCTACGTGCTCGACGACCGGGATGCGATTCTGGCATTAGCCGAAAGAGCGCGAGCGTGTCGGGATTTCGTGGAGGTCCGCGTCCGCGTGCGAAGGCACGGGCAAAAATTCAGAGCAAGGGGCGGCGCGTCCATGTGCGAGGTGCTGCGCCGAGGCAAGTGGCGCGGGCCGCCGCCGCCTGCCGTCAAGGTCGCGTTGGACGACTCATTAGGCCCGCGGCCGGCGTTCGCGCCGCGAACGGGGCAGTTCGTCGTGCCCTGACGCCTAGTCGGCGCGACGGCGTAGATTTCAAACAGGATATTAAGCACAAACGTATCTACTAGAACTTCCGCAGCGCCGGGTTCACCAAAGCCGCGAGCTGCTGCAGCGGCGCCGGCGCCGTCGCGGGGATGTCGCGGATGTAGTCGATCTTCCCCTCGGCGTCAGAACCGTAGAACGAGATGCCTTTCGGACCGTCGTTGCCGTTCACGCGCACGAGCCACGTGAAGCAACACGCGTCGTCGCCTCGCGAGAGCTCCGTGGGCACGAACTCGATGCCCGGGATGTCAAAAGCTTCCACAAACTCCTTGACCTCGGCCTTGCCGAGGAACGGATTGGGATAGTTAAAGTCCTCGTAGCGGATGTCCTCCGCGAACAACTCCAAAGCTACCGCGGGCGTGGCACCCTTCGGGTAGGCCTCGTTCCAGAGGTAGTCGGCGATTTGTGCGGCTCCTTTTGGCGAACGCTTCTCATAGGTCGGCACCTTGTCCTCCTTCTCGATGTTGGCCGTCGCGGCCTTTAACAGAGCTTCGGTCGCTTCGCCCGGTTTCAGGATCGGTTCGCTCCCTTCTCTGGCGTACACTAATTTCCCATCTTCGAACTTGACGAAGGTCGTACCTCTCAGACCCTCCTTGCCATTCGCATCCTCTCGATGCCACGTGAAGCCACCACTCACGGCATCACCGGCGATGCGGTCGCAGACGACTCTCGTACCTTCCGGGTACTTCTCCTCGAAGTACTTCGCGATCTGGCCGGGCCCCGTAAAAGTATCCGAGGCGAGGTCCTCGTACTGGGCGTACGACGCGCATAACGCCGCGACGGCGTCTGGGTTAACACCGGTCGGCGCGCAGACGACGTCGACGAGCTTCTGGGCGGCCTTGTCTCCGCTGCCCGGCGCGGCCGACGCGACTGCGTTCTGCGCCGCCGTCATGAAGTCGGCCACGAAGCTCGCATGGAGCGTCGTGCCACGCCGCGACGCTGCCACTGATGATGATGCAGGCACTAATGCTGAGGCGCCGAGCGCGGCGCAAGCGAGGAGGAGTCGAGCAGCGTTCATAGTCATCGTACCGCTTGCTGAAACTTCAAACCCGACGAGCAATGCGTCTCCGTGGGCAGAGATAGGTGCCGATGACGCCGATGCTGGATTTTGTCTCTCGGAGAGCGTGCCTGTCGAGCAGCCCGCAGCGCTAGTCACGCGGCCCAACAACCGTTATCAACAGCGGCGCGCGACCACTCCGGGACTATCTTCCAGCGGCGAGGCAACCGGGCGCGCACGGCGCGGCATGCACACCTCCCAGGCTCTCCTTGCAGCCATCACCGGTGCCGCCGCGATGGCGCCGACGAAGATCCGCAGCGCCACGCCGAAGTTCGCCCCGATGCCGGCCATGCTCACGTCGACCGTCCCGGGCACCTGGGCCCACGACACGATGAGCCGCCGCGTCGTCGAGGACATCCTGGACAAGGTGCGCTCGCGGCGTCCCGTCGTGTAGAGGCGCGTTCACGCCATCGACGCGACTGGTGTCCATCTCACGATGCCGTGGGTGGTTTCTTTTGCGATTTCGAGGCCGTTAATGCTCCACGCAGGTCGTCTACGGCGACAATAGTGATGCAGCGTGGTTTTCTGAGGCGAAGCCGTCGTTAGATGCTTTAAGAGCCGAAATACTGGCGGACGCCGAACTAAGGCCGATCGAAGGCGCCGGTGAGGACGTCGCGGATTGGAACGCACTACTGGCAAAGTATCCCGGAGGGACCTGGCTCTCAGCGCCTTGGTTGGTGGCCGAGTTCTACCTGTACCGGAGGGTGGCGGAAGCGACGCAATGGTTCCGCGACGGGAATACACGAGGGGAACAGAATATTGAGGACGTCTTCGCCAAATCTAAACAAGCGGGCCTCGCCTCCGCGACCACGACTCTGGAAGCTTTGGCGGCGCGGACGGTTGAGTTAGTTTGTGATGCCAAGGCCTCAGCTTTTTTCCTCTCGCTGGCTCTCTGGGGCAACCGCATGGATTTGAGTTTGTGGCCCGCCGATGCTGGTGTCGCGTCGTCGTCCGAAGCCTTTGACCAGGTGCTGGCTTCTTCCTCGGAACAACTCCTCGCGGACGACACGGAGCAAGTGACTCAACTCTTGGACACGTTACGGGCCAAAGGAGGCGGCGTCATTGATCTGGTGGTGGACAACGCGGGCTTCGAGTTGTGTACGGATTTACTGTTAGCGGACCATCTTGTAGGAAGTGGCGCGGCGAAGTGCGTGCGCTTCCGCGTGAAACATCATCCCACGTTTGTCTCCGATGCTTTGGAGCGCGACGTCGACGCCCACATCGCGGAGCTTGCGAAGGGTGACGGCGCGGCGGCGAGCGTCGCGAAACGGTGGGGGGAACGCCGTGCTAGTGGAGAATTCGCCTGCGTCGCGGACACGTACTGGGCCATGCCGTACGCGTTGTGGGACGTTCCTGAAACATTGTACGATCATTTGAGGGACAGTTCATCTCTCATCATCGTGAAGGGCGACGCGAACTACCGACGAGCCTTAGGCGACCGGCCGTGGCCGCTCGACGCGCCCTTTGCGGACGTGTGCAGCTACGCGCCGGCACCCTTATTGTGTTTGCGCACCCTCAAAGCGGAGCTCGGCTGCGGCATGGCTAAACAAGGCACGGACCGCGCCGCTTCTAGTGATGAAACGTGGCTCACGGACGGGAGGTGGGGCGTGGTGCACTTCTCACCGGCCGCCGACGAGTAACTATAACCTTAAGTACCCCAGCTCCTTTGCCAGTCCGCGAGGTCCACTCTTCCCGTTTCGCCGGCGTGAACCGGCTCGCTTGGGACCACCTCGCCGGCGTGAACGGGCTCACCCGGAACCTCGCCGGTGACCACCCCGCCAGTGACCACCTCGCCGGCGACTGCCTCGGCCGCGGCGGCCCGACGCGTCTCCACGGCTAACGCGCCGGACAAGGCCGCGGCTGTGCCCGGCGACAGGAGCCCAAAGCTTTGCTCCCGCACTCCGGAAACCTCGGCGCGCGCCGGCTCCGTCTCTGGCTCGGGCTGTGGTGCTTTCGGCTCCGGCGCGCCGGTCTCACCAACATTCGGCCACCAGGCCGGCGCCGGGCCGTCACACCGCGCCAGGATTTCTTGTGACGCGGCCTCGGGGTCATCGCCCGCGCCCTCGGACGCCGGGACGTCCAGGTAGGTGGCGCGATACACAGAGTCGGCAGTACACAGCGCGCTGCACGCGCACCCGCACACGAGTCCGATGCAGCCGCCGACGAGCCCCATCAAGTACGCGAATTCGTGCCAGTATACTGCGGGCGCAATCACGAGGTGCCATAGAAGTGCACTCACCACCAGGTAGTAGACGATAGCCCAACAGCACAGCGTCTTCCTGCGCACCGGGTACTTCGCCCTCCAGAGCGCGGAGGACTCACATGCGACCAAGGCCCACGAAAAGGCCACGAGGAACGCGAGCGCCACGAGGAAGTTCCAGAGGTGGGGATTCGGGGGCGGGCACCCGTCGTCGAGCCACTTCTGGCGCCCCGGCTGGTCCTTGGCCTCGTTCGTGTGGTCTTCTATCTTTTTCCCGCAGACGCCCGTATATGCATAATTGCTGCCGGACTCAGCGTGGTCACAAGGGACCCCATCAATTCGGGTGGAGAATTGGTACGTCGTCCAGCCGCGGATGCGATTCTTGCACCGCTTGCCGTCGACGTCGTCCGGACCGAGCCAGAGATTCGGCGCCCTGTTTTTTCCGCTGTGGGTGTACTCGAGGCAGCAACTGAAGCCGTGGTACTCACGCTCGCGCTCGGTCGCGATCTCGAAGCTCAGGCACTCGGGGTCGGCGGCGCACAGCGTTCGGCATGCCTCGACGCTATGGTGCTCGACAGTGACGCCACAATCGAAACAGCCCCCCGCGTGAACGCCCCAGTTCACGAACTCGTGTCTCTTGGTCCAACACGGGTCAACGTTGTCCACCACGAAGCCGGGGGCCCAGGATTTGGGCGCGGCGGGCTCGGGGCAGAGGTCATCGATGTTCTCCAAGCACGCCGTTTCGAGCCAGATGCCTTGTTCAAAGCTTAATGTTTGTGGAGGACACGAATCAGAGCCGTACTGCTCGGCCCACTTGATATCACTACTATTGCAGCATCCGCTCTTTTGACACCGCGCAGGTTTACACGTATCATCACCTTGTTGCGCGAGGGCAAAATCACACGTCTCAGGTGGAGGACACGCATCGTAGCCTTGCGCCTCAGCCCACGTTTGATTGCACGCGTACCGCCCGCGGCCCGCCCAGGTCTCGTCCAGGTATTTCATGCATTGCGCAGTATAATAGTCTACGCAGGAGCAGCGCGCTGTCCTTGCGAGGAGGGCTGCTGTGAGGAGACGGAGCATGGCTGACGGATAGGAGCCGCCGGGATGCTCGTTTCGCCTTCGGGGCAGCGAAGGGAAGCGGCCGGAGCAGCAATTCTCAGGCTGCCCGCAGCACCGCATCGGGCAATCTGAGTTAATCTGAGCGCAACCCGCGCGTTGCCCGATGGCTCGAACGCATGACTCGCGGCCTTCGAGACGAATCCGGAGGCGTTCCGAAGTGCTCAACGGGCTGTGACCGCGAATCGGACAAACGCGGGCCGCGCGCGTAAGAGAGAGGAGGCTTACTTGACAAGCGGGGAGGAGGGAGTTCCGTACTCAGGCCGATTCGGGAGTAGCGCCGACCCACTGGGACGCCAGGCGCCGCAGCGCGGGCGTCGCCGACGGCGTGTCGATTGAGGAAGAAGGCGACGCGCGGACCCATCGAGGTGCGGGCAAGGGCGTCGCGTCGACGGCGCCCCGCGCGTTCGTCGAGCCGTAGCCCCCAGATGGAGACAGGTCCAACAACAACGCCTCCTCGCAGTCGTCGTTCTTCTTCGGACTCTCGAAGAGCATGTCGGCCGCCATCGGCGCGTGCTTGCGCAGGAAGGGCGCGGCCCGCGCCGCGCCCGCCGTTCGAGCTCTCAAGAAGGCCTCGAGGCACAGGCCGGAGACGACGACGAAGAGCGCTAAAGAAGCTTCGAAGCCCCGCGAACAACCGGCTGTGATTCGCGTCCACATTGCAACAACGACGCGGCCCGCGTACGAGGAAGCTTGGATCGAGAGCTTCACGGAACGAGTCGTGAACTGCGCGACCTTCACGAAACCGCGAGAAGCTACTTTGACGCGCCGCGACATCTCGAAGAGCGTCGAGACGAGGAAGCACATGCCGCCCACGAGCACGGCACACGCGACGGCCAGCGACGCCCAGAGCGTCGCCGCCATGGCATACAAAGCTTTCGACGCGATGAGCGAGTAGGATCCAGCGACCCGCGCCGTCGAGATGCCGTAGCCGCCCGCTACTTTCGCGCCGTGCAGGGCGACGCGCGCGCCCTTCAAAGCGGTCTGGCCCACCGTCTCCATATCAGCCTCCATAATCACGGAGCACGGTGAAGCCGGCCTTTCGTGCAAAGGTAGCACGCCGCCGCGCTGCGCCTTTTGTGATTTCGTCGCGAGCTTGCGGGCGACGGCCTGCTGGCGTTGCAAGGAGCGTGTCCCCGGCGTGAGGCTGGCCTTGCCTCTTGCGTTGTTTTTGGTAAACGTGACGTCGCCCTCGCGGCGGGCGAGCTGGCCGAGGGCCATGGTTGTTTTTTTGTGTGATGCGGCGGTGGCGGCGGCGGCGAGCTGGGACGGCGTCCGGCGGCGGCGTCTGTCGCGGCGCGGGTGCGTTTCAGGGCTGCGAAGGGAGCTGTTGCTGTTCCGCTGTTTACGGCGCCTAGAGCGTCCAGCGGTGTCGCGTCTGCTGCTGTACGCGGCGGTGTCGCTGTCTGCTGCGCCACGGACGGCTTTATGTGCTGTGAAACTGCCGAGCGTCGCGGTACAGCGGTGATAAAAAAATCAGCCTTGTGAAACGGGCTAAACCCGCACGGTCCATGTGGTCTATCGGTCCTCTCAGCCGGTGAATGTCGGGCCCGGGACCCCTCGCCGAGAGACCTCGGCGTGGGACACGTCGCAACCGCCGCTTCTAGGGATACATTACTTTAGGGAGAGCAGCGCGCCTGTGTCTCGCGGTAAAGCTGCCGCGCGGACCGCCAGAGCCAGGGGGCAGCCCACGAAACCTCGTCGAGGACCGCCCGACGCCGTCGCCGCGGCAGCGCCCCACGAAAAAGTCCTGAAGAGGGCCGCCACCGCCTGCAGCACACAAGCCACCGGAAGGCAGGCGCCGCACACGCCACGATGATCGGCGGCTCGCAAGTCGCCTCCTGGGAGGTCTATCCCCGGAAGCACGCCGACCCCGACGCCAAGAAGCAGATGGCTGGCGCCGGCTCCACCACTGGTGAAAGGGCGAGTTTCAACTACGGCCATGAAATGAACTACACGAGTCAGATGACCGACGACATGAAATTAGCTTGCGGCCATGCTGCTTCTCGCGATCTAGTCGGCGAAGCCAAGGAAAGGAAGGAGCTGCGACAACGACTCAGTCGCCACAGTGGCCCTGTCGGTTTTAAAGCAGACAATTTACCGGTGGACTACTCGCAAGTCGGCTCCATGCCCAACATCATCTGGGACCGGGACCACCGCTCCCCAAACATGAAGGGCGACTACTACCATCGACCGAGACCCTACAGATACGACGACAATGGCGTATGTGCGTCTCGTACTACGATGCGCGACTGCATGGACGGCGGCCTCGACCCGAACGGACGAGGGGCCAAGTCGCCCGAATATAAAGATTACGATCCGAAAGAACTGAAAATGAAGTTAAGTCGTAATGTACATAAGGAAGGGGATGGGCACTGGTACGGCTACTCGAAGCGACTGTCCACACCACCTCGGTTCCCCTCACCACGTAGTAGAAGAGAAAAGGGCAGTCACTACGTCTCCTCCATCGGCGCGACGCTGTTTCCGAGTGAAGACAGGATCTTCGGCACGACGATGCGCGACTGCATGGAGGGCGGCGTGCATGGGAACAAGCAGAGTGAAATAGGTGCGGGGTCGAAGCCGTCGTACCCGCGCATCGGGCTGGAGTTCGATTACGAGCCCTTCTCGTTAGCAATGCCGTCGCATTTTGAAGATTATAAGGGTGGGAGGATTCCTGGTGAGGCTTTATTAGATTCGGCCAAGAGGGACTTCTGGAAGGTCGGGCGGCTGAAGTCGTTGGTGAAGCACCAGGACGGTAGTTCTCCGCCGGCGTCGCGCGACGGGCCGCGCTAGATAGTCGTCGTCGGGGTAAGGAGGGGTCGCGTTCTTTCTTGTGCTGGGGTTTCGCGAGGCACGACGTCGCGCCGATGGCGTAAATAAAAGTACTAGTATGTCGAGATGCTAGCATAGCTTGGGATTAGGCTCGCGCCGGTAGCGAATCCATACGCTGCCGATCGAAGGCGTACATTCCTCAGCAGTGGCGAGCGCCGGCGCAGCGGTCCGACGTAGCCGCGCGTCCCAGCGGCGCCGCCTCAAAAGCAACTCCTACGATGCCAGAGGTAATAGAAGCCGCGGCCGCGACGAGCGTCGCGTCGGCCGGCGTCGCGGCGGAGGTGACAGCCGCGCCAGCCGAAGAAACGACAAATGACGAGCCCATGTTAACACCAGTGGAACAACTATTTCAAGCGATAAAAATGGGCGCCGACGCCGACGCCATCGTCGCGAAACTCACAGTACCGAACCCCAGAGAACTAGTGCAGTCAAGAGACGCCCAGGGCCACACGACGGCGCACTGGGCTGCTAAGAGAGGAGAACCTTGGCTCTTACGATTATTACTAGACAAAGGCGCGTCCGTGAGTGCCGCGAGCGAGGACGACGTCGGCATGCGGCCGCTGCACTGGGCGTGCACGGAAGGTAGGATGGCCTGCGCCCGACTACTTGTTGATCGAGGTGCTGATGTCAATGCGAGGGACAAGCAGGGCTGCACGCCGCTGGTCGTGGCCGCGCAGTGGGGGCAAGCCGATGCCGCTGCTTATTTAATTAAGGTAGGCGCCGATTTTCGAATTTTCGACCGGCACGACGATTCGGCTTTACATTGGGCGGCCTATAAAGGTAACGTCGAGATTGTGGGGTTATTGCACCACCTCGGTCTACCGTTAGATGATGCGGACGGCTACGGGCAGACGCCCTTGCATCTAGCATCTTTACGAGGCAATTTGGGCGTCTGCGAATATCTGCTGGTGGACGCCGTCACAACCACGAAGACGCGACTCGACCCGGTCGACAAAAATCAGAAAAGACCAGTAGACCTCGCGACGGAAAAAGGCCATAGACACGTCGTCCAGTTCCTCAACAGACAAAGACCGGTCTGCGAGCGGGGTGTCAAAGCGTTCGTCCAGGACAACATGTCGCTGGGAGCGTGCATCCGCATGTGTATTGCCGGCGAGAAGGCGCGGTTCCCCTGGTGCGCCATGGTCTGTAACAAGCTCCTGGCGTCGTTCATCTACTTCTTTCTATTTCTCAACGCGGAGTTTAATCCGGATAGTGATAAAGGCGCGGCGACGCACCCGTTCGACATTCCCGTGGCGCGCTGTGCATGAATCAATTCACATGCACCCGACTTACTGGTTGATTTGTGCACAGGTATGGGTCCACGCCGCCGCGTTTAACCTACATGTGGTGGTCTGGTGTTCGTTTATTTTATGTTGGTTGGGCGATCCTGGAGTCATAAAAGGTACTACGGCCGAAGTCGAGTTAACGAAAGCTTATGATGCTTATTTTGATCGACTCGTGACCGGAGAACGGGACGACGACGCGGTACCTGTCAAGCTCGACCATTCGTGCCACATCGTACGACCTTTGCGGTCGAAGCATTGCCGCGTCAGTAGGCAGTGCGTCGTCGGCTTCGACCACTACTGCCCTTATGTGGGGACCACTGTGGGTTTGCAGAATTACCGGTGGTTTTATCTCTACTGCGTGTCGTTCACGCTGGCGGCGCTGCAGTGGGAATGTCTCGCTATCTCATACGTGAAGACATACACGGTGTCGTGGCTATTCTACGGGGCCATGGCGTGGTTCGTTTTGTTTATTATGTTCGGCTTTGCCATGATCACCTATCACACTCAATTAGTATTGTCGAACCTAACAACAAATGAGCACATGAACATGGGCCGCTACGAGCACTTCCGGGATAGCAATGGCATGGTGCGGAATCCCTGGGACTGCGGTGTTCTCGGGAATCTGAGCGACCGGTTCCTGCCGCCTCGCGTGGACGACCTGCCTGTGGTCAAGCACTCGTTCATGGATGCGGACGTGAAGAAGCCGCTGCTGGCGAAGGCCTAGGTCTTTCTAAGAATTTTTACGATTAAACGATGCGTCGACGGCGTGAGGAGGAGGGGGCGTCTCACAATTCGTCCGAGCCACCGGATGACGGTGGGAAGATCCGCAGGAGGTACCTGTTCTTGGCGAAGACGTCGTGCTGGTCGAAGGCGCCGGGTTCGCGCGTGACGTAGTGGTACCAGATGCGATTCGAGTAGGCGTCGGGGTGCTGCCCCGGGATGTTCAGCAGGTCGACGGTGCCGACCGGGCCCATCGTGCCGTCGGGGTGTGCTCTCATCGCCTCCGCGAAGGGGTTCAGCCCCCGGGACTGCTCGGCGGGTTCGACGCGCCAACCGCTTGTAGGATCCAGCCCGCTTGCATCCAGCCCGCTCGTGCCGGACGCGAAGAGCCGCCGGGTGAGCGTGTCCTCGCCGCGATGCGCCGCCGTGACGAAGATGGGGAATCTCGCGTCTTGGTGCCGCTCGCCCTCGTAGTGGACCTGTATTGCCCAGAGCAAGTTGAACGTGTCGCGCCAGAGACATGTATACGGGAGAAACCTGCCCGTTATTTCCGCGTCGAGTATCTCCTCCCGCGAGATCGGCTTGCCCCGCCGGACAGCGCAGCCGTCGCCTTCCCACGTCGCGTCGTAGAGACCCGGGTGCTCCGCGAGCCACAGCGTCGGGGGCTCCCTAAGCCATTCTTCATCGGGTACGTCAGTCATATAGAAGTGGTAGGACATCTTGTGCGTCGAAACTTGTAGCCACCCGCCCTGGAGCTCGAGGAGCTCGTGCTCTTTGACCTCGGGGCCGATGAGCTGCAGGTGCACGCGTTCGACGCGCGGGAGAAACACCCGCAGGTATGTCGCGAAGATACTGAAATATCCGTCGTGCGGGACGCCCATGTCCTCGCGCCAGGACGCAAAGCCGGCCAGGTGTACGACGACGGGCGCGCTCCGCTCCTTGAACGCGTCGTCGCCGAGGGCGAGGCGCAGCGCGTGGGCGATGGTCGCCGCGCCCGTGTACTCGGTCGAGGTTTCGAGCCACTCCATCTTAATCGCTCGGTAGAGGATGTCATTTTTCGCACGCGCCTTGAATTCAACGAGCGCGTCGTCCCAGTTGTCGACGAGCGGGTTGTAGTCGTCCGGGATCGCCTTGGCGCTCGCGGGCCTCGTGTTCCACAAAGCCGCGCATATCGCAGCGGCCGCGACGAGAGCGATGCGGCGCCCAAAGTTGTGAGCTTGGCCCCCGCGGCGGCGGCGCCGTGCCGCGGCCGCAGCTTTGGCGCCTAGCGATCCTCGCGCAGGCATGTTTCAGACGATCCTCAGGAGTCAAAGCTTGTAGTCTAAGAGGACTTAAGTTTCTTCCACTAGGGAGTAGCCGGCCGCAGAGGTTATTCAGTGGGTTGGCCTGGGTGTATCCGAGAAGCCGTGGTAGAACGGGACGCGTTTTATGGGTGAAAGCCGCACAAACCATGCAGCAAAAACCCGTCTTGCAATACTTCCACAACTCTAACAAAACTCCACAAATAAAAACTTATCAAGGCTCCCCAGCCACCGACTCGTCCGCGACCACGGTATCGACCGCCAACTCCCTCAATCTCGAAAGCACGGCAAGCTCCCTCATCCGATCCAACGACGACGCGGCCCCGTCCGCCAAATCCGGCGCCGCCACAAGAACGGCCAAACATTGAGCTCGGGACAGCGCCACATTGAGCCGTCGCACGTCCAGCACGAAGGCCACGCCCCGACCGCCCGACGCGACGCTATCTTCATCGTCATCTTGCTGGGACGGCGGCGCACATAGAGAAGCCACAACCACGGGCGCCTCCCTCCCTTGAAACCGGTCCACGGTGCCCACGCGGACGCGACGGATCCCTCTCTGTACCAAAGCCGCTTCGACGGCCCGGACGTGCGCGTTGTAGGGACATACGACGAGAATATCATCGGTAGACAGGGGACGCGACGAAGATCCGTCTTCCAAATGTCGCTGGAGCAATTCAGCGACCACAGAGGCCACGACGGCCGCCTCTTTTTGGTTGGACGTCGACGATCTATAAGAACCATCATCAGCCACGTCGACGATAGCCAATCCAGCACAAGCTCGCAATAGACCCGTGCCCTCGGACAGCACCCTTTGTTCAGCGAGGGGGTGCGCCTTTAGTTTGCCGTTATACATGAGCTCGGAAATAGCGCCACAGAGTAAGGGGTGCAACCGATACGTCACGCCCAGAAACACACCTCGATCCTCGGACAACTCCTCGCCGCCGACATAGTGCTCGAGGCACGATGAAGCGCCTCCCTCGTCGTGCGCGCCCCGACAGGGTGCGGGCAATTGCGCCTGGTCTCCCAGGAGTACAATTCTAGAAGCACACGACGCCATCGCCGCGAGGTTCGCGGCGGGCACCTGGCCCGCCTCGTCGACAAACAAGTAATCGAACGCACCGACGGCGTCGTCCCTTGCGAGGGCCCAGGCCGTCGCGCCCAGCAACACGGGCAAGTCCGTATCTGAAAGTTCCTTGGCGAGCTTCGCGTCCCAGCGCGGTTTGGTGATCACGTTCGAACGCTGGGCCAGTGCGGTTTCCGGATCGTCACTCGAGGCTCGTCGTCTCGAACCGACCTTGACGCACATTACGTCACAGTCGATCTTATCCAACGCTTTTGAGAGGCAGTGGGCGATGGTCGCGTGGCCCGGCGCGGCCACGGCGACGCGCTTGCCGTCCCTCATGAGAGCAGCTAGCGCTTCTGCCGCTAACCGTGTTTTTCCGGTGCCCGGCGGGCCCTGCACGGCCAGCACCGAACCTTTTTGTAATGATCGGATGGCCTCGACCGCCGAGCCGTCGAATGGTTTTAACAGATCACCTTCAGTCTTCACGTCGACAAAAGTAGGTCTTTCACGAGACACAAACGACCGCAACACACTCGTAGAAGACGACTCCAATAATCCGCGAAGATTCCTGGAAATCGCCGCCGGTAGCGGCGCGGGATTGACGTAGTCGTCGGGAATGATAGAACACGTGTTAGGTACCTCGTTGCATAGTACTTGTACTTTGCCTCTCACCAAATCGACGTCGACAATTGACGCCCTACTCGACGTGAACGCCTTGTCATCTCTCAGAGCCACGGCGTCGCCGCCCTGCAGCTTCGTGATTTGCGGTGTACTAAACGACAGTTCGAAGACGGACCGCGTGCCCCGCTTCACCGGCTCCTGCACGAGTGTCGGTTTCGAGCACCCACCTAAGCATCTTTCATCCTCACTCAGGTCCCAAGCAGGGGCGTCGAGCCAGTCCCGTCTTTGTCTCCACACCGGCCTTTGTTCCCGCCTATGATAATCGACCCAGGAAGACGCCACAACTGGTAACTGGGATCGTAGTATGTCCTCCTCGAGCAGGTCCTTTTCCTTATCCTCCTCTGATTGAGGTAGAGCCTCCTCGACCTCCTCCTCTGAACGAGCGATGGGAAATGCTTCTCTGATCCAATCGACTAACTCGGCCGTCGACTCGCAGTCGTCGCGGTTGTAGGCCACTAGCTCGTCCAATAACGCCGGATTCTTGTCAGCTAGCCACAGCTCGTAGCCTACCACAGACCCGACCGCATCATTAACTTCCGAGTTGTTCCGTTTCCCTCGGTAGAGCTTCTCGACGTTCTTGAGCGAGTAGCGCGGCTCTCCCACAAGCAACGTGCGCTTCACTACCGAGTACAAGTCGACGAAGGCGCCCCTCGCGCCCAGCGATTCGAGCTTTCGTTCAAGCTCAGCGTCGCCAGCGGCGACGCGTCTCAAAGCGCTTCGTTCATAAGCACCGTAGTGGTAGGCGTGGGCTCGCCCCTCGCTCGCCTCGAAGCGCTGCTCTATCGACTCGACGAAGCACCGACACGCTTCTCGTTCAGCGATAGCGTCATGAGCCCACGCCGCGTCAAACGCCAGCGTCCCGTTCTCTCTGTGAGCGATGCCCCACAGGTACTCCCTACCTCTCGGACCGCCTAGCAACGGGTCGCCTTCCAGGTCGAAGTAGCAGTCTAGGGGATGTTCTTCGGGTAACGGGCAGACGCGTCGCGGTTTGTGCTCGTTCAGCAGAATGCGCCGGACGTCATCAGCTCGCAACCCTTTCGGCGAGAGGGGCCACCAGGCCACTCCATTATCATTTGATCGCTGGAGTAACGCCTGGGCCCGCAATCGACGTAGCGCGTCTCCCCTGACACCCGGTATGCGTCTCGAGGGCTTCAACTCGGCCAATTGCTGGCCCGTGGCCACGCCCTCCCGCTTCAGAGCTCGCGCTTGCCTCGACGTTAACCCGGCACACGCCGTAAACAAGTCGTCGCGCTCCACTAACAGCTGAGACGCTAAGGAGGCCCACCGGCCATGCGCGTCTTTGGGCGCGTCGCCGCGCGGTAGAGGCGCGTTCTGAACGACCCAAGGCTCAGGACAATCATCAAAACGGTCCGCGAAGCTCAAAAAGCGGCCTCGCAAGCGGCGCCAATGAGCGGCATAGGTCGGTAGATGTATCCTACGAGTATGTTCCAACGGCGCGCCGCCACCTAACACCAGAGTAGCAAAAGGTGAGACATCAACGTCCAACTCTTCTAATAATTCAGCGTAGCAGCAGAGCTGGGCGACGTGCGCCGGCGTCGCGGACCGCGAGAGCTTTGCGTCGAATATCGACCACTGACTCCCCTCACGAACGAGGAAGTCCGGCGCGCCCACGAATCTATCTGTTGATAATGGAGCCTGGTAGATGATGTCTGCATTTGTATGTAGCGCTTCGAGGGTCTCTGCCGTGCCGGTCGCGCGGAGTGTTCCACCACTCAAATCGACTACACTTTTGTCTCGGAACAATTCTTTCGAAACCTGCCGCTCCCAGGCGTCGCCCTTCCGCGCTAATAGTAGGGAGAAGCCGTCCGGCGGGTCTCTTCGTGCTTCCAATCGTTCGCGGTCGGCACCGCTCGCCGTTGTTAGTGCGGCGTCGAGCCAGGCCGCGAAGGGCGAGCGCGAGAAGCGCAGCACGGACGTCGCCGACCACCTTGTCTCGCGCAGCGCTTGCTCGTCCTGCGCCGCCGGCAAGGCTGATTTCCGGCGCAGCGCAGCCCTCTGGATGCGCTGCAGCGCCCGCGCCGGTTTCAGCCAGGCGCACAGCATGAGCAGTGCCCGCAGAGTCCTGCGCATCGACTGCCCGGAGCGGCGCGCCTGGCCCTACTGCAGAGCCAGCTGTAAAGGTCGCTGCACTGCGGCCCCGCGGTCGGCGATGCGTTCACAGCGACTGCAGAGCTTCGTGAGGAGTGCGAGGTATGTCTCAAGGCATCATAGCTGGCCAGTGGCGCGGACGCGGCCAGCCAAAACTCAAATTATCTAGCGGCATGTAACACACTAGCAATTTCGGCTTTTAGGCGTTTGGTAGCCTGTAGGGGCTCCGCCCACTAGTTCTAGCACCGTAACAATTACTTGGTAGCCTGTTGGCAGGTTCCCAGCTCATAGAACTCGACGCGCAGTTGAGAAAGACAAGTGTTAAACCGCGCCCACGGACTCAAGCAGGATGCAACCCCGTCGGGTGACTTCCATGAATACCGTGCTCGCGCTTCCTCCTTCCAAAACCGGGCTCGGCCTTGGCACTCTGCGCTTCGAGCTGGGCGTCGACCTCGGCGATGCGCGCGAGGATGTCGGCCTTCTCTTTTTGTAATTTTGCGTACTTGCGCTCGACGCGCGCCGTGTCCCAGTCGCTTCTTACTGTTTCCAGGATATCTTCGGACCTAGCGCTTTGCGGAGGGGGCACGTGGATGTGGTGGCCGGCGTAGGAGCGCTGGGACTTGGGGATTTCCGTCGAGGCCGTGGACCGGGCCGTCCGAGCTGTCAGCCGCGCCGACGCCGGCACGGAGGAGCGCGCAGTGTGCTGCCCGGAGCGGGCTGACGCCGGCACGGACCGCGCTGTTCCAGGGTTGCTCCGCAGCGCCGACCGCACGCTGCTGCGGGCGGATCCAGGCGGCTGGGCCGCGTTGTGCGCTTCTAACGCCTCGCGCGTGAAAAAGGGCGGCTTGAGCGGGCCGGACACGTCGAGCGCGACGGCGTCGCAGGACGTGTCGCGGGGCGTCGGTCGCCGCACGCCGCTCGGCTTGGAGCGCGCGCCCTCGGCGGGCCCCCGCAACCTTTCATCCTTCTTGTACTGCTCGCGCAGGGCCGCCAGGCCGATCGTGTCGTCGTGGTACATGTTGGCGTACGCGATGCGGCGCCTCGTGTGGCTTGGGAGCTGCCTAGATGCTGCCCAACTTTGCCTCTCTGCCTCGCTATGGAACGCGGGCTTCTCGGGCAGCAGCGACGCGTTCGTTGGGTCCAGACGACAGTCTGGCGCACTGTGTGCTGAGCCTTTGGTTCGCAGGGGCCCCGGGGAGCGCCGCGCGATGCGAAAGAGGCAGGCGCTAAAGTTTACCCACTGGTCTCATTTCCCGCGCGGACCCGGCGTCTTGCACGAGTCCTGCGAGGACTCCTCGTGGCGCGCGCCGAGGCGTCGGAGACGTCTCCTCACGCGACCCCCGGCTGAGGCAACGCTGGGCAGCGCCGCTAAATCGGGCTGCCTGGACGCCGCGCGCGGCCACAGACAGCAGATCAGATACTACAACAACTCGACGCCATCGACGCGGAGCGCCACAGCTGCCCGGACGCCGGACACTGCTACAGAGCAGAGTGGTCCTGGACAGCGCGACGCCATGGCGGACGCCATGGCCATGCAGCAACAGGAGGAGACCATGAGCCGCACGATGTCACCGCGCACGGAGCTGCCCGGCTTCCAGACCATCGCCGAGATGCAGACCACGCAGCGGACGAGCATCGGCCTTTGTGAAGACACCCCAGTCTACATCAACCCCGCCGCGGAGACGCTGCAGCGGACCATGCCCTGGGGCGAGGAGGTTACGGATCGCTGGTCCCAGGAGTTACCGGTGCTGACGACGGCGATTGAGATCGCGGCACCCGGCGCGTATCGACTGGAAAAAGACGAGACGGGGAGAGTCGTGTACTCCCCAGTGAAGGCGAGGAAGGCCCCCATCGCCGAGGCCAAAGCCACGAAACGAGCGGCCCCGATCCAGCAACATATCGAAGGCCTGAACGAAGAGATGACCAGTCTCGAAGCCTCTACGCGTATCAGAAACGAGGAACTGCACCGCCATCTAGATGCTATTCGCCAGCGCGGCGCGAACTGGGAGGCGAAGCTCAAGCTCGAAGTCCAAGCGAGAGACGAGGCCTCGAAGATGCTCCGAAGTCATTTTGATACGATTCTCGAAGAAGCCACCACAGAGGAAGAATCAAACTTAATGAAAATGATAGAAAGGTTCCACGGAGAGTTGATCCCGGCGCAAGAAACTAGACAAGCTAAACTGGAAGATGATGTGACGGAGTGGGTCGACATCACGATACCTGAAACTATTGATAGATTGACCGGCGCGATCGCTCGCAAACTCCAGAAGGCGCATGATACTTTTGATATCGAAAATGCAAAGATCTTGAAACGAGAACAGAAGATTACAGATAGGTTTGCTCACCACATCCAGCGGTCGGCCCAGCTCTTCGAGGACGAGCGGGCCACGCGCGTGGCGAAGTTCCTGACGCTGGACGAGGACTGTAGAGATACGGAGCGGCACGACGACCGGGCCGAGGAGCGCCACATCGCCGCTATTCATCACTCCATCGTCGACGTCCAGAAGCTGCTGCAGGAGGCCTCTGATTCTAGAGAGCGCGAGGACAACACCCTGCTGGACTCGATGATCTACGCCCAGTCCCAGCTGCAAGCATCCGTATTGAAGGCGTTCGGTTCACAAGCGGCTGCGGAAGAGTAACACTGTGTTAAAACTAACCCTCAGATTAACCCTCGTCTGCGGGGCCCCAATGGCATGATTAATACTTACGAGTACTACATACAAGCAGGCGAATTCAGGCTTTGGGCGGGTGCGGCGTCAGGCTTTGAGCGGGTGCGGAGCGGCATACGTCCGAAGGCCATGAGTCGTTTCTTTGACGATTGGGAGGGACACGTTGATGACTGGGGGCGCGACGGCGCTCAGAAACGCCTCCCTGAAGCCCGCGGCGTCCACTCCAGTCAGAACCGTACAGCGCCGCTTCCGCCCCCCAACCGCGCCCGTGCGGTCGTCTATCTCATCGTCCGACGCCGACAGCGTGCGTCGATCCAGGAGACTGTGGCCGTTCGCCGCGCCGCCCACCGACACTTCCAGAGTTAACAATTCGGTATCATACAAATCCGGACGGCGCAAGTACGCGACGGTGTGCGCGTCGTGCAGGACGGCTTTAGGACCGCACTCCTTCAACACAGTACAGTAGTTGCCGATGTACGTGCGCCACGCCTTGGCCAGTAAACGCTGGGCGACGCCCGCTTTATCAAGCTCGGACGCGACGTGAACATGATCCACCGCGCCGGCCATCGTCACATCGAGTGGGGCGATGACGAGCCGGTCTCCGTCATCGGACGAGAAGGCGTCCACGACGAGTCGCGCGGCCCGCGCGTCGTGGGCGAAGTTCGCCTCGGCCAGCGGCGAGACGTTGCCCGGGTGGCGCACGGCCCCGCCCATCACCAGCGTCCTTGTGACGAGTTCTGGTAGATGAGGCTCGAGGAGGTATGCGAGCGCGAGGTTTGTGAGTGGCGACGTCACAATAATGGTGACCTCGCCCGGTCGTTCGCGAGCCGTCCGCGCAATGAACTCGGCGGCCGAGAGCGTCTCGTCGACATTACACGAAGGCATCCGCAATTCCTCGGGCGCTTCCGCGACGGAGCCGAGCCCATCGCTACCGTGCACGTACGAGCCGTCGTCAGAAGGTGGCGCCGCCTCGCCCAGCGCGTAGGGGCTGCCGACGTACACCGGCACGCAGGGCCTGCCGGCAGCGCGGAGCACGCGCCGCGCGTTCGCCGCGGTCTGCCGCACGTCGCCGTGGCACCCAAAGCTCGCCGCAACTCCCAACAGGTCGATTGTAGGATCCTTCGCGAGCCAGATGAGCGCGCTCGCGTCGTCGACGCCGACGTCGGCCACGAGTACGACGGGCGTCCGCGCGGCGGCGGTGGCCAGGACTATCATCGGGAGCAGTAGCATCGTAGATTCGGCCCTGTTTCACGAGCGAGAGGCGAGCTCGGAGCGTCTCAGGTGGCAGTGCTTACTCAGTGCACAACCTACTCAGTGGTAGCACGATGTCGACGCTGCCCCTTGCACAGGGAGTACCGCCGGCCGCGTGCGAGGCTGCCCGCGCAGTCGTACGCGCTCGTCTTGCGTATTCAGGCAGTGTCGCAGTCAGAGCACAGTCTGGCCCTTCCAGCACAGCGGCTTCGCCACACCACTAGCGCGCGCAGCCCCACTCAGCGCGTGAGGCGTACCTCTGGGCGGGCGTCTCGATACCTCCTTCCGGGCCATGGCGAGGTTTCTCCGCAAAACTTACTAGCCCGGCCAGTCTGGTTGGGCAGTGGCCTCCCAAAAGTGAGTGCCGAAAAACCGCATTCCTGAGGCAGTGGGCAGGGAAACCAGCGCACGAGACCACGGACACCACGCGCCGCGCAGCCCCGCAACAGCATAGCCCGCATTGCCGCGCAACCCCCCAAAACAACAGCCACCTACATTTCATCGACACCGTACGCGCCGCATGGGCGACTACGAGCTCCACTTCGCGGAGGAGGGCCGCGCGCCCTTTGGGCTGCGCCTGCGGCTGCCCGCCGATTGGACGCACAAGACGGCAAAGGACCTCGTGGCACACTTCGTCGAGACGTACAACAAGAGCGAGGCGCCGCTGACGGGCGCCTACGGCCTCGTCGACGTGCGCACGGGCCGGTTCTACGCCGACGACGCGTCGCTGGCGGACGTCGCACACGACGCGCCGCTGTCCGTTGCGCGCCGCGCACCAGCCGTGAAAGAAGAGGAAGACGTCGATGATGAGTACGCCCTCGACGAGGCTGCTGAAGAGGTGGACGCCGTCGACGACGAGGAGCCGCTCGAGGACTTGGTTGCGATCGGTGCCTTCGGAGGCGGCTACGCGCGGTCGAGAGCGCGCCTGCGGGCGGCGCTGCGCCGGCGGCGCCTGACCGTTGACGAGATCGTCGCGGAGAGTGCGAGCGAGGACGCCTCGGTGGCGTCGTCGGCGTCATCCGACGAGGAGGCGTCCGACGACGAGGAGGACTACCGGCCGACGGCCCTGCCGCAACAGCACAAGGACTGGGGCGCCATCAACTACAAGAAGGCGCTGTGCCCCGACATGGTGGCCGGGCGGAAGTGCCCCCACGGCGCCGCGTGCACGTACGCGCATGCCTACGACGAGCTCCGCGTGGCAGAGAAAACGCCGCCCCCACATGTCTGCGTCGGCGCCTCGACGGCGTCCCACGAGCTCGCGCCACCGGAATACTGGCAGATGGGCACGTTCGCCGAGGCGGGCCGCCAGGGGCCCTACCTCTGGGCGCGCCTGGCGAACGGCGAGCGCCACGCCGTCACCGGCGTCGCCAGAAGACTCCGCCTGGCCGCACTCGCTCGACAGAAAACTCCAACGGTCAAAGTGAGCCGCTGCGGCGTGGGTTACTAGTCGCCTAGTCGTAAGCATGCGATACATAACCTAGCTTATCCGCCCCACATCCACCACATCCCCGTCCGCGGCGATGGAACGGCGCAGGCCCCGCCCGCCCAGCACGACGCCGACGTCGGCGCCGCCATTATTTCGCGGCGCGAGCCAGACGTGGATCAGGCCGTCGACAAGTTCCAATTTTGTGGCACCGTCTTCATCAAAGGACGCCGCGCCGTCCTTCGACGTCACGAAGCAGGGCCCGCATCGCGACGATACGGAAGACGAGTCCAAACCCTTGGCTCGCGCGGACCCTGGCTTCGGCGGAGACGAGAACGGCGGCTCCGTCGAAGAATCTCTTCTTTCAGCACAAACGACGCACGAAATGATTGTGCACGAGGCAGCATCAACTTTCACATCAACACGGATCCGATCCCCGAGATCCGAAGGCCCGAAGATCGTGCGCACATCAACAAAGGGCTGGCTCACCGCCGAGCCGCACTCGCCCGACGGCCGTCTGGGAGAGTCCGCCGCGAGGATGCCGTGTGATGAGGCGACGACCCGACACGACGCCAAGTCCACACCCCAGGAAAAGGGCGCCACGGCCACTTCGTCCGCCGCACAGCCCGCTTCCGGTAATACCCTAAAACCGCTCCGCTGCCAGAGCGAGTCCTCGCCACTATCCTCCACAAAAGTCTCCCAGCCGAGCGGCGACTGGCCCCACTCCCGCAGCTCCTCGGCGACGTAGGCGTCATCTAAAGGTTTTGGCCGGCCGGTCCTGGGATCGAAGCTGACCTCCCATCCCGCCCAGCATCCTTTTTGCGTCGTGAGTAGAGTGCGCCTTGCTAGAGAGGAAGCGAGCTCGGCGTCGGGCGGGGCCGCGACCATTTTTAATGGAGGCTGCGGCGAGAGGCCGCGCTGCTCGAGGCGCGCGCGGCGCCGGTCGTTGTTGGGCGCGTTTGGTGGGCCCCGGAGCGCTGTAGCATCTTGGGCGAACAGGAGTGAGATGAGGACGGAACATCGGATCGATGAGGCCATCGCTCCGCGCGCGAGAGCTGCTGGGATTGCTGCCACTGCAGATGATATCTGTGACTTCCGCTGCTCCGACCTCGCGTAGGGCTCGCACCAGGGCTAAAGCCGTTCAAGAATGTCTCCCACGTCTGTTTATCTTGACCCGTAACGCCGTCGCGGCTGCGAATTGGGCAGCAGACGACCAGGAGGCTTGGATGTGCTGCTCTCCGGCCGGCCCGCGCGAACTTACGCGAACGAGTCAGACAGACACGAACCACACATTATAGACTTACGCCAACAAATCCATGCCGGGATCCCTCCGCAGCGCCTCCAGATCCACGACGACGGCGCCGTCCCGCCGCCTATACAATAACGCGGTGTGCCCCACGACCTGCGCGACGTAGCACGGCCGCCCGGGCCGATCCAGAAATGGCGCCACCTCGTTCTCCGCCAATGCTCGCGCGAGTTTCTTCTTTCCCGCGCCCGTTTTTAGCTTCACCAGTTCAAACGATTCGAGCACGGCGTCCAGTTCGGCCAAGGCCCCGGGCGAGGCGCCGTCGCGGCCGAACTCGAACCTCGCGACGTCCGGTCCAGCACGGACGGCGTGGGCCCGTAATGCCCTTGAATCTTTTCCAGGTAGAGACGGTCGAGAAAACAATTCCAATGGCAAGAGATATTGTTTCGAGGCGTCGTCCTCCTCTCCAACGAGAGGATAGAAGAGCACGCCCGGCGGTGTTCTGTCATCAGTGTCCTTTCTCAAGTTTGCTGAACCGCAGGCCGAGGCGTATTTTATGAAAACATTACCAATTATCTCCAAAGGCTTCCCGTCGACGTCGGCGCCGTGGAGCAAGCCCTTCGTGAGTTCCAAGGCCTGGACCCACTCCTTCAAGGCTTTGACGGCGTCGCTTTGTTGTGGGGCCGCGATGCCTAGCCGGACTTCTCGACTCGCCGCGACGAGCGTCCTCACGGCGTCGCGACATTCGTCGTCCTCCGTCGGCGGGCAGCAGCCGCACTGCTTGTCCCTTAGTCTCAAAAGTTCGGCGGCATCAACGATTTCTGTTGTTGGTATGTCGACTGCTGCTAGCCTCAGCTTTAGTGCTCTCTTGGTGGCCGCGGAGCGGCTCTTTGGGCAGTGACAGCGGATGCGCGGCAGGAGCGCGGCGTTGAGGAAGAGTAGCTGCGCTCGCATCTTGCTATAACGCGTTCTCTAGCTCCTTCTGCGCCGCTCTGTCCTTCAAGAGGTCGACAAAGCCAGCACGCTCCCCCCCTAGTGCCTGTGTTACGCTGGCATTGCATTATAAAGATTGAGTCGAACCTCCGCGCATCAGCACCTCTCCTATGAGTCCTACGTGCAGGGAACTTCAGCGTCATTCAGGCTCTCTGTCTGGCATTGGATGGGAGATGGATGGGTGCTCTGCCAAGTCCTGGGCAGCCAGGCCGCACTCACGCTTCGGTTGAGTGGCAAAGAGTGATCACGCTTCCATTTGTTGCGGCTGCTGACGAAGAGTGAGCACTGCGTGCCGCGCAGCCCATTTGGGGCAGCCTACAGACGCCATCGACGCGATGAGAACGGCCGCCCTCGTCGCCGCCGCCGCGGTGATCAGCTACCTCGACCATGCACAACAGGACCGGACCCACGGCACCTGGATTGGTACGACACCACGCTATCAAACATATGGCGACCGCGCGAAGCCGCCATTGGTCGTCATCCCGGGCTTGGACGGCTGCACGGTCTTCTTCCAGGGTGTCGTGCCGGAGCTGGTCCGCGACTTTTTTGTGGTAGTGTATGACTTGCCATTGTATGACGGTGGTCAAAATTACACATTCTCGTACCTCGCTAATGACGTCGCGGCAGCGCTCGACGAGCTCGCCATCGAACGCGCCTCTATAATTGGTGAATCTTTTGGCGGCGTCGTGGCCCAGCATGTGGCCTTGGAACACTCTGAACGAGTTGAGGCGTTGGTGCTGCTCTCGTCGCTCGCAAAAACCGAGCTCACCGCGGTCGTCAAGTTCAAGCTCCACTGTCTACTCCCACTCGTCGAGTTCTTGGGACGGGCGTTCCCTGGCATAGCCCAGACGATCTTCGCGAAAGTCCACGCGTCTGACGTCGTGGAGGCCTCCGAGCCGGCCTGGGCCCGCAGCCTCTTCGTCAAGGAGGCGTCCTGGGCGCACCACGCCAGCGTCATGCAAAGGATTAAGATCGTGGCGGCGCTGGACATCGAAGACCGCGTGCCGCGTATCGCGGCGCCCGTGCTGCTCGTCCGCGGCGCCGATGATTCGTTCACGGGGCATACGACCGCTAGACTCCGGGCTCTATTACAATCGCGTGGGCAAGTCGGCACGTTCCCCGGCGGAGCCGTCGACGTCGTCACGCTGCCCGGTGGCCATCTGCCGCACGTAACGTCTTCTGACCTGTTCGCCCGGGCGGTGCGGGACGCTCTATTTGTTGTTCACATGGAGAAGATGCCCGAATCAGAATGGCACGCCAATTATGTCCGGGAACTGAACAAAAATCCTTTCTTTAACACGACGGATGTCGACATCGCTTTGACGTCGGCGGGATACATTAGCTGGCGGGCGGTGGAGGAGTTGAAAAAGTAGCCCCACTTCGCGATTGCTCTAGAGAAGATTAAGTGTGCTTTCTGTTACGTTGCTAAGCCTAGACGGCCGTTCTACGCTAGCGGCCGTAAGACACTAGCAAACAAGCAGGCGCAGGCTGGACAGCCGTGTCGTAATAGGCCAAAAGCATACAAGACGACGCTGTTTTGGTGCCTGACGGGACGTCTACACTCGGCTGAATACCCTGCGGTCACGGCAGAGAGCTCCGCGACGCGTGTGTTGAGCTGACGTGCACGCTCTCCGAGAGGCGCTTGAGTAAATCAGCGCAATCTGCCGCATGACTCGCCTCCTGACCACCTTCCTGATGGCGAGCAGGGCGAGCGGCCTCGCTGGAGGCTTCCTGAAAAAGGCAGCAGACACGCTGCGCGCCGCGTCCGGCGGCCCACCGCCGCCCGCACTCCAGCTCGACGCGGCGCCGAGTTGGGAGACCCTGCAGCAGGAGCTCGAGAAGCAGACGCCCGCCGAAGAAATAGAGATAGCGCAACAGGTCGCCGCTGGTCGAGGGCCACCGACGGCATCCGCCAACTTGCGCCTGTTCGACGCCCCCGACGGCTACGAACCTCGAGTGACGCTGTATAGAGATGGGTCAAGTTGGTGCCCTTACTGCCAGAAAGTCTGGATGCAGCTGGAGGAAAAACGCATACCCTACAAGGTCGAACGCTGTGTGGAAATCAACCAGCGTGTTGGGTGCGCCGACGATTCTTCAGTTAAGTCATTTCTCGGCGATGACGCGGCCGTCCTGGCTCGGTCGAGCAGTGAGGAACCGGCACCGCCACGCCACCGAGCAGGCGTCGCGTCGATGGCGTGGAGGACGACGCGACGACGCAGCACGAACGCGCCGTAAAATTTTGATTTCCACACAGGTCGAGCGCATTAACATGCGCTGCTACGGCGAGAAGCCGGCTTGGTTTCAAAGAGAAACGGGCGGCCTGCTCCCCGTCGTGCGCCTCGACGGCGACCTCATCACGGACAGCGTCTCCATCATGTTCGCTCTGGAGCGAGCGTTCGCCGACGACACGGAGTCGCTATTGCCGCCGGGCGGCCTCGACGAAATAAGACCGCTCATGAATCTGGAATCCCAGCACGCCGGCGCCTGGCTCGGGTGGTTGCGAGCCCCTCCTGGTGGCGGCGGCGGCGCTCGTAGTAATTACGAACGCGTGCTCGAGCAGATGGACGGCGCTTTATCATCAACCTCTGGTGGATTTTTTCTCGGTTCAGAGCTATCTTTGGTAGACTTGTTGTTCTGCTCTTTTCTAGAACGGGCCGAGGCGTCTCTGTTGTACTACAAGGGCTTCCGCGTGCGCGATTCTACAAAGTATCCAAATATATGTGCCTGGTTCGACGCCATGGAGACGCGACCCTCGTTCCGCGCCTCGCAGTCCGACTATTATACACATGCGATGGACCTGCCGCCGCAGCTCGGGGGCTGCTCGGCGGAGTCGGGCGGCGAGGCTCAGAGAGCTCTACTCGATGGAGGCGAGTGGACCCTCGCTTCCCTATCACAACAACCGCTCCAGCCGCTGCGCGATGATGATGCAAGCGCGGCGAAGCGTCGGGCCGCGCGGCAGTTGATCGGGAATTACAAGCGGGTGGTCCCCTTCGCGTGTCGCGCCCACGCGCCGCCGGGCGTGCCGCCGGTCATGGCGCCGCTCGCGGATCCGAACAACGCGTCGCCCGTGCGGTGGCACGAGGACGACGTCGATTGTGCGCTGCGGCACGTCGCCCATTCTTTATTGAGGGAGCCGGGGTCTATTCCATTGCAGGACGGCGGCGACGACCCGGCGCCGACGGCCCGCGCTTTGGAGTACCTGCGGAAGCGCGTCGGCGTGCCGCGGGACATGGACTACGAGGCGGCGCGGCAGTTCCGCGCGCACCTGTCGCACGCTATTGATGAGCTTGTTGCGTAACACAGTATTAACATTAGTTGGATCATCGTCGGTTCAGCACGGCGAATGCGCCGGCCGACGCCACCGAGGCGCCGGCGAGGCCCGCCAGCGCGGCGGGCGCGCCGAAGGCGTCCGCGAGGAGCCCGAGAGCGAGGGGCGCGCCGACGAACCCAACGTCGCCAGCTGAGCGAAACGCGGCGAGCCCGAGGCCGCGCTTTGCCTCAGGAACGAGGTCCGCCGCGTAGGCCGGAAGCGTCGGCCCGAGGGCGGCGGTCGAGAGCGCCCAGAGCGACACCGCGCCCAAAAACGCGAGCTGGTCCGGCTGCCCCGAGGTCTCCGCTTGTAGCGCGACGTACGCTACCGCTAGCACGGCGGCCGCCGAGCCCACGAGCGAACCACAGACCACATACCGTTTATCATCGATCTTGTCCGAGAGCCACGACGCGGGGCCAACGCCCAACAGATCCGCCATGGCCATGGCCCCAAATAGCTGTCCGAGCTGCAATGGCGTGTACCCAAACGTCTGGCTCGCGACGAGCGCGAGCAGGAGATTCCGGCCGCCCTGGCGCAGCGCGAAGGTCGTCGCGTGCGCTAGCGCGGCCGACGCGAACGGCGCGTCCGCGAGAACGTCACGGAGCCGGCCCGTCTCCTTTTGCTCCTTTTTCTGTGGCGTCGTCGCCGGCTTCGTCTCCTCCAGAGCGCGGAACGCATGCACCGCTGAAAGGAGACCGAGGCCGGCCACCGCGTAGAAGGGCGCCCGCACGGACAGCTCGGCGCCGAAGCCGCCTAACACCGGGCCGACACTGACACCTACGAGAAGTGCCGCGTGGTTCAGTCCGAGCACGCGGCCTCTTTGCGACGGCTTGGCTACGTCGCTGAGATAGACTTGCGCGGTTCCGAGATACGCGGCGGAGCCCGCGCCGGCCACGAATCTTGCTGCAGCGAACGAGGTGGCATCCGGCGCGAGCGCAGACGCCGCGTGTCCGGCAGCATTCAGCAGCGCGCCGCCGACGAGCAGCGGCTTGCGGCCGACGCTATCCGCGGCCAGCCCGACCGGCACGTTTAAAGCAAGCCGGGCGAGTCCGAATGTGCTTAGAGCGGCACCGACATCCGCGGCGCCAGCGCCGAGCGTCGTCGCGAGCAGCGGCACGCACGGCGTCGCGACGCCGTGTCCCGTCATCATCGTTAACGTGGAGCCACAGACCGCTGCTACTCGACCATCTCGCCACGGCGGCGCGTCTTTTGTCGCGAGCCGTCGCGCCGGCCTCGCCCAGGCGCGTCGCAACGCAGCGCTTGCGAGCAATGCACTGGAGCCCCGCATTTTTGCCAGGGAGAGCGGTGATGCTCTCTGGAGGCTTACGGCTGCCTACGAGCCTCTACCGCGGCCGTCACCCGAGAAAGCTATGCATCATGGATCCCATATGTACCACAGCGGTCGTGACAATGCGTATATGGCAAATGCGTGGCGATGCAAAGTCGTGACAATTCCTAGTGTCCAACTACGCTAGCTCGCATAGGCGCGCCGGCGCGCGCGAGGTCGCTACGGTGCTTAGACGTTTCCTGCGTCAGTTTCAAGAACGCTGAGACAGTTAAAAGCCCCGCCGACCATCGCTACGGCCGCTGCGACCTCTGTGAGCCAGCACCCGCAAAGCTGCCAAGCAGAGCCATGGCTCCGCGCCTCCTCGCCCTCGCCGCGCGCGCATTGGTAAGGACGAGCACGACGCAACTGAGAGCTGTGAGCACCGAGACGCTGGCGGAAAGAGCCAAGCTCGCGGTGTTAGATCCGCAGCGCAACGCCGTCATCGAAGCACTGACAACAACGAACCGACCCCTGCTGGGCCTCTTCAACGACATCCCCCGGCACCAGTTGCGGGAGAGCGACGCGCGGGCCTGGGCTTTGGCCGGGTTCGAATTTGTGGTCAACGATGGGGAACACTCCGGCAATGATTTACTTTATGGAAGGGAGGAGAACGCGATGCTGCAGCGGTACGGTTTGACGCCAATACAACGGCTGCCGCGCGAGGCGACCTCGGCACACGGCGACGCGCTGGCGTGCGGCGCGCGCGGCACGATGCGGCCGTACGCGCTGACGCTGGACGACGCGACGACGTACGTCGAGGCCATGGATTTTCCGGTCGGTGAGGGTCCGCGGCGCCACGCGCGCGGCGCCTACCCCGTGCGTCACGGTGATGGCGCCATGACCTTCACGCCCGACTCGCTGCGGGAGGCGGAAGCTGACAGGACGCTGGCCTGCCTCCAGTTCGAGACGGAGGAGTATTTGTTCGATGAAGGTTTGAGACGATCCGTACTCAAAGTGCTATCAACGCGCGGCAACGCGTGCGCATTCGTCGGGGCCCTCGACGCGGCGACGCGGTGCGGAGACGCGGCGCGCGTCTCAAAGGGCGTCGCCGAGTTGTGCCGCGATGCTAATGAAGAGGGCGTGGCCGTCGGCGGCGTCGTGGGCGGCGACGCGGCCAACGTCCTTAGACACATGGAGCTCGGCCTGCGCCTCATCGCGCCGCCGGTGTTTGCCTCCGACTTCGCGCTCCGCGGGGCGGTCGACGCGGCGGAGGCGTTCCACGAAGCGGCCGCGGCGTTTAATAGTAGTTAGTAGTTAGCACACTAAAACGGGGCAGTAGCCGCCACGAGGCGGGGACTGCGTTCAATAGGAGTAGCAGTACACAAACGGGGCCCGTCGGGGGGACTTTGGGACAACTACATGAGGCTGCACTGGCCGGCGCCGACCATCTCGCCCGCGAGCGCGGCCTGGGCGGCGATCTCCGGATCTTCGTCAACCATGGGCCGGCCGTACCACAAGGGCACGACGCCCGGCACGGTGGACCGGACCTTCGCCTCGCACAGGAGCTCCTCCTCATAGATCGACTCGGCGAGCCCCGGCGGCGGCATCATGTCCGCCGGGTTCGGAGGCTCGCCCGCGCGTAGCGCTTCCATCAAGCCCTTGTAGAACGCGAGCATCGCCTCGTGGCCGTCGGCGGGGAACGTGTCCAGAAAAACGCGCCACCGCTCGGCTTCGATCGGGTGTAAGGCGCCAAAATTTAATGGAGCGTCCTTGAAGGACCAGAGCGTCTCGAGGACGTTCGACCGCTCGAGGGGCCACGACGTCGCACTATCAAACCACTGCAGGAAGAAGCGGAGGGTCCCGAGGGTCCGCGGCGGCAGGGGGCACTTCCGCGGCGCGAGCCCGGGGTGCGTCCAGTGGAACTCGTTGACCGAGTCCATGAGCGCCTGGCGCCGGAGGAGCCGCTTGTCGATGTCCTCGGGCTCGAACTCGCCTTCCGGGCGTCCGTAGCCCGCCCGCCACAGGGGGTTGCGCGAGAGGTAGGCCTCTCGCTCGTCGACTTCTCCCTCGGGCCCGAAGGTCACCTCCCGCAGGGGGTCGCGCGCGCCCGAGGCCTCGGCGCCCCCCATGGCCACGCGTTGTCGGTTCATGGCCGCGGCGTTCCGCCCTTTCAGCATCCGCGCGACCTTGGCGTGCGCGCCGTAGTTGCCGGAAGTCGCGTCGAGGAACGTCGCCGCCGCCGCGTCCAGCACGTCGAAGGGCGCGCGGCCGCCCGTGACGCCGCGCATGAGGACGCAGCTCATGAGCACCGGATCGTGGCAAGCGAAGGCCTTGGCGTCCTCGACGTTGGCGTTCCAGAACGCGACGCGGAACCGCGCATCGTCCAGGAACGGGCCCCAGCCGCCTTGCTCAACTTCCGCGCGCAGCGTCGCGCGCCACGCGTCGTCGACGGCCGCCCAAGCCTTGCTCGTCGCGGCCAGGCGCTTCGCGGCGCGAACGTGCTCCTTCGTCACGAGCGCGCCGTCGTAGAGCAAGCACGCGAGCACGTTGCGCGGCAAAAAGTCGTCCGGCGCGGGCGCGGCCAGCACGCGGTCCGGGGCGGCGTCGCCGTCGCTTTCCGCTGCCCCCATTTTCGCGACGTCGCCCGCCAGGGCAGCCCCCTTGCCCCCCGTCGCTGCATCTCGGCCGGCCATGCCTCGTTTGTGGTGGGCCGGCAGCGATTCCGCGATGTGCCTCCTGAACCTGGTGTCGAGTGTGCCCGCGCGCGCGCGATTTGGCTGCCACGCGTTTTTTGGGATGGGAGGAGGGAGCTGGGCGGGCTGCGGTCCTTGCCGGTGCTGCGCGTCGCGCTTGTTTTGGCTAATGAGATAGTCAAGAATCAAGGTTGAATGGTTGACACTTTGTTTACTTAGGTGGCCACCTTAAATTCGTGCGGGTGCCGGCACGCCAAGTGTCCTCGGCCGCGGGCGCTCTCGAGACGCCTCGGTCACACCTAAGACGGCTCCGACGAGCGGTCGAGAAGATTCGACCCGCCGCGGGCCGCCGTCGACGAGAAGACGCCCCCGACGCCTTCGAGCAGACTGGCACATGACTATACGATGAGATTAACAAAACGACAGACTAGTCCTCGGAAGAATACAAGGCGGCCACCTCGGAAGGAGAATCAGGCGGCTCGTCCAGATACGGCGCCGTCGCGCTCCGCAGGTTTTTTAGGGACGCGGCCACCGTTCCGCTTTCCAGCCGAAAAACACCAGAAAAGGGCAGGTTCACGTCGATCGCCAAGGAGTTGAAGACGACCAATGCAGACGCGACGACGGCGAACAGCGCGTGTACTCCGAATGAGGCATCAAAAACAACTCCGGAGTCGGCCATCACAAAGCCCAGGGCGTGCGGCTGGACGCCGGCCATCTCGCCCCGATCCAAGGTAAGGTACGTGTACGCGATGGCTAAGGCAATAGATAACGTCCGCAATACCGAATACTGGACGTCGGGAATACCGGAATTCTCGAGGGACAACCGCACGCCCCGCGCTTCCATCAGGCGGCCGCAGCCGTCCAACGCAAAGTCGAGGTCGCGTATGTTGGAGCATTTCGCTTGCTGCAGGATCTGGACGACCTCGGAGTAAGCATCATGACCTTCGGCGATGAGCTCGAGTTCCCGTTCCCGTCCGCCGCCGACGAAGTCACATGAGTGCGCATGTAAACGTCGAGCGACAGCTCTAAAAACGTCGTCGCCGCGCTCCGGCGCATCACTATCCAACACGAGAATAACCTCCAAGCGCTTGATCAACGGCAGCATCAGCGTGCACTCCTCGACGGCCGCCGCGCGCAACGCCGCCAGCCGCGCCGTCGCGTCGGAGATGGTCGACGCCGTTAATGTACCAAAGACGATGCTCATCAGCGAGAAGAAGTAGCCGCCCTCGGTAGGGTTCGGCGGCGGCAGCGCCTGTGCGTAAATCAACCAGTAAGTCGGGTGCTCGAGCCGGCGTCGCGTCGATGGCGTGGTTGGGCCGTGGTAGACGCGGCGCGACAATTAGATTTATGCACTGGGCAGCGCCTGCACCGCCTGCCACGCCAGCGGGTAGCTCAGGTAAAAGGCGCCGAGACTTCCGATGCGGAACGGCCACTCCGTCCAATGAAAGGGGTTCGGCTGCAGCTCACTGATTAAGGTGTCCTTGAGCTCCGCGCGCGACGCGTAGCGCCGCGGGGTGGTCACGTTTTGAGATGCCGTGGCTCGGAGCAGCTGTTGTTTCCGGAGCTTGAGTTTGAGGTTAGATTTGAGGTCCTGCAGCTGCGGCGGCGCCGTCAGCGCGGCGGCGCTCGCTGCCGCGCAGGCCAAGATTATCGTTGTTTTTTTCATTTTGTAAGATGACGGTGTGTGCCGGGAAACGCTGCGATTGTCGGCGCTTGCGCCACTAACGATCCAGCACTGTAGTCGTCGCGATGGCTGCGGTTGATCCACAGCCGGCGAGCACGTGCTTGCTGCCTTGTGACGATTGCAGCGCTTTTTTTTGGCAAAGCAATTTCCTGCTAGTGTCTTACTGAACGCTAGCCAGCCGCTACCGAGCATCGGCTCAAAAAGCTAGTGCATCCGGTTATAACGGCGCGCGCGCAGCTCTCGGGATCCCTGCGATACTGCGCGAATAGCAGCGAGCATCGCTTCGTCGCCGCCGAACGCATTTTGCGATGCTGCGTACTCTAGCCAGCCGCTGCGGCACCGCGAGTCGTCGGTTCCTAGCGTCACGCGTCGTCAACGTCGGTTCGGTCGAAGCCTACGACAAGTTGTCGACGACCGGTGATTTGCTGGTGACGAATTTCACGGCGAGCTGGTGCGGCCCGTGCCAGGTCCGTGGCTCGGCGCAGAAATGAACTTGAACCTGATCTGGTGGAGGCGATGGCGTCTTCATGAGACCGACGCCGTCGACGTGGCCGTCAGAGAGTCTACGCGCGTCGCGCGAGGGAGCCACGGCGGTTTCGCGACGGCGTCCGTTCTGCGCAGGCCGCCGCGCCCGTCTTCGACAAGATGTCGGAGGACCACGACGACGTCATCTTCTGCAAGGTCGATATTGATGATGAGGACCTCGGCGACCTGGTGGCCGCGGCGCAGGTCCGGGCCGTGCCGACGTACACCTTCACGAAGAGCGGCGAGACGGTCGCGGACAACGTGCAGGGCGCGGACATGGAGGCGATCCGCGACGTGCTCGCTAGTCAGTAACAGTATGTATAAACAATCAAGGGGAAACCAACTCGACGTTGGCGGCGGGCGGCGGCGCAACGACTTGCACGGCCGCGGCCGGCGGGTGCGCGAGCTTGAAGTCGAGGTCGTCGACGGCGCGTCGCCCCGCCCGGTGCGCGAAGAAGAAGAGGACGCCCAACAGGATTGCGGCGGCGAACAAAGGTGCCACGGCCCAGACGACGACCGCACCCCTATCCCGCGACGCGACGGCCGCGAGCCACGCCGTGGAGAACAATCGTCTGACCGCGGGCCTCGAAGGTGGATTGCCGCCGTCGAAAGAAATTGATTATTATCCTCGGAATGGTAGCGAAATCGATTTGCGCCGCGCGTGACGCATAAGGCAAAAGCATAAAATGAGGGCCCTCACAGCAATACTAATTGCGACCGCGACCGCGCTCCCGCCCCTGAAATGCGATAGAGAAGAGCAGCACGGCGCCGCCTGGCGCGCCATCAGAAACGAGGCCGTCTGGTCGCGAAGGACTTTTGACGCCGTCGAGCGGCTCCTCGCGCAGAAGACACCCCAGACACTGAAGCGGCCTAGAGTGTACGTCTACCCCTTTCCGCCGGCCTTCGCCAACGCCTCGAACCTCTGGGCCGCGGCGGGCCTCGACCAACAGGGCGCGGCGCTCTACTTCCAGGGACGCCAACATGCGTCCGACGGCGACGGCGTCGGCGGTTATTCGCGGGCGCGGAAGGCACTTGGACCGGACAACGTAGAGACCCTTAAGATGCGTGGGCGGTACGCGCTAGTCCTCGGAAACGAGGGAAAACACACCGAAGCTGTGGCGATTACTGAGGACGTCGTACGACGGTGCCGGCGCATCTTTGGGAACGATCATCCGATGACGGCGAAGGCCCAGGGCGCGCTGGCGCACGCTCGGAAACTACTTAGTAAGTCATAATAACTTAGCTCGCCACGCACTGCGCCCCGGGCGCCTCGTTCAGCACGTCCCGCGCGTCATTCAAACTCTGGACCCACGTGTCCGCGTCCGCCGCGTCGCGCGCCAATAGAGTGTAATTGGACTCGCCCACGGACACGACGAACGCACAAGGCAAGCTGTCGTCGTGGCGCACCGACGAAATCTTTTTGAGCGACACCGCGTTCAGTCGTTTCGACTTCTGGGCCGTTTTATATACGGACAGCATGTACTCGGGTCGATCTTCCTCGGGCGGGTCGACCTCGAGCCAGCGCAGCGCCCAGCGCGGCGGCCCGCCGTCCTCCAGGTTGCGCGTCGACTTCCGCTTGAGGTAGCCGCGGACGAGCGTCAGCCGCCCGTGCGTCGTCGTCAGCGGTGGAGACGTCGGCGGCCAGACCGGCTGCTGGTGCTCGTCGTCGACGTCGTCGCCGCCCATGACGCAGCAGTTTATTGGGAACATCATGCTCATGCTGTCTGCAGGGCAGCCTGTATATGTGCTTTGGCAGCCCTCGGGGGTCCGCCGCGGCGCAGGAATCAAGAGTTCGTTGTGAACGCAATGCCGAGCCGCTCGCCGCGGCGACGTCGTGCCGGGGCCGCGCCGTTTGCAAATTTGGCAGTCTGATTGCAAGCTCTGCAGCAGGGTTTGAACGATTTTGGCGGCGGCCTTCCCGATGCATCTCGCGGCCGCGGAGGGCTCCGCGATGCCTTGAGAAAGCTTGGACGCGGGACGCCGCAGCGCCCGGACCGTGCGGGCTTGGCTTTGGTGCCGCTGCGGCCGAGCCTCTGCCGTCTCTCACGGCCACACGCCGACGAGCATTCGTCGTCGCACCGTCGCGAAGAAGCCACCTGGAAACAGCAGGCTCCTTGGCCGCGAGCGCGCCGCCGTCGAGCGCTCCAGGGGCAGCCTAGAGGCCAGCCCCACACCTGGACAGGACACGCCGGCGCCGCGCGCAGCCGACGAAACGCGACGATGACCAAAGGACGACGGCGGCTCCATGTAGTCTTACTCATCACCAGTGCAATAGCCTGCCCCGTCGGCCTCGACAACGGAGAAGTGTGCTCGGGCCACGGCGCGTGTGCCGAGCACGTCTCAAAAGGTATTGATGAAACGTGTGTTTGTGACTACGGCTTCTCGGGGCCGGACTGTTCGTTAAGGCTGTGTCCGGCAGCTAGAGCGTGGTCCGACTACGCCTCGGCCAATAACACCGCGCACGCGAAACATGTGGAGTGCGCGAACATGGGCGACTGCGACCGGGACACGGGGCTCTGCGAATGCCGGGACGGGTTTTCGGGCGACGCTTGTCAAAGAATGAGATGTCCGACCGGTACGTTGACCGGAAGTCCACCTAGGGAGTGCTATGGCTATGGAAGGTGTATCAGTATGCGAGATGCCGCTCGGGAGGACATGGACTGGGTCAGTATACATAGAAAAAGTACTACTTATGACGAGTGGGACGCGGACATGTTATATGGCTGCGTCTGCGATGCGGGGTTTCAGGGCTGGGACTGCTCGCAGCGCATCTGTCCGAAGGGCGACGACCCCCTGACTCCTGGTGAAGATGAGGTCCAGCTCGTGGAGTGCACTTGCCTCGAGGCGGGCGGGTGTTCCAATAATACACTGTCGTTGACCTTCAAGGGCCAGCGAACAGATCCCATACCAGCCGATGCCACGGCCGATTTGTTGGAGTATTTCCTCGAGAAATTATCCTCCATTACGGATGTCGATGTGCACTACGACGGAGGCGGCGAGCTCGGCTCGTTATGTTCGGCCGGCGGTACTACCGCTCGCATAGCCTTCTTGAGAGATTATGGGGACGTGCCCTCGTTAAACTACACGACGAAGGCTTTGAGACCCGGCGAAGCGGGAATTCCTATCAGTATGAACATCAAGAAGAACGGCCAGTGTTCTTCACTACATTCCACCACTTGTTCGGTAAGAGGCACGAAGGAGTACGCCGAATGCTCGAACCGAGGCATCTGCGACTCGAGGAGTGGACGATGCACGTGCTACACCGGATTTTCGAGTTCCGACGGCCGGGGCGGTTCTGGATCATATGGGGACTGCGGGCATTTACTGCCCAATACGACCATAGAATGGCGCGAAGATACGCAGCCAAAAGATTACAACAAGCCCTGGTACCGCGACATGAGCAATCCTGTGGATGGACCTTGTCCTAGGGTGGTCCCGGCGTGGAATCCGAACTTGGGTCCGACGATCTGTTCGGGCGTTGGCATATGTGACGCCGATAAAAAGTGCAACTGCACGGAGGGCTACGAGGGCAACGCCTGCGAGTACAAGATCTGCCCGTCCGGACGGGCCTGGTGGGACGAGGCCGTCGGTCCCAATGATGCTCACCATGAAGTACCTTGTAGCCATAGGGGTTTCTGCAACCGCGCGTCCGGGTATTGCGAGTGCGACCGGGAGTTCGGGCTCGTTGGTGGTCCTTCCTCCTCGACCGAAGCCTGCAACGTCCTGAACTGCGACGAGAACAAGACCATGTGCGGCCCTGTGTGGAAATCAACCAGTGAGTTAGGTGGCCTTCGTGAGCCTCCACGCCATCGAGCAGACGCAGCTACGGAGACACCATCGCGTCGATGGCGTGCGGCGCCTGAAATTTGATTTCCACACAGGTGCGGCCAGACCGGGTACTGCGCCACCATGGCGGAACTAGCGGTCAATGGTATCCACTACAACGAAGACGGCACTCTGCAAAAAGTTAATTATTCGGACATGTGGGACTCGCACATGATCCGGGGCTGCGCGTCGCCGCGTCCGTGTTGCCTTCCCGAGCTACCATCGTACGCACCGGCCGTCGACGCGTCGCCTGGTCGCCAACGCGCGGCTCAGCACCCACGCCGTCGCCGCGCCGCCGCGACGTCGTCGCGCGGCATTTCAGAGAGTCTACGTGCCTCGCGAGAGCCCCGGATCGCCTCGAGACGGCTCAAAACCGAAAGAGAAACCACCCACGACCATCGTCTGATGGACACGAGTCGCGTCGACGGCGTGAGGGCGCCGCAGTCACGCCTCGCTCCCATCGCAGGCCACTGCCTCAAGCCCGAGGGCGTCTACCATACGTCTGGGTTTGTTCATGCGAGAAATAGGCATTTACCGCGAGGCGGTAGTCGCATGGCTCGGCCGCCCTGGGCCTTTGCCTTGACGGAGTGGACGGGGCGGACCTGTTCCCAAGCCTTCTGCCCGCGGGGCGACAACCCTTTTACCTTCGGGCAGAACGAGATCCAACAAATTAATTGTTCGGCACCTACTCAAGATCATTTCAACTTAACTTTTGGATTGTCGAATGTTTCGGTACGAATACCCTGGCACGCGACCGCCAAAGAACTTGAATTGAGGCTGGAAACGTTACCTACTCTCCGAGACGTGAATGTGTGGTACGCCAATTCGACCACACCTGGAGGGTTCATCGACCTCAAGAACTACGAGAACGAAAGCGTCTGTGGTCGAGATCAGTTGGCCTACGTCGAGTTCATATCGGATCGAGGGGATGTTCCAATGCTAGTCGCGACGACGTCGCCCTACTCGCTGATAACGTTAAACATCTCGGAATGGAGGAAAGGAACGAAGGAGAACGTCGAGTGCTCCGGGAACGGCCTCTGCAACAGGGATGTGGGCGTCTGCAATTGTCTGGACGGCTTCGCAAGTAGTTCTGATGTGAAGAAGGAAAAGTTCGGAGAATATGGAGAACGCGGCGACTGCGCCTTCCGCCACGGCGGCACGAAGGACGAGAAGTGGTTCACGTCTCCGGACACGGACCCGGGCTACGAGTACCTGTTCGAGGTGTCGACGGACGGCACGGAGAAGTGGCAGCGGGACATGCCGGGGGGGAGCGCGTAAGGCTATGCTGTATCTAGCTTCTGTTGCGGTGCGAGGGCTTGTGGGCGGTCCCTGCGGTTGCGTAGGTCCAGATAGATAATTGTTACGGTGCTAGAACTAGAACTACGAAGGTCATGGTGCCACCTGCCGGGTTTTCACGATGATTTTTGCGGTCGACTTGTGTGCGGTCCCGCGCTCTCGCGAGACGACAGGGTATTGATTCATCCATTAAAAGCGCACTGCGGCGACCGCGCGCGGCCGGTAGTGCGAGAGCAAACGCTCTTGATTTGTCTTCTACTTACATCTGGATGCACCGCACCCCGCGGCTCGCGCACGCGCCGGTCGCGGTCGCGCGGCGACACGAACGCGACCTCGGCGGAGCTCTCAGCCTGGCGCAATTAAAAGGCCACCCTCCGTTGAGCCGGCGCTACCTCAAGCCGACGCCCCTCGCTCGGCACTGAGCGCGCTCAGCTTCATTCTCCCGGCGGGACGGGGCTTGCGGGCCCGATGGGGCACTTGATCAACGCTCGAAACGGCCCCGCCCCCACCTGCTTCACTCCGCCTCGCACCTCGGCCAGGTGGGGCGACTTTATAGTTGCCTCACCGCACAAACACACAGGTCGCGTCGGCTGTTTGATGCATCAAGCTTCAAAGCGCGTGGCACCGGCGTCGAAAGCCAACGAGCGTCTCGGAAGAAGGTGGCCGCGGGGCCATAGAAAGTTTCATCAGTCCTAGCTGATGCGCGGTACCATCAGACATAGATCAAGTGCGAGTCCGACTTGCCCGTCGATCCACGAAGCGATCGAAAAATGAAGAGACTTCTCAAAATAAGATGAGAAGCGGCGCGAAAAAGCCACGACATCCGGTAAAAGAGCCGGATGATGGGAAAGGACATAAATCCACTTTTTTCTTCCGGGCCGAGTTGTCGCGAGATAGGGCTCCGGTTCTGACTCGGTCACTCGGCCACGAAAACAAGGACTCGGCCACGCACGCGCGCATGTGAGTTCGCCAGACTTGGTAACTCACATCGCGCAACACGACGCAGGTCTGCGCGCCGCCACGGCTGGTCGTAATTGCGAAGGTGCGCGGACTCGGCGTCGTGAACCATCGTCGTCGTTTAGAGTGTCTCTCGGCGGGTCATGAGAAGTCGTGGACGCCGTGGGAGGAGCCTTAATACGATGCTCGTGCAAAAAACTTACGAGCGTCACTCCTCCCGGCGGAACCGTCCAATTGGACGTGCCAACGCTACACTCGCCCGCGCACGCCGCCCAAGGTGGGTCGATACATTACTGATTGACTCACCTTCGCACACAACACAGGTCGAAGCGCGCGGCGGGGCGCCGCCGCGAGTCCGAGTCCGAGTCGCGGTTTGGATGTATAATTTTTCTCAGTCAAACCTACTAATCTCTCGCCACTTCTCCCGGTCGGACTCTTCGCAGCCATAGAGCGGGGCCTGGCCCGCACGGACGGAGAGCAAGTTTGACGCTGTGCTGCGCCTTGTGCAGAGCGCCGCGCACATGTGCCGCGGGGGCGGGCAGCCCGCATAGATGCGTAGAGACATACCCAGCGACGCGGCCCGCGAGCGATTCGCGGCTGCCGACGCACCAGTAGGGGCAGCCATGGAGGACGACCTCAAAGCCCTCGCGCGGCGCTGCGTGCCCGACCCGACGCTGGAACGCTTCTTCCGCGACGAAGAAAGTGAAGAGGGCCCCGCGCGCTGGACGCCGGTTCATTTGGAACGCTACGCTAGGGTCCTGGCCGCCGACGGCACGCTCGACAGGAGAAGGACGGTCACGGGCATCGCGCGCACCGATAGACGAAGCCACTCGCCCCGCGACGACGAGGACGAGGACGAGGTCGAGACGCTCACGACGGGAGATTTCCGCGCGAAGCTGCGCGCCGTCGGGAAGTACTCGGGAAAACTGAAAAATACAAGGGCGTCCATCGACTCGAGCCAAGCACTCGCCGCCGCGGAGTCGGGCCGCGGCGACCTGCCGGACGTAACTACGAAAGATGAAAACGTCTGGCTTCCTTCATTGGCGGACAACGCGGCGCTCTACGCGGCCTTTACACCCGCAATACTGCATCGCGGGTTGTTGAACGCCCACGCGAAGCAGCTCGAGGAAGTGAGACACAGCAACCAGTCGTTCGACAGTAGTGAGAAGCAATCCTTCGAGAACGTGCAAATGAGACCAGAAACGTTTTCTGTCGATGGTGCGTTATTTTTCGTGGACATCTCGGGCTTCACGAAGCTGTCTGGCCGCTTAACGGCGGACGAACTGAAGTACCACTGCAACGCCTACTTTGGTTTACTGTTGGGCGTCATCTCGCGGCACGGCGGCGACCTGCGTGGAAATCAAATTTCAGGCGCCCCATCCGTGACCGCGTCGGCTCGATGGCGTACTCACTGGTTGATGTCCACGCAGGCGGCGACGTCCTCAAGTTCCTGGGGGACGCCTTTTTTGTGTTGTGGCCCTGTGCGACGGACGCTTCAAGTGAAGCAAAGGCCTGCAACGCGTGGCGCGCGGCTAGATGTGCCGTCGACGTGATGCGGAGTTGTGCCACATATGACGCCGGCGCGGGGGCTCATGCCGTGTCTTTACGACTCCACTGCGGTCTAGGAGTTGGAAAGGTGCATGTTTATGTGGTCGGTGCTTGTGATAGGTGGGAGTTAGTGGTTGCGGGGGATCCCGTGCGGCAGTTATCAGAAACTGAGGGCGAGGCGGAACGAGGTCAAGTCGTCCTGTCGAAGGAGACCGTTTTTAGATTAAGGAGCGCCCTCGTTGCGTATCCTTTACCTCTGTCTGAGACTTCAAGAGGCAATTACCGACTTGATTGGAGTCATACATCGACGAAACCCTCTATGGCGACGCAAGACTCGGATAGGATGGCCTTTCTCTCGTGTGAAAAGAGGCCGAACTACACGTCAATCATGAACGACCGGACGGCCTTCGGCGACCAAGCATCAGACGAAGCTAGATCCTTCTCCCACAAACATGTCAGGGAGGCGAACTGGAGTAATGACCCGCCACAGATCGGTGGGCCATCACCCGACGACGCCGAAGCGGTTAATGAAGCGAGAGCGAAGCGCCAGGCCTTCGGCAAAACGGTAAGATGCGTCGCCCGACCGCTGCGCGCCTTCGCGCCCGAGGCGTCGCGCGCGGACCTCGACGCCGGCACACCTGGGTTGTTGGGTGCGTTGCGAGATGTAGTTACTGTGTTTGTGGACGTGAACGGACTCAGTGACGCTCTCGAAGGTGGCGACGTCGACCGAGTACAATCAGCCATGGAAGCTACGGTAAGAGCCGTCAGAGCCTGGGATGGGATGCTCCGCCAATTTGCTGTTGATGATAAGGGCGTCGTTTTTATTGCTTGTTGGGGCGTGCCCGGCCACGCCCACGAAGACGATGAAGCAAGAGCTGTTTCAAGTGCGAAGGAGGTGTTGGCGGCGTTGTCCCTGCAAGGTCTCGAGGCGCGAGCCGGCGTCGCGTCCGGAAATGCATTTTGTGGACTAGTAGGTAATGCAGCTAGGGCCGAGTACGCCGTGATCGGTTCTTCTGTGAATTTGGCCGCTAGATTGATGTGCCACGCGCCGCCTTCGTCCGTTTTAGTATCAGGCACGGTTCGCGACCGCGCGTTGAGTAGCTTCGACTTCGAAGGTAAAGGCTCTGTCAGAGCCAAGGGTTATGAGGATCCCATACCAGTCTACCGACCCATGAGACGGGAAGTTAGGACAGAGGTGGAGTTGGTTAATGAGACGATCGGGCGGGAAGATGAACGGAGGCAGGTCTCGGAAGCTCTTGAGAATGGTGTTACTTTCTTAATTGGTCCGCAGGGCGCTGGTAAGTCAAGGTTACTCCGGGACGCTCTGCTAGCCAGTAATAAGAGAGTGGTCTGGTGCTCCGCTTCCGGTGGCGCTCCGGTCCTCGCACCGTGCGCGTGGGCCCTCTGTGCGGGTGCCTCCGACACTTGTACATTTAGTGGCAGGGCGGCCTCGTCCAAAGCTCTGATTGAGGGCGGCGCCTCCGATCAAGATGCGGACGCATTAGCTCGCTTGCTCAACGCGCGCCGAAGCTCCGCGGGCGTCATCTCGAACGGTGCGGCGTCCGTCGCGCGGGCCGTGTCCGGTATTGTCAAGAAGGCGGGATCCCCAGTACTCTTCATCGACGACGCCCAGGACCTGGGAGCGGCGGACTGGGCCGTGCTTTCATTGCTCGATGCGCCCTGTGCCATACTCGTAGGCATGCGGCCGATCGGTAGATACGCGCGCAACGCGACTGCGGCGCGCAACGCACTTGTCAAGATGCTTACCAAAGCTTCCGTGATAGCCTTGGATCCCCTATCCATCGCAGAGACGGCGTCGCTCTTCACGGCGTGCCTCGGCCTTTATCAGGGTTCTGGGTTTGACGAATCTGGGAGACTGCACGATAGGGCCGCCCGAGCTCTTCACGCGAAGACGAATGGCGAGCCGCATAGAATAACGCACGCCGCCACAGTTATAAAAGCGAGATTGGATGCTTCCGACCTGGAGTCTGAGTTAGCTTCATTAACACCGGACGCTCGCAGACGCGACCTGAAGCGCACGGTCGTCGCGCGCTTCGACGCTCTCTCGCGGCTCGAACAAGCTGTGTTAGCGGCTGCCAGTGTCCTCGGTGCCTCCTTCTGCCTCGAACCGCTCGTGTCAATCGTCAGTAAGCAGACGGACGAAGCGACGCACGACGTCATCCGAGGCGAGGTCAGTACGATGCGTAGTCGCTTACGCTACGCTCTCGTGACTTTAATTGAGAGGAACTTTCTGCGGAAAAGACGAAGAAACGGACAAGAGGAATTCGAGTTTTCGAGAAGTGACGTGAGGAGCGACGTGTATGGATTGCTACCAGTATTAACTCGACAACGACTCCATGGCTTCGCTTCTGATTTTTACGAGGAGGACTTTGTGAGGGCGCACCACCTGGTCCACGCCGGGACGTCGCGGTCGCCGGAAAGGGCGTTGATTGCTGTTGCTGAAAGGTGTTCTATCACACCGGAAACGAGACCCGAAGCGATTCTAGCTTACTCGTTGCTACTCCATGTCGAGCTCGCCGGCCAGGGGTCGTGTGGTTCTCCAGCCTACGCCGCTCTGTTAAAACCGGCCTGGCACGAGACCGATATATTTTTACAACCGGACCAGGAGTGGCTCGAACCTGAACTCTTCGAGTCGCCCCCTCATGGAGTGAGAATCGCCGCCATCCTGCAGGCGCTCGCTTCTTTAGAATTCTCGCTGGGCCACTCGAGGACGGCCTACGCGACGGCGTCGGCTGCTGTGTGGAAATCATTTCTTGACGATGACGCGGCTGTGCTGGCTCCGTCGAGCGATGAGGAACCGGCATCGCCACGCCATCGAGCAGGCGTCGCGTCGATGGCATGGAGGTTGACGCGACGATTCAGCACGAAGGCGCGTGATTTTTTGATTTTCACACAGGTCGGCGGGGTTAGCAGCGCTGGGGGACGCGTCAAATTCCACAATGGCGCGGCTGCGGGCGCTGCGGAGTATAATCCTCGCGGAGCGCGGTGAACTGGAGCGGGCGTCCGCGGAGGCGGCCAAGGCCGTGTCATGTGAAGAAGATCAGGATACGCCGGGGCCCTACCACATCTCATTATCATCATCGTCGCCGGAGGCGGTATGCTTAGCCTGCGCTTCATTAGGCGACGCGGCCCACCTGAGGAAAGCGGCTCGATTGATACCGCGGACGAAATCAAACTATGCCACCGGTTTCGTGTTAAGGGCCGCGGCGCGGTTCCACGCTCGTCGAAACGACCCCGACGCGTGCGCCTCGGCGGCGTGCGGCGCGGCGCGCGCCTTCGACGCGTGCCACGAACCATCTTTGGCGACGGAGGCGCGCGCGACCGAGGCGCTGGCGTATGTAACACAGGGGCGCGCGCGGGCGGCAATGAAGGCGCTGCTTGCGGTGGAGGGCCCGCCGGCGCCGCGCGCCGACGCCGCGCGTGCGGCGGCCGTCGCTGCCGTCGCGAAGCTCTGCGGCGACGAGGAGACATACGAGGCGTGCGCGCGGGCGGCCGGCGATGAAATAAAGCGGGCCGCGGAGGCGCTGGCTGCTGGGGTGACTGTGGACGACGGCGAGGCGCCGGAGGTTATGGTCGACGCCGTCGACCCGTGGCTGTCTTTATCTGCTTATCTGGGGAACGTGGCGGAGGAGTTTATTAGTTAAGTGTGTACATTCTATAACAACCAAAATTCTATACACACCGTACCCCTGCTACAGCACCGACTCCCCGCGCCGGTCGTCCTCGGGGACGCCATGCTCTTCAAACGAAAGCGGGTCGTTCAAGTGATGAGTCGGTAGGGCCGGTCGAAACGGCGCGTGCCTCGCTTCTCGCGGCGCGGCGGTTGGGGTGCCCTCGTCGTAGCACTCCATGCTCGAGCTCGACTCCTTGGTCGACGGCGTCGCTGCTGTCGCGTACGGTACTCCCGAGAGCGCCGCGGCGACGCGCGCGGCCTCAGAAGGTACCGCCGGCGTTCGCGGTGGCCTCGGCGGCGGCGGAGCGGGGGCAGCCTCCTTCGCGGTGGGCGAACAGCTGCAAAACATGGCCTTGTCCACAGTGTGGTCCTTGGGGTTTGGGGTCCGAGGCGGCGGGGCTGCCCCAGCGATGGGTCCAGGCACGCGGAGAGGTGCGCGCTCAAGTTGGTTCACCCCTGCGCAGCCTCGCACGGGGAGTGGTGCGGCCAGTTGAGCGCAGAAAGCGCGTGGCGCTTGAGTGGCGGAGGTTGCTAGTGTCTTTCAGTCGCTAGCTAGCCGCAGCGCGTTCACTTTTCTAGCCAAAGCGCTCGTTCTTAGGTGGCTACAGCAAAGGCAGACGGTCTGCGACACACTCGAAGGCACATCTGTCGAAACCTGGAGCTGGAAGGCCGCGAGACTGTCTGTCAGAGCCAATCCCTCTGCAGCGCCATCAGAGCACTGAACAAAAAGCACGCCGTCGCCGCGCAAGCATAGATCAACACAAGATGAGCAAGACGCCGCCCCCGGGAGCCATCGATTATGAAGCCGCCTGCGCCTTGCTCGGCCTGCCCTGCGCGGCCGACCCGAATGAGATAGACGACGACCAACTTAAGAAAGCGTTTCGGAAGGCCGCTTTGAAGGCCCACCCCGACAAGGGCGGGAGCGACGACGCGTTCCGGCAAGTCAAGGCGGCGAGCGAGTGCATCGTGCGGGCGAAGAAGCACGGCATCGCTCATGCAGCCGATGCGGTCGACTCGGATGATGAAGAGAACAACTTTGAAGCGTTTTTTGATGAAGAGGGTGATGATATCATGGCCGAGATTATATTGAGGATGTACGAGATGGAAACGGGCAGAGGTGCTACTGGAAGTAAGCGGAGGAAGATCCGCGACTTGGTGGAGCGGTTACGACGATCAGAAGAGTCCAAAAGACTGGAGGCCGAGAAGCTCGCTCGAGTGGCTGTAGCGAAAGCTCAGAAAGCCAAAGAAGAGCAGCGCTTCTGGGCGCGCCAGGAGGCTTCTGGAAGTAGGTCGCTGCAGGAGGGCGGTGCGGGGTGCTATCTCCAGTGGGACCCCCGACAACTACGGAGAGAACTGCAAAAACGTCGGCTCAAACCGCCGCGACCGTCTACAACAAAAACGATGGCCGAGGAGTTGTTGAAAGACGATGAGAAGAAGGCGTCGCAACAGGCGGCCTCGGAGACGTCGCTCGTGTCTCCGGGCGCGGCACCACCACCTACACAAAAAAAGAAGCCCGTCTTCCAACGACCGCGCGACAAATTACGGGACAATCGGAGGCGGCGGGCCCAGGAGATTCTGAAGCAGCAGGCCGCGGAAAGCGCCGAGCGGGAGCGCGTCGAGACTCTGTATGTGGGCGCGGGGCTGTCTTTATTGGGACTGGCGGTCCTCATCTTCTTCCTGGACTTCCTCTTCTACGTCGGCTTCTGGCGGTGTTTCACGCCTCTGGCGGCGGTCTTCGGGGGCTACTTCTACTACGCGCTGGCGGCGGAGCCCCCGACGGCGAAGGGGGGCTAGCGTGTCCTAATGTAACTTGTTGTGATCTCGAGACATCGCGTCGATGGCGCTGGGACGCCTCCTTACGCGAGACAGGGACCTAGGCCATGGCGACGCACTCCGCCTTCGTCTTGGAGGAGGACCAGCCCTCCTTCACGGAATAAAATCCGGGCGGAGGCACGACCCACTCGAATTCAAACCCCGTCGCCGGGTTGTAGTAGAGGGGCGGCTCGCCGTCGCCATCGATGGCGGCCTTGACCTTGGCCAAATCGTCGGGGTCGTGCTCGACCGTTAAGGTGGGAAGGGCCTCGGGCGCGCGGTTGTCGGCTCCATGTAACTTGTAGACGTCGGCGTCGCCCGGCGGCTTCGCGTAGCAGTAGGCCGCGTCCGAACCCGCGCTCGGTAAATGAGCCAGCACAGCGGCGGCGTTGGCCGGCACGACCTCCTCCGTGAACGGTTCGACGAGTAGACAGTCGGGCACCTCGCCCTTCTTCGGGAGCGGCTTCAGTAAACCCTTGAGGAGGAGGCCGCGCTCGGACCGCGGGTGGACCTGCTGGCCGTCGGCGTCGAAGGGCCAGTCGGCCTGCGGTGCGCGTGAACGTGGGGCCTCGCGCGGGCGTCGACGCGTGGGGTCGCTCTCGCGCGGCGGCGGCGCGCGCTCCGGTCGTGTTTTGTGGGGTGCTGCCCTTGGTGTGGGTTGTAGGCGGCGCGGCGCGCGGCGCTGCTTCGTGGGAACGTACCTTGGGGTCTTTCTTGATGCGACGCGGCGGCATTGTGATCAATGGGGCTGCGCTCGCGCTGCTACTGTCCGCACAAGTTTGGTAGGGGACCAAGTTTGCAAGCTGAGGTTTGGTTTTATGTGTCCGACGGCCGATTCTGTTCTGCGTAGGCGTCTGGACGGGTGGCAGTAAGGCCACAGCCCTTTGCGAACGGTACCGCTGCTTGCTAGTGTCTTACAGCCCGCTACCTCTCTCGGCCCCGGCCGGCTTGCCTCAGCACGTTCTACGCATCGCTAGACGTGGTTGTGGGACCCACGAGTGACGTAGCAGACGAGCTATTCGCTGGTACATCACACCTGCGCAGCGCCGTCGACGCTCGGAGACCGCCGCACAACTCTCCCAGCCACCACTGCTGACAGTGACATCGCAGCGCAGACCATGTTACGCCGCGCGTGCGCCCGCCTAGCCACCCACGCGCGACAGCGGCCGTTGTCCGTTGCCTTGCGCGACGCCGCCGCGAGGACGCCGGTGAGATGCTTCTCCGAGATCGCCGGCCTCGACGACGTCGTCATCCTCACGGCCTCCGCCGCGAAGCGAATAGCCCAGCTGGAAGCCGACGGAAAACCAGCGAGATTACGTTTACAAATTGATGGCGGCGGCTGCTCCGGCTTCGAGTACAAGTTCGAGGTCGAACGGGCCGACGCTTCAATAGAAGAAGACGACCACGTCTTCACCCGCGACTCATCTTCTGTGGTTGTGGACGACTCGTCGCTGGAGTTCGTGCGGGGCGCGACGATCGACTTCCAGCAGGAGATGATCCGGTCGGCCTTTGCTGTTGTGGATAATCCGAACAGCGAGTCGGCGTGCGGCTGCGGAAGTTCTTTCGCTTTGAAGAACTTCGAAAGTAATCCGGCTATCGACTAATTACTCGGTCTACTATTGCTCTCACCGGGGCGAGGCCCTGTGTTCCGTCGACAACAATGTCGAAGGCCGCCGCGTACTTCGCCTTGCCGTCATCGGAAGGGTCGTTCAAGTACCCGATTTTCAACGCACAATCGAGAGAAGCGCCGCCTTCACTCATATTCGCGTCACCGAGACCGTCGCCGATCACAAGAGCGTTCACGAGGACGCCCTTGCCCTCATCCACCACAGACTGCGACTTGTTGTACATGTGGATCAGCGGCTCCGTGAAGCCCTCCAGCCAGCCGGCCTTCGGGTGGAACTTCATGCCGTTCGAGATGACCCGGATCGGGTCCCTGGAAGTGGGCTCGCCCGTGTTGACATCGGTCGGACTTTCCCATTTTGGTAGATTAAATAATTCTATCAAAGCTTCCTCCACGACGTCCTTCAGCCCCGCTGATAATATTTGCGTAGCGACCTCTCGTTGCCTTAGTAACGCTAATAAGTCAGCAGCCCCATCCCGAGCGAAGAAAGCACCGGAATCTCTAGCTTTTCTGACGCCGTCGGCGATCATGTCCCGCGACACGTACTCCTGGACCATCGTTAAGTGATTGGCCCGGTACCATTCTTCCATCAATGGTATTTTCTCGGATAGAGGCATGTTCAAGTTTTGCTCGATGGGATAGTAGTGCGCAAAAAGACGGCGCTCGACGTCGCGGAACGGCTCCGACAACACGCCGGCGACGACCTGGTGGGCGCTCGCGGACTTGGCGCCCGTTAAGGTGCGGTCGAAGTCGGCTATCACCGTCAGGTTCGACGGGCCGCCTTGTATCAATGCGCCGAGCTTGGCTGCGGCGGCTTGGGGATCAGCTATTATACAGCCGGCAGAGGTGAATTGCTGGACCAGCGCGGCGGCGGCGTCGATGTGGGCGGCCATTGCTGCTTGGCAACGCTGCTGCGCTCGCTGTTTGCTCAGCTGTGCTGTTTTTTTTTGCCAAGCGGAGCTCGTTGCTAGCGGCATGTAAGGCACTAGCAAACACAGCTTTTACCCATTACGCCTGCAAAAAGCTCCATTGGCCCTTATTCGTCGTCCACGCACTCAATCTGATCTTATCTCTTGCATACCATGCGGCAATTCGTGCTGTATTACGCGCTCGCGCTGTGCACTGCCACCCAGCCAGGCAAGCCTGCAGCACCGCCCAAATTCATCTACGCGACGAAGAATGAAGTAAAACAACAGCTGGCAGCCGCCAAGCGACGCCTCGACGCGAATGCAACAGATGTCCGCGCGAAACACGCCGTCGCGAAAATCCTGCGCGCGCTCGGTGACATCGATGGCGACGCAACGGCGCGCAACGTGGGCTTTGAGAACGCCACGGCGGCCTGGGCGCGCGCCGCGCACGTCGACGTCGAAGGCGCGGTCCACTACGCCTTACGGCGAGGCGACCACGCGGAAGCACAACGGTTGATCGGCGAACGACTTCGTGAAGTCCCGGACTGCCAGATAGCGCTCGAGTTGAGGGCGCTGGAGCGCCGCGCATTTGGCGACAATGCCGCGGCATCAAAATTCTACGACGAAGCCGCGGAACGTGCGACGGGCGCCGCGAGGAACCCCGCGCTGCTCCGGTCAGCGCTGGGCCGCGCGGCGAACGGCGACGTCGAGGGCGCGCAGCGCGTCTTCGAGGACCTTTGTCAAGGAAGCGACGACGCGGAGGCCTGGCGCGAATACGGTTTCTTCCTCGACGAGCGCATGGGAGATCGAGCAAGGGCGGTCGCGGCCCTGAAGCGGGCCGTGCGGCTGGACCCGAGCGAAGGGCAAGCTAGAGCGCAGCTGGCGAAATGGGGAGCTTTGGATGATGAGACCGATCGGACCGCGCGCCTCGACGACGCGTACGTCGGGGGTTTATTTGATCAGTTCGCGGCTTCATTTGATGAGACGCTGGTCGAGAAGCTCGGGTATCGGGGGCATCTGCAGTGCGCGGCGGTGCTCTCAAAGGCGCTCGAAGACGTCGAACTGAACGCCGATGTTAGTGTAGTCGATCTAGGCGCGGGCACGGGCCTCTGCGGCGCGCCTTTGAGAAAAGTCCTCGCCCCGAAGACGCCGCACATCACAGCGGTCGACCTGTCGACGCGCATGCTCGAGCGCTGCGCGGAGCGCGGCGACCACGACGCCGTTGTCGAGGGCGAGGCCGTCGACCATTTGCGGCGACTGCCGGCTGATAGCGTGGATATCATTGTTGCTGCTGATGTGCTTGCGTATATTGGCGACTGTGCCGAGTTATTTGGCGAAGCTCACCGGGTCCTGCGAGCACATGGTCGGTTGGTGTTCACGCTCGAGGAGGGCGACGCCGGCTTCGGCCTGGGGCCGGGCGGGCGCTTCGTCCACTCGGAGGCGTATTTGTACGACGCGGCGGCCGCGGCGGGGCTGCGCGTCGTGGCCCTGGACCGGGGGCCGATGCGTTCTCAAGGAGGAGCTCCTGTGGTCGCGCTGATCGCGGCGTTGGGGCCTGTTTCGTAAACGTGTTTGTGTTGTACCTTATCTTATTGTTACGGTGCTAGGGCTAGTCTGACGTCAGTTGTTGGGCGTTAGTGCCTCGTAGCGCGGGTTCCAGTACTCGGTAACTTTCCAGAACAGCTCGTTCGGGAAGGTCGGCGCGAAGAGGAGCGCGATTTCGCGCGGCGTTGTTCTGCGCGTCTGCGCTTTCCTCTCTCGTGCACGGCCGCGCGCTATCAGTGACCGGAGGCGGAGGAGCTCCTTCGGCGGCGCGCGAACGTAGCCCTTCCAGGTTGACCCGGCGGCTCGATACGGCGGCGAGCACGGCGGAGTCGAGCACTGGGTCGACGGCGATCACACGCTGCCGTCGCAAGCAGTGCATAAATCAAATTGTCGCACCCGACTCACTGGTTGATTTGTGCACAGGTCGCAAGACGTCGAGGCTCACTTCAGCGCGCGGCCGGCGGACGCGTCGCGTCTACGGCTGGCGAACTCGCGCATGTTCGGCACGAACGGCGCCTACGCGTCCGTGCGCGCGCGCATCGGCGACACGAGACGCATTCTTGATTTACGGACATCTGGGGAAGCGGCCGAGTGGTGCGGCGCGCACATCGCCTCCACGCGGAGGCGCATGGATCGGGCGTCGACCGTCGCGCCGTCGTCGCGGGCCTCGACGGTCGAGACGATCGAGACGCAGGACTCGACGACCGAGGCGCACTGACTGTCCCCTCTCCCCGCGGCCGTTCGTTTCGTTAAACCTGATATACATACTTTACTCCGAGTTGCCCTCCTCCACCCACTCGCGCTGCAGCCGCAGCGCCAGAACCTCGTCGTCCTCGGACTGGGAACCTAAGTCCTCCTCGCCGCGTCTGTAGACGTCTCGGGGCGTCCTCTTCGAGTATCTAACGTCAACCGAAGAGAAGCTCGCGCGCGAAGCGGTGTAATTATAAAGATTGATCTCGGTGAGTGGCCGGCGTGCAAAGTAGAAAGTCCGGCGTCCGTGACATTTATCGCCGGTCAGGCTCTTGACAGACACGTCCGCCGATCCCAAGACACCTCGCAGCACCGACCAATCGAACCGTAGCTCGACACTGTATATCTGACCAGGCTTCACGATCATGATGGGGGTTCCATTCTCGTCAGTACGATTCATGTTCCACCACTGGAGCTCGTACCAAGTCTCCTCCTCACCATCTCCGTTCCCTCGTATGCCACTCGGCTCAACAAGCAGGCCCGCGAATTCCCTCCCAGCCGGACCAAGACTTATAGCTGCGAAGCCTTCCATACTTGGCTCCTGATGAGAAACTTGCTCATTCACGTCTCTAAATTGGAAGCTGTAGGTGAGTCGCCGTATACACAAGAACTCGTCGGAATCGAGTCTTTTGGTTAAGCCGCCCCCGTGGTGATGCCCTCTGCTGCCATTCAGCGGATCTTCAGTATGGATTTGTAGGCAGTGCCACGGCCACGGGCCTCGATTGGCGATGTCTCTACTAGTATAAAGGGCGCGTCTGCAGCGAAAGGCGCCTTCGTGTTCAGGACGTTCAAGAGGCTCCCACGCCTCGAGACTGCTACCATCGAACCGCGACCAGCGCTCGTCCCGGCCCGTCCACCGAACGGCGTCGAGGAGCGCGCTCGTCGACGTGCGGATCGTGCCGGTCTGCCGCGCGATCAAGCTATACGTCCGCCACTGCTGGTCGCGGAACCGGCGCGAAACCCTGGGCACGGTCGCGATCGCTTTGAGGGGAAGCAATGCGAGCAGGGGCTCCACTAAATCGCCTTGCCAGAGCCGGAGTAGATCTGTGCTGCTCGAGCCAGCCGTGCGCTTGCCGAGGGATTGCTCCATTGCTATGCTTTGAGCGATGACTGGCCGATGAGCGTGTACAAGCTCGTTGTGTTGTTTGGCTTGGACCTGCTAGTGTCTTACACCGCTAGCTAGCTACGCTGCGGAGCTGCGACAATTGCGGCTTCGTGAGGCTGCAGCGCTGCGGACGAAGCAATTTGTCGATCATTCATCGAATCCAACAAAAATTTCGGCACCCGTGGCGGCACAGACCCAGCTTAGAGCCACAAGAAGAAATCACAGATCTTTTGGCAGCTTCCCTGCTCGCAGCAATCGTAAGAGCGTAAGGACATGTCAGCCCCACAGCTCGCGCGAGTCTCCATACTAGGAGTGGGCAAAATGGGCGCCGCGGCCGCGCGGCGCCTCGCGGGCCTCGGCTACGAGGTCTGCGTCTGGAACCGCTCCTCAGACAAAGCCCGAGCGCTCGCGTCGGACAGGATCACCGTCGCGGAAACAGCGCGCGACGCCGTCGAGGCGGCGGATCTGTGCATCGCATTATTGTCGACGACGGACGCCGTGCGACAAGTCGTCGAAGAGTGCCGAGGACCTTCGACGTTGGTGCTCGCCAACCTCGCGTCGGGCTCGCCCGACGACGGCCGCGCCGTCGCCGCGGCCGTCGCGGAGGCGCTGCCCAACGCGACATACGTGGACGGCGCCTACTGCGGCCCTCCCAGCGCCCTCGAGCAGGGCACGGGCCAGCTGTTCGTGTCGTGCGCCGGCGGCGAAAAGGCGCTCGACGCGCGGGCGGGCGCCGCGCTCCGGGCCTTGGGCGTGACGTCCTTCTGCGCGGGCGTCGGCGCCGCGCGCGCGCTGGATTATGCGGTCGTCGACATGGCCTTCGTGACGCTGATGAGCTACGCGTCGAACGCCGCGATGCTCGAGCGCGAGGGCGTCGACGCATCAGTAGCCGTGGCCGCCATAAGTCACCGCCTCGCCGCGGCGCCGGCGGCCCTCGAAGCCGCGGCCGCTAGGATGGCGGACCGGAGCGATGGCGCGTACGAATCTAACCCTACGGCGACGCTGGCGACGTGGCGGAACTTCTTTGATTCAAGGCGGCCCTACCTAGACAAGATCGGCGCGTCGCGCGTCCTCCCGGACTTCTGCATCGATGTTTTGGACCGGGCCGGCGCGAGCGGTGCTCACGGGGGCGCCGACGTGACGCGCGTCCAGGAAGTGCTGCGTTATAACGACGGTTAAAACCCCCAAACTACTAGCATATCCCGGCGACCGGATATGTCATGGATATGTCATGGATACGTCGCTGCTCCTTTTAGGGCCAGCGCCTAGTCGATCTTGTCCACGTCATGAGTGGTAGGATCGCCAATTGCCAATTTATATAATCCAATAATGATGAGGTAGGTCCAGAAGGCCTGTAAGGCGCTCAATAACAGGTTGACGGTGCAGAACGTGATGACCTCCAGCGCGTCATTCGGGTAGTGTGTCAATGAGGCGCTCCAGAAGTGGTAACTGACGTAGGGCCAGTAAAACGTCCGCAACACGAGAAAGCAGACGCAGAAGAAGGGTCGTATCAACTCATTCGAGACCGGATATCTCTTCTTCACGTCGGGGAACATCTTAAACAAGTCGAGGAAGACGAGCGGTAAGGAACTTAATTCCGAAACTCCAAAAAAGTACGTCCCGTAGAAAAAGTAAATATTTTTGTTCACGGCCAGGCACGCTAACAACAATGCTAACGCGTGGTGCGCGACCATCTCAAACGTTTTTCCTCGCAAGCGTTTGACTCGCGCCGCACAGGCTAGTTCATATAATTGAAAGGGGATCTGTAAAATGCAGCACCGGATGCCGTTGGCGTGTGCTTCAGCATAAACGCCCGGCGTCGTGCCGACGTCTTCGTACATGGACCGCCAGGCATCTACACCTAATACCGCTAGGATTAGGAATGCTACGGCCTGCGGGACGACGTGCGCGGCGATGTCGCTCAGACCCGCTAAGCGTCCTGCTCCGTGGAGCCCGCACAACAGGGCGCCGAACTTGTAGGCGTCGGCGGCGTAGTCCATGGCTTTGCTTGTTGCTTGCTCTGTGTAAAGTGATGCTCTGCACTTTATGCTGCTCTAGCCGTCCAGAAAGCTAGCGTTCGTAATGTAGCGGTCGTCGGAGGTGTTGTCCGAGGCCTCTCGCTGATGCGTTGGTCAATCTACGCGGAGCACGCGGCGCGCAAAGCACAGCCTCTCGCAAGCCGGCAGAGCCGGATCGACCGCCTGAGAAACGCACCTCTCTACACCGCAAGAGCCTTCCCTTGGAGCCCTGGACACCGATAGGCCACCGTGAAGATCCGCATGCAGCTCGCATGTTGCAACTCTTCCGCCGCCGCGCATCTCGCTCTGCGGCTCCAACGCCGCCGCTGCGCAACCACGCATCGATTCACCGGTGCGACGTGAGCCCTTCATTAGCTCGCTTGCGAACGGGCAGCAAGGGGCAGCCCGATCCAGCAGCCATGCAGATCTTCGTCAAGACGCTGACGGGCAAGACCATTACGCTGGACGTCGAGCCGTCGGACACCATCGACAACGTCAAGCAAAAGATCCAGGACAAGGAGGGCATCCCGCCGGACCAGCAGCGCCTGATCTTCGCCGGCAAGCAATTAGAAGATGGAAGAACCCTGAGCGACTACAACATCCAGAAGGAAAGTACATTACACTTGGTGCTGCGGCTGCGCGGCGGCGCCGAGGACGAGGGCGGCACGTGCTTCAAGGTCTGGAACTGCGTGGAAATCAAATTTCAGGCGTTGGCCTTATCGACGCGACGTTGTCCTTGGAACTGCGTCTGCTCAATGGCGTGAAGCTATCGACGCGACGTTGTCCCCGTTCCTGCGGCAGCTCGATGGCGTGGAGGTTCACAAAGGTCTCCGCAATCATTCTCAGGTAACCTAACTCACTGGCCGATTCCACACAGGTCTGGAAGAAGGCCCGGACGACGGTCCTCGTGCACAAGTCGCCGAAGCTGCAGATGATCGACGACCCGAAAGTGGTCATAACGCAGTACGCGGTGAGCGCCGTGGTGATCATCTACTTCCTGTTCAACATCTTCCAGAACTTCGGGTACATGAAGCTCGAGACGCCCTACGGCAGCACGAACATGTGGGCCGGGGGCTACGACGCCAGCAACGACGCGGGCCTCTGCTCGCGGCTCGCCGACTATGATTTCAAGTATTCCGACGCCTGGACGTACTACGACAACAAGTGCCGCCAGTTCACCTACGGCGAAGTGATGCGTAAACTCGAGGACGGCGGTTTTTATATACAGACCTACGTCCAGGACGAGGTGTCGACGTACACTGACTGCGGCGACAGCGCGACCGGCTGCCAGAACGTGTCTACCGTGAAGACGAACTACTTCGTGCCCGGCGTCGACGACATCGAGATCTCCGTCGAGCACGGCTTTACGGCCGTACAGCGGGGCGTGTCGAAGCTCATGCCAAAGACGACGGTCTGGAAGAAGTCGGGCGACTGGGAGGGTAAGAAAGACGACGACGCCGAACGACAATTCAACGAGAAGAAGCCGTTCGCCATGACGCTCAAGGAGCTGCTGAAGCTCGCCGGCGTCGACTCGATCGACGCGCCGAACCACGCCGGCGCGGTCGCGGGCAGCGTGGGCGTGCCGACCTACCGCATGACGGGCATGGTCATCGAGCTGCAGATCGACTACACGAACAAAATCCCCGGATACTACGAAGGGAGCGAGTACGTCGCGCGGGCGTCGATCGCCAAGGCCCCGATCGGCTGGGCCGGCCTGGGCGGCGCCACGGACTTCACGGCGCACGCGACGCCGTCGGCGGGCAACGCGGACGGCAGCTTCGAGACCTACGAGTCCTACTCGTACGGCGTCAAGATCGTCGTCGCCGCGACGGGCGAGATCGGCCACTTCGACTTCTTCTTCCTCATGGCCGTCGTGACCCAGCTACTCGTCTACTGGGGCCTCGGCGTCATCGCCGCCGAGTTCGTCGCGTCGTCGTTGCTGGGCGAGAAGCTGTGTGGAAATCAAAATTTTACGGCGCGTTCGTGCTGAATCGTCGCGTCGACCTCCACGCCATCGACGCGACGCCTGCTCGATGGCGTGGCGATGCCGGTTCCTCGCCGCTCGACGGAGCCAGCGCGGCCGCGTCATCGCCGAGAAATGACTTAGTGAAGAATTATCGGGTGCACCCGACACACTGTTTGATTTCCACACAGGCGAGAAGTCCGTGGACTACGTCGACGACCAGCGCGACTACACGCACTGCGTCAACCACCCCGAGTCGACGCGCGGCGAGCGGCCCGCGCACTGGACGAACCGCGAGGGCTGGGACAAGGACGACAAGCCCAAGAAGGGTGATCCCGGGTCCATCGCCCGGGGCCTCGGAGCCCTCTAATTACCCCCCCCCTCGCGCGATCAATTCCTCTCGTCGGTCGGAGGCCCCAGGCCCCCCTCTCATCGGTCGGAGGCCCCTAGGCCCCCCGTCGCAACTAAGTACCTTTATCCCCGACGCCGTCGCTGCGACGAGGCCCCAGCCCTCGTCGCACGCACGCGAAGCCCACGTAGTAGATAATAGTTACGCGGGAGGGGGCGACGCACCAAGCCTAGCGCGGCACGTTCGACGGCGTCGGCTTCGGCGGCGGCGCGGGGATGTGCGACGGGTGGACGTGCTCGTAGTACAAGTCGTTCGTGTCGACGGCGCCGATGAACTCCCAGCCCGTCTCCTTCATGTGGTAGAGGTTGTTCCAGCCACCACTGTAAGCATCTCTATGGGCGGCTCCCGCGATCGCTCTCCGCCCGAGATCAATGGCCTCCTCCACGGTTAAATCAGCTCTCAAATGGGAGTCGATCACTCCATAGGCGTACGTCGAACCGGACCCCACACAAAAGGCGTCGCCCTTAAGTCGCGTCCCGTCGTCGTCCACGTAGTAGAGCTGCGGCCCACTCTCGTCCCAGCCGCAGACCATCGTGCCCATGGACAATCCGCGCCCTCTATATTGATACATCGTGTTCGCGAGCATCTTACTGGCGGCGGCCACCGACACTCTACGCTTGTTCCGGAGCTCAAACATGCGGCACTGCGTCCCCAAATTGCGCTCCCAGAAGGCGCAGTCCGCCGCGCCTCCCGCCATCGTTCCTAATAAAAATGGATTGATTTCTATCACTTTTTTGACCGTCTGCGACGCGATGTAGGGGCCCATCGTACTTCTCGAATCGACGGAGATGATGACGCCGCCGTCGAATTTAAAAGCTAAGGTGGTCGTGCCCTTCGCAAATTGTACTTTTTGATGGTTGTCGGTACCGTAGCCGACGCCGAAGTTGTCTTTGCTAAATTGCGCGGGGTCGGGCGTCGGGGCGAGCGCGAAGCGCTGGACGTTGAGGCCCAAAATGTCCTTGGCGTTCGTGGCGTCGTCTTCTTTCGGCCGGGCGCCCGCATCTAACATGCGGTCGATGGCGAGGGCGGCCATGTTTGTTTTTGCGGCGCGCGGCGGCTGGCGCGGCGGCTGAGTCTATTTCTATTTCTACGGCTCGGCGCGCGCTGAAAGTTGCTGACAGCTTCTGAGGCTATCGCACGAGTACTGTCGTGGCTGCGCGGTACGAAGTGAGCGCTCTACGTGGAGTTTACGGCCCCGCGAGTCCGGCGGCCTCGTTGCTAGTGCCTAACTGACGCTAGTTGGCATGGATTATGATCGAGGATTGAAGTCGCCATAACTCGTTCACCAGGCATTGACCTTGCATAGCTAGATACTCCAAGCAGTGCTGCGTCGAGTGAAGTCGTTACTGAAGCAATGCTGTGGCGTTTAGCAGTTCTCACCACCGCTGCACATGCGCTGGCGCCGAAGCGCTACCGCTTGCGGCCACGCAACGCCGTCGATCCCATTAGACCTGAAATAGGAAGCCCGGCGCCGCTCGTCATCAATGCTCTGGTTGCGATGGAGCGCGGCGCGTCCGCGCGGGCCGCGGACGCGCCGGAGATTGCTGTGGCGGTGCAGGAGATGAGGCCGAAGCTGCAAGAAGTGCTCGTGAGCACGTGCGCCGACGAGCCGTGGATCGCCAAGTACAAGGAGGAGGGCCGCTTCGGACTACCGCTGAGTGACGTGGACCCGTTGGTCACGATGCAGCGCAACGAGTGCCTCCTCGCCCTGTATTTGTTGGCGCGGCACCCCGACGGCGTCTCCGTTGATGACGGCGCGCCTCTCTTAAAAGCGGAGGACTTCCTGGATCAAGATAGACTTGACGTCGTGATGGCGGGAGCGTTGGACTTGGACCTGTAACAGTTACTGTACTAGTGTCTTCCTTTGGGGTGTCCCATGCCTCTGCCCTCTGTCCGCCCGATCACCCAGGCTCCTGACCCCTACCACCGAGGTACGAAGTATAAGGTACCATACCGATACCTACCCGGCGGCCGATTTGATCCGTGCCGGTTCTCGCGTCAAACGTGAGAATCTGTGGCAGCGAACCGCCTCCCGTGCTGTCGACGTCGCGGTTCCACTGCTGCGCCGAGTTCATCCGCTGGCGAGCGCTCAAATTCAAAGCCCAGCACCACCCGCTGCCTTGTGCTCTGAGCAGGATCTTCTCGCAGACGCAGTCGACGGGATGTTCGAGCACAGCGAATCCAAACCGATCCTCGCACAGCATGGTGCGTCGAGCGACGCCCTCTCGGAGACCGAATTAGCAAGAGCGGCGTCGTTTGCCGGGCCGCGCCGCGCCAGCACCACAAATCTAGAACAGTCCTTGCAGGACGCCGGGAGCAGCAGCGGCGGTAGCAGCAGCCCGCGGTCGCGGAGCAGTATTGCGCCCGCGACGATTGTGGAGCGCGGCGCCGGCGTCTGCATCGGCGCGCTGCTCAACCTCATGTTGTGCGTGCCCTTTGCTTTAGCTTATTTCCCGATCGAGTGGCACCCTTTCCCTGTCCCCAGAGCGATGGGCTGCAGCATGTACTTTTTGAGCACCGTCATTGCTCAAATAGTACTGACGTTCCAATCCGGGTTCGCCACCGCGCAAGGGCAGATGATGGTCGAGAACGTTCGCGACCGTGTCGAAATTTTCGGAGAGGTCCCGAGACGTCGCGTCGATGGCGTGGGGGGGGACCCGATTCATCCGCGCAGATCCCGTTCATGCACGCCATCGCCACGGTCGCCATGGAGCACCAAGGGCTGGGCGAGGACGCGCTCGGCACAGTGTTAATTATTTGGACCGTCGGCACGCTCTTCGTCGGCGCCGCGTTCTTCGCTCTCGGATATCTGAAAGTAGGGTCGATCGTCTACCACATCCCGAGACAAGTTATTGTCGGTTGCATCGGCGGCATTGGCATTTTTTTAGTGAGAACATGCTTCGAGGTCTCTACCGGCCTCCCGTTCGGGCCCGAGTTGTTGGGAAGCGTCTGGCCGCTCTGGGGGTTGAGCGTCGCCTACGAGGTCGGCCTCCGCATGTTGCTGCGCTGCGACGGCGTCACGCGGCGCACAGGACCATTGCTAGCTCCAATCTACTTTTTGGGTATCGTGCCCACGTTCTACTTACTGCTGTTCATGCGCGGTGGTAACGTGCACGACGCCCGCTCGAATTACTTCCTCTTCCCGAACACGCCGGACGTGTCGCCTTTCCTGCCGGTGGAGGTTATGGCACAGACCGTTCGACGCGGTTCTTTCAGTTGGCGCGCGTTCGTGAAGGCGCTACCGACCACGGCCATGCTTGCTATCTTTGCCCTCATGCATGTCCCTATTAATATCCCCGCGTTGGCCGCCACGGTCCACGTCGACTACGACTTGAACCATGAGCTCAAGCTCCACGGCGTGTCGAACCTCGCGAGCGGCTTGGTCGGCGGCCTGCCAAATTATCTGGGCTATTGCAACTCGGTGATGTACGCGCGGTGCGGGGGCGGCGGCCGGGCGGCCGGGGCCGCGCTGATCGTCGTCGAGGCGCTCTCGGTTGCTTATGGAATGCGTGTGGTACCTTATGTCCCGAGGTGCCTGGCGGGCTGCCTCATCCTCCACGTCGGCCTCGACCTCGTCAAGGAGGCGTTGTATGATTCCCTAGGTGCGTTTGATTCATTGGAATATGGCTGCATCGTGGCGATTGGCTTCGTGATGACGGTCTTCGGCTTCTCTTCTGGTCTGCTCTTCGCGCTGGTCGCGTCGACGCTAATCTTCACGATTCAACAAGCCGTGCACGGCAACCCCGTCCGGGGCACGATGCGCGGCACGACGTTGAGATCCTCAAAGTGGCGCACGGCAGCAGCACGAACAGCCCTCGACCACGCCATGGGCGCCGTGCTGGTGGTACAGGTCGTCGGGACGTTGTTTTTCGGGAACGCGACGGAGTTGAAAGAACGCGTCGCCCGGGAGCTCAAACTCGACAGGAAGGTCACGGTCCTCGTTTTGGACTTTACCTTGGTGCGGTCGATAGACGCGTCCGCCGCCGAGACCGTCGGCTCCGAGATCTGCGCGATTGCCAAGCGCCACGGGGCCCGTGTCTGCTACGCGTCGGGCCGCGCCGACGGCTTCCCGACCGCGGCGCCGATGACGGAACGCCTTTTAACAGAGCAGGTCCACGTCGCTCGCGATTTAGATGCTGCAATATTGTGGGCTGAGAACGTGCTCCTCGCCATTAAGGGTGGACCGACCTCTCCGCTGCGGCCGCCCAAGTCGCCGGAGCTTGGTGCGCCTGCTTCACAGCTCGCGGTGCTGATGCCGTCGCTGTCGGCGCGGGACCGCGATTCTCTAGCGTCGCATTTCAAGGGGCGACGCCTGTCGCCCGGCGAGGTCTTATGGAGGCAGAACGACCCCGCCACATCGATCGTAATAGTAGCGGCCGGCGCGCTCGTGTCGACCCTAGAAGACGTCGACGAGGAGGTCTCCGCGGGCCAGATGTGCGGCGAATCGGCGGCATTAACAAAGGCTAGGAGAGCCTCAACAGTGGCCTGCGCCGCCGACGGGCCCGCCCAGGTCTACGTCCTCGGGTCGATCGCGCTCGCCGCCCTGCCGGCCGAGCTCAAGCTCGAGTTGTGTTTACTATCGATGCGCTACATGAGCCACCGCCTCGACCACGTGGCCAACCGGATCTGGGAGACGCGGTGCGTGTCGATTTGAGTAAGTGTGCTGTTATGTGACGCCTACTCGTCCTTGCCCGAGCGCTGCTTCCCGCCGCCGCTGCGCGAGATGACGCCGTCGGGCGGATACCTGTCTGGTTTGTTATGGGTCGTGGTCCTGATGCACGTCGCGGGCGGCGTGGCGTACTACCGGGCGTACGCGCACCTGAAGAAGCAGACGAAGGTCGTTTGAGGTCCTCCCCGCGTGGCCGCGGGCGCCGCGACCCTGGGGTCGCCGGCGGGCCGCACGGACGGCGTCGAGTGGTTCGGCTGGGTCCTGGCGCTGATTGGCGCATTGGTGTGCATGACGGGCTGCGAGCTCTACAAGTGCTACGTGAAGCACTTCGCGCCGCCGCCGATCTGATCTGATGAGTGGGCGGCTCGTCCCCTCTCCCCGCGCCCCCCCCCCGAGCCGCCCCGTGTACATAAGCAGATATTCATAGTTCCTCTCTCGCCTGTACCCGCTCAGGCTCCTCGTCGCTCGACGGCGCCCGGCGCACGCGTCGATGTCGCGCGCAGGTCACCGAGGGCGCGCGCGACCACGGCTCGAACCACCACGGCGATACCGCCGTGTGCCTCTGCTGCTGGGTCGACGCGGTGACGGGCGGCGCCTCGAAGCCCGACGACCTGTGGTACTACTCCATAAAGTACGACGACGGCGAGGAGGAGCACAAGGTGGGCCCGGCGCGGATCTTCCGAACGAATGGTGCGTCGGGATTCCCGCCGCCGCCAGGAGCTAATTTACAGAGGGTGCGTTATATAGACCTCGGGCGGGGGGGGGGGGAGGGGAATTGCGCGCCGGGTCCAACTAGTAGTAGGTCGACTTCTCGATCCAGCCGGCCTGGCGCTTGATCGCGCCCGTGACCGCGTCGACGACCTCGGGCGACGTCGCCCGCATCATGTACTTGCGCGTCTCGTCGTACCTGCGTTTTCGTGTGGTTGAGGTCTCCTCTCGTCCCTGCTCTCGCGCCCGGCGGCGTCGCCGCGTCGGCGTTGTCCTCTCGTCCCTCGACGCGGCGTGCTCCCGCCCCGGCGCCGTCGAGGCGAAAGAGAATAAGTAAAACGCCGCGGCGTACATGAAGATCATCATGGACCAGGGCACGCCCGGCATCCAGTGCGTGAACCTTATGGGTTGCGTGCCGAGCACCTGTGTGGAAATCAACCAGTGTGTCGGATGCCAAGTCATTGCTCGGCGATGGCGCGGCCGTCCTGGTCGAGCAATAAAGAACCGGCATCGCCACGCCATCGAGCAGGTATCATGAAGATGGCGTGGAGGACGACGCGACGCTTCAGCACGAACGCGCCGTAAAAATTTGATGTCCACCCCGCCGAGCACGCTAAAAATACCGCCGTAGCACAGCCAGGCGGCCAATAACGTCTCGAAGAAGAGCCCGAAGTTCAGGACCGAGTTCCGCAGGCCCTGCTGCTTGATCGACAGCCAGCGCGTCTTGCAGATCAACAGGTCCGCCCACTGCACGACCACAATACTGACCCAATACGCGGCCTGAGAATGCATCAAAGCGTTCTTCTGGACCATGCGCGAGGCCACGTTCTGGCACTGCTTGATCGTGCGGTCCTCGGCCTTGGGGTGGGCCGCGATGTCGGCCGCGATCTCCGCCGGGGACGCGGACTCGCAGTCGGGTCTGCAAGAGGGAACGCCGTCCGTGGGCTTGCAGTAGAAGAGGTTGGCCGTCACGTCGTCCAGGTCCGCGCAGCCGGCGCCGCCCTTCGCGTCGCCGTTCGCGTCGTAGCCGCCGTTGCAGAAGACGGCGTCCTTGTACCACGTCCGGTACTTCGTCTCGCCCGCACAGGTCGTCGGCAGGTCGACGTGTTCCATCTTGACGCCCTTGTAGAGCTGGTCCATCTTGGGCAGCTTCACCAGGTCCGAGTCCGTCTCCTTGCCCTGGAGATTGCCGTCGTTGCCCAGACAAACGCTCCAGACGCCCGGCGGCTGGCCGAGGAAACTGAAGGTTGCCGCCTTCTTGTTGTTCTTGTATCCCAATACGCCGGCCTTGGCGCCCTTGGCCAGTTTGAATTCGCTCCGCGTGATGTCCCAGGCGAGCCACTTGCTGTCCCAGAACTCCGACATGCGGCCGCGCCAGGGCACATATTCAAAATACTTCTGGGACTGCAGGGCGTAGATCGACTCGACCGTCGGCAGGGGCTGGCCGTCCGTCCTCCGCTTGTAGGTGTCCGCGTCGCGGTAGTCGAAGCCGCCGCTCCACGTCTGACCGGCCTTCGGGGCCGCGCGCCGGCCGTTAAAGTTCTTCGCCGCGAAGGAGCAGGACTCCAGATAGCCCGCGTCGCCTCGATCCCACAACGGGTACTGCCTTCTCGGGCCGACCTCCGACGGGTCCCTTCTCAATCCAGCTCCGACGCTGACGGAGCCGGCCCACGGGTCCTTGTCGCCCGCGATGACCTGGCCCTCGTCCACCTGACCGAGGGCGTTCACGTACTGGCCGCCCTTGAACTTGCAGTACATGACCTGGTCGGCGAAAAACCCTAGCTTGCCCGTCGGCGCCGTCGCGCCCGGGTTGCCCACCAAGACCACCGGAGGAAATCCATAGTCGTTCAGGACGAGCATCCACGCGTAAAAACCGGCCAGGGCCTGCATGACGCCTATTTGTAGATAGGCGAGGCACATGAGTTTCCCGGTCACGAGGTGGTCCGTGGCCTGCGTGAAAGTTCAAGTTATACTTCAATTCGGGGTCTCTCGTGGTCGGAGCGAGGTGCGGCTCTCTGGATACGGTCGATTGTATCGAAGGGGCGTCGTGTCCGAGTTTGGGCCGAAACCAGGGCCGCGGTGCCGAGATCGCGAGACGCGACCGCTCGCACGCGGCGAGAAGCGAGGATCGCGTCGATGGCGTCGAACGACGCTCCCAGACGCCGTCGACGCGAAGATAACCTGACTCACTCGTCGATTTCCACACCGATAGCATGCGGCGTTGCGCGGCGGCCGCTTCATGATGTCCGCTTCCGCATCTTCATACGCCATGGAGATGGCCGGGACCATGTCCGTCCCCAAGTCGATCGCCAGGATCAGCACGGTGGAGAGGGGCATCGGCGTGAGGAAGACGATCCAACAGAGAAACGGCGAGATCTCGGGGATATTTGAGGTTAATGTATAACAGATGGACTTCTTGAGGTTGTCGAAGATCAAACGCCCTTCCTCGACGCCGGCCACAATACTCGCGAAGTTGTCGTCGAGGAGGATCATGTCCGCCTGCGTGTGGCGGCGGTTTCGCGTGTTGCCGCGGTGTTTGGGCACTCTCGCGGCGTCGACGCGACTCGTGTCCGTCAGACGAGGTGGTGGGTGGTTTTATTTCCGATTTCGAGTTGATTCGGACCGACATCGTGACTCCGGCTCGACACGGTCCGAAATGGCTCAGATTCGAAAAATAAACCACCAACGACCTCGTCTGATGGATACGAGTCGCGTCGATGGCGTGAAGGCGCCTCTACACAATGGGACGCCGAGATACGCACGGCGTTCTTCGTGACCGGCGTGCCCGCGATGCCCATCGCGACGCCGATGTCCGCCTTCTTGAGCGCCGGCGAGTCGTTCACCCCGTCGCCCGTGACGGCGACGACGTGGCCGACGCGCTGGCAGTTGCCCACGATGACGAGCTTTTGTTGGGGGCTCGTACGAGCAAACACGATCTGCGGGTGCGCGAGGATCGCGTCCCACTTCGCGACGGGGTCGTCATCACTAATCTCCCAGCCCGGCACGACGATGGCTTGCGCGAGGGCCGGGTCCTGGTAGCCGACGTCGCCGGGCTGGAGGCCTGCGTCGTACAGATGCGTTGACTCTCGTGTGATGATCACGACGGCGTCGAGGCGGCGCGGCATCGCGTCGACGCCGTCGCGGCGACCGCGTACTCTCTGACACGCCGCACGGCCCTGACGCGGTCCGAATCGGCTCGAAATCGAAAAACAAACGACCCACGTCCACCACTCCCGGAGACGAGTCGCGTCGATGGCGTGAAGGCGCCTCTACACTTCAAAACGCGGAGAGCGGACCTTCGGCCGCGTTCATCTCCTCGATCTTCCGCGCCGTCGGACTCCAGAGGATGCCCACTTTGTACGCGATGGCCTCGGCGGTGCCCGGGTGGTCGCCGGTGACCATGATGACCTTGATGCCGGCTGTTTTGCACTTCGCGACGGCGCCCGGCACGGCCTCGCGCGGCGGGTCGACGAGGGCCATGAGTCCCAGGAAGATCAAGCCTTCGCCCGACTTCGGGTGGGGCGGATCTAAGGGCTTGCCCTTGTCGTCGACCATGCCGGCCTTGTACGACGCGAGGGCCTTGGATTCGCCTGCGTGTGACACATGTCACTTCCATCATTCCTGGAGACGAGTCGCGTCGGGACGCCGGGATGCGCCGAGCGGGAAGTTCGCCGTGCTCTTGCCCAAATCTCTCCCGTCGGACCAAGGGTAGGCCTTGCCGTAGGCCTTGATCGGTAAGGTTTTCGTGCAGAAGCCTAGCACGCGTAAGCCGTTGTTGCCCATGGCCATCTGGGCCTTCTCGACCTCACTGCGCAGTTCTTGAGTGAACTCCACAACGCGACCGTCGCCACACATGTACTGCGTGCACCGATCAATAATACGTTCGGGGGCGCCCTTCATGTAGATCGTCCGGTCCTTGTCGTCATTCTCGGGGTCCGGCGACTCGCAGTGCACGTGGACCTGCGCGGAGCATCGCGGTCCGATGTGGCATCGCGTCGGCGGCGTCCTGACGACCACGTAGACTCTCGTGGGATCACGGCGATGACGTCTCGTGAAGACGCCATCGACGCGTGACACGCCGCGACGGCCCCGACGCGGTCCGAACGGCCTCAAACTCGAAAAAGAAACCACCCACGGCATCGTGAGATGGAGACGAGTCTCATGGACATGACGGGACGCCGCGGCCGCGCCTGGTACTTGTTCTTGCTGTTGAAGGGGATGTCGAAGACCTTGCCGAAGTCGCGGCGCATCTCGTCCACGTCTCTTTTCCCGAAGCAGGCCTGGATCGGGCCGCCCTGGGCGAACTTGATCATGGCGCCCTCCGACGCGTTGCCCCGCGTCTTCCAGAGGATTTCCGTGATCGTGGAGCCGTCGCCCTGGACCCGGACCTTGGAGAAGGGTAACAGGACTCTTTTGCCCGTCACCTCGTCTTCGAAGTACTTGTCGAAGTTGCACGTGTTGCACAAGGTACTACACTTGACCAGGGCCTTAAAACCCGCACTTTCAGTATCAAAGGTCGAAATTCCTTTGGTAAATGAGGACCCGGCGTCCTGGATCTTGGGCGCGCCGTTCGTGTCGTAGACGACTTGCGCGACGGTCATGATGTTCTGGGTGAGCGTGCCCGTCTTGTCGGAGCAGATGCAGGACGTGCTGCCGAGCGTCTCGACGCCTGTGTGAAGACGCCATCGCCGCGACCGCGACTCTCTCGCGAGGCGCCTGGGCGCTCCGGCGGCCGCGTCGACGGCGTCACGGTGACTCTCTGACACGCCGCGGGCCCCGACGTGGTCCGAATCGGCCCAAAATCAACAAAGAAACCACCCACGACGTCGTCTGATGGACACGAGTCGCCTCGATGGCGTGAAGGCGCCGCAGCACCGCGGAACGGCGAGATACGACGCTGAGCCCGCACCCTCCAAGTTCTTGACCATGACCTTCTTCGTGTACATCCTCTTCGCTGTGAGAGTGAGACAGACGGTCACCGTCGCCAGCAGCCCCTCGGGCACCTGCGTGGCACGACGCCGTCACGACACGACCGCGACTCTCTCACGAGGTGCGTGGGCGCTCTGGCGACCGCATCGACGACGTCGAGGCGGTGCGGCATCGCCTCGACGCCATCGCCGCGACCGCGCACTCTCTCTCTGCCACGCCGCGACGACGGCCCCGACGCGGTCCGAAATGGCTCGAAATCCAAAAAGAAACCACCCACGTCGTCGTGAGATGGCCACGCGTCGCGTCGATGGCGTGAAGGCGTCTCTACACGACGGGACGCCGAGATACGCACGTTGGCCACGATGATCCCAATCATAAAAACCAATGAAGTAACGGCGTCTTGGCCCATGCCGAGCGCCGCGGCAAAGAAACTAATACCAAGGGCAAACGCGATCGCGGAGATGATCTGGATGAAGTGGTGGATCTCCTTATTTATTGGCGTCTGCTCGGCTTCCGTGGAGAGGGCGAGCTGCGCGATCTTGCCGATGACCTGTGCGGAGACTCTCGTGTGATGATGACGGTCCGAATTCACTCAAAATCAAAAAAGAGACCACCCACAACATGATACGAGTCCCACCAACAAAGTGAAGGCACCTTTACCAGTCAAGACGCGGCGAGCGCACGGTGTTGTCCGCGATCTTGACGACGACGCCGACGCAGGAGCCTTCCGGCACTTGCGTGCCGAAGAAGCACAAGTTCGCCGTTTCCAACGGGTCCGCGTTCGTGCATTCCGGCTTGCGCTTGATCGGATCCGATTCTCCAGTTAACGAAGAATTGTCGACGCACATGTTCGGCGAGCATTCTAATACTCTTATATCAGCCGGGACTAAGTCTCCTTGTTCTAACTTGACGATGTCACCAATGGTAATCAAAGCCGCGTCCACAAAGCTGACTTCCCCGCCCCGCACGACGGTCACGCGCGGCGGCCGCATGGACTTGAACTCGTTCATCATGTTGTCGGACTTGGCGTTTTGTAAATAGGAAAACACTCCGGTCACCGTGACGACGCAGAACAACACGACCCCAAGGTAGAGGTTGTCGGCCTGCGGCAGCATGCCGTAACTCACGAAGCAGGCCACGCCGGCCGCCCACAATAATAAGTTGAACTCGCCCGTCATCTCGTCCATGAACTTGACCCACTCCGGCGTTTTTGGTGGGGGGGTGAGCTCGTTCGTGCCGAACTCGGCCAAGTTCGCGGCCGCTTGCTCCGGCGTCAGGCCCCTCTCTTGACTGGTCTTGTAGCCCTTCAGCAGGTCCTCGAGCTCGACCTGGTGTTCCGTCATGGTGACGTTCTGTCGGAGCTTTTTAGCTTGTTCTTCTTTCGCGGCGCCGCTGGCGGAGCAGCCCTTCTGGTAGAGCTTCTCGAACCAGCCCATGGTGGCCTGCGCGGGGGGCGGGTCGCGGCGGCGGCGTGGGGGGGCGCTTGGCGGAGGCGTTGCGGCCGCGGCGGGGCGCGCGGCGCGCGCGGGGCGGCGCCGGGCGCGGGCGCCGGCGGCGCGGGGTCGGGCGTGCCGGGCAGCGCACGGGCGGTGCGCGCGCCGCCGGCGCGCCGCCGCGCGCGGGCGCCGCTTGGGGCTTGGTGAGGAAGGCTTTTGCGCCACGCCGCGGCGAGGCCGGGCAGCCCCGCGCTCGGCTTGGTGGATCGTGGACGCTGGGAAGGGTACGGTGTCGGTCGCGGGCAGCCCCCTTCGCAACCTGGCGCTCTACTTCCTCTGAGCGCAATGGCGGAGACGGCGAGAGGCCGGGGCTAGTGTGATGCCCTCCTCGATCTCCGAGTTGACGCGGCTATTCTAGGCGTCCGGCGACAGTTCGGGCCGGCGCGCGAGCCTTCTATACGCGTGGGGTGCGTTTTTGTTGCCATTGTGTGGTGCACATTCGCGCGCGCTAAGAGTGGGCATTTGCTCCCCAAGCCGGCGTAAGGGTGGGTCGCCGCGCTTAGTAACCCTGTCATGCGTGCGTACACGCCCGGGAAACTTAGTTGAATTCAAAGGAATACGTGCGGGATTAAGGAAAACATAATCCGACTGCCGATACTCTGGCAGTCCGTGCGCGGCGCCAGTGCACTGCTGTTGCACGCAACTCCCGCAGAACACTCTGAGCGACCCGTTCCTTGCTGCCCGCTCCCAAAAACCCCGGCGGAATTGCGTGTTTTTGCTGCCAAGCCCCCACTTCAAATTTTGTCTCAAGGAGCAGCATGGCAACCGTGCTGCCTAGCTTCGACAACCACCCGCTGCTCGCCGATGCCGAGCTCGATTGCCTCCTGGACGACGACTGGGCCGCCGCGGAGCTGCAGTCGGCGGACCTGCAGCCCCTCGCCGCGCCTCCGCCGGAGGCTGCCCCGGAGCCGGCGCCACCGACGCCGGTCGCCAAGGCGGGCTCCGCGGTGCTCATCGAGCCGCCGGCCGAGGTCGCGGGCTTCGTGCGCACGCTCTTCACGCTGCTGCGCGTCTGCGACCCCGTCGTCATCGGCTGGTCCCGCGACGGCAAGGTCTTGTTGGTGCGCGACCCGGCGCGCTTCGCCGCCGAGGTCTGCCCGAAGTTCTTCCGGCACAAGAACTTCAACAGCTTCACGCGATTGCTGAACATGTACCAGTTCCACAAGCGGCCGCACGAGAAGGAGCTGGTGGGCAACGGCGTCGCCTTCGCCCACGAGTCCTTCATGAGAGGGCGGGAAGACCTCCTGGCCAAAATTAAGAGGCGGCGCGCGCCGAAGAAGGCTCCGGCCGAGAAGAAGAAGCGCAAGGCGTCAACCACAAAACCCGAGGACGCGCCGGCCTGGATGCGCCGCGTCGTCGACCTGGAGTCGGAGCAGAAACGATTGAAAGCTGAGAACGAGCGCCTGCGCCGGAACGAGGCCGAGGTCCGCGCGCTCCGCGACCAGGTCGCGCAGCAGCGCGCCTACATCGGCCAGCTGAGCGCCACATTGGGAGGCGGCGTCCCGAACGCGGCGGCGCTGAACGGGTTGGCCGCGGCGCTGATGGCGGCGCCGGGCTGGGCCCTGGGCGCCGCGCCGCCGCCACCACCGGCGGGCGACGAGCCGCTGGACCGCGGCGCCCGCATGATCCGCGAGCTCCTCGAGGCGTCGGGCCTCTCGGCCGCGGACGTCGGCGCGCTCGCGCCGGTGCCGCCGGCCGCGCCGGAGGAAGCGTAGCCCCCTTCTCGCCTCGTAAGATCTACTTTTTTGGATATTACTACGAGGGCCTCGACGCGGCCACGTGCCCTAAAACCCCGGGTCAGAAGGGTGCCTGGCCATTCGAGCCGAGCCGGGCGAGAAAGTCGAGCTGCCTTTGGCGGGATGCAGCGGCCTGTTGTACACCCTCGCGTTGCATCTCGTCCATGAGTTCGTGGAACTGCGCGTTGCGTTGCATCGCATCTTGCAGGATTCTGCGTTGCGTTGCCATCGCATCTTCATACCAGTCGGGGACGTGGCCCTGCGTAGTGGCCGGCGCGGCGAGGCTTTGGTGGGGGTTAGACATCCTGTCCAGGTCTCGGCGCCACTGCTCTCTTTCCCTCATTCTCTGGAGCAGATCTTGCCGGAATCTCCCTTGCGTTGCCCGCATTTGATCAAGCCAGTCGGGGACGTGGCCCTGCGTAGGGGCCGGGGCGGCGAGGCTTTGGTAGGGATCAGATAACGGTTGGTGTGGGACGTGGTCCTGAGTAGTAGCCCTAAGTGCGATCTCCGAGGCTTCATCTTCGACGAAGTCGCTCCACATCAGCACCTTGTCGCAGCCGAAGACGGCGCACTTTTTTCCACCAGGAACCTTGAAGTAGGCCCGGACCGAGGCCGCGGAGTAGACGTGGCCGCACGGCCGCGCCTTCATCGGCTGCACTAGTAAACCGGTGGAGATGGGGCACGTCAAGGCCGCCTCGCTCGTGTCGTGCGTATCATCTACGACGACGTCCTCGTCCTCGCCTGGCGCGGCGGCCGGTGACGGAGAGCGGCTGCGGCTGCGGGAGCGACTCACGGAGCGGGAGCGGGAGCGCCCAGTGCGCGGTTCGTCGTCGTCGCCGAGATAGCGAGCTCGCTGCGCGCGGCCGCGATCGACCGTCCCGCTCCTGGCAAGACTGCTCGTAATCGGCGCCGCGCCGAAGGGGGACGACGCGGGCGCCAGCTTACCCCAGGGCGCGGGGTTCAAAGGGGCTGCGGGCGCCGCCAACCAGAGCGAGGGCTTGTCGAGCGACTCGCGCGCGGCCGACGGCGAGCGGCTCCGGCTCCGGCTGCGGCTGATGGAGCGAGAGCGGCCGCGTGAGGGCCCGTTGCGGACGTTCACGACGTTGGGCTGCTTCTGGTCCATGTTGGCGACGGGCGAGTGGCCTCGGCGCGTCACGGTGCTTTTGTGGAGCCCCAGCCGCGATTGCCGGGCGGCAAGAAGGCACAGCCAGAGAGGGCAGCCCGTGAGTTTGCGACCCGCAGAGCCCGGTGGGCGGGTGGAGGAGCTCTGTGCCCCCAAGCCATGCCTTGAGACCGCTTCTACAGGCTTCTACGCTCGGCTTGAAAAAACCCGTTCCAGCCCGCCGCGGTTTTTGCGCGCGGCTAAAAGCGGTCTGTGTGCGCTCTACCGATAGCGCCCCAGCGCGCCGCAAGGTCTGAGACACCGCGCTGATATCACTGAGTGGCTCAGTCGCAGCTCAGCTATCAGCGCGCGCGGATTAACTCAGTACCGGCTCCAACAGTCACAGCAAAAAGAAGCAACGCCGCGCAACCATGAACGGCTTCTCCGTCCCCATCCACCTGAAAGACCTAGAAATCGGCGGCGGCAAGTACGTCGTCGACGGCGACAAGGCCGCCGCCGGCATACCAAGAGACGCCGCCACGCAGCGCCAAGAAATAGAGCGAATTAGAGCAGAGCTCGAGACCAGCGGCGCACCAAGTGTAGTCGCCGAGTTCGACGCGTTGTATGTGCTCACCAGAGACGCTGAAAGTTTGGACGCCCAAGCGCGAAGCGCGCTCGCGCAAGTCCTCTGCGAGACCGCTCTTGGTGTGGCCTCCGCCTCCGAAGCCCTGAAGCCCGGCGCGACGCTGGACAAGGAGGATTTGGATGAAGGCCGTAAAGCCTTCGTCATGGCCGCGGTGCTCGCGCAAGCCGTTGTAGAAAAATGCGACGCCGTGTCACTGCGCGAGAAGGCCTTGAAAGACAAGAAGAAGAAGGATGCGTGGTCCAAAGATAGAATAGGGTGTTTGGAGGGCCTCCACAACGCTTTGAAGGCTATTGACGTGGCCTGGCTCTGGAACCTCAGAGTGGTAGATGAGGCTTGTTTACTGTTGTGGGTGAGAGCCGGCGCGAGGGCCCTGCCCTTGAGTCGAGGCGCGGCCAACGGTGCGCAACGAGCCGCGGCGCACGCCTGCGTCGTCGACGCCATTACGAGCGCGCCGGTCGAGTTCGGCGCCCCCGCGGCCGCGGCGTTAGTCGAAGATTTAGTACTCAGAGACGAGGCCGGCGCGAAGGATGCGGCGGACCTGTGTGCGGCGGGCGGCGGCGGTCGTGTGGCCGGTGATTTGCTGAGGGAGCTGGATCGCGTGTCGGGCGAATCTGGTGACAGTTCCGCGAAACTCGTGGCGGCCTTCGTCGACCACTTGGGCCAAAGGGCGCCGTCGGCCGCGGCTCCTCATGTGGCGTCGTTGAAGGCTCAGTTAGCTTCCACTCACTACGGGCTGCGGTCTGCGGTCGTGTCCGCTTTGTCAAGTGTCGTGTGCGAGGACGCGGCCGACCGCCACGCGGAGAAGGAGAAGACCCTGTTGGCGGACGATGCGAGAGACGCGTTGTTGGATCTCGTCGTGGAGCGTAGTAGAGATGCCTCGCACTGGACGCGGGCGGCCACGATGCGGGCCTGTGCCAAGTTAGTGGAGCATAGGGCCGTACCTCGAGACCGCTACGCCGACGTCGCGTCGGCCGTCTGCGGCCGGTTGAAGGACAAGACGGCTCAAGTCAGGAAGAACGCCCTCGACTCCGTCTGTGCTCTACTTGCACACAACCCGTTCGCCCCGGTCTTGGACCCGGCGCCCCACGAACTGCGGGCCGACGCTCTCCAAGCGGCGGCCGTCGCGGACCACGCTTCTACGGTACTGAGGGATAGAAGAAGGGCCGAGGCCGTCCTCGCGAAACAAGAAGACGACTCGGTAGAGGTAGAACAGGTCGACGAGGCCCTCGAGGACGCGCTCCAGGACGAGCGAGACAAAAGGAGAGTGGAGCTCGACTACCACGTCGGCGTGCTGCGACTAGTACATTGTGTGGAGGCCTCGCACGGGATCATCGACCGACTCGCGCGGTCGTCGACGGCGTCGGACGCCGTGGGCGCCGCGCGCGTCTTCGGCGCTTGCCGGGCCTTTGAGTTGCCTTCCGGAAAGACTGGACTCAGAGCCGTGTTGCGGTTAGCCTGTTCGTCTCACGACGCCGTCAAGGCGGAAGCTGCAAAAGTTGTTGCGGCTTCGTTGGACGTCCAGGCCTGCGAAACGGGTTCACACAAGGCGCTGGAGGCGGCGAAACGGGCCTGTTCTCTGATCAAAGGATGTGGAAGTGTCGACCTCCAGTGCCTCGAGGCGCTCATCGCGGCCGCCGAAAAAGCCGCTGGAGAGAAGAAGGACTTTGAGAGAGTTGCTACGCCGAAACTAGTGAGGGCGCTCTGGGACGTGGCGTCCGCTTCGAAGGTCGACGCGTCGACGCGCGTCGCGGCGTGTCGGTTCCTAGCTACTTGTTGTAGTGCGGTCGGCAGCAAGGTTGTGGACGGTCCTGCGTTGTCAGATGCGGCGCAGTTCGTGGTCGTTGAGGATAGTGTCGATTGCGCCTTGGCCGAAGCACTTGCGAGGTTGGTGCGCGATAGCTCGAGAAACGGGCAGAAGCCGGAACTCGTGGCGACCTGTGCTCTGCTGCGGGAGGCCTTATTTGCTCATGATTCGGGCGACGGCCACTGGTACGGGGCCTGCGACGCCGTCTTGGCGGCTACATTTCAATTGGAAGGCGATCCTGAACAGTGTGTCGGCGACGCGCTGCGAAGCTTGGCGGAGAAGGCCCAGTTGCTCAGCGAGGAACCGGAGGGCAAGGCCGGTGCTCTAGCTCGTTGCTTACATGCCGCGGGCGCCGCGGCGTTGTTGGGTCTCGTCGCGGTCGAAGATTTAGGTTCCCGAATGAAGAAGGGCGCTCAGCCCGTGAAGAAGGTGGTCGTCGAGGGCGACGACGACGACCTGGCGAACGCCGCTGGCGGCGCTGGCGAGGACGCGGAACGAGATGCGCGATTGCTACGCTTGGTTGAGGAGAAAATTGTTGGAGTGAAAGCGGACGGCTTCGTCGCGGCGCTCGCACCGGTCGCGGCGAAGGTCGCGTCCAGAGCGTTAGCTAGACGCGGCGCCGTGCCCGGCGTCCTGCACCGGTCGGCGGTGTTATTCTTAGCCAAGGTGTCCTGCGTGTCGCGCGGCGTCTGCGAGGAATATCTCCCGTTGTTGATCACGACGCTGGCGCGAGCGCCGGACGCTCTAGCTAGACAAAATGTAGCGGTAGCATTAGGTGACCTCGCCTCGAGACAACCTAATAGCGTGGAACCATGGACGGATCACGTGTATGGGGCTCTTCGCGACTCGGACGCTACTGTGAGAGCGGCAGTGCTCGCTACTTTAGCTCACTTAGCGTTGAATGACATGATCAAGGCGCGCGGCGGCGGCGTGGCCGAAGTGGCTCTGCTGGTGGTCGACGGCGACGACACGATCCGAAGACGCGCGCGGGCCTTCTTTGAAGAATTGCACAAGAAGTCGACGGCCCAAAGTTCGCCGATCTACAACCTCTTGCCCGATGTGGTGTCGCGGTTGTCTGCCGCTCGGCGGGGCCCCGTCACGCCCGTCGTCCAAGAAGAGGAGGCGCCGTCGTCGCCGAAGAAGACCCTGCGGTTCAGCGTCGCCCCGTCGCCCGTCCAGAACGAGGCCGCGAAGAAGTTGAGATTCTCGGTAGCGCCCTCGCCCAAGAAACGCGTCTCGATCCTCGAAGAGAAGGACGAAACGCTATCCGCGGTAGACTTCCAGGCGATCATGGGCTTCCTCCTGAACTTCGTGGACAAGGAGAAGCACGCCGAGGCGCTGGCCGAGAAGTTGTGCCAAAGACTAGACGCGACCAAGGCTGATGACGACGACGCGGTGGCGAAGGCGCGCAAGGCGACCGGCGACGTCGACGCCCAGACCGCGTCGCGGCGCGACTTGAGCTTTTGTTTAGGGCGGTTGATGCTCACGGAGAAAGTCACTAGGAAGCTGGCCGAGAGCATCGCGCTGTACAAGGACGCGTTACCGGACGAGGGCGTGTATGCTGCTTTTACCGCTATTGTGGCGAAGGCGAGAAAACTACCGAAAGTGGACGCGCTGAAGGAGTTGTTAGATGACTGGGAGGCGAAGCTCCTAGCTGGTCATGAACGTAGGTTGGACCTGGACGGGGCTGGACCGGCGGCTGTACCACAATCGGCCAAGAAGAAGAAGGCGCCGGCCAAGAAGCGCGCGACGCGCAAGAAGAAGGTCGTCCAGTCGGACTCGGACGATGAGGGCGGTGATGCTCTCGCGGAGAACGTGCCGCGGGCGACGCGCACGCGGCCGCGGCGGGGCGTGCGCGCTTAGATTCCTTTCCCCCCTCTCCCGTGTAAAAAGCTACTCACGGCGCGTGACTCGACTTGTGCGTGGGCGCGCGGCGCGCCTGCCGCGCCGGAGGGCCCGCGCGGCCTCGGAAGTCGACCTGTTTGCATGTTTCTCGACGAGGGAGAGATGCAGATTTATCGTCGGGGCAGCAAGGACTATGCGCGGCGGCGGCGGTTCAAAACCCGAGAGCCATTTGATTGCTCGAGGCTGCGCGGTTGTTAGCGCCCTAAACGCGCAAACTACCGGTTCTCAGAAGAGCAGCAGCAGCGGACATCAGCGCTGTTTGCATAACACACCACAGCTGAGAGAATTTTCGCTGCGCGCCATCGCTGCGCCTCGTAACACAGCACTCAAGATGGCAGCCGTCGTCGAGTCCGCCATGCGCGAGCTCCATGTTTATGGATCCACCGCGGCCGATGTCGCTGAGGGGTCGCCGAAGGCCGAGACCGTCAAGGCGGTTGCGGCGGAGCCGGGCACGCCCGTCGCCGCGGGGAAGGCCGCGGCGGAGTCCACGGCCGAGAAGGCCAAGAAGCAGCGCCGCCGCCGCGGCAACAAGAAGCCCACGGGCAAGGAGAACGTCCCGCCCGCGGGGCCCGTCGACGTCGCCGCCTGTGTGGAAATCAACCAGTGCGTCGGGTGCACGACAATTCTTCACTAAGTCATTTCTCGGCAATGACGCGGCCGTCCTGGCTCGGTTGAGCGGCGAGGAACCGGCATCGTCACGCCATCGAGCAGGCGTCGCGTCGATGGCGTAAACGCGCCGTAAAATTTTGATTTCCACACAGGTCGCCGCGGTCCTCAAGGCGCGCGCCGCGGCCAAGAAGGGCGGCCGCAAGCAGTCGGACGCGCAGAAAGCGGCGCTCGCCAACGCCAAGGCGCGGCCGGCGCAGAAGAAGAAAGTAACTAAGGGTAGACAGGTGGCCGATCCCGGATGTAATGGTTATTGACGCGGTCCCTTCGCGGTTTGAGTGGGTTGTGTGAGGTCGTTTCCTAGAATGGTGGCGGTGGGTGGTTTTTTATGCGATTTGGAGTGAATTCGGGCGCGATGCGGGGTCGCGGGCGGGCCTCGGCGGGATCGGGGCGAATGAAGGTGCTGGAGCGGTCGCGCGCGGTCCCGGGGTCGCCCTCGACGCCGTCGCCGCGGCGGCGGTGTTTCGGATGCGCTGGAGGGGCCTCGGGAGGGCTGCCCGCGGGGGCCCCAGAGCTCTAGCTCTAACTAGTTGTTCGACTGCAACTCCTTATGAGCGCTGGGGAGAGAGGAAACGACACGCGGGGTAAGAGGACGATGGGGGTAACAGTGCAGGGGGAACATGACGGCCTTGAAGAAGACCGTTGGGACCAGCAGAGGCGTGGCGCCCGCGGACGACGTCGGCGCCGGCTCGCGCATTTGACCAGTTGGAACTGGGCCTGCGCGTAGCGCATGCGCCAGGCGCGGCTCTTGTAGGTGAAGAGCGACGTGCCGGCCTTGCGCCAGAACGGCGTCGAGCCTGCGCGTTGTATGCTCCGTCGACGCGTGTCGGTCTAACGGTGGGCACGCCGCTAAGAACCGTCCTCGCCCGTCGTCGCCTCGAGGAAGACGTGGGTGATCTGGAACTGCGTGCACCAGGCGAGGAAGCACCTGTGCGGAACGACAACGTCAAAGGAACGTTCGCCTTTCTAGTCATCGGGAACGGCGTGTGACGTAGGCAACGCGTGCCGAGGGCTCGACGTTAGTGAAGACGCCTAAGTGCTGTTCCGAAGGCTCGCCCGGTCCAAACTATCGCAGGACCCATCGCGACCAAGTTCTTGGGTGAACTGCACCGGTACACACCTGCGTGGACGTACCCTTCTCTTTCGGAAGCGCGTCGCGTCGGAAGCCTCTAAGCACCGGAACACACCTGCGCGGACGTACCCTTCTGATTCGGAAGCTCGGCCGGTCGGAAGCCTCTAAGGATGATGAGAAGGGGACCTCGCACGCCCAAAATGGCGTAGCGGAAACGGGACGTGGTCCGGCGAACGCGACGAGTCGCGGGCCGGCCTGAGCGAGCCCGAGCCCGAGCTTCCGGCCCGTGAGCAGTACGCCGCGGAGTCGGCGCGGACTCGTCGTAAAAATGCCTAATCGCCCGGCGGCCGGATCCGCGGCGCGGGAGCCGCGCAGGAGGCCTCCGGAGACTTGGGAGAGGGAATTCTACGGAGTTCCCAGTCGCTAGAGGCCTGCGGCCCAGGCAGCTTCTGTTTCAGAAGCTCCCGTCCGAATGTCTCTATTCATTACTCACGATATTCCCTCCGGCTCCGCTGGCCGCAGCGCGGGCACTACGGCCGTCAGTCGTCGCGCGACCCGCGGTCGTCGACTGCTGTTGAACAAAGGCTCGCGGCCCGCGCGCACTGGGTCGTCCGCGTTTTCTACAAGACCCGTCCGAACGACGTCCGTTGCCTCCTGGCTGCTAGATACGTCGCACAAGCCGTCGCAAGCGATCAGAGCGACGTCGCCCTCGACCGCAACTGTGTGGAAATCAACCAGTGAGTTCTCTCGGCGCGCCACGGTTCCGGGAGCCTGAGATTGCAGGTGCCGCCCTGCAAATGCATAAATTTTCACGCAGAGCATCGCCCTTCAACACCAAACCGCCCCGCGACCATCGAACGTGCCCTTACGTCGTGCAGTTCCATTTTCAGGACAGGTCCCGCGAGCCATGAGCAACGCACCTCTCCCGAGGCGCACCTCCGCAATCGAGAACGCACGTTTCACGTGTCATCGCTCCCAAGCACTAATACCTCACGCAGAGCCGAGCGCCGGCGTCCGCAACTCGGCTCGACACCGTCGCGCAGGCCCCAACGGGATGCTCCAGCACTCGGCCTCGCCCGCGTCGCCAGGCCTCGACCACGAGCGCGCCGAAGACTCGCGCCGCGCGACGCGACGGACCGCTCGCGGCGAACACGCTTCGTCGCCGCGGCGCCAGCCGTCGTCGTTTCCCAACAACGCCCTACGGCGCCGCCGCGGAGAGCTCACGAGTGACTGAACGCGTCGTCCGAGTTTACCAGCAACGACAGGCCGTGTCCGCGGCGGTGTCTCGATGGCGTAGCGCCTCACATCTGCCCACCAGGCCCGCGGCGCTCAGCAGTGCCAGCCCTGCAGCAGTGTGTTGCAGCTGAGGCTCCGCGCGACGGCGCGGGCAACTTTAGACTGCACGGCGCATCAATGCGGACCGTCCAGCGTGCGTTGGTCGAGTTTTAGCCTGGATCGATAGAAACGAAATGTTGCGGCTCTCAGGACAACATTTTGAGCAGCAGCAGTGAGAGAGCAATCGAGCCAAGCGAGCCGCATCGATCACCAATAAACCGAAGCGGTGCTTGCAGGACGTCGCGTCGAGGCCAGGTAGCGCCACCGCCCGCCCCTCGGTCCAGCGCCGCGCCGCGCGCAAAGCATGAAGCACCCATTGCAGCCTGGCAGCCTCTCAGGCGCCGTGCTCCGCAGCACGCGTCGCGTCGATGGCGTAGAGGTGGACGTGCATTGCACTCGACGCCTTCCTCGCGATGCGCAGCGCAACGACGTCGACGGGTCCACACCACAACTGCCTCGGCACCACTCGAGGCCCGCGCGGCGGCTCCAGGCGTCCCGGAGCGCGGCGACGGCGTCGACGCATCGGGTGGCGTCCGCCGCGGCGCCGCGAGCCGTGGAGACCGCTCTCGGGCGCCGTTCTCGAAGTTTCACCAGTGGCTCCGCGAGACCGACCCCGTCTCGCCCGAAAACGGCTCAAAATCCAAAAAGAAACCACCCACCGCCATCATTCCTGGAAACGAGTCGCGTCGACGGCGTGAAACCGCCGGAACACCGCGGGACGGCGAGCTACGACGGCTCGGCGCCAAATAGAAGGCGCCCAAGGGCCGCGTCGTCGCCGACCCGGGCTGCAACGGCTACTGAGTAAACGACTGTGACTTATGAGGCCTAGACGCCCCGCGCCTCCTCGAGGATGCGCTTTTTGCCTTCCTCCTCGCTTTCTACCGACGTGTCTTCGACTTTTGTTTGCGCGGCTACTTTCTCCTGCGCCGCCTTGATCTCCTCGGGGTCGCCGAGGAACGCTCCCGACAGCAACCCGAAGCTTCGCGGGTCCTTGAGCGGTTTTAAATCAGCGTCCAGATGATATAAGAGCGGCACGCCCGTCGGGATTTCGAGACCCACGATCTCCGAATCACCAATATTGTCAAGAGCCTTGACCATACCTCGGATCGAGTTGCCATGGGCCGCGATCAACACCGTCTTGCCCCGCTTCAACGCAGGCACGATGGCGCCGTCCCAGTACGGCAATGTTCTATCTATGGTGTCCTTGAGGCACTCCGACCGCGGGACGTCTTCCTCGGGCACGTGCGCGTATTTGTTGTCGTTGCCCGGCCAGTACTCGCTATCCAACTCGCAGGGCGGCGGCGGCGTGTCAAAACTTCGACGCCACAACTGCACTTGATCATCCCCATACTTCAAAACCGTCTCCTTCTTGTTGAGACCCTGGAGCGCGCCGTACATGCGCTCGTTGAGCCGCCAGGACTTGTGCACCGTGAGGTCGTTTTGGCCGGTGATGTCCATGACCAGTTTTAGCGTTTGCTGGGCCCGTTTGAGCTCTGACGTGTAGGCCACATCAAATTCTAGGCCCTCCTTCCAGATCCACGTCGCGCCGGCGGCGGCCTCGTTCTTGCCTAGGATTGTGAGCGGGACGTCGGCCCAGCCCGTGAAGAGGTTCTTCGCGTTCCACTCGCTCTGGCCGTGTCTTACGAAGCAGACCTTGCACGTCGCTTGGTCGTTCCAGGCCATCCTTACGGTACTGCGGCGCGCCGACGGCGCGCGCGTCGGGAGCTTGGGTTGCAAAGCGCATGCTGTTGTTGTCAGTAAAGCGGCGCGGAGGGCCATACTGCGGCTCGGGAGCGCTGCACGCTTGATGCAGGCTGCAGGAGAGCTATTGCGCCACGACTTTCGGGTCACGCGTACTGCAGTAGAAACGGGTACTTACCACAGCGCGTCACGCTTGTTCTTGCAGCAGGACACGAGCTGCAGCAACCTCAAACCAGGCTAAAATCGCCGCTCTGGATTGACACACTAGCGCCGAAAACAGCCAAGCTCCCCGCCACCGCCGCCGAGGCCAAAAAGAACTCAAGATAAGTCTTCCTTCGCGCCGCCGCCGCGCCGGCGGTCCCTCGCCCCATCGCGCGCGCGAAGGTAGAGACTAAGACACAAAAGTTATAGAGACTCAAACGACGCCTGCAACCCAGCCAATCCCCCCTTTAGCGTGTCCGGCACCTTCCCAATATAAGCTTCCGACTCCAAGTCGTCGACACACATATCGATGTCAGTGACATCAGAGACCCGTTCGCAGTCCTGGGGGTCCACCATCCTATGATCATCCCCGCAGGCCCGCAGCAACCATCGCGAAAACCCGTCCGCCTTGCGAGCTCGTCCGAAATCCACCACCACCAGCTTCGCTGAGGAGTGAGACGGCCCTTTTCCAATTTCCCGCATCAGCACCCTTTTTAACGCCTTGGCGTCGCCCATGCTCCCGCGAAACACCTTGTCGGCGCACGACGACACGTCGAAGACGACGTTCGCGTCGTGGACGTCCCCATGTCGTATTCCCGCGTCATTGAGCGCCTTGCGGGCCCTTCTAGCTTCTGCTGCCCACTGTTTAACCAGGGGCAGTCTATGCACGCGAGGGTCGATCAACCATCGCTCCTTGGACCCAAACCCGGGCCGCCGCGAGAAGTCGCGACTGACCCAGAGCAACCACACATGAAACGACGGACACGTGAGCCTATCCATGACGATCGCGCCGACGCCGGCCGCGCCGCCGGCCCAGGCCCTCGCTCGGACCGCAGGTGCCGAGTTACTCTTCGCCGCCAAGGCTTGGCAGTCGCACTCCCTTTGAAAGGACTTTTCGGACGGCCAGGCACCTACTTTTACGGCTAACCGTCTTGCAGGAATTTTGACGGCGTCACACTCGACTTGCGTCGAGGCGTTGAAGCAGACCACGTCGGCGTAGGCGCCTCTTCCGAGTGAAGTCAGGCCGGCTGCTGCTCGTCGCTGCGGGTCGACGCAGAGAGAAGCTAGGTCAACAGCTTTGACCGTTTCCAACGCTTCCTGGTCGTCGAACTCGACGAGTGTCAACGTCTTCGCCGAGGAGGACGGGCAGAGCCAGCTTTCCGAGGTTGTGGTCTTCCTCGACTCGTTCGAGGAGACGCTCCGTTGGTCGGAGGATAACCGATGGGAGGATAGCAAGCGGTGTAGGGATGCGGGCGACGTGACGCGGACTTCCGAGTGTTTGGAGGGAGTGGTGGCATCAGAAGGCGCCCGGCCAGGAGTAGACAAAGCTCGGAACGTGTCCGCAAATAAACGTCTGCGGGGATCGCAGAACTGGCAGGGCTTGTCCGGCCGGCAGCCGAGCAAGAACGCTCCCGCATCTCCTCTTAATAAACCAGTAGCTATGGTCGCGTCCAGCTGCGTCAAACCCTTTTCTCCATCCGTCCGGACTAAGTGGCCCCGCAACCCATCTAATCTGCCGGCGTCGAGCGCGATCCATCTCCTACCAGGGTCCTTCTTCGGCCGGTTGTTCACGAACCAGGCCCGTATTTCTCGCTCCCGGTTGTGGCCTTTCGCTGTTAAGGAAGGAGCTTTACCCAGTAAAGGTCGGAGGCCCCTCTTCTTTAACAGAGCCTCTACTCGTTCAACTAGTGCTGGATATAAGCGCCACGCACCTGTTAATACCAACCTAGCATCGGTAGCCCGCACGATGGTCTCGAGCGAGTCGCAGCATTGGGTGTTCAGCGTGTCCTTGTCATGAGCGTTGATGCTATGTAAGACGCCGTCCACATCCAAAAAAACTAAACGTTCTCCCACAGTAGGCGGTTGCAAGCCGACGCCCTTGCTCCGCTTTCGTTGAAAGCAGCAGACGCTCACTTGCACTGGAACCTGGGACACGACCTCGGCCTCGTCCGACGTCGTCGGCGAGGGCGGCCTCATTGTGTCATCAAACGAAGCGCTCCGCCCGAGATCCTCGAAGGCTCTCCTCCTAGACTCGTCGGGAGCCGGCGCCTCGCCGCCCCTAGCTGTTCCCAACCTACGTAACTCCGAGACGGCCGCCGCGGTGCCGAGCTGCTCCGTTTTGCCACTGAGAGCCGCACACGCGTCCCGGAGCTGCCCCGACAGCGTCCGCGCTCGCGGCGCCGTCCAGGCGTCCCGCGCTCGCAGAATACCCACGACTCTGCCCCGTATTGGTGGTTCCTCCGGAAAGAGCTTGTCGCGCTTCTTCGAAATTTTTTCGACCGCGCACAAGTTCCAGACCACGAAGTCGACGAGAGCGCGCGCTTCGGAGTCCAGCGCCGCGAGCTGGAGCTTCAGCGGTTCGGGAGCAGCTTTTGAGACTTCGAGGTCGTCCTCGTAACCTTGGCAAGACGGCGCGATCGCGGTCCACCGTCGTTCCAGCGACGCCGCTTCTCTCGCATATCTTCTCTCGGCCGTGGCCACTTCGGCAGCTAAGGCGCAGTCGAAGCCGTGCAAGAAAAACGCTCGGGACTTGTCTTTGTCCAGTGCTCTTATCCAGAGTTTTTTGTTCAGGGACGTGGGGGTCAGTGACGCGACCTCCTCGTCGTACTCCTTGACCTCCTCGTCGTCTTCACTTAAATCATCTTCATTGGTCTGTTTCAGTAAACGGCCTCGTAAAGTTTCTAGGGTTCTCTTGTCGTCGTCGTCGAGGCCTCTTTCGAGGAACGTATCTGACGGTCGTCGCACCTCCTCGAGGTCGAGCAAACCTCTGCCGGGCGGGCCGTAGTTCGACCGGCCGACGGGCCGGCCGGACGCCTGCGAGGCCCGTTTGAGCACCTTCTTCAGGGCGCCGTAGGCGACGTGCGACGACTGCCAGTGGCGCGAGGCGCTGCCCTCCTCGAAGCGCACGCCGAACTTGACCATTGGGAGCAGTGGAATTGCCTGTTAATCTGCTCCCCCGCGTTAGGTTTGCCTTCGACCTGGATCAGCTCTGAGCAGGCCTCAGCAGGCTTTGCCTCGCGCCGCAGCGCGTCTGGGCGATGCCGAGCGGTTCTGGCCCACAAATTAACGGCCCAGCGTTACTGCACCGGGCCTAGTGGCACGAATCTTGCGCTCGGCGCTGCAACCGAAGCTCAGATTTCCTGGCTGCTAGTGTCCTTATGCCGCTAGCACCGTATGCGCAAAAGCGACGAATGCGACACAGGTGTCGAATTGATCGTTAAAAGACGCCAACAACACATCTACCGCACGCCAGCGCAACGGGAGCATCGCTGCGAACAGCTGCGCCACACACTGAGCCTGCAGTGCTGTGGTGGACAATGCGGCGCTGCCTCACACTCGTCGTCGCGCAAGCGGCCGCCTACAGCGGCCGCACGGCGCCCGGCCGCCTGGCCTGGGTCGACCGCTATTTGCTGCTCCGAGAGCTCAGCCTCTTCGCCGACGACGAGCCTTCGACCACTCGTGTGTTTTGTGATATCGGGCTCGGCGACGACGCGACGACAACCCTGGAATTAGCGGAGGCGTTGCAGCAGGACGCCGACGCGCCGCTCGTCGTCGCGTGCGAGGCCGACGCGAATCGTTGCTCCGCCGCGCGCGAGGCTTGTGCTGCCGCTGGTGTCGTTGTACGCCAGACGGATGGAAGCTTCACCTTACCGCTCAAGTGGGACGAAGTTTGTGTGGGCGTGAGAGCAATGAACATCTTCCGGAGCGGGTACACCCCCGTCGAGGCGGCGCGGGGAATTGATACGCTCGCGGCGCAGCTACAGCCCGGCGCGCCATTGATTGAGGGCTCCTGCTCGCGAAACGGCGACTGCGGCGTCGCCCACGTTCTGAGACGGACGGACGAGGGGCTCGCGCGCGAAGCGCTGCTCTTCACTGCTGATGTGAACCGACGGCGCGGATTCGCCCCGCTCGCGTTGCGACCTTATTTACCGCGCGACCTGCGGTGGTCGTTCAAAGAGGGGTCGCCGGTCTACGAGTTCTGGCTCCGCTGGACGGAGGCCTGGAAGGCCGCGCGCAAGGGAGACGGGGACGTCTTCCGCGCGGCCTGCGACGAGCTGCGGCGCCGCGGCGACGCCGTCGACTGGGTCGACGAGGGGCTCATGGTCTGGACGCCGCAAGGGGGCGTTCCCTGACGCCATCGACGCGCCTTGTTGTTGTGATTAATTAACGATACTCTTACTCGCCATTTTTTAAGGGAAGGGTCACTCGACGGCGCCGTCCGAGTAAGCTGGTTTTCTTTCCAGCGAGTCATTTAAATCCAACGCTTTCAGCATGGAATCTAAAGCCGCCGGCGCAATAGCAGCGGCCACAAGCGCAGCGATAGGAGACACGCGACGAGCCAAGCCACCTAAGCCGGCAGGGGCGACTTCAGATGCACCCAACCTCACCAATTCATCCGCAATCCGATCGAACCCAAGCTTCTCCGCCAAGGGAGCGTACACTTCGAGCGTCTCCGTCGCCTTCTTCAGCCGCTTCGGACGGGGCATCGCGCCCAAGGTTCGCATGTTGTGCAACCGGTCGGCCAGTTTGAGAACCCCAACTCGCCACTCGTGGCCGGCGGCCTCGAGGACCGCGGCGCGCTTCACGGCGTCGGACGCCGTTGGGCTATCGGTGACGCCGTTCACGAGTGCGGCAACATCCCCCCCAAATGCGCGGAAGATGTCCTCCACAGACGTGTCGGTGTCCTCGACCGTGTCATGGAGTACTCCAGCACACACGGTAGCGGCGTCCATCTCCATGTCCGCCAGGATCGTCGCGACGGCTATCGGGTGCGTCACGAAGGGGGAGCCGTCGGCCCGGCGCTGCCCTCGGTGAGCCCTCGCGGCGAAATCCACACAAGCCGCGACCTCGTTTCGCGCTTTGTCGTCTAAATATTTCGTGGCTCGGTCTAGCGTTAATGTTGCTCTTAATGGAGCAGGATAGGTAGGTTCCGGTTGCGCGCTCGGATAGAAGGGCGCGGAAGGCGCCCCTACTACTGCTGAGGCTCCTAAGGAAGGGCCTCGCGGCGTTGTGGATGGTGTGAAGCGTAGGGCCGTTGTAGTGATCAGACAGGAGGATAATACGAAGAATCCGAGCAAGGCCGTGACGTCTATGGACACGGTAGTCCGTCTTTTTCTGTCGACAACCACGCGCAATCTAGTTCGTCCTTGTGAGGCCTCGGTACCGATTTCCCGGAGTCGCGGTAAACATGTTTGTTCGTGATCCTGGAGCCAGGACGTCTGGACGACGATGAGCGCGCGTTTTTTGGGATTCCAAGTGCAGTCGGACTCGGCGCGTGGTCTCGACGCCCGCCGCGGGAGCGGGCTTCTGGCTTGCGCCGGCTCGCCGAAGGAGGCGCAGCGTCGTTCTCGCAACGGCTGGGGGGGCGTCTGGGCCATTTTTCGTTGACTTGGTCGCGTTCTTGAGGTCGCGGTCTGAATCGCGTTCTGGTGGTTAGATCGTGCCGCGCTTGCAACGGCGGGCTCCGACGGTGTTTGGGCGGCGGCCGCGGGCGTCTCGGGCGGCGCGCGGCGGGTTCCGCGGCGCTACTGGAGGATATTTGGCGTACTGGCTTTTTTGCAAGTTGCGGAGCCGTTTCAGTCCCGCTCTGCCGTCGGGGCCGGGCTAGACTGCAAGGCGTTAGCTCGGCGCCGCGTCCAAGTGGTGGGCTTGCTGTCTGGGGGGCGTGAGGGGCCCGTCGCTCGGCTGGTCTGCTGGCACTTTTGGCACCGCCTCCTCGCCCTAGCCGAAAAATCAGGGCTCCTTGGACGTGTTTAATTCTCTGGCGGTCCTCTTTGACCGGATACGAAGCTAGGAAGACGGCTTCCTGCATGGGCACTGAGAGTGGCACTGAGGCAAAACACCGGCACTAGCCGTCGTCAGCTCGGACAGACGCGTCCCTGAGAGGCTCCTGACGAGTGCACCGTGACGCTTCGGGGGGTAGACGGCGCTCTGCATCTCTGTGCATGGCGACACTCTCTGGCAATAGACTCTGCGCAGTTGCTGTAAATCCGACTCAACGGCGTCGCAAACAGCCGCACAATATCGGTAATAGCCGCTCGTGAACGCTGACGAAGCGTGGCAGCGTGAACACTGAGCTTGGAGCAGTGCAGCCAGTGGCAGCGCCCAAAACAAGTGCGCATAGCGGTGCAAGCATGCCCTACGCCGTCTCCGTCCGCGACCGCTGCATGTACTCCCACTCCCTGAAATTCGGCGACGCGCCGGCCTTCCGGACGGGCTGCACGGCGGTCGTCGACGCGAAGTTGCAAGGACCGGCGCTGACGGGCGACGGCGTTCTATGTGATATCCTCGCGGCGCAGAAAGCGCTCAAAAACGTGCTCGACGTCTTGGATCATGCGGACTTGGATACGCTGCCGGGCCTGGAGGGCGCGAATACCACTGTCGAGGTCGTCGCGAAGTTCATTTTTGATGCGTTTGTGGGCGAGATGAATGGTGCTGGTGCTGCGAAGGTCACGCGCGTCGAAATACGGGTCGCCGAGTCCGACGTCGCGACGGCGTCCTACTACGAGGAGAACGAAAGCGGCGTGCTCTAGGGGCCGCGGCGACGGCGTGCTGGAAGCTAGTATCGCGTTGGCGTCACCTCCAGGCTCCAGCGGCGTGCCGGCGGGAGAGACGCTATGCGCGACGCCGTCGCCGCGACGAGGAGAGGACAAGAGAGAAAATTCCGAGTAAATAATGTTACAGTACGGGTGTGATTCGGCTTAGGGGAGGAAGACGAAGTCGGCGATCAGCGCGACGTGGTCCGACGGGTACTGCGGCGACGGCAGCGCGGGTCCCGCGCGAGTGAGTTGCTCGAGAGGAGGCACAGGAGCCACCGCCGCGCACCGGATCGCCGACGAGTCGTACCAGATGTAGTCCAGCGTGCCCCGGAACTGCTGCGTCAGGTTCGTGAAATCGGGCTCGACGCCTAAAACGGACGCGTACGAACTCACGAGCGGCAACCGATGCGCGATCTGCCGCGCGTCGGGCAGCACGTTGACCGGGAAGCCTTGCGCGGTGTGTCTCGGTTGTAAATCGGGATGGCCTCGGGAAACGCCCTGCGTCGCGAGGAACTCGTAGACACTGCTGTCAGGTCCGCTGTTGAGATCGCCCGCCATGATGCACGGCAGCGTCTCCCTTTGTCTGTTGCAGAAGGCGTCGAGCTGCCGGATCAACGAGAGACTCTGCCAGAGCTTCGCGTCCGGGAAGTCTCTGTGCGAGTAGAGGTGCGTGTTCGCCACCGCGAGGCGCCTCGAACGTCTTCCAGGAGCAGGATAGTCCTCCAGCACGAGCAACTGGGCGACGTTGTCCTTGACCAGTCGCGTCAGATACGCGTGCTCGTCCCGCTCGCTCAACCGGTTCGCGCGCGCCTCCGCGTAGGCCAGGTCGTTGAAGCGCAGCTCGCGCTGCTCCGCCACTCTATATTTTTGGGCCTTCCAGAACGTCGCGCAGCCGTCGACCTTGCCGGCGGCGCCCATGGCCTCCCTGCTCTTCTGCGTAAATAAAGCCTCGTACCCTGCTCTTTTCATCGCCGGCTCGAGGTACGTCTCGAACGCGTCGCGCTGCGCTTCTTGCAGGCAGACGACGTCGGCGTCGGCGTCGACGAGCTCCTGGACCACTAGGGAGCAGCGGTAGCCCCCATCTAGCGCCCATCTAGGACAGTACGGGTACGCGTGCGCCGTCGCGTAAATTTCGGCCAGGACGTTGTAGGAGCACACTCGCAGGGCATCTTGGCCTTCCGTCGACTCACCGAGCCACTGCCTCGACGGTGCGGCCCGCGGGGACTGGAGGACGGGCTCCGTACTGACAGCACCTCGCGCTCGGAGCGTTTCCTCACCGTTCACCGTCCGCATCGCCAGGCACTCTACACGTAATCTCCTACCAATATCTTCCCGACCGGGTAAGTATTCGGCATCTTCCCCGACAGACTCCCACTTGTCGTCGTCTAGCATCGTTTGACTCTCTACGAGATCCTTGGACGTCCCTGCTGACGGCGCACAGACATCAGACGACGCGTTCGATGCCGATCTTTCTCTAGGCGGCTTGTGCGTCCGTTTATGGGCCGGCCAGGCCGCCACGAAGCACGCCGGTGAACAAAACGTCGCCGGCTCGGGCGCGCTCTTGTCGCCCTTGGCCTCCTTGGCGCAGATGGCGCACTGCAGGGCCTTTGATCTTCTTCGTCCCGCCGAGACCGGATCATAATCGTGGGCGATGGGGCAGCCGGGCGCGGCGCAATTCGCGACCGCGGCTCTCGAACGCAACCACCGCCACCGAAACGTGATGCCGTCCTCGTGGCCCGCGCTGCTTCTAAGTTGCGCTGACGGCTTCAATGCACAGCCCTCGACGGGGCGGGCCACTCTTACTTTAACGTGCGCCGGCGCGAACGCGGCCGGCGCCGGGGCCGCGACCATCTTCTGTCTAGCGCGGCGCCTTCGACGAGGCGCCGCGCGACTTGCGCTAGCACGCGCGGCGCCCCGAAGGACGCGGCGCGGCTACGCTCGCTTGCGCGGCGCCCGAGCGGGCGCCGCGCGGTACTTCGCTGCCTGCTGCCCGGCAACCGGCGCGGCGAGTCCGGCGCGGCGGCTGCGGGCGGCAGGTGGCGCAGTCCTTTCGGATGCAACAATGCTACTAGCAAGGCTCCCGGCGGGAGCTCTACGGCGATACGCGGCCGGGTGAATTAACTTGTCTTGCTAGTGTCTTACGAACGCTAGCGTGAACGTTGGACTTGCATGGAGTCGTACGCGGCATTCGGACGGCTGGAAGCTACCCCCCGGAGAAGTGCCGCCCTCTTACACCGCCCAGCCAGCTTGTCTCCAGCCCAGCTAGCCAACAAAAAACACCCAAACTTGAGCACCCGGCCGTCAAAAAATACGCTGACAATCCTGCAGGGCTGTGAAAACTCCGAGAGCACCCAACTCCGCCACCAGTGAACGCTGGTTACAGGAGTGCTGCAGAGTGCTGAGGGCTGAGTGCTGACACAGCCTCACAGCCAGACAGCCGGCGCGACGCAGAGCCGACGAGCGTTCCGCCTAGCACAACATGCAGAGACGACGAAGAATCGTAGCGGTCATCTGCGTCTGCGCCGCCACCTCGACCGCGGCACTCGCGGCACCACGGCGATGCGAAACCGCGACACCGGAGGACGCGCCGTCGGCGCTACGGCGCGCCCAGCTCGCCGCAGCGGCGGCGGCCGCGCTGCCTGCGAGCGCGGCACCGCCCGCACCGGAAGTCGCCACCGACCGCAAGGGCGTACCGATCAGCAAAGCGACGTGGGAGGCGTCGCACACGCCCGGCGCGGCGGATTTGGTGGCGGGTCTGGGCGGCGAGCCAACATTATTACTGAGCGGCGAAAATGGGGCCCTGGAGCCCTTCGCCCTCCAGGCCGAGTGCACGCACCTCGGCTGCCTCGTGGGGCCCTGGAACCCGCTGAGCCAGCGCTTCGTCTGTCCGTGCCACGGTAGCGAGTACAAGCGCGACGGCTCCGTCGCGCGCGGCCCGGCGCCGAAGCCCCTCAAATTGGCGAAGGTGGGGATCGACGAGCAGGGCCAGGTCGTCCTCGAGAAGTGGACCGAACAGGACTTCCGCGAGAATGTGTAAATGAACTGTGTTACTCTTTCCTTCGTAGAGCCGCGAGGCTCTCCTCCACGCGCTTCCGCCGCTCGGCCTCCTCGCGCCGTCTTCTTTGTTCATCGGTCTCGGCCTCGTCGTACGCCGTCGCCACGAGTGCGACGCAAGCCGCGGCGCCCCAGAGGTACGGCGAGTTCAGCGACACGTCGAAGGCGAAGGGGTTCCAGTTGCGCCGCACGGCCTCGTCTTGCGCGTGGGCGACGGCCGGGTCGCGCTTTTTGTCGGTCGTAAGGCCGCGGCGACGGCGCGACGGGTCGCCGCGTGCCGCGGGTCCGCGCGCGTTCCGCCGGAGCTGTGCAACCGCGCCTCGGAGCATCGGTGCGATATATATGCTATAGCTGCGCGAGCTGCGATGTACACTGCAGTGGCTGACAGGTGCAGTGCTGTCTGAGTTCAGGGCGTGCACTGGAGACGATGGTCGTAGCACCTCTGCAGCACGATTTTCAGACCAAACAAATGAGGGATGCCAGGATGCAACGCCGTGCGACCGCCGGCAAAGTTGAGGGCTAGCGGCTGTAACACTCTAGCAAGCGAGGAGATTTCGGCCTCACCGGTGCGCAACGAACGAGTGACCTCGTAAAATACATTCCCACGCAACGCCAGAATATATCTGCTGCACGTGGGCAGCGATTGGGCAGCGACTAGGACTCATTGCAGCGCACACACTGCATCACCAGGAACGAAGCCATGCGCCTCCTCACAGCATATATTGTAGCAACCGCATTAACCACCACAACAGCGAAGAAGAAGAAGAGGCGCCGGAAAGTCGACGCGCGCACGGAGCAGCAGCGCTTGTGCGACGCGTGCATGGGCCTCGCGGAGCACGCGCGCACGGTCGTCAACGTCGCGATCAAAGACGTGTCAGGAGCCGTGGTGGACTGGCCCGCGGTGCTGGACGAGGGCTGTCCCGCGCCGGAATGTAGCACTTTACTCAAAGGCGTCGCTACGGCCGTCGCCGAGGAGCTTCACATGCTCGTGGAGGACGGCGACGCGATCGACGCGCGGGTCCTCCCGGATTTACTGTGTGCGCCGGCGTCCGTCACCGGCGCGTGTCGCGATTACGACCCGCCAGATGCGACACCCAGAACCAAGCTCGTGGTGGCCTTGCACAACGAGCGAACTGTAGATGCGAAGACCCAGGGCCGCATCGAGGTGCACCTCGTCGCGCCGGGCGACATGGACAAGGACTGCGCTCCGTCCGAGAACGTACAAAACGAGACAAAGCGTCTAGCATTGCAGAACGTGCGCACGCTGCAAGCCGACGAGGAGCAGTTGTTCGTCCTGTCGATCCACGCCCTGAGTCCGACGCTGCCCACGCTGCGCGCCAAGCCGCTCGGCGCGCCCTGCGGCGCCGGCGCGGACCTGAACGTCGACCTGTTGGAGGACCGGTGGGCCGTGTATTACGTGCGGGACCCGCCGCCCTCAAAGGTGAAGCTGCCGGGCGGCATTTTTCGGCCGCTCGTGCTCGGGCGTATTGAGGATCGGGACGCGCGGGACATGCTGCCGAACGGGCACCCGTTCCACGGCGAGCTGTGACGCGGCGGCGGCGTCGAGGCGGCACGCCGTCGCCAAATGGGTGCGAAAGAGCCCGTGTGTAACAATAACTAACTGTGGAACGAATCGAACTTAATCGTCCTCGAGGAAGGTCGCCGCCTCGGGGAGGGGCTGCGCCTTCCCCGACCGCCGCAGCGGCGACAGCTCGCCGGCCGCCGCGCGCGCGAGCGTCCGCCCCAATTCCCCGCGCGCGTCGGCGAGCGTCGCGCCGGGCCCGTCTTCCAGCCCCTCGGCCGCCGCGCGGCACGCGGCCCGCGCCTCCTCCAACGATTCGGCGGCGGCCGCGTCGGCGCCGGGCGCGCCGGCATCCATCGCGAGCCGCGCCGCCGCCACGGCGTCCAATGCTCGTTCGATGCCAACCTCGAGCAGCTCGAGGGGCGCGAACGACGACGCTAGTGATGAGGCACCATATTGAGCAGATGCGCCGTCGAAGAGCCACCTTATAAAAGCCGAGGGCCGCGCTATGCCTCTCCTCAACAGCGCGTCCACGTACAAGACGACGTGCTGCGGCGACCCTCCCAATGAACTGACGACGCCGTCAAATAAAGCCCGCTCGACGGGCTCATCATCATAGCAGCAGTTCCGCAGAGCAATCGCTAACTGGGCATCGTCCAGAGGTGCCAATAAATGAGTTAAAGAAGACGTATGGGAGCATAGAGCTCGGATCGCCGCCTTCGCGCGCGCAGCGTCGTCGTCCAAAGTGGCAAATTTGATCGCGACCATCGTCCGATCCGCACCGTCGTCGGGCGGGTCGACGGCCCGAGCTAACTCTCCTAGATCAGCCCGCCGCGCCAATTCTTCGGGCGTGTTCTCGTCAAAATCTACGGAGGATAAGCCTAGAGGTAGTAACGCGTGCAGTTTCTCCGGTAAGGCCACTTTCAATCTGTCCAAATAAGCTAGCCGGCAGCACCTTTCCAAGACTTCTCGCACGAATCTTTTTTGGGCATCATCATCATCTTCATCCACAACAGCGGTCCAGTAGTCCCAGTAGGGCCAGACGAACTTCGTGTTCGACAAATAATGAGCAAATAACAACGCGATGCGACGCTGCTGCAAGGGCGTCGGCGCGTCGTCGTCGTCTAAGGCTCGAAAAAACAACTCGATGGCGGTCGCAAATTGGGGCGCAAATTTCGCCTCGTCCACAGCGCAGAGCTCCAGCACCGCATGCAGCACGTCGAGGAGGACTTCATCAGAGTGGGAAGCGTAGCTTATCAGCGAAGCGGCGACGTCTTTTAACGAGTCGGCAGGTAACGCTTCACCTATTGCCGCCAACTGCTTGGCCACGTCACTCTTGCTGCCGACCACAATCCCGTCCCAGCGCGCGCCGGGTTTAAATGCTTCTACTACGTCCGGGACTAACGAGAGGAGCAGGGGATCTTCGCACTGGAGAGCAGGCCAATTTCCATCAAAATCCGGCATGGTAAAGTCGTTGTCCGGTAACGAGGCCCGCGCGTCGCAGTCCACATCAATTTGACCGAGCGGGGCGTCGACGGCTCCTTTTTTGAGAGTAGAGACGGCTAAACTGATTAAACCATCACCTTTCAGAGAAACTAGACGCGGCGCAACCACCGCATCGGGCAGGCCGCCCCGCAACAACGCCGCCGCGAGCAAGGCACCGTCCAACTTAGCTAAAATAGCGTCGAGGCTGGCGAGATCCGCAACGCCCACAGCACCGAGCCGACATAAGTAAGTAAGGGCGTTCGCCGCCGCGTGCCGATTCTTAGCGTCGCAGTTCTTCGCGAAGCGGTCGTAGGCCGCCTCGACGAACAATGGTGCTGTTGTCGAATCATGACCCACGAGTAGCGCGGCGACGGACGCGTAGGCCCCCGCGCCCAGCGGCGACGCCTGGGCCACGAGCGCCAGCTGCGCCGCCACCACGCGCGGCCGCTCGCCCAGCTCCTTCTGGGCGACGGCGGCGCTCAGTGCTTTGAGGTTGTCTTGCAGAGGCACTGATGAATCAGTCGTCCGCCGGGCGTGGACGTCGGCGACTCTTGTTAAAAGCTGGACGAGGCGCTGGGAGCCCGCGCCGCCGATGGGCGTCGGGGCCGGCGGCGGCGGCCGCGCGGGCCGGTCGCGCCGGCCGCCGCCGCCTCCATCAAAGCGGCGGCGCTTGTGCCGGCCGTGGTCGCCGCGGCGGTGGTCGTCCCGGCCGCGCCGCCGCCGGTCGCCGCGGTGCCGGTCCCGGTCTCGCCGGTCATAGCGGTCGCGCTCGTCGCGGCCGCTGGAGAGAGGGCCGTCCATTGCTGCTTTTAGCTACCAAACTTGATTGCCGCTTGTTGAGCAGCAGTTTTCAAGAGTAGGCGAGCTAGGGCCCAGCCTTAGACGATAGAGGCACTAGGCCTCTCCCAAAGGCAGAACGGTGGACTTCTGCCACGTTTCTGTACGATGAGAGAGCTATGCTTACGTTTACTTGCTTTTGTCTGCCAAGCAAGCCACTGCCCAGCCTCTCAGTGCTTGGCAAAAGGAGTCAGAGCAGCAGACGCACACACATCGAAGCACAAGTAAGACGTGTGAAGGATGCGGACCGTCATCGGTGCATTGCTGCTTTCTGGCGTCGCCGGTCTTGCCCCCGCCCAGCAGCACAAAAAACTCAAGTTAGCAGCAGCACCTCTGCTGCCGGCCATCCTACCGTCCGTAGCCGTGGCCGCCGCGGACAGCTACGAATACGGAAGCGCACGACTCCAGCGTCTTCTTCACGAAATTTCGTCGACGGTCGCGCCCGACCGGCCCCGGGCGCGACGCCCGACCGACGCCGCGGCTTCTCACAGACCAACGCGCGCAGGTCGCGGCCCCGGACTGGGTGCTGCCCGCGGGGGCGGTCCTCGCCATCGCGACGGCGCTGCTGCCGCTCGCGCGCGCCCGTGCCTCAATCGACCGCTTCTCGCCGCGGGCCGCCCGCGCGTCGAGAGTTGCGATGCCCACGCAGGCCCTCAAGGACGGCGAGGAGGCGGCCGAGGAGATCTTCCAGCAGGACGAGAGCGTCCGGTCGCTCGACTCGCGCAAGAACCGGCGCGTCTAGGGTCCTAACGTTCGCTTACTCGTCCCCGGGGTTCAACCGCACGGCGACGGTGACGCTCGCGTCGTCCGCGTCTTCACCACTCTCGAACGCCAGCGCGGCCGTCTCGACGAGCGCCGAGCCCGCGGCGAAGGACGGCTCCAGCAGCGCCGCGAGGGGCACCGTCGCCGCGGCGAGGACCGCGAGCGCCTCCGGTTCCTCCGGCGCGGCCGCGGGCGTGGCCCTGAGCACGGAGACGAGCAGTCCCGACAATTTCAAACCGTCGCGGACCGCGGCGACCGCCGGCACCTCGAGCGCGACCTCGACCGGCATCGAACTTTCCGCGTCGGGCGCCGGCGGCGCGACCGGCGCCGCGCGCCAGGGGAGCCGCCGCGTCCGCCGCGCCGTCGCCGGCGGCGCGCCCACGACCATGAGTTCGACGAAGACGCCCTCCTCCTCCGGGCCCGCCTCGTCCGCCGCCGTCGGTGGCGCGCCGCTCAGGCCCAGGAGCGCGCGCAGCGCGACGTGGATTGTGATCGTAGTGTCGTCGCCGTCGGCGGCGTCGACCGGCGCGACCTCCGCGTCGTCGAGCCGCGCGAGCTGCGGCAGGCCAAACGCGACCCGCTTTCGGTAGTTCGGAAGCAGCGCGCAGGGGTTGCCGGTCAGGACGCACTGCCTCAGGTGCATGCACCCGCCGAGCGCGTCGACGGTCACATCCAGCGACGTCAGCGCGTTGTAGGCGCCGTCGAAGCACTCGAGCCGCGGGCACCGCTCGCCGAGGGTCCGCGGCAGTGCCTCGATCTGGTTATACCCGACGCCCAGGAACCGCAGGTTCTCGAAGCGGGGCAGCGACACCAGCGACGCGAGGCGGTTCGAGTAGATCGACAGCGTCTCCATGGCGGCGTGGTCGCCGCCCTCGAAGGCCTCGATCTCGTTGTCGCCCACGTCCAAGTGCCGGAGGGCCGCGAGGTCGCCGAGGGCCGGGCCGAGCTTGCTAAGGCGCCGGTGGCGCGCCTCGATGGTCTCACGCTTGCAGTCCTTGCGCCAGCGCCGCTCTCCATCGTAGTCGTCGGCGTCCGGCGGCTGGGGGAAGACCAGGGCCATGGGGCAGCCCGCGTGCGCCCGGGTCCGCCTCGGTCGCGGGGCTGGTGCCCTCACTGGCTTATGTTCTAGCGCCTGGGTCCGGCACGGCGCTTTCCGCTAGACAAGCGGCGCGGCGGCGCTATGGGCGGGTTCGGGTTTTGTGCGGTTCCTCCCGATGAATACAAAGGTTAGAGTACACAAACAGGCGAACTTACCCCCACGCGAGCTGGTCGACGGCGTCGAGCTCGAGCGCGCGGCACTCTTCAACAAACGCGCGCGCCGCGCCCGGGTCCACCATCAAAACCCGCCCGAGCACGACGCCGTCGAAGCCCGCGGCGGCGAGCGCGCGCACGTCCGCGAGAGACCCGCCCAACCCGCCAGCCGCGAGCGCCACGATATTCGGCGGAATTAAACCCTTGAGGCCGAGACACTGGTGCCGATGCAAGACACCCGTCGCGCGGTCCCGGTCCGAGCAGATGAGCAACGTGGCGCCGGCCTCGAGGGCGAACTGCACTTCGTTGGGGGTGTGCACTTCGACGCACCCTTCGACGCCCGCGACGGTGCACGCATCTAACAAGTCGGGGAGGGCGCCGCCCAGGATGGTCGACGAGAGCCAGACGGCGTCGGCGCCACTTTCGGCCGCGAGGGCCACCTGGATCGGGTGGACGATGAGGTCCTTGGCAAGTAAAGGGGCACTATTGTTCAGGGCCTTGGACGCGGCCACGAGGTCCCCATCAACTCCACCCCACATTTCGGGATCCAGAGACACGCCGACGGCGTCGACGGGCCAGTCCTTGACGTCAGAGACGACGCGGCCGCAGTCGGAGTAAGACGCGAGTTCCTGGGCGCCGTTGTCGGGCCCGCCGTGCGGGCTCCTTCTCTTAATATCCGCCACGACGGCGACTTTCCGAGACACGCCGTCGCCCCGTCTTAATGCCGCGGAGAAGCGCACGTTGCCTCGGTCCGCGACGTACCCGAGCCTCAGTCGCGCGTCCGAGTCCGGCCCGGCGTGCCGCGCGTCGAGGCGCCGCGCCTCGTCGAGCTTGCGCCGCACGGCCTCCTCGAGGTTCGCCGCCTGAAGCGGTGGTGTGCGGCGCCGCGGCGGCGCCGGCTGGAACGCCGCGGCGACGGCGAGGAGCACGATTCCTCGCTGCATGGTGCACAGCCGCACGCTACGATAAATGACGATGAATGCGACACCCCGCGCCGCTGCAGTGCTTTGTTTGCTCCTTTGCTTGCTAGTGTGTTACTGCTAGCTGCGTGGCAGCCTCTCCCCCAACTTGTGGTCGTCATGGCCGTACGCGTGGCCCGCTCTTGCACGAAGTGATCGGGCAGCCGTAGACGACCATGCGGGCGACGGTCCTCGCCCTTGCGGCGACAAGAGCGGCGACGGACTGCCCCATGAGCGTGACGGTGGACGGCACGGCGTACACCTACGACCTCGACGACCAGTGGCGGAGCGTGCGGTGGGACCTCTTCGCGGCGCGGACGATGGTAGCGGCGCTGCCGGCCATCGCCGGCGAGGGCTGTACGGAGCGGGCGTGCACGGTGGACAAGGTAGCGGAAGCGATGGTGCGGAGACGGGCGGAGTGCGACCGCGGCAACGCGGAGGTGCCCCGCATGGCGCACCGCGTGTTCGCGGACCTGCGCAACACGTCACAGGAGGCCGCCGGCGCGTTTGAGGCGTGCGTCCAGCTGAACCCGGCGTGGGAGTTTAGGGCTTGGGAGGAAGCGGACCGGTGGCGGGAGCTGGGCGGCGTCCTGCTGGACGACGGCGCCGAGTGCGTCGCGCCGTTCGGCGAGGGAGACGCGGGCGTCGGCGCGTACGCGTTCGCGGGCGGCGCCGCGGCGCCGCCGCACTTTTCCGGCGACGCGCCTCGGCGCGAGACGTACGCCGCCGTGCGGCCGGGCCCGCCGTTCCCAAGGGCGGGCGGCGCGCGGGTCGAGGCGCGGCGCGGCCCGCTGACGAAGCTCAAGGGGTTTTTCGGAAGCGCGGACCCGGCGCGCTGCGCGCACCTCGTGCAACTGGCGGGCCCGCCGTCGACCGACCCGCGCCTCCCGGACGACGCCGCGCCGGCGGTGTGCCTGGACGACCTCGAGCCGCCCTGCGTCGTCTACAGCTTCGGGGTGGCCGACAGCTGGACCTTCGACGACTTCGCCGCCGCGCGGGGCTGCGAGGTGTTCAGCTTCGACCCCGCCATGGCCCGGCAGGGCGCCTTCCGGAGGGGCGCGCTCATTCGCTTCGAGCCCGTGGGCGTCGGCAACGAGACGCTGGCGTTTTACAACGGGTCCGACTCGACGTCGCTGTTCGGCGGCGCCGCGGCGGGGTACCCCGTCGAGACGCTCGCCGACATCATGGCGCGGCACGCGCACCCCTTCGTGGACGTGGTGCGCATGGACATCGAGGGCGCGGAGTGGCCCGTGCTCGCCGAGATGCTCCGCGGCTCCGTCCGCAGGATCGGCCAGCTGCTCCTCGAGGCGCACTTCTGGGACGAGATCCGGGACAACGCTTCGGCGTCTTCGCGCAAGGCGGTCGAGGCCCTCCCGCTGCTCGAGGCGCTGCCCCTCGGCCTCTTCGCCCACGCGGTGAATCCGTACGACGCGACGTTCCTGGACGAGGATTTGACTCGCATCCACGAGCTCGGCCTGCGGCGGCCGCCCCCGACGCCCCGCGCCGCGACGTGGGCGGTCCTCGGCACGGGCCTCGGCGGCTTCATCGTGGCGTCGACGGTCTCGGCCCACGCCTCGGCGGAGCTCGCGGTCGTCGGTACGCGCTCCTCCGCAAACTGCGCGGCGAAGTGGGGCCTGCCAACGTCGCACTGCGTCGGCTACAAGGAGGCCGCGACCGCTTTCGTGGACGTCGTCTCGGTGCACGTTCCCACGGCCTTTAAGATGGCGTGGGCGCTCGAAGCGTGCGTCAACGGGAGCGCGAGGGTCGTGCTCGTCGACAAGCCGTTTCCGTCGCTCGCGGCCGTCGCGGAGCTGAGGCGAGCGTGCGCGCGGCGCGGCGCCCATGTCGCAGACGGCGCGGCCTTCCCGTACTCGACGGCGCTGTCCGAGGAACTGGGCGGGCGCCCGCGCCGCGCCTCCTACGCGTTCCACCTCGACCTGTGGCCGGAACGTCGCACGACGCGCCGCCGGCCGCTGTCCGATGCGGTCGACTACCGGGGCGCACCGGGTCGCCTCAACCCGGCGCGGGAGCCGTCGGGCATCTTCGGCGACCTGGCGTACTACGCGTTCCTCGGGCTCGGGGCTGCGCTCGGGGAGGCTTTGCCGGACGCCGTCGAGTGCCGCGCGCATCGCTTCGACGCCGAGACGGGCGCCGCCGTCGACGTCTCCGGGAAACTGGGGGCGAATGCCACGTTCTCGGTCTCGTACGCGGCGACGCCGCGCGACGAGCTCGAGGTCCTCTTCGAGGCCGGCGGCGTGGTCGCGAGCGGAGTCGTGGGCGGGGGTGATGTTCTGGACGTCCTGCGCCACCGCTTCGCCGACGGTACGACGTCGGACGCGGTCTTTGAGCGTACCCAGCCGCGCCACGGGGCCGCGGCGAAACTCGTGGACGCGCTGTCCAAGCTGTCAATAGGCGATCGCTCATCGGCCGCGGCGCGCGGCGCCGCGAGGAGGGCGGAGCGAGCCCAGGCCCTCGTCGACGCGTGCGCGCGCTCCGCCGCGACGTACGACGGGGGCGCCGACCGCCGTGGCCTGAGCGCGGCCATCCCGCGCGCGGCGGAGTACCTGCGCACGGGCGTCGCGGCACTCGACGCGCCTCGCCTGCCGTCCGGACTCCTCGCGGAGCTCCGGCTCGGCCTGGGCGCGGCGTTGGCACTGCGACCGCGATCCGTCGTCTACGACGACGCGCAACGGCCGAGGCTCAAGACGTCGCTTTGCTCGCGCTGGGAAGGCACGCGGCGGCCCTGTGCTGCGTTGGGTCCAAGCGCCCTCTCCACCAAGCTCGTCGACGCGATGAGGGAAAGCGTCCTGCCGGCGGCGGTCGCCGCGGTCGGCGCGCCGTGCGAGCTGCTGTCGGTCAGCGTGGACGTCGCCGGGGGGTTGAGCAGGGCGCAGCACCCGCACTGGGACCCCGTTCCCGCGCAGTGGGACGAAAAGAGTGTGCATTATGTGTTTGTGCCCCTCGCCGACGTGGACGAGGCGAATGGCCCGCTGGAGGCGTGGCCGGCGACCTCAGATAGACGCGGCGACGCGCTCGCCGAGCTGGCGGGGAGGCCGGTCGCTGCCGCGTGGCGCCGTGGGGGCGGGCCCCTGCAGGCTTGGCCGGTGGACGACGAAGCGGAGGCGTACTTTCGGAGCGTCCCGTCCGCGACGCTCGTAGCGAAGGCGGGCCTCGCCTACCTCGCGCGGCCGATCGTCTGGCACCGCGGCTCGGCCAACTCGAAGTTTACGGCCCGCTTCGTCGCCACGGTCATTCTGCGAGAGATACCGGGAGGTTAATTAACTAAACTTGCCAGTGAATGTTTCGCGAGCAAACGCCTCGAAGCGGTCGGCGAAGCCCCTCGATCGCCGCGCCGCCCATTCCGACGAAGCGAAGCGTGCCGGCGGCGCGGGCGGATCGTACACGGCCGAGCGCGGGGCCGGCGGCGGTGGCACCAGGTCCAGGTCGCGATGCTCTACGCGGAACCCGGGCACGCAGTTTCCGTTCGCTTCGGCGGCCGCCCGCAGCGCGGCCGCGACGCACGCCAGCGTGGCGCAGGCCGGGCCGCCGTCGGGCCGTCCGAGCGGGGCCCTGATGCCCGCCGCCTCCAGCTCCCGTGCGAGTTTCCTGTCGAAGTCGTCCGCGTCGAGACCAAACACGACGCTGGCCCACTCCGTGCCGTCGACGGCCAAGTCCACCCTACACGAGAAGCCTGTGACGAGGGGCAATCGCTCGGCGACGGCATGGGAAGCGTCCGGGCCGAGCGCATCGACGACCGCCGCCTCGAGCTCCGCCGTCGGCGCCGCCGCCGCGCCCGCCGCGGCGGCGCTCACGTTCGCCGCCCGCAGCGCGAGCACCAAGGCTTCGCGGTACTGGCCGAACGCGGCCGGCGTGCCGCCCAGCAACCGACGCGGCTCGACGCGACGCTCCCCCCGGCGGTCGCGCAGCAGGAGCGTCATCCGCGCCGCGCGATCGCGGGGAGACCCGCCGCCCGCGTGCGCCGCGAAGTCCCCCGGCGCCCAGGCCAACGCCAAGCTCTGCACCCACTCGCAGTGCGTCCACTCGGTACCGCAAAATGTCAACGGCGACCAGAACGCCTGCAGCGAGCCATACGGCAATAATACGAAGCCGGCCGCGTCCGCGTCCACCGCGAGGCCGAGCGCCGTGTTGTCCCACCAGCCGCAGTCCCGGAGGAGGCACGAGTATCGCTCGGTCGCGAACGGCGCGAGCCACGCGCGGCGCAACAGGGACGACGCGCGGTCGCCGCCGCGCGTCGCTACGACGACGCCGGTGTTGAACGGTTCGCGCGCCACGAAGGTCGGGAGCGCGTCGACGGCGAGCGTGTCCTCCGCGAGTGCCAGCGCCGGGTGCGGCGTCGCCATCGAGGTGGCAACGACGTCGTCGTCGACCCAGACGATAGTTTGGTAGGCGCTGGCGCCGCTCTCCAGCAAATCGTGGAGCAGCCAGAGCTTGAGGTGGTGCGCGCTCCGGAGGGGGCTCAGCTGTCCGACAATCGCGACGCCCTCGGCCACGAGTCCCGTCCCGGACGCGTCGAGCGGGAGGAACCCGTACCCGTGCGTTCGCGCGTAGGCCGCCCACGACGTCCACGACGCGCGGGCCACCTCCGGCCGGTCCGACGCGGAGACGACGAGGAGTCGCGTCCCGTGCACCTGGAGCGTTCCGTGCTGAAGCGGCCGCCGGCCGTCCGTCAGATTCCCGACCGACGCGACGGCGGGCCACGCCGCGGCGGCCGCTGCACCCAGAATTACGGCCGCCGCATCGCCTCCGTTTGATTCGCAGGCCGCGGTCGGCCACGCGCATTTGACGCGTGCGCCCGCGGGCAGCGCATCCAGGAACGCCGCCGCCTCCGTCAACACGCGAGCCGGGTCCGCGAGGGTCAGGGCTCGTAGAACTCCGTCGACGTCGAACGCGAGCCGTGGACCCCTTGCACTATGCGTGCTGCCGTCCAGGTCCACTTCTACGGGCTGCCCGGCGACCGCCAGCAGCAGGCCGAACCAGCGCATCAGCTAGGGCAGCCATGATCCATGATGGCGCGTTGGTCGCGGGCCGCAGGCAGCCTTGGCGCACGTTTCGGTGCCTCTGGCAGCTCTTGCCAGAGACTGGCAGAGTCTGGCGTGGGCCGCGGACCGAGGGCCCGGGACGGAGATGCTTCGCGGAGTCCTAACGACGCAAGCAACTACGAAACGAGTTCATTCAAAAGGGTTAGTCGTCGTCGTTCATGGCGTCCGAATCGTCCTCGTCCCCGCCGTCGTCCGGGGTCTCGCCCGGCTCGTCCTGCCAGGACTGCTCGACGACCTCGCGCACGCGCCGGTCGTACTCGCGGCGGTGCTCCGAGTAGAGCCGCGACGCCTCGCTGTTCGCGGGCGACGCCGGGTTCGGGTCCGACAATAGCGACTGGATCGACGTGAGGATCGCGGAGATGTCGTAGATGGGGGACCACTGGTTCTGGAGGATGTCCAGGCAGATCTGGCCGTCGTTGTAGACGTTGGGGTGGAAGACGCGCGTCGCGAAGCGGACGGCGGGCGCCTTGTTCGGGTAGTCCTCGCTGAAGTTCATTTCCAACCTAAACGTGCCGCCCTCCCAGGGCGTGTCGTCGGGCCCGAAGATGACCGCTTGCCACACAAGTATATTTGCGTCGTCCGGCGCCGCGGTGACGCCCGCCGGCGGGTCCGCCTGGAGCCGCTTGAAGTCCCGCACTAAACGCCGTCGGGCAGAGGAGGACATGGGGTTTGTCAGGGGTGCCGCGCGCGGCAAGCGCTGCGGGAGGAGGTGCTGTGTATATTATGCCGCTCAACAGCTACTTTCTCGCGCCGTCTGCGATGCGGATTTCGCGAGCCACCAACGGAATAGAGGGAATCGTGCTGCTTAGCGCGTTTCACAGCGGTTCCCTTGCTGCGCGAGCGCTGTGAGCGCCGGCGGCCATGGCTCTAGTGTCTTACAGCCGCTAGCTGCAGCTTGGGCGTGGCTCGCCACTTGGCTCGCGCTGGACTAATAGAGCCACTTGGAGCAGCCATCGGTGAATCTGAGCAGCATTGGTGAATCTGAGTAGAGTAGCATGCACTCTCGCCTTGCTTTCCTCTTTGCTGGAGCCGCCTGCGCTCTCACACCCGTCCCGAACACCGCGCGACGACGGCGCGTGGTCTGTCGCGCGAGTGACTGGACGCAGAGCGAGGACTGGGCGCTCACGGACGGGGCCAAGCGGTTCACGAGGTCGTCGCGGACCGGCGACGAACGCCTCTTCTACGAAGACCTCGCGGCCTCGCTGGGGCCCGCGGCCGGCGCGCGCCCGGCGACGGAGTTACGGGCGCGCCTCGAGGCGCTCGGGTGCACGGCGCCGCCGCCGCCGCGCGTCCTCGATGCCTGGCGCGAGGAGAGCGCCGGCGAGCGCTTCTCGGGCACGCTCGACGGCGACGTCACAGAGGTCGCGACGGCGAGAGTATCATTCCTCGGCGCTGAAGAGACCCGATACGTGGAGACGACCGGCGGGGAGATCATACGGCTCGGAACGCCCGCGGACGCGCCCGCCGCTCCTGTAGAGTCGTCACTGCCGCCGCGGTTGTCGTTGACGGCGCCGACGCTTCCGCGCTGGGCGCCGCTCGCCGCGCTGCCGCTGGCGCTCCTGCTGCTCGCGGCCCGGTCCCTGGCGCCGCCGGAGGGGGCGGCGGGCACGTACCTGTACGAGTCCACGACGGTCGTCACGCAGCGGGCCTTCGACGACGAAGGTGACACGGTCGTCCGCGTGCAGAGGCGGCGCGCGACGCGCAGTAGCGAGGCACCGCAGACGCGCGTGCAGACCGATACGGTCGTCCGGCGGACGGCGCGGGGCGACGACGGCACGCTCGTCAAGACGACGACGCGGGATCGGGCCGTCAACCCGACCTTCGACGCGGAACCGCGGCCCGCGACGAGTGCCGAGATGTCGGCGCTCCTGCGACCAAAGGGCGCGCTGCCTCCGGCAACGGGAACGCCCTCGTCGGCGGCCACGCCCACGCCAGACGTCGACAACCCCCCGTGATTTATATGTTTTATACTGGTATACCTAGGTACCCATATTACAGCGGTGCGGCGCGGCAGCGTCTGCAGCGCAGCGTCGCAGCTGCGACGCCACGCGCCACAGGCAAGGGCAGCGCTAAAGCAGCGCTGAAGCAGGAGCGCTGGCCACGGCAGCCCGAAATGGAGCGGCTGCTGTTGTTTCTCGCAGTGGCATGCTTGGCATGCTTGGTGTGTGGCGTGCCCGCGGCCGAGCTGGCGGAATGGATTGATGCGTTGAGCTCGCCCTCTGACCGGCGCGCGATGGCCGCCGACTACTGCGCCTCGCGCGCGGAGGCCGGCGAGTCGGAAGAAGCGTGCCGCCGGAGGATCGCGGCCGGGCTCGAGCGGGCCCGCGGCGCGCTCGCGGGCCCGCCCGCGCGGCCGCCGGCGATGGAGGTGGACGCCACCGGCCGCGTGCTGGCGACGGTGCAGCTGCTGGCGCTGGACCCCGCGACGCGCCGGCTTGCGCTGCCTCCTGGGAAGCGCCGGCTCTGGGTCGAGGTGGGCGCGAGCCGGCGGAACCTCGTCGCGGACCACGAGGCGCGCTGCCTGGCGGACGATGATGTTTTTATTGTCTCCTTCGAGCCGCTCCTCGCGGACTACTTCTTCGCTTCTATGAAACCCAACGGCGCGCGCGGGCCCCGCGCCTGGGACGACCCCGGCGGCCCGCTGGCGGCGCTGCGCGGCGACCCACGCCGCGGCGTCGTGCTCCCGTTCGCCGTGGCGGACAGCGACGGCCTCCTGGACTTCCGCGTGTCCGAGAACCAGGGCTGCTCCTCAATTCTGAAAGCCGCGCCCGGCATCCACGGCCACGACCCCGCGCTGTACGCGGCGACGAGCGCCTGCGCCAACATGACAGAAATGCGCCGCGTCCCGGCGCTCTCTTTGTCTACACTCTTCGAGGAGCTCCTGCCCGCGGGCGCGCGCATCGACTTCCTCAAGGTCGACACGCAGGGCACCGCGCTGGACATCCTGCGGTCCGCCGGGGCCCACTCTTCAAAAGTCGACGCGGTCATGGTCGACGCGCTCGTCGACGGCGCGCGCCCGCTCTACGAGGGCCAGAACACGTGCGCCGAGACGGCGACGCTATTCGAGGCCTCCGGCTTCGCCGTCGCGCGCGACGCGGCGGGCGAGGCCGCCGTCTGCGCCCAGGCGACCGCCTTCCACCGCGCCTACGACCCGACCGCCGAGTTCGGCGCCGGCGCGCGGGAGCTCAACTTCTTCGCCGCGCGCGACCCGGAGCGACGGCGGCCCGCGTGCGCGCTCATGTTCCAGACCCTCGAGGTCGACGACTACCTCTCCGCGGGCCAGCCCGCCCAGCTCCCCGGCTGCGACCGACCGGGCGAGCGCTGCCACCACTGCGAGGACAATGGCGGGACCTGCCACATCTATTTCGACGAAAACACCTGCACCTGCCGCTTCCATCTTTAGTTATTTGTTTTTTTATTATTCGGGTTCGGGTTTACACGGCGCGGTCTCGGGTTTTGCATTATTAGCCTCTCGGGTTTTGCCCCTTGGCCCTCTCCGATACACCCCTTGCGCTTTTGTGCCAGTATAAAACATACTAGATTTGCTACCTTTTGGCCGAGGCTGCCCGCACCTCATGCATGCTTGCGTCGTAGGTGACAAAGCGTGTGGTGTAACACATGCGTGCGCACCAATGACTCGTAAGGGGCAGCCCATGGCAGCGCTAAGCCAGACGTAAGGCCATAGACAGATGCGGGTCCGGCTCCTCCTCCTCCTCGGCGTATGCAGTGACGGGAGCAGCTACGACGTCGACGTCGTGGCGAGGCTCCCCGGCGGCAACGACGATGCGCGAGCACGCGCGTACCGCACGATTCACGCGACGGGCCTCCGCACGCATCCGCTGCACTGCCCGCTCGACGCGTCGCTCTTCACCAAAATGGTCGCCGACGACGACGCCGTCGTCGCCTGCTTCGCCGACGCGTTGGAGGCGACGATCGCCGACGAAAACAAAAACGCGTCGGGCTGGTCGTGGGCCTCGTTCGCGGCCGGCGCCGGCGGCGAACTGTTAGTACCGACGGACTTCGGAGGCATCCGAACCGGCGGCGTGGCGTGCTTCCACCAGGTGCGTGACGCCTGGGCCGCGGCCGGCTACTCCGCGACGATGGTCCTGCCGGACGCCTACTATCGGACGGCGCGGACGCCCGGCCGCCAGGCGTCGGGGCCGCTCGTCGGGTTCCGGGGCGCGCGCGACGTTCTCCTGGTCCCGGAGGGCTGGCACTGGACCGGCATCGGGGCGCTCCGCGAGCGGGCCGCGGCGCGCTTCTACTCGTTGACGCTGGCTGCGGCCGATGACCGCGGCCGCCCCGTCGCAAAGCACAAGGCGTTCGACGGCACACAAGGGGTCGCGGCGGGCTGGGCCGTCTCCCGCGACCTTCATAAACGCTACGGACTGCTTGGCGCGCCCGAACTCTACGCGGCGCCGTGCCCCGTCGAGGACCGGTACTACCGGGCCGCGGCCGCGGCGAAAGCCGCCGTCGGCGCGGGAGCCTTGGCGGACGTAGTAGAGGCTCTGACAAACCGCAACGCCACGGCCGACCAGGTCGTCGCGGCCGCGTTGGCGAGGGTCAATCAAACGCGAACGGGGGCGCTCGTCCTCGTCGACACCGACGGGTATCGGGCGGGCGGGCAAGTACGCGCGGCTCTGACTGAGACGGTCGCGCGGCTGCGACGGCGGGGCTACGCCGTGCTGAAGCTAAAGGGCTTTGCCCCCCGGGACCTCCCGACGCTCTACGCGGCGGCCGCCGCCGTCGTCGACTTCCACGTGCCGGGCCCAGAGCGCGTGGTCATGGAGGCGGCGCTGTTCAACTGCTGGCCGGTGCTCGTGGACGAAGGCTATGGTGGTTCGGCGCTGGACTTCCCCATCCCGGAACGTTTCCGTTTGCGACGCGCCGACGCGTCCGCGGCGGAAGCCGCCGTGGTCGAGCTTGTGGAGGGCCGCGGGAACGCTACCTTGGAGGCCGAGTTCGCGCCGTGGCGGCGGCACGTCGAGGCGCTGCCGGAGCGTTTCGACGCCGCCGTCGAGGCTTTTGCGTTCGCGTCGCATCTCCAGGTCCACGTCGAGGCCTGCGGCGCCGCCGCGAGGCCATTCGCGGCGATCGCGTCCGCGCTGCGCGCGTTTCCGCTGGCTTCGATCGAGGTTCACGCGGGCGACGCTCCGCGGTTCCTGCGCACGAATTATGAAGGCGTCGAGGCGCTCGCGGCGCTCGGGCTGACCGACGCCGAGACGGGCGGCAGTGCGTACCACGCCGTGCGCTTCCGCGACGGGTGCGCCGCCCCTGGGTTGAATGATCTCGCGAGCGTGAGCCACGGCGTCGCGTGGCTGGTGCTGCCGCCGGGCGTTCTGGTCGCTGAGACCGCCGCGCCGACGGCGCGCGCCGCGCTGGAGGCCATGTTCGACGCGCACTGCCGCGCGGCGGCGCTCGACGCGCGCGCGGCGCTTTACCTCAACGAGACCGCGCTCACGGGCCGACCTGCCACCCGAGCGCGCTGCGTCGGCGGTCCCGTTCCCGGTGTAGCGGTCGCCTTCGCCGCCGACCTCCTTCGGAACCTGCCGCGCTGGGCGGCCGACGCCCCGCCGCCGGCCGTCGCCGTCGCCGTGGAGCCAACCAATGACGTCGTGGCGGAGATTTTTGTCGACGGCGAGGCCCGCGTCCACCGTTTCGCGCCGGCCAAGGATTTTGATACGTTAATCGCCAACGGCCGCGACCTCCTTGTCGCCAATAATCTGTCGTCAAACGCCGCTGGCCTCGCGGGTATCGTGGCGCGCCTCGCCGAGCTCCAGGGGCTACCGTCGGTGGAGCGATGCGTTCGAGACGACCTCGTTCCGCCGTTCGCCGCGCGGGCGTTCGAGCGCCGCCGCCGCGAGGAGCTGGGCCGCTGGGCTAACAACCAAGGTCTCGACCTCGGGTTCGTCGACGCGGCGCTGCGGCGGTGGCGGCCTCAACCGATACGGTTTCGCGAGGACGGCGCGCGGCTCACGGCCCTCGACTGGGACTGGCAGGGGTACGCCGTCTGCCTCACGCACGGCGCGCAGGACGCTGAGACGAGTGCGCAGCTTGTAGAGAAGTGGAACCGGACGGTGATTGCCGGGAAGACGCGCGTTCTGGACCTGCTGGCGCTCCTCCACTTCACGACCGACCGGTCCGACGCCGTGCTGGGCTACACGTCGCAGCTCGTCCACGCGCTGCAGGTCTACGCCGCTGTTTCCAACGCCACGGATATCATCTTTGACGAGCGCGACGCGCAATACAGGCGCGACATGCGGCTTGCGGCCCTTATCCACGACCTCGGCAAGCTGCTGAGTCTGTTTGGGGAAGCAGATGCGCACGTCGACTGCACCAATCGGGCCCTGGCGGTCGATCCGGGCGGGGGTCTCGACGCGATCCGGGCGCAGTTCAACCACGACGAGTACGGCTACCTCAAGCTCCGCGGCCTCGGCCTGCCGCGCCGCGTCGAGCTGGTGATCCGGTTCCACTCGCTTTTTGATCTGCGCAACACGACGGTACCCGACGATCACGCCATGCCTTGGCTTCAGCCAGCGACGAACCTCTACGACATGGACCTAAACCCCGCCGACGAACGCGCCCGCGCCTTCATCCTCCACTTCTCGCACTACGACCAGAAGGCGAAGCGCGCCACGGACTACATTCCCGACGTCGATTTGGTAGAGATCGAGGCGCTCCTCGCCGAGGCATTTCCGCCCGACGGGCGGATTCCGTTCTAGCCTCTAGATAGAAGATGTAACTTAAAAACAACTCAGGGCGCAGACGCCGATGTCCGCCGCCGCCCGTAGGCGACAAAAGTCGCTGCGGCGGCCGCGCAGACGGCGAGGCCGAGGCACGTCGCCGCGTCGAGGGCTTGCGCGTCGCGGTCGACGAGGAGAGCCGCCGCCGCCAGCGCGACACCCGCCTTCACCGGGCTAAGAATTGCGTACAGCACGGGCCCACCCGCGGCGACGCTCACGCTCGCCGTCGTCCACCGCAGCGCGGCGGCCAGGCCGCAGCTCAGCGCGAGAAGACCGGGCCGGGGCGGGCCGCCGGCGCTCGCGGGCCAGCGAAGCGCGACAGTCGCCGCGACAACGACCTCGACAGCGCCCGCGCCCAGCCACGCGCCGTCGTCCGGACCGACGCCGTGGCGATGCCGGAGCGCGTTATGACAAACTTGGTACGTAGGCTGGAAGCACGCCGCAGCCGCGAACGGCGCGCAGCGCAGGGCCTTCGCCGCGTCGCCGCGCCCCGTTCCTATAGTCAATCCGAGCGCGCTGACGGCGCAGCTCCACCACCCCGTCACCGTCAGCGCACCCGCGTCGAGGAGCGCGGCCTGGACGACCGCGGACCAGAGGGGCGCGGCCAGCTTGTAGAGCTGGAAGTCGGCCATCGTCGCGCCACCCGCAACGCCGCGGTTCCACAGGAACACCTGCACCACGCCCGCGACGGCCTGGACGAGGAGCAGGCCCCAGGCGCCGTTTGTGATAGGCCGTTTGCGTTTCGGTCGCCGGCGGATGCGCTGCCCGATGCCACGGCACGCCAGCGCCGTGGCAGCGTGCGCGACCGTCAGGCGCCCCGCGTCGACCGCGCCGCAGCGCACGAGCGCATTATTCACGAGCGTCAGCGAGACGGAGCAGACCACGGAGGCGACGCAGACGACCCAGGTTGGAAGCACCATCGCATTTTGCTCGGTTCGTGAGGCTGCCCGAAGATGCACCCTAATATCTCCGATTTTCTCACGATCCATGCTACGGTCCCGCCAGTCCTGCGTCACCCCCAAGACTCGCTGCTAGAGCGTTTATATCAGGCTTGAAAAATCGACCTGCTGTCAGGGCTAATTCAGTACCTTTGCAAGCCAGGGGCAGCATGGACGGAGCACGACCCGTGCATCGCGCGGGGGCCGGTCACCGATGACGCGGACGTGGGCAGCATGGGCATCACCATGGGCCAGCCTTAGCTAGTGCTACGTAGCATAAGAATGCGGCGCTGGCGTGTATTTTGCCTGCTAGTGCTGCCCGCGCGCGCCCAGCTCGAGCTGTCCGGAGATCATGCGTCGCCGAGCGTTCGGAGATGGCCCACCGACGTGCGCTGCACCGCGGCGGACGCGACTCTAGAGGTGAGCCTCGACGACACGACGCGCCGCTACGGCCTCGACGACGCCGGCGCCGTCGAGGCAATCGCGAACGCGACGTGGGGACGCGCCCCGGCGTCGTACCTTACGCGCGCGCACGCGATACGCGTGGGCCTGGCGGCGCTCGCGGAGACGGATCGGCTCCCGGATCTGGTCGACGCGGTCGAGCGCGGCGGTTTCTTGCACTTCTTCCCGCGGCCTGCCGTCGGGGACGCGTTGCTGGCGCTCGGCGCGCAGCTCTGCGCGTCCACTGAGGGCGGGGTGCACTGCGACAACGGCATTGAGTTGCGGAAACTCCGCGAAGCTCCATCACAGGTCAACCTGTGGTTCGCGGCCGACCGGAGTCGCGTCAGCGAACGGTGCGCTGACGCGCTCGAGAGCCTCCGCGCGACGTGCGCGGACTATGCCGAGTGCGGACGCACGTTTGCACCGACGCGCGCGCGCGCGGACGCCGCGCTGACCGCTATTCTACATGGTGGCACGGATCCAAACGGAGGCTGCTGGTACGTCGTCGAGCCGAACATGCGCCTGGGGGCCACGGGCGGCATGCGCGCGCTGCACCTCGTCGCACGTCAGTTGTTAGACCTAGGGCGGTGCGTGCGTGTCGTGACGCTGCGCGACGCATTCGCAGACGTCGTGGCGGAGGGCTCCGCCGACGTGGCGCGGGCCGTGAACCTGACGGCTGAGGAATTCGTCCAGTGGCACGTGCCCCTGCGGCCGGAGGATACGGTGATTGTCCCGGAGGTCTCGGCAGATTTCGCCGCGGGCATCAAGTACCGGTTGATTGACGTGCGCACGCAGGTGCCGATTCCCGGGGCGGCGCAGATCGTTTCCGAGAGCGCGGACGTCGAAGAAACGGTGAGGGACTACGAGGCGCGCGGCGGTATCGTCGCGCGCTACTGCATGGCCTTCCAACCGGGCCACGGGCACCGCCCCGAGCCCAGCGTCTCGGTCCACCTAGGCATCTCCGACTGGTTGCATAGGGCCTTCTCGGGCAGCGGGCCGTGGGCCGAGGTTTCCCTGCACCCGCGCGACCTCGCTGAAGCTGAGCTGTGGCGACGACGCCCCATCAACGGGCGCATGGAGAAGAAGCGCCAGGGGCCGCCCCTCGTCGTCTACGACGACGACGTGCACTGGCTCGACGGCGACGAATTTACAGAAGCGCTCGGCCGGGCATGGGTCGCTTCCAACCGAAGCGGATCGCCGCCGGTCGCCGTTATGTACGACGGCTTCTCCGGCTCACAGAGATACGACCTAATGAAGAACGCGTCCGTATACGTGGACCTGAATATGCCGGGCCTCGAGGGCGGCATCTCGGAATTCCTCTTCTTCGACGGGGCGCCGCTGATCCCTGACGCGTTCCTTGGGACGGAGCACGACCCGTGCATCGCGCGGGCGCCGGTCACCGATGACGCGGACGTGGTCGCAGGACACGTCATGAGGACGCTAGACACGCTCGCGTCGCCGGAGGGGGCAAAAGCTCTGGCGGTATGCGCGGACCGGAACTTCGCCAAGGCACGTGCTGTCTTTGGGGACTTCTCCGAGACGTGGCGCGCGTACGAGTTAAGTCGGCGGACGCGGTTCGTGTTCTTTGCGCGCGAGTTCCTCGACTGGCGCTACGCGGCGCCCTTCGTCGCCTCGGCGTTCGCGCGCCACGCGTTCTCCGACGTCGTACTGCTGACGCCGCGCGAACTCGAAGGCAGAGCATTTCAGGCGCTACTGGGCGATACCATGGGGGTGGCAATGGCCAGGCTCGGCGTGCGTCGGCGAGTTCTTTTGGCGGACGTGCGGAACAAGACGGGCGACGCCGTGCTCGAGCACATTTTCCCGACGCTTTCGGCGGTGCGCGAGTTTACAGTTCTAGTCGTGGGGCGCGCGACCGCGCCTACGCTCGAAGCGCTTGACGCGGCGGCGGCGGGCCTCGAGCCGGGCGCCTGCGCCCCGGGCGACCGCTTCGTGCTCTGCCGCCGTGGACCGGGCCTCGACGCCGCGCGCGTGGCCTTGATGCTCGTCGCCACCCTGGAGCGACCGGCTCAGCTGGATGCGTGCGGCGATCTCCGGCGCCACGGTCTCTTTGCCCAGCTCGCGGCCGTGATGTACCCCAACGCCCTCAACGCGCTCGACGAGGCCTGCGGCGACGCCATCGAGGCTGGGAGGCTCCATAACTTCGGGCGCGCCTTTTACCACGCCGAGTAGGGCCCACAGCCCACGGCGGAACTGGTCAGCAACCCAAGGATACGTCGCCATATCATAGCAGGTACCGTGGTACCGTACCGTAGGTACCTACGGTAGAGAGAGAAACCTACTAGCCCCTTGCGTCCTGCGGCTTGTAATATGTGTACCCCTTACATAACACTGCGACATACTCTTGCTACCGCAGTATACGGTACCATGGTACCGTGGTACCGGTACCATGGTACGCGCCAGCTTGTACTCCCACCTACGGCTGCCCGGGAACTGCCCAGCGCATGGATGCTCCCTCGCGCATCAGAGCATGGGGGTGATACGCGTGCTGCTGTTTCCGTGCGGCAGCGGCGTCGCCGAAGAACTGTTCGAGGGCTTGCATTTACTACGAGACGTCGAGCTCGTGGGCGCGACCTCAAGGTCGGCCGAAGGCGACCACGGGCCCTGCCTCTACAACGAGTACATTACCGACGTGCCGCTCATCCGCGAAGGGGAGAAGTGTTTCCAAACTCTCCGCGCGATTGTCCGCGACCGGCGCATTGACGTCGTCTTTCCCTGTTACGATGATGCGATCCCGTACCTCGCGGCGCGGCGCGACTCGCTGGGTTGTGCGCTATCGGCGCCGTCGCTGGAGACGTGTCTCGTGACGCGCTCGAAGCGCCTCACGTACGAACGTTTGGCGCCCCTCGGCGTCCGGTGCCCAGCGGTGTATGAAGCAGGCGCCGCAGTGTACCCGTGCTTCGTCAAGCCCGAGCGCGGCCAGGGTAGCCAATCCTCGGTCGCGTGCGGCGACGCGGCCGCACTCACCGAGGCGATGCGCGCGTGCGCGGACCCGCTCGTCTGCGAGCTGCTGCCGGGCGAGGAGTACACCGTGGACTGTGCTTCCGATAGGGACCGGGGTTTGGTCTGGTACGGGGCGCGGCGGCGAGTTCGCGTGAGAGCCGGCCAGTCCGTCTGCACGGAGTGGTGCGATTTCCAAGGAACGCCGGACGGCGATACCGTCAAACGGTACGCGACCCTCATCTCCGACGCGTTCGGTATGAGGGGGGGCTGGTTCTTCCAGCTCAAGCGCAACGCGGCGGGCGAGCTTGCGCTGCTGGAGGTCGCGCCGCGGCTCGCGGGCGCCGCTGGCCTCGCGCGGTGCCTGGGCGCGAACCTCGCGCAATTGACTCTTCTTGAGATCCGGAGGGACGCAGCGTGGTCGGTCATGACAAACATTACGTGCTACGCGCCGCGCCTGCGCATGGATAAGGCGTACGCGACCATGCTCGTGCCGGACGCGGCGGCCGGTGGCGCCACGCCAGGGGCCGCCTACGACACCGTCGTCGTTGACCTCGACGACACGCTCGTCCTGGGACGTGGAGCCGGCCAGCGCGTTAACGTCGCGCTCGTTGCATTCCTCTTCCAGGCGCGCAATGCGGGCAAGAAGCTCGTCCTCGTCACGCGCTCGGCGAGCGACGTCAGCGTCGTGCTTGCACGGCACGCGCTCACCGAACTCTGGGCCGAAATTCATCATCTTCGGGGCGGCGAGCCCAAATCCGCGCACGTCCCTCCAACCGCGATCTTCGTCGACGACAGCTTCGCCGAGCGCCGCGAGGTGGCGGCGGCGACCGGTGTGCCGACGTTCGACGCGACTATGGTCGATGCCCTCGTCGACCGCCGGCTCTGGCGCGCCGCGCCCGCCACGTCCGATTCACCGGAAGCGTGCCCGACGCGGTACGAGGTCCGCGACTGCCTGACAGATACGCGAGCGACCGGCGTCACCGTCGCTGCGATCGACGTCGTCCTCCTCGACGCGCTGCGCGCGCGCGTAGCGTTGCACCTCGACGACCTTGCCGCGCGGCTTCTCGCCGCCCCGGGGGCGGCGCTAGACGTCGCCCCCGAGATATGGGCAGGCCTACGCGGCGCGCTCCGGCGCGCCAGCGCCCCCACGGCGGTCGTGGACGACGTCCACACGCTCGACGTGGACCCGAGGTCCGGCGCGACGATCGTCGCCGACCTCTGCGCCGACAACTCCGAGAGCATCGCCGGCGGTGCCTATCGCTACATCGCCTGTACCGAGGTCCTCGAGCACACGGCCGCGCCCTGGGCCGCCGTCGTCGAGCTTGCGCGCCTGCTCGCCCCCGGCGGCCTCCTCTACCTCTCCGTGCCCTACAACTTCCGGATACACGGTCCCCTGCCGGACGCGTGGCGCATCAACGAGCACGGCATTCGCCACCTCGCCCGCCACGCAGGCCTCGAGCTTGTGGAGCTCAGCGCGTTAGAGACGCCCGGTCGGCCGCTCCACCCGGTTCACTACACCGTGGTCCTCGCAAAAGACCCCAGTTAGCTACGAGGGGTAATATATGAGTACTATAAACACAGGGAAGTTGCGCGGTCGACCACGCCGGCCCGATCCTTCTCCAACGCCGCCTCGGCCCGGTCCAGCTCGGCGAGGCGCACCCGCAGAGCGTCGCGCTCTGTTCCAATGGTGCGGAGTGCGGCAGCGTAGTGTGACGTGTCGAATTCGCGGGGCGCGAGCGGCGGCGCTGCGGCGTAGTCGCGCCGATGGTCGCGGACGTCGCACAAGGCAGCGACGACGCGTTCGACGTCGGCGGCGGAGACGACTGTGCCCGTGGGCAGGATCAAGATGTCGCTGTTCAACGCATCCGTCGTTTCTAAATCAAGAGCCGGGCAGTCGAGGAACGGCCGCTGCTTGTGAACGCCGGGAAAGAAGTAGCGCTTCGCGTGGACGCCGCGGTCCCGGAGCGCGCGCATGACCGCGTCCCGGTTCAGCCCGAATGCCGGTCGGACGCGCACGATGACGTACGCGTGCGTATCCCGTTCGTCGTCAAGGCGCGGCTCGTTCCAGTACGTCACCAAATTTGGAATGAGGCCGCGCCGCCGCAGCGCGTCGCCATAAGCGCGCGCGACGCGCCGATATATGGAAATGGTCGCATCCACACATCGCAAATGCCTCAGCGCGAGCGCGGCGTGCGGCTCACTGAGCTTCGCGTTCGTGCCGCCGTGCGCAATAGTGTCCTGGCCGGCGAAGCCGAAGTTGCGCGTGGATATGACGCGCGCAGCGAGCGTTGCGTCGTTCGTCGCCACGAGGCCGCCCTCGAACGAGTTGAGGAGCTTGGTCGCGTGAAGGCTGAAGACCTCGGCCCGGCCGCGCCCGCCACAAAACGCACCGTCGGCGTGGCGCGCGCCGAAGGCGTGCGCCGAGTCGTAGACTACGGGCCAGCCGCGCGCCGCCGCAAAGGCTTCGAGCGACGCCGCGTCGCCCGCGCGGCCCCACAGGTGCGCGGCGACGACCGCTCGCGTTTTGTTTGTTGCCGCTCTCGCGAGCATCTCGGGCGTCGGGAAATGCGTTGCCTCGTCCACGTCCACGAACACCGGCTTGAGGCCCGCGTTTCGCACCGCGTGCGCCGTCGCGACGAATGTGAACGATGGCAGCAGCACCTCGGCGCCCGGGGCGAGGTCGAGCGCGCGCAGCGCGAGTTCCAGCCCAATCGTGCCGTTGGCCACCGCGACGACGTACGCAACTCCTAAATACTCGGCCGCTGCCCTTTCCAATCGCACGACGAACGGGCCGTGGTTCGTGAGCAGCCGTGTGGAGAGGATTTCTGTGATATCCTTCAGGAAGCCCTCCACGTCCAGCACGTTCGGCCGCCCGACCACGAGCGGCTCTTCCGGTGGCGCCGGCGGGGGCAGCCCGTTCTCCGCGGCCATGGTTCGGCAGATGGTGCAAGCCAGCCAGAGACCACCCTGCAGGCCTGGGGCTGCCAGCGGATGCCCAGCGCAGCGAGGCAGGCAGCAGCTGATATAGAAGGCAGGTGAGCTGAATAGCTCGATTGCGCGGGCAGCCGACATGCCCGGCCACCGTGCCTATCGCGCATGGTTCGTCATTGCAGCCGTGGTTAGTCTAGAGGTGCTTCTTGGGAGAGATCGCACCGTCGTCGACTATGACGGCGGCGACAACGAGGCGCGCGCGCTATTCTTCTGCATGAATCACGGGGTGGGCGAGGACGAGAACTGCGTGGAACGCCTCGTCCTGGCCGCCCGCGAGCGGAACGAGACGTACAAGAAGGAGAAGACGCCGTCTTGCGACTACCAGGACACGGATTGCGTGCGCACGTGTGGCTCCCACGACACCAAGGTCGGCGGCGACAACCGGGCGACCATCGAGGCCTTTAGCGAGTACGACGACTACTTCGACGCGGAGCCCTGGCGGCCGCAGGGCCAAGACATGGTCGACGCGGTCTACAAGCACATTGTCGAGGACGAGGCGGGTTATGTCGTGTTCCCACGCTATTTGACGGAGGACCAGACGCGCCAGATGCGCGAGGAGCACGACCGGCTCTTCAACGGCGGCGATTGCGTGCAGCGGCCCGACTCCGACGCGGGCGTGGGGACAATATGGGCGGCCGAGGCGTACAGTCCGGTCATCGACGCGTTCGCCGCCGACGAGTCGTTGCGTGCGGCAGCAATCAAGGTCATGAACCAGTCCGAGCACGGACGCGCGCTCCTCGCAGAAGGATTCGTCGAGGTGACCAGCACCGCGTTTTATCAGAACATGGCCGCGTGCTCCTACGAGAACGAGTACGCGAGCCCCCTCTGCGGAATCGTCTCCGTCTCGCCCGCGTTGGCCTCCGCGTTGGAATCTCTGGATCGTCCGCGGGCGTCCCCGGAGCGACAGTCGATCTCGACGCAGGTCGGGATACCACCTCGACCACCTCAACATTGGCGTCAAGTCGCTCCTGTACTTGAATGATGTCCGCGGACCGTGTTGAAATCGATGCCGTGTTGAAATCGATGCTACCCAAAGGGGGCAATCGTCGCCGCAGGTTCGCAAGGAGGAGGGTCCATTCGTGGTCCTGAAAGACTACCCCGAGATCGAAAACGAGTGGGGCTTCGCCCAGCCGGATCCGCGGGTACTGCCGGTGTGCGTCGGCGAGGTGGAGTCCACGGGGAAGCGCCCGCTGCAGTTCTCGGAGGACCACGTTGCGGACCTGGTCCAACGGAGAAAAGCAAGAGCGGTTGAGATCCATGCGCCCGCGGGCTCGGTCGTCCTCTTCGACATGCGGCCCGTGCACACCGGCAAGGGCCTGGTGAATTCGACACGCATGTCAGTCGCGAATCGGCGTCGAAGTTTCGCTCGCGAAGGATCCGCGGCATTGCCGCGGTGTCGAATGCGACTCCCCTTTTTTTCTTCAGCGTCAAACGATTCCACTTTGATGTCGCAGGTCACGAACATGTACGGGATCTACCCGTCGCGCGTCCGACGCGAATTCCCCGGCGAGTCCGTCAAGGAACACATCCACCGCGTCTTTTCGACCGCCAAAACCACGGACAGTGTCGCCAAGTTTGCCGAGCACGCTGCGCTGGAGGGCGGCTACGTGCCAAGCTGCGAGCAGATGTCCACGTGGCGGGGACCCGGGCTGCACGTTTGAGGGCCCTCTCTTGTGCGTGGCACCTGAGGCCGGTGGGCTTAGGCAGTGGGCTTACTAAAAAAAGTGTGTGTAGTAGTATCACTGCCAGTGGCATAGCCTCCGGGATTATATATCTATATATATATTGTCCCATCCTAGCCCTAAGCAAAGCAATTGTTTATTTAAAAAGGAAGTTATAAAAGGTATAAAAAGGGGCCCGGATAGTAGGTAGATTGCTACCATACTTGTAGCTCAGAAATACCTCCTAATGGGTGTTCAGCTGGCTCTAACGGGCCCGGCCGGCGTCTGAGTGTCTGGCCCAGGTCGCAGTGGATGCTACTACATTGCTAGCTACTAAGCTAGGAAGTAGGCTAGCCTGAGGTAGGAAGTAGGGAGTAGAGGTGGGACTCGGACTCGGAAGTAGACTACTTGTAGTAGGTGGCCTTGCAGCCCTAGCTCCAAGCAAAGTTACAAGGGGAAGACAATTAAGCTGAGCTCTCTTCTGAGCGGGGGGCAGAAGACGGCTTCTGCGCCAGCACGATCTGGTGCCACGGGTCCTGGAGAGTCATGACCTCGAGGTCGTAGCCGAGACAGCCCTCAACGGCCTCCTGGAGCAGATCGAAGTCCCAGACGTGCCAGTGTCCCCTGTTCTCGTCGACGCCGCAGGAGGCATCGCCCGCGTCCACGCCAGGCGCGCATCGCGAGAAGAGGTCCGAGCGGTTCAACTTGGGCCACACAAGAAGAAGCTGCTCCGCGTGGCGCGAGAGGATCTTGGCGTCGAAGGATGCGTCGCGCTGAGCGAGATGAACGAGCTGCTGCATGGTGGCCGGCTCCCGCCGCGCGTCGTAGTCGACGTTTGGCGCCCAGGGCAGGAGCAACAGCATCCACCCCCCGGGTTTCAATTTCCGGTCCCACTCGCGCAGCGCGCCAATCGGGTCCAACATGTGCTCGAGGACGTGCGACGCCATAATCACGTCGTAAGCAGCGTCTGGCACTCCAACTAGCCGCGCCGCGTGGCGCTGGTACGTCGTGCCCATGACCGTGCCCATGGGCGCGAAGGGATGGCCGTCAAAGTCGCCCTCCTCCGGGTATGCTCCCCACTGGTGCATGAGCGCGAAGATGTTCCGCTCCGCGACGTTGTCGGCGCGCGCGACGGAGTCGTAGATGAACCCGGCGTGGGGCGTCGGCCCGCCGATCTCGAGCAGCGATGCGTTGAGACCAAAGTCAAACCTCGGATTCTGCGTCAAATGGTCCGGCGCGCGCGAGTTCCATTCGTAGCGACGCCGCGCAGAGAGGCGGTAATGTTCGTTTGGACAAACGGCGCGGAGCTCATAATCTGCTGCCATTTGAATCGAAGCATTTGGTTGGGCTTGCTGCTTGCACTCAGCTTCAAAGAACGTGCGCGACGGAGGGCTGAGTGTCGGCGCAATCTGCCGCCAGAGGGCGTGGCGCCACATGTCGGCGCAATCGCCGGGCGGTGCGGGGGGCGCTGCGCGGAGGGCGTCGGCGACGGCCACGGCCTCGTCCGTCGCGCCGCGGCCGCAGGCGGCGAAGGTGGCTGCGACGGCGCAGCCGCCAGGCCGGGCCGTACTTAAGGCGGCACGGATTGCTTCAGCCCGCGGCGCATGCGCACGAGGCGGGAGCAGGACGGCCAGTTCCGACGTATCTCGCGCGTGGTCGAGCGCGGCCGCCGCCAGCCCGGCGACGCCGAAGCAGCTCTCGCACGCCGCAACACGTATCCTCCGCAGTAGCCCGAGCCGCCGCAGTGCCTCGCGCGTCGCCGGGCCGAAGCGCTGCCAGAACGCGTTGCGCTGTTCCGGCGTCGCGACGACGACCGTCAGCGTCGAGAACGCGTGCCGCACCACCATGGACACGAAGAGCGGCGCCAGCGCGGCGAAGTCCGGACCCACTGCCGCGTAGGTTACGAAGGCGGTCGCCCGCGACGCGCGCCAGGCGGCGACGCCGGGTCCGAAGCGCGCCGGGATGCCTCGGCACCATGCGCCGTACGCGTAGCTCTCGTTTGCCGGCGAAGATAGGCTCGCTAACGCCGCCTTCGCGACGGTATCAGCATCATCCTCCAGCACGCGAATCCACGAAGACGGGTATTCGCGCGCCTCGCCGTGCCCGAACGCCGTCAGGACCACTCGCGCGCCAAACATGGCGAACTCGCATACGCCCGCTTCCAGACCGGGCAGATGCAAATCGACGTAGACCGAGGTCCTCTCGAAAAGCGCGTAGGCCTCCTCTCTGGAAAATCCCGAGAACCGGACCGCCCGCGCCGTATTGGGAGACGCGCGGTCGAGGGCACGCTGGAGCGTTTTGACGTCCAAGTCCACGTCGTCGTCGAGGACGACGACCGCACGGCCTTCTTCGTTCATCTTCCGCGCCGCCCTTTCTGCGTCGCCGCTTGCGAGCCAAGCCGTCGCGCGATGTACCAGAGCGGCCTCGAGCGGCCACACGCTTACGGGGCCCGGACCGGCGCCGCCGAAAGTGTCGTGGAGGTACGACGAGGCTCCGATGTGGACGGATATCTCCTCCGACACGCGGTCGCCCCAGTCCTGGGCCGCCCCCAGCATCCACCGCGCGATCACGCCGCCGCGCTGCTCGAGCGCTTGCACGTTTCTTGCCACGTCACGCGCATCGGACCTACCCTGCGAATGAGGGATATGCGCGTCAAACGGAATCGGCACGAACTCGGGCGCGACTTCGGGCGCGACGAGCGTGTCGTCTCTGTCCAGTCCCCGCGCCCAGAGCGCTGCTACTTCATCCAACGTCATGTTGGCCGCCGCTGCGAGCGCCGGAGGTCCGACCACATGGGCGAGCTTGGGATTTACATACGCCATCCTACATTTCGCCCCCTGCCGCAGCAACTCGCCACACAGATCGTGCATCGCCGCGCCGCCGGCGCTTGCGTAGCGCAGCTGCGGCTGGTACACGTACCAAGTGCCGCTCGTTGCTCGTGCCTCTCCTCCCGCCTCGAGGACCGCGCTCGAGGAGCCGTCCGCGCTGCTGGAGGCGAGCGCGAGGCACAGGAGGCCGACCCGCATGGCTTGTTTATTCCTTTTTCTCGGCGACTGCCCCCATCAGCGCGAACTTCTGCAAGTACTCTGGCTTCACGAAGGGGAAATCGGCGGCCAGGCGCTCCTTGTGAAACTCCACACTATGCGCCACTTCCCGAGAGAGGCGCGCGGTGCGCGCTTCGGAAGTCTCAGCCTCCGAGCTGCCCTTCCGCCCTGCGTGCTCCATTCGTCCTGCCCAGGAGCGCTCGTTCGACGTATTCGGCACGGCACAACCCTGGGAACCCGAAGCCACCTGCAGCTGGGCGTCGCGCGCGGCTCCGCTGCGGCGCTGCAACTGAGCTGCAATGTGTTGTGATTGATTGATGCCCTGATGATGGCCACGTCGACGCGGCGGCTTGTTGTGGGCAGCTAAAGCAGCCCCACCTGAATCATGAGATGGAGGAATGTGGCCGCCTGCCTCGCGGTAAGCCTCGACGCGCTCCGGCTCGAGATCACGGTCGACGACACCACCGAGTTCCTAGACTTCGACCGCTGCTCGACCGAGCTGGAGCTGGTAGGCATCGCGCACGCGTTCGTGCACCGCACGGACCGGACGTTGCTCGCGACTCACCCAGACGATCGGGCCGCCTCGCAAGAAATCGTAAACCACATGACGCGGATGCAGGCCGACGCCGCGGGCCCGCCGTGCGCTGCCGCGCCGCTGCCCGCTGGCGCGCTCCCGCCCGTCTGGACCTGGGCGGACGCCCACGCGCTCGCGGCCCAGGGCAAGCTCCGGCTCAATTTCGGGGGAGGCGCTGCGAACGACTTCCACGCCTTCGACGACCGGTATACAGGGTGGGTCGCCGTCGAGGGGCCTAACGACCCGGACGGCCACGACTACGGCTTCTGCTTGGATGGGAAAGAGAGCTGCGGCAAGCCGTGGTGCCTCTGCCGGGACCTGACGCGGGAGCGCTTTCCGCTCGACGACGGGTCCGTCGCCTCCATACTAACCGAGCACGCGCTCGAGCACATCAAGTGGGAGTACTGGCCGCACATTCTTCGCGAGTTCCATCGAATCTTGCGCGTGGGTGGCGTCGCGCGCGTTGCGCTCCCGGACTACCACGCACCGGGCGCCGTCCGCCGCGTATTCTGGAACACAACGGTGGCCGCCGAGCACAGGATCCTTGGGGGTCACCACGCGTTCACGTCATTTGCTTCCGTGCGACCTTTTGTCGAGGCGTCGCCATTTGAGGCCGTCTACTGGCTCCACTACTGGGACGGGAGTGCCCTGGATGGACGACCGCCGTCGGAGGACGAGCCGCTGCCCTTCACGCGCAACCCGATTGACTACGGCCTCGGGTTCGTGAAGCGGACGCCGGACCATCCGACCATGAACGAGGGCGTCACGTCCGTCGTCGTCGACCTCGTCAAGCTGGCCCGATGACACGCGGGGGATCTCAAGTCCATAAAATAAAGATGTATAGATATTCAAGGTACATCCCCTGGGGGGAGACACCGCGCGACGCCGATTCATCGGCGGCGGGCGCGATCCGCTTCTTTCATAACAGCGTACCTCCTTCTAAGCAGAACCGCCTCGGCAAACACAGGCTCAGGCTCAGGCTAGTTACGTCGCAGGGTTCCCCGTACCCCTCCCGCTCCCAAACACCCCCCTAGTGCATCTATCCCTAGCCTAGCTCTCCTCCGCGCATACCAGCTTGAGCCCCGAGCCTCTGAGCTCGCGGGTTTCTACGTCGACAGCGTTTGCATACCAGCTACTGCCCGGCGACTCCCCCCCATCGGGACAGAGGCAAACAACTTAAAAAAGCAGGCGGCACCCCTCTCGATATTAGTTGGGTAGTCTGCTCGTCGTGCGAGCAGCCGCCTGCGTTTACAAACCGCGCATAGCATTAGGGTAGCAAATGGCCGCGCTCGCCGCGCCGGCAACGGGCACGCCGCGCAGCGGCTCCGCCAGTGGTCACCTAGGCGGCACGCTCACGCACTGCTTCTGCGTGGGCTTCGAGGACTACAGCGCATGTTTTTTTAGTCAAACGGGCGGCGTCGGCCGCGTGGTCGTCGCCGACGGCGCGGCGACAACGACGAAAATGGGCGGCGGCGTCGACGACGGCGGCCTCGCGGATCTCCTCGCGCGCAAGATCTCCGAGGTCGCCCGCCGGCGCGTGGTCATGACGCTCGCCGTGCGCAACTTGCGGTCGCTCGACGACGTGCGGTCGCTCGTGGAACTCTTCGAGCGCGCGCGATAGTGGTAAATGTCAAACGAAGTTAATCTCCCGCCGGCACGCGTGCAATAACCAGCTGGTGCCAGTTGTCCATGATATCGAGGTACTCGACGACGGCGCCGGTGCACGCCATGGCCTCCTGGAGTAACGAGAGGTCCCACGCGTGCCAGTGGTAGCCCTTGAGGCGGCGCGCCGTCGCGAGGTCGTCGCTACAGAACGGGCACGTGTCGAGGTCCACGAGGCGATGGTACGCTCTGACGCGCTGCTCGAGTCGTCGGAGCACCTCTGGGTCGTCCGACGAGTCCGCGGCGTCCGCGTGGGCGAGGATGAGGTCGTAGATGGTCGAGACGGGCACGTCTCTGTCGTACGTGTTCCCGGCCCAGGGCACGCTTATGACGAAATACCCACCGGGTTTGAGAACGCGCCGCCACGTTGCGAGCGCCCGCAACGGATCGGCGAAGTGCTCCAGCACGTGGAACGCCATGACGACGTCGTAGGATCCGTCGGCGACGTGCTCGAGGCGCCCTCCGTCGCCGACGCGCAGCCGCCCCAGGAGGCGGTCGTCCACGTAGAAGGCGGACCCGCTCGACGCTTCCGCTCCAACCGTCTCGACGCGCGTGACGGCTCCATCCTGTTCCGACCAGTTGACGATGTCCACGGACGCCCAAGCGAGCTGTGCGTACAGGCCACCGATGTCCGTCGTGGGGCCGCCAATCTCCAGCGCGCTCGCGTTCCGCGCCAGAGCGATTATTTTCTTCTGAAACGACTCCAGTGCCGAGGCGCTCGGGGCGATGCGACGACGGCGCAGGGGCAGGGTATAGGAATTGTTGGAACACGCGCCGCCAAATGCGCCCGTGGGGCGATCGCCGCCCTGCTCGCCTCGATAGACGTTGACGCCCTCGAGGCGCGCGCCGCCGTCGGCGCGCCGCAGCGCGTCCCCCATTGGGCGGAGGTCCGCCATCATGCTACCAAAGGCGCGCTCGAGGTTCACGTGGTTCGAGTACTCAAAGCCCGCGGCACCGCCTTCCGCGTATGTGCCAAGGGCGTCGAACGCGTCCAGGGCGGCGCGCATTATAACTGAGTCGCCCCCAAACAGTTTGTCGTCGAGGAACGGCCGCGGGTGCGTCGGTCCGGGTGCGTGCCAGAAACCGTACAAGCGACCCCATTCGACAGGGCGCCGGAGCGCGAGCTGTCCGCCCGGGGCCCCGCCCGCGAACGCCAGCCGCGCGTCGAAGCGGGTGTTGACGACGAAGTCGTAGGCAGCGCCCCGCGTCGCCTCGTGCGCAAGCAGCAGGCGGCAGACCTCGCGGATGCCCCAGAACATGGCGAACTTGTTCTGCAGCACGCGCGGGCAGCGCTGGCCCGACGTCGCCTGCGACGCCTGGCACGTGGCCGACGTCACGAGAGGCTGGAACCTTGCCGAGAAGTTGCGTTCAGTCTCGATGACGTGTGCGACCGGGTCGTAAGCCTGCAGGACCCGCAGCGCCTCCGCGCCGGCCCACGTGTGCAAGAAGACGTCCGCGCGTGTGGGGCCGATGACGTAATCACGCAGTTCGCGGTGCGTCGCGCGCCAGTCCGCCGTTCGCAGCGTGCGGCCGTCGATGCCCTCGTAGGTCCGCGGCGACGAGATGCCCCGGAGCAGGAGTGCGACGTCGTTGGCTTGCACCATCGTGAGCAAGGGCAGGCCGGCGCGCCATCCCATCCTAAGGCTGCCCTTTTCCAAGCTCTCACTAGCGCATGCTCTCTACTGGGACATATTGTGTGGTGAACTCGCACACGGAATTGAGCGCAGCAAACGTTGCGTGCGTGTTTGATCTATGCAATGACGCTGACTGCCCAGTGAGCCGGCGCGAGCAGTCGGCGCGCGCGCCCCAACGACGACGACGGGTTTTTAGCCCCCCACCCCGCACGAAACGCGCGCGCCAATGCCAGGTACGGGTTTTGTCAACGGAGACTTCCGTGCCAGCGATCGAACTCGTCGTTTTGAAGCCCCACGCTTCTTTGAATTTCCAATTTTAGATGGGGCCAAATTTCCGGCAGCAGAGAAGCGCGCGCTGACCTGCTGCCCCACTCGACGTTTCGTCGGTCCTGGGGCGTCTGTTGCGGGTGTTGCACTACTGCAGAGGTATGGGTAAGGGCGGTGAAAAGGACGACTGCCCCCCGCGCGCCGCCTTCAAGGGCAGCCCAAAAAAGCGCTGGGTCGTCGACGGCGTGAGTTACGACCTGACGCCGTTTCTTGCAAAACATCCGGGCGGGCCGGACTTTCTGTTGTGGAGCGCGAATCGCGACATCAGCATCGCCGTGCACACGTATCACAAGGATCCCGAGCGCACCGTGCTGCCGTTGTTGCGAAGGTACAGATGTGAAGAACCGCCGGTCAAGTCGGTGAAGCGATTAATGGGCGTGCCGCAGTTCTTGCTGCCGCCGAGGTTCGACGCAGTGACTGACACGCCCTCGTACGACTGGGGCCCGGGGACGTTCCTCGCGGACCTCGTCAAGGAAATGGCGCGGCCCGCGGTCGCGCGCGCGGTCGAAGCTGCGGACGCCGCGTTTGACCGTCACGCTTTGATACTACTATTCATGTACGGTGTCATTGTAAGCGCGTGGCTCTCCTGCGTGTTACGACCTTCCGTCGCCGCGATCGCCCTCATCCTCCTGCGTACGGCTTTAGCGGGCGCGGGCCACTCCTTCGTCCACCGGCCCAAGTCGCCCTGGGGCGCGCTCTTCGATTTCAACTACGTGGGCCACTGCACGACGGCCGTCGACGGGCACGCGCTCCTGCACCACGGCTACACGCAGACGGAGGCCGACGTGAAGCGAGGCTTCTTCGGCGGCATGATGGGCGTGGCGCGCGCGTACCGCGTGCCGATCCACACGCTGCACAAGTTAGGGCACGTCGTGACAGGATGCCTCGTGCGGCAGGTCGACCTGCAGCTAGAACGAGACGCAGAGGAACACCAGGGCGTCGAGGACCTGAAGAGGGCGCTCGGGCTAGGGAACTGGGCCCACGTGGGCTTCTGGGCCGTCCATGTATGTTTACGGGTCGAGCTCTACGTCGCGTGGCGCCAGGGCCTCCGCTGGTCGTGGTTGTTTCAATTCATCGGCTCGCTCTGGTTGAACACGCTCCTCGTCGTCTCCTCGCACGACTTCGACGACCTCGGGGACGAGTCCGAGCGCGACTGGGCCGTCTTCCAGCTCGCGGAGACGCACGACATGAGTATTACCGGGTGGCCGCGCCTCGACTGCTGGCTCTCCGCGGGGCTGGCGCCGCACCGGGCGCACCACCTGCTCCCGTACCAGCGCTCCGCCTACGCGAACATCGCCTCGGAACCCGCCATCCGGCGCGTCTGCGAAAGGAGGGGCATCGCGTGGGACCCGCCAAAGGGGCTCGGGTCGGAGATCCTCCCCGTCGTCTTTCGGCGGCTGTTCGCGCCCGCATGCGACCCCGCCACGCGCGAGGCGCTGTACGCCGACGCGGTCGCGGAGCACGCGTCGTGGCGGCAGCTCGCGTACTGCGTATCCTACGTCGGCGCGGGGGTGTGCGGTATCGGGTCCATCTAATTTCCTTTGTTACTGTGTTCAATATGCCTAGCTGGGATACATTTAAGGCACAACACTGCTTACACTGGCTGAGGCGGCGCGACGACGCTGGCGAGCGGCGCCACGAGGCGGGGAACGCCGTCGGGGGCCCACGGCCCGCGGAAGAGCGCCGTCTCGTTTTTCACCGGCCAGTGCGCCGCCCGGATATCCGTTTTCCCCACTTCGCTTGGATTGAGGTCGAGGCCGTAGGCCCACAAGCACGCGGCCCGACCGCGGTCCGTCAGGACGATGTGCGCACCTTCGGGATCTACGTCGAGGACGCACGGCCCGCCACGGTCGTGGCCCCGCAGCGCGGCGAGCAGACAGCGCTGCGTCGCGTCGACAGGCGCGTCCGTCGCGACGCTTCCCTCCCGCGCGCGCACGAGTGCAAGGTCGCCGTCGCCGGCGTCGGTGTCCGTCGACGCGAGATCGTAGCCGCCGGCCTCGCGGAGGGACGCGAGCAGGCTCATGACTTTTGTGGGGCGAGCAGCCTCCGACCCGCCCCAGCTGATCTCATGCTTGGCCTCGAAGACGATCACGCGGGGGCGCAGGCGATCGAGGGGCAGCGTGGCAAGGAGGTCGACGTCCGCGCCCTCCGCGTCGACGACCAAAACGTCCATCACGCCGCCGTGGCGGCTCACGAGGTCCTCGAAGCCGAGGCACTCGACTTCGATCTGCTCGACAGGAATTTCGCGGCCGAGTATGCCTTGGTGACCGCGGGCGTGGTCGCTGCGCAGCGAACCGATCTCGGTGACCCAGGACGGCATGTCGTCGCCGGCGGCCGCGGGCGAGACGGCGTAGAAAGGCACGGCTGGCGCGCTCCTAGCGCAGAGTGCGGCCTGGACGGGGACATGGGGCGAGGCGGTGGTCGTCGCCCGCCGCTGCAGCTCTTCGAAGACGTGGGGCGACGGCTCGACGAGGAGACCCGTCCAGTTGTGCCTCGTCGCGACGTCGTGCAGCATCGCATCGCGCGTCGGTGGGAACCAGTGGTGCGCGCCGATGTGGACGAAGCCCAAGCCGGGCCGCGGCGCTGCACCGTCTCTCGTCGCGGCGTCGCAGTGGCCGAGCGTGTGCAGTATGGCGGCCCGAGACGCGGCCCGCAGGTCACCGCCGCATGTGCGCGCGACGACGAGCGCGGCGAGGGCTGGGCGCATTTTGTACTCGTCACTACCAAGAGCTACTGCTGACTCGAGCTACAGCACACATACCTAAGCAGCCTGGAGGTGCTTTCCAGCTGGCCAGGGTGCAGAGCGGTGCAGTTGCAGTTGGTGTGAGATCAGCGGTGAGGCTTTTCTGCACGAATTGACGATGAACTGCTCTCTATCCCAGTCTACAAGCCAGGGCCGCAAGCCAGGGCCGCGAGGCGGCAGGGCCTAGCGGTGTAAGACACTAGGAAGGCAGGACGCCATGCAGCCGTTTGAGCGTCGTTCGGTTCGCTACTGGTCCAAAGAGACCAATGAGACACTTCCTGGGGGGTGAAAAAAATATTTTTTTTAATTCGCGATATTGACGGTTCCACCATGGCGGCCGCGCCGGCTGAATCCTGTCAATCCCTGCTGGGGAGGTGTCCCTGGGGTCGCCTAGGGTCGGTACTATACACGTGCAAGCACCTACACCGCATACGCCGCCGCTTCAAGCATTTTTGGTCGATTTCTCTCAACCAGTCGGCCCACTGAACCAGGAATAGCCTGGCAATGGCTTCCAGGGCTCTCCGAGAGCACTAGGCTGCCGCATCGACGGCGTATGCGGTGCAGGCGCTTACCCACTACCAGACCTACCTCGGGAGGCCTCCGGGAGCCGATCTGCATCCACAAAAAGTAAATAATTTGGGCCCGATGGCGCCCCGTTCCCGTAAAATACGCAATTACCCGAGGGCCCCCAGTAGTCGCCGTAGCGGTCTCGTCGGACCCCATACTACCCCAATGATAGTCAATTACAAGTATATGACATCTACACGCCGAGAAGGGTACTTTTGGCTGCCCACGCTGAGGACGTGAACATCTTTATCTGGACCTCGCGTAAGTCAGTCTATCATGAAACAAACGATCTCATCAAGGTCCATGGTGAAGGTACACGGGCTGATGGTCGCAGATTCAGGTGTCGTGCCCATCTAAGCCAGATAGTGGGCTCGCGAGACCGACAAGGCGCGGGAGCATTTGGCAATAGGAAATCAAATGTAGGACACGCTCAGGCCAATTAGCTGGCCCGTCCCATACACGAAGCGCCCGAAACGCAAATTTATTTTATAACTCACCGGTCTGGGGCCTTTCCGGTGCCCCGCGTACGTACCGTCGTCCGCGGAGAACGGGCAAGTCGGTCGATTGTGAATAGAACAACGGCGTTATGATCCATCTGGGTAGTGGCGTCGCTGATAGTCGCAGGTCTGGGTGTCGGCGCTGTTTTTGGGTAAACGTGGGGTCGCGAAGACGTCGAATCGCGCGGCTCTAACGGAGAACCTAAAATAGATGAGTAGTTGTTCAAACGGCCTAGATGGCCTCTACCACTACCAAACGGAAGGAAACGAACATAAACTCGGGAGTTGTCTAGTAGAATTCTTCTCCCGCCCTCCGAGCGCGGGCCGTCGGCTCCGGTTCCGTCCAACTTGTATGAAAACTGGGCTGGAGTTGATATGATGTACCATTTGGACGGTAGATGGCGGCGTCAATCGCTGGTGTATTTTGGCGAGCCGCAAGACCTAGTGATCTAGCGTATCGACACACTAGAAACCCGTTTTAGCGTTTTTGGAGATTGGAGATCATTTTAGGGGTACAGTGGAGATTGGAGAGCTCTAGAAGGGTATTATTGGAGATTGGAGCCTTAGACTTACCAAGGTCTAGAGCTTCTTCTGCTCGACGAAGCGGCTGGAAGTACTCATTTCATTCGAAGCGGCTGGCCGATAGCAAGTTGTAACACTATGATAACAACACTCAGTCGCGCCGCAGCGCGGCGAGCGCCGCGCTGCGCGCTGTCCACTGCGCAAAGCCTTGTAGGAGATTACACCATCGTGGACCACTCATACGATGTCGTCGTGGTGGGCGCGGGCGGCGCAGGCCTCCGCGCGGCGATGGGCGCCGCGGAGGCCGGCTTCAAGACGGCGTGCGTGACGAAACTCTTCCCGACGCGCAGCCACACGGTCGCGGCGCAAGGCGGCATCAACGCCGCGCTCGGCAACATGACCGAAGACGACTGGCGCTGGCACATGTACGACACGGTCAAGGGGTCGGACTGGCTGGGCGACCAGGACGCCATCCACTACATGTGCCGCGAGGCGCCGCGCGCGGTCCTCGAGCTCGAGTCGTACGGCCTGCCCTTCTCGCGGACCGAGGACGGCAAGATCTACCAGCGCGCGTTCGGCGGCCAGAGCCTGGACTACGGCAAGGGCGGCCAGGCGTATCGGTGCGCGTGTGCGGCCGATCGCACGGGCCACGCGATGCTCCACACGCTGTACGGGCGAAGTTTAGCGTTCGACACCACGTACTTCCTGGAGTTCTTCGCGCTCGACCTGATCATGGACGACGAGGGCAAGTGCGTCGGCGTCGTGTGCCTGGAGATGGAGAACGGCACGATCCACCGCATCAACGCCAAGAACACCGTCTTGGCGACCGGCGGCTACGGGCGGGCCTACTTCTCGTGCACCTCGGCGCACACCTGCACGGGCGACGGCAACGCCATGGCGCTGCGCGCGGGCCTGGCCGCGGAGGACCCCGAGTTCGTCCAGTTCCACCCGACGGGCATCTACGGCGCCGGGTGCCTGATCACCGAGGGGTGCCGCGGGGAGGGGGGCATCCTGCGCAATTCGGACGGCGAGCGGTTCATGGAGCGCTACGCGCCGTCCGCCAAGGACCTCGCGTCGCGCGACGTGGTCAGCCGCGCGATGACGATGGAGATCCGGGAGGGGCGCGGCGTCGGCAAAGAAAAGGACCACTGCTACCTGCACCTGGACCACTTGCCCGCGGAGTTGCTCGCGGAACGCCTACCAGGCATCAGCGAGACCGCGGCGATCTTCGCGGGCGTCGACGTGACCCGGGAACCCATCCCGGTCCTGCCCACGGTGCACTACAACATGGGCGGCATTCCGACCAACCATTTGGGCGAGGTGATCCACCAGAAGAAGGACGCGTCGGGAAACGTGGTCGACCACGACGCGGTCGTGCCGGGCCTCTTCGCCGCGGGCGAGGCCGCCTGCGCGTCGGTGCACGGCGCGAACCGGTTGGGCGCCAATTCGTTGTTAGATATCGTCGTGTTCGGCCGCGCGTGCGCGTTGCGCATCGCCGACATCGCCAAGCCCGGGGACGCCGTCCCGCCGCTCCCGAGGGACGCGGGGCAGAAGACGTTGCAGGACCTGGACGACGTGCGCCACTCGTCCGGCCCGACGCCGACGGCCGAGATCCGCCGGGACATGCAGAAGACGATGCAGGACCACGCCGCCGTCTACCGGACGCAGGAGAGTCTCGCCGAGGGCGTGACCAAGATTGATAAAGTGGTGGACTCCTTCCAGGACGTGGGCGTCTCGGACCGCTCGCTCATCTGGAACACGGACCTCGTGGAGACGCTGGAGCTGCGCAACTTGTTACCGAACGCCGCCGCGACGATGCACGCCGCCGAGGCCCGCAAGGAGAGCCGCGGCGCGCACGCGCGCGAGGACTGCCCCGACCGCCTCGACGACGACTGGATGAAGCACACGATGACGTACTATGACGAAGCGACGCGCAAGACGTCGGTGACGTACCGCCCGATCCATTACGAGACGCTGGACGAGGACGAGTGCGCCGTCGTGCCGCCGGTCGCGCGTGTCTACTAGCTTCGGATTGTGCACATAATACTTCCCAAGCGAAAAATTAGCCTGTCGCCTAGGCCTGTGTCGCCAGGGGCCGCGTTTTAGGAAATCGCGCTAGCGGCCTGTACTTACAGGTAAGACACTAGGCATCCCTAGCAAGCACAGGCAGCCCAGAGCCAAAAAAGGCCCAGGCACCGGCTTGCGTGGGTTTGGCAGTAAGTGTGTGGCAGCTGGCACTACACTAGACTGGCTGGGATCTGGTCGGCGGCAAAAAGGCTGCCATCAAAGCACCATGCTGCGAGCAAGCTCCCTGCATGCCGCCTTCGCCGTGGGCACGATGCTACTGGTCGTGGTCGCAACCACTGCCGCCGCGGCTGGGAACATAGTTGTCCCACGCCTCGAGGTGACAGACTGCGTTGCGCGGAACGCGACGCCAATCGAAGGCAGCCCGACGGTCTTCTGGTCCGAGGCTGAGCACTTCGTGGACGGCCGTGTGCGGCAGTCCGCCGCGGCGCATTTAATGCGGCGGTTTGGCGCGTTCAAGGAGGGTGGAGCGGTCGTTGACATCGGTGCGGGCCGCGGCGGGCTCCGGGAGTACCTCCCACCGACCACTACGTATGTCCCCGTCGACGTGATGGGCTATGAGGGTGTCCGCACCAGTGTATAAATCACGGTTCACGTCGCCTTCGTGCTGAATCATTGCGTCGACCTCCACACCATCGACGCGACGTCTGCTCGAGTGGGTGCTGCGGCTCGACGTAGCCATCACGGCCGCGTCGTCGCCTCTAAAGAGTCCGTGAGACACTGAACTCACTGGTCGATTCGCACAAAGGTCCGCGCAGTAAAGTGCGACGTGAACAGGCGAGAATTTCCGTTTGTGCTGAGACCAGACGACGCCCGCGACGGCGTCGCCGCATTCGCTTTCTTGGGCTCCTTTCACTATGTTCTCGACAAGCAGACGGTGCTTCACCTCTGCCGCGCTCATCGCGGCGCGCACGTCGTTCTTGCGTACGACTTCGGCTGCGGCCACGCTGCGTCGACCTCAGCGGCGACGTACGAGTGGGTCGCGCCCCTGTCGTTCCGGGCGTTCGCCGAGGCCGCGTACATCGCCGATTTTGACGCGCTGTTCTTCGACGGGCCCGAAGGCGAGCCGATGACGTGGCTCGAGGCGCAGCTGCGCTCGGAGCGCCGCGACGACGACACGTTCGCGTACGCTTATTTGACCGCGCGGGGCACGCTGCCCGTACCCGCACCCAAGGCGACGATGCGTGCCGGGTACTCCATCACTTCGATAATTCGCGTGCCGGGCTCCAACATCCGTGCCTCGACCGACGCCGTCGTCGCTGCCTCCCTCGCGGCAGGCAACACGCCGTGCTGGTTCGAGCTCGATCCGGATGGCGTGGCAGAAATCTTTGAGACGGGGTGGAACCGCGAGGCGTGCCTCTGGGCCCGCGGCCTCGACGTCATCGTCTCGCGGATCCGCGCGGCGCACTGGCCGGTGACGAACGAAACGGCGCTCTTTCGCGACCAGCACGTCCGCCTACCAAATGGCGAGCCCAACCTCGTCGTTCCGCTGCGACGCGCCGCGCCTCCAGAGCCCGGCGAGCGGCCGTTCGCCTTCGACGCGGCTGCCGCGCTCGCCGCGCTCGCCCCGCCCGCGGCGGGCCACGACGAAACCACGTTTCTGAGAGCGCTGCGCGAACGCGTCGACCGACGGCTCGCGATTATCGACACCCAGCCTGCAACGGATCCAAGTAAAGAAAACGCATTCAACGAATTCGGAAAAACTCACGTTCTGCCGTTTTTGGACACTAATCGATTCGACACGTTCGTAGACAAGCTCAAATTTAAAGACTTCTGCCGCGAGATAGGCTTGAAAACAACCCCATTAATACGCGTTCTTTCTTCTCCGAATGAACTCGAGGCCGTGTGGTCAACTCTACCTGAAAAGTTCGTTGTAAAATCAAACAAGGGTGCGGGTCGAAATGCGATTGTACAATCGAAACAAAGTACAAATGCAAAGGCCGTTTTGCAACAGTTGGAGAATTGGGACGCGCCGTATTGGAACAAAAATGAATGTCATTACGAACACACCGTTCCAAGACTATTCATCGAGACTTTTATCGACCCTTTGCCAGAAGACATCAAAGTGGTAGTCGTCGACAACGTCCCGACGGTGGTCTGGTCGGATCAAGATCGCTTTGAAGCTCATACGCGAACTGTGTATGCGGTTGAGCGCGGCACTGCAAACTTGACGCGGCTAAACGATTGTTTCTGGCATTGTCCTACTGGGCAATTAAGTCGCAAAAATGAGATTGATCGCTGTGTCGAGAAAGGGCTCATGAAAGATGTACTACGATTCGCCACCGAGATTTCTCGGCGAATCGATTTGAGAATGGTTCGCGTAGATTTTTACATCATTGACGGCACCGTCACCGGTGGTGAAGTAACCCTGGCGTCGGGCGCTTTCAACGAGAAAATCTCACTTTCCTGTGCGGAGTCAGCTACTCAAGTTGCATAATCTCTACGGCCTTCGATGGTCGGACCTAGTGTTTCGGATGCACTGGCACGAGCAAAGCGCCCTGCCTTTCGATCTGCATGAAGAGGCCCGGACCACGCCTAAAGTTCACTGTGTAGTGTAGCAGGTATGATTCCTTACTAGTAGAGCCCCCGGGGCCAGCCTGAAGTCTAAGCCTGAAGTACTCCGAGTCATGCTAGTAATTAGAAATCGAGGACGGAGGCCACGCAATGACGCACATCACAGAGCTTGGCGCTTTTCGCCCCTAGTGTCACAACTTGAATTTATACAGAGACAAAGACGGCGACGCGGACGCTTCAGACGCGCCCACGAGTTCCTTCGAGATGAGCGTTCTGCCGTTCTGCCTTGAAGCGCCCCCCGGCCCACTCGCCGCGCGTCCGTTTATCTAGCTTGTTGTACCAGGCCATGAACTGGTCGAGGCCGCTCTCGATCGAGGTAGTTGGCGAGTAACCCAGCAGCTCGCGCGCCTTCGAAATGTCCGCGTAGGTCTCCTTGATCTCGGCGTTTGAGGCCTGATACTTGAATTTTGCCTTGACGCCCAGGCGCTTCTCGATCTGCGCGAGGACGTAGCCTGTGTGTGCATTAGCATCGAAGACGAAGGCGGCAGAGACACTTTTGATGCGGACACCGAACGGAGCCGAGCTGCACGGGCTTGGAATTACCTAGATTGAACACGGCAGCATTGTCCGCGCAGTACTCCATCGCAAACTCGACGCCCCGCACTACGTCGTCCACGTACGTGAAGTCGCGCCGCATGTCGCCTCCGTTAAACAGTGTAATGGTCTCGCCGTTCTCGATCTCATTCGTGAAGAGCGAGACGGCCATGTCAGGCCGGCCCCACGGGCCATACACGGTAAAAAATCGAAGCCCGACGCTCTTCAGGCCGTGGAGGTTGTGATACGCCGCCGCGATCTGTTCGCCCGCAAATTTTGAGATCCCGTACAGGTTTGCGGGGTGGTCTATGGCGTGCAATTCACTGAAGGGTATCTTTTTGTTGAGGCCGTAGACCGACGAGGAAGAAGCGTACACGTACGCGGGTTGAGGGGTCCGATGAGCAACGTAGTTCAAAAGTGAAACGACGCACTCCAGATTGTTGCGTGCGTACGTCATCGGGTGCGTGATGCTGTACCGGACGCCAGCCTGAGCCGCCAAATGCACCACGTGCGTGAACGTGTATTTCTCGAAGAGCCCGTCTACGACTGAGGTGTTGCACACGTCCGCCTCGACGACGTCGTAGCCAAATTCATGCTTGAGTCTAGCTGCACGGCCTCTTTTCATGGCCGGGGCGTAGTAGTCGTTGAACGAGTCAACACCAACAACTACCGCCGGCCGCGTCCTCGCGTCCCGCTTGCCGAGCGACGCCATGAGCGACATGCCTATGAACCCCGCGCCGCCCGTGACGAGCACTCTGCTCGAAGCATTAACGAGCGGTACTGTCACACCGTCCGGGCATGGGGTGTCGTGCCACCTCTCTTGCGCGTTACCGCCTAAAATTCCATGCGGACTGGCTCCTAAGCCGACGACTGCTGATAGCGCCGCCGCCGCGAGCGCCCCGACAGCCCACGTATTCAAGCGGCGCGACGCCACTGGCTGTTCGAGTTGGTTCGAGGACGCCGGTGTGGCATGCACCGCCAGCTCCCTGCGGAGCGCTTCGTTCTCCGCACGCAGCCGCCCTACCTCTGCCGGCATATACGTCGCAATGGACGCCCTTGGCGGCCGGGCTGCCATCGTGTTGGTACAAGTTCAGTACCTGGTACTGGTAGGTACTTGGACCCATGGGGGGGGGGGGCGCGCCCGCCGCCGATGAATCGGCGACGCGCGGTGTCTCCCCCCCAGGGGCTCCGCCCACTAGTACTAGCTCCGTAACATCGGTAGCGCGGGAGGGGCTACCAACGTACCGTAGAGATTGGCGGGGGGGGGGACCGTAGGTAGAGACGGGTTTATACATGTGACTTGACTTACTGTTTCTTGTGCAAAATCGTGAGTTGTCCGAGCGGCTCGACTTGAAAGTCGGGAAACTGGGCAGCGATGTTGTGATGGACCTTGTCGTTATCTTCGATGAAGCAAACGCACTCGTCGCTTAAATAAGGATAGATTGCATTCAGCGTGCGGATAATCGCCGTGACCGTGTGCGGTCCGTCATCGATGAATACGTCGATCACGTCGCCCTTGAACACTTCCGCGAGCGCGGCCGGGTCGGGAGCGTACGCGTCGAACTCGTAGAGTTCAACGTCCCTTGCGGCGAACGCACCCTTTTCCTTGAGAAATGACAGGTTCTCCGCGGCGTATGACAGGTCTATGTCCAAACCGACGACGCGCCCGCTCGGGAACAACTCGGACCAGGTGGCCAGTCCGGACCCCCGTAAAATACCGACTTCGACGACAGTCGGCGCTCGCTTGGTATCGACGACCTTTCGGAGAGCCGTGGCGTAATGCTTTCCGTAACCGTGCCTGTCGGTGGACATCCGATCGCCGCCGACCATGCGAGACCGGGCGTTCAGGGCCTCGAGCGTCGCCGCGACGTTCCCGCCTCGTACGCGCACGTCTTTTGCGCTTATCTTGTTCCGTTCGACCTCCACATAACCGCCGTAGCGCTGCTCCGCGCGCACGAGCCGCGCGTGCAGATCGTGGACGTCCTCGCTCAGGTCGCTGCCGAGGCTCTGCGCCTCGCCGTCGATGGACAGCTGCAATTCGTGCCAGGCAGCGTGCGTGGCAGTGAGAAAGAAGGCGAAGCGACGGTTCCACCGCAGCCTCATGCCAACATTTACTGCTCTCTTTATGAAGGTATGGTCACGCGCGGTGCGCCCCCTCCAGCGGTGCCAGGGCTGCCTCGCGAGTCCATCCGGTGGGCCAGCACCCCATCCATGGGATGGCCGGCCCTCCAATCCCCTAGCTCTACTTGTAACTCGGGCAGAGTCGGCCGGCGTGCGGGGAGATTGCGGGGAGCTTGCTGGGCGAATATTAGCTTATGGGCGCCGCAGCAGCCTTACGATTGCCACTCGGCTCATGACCACTCGGGGTTGCAATAAGTAATGCGAGCGCGTCGGCTGCTATTAGCTGTTTGGAGCGCGGTGCCTCTTGGGGCCGCCGACACGGCTGGTGTCGCCTTCGACGCGGCTGCCGCGCTCGCCGCGCTCGCCCCGCCCGCGACGGGGCACGACGAAACCACGTTTCTGAGAGCGCTGCGCGAACGCGTCGACCGACGGCTCGCGATTATCGACACGCACGGCAGCGCGCCCCAACCGGCGAAGCCCGAAGCGGTGCCCGAGGACTGTCGGACTCTTTTTGACCCCGAAACTATCGCAGAGGCGCGACGCGCGAGCGTCGGCTGCTCCCGGCTGGCGTATTCGTCCATCGACATCGTCGGCGAGCACCCGCCGCTCGTGGGCCCCCGTGGCGACGGAAGTTGCGTTTTTGTGTTCGTCGGCGCCGAGACCCTGCGCCAGCCAACAGTCGATTTCGTGTACCTGTTGCACCGTCGCTCCGTAGCCACCCAAGGCTTTTCACGGCGCCTCTTCTCGAAGCTACCGAAGCTCCTGCCGCACGTCCTCTTTCCGGGCAAGTGGACTGCGTTTTTCGACTCCAAGCTCCATCTCTACGGTACGACGCTCGACGAGCTATCAAAAGCGTACGACATGCGCGTCGACGACCGCGCGTTGCCCTTCACTGCCTTTCCCCACCCGCTCAAGGTCCGAAAGAACGTGAGCAGCGCCTTCGAGTGGATGCGGTTCGAAATTGAGGTGATCCTGGAGGAATTCTCCGATCGGGTGGCGAGTGTGGACGCGCTCCGGAACCAATTAGCACGCTACGTCGCGCGGACCCGGGACAGCGTGCCTCCGCGCGCCTACACGGCCTTCATCGACGGCGCGCTGCTGCTGCAGCGCGATGCCCATCAACTGTTTGGGCCGTGGTGCGCCGAAACTATCAGAGAGGACTCGAGCGACCGGGACCAGCTCAGCTTCGCGTTCACCGTGGCGCGGTTGCGACTGGAGCCACGGCTGCTGGACAAGTGTGTCACGATCGCCGCAAACCGCACTTTGTGTCACTGGTTTGACGACGACTCGCTGGGCGCGCTCCACCGGATCAGCTACGAGGCGAGCAGGAACATCGTCGATAACGGTGATTTCGCTGCTATCGACGATGTGGCCGCCAAATATCTGGGAAGTTCTACCTGGGCCTACGGCGTGGCCGAGTCTTGGTCCCGAAATGGGCCTTCAGTCGTCTTAATCAAAAGAGGTGATACCGACTGGGCGGGGACGCAGCCAGTTCTAGGCAGCTACCTCCAGGGCATCCAGAACAGAGGGAACTACATCTACCAGACCGTGGTCTTTCCCGCCGACGGTTTTTACAGCATTTCCTTCTACGCGTGCAGCCGACCCGGCAGGTACGCACGGACGAGCCTCAGGGCGACCGTGACTCGAGCCGGTCACCAGGAACCCGCGGTCGTCGTGGAGGAGCTGCTCCTGGGCTACTCCTTTACGAAATACGAAGCCACGTTTTATATGGAGGCGGGATGCGCGACGCTCGTAATCATGAACGACGGGCCGCCCGGCGACCGGACGCTTCTGGTTGACGCGGTGCGGATTGAACGGAACGTCTCCCGCGCCGTAGATTCGATCTCAGAAGTCCCGAGCGTGTGCCGGTGCCGGATCCTCTTACACCTCAACGGCCGGGAACTACAAATGGACGTGTACGGCGCGGTCGACGCCGGCCTCGCGTCTCGCGTGCTGGCGCCCCGCGCGGCGCTGGATCGCCCGGTGCACGAGTTTGTGGCGTACGCGCGGACGGTGGGCTGTGCGACGGTCGAGGTCCTCGACCGCAGTGCGGCCGCGGAGGCCGCAGTGGCGCTGGACGCGGTACGGTCGCTGCTCCGCGCACCGCCCAGTGCGCGCCTGCGCGACGCGGCCGCCACCGAGGCGTTGGTCCTGGCGTGCGGCGTGGACGATGGGACCGCGCGGGCGATGCCGGCGGAGGTGCTGCTGCACGCCGCCGAGCTCCGCATCACCCAGCATCCCCGGAACGTCGCCGGCGAATACGCAGCTTACGGACTCCGTATCTCTCGGTACCCCCGGCAGTTTGGCGCGTACGTCGCGTTCCTCGCCGCCGGGCCACTCGTGACGTCGTACCTGGAGATCGGGTGCCGCTGGGGCGGCGCGTTCGTGTTTACGGTGGAGGTGCTGGGCCGTCTGGGGGAGGCGAGCGGTATCGGAGCCGACGACTTCCGCGCGCTCGCGATCGACAAGTGGCAGGAACCCTTGCTGCTCCAGGAGTACGCCAAGGGCGCGGCCGCGCGGTTCCTTAAGCTCGACCCAGCTGGGGCGCCGTTCGCCGAGCTTCTGGCAAAGACGCCCATGTGGGATCTCGTTCTCATCGACGGTGATCACTCCTACGACGGCGTGCGGCGCGACTTCGACCTCGTGCGGAATCGAACGACGCGCTACATCGTCCTGCACGACATTGCGTCGGACGAGCCGTCGTGCGCGGGCGTCCGCCGCTTCTGGCGCGAGGTCCGCGACCAATTCGAGACGCACGAGTTCGTGGAGCAATACGACGACGTCGACGGCTCGTATTTTGGAATAGGCGTCATTGTGGTGCCGCGCTCCAACGGAATCATGTATTAATCTGTCCAAGTTTATCATACGATTATTCATAGGAGTCCACCGCGGTCGGACGGGTTTTGATCGCCTCTGTGTCGGCCCGGACTCGGCCGGAGATACTATTGCAATATATTTAGCTAACTTGTGGGCTACGGCCCCGGGGGATTGCGTGCGCGCAAGTACGCGGGTATATTGCGAGGCATTGTGTGGCGGCTGCCCGCTGGCCATGGGGCAGCGCCAGTGCTGTGGGGTACGTGTGTGGTTCTTTCTAGCGCTGGGAACAGCGCGCGGAGACGAGCGAGACAGGCATGTATGCGGCCCGCTCAGCTTCGAGCTGGACGGCGTGGTGCACTATTTGTCCGCGACGCGGATGGAAGCGCCGCACGCGGCCGCGGCGTTCGCGCGGCGCGTGGGCCCGACGTTCTTCGGCGGCGGCTGCGCGGCGGGCGACACGCGCTGTGTTGCCGAGGCGCTCGTGGCGGACCTTCTAGCCGCGTGCGGCGACGACGAGGTCGAGACGCGCATCGCGCCAATGGGCGGATCGGAGTACGAGTGGTGGTTTGCGGAGCAAGACGACACCGGGCGCGGCACGATGAAGGTGCGCCACTACCTCGACGCCTACGAGCGCCACTTTGCCCTGGCGCGCGCACGCGCGCGCGCGGGACGGCGCGTCGCCCTCCTTGAGCTCGGCGTGCAGTCGGGCGGGTCGCTGGACATGTGGCGCGCGGTCCTCGGCCCGAGCGCCGAGATCCACGGCGTCGACGTCGACCCGCGCTGCGCGCGGTCGCACGACCCGGCCGCTGGGACCTTTGTGTGGATCGGCGACGCTGGCAACGCGACGTTCCTGGCGCACGTCCTGGCGGCGGCCGCGCCACTCGACGTCGTCTTGGACGACGCATCGCACCGCAGCGAAGACATGATCGCCGCCTTCGAGGCGCTCTACCCGTCCGTGCGGCCCGACGGCGGTGTCTACGCCATCGAGGACGTCGTGACGAATTACTGGCCCTACTACGACCGCGTGCGGGCGGAGGACGGCCTCAGTTTCGTAGAGTTTGCCAAGCGCAAGGTCGACGAACTGAATGCCTGGAACAGCGAGCCGCGCGTACGCGGCGCCCGGCGAGATCGTTGCCTTACGCCTCCCCTGCGTCATCGGCGTAATGGTGATTCGCACAGGCACGGTGGCGCGCCGGTGACGGATTTCACGCGGAACACGAGCTCGTTGCACTTCTACGACGGCATCGTCTTCTTCGAGAAGCGACCGCACCCGATGTGGACGCGCATTGCAGTCGGCACCGACACGCTAGACTACGCGTTCAACATGAACTCAGGGACGGCCGGGGAAGCCGGAATGGGCACGGTCACGTGAGTGTGAGCAATGCCGAATCGTGGAACATGGGTGTGTGTAATAATGTTAATCCCTAGCGGCCTGTAAGACACTAGCAAGCAGGGGATCACTGTCTTACGCGTGGGTAGTGTCACGATGTCCAGCGGGGGGGGAGTGCGGGAAAAGAGACGGCTACGGCCACTAGGCCGTGATGCCGCCCGAGCCGCCAGCACCGGGGAACGAGTCGAAGCCGCCCATCGGCGGCGGCGGCGGCGGCGGCGGCTTCGGTCCGGGGAAGAAGGAGCGAATGTCGGCGTTCGAGCCCTTGCCCTTCGAGCCCTTGCCCTTCGAGCCCTTCGCGCCGTCGCCCTTCGAGTCCTTGCCGGGCTTGACCTCCGTCTTCGTATTCGCGGGGCAACCTGAGCCCTTGGGCCTACACCAGGGATCTTCGCCCTTGGGATTCCAATAGTGGGGCCCCGTCGGGCCAGAAGCAATTCCACCAGCTTTCACACGCTTCTCCTTCACACGGTCGGGTCGTCCGGCCCTCGGCCCGGTTGCGGGGCGCTTGTGGGCGTGCTTCTCACAGTAGTCGGGCTTGTCCGGAGATAATAAGGAGGCCAGGTAGTGTTTAGTGTCGCTCGCAGTATAATCGTAACTGCGGTTGACGTACTTGGCGTCGCCGGACTCGAGGAGGGCCTGGCGGCTCTTGCATTCTTTCTCGAGATCACTTCGCTGCCACTTATAGGATTGTTTCCACTGGCAACATATTCCGAGATAGGGATTTTTGGCCACAAACGGCGCTGGAGCGACAGCATCTTCGCTTTTGGGGTGGCAAAGGTGCACGTAAGTCGCGAAGTATCTCCCGTCGGGCGCACCTTCCGGGTACACGTCGGATCTGCAATTCTGAGGGGGAGCTCCATTCATATGAGGGTATCCTCGGAACAAGGCGTTGGTCGGCAACTCCTCCTTCACTTGCTCGTACACTAAATGTTCCACGCGACGCGTGAGGTCCCACACTGACCCGGGAAGTCGCCTATAGCGGATATACCTATAGTCCAGGCACACTGGGCCTTGTCTTCAGGAATGTCCCAGCATTTACTAAATTGGTCGCCTAGCGGGATTAAGACATAGCTATCCCAACAGGTCATAACGTCCTGGCCACTACCACAGTAAGCTTCGACATACTCAGCTCCTTCTGATAAATCGCGTTTGAGGTTCGTGTGGATTATGCGGTCCTTGGCCTCGTGGCCCTTGTAGTAGGGTTTGGAGCTGGCGAGACCCGACACGCAGGCGAGCATGGCAATGCGTCTACCCATGGTAATGTTCCTGTGTTGGAAAAAAAAGCGTGTCGACACGCGGACCCTCGACGCGCGGACCCTCGACGCGCGGACCCTCGACGCGCGGACCCTCGACGCGCGGACCCTCGACGCCCGCTCGACGCTAGTAGCTGTAGGCTATATGAAGGGAGGGCTTCTTGACAGACGGACGCTGGACTCTGCGGCTCAGTGCCGGCGGCGCGAGATGCGCCTGGCGGCTGATTTGCTTAAGCGCCGCGCGCGCGCGCGTTGGCCGCCGCGTTTGTCGGTCCAGCGCTGCGAGGCTGGCGAAGTGCTCGCTGTTCGCGTGCCAGGGCTAGGCGGCGCGATTCCTCGTGGCACAATACAAAAGCGACGCAGAGGAACGCTGGAAGGCTCCAGGTTTGTAAAAATAATGACACTAGCAAAAAGACTTGCTAGAGCTAGGCCGCCTAGCCGCCACGACCGCCGCGAAACTAAAGTTACGATGGCGAGTCCAGCGGGACCTGCTTGGACCACCGGCTCCGGAAGCGCGCGAACCTCGAACTCTCGCACTGGAGCGGAGGTTCAAGCGCTGGGCCGTCGTCGCCGAGCGCCTCGCGGAGCGACAGCGCCCCGAAGGCGACCGCGTGCATCTGGGCCTCGGCGTCGCCCTGGAGCGTCCGGCCGTACTGCGGATGGAGCACGAACGCGTTCCGCACGACGCACAGCCGCGCGCGCCGCTCGTGCAGCCACACCGTCGACATGCCCGCCTCGTCGAAGGGGTGGCCGTAGAGGTGCAGGTCCACTCGCAGGAGCGACGCGGCGAGCCTGTCGGGGGTCGTCGCCCAGACGGAGTTCGCGAGGTAGGGGTACGCACCCGGCGCCGCCGCCTCGAGCCTCGCGTTCCGCGCGTCCCGCGTGGAAAACTGGCGCGGGACGAGGCGCAGCGCCGCCTCGAACGCCAGCCGCTGGCACGTCACGTTCGTCCGTACCGGATGGATCCCGAGGCCGATGGACGTGACGTTCTCCCATAATAGATGCGGCGCCGCGGCCCAGAGCCGCGCCCACCAGAAGTCCGGATCCCAGTCGTGCACGTCCCACGGCGCGCCGAGCACGTCGTACAACAGGGGCCGCGGCTCCTCGCCCTTGCTGTAGCGGGCGTCACCCTCTACGGGCTTACGTCGCAGCGTCCCGGCGTAGCAGTCTTGCAAGGATCGCGTCGTCGCGTCGTCGAAAAAGTCGGCGGCGAACAGCTCGGCGGTCGGAATGCCGTTCGAGATCGTGGGCGAGACCATGGCGCATCGGGCAGCGGGACCGGCCACGGCGGCGGGGGCGTGCTCCAGTAGCGCCAGGATCGCATCCGGCGCGAGCAGGATGTCGTCGTCGAGGCTGATGATCGTAGAATACGCGCGACGCCGCGAAATGGCCAGCGCCGAAAAGATTTTGCGAAGGTAGTTGAGGTTATGGGGGCGCGGCGGCACCGCGCCGACGCGACAGAGGTGGACGCCGCCAATCAACGCGCCGACCCACGCCCGCCATTTTTCCATCAAGTCCGCGACGGGCCCCTCGTGCACCATGACGTGGAGCCTCATGCTATTCGCTAACGTCGCGTTGCACCGCGAGGCCGCGCGCAACGCCAGCGCTAGAACCGGCGTCTCGTCGACGTACGGCCGTCGCGCCCGCGACGACCGCAGCAGAAACATACCAATAGATGGGCCCTCGTCGACCTCGTACCGCGCCGCCGCCGCAAAAATATCATCACCCCGCGGCTCCCAGGGCGCGGGGCCGTTATTGGCCCCGAGCCACGCGCGGAAGAGCTCGTCGCGTCTCCGCGAGAGGTCGCGCAGGAGACACGCGCGCGCGTCGCATTGCTCGCACACCGTCGATAACATGTCGTCAGCCACTTGCCGGTCGCCGTAGAGCGCGTATAATGCCCCTGCTTCCGTCGCGTCGACCCACCGCTCGCAGGACACTTCCTCGGGCGGCTCGCCGGTATGGGGCGGGAGGTCCACGTAGGACGCGACATCTGATGGTTCTGCTCGGTCGCTGAGGCTCTCGCGGAACATGGCCAATAAATCACCGACGACGACCACTTCCTTCTCTATCTGAGCTCGCTCCTCGCCCGACCACTCGTAGTGACCCAACAACTCCCGCAGCATCTCCAAAGCACGCTCCAGAATCCGGACCCCGCGATAGCACCAAGCCAAAGCTTCTCCTGTCAACGTCCCCATGATGTTCGGCTGCGTGAGGACCATACCCAGCGAATGTGTGGCATTGTACGCCTCCCATAACTTCGTCTGGCCCTTGCCCGTGCCCTCTCCTTTCAATGTTTCGTATTCTACGTATAAGAATCGCGCTAGCCCTGCCGTGACCAGGTACGCACAAAACCAGTCGCGTTCCGTTGGTCCGAACAAATACTTCCGCGCGAGCTCGGTCCACTCGAACGCACTCCTCGGTCCGTTCGACGTCGCGACCGCGAGGCAGTCGGCGTCGTGTCGCAGGAGGTCCTCGACTTGCTTTGTTGCCAGCAGTGGGTCCTCACCGCGGGCGGCTGCAGCGAGCAGCAGCAGCCACGCCAGGCGTCGCATTTGTGCGAAGCGGCGGCTTCAAAACGCATCCATCAGGCTTGCGGGCTGCCCAGCCCCCCCTTTGGCCTGGGTGCCTATGTAAAGAGGTGCTAGGCGAAAACGCGGATCGCTCGGGTCCCCCCCAGGGGCTACCCAGGGGCTCCGCCCACTAGTCCTAGCACCGTAACAATAAGGTGGATGGCGGAGCACAATTAGGCATTTTTCACATACGTTGGGAGAGGATAGTCTGCCTCGCGGGCGAGGCGCCCGAGCGCCTCCGCGCCGACGGACTCGAGGTAGCCACAAGATTCCAAGAACGCCGCGAGGTGTGCTGCGAGCGCGGCGACCGTTCCATTAGTTACGGCCGCCGCGGCATCGTCACCAACACGGGGCGCCATGGATTCCAAGGCGTCGGCGTACCGAGCCTGGATGCGGGCGCCGTCGGCGAGCGCGCCGTGGAGGAGGGCGTAAAATTGGTCGCGCTCCGAAACGACGCAGGCGCCGCCTTCGCCCCACGGCGCGCACTCTCGCCTCGCGAGCATGTCGCGCCGCCATCCATCGCCGACGCCGTCGCCAAAACCAGCAGGGTCGTCGACTGCGCGGACCTCGACGAGTGCCATCGCGCCGCCGGCGAGGTGCACGCCAAAGTGGTGTTCGCTCCAGGCTTCACTCACCGCCCCGGCGGCGGGACGCGCGCTCGCGGCGTCCGTGCCGGCGCCCGCGACGCCCAGCGCGAGGAGCGCCGCGTCGACGTTCTCGACGAGGAGGTCAAGGTCGCCGCAGGCGCCGTCGCCGGCGAGGCACGGCCCCGGGTTCCGGTACACGGCGAGCCGCGTCGTGGCGGCCGCGGCGGCGATGGCCTCGGAGAGGTCCCTCCAACCACACGGCGGCTCCCCGGCCGCGCAGGGCCGCTCGAACACGTGGACCTCGCCGCCCGCGATGGGGTCCGGACCGGGCCTCGCGCCGCGCGCGGCAACGAGGTCGGCCAGACGCACGCCAGCGAGTAGGAGCGCGTCGCGCCGGGCCTCGCACGCGTCCACGGTGCCGTGGACGTAATCCGGGACGGCGATGCCCAGGTCGCGAAAGTCCGCCCGGAGCGCGGCCTTGAGCGCGACCGCCCGCGCGTCCGCGGCGCGATTAATCACACCGTCCGTCGCTGCATCTTCGACGGGCAGCAGGGGTAGCGCGTCGAAGCGCGCGACGACGACGAGCGCCGGCGCGCGCCCGCGCACGAAGCCGCACTTGCCCTCGAGTACGGAATAGGCCAGCGGCTGGTGGCCGTAGAGGCGCAGGATGCGCGCGCAGGACGGTGCCGCGGCGAGGCGCGCGACGTGGAGGATTTCGGCCTCGGCGGCGATTCGCGGCACGAGGCGAGGCCACGCGTGCTCCGCGACGCCCCAGAGCACAAAAACGTGAGCGCCGATCGCGGGTTCGGGCGTCGGCGGACACGCGTGATGCGTTTCCGGCGGAGCGGGGCGCGCGACGACGACGGTCGGGTCCAGCAGGGCGTCGCGCGCCGCCGCGAGCGCGTCCTCGGCGCCGGCGAGCGCGACGGACGACCGCGCGTGCGCGTCGAGGGCCGCGACCAGCACGGATGCGACATCTTGCGCGCGCGCGTCCGCCCGGGGCGCCGCGAGCTCGACGAGGCGCGCGAGCGCCGCCGCGTCGGACTCGTCGGCAATCGCATGCGCGTGCAGCGCGTGTTCGCCGACGCCCGGCGTCGCGGAAAGAGCCGGGTCGCGGGCCCATTCTCGACGATCGTCCAGCCGCGCGGCCCAGCTGAAGTCGACGACGACGACGCGACCCTCCGCGACGAGAACGTTGCCCGCGTGCAGATCCCGATGGGCGACTCGGCTCCGCGCGAGCGCGAGACCCGCTTTCACGAGGCCGGCGAGCGCCCGAACCGCGCCGGCCTCGTCGAAGGTGCTCACCGCCTCGCGCCAGGCCACGGCGTCGCGGACGCGCTCGGCGGCGCAGGCCGACCAGACCTGGCCTTCGCACGGCGGTTGGCGTAGCAGTAACCCCCGCCCAAAGAAGCGTGGCGTCGTCGCGGGGTCCTCGCGGGCGACAAGCGCGCCGTGCGCGCAGTCGCGGAAGGCGACGTCGCTGTCGACGAGTTTGACCTGCACGCGGTCCGTCGTAGACACCGTCGCGGCGTAGTCGATCCACGCGCCCTCGCGGGGACACGCTATCGCGCCGCAGGTCGGGCCGGTCCAGGTCTCGACCGCGGCGAACGCGGTCGCAACCTCCCGCGCGTCGGCGCCGTGCAAAACGAAGAGGCTCGCAGTCTCGCGGATCGAGCCGTTTTTGGGGTCCGCTGGCGTTAAAGCCTCGTAGCTCGGCGCGCCTGCCAGGTTCTCGAGGGTCCAGGCGAGGTCGGCGCGCGCGAGCGAGTTGTTCGCGTCGAGCTTTTCAACGTGCACTCCGAACGCGCCTCCGTGCTCCAGGAGGCGGACGACGACGTCGCGGGCGCGGTGCTGGGGCGTCGCTTTCGTGGCATCGACAAAAGCGAGGTCGAGCCGCACGAACCCGGCGACGCGCGCGCGCCGGCCGCAGACGTACGGCGGCAGCGGCATCTTCGCGCGCGCGCAGCGCGCCACGTGGTCCCGGAGGCCCACCAAGTTCTCGTGCGTACGAACGTCGTCAGCGTCCGGCGCACCCCGGGGCCAGACGAGCGAGAGGCGCGCGTGAGGAGGGCGCGCGGCCAGCGCCATAGCTAACGCAGGCGCGGTGTCCGTATGGTTGGGCGTGGCGCCGCTTCCGACGTAGAGGACGTACGTCGGCTCGCCGGGCGCGCCCCAGGCGAACGACGGGAACGCTCCGGTCCGCCGTCGGCCGCGTCCATCGACCGCCGGCGGCGCCCGGAGCCACGGCGGCGCGGCGGCGGCGCCGCCCGCGACGACGAGCTCGGTGGCCGCGGCGCAGGCGAGGCTGGTCAGCAGCGAGTGCTCGACCGCGCGCCGCTCAATCGCGTCCGCTGGAGGCTCGACGACGACGCGCAACCGGTGGTGCGCGAGAGTCCCGCACGCCGCGACGTCGTCGAGCAACAACACCACCCGCTCCGACTCCGTGAACGCGCAGTCGCCGCGACCGTGGTAAAAGCTCTGGAGCGACCGGTGGCCGGCCGGGCGCACGACGCGGGCTATCATCGAGACGCAGCACCCGGCGCAGGCTTCGACGGCGTGGGCGCCGAGCTCCAGGAACAGTCGAAACGTCCATGCCGTTGCGTTGTCGGCGAGCGGCCGCGCGGACCGCAGCGCCACGGCGGCCACCTCGCCGCCGACGCGCACGACGGGTGCCGCGACTGCCCCAGACGCGTCGACGACCTCGAACACCAATGCTTCGCCGACGCCGACGGTCGCGTAGCCCGGGCTTGTGAGGACGAGTAGTCCGTCGCCCCGCGCGCGCGTCGCCAAACATAGCCAGACGGCGAGTCGAAACATCCGGCTACATCATGCCTATGCCGGGGCAGCTTCAAAACGCATCCATCAGGCTTGCAGGCTGCCAACTCGTCGCCTCTGCCACGAGACGCACCGGCGGAATCGACGCTGCCGCGCCGCTCGCGGTCAAAAACCAGCTCCTCGTCGCCTAGCGCGCCGAGCCACACTGGCTGTGGGCATCGATTTCATCATCTATTTCATCTTTGCTAATTTCGGGTTCGCATCGTGTTCCCGGGGGGGGTAGCTCAATAAGCGACTCTCTCTCTGAGCCCGCTCCCCGGGAACCCTCCTTCGGGCTAAGACAGCAAGATTTATTTATGACTTACAAATCTACTTCTTTCTTTTCTGGGACACAGTGACGTCGCCAGAGGGCGGTGTCGCCCGGGTATATCATTGCGGCGGCGTCGCAGACGGCGGCGGTGGGGCGCGGTCGAGGCTCCAGTTGTCGGTCGCACGCCGGGTTGTCGGTCTCGAGCTCGCCGAGGCGACAACCCGGCGCATGCGCAGCAAGGATACGTTCAACGTCGCGCCGCAGCGTCGGTAGGCACGCAATCTCAGCCTCCGCCCCGCCCTGCCCCGACTCGACGTAGTCGCGCTGCGGCCGCGTGAACCCGGGGGGACCCCAGGCTTCGATGGACTCGCCGCTTGAAAGAAGGTGGTTTCCCCACGCCGCCGCATTACGAAACGAGTGAATAGCGTGGCCCGGCGGCGACGATCTCCGGAGGTGGTCGTAAAGGCTCGCTAGGCGCTCGCACGGGTCGCGAAGAGTGACAAAGACCGGGTCGTTTTGGGGGACGTCGTCCCGCGTGACCTCGTGATGCCCCGACAGCCACAGCTCCAGACCGCACGTTGCCGGATCCCGGCGTCTCGCATCGCCCAGCGCTTCGAACAAAACGCACGACGCGGTCTTAGACACCCGCAAATAGCGCAACGTCGGCCGCGGGCGCGTGCGGCGGCGCAATTCTGCCAAGACAACCGCGGTGACGCACCGCGCTGAAGCACAGCCCTCGCCAATCCACGTGGAGGGGTCGTCCGATAGCGTCGAGAGCTGCGTTTCTAGTACCTCGGACGAGGCGGTCGTGTTCTCCAACAGTCCCGCTGGCACTGTGACCGTGTGCTTAACGCCGTTCACATCGAGCTCGACGCTGACGCTGCGTTCGGGTTCCGGAGGCACGCGCCCTTCGATTGGCGTCGCGTCCCGCGCAACGGAATCGTTCGCCTCGAGGCGTGGCACGGCTACGTTCGCGGCCGCGGCGGCAGTGGTTGCGACCAGGAACCGCAGCATCGCCCCGCGCAGGGAACCCTGTGGATGCCTGCAGATGTCAAGTGGCAGGGGCAGCCCCTTTATTCCAGTGGCGCTGCATCTTCGTCGCGCATTGACGTTGGGCCAGTAACCGATGCTAGGACCAGACGCAAGGGTCTGTCTATGGCCGCCGATGATTCTATTGTGCTAGTGTATCAACACACTAGGATTAAAAAACCCGTACCGTCACTGTGTTCCAAGGCCTCATCGCGCCTGGGGCAGCCAAAAAGCGATTCCGAATGGCGACGCGGCATGGTGTTTCCAAAACGGTCGCCATGAATGAGCCAAGGCGTCCATGGTGTCTGCTCTTCACTCAGGCACCGCGATGAGAGTGGTACTGCTGCTCGTGCCGGTCGTCGTCGGCCAGGAGCGCTGCTCCATCGAGATTAGCATTGACGGCAGCCCCCAAGTCCTCGAGACGAGCGTACCGCCGCCGGACCGCGACAAACTCGTAGAGGTGGCAGAGGCCTTCGCGCGGACGCATAAACTCGGGGCGGGGGCGGGCTGCGACAGCACGCAGTGCGTTGCCGGGCGCCTCGCGGACCAGCTCGCCGCGCGGTGCGCCGTCGACGAGTACCGTACGCGGTCAACGCGCGAGCAGCGCTGCGTGGCGCTCGGCGACCAGCGCGTCTGTGCGGACCTCGCGCCGACGCTCCTCGGGACGTTCTCTGGTTCCGTAGTAGCGCACTGCCAGATCGGGCTGGCTCGAACGTTTCCCGCGGTCGCGCGGTCAATTTATGAACATACCGTCAAGCCGCTGGGACGCGGCGACGTCTTCTTCGTCCTTGGCTCGCCGCAGGCGAGTCGCGCGACGGCGCTCGAGTGGCGTGCGGCCTTCGACCACTTTTCGGTGGCGCAGTTGTTGGTCGCGGACGGGACGGGGCAACTGCAAAAGCTGCAGCTGTGCTTCGCGCACATCGAGGCCGCCGAGACGGCCGCCGGGCGTCGCTACGACGCAATCGTGCGCAACCGGCCCGATTTACGGTGGGAGCGGGCCGTGCCCGCGTCCTTGATTTCCCGGACATCGGTGACGTACTGCTACGCCTTCGTGGGCGTGTGTCCGCGCGCCTACGTGGATAGCAGCTGGCCCTGCGACGTGCCAGACTCTCCGAACGCGACAACAGCGAACGGCCATTCGGCGACGCCCGCGTGCGCACCCACGTTTCAGTTCTCGATGGCTCGATCAGCGCCAGCCCAGGAGCGCGCCGAGCGCCACCTCTACAAGGGCTCCGAACGAGCCCGGCACCTCGCGGCAGCCTTCGAGGATCTGGGTGACGAGCTGTGTGGAAATCCTCAAGGCAAAAGATTCTCAGGATAACCTGACTTACTGGTTGATTTCCACCCAGGTGACGAGCAGCGCGACGCGGCGCTTGATTTCCTAGCGCTCACGTGTCGCGCGTACGATAGCTACCTGGAAGACTGGGCGCGCCACCACGCGCCGCGCAACGGCGCGGGCCGGCTCCTTGCCCGCCACGCGCTCCCGCTCCGAGAAAGTGTTACCGATTTTTTGAAATGGGACCCGGATCACAATGACGCGCACGCCCTCTTTGACGCCATCACGCGAGCGGACGAGGCCGGGGCGGTATCGTCGCTGAGGCGCCTCGCGGCGTCGTACGAGACCGAGGCATTAGGGTACGAACGCGTTGGCGTCGACGGCGCGGGCCCGGGCACGGCCGCTTTCGAGCGCTGGGCTGGTGTTGATGACGCCGTACCGCCGCGCATCTCGTTCCTGGAGCAGCAGTGCGCGACGCGGCGCGCGTGCTCGAAGCCGGACGGCGCCAAAGGGATCCTGATCGTGTACGCGCGCGAGCTCTGCGCTCGAAGCTTCGCGGACGACGTCCTCGCGTCGCCGTTTCATTTTAGGGCCCAGCCGCTCATAGACTAGTTTTTTCCCTCTACTATGATTATTTCCGCTCGTTCAACTCCGAGGCCGCGGTCGCGCTCCAGGTCCTCAATACCGAGGGTGTGCGCCTCTGCGCGCCGCCCGCCGACCTCCGGCTGACGCGTGCGACGGAGCCCAGCGAAAGACGCTGGGGCGCGTTCAAGCACGGGGGGGATGGCCGCTGGGACGCCGCGGGCATGCCGGCTTCCGAGGCCGTCGCCGACGCGTCGGCGCTCGCACGGGCGTGCGCCTCGAAGAACCGGTCGTGGGTCGAGACCGGCCGCGGCCACGTACCCTGCGCGTTCGTGATAATGTGACACTAAGTTTTATTCCTCAAGGATTGTCCTCAACGCGCCCGCGGCGGCGAGAAAGTCGTCGTCGTCCGCGACCGCCTCGAGCTCGCCGAGCGTGTCCAGAAGCCGGCCGTGCGTGGCGCCCCCCAGCAGCTCCGCCGCCGCCCCGAGCCTTCTCCAAGCATAGAGAGCATGCGCTAGCGGCCTGTACTTACAGGTAAGACACTAGCAAGCGCAAGCGCCTTAGCAGCCTGGCGGAGAATCATTGCGAAGGCCTTTGCGAGGCTGCCCTTGCTTGGCAGCAGTGCTCAAACGACCAATCCACGTCTGCGCCAGGCGCTGTTCCATTGCGGGCCACCGATGAGTCGGGAGACTGTGTGTGTGTTGTTATAGCCTAACCCCCTCGCCCGCTAACGAGCGGTTGCGAAAGACGAGACTGTGTTGTGTGGTGCGTGGCCTCAGGCAATATAGGGGCTGTCTCTAAGACTAGCATATCGAGATCCGGCTGGGCAGAACGCAGGCTTTTAAAATCGGTCTTATTCGTCCGATCAAATAGCACCGAATGAAGCTCGCTCTCCTCGTCGTGCTCCTCGCGGGCTGCGTCCGCGAAGCGCAATCATCGTCGCAGGGCCAACAGGACGGCATCGTGCGGAGTATCTTTGAAGTGATCAGCACGACGAATAGGTACTTCGTCGAGCTCGGTTTCGACGCCGCGAGCTACGAGGACCCGGGCGCGACGGGCAGCAACACGCACGCGCTGTGGTTGGATGGATGGCGCGGTCTACTGATTGACGGGGACCACGAGAACGAAACGATAAATCTGCACCGCGCGTTCGTGACTTCCAGTAATGTCGTCGCGCTGCTGCGGAAACTGGGAACGCCGCTCGAGCCGGACTATATAAGTATCGACGTCGACTCGACCGATTTATATATTCTTGAGCGAGTACTAACGACGCTGCGGCCGCGCGTCGTGACGATCGAGTACAACTCCAACTTCGGCGACGGCGACAGCAGCGCGCTCGCGTTCCCGGACACGGACTGGATGCCGCTCGGCGCATCAAAGGGCGCGTTCGCGGCGACTTGCTTTTACGGGTCGTCTGCCTCCGCAATTTATGCCGTCGCCACCGCCGCGGGCTACGTTGTGGTCGGCGTCGTGTACGGCCTCGACCTCGTGCTGGTGAGGGCGAGCCTCTGGCCACATCCAGGAATTCCGCTGGCGAATTTGACAAAGCGCCTCGACACGTGGCCAGCGATGAGCGTCGAGGACGCCGCTGCCCTTATTGATCACTCTGTATATGCCGCAGGAGGCTCGCTCTGCGCGGCGCGGCGCGCAGCCGCGATTGCCTTGAGGCGCCTCGCGCGCGCGCCCAATCTTGAACCCTGTACGTGCTTTTTGGGAGACGCGGACTGTGTACAATTTACGAAGGGCTGCTCGTGCTTCCGCGATTTGGCGGATTTGCCCGTGCCCGACTGCGTGGATGTCACATCACCACACGCCGCCGACGTCAAAGCAGTCAGCGTCGAGGGCCACCGCTGGCGGGCGCGCGTCGACCTGCCGGCGGCCTACCTTGATAGATTAGACGCGTCGTGGTTTCGGACGAGCGTCAAAATCGATGTCGGTCCGGGTGGCGCTACGGAAAAATATGGCTAGGCCTGTCTTGTGTAACTGCCGCATACCCTGCACTAACTTGAATGTACCGTGACCGCATGCGGTACATTAGTCTGCGCGCTCGTGATAATGTCACCGTATTAATGTGACACTTAATCTTATACCTCTAGGATTGTCCTCAACGCGCCCGCGGCGGCGAGAAAGTCGTCGTCGTCCGCGACCGCCACGAGCTCGCCGAGCGTGTCCAGAAGTCGACCGTGCGTGGCGGCCCCCAGCAGCTCTGCCGCCGTCCCGGTAGCCGCGTCCAGCAGCAGGTTGTGGAGCGCCTTGCACGCGACGGCGGCCAGGTCCAAATCCTGGACGCCCGCGCGGCGTACGACGGCCACCAACTCCTCGTGCGCCTTGTGCTCCCACAGCACGTCGCGTCCGTCCACGGCCGCGTTGACAAGCGCCCCCGTCGCGGCGAAGACGACGTCCCGGGCCGGATGCCCGAGGAGCAGGACCAGCGCCTCGACGACGCCCAGGCGCCGCATGGCGCGCCGCGCGTCCTCGTCGCGACTGAAGTTGCCGAACGCGCGCGCGGCCTCCGAGACGGCCTCATGGTTTTCGTGAACCGTGACGGCGAGGAGCGACACGCAGACCGCGTCCAGGTCGGCGAAGAGGCCCCGGGCGCGGCCCTCCAGCGCGTAATAGCTGAGGTTCGTGACACACGACACCACGTTCAGTGCGAGCTCCTCGCAATCGCGCCGCAGCGCCGCATCAAGCGCTTCTGGTAATATCGCGACGGCTTGGTGCGTCGCGACCGCGACCCCGACCTCCGGCGTGATCGCCGCGTTCGCCGCGAGGCGCACGAGGCGGATCGAGAGTTGCTCCGCCGCCTCGTCGTTTGCATCGTCCACGAAGTCCCGCGCGGCCCGGCCCGCGAGCCGCGCGATCTCCGGCGCGCGGTCCGCGAGCGCCGCCCGGGTCTCGTCGCGGCCCGCGGCGAGGTTCCCGAGGCCAAACGCGAGGCGCACGGCCGCTTGGGACCGGCGCGGGTCGTCCCGCCGTGCGTCGAACGACGCCCGAAGCGCGTCCGCGAGCGCGTCGAGTCCGTCGCGATGCCCGTGCAGCGCGCGGCGCGTCCCCTCGTGCAGCGACAGCTTCGCGAGCGCGCGCGCCGCGTGGAGCACGACGTCGGCGTCGCCCTCGAAGGGCACGAGGAGCGCAGCAAGCGCCCTGGACGCGCCGCCGGCCTCGAGCGGCTTGAGCGCGCCCCGGTCGCCGCTCAGGTTCCGGAGCGCGCCGGCGGCCTGGGCCGCGAGGCGCGCCACGTGCCGCGTCGTCGCCCGCGCCGCGCAGGCGCGCGCCAGGTCGCACGCCACGCCGGCGACGCCCGCCGCCGCGAGGCGGCGGAGCGAGGCCTCGTCGTTCGTCAGGTTCTTGAGCGCGCCGGCGCAGTACACCAGCGCTTCGACGTACTCTTCAGATCCGCCCTGCAGCTCGGCCGCGCCGCGCGCCGCGTACCGCACGAGTCCGGGCACGACCTTCTCGTCGAAGAACAACGCGTCGTGGGCGGGCGACCGCGACACGTCGAACGCGGCGCGGCACGCAACGAGCGTGGTTTCGGCGTCGCCGGGGAGGTCCCGCGACCCGTCCAGGAGCTTCATCGTCTCCCGCGACACCGCGAGGCGCGTCTGCGCGTCGTCGTGCGCGAGGGCGGCGGCGAGCGCCGCGAGCACGGCGCGCCGGCCAACCGAATCACGCGAATTGAACGTGCCCGTCCCGAACCACGGCGCCAGGGCCCGTTGCAACACGTCACAGGCGGCGGAGCTGTCGAGCTCGACCACGTTCGCGAGGCATCGCGCTGCCGCGCGCAGCGCGCGGTCCTCGGCGGCCTGGCGCGGGTCCTCGTCGGGCGGCGCGGCGGGCGGCGCGGCGGGCGGCGCGGCGGCGTCGGCTGGCGGGTCCGCGGGCAGTCCTCGGACCGGCGCGGCGGCGCCGAGGCTCCGGTCGCGGCGCAGCGCGTGCGGCGTGAACGGCCGCGACGGATCCTTGAGGCTCGCACGGGCCTCGGACAGCGCCGACGCGATGGTGCCGCCGCCCACGGCGGGCTTGCGCCGGATGCGCCTTGCTATGGGGGGCTCCAGGGTGATGTGCTACTCGCGTACCGGGCAAAGGGCAGCTCGCAGGTAGAGCTGTGGTGCGGGAACGAAATTCTAATGGCCGGATTCCCACGTCTACTGCTTCTCTCCTCCTCTCACCGTTGTCCGCTTTGCTAGGCATCCCTAGTGTCTCACAAGGTAGCTGCATCAGCTGGCTACCCAAACGGGGTTTATACGCAGTTCGTTTATCGGTGTTCGCCGAGTCATAGAGCTGCCTATAGATTACTATCGTGCGGGGTACGGGGTACGGGAAGGAGGCATGGCTGCCCATAGAGCAGAGCTATTGCAGCACAAAATGAAGTCGTAGGCATCTATGTTGCTTAGGACAGTGGTCGCGGCAGCCGTGCTGCTGCGCGGCGCGGGCGCATGCACGGCGACGCTGAGCATAGACATCGACGGCGTCTCGGTGAAGCTCGCGTTCGACAACACGTCCTCTGTGTTCGGCACGGCGCTCCGGCACGTCGCCGAGCTTGGAGACGCCCACGGCGGCGGCCTGATGGGTGGGAGTTGCGAGACCGGCGACGCGTTTTGCGCCGCCGGCGAGCTCGCGGACGGCGCGCACGCGCTCCTCGCGGAGCGGTGCGGCGACGGCGACGGCGGCGACGCGCGTCCCGCGCCGCTGGACGTCCTACAAGTCGGCGCCCACGAAGGAGACAGCCCGGGCGACCCGCTGTACGCCTGGCTGCGGCACCGCGCCGCGCCGTGGGTCCGCGCCGTCCTCGTCGAGCCGATGCGGGCGAGCTTCGAAGCGCTGGTACGAAACTACGCCGGAGCGGTCGCTTCCATTTCGTACGTGCACGCCGCCGTCGCCGGGCGCGAGCGGAGGCCGCTGGTCTTCTACGAGCCGCGCCGCTGCGACGCGCCGTATCCTGATGCGAGTCACGACGTCCGCTGCGTCCACGGCTTCGAAACGTCGACGCTCATCGCTTCGACGAACTGGACATTCGTCTACCACGGCGCGCGATGGATCGTCGACCCGACGGGTTCGACGACCGCGGTGCCGCCCATCGCACGACGCGAGGTCGCTGGCCTCGATTGGCGCTCCATCTTGGAGGCACACGGCGCGTCCGCGGTCGGCGTCCTCGTCGTCGACGCCGAGGCCATGGACTGCGACCTCGTCGCGAGCTTTCCCTTCGACGTCGCCGTTCCCGACGTGATCGTGTTCGAGCAAGGGCACTGCGCCCACGCCCAGCCCGACGAGCGCGCGGCACTCGATGATTACCTTACGGACGTCCTCGGCTACGCGCGGGCGCCGGGCTTCGTCGGGCACGTCGAGCACGACGCCTGCTACGTGCTGCGATCTATGGCGCCGAATCCGCCCGACTCGGCCACGCTGGACCCCATCACCACCCCGCCCGACCGGCAGCGGGGTACGTTCGGGAGCTGACGACCGGCGAAGCCATCGAGGCGGTCCTCGCCAGCGTCCCCGGCGGTGCCGAGGTTCTTTACTGCGGCTACCAGCCCCTCGTTCGCACTAGTATTGTTTACCGCATAGTTATCATGTGCCAGTGGGGGCTTCATCTTCCGCGCACGCCGGCGCAGCGCCGAGGGCCGCCAGCCGGGCGTCGACGCTTGCGCGGAGTTCCCGGAGCGCGTCGACCTCCCCCGTGCCGCGCGCAGCGTCCGCAAGCGCGACCGCGCACGGCCTACCGGAGTCGTCGCCCGGGAGCGTCGACCAGCCGCGGGTGAGGCACGCCCGCGCCGCGAATTCCGCGACGTCGGCGCCGGCATCTAGCTCCGCGTAGAGCTCGTCGAGGCCGCGCCCACCGTTGACGTCGATGATGGTGCCGCCGGGCGCGCGCGGCGGCCGGGCGAGCGCGAGGCCGTCGCCCCACGACGGGAGGTTGACGACGTCGAAGCCGAGGCGGCGCAGCGTCGCAGGCGCCTTGGCGCAGCCCATGCGCCAGCCGCCCGTGTCGTGCAGGACCGCGACGCCCGACGGCGCGAGGCGGTGCGCCCAGCGCACCGCGTCGGCGACCGCGCCGGCGTGCGAGTGGTCCGCATCGACCAGGAGTAGGTCGATAGGTCCGAAATCGAGAGCTTCGTCGTCGGTGCGAGCGACGACGACCTCAATGTCGGGGAACATGTGGCGAAACGCCGATCCCTCGACGAGGTAGTCTGGCCGGCCGTAGGGCCCGACGTTACCGTCGACGAGGATCGTGCGCGACGCGCGACCGATGCCCGCATCGCGTTGGCCCTGGCGCACCGCCGCCGGCGCGAAGCCACCGCCGGATCCGAGCACGACGGCCAGGCGCGCGCGCTGAGAATAAGCCAGCGCGTGGTATAAGAGGCCAGTGCCCAAAAATCCACCGGTCGCCGCGCCGTGCGTGTTCGAAAAGGCGAGCGCCGCGAGCGGCGCTGCCGCCGTCGCGTCGAAGAACGTTGGTGTATCGACGTCCCGTAGATAGACCTCGACCGTCGCCGCCGCCGCGGCGGGCGTGCCATCCCCAAATGTTACTGTCGCGCGCAGCTCGCACGCCTGCCCCCCGGCGCAGCGACGCGTGTCGAGCGCCGCATTTTGTGGATTCGTCAGCACGTCGACCGCGGCCGTCGCGTCGCCGAGGCCCGCGCTGCCCCGGTCGACCTGCGTCACCGCCGCGGCGCACGCGCTTCCGGGAACCTGTGCCTTGCCCAGAACTCCGCCACAGAGGGCTTCGAACGCGTCCAAGTGCAGCGTCGACGGGAACCGGACGCCGAGCCGAAGCTCCACCGAACCGTCGGCGAGGAGCGCCCCCCGCGCGGGCTCGTCGATCGAGACAGCGCCGAGGAAGCCCTCGCGGGCGGCGTACGCGCGGGCGGCTGCGGCGCGCGCGGCGAGACCGCCGTCGTCCCGTGCACGCAGCGCCGGCATGTGCTCCCGGACCCAGTCGTTCTCCCGGAGGTCGAGTACGAGCGTGACCCGGTCGCGCGTGCCCATGTTGACGAGCGTGTGGCGCCGCATCGTGTCGAAGTAGTGGAGCCGCCCCGGCTCCAGCTCGTGGACGGCGCCGAGCTCGGCGAAATCCGCCACGAGCGTCTCCAACCTCAGACGCTCCGCGGCGTACGACGAGTTCCGCTCGGCCCACCACGAGTCGGCGCGGTCGTCGCCACACGCCCCGGGTGGGCCCGTCTGGCACTCGGGGTACGCGTGTTGGTTCAGCAGCGCGTTCGTCGCGGCGAAGTCCGCGCCGCGCGCAGCAATCACCGGAAGAAACGACGCCTCCGGCAGCAGCAGCAGGAGCCCCTCGGCCACTTCCGCGTCGACGGGGATCTGAACGCGCCGGATGTCCGGCGTCACGTGCAGGTCCTCGTCGTTGTGGAGGCCGTAGGCCGTCAGGGGCCGCCGCCGCAGCAGCCGGAACGCGACGACCTCGGTCCGCGCGGCGAACCACCCGTGCACCTTTGCAAGGTACGGGCACCGATCGAAGAGCCCCGCGTCCGCGTGCGGCCGGTTGATGAAGTGGTCCCGGAAGGCCGGCGGCAGCGCTGCGCGCGGCAGGAGCGGCCGCGCGTGGCCGAACTCGGACGCGGCCCAGTCCCAGCCCTCCAGCGCCACGCGCACGTCGCGCCGAAGCGCAGCGAGGTCGAAGACCCACGGCAGCCGCCAGAGCGGCGCGCCGCGTGGTTTGTGTCGTTGCGACAAATCCGCAACAGGTTCGGCGCCGAGCGGCGTGCGGACCCCCAGGTCCTCGACGAAAGGCGCCGCCGCGGCCTCCGTGGCGTCGCCGAGGACCGTGGGCAGCGCCGGCACTACGTCGGGGCTCCAGAGGTACTGGCCGCGCGGGCAGTGCAGGCCGCAGCCCGTCGGGAACGGCGCGAGGCACCCGGTCCCCCGGTCGCAGCGCAGCGCGTCCAGCGCCGCGGTCGCGTTACCGTCGAGGCGCCAGTCGTCGGCGACGGCCGCGAGGTTTTCCGCGAGCCGCCCCCCGTCGGTCGACCGCGGGATGACGGCGATGCCGCGGTCCGCGGCCCAGCGGAGCAGCGCGGCGGCGGGCGAACGGCCCGCGGCGGCCGCAGCGGCGCGCACCGCCGCCGACTCGAGGAGGTCGCGCCGGCCCTCCTGCACGACGCTGCCGTACGCGACGACCGCGACGCCCGCCCGGCGGCCGAAGTCGACGACGCCGTCGCGCGGCAGGAGCGGGTGGAGCTCCAGCTGGTCGACGGCAGCGCGGACGCGCGCGTAGCGCCGCATCTCGCGGAGGTGGCGCGCGAGGTAGTTGGACACCCCCACGTGGCGGCATAGGCCCGCGTCCCAGGCCTCCTCGAGCGCGCGCCACGCGCCGGCGCGCGCCGCGTAGGCCACGCTCACGTTGCCCTCGACGCCGAGGCCGCCGATTTCGGTCCAGACCACCAATCGATTGGGATGGTCGGCGGCGACGGACGGCGCCGGGAAGTGGAGGAGTAACAAATCGACGTGGCCGCCGAGCGCGGCCGCGATGCGCGACGCCGACGCGCGAGCGCTTTCGTAGTCGATTTGGTCCACTTTGACCTTGCTCGTGACGAAGAGCTCGTCGCGCGGGACACCCGAGTCGCGGATGGCCAGTCGTACCGCCTCGTGGTTGCCGTAGACCTCTGCCGTGTCCAGGTGGCGGTAGCCCATTTGTAGCGCCCGCAGCACCGCGTCGTAGCACGCCTGGCCCTGGAGGTGGTAGGTCCCAAGGCCAATTTGCGGCATGCCGGCGAGCTTGGTCGCAGGCGCCGCCGGCGACGCGTCCAGCAGCCGGAGCAGTGGCACATCCGCGGCAGCCGGGACGACAATCAGAAATGTGGTGAGGAGGCCCATGGCTGCTGCCATCATGCGCGGCAGGCTTGCCAGCACGGAACTCGCACGATTTTTTGCGACGCCGCAGAGCCCGATCGGCACAGGCGGCAGCCACGCACGGCGCCCAGGCCCAACCCCAGCCGCCCCTGCCCGAGGCCCCGGGGCCTCGAGGCGAGGTTTCGTTCGGGTTCGTTGAGCTATCTGCGTCGTCTGCGTTTGCGTCGTCGCGAGTGCGGCCGTTTAGAGCAGGCTTCGTATGAGTTCCGGTGCGCTGCCGGGCCCAGACCTCCTGCGCGTGATTCCTCGCGCGTCTTGAAGGGGGGCTAGAGGGGCTAGGGTAAGAGCTTGGAGGGGGGGGTTCGTGTTCGGGTTTATCGTTCGGCTGGAGGGGCTAGCTCAATAAGCGACTCTCTCTCTCGGCTCTGCTTGCAAGCGGCCGGCCTCTGTTCGGAGCGAAACCTCACACCGCATGTGTCTGGGTTCTCGGGGGGCAGGGCGCCACGTGAAACAATGTTCACCCGGGCCTAGTCGCCAATCCCTACCTGAATCCTCGCACCGTGACAGCACATAAATAAAGCCCATCGTCGCGGAAGGATGCCAGTGCACCGTATGGGCCGGGGAAACTTTTGAACAATGTATAATATGATAAACTGAACAGGTTAATACACGACTCCGCTAGAGACTACTGGAGCGCGGCACCACAATAACGCCTATTCCAAAGTACGAGCCGTCGACGTCGTCGTATTGCTCCACGAACTCGTGCGTCTCGAACTGGTCGCGGACCTCGCGCCAGAAGCGGCGGACGCCCGCGCACGACGGCTCGTCCGACGCGATATCGTGCAGGACGATGTAGCGCGTCGTTCGGTTCCGCACGAGGTCGAAGTCGCGCCGCACACCGTCGTAGGAGTGGTCGCCGTCGATGAAAGCGAGATCCCACGCGGGCGCCTTCGCCAGAAGCTCGGCGAACGGCGCCCCGGCCGAATCGAGCTTGCGGAAGCGCGCGGCCGCGTATTCCCGGAGCAGCGCGGGGTCCTGCCACTTGTCGATCGCGAGCGCGCGGAGGCCGTCGGCCCCCACACCGCCGCTCGCCTCCCCCAGACGGCCCAGCACCTCCACCGTAAACACGAACGTGCCGCCCCAGCGGCACCCGATCTCCAGGTACGACGTCACGAGTGGCCCGGCGGCGAGGAAAGCGACGTACGCGCCAAACTGCCGGGGGTATTGGTAAATGCGGAGCCCGCCGGCGTTCCTCAGCATCTCCGCCGGCAGTTCCCGCGCGTTCTCGTCGTTGACGCCGCACGCCAGCACCAGCGCCTCGACGGCGGCCGCGTCGCGGAGTCGCGCGATCGGCGTCGCACGGAGGCGTCTCCGCGCCGCGTCCAGCGCCACCGCGGCCCCAATGTCGTAGCCGAACGCCGCGAGGCCCGGGGCGAGCGTGTCGACGTCTCCGAAGTCGCGGACGCACGTGCGGTCGACGGAAAAAGCCTGATCGAACGCGGCCCAGGCCGGGTTGTCGAAGGCGCGGAGTCTCGCGTGAAGCGCATCCATCAAGGCGCGGCGGTGCAGATCCTCGACCGAGAGCCACGCGACGGTGAGGTCGTCGCGCGCCTCCCAGTACTGAAGGTGCGCCAGCCACCGGTGCGCGTACCGAGCGAACGGGACCGGCCCGGGCGCCGAGCAGTAGGACGCGACGGGATCGCGCGTCACCGCCACGACGAGTGTCCCGGCCCCGAGCCGCGGCGTCGTCGCCTCTACAAAGGGATGATGCGTGACTTCGACGTCGACGGGGAAGAGCCCAGCCACCTGCTCGCCGAGGCATCCCGGCGGCGCTGCCACGACGATGGCCTTCGGCGGCGGCGGCGGCTCCGGAAGGCCGCACTCCTTCGCGATGCGCCGCCGCATGTCGTGCACGATCTCGTCCACGACGCACCGGGCGCCGTCGGCCGCGAGCTCGCAGCCCCGGCCGAGCTCCAGGCCCGCCCGCACGCGGAAGGCGTCCGCGACCGCACCCAACGCCTCGGCACTCCCATCCACGGGGAACGCGACCTCGTGCGCCACGCCGTTGACGGACGCGACGAACGTGAGCGAGGCGTTCGCGCCGCAGCGAGGCGCGAGCAGAGGCTCTTCTGAGACCCCGCCGTCGACGAGCTCGGCGACGCGGCGCTTATATTCATCCTTCGCGCGCGCCCACCAGGCGCGGACCTCGGCACTCAGCGTCCGCAGCGCCGCGACGTCGTCCCGCAGCGCCAGCACCCGACCGACACTCGCCGCGGACCACTCGCCGTCGACGACGGGAAACGGCGCGTCGAACCAGCGCTTGTAATACAGACTCGACACCACGGGAATGGCGCCGGCCTCCAGCGCTTCATAGGTCCGGTAGCACTCGACGTGGTTGTTTCCCGGGGGCGACGGGGCGAAGACGACGGACCGCAGCGCGCGCCGATATTTCTCCGGTGCGACGGCGCTCTCCAGTCCCCGCCGCCACGACGATTCGTTCGTGGGGACGTCCCATGCGGTGCCTCGCCGCCAATTTCCCACGGAAGTCGCGTCGAGGCCTGCCGTAATGTGCACGAGCGCGGCGTCCCCGCGCCGCTCGCCCTCCCGCAAAAAGCTCGCGAGCGCGTGCGCCCGCGCCGGCGACTGCGCGCGGCCCAGGAAGCCCCAGGCATACCGGCGCGTCGTGACGTCGTCGTCGACGGCCCCCTTCAGAAAGGCGGTCGGCCCCAGCGGCGCGACGAGCTGCGTCCGCCGCAGCCGAGGGACCGCGTCTGGGTCCTGGTAGGCCCCGAAGCCGAGGCGGAGCACAAATGCGAGGCGATTTACGAGTTCGCCGTTCGCCTCGAGCCAGTCGCCGTGGTTCTCGTCGACCACGACCAGACCGACGCGCTTCCGGCCCGCGGCGCGCCAGAGCCGAGCGCTCTCGTTGACAAAGGCGTGCTGCACGTCCTGCTGGTGCGTGTTCACCATGAGGATGACGTTCTGGGCACGGTCGAGCGCGCTGACTAGCGTCAACCGCGCGGTCGCCCGCGGTGCGCCCGGCTCGATCCCACCGCGGATCTCTGAAAACAACCGCTGTAACCAATCCGCCTCCCATCGATCGCTCCCCTGGTCCAGCGCGTAGAAGACCCAACGGTCCTCGTCGACGTCCTCTTCCTGTATCCGTCGCGGGACGAGCCGCCGCGCGTTTTCCAGGACATGATCCTCGGTCGCGCCCGGTAGCTCGATCGCGGAGAAGGCGCCGAACCTCGCGAGGCCGTGGCTGGCACGCATCGCGGCGCGCGACGCGACGTCCTGGCTGGCGTCGCAGAACGTTGTACCGAGCGCTTCTACGAACGCCGCGCGCGGCTCACACCGCGCTTCAACAAAAGCGGACCAGGCCGCGGCGACGGCCGCAGCGCGCGGTGCGCCGGACCGCAGGAACGCGACGAGGCCGTCCCTGGCCGTGCCCACGGCGCAGCCTTCGAATGCTCTAAAAGGATCGTCGACGAGGAATACATTGATAGAAGCCACGACCACAACGTCGAAGCCCGACGCCGTCAGCGCGTGCGCGGCTGCCACGGAACCCGTGGGTTCGACCCACACGTCGCTTCCACGCTCCCCTAAACCGCCCGGCGCCGCGACGAGCGCCACGACGCCAACCGCTTCGGCTGCCGCCGCCCAGGCGGCCGCGACCCGGGCCTCGCTCGGCCTCGCGTGAGCAATCGCAACGCGGCGCGGCCCGGCGCCGCAGCGCCGGGCCGTGCGCGCGGCGAGGCCGGCTATTTTCGGCGCGAGGCGCACGCCGGCGGTCGCGTTCGCCTCGCAGCGCAGTGGCGCCGGCGGCGCCTCGTCTTCGACGGCCGCGCGCAACGCGTCCGCGACGACTTTCCGCACGCACGGCGCGTCATTGGCACCGCAGCCGGCGCCTTCGAGCCGCGGTAGACTCAAGGAAGCGACGTACGCATCAATGTCCGTGGCGTCGTCGGCCTCCAGGGAAAGAGTAGCATCGTCTACATTGAGATTAAGCACCGCGGCGCCGGCGAGGGCAAGCAGCCCAAACCACAACGGTTGCGGCCGTCGCATAGCTGCCCCCCGGGTCTACTCGTCAGCCATGCTCCTCATGCCAACTATGCCATCTCTCCAAACCCTGCCCTGGAGAGCGGGGGTACGGGGTCCCAGTGGCGTGAATTGAGGGCGCTCGTTCGCGGCCCCATCGAAATTTGAATGGAGGAAAATCGGCATACGGCCAGAGCACTCCCCAGACCCCATCATACCAGCTTTTCGGGGTGAGAAAGGGCGACGCCGGCGCGCAGTGCAGTGATGAAAGGGCTGCCTTCTCCCGACGGCTTCGGCTCCTTCCGCGGCGCGAGACGGTCAACCCGAGCGTGGGACCAAGCGTGGGGACCTACCGAACGACGTCGAACGGCCGGAGCGAACAATAAGGCCCGTTCGGCTGCGGCATCCGATGGCGCATTTCGGGGTGCGCCGATGGGCTGGCGCGATGTCATCGAATCGCCGCTGCGAGCCCGTTGACGTGCATGGGCCATCGCATACGGTCCTTGTAGATGCTCAGTGGCCACAGTTTTGGTTCAATCGGCCCGGAAGGCACCATTTAGGCTCCATGAAGTCGGCCTCGACGCCGCATTCGGCCCACTGGATGTCGGCGTTGTGGAGGTTTTGAGCGGTCCGAACGGTTCGGACCCACCCGTGGGTCAGCATAGAGGCCCCCAACGGCCCGACTACGCGCGGAGGCAATTTTTGTGAATTTTCTAGTATGTAATTTGTGCCTGACATCTGTCAAACCTCATGATTTTGTCTCAAACTTTGTGTGAATTAAGATTAGGCATAGATACGTCCCATGACCGGTTTTCCTCCATTAAATTTTCGACGCGGCGCCGCTAGAGCCGGAGCAAAAACCCGGGACCCCCCATCCTGGAGGCTGGGAGAACAGCGTGCCATTAATTCCCAGTATTAGCCTGCAAAAAATTGCGATCGCGTACGGGAGTAGCTGGCACGGAGAGCTTGTTGCGCGCTTTCGGCTGCCCCGCAGGGTAAGCTCATTTTCATGCGCCTCCTAGTCGCGCTACTATGGTGCCGTCTCGCTGCGCCGCACGCAAACGTGACGACTGTGCATTTAAGCATACCTTTCGAGGACGGGGCGCGAACCCTTGTGTGGCGCCGCGCGGCCGAATCCGCAAAAGAAGCCTGTGCGCGCTTCGCAGCAGAGCAGGGGCTCAACGGAGACGTCCTCCCGGACCTCGAGGCGCTCGTCGCCTCCCAAACGGCGCTGAGAAAGGTCTCACCGTCGCTGTTTGCGGCGCCGAGCTGGTGGCGCCCCGCGGAGGCCGCCGGCACAATCGCCTTCTTCGGCGGGCACGACGCGAGCGTGGCTGTTGCTGCGGCCGACGGGACCCTGCTGTGCGTGCTGGAGTTGGAGCGGCTCTTTAACGATCGCTACTACTCGTCGTTTGGTCCCGACGGGGCGACGCCTAGAGAGTCGTTCGACGAGGACTGGCGGCGCGCGCTTCTCGTTATTCGCGACCGGTCTGAGTGCGCTTATCCGAGGACCTTCGCGCGCGGCATCGTCGTGGAGACCGGCGCGTCTCGCTACCGGCTCGAAAAGCTCGTGGAAGAGGTATTCGACGTAGAAACGTGGCTCGCGTGCGATCACCACGAGGCCCACGCCAGGCTTGGTTTTTTCGCGTCGCCGTTCGCGTCCGCTTTGATCGTCTCGTACGACGGCGGCGGGAACGACGGTCATTTCAACGTATATGTGGGCCGGCGGAATCAGCTGGAGCGGGTCGGGCGCTTGGACTACTCGCTGGGCCAGACGTATTTAACGGTAGGGAGTCTGCTGCGCGAGGTCACGAATGATCAGACGTCGCCGACGCTCCGGGACTTCTGCGCATTTGCTAAAGGTGAAAAACCAACTTTCAGTTGGAACGCGCACCCGAAGCCCCTCGCCCTCGCCGGCAAGCTCATGGGCTACGCCGCGACCGGATCCGTCAGAGACGATCTCCGCGCGGCCGCGCGGGGGTTGTTGCTGGCGAAGCCAGCGGATCTCTGGCGGGACGAACATCGCAACGGCGTGTCCCGAGCGCTCGCGGAGGCCGTCTGCGGCGAAGATATGCAGGGAGGGCGCGACTTCGCGGCGACAGCACAAAACGAGTACGAGGGCTTCGTCCTCGAGGTCGTCTCCACGTTATTGGAGCGCGCGGGCGGTCCCGGAGCGGTCGACGGCGTCGTGTTGGCCGGGGGTTGCGGTCTGAACGTGCGGGCGAACCAGCGCGTCTTCGACGAGCTCGGTGCAGCGGTGTACGTCGCTCCGGCGCCGAACGACGCGGGCCTCGCCGCGGGCGCCGCCTGGAAGGTGACGCCGCCGCCGCGAAGGCCAGCGCGACCGCAGCACCTTGGTTTCGGGCTATGGGACGGCCCGGACCTCGCGGACGCCGCCGCGGCGCGCGGCGCGCGGAACCTGACGGAGCTCGGCGGCGTCGAGTACCTGGCGGCGCTGCTCAACGGCGCTCACACGAGTGGCGCGAAGCCGATCGTCGCCGTCGTCCGCGGGCGCCAGGAGTTCGGACCAAGGGCACTCGGGAGGCGGAGCTTGTTGGCGGTGCCGGACTCGGTCGATGCGCGCAACCGTTTGAATCGACTCAAGCGCCGCCAGTGGTACCGGCCCGTCGCGCCGATGGTCGCCGAGGAGGCCATGGCCGACGCCTTCGGCCGAAGCGTGCCGTCGCCCTATATGACCATGGCGCCAGACGTTTCGCCACCGATCGCGCGCGCGTTCCCGGCGCTCGCTCACCTCGACGGCACAGCGCGCCACCAGTCCGTCGCCCGGAGGGACGACGCGTGGCTCCACGCGCTTCTGCGGGCCGTCGGCAAGCGGACCGGTCTGGCGGCGTTGATCAACACCTCCTTCAACACACGCGGCAAACCCATCTGCAATACGCTCAAGGAGGCGTTGACCATTCTCGACGAAGAGCCGGACCTCGACTACCTCCTCGTCGACGACTGGCTCTTCGCCAAGTCCGCCACTCCCAGGGGCGGCAGGGAACTCTAAACAACGAATAATTCTACAAGGCCCGGGCACGAGCCGCGGACATGCACTCGGTGTATGTCTCACAGTTGTTGGCAGTGACGCTTGGCCTTCGGTCGGCGTCTCTCAACATCACGGCCTCGAGCCGACCGACGGCGCACGCGACGTCACACTCGGGGGCGGTCGCGACGCCGTGCACGGCCGCGAAGCGGCGCGCGGCGTCGAGGGCCGTCTCGTTCGCAAACCACCTCACCGCCTCGGGGCCCGGCGCCGCGCCCATCGGCGGTACGAGATTCACCACGATCTCACGAAACGGCGCCGTTGCGTTTGGCAACACTTGCGACGGCGTCTGCGTCGCGGCTGGCCTTGGTCGGCAGCGGAGCGGTCCTCGACCACCGAAAAAGTCCGCGACGTGGGTCCAGAGGCCGTCGAAGGAGAGGTGCGGAGCGGTAGCGAGTGCGGCCGCGCGCCGCGCGGCTAGGTCGTCTGGGGCGCGAGGAGCGTCCAGGAGTCGCCTCATCACGTCTCCGAGCGCGTCGACGCGGACAACGTCGACAGGTAGCGCGTACGGGAGCCAGGGCTCGTCGTCGTACACGTAGATCGGTAGCGCGCCTGCGGCAAGGCACTCGTAGAGAAAGAACGAGCTCCGGCCGTACCCTCGCGGTGCAACCACGTACGTCGCCTCGTTGAGGCGGGAGCGCCAGTCTTGACCAAAATACGTTACCGTGGCGGCGTCGAGCGTCGGATCTCCCGCGATGATGTCCGCAATGCGCCTTCTGACGGCGTGCGTCGCTCGGCCGCAGAGGAGGAACGTGTATTTGCGGGGCAGTAGCGCCGCCGTAAATTCGCCTCCATCATCAAATGGCCGCGTGATCCCGTCGGCAACGAGCGGCAGCGCGACGTCGCCCGCGCCGCCCGCGCTCAGGACCAGTAAGTTTTTCGAAGCCGCGAGGCCCACGTCGAGCACGCGCAAGCCCTCGTCGTGTTGGGACAGAGTGACGTACGCGACGTCCGGCCGCATCGCGGCCTTGAGAGCCTCTACAGATGCCGCCATGGCAGCGTCCATCGCATCGTCCGTCCCTCGCAGAAAGACCGCGTCCGTCCACTGCGCGAACACGGGCACGCGACCGCCGAACGCCTCTTTCGGTTGATTGCGCCACCGATCGATCCACGCGTTCTCGAGCCACGGCCCGTTGAAATGACCGTACTCGTGCGGCGCCAGGTTCCGGAGCCCGGCGGTCGCGGTGTCAACCTCGGCGAAGCGCTCGGACCACGCGTCGTCCTGGCGCGCCCCGGTCCCGCACGGAGGCGGTGCCGGCGCGGGGTACCTGCGCCGCGTCGCACGGAGCGCTTCCGTGAGTGCGGCGGCGTCGAGGCCGCGGCGGCGGGCGAACGCAACCGCGATCGCGTCCAAATCATCATCCGGGTGGAAGAGCACCGTCTCCTCCTCAAAACTGGTCTCGAGGCGCGCGTGGCCGCCTAGATAAGCTGTTCCCATGGCCGTCCGGTGCCAGTTGCGCGACGCGCGCTGCGTGGCGAAGTGGATCACGACAGCGTAGCGGAACGCCGCGGGCGTCGCGGCCCCTGCCGGGAATGCTCCGGTCGCGTGGAGCAGCGCGCCGTCGAAGAAGAGGACGTCGCCCTCATTGACGGCGACGGCGATACGTGTCGCGTTTATGCCCGCCGCGCCCGCCGCGGCGGCCGTCTCCGTAAAATTCCGCACCTGTCCGGCCGTCACAAAGTCCCGGGCGGCCCAGCGGTGCGAGCCCGGCGCGACCACCGTGGCGCCGGTCCGTGCGTCGGTGTCCTGTAGGAAGACCATAGCCGCGAGGTGCGTGCCGTGTTCGCCGCGGTGCGACCGCGTCTCGCGCATCCGAAAGGCCGCCTCCTGGTTCGTGAAGTCGTAGTGCCACACGTTTTCGCGCGTGGACGGCGCCCCGACGTAGACGGTGCAACCGTGGACCTGGTGGTCGGCGCCGAGGCGGGCTGCGGCGATGCCGCGTATTACCGGCAGGTCGACGAGCGGCCGCACGAGCGGCCCCACGGCGGCGTCGCCCAGCAACCCCCAGAGCCGGTAGCTCGCGTGGTCGTCATGCGCCGACTCATCAGTCGTCGCGCAGCTCGGACTACCAAACATCGTTTTGCAGACCTCCGCCTCTTCTAATCGCGCCACGAGGCGGGCGCGCAACAGCTGCAGGTCCGTTGCCGTGTCAGCGCCGGCGTCCGTACGTGAGACGACGGCAAAGCCATAATTTTTGAGATCCTCAAGCGTGGTTTGGATAGGATCGGCCCGGGTAACTTCTAAATACCAATAACCGTGTACGTCCGGCCCCTCGACCTTGTCAAAATTCACGTCGCGTGCGGCGCGGACCATCGACGAGAAATCTTCAAGTACTGACCCGCCCGCGTTCTCTTGGAAGATGACGCGGCCCCCGGGCGCGAGGAACCGCCCTATGTTTGCGTAGAAACGCGCGTGGAGGCGCCAGCCCGCGTCGACGGTCATGGCTCGCGTTCTGTCCGACGACGGCGTCCGCGCGCCGCCGACCATGGCCCACCACGCGTCCCAGGCGTCCGCCGAAACGAAATGGGGCGGGTTCGAAACAACGAGGTCCAACCGGCCCTCCTCGGACTGCGGCAGGCCCGCGAGGCCGTCGCTCACGTAGGCGACCGCGCGATCTCCAAGTTCGTTAACCCGGATCGTCTCGCGTGCAGCGGCGACAGAGAGCGGATTCACGTCGACGAGCACGAGATTTTTACACGCGGCGCGGCCCAGGAGAGCAAATCCGATGAAACCCGGCCCGGCGCAAAATTCGAGGCACCGCCGATGCGCTCCCAGAGCCGCGGCCTTGTCGACAAGCGCGGCGCCGAACGCCGTGTTCCCGCCGCCGTGGGCCATATCCGGGCGCGACAGGTATTGTACGGATATGCCGCCCGGTGCGTCCCACGCGGTCCAGGCCTGGGGCCGCGCCGCCTCCTCCACTAAACCCGCTGCCCACCCCAGGTCGCAATCCGGCGCGCAGGCGAGCGCCGGCGCCGGCGCCTCATTGATTGCGCACGCGCGGCCCTCGCCGCGACCATGCGCGACGTAGTGCGCGCGCAGGGCATGCTCGTCGTACCCGAACGCCGCGCGCACATCGGCGTAGCGCGTTGCGTAACTGGTCCAGTCGCAGTGCTTGTCCTCGGCGCGGACCGCGGCCCAGGCCACTAGCAGCAGCCGCATTCCCGAATCTACGAGCACATGGCTGGGAGGTAAAAACCAACCTATACCTGCGATCCTAAGAGGGGCGCGCAGCTAGCAGCCCATGCTTTCTTGGCCATCTCTATGCCATGCCGCATGGGCAGCTCCAGATCGATGCCGGGCAGGAAAGATGGAAGGGCAGCGTAGGAACGCGACGGAGGAGTAGCATAATGCTAAAATGCTGGCTGGTCGCGACGCTCGCACAAGCGGCCATCCTCGAGATTTCAATCGATGGCGACACCCTATATCTGGAGGCCGATGCGACGGACGTCGACGCAAAAGTCGCATCGATCGCGGACCGGCTGCCACAACTGGAAGGCTCCGGCTGCTCCGCCAACGACGGCGCCTGCGTGCGAAGCGTCGTCGCGGCCGCGCTGCGGAACGCCGTCGCGGCGGACCCGATGCCCAGGCCCAAGCCGAGCCTGCGCGCCGTCGCCGACGAGTGGAGCACGTTACCAAAAGCGGTCGGACACGACAAAACTTCATCGCCAGCCGAGCCGGAGGCACCGCAGGACCTCTCCCTCGAATTCGTGAGCCCCGCCGAGCACGAGCTGGTGCCGTGCGGCTGGCTCTACCCGCGCATAAGCTTCCTCATGAGCAATCACCGGCGGGCGACGCGCGCGTGGCAGTACTGCGCGGCGGTCGCCGACGCGGACGGAAGGCGGCTGACCCAGCGGTGCGCGCCCTTCGGCACGAACTCGCTCCACGGACATCTGATAGAAGAAGCGGGAAATTACACGTTAGAGGCCTGGATCTTCCACACGGAGCTGGGAGGGACGAACGTGTCGCGGCGGCCCTTCGCGTGTGCGTTCGTGGACCGCGTCGAGGAGACTCCATTACCAGAGGTGCCTCCGTTGGACTGCGACCGGATGTTTTCAAATGAGACGGGCCTCGGGCATTTGCGGCGGGCGGAGCGCGACGGCGGCACCCTAAGTTTCGCGACGAGCGACGGCGAACCTCGACCGAGGGATCTCGTGATCGGGCTGCGACTCGCGCCGCGGACGCGGGAGCGGGCGATCACCAAAGGGATCGCGTCCAGCGACGAAAACTTCGAGCCGCCCGCCTTCCACGCCGTCCTCGCGCTAGCAGCAGCGCTTTCGACGCTGCCGGAGAGACAGCAAGCGAGGACGCGCGTCGTGCTGCTGCCGAACGGTTTTGCCAATAACGGGGTGAAGGGTATGATAGCGGCCACCGCGATCGAATCCAATGCGCCCCGCGTCCGCGTTGACGTCGTACAAAATTGCCCGGAGGGGAACGCCGCCTCCTTTAAGCGAATGTCGGACGCACTCCTAGAATTGGACGTGGACGACGAGGCGATCTTGGTATCGCTCGAGGACGACATCGTCATGCAACCGAGCGCGCTCCAGGAGCTCCTCGAGCTTTTCGCGGCTTACAGACCGTGCCTCGCGACGCTGGTGGACCACCCGGTCCTCTACGCCGGCGACGGGCACCTCCTCGGCGTCGCCGACCCGCTGCGGTACGGACCAACCGGGATCATCGCCGGGCGACGGCGGCATTGGCGCACGATCCCGTCCACCACGACGACCTTCGCCGCGACAAAATCAGTGTACGCCCCTTTGTGGGCGGCGGACCTCCTCCCGGACCCCGCGGCGGACTTCGCCAAGTCCTCCCATTTATCTCGGGCGACGTCGAGCGTTGTTGCGCCGCTCCCGGGATTATCATCGCCGGTCGAGCGCGCGGACCGCTTCACCGAGCAGTTCTTGGCGCTCTACTTCGATTATCTCGGCTACGTCCGGGCGCTTCAAGCCGTCCACGACGATCGGCGGCGGCCATCCTGAGCTCGTTCTGTTTTAAGTTATTTGTCTCCCGTGACTGATTAGTACTACTAGTGATAGGTGGAAATGCATATGCCAGTTCACAAGAACATGTCACTTAGGACAAGCTAGTAGGCTGCGCGGCGGAAGGTATCCATGACATCTTGAGCAGTATCAACGGAGGATACCATCTGTACGTCGCGGGCGCTCGCTGGGGCGTACTTCCAGGGGTGCCAGTCGCAGGTGCAGGCGACAGGGACCAAGCCGGCGGCGCGGGCCGCGTGACCCACGGCCACGGCGAGCTCGGACGCGTCGACGGCGATGCCCGGGTCGGGGCGCCGCGGGTTCTTGTGCAGGAATTCGACGCATGTCATCGCCGGCGCGCCGGCGTAATCATGCGGATACCAGCGCGCGGGACAGTCGCGAGCGACGGGGTTCGGCGGCGTCCGAGCGTGCACGGCGAAGTGCTGGAGCCGGGACACGGCAGCCAGGTCGCGGAACGTCGTCGAATACTCGCCGTATTGTTTCAGCTCGACGACGGCGGCGCCCTCCCGGAGCCAGAGCATGTTCGTGAGCCCGGCGCCGTGCGACGCGACGACCAGCGACGCCCGCTCGAAGAGGCGGACCTGGGCCGCGAACGACGTATTCGTGAGCGTCGCACGTTCGACGTGTGCCGCGGGCACGCCCGCCGCGGCGAGCGCGGCCGCGACGGCGGCCGCGTCGAGCCCGCGCCCGTCCTCGCGGTCGACGACGAGCGCCGTCCGGTTCGTGGCGCTGGGGTGGTCCACGAGCCGCGGAAGACCCACTGTGGCGTACGCCGCGTGCCTTAACCACCGCGCGTCCGCGGGGCCCCGCACGAGGTAGTCGGACTCGCCCGGGACCACGGCGCGCTCGAAGCACACGACGCCTTCCCGCGACGAGAGCCAACCGTCGCCGCCGACGTCAACCATCAACTGGGTCCGCCTCCCGAACAGCGTCTCCGCCAGGCCGGCGAACCAGAGCCACGCACCCCGGAAGTCCGGCGCGCGCAGGCGGCGGCAGGCCGCGGGTTCGCTCCCGTGCGCCCGGGGCGCGCCGGTCGCGTCCGTGCCGTGGGTCCGCGCGATGCTTTCGCCCGCGCCGCAGTCCATCCACGCGAGGCGCTCGAGTGAATCCGGGTCCGCGCCGCGCCGCTTGAGTGCGTAGGCCACGGGCAGCAGGTATTTGGCCTGGTGCCGTATGTTATTCGGTCCGTCGCCGAAGACGAGGGCCGTCCAGCCGGGGAGGTACGGCGCGGAAACAACAGAGGACGCGTTGACGTACGTCGCGGCGGCGAAGCCCCGGTGCGGCAGCGGCGCGGGGCGCGTCGCCCGCGGTATCTGACTCAGGCCGTCGTGGCGCAGAAACACGCGGTCGGGCGTCTGCGCGCGGGGGTCGCCGTCGGGCACCACGAGCGCGAGGCGGTTCGTCGACGTGTCGAGGCAGACGTCCTCGTAGACGCAGTCGTCCGAGTCGTCGGGGTGCTGCGCGCAGTCAGCGCGTGTGACGCCTCCACCGACGCGCTTGGTCTCCGGCAATTCGGCTGGACGCGGCACGTCGAATTGAATCGACGTCGCGCCGAAGCAATGTATGTCGCCGCGATCGCAACTCGCCGCGCGGCTTGTCATCACAGGAACCTCCGGACCGGCGTAGCGGTACCACGCCCGGCACGTGTGCGCGCCGGGGTCCAAAGCGGAGGCGACGCGCATGCTGTCGGACGTGCCGAGCGGCGAACACGACGGGGCCCCCGCGTCCAGTGACACGCAGACCTCGACACAGCACGCCTCGAGCTCAAAGGGTAATAATTCCGCGTTGAGCGCTTCGTTGACCAGCGCGGCGACGGCCGGCGGCGCCTTCGCCAGAGGCGTTTGGTCGCTTCGTAGCTCGAACACGCGGCCTGTGATCTCCCGCACCTCCAGGTCCAGTAAGAATTCGTCTCCCATCAGCATGGCGCCGTCCTCGGGCGCCAATGCGACAGCGGTCGGGCGCGCGCTCCACGTGTAGGCCTCGGCGGCGAGCCAGAGGACCGCCCCGACCGGCGCGCCCGGGGCACCGGCGAGCCGCGTCAGCGCGGCCTCCGCGAGGTGGGCCTGCGCAAGGCGCTCCGAGACGCTCTCGTCGCGGCACCACCAGCCGCAGCCCTCCCGCTCCAACAAGGCGGCGAGGTCCGCGCCCAGCCCCGCGCGCGAGCCGCCCATCAGCATGGTCTCGCCCGCGTCGCCAGGGCACGCGTCGACGACCAGCACGGCGATCTCGCGGCTCGCGAACGCGTCGAGCTCCGCCTCTACCAACTCCGCGACGCAGGCGGCGTCTGTGCAGGTCCCGTGAGTCTGAATGTCGAACTCGGCCACGAAGGCGCGTGCGGCCGCCGTGGCGTTGCCGGCTTCGTAGGCGATGGTGGCGTGGCTGCCATCGATGTCCACGTGATATTGCAAGGCCGGGGCAGCCTGCCGCCACAGGCACGCCAGCACGACCAGCCTGTGCATGTTAAGGACGCTCCATCTCAGCTGCGCGCCCGGAGCTTAGCTCCTCATCACACACACCCATTTGGCTTGCTTGTGCATCGACACTTGAGCACAGTGCTGCCCCGCGGGCAAAACAGAGCATGCTGCGTCTCGCAGCGGCGTGCGCGGCGCTGGGTGGCGTCCTGGCGCTCGAAATTGCCGTGCCGGTCGATGGCAATGACTTCCTGGTCAGCCTGCGGGACGGGCTCCCGCCGTCCGAAATGGCCAGCGAGGCGCGCATCGGTGCACGTGCCGTCATCGACGCGCTCAGGGACGCGGGCGGCCTGGGCGGAGGCTGTCCGGCGGACGACCGCGACTGTCTGGTGGAGGTTGTGGCGGGCTACATCGCGGCGCGCGAGGACGCGACGCGCGTGCGCTGGCCCTTCGAGGCGGCATACGGCGGGCCGGTGCCGCGCGCGACTTTTCAATTCGTGATCACCGCTCTCGCAGCGCACGGTGTCCGCGGCGGCCTCGTCGAAATCGGCGCCAAGGCCGGCAAGTCATTCCTGGCCCTTTTGGAGCCGTGGTGGAGGTCGGGCATGGGTGGCGGCGGCGTCGCTGTCGCGATCGACGTGTGGGGCGACCAGGACGCCAACCCCGACCGGAGTGGCTGGGGCGGAGCCCTCAGCGACCCGGCCGCGTGGGGCGCAGGCAACCGCGCGATGCTCGAGGAACACGTCGCGGCCGCGGCGCGCGCCGTGGGCGACGACGCGCTACGGGACGCGGTCGTTCTGCTTGAGCACTCGTCCCTCGACCTCGCGCCGGCGGCGCTCCGCGCCGCCGCCGGGGGCGAGGTCGCTGTCTTTTCCGTCGACGGCTGCCACACGTTCGCGTGCGCTCGCTCCGACCTCGAGCTCGCGTGGGCCGTCCTCGCGCCGCGCGGCGTCGTCGTCGTCGACGACTACGTGGCCTCGGACGAGTGGCCCGGCGTCTCCTTCGCGGTCGGGGCCTTCCTCGCGGCGCACGCAGACGCGGTGCCCGTCGCGTACGGCGCGCGTCGCCTCTACCTCGCGCGCGCGCCGGCGGCGCCCTTGCTCTTCCAAATCTTCAGGTCCTTCTGCGGGGCGACGGCTGCCCGCCGGCGTGTCGACGTCGACTCCGTCTGCACGACGCGCGCGGGCACGGGGCCCGGCGGCGCTGACGTCCTCTTTGTCCGCGACGGCGCGGACCCCGGGTCTCTCTGATGCGGGCCTCGACGGGTCCGGGGACTAATCTCGCGGTTGTTGTTGACTTATAAATTTATTTATTTGCTTTGCTTAGAGCTAGCCACGTCCCGCCGCGGGGGCTGCGTGACCGAACGCCCTTATTTATAAATTCAAGTTATTACTACTAGAAGTATCACAAGTGGCCGCGGCCCGCGTCCACGCCGGATAGCTCGACGACGGCCGCGGCGAGGTCGTCGCGCTTCGCGAAGAGCCAGTCGTCGACGAGGACGTAGTCGAGGTCGTCGTCGGTGCGTAACAAGCCTAGCGCGTCGGCGATGGTGTTCAGGATGGGCCTGCCGCGCGCGTTGAAGGACGTGTTGATGAGCGCCTCGCACCGCGTCCGCGCGGCGACGGCGAGAAGGAGCGCGTGGAGCCACGCGTCGTCCGCGGCCGCGACGGTCTGGGGCCGCGAGGACCGGTCGTAGTGCGTCATCGCCGGGCAGCGCTCCGCGGCGGCAGCCCGGAGCGCTGGCGCGAATGACATGTAGGGCGAGCGCACGTCGCGGCGCTCGAAGATGCGGTCCGCGGCCTCGACCGCGACGACGGGCGCGACGGGCCGGAACCACTCGCGCTTCTTGAGGCCGTTGAGGCGCTCCTTCATCCCGCGCGCGGGCACCGCGAGGAGCGAGCGGTGGCCGAGCGCCCGGGGGCCGTGTTCGGCGCGGCCCCGGACGACGCCGACCACGTTCTCCTCCGCGAGGAGGTCGGCGACGTCTTCGACGGACACGCGCGTCGCGTTGAGCCGCGCCGCGTACGCGCCGAGGAGCGCGCTGTCCCAGGGTAACGGTCCGGCGTGCTGGAGGCCCCCGGCCGTCGCGAGTGGCGGTGGCCGCAACAGCCACGCCGAGCCGATGGGTAGGCCGCAGTCGCCGGGCGCCGCCGGCACGTGCACCGGCACGTCGAGGCGCGCCGCGAGCCGCTCGTTCGCCAGCACGTTCAGCGCGGCGCCGCCGCTCAGCGCGACGCCGTCAAATCGGCCCGGGTGCCGCGCGAGCAGGCCCGAGACCATTTCCACGACGAGGTCCTCGAACGCGCGCTGCGCGGTCCGCGCGAGGGCCCGCTGCGCCGCTCGGTCCGCGCGCGCGCCGTTCGTCAGCGCGCGCAGCGGGAACGTGTAGCAGTGCGGGTGCCGCGGCGCGGCCGCGTCGTGCTTTCGCCCCAAGAAGTACGCCCGCAGCTCTGGGAGCCACTCGGCCCGCACGGCGCCGAGGGCCGAGTAGCCCATCATCTTGCCGGCGAGCGCGAGCATGCGGCCCGCGGGCCAGTCGTCGAGGCACCGCGCGCAGGCGCCGGCGGCGCGCGCCGCGGCGGGCGCGCACTGGCCCCGCGCGACCTCCGGGAGCGCCGCCGCGACGCCCGCGTATCGGTTCGCGAAGTTGACCTCCGCGAAGTCGACGCCGAGCGCGTCGTCGCGGAGCGACAGCCGCGCGAGGGGGGGCTCCGCGGTCGCGTTTCCCGCAAAGGCGAGCGTGTGGCCGTCGTTGCCGCCGCCGTCAAAGGCCACGACGAGCGGGTGCCGAACGCCGAGCTGCCGCGCGGCGTCGAAGAGGGCCAGCGCCTGTGTGGAAATCAACCAGTGAGTCGGGTTCACTAAGTCATTTCTCGGCGATGACGCGGCCGACCTGGCTCAGTCGAGCGGCGAGGGACCGACATCGCTACGCCATCGAGCAGGCGTCGCGTCGATGGCGTGGAGGACGACGCGACGATTCAGCACGAACGCGCCGTAAAATTTTGATTTCCACACAGGCCAGCGCCGCGTGCGACGCGTGGTGGTCCACCTCGTGCCACGTCGCGCCGGGGTCGACCGCGTCGCGCGCGATGCGGAGCCCCGCGGCGCCCTGCGCGCTCAGGTCGCGGATCATGGGATTGTACACTGCGTCGCCAAAAGCAAAGTCCGGCGCTCGGCCCGTCGCGAGCCGCGCCGCGCGCCCGGCTTCCGTCCAAACGCGCGCGAGATACGTCCGCCGCGCGGCCTCGGCCTCGACGCCGGCGAGGCCCGTGTAACGCTCGACGACGGACCACCCGTCCTCGTACCTCCGGCCGCCCGGCAGCCGCTCGAGCTCGATGACGGCCTCGACCTCGCCGCCGGTAACGACCGCGAGCGCCGCGTCGTGGCCGTAGTGCATGGCGAGGATCGTGTCGGCGCGCGGCGGCGTCCCGACCGCGTACGGCGCGCGCGCCTCGGCGAGCGCGGCCTCGTCCCCGGCGCGCCTTAGCCAGACGCGGAACTCGCGCCCGCCCACGCCCAGCGCCTTGGTTTCCAGCCTCAAACCGGGAAGCTCGTCGAAGAACGCGTGGAAGCCGTAGCACGCGGCGTGGGCGGCGTCGCCGCCCGCGTCGCCGTCCGCACAGAGCTCAAAGTCGCCCGGCGCCGCGAGGACCGCATCGCTGAGGGGGCCCGGACCCGCGACGACGTGGGCCGACGGAAACACGACGCCCGTGTGATAGACGTGGCCGGCGACGGGCGACGTGATGGTGATGGTCAGATCCGCGGCGCCCGGCGCCACGCACGCGGCGACGACAGCCGCGCGCAGCAGGCTACGGCGCACCATCGCGCACGCGGGACGCTTTTCCGTGCGCGGATCCGCCGGGGCAGCATACTCACAAATCTTCTTGGGGCGCATGGGCTGGGCCTTGAAGGCAAAGGGCTGCGGATCCCGGTGCGGCCGGTCGATAATTGATCCAAAAAAAAAACGTGTCGTCGTCGGCAGCAGAATTCCGGCGGCACGGCGCTGCAAAGCCCAATTCCCTAGCTGCTCGCAGGAGAGAGGCTCGAAAATCTCCGATACCTCCGAGTCTCCGCGGCGGAGACCGCTCTCATGTCGTTGCTCCGGCGCACCAGCGAAGCTCGCACGAGCTGATTTTGGGGTACCCACGTCGGTTGGTACGAAGTTGGGGCTGCCCAACTCCCGGCGCTCGCGGGCTGCCCAACTCCCGGCGCTCGCGGGCAGCCCGGCGGCCGCGAATGCGGCGTTGCGTGGGCCTCGCGTGCGCCGCGGCCGTCGCGAGCGCGGGCGAGTACGCGTGTTGGCCGGACTGCGACGCGCGCGTGGCCGACGCGCCGCGCGAGGCGGCCGCGTACGATTCGTGGACGGCGCCGGGCGGCATCGAGGTGCTGTACGCGCCGGATCAGGACGGCGGCGGCACTTCCTTCGGCCGCGAGCTCGTCGACTACGCGCTCCGGGCGTTCGGGCCCTTCCACGAGTCGCCGCGCCGCGCGCGGCGGTGCTTTGAGTTCTGCGCGGGCCCCGGCTTCGTGGGCTTCTCGCTGCTCGGGCGCGGCGTGTGCTCGAGCCTGGTGCTAGCGGACGTGCACCCGGCGAGCGTCGCGGCTGCGCGGGCTACCGTGGCCCGCAACCGCCTCGGGGCGCTCGTCGCGGTCTACGAGTCGGACGCGCTGGACGACATCCCGGCGAACGAGTCAGGCACGTGGGATCTCGTCGTGTCGAACCCGCCGCATTTCCGGAGTGTCGCGGCGTGGAACGCCATGCTCCGGCGGCGCGCACCGGGCGCGGCAGAGGGCGCCAGCGACCCGCGGCACTTCCGGGGCGTCGATAGCAACTGGCGCCTGCACGAGCGCTTCTACGGGACCGTCGGCGCGTTCCTCCGGCGCGGCACGGGCCACGTGGTGTTCCAGGAGAACGCGGACGGGTCGACGCCCGGGGAATTTTGGGGCATGCTGCCGCCGCTGCGCGTCGAGCGCGTCGAGCCGCCGGACGCGACCGGCATGTGGTACCTCCACGCGACGAACGACGCCGCGGGCTGGACGCGGCGCCGGCCGCCGGCCGTGCCGCGCGGCGCCCGGGACGGCTGGTGGCGCGACGCGGCGCAGATCGCCCTCGAGCGTGCGATTCGCGACGTCGCGGACCAGGGCTACGCCGTCGTCGCGGACGCGGGCGCGGCGAACGCCACACACCTCGGCGCGCTGCGCGACGCGCTCGTCGCGCGGCTTGCCGACGCGGCACCCTGCGCCACGCCCTTCGGCAACCCGGAAGTGGGCTGCAACGTGTCCATGGAGTCCGGCGTCGGCGACGCGCACGTGTCGTACCGGCTCTGGGGCCTGCTGGAGGACGATGCGCTCGCGGCGCTCGTCGCGCCGCTCCTCCGGCTCCCGCTCGTCCGGGCCCTCGCGCAATCGCGCCTCGGTGCCGACTACCAGCTCCACGGCTGTACCGCCTATGTCGCCACGCCGAGCGCGCGGCCAAACGTGCTCCACTTCGACTTCGCGGACCAGGACCCGGCGTGGCGCCGAGCGGCCGCCGCGGGCAGCGACGGCGGCACGGGCGACCACCTTGCGGTCATGCTCCAGCTGCAGGACACGACGGCGGAGAACGGCGCGACGCTCGTCGTGCCCGGTTCGCACCGCTGGGCCGCGCGGGACCCACCCTTCCTGCCACCGGGCCAGAACCGAGACGTCGCGGCGCTGCGTGCGCTCCCTGGCGCGCCGCCGATCGCGGAGCCCCTTCCCGTCGCCGTGCCCCGAGGCGGGCTCCTTCTCTTCGACGGCGCGACGCTCCACGCGACGGGGGCGTTCCCGGGCGCCGCTGCGGACATCGGCGACTACCGCTACGCTCTCGTCCTCCACCTCGCCGCCCAGCGTGCGACGAAGCACCGGCTCGCGACGCCCATCGGCCGCGCGTACCTCCGGGGCCACGCGCGCCTCGACCTCGAGGTCAGCGTCGACGGCGCGACGGACGTCATCGCCTTCCACGAGGACGACGACCTGGAGGCCATCGCCGCCGCCTTCGTCGACTCCTACGACGGCGCCGCGAGCCTCCAACCCCGCGCCGCCGCCGTCGACGCCGTGCTCGAGGCCATGACCAACAAGGTGGCCACGGCAGCGGGGCGGGGGGGGGGCAAGATCTGAAACGCCACGATGATGTCCAGCGCTCGCGAGCCTGAGCAGGCGGTCTTGTATGTGTTGCCACGGCAACGATAACTTGAACTTGAACTTGAAATATTATTCCACTACTACGTGGCCACTACGGTCTAAAGAGCTTGCTCCTTCTTTTAGGTCTTCCCTAATTAATTAATTAATATTAATGAATTTCTAAATTCAAAGTTTATTTAACCCGGACTGTTAGTCGTCGTCGGACGCGCCGGCCTCGAGCTCGTCGACGCGGCGCCGCCGCTCCGTGTCCGCGGCGGCCTTGATCCGCAGCCGGTTCGCCTCGCGGTCCCTCGTCTCTTGAGCCGCGTAGTAGTCGTCCTCGGCCCGCACCTCGGGCGCGACCAGCGCGGTCGCCACAACGCCGCGGAGACGCTCCGGAGGCAGGCACGCGGACGCGACGAGGCGCTCGTTGACGAAACCCGGGGGGAGCGCTTCTTCGCCTTTTTGACAGACGGCGGCGACCAGGTCGCGGAGAACGTCGGCGGACGCGCGACCCGACCGGTGCGGCGCGACGCAGGCGCTTTCGACGGATTTCGAGATGTCGTCGAGCGTCCGATTCGCGACGACGCGGACCAAAATGTCCGTGACCGCCGCGTCGTCGGCACCTCTGGCAGCGAGCGTCTGGAAGGCCCATGCTCGAATCTGCTCCGGCGACAGCGCGGTCGACGGCACGAAGGAGGGCGAAAAGTACGACGAGGGCAGCGCCGTATGTCGGGCGAGGCGCGCCGCCGCCGCGTCCAAATCATCACCCAGGATATCGGCCGCCTCCCGCAACGTGCGCTGGCCGAGGGTCGCCGCCGCGACGACGACGTCGACGGCGGCGACGTGCGGCGCGGACACGGCAGTCGGCGGTCGCTGAGGTTGTGTGACCGTCGAGCGCCGGACCTGCTCCTCGCGTGCGGCTTGCGCGGCCGTCCGGCGGCGCCGTTCGCGCTCCGCGGCCTCGCGCTCGTCGGCGGCCGCGCGATCGAGCGCGACGTCGCGCGCCAGGCACGCCTCGACGACCGCCGCGAACGCATTCGGCGACACGTCCGTTTCCGATGCTCCCGCTTCGCGGATCGCGGCGCGGAGGTCGTCCGCCAGCGCGGCCCGCGACTGGAAGGCGCCCGGCGCAATCGTGGACGCGACGGCGTCCACTTCGCCCAGCTCCGACGCGGCGGCCGCCGCCAGGCCCAGCACCTGCGCGTCGCTCGCGTCCGCCGCCGCGCAGATCCCGAGCACGACGTGGGCGAGGGCGTCGCCCGGCAGCGCGTCCGTGGCTGTCGCGTCGGTGAAGCCGCCGCGCCCCGTCGCCCGAGCGCAGCGCTGCGCGACGGCGGCGCCATCCGGCGGCCGCCCGTCGGCCGCGAGCGGCGCCAGCGCCTCGCGCAGCGCCCCCAGCGACAGCTTGTCCAGCTCCGCGGCGGCGATCAGTAGCGATACGGCCCGCGGCGACAGCGCGTCCGGGTCGCTCACGATCGACGACGAGCGGCGCGTTTGCGGAGGCGCCGGCGGCGTCGGCGCGTCCGCCGCGGCGTCGGGCGCGTCCGCCGCGGCGTCGGGCGCGGGCCAGCCCGGCCGCGGCGCGGCCGCGGCCGCCGGCGACGCGGCGCGGTAGCTCGGGCGCTGCGCCTCCTCGGGGCGGCAGCACCCCGAGAACTCGGCCAGGAGGCGCTCGAGGTACGTTTCGCCGCCGCCGTTGTTGGACCGCCGCCGCGCTGGCATTATTGGTGGTGTTGGCTAAGTTTTGCGTCGCCGCAGAAGTTTTTGTGTCGCCGTAGGGCAGCCTTTTCATGCGAAGGCAGCCAGGACCAGCTTGTAGCCTCACAAGCTCGGTATTCGAAGGGGCAGCCCAAAACCAACCCGACCCCTGCTGCCTACCAGTCGCCGGCGTGCCGGCGAGAGATCGGTATTAAGAAGATCTGGTTCTGATCAAGTTTCTGATCCGTAAAGCTTTCCAAAATATACGGGTTTTTTTACTCGCGGGTTTCGCCGCTTTTGCGCTCGCGAGCGACTTAATTCAGGACGCGCAGACCTTGCGCAGTGGACGTTCGCACATTTGCACCACACATCTTCGCGACGCAGTCCGCTCTTCGCCCGCGGCTCTTTTGAGGCCGCGCCAAGCTGCTAAGGGCTGCCGAGAGGGGCCAGGCGCCGCGCGCCCGCCCGCGCGCCATGGCGGCGATCGAGCCGAACCAGACGGTCTACATCAACAATCTCAACGAGAAGATCAAGAAGGACGCCCTCAAGAAGTCGATCTACAGCGTCTTCAGCCAGTTCGGCAAGATCCTGGACGTCGTCTGCTGCCGCGGCCTCAAGCTGCGCGGCCAGGCCTGGGTCGTCTTCGCGGACGTGGGCGCGGCCACGAACGCGCTGCGCCAGATGCAGGGCTTTCCCTTTTACGACAAGCCGATGCGGATCGCGTTCGCGAAATCGAAGTCGGACATGATCGCGAAACGCGACGGCACGTTCAAGCCGCGCGAGAAGCGGAAGCGCGAGGACCCGAAGCCGGCCGCGCCCGCGGCCGCCAAGGCGCTCCCCGCGCCCGGCGACGCGCCGCCGCCGAAGGTCCCGAAGCCGTCGAACGCGCCGCCGTCCAACGTATTGTTCGCCTCGAATCTACCGGAGGACTGCAGCGACATGATGCTGGGGATCCTGTTCCAGCAGTACGCCGGCTTCAAGGAGGTCCGGATGGTGCCGGGGAACAAGGGCATCGCCTTCGTGGAGTTCGCGGACGAGACGCAGGCGTCGCTCGCGCGCCAGGGCCTCGACGGGTTCAAGCTGACGCCGACGGATGCGCTATCGCTCGTCTTCGCGAAGCGGTAGGATAGTAAAGTAGGTCCTATTCTATCTGCTATGGTGCTAGGACTAGTAAGCGGAGCCCCTTCCTTGGGGGGACCGCGCGTCGCCGACTTATCGGCGGCAGGTCCTAATACCGTCCTATCAGGGTTTGTGCGGGTTTGGTGGGGCTTCCCTTACGTAAGCTTACCAGGTTAGGTCGCGTGCGGGTTGCGTAAGCGTCCAGCAGCAAGGTACCTTACCCTACATAAGTATAGTACCAGTACGGTACCTCTTGCCAGCATCAGGGCTGCCCTTTCGGCGTCGCAAGCTGCAGGCGCGAGGCAGCCGGCTCCGACCGTAGGCGCACGCCTCCGCATGCCTTCGCCGCGCGGCGACGCAGAAACACAGCGATGCGGCTGCAAAACCTGGCTTTCGCATGCGCCATCACGGCCGCGGCTGCGCAAGACACCATACAGAAACACCTCGTGGCCAAAATAGAAGGGCTAGTAGATGGCGACGCCTTCTTGATGAAAACACGGCCCTTGACTCTGGCGCTCGAGCTTCTGGACGCGCCCGCGCCGGGGTCGTTAGCAGTCGAGGTCTATAGGACGACGGGAGAAATCGAAACCCGGTCCGTCGAGGGCCACGAGGCGTGCGCGCGCGTCGTGTGCGGCGACCAGGTCGAGCAGCGGTGCGTATCGATAGCGGAGGCGCAGTCGATCAAGGTATACACGTTGACGGGCGACAAACCTGGGAAATGCGTGATCACGTGCTGGATCGGCTCTGCAGACGGATCAAATGACGCGTCGAGCCTGGAAGCGCGCGTCTTGGGCCGCGGGGACGAACTGGCGGCGAAGAACGTCTTGGGTCTGTGGCTCGGGCACGACGCGTCTGCGGCATTGGTGATCGATGGCCGGGTGGAGCGCGTAATAGAGTTCGAGCGCTTCTTCGAGGTGCGCTTCTTCGGGCTGCTGTGCGAGTCGGCGACGCGCGGCGAGGACTTGGAACGGGTCTTGCGGGAGGCGCTGCGCGAGTATGTTGTAGATCACGTGTCGTGGGTGCCCATGTGGCCCGTCGACGACGCGTGCAAGCGGGATTTGAGAAGCGCGGTATCCAGAGCGAACCACGACGTGGCCCCGACCTGGGTCGAGGTCGACCACCACGCGTCGCACGCGACGCTCGTGCTGCACGACGCGCCCTTTTCCAACCCCCTCATGTTGAGTTTCGACGGGGGCGGCAACGACGGCGTGGGGTTCGTCTACGAACGCGCCAACGACACCCTGCGGACGCTGGAGAAAATAGAGTACAACTTCGGGGCGAGCTACGCGAAACTGGGCGTCTTTCTCGAAGAGGTCAGCGGCGGCATCGACGCGTACCGACGGCGGTGCGCGAACCGGGACTACTCGACCATCCTGCGGTGCGCGCTGGGCCTGGCGGGCAAGGTCATGGGCTACGCCGGGCTCGGCCGGGTGCGGGACGAGTGGCTCGAGTACGCGCGGCACTTCATGAAGTATTCGGACGGATTGATTCGCATCGCGCCGATGGAACGAATAGACGAGCCGTGGCTCGGGAGGGACGAGTGGGGCGAGCCGTGGGAGCGGGGCATTACGCGCGACGACGTCTGGAAGCACCTCCCCGTGGACGACGCGTCCAACGCCACGACGCTTGACCGAGACTGGGCCGCCACGGCCCAGCGCGCGTTCGAGCTGGAGGTGCGGGCGCTGCTCGAGCCCTACTTTCTGACTGGCGCCCCGTACGACGGCCTCGCGATGACGGGCGGCTGCGCGCTCAACGTCATCGCGAACTCGTACCTGGAGCGGGTCTTCGCCGTCAACGTGTACGCGCCGCCGCACCCGGGCGACGGCGGGTTAAGCGTGGGCGCCGCGTGGCAGTTGCGGCGGCCGGCTTCCAGGAAACCGCTCCAGCACGCTGGGCCGGCGCTCTTTGATCTGGACTCGCTGGAGGCGCACATCGACGCATTTTCGGAAAATCACACGGAGAACGTACGTGTCCGTCGCCTCGACGAGGACGCGTTGATCGAGGCGGTCGCGGACGCGCTGGCGGGCGGCGCGATCATCGGGGTCGCGCGGTCGCGGACGGAGTTCGGGCCGCGCGCGCTGGGGCGGCGGAGTCTCCTTGCCGTGCCCGTCGTCGGTGCGCGCCACGCGATGAACGTCGTCAAGTTTCGGGAGTGGTGGCGGCCCTGCGCGCCTGTGGTCGCCGTTGAGGACGCGCTCCGAGTCTTCACGACGCTGCCGCGGTCCCCGTACATGAGCTTCGCGCCCAAGCTCACCGCGGCCGCGGCCGCGGCGCTCCCGGACATAGTCCACTTCGACGGCACCGCGCGGCCGCAGACCGTGGCCCCGACGGATGACGCCTGGCTGCACAAGCTGTTGCTCGCCGTGAAGGCGCGGACTGGCTGGGCCGTTCTCATCAACACGTCCTTCAACGCGCGAGGGAAGCCAATCCTCAACACCGCGCGCGAGGCGTTGGCGCTCCTCCGCGACTCGCCGGCCATGAGCGCCGTCGTCTTCGACGACCGTGTCGTGGAGCTCCCGGACCGGCCTCAGGCGCTTGCGGGGGATCGGTCCTGCGCGGATGATGTCCCCGCAGCGTCGCCGAGCCTCCGCGGCACCACGAACAAGTAACTGTGGTTTTCTAGCACTCCGAGTCCACACACAAACACATCATTATAATGAGTCGCGCCGCTGCGGGAAGCACCTCTTCGTCGAGGCCGTGGGCAGCGCGACCGAGGGCGCGGCCGCGTGCTTGGCCACTGCGTCGCCGTCGAAGACGAGGCACCAACCGGCCCGCGCGGCGCCGCCGCGCCAGGCGACGCCGTCGGGCATGTCGGGCGGATAGTCGTGGTCGTGCGTCGTCAGGAAGCGGCCGCGGCACTCGCGGTCGTCCGAGGCGCGGGCGTCGTCGTCGACGACGGCGCGCTCGCGCGCGAGGGCGACGGCGGCGGCCAGCTGGGCCGTCTCATGCGCACGTGTCTCGCGACCGAGGGCCGACGCCAGGAATTGTTCGCCCGCGTCGCACGTCTGGGCGTCGCAGGTCCCGCCGACGTCGTAAAAGTAGGTCGCCGACGCATTTCCCACGGCGACTCGTACGGGCAGCGCCGCGGGCGCGCGCGGTCGCGCCGGTTTGTGAGAGGCGCATCGGGCCCACACGGCCGGCGTCGCCGGCGCCGTCGCCGCGAACGCGCGGCCCGGCGGGCCGAATGTCGCGTCGTCGCGCACCGACTCCAAATACATCATCTCGCGCGTCGCCGGCGCCACCGACGGTTCGGCGCGCATGAGCTTGAGCCCGCCCGCGCGGATCATGTCGTAGAAGGATGCGATCTCGGAGGTCTGGCCGTTCTCCTGGAAGATGATGCGGCCGTTACCACGCAGATGCGCCCTCACGCCAGCATAGAAAGCTCTGTGCAACGCCCAGCCGCGGTCGCCGGTCACCCCAAACTCCAATATTGTCGGGTCCCACTCCGCGCTTGCAAAGTGCGGCGGGTTCGCCACGACTAAATCCCATATCTCATGTGAGGGAATCGCCGCCAACCCGTCCGAGAGGTACGGTTGGACGCGGCCGGCGAGCCACGCATTGGACGGGTGCGCGAGCGTCTCGTTGATGGCCGCCACTGCCTCCGGGTTCCGGTCGCTCAGCGCCAGCGTATCACACACACCCGCGGCCACCAAGGCAAACCCGATGAAGGCCGGCCCGGCGCAGAACTCGAGGCAGCGTCCTATGTTAAATCCTACTGCGTTATAAGCGTATCTCACCAGATCCATGCCAAAGGCGAGGCCGCCACCGTTGAGATCTTCCTCATAGGCCACGAGGACCGCGCCCGCTCGTCCTTGGACTTCCCACCAGAGCCACTTCTCATGAGCCTGGTAGTGCGCATGCGCACGCGCCCCGAGGACGACGAGAAGCCAGCGGCGCCACACCATCTATGGGCAGCCGAACGGATCTAGTGGACTCCGTTATCGCCCCAGGCCCCGTCCGCGGGCAGCTTTTGCTAGGGAAGCCTAGTGTCTTACAGGCCGCTAGCGCACGACGCGCCCCAGCTCCCGCCCACTATTCCTAGCACCGTAACATATCCCGTCGGCGTTATATGTTAACCGTAACAATAGAAGCGCGGGATTTCCTAAGCGCGGGAGCCCTGGAATCCGCGCCCCGGATGATATCGTGCGCATGTCTAGATCGCCCATAGATATTGGAACCGGACGATCTCGTTCGCGGGCGACGTCCACATACAGCTACTTATGCTGGATTTGATCTTCGACGCGCGAGACGAGGATGTCGCAGACGTTTACGTCGAGATCTATGACGCCGCAGACGCGGTGGACCATGGTCTCCCGGAAGGCCGCTCGCAGCGCGTGGATCCGCCAGTGGGTCGTCTGGCGCGTGTCCTGGTTGTAGACCTGGACGTCGAAGATGAAAGCATCCCCCACGACGCGGACGCCCTCGCGGGCGTCGGCCGGGGCGATTTTGGTGAGGACGTAGTCCTCGTCGGGGCGGGTGTCGCCGAGCTCGTCGACGGCGACCGCCGCGACCGGGGAGTCGTCCGCCGCCAGGATTCCGTGCAGATCGTGCACGGGCGGCCGGTCGCCGTACAGGTCGTTCACGTTCCCGAGGGACTGCAGAAATAAGCACGCCTCGTGCAAATCGCCGGGGAGCGCGCGGAGGCGCCCATGGGGCACGAAGCCGCCCGTCGCGCCGGGGCCCTTGCTTGCGGCGACGAGCGCGCTCAGGCGGAAGCCCGCGCGCCGCAGGCTCCCGAGGATGGTCATGCACTTGCTTCCGGTCTGGCAGATACGCTCGTCGCCAGCCACGAAGGGGCACTCGACGTACGCGAACGACGTGCGATTGAGCGCGGAGGCGTTCGTCGACACCGCCGCCGCCTCGTAGCCCTCTAGGTCCACCTTTGCGTAGAGAATTTGACGGACGCCGGCGGCCACGGCGTCCAGCGAGTGCTCCGCCGGCACGGCTCCCGTAAATACGCGGTGCCGCGCCGCGTCGTCGAAACCGTTCGCGCGGAGTGCCAAACCGAGCAGCGCGACGAAGTCTGCGTCGATCTCCGCGGACCGCGTCGCGCAGCCGTGCGCGGCCGCGAGAAGCGTGAAGTAGCCGACGTGGCTGCCCAAGTCGGCGACGACGCCGTCCGCCGCGCAGTGCCGCTCGAAGATTCGCCGCGCGATCACGGACTCGGCACCGCCCCAGCGGCCGTGGTGCCACAGGCTGGCCGCAACGATGCCGAAGTTCCGGCGGTCCATGGCCTCGACGCCCAGCGGCGCGGCAACCCAGAAGCTCACGTTGCCCGTCTCGCGATTCATGCCGACGCGCCGTAGGCCCACTCGACGGCCGACCTCGCCCGGCACCGCGAGGTAGGCGCACGCCAGCGGGAGCAGCGTGGCCGCGCAAAAGCAGCCCATCTTTGCAGCCATTGTTGACAACGTGCGCAGCTGTTATAAATGCCCAAAATTTGCGAGGCAGCAGTGATGGTGATATTAAAAGACGTACGCTTTTCTTGGTGCATAGAAGTTTCGATGGGCAGCGCGCGGGCGGCTGAATCCACTGCAAAACCCGGGACCTCCGCTCTCAGCTGCAGTCCGCCCCGTGAGTGTTTGTTGGGCCCATATATTTAATGGATCTAACAATTGGGCGCATTGGATAATTGGCACATTGACCCCGCATAAACCCCGGCCAAGTTCGTCGACAGCTTCCGCCGGTGATGCTGCCCATTGCTGCTTGTCGCAGCTGGGCTGCCAGGGCATGGTAGAGCCAGCGGAGCGGACTTCTAACAGCAAAGCTCGCCGAGCAACGGCGATGCGCGCGGGCGAAAATTCTACCGCGATCGGCGGAGAATCGACCTGCGGTCGCAGTCGGCGCGGTGGGCTCGCCGCGCCCGTGGGACCGCGGACGATGCGTCGCCTGCTGCGAGTCGTCACCGCCGCGTGCGCGCTGGTCGCGGACGGCTCGGCCGTCATCGCGGCGCGGCGCGAGGCGTGCCCGCCCCTCGAGGGCGCGCACCGCGTGATCGACATGGTGTCGCCCGCGGAGCCGACGGGCGACTGCCGCGGGAGCGAGGACGTGTGTCCGTCGGCGTTCCTGCCGCTCAAGCGGATCTGGGAGGAGCTTAATCGGACGTTTCCCATGTCGCACGCCGTCGTCAACGCGGGCGCGGGCGACGGCGTCTCGGACGACCCGCTGTACGGCCTCCTCGCAGCGTACCCCGACGCTATCCAGGGCATCGCGGTGGAGCCCGTCGACGCCACCTTCGCGGCGCTCAGCGAGACCGCGCGGGCCCTGCCGCTCCTCGAGGCGCGGCACGAGGCGGTCGCGCCGTCGACCGCGTCGCGCGCGCTCGCGTACGACGCGTCGCGGGGCTCGCTGGACGTGCTGAAGCTGGACATCGACGGGTGCGAGTGCCACGTGCTCGAGGAGCTCGCGCGGGACCCGGGCTGGCCCAACCCCAAGGTCGTCCACGTCGAGGTGACCCACGCGGTGCCGCCGCCGCTCTCGTACCGAGACATGTGCGCGCGCGACGCGCCCGGCCGGAGCGTCGTCCCCTACGCGGACAACCTCGACGTCTACGGCTGCTCGATGCAGGCGGCGCGCGACGTCCTCAAGCCCTGGGGCTACCGCCTCCTCCAGTACGACTTCCCCGACGCGGTCTTTCTTCACGAGGACTACGTGGCCGCGTTCCCGTGCGTGCCGTGGCTCCGGACCGACGACTTCCGCGCCGCCTACGACAACGGCGCCGCCTACGCGCGCGAGACCTACGCACGCTTCGGCAGGCACCAGACGAACCGCAGCTTCGTGGCGTCCCTCCCGGCCCTCGCCGCTACCGCGACGCTCCGGCCCCGCGAGGCCCTCGCGGCGCTCGTGGCGCAGGCGCGGCCCGCGTGGCGCAAGCGCCCGCTCTGGGTCGAACTCGCCGTCGCCGGCACCGACGTACGCGCGACGATCCGCTGCGACCTGCCGCACAAGGGCCTCTGGCTCGGCTTCGTCCCCGCGACCGACGAGGAGGACGCCTGCCTCACCGCCGGCTTCGACGAGACCTGGACCGGTGAGGAGCCGGCCGCCACCGAGGAGTCGGCGCCCAAGCCCGAGGTGGCCGCGGCGCCCGCCGCGCCCGCGGCCGACGAGCCGGAGCCAGCCGCGGCCGACGACGCGGCAGCAGCCTCGTGCCCAGCGGAGCCGAGGGACGCGCAGCTGGCGGCGGCCCTCTGCCCCGGGCGGAAAGCGCCGCGCGTGGCGTACTGCATCTACGGCGCGGCGCGGACGCTCGCGAAGCCGCAGGTGCACCTCTCGCTCGCAAGAAACCTGGTCGAGGCGTTCGGCGGCGAGGCGACGGTGCTCTGGTCGCTCGCCCTCGAGGACGACGGGAGCCGCGACCGGCTGGCGGGCGCGCGGCGGGCGCTCCGGCCCGCCGTCGAGCGCTACGATCCCCGCAACGAGACAGCGGCGGCAACGTTCGAGGCGCTCAGCCACGGCCCATTCGAGAGCGCGCGCGCGGCGCAGGGCGGGTGCTACGCCACGCCGCACGCGGCGCGCGACGCGCGGCTCTACGCGCGGCTCGCCCGGTGCCACGACGACGTGGAAGCGATCGAAATGAATAGAGGAGTCGACTTCGACTGGGTCGTCTACGCGCGGCCGGACCTCGCCTTCTACGCGTCGGTCCGCCCGTGGTGTCTCTGGGACGACCGGGCCGTGCACGCGCCGCCGGGCCCGAACCAGGGGCTCAAGGACGGCCCGCAGTCCGTGTCCGACGTCGTCGACTTCCCGTTCTTTGCGCCGCGCCAGTTCCTCCGGCGGGCGTTCCGGGAGCCGGCCGCGGCCTGGGCCCGGCTGCGCCCCGGCGACGCGTGCTGCTTCACGGACAAGCCGGAGATGTTCGTGCCGTGCCACCTCGCGCAAGAGCGGGTCCCGCTCGCGCGGACGGAGGTGCCATGCGTCGTCGTCCGCGCGGACCGTTGGAAGCCGACGCAATGCGTCAACTGGGGCGGCATCCTCGCAGGGACCGACGCGGCGACGCACCCGGCGGGCTGCGACGCGTGCGACGCGCCGTTCGACGCGCGGTGGCGGTGCGCGGACGTCATCCACGGGCCGAAGCGCGTCGCCATCCTGTTCGCGGGTGCGCCGCGCGTGCTGTCGGCGACGTTCGACGACGCGGGATTCAACTTTAGGCTCGACGAGTGGCTTCGGCTCGACGGGCCCGACGACCGCCTCCCCGTCGACGCCATAAAGTCCGCCATGCGGAACGAAGGCATATACGAGTGGGCAGCGCCGGCGCCGCCGCCGGCGCACAACGCAGCGTTCGCGGCGCACGCGAGTCTGGTGGATCTCTTCCGCGAGAACGTGTACCTCGCGCTCCAGCGCCAGGGCGTCGAATTCGACGCGTTCTGGTGGCTCCACGCGCGGACGGCGGCCGACGTCGGGCCCCTCGAACGGCTCGCTTGCCCGCTCCTCCGGCCGCCGGCCGCCGCGGGCGCGTCCTACGAATGCGTCGTCCGGGTGCGAGACGCCGGCGACCCGCTGCTGCGCGTCGACGCGGCGCGGGCGTGGCCGGCGGTGTGGTCGACCTTCTTGGACCCGTCGGAGACGCGCATCCGGAATTTTCTCGCCATGCTCCACGACCTGGTGCGCGTGGACGAGATGCGGGAAGCGAGGGAGCGGGCGACGGGCGCGGCGTACTCGCACGTCCTCAGGTTGCGACCGGACCTCGCCGTGTGGCAGCCCCTGCCCGCCACGCTCTTCGATGAGAGTCCGAATCTGTACGTCGTGGCGCGCGCGACGTACGTCGGGGGCAACGAGGACAACTTCATGGCGGCGCGCGCGGACGTCGCCCGGGCCGCGATGCGCCGGGCCGAGGTCCTGCAGGACCCCGACGCCTGGAGCGGCTGGAACATGACGCGGGGTGCGCCCGTCCCGCGGCCGCCAAATTGGCCCCGCGCGTTCTACAGCCCAAACTACGACATGATGCCGAACACGTGGTGGCCCGAGGACTTCGTCGCGCACGCGATCAAGCGCGCGGGCGGGACCGTCGCCGAGCACGCGGGCGCGAAGGCGCGCGTGATCCACTCGTCGACGCGCCACGCCCCCCTCGGCGCGGCGGCGGGCCCGGACGTGGCGGTGCTGCTGGTCGGCGCGGATTACGACGTGGCCGACGAGGCCGTCGCGCGCGCCCACTTCGTGCTGATGCGCGACGAGGTCGCGGACAGGCTCCGGGCCGAGACGTTTGCCGTCGGCGACGAGTGCGGCGGGGGGATCGTCGCGTACGCGCGGGAGTACCTCGAGGCTGTCGCGGCGGGCGTCGTCGGCGCGGGCGCCGACGGGTGTCGCGGCTTCCCGCCGCCCCCGTGGGCGGGGCCCGCGTTTCCCGGCATGCAGCAGTGGTTCCGCGTCCAGTGCGCCTGGGAGCTCATGGAGGCGCGGGAGGCGGCACGCGCCGAGACCTACAGCGTCGTCGTGCGCCTGCGGCCCGACGCCACGCCGTACCCCTGGGACGCGGCGCTCGTGCGCGCGGCGGCCGCGGCGCGGCGCGACGTCGTCTTCGCGGCGACGGACCATGCGTTCTGGGGCAGCAGGCCGGCCGTGGCCGTCGCTGCGCGCCTCTGGCCGGCCATCGGCGGGCTCTTCGCGGCGTCGGCCACGCCGAACGTGGCCTTCTCCGTGCGCGCGTTCCGCGACTCGCTGGCGTCGCTGCCGGCGGAGGCCCGCTCGCACGACACGTGGACCTTTTACTCGAAGGTCGGCGTGCTCGCTGCGCCGGGCGGCGCGCGGCCCTCCGTCGACGAAGCGCGGACCGCCCTGGCGGCACTCCACCAACAAGGTGTAAGTTACGTGACGCCCGGCGACGTCGATCTCGACTTCGGGCGCCTGGCCAACGACCGGTGGGACACGTGGCCGCGCTACTTCGCGGCCGAGAGCGACTTCATCGCGTGGCTGCTGTACAACAACATCACCGCGTGCGATCTCGGCGTGGGGACTCACATGCTGTTCCGGGGCGTCGCCCACGCCCGCGCCCCCGGCGTCTGTCGCGTCGAGGCGGATGCGGCGGGGAGCGCTTAGTACTAATGTGTCTTTTGTGTCACGACACCAGTTGTTTTAACAGGACATAAAAAAAGCCGGCAGCAGCTCACGCTACCACGTACTCGCCGATCCAGAGCTCATTCCACCAGTGCATGTGGTCGACGGCGCCGAGTAACGCGGGGTCGACCGGCGGGTTCGGGTCGTCCGTCGCGAAGGCCGACGCGGCGAGCGACGGCGAGCACGACTCTCGGAGCGTACCCGCTTCGCGGATCATGCCGCGCGCCGTCGCGTTGGAGATTGCGGCGCGCACGGGAGCCATGTTCGCGTTGTCGACGAGCAGGGGCGCGCCGCGTGCCGCGAGCGGCGCGAGGTTGCCGAGGTCGGCGGCGGGCACGTCACCGTCGTGGCCACCGTCTATGAAGACGACATCGCAGGCCTTCGCGTGGTCGACGAGGGGAAGGGTGGCGCGCGAATCGCCCAGCGTCAGCCGGAGCCGGCCCGGGTATTTTTTGGAGAGGTACGCGAAGGCCGCCGCCGCCGATGGGTGCGCGCCGAGGTCGAACGCGTCCACGGCGGTCCGGGGATCCGCCGCGAGCCAGTTGAGCGCCGAGTGGCCGGCGTTGAAGCCGACCTCGCAGACGCGCACGAGTTGCGACGTCTCGGCCGCGGCGCGCGCGACGGCCCGCATGTGCGCGACCGCGCGCGGGCACATGGCCGAGTGCCCTTCCGCCGGCGGCGCGCCCACCGACCGCAGGTGCGCGTCCAGGGCGACGACCTCGTCGTAGTACGCGCGCTGCGCGGCGTACGCGCGCGGTCCGGCGCACGTCGCCTCGTGCACGTTCCACGCGCACGTCTCGACGACGTCCGCGGCGCGTGCCGCGCCGCAGGCAAGCGCCAGCCACGTCGTCGCGCCACGCATCGATCGGCAGTAGATCCTGCGGGGCAGCCTCTCTCAGCCCCACTTGTTGCTAGTGTCGTCTTACAGGCGCCATCCCAGCCCAACCGTGCGAAACCGAGTGGTTTTAAGTGGATCGCGCCCCTTGCTAGTGTCTTACAGGCCGCTAGCTCTTTGCGCACACCGGCCGCTAGCTTTGAGGCGAAACCCGGAGCCCTGCGCCCGGATTCGACCGAACAGATCGAGATCGAGCGTTAACGAGCGTTGAGGGCAGCCTCCATGGCGACAAGATGATGGCATGGTGGGCAGCATGGTGGGCAGCCCTGACGGCGGCCGCACTTGCCCGGGCGGCAGCCCTGACGCCGACGGAAACGGCACTCTGGACCTGGGCCGAATCACAGGGTGCAAACGTCTCGCGCATCGTTCCGACGACGGGCGTGTACGGGCGCGGCCTCGCGGCCGTCGACGGCAGCCAGGGAGAGCTCCTCTCGCTGCCCCGCCACCTGATCATGGGCTGCGACGCGGTCGCACGCGTCGCCTTGGAGCTGCCCGGCGTCGTCGCGTTCACGGGCTGCGAAGACGGCGTGGGCCGGACGTCCATGCGCTTCGCCGGCGGCTTTGAAGCCTGGGACGGCAACACCCTGGTCGTGTTCGTCGCGCACCACAGGTTACTGGGCGCCGCGAGCCCGTGGGCGCCCTACCTGGACTCGCTCCCCGCCAGCTTCGACACGCTGCCTCCTTACCTGCTGGCCGTCGCGGCGGTCGGCGGCTCGGCGGAGGAGGCCGTCCGGGCGATGGACGCGGCCGACGCGTTCGAAGGGGGCGCGCTCCGGGACGTCGTACAAAAAGAAGCGTCGAAGTGGCTCTACTTCTCCCGCCTCGTGGCCGCGGCGTTCGCGGACCACGCCGGCGTCGAGGCGACGCGGGCCCTGCGGACGGTCCTGTGGGCCAAGGCCGTCGTCGCCACGCGCGCCGTCCACCTCTCCTCGCTCGGACGGTGCCTGGTGCCGTTCTGGGACCTCATCAACCACGGCGCGTACGCGGCCAAGCGCGAGGTCGTGGACGACGAGCGCGTCGCGTACGTCCGGGACGCGCCGTCCGACGGCGGCGAGCTCGTCCACGACTACCAGTTGAGTTCCTCCACCGGGGGCGCGTGCGCCTGGGACTGGCTCATCACCTTCGGCTTCGTGCCGCGCGACGCGCAAAAAGTCGTCGTGTGCGCGCGCGTGCGCGTCCGCGGCGAGGTGTTCGAGCTCCCGGCGGACGCCGCGGCCCTCGCGCGCCTCGACGGCGAGGACGCGCGGCGCGCGCTCGAGGGCGCCCTCCTCGCGCTCCCGCCGGAGGACGCGCTCCGTGACGACACGGGAGACGCGGCCTACGTCAAGCTCCTCGAGCGCCGCGCGCTCCTCGACGCGCTGCGGGGCGGCGCGCCGAAGGAGGTTTTACGGCACGCGGTCGTCGTCGACGGCCGCGCGGAGACGATCAACTACGCGCCGTGCGGCAACATAACCAAAGCGGCGCGCGCGTTCGTCGACGAGCATCTCACGGATCTCACCGACGAGGCGCGTCGCGACCACGTCAACCGGCTCCGACCGATGCTGGCGAGCAAGATCGACGATCATGCGTGCGCGTCGAAGCGTGCAGACGATGGCGAGGTCTGGCTGCACGAGGAAACTCGCGTGATCAGCGCGATGGGCTACTCGACGCCCGTGAGCGGCCACGACCTCGTCACGTTCACGCACCTCGTAAATCTGGAGGCGCGCGCCGCGGCCGCCGCGGCGCGCACGTCGGGCGTCGGCGGGCTGGGCTGCGTGCCGGGCGACGTGGGGTGTTTGAAGGACATCTTTGTAAGGCGGGGCCGGGAACTCGCCGAGGCGCAGCGGCAGAAAATGGCCGGCGAGGGGACGTTTGTCGGAGAGAAGTTCGGCTGCGCGTTGAATGGAGAGGGACCGGCGCCCGCCGTAGACGCGGCCTTCGCGCGCCTCGTTGCAAAGTGGACGCGCGTCGCCGTCACGGTCGCCGCGCGCGACGTCCTCGACTTCGCCGCGTCGTGGGGCCGCGGGTTATTGGATGCGGGCGCGCCGCAGTTCGTGGTCGCGGTCTATGACGAGGACGCGGCGGCGACGCTCACCAAAGCGGTGGGCGCGGACCGGGTCGCGCGCGTGGCCGCGGGCACGACGCTCGCGGCGCTCGCGCGGGCGGCGCACGACCTAGGAAAGGACGTGCTCGCGACGGTGCCCGAGGTCGGTTTCCGCGGCGACCCGTGGCCGGCGCTCGCGCGGCGGCCGTGCGGCGCGCAGCTCCTCCCGTCGGGCTTCGAGGATAGCACCGCCGAAAGGCACCTCGCGGACGAGGTGCGGCGGTGGTCGTCGAGCCACCGGCACAACCCCTTCTTGACCTGCGCGGCCCAAAAGCGGGCGCACTGGCGCCACGTCGTCGGCGTGGCATATCTACGAGCAAACGATCCCGCCGCCGCGGCGATCGCCGACGCGTGGGCGCGGTATGCATCAAAATGCGCGTTCCACGCGGCGCTCGAGGCCGCGCTGGCCGAGGCGGCGCTGGCGGGCTTTGATTTTTGTGGTTTGCGTTTGGAGGACGGCTTCGCGACACCATTTCACTTCTGGATGCTGGATGCAAAGGAAAAACATTTCCAGTGGTTCGTGGGCGACTGGACCTCGCCCGCGTCCGACAACGTGACCCTGGTCTACCCGGCGCGCCTGGACGCCGCTTGGTTCGAGGACGGGCACCTGATCCCGCCGCTCATCGACGCGACGTGTTTGGCTTCGAAAAGGGAAGTGCTGCGCACCGCGGGGGCCTGGTTCGGGCGTGGTACGGAGGAGCCGCCACCTCGCTTCCTTCCCGGCGGGAGAGAACCGCCTCGTAATGAAGTGACGTTCGCGCTCTACGAGACGGACGCTGGCGAGAGGTGCCGCACGGCGTACTTCGACAAGATCTGGAGTGAATTGAAGAGGCACCCGCAGCGCGCGACGAACGCGGAAGACGTAACCTTCGTGCTGGCGGACCTCGACACGATGATGTGGTCCTGGCCGAACCCAAATCTAGGCTTGGTGGGCCCCACGAGCTGGATTGCGGGCGACCGACCGACGTGCTACCCCTGGCCCTTCACGGGACAGCTCGTGATGGCCCCGTCGCTCTCGTCGGAAGACGTGGCCAACGCGCTCAAGGACCCGCGCCAGCGGCCGCCTCACATATTCGGGGCGCGGACGCCCGCGGACCGACCGAAGCACGCCGCCGACGCGCTGCTGGCGCCCGCGTCCGGCCTGGGGACGCCCGACGCGCCCCTGGTCGTTTTTAACTTCGCCGCGCCGATCTGCGTCATGGTGCCCGCCGCGCCGGAGTCGCTGCACTGCGTGCACGTGGACGAGGTACGGCGCCCCGGCGTCGTGCAGGCCTTCGTGGGGGCCGCGACGACGCATTTCGTGCCCGGTACCGACATCGCCTGGCCCGCGCCGCTCCATCCGCGCTTCGACGAGAAGGCCGCCCGGGCGGCGCCGGACACGGGTGCCTGCGACCGCGCCGCGCGGCCGGTCTTCGCGTCGATCCTCGGGACGGCGTCGCACGCGGTCCGCGCGACCCTGGCGGCCGCGCTCTCTACTCAAAACGACGCGCTCGCGTCGGCGCGTGACCCGACCAAGGACATGGCGGACGGCCGCACCGGCGGCGAGCGGGACGACTACCTCAAGTCTCGACTCGACGCGCTCCGGTGCGAGCGGACGTCGCCGGACGCGGCCGTCGCGGTGATGGCGTGCTCGCGCTTCGTGCTCGCGCCGCGGGGCCACATGCTGCACTCGTCGCGGCTGCTCGAGGCGCTGTCGATTGGCGCCGTGCCCGTCGTGGTCTCCGACGGGTGGGTCCTCCCGTTCGAACATGATTTGGTCGACTGGGCAGCTGTTGCCATTCGCGTGGCGGAGGCCGACGCGGGGCGCGTCGCCGACATCTTACGAACCGTCTCGGACGAGCGGTGGTGCGCGATGCAGCGCGCGGGCCGGCGCGCGTACGCGGATATTCTCTCAAAGCCGGTCGACGCGCTCGTCCGCGTGTTCGAAGCACGGAACAGCATCGCGAGGGGCGGTGCCAATAATGTCATAATGAGTTAATCTTAGCTCAAAGGTCGTCGCGCGGATCGCTGCAGGCCCCCGGGCACGCCGCGCATTTCTCGAAGAGCGCGTCCTCGACGACCACGTAGCCGAGTTCCGGCTCCTCGCACAGGAGACTCAGCGCCTCGGCGGCCGTGTTAAGGATCGGCTCGCCTCGCCGATTGAAAGATGTGTTGCAGACGACCGGTTCACCAGTCAGTTCGGCGAGCGCCTCTAGGACGGCGTAGACCCAGGGCTCGTCGACCCGCTCGAGACTCTGCAGCCGCGCGGTGCCGTCGACGTGGCATACCGCGGGCAGCTGCGCGCACGCCTCTGGGGTGAAGCGCGGAGCGACCGACATGTGCGGCGAGCGCCAGTGCTCGCCGGCCTCAAAAAGAGCGGGCGCCGCAGCGGCAGCGACGATGGGAGCGACAGGCCGCCACGCCTCGCGGTACTTCAGGCGGTTGAGCCGCGCTTTCGCACGCGGGGACGTCGCGTCTGCGAAGAGGCTCCGGTGGCCCAGGGCCCGCGGGCCGTGCTCGCTGCGGCCGCGCGCAATTCCCACGATTGCGCCCGCGGCGACGAGCTGCGCCACCTTATTTGCCAACGCGTGGTCGTCAGTAAAAGTCTCGGCGCGACGATCCGCCGCGAGACTGGGTAGGTCATCCAGGTCAAAGAGGCCCGGTCCAGCGAACATGAGATCGCGGGGCGCGTCCAGGGGCGGCGGCTGCGCTGAGTAGAGCGCCCCGACGCCAATGCCACAATCTGAAGGCGCCGCCGGGATCGTGACGGGCAAGGCGAGCGCGCGGTGCAGCGCCGTGTTGCATCCGACGTTCAGCGCGCAGCCGCCGGCGACGGCGAGCGCGTCCGGCCGGCGTCCGGCGAGCTCCAACGCGCCGCGGATCTCGTCGGCGACGATCTCCTCGAACGCGCGCTGAGCCGACGCCGCGATGTCGGCGTAGTCCACGTCCAGGCTTCGCAAGGAGATCTTCAGGGCGTCGCGGATGTTCTGCGTCAATAACGAGACGTCGTGTTCGGTCGGAGTCCCGAGCGACGCGTACCCGTTCATTTTTCCTGGGCCGGCGAGGTGCTCCCGGTCGCGTTGCGAAGCTGTCCTATTTCGGCAGTACGCGTCTACCCCGGGATCGTCGCGGCGGTTCCGCGGGGCGCACTTCGCAACTTCTGGAATCTGCTCCGCGACCAGCGCGTACCCGCTGCCCAGGTTGAGCCGCTCCCACCGTCGACTACTCGCGTCGAGGCGCCGGAGGGGCCTCGCAAGATCTCCGGTGGGCTCGAACACCGCAAAGAAGCCGTCGTTGCCGCCGCCGTCGTACGAAAGCACCAGCGGCCAGACGTAGCCCCGACTCAACGCGTCGTAGTACGCCAGGCTCGCGTGGCTCGCGTGGTGGTCCGCCGCGTACCAATCCCTCGCGATGGAGGCTAACGCGGAGGGGAAGACGGCGGTCGGCACGGCGACGTAGACGCCCACGTCGAAGACGTCGACGCCCGCCAGGCGTCGCGCGTCGCGCAGCGCGCGCGCCCACGCGCCGTCGGCGTCGTCGACGAATCCGGGGTGGAAGTAGCGCCGGCGCTCGCGCCGCTCGAGTTCGACGACGCCCAGGACGCGGCCGGCCCGCGCGACCGCGAGGTGCGCGTCGTGGCCGGAGAAGACGCTCACCATCGTTTGATTTTCTGGTACGGGCTTCCTTAGGGCATCGAGGTGCTGTGTCGTTTCGGGTAAGTCCGGCGTATCCAATGCAGGCCAGTACCAGAGCGCTTCCGACGCCTCCGCGGCGCCGCCGCTCGCTCGCATCCCGTCACCAACTGGCGCGTCCCACCGCGTCTGGTAGCTCGCGACGCGCGGATCGTCGAAATCGACGGCGCCGGGCACCGGGAACGCCGCGTATTGATACATGGCAGCTCCTCTGTTCGATTCGCCCCCGTCTTCCTCGAAGGTCTCGCGAACTTCGGAAACTCGCCGGACGGCGCCGCTCGCCTCGTGGCGCCGCAACGCCGCCGCCGGCCCGGGCCACTCGAAGTCGTCCAGAAACGCAACGTGATAATCCGGGTTCGCCAGCGCGGCCAAATTCGACATGTCGTCGAAGGCGCCCTCGATGGTGTGGTCGCCGTCGACCACTAAGACTTCGCACTTGATCGACGGGTGCGCCCGAGCGAAACTCGGTACCGTCGCGCGCGAGTTGCCCCTGACGACGCGCAATCGGTGTGACGCGTTTTTCACGTGTACGGCCGCGGCGGGCGACCTGAACCATTTCTCCGCCAGTTCCGCTCCCTCGTACTGCCAGAGGTCGAACGCGAGCACCTCGACCTCCGGATTCGCCCGCAGCCACAACGCCGCCGAGTGGCCGCGGTTAAACCCGATCTCGCAGACCCGGCGCACGCACGGGGACGCCGCGGCCTTGATATAGGCCTGGCGCTCTTTTTGGAGTTGATACGAGCCGCCCTCTTGACTCGTGTTCCAGGGCACCGCGGCGTCCAGCGCCTTCGTGAGCTCGTCGTAGGGCCGCAGATCGACCGCATCATAACCGCTCAACGGGTCCGCGCTACGGCAGGCGGCATACTCTTCAGCCGTCGGCTGCGGTTGTAGACCAGGGAACCAGGGCGCCGCCAGCGCCTCCGCCACTCCCACGATCGCGCGCGTCTTGGCCGCCTCGTCGCTTTCAAGGCAGTGGCGGCGGCGCGCCGCCAGCTGCGTGACCAATTCCTCGACCACGCACTCCTCCGTGGCGCACCCCTCGCCCATGATTTCCGCATCGCCGAGGTGGGTGCGGACGAACGTCACGACGTCTTCGTATGACGTGTCCGCGGCGAGCACGTGGTCGACGTGGTCGACGACCAGCGTGAGGAAGCAATTTCTTTCCGCACGCGCCGCCCCCAGCAGCAATGCCGCCAAGAACATCCTAGGACGCCGCGACACGCTCGCGGAGCTCCTGCGCGAGCGCCGCGACCATGCAGTCGCGGTACTTGTCCGCACAGAAGCTGTCGGGCGCGTCCGTCGTGCGCGTCTCGACGATGCAGTCGGAGGCGTCCTTGGCGCAGGCGCCGTTGGCCGCCTTCGGGTTCTCCTCGAGCCAGGCGCGCGCGACCGCTTCGTAGTCGTCGCCGCGCGAGAAGTGCAGCGGCCGGTAGCGGCCCGCGACGTGGATCTCGAGGCTGAGCTGTTCCGCGGCTGCCCAGCCGGCGACAACTGCGGCCAGGAACCCATGGCGCGTCATCTCATTGTCCTGGGGGCAGCCCTTTGGCCCGCGCAGACGGCAAAAAGCGAAACTGGAGCAGCGACCCGGGGTGTAAAGCTGCCAACTACCCACGATCTCAGATTCCGCGCGAATGAAAACCCGAGCTGAAAAAACAAAACGGGTTTCGATGCGCTTCGGCCCGCGGGCCCGACAAGCGGCCTGTAAGACAGTAGCGGCTGCCCCGCGTGTGATTGCTGCCGATGCGTGCCAAGGGACAGCACTAAATAGCGGGGGGCAGCAATACCACACAAATGCGGCGGCTCATACTCCTGCTTTTACTTCGGACGCCCGCCGCCGAGCCGCAGACATGCCCCGAAATCGAGATGGAGCAGCCCCAGGCCTGTCCGCAATCGGTGGAGATGACCAAGCCCGTCCGCGTCTTGGTCGCGGTGCGGTCGACGCGGCGCGAGCGGCGCGACGCCATCCGCGACACGTGGTGTCAAGCGGCCGCCCGCGTCGCCGCGTGGAGCAATGTATCAATAGCGGTCCGTTTCTGGGTCGGCGGGGGCAGCTTGGTGGAGGACGCCAGATATGGTGCGGAGTCGGAGCTCTTCGGAGACGTGGCGCACACGACACATATCGCTGCGGACGACGATGTGGCGCTCGCTCAAGCGGCGCTCCGCTCGTTCGACCTGCACGCGGCGGCGCCGACGCACTGGGCGACCGTCGACGACGCCACGTATGTTTACGTCGACCGCCTCGCGGCGAGCCTGGCGTCGGCAGATGAGAAGACGTGTCGGCGGGCGGGCGGCAGCGCTTTACTGGGACGCGCCGCGGCGGTGGCGGCTCTGAGCGCGGAACCGTGGCTTGGCGCGTGTGACGACGCCTCACACCTCTTCCACGCGGCCCGCGGGCGCCGCACCCCCGAGAACGCGCGCCGCGTCTCCACGGACACCGTGGCGGTGGCCGGCTTCGAGCCCGGCGAGTTCGCCCTTCTGGAGCAGGGTGAGGACGTCGACGCCGCGCTCACGTATCATGATGATGGTCGAGTCCACGAGTGGGTCGTGGAAGAGAACGTAAGGGTCGAGGTCCCGGCGACGTGCGCGGCGCGCAATATAATAAGGGACCGCGTCTGCGCCGCCTGCGCCGAGATCGGTGAGAAATGTGGCGCCGTCCTCGACGGCGTCGGGCGCCTGGCCCGGCGGCTACACGGCGTGGCGAACTGCACGATGGGAGGCGCGCCCTGCCGCGCGGCGCGTCCCACAAGACCGATCATGACGTTGGGTTTCGGCGACGCGTCGACCGTCGACCTGTGGAAGCGCTGCGCTTTTGAGGACGAGGACGGCGACGGCGCCTGCGACGCGCAGCGAGCGCAAGCGGCGCTCCGGCGGCGCGCGCTGCGGCGCACGCACGACGAGCTCATGAACGGCTCGGAAGCAAGCGGGGGCGCCTGCGCCGAGGTGCGATATGACTTGCGGGACGCTCTGGTCGAGGCGGCGCGCGGGGCCCTGCGCGGCGTCGAAGAAGTCGCGCTGTGGGACTTTCCGGCGCACGGCAACCGGGGCGACTCGGCGATCTGGAGCGGCGAGGTCGCGCTGCTTCGCCGACTGAACGTGAGCGTGCGGACGGACCTCGTATGTTCGTCCTTCGTGCCGGTCGCGGCGGCGCCGGCCTGCGACGGGTGGTTGGAGGACGAAGGTCAAAGGCTCCGGCGCGCGTTCCCGCCGTCCTCAAAACGGGCGCTCGTGCTGCACGGCGGCGGCAACGTCGGGCCCGAGTACCCCCCGTACGAAGAGTTCCGCAAAAATGTTGTAGAGACGTTCGGCCGGGACTACCGCATCGTGCTCATGCCGCAGACGGTGACGTACGCGGACGAGATGGCGTCTTCATTGAACTTCTGGCGCGCGGCGGCGAACGCGACGCTGCTCGGCCGGGACGCGCTTTCAGCCAAGTTGCTCCACGTCCACGCGTGCGGCGGGGGCGTTTTTTGTCGAGCGGCGCTGGCGCCCGACGCCGCCTTCGCGCTGACGTCCGTCGCGCCGTCTCCATCAGAGAGGGAGGTCCTCTGGCTCGCGCGGGGCGACGCGGAACGGGCCCAAACCGTCGACCGGGCCGCGATGGCGGCGGCGGCGGCGGATGTGAGTATAAGGTGGGACGACCTCCAGCCGGGCGAGGGGCCGGGCGACGTCGAGGCCTTCTGCTCCGACGAGGGCCACTGCGTCCTCGACGACCTCCGGGGCGAGCCCCACCTCCTCGCCGCGCACCGCGTGGGCGAGGCCTTTGCGTCCCTTGGGCACTCGGCGGCGGTCGTCACGGACCGACTCCACGGCGTCATCCTTGCGCTGCTCGCGGGCCGGTCCGTCGCGGCCCTAGATGTGCGCAACCGGAAAGTGTCGCGCTTCGTCGACACGTGGCTCCGCGACGCGCCGCGCTCGTGCGCGGCCGTGTACGCCTCGCCGGCGGAGGCGCTCGGGGCCGCGCTCGCGCTTGTGGGTTAATGTGGTAGTTCTTGAGTACACCGTATCCGATGAATTGTAGACTGGGAGGCCCGCCTTTGTGTATGAATATCATGGTCTTCTTGGAATTGCCAAGCTTTTTCACATGCGCTTGGAGAAGGCAATCCGGGTAGGACTCGTGGGCGGACCCCCAGGCAGGGGGAGGAACCCGCGCGTCACTGACGGGCGCTGTTGCTAGATTTGCTAGCGTCTTACAGCCGCTAGCTGTCCCGTCTCGACGATGTGGGGCAGCCCAGCTCGTGCAGCCCTGGCCCAGCAATGCTACGAGCCCTGCTCTGGCTCCCGGCCCTGTCCCATGCTGCCGGCTGGGGCGTCGACCTCCCGCGGAACGCGAGCCAAGTGCTGCTGAACCTTGGCTGTAACCTGGCGCCTGTGCTGCCGGACGACGCCAACGACGACGCGGTGGTGCTGTGCTTCGAGCCGATCCCGTCCGTGGTCAGACGCATCCCCGCGCACCCGCGGCTGAGGACGATCCCGGCGGCGGTCTCCTCCTTCGACGGCGTGGCGACGATGCACACCTACGCCAAGAACGCGCAGTCCTCGAGCCTCGGCGCGCGTGCGAAGGAGATGGACTGGAACGACGACCCCGCGCGCGGCGACGGCGACCAGTTCGTCGTGCCCGTGCTGTCGCTCCGGAGCATCTACGCCAGCCTCGGGCCTGATATACATGTCCCGTACATCAAGACGGACATGCAGGGCGCCGACTACGCCGCGATCTCGTCGCTGCCCGTGGACGTTTTACGCAGGACGCCCTTCCTCCTGACGGAGGTGTGGCTCGAGAACGTGCAGTCCTACGTCGGGTTTCGGAACGACTTCTGCCGGGACTGGCTGCCCTTCATGACGGCCGCGGGCTACTCGCTCCAATTCATGCGTTTGATATATAGAGAGCACGACAACGATTTAGATCAAACGCAGCGGGACGCCTGGTCGGCGCCCTGGGCAGCGGACCCGCACGCGAGGTGCGCGGAGGACCTGGCCCTCTATCCGACGCCGACGACGGGCTGCCACGAGGCCGACGCGCACTGGATCCGCAACGACACGTTAGCGGACATCGCCGCGTTCCGCGGGCCGAAGCGGCCGCCCGTGAAGGAGTGGACGGACTGGCCCATGTCCTGGCATAATAGTTAGTTAGCTTAGTACATACCGCCCCCCGCGCTTCCGGAACCGCTGCGACGTAGCCGTCGCGGCGAGCATGCCCGCGAAGCGCGCGTCGAACAGGACCTTCGCCTCGTCGTAGAGGCGCTGGTCGACGGCGTTGAGCTCCCGGAGGCGCGCGAGCGCCGCCGCGTCCGGCGCGCGCCGCCGGCCGAGCTTCGGGTGCGGCGCGTCCGCGAAGCTCCGGAAGTTGCGAAGCGGCCCGGGGAACGTCTCCTTGAGCAGCAGCATGGACTCATCGAAGCGGTCGAGGACGCCCACGAAGACGCACGCCCGCAAATTTTGGGAGGCGGCGTCGTAGAGGCGCGCGTCGCCGGCTGCCGTGCCCTCGCCCTCGGCGAGTTCGCCGGTCGTCGCCAGGCCCGCCAGGAACCGCGCCTGCCGGTTCGAGGCGCCCACGCGGCACGCTGTACACATCAACCAATCTGACAAAGACGCCCTGGTCCGGTCCGTGAAGTCGTAGTCCCACGCCTTCCCGAAGACGTGCGGCCCGAACTGGGCCACGAGGCCGTTCGTGATGTGGTCGTGCTCGCTGAGCGCGCGTTTGACGGGGTCCCGCAGGAAGGCCAGGTAGTGGACCCTCCCGTTCCTGTTGACGCTCTCGAAGGCCCGCTGATAATCATGGAGGTTCGCGTGGGCCCGCACGAAGAGGTGGCACTTGCGCTCCTTCGACGCTTTTATGAACGCGTCCCTGAGGACGTTCTCGCACCGGTGGCCGCAGAAGGGCCCCCGCACGCACCGCCGCGGGCCCCAGGCGCCTCCATCAAAAACGTCCAACAGCGTCGTCCAGAGCGTCTGCGAGCCCGTCTTCTGGGCCCGCAGGTAGACGACCCAGTCGTCTTTTGTGATTTCTACCGGGCGCCAGGCGTCGTTTCGTCCAGGCGCCGGCGCGGGGCGTTGCGGTGCGCGGTCGACGCGGCGCGGCGGCGGCGGAGCGCGCTGTGGCTCGCGGCTCGCGTCGGCGCGCCGCGGCGGCGGCGCGGCCGGCCGTCGGAGCTGCTCCTGCAACCGCGCGATGGTCCGGTTCTGTCGATCCACGACGCGCGCCAACTCGTGGGCGTCGATGCGCGGCGGCGCGTCGCGTCCGAGCAGCAGGGGTGCCAGGAGCGTGAGCAGTGCGCACAGGCCCAGCGCCAGGGCGACGCGCGGCAGCCCCGCATTGGTGCTGCGGCGCCCCATGAATCACGGAGCCATCGTCTGTCGCCGCAGGGCAGCGCGGGGCAGCCGTAAACGCTGTCGACGTAGAAACCCGCGAGCTCTGGAGGCTCGGGGCTCAATCGCTAGTGATTTATGCAGCCGTACGCGGGGTGGCAGCCGATCTAGCGGCTGTAAGTCACTAGCAGGAGCGCCTCGGCGCGTAACGCAAGGCAGGAACCAACGCCGAACGAGCATTGGCAGCCCAAGCGGTGGCAAGCAATCCGCTCGCAAACTCACGCGTCGAGGCTGCCCCGAGTTCATGGAGGCCCTCTCGCCCCCCCGCCGGCCGCGGCCGACGACGCCGGACAGCCGCGGCCGCGACCGGAAGGAGTCGAAGTTCGCCGGCGAGGCCATCACGAACGTCCTGGCGCAGCACCAGCAGCAGGAGGCCGCGCGGCGGGACGACGAGCGCCGGCAGAAGCTCAAGCAGCGGGAGCACGCGCGCGCCGCGGCGCGGAACCCCTACGATCGACTCCTCGAAAACCAGCAGGCCGAGTGGATGCGGAAGAAGGACCGGCGCAGCGCCGTCATATCGTTGCTGCGGAGCGTCGGCGAGCAGCTCCGCAAGACGAAGAACCCGCCGCTGTCCCGGGACGCCGAGGCCCTCGGCGAGACCTGGGCCGCCCAGCCCAAGTTCGCCGGCGCGACGCGGTCCGACTACGACGGCGGGGCGCGGCTGAGCTGGCGCGGCGTCGACCTGGCGCGGACGCTCTTCGACGCCTTCGACGCCGACGCCGACGGGCGGTGGACCTACTCCGACTTCAAGAGGTATCTCGAGGCCGTGGGCCGCCCGGGTGAGTTCGAGCCCGTCGTCCTCGACTCCGCGGAGGCGTTCCGGTGCTACTGCGACGACCTCTTCGGCACGGACGAGCGCGGCCTGCTGGCCTTCGAGCACTTCCTCGCCTACCGCGAAGACGTCGAAGCCGCGGCGCCGGTCGAGGCCGACGTCCTGGCCTGCGGCCTGTCGGCGGCGCCGGCGGCCCTGGACGAGTGGGCGCGCGTCCGCGACGCGTGGGACGCGCTCGAGGGCCACTACGAGGACGCGGATCGGCCGCCGCACACGCTACCCGCATCATGTTTCCGCGAGCTCTGCTACGACTGCCGCCTGACGCTGACGGAGGAGGAATGCGACATGTGCTGGCGCGTGCACGTCCGTAAGAACGGCCTGATGGTCGAGCTGCGCGAGGAGTACAAACACAAGCACCGCTTCGGCTTCCACCAGCCATCTTCCGTAACGAGCGATGCGGCGTTCGTCTACAAGGACGCCTTCGTGGCGTGGTGGTTCGCCGGCCGCGCGCACGAGAAGCGGGCCTACTTTAGGGAAAAGGCGACGGGGTCGCTGCTCGGGCTGCGGTCCTTTCTGAGAGGCGCCTTCACTATGGGAAGACGGGGCTACGAGCGCGTCAAGCGGGCCGTGGACCGGGGTTTGTTGGATAAGGTTAAGCTGGCCATGGTCAAGGAACGCCTCGCGACGCTGGACTTTAGTTTTGAAGTGGGCGACGAGGGCAAAGATTTACAGGACGAGGAGGGGAAGATCGGCGTCGAGATCGACGTCGAGCACGGCGACGACGCCACGTCCACGAAAGCGAAACTGCAGGTGCCGTCGCAGTGCGCGGCCTCCGTCTCGATCGACCTGCCCGCGCGCGAGGACGCGGACCCCGACGAGGTGCGCCGGTTGCGGAAGGACCTGAAACTCTTTCTGGACAAGTACGTGGTGCCGCATGTCCAGGAGCTCACGCCGGGCTTCCAGCAGGTGCGGGTCGTCAAGGTGCTGCCCTACGTGCCGCCCGAGGACGACGCCGCCGCCTCGAAGAAGAAGTTCAACACGCCGGAGCCCGTCGACGAGGACGAAGAGGACGAGCCCGAGACCATCCGCGTGCAGTTCCTGTGGAAGTCCGAGGCGAACGTGGATTATTTCCTGCGGCGGCGCGTGGGGTTGGGGCTGGGCCTGGCTTCCCTCTTGCCGGAGTTCGCCTGCTCGCTGCGGTGCGCCACGCCCCTCGAGGACCTGCTGGAGAACACGCGCGTCGTGGTCGGCGCGCCGGACTTCTCGCTGCGATTGGCGGTGCACGCCATCTACGCGCGGTCCGTGCTCCACCGCGTCGGGGAGGAGGTCCTGCACGCGCGCGACGAGGACGCCGCCCTCAAGAAGGCGGATCGCGATGGTCGGCAACTGGCGCACGCGCGGGCGCTGCGGCGGTCGGTTGAGTCGCACGGCGCTTTGCTGAAAGAGGGCGAGCGGCCCATCGCGGGCATCACGGGCTACGAGGCGCCGGCTGTCAACGTATCGAAGGCCCGTGAGGCGTTCGATACTGCCGAAGCAAAAGTGACGCGGGGCCTGCTGTGGGGTTTCGTCCGGTGGTGCCGATGCCGTGTTCTTTTGATATTCCACGCCATCGACGCGACGATGATCTCATACGCGCAGGCTCGGCAGCACGAAGGCGCAAAAGCTCGACCTGTCATTTAGGGACCTGCGCGAGTGCATCCTGGGGAGCCCCGCGGTGCTCGCGCGCGTGCCGGCGACGTGGCTGCCCGCTCTTAGAGCGCTTCTGGAAAGCCGAGGCGGCGTCGCCAAGTGGTGGCACCGCGTCCAATCGACGATGGAGGAGGAGCTCGGCGATTTGTGGGGCGAGGTCGAAGGCGTCGAGGGCGCGATCCAGGCGCGCGCCGACGCGATCGTCCAGGCCGAGCTCGACGCGTGGAACGCGCTGGACGCGGAGGAGCGGCGGCGGCGCACGTTTGAAAGGGAGAAGCAGGCCCTGGAGGCCAAGATCCTCAAAGCCGAGGTCGACGCGGCGAACCGCAAGCTGGGCATCGAGCCGGACGACCCGAAGAAGAAGAAGAAGGACGGCGACGAGTCCGAGGAGGAGGAGGCGCCCGAGGACGAGGGCGAGGTCGACTTCGTCCGGAGGCTCCGAAAGCGCCACGCGAAGACGCAGCGGCGGGTCCTGGAGATGTACCGCCGGGCGACGTCGCTGGTCTACGGCGTCTCGCAAATTACGTTGCACTCGAACGCGACCAAGGTCGAGGTGGCCCTCGAGGGGCTGGATTTGTTTGCGGAGCTGCCTTGAGCTCCTCCCTGGCGCACCTCTTCGCGGCTAGACGTGCGTAATGTGATGTATCGTATCTTTAGGCTCTACTGAGAGAGTAGTTTGACGCCGCTCAGGCCCGCGCACGCTTTCGCGCGGGCCGGCCCGCCGCGACGGCGAAGCGCTCCTCGGGCGCGTCGGGCCGCGGCGCCGCCGCGCACTCGACGGTGACCTCGAGGGCGCCGTTTTTCATCAGTTGCAGCGGACCGCCCAGCGAAATGGACGTCGACGGTGGCGCGCCCTCGGATTCCCGCAGCGCGGCCACGAAGCGGCGCCGCGAGTCCTGGTCCAGGAGGTTTGGGAACGAGGTTCCGGTCAATCGCGTCGCGTCGGCATGTGCGCGCTTCGCCGCCGCGGGATTGGCGTAAGCGATGACGCCAGACCCGTCGGTCGCGAAGACGGCGTCGGGATGGCAGGCGAGGACCTGTGCGGAAATCAAACAGTGAGTCGGGTGCAGAGCGGTAGTAGACCACAACGTCACGCCATCGTCGTGACGATGGCGTGGAGGTCATGATTCAGTAGTGGTGGAGACGCGTCACGACATATTGATTTATGCACTGGTGAGGACGCTCCTTGCGTGCAGGTACTCGGCGTTTTTGGCTTTGAGGTCCTCGACGAAGGCCTTTTTTCGCTGCCTCGACAGTTGTGCGGAGCGTCTATTCGCTTCCCGCTTGAGACGCTTCTTGCGCTCCTGTTCGTCCTCTTCAGAATTCTCGTCCATGTTCGCGAAGGTCACTGGGAAGGTCACTGGAGTCTTTCTTGGCGGTATTCGGCGCCCGCTAGCGCCGCAACCCTGCCAGACTCAACCCCGCTCCTCGCAGCTGTTCTCGCTGCCACGGCGCTAAAAGCACTAACAAAGGTGGGGTTGCTCGAACGCCGTTGCGTAGCGTCTACCACAAGGCTCTGGCTTGTTTCTCGTCCCCGCGCGCCGCGGCTTCTGCCTTCTGCGGCTCGGCGGTGATCGAGCTGCTGAAATGCGGTGGCCGCGACGGCCACTAAAAAACGCAAAACGCCCATGGATCTCTCTCCCGCACGAGTCTTAACACGCGAATAAGCCTCCCTGCTGGGCGTTTGATCTGGGGCATCTGTACACGCAGGATGCGGAGCCGAGCAAAAGACTTGTAGACCGAGCTAAAAAAGCTTGTAGAGACCTCAGTGCACGCGTAAAACTCAAGCTCTCACACCGCTGAAGACTTACCCACTTGCAATCAACCAGTGCCGTCGCAAAAATGCGAAGAGCAAGGCTGCTCTGGCTGCTCACAGCCCTCCCCACTGCATTGCCGGCTGCGGCTCTCACCCCCGGCACCACCGCGTGGCTGCTCACAGCCTTGCCCACAGCCTTGCCCGCTGCGGCTCTCACCCCCGGTACCACCGCGACACCACCACCGAAAGCCACGAATTGGTGGGATGCGTTCTTCACACCTCAGCCACAACCACTCCTCGTACGAGAAAAAGACGGCATGCGCCTGAGGCGGGGCACGCGCGAGGACGCGCCGCGCATCCGCCAGCTCTGGGCCGCGAACGTGGCGCCCAATTCGCTGGGCGAGGCCTGGTCGCCGGGCGGCATCGAGACGGCCTTCGTGTACCGCAAGACGCGCGACGGCCGTGCCGCCGCGACGTCCGTCGTTGCCTATGACGAGGACCGGCGACTCGCGGGTTTCGCGGCCGCCACGGCCGCGGACGAGCCCTTCAACAACCTGGGGCCACTGGTGGAGTGGAAGACGTTTTTCGATCTCGAGGACGGCCGGAACCGGTGCCTGCTGGGGCCGATCTGCGTCGAGGCGTCGGTGCGGGGCTCGGGCCTCTTCCGCGACCTCTACGACGCGCTCCTCGTGCGGTCGGGGGACCTGGACGACGTCGCCGAGGGCGTCGTCCTGATCCACGCCGAGAACCACGCGTCGCTCACGGCGCACCGGCGGCTCGACGGCTGCACGACGCTCGGCGAGTTCGCGTCGGCGGACGGCCGGCCCTTCGTCGTCCTCGCGCTGGACCTCGCGGCCGCGCGCGCGGGGCTAAGTACTTAGCAAACACATTACTGAATCCCCACGCGGTCCGCACGCGGAACACCGTGCCGGAGCGTGCCGGCCCGCCGCTTCGCGTCGTCGCGGGCCTTCTGCTTCGCCGCCCACGCGGCGAGCGGCGCCGGCTCCGGCGACAGGCGCCGGCAGTCCCCCCGGCAGACGTCCCGGCGCGCGGGCGAGCAGTACTCGAGGCACAGGTCGTTCGAGGCCACGGCGCCGTCGGCGCGGACGCGCTGCGCCCGCAGCGCCAGGTCGCCGACGCGGAGCCCGTGCGCCCTGACGACGAACTGCAGGAACGACTCCGCGCGGAGGAACGTGCGCGCGGCGTAGGCCGGCGCGAGCTCGATGCGCGCCGCGACGACCGCGGCGGCGTCGCGGCTACAGACGAGCACGCGGTCGTTCAGGCCGGACCAGCGGTGCCAGTAGGGGTCGAGGATTGTTTTCGACGGGACCGCGAGCACCTGGCCCGCGTCGATGGCGTCGAGGAACTTGAGGTCCGGCCGCGCGTAGACGACGGCTTCGTACGATACGCCGGAGCGCCGCCAGAGCGCCGCGACGCGCCGCAGGCTCTCGAGCTGCCGCATCAAATTGCGGAAGTTCGGCCCCGCGTAGCGCCTGTCCAGCGCCGCGTAGGAGGACGCATTGAGGGCGAACGCCGCGTCGAACGCCGCTTGTTTCTCCGTCATACCGCGCGCGCCGAAGGGCCTCAATAACTTTACCATTTCCGCGGCGCCGTCGCCCACCGCCACTTCCATGCGCTCGCCGCCCCGCGCCGCCGTGTCCACGAAGGCTGTCTCCGTTTCCCAGACGTGATAGTAAACGTCGACGGCCGCGCACGCGTCGTGTAGTGGTTTCCAAATTTTGTCCGCTATACCATGCACGGTATGTCGCAGCGCGCGGTTTAAACCGTAGAAGCACAGCGCGACGCGCGGCCGGGGCGAGGGGCAGCCGTCCCGCGGTGCCGGCGGCTCGTGCTGCTGCTTCGTGAGCCAGAGCAGCGGCGCGGCGACGAGCAGCAGGAGGAACAGCACGACGGCGCTACGCATGGCGACTACGCATGATCATCTATGGTGCCGCATCGACGGCGTCGAGACTCGAGGCTGCCCCATGGCAAACTCGACGAACCCCCCCCTCCAAGCTCTTACCCCTAGCCCCTCTAGCCTCAGCCCCTTCGAGACGCGCGAGGAATCACGCGCAGGAGGTCTGGACCCGGCGAACCCGAACGTCCGTGCGAATTCGGATACGTGAAGAGAAAGAATTATACGTACAATTCCCGCGCGACGCGACGCGCGGCGCGATTTACATTTCACCGTACCTTGACGCGGCTCCGGAGCCGCGCCGGCAGCAGCGCCGGGTCGCCCGACTCGAGCCACGCCAGGTCCGAGGGCGACAGGGGCAGCGACAGGGCCCGCGCGTCGTCCGCCAGCCGCGCGACGGAGGTCGTGGCGACGCAGACGCGGGACGCGTAGGGCTGGTGCCGCGCCCAGGCGAGCGCGACGTGCTCGGCGGCGAGGCCGTGCACCTGGCCGAGGCGCCGCGCCCGGTCGCGCCGCGCGAAGTTCTCGGGCGTGAGGTAGGCGGACCGCAGCCGCGCGTCGCGCCAAGACTCGTAGTCGTCCGCGGGCTCGTCCGGCGGCAGCGGCGCCGACGGGGCGAACATGTCGTCCCGCGACCAGCGGCCCGCCAGGAAGCCCTTGGCGAGGCACTCCCAGCCGACCACCACAACGTCGTCGCGGTGGTCGGCGTACCACCTCCGATCCGTTTTGCCCATGCACGTCGTGCCCGGCCAGGGCGCGTGCCGCGGCGTCGCCAGGCTCTCCTGCACGGACGCGCACCGGGGCGGCGCCTGGCCGGTCTCGACGGCGTACCGCCGCGCCGCCGCGAAGCGCCGCGTGCTCCAGTTGCTGCAGCCCCACGTCTTGACGCCCCGGGCCGCGCACAATTGGGAGACATTGTCCACGATCTCGCTGATGTCCTTCGCGGGGTCGTCCCTATGCAGCAAGTAGACGTCGACGCGCCCGAGGCGCCGCAGGCTCTCGTCGAGCTCGCGCTCGAGGTCGCGCCGGTCGAGCCGCGGCGCCCAGCCCGACGACGGCGGGCCGCAGCCGCCCTTCGAGATGACGACCGCGTTCCGTCTCGCGTCCGCCGGCGTCGCCGCGTCCCGCAGCCAGGCCCCGAGGATCCGCTCGGATTCGCCCCCGCCGTAGACCGCGGCCGTGTCGAAGGCCGCGATGCCCAGGTCCCACGCTTTCGTCAGGAGTTGGAACGGCTGGGGCGCCTCGTGCAGCCGCAGCGTGCCGAAGACCAGCGGCGAGGGGACCAGTTGGTTCGTCGGCGGCGACGGCGGCGCGAGCGACGCGGCCAGCCGCACGGTTAGCAATGCCGCGAGGCGTCGGCGCATGCCGCCCATAGGCGATTCCTGTCTCGGGCGTCGCCCAGGGATCTCGCCGCGGCGTAGCGCGAGCGGCGCGCCGGGGCTGGAGGCAGCGAGTGGATTTCACCTGAAGTCAAACCCCGCCGGCGGCGAGCGGTGGCGCGCGAGCCCGGCTACGGGTGCTGTGCGCGGTGTGCGGCCCCGGGGCAGCCCCTTCCGGGTGGTAACGCTCGGGGAAAGCGCGCGACGTCGACGGGTTGGCGTCAAATTTGGCCCCCCGAAACATTCGGCCCGACGCACGAATCACCCAAGCCACTATGGCGTCCTGAGGACTCCTCGCCGCGGGCGGTGAAATCGAAATCCCATGAACCCGTACGAAGCTCGAAGAGCTCCTGCGCGGCCGACTCTTGCCTCTCGGGCTGGGCAGAGATTCCGCGGCAGCTGCCCTTGCTGGCAAGAAGTGCTCACACGACAGTTCGTTCCACCTCCGCCGCATCGAGGACACGCTGGTCGAAGCGTCGATCGATGGTGGGGCGGTGGCTCCTCGTTGCCGCGGGTGCGGCGGCGGCGACGGAGTGCCCCACGTTGATTCATGAAGACGCCGGCGTGCGCCTCGCGGGCTACGTCGTGTCGCGGCGCCGCGACGTGGACGTGCGCGACGCCGTCCGGCGGACGTGGTGCGCGACGGCCCGCCGCGTCGCGTCGGACGACGTGTCTGTTGTCGTGCGCTTCTTCGTGGGTTTAGATACGGTGGAAGGCGGGGACGACGCCCATATGATGGATGTGACCGTCGTGGACGTGCCGGACGGGCCGTCCGCCGTGCCGCACCTGCGGCTCTACGCCCTCCTGCGGTACGACGCATGGGCGCGCCGCGCGACGCACTTCCTCGCGCTCGACGACGACGCGTACCCGTTCCTCGACCGTCTTACGCAAAGCCTCGTCGAGAAACGGGCGATGCACGCGCCGGCGGGCCGCGGCGTCGGCCCCGCTATCAGTATCGCGCTCGAGGATACCTTTGTGTGGGGATACTTCATGGAGCACCCGAAGTTCGGCCCCTGGCCCTTCGCGGCGGGTTTTGGGAAGGTCCTGACCGCGGATCTAGCACACGCTCTGGCCGCGATGAACGCGACCGTGCCGCTCGAGCTCGGGCCGCCTTGTAAAAGCGTGCGCGACGACGGCACGAACATCACGTGCGAGCGCGCCTGCGACGACGCGGACCCCCGCGTCCAGGGCGTGTGCCTGAAGCGCGTCTGGATCTACGAAGACAATTTGCTCGGGATGTTGCTGACGCCGTTCCGCTACCAGCTCGTGCACGACAAGCGCTTCCACGTCGTGCCCGGGCCGCCCTCGGAACGATACGACGGCGCGCCGGGCATCCCGCCGTCTCAGACATCTTTACTCGTGGACCGGCACGACTTCAAGCACGCGATGGGCGTGGTGGATTTTTTGGAGGCGATGCACGCCGCGGCGCTGACCGGGAACTACGACCGCTTCCTCCTCTCGCCGGAAGGCGTCTGCGGGTTGGAGCGCCTCGTGTGCTTCAACAATTCCAGGGATGAGGTGGAGCGCGTCGCCTACGAGTTCACGATCGACGATCGGACGCTCGCGGTCGTTTTTGACGACTGTAAACAGGCGGAGGGCTTCGGCGACGTCTGCGTCGTCAACGGGTCGGACCCCGAGGGCCGCGTCTCGCTCCACGAATCGAACAAGAATATAATGCACCAATTCGCGCTCGACGACTGCCGCACGATCGCGGCCGACGTCGCGGCCGTCGGGCGCGCGGCGCTGCCGGGGAGCTGTGGGGGGTAACTTGTCTTTGTTGTTATCATATGATAGAGATCACACACATTAACCACTACGGCAGACGGCCCGCTTCACGCGGCGCACGGCGTCGTGGCGAGCCGACGGCGCGAGGCGCCGGTACGCGCCCGGCGCCGCGGGGGCGTCTCCAATAACTCGCGGCGGCCCCGCCGGTAAGAGCGCGCCGAGGTCGCGCGCGAGGGGCGCCTGCTGTGTCGCCGCGAGGCGCCGGTCGAAAATGTCCGCGACCGCGCCGCGATCGTACGGCTTCGGGTCGACCAGTCGGACGGTGTCCCTTATCAAACTCTCCTTGACGCGCTTGTCCAGGGGCGTGTCGCGCGCCATGGACGGCGACGCGTTAACTTCCAAAAGCCAGGGCCGCGCGTCCTCGTCGAGCAGCACGTCGTAGCCAAACAGTTCGAAGGCGCAGGCCTGGTGCGGGATCCGGTCCTCGGCGCAGACCAGCGACTTGAGAATGAGCCCATCGATATCCTCCCTGATTTTAACGACGTCGCGGTCCTTCGCGAGTTGCTTCCACAGATATTGTAAGGTACATTTCGTGCCGGCCGCCTCGTCCTCCGCCGCGCCGACGAGGGGTCCATACAATTCATGCGTCGTCGCGTTGTGGCGCTGGATCGAGGCGTTCGTCAGGTGCACGAACTTGTCCGAGACGTCATCGCTACTGAAGGGCCGCGTCGCGACCCGCGCAAACCCCTCGTCATACAACCACGCCTCGAGCGGGTTGAACGATGTGACCAAAACATACAGTCGCAGATCGAACTTGTGGCCCCCGAGGCACATGGGCTTTGGAATGTACGACTGCGCCACGACCAACTGATCATAGGTGATATCTTCCAGCGAATCCACGACCGTGATCCCGCGCCCCCGCGACGACGACGCGGGCTTCAGGATCCACAGGTTCCGTTCACCCATCTTCCTCCGGAACGCCTGCACGAGCTTCGCGTAGTCCTGGGGCAGCAGGAACGTCTCCGGGGTGATATCAAAATACCCGTCGTACTTGCCTCTCTCACACAACCCCTGGAAGCGCTGGATGGCTCGAGCCAACAGGTCCTTGCGCGTCAGGTGCCGCGCGTGCGGGTAGTGGTTCACGCGCTGCCACGACAGAAGCCGGTCGTAGTCGACGCGCGGCCGCGACCACGTCCACAACAAGTTCCACGTCGTCTTCAATCCTAGGTCTGCGGGGAGCTCGACCCAATTATGCATATCTGAGAGTACAGTGGTCACGATGTCGAACACCTCCGGCCGCGAGCTGTTGACTCGGAAATGGAGAGTAGACGGGCTCCCTTGATAAACTTCGCTCGACCCGTCTCTATCTGACATGAAGACCTCGCCGTAGTCGTCCATGACCTCCCTATAATTCGTATATAACTTCCACTGGCGGTTCATGTGGAGCCGGACGTCCGTCGGGTTCGGCCTCGTTCGCGTCTGGCCCCGGAGGACGGCCCACTTGGAGAAGAGCGAGGCGAGGTCCGGGTGGGCCCTGAGGCACAATTCGCCTTTCGCTTCGAGGTCGCCGGCCGGCGGCGGCGGCGGGCGCGGTGGCTCGTCTTTTAGTGTTGGTGGCTCCAGTTCCGGTGGCTCCTCGCGCGCCGGCGGCGTCGGCTCATCTCGCGCCGGCAACGGCGCTTCCACCGGCGACCTCGCCTTCCCGCCCCGCAGGCGCCCCACGAAGCCGTCGGCGTCCGCGACGGTGTCGGCCGCGACCGCCGCGGCGACCGCCGCGGCGTCCGCCGCGGAGAGGGAGATGGCGGCGCGTCGTTGCGTAGGGCGCGGCGGCTCCTCGCGGGGCGTCGGCACGAGCATGTCGGCGTCCGAGTCCGACTCCGACCGCGGCCCGGGCGCGGCCGTCGCCGTGCGCCCGGCCGACGGCGGCCGCGGCGACGACGACGCGGTCGATGCGTCGTCGCGGGAATCCTGCGGCACCGGCGCCGCGGCCGCACCGCCGGAGCTCGCGTCGTCGTCGGACGACGAGGCGGCGTCGGCGCCGGCGCGCGGCTCGGCGGCCGGCGGGCGGCTCGCGTCGCGACCGGCCCCCGCGTCGGCCTCCGCAGCTTGCGTCGCGCACTCGACGACCGGCTCGGCCGGCGCGCCATCCGACGTCGGCACGCGCTTGCGCGTGTCCGCCGCGCCGCGCGGCGCGGGCCCCTCGGCCGCCAGCGCGTCGGGCCGGACCGTGTCTGTGTCGGCCGCGGTAGGCTCCGCGGGCGCCGCGGCACCGGCCCCCTGCCACCGCCGCTGCGCTTGCCGCGCCGGCGCGTCGTCGTCGCTCGCGGCGGCGGCGGCGCGGTGGCCGTCGGTCCGGAGCCGCACGGCCACGCCGTCGTCGCGGGACCGCAGCTCGACGCGGAGCTCCGGCGTCGGCAGCGCCGCCGCGAGCTGGCGCGGCGACGCCGGCGCCTCGCGCTGCCGTTCCGGCGGCGAGTCCGGCGCCTCGGGCCGACGCGGCGACGGTGCCGCGCCGTCGTCCTCGTCCGGCGCCGGTCGCCGCGGCGACTCCACCCTCCGCCGCGGCGACGGCACCGCGCCCGCCGCCGTGCGTCGCGCGAATCGCATCGCGAAGGTCGGCGGCGCCGCGGCCGGCGCGGCGGCCGGCGCGGCGGCGGCCGGCGGCTCGGGCCCCGCTTCCGGCGGCGCGGCGGCGACCGGCGCCGGCGCAGGGGCCACCTCGGCCACGACCAGGCCCGTCGCCGCGTCGACGACGAGCCGCCGCGGGCCCCGCGGGGGCGACGCGGCGGCGGGCGCCGCCGCCGCCGGCTCGTCGTCGTCGTCCGAGTCGCCGCCCGACACGGACTCGGACTCGGACGACGCCGCGGGCTTCTTCGGCCGCCGCCTCCGCAGCTTCCGTTGCGCGTCGCGCCGCGCGCGCGCCTGCTCGAGGCGCGCCGCGGCCGCCGCGCGGCGCTCCTTGCGCCGCCGCTCGCGCGCGGCCTCCTCCGACTCGACGACCGGCTTCTTGCGCGCGCGGTGCCGCGCGAAGATGCCGCCCGCGCCGCCCGCGACGACCGCCGTGGCGCCCCAGTGGGCGTACTCGGCGGCGTTCGGCGTCGCGTCCGCGGTCGCGCGCCGCGACGACACGCGCGCGCGCGCGCCGGGTCGCTGCTGGGGTTTGTTCATTCGGCGCCTCGTGGGCGACGCGGTGCCAGTGGTCGCGCTCGCGAACATTTCTGGTTCTGCCGCCTCGTCGCCGTCGCTGGCTTCGCTCGCGGGCGCCGCTGGGTTCGGCGCCGCGCCGTCGCTGGTCTCGCCGCGCCGGCCCTCGGTCCCGCGCTCTTCTCGGTGGGCCTCGTCCGCCGCGGCCTCGGGAGCGGGCGACGCCGCGCGTGGCCGCCGCTGCGATGGCAGCGGCAGCGGGCCGGCGAAGGCCGCCTTTTCGGCCGGCGCGACCGCCGCGGGTTCCGGAGCAGGCGTCGGCTCGGGCTCCTCGCCGGCGAGGCGCGCCAGCACGCGGCGCGTCGCGAGCTCCTGCTGGACGAGGCCCTGCTGCTTCTTGAGGTAGGTCTGGAGAGTTGTAGTGAGGCTCCCACTCGCGAGGAGCCGCGCGCCCGCGCGCTCGAGCTGTGCGAGTGCTGCCGTGTCGCGGCCTCCGATGGAGTCGAGCTGGACGAGGACCTCGGCGGTCTCGGCCGTCTCGGCGCGCTGCGCCTGGATTTCTCGGGCAGCGCGCATCTTCTCCAAGCCAGGCTGCCCTCCTGCTGCCTTGGCTTAGTAGAGTTCAGGCTGCCTCAAACTCTTCTCGCACCGGTCCCCACGATTCGTTCTGGTCTCCATGAGTTCGTGTCGACGTATTGTGACCAAGCCACTGCTTTTTGTTTGTGCTGCCGGTATTTTTACGAGGCAAAACCGAAGGCAGCCGACCGGTCGTGCGGGCACCACATCTGCGCAATTTGCGGGCATTTCAGTCCTATGCGGGGAGGCCTATGGAACACTGACTGCTAGTGAACCCTTATAGGCACGCATGGAAAACCAGTGCTTTGGCCGAGTCGCGTCGCGCGCGGCTCCGCGGCATCGCGTGGTGGCATTACGACGCATCATCCACTAGTACACAATACCTCGAACGGCAGCAGATATCCCCAAAGAACACTGCATGGCGGAGGAGCACCCGCTCGAGTCCGTCATGACGTTTGTTTTTGACAGGGACGGGGCGCCATTGGCGAAGCGCTCCTCGCCGGACGGCGTTAGCGTATTGTGTATACTAGTGCTACGTAGGGATCAAATAGTTACTCAAGGAATGAAATCTAGGGCTAGGTTGACCTCGTTGTGGCAAAAGACTACCAAGCTCAAATCATCCTTGCCAAGATGATGAAGGACCACCGGCCACGTCTTGCTCTTCGATTCCTCGCCGCTGGAGCCGCCGCCAACCTTGGTGCCGCCAATTCCGAGAATGGGGCACCGGCAGTGCAGAACACGAATCAGCTTTTGATTCTTTGGTTGGCCCGACCCCTTCGGCGGTATGTGCGTGTATACTTGGATAACACAAGAAGGATGAATAAAGTCGGGCCGGGACGTGGACACGAACTGGTAGATGCCCTCGTCGCGCGTGCCGACCCCAGCGAGCCGCCGGTGAGCGGAATCGGCCCTCTTCAAATATACAAAGTTGGGCTGGCCGGGCATGAGCGAAGTGAGGAGTAGTTTTGAGGGATGTCCCTTTGACGTGCCGCGCTGGCACTCCACACAATCGACGTCTCCAGCTCGAATACTATCTTCGTGCCCCTTGAGTTCGGATATATTATCGAGTATAACATGAGGCTTGTGGGCTTTGTAGGAGGCTTCAATGTTCTTGTCTGGTAACCCATGTACAGGCCTCGGGTTAACGATCTTCTCGATGAGTTTGTTGATGGCGTTCGGGACAAAACACAAACCAGAAAGGTAGCTACGAGTCGCCACATGATGTAAGTCAACAAAACATTGCCAGCCCTTACACTTGCGACCTTTGTTATGTTTGGTGTAATTTTTACTACAGCCGACCTTGCCATTGACGTAAGATATCGTGTAAGCGACGCAAAGCAAGCCTGATGCTGTCAGCATGAAGACAGTATCCTTGTAGATCATGCTGGGGCACTGGTCCTGTTTGAACATGAAACATTTGGTGCCTCTAGCGGCCTGGGCCAGTTTCCTCCCCGCTGCCGTCGCAGGTTTGAGCATAATGGAGTGGAGTGACCCGCTTATTCCTTCTCTTGTGTTTTTTGGTGACAGTGCCTTCCATATGGGCTTGGCTGATGCATCAGTGCCCTCGCGGGCAATAACAACACCAACCGCGTTGCGCAGGCCGCGGTTGTCTGAAAGGGTGGCGGCGGTCACAGCGGCGAGCATGCTAAGAGCTAGGAGGCGCGAGGGTTTGCGTTTCGGCGGAGGGACCGTATTCGTGCGCACTATGTTGCTCATGACGTCGGCGGCGTCGAAGGCCCCCTCGTCGTCTGCCATGTTATAAACAACCTGCGCGTGGGGCGACAGTGAGCGCGTGGGCGACGGCGTGCGGTTTATTTTCGACGCAGGTCTCGCGCTTGGTCGGCTGGTCGGCGAGCTGGCCGGCAAAAGCAAAACCGCCTATTATCCTCGAGCTCTCTCTGTCAACTAGTATTGGCCCAGATGTCAAGGAGCTGCAGGCCTCGCTGTACGGCGTGAGGGCCTGCGCGGCGTGGCGCCAAGCGAAGTCCGCAGCCCGGGGCACTGTGACAGCGTACCGTGCGTGTATCAGAAGTTTACCGCGTCAAAAATAATGCGCCGCAAGGCAAAGGTTGGCCGAGGCAAGCTGGCTAGAGCCTTACAGCCGCTAGCGCCACCAGCAGCACAGGGGTTCAGTACGTTGTAGACCGCTGAGGCACTGGTACATAGCGTAGCGATACGCCTTGCATCGATACGGGCCGCGCTCGCGCGTCAACGACACGCCTGCGCCGGATGCACCCCATAAGTGCAGCGGCGATGATTCTGTGCCTGCGAGGCGCGCGCGCACTCCGAGCGGGCGTGCGACCGGCGCTGCAGCGCGCGCCGCGCCGCCGCGTCGCCCTCACGGCAACGCAAGACTGGGAGAAGCTCGGCATCGGCGATAAACTAGTCGAGGCCGTCGGCGCGATGGGCCTGAGCGCGCCGACGGACGCGCAGCGCGACGCCATCCCCGGCGTGCTGAACGGCGAGGACTTGTTGTTTGCGGCGGAGACGGGCTCCGGCAAGACCCTGGCGTATCTCTTACCAACAATCGCCCGGCTCAAGGCCGAGGAATTTAATGTAGACAAGCTCGACGAATTAAGGCGGCCGAACCGGCCCCGCGCTTTAGTGCTGGTGCCCACGAGAGAACTCGCGGCGCAAGTGCAAGCCGTCGCCAAGGAGCTGAGCCACCACGCGAAACTTTCAGTCAGAGGCGCCTTCGGCGGTTCTGATGGAGTCGGCAAGCAGCGAAATACGCTCAAAAAAGGCGGCGCCTACGACTTATTAATAGCGACGCCGGGCCGCTTCGAGAAGCTCTGGGATTTAGGTGATGTCCACCTGTCGAAGTGTTCGGTGGTCGTCGTCGACGAGGTCGACACGATGCTGAGCCAGGGTTTTGGGGCCGAGCTCGAGAAAGTTTTAAAAGCTACGACGGAGCGCGAGAAGCCGGCGACGGTGGTCACGACGACGGCGACGCTGACGAAAGCTGTAAGGAGGGCCTTCGGCGATCTTAGTGAGAGGGACGAGCGGTGGCGGTTCCTGCCGGAGCTGCGGACCGTCGAGACGCGCGGCTTGCATAAAGCGACCGATAGGTGCCGCTTGGAGCTAGTAGATGTGGTGGGGAAGGACAAGCTCGAGGAGCTATTAGTTGTACTAAAAAGGGCGCCGGAGAAGTGTCTGATCTTCTGCAACACCGTGAATTCCTGTCGGGCGGCGGAGCACTTCCTTTCCGAGAGGAATGCGTGCGAGACGTTCTCGTACCACGGCGAGTTGAATTCGCGAGAGAGGGAGGCGTCGCTCAAGGCGTTCCGGGACGATGACAGAGATGGTGCCCTGGTCTGTACCGATTTAGCAGCACGAGGCCTAGATATCCCGGACGTCGACCACGTCGTCATGTTCGACTTCCCGCGGAACCCCGTGGACTACTTACATCGAGCGGGCCGGACCGCGCGCGCGGGAAAGTCGGGCAAGGTGACGGCGCTCGTCGCCAAGGCCGATCGCGTCCTGGCGAGCGCCATCCAGAGGGCGGTGCTGAACGGCGAGCCCGTCGATGCCTTGAGCGCGGACAAGAAGGCGTACCTGAAGGGCGGTGCTTTACATGTCCCCTCGAAGTCGGCCAAGGGCCGGGCGAGGAGGGATTTGAGCCGCGCGCGGAAGCCGAAGCCGAAGACGCGGCGGTCGAGGTAAGGGTTGTAGTATATTTGCCTTCCGCTCGGCGGCGTGAGCACGCGTCGATGGCGTCCGAGGCGGTCGCGTCGCGTCCACCCGTACGCCATCGCCGCGACTCACAACACAAATCCGCGAGAGATGCCCCGGCGAGTGTGCACCTACTACAAGTAGCATAAGCACCCCCCCACCTAGACTCGGACGCCATCGCCGCGACTCCAAGAAAACACCTTACCCGAGCCCCTTGAGCTTGTTCCACGTGTTCGCGCCGAACCGCAGGTCGCGCCGCCGCGGCTGCGTCGTGCGCGTGACGCGGTCGTAGTGCGCGAAGGTCCTCCTATGGGTATCGTGCGAGAACCGCTCGTGGCCGTACGCGTCGTGGTTGCTGCCTTTCAGGTAGAAGGCCTCGCGGAACATCTCGCCGTAGGGCGGGATCGTGCGGCGCATGTCGTGGGGCGGCGTCGGCCGCCTTGGTTCGGGCTGCTCCTCCTTTTTGATGCCGCACTTTCTGGGAGGGATGTGCATGATCGACCGCATGTCCGGCGACACGCACTGGTCCTGCGCCGGCACGCGCTTGATCCTGAAGGGAGGCTTGGTCCTCCCCACAGGCCCCGGGTAGGCCCTCGATCCTGCATTGTTCCGCCGGTTCTGCAGACGTTGTTCATGACTCTCCCTAGCCTCTTCTGCAGTATGCTTTGATGGTGCTCCATAAACATGCAGACTCCTAAACTTGACGAAGCTCCCAAACCCATCATCCGCGACGCGGACCTGGCCGTCGCCATCTCTTCTTTCGCCCTCGTAGACCGCTTTCGCGTGCCTGTACTCGGCATTTCTTAGTTCCTGGTCCACGTCGTCCTCCCGGCTCCGATGATAATAAAGCTCCTCGTCCTTCAAGTCGTCGAAGGTACCAAACGGAGGGGGGCGCGCCGGCGGGTTGGCGGGGACGGGCTCGTGGAGGAGGTCGGCCTTGGTGGGCTTGGGGGGCATGCTTTGCCTTTGGGCTGCCCCGACGGCGTAACTGCGGTGGTGTGTGTGTTACCGTTTCGTGCTCCGCTGCTGCGGTGCTCCTCCGCTGCCTCGGGCGCGCGTCTCTCTCGCAGCGCAGCCTGGCGCTCTGCAGCCGGAGCCGAGCTCCGGAGGGGCCTTGTCTGAGGTTCTATCGCGACCCGGGATGGGTGGTGGGGTTTTTGGGATGCATGGATGGGTGGTTTTTTTGGCTGACTGAATTTAATACGTCAATTTGGACGACGGCGTACGACTGAAAGTGCAGCGATACAAGGCTCTGAGCCGCGCGCCAGACGCCAAACGCTGCTCGTAGGTCCGACGCATCCCTACCGTGGCTGCTGCAACGTTTGACGGCCGCGCCGCGCGCCCGCGTGACGCCGCACCGCAAGTTGACCGCCAAGGCCATTTTTGGCTGTGCAGGCCGCGCGCCCGGGGTTTGGACCGCCGCGCGGCCGCGACGGAACCGACTGTGACCTGGCCCCGGCCCTCCCGGGCCCGGACCCCGTGACCCCGCTCCACCATGCCCGGCTCGCCCTCGAGTTACGGCGCGCGCGTCGCCAAGTTCTTTAGAGGAGGCGGCGCGTCTCCAAGACGGGGCGACCCGGACCGCCGGTCGAAGAAGGGCGGCCGCTGGGACGCGTCGCGCTCGCCGCCGCTCGACGACACCGTCTACCGCGGCCGGTCCCGCGGCTCGTCGCCCGAGTCCTGCGATTCGATCTCCTTAGACTCGTCGACGCGGTCCGAGGTCGCCTACAAGGCGCCTTCGCGCGTCCGCTTCGACCAGTCGAAGAACACGGTCCACGAGGCGGCGGCGATCGAGGACCCCGCGCTCCTATGGTGGACGGCCGACGAGCGGCGCGACCAGCTCGCGCGGACGGAGTGGGTCGTGGCCCTCGAGACGAAGCGACGGTTGCTCGACGAGCCGCGGGACCCGATCCCCGGGGAATCGAGGCGAGGTCTGGGCATCGCCTGCGAGCCGTCGACGCCGTCGATCCGCGCCGAGAAGATCGCTCAACATAGAAGGGGCGTTTTGGCCGCCGCCGCGGTCGCCGACGGCGACGACGTCGCGCACCTCGCCCAGTCGCTCTCGGCGGAGGCCGTCGCCGTCGCGCGGCAGATGGGCGACGCCGACCACCGGGCCGTGATGACCGAGGTCGCGACGCCGGACATGCCGTTAGAGTGTTTACAGAGACGCGACTCGCTCGCGCGGCTCGACTTGTTCGGCGACTCGATCAAGCTCGCCAAGGGCGCCAAGGGCGGCCTCGCGTCGGCACTTGACGCGGACCCGTACGAGATGGCGTCGGAGCTCGCGCGGTCCGACGTGAGTGTCGGTTCTTATGAATCTACTAGATCGTGGAAGGAGACGGACGCCATGGACAGCACGAACTACGGCTCGTCGCCCGAGTCCTTTTAGTTGGAGCCGCCGCGGGACTCGTGGTTTCGAGTCTAACCCCGCGGCGCCCTTTGCACATATACCCCCGACGGCCCCACCGTCCCAGAAGAATCCAATGTATAAATTCCTTATGTATTCTAAAAAATAGAAGGGGAAGACTAGGGGGCCTGTCGCGTCGATGGCGTGGAGGTGGACGTCCGAACCCGCTCCACACTGGCACCGTCGTCGAGGCGACGTGGTCTCATGAAGACGCCATCCCACAAGTCCACGAGCCCATAGTAGTTAAAGTTATACAAAAAACGCTAGTCCATCCACTTGAACGGCGGCGGCCGCTCGGCGATGTTCGAGATCGACGGCAGGTCCTCCAACTCGTGGAACCGCGCGTCGCAGTGGGCCTCGAAGGCCGTCACGAAGACGAGGCCCGGCGGCACGGGCTCGTCGTCGCCGAAGCCGCCCGAGACTGGTGGTGTGTTCACTATTTTTGTGATTTTCTCGTCCCTGTCGGAGTCGTCCTCGTAGGACGAGCTATCGCTCAAATCGCCCTTCGGGCAGACCAGCGGCCGCTTCTTCTTCGGTTTTGTGGTGTCCTTGACGTCTGAAGATGTTATTCTAGCGCGCGTCTCGGGCTCCTCCGCGTCGCCACATAGAACCGCGTCGACGCGCCTCTGCACGAACTTCCGCGCCCACTCGAGTTCGACACCCTCACAGCCCTTGCCGCGGAAGGGCGGCGCGTGCATGACCACGAAGTTCGCATGTTGCCCTACTTTTCCGACCTCGAGCTCCTCGTCCAGAAAACGCTGTTGCTTCGCGCGTCGAGGGTCGTCGGCGAAAGCTTCATTGGTCATCAATGCCGCGTTTAGAATAACGAATCTGGCCCCCTTGCGCCACAGACAATAAAAGGACGCGCCGAACTGCGCCTCCCACGCGTCCAGGGCTGCCGGTGTCGGCGCGTCACTCAGAGAACAGACGTAGGCCACGGGGATCGCCTCCGAGATGCGCGCCATGGCCTTGCGGAAGAGTACCAAGTTTTCTGACGACGTCGCGAAGGTCCCCACCACAAAGACCAATGGCGGCCGTAATCTGTTAATGGCCCGCGTCGCTCGGGATAACTGTGCCAATTCCTGGTCCTTGTCCGTGTAGCCGATCCGAGGACCCCCCATGAGACAGAAGGCCGCCGGCTGCTCGTACTGGCCTTCTGTCGAAAAGTCGCATCCTAAGTACGACAACGTATCAACGTCACTCCGCAAAGCCCGCGCGTCCACGGGACTGTCGAAAAATAACTTGTGGACGTGGGGCTTTTGTAAGGCGCCCAACCTCTCCACATAACGCTTCAGCGTGGCTCGCTCCAACGGTGACAGGTTCTTGGCTGAAGGCGCGAGTCTCTTCTCTGGAATAGCGTCGGCCTTGCGCATCGCCAAAGCGTCACCGAGCGCTCGCAGTGCAAGTTCCTTCAACGTAGCTATTCTCGACGCCGGCCGGTCGCACCTTCTTTCACAATTTGAATACTCGTCGCGCAGGAACTCCGTGTCTCTCAACAACGATAGGTCGCCCCGCGACCCGGCGCCTAATCTCTGAGCAGGCTCCTTCCTCAACAACGCATCCACGAATCCCAAAGCGGGCGACAGCCGCAAACAAGCCGGGAAGCGGTCGGCCGCGTTGCCCCGTCGTATTTTCAAAAATGAAAAGTAAGGTGATTGAGCTCGGAACGGACTATGACCGGTCAAGAACACATGCGCGACGACCCCAATGCTCCACAGGTCGCTCTCAATCCCCGCATTCAGGGAATCGACGGCCTCGGGCGACATGTATTCTGGAGTCCCCACAAATTCGGGCCCGTTCAACCTAGAATCTTCGAGGTCCTTCGAGGTCCCGAAGTCGATGAGCTTGACGTGGCCGCGCGCGTCGAGCATCATATTTTCCGGTTTTAGATCTCTATGTACTAAATTGTGCGCGTGGCAGTGCTCGACGGCATCTATTAACTCGGCGACCCAGCACCGCGCTAACGAGTAGGGGGCTGGTATGCCGGCCTTCGACCCGTCCGCGTTCAAAGTGCGCGACCACATCTCGCCGCCGGGACATAATTCTAGTAAGAAGTATAGCGTCGCGTAGTCCTGGAAGGTCGCGTGGAGCAGGATGATGTTCGGGTGCGGGTCGTCACTCAGTCGCTTGAGGGCGGCCTGCGCGGGGGGTCTCGTGATGACGCCATCGCCGCGAGGCGCTGTTCGAACGGCCTCAAAATCAAAAATAAAAACAGCCCCGACCCGCTCTCCCGGAGACGAGTCGCGTCGACGGCGTAAAACCGCCGCGAGGACGCCGCGTGCGCACCTTCTCCATCTTCACTTCATTATGCACGTTGGGATGCCTCCTTTTTATTTTATCGACCTGGGCCTTCTCGACGAGCTTGAGGGCGAATCGTTGGGCGTCGCTCTTCCGCGCGACCTCGTAGACGGAGGAGTAGTTGCCCGTGCCGAGTTCGCCCAAAAACTCGAAATGTTTCGCCGTCGGCGCGCCGCGCGCCTCGTCCCGCTTCTGTTCTACGAGATCTCGCAATTTTTCGAGCGCTTCTCGTTCCTTTTCCCGTCGGTAATCATCATTCGGTGGCAGGTTCTGAAAGGCTTCGTCTAGACATCTATCCGCAGCATCGTACTGCTTGTCATCACAAAGAGCTCTGGCTTTGCGGTAGTAGGCCTTGGCGTAGGTCTTATCTAACTGTAAAGCTTCATTGGCGTCATCAATGGCTTTTTGTAGGCGGCCTATGCGCATCTGCGCGGCCGCTCGATTCGCGTAGAGCACCGCGGACGGTTGGATCCCAATGGCTTTCGTGTACAACGACAAGGCCTCCTGCGGGCGGTCCTCGTGCAGCGAGCGGTTCGCGTCGTCTTTCAATTGGTCGGCGCGCTTCGCGGCGTCGAGGGCCGCCATCGCGTTTCTTGTAAATGAGTACGGTGCTTGGGGTGCTGGCCAAACGAACCGCCTGCAGCGAGAATATGCCCAGCGAAAAGCTACGTGCGGCGTAGATTCAAAAGGGGCACGCGTGCGCCGCGTATGAGTCCAGCGAGTGTCGAGCTGCGCCTTGTGGCTCTTTGGCCGTGCGCCGTGCTTTCGGCAGCGGTTTGTTAGCTTATGTGGCTGTGGGGCGAGTCGTGCGGCTGTGGACGGCAAGGATTCCCACCAGCGTGCGCAGATGGCGCGTACGAGTGACAAACTTCGGCGCCGAGACTAGCGTATCGACATACTAGTAATCTGGCTGCCCGGCCGGCTAGCGCTGCCGAATAGCTCTCATAGGCAGCGTTTACGCCGTCGACGCGATCCCATCGACCGGCGGCCATGCGAGCCCTGCGCGCCTGGCTGCCCCTCGCCCTCGCCGCACGCGTACGAGCCCGGAGCTACGCCATGGCGCTGGCAGGCTGCAGCAACCAAACCTATCACATGAGCGACTTAGCGACGATCGCGGGCAGCCAGCGCGGCGTCTGGGAGGAGCTGGGGAGCGTCGTGCCCTGGTGGAGCGTGCTGAGTAGTCCCGAGTTCGACGGCACCAACACCCTTAATGAAGATAAAATGCGGACCTTCTACGACACGGGCGAGGAGGCCGTCGCCAAGGCCTTGGCCCGGACGGCGGAAATAGCTCGTACCCACGGCGCGCGCGCGGTCTGGTCCGGCGGCGGCATTGGGAGTACAGCTATTGATTTTGGCTGCGGTGTCGGGAGGTTGGCGCGGGCCCTCGCAGGGCGCTTCGCGAGCGTCTATTGTGTGGACCACTCCACGGCCCATCTGGGGCTCGCCGCTCGATCTATACAAGGCCGGGAGGCCTCGCGGCTCCATTACGTGGCGACATCGCAAGCCGGTGCCGAAATAATAAATGAGGCCGCGGACTTCGTCTTGTCGCTGCTCTCGTTGCAGCACATGGTGCCCCAGCTGCAGGTCGCGGCTCTCGAGCATTTGTGCGACGCGCTGCGCGTGGGCGGGCTGGGGCGCGTCCAGCTGCTTACCGGGTATAGCGACTCCCCTTACGTGGAGCGGGACTGTGATTGGAGGTTAGCCGTGGAGGAGCGGGGCATGCAGCTCCACTTCCTGCCGCTGGACGAGGCGACGCGCCACCTGACGGAGCGGGGCTGCGCCGTGTTGGCGGAGGAGCCGTGCGACGACCACGTGTCCATCCCCGACCGCGCGTCGACGGCGCACTGCGTGACCTTCGCGAAGGGTAGTGTGGTAAGTTAGAAGACTTGTTAGAAACGAAAGCCCGGGAATCGGGGCGTAGAAATCAAATTTCGCGTCGTGGGCGGTCAGGCGGTGTCCTTCGCCGCCGAGACGACGGGCGGCTCGTCCGCGTCCGGCCCGCCCGCGTCGCACCGGCGCTGCGCGCCAACCGAGCCGAGGACTGCGGCGAGCGCGGCGAGCGCGAAGAAGAGGCATGCCACGGGGTAGGCCCAATCCCCGGTCCCCATCAACCAGAGGCCGAATATGGCCGTAAAAATGATGGCCACAACGGCGTTGGTGCAAGCGCACGTCTGCACGCGGCCGCGGTGGCGCCGCTGGCTCTTTGGGTCTGCGTCGCGCACGACAGCATCCGTGCGCGAAGTAACAGGACGACGTGCCGAGGAGGACGAGCGTGCCGACGATCAATAAATACTCTGTGCAGGGACCACTTGCCAGAAGGGGAAGCAGTTCCACACGGCCCGCGCCGGCCGCGGCGCGGCGGCGAGGAGGAGGGCCGTCGCGTAGCGGCCCATTAATCAGGAGCACTCGCCAGGCGTCGATCCGGTCCTCGCACGTGGATATCTGCAGCTTTATAACGTCGCGGTAGCCTGAAGGTAGGTTTTGCCCGACCAGCCTTGCCAAAGCTCTCAGGATGCGCAGAGCAAAAGTTTGAAAATCCGGTGGAGAGGTCTCTCCCACCAACGAGCGAGCGCTCGCGACGCGCAACGGCGGCTCCCGGGCGCGGAAATGCGGGGACACTAGTCGCTTGAGGCAGTGGCGTCACAGCTCCGGTGCTCTCGCACTGTTGGTGAGACGGCCCCCGCGCGCCACGCAGCCGGGACCACCAACGCCGCCGGCGCGGCAGAGCAACCCCACGCCCCGGGGCCGCGGGCCGCAGAACATTTTGAATCCGTTGGCTGCCCCACTGGCGCCAAACTCAAGCACCTCGCCCCATGGCCAGCACGAGCGACCGCAGCGCGTCGCCGCCGTCTCCTGTGCGCGTCTCCGCGGCGACGACGCCCCTGCCGGACCGCCCGCGCCGGCCTAGCGACGGCAGGGGCCGCGTTGACGAGTTGCCCGCGGAACAACGCGCGCGTCTGCGGGACCTGCTCTTCGTAGCGGGCGGCCTCGAGCCCGACGCCTTGAAACGTGTATCTACAAGTACGTCGTCCGACGACTCGGACGACGAGGTCTTTGTCAAGCCTCGAAAACGGCGACTCGAGAGGTGACGCCGCCGCTCGTCGCCCCCCTTGTCTGTACCGCTCGTCTAATAACCTTATCTTAATCTATCGGAGGCGGCGTAGAGCGCGCCCACGACCACAACACAGCGTAATAATGCCTCGGGCCGCGTCATAACCATGGAGACGACGTTGCCGAGCGACTGCAGCGCCGACACGAGGGCCAGCAGCGTCCAGGGGTTCGCGCGGAAGACCGATACCAGGCGCGTCAGCAAGGACCCGTCGCCCGCGAACATCGCCCGAAACAGCTCCGCCTCGTCGGAATAGGCCCCGTAATTGTAGGTCGTCTCCGACGACGCACCGTCCTCGCCGAAGCGTACGTTCCGCCCGTCCTGGAGCGCGGCGTAGGCCGCCGACACGCGCTTGAAGGCCTCCTCGGCGTGCGGTGCCCGGCACTTGTCGGGGTGGAGGCGCAGCGCGAGCCGCCGGTACGCCTTCTTGCAGGCGGCCGGCGACGCGCCTCTCTCTACACCGAGCGCTTCGTACGCGTCGGCGGCGGCGAGCGCTCGCTCAATGGCCGCGGCGACGTCTTGGGGCACGTCGGCCGCCGGCGCCGGCGCCGCGGCCGGCGCCGGCGCCCGCGGTGCCGCCGCCCGCTCGCGCAGCAAGACGCGCACGCGGTCCGCGAGCTCCTTCTTCTCCGTCGCGTGCGCGCAGGTCGCGTCGTTGCGCGCCGCCAGGAAGGCCCTCAGTTCGCGCACGGACCACTGCCCCGGGTCTTCCTGCGGCATACCGATCACCGGCAATCAATTACACGCGTCGGTGGCGTCGAGGCACCATCGATGATGCGTTCGGGCAGCACTCACCGCTGCCAATTCCTTTGGCTGTGTGATCTCAGCTCGTCTGGGAGGCTAGTAGGTCAATTGATTTTACCCACCGCTCCGCTCGATAGCTCCGAAAGAAGGTCCCTTCTAGGCATGACTACTTAAAAAACTAGACATAGACATACTAGCGCAGTCCAGCTCGAGCTCCTTCGCGCTATAAAATTAGAAGGCCTGGAGTGCGTGTGTGGCGCTGGTGCAAGCCGCAGCGCGCGCAGGAACACCAGTTTCAATACCGTGACCGCTGCGCCGTGCCGCGGCCCCAGCAAGGCGCTCCCTGGAAGTGACCCTTAGGACACCTGGCACAGCCATGGCGGACGCCGCGGCCGAGAAGCGCGCGGCGAACAAGTTCTCGCGCCAGAACGCCGCGCTAGGAGCGGAAACCACAAAATTCCTGCGCGAGGCCAAGGTCCTCGTCGTCGGCCTGCGCGGCGCCGGCATCGAGCGGCGCACGAATCAAATTTAGGCGCCTGCACACCCGCCTCACCGGTCGATTCGCACAGGCGTCGAGACGGCGAAGAACTGCTTGTTGCAGGGCGTCGGCCACTTATCACTCTATGACCCGAAGCCCTGCGCCGAAAGTGACAGAGGTGCCAATTTCTTTATCGGCGCGCCGGACGTCGGCCGGCCGAGGGACCAGGTCTGCGCGCCGCGCTTGCAGGAACTCAATCCTGATGCTGTCGTCCACGTCGCCGAGGCGTTGGACGAAGACTTGGTGGAGTCGTGTACTTGTGTCGTTTTCACAGATGGTGTCAATAGAGCGGAATTAGTAAGGTGGAACGAGTTCTGCCGGTCCCGCATGACGGACGTCGTGGACGAGCGCGGCGTTTCTATGACCGTAGCGGCACCGATCAGTTTTGTGTGGGCGGTCTGTGCCGGGTTATGTCTGTCGATTTTCGTGGACCATGGGGATCAGTTCGAGTGCCGCGACGCCGACGGTGAAAGGCCTGTGGTGAGATTGGTGGAGTCGATCTCATGTGAAAAACAAGGTTTGGTACGATACGCCGTGCCCGACGGCGTGCCCGCGACGTCGCCGCCGGTCGACTCGTTGTACGCCTTTTCTGATGTGCAGGGGTGCTGCGGGTCTGCTCTAGGAGGTAGTGGGTTGAACGACTGCGCCCCCTTCCCTTTTACTACCAACAGTGGAGACCCGGCGAACTCCTTTAGAATTGGGGACACTACTTCGTTGTCACCTTATGAGGGAGGTGGTCTCATCACGGAAACGAAACGACCGAAAACACTACGCTTTAGAAGCTTAGGTGAGCGGTTAGTAGCGCCCGGCACGCCTTTTGGGAGTGACGGAATACCGATGACCGATTACACGTTTTCGGGCAAGGAGGCGCAGGTCCACGCCGGTCTTGTTGGATTGATGGAGTTCGAAGCCAGTCAAAAGAGACTGCCCAACGCGAACGACGAGCAAGATGCCGAAGATGTTTTGTCTGCGGCAAAAACGTATGCGGCCGCGTGTCAAGTTTTGAACACGGCGACGGCCGACGGCGCGAAGGCGCTGGACGTCACGATTGATGAGTCTGTAGTGAGAGCCTACGCGAGGCACGCGTCCGTGGAGTTGCAGCCCGTGGCGACGTTCGCGGGCGGCGTCGTGGCCCAAGAGGTCGTCAAAAGGTCCGGAAAATACACGCCGATTGATGGCTTCGCGCACTTTGCGTTTCTCGAGACGATGCCCGATCCCCCTCCAGCCTTAGCTGATCGGGCGCCGCGCGGTGACAGGTATGACGACCTCGCGGCGGTGTTTGGGAGAAGCTTCGTCGAGAAGCTCGGTGATTTGACTTATTTTTTAGTTGGAAGCGGTGCTTTAGGCTGCGAGTTCGTGAAGAACTTTGCGCTGTGTGGCGTGTGTTGCGGTCCGGAAGGTTCGCTCACGATTGCCGATGCGGATCGCATCGAGCTATCGAACCTCACGCGACAGTTTCTGTTCCGAGAACACAACGTGGGCCAGTCGAAAGCGCTAGCGGCGGCGGCCATGGCGACGAATCCGGGAGGACGCACGCGCGCGCCGCCCATGAACGAACATTTGAAAGTGACGTGTCATGAAGCGTACGTCGGACCCGCGACCGAGGTAAGCCCGTTCACGGACGAGTTCTGGGAGGGTTTGGACGGCGTCTGCAACGCCTTGGACAACATGGAGGCGCGGTTCTACGTCGACAAGGCCTGCGTGACCTTCGAGAAGAGCCTGTTGGAGTCGGGCACGATGGGTACTTCGGGGAACGTGCGATCTCCGCGTTTTGAGGTGTTGCGGTGCCTTCACTTTGTTGGTGTGACTCGTGTGCATCTCACTTCCATGAGAGTGGTTTCTTTGTCGAATTTGAGTGAATTCGGACCGAACCGCAATGCTCCGCGCAGGTCGACCCCGTCGTGCCGCATAAAACAAAAACTTACAGAGAAGGAGGTAATGCGGCGGAGGGCCAGGGCGTGCCCATGTGCACTTTGCGGAACTTTCCCCATCTCATTGATCATTGCATCGAGTGGGCTCGCGATAAATTTGCCGAGTTGTTTGAAAAACCGCAACGGCGCGTCAAGAAGTTCTGTTCAGAGCCGCAGGCTACCTTGACCGATTTACAGCGGAGATTGGAGTCCAGCGATCCGGCGGATGTGGAAGGTGCGTCGGCCGAAGCGTTGTTGCTGTGGCAGGCGTTGGAGGTCGCCACTGCACCATTAGAACAAAGGCGACAGTTATGTGCTCAAAGATGTTATGATGCGTTCCACGGCTTTTTTCGGGATCAAATTTGCGATCTCATACGGGCCTATCCCAAAGATGCGAGAGTGATGAAAAATGGCCAGGACAAGGGCCCGTTCTGGTCCGGCCACAAGCGCTTCCCCACGGCGGCCACTTACGGCGACGACGCGGACCAGTGGCGCTTTCTGGTGAGCGCGACGCACATCCTGGCGCAGAGCATGGGCGCGCAGCCTCGTAAAACGGAGGGCGACGACGACTACGCTTCTTCCGAGAGGAATGAGGTCTTTGCCGCTTCCGTGGCCCAGACTTGTGTCATCCCGCCGTACATCCCGGGCACCGTCGACAAGGACATCGAGGGCGACACTTCTGATGTAGCGACGCCGGACAATTCGGTAGATGTGGCCCGATCAAAGGGTTTGGAAGCCTTGCAGCGCCTGTCTTCCGTAAATCTCACTTCGGTAGATGTGGAACCGGCCGACTTCGAGAAAGATGACGACTACAACTTCCACGTGCGTTTTCCGTGTCTTACGTGACGCGGTCGCCGCGCCGCCGTCGTCACGAGCCCACGAGTGATATCACACAGATCGACTTCGTCACGGCCTGCGCGAATTGTAGGGCCAGGAACTACGCCATCCCGCCGACCGACTTCGACAAAGCGAAACTCACGGCTGGTCGGATCATCCCCGCGATCGCGACCACCACGGCCGCCGTGACGGGTTTGGTATTGCTCGAAATGTTCAAGATCCTCCAGGACAAGCCCGCGACGGATTTAAGAACAAGACAGGTCGGCCTCGCGCTGAATTACTACCCGTCCTTCGACGCCGACAATTTGGTCACGTTCAAGACGAAGGACGTGCGCTCGCGGCGTCCTGTGGTGTCTTCACTTTGTCGCTGGGACTCGTATCATGTTGTGGGTGGTTTCTTTTGCGATTTTGAGTCCGCGCAGGTGAAGACGAAGCCCGACGCCGTGTCTCTGCCGGAGCAGGCCTTCGACGCGAAGGGCGACATCAAGCCCGAGTTCTACGAAGTTACGACGATTGTAGCTTATCCGGAAGGGCACTCGGTCTGGTCGAAAATTGAGCTTCCCGAGGGTGCTGCGGACTGGAAGGTCGCCGACCTGAAGGCCTGGTTGTCGGACGAGCACAAGCTTTCATTAACAGCCTGGAACCTGCCTTGCGGCGAGGTGACGGATTCGGATGGGGAGAAACGAGCTGTCAGTGCTAGAGTGTATCCCGCGCCGGTCGCGGTGGATCTGCGGAAGCTGCCTTCTCTAGAACTCTCAAAACCCCAGGCCATGATGGCCCTGCAGAAGCAGCGCGTGGGCGGGCTCATGATGAAGTACCTGAGCGAGTGGAGCAGATACAAGCAGCTCGGGTCCTTACCGGACAACATCCCGGAGCCCGAAAGAAGTACGGCGGAGATGACGCTCCGAGAGATCCTGGAGGTCAAGGGCAAGATGCAGCTCGGCCACAAGCGCCGCGTGATTTTAGATGGGCTGTCGTGCTCGGTCACGCGGGCCTCGCCCTCGGCGATGGACACGGACGAGCCGACCGAGGAGGAGTTCGACGTCGAGAAGCTCGCGCCGGTGCTGCTGAAGCTCTAGGCGTTTGCCCCTCCCGTGGACTAACTTTGATCTAGTCTTACTTTCGTGCCTCATGGCGTTGTCGTACCGCTCGCAAAGCCTGCTCAATCCTAACTGCGGTCGGGTGCGCGGCGCCGAGCACGCGCCGCGCGATCCGGTCCGTGTCCTCGAGCGTCGTCAAGGCTTCGCGGAGGTCGTCGAGCGTGGCGCCGTCGGCTTGGATCCGTTTACAAATCTGCTTGTGGCCGCGGCGCCAGTGGTCATACGCACAGTGCCTCTACCAAAACGCCGGCGCGTCCCGCAGCGACCTGACCGAGGCGATCGCACAGCTCGAGGACCTCGACAAACGAATGACCCGTACATACGGAGCCGCCCACCCGCAGACAGGTTACACCCGCCACTGCTTAGCGGAGGCACGAGTGAAGCTCGCCCTCACAGCATAAGTAGCGCTAAGCAAAACTAAACTACCCCAAACAAGGCCCAAACTTCGCCCCCTCCACGACGACGACGACGTACGACGCCGGCGCCAGCGTCAGCGGCCCGCCCGCGACGCGCCGCGGCACCAGCTCCGCGTCGACCGTATTCAGCAGAACACCGTTCAGCAGCACCCGATCGTCGAAGACGTCCAACGGCGCCGTCATGTGGTACTCGAGGCGCGATAAGGACGCGAACTCGTCGGGCAGCGCGACGCGCCGCGCGACGCGAGACGCCCCGTTCAACACAACCAGTGAAACGTCGCCGATTTGTGTCCGGTGGCAGTGCGCGTAGGCCCGACAATCGGCCACGGGCGCGGGCGCGTAGGCATCCTCGATTGATGGATCACGGATCTGGGCGCTTAAAACGCGGGGCCCCATGACCGCCGCCCACAGCTTTGTAGCAAAGTAATCAGGCCGCGGCACCAGGCGATCACCAAGACGCCTCGTCAACCCATAATGACCGCCAACTAATGCCTGCCTACAATGAACTTGGATGGACTTCTTGGCCGATTCCCCGAGCTCGTCCAGATACCAAAACGCCGACGCGAAGGAGGACGTCACATTTATCCCACCAGACCCATACATGCCGCCGGCCTCCGTGATCCACAGCGGCGTATCCCGGGAGGCCTTCGTGTAGGCGTTCACGAACGCATAAAAGCCCCGGCCCAGCGGCCAGGCGCTTCCCAGAATTTTATCGAATAATTTTTTCTTGAACGGTCTCCATAACTTACCAGCGCCGAGCCAGTACAAATGAAACGCTAACGCATCGACGTTCGCTTCTTTTTCGAAGTTTGAGTAGAAATCGTAGGCCCTCTCCAGAGGCAGCTGGCAGTCCGGGCCGACGACGTAGGGTCGTCCTTTGGAAGATATAGACGTCCTCGTCCCTTCAAATAAAGCGTCTATTTCCACCCGTAGTCGCCGGAAGTCGGCCGCCAACTCTGCCGGTGATAGGTGCGCGGCGATGCCGCCCTGGCCACACAGCTCGTTGCCCAATGAGACGGCGGCCAACGCGCCCCGTCCACGCTTCGCATGAAATGCGGCTCGTTGCAGCAACGACCGCGCGCCTCCACTAGTAGCGGACCATCTGCCGGTCCAGCACTTGTCGCAATTTTTAGAGTCGCACTTGGGGCACGCGCCTTCCTCTCGTACGCGACCGTGGAGGCCCGAGAGGCCAAAAACTAAGGGTGTTTTCGTATCGTAAGCGAGCGTTTCTATCGCATCGTACAGGTCTAAGGTGACGCACGCCCCTTCGAACGCCGCCCGGTCGCCGGCCGGTCGGAAACTTGATGGACAGGACATGTCGAACGGGCTCGCTCGATCTTCCGAATCATAAGCTACTAAATCCTGCAGCGTGCCGCCGACCCTTAACGCCACGGGGTGCAACGAAGCGAGAGCTCTCTTCAGCTCGGTCCGCACCTCCTGCAAGGCGACGACGCTCGACGCGTTCCAGGTGTGGTGGCTCCAATCTACTTTTTCATCGGGCCACCAGTCCAAAGACACACACACGTAGGGCGCGTCGGTCGTCGCCACGAGCTTGTTCTGTATTTTAAGCAAGACGTTCTCGCCCTTGACGCGCATGGGCCGCGGCCGCGGCGTCGCGTGGCGCGGGTGCGGCCGGTTGTGGTGGATGGTCTCGTGCGGATCCCTATGATCGAACTCGAGCTGCGTCGCCAGTAATGCCAGGCAGGTGATCAACGTGGCCACCACCGCTATGACCATACGGGGCGTCGCAACCGCTACACCATGCGGGCGGCCCATTTTGGGCAGTGCTGCCTGCTGTCCGGAGCGCTCTTGAATTGCCAAACTTTTCAGCCGCTGCAAGCTGCCATGTCACGCATGTATCGAAGCGTTAATCTGTGCGTCTGAATTGCAGCAGACTGAGATATGCAAGTTTTTTTTTTTTTTGCCTCGAAAAAACCCGCCGCGCACAGCCAAGCAAGCTTTTACGCGACGCGCGCGCGTAGCGAGGATCAGTGGTGCTCTGCGCAGCGTTCGAGGCCTTACTGATCCTTCCGCAGCCGTCGTCCAAGTTCTGCGAAGGCTAGAGCACGGCAAAGCTGAGCACCACCTCCAAGCCATCGACGCGATATCTCCATTGTCTGCTCGATAGCGTTGCGCAAAATAAGATGTCGACGGCCTCCGACGAGCCGCCGGCCCCGCCCCGCCTGCCGCGCGCCGTATCACAAGCGACCGCGCCGCCGCGCGCGTGGCCGGCGACGCACGTCGCGCGCTGCGCCTTGAAAAGGGGCGACCGGCGCGTCTACTTCGCGAGTGTCGAGGGCGAGATCTGGAGGTATGATGTGTTGAAGGACGCGTGTGACGCGTGCTGGACGTCCGGGCGTATCGTACTAGCGTTAGCACATCGCGGGGACGTGTGTCTGGCCCTGGAGCGCCACGCCACGGAGATCTATCTCGCGGCCTACGACTGCGCACGTTCAAGAATAGTGGGACGGCAAAGAAGAGTCGGGACCGGCAGCGACGGATCCTTAGATTGCACCGACAATTACACCTTAGTAAGTGTGGGACGCGACGTCGCTTTATACAAGAACAGCGAACCCTGCTGGCGCGTCCGCAATTTAGGAGATGTCCTGACGGTGGCCTTGTCGTCGCGCGGCGCCGCCGTCGCGTGCCGCGAGGGCGCTTGGCTTATCGAGCGTTCAAATCCTAAGAATGCGCGCGTCCTCGACTCGAGCACGGGCGACGCATCCATCGTCGCGACGGACGCAGTGATCGTGCTCGCGCGTCATCGGACGCTGACGTTGTTCTCGGGGGACGGTTCGAAGCGGCTCCACGTGTTCGAGCTCGGCGCGCCGCTAGCAACGGCTTCCGTGAAGCTGGCCTTCGGACGGGACGGCGCTCTACTTACATTAACGTGGAGGAGTCTGGAAGTCCGAAGAGACGGGGCCTTACAAACGAGCGAGACGGCGCCGCCGTCCACACCGCAGGAGCAGCAACATGTCTTGCTGCGCCGATTAGTTAAAAGAGTGACAATTGGTGTGCCCGACGAGTTCGGTTCCGCACTCCTACCTCCTGACGACGCGGGACACCACTGGCCCGACGCGACGCGTGTCGACGACTTCGACGAAATGGGCGACGACTTTAGCGACGAGGACCACGTCGACGACGTCACGTCCACGGAATCGGTCCTGGATGACGTGCGGCGGCAGCGCGTGAAGTGCCGGAGGGCCCAGACGGCAACGCAACAGGAGCCGCGGCTTAGATATAGATCCGTGCTCCAGGACGATTTTAGACCGGGCCGCGGCAACGCCCTGCAGGCCTGCGTCGCGTCGTTATTTGGCTTGGAGCTCCAGGACGTCCCGAACTTCGTCACTTTACCGGAAGGCTACGAGGCCTCGATCCGAGCCTTCTGCGACGTGCGGCGCGTCGCGTTCGAAAAGTTTTCCGTGATGGACATCCCCGAGGCTTATGACGGGCGCATGTGCATCTTGCGGGGCAAGTCGCCGCGGGGCGACTTCGGGCACGTCGTCGTGGCGCGCTTCGTGGGCAGCTGCGACACGTCTTTACATAAAATGCTCCTGACGGACGCCGGGGCGTTTCGGCTGGTCCACGACCCGCACCCGTCGTCGGAGTTCCTCGACGAGGGCGAGGCGTGCGCGTGGGCCATGTTCTTTTCGGAACAGAACTAATGGCCGCCGACGCCCGAAGCGGAGGCTTTTGCCGGTGGCGCTGAAAATTTATACCTAATGTACATATGTTGTCTATACTACTTGTCATCCACTGGCACGCCATCGACGCGAAATCCCCGTACTACTATAGACTAAGACGAACACGTTTTTTTAGGCAACTCGACTAGAGGCCGAGCTTCGTGCGGCGCCAGTGCCGCCGCTTCGAGTTCCAGCGGATCTTGTTGCCCGTGCGCATGCGGATCCACTGGGGGATGGGCCGGTTCTGGGCCATCTTCTTCGCGAGCGTCCGCTTCGTGCGGAAGGTCTTGTGGGACGGCTGCGGAGGGGCGCGGCGGGTGAGCGGTTTGCGCGGGGCGTGGCGTGCTCTCGGGAGTTTGGTGTGTGTTGCGAGCGCAGGCGGGCGTCTCGGTGGCGCTTTTTGGCGTCGGCCGGTCCACCGCTCCGCCGCTCCGCTCGTTCGCGGCACACACAAGCGTCAGGGATTTGCGCGATGACGCAGCAAGGTCGTGTGGCTCGCGGTGGGCCCCGGAACTGCTCGCGCGCGGGCTAAGGGCCGCGCCGCAGCCCTATGAGGCCATGGAGCTGAGGCCGGCCCGCGCTCGCTGACTGCGGCGTTTCGTTGCAAACCGGCTCGTGGCGCCATCGATAGTCCTTATAGGCGTCGCGCACGCGTGTCGGTTAGTTGTGTCGTAACGTACCATGGTGCCGTAAATTGGCCTCGCTGATCAGCAGGACCGCCAACTCTAGTGGCAGGAAGCTATTGCCGACAGCCGAAGCGCCGCTCGCCGTCATTGACGACGTCGTCTTGGACCGTCTCGCGCCTCCACAGCTTCCAAAGCGACGCCCAAAACCCGCGAGTTTTAAACAATCTACCAATCCAATCTATGGAGTAACAGCTACTACTGCCTATTAAACTTCGAGTACGAATGGTATTGAAAAACACCAGGTCTGTGATGTGCTCTCAGGGGGATCTTATCTTACCTGTACCTCAACCCAGGCGACGTCCCGCGCGTCGGCTTGAGTGTTGACTCAAGCTCTCGTGCGGACGTCCGCTCAGGTGTTGGTTCAGGCGTCGCGTTTGGCCCTTTTCGCCGCGCGTTCAGCGCGGGTCGCCCACTGGCCCGTCGACGCAGACGAGGCGCGGCCGCGTTTCTTCCCGTTCGCGACGCGGCCGTCTCCCGGAGGCTCGGCGAAGCCCTCGGCACGGAGCCGGTCGCCCAGCATCCGCTCGAGGTCCAGCGCGTCGACACGCGCCGCGATCGCGTCGCAGACGACGTCGTCCAGGACGCCGTCCCGCTCGCGCAGCTTCACGAGTTCGCGTCGAACCTCCGTCGACCGAATCTTCGACAGCTCGCGCGCCAGCGTCTGCGAGACGACCCAGCGCACGCGGCACTGCTCGATCGTCTCTCTGAGAACGACCCGAATCGTGGGACCGCCGCCGGCCGCGGGGCCGCCGCCGGCCGCCTGCCGCATCATCTCTTCTAACACGTCCGGCGGCGGCGGCACGGCGAGGCACACGGCGCGCGTCGGGTAGTTGAGCGCCTCGCGGCCGCGCGCCATCTGCGCGATGTCGGCTACGAGCGCCGCCACGTGCACATCGCTGTAGGTTGCTTCCAGCCTCGACCCGTCGCCGAGGTACACCCGCACCCGAAACGTATCGTAGCGACCCGCCACGCACGCGAACTCGGTCCCGTACCTCGCGAAGTTGCCGCCGCGGCCCGAGGCCTCGTGGGCCGCCCGTTTCTCGGCCCACCGGGCCTCCGTGGCCGCGCGGCGCCGCGCGATGCCCGCCCACCACGCGCTGTCCCGGTCCTCGACCTGTGTGGAAATCAAACTTCGGACGCCCCACGGAACCTAACTCACTGGTTGATTTCCACACATACCTCGACCATGCGCCGGAACACGCCGCCCGGCGCCCAGCCCTCCTCGAGCAGCTTCTCGAGCGCCTCCCGCATCGCCCCGTCCTCCAGCGACTTGCGGAAGACGCCGTCCGGGTCCGCCCAGAGCTTCTTCATAAACCGCGACCTGTGTGGAAATCAAATTTCAGGCGTCCCACGCCATCGACACGACGTCGTCCCACGCCATCGACACGACGTCGTCCCACGCCATCGACACGACGTAGTCCCACGCCATCGACGCGACGTCGCCCCGTGACTGCGTCTTCTCAATGGCGTGGAGGTTTACGATGGTCTCCACAATAATTCTCAGTATCACCGTCTGAATGGCCTCAAAATCGGAAAAGAAACCACCCACGACCTCCTCTCCTAGAGACGACGCGCGTCGATGGCGTGAAGGCGCCGCAGCACCGCGGGCAACTCCTGGTTGATGATTTCCACGCAGACCGCTACGTCTCCTCCCTCGCCTCGGCGATAACGTCGGCGTCGTTGGCGTACATGCGGCGCCAGTAATTGATCTCGCCGCCGGCGCCCAGCACCGTCATCCCCAGGTGCTTCGCGATGGCCGTGAGGCAGCGGTCCGAGGCCACGATGTGCTTCTCGAAGTCGAGGTGGCCCCAGCAACCCCGGTAAATCAAAGTCCCCGCCATGGGATGGATGTGGCGGCCGAGGTTGTTCACGGCGTCGCCGAACACCGCCTCCATCGCAGCGCACGCGTCCTCGCCCCACGTCGCCACGGCCGGCTTCTCGCCGTGGGCCAGCTCGTAGATCAAGAACGTCACGGCGATGGCTTCGAGGTGGACCTCCATGAGCGCGTCGGCCCGCTCGGCGCCGCCGCACGCCCGGCGGAACTCGGTCGAGGGCGTGATCGAGTTGTCGTTGTCGTCCTTCTTCCTCATCAAGATCGGGTAGATGTCCTGGACGAAGCCCCCATTCTTCTCCGCGTCGCCCTTCGCGATCTCGTCGTGCTTCTCCGTGCTCTTGATGAAGGAGTTCGGGCCGATGACCTTGCCCACGCACACGTTCGCCTTGTTGGTCTTGCCGTCCCGCAGGTGGTCGTCGGTGTCGGGGTCGAAGCACATGATGTGCGCGATCGCCTCGTTCAGCAGCTCCGCGAGGGAGTTGACGTCCGACTGCGACGGCTCCAGGCCGTATTTCTTGGCCAGATCGGCGACCTTCTCCCGTAGCTCCTGGAGGCGCTTCCATAACGCCTCGATGACCTCGGGCGGCGCGTGGACGCGGAAGGTCTCGCCGCCGGTCTCGAGCACGAAGGGCGGTTCCGTCGAAGCGTCGCCCTCGACGCCGTCGCCGTCCTTGCGGAAGACGCTGCTCAGGTCAAATTCTTCTAAGTTAATGCCGGCGCGCTTCAACGCCTCGAGCTTCTCGGCGCTGTCGCCGACGCGGCTCCACTGGGCGAGTTTGCGCTTCCATAGCTGCTCCCGCAGGCGCGCGCGGGCCTCGCCGCCCCGCAGGCCGGCGCCACTTTGATAGAGTTCGCTCTGCTGCGTCGTTTCAACCTGAGCGCGGCGGCGCTTGGCCGTGCGGTTGGCTCTACCCATTTTTGTGCTTCCTTTTGGCGCAGCGGCGGCGGGCGGCGGCGGAAAAGCAGGCAGTTGTTTTGGGCGTACGGCGGCGCGAGGACGCTTCCGTTCGCGGCGGCGTCTCTTGAGCAGCGAAGACAGCTGTCGGGAGCACTGCTGCGCGGCGTTATGTAGCGTGCGGCCGCGATTGCGTGCTGTATATGCAGGCAATTGCGAGGACGAACCGCCAGATCTAGCGGCGTAAGACACTAGCTCCAGCTCTCGTCGAGGCGCCCGCGCCAGCTTGTGGAGGCGTCCAGCGAGACCTCGAGAAGCCTCAAGGGTTCCCAAAACACCGCTCCTAAACCCGAACCATTTTTTGGGTAAGCAATCGCCATAGCCTTTTTTGTCGTCCGCGCTGCTCTTGTAGAGTACCGCCGGTCACCACAGCTGGTCAATAGAGGTCCCAGCCAGCCACCCGAGCCGCCGCCGCCGCCGCGCCGCGCCGCCCGGAGACGCAGATACAGAGTAGATCAGCGACATCACATAAAGTAGATCAGCGCGCCATAAACCATGCCGAAGACGTCGTTCCTCCGCAACTACTCCAAGACGTCGAAGACGCCCCGCCGCCCCTTCGAGAAGGAGCGCATCGACGGCGAGCTCAAGCTCGTCGGCGAGTACGGCCTGCGCAACAAGCGCGAGCTCTGGCGCACGCAGCTCGCGTTGGCCAAAATCCGCAAGTCGGCGCGCGCTCTCTTAACGTTGGAACCCAAGGACCCCAAGCGCATGTTCGAGGCGCCCGCTTTATTGAGGAGATTGCAGAGGTACGGCCTCGTCGAGGACTCCGAGATGGACCTCGACTCCGTCCTCCAGATGACGACGCAGCGGCTGCTCGAGCGCCGCCTGCAGACGAAGGTGTTCAAGCAGGGCCTCGCCAAGAGCATCCACCACGCGCGCGTGCTCATCAAGCAGCGCCACATTAGAGTGGGCAAGCAAGTTGTTAATGTCCCGTCGTTCATGGTCCGGTTGGACAGCGAGAAGCACGTCGACTTCGCGGCGACGTCGCCCTACGGCCAGGGCCGGCCGGGCCGCGTGGCCCGCAAGCGGGCCGCGGCCAAGGCCGCGGCCGGCGGCGGCGGCGACGGCGGCGAGGAGTCGGACTAGATACTTACGGGGCGTGTAAACTAGACTTATCTTCCTTGCTACTTCTTTTCTGCCTCCTCCGGCGTCATCGCATCCATCGCCTCGCCGAGGGAGAAGGGAGTTGTTAATTATGACGCCTCCGGCGGCGCCTCCCTCCGGACGCACCCGTCCGAGTCGTCCGGCGCGAAGACCAAACGTCCCTCATCCAATTCAACCTGGTACGGGGCGTAGAAACCTTGCGCGAAGCCATCCTCGGTGTACCAGAGCTTGATGACCGTGCCGGATTCCCAGTGATTCGGGCCCCCACAGCATATGACTCTATCACCCACTTTGAACCTGAGTGGGGTCTCGCGGGAGCGGAGTACTTCTCGCGCCTCTTGCAAATCGCGCTCAATCCCCGCTGTGATCGGGTGCGCGCCACCGAGCACGCGCCGCGCGGTCGGTTCTATCTCCTCGAGCATCGACACGGCCTCGCGAAGATCGTCAAGCGTTTTGGCAGGGTCCTCGCAGAGCGCCCGATTGCAAGCCATCCTCATCCTAAATTGGAGATCATCACTCTCAGCGAGAACGCGCCGCGCGACGGGTATCATCTTGCGTAGCAATGCCTTGGCTTCTGCGTAGCGATGTAGATTAGAGAGGGTAATCGCGCAGGACGTGGCTTCTCTGAGCGTCTCTTCATGTGCATCGCCCTTTAGCTTCAACCATCTAGAATATGTGTCTTGCCGCATCGATAGTGCCTCCTCGAAACGTCCGAGCAAATCATACGTGTTCGCGATATTGCTCTGCGCGACGAGCATCTGTCCTTCTGGTACGCCAATGCGCCGCAGCGTGGAAAGCTCCGCCTCTTGCACGGACAACGCGTCCTCGTAGTGCTCTGAAGCGAGTAAACCGCGCCCAAGCTGCCCCATTGCACACCACCGAGTCCAGTCCGCCTCCGGCCGCCCCAAGTACGTCTTCCAGCAAGCCCAGCCAAGCGCACAGGACACGACGCCGTGGTAGTCCTGCTCGCACAAACTGCACTTGTACCACCGATGCCACTGCGTGTCGTCCAAATTGTTCTCCTCGCTCTCCGCGACCAAAATCTTCGCCTGCTCCGCCAGACACGACACGTGCGCGAAGCCCGCCGTTCCACGGCACGCACACCCGCGCACGAGGCCCTCCTTCGTCTTCCAGTGGAGCGCCTGCGTGCAGATGTAGCACGTCTGGCCCTTCGTGTCCTCGGCGCACGCCTCCGCCGCGACAACGACAGCCTCTGTGTACTTCTTATTCGCATTGTACTGCTCGGCGCCGCCGCCTCTCCTTATTTTCTTGCAGAGCTGGTCATGGCCGCCTGCCTCCCAGTGTTGTTTCTGGCAGTCGGCGCCGCAGTAGCGCGTCTTGCAGCGGCTGCATTGCTTGGCTGAGAGTGGTGGGAGCTCGGCGGCGCAGACGGGGCATTGCGTGAGGATCATTGTCCTTTTTTGGGGCAGCTTTTTGGGGCAGCTCCTTGTGTGCGTCTCACGACGACGGAGAGCGCCGAAATCCGCACCCAGGCACGCGTACCGCCGATGCTTCTGCGACGGGGCGACGCCTCGGCGAGCCGGTAAAAATCGCACAAAACCCGACCAAAATCAGCTTTTCATGTTGCGTAAAAAAAGACGCCACGCGCGTCCGGAAGGCAGCTTAGCGCTGCGTTACGCGGCTCAGAGCGCGCCTCTGCAACGCCCTTCGACCGCTGTGCCCGCGCGCGTGCCGCACCTAGCTCTCCAATGGCGCGGCGGCTCATCGTCCTCGCGGCGAGCTGCAGCGCCTTGGCGCCGCGCGCGCCCGTGAAGCCCACGCAGTTCTTCCGCGGCCGCTTCGACGGCAAGCAGTTCCGCACGGAGCCGCTGGAAGCGGCGACCTTCGACGAGTTCAGCACGGACGAGGGCGCCGCGGCACCGGGAAACCCGCAGCTCTTCACGGCGGACGGCGCGCCGCTCATGACGGCGCCCTGCTGCATTAAAGTGGTCGGCGTCGGCGGCGGCGGCGGCAACGCGGTGAATCGCATGGTCGAGACGGACGCGGGGAGTTTTGTGGATTTTTGGGCGATGAACACGGACGCGCAGGCAAGGTCGCGGTGTTACGGTGCCTTCACTTCTTCAATACGACTCGTCTCCAGGAATGATGGAATCGATCCGCGCAGGCGCTGTCGCGGTCGCTGGCGGGGAACACGATGAATATCGGAAGAGAGACGACGCGGGGCCTCGGTGCGGGCGGCACGCCTGATGTGGGCCAGGCCGCGGCGGAAGAGTCGCGCGCGGAGATCGCCGCCGCCTTGTCGGGCGCGGACATGGTTTTCGTCACCGCGGGCATGGGCGGCGGCACCGGGAGCGGCGCCGCGCCGATCGTGGCTTCCGTAGCGAAGGAGCTCGGGGCGCTGACCGTGGGTGTTGTTACCAAACCCTTCGGCTTCGAAGGTAGGAAACGGGCGCAGCAGGCGGCGCAGGCCACGGCGCGGTTGCAGGAGGCCGTCGACACATTAATTGTGATCTCCAATGATCGGTTACTACAAATCGTGCCGGAAGGGACGACGATGGAGGGCGCCTTCCTCGTCGCCGACGACATCCTGAGGCAGGGCGTCGTCGGCATCAGCGAGATCATCATCAAGCCCGGGTTGATTAATGTGGACTTCGCCGACGTTCGGTCGATCATGACGGACGCGGGCACGGCGTTGATGGGCATCGGCCAGTCCAAGGGCAAGGACCGAGCCGCCGAGGCGGCGGGCTTGGCGACGTCGTGTCCGCTGCTCGATTCGCAGTTCACGGCGGCGAAAGCCGTGGTCTTCAACATCTGCGGCCCGCCGGACCTGACGCTCGCCGAGGTCAACGCCGCCGCGGGCGTGATTTACGAAAACGTGGCGGCTGATGCCAATATTATATTTGGCGCGTCCGTCGACGAGAACATGGGCCAGGACGTGTCGGTGACCGTGCTGGCGACGGGCTTCGAGACGGGCTTGATGGACGCGTTAGGGGATGAGGTGTCTGCCGAGGGGGGCATGCCCTACTTCGGCGGCGAACCGGCAGCGCCGGCGGCGCCTGCAGCTAATCCGGTGGCGCCGGCGAAGAAGTCGGGCTTCCTCAAGCGGCTCGGCCGCTAGGTCGTCTCCCCGGGTAAGTGGCGGGCGACTCTTTCTCGGTTCTCTGGACTCGTGGGCCGCGTCCTTCATGACTGCGTACCTCCTTCTAAGCAGAACCGCCTCGGAAAAACAGCCCCTCTCTATCTGGTACGGCTAAATAAACCCTAGTGCCTCTCATCCCGCTAGCCTGAAAAAATTAGTGGTCATTTGCCCGCCGGCGCCCGCGTCGGTAGAGCTCGCAGCCGCCCGAGCGGTGGTCACAACGCTTGTGCGTGGTCCTTGGATACTGCCTCAGAAGCCCTGCGCTGCGCCGCAGCCGCAAGTGCTCCCTACATCGGAGAGCAACCAAAAGCATGCCGACCGCCGACGTCGACACCGAGAACGCCGCCGTGCTTACCGTGCTGCGGGAGGCCGACGCGTTCTACCGCGAGCAGCAGCGGCTAGGGCGGACCGTGCGGCGAGGCTTCCTCGATTTAGCGAAAGCCAGGCAGCAGCACGGAGCCGGGAGCATCTCCGCGCTGAACCTGAGGAAGGACCTGGAAGCCCAGCAGTCGGTCGTACCTGTGGAAGATTTCGAAAAATGTAGCATCCAGGACCTGTCCGCGGCGACGCCGTTCCGACTGCGACGGGGCCCGCCCGGCGAGGCGCGCGAACCGGCCCTCCCGGAACCTTCTGAGCGGCGCCTGCGCCAGCGCAACAACGGCGACAGCCCGTCCGAGAGCGTGTCTTCGGCGGACGAGGGGACCACCGGCGAGCAGGACACGATGCTGCTCTTCGCGGGCATGCCGCCTCCAGCACTACGCAAGGCGAAGCGCGAGTTCGTCAACGCGCTGAACCAGGCCGTGCGGCTGGCGAACTCGGCGCGGCGGCTGGACCGGGCGCTCAAGGTGCTGGAGTTGGCGGACACGGCGGGGCAGGACCCGCCGCTGGCCGAGTCGTCGGCGCCGGGCCAGGACCCGTCGCTGGCCTTCTAGCGGGCTGGAGCAGTAGGCCCTAACTTATGATGTGATTAGTCGCCCCCGAGCGTCTCGTGCCGTAATGAATCAAGCACCTCTAGCGGAGGCGGCACGCCCAGCGCCGCCTCACGTTTCCGACGCTTCGACGCCTCGAGCAAGGCCCGTCCGACTTGGTCGGCCGTGGCGAGGCGCACGCGCCGTGATGGCGCCTTGTGAGTCGCATCAGAACGGGGCGGAGAGTACGGCTGCGCCTTCGCCGCCTCAACTCTCAAGTCGTGCTCGTCGCGCAAATGTAAATAGAGCTCCTCGGGGTCGTAGTCCGCCGGGTTTCGGGTCGGCGAGACGCGGTAGACGCGCGCGACGGCCGCGCCCGTAAGGTGAGCCATCCTTTGCGCTCGTCTTTGCCGCGCGACGTAGGTTTGCTCCGTGCCGTGGGCGTCCCTCCTCAACTTCTCGCGGAGCGTCTGCTCGCCGGCGGCGGCCAGCGGGGCGGCGGCCATGTCCCTGTCGCGTCGCGGAGATGGTGTGAGCTGCTGCCCCACTGCTGCTGCTGCCCTGGGTATGGGGGTGCTTGTCTCGGCGCGTCCGGGGCAGCGCGCAGCGATCAAGGACGGCGCGTCGACGTTCCCTGCGCGGTGATTCACGTCGCTCGCAGCCGTCGCGCGCGTTTTGGTCGGGAGAGCAAAATGGCGCTGCTGCGGTTTTGCGTGCTCGCGGCGCCACCCCGCCAGCCGTCGGGGCGCGCGCCACGCGATCAAAGGGCCCGTCGTAGCGCTCGCGAGCGGGTAACTTCCGCGCGGGTTTGCAGGGGTTTGGGGGTTTCAGCTTTTTGCAAGCGTGTGCCTCTGGCAATACGCATCCGGGCACCGAAGGGCTGGGCACGGAGCACCGAGGCAACCCCAGACGTGTCCATCAAAGGCCTGGTCCGCAAGCACGGCGCCGCGGCGGGCGCGGGGCAGCCTCCCAGACCCACAGAGCCAGGATGGGCTCCGGCGCCTCGAAAGCCAATGCGCCGAAGAATACCAAAAGAAAGAAGAACGACCCCCGCGCCCAGCTCGAGCGGCTGGTCCAGGGCGGCAACGTCCGCGGCGTCGCGGATTTGCTCAGCAAAAAAACCGAGCTTACGAATTCACCACTCGACGACAAGTCGGGCACGCGGGCCATCCACATCGCCTGCAGGAACGGTGATAGAGATATGATCCGGGAACTCATGAAGCGGAACTGCTTCCTGAACCAGAAAGATTCGAAGGGATGTACGGCGCTCATGCTCGCGGCGGCCGCGGGCCACGACAAGATCGTTAAATTGATTGTCGATTCAGGAGCGGATGTCCGGATGAAGGATAAAAATGACGATACAGCATTAGAATACGCGGAGAAAAACAACCGGCCGAAGGTGAAGGAGCTCCTCAACTTATATGCGTGCGAGTACACGTGGTGACCCTAACTTTGTATATTATTATTCTTATCTTCCGGTTTTGCGTGTGCCTATCGGCCTTTGGCGCGCTAGTGTCTTACAGGACGCTAGCCAGCGCGGCCTTTAAGCTTTTTGGACTTTTTGGCGGGCGTACAACTCGTCCCGGTGTCCACCAAGGCGGCAGAGCAGCGCTACCAACCCTTTTCGTTGCGCCACCGCAGCCACGCGTCCCACCGCGGGTGGCATACACTATAACTTTCGTATCCAGTACCCAGCTCTCACACCCAGCACGCCGTCGAGCACGCCGTCGAGCACGCCGTCGAGCACGCCGTCGAGCAGCCATGGCCGACGCGACCATGCAGCCCTGCGACGCCTTGAGGATCGCACTCCTAACGCGAGACGGCGCCGAAATTAGGCACTGGTTAGATGATGGGAGTTTGGTGCTCGTCCGCTGCGGCAAGGACGCGCTACGAATAAGAGCCTTGGTAAGAAGCGAGGCGCTGACGTGCGCGACCTACGCCGCCCGGTTGGACGACGCCCAAATCGACAAGTTCCAGGACCGCGTGGGTTTAGATTATGAGGCCGACGCCGTCGCGGCGTTCGCCGAAGATTTCGCCCGGGCGCTGTGCATACAACCACTTCTGTCCCCGTGCGACGACGACCTGGATTTGACGTTGGACTTCTCGGGCGCCGGCGTCGGTTCGGCGAAACTGAGGCTGCGCGCGGACGGGAAGGTGTCGGTGGGCCTGCTCGACGACCTGGCCGCGCACTTCGCGCCGGCGAAGACGGAGGCCCCGGCGCCGCAGGGCCTCTCTCAAAAGCGGACGGCGCGGGCCTTCCAGCCGTCGAAGAAGCGGCGGGCGTAATTACATGTGAACAAAGTTAGTAGTAGCCCGCGTGGAGCCAGAACTCGAGGATCTTCCGGACGAGCTCCGGCGGAAGCAGGGGCGTCTCTAGGATCGCCGTGAGCCGCGCGAGGTGGGCCTGCTCGTACCGTTTGAAGCCGCCGGCGCTTTTGACTCGTTGGATGTACGGGTCCGTGTTATTGGTGGGGATATCAGCACCGGCGCGCAAGAATACTGGCCACATGTGGCGAAGCGTTTCTTCACGGAGTGCGACGGCAAAAGGCGTAGCCCCAAGAAGAAGCGGGCCCCCTGACGTGGTTGCCACGTTCACGGCGGCGCCTGCTTTCAGGAGCAACTCAACGCACTCGGTGGACCTCCTAACTCCTATGTGGCCGGCCGCTGCCCAGTGGAGCGGTGTATAACCACCGGAGTTCGTCACATTGACATTCACGCCCGCTTCGAGTAGAAGCGACAAAATTGTTGTTCTCCCTTTAGCGGCAAAGTGAAGTACAGTACTGGCTTGTGGGTGTCCCCCGGTTCTCGCTTCCAGATTTGCCCCGGCGTCCCGAAGGAGCTTGAAGCAGGCGACGCGATCACTTGTATCGCTGTCGTCGCGGTCATGGTGCTCGAGCAAATGAAGCAAAGGCGACCACCGTTCACCCGGATTATCATCGAGCACATCTGGCGAGACCCCGCCTGCAAGGATTCGGCGGAGCGCCGCAACATTCCCTTCGCGTGCAGCCTTGTGGATGGGAGCCATGTATGCCATGTATAATTGTTGTTATGAGTCAGCGATCATGGAACAGCCGAGTACTGCGCACAGGCGCTGCGGCACGAACTAAGACCAACTTTTGGGGGCTCCTGTCGCGATTTGCCTGCGATGCGGATGACCCGGCATTGACCAGGAGCTAGCGTCGTGTCAGGTACTAGCAATTTATATCCGGACGGGAGGGCCCGGGGGGAGCGGGAGGGGTACGGGGGACCCTGCGACGTAACTAGCCTGAGCCTGATATCGGCTCTCTTCCGCGATGCGTCTGCGAACAGCGGCACGCCGTCACCGCGGAAAAACATTCACTACCTTACACGAGCCCCTTCTTCTTCCCGCCGCCCTTGCGGATGGGCTCGACCGCCGCGCCCGCGCGGACCGACACCGCGGGCCGCGTCAACTTCTTGACCGCCGGCGCGGCGTTCCAATCATTACCAACGGGCCGCGCCATGTAGCGCTCATATTCACTTCGTGAAGTGAAAGGGTAGGGCACCTGGGCGACCTTGAGCAGGCCGGCCTTCTTGTGGCGTTTCGCGTTCAGGATGACGCGCGGGTTCGCGGCGGCGCGCGTCGGCGGTACGATGGTCACAGGTGCTTCCTTGCGCTTCTTCTTCGGTCGCGCCGCGGGCGCGCCCTCGCCGGCCCACGAGCCCCAACCAAGCAGGTCGGGCTGCTCCGGCGGCCTCTCCGGCGCGAGCTCCTCGCTGCGTTGCGCCGCGAAGTCCTCCTGGTCCTTGTCGTCGAAGGCCATGTGTAATAAGTCTTGCTGCGACAGCTTCGTGAGCGGCGCGTTCTCGGTCGGAGGAGGTGGCGCGCTCTCTTCGGGCGCTTGCGTGACGGAGCCCGTCCGCAGTCTCGGCGGCTCGACTTCCACATGCTTCTGGGAGACGGCGCGGCCGCGCGCGCGGGCCTTGCGCGCCGCCGCGAGCCAGGCGCCCTCGCCCCCGGACGCTGGGGCCTCCGCGGCGGCCGCCCGCGCTTTCTTCGTGGCCGCGCCGGTGCCATCGGCCGCCGCCGGCGCGGCCGCCGGCGCCGCGGCCGCGGCGGCCGCGCCGCGCTTCCGGCGCACCTTGAGCGAGTTGCCCTGGAGCGCCACGGTTGGCGGCGCTTCCGCTTCGGCGGGCGCGTCGCCGGACAGCGCCGCGAGCTCCCGCAACGCCGCGCCGTCCTCGTCGTCGTCGTCCGAAGACGCGTTTCCCGCCTCGAGCTCCTCCAGCAGCCTCTCGGCGTCCTCCCTTGCTCTAGCTCGTTGCGCCTCGCGCGCCTTCACCATGAACTTCATGTTCAGCAACGCGCCACCAGGTTGTTCTTCATCGACACACTCCCCGAGCGAAGCCTTGGCCTTCGCGATCAACTCCTCGCGACTCTCGTCGGAATCCGACTCGTCCTCAGATGAGGACTGCTCCTGCTTCTTCGCGAGCTCCCTACGTAGAGCTTCATTATCTCTCATTTCTCGACGACGAGACTCGACCGCACCTCGACCCCGCATCTTCGTGGACCGCGCCCAGGCCGAGGTGGATGCGTGTCGCAAATCCATCCTCTCTTGGGCTCGTTTCGTCGCGAGCTCGTCATCTCTAGCTTCCCGGAGTGAGGGATCGGCCTCGGCGGCCGCCTCGCGCGCCGCCTCGTCGCGCTTCTTCAGGCGCTTCCTTCTAAGTCGAGCGTACGCTTTAGACTTGACTTTAGCGTGGTACTTGGCTTTCCGTTCGGCGAAGAAGAGTAAAGAACGTGTCTTGGCCAGCTCTTTTCTTCTCTCATCAGCGTCATCTCTCTCCTCGAGCGCTTCGTCCTCCCGCGCTTGCACCGCTTGATCCGTATGGGCCGACGCTTGCTGCAGGATCTGCTCGACGCGCCGCTCGAGCGGCGTGTCTGCAAAAAAAGACGAGGCTAATTGAGACGTGGACGTCTGTTCGGCCTCTCTTTTCCCAAAATTCAGGGAAGACGTTTTTCTTTCTGCGTCTATGGTATCATCCCACTGATCAGCAGTCTTTTTCGTCTCGTCATAAGCTAATTGTCGCTGGGCGCGGCGCTCGGTCGCGTGGGCGACCGGGACGGCTACGACTTGTTTCTGCGTTAGTTCCTTCGATTTGAGGGCGAGGTCCTGGGCGGCCGTGCCGCTCGTCGCCGCGAGGTCGTCGAGGGTGAGGGACATCGCGTCGGCGGCGTGCTGGTTGCTGCACAGTGCGTGTGGCGAGGTTCGTACTGCTAAGCGCGTTGCGGTTGCTGTGGCGCCTTTGCAGCAGCAATGAGCTGCAGATGCACCAGCGATTTGTGCTTGACTCTCGACGCGCTCAACGCTGGGCCAAGCTCATCGCCTGAAGGCTGAACCTGAAGGTATGGTACCGTGGTATCGGTGGTACCAGCTTGTACCACGGTACCTCGGGGTCAGGAGCCTGTCGCAGGCACTGATACCCTTCGTGGCGCCCGCACGCGTCGTCCGTCGGCGCCGCGCGAGCGCGCCCCGAGCTATGGGTCATCCTAGATAGACTTGGATAAATAAACAACCCTCCCCCCTACGCCGTCGCCGCACTTAACCGTTCGCGTGCTGGTCGAGCTTCTTCCGTTGAGCTTTCTTGGCAGCTAATTTAAACTTCAAGATGTCCCCTTGATACCTTTCCACCTTCTTCTTGTCGCAGATCCAGATCTCCTTGGCCACTTGCGAGATGAGGCGCATGTCGTGACTGACCAGCACGAGTCCACCCTTGAAATTATTGATCATTTTGGCCAACGAATCGATCGACTCCATATCTAAGTGGTTCGTCGGCTCGTCGAGCATGAGTAAGTGGGGCTTGTCCATGGCCAACTTCGCAAACACGATCCGCGCCTTCTGGCCGTCCGACAACTGCTTCATGGGCATTTCTTGTTGTTTGGCAGTGCACCCGTACCTTCCAAGCCAAGTTCTAGCCATTTCTAATTTAGTGAAAACTTTGGGGTACAAGGCGTGGATCCACTCCAATGCATTTTTATCTAAATCTAACACGTCCTCGAAGTGCTGCGTGAACTTCGCCATCCTCAGGTGGCTATGCGGCCGCACGGCGCCCGACCTGCGTCGAACGACCGCGTCGCGAAACTGCCGCGGCTCTCTCACGCGACGCGCAGACTCTCTGACGGCCACGTCGACGGCGTTGAGGCGACGCGGCACCGCCTCGACGCCATCGCCGCGACCCCGGCAAGTTCAAGTTCATTTTCTACTCTGAGTCACCGACGTCGGTTGCAGTTCGCCCGTCATCAGCTTGACGAAGGTCGTCTTGCCGGCGCCGTTCGGGCCCACCAACGCTATTCGTGATTGTAAGTCAATACCAAGATCCAAGTTGTGGTAGAGCGGCTCGCTGTTCGGGTAGGCGAAGGACACGTCTTGAATCATCAATACTGGAGTAGGTAACTCGCCTGCGTGCGTGCGGTCACGGCGACGCCATCGACGCGACCGCGTACGCTCCGACACGCCACACGGTCCGAATCGGCCCAAATTTGGACCAGAGACCACCCATCGCCTTCTCTGGTGGAGCCGACGCGCGTCGATGGCGTAAGGTTCAATGTCGACGCTGCGCTACTGACCTGGGTCCGGGAACGAGAAGTCCCACTCCGCGTCCCTTTGCGGCTTTTCCGTGAGGCCCTCCTCCAACTTTTTTTGTAGTAATTTCTCTCGCGATTGCGCCTGGCGCACCATCTTGACCGTGCCGTGGCCGAACCTGTGTGTGGACGCGACTCGTGGCCATCTCACGAGGTCGTGGGTGGTCTCAAATTCGATTTTGAGTGGATTCGGACGCCGCTTCTAACCGCGCGATAAAATCTTTAATTTCCGCGATGTCCCGCTGCTCCGCGTCATATTTCCGTTGCTGCTCGTCGTCGCGGATCGACCGCTCGCGCACGTACGAATCGTAGTTGCCCGTGTAATAGTCGAGCTTCTTCGTGTGCTCGTTCAACCTGTGTGAGACGCCGTCGACGCGACTCGTCTCCGTCAGACGAGGTCGTGGGACGCCGCGGCGGCACCGCACAATATGCGTACACACCCCGTTCATGAAGTCCTGGCTATGACTCACGAAAAACAAGATCTTCGACCACCCCGCGAGGTAGTCTTCCAGCCAGAAGACGGCCTCCATGTCCTGTGTGGCACGGACGCCGTCGCGACACCGCCGCGGCTCGCTCACGAGACGCGTCGACTCTCTCACGGCCCCGTCGATTGTGTAGAGGTGGCGTGACCATCGACGCGAACTTCAACTTCGGGTCATGCTGAGGGCAAGACGCTGAGTCAGCACCAGGTGGTTCGTCGGCTCGTCCAGTACTAAGCAGGTCGGTTGTAAAAATAAAGCTCGTGCTAGAGCTACGCGCATGCGCCAGCCACCGCTGAACGACTTCGTGGGCATCTTCTGCATCTTTGGCGTGAAGCCGAGGCCGTGGAGGATGGCCGAGGCTCGCGCTTCGGCCGTCGCCGCGTCGAGTTCATCGAGGCGCTCATACAGCGCTTGCAACCTCTGATTTAATTGTTCTTGTTCTTCTTCATCAGCATCTGCTAATGCGTCGTTGATCTTCTCGGCCTCGGCTTCCTGTGTGGCACGGACACCGTTCACTCGCGAGACGCGCAGACTCTCTGACGGCCACGTCGACGCAACTCGAAGGTCGGAAACAGACGCCGAGTCCGCACGAGGGCCTTGCGCTCGTCGTCGACCTCGAAGACCGCATCCAGCGCCGGCGTGTCCGTCGCCGGGTACTCCTGATCTAAAAAAAACAAGTCGATCGACTCGGGGATCGGTAAACACCTGGCAGCTATCGCCTTCATGATCGTGCTCTTGCCGCTCCCGTTCGGCCCGATGAAGCCGTAGCGGTTGCCGTAGTTCAGGGCGAAGTCCGTATTTTCGATCAAATTGGCGCCGTGGAACGAGATCGTGACGTCTCTCACCGAAATGTCTTTCGCGTGGGCATGTTGCTCCTTTTGGGACGCGAAGGTCGCGATGATGTGCTCTTCCCTCGCTAATCTATCAGCCTCGGACTCGTCGACGCGTGCCGCCATCGCAGCTTCTTGCTGCGCGAGTTTCTCCAAATTCTCCTTCGACTTCTTTTTAGAAAGGGGCTTTCCCTTGGCCGCCTTCTTCGCGTCGCGTTTCGCCTTCGCCTCGGCCTTCTTCCGCTCTTTTTCCGCCTTCTGCTCTTCTTTGCTTAGTTTTTTTTCAAACAACTGGTCCTCGCCCTTGCCCATGGCGGCGTCTCTCGTGTCGTTCACTTCCTTGTGCGTCGCGTCGAGGCCGTCCAATTTTCTCGCTTCGGCCCACTCGGCCTTCTTGGCCTGCTTGGCGGCCCAGCCGGACATGGTTTAGTGCTGCGGCGGCGTGCGTGCGTGGTGCGTGCGTGCGTCGGTCGCGGCGACGGCGTGAGATGCTGGTGCTGCAGCTTTTGGCGCCGTGCAAGCAGTGCGCGTCGCTAGCGTTTCGCGTGCAGTTTCTTGCCTCGACGGTGGTGCAGCGGTAGTGCAGCGATGAATGCCGCAGCGCTGCGTGTGGTTTGATCTTCACCGGCGAATTTCAAAGCCCAAAATTTGTATCGACAAAATGACACGCCATACGTACGGGTCCGAGCGGGATCAACCACGCTTGGCGGACGAGAGTTCGACGTCGTGGGGACCGCAAGGAAGAATGCCAGGTCCCGGCACCCTGCAGACTGAGCCTCGGACCACGACGCGCGCGCCGCGGGCCCGCGAACGCCCCAAGCTACGACTCGCAGCAAGCTACGCACCACCCCCCACGCCATCGCCGCGGAACACCCCCAAAAAGCCACTCCCAGCAGTATGCTACGTACCACCGTGCGCCCTCGCTGATACGCCCCGTACGATACGCCAGCTAGTACTACTACGCCGACTCATCTAGCAGTAAAACCACTTACCCACGCCAAATGTTCATCGGATCGCGAACCCGCCACCGGTAAACCGCGTCTTCGCGCTTTGTGAAGCAGCCAACTGCGTCTGGGCCTGCAGCGCCCCGAGATCCCGCTCTTCCGCATCGAGTTCCCGCGCCAACTGATCTCGCCGCTTCGACTCGTAGTACTTCCTTTTCGCATCTTGCAACTCGCGCGTCAGCCGCTCGACCTCGTACTTGTACTCGGACAGCTGGGCCTGGTACATGTTGAGCTCCGACGCCATCGACTTCATCTGGCGGGTCTTGCCGCGCAGCGACGACTGGTAGACCGACAGCTGCTCGGCCACCTCGGGACCGGGCTGTCTGGCCAGAATCGCCTTCAGCTCGTCGTACAACCGTTCCTTCTCTTGTAACGATAAGTCGCGTTCCACGACCTCTTCGGTCTTCTGGATGAGCCGTTTTTGCAGAGTTTGGACCTTCTGGATCATCTCGAGCTGGGCCGGGTCGCTGCCTTCCAATTGCCTCCATCTATGAATATTTAACGGTGTCTCGATCTCCTCGGAGAGGGCCTTGCACCTGCGCGGGGCGTCGCGGTCGCTCGACGCGGTCCGTAGACTCTCGTGGGATCATGAAGACGGCGTCGCGGTGGCGTGGCGTCGCGCTGACGCCATCGACGCGTGACACGCCGCGACGGCCCCGACGCGGTCCGAATCGCCTCTTCAGCAAAAAAGAAATCACCCACAACATGATACGAGTCCCAGCAACGAAGGGAAACCACCAAAACACGTCAAGACGCGGAGCTCGCACTTGGCCTTCTCCTCCAACAAGTCTCGCCGGCACTGCAACAGGTCCCTTCTTAAATCGTCACTGAGCTGCGCACCGCCGGACGCCACGGCGACCTCGCGCTGCATGTCCCGGATCTTGAGCCGCAAGACCTGCACGTCGTGGACCCGAGCGCTGTACTGCTCCTCGCCACGAGTGAGAGTAGAATGCTGAATCTTGAGCTTCTCCTGGAGCAAGCCGATCTCGTCGTTGCGACGGATCACCTGCGCCCCCAGAATATCTCTCTCATTAATGACCGAGTCGTACTCCTTCCGCTGCGTGAGGGCCTGCGCGGAGCGTCGCGGTCGTGACGCGCGTCGTGTCCACCTCACTTCCATGAGAGTGGTTTCGTTTTTGATTTCGAGGGCATTCGGGCGCGATTCGGGGTCCGAATGGCCCCAAAAGTCGAAAAAAAAACACCCAGCGCTGGAGTCGCATCGAAGCGAAGGCACCTTCGTAAAACGCCGCGAGCGCGCGTCGTCGTCCATGCGGCGAATCATCGACGCCAGCCGCCGGATCTCCGCATCTTGTTTAGCTACAATTTCTTCGTTCGCCGAAATGAATTTCTTCATCTTCGAGACCTCGTTCCGCGTCGTCTCGTACCTGCGCGTCGAGACCGTCGCGACACGGCCGCGGCTCGCTCGCGCGACGCGTAGACGCTCCGATGATCATGGAGACGGCGTCGCGTCGACGCCATCTTCCCAAAGTTCAAGTTAAGCATTGGACGCCGAGTCAGCACTGCTTGTCGATTTTCTTGTGCGCGAAGCTTATTTTCACGAGCGCCGCGTCCTTGCCACTGATCTCCTCCTTCAATTGGCCGAGCTGGTGCGCTTGAATTTTCGCCTTTCGTTTCATCTCCGAAATTTCGTCCTGCGCCTCGAGGAGGTTTTTACTATATAAATTTCGGTCCGAGCGAACGGCCTCGTACAGGTGCTGCTGCTGCTTGAGCTTCGCTTCCCATTCAGAAATCTCCTTCTGGAGCTGTAAGAGCTGCATGTCTCGCAGCTTGACTTCCTCGAGGCACGCCGTGTACCTGCGCGGCGCATTTCGTGTCTTCGTCTCCTCTCACGCGTCGCGTCGATGGCGTCGGGGGGAGAGCGGGCCGTGGCTGGTCTTTTCGTCGATTTTGAGCCGTCTCGGACCGCGTCGGGGCCGTCGCGTCTCGACGCGGTCCGAACGGCCTCTTCAGCAAAAAAGAGACCACCCCCGGCCATCGTTCCTGGCGACGAGTCGAAGGCAACACGTCAACACGCGGCGAGCGCACAGGTTCCGCTGCTCCGCCGCCTCGACGCCGTACCTTTCCCGCTCCTTCTCCAACTGGTAGATCCGCTTGCGCTGCTTCACCGTCTCGTCCTTGAAGGTCGCCATCTCGGCCTCCAGCGAATACGCAATTCTTTCCTGTTCCTTCGCGCGCGTTTCCGTGACCACGATCTGCTGCTCGGCCTGTGTTCATAAATACGGTCGAGGGGCGTCGATGCGCGTCGTCTCCGGGAGTGCGGGTCGTGGGTCGTTTGTTTTTGGATTTCGAGCCGGTTCGGACCGCGTCGCGACACGCGACCGCGGCTCTCTCGTGAAGCCTCTCTGAGGGTCAAGTGACGACGTCGAAGCGTCGCGTCGATGGCGCAAGGACGCCGTCGCAGCACCTTCTCCGTCTCCGCTTTCGCAAATTTCGCCGCGCGCTCCATCGCGTCCCTTTCCTTCGCTTTGGCATCCACCGCCTTCCGGAAGCCGTCGAGCTCCTTCTGCAGCGACGCGATCTCCTTCTGCGCGAGTAGCAATGGCGTCTTACTTTCAGCAAGTAGTGTCTTGTACTGGAGCATGGTTCTATGTTCTCTGTCAGCTTTGCGGACGGCCTGCTTCTTCTCCAGATCTAACCTTATAACAGCTTCATTCGTCTGCTTGATCGTTTTTTGGTGTTGCACGCCTGCGGCGGGATGACGGTGTCGTCTCAGGGAGAGCGTGACAACGTCGAGGCGTCGCGTCGACGGCGACCGAGCGGCCCCGACGCGGTCCGAAGGGCCTCAAAATCGCATATAAAACCACCCACGACCTCGTGAGATGGCCACGAGTCACATGAACACGTCAAAACGCCGAGATACGCACCCTCGAGGTGCTGCTGCTGGTTCTTCGTGATCTGCTCCTCGAGGTCCTCCGTGAGCTTTTGCGTGCGCTGGTAGAGCGTGTCGTAGTCCCTTAAATATTTGTCCATGGTGTTCCTGGCGTCGTTTAATTGCGTTTCGAGCTCTTTCCCGTGGGTTTTCGCCTCCGTCGCTTCGGCCTGCAAAGCTTCCTGCTCGCCCGTGCGAGCCTCGAGGAGCTTGAGCGTGTTCTTGAGCTCCTTGTCGAGGCGCTCCTTCGACCTTTGACCCCTCTGGACTTCTGCCGACCGAGCTTGGAGACTTTGCTCGAGGTCCGCCTTGTCCCCTCGGAGCGTGGCGCACTCGACACGCTCGCTCTCAAGGACCTCGGTCATGTTGGTCAACTGCGTCTCGAGGACCTTGCACGTCCCGGTCGCTTCGTCCGTCTGCCGTTGGAGCTCGTCCCTCGCCGCGGTCAATTCTTGGACCAGGCCCTCTTGCGTGCCCGTCAACGCGGCGCTCTTCTCGACGAGACCGCTCAAATTCGCGATCTCCTCCTTGAGCGACGTGATCGTTTCTTTGGCGCTCGTTTCTTTCGATTGCGCGGTGTCGACCTGCGCGGAGCATCGTAATCGAAAAAGAAACGACCCCCGGCATCGTGCGATGGCCACGAGTCCATCCAAGGAAGTGAAGGCACCGCAACACCTCAAAACGCCGAGATCGCACCATCTTCCAGGCCTTCTCGACCTCGCTCCGCAGCGTCGTGATGGTCTGTTGATCATCTTGACTGAGTTTGAGGGCCGTGTGGACCTTGGAGGCGTTGTTCACGATCTCATTATTCAGGTCCTTGACTTTTTTAATGAGTTTTCTTTCGTGGTCCTGCGCGGGGCGTCGCGGTCGCTCGAAATCGGAAAAGAGACCACCCACGGCCTCGTGAGATGGCCACGAGTCGAAGGCACCGCAAGACGGGACGCCGCGAGCGCACGTGGCTGCGAACTAAAGCGCGGTGGACCTTCTCGTATTCGGCCCTAAACTCGTCTAAAGATTCATCTCCAGCGAGCGTCGCGAGGACGTCCTGGAACTCCTTCTCGAGGGTCTCGAAGGCGGAGAGCGAGAGGGCCTGGTCGTCGTCCTCCAATAAGCCCTTGAGGCCGCTCGACGCTCCTTCGCCCTCGACGTCGACGTCCATCGTTTAGTGTGGCGGTCGCCGCGGGCCGCGCGCGGCTCGTCGGTGCGTGCGACTGCCTCGTCGGCGGCGGCGCGTTTGATGAAGGCGCGGCGGCGGCGCGCGGGGGGGCTGCCCCTGTACCTGCTCTGGTCGGCGCTAGGCAGCGCTCGACGCCGGCTGCTCGTGGGGAGCTGCGGTGGGCCTGTCCCGGGGACCACCTGAACCGCACGAACGGCGTCGCTCCGGGGCGTAACAGGCCTATACAAGGGCAACGCCGGCGTTTCGAGGCAAACCCCGCACGGAGTCGAAGTTGAGCCTGAAAACTGCCCTCGGCCCAGCCCTGGACGCGCTGCCCTTCCTTATACGGGGGTCGAGGCGACGTCCGCGGACGAACCCGTGAAGCACTTGAGCAGCTTCGTGACGCCGGACGACGCGCGCGCGCGCACGGCGGGCAGCTTCGTCGCAGGCTGCCCAAAGGACACACAGCGCTTGCTGCCCACACGACGCCAAGCGACGACAGACAACAAGTAGACCAACATGGGCCAGGTCATCGGCAAGGGCCGCATCCACGCCGACGCTATTCCATTTATCAACTTGGAGCCGGACCGCGTCGAGAAGCTGTGGAGCCACTACAAATTACATTCCGACGGCTTCGCCCTGGACCCGGACGCGTTACAACACGTCCTCAAAATTATATACGAGGACGACGAGGCCTTCGAGCAGAAATGCCGCGCGTTGTTCGCTAAATTGGACACGGACAGAAACGACTTAATCGACGCCCTCGAGTGCCTCGCGACGCTCGCGTCAGCTTCTGGGATGAAGCCGCAACGCAAATTAACTTTTGTGTTCGACCTCTACGACTTCTCGGAGAGCGGCGAGTTACTGTTAGATGAAGTTACTTTACTGTTGAAGTCTACCGTGACCGGCCTGTGCAAGATTTCTGAAGGCGAGTCCATACCGTCGCTCAAGGAGTTCGAGGATTTGGCACGCCTCGCGCTGAAGCTGGAGCCGTCGAAAGACGGGAAAGCCGTGCGGGACGTCACAAGTACGATTAGTAGAGCTCAATTCGTCGCCTACGCCGTCGCGAACCCCACGATCAGTTCCTGGCTGAACCACTACGACGACTTAACGGCGCCCGTTGCCGTTTCCACTGAATTTGGGTTGCAGCTGCTACCGGTGAGTGACGAGTACGACTTGTATAAGCGTAAAGGCGCGTTCGAACCGAGACCGGGCTTGAATGAAGCTCCGTGTCTCGCGAAGTACGCCGCACTCACACCGAAAGTTCCCGAAGGTGAAGAATTCGTACCGCGGACGGCGACGGACGCGTCGCTCGAGCTCGATTACGTCTTCGGCTTCGGCGCTCCTGGAAGTAGGGGATCCGCGGCCTACACGACTGGCGACGACGTCGCCTTCCACGCCGCGGAATTAGCTATCCTGCGGAGTTCGGGTGACGACGGCGTTTCGCAACAATTTGTGAGAGCCCACGATGCCACGGTGACGGCGCTAGCCGTGTCTTCTGACGGCGCGACCGTCGCCACGGGGCAGCGTGGCGATTCCAGGATTGTTGTGTGGTCCTCTTCTACACAGAGTGTCCTGGGAGTATTGAAATCACACACCGGCGCTGTATCGTTACTAGCCTTCTCCGAGGATGGGAAACTAGCTTCGATCGACTCCAATGGCGGTTTATGTGTGTGGGAAGACATGAAACGAGTAGCTTCCGCTTCATTGACGACGCCGGCGCTCGGCCTGTGCTGGACCCAGACGGGCTTCGTGACCTGTTCTGAAGAGGGCGTGCTGTTCTGGACGCGGCACCGGGGGAAATATGTGTCTCGATGCGGCTTGAACGGGCCGGCCGAGGCCTATACGGGGTGCGTTACCTTACCTTCGGGTGACGTATTAACGACTACTGGTGGAGGCGGCTTCGTCGTCTGGCGCGGCCGGAACTACCTAAGGAGCGTCGACGGAGCGCACGACAACGCGATTGCGGACCTCTCACTAGTCTCGGGCGAGATCCCGCTCCTCGCGACCTGCGAAGGCAGCAAAGTAAAGATCTGGAAAGCTGCCGAATTAGAAGTAGTGATGCAGCTCGATCTGACGACGATCCCCGCGATTGGTGCCGCCACGACGGTTTCACTCCACAAATCAGGTTCGAAGGTATTAGTCGGGACGTCCGAACGGGAATTGTACGAACTCTCAGCTTTAGGTGAAGGTGCGCTCGAACCGAAAGACGAAGAGGAAGGAGGACCGACGGAGGAGGTACCCGTGGGCGAGTTGCTCAATACGATCGCGATCGGCCCGTCCGGCTCGGGAATCACGGACTTTTCTTCCGCGTCGACGAAGGTCGCGACCCTAGACGCCGACGGGATTGGAAGGGACGGCACGGTCGTGGTTTTGGATTTGGAGGCGAAATCCATTGTTGGGAGAGAGGTCGTCATCGGCGGGACGTCGTGCTGCTTGTCCCCGGACGGGTCGCAAGTGCTCGTGGGCAAGGAGAACGGGTCTGGTCTAGTGTTTGGCATTGCGGACGGCATCATGACGCAGGCGGGGGTCCTGACGCCGCCGGAGCCCGAGCCCGAGCCGGCTCCCGAGCCCGCGGAGGGCGAGGAAGGTGCTGACTCAGCGTCTGTTTCCGAACGTTTCCGAACTTCAAGGTCGCGTCGATGGCGTCGCCGCGATGCCGCACCGCCTTGACGCCCTCGACGCGGCCGCATGAGAGTCTACGCGTCTCGCGCGGGAGTCACGGCCACGTCGCGACGGCATCGTTCCCACACAGGCGAGGAGCCCGCTCCCGTCGAGGAACCGGCGACCGTCGCACCGATCTCCGCGGCTCAGGTCTGCCGCTGGGCCGAAGGCACGCTAGCACTAGCCTGTGGCGCTACAGTATACTTATACGGTAGTGATTTCGCACCGAAGGGCTCCGCTTCATTAAATGCGGACGTCACGGCCATGGACTTCAAGGCCGACGGATCGGTCTTGATGGTCGCCACGGCTGATTTCGACCTCGCCTTCATCTCGGCGGAGGACGGCTCTACGCTACCAGACAGGAAGGGCCGGAACGGCGCGTGGGCCACGTCCACGGTAGCGATAGCGTACGGCTTCAAGGGCGTCCTCGCCAGTCTCCCGCACTCGGGTCGCGACGATCCTTTGTGCTATGCTGCTTCAGGAAACCTGTGTGCGGTCGGGAACCGGTTCGGTTCGATAGACTTACTACCCTACCCGTGCACGGAGAAAAGCAGTAAAGTCACCGTGTCAGGCCACGGCGCGGGCGTCGCCGGTGTGAGTTTCTACGGCGACGACGGCTTCGTGAGCGCCGGTCTCACGGACGGTTGTCTGATCCTGTGGAAGGTCGAGTCCGATGAAGTCGAGGACGACGCGGCCGCTCCTGAAGAAGAAGAGGAGGAGGAGGACCTCGGATTTGACAAGTACGACGCCACGCAAGATGCGCACCTCGCCGAGAGTGCTGAAGATGTTTCGGAACGAATCAGAGCTATAAGAGCCAACGATTCTCAAACTCTCTACGATCTAGAAGACCAAGATGGAGAGGACCCCACGGCAGCCTGGCGGGACGCAGTGGTCGAAGGAAAAGGCTCTTCCGCACAAGTCGTCCCTGTAGATGATTTGTCGCTCGAGTGGGTCCACGGTTATTCTGGACAGTCCATGCGGGGCAACGCCCGCTACGCGTCGACGGGGGAGGTCGTCTACCCCGCCGCGTCGCTGGGACTGGTTCTGGACAAGACGGCCGTGTCCGAGCGGATGGTCCGCAGTCAGAAAATGATGAGCGTCCATGCGGGCCCGATCACGGCCCTGACGACCTTGGGGGACCTCTGCGCCACGTCAGCTAATGCTTCGGTGTTAATTTGGTCTTCTGCCGATACGAGTGGTGTGCAAGGCTTTTCACTCTTACATGAGGGTTGTTCCGCCTTAGCATTTAGTCAAGACGGTCGTTATTTAGCGGCGGCGTCGTGCGACGACGCTCACACTCTCCATGTGTTTGGCCTGGGCGCGAAGCAAGGTTTGGTCGCCACGGCCTCTACTGGTAAAGACAAGATTCTAGATGTAGCCTTCTCCAAGGACGCGACGACGATAGTCTATGGTGCTTCGAACAGTTTCGGTGTCTGCACGTTAAATGGGTCGCTACTAACAGTAAAAAGAGGCTTATTCGCGGGCCAGAAGAGGCAGGCCGTCTTTTGCTGCGCTTTCGTTTCCAACGGCGACGAGGAGAAGGGCGTCGTCGGGACCCAGTCCGGTTCCATTTTTACGTTGGACGGTCGTTCGTTAGCCGAGGAGAACCACTCGCACATGGGAGGACCTTGCTATACGATGTGGAGTTGCACTTCTGTTGAAGGTGAATCAGACTTGGACAGTGTCGTCCTCGTGACGGGCGGCTACGACGGCAAGGTCAAGCTCTTCTCCTACGACATGGAGCTTCGATTAGAGTTCGACGCGCGGCAGCACAGCGTCGACGGCTCGGTCAGTTCCGCGTGCCTCAATTATGACAGGAGGAAGGTCCTCGTCGGGACGGCCGGTTCCGAGATTTTTGAATTCGCGACGAACGACGAGTCGGACCTCAATAAAGGACCGTTGGTGAGTGGCCACTGCTCCGGTTCACTCAAGGCCGTCGCGTGTCATCCCATACTACAGGAAGTGGCCACGGTCGGCGACGACGGCTACCTGCGAACGTGGAGTCTGTCTTCCCATAAACAACTAAGAAAATTAAATGTGGGCCACGCGTCGCGCGCGCTCGCTTTTCTGCCCAACGGCCACGAGATAGGTGTGGGCTTAGGCATCGAAGGTACGGATAGTAAGGACGCGGGCAAGGTCCTCATTGTGTCCATGTTAAAACCATCCTTGGAGATCGCCAAGGAGCTCAAGGACGCCAATGGTGCCATCACGTGCATTTCCTTTAGTCCCGACGGTTGTTGCATGGCCGTCGGGAGCGCCGACTCGAACATTTACGTCTACGACACTTTGAATTCCTTTGTCTTGAAGTGCACGTGCGAGGGCCATAGTGACATACCTCGCACATTAGATTATTCTTCCGACTCGCTACGAATTATGTCCACTTCGTTTGCTGAGATGCGGTGTCATGACGCCCGGAACGGGGACATTTGTGGCTACGACGCGACGATGGAGATCAGCGACTATGATGGGTGGACGGCGCCGCTGGGCTGGCCCGTCCTCGGCTGTTATCCTCCTCATTCTGACGCTACGGACATCAACGCGGTCTGCAAGTCGTCCGATAGTACACTGTTGGCTACGGCCGATCGATCGGGACTCGTCAGCTTATACAGATGGCCCTGCTCTCAAAAATTGCCGGCGAAGACCTACAAGGGCCACGGCGGTGGTGTCGCGATGTGTCGCTTTACCCCTGATGGCGCTTACCTAGCTACGGTCGGCGAGAGCGACCGCTGTCTATTGCAGTGGGCCCGGCGGTCGAATGGTTCCTGTGCCAAGTCCAAGGGGGCGCTGCCTCCACAAACGATGAGTGACGTGCCGCCTCCTCCCGATTACCTCGAGCCCGAGGATCCTTCTTCCGCAGAACCTTCCGAGTTGGTTGCACCCTCTACACCACCTCAATTAAGCTTCTGCTACGGCGTGCCGCCCCAACTCAACAGGGTGGGGTACTCTACGCATGGTGATATTGTACTGGGTCTCGGTAGCAAGGGCGTTGTGTACGACAAGAGCTCGCACACGATGCGCTTCTTCTCCTCGAAGAATTTAGTCTCTGCTTTTGCCTGCTCCGGTGCGTACGGCGCCGTCGCGGAAGTACAAGGTACAGTACACGTTTTTGACGCGGAGACCGGTCGGAAGTGCGGCTCGTTGCCTCCGTCGTTGAAGGCCGTGTCCCACTTGGTCTTCTCGGACGACGGCTCTACGTTGGTAGGAGTGGGCGTCGGTCTCAACAAATTGTTGACGGTGGCTTCCTGGACCTCGATGTCGGGTCGCTGGGAGGACTCTGTCGCTGCGGCAGCATCACCAATCCCGTTGACTAATGTAGGATTCGCCTGCTGGGGCGGCCCCTCTTCATTAGCTATTGGCGGCGTCGGCGATACGGATGCACCAGATATTTTATTTTGCGACGTTTCGGGCAAGAACGTGTCTCAACGAAAAACGCAATCTCTGAGTTTCGCCGCTTATACGGCCGGCGGTTCCGTCTCAGATACTATCCTGGCGGGCACACCCTCTGGTCAATTGGAGGTCTGGGCCGGTGCTACGGAAGTGAAACGCACTCAAACCACAGAGGCCCATGCGGGCGGCGTGACGTGCGTCTCCGGAAATATATCTGCCGGCCGCGACGGCTGGGTCAAGGTCTGGTCGAGTGACTTGGAGTGTCTGCGGTCGTATTTCGTGGGGACCGCGGGTATTACGTCACTAGCGGTTTCTCTCACCAAAATCGCGACCGTGTGCGATGGTGCATTGGTGGAAATTGTGGCCGACAGTGGATGTGCTTCCACACTCTTGCAGGGTGATGGTAGTGGACAATGTGGTTTAGACGAAAAGGACGGCACTTTGTGTATTACGGGCGACGGCGGTTATGTGAGATTATTCTCTTCAACCACGAGGCAACTGAAGACAGCCTTCTCACTCACAGGATTCCCGTCGCGCGCTTGTGCCTTCGCGCCCGGTGAGAGTACCCATTTAGCTATAGGGATCGGTTCCGGCGCGCCGTCACTCGATGTCGACGGCAAGTTTTACGTCCTCGATCTCGTCCCCGACGAGCATGGAGTATCTTTGTCGAAGATCGCGGAGGGCCACAACGCCAAGGCTTACATAACCTGCGCTTCCTATTCTCCCGATGGCCAGACTCTTGCTCTTGGAGCTGCTGATAATGTGATTTACTTACATGGCGTCAATGGTTCAACTCCGTATGAGCTCTTCGCCGTCTTCGACAAGCACGAGGCGCCGATCCGATGCCTGGACTTCTCGTCCGATAGTAGTACTATCAGAGCGGTGTGTGTCAACAACGTCCTCAAGTCTTGTAAGAGCGCGTCGGGCGACGAAGTGCCTCTGTCGGATATTGCGTGGGCGACAGCTAGGTGCCCGGTTGGTGCTTTAGTCTCAGGCTTATCGAACGCGTCGGATCCGCCCGTCGCTTGTGCAGTGAACGACGGTACCATTGTTTCTGCATCACATTTTGGCTCCGTTTCAGCTCGAGTCTGGCCGGCGACGGACGCCGCGTCGGCACCATCCACAAGGGGCCACGGCGGGCCCTGCGCGTCGATCGTCTACGCGTCGACCGTCGCGTCGGCCGGCGCGTTCGACGGCTGCGTGCTGCAGTGGAACGTGGCGCCTGCTACGGCGGCGCCGCCGCCGCCGCCCGACCCCGTCGTCGTGACCGAGGTCGAGCCGGAGGCGGAGGACGCTCCTGCGGAAGAGTAGTTGCCTCCTTCCCCCTTCCTAAGAGAGGTTTCTACACTACTATGTCGTTACGGGCGCCGCCGCGGCGCCGTCGAGGGCAGGTCGCACAAGGACGCCTACAAGCCGGCGCTAGGATCCCGCAGAAGGGCCCTTCTCTCGACATGGGCTCCGCGAAGATGGTCGGCTCCTACGGGGTCCGTCGCTGCGGCGCTGGCCTACCAGGGCTAGGTGTCGGTTGTCGCGCGTCGCTCCGCTCTAGGTCTTCAGATAGACAACAGTTTTTACGCGCCAATGTCACCTCGCCTCGGGCGCGACGCGCGCCTCGACGGGCTGCGCCGCGGGCACCTGGACCTGGAACGTCGCGCCCGGCGGACAGCCCGGCGGGCAGGCGACCCGGATCGTCTGGCCGTTGTGCTGCGCCGAGATGACCTGGCCTGCCTGGCAGCCCGGCGGCACCTGCAGCGCGATCAGGACCTGGCCGGCTGGCGGCCCGCCGGGCGCCGGCTGCGGCGGCGCCGGCTGCTCCGGTTGCGGCGGCGCCGGCTGCTCCGGTTGCGGCGGCGCCGGCTGCGGCTCGCGCTCCGGCGACGGTGCGACCTTCTGCGGTGCCGACGGTTGTGTTGTTCGGACGGGCGGCACGTACGCCGTCTCCGGGAGCTCGTCCGGAGAACCGTAGCGCCTGGGGTTCATGATCCGCCGCGCGCGCTCGGCCTCCCTTCGTCGATATTCGCTGCTCACGCGCGCCTCCGGCGACGAGGCGCTGCCGCCCATGGGTAATGCTGCTTGTGATGGTGCGGCTGCGAGCAAGCTGTCCAGTGGCTGCCCAGGGTGAGACGCACGTACGTGTTGCGCCCCGCGCAGTGCTGATCGATGGCACTACACTCGAGTCGGAGTTGGGCGCCTAGGAGCCGAGAGGGCTGCCCACAACAAGCCGGCACACACCTTTGGCAGGGACCCCTAGTGGGTTTCTCACGGCGCGCCCCGCACGCTGTGGCGGGCTTTGCGACCTAGATCGCACCCCATCAGTCCCCGTCGGACGCGTCGCGCGACGCAGCTGGCCGGCGTGGCAACCGCGCGCGGCTCCACCATCGGTCCAGCCTGAACAGAGGAGCGGTCGCACCCGTGCGACCGCTCCGCATTCGCCCACCAGCGGACGCCCCGCCGCGCGTGACCACATTCCGATGGACGAAATCGCTCCCCGTGGGCAGCGCCTTCCGCTTTCATCGCCTGTTAGGCAAAAGCAGCAACGAACAGCTGCCAAAGCGCTGCCCCCGCCGACCCCCAGCCAACGCTTACCCCGTGCACACGTCGCTGCTCAGTGCGTAACTCAAATGTCGCTGCGCGCGTCGCCGCCATTGCTGAATCCTGGCATCCACGCCACCGACGCGACGCCAGCGCGATGGCGTGCACCCGACTCACTGGTTGATTTGCGCGCAGGTGCTCCTCTCGATCATGGCCGAGACAATCACTGCGGACGCCGTCGCCGACGCCGTCGCGCCGGGCGGCATTGATGCTGGTCATACGGCGTGGATCCTCATGTCCTGCGCCCTCGTGAACTTCATGACGCCGGGCCTGGCCTTCTTCTACGGCGGCCTCGTCCGGCGCAACCACGTGCTCTCGATCATCATCCAGAATTACGTTTGCATGGGAATCATCACGCTGATCTGGGTCGTCTGGGGCTTCTCGCTCTGCTTCGGCGCGTCCGGCTGGTTCTACGGCGACCCGGGCGACTTCGTGATGCTCAACCGCGTCTCCGGCGCGCCGCTGCCGCACGAGGGCCGCGGCAAGATGGGCGAGGCCTACGTCGAGGGCATCCCGGGCTTGGTCTTCGCCGCGTATCAAGGGATGTTCGCCGTGATTACGCCGGCGCTGATGACTGGCGCTTTTGCCGAAAGGATTAAGTTCGCGCCGTTTCTCGTGTTCGTGGTGCTCTGGGTGCACCTCGTGTACTTTCCCTGGTGCCACTGGGTCTGGGGCCCGAACGGCTGGCTGATGACCTGGGGCGTCTGCGACTTTGCTGGAGGTTTAGTTGTGCACGTGACGGCTGGGTTCTCGGCTCTGGCTACGGTCATGGCCCTGCCGTCGAGAGAAAAGCTCGAGGGCGCCCCGGTCGACACGACGCCGCACAATGTTCCGTATGTAGCTTTAGGGACGGCCTTGCTCTGGTTCGGCTGGTTCGGCTTCAACGGCGGGAGCGCCCTCGGCTCGGACAGTGTTGCCGCATATGCTTTGATCAACACGGAGATTTCTGCCAGTGTAGCTCTATTGGTCTGGATGTTCATCGAGTGGAAGCTCGAGGGAAAACCGAGTTTGGTAGGCGTCTGCGTCGGCGCCATCGCCGGCCTCGCCACGATCACGCCGGCGGCGGGCTTCGTCAAGCCGTGGGCGGCGGTCGTGATTGGCACCGCCTCGGCCATCTTCTGCTACGCCTGCGTTTATGGATTGACGAAGATGGGCTACGACGACGCGTTAGATGTGTGGGGCGTCCACGGCATGGGCGGCTTCCTCGGGACGTGTCTGTTGGGCGTGCTGGCGGAACACGACGTGAACGGGGTGTCCGGCGCGATCTCGGCGTCCCGCGGTGCTGCGGCGCCTTCACGCCGTCGACGCGACTCGTCTCCATCTCACAATGAAGTGGGTGGTTCGTTTTTCGAATTTGAGGCCGTTCGGACCGCGGCGAGTGACCGCGATGCTCCGCGCAGGCGACTGGAATCAGTTCAAGAAGCAACTCGCGGCGGCGTTGCTTTGTGCTATTTACAGTTTCGTCGTGGCCTTCGCGCTCATGAAGGGTTTGATGCTGGTGATGGACGTCGTCCCGGACGTGGAAATGGTGCGGTCGGGCCTCGACTACTCGATGCACGGCATGCTCGCGCACAATTCTGATGATGACGACGCGAAGCCGAAGAAGAGCGCCGCGCGGGGCCCCGAGAAGACGGAGGAGATGGACGGTAGTGGTGCGAAGGTCGGCATCCGCCTCGACCCCTGAGTTGTGAGGTCGTGAGCCGCCCAATTCGTCGCAAGCCCCCCTCCCTACCCGCGGCTCCCTCACAAGTGAACATAACACCGTTGTCTGCACTACTCGATGACGAGACAATAATGTTACGGCTAGTGGCGCGACACGAGCATGCGCCCTCGCTGTGATACGCTCGACAGGCCGACGGTCCGGCTCAGGACCACTGAGCCGGACTTGGCCAGCGGCGACGTGTAGGAGCCGGGCCCGAGGTGGTGGCCGTCGAAGCCCCACTCCATGGGCGCCGATGCGACGTAGTTGAGGCCGTTCGGGTCCAGGCGCGACGACCGTCCGGACGACCGAGCCCACGAACTTTGTGGTCTTTGCAATTGACTTGGAGAGAAGAATTCAAACCCAGACGGAATGTCGTAGCACGAGGGCACGTCGACGAATTCGAGGGAAGGCTCCGAGAGCTTCCGCCGCGTCTTCGAGATGACGCTGCCCCCCGTGAGGAACGGCTTCTTGGACCGGCGCGAGTACCTGACCGGCAGGTGCGCCCGCGCGTAGTGGTGGATGTCGCTCCCGTTCTGGAGGAGCGAGTGGTCCTTGAGGGCCGGCGACGGCAGCGCGTGGACGTAGCCGCCCAATTGGCTGCTCTGCATGAGGGACATGCCGGCGCTGCCGCCGGGAGCGCTCCCTCGTGGGGTGCGGGGTCGGGCGGCGCCCGGACGCGCTGCGGCGGTGGCGTCGGTGCAGCCCCGCGGTCTCCTCGCGCGCGCGAGGGCAGCCCTGGCGCGTCCCGGGAGAGCGTGGGTTACTCTTTCCCTCAATTTCTGTTGATATTCGAACCCTCGGCGAGGAGCTCTCCGGCCCGACGCGCCGGCGGAGCGGTCGCCGCGACGGATGCTGCTTGCTAGTGTGTCTTACAGGACGCTAGCACACAGCCTCCGCAGCCAAGCCAATTTCATAGCCTGTGTGCGGCCGGTCAGGCTCGGAGCATCTGTTTTAGATTGCTTTTGTTGAGACAGACCGCCCGCGACCGCGTTGGGACGCGCGAAACCGGGCCCGGAGCGCCCACAGCCCTGCCGACCGGCAGCGTCTCTTTTGGACGCTGCCGGCGGGGCGCCGCGGAGCCGTATTGGTCCGGCGCCGCCGCCGCTGCAGGGCCGCGCGCGAGCCCGCTCACTCAAGACAAGGACCGCGCAGAGCGTCGCGATAAAACGGGACCATGGCCTCGTACCTCTACAATTCCTTAAAGAGAATTGTCGTCGGAGAAGAGGACGACGACCCGTCCTGTCTGAAGGACCCCGTGACCATGGCGCTGTACGAAGATCCTTTGAAGGGTCTAGGTCTCAAACAAACCGCACAACCGTGGGACACGAGAGACGCGCTGCGGACGAACTGCTTGAATTTAGTAGCGCAATCGTCTCTGAACCGACGAGATAAACCTCTACTACCGCATAAATACGCGCTCATCGCCTACCACCTCGCGGCGAAAACCATCAAGGTGACGAAGGCGCAGGACCTCAAAAGGCTCCTGGACGAGGAACCGCACTTGTTCTCTGGTGCGGTCCCGCGTCGCGCGCAGGTGCCTTCACGCCATCGAGCCGCGTCGTCTCCAGGAGAGAAGGCGTCGGGCGGTCTTTTTCGCGACTTTGAGCCGTTTCGGACCGCGTCGCGACGCCGTCGTTCCGCGCAGGCCGGCCCACGGACATGCTGCAGATTCTGAGGCCGGTCCACTGCGCCGGCGTGCCCACGAATAGTCGTGTCCGAGCGGGCGCGATGTTGCACGTCATCTACGATGATTACGTCCTGTGCCAGGACCCGGGCGACGCGCTGCCGCACCAGCAGTACGTCTGCAAGGTGTCCTATTGTGGAAGACAACATTTCGTGAGGAGACGGTTCTCGGAGTTTAAATTACTACACGATAAATTACAAAAAGAATTACTTGTGGTGCCGGGCTTTCCGAGTGCTGATGTGTCCTACAAAGTTGGCCTTGGCGATTATTCAGCGAGAGGCAAGGCTCTCTGTAGATACGCTTGTAGAGTGCACGCCTCATTGGGCGCGCGGGGCATGTTCTCGCCGCGCTTGCTCGCGTTCCTGGAGATCGACGCGGCTCGTGTTCATATCGAGGAGGACGGTGCGGTCTCGGCGTCCCGCGGTGCCTTCACGCCATCGACGCGCGTCGTCTCCAGGAATGCTGGAAGTGGGTGGTCTCTGGTCCAAATTTGAGCCGTTTCAGACCGCGTCGAGGGACCACGATGCTCACGCAGTCGTTCCGCACAGGTCGCGTCTCGAAGATGCTCGACTCCACGTCCCAGGTCTCGGGGAGCGTCTGGCACATGGTCGACGAGTTCTGGCTGAAAAAGTGGCGCAAGTTCGTGCTAGGGCGGGCGGCGCGACGTTATGAGCCGCCGGGGCCGATTTCCAACGAACACCTCCTCGAGAGTGTGGCGCGCACGCGCTATCTACTGACCGAATCGCTCACGGTGGAGGAAAGGAAGAAGCGCCAGAAGGAGCTCGACGAGCGCGCGACGACCGTCCCACCACCAATACGTAGAGAAGCTCGGTTAGAATTCGACCAGCGGAGTGCCGCGGTGGACAAGTACCAGACGCCATTGGACGAGGATAGCAAGGAGGAACCCGTACAACCGGAGCCCGCGACGATAGGAAAACATTATCGGGCGATCAACTACGACCTGTGGACGTACTGGCGGATGGTGCACGGCGGCGGTGCCGAGTCAGCGTCTTCACGCCATCTTCATGAATCGTCTCCACGAGAGAATGGTTTCTTTTTCGAATTTGGGGCCGTTCGGACCGCGTCGCGACGTGGTCGCCGCGGCGCCGTCCCGAGGATCACACGAGCGTCGTCCCCGCGCAGGCCCCTGCATCTCGCGCAAGACGAAGGAAATCACCTCTCCGCCGGCCTGCGGCCCCGGCCAGGAGGCCGTGTCTCGCTTGCAACGCTTCGGGAGGATGTGCATCTCCAAACAGCGACGCATCGCGAAGTTCTGGAATCATTTATCAGGTACCGCTGCTGGAGTGAGGGAGGTCTTAGCTGATGCTGCTGAGAGGCGTATAAGAGATAGAGTGGATAGGACCCTGGGCGCGGCGCGGAACAAGCGCACGGAAGGGAGATTGAGGTTAGCGGCTCGCTACACGCAGCGCATGTGGCGGTCGAAGCGCGCGTACGCGTTCAACGACGAGAACGTAAAAGTGATGAAGCACGCGCAGGAGATCTTCGCGCGGGCCGACGGGGAGGTCGAGCACGCGTCGGCGGGCGCGCCCTTCGTCGTCGAGGAGGGGGAGAGGATCGTGCAGGTCGGCGCGACGGAGCAGTACGAGATCAAGTTTACCGAGTCGGATGGTCCTTCCTTGCCCGTCGTGTTCAAGCGCCATTCCTGTTCGGAGCTGACGTATGTCCACTCCGTCGGGAAGGACATGGCGATGAAGAAGGGGCGGGATCAATTGGTGCGGACGCGGCGTCCGTTGGTCTTCTCGCGCGTCGCGTCGATGGCGTCGGGGGGAGAGCAGGCCGATTCGGGCCGCCGGTCGCCGCGATGGCGTCGACGCCGTCTTCATGATCACGCGAGGGGTCCACGCGTCGCGCGAGAGCGGGTCGCGGCGATGGCGTCTCGCGAGCGTCGTGTCGCGCCTCGCAGGTGCCCGACTCCGTGTTATTGGTGGTCCAGTCCTACCCCGTGTCGTCGTTGGCGCACGACCAGGTCATGCACCGGTTACGTTCGGCAAAATGGCCCGTCACGCTTAGATTTTCGAGACCACTCACCGATAGCGACGTGACACCCCTCGCGCGATGCTTGCAGCTGGAACAGCAGGGCGAACTGCCCGACGACCTGAAGCTGCAGATGCTCAAGCGGCTCCTCAGCAAGGGCGTCGCGGTCAGGAAACACGGCTCCAGGAAGCAGGCGTACGACACGGTCGTGTACCTCAACGAGACGATGCTCTTCTGGCGGGTGCGATCTCGGCGTTTTGAAGTGTTGCGGTGCCTTCACGCCATCGACGCGACTCGTGTCCATCTCACGAGGCCGTTCGGACCGCTTTGACGGAAATGCTCCGCGCAGGTCCGCGACGCCCTTAAGCAGCAGGCCAATTCCAAGGTGCGCAAGAAGAAGAAGACCGAGGACGTCCAGGAGGAGGTGCGCGGTTTGAGTCTCAAACTGTGTGGAAATCAACCAGTGCGTCGGGTGCACCCGACAATTCTTCACTAAGTCATTTCTCGGCGATGACGTGGCCGTCCTGGCAAGGTCGAGCGGTGAGGGACCGGCATCGCCACGCCATCGAGCAGGCGTCGCGTCGATGGCGTGGAGGTCGACGCGACGATTCAGCACGAACGCGCCGTAAAATTTTGATTTCCACACAGGTCTCAAATATGATCTCACTAAGGGTGTCGGTTTGTACGATCTGCGGTACGTGCGCGTGGGCAAGATCTCGTCGTCGTTCAAGCGCTATGCGTCGAAGAAGGCGCCTCAGGACCGGTGTTTGTCGCTATTTTGTGCGGGTTCCAAGACGATAGATCTGGAGGTGCTCGGTGACGCGAAGGAACGAGATGCCTTCGCGTGGGCCTTCGACAAGATCATTGGCGAAGCGCGGGCGACGCGCATCTTCGTGGACAAGGCCGGCGCGCCGGTCGCGCGGTCCGAGCCGAAGAAGCGGCTACGGATGATCCTGGGGGCGCACTAATCGTTTTACTGAATACCTAGTATACCGTGACGGCGTGACCTACTAGTATATACATATATATACGGTACTACTACCTACTAGTATACCTTACAACATACATACCTTCGCCTTGCGCCCCCGGCTTTCCAGAGCGAACTAGGGTATGGGGTAATGAACTCGCGGCCACGTCCGGCAGCCGTCGTCCGGCGGGCCGAGCTCCGAGAGCTCGACGTCGCGCTCGAACGCCTCGCCCATCCAGCCGCGGCGCGCGGCCCGTCGGCGGACCTCCTCCTCGTCGACGCCCAGGCGCGCCGCCGTATCCCGTATTAATGCGACGCGGCCCTGGATCCGCCGGCGAGGAAGTGTTGAATGGTCGGGGTCGTAGTCTCCGGTAATCGTGGCCAGGTTCCAGGCGTTCCAGTCGCATCGGTCCGCGAGCTGCGTCAGTTTTGACGCCGTTGATGGTAGGGCGGTCTCTTCCTGGTAGACGGCCTCCAGCGACTCTCGCGTCACTCCTTCCTCGTCTTCCGTATCCGGTAGCAGGGCGTCCGCCACGGCGGCGCGCAGTTCATCGTCCGCTGCTGCTGCCGCGTCGCGCGTCAAGTCGAAGCATACGACGTTAAACGCGACGACGAAGAGGAGCAGGCCCCAAACATACACGTTTTCACGGCTCGGTGCGCCCTCGGGGCTGCTGCCCGATGATCCTAAGGAGCTAAGCTTCTTGCCCCACCTGTGAGCATCGGTGCTTACTGGGCTTGCGCGAGCCGCGGCGGCGGCGGCAGCCACGATGGTGCACGCCGCCGAGAGCATGCATCGTCGCATGGTTGCGGAGAGCCGGCAATTCCAATTCGAGCCTGGGGCAGCTCAGATGGGCAGCTCTGCCGGGCGCCGGGACGGGTTGGGCTCCCGGGCCCGCCGCGGAGCCGTCCCGCAACGCCTCTAAACGTCCTCAATCCCCCGAATTGCGCCCGCGCCAGACGTGCGGGTTCACGGCAACATCCCCCCCCAAAACCAAGCGCTGAGCGGCGGCACGGCGGACGCGCCCGTCTAGTCGCTTGCATCGCGCGTAGGGCTGCCCGCCGACGCCAGTCGACGCCATAAGACGGCAGCAACGCCGGGAGGGCTGCCGGAACGCTACCAATACTAGCTAGCTCGGCCGTCCGACGCCGTCGACGCCTCGACGCGGTGGAACAAAGCTGCCGCAGCGACACTACTAAGGTTTGCTGATAGAGCTAGCTAGGCCCCGCTCCGACGCCGTGTAAATAAACAGACGTCAAGATGCCCGAGTTACCTGAAGGGACGATTAATGCGTTTATACAGAACAAGAACCTGGCCAAGTATGGCCTGCTCAAGGACAACGAGGGCGGGTTTCTTGCGGAGAATTTCGTCGACTATCAGCTCATCGATAGGTGCGATCTCGGCGTCCTGCGGTGCTGCGGCGCCTTCACGCCATCGACGCGACTCGTGTCCATCTCACGATGCCGGGGGTGGTCTCTGGTCCAAATTTGGGCCGATTCGGACCGCGTCCATCATTCCTGGAGACGACGCGCGTCGACCGCCGCACGCCGCCGCGCGACCGCGACGCTCCGCGCAGGCACGAAACCCTCGAGGAAATAGTAGCGGTGGGATGGATGAGCGACTTCCACCCCTTCAACAAGGACCTCGTGGCGGACCCCTCGCCGAAGATTTTAGTTATTGTCGACCGAGAACAAACCTACGGCGACTTCTGGCGCGTTTGCTTGACCGCCGAGGCCCAAGAACGGGAGATGAAGGCCATTAATGCTGAGCAAGAAGAGGCGCGACTTCTGGCCGAGGCCATCGAGGCGGAGCGGCTGCGCGTCGAGGAGGAAGCTAGAAAGGCAGCGACGGCCGTGTACGACGACTCGCCTATTGTAGCGAAGGCCTACGCGTCGGAGACGAGGGATGAGACGTTCGAGGACGTCGCGGCGTTGGACGTCGTGCCCGAACGGCCGCTGATGCAGTTCCAGCTGTCGCGACCTGTGTGGAAATCAAAATTTTACGGCGCGTTCGTGCTGAATCGTCGCGTCAACCTCCACGCCATCGACGCGATGCCGGCTCGATGGCGTGGCGATGCCGGTTCCTCGCCGCTCGAGCGAGCCAGGATATCGGCCGACGCACTGGTTGATTTCAACACAGGTCGCGACCGGCCGACTCGATCGGCGAGCCTCGCGTGTTTGCCGACCTCTCGGCGGACAACGAGATGTTCACGGAATCGCGCTCGACGAAAAATCCTGATTTCGCCCTGGAACGACGGGAAATGTCCGTCTCCGTCCAGGCCTGCAAGGTCAAGAAAGATACGGGTTCGCAGACCTGGACGCGGCCCATCCAGGCCAGTACGCAGTACCACCCTGTTGGAGACGCCTACCAGCTCCCACCACCTCCCCCAGAGTCGAAAAGAGAACGCCAGGCGTCCCGACAGAAGCTCGTGAACGGTAAAAAGGGCCAGGTCGAGGAGGACACTAGTCTGATGACCGAGGACCAGCTCAACGAAAGAAAGAAGGCTGCGGAGCGAGACAGGAGCTACGCGCACGTCGCCCGGTTCCTCGCCAAGACCTTTGGGCTGATGGAGAACGCGCTGGAACAGAACGAGACGGTCGACGTGTTCGGGGATCTTTTTAAGGGTGCTGACTCAGCGTCCGTTTTTGATGAATGAACTTCAAGGTCGCGTCGATGGCGTCGGCGCGACGCCACGCCACCGCGGCGCCGTCGACGGGGCCGTGTGAGAGTCCACGGGTCTCGTGAGCGTCGCGTCGCGACCGCGGCCCCGCGCAGGTACTGGGGCCGGCGCCGAAGACCTGGAAGCGTCCAAAGGTGCGCTCGGTGAATTGAAAGAATTACGGACCTTCGCCGACATCAACAGGACGAAAGGAAAACACTTACACAGCTTGCAGTGGCACCCCGCTCGCAAGGGCGTCGTCGCCGTCGGCCCGCGCTCCAACTTAACCTTCGAGGACCGTTTACCGTCGAGTGGCTTTTCGTCGTCGTCGCACGTCCTGTACTGGGACTTTGCTGATTTAATAACGCCGTTACTCGTGTTGGAGGCGCCTTATAGCGTGGAAGCCTTTGCGATTAACACAGAGCGGCCCCACCTCGTCTGTGGCGGCCTCGAGAACGGCCAGGTGCTCGTCTGGGACACGTCGGCATCCACACAAGCTATCGACGCGAAGCGACAGCGAGAGAAGCGGCGACTCGCGGGAGAAAGCACGAAGGACGACGAGGAAGCGGCTCTCTTTGATGACGAGGTCCGACCTCCCCTCGAGGCGCTTGCGATGGCGTCGCTGGGCGACCACAAAGTGGAACACTGCCACCGGCGGTCCGTGACGCAAGTCGTGTGGCTGCCGAAGAACGCACAGATCGACTACAAAGGTAGACTGCTGGAAGAAGAGTACCAGGGCGAACACAGCAACCAGTTCGTGTCCATTTCTCTGGACGGCCAGCTGCTCTTTTGGGACCTGCGCTTCGAGGACATCGCGCGCGGCAAGCACCCGAAAGTAGGCCGACGCATGCGCGGCAGCACGGACGTCGGCGCCGACGGCAAGCTCAAGGCCGTGCCCTGGCAGCCGCTCTGGAAATGTCATCTGGCCCATCCTGCTGGTGTTGGTGAGTTAGGGCTCTGTCACATGGTCAATGCCTTTGTTGGGGTCGGTGACGACCCCATCCCCTCGACAGAGGAGGACGTACCTGATGTGGTACCAGATCACCGCTGCAGGTTTATTGCTTGCAGTGAAGATGGCGAACTCCTCAGTGGAGACTGGGCCGCTGTTTCCGAGGACGACTCGGAACCCGCTTATGTCACCTGGGCGGCGAAGGACCACCCGCGACCCGCCCTCGCGCTACAGCAGTGTGCGTTGCTCAGGGATCACTTACTGACTTGTGCGGAACGCCATTTCCACGTCTGGCTCTTCGGGCAAAAGCAACCGGCCTTCAAGTCTCCCCGAACAGCCAAGTTATCTTGTGTGGCTTGGTCGCCGACGAGGGCGGGGGTTGTGTTCTGTGGTCGAGCTGATGGTGGCCTAGACGTCTGGGATCTGTGTGATGATCCGGAGCGACCTATTGGCTCGTTCCGAGTCGCGTCGTCGGCCATCACGTCGATGTCGTTTCAATCAGATCTACTACCAGGAGAATATGATCAATTACTGGCGTTAGGAGATGAGCAGGGCAACCTCCACGTCTTCGACGTTCCCCTACCTTTAAGAAAGCCGAAAGCTTCGGACATCGATACGTTCAAGGCCTTCATCCAGGCCGAGATCGACTGGGAGGTCAAGTCGCAGGAGCGCATGGCGGCGCAGAAGGAGGCGGCGGAAAACGCGAAGGCCGCGGCGCCGGCCGAGGGGGACGCCGAGGAGGAGCCCGCGGCAGAAGAGGAGGCCCCGAAGGACGGCGAGTTCGACTTCTCGGAGGCCGAGCTCGAGGCGGACAACGCGGCCTACGCGAAGCTGCAGCGGAAGCTCGCCCAGGAGATGGACATCCGCTTGCTCGAGTCCGGGTTGAGGGACTGGTCCTACGAGCCGCAGCCCGAGCAGCCGGCGCAGTGAGTAAGGTTTTTGCTCAAGTACTCTACTCAAGTACTAGTCATACACTCTTACAACACGCGAGGCGCCGGCCAGCGTCGTTTCGATCTCCTCGACGTCGTCGGGGTCGCGCCAGAACGACAGGATGTTCCACACCACCCCGTTGTCGCCGAGGCGCGCGACGAACGCGACGGCCGCCTTCCAGTCGGCCCCTCGCATGCGACGCTTCTGATACGGAGTGATGTAGCCCCGCATCGCGAGACTCCGTAGCGCCAGTATCTCGCGGTGCGGGCCCCGTCTCCGGCAGTACTTTTTCCAGGATCCCGCCGCGCTCACATCCTTGATCAACGTCTTAAGAGCCGCGAAGTGCCAGTTTCCCTTAATCAAGTTCTTATACTGTTCTTCCGCTGTCACCAACTCCTCAGCCGAATTATCGCCTGCGCAGTTGTCCAGGGACGCCCCAGCGCGAAGCAAAATGCAGACCATGGCGAGCTTGCCGCTGTGACCACGATCACACAAGAAGCTGTCAATTGCTGCTCCAAGCGGACTCCTTATTACCTGGGTAAGCGCTCCAAAGCGGTCCGGGAATTCCCCGCCAGCTACTCTCCGGTTTACCTGGCTACCGGCGCCGATCAATAGGACCACAAATTTGTTTGCAAATGTCCCCTTGCCGCCGCAGGCCAGATGCAACGGGCAAAGGCCCTCGTTTTCTTCCCCTACGGCAATGCGGTTAACGTCCGCTCCACGACTGATGAGGTACTTGACCAGGTCAAGTCGATTGGCGTCGTAATTTCCGTCCCTTGCTAGGCATACGTGAAGCAGAGACGTTCCATCGGTGTCAACGTCGTTCACAGACTGCGGGTGTTCGTCGAGCCACGCCGCCACCTCGTCCTTGTCCGCGTACCTGGCCGCTTCGGCTACGTCGTCGGGGATCATCCTAGCAATGCGCGCGCTTGCGGGCGGTAGTCCTTTGCGGGCAGTAGTCCTGCGTCGAAGTAGTGGCCTACTGGCTGCCGTAGCCCGCACTAACGTATCGATGCGCTTGAATGTGGCAAAAACCAACAGGCGCCGAACCCGCAGCTAGCGGCAGTAAGACACTAGCAAAAGTGCTGGGCTGGGCGCCGGCACAGCGGTCTCTGGCGTCACAGTCGCTGCACATTGTGCTCTCATAACGCAGCGACAGCAGTCGCAACGCCCAGAGCATCGGTGCTGCGGCCGCGCGACGCCAGCACCCCATTTGGCAAAACACTGCCACAGCACAAATGAACCGCCCCAAGTCCTACGCGAGATTACAGAAGGAGGCCGAGGAGGGGAACGAACGCCTGCCCGAGAATCATGGGTATGGCGGTTCAAAAGTGTCGGCGCGACCCGCGAAGCGCGCACGCGTCCAGGTGGAAGAGCACGAGGACATTGCACTAAGAAAGGAGGACGAGAAGTCGCTGCACGCCATGGGTTTGGATGCCAACAAACTCCGAGAAATAAGAAGCCAGTACGGCTCCGAAGAGCGCGGCGGCGCCGAGCGCATCGCGGACGCCCGACCCGCGCATAGAAAGCGGTCCTCTACAAGATGCCGACCCCTCCAGGACTGCGGCGCCACCCAAGGGAGTGATGAGGGCGCCAAGCTCTTCTGCCTCGACTTCGCGCGGGGGCGGTGCCCCGACGGCCCTCAGTGTACTCATAGACATGAGATCCCGAGGCCGCGCGACGACGAGGATCTCGAGATCCTGAACGAGGACTACGACATCTTCGGGAGGAAACGGAGTCTGTTGACGAGCCACTGGGAGCGGCACCACGGCAAAAAGGAGGAAGGGGCCAACTCGTTGCGGTTGACGGCGCTGTTCGTGACTGGGTTAAGGGCACCGGCTCGACAAAGGACGGAGCTCTGTGGAGGAAGAAAAGGTAGTGGAGCGAAGTCGATCGCGGGCGATCTTGACAGTGCGGTACGAAAAGCGTTCGGGGCCTTCGGGGAAGTGGTCGAGACGCGCGTCGTGTTGGATAGTGTGCGGGGCCACAAGTGCACCGTCGCTTATAGCTCTAGGTCGGCGGCGGAATTCGCCAAGGAGGCCATGACCGGCCAGTCGCTGCGGCCGGACGGCGGCGAGCTCGTGCAGGTCCGCTGGGCGAAGGAGCAGGCGTCGACGTCCGAGACGGGGAAATTTAGTTTTGTGGACGTCCACGCGGGAAGGGCTCAACCGACGCCGCCCGCGGAATCGCTGCCCGAGGGCTGGTGCAGCACGTACGACGCGGCGTCGCGTCGTACGTACTACCACGACGAGGACGGGTCCCACGTGACGTGGGCGCGGCCGACGGAGCGGGCGCCCTCCGTTGCCCACCTTCCGCCGCTGCCGCCGGGCTGGCGGCGGCACTTCGACGCGGCGCGCGGCTGCGTCTACTACCACAACGCGGCGTCCGACGCGACGACGTGGGATCGGCCCTCTTAACTATCTGTTGTTTGACGTCCGCGCGCTACCCAGTTGGTCCCGGAGCCGAGGACCCATCCCGATGCGTCCGAACCGTCCGGGGCGCCCGTGCGGAAACGCACGGTTCGGGCTGGATCCGAGCCGCTCTCCCGGCCTTCCGGCGCCGCCCACGCCGCCGCCGCGCACCCGACGCGCCGAAGGAGGCTGCCGCCGCGACCCCCGCGACCGCGCCCCCGCACTATCCAGAGATGCAGTGTTTTGGTGTGGACCTCTACAAGGACGAGACGCGCGGCGGCACCTACTCGATAGCGGACCAAGTAGCTCGGTTCTCCAAAGCTATAAGCGATGGCAACGAGCGCTACCTCGATGTGGCGTCGGTCTACGACGGGAGTTACTTAAAAGACAAGACCGTATTGGTAACAGGAGGTAATAGAGGTTTGGGCCTCGCCCTGTGCAAGCGCTGTGTGGCGGACGGAGCTACTGTTTTGGTCTTCGGTAGAAAACAATCTGACGAGTTGAAAGAGCTAGGCTGCGTCCAGATGACAGGCGTCGACGTGACGAACACGAGTGCCGTAAAAAACGCGTGTCGAAAAGTCGTCGAGCAGGGCTACCAGCTCGATATCGTCATAAACAACGCGGGCTACTTCTACGGGCCGCGCGAGGCCGTGACGCCGACGGACACGATGCATTATGATGAGCAATTAAAACAAATTGACGTCTGCGCCGTCGGGCCGTTGCGCGTCTCGGCCTGCTTGCGCCAGGCTCATGCGTTGAAGAAGGACGCCCAGATTATCATAATTACGTCGCAGGCCGGGTCCGTGCAGTGGCGCTTCACGCAAAATAGGAACGTGGGCGGCGATTACGGGCACCACATGTCGCGGGCGGCGTGCAACATGGGCGCCGTGCTGCTGGGGGAGGAGTTGAGGGCCGATGGTATGAGCGTGGTGTTGTTACACCCCGGGTTTTGTCGCACGGAAATGACGCGGAAGTACGAGTCGATCTGGGACGCCGAGGGGGCGGTTGATGCTGATGTAGGTGCTATGCGCGTGCTGTTTGAAGTGGGGAGAAAGCACGAGTCCGGTTCCTACATAAACTGCGAGGACGGGCTCCGGATCCCCTGGTAGAGAGTAACTTACATTAAGGCCAGGACCCCGAGCGCGCCGAGCCCGACGCCCACTCGTACTGGAGAGGGGTCCAGCAGCACGACCAAAGCACAAACCAGGCCGCAGACCTCGCGGTGCGCCCGGATCGCCTCCAGGACCGTCCTTCGGGGGACGCGCGCCGCCGCGACGTCGACGTCGCTAGCCCCTAACTCCCGGCACTTCGATTCGAGGGCCATACAGGCGCGGCGGTCCGCCTCTGACGCCTTCCGCGCGTCGTCGGCGTCCGCTCTGCTGGACGCGGCGTCGGCCTCGGCATCTTTTCGCGCCGCGACGGCCCGATCGAGATCCAGCCGCGCCCGCCGCAGACTCTCCGCGGCGTCGCGCGCCGCGGCGCGGTCCTTCGTCGCGGAGGCGCGCAGCTGGACCATCTCCGCTTTCAAAGCAGCAATCGTCGCGTCGGATTCGGACGCGCGCGCCTCGGCGGCCCGCAGCGCCCGCAGCGCCTGGTCGAGCTGCCCCTCGAGCTTCTCCCGCGTCTCCGTGGAGGACGACGACGACGCCTCGCCGCAGGCGTGCGCCTCGCGCAGCCGGTCGCGCTCGATGCGCAACGTCTCGACGAGGGCGTTCGCCTCGGATAGCGCGCGCTCGGCGTCGAGCGTCCGTTGGCGCTCCCGTTCCGACGCGTCGAGGCGGTCCTTGGCCGCCAAGGCAGCGGCATCTAAAGCGGCCAGGAGGCGCGTCTCCGTGCCCTCGAGGGCGGCGACGCGCGCGTTCGTCGCCGTCGTCGACGAGGCGGCGGACGAGGGCGCCGCGCTCTGGCGGCTTCGCGGCGCGCTCGGCGTCGCCGCCTCCCGCGGCCGGGGCGTGAACCGCGCGCGCGGCGCGGGGGCGTCGTCGTCCTTGCCGTCGTCGTCGCGCAACAGCGGCGACTTCGCCACGGACGGCGGCCTCGCGGCGGCGGCCGCGTCGTCTCCTCTCAAAATCGCCGCGGCCCGCGCCGCGCGCCGCTCCTCGTCGCGCTTGCGTCTTTCGGTTAACGTGCCGGGCGCGAGGGCCGGGCTCGCCGGCCGCCGCCGCTCCGGCGACCCGTTCGCCGCCGCGAGCGGGCTCCGCCGCAGCGCGGGCGTCGCCGGCGGGCCGTCGCTGTCGTCCTCGTCCGTGTCGGCCTTGCTGAAGCGGCCCGCGAGGCCCTGGGCGCGGCGCGCGGCGGCCGCGACCTTGGTCGGCGAGGGGCTCCGCGGCTTCGGACTCCCCGGCGGCCGCGCCCGTTCCCTCGCCAGGCGCTTGGCGCGGTTCCAGGCCTCGCCGGGCCGCGTCGCCGGCGGGCCCGTCGTCCGTCTTGCGAGGACCGCGCGTGCGCCGGCGCCTGGGGATCTCCTTGCGCGGCTCGGCGTGAGGGCCGGCATTTTTTGTTGTTCGCGTACCGTCAGTGATGCGTGGCCCCGCTGCCGAGCCGTACGCGTGCGTGTGGCGGTCGCTGGCGCGGCGCTGGCGTCTCTTGCGTCGCGCTGGTGCTTTTAGCAATAGCACCGGTTTGCAACGTGCGCCTATAACTCTGCGCAGAGCTAGCCAAATCGCACAGTTCTTGGCTCCCGGATCTATGCTCGTCTATTAATTTGCCGGGCCGGCTCTGTTTGTCCGGTGAGTACGCGCGCGTTTCACCGCCCTGGGCGCAGGGCAATGCCAATGCGCAGCTTAGCTTCGCGCGGGCGCCGCTGAGCGCGGAGGGATCGACGCCCCACACAGTCGTCAGCGGAGAAAGGTAGATGGACAATATTAGACGGGGGGATTCATACGAGGACGACGCTCCCTACGTCCAATCTCTAATGACCTGCGACCGCGCCGTCTTGGTGATGCGCACGTCCGGCGAGCAGAAGAGGCAGAAGGTGCAGTAGCTGAAGCAGCCGATGACCGCGGCTGTGTGGTAGAAATTGTTGCGCGGCCGGCCCGGTGCAGCGGCTCTCGTAAAACGCGCGCGCGAAGAGGCCCTTTTGGCCTTTGGGCGCGGCCACGCTCGTGCTCTCCCACGACACGACGGCGCCCCGGTCGCACGGGCCGCGGTAAAGGGACGTGCTTTTTTGGTCGTGGTTGTTCATTAAGGACGCTGATACGAACTGCTGATGATCACGACGATGGGGTAGGTCGCCGGATCAGACAACCAGGCCTCTTTGAAGGTCAATTCGGCGGCTGGCTTCTTGGGCCCCGCCGAAAGGGTCCGCACCGGCGCGCGGAAGCTGTTCAGCCTGAAGGCGTTTAGGGCCGCTCGCCTGAGGACGCCGGCGGCGGCGATAGACATCCTTCCTGCGGGCTCCTGGGCTGGTAGCGGTTAAGTTTGAGGCCTCTGAATGCGCAACGGGCGCGCGGGGGCCGTGTGCAGCCGCTTTTTCAGCAGCTCAAGGAAGGCCGATTTTTCTAGTGGGGGACGACGCTAGGTACAGACGCCGTACACCCGTCGACGCCGCCGACACCCAGAAATCCGAGAGAGAATACTTAGTCCACCGTCACGCTCTTCGCCAGGTGGCGCGGGAAGTCCGGGTTCACTCCCCTCAAGAGAGCCAACTCATACGCGAGGAACTGCAACGGCAGCACCGCTAATAGAGCCGTCAGCTTCCCATTCCGAGGAATCACGATGGGGTCGTCGTCCAGCCCCTTGGCGAGGTGCGGCGCGTCCGTGATCACGAACACCTCCGCGTGCCGCGCTTTTACTTCTTCAGCGGCCGTCCGCATCAAGTGGCTGTGCTCATCATCGAGAATCAACATAATAATAGGTGTCTTCCGCTCCAAATCCTCCGATATCAACGCGAAGGGCCCGTGCTTCATGGCCCCACCACTCAAACCTTCAGCATGCACATACGCACATTCTTTTATTTTAAGAGCCCCTTCGCGCGCGATGGGCTCGGCGTAGCCCTTGCCCAAGATAAAAATGTGCTCCGCGTCCACTAATCTATGAGCCCACCGTCGACACTGCTCCTGGAGGCGCAGACCCATGCCGAAGCTAATGGGCAGGCGGTGGAGCGACGCCATCAATTGCTCAAATTTTGGACTGTGGTTTTCATTGCGCAGGTCGTGGAACCAACAAGCAAGTAAAGCCATGACCGTCACTTGCGTCGTGAAGGCCTTCGTGGAGGCGACGGCGTTCTCCCGGCCCGCGTTGAGGTAGACGCCGAGCTTGGTAGTTCTCGCAATAATAGATCCAACAGAATTGACGACGGACAGCGCCGTCACGTCGTGGCCCATGGCCTTCTGGACGCACCGCAGGACGTCCTTCGTCTCGCCGCTCTGACTGACCGCGAGCACGCCCCCGTTCTTCACGGGCAGGTCCGGCGCGTCCACCTCCGACGCGTCCATGACTTGCGCCGTGTCGAACGCGCCGAGATCCCGCATCAACTTCGCACCATATAAAGACGCGTTCATCGACGTCCCGCAGCCCACCTGTGTGGCACGGACACCGTCTGGACCTTCCCAATACGCGGAGACTCTCGTGTGATCATGATGACGGCGTCGCGGCGACGCCGTCTCACCAAGACGCCATCGCCGCGACCGCGCGCGCTCTCTCTCCGACGCGCCGCGACGATGGTGTCCGAAACGGCTCAAAATCGAAAATGAGACCACCCACGAACTCGTCTCGTGGAGACGACGCGCGTCGATGGCGTGAAGGCGCCGCGGGACGCCGCGATCAGTACCAGCAGCAAATGCTTGATGTTGTCCATGTCCTCCCGCCGCCGGTCGAGGCCGCCCAGGAAGACGCGGTCTTCTCCTAGTCTTCCACCGTAAGCTAGCGCTCTAGCAATCGCCGCGGGCTGCTCGACCTGCGTGTGTGATAATGCGCTCAAAATCGAGATTGAGACCACCCACTTCATTGTGAGATGGCGTATCATCTCGGAAAGGCCACGGGACGCCGCAATTCGACGATCTCGCGTTCCATCCAATGCGCATGAGGGGCCGGTGTTTGCCTCAATTCTAGATCAGGTGCGAGTTCTGCTCTACGAATATCTAACGAAGTGCCGCCGGCCCGCACGACGCCGATCTCGCCGTCCTGCCTGCGTGGATGGACGAGTCGCGTCGATGGCCGTGACGCTCGAAATCGAAAAAGAAACGACCCACGTCATCGTGAGATGGCCACGAGTCACATCGAATGAAGGCACCGTACGGGACGCCGAGATCCGGACATCGCGATAAAATTCTTCGTGTGGCGGTTGAACGCCGACGTCTCCGACGCGATAAAAGTTTTTTCGGGCGCCAGCCCGATGTTCATCGGGCTTCCGTTGCAGGCCACGACCACGCTCTCCGGATCCTTGACGCTGAGGACGGCGACGCCCCACGTGCCCTCGCACTTTTGGAGGGAGCGACTGACGGCGTCCCTCAGCTCGACATCGGGTTGGGCATCGAGCTCCCTCCCTATCAACTGGGCGATGACCTCGGTATCCGTCTGGGATCTAAATATAATCCCTTCGCTCTGGAGCTGCTCCCTCAACAGATCGGCGTTCATAATCACGCCGTTGTGCACGACGCCGACCCTCTCCTTCGCGTCAAAATGCGGATGGGCGTTCTCGTCGGTCTTGCCGCCGTGCGTCGCCCAGCGCGTGTGGGCGATGCCCACGTGGTGGCCCGCGTGCTTTTCCGCGTGGGCGCGGACGAGTGCGATACTGTCGGCCGTGCTCCCCTTGCTCGCGTACTTCGTGACTGCCAGCTCGTTCGTGCCTCGCTTCAGGGTGGCCATGCCCGCGCTGTCATAGCCTCGGTTCTGGAGGATGGAGAGGCCATCGAGCAAGACGTCTCGCGCGTCGTCCGCCTCCCCCACGACGCCCACGATGCCGCAGTTCTCGGCCTTTTTCTGGAGGTAGCCCACGCCTAACGTCGCCGCCGTGGCCCGGGCCGCGGCGACGCGCCACATTCTGTCCTGTTCCGGCCGGACTCAACGCCGCGCGTAGCGTTTCTGCACCGCTGCTGCGTCTAACGCACCGCGTGTAGGAGCCGGTACGGTACGGGCAGCGCGCGTAGCGTTTCTACGCTGCTGCCGCGGCTAAAAGCGCCGCGTGGAGCTACGGTGCGTTGCGTCCAGAGGCGCTGGCGCCTGCGTTTCTGCAGCTTTTTGCGCGGCCCAGTGCTAGCTATGTATGCGGCGACTCGGCGCCACTGGCGTAACACGTCTGGCGAGCAAATTACAGTGAGCAATGCGTCGGGGTTTGCCGTGAAAAATTAGCACTTTTAGTGGTCGGGTTTTCCGCGAACGTCGGGAATCCCTCGCCGCGGCCCACGGAGCGTCCCGCAAGCCCTGCCAGGGCCTCCCTGCGCCGCGATTGCGCCGGCACTAGGCCCCACTAGCCGCCCAGCCTCGACGAGCACAGCGGCTGCCCGCGCCGGTATAAACCGCGCACCGCCCGAGCCGCGGAGGCAGGCGCCGGACGCAGCCGACGCGCGCGCCATGGAGGTCAACCGCATCTTCTCGGCCGAGCAGATCGTCGTCTCGCCCGAGCTGCCTGGCATCCTCAAGGACTACTCGAAGGCGCTGATCCGCGAGAACCCCGACGACATCTACGCCTTTTCGGCGGAGTACTTCCGGCAGAAGGCCGGCGTGGGGGGCGAGCCCCTCTACGAGATGACGAAGGACGCGAGGGGCAACGCGCCGACGGAGGGCGTATAAGACGCGGCCGGCGGCGGCGTGTGTGCGTGGGGCGCGGCGGCGGCGTGCTGGCGGTCCCGGCGGCGCGACGGCGGTGGCGCTCGCGGTAACGTTTGTTTTTTCGGTACCGCGCGGTCTAGGAGCGGGGTCCGATCGGGGCCTTCACGAACGAGCGGTCTAGTAGTGCGTCTTTAGGGCCCGGGTAAAGCCGGGTAATTATTTCTCGCCCGATTTTGAGGCATACTCCATGAGTCCTAATTAAGCTAAATTACCCTGCGAATCCTAATACTGCGTGGAGACTTCGAATTTTATAGGGGGGTAAGCGCAATTAGTCGACGTTGATTTTGATTTTGGCGCAATGCGCGTTTAGCCACGCGCCGGCCGAATGGCGGGAAATTTTTGCTGAGGCGCAGGTTCCGTATGCTAAAATAATGGGCTGTGCGCAATCTGGTACCATGCGGGCAGCCTCGCGCAGAGCAAGCAGCTGCGACGCGGTGCGACCATTGCGATAAAACCCGAACCCCAAGCCAAAAATCGCCCCTGAGACGTATAAATTGAACCACAATTACGGAAAAATTATTTCCTAACGTTCCATAGGTATATAGGGCTCTAAGGGAATTTCCGGCTTTTGGCTAGGCCGAGTGCGTCTTTATTACACAGCACGCTATAGTGCATGAAGATGTCAGGCCTCGCGCCTTTTTTGCGGATGAAGCCGTAGGACTCGCACAGAGAGACGACCTCGCCCGTGTGCCACTCGCCGCTTGAACCTTGCGGCATCGCGCCTGAGCTTTGCCTTGGTTTGCAGCTATCTATCTGGTAAACCCGTTTTAATTCGAGGTAGGCCGCGCATACGCACGGCGTATATAAGTATATTTATTGCGCGTAAATCAATATCGTTCGCTCCCGGAGAAGCCCCAGGCCACTGACTGAACCTGTGTGACCCTTCACGCGGCACCCCTACGCCTGCCGCGCGCTGCGCGGCCGGCCACGTTAATACGACTACTACACTTCTTATACACATGCACAGGGCTCAAGACGGACCCTTCGTCTCGTCCGCGCCGCTCGCGTCGCGGCGGCGCTCGAGCAGCGCCAAGATGAGGCGCCGCATGGCGTGATTCGGGACGAGCGTGAGATTATCGAGCCGCTCGTTCGTCGTCGGCGAGGTACGCGCTCCAGTCGCGAACCACTGCTCAATAGCGACTCGCTCGTACGTGTGCGAGTCTCCGACACATAGGTACGGTTCTTTCATCAGTTCGCAGGTGATACTGCAACACATGTCCTCGGGAAGCTCGGCGGTCGATATGCGTAGCCTCTGCAGCTCGGCCCGGTGCTCCGCCAGCTCCTTTTCCAGCACAGATTGATGAGTCGCGACGTCGTGCAGCACGTCCTGCGTCTCCAGCTTCTTCTGCTTCCCGCCCGCGGCCGACGCGCCCAGGATCGCCAGACACGTCATCGGCGCGACGCCGAGCTCAATCAGATCCGTCGGCTCTAGATACGGTAGCGCGGCGTCGTCGATCTGCTGCGCCAGGAACGTCGGCAACAGCCGCGTCTCGTCGAGGTGCTGCAGTACGGCCGCGACGACCGTGTAGCCCGCGGGTACCGGCTCCGTCTTCGACTCGTCGCGCTTCGGCTCGAGGCTGAGGTGGCGCATCGCCTCGGAGACGCCGGGCTCCCGTGGCGCCGCCGGCGAACTCTTGAGCGGCGGGAAGTCGCGCGCGTCGGCCTCGCGTTTCGCCAGGGCCTCCTCCCGCTCTATCAGCGCCTGCTCGCGCGCCTTGAGCTCCGCATCTCGTTGCTTAGCCGAGCCAGGCGCCAAGCGAACGAGGCCGCCGAGGGTGGGTTCCCCGGGGCTGACTCTGGGGTCGTAAATCAACCTTCGTGAACTCATGACAAACTGCCTAAGATCTTTGTAGCCGACGGCCCTGACGTCGAGGGGCTTGCCGTGGCGTTCCACGTATCGCTCAGCTAAGCGCGTGACGCGCATCTCGCCGCCGTTCGCTTCGACAAGATCCACGAGCTCGCGGTCGATGGCCTTGATTTGGATCGGGCCCATGAACTCCGCCCGCTGGATGCAGACGACGTCCGTGGCCTTCCACTGGGGCGCGCCCGTCCGTCGGTTCTTCGTTCTCGCGTCGACAATTCTAAACTTGCAGCGGTCGCCCTGCGACAAGTAACCGTCCGGCGCGTCCTCTTCCGACACAAAGACCTCATTCCCCGAATGGTCGATCTTGATGAACCCGTAGCAGTGCCTGGAGGCCCTGCCGTCCTTGTTAAAGTTCCCGAAGTTCGTCACCGTGCCCTGGAAGATTGTGTCCGGCGGCGGCGGCGCGAGCGCCATTGGAGGCGGCGGCGCGTAGGCGCCGGGGTACATGGGCCCGCCGTACATGGGCATAGCCGCGTAGGGGTCGTAGGCGGGCGGCGCCGGGTACATCAGGCCGTCGGGCCCCATGACGAAGGCGGGCGCCATCGGCGGCGCCTCCGCCGCCGCCTCCGAGGCCAAGGGTTCGAGTAACTCAGCATCCCTCGACAGAGTTTCGCGCACCGCAGGTGTCTCGTTCGCCATTCCTGCAGCTCTTTGATCAAATTGCTGAGAGTGCCTTGTAGGCAATATTATACGGCTCGCTTTCAGCGCTTTTGCAGCTCGCCAGCTCCCGCCCAGCGCGGGTCTCGATAAAAGCTCTGCGAAGACTAGCGCAAGCTGTAGCGAGCGCTACACGGCTTGTGACCTTTTCGACTTGCTGGATGCCTAGTGTCTTACGGGCGCTAGCAATGGGAGTACTACCTGGGGGTGGGTTCAATAAGTGGCTCTCTCTCTCTCTCTCTTGGGAGCCCTGAAACGCCGCAAAAAATTGGATTCACGGGGTCCAAACAAGCAAGAACCAGACATAACTTACTGCGCCGCCGCCTTGACCACCCGCTCGAAGACGAGCGTCGCCTCGCCCCGGTTCGCGTTCGACTGGAGCGCGCTCATCACCGAATCAAAATTCTTCCGGTCCGTCGGCAGGAAGGCTATTTGCTTCGTCCCCTCGGACAAGCCCACGCTGAACCCAAAGTCCTCTTCCGACGCCTGCTGGATGTTCAACGCCATGCCCGTCGTGCCCCTTAAAATATCTCCGACCCGAATGCCCGCCTTCGCCGCGTTGCTATCGGGCACGACGTCGATGACCTCGATCTTCCCCCGGTAATTCGCCGACTCCTCGATGACCATGCCGAGGGGCGTCGGGACCACCACAGAAGCAATAGCAGTGGTGTCGTCCTTGCGAGAAGGCTCGAAGATTTCGTTGAGCGGCTTGTACTGCGGCCCGAGGTAGACCGAGACTCGTCCGAAGAAGTAGCGCGTCTGCAGGAATTCCAGCGTTTCTTTCTTGGCGTCGGCCTGCGCGTCCGTGAGGGGCGGCGGCGCCGCCTCATCTACCTCAGCGACCTCGGCGTGCAAGGCGCTTCGCCTGATACATGACCGCGGTGCGACGAGCGACAGCGCCGGTGCGACGAGCAATGCGATGAGGATTGATTTGGTCATGGCTGCGGAGTGTTGGGCTGAGGCTGCAAGGCTGGTGTTACTGAGTGAGTGTTGCACAAGCTTCGCACAAGTTGCAACTCAAGTGAGGGATCAATGCCGGTGTCCAATGGCTGCGCAGAGTACTCTATGCGTGCAAGAGCTGCCGATGTCCCGCGTAGATGGTGTGGACGCGTGCGTTTTGTCACGGCCACGCTGGCAAGCTAGTGTCTTACAACCGCTAGCTCGCAACGCTCCGCAAACGAGGCCATACCTCGCAAAGACACATATCGCCGACGAAACCCAGCGTTCCCGGGCGCACCCGCAGCTCGAGTTGTGGCGCTGCAGACAGAGGGCTTGCTCTCCGGCGGCGCTCGCGGCGCGGCGACCGCTACTGCGGCGTGAGACCCGCCCGAGGGGACCGCAGCATACCACCGCGGCGACGGCTTCCGGCGAAGACCGCCCCGCGCGCGCGGGGCTGCCCACAGACTTGGGGAGCGCCGGGGGCAGCCGCGGAGCGCACGCCGCCGCCGCGCGACGCGGGAAGCAGCAAGCAGGGTAAACGATGGCGCCCCCCTTCCTCAAGAAGCGCACGACGAAGGAGGCGAGTTCGCGCAAGCTCTCGGTCCGCATCCGGAGCGACCAGAAGGAGACCAAACAACAGAGAGAACGCCGGCGCGCGGCCATCTCGACCGGGTCCGCGAACATCCGCGATGAGGACATGTTAGCCCATGGCGTAAGTGAGGACATCGTGGCCTCCTTCGCGGTCAAAGAGAAGAAGGCCGATGTACCACAATGGATGCTCGACCTAAAAACGCCGGTCAAACGGCCGAAATTACCTTTACCAGGATTCTATCACTCGCCCGACGAACTGAAGCCCCAGGCCTGCATCGACGAGTGGGCGCGCGTGTCGCACGCGTCCATGGGCTCGACGGGCGTGTTAACAGATGTACTTAGTCCATTGGACTTCGACGCTGCTACGGATCAGTCCCGCAGCTTCTTCCGAGAGGAGGCCTCGCGCGCCATCATTCAACGAAAAAAAGAGTTGGTCGTCGATACGTTCATTCCCAAGGGCTCCATCCTCTACGACGACTGGGAGGGCGGCGTGTCGCGGCGGAAGAACAAGGCCCCCAACAAGACGTTTAAGCGACGGGCGTATTACTTCTCTCTTTTACAAAAACGGAGATTGGACTCCCTACACGGCGCGGGTTCCGGCGAGTACGCGCGTTTACTCTTAGAACTCACGGGCAACGCCGACGCCGCGCTACGTTCCGAATTGGAGCGCGAGCGCGAGCGGCGCCTGCAGGCCTTGATCGTACGCGTGAAGCTGAGGATGCTCACGGAGCACTTCGAGGCGTTTGTGGAGTACATGCGGCGGTGCTTCTACGTCAAAGAAAAGTTCGCGAAGATGCTAGCTGCTGTGTGGAAATCAAACAGTGATTCGGGTGCATCGGCGATGGCGCGGCCGTCCTGGCTCGGTCGAGCGGTGAGGGACGAGCACCACCACGCTATCGAGCAGGCGTCGCGTTGATGGCGTGGAGGTCGACGCGACGATTCAGCACGAACGTGCCGTAAAATTTTGATGTCCACACAGGTTAGCCGGCCTCAAGCGCCTGACCTTCCTGGGCTGGAAGAAGTACGCCTACACGGAGAAGCGCGTGCGCAAACTGAGGATCAAGGTCTTCATGCACCTGCAGCTGCACGTGGTCGAGACGTGGCGGGCCGTCACAGATTTAAATATGGAGCGTAGAAGGTGGTTCCACGACTGGAAGGAGAACGCCGACAAGCAGATGAAGCAGAGAAATAAGATCGGCGACTTCCTCATGTGTAATCATTTGCAGAAAAGGTTTAGCGCGTGGGCGGTCTGGACGAAGCGCATCAAAGCAGCGAAGCGACTCGCGTATCGAGTCTTCGGCGGTTCGAAACGCATCCACTATTATGCGTGGAGAGATTACACGAAACGAGCGAAGCGCATTAGGCACTTCATGAAGCTGTTTTGCGGGAACCATCTGAGGGATCATTATGAGGCGTGGCGCGACTTCACGGTCATGAGCGTCAAGGGCCGGCGGTTGTGCGGCTACCTCTTCGCCAAGGGCCAGAAGCGCATCTTCATTGCTTGGAGAAGACAGTGCCAGCAGGATCGCGCGGAGCGGTTGCGGGCGGAGGCAGAACGCGCTGGGGATGATTTAGTGGCGCGCTTCTACGCCAAGGAACAGCATGCCGCTCTACACAGGAAGCCTCTTGAGAGATCACCGGTGAATCGCGTGCGCCATACCTCGTCCCGACGGCTGGCGAGGGCGCCGCCCGGGTGGGACGCCTCGGCCGAGTTCACGTATATTGGTTCTGTGCTGCCGCGGCCGCCCCCCAAGATGCCGCGGGGCGGGCTCACGCCCCAGGCGACGCCCCGGGCCGCGGCGCCGGCGCCCGCCGCGGCGCCGGCGCCCGCCGCGGCGACCCCCTCCTTGCGCGCCTTGGCTTCGGCGACCTCCGCGCTGGGCGTCGGCGCGGCGTCGTCGAGGGCGCCCGCGCCGGCGCCCGCGGGAGATGTCATAGACGCGCCGGCGCCGCGCTTCTCGATTTTACGAGGCTGGTCGCAGCCGACGACGGGCATTGAATCAAAGTACGCGGTCGTGGCAGCTAGGCGGCCTAGCTCTAGCAAAGCAAAATCTAGTATGTCTCTCTCCATGATCAGCGCCCTGCGGAACAGCGCCGCCAAGCGCCGCAGTGTGCTCCTGCATCGCAAGCGTTGGAAAGAAGTGCGTGGGCAGCCTGACGAGACGTCACGGGCAGCCCCGAGACGTCACTCGCAGCCGTAACACACGCGAGCACGCAAGTGGACACACTGCCTCACCCGGCGCAATTCCGGCTGCAAGACTCCCGGGGCTGCTTCGGTCTTAAGGAACGAGGAGCAAAAATGCCACGGCTCGACCTTGATACCATCGAGAGCCCCGTGCCTGCTTATGCCACACCGCGCCGCGCCGAGACGAAGGACGCGTCACCACGCTCGTCATCGCGCAGACGACGGCATGGCCTGCGCTCGCGCAGCGCCTCGCCGCCGCGACGGCGCAACGAGTCGCCGCGCCGGCGCGACAACGCCCTCGTCCAGAGCGCGCTCGCGTACTGGGGCAACCTGTGGGCCAATTTTCAAGATGCCAACCTCGACGAGCTCTTCGAATTTGAGGCGCGGCACTTCGAGAGGTTTGAGCCCGACGTCGACGAGCACAGCCACGAGCACCACGCCTTGCATCGGCGCTACCGCGACTTGTACGAACGGGCCCTCGAGAGGCACCTGAAGACGACGCTCGGCGCGACGCCGCAGAAGTTTTATGCTGCCTTAGAGAGAGATGCCGCGGACGGCGATGCCGCGCGGCGGAGCACTGCGCTGGCCTTCCTCGCCGTCGTGAGAAAGGCCGACGACTACGCTCTCTTCGCGGCGTCCATGCGCGAGGCGGCGAAACACGCGCGATGGCTCGAAGAGCCCGACTAAGTTATCGTTTTACGAAGCGCACGGGCGCCGCGCCCAGGCCCGCGACGGGCGGCGCGCGGTCGGCGGCGAAGGTTCGCTTCTGGCTGCTCCCTGGCCGCCGCCGCTGCGGTTGTGAGGCGCGCGGCGGCGTCGCGCGCCGCGTCTGCGGCAGGACTAAAATCGGATCCCCTTTCCCTGCCGGTCGTGCCGGCGCGTTGATTGTCTCGCGACTCAGCACCGCCTCGCGCGACTCCGCCGTATTGAGCGCGCACTCGCGCGACACGTCGTCGTAGGCCTCGCACCGTAACCTCGTAATGTCCTCGGCCTCCTCCGCCGCGTATAACCGCGTCGCGAGGAACCGCCGCACCGGCTCGCTACAATCAACTTGTGACGTCATGCGCCCGGCCTGCCGCCGGATCCACCGCCTAGCCGTTTCCTTCTGGAACGCGACGCGCGCCATGGCGTCGTGGAAGGCATTTTCGACCTCCTGGCGCGCGTTCATGCGGTCGGGCGACAGGACTTTTGTACTATCATGTCTGTTACCGGGCGACAGCAATTTTGGAGTCTGGCCGGGTGATAATACTGGCGCCGTGTGGACCAAGAGCTCCTGTTTTTCTTTAGATTTCCATCGTTGCGTGGGCGAATCCACATTAGGAGAGGGCGGCGCCCTCGACCCGAGCTCAGCGAGCTTCTCGTCGACATCCAACCTCAGTCTATGTTCGTACGCCTCCCACTCGACGTCGACCCGCGCGAGCTGCAAGGCGAAGGCCTCCCGCAGGTCGAATCTCGCACTCTCTCTCCAAGCCTCGGCGGTCTTCCGCCGCATCAATCGTTCTTGAGCCTCAAAATCATTTTCGGCCTTCACCGGCAAGTCCTCGCGCCCCGCCTTCAAGAGTAACGCCCTAGTTTTCCGCTCCAAATCCTCCCTTACTTTAGTGGCTTCCCTCGCCTGCTTCTGAAACAACTGGGACCACCGCCTATGAGCGTGCGCCGTCGCGCTCTCGAAGTACCGCCGCGTTTCGAGCTTGAGCAAATCGTCGACCCTTTTATAGAGATCCTCGGCCGCGGCCTTGCGCGCCGGCGTGTCGACGCAGCCCTCGCCGACGATGGCTTCTTCCCTGGCCATCAAATCGGCGAGCTGGGGTGAGAAGCGGCTCTCGAGCGGCGCCTGCTCGAGGTCGAGGTCGAGCTTGGCCCGCTCGCGGCGCCAATTACTAAGCCTCCGGGCGAAGGCGTCCGTCGAGTTCTTGGGCTTGCCTGGTTGGGTTTTAGGCGGCTGTGGCCGCGCGGGGCTGCTCATGCTGCCTCCAGAGTGCCTCCAGGGCCTCCTCCTACGGCGCCCCGCGGCCCACGGCTCGCGTGCGGCCGGGAGCGGTGTCCCTCGTGGTCCCTCCTCGACGCGTCGAAGGCTGCCCCGCGGGTGAGGCTGCCCCGCGGCGCGGATCACGGGCCCGCGGCACACTAGACGGTTTCCTAGAGCCTCTCATCAAACCAGCCTGCGGGACTTTAGGGCCTTCGCACGAGGCGGGAACCGGCGTGGGGGGCGTGAAACCGGGTTGACGCGACCTCGCCGACCCCATCTACCGCCGTACCGAGTTTGGTGCCGGGCAGCGCGGCGGAAGGCGGGCAACGGCAGCCCACTTTTTCACAGACGGGCCACGGTCGGCCGAAAGTGGCGAGAAAGTACTTACTTCGGAGATATATCATGGCCGGGTACGTGAACGTGCGCTGGGTGTCTTCAAACTTTGGGTTCTATGAACTTTCGCGTCGGCGCGGCCGTCGACCGGCACAAAACGGGGAGCCCTTCGCTCGTATCGCAGCCGCACGATCTTCGGAGCAGTGTGGGACCGAGACATGATGTCCGCGCTCGAGCATGCCGGAGCTGTGGAGCTGTCGATGCGATCCTGGTGATTTATCAGCGGTCGAAGACGGTGCGCCGTCGACCGTCTTGAGGGCCCGCGTTCTCGGCGCCATCAAGTTGTTGTGTCCTCCTGCTTTGGCACGGCCATCGGCGCTATGAGACGCGGCTCCGGGCGCCTCGGCGGCGCCGAGGGGCCCCATTGCGCCTCGGTGGGCCCATTGCGCCTCGGTGGGTAAAATTCTAGGCTGTAAATTGGGAACAAAGCTTCCCCAGGTCAGCGCAAAGCGGGTCGGTCTGGGCCAATGGGTACATAAACCTATCGAATACCGAAGGAAAGGGTTATACGACGCCCCCCTACCGAGCTACAGCCCCCCTTTGCTTCACGACCCATAGAAATGGGCAGAGAAATGGGCCCACCGAGGCGCAATGGGGCCCCTCGGCGCCGCCGAGGCGCCCGGAGCCGCGTCTCATAGCGCCGATGGCCGTGCCAAAGCAGGAGGACACAACAACTTGATGGCGCCGAGAACGCGGGCCCTCAAGACGGTCGACGGCGCACCGTCTTCGACCGCTGATAAATCACCAGGATCGCATCGACAGCTCCACAGCTCCGGCATGCTCGAGCGCGGACATCATGTCTCGGTCCCACACTGCTCCGAAGATCGTGCGGCTGCGATACGAGCGAAGGGCTCCCCGTTTTGTGCCGTATTATACGCGTCGACGGCCGCAACGACGCGAAAATGCGTGGAACCCAAAGTTTGAAGACACCCAGCGCACGTTCACAGACCCGGCCGTGATATATCTCCGAAGTACGGAATATCTCGGTACTTAAGGCGGGCCGTGGCCCGTCTGAAAAACGACCTGCCAAAGAGGGCTGCCGTTGCCCGCCTTCCGCCTCGCCACCCGGCACCAAACTTGGCACAGCAGCAGATGAGGTCGGGCGGGTCCACGTTGCCCAGCCAGCGCCCCCCCCATGCGACTTCCCGCGTCGCGCGGGCGGCCTCAATTATGGGGCCTAACGTGCGGGTCCGCCTGCTGGTTTGCCGCGGGCTGGCTAGTGTGCCCGTGAATCCGCCCGCGTGCGGGGCGTGGTCTCGCCCCGCGAGCCCTCCGAGCCCTTCGACGGAGGACTCCTCCGACCCGAGCGCGTACAAGCCATCAAAGCGTTTTTGAGTCTAGTGTGTCTATCATCTATGTCTAGGTCACACGCCGCTCGTTAACTACAGCGCATCACCACGGCTCAGTACAGGCAATTGGAGAGCGACACGGGACTCCTAGAACCCAGCACCGCAGCTAGGGCTAGCGTTTCGCCGTAGTCTGTGAGGTGTTTCACAAGTTTGCAGTGCAGTTCAGTGCCTCTGCATCGCCGCGCGAGGCGCGAATCGAGGTGCGAAGATGATCGGCACACTCGCGGTGCTCGCCCTGGTGCACGCCGCCGGCGGCTTCGTCGCGCGCCCGCGGCCGCGCGCCGCCACCGCGCGCCGCGGCAGCGACGCCGACCTCCTCGCGGCGGCGGCCGGCGTGGGGCGCGGCATGGCCGCGAAACGGAAGAACAAGCACGTCAACAAGTACCAGAAGAACGACGTCAAGGAGGACCCCTGGGAGCGGGCCATGCGGCGGGCCGAGGCACGGGAGGACGAGGCCGCGCCGGCGCCGCCGACCTACGCGTTGCAAGCCGACTGCTTCTGTGAAGGCGCGGCGCTGGCGCGGAAGCGCCGCTCGAGCACAAAACCGGTCTTGGACTTCGACGCGCGGGACCCGTCGACGTTCGGTTTTCAAGAGCTCGGACAAGTCGTCGGCGCGCACGGCGTCCGCGGGTCCTTGAGGGTAGACGCGCCGTCCGCCGTCGACGTCGAGGCGGCGTTACTGGCGGAGGGGCTGCGGTACCTGCGCCTCGCGTCGCGAAGGACGCCGCGGCCGGTCGTCGTCGCGAGCTGTCGCGAGCTGAAGCGCTTCGGGGCGACGGTGCGATATGTCGTGGCGCTGAAGGGGTTGGGGGATCGGGAGGAGGCCGCGCGGCTGGCGGGCGCGGTCCTGTACCGGCGCGACGAGGATACTGAAGAGCCCGTGGAGGCCTACGAGCCGTCGACGAGGCTCGAGGGGTTGCGCGTGGTCGACGCGCAGGGGGAAGCGGTGGGCGTCGTCTGGGACGTGCTGGACCCGAACGAGGGCGCGGCGCTCGCCGCGCCCTTGCTCGAGCTCGAGCTGGAAGAGACGCGGCACTGCCTCGTGCCCCTGGACCCGAGCTGCGTCGAGGTTTATGAAGGGGAAGAAGTCGTCCTCCTGAACCGGGCGCTGCTCGACCTCGCCTTCGACTACGCGCCGCCTCCTCCTATCATCCGGGGGCTCCTCGAGGGCGGCGAGTAATGACTGTGTACATGTAGCACACACATTTAATGGGAGAACCACCCGTGCTTCTTCTTTTTCTTGGACCGATGAGGAAGATGCTCGGGCTGCGGCGTCGGGCGACTACACGTCGCCGGCGGCGCCGCGAGGCGGCCGACGACGGCGACCGTCGCCGAGAACGGCTTGATGTGGAGGGGCGCGTTCGAGTCGCGCGCCTCGAGCCGCGACGGCGCGAAGTCCGGCGCCGCGAGGGCGGCGCCGGCGAGCGACAGGACCTGTGTGGAAATCAAAATTTTACGGCGAGTTCGTGCTGAATCATCGCGTCGTCCTCCACGCCATCGACGCGACGCCTGCTCGATGGCGTGGCGATGCCGATTCCTCGCCGCTCGACGGAGCCAGCACGGCCGCGTCATTGGTTGATTTCCACATAGGAGAGGACGACGGGCCCCGCGCCGTGGCGAGGCAGCATCAGCGACTCCGTGCGATTCCCGACGTTGACGACCAAAAACGCGACGGTGGCGGCGCCGCGGCCGCAGTGCGCGAAGATTGAGAGGTGGGGCGGCGTCGCCGCGTTTACCTGCAACACCTCGCTTCCGAAATGCTCGGCGAAGGCCCGCGCCACGACCGCCGACGGCGTCTCGGCGTAGGTCCGCGAATCTAGGAGGCCGTAGACGCCGCCCACCAACGTCTGCCGCGCGACGAGCCGCGCGCCGCCCGCCGCCTGCGTTGTAGGGCGACGTGTCACCCCCACGCCATCGACCAAGCGTGGACGACAGATATTGAAGGCGCCCGTGTGGACGCCGACGAGTCGCCGCCCGGCCCAACAAATCCGCGTACCACAGCCCGCCCGCGACGGCGTCGACCGCGCCCCAGCCCGAGCCCTCGGGGGCGTGCGTGCACGGCGCCGCCGCGACGACCCAAACGAATTTGCCGAGGCTCCTTGCTAGGTCCACGTAGCGCGCGAGCGTGCGGTCGAACGGGGGTCGGTGGCTCGGGTCCACGATCCCAGCCGCCGCGTCGGCGTAGGCGCCGCAGCCGTACTTCTTTTTCGCGCGGCCGAGGGCCACGGTCGACGCGTAGTAGCTGAAGGCCACGACGTCGATGGAGTTTTTTGAGGCCCTATAAACAGCATCGGTCCAGGTCGGGGCCTGGTCCGTGTCCTGGTTGAGGAGGCCGATGATCGTATGATGATTGTAGCGTTTTCTGAGGGAAGCAAAGTCAATAGCGACACTGGCAGCAGATGCCTGCACGGGCAACTTTTGCTTCGACGGCCGCGGCGGCTTTTCGTGCAGCTCCTCGTAGAGCAATAACGTAGATGCGGAAGACGGCGCCGGCGCTGCGTCGACGTCGAAGTTCCCGCTAGCGTCGCGGAAGGCCGGGTTGACGTGCCAGGCGACGTCCGCGCCCGTCGCCGTACTAAACGCGTCGAGCTCGTTTAGCACATGATCACACACGCCGCCGTAGCCGCGTGCCTGGCAGTAGGGCGAGCGCCACGCTTTTCGAGTCGTGGCGTCGAGGCAGTTCGACCGGCCGCCCGTTATGACGACGAGCGTCGGCGCGAGGCTCCTCACAAATGTTCGCAGCTTCGTATGCGTGAGGTTCGCCAGGCCCGCTCCCCTTGGATCCGAGAACTGATTGCGGCTCGCGCCGCAGTCGAGGCTCGACGGGTCGAGGACGCTGCTCACGTAGCGCGCGTCGACGCGCAGCGTTGTGGTGGTGACGTCGTCGACGACGACGCGGGTCGTTGCCAGCGCGTGCGTGACGAGGAGGAGGAGTGTCCTCATCTGTAGCACTGCCTGGCTAGGATGATTAGGCTGCCCAAGCCTTAGGTTCGGTAGCAAAGTGCACCATCCTTGCTCGCGGTCTACCAAAATACATCAATGCGGATGAATTCACGATCTACGAGCCGCGGCAGCGCCGCAGCGGTTTAGCTAGCGTCATGTAAGATACTAGTTTTTACCTAGCTTTTGCAACCAGGTTTACTCCTAGCTTTGTTGTACCAGGCGTGGGCACAAAAAAGCCTATCGAGAGGTCCAAGGAGTCGGTCTGCGAACCTTTGGTTTGGCTGCGAGCGATTCCGACTGCTGGAGATACACCCGGCGACCTACAGCAGCACGCGCGACGACGCCGCCGCCTCGCGCCATCGAGCGAGGCGGCGCCATCGAGCAGACAGTCGCGCCAAGCTTTCAAGGCATCGCGGAGAGAAGCATGCTCCCAACACAAAAGCCCCGCCGCGGCCTCGACGACGCGCAGCTCGCGGCCATCGTCCTCGGCTCCCTCGAACACTTCCCGCAGTATAGAGACGTCTTCCACGCGGTGAGCGTGCGCGCAGTGGCCCAGGACCCGCGCTACGTCACGCTCGCGCGCCTAACCGAGGCGCCGACCGACGACGAGGCCGCGGCCGTCGCGGCCGACGCCTTCGCGCGCGCGGCGGCCGCGATGGGCGCGCCCCAGGGCGCCGCGGCGCTCGTCGCGCGGTCGCTCGTAGCGCAGCCGGCGAACGCCCGCGCCGTGCTCGCGGCCGGCGCGGCGGCGCTCGGCGCGCACGAGTCCATCCTGCAGCGGAGCGCGGCGCACGCGGGGCTGAGCACGCGTGCCGCGGGCGTCGTCGCGCGGGGCGCGGCCTGCCTGCCGGCGCCGCACGCCGTGGCCGCGGCGCGCGCCGCGGCCGGCGCGGGTCCGACCGGCGGCGACGGCCCGCCCTGCGTCTACCTGCGCCTGCCCGCGGAGGCGGGGCCCCAGGCGTGGCGCGCGGGCCTCTACGCGCGCGTCGACGAGGGCGTCTACCGCCGCGTCTCGCAGGAGCCGCCCGAGGCCTTCCAGGACTCGTACCTCTTCCGGTGCGTCGTGGAGGGCCGCGGCGCGCTCTGGCTCGTGGGCTCGCGGCCGGCGCGGGACGCGGCGGGCCTCGCGTCGGGCTACGACGCCGCGGCGGCGCCCGAGGCCGTCCGCGCGCCCTGGTACATCACGCGCGACGGCGCGACCTGGCACGCGCTCGCGGGCGTCCAGGTCGCGGCGCTCGCGCCGGCGGCGGCGGCCGCGCTCGCGCCGCCGAAGTTCTGACGACCCATTCCTCTTCCTTTTGCGCGCGCCTTTTGCCTTGTCTAGTTTTATGATTTTTTTTACTGCTGGTTCCAGATGGTCCTTCGCGCGGCGTGGGAGGGGGGGGATCGTTGCCAGGGGCTAGAGGCCCGCGGCCCGCGAACGAAACTTGAGCGTGAAGCCCGTGCCTCGGCGCACCGCGCGCGCGTCGGCGCCGCCGCCGGCCGGCGCCTCGGGGGCCGCGAACTTCAAGACCGGCGCCTCGCGGTCGCCTTGTTTCGTGAGGGGCGTCGCGCCGCGCGTCTTAAAGGTGATGGGGCCGAGGGCCTCGTCCAGGTCGCGCGGCTTCGTCGCGGAGGCCGATATGGCCGCCACGTCGGTGGCCAGCTTGCACGTCCCGCACCTAGCCATCGTGGAATTCAAGCTCAAGCGCGGCACCGCGAGGCGCGCCTGGAGCCTCTCGCCGGCGGCCCGCGCCGCGCCGCCGCATTCGCGCACCAGCGCGAGCAGCGCCGACACGGAGGCGAGCGTCGTCGACTCGCCGCAGATCCAGTACTTCTCGAGGACCTTGCCTTCCGCGACCCTTTGCAGACGGATGACCCAGTGCGTTTCTTCTCTCGTGGAAACGCCGTGCGACCCGATGCTACCGTATTTCTCCTCCACGTGGTCTTTAATGGCGTCGACCACGGCGACGAACACGTCGCGGCGCAGTTCGACGCGGTCGAGCGCCGCCGCGGCTTCGTCGTCGGAGGGCTTCCCGGCCCGGAGAAACAGCTTCCCGCCCTCTCACATGCCCAGGCGCTCCTGGTACGCCCTGCCTTGGTTTTCCTTGAACCTCCTACCTTCGTCCGCGGAAATGTCCGCCGTGTCGAGCGTTTTGATGAGATCCTCCAGCGCCGTCGACGCATCGTCCGCCTCGTCCAGCCTTTTGACGAGGGCCTTCAGCGACGTCGACGCCGCGTCGTTCTCGAAGCCGAACCCCGGCAGCCGGCCGTCGACGACGGCCGCGAGCACGCGCTCGAAGCTCTCGAGGAGCTGCTCGACGGCGGCCGCGGCGTTCCCCGCATCCCGGTCGCCGGGATGCGGGGAGGCGGGCGGCACCGGCGGCTTGGCGGCGGCGGGCGGCGGCGGCGGGGCTGCTACCACGTCCTGGGCCATGATGGCAGCCTGGTCGCGCGCGGCGTGGCAGTAATGCCGCGCGATTGCGGGCAGCTCCAAAAGGCACAGCTCGTGAGAGGCCGGGAGCTCCGTGGCCCGTCGCCGCGCCCGGCACGCCTCGAGGGCCCGCCGGTAGCACTCCCCGTCGCGACGGGTCCCGGTAGTGCCCGCGAGCCCTCTCGGCCGGGCGCTCCGGACGCGCGGCGATTTTTTTCGACGTCAGGGTCGACGGCGTGCCTGCCCTATCCGTCCCTCGTCGGGGCAGCCGTCGCAGCTGGGAGGGGCCGCAACATTTTTTTTAGGTAAACCGTAAAACCCGAATGTGTAACTAGGGTACGATCAGTAGGACGAAATTCAGCGGCTCTCGAGCAGCCTTTGACCTCGTTTTTGACCAGGTTCCGCCCCGCGTAACTGCACGAAAAACACCCAACACACGTAAAAAGACCACAGCTCCCCCGCTACCCCGCTTTCACGAGAAACAAGCGCGGCAGCGACGCAAACAAAGCCGGGGGGCAGCTTCTCCGCTTGCCGGCCCTGCGCCAGGCGCGGCCGCGGGCCCCGCCTACAGGCAGCCCCCGCGTTCCCGGTCACCTTACGCGCCCGCGCCAAGAGCGTCCCCGCCCTCCCGCGCGCCGGGGCCGGCGCGCGCGAAGGCTCTCCCGACGCTTCGAATCCCGAACACTCACCCGCCGCCCGCCGCAGGCCAACGACGACCATGAAGCTCGCCCTCCTCGCCCTCGCGGCCACGACGGCGCACGCCGCCTGCCCGAACTCCTGCTCCGGCCACGGCACGTGCGGCGCCGACGACACGTGCACGTGCTACCAGGACTGGGTCATGGGCGACCAGGACGGCGGCGACTGCTCGGACCGCCGCTGCCCCTACCAGGTCGCCTGGTCGGCCGGCCCCGACAAGACGGGCAACATCCACACGTACGCCGAGTGCGCCGGCGTCGGCATCTGCGACCGCGGCTCGGGCGACTGCGAGTGCTTCGAGGGCTACACGGGCCGCGGCTGCGGCCTCCAGACCTGCCAGAACGACTGCTCGGGCCACGGCGAGTGCGTCTACGCCGAGGACGTGACCTTCGGCACCGTCTACGGCGACTACGCCGGCGTCCCCGATGCCAACGGCGACATAGTTGCCAGCGGCGTCGGCGTCGGCGCCTCCAAGGTCCCCCAGAAGCCCAACTGGGACTCGGGCAAGGTGCGCATGTGCGTCTGCGAGCCGGGCTACACGGACATCGACTGCTCGCGCCGCATGTGCCCCAAGGGCAACGACGTCATGGACGAGCGTTTGGACCTGACCACGTCGCTCAAGTACCAGACGCAGACCGTGACGCTCATCGGCGCCGGCGCCCTCGGCGACGGCAAGGTGTCCGTGTCCGGCTGCGGCGACACCACAGACGCCGCCGCCACCGACGCGTGCTTCGGCGACCTCGTCGGCAAGTCGTTCGCCCTCACCTTCACGTCGAAGCTCAACCAGTCCTACACGACGAAGCCCATCATCGTCGCGGGTATCACGGCCAACACGGACGTGGCCGGCGCCCAGGTTGCGACGCAAGATGCCGTGCAGGCTGCTCTGCACGAGCTCCCCAACTACGTCGTCGACGGCTGCACCGTGACCTGCACGTACGCGTACAAAATTGGCGTCAGCGCGCTCTACCCGTCCGTGTCGTGCGACATCGGGTTCAACGGCGGGTCCGTCGCGGGCCCCCAGTACCTCCTGGAGGTCGAGGCCGACAAGTGCGACTCCGGCTGCACGCCCCAGCTGTCGAGCCCGGTCCAGCTCAAGTCCGCCTTGGTGGCCTCGACGGCTCCGGGTTTCGTCAAAGCCTCGGTCGCGACGACGATTTCTCACGCCACGCCTGGCAGCACGTATGCTGATACTATCGTGAGTATTGATGTGGCTGATGGTACTGGTATTGCTGATGACGATCACATCCTGATCGGCAGCGAGATTTTGAAAGTGACTGACGCCTCCGGTGCCCCCACTCTGGCAGTTGATCGCGCCCAACAAAGCACGACCGCCCCAGCAACAATGGCCGATGGATCGGAGGTATTCCTCCTGGCCACCGACTCGGCCGGCGCCCTTGTACCAGACGCGTCCTCGGACATCCTCTCGAGCGTCTCGGAGTCGACCAAGGCCGACTACAACTCGTTCGAGTGCGGCCGCCGCGGCAAGTGCGACTACTCGTCCGGCGAGTGCGAGTGCTTCGAGGGCTACATGGGCGACCGCTGCCAGACGCAGACGGCGCTCATCTGAGCCGCCCCCGCCCCCCCCCCCGGCCGGTCGTAACGTGTTCCGGTCAAAAACTAGTCTCGGGCCGTCGGTCGAGGGACGCACCCCCTACTCCCGCACGTATGCATCCGCGCGCCGTGTAAAACCCGAACCCGATCAGCGCTCGAGCTTCAGCGCTGTCCAGCCCCAAACCGGGCCAGCTCCTCGCCCGTCGGGCCGCGCGGCGCTCCTTCGGGCCGCGCGACATCCCGGCGGGGCTGCCCCCCCCCCCCATCGTCGCCATGGTAGGGCAGGCCTCGTCCGCGACGGCCGCGACGCACCGCTGGGACAGCCGCGCCTCCGTCAAGGGCCAGGCCTCCGTCGCGCGCTCCGCCAAGCAGACCAAGAGCCCCGCCTGGCGCGGCGCGGCCACCGGCCGCGACCCGAACGCAGTGAACGGTCCGCCGCACGCCGTCGCCCGCGCGACGCACCGCTTCCTCGACGTCTACGACACGTGTCTGCGGGACGTCGACGAGTGCCTCGGCGTGCCCCGCGACGAGTGGGCGCCGCCCTTGGGCTACGACGTCGGCGAGACGACGTTTCGGGGGGCGCCGCGGCTCTGGCCCTCGGAGGCCAACCACCCGGCCGGGTACGCGAAGGGCGCCGACGCGCCCTCGGCCCTCACGGGCGCATCATTTAGACGCGAGACGACCGTCTCCTCATTAATGAGCGTGACGACGCTGCGCGGGTCGCGGCGGGCCGAGGCGCGGGCCTCGAAGCGCGGCGCGCGCATGGCGACGGTCGCCGGCGAAATAAGAAGAGTGCAGGCGGCGCGGCACGTCGACTGGGTCAAGGGCGAACCACCAAAGCCGCGCGGCCTCGCGCGGGCGACGTACGACCGGGGCCGGCTCCTCGGCGTCGCGGCGGCGCCGCACAGCACGTACCGCCGCGTCATGCGCGCGACGGGGTCCGGCGCGCCCTCCAAAACGTCGCGCCCGAAGCGCTGCGGCTCCTACACCGTGCTCACGAACCCTGACGCGAAACGGCCGCCGGAGGACGCCGTCGCCGACGCCGTCGTGACGCACGTCGCGCGGGACCGGCGCCGCTACGCGCTGCGGCTGAGCGGCGCGGCGGCCTGCTCGCAGCAACTCCGGTCGTCTCGGTCGCCCGGCGCCTCGGCGATTTTTGATCTTCATACTTTGTGGAGGGCCTCCGCCTCTGAAAATCCCGACCCGTCCGTCATCGCGAGGACGCAGTTCGTGACCGCTTTTAGGGCACGGCTGTCCGGCGGCCCGCGCCGCGCGGCCGACGCCCTCTACTCGTCGCTCGACCCGCGCCTCGCCGACCGCTGCCGCGTCGGCGCCGCGACGGCTGCCCTCCTCTTTGCACACCCAGTCTGGCCCGTCGACGGCCGCGACGCCGACTACTCGCAGGAGGAACGCGACGTCCTGAGCGCGGTGCGGGCCGCGGCCGAGTGCTACGACTATGATGGAAGAGGCCTCTCGTCGGACGAGATCTCGGAGTTATTAGATACGCCCTGCGTGGACCGCGAGGCGTCGGACCGCCTCGCGGCGCTCGTCGGGTCTCACGAGCCGGGCCACCCGCGGCACTGGCTGGACAAGCCGTCCAAGGTGCACCCAATACCCGACGTCTGGGGCCTCGACGGCCGCGTGGCGCCGGACGTCTTTGTGGACGGGCTCAAGGAGCGGCCCGAGTTGCTGGCGGAGCTCGTGGCGTGCAGTGCGCAGTACAAGGCCGCGGTCAACGCGCTCGCCGTCATGCCGCGGGCGAAGCTCGAGAAGTACCTCTGAGTAACACACAATGTCTTGTCTTAACACACGCACACAGTCTCAGCGCGGGTCGAGCACCGTCACCCAGCCGCGCGCGATGTCGTATTTTAAATCAGCCCGCGTCCCGCCCAATTCAAGAAACTCGGCCGCCGTCGTCGCGGCCATGTATTTGTCGAAGCGCTCGCCGGAGGCGCCCTGCGCGGACGCGACCGGTTCGTTTCGACATACGCCACCGAGCAGACACCCGGGACGCCGCGGCGAAGGCGTGAATTTCGACGCCGTCTCGGCGCCCGCTTCGGGTTCTTCTGGACGACCGCGATGGGCGCCGCGCGATCCACCAGACTTTTCGCGTCCTCCCCCGTCGCGGACGCCTTCTTCTTCGCCGTCGGTTTCGCCGCGGCGGGCGCCGTCGCCGGCCGCGCCTTCTTCCGCGGCTGGCACACGAGCTCGGCCTCCTCGTCCTCGTCGGCCGGGGCCGGCGGCGCCGCGCGGTAGGTCTTGCCGCCGTCCGTCATCGCCGAGAAGCGCTGCGTCGGCGCGCGCTTGCGGGCGCCCGGCTTCTTTTTAGGGCTCGGCGCCAAGCTCGCCGGCGGCGGCGGCGCGAGCTTGACGGCCGCCGCGGCCACGCGCCGCAGCTCGAAGGTCCCCGCCGTCGCGTCGAAGATGAGCGCCGCGTCGAGGGGCGTCGTCTTCGCGGAGCGGCCGCGGAACTCGCGCTCCGCGCCGCTTGCGGCGCGCTTGACGACGACGGCGCCGCCCGCTTCCTGGACGACCGCGGTCGTGTCACTGGACGGCGCCGGCGGCAGGACGTCGTAGGTCAACGAGCGCAGGGGTTTCGCGGTCACGCGCACTTCGTAAGGCGTATTTTGTTGCCAGGGCGGCGCGGCTTCGGCCATCCGCGGAGGCGTGCAGGCTGGGGGCGTGTGCAGCGTCTCTGAGGCGATTTGAGGGCTAGGTTTGGATGGAGCGCAGAGGTGGCAGTGCGTACAATATCTGACGCACACACGCTGAAATTTGGGAGCTGTGAGCTGAAAATATGGGTCTTTTTGTCCAGTTTGTGGCTTGCTAGTGTGTTACAGGGCGCTAGGTCGAGCTGCTCAGGCTTTTACTACGAGCTGCTCAGGCTTTTACTTAAGTCAAGTATTTTTACGCGCTGCTGGCAGCGCCAAGTTGCCACACACTCGTCAGGACACTCCTTGGACGCCACCCTCAAGCCGTTCGCAGCCATGCGTACGCGCAGCGGCCGGCAGGCCAGCAATGACGCCGTGGCGCGCGCCCTCGGCGGCGCGCGCTGGGTGGCCCTGGGCGCGCTATTATCCAAAATCGCGTCCGTGGCCTGCACGCAAATAGTACTAAGATTGGCGCCCGTCGAGGTCCTCGGCGTCGCGGCGGCGCGGCTCGAGCTCGTCATGAACGGGCTCCTCTGCGTCACGCGCGACGGCGCGCGCCTCGCGCTGACGCGGTGCACGACGTGCGCCGAAAAGACCGCGCGGACCCTCGCCTGGGCCTCTGCATTAATGGGCTGCGCCGTCGCGCTCGCGTGTGCGGCCGTCGCCCACTTTGGTGTGGATGCCACGGCCCCCTACCGCGCGCGCGACGCCCTGACCCTCTACTGCCTCGCGGCGGCGGTCGACGCGGGCTCGGAGCCGCTCGAAGCGTTGGCGCGGCACCACGTCCTCACCGCGCCAAGAGCTGTGGCGGAGCCCGCGGCGGCGCTGGCGCGGGGCGCCGTCGCCGCGTTGCTCCTCTGGGCCCGGCCGGACCTCGAGGCGGCAGCTTTAGGCTGGGCCCAGGTCGCCGCGGCCGCCGCCGCCGGCCTCGCGCGCGTCGTCAGCTGGCCCCGCGACCTGCCGGCGCGGCCGGCCCTGCACTTGTATGATCTCGACGCGGCGCTGGTCAAGGATACATGGCGCTTCGCGGGCCAGGCGGCCGTCAAGCACGTCGCGACGGAGGCGGACCGATTGGCCATCGCGCTCCTCGCGACGCCCTACGAGGCCGGCTTGTACGCCTTCGCGACGCACTACGGGTCCATCATCGCGCGCCTCGTGCTGGCGCCCGGCGAGGACGCGTGTCGCTTGGCGCTGGCCAAGTGCGCGTCGCACGACCGCGCGGCACGGATCGGCGGCCTCTTCGCGAAGGGGTCGCTCTACGTCGGCCTCGTCTGCGCCGCGGTCGGCGCGCCCTTCGGCGCCGCGGCCGCCCGGATCCTCAAAGGGAACGCACCGGACGCCGACGTCGCGGCGTGCGGCGCGGCCCTCGCCTACTTCTGCCTCCAGGTGCCCTTCCTCAGCCTCAATGGCGTCTGCGAGGCCTGCGCCCACGCGCGCGCCGACGCCCGGGCGCTCTCGTTGTTGTCCGGAGTTCACGTTGGCTGCGCTTTATTGTTCGCGTTGTGCGCCAGGCCGGCTTTGGCGACGACGGGCCCGCCGGGCCTCGTCGCGGCGGGCGGCGCGGTCATGGCGCTCCGAGCGCTCGTCGCATTGTATTTGGCGCGGGCGCGCGCGTTTCCCAAGCACGGCGGCGCGTTCGTGAAGGCGGCCGCGCCCGACGCCGTGGCTGTATTCGTCTTCTTGGGTGCGGGCGCCGCCGCGCGGCGGTCGGCGTCAGTCGCGTCCCTGGCGACGCACGTCGCGGCGACGGCTGTGCTCGGGGTGCTGTGCCTCGCGGCGATTTTTGTTCGGGACCGCGCGTTCGTGACTTCGCTGCTGGGGTCGCGTCGCGCGAAGGAGGAGTGAGGTCGTCCTTATTTTGTCGTAATGTCGTGTTCTGTGTTTTATTGGTGTTGTTACGGTGCTAGGACTGGGGGCGTATATCTGTTCCTTGTTTTCTAGTGTCTTACACCGCTAGGTAGCTGGCCAAAGCCAAAGCAGGGTTTCAAAAGAGGCTTTTCACCGCTCCTGTGCAAGAGAAAAGCTCTGCTGCAGCGCTACTGGACGCGTTCCTTCCTCGCGAGCACCGCTGCGCAAAAGCACGCACAAATAAGGCAGCGTCTAAACCAGTCAAAGCAGTCAAAGATGCTGGCGCCGCGCAAGACCCTCTGGTCGACGCCCGGCGTCGGCGTCGAAGCGGCCTGTCAGCTCTTGCGCCTGGGCGCCCAGGACAAAGTCATTGACGTCGGCTGCGGCGACGGCCGCTTCCTCCTCGAGGCGGCCAAGCGCGGCGCGAGCGCAGTTGGATTAGAAATAGACGCCGAACGCGCAGAAGCGGCGAGGGCGAATGGGTGTGTTGATGTACGCACGTGCAACGCGCTGGACGAGGCGGAGTGGAGCAAAGCCTTCGACGACGGCGTGACGTGCGCGTTTTTGTACCTCGTGCCGCGCGGGCTGCGCCTCGTGGCACCTAGATTGATCGAACGATCAAAAACAAAACCGATCCGCGTCGTCACGTACATGGCGCCACTGCCCGGCGCGAAATATGTCGAGAAGACGACGGTGACGCCGGCGCACCAGCCGTCGGCGGCGTGGCCCTTATATGCGTATGATCTCGGCGTGGCAACGGTGAAGGTGTGTGTCGTCGGACGGGACGCTTCGTTAGTGGTGGGGGCCATCGCGCGATACCATCTCTTACAAGAGGACGACAAAGCGCCTCAACCTGTAGACGAGGCCGTGGTGCGCTTCCCGCGCACGCGTTATGGTGTTATGAACGTTTCGTTGCATACGAGTGGAGAGGGGCCCTTCGCCGGCTATATTGTCCTGGCGTCGGAGCGGTGGAAGGACTACGTGACGGCCGCGCATACAAGTGATGCGCCTTTGCGCTTGCTGGCCGACGCCGGCGCCTTCAACGCGGACCACGCGCGCTGCGCCGTCCAAGTCGATTTTGAATACGTCCACGGCGTCGACGTGTCGCGGCCGAAAAAAGGCTGCGACGAGCGGGACAAGGACGGCCTCCCGCGCATCGTCGAGGCGCTGCGCGAGGCGGACTGGGCGTCGACGACGCCGGTTGAAGCAGAAGAGCCGGCGGGGCCGCACGTGGCCGTCCTGGGCCCGGACGCGCTGCCGCTCTACCGGGCGCTGTGCCTGAAGTTAAGTGCGGCGCCCGTCGACGACGTACACACCTGCACGCTCTCTACGAAATACTACGAGACGCCGCTGACGCTCTCCCTTGCCTCAACTCCTGAGACCGAAGCTTTGGTCTACTGCGGCCCGCCTTCCTCCGAGGCCGCGGCGCTCTTCGCCAACAACTTAAAAACGCGGCTCCTCGTCGTCCAGGGCTACGACACGGCCGCGCGCGAGTGGTGCGCGGCGCGCGGCGTCGAACTGGTTTCCGAGGCGCCGGCGGCCGCGGCCGCGCGCTGCCGCGGCGCCCTCGAGGCGACGCTCTGGTCGACGGTGGCGCCGCCAGAGCCGGCGGCGGCGCGGGTGTCCCGCGAGTTATCCGACCACCTGGTGAACGCCAGTGACTCGCCGCCGCCGCCGCCGCCGCCGCCCGGGGGCTCCGGCGTCGACGCCTTCGAGGCGGCCGTCGACGCCGCGCGCGCGACTTGCGCCGAGAGCCTGTCCGACGAGGCGCGCCGGGAGCGGGCCGCGGACGTCGCGACGAAGCTGCTCGGCGCGTTGGGGGTTGGGGACGAGTCCGACAGTGATAGCGTAACGTGAAAGAGCTGTACATCGGAGGGGCGCGCGGGCGGGAAGAGGGGTCGGGAAAGGGAAGAGCTTCGTGGAACCCGCTCTCTTGGGCGAGCGGGGCCGGTGGAGATCGCGCAATCAGAGCTTCTGGATCTTCCACTTCTGCTGACGGGACTTGATGCACTTCTGCCCCGTGATCGACGATTCTTTGCGGAGGGCCGTGGCGTCGACGCACAGGTCGCCCTTCAGCGACGCCATCTTGAGGTTCGAGTCCATGCCCTTATACCACATGATGTCCTGTTCGGGGTCGTTCCAGTCACACGTCTTGAGCACGACGCGCTTGTTGGCCGAATCGGGATAGGCACCCCAGTTCGAGGCGCAGAGGTTCTTGTACATGATGCGCGCTTTATCGTTCTTGACCTCGTACGTGAATTCCTGGCCCTGGGTGTTGCCCTCGCCCATGCACGTGTATAGGACGAGAGGGGACCCCGCGGCGTACTTCTTGTGGTTGTGGACGCCCAGGCACCACTGCGGACTATAGGCGAGCTTGAACTGAACTTTTTCGGGGCTGACCGTCGCGAGGTTGTAGGCCTTGGAGGCGACGGACGGCGCGGCGCTGCCGACGACCGCGGAGAGGAGGCAGATGGCGGCGACGGACGCGACCAGCTTGCCCTGCGGCTTGGGCTTGTCGTTGAGCGGCGACTCGACGGCGGCGGGGATCGTGGAGTAAGAGTTAGACATGCTTTTTGCCTGTGTCATCGAGGTCTCTTTCTCTCGCGCTCTTAGGGGTTTTGCCCCTTTTGAGCGTTTCTCCGTGTACGCAGCTTCGCCGGCGCACGAGTTAGTCTAGCGTTCGTGACCGCTTAAGTACTCACTCTCTCGGCGCCAGGTGCCGCGCGCAAAGAGTTTCGCGCTGTTCGAGTGAATTTGAAGGGCACGACTTGCGGGGGTCTTGACGCTACCTGTGAGTTGATTGCGAAGCGTGAGGAAAAATGTGCCAATGCTGGAGGCCGCTTACAAGTTCGAGAAAACCCGCGAAGCAGTCGTCCCCTCGCGTCGTCGAAGTCATATACTGGTCCTCGCGTTGAGGAGAAGGCTGGGCGGGGGCGACCGAAGAAGCACCCCTCGCGCTCCCCGAAGTCCCGCGGCTCGACTGGCCAATTCGTAGATCCGCCTCGAAGTAAATGAACCCCCAAATTCACAATTCATCATAGTCGGTCGCCGCGACCAAATGTTCCAGAGTAGCGGCCCGGGAAGATACCCTCGAGGCTCCCGGAAGACACCGCCCCACGGCGACATTCGCGGATGAGACTTACGGGTTGCCGAAATACACCAGCGATTGACACCGCCATCTACCGTCCAGATAGGACATTATATCAACTCCAGCCCTGTTTTCATACATAATCGACGGAACCGGAGCCGACGACCCGCGCTCGGAGGACGGGAGAAGAATTCTACTAGACAACTCCCGAGTTTATGTTCGTTTCCTTCCGTTTGTTAGTGTTAGAGTCCATTTAGGCCGAATAAGTGGCTACTGAGCTATTTTAGATTACCCTTCAAAGCCTCGCGAAACTGCGACTCGGCGCCCCCCAAGTTTATGCGAAGATGGATTCAGAACCCAGATCGGCGGGTATCAGCGACGCCTCTATCCAGATGGACCATAACGCAGTTGTTCTATTCACGATCGACCGACTTGCCCGTTCTCCGCGGGCGACGGTACGTAGACGGAGCCACGGAAAGGCCCCAGACCGGTGGTTTGTGAAATAAATTTGCATTTCAGGCGCTTTAGTAGTGGAACGGGCCAGATAACCGGCCTAAGCGTCTACTACATTTGATTTCCTATTGCCAAATGCTCCCGCGCCTTGGCCGACTTGCGACCCCACGATCTCGGTCAATCGGGGCTCAAGACCTGGACCTGCGACCATCAGCCCGTGTACCATCACCATGGACCATGATGCGATCGTTTGTTCCATGACCGACCGACTTGTGCGAGCTCCAGATGCAGATGTTCACGTCCCGAGCGTGGGCAGCCCAAAGTACCCTTCTCGCCGTGTAGATGTCATATACTCGTAGTTGACTATCGCTGGGGTAGTATGGGGTCCGACGAGACCGCTACGGCGACTACTGGGGGCCTCGGGTAATTTACGTTTTTTACGGGAACGGGGCGCCATCGGGTCCAAATTGTTTACTTTTTTTGGGGGCAGCTCGGCTCTCGGACGCCCTCCGGGATAGGTCTGGGGTCGGGTGGTCCCCTACGCCGCATACGCCGGTTCTTGGGGCTCTCCAGAGAGCTCTGAATCGAAAACCTTGGCATTTTGTACTATAAGAAACTTGCATGAGATGCATCTTGGCAGATGTATCTGAAGCGAGAAGTGCCCGCGCATGCGGCGTAGGCGCTTGCACATGTACACTACGACCCTAGGCGCTCTCGGGGACACCTCAGGACCACGAATCGACAGGATTCCACCGACGCGCCCGCCATGGTGGCGTCGTCAATTTCGCGAATTAAAAAAAATTAATTTTTTCGCCCCCCAGTACGTGTCCCATTGATCTCTTTGGACCAGTAGCGAACTGAAGGATACTCAAACGACTACAGAACATGTTGCCGGGTTGCTAGTGGCTTACATGCCGCTAGCTGGACAAATTAGGCTCCCAACGTTTTGGCCCGCCACTCGCGTCAGACGATACGACGACAGCCTATTGATACCGCGAATCGCTGCCTTCACTTCGTCTAGCTGCGCTACAGCGAAAGCCATCGTCTACACGGTTCCGTTCAGCGGCCAGCTAACGCGTTCAAAATATATTCTTTTGAGGAGGATTCAGCGTGTGTGGAGTCTCACGACCAAGTAGCCGCGAAAAGAAGCCTGTCTCTACCGTCTCCAGCCGCACGAACCAAAGCCATGGGTCTCCGACGCGCGCTCAGCCGCTGCTGGGCCCTCGCATGCCTCGCCAGCGGCTGGCAACGCGTCCCGAGACCATTCCACCGCGCCACGCCGCTCCGCGCCGCCTTCCACGCCGAGGGCGACTTGAGCGGCGCCTTCCAGCTCTCCGGCGTCTGGAAGCTAGAACGACAGAGCGACGACGCCGTGGAACAAGTGCCGATCCAGCCCACAAATCCTTCGTGGTCCGGCGACCGCTGGTCTGACGTTGTAAGAGAACTCGCGCGGAAGCAGCGCCAGCAGGAGCTTTTACAACTGGACGCGGCGGGCGGCTGGCGGAGCCCGCCGGGCGCTTCGGTCGAGCTCCGTGGGAAATGGAGCATGGATGGGAACGCGGAAGTGACATTGGCGCGCTTCGGGCGGCACGGCAACCACGTCACGGACTGTGTGGAAATCAACCAGTGCGTCGGGTGCATCCGACAATTCTTCACTAAGTCATTTCTCGGCGATGACGCGGCCGTCCTGGCTCGGTCGCGCGGTGAGGAACCGGCACCGCCACGCCATCGAGCAGGCGTCGCGTCGATGGCGTGGAGGACGATGCGACGATTCAGGACGAACGCGCCGTGAACTCTTGATTTATGCACAGGTCACGGAGACGTGGACGGGCCAGTACGACTCGTCGGCGAATAGAGTGGAGGGCGTCGTCCTCGAGGGCGCGTCGGAGCCGGAATATGCTGGTAGGTTCTCATTAACCCCGGCCTTTCCCTCTTTGCAACCGGTCGTCAAGAACAACATCCTGCGGAAGAACGAGACGCAGTGGCGCGTCGCGGATGTGGCCGGCGAATATACCCTCGAATTCCAGGGCGACGGCTCGATCTCGGCCTACGACATACGATTGCTGCCGAACCGGACGTGGACCTCGGTCGGGCTGTCGGCGACTCTAGCAGGTTCCTGGAACGTCTTCGACAGTGACGTCAATCTGGCGTCGGGCATCGACGGCACGGGGCCTAGATTATGGCTCTGGCTGCGGCGCTTCGGCCAAACGTCGTCGTCGGGCGTGCACCTGTCCCAGGACCGGCTGTACCTCGGCCGAATTACGGGCGCCGCCGGCGACGCCTCGAAAATCCGACGGGTCAAGGGCCAGGTCGCCGTCGGCTGGTCGACGGAGCCAGCCTTCATCGGGTCCTTCCGCCTCGTCCCGCGCCACCAGTGACTCCCTCTTTTGTAAGTACGTTCAAAATACAGTTACTATACATGGCGCTTGAGTTTCGATGCGAGGATGCCGTCGATATCGTCCGACTCGGAGTCGGACGACGCGTCGGGCGACGCCGCATCCCCAAATGCCTGGCGCCGCGCGAGGCGCAGCCGCGCCCGCGCGCGCGCGCGGTCGTCCAGCGCCGGCGCTGCTCGATCTTCCTGCAGCGCGCAGTCGCCCCGCTCGTCAATCTGCTTCGCGGCGACGCCGCGGCCGCACTCCTCGACCACCACGTTCTCGAGGATAATCGCCGCCTTCGAATTGATTCCGAGGCCGCAGAGCTGGATCGTGGACCCCCGCGCGTGGAGCGAGGCCCCCTCGTTCACGACGATACCGATTTTGGCGTGTTCCACCACGGAATCGTCGAGCAGGCACGCCCCGGCGACGGTCAGGGCGACGCCCGCCTCGTGCGCGAAGACGCACCTCCGGCACTCGACGGCCGCGTCGGGGGCCACGCGGACGCCGGCCGTCGTATCGATGCGGTCGAGGCGCACGCCTTTCGCATGAATTTCGATGCCCTCGACCGTGGCCAAGGCGTTGTCGCCCGCCAGGGCCAGCGCCCGCTTGATGACGAGCTTTTCCTCGTAGCGGCCGGGCGCGACGAGGACGAGCGCGCACGACGCGTCGCTCACCGCGGCCCGCAGCGTCGGCGCGTCGCGCGGCACGAGCAGCGTCGGTATCCGCTTCTCGGCTCTCCGAAGTATCGCCGCAGCCGCCTTGCCCACGCGTTTCGCGTCGGCAATGCATCCCTCAAAATCGCGGCGGCACAGCCGCGCCCTCGCGCGCCGCAGCAGCGCCTTCTTCGTCGTCGCCTCGGGCGCATCGTCCACTGCCAGGGCGGCGTCGCAGGCCTTCTCCGCCTCCGTGGGCCGCCCTACCCTCAGAAACGCCTCCGCGAGGTTCGCGTGCAGCGTCGCCGCGTCGCAGCCGTGCGCGAGGCAGCCCGTCCAGATTTTGATGGCGTCTTCATATTCTCCTTGCTGGAATTTGTGTTTCGCTGCTTGCCGCTCGGCCGCGTAATTCGCGCCGCCGTCAGTTTGTGGTGTGGCAGCCTCCTCAGCAGCAGTGGCCTGTGCAGCCATCGCGGGCCTTTATTTGTCGTAACCACTCGCGGGACTCATGAAATGATTATTTTATCACCCCTTCGTCCAATTTTTGTGATCCCTATGGGGCTCCGTGCTGCTGTGGGTGAAAAATGGACGTACGAGACACAGCTAGCTAGCGGCTGTAAGACACTAGCAAGCATTTGTCCGGCGCCCCGGCGGGCGTCCTTACGAGCATAGCGAGGCGACTGAGCAAATTTTGTGACCTTCTTGCGGCGGTGGAGATCGCGCGTGGCGTCTGCCGCCCAGGACGCTCAGGAAATCTTTGAGTTTGGGGTTTTCGATTGAAACCCAAGCCGGCCCGGCGCGGCGCGTTTCAGGTAGACCACCCGGCGCGCGAGGCCGCCGCCGGCTAGAGAAGTCGACGCGTCACCAAGCTGGCGACGATCCCGCGCGCGCGGGCCGTCTCGCTCCTCGACATGCCGCGGGCCCCGGGCCCGCTCCCGCCGTGGGCGCGCGAAATCGTGGCCGCGCTGAGATTTCTCGGACAACATCTCGCGCGCCTGAGGCACCAGCTCGGCCGCCAGCTCGCCAAGGTCGCGCGCCGCGGCCCGAAGACGCTCGCCCTCGGCGCGCCGCCGCCCGAGAACGTGTCTCGCGCGCCCGAGGGTCCTCCGCTCTTCCCGCCGCTCGACGCGGAGCCGCCCGCGGAGGGGTTCTTCACGTCTTTCGACCTGCTCCTCCTCGCCGGCGCCTTGGCCGTCGTGGCGTTCGTCGCCTGGCAGAGCTACAAGCGGCGGCCCGAGGCCGTCGTCCGCTCCGTGACGCCGCCGCTCACGCCCGAGGACAAGGGTCCGACCGAGCCTCGGACACTCCCGAGCCGCTTCCGCGCCGTACTTCGCGGCGCGCAGTCGCCGGAATTCGCCTCGCCCCAGTCCTTCGAGGAGCGCCGGTCGCGCCAGCCGCCGGCGCGCCGCCGCTCGCGGTCGCGGCCGCCGAAGCCCGGCTCGCCGCGGGGCGCGCCCGGCACGGCCGCGTCGCCGCAGAAACCGACGCGGCCGGCGCCGCCGCGCGAGGCCCGGACCGCCTTCGTCTACTTCGGCCTCGAGCAACTCGACAAGATGAGGGCCGAGCACCCGGACTGGTCGCTGCGAAAAATAGGCGAGACGTGCCAGCGGCGCTGGGATTTGCTCGGCGACGAGGCGAAGGCGCCGTACGTGGAACTAGCTCAGACCGACGCGAAGCGCTACAAGGCCGAGGCGGCGGCGTACCTCGCAAAAATGTAGGGAGGTGTGGCCCGCGGCGCGTAATCGTAGCCTCGCGATATGTATACAGGAGGCGGCAGGGACCGCATCGCGCCGATGGCGTGACGTACAGCGCGGAAAATTCCGGCTAGAAAAGTCGACTAAGCAAAAATTACCGAATTTTCTTCGAGTCCTCCTCCACAAACACCCCGGACGCGACGCCCCGCCGCAATTCGCCAAGCATGAACGTCGTCCGCGTCCACATGAGGGGCGCCGTGCCGACGGTCACCAGGGCCACCAGGAGGCAGAGGAGCGGGCCGCCGTCGAAGCCGGCCCCCGCCCATCGAAGCACGTAAGTGACATAAAGTGGCAAAATCAGCACGTGGCAGCCCGTCATGAGAATGGCGTACAAGACGGACGCCACGCGCCCGCCGCCGCTCACGGTCCAGATGACGCAGCCGACGCTCCCGCCCTCCATCGCCGCGGCGGCGCCGGCCGCCGTGAGGCATCTAATGGCATCTTCCGGATGTTCGCGGCAGCCGGCCCAGATGACGGCCGCCAACAACGCTGTGAGGTTGTGGTGGGCCGTCATCATCCAGTCCGACCTAAACAGTAGTAATTCGCGGAGCTGCATCCCGGCGATGCCCGGCAGTGCCTGCGCCGCCAGCGCGCAGGCCCAGGACGCATCTTTCAACAGACCGAGCCCCGTCAGCGCGATGACGATGGACGCGGGCGTGAAGAAGAGCCCTTGGAACACGCCCGAGTACAACCAGGCAAAGAGCGGATATTCCCGGAAGCGTTTCTGACATTTATCGACGCCGCAGCCCGCATCGGCCGTGGCGAGCAACAGCGCCACGGCCACGTTGAGGCCGAACCACGTCGCCGCGACGTCGACGAAGCGGTCGCGCGACGCGTCGAAGGGTGCGGGTGGCTTCCTCGCATCGCACTCGAGCTGCGTCGCGATCTTGACGAGGCAAGAACATGCGGCCAAGCCGTAGCACGCGGCGAGGCCGAACCTCGTCGCACCGCGGACGCTCACCAATCGTTTGAATGGAAAGCGCAGGCTCGAGAGCTCCGCGCGGGCCTGGCGGCCGATGGTCACTATCCTTGTGTTCGGCACGGCGTTTGTTGCCGCTTCGGCGGGCATTGTTTTGTGCTACTTACACCTTACAGGTGTGCAGCCAATTGGTGGTGCGACCGCAGTGATGCCGATCGTGTATTCGCTGCACGATAGGGTATGCTTCGAGGAATCAGGAATCGGTACCGTCACCTATGTAGCTTCAGAGGTAGCCGCTGATACTTTTACGATACTTGCAAAAGCCGGGGCGTCTGCTTTGCTAGTGTCTTACGACCGCTAGGGGTACCAGGCGTAACATATATATCTCAAGAACACCGGTCTCTAAATATATCACACACCAAGGACGCATAACCCTACGCCCCTCATGTATATACACATGTAATCGCGGCATCTGGTAGATATGTATGGGTACTTGTACCTATAGCTATCCCGGGCCGATCATGTGTTCTAGTCATGAGTCCGTGTGAAAAATCGGGCTCGAGTCTATTTCCGCAACAGAGTTCGTAGTACGTTCTTTACACATCCGACACGGACGAGAGGGGGAGGGAGGGACAGGGTTGTGGCCGGGTCGCGCTTCGTCGCGGTGTCCGGCCGTCGAGAGGCGCCTCACGCCTGCTCGTTCTCCGAGAGCATCGGCGCGTAGTTGGCCTTGAAAGCTGCGAGCTCCTCGCGCTCGCGCTGGCGGCGCCGCGCTGCGCCCAACGCCAGCACGGCCAGCGAGAGCGACGCGAGGCACAAGGCCGCGGCGGACGCGAGGACGAGCAGAGAAGCGGCAGCAGCGGCCTCCTCTTCCTCGAGGGCGGCGTCCTCCTCCTCCGCCTCGACCTCGACGACGACTTCGCGCGTCGGCGGCGGCGGCGGCCGCTCCCGGACGTAGTCCACCACGTCGTCGAAGCGCGGCATCGGCGGCGGCGGCTGCGGCGGGCCGAAGCCGCGCGCGCGCGGCGGCGGCGGGCCCTCGACGCGCGAGAAGCGCGGCGGCGGCGCGAAACCGCCCGCGTCGAAGCGGCGCGGTGCCGGAGGCACCTCGAGGACCTCATCATACAACATGGTATCGTCCTGCTGGACGAAGGCGTCTCCGCCGAAGAACGCGTCCACCATATCGAGGAGGCCTCCCATGAGCATCGGCGGCTTGGGCGGCGTGGGCGGCGCCAGCGTCGCGAGGTACGACGCGCAGGCGTCGCCGACGGTGGGCCGCGCCAGCAGGCACTCGTGGACGCGGTTCTCGCCGGGCTGCACGTTGCGGCACGTCTCGAGGATCTCGCCGCGGCAGTACTCGACGACGGTCGGCGCGCTCGCGAGGTGGGCGGCGCACTGCTCACTGAGCTGGTCGAAGTGATCACCTAAACAAAGGCGCTTCTCGAAGATGGACGCGTACGCGTCGTCGTCGTCGGTCTTGGAGCAGTAGCTGTCGACGTCCTCGCCGCACGGGCACCCGAAGTCGTGGCGCGACGGCCCATCATCAGAATAGTAGCGCGGCTGGTACATCGTCTGCTGGGGCGGCGGCCCGAAGAAGTCCTGGAGCATGGACCTCACGAAGCCGCCGGGGTCCTCCACCTGGTACTCCGTGCGCTCGACGATGACCAGGCCCTGGGGCGTGACCGGTCGTTGCGCGACCGCTAGTAGTTGTTCCACATCATCGGTGGTCAGCGTCGGCTGGCGCGCAGCCCCCGTGAGGGAAATGCGGGTCGTCTGGGCCGACGCTCCGAGAGCGAGGGCGAGGACGAGGCGCATCATCGTTTTTTATAGGCTTGGCGACGTCGAATGTACGCTAACGAGGGAGGTCAGTCGCGCTCGCAGCTCCTTCGATGAAGTTCGCAGCTCTTTTGGCTTTTGGCTTCTCTCGGGCGTGGCGGGCGCGTCAAACAAGGCGCCCGCGGATCTGCCGTCTAGAGATAAAAGGGGCGAACTCCCAACGGGCTCGCGGGGTCGTCTGAGGCCCTTGGGGCGGCGTACGGTGGCACTGAAATAGCGCTGCTGGCACGCGGTCAAGGCCTTGACTAGCGGCGCCAATGCGGAGCAGTCGTGACGGGAGCTCGACGAGAGAGCTTTCCGAAAGACAGCTGTACGGGGAAACCGCCGTTTTCCGAGGGCAGCGAATGTGCCGGGTTTTCCGAGCTAAACTCATATTTGCCGAGTACGCCGCCTGGGCCATTTAAACAGTGCACATAGCCTTTGCGACTCATTTCTTGCCTGCGCACTGCGCTCCGCACCTTTTTTTGCAGCTGTGCGGTCTCTGACTGCAAAAATGGCTGCCATGAGCACAGCCTGCCAGCAGCGCATCGCTTTAAACGACGGCCGACAGATGCCCAGTTTCGGCTTAGGAGTGTGGCAGGCGCCGCTCGGCCAATGCAAGGCAGCAGTGCTGCACGCGCTGCGCTGCGGCTACCGGCACATCGATACCGCGGAGGTATACGGGAACGAGCAGGACGTGGGCGATGCGCTGGCTATCTTTTTGAAAGAGCGGCCCGACGTGCAGCGCGAGGATATCTGGATCACGACAAAGTTTTTCCCGCGCCACGGCGCCGGCCGTGCCGCGGTCGTGAGGGCTTGTAAAGACTCGCTGCGCAAGCTCCGTCTGCAGTACGTGGACCTCTATCTCATCCACGCGCCGCACACGCGCGAGCGCATCGAGCAGTACAGCGCTCTGGAGGCGTTGCGGGCGGAAGGGCGGTGTCGCAGCATCGGCGTGAGCAACTACGGCATTCACCACCTGCAAGAATTGCTGGCGGTATGCGCCGTCCCGCCGTGCGTCAACCAGGTCCGTGACCTCAGCGTCTGGTGCCTCCACGCCATCGACGCGTCGAATTTCACAGGTAGAGTGCAACCCGTTCATCACTCGTACGCCGCTCCGTGAGTTCTGCGCGTCCAAGGGCATTCTCGTGGAGGCCTACTCGCCGCTCGCGCGGGCCAACAAGTTCCGCGACCCTCGCTTGCTCGACGTCGCGCGACGGTGCAGTTTGTCGCCCGCCCAGGTCATGGTGCGGTGGTGCCTCCAGCGAGGCTGTATTGTGATCCCGAAGTCCGTGACGCCCGCACGCATCGAGGAGAACGCGCAACTCGGCGACGCACCCCTGAGCGCGGCCGACATGAAATCGCTGGACGCGCTCGACGAGCACTTCGTGACCCACTGGGACCCGACGCGGTCGCCATAACAACACTGTGAATTTACAAAGGAGGCCCTCCCCCCCCGCTCGAAGATGCGGGCCCGGGGCGCGCGCTCCGCGGCGGCCGCCGCAGCTCGGCGCAGACGCGTCCGCGCGACGAGGCCTCGGCCGACGGCCGGAACGCGGCTGTATGCACGGCGCCGCCTTTTCCGGTCGCGTAGATCGCGCGCTCCGTCGGGATCGCCAGCAAATCGGCCGGCGCGTCGGCCGCGACGAGGGCATCACCAACTAACGCCGCTGCATCGTCGACGACGCCGGCGACGTCCGACCGAATTATGACTGCGCCGGTCGCGTGCGCCGCCGCCGTCGCGAAGAACGCCCGCGTGAGCATGCGCCGGTTCTTATTCCTGTTTTTCCAGTGCGGGTCCGGGAACTGGCAGAGGACGTGCAACGTCACACCTCCGGCGTCGCGCCACTCCGCCAGGAGCCGCGATAGGTCGCCGGCCGCCGTGTTCGCGGGTAGGAATGCGCAATTTGCCGGCGCTCGCGCTGCGCATCGTGCGAAGACGTTTTCTCGCACGTCGACGCCCATGAAGTTGAGGTCTCCGCGGACCGCGGCGGCGGCGACGCACCACTCGCCCTCGCCGCAGCCGACGTCGACGACGAGCGGTTTCGAGGTGTCGAGTCGTTGCTGCCAGGCGCCCCAGCGTTGCGCGAAGTCGCAGAACTGCGGCTTCAGCGGGTTGAGCTGCTTCGGCACGGCGCCGTCTCTTCTCCGTCCGCGGCGGCCGCGTTTGCGAGGCTGGCACATCAGTGCTCTCCCAGCTGAAATGGACTTAGGCGCTGTTTCGAGCTGCAAGCCGTGGCAGCGATGATCAGCGATGATCAGGCAGTTAAATGTTCGTCTATCATGCCCAGAGAGCTGACACAGACTGCACCAGACGGCTTCAAAGTCTAAGCTAGCTACACAGCCCACAATACCCGCACGACGCCTTCGCCGTCGTGACGCAATTTCCCAGCGAGGAACACCCCTGGATGTTGTCAGGAGACGCCTCGTCGAGAGTGACTTAACCCGCTCAGGTCGAATTTGAGAGGTTGTTTTTGTGACCCGAGTCATCTCGGATAGTGCGAAGCACTATTGGAAGTAAGTGTACTCGGACACGGCGCAACGCGGTCCACTTGCCACCACCACCGCTTGCGGCTCCGGTTCAGCGCCCGCGCGAGCCTGCACGCAGCCAAAAGCACCCGAAAGCTAAAAGAGCGCTGCTCTTACGCCCACGCTCACGCCCCTCGCAGCGTGCCCCTCGCGCAGCTCGCGCAGTACGACGCTAACACCATGGCACGCTGGCGCACGACGGTTTCGATCGACGCCAAGGCCGCCCGCGGCATCGCGGCCCACGTCGCGACGCTGCAGACCGACCGCGGTCCGGCTGGCGCGCACGCCGCGTGCGCCCTCGTGAAGCTCGCGTACGCGTCGCCGCACCACCGCAGCAAGATTATCCAAGCGGGCGCTCTCAAGCCCCTCGTCGAGGTGCTGCGCGACGGCGCTGAAAGTGGCGGCGGCCCGGGCTTCTCGGCCGTCGGGGCCGCCTGTCAAGTGGTGGGCGTCCTCGCTCACGACCCCGGGATGGCCGAGATCATCGTCGCCGCGGGCGCGTCCGAGCCGCTCGTCGCGCTACTCAGCACGGAGGCGGCGGCCGCGGCGGCGACGGCGATCCAGACCCTCGTCACGAACGGCGCCGACGCGTTCGCGCCGGCGCGCGCGCCGCTGCAGCTCCTCCTGGCCGACGGCGATGACCGCGCGAGATGCGCGGCGGGAAGCGCCCTGACGGCGCTCGGCGCGTCCAAGGTGCGCCTCGAGTCCCTCGAGGACGTCGAGTCGCGGTTCTTCCGCATCGTGACGCCCTCCTAGTCCCCGATTACCTGTGCCCTAAGTTTTCCACCTGTCGCGACGTTTGCTCGGCGACGCGGTGTCTCCTCCCCAGGCCACGTGCCCTAGCATCGTAGCAGACACGACGGCAAGGGGTGGGGCATGGTCCTACTCATACGTTACACGTCGCCCCCGCCGGCTTCGGCAGCTTCAGGCTGAAGTCGACGCACGCGTAGCCCTGCGTCAGCGCGCCCTGCGAGACGACGTCGACGTCCTCCGATAAATACTGGGCCATCGTTTTCAAGGTAATACCGCCGGACGCCTCGACCAAGACCGAAGGAAACGCCGCCTTCAGACTCCGCGCCGCGGCCTTCAACGAAGACGGCGTGAAGTTGTCGAGCATGACGATGTCCGCACCTGCTCGCGCAGCTTCCAAAGCCTCCTTTAAATCTCTCGCTTCGACCTCGATCTTCGCCGAAAAACCCGCAGCTGTTTTAGCCGTCTGCACGGCTTTCGTGATGGAGCCGGCCTGCCAGACATGATTATCCTTGAGCATGACCATCTGCGACAGGTCCAGGCGGTGCGTCGCGGCGCCGCCCACCAACAGCGCGTACTTCTCGACGATGCGAAAGCCCGGCGTCGTCTTCCGCGTGCCGGCGACGTGGCCGGCCCAGCCGCAAGAACGCGCCACCTCGACGCACCGGCGGGCCGCCGACGCGACGCCCGACGCGCGGCTCAGGGCGTTCAATGCTGTGCGCTCGCCTAGCAGTAATCTTCGCGCCGGGCCCGTCACCGTCGCCACCGCAACCTTACCTTTCGATACATCCAGCAACGTGCCCTCCTCGACCTTCCAAGCGACGCGACATCCTAATTCCTCGAAAGTAGCGTCGAAGAAGGGCCGCCCCGCCAGGACACCGCTGGACTTGCACCAGAGTGTTGCAGTCGTCTCCGCATCACCGACGACCAGCCCGCCTACGTCCAGCGACGGGCAGTCGTCCCTGAGCCACGCAGCCACGGTGTCGCGGTAGAAGGGCGGCAGGGCCGCGGCGAAGGTGACTTTCATCGGGGCCGGGGCGGGCGGCTTCGGCTGGACGAGCAGGCCCTGCTTCGCGTCCTTTTCGTGGGCCTCTTGTGCGGCGCCGCGCTCTTGGGCTCTCGCGTGGTCGAGCAGCGTCATCTTTTGTAGGAACGTGTCGACGGCGTCTGGCGTCGCGCTGTCGCTTTGTTGCACACAGTCTCTTGGAGGACCTTGTGCTGTGGCACTGATGCGTGCCGCGCCCGAAGCCGACCGCAGTGTGTTTGCTATGACTGAGAACTGTCAAAGACGCGACCCTGAGCCACGCGTGCTTGCTCGTGCGAGGTGCACTCGGCAATTTTGCGCATGGGGCCAAGGTACGGGTATTTGGAGAAAGAGCCATCCGTCCAGGACTCCATGGAGCCGTCGCGGAGGGGTCTCCGGGGCGAGCCATCGGGGGAACAGGGGGTCGTGCCTGTGGAGCGCCCGGTGGGCAAACCGCAACGGTGCCGGCCAAAGGGCAGCCGCGAGAGACCGGTTACGCGGGCACGCACGCTCGTTAGAGCGCCAACGACCAGCAACCGTGTGACCGGTGCAGGTCGTTTGGGCAGCCGAGACCCAGTTCCGCGCGCACGCACGCTCGTCCATTGGGGCAGCCGATGCCAGCACTGGCGCCGAAGCGCGCCAGCAAGAGTTTGAAGGCCGAGCGCGATAGAGACAGAGCACCGCCCGCCTACATGGTGCGCGGCAGGAAGACGCCGCGTGATCGCGACGACAGCTACAGTGACGACAGCAGCCGCAGCCGCAGCCCGAGCGACGACAGCAGATCAAAGAAGCGCGGCTTCGCGGCCACGAAAACGAAGAAGCGCGCGCCGGCCAAGTCCGCGGCGCTCGGCTTGGTCCGGAAGGAGACCGATAGAGTCCGCGCGGACCTCGACCGCGAGGCGAGCCGCGCGCTGCCCGCGGCGCGGAAGCGCGACGGCGGCGCGGCGAAGAGCGCGCGGGCGGCGCTCGCGGCGCGCAAGGCCCGCAGCGGCGACGCCGGGCGCCTGCTGCTGACGGACCGGGAGAAGGCCCGCAAGTCGACGAGCCGGCGCGGCGCCTCGGACGACTCTGATGATGACGACGAGGAGTTCCGCCGCCACGCGGAGAAGTCCCGGCGCCGCAAGGACGATTCGGACGACGAGAAGCCCCGGTCCCGCGACAAGCCCCGGCGCCGCGTAGACGACGACGCCGACGACGACGACGTCGTGCTCGCCGGCCTGCGCAAGGCCAAGGACCTGGACGACGAGGACGTCTTCGGCAGCCGGCGCCGCGCCAAGGGCCGGGACGAGGACAGCGACGTCTTCAAGAGCCGCGCCAAGAGCCGGGACGACGACAGCGACGTCTTCAAGAGCCGCGCCAAGAGCCGGGACGACGACAGCGACGTCTTCAAGAGCCGCGCCAAGGGCCGGGACGAGGACAGCGGTGTCTGGGGCGACAAGTCTAGGAAGAGCCGGGCGGACGACAGCGGCGTCTGGGGCGACAAGTCGCGGGCCAAGAGCCGGGCCCGGGACGACGACAGCGACCCGTGGGGCGGCGACAAGTCTAGGAAGAGCGACAGGCCGCGCGCCCGGAGCCCGGCGGACGAGAGCGACGTCTGGGGCGACCGGAAGAGCCGCGCGCAAGACGACGACGACGACGCTTTCAAGTCGAGGACCAAGACGACGACGTGGCGCGTCCGCGACGTCGACGACGACGGCAACACGACGATCACGTCGGCGCGGTCGCCGCGCGTGATCGAAGAGGCGCGCGACGACGCTATCGTGAATACGGTCCGGGACGGCGGCGCGTCGCCCGTGCCGTTCTCCACGACGCGGCCGCCCGACGACGTCGCCGAGGCCTTCGACCGGTTGAAGACCGAGAACGCGGCGCTGCGCCACGAATTGGCCCAGTCCCTGAAGGCGGCGGACGTCCTCGCGGCCGGCGGCGTCGCCGCGGCGACGATGGCCCAGTCTTTAGCTGATGGCGACGCTCCCGGACGCGCCTTAGATGTGGTGTCTCGTTTAGAAGACCAGGGCGCGGGGCCGGCGACGCGAACGCTCGCGGAGGTACCAATGATCGGTGCGGCGGCGCCCGTCTGCGCGGTGTCTGCCGAGCGGACCATGGTGCCGAAGCGCGGCCCCCGTATTAGTGTGTGGGGCGCGCACGAGCGGGCCGTGTCGTCGGCCATCGAAGATAGAATTACGAGAACGCAGTCGCTGGACTGCGTGAGCCGCCTGCGGGCCGCCGTGAGCCGCGTGAACGAGCGGGACGGCTACACGACGACGTCGAGAATCTACGGCGCTTTTAGAGATGCGGGCTTCCTCACTCTCACACCAAGGGACGTGGAAGACGACCTCTGCAAGGGTTTGTCCATGGACCAGCGCGGCCGCGTCGACGTCGGCGAATTACTCAGGCTCTGCGCGGACGTCGCCGACGAGTGCGCCGAGTCCATCCTCGGGGCTGGGGATTTGATCTCGCGCTTCGGCCCCTCCGCGACGGGCGGCCCGCCGGAGGGCTGGTCCGGCGACAAGCGTCCCGAACCCGATGACGACGACGACGACGACGAGGACGGGAGGCGCCGCCGGCGAAAAAGGCGATCGTCGCGGTCGCGGTCCCGCTCCGATTCAAGCTCGCGGTCGCGGTCGCCGCGGCGCCGCTCCTCGAAGTCGCGCCGCGACAAGCGGTCGCGGTCGCGCTCGGACTCGCCGCGGTCGCGCCGCCGCGGCTCCTCGCGCCGCGACCGGGACAAGCGGTCGCGCTCGCGCTCGGACTCGCCGCGGTCGCGCCGCCGCGACCGCAGGGACCGCGACAAGTCGCCGCGGTCGCGCCGCGACAAGGACAAGCGCTCGTCGTCGCGCCGCGGCGACGACAAGCGCTCGCGCGGCGCCGAGGGCCGCCTCTACGACCGCCTGCGCGCCAAGCGCGACGGCTCGCGCCGCCGCCGCGACGACTCGCCGCGGAGCCGCCGCGACCGCGACCGGTCGCCTCGCAGCCGCCGCGACCGCGACGCCTCGGACTCGCCGCGCTCGCGCCGCCGCGGCTCCTCGCGCCGCGACCGCGACCGCGACCGCGACGACTCGCCGCGGTCGCGCCGGACGGCGTCGTCGCGCGTGCTGGCCAAGCGCGACCGCGCGGTCACGGGCCGCGACGGCTACCCCGTGGGCAAGGGCCGGCGCGACACGCGCGACCGCGACCGCTCGCGCCGCCGCAAGGACGACGACAGCTCGACGCTCGAGTCGCGCGACAAGTCCCGGCGCCGCCGCGACGACAGCGAGGACGAGAAGTCCCGTCGGCGCGCCTCGTCTCGCCGCCGTAAAGACGACTCCGAGGACGAGAAGTCTCGGCGCCGCACCTCGTCTCGCCGCCGCAAGGACGACTCGGAGGACGAGAAGTCCCGCAAACGCGCCACGTCGCGCCGCCGTAAAGACGACTCGGAGGACGAAAAGTCCCGCAAACGCGCCACGTCGCGCCGCCGCAAAGACGACTCGGAGGACGAGAGGTCCCGCAAACGCGCCACGTCGCGGCGCCGCAAGGACGACTCGGAGGACGAGAAGTCCCGCAAACGCGCCACGTCGCGGCGCCGCAAGGACGACTCGGAGGACGAGAGGTCCCGCAAACGCGCCACGTCGCGCCGCCGCAAAGACGACTCGGAGGACGAGAGGTCCCGCAAACGCGCCACGTCGCGGCGCCGCAAGGACGACTCGGAGGACGAGAAGTCCCGCAAACGCGCCACGTCGCGGCGCCGCAAGGACGACTCGGAGGACGAGAAGTCCCGCAAACGCGCCACGTCGCGGCGCCGCAAGGACGACTCGGAGGACGAGAGGTCCCGCAAACGCGCCACGTCGCGGCGCCGCAAGGACGACTCGGAGGACGAGAAGTCGCGCCGCCGCCGCGACGACGACAGCAAGACGCTGAAGAAGCGCGACACGAATAGAAGGGTCACGGGCAAGGTCGTGGACGCCGTCAAGAGGCGGAGCAGGCACGAGGCCGGGAGCCCGCGCGACGCCTTCGCGCGGAGTCTGCGGAGGCTCTTCGAGGACATGGACGTGAACGGCGACGGCGTCCTCTCGAAGCGGGAGATCCGGGACGCGTTGTTGGATCTGGGCCGACGAGACAAGGAGAACGCGTTCCTGAAACCAAAGGAGCTGCGCGACCTCTTCGACGACATGGATCTGAACGGGGACGGCAAGGTGTCGTACGACGAGCTCGTGGATTTTTTGGTGGAGCACGTCGCGGGCGACCGGACGGCCCGGAAGGGCGACCGGCGCCGCAAGGACGACTCGCCGGCCAAGAAGGCGTCCGCGAAGGAGGCGACCTTCGTCAAGGCCCTCAAGAAGCACTTCGAGGACGTCGATAAAGATGGAAGCGGCGACCTGTCCAAGAAGGAGGTCCGCGACGCCCTGGTCTCGTTCGCGCGGAAGGATCGCTCCGGGAAATTCCCGAAAAAAGACGCGCTGCGGGACCTGTTCGATGAATTAGATCTGAACGGCGACGGCTACGTGTCCTATGACGAGCTCTGCGATTTTATCGACGAGCGCGTGTCTTCTCGCAAGAAAAGTCCGGAGCGGTCCCGCGGCGACGACAAGGCCGAGGTCACCTTCGCGAAAGCGCTGAAGAAGCACTTTGACGACCTCGACAAGTCCGGGGACGGCGACCTGTCGAAGCGGGAAGTCAAGCAAGCCCTGCAAACCTTCGCGCGGAAAGACAAATCGGGCAAATACCCGAAGCTCAAGGAGATCACGTCGATTTTCGCAGACATGGACTTAGATGGAGACGGCCACGTGTCCTACGACGAGGTCTGCGACTACATCGACGAGCGCGTCGACGGCAAGCGGCGCCGCAAGGACGACGCCGACGACGAGAAGCCCCGCCGCCGCAAGAAGGACGACGCGAGCGACGACGACGAAACAGACCCGCGCAAGACCTTCGCCAAGGCCCTCAAGAAGCACTTCGACGACCTCGACAAGTCCGGTGATGACGACCTGTCCAAAAAAGAAGTGAAACAAGCCTTGGTCGCGTTCACGAAGAAGGATAAACAGGGCAAGTTCCCGAAGCTCAAGCAGCTCGCCGATCTATTTAGAGACATGGATCTGAACGGCGACGGCCACGTGTCGTACGACGAGCTTACCGAGTTCATCGACGGGATCGGGGGCGGCCGCGACACGAAGAAGGATGTGACCTTCGCGAAGGCGCTGAAGAAGCATTTCGATGATCTCGACAAGTCCGGCGAGGGCGACCTGTCGAAGCGCGAGGTCAAGCAAGCCCTGCAGAGCTTCGCGAAGAAGGATCGCGCGGGCAAGTACCCGAAGCTCGGCGAGCTGCGGGCGCTGTTCGACGCCTTCGATCTGGATGGCGACGGCTACGTCACGTACGAGGAGCTCTGCGAGTACATTGACGAGCGCGTCGACGGCAAGGGCCGCGGCGACGACAAGGCCGACCCGCGGGCGGCCTTCGCCAAGGCGCTGAAGAAGCACTTCGACGATCTCGATAAGTCTGGTGATGGGGACCTGTCGAAACGGGAAGTGAAGCAAGCCCTGCAGAGCTTCAGCAAGAAGGACAAGGCGGGGAAATATCCGAAGCTCAAGGAGATCGCGGCGATCTTCGCAGACATGGATTTGAATGGAGACGGCCACGTGTCCTACGACGAGGTCTGCGATTATATTGATGAGCGCGTCGGCGGCGGCGGCGCGCGGCGCGGGCGCGCCGAGGGCAAGGGCGACGATACGCGCACGACCTTCGCCAAGGCGTTGAAGAAGCATTTTGACGACCTCGATAAGAGCGGTGATGGGGATTTGTCCAAGCGGGAGGTGAAGCAGGCGCTCCAGACCTTTGCGCGGAAAGACAAGTCAGGCAAGTACCCCAAGCTCAAGGAGATCGCGTCGATCTTTGCGGACCTCGACCTCGACGGCGACGGCCACGTGTCCTACGAGGAGATCTGCGACTACATCGATGAGCGCGTCGACGGCAAGCGGCGCCGCAGGGACGACGGCAGCGATGACGACCGGTCGCCGCGCGGCAAGGCCGACCCGCGCGCCACGTTCGCGAAAGCTCTGAAGAAGCATTTTGACGACCTCGATAAGAGCGGTGATGGGGATTTGTCCAAGCGGGAAGTGAAGCAGGCGCTCCAGACCTTCGCGCGCAAAGATAAATCAGGCAAATACCCCAAGCTCAAGGAGATCGCGTCGATTTTTGCGGACATGGACCTCGACGGCGACGGCCACGTGTCCTACGAGGAGATCTGCGACTACATCGACGAGCGCGTCGACGGCAAGCGGCGCCGCAGGGACGACGGCAGCGATGACGACCGGTCGCCGCGCGGCAAGGCCGACCCGCGGGCGGCCTTTGCGAAAGAACTCAAAAAGCATTTTGACGACCTCGATAAGAGCGGGGACGGCGACCTGTCGAAGCGCGAGGTCAAGCAGGCGCTCCAGACGTTTGCCAAGAAGGACCGCGCGGGGAAATTCCCGAAGCTCAAGGAGCTCAACGACATCTTCCGGGACCTAGATTTGGACGGCGACGGCCACGTGTCCTACGACGAGGTCTGCGAGTACATCGACGAGCGCGTCGGCGATGGGCGCAAGGCGAGCCGGTCGGACGACGACGACGACGACGACGACGCCGACGACGCGTCGCGGCGGTCCGGCGCGTCGTGGGCTCTCAACGACGACGAGTACGACGGCCTCGTGCAAAAGTTGCGGCGGTCCGCGGACGGCGCGCGCGTGCCGATTGGCGCTTTGCTGAAAGCGGCGCCGCGGCGCTGCGAGGCGAAGCTGCGGCATCTCTTGAGGGACAAGGACCCGGGGTCCGCGACGCAGCGGAAGCGCCTCGGGCGCGCCGCGTGCCGCCTGCGCCGGGCGTTGTGCCACCGGGCCCGGCCGTCCGGGTCAAAGAAAGGGTTGGATCTGCGCGAGCTCGAGGACGCGGAGCCCGAGCTCTTCGAGGAGGGGACGCTCGCCGCGTTCCGCGACTGCTGCGCGCGGCTGGCGGGCTGCTCGTCGGCGGACGCCGACGCGCTCTTCAGGTTAGTCGACGACGACAAGGACGGCGCCCTGGGCAGGCGGGAGCTCATTGAGTTCGTCCGCGATACCGGGGAGTCCTGGAGCCGGCGCGCGGGTCTGGACGCGGCGGCGCTGGACATCTCGCCGCGGTCGGACGGCGACGTCTCGGCCCAGTACAGCGACGAGGACGACGACGACCGGAGCGTGGCCTTCGAGCCCCTCGTGAAGCAGCTCCGCAAGCGGAAGACGTCGACGAAGCGGACGGGGGGCGCCCCGCACATGCGGGCGGTGGCGTCGAGAATAGCCGGCGCGCTCGTGGAAGATCGCGACGGCGACTACGAGGAGGGCCACGCGGGGAAGACGCGCCAGGGCTACCTCACGCGGCCGCTCTACGACGACCTCGAGAAGTCCGAGCGGCGCGAGGGCCACGGCGTGACCTGGGACCAGCTCTACGCGGCGTTCAAGCGGCGGGGCGTCGTCCGCGCGCTGTCGTCGCGGGACCTCGAGCTGCTCCGCGACGAGTACGCGGGCGGCTCGGACCTGGTGAGGGACTGGCGGAATCTGCTGAAGGCGGTCGACGAGGCGGCCGGCGAGGCTCCCGACGACAGCCCCCGCGACCGCGATTCGAAGCTGGCTCGCGCCGCGGCGCAGCAGCTGCTCGACGCGGCCGCTCGCTCCGAGGCCAAGGGCTCGGACTCGGACTCCGAGGGCGGCCGCGACGCCTTCGCGCAGTCGCTCCGGGACCTCTTCGCCGACATGGACGCCGACGGCGACGGCGTCCTGACGAAGCGGGAGGTGCGCGACGCGCTCGCGGATCTGGGCGAGCGCGACAACCGGCCGGGCATGCGCCCGCACCAGATCCAGAAGCTCTTCGACGCGATCGACTTGGACGGCGACGGCGAGGTCACGTACGCGGAGCTCGTGGACTTTCTCGTGGAGCAGACGGAGGAGTAGTTCCGGCCCGGGGCGCGTAAGGGTGTCTTGCTTCCCCACTAGTAGTACGCCGGCCCGGGCGGCCGCGGCAAAGCTGGTTGGAGTCATGATGATGGATACAGGTCTGACTTATCCAGGGAGGGAAGGGGATATGGCGGCCAGCGCGGTGACCAGGCGCTGCGTCGCGTCCGCCATATAGGGAAGGGGAGCCGGGGCGACGCCGTTAGTACTAAAGGAAACCCGTTTTTCAGCCGGGTTCTGAGGAGCCGCACTGAGGAATAAACTTATATCACCACAAAGAAAGACGCCCTAGTCCAGCCGCAAGTACAAACTCTCGTTCGTCACGAGCCCCCCGAGCAGCGCGTCCGCGTGCGCGTCGAGCGCGTTGTGCGTCGCGTACTCCCCGAGCCCCAAAAGCACCTCGCGCACCACGTCGACGTACGACAGGATGCGCATGACGGACTTGACGAAGGACCCTAGTAAGTGCGGGTCGACCGCGCGCGCCACGCGGTGGATGTCCTTCGTGAGGCACCAATCCAAAGCCAGCAACAACAAACGTCTAGGAGGCGGGTCCAGATCCAGCTGTTGAGCCAGTTCGTCGGCGTAGGCGCACGTCGCTAGTAAGTCCGAGGACGGCTGGGCGACGTCGCGCGGGAGGGGGTCCTCAGCCTTGCCGGAGCGGTCGGGTATGAAGAGACACAGCCAGGCCATGATCTCTTCTCGTTTCAGACTTTGTAAAGCACCATCCGCAATACAAGTCCCGACGATGAGCGGTTCACCATCAGCAAAGGCCGCAGCGCATTTCCCCCGCGGCGTCAATTGACCATTCACATCGATAAAGCCGCAGGACTCGAGCCAGGTCCGCGACCGGTGCCAGGCGTCCCGTAAGGCTAACGCGTTCTCGGCGATGGCGTCGACCTGGCGCTGCCTTTGTTGGTCTTTGGTGAGCGCGTCGAGGAAGGCCTGCGAGCCGCCGGGATACGCCTCCTCTATCGTACGTCTTTCCTTCTGGAGCTTCTTGACCTCCTTCTGGGACAGGCGCACGGCGATGCCCGACGACGTCGAGGACGGTTCGAGCTTGCCGACGACCTTGCGATACCGCTCGAACGCATTTCTGTCATCGTCAGATATAGAAACCTTCGCCATGCGCTTCTCGAGCACACCATTTAAACGCCTAGCTTCGTCGGCCTTCAAAGTTTTCTCTAAAACTTCAATCCCATGGCCTCGCGCCACATGCCTCAGGACAAAGGGCCGGTCCACAACTAACTGGGAAGTGGCCCCCATGACGTCCGCCGTCAGCATCCGGTTCATTTCATGTAAAGGACACAAGTTCCTCAGACCCGCCACGCTTAATGTAGGTGCATAAACAACATAACCAACACTATCTAAGCTTCGTCTTCCCGCCCTACCGGCCATCTGCCAGAACTCGTCGACCCGCAGCCACCGGTGGCCCTGCTTCGCCCCCGTGTCGTCCGGTTTATCCAACTGCGTAAAAGCTACGGTCCGCGCCGGCATATTCACGCCAACAGCTAACGTTTCAGTAGCGAACACGAGTCGTACTAATTTCTGCTGGAAGCACAACTCGACGAACTCCCTTAAAATAGGTAACATGCCGGAGTGGTGATACGCGACACCCCGCTCCAGTAAAAAATTAATATCCCTGTAAGCTTCGAGTTCCCCAAGTTCGGGCATATACCTCTGCAAATACTTGCGGTGCATCTGCTGGCGCTGCGTCTCGGCGGTGCGAGCTCTTTCTCTCCTTAGTAATTCGTTCTGCTCCCAATCATAGATTTCCGAGGGTGAGGCGTCGTCTCCGGGTCGGGGAGGACCCCTCGTACCTAATAGCAAGTTGAGACTCTTGCAAGCATGCGCGCCTTGGCAACAAAGCTTGCGAGACATGCAGAACACGATCGCCGGGCACTTGTCCGCGGCGTCGAGTGCCTTGGCCAATTTTTGGCACTCGTTACTGAAGTTCAGCGGCTTCGACTGCTGTCGCGAGGAACCACCTCGGCCGCCTCGCCCGAAGGTCTTCAAGGATCGGCCAGAGGTGGACGCCCGTCCACCGGCGAAGGCGTCGCGCCTAGCTTGATGCTCCGCGTCGCGTTCGCTTCGAGCCGAGGCCGCCTGTGCTTTGGCCTTGTCACTCTTTTCATTACTCCGTTCCAACACTTTGAGGGAAAAGAGCTTGTTGAACTGCTCGCCGTCAAACACGCCAGCTTTGTGATCTGTACTATCGTGGGTCCCGTAAAACTCCAGGAACGCGCCGGTCTTCGGGTCCAGCCCGCCCACGTGCAACGGCACGTGCCGATCCAACCTCCTCACGAGCTCGCCCTTCCGGCCTCGCGCCCGCTCGATCCACCGCAAGAACGACTCGGGGTCCTTGAGCGTCGCCGAGAGAGCCACGAGCTGAATCGACGCCGGCATGTGCATCAGCGTCTCCTCCCAGACCGCGCCCCGGTCCACGTCATTTATATAATGGATCTCGTCGGAGACGACGCAGCCCAAGCGCTCTAGGTCCGGATCGCCGTCTCCCGTGAAGCCGTCCCGGATTAACGCCGCGAGAGCCGTCGCGGCCTCAGAATCTCCCGCCTCGGCCGCGGCCTTCGCGGCGGCGAAGTGCACGGCCGCCGGTTGCGTGCCGGACGCCTTCACGAGCTTGTTTCTGAGGATCTCGGACGTGCAAATGATCAACTCCTTCTCACTCCCGGGCGGGGCGCGAATCTTAACATCGCCCGTCAGCAACGTCACGTGCGCATCAATACCCTTCTTGCGGAACCACTCGCAGAACTCGGCGTACTTCTGATTTGATAGGGCTTTGATCGGCGAGGTATACACGGCCCGCAGACCGCGCTTGAAGGCTTGGAGGATCGCTATGAGTGCCACGGCCGTCTTCCCCGATCCCGTAGGAGCCATGGCCAACAAATCAATGTCTTGCTTCACGATAACAGCTAAGCTTCTTCTCTGGAAGTCGTCGATCGGATAACCGAGCGTTTCATTCACGTAAGACTCTTCCAAAGCTCCGCCCGTGATTTCGGGCGCGTTGTCCTCGGCGGCCAAGGCCGCCGCCTGGATATAGGCGTCAGCAGAAGATGGCAAGGGCTTCTGGGCAGATGAGGTAGAGGGCACGCGCTGCATCGACGCGCTTCGCCCCTCGTCGGAGAAGCCCCTTTGTAGCGTATCGCCGACGCCCACCAACCGCGCCCGCAATCGCGTTCGCGACGCAATGAGCACGCCGAAGAGCTCGACCTTCACTTCTGAGGCGTTCTTGACCGTTTCAACTATAGGTTCAGCAAAATACGAATCATGTAGAGGTATTCTCACTCGTCTTTTTTCAGTGTGGACTAAGAGACATAGGCCCTCGTCGTCCGTTTCTATTCTACCATCGTAGACTCGCGGCGCGTTCCTACAAGAGTACGCAAGTTCCATGGCGTCGACAGAAGCATGGTAGCGTGCTAATTCGGTGTTCCGCTCGTTCAACTGTGCTAATGCGGAATCGCCCCAATGAGATGGTAGAGGTTCATCAAAAATCGCCCGCTGGTTTATGAGGTCCGCGAAGCGTCGGATCGGCGACGAGCTATGCGCGTAGAAATCCAGCTCCAGCGACGCGTGGCCCACGTCGCTCCCAATCGCCGAGACATACGACGCGGCCGTCTTCGGCTCCTGCTGCGCGCGCAGGATGCCGCCGGGCCACTGTTTTTTGGAAGCCAGTACCGTACCCATGTGCGCGTTGTATTTGATCATGGCCCACCTGCGCGCGGCGATGGCGTATGTGTGGCGCCCGACGCCATCGACGCGACGCGACGACCTCGGACGCCGCGGCGCCACGCGACGAGGTCTTCCGGGTCCTCCTCCCGCGATAGTTTTTCAAGCAGCTCCCTCAGTTGCCGGAGCGGGCCTTCTGACGCAACGCGCATCGCGTCGTAGGTCGTCTTGTCCCTGTTTCTGATTAGTGTTCGTTCGTGCCGCGCGCTTACGACCGCGTCATTCTCAATAGTGAGCCAGAGCGTGACACTATGACGGTCGACGTCCTGGTTCAACGACAGCTCGTCGTGGGCCAACTGGGGCGGGAGCATGGGGACACTTGCGCCGCCCTCCATGCGGTCATCGTCGGTGTAAACGCCCGAGTTGTAGGCCGACGCGGCTCGTTGCAGGGCCCAGACATCTAAGGGCGATCCCGGCGGAATCCGACAAGCGACGTCCGCAATATGAATGCCGAGGACCGTTCTCCCATTCTCCTCATGGATTGACAGGGCGTCATCTACATCTCTGGTGGAGGCATTATCAATGGACATGCAGTGCAAGTGGCGGCAGTCCCTCCGATCATCTGGGTCAGACAAGGCCCAGGGCTGTGCCGGATACCGGCAGGGCTTCACGCGGAAATGCAGTTGAAAGGCTAACAGTTCCGTAGCGTGGTCGCCGACCGGTCCTAAAATTTCGATGAGATCCGCATACCGTGCGCCCTTGACGTCGTCATCATTCTCTCTTAATTTAACTTTGGCCCACTGGTTGAGCTTCGTTGGCGTCTTGCAGGTCACGATGTATTTGACGCCTCCGCCGTACAGTAAAGTGGCGGGCACGCCGTCCGTACCATAACGGTTGCGGTCGTCGAATTTTAATATCGCTACTCTATCTGGTCCCGGCGGCTGCGGTGGCAGGGGGTGCTGCATGGCTGCGCGCGCCTGCTGCTGCGGGTCAGCAGCCTTGCTGGCCTTTGTGGTGGGCGCTTTGCGGTGGCTTTTGCGGCCGAAGCGCTGCGCGCGCGTTGTCTACGATGCGTTTGCAGTAATTACTGTGCGCGCCGTGCAATGCGCGCGCGATGCAGCGCGTTTGACTCGAATCGCGCCTTACCTAAAGCCTTAGATGATAGACACTAGACTATCCCACGCCTGCGATTTACAGCGATTTTTCCCACAGTCGTGGTTGCACGAGTGTTGCGACTGGTTGATAGATAGAAACCTCTGTTTTACAAATTTGATCTCGATGACGCCGCGTGCTGGATTCGACGCCGTAGTCACGCCCGTGGCCAGCATTCGTGCTGTCTGGTAGCTCGAGACATCTATTTGTTGTCTCCCTTCAGTGCCGTTGCGCGTGCGTGATTACATTTGAGCTGTACGGCAGCAGAGCGACAGCAGCCTGCAGTCCCCATTCACAGCAGCCATAAGCGACGCCGATCGCATCGCGGCGTCGACGAAGCAGCCGCAGCCATGGCACGCCTGCTCGCACTCCTCGCCACGACCACGGCATGGCAATCACCGCAGCAGCTAAGGCAGCCGACACGCTTGTACCGCATAAAAAACTCCGCCTCCGTCGGAGCAGAAGCACCCGTAGCGCCCAAAATAAGGTACACGAAGCCCGACTTAAGTAGCGCCACGGACACTTTTAGTGCATTAGCAAGGATGTGCGGCGTCACTAGTAATGTGCAGGACGCTACCCTCGACTTCCAGGGCTTCTCCCTAGCTTTTGAGCAATTGTACAACGACAACGTCGCGCTGGAGGAGGGCCAACTGTCAGAACTACGACGGGAACTCTCAATAAATTCAGATGATGATCCGGTCTCGTTACACGACTGGGGCCCGTTCCACGCGGCCTACATGAAGCGGAGCGGCATGGCCTCCGTCCTCTCGATGCAGGCTACTCAAAAACAAAAGGAGAAAGATAACGAAGATGCATTGCGATTGCTACGAGACCAGCACGCCCAGCGCGAGAAGGACTGGGCCCAGGAGCTCCAAAAGGCGAAGATGGACCAGGCGGCCCGGAGTATGTCCAAGGCCAAGCTCCTGTCCAAGGACATGGAGGCCGAGAAGAAGTCTAGGGGGAAGTACTTCGAGGCTAGGGAGAGTGCGGCCAAAGCCGCGGCGCAGTATAGAAGCCTAGAACCGGGCCGGTGGGACGAAGTTGTCTCAGATGTCGGTGGCATGCGTAAGGCACTGGAGGAGATTCGACGACGGGTCTGGACGCCGTTGTGTGCGCCTACTGCTTTACTTGATGAGCTCGGTGCCGAAAGGTTGAAGGGTGTGCTGTTGTACGGTCCGCCCGGATGTGGTAAAAGTTACTTGGCCAAACGGTTAGCGAAATCTCTCTCGAGGAGGCCGGCGACGGTCGTCAGCGGCCCGGAGATCATCGACAAGTACGTCGGATCATCAGAAGCGCAACTCAGGGATTTATTCGCGTCCCCACCTTTGGTGCCACCGCGACCGGGCGACGCCGAGGACGTCGCGCAGATCGCGGAGAACAACGAACTCCATGTCGTCGTGTTGGATGAATTCGACGCGATAGCTCGCGTGCGCTCCGACGGGAAGAAGTCTGATACCGCTACGAGAGACAGTGTAGTGAACCAGTTGCTGGTGCTCATGGACGGCATCGCGGCCATGCCCGTGCCGACGTTCGTCTTAGCTTTGACGAATCGGAGGGAATTGATCGATGGTGCTATACTACGACCCGGTCGGCTGGAGGCCCATGTGGAAGTACCATTACCTGATTTAAGTGGGAGGGGTCAAATCCTCAAAATCCACGCCGAAAAGATGCGCCAGTCGGGCCGGCTGCGGCTGGACGACCACGACCCCTTCCAGGACGGCTGCACGCTGCAGGCCGTCGACGAGTCGACGTACTCCGAGTGGGTTTCTTCAGTTGCTTTGAAGACCGAGGGCTTCAGCGGCGCGTCGATGGCGGCCGTCGTGCGCGCTGCGGTCGCTAGGGCCTTGTCGCGAAGCGTGGAGGCCGACGACGTCTTTGCGTGCGCGGTCACTTCCGTAGATTTCGACGACGCCGTCGAGGACGTGAGGCGGTCGCAGATGCCAGTGCTGGAGGACTAACTAACAAGTATGAATTCCATCGACGCCATCGGCGCGAGTCTAAGGCAACACGTCGCGTCGATGGCGTAAGGGGGACGCCAGGTGTCAACGACTAGTATTGTTAGGCCGCGTCCACGAGCTTGACGGGCGTCGCGTTCGGCATGATGTACTTGCCGTCAAATCCTAAATAGGTCTTGCCGTCGACCTGCTTGCCGTTGCCCGTCAGGACACTGAGGGCGGCGCCGGCCATGGAGTGGCCGTAGATGATGACCTGCTTGGGCTTGCCGTCAGCACGTGAAGGCAGGCCGTTCACGGTCTCCGTCAGCGTCGTGAGCATGGCCCGCGTCCGGTGGAGCACCTCGACGAAGTTCTCGCCCGGGACGGTGTTGCCATTTGATGGGTCGACGTATAATCCACTTGATTTCACGACGGCGTTCTGGCCGAGGTAGAACAAGTGGCAGATGCTATCGGTAGGCATGTCCTTGACCATCATGTTGTCCCAATCTCCAAAACGCATCTCCGCGCAGGACTCCCAGGTCAGGACGCGATCTTGCGGGAACGTTTTTTTTCGTTCTAGGAAAGCTTTTCCGGTGTCCGCCGCCCGCGCCAGCGGCGACAAGACCACGAGGTCGGGGTCCAATCCTAAAGCCTCGAGCTTGTCCGCCGCGTCCTGGGCCTGCTGGAGGCCGACCTCATTGAGTGCGTTCGAGGGCTCATCCACATACCCCTGGTAGACTCGAGGTTCCGTGTTTCCTGTGGTTTTGCCGTGGCGGCAGTACCACAACTCAAAAGGTAGGGACGGGGCCTGGAACGCATCGGTGTAGGAGATCGTGCCGCTCGCGACGTCGAGGGCGAGACCTAGCGCGGCCGCCATCTCCTCGTAGCCTTGACAATTAACGGTGCCGGACGCGAGCCACGCCGCGTAGTGCTGCTCCTGCTGCGGCTGGGCCGCCTTGATCGCGGCGTAGCGTTCTTCTAAGCCGTCCGCGACCTTCGGGCCGTTCCGGTAGGACGCCATCGTCAGCGCGCGCGTGGTGTGGCCCGCCGCCGCCACCGCTGCGAGTACGAAAGGTCGCCTCGTCGTGCAGAGTCGCCGCCGCGTCGAGGCCGTGAACGCTGCGGTAGATGCACTGGTGGCTCCTCACAGGTGCAAAGCTGTGCTGCGCTCGCGCTGCCGTCGGGACCCTCGGAACCCGCCTGGGAGCGTACGTAGACAAACACGAAGAGCGCTTCGCGAGCACTGCGATGCTACGCGCGGCTCAAGCAGCAATTTGAGGCTCAGCGGCAGCGTGCGTTTGTGGCCCCGACTCATTGCGCTCTGAATACCGCCGCGGCGACGCGTCGGCTCACACACACGCGCTGATAGCGCTGCGAGACCGCTGTCGGCAGCAAAAAAAAAAGCGCTGCCGCCGCGCGCGCCGCTGCACAAGCAACCACAAGCACACACGTGAGCGCTGCCGCGCGACGCGAAGCGCCATGTGCCCGCCGAGCGCCCCGAGCCCGCGGCTCGACCCGCCGCCGCCGCCGTCGCCTAGATTAGCCGAGGCCGTCACGGATGAATTAGATAAGGCCGCCGCGCGCGCCTACCGCCTCCAGTACCAGAGCTACAGGAGAGGCTCGGCGACGGGTGTGATCGGCGAGGCCCCCGACGATCCCAGACGACAACTCGCCTTGGACGAAGACGAGGAAGACAGCGGCCACGCCTCGACTTCGGAGGCTGCCGAGGTCGCGTTCAACGAGCTCTTGGAGTGGCGCCTCGAGTACCAGGCCTACCGCGCCGGCGCCGCCAAGGGCGCCAAAGGAAGAGCCTCCGGCAAGAAATGGCCGCTGGAGACGCTGCGGATGCTGCCCGTCGCTCGGTTGGCCGCGCACGTGCGGACGCAACGCAAACAGCTGGCCTCAGCCAAGTCGTGTATTCATGCGCATGTGGGTTGTGGGAGGTTAGGTCTTGGTCTAGTAGTGCCTTCGCTCGCGAAGGGCTGCGACAAAATTATTTTAGTGCAGCGGCCCTCGGCCGCGTGGACTCTGAACGAGAAGGTGCTGGAAGATGGTTCTCAAATCGCCTGCTGCGTCAATTCCCATAAAGTGCTGACGCTAGAGGTTTGTTCTGCTGCAGATGCGGACGTCGCCGAACGGCTCTCGAAATCAGAACACGGGCTCCTGTTACTTTCCACATCACAAAAACACATGGACGCCGTCGCATCGGTAGCGACGTCGAGTTCCGTATCCCTAGGACCGGCCCTCGCCAAAGGCCTAGAACCTCTAGCAGCGGCGCTGCGGAGGAAGGGCTCGTGCCTCGTTTGCTACGCGGCGGAAAATGACCACGACGCGGTGGAAAGGTACGCGAAGACCGACGTGCCTTTCCGGCTCGTGCCTCTGTTGGTCGATCGGGTCTGCACGGGACGGGAGTTGACACAGAGTGAGACGGGGTATGTAGTTGATACAACTACAGAACCGTGGCGCGGGGAAATAGTCGTCATGCGCGGCGAGGACGACGTAGACGATGGCGGCGCGTTCCCCTTCGGCGGTGAAGGGGTGTATAGACCACCCTCAGCAGCTGCAGCCCAGTTCCTGCACCGGCGCAAAATACTAACCGTGAACGGGACGCATACGACGTTAGCATTTTTAACACTAGCGGCGAAGGAGCCGCCGCCCCACAAGGGTTTACCGAAAGGCGACTATGAATTGGTAAGGTGCATCGCCGACGAGAATGATGATGATTTCTTAGATGCGGAGGAGGCGTACCGCCAAGTTTGGTGCTTCGCGGTCGCGCGCCAACTGCTCTTATTGTTCGAGAGCGACGTCGAGGTCGCCGAGGCCGCTCTCGCGGAATGCGACGACGACGCTTCCTCAGAGGTGAAACGGGAAGCTCTAGTGGAGGCGCTCCTGTCGAACGCGCGGGCGGCCATCGAGCGGTTGGGGCGGGGCGGCGATTTGACGTCAAGGGTCTTGGGTGCCGGCGTCGTCAAGCGCTACGAGGGCCGTTTATTACCTGTCGCCAAGTTTCTCGAATGCGCGGCGTTGGCGCGAAGCTTCATGAAGACGCCGCTCGCGCGTCTTTTGTTGAGGAAGGCGAGGCTCACGGAAACCACTTTGAGATTAACGGTGCTGGGCCTGACGGCCGACGCCGCTAGATTCGCCGAAAAAACGCCGGACACGTCGACCCCCAAAACGCCGCCCCAGTCGCCGCGAAAAGCACCAAAGCCGCCGACGCCGCTCTCCGCGAAGCGGCGCATCCAGTCCTCGACAAACCTCTTCGGGATGGTCCCCCGGTGAGCGCGCGAGCGCTCCCCTTGTAATATACATATGTTTTAAAAGGACTGACGGGGGCGCGAGTCGGGAGCGGTACGTACGCAGACGTACCGCCCCGTCACGGGGCGCCTCGCCACCAATTAGTCCTCTAAATCTTCTTTGAGCATCTCGAGCCGCTCCAAAATCTTCGGCGCCGCGGGCCACCGGTACTTCGAGAAGAGGTCGCGCTGCTTGACGGCGATGACCGTCGTGGCGTTGTGCTTGATGATGACCTGGCCGAGCGACGACGAGCCTTGCGTTTTCACCTCGGCGCCGGGGAAGACGCGCGTGATGAGCTCCACGGCCTTGCGGCGCTCCTGGTCCCCGCCGTCTCAGTTGTACCCGTATTCCACAGTGAACGAGGGCATGCTGGAAGCGGTGCCCGAGGAGGCCACCGGCGCGTCGCTTTGCTGGGGACTTGGGGAGGACAGGAGCTGCCCCATGCACCACGCAGTCTCAGGCTGCGTGTATGCCCTAAGCTCTGAACGCTGGCTGTCCTGCCGGTCCCGACACGCCTAATACGCACGAAACGACGGCGCTTTCAATCACAATCGTCAGCGCCCCCAAGGTTTTGTGCACTTCCTAGTGTCTTACACGACGCTAGCTTGGGCTTCGGCGCCGCGCGCAGGGGCCGTACTGCTCTGGAGAGGAGACGCGCAGAGTTCGCATACGGGGCGTATCTGTCGCCGCGACCACGTTTCCGCACGCGTTCGGCAGGGCAGCCCGCCCCAGAGCAGCCGAACCATGCTCCGCCTCGCGGTGCTCGCAGCGCTCGTGTACGCGGACGAGGAATTGCGTTTACGCGTGAACATTCCAGTCATCGACGAAGCGACGATGCACGAGCGCGCCTTTGCGGACGTCGATGCAACGGGCGACGTCCGCGAGGTCGAGCTCGTCGTCCCAAAGGGCGCGGAGCCCGAGGGCGCGGCCTTGAAACTGTGCCTGAAGGAGGTGGGGCCCGGCGCCGGCTTGGTGGACTGCGTCGTGCAGCTCGCAAGTCACGCGACGGTCGAGCGGATTCTGCGGCGGACGCCTGAGGACGAGCCCCTTCCGTCACTGTCGCTGAATGTCGAGGGCGACGTCGGGACCTTCGAGCATGCGGAAGGGGCGGATTTCGGGGAGGAGGCGCTCTCATTTTGTTCTCGCGTCGTCCGGGAAGACCGATCGAAGTCAATCGTGAAAAACTGCGCTCGAAACCTCAAGGCGCAAGCGCGACGCAAGGTGACGCAATTATTGGTCGACGAGCAGACGGACGAGAGACGGAAGGCCATCGAACAGGCCGTGGACGCGTCCCTATCCTCTAATCCCGACAAGTGGAAGAAGGCTCGACGACGACGTAAGGACCGTTAAGCACCTACATCCCCGCGCCGCCCAACCCGACGGACGCATACAACGCCTGCATCTTCTCGTTCATCGCCGCGAGGCTCTTGGCCTGCGCGTCGGCCATGGCCTCCGAGAAGGCCTTGGACAGGTCCTCGGCGGACTTGCCGTCGAAGCCTGGCGCCGCCGCGCTCACGGGCTGCTGCTGGCCGTTCATCTTGAAGGTCACGGCGCCGTCCGCGCTCGCGCCCTCGAACTCGGCCGCGGCGAGCTCGGTCTGCAGCTCCTGCGACTTCTTGGCGATCTCCTGCGCCTTCTTGAACTGGTCCATGACGCCGGCGACGTTGCCGAGCGCGCCGCCGCCGCCGCCCTCCTTCTTGCCTCCAAATAAATGGTGTCGCGTGAGTGTTTGTGGTGCCGGGGCCGGTGCCATGAAGGCGGCCGCGCCGGGCAGCAAGAGGGAGAGCACGCGGACCATGGTGCTCTCTCAATCAGGGAGAGCTATGCAACCGCAAGGTGCCAACGAAGCTCGCTGTAATGCAACGTCTGCGACCGCAGCGATGCCTGAAACTGCAGCGGATAAAAGGCGCGCGCCCTGCCAATCCCTCGATCGAGAGAGCTGCACACACAAGCTAAGCCTGCAAGTCTGCAGCTAGATAGAGGCACTAGCTTTTTTTAGACCCGTAAATACGTCGAAAAGAATGATCAAACGAGCTCTCCGATGTTTCGCGGCGCCCGGCGTCGAGCAAGCAACGACAAGGCCAACGCAAAGCCGGTGCGAAACGCCGTGCAGACACCCGCTGAAGCAGATAGCGCATTTGGGGTAGCATCGCTCCTAGAGAACAACGTTTGCTCGGACTGCGCCGCGAAACCGCGCTCACACCTCGGCAAAAAACCCAGTTTTGCCCCAAGCTGCCAACACTCGCAGCTCGTATAGCTGCGAAGACGCCGTCGCCGCGCCGTCCCCGAGCCTCAGACCAAAAAGATGGCCGCAGAAGCCCCCATCGCCGCGCAGCCGATGGAAGGCGACGCGACATTAGCGCACACGACGTTCACGCCCATCCAAGAACAGCGCCCATCCCCGGCGTCCGAGGACCAGGGCTGCGCGAACAATTGTCTGATCTCCACGGCGCTGGCGGGCATCCTCTGCTCGAAGCGGTGCGACGTGGGAAGGGTCGTCGCGGATTTTGCGTTTTTCCCCCCGGACCCTCCAACTTATTCGGTACCGACAGAAGACGACGACATACAACGCATCGACTTCAACTACCGGGAATTGGATTGTGACCCGGCGTACGCGTCCTTGCGACGGACGGACGGTGTTGCGGGGCGGTGTTCCGGCCGGTTGCTCACGACGAAGCGAGGATCGCGGACGCCGTGTTTTTATTTTGCTAGACCTGGGGCAGATGCTTGTTTGCTCTACCTACATGCGAATGCTACCGATTGCGGCGCGATGCTGCCGACCTATGCGGCCTTTTCTCGTCGATTGGATGTCCACGTCCTCGCCGGCGAGTATTCGGGGTATGGCCCGGCGACGAAGTCCGCGACGCCTCGGAACGTGGAAGCCGACGCCGAGGCTTTATATGATGAGGCTCTGCGGTTGGGGTTTGCGGCAGATCAGTTGATACTGTACGGCCAGTCCGTCGGGAGCGGACCGGCGTGCTATTTGGCGGCCCGTAGACCATGTAGAGGAGTGGTCCTCCACTCCCCAATAGCGTCGGGCATTAGAGCATTGGTGGCCCCGGGCTGCTGCTCGCCGGTCTATGTGTACGGGTGTCTGGACCCCTTCAACAACGCGCGCGAGGCGAAAAGGATTAAAGCGCCCGTCTACGTCGTCCACGGCACGAGAGATGATGAAGTGCCCATCGAGCACGGCAAGATGATCGTCGCGAACGCTCAGCAGGCGCACGAGCCCTTCTGGGTCGCGGGCGCCGGGCACAACGACCTGTTGGAGGTCGCCGGTGATGCTTTTTTTGTGAGATTGAAGGCGTTCTTGCTCGCGGTTGGTAAAAAGGACGACTTCGCCGTCGGCACGCGGCAACGACGGCGTATTACTGGATTGACGGCGCGGCCGGAGCTCAACGGGGCGCTCGTCGACGTCGTGACGGTCGAGTCGGCGCAGCGCGTCCGCGTGCGCCTCGTGGCGGAGCCTCATACGGAGTTCGCGGTCAAGCGGGAGAACCTCGAGGACGTCGCCGGTGGCTCCTGACCGTCAGCACGACGCTATGGTACGTCACCTCGACGCCATCGAGCCGTCGATGGCGTCAAGCAGACGACCGACAGTGCGCTCCGCCGCCGCTTCTTAGATTAGTATTGTGTGTTTAAGTTTAAGTTACAACAGTCGTCACCGCCGCCCGACGGCTTCCAAATTAGCCATCGCCGCGAGGAACGTCGAGGGCTTCACCGGCACCTTGGGCGACCGGAGCACCTTGAGCATTTCTCTCAAATTCATCATCGAGATGCTGTCGTAGGCCTCCTCTCGCGGTTTGCCCGACGCGGTCTCCCACGTCTCGAGGAGGTCCTTGGAGGAGAAGTACCAGGGCGCCTGTGTGGAAATCAACCAGTGAGTTAGGTCATCCTCCACGCCATCGAGCCGACGCGCCCACGACGTCGCGTCGATGGCGTGGAATCGCCACGCCATCACACAGACGGAGGGGGGTGCCCGAAATTTGATTTCCACACAGCAGGGCGCCGGCTCGTCCGCCGAGAGCCGCAGCGCGTCGATGCAGAACAAGGGCACGTCGAGTGGTGTGGCGAAGCTCTTCCGCGGGTCGAGCGCCTCGTACGTCGCGAGGAGCTCTTCCAGGGACTCGGGCACGTCGCCGCCACTGCACCGCACGAAGATTCGCCGCGCTTCGTTGAGCTCGTCTGGTGACGCGACGAAGCGCGCGGCCGTTTCATCATCACCGTAGGCAGCTAAAGCTTTGCCCAGCGACAGCGGCTTGACGGTAAGCTTGTCGCCGTCGACGTCCCAGTATTGTTTTCTTTTCACTGCTACGTCTGCATCGATGTAGAACTCTATAGCTTTATTTTTGCCATCATCTAACAGGGCGAGCTGGCCGTCCGCGTCCGCTAGGGCGAAGCAGGGCGTCTCGGCGAAGAGGGTGGCGAGGTCCGGTTCCGCGTGCCGCTTCGTTAGGTGCGTCCTGCGGCTTTGCGGTGGCACCAATGCGTGCACGCAGGCGCTCAGCAGGAGTAGTTTGTGCAGCATACTGCCTCTGAGAGATGGGAGAGCACAGAGTGCAAAGTGCTGGAGATGTGATGCAAGTGCTTCGCCGTGCCGTATTTTTCACAGCAGTGATCTTCACGACAAATGATGGCAAAAAGCAGTCTTTGCTTTTGGCTAGGTGCAGTCATGCGCGGCACTGCAGGCTGCAAAGAGGCAAGCAGGCAAGCAGGCAGTACCCGCGCGCAGAGATCACAGCTCACTATTCCTACCACCCACGCACACAAGTTTCACTTTACACATCGCGCGTCTCGGAGAAGTCCTCGTAGTCGCGGCTCGGCGCGCGCGACGGAGTCGCGCGGTCGGGCTCCGTGGCCCGCTGAACGGCGTCGAGCGCCGCGGCGCCCAGGGACGCGGCGACGCCGCCGATGACCGCCGAGGCCTCGCCGATCGCGCTCGCGACGCCGGGCAGGGCCTCACCGAGGAACTCTTGACCCGCCCGGACCGCGGCATCAAGAGAGGGCACGTAGTTGTTCATGACCAATTCGTGGGGCAGAAAAGCATGGCCCGGAGCACACGCGCACGAAGCCACGCCGTTCCGCGCGAGCGCGCCGCATTGGAAACAGAACTTCGCGCCGCACCGACAGGTCATGTTGTCGCAGCCGCCGTCGCTCTTCTCTACCAAAGCCCCGCACGTCGGGCAGGGCCGCACGCCCAGCCCGCGCATCTCCGCCGCCGTGGCCGCGTTGTCGGCGCGGCGGCGTGTCCTCAGCTCGTTTAAGCCTCGGGCAGCAGTATTGTAGCGCGCCTTCGCGGCGGCGTCGGGCCCGAGCGCCGCCTTGACGGTGCGCGCGGGCCAGGCCTCGGGGCACGTGGGGCACCGCGGCGGCAGGCGCCCCGAGTCGGCTGACGCGAGGCAGTGCTGCGACGCGCACGCGCGGTGGAAAGTCCCGCGACACGCGCCGCAGCGGACGACCGCGGGCCAGCCGTCCTCCGATGCCTCGCCTATCTCGTCGAGGCAGATGGGGCAATTTTTGAGCGTCTCGCGCAGCGCCCTCGCGAACTCTGCCTTCTCGACGGCGTCGGGAACTGTACCACCGTGGAGCTCGATGAGCCGCTTCAGCTCTCGCACCGGCAACAAGCCGGGGTCGTTGTGGCGCAGGACCGCCTCGAGGTCCGCCTTCTCCACGCACTCCGAGTCGTCGAGGCCGCGCGCGGCAATCTCGCGGCGGAGCGCGGCGACGCTCGTGGGAGCATTTGCGGGCTGCGTCTCGCGCGCGCTGGCCGCCAGAGAGCGTCGCAGTCGTTCCGAGGCACTCATTTCATCTCCGAGAGCATCTCTCAGTCTGAGGCCTTGTTCATGAAGCACCGGCTCCGCGGGCGCACCGCAGCGCATGAATGAACAAGCCAGCGAAATATATGGTTTGCAGCTGCTCTGACGTCCAGAGCGCTTGCTGGTCGCGCGTACGGGCGTACAAACTCGCGGTTGGCTAGCGGCTATAAGACACTAGAATCGAGGCGGCGGGCTCCGGGCGGAGCAGCAAAATAAAAGGGACGACGTTGCGTCTCGAGATCATAACCTATCGCAACACACGCATAGGAAGCGATTCTGGCCAGCGCTGCGCCGCCGCACAGGCCACACCTGCACACGCTGCAGCCAGCCCCCGCGACGCGCGGCCACAAAAACGCCATCGCCGCGACACCATAACTCACCATGTCGAGCGTCTACCACACGGAGCCGCCGACCAAGGGCAAGGTCGTCTTCCAGACGTCTGTAGGACCGATCGACGTCGAGCTGTGGTCGAAGGAAGCGCCGAAGGCCTGTCGCAATTTCATCCAGTTGGCGTTGGAAGGGTATTATGACCGCACGACTTTTCATAGAGTGATACCGGGTTTTATGGCGCAGGGCGGCGACCCGACCGGTACCGGAGAAGGTGGGGATTCGGTATGGGGCAAATATTTTAGGGACGAAGTCAATGCGCGCATCCGCTTTAACCATAGAGGGCAGCTGGCCATGGCGAACGAGAACCGACCGGACACGAATCGCGCGCAGTTCTTCTTCACGCTCGACGCCTGCGAATGGCTTAACGGGAAGCATACGATCTTTGGCACGGTCGCCGGCGACACCGTGTTCAATTTGTTAAGGATGGGGGAAGTAGAAACGGATGACAACGATAGACCGGTCGACGGTATTACGCTCAAAACGGTCGAAGTGCTGTTGAACCCTTTCGACGACGTCGTGCCGCGCATCTCGCAGAACGTTCCTGCGGAAGTTGTTGAGGTGAAGCCGAAGCCCAGGGGCACGAAGAATCTCACGCTGCTCTCCTTCGGCGAGGAGGAGGCTTCCGAGGCGCCACAGCAGAGAATGAAGCCGGCCCCGGCGCGGAAAGAAGAAAAGCCCCTCAGGCCCATGCTCGAGCAGGCCGAGTCCTCGTCAGATGAGGAGGACGAGGAGGATCGGTTGCGGGGCGCGGTGAAGTCCGCGGTCGCACGGGGAGGCACGGGGAACGCGCGCGCGTTCGAGAAGAAGGGCCCGACGGGCGCCGCGGGCTTCGCGGCGAAGATGGCTCAGAAACTGAAGGAGCGGCGGGCGGCGGTCGCGAAGCGCGAGGCCGTGGACAAGCGCAAGGCCGTGTGCATCGGCGTCCTGTCTCACCGCGCGCCATCGCCGCGACGTCATCGCTGTGACTCTATATACACACAGGAGAAGCGCAAGCGCGACAACGCCGACAACGAGTACGGCTTCGAGCAGGAGGAGGACGATGTGGATGAAGGTGTGCAGCAGCAGGCGCTGGAGGCCAAGCGCGAGGAAGCGCGGCAGGCGCGGCGGGCCTTAGCGCGCTCGTTGCGGCCTACGGTGTCGGCGCCGTCCTCGAGACCGGCACAAGCCGCTCTAGCCTCCGATGATAAGAGGAGAGAGGCCGTGGCCGCCGCGAGACAACTGCTCTCACCCTCGGAGACGCTACGGCAGCAACATAGGGCGAAGTCTGGAAGGACGCGGTCGCGGGAGGCCGACACCTTGGCGAAGCTCAGCGCGTTTAGTTCTTCTTTGAAAGCTACTAAGGAAGAGGTCGGCGAGCCGTCCGTCGAGCCCGTGACGTATTCCGGGCAAGTGCTCGACGCGGACAGCGAGTCCGACGACGAGGCCTGGTTCGCGGGCAAGCTCAAGTTCCGAAAACACACCGACGACTTGTTTCGCACGGGCACGGTCGACGACTACGCCACCTACGATCCTCACGGGAAATTTGGGTCGACGGCGGTTCCTCGGCCGCGGTCGTACGGGGGGCAGGCGCCGCCACCGAATCGCGGGGGCGACCGGCGCGGCGACGGACGTAGCGGTGGGGACTGGCGACGGTAGGAGTAATGTGGGATGTATCTGGTCCACTGGAAACCCGTTTTGATCACCACCGCGCGCGCGAGATCACCACATTGCACGCTAACCGTGTTAGTGGTCCATTCGACCGTCAAATTTACGGCGCAGAACAGATAACTCACGTGGAGCCAATCGTTGAGCCACAAATCCAAAATATGGCAAAAGTAGAAGATGTGACCGCCAGCGTGCCCGCGTCGCTCGAAGGCCTGGACGACGACACGGTGCTGATCGTCACGAGCTTTCTCCCGGAGTGTCGCGACGTGCTGAGCCTGTCGGTCACGCGCGCGCTGCCGGAGACCGCCTGGCGCGCGGCGCACAATCGCCGAACACGGGCCGGCGCGCTGGGTCGAGGTCCTCACGGCGGAACCCGACGAGCACGGCTGGCGGTGGGAGGACGACGCGCAGTTCTTCTCCGGCCTCGTCCCGAGCCGCTCGGCGAACGGCCTGGCGTTCGTCGCCGCCCTCGAGGAGTGGACCTCGAACAAAAGAAAAGGCTCGTGGATCCGTCTCGACCTCGCGACGCTCGAGCTCACCACGTCGGGACTTACGGTGTCGGACACGGATTGGGTCGTCGTCACGTCCCGCACCGACGTGGTGAGCCCCGACGGGCGCTCGTTCCTCGTGCCGTCGCCGTACGAAGACGCCCCCACCGGCGAGTCGCGCGCGAAGATCCTCCGTATCGCGCCGGACCGCGACGGCACGGCCCACGACGCGGCGATCCAGCGCAAGTTAGCGCGCCTCGAGGGACAGGCCGCGGCGGAGGCGCACGCGCAACGGTCGCCGACAGGCGAGGCGACGCTTGGCGTCGTCGACGCCATTTTCGACAGCGACCAGATTCTGCGCGGCGACGAGGCCGTGGCGTGGCAGGAGACGTGCGGCGACCTGCGCCGCAGCTCGTGTATCAAGTGCGGCGCAACCTCCCCGAGTATTCGCTTCCAGACGTTCATGGTGGGCAACCTCCTCGTCAGCTACCAATACCATGGAAGAATTGAATCACCTCCGTCTCGGTGTCCTAAGCGAGTCGTGCTGAAGGTGTGGCGCTTCTAGAGATGGACGCGGCGCGACCGCCGGCCGCCGCCCGCCTTCCTCTTCCTTCCGCGTGGTAATATTCCTCCTCCACTCGTCCAACCGACCCACGGGAGAAGCCTCGCCGCCCCGGGACGCGTCCGCGCTAGCGCTTTAAGACACTAGACTGCCTCAGCTTGAGTCTGTGACGGTGCCGCTGCTACCTACGGACGCTGCTCCAGTCGGCAGGCGTCAGTGCGTAAGAGCATAAGTGCACTCGTACGCATAGCTGCACTGGGCTCATACGCGTGCAGAACCAGCAAAGAGCGCAGCCACGCACACGCCGCACTGTAGCTCTATTGGATATTTGCGCATAGATGATGCGGAGCCTCGCGCTAGCGGCGCTGGCCGCGACCGCTGTAGCCCTCGCGCCGCCCGGCGCCCCGCGCACGCTCAAAACACGTAGACAAGCCGTCGTCTCGGAGCCCGACGCCAAGGCCAAAGTCAGCTCCGCGAATGCGAAACGGCAAGTAGGGAACGACGCCTTCCTCAACAAGGACCTGCGGGCACGAGCGCGGGGCGGCACGGGCGTCGTCAACGACGCGAAGCTGAAAATTGGAATTGTGGGCGCGGGCCTCGCGGGCATGGTCTGCGCGATGGACCTCGCAGACGCGGGTCATGAGGTGGAGATCTTCGAGCTAAGACCCTTCGTCGGTGGGAAGGTCTCGTCGTGGAAGGACAAGGAGGGGAATCACATCGAGATGGGCCTGCACGTGTTTTTTGGTTGCTATTACAACCTGTTTGGTATCATGGAAAGGACTGGGAGCTATGATTTATTGAGGATGAAGGAGCACATCCACACCTTTGTGAACAAGGGTGGGGAGTTGGGTGCTTTGGATTTCCGGTTCCCGGTCGGCGCTCCGGTGAGCGGTTTACAAGCCTTCGCGAGAACGGAACAACTAGGATGGGGCGACAAGGCCGCGAACGCCCTGCGGCTGGGCACGTCGCCCATCGTTCGGGCCTTGGTCGACTTCGACGGCGGCATGGACATGGTGAGAGATTTAGACGACATCACGTTCACCGAGTGGTTCACGTCGTTTGGCGGCTCGCGCGGCTCCATCGACCGCATGTGGGACCCCATCGCCTACGCGCTGGGCTTCATCGACTGCGACCACATCAGCGCGCGGTGCATGCTCACCATTTTTATGCTCTTCGCTATTAGAACAGAAGCTTCTGTTTTACGGATGTTGGACGGTTCTCCGCAGACTTATCTCCATGACCCGATCGTCAAGTATCTCGAGGAGCGAGGCGTCAAGATCAACCTGAGGACGGGCATTCGGGATATAGTGTACGAGACTGATAGCAGTGGCAAGCCGTGCAAGGTTACTGGATTACAAGTGCAGTCCGAGCTCAAGGAGTTCGACGCGGTCGTTGCCGCTGTTGATCTGCCCGGTGCTAAGAAATTGATCCCGGAGCCGTTCCGGGTCTATCCCGAGTTTGATCGCATCTACGAATTAGATGCCGTGCCGATCGCGACGGTGCAGCTGCGCTTCGACGGTTCGTGCGCGGCGTCCTTTGTACACGGTCGCGGCGATGGCGTCGTCGCGAGTGCCCGGACGCCGTGGCGCGCCGACGCCGTCGCCGCGAGACGCGCTCGTGATCGTGGAAGACGGGTCGCGTCGATGGCGTCTTCACGAGACCATCACGTCGCCTCGACGCCGTCGACGCGGGCCCGAGAGGGTCTACGCGTCTCGCGAGAGCCGTGGCACGCCATCGACGCGACTCACCTTTCAACAACGCAGGCTGGGTCACCGAGTTGCAAGATCAAGACAAAATGAAGAGTACCGAGGGCGACTTGAGCGATGGGCGCGCCCCCGGTATTGATAACTTATTATACTCAGCGGACGCCGAGTTCTCGTGCTTCGCGGATCTGGCCCTTACGTCCCCGGCCGAATACTACAAGGAGGGCGAAGGGTCTTTGATGCAGTGCGTCATGGATTCTAGAGCGTACGGCCGCAGCGAAGCGCAGATCGTGCAAGATACGCTCGACCAGATCCACATGCTCTTCCCCTCGTCGAAGCAGCTGACGATGACGTGGAGCAACGTCGTGAAGCTAGGGCAATCTTTGTACCGAGAGAAGCCGGGCCAGGACAAATATAGACCTTCTCAAGCGACGCCCATCCCGAACTTCTTCCTGGCTGGCTCGTACACTTATCAAGATTATATTGATTCGATGGAAGGCGCAACGAAGTCGGGCCTCATGTGCGCCGACGAGATCGTATCGAAGGCGGACGCCATCGCCGCCGAAGCGGCGAAGAACCTGGATCTGCCGTCGGGCAAGGTCCCGCCCAACGTGCCGGGCCGGGGCCCGCTCGACATGACGGCGGCCGTCACTTTTGTGGATGACGGCTCCTTCGACGCGAACGAGAACACGGACATGTCCCAGCGGCCGGCGAGCGCGCCGGCGATCGACTCGTTCTAAGTTTCTTGATTGGGGTCGCGTCTGGGGGCGGGGCACTGGGGGGGCGCGGGCAGCGCCTTCGTGATGGCATACTGCCTCCAGCAGGACCACTCCGACAACCCCCCGACGCGTTCGTTCAACAGGCTTGGTTTATCTGAACGGTGCTAGGAGCTGCTAGGACTGGTGGGGCTTACTAGTGTCTTTACGCTAGCGCATCTCGAAATATTTTTTGTCGTGGCCGAGCCGCGCCTCCTACGAGCGCACCCCCTGGTGAGTGACTGACCCGACCGCTACCCGCTGAGCCCTCCCTCTGGTCCAACGCGCCGCGGAACGCCGCCCGACGCCGACGCCCCGCGCCGTTCGCAGGCTGGACCCGAGGAACTCGCAGCCGCCTTTCTTTTCACTGCGCGGCGCGGCGGAGGTCCCTACGCGACGCGGAGGCGTGACGCGGCGGCGGCAGCGCTACGATGAACAGCGAATATGACTACCTGTTCAAACTGTTGTTAATCGGCGACTCCGGCGTCGGCAAGTCGTGTCTTTTACTCCGCTTCGCCGACGACACCTACACCGAATCGTACATCTCGACGATCGGCGTCGATTTCAAGATCCGCACGATCGAGCTCGACGGCAAAACGATCAAGCTGCAGATCTGGGACACGGCGGGCCAGGAGCGCTTCCGCACGATCACGTCGTCGTACTACCGCGGCGCCCATGGTATTATCGTGGTCTTCGACGTCACCGATCAAGAATCATTCAACAACGTGAAGCAGTGGCTCCACGAGATCGATCGATACGCCTGCGCGAACGTCAAGAAGCTCCTCGTGGGCAACAAGTGCGACCTCGCGTCGAAGCGGGCCGTGCCGACGGAGCAGGCGGCCGAATTCGCGGAATCGTTGGGCGTCGAGTACCTCGAGACGTCGGCGAAGAGCGCCCTCAACGTCGAGAAGGCCTTCACGACGATGGCGTCGGAGATCCGCAAGTGGATGCAGAGCCAGCCGGCGCCGGCCGCGCAGACCAAGGTGAACATCGGCAAGGGCCAGGCCATCGGCAAGGAGAGCGGCGGCTGCTGCTGAGCTCGTGTTGACTACTCCCCCGCCTAAGGCGCCTGGCGGTTAGGCAGTTACTATAGGAACACACCCCTCACGTCGCCGTCACGGCGTCTCCCACAGCAACCACAAATGGGCGACTAAGGACTTACTCCGCCTTCAGCACGAGCACGCGCACGCCCGACAAGTCCTGGACGTCCGCGACGGCCCTCAATATGCGCTTGATCGCGTCCTTGTTCGCCGGGTTCGCCTTGAGCCGCGCCTTGAACCGGACCAGCAGGTCCTTCGTCTTCATGCGCCCGCCCGCCGCTTGCAAGGCGCCGCGCACTTCCGCCTCGGTAAGTTCCGCCCCGTCGTCCGACGTGTCGGTGCGGAGCCGGTGGGGCGGCGCTCCATATGTTGCGTCTGCCACTGGGTCTACCACTGGGAACGCGGGCCGGAGCGTTGCGCTGTCGCCGCCCTCGCGGAGCGAGACCGCGGGCCGCACGTGGTCGAGAGCGACGCCGTCGGTTATAGACTCGAGGCCGACACCAACGAACTCTCCGTCCACGTAGAAGCTCAGCCTTTGCCTCGGAAAGCGGCGGTCGACGACGACGCCAATACGCAGAGGGGACTCACGCAATTTTTCGGCAAGACTATCCTCATCCAAAGCCCGACGCGGCAAGAAGGGCCCGAGGGACCGCGGCTCCACGTTCGTGCCGTAGAAGAAACCTCCGTACAGGTCTAATGCGAACGATATCCCAGCGGAGCCGTCGCACGGCTCGCAACCTAGCCAGAACGGCGATGGATTTCTCCTCCTCTCACCTAGAGCGACGCCGACGGCGGCAACGCCGACAACAGACGAGACCTCAATTTCGAACGCACACAGTGGACCCTCCAGCAAGTGTTCCGCGCATAGGGTGAGATCGCCGGCGCTGTTGCCCACCTTCTGCACCGCCGCAAAGCGGTCGGGACGCGGTCGTGTCGCGCGGAAGCTCGTTGCTCCCGGACCAGCGTTCTCAGTCGGAGCGTGCCGCGCGGCCCAGTGGAGATGCGCGCCATCCAGGGCGCGACAAGCTTGCCACGCGTCCGTGTAGTAGCCGGCCCGCAGCGCGGCCGCGCCGTCGGCGCCGTGGTCACGCGCCAGCATCGTGGTGAACAAGCGATTTGCGTCTCCTTTGATCGTGGAGTAGCCCAGTCGCCCTGTCGTCGCGAGCGCATCGATATCGCGACATTGGAGCCATGCCGCAGCCAAGTCGAGAACCGGCGCGCCGGCGCGCCAGGGCAGCGGCTCGAGACTCCGGCGCGCCGGCGTGGGGACAGTGATTTTGGCACCGCGCGTCCGCGGCGCTGGACCTAGCACCGACGCAACGACAGCGCGGCTCGCCGCGCGCTCGCCCTCGGTCACGGCGAGGGGCCGCGCGCAGGCCGCGTCAGCGTCAGCCTTGGGCCTCCGGGCGGCAACGCGTGCGGCCTGGTCGAACGGCGCGCCGCCGAGGCGCACGCGGACCTTGCTGTAGCTAGGAAATCTATTCTGGCTCGCCGCCGCGGCCGGGACGCCGCTTCGCCGGCACAGGTCAGCAAACGCTGCCCAGCGCGCCGCGCCCGGCGGCGGCCGACGCATCCTGGCGCAGGTCGCGAGTTCGCACGGGTTCATTAACTCCTGGTCACGCTCGTACAGCTCACGCTCGTACAGCACGCGGTACTTGCCTTCGTGCGGCCCGTCGGCCACGCGGCCCTCGTGCCACGTCTCCTCCTCCTCGTCCTCCCCGACAACCTCGACCCAGGAGACGAGGCACCGCGGGTCGAGGTGCTCCGTGCAGTGAACGACCCTTTGTCTATGACGTGTCCGCCACCAGTGCCACTCAACGAGTCCCGCCCGTAACGCGCAGGGAAAATGGAAAGACCTTCTAGAGCATGAGTGGCAGCCGACAGTCGCGCCCTTGAGCCCGCAGAGCGCGCAGGTCAGCCGCTTGCCCCGCCGCAGCTCGCTGCGCAGGCTCTCGACGTCGACGACGCCCGGGTTCTCCAGCACGACGCGAATTCTCGGGTTGTCGCCGAGCAGGTCGATGTCCACTTGGGCGCCAGACGAGTAGAGCGCGCACATCTCGTGCGCGACCAGGTCCGGCGCGAACGATACCAAGTACCCAGGGTTATTGACGGGAGAAAGAGGGCAGAATCCGCGGATGGAGGAATCACCCCCGCAAAAGCAGCACTTGAACCCGGGAGGCGCCGCTCCATATATGTGTCGAGTGGCCATCGCCTCGAGGGCCTTCGCCGCCTTCGCTAACCGTTTTTCTACTTTTCGTTCGTAGTCCTGCGCGTCCTTCGCGCTGTCGTAGCATTTGGCTTCGATCTGGCGCGCGGCATCAATCATATTCTGGCCGGCCTGCATCGCCGTGAGGCACCAGGCGATTTCATGGGTCATGGCTTCTCTAGCTTGCGCGTCGACGCCCTTGGGGGGCATGGCTTCGATGCTGCGGCGGCGTGATGCTATAGGTGTGGTATGTGCAGAGGGCAGCTAATCCCTCCGCACCAGGGCAGCCTTTTGGCACGGATTCTTATGAGCGGTGAAAAAGGGTGTACTGCAGCCGCGCTGACCAGCGTTTGGGTGCTCTGGCGGCCCACCAGAGCCCAAAAAGAACGGAGAGCTTGCTTGCTAGTGTCTTACAGACGCTAGTAATCACAAAACCTTGGCCGCAACCCAGCCTGCAGTGGCCCTCAGGCGACTTTGTGGACGCGACGCTCTCACCTCGCAGCAGTCCTTGGTCCACCGGCCAGGATTTCCAGCTCTACGCGCTGCCGGGCCCGATATCCAGCACCTTGCATTGCAGCCTTGCCAGAGCATCTAGTCCAGCCGGCGCTGCCAGGCATAAATGCGGCGCCTCCTCTGGCTCGCGGCCACGAGCGCGGCGCTCGTCGGCAGGGGCTCGTTGAAACCGAGGCGCTCCATCCAAAGACGCGTCTTCGGCCGCCAGGGCATTGACCTGAGACCATTAAGACCGCTCGTCGACGTCGTCGAGGAAGAATACATCACGGCAGATAGCAAACTGACCAAAGATAGATCGGTAGTTATTGTGACCACCGCATCGCTGCCGTGGATGACGGGCACGGCCGTGAACCCCGCGCTGCGCGCCGCGTACATGGTCGGAGGTGGGTACGAAGACGTCACTCTGTTACTGCCGTGGCTCGAGGACGACAACGATCAACGAACACTCTTCAATGGCCGGGTCTTCGCCAACAAATCCGAGCAGGAGTTATTTGTGCGAGACTGGATTAAAAAAAATGCCCCCGACGCCGACGCTTCTACCTTAAAGCTAGGCTGGTATCCTTCGAGGTACGCCACGGGTTTAGGTAGCATCCTCAACCTGGACGACATCACGAGTCATATACCTTCCGATAAAAATGATATTGTTATATTAGAGGAGCCGGAGCATTTGAACTGGTACCGCAACGGCCCGCGCTGGACGTCGCGCTTCCGCCACGTCTGCGGCATCGCCCACACGAATTATGAAGCGTACGCCATCGCCGACAACGAGGACAAGGACGGCGCGCCCGAAGAGTATTTTAACGTCAGGGCCAGTGAGGAACTTCAAGCGCCCTTCAATCTGGGGTCTCTCGCGGTCGGAGTGAGGTGTTTCTGTCTATATACGGTCGCGTGTATCTCTCGGAGGTCGTGTCCGAGTTTGAGCCGAAAACATGAGTCTCGAGACTCACTGGTTGCTTTCCACACAGGTCAAGGCGGAGCGGTTCTTCACGGAGACGGTGACGCGGGCCCACTGCGACGTGGTGGTGCAGTTGTCACGCACATTGAGGCCGTTGCCGCATTCGCGCGTCGAGAACGTGCACGGGGTCCGGAAATGCTTCCTCGACGTCGGAGCGTCTGGCGGCCCGCCCGCGTACCAGCCGAAGCCGGGCAACGCGCGCTGCTACTTCGTCGGCAAGGCCATGTGGGCCAAAGGGTATACTCAGTTGTTAGTTCTGTTGCAGGATTCGACAGATGTCGAGATTGATTGCTATGGTGGGGGTCCGGAACTGGCAGATATCCAGAACAAATCAAGAGTCCTACAAACCTCCTTAAATTTCAAGGGCCCGGCGGACCATGCTGACTCCAGTATATTCGGGGCTTATGACGTTTTTGTCAATCCCTCTATCTCGGAGGTGTTGTGTACGGCCACCGCCGAAGCGTTGGCCATGGGCAAACGCGTCGTCATCGCCGAGCACCCGTCGAACGAGTTCTTCTACCAGTTTGATACCTGTTACAAGGTGCCGCCTGGGGATTCGGAAGCCTTTTCGCGGCAGTTGCAACACGCGCTCGATGCCGCGGCACAAGATAGAGTCAGGTACAAGCCCTGGGCCTCTTCCCAGCTCCCCGATTCGTTGAAACCATTAACGTGGGCCGCGGCTACGGACCGATTGGTGCAAGCGTCGGCACTAGACGCTCGAGCCCCACCTGCAAGACTGGCACTCGCGTCCCTCGTGATGCACTCGTACCACTGGGGCATGACGGCCTCGCCACTCGCATTGGATTTATTTCTGACGATGAGCGGTGCCGGCCCGCACACGCCCTGGAGCGAGTGGCGGGAACGGAGCATCGGTCTCTCGTCGCTAAAAAGAGGGGACGAGTCCGACTCGAAATTCCAGGAAATCCTGCGACGTAATTTAGCGACCACCTCCAAGGCCCTGAAGAACGCGAATCGCCTCTCAAAGGTCATCCAGGAGCGACTAAGGAAGAGGGACGGGGCCGCGCGGGTCGCGCGGCACATGGGGCCCACCGTGTCCGGGCGGCCTCGACGACGTAGGAAGCTGCGGGAAGCGCTGCCGGGCCCCGGCGTGCCCGACGCGGCGGAGGAGGAGGAGTCGCTGCTCGAGGAGTCGCTGTTCTTCGACAGCGAGGAGCCTTCTCCGAAGGAGTCGTGGCCGCGGACGCGGCGCTTCTGGCGGCGGCTGCGCGGCGACGTGCGGTATTTGTCCGCTTCTTGGTTGGAGCCGCGCCAGTTTAGGGAACGGGACCGGTCGCTGCCGCGACGCGTGGCGACGCGGGCGGCGCGGGCGACGCAGAGTCTGAGGCGGGAGCTGGCTCTCAATAGGACGGCGACGAAGTACTTCCTCTAGGCTGGTTCCCCGTTTAAAATTCGAATTATCAACTGCGCGAAAGGCGTCGTCCCACAGCTCGCCGCCGCCGACGCGCAGGATCGCTGGTTTACCTCGCGTTCGCTAAAACTTCTCTATGCACATTTGTGGTGGTCGCATCGACGGCGTCGCAGCCGTATCGTCATCGCCGCAGCAGCGCGGCAAGCGCCCCGACCGCTGCGGCAATAACGACGACCGGCGCGCCGCCGCGGCACGCGCAGGCGCGCTTTGTATGAGCGCGCGCCGTCAGCCCGTAGGCCGCCGCGTCCCACGGATAACAATTCCACTCGTCCGGGACCTCTTCGCACGCGATGTAGGTGACGTCACTTGGCAATGAGGCTCTTTTCGCCTTGAGCTTGTTGTGGACGACGAGACACCCTACTTGTGAAGGCTTGTGCCTTTTCCGCAACTCGCTCACACACGCGGCTAACGTCGTCCGCGTGTCGTCGACTTCATCAACAATTAAAACCCTACCATTTTCCACCAGAGCCCCCGGGCCGTAGTCCGTCGAGAACCACTGTTTTATTTGAACGCCATTCTCGTTGATCGTGTTCGTATTGTCGTCGTAGAGCTCTAAACCAACAGCGACGATGGGCACCTTCACCTCCGTCCGCAGCATGCGCGCCGGGATGAAGCCGCCGCCGCCGATCGCGACGATGACGTCGGGTTTAAACGCTTTAACGCGCGCTACGGACGAACTGACGGCGTCGTGGATGTCCTCGTACGAAAAATAGACCTTGCCGTCGAGGGCGCGGCGTGTGGTCATTTTGCGTGTGTTTGATTGTGGCAGTGCAAAACTCGAGCTGTGCCTGGTTTTGAGCCAGGAGCGCTGTGGACGTGCAAGCTGGTCTTGCAGACAAGTGAATGGATCGACGGCGTCAGCGACGCGGTGCAAGAGAGCTTTTCTGGATGCGTACGGCTTGGTTTTTAAGGCGAGCGCCAAAGTGTGGACCTAGCGGAGTGTAAGACACTAGAAACAAGCCAGCCGGAAAAATTCTGGCTTTACGCGTAATAGCGGAACCATCGGCACCAGGTGCACGCTAAGAGCTGCCTACGCTGTCGTACTGCAAGCAGTGGCTGTAGAAACTGCGCGCATTGGGTTCCAGAGCCTTGCCAGAGCTGCAGTGCTGCCAAACACTAATTGAGGGTCCCCACGTCCGCGCGGCGGGGCTACGCGAGCTCGACAGCTCAAAAAGACCAGCGCGGGACGCCACCACAAAACCATGAAGTCCATGTTCAAGAGCAAGAAGAGCACTGATACAATAGAGACGCCGCCAAGCGCCAAAGCTTCAGTAGGATCGAGCGCTTGGAGAAGACGCGTCGGCGAGTCCGCCAGGAACAAGTTGGGCCTGTCGCGGCACGAGACCGACGAGGTGACGGGCGACGTGGCCGCCGGTGTGTCTTCTTATAGAGCCGCGGCTTCGAAACTAAAAGAGGCCGTCAAAGCCCTGGAGAGCGCCGAGGCGTCGGAGCGGAAAGCGGATGCCAGGCGGAAGGACGCCTTGCGGGCGCTCGGCGACGACGACGCGCTGATCGAGGCCTGTTTAAGTTCTGATGAGAGGACGGACCGCTTCGATCGGACCGAAGGCTGGGCGCTGGAACCTTTAAGATCTGTACGCCGCTACGAGGCTCTGGTCGACTCCACAATAGCGTCGCGCGAGTCTCTGTTACAAGATTATTTCGCACGCAAACGGAAGCTCGATTCAGGAAAAAAAGAAGACGAGCGCCAATTTAAATTCGAGCAGGCGTGTCGAGCTGTCAAAGCCGCGACGGCGCGGCTGGAGCCGCTGCTCGAGGCGTTTGTGAGCGCGGCGGAGACGGCGTTGCGTGACGCGCTGCGCTGCGCGGCAGCTGCCAGAATAGTACAACTCGAGGACGCGGCTTCCAGATTGCGGCCGTGGGCGGCCTCCACCATCTCCGGGGAGAGTGAGAGCGCGGCCCGCGATTTATTGCGGGACGTTGCGGCGGCGCGGCGGGACGGGTCGGTCATTCGACCGGCGGCGCCGGCCTCGCCGGAGCTCGAGCGCCTCGCGGCCGTCGCGTCGCAGCAAGCCGAGGTGCCGGAAGCGGCGACGCCCCCGTCATTCACTCCGGACGTTGTCCCGGACGTCTCTGATCAGGAGGCGGCCGCACTGAGGGCGCTCCTGCGGCGCCTCGGCGCCGAGGACGCGCTGGCGCGGAAGGGCCTCTTCCGGATTCCGGGCGACGCTACAAATTGCGCCGCCGCGAGGGAGCGCCTGGCGGCGGGCGACGACATCGCTAGTTCTCTGGACGTCGACGACGCCGCGACTCTAGCAAAAGGCTGGTTCCGCGACCGGCCGGCCCTCCTACCTAGATCTGTGAATGAAGCTTTGCGGGCCGCGGCCGAGGCGTGCGCTGATGATGAAGTTTTCGCCGGGCAGGCGCGGGAGCTGCTGGACGGCGTCCCCGTCGTCCGCGACTTACTGAGCTTGTTGAATGCCGTGGCGCGGCGCGAGGCCGACAACGCCATGACGCCCGAGAACTTGGCGATTTGCTGGGCGCCGAACGTCTTCGTGCTGGACCCGAATAGTGCTGCTTCGGTTGCCGATCTGCAACCGGCCATTCGATTAACAGCGCGGCTCGTCGGCGTCGGGGACCGGCTGGCCTAGTTAAGTATGTGTGAACGTTGACCGTCGGTTTGTTGCTAGGGCGCGTCATCTTATGTTACGCTGAACTTACGGTGCTAGGACTAGTTGGCGGAGCTATATATGTATACGGGCTCGAAGCGTGCGGATATCCGCCCCGGGGCGCGGCTTCCAAGGGCTCCGCTCGGAAATCCCGCGCTAGCGTCTTGTAAGACACTAGCAAGCAGCCGATTTTTGCGGTGGCTGTTCAGGCCAGCCCCGGCCTAATTTTGTGCAGCCCGCGTGCGTGCGAACGTGCGTACAAATCGTCACACGCCGGCGCGCCGCAGCGATGCCGCTCGCCCGTCGCACGAGTCGATAACTAAAGGATGCCGCTCCTGCTACAGGCGCGCATCACCTCGGTGAGCTTCGAGGAGGCGAGATATAGGCACTACCGCGCGCGCCAGCGGAGAGATGGTGCCCTGCAGAAGGCCGCGGCCCAGGTGCGAAAAAGGGCGCCGTCGCCGTTCGACGAGGACGCGGCCCAAGCGACGCGGCGCCTCTTCGCGCGCACGGTGGCGCAAGTTGTCGAGATTCATGCGTTAGAGCGGACCTTCGACGCGTGGCGGAGCCTCGAGGCGCGGCCGAAGGCGCCTCCGAGCCTGCCCGCGCGGCCGGCGACGAACGGGGCTCCGGACGAGGCCAAGTACGACCCGCGCGCCCTGGATCTGGGCGCGCGCCTGGCGCAGCGCGTCTTAGATGATCAGAAGGCGCGGTCGCGGTTGCGCCAGTGGTCCTCCATCACGAAGCGGCCGGCGTCGCCCGCTCTCTCATCTCTGACCGAGGATTTCGTGGTCGTGGAGGACGCGCCGCCGCCGCCGCCGCCTCCCATCGAGTCGCCCGTCTCGCCCGCGCTGTCTGATCAACGAAGGGAGCTCGCTGACGTCATCGCCAAAAATTGCGGGCTCGTGGCGCTCTGCCGGTCGTTGTCGCGGCGGCGGCGGGCCGACGCCTTTAGGAGGTGGGCGTCGTGCCACCGGACGGAGCACACGAATGGCCTCGAGAGCGCGCTCTTCGAGGCGCAGCGCACGCTGGACGCGCGGCGGACGCTCGTGGCTCTCGACGACGCCTGGCGGCGGCGGCGGCGGGAGCGGCTGCGGCGCGTGATCGGTACATGGCGGGCCCTGAGCGCCGCGGTCGACGTGGCGGCGGCGGAGGCGCTCCGCGACGAGCTCGATGATACGAGAGAGCAGCTCGGGAAGGTCACGCGGGAGCGCGACGCGGCGAAAGCGGACGCGGCGGCGGCGGCGACGCTCCGCGGCGAGCTCGCGAGTGTCACCGAGGAACGCGACGCCGCGCGGGAGGAGCTCGCGACGGCGGCCACGCGGGTGGAGTCGCTCCGCGGCGACATCGATAGTTTGTCGGCGGAGCGCGACGCGGCGAACGCGGCGCTCGAGACCGGCACCGCAGCGGCGCAAGAGCTTCGCGGCGAGCTCGAGGCTATGACCGAGGAGCGCGACGCCGCGCGGCGCGAGCTCGAGGCCCGCTCCGGCGACGCCGACGAGCGGATCGCGCGCGCCCGCGAGGCGGCCGACGAGGCGCGGGCCGAGGCCGTGCGCCGCGCCGTCGCCGCGGCGGACGCGCGGGCCGAGGCCGCGCTGGACGAGCAGCGGCGGCGGCACGCCGACGAGCTCGAGGCGGCGCGCAGGCGCGCCGTCGAGGTCGCCGAGGTCGTCGAGGGCGACGCCGCCGAGGCCGAGAGCGCCGTCGCGGCCGCCCGGGCGGAGGCCGAACAGCTGCGCGGCGAGGTCGAGCGGTTACAAGCCGAGCTCGACGGCGCCCGCGCGGAGGGCCGCGAGACGTCGGCGACGGCGGCCGAGGCGGCTGAGGCGGTCGCCGAAAGGGCGCGCACGCTCGATCGGCGGCGGAGCCTGGCGGCGCTGGACGCGTCGTGGAGACGACGGCGGCGCGAGTCCGTGAGGAGCGGCTTCCTCAAGCTCGGGGACGCGGGCCGCGCCAACCAACAACTGCGCACGAAGTTAACGGCTCTCTCGGACGCGTGCGAGCGTCGTAGGCGAGATAGGATGAGGCGCGTGCTCGCGCGGCTGACGACGTCTGGAGCGGACGGTGCCTTGAAAGCCGCGCGGAACGCCTGGGCGCGGGGCAACGTGTCTAGAAGGCTCGAAGATGCGAAACGGAAGGCGTTTTACCGGATGCGCTGCTTGACGCTGGAAAAGGCCCTCTCATTTGAACGGAGCCGGGCGGATACCGTGGCGGGCGACATATCGGCCGCGGAGTTTACGGCATTAGACGCTTCCGCGCGGCGCGAGCGGGCCGACGCCGCGGCCGCATCATCGCAAGCCGCGGCCGCACGTGCCGACGCTGCTTTAGCTCGGGCCGTCGCCGACGCGGCCGAGGCGGCCGCGGCGTCGGGCGAGCAGGTCCAGAACGCCGCTCTCGCGGAGGAGCGCGCGTCGACGGAGCGGGCGCGCCTCGAGCAATTACTAGTGGACGCGAAGATGGAAATCGTGCACCTCAAAGCGGCGATGGACGCGATACAACCCTCCGAGCGCGCCTCCCAATACTCGTCGGCGCCGCCCTCCGAGGCGTCGGAGCTCGGCGAGGCGCCTCCCACATTGCCGCCGCGGAGCCGCGTGGGCCGCCTGAAGTCCGCGGCGGCGTCGGCGCGGGCGTTCGCGTCGCGGCGGTCCGGGCGGGAGAAGTAAAGTAGTTTATGGAATCTTAGGAATGCGGCGCCTCGCGGAGGGCGGCTCGCGATCTTTCCAAGTCGCGCTCTATTGGCCCTAAGAACGGGTGCCCGCCACCCATCACGCGCCGCGCGATCCGAACCGTGTCCTCGTACGTCGTCACGGCCTCGCGGAGATCATCGAGCGTGGCCGCGGGGTCCGTATAGAGCGCCCGCGCATAATGCGCCCTCATCGAGAGCGTAAGTAGATGACTCTCTCCAAGAATGCGTCGCGCCACGGGTATCGTTTTGCGCAGCAACTTCTTGGCTTCTTCGAAGCGCTTTTGATCAACAAGAAAACGCGCGTAGTTGTTGGCCTCTCGAATTGTTTCATAATGTTCTTCGCCGTGGATCTTCAGCCATCCAGAGTAGACGTCTCGTCGCAATAGCAGGGCCCTTTCAGGCCGTTGCAGCGCTTCATACGTGTTTGCAAGATTTCCATGCACGATGAGAATGTTTTCTATTAATGCGCCATGGCGCTGCAGCATAGCCAACTCGGCCTCTTGCACGGACAAGGCGTCCTCGGGGTGATTCGCACGGGAGAAACTGCTCCCAAGCTGCCTCATCGCCATCAACCGAGTCCAGTGTGCCTCTGGCCGGCCCACGTACGTCTTCCAGCACGCCCAGCTGAGCGCGCAGTTCACGACGCCGTGGTATTCTTGCTCGCAAAGGCTACACGTGTGCCATCGACAAGTCGTCGTTTGCAACTTTTCAGGCCCCAAATTGTTTTCCTCGGCTTCAGCGACTAAAATCTTCGCCTGCTCCGCCAAGCAAGACACGTGCGCGAAGCCCGCCGTGCCGCGGCACGCACACCCGCGCACGAGGCCCTCCTTCGTTTTCCAGTGGAGGGCCTGCGTGCAGATGTAGCACGTCTGGCCCTTGGTGTCGTCCGCGCACGCCTCGGCCGCGACGGCTACGGCCTCCGTGTACTTCTTATTTGCGTTATATTGCTCTGCGCCGCCTGCTTTTTTAATCAATTTGCAGAGCTTGTCGTGCCCGCCTTCTTTCCAGTGCTGCACCTGGCATTCAGGCCCACAATAGCGCGTGCTGCAGCGGCCACATTTCTTCCCCAATGATAAGCCCAGTGGGGCAGCGCAGACGGCGCACTGCGTGAGTATCATCTCTCTTGTGGTCAATTGCGTGCGCTGCGTCCTTTTGAGTGTCTTTGGCTTTGCTCCCCTTGCCTGCCTGCTAGTGCCTTACTCGACGCTAGCTGCGAGCTGGGCAAAAAACGCAGTTCTGCCGCAAAAATCAGCTAGCTTCGCACACACGCAATCAAGAGCGGCAGCCAGCCTATCCCGTGCCCGCCACCCGAAGAGCGCGTCGACGAGGCGCCGGAAGTCCCTCAAACAGGCCTGCACCATGGATGGCCTTTCTGCGCTCATCGAAGCGTCCGCCGGTGACCGTCCGGAGGCGGCGCGCGCGCCGCCGCCGGAGGTGCCAGAACCGAAGCTCGAGGCGCCGCGCGCGAGCGTGACGCCGCCGCTCGCGACCGCGCCCGTTCCCGATGCTCCTCCGGCCCCCGCGGCCGCCGCTGCCGCGGCGCCGGCGGCCCAGAACATGGCATTGCCCACCGTCGCTGCGCCGCAGCCCGTGGCCGCCGTCGCTCCACCGGCGCCGACCACCGCGGCACTGATGGCCGCCGCGGCACCGATGGCCGCCGCGGCGCCGCCTCACGCCGTCGCCGCGCCGGCGCCGGTCACGACGGCACCACCGGCCGCCGCGGCAACGGACGCAGCGGCGCGCAAGCTCGCGGCGGACCACGCCGCGATCCGCGAGGCCTACGCGCGCGAGCAGGCCGCCGCGGCGCCGCCTGCGCCACCTGCAGCGCCCCTCGTCCAGGGCGTCGACGACGAGTGGGCCGACTGGCGGGGTTGTATTTGTGGAGGGAGTTATTATGGGGAGATGGTGGGCTGCGACGGGCACTGCGACAACTGGTTCCACTTCGCGTGCGTCGGTTTGACACGGCTGCCGCGCGGCGAGTGGCTCTGCCAGGACTGCAAGAATAAACCGAAGAAGAAGAAGCAGAAGGTCGAGGAACCGCCGCCACCACCACCTCAAAAAAAGAAACGGGAGAATCCCGCCCATTCGAAGCACGAGCGCAAAGATAGGGAACAACTCGAGGCGTTGGTCGAGCGGGCCAAGCCCCTCAAGTTCGTTGGAGGTCGAGCTCCGAGTGACCACACGTGTAGTGGTGCGGGGTTCTGCTCGCTCGATCCGTCGATCTTTGCACCTTTGCAGCAGTTGCATGCCAATATAGTAGCGGCTTTAAGAAGAGGCAAACTGTTACAATCGTGGGAGGGCAAGGGGAAAGATGTGCGAGAACGGGGCTTCGCTTTTCTACCACCTACGATGATTCCCGTCTGGGATCGCGCTCGTCTAGAAAAAGGCGGTCTGCGCTTCGGCGCGGCCCAGAAGGAGGGTCAAGACTTCTTGAACGACGAGGAGGCGAACTGGAAGTCGTCGTTCCACCTCTTTCCTCGCGATGTCTCTCCTGAAGCGCGGACGGCGCTACACGCGTTGATCGAGTTAGTTAAACAAAGAGTAGATGATAAATACAAGGACTACGTCAGTCTGGAGAATCTCATAGCACTACAACCAAACCTGCACAACGACGCGAAGCACCTCCCACCGCACCTCGACTTTCCGATGCATGATGGCTTTGGCGTCGTCATCGTGACCATCCAGATGGCGGGGCCGCAGTCCGTGATTGCGTTGCTGAAGGGTGCCGATAGCGATTTCGACGTCACGGTCGAGAAGGAGAAGGAGCGGTGCTGGACGTTTTCTCTCAATGTGGGCGACTGTTATATCCTGTCGGGGGATGCGAGAAACGTCTGCGACCATGGGGTATTGTGTGTGGGCGGTGGTCGCCGTTCGCATAAAGTGGACGCGGCGCGCGAGTCGCTGAATTTGAGGTTTGGGTTGCACACGCCGGCGTTTGCCGACGAGGAAGTCTACTGGCAGTTCCCCTCGTTCTCTTCTACCTTGCAAGCGGCGGCGCAGGCGTCGCACAACGGGGAGGCGCCGGCGTCGAAGGGGCGGCGGCGGCGGCGCTAGGCCTGTGGTAAGTTATCTCATCTCCTCCCGCGCGACCCTGGCGGTTTCGGCTGTTTTTGTGCCCCCAGCTTGTTGCATCCGTAGATCAGCGTCGAATGACGACCCGTCGCATGCCATTCAAAGCTGCGTCGACGCCTAAAAAACAAATCGGTGCAAATTGCGTGTCCAGCTTGACACCGCCACTCTGCGCTCGTCCTCATCATCTGGCGCCCTATTGATCAAAAGCAGCTGCGAAGCACTTAAACACTCATCGGATCTCAGCCTTCGCGAAGTTTAACGATGCCTCGTTCGCTTATCGTGGCGCTTGGGCTCCTGCACTCGGCAGCCAGCTTCCAACCCACCAGCCGCGCGGTCACGCGGACAGCACCGCTCCAGGCGGGCTTCGCGACGACGACGCGTAAAAAGAAAGTCAAAAAGGGCAAGGGATCGAAGAGCAAGGACGCCGCCGGGCTGACCACAGACAAGGGCTGGGTCCCGCTCGACGAGCTCACCGAGCGAGTAGAGCTAGGCTCCGCGAAGGCCGTCGGGCGCAGTGCGTAAATCAGATTGTCGCGTCGATGGCGTGGAGTGCACCCGTCTCACTGGTCGATTTGTGCACAGGTCGGCCGCACGATCCAGGGCAAGCCGTATTTAGTAAGACGCCTCTCGAACGGCGCGCTCGCCACCACATCAACGGAGTGCGGCCGCTGCGAGTACCCGCTCTTGCAAGCCGAACAAAAAACCTTCGAGGACTCGGAGTTCATCTGCTGCGACATGTGTGGCGCGACCTTCGACGTTGAGGACGGCGCGCCGCAACCCTCCGCCGAGGGCGCCGGCAAGCCGTTATTTGGGGCTCTTTTGAAGGCCAAGCCGCAGAAGAGTCTGCTCGTCTTCGAGAACCGCGAGCTGAAGGACGGGAGCGTCTACGTGAACATCACGCCCAAGAGCAAGCAGTTGTTCGAGGACGAGGAGTAATAGTTTGTTGTCTTATATTTCACACCACAGTCTCGCCCCACCGATTCGGCCGCGCGTCGAAGCTGCCGCGCCGCAGCAGGTGCGGGTTCCCGCCATCAGACACGGACGAGAGCGCCGACGCGTAGTCGCTCGAGGGCGGCTTCGGCGGCGTCTTCGGTGGTGGTGATGGCGCGAGGGACTCCAACGGTAACGCTGGCAATAGACCTAGCGCGACGGTGGACGACCGCCGCGCCGACGCCTTCTCCGTCAACTCCTCATCCGTGAGCTCAGCTAGAGCCATCACCGCCTTCAAAGCACTTTCGGCATCCGACGGCCGGAAGGCGTCGGCAAACCCCTCCGCGTCCCCAGCGCACAATCGAGCACAGACGTCATGCGCGTGCAGGGCGTCCCGTCGTCTTGAATCATCTTCCAAGGCGCCGCGCGCGGCTGTATCTAAAGCGGCAGAATCCCGCACGAACGCCGAGGCGACGAGCTCCGCTTGGGTCGGCGGCCGTACCGAAGCCTGCGCGTGCATCGCCGCCCTTTCAAAAGCCGACGTGCCTCGTTGTATGGAGGGCCGCGCTATTTTGTCGACGCGGTCCAGCCGTAGAGCTAAACAACGCATCGCGACGCGTTCCAACGCACAGGCGGCCACGAAGGCCCGGTCCGCGTCGTCGGGCTCCAGCGCTTGGACGGCGTTCAGCGCTTGCGTTAATTGGCGCGCACTCTCCGCAACGGACGAAGCCGTCAGCGTAAAAGCCACCACTGAGGAGGAAGTTGCTTCCTGCACATGTGCACCGACACCAGGCGGCATCGCGAGGCCCCACTCGGCCGCAAAATGCCGGATATGAGAGAGGCGTTTCAACGCCGCGGCGGCGTGAGCCGTAGATGATGAGGGCTTCGTCGCCGCGTCGGCGAGCGCCTGTAAACAAGCTTCCGCCGTCGCCGGTCGTGCGGTCGCGGGACACTCGTCCACGAGCCGTTTCGCGGTCTTGGCGGCCTCGGCAGGGGTTGATCGCGCAGCCACATCAGAAGCCGCGGCGCGCGCGCGCAGCGCTGACAAATCAGAGACGATGGCTTGGACGGAGGCGTCGTCCGGGAGCGCCGAGGCCCACCTTAATAAAGGGTCGACGCGGTCGGTACTGTCACAATCCGCCGCCCGTTTTTGGGCGTCCTCAGCTCTCAGACGCAGCCGCGGCACGGCCTCTAATAAAACAGCTTCCCGGCCCGACGCGCCGCCGTGGTCGAGGACATTCCTACAAGCCTTGGCATGTAGAGCTACTGCGGACGCAGCCGTCGGCGCGTTCTCGCAGCGCTCGCCCGCTCTACTCAACGCGCGCCGCCAGGCGTCGCGCCTCTCAGTGTCATCTTGGACCGCCTTTGCCGCCTTCGCCGCATCTGATGGAGACGCCCCTCTTTGCCCCGGCAGCAACGCGCACGCAGCCACAGCCTTGGCTGCACTTGCAATGCTCGCCGCCGCCGCGACCTCCGCCGCTTGGGACGCCTCGGAGGCTAGCGCTCTCAGTGAATCCGCCAGGGCGTGGTGCTGCGCGACCGTCGAAGCGGACGCGGTCCTCCTAGCGGCGGCCCGGGCAGCGCAGACCGAGGCCCGGTCGACGTGCTGTCGGGCCCGTTCCACCGCTTGTAGGGCGTCTTCCGCGTCCTCCTCGTCTTCCTCTTCCGAGGTACTATCCTCCTTCGTCTCGACGCGCACAGAATCACTTCGTCGCGCATCGACGCGCCTCCGAAACCGCCGCGCCTCCAGGGGATCTGAAGCTCGAAACACGACGCGCGGCCCGCCCCGCTGCACGAGCACCACACAAGACGCGTCCGCGCCGCAGACGCTTCGCACGAGCTCGGCATGCATGAGTTCGCCCGACGTGTGTTTGTCCGGCCCCGCCCACCTGACCAGAGACCGCTCCACTCTCACAGAAACCTGGCATTCGCGCACGGGCGCCAGGGTCCACCTTCGGACATCCGCCCTCGCGTCCAACCGCGACTGTTGGATATGCAGCTCGAAGTCGTCCTGATCATCAGTATCGAAAGTTGTGGAAGGCTTCGACGCCGGGTATAACAATTGCGTCTTCGCTTGCGACGAGATGCGCCACCGGTTCAGGACGTCTATTATACAGTGCGAGGAATCCACCGGTAACAACCCAGTATCCGTCGACGCCACCAGCACGACATCGACTGCCGCACTCAACCCTAGATACCTCCCGCACCGTCTCGACAAGACAGCTAGGGTCTCCGTCGCGTGGATCGGAAAGACCTTACAACTTCCATCAGCAAAAAACACCCGCACCTTCTCGTCGTCGTTTACGACGAGGCTCCCCTCGTCCACAAACCGTCTCAGCTTCGAATTCGAAGCCTGGCGCTTCTCTTCGTCCGATTGCCCCAGGAGTTTTTCGTGATGCGCCGTCCAGCAGCCGTCGCAGACGCGCTCGTCCTTCTCGTCGTCGTTTTTCAGTGCATTGCGCGCGCACGACCCGCAGAAGACGCCGCCGCACCGCCGGCAGTGGTGCCGCCGCCGCGCCACCGCAAAGACGCGCTCGCAGCCGAAGCAGGTCTTCGTGGCGGCGTCGGAGACCCAGAGCTCGTCTTTATCGGTGTTGGAGCTCATCCTTGCTGACCGCGCGCCTCGATTGTTCTGCACAGCTACACTGGAATTGGCTCTGCGTGAAATTGCTGGGCCCACCGGTGGCGCAGTCGTGCTCTGTCTATCAAGGCGTGTCTCTGCTGTTGCGGTAGTCCCTCCTTGGCCGCTGTAACTCGTGCTTTGCCGCTTTGGTCGAATGCTCGGCTTTCTAGTGTCTTACAGCCGCTAGCCGGCACAGAGCGCGACTTTCACGCGGCTTGTACGCCACACCAGGACGTCGCAGGGACGCGTGCTTCAAGGCACGGCCAGACATTAAAGACAGCTTGAGTTGCCGCAGCTCTCCGGGGCGTGAAACTCGGCCTGATGCGCGAGCAAGGCACAGAGCATTAGCAAGATGCGTGGCCTCTTAGTCCTGCAGATGATGCGTGCGAGCGCCATAATAGCGCGCCGCGGCCGCTCCTCCCTGGTCTCGGCGCCCTGGCTCAAGATCAATCTAAACGACCCGAAGATTAGAGTATTAGACGTGACTCAAGCTCTCGACCGGACGACAAACACAGTCTCGCCGAGCGTCGACACGTACATGACCTCGCACATCCCCGGCGCTCGATTCGTGGACGTTGGCGGCCGGCTCTCTACGCCAAATCCGAAGCTGCACAACTTAGCACCGTCTCCCGAGCAGTTCGCCGCCGAGCTGTCGCGCCAGGGCGTCGACGACGACTCTCACGTAGTCTTATATAGCTCGTCGAAGGTCATGTGGGCGACGCGCGTCTGGTACCTCATGAACGCCTTCGGCTTCGAGGGCCAGGTCTCGGTGCTCGACGGCGGCCTCAAGGCCTGGACGCGCGCCGGCGGCGGCACGGTCAGCGGCGTCGAGCCAAAGCCGACGCCGACGACGCTGCCGATCCGCCAAGCGCGGCGGACGGCATTTGCTGGTAAGGACGACGTCCTCCGCGCCATCGACGAAGAAAAAACACTGGTGGACACCCTCAAGCCCACGAGCTTCGACGGCTCGAAGCCGTCGCGCTACGGCCGCCGCGGCCACATCCGCACGGCGGTCAACGTTCCATACACGTCGCTCCTCGACGAGGCAGGCTGTTTCCTCCCCGAGCCCGAACTACGCCGCGCCTTCGCCGGCGTCGCCGAGGACGGGCTCGTGGCCTACTGAGGCAGCGGGATCAGCGCGACGGTCTTCTTGTTTGCCGCCGTATTGCTCGGCCGCGACCCGTCGACGCTATCCCTATACGACGCGAGCCTCAGCGAGTGGGCCGCCGCCGACGACCTGCCCATGGCGCCATGATGACGGCCGACGCCCTTCCCTTGCCGGGGAGACGCCGGCCCGACGCCGCCATGCCCTAAGGTCACTGTTGTTAGACATAATAGTACACGCAACCCCCCACGACGTCGATGCGACCGATAACACGACGCGATGTTATACAAACCTACTTCTTGCGAGCCCTCTTCGCCGGCTTCTTCGCCGCCGGCTTCGCCGCGGCCCGGACGAGCGCCGGGGCCACGCGCTCCTCGCGGTCGCCGTCGTCGTAGGCGACGGCGTAGGTGCCGTCCTCGTTCACACCATCGATCTTGCCGGGGAACCACTCGACGTCGCCGCGGAAGCGCGCCTCGACCGCCGCGCCGACCGCCAGCGCCTCCGCGGCGGCGGGGGCCCAAGAGTAACACCAGGACCGCCGCGCCTCGTCGACGGGCAGCTCACAATCACTACGAAAAACGACGGTGCCCTTCGACGGTTCGCTTTCGCAGGACCAGGTCTCGTCCGTCCAGTGCTCCTGGCCGTCGACGGCCATGACGTCCAAGATCCTAGGACCGAAGACCTGGCACCTCGCGTGCTTTGCCGCGAGATCCTCCCGTCTCCCTCCATCGGTCCTCTTCACTTGCGCGCAGACAAACGAGCGAGCCGGAGTGTTGGCGGGAGCGTTCCCTAGCAGGTCCAGGCACCAGTGCGCGCCGTTGTCGTCACACCGCAACGTCTTCTGCACACTCTTGGAAGGATCGCATTGCGGGATGATGCCTTCCAAGCCGACTAGTATGGGTTCCGGCGCGCCAGGCGACCATTTGGCGCACCAGTGATATAAAGGTACCATCTTTTTCGAGAGCCGGCGTTCGACGACGGGCCACTTCACTTCTAGACTATCGAACGCGCGCACGGCGGCGCTCTGCGAGGCGCCGGTCATGACCTCGTCGGCTCGGTACGCGTCCTGCACAGTAGCTGCGTTGCGGTCTTCCGAGAGCGATCGGACCCCTCTCGACGTATTTGCTGTTCTTAAATCAGGACTCTGCCTTTCGGCCAAGCGTCGACAGACGGCGTCGGGCTCATACAGTACAACGTCGGCCCCTATGGACTGTAAGTACAAGGCTCGAGGCGCGTCCCTATCGCAGAGCCACTTCTCGCCCTTGTTCTCCGGGACGGTATAATCAGCTAACGCTCGCAACTCAGCAGCGTGCCGCGAGGACACCTCGTTGATCTCCGCGCTTATTGATAAGTTACCTAGCCTGATAGCAGGTAACCCGTTCGCCGAATAAGAAGTTAATTTGGCCGTCGCGCTTCTCGAATCGACAGAAGCACATAAAAAGCCCCACGCGTCGTACCGCCCCAGCGCCTCCGCCGCTCCGATCGTCTCATGTATCTCCCGCACCGTGTCGATCGTGTTGTGCAGTCGGATAGTGCCCCACAAAATACATTCAAATTCCAACACTACTAAATCAACACCATCGGTGCTCTCGGGCCACTCCAACGAGTCCGCGGACCGTAGCGCCTCGTGCTTCTGAAAAGGGACCTTCCCAAAAAAGTCCGTGCGGACTTCCACGCGACCCTCGACGTCGCACCGTTCCAGGAAATAGGCTCCTAGTTCGTTCGTCGGCGTCCAGCTCGGTGCGGCCGTGCACTGTTTCAATAGTTCGCGGCCGTACGCTTGGCAGACGGGCGGGAGTGTCGTGTCGTCTCTCACGACCACCGTTCTCAGATAAGTAGAACATACGGAAGGCACGACGTAGGTGCACGTGTCGTAACCGTGTAACTTAAACGTATTTAAATATTTAGAAGCTTGCTTGGCATACTCGGGTAGATTTTCAGAGGTATGTAGGGTACCCAAAATTTCCGAGACCATGACGTCGAACTTGACATCTTTATCGGCCGCATATTCTTCTACCGTGCCGTGGTATATTTCATACTTTTCTGCTGGGATGTTTGCGGCTTTCAGGGCCCTTGTCGCGAGTGAGCACATCGTGTGGTTCGTGTCGACGCCGACGACCTTCGCCGCGCCGTGCATCAAAGCTAATCGTGTTAATAGGCCCGTGCCGCAGCCGAGATCTAAGACTAATGGAGCTCTGCCCTGTTGCTTCCGGAACTGGCCGATGCACTGTTTTATGGCCTCGGCGTATTTTACGTTTCGATCTTCGTCGGCGAGCATGGCTAAGAAATACGTGGCGAAACCTTGGTCCGCCGGTTGATACATGGCTGCTGCGATTTGCTGCGATTCAAATCTGTGAGAGCAGCTGTCTCGCTGCGGAGCGAGTGGCGCCTCCTGAGCTTGCGTCTGCTGAGGAGGATGCGAGAGAAGAATCCTCAAGCCTTCTGGGCGTCTGCGCGCGCAACCAAGCGCCGTGGAGCCCAAAAAGCTGTGCTGCCGGGCAATGCTAGTGCCTTACAGGACGCTAGCAGGTCGCCGCGCAGGCATGGGGCGCATTAGTGCAAGAGGCACGCTAGGGAACTTAGCACGACATCTAATTACAGCGCGGCGCCGGCCCAGGTGAATAAAACCACCGATGGCTACAAATAGCTCGCGTTTCAGGGCCCTGCCAGATGATGTGCTGCATCGCGTTCTTGCGGGCGTGGCACTCGACGACCACATACCTACGGCAGCTGTCTGCAAAACCTTCCGCGCGGTCATTTGCGGCCCGCGGTTTCTAGCGCTCCGCCAACGGTACGGCTTCGCGCAGCGCGGCATCGTCGTGGTCGGATCACCAACAGGAGTGGCTCAGAAGCCCTTGAGAATTCAAGTGACGCACAAAGGAGGAGTCCTGGCAAGATTTCCTGGAGATTGGGAAGTCGAGTCCCGCGCCTCGACAGGCTCGACGACCAACGGTGGTACCCGGCTATTTGTCAGCACCAGGGACCCCCATCAAATTTTGGCTATAGATGCCTCTTCGCGCCGATGGCGACGTCTCACGACTCCGCCATTGGGCCAAGGATCGTACTGCATGGAGTGGTGCGGCGGCCGCTTGTATGTCGCCGGTGGATACATACAAGGCCCAAATGACCTTAATTCTCTCCACGTGTTTAACGAAACAACTGGGCTTTGGGAGGAGTTGCCTCCTATGCCGTATTCTTGTATGTGCCAGGCGTCGGGCGTTATTGGGAACCAGCTGTTTATCGCTGGCGGATGCGGATCTGGAGCTACATATGCGCACAGATTGCAAATTTATGACACTGCCGCCCGCACGTGGCGGCTTGGTGCTCCGCTTCCACTCTCATTTTCCTCTACGACTGCCGTCGTCCTTGACGGGAAGTTCCATGTATTCTTTGTATCAATGCCAGGCCTTTATGGCTCTATGTTGGTGTATGACCCTCAGTCCAATACTTGGGCTGAAGAGACGGTGCCCTGGCGTTATGGGCAATTTTGTCGTGTGGACACTGCCTGTGCCCATAACGGCCGGATCATCATCTTCCTCAATACTGGAGATGCATACGCGCGAGCCTCTGACGGCTCGTGGTCTTTGTACGAACCTGCCGATCTATTGCCACAAACACACCAGGGTTCTTACGCCCTCGGGTCCGTCGTCCTCGGCTAGATTTGACGATACTAGTAAGAAGAATGTGAATTACTAGTAGGAATCATGATAAGGAAGGATAAGATACCACACACAAAACACTTACTCCCCAACGCCAGCCAACCGTTGATAAGCCTCAGCACCCGCCGCAACTTCATCAATTCCCACGCCGAGCTTGTTCCCGAACCGCTCCACCACAAATCTCTCATTCTCTTCGCAGATTGTGAGGACCGCACCATTCCTTCCAAGGCGCGCCGTCCGGCCCGCGCGGTGCAGGTAGTCCGTCGCCGTGCGAGGAACGTCGAAATTCACGACCAGTGAAGTACGCGGCGCGTCGAGGCCTCGCGCCGCCAGGTCCGTTGTCAGCAGAACGTCGACCTCGCCTCTTACAAAGGCCTCGAAGGCGCTCGATCGACTTTCCAGATCGTCGGCTTCGTTCAATACGTCCACCCGCAGGTCGTCCTGTTTTAAGGCAGAAGCGATCTTCGGCAGCAGTCCGAGACGTTTCTCGTCGAAGAAGACCACTGTAGGTGTTCTCACGCCCTTGAGGAACTGTCTCAACACTGCCAAACGAGCTTCTGGTTTTGGGCAGAGCACTAGAGTATGTTGGATGGTCGGCATGCCGCGCTCCGACGATAGATATGAGACGGGTCGCGTCGCCCACCTTCGTCGCAGCAAGTCGCCGGGCAGGCGCTGGGGCGCGTCCACGGACGCCGTCGCGAAGACGGTGGACCGCTTCCTCGGCAAGTGGTCGTTCAGCAGACGATGTAGAGCGTCCCGCCTCTCATCATCATCGAGGAACGAGTCCACTTCATCAATGACCACAAACGCACACGCGTCCAGACTTTTTAAACCAGCTTCATCAGCCATACGTCGGAGAGGTGTGGGATTCCCTACCACAATATGCGGAGGCTCCGCCCACGCCCACGTCCGTTGCCTCTTGAGCGAAGACCCGTCTAGCAACGACATGACCGTGCCCTTCGTCAATCTTCGTAAAACTTTGGCGACCTGCAGTCCCAATTCGCGCGTCGGCACGACGACGCACCCTTGCGTCGCTTGCCTGCTACTGTCGATTCGCTCGACCAAGGGCAGGAGGTAGGCTAGCGTCTTGCCGGACCCCGTCCGGGCATGGATCAACGCATCGCTTTCGTCCTTGACGATGGAGGGAATCGCGCTCGCTTGCACGGGCGTCGGGCTTTGGAATTCGGGCCCGAGGTGGCGCGCGGCGTCGGCCGTCGTTGGTTGGAGGCCGAGCTGCTCCCAGGCATCGCTTTGTTGGGCGCAGCGCGGTGCGACGGCGCGTCGTCTGCGCTGCGGCGCGTAGGCTGCTGCAGTGCAGGCTAGGCATGCAACTTGCAGCGTGCAACGCATCGCTTGCTGTAGACTACCGCGCAGCGATGGCGTCTGGTAGTGCAGAGGAGAAGCGAGACAGCTCTGAATTGCGCACAGCGCCTGCAACTGCAAGCTGAGCACGGCTGCAGCTAGCGGCTGTAAGGCACTAGCCTTACAGCATCGCATCGATTTGCCTCGTAGGGCTGCCCCCGAGCTATTCGACCACATAAAAGATGATCCTCACGCAGTGCGCCGTCTGCGCCACCGAGCTTGGGCTAACCTTGGGCAAGAAATGCGGCCGCTGCAGCACGCGCTACTGTGGGCCCGAATGCCAGGTGCAGCACTGGAAAGAAGGCGGGCACGACAAGCTCTGCAAATTGATAAAGAAAGCAGGCGGCGCTGAGCGATACTACGCAAATAACAAGTACGCGGAGGCCGTATCTGTCGCGGCGGAGGCGTGCGCGGAGGACACCAAGGGCCAGACGTGCTACATCTGCACGCAGGCCTTGCATTGGAAGACGAAAGAGGGCCTCGTGCGCATGTGCGCGTGCCGCGGGACGGCGGGTTTCGCACACGTGTCGTGTCTAGCGGAGCAGGCTAAGATTTTGTGGGCCGAGGCTGAGGAGAACAATTTGGGCTTCAAGGTGATGACTGAGAGATGGGAGCGGTGGCACACGTGCAGCCTGTGCGAGCAACGGTACCACGGCGTCGTGGCGTGCGCGCTCGGGTGGGCGTGCTGGAAGACTTATGTGGGCCGGCCGGAGACGGGCATGGCTCGGAGCTTGGCGATGAGCCTGCTTGGGAACGGTTTATCCAATGCAGGACACGACGAGGACGCGTTGTCCGTGAGAGAGGCCGATTTGGTCATGCGGCTGCGAATTGGCGCACCAGAACGGTGCCTACTCCTCGCGCAGAGCAATCTTGCAAACACGTATCAAAGACTCGGACGGCTCGATGACGCCCTACGCCTGCGGCAAGACGCATACTTTGGAACTCTGAGGCTCGACGGCGAGGAAAGTAGAAATACTTTCTTGGAAGCCAACAACTACGCGGCAGACCTTCGCTGTCTGGAGCGCTTCGAAGAAGTGAAGAGACTGCTGCGCAGATTGATGCCCGTGGCGCGGCGCGTTCTTGGAGATAATGATAGACTTACGCTCAAAATGAGCTGGAATTACGCGACGGCGCTCTACATGGACGATGGAGCCACGGTCGATGATCTCCGCGAGGCCGTGACGACGCTCGAGGACACGGACCGGATCGCGCGGCGCGTGATGGGTGGCGGGCACCCGCTCACACTTGATATTCAGGATTGCTTGCGAAACGTACGAGCCACGCTCGCCGCCCGCGAGGCGCCACTGGGGAGCGCGTAAGCCTGTTACCCCGCCCAGACTAGTATACAAGTGAGTAAGCCAGTTCACCGTACGCCATCGCGGCGGTAAAGTTATATGTAAGGAACCGTTAGACGAAGGGGAACAGGGAATCTACACGGTCGCCGCGCCGGCGAGGAACTTCTCGGACGACGTGTGCTCCAAAACCATCTGCTGGAACTCGCCCGCGTCGACCGTCTCCTTGTCCACCAACCGGTCGACGAGCACCTGCATGAGCTCCTTGTTATCGGACAACGTCTTGTAGCAGTGGTCGTACGCCTGTTGGACCAGTTTCTTGGTCTCCTCGTCGATCAACCGCTCGGTCGTGTCCGACGCCGTCTGGGGCGCGCCCATCTGGCCGCCGCCGTCGGGCGTCTCCCAGGCGACGGGCGCGCGGAGCGCGTTGCCGTTGCCGCGGTTCGCCTCGTCCGCGAGGAAGCCCCACTGCGCGATCATGCGGCGCGCGAGGTCGCGGACCTGTTGCAGGTCGTTGGACGCGCCCGTCGTGACGTCCTCCCGTCCCACGGCCAACTCCTCGGCGACGCGGCCGCCCAGAGCCACCGAGAGCTGGCTCTTGAGGAACTTGTAGCTGTACAGGCCCGACTCCATGCGGTCCTCGGACGGCGTGAAAAGCGTGAAGCCGCCGGCGCCGTTCGTGCGGGGAATAATGGTCACCTTGGCGACGCCGTCGTAGCCCGGCGTGAGCGCCGCCATGACCGCGTGGCCCGCCTCGTGCCACGCGACCAATTCCTGGCGCTTGCGCGCCGCGTCCTTGTTCTGGAAGCCCTGGGTCGACGGCTTCTGCATGCCGACTTGCAGGCGGTCGATGGCGAAGTCGATCTCGTCAAAAGTGATGACCTCCTTCTCGCGGCGCGCGGCGACGATGGCCGCCTCGTTCATGAGGTTCTGGAGGGACGCGCCGGAGAAGCCGATGGCCCGGGAGGCGATCGCATCTAAGTCCACGTCCGGGGCGAGCGGCTTGTCGCGGCAGTGGACCTTGAGGATCTCAACCCTTCCAGCCTTGTCCGGGAGGTCCACGGGGACGCGGCGGTCGAAGCGGCCCGGTCTCAACAAGGCGTTGTCGAGGATGTCGGCGCGGTTCGTGGCCGCGATGACGATCACGCCCGTGTTCCCCGAGAAGCCGTCCATCTCCGTCAGGATCTGGTTGAGAGTCTGTTCCCGCTCGTCGTTGGACGCGAAGCCACCTCCCGACGATCTTTGCCGGCCAATGGCGTCGATCTCGTCGATGAAGATGATGCACGGCGCGTTCTTCTTCGCGTCAGCAAACAAGCTTCTGATACGAGATGCGCCGACGCCGACGAACATCTCGACGAACTCGGAACCGGAGCAGGAGATGAAGGGCACGCCGGCCTCGCCCGCGACCGCGCGCGCGAGTAAGGTCTTACCGGTACCCGGGGGACCCTCGAGCATCACGCCTCTGGGAGACTGGGCGCCCACTTTATCATACTTCTCGGGGTTCGACAGGAAGTCCACGACCTCCTCGAGCTCGAGTTTGGACGCGTCGCAGCCGGCGACGTCGTCGAACGTGACGCCCGTCTGGGGCTCCATCTCGATCTTGCTCTTGGGCTGGAGCATGCCCATGGGCCCGCCGGGGCCGCCCATGCCGCCCATGCCGCCCATGCCGCCGCCCCGTCGGCCGAGGAAGAAGAGGCCTCCGAGCAGCACCAAGGGGAAGAGGAGGTTGGCGGCTAATCCAGCGAGGGCGTCGCCGTCGCCCGTCGGCGCGGCCTGGACCGCGAAGGGCACGGACTTGGCCCGTAATTGCGTCACGAGTTCGGGCACCTCCGTCGGGAGGATTTCTACGGAGTGTCTGGCGCCGTCGGCGTCCAGCGCGAGTAAATTCTTGGAGTCGGCGGAGAAGACGACGCGCTCGACGCCGTCCTTGCCGACCACATCCAAAAATTCGGAGACGGCCCACCTGGACCCTTCGGCGGCGAAGGCCGCTTTACTGGAAGCGAGGGCGGCGCCGGCGGCCAGCGAGGCGCCGAACGCGCGGCGGCCCTGCATCGACATGGCTACCGTGTTGGCCCGCGGGCCGTTGGCCCGCGGGCCGCTGCGGCGGGCCGTCGTGGGCAGCTGCATCGAAAAGGCCGCCACCTCATTGCCTAGGAGGAGCGCGGCTAGCGCGAGGGAGCGCGAAGTTTTCGGCATCGTGGTTTGCGTGTTTTCGCGCGCGCGCTTGCAAAAAGCGGTGCGCGTAGGCGTGAGGGATGTGTAGAGCAGCTTTTGCACAGCGTGGTATCCTTGCTGCTGTTCAGGTGGCGGTGTATGACCTAAATGAGCTGTCTGCGGTGGCAACACGAGCTTAAGGTGCGGGGTTACCACGATAACTTGACCCCCCATTTTCCCCGTCCAAAACACCGTCAGCATGGTCGCACTTGCTGCTTGTACAAGTAGAACGGCAGAAAATAGCCATGCGCGAACTTGACGTCCCCGCGTCGCGCCCCGCGTTTCATGCCCCAGGACACGTCCTCGCCCTGCGCTACTTCCCGGAGACATCCCGCAGACGACTCCTGGCGCGTCGGGAGCGTTTCGCGGGGGGCAAGCGCGGAGCTCATTTTTGCCAAGGTCTGCCGTGTCCAAATTGGAGCTACTCAAACGCGGCAATAATTGACATGATGGGAACAGAAATTCGGCAGCAGGACCGCTGATTACAGCTTACGCGATGTGTGAAGCGATAGCAGCCAACAGCAACGCTACGCCGAGCACGACTCAAACAATGGATGCAGCCGGCGCCAGCACTGCCACACTGCTCGAGGACTACGATGCCGCAAACGTGCGACCGTGGCCGCACCAGCTCGACGCCATCCGCGCCATCCAACAAACGAAGAGCCAGCGCTGCCTCGTCCAGCACGCGGCCGGCTCCGGCAAGTCGCTGACCATCGCGGGACTCGCGTCGTCGCTCGCGGACGACGGCTTCCGGGTCGTCGTGATCTGTGATAGACGCCAGCTCGATGCGCAGATCTACGCGACGGTGCGGCGCGTGTGTCAGAGGCGCCACAGCGTCGGACGCGCTGCATCGGTCGCGGACCTCGCGACGGCGACGGCGACGGTGCTCTGCACGACGCTCCAGAAGGTGAGTCGCGTTTCTCAATCGCAACGCTCCACAAAGAAGACCGCCGTCCTCGTCGACGAGTGCCACCGGTCCTACGCTGATGAACAGGTGTGGCGGCGGCTCGACGAGGCGCTCGGCGCGCCCTCTCTGATCGTCAGGTTCCGTGCGCAAATCAGATTTGACACGTCTGCTCGATGGCGTGACGGTGTTGATTGCACGCAGGTGGGCTTCACGGCGACGCCCGAAGACCGCGAGTTGGCGACGCTCGGCAACCCACTCCATTGCTTCCCGCTCTCGTCCGCGATCCAGCACGGCTTCGTGCTCGACGTGCTCAGGGACTTCCGGGCGCCGCGGCTGCCCGTCACTGTGTTAGATGCGGTGTCGAAGCGGCCTGTGGACGACGCGCGCCTGCGGCGCCTCGCCCTCGAGACGGCACAGGTCGTCCAAGCAAAAGCTTCGCACGCTGCCTTGGAAATCAGAGCCGTCCAGCGGACGTGGCCGCGCGCCCGTGCCATGGTCATCTGTAGATCGAGAAGGGCCGTCGCGACCTGGACCCGTTCGTTGAGACGCCTCGAGCTGCGGACGTACGGCGCGTTTTCCGGCGCCTTGAGCGACGGTCTCGACGAGTCCAAGCTCAACCCCTTATTGGCGTTGAACGAGGCCGAGGTCGTGGTGGTCTGCGGGAAACTGGAGGCTGGCTACGACGACCCTTTACTGGCTTGTTTGATCGTTGACCGCCACGTCAGCTCGCCGGCGCGCCTCGTCCAAATTTATTCAAGGGTGAACCGGGCGTCACCAAACAAGCCACCGCCGCGCGTGGTGGATTTCGCGAACGGCGCCGACTTCGTGGCGTTCGCGTTCCGGCGGTTCTGGCGCGAGCGCAAATTGGATGAGCGGGACCGGTCGCGGCTCGGCGCCGCGGCGTTCCGCGCGCTCTCGTATATTGACGCCGCCGGCGCCGCGAATTTGGACACCTCAAACGCCGCGTCGCGCGTCGCCACGGTGCTCGGCGCGGACGCGGCGGCGGCTCTTGGAGCGGATGCCGCGATCGTCGCGGCGTCGAGGGACGAGGCCTGCCCCGAGTTCCCGGCGGCGTACGCGCGGCAAATTACCGCCGCGATCGGCGAAGCGAAGGACGACGACGCCGACGCGGCGACGACGTTTAAAGCCGCGAACGTGGCCGTCACCGTCGGCGCCGTCGTCGACGGCGGGAACACGACGCTCGCCGTCGAGGCGGTCGCTTGCCTACCGACGCACGGCGGCGCCGGTCCGTCGTTGCGGCCCGGCGAGTCGCTCGCGGACCTCACCCGGAGAGCGGCGCGCGGCCACCTCGCGTCCGTATTAGCGAGCGTGACGTCGGCCCTCGCGGCCGCGCCCGACGCGGCTTCGAGGCTCGCGGCGTTGCGTCGATTGGACCGCCTCGCCGTCGACGATGCCGCGGCGATCGCAAGTTCGGGCGTCGGGCGCGCGGCGGCGGCGCTCAAAAAATCTCCGGATCCTGATGTAGCCGCGCTGGCGCGCCGGGTGGTTTCCGAGGCGAAGAAGCGCGTCGCCGCGGCGTTGCCGCCAGACGCGACGCCCAAGCTCGTGGCCTTGGGCCTGCCGCAAGATATTGCCGCCGCCGTCGCGGCCGCCGCCCGAAACAAGCCCGCGGCGGAGGTCCGAGCTCTCATTGCCGATCTCAAACGCAACGACGCGTTGCGAGGCCGCGTCGCGACGGGCGCACTCTCCGCGGCTTCGCTGGTAGCGATGGGCGCCGACGACCGATGCCGCGAGGACCGGAAACGCAAGGCGCCGCCGCCCGTCGTCGAGGAGGAGATCCTCGCCGAGGGCTACGTGTGCGAGACGTGCGGCTCGACGCGGATCACGTGCGCCACGGAGTCGCGGCCGACAACCTCATACGGCACGTCCGAGTTCCGGCAGATCCTGTTCCTCGACTGTCTCGACTGTGGAAGGTCTTGGCAAGAAGACTAGTATGTGATAAAATTGTTAGAACATGCGCTTTGCCCGCGCGGCCCGTTCGGCCTCGGCCTTCGCGGCCGCCTCCGCGGCCCGCTGCCGCGCGATTTGCTTCTCGCGCTCGGCCTTTTCCCGTGCTACTTTCATCTCGGCGGTCTCCTCGGCGAAGTAGCCGCGCATCTCCTCGAGCTGGAGCTTCTGGGCCTCCTCGAGGGCCCGGATGGCGCTCTCCTTCTCTCGGCGGAGTTCCTGCTCCAGGACGTCCGTTCGGACTTTCAAAGTTGTTTCGTATTCCTTTTTGAGGGCGTCCGTGCGCGCCTCGAACTGCGCGTCGGCCTCGAAGAAGTCGCTTTCGACCTTCTGGACGCGCGCTTCTAGTTCTTCAGCTTTCGCGACGGCCTCGTCGCGCGTGGTTTTCATTTCTTTCCGCTCCTCGCGGTTGAATAAGCGCATCGCAGCGGCGCCGAGCGCCGCGGCCGCCACCACAATCCCGGCCTGGGCCAGCGTGAATCCTGTGGATGCCAAGAGGGACGCGTCGGCGCCCGCGACGGCGGCCGCGATGGCGGACGCGGCCTTGTCGGCGTACGCCTGCACGGCGACGGAGGCCTCCTCCGGGGCAAGACGTCGTGTCGTGGGTAGGCGTCGTTTTTGCGGCGGCTGGAAGGCGTGCGTGGTGCAGAGTAGCGTGGCCGGGAGCACGAGCAAGCTTGCGAGCATGGTCGGCGGCTGGTTTTGAGTCGGTGGCTGCCGATCGACGCGGTCGTCGCGCGCGTAGCTGAGAGCAAAGCTTGTTTGAAACTTGGGGGGTGACACCTAGCAAAAGCTCTTGTTTCACAGCGGCTGCAGAACAGGAGCTCCGAGACGAAATGACGAATGGATGGCGCGTAGCTGCACACTCGTTTGTTTTAAGGCGGCTGCTTGACAGGAGATTGGACAGTGCTTGCTAGTGTCTTACAGCCGCTAGCAGAATTCTCAATTACACGTCGATTCGCCAGGGCGGAAGGATCGCTCCGAACAGGTCGAAGCCGCGGAGATGGAAGCACCTCGCGCTGTATCGCTCGCTGGCCGCCAGCCGTATCCGAAATCGAGAGGAGCCGAAGGAGGCGTCGACGGGGATATTAACGGCACGTCGTAGTAAAAAAGCTGCTGTACTGCGAGCCCACGGGCTCTCGTCGCAGTAATAGAGCTCGCGCCACTCTTCCCGCTCGGCATCGAACGCCTCAAACGTCCAATCCTGAAATTTGTGAAAATAGCAGCTCCCGAATGCTAGGCGAAAGCTTCTGACTCGCAACGCAAAAGGCAGTTGATACTCCACGTAAGAGCCAGCAACGATAGAGCACTCTGTGAAAAACGACAAATCCACATCGGAAACTGAATCGACGACAGCAGACTCGAAACATAACAGACTGTCTCTTTGAGGTCGCGAGGCGCCGCCAGCGCGCATCCGAAGCGAATTTATTTGGAGCGCCGCTGGCGGCGCCGCTGCGACCTTCCAGGCGGTACGGGTATGGGGACCAGTTGAATCAAAACGAACTTGTCTGGTGGGCCGCACGCGCGTCCCGCAGGCCGTCGCCAGGAAATGTACGACGCCGTGCCTATCGCCGCGCAACACGTAGCGATCCGAGAAACGCGTCCGCGCGAGCGCCGTCGACGTTGCGAGGGCGCGGACGTGCTTGGCGGTCGCTCCGACCGATCGACGGCATTCTGAAACAGACAGGAAGGACAGCGCCGCGCGTAGCGGGTCGTCGCCTAGGGCTGTCAAAGACTTGGGGGCATTCAGCTGAATCAGCTCGCCTGCCTTGGCCATATCTGACCCTGGCTCTTCGCCGAGGGGTTTGGGCCGATGCGTGGGAATGCCTGGAACTCGCGCAAGGCCACACAGGTTACGATTACACTATATATACACACACGCGCCCCCCCGATAAAAAAAAAGCGGACCAAAACGGGTTTTTCAGGACGCATCGGATAAAATAAACACCACTTACCCGCCCCCCTCCTCCGGTGAAGAAGACTTCTGCGCCCGCAGCCGCTCGATCAGCGTCGCGCGCGCGTCCAGGCCCCGCTTGACCCGCGACTCCAGGCCGCGCGCCTCGCACAGCCGCCGCAGCTCCGCCACTTTGAGAGCGGAGAACTCGTCGCGGTCGTCTTCACTCACGACCTCGACCTTGGACGCCTTCCGCGCGCTCTTGACGATGGCCGCCAAACCGGTTTTGAGGTAGTTTTGCCGCGCCTTCTCGTCCGGGAGTCGAGCCCAGTCAAAATACGGGACATGTAAGACCCGCCACCCCAGAGCGCGCAACAAGCGGACCTTGAAATTCGTCCGCCCCGTCGGTAACCTCTTCTCATTCCGGAAGTAGTGCCGAGGGCCGTCGAATTCCACGGCGACGCGCCACCTCAAAGGCTTCAGCGCGACGTCGACGCTCAGACCGTCGGGAATCACGAACTCGTGGACGACCTCCAACCCGAGCGCTTCCAACGACTGCGCGACCTCGTCCTGGGCTCTAGATGGAGACGCGTCGGCCTCCGCTAAAGAACGCCGCAATAACCCGGTAAAGCCGGCCGGCGCGCGCGCGATGTCCGTAACGAGCCCGTCCATGTTCGTGCCGCGCCCCGAGTTTCTCGCATGCAAGACAACTTGCTGGAGCTGCCGCAGCTCCTCGATCGTGAAGCACTGGGTGGCGTCGTCGGCCGCGACCTCGACGACCGCGTTCCAGAGCTTTCTTAGTAAAGCGCCATCGACGTGGTCGGCGCAGGCGTAGGCCCACGCTAGGTTTGAAAGCTCCTGCGGCGTGAAGCCCGCCCTCGTCAGGTCGCCGCCGCTCTTGGCGCCGAGCACGAGCGTCATCGTGGCCAGCGAGTCGAACAACTGCTTCGAGCCCTCCGCGTTCTTCGCGAAGGCCCAGGCCGTGTTCGCGATCTCCTGGGGGTTGAAGCGCGCGGCGCGGTTCTGCTTGGCGATCTCGGACGCCATCGCGTCGAAGAGCTCCGAGGACGAGAGCTCGGCGGTCGAGAATGCCCAGGCTAAATTCGAGAAGCCCTGGGGCTGGAACTCGGCCACGCGCGGCGCCGCTTCGCTCGCGACGGCGCCGAAGAGTTTCTCGTGCCGTTGGGCCTCGCCGGCGGCGGCGAACGCCCAAGCAATATTCGATAACCCTTGATCGGAGAAGCGGTCCAATCGTTTATAGGCCGCGCGCGCGATGTTGTCGAAGAGCTGCCTTTGTATTTTGGCGTCAACAAAGTCATCTCTGCTACAGGTGGCGAAGGCCCAGGCCGTGTTCGCCTATGTGTATGTAGTGAGAGTGCTTTGCATTAACGGGACACGTACCAGTTCTTGAGGTTTAAATTCGTCCGCGCGCCGCGCCGCTTCGCGCGCGACGGCATCCAATAAACGAGGCGCCCGGTGCGACGCCGTCGCGAAGGCCCAAGCCGTATTGGCTGTGTGGAAATCAAATTTTGGATGCCCCGCCATCGACGCGACGTCGTCCCCGTAACTGCATCTGCTCGATGGCGAGGTAACTAACTCACTGTTTGATTTCCACACAGCTAGGCGCCCAGGTTCTGGGCGATGAAGCGCTCGACGCGGCCCTCGGCGCTCGCCGCGATGGCGTCGAACAATTCTGGAGCCGCGATGGACGCCGTCGCGTACGCCCAGGCCTGCGCGGTTGACATGTAAGCGTTCCTTCCAACTAAATAACGTACCGTGTTGCCCAGCTCCTGGGCGTTGAACTCGTCGACGCGCTTTGACGCGGCGTCCGCGAGCTCCGAAAATAATTCCTTCCGGACGGCGGGCGTGCCGTCTCCACTTTTAGCGTAGGACCACAGACAGTTCGCGATGTTCTGCGTCTGCGCCTGCTCGGGGTCGCGCATGAGCGGCACGGCGGCTCTTGCAGCCGTATCCCAGAATTCGTCCGAGGCCTCGAAGCCGGCGGTCGCGACGGCCCAGACGGCGTTCGCCAGCTCTTGAGCTTTAAAGTCGCCGTCGGGGAAGCGCAGGATGCACTCCTCGCTCCAGGCCTCGAACATCGTGCGCGAGGCTTCCGCGCAGGCGACGTCGTCCGGCGCGTTGGTGTTGGGTACGCCGGCGGCGCCCGTTCCGAGTCTCTTCGCGAAGGCCCAGGCGACCTGCGTGGACGCCGACGGGTGACGCTGTGACCTCCACGCCATCGACGCGACGCCAGCTCGCTCGATTCCGTGGGAAGATCTGATTTCCGCGCAGGTCGCACGTTCGCCAATTCCTGGGCGGAGAACTGGGCCAGACGCGGCGTCGCCGACGTCGCGAGCGACGCGTACAGTCTAGGGGCGTCCAGGTCGGCCGTCGCGAAGGACCACGCAACATTGGCGAGCTCCTGGGCCTTGAAGTCGTCCGGCCGCGTCTCCGCGAGGTCGCCGATCTTCCTAAGCAAGGAAGCACAGGCAGCTTTAAGAGCTTCCTCGATATCAGAGCCCTGGACCGCCCTTCTTTCGCGAGGATTCGCGTACTTCCGGGGCTGCAACAACTTCGCGGCGCCCCAGGCCGCGTTCGCGAGCGCCCGCGCGTCCCAGCCGTCGGGGTTCGCGTCGAGCTGGTTCGACGCCGCGAGGATGAGCTCCGCCAGGTTCCGCGCGTCCTGCGAGTCCACGGCGTAGCCGCCCCGCGGCTGCTTCTTCGCGAGCCAATTTAAGGCCGTCGCGTAGTTCACCTCGCAGAAGTCCTTTTTTCTCGTATTGAAGAGCCGAAAGATGTCCTCGTGGGACCCGTCGCGGTTCGCGATCTGGCGGTTGAGCTTAATGGCCTGGGGGTTCCAGGACCGGCGCTCCGGTTCGCGTTCGGGCTCTCGTCGCTTGTGTAAACGCTTCGGGCGCTGCTGGCGCTGCTGTTGCGCGCGGAGCGCGAGCGGGACCCGCGTGCAGACCGGGTGGTAGAACGAGTCGAGCGGTGCGACCAGCAGCGCTAGGAGTAGCGCGCGGCAGCCCATGGCCAGCCGGTCTACGGGGTAGCGCTCGCGCTGGCCCGGTGACTGCAACTGCAGGCCAGAGCTAATTGCTCCAGAGGTACGGTAGCGTGCGGTTTGGTTGAGCGTACGCGAGTAGTGCGACAAGGGGTGCTTCTGAAGACTCTTACTGCCGCGTTGGTCTGCTGCCAGAGCCACGCAGCGCCTGCAACGCGCCGGCGCCGCAGGCTGGCTAGCGGCATGTAAGACACTAGCGCACCCTAACAAAATCGTCTGCCAGGCCGCTCTGGCCATCCAACGGCCGCGCCTGGCTGTCGACCTGCGCTTTTGCACTGTCGAAGCCGTCTTGCTGCGCTGTATCGGTTTTCCCGCTTGTTTGAACACTGCGCCCCAGCGGTGCACAAGGCGCCTCCAAGATGGTCGTACCGCGGGAAGTAATGGACGCTGCGGAGGCTGGCAATATCACAGTAGTGCGCGAGTGGCTCGAGAGCGGTGGCGACGCGAATGACAGGAGCCAAAACGGCAGCAATGCGCTACTCGCGGATGTTTGTGGGGCAGGCGGGCAAGGCGAGATCTCAGAGGCTCACCTCGACGTGGTGCGTCTGCTAATAGCACGCGGTGCAGACGTCAATGGTGCCGAATCGAATGGGTTCGGCCCCCTACATTGTTGTACCGTTTATCCAGAGCACAGCTGGTACGGGCCCATAATAGGGCTCATCCTAGAGGCCGGCGCCAATGTGCATGCGAAGACTGGCGATGGAGAAACTCCCTTGGGTGTGACGTTGGCCTGCTCAATTTGGAACGGAACGGACACGGCGAGTTCGTGTCTAGACGTAGTTACCAGATTGCTTCGAGCCGGGGCGGGGCTGGACGCAATCCAACGCGATAGAAGTGCTGAAGATATGCTGCGTAGCGAGGAAGCGCATAATTCCAGATTGTTCCCTGACTTCTACGTCTGCAAAACTCTCATATCAGACTATCGAGCGGCCGGACAAACCTGGAAGGGCTACGTTCGAGCGCTACCCAAGGAGCTGCTCCGCCTCCGGTCGCTCGTCGCGCGCGGCCGCGCACGAGAGAAAGTGCGGACGCGCACGAAGACGCCGCGCGAGATCGCGCTCCTCTTCGCGCCGGCGTTTCCGAACGAGCTCTTCTGGAAGGTCTCTGAGTACTGGAACCCGCGCTCCTAGCTGTGTAAGGTGATGTGTTATCTATGCGCCGGAAGGCTCCCCCGCAGCGACACCCGCTCGTGCATATCAGCCGTGGACGGGACCCGGAAGAGGCGGTCCAGGTCCGCCGCCGAGGCGCGTTGGTTGGCGCCCATCAGTCGCGTCGCCTGCTCGTGCGACGCGCCCACGTCCAGCTCCTCGAACATGGACTGGGCCTGGTGCCGCGACAGGTAGCCGTCCGTGCCGTATTCCGCGACGAGCTCTTTGGACGTCTTCCGCCCGCAGAGCGCCCGCGTCACGACGGCGAAGCGGTTGCCCTGCGTCCGCGTAGACGGGACGTGGTTTAATACAGGCGGTGCGAAGGGCTCGGCGATGACCGTCGGCGGCTTGGACATGTGCGGCTGCTCCGAGTCGAACATGACGAGCCGGGCGGGCTTCGGCAGGACCGGCAAAAGCAATTCCGCGTCCTCGCCGCCGCCCGAGTCGCTCAGGAACACGGTCTCGCCGCCCCAGTGGGGATGCCACCGCTCGTGGGGATACCATATTGCTGTAACACTGAATGCGTCGCCGTCGTGATTCCGGTCCTCGTGGGCCTCGTCGACGTCCGCGAAGTTCTGCGCGTAGACCGTGCAACGGGTTGCCCAGATGGGTCGTAATGGGGAACATTGATCAAAAAAGTGGGGCGCGATGGCCCGCACCGCATCGAGCCCAGCGCCGGCGCCGCACTCCGTATAAGGTAAATCTTTCGCCATGGCGTTGCCTTCGACGGACGCGTCCGAGGCCTTCTCGCGGCTCCAGCCGGACTCGGCGCGCGAGCCCGTCAGTTTCACGTACGTGTCGGCGACGTGCGCTCTGGCTTTCTCGCTGATGGCGCCGTCGACCACGACAATCCTCCGCCCGTCGATGGAATGCGCCACCGAGGCCACGTCGGACTCGTGCGCGTCCGGCGGGCGCGAGGCGATCTTCCGCGCGAGCGCCGACGCGCCGTCGGCGCCGAAGACCAAGGCGAAGGGATGTGGCGCGAGGCGTGGGTATCGGCGCCGGAAGACCTGGTCGCCCGTTGTGAGTAAAAGTGTCATGAATACCGTGAGCCAGAGCAGCGTTACGAGGGCGCCGATGCCAAGTGACCACAGAATGCACGTGTCGCGGCGGCGGCGGGACCAGCGCGGGTCGCGCTCGTGGCCCTTCATTGGTTATTTTTGTGCTCTCTCGCGTTCGCGTCGACGGCGTCGAGGCGTGCAATTTCGTACGCTTAATTATCGCCTCGGCGCGCGTCCAAAACAGCTTGGTGGTGCTTTTGGCTGAATTTTTGACGAGTGGTCCGACCGTCTCTAGCTTGCGAATTAAAAGTAGGCGAAGTAGATCGCTTTGATCTATATCGCCTAGCTCGTGCGCGTGTAGCGTGGGAGATAAGCATTAAGTATATATTATATAGGTACCTGGTACCATATACATAAGTACCTAGGTAGCCAAGCCGGCGCTCGTGCAGGCGCTCCGAGAGCTGCTGCCACGCCAAGCATCAGAGCAATGCGTTACCAGCATTTCGTTCTCGCCTGCACACTGCTTCAGCAGGGCCAGCCATTTGCACCACCACTATGCGTCCGCAAGCAGTCAGCTGTGCTGAGAGCAAGCAGTGCAGATGACAATACGGATGAAAATGATGCCGACGAGGCCGCACGAATCGCAGAAATGCGCAAACGCATGGAAGGCATGTTCTCGGGCGCCGAGGCGGAAGCTGCGCCGGCGACCGAGGATGCGCCCGCGCCAGCCGCCGCCCCAAAACCGCCGCGCCTCGGCCGTGGGACGCCACGATGGACGCCGCCGAAGCGGCGCGCCGTGACGAAGGCCCAGGACGCGGAGCCATTCACGCGACGGGAGGTCCGGGGCGGCCGCGACGTCGTCCAGGAGCGACGGCGGAACGACGACAACATCCCGGGCCTCGTCAATTTTGCCAGCGACCCGCGGACGTTCGCGGCCGGCGGGGCTATCGTCGCGCTGTCGTTCGTGCTCTACGTCTACGCGTTCCTCTCGGGGGGAATCAACGACGGTACGGCGCGCTACGCCGGCGACCCCGAGACGATGGGCAGCGGGTTCGACTTCTTCGCGTCGGAACCAGACGATCGACCGGGCGAGCGCGTGTGGATTTAAGATTAACTTACAACGCTCCGCGAAAACAGGTAGTGGATGTCCGGGTTCAGGCCGAGGGCCGTCCCGAACTGGCGCAGGTCCCGGTCGACCTTGACTCTCGCGAAGTTTTGGGCCTCGTAGAACGCGATGGCCGCGTCGTTGTCGTCCTCGACGTGCAGGATCACTTGCGCGAGGCCCTCGCGCTTCGCGTGCGCGTCGACGGCCTCTAACAAGGAAGACGCGACGCCCCGCCGCCTTAAAGCAGGATGCACGGCCAGCGCCGTCAAATATAGAGCGTAGTCCGGCGCGAGCGAGTGCGTGGGTAAATCGAACTCATGTCTAGAAACATCACAGACCCCCACAATCCGACAATCGTCCAGCGACTCGTCCAGCGTCGCGCCGGGCTCACTCTTAAAGAAGGACTGGAACAGTTTCATCGGCTGGCTCGTCTCGAGGCCCGGATGCCACCCATCGCCCTCTGTTTCTTCCTCGAGGCACGCCGCGTCTTCACCGGAGGCGAGTGCACAAAGTAATGTAGAGCCGCGCGCGACGCGGTCCTCCACGAGTTTGTGGACGGCCTGGGCCCGCGCGGGCGAGGCCGTCCGGCCGTCGCTCGAGAAGGCGGCTGCTCTGAAGCGCGCGACTCTTAGTAATTCGTCGGGCGCGGCTTGTCTGACTACTATGACGGCTCCTGCGGTCGCGGCGCAGAGCAGGATGGCTCGCATGGCTGTCGTCGGCTAGCGTATATGCTGCAGCGTGGGTGCTGCTGCTGCTGCGCTGCGCTGCTGCTGCGCTGCTACTCTAGCAGCTTAGGAGGTACCACAGATGGACTGAGCTGCAGCGCTGCTACGGAGGGTTACTGTATATCCCAGAACGACGCCGCGTAGCTGCCAGTGCAGCTTATAGGGCGTGTGCGGGACGCGGCCCTTTAGGGATAGCGTTAATTGACACACTAGAGCCTCGGCGCCGCGCGCATCCACGCCGGATTACTCACCTGTGCGCTGCATTCAGTGGACGCCAGCCAGTCGTTCAATCATTATTTCACAGCAGCTTTCCATCGCCAAGGTTGCTTTAGCATTGCGCGCGCCTGGACACGCCACTGAGAGCCCAGCATCCTTTCGGCCTCTACACGGCGCGCGGGCGTAGAGCGCAATGTCGGACGCCATGTCGAGAGCGCGAGAAATCGCCGCGAAGCTACGGGGCGGCTTCAGCGACACGGGCCCGCCGCCCGAGAAGCGGCGCCGCGGCGGCTTCTCTGACGGACCCCCTGCGGGCAAGCCCCACCTCGCCGACATCGCCGCCGCCGCCGCCGCGGCGGTGCGAGAACGGCTGTCCGGCGGGCCGCCCCAGCCAAAACAATCGCAAGGCGACCACTACGGGCCAGGACGATCTACTCACATAGCGGAACCGGCAGTAGCCTTACCTACGGCCCAGAAATTTTTATTTACGGACGAGCCGGGCATGGAGTTCGAGCTGAAGGAGTTACATGTCGCTTTGGCCTGCTCAGCGCAACCCATCACTTCTACGAAAATCTTTACGCCCGAGGACGGCCTGACGAACTACATGGGCTTGGTCCTGGGCCCCAAAGGGAGCTCCTTAAAGCAAATGCAGGAGAAGTACCGCTGCAAGATTGTGGTTAGGGGCCGGGGCATCCAGCGAGGCGGCGCGTTCGACCCCGACCCTTCGCCCGACGACGACCTGCCGATGCATGTAAGCGTGACGGGCCCGCAAGACGCGGTCCAGTTCCTGGAGAAGGAGTACCACGCCATGTTCACGAATGCTGAGAAGAGAAGAGAAGTCAAGCAGCGGCAGATGGACACGATGGTCTCCGGAGAAACGGCTGGTACGCAATTAGCTTTGAGGGACGGGGCATTAGTCGTAGCATCATCATCCGGAGACAACTGGCGCGTCATCCCGTCGGCGCCGCGGCCGGGCGAGAAGACGTATGAAGCTAGAGTACCCAATGGCATGGTAGGGTTGGTGATTGGGAGAGGTGGGGAAAACATCAAGCGGCTCAATCTGGACTTTGGCGTGCGCGTGCAAGTCGCCAAAGAAGCGGAACCGAGGAAGACCCCGGATGCCGTCGAGACGCGAAGAATCGCGATAACAGGAACGCCGGAAGGTATTGACAGGGCGAAAAAGGACCTGTCCGAGATGATCAAAACCCGAAAGGCGAACGGCGGCTGGTCGACGGGCCCCTGCGCCAAGACGCTGGTCGTGGACAACTCCAAGATCGGTTTGATAATAGGCAAGGGTGGGTTGACCGTCAAAGGGATCCAGGAGCGGTCCGGTGCGAATGTGGCCATCCCGTCCGAGGCCGATACAGACAACCCTCTGAAAAGGACTTTGACCATCACGGGCCAGACCGACGAGGCCGTGCGGGAGGCCTCGGTCGAGATCGAGAACATGCTGCGGAACCACGACCTCTCGAACGGCTTCGACGCGTCCGATAGTCTGTGGGGGCCGCCGACGCCGGTACCCGTGCCCGAGGGCTGTGTCGGTCTCATCATCGGGAAGGGTGGAGAAACGATTCAAAGGCTCCAGCAGGGCACGGGCGCGAAGATCCAAATTCCCAACGACCCGCAGCCCGGTTCCGACCCGCCGATGCGCGTGATCCTCGTCGCGGGCTTGCCGCAGCAGCGCCAGAACGCCTACTACGAGATCCAACTCTTGGTGGAGCAGCACAACCAGCGGAACCCGCAGTACCTCGGAAGTAGCGCGATGGTCGACCCCTACGCCGAGTCGCAGATGCTCGCGCCGGACGCCTACTACCAGGACTTCTGGAACTACGCGGGCTGGTACGGCGAAGAAGCGGCTCGACAAACATACGGCGCCTACGCGCCGCCGGTAGGCTCGCAGCCGCCGGCCGCGGAGCCCGCGGTGCCCGGCGTCGAGCCCGCCGCGCCGGGCGTCGCCGCGCCGGCGCCGGCCGCGGCCGCCGGCGCGCAGACTTATGGGGCTGCGCCGCTGACCTACGCGCCGGACTACGCCGCGGCGCCGCCGGGCGTGACGCCTCCTGCAGCGCCGCCGGCGCCCGCGGCGGGCGTCATGGCAGGGTTCGTCGCCGCGACGTCGCCGGCGGCGCCCGCCGGTCGCGGCCGCGGCGTCTCGAACCTGCCGGCCTGGATGACGAACGCGGAAGCGCCTGCACCGGCAGCAGATCCCGCGGCCGACGCGCTCGCCGCGGCGCTCGCGACGCCGGGCGCGCCCGTGCCGCCGGCACCGGGTACTTAGGTTTAACATCACAGACACTTATCACAGTTCCCCGCCGCGGAGGTGTGTTTCAAGTGGCGCCCGCAGGACCTCAGCAGGCAGCCGCGCGTGGAACTCGTCGGCGAGGGCGCAGCCGTCTCCATCCCCACGGACGGCGGCGACGCCGCACGTGTCTCCAGCACGATGTCGAAGCAAAGCCGCCTCGACCTTTAGCAGGCCAAGCTCGAGCTGCCCCGCGTAGAAGAGCGTCGTGTAGAGCGGACCCTCCCTTAAAGATTGAAGCTTGGGATTGTCCTCCGCCACAAGAACAGTGACACCGCACGCTCTAGCTTCGAGCACCGCCCGTTCCCCACCCCCGCGCCAGTCGTCGGGGACGAGCACGTTTTTTGATGATGCGACCAGCGCCATCATGTCGATCCAAGATACGGCCTCGCGCACCTCGACGCCCGAGGCCTGTAACTTATCTATAGCTCGCTGGGCGATGTCGGAAATCGAGCCGCCGTTGTCCCGAATCTTGCCGATCGCCAGACGTCTCCCATTCAGCTGGGCCAGGGCCTCGGGCCGCTTGAAGCCGAGGTGGTCCCCGAAGGCGCCGACGAAGAGGTAGTCCCACGTCTCTTCCGTTGGTGTGCATGCTTCTCTCGCGCCGTCGGCATTAATCCCAAACGCTTGGACTAATCGTGGATGCTTCTCCCTCAAAAACGCGTCGAGGTACCAGTTTGTTTCTGGATACAACACATCATAGAACCGCGACAGTGCAACACCAGTAGGTGGGGGATAGCTCCCCGCGATCTGCAAGGATCTCGTAAGTGCACAAGCGCTACCGTCGTCCTCCCAGAGGTGCCTCCTGACAAACACGTCCACGACGTAGTCCCAGTTCGATTTTACAATAAGATGGTCGACCCTTCTCTGTAAAAAGTGGCACAGCTCTCCGGGATGCGCCGGGCGCGCCTTTTCTAGGGAGGCGACATTCAGCATCAGTACTTGACGCTTCGTCGCCCGCGTCCACGTCTCCAGGGCCCGTGCAAGGCCGAGGTCGGGCTGCTTCAGCGTGGGCGGCTGGTAATAAACGACCGCGACGCGGCCGAGGCCATTGCGTTTCGGAACGTCCCACGCCTCCACGGCGTCGTTCCACCTACACGAGATGCTATCAGATAGATGCTCGAGGCAGGTGCCGTTCGTGAAGGCTTGTCCTGTTGTGAGGTAGGCGAGGGGGAGCAGCCTCATTGCTCTCATCAGGCCCCAGTGGTGGTCGCGTCAATGCGTGACGCGTGGGCGCCGGCGACCGATGCTACTCTCGCGGCGCCGTCGCAGCGATATGGGCAGCCTCGACGGCGTCTTGTGGCTGCCAAAGCCATCAGCCTTTTTTGCTAGAGTGTTACAGGCCGCTAGGATTAAGTGCTCTCCGCATTTTTGGATCTGCAGCGCGCGCTTGTGGATTCTGCGCGCGACAGGCTGTGCTCGGTCGGAAAGTGCTTTTCACAGCGTTTTCACAGCGCGTACAGAACCTGTGCATCGCGATCCAGCGCTCTGCGCGCTCTATGGCCCTGGTGGATTCAGAAGGCATGAGGTCGCTGTGCCCCCACGGCAGCGATTGTGGCGGCGGCCGCTGCCTCGGAGAATGGCTGAATAAAAACGTAGCGTCGACGAGGCACCAGGAGGTGCTCGACGCCGCCGATTGCATCGACGACCTCGTGGTCGCGGACGACGAGGCGGAGATAACGGACACGCTCGGGCTCGATTCGTGGGCGCCCCTACCGCGGCGGCGATTCCTCAGGGCATGGCGGCAATTGAAGGACGAGTCGCAAGGTGACGCCCCACCGGCGGCCGCGGCGCCGGCCGCGCCGCCGGCCGTGGTGGCGCCCGCGGCGCCGCCGGTCGCCGTGGCGCCGGCCGTGGCGCCCGTGGTGCCGCCGATCGCTGCGGCGCCAGTCGTGGCGCCGGTCGCGCCGCCGGCAGCGCCGTTGGTCGCGCCGCCGGCCGCGCCGCCGCTCGTGGCGCCTGCAGCGCCGCTGGCCGCGCCGCCGCTCGTGGCGCCTGCCGCGCCGCCGGCCGTGACGCCGCTCGCGCCGGCCGTAGCGCCGGCCACTCCTCCGGTCGCCGTGGCGCCGACCGCGCCACCGGCCGTGGCACCGGCCGTGGCGCCCGCGCCGGCACCCCTGCGCGTGGCGGTGCAGGTGGGCACGAGCAAGTTGCCCTTGAAGGTGCCGCGGCAGGCGGGCGGCACGGTCGACGACCTGTGTCGCACGATCTCCCGCGCGATGCACCGCGGCGACGAACGGGTCGTATTGTCCTGCAACGGGTATGACTTGCACCCGACCTTTTCAATCGATCTGTTGGACACCGACAACGTCGACGACATCGTCGCGACCTTCGCGTCGGAGGCCGCGCCGCCGGCAGCAGCGCCGGTCGCCGCGCCGCCACCGGCCATGCAAGCGCCGCCTCGCGCGCCGCCGCCGCCGTTGCCGGCGGCCGTGCCGCCCGTCCGAGAGCTCGAAGAGGCGCCGCCGCCGCTGCCGCCTCCTGACGACGACGAGACGACGATGACGAGCCGCCGCTCGGACTCCGAGTCTGGCGCGGAGCAGGCGGTTCCGCCGGATCAGGCCGCGCAGGAGGCGCCGGTGTGGTTTCCGCCGGCGCCGTCGCCTCCGCCCTCACCACCCGCGGCGCCTCTGCCGCCCGCGGAGCCGCCCGTCGCCCAGACGCAGATCGCCGCGCAGTCGCCCGCCGCGCCGCCGCCGGCCACAGTCGCCACGCAGCCGCCAGCGCCGGCAAAGTCGCACGTCGCGTCTGCGGCGTCGCCGTGGGTCGACGTCTGCACGGATTTGTTGGCGGCGATCGAGAATCAGAAAGGCATCATGGGCTTCCGCAACCGGCTCGTGAAGGCCGGCTTCCGCTGCGGCCAGCCGATCGTGAAGTGTAGTAAAGGTGGTTACTACGAGATCTCCGTGCCGCTCACCTTCCCCTGCTGCTACGACGTCGCCGGCAAGGACTACGCGTCGAACCAGGACATGCTGCGGTCGAAGCCCCAGCTCGTCAAGTACTTCGAGGGCTGCATCGCCCTCGCGCAAGCTGGTGGAGCGTACCGCACGGAGGCCGACCGCGAAAAGGACGAGGGCGAGGACGCGCGGCGCGCCGCGCTGGAGAGCGACGACGACGACGCCCCGCACGCGCCGCCGCAGCCGATTGTGAGGGTGCCGCCGCCGCCGCGGAAGGCCACGGGCCAGGTCGAGGAGTTCAAGGTCGGTGACCGCGTCAAGGCGCTCTACCAGCGGGGACAGCGCTGGTACCCCGGCCGCGTCGTCGCCGTGAACGTACAGCATCGATCGCTCGGAGTGTGTGACCGCTCGTACGACATCGAATACGACGATGGCGATGAGGAGTCGAACGTGCGCCCGGCGCTCATGCGACGCATCAGGGCGCCCGCGGCCGCGCGACCGCCGGCTCTGCCCAAACCGCCGCGCCGGGCCGCGGGTGGCGCGGCGGCACGGCCGTTTCAACCGGAAGAGGACAGCGAGGGCAAGCCCGCGGCGCCCGCGCTGGCGCAGACGCCGGCGACGCCGCGGCCTGCGGCGCCCAAGAAGCGCCCGCGCTCCCTCGACCTGGGCCCCTGCCGACCGCGCTCCCAGGGGCCGAAGAGCCTCTTCGCGCCGCCGACCGGCCCGCGCCGCGCCATCAAGCGGGCCCGCGCCGAAGAGCCCGAGTTACTCTTCCGCGAAGGGGACTCGGTGTGGGCCCTCGAGCGCCCCGACATCAAGGAGGCCGCCCACGGGACGGTCGTCGAGGACGTCCCCGTCGGCGCGACGACGGGCCGCGTCAAGTGGGACAACCCGGCTTACCCCGAGGCGGAGCTGCCGATCGCGCAGATCGCCCCGGCGCGCTCCGGGCGCCGCTCGTCGCGCTGAGCGTTCCTCCATCCCCACCCTGTCTGTAACGACGTGAACACATAATGCAGATCTTGATTCTCGGCACGAACTCGCACAAAAAGGCTCGGGGCGCGTCCGCGCTAGCGGCCTGTAAGACACTAGCAAGATGCTCTGCCTTCAAGCTCTCCGAGTCGCACTGATGGCCATGCGACGCGAAAGCCGTGCAAAACCGATGCGCCAACTACGTCTCATCATTCATTGATCGCTGGGTTCAGTTGCTGCGGTTGCACTGCACAGCAGCACTGTGTTGCGCCATGCTGCTCCGTCGCGTCGTGACACGCACAGCGTCGCATCGATCACTCGCAACTTTGGACGCGGTGCACAACGTCGACGACTTCCAGCGGCTAGCGAAAGATGTGCTCGAGCGGCCGCTCTACGAGTACCTCGCGTCCGGCTCCGGCGACGAGGTCACGCTGCGGGAGAACCGCGCGGCCTTTGGCCGTTACGCGCTGCGGCCGCGCGCGCTGCGGCCGGTCGACGCGCTCTCGACGACCTGCGAGCTCTTCGGCAACGAGCTCGCGCTGCCCGTCTTCGCATCGCCCGCGGGCGTGCATTCGCTCGTCGACGACGAGGGTGAGTGCGCCACCGCGCGCGCGTGCGGCCGCGCCGGCGTGCTCTTTGGACTCAGCCAGCACGCGACTGTCTGCATCGAGGACGTCGCGGCAGCGGCGCCGGGCGCGCATCGCTGGTTCCAGAGCTATTTGTTGAAGGACCGCGCCGCGACGTTGGATTTGGTGCGGCGCGCCGTCGCCGCGGGGTATCGCGGGGTCTTCCTCACCGTCGACTCCGTGCGCTTCGGCTTCCGCGAGGTGGACGCGAGGAATAACTTCTGCGCGTTGCCGCCGCCGCTGACGCTCGCGAACTACGTCGCGACGCCGCCAGGGATTGGCGCGGCGGCCTGGGAGGCGCGCGAGCATCGCGCGTGGGACCAGAACTCCGAGGCGCTGTTCGACACCGCGGCCTCCTGGGACGCAGTTTCTTGGCTCCGCGAGGAGCTCGACCCGTCGATACCCTTAGTTGTCAAGGGCGTCATGACTGGCGAGGACGCCGCGCTCGCCGTGGCCCACGGCGCCGACGGCGTCTACGTGAGCACGCATGGCGGCCGCCAGCTCGACGAGACGCTCGGCGCGCTGGACGCGCTCCCGGAGGTCGCCGCGGCCGTACCGCCCGGCACGCCTGTGCTTCTGGACTCGGGCGTGCGCCGCGGCACGGACGTCGTGAAGGCCCTCGCTCTGGGCGCGACGGCGGTCGGCGTCGGCAAACCGCTCTTCTTTTCGCTCGCCGTCGGCGGCGAGCGAGGCGTCGACAAGTTGTTCGAGATCCTCGCGGAGGAAACACGCGTCGCGATGGCCTTGACGGGCTGCGCGTCGCTCGCCGACATATCGGCCGATGTTGTTTGTGCGAGATAACAATAACAAATTAGATGGCATACCCCCCCGTCTCCATGCCGCCCCCGGTCGCGGCCCCGAGCATCGACATCCCTTCGAGCACGTTCCGCCGGTCGCGCGTCGACTTGAGCTTGTTCCTTTCGGCCTTGGCGATGGCCTCGTGGTCCAGGAACTGCTCCTGCTCCGCCGCCAATAACTCCCGCCGCTCGAAATTTTTATCAGCTTCACGCACCGCGAAGATCAAATTCTGGATGATATGCGGTCCTCGCTTTCTCCTACTACCATCTTTCCGCGCCGTCCCGATCGTGAACGACTCCTTGGCGTATTTGAGCTGGAGGTGCTCCGGTATCAACAACTCTTTCGGCGGGTCGGCGAGTTGCACGGGCCTTTGCGTCGTGCCGTCCCAGGACTCCAACCGTTCGTCGGCTAAAAATTTTTCGTGCGCGACCCAGTCCGTCGCGTGCTCCTCGCCGCCCAGATCCTTCTCCTCCTCCTCCTCGGGCTCGTCCAGCTTCGTGAATTCGCCCGTCTTCAGTTTCCGCGGGTGGGGCTCGTCCCCCACTGTAATTTTCCAGGGGCCCTTGCCCTTGACCGGCAGCGCCGTCACGACGCCGCGGTCGTCGCCCACCTGGACCAGATCGCCGACCTCGAAGGTTTCAACGGCGGTCTGTGGCCTTGACGGCGGCGGCAGCTCGACGACCACTAACGCGTTCTCTTCTACACTTTTCTTTTTGGTCATCGTCTTGCCGTCCACTTGGACCCGGCCCTGCTTCACGAGGGCGCCCCACTCCTGTTTCGAGCGATCGGGAAAGGCGTTGAACAGCACGGCGTCGATCCTCGCTTTCTTCTCTACTACTAATTCGAGAAGGTTCTTTTCCTCGGGCTCGGCCTCGTCGTCCGTCTCGATAATCACTTCCGGTAAAGGCGGTTCTCCTTCTATGGTATCGTAGTAAGGTGGCGGCGGCCGCTTCGGCTTATCTTGGATTAAGCATCGATTCCTATACGTACGCATCGCCCGTCTTCTCGTGTCGAAGTCCGGCCGAGGCCGTCGCAGTAGAGCGGCCAGCGGCACGTTCCTCGATTCCAGAGCGACGTCGTAGGCCGTGCGGCCATCTTTATCTTGGATCAACCTGTGTGGACATCAACCAGTGTGTCGGGTGCACGCGGCCGTGCTGGCTCCGTCGAGCGGTGAAGAACCGGCACCGCCACGCCATCGAGCAGGCATCGCGTCGATGGCGTGGAGGACGACGCGAACGTGACGTGAAATTTTGATTTCCACACAGGTACCAACGGCGACACGCCGGCCTCCAGCAGGATCTGGGCGCACTCGACGTCGTTGAGCGACCCCATGGCGCAGATGTGTAGCGGCGACCACCCGGCCTCCGTCACGCCCGTAACACAGGACGCTTGCGGCTTCTTCTTCAGTCTATTCTTCTCTAGCTGTTCGAGATGTTGTTGAGCGGCAGCAATAGCTTGCTCGGCGTCGTACTGCTCTTGATTAAACGCGGCGCCGCCATACGAACCATCCGTAGAAACGAGGTTCGACGTATCTCGCTTATGACTATAACGAGCCAGACAGATCATGTTCACCTTCCAGGCCTTGCCTTCCTTCGGTTTCGGGTAGAGCGTACCGTCCTCCTTCTCGGCCTGGCGGATTTTTCTCTTTTCGATGGCTTGTTCGCTACTCCCATCTTCGAAATTAACGTCGTACGTCCCGTCGTGGTTGTCTCGCGCGATGTACCCTTGCAACCACTTGGACTTGGCATCCTCCAATTTCGCGCGCGTGTTCGCCGGCAGGGTCGGGCAGCCCACATCATTAACAACGAGCAGCTCGACGGCCTCGACGTGGCCGTTCCAGACCGCGAAGTGCAATGCGTTGAGTCCGTTGTCGTCGGTCGAGCAGGGGTTGCCGCCCGTCTCGAGGAGTTCTTTGAGGTACTCGACGTCGCCCTGGGCCGCGGCCTCGCGCAGGACGGAGCCGCTCATGGCTTATCTGGTGGCGGCTGCCCCGTGGCCCTTTCGCTGGCGCGAGCGGATCTAGGGTGGCTACCAGCTTGTGGGGTATCGCGTCGGCGTCGTGAGAGGGTCGTAGGTCGTCGGGTGGCTGCCTCCTGTGGCGGGATGCGGCGCTGCGATTTGCCTCCGACTTTGCTAGTGTCTTAGTCCGCTAGCTAATATTGTCGAGCAGTCGAGTAGGCCATAGCCCGCATAGAGAGAACGCATGTAAGCGGTGGTGCATAATTGTATTTGACTACTCGTGCCGCCTGGTTGGGCCAAGCCTCGGTTTACGCATGCTCTGTGATCGATTTTGATCGAGTCACAAAATTGACCAGTGATGCGACTCGCGCACGTCCTCGCCGCCGCGGCCGCCACCTCAACACCACCCCGCGGCTTCCTGCTCGTGGCGACTAAACGTCCCGTCCTGCTCCTCCAAGGGGACGCCGACACCGACTGGCGCAGGGACGAGCTCGGCGGTCTCTTGCGGGACATTTGCGCCCAAGAAAAGTACCCGGCGACGGTCGTCGTTGGGGATGCGAAGGAGGTATCAACCGTCGAACGCAACCGGCCCTGCGACCGCGTTGTAGCGCGTTTGTTGCCCGACCGCCGCCGCCTGAATTTACGCGAGGACGGGTCCATCTTCCCGATGCGCCTGTTTAAAGTGAGAGCCATCGCCGCGTTCTGCAATATCTATGAGGGCGGTACGTTATATATCGACAACGACGTGCAGCTGCGCTTACCTGTACTGGATGAGCTCTTCGCGATCTTCGACGCGATGCAAGCCCAAGGCAAGACCGTGGGCATACTGAAAGATCCGGGCGTCCCTCCCGGCCACGAAGTCGATAGTATACCGGAGTGGTTCGGCGAGCGCAACGGCGGCGTCGCCTTCTGGGGACCGGGGTCATCAAAAGTGGCCGATGCCTGGGTCGCGGAGATGCGCTTCAATACCACGAAGGACGGCCACGACCAGATGCCCCTCCGCAAAGTGCTCTGGCGGTATCGCGACGTCTTGTACGATTTACCGGAAACAACACAATGTAGAAGGTGCACGCGGCGGACGGGCCGCGACCCCTGCGCCTACTTACTGTGGCACAACCACCGCAAGAAGCGCGAGGAGCACAAGTCGCCGCGGACGACGGCGTGCGGCTACCACGCGCCGCCGCAAGAATTGGTCCTGCGGCACCAGCACCACGGCCACTCTTCTTCGCCGTCGCCGCCCGAGGGGTAATTTTCTCTCATCAGTAGGCCGCCCACATACTCGTTTTGAGGCACCTCGATCGATCGATCGAGACTCCGCCCCGCCCCCCCGGGCGCTTCCAGGGCAAGCTAGCGGCCTGTAAGACACTAGCAAGCCAGGCAGCAGGGCAGGGGACCTCAGACGGCCGTCAGACGCGCCCAACCGGTTTATCTGCACAGCATTGATCACCAAAGTAGTTCCGCAGCCGAACTTTTGACCCCTGCGGCTCGCGCGTACAAAATAGATCCTGGGGGGTCTGCCTCCCTGACAACATTCGCCTGCGTCTACAGTCCGCGGGCGACCGAACGAGTCCGCGAAGGCGCGTGCACGCCACGTCTGAAACCACTGACACATAAAACATGAGCCATCTCGACCAGATCGCACGCGCCGGCGGCGGCGGCGACGGCGGCCCGCCACAAGCGAAGATCGGTCCCGCCCCGACCGGTCGCGCGAAATGCTCGAAGTGCGCCGCAAATATTGAGAAGGGAACGCTGCGCGCGACGACCTTCAGCTCGAGCGCGTTCCACGACGGCTACGACGCGTCCCATTACCACGCGCTCTGTGCACCAGCATCGGCCCGCGGTAGCTTCGACCCGAAGGCTACCTTGTTGCTACCGTGGCGCGACCAGCTCACTTTCTCTTCCCACGAGTCCCAGAAGAATGACCTCCGCTCCAACGCGCGAGCGCAAGCGGCGAGCGACCTCTTCTGCCGCACGCGTACCGCCCTCGCGAACGACTGCAGACCCAAGGACGTGAAGCAGCTCGTAGAGGAGAACGGCTACTCGCTCCACTGCGGCCCGAAGCCTATTCCACTCGAGATTCTCGTCGAGATCGCCGCCGACGGCCTCTGCTTCGGACGGCTACCGAAATGTGCCGTGTGCGGCGGTCGAGCGCTCCGACACGCCGGGGCCGAGCAGGGCTCCCACTCGATAACGTGGTGCACGGGGTGGGCGTCCGCGTCGACGCCCTGCGCCTTCGTCACGAGCGAACCGCCGGCGCGAGAGGCCTGCTGGACTGGCTCTGCAGGCTTGCGCAAGAATACGAAGCCGCTCCGGGCTCTCGCTGCATTATTATCGGAGGCTGACGCGCGGGCGCGGCGCGAGGCGCCGGAGCCCGAAGCTCGGGCGTCAAAGAAGCCCCGGACGGCGCCGCCGCCGCCGCCACCGCTACCAGCGGTCTCGCCGCGCCTGCGGCCCGTACCGACGGACTCGCGGCTGCTCGTCGTCGATCCCATGGCGCTGCAGGAAGCTGGGTGCAACGCGGGCGCGCGCGACGCTGCTATCGTTCTCACGCATAACGGATGCACGGCCATGAACGTGCAGCTGACCTACGTCGACGCCGCCTCGGAGACGAACAGCTTCTACCGCCTCCAGTGCTTCCAGTTCGAGCGGGGTGGATTTGGCATTTTTACGAGATGGGGCCGCGTCGGCGAGGACGACGGTCTGCGCAATTACATGGCCGGGGCAAGCTCGGCGCAGAACAAATGTATGCTGCATTTCCACGATGACCTGGAATCGGCGACTGAGGAGTTCGCCAAGGTCTTCAAGCGGCACACGCGCCAGGATTGGGCGGCGTATGCTGCGGCGCGGGAGTTTACGCACCAGCCGGGCTGTTATGATATTGTGCGCCACGCGGACGCCGAATTGCTGGCGGACGGCGAGGCGGCGGCACCCGGGCGGCCGGCGCTGACGGACGCACCGCTACCTGTAGATCTCGACGGTCTCGGCGTCAAGGCGCTCAAGGGTTTCTGCGCGGAACGCGGCGTCGACGTCTCGAGGTGCCTCGAGAAGGGCGACATCGTCGACGCGCTGCGGGCGTCGGCGCCGGCCGTCGCCGCGCCGGCGGCCGAGACGGCTCTCGCGGCGCCGGCGCTCCCGCTGCCCGAGAGCGTCGCGCAGTTCGTCGAGCTCATCTTTTCCAAGAAGCGCATGGAGGACGAGCTCTCGCGGCGAAACGTCGACACGAGCAAGTTCCCGCTGGGCGAGATCTCGCCGGCGTGTATCCGGGCGGCGTACGCCGCGCTGTCCGCGGCATCCGCGGCGCTCGACCGGCCCGCCTCGGCAGCAACCGACGACGTCCAGCGCGCCCGAGACGCCCAGGCTATTCAGACGGCGACGAACGACTTCCTGCGGGCGATACCGCATCAAGTTCCCCGCGGCGGCATGGCGGCGCTGCGCCTCGATAATATTGAAGTCATACGCCAGAAGACGGACCTCGTCTCAACCTTGGAGCAGATCCTCAAGCGTCTGCAGCTGGACCGCGCGGCCCCGAAACAAGCTATTTCCGAAGCGCCCGGCGACGTCTTGAGGAGACAGTACGCCTCGCTCAAGTGCGACCTGACACCTGTGCCGCGGGACTCCGCGGCCTACGCGGCCATCGCGGGCTACCTGCGTCGGGGCTGGGCCGAGTGTACGCTGGAGGCTATCTTCGAGGCCACGCTCGCGGGCCAAACAGAAGCTTTCGAGCCGCACCGGAAGTCGAACGTACATTTGTTGTGGCATGGAAGCTCTCTGTCGAATTGGGCGGGCATATTGAGTGGAGGTTTGCGGATAGCCCCTCCCGAGGCGCCGGTGAACGGCTACAACTTCGACAAAGGGTTGTATTTCGCCGACGTGTGCGCGAAATCAGCTCAATATTGCCGCGTCCACTCGGGCGCCGCCGCGGTGCTCTGCCTTGCTGAGGTCGCGGTTGGCGATCCGCTCCTGAAGCGCGCCCCGGACCACAACTCCAACAACGCGAGACGTCTCTCGGGCAAGGATAGCGTCGTGGCCATGGGTCTAAGGGAGCCGGACCCGTCGGCGGGCTACGAGCGCCTCGGCTCGGCGAGGCTGCCGCTCGGTCGAGTGACCGATTACGCGCCGCCCGAGGACGGGCCCCAGCGCTACATGGGCCACAACGAGTACATCGTCTACGACGCGTCGCGCCACCGCATCAAGTACGTCGTCCAGTGCCGCGCCGCTTGACGCCTGTAAGTGACTATGCATGTATAAAACTTACCCCCGGGCCGGCTCCCGCACCGAGAACGAGGGATCCGGCTCCGCCTCGCCGCCGAAGCACCAGCACGTCTCGCGCCTGCGCTCCGTCTCCCGCACCAGCCCCCAGCACACAGTCTCCTTCTGCAGCGGCGGCCGCTCGTCCTCCTCATCCGCGCCGGCGGCGTGGACCCACCGCCCGTACGTCGCCCGCAGCTCCTCGCGCGTCCGCTGATCACAAAAAGCCTTGAGCCAGCCTGGGACCCTCAAAACGGCGTCGTCAAACACGCACCGATAGTAGACGCGCGCCATGCACTGGTCGAGTTGGTCGGAGTCGCAGAAGAGCCAGGTCGTTTCTACGGATAGAGCTTTCGCGTACCGTATTTTTTCGAACCTAGACGACTCGAAAATGGCCAGAGCGACGCCGGCCGCCGGGTGGTGCACCATGATCTGCTCCTTGGCCGTCGGTACATGTAAAGGCACGCCTGGTATGCGCACGGACCCAGCGAGCGGGTGCAGCGTCGTCACGCTCCGCTGGTGCGCGTCGTGGGCTACCAGCGTCCACGCAGAAGTCTCCAACCCCTCGTTGTGGCACTTTTCCTCCAATACGCGCGCGTAGAAGTCGTCGCGCCAGAACTTGTCGAAGACGCCGTCCGCCTCGAGTTGCAGCTCGAAGTTCAGGACCAGACGGTGGCCGTCGCGTTCCTCGTCCTCGTCGTCGCGACACAAGGCCAGACAGCGCCGGATGGCATCTGATGCTTTTCGAGGCGCTTCCTTGAGCGCTTTTGAGTCGGGCCCTACGAGTGGACCTCGTCGTTCTATGGGCGGCGGCGGCGGCGGCGGCTTGTGTCGATGTCGTCTCGCTAGGAGTGTGCCGGCGGCGACGCATGCGACCGCGCCCGTGGCCATTGGAGCTGCCTCCGCGACTCTAGCCGTGACGGCGGTGACGCCCGCGGCGTAGCCGACGGCCGCGGCGGCGCCAAAGCCCGCGGCGGCACCTAATGTAGCAGCTCGTGCCCCGTCGCAGACCACGCGGGCCTGGTCCGGCAGGCGGCCGGCCCACGGGCTGTAACCTTGGCCCATGGCTTGTTGTTGTGTCGCCGCGGCGGCCGGCGTTGGCGCAGCCGCTTCCGCTGCTCCAGGCGGTGGTGGTGGAGGGAGTGGTGGTGGTGGTGGCTCTTCCCGCTTGGATTCCTGCGAGCCAATGGTTCTGTCCTCCTGCTTATGCGGTCTGCGCGTCTGTAACCGCGCTCGATACGCTGTTTCAGCGCCGCTTCCTTAGCTACCTAGCGTCCGTATAGGCACTAGCGGCAAGCTTTTGGAGCTAAAGGTTTTTTGCATCGTAGGGCTGCCCCCGAGCGAGTTGACCATACAAAAGATGATCCTCACGCAGTGCGCCGTCTGCGCCACCGACCTAGGCCTAACCTTGGGCAAGAAATGCGGCCGCTGCAGCACACGCTATTGTGGGCCTGAATGCCAGGTGCAGCACTGGAAAGAGGGCGGCCACGACCAGCTCTGTAAGCCAATAAAAAAAGCAGGCGGCGCCGAACAATACAACGCAAATAAGAAGTACTCGGAGGCCGTTACGGTCGCCGCGGAGGCGTGCGCGGACGACACGAAGGGCCAGACGTGCTACATCTGCACGCAGGCCGTCCATCGGCACACAAAGGAGGGCCTCGTGCGCATGTGCGCGTGCCGCGGGACGTCGGGCTTCGCGCATGTTTCGTGTCTCGCGGAGCAGGCGAAGATTTTGGTCGCGGAGGTCGAGGAGAATAATTTGGGCCACGAGGCGTTTAACGAGAGGTGGACGCGGTGGTATTCGTGTAGTCTGTGCGAGCAAGGATACCACGGCGTCGTGGCGTGCGCGCTCGGGTGGGCGTGCTGGAAAACGTATGTGGGCCGGCCGGACGCGGACTCGGCTCGGCGCTTGGCGATGACAATGCTCGGAAACGGTTTATCCGAGGCAAAACACTATGAGGACGCGTTGACCGTGGAAGAGGCTATGTTTTCTATGCAGCAGCGACTTGGCGATTCAGAAAGCAACACACTTGTCACGCTGGGCAATCTTGCGGTCACGTATCAAGCGCTTGGACAGCTTGAGAAGTCCCTAAGTATGAAGCGAGACGTATACTCCGGATGGGTGGACCTCTTTGGCGAGGAACATCCGGAAACCCTCAGAGAAGGCATCAACTACGCGAATTGCCTTGTTCAGATGCTGCGTTTCAAAGAAGCCAAGGCGCTGCTGCGCAAAACGATGCCCGCGGCGCGACGCGTTCTTGGAGAGAATCATGACATTCCGCTCGAGATGAGGTCGATGTACGCGCAAGCGCTCTGCCGGGACCCCGCCGCCACGCTCGACGATCTCCGCGAGGCCGTGACAACGCTCGAGGACACGGAGCGGACCGCGCGGCGCTTGCTCGGCGGATCGCACCCCGTCGCAGCGGAGATTGAGAAATCCCTGCGAATCGCGCGAGCCGCGCTCCGCGCCCGCGACACGCCGGGGAGCGCGTAATCACTACAGAGGCACCCTGTCACTACGAAGAGACGCGACTCCTAACGCGACTCTTACGCCCCTAGTTGCCGACCTTGACCAAATTCCCCTCCGCGTCCTCCTCGAGCCCCTCCTTCTCCAAATATTCGGCGGCCAGCCGATCGAACTCCGCCTCCTTCGCCTTCATGTTGACGACGTAGGGGTGGTTCGGGTGCGCGCCGTACAGTAATTGCTGGTAGCGGTTGATCTCCTTCTCCTCCTTGCCCATGTGCGCGCTGCACGTGATCAAATTGATCAAAGCGTCCGCATCATCACTCTTCTTCCCGAGGGCCTCCTGCAATCTTTTCTGGGCTTCCTCATAATCCTTCTGGTGCATCTTGGCGACGGCCAACCCGTTCAGCAGCGTCAAGCTACTTCCGAACTTGTCGATGAGCTCCTCGTACGTATACGCCGCCTCCTTCGTGTTGTCGCCACCTTTGTGCAGATTGATCCACGCGCCCACGAGCTGCGTCAGCGTCGCGTCCTCGTCGATCGCCTCGAGCTTCTTGAAGGACTGCTCGGCTAAATCACATCTATTGATCTGCAGGCACATCTGCGCCCACAGCGCGGTCTGCTCCATGGTTGATTGCTTTTTGAGGGCCGTGAAGGCCTCCTTCTGCAGGTCTTCTCTCTGGTAGATGATGGCGGCTACCAACTGCACGGTAGAGTTCTCGCGCGTCTCCTTCTCGGTGAGCCACGTTCCCAAAGTCTCGACGACGCCGTCGCGCGTCCCGGACGGGTTCTCGAGGTACTCCGCTAATAATTTCACCGCTCGCAAACTAACCGGGGCGTCGTCGTCGACCTCGCTGATAACTAGGGCGTACTGGCCCTGGCCGACGTAGCTCCTGTATACAAATTCGTCGCGCTCTATTTTTAACTCATCCGTCAAGCGGTTCAGGCGGCCGCCCTCGTTGATGGCCTGCTGGAAGGAGCCCAGCCAGAAGAGGTTCCTGAGCGTGTAGAGCTCGTCGGGGTCCGTGGAGGCCATCCTGCCGCGCGGCGCTTACTGAGCTCCCTACAGACACAGCGTATGGGTGTGCGGCGCGTCGCGGCGGAGCAGGCGTTTGACAGCAAAAAAATATAATATTGCGGCGGCTGCTGCGGCGGCGAACTTGTGCCAGGTCGGCGCGCGCGAGCCTCTTTTTTGCGGCTTATTGCTAAAGTTGCTAAAATGGAGCGAAACCCGCGCGCTTTAGCGCCAATTCCCCTCTGGCCCGTGCCTGGATGCTTGTGAGGCTTCCATGGACGGGTCAAAGAGGCCTGTGGGGGCATTGATGGTCAGAGCGATGGAAGCAGCTCGACCTACATCAGCGCTTATTGTCGCGTCGCCAGACCAGCCCGCTTGCGCACACAGCGTGTGCAGTGTATCGCATTGCTAAGCTATAGTACCGGGACGGTTCACGGCTAAGAAAGAGCCCGTTCGGTGCCCTACTCCTGCAGCTTCAGGTCTGACATAACAGGCTTGACTGCTCTCACCGCGCGCGGCGAGGCATAAAAACACCGGCCCGACAGCCCACCACACCGCGGCGCCGCTAGATGAAGAACAAGCGCACCGTCCTCACCATGCTCCTGGCGCGTCGAGTCTGCGGCTGGTCGGCGCGCCAATTGCTCAAGCCGCGGCCGATCCGCACGGCCTTCAAGTCCAGTACCAGAGCGGCGCCGCTCATGTCCGTCGTCGACAAGGAGTCCATGGATTATGTGGATGTCGACACCGAGCTGGCCGCCCCTGTGGAGGACGTCGTTGTCGGCGAAGAAGTCGTGCCCGACGCGGAGCCGGAGAAGGACCCCATGGCCATCGAAGGACGTATTTCCGACCGCCAAGCCGAAAGACTCGCGGAGCGAGGCATCACCACCTTCACGGAGATCCAGCATCGAAGCTACGAGCCCGTGTTCGAGGGCCGAGACCTGCTAGGTAAATCTAGAACGGGCACGGGCAAGACCGTGGCCTTCGGCCTGCCCATCATCGAGAAGCTCGCGGAGATGCGGTCGAATGGCGAGTACGACCACAAGCGGCGCGGCCGCGGCCCCGCGATGCTGGTCTTGACGCCGACGCGCGAACTCGCGAAGCAGGTCCATGATGAATTGAAGTACCTGGCGGACACGCACGGCTTCTCGACGACGTGCTTCCACGGTGGTGTCAGCTATGGCCCCCAGGAGGGTGCCCTCAGAAGAGGAGTAGATATCTTAGTCGCGACGGTCGGCCGCGTCATCGACCATATTGATCGAGGCAACTTACAGCTCAACGACGCCTACCACGTCGTCTTGGATGAAGCTGATGAAATGTTAAGTATGGGCTTCGCTGATGATGTGGAGCGCATTTTTGGGGAGTGCCCGGCGGGCAAGGCCAAGGGCATGGGCTCGGGCGGCGGCGCGCCGGCCCCCGACGACGCCTTCGACCTCGACGAGTTATTGGGCGAGGAGGCGCCGCCCGCGCCGGTCGCCGAGAGCCGAAGACCGCAAACATTATTATTCTCCGCCACATCACCAGGATGGATCAAGAAGATGACGCGGCGCTTCATGACGGACCACGTGTTTGTGGATGTGGTTGGAGACGCCACCCAACAAGCTGCTACTACGGTGACGCACAAAGCGGTATTAGTGCCTCGGTCGAACGACGCCAGAGCCTCGTTACTCGAGGATATTATTTCGGTGGAGCTGTCCCAAAGGCAAGGTCAAGTAACCGACGAGCAGCAGAACGGCGGCGGGCGCGTTATTGTCTTCACCGCGACCAAGAGGGAGTGCGACGAGCTCGCGGGCGGTCCCGCCTTCCAGAGACTATCGGCACAAGTGCTCCATGGCGACATCGGCCAAAGTCAGAGGGAAGCGACGCTGGCGCAGTTCCGACGGGGCCAATTTTCAGTATTAGTAGCTACTGATGTGGCTGCTCGCGGAATTGACGTGAAAGGAGTGGATCTGGTGGTGCAGTTCCGCACGCCGAGGGATGCCGAAGGATACGTGCATCGCTCGGGACGAACGGGCCGGGCCGGGAGGGACGGGACCGCGGTGGTCTTGTACGACGACCGGGAAGAACGCGACGTGAGATCGCTCGAGCGAGAAACGGGTGTGAAATTCCAAAGGCTCGGCCCGCCGTCGGCCGGGCGCGTGCTCGAGGCGGCGTCGCTCGATGCGGCGCGCGCTTTGACGCGGGTGCAGGACGACGTCGTGCCGCACTTCCTCGAGACGGCCAAACAGTTATGTGCGGACGAGCTCGCCGAGACGTCGGACGAGGCGGCGTCGTTAGTTGCTCGATGCTTAGCCGCGGTCGCGCGGCAGAACGAGCTGAGGGCTCGGTCCGTGCTGACGGGCGAGGCCGATCGGACGACCTTGTTGATGAGCGCGCCGCGGCCGCTCAAGACGTCGGACGTCGTGTACGCCGTCTCCAAACTCCTAGAGAGAGTACCCAAACAGGAAGGCGCGACGCCGAACGATAATGATCGGGTCGGTGCCGTACGAGTATGTAAAGAACCGTCGCAAGCGGTGTTTGACGTTCGTTCGACGACGGCGCAGCGGTTATTAGCCTTCTGCGAGGAGCAGAACTTCAACAAGTTCACGTTCGAGGTCTGCGAGGTCCTGCCGCAGCTGCAGCCGCAGCAGCGCCGCGACTTCAACGGCGGCGGCGGTGGATATCGAGGTGGTGGTTATCGTGGTGGGCGCGGCGGCGGCGGCGGCTACCGCGGCGGTGGCGGTTATAGAGGTGGTGGGAGAGGCGGCGGCGGCGGCTACCGCCAGGGCGGCTACCGGGGCGGCGGCGGCGGCGGTGGTTATAGAGGCGGCGGCGGCGGCGGCGGCGGGTACCGCGGCGGCGGCGGCCGCGACCGCTACTAGGACTCTCGCTTCGCTTCGACCCCTCCCATTCCCTGTGTCCAGTAACGGTGCGATTTCGTTCCTCGTGTCTTGCTTAGAGCTAGGCCTCTAAGCTAGGCCGCGTGACCGTCCTTGCCGGGGCCCCGGGGAGGAGATCGGGGGGGCGCCCGTGGTCGGCGCCGCGAGCGGCTCTTCGGGCCGGCGCGCAAGGCCCCACGCCTCCCTAGTTTTCATCTTAAACCCGCACCCTAGCTAGAGTCAACTTTTTCGCGGCCCCGCGCCACGCCCATAAGGGAGACCTCGAAAGGCCGCAAAGAGGCCTCGGAAGGCCCAATAATTTTTCATTTTTTTCGTTTCGTCAGATGATGCAAGGACGGCCCGACTGTAAAAGAGACGGCCCGACTAGTAAAAGGCCGGCCCGGCGCCGCGCGGCGCGTCGAGGCGCCTTGGGTGTTGCCCTCCCGACGTTCGCTGCGGGCAGCCGCTTCATTCAGGCCGCCGCGCGCGCGGGCAGCCCCCCAGCGAAACAGGCTGTTTTGACGCCGCCGCCGCTACACGCCGAGCTCGCCTCTCGCTCGTTAAACACGGCCGAAGCTCCCTTACTGAAAGGAGCAAACGCAACTGGGTGGCCCCACACCCAGCGACAAAAACGGTGGACGCGCCCGCCGGAACGCCGCCGCACCGCGCCGAGCTCGCCTCTCGCTCGTTAAACACGGCCGAACATGGAGAACCGGAACGCCCACTCGTTACAAAGACAAAATGAACTCGAGCAGCAGCTCATGAGCCGCAGCGCGCCGAACGACGCGGTACTACCAGAGCCGCGACCACCACCACAAAAACCGAGGACTGACTTGGACGCGCTCTTCGCGCTCACAAAACGCTTCTGCTGCGTCCAGATCGGCAACTGTTTTATACTATTGATTGCCGTCCCGGCGTCGATCTACTGCATGATCCTGTCCATGGGGATACTGATCGGCTTCCTCGGATCAATCAAATTCGTGGAGGTGCGGTGCGCCGCGAAGAGCGAGCGGGAGAAGCGCGACGTCTTCGGAAGGCACTGGCTGCTGCTGATGCACCTGTGGCTGCCCTACGCGGCCATGACGCGCGCCCACGAGGCGTGGCGCTTCTCGGCGCCGGTCTGGGCCTACGGGCTGGGCTCGACGGTCTGGGTCATCTTCGGGCTTTATCAGAGGCAGCTCGGATTACGGCCGGAGATCCGGCTGTGGACGGGCGCCGTCGTAAGCGTGTCCTTCCTGGCGCACGTGCCCTACACGGACATGGGCCAGCCCATCGAGGGGTTGTTGGTCGCGGGCGGCATCGCGTTCGGGGAATTATTAGGATTAACGCTCGAGGCGCAGCGGGCCCAGGTCCAGGTCGAGGTCGAGCGCGAGGCGCAGCGCGTCCTGAACCACACGGCGAAGCGACTGATGTGCAACACGGCCCAGGCCGCGCAATTAGTTTTATCTCAACTAGATGATTTAGCCTCAGACGACCCCGTCGTGCGGCACACGGCGCGGTCCGAGTCCGAGGAGGTGCTGCGGAGCTGCTGGGCCGCGACGGTCATGGGCTACAACGCTTGTAGAGCAAACTTACTACAAAGACGCTTACACCATTCGATCCGGGAGCCCTTTGGCGTTGATGAGTTATTAACAGCAGTATGTTGGCCGCCCGCGAAATTTATCGTGCAGAAACCTAGGACTTTTTGCAGGCCTGCGGGTGATCGAGTGTTGGTGGAGACCGTATTATTCAACGCGACGCAGAACGCGCGGTTACACGGTGGAGATGCCCCGGTCCAAGTCAGCGCGGCCTTCTCGTGCCACGAGGACGACTGCGACTTGCGATTGGAAGTGATCAACGTCGCGGGGCGGAACCACGCCCAGCTCAGAGCGCTCCGGGTCCAGGATTTATTAGCTGCGGACGTCGACTTCGCGTCGCTCGGGATGGGGACGGCCGAGTCCACTTTTTTGGGTCTGCGGGACATCACGCTCGCTGCCAAGGCCATGGAGCCTCCTGCCAGTGTGGAGCTGCGCGTCGAGGAGGATTGCGTGAGGTTCGTCATGGTGTGTACGTTGAAGGTGGCGTCGGACGAGGAGCCCGTGCAGCGGGGCGTCAAGCGTAGTCGTGACTTGCCCGATGGGTTGTGTTATGTGGTCTTAGATGATGACAAGATCACGCGGTTGTTGGCGCGCAAGCAAATTGCGAAATTCGGCCCTCATCCTCGTTCCATCGTGTTGGGCGAGTCGAGGCAGGAAGCTCTATCTGTTCCTGAAAGGGTTAGAACGTTAGCTCACGAGTTGGGCGAAGAAAACGTCGTCGTCATCTTAGATCAGAACTTGAACTATCCCGACGGCGACGTCCTCGGCACCGACCTCGCGTCGACTTTACGTAGAAACGCCTACGGCGGCACGATCGTCATCCAGTCGGCCAACGCCGAGCCCTCGGACTGTATTACGTATGCCGACGCCGGCGCCGACGGCACGCTCGCCAAAGGTGTTTTAGCAGCTACTTCAGCAGCGGAGCTCGCGCTGATCTTCTGGGGGCGGTTAGCCAAGGGCCGCAAGCGGAGCCGCACGTAGTAGTTGCGGCACACAGGCCCTAGTGAGGGCACTCTCTCCTCTTAATCTTATTTCCCTTCTCTTTCTGGTGTTTCCTCGCGCCCGTCGAACGGTGCACCGGGTCTGGGCGCCTTGGAGGGGTCCGGAGGCGGTCGCGAGGTGCCTGGGGTGGGGACTGCCAAGCGTGTACAAGAAATTCGTTCCCAAGCCGGAATTCGTTCCTTTTAGGCTCATTTTCACTGCATTAGGCCGACACAAGTCGCGATCCGCACTGCTCGAACGTTGCGCACGCGAAGTACATTCGTTCAATCCTCCTCAGTACCCCGCTCGCCGCCTACAGCGTACACAGGGAATCAGCAATCATGCTCAAAAAAATCATTGTCATTGCTCTGCTCGCCTCGGCTGAGGCCCGCGACTCGGATGCCGACGCCGCCGCACTCTCGAAGGACCGCCAGGACTTCAAGCGCGCCCTCGAGTCGTTAGACGCGCTCGCGACCGCGTCGAACGCGGTCGCGACCAGCGACGACAAGGCCGCGCACGCCGAAGCGCTCATCGCGGCGTCCAGAGCGGCGCGCCAAGCCCTATCCGCGCCGCTCGCGCGCCGCCGCGAGGACTTCGCCGGCCGCCGCGACGAGTCCGCCGGCCGCCGCCTCAAGTCGGACCACGAGAAGTTCCAGGACGCGCACGAGAAGTGCATGCGCGAGTTCCTCGCGTGGGACGCCTGCACGCCCGACGCCGATGCCGATGATGACGCCATGATGCCCCCGATGGACGACTTCACGCCGCCGCCGACGTCCGCGTTATGGCTCAAGGATATATGCGATAACACGGCAAATTTCATCGACACCCTCTGCTCGATCCGCTGCGAGTGCTCCGAAAAAGAGGACGCCTTCTACACGTGCTTCTATGGTGAGGCGTGCAAAGAGTGGTACTCGTCGCCGGACGACTTCTCGTGCGAGGGCTACAAACTGTGTGGAAATCAACCAGTGTGTCGCGTCGATGGCGTGGAGGTCGACGCTGCGATTCAGGACGAACGCGCCGTAAATTTGATTTCCACACAGGCTACGACGGCGATCTGATGTACGACCAGGAGACATGTTGCCTCAAAGACCACGAGATCTATTGTGAGGAGTCCAAAACCTGCGAGTTTAAGGTCTTCGGCTGCCCGGAAGGCGGCGACAGCGAGTGCCAGATGTTCCAGACCTGGTGCGAGGAGACAGAGACGTGCATTTGGTCGTGGGAGGAGTGCGGCGACCCCGTGCTCGACCCCAAGCCCGTGCCCGTGCCCCTGTCGCCGACGGCCAAGCCGACCCTGGCGCCGGTCGAGGCCACGCCCATGCCGACGACGAAGAAGCCCACGGTAGCCCCAGTACCCGCGCCCTCGGCCAAGCCGTCGCTCACGGCCGCGCCCACAAGCCTGCCGACGACCGCCGCCCCGTCGACCACGGCGGCTCCGACGGCCACGCCGGCGACCGGTGCGCCGGTGGCCTCGAGTCCCTTGGGCGGTGAAGTTGGCGACCGCGACCCCAACGACGATCCGTCCACGGACGCCGCGGCGGCGCGGGGCGTGACTGTTGTGGCCGTCGCTCTGTTCTTCTACGCGTTGTGAGCATCATCTCCCCGTCCCCTTCCCACGATCTCCCTTCCTTTTTTACGACACTATAACAATTACAAAAAACGATCAGGGCCACACCTCGAACCGCTGCCCCGGCGAGCTCGAGACGACAAACTCCCGCGCCGCGTCGTCATTGGACGGCGTCGCCACGAACCGATGGCCGACGTGCGTCCCGAGCCGCGCGTCCTGGGATTCCGATGAGAGAATCGTCACCGGCGCCAACCCGTCGGGCCCGGCCCACGCCAGCTCCACACTCACACCGGCCGGCGCGCCGCGACCCAGCGCGAACTCCACTACAATAGAAGTGTCCTCCACGTCACCATCCTCACCAACAGCAACGCTCCGCCTCCCAAGCCCCTCGCCCCAGTGCGGCGGTATCGCGACGCGAATGTCCACCCTGTTGAACGTCCAGTTTTTGGGACGGTAGTGTAAAAATACCGAACCGTAGTAGTCGCCCCGCATCGGTATGCTTCTACGATGGAAGCACTTGGCCGACTCGTAGAACATCATCTGCCCCGGCTGGAGATTAACGGCAGCGTAGTCTCCCGTCACGTCCTGGATCTCGATGGGGTACGGCGCGTCTAGTTTGCTGTCGATGTGGAGTATTGAACTAATAACATGTGTCTCGGGCACGTCTAAGTGGTCCACGAGTGTCGCACCTTCCCGATACAGTCGAACGCCATAGACGGACGTCGGCTCCAGTTCGCATTGGCACCACGCTTCATGTAATGGTTTGAGGGCATCCAACACCTCGTAGTTCAACCTTTCTTGGTCGATGAAGTCGGGCTCGTTGGGACCCTCGACGCCGCTATGGGCCGTCGCGTCGTCCTCCCTTTCTCGTCTAGGATTAGCTAGATGGTCGCGCACATTCTTCAGGAGTTTGGCGTAGATCTCGGGAGGCGCTTGCACGACCTCCCACTGCGGCACCGTGAAGTTGTGCATCAGTCTCGCTTGGGCCAGGAACATCCACGCGTCCCACCTCGCTTGCGAATCTTGGAGAAGCATGATCTCCGCTTCTCGGTGGACCATGGCTTCGGTGTAGGACGGCAGCTCCTTGCTCGTTAATTTGGGCGGGGGCCATTTTTGGCCGTACCGGCGGTGGAACTCGGCGACGCGGTCGCGCTCATCCACATAAGACTTCGTGTCGAAGATCTTGTCGCCGTGGATGCGCCTTGCGAGCCGGTCGTCGTCGGCGCTCGCGAGGGCGGCCAGCGCGAGCGCGAGGTAGCGCATGGCTGGCTGGATGGGTGTGTGCTTGTATTTTGAGACCTAGGCCGGCGTTTCGTCTTCCAGCGCTTCGGTGACTGCAGCACTGCGACAAATGATGACAAATTGCCAAGCGACAAGATCACGCCAATCGGCTGGCAAAATATTTTGGCAAATCACAGCTGAAAAAAATGCGAGCTAGCGGCCTGTAAGACACTAGCGGGTTTTTGGCACAGCGCTCGAAGCGTCCTCGGACGTGTCTCGAGCCCTCCTCGTGTCGATGACGCGGGCCGCTCCAACGCCCGGCATTTGGACTGTGCCGGCAGCCAACTGGTGGGGCAGCCATTTACGCTGTTTCGAGGCCGTATTGGTACCGGCAACGCCCAGAGAACCGGCATGGTGCGCATCACGGAGGTCGACGCCCACGGCCACGAGATCGAGACCAAGGAGGAGCCCAAGACGCGGCAATTAGTTAATCTGTCACCGGCAGATGCGAAAGCGGTGGCCGACCACGAGCGCGCGGCCGATTCCTTGATCGAGAAGGACCGGCTGCACCAGGCGCACGCGCCGTTGTGCGAAGCTATTTCTATAAGAGAGCGCGCGCTCGGCTTTAAGCATCCTGATTTATGCAAGCCGCTGTGTAAAGTCGGTGGTGTTTTAAGGGCCACTGGGCGGTTCGACGACGCCGAGAAGGCGTACCGACGGTCCCTTGAAATACGGGAGAAGCACGACGGCGGGGACGCGTTGGAGGTCGCACGAACTTTGGAAGCTCTGGGCGAGGTGCTGCGCGCGCAGGGCAATTTGACGAGCGCCGAGGCGTGTCTGCGCGAGGGGCTCGAGAAGTTGGAGAGCTGTCGCGGGCCCAAGGATCCGGAGGTCGGCGGCTCGCTGGTCAATCTGGCGTCGCTCTTGGATCACGTTGGTCGGTCACGAGAAGCTCTAGTGACCATACAAAGAGCGGTCCTCATCTTCGATAACGAGGCCGACGAGCGCTGCCGCATCGCCGAGGCGTGGGAGCGGCACCTGGAGCGGAAGGTCGCCGAGGAGGCGGATAGCGACTAAATGAATTAATCATGATTAGTAGGAATCATGGCCCTCGCCGGAGGCGGGTGGCTTGGGCCGGTTACTTAGTAGGAATAGCCCTCGCCGGGCGGCTTGGGCCGGAGGGAAGCGGCACGGCGAAACGGCTGCCGGGTTTGACGCCGCGAGGGACGATCACCGTCATCTCCTGGCCCGTGGTCGGGGCGCGGACGCGCAAGTGACTTCCCGGTCCGGCCCCGTGCGGACAGGTCACGAGAAACGCCGACGGCGGCGGCGGCGGCGGCGGCGCGGTGGCGCGCGGCACCTGCCCGCACCGCTCGTCGCGCAGGTGCCGGAACAGGGCGTTCTTGCTCCGAAATATGGCTCCACAGTTGCGACAGCTATGCTTCTGGGGCGGCGGCGGCGGCGCCGTCGGGACGGGCGGCGGCGGCGGCGCCGAGGGTACCGGCTTCGGGAGCGCCGTCGGCGGCGCCGCCCCGGGCGTCGTCTTGCGCTTTGCGAAGCGCGCGCTTCCCACGAAGCAGAACGAGACGGCGAGGAGGACGCATACGCTGCAGACCAGGCAGGTGACGACGGCCAGGACCATCCCGATGCCACTCGGGTTGTGTTCGTCCCACAGTTCGTCCTGCAACGCGTTGAGCCTGTCTTCCCACGACGTCGGCGGTGCTGTCGGCGCGTGCGAGATCGACGGCGCGGCGGTCGTCGGGGCCGCCGTGGGCGCGGGCGAGGTCGTCGGCGCGAGCGTCGTTGGCGAGGTCGTCGGCGGCGGCGGCGGGCAATCGTCGAGGTCGTCCACTTGCGTGACGCCGCAATCCGTCGACGCGCACGGGGTGCCGCCGAACGCTCTGTCCAGGTCGACGCCGTCGTCCACGCACCAGCCGAGGTCCTGGTCGAAGGCCGGGGCGCTGCCGAACATTGACCTCATACTCGTGACGCTGTCGACCTGCCATCCGCCGATGTCCTGGTTAAAGGCCGAGGCTTCGGCGAACATCGTGTCCATGCGCGTGACGCTCTGGACCGCCCAAGCACCGATGTCTCGGTTAAAGGCCTTGGTCCGATAGAACATGCTATTCATCGTCTTCACGCCCGAGGTGTCCCACGCGCCGATGTCCTCGTTGAAGGACGCCGCGGCCGAGTCGCAGTCACTGCACCAACAATTTGAACAAGAGCAGTAAGAATAGCCGCAAAACAAATACGACATGTCCGTCACGGCCGACGTCTCCCACGTCGAGATGTGGCCGTACGCCGCCTCGGCGGCGGCCGCGTCCGCGAGCCACGCGGCGACTGCCGTTCTGATCCTGCTGTCGGTCATGAAGTTTTTCATGGTAGGCTGCGGCGTCGGGCTTGGCGTCGGTGCTTCCGTCGGGCGCGGCGTTGGTGGTGGCGTAGGGGGTAGGGTCCCGCAGTACTTCCTGTAGATGTCGAAGTTCATAACACCCCCTATATGATCGCAGTTGTTCAGGCCGAGATCGGTGCCGCACGTGCCGCCGCCATTGCAGAGGTCGCCGCAGAACGCAATGTCGCAATCAAGAAAGTTAGAATATGACCAGTAATGGCTTTCGGGGCACTCGTCGGCCGCAATGGGCACAAGCGTACCACACGCATCGGCCGTCCGGCGCGCCGCGCGGAGCGAGGGCGCGCCGGCGGCCGCTCCCAGCAGCGCGACGGCGACCCGCGGGCCCCATGCCATGTCCGCAGCCTGCCGCTGGGGCAGCACTTTGGCAGCCCCAACCGCAGCTTTGACGCCGTGCGTTCGACAGAGGCAGGGTCGCAGCTATGCTACGTGCTGCGCGTGAGTTTCAAAATGGTCCAATTGCAAGCCAACAAAATACCCGCGCGACCATGAGAACAGCTACGGCTACATGACCAAGTTACTCGTCGCCGACGCGAGCGCCCGCATTTTTTGTAGCTGGTCTTTCCGGTCCTTCCGCCGCGCGCGCTCCTTCTTCTTGAGCGACTTGTCCTTCGCGCGCTCCAGGCGCAGGGCGCCCTTGGACGTGTCCACCGCGACCTCGTCGAGGGCCTCGTTCACGTTCTTCGTCCGTCTCCGTAAATCCGCCGCCTCCGCCGCGCGCTTCTCGGCGAGCTCCGTCGCGACGAGCGCGTCCCAGGCCGCCCTGGATTCCCGCAGCTGCCAGCCCTTCATCTTCGTCATTTCGTTGTGCAAGTCCACCAAGGGCTTCATGACCCTATCTCGCGCTTCCTTCGCTTCCTCCTCGGGCGTCTTCTGCTTCTTCTTTTGCTCGGCGTGCTTTAATATGGCCTCGGGGCCCTGGGCCTTCAACTCCTTCTCCTCGGTGTACATCGTCCGGAAGGACTGGGCCGTCTCCCGCGATTCGGCGGGCAGGGTCTTCATCTGCGACTCGTCCATGAGCAGCAGCATGGTTATTGATTGTCTCTGGTCCCCCGGTACCTTCGCGAGGATGGGTAAAGTCCAATCAATGTCCTCGGGCGACTGCTCGGGCGCGTCGACGCGGCCCGGCTGTCTGCCTGCGGCTTTGTCGGCTCTTTGCTTCTCGTAGCAGCGCTTGAAGTCGCGGATCGTCTTCTGCTGGTCCTCCGGGAGTTGCTGGAGAGCAGCGTCATTCAGGGAGAGCGCGCGGGCCGCGGCGGGCCGCTGGTTCTCCGGTACGGAAGCGAATAGGGGCAGCGTCAGGTCGACGCCGTCCTCCGTTACTGTCGGGGCAGGTTTCTTCTTTTGTTGTGGTTTTGTGGGTGCTACTACTTTCGGCTTTACATCTCGATAGTAGCCCGTACCTCTAGGACCGGTCTTGAAGACGTAGCCCGGTTTCGAGCCGGCGTAGGTCTCGGCCTTCCGGAAGGAGTCGTCGACGTCGACCGCGTCGGCCGCCGCGTCCACGTCGAAGTCCTCCCAGCGCTTGTAGCCCTTGTCGTAGGTGTGCGACGCTGCCGTCTGCGCCTTCGCCGCCGCCGCGGCGCTGCCCGCCTTCGCGGACGACGCCCCCGCCGTGCCGGCTGCCGAGGGCGCCGCTGCCGTCTGCGGCAGGGCGGCGTCGTCGTCGGACTCGGACTCGGCGATGGCCACCTTGACGCCCTCGGCGGGCGGCGGCGGGGCCGCGTCCAGATCTACGGCCTCGACGTCGTCCAAATCGAAGCCGCCTCCGCTCATCTCGAGCACCTGGGCTGCCATTTTTGTGCTGCCCTTCGCAGCCGCACCGGGTCCGCGGGCAGCAGTTGCGGCCCTGCGCGACGCCGACCGAATGCAACGCGAGTGCTACGGCTCCTAGGGCGCAGCGCAGCCGAAAAATGGCGTCGAGCTCGATGGCGCTGCGGCCCCGCACGCAAGCCTCGACGCGCACGGAGTCCCACGCAGCGCGAGATAGACTCGCCTCAGGACCGGTCGGCGGCCGGGACGTCTATGTCTCTGTGTCTGCCGGCCGCGCGGCGCCGTCGACGCGGCGCGAGTCTACCGAAGGTTTATGTAATGCATAGGTTATATACACAGGGACTTGTGGTGGGCATTTTGTGGTCAGGCGCGCCGGACGTAGTGGCGCGGGCAACACAGAAACGATCGGCGCTCGAGCTTGGAGCGAGGCCGACGGGGAATTGGCGCCGCGGCGCCGCGGGGTTAAACTCTCCTGGTCGAGAGTCCCGCGGCGGCCTCAGGCGCAGTGGGGCGCGATCGTCGTGGCGATCGGCGCGGGCGGCGGGCCGCCGGGGTTAAACTCTCCTGGTAGAGGGAGTCCCGCGGCGCCACCGGGTCTTGGAAGTAGTACAGCCGCGGGGTTAAACTCTCCCGACGGGGGGAGTCCCGCGGCACCAATTGGAGGTCTTGGAAGGAACGCCGCGGGGTTAAACTCTCCCGATGGGGGGAGTCCCGCGGCACCGGGCGTCGGTGTCACGATGGGCGGCGGCGGCGGCCGCACCAATTTCACTAATTCTTGCGGGAGGATGCGCCGCACGCGCCAGCCGAGGCCCTGCAACAGTCGAGCACGCACGGCCACGGGCCCGGCGTCGCGCAGGTGCATGTTGTTGGAGTCATAGACACTGTCGTCTAACTTAAAGCAATCGAATCCAGACTTGTTCCTCGCGTCTCCCACATCAATCGTCAGGCCCGGGGCGGCCTTTACCGACAGTTGGAAGGGCTTGGCTTCATTGGATGGAGGCGGGTCGCCGTGTTCCGAGAACGGGAGGCCCTGTTGTCGTGCGGCGGCTCGCGCCAGGCCTAATCTGACGAGATCTTCGTCGGACCAGGGCGTCGTGATCGCGGATAAGGCCGCATCCAACGCATGCGTCAGGCCCAGTGGCTGAGGCGTGAAGCCGACGACGCACAGCGTTTCGGCGAGACACGCGAGATCTTGCGGGCGACAGGAGTACTGCTGCTGCTGGTTCCTCAGAGCGGCGCCGACGCCCGCCAACAGTCGAGGCGCTAACGCATCGACTAATGCGGAAGCCTCGTTGACCGGTGCGACACGCGCAAAGGCCCAGCACGCCCGACACGCGGCGTCGGCCGGCACCACACTACTGGTCCGGGAGAACTCACCTAATGCAGCGCCAAATAATTGCGGGTCATATCTAGAAGCGCGCGCATGGCACCAGACGATCGTCGCTAGGTGTCTCGGTGCCACCGCGGAAATCTGTAAGGCCGATTCTCTGGCCACGGCCAAGAACAATTCGCGTTCAAAGGGCTGGGACCGGCAATATACAGATAATAAAGCGGCGGATCCGAGACCGCCCAACCGGCCGCCTCTTCTAGCAGCTTCCTGGGCGATCGACGACCACAGTAATGCGCGAGAGGCCGTGTCCCGGCCAACAGCGTTCAGCGCCCCGGCGCAGTTCGCGAGATCCTGGACGTTGAATTCATCTAATCTACGTAGAGCATGGGCCGACAAAGCGTCGAAGAGCTCGTAGGGTACTCCGGGAGCCGCCGAACACGCTAAGAATAAAGTCGCAACAGCTTGCGGCGCGAAGTGGCGCCGCGCCCCGGGGTTCCGCAATCTTGCGCACACTTCTCTTCCAATCGCCGAGTACAATCTAGGATGAGTGCGGGCCCTTCGAGCAGCACAAAACGCCCAGGCAAGCGAAGCGAGGTTCTGGGCACCCAATGCTTGTACCCGCCGCTCCGCCTGGTCCGCTAGAGCCACATACAGCCCAGGAGCGGGGTGTCGCGTCGTCGCAAAGGCCCACGCTAAATTGGCCAAAGCTTGCGCCGACAACTCTTCGGCTCGAGCCGCGGCTTCTCGCGCCACGGCGTCGAAGAGTTCCGGAGCGCGCACGCCGGCTAAAACATAAGCATAAGCAGTGTTCGATAAATTTTGCTCGTTGAAGGTGCCCACTCGCGGCGCCGCCTCCGCGGCGAGCACACGAAACAATCTCTCGGTAGCTCTACCCGCCGTCGCGAAGGCCCAGGCCGCTATGGATAGTTCTTGTGCATTTAGTCTAGGTGCTTTTCTTTCACACTCAACAGCTAAAGCGTCAAATAGAGTGGCAGAACCCGTCCGCGCCGTCGCGCAAGCCCATGCTACATTGACGCCCTCCCGCGCCGAGAACTTCGTGCAGGACGCCTCCGCACTCTCCACCAAACATCTCCAAGCTCTTCGCTCCTGCGCGTCGCCGCCGCAGCCCAACCGAGCTAGACTGTGTGCACAATTGGCAAGTGCCTGCGGCCCGTACTCCGGGAAGGACATACAAGCCTCTTCCAGTAGGCCCTTGAACCTAGGGTCCTGGCGGACTCTTCTACAAGCGTCGCGCTGGCCTCTTCCCCTAGAATCGCCGCCGGCGCCCCGGGCCAATCTTGTGAACGCGGTGGCCACGTTGACATCATTTCTGACACCCTTCTCGGCATAGATCCTTAATACTTCTTCCGCATTGGTACAAGCGGCGTACCTTCGGTTGAGCTCGACCGCGGCTCGAGGCGGCGCGCCTCTGCGCTCCGCACTCCGTCGCCCTCGTCTCGTCTTGTTCTTCACGCGGGGCGGGCTGTCGCTCCGGTCCGAGCCCGTCGACGACTTGTCTAGAGATTCTCTGTCTCTCTCAACAGGAGCACTTCCAAACTCCAACGCTTCTCGCAAAGCTGATGGTAATGCCGCAAAAAGGTCCTCCTCGTCCTCGGCGGCGAACATCTCTTACGAAGCGAGGTGGAATGACCTGTTAATCCTCGAGCTTCTTTACTGGATACTGAGGTGGGATGACCAGTTAGTCCTCAGTCGATCGATCGCGGCAGCACCGCGCCGAGTCTATAGCTAAAGGGTGGACGGTGGTGGTATGACCTACGTGGCATGAGCAAGATGAAGGCGCGGCGGGGGCGGCGCGCGCGGCCTTTTGGGGGGGGGGCTTCCACGCGCGGCGCGTCTGGGCCTCGTGGGCCTTCGCGCGGTGTCGCGCGGCCGTCTGGAAGCCGCGCGCGAGACACGGCCGGGTAGGGAGGCCTCGCGCGTCCACCTCCACGCCATCGCCGCGGCGGGGGCGGACGGCGAAGGGCTGGGGAGGGGGCTGAATAGGGCTTTGTTGTGTTACCTGTTAATCCACCGTCCCCTGCTTTGCGTGGGGTGCGCGGGCCGCGCCGGACCAGATGCCGCGCTGCTGGGCCTCTCGCGCCGTCGCTGGGGCTGCACTCCCGGCGTAAAATGACAAGCCTCAATCGGCGTGCGCCGCGTTCGCCGCACACGCCAGATGCGATAGGTTCGGTTCTTTTACGCTGTTATGTGTGCCTTGTAGGTTTGCGAGGGGTGTTTTTGAGGGGTTCTTTGGTTTTTCGCGCGGGTTCAGACTGATGTGTTTGTTCAGAGCTTGATCTGACCGTCCGTACACAGTTCGTGACGAACGGTGACAAGAAACGTGGACTCCCACAAGTCCCCCATACTGCCATCAATCATTTCTGAAAGTCCCAGCTTGAGACGAGCCCCAGCGCCAGCGCACAGCAAACTGCTACCAACATGCGCTGGCTCACCGCCGTCGCTACGACATTACTCACGACGAACGCCTTCGTCGCGCCGCCACGGACGCGCCTCCACGCTCTCGCCGCCGTGACGACCGACGACGCGATCGAACAAAAGCTCGACTCGTGGCTCCTCGACAACCTCGGCAGCTGCGCGGTTCCCATCGATGATGATGATGACGACGCCTTCGAGCTGTGCTCGGTCGACTCGCCGACTGCTGTGTGGAAATCAACCACTGCGTCGGGTGCACTAAGTCATTTCGGCGATGACGCGGCCGTCCTGGCTCGGTCGAGCTGTGAGGAACCGGCATCGCCACGCCATCGAGCAGGCGTCGCATCGATGGCGTGGAGGTCGACGCGAAGATTCAGCACGAACGCGCCGTAAATTTTGATTTCCACACAGGCCAACAGAGGGCTGCGTCGACGTGCACAACGTGCTGGCCCCCGAGGAGCCGCGCGCGCCGCCGGCGAAGACGAAGCTTCGCATTCGACGGAGGAAGGAGCCGGCCCTGGGCCGCGTCGCGCACCTCTGATTGATTGTTCCCCTTCGTTCGTAAGATTGCTTTTGTTACATCATTCTTAGTAGGAGAACTGCCGCGCGTCGCCAGCTGATTTCTTGCCGTACGGGTTCGCCGCCGAGAAGGCGTGGCCCGACTGGCCCTTGCGCCGGTCGCCCTTCTTCGGGTTGCGCCGCGTCTTCTTGTCTCCCCTATGACTCAGGTTCAGGTCGACGCGCGGCGGCACGGCAAACCCGAAGCTCTCCGAGACGGCCTGGAGATCTAATGAATGGACGTCAAAAATGTCCTTGTGCGCGTGCGACGCGTAGGCCAGCAGGTACGACCGGTAGGCGTCCCGCGCGGCGCGATGCAAATAATAATTCTTCTCCACGAGTTTGGTAAGTGCCGACTGGATGTTCGTGACCTTGCTCATGTCGAACTCGTACTCGTGGAGGGCCACGCGCGCGTCGCGCAGCCACCGCAAGAACCCGAGCTCCGCCGGCGCCAAGAATAGTAACGCTCTCCCAGTCCCCGTCTCGCCGCGCGCCGTCCGGCCGACTCTGTGGACGTACTCGCGCGGGTCATCTGGCGGGTCGAACTGCACGATCCAATTGACCTCCGGAATATCTAAGCCCCGCGCGGCGACGTCCGTGCACAGCAGCACGCCCGACGTCGCCCGGCAGAACTCGAAGAACGTCGACGTGCGCTTCTGCTGCTTCTGGCGGCCGTGGATGTCGAGGACCTGTGTGCGTTTTTTTTTGTGGTGTTTTTCTCGTCGTGTGGCGTTGTCTCGCTGTGTGGCTTCGTTGTGTGTGGCTTTGTTGTGGCCTCACCATCGCGTCGATGGCGTACCGGTCAGCGTTGGGCTCGCTCGTCCTATCCGCCGTGCTCCCGGCCGTCGTCTGCCCTCTCTACGCTGTCGCCGCGTCTCTCGCGCCCCCACGCCATCGCCGCGGCGCTCTCGACGCGTGTCTGCTCTCGCGCCTCGGCCGCAGCCCGCGCGCGCGCCTCGGCCTCCGAGGCCGCGCGGTCGCGCTTGGCTTCGTGACGTCATCGCCGCGACGGCATCACCGCGACGGCATCGCCGTCGACGCGTCCCGTACGCCGTCGACGCGATGCGGCGCATGCTCTCGTACGCCGTCGCCGTGTCTCACAGTATCAAACGGGACGCCGCTTAGAAACCGGCACGTCAACATAATTCAGCAGGTCCGAGTAGTACTTGACCGCGTTGCACGACGAAAAAAACACCATCACCTTTTCTTTTTTGCGGTGTCTTTTTAGAAATGTAAATAAGAGCCGGAACCGATCCTTCGGCGCGACGACGACGTAGCCCTGCTCGAGACCCGCGACGGTCGCGTGCTGCTCCGAGTCGTGGACTCCTACATATACTGGATCTGTTTTGATCGCGAGTCTCGCCAAGTCTTCGACCTTTCTCGTTTGTGTTGCTGAAAATAAAGCCGTCTGCCGCTGCGACGGTAGGGCCTTCACAATACCCCGCAGATCTTCCTCGAAGCCCTGCTCGAGTAAGCGGTCCGCTTCATCAATTACGAACATCAGCAAATTCCTATATATAAACCCGCTCGTGTTCTGGAGGTGGTCCAACAGTCTACCGGGCGTCGCCACCAACAAACAAACACCCTTCACGAGTCGTTCCGCCTCGCCTCTCCTGTTCGCGCCGCCTATAACTAACCCGTGCGTGTGCGACGCGCCCGAGCCTCCCACGAGCTCGCGCAGCACGTTGTAGATCTGCAGCGACAGCTCGCGCGTCGGCGAGATGACGAGGCCGCCTAATCCTCTATTCTGCTGGAAGCGGGCTTTCGTGAGGAGGTCGACCTGCGCGCGTTTTGTGGTGTTTTTCGCGTCGTGGTCTCGCGTTGTCTCGTCGCGGCCTCGCGGCCCCGCGTCCGCCGATTGCTCTCTCGCCGCGTGGCGTCCTCGGCCGCTCTCTCCACTTCGCGTCGATGGCGTACCCGCCCACGCCGTCGCCGCGACCGTCACAAGTAAGAGGACGCCGCTCCAATACCATCGGCACGAGGAACGCGAGCGTCTTGCCCGAGCCCGTTTTGGCATTACCTAACAAGTCGCGTCCTTCTAACAACGGCGGGATCGCGCGTTCCTGGATCTTCGTCATGGTTCCAAAACCCATCTTCTTGATGCTTTCCTGCGTGCCCTCCGCCAGCGGTAAGGCGTCGAAGGTCAGCGTGCCGAACATGCTTGCGGCGTTCGCGTCGGACTTCGGCGGCGGCGCCTGCGCCTCCTCGGCGGGCGCCGCGTCCGCCGCGTCGGCTTCGTCCGCCGCGGGCTCGTCCGCGGCCGGTGCGGCCTGCGCGCGGCGGAGGAGTAAAGGCGCGTCCGCCTCCACGCTATCAACGACGGGTCCTCTCATCCGCTTCCACGCCATCGACGCGACGAAGGCCTGTATGACGCCGGCGCGGCACGGCTTCGTCCGCGGCCCGCTTCTTCGCCTTCTTCGCCTTCTTCTTCTTGGCCGCCCGGCTCTGGCCGCCGGCCTCGGGCTCGGCGGCGCCCTCGAGCTTGCGCTTCAGGAGCTTGGCCTCCTTCTTCTTGCGTTTTGCTTCCTTGCGCGCGGCTTTGGCTGCTGCGGCGTCCATGGTGTTTGTCAGCGCTGCGCGGCTGCAGGTCAAGTAGGCGATATTGGCTCTCAGTGGTGGATTTGGCTTTTGCGCGATTTTTTTTAGCCTGTCGCTGTTGCAGCGGTCGAGCGGGGCGTCGCAGAAGGGCTTGGATGGGGTTCGGCGAAGGCCGGTGTTTTTTTGTGGGAATTGACCCGCTGCACGCGGGTCAAATCGGGCTTCTCGGGTTTTTATTTTGACTTCTTCAGGGGGCGCGCATTGACCGAAGCCTCGCAACATGCGTGTTCGTACGCCTGTTTGATAGAAGAATGGCAGGACTAAATCAGGAGGGAGTATCCTCCTCGAGTTGGTGATGGCGCTTTAGCTAGCGTGGCTACATACTAGTCGCGTCTAACCCAGTGGCAGAGCACCAGCCTCGTAAGCTGATATTGGACCCTAAAAGTCCACACAGTCAGGTCGAGAGTTCGATCCTCTCAAGTGCCTGTTCTTCTTTTTGCATTTTTTTTGAACCTACACGACACCGCCCTCCTTTCTAGACAAAAACCAGCCCGAACGGGGCCCATCGAGGGTCAATAGGGCCTGTTGCGTTGTATATGGTTGGTCGACGCAGGGACCGGCCTAGCTAGTCCTCAGGACTTCCCCGAAGCCCGACGTGGCGTAAACAGACCCTCAACGCTCGCACCAGGCGGGTCCGGGCGTCGGACGGCGGACGCCCTGCAAACACGAAAAACCAACCACGACGCCGCGACACGGGCTAGCCAGTCCTCAGCCCTCCGGCGTCGCGCGACCGACGGGCTAGCTAGTCCTCAGCGCTCGCACAGCGCCCGCCCTGGACCGATCTACCCAGGTACGTCTACCGGACCCGCGCGCCGAGTGACAACGAAATCCACCGTGACCCTTGTAACCCGGCTAGCCAGTCCTCAGCCCTCCGGCGACGCGCGAACGACGTGCTAGCTAGTCCTCAGCACTAAAACGTCGTCTAGTGGGATCTTACCTACTAGCATTTTTGTGTGGCTAGCTAGTCCTCAGCACTCCGACGGTGCCCGATCGGCCTGCTAGCTAGTCCTCAGCGCTCAGACAGCGTACGCCAGACGACGGACTCCGGGCGAGCCGCGCGCGTCGTCCGCTCGATTAGGGCCTTCGATTAGGTAAAGAACACGGGGAGTTTAAACTGAATTCTACCCTCGGGGACGTCGCGGGGGCGGCCCGGGCCACGTGCACCTGGGGAGCACGCAAATGGGCCGTCACGACCTCGGGGCCCGGTTCGATGTTGCAGCGGTCGAGCGGGGCGTCGCAGAAGGGCTTGGATGGGGTTCGGCGAAGGCCGGTGTTTTTTTGTGGGAATTGACCCGCTGCACGCGGGTCAAATCGGGCTTCTCGGGTTTTTATTTTGACTTCTTCAGGGGGCGCGCATTGACCGAAGCCTCGCAACATGCGTGTTCGTACGCCTGTTTGATAGAAGAATGGCAGGACTAAATCAGGAGGGAGTATCCTCCTCGAGTTGGTGATGGCGCTTTAGCTAGCGTGGCTACATACTAGTCGCGTCTAACCCAGTGGCAGAGCACCAGCCTCGTAAGCTGATATTGGACCCTAAAAGTCCACACAGTCAGGTCGAGAGTTCGATCCTCTCAAGTGCCTGTTCTTCTTTTTGCATTTTTTTTGAACCTACACGACACCGCCCTCCTTTCTAGACAAAAACCAGCCCGAACGGGGCCCATCGAGGGTCAATAGGGCCTGTTGCGTTGTATATGGTTGGTCGACGCAGGGACCGGCCTAGCTAGTCCTCAGGACTTCCCCGAAGCCCGACGTGGCGTAAACAGACCCTCAACGCTCGCACCAGGCGGGTCCGGGCGTCGGACGGCGGACGCCCTGCAAACACGAAAAACCAACCACGACGCCGCGACACGGGCTAGCCAGTCCTCAGCCCTCCGGCGTCGCGCGACCGACGGGCTAGCTAGTCCTCAGCGCTCGCACAGCGCCCGCCCTGGACCGATCTACCCAGGTACGTCTACCGGACCCGCGCGCCGAGTGAAACCAAGTCCAGAAAAAACTTAACCACCATCTTCATCCCCCTCCACCATCCCCTTCACGATCTCATGCAAATCAAACACCGACGCCTCCGTCACGGCGGGCTCGGAGTCGACAACGTCCAGCACCTGCTCGTGCATCGCGAGGATGCCCTGGAGCTCGTCCTCGCCGTAGAAGCCCGCGCTCGTCGCCGGCTTGGCTGGGGCTTCGGCCGCTTCAGACAGCGCCGCGAGCCGCTCCCGCAGCTCCGACGCCGCCGTCCAGACGCGCGCGGCCGCGTCGACGTCCGCGACGCCGTCGAACTGGCGCCGCCGGCGTTCCTCCGACGTCATCGCGTTGGCGCCGAAGACCTGCGTGGCGTTCAAGTAAGACCTCTCAATATGCGTCAGGACGCCGCTCGCATACCGCGGGCTCGCCGTCGATCTCGACGGACACGCTCGGCCCCGCGCACTCGCCGTCGCAGGCGCCGCTCGTCACTTCCGCGTTCTCCGAGCTTTTGGCGAGCCCGTCCAGGGCCTGCTGCGCGTCGAACTTGGCGGTGGCGCACGCGCCGCACGTCCGGACGACGAGCCGCAGCGGCGCGAGCGCGCGGCTTTGTAGAACGAGTGCGCAGAGCCAGCAGCTGGTCCTTGTGAAGCGCATCGCGTCGATGGCGTACAGCGGTGCTCTCTTGTGCAGCTTGGCAACCAGGGCGCACGAGTGCGATGCGCGTCGCAGCGATGGGTTGTGCGGCTTGGTTGAGATCGGAACGGCACCTCGACGGCGTGCGAGGGCTTAGTTGTGCGTACGCCGCGCGTATGGTGCTATTTTGTCGTGGTAAAGCTAATGATAGCTAGCGGCCTGTAAGACACTAGCGAAATACCAACACAACACTTACTGGTTCTCACACAACTTCGCGACCGGAGGCAGCGGCATGCGCGACGAGCTGCTTGCGCCGCGCCTCGTAGAGGACCTCCGCCACGAGGATCGCGCGCGCCTGCCGCTCGCGGCGGGGACCGTCGGTCGGGAGCGCGGCCCACACGATGTCGACGCCGAAGATCGCCGGCAGGACGCGGTCGATCTCACTTCGCGACAGGAGGGGAACGCCGTCGGCGTCGCGCGACGGCCGCTCCAGCACGAGGCGCCGGTAGCTCTCGAAGTTGTCGTAGCTTTCGCAGTAGCTGTCTCGTTCGGCCCTGGCCCACGAGACACGGGTCACCGCCAACGGGACCCGAAGGGCGGCCACGAGGTAGCGCACGAAGCCGGCGTCGACAGCGTCGGCGGCGTCGCGACGCGCCTGCTCAATAAAATTGTGTCCGCGCCACAGGGCCTGGTCGATCGCCGCGAGCTCCGCGTCCACGTCCTCCAGGGGCCCCCAGCAAAACACGCGCGGCAGCGCCGGGCGCTCGGGCATGCGCTTCACACGATAGGATTCCAGTTGCCGGTCCAAAACATCCCACAGGTAGAGCCAGTTCTTCACGCCGAGCTCCTCGCGCTTCTTCTTGAGCTCCGCGCGCTTCCAGGTATTAAATTCGTAGTTCTCTATCGCGCGGTCGCGGCCGAACCTGGCTTCCAACGCGTTCGTCGCTTTAACGAGGCCGTCTGCTAACACTTCATACACGTTTCCCAAACCGTTGATACCTTGTATGAACTCCTCGATTTGATCCGGCGACCATGCTAGTACACATTCAAGATGTGTGCTTAGGAGTTGATGCCAACTGTCGACGCCGCAGTCCTCGCGCAAAAGCCTGACGATGCCCGCGAGGGGGTCCGCTTGATCTATGTGGAGCCGCTCGCGCACCGCTGTGATATCACCATATTTGAGAGCGTACGCTGCTTCGATCGCAGCGTACATTGCTTCGAGTGCATCGACGTTCATGGAGGCGCTTGTGAGCAGCGCAAATAGCAAGCAATCTCAGCCAGCAACGTCTAAAACCGACTACGCCGCCCGCAAACAGCGCGTCAACCTATGACCTGGCACATTAGCTAGCGGCCTGTAAGACACTAGCGAAAAAATCCAACACAACACTTACTGGTTCTCACACAACTTCGCGACCGAAGGCAGCGGCATGCGCGACGAGCTGCTTGCGCCGCGCCTCGTAGAGGGCCTCCGCCACGAGGATCGCGCGCGCCTGCCGCTCGCGGCGCGGGCCGTCGATCGGGAGCGCGGCCCACACGATGTCGACGCCGAAGATCGCCGGCAGGACGCGGTCGATCTCGCTCCGCGACAGGAGCGGAACGCCGTCGGCGTCGCGCGACGGCGGCTCCAGCACAAGGCGTCGCGCGAAGCCGTCGGCGTCGCAGTAGCTGTCTCGTTCGGCCCTGGCCCACAAAGCCGAGGTCACCGCCAACTGGGTCCGACATGCGGCCACGAGGAAGCGCACGAAGCCGGCGTCGACAGCGTCGGCCGCGTCGCGACGCGCCTGCTTAATCAAATTGTGTCCGCGCCACAGGGCCTGGTCGATCGCCGCGAGCTCCGCGTCCACGTCCTCCAGGGGCCCCCAGCAAAACACGCGCGGCAGCGCCGGGCGCTCGGGCATGCGCTTCACACAATAGTTGCGCTCCGCGCGGTGCCGGGTATTAAATTCGCAGGCTTCTTTTGCCCGTCGGGCCCCCAACCTGGCTTCGACTGCGTTCGTCACATTAACGAAGAGGTCCGCTGTCAGTTCACCAGAGTTTGCCACGAAGTCGATACCTCGTAGGAACTCCTCGGTTTCATCCGGCGACCATGCTAGTATGTCTTCAAGATGTTCTCTTAGGAGTTGATGCCAGCTGTCGCGGCCGCAGTGCGCGCGCAGGACCCTGACGATGCCCGCGAGGGGGTCCGCTTGATCAAAGTTGAGCCACTCGAGCACCGCTGTGACATCACCCGCAGCGTACGCTGCTTTGAGTGCATCGACGCTCATGGAGGCGCTTGTGAGCAGCGCAAACAGCAAGCAATCTCAGCCAGCAACGTCTAAAACCGACTACGCACGTTAAGAGCGCGTGAGCAATGACGCGACCGATTAGCTAGCGTCATGTAAGACACTAGGCATCTAGCCAGGATCCAAGAGTTTGGCCGCGACACGTGACGCAGCCGTAGCGCACCGGTCGGCATTGATTCGGGAACGGGCGCGTTCCATCAGTGGATCCGACGAGCGGTAGCTGCGGCGAACGAGCCAGGTCCACAAATAAGTGCTCTCCCAAAGCCAAGAGAGAGAGCTGCACCAAAAACAGCAGCAGCCACCATGCGCCGCGCGCTCGCAGTCCTAGCGACGGCCGCGGCCCTGGCGCCCGGCGCGAGGCGAGCACCACGCCTCGCGGCCTCCACGCCACTGAGGCCCTTGGCCGGCGCCGCGCTCGCCGCCGCGCTGTCGCTAGCCCCGCCGGCTAGCGCTCGGCCGCCCTCGCCGAGCGTCTGGCAGGCGTCCTACGCCGACCAGCTCCACCCCGGCTGCGAGCGGAAAATCAGCATCGAGAAGAACGGCGACCGCGTCATCGCGCACTTCGCCGGTGCGGGCGCGGCGTCCATCAAACTCAACAACGACGAGGCGTCGCGTCGATGGCGTGCGGTGGCGCCGCGCCGCCAACGCCGCGCCGCCGCGACGGGAACGCAGACGGCGTCGGTGCGTCGCTCGCGGGGCTGAGGCACGTACTCTCAAACGCCCAACGCCATCGCCGCGCCGCCTCGACACCAAAACCAAACGCAGGCACCGACGTCGGCCCCAAGGGCATCGGCGACAAGGTCTTCCTCGCGTGCTCGCCGGACAACGTCGAGAAGTACAAGCTCCGGACCTGGGCCTTCGACGGCGAGATCGTCGGCGACCGCATCGACGCGGGCGACGGCGTCCACGCGGGCACGTGGAACGTGAACTTCAAGGGCGCCGAGAACCCGTGGACGGGCATCCGCTGGAAGGACGGCAACCGGTGGCTCAAGCTCGAGGAGGAGTAATAAAACCTGACTGTGTATCTAAACGCGTCGCGGCGATGGCGTGCGGACGGGTCAACTGTCCAGAGAGTCGCTAAATTGCTACCATTAGACGTCCTCCAGTGACGGCGGCGTTTCGCGGACGCGGAGAAACGCTCGCGCTTCTTGCAGATACTTCTCAACATCCGAGGTGAGCGGGTGCATGCCGCCAAAGACGCGCCGCGCGATTCGCCCCGCGTCCTCGAGCGTCGTCACGGCCTCGCGGAGATCGTCGAGCGTGGCGCCGCGGTCCTACGCCTCGACCGCGACCGCGACGGCCTCCTTGTATTTTTTGTCGGCGTGGTATTGCTCCGCGTTGCCGCCGCGGTGAATTAACTCGCAGATCTGCTCGTGGCCGCGTCGCCAGTGGTCCTGTTGGCAGGTGGCACTACAATATCTGGTTTCGCACCGCACACATCGCGGCGCGTCGTGGGCCAGTGGGGCGGCGCAGGCGGCGCAATTTGTGAGGATCATCTTGCGTTGGCGGGGCGTCTGTAGAACGTTAGCGTCGCGCGGCGTGTTTTTTGTGAGTTGAAAAAATCGGGTTTTCCAGCCTACGCGCGACGCCTTATCGCGTCGACCTCCACGCCATCGATGCGACGCCTGCTCGATGGCGTGGCGATGCCGGTTCCTCACCGCTCGACGGACGCACCCGACGCACTGGTTGATTTGTGCACAGGTCTGGACCGTCGACGAGGGCGCGGCGCTCCGGGCGCTGCTGTCCCGCGGCGCGGACGCGGTCTCCGTCGTGTCGAACGCGCCGTTCGCGCTCCAGGAGGAGCTCGAGGCCCTGCGTGTAGCCCAGGGGTGTAGGATAAAACACACATGAACTATCTTACCACTCGTCGTCCTCCTCCTGCTGCAGCCGCCGCTCCTCCGCGGCGGCCTCCTCCTCGGCGGCGAGCCGTCGTTTCTCCTTCTCCTCGGCCTGGCGCTCGGCTTCCGTCAAGGACGCCCAGCGCTCGGCCTCGGCCTCTTCGGCCTCCTTGCGCGCCTTCTCGCTCTCCTCGAGGTATATCCGGGCGGCCTCGGACGCGTCCCAGGCGGCCCTTTCATCATCATCCATCGCGTCGACGCGTTCCTGCTCCAGCGCCTTCTCCTCGGCCACGAGCTTCTGCGCCGCCTCGAGCAACGGCTTCTTCTCCTCGATAACAGCTTCGATGGAGTCCATTTTCGCATTCATCTGTTCTACCGTTCTATAATATTCGTCCTTATCTTCATACATCTTCCTATTCCTTTCCTTCAGTTTGTTGACAAGTACTTGTATCTCCTGCTGCTGTTCGAAGAGTTGCTCCCACGACGGCGGGTCGTCTCGCGAAATCCCTTCGACCTCCGTGGGCATCTCGGGCATCTTCTTGAACAGCTCCTCGTGGGCGTCTTTCAAACGCTGCATGGCCTCCTGGCGCTTCGCTTTGAGCGCTTTGTACTTGTCATCGTCTATCAGGAAGTTGGGCAGCTCCCCGCCAAAAATCTCGACTTCGTTTTTGGCCTCCTCGGCGGCCATGGCGCATCGACGGCGTCTTGCGGGGGCTGCCTCGGCCAGTCCTTCGGCTGCCTTCCAAGCGTTCAGCCGAGCAACGCTGCAGCTTGCTTGTGGCATAGACATACTAGGGAGCCGCGGCCATTGATCGATTCAGGGGCTTGCAGTCAAGGGGGCAGCCCAAAAACTCACCATGAACACCCTCCCCGACGACCTTCTGTGTCGCTGCCTCGCGCGCGTACCGCTGGCCGATCGCGTACCTGCGGAGCGCGTCTGTAAGGGCTGGTACGAGGCCTTCGCCTCACGTGCGTACACGGTCGCGCGCCGCGCGTGCGCCGAGCCCGCGTGGCTCGTGAAGGGAGGTCGGGAAGGAGCGACCGGTGGAGTATTGGATAAATGCCATATGCTCGACAGCTCGCTTCGAAAAGTGGCCGAGCTGGCACCGCGCCTCTCATACAGTACGGGCTCCGCCGTGATACCCGGTCTCGGCGTCTTAGTGATGGGAGGCTATGGCGGGGCCTATCAACCTACAGCCACGGGCTGGGTGCTCGACCTGCAAGCGGGGTCAACGTGGCGACATTGGGCCGACCTGCCGGCGCCCTGTGGGAGGCCGTCCCTTTGTGCTCTGGGCGAATCGATTTATGTGGATTGCTGCTATAACATGCATAGCGATGACGCCCAGAGTGAATTATTGCGATATGACAAGCAGGGAAACCTGCTAGAGACAATCCAGAAGCCCGACGCCATTCGTCGGCCCCTTGGTGATGCTCCTGTCCTGTGCGCAATTAATGGTCGTCTGTTCGTAATGACTCAAGTTGATGCGGATCTTCCAAGTTATCGCATGGATAGTTATGATCCTGCCACTGGCGCGTGGCAGCGTATGCCTGATCCTCTGCTCCAAGCCTACGGGTTGAATGCTGGAGCTGCAGCGCACGCTGGAAAGCTTTATAGCATTGGTGGCCTTGTCTATACAGATACGATGGTCAGACAGGATATAGCTGACGTGCGGGTGTTCGACGGCCAGGAGTGGTCGACTGGACCGCCCCTCCCTACTCCTGAGTACTGCGACGTCGTGGTCTCTGCCGGGGACCGCATCTTTGCCGTGGTCGATAACTTCAGAAGGGCGTACGTGCTGCACGACGGCACGTGGCACTCCCACTCTTGTGAAGAGACGGAACTCATAGCTTTCCCCTTTGTAGTCCCTATCGGATCTGCGGTCGCGGGCCACATCGCCTAACGTGAGACTTGGTTATGTACTTACTTAATGGGGATGGACAGGACTAGGGCTCGAGGTTCAGCGCGACGCCCGCCCACTCGGCCGCGAGCCGCGCCCTTTCTACGGTCTGCGCCGCCTGGTCGTCGGCTAATTGTCGTTCTAGATCTGATAAACGAGCCACGCGGTCCTCCAGCCGATCCAAGCGCGCTGCCACTAAAGCGTCCAAAGCCGCCTTGCCGTCGTCGACCACCACCGGCACAGGCGGTTTCAATACCGGCTCGGACTTGGCGATCTCCTTCACGTTCGCAGGATCTAGATCGACGAACTTCGCGCAGCACTGGATCGGCGTGACGACGCCGCCCTCGGATTGGGACACGTCCGAGGCGCACGTCTGCCAGTCGCTGCCGACCGACGCCGACGCCACCAACGCTTTGAGGCGCCCCGGCGTCCACAAATCTTCATTCTCGGAAGGCGGCGGCTCGACGGGCGCGGGCTGCCGCGGCCTTCTCCGACGGTCGGGCGGCACCGCGGCGTTGACCGCGCCGATCGCATCCAGATAGCTCCACAGCCGTAACGCCGCCGCCGCGTCGACGGACAACCGCTGGCGGCAGATCGTGGCGGTCAGGAACTGGTCCGGCGCCGACCGTTTGGAGAGAGACACCATCCAGGCTTTTGCTGCTAAAAACGCGGCCGGCGTCTTTGAGCTGTCTCCACAAAACCATTCCGGGCACGCTGCTCTGTCTAATCTGGTAGAAGACCGGAACGCCTCCCCGTCGAGGACGACAGACGATGATGGAGGCGCCGGCGCTTGTGGTGTTGCCGCCGGTGCAGCGGGAATGTCGCGCGGCCGGTCCGCGCCGACCCTCAGGCCCGCGTTCGTGATGTCGACGCGCGCGTTCGATCCCCCTGAAGGCCGCGCCGCCTCGTGCGCCTTGACGCGGAACTTGCGGCGCGGCGGCGGCTGGTCCTCGCGCTTCTTGCGTTTCCGAGACTTCTTCGGCTCCGGTTTGATCGGCTCGGGCTCGTCCTCCTGCGTTGAATGACTCTGACGGTCGCGTCGATGGCGTCGCGGCGGCGTGGAGTCGCTTCGACTCTCTCGCGCAACGCGTGGACTCTCGCGTGCTCACGACGACGGCGTCGCCGCGACCGCGGTCTCTCAAACGGCTCAAAATCGAAAAAGAGACCACCCACGTCCATCATTCCCGGAGACGATTCATGAAGATGGCGTAAGACGCGGAAACACGCACCTCCTCCTCCTCCACATAATCTCTTTCGTCGCCGAACTCGTTATATACTTTCGCGTCTCGCAAAAAGCGGCAGCAGACGCGCCAGGGCTGCCCTCCCTGGGTTAGTGGCGGTCTTGCCCAGGCGTCCACGTCCTTGAGAGGCGGCGGCGCGCCCTCGACGCGCTCCAACGGGATCCATTCGTCACTCGAATCGGGCCGGTACCACCAGTGCACCAGCGCTAGATGTCGCGCGTCATCCACTACTAGTGTCCTCAGATACTCGGACTCGTCCACAATCGCATCCACCGCCGGATTGAAAAATACAATATGTGTTGCGGACGCTTCCTCGTTTACTACCGTACAATTCATGTCTCGCGCTATCGTCGTCAATTCCCTCCTATTCCGCGCGTCGACCGTCGTGTCGAAGCAGATGCGCTTCTCCTGGGTTAAGCCCGCTTGCAGCCAGGCCTTTTCTACACATTGTAGGGCTTCCTCGTTTACGTTTTTTCGTTGATTCGCGTCCAAGGCTATCAAAGCGGTTTCTAACCCACCATCCGCCGACGCGTCCCTTAAGAGTCGCGCGGGGAGCTTCGGCTTTGTTGATCTACTAGCGTTTGTTGTGGCGAGCGCTTCGCACAACGCGGCCAGGCGCTCGACGGGCTCGCCTAATCTTTTAGCGAGGCCCTTGGCCCGCTGCCGGAACTCGGCTCCACTATACTGGCAGGCGGGCTTACCGAGGCCGGCCTGCGACATCTGTCCTGCGCGTCGGCGGCGTGTGCCGGTGTGCTGGTTGTGCGTGCTGGGTTACGTCGGCTTCGGCGGCGTCGTACGCTTCGGCGATGCGAAGGGCTCGGTGGCACGCGTCGGCGGCGTCACAAGTGCTGGTGTGCTTACTGGTTACGTTGGTGCGCGCGTCGGCGGCGTGAGGTATCAGCGATTCGTGTCGCTCGGTAGACTGTCGAGCTGGCAGCTTCCGCACTGCGCCAGTGTGCTGTGAAAGCCGAGCACGAGCTCTCTCTGCCTTGACTTTCTAGTGTCTTATTGCCGCTAGCTACACGAGCTAAACTTTTGGCCTTTTGCGAGCTAATGCTGATTATCAATACGCAAACGGCGTTCAGCACATCTCACAGTCGTAGCGCACCCCTGCCCAGCTTCTTGCAGCGGTCGCGAATCGCTCAGCTTGACCACTGCAGCTGCAAAGCTAGAACGTAGCACGCATGGCCAAACACATAACCCTGATGCTGCGGGCGCTGCTCGCAGCACTGGCCGGATCCCTGCGGCAGCCTGCGCGCCGCGCAATGGCGTCACGCCGCGCACTGCTCGCCGGCGCGCCCGCGCTTGTCGTCCCCGGCGCGGCGCTTGCGGACCCGTCGCTCCTCTCGACGGTGCAGGGCCCGCTGCAGGACGCCATCGCGCCGGGCCACTGGCTCGGCCAGTTCGTCGGGCTGAACAGCCGGACGGAGCGGTGGGAGTTCGCCGGGAGCCCCGCGGAGGTGTCCGCCGCGCTCGTCGCGGTCCTGGACGAGCTCACGCCGGAGCGGCGCGCGAAGCTGCTCATCCCCGAGTTCCGCGTGGCGCGGGCCGACGCCGGCGGCGTCCACGTCCTCACGTGGACGAAGGCCGAGTGGCTCGACAGCCTCGACGTGCGGCTCGAGCCCCGCCGCGCCGGCACCGCGGCCACGGCGAGCTTCTACGCGACGGGGTTCTTCCCCACGTCCCTGCCGCTCGCGCCGCTCCTGAACGTCGGGATGGCCTGGCTCCCCTTCGCGTCGCCGGGCCCCCGCAACGAGATGCTCCAGGCGTTCCGGCTGCGCGCGCTGAAGGGGCTCCTCGACAAGAAGCTCGCGAATGTGTAACTGACTGAATGTAATAGATATTCAAGACCTTTAGTGCACAGGAGGGAACGGACGGGAGAACAGAGACGGACTAGACCTTGTCGGCCGCGGGCTTGACGTCGGACTCCTCGCCGACGACGCTCGCGTAGCCCAAGGCCGGCGTCGCGGCCTCGGCGAGCTGGATCCAGTGCGAGCGGGCCCACGACGGCCGCGTACGCCGTCAGGATCAACGCGACAAATCCGGTCCCGTCAAACAGACCGAAGACGCACAGCACCGCCAGCGCCGTCGTGAAGACGTAGACGCGGCGCGCGGCGCTCACAGACCCGTCGGCGGCCTTGAGCGCGAGGCAGCCGTACACGAGGAAGACGAGCGCCGTGAGCAGGAGGAACAGGACGCCGTACGACGCGGCGAAGGCGATCGCGTCTCTTGTTTTGTTGAGGAAGTCTTGCGCGCAGACCTCGTCGGCGATGCACTCGTCCGTGTAGATGAAGCCGCCCCACGAGAACGCGCCGACGACCGGGTCGTATAAATTTTCGAAGCGGGGCTCGAGGGCCTGAGCAATGAGCAGAGCGACGGCGAACGTGAACGCGCCGGCGGCTTTCGAGAGGTAGACGCAGCCGATGCAGGCGACGCCGACGCTGTGCTTCAGGCCGAGGAACTTCTCGACGTAGAAGCGGCCGCGAGGAGGAGGGGGCGTCATATTATGACTGGTGGTAGTTTTTGTGCCCGCGCGTCGCGTGGTTTGCAGGGAGAGTTTCGTCTGGGCCCAGAGAGCCTGAGGCTGAGGGAGAGTTTCGTCTGGACGCGCGACGGCTCCACGGCAAGGCAAAGTAAGACACTAGAAAAGAAGTTAAACGAAGAGCCGATCTAAAGCATCCGCGTGGTCGCCGCGGAGCCGCTTCGCCTCGCGCGCCGCCGCCGCGTCCAGGTCCCCATGCGTCACGTTGCCGCCGCGCGCCGCGGCCCGCGCGGCGCCGTCGAGCACGGCCCGTCCGATGGAGGCGGGAAGCAGCTCGTGGCGTCTTCCCAATACATTGAGATCGACGTCGGCATCCAGAGGCACGCTTGATGGTAACGCGCGCCGCCAGACCGCCGCTCTGAGTTTGGCATCGGGAGCTCCGATGGGCATCGAGAAGCGCAGCCGTCTCGTGAGTTGCGGCGCCAGACGCACCCCTCTGACGTCCTCGATGTGCGCCACCAATAGTACAGGTCCCGGGAAGCGCGCGAGTCTATCTAGAGCGCGAGCTAGACCCGGCGCGCAGTCCAAAACACCGGAGTCGGACGGCACGACTAACGCATGTTCGAACCCGTCCAACACGGGCACGGCATCCGACAAGCGCGCGTCGTCGAGCGCCGCCTGGAGCCGCTGCTCCGTCTTCTTCGCGTCGTCGCAGAGCGCGTCCCTCGCGTCCACATCATACGTCCGTCGCCCGAGCGCTTTCGCTAGGGCGTGGCCGCACGTCCGCTTGCCGGCGCCGCGCGGACCGTATAACAAACAGATCGTGGCACTCGGCGCCTTGTGGTCCGCGAAGCCCCAGCGCCCGTAGACGATGCCGCGCTGCTGCTCGAAGACCACTAAATGCTCGAATTCTCTCCTACATTCCGGCCGCAACGCGAGCGTCGTGAAGGACGCGTCGGAGTCATCCTCCTCATCTTTTTTACCTAGCAAGGCGTGGTGCTTGTGCATGGCTCCTCTTTGCTGTAAAGCACAACCCCTTCGAACGTCTTGCTCGCTGACAATTGGTGTAGATTTGCTCCGCGCCAGGGCGAACAACACCGCAGCTAGGAGCGCGTTCTTGATAAAACCTCCAGACAGCTCATATTTCAGCGCGACGGCGTCCCAATCTACTGACTCGTCAGTAACTACTTTCCCCTTCGCCACCAGACCCTCCCAGATTGCTTTTCTCTCGGACGCGCCCGGGGGCGCATATTCTACCACAGTACTAATACGCCGGTGCATCGCCTCATCTAGCTCCGCCGGTCGATTCGTCGCCAGAAACACGAGACCCTTGCACTTCTCGATCTCCTGGAGCATCGCCCGCAACAATCGGTCCGCGCCGCCGTGGTCCCTCGTGCGGAACAACGCCTCGCATTCATCAAAAAATAACACCGCATCGGACATCTCCGCCTCGCGAAATAGGCCTCTCAGATCCGCATCCACATCATCCCCCCCTTGGTGGTGCTTGCCTCGCAACGACGCGAAGTCGACTTGCAAGACGCGTTTTTTCAGTTCTCTTGCTACACCTGCGTGGCGAACGACGGTCGTCGGAGGCGCGTCGCGTCGATGGCGTGCGAAGGACGCCGCGCCAATACCGTGCACGGTCATCGTCTTGCCCGTTCCCGAGGGACCGCACAGGAGCACCACAAAACCATTACCGTAGGGCACTGCCCGGTCGAACAGGCCCGTCCGCTTCGCGTGGTCCGCCAGGTCAAAAAACGCCGCGCACAGCTCCACGAGTTGTGATTTCTGTTTTCTCGGCAGAACGACGTCTTCGAGATGAGTCGTGGGGGCATACAGTTCCGAACCTTCCACTAGCTCATCGATCTCCGTATCTAAGCCTACGACGAAGTCCAGGACTCGTCGGTCTAGTTCTACTCGTTGTTCCGTTAGGTCCGCCGAGCCCGACGAGTGCCACCTCGACCTTTGGAGTCGTACTACTCCTCGTCTCACAAGCGTAGCGCCCTTGTAGAACCGTCTCCGATGCGAGACTTGGTCGGCGAAGCCCTCCGGACAGAATATTGATAACAAAGCGCCGACCGTCGTGCTATCGTCCAACCTTTGAACAGCGGACCCGGACTCCATCCCATCCATGAGACTTTTGACGGCCGGCGAGATAGTTCTACCTACTAACAAAGCCACTACCTTCGTCTCCCACTCATCTAAACCTAGTTTCGTCGCGAGCTGCAGCAACCGCGGTTTTGTGGAGACAGAACATCGTCGAGACACTTTGGTCTGGGCCACCCTCAGCTTAGCCTTCAGTTCTCTAGCCCCAGCCTTATTGCCTTCTTCCTGGGCGTACCACGTTCGAGTGGTCCCGGACTGCTCCTTGATATTACTCTTGATGGTGGCCGAGGCGAGCCGCACGTGCAGCGCGACGACCTCGAATAACTCCGACAGGTACTCCAGCTCATTGTCGGACGCGTAGGGCTTCACTTCGTCGTCCTCCGGCGGCGACGGCGCCCGAGAGACGGGCGACGTCGCGGCCGCCTTGAGGACGTCCGCCAGAGTATCATCTGTTGAAGACGGCGTCTTGACCGGGGGCTTCTGTTTTGCGGACGGCGTGTCGAGGACGTCCATGGCGGCCCCTTCCTCCCGCAAAATAACCTCCAGCTTACTGCCAGACGTCTTCAATAATTCGTCTGGAGGTAGTGTTTCACCTAGTAAAACTCGAGCCGTCACGCGCGCCACGCGCAGGGGTGGTATGCCACCGGGCGACAAGTAAGCGTCCGCGTCGTCGGACACGAAGACGACGTTTTCCTTCACGTAGAGCCGTTCCGCGTCGGCAAACGCCTCGACCTCCAGCTCACTACAGGCCGCGAGGCGGCAGAGCAGGTTCGCCCGCCGCGCGTGGTCGTCCTCGATGAGCGTGCATCGTACGGCGTCCGTCTGGCAGGCCGCCATGACGCAGAGGCACGTGAAGAGCCGGTCGTCGCGGCCGTTCGGTTCCAGCTCGTAGGCTCTCGCTAGTCGATACAAGCGGGGCTTGCGCTCCGTCTGTTCTAGTCTTGAATCGCGCCAGGCGCTACACGACGTCAAGAAGGCGTCGACGACCTCGAGGCGGCGCTGCAGGCCGTCCCTATCTTCCCTCCGCGAGATCTTCAGGCCGTCGCTGGTGCGACTTCCCCCCCAGCCCGTTCCTTCCTTGGTATCTATTTTGACGATGTCCACTCGACAAGAGGAGTCGTGGAGCGTCGCCGCCAGCGTGACGCGTAACGCTCGCAGGTAGACTAGCAACTCAAGATGTTTCAAGTACGCGCGCTCGCTCCCATAAGAATGGGGCGCCTGCGGCACGAGCTCCTCGCGGAACTCGGCGAGGTTCGCCCAGAGCGCGGGCGCCTCCTTTTCTAATCGTTGGGACGCGTCGCGCATCGCGTCGGCGGCTTGGCCATTTTGCGGCGCGGCGGCGGGCGCGCGCGCGCGCTTGCGGGGCGCGGGCGATGTTGTTGACGTGGCTCGCTTCGAGCCCGCCATGGTGCGACGACCGATGCAAATGACTTGGGGCTCTCAGAGACTCTTTTGCTTTTCTCTGCGCGGACAGCAAGTGCGCAGGCGTTCACACTGCAGCTGGGGTGTCCCTGGGCGCGTGTAGCGTGTCGTCTTGCACCGATGCTCGCCAGCGCGGCGTGTTTTGACTGTCTGCTTTTGTCTTTGCTAGTGTCTTACTGTCGCTAGCATCACTGGCGGCTGAAGCTCAGTAAAGCGGTTCTGCGGCGAACGATGCGTAAAACGCCGTAATCGCAAAGGCACAGCATCGCTGCAGTGCTGCGCCACGCTGCTGCATGGCTATACAGAGGTAGCAGAGATCACGAGGCATGTAAAGCAAACCAGCTTTACGCCGCCGCCGCGAACGCCCAGACCAGTGCAGCAGCAGCTCTCCCAGACGCAAAAATAAAACGCGCAGCGCACAAAGCCAGCAGCCATGCAAACCACCAAGCGCCGCCGCCGCCGCCGCCGCCGCCGCGCGAGCCCGGCGCGCTGCCTCGTAGGCTGCTTATGCATTGCCATCCTCCTGTCGATCTACACGGCGCTCTGGGCGACGAGCGACGTCGAGACGGACGACGCGCAGCCGCGCCTGCGAGGCGTAAACCGAGACCGCATGGCCTTCCTGTTCCTCGTGCGCGACCAGATCCCCACAGCACCAATCTGGAAGGCCTTCTTCGACGACGCCGACGAACAAGGCGCCCGGGGCCTCTACAAAATCTACACGCACCCGCGGCCGGGATTCGCATACGCGCCCTCGTCGCTATTTTACGGGACGGAGGTTACAAATCGGACGCGCGTCAAGTGGGGCGCCGTCACGGTCGCGCGCGCGGAGATGAGACTCATCGTATCAGCATTACGAGACCCGCGGACGCAGCGGTCCATTTTGATGAGCGAGGCCGGCGTGCCACTGCACCCGTTCTGGTGCCTGCACACGTACCTCTTTTCGACAGAGAGGTCCTTCGTGGCGTCGTGGCGCACCGACGAGCGACGAAAAGTGTTGTACGACTTTGGTGTGGAAGATGACCTCTACAGGAAAAGGTGGCGCAAGGGCCACCAGTGGGTCGCCCTGACGCGGAAGCACATGGCGTTGCTGGACGCGGCCCAGTACGAAACATTTAGGAAGGCCCATGCGATGTCGTCGCGCGCGGCGGACTTTCGGCGCGAGTGGCGCGGGCCTGCAAAAGAAGCCGACGACACGCACCACTGTTTTGCTGATGAGCACTTCGCGGCGACGACGTTGGCCGTCCACGGCGTCGAGGGCGAGTTGGTTCCTGTTCGCTGCGGCGTCCCTTCGACCTTCACGCCATCGACGCGTGCGAACGCAGGCCTCGCCGACCTACATCTCCTTCGGCGCCTACCGTCGCGAAGGACGACGGCTCCTCGCTCCTTTGGACATCACGCAGCCCATGAAGCGCGACTGGCGCGCGACGACGTACAAGCCCGCGGACGTCACGCGCGAATTATTGGATGTGGCGCGGGGCCGGTGCCGCTTTTCGACCGATCCAGCGCCGCTCGCCGACGCGGACTCGACGATACGAACGCCCCTATCAAAAGTCACGGCGTGGGCCGCCTCGGAGAGAGACGCGCGGCGCGAGTGCCGCTTTCTTCATGAAGACGCGCCGTGCTACCTCATGATGAGAAAAATACCAAAGGAGACCGTGCCGAGGTACCTCGAATCATATAAGAACAACTTATCGTAACTTAGATTGTATCGGCGGACAGCACCCAAGCATCGTGCCGTCATCCGTCGGGCAGCAGTCGCCGCCCGTCAATCCGATGGCTCTACAGGCCGTGTTCTTGGCGCAGGAGGCGGCGACGGCGTGGGGGGCGCGCACCGTGTTGTTTGATGATTTGCAGCACCCTAGGTAATTTCCGGAAGTGTCCGGGCAACATGCGCCCTGCAGTTTGAGAGCGGCACAGGCCGAGTTGTCGTCGCAGGCGCCCCGCCTCGTTGTGGTCACGGTAGCCACATTTAACGGATCGTGGCAGCACGATTGTGATTGACCATGAGCGTCCGGGCAGCAGTCTCCGACCAGACCCATCCCCACACACGCGGTGTTGTCCACACATCTAATCGCGCCGCCGTGCACGCTGTTAATGGCCTTCGGGTTCGGCACGGACACGAACACGACGCCGCACAACAATACTGCTCCAATAAGTAGTCCTGCGCCGAGCCAGCGCTTGCTCGCGTGCGGACTCCTCCCGTGCAGGACCTCGATGTCCTCGGCGCCGCTCGCGCCGCGCCAGGTGTCTTGGCTATCGTTTCGCGTTCGGTCCATTTCTCTTGTTGTTTGTTGTTATTTGTTTTTGGCGCGCTCGGCGTCTGCAGATGCGAGTGCAGCTGAGGCTGGCGTCTGAACAGCGCCTGGGGCGGCGTTTCGTGCGAAACCTGTGCTCCGGTGGCCTCGCGTCAATGAGATCTGGCTCTGCACAGTACGCAGAGAGCCGGCGTGACCTGCTTGCTGCGTTTACAGCCGCGAAGCATCAAATTAAGCTAAAGAGCTAGCGGGCTGTAAGGCACTAGCGTACACGGCCGCTATCGAATTTCCTCAACCACTCATCTTCAAGTTTCTTTAAGAGCATGTTATACGACGAAAAGAAAGCTGCGCTAGTCTGCTGCCTATTTTTTGCATGCCCAAACTTTGATAGCAATATACAGGTTAACGGTACGGGGCACGCTCGAGTCGGCAAGCTGACGCGCGAAAACACTCGCGACGGGTGTGCCTCACGCGCCTTGCAACGAAAAGCCTGGTTCTCTTGACACGTAATTAGGCCGACAAAAAGTTGCCGGGCATTGGACACCAAAAATGCGCCACGCGACGCTCCTCGCGTTAGCGGTCGCCGCGGAAGCGACACTCAACGTAACCCTCACGAACAATTTAGTCGGCGTGACCACGGTGCGCGTGAATGGCGCCGGCCTCCGCGTCGAGGCGACCCTGACCGCGGACGCCACTCTATTTCACGCCCGCTACCGTGAGGTCCACATCGCGGACGGCAGAACAACCATCACGCGGCGAACCCCGCGCCCGCACCACGCCGGGACCGCTTCTGGTGAAGCGGACGGCGAATTTTTTGCGGACGGCCGCGCGACCGCGACCATAGAACAAGGCCGCGTGAAATCGTTAGTGGTACGATTACCAGGAAAGCATGTTGAAATTCACGAAGAAGATGGCACCTACGAACGCGTGCACGCTCCCTCCAATGATTACGTCTGGGCCGAACCGAAGACCTTTTCGGCCTGGCCTGGACGGGGGGCATGTGCGACGCCCTTGGGAGGTCTTCGGCCGTAGAACAGTCGGCCTTCTCCTCAAAAGCCTTTGTTGGGACCATCGTGGCCCACGAGCTCGGCCATAACTTAGGGATGCCCCACGACGCCGGAGGGAAATATTTGATGGCTCCCAGGAGTTGGAAAGGGCTCGAGTGGCCTCTCTGAACGAGGCGCAGCGCCAGGCGACGGGCACGTCGTTCTCGCGGCGCGAGATCCAGGAGCTCGAGGCGGCTAGAAGGGCGTCCCTGGCCGCGGACGCCGACCGCCAGCGGCGCTACGCGCAACGGCGCGAGGCCGCGCGCCGCCGGGAAAGGGATGACACGGCGGCCGCGCTGGCGCTGTCACGCGTCACGTCCGGCCAGTCGACGTCGCGGTCGGTGCGCCGCCCGCCCCCCTACTCCGCCGCCGCGCCGCCGCCGCCGCCGCCGCCGCCGCCGAACCCGTTCCGGGCGACGCCATCATCATCACGCGGGGAGTCGTCGTATGCCCGGCGCGAGCGGTTGTCGCGGCAGATGGACTTGTAGGCTCCGACCACTCTTCTTTCCTTCCCCACGTTCTAATATTAACAACAATTAGTCGAGCGCCCACCCCGCCCGTTCAACAAGGTCGACGACAATCGCGTCCGCGTCGCCCTGGAGAAAGACGTCGCGCGGCACGGGGGCCGTCTCATTAAAGTCGAAGCCCCCACTCAGCTTCCCCATGGACGGCGGGAACGCCACGTCCGGCTGGTGCTCGCCGACGCGGTCCCTGTTTATTAACACGCGCGGCATCGTCCCGAGATCGATGAGCGACGCAAAGGGGTGCACCTCCAGCGACGTGCCTATGACTAACAACAGCTCCGCTTCGTCGAAGTCCTCCCTTAACGACGCCCAGAACCGATCGGGCAGAGCTTCGCCGAAAAAAACGATGTCCGCCTTGCACAGTCCGCCGTTCTGTGCGTTGAAGGCATCCGTCGTTCCTTCATAAATGGCTCTCCTGAGTGCTTCGGCGTCTACTTTCTCGCCCGTCGCTATACACGTCGCACTGTCGAAGTTCCCGTGGGCCGCCACGACGAACTCCGCAGGGACGCCTGCCGCTCGTTCCAGAGAATCGATGTTCTGGGTATAACAGCGTATCAACTGGTTCTTATCCGCCAATAGTTTCACGAGCTTGTGCGCCTTTGTTGGACGCGAATCGTCAGTCGGCCACAAGGCTTTGGCCAACTCGTAGAACGGCTGCGGGTTCGTGCGGAAGAAGTCGAGCTCGAAGACGGCTTCCGGGTAAGGTAAACCACTAATTTCTAGAGTGTCGTAGAGCCCGGTTCCTGGTGTCCGGAAGTCGGGCAGGCCCGCCGCGACCGAGGCTCCTGCCCCTAACATCACCACACATCTTGCGCCGTCCTTGAGCAGTGTTGCCACTCCATCTACATCGCGTGTCGGTGGCAGCGTCGCTTGCGTGCGCACGAGTCTTCGAGCGCTGCTGGGAGCCGCGGCGCGGCAGCAGTAGGCGAGGGTGGCGGCTAGCGTTCTCGCTACTGCAGCCATGCTTGCTCAGCGATGCGAGCTGTTGCAGAGCTGCGGCTGCGCAGCGGGAAATGCCCACTAATGGCGCCCGCAGCGCTCGCTTTCCAAAAGCTAATGCTGGCGAGCTAGCGTGCACAAGGCCGCTAGCCTTTCTACCTCGGGAGCACGAGCTCAGTAGTAATCGACGCTACGCTTATTTTACACGAAGCGTGAGCCCCTACGTTAGCGCTTTCACACCAGCATTCCATATCCCGAGCGTTGGTGGCCGCGCACGCGACGCCAGCACCTCCACCCAGCAGTGCACAAGTCCAGAAACGCGCCGCGCGCGACACCAGGCAGTGCCGCAGCCCAGGAACCATGTCCCTGAAACGCGTCCTCGTCGGCGTGAAGCGCGTCGTCGACTACGCGGTGCGCGTCCGCGTCGCGGGCGACGGCTCCGGCGTCGAGCTGGCAAATGTCAAAATGAGCATGAACCCCTTTTGTGAAATTGCCTGCGAGGAGGCGATCCGCCTGAAGGAGAAGGGTGCGACGCGGCGTCCTGATCCTACGCGCGTCGTCTCCATCTTCCGATGACGTGGGTGGTCTCTTTGTCGATTTTGAGCCGATTATCACCACACAGGTCTCTGCGAGGAGGCCGTCGCCGTCAGCATCGGCCCGAAGCAGGCCCAGGAGACGCTGCGATCGGCGTTGGCCATGGGCTGCGACCGAGCGATCCACATCACGACGGATGCCCGATTGGATCAAGGTGGGTTGGATCCGCTCGCAGTAGCTCAATTATTACAAAAAATAGTGGAGAAGGAGGAGCCCGACCTCGTGTTAGTAGGCAAGCAGTCCATCGACGGCGACCACGGCACTACTGCACCCATGCTCGCGGAGCTACTCGGCTGGTCGCAGGCCACCTTCGCGGCGTCCCTGAACGTCGACGGCGGTACCGCAGAAGTGGAAAGAGAAACAGATGCAGGTACGGAGGTCATCAAGATCCAGTTACCTGCTGTCGTCTCCGCAGACTTAAGGTTAAATGCCCCGCGGTACCCGAAACTCCCGAACATCATGAAGGCGAAGAAGAAGCCGTTGGAGGCCATCGACGCGGCTTCCCTAGGTGTCGATTTGACTCCGTCGATTGTGGTCGAGGGGGTCGCGCCGCCGGCCGCGCGCAAAGCTGGAGTGACAGTTGAGAGCGTCGACGATTTGGTGGACAAGCTGAAGAACGAGGCGGCGGTGCTCTAAGTATGTACTATCTAGTCTCTACGGCTTAGGCGGAGCGGGCGCGGAGCACGGCTCGCGCCTCTTGCAGAGACGCCTCAAATCCTCCCGCTACGACCGGGTGCGCACCTCCAAGCACGCGCCGCGCGATCCGTTCCGCGTCCTCGAGCGTCGTCACGGCCTCGCGGATGTCGTCGAGTGTGGCGCCGTCGGCCCTGTAGAGCGCCATCGCGTAGGCCCGCCTCAGCTTGAGCGTGATATCGTGACCATCGCCGAGAACGCGTCGCGCCACGGGCGTCGTTTTGCGCAGCAGTGCCTTGGCTTCTTCGATGCGCCCTAGGTCAACGAGCAAATTCGCCAAGTTACTGGCTACCGTAAGGGTATCACCGTGTTGTTCGCCATAGAGCTTCGAGAACCCGGAATATACATCTCGTCGCATGCGCAGGGACTCGTCGAACCGTTCGACTCTTTGATAAGCTCTCGCAAGATTGCTATACAAAGTGAGCATGGTGTATTCTGATGCCCAAAAGGCGCTGCCGCATGCCCCAAGGCGCTGCCGCATGGACAACTCAGCCTCATACACGGACACCGCGTCCTCATGGTGGTCTGCGGAGGCTAAGCCGTTTGCGAGCACCCCCATCGCCATGCCCCGATCCACGTCAGTCTCCGGCCGCCCCACGTACGTCTTCCAGCACGCCCACCCGAGCGCGCCTCGCACGACGCCGTGGTAGTCTTGCTCGCACAGACCACACGTGTGCCACCGCTTCCACCGCAAACTCTTCGCTTTCCAGTCCAAATTGTTCTCCTCGGCCTCCGCGACCAAAATCTTCGCCTGCTCCGCCAAGCACGACACGTGCGCGAAACCCGCCGTCCCGCGGCACGAGCACCCCCGCACGAGGCCCTCCTTCGTTTTCCAGTGGAGGGCCTGCGTGCAGATGAAGCACGTCTGACCTTTCGTGTCGTCGGCGCATTTCTCGACCGCGACGGCTACGGCCTCCGCGTGCTTCTTATTTGCGTTGTATTGTTCGGCGCCGCCAGCCTTTTTTATCTTCTTGCAGAGCTTGTCATGGCCGCCCTCTTCCCAGGATTTTTTCTGACATTCGGGCCCACAGTAGCGTGTGCTGCAGCGGCCGCATTTCTTGCCCAATGATAAGCCGAGCGGGGCAGCGCAGGCGGCGCACTGCGTGAGGATCATATCTTAAGCACAAATGATCTCTGCGCGTTCCAAGGCTGCGAGGGTGGCGCACTGAAAACCAGCTAGCGGTGTGTAAGATACTAGCAAGAAACTCGGAACGCTCATGCAGCTGTTTGAGTACCGTTCAGTTCGCTAATGGTCCAAAGAGATCAATGGGACACTTACTGGGGGACGAAAAAAGTAATTTTTTTAATTCGCGATATTGACGATCCCACCATGGCGGCCGCGTCGGTGGAAACCTGTCAATTCGTGGTCCTGAGGTCTCCCCGGGGCCGCTTAGGGTCGGTACTGTACACGTGCACTCGCCTACGCCGCATGCGTGGGCGCTTCTATCAGTGGATACATATCAGTACAGGTCCCCAGCAGAAGGCGGACCTGTCCCATGATCCCCCAGAGTTTTCGATCCAGAGCTCTCTGGAGAGCCCCAAGCTCTTGCGCATGCGGCGTAGGCGACTACCCGACCTTAGAGCTACCCCAGAGGGAGTCCGCGAACCGATCTACATCCGAAAAAAGTAAATAATTTGGGCCCGATGGCGCCCCGTTCCCGTAAAAAACGTCAATTACCCGAGGCCCCCCAGTAGTCGCCGTAGCGGCCTCGTTGGACCCCATACTACCCCACCGATAGTCAATTACGAGTATATGACATCTACGTTATAAGAAGGGTACTTTGGGCCGACCACGCTCGGGACGTGAACATCTTGATCTGGACCTCGCGCAAGTCAGTCGGTCATGAAACAAATGATCGCGTTATGGTCCATGGTGAAGGTACACGGGCTGATGGTCGCAGGTCCGGGATCTATGCCCCAATTAACGAGATCGTGGGCTCGCGAGTTGGCCGACCCGCGCCGAGCATCTTTGGGTCTCGGAGCAATGTAGTACACAATCAAGCCGGGTATCTGGCCCATCCCACAACTAAATCGCCTGAAACGCAAATTTATTTTGTAAACCACCGGTCTGGGGCCAATTCAGTGCCCCGCGTACGCACCGTCGTCCGCGGAGAACGGGCAAGTCGGTCGATTGTGAATAAAACAACGGCGTTATGGTCCATCTGGATAGTGGCGTCGCTGATACTCGCGGGTCTAGGTTCTAAGGCCCCCTTTGCTAAAAGTCATGGTCGCGAAATCTCCGTATCGCGAGGCTCCAACAGGCCATCTAATGTAGCTCAGTAGAGCCGAGGCGGCTAGGATGGCCTCTACCACCAACAAAAGGAAGGAAACGAACATAAACTCGGGAGTTGTCTAGTAGAATTCTTTTCCCGCCCTCCGAGCGCGGGCCGTCGGCTCCGGTTCCGTCGATTATGTATGAAAACTGGGCTGGAGTTGATATGATGTACCATTTGAACGGTAGAAGGCATCGTCAATCGCTGGTGTATTTTGGCGAGCCGTAAGACTCATCCGCGAATGTCGCGGGCGGTGCCTTCCGGGAGGCGCGAAGGTATGTTTCCGGGCCGCTACTCTGAAATATTTGGTCTCGGCGAACGAATAGGATGTATTCTGAATTTGGGTCATTCTTTTGACGCTATTGAGGCGTATCTTTAAATTTGCTAATATGTCGTTTTACGCTAGGTAATGAAGAGGGCTTTGGAAGGCGTTTGGTCGAGCTAGGCTACTCGCCACCCCTCCACGCCATCGAGCAGCAGACTCATCACGGGAGACGTCGCGTCGATGGCGTCGCGAGGCCATACAGAGTAGCATGTGATTTTACGTATGATTTCCGGTTGGATTCTCTCGGGGGTTGGATTTCCTCAGGCGGGCCCGTGGTGGCCGACGCCGCGCGCCGGCCGCGCCGTCGCTGTCTTCACCACAACTTCAACCGCCGGCGCGTCCGCGTAGACGAGCGAGGCCTTCGGCGGCGCTTCGTCGACGGACGTGAGCGTGTCCTCGGAGAAGACGAAGGACTTGGTCGAGACCGGCTGCTCGAGGTCGAAGACCTTGCCGACGACGGCGAGCGGCGCCTCCTTCGTCGACTTCGCGAAGCGGCCCTCGCCGCGCCACCGAGCGAAGCAGCAGATGATCATGACCCAGCTCAGCACGAACCTGCGCCGCTGGCGTGATCGCGGTCGAGGCGTGCGCGGACGACACGAAGGGCCAGACGTGCTACATCTGCACGCAGGCTTTGCATTGGAAGACAAAGGAGGGCCTCGTGCGCATGTGTGCATGCCGCGGGACGGCGGGTTTCGCGCACGTGTCGTGCTTGGCGGAGCAGGCGAAGATTTTGGTCGCGGAGGCCGAGGAGAACAATTTGGATGACAAGCCGTTCAATGAGAGGTGGGTTCGGTGGCTCAACTGTAGTCTGTGCGAGCAACGATACCACGGCGTCGTGTGGTGCGCGCTCGGGTGGGCGTGCTGGAAGACATACTTGGGGCGGCCCGAGTGGGACTGGGCTCGGCGTGGTGCGATGAGCGTGCTTGGGAACGCTTTATTCGATGTAGAACGCTATGAGGACGCGCTGTCCGTACAAGAGGCAGAGTTGTCTATGGCGCGGCGCCTTGACGCATCAGAAGAACACATACTTGTCGTGCGGAGCAATCTTGCGAGCACGTATGAAGTGCTTGGACGGGATGAAGAGGCCCTGGTTCTGCGGCGAGACGTACACTCCAGGCGTGTGAACCGCGACGGCGAGGAACATACAACGACTCTCATAGCAGCCAACAACTACGCACTGTCCCTTATGCATCTACAACGCTACCAAGAAGCCAAGAGTCTATTGCGCAGAACTCTGCCCGTGGCGCGACGTGTTCTCGGAGACGATGATGAAACTACGCTCAGACTGAGGTGGTATTTCGCCGGAGGGGTTGTCGAGGATCCCGCCAGCACGCTCGACGATCTACGCGAGGCAGTGGCGACGCTCGTGGAAATAGAACGGACCGCGCGGCGCGTGCTCGGTGGCGCGCACCCGACCACAACGGGGATTGAGCACCGCCTGCGACTCGCGCGAGCCGCGCTCCGCGCCCGCGAGACGCTGTCGGGGAAATCCTAAGACTAAAGAAACTAGTACCCGCCCCCCGCGTACAACAGCGTCTTCGCCGGCTGCGCCTTCGGCGCCCGCGCGCGGACCGACGCCGCCGTGTTCACGGCTAGCAGCGCCAGGCGCGCGCGCTTCGCGTCCGCGCCGTCGCCCTCGGCATCCGTCCGGTCGCAGAGCGCGAGCCACTCCTTCAGGCCCGACCGCATTTCTTCCGAAGACGGTCGCAGCAACGAGCGCGCGGCGCACGCGGACTCGAGGCATTCGACGGGCAACGCGTCGATCTCGCTCCGCCGTAAAGCCGCATCTCCGTCGACCAACCGCTCCATGCCCTTGCGCACGTGGCCCCGGTGCATCCAGCGCGGCAGCCAGCCGTAGGGCCCATCTAAAGCGCGCGACGCCGCCTTGAGCGCGACTGATGGTAGTTCCTCGCCCTCGGCGTTCATCGCTATGCGTAAAGCCGCTTTCTTCGACGACGCTCCTAATACACCCTGGAGGCAGTTGACGTGTTCCAAAGAAATGTCGGCCGGGGTCTGCGCCTTCTTCTTGTCGAGGGCGGCTTTGTCGAAGGCGTCGAGCATCTTTTCCAGAGCTTGTTTCCGTCTTTTTTCCCCGTCGGCGAAGCGTCTGGCGCGCGTCACCGGCGTCTCGTAGGTCGACGGCAGCATGCCCGGGTAGAAGTACAAGGCTAGCGGCGTGTACAACTTCGCGTACAACGCGAGCCATAAAACAGAAAAGCACTTCCCGATGTCGTTGTTCGCGTTCTCGAGGCGGTCCCACTCCGGATACAGCAGGTTCACGCCGTCCTTGCGGCGCTTCCGTATCTTGTTCGCGGCCTTCTGCTCATTAACCAAAGCTTTCGTGCGACTCAGGAAGCCACCAACAGGCTTGGTGACGAAGGCGATCGCGCCGGCGTGCGCCACGAGCGTCAAGAGGAGGGCGAGGCGGGGCATGGTTGCGTTGCGCGCTTGCGTAAGGCGGTGCCGCGCTGCGGTTTCTCGTCGCGCCGCCGGCGTTTGGGCTGCCAATGGCAGCTATCGGCGACTGGGGTCTGTGTGCCTCTGGCGGCCGCGGTGCTCGCGATTGCGGCGTCCTCCTATGGTAGAGGAGGCGTACACGCGTAGCTGCAACTGGATATGCACCCGCTGCCGATTATCGCGGCAGAAACGTCTTGGCGAGATGCAGCTAGCGTGCAGTAAGACACACTAGAAAAACCGACAGAGGTACGGATACACCGTAACATCGACTACCCTAGGTACGGATACTACTTGTAGTAGTTCTAGCACCGTAACATCATCTCATAATATACAATATATACAATATCACTTATCATCACATACCTAGCGGACCCACATAGGCGCTGCTGTGTGGTGGGACCGAAGACTTGCTACGGCTCCGCCGGCTCCGGTAGTTCGACCGCGCCGGGGCCTGGTACGTGTTCTCGCGCGGCAGGTCGCCGCTGGGGCAGCCCGACCAGTACTCGAGGAACACGCAGAACGTCGACCACGTCGCCTCGCGTAGGTCTACCACGAGTAAACGGTCGGGCTGGTCGGAGAAGAAATCCTGGACGCGCCGGTTGTGCTCTTCGTAGGCCTCGATGAACGTTTCGTTGTCGAAGCGCGTGACACCTAGCAGCGTCGTGTACGTTCTGATGAGCTTTTCCTTCTTGCTGGCTTTGACGGCCACCCACCGTTCCACGGACGCCCACCAGCTCTGGCTCTCCCGCACCGTAAGAATGAAACGAGCGTTCTCGTGCCGCTTGGCCAGCTCCTCGTAGAGGCGCGCGCCGCCGAACTGCGGTATTGCCGCCGCGCTGCACCAGGGCGAGTCCTCGAAGGCGCGCGCGGGCGACGCCGCCGCCGCGAGCGCGGGCTCGGGGTCGCCCTGCCGCACGAGCGCGCGCGAGGCCGCGACCCGAATCTTGCCCGGCAGGGCCGGCGTCATCTTGAGTGTGGATAAAATCCGCTCCATCGTCGTCGTGCCCGTCTTCTTGAAGCCGATGACGAAGATCTTGCGCGACGCGTCGTGCTTCGCCGGCTTGTGCACGACGGCACACGGCGACGTTGGTGAGCACGTCGTCGAGGACGAGATCTTCGCGCGACAGACCAAGTCCGGAGAGGCCTCCGTGAAGTTGAGCGGCCACGCCTCTCGCAGTATTCCGTCTGCCGACGCGACCGCGCGCAGCGCGACCATGAGCGCCGGTTGATCCGGGGGTTGGGTGCCTCGCGGCCCACCAATGAGCCGATACGCGAGTAGCGCCACCGAGAACAGCGCGCGGCCGCGGGGCCCGTTGACGACCACGACGTTCGAACTATGTTGCACTGCCCAGGGATCCGACGTCCCCAGGTACTTCGAGGTCGCCATCACATCCCCATCTACACCAGCATCGAGGAGGCGCCGCATCGAGTTCGGCGCGCAGACCCGCGAGTCGAAGTCGAGGTAGAGCGTCCGGTCGAAGGGGCTCGCCGCGACACTCATCAGTTTGTACGCCTTGTACATGCCGTCCAAGCGCAAGGCTCCGGCGGCCATCTTCCGGATCGGCTCATTAATATCGAAGATGAGGTCGAAGAACGGTCTCAGTGAATCGGCGGCGGCGTGCAGCTCTGATTCGAGGTAGAGCGCGTATCCTATACGGGACCGTTCCGTCGCGTTCTTGACCCCAACAACGCGTTGTAAATGAGCGACCGCCGGCGCGACCTCGGCGGCCACGAAGCTAGCTGATCCCGCGGCAGCGAAGAGCACGCCCTCGCGCCGCTTCTCGGGCGCGAGCCGCGCCACCGCCGCGCGCCGCGCGACCGTCGCGGCGGCCACGAAGCGCCGCGCGTGGTCGACCGTGAGCCGCCCGTAGGCGCGCCGCTCCGAGGGACCCCACTCGCTCCTCGGCCCCTTCTTAGGGCCGGTGACGGGCCCGTAGCGCACAAATGACACGTCATTCATGCAGTGCGCCGCGTGCAAGGCCGCGTCGCGCGCGTACAGTGCTCGCACGTACGCCGCGTTGGCCGGTGCGAGCATGCCGCCATGCGATTTGTTCGGCGAGGCGTGGTGCGTCGTCGCCTCGGTGGCGGGCGGAGCTCGTAAATCCCAGCGCGCCGCGACGGCGCGGACGCCGGCATCCAACGCCTCGGTGCAGACGAAGGCGACCGCGAGCGACCCGTTGGCCCGCGGCTCGAAGCCGCGCAGGTAGTACTCCTCGATGGGCATGAGCCAGTGCTGCGCGTTCGGCGCGAGGCTGACGCGGAGCGCGGCGGCGTGTTTCGCATGTGTGACGTCGCGCAGCGCCTCCACGTAGCCGTCGACGTCGTCACCAAAAATGTCGGCCAAGTCTCGGTTCGCCCGTTTTTTCGCCCCACCGGCGACGCGCCGCTGGAACCCGGACACGAGCCGCGCCGCGGGGTCCCGCAGCGAGATGACCACGCGGTCGTAGCCCGCGCGACTGGCGTCTCTTAGTGAACAGGCGTGGTCGTGGTGCGCCGCGGCGCCGGCCGCGGCCATGGTCCTCGTGACCGACTCGCTGCCGGTGCGCGCGATCGCCAGGTTCACGACGCGGGAGCGGCGGCCGCGAAGATGCCAGATCTGCCGGCAGTCCACCGCCGAGGATACTTTCGCGGAGAGCGTGTAGTTCGCGGTGGGCGCGGGAGGCCGGCGCCTCCTCGGCGTGGTAGGGACGCGTTTCCGGACCGTTTTCTTACCGGCGTGCGCGAGGCACAACAGCGTCGTTAGTGGCAGGAGCTTCATTGCGCTGGTCGGAGCTGTGATTGATGTGCTTGGCAGCGCAATACGCAGGTTTCGCACCGCTATTAATGCATTTTGGTGCAGCCAGTGAGAGCGCTCTCTGCACCAGCTGACAGACGCCGAACGGCGGCACCGGAACCGTGCCAGCGATGAAAAATACGTGTCTGTGTATAGTGTGCAGCTCTGCAGCGTCCGCTCGTCTTGCGGTGAGCGCCACGCTGTGCGCGCGGCTGGAAAGTGATTGACACGGGTTTTGCAGCGGACGAAAGGCCGAAGCCAACCATCGGAGGGACTCGCCCGCGCCCGCGAAACGTCTCGGGCAACCAACGCACGGGCGCGCGACAAGATTAGCACAACAGATGCGCGCGCCCTGCCTCGTGGCGCTGCACAGCGAGGACGCCGCGGCACAACCGGGAGCGCCCCATCGCTCGCCGCACGAAAGGCATCGACCACTACCGTCCCATAGCTATCAAAAAGACGCTGCCCGCGACTCCATCAGGCAGCCCCACCGCAAAACAGTGAGCAGTCCGTGGAACGCCGCCGTCGCGACCCCAAGCTATGGCATCGACCTGGACGGTCGCGAGCGCCCAGCCTACCGACGCGCGGGGCGACGAGCACACGCCGGCGCCGCGGTATGGGCACGGCGCGGCCATCGCCGAGGACATCATGACGATAACGCATGGGTACTACTTTGACCATGAAAGGTGCAAGCCCATGTTCCTGGACGACACGTGGGAGTACCACACGACGCACAAGAAGTGGCGCTACCGAAGTCTCGGTTCCGTGAGGCCGTGCAAGCGCTTCCACGTGCAATATGCCTGGGACGCTTCTCACTTGTACTTGTTCGGCGGGACCGATGGCGGTCTCAGAGTGAACAAGGGCGAGAATTTTATTTTTGGCCCTAGAGCGGAGTTTAATGATTTGTGGCGCTTGCAACTCAACGAAGAGTCGGCGCGGTGGGAAAAGCTCCACGGCGGCTCGGACGAGACCTACAACGCCGTCGAGGGGCAGGACGTGCCGCGGAAGGCGCACATGGGCGGCTGCGCCTGCGCCGCCGGCAAAGTGTATACGTTTGGCGGGCTCTGTGGAGATGAGAGTGAAGAGCCGGACGGCCTCGAGGCGCTGGGCGAATTGTGGGCTTGGAATATTGGGGAAGCCGCCTGGTCGCGCGCGAAAACGACGGGTTCGAAACCGGACGCGCGGTACGGGTGTGGCATGGTTTCCGATGGGGATGGTTTTTTGCTGACGGGCGGACGAGTGAGGGATAAGGAGGACGAAGATGCCCGGAAATTGTTCGACGACCTCTGGCGGCTAGATTGTACGACGATGGCCTGGTCTTTATTACATAGAGACCCGCTCCTCAAGCGCGTCGACGCGGCGGTCTGCCGCGCCGGCAACCACCTCATCCTGTGGGGCGGGAACGTCGCCGAGCAGCCGATCGCGGCGGAGGTCCCGTGCGACGGCGTTCTGTATGATGACCAATTCAGAGCGTGCGCGCCGCTACCCGTCAGACCGTGCGACGTGCCTTCGGGCTTGACCGAGGCGCCGCCGTTCGGGCGGCTGCACGCGACGCTGGTCTCGATCCCGGACGGGGCGCGGCGCGTCCTGCTCTTATTCGGGGGCGAGAGCGTGCACCCGCACATGTACCACGGGTCCGTCTACGAGGCGCGGCTCTTCCTGCCCGGGAGCAGCGAGGACCCGCCGGACCTCGGGGACCTGTCGCTCGCGCCCGCTCCCGCTCCCGCTCCCGCGCCGGCGCCGGCGCCCGCTTGAGAAAGTACCTTTGTAAATTCGCATTTCAGACACCTATCTACCGTGCGCTGCGGAAAACACGCGCTTGCTTGCTAGCGACTGTAAGACACTAGCAAGACTTCCGCTGTGCTCTGCAGACGCGTTGCGTGGCCGCACGGCTGCCCGCTGCCCATCAGCTCTTCGTGGCAGCCCCAGGCGCGATGCGGCGCCTGCCGCTCGCGTCGGTGCTGCTCACCGCCCACGCCTTACTGCTGCGCATCCAGTCACCTGAGGATAATGCCTGCGTGCCGTCGACGACAGCAGTAATAGTGGAGGTCCTCGTCGAGCATGATGATCCGGATGACGTCGCGGGGCAGCTGCGGGACGCGCGGATCTGCGTCGCGGGATCTACGGACGCCGGAGTAATCACGAGGAGCTGCGCCGTGCCTGGCGGCGGCGAGGCGCATCTAGATTTGCCCAAGGGCACGACCGTGATGCTCGGAGCGACGATGGAGCTGCGCAACGCGACGCGCGCGACGACGCCGTCGACGACCCGCGTCTCCACAACTACGGACGACACGCACCTAACTTGTGAAGATGGCAGGGACCCCTTTCCTCTGACCGAAGCGACGCGACGAGCTCTACAACTCAAGGCCCAGGCGTCGGACCGCGGCGCGCTGGATATTAACTGGCCGCGGCCGTCGAGTCTGGTGCGGAGCCCGACCGTCGCCGTGTCCATCAATATTGCGTTTCCCAACGGCACGCTCGCGCGACCCGATGGCACGTCTTGCGTCACCATGCGGTCGCTTGATGATAGAGGGGACTTCGTCGAGTCCTGCGTCGAGGTCGCGGCGGAGACGGAGCACCTCGAGTTCCGCGTGCCCTGGGTCACGAAGACGCGGATCGGTCTTGCTTTGTCCGTCGACGGGCGGACGTCGCTCCCTCTTGATTTGACTGTGGACCCAGCCATGCGACGACCACCGCTCCCCGAAAACTATGCGGAGGGCTACCCCGAGGGCTGGGTGTTGAAACCGCACGCATCCTTACATACACGCCAACTCGTGCTCGTCGTCTGTAGATACGGCGAGGACCTGGACTGGCTGCGGTACCAGCCGCACCCCGCTGTCGTCTACGAGAAGCACAGCGATCGCGTCGCCCAAGCGGGTCTGCACGGCGTGCCCCGGAACACGGCGAACGAGGCATCCGCGTTCCTGAAATTTATCGTGGACTACTACGATAATTTGCCGGAAGTCATGGTCTTCTTGCATGGCCACCGGTACGCCTACCACCAGGAGGACGTGCTGACGTTGCTCGACGCCATCGAGGACCCGTCGACGCTACCGGGCTACTGCAATTTGAACCTTGCTGTGTGGGGCCTGAAGGAGGACCCTTCTCGAAAGCCGCTCTACGAAGAACACAAAGCGTGGCTCGAGGCCTGGCTCGGGCCCCTGCCTCCGTTGTTACTAGATCGGTGCTGCGCGCAGTTTGTCGTGCGACGGGAGCGCGTCCTGCATCGACCCAAGGCCTTCTTCGAGGAGGCCTTGCAGCACGCGTACTACGACGTGGAGCCTTTACCGGAGGGTGATTCCGAGGCGAACCGGCGGTTGGGCCTGCTCTTCGAGTGGCTCTGGCACTACCTGTTTGGCGAACCGCCGGTCGCCGCGGAGCTCGGGGACTTCGTGGACGGGATCGATACGACGCACCTCGTGTATCTGGCGGGGGCGCGGCGGCGGCCGAGTTGCGTGGCGGACGGCGCCGGGGCCTAACTGTTGTTGTTGTGGCACAAACCGGCTCTTCAGGGGCTCGATGGGGATTCCTATTACGCTGCTAGGACTAGTGGGCGCCCCCAGCGCTCGTGCGGGTTGTGCTTTCTCAGCTGATGCCAGTGCGCCAGCCAGTGGTTTCATTGCCTGTTCATGCCACCCCAGAAAGTCAGAGGAGGCAGCCCAGGCAGCCTCTCTGCAGAACCGATGCCAGTGATGGCAGCCCGAAGCTAGCAAGGGCGAAGTAGCCCCCGGTAGAGATGTGGACGCGCCTGCTCCTACTGCTGCCTGTCGTCACCGCCGCGCGGCGGCGGCGCCTCGGCGACGCGCTCGACATGGAACACCTCCGGCGCCTCGCCGACGACGGCCAGGTCGGCACGGAGCTTCGATTCAAGCTCGCCGCCGGGACCAGCGCCGCGCGGGCGGCGAAGGTCGCGGCCGCGGTGGACTGCTCGTCGGCGAAGCGCGTCTTCCGAAAGGCGGGCATACACGAAGACAAGCACGTCGCTGCTGGGCTCGATCGCTGGTACAAGGTCAAGTGCTCCGGGGCGTCAAACGAGACCTGGTCGAAGCTCGACGCCTTCCTCGCCAAGGGCGACGCGAGCCACGACGGCGTCGAGTTCGTCGAGCCCGCGCTCGTGGTCAAAATGTCGCCGTGGGAGCCAAACGACCCGCATTTCTCGTTGCAGAGCCACTACTCCTCGATCGGGCTCGAGAATGCGTGGGAGCTCACGAAGGGCGACCCAAGCGTGGTCGTCCAGGTCATCGACTCGGGCCTCGACCTGGCCCACGAGGACCTCCAAAACAATATCTGGAAAAATGCGCAGACGCACCCGGAGACGGGCGAGAGCGAATGGCCCGACAACTGCAACGACGGCCTCGACAACGACGGAAATGGTTTCATCGACGACTGCCACGGGTACAACCATGCCGACAATCATGCTGGAGATGCGTCGAGCGGCAACTATCTGGGAGACGGCTCGCACGGGACGCACTGCGCAGGGACGATTGCCGCGGACAGCAACAACGGCGTCGGAGTCGCGGGCGTCGCGGGCGGCGACGGCTCTGTGGGCTCGGGCGCATCGCTCATGACGTCCGTAGTCTTTGGACAGACGAGCGTCAGTGGCTTCGCGGAGGCCCTAGCGTACGGCGCCGACAACGGCGCCCAGATCTCGAGCAACAGCTGGGGGTACACCGCGCCAGGCGTCTACGACCAAGTCATCTTGGACGCCATCGACTACTACAACGACGTCGGCGGCATGGTCGTGTTTGCGGCGGGCAACGACGGCACCGACGAGGAGTGGTACCCGGCCTACCACGACGGAGCCGTGGCCGTCGCGGCCCTCGACGACGACGGGGCCCGCGCCGCCTTTACCTGCTACGGCGGCTGGATTGACATTAGTGCTCCTGGCGTCGACGTGGTCTCGACCATCACCGTAAGCGATGGATCATACGGCTACATGAGCGGCACGTCGATGGCCTGCCCGCACGTTTCGGGCGTCCTGGCGCTCGGTCTCTCGTACCATCCGACGGCAAGCAGAGACGAGCTGCTCGCCTGTGCCTATTCGACGGCGACGAACATCGACGCGCTGAACTCGGGGTACGAGGGGAAGCTCGGGGCGGGCAGGGTCGACGCCTTTGCATTCCTGGACTGCTTGGGCACGCGGGCGCCGACGCTCACGCCTGTGCCGTCGGCTTTGCCGACGCCCGAGCCATCGCCCGGGCCGACGACGACGCTTGCGCCGACGGTGCTATGCGTCTGCGACCAGACGCTCGAGGTTGGCGTATTTACGGACAACTGGCCGGGCGAGACGACGTGGAAGGTGACCCTGGACGAAGATGCTCCCATAAACTGCGTCGATGGGTCGGCGGGCGGGCCGTACACGGAGACCTCGACACTGCACACGCATGCAATCACTGTCTGCACCGGCCAACGGTACCTCTTCGAGATCTTCGACTCGTACGGCGACGGCATTTGTTGCGGCGAAAATGGCGACGGATACTACTACCTGCAGCTAAACGGCGTCGAGATTAAGAGGGGTGGGGACTACGGGCCCGGCGACTCGCACGACTTCGTCGTTCCGTCGACGCGAGCGCCGACAGTTGTGCCGACGGCGACACCTGCGCCAACGGCGACGCTTGCGCCGACGCCGCCGACGCCGACGTGTGGCACGCTCGACATGGGAAACCTCCGGCGCCTGGCCGACGAAGGCCAGGTGGGCACGGAGATTCGCTTCAAGCTCGCCGCCGGGACCAGCGCCGCTCGGGCGGCGACGGTCGCGGCCGCGGTGGACTGCTCGTCGGCGAAGCGCGTCTTCCGCCCCGCTGGAAGGTATGAGGCCAAGCACCGCGCCGCCGGCCTCGATCGCTGGTGGACGGTGAAGTGCTCCGAGGCGAACGAGACCTGGTCGAAGCTCGACGCCTTCCTCGCCAAGGAGAGCCGCGACGGCATCGAGATCGTCGAGCCCGCGCTCGTGGTCAAGATGTCGTCGTGGGAGCCAAACGACCCGCTGTTCTCGTCGCAGAGCCACTACTCCTCAATCGAGCTCGAGGCCGCGTGGGAGCTCACGAAGGGCGACCCAAGCGTGGTCGTCCAGGTCCTCGACACGGGCCTCGACCTGGACCACGAGGACCTCCAAAACAATATCTGGCAGAATCCGGGCGAAATCTGCGGCAACGGCGAGGACGACGATGATAACGGCTATGTCGACGACTGCCACGGGTACAACCACGCCGACGGCACGGGAACCGACCTCTTGGGAGACGGCTCGCACGGCTCGCACTGCGCCGGAACAATCTCCGCGGACAGCAACAACGGCGTCGGAGTCGCGGGCGTCGCGGGCGGCGACGGTACTCCCGGCTCGGGCGCCTCGCTCATGATCTCAGTAGGCTTCGGATCGACCTTTACGGGCGGCTTTGCGGAGGCGTTGGTCTACGGCGCGGACAACGGAGCTCAGATCTCGTCGAACTCGTGGGGCTACACCTCGCCCGACGTGTGCGAGCAGGCCGTCATCGACGCCATCGACTACTACAACGACGAAGGCGGCATAGTCGTGTTTGCGGCGGGCAACGACGATTCTGAAGCGTGCTACTACCCGGGCTGCTACGACGGCGTTGTTGGGGTCGCGGCACTCGATGATAATGGCGCGCGGGCATATTTCTCGAACTACGGCGGCACGGTTGATATAAGTGCCCCGGGGCATCCTGTACTCTCGACAGTCATCATGGGCGAGGGGTCAGTAGATTCGAACTACGACTCGTACAGCGGCACGTCCATGGCCTGCCCGCACGTCGCGGGCGTCCTGGCGCTCGGTCTTTCGTTGCAGACGACGGCAAGCAGGAACGAGCTGCTCGACTGTGCCTATTCAACGGCGACGAACATCGACGCGCTGAACCCGGGCTACGTGGGAAAATTAGGGGCGGGCAGGATCGACGCCTTTGCATTCCTGGACTGCTTGGGCACACGGGCGCCGACGCTCACGCCTGTACCGTCGGCTTTGCCGACGCCCGCGCCGTCACCTATACCGACGACGACGCCTGCGCCGACAGTGCCATGCGTCTGCGACCAGACGCTTGTGGTTGGCGTCTACACGGACGACTGGCCGGGAGAAACGACCTGGTCCTTGACCATGGACGACGCCGCGCCCGAAAACTGCGTGGACGGGTCGATGACCGACGGCCCGTACGCCGCGAATGGGACCCTTTACTCGAAAGAGACCGCCGTCTGCGTGGGCGTGACGTACACCTTCCACATCTTCGACTCGTACGGCGACGGCATCTGCTGCGCGTACGGAGAAGGCTACTACTACCTGCAGCTCAACGGCGTCGAGATGGTCCGCGGCGGCGAGTTCGGCGGGCTCGAGACCTACGTGTTCACGCCGACGGCGACGCATGGCGGCGTCGACTCGTACTCGTACTCGTACTCGTACCCGGACTCGGACTCGTGTGCCGTCGGCTACGTAGCCGACTGCTCGGGCGACGGCGACTGCTGCCTGGAGAGTTGGATCGGCGACGAAATTTGCGACGGCGTGGACCAAGTAGATGGTTGCGACCTGAGCTGTTTCGACAACGACGGCGGCGACTGCGACGGCGACGACAACTGGGACGACGAGAGCCCCGACTACTCGTACTCCTACTCTTACTCTGATAACTGGGACGACAAGTGCCTCGGACAGACGGCGTGCTACCCCGACGGCAGCCCATGCGCAACAGGCGAGTTTTGCAACTTTGACCATGGTAGCTCCGGATTCTGTGAGCCGTGCTCGTCCTTTAGCGAACCTACCGCTTGCTTTGATGATGGTCTACCGAGCGACGGCGCGGCAGATTGCCACGCGTGCTGCTTCCAAGGCTCGTACTCGTACTCGTACTCGCCAACAACATATGCGCCAACTGCAGTGGAAACATATCTTCCAACAAACTACGAACACTCGTACTCGTACTCGTACTCGTACTCGTCGGGACCGACACCGACGTGTGGCGCCGGCCAAGTAGCCGACTGCTCGGGCGACGGCGACTGCTGCCCGGAGAGTTGGATCGGCGACGACTTGTGCGATGGCGAGGACCAGGAATGGGGTTGCGACCTGAGCTGTTTCGACAACGACGGCGGCGACTGCGACGGCGACGACAACTGGGACGACGAGAGCCCCGACTACTCGTACTCCTACTCTTACTCTGATAACTGGGACGACAAGTGCCTCGGACAGACGGCGTGCTACCCCGACGGCAGCCCATGCGCAACAGGCGAGTTTTGCAACTTTGACCATGGTAGCTCCGGATTCTGTGAGCCGTGCTCGTCCTTTAGCGAACCTACCGCTTGCTTTGATGATGGTCTACCGAGCGACGGCGCGGCAGATTGCCACGCGTGCTGCTTCCAAGGCTCGTACTCGTACTCGTACTCGCCAACCGCCATGCGCCAACTGCAGTGGAAACATATCTTCCAACAAACTACGAACACTCGTACTCGTACTCGTACTCGTACTCGTCGGGACCGACACCGACGTGTGGCGCCGGCCAAGTAGCCGACTGCTCGGGCGACGGCGACTGCTGCCCGGAGAGTTGGATCGGCGACGACTTGTGCGATGGTGAGGACCAGGAATGGGGTTGCGACCTGAGCTGTTTCGACAACGACGGCGGCGACTGCGACGGCGACGACAACTGGGACGACGAGAGCCCCGACTACTCGTACTCGTACTCGTACAGCCACAAGCATGGCGGCGTCGACTCGTACTCCTACTCCTACTCCTACTCCTACTCGTCGGGACCGACGCCGACGTGTGACGTCGGCTACGTAGCGGACTGCTCGGGCGACGGCGACTGCTGCCTGCAGAGTTGGATTGGCGACGGCCGGTGCGATGGCGAGGACCAAAGGTGGCATTGCGACTTGACTTGCTATGCTAACGACGGCGGGGACTGCGACGGCGACGACAACTGGGACGACGAGAGCCCCGACTACTCGTACTCGTACTCATACAGCCACAAGCATGTCGGCGTAGACTCGTACTCGTACTCGTACTCGTACTCGTACTTGTACTTGTGTGCCGTCGGCTACGTAGCCGACTGCTCGGGCGACGGCGACTGCTGCCTGGAGAGTTGGATCGGCGACGAAATTTGCGACGGCGTGGACCAAGTAGATGGTTGCGACCTGAGCTGTTTCGACAACGACGGCGGCGACTGCGACCCGAAAAAATCTGAATCCTACTCGTACTCGTACTCGTACTCCTACTCGTACTCGCATCATCCACACTGCTGCGTCGAGCACGCATTCCACGCCACCGGCGAGGTGGCCTCAACGACGTGCTTTGGGGGCCGCTCGCCGTGGGAGGCCTCCACGATGAGCGACCTATGCACGGCAGGACACTCCGACGCCGGCGCGGCGGCGCCCCTCTTCCGCGATTGCTCCCAGGAGGCGATCGACGCGGGGAACTGCGGCTCGGCAGACTGGGACACCTGCGCGGAATGCGCCGACTTTGGCATTCCCATAGGCATGTTTTTCGCTAACGTCGGCTACACGTCGTGTCCGGACTGGGTGGTAGACGCCGCCCGTGAAGAGGCCGCCGAGGGTGGGCAGTGCGCGCCGTGGTTCGAGTACGAGGAAGAGGGCGACGACGACTGCACCCCGGGCTGGCACTCCATAAATTGTCTGGACGGGACGGTGATGTACGGCGAGGGCTGCGCCTCGTGCGGCGACTGCGATCTGCAAAACTTCACGGCGGCCACGGGCGGCCTAATCACGTGCAAACGAGACGGTTCGTACTCGTACTCGTATAGCTACGGTCGCGACCACCCAGCGACCTATTTCATCGGCGGCGTCGAGTTTTCGGTTCCAGGGGAGTGCTGGTACGACGACTGCGGCGTCTGCACCCCGGGCTGGGAGGTCCTCGAGTGCCGCGACGATGGCACGCATGGCACGCCGATGCGCGGGGTTGGCTGCGCCGCGTGCGATGCGACGGCCTGCGCGCTGCACGATGCGACGTTCGACTTCGGTGGCCGCATGACCTGCGAGCCCGGCACGTCGCCTATCGTCTATTATCACGACTACGACGACGACGGCAGCGTCGACTACGAGGGGACGGTCGAGCCGTGCTCCTACACGGACTGCGGCGACGGGGGGATCGGCTCGTACTCCTACTCGCACTCGTACAGCTACAAGCACGGCGTCGACTGGACGGCAGCACCTTCGCCGCGGCCGACATCCACGCCCAGCGCGCGCCCGTCGCCGCGGCCGACACCATCGCCGTCGCCGCACCCGACCCCAAGACCTTCGCCGGACCCGACGCCGGAGCCTGGCGATCCTACGGCAGCACCAGTCTTCGCGCCAACGCATAAGCCGACTCCGCGGCCTTCGTCTAGGCCAACGCAGTCTCCGACGCGCTGGCCGACGGTTCATCCGTCGCCAGGGCCGACCTCACGGCCGACGTGGGTGCCCTGGCCGCGGCCAAGCGCAAAGCCCACGTCATCGCCGACGTCGTGGCCCACGCACCGACCGACTTTGCGGCCAAGCCAATGGCCGACGCCCCGGCCCTCGCACGCTCCGACGGCGCAGCCGAGCCCAAAACCGACGTCGTCGCCGACCTCGTGGCCATCGCACCGACCAACCTTGCGGCCAAGCCAATGGCCGACGCCCCGGCCCTCGCGCGCTCCGACGCCGCGGCCGACAGCCAGGCCCTCGTCGGCGCCCTCGCACGCTCCGAAGCCGGCGCCTACGCCTCTACCGACGCCTCGGCCCTCGCCGGAGCCATCCCTAAAACCAACCCGAGTTCCCACGCCAAAACCGACGCCCTCGCCGACGGCGACGCCCGGAGACCCCACGGCGGCTCCCGTATTTTCGCCGACGCCGCGGCCCTCTTCGCAGCCGAGTTCGAAGCCGACAAAAGTGCCGACGCCCGCACCGTCGGCCCGACCCACACCGCTGCCGACGCCCCGCCCGACCCCGAGTCCCTCTCCGGAGCCGTCGAGTAAGCCGACACCCGCCCCGACGACGGCACTCCCGACGACGGCGCTCCCGTCGCCCGCGCCCACGAGCGTGCCCACGATCTCGTCGCCGCCGTCGGCAGTACCTACAACAGCACCGACGACCATAAATTACCGCCTCGCGGACTTCTCGGCGACGGCGCCCGCGGAGCTGGCCGAGGCGGCCTTTACGGGGACGGGTCTCAAAGTAGAGCATCTGGTCGTCAATCTGACGGTCCCGGCGACCGAGCCTGTGAAGGTGACGCTGCGCGGCGGCGGTCAGAGCGCGAGTGCCCTCCGCTTCTACGACGAGGACCCGGCCAACCCGGGCTACGCGCTCACGTCGGACGCCGGAAGCGCCTCCGTCGCGAGGTGGATCCCCGCCGGCGACACCAATCTTACGGTCGCCGCCGGCGCGCTCCGGGACCGAGTCAACAACGGCCACAGCGTCGTGCAGACCATCACGGTCTCTCTTGATTCGGACGATCCGATCTACGGCCGCGAGCGGAACTTTGTCGGGTCGTTCGCAGTGACGGTGCTGGACGTCGACGAGTCGCTGATCGCGGTGAAAAAATTCCTGGCGACGACGGACCCCGTCACGTCCGGCGCCATAACGGCGGAAGCAAAGGAGAACGCCGCGACCTTCGTCTTCACGGCGGCGCTGACGAGCCTACCGTTTTCCGCCGTGCGCCTCGAGGTCGAAGGCGACGTCGACGCGTTCGAGAGTATCTCCGTCGACGGTGCCGATGCAACGAACCGCACCATCGAGCCCGCCGACTGGGCCTCACTCGCGACGTACACGTTCCGCGTTGCCGACGACACCGTGCTCTCCGGCGACCGCGACTACTCCGTCTGGTTCGTGGCGCGCTCGGACGATGCTAATTATGACAGTCGACGCTCGGCTACGATGACGTGCCAAGTCATCGAGGACGACGTCGCCTTCGCCACCGTGAGCGGCAAGGCGCTGACGGTCGGGGCCGGCATCGACGGCCCGACGTTCGGCGACGGCTACTGGATCACGCTCTCTGCGCCGCCGACGGCCAACGTCGTCGTGTCGCTCGACTGCGCCGACACGAACGTGTTCTACACGAAGCGGCTCCTGTTTACGCCGGACAACTGGGATCGGAAGTACGTGGCCGTCAACGCCTCTCTCGCAGACCCAGACGTCCTGGAGGGTAGGACGGCCACACTCACGCATTCCGTCGCCTCGGCCGACGCCTTCTTCGACGGCCTCGCCGTCTCCGACGTCGAGATCGCCGTCGAATTCTCTGTGGATAGTGTGCCGCCGCCCAAGCTGGAACTCGTCCGCTTCTTGGACGGCGGCAACGGCCTCGACGTGCTCTTCGACAGCCCGACGAACATGATCGACGGCGAGTGGGATATTGATTGCGCCACGCTCTTCGAGTACGCGGCGCAGCAATTCGGCGCAGACGGTACGTGCTCCTGGACGAACTCGAGCGCGCTGCGCGTAACGTTCGGCGCGGGCGCCCAGATCGTCCCGTTCGACTACGTGGCCGCGACGACCCTCAACAGCGCGTGGCTCAAGGGCGGCGTGCTGAAGAACGACCTCGACGGCGCGACGCTCACGAGCGCCGCCCAGTACGCTGAGGCCCAGAAGCCGCTGCATCCCGTGGCGCCGGCGATCTCGATCACGGCACCGGAGAGCGTCGGCGTCTGCGACGGCGTCGTCCTCGACGCGCGCGGCGCCACGGGCGGCGGCTCGAGAGCTCTGACGTACAACTGGGGCATGCTGACGAGCTGGGACGCCGAGACGGACGCCGATATGGCCAGCGTGGCGGCGCTCGAGGCCAAGCTTCAACAGGCCGACGCTGCCGGCGCCGTGACCTTGGGCCTCGGCTTTGACGACCTCCTCGCGGGCCGGGCCTACGACTTCCTCATCGCCGCGACAAATTTTCTCGGCGTGACGACCACGGCCTACGCGACCGTCGACAAGCTGGCCTCGCCGGCGCCCGGCGTCCAATTTCAGGGCGCCGCGACGCAGACGATGGTCCGGTCCGACAAAAAGTCGCTCAAACTCGACGTCGCGCTGCCCAAGCTCGCCTGCGTCGACACGAACGTGTCATCCACGGCGCTGGGCTTCGCCTGGCGCGCGTGGCGGCTGGCGGGGGCGACGTACATCCGAGACATCCCGGACTTGGCGGAGTACACCGCCAACCCCATGTCGTGTCGCCTGCCGGCGGACGCCCTGGCCGCGCAGACGACCTACAAGTTCCAGGTGACCGTCGGCTTCGCGGACACCATGACCATCAACAGCTCCGCTACTACCACGATTGTTGTCGGGTCGCAGGCCCTCGTCGCGTCCATCTTAGGCGGCGTCGAGCAGGCCGTGGCGATCGGCGCCACGACCGAGCTGGACGGGTCCGAGTCGTACGACCCCGACGAGCAGGGCGCGCTCGCGTACGCGTGGACCGCGGCGCGCGTGCTGGACGACGGGAGTAGGGAAGACGCGAACTCGCTACTGAGTTCCACAGACACGACGCAGTCCGTCCTCGCGTTCACGCCGACGACGGCCGCGGGCTGGGCGAGCGGCGCGACCTACGAATTCACGCTAACGGTCTCCCATGGCGCGCGGAGCGCGGCCTACAGCGTGCTGGTGTCGGTCTCGTCGGACCAGTACATGCCGCGCGCGACGGTCACGGAATTCGACGAGAGCATCAAGTACAATCCCACGGCGGACACGTTCGCTGCGATCTACTTCGAGGCGACGTCACCCGATCCTGATAGAACGATCGAGCAAACCGCCTGGTCCGTCGGCGACGGGCAGTCCGCGGGCCTCCTCGGCAAGCCCAGCGGGGCGCCGTCTCCCATGCTCGTCGACCTCGGCAAGACGCGGCCCAACGCCGTGTACCGGCTGAAACTTATGGTCACGGACAGCATCGGGTCGACGTCCTCGACCGTCGTTTCCCTGACGACGAACGGCCCGCCCACCTCGGGCACGTTCGCCGTCGCGCCGTACCGGGGCACCGCCCTGGAGACGGAGTTCGAATTCCTGCTGGACGGCTGGTCCGACGACGTCGACGACTACCCCCTCACGTACACGTACGGGTATCGGCTGGTCCAGGACGCGGCGCTGACGCCGCTGGTTGCGGACCAGTACGCGAGCGCGTGGTTCCTTACGACACTGCCGCAAGCGCCGAATGTCAACATCACGTGCGTCGGCCGCGTCTTCGACCGCTACCTGTCGTACGCGCAAGCCTTCACGCCCGTGCGGGTGGACCCGCTCGAGATCTCGACCGAGGACCTCTCGGCGTTCGCCGGCGATCTGTTGTCGGCGTCGGCGGACACGGGCGACGGCGAGGCGTCGCTGTCTCTGGTCTCGAACGTGGCGAGCGTCATAGGCGGGACCGACGCGAGTCGGCGGAGACTTTCCGCCGAACAGGAGTTGATCGACGACCTGATGGCCCACACGATTAGCGCGGCGAGCCTGGTGGGCACGAGCTCGTCCGCCGCGGCGGCAGCTCAGGTCCTGTCCACCGTCTCGACGCTGACCGGGGACCCCGACTCTATCTCTGAGAGCTCGCAGACGGGCGCGATCGGGCTGCTCAGCGACGTCGTCGGCGGCGCGGCAGGCACTGGCTTCGACGCTGACACGGCGGCGGCGACGGCGGCCACCCTCTCGAGCCTCCTGAGCGCGAGCCTGTTCGCGTCCGTCGCGGCGGACGCGCGGCGGTCGTTGGGGGCCGCTAATGCCGACCTGGGCGGGCAGATGGCCGGCACGGTGGGAGCGCTGGCCACCGGCATGATCGCGGGCGCCTACGGCGGCCAGAACAGGAGCGTCGTCACGGATAACCTGGAGCTACGCGCCTTCCGGACCGACTGCGGGACGCGGGACGCGGCGTTTCGACTGTCCTCGGGGGCCGGCGTGACGGACCTGCCCGCCTCGGCCCTCGACGCCGCCGGGGGCGACAGTTGCGAGGGGGGAGCGCCGGCCGATGTGGACGTGAAGGTGGCCCGGCTGAAGAACGTCTACGCTTCTGAGGGCGACGGTGCCATTTCGGACCTGCTGCAGATCGAGCTCGGCGGCGAAGGCGCCACGGTCAAGGTTGACAATCTCGCCGAACCCATCGTGTTCGACATCCCGTTCGACTACGACCCGACACTCGAAGCCGGCTACGACCCGGGCATCCGCACGGGCACGTGTTATAATCGGTCCCAGGTCCTGAGCTTCGACTGCGACGTGCCCACGACCTTTGATTGCGGGGAGTCTCGCGAAGTGACGCTCCCCGACGGGTCGACGACGACCGTGACGGGAGATGTCCTTCCGCTCGAAATCACGGTGAGCTGCCCCGCCAAGACGGCCGCGTGCTCGTTCTGGGACAACGCGACGAGTAGCTGGTCTTCTGATGGCTGTGCCGTCGTCGCGTCTACGGCGTCCGGCGTGACGTGCGCGTGCACGCATCTGACCGAGTTCGCCGCCTCGACGACTGCGGCAGACGCAAACTATTTCGTGGACTTTCAGCCCTCGCCGGGGCCGACGCCCGCGCCTACGACGGTTCAGCCGTCGCTGGCGCCGACGTCGCAGCCGTCGCCGGGGCCGACCACGCGGCCGACGTGGGTGCCCTGGCCGGCGCCCACGACGGCACGGCCCACGCCGAGGCCGTCGCCGGCGCCGACGCCCTTGCCCGGTCACCCCACGGCGGCGCCGGTCTTTGCTCCGACGCCGCCGCCATCGGCCCCGCCGACCGCGGCGCCCGGGGGTTCGACGCCCGGGCCCACGCCGCGCCCGGTCTGCGATATCTGTGGCGGCCGCGGCGTCAAGGTCGCGGTCGCCGGGTACACGTGCGAGACGACCGCCGGCGAGAAAGTCGGCGACTCGAACACTCATCCGGCGATGGCGTTCGCGGTCTTCAACACGGCGGTCGACTGCCTCACTGCCGGCCACTCCTGGAACGCGTACACGTGCGAAGAAACGGCCCACTTCTGGGCGGAGGACGTGGACCAATGGAACCTAGGGTGGACGTGCCAGTTTCATCGAGACTTCTGGGACTCGGGCGGGGAAGCCGGGGGCTGCTGCGTCGCCGCCCACGACGACGACGACGACGACAACCGCTTCCACCGCGGCCTCGTCGAGTCCGCAGGAGTATGGAGCCTCGCGACGGTGGGCGTCACGATGACGGGTATCGCCATCGCGTCATTTGCTAATTTGATGCAGGAACAGTGCGCCCTGGGCCCGACGATCATCTTCGAGGCTGGCACGACGCACCCGTACTACATCACCCCGAACCTGTGCACGATCGGCGCCCACACGTACTCGTCCAAGAAGACCGTGCGCGACGCGTCGCCCCGCAAGGTGTGCCGCAAGTACTGCGAGGAGGCGTCCGGAAAGCTCGCTCTCAAGCATGTGCAGGGCCTCACTTGCTACTGCAAAAAGAAGTAGCTGAATGTAATGTGTTTTTGCTCGTGAGTTGTGAGTTATAATGGCGTCATTGTTACGGGGGGAAGACATCGCGCGTCGTCGATTCATCGGCGGCGGGCGCGGGCGCGTGCCGTGTCTTTCGTAACAGCATACCTCCTCCTAAGTAGAACCGCTCCCGACACCCCCCGACATCATGACTAGTTGGCTTATGCGCGAGCCAGGCTCTTCCAGCTCCCGCGCGTTCGCGGCTAGCGGCATGTAAGACACTAGCATCCTAGCTCTCCGGACGCCGCAGAGCACAAGCGCCACAATAGGAGCATACCTGAGCACCTGGATGCAGCGCTTTGCTGCCCTCGCGGCTGCCGTGCCCTTGGCCTACGCCCTGCGCCCGGCCGCCGCGCGCTCCAAGCCCCTGACCAAGCGCCACCTCGGCACGCTCATGGATTTGTTGGGAGGCGGCGGCGGCGAACTCATCGCGCCGGAAAAGGCCCTGCCCGGTCGCAAGGAAGCGATGCCGAACATTGAGGGTAGCAAGCACTTTGTGCTCGGCACGGACCAGGTGAAGGTCCCGGACGGTGCATAAATCAAATTGTCGCGGCGCGTCTCCACGCCATCGACGCGACGTGCACCGCCGACTCACTTGTTGATTTGCGCACAGGTCCCGGAGGGCCACAAGGTCGCCGTCTTCGCGAACGGCTGCTTCTGGGGCAGCGAGAAGGGCATCTGGCGCTTCCCGTATGGTATCTATTCGACCGCAGTAGGCTACTGCGCGGGGTTTACGCCGAACCCGACCTACAACGAGGCGTGCAGCGGCATGACGGGCCACACCGAGGGTGTGCGGGTGGTCTACGATCCCGAGCAGATTTCGTTTGCGGACATTTTGAGGTGGTTCTGGGAGGCCCACGACCCGACGAGTGGCATGGGCCAGGGTAATGATAGAGGCACGCAGTACCGCTCTGGTTTTTATTACTTTGACGACGACCAGAAGCGGTTGATCGAAGCCTCGAAGGAGTTCTACGAGAAAAAATTAGGAAGACCCATCACGACGGAGGTCGCCGCGGCCAGTGACTACGACCAGTACGGCGGCGTGTGGTACTTCGCGGAGCAGTACCACCAGCAATATTTAGCGAAGCCGGGCGCGCGGCCGTACTGCTCCGCGCAGCCCCAGGGTATTGATCTGGCGCCGTTCGCGGAGTGGTGCCCCGCGGATTTACAAGAAAAGTACGCGCCCAAATTGCCGGACGTCTTCTGGGACCGCGAGAAGCCGCGGCGCGGCTGCTCTGTGGTCAACTCGCCGAACGAGCCCGTCGTGCTCTAGGGTGATGCGTAGTGAGTACTTGCTAGATTACTAGTCGTCTTCATTTGATAGAGAGGTGATAGAGAGAGAGGGGCGGGCCCAGATTCTCGTTAGATCCAAGCCCTTCCATTGGTTTGGCATCAGACTGAATTAGATCGCACGAAGACGACGATCAGACAAGCAAACATGGCCTGCAGACTCGCCCTTGCACTACTTCTCGCCGCCAACGTCCACGAACCGCGTCGTATACACTTGCAATTTTACCTCAGGAGCAAATCGCCGTCGCCTCGCCTTTTGCAGAGAGAGACGTACAGCGAACGATGCATTGCCCCGCGTGAGTTGCGGCTCGCCTGCCTGTGCACATAGTGACTTGACCGATTCCCTGACTAACTAACGTACTACAAAACTTACACATCACTGCCCGTCCGACCGCCGCGTCCACCCGCTCGGGTCGACCGGCTCCGTCGGCAGGGCCGCACAGAGCCGGTTCACGTACGTCCCTTTCGAGCGCTCTTCCTCGATCTGAGCATGCAGCGCCGCGAGCGCCTTGACCGAGTCGAGCGACTCGAGCACGTTTGAATCCCACCACGCCGGCGCCGAGGCCGCGGCCCCCCGCTCAATCAACAAATGCGCGTGGCGAACGTTCCCATCAGTAAACGCGGCCAGCGCCACGCCGATGACTTTGCGCCGCCGCCGCGCCAACGCCAACGCCAGCGCGGTCTCGCGGGCCGTGCCGACGCAGTCCATCGCCTTTTCGGACCCGACCAGTTCCTCGAAGAAGGGGATCATGTCCGGCTCGCCGTACAGGTCGACGCCGTGGAATATTCGGGAGGCGTCGTCGCGGAACGCCGACAAAGCACAAAACACAAAGGCGCACTTGGCGCAGGCCCCGCACCACGCATCACCTATGTGGGAATCAAACTTCGGGCGCCCCACGCCATCGACGCGACGTTGTCCTCGTAACAGCATAACCTAGCTCACTGCTTGATTTCCACACCGCTCCGCACAATCGCCCGAGTCGTTGCAGGACCGGAATAACGAGTAGAAGGGCCGTAACGAAACCTCGAGGCAGAAGACGCCGGCCACCTGCAGGTCCCAGAGCGGCTGCAGCGGCGACACGTAGCTCACCGACGACAGCCGCCCCAAATACGAACGCAGGGCCGCCTCCCAGGCCAACGACTTGTCGAACTGATGGTTCACCTCTCTACCTCCAAAAAAGACGCCGTTGCCCTCGGCCGCGGACCGCTCGTGCCCCACGACGAACCCGTCGTAGCCCAGCAGTGCAGCCACACCCACACCGTCGAAAGCACACAACGCCGCCCAGGGGTGGCCGCACGGCGTCCGATACGTACTTTCCGTTAGATTCGAGAAGTCGTGCTTCGCCAGGTACGCCGCGCCGCCCGCCGTCCGCACGACACCTTGCAATCGTTTTGAGTTCTCGTATTCGTCGCCGCCGTCGTCGACGTAGAGCCAATCCACCGTAGAGACGCGCGGCTGCCTCGTACTCAGCAACCACGCGACCAACGAATCCTTGCCGCCACCCAACCCGCAGAGCACCCTTACATCACCTTGGTGCTGCGCTGCGACCGGCTCCGCGTCTTCCGCGAGTTCAGCCTCGACCTCGATATCACAAGCGTCCTCATCCAAGTTGTTGTGCAGCGCGAACTCGGCGAAGGCCTCGCGGTAGAAGTCCGCCCAGAACTGCCGTTGGTCCGCCGTCAACGCCGTGGCCTTGCAGACTATTTTCCGGCAGGGCGTCGCCATCCACGGCCAGCAGAGCAACACTAAACCCGCGTGCGCCAGGACGCGCCGACACTCGTCATTCATGGCGTCCCGGGGCGGCAGCGTCACCTTCATCCAGGCTTCGGGCCCTCCACAAAAACTGTACGCGTAGGCGACGCGCCATGTTTTGTCAGCGTCTTGCGCGATCGTGCAGCGCGTGTAGGTTAATGTATCGGGCACCAACTCTAAGGCAGCGAAGGCGCCGCCCAGTGTGTCGCCGTCGACGCTGGCGTCGTCGAAGCTCGCCATCGCTGCTACGACTGCGTTTGGGAGTGCTGCACCGCACAGGCCGGCGCTGCAAACTCACGAATCGATGCAAAATCGATGCCGGATCGATGCAGCGCTGCAGAAATGGTTCAAAAACAACGAATACGGCAGCCAGGTCTCTCTACCAGCAGCATCGGCGATTTTGCGCATGCGCTGAAAAACCCGTTTTATCAGCTGCAGGGAGCGATTTATGACAAGGCACAAAAAAAGCGCACCGCACACATCCACGCACCCCTCAATAGGTCCGGAAAACGCCTCCGCGAGTCGCGCTCAAACCCGAACAACTCAAAGAGAGCAGATCAGCTGCGCCCGAATTCACGCGCCCACAGGCCGTAGCATTGCTGCCCCGGCCAGGCCGGTGCATGCGACGCGAGCGCAGCACGGCTGCGCCAAGCAAGGGCAGCCGCACGATGGCGCCAAGGCCACCAAGACACCGGCCCCTCAAGCAGCGCCGCGCGGCGCGGCACGTTCTGATAGTCGCACTCGGCACCTGCGCGCTGGCGGCCTGGCTGCTCCGGTCGCCCAGACGCGTCGCGGTCCTCATGACGGCGACGAAACGAAAAGTTGCGGCGTTTTCGAGTGAATACGGCGAGCTCAAAGCAGCTTATGTCTACACGACGTCCATAGACAACAAGCAGCGCTACTGCGCTGTTAACAGATGCGAGTTGGTCGTTGGCGCGGACCGGAAGGAGACGTCCAATCGATCCGCGAGGTGGACGAAGGTGGCTTGGCTCCGGGAAATACTACCTCAATATGACTGGGTCGTCTGGACCGATGTAGATTGTTTTTTTACGCGTACTGACGATGTCGTTGATGTGTTTGACGCGGCGTATGATGTACACTTCACGTTAGATAGCGGTTCTGAGGAGCGCGTCAACACCGGCTTCTTCGCGCTGCGGAACACGCAATGGAGCCGCGACTTCCTGGAACAGGTCTGGACCGACAATGATGGAGGCGAAGGGTTGTCCGACCAGCGGTCGTTCAATACGGTGTTGAATGGTCTCAGTAAAGATGAGCACCAAAGACATGTGAAGCTCTACTCGAAATCAATTTTAAATGCTTTCCCCTCCGGCACGAACTACGTGGCCACCGAGGACTACGAGCCGCCGACCCCGGACGGCGACGAGACTTCAGAAACGAGAGTGATCCACTACGCGGGGCAATTCGGAGGTGCCCGTAATTCAGATGGAGCGACGCCTCCCACAATGCTCGTGCAGTTCCTGGATTTACTGCTCGCGCGGCACGCTCTGTACTTAACGAAGGTGCCTGATATGAAACACGAGCGGCTGCGCTCCGTAAGTGATGCGTCAAAGCTTATAAGTGATGCGCGCGCGGCGCTGGCGAATTGCCTCAAAGCGTTGAAGACCTACGCGCCGGGCGCCTCCAAAACGCCCGTGAACTTCCTCGAGGTCTACGAATCTACTGGAGAAGTCTGCGACGCCGACGCGGCTTTAGTCAATGTACGAAGGCCCTTGTCAGAGTTGGTCGTCGCGGGCGAGGGCTACGCTTCATCATTATTGTGTTCCCACGGCGATGACGTACCTTCGACTTCCATATCCCTGAGTGACGCGTTCCCTTCACCGAAGGTCGGTGTTAGAAAGGGCCACAAGCAAGTCCATGCCATGGAAGGCGACCTCGTCGTCGTCGCGCACGAGTGCGCTTCTCTAAGAGGACGACATGTCGTCGACGGCGCGTCGTCCTTAATACTAGCAGACAGCGGAGATACTGATGAGAAGCCAGTGCCCGCGCCGCGGCTCGCCGTCCTCGTCGCCTCGAGTGGAGACGACTTCTGGGCCTCCGTCGCGCCGCGGGCGCTCGCGTGCCTCGAGGCCTGCTCCACGTTTCAGATGGGAGACGAGACGCGGCGCGCCCCGGCGCCGCCGCTCGTCGTTGTCGGCCACGAGGGGGGCGACTGGGCGCGGATCGGCGTCGAGCTCTTTCCCGCGAATAATGTCGACGCGACGGAGCTCTACACGTGCCACGGCGGCGGAGCCCAGGGCGCGGCGCTGGTCCGCGAGCGGCTCGGGACGCCGGAGTACGCTGCTGAGGGCCCTGTGGTGGTGGTCGAGGCGGCGCTCGCGGACGAGGTGAGGAGACTGCTCCCGGACGCGCGCGTCAAGATACTCACGGGAGCGGCGCCGTGGGAGGATATGGCGGGCGCCCTGGGCGCGGCGCGGGTCCTCGTCGTCGCCTGTGTGGAAATCAAAATTTTACGGCGCGTTCGTGCTGAATCGTCGCGTCCCTCCACGCCACCGACGCGACGCCTGCTCGAAAACGGGGTGATGCCGGTTCCTCACCGCTCGACAGAGCCAGGACGGCCGCGTCATCGCCGAGAAATGACTTAGTGAAGAATTGTCGGGTGCACCCGTCGCACTGGTTGATTTCCACACAGGTCGTCGCCTCCGGACGCGCGAAGCGCTGCGACGTCGTGCGGTGCCGCGAGACGACGTCGGCCATGCTGCGGTGCCGGCCGAGGACCTTGGTGCTCGAGGTCGGCGGCACGAGTGGGGACGAGGCCCTGGCGCGCGAGCTGGCATTGGGCTACCGGGCCGTGGCCGACGTGCCAGCTGCGGTTGCCGCGATCCACGAGGCCGGCGTGCTCGCGGTGGATCGGTTCGACTTTGTTGGCGACGTCTGAGCCTAGCTTTGTCTTAATTTATGTGTTACATTACTCCATAACTATTGGCGACGTCTGCCGCGGTTTGCGATGTGGGGTGCTCGTGGTTTAAGATACGCCTGCCCACTTCCGATACTGGTAGGGGCCGGGCGCGCATTGACTCGTCAAGGCGCGCGTGGAGAAGCGCCAAGAACATCTCATTCGACATGTTGGATCCAGAAAGGTCTGGTGTGCTGTGGTAGATGCCCGAGCAAAAAGCAAGCACCTGGCCGGTGGGTCGATCAAACATAATGTTGAGCGTCATATGGTACTGGTAGTCCTGCGACGACCCGTGCCCGATCATTAACTCGCCATAGTCGAACCTAACGGTACATTCACTACTATTTTGGTCGTAAGCCATTGCGGCCCAATCATCCTCGTCAACATCGTCTGTATCCCAAAACGCCACCTTGACCGCGGCGCCGTCCGCCTTCCTGGTGCAGATCATGTAGGCACGTGGCATATGCGCATCCTTGAAGGTGTCTAATTGTGTGCCTTCTGCGCAGGCAAGCGAGGCGCGTCGCATGAGCGGAGACATGTTGTCGGCGCCTTGTCCCGAGGGAAATAGCACGAACGAGGCGACATTGTTATACGCGCCCATCTCGTTCCTATCGGCGACGAGGCGCATGAATGGGAAGACCGTTGTCTGAAACCCGTCAGACTCCGACGATAAAACCACAGTGAACGCAAACTCATCAAACGGGACTTCTTCGCTCCAGCGGCGTACGTTATGCGCAAAACCAACAACCCCTCCCGCCGATGACGGGATGAGCTCTTGGACGCGGGCCTGGGCTGCGAGCAACCGCTTGTTTGACAGCTGAGCGAGGGTGCCGCGGGCGACGCCGGCCGCCTTTTCGCTCCACGCTCGCGTTTTATCGCCGAGTGATGACTTGCCACAGATCTCGAGCCGGCCCAGTGATGCCGCGTCGAGAAACTCGCACGCGACGAGGACCACCGCTGCTGGGAGCTTGACCCAGGAGGCTGCTGAGGGCTGCTGCGCCATGATGACTCGGTTTTGCTCAACGGCCGGCTGCAGGGCAGCTGTGTGAGGACTGCTGAGGTCCCAGAAGGTTCAGTTATGCGCGTCTGGCTCGGAGAGGCCCAAGGCACCTTAGCTAAGGCTAGCGGTATCGACACACTAGGATTGAAGGTGCTCGAGAGCGAGAAGCTGGAAGCTCGGCCTTTGGAGCAAGAGGACTGCGCTGAACAGCGCAGAAATCGCATAGCAGACTCCTTGGCTCGCTGCAGACCGCTTCCTGAACACTGCGCAGCACAACTGAGACTGCAAGAGCTTCACTGCAGCACCGCCCTACGCCGCCGCGGCGCGGCAGCACCGCAGCAGGCTAGAACGCAAAAATGGCCCAGATCGACCGCGTCACTTTTGGTTTTTACGCCCCCGACGAGCTGCGCGAGATTGCCGTCTGCACGATCACCGAGCCGCGGACGTTCGACCAAACGAACGCGCCGACGACGAACGGCCTCTACGATCCGCGCTTGGGACCCACAGAAAGGGGCCTGATCTGCCCGACGTGCAATCAAACCGAAAGACACTGCGACGGCCATCTGGGTGTGATTGAGTTACCCGTACCATGCTATAACCCCCTGCTGTTCCCTACCTTGCACAAACTGCTCCAGATTAGGTGTGGGACGTGCCACCAGCTACGGCTGGATAAGCTGCACACGCGGTGGCACGTAGCTAGGATAGCATTGTTGGACGCCGGCCAATTTCAACGAGCAGATCAATTGCTGAGGCCGGGCAAGCCGTCGGCGGACGAGCCCGAGGCCGTCGAGTATCGTAGAATAGTGACGGAACGCATCGAGAGCGTCGAGAAGGACATCAAAGACGGGAGACTGACGCCGACGCCCTCGGCCCATGGAAGGGTAGAAAGACAAAAGGCGGCCAAGGAGTTCTATAGTGCGTGCCGGGCCGTGAAGAAGTGCGACCGCTGCGGCGCTTCCGAAAGAAAGCTGCGACGGGACGGCGCGTCGAAGTTATTTCAATTACCGCTCGACGCGAAGCACGTGCAAGACGAGCGACTGCAGGGCATCAAAGCGCCCAGAGCGGTCGGGAGTAGAGACATTTCAGGGGGCGTCTTCGACGACTCTTCTTCTGATTCCGACGACGAGCGGCCGCCCATTACTACGGGACGAGCTTTATTTGTTACGCAAGCCGAAGCTCGAGCTCAATTAAAGTTGCTCTGGAAAAATGACGGCGAGGGCTGCGACGCCTTGTTGGGTTCGATCGTGTGTACTTCACAAAAGAACGACGACAAGGCCGCGGACAAGTTCTTCCTGGACGTGCTAGGAGTCCCCCCGCCTCGGTTCCGGCCGGCGCAGACCGTGGGCGGCGTCCTCGCGGAGCACCCCCAGAATGTGGTCCTCGGCAAAGTACTGTTGTTAAGCAAGCAGATCCGCGCCCTGAAGGGCGAAGGCTCTGAAGCGAAGTTATTGGATCTGTGGCTACGGCTGCAGGGCGAGGTAAATAATTACGTCGATAGCTCGAAGAGTACGAATCGGGACCAGCCGCCAGGTATAAAACAACTACTGGAGAAGAAGGAAGGCTTGTTCCGGAAGCACATGATGGGGAAACGGGTGGACTTCTGCTGCCGATCGGTCATCAGCCCTGATCCATTCTTAGCGTCCGGAGAAATAGGCATGCCCGTTGTTTTTGCGAGAAAGTTGTCCTACCCGGAACCGGTGACGCCCCACAACGTCGACCATTTGAGAAGATTAGTGCAGAACGGGCCGGACCAGTGGCCGGGCGCCAACTGGGTCGAGACGCCAAGAGCTTCCGGTGGGACGCAGCGCACCGATTTATCTAGGGTAGCTTCGGCGAAGCGACGCGCGGCCATTGCGCAACAACTACTCACAACACCGGGCCAAAAAGTCGGGCGCCATGTACTAGATGGAGATTCCGTCCTCGTCAACAGGCAACCGAGCTTACACAAACCATCGATCATGGCTCATAGAGTCAAGGTCCTCTCCGCCGACTCCCTAAAACACCACCAAACTCTGAGGATGCACTACGCGAACTGCAACGCCTACAACGCCGACTTCGACGGAGATGAAATAAATGTCCACTTCCCGCAGTCGGAGCTCGCGCGCGCCGAGTGCGAAGTTATTGCCGGGACGCACGAGCAGTACATCGTACCGACCGACGGGAAGCCTCTTAGAGGGTTAATCCAGGACCACATCGACGCGTCGGTGAAGCTATCGATGGCGGATTGCTTTCTGTCGAGGGACCAGTTCTGCCAGTTGGTTTACGAGAGTGTCCGACCGGTCATAGGACTGGCTTCCTTAGATACGTCTACGGTGCAACCCGCTCTCTTGAAACCGGAGGTGCTGTACACGGGTCGACAATTACTGTCCTGCGTCCTCGCCCACGTCACGCGGAAGCACGTGTCACCGAGGAGGGAACCTCTGCTAAGGCACTTCGAGGGCAAGGCCAAGGTGCAGGCCAAAGCCATCGGTGGGATCCAAGGTTTAGATGAACCTTCGGTGTTAGTGAGGAAAGGCTTGATACTCAGAGGTGTCTTGGACAAAGCTTCTATTGGTTCATCAGCCAATGGCTTGGTGCATGCCATTTTTGAATTATACGGCGGGAGAGCCGCGGCGGATTTATTAGATGCTCTTACACGATTACTAACATCATACTTAGCGACGGTGGAAGGTCACACGTGCGGCATCGGCGATTTGGTGCTGACCGACCAAGCCGAACAAGCACGCAAGGCAATAGTGGAAGAAACCGAACAAGTTGGGATTGAAGCCATGGAGAGCTTTCTTAAAGAAAGGGGCTACAAGGACTGGGATGCTGCAGGGATATCTCAGACAGAACGAGCGCGAAGAAGACGCGACGCGACCCATAAGGCATTGGGGGAGGACGGCGCGCGGGAAGCGCTAGATGCGCACATGATGGGCGCCTTAGCTCCGCAACACAGCAAAATTGTGAAAGCTTGCCTGCCGGACGGCCTGGGCACGCCCTTTCCGAGAAATGCTTTTGCGCTCATGGTGACCACTGGTGCGAAAGGTTCCGTCGTGAACCAGTCGCAAGTGTGCTGCGCGTTGGGCCAGCAATCCTTGGAGGGGCGGCGCGTGCCGGTGATGCCGTCTGGGAGAAGCTTGCCTTGTTTTGACCCGCATGACCCGAGGCCTAGAGCCGGCGGTTTTATTGCCGATAGATTTCTAACAGGAATACGGCCGCAGGAGTACTACTTCCACTGCATGGCCGGGCGGGAAGGGTTGATCGATACGGCCGTAAAGACGAGTCGAAGCGGTTATCTCCAGAGGTGTCTCGTGAAGCACCTCGAAGGCTTGAGGGTGGCCTACGACCACACCGTTAGAGATGATGAGGGGAGCGTTATTCAATTCTTATATGGTGACGATGGGCTCGATACGACGAAGACGCACTTCCTGTCGGGCGCGAAGGAGCTGAGATTCCTCGCCGCGAATCATGTCGATAGTAGGGAGACTACGATCAAGGACGCTATCGGGCGGAGGGACGTCCTAGAGTTAGCTAAAGACGTGCAAGCGGCGCGCAAGGCTTCTTCCGTCCAAGGCCTCGCGCTACACGCTCGCGTAAGGGCGAGACGGAAGGACGCGCGCGAGTACTCCGAAGGTAGCGTCGTCAAGGTCCGGTCCGATTCTGTGGACGTGCGCTTCGATAGTGATGGGACCGTGCAGAAGAAGCTGACTGGCGTTGTTCACGACGACCTTAGTACGCCCGTGAACCAAAGATTCGAGGCCTGGCGACTAGGCGCGGTGTCCGATCGCGTCGAGGCATTACTAAATGAGGTCGACGCCGAGAAAGGCATGAGGGACGCGGTCTACGACAAGTATGCGAGGTCCTTGGCGGCGCCGGGCGAGGCCGTCGGCGCGCTGGCGGCACAAAGTGTAGGGGAGCCGTCGACGCAGATGACGCTCAACACCTTCCACCTGGCGGGCCACGGGGCGGGGAATGTGACGTTAGGCATACCTCGGCTGCGAGAGATCATCATGACGGCGTCCGCTTCCATAAAAACGCCCCAAATTACCATTCCCGTGCTCGATGACGACCGCGCGAAATCGTTGGCGTCGTCGTTGACGCCCGTCCGACTATCCGACGTCGCGGACCTCACGGAAGGCATCCTCGTCAAGGAAGCACTACTAGTGGACAAGGACCTCATACGGCGGAAGTACACCGCGTCCGTCACATTATTTGGGACGGACTTGATTGACGGCCACTTCGGTGCTGGCACGGTCCCGGACGACCCGCGCGTCTTGGCCCATTCCCTGGAGATGCTCGTGCGGCGGGCGGTCATGCGCGCGACGGCGCCGGCGCGCGCGAAGCAGTCGATCATCGGTTCGGCGCCCGCGCAAGCGCCGAAACCTAAAGCTGTACCGGAGAAGGACTCCTCGGACGACGATGATGATGACGACAGCGACGTCGACGACGCCGAGGCCGGCACGCTGAACAGAAAGGCGCGGGAGGTCGCGGGCTACGACGACGACTCGTCCGATTCAGACGAGGCGCCGGCGCCGGCGCCCGCACCGGTAGATGAGGACGAAGCACCGAAGAAGCGCGCGGCGCGGGGCGAGCGCAAGCTCGCGGTCGGCGTGTCTGGCCGCCGCGACGACGAGGACCGGTTGGTCTTTGACATCACGGTCGACTGCGCGGGCGGCGCGCAGCGCGTCCCTCTGGGTAGTTATATCGAAGACGCCCTGGCAAAAGTCACTGTACGAAGTTGTACAGGGGTATCGCGGGCGACGTTCGTGCCGGGGCGAGGTCTTATCGTCGAGGGCAACGACTTCCATTCAGTGCATGCCTTCTGCGGTGATTATGGCGACACAGTTGATTTGAACGCCTTGACGGCGAACGACATCTCGGCCATCCTGCACACGTACGGCGTCGAGGCGGCGCGAGCTACGATCATCCAGGAAGTGACGGGCGTGTTCGGCGTCTACGGTATCGACATCGAGCCGCACCACTTATCACTGATTGCCGACTTCATGACGGCGGGCGGCGGCTATAGGGCCATGAACCGCGGCGCGATGATGGACCACAGCAGCCCGTACCTCCAGATGTCCTTCGAGACGACGGCGTCGTTCCTCACTTCTGCAGCACAATCGTCGGCCGTCGACACGCTCCAGAGCCCGTCGGCGTCGATCGTCGTGGGCCAGCCGGTCAAGGTCGGTACCAATAGTTTCGACGTCATGGTGCCTCTCAGTTAAATTTATCTTTAGGACTTACTCCTTCCATTCCCGCCGTTGCCCGGGCGGCGGAGCGCTCGGCCGCCAGACGTCCTCCTCCTTCGCCTCCGCGCGCGCGCTCCGCGGCGTGAGCAGCAGCTTCAGGTCCTCGGCCCTAGAGTAGCGGTTGTCGCTGTAGCGCTCTGAATCCAAGGACGGGCGCTTCCGCCAGGCGACCTCCCACTCGACAAGTTCGTCCATGTACGCGGGATGAGGACTCGCGATGGGCCGTCTCTCTTTGAGCCATTCCAGCGCCGCGAGGAGGGCCATGCCGGATCGTGCGGACGGTGGCCGTCGCGAGTCGCGCGCGCGGCCCGAATCGGGCAAACCGCTCCGCGGGCCGCGTCGCACGAGATAAGCTAACACAGCAGCAGAAGAGCGAGAAATGCCCGAGTTGCAGTGGACCAGGACCCGGCCCTGCGCCACGCGCGCGCTGTCGATGAAGTCGACGATGCGGTGCAGAGCCGCCCGAAAGTTCCCACCATCGCCGTTTTTATCAGTACACGAGATGTGGCAATACAACAAATCCTCCTCGAAGAAGTTTTCGGTCTCGACGGCCATGTTCAGGACATGCGTGATGCGTCTTTTACGTAAAGCCATGAGATCTGAGGCTATGGCCCGGCCGCCAATAAAGATCAGCCGATTCAGCCGCGTACATCCTAATTCCTCGGCGTTCGCCGCCGACGTCGGTCTAGCGCTATCGAGCGCAGAATTCGGCCGGTCCGCGAAGACGGCTCGGTCGAAGAAGCCGGGGACGATCGGCGCGATGCGCCGGCGCGCTTCCGACGGCCGTTCCGGAAGAGGCCCCTCGAAGGACGACAGCGACGACGCCTCGGAGTGGTCGTCGTCCTGCATGGAGGTGGACATGGTGTTCGGCGAGAGCGCGTCGTCGGCGCGCTGCATCGGGTGCTCCAACATAATTGTGTTGCGGCGGCAGCGGCGGCAGCGGTGGTTTTTGCCGAGTGCCGGGGCAGCGCCCTTTCGAAGGGGACCGTCGCCTGCTCTGAGACGCAGCTGTGTTGTGCACAAGACGCGCTGTGGCCGCAATTCGTGCACCTGTGAACCGGCGTCGAGGTTTGCCAGACACTAGAATTTTGTGCCGGCCAGCGCTCCGCCACGCGTCGAAAGACTGTTATGGTTCGGCTGAGACGACTACCGGGGCCAGCGGCGCCGGAGCCTCTGGCTGGAATGCCAACGCCGTCCTGTCGCGGCACCTCCCGTGCGCCTCGCATTGCCCGCGCCCACGATTGAGGCATTGGTGAAGCAGCCAACGCACCGCTGCAGCCCGTGCACGCTGCCCCGACACGCCAGAGCTGCCGCGTGCCGTTAAGCCCGCAGAGCCTGGACGCTGCCCCCGCGCCCGGAGACAAACCACCATGGGCGGCGGCGCGGGAGAGAAGCGCGACTTCGACACGCAGCTGCGGTATCTCTTCGACCCGACGCAGAAGACGGGCGTGACCGAATATACGACGTCGACGGAACGGGCGCACGAGGGCGTGGCCATACCTAGAATACCTCGGGTGGACAAGAACGCTAGTGATAAGGAAGCGGTCATCGACTCGACGGGCTTCCCGCCCTGCTTCACCTCGACGAACACCGCCGAATTTAATCGCGACACGACGACGTTCTCGCGACGATACGTCAAGAGGGAGCCCTGTTTTGATAGGCAATCATCTTGTGCCACGAACTACAGCTTAGGAGAAGCGCCCTTCGAGACGAAGACGACGAACGACGTCCTGTTTGCGCATCCGCTCACGAAGCCTCGCGTCGACCAGGGCGAGATCGGGGGCTGGAAACACCCTGACGGGTCCTATAAATTGGAGCAGGAGGCGATCGATAGCATCAAGCGCGGCGGCGGCGGCGGCGCCGGGTGTCTGGGCATCTCCTTCAACGTGATTACCGGCGAGGAGATCCCCGGCATCCGCGAGGGCAAGCGGGCGATTTACGGGGCGCGGCGGACGCTGAACGTGACGTTCAGGCCTGTGTGGAAATCAACGTCGCGTCGTTGGCGTGGGGCGCCTGAAATTTTATTTCCACACAGGCAATACCGGGAGCATCCTGGCGATTCGTACAATCCCGTGACGATGAGAGATGTTCCTGCTACCGCACCACCTCATCAAACCACGGAGATGCTGAAGCGGTCCGAGGACGTTCACCTTCGAACTCGGCCCTGGTAACACGACACTAGTCTATATTTATAATCGCCTCTAGCGTCCGCGCGTCGCCGATTCATCGGCGGCGGGCGCGGGCCGCTTCTTTCATAACAGCGTACCTCCTTCTAAGCAGAACCGCCTCGGCAACCCCCCCCCCGAACAATGTACAACGTTCGCCCGTAGCCGTCTAGCGGCCTGTAAGACACTAGCAATGAGAGCCGCCACTGCTCGTACTACGAGCACGATATACGCACGTGATTGCACTTCCATATATTTGCGCTTGAAGCAGCCTCGCTGCGCATTGCTCGGTAGAACTTGTGCTGCGCACGGGTGCAACTCGTGCGAAGAAAAAAGCTCTCAGAGCCGGGAGGCCTGGGAGTTCATTTGTGCCAAATGTGCAAGATCGCATTGTTAACACTCATAGCAGCGCACACAAGTGCTCTCGCACCTTCATTTGACGCCTTCTCCGCAGCTGCGACCGGCTCTTGGACCGGCACGCAGTATCAATGGCCAGGCGACGCAAATGGCGTCGCGTGCGAAGCCGTCGTCGACGAGGTCATGCGCAGCTGCGGCGGCGCCGTGCAGGGGATACGCGTCGGCGATGGCCCCCTGCTCAACCGACAGGACGACGGGTTCTGCTTCTTCGACTGCGGCTCGTGGACGCAAGGGCCGACCAAACTCACAGATGGCGTGCTTAACCTCGACGTCGGCCTCGTGGCGCAGAGCGGCTCGCGCGTGCGCTGCACCGCCTCCGTCAGCGCGGGCAACTTGGTCGACGCGACTGTCGTAGTGGAGGAGCGCGCCGACGCAGTGCGGCCGGCGACCGAACGCGGACTCGCGGCCGCGGGCACGCCTTGGCTCGCGCCGCGTCTCAAGTGGACGCGGTCGCCCGAGGCGACGACCCTGCCGGCCGACGCCTTAGCACTCCCCGGCGGCGCGTGTATTGCCTGCATTGATAACAACGGCGCGACGGACGTCGTCGTTCACGCGGACGACATTTCCCTGACGCGTTCCTACGACGCGTCGGGGGCGCTCGTCACGATACGAATCAGCACTGTACCACAAGACGCCGCCGACGCGCCCACGGGCCCACGGAGGGCGAGACTAGACTAAGACTTGTTGTATTTTTACTCACCGACTCTGCATTGACTCCGGCTTGTCACGGACCGTACGTGCGGGCTGCATTATAGAGGTAAAATATCATACAGTGTACTCGTCTCACCACGCTCCTTCACCACTCCTCTTCGTCGTCCGAGTCGCTGAAGGTGAAGTGATGGACCGGCGCGGAGCTGTCATCTTGCGGTCGGTAGCCCCCCGGGCCTTGCGGCTTGTACGGCGCATTGGGCAGCGCACGAAACATCGGCGTCGTGAAGCTCGGTCCGAGCGGGCCGTCGTTCTCGAACCCCGAGCGCGGCACGGGGCGCCCCGCGACGACGGGCGCAGCGGCGCCGAGGTTCGGCGGCGGAGCCGGGCGCGTCGCTTGCGAATGATGCGCGAGGTGCTCCCGCGCGGCGCCGAGGTCGCCTGCAATAGTCCGCTCCAGGGCGCTCGGCTGCGGCGGCGCCGTAGCGAGCGTCTCCACACCAAAAGCCCGCCGGACGTCCGCGTGCGTCGCCGGCGGCAGCCTCGCGCAGAGCGCATCTAAATCTAAACCGGGCCCGAGCACCGATGCCGCGTCGAGCCAGTCCGCCCAGGGCGCCCCGACCTCCCGCACTTTATCCAAAAGCTCACTGCTATCGACGAGACCGTTCTGAAACACGCGGTAGAGATCGTCGCCACCCTTCCAGGCCGGGTCAAGTCTGGGCTTAGACAAGTAGCGAGCGTCGGGTCTCATGCCTTGGACGGCCAGAAGTTTTTCGTACATCAAATTCTTGGGAACATAAATCTTCATCACTTTTTCACGCAGCTCTAGCGACAAGTCAGTAGAAAAGACGCAGAACAGCTTGCGATCGCGCGGTGTAGCTACAGAGAGCCGCCTACAGTATTGGTTGCCTTCGCAGAACTCGTACGTGTCCGAGGGAAACTTGATCACAAGAACACATACCGCGGTCTGGCGCCAGAGGAGTGGATGCCTTCCATTACTCTCAATACTGAACTGGCAGATGCTGTTGTCTCCACTATTTGCCGCCGTGCACGTAGCTGTAGTAATAATAATTCTTCGACCGTCGGCGAGCAGGATCACCATGTGTTCCTTGCATTCCGTCACGAGCCGGAACGCCTCCGCCCCAAGGATCTGGGCGACCGTGAGCATCCCCGTGTTGTAGGTTAGCCGTCTCCCGTCCTTTCCATTGACGGTAGCAGTTGCCCTCGCCATCGACGTCAGGTAACTCTCCTTCTCGCCGGACGCTTGGAGGAGATCCAAGATTTGACGGCCCGTGGCCGCGTCGAGCTCCGCAGGCGTGCCCTCGATGTTCGAGCCCCATGAGTTCTTCTGACAACACAAATAGAGTTTCGCCGTGTCCAATTTACACTTCGGGATTTTTCTGAAGGTAGTTGTCCCCATACTCTCGTGCCAAACGAAGAGGCCCCGACGGGCCTGGTGAATATAGAGCGGGTCGCGGTCAGGGTCCCACGGAATGGATCTCGGAGTCGCATCTCCAGGCTGTCGGACGATGACACATCTTTCGTCCGGGCGGGTACGGCTCGACGGCGGCCTCGCATGCACAATCCGGGGCTGATCGCCGTCGTTGTAGTACGTCAAATCATCACAGGCGTCGGCGAGCGGGTTCCCCAGGGCAGCCGACTGCCGGGCCCGGTTGTTACCTAGGTACGTCCGCGCCAGCAATAATAACCTACCGTCGTGCGCGCGGAGCCGCTCCCGGAGATTCGCGTAGCCGCTCTTTTTCCGTCCGCCGCCAATGCTGATGTACATAACCTGCCCGCTGCCGCTATCTGTGAACTGGCCGTCGTCATTGGGGAACCGCGCCTTGAGTTCCGTGTTGGCTCCTAACATCCGCGCGTCGTGCGGAGCCAGTCTCGTCCCGAAGAGTTCTTCAAAAAGCTTCGCGAGCACGTCCCCGTGGCTCTTCTCGTGCAACCATTCGAAGCAATCACAATTTTCATAGGGCACGATGCCCGCCAACTGCCCGAGTATCCACTCCCCGCCGGTGTACGTGCCAAAACCCCGGCCCTCGTTCTCGGCCGCCAGGCAGACGCAGAGTAGCCGCGCCATCAGGCCCTTGGGCCCTTCCCCGTACTTCGCCCGCTGCAAATTTATGGCCGCGGAAGCGACGACCTCGGCCGACACCTCGCCCAGGTCGAACCCGTCCTCGCGATCCACGGGATCGTCGGCCGCCGCGCCCGGAGGGAACGTCGGCACGAACGGAGCTAGCGCCTCGTCGGAGGCGAATTTGATGAAGTACCCGACGTGGTGCTTGTACATGAACGCCAGCGGCACGCAGCTGCCGGGTCCGTACTGCTTCATGATGTAAATGATCCTCTTAAACCGGATCAGTTTTGCGCCCCATTTCTGCGCCGCGGGGCCCCACACGGACACCAAAATGCGCCAGCGGCCGCCAGTCTTCTGCAGATCGTCCAGATCGTCGGCTTCCTCCTCGTCGCTCGCCGTGTCTTCCTCAAGCTTCTTCCTGAGCCAGCCTTTGTCTAGTACCGACGATTGGGCGTCGTCGTCTTCGACCATCCTAGCAATAGCACCCTCCAACTTGGCGAGTTGGCTTTCAGACAAAGCCATGACACCTTTTGCGTCTTCTTCGCTTTTGTGCAGTCGCTCGCTAGGTTATCTGGGCTGCAGTGCGCGCTGCGAATCAGCAAGATATATTGCTGCGGCGCACGACACCTTTGTGAGCGCCGCTGCAGCTTGTCTTGCTTGCGAAAGTCTTAATGACTGACGGGTTTACCTAACGTAAGCAACCCTTAGCTGCGGCTTCGCAGCTCCGCGAATTGGCTCGATTCGGGTTTTTTCAAACGGGTTTTTGGTATAGAAATAGCCACTCTTACTCACGCCATCACCGAAGCCGCACCACTCATCAACCGCAGCGTAGGCTGCTCCTTCGGCTGCTTCGACTCCTTCTCGACCCTATCTAAAGCGTCGCCGACGACGCGCACGAGCCGCGCGAGGAGGCCGTCCGGGTCCGCGTCCCGCAGCACAGGCACGTTGCGGAACGTGTCTCGTAACAGAGGCGCGCACCGCAGGGCCGCGGACGCCGTCGCCGCGTCCGTCGGCGATCGCAAAGCGTCCTTGAGCGCCACGAGCCCCGCCTCGAGCGCGAACGCCGCCGCCGCGCCGCTACCGTCGGCGCCGCGTCTAGTAGAAGCGGCGAGGACCTCGACGTCCACCGCCGGCGCGCCCGCGGCCGCGGCGTTCTTCGCAAAGTCCGCGAGGCGCACCCACAAAGCGGAATGGGCTGCCCGCTTGGCGTCGTCGAAAACGTTCGACAAAGCGTCCTTGCGCTCGCGCGCGTTCGATGGTAAACAAGCGAGCCACCAGCCCGCGCGCTCCGGTTCATTTTCGGACGCCAGCGCCGCGAGCAAGCGCCAGCAGCGCGCGTGGCACGCGACGACGTCAGACGACTTGTCAGCGAGGGGCACATATGAAGGCGACGCGCCGTTCGCCGCCGGCTCGCCCTTGGCCAGCTCCGCTATGACACCAACGAGCGCCGCGCGGCCCCGCAAGTGGCCCAAATCTCTCGGAGGGGCTTCGACCGCGAGCAACGCTTGCGCCAATGACCTCCTACCAACGTCCGCCGCTCGAGCACAACAGTGCTTCTGCGCCGAGCTTCGTAGCCGCTGGTGCGCCGGCAGCCGCCGCAGCAAAACTCGGACTAGCTCCAGCGCCAGCAGCCCCGACCGCAGGCCGCCGCCGTCGATATCCGGGGGCGCGAAGGCGCCGGCCGCCGCCAGCGCGTCCACAGAACCAGCGTCGGCGACGCGCGCCGCCGCGTCGCGCGTGCGACACAACTTCAATAACGCCGCGCAGGACGCCTCCAAGGCGGCCGCATCCACCAAAGGCCCCTCGCCGCCCGAGCCCCGGAACCCGCCGTGCGTCAGCGCGTCGGCGGCTAGAGCCGCCCTAGCCCCGCGGCCCCGTCCACCGTCCTCCGGCGCGCCCTCGCAGAGCGCCGCCCGCGCGGCCAATCTCACCCACGGCGTCGCGGCCGTCGCCGCGTCCGCGCAGACGCGGCCCCACGCGCGCTCGCCCACCGCATCTGAAGCTTCCATGGACGTCTGTGGGTCGCGGTGCCTAGCGCGCGCCAGCGTATGCGCTAGCGCCGCGTAGAGGTGGCCCCTCAATGCTTCCGACGTGCTCCGTTGCGGTCGATCTAGAGCCAAAGCTAATTGTCTAGCGCCGCCGACGGTCACGGACCTTTGCAACTTGTCCAGGGATCTCAAATTGGCGGCGGCGTCGGCGGCGCAGCGCGCGAGCGCCTCGGCCGGCCGCGCGTCCGACGATTGATTTTCGGTCAGAGCCCTAGCTGCAGCATCTCTCACCTCCGCTAAAGCTCGTCGAGGCCTTGATAAACCAGCCAGGTCGCCGTAGGGTTCATTTAGTAACGCTAAAGCATCACTCTGTTGGTCGTCGTCTGTTCTAAATGCCATGTTTTGGTCGGTCGACGAGGCTTCGAGCGCAGCACTCTCGAACGCGTAGCCCGCACAGACCGCGGCGAACCGCTGGGCCGCATCAGCCAGTCTAGCGGCGGCCGTCACGGCGCGCTGGGCCTGGTTGGCGTGCTTGGCCCATTGTTTGACTTGTGGGTCGTCGAGTTTCGTCTCATCAACTAGATCGTAATTCTCGTACAGAACGGACGACGGTTGTGGCGGCGCATTTTCAACACATTTCCGAGCTTCCTCGGGAATGGCGTCCGACGATGCCACGCTTTCTAGTTTGAACGCGGCGCCGAAGACCGCCTGGAGCACGTCTACTCGCAAGAACGCGTCGACGGCGTTCCTGCAGCGGCCCCTAGCTTGGTCTTGCACGCCGTCCGGGAGCTTGGCCGTGTGCGTGCAGACCGCCAGGCACTCTAGTGCTGATGCTAAACATCTTGCTGTTGGTACACTAATGGTAGAAGTGGAGCAGGCCTCCCGTACCATAGTGACCAAGTCAACCAAAGCGTCGTCGCGGCACACGCAGTCGACACATGATCTATGGGACGTCGCGAGCTCCGCTACTAGCCTTAAAGCTCTTTCGGCCGTCCCCAGGTCACCGCCATTCTCCAGGGCTGACGCCGACCGAAAGGCCACGTCCACAGCAGCTTCGAGTGAACCGCCGTCCAATAGCCACCCTGCTAGATGCCTCGCCCGAGGCTCCACTAATAAGTCTAAAGCTGCATGGCCCGCGTCGCCCGCCGGCTTTAGAATAGGTAAACCGTCGGCATCAGCAGTGTCGACGCCATCCTCGTCGATCATGGTTCTATCCGTGCAGGCCGCGACGCGCGCGGCGAACTTGCTTCTAGCATCCGCCCCTTTGTCCTCCGCCGCGGCTAGAGCGGCTAGGAACCGGCCCCCGTCCAACGCCGCGCCAGCCAGCGCCCCGAGCAACCGTATGGACGGCCCGGCCGTCAGGGCGTCGCCCGGTTGGGCTCGCTTCGCTAGTTCGGGTAGTAATGAAGCTAACGGAGCCTCGAAGAAGGGCAATGATACTAAATCGTCGTCGTGCCAGCCGTCCAATTGCGAACCGAAGTCGTTCCTCAGGAAGGAACCGCCGGTGGAAGGTTGTTGTTGCACAGCAGGTGTTCTTGATGCTAGTAACAAGTCACCTAATCTCCTCGGAGGACCGCGAGCCGCCTTGACCAACGCCCTTTGGGCTGGTGAATCTGAAGCTGATCGGCAGGCCTTGATGAAGATCGCTTCTTTGGACGCGACGGCCTCCAGCAGATCCAACGAAGCTCTTTCACACCGTCGGCGCCACCAGGCCACACCCGCACCGCCCAGACCCGACCGACGCGCGCGTTCCACTGACGCCACGTCGAGCTCCGCCCTTAGTAAACGTCTTTTGTCGTCGTTCGCGTCCTTGATCAACCCTTGCGGTTTTGGTTCGGGGAGGAACTCCCTCGTGTCGATGTCTGCATCTGGTAAAAAAGCGTCGCCTTCCTTTCCAGCGGCACTTATGAGCGACGCGAGCGCCGCCGCGAGGCCTCCCCTATCAGATAAAGCGTCATACAGCACTTCAAACGACGCCGAGGCCTCCTCCGTGGACTTGGCGTCGAAGTCGCGCTTCCAACTTGCCGATAGCGGGTCGTACGACTCAAGCGCCTGCCTGAGCACGGCCAACGCGCGACACGCGAGGCGCCACCTTTCCTCCTTGAATCGAAATGCTAAGATTTGGCCGTCGTCCCGCGCCGCACATCTCAACAGAATATCTCTCGCCGCAAAGCGTACTGAAGATCGTCTAGAAGAGTCGTCCAGGGCGTCGCCCAACGTGTGGACGAGCCTTAAATAACCTTCGGAGCCCGAGAAGGTCCTCAAGCGCGTTTCAACAGCAAGACAGTCCCTTTCGACAACTCCAGGCTTCGCCACACTCGAGAGCTGTTGCGCGAGGCAGTTGTCCCGGAGCGGGTCCTTCGGAGCCCTCTGCACCTGGCCCGGGAAGAGCTGCGTCGGTGGTAGGGGCGGCGCGTTCGGCACGAGGCGCCGCGGTAACCTTAACTGTGATGGCGGTGCGCTCAATTGACCGGAAGAAGACGTCAGCGACGCCTTCTGGACGAGCTGGGCGATCGAGGTGCGCGCGTCGTCGTCTGAACTTGCGCATGAAGCGATCAGCGCGAACAGAGCACCCTTCAGGTCCGGCGCGACGGCGTCGCCGTCCCTACAGACTAACCGTAAAGCAGACGCAGCGAGGCGACTGGGCGCGTTGCTCTCGTTGCTACAAGCCGCGCAGACGCGCCTCGCATGCGCTGGTGTTTTCATGCACGCCGTCAAGACGTCCGCGACCGCAGCTAGCGCCTCGGCGTCGGCACCGCCCAACCACAGAGGTTCCCGCTGGGGCGGCGGCGCCGCGACGTAAATAGAAGAAGGTGTTGTGGTCGCTAATTGCGTCTCGAGCTCCGCGGCTCTAAGGACTTCGCCGTACCTGTCAATTAACGCCGAGAAGTGGCGCAGGCCATAGCCCGGCGGCGGCGCGGCCCCATCCAAGAACAACCCATCGCGCAGGTCGGAGTCCTCTTCATCCGATCTCAGAAAGTCCGCTACTGCAGTTGCACATTTTTCAGAACCGCGCGCGATGGACGCTAGTAATCGTAGATACGGTGCCCTACAAGCATCGCCGTGCCGCGCGGCGTCGCCGGCCCGTAGCGTGAGATGCGCTAAAGCGGCACTTGGCGCCTCCTCGTCCATATCCTCCGAACTAAAAAATCGATCACACACTTGCGGGTATCTACCACATAAGACACGGATCAACTCCAGCACGTCTTCCAGCGAGTCGCCGTACTGGGACGAGGGCTCCGGCAGCGCGTCGACCTCGAGAGCAGCCTCGACAACAGCTACAATAACCTCCGTAAAGGCCGCCAAGTAAGTAGTAGGTGGTCTATGACCATCTCGTAAATCGCCCCGCAACAACCCGTGCGTCCGCGTGAGGAACTGGCACACGCCTCCTTCGAACGCGTCCTGGAGAGCACTTCGTACGGCTTCTTCGATATCCGACGTGGCGTCGGCCCAGCGGTTTGGTCGTGCTAACAGAGCTGCGGCCAAATTAGCTGATGCTTTGGCACCTCGCGCTTCATTTCCGAGAGTCGAGGGCCATTGTTGGATGGCGCTCCTCAGTGCCGCCGCATTCGCCGCCAACTTGTTAGACGTACGGTCGTCGTCATTGGACGCGCCGTATCTTAATAAAGAGTCGTCCCTGGTCGCGCCGTTGCGGTCGCGTAGCTTCGCGCCGGCGTCGAGCGCTCCCAGAGCACCCAATAGCAAGACGTCTCTGCAAGCTCGCAATCGCGACGCGTGCGGCGCGAGCTGCCCGACCTGCTGGGGTCTACAAGCGTCATCTAATAATCGGGAGACGTCTCGCGTCGTCTCCAACAACTCCTTAGCCTCATTAGCTTCGAGCTGGGTCTCGTAGAAGCCGTAGTAGTGCGCCTCGCTCACGAGCGAGGCAAACTCGCCCGCTCTCGCTGCCCGGTCGACGGGGTGGGCCCAACTGGACGACGCTAGTCTTTTGACCGCGGCGAGCAGACAGCCGGCCAGGTTTTGTTTGGCCAGCGCACAGACGGCTTGTTGTAATGAGTGTTGTGCATTGTGAGGCAGATTGTCATCTAACGCACCTCGTACGACCTCGCCCAGCGCTCTCAGGGAACAAGCGGCCTCGAAGTAGAACAACTGGCGCGCAGCGCCGCCGATGTCGTCGTCGAAGGCTTCTGCCCTTCCAGTCATGCCCGCCAGGTCGCGGCGGTGCTGCCGCTCCGTGACGCGCGCGACGAAATCCAAAGCAAGTTCTTCGTCCAACTGGAGCTCGTCGGACAACGCTGCGACGAGCCGCGCCGTGCGCGGCTGCAGCGCCTGCTCCTTGCCCCGCAGCATCAGTGGTTGCGAGGCCGCGAGCTTCTGCCGCTTGGACGCGTCCGGCGGCGGCTGTTCTAAACACTTGGCCAGGTCCGCGAGCTGCGGCGACTGGAGGTAGCGGACGACGTCCGGCGCGGCCTCGCGGCCCGACGCCAGCGTCGAGACGCCCTCGAGGACGGCGAAGGAGGTGTCCATGGCTTGCTTGGTTGCGCGTCGCCGGCGTCGCGCGCGCGGTGGTTTGGACTGCTGTCCGCTTTCTCAGCCGTGCGGGCGAGCTGCTGCTTGAAACCGCGTCGGCGGCTGGAGGGCTCAAGGAGGAGTCCCCACAAAAGCGAACGCAATGGTCCAGTCCACGTAGGCTGAGCAAAGCCCCTCGCGATATGAGCCCGCCTGCTTGCTAGTGTCTTACCGCTAGCTGATTGCTAGTGTCTTACACCGCTAGCTCGCATTGTCGCGGCGCTGTGGCGTTTAAGGCTGCCCTTCACGGTCTGACGGCACGGAGGACGGCCGAAACCGGTTCCCGAGTCGCCGCATCGGCGTACGGCTAGCCTCGGGCCGTAGCCTCTGGGTACGGAACCGGTCATCAGGGCCCAGGCAGCGCTGCCCCACGGACCAGCACCATGGCCAGCGGCGGCCAGTGGACGCCCAGGGCCGCGGCCCGCGAATTACAGCTGCCGCCGGCGGCCGACGAGGCCCTCGTCAAGAAGCGCTACCGCGAGCTCGCGAAGCAACTCCATCCGGATAGAAACAAGGGCAACGAGGCCGCCGCCACCGAGGCCTTCCAGCGTTTGTCTGGTGCCTACGACCGGCTGAGCGCTGATTTCGGGCGCGCGGCGCAGGACGCGGCGGCGATCGCGCGGCACCGGGCCGCGGCGGCGGCCGCGCGGCGCCAGGCGGACTGGGAAAGAGCCATGGGCGGCCCGGCCGTCCAGCAACCATCAAACCCGGGGCCGCGCGCGCGTAGAAAAGCGGAGGCCGCCGCCGCGCCGCCGCCGCCGAAGCCCGCGAAGCCGGCGAAGCCGCGCCGCGCGCGCCGCCCCGGCGAGAAGCCCGACATTCCGACGCGGACGTCGCTCGACGAAGAAAAAGCGCGCAAGGCCGCCGTGGCCAAGAGTCGGGACGAGGCCGACCGCCTGCGCAAGGCGAAGAAGGTCCTCCACGAGAAGAAGCGCGAGGAGCGTCGCGAGGCCAAGGCCGCGGCCATGAGGCAGGCCGCGGCCGAGGCTTCTATCCGTGAAGCCCAAGAGCGCGACGCCAAGCTCGCGGCGGCCGTGGCGGCGGCGGCGGCCGCGCGGCTGCGCGAGACGTCGGCCAAGGAGGCGTCGGCGCGCGTGCGCGCGCAGAAAGTGCATAGAGACGCGGCGACGGCATTGAGAAGGCGGGCCGACGCGGAATTCGTCGAGAAATTGCGCGCCAAGACGGAAGCGACCAAACAAGCGGGCATACAGAAGCGGCGCGAGGAGACGGAGCGCGTCGCGCGTCGGTTGCGGCGGCAGGAGGAGGAATTACAAAGGGAGCGCGCGCGGGAGCGGGAGGAGGCGCGGCGCCGCGCGCGGGAATTTATTATAGCGGAGCGCGAGCGCATGGAGCGCTTCAAGGAGGAGCAAGCTAAACGCTTCAAGGAGGAGCTCGAAGAGGCGCGGTCGGCGTCGCGCGAGCGCCTCGCGGGGCTGGAAAAGACGCACGCCGAGCGCCTAAAGATGGCGACAGAGGACGAGCTGGCCCGTTTGATGCGCCGGCGCGACGCGATCGACGCGCGGCGCGCCGCCGACGCGGCGGCAAACGCCGCGCGGGCCGCGGCGTACCTCGCCGCGAGCCGCGCGCGGGACGCGGCGCTCGCCGCGCTGGCCATGCCGCCGCCGCCGCCGCCCGCGCGCCTCGCCGTCGCGGGCCGCGTCGCGTCGGAGGCCGTGGCGCGCGCCGTCGCCGACGGGCTCGAGGGGCTCGACGTCGAGCCCGCCGTCCGCGGCGTCGTCGTGGCCCTCGTGGACTCCGCCGTGGAAGCTGCTGCGGCGTTGAACGCCGTCGACGCCACCACCGAGGCCATTCCTGTGGAAGCCGCTACGAGCGCACCGCCGATCGAAGTCACTGGGCCTAGTCGCCTCCCGTCGGTGGATTCCGAGGCCGCCGAGGCTATCGAAGCTAATGCCGCGCCCGAGTCGCCGAGTTCTCTCGCCGCCGAGGCGGCAGCGTTCCGCGCGAAGCGCAAGTCCCTCAGCGCCCAGCCGGTGTCGTCGACGTCGCTCGCGGCCGCGAAGCGCAAGGCAGCCATCTCGCGGAAAATCCAGGAGAAGCTCGCGGCGCGGCGCGGCCGCCCGGAGCCGCTGTGAGTGTGTAACTGTGGTCGTACGATTCAGATTTTCAGTAGTTACGCGGGGAGGGACACAGTTGACGAATGGGGGGGAGGGCGCTCTGGCGGCGCCGCCCGGGGGAACTTCTTGACGGGCGGGGCGCGCCGGCGCGACGGGGCTCAGCGGCGCACGAAGAGCGCGGGGTTCGCGGGCAGCGTCGCCGGCGGCGTCTCGAGGTCGATGTCCTTGACGTAGACCTCGGGCGCGATGCGCTCGGTCTGGTAGGCCTCGCGGTACTTGGAGACGATGTAGGCACCCGTGGCAGCGCCTAGCAATGAGGCGCCGGCGACGATGGCTGCGACGATCGGCAGCCCCGCGGTCTTCGGCTCGGCGTCGCTGTCGGCGGACGTCTCTTGGTCCTCCTCGACGGGGTCGGCTTCGATAGTAGCGCCCTTGAGGAAATTGAAGGTGGCTCCGATATCGACGCTTGCGTCAGCGAACAACGGCTCGGCCTGGAGGATCTCGAGGAAGTAAGCGTCCGCCGTGGCCGTGGCGAGCGACGTAGTGACCGAGTCGAGATAGTCCTTTTCGAAGGCCTCGACGGAGCCCAGCTCGTCGGTGACGATCTTGGTGATCGTGAGCGTGTATTCGACGATGGCCGAGGTCGAGTCAGAAGTAGCGAGGCGCCGGCGCTCCGTGGCCTTGGCGTGAAGCTCCGTGATCTGATCCGTGGAAACGACGTCGTCGACGGCCGCGACGATGGCCTTCTTGAACTGGCTCTGCGCGCCCGCGTCGGCGTTGAACGCATCTGCATCGACCCCGTCCAAAACAACAGCGGCCTGGATAGAAACCTCGACGAGCTGCCCCGGCGTCGAGCGCGTGTCGATATACACGATGGAAATGCCGTCCAAGGCTTCCGGAGACACGCCGGCGAGCAGTAAGCGGAAATAGAGGCTGCCGCTGGCCACGTCGTCCTCGAGCGCCAGGACGATGTCGTTCGCGGCCTCCTCGCCGCAGCCAGACACCTCCACGGAATAGACCGCGGATCCCTCGTCGTCGCGGGCGACGCTCGTGACACGGACCTGAGACTCATCAACAGTGCCGACCGCTTCCGCTACGACCGTGACAATGGCGGCGGTGGTAGCGTCGCTGATCGGGAGGCCCGTCAGAGCCAGAGTAGCATCGACCGCGGCATCGCCTTCCACGCAATGAGTGGGCGACGTCGTGCCGAGGTCCAGCACCGTCTCGTCCTCGCCGGCGGCGTCCATGGTCATGGGCATGGAGGTGCGCTCCGCCAGCACCCGGCGGCCCGTGGCCACGTGGTGATACGCGACCGCCATCACAAGCGAGATCGACGCGGTTTCGCCCTCGGCAGGTCTCAGCTCGGGATCAATGAAGAACGTCAGGTAGTCGACGTAGTCGTCCGTGAGGTCCCCGTCGAGGTGGGCGTCGTTGAAAAACGCACCCGCGTAGGCTTCATCAGTAGAAGAGGAACCGTGCGAGCGGCCGGCCACGAGGACCGTAGAAACACCTTTGTCGTTGTTCGTGAGCGTAGCGGACTCGATGAAGGCGACGTAGTCATCGGCGTCCTGCTTGGTGGAGTTGACCTTGATGCAGACGCGGCCGTTGGCGGCCAGCGATTCAGAGGCACTGACGTGCTCGTCGACATTGCAGGGCGTCGCCAGTTCGTTCGCCAGCTCGACGCGCCACGCGGCGACGCCAAGATCGAGATCCTCTTGAACCTCATTGATATCGTTGCTGTCATGCGTCGCATTAAGCACTACCTTATCGACCACGTCTACGGTGTACGTGATCAAGTGGTTGGAGGACGCGAGCTCGCCGGCGCCGACGGGACCCACGCCCACCGTGACGGGTAACGAGAGCTTGACTTCCGTGCTCGTGGGCAAGGTAGTTTGGTCGGGGCATTGAGTCTGGAGTAGCTCCGGATCGATAGTGGCCGAAAACGTGGAGACCTGCTCACACGACGGGGTCTGGCAATGGGCGTGGTCGAGCTGGAAAGGGACGCACTCCACGGCGACGGACACGATGCTCGTCTGGGCATCTTGCGAGGACGTAGTAGTAATGGCCATCTTCAGTTCGACGAGCCCTGAGGGGAGGAAGATCGAGGACGCGTTGATCGAGGACTTGATGCCGCCGCCGAGCTGAAAGGCCGAGGGGCACGTGGCGTCGCCGAAGCACGAGTGGTTCTGGGTCGTGGCCAAGTTGTAGTCGCCGTCGTACGGAATCCTGCGCACGGCGCGAGCATCGTCACGGCGCGAGCATCGTCTCAAGATTGCTCATGTGCTGCGCATGTGCTGCCATATGGTGGTGGGCTCTCCGGGGCAGCCCGCGGGCAAGCCGCGCGTCGCAGGGCCCACGGCCAAGCGCCGTGGCGTTGTCCGGTCCACTCGTAGGCCGGAGCGCAGCCGATGCGCAGCGCTGGCGGCTCCAGACTTGCTCAGTTTGCTCCAGATCGGGTTTTTTGAAGGCACGTTGAGTTTCGACGCCGTTTGCGCGCCAGCCCGGCACGGTCGGCGCGGCCGTCGGCGCCGCGGACGGCGACGCGCCCGGTGGCGGTGGCGGTGGGGCCCTGCGGGGACGCGGTGAGCGGCGCGGTGCGCGGCGCGCGACGCGCGGCCGACGTAGACGCGACGCGCGGCCGAAGTAGACGCCGGGGCGCACAGATCGTCTCCAGCGGCGCCGTGCAGGGCGAGCGCGAGCGCCGTGATAAGGACTTGTTTCTTGATCATCTTGGGAGACGACTTGTTTTTTGCCTGTGTACGAGCATCGTTTGGCGCCGCGCTTGCTCTTGCGCGCGTTCGACAGTGTGTTAGAGGCGAGGGGGCTGCGATGCGGGGCGCGCGCAGCATTTTCTACGCTGGCTTCGCGCAATTTGGCGTGGTGGTCTTCTCTAACGATTGAGATCTCCGAAGTGAACATCTCAGTACCCTCGATTTTTTCGGAGGTAGTTCTCGCTCGCACACGCCAAGAGGTCCTCCCGGGACACTTTGAGAGCGATATGGCGGAGCGAGGGAGCTTTGATACTAGCCCAACCTACTAGCCCACCGCGGGATTCTTCTTACAATTCTTAGCACATCCTAGCCTACGACTCAGACTTCGCGCGCTTGGCCGCCGGCTCGTCGGCGGCGTCGACGTCGACCGCATGCTTCTTCGCCTCCTCGTCGCGCTCGTCTTGCGTCTGGACTCCAGTGATCTCAACATCGCTCGGCAGCGTCTTGAACCGCGTCGGAGCTGACGCGGGGCCCTCGCCGACGTCGTTGACCGACAGGACGTTGACCTCGTACTCGGTGTTCGGGGCCAAACCTCCGACGACACAGCTTTTCACCCTCGCTGAGTCCAGTTGACAAGTCTTTTCGTTGAAATTGGCGTCGGTCGTGCAAATGAGTCCGCCGTCGCCGTTGTAGTAGAGGACCGGACCCCCGGGGACGACGCGCATCACGACTTTCATTTTGGCCGGGAAAAAAACATCGGGAGGGCGCGTGAAATTGACGCGGACCCTATCTTCCCCAATCTCTGTTAGGGTAGGCGCACACGGTGCTTTCGGAAAGTGGTTGGCCAATCTCACAATCGTCGCATCCCCAAAACCCGACCAGGCTATTCCATTAGATGCCGCCACACTTATGTGGTACTCGACTTCACTGGCGGGTAAAGTCAACCGGAGGCTGCCTTGTCCGAACTCGTCGGCTTCTTCGCAGGTATTGAGCGGGCTCGACAGTCCCTTAACTAGAACGCCACTGAGGTGTTCCTGCTTTAATTTCATGTTCAGAACCGTGCCGCGTGTTGGCATACTTTCCGCCCGAACCGTATCGCCTACCTTGGCGCCCGCGGGAATCTGCAACTCCACGACGTAGGGTGAGTTGCCCTTACCTGGCAGCTCCGCCCTCTTACGCTGGGGCCGTTCGACGCGATAGATAGTTTTTTTTTCGCCCTCCTCGCCCTCCTCGACCTTCACGGAGGCTTTGGAGCTCAGGGCGGGCAGAGCAAATTCGACATGGACTTGGTCCTTCCCAACAGGCGTCACTTGTGGCGCGCACGGCTTCGCGGGGCGCGCGAGGTGGCACGTGTTGCTGTGCGGACTTTCGGGCCCGCAGCCCATCTCGTTCGCGGCCCGATAACAAATCGTCGCGCTGACCTTGCCTTCGCCGAGTCCCTTGTCGACGATGATCTTCTCCTTACGACGACCTACTTCCGGCATCTTGTTGGACGCACCGTCTGCAACAAAGCTTTTGGCGGCGGGACAATAGTAGAGTTTGGCGCCGCCCTCGACGTGGAGGTATATAGCGGCATTCACGGCAGTCTTCGGCGGCACGAATTCCACAACGAGGCCGCGCGCGCCGAACCTGAGCACCGGCGGCTCGGGCGGTTCTTGGGCCATTGGCTTTTTGGGGAGTGTGACCTGAGCAGCAACTTTGCACAATGTCGTTGCGGAGCGGGGCTCCTGTCAGAGCTGCGATATGGGCCCGCAAAAGCGCCGCTGCTTGGCCGGTGCACGGGGGCAGCGCACGTACGCGTTAGCAAGAGAGCAAAAGACGACTTGCCCCAGAGTTGCTAGTGTCTTACATGCCGCTAGCGCGATTTCCTAAACGACGGCCAAACTTGAAATACCCGCACGCATCTTCGACGAGTCGGCTGGGACCAGTCGCGCCCGGGTAGCTTTCGTATAGCTGCCACCGAATGCGGTCACGTGCGGGTGGCATGTTAGGAAACAAAAGTTCTTAGAAGTGGACCAGGACGTGTCCGAAGTGAGCCGGGAGAATCAGCCCCCGCCGGCGACCGGAGCCTTGCGCTATTTCGTCGGGGTTTGCTTCGGCGCCGGCACAATGTCGGCGAGGCCGTAGTCGACCGCTTCGGCGGGGGACATGTACTTATCGCGCATCAGGTCCTTGTGCACCTTTGCCTTCGTCTGGTGCGTCAACTTGGCCAGCAGGTCGGACAAAGGCTCACCACATTTGGTTTCATATCCGGCAGTTACCTCGTGATCTTCTAGAGTGGCTTTGTCAAGGAAGAGGAGTGTGCTCGGATGGACCACGCGGTGACCAGGCTCGCCCCCTGCGAGGATCAGTACGGCGGCCGACTCGCAATAACCGAGCGCGGAAGTGTACACCGGCGGCGTGATGGAGGCCATCACGTCAATGACGGCGCACGCGTGTCCGAACTTAATATCATTATGGGCGTTGATGAGAAGCAATTGGATGGGTGCTTCTGGATCCTGCGATTCTAACGTGACGAGGCGATCAATCAAAGACAATAGTTTGTCGTCATCTAAGCTACCAACGATGTTTATCCGGCGTGTCGTCCATACCCGCTGGAGATCTGCCATATGGGTGCTGCGTGTAGCCGCGTTTGGTACAATGTGCTTAACAGACCAGCTGCGGCAGTCGGGCGCTGCCGGGCAGCGTATGCGTACAGAGACGGCACCCAAAAGTGGTAGGCCACTGCACAAAATAATACCCGCACGCCAGATATAGGCAGCCCCGTGGGAGTGCGCAACAAGACAGCCGAAGGCAGGCTTCTGGCGAAAAAAGACCCACTCGTCCCTGAAACTGACAAACAATTAACTCACAGCTAGTGCCCCGCCAACGAGTCGTAGAACAGCAAGTACGGCAGCATGGGCCCGGCGCGGCACCGCGCCACGACGTTCGCAAACGCCCCAACCGCGACGGCCGAGCGCCGGTCGTGGTGCGTCCACGAGTCCGACCCGTCCCTCGCGCGCACGAACGCCGTGTAGTGCGCGTTCTGGTACACGGCCACCGCAAAGAGGTCCAATTTGCGCGGCTGTCTGTGCTTGGCGCGGCCCGACGCATCCTTTTTAGTAAAGGCCTTTCTCGCAGCCATCGGCGCGTCGCGCCACACGAGCTCGAGCAGCGCCGCGACGTCGTTGCCATCCTGATCCGTCGAGTACCACGCGAGGCTCAGCACGAGCACCTTGGCAGGTTGGTCGAGGACCACGTCGACTTCGCACGCCGCCGGCGTGTGACACCTGTCGCACGACTTGGCCGCGTGCGCGTGCGCGTCGCGGAACACATTCGCGACGCAACCAGACACGTTCGCGAGGCGACCGGCGCCGCTGAGCGCGGCGTGCACCAGAGCGGCGGCCGGCGCCGACCGCGCCAGCTCGTCGAAGGCCACGTCGTCGCGGAAGTCGGCGTTGCGGTGGCCGCACTTTTTGCAGGCTTGCTGGTGGATGTGACCCTTGGTGCGTAGCGCTAAGGCGGAGTTGCGGCACTTCTTCGCCGAGGTCAGGACGGAAACGACCTCTCCCAACACCTCGGCCACGTCGAGGTGCGCGCCGCCCGTCGCCAGCTCGCTCCGGACGCCCTCGCCGTCCTCGTCGTTGCCCCGCGCGGCCAGCGCCGCGCGGAGACCGTCGACCGCCGCGTCGACCTCGGCATCCGTGCCCCCGGCGCTCGCGCGGAACGCCGCGCCGAGGTACCGCAGCGCGTCCGACTGCGCGGCCTCGGCCTCGGCGCCATTGCCGAGCGCGCGGCGGAACGTGGGGCACTGCGACAGCACGGCCACGATGGCATCAAGCGAGCAGTTCGACCGCCGCTCCACGTCCACGAGGCCCTCGGGCACCACGAAGTCGTCGTCCGAATCGACCGGTGCGGGCCGGAGCGGCGCCGCGTCCGGCGTCGACCACGCGGCCGGCGGCGGTGGCGGTGGCGGCGCGACCGCGCCCCAGGCCGGCACGGGCGCAGCCGGGGGCGGCGCCGGCTCCATCGGACTCCAGGCCGGCGCCGCGGGAGGTGGCGGCGGCGCCGAGGCCGGCGGCTCGATGGCGCCCCACGCCGGCGCAACGGGCGGCGGCGGCGGCGCCGGGTTCCACGCTGTCGCCAGCGGCCCGCCCCACGCCGGCGCGGCCGGCGCGGCGGTCGGCGCGGCCCACGGCGCGGCCGGCGGCGGCAGCGCCACGGGCGGCGGCGCCAGTGGCGCCAGTGGCGGCGCCAGTGGCGACCGCGGCGGCGCCACGGGCGACGGCGGCGGCCTGGCGGGCGGCGCGGCCACGCGGCCGAGGAGCGAGCCCCTCTCCAGGCCCCGGAGGATGTAGGCCGACGGGTCGCGAATGTCTCGGAAGTCTAGGGTCGCCAACGCGCGTGCCAGGTCGCGCTGCGTCGGCTCATCGAGGGCCCGGAGCTCCTTGACGCAGCTCCGCGACAGGTCGACGGCGAGGCCGTGAATCGCGTTGACGAGATCCGGCTCCATGAACGACATGCTCTCGCGCAGCAGGATATCACAAGTCTTCTCCCTCGCAAAAGCCCGGGCGATGAAATCATCGAGGTCGACGATGTCGTCGAGGAGGCCCGGTTCGGCGAAGCGGTACGCGAGGTCCTCCTGCTGTAGCGAATCCAGCGTCGACAGGGACCACACCGCCGCCGACGTCAGCGCGAGGCGGTCGGCCACGGGCCGCAGCGATGGGTCCAGGGCGGCGAGCTCCGACGCCGTCGCCGCGTACTGCTGGTCGTCGGCCCTCATGATCACGACTTCGAGGTCGACGGCGCTCGCGCCCGCGGCGACGCTGATCTCGAGGCGGCGCACGAGCCGCGCCTGGTGGTCCGGCGCGAGCGAGCGGAGCTTGTCCGCGGCCGCGCCGGCGACGCCCGTGGACGCGATGAACTCGTCCCTCCGTCGTCGCGGCGGCGAGGCCGGCGCGGCCGGCGGCGCGGCCGTGTCCTCGGCCGAGAGCTGCCGCGCGAGGGCGAGCGACGCGGCCTCGTCGTCGCGCGCGGCGGCGGCCGCGCGCGCCTCCTCGTCCGCCGCCGCGACCGCGGCCTCGAATTCGGCGGCCGCCCGGCGCTCGCGCCGCGACCGCACACCGGTCCAGTCGCCGTCGTCCGGCGCGGTCTCCTCGGCCGGCGGCGCCTCGTCGGCCGACGCCTCCTCGGACGGCTCGGTCTCGTCCGCGGCCCGCGCCGCCGCCTCGCGCGCCGCCGCCTCGCGCGCCGCCGCCTCGCGCGCCGCCGCCTCGCGCGCCGCCGCCTCGCGCGCCGCGGCTTCAGCAGCCTCGGCGGCCTCGGCGGCTTCGCGGGCCGCGCGCGCCGCCGCTTCCCGCGCCGGGCGCTCGGCCTCCTCGCGCGCCGCGGCCTCGCGCCGCCGGCGCTCGTCCTCGAGCTTCTTTTTTGCCTTTCTCTCCTTCTCCTCGCGCAGCTTTTTGGCTTTCTGTTGCTTCTTCTTGCCGGTTCCGGTCTTCGCGGCGGCGCTGTCGACGGCGAAGCTCTCGGTCGCCGCCGCGGCCGCCGCCGCGGCGTCCGCGCGCGGTGTTGGCGCGCGCGCCGCGGCGTCGTTCTTCGACGCGAGATCAAACACCGCCCCGACGCCGCTGAGGCCCGGCGGGAGCGTCTCGAGGTGGCGCGTCGCGAAGGCGTCGAGCTTGTACTTGCGCGACAGCGTCGCGGTGTCGGTGCTGTCGAGGCGCTTTACAATCTCGCCCGCCAGCACGTTTCCCGCGGCCGCCGCGACCTCGTAGCGCCGCGTCGCGGCGGCGTCAAATCTTTTCGTCCAGAGGAATGCGGCGTCCGCCAGCGTGTGCCGCGCCCGCCGCAGGCCGTCGGCGTCGTACTCCGCGCACGCGTAGACGTCCGCCCGCAGGACGAGCGCGACGATGTCCCGGCGCCCGGCCTCGTTGAGAAAGGTTTCGTAACATACCGCCGGCTCGCCGCGGAGCTTCACCCTTCTGAAGGGTTCCCCCTCCTCGGTCCGGTGGGGCTCGCCCGACGCGATCCAGTACGAGAAGACGAGGCGCGCCGCCAGCACGTGCGGGTGGTCCGACGCCTCGTCCGAGGGCCCCTCCATCACGTAGGTTACGAGATCATGCACATGATCCTTCAGACCGCGCCCGCTGGAGGCCTCGAGCGAGAAGCGCTTCAGCACCAGCATCTGCAGCGCGTCCGCGCACGCGCGCACATCGAGGGCCGGGCAGTGCTCGTCCAGAAAGCGCCGGCAGGCTGCGGACATACGACACAGGGTCGACAGCCGTATACGACTGAGCCCATCGAACATGTCCTTCCGCTGCGCGTCCATCTCCTTCATCTTCTTCGCGGTTCGTTTCGCCCGGAGGTGGCCGACGAACTGGATCCAGGTCAAGTCCTCGCGCACCCGGGCGTCGCCCAAATCTTTCATGACGTTCAGCCTCTTGAGGTGGTCCCGCGGGATCGGTTCGCCCGCGACTAGGGCCGCGACGCACTCGTCGGCGAGGCGGGCAGCCCTGGACTCGAGCCAGAACCTTTGCTCCGGCGTGCGGGTGCCGGGCGCCGGGAGCGCCGCGACGACGACGTTGATCGCCACGCGCGCCACGGCCTTGCCGGGCGGCGCGCCGATCTTCTCGTCGACGCAAGAAAAAGACATCTTGCGTGGCTCCTCGCCGTTCACGGCAACGAGAATTACAGCACTGTACTTGGGTTGTATGGCAAAATCGAGCAATGCCATGCCTACTTCCTTCTCAATTTTGCTAGGGATCGTCGCCTGGCCCTTCGTAATATTTATCACAGAGCTCAATAGCTCAAATAGACTTTTCGGAAAGTAGTCCTTCCTCAGTACGACGTCGGCGAGCAGCATCGGCGCGCTGTCGGCGTCGCGCACGGACAACGTCACGCGCGGTTCCACGGCCTCCCGCGGAGAGCTAAAGTAGAGGACCGCGAACGGCGCCGTCTCGTCAATCGCGTCGCGCAGCTTCGCGTCGATGGCGTGGATAGGTTGTAGTTCGGGCACCTTAAATGTCCCGTTGCGCACCTCCTTTAGCAGGCTGACTCGCTCCGCCTGGCCGTGCCTCGTGTTGTCCGCCTCTTTGTCGCAGACGAGCCCCGCTACCGCGGTCCGCCTGAGCTGCTCCAGTAAGCGTTGTTGCTGTGCGCTGCCGCGCACCTCGGATGGATCGTCCTTTGAGAGCACGTACCTGGCGATGTTGACCAGCGGTGCGTCGAGCACGGCCCCGTCCATCGGCATGGCAACGTAATTTATGCCCGGGTCGACGATCGCGAGTAGGCAGCGCGGCGCCATGACGGCCTCGAGCTCATGTTGGTACGACACGCGGACCGTCAGCTGACTCGGCGGCCAGACCTCCACCTGTTCAGCCAAATAGAGCAGTGCCGGCTTCTTGTCGAAATCGGACGCGGGCCCCAAAGATTCGTGGTCGCACCACATTTCGACCGTGACGGGCTCGCTCGACCGCAGAGCTATCATGTCATCCGCAATCTTCAAGGTCGAGTAGAGCTCCTCCTTCGCGGGCTCCGTTTCGATTAGCAGGTCCTCCAGCAGGGGCGCAATCGGCCGCAGGAGGCTGACGAGGGGCAGGGCACTGATCTCCTCGTCGCCCTCCCCGAGCACGATGATACGCACGTCGACCGTCTCGTGCCTCGTCGCCTCTATTCGCCGCAGCGCGCGCTCGTGCCGCTTGAGCCAATCAAGGTGGGCCGTCGCGTCCGCAGCTTCGCGGTAGCCCGCCGCGCGCTGCGACGCGAGCAGCGCCTCTTGTTCCGCGATGCTGGCGGCCACCTTCGCGAGCCGCTCTTCGAGCCTGGCGTCCAAAGAATTGTCTTCGGCCTCGGTACTCGCGTCGTCGTCGCTGTCGCTCGCAGAGTCGTAGCGCGGCAGGTTTCTTAATTGATGATATAACTCGTCATAGCGCCTTGTCCACTCCTCTATTTTGGCCTCTGTCGCGGCGGCCGCCTCGTCGTCGCCCGCCTCGCGCTGCAATGCGAGCTGGGACTCCAGGTCTGCAATTAAGTCGCTCAACTTGTCGAGAACATTATCACATTCCTTCTCGTCCTCACTAATCGAATAAGCGCGGGCAATGCGCCCCTCGCTCTTCCGCGCGGGCGTGTCGGCGTCGCTGGAGGCGCTGGCGAAATAATCTTCTTCTCCGCATAGGGCCGCTAGCAGTTCGACCCCGTCTTGCTCGTTCACGGAGGAAGCGCTGGCGAAGCTATCATCCTCGAAGGAGCCGGCCGAGGCCTCGATCGTGATGGCGTCGAATTTCTCCTCGCCGGCGGCCGTCATGCCTAGGCGCACTTCATAGCTCGCGTCGTCGCCGTCGGACGCGGCGACCGCCACTGCGGCGAGTTTCTCCTCGCCGGCGGCCGCGTCGGAGCTCGCCGCTGCGGCATCATCCATGCATCGCGAGTACTTCTCAATCAGCACGGCCTCGTCGCGGGCGTCCAGCCCCAGGCGCGCCGCGACCGCGCGGCGCAGCGCCCGGGGCGTGAGCGGGCCGGCGGCGCGGACTTCGGCCACCGTCGCGGCAGTCACGTCGCGTTCGTTCAACGGCATCGCTGCTGGAAAGGGCCGCGCCGCGGCTCGAAGGCTCAGAGAGCTCAGAGGCTCAGGGGGCTCTCCTAGAGCAATCGATGCGTTTCGCTGCAGACTGCGAGCGCGCAGCAAATATAAATGGCTATTCCTGCAATCTATAGCAGCAGCGGTTCGCTGAGCGCCTGAAAACGCGTCCGCTTTTTTCTGGTCTCTAGTGTCTTACTGACGCTAGCTGGAGTATTCGTGACTAAACCTGAGTATCCGAATAAGACGACTCCGAGGGAGGAGAGGAGAGGAGAGAGATCAATCACACTACCACCAATAGTTAATTCCCCGGCGGCGCCGGCAGCGCGTCGTAGAACAGCAAGTACGGCAGCATGGGCCCGGCGCGGCACCGCGCCACGACGTTCGCGAACGGCCCGACGGCGACGGCCGAGCGCCGGTCGTGGTACGTCCACGAGTCCGACCCGTCCGACGCGCGCACGAAAGCCGTGTAGTGCGCGTTCTGGAACACGGCCACCGCGAAGAGGTCTAATCTGCGCAGGCCTGCCTTGCTCCCGCGCTGTCGCCCGTTCGGGTTCTTAGAAAAGACTTTCTCCACAGGCATCGGCGCGTCGCGCCAGACGAGCTCGAGCAGCGCCGCGACGTCGTTGCCATCCTGATCCGTCGAGTACCACGCAAGACTCAGAACGAGGGCCTTTGCGGCGTGGTCCAGGATCACGTCGACTTCGCACGCGGCCGGCGCGTGACACGCGTCGCACGACTTGGCCGCGTGAGCGTGCGCGTCGCGGAAAGTGTCCGCGACCCTACCGGTGCCGCTTCGCGCGGCGTCCACGAGGGCGGTCGCCGGCGCCGACCGCGCCAGCTCGTCGAAGGCCACGTCGTCGCGGAAGTCCTCATTCCGCTTCCCGCACTTGACGCAGGCCCGCTGGTGGATGTGACCCTTGGTTCTCAAGGCACTCGCGGCCTTCTGACACCGCTCCGACGTACTGAGGACGGACATGACTTCTCCCAGGACCTCGGCCACGTCGAGGTGCGCGCCGCCCGTCGCCAGCTCGCTCCGGACGCCCTCGCCGTCCTCGTCCTGGTCGCCGCGAGCGGCCAGCGCCGCGCGGAGGCCGTCGACTGCCGCGTCGACGCCCGCGTCCGAGCCCTCGGCGCTCGCCCGGAACGCCGCGCCGAGGTACCGCAGCGCGTCCGACTCCGCGGCCTCCGCGCCGTTGCCGAGCGCGCGGCGGAACGTCGGGCACTGCGACAGCACGGCCACAATCGCGTCGAGCGAGCAGTTCGACCGCCGTTCCACGTCCACGAGACCCTCGGGCACGACGAAGTCGTCGTCCGAGTCGGCGCCGCCACCGAGGCGCGCCATCGCGTCGCCTGCGCTCCATGCCGGCGGCGGCGCGGTCTCTATTGTGACCGCCGGCCACGCCGTCGTCGGCGAGAATGCGTCCGGAGGCGCCCACGCGGACGTCGGCGCCGGCGCGGGCCACGGCTGCGCCGGAGGCGGCGGCGGCGGCCCGGTCGCGCCCCAGGCCGGCGTGGGCGGCGCCGACGGCGGCTCGATCGCGCCCCACGCAGGTGCGGGCGAAGTCGGCGAGGGTGGTACAATAGCGCCCCACATCGGCGCCGGTGTAGGCGGCCCGGCGGGCGCCGCGCCCCACGCTGGTGCGGGCGGCGCCGTCCGCTCCGGCGGGGTGATCGGCGGCTTGGGTTCCAACGCCGGGGTGATCGGCGACATGGGTTCCACAATGGGATCGTCGGCATTCAATGGGGGAGGCAATGGGGGAGGCCGAGTCTCGACAGATAATTGCGCGACGGCGTCCCACGTGTGTTCCAAGTCTCAGCGATGCTGGCGCGAGTAGAAAGCGTCACCTGCGCCCACTCGCGCACGCCTTGGCGGTCCAAGCTCGCGAGCTCGTCTCAGTCGACCGCAAAGGCAACAAAACGGGTTTACAAGCCAAACACATATATTTAACCTAAGCCCCCGGCACCGCCGTGAGCGAGTCGTAGAACAAGAGGTACGGCAGCATGGGCCCGTCGCGGCACTGCTGGACGACGTTCGCGAACGATCCGACGGCGACGGCCGAGCGCCGGTCGTGGTACGTCCACGAGTCCGAGCCGTCCCTCGCCCGCACGAACGCCGTGTAGTGCGCGTTCTGGAACACGGCAACCGCGAAGAGGTCCACCTCGAACTTGACCTTGCCGATCGACGAGAACACGCGTTTCGCCGGGAGCCGCGCGTCGCGCCACACGAGCTCGAGCAGCGCCGCGACGTCGTCGCCCTCCTGGTCCGTCGAGTACCACGCGAGGCTCAGCACGAGCGCCTTCGCGGCATGATCGAGGACCACGTCGACTTCGCACGCGCCCTGCGCCCGGCACGCGTCGCACGACTTGGCCGCGTGCGCGTGCGCGTCGCGGAACACGTCCGCGACGCTGCCGCCGTCGGACCGTGCGGCGTGGACCAGAGCGGCGGCCGGCGCGGACCGCGCCAGCTCGTCGAAGGCCACGTCGTCGCGGAAGTCGGCGTTGCGGTGGCCGCACTTCCTGCAGGCCTGCTGGTGGATGTGGCCCCGGGTGCGCAGGGCCAGGGCGGCAGAGCGGCACTTCTTCGCCGTACCGAGAACGGCGACGACTTCCCCCAATACCTCGGCCACGTCGAGGTGCGCGCCGCCCGTCGCCAGCTCGCTCCGGACGCCCTCGCCGGCCTCGTCGTTGCTCCGCTTGGCTAACGCCGCACGCAAACCGTCGACCGCCGCGTCCACGCCCGCGTCCGAGCCCTCGGCGCTCGCCTGGAACGCGTCGCCGAGGTACCGCAGCGCGTCCGACTGGGCCGCGGCGGCCTCCGCGCCGTCGCCGAGCTCGCGGCGGAAGGTCGGCGACTGGGAGAGCACGGCGATGATCGCGTCGAGCGAGCAGTTCGACCGCCGCTCGACGTCCACCAAACCCTCGGGCACCACAAAGTCCGAGTCGGAGCGGGCGCGCGGGCGCGCGGCGACGCCCTCCCACGCCGGTGGGTCCTCGACGGTCGCGGGCCAGAGCGCGTCCGCCGGCGGCGCCGGCGCGCTCGGCGCGGACCAAGCCGAGGGGGGCGGCGGCGCCCACGGCGCCTCGGGCGCCGTCGGCGCGGCCCAGGCGGGCGGACCGGGCAGCCCGGGCAGCGCCGGCGGCGCCCGCGCGGGCGGCGGCGCGACCGGCGAGATCGGCAGCGGCGGCGGCGGCGGCGGCTGGGCGCCCCACGCCGGGAGCGGTTCGGGGGGCGGCGGCGCGGTCCGCGGCGGCGGCGGCGGCGCGGGCGGCGGCGCGGGTGCGGGCGGCGCGGGCGCGTACTGCTCGATCCGCGCCTGCGTCGCGGCGTAATCCTCCTCTTCAGGATGTAGATACTGGCAGTCGCCCGTCCGCAGGTAGGGGCAGCGCGGCCCGTACTTGCAGATCCGCGTCTTGTAGCGGTCGCGGTATTTCTCGTCCTCCTTCACGTCGATGAACGTGCCGTGCAGTTCGTGGTGGTGCGTCGCCGCGCACGCCCTTGCAGCACTTTCCTCCACGAACGTCACGAATCCAAACCCCCTCGACCGTTGCGTCGGGCGGTCGAACATGACTACAGCCTCGCTCACGGCGCCGAAACGCTCGAAGTACGCGCGGAGGTCCGCGCCTCGTACCGAAGCCTTCGGCAGAGCCCCCACGAAGAATCTGCGCGCCACGCGCCGGCCGCCGCCGTGCTCGGCGCCCGACGCCTTTGGCGGAGGGACCGCGGGCGCGGCGCCACCGTACGCGGCAGCCGGCGCCTGTGGCGGAGGGACCGCGGCAGCGGCCGCGCGGTCCTCGGCCTCGAGCCGCCGCGCGAGGGCCAGCGACGCGGCCTCGGCCTCGCGGTCGGCGGCCGCCCGGCGCGCCGCCTGGGCCGCGGCCCAATCCAGCTCCGCCGCCTCGAGCGCCGCGGTCGTCGGGTCCGCCGCCTCGTCCTCGGCCGGCGCGGGGGCCTGGGGCTCGTCGGCGGCCGCGCGCCGCTCGCGCCGCGACCGGACGTCGGTCCAGTCGCCGTCGTCCGGAGGTGTGGCGGCGTCCAGCGGCGCGTCGTCGGCAAGCTCGTCGGCAGGCTCGTCTGCGGGCTCGTCGGCGGCCACCGGTGCGGGCGCAGGCGATGCTGCAGCGGCGGCCGCCTGCTCGGCTTCCTCGCGCGCGGCCTCTTCACGCGCAGCCTCCTCGCGCGCAGCAGCTTCCTGCTCCGCCTGCTCGCGGCGGCGCGCGTCAGCCTTTTTCCGCTTGGCCCGCCGCTTCTCCTCCTTCTCCTTGTCCCGCGCCTTCCGGTCCCTCTCCGCCTGCTTCTTCTTCGAGAGCGTGCCGCTGGCGCCGGGGTCATCGAGGGCGAAGCTGTCGCTCACCGCCGCCGCGTCCGCGCGCGATACAACTACGCGCTGTTTTTCCTTCTTGGGTCGCGGCGCGGCGGCGGCGCCATCGTCGGGCGCGTGCCGGAGGACGGCGGCCTCGAGCCGCGTGAGACCATCCGGCAGGGTCTCCATGTGCTTCGTCGCGAAGTCGTCGAGCCGGTACTTGCGCACGAGCTTCTTCAGCGTCGCCGGCGACTCGGTCCCGAGGCGCGCCGCGACGGCGGCCGCGAGCGCGTTGCCCGCCGCGCCCGCGGCCTCGTAGCACACACGCGCGTCCGGGTCGGACTGGGCCGTCCATAAGACCGCGAGGTCCGTCAGCGACCGCTTTGCCCGGTCGGCGCCGGCGCCGTAGTCGGCGTAGTGGTCGTCGTGACCCGCCGACAGGACGGCCTCGACGACCTTGCGGCGGAAGGCCGCGGCTGTCGTATCAAAGTCGGCATGTTTGTGTTTGTAGCCCCGGAACGGGAAGCCCCCCGCGCCCTTGGTCTCGGTGACCCAGTACGCGAAGACGAGTGCCGTCGTCACGGCGTGCGGGTGCGGCGACTTGCAGGCGTTCTCCAGGACGAAATTCACAAGGTTGTGACTCAGGTTCGCGCGGGGGCCGCACAAGAAGAGCGAAAGGCGCTTCGTCGCGAGCAGGCGCAGCGCGTCCATCTGAGCTCCCGGGCCGCGCCCTCCGCAGTGCTCGTCGAGGAAGCGCCGGCACGCGGGCGAGTGGTCGAGGCGCTGCCCCGGCCGCAGGTTCAGGAGCGTGTTAAGCGTCTGGAGCTGTGGATCCTCCACGCCCCACGCGACGCGCGACGGCCGCGGAAACGTCCCCAGCGCGATCAGGACCCCGAGCCACTTCAGCTCGACCGTCGCGACCTCGACGCCCAACTTGCCCAGGACCTCGAGTTTCTTCCACGGCTTCGACGGGTGATCCTCGCCCGCCTCCAAGGCCGCGACGGACGCGGCCACGAGCGCCGGGAGCTCGGGCTCGAGCCAGAACTTCTGGTCCGGCGTCCTCGAGCCGGGCGTCGGCAGCAGCGACACGATGACGTCGACCGCCACGCGCGTCACTTGCTGCGGCACTTGTAAGCCTTCCGGCGCGGCAATCGTCTCCAGTCCGGTATGAATGCGCTCCGGCGCACCTCCATTAACGGAGACCTGGACCATCGATGTCGGAGCGGACACCCATTTAAAGAGTGGGGCGGCGGTCTCCCTGCTGAAGGCGTCGCGCGCGCCCGCGCTGGACGACCTCCCCGATGACTGGATATATACATCCAGCAGATCCTGGAACGGGATAGGAAATGCCCCTTGCGGCAGGAGCAGGTCGGGCAGCGTCGCCTCCATGGCATGGTCGCGGAGCGTCAGCGTCACGTGCGCGGCGCAGCTGTCGACCCGGGAGATGGCGTGCAGCACGACTAGAGGCGCCGCCGCGTCCGTCGCGTCGGCCAGCGTGGCGTCCGTGCGGACGAGCTTCGAGCTCGTCACTTTGGCCTTTCCCGAGCGGAATGTCGTAACCAGCTGGGTTCGCAGCGCGCGACCGGCGGGCGTCGCGTCAGCATTTTTCTCGTGGGCGGCGCTCACGACTATTGTCTGCCGGAGCTCGCGCAGCAACGTGTCCCGCTCGTCGCCGGCGTCCACCTCACCGAGGAACGACGTCATCAGGAACTCCGCCACGGGCGTCGCGAGGGCGCGCGCGTCGAGCGGGAAGAGCCGGCAGTCGGTCTCGGGTTCGACGATGACGAGGCAGCACCGAGGCGCAGCGAGGGCCTCGGCGACGCGCGGCTGCGTCACGCGGACGGTGACCTCGCGCGGCGGGCGCTCCGGGATCTCCGCGAGCAGCGCCGCCTCGGCGTCGAGCACTGGAGTCGCTGCGCCGCCATCCACCGTCAACGTAATTTCGACGGGCTCCGCTTCGCGCGTCAGTAGCGCACTCCGAAACTCGCCCATGACCGCGGCCTCTTCGGCGTCGTCGTGCTTGCGAAAGAAGTCGCAGGCCGTCTGGGCGACGCGCATCAGCGAGACCTCGAACAGCATCATCAGGTTCATAGTCAGCGGGGCCGTTCCCGGAATCGGAGCCAATTCAAATTTGATATGCGCCTTGGCCTCGGCCAGGGCGTTGTATCGGCTCACCAAGTTGCTGAACTCGAGCGAGCTGCTCAAATACTCCCTGGGCCTCAAGACCGACAGCGCATCGGCCTTTCTCTCCAGCTCTGCGATACGGGCCTTCAGCTTCGCCATCGCACCCATATTGGACCCGCGGCGCGCCGCGCAGGGGTGGTGCGCAAGGAGGCCCCTCACAGCTCAGGGTGAACGAGTAGCTGGCGCAGGCTCACGCTGCTAGAGCCAGTAACAGCGACCACCAGAACTGTGAAGCGATGCCAAAACCAACCGGCGGTGCACGAGCAGGCCGCTGCTCGCGCTCATGTGTTCACGATTAGCAAATGGGGCTAGCGGCCTGTAAGACACTAGCAATCATTACCCGGGGCGCGGCTTCCAGGGCTCCCGCGCTTAGGTGGGCTAGCGGCCTGTAAGACACTAGCATGCATTACCTAGAGCCTCCGGCGCCGCCGTGAGCGAGTCGTAGAACAGCAAGTACGGCAGCATGGGTCCGTCGCGGCACCGCTGCAAGACGTTCGCGAACGATCCGACGGCGACGGCCGAGCGCCGGTCGTGGTACGTCCACGAGTCCGAGCCGTCCCTCGCCCGCACGAACGCCGTGTAGTGCGCGTTCTGGAACACCGCCACCGCGAAGAGGTCCACCTCGAACTTGACCTTGCCGATCGACGAGAACACGCGTTTCGCCGGGAGCCGCGCGTCGCGCCACACGAGCTCGAGCAGCGCCGCGACGTCGTCGCCCTCCTGGTCCGTCGAGTACCACGCGAGGCTCAGCACGAGCGCCTTCGCGGCATGATCGAGGACCACGTCGACTTCGCACGCCCCCGGCGCGTGACACTTGTCGCACGACTTGGCCGCGTGCGCGTGCGCCTCGCGGAACACGTCCGCGACGCTGCCGCCGTCGGACCGCGCGGCGTGGACCAGAGCGGCGGCCGGCGCCGACCGCGCCAGCTCGTCGAAGGCCAGTCGGAGCGGCCCTCTTTCTTTTCCTTGGTAAGCTGCTGTAGGAACACATTACAAATGTACATCAGCGATTCACACAGCAGTCCTTGGTTCAGGGTATAAGCCAGAGTGCCGACCGTCGAAATCTTCAGGTGTAATTGGCACAGCGGTTGCTCCGCCGCCGAGAGCCGAGCCGTCAAGTTCTCGAGGCGGGTCTTGACCCCGTTCACGATAGCACGCATGCTTCCGGTGTGACGCCGCTCGCGGGTACCGAACGTCGACGCCGCTCGGCTTTAGTTGCAGCACCGATTATCGCTCTCCTTAAAACTGAGATTGACTCCCTGAGTCCTACCCGTTGAATCGCTCGTTCTCGGGTTGAATAGCGGTTGTTGCGGTGCTGATCCAGGCGACGGTTATTTATAATCTGGTGCCGAGTTGCAAATGCAAAACGCATGAAAAACCCGTGGCCTAGCCACGCTGTAGTAGGGGTCCCCACCCACCCCGACCGGTAAGAAGAACGCAAACTACAGCGCGCCCGAGGATATACACTAGCTATCAGATCCGGAGCGAGTCGAAGATGGCCGTCGGGTCGGCGGCGACGAGCTCATCGTAGACGAGGAGGTACGGCAGCATCGGCGACGTCGCCGTCGCGCAGCGCCGGACCACGTCCGTCCAGGCGCCGACGTGGATGCGCGCCTGGCGGTCGTGGTGCGTCCACGCGTCGGCGCCGTCGGGCGACCGCACGAACGCCGTGTAGTGCGCGTTCTGGAAGACAACGACGGCCAGCAGGTCGAGGGGCCGCGCGTTGTTCCCCGCGGCGGCGAAGACGCGGTCCGGCCAGATGGCGCCCGCGCGGCCGCAGTCGCGCGCGCCGGAGCGCCCGACGAAGGCTAGTAACGCCAGCACGTCGTCCGACGAGACGTTCGACGACGGCCAGCCCACGCTGAGCACCAAAGCGCGCGCGGACTGCTCTAGGAGTACGTCCACATCACACGCTTGCGGCGCGCGGCACTTGTCGCACGTCTTCGGCGCGTGCGCGTGCGCCTCCAGATACACGCGCTCCAGACTCCCGTTGGTCTCGGCCGCATGGACGAGAGCGGCGGCCGGCGCCGACCGCGCGAGCTCGTTCAGCTCCACGTCATCAACGAAGTCGTCGTTGAAGTGCCCGCACCGGCGACACGCCTGTTGCGACACGCGGCCCCGCGTCCGCAGCGCTTGTTGAGCCGACGGCCGCGCGACGTTCACCACCTCGCCGAGGACCTCGGCGACATCTAAATGCGCGCCCCGCGTCTTGAGCTCGGCGCGGATGACGGTGTCGTCACCACTGGAAGCCAAGGCCTCCCGCAGCGCGTCGACAGCAGCGTCGGAGTTCGCGCCCCGCTCCGCCGCTTGGAGCGAGGCGTCGAGCGCGCGCAACGCCCGCGAGTCGCCTTGTGAGGGCCGCCCGGCGGCTCTTACGAACGTCGGGCAGCGACATAACACCGCGACAATCGCGTCCAACGCGCAGTTCGACCGCCGCTGGACGTCGACCAACCCTTCCGGTATGGCGTCCGACGGCCGCGGCACATCAACTAGATTGGGCGGGATGTAGTCGTCGCCGTGCAGGCCCGGCGGCGGCGCGCCCAGCGGCGACGACATCGGAGACGCCCGCGGCTGGAGGGGCGGCGAGATCGGCGACCGCGGCAGGCCCGGCGGCGCCAGGTCCCGCGGTGGAGAGCGGGGCGTCTGGACCAATCGACCCGGCTCCCAGGCCGACGCGAACGCGTTGCCGCCGCCGATGGCGCGGTCGAAGCCCGGCGCCTTCGATTGTTGCGGCGGCGGCGGCGGCGGGCCGTTCGAGCCCCAGGCCGGCGGCGGCTCCGGCGCGCCCCAGGCGGGCGGCGCAATCCGCGGGTCCGGCTCGGGCCGGCGCGGCGGCGGCGGCGGCCCGACGGCGCCCCAGGCGGCGCCCGGCGCGCGCGCGGGCGCCGGCGGCGCACCGGGAGCGCCGACGGGCGCCGGCCGACCCGCGCCCGGCGGGCCGACAGGCGCGGGCGGGCCGGGCGCCGCGCGCGCCGGCGGCGGCGCCATTGCTGGCGGCGCGCGCGCCGGCGGCGGTTCCGGCGGCGGCGCGCGGTCCGCGCCAGGAGCGCGGCCGACGGCGCCCCAGGCCGGCCCCGGCGCCTTCTGGATGATGGGCGGCTCCGGCGCCGGCGCGGGCGCCGCCCACGCCTTCGGTTGCTGTGCAGGTTTCGGTGGCGGCGGCGGCGCCACAACGGGCTTCTCCGGCGGCTCCGGCGCGCGCTCGAAGAGCGTGCCCTTGTCCACGGCCGCAGAAACAAAACCGGACGCGTTCGCGATGCCCGCGAAGTCGATCACCTCGAGACAGGCGGCCGCGTGCCGCTGCTTGTTTGAGGGTAAAGCGCGTAGCTTGCGCACGCATCGTTCATCTAACTCAACAGCTAAGGCTCGGATGGCGACGGTGAGTTCGGGCTCGAGACACCTCCCGTGTCTATCCTCCCGCAGCAAAGCTCGCACGACGTCCCGTTGTCTGAAACACCGCGCCACGAAGCCCTCCACATTGGCCACGTTGTCGACGTAGCCCGGCTCGTCGAGGCGGTGGCCGATCTTCGTTTGATCGTGTTTCGCGAGTTGCGAGAGCGCGTGGACGGTCTGCGAAGTCAGCGCGTAGCGATCGGCGACCCTACAAAGCGCCGGCTCGAGCGTCTTCAGCTCCTTCGCCAGCGCCGCGAAGTTGTCGCGCTTTTTGGTGGCGCTGAGTACGAGCGCACTCCAATTCTGGAACCCGTCCGCGGATCGGCCCTTCTCGAGGCGCCGTACGAGCCGGACCTGCTCCAGCGGCGGTAGCGCTCTGAGAGCAGCACAGGCCGACGCGTCCACACCATGTGAAGAGACAAACGCGTCCGTCCGCCGCCGCGCGACGTGCACTGACGGGACTGGATCAAACGCCGACGACGACGCCGAGGCCTCCTCCTGCCGCGCCGAACGCTGCTTCGGCTGCGAACTCACGGACTGGAACTCGGGCTCGGCGCGCTGGCCGAGAGCCGCGGCATCTTCGGCCATGAGGCGCCGCGCCAGCGCCAGCGACGCCTCCTCGGACTGGGCCTGGGCCACTCGACGTCGTTCGGCCTCCTCCCGTTCTCTCTGGAGCAACAATTCCCGCTCCGCTTGCGCTTGGGCCTGCAGCCGCCGCTGTTCCGCCAAAAACGCCTCTCTCCGTTCCGCCTCGTGGTCGATGCGCGGCGCGCCGATGGCGCCGATGGGCCGCCGCGCCGACGTGGGGTCGTAGACCGGATCGCTCCCGAGGGGCGGCTCGGTCTTGGCGCCCGCAGCGACTAAGGACCACGGAGAATTCAAAGGCTTCGGCGTCACGCTCTTGGGTATGGCCTCGATGTAGAAGAAGGACTTGTCGCCCTTGGGGATGTGCCTTCGCAAGCCGTATTTTTCCAGTAAATCATCATTCAACCAGGAGACGCCTTTCTTCCGCGGCAGGGACTTGTGCTGGATGTAGAATTGATCGATCTCGCCGGACCGCATGCGCTTGTCGTTCCGCGACAGGATCCACGCCGCCAGCGCCGTGCAGATGGTCTGCTCGTCTGATGACTGTCGGCCGTCGGGCACTAATTCTACGACCCACCCGTCCGGAGGTTGCCTATCTTCAAACCTCATGCCGTACGACGCCGCCTGCTGCTGGATGTGCCTCTTTAAAGGTCTCGGGTGGTGGACGTCGTCGGGCAACTGCTTGAAAAAGTCGTCACTCCGGGAGCCTAGTAGAGGGCCGTGGCGCCGGACGTGGTCGCGGAGCTGGCTCATGAAGGCGTGGCTGTCGCCGTGGCCGTTCTTCTGCTTCGTCGGCGTCGTGTTGGCGCGCCGCCCCTGGGCGCGGCCGTTGAGCATCTTTGTTTAGGGCGCCGGCCGGCTGCGATGTCGGCCCAGCAAGCAAGGTGTGGGCGACCCCGGGAGCGCTGGCCGTCCAGCAGTGTCGTGCCGCGTCTCGGCGGCTGCTCGTGGCAGTGAAACGGTCGCTGACCAGGACAGCTTGGCCAGCCGCTGGGCCAATTAAGCCCAGGACTCTAAGCGAGCCCCGAGGAGCCACAAAACCCGAAATTTGGCGCAGAAGCAGCCTTGGTCGTTTCGAAACGATGACTCGTCGCTTCTGCCGACGCCTTCACCGCGGGACGGGTCAGCCACCATTGGCCAAAAGCCCAGCATTTTGGTTTTTGGCAAGCAGCCTGTGGTAAAAGAGGCACCGTGCATCGACCGCTGAAGCTCGAGAGCTGCTTTCACGCACAGCATAGCTCGCGCAACCGTTCTACGTAAGCTTGCGCACGCGCAACAGACACAGCGGACACACACTGCTGACTCCCTGCAGCAGAAGGATTCATTACGCGCTAATACAGCGGTGCGATGGTCGCGCGCACCTGGCTCGTGCCCTACACGGACGCGGAACGAGGCCGCCAGCAACTGCTCGCGACGATTTATCTAACTCATAACAACGTGACCGGCCAGCTCCAGTTAGACGTGCGGGCGGACTCGAAAGTTGTGGTAGATGGGGGCCGCGCGCGCGTCGTCGTCGGCAAGGGCCACACGATCCCGTTCTCGGTCGGGAGTAACGTCGGGCGGTGTTCCGTCCATCCGAAGACGACAGGGTTTGATTATTCGTGCACGTTCGGCGGCGAGCAGGTCGCCGAGGTCCAGCGACGGCCCGTCGCGTGGCTGGAGGCCTTCCAGCCCACGGCTGTTTCCGTCAGTGTGCAGGATCGCGTCGAGTTCCGAGCGGGAAAAAATTATTATCAACTGGCGGTCCAAGCGGACGGCGGCGAGCCGAAATTGTACCGGAAGCGCTATTCCGAATTTGCGGAAGTTCATGACAAGATGAAGCAGGCGTACGTCGGGTCGCATCTGCGGGCGTCGCTACCCGCGCCTCCGGCAAAAATCTTAAATCCGTTCTTCGACCAGCTCGAGCCGACCTTCGTCCAAAATAGACAAGTAGAGCTCAACGACTACGTCAAGAAGATCATCACGGTGCCGCGGGCGCTCGCGCAGCCGGCTTTGCTGGATTTTCTGGGCCTCGCGCTGCGGGCCCCTTCTGGGGAGCCCGTCGATTTGCTCGCGCCGCCGCCGGTGGACCTGCTCAATGCGCCGCTCGACGCGCCTCCCATGCCGCCGCCGCAGCCGGTCTTCGAGGAGGCCGTCGTGTAACAGTGGGTCTTTCTGTAGTTGTTTCCTTCTTACCCGGCCTCGCATTCGCGGAGGACTACTCGCGCGCTTCGCAGGGATATCTCAACGCCCGACGTGATCGGATGCGCGCTGCCGAACACGAGTCGCGCGATCCGCGCCGTCTCCTCGAGCGTCGTCACGGCCTCGCGGAGATCGTCGAGAGTCGCGCCGTCGTCAACATAGGCGGCGAAACCGTTCGACGGCGTCGCGGCGCTGCCCATCGGCGAGGCGACGGCGCGCGGCGTCTCCGAGGGCGTCCTGGCCCACGACGCGCACAACTCGTACCACTACGCGGACGCCGGGCGCTTATATGAATTGGAGATGCTGCTGAACGCGTTCGCGATCGCCTCGCGGCGGCAACCGTAATTTAATACACACGTCACATTAGCTCCCCCAAAAACTTTGGTAGCGCCCGTTACTGGACTTCTCCAGACCCTCGAAGAAATGGTGGTCGCCCCTCCATTCGCGCTCGTCGCCCTCGGCGATGGCGTCGAAAAGGCTCCTCACCGTCCATCCGCCCGCCGGAGCGCGGAACACCCTGCTCACCTTCGGCTCGGCTCGTTTAAAATTTTCGTAGCTCTCAAAAACTATCTCCGAGTCAACGCCAGATACGAGTATGTCATCGAGGTCCCCCCGGCCGTACTCATACCAACCTATGTCCATCCTATAATTGATTTCCGAATAATCATCGATACTGCCCGAGAACGTGTTGAACGTCTCGAGCGACATGCGCATGAACTTGTAATTCGTCTTCGGGACCCAAGCGTTACTATGCTTATTGCCGCCAGCGCGATAAGCCTGTTCGGACCAGCGCCGCGAATTTGTCGTTGGGGGGTCCGCGGTCGCCGCTGCCTTCCAGCAGTGCGACACGGCCGCCGGGAAACAGTCGCAGAACTCGAGGTAGTCGAGGATTTGCGGGACGATGTCCGCCGAGTCCACCACCCGCACGCTCTGGCGGCACTCGGTCGCGCACGCCGCGCCGCGCCGCGTCACGACGCAACCCGCTATCGCCGCGAGCGCGTCCACGTCCATCACTGAACTCCTTTCCGGCGCTCTGGGCAGCGCCCCCCAGCTGAGGGGTACTTTGTCGCGCGTTTTTTGAGCCCAAGGCCCAGCTGCAGGATGCGTGCGCCCACTGCGCGTGCCAAACCACTCCGATGGCCGCCTGGAAACGCGCAGGGGCTGCCTAAGCTCAGCGCCAGCATCGGATCTAGCGGCCTGTAACACACTAGGAAGCAGACTTAGTGGGCTAGCGGCCTGTAAGACACTAGCATGCAGACTGGGTTTTTGTCAGCCTCTTGTCAGCCGCATACTTGCTCTCGTGGTGGGGGAAGCTCGCGTTACATCCCTTTGCACTGCGCGTGGCCGCGCCGGCAACCAAAAACACTCATTCTCCGCAGCCGAGACAGCACCAATGGAGGTCACACTCGCCTGGCCGACCGCCCCCGGCGGCGCCGCGACACGTCTCACCGAGGACGACTTCGACTGGAAAGCGGCCGACCGGGCAACATTAACAAAACCGCTCGCGCTGGTCGCCACCGACGCCGACTGCACGCTGGCCATCGCGGGCGCCCACGTCGTCAGCACCGCCCTCGTCTCGAACGCGCGCAGCGTCGAGGTGTCGGGGGGCTCAACACCTGCAACGACGACGTACAAGGGCACGGTCCGCGGCGACCAGCAGAAGCAGCCGCACCGCTTCCGGGCAGAGCTGAAGGCGCTCGACGCGCCATTTGTAACGCTTAAGCTCCTATCGAGGAAAGGTGACGCGCGGACGCTCTCCATCGATTCTCTAGAGATCGTCGTCGACGCCGCCAGGACGCCGGAGGCAGCGCCGCCGCCTCCTCCGGCGCGCGCCGCGGCCACCGCCGCGTCGGCGTCGTCATCGTCCCACCAGAAGACGCTCCTCGCCGGCGCGGCGCTGCTCGACGCCGCCGAGCGGCGCCTGACGGCCCACGTCGACGCGGCCTGCGCGCGCGTGCAGCGCCACCTCGGCGCCAAGCTCGACGCGCAGGGCGCGGCGCTGGCGCGGCTCGAGGCCGCCGTGGCGCGGCTCGGGACGAGGCCTGCCGCCGCCCGGTCTGAGGCCGCCGTTGCGGCCCCGCGGGCAGCCGTCATCCCGCGCGCCGGGGAGGACGATGCCGTCGGCGCGGCGCTGAAGAAGACGACGGTGCGCTGCGGCGACCACGCGATGATGCTGTTTCTCCGCGCGGCGGACGCTACATTAGCGCCGCCGGCGAACGGCGCGGACGCCGACGGCACAGGTCTAGAATTATGGGGCGGCGGGCGCTACCTGGCCAACTTCCTGACGATCCGGCCCGGCGTCGTCAGGGGATGCAGGGTCCTGGAGCTCGGTGCTGGCGCAGGGCTCCCGGGCCTCGTCGCGGCGCGCTGCGGCGCCGCCGAGGTGCTACTCACCGACGGCGACGCGCGCGCCGTCCGGCTGCTCGAGAAAAATATTGCCGCGAACCCGTCGTCGGAGTGTCCCGTCGAGGCGGCGGCCCTGGCGTACGGCGCGGCTCCTCCGCCGCCGTCGGAATCCAACCTGCCGACGGTCGTGCTCGCCGCCGACGCGCTGTATGTGAGCAAGCACTGCGCGCCCTTCGGGGACACGCTGAACGCGGCACTTCAAACACCGAAGGACGTGTGCTACCTCGCGCACGAGCCGCGGCGCGCCTGGTCCATGAAGGACGGCTCCCCCGTCCAGGACGCGACGGACGATGTATTAGATGCGTTCCTCGACCTCTGCTGCGACCTGGACGTGTCCGAAGTCGGAAAAACGGGCAATGTGCAGCTCTACCGCATCGCGCGACCATGTATGTGATAAATATTAGTCCTATATTCGTGATCGTCCTCCGCGCCCCGGCGTGTCCACGGTTCCACGCCCAAATTAGTTCATCGTCCCCTTGCAGTTCGGCGCGCCGCAGTAGCACGGTATTTTATCATCTTCGATGGGAAACTTGTAGTCGTACATGACCTCCTCGCCCGCCTTGATGTCTTTCAAGGCTATTATAACGATCTTCCGCGTGTGCGGGCCTATTTCCACGGTCTTCGCATACGCATTCGGACTACAACAGTGGTTGATGAACCTCCCGATGTGACCTCGCCGCGTCGCGTCGACAATGCAGTCCTCGTCCAACCGAAACAAATAACAACTCCCAACCCCGGCCTTGTCGTAGTACTCCTCCCGCTTGTCGCCCATGTTATTCCGAATGACCTGGCCGACGTACTCAATGATGAAATCGTCCTTACTAACGTCGACTTTTGTATAGAGGCCCCAGCCGTGGATATGACTGCGACGCACGGCCAGTCGCTCAAGCACGGGCACGGCTCGCAACTCGCGGTACTTCTGGGCCGCCCATTCCTTCGAACCCTCCTTAACTTCTTCTATGTACCCTTTTCTCGACTTGACGACCGCATTATTTAAGCGAGCTTGGCGCTCTTCCCGCAGCCTTCCAGCCTCTAACGCTTCGGCCTTTTCCTGTTCTAAATCCTCCTCGGCTTGGGCTAGTGCGCGCGTGATCCTCGAGCGTCTAGCAATGTCGTCGATCGCGTCGCGAGGCTCGGATCGCGCCGAACCGGAAATGGCCGGCTTGACCTGCGCATCTCTGATCGCGGCCTGCCGTTGAGCCAGTAGAATATCGTGGGGCGTCGGTCTGACATAACAGAAGCGATACGAGATAATTCTTCTACTATTTTTACCCCGTTCCTGGGCCTCTAACTGATGGAGGTTCTTCCGATCCGATAAGGGCATCAATTCAGCTTCTAAAGCATAAGATGTCACTCTAGGCATCGTTTCTATCCTAGCACGTACAGCTGGCAACGAGAACCCGAAGAAACCAGAACCGTCGTCACAGAGCCCGTAAGGAGGCGCCTTCCGCCGGAAGCGATGCCGCCCGCCTTTGACGCGGTCCTTCCACATACTTTGCTCCTTCAAATTCCTAACACGTCGTAAAACTTCCCCGACGGCCTCACCAACAGTGTCGCCCACACATGGGATCGTGGGCGCGTCGACGGCTTGAATAATGAACTGCGCCTTGTACTGTAACTTTCTTCCCACAGTAACGGGAGCGGCAGCAACCCGACACATGTACAGTGTTCGGCAATTGTTACGCGTAAAGGAGTAGAAAATTCTACAAGCCCGGTAGTTCAACGGGAAGATCCTGTCTGAGGTATGGAAGCCGACGTAGCCGGCCGGAGCAGCTTCGCCCAACCGAAAGATAGAGAGAGCACCTATTCTAAATTGAGGATGCAAGGCTAACGACATGCGCGTCCGGTCCTCGAGCCACTGCGCCCGGGCCTGCACCGCCGCACTCTCCACGGGAAGCTTCGGCTCTTCCTTCTTCTTCTTGCCGCGCGTCTTCTTCTTCTTCGGCTCGTCGAGCACGTCGTCCAAATCGTAGGTCTTCTTCTTGACCTGGCGCTTGCCTCGGCCGGTGCCGCCTTCCGGTATTTTACCTTTCCTCGACTTCTTCGCGCGCTCCCTAGCCTTCTCCCTTTCTCGCTCTCGTTCTTTCGCTTCCTGCTCCTCCCGGATCAGGTCATCTTTCCGCGCCTTCATTTCCGCTTCGTAGGCCTCCTGCGACGACATGGCCGCCTTTTCCCCTTTTTTTCGTTTCCCGTCGAAGTTGGAGGCCACTCGGATGGCGCCGGCGACGTCTCCCAGATACGTAGCTAGCGGCGTCTGCAAATGATCGGGAGGCGCTTCGATCTCCGGTAGGAGAGGAACACCGGGAGGTGGTAACTCCGACACTTCCGCGAAGACCTCCAGTCCGTTGCCTGAACAGGTATGGCGACCACCGTCACCGGCGTATCTCAGAATGACGCCCCGTCCTTCTAAGCTTTCATCAACAACAACGGTCGCGCGCGAGCCTACTCTACGAGTAGCGGGGTCGCCGTCCGTATCGGCTGTTACGATGACCTCCGACCCGGCGCGGATCCCCTTGAGCTGGGCCTGGGCTTTCCGAACGGCGATGGCGGCTTCCGTGGCATTTTTTAACAATGTAGCGTTCTTCTTCTCGCGTCGCGCTTGCGCTCTGGCGCCTGAGGCGCAATCCGAACAGAAGACGTGCGAGCCGCCGACACAAACAGCACCGGCATGAGCACCACACCGAAAATGGAAGTTCCGCTTACAATTCGTCGAGCAGCAGCCCATCGTCGCGCCCGGTTTGTGGCAGTGCGTGCATTTCAGGTTTCGGGATCGTCGCGTCGCGTCCTGGACGTGTCTGAAGAGTCGAGTGTGTTCGTAGACCTCAGAAGACCATAAAGCACAGTTCGCGTGGACCCAGTAGTCCAAGACTAAGCCTGTTGGCTTGATCGTGTTCGACTCCTCGACTTTTTTCAGTTCTCGGTCTCGCACCGGTACTAGCCTTCCCGCGAACGCACAATCACCGTTTCTCTTACAGAGCTCACATATTCTATAGTCCTCTGATTTATATTTTGAGAGGCAGATCTCTCTCAAATCGTCGGTGCCGAACAATTGTCTATCACTCACACCATTCGCGGGTCTCGGGATGGGCACTCGTACCTCGTCCGGCCGTCGAGCTCGTCTCAGTTTCCGTTGTTTCTGGACATCTGAGACTTTGCAGGCGGCCGTGTAGGCGAACTCGCCCTCGCCTAAGTGCGACTCGAACATACCGTTCGCGGGATCAGATCGACACCTCGGGCAGGCCGGAGGCGAGCCTTCCTCCAAGTAACCGAGGTACTGTTCCGCGCATTCGCCGTGGTAGCCCTGGCCGCAGAAGCCGCACGCGACGGGGTCCCGACCGCGTAAATAGCCCTGGGACGACCTTCTATACCTCGACATAAGACAATCGCCTCGAGCCCCACAATTGCCATGCAAAGGCATCCGCTGGTAGTACTGCACCGACCCCTGTTTCTGTGATTTCATGCAATCCGAACAGGCGTCCCGTCTCGTACTATAAGTCGGCTTCGAGGGGTCTGGGGACGTGTGTCTGCCACAAAATTGGCACTCGACGCACAAGTCGCAAAAGAACTTGCCCGGCGGCGGGGCCGTGAGCGGCGGATCCAAACAATGCAAGTGATAAGCCTTGTCGCAGCCGTCACAATACACTAATGAAGCTTCGTCGTTGTCCTCACAGACGCCACAAGCCTCACAGAGTTTGCAGTTCGGGCAGCGCCACGTCGCCAGGGCCCAGTTCGGGAGGTTCGGCGGACACGCCGCGCAGGCGCCGTGGTAGGCCTCGCCGCAGTCGCAGCAAAACACGAACGCGCCCGCCCGTCGGTCGTCCCCCGGCAGGATGGTCGATTCTGACGAACCGCAGATGAGACATAAATCACGCCACGCTAACGAGCGAGCATTGGCCTCCGTGATGAAGGAGATTTCCGTCGTCGGTACGCAGGGCAAGGCATCCCGACACACATACCTTTCTAGTTTGAGGACCTTGCCTACGGCTGAACCCGCGATCCTATCTTTCAGTACGGTATTCGCCTTATGTCGCTTGATCGTAGCTTGCACCTTATCGTAGTGGGCCTTCTTCTCTTGGACTTTGAGACCCGAGGCGGATAGCACCGAAGTACAGTGCTCTATCTCCTGGTCGTCTCGGACCTCGTACGTTACGAGCTCCTCGAACATTTGGGACACCTCGGCGAAGAAGCGCGCGGCCTCCTTCCAGATCTTGTCGCCTGTGTGTTGTTCAATGATCATTCGCGGGCCGCGGCGACGCTCTCGTGGTCGCGGTGGTCGCGTGACGACGGCCTCATCGGCGCCGCGGCGGCGTGTTCTCACGCCATCGACGCGACCACGTCGACGGCGGTCTCGCGAGGACGCCATCGATCAAGTTCAAGGTCGTTCACGAGACACCGCCACAAACCGGCCCGATTAAACCTAATAGCGTTCAGGCACATCAATTCAAAGTCGTCGCGCACCGCTTGAGTAGAGCGGTACTGCCCTTCGCGAGCTTTGGCATGCATCGTAGATAAATCCATGGGTGTTCTCACGACCTCCCGGTACGTAGGAGCAATCGTATCATCCACAGGAATCGCAAATAATCCTAACTTGTCGCAGGCCTTCATTTTGTTGACGAGAGTAACGGTCTTCCGAATAGCGCACCCACCCGCACACAGGAACTGCCGCCCGAGGACCGGGTGCGTCTTCCCCCTAATCGTAAGGTACTCTTCTTGACCAATCCCTTCACAACCCGCATGCGTAAACAGTTTGCAATTAGTACATTTAATCAACAGGTCCGCCTCCGTATCCTGTATGATTAATCCGCAACTAGGACAGTACTTTCCCGCCTTGTAGTCGATACCACAATCTTTACACAGGTCCGAATCGCCGCGCCCATCCAACTTGTGCTTGCTAATTTTATTGAAGGTACCACATTGCCTTTGCGTCTTGCTACAGGACGCACACCGCAGACAGTCCGCGCACCGCCACTGGTGGCCGTTCTTTTGGGTCAGAGGTGGCCTTAGGATCTCGGGACCGCCCCAGCAGTGCAAGTGGTAGGCCTTGTCACACGTCACGCAGACGGCCGCATTGCTATGTAGATCCAGGTCCAAGCCGCCGCATTTCGCGCACGGCTTTTCAGTAGGCGCCGGTCGCTTCAGCGACGAAGTAGTGACGATGACGTCATAGCCCGGGTCCGCAACGCTCAATTGAGCCACATCTACGGGTCCAGCAGCATCTGCTGCCGACCACCGATGGATCGGGATATCGGTAGGCACGGACTTGCCCACCCTCCAATCTTCCCTCGTTTGTTTGGCTAGGTCGACCTCTAGATCCGCCTCATCTAAGGCAGCTCGTAGCTCCGCAGCCTTCCGCCCTTTCTGTTTCAGGATCGTGCCCAATCCAGCATGACTGCGATCCCCAGAGATGTACGGCTTGACCATCACCTTCTGAGTAGTAGCAACTTTCTTCTTCTTCTTCGGCTGCTCGGCGTAGTCCTCATCCGATAATACGGGAACTAAGCCTTGCTCCTCGGTGCCGAAATAGATGATGAACATCTTGTTCGGTGTTCGTCTATTCCACATGCGCATCGTGCCCGCGTCCTCGAGCGCCTGGCAGCACTCCCACTCCATGCAGGGCCACGGCGAATGGCCCGGCATCTTCACGACGTAGCAGCCCCTTCCGATCATGTAGAGCTCGTTGCTATCTAGTAAATTGACTTCGTGGACTTCGCCGTCGTCGTACAGTACAATATGTAGTCGTTTTTCGTGGTCGAACGTCAGGATGCGCGCGAAATACCAGGCGTTGTCCCCCGCCCAGTAGTGTCGTAATCGGCACCCGACGAAATCGTCGCCATCGATTCTCTTCTCGAAGTCGAGGACCTCTTGCATCTTCGACGGTGGTTCCTCGTCGGCTAATGCCGCAGCTATTGCGGCGTCGTCGGCCGTGTCCGGTTCCGTCGCCATGGCGTCGGCGGTTCGTCCGCGCTGCGGCGAGCTTTTTTGATCGCAGGCGCGCGCGCGTCCGGACGCGCGCCGCGCGGCGAGCAATCCTGGTCCTGTGGTTCGGGTGCGCGTCGACGCTGCGGCGGCCGGCCCGCTTGCGCGCAAATAAGAATGAACGCTTTTTAGCGCTGCGCAACGCTTGCCAGCTGCAATTCCCGCTTGACTCGCGGGCGCGGCTCTGCGGCTCAAAATGAATTCCTAGTGTCCACATGCCGCTAGCTTCAAAACATTATCTTCACAGCGGCCGGGACGGGCAAAGCCGGGGCAGCCTGCCGATACAATGGTACGGTAGCGCACACGCACAGGCTCTGGCTCTGGCTGAAAGCTGTCGAACAAGAGCCTGACGTCTAGAGACCCAGGAATCCACGATGGAGCTGCCCACAGACAGCTTTGAGCTGCCCAGCCCCACGTCGGACCTGGCCTGGAGCCCCTCACCCACCAAGCAAAGGCTGCCGGCCCTGAGCCCCCATCTGTCACTGCCGAGCCCTCATAGGAGAGGGAGCTTCGACGCGGCGCTGAGCCCGCAGCGCCGTGGGAGCTTCGACGCGAGCCCCACACGACGTCGCAGGGACGCCGCGCTCGAGTTGGAACTGGGCGCGCCCGACGGCCAGGGCGGAAGGATAGGCGAGCGCCTCTCGCTCGGGAGCGACGGCAGCGGCAGCCCCGTCAGACGGAGGAAGCACCGTCGGAGGAAGAAGCACCGCCACAGCCGGAGTCCCGAGCATTCGCCAATCAAGGAAAGTGTCCTGGAAGGCATTACGGTGCGGAGGAAGGGCTTCGGCGGGCGACGGAAAATAGACAAAAAAAATAGGAGGAAACACAAGGGCCGGAAGCAGTACGCGCGGTTAGATGAATATGCCCAGCAGCAGGAAGCCGCGGCGCCGGGCCCCGCGCCGTCCCTCGTAAAGAGCCGGCCGGAGACGCCCGCGGACGTCGCTCCGGAAGAGTCGGACGGCTCTTCTGAAGACGAGCTAGAGGTCGAAGACGACGGTATCCAGGGCGTGCCGTCGTTGGCAAACCCCTTGTATTTGAGGATTACCATGGCTGATGGTGTGCTCGCCCGAACGGGAGCTGAGGTCGCGAGGATGGCCGTGTACCCCATCAATAAACACTGTATCGTGCGATGTATCAAGCGCGTCACACGTGAAGATCCTAGGTCGGGCAAACACATCAGGTGGTATTTAATAAATGCGCCGGTGCCGGGTTCTGGTGTGGATGAATTTGAACGCATTATACCGAAAGAGTTTTCATACCTCTCTGATAACGAAGAGGGCGTCTGGATTCGCAGTATGAGGAATATGATTGGTTTTGAGGAGGTCAGTGTCCTTACCGAGTGTACGAGAGCCGAATACGCCGAGTTATGTAGAAAAGAACATGCCGCCTTCGAATCCATAGAGGAAGACGCGGCCTTAGCGTTGATCGAGGCGGACGTCAACGGCTGTGCCGCATTTATTGCGAGGGCCACTCGTAGATTAGAGGAACGGCGCGTCATGATCCGCATGTTCGCACCGATCTGTCGCGAGCTCGAGACGAGTATCGAAGCCAGAAAAAAAGCTACTGAGGTTGTGCTAAATGACGACGGCGACGAAATTGCCGCCATGAACGCTACCAGAGAGGTCCACGCGAAGGCCCGGAAGGAGGCTATCGATAAAGCTCGGTTGATGGATTTACGGTATCGGCCCGAGATACTGTTAGGTGCTTTGGCCCGATCAGCGTGTGAGACGCACAATCCGCGCGAAGCCCTGTGGACTTTGCTATTGGGTGTTGCGGCTCGCGTCAACTTATTTATTCTGCAGAACAATAAGACGAGATTGTTTGTTCACGAGGCCCAACGGTTATCAACGGATTCAGCACTAAGAGGTGATATTTTCGTCGGTTTAGCGATGCGGGGCGAGGAGGGGAAACTACGAGATCTCTTGAGACGAGGCTACGCGTCGGCGGACGTCTGCCACTCCGCGGCTCAAATTTCGGCTTTATTTGCCGCGGTAAGTTCAGGAGCGGTCGGCGCCGTCGCTGCTTTGCTGGACCACGGCGCCGCTGTGGACACGAGGGATCTCCACAACGATTTATTACCTTATCCACTACATGTCGCCGCGTACAACGGTTATCATCGCGTCACGAAATTATTGTTAGAAAGAGGCGCCGACCGCTATCCGGTGAATAGCGAGAACCAGACGGCCCACGCCCTATGTAAGAAGAAATGGATTGAAGAAGGTGGCGATGCTCTAGATAGATGTTGTGAGTTATTAAGGTTGGAACCTACCGTAGTAGAGGGCGTCTATGTCGCTCAAACTACGGACAGATCCATAACCATAGAATGGCCCGTACCTCCCGAACACAAGGTGAACAAGCTGGAAGCCGATCAAATAGTAGAAGCCTACAAGGCGACGGCCATCGAATCGGGCGTGGGGACTGAGGAGAGGACTTTAATAAGAAAGCGGGCCGAGTGCCTGAAGAGAGGTGGCGTTTACCAGCTGACGTTCCATGATCTGCCTTCTCTCGTGTGCTTGGAGGTGTGTGTCTGCGCGCGCACGAATGGCTTGTATGGGCCCCTATCGGACAAGGTCATCGCGTTTACGGAGGGTCGAAGGCCGAGGCCTTGTGACGTACCGCACTTAGCCGGCGTCGGTCTGGATTGGTTACGGGTCGAATTCGAGTCCGTGGAAAAGACGGAAGACAAGTCCTTCGAGGAGCGGGCGCCTCCCCTAGAGTTTGAATGTGAATTGTGTGCGTGGGCGCTCAAACAAGCAAAGCCGGTCGCGGTCGATGACGTCGAGTGGGCGACCGATGTCGACACGGACGACGACGAGGAACAACACTCACCTTCAAGGTGGTCCCTGCAGACCGTAGCTTCCGTATTTGTGGAGGTTGACTCCCTCGACGACGAGCCGCCCCTCGCGGAGTTTATCGACGTGAGACAACACGTGGCGTCATTTTTAGTGGGAAGAGGCTTCGAGGAGCCGCTGCGGATGCCCGCGCTGTATGTTCGTAGTCGAGCCCGGAATAAATATGGATGGGGCCCTTTTTCTGAAGCTTCGAGGGTGGGCCGGCCGCGCGAACCCATCATTAAAGCGGTCACGGCGTCCACCACGTCCGTGTCCCTGAAGTGGGACGCGTTGGATCGGAGAAGTGCCGCCTACGAGGTCATCGTAAGGCTATCGAGGCCCGACGTCGTAGAAAGGCGGAAGCGCGTTTTGTTCGCCTTCAATACCCTACCCCTGTTGAATCAGAGGAGGCGCTACCCGCCGCAGCCGCCGCAACAGGAGGTTGTCATCGAAAATCGGAGGGGCCAGCGGACTTGGAGGGACGACGACGACGTCTGGACGCGCGTTTCTAGGGACCGGACGGACACAGAAGTCGTGGCTACGAGATTGCGACCCGGTCGTTCCTATGACGTGCGGATCCGGAGCTGCCCCTTACTGGGACCGCCGGACGACTGGAGCAACGCGGCGTGTGGAATAGTGAAGACGGCTCCGGTACGGCCCGAGGCGCCGCCGGCGCCACTGCCCCCGACGAACGCCGACGCTTTACTGATGGTCCTCGCCAAGGGTCTGGGGAAGAACACGCAGAGACGTAATTTGACCTCGATGAGGATGGGAACTGATAGGAGGCCGTCCGGTGATTCGGACACGCTGGGCGAGATCGCTCGACAACGGTCTTCTAAGAAGACAATAGAGAGGAGGCGGTCCTTCGAATCCGACTCTGATGATGATGCGTACGGCGAACCTTCTAGAAGAGATGGCTTAATAGCGGACGACCGGCGGTTGGGCGCTGGCAGCGACGAGGGCGCGTATCTCGGCTGGTGCCGTACAGTACTGCCGCCGTCCAAAGATACGAACGGTTCCGCAGTGGACAAGTGGGAGGTCGAGGTCAAGTCTGACGAGGTCGAAGTGAGGCACTCTTGTAGTACAGACGGTGACAAGGGCGTTGCCACTATCTTTTTGGTACCCGCCCGAAGTTATGAAATACGAAGTAGATGCAGGAACGGCGCGGGCTGGTCCCGTTTTAGTCCACCACTACAGATCAAGACGCCGTGCGGGCTCTGTCCGCCCCCTACCATGCGTATTGTAAATAAAAGTGGACGGCAATTACAATTGCGAGTCGGCAAGCCGTGTACTATAGACGTCGGGAAGATCTTCCGGGCGGGCGGTCGCGGGGGCAAGCCCATCGTGACGCAGTACGAGGAAAACGAACCCAATCAACGGTTCCCGCCGCCGGCCGAGTGTACTGGCTCGTACGAGATCGCTTCCAGAGATATCCGCGATAAAGACGACGCCTGGCAGGTCACGCCCAAGAAGAGTTCGAAGGCCACGTTCAAGACTGTGATCAAAAGATTGACGCCGGGCGAGACCTACGACATCAGGGTGCGGGCGCGCTACGAGGCGGGGTGGAGCGCGTGGTCGGCTTGTTTGCGCGTCATGACGGCGCAGGGGTAACGTAAGTGTTGTGTTTTTATACTTACAGGGAGCTTTCAATCCCCATCGGGAGCGGGTGCCTTTTTGCTAGTGTCTTACTATCCGCTAGCGTCACGCGAACTTGAAAATCAAGCAAGCAAAGCGCTTTGTATAGCTGCCCGCGCACCAAAAGATGAAGCAAGCAATGCCCATCGCCAGAGTCTGGACGCGGTAGGCTGCCCGCGCACGGCCTGCGGCCCGCGCACAAGCGGGCATCATCCTGCACTTGCCGCTGCGCTGCGCTGTGCCAGCCGCTGCGCTACAGCCGCTGCCATGGCCACCGCGCCCTATGAAGACCGTGCCGAGGAGGTCACGTACCTGCTGGCGCAGTGCGGCCTGGCGCGCTACTTGCCGGCGTTCAGGAATGACGACGTCGACGACTCCTGCCTCAACACCCTGACGCCGGAGGACCTCCACGACCTCGGGCTGCCCATGGGACCGCGCGCGCGCCTCGCGCGGGCGATCCGGGAGCGCAACGCCGCGGCAGCGGCTGCCGCACCGTCGGCCGCGGCAGCGCCCGCCGCACCGTCGCTGCCGCCTCCGCCCCCACTGCCGGTGTCGATGCGCGCCGCCACGCCGCCGCCGTTCGATAACGACGACGACGACGACGACCTGTGCCAGATGTGCTGGGATAACGCCATCGATTGCAAATGCAAACACTGCGAGAAGGCCTTCTTCTGCAGCGCATGCGTTGCAAACTGGCGGCGGCAGGGCACTGCCAAGGCGCAGGGCTCGAGCTGTCCGACGTGCCGCCAGCCAGAGGAGGGGCAGCTCGAAGTCGTGGACCTGGAGGGCCGGCCGCTCGACGCCCCGCGGGCGATGGCGTGGGGAGGAGCCGCACCGGCGGTCGTGCCCTTCCCCGGGGCCGCGGAGGCCGAGGCGCGGCGGCGGCGCGAAGCTGAGGCGCGCGCGGCCGCGGACGCCGACGCGCTGCGACGGCGGCGCGAGGCCGAAGCGGTGCGGGCTCGCGAACGGCGCGAAGCGGAGATGTACGCCGCTGCCGCCGAGGCGGAGGCGCGGCGGCGGCGCGAGGCCGAGGCCCGCGCAGCACTTAACGCGGCGGCCCTCGCGACCTCTGTCGCGGCCAAGGACGCAGGAGTGTGGGCGTCGCGTGCGTATGAGGGCAGATCCGCCGTGCGTGAGGAAGCCCATCGGCGCGCCCGCGTGACGAAACCCTCCGACGTCGGCGGCGACCACGCTGCTTACGTCGATGCCTACGTCGCGGCCGTGACCGGTGCCTTTGAGGACGCCGAGGCGCGCGCGGCGGACCGGGCCGCCGCGGCGGCCGCCGCGCGCGGTGCCCACGACGCGGCGGTCGATCGGGACAACGCGGCCGCCGCTGTTATCTCGGCCTTCGTCGACGAGGCTGTCGCGAGTTGTCGTCGGGACGCCGCCGCCGCGGCGATCGCCGAACTCACTGAAATTGCCGGCGAGATCTTGATGCTTGTCGACGCGCACGGCGGCACGATAAGCACGACGAGCCTCGGGAACGCCTACAAAAAATGGTATGGGAAGGACCTCGACTATCCAGGGAAGCTGACAACGTTCCTCAAGGACCTCCCTGGAGTAGAATTGATCCACGACATTAGCGCTAGGTTTCCGTCATGGATACGCCGGGCGACCGCGCTCGCGCCGATAACCAACCCCCGGGTTGCCGCCGACGTACACCGGATCCTGCAGGGGGCGGCCGCCGAGCCGGCATCCGCGGCGCCGTCGCGCAGCGTGAGCCCCGACCCCACGGCTGCTCCCTGGACGCCGGCGGCGGCGCCGGCGGTGCCTGCCTTCCATTCTCACCCGGGCATGTATTCCTGGAGGGCCCCGCCGCCGTCGCCGGTGCCCATGGGCGCCTATGTCATGCCGCCGCCCCTACCTGTGCCGCTCCTACCTGCGCCGCTCCTCAACCCGTTCGTCCTCCAGCCCGTCCCGCAAGCAAGACGGTCGCGCAACCGGGGCAAGAAGAATGGGAAGAACGAGGTGTGTGTAAGTGAATTCATGTGAATTTGTCGTTGAATCCTGCATGTACTACGGGGTCCCTGGGATAGATCCAAGTACATGCGGGTCGACTTGCGTCGGGGTTGGCCGGAAGCGGATCGTGGACCCCGGATGTGCCCTCGTGCATAAAGGTAGTGGCGAGCCCTTCGGCGACGGCGATAAAGTTATCGACGTGGCGGTGGCGGTGGTGCGATACCTCGCGCGCCGGGCGCATCAGCCGGAGCCGTCGTTCGCGGCGGCGGCGGCGGCGCTGCGGGCGCGCAACGCGAGCGGTTTCGCCTACGGGTTTGGTACTAATTCGACGAAGAAGACCAAGCGGCTGCACAACGCGACCGCTATCCGGAAGAAAGTACCGTGGTACAGGCGGCACGGGCACGCGAACGCGACCCTGGCGCGCCGCCATCGGGGCAATGCGACCGGGTTCCTGCGACACCGGCGGCACGCGAACGCGACGCGCTTGCATCATCGTCGGCACCCGCGGCGCCATAACCCAGACGGGATCGGCGCGCCAACTCCAGGCGACGCGGTCGACGGCGTGGTCGTGGCGGCGCCAGCGCCGCAGGGGATTTCGTCCGAACTCGAGGCGCTGGCTGCGCTGCACCAGAAGGGCGCGCTGACCGATGGCGAGTTCGCCGCGGCCAAGGCCAAGCTCCTGGGGTAACATAACTATCAACTTACCGTCTCCGGAGAAGGTGGAGACGCGGGCGGCTCCGGGGGAATTTCGAGCCGCCCCGCCACCCAATTCGCGGCGGCCGCCCCCGACGCCAGCGCCCGATCGACCGTCCCGCCGCCCGCGCACCAGTCGCCGCACACGACCACCAGCGGCCGCTCCGAGCAAATAACAAAAGGCGCCTCTCCAATTTTCGCGCCCGCGGCGGGCGGCGCCGTCGGCGTTAAAACAGCCTCGTAGAGCTTTGCACCGCCACCCCCGCGCCGGGCGACGACGTCACCGTCCACGAAGACCCCGCACCGCGCGACGGCGACGTTACCAGTAGATACCGTGACGCCATCCGCGTCCGACTCATTTGAAGCATTATCAGAGGCGTAGGCCCGCACGCTGACCTCCCGAAACCCGACGGCCTTGGCCGCCGCCGCGACGCGCCCCTCCCGGTCGAGGTTGATCGCGCACCGTCTAGAGGCCTCAGCACCACATGCCACAATGACCGCATCGTACTTGCACGACAGATCGTCAATATCATAAACACTCTCCTCTGACGCCGCGGCGAGCAGTACTGGCCTTCCAAATGAAAACCTATCTGGTCGCGCCTCGTCCAACAAATGCCGCAGTAAATTTACGTTACCTCCCGCAATACGAAAGTGCTCCCACTGGCCCGTCGCCGCGTTCCAGCCGCCCGGCCGTTCTGAGGTCCTTGCGAGTTTACCGTAGGACCTCAAGCCGTCGTCGACGTGTTCTACGCCAGGGACGTGCTGTAAAATGTCCATCAAGACATTTGCGGAAGCCGGGTCCGCACCGTCCACCGACAGACACTGAGCACCAATATCGGCGTCCCCGACCTCATCGTTAGGACCGCCCAATCTTCTGATAAAACTCTTTTCTCCTATACTTCTACCGGCCTCGGCGCATCGTAGCTCAACACGCGCTCCGAATGCTTTCCGCAATTGTGCAGCACAAGCGCAGCCCGCCGGGCCCAACCCTACCACGAGGATCTTCGGCCGCTGCGGGTTATTGGTCTCGGGCGGCGGCGGCGGGGCCCAGTCGCGAAAGGGCGTGCTGGCGGCCGTCGCGGCGGCTAGACGTATCGTGCCGCGGCAGGTTATGATTTCTCTTGTTTCGGGGTCCCTTGTTTGGTTCCATTCGGCCATTTTAGTTAGCTTGCGCGTCCGCCGACAGACTTGGCAGCTCAATCTGTTAGCTTGCGCGTCCGCCGACAAGGCTTGGCAGCTCTATCTTGCGCGTTGCGACGGCAGCGATGGCAGCAATCTCAAGGGGCCTTCGCAGCGAACAAAGGAGCAGTAGAACCGGGCCGACGTGTCGAGGCTTGCCGTGCGTGCGCGTTTGCCGGCGCCCCAGCTTGCTTTCATCCCTAGTGTCTTACATGCCGCTAGCTCTCACGCTTCCTATCAGTGATTGTGTTACCGTGAGACGCATGGGAGCGATCGAAAGACGGCTCCCGGAGGCCAAAACGAGCGCTCGACCTCGATGCAACAATCGAGCTGGAGCTCATCGCGGTGGTGCTCTGCCTCCTACCACTGGGCCCACGCGCAAGCTTGACGTACTGCAGTAGTCACAGTATATCTTGCTAACCATGACTAGGTTAATCGTTGCCACTCTTGCCACCGCGGCTGCGCTTGCACCCAGCCCTGTGAAACCAGCACAGTCTGTAATCGCGCGGCGCGACGTCGCGGCGACGCTCGGCGCCTTCGCCGCCGCCGTCGCGCTGCCCGCCTTCGCGGACGACGCGCCGGCCGCGCCGCCCGCCGAGGCGGAAGCCCCGGCGCCCGTCGAGTTCCCCAAGGACTGGGGCATCACGTCCGACTACTACACGGACGCGGCCAAGGTCGTCGCGCACATGCGCCTGGCCACGTCCCTGGAGAAGGGCGCGCCGAACATGGAGATGATCGCGCTGAACTGCAAGAAGGAGATGATCGACTTCGTGTCGTTCTACCGCCGCTTCACGAACGTGAGCGGCAAGCAGTCCTTCTCGACGCTCTACACGGCGATCAACGTGCTCGCGGGCCACTACACGTCCTACGGGCCCAAGTTCCCCGTCCCCGAGAAGCGCCGCAAGCGCCTCTTCCAGGAGTACGCCGAGGTCGAGAAGAACATCAAGAAACGCCGCTAGGTAGTAACTCATATATGCTACACACTTACGAATCCCCGTCCAGCAGGAACAGGAAGTCCTCGTCGCCGTACGTCTCCTCTTCATAATCATCCAACACTTCCCCGTCGTAGTCCAGGAACTCGCCCTCTTCATGCACCTCTTCGTCCTCCTCTTCCGACGCCTGCTTCAATTCCGAGTAGGGCGACCAGCCGACGGGATCGTACTCCAAATCGACGTCGTCGCCGATCATCACGAGGTCGCCCCGCACCGCACCTCGCGATTCAAGCTCGGCAGCCACGCCTAAAGCTTCCACGACCCTTCCAAACCGCGCGACGGCGTCGGGCTGGTCGAACTTCGTCATCGCCGCGATCTTCTCCAAGCGCGGCGAGTCGACGCGCCACTGGCCCGCGTAGCCCTCCTTTGTACCATCGGTGATCGTGAAGCTGCTGTCGGCCTCCGGCGAGTTGGCGAAGGGCGGATCTAAGTCGACTCGTTCGCCGACCGGCGCGTACGTATCGGAAGAGTGCTTATCCACAAAACCTCGCAGCTTCGTCATCAATGCATCGACGCCCTTGCCGCTCAAGGCCGAGGCCGTCGCGACGCGAGTATGCTCGCACTTTGCTCGTAATTCTTGTACTAGCTGAGCTTCCCTCGATGCATCTAATGCGTCGACCTTGTTCAGGAGCACGACTCGAGGTTTTTTCGCGAGTGTATCGGAGTAACTTTCGAGCTCCCTGGAGATGATGTCGTAGTCCGCACAAGGGTCGTCCCTCGATGCGTCCACCACATGCAAGAGACAAGCGCAGCGTTCCACGTGCTTGAGGAACGCGTCGCCCAGCCCGACGCCCTGCGACGCCTTGTCGACGAGGCCCGGGATGTCGCAGATCACGAGGCCCTTCTCCTCCTCTCGCTCGACTTCCTCCTCTACGGTGGGTTCCTCATTCACCACACCGTCGAGGATGGCGTCGAGCTGCCTGTCCGCGAAGGCGTCTGCACTCGAGCCTGTAGATTTATCGATGCCCTCCGCGGCGCCCGCCTGGTCCACGAAAGGCCGCTTGTCGCCGCGGCGGCCCGTCGACCGTCGCCGCAGCTTCTGCCGCCGCTTCAGCTCGTTCTTCGTCGCGCCTCCTACGGCAGAACGTCTACCACGCACCTTCTTCCGCGAATCTTTCGATAAAGAGGGCTCCCAGACTCCTAGATTGGGTACCAAGGTCGTAAAGGCATAATCCGCGACCTTGGGATTCGCCGCCGTCGCGGACCGCAACAACGTCGACTTGCCCGCATTGGGCAGGCCCACGAGGCCCACGTCCGCGACTAATTGCAATTCGAGCACTATACTGCGCGACGCGCCGCGCTCGCCGCGCTCCGCTATTCTGGGTGCCGTCCTTCTAGCGGTCTTGAACGCCGCGTTGCCCCGACCGCCTCTACCGCCTCTCGCGACTAACAACGCGTCTCCATGAGAACGTAATTCCCCGGCGACTTTTCCTGAGGAGGCTTCTCGGACCACAGTGCCGGGCGGCACGCGGATATACGAATCCCTAGGAGCGCGAGCGTGTTTGTTCGAGCCTCGCCCATGCTGACCCCGCTCCGCCGTTCGGACCCGTCGCCGTCGCGCCACGCCCAAAGTATTGAGATTCCGATCGCAGACCACGATCACGGAACCGCCGCGCGCGCCGTTCCCACCATTGGGACCGCCCATGGCCACGTACTTTTCCCTCCGGAAACTCAAGCAGCCGTCGCCGCCGTCGCCGCCGCTGACGTCCAATCGAGCTTCATCCCAAAACCCAAGTTCTTCGGCGCGCCGTCTCCTATTTCTTTCCTTCTCGTCGAGGAGCGTCGAGTGTCGTCTGACTTGATTTGTCGTGGCGCGCGGCGGCGGCGTTAATGAGGCGCAGGTCGCCAGGACGAATGCGGCGCGCAGGAGCATGGCTGCTGCTGAAGTGCTGTCTGATGTGCTTCTCCGGTGTGTCGCTCGCCGCCGGTAGCGTTGCAGCACCGCTGTCTGCGACAAATGTCGTCCAGCAGCGATGCGTACGCTGATTTATAACACGCGTATGGCCGTGTGCGCGGCCGCTCTGGACTGCTACAGCAAAATGTCGCTGTGCGAGAAGTCGAGCGTCGAGAGCCTCGACGGAAGACTTCCTGCGCGGGCCGAGAGGTCCTTGGAACAGAAGAGCGAGAGCTCAAATTAGTTTCTAGTGTCTCACAGCTAGTGTTTAGGCGGATTGACAAAAAGAGCGTCGTTATTTGCTTTTGCTCGCATAGCAGTGCACCAGTGCACGCTCTCGCGAGTTCAACACAAGCCTGCAGGAGCTGTGGGCGCCTCACAAGAATTACGTCGTGCGCAGTGCTGCCATTTGCTGCAAACGGCAGTTCAGGTCAAAATCTGAATTTGAAGCGCACCGCCCGGCGACGCCCCGACGCAGCGCGCCAAACAGCGCCGCGCCGCCGCCGCGCCGCCACCGCATCGCTCCAAAGCGTACGCTACCGCCGCAGAGCATGGAGTCCACCCCGACCTGGGTCGGCTTTGAGCACGAGGCGGCCAAGAAGCGCTACTGGTCTCAACTGAGAGCTAGAGAACGGAGCGACCCCGGCTTCTCGAGTCACGCTACTTATGTGAAGCACCGCCGCTTGTACGTGGACGGCGTCTGGCAGCTCTGCGAGGATCACCGCTTGGCGGAGACGACGGCGCACCTAGCGACGCGGTACTTCGACTTCGCGCTGCAGAAGAACGAAGACGTATTATTCGACGAGTTTTCATTAGATGAATTACGCGTCGCTTGTGTCCTGTTAGCAGCAAAGTATGACGAGCACGAGGCGCCCCCACCTCGCGTGCTGCGGACGGCGTCCAACGAGCGCTTGGACGCCTTCCGGTTGCGGGATGCTGAGGCGAAGGTTGCGGAGGTTCTAGGCTGGCGCTTGGGTGTGGTCACGTCGCTCGTCGCTCTTGACTTGGCTTCCGACTTGATAGTGGCTTCACCGGACATGGTGCGAGGCGCCCCGTTGCAGCGCTCGCCCAAGGCCTCGAAGTTCGTCGCGTCGTACGCGCGGTTCTTCTGCAACATGGCGTTGCAAGCCAATAGGTTCCAGACGGTGGCGCCCACTTTATTATGTAGCGCGGTGATCCGGGCGACGCGCGAGTTATTGAACGTGGCGCCGGCTTGGCCTCCTCGGTTATCAAGGTTCACGGGCTATGGTGATGGGGAGTTATCTCGTCTCGCGCGGGACTTGCTGTCTTATTATAGGCGCGAGTTCCCGGAGCACCACGCTTCGGTCAGGTCCTTCGCCGCGTCGCCGAAGAGCGTCTTGGACGTCGCGCGGACGGAGCTGCAGTCGCCGATTCAGCAGTTGGACCTGGACCGGGACGCCTAGTAGTTTTCGCTTAACACAAGTTTCGTTTTACACTCTACATCTTGGCGTCGATGGCGTCGCACTCTCATCGCGTCGCGTCTATGGCGTCCAGTGGTCCGTCCACCTCGGCGCCATCGACGCTCACGTGTTCTTCTTCCGCGCCGCGGGCAGCCCGCTGCTCGAGGCCATGGTCCGGCGGGCGGCCGCGGCGCGCGCTGCCTTTGCCATGTTCGTAGATGGCGCGCAGCAGTCCTTCAGCGTCCAGGCCGCATCTAACTGCGCATCAACAATGTCCAGCCGCGCCGCGATCGCCGGCCGCCTTTCCCTCCACTCCGTGTTCAGCACGGAATAGAGCCGCGCGTCCCTACTACATCCGTCCTCGATGCAGTACTTGCGCAGGACGCCCTCGAGCGCGAAGCCCGTCGCCTCGGCGAGCGCCGCGTCCGTCGGTTCGAGGACGCGCCACGCGATCCGCCGGTAGCCGCGCTGGACCAGGGCGTCGACGGTCGCGAAGAGCGCGAGTGGCGCGATGGCTTCGCTTCTTATTTTTACGTCGTTGATCCGCACGGCTAGATGCCGCGGCCGGTGGTCCGTGAGCTCGAGTGTACCGACCCTTTTTGGTGGCTTCAGCGACGCGTCGACTACTACTAACCATTCTGTTGTAGGAATACTTGGGTCATCCTCATCATCCTCATCAGCCCGTCTAACAATAATGCGCCGCGGCGCCTCGCCCTTCTTCGTTCGCGCGACGACCGTTGATGTCCCGAGCTCGGGCTTTTCCTTAAGCCGCTTCGCGGCCTCGAGCAGCTCGTCTACCAGCTTCGGGCGCGGCGGCGCCGGCTTGTCCCCGTTCGCCTCGGCTCGTAATCGATCTATCGAGCCGCCTTTCACGAAGAGCACGGCTACGGTGATGATTGTGCCCACGAACACGGCGCAGCCGCACGCGATGCCGATGAGTTGCGGCGTTTGGATGGCGAGGAGCGGGTGTGGTGGGGCCATCGCGCTGGCTCTCTGTGGCTTATGAGCCAGCAGCGATGCCAACGACTGCAGCCGCTACTCTTGGCGAGTCGTAGTGTTGAAATGTGCACGTTTGCCGCCCCTTGGGTGCAGGTGTACGTCGCCGCAGCGTTTTCAGCTAGCGGCGTGTAAGACACTAGCCTTTGCCAGGCTAGAGGGCGATTGCTGCTTTCAGAAGGCCGGGATATTGACCCATAGCCTAAAAAACCAACGCGCCCAACATGCTGGGGAGACGGCTGGCAGCAACGGGCGGCCGCTCAGGCCTTACCGCATCGAGAAACTCGACGGCAGCGCTTAGGAGAGCCCCTACCTCAATTAGGGCTATTTCAGCCCCTGCGCGGGGCGCCGGCGGCCCCACCGCCCGCGCCGCCGCTAGAGCGCTTTCGGCCCAGCCCCGCCCCTACGAAGGGCCCTACTACTTCACCCCCGGCGGCGCTTTTCCCCTCGACGACGACAGAAACCCGCCGCGGGGACCCGGCGGCGGCCACCCCGCCTCCATCGCGCTCCCGGATCCGGCGCGGCCATCGAACGAGGACGCCATGCTCTTCCCCGACCCCGTCGCCGCTTTAGACGCCGCGGCTGCGTTGCGCGCCGACCAGGACGCGCGGCGGCTACACGCCGACGACGATGTCGCGAAAGCGGCATGACCCCCCATCGCTGTGTAAAGTAAACATCCCAATCATCTGCCAAAAAAAACAATACCTCACATTACGCCTATCGCGGCGGCCTGATGTTTAGGACCTTGACATCGAAGGCCACAACGCCGGCCACGTCGGCGCCGAGGCCCGCCGTTTCCTGCGTCTTCCGGTTGTCGTTCAACACGGTGCCGTAGAGCCGGTTCCGGAAGGCCGGCGACCGTGGCACCTGTGTGGCCGTCGACGAGTGAGAAATTGCACTACCTCACGCCATCGAGCAGACTCGGGGTCACGCACGGGCTCCTTCACGCGGTCGACGTACGCGAGCTTCGAGGGCACGACCGTCCGCCGCACCTCGCCCACGCGCGCCCCCACCAACGCGCGCTCGAGACCCTCGACAACCAAACCTTGGCCGAGCTGCAGCCGGTAAGGATCCCCGTCCTCGCGCGAGTCCTCGAAGGTCCATCCCTGCTTGCCCACGAGGCGCCCCACGAGCTCCACCAGCACAATCGAGTCCCGCCCCACTACGGCATCGCCGCGGCCCTCCGTGATCTGTGCCACCGTCAGACCGTCCCCAAGATCCTTGAACTGGAGGTCGCGCGCCACCGCTGCGGCTGGCGCCAATGCCGTAGAAGTGGCGCCGGCGACGAATTGCCGCCTCGTCGATGGCTGCAGGCCGCTGACGGCTACGCACAGCAGCGGGAGCGCCCGCATCGCTGCTCTCAACCCTCGGCGTTCATGCCGGCAGGTCAAAGCACTGCCGCAGACGTTGTGCAGTGGCTGGTTTCGCCCACGCAGTGCGGCAGGACCGCTGCACTGGCCTGCACAGAGAGCAAGCGCTGCGCCTCTGTGAAAGCTAAAAAGCAGGCTAGCGCGCTGGATTGGTTTTTAGCGGCGTGCGCAGGCGCCGCATCGCTGCTGCAAAGACGTATCATTGGAAGCGATACGCGATGTCCAAGGACACAGCCACAGCTAAGGACACGACCACCAATGAGTCCGCCTTGCCGATGGCGGCGCTCGCCGGCGCCGGCGCCGCGCTGCTCGCCTTGGTGGCCATCCCGGCGCCCTTCCTGCTGCCGGCGCTGCGCAAGCATTGTTTGCCGTACGTCGCGGCGAACGCGCAGCAGCTCGAATTGCTCGAAAAGGCCTGTAGGAGGCGCGGCGTAGAAGGCGCGGCCAAACGAATCGTGGACCTGGGCAGCGGCGACGGCGTCGTCTGCGTGGAGCTCGCAAAACGATTGGGCGTGGAGGCTCGGGGCGTCGAACTGAACCCCTGGCTCGTCTACTACTCAAGGTACTCGGCCTGGCGCGAGAACGTGGGCGAGCTCTGCACGTTCGAGCGCGGCGACCTCTTCAAGGCGGACGTGTCGGACGCGGACGCCGTCGCGCTCTTCGTCGTCCCGGCGATGATGGCGGATCTCGAGAAAAAGCTCGCGCGGGAGTTGCCAGCCGACGCGTGTGTGTTAGCGGCGCGCTTCCCGCTGGCGACGTGGACGGAAACACGCCACGAGGCGCACACAATCAAGTCGCGCGGCTACAACGTGAACCAGCTCTGGGAGTACGAGCTAGATCCTGCTGTTGTCCGGGCGCTGCGTGAGGAGCCGTCGTCGTCGCCGCCGCGATATAACATTGTTGATTTGTCCTTGATGGGTGCGGGTATTTGTGATTTTTGCAACCTTTGTGCGCGGCTCAAACGAGCCGCATCGATCATTTGGATTGAGCAGAAGACTGTGGTGCAACAACTCTTTGGGTGACGAGCCGCTGCAGCAAAAAGCAGCAGCCGTAACAACCCAGGAGCATTTTGCACACAAATCACAGCACTGCAAACGCGCTCCTACGCAGCGAACGACCGGCAAACGCACCGCATAACTGCAGCATCATGTCTTCCCAGCAGTCCACGCCCACGGCGCACGCCACGCCCCTCGCCTCGCCCGGCGAGGCGAGCCCGCGGCGACGGCGCGGCGGCTCCTTCGGTGACTCTTTGAGAGGCACGCCCGCGCCCAACATCTCGCCGCCGGCGCGCGCCACCGTGAAGTCGTCGCGGCGCAAGTCCGGTAGCTTTGACGATGATGATGATGACGAATCTGGGAGGCGTTTAGATTTGGCTTTGTTACCGCGGGCGTCGCGGCGGAACTTGCAACGGCAGAAGCGCGCACGCGTCGTAGAAATGCACGCCAGTGGCAAGCAAACTACACTCTTTTTACGAATGAGGGAGCTCCAGCAGCTCGTGCGGGACGCGGTGCCGAAGGCGCGGCATCCGTCGCAAACGGATTTACATAAGCGCAAGGCCCACAACGCCTTGCACCCGCGAGATCTACGGGCCGTCGACGCGACGAACCCGCACGCCTGCAAGAATCCGAGCGTGGTCGTGAGACAACATGTGATCGTGTGCAATTTTCCACCTTTACGATGCGTCGTCGTGTGGGATAGATTACTCGCCTTACTACCGGCGGACGACCACGAGTTGGCGGATGAGTTGCAGAGACAGCTCGCGGACCAGCTCTACCCTGACACTTCAGCAAAGCCGGTCGCGACCTGTGTGGAACTCAAATTCTCGCGGCGCCTCCGCCACTGCTGAATCATGGCCTCTACGCCATCGACGCGACACCTGCTCGACGGCGTGGATTTGTCGGTTCCTCACCGCTCGACGGACGGCACCCGACTCACCGTTTGATTTGCGCACAGGTCTCCACCGACGACGTTAATACTAGTATAGAGGAGAATGAGTCCTCGCAATCATTACCGGAGCTGGACGACGAGGCGCCCTTCGAACTAAGGGCGTTGGAAGCGGTTCTAAGGACTTGTACTTTGAGACTCGACGCGGCTTGCGAAGAAGTGGAACCGGTCGCGGAAGAAACGATGCGCGAACTCCAAACAGCTAGACAAGTAGCATTAGCTTCCCTGGAAAGGTTACGCCACGTCAAGAACGCCGTCTCTCATCTAGAAGCGAGGACGCGCGACACGGCCGAAGCGTTGGAGGCGATCCTCGACGAGGACGAGGACATGTGCATGATGCGTTTATCTTTACTCAGGGAGCGGCCGCGGTTGTTCGATCCTCCTATCAGTCCTGAGTTACTGACGCAGCATGAGGACGTCGAATTGCTACTCGAATCCTATCTACAGGATGCGGAGGCGGTGCAAACGAGGCTGGAATTGATCCGACTGCGTATTGATAATGCGGAAGATCTCTTCGGGATGAAGCTCGACCTCGCGCGAAACCGGTTGATCACGGCGGACACGATCTTCACTTTATTGGGTATGGTGGTGGGCGCCGGGGCCATGGTCGGCGGGTTCTTCGGCATGAACCTGCACCAGGAGAAGAGCTCGTTCGTCATCGTTTGTGTGGTCACTGCCTCTGCATTGATGCTGTCGACGGCGTTCGTCTTCTGGTATCTGGTGCGGTCGGGGACGCTCGTGCTGGCGTAATATACTTAATGTTCCTCTCGCGTCGATGGCGTTGGTGGGGCGTCTGTAGAGCGTTCGCGACTTTTTGGTGAGTTGAAAAAACGGGTTTTCCAAGCCGAGTCAAGCCGCCGCGCAAGCCCAATAACTCACCGCAAAACGCAAGATGATCCTCACAACATGCGCCGCCTGCGCCGCCCCACTGGCCCACGACGCGCCGCGTTGTGTGCGCTGTAAAATTCGCTATTGTGACTCGACTTGCCAGCATGACCACTGGCGCCGCGGCCACAAGCAGATGTGTAAGAAAATACACCGCGGCGGCAACGCAGAACAGTATAATGCAGACAAAAAATACAAGGAGGCCGTCGCGGTCGCGGTCGAGGCGTGCGCCAAGGACACGAAGGGCCAGACGTGCTACATCTGCACGCAGGCCCTCCACTGGAAGACGAAGGAGGGCCTCGTGCGCATGTGTGCGTGCCGCGGGACGGCGGGCTTCGCGCACGTGTCGTGCTTGGCGGAGCAGGCGAAGATTTTGGTCGCGGAGGTCGAGGAGAATAATTTGGGCGACAAAGCGATGGATGTGAGGTTTGCACGGTGGTACTCATGTAGCCTGTGCGAGCAACAATACCATGGCGTCGTGGGCTGCGCGCTCGGGTGGGCGTGCTGGAAGACGTACCTGGGCCGGCCGGAGACGGACACGGCTCGGAAATTGGCGATGAACCTGCTTGGGAATAGTCTAGCCATTGCAAACCATCACGTAGACGCGTTGACCGTGAAAGAGGCCGAGTTGTCAATGCACCAGCGCGTTGGCGGACCAGAAGAGCACATACTCGCCACGCGGAGCAATCTTGCGATGACGTATCGGGCGCTCGGACGGGAGGAAGAGGCACTGCACCTGCGTCGAGAGGTATACTCCGGACGTTTGAAGCTTAATGGCGAAGAACATGAAGAGACTCTCCGAGCGGCCTTCAACTACGCGAACTCCCTTCTTAGTCTACAGCGCTACGCAGAAGCCAAGGCACTGTTGCGCAAAACGATGCCTGTGGCGCGTCGTGTTCTCGGAGAGGGTAATAGACTCACGCTCAAGATGAGGTGGACTTACGCGAAGGCGCTCTACAAAGACAACCGCGCTACGCTCGATGATCTCCGCGAGGCCGTGTCGACGCTTGAGGACGCGGAACGGACCGCGCGGCAGGTGCTGGGCGGCGTGCACCCGACCACGGGAGAGATCGAGCGTGCCCTACGAGACGCGCGAGCCGCGCTCCAAGCCGCGACGGAGAAGTAAGTCTCGGATAGTTAAGCGGGGAGAGGACCTAGATGCGCGTGATCTCCGCGCGCGTGCGCGCCGGGACGCCATGCACGACAGTCTCGTCACCCTCCGCAGACAAGGGATGGACCGTCAGCTGCGAGAAGGTCCCGCCACCCGCGCCTTTCGACAAGTGCCCCGGGTTCAGCACCAAACAACCTTGCACGTCGCGCGCGAAGGGCTGGAGCTTCGAGGGCGTGATGAGGACGTCGGGCTGTAAAGGTAACTTCCACTTCCCGTGCTGCCGCAGGTCGACGGGCGCGTCGGCCACGGTCGAACTCATAGAAGGCGGCGGGAAGAGCGGGTAGAAGCTTCTCTGTGACAATAAGTGAGACGCTAACCGAGCCACGCGCGGCATCTTCGCTATTTCAGAATTGTCGCGCCCGTTGTGGAACAGCTCCTGCGAAGACAGCTGAAATAAGACATCAGTAGCCGTCACACCCACCACCACTTCATTAATCTTGAACAGACCGGGGTTGCCGACAACATGCACCTGGGAAGGCAGTTCCAACGAACCAACAGGCATCTCGTCCTGCCACGACGGCCGCGCGTCATTCTGAGCACCGAGCGGAGGCGCGTCCAATGGTGGCTGCGGGAACACCGGCTCCGCAACTAGATCGCGAGTAGCGGGAGCCAGGATGAATTGCGTCGGGCAGTCCTCCTCAATAACTAACTTCTCGAGGGCCCAGGCCACCTTCAATACAAACAACGTCGCGGCATCGACGCTTTCATCACCTTCCTTCAGATCGTTGTTCTTGGCCAGCGGGTGGTCGGCGTCCACGAAGGGGCCTAACAGTACGACGGCGTCGGGCTTTGCAGCTCTACAAGCCGCTAGTAAATCTTTTAGCGGGCTGTAATCGAGGTCGTCCGACGTCGTGTAGGGGCCGCTCGCCGCCCAAATACTGAGAGGCTGGTTGTTCTGCTGCTTCGTGTGGAACTCCTGCATCTGTTTGGCTGGAGTAGAAGCGGGCGGTGCTGGAGACCCTAAAATAATGGACCTCGCGAGGATCGTACCATCTTCACCCGGTGCCGATCCCACGACCCCAACGACCTGGCCCGGAAACAAGGCGTAGCTACCTTCCACGGCGGTCAAATCGAGAGGCACGCGGAAGCCACCTTCCGACCGCTCGCCCTCGAGGCACACTGATGATTTGTTCAACCGGCCATCAAGAGCATCCAGACACACGCGCCCACAGAAGAGCGCCGGCGTCTGCGTCGCCGTGCCGATGGCACACGGCTCCACATCTTTCTCAGAGAAGTTTTCTCGTATCTTCTGGGCCGCCTCTACGAGCGAAGCATCTAAGGCCGCACACCGCTCGCCGGGCGGCGTGAACATGTGGCGATACCTCGTGGCGGTGCCCACGGCCAACTGCGTACTCTCCGTGCCGCCGTAGGCTTTGCTCGAGGTCCACGCGTCGACGTCTTTTTCGGTAGGCGCGGCGACGACGACGGCTCTTTGTGAAACAGAACCGAGGTCGCCCCAAGCTGCTCTGCGTTGCAGGTGTTTGTTGGCCACGTCGACGGTGGCGCCGCCATTCGTGCGGTCTTTGTACTTGGTGGCTGTCGACGGAGGGGGCTTCGGGCTAGTTTCGGTGGCCGTGGGCGTCTCGCCGGCGAAGCTCACCTTCTTCCGCGGCGCGGGCGTCACCGTCGGGTTTTCCAAGGGGCGCTTGAGCGTGGACGGCGGCGGCGCGTCGCTGACGGGCGTGAAGCCGACGTCCATGGTTCCCAGCTAGCTGTGATTTGAACGGTAGGCGTCGAGGCGGCGCGCGGTCTTCCGCCCAGGGCTCGCAGCGGCTATAACTAGGCTGGAGCACTGCTTCTTTCAGCGTCAGCTGTCAGGATAGCGGCTTGCGCGGCCGCGGAGCAATCTCGTTCAAAATAATTAGCAAGATTAGTGTCTTACAGCCGCTAGCAATTAAAATCTTTTAGTCGAGGCGCGGAGAAAGCAGGCTCGTTCAGACACCAGCGCTGCACCCGCGCACCATGAGAGCCGCCGCATGGCTCCTCGTCCTCACCAGCGCGGCGCGCGCCACGCCAAAGCGACGACGGATAGCGCGCGGCGGCGCCTTACCACCCGCTTGGCTACTAAAAGGCGGCGCCGAGGCGACCAAAGCACAAAACTTAAAAACAAAAGCCGACGCCGCACAGCGCGCCGACAAATACAAAGACGCTGTATCGCTCTACGAGAAAGCGCTCGAGGATTCTTCCGGGGACGACTTGCTCGAGGCGTCCATCAGGTTAAACCTGGCGCGCTGCCACCTGAAGCTCGAGCAGGACGTTGAATGTATTGAGGTCTGCGACGTTGTGGTGGACAAGGTCTCGAGTCGCTCGCCATTAAGAGCGACGGCACTGTATCGGCGCGCTTGTGCAAAACAGAGTATAGGAGAACTTGGTGAGGCCTATGTGGACGCGAAGACGGCCCAGTCCCTGGGTCACGAGCGAGCCTTCGAGATCGTGGACGCTTGTGCGGAGCACGCCCCGCCGGAGCCGCCACAACAACTACTACCGCTAAGGACGATGCAATCGGCGGGTGGTGCAAAAAAAGCATTGGAGGGTTTGTTGGAGGACCCGTCCCAAGCGCGAAAATTAGTACCCTTGGCAAAAACGCTCGGCTCCGCGTCGACGCTCAAAAACGTCTTGAATCTCCCGGCGGAGCGCGCGGAAAAACTCGCGGCCGCTTTACAGGACCTCGACGAGGACCGCGCGGAGAAGTGGGCGCGGCGCGCGAAACGAGCCGTCGGGGCCTACCGCGGCCTGCGCAAGTTCTCGAGGCTGTGGCGGCGGTACTTCCCGAAGACGGTCTACGCGGGCGTCCTTTATCTGTTCGGGACGGACTCGCTGCGGCTGCTGCGGCAGAAGGACTAACAATACACTAGTGTTACCCGGGCACGCGCGCGACGGCGGCCATGCGCGCGCCGGCCCGCAAGGAACACAGGTTCTGGCCCGTGGGCTGCGTGCCGGCGGCGTCGCCGCGCTCCGCCGCGGACGCGTGGCGCTTGTACCAGCGGTGGGGCGTCAGCACGGCGTCCGGCGCGACCTCAAACAACTTCGCCGCGGCGGCGCCCGCTTCTTCTGATAATCTCCATGTGAGGTCGGCCTCGCCAAACGCTAAAAAGTCGACGAAGGAGAACGCCTCGATCGCGTCTACGAGGGCCAGGAAGGTCAGGTGCCCGGGGCGAGGAAGGAAAGCGCCCGACGACCGGCGCCCAGGGCACGGCACCACCACGACATCCGCCAGCTCACCAAGCGCCTCGGCCGCCGCCGTCCGGTCGTCGTCGTCGCAGACCGCGACGCACGTGCGCGGCCACGTCCCGCCGCAACCCGCAGACGCTCGCTTTCAGGGCTCGCGCCTTGAGCGCCCGCGCCTCCACGCCGTGCTTCCGCACGCCGCCGAGGAAGGGGACGACCGCAGCCGTACTGTTGTAGCGCGGCCACCGCCTCGGCGTCGTACCGCACAAATCTCTAAGCTGCCATTGGATGACCGCGTCCACGCGCCGCATCGCCTCCGCATACGAGTGGCGCGCGACGACGCCGTGCTCGTACGCTGACAAGTGCATCACCCTGATGGATTCGGGGTGCGCCGGGCGCCAGACCGCGCTCGCCTCCCGTAGGACGCCATTATTCGCGGCGTCCAGCGGCTCGCCGGCGAGGCCCCGCCAGTCGACGCGCGCCGCGACTTTGTAGGGCGCGAGGAACGCACCCGCGTAGACGGCCCGCAGGCTCTTCGACACGGGCGTTTTCGCCAGCGACGAGAAGTTCGCCTCGCGTGCGACTTGGTTTGGATCGCAGGTGCAGGCCTTGGGTGCGATGCGTTCTTTGTAGTAGGTCTGGGCCACGCGCCGCCGCGACGGGGAGCACGCGACGAAGCACAGATGTTTCGTGTCGCAGGCGTCGATGGCTTGTCGTGGCTTCTCGAAGGTCGTGCCCTTCGGGCTGCGCGCGAACCAGCAGCAGTCGTCGGCTGCTGCTGCAGCGAGCAGCGCTGCGAGCCGTCTCTTCATCGTGCCATGCTGCCCGTAATTGTGGCCAAATGGGCTGCTGCAGCAAATTGGTCACTGTGATGCACTGTGCCGCAGCGATGGCGTGAGGTGCTGCGAGTTGCAGCAGCGCATGCTAATTGAAATGCGTAGATACTGGCATATGCTGCCCTCCCGCTCGTCTTCCATTAGCATTGCCACACACAGCCGTCCAAGGACGTCGACTGCCCGATAGACACACTGGCACAAGCTCGGGTGGGCCCGGGGGGAGCGGGAGGGGTACGGGGGACCCCGCGACGTAACTAGCCTGAGCCTGAGCCAAGCTCGTACTGTTGTGGTAAACGCGGCACGCGCCGGCCGCCGACGAATCGTCCCTACGGTATAACGAGGAGTACCAGGATCAATGTTACTTTATACACGAGAGTAAGCGTGGGAGAGAAAGCGTATCCGGCAGCTTTCGTAAGGGGACCGGACAGAGATAAGCAATGGGACGCCATCGAGCAGTGAGGAACCGGCACCGCCGCGCCGTCGAGCAGGCGTGGAGGCCGTGATGGAGCCGCGGGCGGAGAAGCGCCGCGACGGGGAGCGATATGTTCAGAGGTCCGCGTCGTCGTTTTGCATGACGGAAATCACCGAGGCGAGGGACTGCGAACGCGGCCGGTTGAAGGCCACATGCAGCGCGCACGTCGCGCCGCCGATCAGCAAAGCGAGGACCGCGAAGGCGACCATGCAGCCGCGGGCCGCCTTTTTTGGTGTGTCGTAATCCTCGATGTGTCGTCTAGCTTCTGATCCCTCCCATTCGTAGGACTCGACCGTCGTGACGAGGGGCCACCCGTTCAGGGACCGCTCCGTACTGATTTGAGACTCTACCAATCGTCCGGTGAGCGGCTCGACGGCGGCCCACGACGCCGCGCCCTCTTCGAAGCCGTCGAAGCGGGTCCCGTCTATGTCGGCGTCTATGTCATAGCCGTCGACGGTGCTATTCGTGGCCTCGAACACTACTCGTCTACAAGCCACGCCCTTCACGTTCATCGCACCGTCGTCGACCAAAGCTACGTGCTTCTGGAGGGCGTCGGACCAGACGGTCCCTTTGACCTTGGCGTCCTCGCGGCGTAATGGTTTAACTCGCGTCCGCGCGCCGACCGCTGACGGGTTCGGCGCGAGCGTGTACCGCCCAACATCATCTATGTTTCCTCGGCCGGTCCTGAGACCAATTCGATCCGTCGCGTTCCGGAGGATTGTCGAGAGCATGTCTCGGATCGGGCGCCGCGCGAAGGTGCCGTCGGTATCGAGGGTCACTATTTCCGCATCCATTGATTCAGTAGTCGTATAGTAGCTATGTCGAGAGAATTCGTATGATTTCCGCGAGTCGACCCAACTCCGGTCAGACCCCACCAACGAGTGGACGAGCCCCAGCTTTACAGGATCCAACGAAGGCGTCGCGCCGGCAAGCACCTCCTCAGAATTGGTCACGTTCCAGAGCGTCACATCAACAGATGAAACAACATTTTCGTGGAGCCGGCGCCACTCGTTCACCGTATCAATTACAATAGCTTCCCGCGCGCGCTCCTCGACGACGTGCGCGACGATCGGCTGGACAGAAATAGCAGCCGCGGCGCAGAGGACGCCCGCTATGATTAACGGTGTCAACTGTTTGACATTAATGCGACACCGCGCCGTCTTCATGAAACTGCTGGTGGCGCTTCTAACAGAGTAGGCTCCACTACTATCCGTCGAATCCAGGTCGTCGTCGATGTCCGAGTCCCACTGCATGCGCTTCGTGACTTGCGCCAGCGAGACGCGTTTTCGCGCGAGCCGCGGCGCTTCCAGTGATGGGGAAAGCGGTCTTATCGTAATGGCCGCGTGGGGGTGCGGCGCCGTGATGATGTCCCTCTGTGGAGAGGGACTGCGACTGGCGGCGCGCGGCGCCGCCATCCTGGTCGTAGCGCTTCACACTGACCAGGCCAAGCTAGGGGGCAGCCCGCTTCGCTTCACAAACCGCGCGGGCTGCCTTTCGTCCAACCGGGCAGCCTCGGGCTCCACCTGACAAGTTGTTCCGACGCCGCCGCCGCTGCTCGAACAGGGCAGCCTGAAGGCGATTCTGTAATGCCGCGGCGGGAACCGGCGGCCTACCACGGACACAACAGCCTATTCATTAGCCACAAAGCCACAAAACCCGTTCCCAGACCGGTGATTAATCTCGAACAATCCTTCCTACGGCCGTTTTTACGGTTGGAAGCGCTCGCCTTTTACTAGAAGAAGCTGGGTATTAATCGCAAGGTCGCCCCGACTCTTTGTAACCACGCGCCTTGCGCGCGACCCCCTCTTTTTTTGCCGGGACCCCCTGTTCCCATTGCCCCCGGTCGAAACGCGGGCGCCGCGGACAAGCGCGCGCGGTCGCGGCCCGCCCCGCGCCGAAGTCCAGCCGACGGCCGCGGCGCCCACGACGACTCTCACCGCGATGACGGTTTCTCTAGAAAGGCAACTGGAAACGCGCCTCCAATCGGAGACGGTCGCGGCCGTGCGTCGCACAACCCCCCCCCCACGCCGTCGCCGCGAAGACTACTAACTCGACTTACCCTCATCGGACGACGGCTTCTCCGCCGCCGGCGCGTTGAACTTGTCCTCCAACGAAGCTAACGTATTGCGCAGCGTTTTGCGCGCCAGCAACCTATTTTTTTCATTGGCCACCATGCGCTCGAAGAGCCGCAACCGCTCCGCGTGCGACGAAGCCTGAACTAATCGTTGCACGCCCGACGTCTGCTCCTCTACTAAGGGTCCTACATCCTCCATCACCCTATCTCTCAGTGTCCGAACGTCCCTTTGCAGATCAGCAGGTAATTCGGACAGGTTCACTGATTGAGGCAGCTGCTTATCACCCGAACCGCCGTTCTTCTCGGAGAGATATTTGATGAGCCGGTTCTGGACGTCCTGCTGCACCCGTCGGCCCGCCGCTTGCGCGCGCGCGTCGAGAAAGTTCTTCCACAGCTCGACGACGCCCCACAGAGAACCAGACCCGACGCCTCTCGAAGCTTCGAGCTTGCCGACGGCGTCTCTGGAGAAGCGGACGTCTTCCTTGCCTTGGTCCTGCATGTCGGCGACATCCCGCAGTGAATCTCTCACGGCCGCTTCCAGTTGCGACACTTCCGACGATTCTTCGTCCGTTTCGTCGTCGTCTACGAGCTCCTCGACCTCGCACCGTAGATACGTCTCTCTGGTACGCGAATCGCCTTCGTTTAACACGTGTTTTATACGTACTCGAGAGTCTAACACTTTGTGGCTGCAGACGTACTTCACCGCATCATTCGTCTGTTGGCTTACTTCTTTGAGATCCTCCAGGTACAGTACCACACCGACCTCGGCGAGCGTGTCGCTGTCCTCGGAGTTAACCATCGTAGTTACGAACCTTCTCCCACCGCTCATGAGGATGTCGGAGTACATCTTCCGGTACCTCGGTTCGAAGATGTTGAGGACCTGGGTAGAACCAGGCGTGTAGGCCACGGCTCCCAGCGGGAAGAGTGGTAGGACCATCGTGCCGTTCGCGCCGCTCGGTTCCCTATCGGGCTGCTGGGGGTTGAGCTTGGCCAGCCACCTGATGTCGGGCGGCGCTTCGAGTTCCGGCGTTGCTCGTCTTGTTGTGTGTCGCAGCGCTATGCGCGTTGACGGCGGCGCGAATGCTGAGACAGCCACGCATGCTAGGGCACAGCTGGTCCAGCGGCGCGCCATCGCTCGGATTTGAGGGATTGCTGGGATCAAGGACGCAATGCACGTCGAGTGCTTGCGCTCGCTCGGCCGCGCGCGTACGGTGGTGTGGATTTGCGATGACAGTGGCTGAGATGAGGCCGGCGCCGGCGGCTTTCCGGTACCGTTTCCTCGCCCGAGCGGAGACGTGTGCACCCGAGAGAGGCCTCGCAAAGCAGAAACCATTCGCCGGGTTTTTGGGGGGCTTGTATTGACTTTGATTGCAATTGTGCTGTGGATTTTAGGCCGAAGCCGTGCGGTGCAGCGTCCAAAGACATCGTGCAACGCACGAGGGAAACCATGCGCGTCGGATCGCGGAGCCATAAGGCACGAGAGATGGTGCAAGCCGCTGCACTCTCCATATGATGTCACCGCTCTCCGGAGCCAAACGCGCGACGGTAGCGCTGCTCCACGCGGCGTCAGCGATGTATGCTCGCTGGCGTCGAGTTGGCACCGTCTCCTCACGCCATCGGCGCGAGCGATTTGTTCGAGACCATTTGACGTCCGCGCAGGCGAAGCAATGAGAGTAGCAGCCATGCTCCTGGCCGCGCGGGCCGCCGCGCTCGCGCCGCGCCTGCCGTCCATGGCACGGAGCGCCACTCGTTCCACAGTAAGGATGGACGCCGCGACGCCCGAGCAGTTCGCGCGCATCGACTTAAGGGTGGGGACCATTGTGGACGCGTTCAACCACCCCGAGTCCGAGAAATTGATCGTCGAGGAGATCGACCTGGGCGAGCCCGACGGGCCGCGGCAGATCGTGTCCGGGCTGCAGGACTTCTACAAAGCGAGTGAGCTCGTCGGGAAGAAGGTTTTAGTAGTAGCAAACTTACCGACGGCGAAGTTGGGGGGCATGCCTTCCGCCGGCATGGTGTTGTGCGGTTCGGCGGACGAGAAGGCGAAGGTCGAGGTGTTGGAGCCGCCCGCGGCCTGCGAGGACGGCGAGCCGGCTTATCTCGAGGGCGTGGACGCCGACCTGGCCACGCCGAACCAGGTGAAGAAGAAGAAGCTCTGGGCGCCGGTGGCCGCCGAACTCAAACTTGTCGGTGGTGTTGCTACGTTCGACGGCAAACCGATCGAGACGTCGGAGGGGACGTGCTCCTGCGCGTCGATCACGGACGGGCCGATTTCTTAGAGTTCGTTAAAACACAATTACTCTTCACATTTCTCGTCGATGGCGTCGGGGCTGGCAGCCACCTTCACACGTGCTCGTTGTCCCCGAGCGTCTCGCCGCGCAGCGCGTAGGCCGCCGCGCCCAGCGCTATTACTGTCGCGACCATGGGCCAGCTCAGCTCGTCGCGCGTCGCTATTGCCAGCGCTGTCGCCGCGCCGACCACGAAGACCTTGACGGCGACGGAGACCCAGGCGGGTTCGCGGTCGTCGTCGTCGAGGAGCTCATCACTCAGTAAACCGATCGCCGCGGCCAGCTTGTCGCAGCGTAGCGCGGCGTCGGCCACGTCTGCTCGCAAGAGGAGCTCGTAAATATCGTCCCGGTCCTCTTCCCAGTCGCGGTGCTCAAGGGCCACTTCTAGCGCGCCTATTATAGTTTCCCTCGTGGCGTCTGGGACGTCTTGTAAGAGTTGGGCGGTGTCGCGGCGGATGAAGTCGGCCATCTGCTGCTGTCTGCACCTGCCAGCACCACGTATGCGCGCGCGAGTGCTGCTGTGGCGCTGCTGCAGCAGTGGCTTTATGGCTTTGCGGTGGCTAGCGGTCTCGAAACTTTTGCTGCACTTCGAGCACTGTCTGAAAATGCTTCCTGCAAATTCACACCAGCGGTGCGCACTGTAAGTCTCGTTTTTTTTGGAAAATGTCAGCCCAGAAAAACCCGTACCAAAAGTTTAAATCTCAAAGAACGCCTGCAGGCCTCTGTTCCGCCCAGAGCACGGCCCTAGGCTTCGCATGGCGCCCGTACGCCGCGGGTGAGGCCGAGGCACGGGCGGGACCAGACTCCGCACGAGACATTAAACGCCCGCCGCTGCACGCCGCGAGACGCACTCCATTATCCGGCGAGCATCTCAGGCGCACGATCTGTATTGGCAACGAGGGTCGCAGCGAAAACGCGTGGTCATTGCGCCTCGGGAGAACACAAATAGTCTCATAGAGTGTTCCACGGGCGCCAAACCCGGCGCGCGCGACCGCAACAAAGCTCAAACTGCGGCGCCAGCACCCAAAGACGCGGCGCCCGCAACCCACCTCGGCGCGCGACGCACAGAGCCCGCAGACGCGGACCCAGGTCAGCGCGCGACCACCGACGCGATGGCGCAGACCCAGCACCTCCCCGCCTTACTGGGCAGCGTGGGCCTCGGACACCTCGCGCCGCGCCTGACGCAAAATGAAATCGACTGGGAAACAGCAAGGCTCATGAAGTCGAGCGACCTCGCCGACGTCGGCATGACCTCCCAAGAGGCGGCGCTCTTCCGCGCGGCCGTGGCGCGGTCGCTCGGCCTGTTCACGCGCGTGAACTCGAGCAACATGATCACACCTCTGGGTCAGAGCGAACCGGTCAAGATGAGCACCTTCGCGCGGGGCGTGAAAGGCGTCGACCCCGGCGCTTTGGTGTCCTACGTGACGACGCGCCTGGGCGAGGCTTCCGATGTCAGACCATTGGCGAAGGTCGCTCCGCCCGTCAAGGAAGAAGGAGGTCGGTGGCGCCGCGGCGTGACGCTCGCGCCCGAAGCTCCAGCACCTGTACAAAAGAAGGCCGTGCCTCCTCCAATCCCGAACGCCTGGGGCCTCCTGCCCAAGCCCGCCGAGCCGGCGCCGGCGCCGCCGGCGAACGCCTGGGCCGCGCCGCCGGGCCTCCAGCCGGCGCCTCCCGAGCCGCCGAAGGCCAACGCCTGGGCCGCCGGCGCGCCTTTATCCGCGAGGACCACCGGCGCGAGCGCCGGCGCGCCGCTTGTCCACAAGGACAGTACGAGCTCCTCGGAATCCATCAAGTTCGTCGGGTCCGTGCCTCCACCCAAACGAGAAACGGCCGACGAGCGCGCCCAGACGGCCATGATGGTCGCGCTCCGAGCGTGGGTCGCGAAGCAGCCCCAGAAGAAGCAATTGATGTCCGAGGTCCACCACTTCTGGACGGCCCACCCCGAATTGACGAAGCCTAGGGAGCGCATGACCAAAGTGGTAGAGAGGCACGCACCAACCCATGGCATGAAGTTCCGCAAACTGCCGGCGCCGGACGGCGGCGTGCTGGAGCTCGACGCCCCCAAACCTATTGTACAGAACGCGTGGACGGCGCCGCCCCAGAAGGCGCCGGCGCCGATCGCCGCGCCGGAAATCCAGCTGAACATGGGCCGGTCGCCCGTGTTAGCCGCGGCGGCGCCGGCGCCCATGCCCTGGAACCCCTTGTTGGACGCCGTGGTCGGCGAGGCGCCGGCGCGGTCTGTGGTCGGGTTCGTGCCGGAGAGACTCGGCTCCTCCGCTTTGAACGGGGACGGGCACGAACGACTCGGCCCGTCGGCGCCTGTGTGAAAATCAAATTTCAGGCGCCCCACGCCATCGACGCGACGCGTCTGCTCGATGGCGTAGAGCTTCTACGCCGTCGACGCGATGCCGTAACCTCGCTCACTGGTTGATTCCCACTCAGGTCGGCGCTGAACGGCGACCGCCTGGCCTTCGAGCAGTCAGCAAAAAATGAGGAGGCGTCCCAGGCCTTGATTCAGAAGTTGCTTGCTGATGATAGAGCTACTCTACAAAGACCACCACCCGCGCGCAAGCCGCGGCCGAAGCCGCGGCGGACCGCCGGCTCCGCGTTCGATCCGCCGCCCACCGTCGAGTCGGCGAGACGTAGGGTCGACGCCTTCCTCCTGAAGCACCCCAAAGTTGATAAAAGGGGCACGGCGGCCCTTCGGAGGTTGGAGCCGCGAAAACAGATTAGACTTGTACGTAGATTGGAAGCGGACCAGCACAAGTCCGAGGTCGACGGCGTGTTGGTGCTAGCTTCCATCAAGGACAACAACAACTTCGCCGCCACGGCTTCTGAGTTGCAGAAGCTTACGGATAGTCTGAGACCCGTCGCGGACCGCCTCGCTTTGTCTTCAGACGCCGTCGCGAAGCTCTCCACACTAAGTAGAGAGGACCAGTCCAAGGTCGCGACGCGCTTCGAGGAGCCGGGCTACTTGGATGATCTGCGGAACGTGGAAGGCTTCGTCAAATGCTGCTTCCACGATCGAGGCGACCCCCTCAGAAGGTTACTGAGAGGTAGACCGATGGAGCCGCTCCTCGTAAAAGCGGTCCAGGAGTTGGACCTGGCTCCTGATTGTATTGCGGCTCTCAGAAAGCTGGCTCTCCGCAAGCAGAAGGACGCCGCGGCCGCGATTACATCTCTTGAGACGTGTGTCACGTCGTCCACGCTCTTGGCCGCTTTGGAAGACGGTTCTTTGTTGAGCGGCGCCCTGAAGGAGCGCCTGCAGCGCGCTTCGCAAAGCAAGTGGGCGCGGCCGGACAGCGTCGTCTCGTCGACGTCGTCGTCGGAGCTGTCCGCGCTCGGCGCCTGGTAGCTTCGTATCCTCTCATCCTGTCTGCATAAGAAGTCTCCCATACTTTCCTCTTCTTTCGCGGCGCCCAGTCGTATTGGCATTCGGCGCGCGGAATTCAGCGCCGGGCGCCGCCCCCCCGAGCCCGGCGTAGATTGCGGAAGATGGGCGACGTCAGCGACCGGTTGGAGGTCAAGGTCGTCGCCGCGCGGGGGCTCGGCGAGGTCGAGGGCGGCGACTGCAACCCGTTCGCGCTGGTGCGGTGCGGCGCCGAGGAGGAGCGGACGGCCGTCGCCTCGGCGACGTCGTCGGCGCCCGAGTGGAACGCGAGCACGATGATATTCACGGACGTCGCCGACGCGGCGGACGACGTCGTCGTCGCCGTCATGCACAAGGCCCTGTCGGCGGCGCGGGACAAGGCGCTGGGCCGCGCCGTGATCATCCTGCGGACGTGCTTCCAGGCCGTCGCCGTCGAGCAGGACGACTGGTTCCCGCTCGAGGACGCGGACGGCCGGGCCTGCGGCGAGGTCCGGCTCGAGCTGGCGTACTTCGTGGACGCGGACGACGACTTCACGGACTCACGGTCGCCCAATGGCGCTAGTAATCAAACAACAATTACTCCAGCAGACGCCGTCGACGCGGGCGCCTACCGCCGCTTCTTCTTCCGCGGCGGCTGTCTAGATACCGGCTCCGGCACGAGCCGCGCGTCCAGCAACTTTCGAGGATCGTCGCAAGCGCCCGGCCGCGTGCCCGCCAGCATGGCCCGAGCCTGGGCCGCGACCCGCGCGTCGACGTGGCGCGCCAACAACAGCAGCTCCCAGGCCGGCGCGCCGAGCGCGCTCGCCTGTTCTGCGGACGCCGCCGCGGCGTTATACGAAGCGCCCGCACTGTGGGGCCCGCGCGCCTCGTCGTCCTCGAGGAGGCATTCCAGGATGGGATCCCTCTTCATAATGTTCCGGGCCGCCGCGACGAAGGCGGCGCCGTTGTATCTGTGTAAAGCTAGGAGTAGGGCGCGCCTTAGTACTGCGGCCGCCCTTCTCGTCTCGAGGCGCGACCTTTCTACCGCGGTCCTCAGAACGCATTCCAGCGCTTGTGAGTCCACACTTCCATCGACACATGCTTGTAATAAAGCGCGAAACACGCCATCGACGAACGCGCCGTCGTCGTCCAACTCCAACGCACTCCGCGAGACGTCAGCTAATACGAGAGCGGCGTCGGCGCAACACAAGGCCGTCTCGGGCTCGCACTGGTCGTCTCGAGCGATGCCTCGTATCTGGTTCAAACATGCGTCGACGACGTCCGCGTTCGCCGCTGGTGCTAATTTTTTAAGCCCACGCAACGCCGACGGCAACAGAACCCGTCTCGTACGAGCGTCGCCTCGGTACGCCGCCTGCACGACCCGCCCGTAGATCAGCCCGAGCTCATGCACTAGAGAGCGAGCGTTCCGCCTCGTCTCCTCGGCATCGACGCGCGCGGCCGTTTCCTTCATGTCTTTGGCCGCCTGGATCTCGTCGTCGCGCGCTTTCCTCGTCTTCGTCTTGACCTTCTTCGCGGCTTTTTGAGGTTGTTTTTTGGTCGCGAGCTTCCTCAGGCGATTTTTCTCGAGAAAAGCTTCGTCGTCGAGAGCTGCGGGCGCTGCCAAGTCGGCTAACAGGTCGAGAGCATCACATCTTCTAAGACCGCCCTTCCTATCGCGTAACAAGCCATGGATCGCCTTCGCGACGCTTAGTGACGCGGCACCGCTCCGGTCATCTGATATGGCCCTTCGCAAGGACTTGAGCGCTGATTCCCTCACTACCTCATCAGCGTGATCTAGACCAGGTGCGGCCACCCTCAAAACATCCTCGGACAGGTTAAAGGAAGGTCTTCGAGCATACAACTCCCCGCAACACCTCATAGCAACAGCCACTAATGATGCATCCGTATCTTTATTCTTAGCGGCTTTGCTCAAAGACGAGACGAACACGCCGTAGGCCTTGACGAGCCACTCCTCCTTGAGCCGGAGTTTCTGCGTCTCGCGCGTCTGGGTCTGGTCCCTTTCTTTTGCGGAGGCTATGCGTACCCGATACGCGGGCAAGACGTCGAGAAAAACGGCGCACTGCGAGAGCCAGGCCCTCGCCTTTCTCGTCGTGGACGTGGCGCCGTCGGCCATCGCTTGCAACTGCTTGATCAGAGGTTCCTCGTGGTCCTGCTTCACGAGCGCTGCATCCGGATCACTTGTTATTGATTCACATAGTACCGCTAGTTGGCCGAGCCACTTCTGGTCGCTCGGCATGGCTGCAATGCAAGGCTGTGCGGCGATGACGGCCAATGCGTGAGACCACGGCGCGTGTTTTGCTAGCGTTCGCTGCGGCGCAGCCGCTCGAGTATTTAAACGCCGCAAAGCACCCGAGCGGCACCGATGCGCCTCGGGCGACGACACAGCGGCAAGTGCAGCTAGCGCGATTGACACACTAGCTTTTGCGTGATGAGGAGCGTATCCTCTTCCATAGATCGCAGGGTGCTGCTGAGAGCCAGCGACGATTGCTGCGGACCTAAACCGTGCGTCGCCGCGCGGCATCGCTTGAACCATGCACTTGCGACTGCTCTACATCGTGGCAACAGCAGCCGCTCTCGTCGCGCCGCCGCAGCGGTCGCGCTTGCCGCGCACCGTGACTTACGGCTTGCGCGATCGTCTATCGGGTGCATTCCCTAGGACCACAAAAGTCGCGAAACGGCTCGGCAACGCATTTAAACGAAACCGTGACGAGGACGACGCGGCCGCGGTCGCCGCGGCTGCCGCTGCGGCCGCCGAAGCGGCGCGCGAGGAGGAAGAACGACTCGCCTCCGAGGCGGCAGAACTCGCGGCGGCCGAGCAGCGCGCGGCGGCCGCTGCCGCGGAGGAGGCGCGGGCCGTGGCCGAGCGCGATGCAGCAAGGGCGGCGAGTGAGGCCGCCGCCGACCAGCTCGCAGAAGCGGCAGCTGCGACGAAGGTCGAGGTGGTCATCGAGCCAGATACCGCACCTGCACCGCCGGTCGAGGAGGGGCCCTCAGTCGCTGACCTTGCGGCCGCCGCCGAGCGTGAGGCCGCGGCATTGGTTGAAGAGGTGAAGGCTATTGCCGACGAGGCCGAGGCGGCGGCGGCGCGCGCGGCCGAGGAAGACGCGGCGGCGGAGGCGGAGGCGGCGCGCGCGGCGGCTGAGAAGCGCGCCGCAGCGGACCGCGAGCAGGCCGAGGCCGAGGAACGGCGCCTTGCTGAGGAACAGGCGGAACGGGATCGCGTCGCCGCGGAGCAAGCCGAGGCCGACCGCGTCGCAGCGGAGGCGGACGCGGCGGCGCGGAAAGCCGAGCAGGAGGCCGAGACGGCACGGCTCGAGGCCGAACGGCTGGAAGTGGAACGGCTCGATGCCGAGCGCGTCGCGGCGGAGGAGGCCGAGGCCTCGCGCATCGCTCAGGAGGAAGCGGAAGCGGCGCGGCGCGAAGCCGTCGAGGCGGAGCAGCGTGCCGAAGCCGAGCGCCGCGCCGAGCAGGAGCGGGCCGAAGAAGCCGAAGCCGCGGTGGCGCGGGAACGCGCCGAGGAGGAGAAACGGCAAGCGGAGGCGGCCGCCGCAGAACGGGAGCGCCGGGAACTCGAGGAGAAGAAAGCCGCCGAGGCGCAGCAGCGCGCCGAGACCGAGGCCCGCGTGGCCGCGGAACAGGCGGACCGGGAGCGCGGCGAACGCGAAGCGGCCGAGGAGGCAAAGCGCGTGGCCGCCGAGGAGGAGGCACGCCTCGCCGCCGAAGCGAAGGCCGAAGAGGAACGTCTGAAGGCCGAAAAGGCCGAGGCCGAACGGTTAGAACAGGAGAGGATCGCCGCCGAGCGCGCGGAGGCCGAACGACTCGCTGCGGAAGAGGCCGAGCGGGCGCGCCTCGAGGCCGAGGCCGAGGCGAAGGCGCAAGCCGAGGAGGCGGCCAAAACGATGACCGCCGCCGACAAGATGCGGGCCGCCGGCGAGGCACGGCGCGCCGCGGCCGAGGCCGAACGCGCGCGCAACGCCGAGGCGCTCGCGGCGGCGGAGGCGGCGCTGGCGCGGACCGCCGAAGCCCTCAAAAAGGAGGCTGCACCGGCGCCCGCGCCCGCGCCCGCGCCCGCGCCGCTCGTGAAGAAACAGGACGATTCGCTCGCGGCGAAGGCGCTCGGCGCGTTTAGCGGCGCGTTTGGCAAGGCACTAGCGCCGGTCGCGGACGCCGCAGGCCAGGTGGCGTCGCAGGCCGCCGCGGCGGCCGGCGACGCCCTCAAGGAGAAGTTCGACGAAGCGCAACGGGAAGCCGAGGCGCGCCGCGCCGTCGAAGCGGCCGCGGCGGAAGAGCGGCGCAAGGCCCAGCGGGCCGCGGACAAGAAAGCCAACGAGGCGAAACGCGCCGCCAAACGCGAGGCCGACAAGCGGCGACGCGAGGAGGAACGCGTCGCGCGACGCGAGGCGGAAAAGCAAAGACGAGAGAAGGAACGCGCGGCCGAAAGGGAGGCCCAACGCATAGTGGCCGCCGAGAAAGCTCGAATGGCGCGCGAGGCCGCGGTAAAGGAGGCTGCCGACGCGGCGGCGGCGGCAGCCGCAGATGTCGCCAAGGGCGCCGCCGACGCGGCCGCGGGCGTTGTTGTCAACGCCGCGGATGCCGCGGTGAGCGGCGCCGCGCGGTCGGTGAAGTCGACGGTCGACGGCGTGACCGGAAAGATCGTCGAAGAAGCGGTGGCAAAGCCGGCCCGCGCCGCCGCGGAATTGCCCGGAAAATTGGCCTCCAAAGCTGCCGGCGCCGTCGCCGACGGGGCGAAAGGGGCCGCGGCCGCCACGGGCCAGGCGGCCGCCGACGCGGCGAAGGGGGCCGCTGCCGCGGCTCAAGGTGCCGCCGTCGGCGCTGCGTCTGCGGCTGGCCGCGCCGCTGCGGATGCCGCGAAGAACGCGGCGACAGGCCTCCTCGACGCGCTCAACCCCTTCAAAAAGGGCTCCGCCGACGCGCTTTCGAAGACCGCCGCGCCGCCGCCGCCGAAAAAGGCCGGCCCGAAGCCCGTGTCGCGCGAGGACACGGCGAAGGTCAAGGAGCGGTGCATGGCGAAGGTATTGATCCTCGTCGACCAGGGCGTGATCACCTCGGGTCAGGTAGAAAAATACTACGAGGAGATGGTCGAGGACGAATTGAGTAAGCTCCGATGATGTGAATTTTTTTAGGTGCCCGCGCGCCGCCGCAGCTCCTCCACCGGCGGCGCGGGCTCGGGAATAGGGAGCCCGGGAAGCAACACCCCGAGCAGGATCTGCCAGCCCGGGATCGAGAACGCGTCCTCCTGGAAGACGACGAGCCCGTCGCGCACGCGAAACGTCGTGTGCACCACATAAGGTTTGATGGTGGCGCCGGGCCCGACGCGCACGGAACCCGAGAGGCGCCAGTCGACGGCGATCTCCTCGCCGCGGGGCGCGCAGGCGATGACCTCGCAGCGCGCGTCCTCGCCGAATAATCGCGCGACGCCCTCGGCGTAGTTCTGAATGCCCGTCAATGAGACGTCCGGGTCCTCGAATTTGAAATCATCGCTGAAGTATTCCGGGAGCACTTTCCCAGTCACGAACCACTCGCGCTCCCGCAGGCCGCGGTCGAGCGCGCCCACCAGCTCGCCGAGGGGCAGCGGCGTTTTCGGTTGATCCCAATCCACGCCGAGCTCAATCGGCGCCTGTTTTGGGATGAACCGCCCGAGAAATTCTGTCACGGGATTCACGTAATCTTCCTCTCCGCCCGCGTTTATGACGCGTGCGACGCTGCGTCTTGTGGGCACCAGGCCTGCAGCGCCCGACGCGGCAAGCAGCGCTGCAATGGCTCGCAGCATTCTGAACAGCACCGATGTATGAGTGCACAAACCAAGCGCAACGGCGAAAACACAGCAGTTATGGTGAATATTTGCAGCAATATACGAGGCATGAAAAACCCGATTTGATTGCGTCCGCGACGCATCCCATGGGATGCGCGCGCGCATTGGCGTACGCCGCAACGCCGCCGCCGCCGTCGTCGACGCAAGTTTAGGGAACACCGACTTACCCCAGAACTAATAGCCCGGCTGCGCCGCCGGCGGCTTCTGGAGCCCGTCCTCGAACGTGGGCGCCGCCGGCGCGGGCGCCTCCTCCTTCGGCTCTAAAATAGTGACCACGTCCGCGAGGGGCTCCTTGGGCCCCGTCTTGCCCGTCGCGTCGTGGGGCAGCATGATCGACACCTTGACGCCGAGGACGCCCTGGCGCATCAGCACGTGTCGCACCGCGGCGTCGATGTACGCGCGCTTCGAGTGGCCCGTCTTGATCATGTAGCCGTCCGTGAACTTCATGGCCTTGGCGCGCTGCGCTCGCAGCTTGCCCGAGACGACGACCTCGACGCCCTTCGCGCCGCTCTCCATCACGAACCGCACGACGCCGTAGCACGCCCGCCGTACCGCCAAACCGCCCAGTAATTTGTACTTCAAAGACTCGGCCTGGGCTTGCGAGCACAACCCTCGGTTCGCCACGCGCTCGGCGTACAATTCGACGGCGCCGTCCTGGAAGTGGAACCGCTTCTGGACCACGCTCGTGAGTTCGCGGATGCGCTGGCCCTTCTCGCCGAGCACATTTTGCGTGCGCGTCGCGCGGATGATGACCTCCGTGCGCAGCGGCGTCACTCTAACTTCCACGCCCGCGTAGCCGTCCTCCGCGAGCTCGCGCGTCAGGAGCTCGTTGAGCTCGGCATAGAATAAGCCGTCGGCCACGAACTTGCGCTTCTTCGAGATCTGGGACATTTTGCCTGCGGGCGGTGAGCGGCGGTCGCGCGCGGGGGCCTCTTTCTCTCTACAACATCGCTCTTGTTCGCTGCTGCGTCGATGGCGTCCGCTTGCGCCCTAGTTTTGAGCGCACCGCTGCCGCGGCGGCGTCGCAGAGCCGGCTCGAGCGGTGCTGCCTCGCCGCTGCTGCGTGCTCGCTCCGCGTCGCGGTGCCTCGACGCTTTGCGAGACGCTTCCGAGGGGGCTCCTGGGTCCTGTGACGGGACGCCGGCACGCACCGGCTGTCAGCTGTCGCGTGAGACGGCAATCAAAGCTTATCTCCGATTTTGTTGAGCGACGGCCGCGGGTTTTGGAAAGATTTTTGCGCCGGCGTGTAGCGCCAAGCAGCCCTCAGAAACACCTCGAGGACGGATAGGCCCGCTTACGGACAGCTGGGCGGGATTACTAGTGTCTTACAAACGCTAGGTACACAAACTCGCGGTCGACCACAAGCCGCGCTATCTCCACGTTGGCAAGCGTTCGCGACGTCTGGGGACTCTCCACGAGCCACCTCGCCAGCCGCCGCAACGCCTTGCGCTTCGCCGCCGCACTAGCAGCACGCAAAAGCGACAGCACAAGCAAAGACAAAATGGCCATGCTCTACTCGGAACGAGAAATCAAAGAGGCCCACGAGTCGGGCATCTGGAGTGTAGCTTGGACGGCTAGAGATGAAATCATCACCGCGTCGAATGACGAGACGTGCGCGATCTGGGACGCTAGTACTGGAGCCCAAAAGCACGTCCTGAGGGGCTGCGGCGGCGGCGCCGTGTCCGTCGTGAGCGATAGGACTGGGAACACCATCTGCAGTTCGTCTGTCGACTGCCACGTGAAAGTGTGGGACGCGGCATCTGGTGAATGCCGAGGCACCATAAACACGGGAAAAATTGACGGCCAGGTCGACGCGTGGACGCTGTGTTCCGATGGGGACCAGGAGCTTGTGTCGGGTTCGAATCGAGGCGCCGTCAACTGCTGGGATTTATCAACCCTACAAAAAACTGCATCACATACCATAGTAGAGGACGACAAATTCGTCCTGTCTGTTGGGAGACACGAAAACACGATCGCGGCGGCGACCTACGACGGCCAGCTTTGTATTGTAGATAGGAGAAGCGGCTCGGTCACGAAGTTCGAGCAGGACGGACGGGAGGACCCGGTCCGATCCCTATGTTTCGTGCGGGACGGCCATGGCGTGCTGTTTGCGGACGACGGCGGCACGGTGCGCTACTACGATAGGAGAGTCGACGCGAAGCCTTCCTACATATTCTACGTGAACCAGAGCTGGTGCATGACGGTCCGGGCGTCTCCTGATGGTACACATTTTTGTACGGCTGGAGCGGATAGACTCGTCAAGTTCTGGGATCTGAACATGAAGAACGAGATCGCGCGTATTGATGGTCATACTGATCAGATCTGGGAGGTCGCCTACAGTCCGGACGGCTCGCAACTCGCGAGTTGTTCGGACGATTGCCGGGTCCGCTTCCACGACAAAGAACGCGCCGACATTGAGTTAAAACGCGACGCCGAGGAGGCCGCCGCGGCCCGACAGGCGCACCAGGCCGCGCCGGCGCCGGCAGAAGGATTAGACGGCGCCGACGTGTCGTCGTTGCCGCCGGCGCCTCCATCGAGCTTCCTGCGCGAGGCGGCGAAGTGGGCGACGGTCGAGTAGGGCTTCCTTTTAGTTAGTTGGGGAACTACGGGGGCGCTGCGATGGCGTCTCGGGAGTGCGTCTCGGGTCGCGGCGATGGCGCATGGGTGGCACCCGGTGCCATCGACGCGACCCGCCGTCGGCCCGTCGAAGCGAAGTCTCGCCGAAGCGAGAACGAAAGATCACCGCAAACTTTTGAAAAAACACGATAGAGTCCGAGTCGACGAAGTGGGCGACGGTCGAGTTGGTATTCTTAAAATTTACGGGGGCGATATGGGGGTCCACGTGCCGCCTAGAAAGCGAGAGCTGCGCCGGCGGCGAGGAGGGTCGCGGCGGCGGGGAGCGATCGCGCCGCGTCCGAGGTTAAATTGTAGGCCGACTGACTCGAAGACGCAGTCTTCTGAGGATTCTCCTCGTAGACGTAGGCCGAGCCCGATCCGAGGTTGAGCCATTGGCCGGCCCCGACCACGACGGAGGTGCCGTCGACTGCCACGGAGATGCCGAAGGCGTCGCCCATCGCTCCAGGTGATGTCAGCTTGGCAAAATGATCGTGAGTGGCGCCGTCGTCGCTCGTGCGGTAGACGTAGGCCGCGCCCGTGCCGAAGTTCTTGGCGTAGGCTCCGACCACGATAGTTTCACCGTCGATGGCCACGGAGACGCCGAAGTAGTCGTCCGCCGCGGCGTCGGGGGCCGTCAGCTTGGTGTACACGAGGCCAGCATCGCTCAGTGAGTAGACGTAGGCCGAGCCCGAGTTGCAGAGGGGATTGTCGGTGCAGGCGTCGTTGTCGCTGTGGGCCCCGACCACGACGGTGCCGCTGTCGAAGGCCACGGACCAGCCAAAGCTGTCGCCCCCCTCGGCGTCTGTGGCCGTCAACTTGGCCATCTGACCGTACGTGGCGCCGTCGTCGCTCGTGCGGAAGAGGTAGGCCGCGCCCGAGCAGTCGAGGGAGGGGCAATACCCCTCCGGGATTTTCCGACTTTGGCTGGCCCCGACTACGACGGTGGCGCCGCTGATGGCCACGGATTGGCCGAAGAGGTCCTCATAAGAGCCATCGGAGGCCGTCAACTTGTCCACCTCGGCGAACGTGTCCCAGCCGTCGGTCGTGCGGAAGACGTAGGCCGCCCCGGTTTGGGTGTTGGCGCCTCTGGCCCCGACCACGACGGTGTCTCCGTCGATCGCCACGGAGTGGCCGAAGTGGTCGCCCGCAGCGCCGTCGGAGGCCGTCAGCTTGGCCAGCTGTGCGCCGTCGCTCGCGCGGAAGACGTAGACCGCCCCCGTTACGTTGTTGTCGCCTCGGGCCCCGACCACGACGGTGTCTCCGTCGATAGCCAGGGATTCGCCGAAGAAGTTGCCCGCCGCGCCGTCGGCGGCCGTCAGCTTGAACAGCTCTTCGCCGTCGCTCGCTCGGAGGACGTAGACCGAGCCAATAATTATGGGGCAAGATTCCTGTCCAGGCAGCGCGGGGTCGCAGCCGGGCGCCCCGCTCACGATGGTGTCGCCGTCGACGCCCACCGCGAAGCCGTAGTTGCGCAGGGGCGCGGCGTCCGAGGCCGTCCGCGTCGCGAGCAGCTTGAAGGTGGCGGAGTCGCTCAGCCGCCGACGGCGCGCGCCGGCGGGGCGGGCCCCTTCGCGGTCCCGCGGGGCCGCGCCGCCGACGAGGGCGGCCAGCACCCAGAGCCGCATCCTGTCCCCAATGCGCGGTCGCCTCCCGCCCGGGCCGGGGCAGCTCCTTGGTACGGTTCCGCCCGGGTTAGGGGGGGCAGCGTGTTGATCTCACTCCGATTTGTGGCCCCCCAATAATTACTGGAGCCAGGCAAGCATGCAATCCACCCGCCTCCGATCGGCAAGCCCGTACTCGTCCGGGTGGGACTCGGTGCATGAGCCGCCACGCCCTCCCGCGGGCCAGCCCTGAAAAAATGCTAGTAAGTCTACGTAGCTAGGTCGATTTAGTCTTCATCAGTGCTGCAGTTGGAGCATGCCTTGGGAGCATCTATTGAAGTGAGCTGGCCATCGGAGTGTTGTGTCTGATCCGTTTAACATCAAGTGGGTTGCAACCACTGCTATACAGCGACATTGCTCATCGCTGGCATTCAGTGCAGGGCTAATTTGCTGTTGTAGAGCCATGCACGACGCCGCGGAGCAGCCGCGTCGCCGGTGGCTCGTGCACCTCGCCGCTGTGCAGGCGTGCCTGGTCCTCGCAGTAGTAACACTGAGACGCCAGCCGCGCCCGGCCGCGGAGCTGCTGCAGCACTCCCTGCATCCGCGCGAGCTGGGCTACCGCACGGCGAAGAAGCGCTCGGGCCGCGCGCCCGGCGCCGCGTTGACGACGCACCTGCGCGGCCCGCTGCCGACTAATGCCTGGTGGCTCGATTTAGCACGAAGCGACGCCGACGACGCGGCCGCGGCGGCGTACGCCGTGCCGTACCTGTTCGAGAAGACGGGCCGCGGGCTGCGGGCGTCGCCCACGCGCCTCCAGGCCTCGCCTGATTCGGTGCTGACGTTGCACGACGCGAGGAGTGGCCTCGTGCTGGGGACCACGGAAAAGATGGGGCCCGCGGTCGTGAAGCGGGCGGGCGAGCTGGGCGTGGTGCTCGCTTGGAAGGGCGCTCTTGCGCCGGTGACGCGCGGAACTGCCTTCCTCACGATGCGCTACGAGCGGGCGACGCCCTCAATTTACTCGGGCGCGCCGCTCCACAGACAAGCAAGGGGCAACATTACGATAGACGGCCGGAGCGCGGCGTGCGACGGTGCGCCCATGCACGTCGACCACGTCATCGAGGTCGTCACGGACGCCGACCACCGCTGGGCCGTCTACGCCGACGCCCCTCTCCAGGTAACGTGTACGTCCGACGGCTCGCTGGAGATTCGAGGGAAAACGCCGCAAACGTTGACATTACGCGCTGCACTGTTAACAGCGTGCGCCTACGGCACGTCGTCGACGGGCGGCTGTGCCGACGACGGCGCCGTCCGCGCCGAGCGCCTCAAGCAGAACCGGGCGCTGTTCGCCGGGGCCGCGGCGCGGGCGTCGGCACCCTCGGCGTCGTCAGCTAGCGACGTCGCGTGGGAGCTCCACGATGATCACGCGCTCGTCGACTTCTCGTTCCCGCACGACGGGGCCGACGTCTTCTACGCGCTCGACCAGCACGTGGGGTGGGGCGCGCTGACGCCGGCCGGCCCCTGCGTCGACAGTTTGCATGGCACGGCGTGTCCTGTGATAGGCAAGGTTTGGAGGATGCGCGTGCCCCTCGGTCCCGCGCCCTCGCTGAAGGCGGGGCGGCCCATGTCAAACAAGGACCGCCGGGCGATCCGCGACGCTCTGAAGGCCGACGCCTCGAGAAAACTGCCCGCGTACTACGCACGCGGCGCGGGCGACACCTACTTCTCTGGAAAAGAATTAGCGCGGCGCGCCCGTCTGGTGGTCATCGCGGACGAGGTCGACGATGCGGACACCGCTTCGTTATTAGCGGCGGAGGTGCTGGCTGCTTTACGGAACTGGCTCAATCCAAAAAACGCGGAGACGCCGTTTTTGTATGATGAGCAGTGGGGAGGGTTGGTCAGTTGCGGTTGTGATTTCGATGAGTCGTCGCAACGATGCACGAACAACCCACAAAAGGACGAGTGCCCGAACTTAGATGCTTGTGGTGCGGACTTCGGCAACGGCTTCTACAACGACCATCATTTTCATTATGGTTACTTCGCCTACGCCGCCGCGGTGGCGTGCGAGTTCGCTGTGTGTAGCAAGGAGGACAAAGAACGGTTCCTACTCTTAGCGCGGGACTACGCTAATCCACAATCCGATGATTTCGTCGCCGCGCGGCACAAGGACTGGTTTTTGGGCCACAGCTGGGCGTCCGGCACCTGCGAGCCGGCCAATCCGAATGGTCGGAATCAGGAGTCCTCGTCGGAAGCCGTCCACGCCTACGAGGCGTCGTATCTCTTAGCATCTAGGTTAGGAGACCGCCATTTACAACAGGCCTCGCGCCTGTACGCGGCCACGGAGGTCGACGCGGCGCAGCGCTACTGGCACGCGGCGACCTCCTCCCAGGTCCCGCGCGCCTACGAAAGGCCGGTTGTCGGCATGCGCTGGTCGACACTCGCCCAATTCGGGACGTGGTTCGGCGGGGACCCCGTCTTCGCGTACGGCATTCAACTCATTCCATTAACTCCATATGCTGAGGTGCGCGACTCGACGGCCTTTTCTCGTGCGCTGCTGCCGTTCTACGAGCGGGACTGCGATCGTCAGCGCCCAAATCAAATTCTCGAGAGCACCCGACTCACTGTTTGATTTCCACGCAGGCGACAAAGTGTGCGAGGACGAGGGCTGGTCCATCTCGATGATTGGGTTGAAGGCGGCGGCGGGCGACCGGGCCGGGGCCTGGGACGCCGCGCTCGCTTTGGATGGGAAGGCCTTCGACCAGGCCGGCGGCGACGGCCACAGTCGCTCGAATTTGCTGTACTGGATCGCGACGCGGGATCCGGGGCTGGAAAAGATGGCGACGCCCGTGCCCACTTCGCATGTGGTATCGCCGGCGCCCGTCGCGTCGCCAGTCCCCGACTGCGTCGACGGCCCCGGCCGTGCCGCCGCCAAGGCCTGCCCGGCGACGGCGCCGCACGTGTGCTACGCGGGTCCGGCCAAAGGCGGCTGCGCCCGGGCGCCCTGGTCGCGTACCGACTGTGCGCGGAGCTGCAAGCGGCCGAAGGGCTTCGACTGAGTTTTTTGACGTGTGTTCATAGTAGATGTCCATATTAAGTTGCTTTCGTTCGTACTTCCTCTGTCGTCTGCCCACGGTGCTAGGACTGGTGGGCGGAGCCCCAGATACCGTTTTTCAAAACAGGATGCTTCCGTTAACGATTATTCAGTTACGGTACTAGGGCCAGTGGGCGGAGCCGTCCCTCAGGCTCAGGCTCAGGCTAGATGACCTAGCTGCCTGATGACCTAGTGCCTGTATGACCTAGCTATTATGTGCAAACAGCTGCAGCGCAAAGTTTGGCACGCAAGCGCAAGCCCAACACTGAGTTTCGCTCTTGGCATATTATAGCCCTTTAGAGCTGACAGCCCTGGGACAACGGCAGGAATCGCCGCACGCCGTGGTGCGAAAAAAAATACTGGCCTGAAGTCAGCCGCCGCGCGCGCGGTACGCGCCCCCGGCCCAGCCGCTGCGCACCGCTCGCGCGCCACCGAGCCGCTGTGGTGCCGCGCCGCCGCCGCTGAGCCGCTCGCCGCCCCGCGCCGCTTGAGCCGCTCGCGCGCCGCCGAGCCACCGCGGCGACCGCGCCGTCACCATGGGCAGCGACGGCGAATCAACATCAACAAACGGCGAGCGCAAGGAGCCCGAGCCGCCCGCGCGCGAACCGAAACCGACGCCGCGCGGCAGCCCCGGCGCCGAGTCGCCTCGACGGAAACCCTCGCCGCGCGACGACCCCGCGTCGCAGTCCATCCTGAAAGCTCCCACAGAAAGGAGTCGAGGAGGGAGAAAACCACCGGAACCCACGAAGCGCCTGAGCTGGAAGGACGGTACTTTTGATGATGCCCCCGGCCCGGAACTCGCGGAGGTGCACTACGCCGAGGAGCTCCACTACAGCCCGCACAGCCGCGACCGCGAGGTCGCGCGGCGGCAGGCCGCGCGCGCGTCGGGCCAGCTGGACGAGCTGGACGCGATGCCCCAAGGGAGGGCGTGTTGCGTCATATCCTAACCATTAGCATTTAAATTCATCGAGGGACGTAGTTACAACACTAGTAGTAGTCGACCGGGGATATGTGACGCGTCATGGCCGCTTGGCGAAGGTCTGCGACACGATGAGCGGGAACGCGAGCGTCGCGTCCGCGTACACTTTCACGGGCTTGGCCTCCATCCTGATCTTGCCCCAACTCACGGCCTCGTCCGGTCTAGCGCCTGAGTCCGAGCCGTCGAACTCCTGCCCCGTGTTCACGAAGACCGCGAAGTTCGCGCCGTTCCTCATTAAATTGGCGTTGCACGTGTGGTGTTTTACGAGGCCACCGCCAATAATAATCATGCCCGTCGCCTTGGCCTTCACGGCTTCGTCGTTGATGAGGCGGATATCTCTGGCGATGTCGACGATGAAGCCAGGCCTCTTATACGAGTGAAAATACAACATGTCACCTATACTCCCATCCGTGATCGCGGGACAGAAAACCGGGATGTTGTTCTTGTGGCACCAGTAGTACACGGAGGAAGGATCATTGATCTCCTTCCCGAAGCGGTCGATCATGCTCGAGGGCGTCCAGTGGAAGGCTTCTTCAGTAGAAGCTTTGGCGTCGACCTCGTCGTGCATCTTATGTAAAATCGGCCGCAGCCAGTCCTCGAACTTACAATACGTGTCGTTCGGCACGAGCAAGTTCCCGATCCTATTCAGACCTTTCGGCCTCAAATCCTTACCTCTTAATGCAAAGTCGCCCATCTTGTGCGGTGCCAGGCACTTCATTAAATCTTCTTCGATGCCTCCGCCCGTCGTTACCAGTACATCGACATGTTTGTGTTGCACGAGGTATCTTATGACTTCCCTCACACCCGACGAGATCATGTTCGAGGTATACGCTAGGAATATTTTTGCCTTCGTATTTCTTCGTACCTCGGGGCTCTTGAAATCGTCGTCTTCGTTTTCCGTGATGGGCACATCACTTAGACGCCAGGCGCGCATCCTTTCGATCTCTTTCACTGCTAGTCCGATATTCGTGGCCTGGAAGCCTGTTGTTAGTAGTTTGGCGCAGAGGCCGTCCAGAGAGCGGTCTTTGTCGAAGTCCGGCCCTTGGCACGCGGCCGTGTCTTTTAGCTCACTATCGTCGGACTTTTGCAGGACGGCCGCGGCCACGATGCCGGGCATGGCGGCCATTTTTCAGCGCTGCGCTCTGGGCGTGCGGTTGCAGTGCAGTGCGTGCAGTGCAGACTGCTTGATGCGGCAATTCGCTCAGTCTGCCGCGAATATGTCTATGTGGCAACGCGTTGCCTTGTTCCTGCTCAAAGCTATCAGCACTCCGATGCTCGCCCGGTTTTTGGCTGCATGAGCACTCGCTAGCAAGTTTGCTACGCTAGCTCTACGCTATTGACCACAGCCGTAAATTGGGCTACTGCGGGTCACCGCGTCGTCAGAAGTTCATTACAGTGTCCACGCTGCACCATACGAGCGCGCGCTTGAAAGTCACGTAGCGCCGTCGCCCGTGCAAGGACCCCTGGTACAGCACCCCTAGAAAGCTCCTCATTTGGTGCGAGCAACGATGTGGCGCCACGCCAGCCGACGAATATTACAAGCCGCGCGACAGACGCGCACGCTCAAGTCCCTGATCAAGAAACGCCCGCAAGACGACGACGCCTTGCTGGACACGCTCCGATCCTGCACGCAACTCTACGAGTCACATATAGCCCCAACAAATGACACAACCATGGGACCCTTAGAAAGGAATTATCAACCGACGATGCTACCCTTCGTCCTACTCCTAGGCAACCACTCCTCCGGTAAATCTTCCTTCGCGAACTACGCGTTAGGTCGACGAGTCCAGCAATGTGGAGTAGCCCCAACAGATGATGGATTTACGGTCATAGCGCCCGGAGAAGAAGACGCGGACCAGGACGGCCCCGCGTTAGTATCAGATCCGGATCTCGGCTTCGAGGGCCTCCGGCAATTTGGTCCTGGTTTAGTACAACATGCTAAATTAAAACTGAGAACAGATCTAGCAGCAACGAATTTCTGTCTCATCGATTCGCCGGGCATGATCGACGCGCCTGGTGGCTCTACTCTAGATCATGGACATGAAAGAGGCTACAACTTCGAGGCGTCGGTCCGTTGGTTCGCCGACCGGGCCGACGTCATCCTGCTGTTCTTCGACCCGGACAAGCCGGGCACGACGGGCGAGACGTTGTCCGTGCTGACGAATGCCCTGTCGGGATGTGATCATAAATTACACATCATCCTCAACAAAGCTGACCGCTTCGAAAAAATTCATGATTTCGCGAGAGCCTACGGGGCGCTGTGCTGGAACCTGTCGAAGGTGATTCCAAGAAAGGACTTGCCGCGCATCTACACGACGTGTATCCCGCCGGCCGAAGGGGAAGTGCGCGAGGGCCACGGCGACTTAGCGAACGGTCTGGAAGATTTGCGACGAACTAGAGATGATGTCATGGCCGAGGTGTTTCGTGCGCCGACGCGTCGAGTGGACAACGCCGTTACTAGACTACGAGATGCGGCTTCCGTGCTCTTGATGCATTTAGATGTGTGTTCCGCGGCTCGGAGCGCGCGGCGGAAGGAGTTGTTTGCGTTGTATGCCCCTTCAGTGTTAGCGGCGGCCGCATGTGTAAGTGGCGCCGGCGGGTTGTTCGTTGCCGGTGCGGTCTCGCCTGCCGTTGCTTGTGGCGCGGGCGGCTTGGCGGCGACGGCCGGTCTACACTACCTAAACGCGAAGAACTGCCGGCGGAATCTCGAAAGGCTGGACTCGCAGGAGGGCCTGGATTCGTTGTACCGCAAGATCTACGCCAAGGAGAGCGTGCGGGGCGACGGCGAGTCGCTCGCGACGTGGCACGTCGTCCGGCAGCATCTGCTCGAGAAGGTCGTCCCCGTCGGCGGCGCGGCGTTGGCGCCGGCGGCGCCCATGGGCGCGCACAAGAAGCTCCGGAAGATTTTAGATGTGGAGGCGCCGCGGCTGCGGCGGCAGGCGGCGCCGGCGACCTACCCGAACGTGCGGCACGACGACGGGTCCGAGGCGGCGGTGCCGTGACTAATGTAACATTAAAACATCTTACGTCCTAGCCATAAGGAGTGTAGTATATTCCACCGCGAAGTTCTAGGATCTCCGTGATTTCCGCTTGAGCGTCCTGAGCAAACCAGGCATCGTTGCTATACTCCCGTTGCCAGGAGAGCCGAGAGAGCCTCGGGCACGCCATCACGAGCCGGAGCATGTCGGCGGCGCGAATACCGCGATCCTCCATATAGGACTCTATGTCGTCCACGTCGCCGGGTTCACAGTAACTGATGGTGAGGCCCTGCAGCGTCGCGGCGGACTGGCTTGAGATTATCCCCTCAACGACGCCTCGGGTTAATGCGCCTATCCAGTTCAGCTCGAGCTCCACCAGAGGGTTTTGCGAGCAAGCCGCGACGACCTGCGAGTCCGTGGCGTGGTGGGAACTGATATACACCGTCTCGAAGGTGCGAACGCCAGCAAGTAGAACAAACCAGCCTGGATTAGGAATTCTTGTCAATTCGGGAATCCACAGCTCCGCGAGGCGAGGAAAGCCGCGCGCCGCTGCCAGAAGGGCGTCCGGCTCTATGTTCGTTTCCAAGCCACTCTCTCTTTCGCTAAGGCTCGTGAGACGATCGCCGAGCGGCGTGCCGACGATGGCATTGATGAGGTCGGGGAAGATGTGGCAGCCTTCCATATCCATTTCCGTGGCAGAGGTGCTGCGTGCAGCCGCGACGATATTTTCGAGCTGCGTTGGCCGGTATGGAGGATCATTATCGGATCTACCATCATGAATATCCAGGTACTTGAGCCGCGGGAAGTGTCGCTCATATCTTTCCGCGGGAGAAACATCGGTCACTACGTCAGAAAAAGATACCACTTCAAGCCTTGGGCAGGCGGCGGCGATGGCTACAATGGCTTCATCTGAGGTATGTACGTATCTTGGGCCGTGCAATTTGATCAGATTCGGGCAGTGGCGACACATCACGAGTAGCAGGTCAGACGAAATGCCGGACGGCCCCAGGTCAAGCTCCCGCAGACCTCCGTTCGTGGAGCGCACAAAATCATACAGAGCAGCAAGCGACGGCGCGGATGTGCCGCTAGCGTAGAGGTGTACGCAGCCTGCTCCAAACACCTTCGCCATCGCCTCGACGGCCCGGGGCGGAGCCCGCATCGCGCGCGCCTGCCGCGGTACGAATTGCACAGACTGAAAATTAAAGATCTGCACGTGCGGGATCGCCTTCCTCGCGATCGCGCGTCTCGCGGTGTCTCGCCCGTGCGGCGAGAGTTCGCGCAGGCGCAGCAGGTCATCTCGTTTAAGCCAGCATGCGGCCTTGTCCAGCGCGTCCTCGGGGACGCTCGCTACGACACCCATTTGGTGCGCACGGATGCAAAGCAGGTCCCAGCCTATTTCTTAAGATGCGAAGCGCTGGCCAGACGAACAATTTGCACGCGTATAGGTCGATATCACGAGCTGCAGCACCTGGGGCCGGTTTCCTAGTGCCTTACATGCCGCTAGCTCCGTGCTTGATGATGCAGTAAGCTGTACGCTGCAACCGAGAAGGTGCTGGCCGTGCGGAGTTTTCTTCGATCGCTGTGCACCCGTGCTCGCAGCGCTGCACTTTCGTTGCCACCGTTTGCGCAATACTGTACACTGACACATCACTGCAGCAGTGCGCGCACGCATCGCTGCGTAACGTACTCAATACCTGCAACCCCGATCTCGCATCGCTTGCACGGTGACACATCACTGCAGTACTGGACGCGATGCCAACACCACTACTCCTCCTCGCCCTGCAAGCCGCGGCCCTGCTCGCGCCACTGCCGACGCGCAGGATAACGCGCTTGCAAGCCGCGAGCACGCGCCGCCGAGGCCTGCACCGGTCGCCGGATTTAGAGCAGGACGGCTATTTAGGAGTTGGAGACGGCCACGAGATCTACTATCAGGTAAAGACGCTCAAAAAGAAGTTTGGAGAACCGTTACCCACAGCGCTCTGGCTCCACGGCGGCCCCGGCGCGGGCTGCTATCCGAACCACGCCCGCTTCTTCGACCCCGAGAAGTGGAGAGTAGTGTTGTTGGATCAAAGAGGCTGCGGCAAGTCGAAATACACCGGAGAGTGCTGGGATGCTAATGACACGCCGCGCTTAGTCCATGATCTCGAGTTACTGCGGGCGCACCTCAACGTCACGACATGGGACTGCGTCCAGGGCGGCTCCTGGGGCTCGACGCTCGCCTTAGCCTATGCCCAGTCCCACCCTTCTTCAGTGAGATCCCTCGTGCTGCGGGGCGTGTGTTTGATGCGACCCCTCGAGATCGACTGGTTATTTTCACCGAACGGCGGCGCCGCGTCGTTGGCTCCGAAAGGTTTCGAAGCGTTTCGGAAGCACGTTTCACTAGAAGAGGGCTGCGATGAGAGAGCCGTGCTGCACGCCTACTACGAGCGGTTTGCAGATCCGAAGACGCGGGACGCCGCAGCAAGAGCGTGGGCTAGCTGGGAGGGCGCCGCGTCGTCGATCTCGCGACGGAGCGGCGTCGCCACCTTCTCTAAAGGGGAGTGGGCTTTTGAACATTCACCAGAGTATCAGGAGTACATGGCGAATAGAACGCGCGACAAGGTCGCTTCACTAGCGAATCGGACGCAGTCGGAGGACTACTTCAACGGGACGACCGTGCCCGAGCTAGGGTCGACCGTCGATAAAGCGCTCCCAAAGCCAAAACGCCAGCCGGCCCAACAAATGCTCACGTGTGCGTATTCCGTGAAGAACGGCTTCCTGCATGAGGACTCGATACTCGGTTCGATCGACAAGATAAGGGACATCCCCTGCATCGCGGTCCAGGGTTCAAATGATCCGATCTGCCCGCCGCGGACGGCGTATGATCTCCATAAGGCCTGGCCGGAGATGGAACTGGTGCTCGTGGCGGGCGGCGGCCACTCGCAGTACGACCCGGACGTGCAGCACGAACTGTTGGAGGCCACCGATAGGATGCACGGGAGGCTCGCCCCGCCGGCGCCGACGCCAAAGCGCGGCGGAGGACGCCCGTCGACGCGACTCTACGCGACGGCCCGCGACGACGACTTCTCAGCTCTGACGGCGACGAAAACGCGGTTCGTCCTCGTGCAGACGCGCCATCCGGGAAACGTCGGGGCGGCGGCGAGGGCGCTCTTGACGATGGGCTTCGACGAACTGGTTTTGGTTGACCCCGCGGACCGCAAGATCCTAAATAGGCAGAAGGCTATTGATGGAGCGAGCGGCGCCCGCGGCATCCTAGAGAAGGCAAAAATCGAAGACAGCCTCGCCGCCGCTCTCGAAGGTTTTGATTTGCGTTGCGCGACCGGCATGCCAACGGACATGGCCCGGTCCCGCTCGACACGAGTCTTCCGCGAGCCCCGAGAATACTTCCAAGAGATTGGCGAAGTCGGCTCCGTCGCGTTCGTCTTCGGCAACGAGCGCCTGGGCTTGGCCGAGGAGGACATGGCGCTCTGCGACGTCGTCCTAGGGATCCCGACGAACCCCGACTTCGGGTCGCTCAACCTGGCGTCGGCCGTCCAGCTCGTCGCCTACGACTGGCGGCAGGCGCTGGGCGGGTTTCCCTCGCGACAGCGCGGCGGAGGACGCCCGTCGACGCGCCTCTACGCGTCACCTATTGACGATGACCCCGCCGCGCCCGAAGACCTCGAGACGCGAGCGCCGGCTCCGCCCGACACCATCCTCGCCTGGCGCGAGAGCGCCCAGCACCGCATGGAGGAGCCCATGGCCGTCCCCACGGAGTCCCTCACGTTCACGGAGGTGGGCGAGGTGACGGTGAGCTAGTAGCCTAAGTTGTATGTGTAGTTACACGAGCGGGCGAAATAGGCGATCTTGTCGTCGACGACTTCGTCGACGGCCTTCATGACCTTGTGGAAGCCGTGCCTGTGGGTGTACCGCTCGCGGCGCCTCATCACTTGAGACTAGTGACCGATACGCGATTCGAACGCGTAACCTTCAGGACTGGAATCTGACGCGCTGCCGTAGGCGAAGATTTTGGTCGCGGAGGCCGAGGGGAATAATTTTCGGGGCCAAATGATGGATGAGAGGTTTGAACGGTTTGACTCGTGCAGTCTGTGCGAGCAAAAGTACCACGGGGTTGTTTCGTGTGCGCTCGGGTGGGCGTGCTGGAAGACGTACGTGGGGCGACCGGAGGAGCACGGAGTTCGGATAGCCGCGATGAGGCTCCTTGGGAACGGTTTATACGAGGCAAGACACCATCAGGACGCATTGTCCGTGAAAGAGACCGAGTTGTCTATGCTGCGGCGCCTTGGCGCTCCAGAAACCATTATTCTCGCTGCGCAGGGCAATCTCGCGAACACGTATGCTCAAGTTGGACGGCTTGAACAGGCCTCACAGATGGAACGAGCTATATACCGCGGACGTCTGAAGCTCAATGGCGAGGAACATGAAATGACTGCCGTAGCAGCCATCAACTATGCGTCGTCCCTTATTTTACTCAAGCGCTTTAGAGAAGCCAAATCTCTACTGAGCAAGGCGACGCCAGTAGCGCGGCGCGCTCTCGGAGAAAATCATATACGGACGTTAGAACTGAGATGGAATTACGCCACGACGCTCCAACATGACGATGACGCCACGCTCGACGATCTCCGTGAGGCCGTGACGAAGCTGGAGGAGATTGAACCGATCGTTCGACGCGTGCTCGGCGGCGCGCACCCGACCACAACGGGGATTGAAGACAATTTACGAATGGCGCGAGCCAAGCTTCTCAGGCTCGCGCAGAGTAAGAATTAAACTACAGAAACTTACACCCACTCCTCCGAAACAGCGCCGCCTGGCCGACACGCTCCTCGCCCTGGTACACGTTCCAGACGTACGCGTCGCGCACCTCGAAGCGCCTGCCCGACGACGAGATGCGCACGCCGCAGTAGTCGTCGACGTAGCCGTCCTCCGTGACCCTTCTCAATAGCTCGGCGCGCGCCTCGCGCTCGTCGGGTTCCGCGCTGAAGCGGGATGGGGTGGAGGTGAACGTCTCCCAGTCCATCTCCCACAGATCCAACGCCGCCTTCGACGCGTAATTAAACACGGGATCCTCCGCGCCGTCGTGCGAGACCACCACCAGATCGTCGGACGAGGCGACCGTCGAGCACTGGGCCGGCGACGCGTCGGGCGCCGGCAGGATGGCCGTGCCCGAGCACTTGCGCAGGCTCGAATCCAAGAGCCGCAGCCACTCGTGGTGCCAGAGGTTCGACGCGGCCGGCGGCCCGCCGGCCGTGAGGCGCCGCGCCGTCGAGTCCATTTGTTCAGGCTCGGCCGGCGACTCCATCGCATTCAGATACGAGTCGGCCTTCCAGCAGCAGCCCTTGCGGCCGCCGAACTGGCCGCCCTCGCTGCCGCGGCGGACAGTGGTCGGTGCGACTGGTCGCCGCGGCGACACGAGCGCGGCGGCTACCTTTAGCAGCAGGAGAACCCGCATTTATGCGTCGTCTCGCTGCTTACGAGCTCTGACAGCTTGTGGAGTGCAGGAGAGCTGGAGGCCTAGCGCAGCCGGCACAACGGATGAATGCAAGGCGGCCTGCGCGCTGGCACAGGCAACGTGGCGCCTCTTTATCACGCCCAGCTCGCTGTTATGAGCACAAATGCGCCGTGAAATGCACCCCAGGGTGCTTGCTAGTGTCTTACAGTCGCTAGGTCAGCTTGCGGAGCAGAGGAGCGTCGCTGGGAGCACAGCGCTGCTTTTAAGCACTCAATAAGCTGCCAGTGCTGTCATCGCTCTCACTGATCCAGTCGCATCACTGCCGCTCGCCCCACATCATGACTAGCCACAGCACCTAACACAGCACCTAACACAGCACTGGCATGGCAGAGGACAACATCCCGCCGACGCCGCCCGGCTTCCGCCCGCCGCCGCCCTGGGCCTTTGGTGGCGCACCAGCACAAAACTACTACGCGCCGCCGGCGCCGCCCGCGGAGAACGGCGAGCTTCAGCGGCTCCGGGCCGAGAACGCAAGCCTCAGACAACAACAACAAAGCGGCGACGACGTCGAGAGCCGGCTGCGAGGCGAGTACCAGGACGTGATTGCGCAGTCGATGAGTAGGATAAAAAAGCTGCGAACGCAGATCAAGGAGATGAGGGGCGAGCGCGACGCGGCGGTCGCCGAGTGCGACGCGCTGCGCAAGCGCAACGCCGCCCTGGAAACGGCGGCGGCAGCCACGAAGAAGAAACCCGCCGCGCGGAAACCGAAAGCCAAGCCGCCGCCGCCGCCCCCTACGCCAATCATCGCCGACGCGCCGCCGCCGGCGTCGACGCGGCGCGCCGGCGGCGTGCGCGTCGCGGCCGCGGCGCCGCGGCGGCCGCCGCCGGAGCTGGCTTTGGACGACGGGCTCGACGACGACATGGACGACGTGCTCGCGTCGTCGTCGGACGACGACGCCGCGGCGCCGGCGCCGCGCCGCGCGGCCGCCGAGAGCGGCGACTCGGACGACGACGGCGCGTCGGACGCGCGCTGCTCCGGGGCCGCGCCGTCGTCGCCGACGACGGTGGCCCAGTTCACGGCCACGCTCTACGAGATCCTGGGTGAGGACAAGTCGGAGGTGCACTGCCACTGGTCCGAAGACGGCGAGCGCGTCGTCTTCTTGGACTCGGACGCGTTCGCGCGCGACGTCTGCCCGCGCTACTTCCGCCACAGCAAGTGGACGAGCTTCTCGCGCATGCTGAACATGTACGAGTTCCGCAAGATCTCGACGAGCCCGCGCAACGCCCGGTCCACGCGCCACGAGTTCGCCCACGAGTTCTTCACGCGCGACCGCAAGGATTTACTAAACCGCGTGCAGCGCAAGCGCCGCGCGTCGCCGTCGCGCAAGGAGCCCATGTCGCAGCAGTCCTCCGACGAGGACGACTTCGACGCGAAGTTTCCCGCGCGCAAGGGTGCGAAGCCACCGCCGCGCCGGCGCCGCGCCGTCGCCGAGAGCGACGACGACGAGGAGTCCGCTGATGCGGGCGGCGCCGAACGGCCGCCGCCGCGGAAGCGCCCCAAGCCGGACGCCGCCAAGCCGGAGCGGGAGGACGCGCAGGCCGTCGTGAAGAAACGGCTCGGCCTGAAGGGTGCCGCGGACGTCGCCGACGCGCACGCCTACTGTAGAGCTGTCCTGGCCGAGGACGCGGCGCCCGAAGCAGCTCTAGCCAAGCTCGCGCTCGGCGCGGCCTTCCGCGACCGGCGCTTCGCGCCCGTCGAGAAGAAGCAGCGGGACCACCAGCGGCGGCGCCACGCGAAGCAGGGCCAAGCCACGGAGACTCCGAAGCAGGAGGCGCGGCGCGTCGCGGCGGAGACGCGCGCCGCCTTTAGTACATGGACCGGGGCCCGTTTGTTAATAGAGCTGCTGGCGTGGGCGCGCGGCGTTGACGATGGCGGGAGAAAGGCCGCTTCATGTTTACTGGGTTTGTGTCGCATCGACTTGCACGCGCTCGCGTCGACGAACATTTTTGAGTTGCTGGCGAAGGCCGTGCTGTCGTGGGAGGCGTTCCGGTTCGCCCTGGACGAGGCGCAGCGGGCGGAGCTCGACGCGGCCGAGGCGTTCTGGGCCGCGAAGGCGCCGGCCGAGGCCTCCGACGTCGCGGTCGGCGCGTGCGGCGCGCTGTTCTTTTCTGCGACGTCTCCAAGAGACGCGCGGCGCCTGAGCTGTGAATTACTAAGACGGGGCGTCGACCGCGCGGCTATTATTGAACAGGGCTGGCCGGCACCCCAAGAGGTTTCTGAGGATCGCGAGTGGGCCGCGGCCCGAGGCGATGGCAAGGATGTCCCGCGGTTGCTGGAAAAAGCTTTAGACGACGGCGACCTCCAGAAAGTGGCCGCTCTCGACCCGTCGCAGCTTGTTGAAATGTGTAGGGACAAGATACGAGACGTACCTGACATGATAGCGCGACGCGCGGCATGCATGAAGGCGGCGCCGGCGTTCCAGTTGATAAATCTGGATAGGAGCCCGGACCGGTTAGAACGGTTGCGCAAGCTCGCCCTCTTGCACGGCTTAAATGTACAAAGGGTACAAGCCGTCGACGGCGCCTCGGATTTCATACCGGAGTGCGACGTCTGTAGATCATGGTCCAAGGAGGCGCGCGACATCAATACTAGGTACGACAGCCAGCGCGAGAAGCGGACCAAGGGCCCGCCGCCCGAACTGTCGCCGTCCGAACGGGCCATCGCCGCGTCGCATATTAAGTTATGGCGCGCGTGTAGCGGTGATAGTATGACGTTCATCCTGGAGGACGACGTGGTCTTCGAGGCCGACTGTGCTTCTACAATAAAAGACCTCGTCGCCAAGGTGCCTATTCAATCGGCGTCTCTACTATTGCTGGGCTACTTCCACCGCGAAGAGAAGGATTTGTCGTTGGCCGACGAGACCGCGTTACTAGATTTCAAGCTGCCGCAGTACTTCTGGGGCGCCCACGCCTATGGGTTGACGGCCCCGGCCGCCAAAGTGCTCTTGAAACGGTTGCCCGTGGACTGCCCTATTGATGATTTTATTGCCCAGGCCGTTAGGGAGGGCGTACTACACTGCTACGCGGCGCGCGCCAAGGTCGCGAAGCAGCGCACTCAAGATGTTTCGTTGGTGGTCCATTCTGGAAGGGCCAACCCCAACGTGACGCACAACCGGTCCAAAAAGATCTCCTACGATCATTGCGAGAGCTTGGGGGAGCGTGTATGTTGAAACTATTCCTTATATTCCTGGTAGCCGCCCGAGAGGCTCGAGGCGATCCTCTCGGCCGCCGCCGACAACGACAGACGCGCCCCATGCGTCGGCGCGTAGGTGCCGCAGTGGCCACAACTTAGTTTGCACGCTTGCTGGGCCGTGCGGCCGTCCTCGCCGCGCACCTCGCACCTGTGCGCAATCACCCAGTGTGATTCAGCCGCGAATTTGATTTGTGCACTGCTTCGCACCGCGTTGGCGTAAATTCCGAGACCCAGTCGCAGTTTTTGGAAGGCTCGCCCGTCTTGTACCAGTCCTCGTCATCCTTATGCGGACAGACCGTCGGTACTGCTGACGGTGCGTAGGGCGCCGCCGTCGGCGCGGCCGTCGGCAGGTCCGACGGCGCGGCCGTGGTCGGCTCGTAGGTCGGAATGCCAGACGGCACTGCCGTCGGCGCGAACGGGAAGCACTCTTCACCTGTGTGGAAATCAGAATTTTACGGCGCGTGCTGGATCGTCGCGTCAATCTCTACACGTCATCGACGCGACGCCTGCTCGATGGCGTGGCGATGCCGGTTCCTCACCGCTCGACCGAGCCAGGACGGCCGCGTCGTCGCCGAGAAATGACTTAGTGCAGAATTGTCGGGTACACCCGACGCACTGCCTGATTTCCACACAGCTCTTCACAGGCACGCGGGCACGCCTCCCGCGCGTCCCGCCCGTCGGCGCCGCGCACCGCACAGCGCGTCGGGATGAACTCGGCCACCCACGCGCAGTCCTTCCACGGCTCGTCCCCGTTCTTGACCCAGGTCGGGTCGTCGACGCACGTTTGGTCCTGACCGTAGGCCAAGGCGCACGTGATGAGAAGCGCGCGCCGCATCGCTATAATTTTTTTTATATCTGGCTTGTCAGTATGCGGCTGTGGTCCCTGTTTCCGGCGTTTTCTCCGACTGTGGTTCGTTTGCGTCCTTCACGGCATCATCATTAATGCCCTCACTCGTCTCAATAGCGCCTTCGCCGCGCGGTACCCTGCCAACCACACCCACCTTAACCACACCCATGCCTGAGTTACTCAAGTAATTCCCCGGCAGTCGAGCGCTCGACGAGATGACTCGGCCGCGGCCGAAAGATCCATAGCGCTCGTTTCGATTTTTCCTAGTGTCTTACAAGACGCTAGCTAGCTCGGCGGCGGAATTCACGCGATTTCACGCGCTGGGATTGCACACTAAGGTATTTGGTGACAGACACGTCGCTCTGCCGAACGCCTCCAGCGATTCACCAAGCTCCCGCGCCGTCGAACAGCGCTGAAACCACAAACCCATCTGTGGTCCGCACGGAAGGCCGCGCTCAAACGCGACGTATAGTTAATAACCAATGGCCGCGATCGCATCAGCGCTGCGCCTCGGCCAGCGCGCCACCGCCCGAGGCCGCCGCTTCCTCAACCTGCACGAGTACCAGAGCGCGCAGATCCTGGCTGCCGGCGGCGTCACCGTGCCCCGGGGCATCGCCGCCACCACCGTCGAGGAATGCGTCAAAGCCGCGGCACAATTGAAGGGAGACGAAGTCGTCATCAAGTCCCAGATTTTGGCGGGAGGAAGAGGTCTAGGAACGTTCACGAACGGCTTCCAGGGCGGCGTGCATGTCATCCCGAAGTCCAAAACCCAAGAATACGCCGAAAAGATGATCGGCCAGACGCTCGTGACCAAACAAAGCGGCCCGGAGGGCAAGCCCGTCAATACTGTATTGATGGCGGAGAAGATGGACTTGGTGAACGAGATGTACTTTGCTATATTGTTAGATAGGGCCTTCGGCGGTCCTGTGGTCATTGCCTGCGCGGAAGGAGGCACTTCTATTGAGGATCTCGCGGAGAAGTACCCGGAAAAAATAAAAAAGGTCCCTATTGATATTGTTGCTGGCATGACCGATCAGCAAGCGTCGGAGATTGTCGATGCGTTGGAGATCTCTGGTAGCAAACCTGCAGCCATAGAACAGGTCAAGGCCCTCTACGGCGTCTTCCGCGATAGTGATTGCACCATGGTCGAGGTGAATCCCCTCGCGGAGGACAGCAACGGTACTCTGATTGCCGCCGATGCCAAGTTAGGATTCGACGACAACACGGCCTTCCGCCAGAAAGATATATTTGCCCAAAGGGACCACTCGCAGGAAGATCCTCGCGATGTGGCGGCCGAGAAGTGGGATTTGAACTACATTGGGTTAGATGGCTCGATTGGATGCATGGTCAACGGCGCGGGCCTCGCGATGGCCACCATGGACATCATCCAGATGCACGGGGGCTCGCCGGCCAATTTCCTCGACGTGGGCGGTTCGGCCAAGAAGGAACAGATCGTCGAGGCCTTCAAGATCGTGACCACCGACCCTAATGTCAAAGCCATCCTCGTGAACATCTTTGGCGGGATCATGAAGTGCGACGTGATTGCGGCCGGTATTGTCGCTGGTGTCGAGGAAGTTGGGTTGCAGATTCCGCTGATTGTCAGACTGGAGGGCACGAACGTCGACGCGGGCAAGGACATTATTAGGAACTCGGGTCTGAACATCCTCGCGGCGGACGACTTGGACGACGCTGCCAAAAAAGCGGTGGCCGCGATCGCCTAGTTGCCCGGGGGTTATATATAAGCACTAGCTTCGTCCACTTCTCCACGCCATCGAGCAGACGCAGCGCCAGGGGCATCGTCGCGTCGACGGCGTGGGGACTGGCGCGGGCAAATGGAGAGTCGTGGTAAAAACGCCTTACTCAGGACCTCCTCTTCAGCCAGTTCGCGATCATCGAGTAGTAGTGCTTGAGTAAATCCGTCGGCGGCTCTTCCGAAATTTCAGAAGCGAAGCGCCGCGCGAGCGCCTCGTGCGCGCGCGACGACAGATCCAGCGCGTCTTCATGCGTCGGCTCCCGTTCCCAGAGCGCCCGTTGACTCTCCAGGACCGCCTTCTGCGCGTCGGAAAAGTGCGCGGCGTTCGCCAGGCCTGACCCCTCCTCCGTCACTCGACTGTCGCCGCTCAGGTCCGCGTTCACCGCGGCCCGCCGCTTCTTCCGCGGGCCGTCCTCGCACTGCTTCTCCTGCCACTCGCTATACCTCGAAGCGTACTCCTCCTTGAGCTTCGCGCTTCGACGCTTGTAGTCCGATTTTACGGGGTCTTCGTCAGTCATCGCCGCCCAGTCGGCCTTCATCTTCTTCAGCAGGTCCGGAGGATTTAATGAGGGGAATTTCGTTCTATAAGTCTCCTTGAGGTCGCGGGACCACATGTCTAGGGCCTTGGGGTAACTTGTCGGTAGGGGCGGCGTGTCGCCACTCGTCGACACGTCACCTGACAATCTCTTCGCCTTGTTGATGGCCGCAGGATGAGTGGAAGGAACGAAGCCCTTGCAGGTCTTGACGAGGTTCCACTTCGCGGCCCAGGCCTTTTCGTCCTCGAGGAATTTGGGCATCGTTCTATCATATTCGGCTTGGTACGGTTGCCTCTGTTCTGGTGTCAAAGCTTTATACAGCTCGCTAATCTGTTTACGGACCTGGGCCTCGCTCTTCTGCGCACCTATCGTTTCCCGAGGCTTCGTCGCGCGGGACCATAAATCAAAAACGGAAGGAGGCTTTCGCGGTCGATCCGAATCCCAGGGCTCCGGTTGGACGCCCTGCGCCTCCTGCCAGGCGTCGCGCTCGGCGTGGGCCTGTTGCACGTAGGGCGCTCTAGCTGCCTCGCCCAGCTCCGCCCAGGTCAGCCGCATCTTCTCGTTGAGTTGCATCGGTTCCAACTCAGGATGTTGCCGCGCCAACCGGTCGCGCTGGGCGTCCCGATAGCGGTCGTAGGCCGACTTGGGCTGCATGAAGGACGGTTCGGATTTAATCGCTTCCGGTACTGGCTCTTCGGGCTCCTCGGGGGTTCCCCTTTTGGAAATGGCCTCGAGGGCCGCGTCCGTCGCGGCGTCCCTTGCCGAGGCCGGGCACCTTTCTAAGACGTCGAAGAGCTCTAGTATTAATTCTTCGCTGTTGTTGCTCGCCGCGACGGCGGTCATGGTTGGGAGAGGCTGTGGGCTCTCCGAGGCTGGAGCGGATTGGCGGCGCGTTACGCGTGGAAGCGCTGCTCTCGCGGTCGTGGGCGACGCAGGCGAACGCTGTCCAGTAGTAACTCCCAGCAGTAGGCTGGCTATAGCCTCCCAAAGCTCGCGGCCGAAAACACGGCTAGCTAGCGGCCTGTAAGACACTAGCAAGCAGCAAATTTCGAGTTCGGACGCGTCTGGACGAGTTTGAACCGTCCGGGCGGCGCCCGGAGTGGTCGGGACGCCTCCCGGGCCGCCCCGCCGGGCAGCCCTCAAAGCAAAAACAGGCAGTGGGCGGGAGACGCCGGCCGCACGCCTCGTCGCCGCGCCATAGGGACTCGTCGCTTCTGCAGCAGACGCATTACTCGCGCCCGAGGCAGCCCGCATTGCCGCGCAACCCATCGCTGGGGCAGCCCCTCTCACTCAAAGGCAGCCCAAGCAAGCATGCCTCTCGCCCGGCGGCGCATCGGCTCGTCCTTCGAGTATGGCCACCCGGACCTGTACCAGAACTCCCAGGCGGACACGATGCTGCAAGACGTGACGATGGCCTCGTCGACAGGCACGCTCGCGCAAATTGGGCTCCTGAGCCACTACGCGACCGAACTGTTCTCGGACTTATTTACGACGGCACAAGGCTTGCAGGAACGCCTGGATTCCGCGACGTCGCGCGTGCGCACGTTGAACGCGCAGCTGCCTCGAGTGTGTGATGTTGTGGCGAGATGTGACGGCGATAGTGTTCATAGAAGTGGCACGCTACCGGAGCGGGAGCACCCGCAGCGCGTCCAGTTTACGGTGGAGACGATGCCGCGAGGGCTGCGGGAGCGGTACGACGCGCTCGAGCCGCCGCCCGATTTTTCTAGAATTGATGCTTTACTACCTCCAGAGGTCCTGGAGAAGGAAGGGCCGTCGTCGCAAAAGTTCTCGCACCCCGGTCTATTCTTGGACCAGTGGGCTCAGGAAGAACTGCGGAAGATGGAGGAGTTGAAGAAGCGGCGCCAGGAGGAACGCGAGGAGCGGCGGCGACGGCGGAAGGCGCTTCCCAAAAGAGAGAGGAAGCCGGTGCCGAAGGTCGAGGCGCCGCCTCTTATTGCGGAGGACCAAGCGCCTCCGGCGGAGAGCGCGCCTGTTACGCCAGCGACGCGCGAGGAGCGGCCGACGATCGAGATCCCAGAAACGCCGCCGCCCGTCGTGCCGCCGCCGACCATCGACAACTCGCCGTCCGCGCGCGAGTCCGAGGACTACGCGCGCTTCGCGCGCATGCTGCGCATGGGCGTTCCCAAGCAAGCCGTCGCGGCCAAGATGCAAGCCGAAGGTCTGGATCCGTCTGTGTTGGACGACAGCGACGACGACAGCGCGGCGTCGCCCGTCCAACCACAAATCGCGCGCAAGAAGCCGCCGCCGCCGCCCATGCCGCGGAAGAAGCCTCCTCCGCCTCCGATGCCGAAGACAGCGGCGCAGCCGTCCCCACCGAAGAAGAAGCCGCCGCCGCCGCCCATGCCCAAGGCGAAGGCGCCCGCGATGCCGTCCGGTTTACTAGGAGCCATCCAGCGCGGCGCGGCGCTCAAGGAGGTGGAATCGGCGCCGCGACCGGAGCGGCCCGAGAGCGCGCTGCTCCAGGCCATCAAGTCCGGCGGGACGCTGCGGAAAGTGGTCCGAGAGCAGAAGCCGCGGCCCGCGCGGCGGGGCCTGTTCGGCGGCGAGGTGGACAAGATCCTCGCGCTCCGCGCGCGCGTCGGCGCCGAGACGGACTCCTCGAGCGGCTCCGAGTGGGACGCAGGGAGCGACTCGGGTTAATTTTTGTGTGGTTTTCTTAGGCGCCTAGTGGCCGAGCTGGTAGATGAATGGCGTGTACTGGCAACGCCAGTAGCCGAGGATGTGCCAGGCGATCTCCGGCGGACACCGGACGAGGAATTCGAGGCTTCGCATGTTCGGGCCGTTGTGGCGCGTCGCACGCGGGAGGACGGCGCGCCGTCGAAGCGCGAGGCTCCGGAGCCGAAGGACCGCCGCGCGAGGTCTCCGGTCGTAAGCTCTCCAGCCGCCGGCCGCGCGTACCCCTGCGACCACGACCCTCAGGGCATCGAAGCAGTTGCCGGGGGGCAGGGGCGGGTCAGCCCGGTTTTCTTGTTCATCCAGAAGCAGTTCGGAGGAATGGATAGTTCCAGTTACCGGGTTCCTCCAAGCACAATCCAGCGACGGCAGAGCTCGCATTAGCAAGAGTGACATCTCCATGCCAGAACGTGACGGTCCGGCTTGTCTCATTCTCTGGTACACCAGCGACAGCGGATTATGGTTTCGATAATTCAGCGCGAGAACGTTTGCCCCCGCGTTGAGCAAAAGAGCCGCTAGAGGGACCTCGGGCCCGGATTCTGAATGGCTACTCTCCCTGGCACGGCCATAATTCCGACCATGTGCAGCGTAATGGAGCGGCGTGTACCCATGTTGGTCGCTGTGGTTCACGTCCGCGCCTCGCGCGAGCAAGAGCGGGTGTCCCGAAGCCCGCGGTGGCCCAGAAGATGCGGACCGACGGGTTGGATCCCTCGGTCCTGGACGATAGCGACGACGACAGTAGTGTGGACTCGTCCGTGACGTCGAAGCGGTCGTCGGCGCCGCCGCCTCCCCCATTGCCGCGGCCGGCGGTGGTCGTCGAGGACGAGCCCGTGCGAGCCGCGACGCCGACGCAGGGTCTTATGTCCGGCAATTTGTTGTCAGCTATTCAACAAGGGACTACTCTAAAAAAAGCGGTTGTGGAGGAAGAAGAAGTCCGAGAGAAGCCGAACGACCTGCTGAGCGCCATCAAGCGCGGCGCGAACCTGCGGAAAGTGTCCGACGCGCCGCCCGCCGAGCCGCCGAAGACGCAGGGTCGGGGCGGATTATTAGGAAACGAGGTCGACAAGATCCTCAACCTGCGGGCGAAGATCGCGGCGGCGTCGGAGTCGTCTTCATCAGACTCGGGGAGCGACTGGGACTAACTTATACGTAGCTGTAGTTACCGCACCTCGGCGACGGCGTCTCGCGGGCGGGAGCGGCTGGGACTAACTATACGTGGCTAGTTCTTGCCGCCCTGGCGACGGCCGTAGGAAACGTAGTAGAGACATAGAGGACGGTTACCGGGGGGGGGGATGGAAAGCGAGACGCCTACTTCCAGGACGAGCCGTAGAGCTGCGTCTCCGTGTGGCCGTGGAGCTTGCGCTTCTTCGGGATGCCCTCGGCCGTCGCCTCCTTGGCGCCGCCCTCGCGGTCGCGGAAGTTCACGGCGTCCCCTTTGACGTCGGAGATGCCGACCATGGCCTTGCCGAGGTTCGTCGACGTCTCTAACAGCACTTTGGGGTCGCTGTAGTGGGCGACCGCGCGCACGATGGCCTTGGCTCTTTTTTCCGGGTCCTCGGACTTGAAGATGCCGGAGCCCACGAACACGCCGTCCATGCCGAGCTGCATCATGAGCGCCGCGTCCGCCGGCGTGGCGACGCCGCCGGCCGCGAAGTTTACGACGGGCAGTCTACCCTCTTCGGCCACTTGCTTCACGAGTTCGTACGGAGCCTGCATCTCCTTCGCCGCCACAAACAGCTCGTCCTCGTCCATGGTCGTGAGCATCTTGATCTGCTTCTGGACCGTGCGCGCGTGTCTCACGGCCTCTACGACGTTCCCCGTGCCGGCCTCGCCCTTCGTCCTGAGCATGGAGGCGCCCTCGGCCACTCTACGGAGCGCCTCACCTAAATTGCGGCACCCGCACACGAAGGGCACCGTGAACTTGTTCTTGTTGATGTGGTTGTCCTCGTCGGCCATCGTCAGGACCTCGGACTCATCAATATAATCGACTTCCGCCGCCTCGAGGACCTGGGCCTCGACGAAGTGGCCGATGCGCGCCTTCGCCATGACCGGAATGGTCACGGCCTTCTTGATGCCCTCGATCATCTGCGGGTCGCTCATGCGCGCGACGCCGCCATCAGCTCTAATGTCGGCGGGGATGCGCTCCAAAGCCATGACGGCGACGGCGCCGGCGGCCTCGGCCTGCGTTGGGGTCGCGTCGATGGCGTGGCGCGGCGTTTCCGCGCTCTGATTCAGCGGTCGGCGGCCGGGTGTGTGTGGTCTTGGGTTTGCGGCGTCTTCTGTAGACGCGTGCGCCGCGGACCGGCGCATCGATGGCGCGGACCGCCCGGCCGGGGTGTGGCGCGGCGTGGCGCGGCGTCCTGGCGCTCTGATTCAGCGCGCGCTCGGCGGCGCCGAGCTGTCCTCCCCAACAGCTCTGGAAGTTGGTAAAACGCAGCGCAAAGGTTTGCAAGGGTTCGGCACCGATAACGCACGATGCGCGCCTGCTCGGCGTCGATGACGTCCATGATGACGCCCCCTTTGAGCATCTTGGCCATCCCAATTTTGACGTCGGCCGTGCCCGTCGTCGCCTGGCGGCTGGTCTTGTTCTTGGCGCCCTCGCCCTTGCCCATGGTTGCTTTATAAGTGATTCGGTGCTGTCCGGCGCTCGTTTGCGCTGTGACCAGACTGCTACTCTCACTGCTGTCTGCAGTCTGCAGGCGATGGAGCTGGCACGAGACTAGCGGCCGGAAGCGGACGGAAAGTACTTCTACGGGCAAGCGGGAGATGTACCAGGAGCCCTGAACCGAAGCAAAGAGGCGTCCCGATCGTGCGGGTTTTACTCTCTAGCGTCCACGGTCCACACGCGGACCACTCGAGAGTGCCAGAGAGCAAAGACATATGTCTACAATGTCATTCTTACGCACACGCCTCCAAGCGGTAGATGCGGATCCGCCACGCGCGACTCCCAGGCCGGCGGGATCAGCGCCGACTGCTGAAATCACGTTCCAAAGTTGGCGCTGAAATCATTTTCCAACTCGTCGGCCGCGAACTGGATCTTCATGAAGGGATAGATGAAGGCGGCCGCCTTGGTCTGGTCTTCCCAGCGCGCGCAGTACGCCCGCGCCTTGTCGATGATGTAATTCGGGATCCCTCCATACATAGTTTCGTCGAGCCACACCTGGCCATATTCACCGCTCATGTCCAAGACGAAGCCCGCCGCCTGCGCCGGGTCCTCCCAGCACTCCAGCTCGTCGCCGAGCAGATTCGGCTGCTGGTGGAAAAAGAGCGGCGCGCCAATGGCCCGCGACCAAGCGGCCACGAGATCGCCGGGGTGGCACTCCCGTTCTTCAGCATCTTCGGCGAGCGAGGGCCGGCCGCTGTGGCCGGCGCGGCGCGCAAACTCGCGGTGCGAGTATTCGCACGCGGCAAGGATGCGGCGCAAGCCATCGGTAGACGGCTCCACGAGACAGAGGAAGAGGTAGGCCTCATGGTAGGAGTCCCTCGTCCACAAAAGGAGGATGAAGAGTACCTCGGCCGGCTCGAGCGCCCAGGCCTCCCGGAAGAGAGCCCGCGACGCGTCGGACAATCCGGCCAGTCGCTCCTGCCAGGTCCTCGCGCGCCCCAGAGGCGTACCGTTATCGGTCATATAACTGCCCATGACGCCTTCGATGGTCGCTTTTCCGTTTCGCGCCACCTCGCAGACGGGGCGCCAGCGGCCGCGGGTGAGGGCGCGCCGCGCCGCGGTGCGCGTGCCTTTGGATAGCTGCTTCGCTAGCGAAGCGGCATCACCCAGCGCGAGGAATTCGACGCAACGAATCTGCAGCTCCTGCGGCAGAGCAACGAATCGAGAGGGTGAGCTCTCCTGGCTGCTTTTGTGCGCACGTAGAGCAGCCATGGCTCAAACGAACGCTGCGGCAGCAACGCGCGGTAGCTGGCAGACCCAAATGAAGCGTTAGCTCCGATGTTTGTCAGGGCAGCCGAGCTAGCGGCCTGTAAGACACTAGCAATCAAACGTATACGCGTAGCAGCGCCTACTGTGACGGGTTCGGCGGATCAAACAAGCCGGAAAAACACAAAAGGTCCATTAGTCGTCCAGCCCCGCCGTCAGCCCCGCGAGCCGCGTCGTCGACTCGCGGATCCGCGCCAGCAGGTCGGCGTGCGACGCAGCCGGCGAGCCCGGCGGCAAATCGAGAGGCAACTGTTTTTTCCGTGATGACGGCGGCGGGAGCGACCGCGCCCTCCCAAAGACGTCCGTGCCCGGCGGTAGTTGTCGCACGCCGCCGTTTTGCGGGCACGCGACCCTAACATTTTTGTGGCAAAAAAAGGCCGTCGCGTAGTGGGCTTTGGCGTCGACAATAACTCCCAGCGACGCCTTCTTGCCAGGATCCGCCCGTAACTCGATAAACAGCGGCTGCTGCGGCGCGTCTCTCGCGGACGCCCACGCCTCCGCACAACTCCCTTTGTCGTCGCCTCGAAAACCACCCCCAGAAGCATGCAACGCCAATACGGTCCTTCCATCTCGTCTTGTCACGGCCACGGCGCCGCGCGCGTCCGCGACCAGCGCGAGTTGACCGGTCTCGTAAAAACAGCGCAGACACTGCGCGTCCGACGCGACGGAGACGCCTCCTCTAGGCCATCTGCAGACCACCGAACCGTCGGCGTGGCCCGCCACCGCAATGGTCTTGCCGCTCTTGTAGGAGGCCTCGTAGGGGGTAAATTTCGAGGGTGCCGCGGGCCACGTTGTCCTGGTGGCGTCCTGCACGATGGGCGGCAAAGGAGGCGACTTGGGCTTCTTCCTTCTTCTACGTTTCGGTTTTTCTCGCGGTTTTTTAGTGTCGAGGCCCGCGACGGCGTCGGCGAGCGACATGTCGTCGCTCGGCAGGCGCCGAGGGCGCGGTTGTACAGGAGACGGGCTCCGCTTCAGCGCGGGCAGGTCGTCCGCGTCCGAGGCCGGCGTCGGCGCCGTTGTCGGTTCCGCCGAGCGGCTCGACTCCGTAACTCGCGACCCCGAGACCAGCCTCGGGGCGGCGGGCGTCGGCGTCGCCGTCACCGAGGGCGTCCGCGACGAGGCGGCGGGCGCCGGCGTCTTCATTGCGGACTCGATCTTGCGGTTGTGCAGCTCCCGACTCCGCTCGTCCGCGCGCAACCGGTGCCGCGCGACCTCGCCCGCCTTACTACTGGAGAAGGCGTCCGCTTCTGTACGATCCTCCACCGTCACGGGATTGCCGTCGCACCACCTCAGTCGAGGAAATAAGGACACAACAAAGGACCGGTAGTCGCCCAACTCGGACGCGTCTTGTATTGGATTCGGTCCGAGTTCCAGCACTCGTAGTGTCGCTACGTGCTCCAGACACAGCAATTCGGACGGGGCCTCTATTTCATTACTGCCGAGCCAGAGCTCCTCGAGGAAGTCGAGTTCTTGTAATGGTAAGGTGCACCGCTCGCGCTTGCCGATCCTATTCTCATGTGCTTGTAGTACGCGCAGATTACTCAGTTGCGCGACGCCGTCCAGAGACTCGAGGGCGTTGCGCGAGACATCTAAAACTTGCAGGTGCGGCAACGATCGTAGTGTAGACAAAGAAGTGAGCTTGTTTGCGGATAGAGACAGGTGGCAGAGCTTGGAAGCGGCGGGCCACGGGGCCTCGGCAAGGAAGGGCGGTACCGTAGCGTAGCCGCGGCCCTGTCGCAGCAAGACGCCGGGCGCGTCGCAGACCGCGTCGTCGTCGTCGGGGTCCGTCGCGTCCGGCGCCGGCGTCGTACCGGCGTCGGACATGCTGTCCGACACCCAGGTTTACTCGCGCGCGCGACGACGGCGGGGCGCAGCGCCTGCGTATTCGGGCTGCAGGCAGCCTCGACGGCGCCTGGACGCCGTTTCGCGGCCGGGGGCTGCGGTTAGGGCCCGCAGCTTGCGTAGCGCCAGGAGCGCCAGACCTGTCAACCGGTTGTTGGGCGCTGCAAAGCGCACGCGCCGCCTAGCCTAGAAAGGGGAACACCACAGCGCCGGACGCCGTCACGAAACGCCTTGCGACGGAAGGAGGCTGCCTTTACCATGGCCGCGCCGCCGCCGCACCGCATTCGAGTTGTTTGTAGACTAAGGCCCGCCGACGACGCCGCCGTGGAGGTACGAGGCGCCTCGCTCATCGTGCCGAAGAACCGCAGCGTGCGCGAGTCGCGGGACGAGTTACCAGCTCAAGGTGGGCTGCGGTTTGGCGTCGATGCCGTCTACGATCAGAGCGCGTCGCAAGTGTCCGTTTTTGAAGGCGAGGCGGCGAAATTAGTCGACGGCGTCGTCGACGGCGTCACGGGTACGTTGTTAGCCTATGGGCAGACCGGCGCGGGCAAGACCTTCACCGTGCTCGGAAGAGGCGGGACGGCCAGTGGCGCGAAATACGACGACCGCGGCTTGGTACCGCGGTGCCTGGAGCGACTCTTCGCGACGGCCATGCGGAAAAGACGTTCAGGGCGTGTCGTGGACGTGCGGTTGTCGGTTTGTGAAGTATACAACGAGACGGTCGTGGATTTGTTGAGGCCTCCACCGGAGAAGGGGCAGCCGGTCGGCTTGCCCGTCGTCGAGAGGAACGGGTTGACGGAGATCAAAGGCTTGGAGAAGGCTCCTGTTGCTAGCGCCGCGGACGCGTTGCAGTTGCTCTATGATGCGGAGATTAACAGAGCGGTCGCCTCTCACGCGATGAACTGCGCATCCTCTCGATCGCACTTGGTGGTGACGGGCCACGTCGTCTGTAGTCACGGGGAAGATGTTACGGAAGCGAAACTAACGATCGTGGACTTGGCTGGGGCTGAACGCGTCAATCAAACACAGTCAAGGGATGGTACAGCGACTCTCAGAGAGGCAGGCTACATCAACAAGTCGTTGGCCTTCCTAGAACAAGTTGTCGTCGCGTTAGGAGACGACAAGCCGAGGTTGCACATCCCCTACCGCTCTTCCAAGCTCACGCATGCGCTCAAGGATGCCTTAGGTGGCACTTGTAGAACAACTTTGATTGCGTGTGTGTGGCCCTCCGCAGCTCAAGCGGATCAAACGAGGGCTACCTTGAGATTCGCGGCGCGCATGGGCCGCATCACGTGCGCTCCGGTCGTTGGTAGACGTAGAAGTGCTTCGGAAGACGCGGCGTCTAAGGTAGTAGCAAGGAAACTGCGCAACGAGGTGGCCGTGCTACGAGCCGAACTGGCGGCTAGAGACTTGATAAGGGGAACGCCGCCGCCGGCCTACGCCTACGGGCCGCTGACGGACGCCGACGAGGTCCAGAAATGTGCGAAAGTCGCGCGAGCGTATGTCGACGACGGCACGGTGCCGCCCGTCATTACCGTGGGTCAAGTGCGCGCCGTGTATGCGGCTCTTCGTGACTTGTGCAGCCAGGCGCCGCCCGCGGCAACGCCGGCGGCGCCGCCTTCCGAGACGCCGGCTCGACAAAGCCGGCGCCTCTTCGCGACGCCTCTTGCAAGTCCGCCGCCGCCAACCGAGCAATTGACGTCATCTAATTTAGAAGCGCACCAATCCATGACGAACGAGGAACTCTTCAAAAGGTGGCGGTCGTCGACAACAGATCAAGAAGTTATTGACGTTGAGGAAGATTTACGAGCGTGCGCTTCTAGAAAGAAGGAGCTCAAGACCCTATCCAAGAAACTTGTTACAGATGTCAACGACGCCAAGACGCGCATCGACGAGGAGTTGCAAGCGTTACAGGCGACGGGCGGCGCGGACGAGTTCGGCGACGACTCCGAAGCAGCGCATGCGGTGGCGTCCTCGAAAATTAGGGATGCGAAGCGCGTCTACCGTTCAGCGTTCGAAGCGCGGAAGCAGGCCCAGATGGAACTCGTGCACGTCGACGCGCGGCGGAAGTACTTGTTCCGCTTATTGGTGGCCAAGTTCCAGGCCGCCCATGATTTAGTAAGCACTTAGCTTAGTCGTCCTCGTAGCTCTCGCCGTCGGGCTCGATGGACGCGTCGACCTTCGCCGCGAGCGCGGCGAGCTGCTTCTGTTTATCGGCAAAAGCCTTCTTCTGGGCGGAAGACGCGTTTTTGTTCCCACCGATGAAGTTCGAGGCCTTCCGCGCCATGTCCGTATGGACGACGACGTTGCCGTCGACTTTTTCCGCTGGGTAAAAAGTGTCCGCGGTACCGTCTCCGGTCGTATCCACACCGGCCGTGTCGATCGTGCCCGCACCCTTCGTATCTAACAATACTGTTTTTTTGCCGGAACCGACTTTTCGGTTGGAGGTCCGTTGCCTGTTCCCAGCCTGGTGTTCGAGTTCATCGGCCGCCGCCGGCAAATACGCTAAATCAGCGGCGGCATGATCCAAGGGATTCACCCTCACGACCATGCACGTGATGTCGTCCCGGTAGTCGCCCTCCTCCTCGTTCCATTTAGCTGCTGCTTCCAAAATTAATTCTCTGCAAGCTCCCGTCGCGTCATCTTTTTGTACTAAGTCCTTGCATAAGTCCACGGCGTTTTTTGATTGGATGAACTCCCAGATGCCGTCGGAAGCCACGATGAAGAAGACATCGTTATTTGTTAATGTGTACGTTGATATCGCGGGGTCGGCAATCACTCCCACATGTTTCACGCATCGATCACCTAATGATCTAGACATTGCTAACCCCACTTGCGTGAAATTAGCGTTCAAATACACGCGCGCGGAGAAGCCTTCCTTCGTCCGCGGTTTCACAAAACCACCAGCCGCTTCGATGCGAGCCTGTTCCTCGGGCACGTCGGGGTTGTGGTCCACGGTCAGGTCCTTGGCTATGATTTTCGAGCCTTTCTTCGTCGCGAGGACGGCTCTGCTATCGCCCGCGGACGCGAGTGTCAGAGTCTTGTCCACGAGAACGGCCACGACGGCAGTAGTGCCGGAGTGCTTACATCTAACTGTAGGATCCTTCTTCATGGCCAAGTCGCAGGCCAGGAAAGTCGTCTTGAGAGCCACCGGCAGGTCCGTACTAAATGAAGGGTGTTTGTGCAGGTTGTCGCGGATGTACTCCATCGCGAACTGCGAGACCTCCTGGCCGTGCTCGCCGTGCCCATCATACACGGCGAACAACGCCCGTCGCGGGTCCTCGCCGTAGGGCTGCACCACACACCCGCGATCTTGATTGATCTTCGCCATGGCCCCGTCCGTGAAATAGGACGGTTCGATGCCGTGGCACGAAAACGTCCCGACGATGTTCGACGGGAACGGCGACAGGGCCCAGTCCGGCTCGTAGATCTCGCTGGCGGCGTAACTAATATCCCGCGACCGCCGGTGCTCGCGACTGCCTTGCGGGGGCCGCTGGACGAGCGTCTCGGTGTTGGAATCGGGCTTCTTGCCGATGCTCCGCCGTCGGCTCCGCTTCTTCGGGTAGGCGTCCGTGCCGGGCGGGACGCCGGAGAGGGGGTCTCCAGTCTGTGCCTCGGCCTTCATCTGCTTGAGGCGCGCCGGGTTGAGGGGCGCGGGCACCATCCTTGCGTCGCTCTTGGTTGTTCTTCTCCACCGTAGCGTCGATGGGAGCTGCGCGGGCCTTGGAGCGGGCGTGAGGTTGTCGAATGGACCCCGCTTCACAAAGCTCCGGGGCAGCCTCGCGGCCGTGGGGCGATCTCACGCCAAAGGGGGCCGGTGGTGACAGCGGCCGTTTTGGCTAGTGCCTTACAGCCGCTAGCTTTCCGAGCCCTCTTTCTAGTGTTCCGTCGGACGCGTCGGGGCCTGCGAGCAATGCGGGGCGGTCCTCGGGAGCGGGCCATGTTTGCCATTTTGGCAGAGGCTCTGTGTAGGGCTGCCGCCGCGCCGCAGCCGCAATGATTGCAATGCGGGGTCACCAGTGGCCCTGAAGATGCGCGCCGTCGTCGCCGCGGCAGCACTGACGGCAGCCCACGCCTACGGCGACGGCGCGGCCCGGCACCGCCTCGAAGAGGCGGAACGCTGGCTCTACGCCGGCGCGCCGCCTCCGAGCAATTGGGAGATCACGTCCAAACGCGACCTGCCGCCGTCCAATAAGTGGTCGGACCTGAATAGCGGCAATTCCAAGCGTGTCCGAGCGACGACGTACGCGTCTCGACCCGTCGTCGTCAAGGAGGCCCTCGCGAAGGGCCACTGGAACGAGAGAAATGTCAGAGGTGAATTACTATGGCTCGAGTACCTGCGGGGCGCGCCGGGCATACCACGATTGTATGGGGCCTTCTTCACCGACAACGGCACGAAAGTGTCGCTGGTCGCGCAGCGCGCGGGCCACCCGCTCGCCCGAGGTAAAGGCACACGGCATTCCAGAACCATGCTCCTGAAAGAATGGAAAAATTGGTGCTCGTCGCGACCGGTCGAGGCGCTGCGCGCGCTGTTAACGTGTTTCCGGTCCTTCGCGGAAGTTGGCGGTTCCTTTCTCTCTGACTTCTCGCCGCACCAATTTACGGTGGGTAAGGACGAAGTCTTCCTCATCGACGGGCCCGACGCGCTGAGTGGGCCTTTATACGACGTCTTCGCCGCCCGTAACCTGCCGACCGTGTATGCCGGGCCGGTACGAAAGTGCTCCTCCGAGGATAAGTGTCCGGCGACGTCGCCGGCGCACTGCTGCTGCGGCGGTACTAGCGCGAAGACGCGCTGCGAGAAGGGCGCCAAGGGCGCGCCCGAGGCGGCGGGCGGCTGCGCGGCCGGCTCTTGTCAACGCGTCTCGGCGAAGACCCACGTTTTTGACGTGGCGGCGAAGGTCTGGGCCTTCCCCTATGTCCTAAACTTCGTCGAGCTCGCGCCCGCGCGGAAGCTGGCGCTGCGGCGGCTCCAGGTCTGGATGGAGCGGCCCCTCGTGGGCGACCGGCCGAACTTCACGGAGGCGCTCGCGGCGCTCGACGGGGTCTCGTAGTAACGCGTTGTTTTTGTGGTGACCTGCCGAGTCGTCGGAGGAGTCCGGGCGCCGTGCGCGTTCGCGGGGCCAGGCCCAAGGCTCAGGCTAGTTACGTCGCAGGGTCCCCCGTACCCCTCCCGCTCCCCCCGGGCCCACCCGTCCGGCTGGACTAGGAAGTAAGGTGCCGTGCTAGAGTGTTACGGTTTGCGCAGGATCAGATTTGATGGCCAAGAGCCTTGTAGGAGAGCTGCCCTTGCGCGCCGCAGGCGCCAGTTCCGGACGGAGAGGAACGTAGGACCAACGCACGCGCACGGGGGCTGCGGTGCTCACGTCGTGATGGCGCCCGCCGCGGCGCGCGCGCGAGAAGCCGCCGAGGCGCCCGCGCCCGCGCCGAGCGTCGAGGACGCGGCGGCCGGCTGGGCCGCGGTGACCGAACTCATCGACGCGCGGATGCAGGAAGCAATCCTTCACCATCGTTATTGCGCCGAGTTAGCGAATCAGATGCGCGAGTCTATCAAGGACGTCGCGGCTGAATATGTCTGTCCGCTCACCCTGGAATTGCCGGTCGACCCCGTCATGGCTAAAGATGGCCGGATCTACGAACGCAGCCACATCCTCGCGTGGTTGAGCCGGAACGCAACGAGTCCGGTCACCCGCGAGCCCATGGGAACGGAATTGACACCGGTGCCAATAATTAGGAACTCAATCGAAAAGCTCGTTAGTAGCGGCGCTATCGAGGGCGACATCGCCGAGGCCTGGCAGAAAGCCTCGGCGAAGAAGCGGGCGGACGAGATGCTAGTGAAGGAGACGCGCGCGAAGGCGGAAGGCGGTGAGGGTGACGCTATGTATCTGCTCGGCGCGTGGTACCAATTAGGCATGAACGGCCTCGCGGTGGACAAGGCGCAAGCCCGCGCGTGGTACGAGCGCAGCGCTGCGGCCCGCGACCCAAGAGGGCTGGCGACGTTTGGTTGCTTTCTCCTGGATGGCATCGGTGGGCCCCAGGACAATGTATTTGGGATCATGAATTTGGCCCAGGCGGCGGAGCTCGGATCGGACTATGGCGCGTATATACTTGGCCACGCGTTCTTCAGTGGCGATGGCCTGCCGAAGGACCCCGTGCGAGCGCGATACTGGCTGAAGAAGGCCGTCGACGGCGAGTGCGAATTCAAGCTCCTGTTCCATGATGACAGATCCGCTGCTGAGCAAATGCTCGAGGCGCTGGAGTCCGGCGGTGGAGTAATTTCCTAGAGTAAATGAACGCATTACCTCAGCGCCCCGACCCACTCCCGGTCGCTCGCGTGGACCTCGTCGAGCGCGGTCCAGCCCCCGTGGAAGTCCGCGTCCATGAGCTCCTCCCACTCCTGGCACTTGGGGTCCTCGCGGTAGCGGCTCCGCGGGCCAGTCGCTTCGCCAAGATCCGTGGCGCCGGCCGTCGTGACGTACAGGAAGAGCGTCGACGTGTTAGGAGCGCGGAAGATCGTGAGCTGCGTCACGCCGGCGGCGCGGAGCCCCCGGCAGACCTCGGGCCAGATGTGGTCGTGGTAGTGGAGGTACTCCTCCATCTTGCCGTCTTTGACGGTCGTGGTGAAGGCGTAGCGCATCTTTGCACTTCTGCGACGTAACTTGCACGGCACGGCTGCGTTGCGAGCGAATGGGTCGCGGCACGAATTTATGCTGCACGACTGCTGCTCCCGCGCGCGGACGGCTGCGACGAGCTATGCTGCCTGACAAAGTGCAGCAGTCTGTACTGGCCTGTGGGCGGCTTTGTACACGGTCCGTTCGCTGCCGTTCGATAGTTTAGAGCTCCTTAGCTGCGTTCAGCACCTCAGCTCGGGTCTGCGTCGAGTTAAGCCACAAATGTATGCACAGAATGCTAGCGGGCTGTAAGGCACTAGCAAGCAGAGCAAAAACGACCGCACAGTTCCAAAATTGCCCTTGTAACGCCATCGACGCGTTGCGGAGTCGCACGACTTGTTTCTGAACGCCGCAACCCAATCCTCAAAGCTCCGGGCCCGCCCGCGCACGCGTTTGGGCACCTCGCCGCCAGAGCCTGTCCCAGGAGCGCGCGAGCGGCAGCGATGCAGCCGAGCACGACCCAGGTCCTCACCGCAGCAGCTTTGAGCTGCATGCTCCTCTTATACCTGCAACGGCGCCGCCTCCCCACGCGAAGGGCCGCGATCGAGATCAGAGACGAGGCGACTGTCATGTTAGTTGCTGATGTGGACTACCAGCAAAAACGGGTGCTGCGGGAGGTGCACCTGCGTGAGGTGAAGCACTCCGCTTCCAGGCGGCTGGAGGATGTGGTAAGAGCCTTGGTCGCGGAAGCGCGCGACGTCGGCGCCGAACAGGCCACGGTGTTCGAGCGGCCCAAGGTCTCCGTGGGCACGTCGGTCTTGCGGGCCGTCGAGGACCGCTGGCGGCGGTCGCGCTGCGACGGCGCCTTCGACCTGCGGGTCGTGTCGTTTCTGGCGCAGGCGCCGCCGTGGCTGCCTTCCTAGCCGTGTGTAAGTAACCTTATCTATCGCGGGGGACGGTCTCTGTGGTCCTGCTCGGCGAGGGCGTTGAAACGGCAATAGATACTACAGATTTACGCGCAAAACTAGTCCGCCTTCTCGTCGCGCCGCTTCTTGACGCGCGAGAAGGGCGAGATGGCGTCGTCGAAGATGTAGCGCAGGACCGTGCCCGGCCAACTATAGCACTGCGGCAGGTCACTATAAAATTCCGGCGCGATCTGCGTCACCAGCGGCAGCCGCGACCAGGGCACGCTCGGGAAGTCGTGGTGCTCGTTGTGGTAGCCCACGTTGTACGCCAGGGCGTTCAAGGGCCCGTAGTAGGAGTAGGTCTCGGCCGTGCCCTCAAAAACATAATGTTCCGCGATGAAGTGGCCGGCGGTGGGATGGATCGACCCGGCGAAGAAGGTGGACAGCAGCAAATATAATAAAGCTGACCGCCCGAAGCACGTGAGTATGACCGCGTCGAAGGCCAGGACCACGGCCCAGTTCAGCAATATCCACCGATCGACCGGGACCAAGTCGGGCTTCACGATCATGGGCCTCAAGGCGTACCCAAAAATCTGGCAGAACATGAAGACGAACTTTCGTAGAGTGTGATCTATGTAGGAGGTCGCCGTGCCAGAAATCAACCACGCTTCGAGGTATGTGGGTATATCGGTATCAATACCATCATCACCTTGCTGGGCATGGTGGGCCATGTGGTAGGGTTTAAATGTGACCGCGTAGGCTATCGTAATGGGACAGTTCGCGACCATGGCTATCAATCGATTCTCGGCCCAGGACTTGGCCCCCAGGCCGTGCGCGAGCTCGTGGATCGCGAGGAACAGCGAGTGGTTCGCCGTCGCTCCGATCACGTAGGTCGCGGCGAGGTAGTAGGGCCACCGCCACTCCTTCACATACGACGCGACCCAGACCTGGAGGGCCACGGTCAACACAACGAGGTATTTCGTGAGGGGTTCATAACCGAACAATTTCTGGATTTCCGGGTGGACCTTGAGGATGGCTCGTCTTCTTATCGCGTGCGGCTCCTCTTGCGTGCGGTAGACGAAGTCCCAGGGCCTTTCTAACGGTTGGGCTCGCGCGCCCTTGCCCATCGTTTGGCCGGTAGCGCGTCGGCTGTCTTTTCAGAGGTCTGGCTGCTGTCCCGTAACGCTATACGTCTACGGGGGTGCGCTGGCGTTGTACGGCGCGCGTCGGGGCCGCGCGCGCGTGGTGCCGAAGCGATGCAGTTGCTGCTGCAAACTTTCGAGCTGGCGCTGCGCTGGACGTCTGATACGTCGTGATTTGTGCCGCGGACGGGTGCAGCTGGTACGCTGAGACGTGTGGCACAGCTCTGCTATAGTCGAATTTCTCTGGCGGCGCGTGTGCGCGGTTCGAGATGCGAGTTGGACGGCGCCGCGTCGACGCCAACTTTCTTTGGGTGCGGGGTGGCTGGCCGGAAGATTGATCCGACGCGTCCACGGGTCTTCGAGTACCAGGTCTCGCAGTTAGCCAGGTCCCAAAAGCCGCCTCTGACAGGTGCATTCGACAAGGCAATTTGTGAGCTGCAGTTGTCGTATAGCGCGACTGTCAGCAAGCGTCGAGGGTCAAACGGGTCTCCTGAGTACTCGTGAGACCGGCGACAAGCGCGACGATGGGCAAAGGCGCTGGTAAAGGCGCGCAAAACCCAGCAATGATGGCCTTACATGATGGACATTGCTGCACAAAACCCCTTGAAAATATCTCCCGCCCTCTTCCCGCCGTCTAAGGACGCATCTTTTATAGCAGTAGCCGCGCCGACGGCGTCTTCGCCCGCGGGTACGCCGTCGACGCGCACGATACGCACGCCGCCACCACGTGCGTACGATAACCTCCAAACAATTAGATTACTTAACCCAAAGCCCCGATCCCCGCCGACGACGCCGCGATCGCCTCGCTCACGTCGACCTGCACGCCGACGTAGTATGTCACCGCTCCTTCGCTGTCCCTTAAGGGCGCGATGAAGAAGCGGTTCCAGAAGGTTTCGCCGTCCTTGCGGTAGTTTAGTAGCGTCACGAGGCACTCGTGCTCGCCGGCGACGGCGTCGCGGATCTCTCCCACTCGTCTAGGGTCCGTCCGAGGACCTTGCAGGAACCGGCAGTTCCGGCCGATGACTTCCTCTCGAGCATAGCCGGTCATCCGCAGGAAGGCGTCCGACGCCCAGACGATCGGATTGTCCGGCTGTCGCGGGTCCGTGACGCAGAAAGATCGCTGGGCCTCCTGGATGACTTTCACTAAGCATAGGTCACCGCGGGCCATCGACTCGTCCCTCGACGTAATCGCTGAATTGTCCTCGCTCCCTAACTCTGCGAAGAGCTTCGCGCGTTCGCTTTCGTCCAAATGTTCTCGAGCTATTGCTTTCAACCTCTGATTCGTCTCCTGGAGCGTCTGGAGCCGTCGTCGGAGAGCGGACGCGAAAAACCCTCGTCTCAGTCTATGGCCCTTCGCGAAGGCCCGCGCGACCTTGTTCACGTCGCCCTCGGCGGCCTCGTCGTCTGACGCGTCGTAGTCGACCTCTTCAACTGTCCTCGAAGGTGGCCGCGGCGGCGGCGCGCGCTTCCCGAACAGAAACGCCATCTGCGCGCTGTGGCCGGCCCAGGACCCGCTCCACTGGGGCGCGTCCTCCTCATCTATTGATACGGGTGTTGACGTGTGGTCGACCATATACGCGCTCAACAGTGCGGAGTCCCAACTTTGAGCTGTCGACGTGAGCACGTCGAAGGACTCCCTCCTGTCATTGGAGGGACCGCTGTCCGTGCGACGTCTTTTGGCGGCGCTGGACGCCGCGAAGGTCGGCGGCGCCAGGGCCGTGAGGTCGCCTTCTCCGCGCGAGCGCTTGAGGGACATCTTTCGTATTTGCGGCTGTGGTTGCAGGGCTGCCGTTGCGCTGTTGCAAAATTGCGTCCACCGGCTTGCACGCTAGCCACACCTTTGCGCGTCCGCGCACCTTGGCTGCCTCAGTGATTGACGCACTGGTAAGGATCGCGGCTTCCCTGCTGCACGCATGCACCTACCGGCTGCAGAGCGACGGTGCAAAAGGATTTCGAGCCTCGACGCATGCAATTGCAGCGTTGACGTGCTATGATTCGCTCGTTTGGCCCGCTAATTTGAGGTGCTAAAAGATAGCCAAATCGACCAGCTAAGTGAGGTGAAGCGGGCTTAGCGGACGTCTCCGGCCGCGGTAGGGGTCCAGGAGGGTGCAAGAACAAGCTGGGAAACCGCCTTTTAATTGAGCAAAAAAAAAACTCAACAGACCCCGCGCACGGGCGTGGCTTCCCCGAGAGCTCCGGGGCGCATCCACGCACCGGTCGCGGGAAGGAGACTCCTTCGAGCATTTTCAGTATCGTCTTGGAGGCGCCTGGGCGGTGGAGATGAGGGACGCGCGCGCCGGGCCCCGCGGACGCGCCCCGTCTCGCCCAGTCTCCTTCGAGTTGGACGCCTCGCCCCCCAGCAGACGGCTCCACGACAAAGCGTAACGCTCGTCGCACACTATCACCTTACACAGCGCCTGCGCCGGTCGCTAGCAGATCACGCAGTTCCCGCGCCGCCGCTTGGCCTCTGGAGGCGCCGCATCGCCATCGTCGGCGCGGCGCTTCGTGCCCCGGTCTCCATCGTCGGCGTCGTCGTCGCTGGCGCCGCCGCGCGCGTCCTCCGTCTTGTCGTCCGCGTCGGCGTCATCGTCGGCGGCGGCCTCGCCCTCCGTGTCGGCGGCCGCGGCCGCGGCGTCACCGTCGTCACCGTCAGCGGCAGCCTCGCCTTCGGCGGCCGGCGTCCGCCGCCCGAGCCAGGGCGGCGCCGGCGGCCGCGCGGCCAGCTCCGTCCGCAGACGCTTGATCTCGCGCAGGGCCGCGGGTAGGTTGTCGATCTCCGCCTCCACAATCGTATACGCCTCGTCGCCGTCCAGCACACGTGCGCCGCCGTCGCGCAGCATGCGCCCCGGGCACAAAATGATGGTGTCACCGACCTCTACGTCCGCTCCGGACCCTCCTGCCAATCTTACCAGTTCGCCGCGACAGGTCAGCACGGCCGTCGGGTTCACGCCCTGGGCCACGACACGCAGATTCCCACCTTCGTCACGCAGCAGCGTCGCCTGGCGACGGGAGACCCGCGGCGACGTGATGTCCGGCGCGAGGAGGCCGCGCCGGCCGAGGTCGACGACGTCCAAATCGGGGATAGGCGTGACCGTGCCGCCTTGGCTGCGCAGCGACAGCGGCGGCGAGCGGTGCTGCGTCGCGCGCGCAGCCGGCGTCGCGATGGATGCCATCTCTTTTTAACCGCGCTCGCGCTCTCTTTTTTCCGCGCTCGCGCCGACTGGCGTCTCTTGAATGCGCTCGCGCCGACTGGCGTCGCGGCGCGAGTAATTTGTGCTCCACAGACTTGGCGCCTCGGGCGCTCTGTGCTCTCACACGGTTTTTTGCAGGGAAAGCGGTACGCGCAGCTCTGCGCTGTGGATAATTACTCGTAGTGCTGTGGATGAAACTGCTCGTGGTATGCTGCGACAGCGCGCTATTGCGCGCCGAGAGCAGAGCCAGATCAATTCGGCCATCGACGCGACGCGCACCCCTAAGAAGAAACAAAACTCGATACGAGGAAGGTTAGGACAAGGGGGAACGAACTCAGCAGATGGCGCAGCCCTCTTTCCGCCTCTTCGCGTCCGGCGCCGCAGGGGAAGACGGCGCGCCCCGCTTCGCGGACGTCGAGGGCTCGTCCTCGTCGTCGATCCAGCCGCCCGCGTCGATGCCCTCGCGGCGCAGGCGCGCGACGTTTCGCCGGCGATCATCAGCAATTACGTCGGGGCAGTTCTGGATGCCCACGTAGTACCTAACTTGCCCTGCGGCCCGTAGCGGTGTGAGCAAGAATCTGTTCGTGAAGGTCGTGCCGTCCTTCCTGTAGTTTAGTAAGGATACGTCCGCCGTACTACGAGTAGCTAGAGCTCGTCGGATGCGATCTACTTGCTGCACGGACGTCCCGGGACCTTGGAGGAACCGGCAGTTCCTCCCCAACACGTCCTCCGGCTCGTAGCCCGTTCTATCGACAAAAGCAGGCGACACGGCAATAATGGCCGCGTCGGGATCGCTGCAATCGCTCACCAGGAACGAGCACCTTCTCGCGCACAACTGGGCGACCACGCGCACGTCGGCCGGCTCCATGTCGCGCATGAAGTCCGCCACCGTACTTCCGGCCTCCGTCACGAGTTCTAGATTCGACACCACTCTCTCGGACAAGGTCTGAGAAGAACCTTGCGAGCCAGGAGGCCCCGTGACACAGGAGAAGGCCTCGTCGTGCTCCGCATCCGACGCCGCCCAGGCCACGACGGTGTCGACGACTTTCCGCCAGTTCGGCTGCTGTTCTGGGACCACATAGTCCAAGGGCGTGTAGCCGTGCTTGTCCTCGCTCAGCATGAGCTCGAGCAGGCCCTCCTTGCCGGTCGACTCGTGGAGCATGTCGACCATGGTCTCCATCGCTTCCAGGACGTCGGGTGGCGGCGGTTTGGCCGACCAGAACAGGTCGTGCAAGACGTTCTTGCCGCTGTCGCAGCAGACCATGGGGTCCGCGCCACTCTTCAGGAGTAGGGAGACGACGGCGAGCGGGCTCCGCGACGTCGTGTACAGCGCCCGTCGGCAGCACTTCATGAGCACCGTCTCGCCGTTCGCGTTCTGGGCGTTCGCGACCCTCGATTCGGGGGCGACCTTCTCGCGGATCTCCTCGAGCGAGCCCTCGTACATGAGCTTCAGCAGAGGCTTGTCGTACATTTCAGGGAGCTCGTCCGTCGTTCGGTACTTCAGCGCGACGCACGTGATCTTCGAGTCGGGATTCTTGAAACTCAAAGGCTTCGGGTCGACCCGGACGCCTTTTCCAACTAACTGTTGCAGGAAATAATCTTTGGGCCTGCGGCGCGCGTCGCGTTTGCGGTTTGTGTTTGCATGAGCGACTCTCTCGTATCGATGTCGTGTCGGGGGACGCGCGCCGTGCATGGCGAGGCGCACGCGCGGCCGCGGCGCGCGGCGGGCGCGCTTTGCTGTTTCGACGTCGGGCCCGTCAGAACGCCAGAACCTCAAAGAGGCGTCGGGCCGCGGTCCCGTGCCGCGGCAGCGGCGCGGGGGCGCGGCGCTTCGATTGCGGCCGCTCGGAAGGCACCGCGTCGCGTTTAGACGGCGCCGGCGGCGTACGCTTGCTGGCTCCGGCTGGAGCTCTGTACTTCGGCCATGGTGCGCCGCGCGCGCGCAGCGCTTGCTATGTCGTAGCGTGGGGTCTCGGCTAGCCGTCCGTAGCGTCTCCGTGCACGTATACGCTGCGTTGATGTTGGTACGGCTACTCAAAGCCGGGCTAGCTCTGCTCTTTGTCGACGTGTCCAGAGATCGCTAAAAATACCACTTTGAGGGACCCGTCTCCAACGTGACAAAAAGCCGTGAGGGCACGCAGGCTCCGCTCCCCTCACGCCTCACCCACACCAGAAGACGCGTCGCGACCGCAGCGGACGCGTGCTGACGCCCCGCGCCCAAAAATGCAGCACTCCCGGAAACCGCAAGTTCACCGGTCCGCTGGGCGGGAGGGCTCTTCGCGCGGCCCCTTGGAGCGCTCCGCGACGACTCGGCGCGGCAGGACCCGTTGCCGAACCGGCAGCAACCGATAAAAGGGCAGCTCCTCGCGCGCCGTACAAAGGACCGCCGGGGCCCAGCGCCTCAGTAGTGGTCCCGCTCCGCGTCACCCGCGGCCCGCAGCTCTAGTAGTTCGTTTCAAGCGCTCGGGGCAGCACCACAAAAGAGCACAATGGCGCCCCTCAAGCCGGAGTGGTGCGCGCGCGCCCCAGTCAACGCCGTCAACAAATCTTTTGGCGTGCCAAAGCCGCTGCCCGCCCGCCAGCAAAAGGAGAACCGCTACAAGCCCAAAACTAAAAGCATGGTCGACTGCGGCCGGCCCAAGGCCATGGACGCGCCGCGGCGCAAGGCGTCGCGTCTGCGGATGCTGGGCGTCAAGCCGGTCCAGCGCGGCGTGAACCGCCCGGGCCAAGTCCATGGGCGCCGGGCCAAGTCCGTGCAGGCGCCGCGGACGCACCGGCCGGTGCAGGCCTTACGAAGCGTCTCGGCGCACGCGGGCGAGAAGCGCCCCGTCGCACCAAAGCGGGAGCGGAAGCCGCCGTCCGTGAACGCCGGCCGCGACGTGTTAGGAGGAGGCTGCGACTCGTGGCTCGACAGCTTGGACCCGCGCGGCCGCGACGAGCGCGGCTCGCTCTGGGACCCGTCGCGCGCGTCCGTGTATGGAGGCGCGTCGGTCATGACGGCCGACGAACCCGCCGTCGAGGCGCCGGCGCCGGCGCCCGTCGTCGCGCCGGTCGCGTACATGAAGCCGCGGCGCCCCTGCCCGCCCGTGCCCGCGGAACCGCCAAAGAGGAAGGCCACGCCCGCGGCAAGGAGACAAAAGGTCACCTGGGAGACGCTCCAGCAAGACTTCCAGCCGCCTTCTACCGAGGAGTGCATGCGCGCCTGCGCCACGAACCAGGAAGAGGACTTCGGCGGCGCGGACGTCTGGATCCGCCCCCCTACTGCGTTCAACGACGAGGAGGTCCGCGGGGGCTACGGCGATTCCGAGGACGACGACGACAATGAAGAGGGCATTGTGGTCGAGGCGGCGGCGCCGCCCAATTTCAAGGCGAAGCGCGCGATGTTGGTGACGGGGCCTCCTCTAGGGGCCGCGTACGACGAGGACGAGGAAGAAGAAGAGGACGAGGACGCCGCCGCGCCGGAGGAAGAGGACGACGACGCCTCGTTCGAGGCCAAGCGCCGGGCGCTGCGCACGCCGCCGCCGCCGCTCGGTGCCGCGTACGACGACGAGGACGAGACTGACGATGACGAGTCCGAGGGCGAGGCGCCTATTGATTCCTTCAAGGCCAAGCGCGCGATGCTCGTCACGGGGCCGCCGCCTCTCGGGGCGGCCTACGACGAGGACGAGACCGACGAGGACGACGAGGATGACGAGGCCGAGGCGCCGGTCGCGGAGGCGCCCGCCGCCGCCGCGCCGGGCACGTACGACGACGACGAGTTCGACGAGGCCTAGTCGCCGGCCTAAGAGGCGTATCTGATAACAACTAAGCCTTACGGCGAGGCGGCCCGATCCAAATAGGACAGCGCCAGATGCGCGTGCAGCGCGACGCCGCGCCGTAACAAGTCCTCGTGGAGCACGAAGCGCCCGTTGTGCACTGTTACTGTCGTGTCGAATTCCAAACCGGGCTCCGGAGCGAAGGACTTGGCCCCCTGTCCTAAAGCAAGAAAGACCGACGGGATCTCCTGCGCATAAAAGGCGAAGTCCTCGCCGCCCATGGTCGGGTCGATCACTCTCACTTCGTTCTCGGTGGAGGCCGGCGCCGCTATTTCTGTCGCCCACTTCCACAGCTCCGGGTCGTTCATCGTCGGCGGGTAGGCGTCGGCACTCCACGCAATAGAAGCGTTGCACCTATGAGCCAGGGCCGTGGCGTGCACCACCGCGTCGACGCGGTCCCGGAGCGACTGCAGACCTTCGGTCGACAAACTTCGTAGTGTCCCCCCAATGCGCGCGCCCTGGGGGATGACGTTGTAGGCGTCGCCCGCGTGGAACATCGTCACGGAAACCACCGCCGAAGATAACGGGTCCGTCTCCCGCGCGGCGATGGCCTGCAGTGCCGTGACGACGTGCGCGGCCGCCACAATAGGATCCTTGACGTGGTGCGGCCTATGTTGAAAGACCACTGACGCTACGTACGACGATGGCGTGCGAGCGCTAATTGTCTCCCTATTTGATCTGGGGGCCGTTGCAGCCGCGTCTCTCATGTATCTCAAGTGCGGAAAAAAGGCCCCTCAAGTGACGCTGGTCGCGCACATGGCCGCGTGGCCGCCGACGCCGCTCACGACAATATCAAACAGTTCGGTAGCTGCCAGCATCGGACCGGGCCGGCCCCCGATCGACCCGAGCGGTAGGAACGGCCACTGGTGGAACCCGAACGCGGCTTGCGGCTTCGGTTCCATACTCAAAACGCCCTCTTCGACCATCCTTTTCCCGCCGGCGCCGCCTTCCTCGGCCGGCTGCCAGATTAAACGTATGGTCCCTTTGATCTCCGCCTCACGCCGTTTAAGCACGGCCGCGGCCCCCAACAGCATAGCAGTATGACCATCATGCCCGCAGGCGTGCATCCTGCCGTCCTCCGTCGACTTCCAGGGGGAGTCCACGTTTTCGTGGATGGGCAGGCCGTCGATGTCGGCCCTTAGTAAAACACAAGGCTCCTTCCCCGAACCTATCTGTGCTACGATGCCCGTCCCACCTTCGCCGCTCACGAAGCCCTTCGCCGCCAACTCCGCTCGTTTTGTATTTTTTGCCCAGCCCGTGGTGAAGTTGACTTGTAAAGCCGTCAGCACTTGCGCGATCTTGGCTGCGGTTTGTTTTTCATCAAACAAGAGCTCGGGCGTCCTATGCAGTTCGCGCCTCGTTTCCACGACCCAGTCCTGCTGCTCGCCGGCGTCGTGCCAGAGGTCCGCGAAGGTATGTGTTGTGTCGGTGTCGTCGCGCGTGAGGCGGACGCCTGGGATTGTTTCGTCAGCGGTCGTTGCTGTTGCGACGAGTACTAAAGTGAGGACTTTGCGCATGGTTGTTGCGTCGCGTCGCATTTACAGGTCGCTGCAATATGTTCTCCTGAGCTGCGTATTATCAGCCTGCTAGGCGTACCGCAGCGCTTCAAGAACAGCTCGCGGTGCACGAATTCTGCGAACTCGGCCGCGCGTGTGATGCACTGCAACGCAAATGGAGCGAGTTGGCAAGCGGCAAAGCAGCTAAACCTAGCATCACCCATACTAGCCCGCAGCGGCCCAAACAAAGGCTGCCGCTTAACGCCGCCGGGGCTGCCCCCACCTAAACAAATGGCGGACTTGGAAGAAGCAGTCATAGAGAAAGGAACGGAAGTTATTAATTTCCTGCGCGAGGAATGTCGAATCCCCGACGAGCAATGTGAACAACTCGAGGCCCTTATCACCAACACGGAAGACGCGAAAGGATGGTCCCCCGACGGTAGAGAATTAATGGAGCGCGTCGAGGACGTGGCCAAGTGCCAGCCCTACATGCCCCACGATAAGTACGCGGAGATGTTGGTAATAGGCTGGAGCGCGGCTTTGGACCTCATGAAGCACCAGCGGAAGATGGCCTTCAAGAAGGTCAGGACGTTGCAGGAGGACGCGAAGTGCCCCGCCGAGCTCATGGACGCGGCCTATCGCACGCGAGATGAACTGGATCTAGGCTGCGCCAAGGCGAACATTCGATTTTGTGAAGCGCGGTTCCTGGTGGAGGTGCTCCAGGAGAACCCCATGCCGCCCATCGAAGAATTGAGGAAGAAGGTCGACGAGGACTGGGCCGCGGGCACGATCGGGCCGCCCAACACCGACGGCTTCGACGACGAGGGGCGGCACGTGGCGGAGGGTGCGGAGCGGTGCGTGAATCAAAGCGTGGCGGCGCGACGCCAGCTCGGCGGCGTGGCGGTGGGGTCTCTCACAGACACCCGACTCACTGGTCGATTTCCACACAGGTGAGGAGGGCGCGAAGGACGAGTCCAAGGGCGAGTCCAAGGACGAGTCCAAGGAGGGCGCCGAGTAATACTTTCCTAGGACTTAAGCGAGAGAGAGAGCGAGCGGGCGGACGTTTCTTTTTTTTTTCGTAGCGACTGGCGTGCTAAAGAGTCGCCAGGCGCGACTTCTGCTGGCGGGCCTTCTCCTGCGACGAAGCCCCGCCGTGGTCGAGCTTGCCGCCCATCCAGCGCTGCATGAGCATTTTTAGGACCGTCTCGAACAAGAGCGACTCGCGCGAGGCGCCAGAAATCCGTTCCGCGTGGAGGTGCGTGAACGCGTGCATCAGGAAGAGCACGACGAAGCTAATACCGACCCGTCTCATGACTACTCTCAACGACCATCCTAGGACGAACTTGGCCACCCAGCACGTCCACGCCGCGATTAACACCAGGGTCGCGTTCATGCGCACGTGTCTTATCGGTAACATGTACTGTTCAGGATCTGATGAATACGCGCCCGTCTCCCGGAAGGTCTGGAGTAGCGCGTCCTTGCGGGCGTAGTCGTCCAATAAAGTGTCTCGCACGCCTTTCGGATCATCGTTACTCATCTTCTCACCAGGCACCTTGACGATGTGCGTGAAGACGTGGAGGCCCCCTCGAAAAATGGTGTGGAGGTCGGGGATGACGCGGGCTGGATCGTCCAACGGTCGGGAGCACAAGCAGCCCCCTCTCGCGGCTCCTGTTACGTCATCCACTTGTACGGAATCCTTGTCCCGACAGACGAAGGCCATCGTGACACTAAAGATGCCTTCGGGATTATGCGTGGTCACGAGCTGCATGCCCTTGTATCTTGGAGTCAATAAATACTTCAGCGGTCGTAGGTCGTGATCGAGCATGAACTTGGAGCACTGCTGGACGTACTCGGCGTCCTTTTCTACTCCTGGGTCGACGATCGCCCCTTCCGGCGCCAAGAAGATGACCCGATCGACCTTCGCTTCCTTGAAGCTTCTTATGTTGTCCAGGATGCGGGGCCCGTCCCGGTGGAACGTCCGTCTCAAAAAGATGTCCCCGAACAGCCCGCGAGACCAGCCGAAGATCGGCATGAGCATCGTCGTGAACTCGGCGCAGAAGCCCACCCGCACCTGCGGTTCTAGCGTCGAACCCATGAGCAAACCCACGAGCCAATCCACTCTGCTCCCATGATTCGTCATGAACACGGACGAACCACACTCCGGCACTCGTCGCAGTTCCGCAGGCGTGCAGCACCACACTCTAAACCCGCACCACGAGAAGGGCACCGCCAATATGGCCGGTTGGACGAGTCTGTCGTAGTGCGTGCAAGCTCGTTTATACAGCGCGCCGCCGTCCGGGATCAAATGCAAGAATAAGAGTGGGAGCTGCCACAGGAAGTAGAGGAACGCCACGCTCAACCAAACGGAAGCCAGGAAATAGACCTTCAGTCGCAGGAACAAAGCCGGCGCGCGGTTCCTCATTCTTTTCCTATGGACCTTCTCCTGCTCATTGACGTCGGCAGGAAAAGCGTCCCAGGGGTTGCCCATCAAACCACCTCGCCCGAGCCAGTCGCGCGGCTCGAGGGCCTCCGAGTTGCTAGAGCTGCTGCGGCTCAGCATGGAATCGGCCGGGCTGCCGCGGCCGTTGCTGCCCGGGTGCGGGGCGGCACCGTTGCGCCGTCTTAAGGTAGGAGTCATCTTCACAAGCTGCCCCGTCCACCAATTGGGCCGTGCGCGGCCAGGGACCGCGTGCGTTTTTTGCCACCCACCCGCCAAACCGAATCGCGGGACCCCCTACTCCGCTACGAGGCGTGGCGCCGGTCCTCCAGTGCGTCTGGGTGAATGCCGAGCGGTGGGCCACGCTGGTGCGCGGGCGCCGGCGCCTGGCGTGCGACCACCGCGCGGCCGCCGCCGGCGCGCCGACGACCTGTGCGGCCGCCTCCACCACGACGCCGTCGCTGCGCCCGCTCACATAAAACACTTACTCACCACCCCTCCCGCGCGCCCTTTACAACAGCCCGCGCCAGGAACGGCCCCGCCTCCCTCAACAGATCCAATTCAGGATCGAGCTGCCTTCCGATACCTTCGACGACGGCGATGGCCACGACCGTCGTCGCGAAGTTCGCCTCGAGGCGTATCCTATGGCGCCGGCAGGCCGCGAGGACGTCATTTAACAACGCCGCGACGCGCAAATCCTTCAAGGTGACGCCCCTGACGGTGGCGTCCTTGACCAGCCGGTCCAACTCGTCGACGAAGGCCTCGACGTCGTCCTCACCACCTCCACGATGCGTCGCTCGAGCTGCTATTAATTGACCCGCGCGCCGCCCGTCGCGCTTCACGACCGCTCCAAATAAATCAATAAAGTTCCGCCGGTCTCTAGGTGATAGCTCTATGACCAACCCCGCGTCGAGGATCACCAGATCAAAATCATGACCGTCAAACCTAAGTAACAGATTGCCCGCGTGGAGGTCACCGTGAATATAGTTGTCGGCGAAGAGCATTTTGAGTAACGCTCGCAGGCCGCGCCGCGCTACTTTACGTTTCGTCTCGGGATCTAGCGACGGTAAGGCTTCATTCAAAGGCACGCCGCGCTCGAAGCTCTCCACCAACACACCGCTTGATGAGAGTAGAGGCTCCGGGAACACCACGCCCTGCTCTCCAACAAAGTTGCGTCGCAAGCGTCGTAAAGCCTCGGCCTCGTTCATCATGTCGCAACTCAACAACATCTTGTCGGCGAAGTCCTCTACTAAACCAGTGGGGTCGAGCACCTCGCACGTCCGCGGCATCAGGAGCGACGCCGCCCGCGCGAGCCACCTTAAAGCGCGGACGTCGTCCTCGACCCGCGATCTAGTAGATGGGTGCACGAGCTTGACGGCGACCGCCCGGCCGCGGCGCAGGCCCCTGCGCGCGTCCGGCGTTGTGTCTATACGTGGCAGAGACGACGCGTCGATGGCGTCGAGGCGACGTCAGAGCCGCTCGACGCGGCCGCGCGAGAGTCTCGTCCTTGCACCGCGACGTTGTCGATATCACGATTGCCATAAACCATGGAGGACGCTGCGTAACGCACCGCCGGACGTGCGCGACGCAGCCCGCGCCGACCGTCGCGCCGAGGACCGTATCACCGCCGGGGAACGCGTCGGCGAGCGTCCGCAGGGCTTCGCGTCGCGTCTGCGTCGCGCGCGTCGCGCGGTTCTGCAGGAGGCCGCAGCGTTGGCACCTGCGTTTTCTGTTGTTGTGATGGCGTGTTGTGTTCTTTCGAGCTTCTACCCCCACCAACGCCGTCGACGCGATCCCCGCTTTGCTGAATCATCGCGTCGACATCCACGCCATCGAGGCGACCATGATTCGGCGGACGCTGGCCGCGCACCAAGCCTCGGGGAAGACGTCGGGCCGCGTCGCCGACCACTGCGCGAGCTTCACGGCCGTCGGGCCGCAGCCCTCGATCGCGTAGAGGACGTGGCGCCACCACCACTTTCTCAAAAACGGTATCAGAAGTGCAAACGGCGCCCAGAGCGCGACGGGCGCGACGCGGAGCGACCAGCCTCCTAAGGTCCTGGCGACGCGCCAGTTTTTTGGTGGCATCGTTTTTTTGGGAGGTACGGCCACGGCGACTTCGCAGTTCGGCGGCCGCGCTAGTGTGATGGTCGCGAGGGCGCAGGCCGGCAGCATTGGTGTCCGTGCCATTTGATGCAGCGTCCGGCGCCAGCGCGCGGACGTCGCGACGCTGCTCCCGGCCTGCGCCCTCGCTGTCCGTGCGACCGCGTCCAGCGTCCCACGCCATCGCGCAGACGGCGCGACATGTTCGGTGGCGCTTATCCGCTTTGTTGCGGCGGCGCGAGTAATCGTCGCGGTGCGGCTTGTTGTCGCCGCGGCGGCGCGACTGGTCGTCCCGCCGCTCGTGGCGAGGAGTCTTGAGGCGCGGAGCATCGCGGTCGACTCGGTGAATGCGTAGCAGCCCTCCGCCCCGCAGCGCTTCCGCAAGAGCGGCGCCGAGGCCCCGTCGACTCGCTGCGAGCCGTGCGTTACGCGCGGCCGCGCAGGTCGACCACTAGGTCAGGAGCACTGGGCTCTACTGCGGCTTCTGGGCTCTCAGCGGCCCGCTAGCCGTTCCGCGCCGAACCTTTTGCCACGGTCGAATGGTTTGGACACTTTCCCACCCAGCAACGCCGCCAACGCCTGCAGTGGGCCGTCTCCGGCGGCGAAAAACACGCCCAAAACCCTCGAGGTTGGAGGCTTTCTTATAGGAGCCAAATCGCGAAAATCAGCTCTCGTCGCTGCGCACCCATCGGTGCTGCGCGCGCGAGTGCTCCTATGGCTCAGTGGTAGAGCATTTGTCTTGTAAACAAAAGGTCCTGAGTTCAATCCTCAGTGGGAGCTATCTTTTTTTTTGCTTCGGACGCGTCGGCCCGCGCGGGAGCGGGATCTATCCGAAAAACCATGCTAGTGCCTCACACGATAGCGTAATCGACGACGCCGGCGCTTATATTGCGGCGTACGGCCACGCTGGCCGATAGAATTAACCCTCCTGACCTCCAACACATCCAGTCCATCACCTCGGTCCACCCTCAAAACAACAAGGCCTGACGCGCGGCCGCGCCCAAGCTAGCGCTAGCGAGGCCGCCGCTCCCTTGGTCGCCGCGCGTTGCGAGCGCGGCGCGGCGCCGCCCCGCGCGCGCCATGGCGGACCGCCCCCCCGGCGCGCCGCCGCCCATGCCTCCATCACAACATATCAGCCCCTCGCGGCGCGACGGCATGAGCGCGCACGACGAAAAACAAAGAAGACGAAAAACGTGCTTCTTCATCGACGAGTGCGGCGTGCGGCTGCAACTCCCGAAACTCCCGGTGATGACGGCGCAGTGCTTCTTCCACAAGTTCTTCGCGCGCGAGTCTTTTAGGAGACACGACCGCTTCGTGGTGGCGCAAGCTTGCTTATTCCTCGCGGCGAAGGTCGAGGAGTCGGCCGTGTCTCTACGATCGTTGGTGCGAGAGTGCCACGGCGTGCGCTACGCCGGGAAGAGCCGGGCGCCCCTTGATGAATCAAGTGAGAGGGACGTGAAGCGAGCTGTGGTGATGGCGGAGCGCGCGGTGCTCTACGCGCGCCGCGGCGTCTCCTTTCGCCTTTCGCTCCGCGCCGCGCGGTGACCGTCGCATCGATGGCGCGTCGCGGCGACGGCGTGATGGTTCTACACTACCTTCACGCCATCGACGCGGCGGGCCGGTGGCGTGCCGCGCGCCGAGGGACCGCGCGACGGCGTCGAGAGGGGGGAGAGGAACACACACACATCCAAGAGAGAATAAAACAGGACGCGCGACGCCCTTGATCAATCTAGGCCATCGGCTTTGATGTGTGCGTCGAGAACCCCCTGCTGGCCTTCATTGACCTCGTCAATAAGCTGCGGGCGGGCGACGTGCTTTCAGAAGATCTGAAGCAGCCGTTCTCGCAAGTGGGCATCAACTTCATCTCCGATTCATATCGGACGGCGCTGTGCCTCGAGTTCCCGCCGCAAAAAATCGCGGCGGCGTGTGCTTTTTTGACGGTGGTGTTCCTGCGGGCGCTGCCGGATGATCGGCCGCGGACGGCGGCTTTATATGGCGCGCTCGCGATCTCCGAGAGGAGTTTGAGGAGCATCTGCACGCAGATGGCCGAGTTATATGTGGAGAACAAGAAGTGCGCGCGGCTCTTAAGGGACCTGGCGGAGATGGGCCACGTTCCTGCCGAATTGGTGAGGCCTGCCCCCAGGCCGCCGGTGCCTCCTTCAGATTCCGTGGCCGGCGTGACGCCGTCGCCGTCGGTGCTGTCTTCTTCTTCCTCCGCTGGCCCATGAGTGGTCGGGGTAAAATTAATAGTTGTTTTCATTTTCTATCCCGCGCTTGCGCGGCAGCTCCCCCACGCCATCAACGCGACGTCGCCCCCGTGGTATCGTCTGATCGATGGCGTTCTACCCCCGGCCCTTCTTCCCCCCCCCCCCGCATGCCAGCCCCATAAGCGATTGTTGCTAGACTCAGCCTATCTCTGGGATATTCCCAGATCAGCCTCGATAGCGTCAACTAGCGAAAAAAAATGACCTCCCAAATTCAGGATTCACCCTAGTCGTTCGCCGCGCCCAAATATTTCAGAGTAGCGGCCCGGGAACATACCCTCATGCCTCCCGGAACACACCGCCCCGCGGCGACATTCGCGGATGAATCTTATGACTCGCCAAAATACACCAGCGATTGACGCCGTCGTCTACCGTCCGGATAGCCCATTATATCAACTCCAGCCCAGTTTTCATACACACTCGACGGAACCGGAGCCGACAACGCGCGCTCGGAGGGCGGGAAAAGAATTATACTAGACAACTCCCGAGTTTATGTTCGTTTCCTTCCGTTTGTTAGTGGTAGAGTCCATCTAGCCCGCCTCAACATTTACTGAGCCCAGTATCTTGATCCGTATGAGCCGCGGGATTCGGCGACTTTGGTACCCCGCGTTTACAGAAAGATGGGTAAATAAGTAGGATCCGCGAGTATCAGCGACGCCACTATCCAGATGGACCATAACGCCGTTGTTCTATTCACGATCGACCGACTTGCCCGTTCTCCGCGGACGACGGTGCGTACGCGGGCCCCCGGAAAAGCCCCAGACCCGTGAGTTGTGAAATAAATTTGCGTTTCAGGCGGTTCGGTTGCGGGACGGGCCATCTGACCGGGCTGAGCGTCTACTACATTGCTTCGAGACCCCGAGATGTTCCCCGCGCCTCGGCCATCTCGCGAGCCCACGATCTCGCTTATATGGGCTGGAGAGCTGGATATGCGACCATCAGCCCGTGTACCTTCACCATAGACCATAACGCGATCATTTGTTTCATGACCGACGGACTTACGCGAGGTCCAGATCAAGATGTTCACGTCCCGGGCGTGGGCAGCCAAAAGTACCCTTCTTATAATGTAGATGTCACATACTTGTAATTGACTATCGATGGGGTAGTATAGTGTCCAACGATACCGCTATAGCGACTACTGGGGGCCCTCGGGTAATTGCGTATTTGACGGTGACGGGGTGCTATCGGGCCCAAATTATTTACTTTTTTTGGATGCAGATCGGCCCTCGGACTTACTCTGGGATAGGTCTGGGGTCGGGTGGTCGCCGACACCGCATGCGCCGCTGCTTGGGGCTCTCCAGAGAGCTCTGGATCGAAAACTTTGGGGGATCATGATAGGTCTCTGCAAACTGCTGGGGACCTGTACTGATATGTATCCACCGATGGAAGCGCCCGCGCATGCGGTGTAGGCGATTGCGCACGTCTAGTATCGACCCTAGGCGACTCCCGGGAGGCCTCCGGGCCACGAATCGACAGGATTCCACCGGCGCGGCCGACCACTTTTGGCGGCCCGTCGGCGCCGCGAATTAAATTTTTTTTTTCGCCACCCAGTAAGTGTCGTATCGATCGCCCCGGACGACAAACGGCCCAAACGATATTCAAACAACTCCAGGGCGCATCTCACACTTTTTACCCCGGGATCGTGAACGCGGCGCGCGCCGACAGACGTTCGAAACCCCAGCACGCCGTCGCCGCGACCCCCAAGATAACTAGAGATAATTACATGAGCGCACAGGAGCTCTGGTTGGCCGCCGCCTTCTGGACTTGATCCAAACCCTTCTCCGCGTGCGCGTGGGACCGCTCGACGAGTTCCCCGATTTTGTCGACGTCGTCCTGCTGCTTGTCGACCAATGTCGCGAGATCCCTAAAAATCTCGTTGACCTTGTGCACGTCCGCGTTGATGTTGCGCAGCTCGGCCTCGCGCTCCCTTACGAGAGCCTCGTCGATGTCCTCGTCCTGCATCGCCACCTGTGTGTTTTTCGCGTGTTTTTTTTCGCGCGTGATGCCATCGACGCGACGTCATCGACGCGTCCTCGCCGCGCCGGCGGCCCGGCCGAAGCCGCCTCTTCCGTGCCGACGCGCGGCGACGCGCGGCGACGCGGCCGCCCCCCCTTTACGCCGTCGAGGCAGCGGGTGCACCGCGTCCGCGTGTCCGCTCGACGGCGTGGAGGCGACACGGACGAGTATCTCGGCCCCTCTCGCACGCCGTCGACGCGTCAGGTCGAGCGAAGCCACCTCGAGTCTCGCGCCGGTCGCCGCACCTGGAGCTGGACGCGCTGCTCGCCCACGAGGAGGTCGACGTCGCCCGGCGGCGGTCGCGGCGGCGACCGGTCGCGGCCCGCCGCGGCGCCGACCGGTGGGGGGCGCGCCGGCGGCACCGGCGGCGCCGCGGCGACGCGGCCGAGGCGCCGCGTCGCCTGGCGGATCCGGTCCTCGACGCGCTCGAAGTCCGTGCGGAGGCGCGCCTGTGTTGTGTTTGTCTTTTACGGTACGGCGATCGACGTCCTCTCGGTGTGGCGATTGTTTCCTCTCGTCGGCGTCGGCAGCGCCGGCGGTGCTCGACGGACGGCGGCGCCGTCGCGCCGGCGTTCGCCGCACCAGCGGCTCTCACGCCAGCCGTGGACGTAGACCGCCTCTCCAGGGAGCCGCGCGAGCCGACACGACGAGAGTGCTATACGCGCGACCGCGTCTCTCTCTCTCCTACGGTTTAGCCCACGGTACCTCCACCTTGGCCCCAGCCGACGTTACCTTCACATGAACGCAATGATGGCGTCGAGGAGACCACAAGTGTCCACCTCAAGCCATCGCGCAGACGACGGGAATGAGCGGCGGCCGTGGCGGATCTCGCGCCCCCTCCACGCCGTCGACGCGACGTAAAAACACAAAAGGTACCACGCCGGTGGGAACGTGCGCGGCACGTCTCCGCGGGGCCGTCGCGGGCGGGCTGTTCTCGGCGTCCCGCAGCAATTCCGTGAGGTGCCGCCGCGTCGCCCGCGTGAGGTCCTCGACGACGCCGCGCTGGACCGCGACCTGCTGGCGCAGCTCGGCGTCGGCGCCGGCCGCGCCCGCGGAGTCGACCATGTCGCAGAGCCGTTCGAGCAGGGCCACGTTCTGGCGCAGCTGGCGCAAGGCGTTGGCCGCGCGGTCCGTCGTGGCGTCCGGTTGCGTCGTCGCGCGCTCGGCGGCGGCGAAACTCATGGAGGTGGTTTTTTGTTTTCTGGTGCTGCTAGTTCGTTTCGTCCGGTGTGGTGCTTTGTGGCTGCTTGGGGGTTGCGCAGAGGGTCAGAGGCGGCCTGTTGACGTTTTTTTCGCGCCCTGCGATTTTTGACTCGCGGCGCAGCTGCTCAATTATGTCTTACGGGTTTTGTCTCGGGTCCCTTGTAGTCCGACGGAACCACCGATCTCTTTAAACAGAGGTCTGGTTCTATAGTCACGGATGTCTAGGTCAAGACACCGCTATCTTAGTTGGTTAGACGAGCCGTAAAAGGCTCGAGCACTGACTTCAGGTTCTGATTCTGACAGCCTGGGTTCGAAGGAGTTTTAAAACGCTCTGAAATTCCCAGTAGAACCTCTCTCTTTTTTTTGCTTTTTTGGGCTCCTGGAGACACGTTCTTTCGATTGACGGAGTTTGAGGACAATCGGCGTACGTCGTTTACCCCGTGAAACACGCGTGGGTACCAGAATCAAGGAAGATTGCACTATACTACCGCGGCCGCCGCGGGCGTCTCGCGCGATGGCGCCTCGTCCGACGACGCGAGCTCCAGTGGCGCGGAAGCCGCGCCGGTGTTGGGGAGAGGGCGCGTGCGATGCATAGGGAAATTGCAGCGCGGCGACGGCTCGACCGCCGCGGGCGCGTCCTCGCGTGCGAGCTCCGCCATTTCAAGTACACGCCACTACTTTAGGCGGCGTAAAAGGCTTGTTTTGGGCCCCTTGGCTTGGTAACGCGCCGCGCTGGTTCGCAGTCAGGAAGGCACAAGGCACAAAAATGGCCCTGGGGGCAGCCCTACCGTACAACCCACCGGTTTTTGGTTAGCCCTCGCGTGTGGGTGCTCTCGTAGCTGCCCCCTGATGGTCGCGCGCGCCGATGCACAAACTTGTATGTCGAGGGGGAGCGAGCCGCAAAGTCCGCCATACCCCCCCAAAGCGAAGGGTGCGCACGGCGATGCAAAAAACAAAAAAAAAATGGAGAATAGGGGATTCGAACCCATGACCTATCGCATGCGAAGCGATCGCTCTACCAACTCACTAGCGTTCTCTAGCTAGACCTGAGCTAATTCCCCAGTTTTGTACTTGTGCCACTTATCGGTGCCGAAAAGAGGACACATGCGTGGGAGAGATGGTGATTTTTGGTTCTTAAAATGTTTATCGCGGAAACCCTATTTTTTTTATTTGCCTTTTTTAAAACCGATTTGACGTGCAGCCCGGACCAAAGATCTGCTTGAAGGCCCGAAAAACTCAACAAGCCGAAGAAGGCAGCCCGCAGCCACACCTCACAAATCCGTCAGCAAAACGAGCGCCGTCAAGCGGAGCAAAACGCAAAAAACACATATAGCTGCAGGCCGCTCTTGCGCGTCCGGACGCGTGGGCGGGAGAACGATGGACGACGAGCGCCAATCCCGCAAGCTGCGCCAGCTCCAAGCCGAGATGATCGCGCTGGCCAACGACCGAGAAAAGGCGACGTCGGCCGACGAATGCCGCGCCATCGACGCGAAGCTGCGCGCGCTCGCCGAGCGGGGCGCGGCGATGAAGCACGTCAAAATGTCTCCGGAGGAGAAGCCCTGCGCCGCGTGCAAAAGGCCGACGGCCCGGACGGTCGTCTCGGAAGGCCGGGCGCACCGGTTCTGTTCGGTCGAGTGCGCGTCTTCCCGCGTCCGAATCAAGGCGTGTCGCCTCGATGGCGTCGAGGTGGACGTATCGTTTTGACGCCGTCGGAGAGTGAGAGACACGGTTGCGTTGTGCTGATGCGCGTCGATGGCGTACTGGTGTTGTACTGATGCGGTGGAGTACGCCGTCGGTACCCGCCAGTACGCCATCGACGGATGGAAGCTCGCGAGCGGGGGCGGGTCGGAACAAGAGTACGCGCGACGCAGGCCAGCGCCGCGGCTGGAGCCAGACGGACGGGAGCGCGGGCGAGGCGCCGCCGCCGCCGCGGAAGCCGATCGGCGCGCTCACGCTCGACGCGAAGAAGGACGAACAAGAGGACCGCGACACGATCGTGGCCTGCGGCGCGGCGCGGCGGCGGCGGCAGCGACGGCCCGACGTCGTGCTCGACTCGACGCCGCGGCGGGTCGCGCCGCCGCCGGACGGGACTTTGCGCGTGGCGGGCGCGCCGCAGAAGCTCCTGCCCGCGCCGCCGCCGCCGCCCGAGGCGTTGCTGGACGGGTTCGAGAGCGACGAGGTCGTCGAGGACTCCCGGACCGGTGGTGGTGGCGGGTGGGGGCGGGGGTTTCTGTGATGTTCTGTGTTTTGACTATGAAGTGTTTTGCGATTTTGTTAATAGAAGTACTAGTAGGAACTACAATCAACAAATCTTACTCAGTAGTACCCCGCGTGCAGCCAGAACTCCGCGACGCGGCGGGCTGGCTGGGCCGGAAGGCGAAGCATCGATGCAAAAGTCGGCCTGATCCGCGCGAGGTGGGCTTGCGCATACCTCTTGAAGCCGCCCGCGGCGACGACTCGCCCGAGGTACGGGTCCGGAGGATATGCGGCAGGCAGCTCGGCCCCGGCACGGAGAAATAAAGGCCACATACGGTGATACTCTCTTCGGAGTGCAAGGTCGAAAGGCGTCAGCCTGTGACCTTCTCTTAGATTCGGAGAAGCGCCTGCGGCCAGGAGCACTTCGACGCAACTGGTAGCCCTATGGTAGACTGCAAGGTACAGCGCCGTCTCTCCATCAGGGGTCTTCGCGTCAACATCAAGGCCCGCTTCGACTAGTAACGAGACTATTTTAGTGTTTCCTCTGCGAGCCGCGTAGTGAAGCGAAGGCGTCAGCCCGTGACCTTCTCTTAGATTCAGAGAAGCGCCTGCGGCCAGGAGCACTTCGACGCAACCGGTAGCCCTATGACGTACTGCAAGGTACAACGCCGTCTCTTCATCAGGGGTCTTCGCGTCAACATCAACGCCCGCTTCGACTAGTAACGAGACTATTTTAGTGTCGCCTCCACGAGCCGCGTAGTGAAGCGCCGTCTCTTTATCAAGGGTCGTCGCGTCAACATCAACGCCCGCTTCGACTAGTAACGACACCATTTTAGTGTCGCCTCTGCGAGCCGCGTAGTGAAGTGGTGTAAGACCATAACCATCGGTCGCTTCCAAGTCTGCCCCAGCATCGCGAAGGAGCTCGAGACAGGCCGCGCAACCATCCGTAAAGCGTCGCACTTTGCACAACGCAAGAATTGGCGTTTCACCCTGAGGGTCTACCCCAAAGTAGAAGGACTCCGGACGTTCGCGGAAGGAATCCGGCGCCTCGCAGAAGGAATTCGGCGAGGCTCCGGATGCAAGCAGTCGGCGGACCGCCTCGACGTCACCACGGGATGCGGCATCGTGGATCGACTCCACGGGTGAATCCTTGCCCCCGGTGTCGCCAACACCAAAAAAAAAGGGGGGCGGCGGAGGCCGACCGCCCCAGGGATCACGTCGACGGTCGGCCAGATATCCTTCCGTGCCCTCGGCGGTGACGATCGTCGACTCCTCGCACACGGTACCACATCTCACACAGACGGCTTCGGCCGAGCTCTCGTTCAAGTCGATGTCCGTGCTGCGGCACTCGGGGTTCGAGCAGCGCATCTGCGACATCTTGGCTGTTGGTGATTTCACTGGCGCTCCGGCGTGTGGTTTCGGCCGCGCCGCTTGGAGAAAAAAAGCCGACCGTGCGCTCTGTGGCGCAGTGAGAAGCAAATACCTCAGTGAGGTGCGCCGCTGTAGCGGTACGTAGCGGTACGCCGAGAACTGATTACACAGTGAGCACAGGGCGGCCAGCGGCTTTTGACAGTCCCGTGACCACTGCGCTGTCGGCTTTGATGCAGGAGAGCTTGCTAGTGTCTTACAGGATGCTAGCTCACTGAGCGCGACGCGTCGCCATACTCGTCCGTCTGGAGCTGGCAAAACTGCGTGTGTGCTTGTTCTCGATCGCTGCGAGACGCAGACGCAGCAAAATCGCACCGCTAAGGGCTCTATGCAGCTCACACAAATCTACCCCTGACCATGCGCGGCGCGCTCTTCAGCGCATTCGTGGTCCACGCCCTGGCCTTGTCCGCACGGCGGCGGCCGTGCCTCCTGCGCTCACCAACACTCGTCCGCGCCGCCGCGGCGAGCGGGCGGCGGCCGTGCCACCTGCGCTCACCAACACGCCTCCGCGCCGCCGCGGCGAGCGACGATAATGGAGCTCAAGCCGTGGTCAGGGCGGCCGCCGTCGCCGGCCTCGACCGCGTCCAAGCCTTCGCGCGAGCGCACTGCGCCCGCCTCGCGGGCGACACACCACAAAAGCCGGAACTAGCCAAGGGGCAGGAGTGCGACGTGCCGTTCCCGGGGCTGCGCGCCACGCCCTGGCACGCGACGGAAGAGTTGGGCTGGGTCGCACGTCTGGAGGAGGATTGGAGAGAAGCGCGGGACGAGCTGACGGCCTTCCTGGCGCTGCTGGACGAAGGCGGTTTTGTGAAGCCGGAGACGGCGCTCTGCCCCGAGACGGGCCGCTTCGAGAAGCTGGTATTGTGCGAGGACGGGAGCCGAGCGATTGAGACGGCGACGCGCGTCGGCCGCGACCATTTTGCGAGGACGCTCGCGCTGCTGCGGGTGAGCGGTGCGCCGCTCGGCCCGGCGCCCGTCAGCATGAATAGGCAGCCTGCGGGCTCGGGGCTGCCGCCGCACTCGGACAACGCGAACTTTCTGTTGACGGGCCACCTCGGCCTCGTCGTGCCTGATGGTGTTTGCGAGTTTGTGATGGTGGAGTCGACCACGCGGCGGTGGCGCGAGGGTCATGTATTACTCGCGGACACGTCCTTCGTGCACGCGACGCGCAACGATTGTGAAGCGGACCGCGTCGTGCTCCACTTCACGGTCTGGCATCCCGACCTCGCCGCGGCGGAGCGGGACGGCATCGTCCGCCTGCACGGGGCGCTGCGCGCGGCCGGGGGATAGTTTTTTTGTTAAGTTTATGTGAGCTGTCCACGGCCTCGTCGATGGCGCATCGCGTCGATGGCGTACTAGTGGGCTACCCCATCGCCACGCCATCGCTGCGCATCAGCACTCGAGTGCCCCGTGACCAAAGGACGCCTGGCCCAAACTCACTAGGGCCTGTGTGCCCCGTACCGACGGTACCGTCAACGGGGCACATACAAGTATGTATCCCTGTGGAGCTCAGCCCGCATAAGGGTGGCCGGGAGCTCTCAGCCCCCCCCTCCGACAACCACAACAAAGCTACGACGCGCGCGTCGCGTCGAAAAAAACGGGTTTTACAGGTCGTGCGTACCACGCGAGGCTCATCCGCGCGTAAAAAAATCCACAGACCTGTCATTCGCGACGCTACAACCATACCAAAAACATGAGCCGGCCGCCCGGCCGCGCCGCCGGCCTCCTCATCTCTTTGGTGACCCTCACCACAGCACAAGTTACGCCGAGCCCGTCGTCCCTACCGAACCAGTACTCGCCCGACAAGCGCATACCGCAGTTCATCGATTTAGGACTGACCGCGGCGTGCGGCGTCCTGATGCTGATCCTGCTCAGCCTCGTAACGCGACCGGCGTCCGCGGTTACGGGTCACCGTCGCCTCGATGGCGTCTCGTGTCCTTTACGCCATCGCCGCGACCCCGTCGAGGGCCCCGCTTCGTCGAGGCGTCTCGCGACCGTCGCAGGTCGTCCGCATGACCCGCGCGCACCTCGACGCGCCACCTAGACGTTTAGTCCAGGCCGACACCTTCAGCAAAGAGGGCCAGCGGTGGTCCTGGGACTTCGTGCTCCTCCTACCGATCAGAGACGAGGACGCGCTCCAGGACGCCCCAAAACGGCAGCAGGACGTCGACCTACGGCCTTTTTTATGACCATCGCCGACGCTGATAATGATGAAGTGTATCTGGACGTGCCGGGCTACGAGAATTACTTCGCGGAGGACGCTTTACCTATTATAGACGAGGAGGCGAAGGAGGAGGAGGAGGAGTCCGTGCTCTCGTCGTCGGCGGCGTCGTCTTCCGAGGCGTCTGCGTCTGCGTCTGATGATGATGACGCGTCGACGGGCTCGTCGTCCTACGAGAGCTACACGGCGTCGTCGGCGTCGTACTCCGGCGCGTCTGACGACGACAGCGCGGGCGCCGCGTGGCCCGCGGGCGCGGCAGGCGCCGGCGCCGCGGCGGCGGGCGCGGGCACGGCCTACGCCGCGGGCGGCCACTCGGCCGAGCTCGATTACACCGGTCCGGAGCTCGCCCACAGCGCGGAGCTCGACTACCAGAGCCCGGTGTAATCACAAATATAATACCAACAAATCAACACGCGCCCGGCCAGCAGTGGCCCTCGACGTCCTCGTCCTCGACCTCGCGGAGGCGCGCGGCGAGCAGGTTGCGCGACGCCGTGAGGCGCTCGACGTGCTCGTCGAGGGGCACGAGGTCCCGTTCGCTTTTCTCGAAGACCACGCGCATCTCCTTCGCCGACAACAAATCTAAATCCTCGAGCGCGTCGAGGTATTTCGTGCACTGTGTGTAGACGACCGGTGACGCGATTCGTGAGAGTTTCCCCGCGCAATCGATCTGGCGCGGCGCCGCGTCGACGGCGTCTCGACGTACAACGCCACCTCGACGCCAACGCGGGAAGACTTTTCACCCAAAACGGACGCTGGGAGCGGACGTCGCGGAGGAGCTGGCTGCGTTTCGCCAACGCCGCGGTCGGTGGCTTCGGGATCTTCGGGAGCGCATCGCTGCTCGTGCTGAGCTGCCGCCTTGTCGTTTGGAGTGCTCTACGCGCGGCGCCAAGTATCATTGTGTTAGTTTACTCCTCGCAGGTCTCCAGCGGCCGTGCTCGTGTTTTACGTTCTTATTTACACCGGTAACACTGCGCGCACCTGGAATAAGAAGGACTTACTCAGCAAACTGGCGCCGGCTAGCGTGCATTAGCCCACTAGCTTTGAGCCGTCGAGCCCAGTAGTACCCTAAAGATGCTCCATTACACACTATTCGAAGACCACGGGCGCCGCGTTCTCGTCGTCGTCCACGAGCAAATCACCAATAGACGCGAGCTCCGACGCGGAGAGCTGCCGCGGCGGCGGCAACTCCGGAGGAGGCGGTGGCGTCCGTGCGGCGAACAACGCCGTCGCTGACGCTACTAATCGATCCAGGTCGTCGGCCCAGCCCAAACTAGCCGCGAGCGATCGAATGCCGTCGTCACACGCACCCAATAAAGCCACATCTCTATAATTCGCCGCGTTCCCATAATCTAAAGACCCGGATCCGAGATGTCGTGCGACCGCGATGGGAATGCGCGGGTCCCTTCTTCCCACGGCATCGCGGTTCACGAGACACCTGACACAATTTTCAGGAACATGGCCAACTAATTGCGCGAAGGGCTGCACGCTCAGCGACGTCCCGATGACCAGCAGCAGCTTACACCTAGGTAGGTCCTGCGTCGCGAGCTCGAAGAACCGCCGCGGCAGCCCTTCGCCGAAGAACACGATGTCGGGTTTGACGAGGCCGCCTTCTCTATCTCGGAGCGCCTGCCAGCCTTGGGGTCCGGCGTCGATGGCCGCTTTGAGCTCTGCTGGGTCTACCGACGCACCGGTATCGATACACGTCGCGCTGTCGAAGTTGCCGTGGGCTGCTACGGTTAACTCCGCCGGGACCCCTGCTGCAGATTCGAGCGAGTCGATGTTCTGCGTGAAGCATCGCAGGAGTCTACCTTTGTCGTGCAGTAGCTTTATAAATAAATGTGTTGTGGTTGGACAGTACGTCCCGGGCCACAGCTCTCTGGCCAGCGCGTAGAAGGCCTCGGGCCGTTCCCGGAAGTAGGCGAGCTCGAAGATGGCCTGGGGGTGCGGCAGGTCGTACTTCTGGAGGTTGTCATACAGGCCCGTTCCTGGACTTCTGAAGTCCGGAATGCCCGCCGCCGTCGACATGCCGGCGCCGCCCATGACGACGATGTCCCGTTCGTTGCCGTCATTGATGTAGGCCGCTAACCCATCAGCGTCGAAGGACGAGAGGATGGGCGGTGGCGTGGGAGGATCGACGAGGTGATCAGGCAATTCCCCAGCCTGCCTCAATGCATCTAACTGCCGCGCGAGGAGTTCGAGTTTCGACGGGCCGTCATCTGACGAATCGGAGTCTTCGCGCTCCGGCGGCGGGTCTCTTGGTGTTAAAGGCGCCGCCGTCGCGAGCGAGGGCGCGGGCTGCGCGTCGGCCGTGTAGGCCGCGGCGCCCGGCGACTGGGCGTTGGCCTCGTCGCTGATGCTCCTTTGTCGTTTCAGGCCGCCGGCGGGATCCATGGTTGTCGGCGCGCCGCGGTTTGTGCTATACAGTTTGTGGTGGGTTTGAAAGCACTGTGGCGCTCGTGAGGGCGCAGGGATGCGCGGCGCTGCGTCGTAAGCTTCGCTAGCTTACAGACGTGTGCTGCAATGAGTTGGCGGGTGCTCGCGCGGCTCAGGAGCGCACCGGTAATGTCAGCAGTGTCCCAGCCAAACCCACTGAAATCGGGGCGCGGCTGGGACGACGCTCTGGCTAGATACGTAGTGCGCCGACGGGCTAGCTATGGGACCACGCGCGCTGCCGTAGAAACGTACCGGATCGACGTGGAAAAACCCGAGATTTCATCTCATCTCAGCGCGCGCTACAGTGCCAAATCGCTCCCAGCGCTGCCCAAGGTGCTGCCGCGTGGTGCCCGTGTGCTGCCGAGCGTTGCCCGTCCGGGCGCCCGCGCTCCGCCGACGCATCAGCCTCCAGAGTCAAGTGGCAAGAGAGAGCATGAGCCGCCTCCTGAAGGAGATCGCCCCGCACAACGCGCCGGGGCCGCGCGCCCTGACCACGACGCCGTGCCTCGTCTGCGGTGATGATGGAGAGGGGATGGACTGCTGCCCCGCGGCGCTCTGCACGCCGTGTCTGCAGCGAGCGGCCAAGGCGCAGGGGTCGCTGTTTCGCTGCCCGTTATGTCGAGATGATGGCGCGTTCGTGATCGCGGCGAAGAGGAGAGGAGTGGTCGCGAACGCGAAGGCGACGCCGCGCTACGCGAGCGGCGACGATCTAACGATACGAAGGCGCTGCAACGCGCCGCGATGCAAGGCGCCGGGCGGCCGGTTCGTCGACGCGGCCGAGAACCCGCTGACGCGCCACGGTAACACAGAGAAGTGGGCCCTCGCGACGTGCGCGCACTGCGGCCAGACGTCGCGGCACCGCGGGTGTGTGAAGAGATTTGAGGGCTTTCGCTGCGACGACTGCGACGTGCAAGTGCTGGAACGGACCCCGGACGACTTCCGGAAGGGCGATCGCGTCGAGGCGCGCTTCTCGGGCGGGCCGCGCTGGTACGGGGCCGAGGTCGTCGCCGTCGTTGAGGAAGGGATCCGCGTCAAGTACGACGACGACGGGTCCCTGGAGACGATCCGCGTCGCCGCGCGCATCCGGCACCGCGCCGCGGAGGAGGAACGGCCGCCTTCGCGGCCCGCGGCGCGGTCGCGCCGGGGCGAGGAGGAAGGCGGCGGCTCGGTCCCGCCGGGTCAGTCTCGGAACCCAACCGGGGGCTTCCGGTGCGAGGTCCGCCAGGTCGGCGGCACGAGATGGCGCCGCTTCGAGTCTTGTCGGGACGCCGGCCGGGCGTTCAACATTCACGGCAACTACTTCTCACGACTCGTCAACGACGACGCCGCGTGCCCGGCGTGGGTGCGAGAACAGTTCGAGGCGCGGCGGCTGGGAGACGACGCGGACGAAGAATCGTCGGCGGACGACGACGAGGCCGCGCTCCGGGCGCTGCGCGAGCGCGTCGAGCGCGACGGTGGCGACGAAATGACGGCCGCGCGGCTCGATGCGTTGCTGGCCGGCTGGAAAGGGTCACGCGAGCGAAAAGTTACACACGGCCGCCCGAACGGTTTTGCCTACAGCTTCGTCGCCCCCGACGGAACCGAGATCACGTCGATCGGCCGCGCGGCCGCGGCCGTCCTCGAGGCCGTGCCGGCGGCCGACGTCGAGGCCGCCGCGGCGGAAGCGCCCGCGCCCGCACCGGTGGCCAGGGAGGAAGACAATGACGACGCGCCGGCGGCGGACGAACCGCCGGTGTTTGACCACGGCGCTGCGCTCCGGGCGCTGCGCGAACGCGTCGAGCGCGATGGCGGCGACGCGATGACGGCAGCGCGCCTCGACGCCCTGCTCGTCGGCTGGACGGGGTCGCGGCAGCGCAGACGGCGAACCGGCTACACTTACAGCTTCGTCTCCGCGGGACGAGCCTGGTCTTACAGCTACACCGCCCCCGGCGGCGCCAAGTTCCGGTCGATTGCCAGCGCGGCCGCGGCCGTCCTCGGCGTCGCGGCGCCGACTGACGAGGGCGCCGCGGACGAGGCGCCAGCGCCGACGGCCGCCGCACCGCCGTTGAAGGTGTCCCTGGTCTCGGAGGTCGCCGCCCGCGAGGAGCTCCGCGACCATCTGCGAGGTCTGCCGGGCGTCGAGGCGTCCCAACTGGACAACCTGCTCGCCGGGTGGCAGGCGACGCGGCGCCGACGAGCAGACGGAACCACGTACAGCTTTATCTCGCCCGGCGGCGAAGAATTCACGTCCGTCTCCCGCGCCGCCTGGGCGGCGTGCCGCCTCGCGCCTGTGGAGAGACGACTCCGCGCGGAAGCCGAGCGGCTACGGGTCGAGAACGACGCGCTGCGGAACGACCCGGCGGCGGCCGCGCGGCGCGAGGCCAAGCTCCGGGCCGAGGTCGGGAGGCTCCGCGTGGAGAACGAGAGGCTCGCGCGGGCGGCGCAGCAGCCACCGGTCGTCGTCAACCACAGCCGCCGCGACGCCGGTCTCGGCGCGTGGATGGCCGAGACGTTCGACCACGCCGTCGGCACGGAGCCGGTCGTCGTCAACCAGGTCCGTCCAGCGCGCCGCGTGACGGCGGGCGCGCCCGTCGTGCCGCCGGCACCGGCCGTGCCGGCGTGGCCGGCTCCGATCGAAGCGCCGATCCCGCCGCTCGGCCCCCGTGCCGCGAGCCTCGCTGCTGACAACGCGTTCCGCGCCGCGTCGGCGTTGGCGCTACGCAATTTGAGAGATTCCCTCCACGCCGTCGAGGCGCTGGCGACGAGCGACTTCCAGGGCCCCATGAAGCGGCCGGTCGCGCGCCTGGCCCTGAAGGCGCACCAGCTCGCGACGCACGTCGCCGCCTCGGAGACGCAGCTCGCCGAGCGCATCACGTGGGCGCCGCCTTCTTTCTGGACGCCCGACGAGGACTGGCGCCTGGAGCGGCTGTACAGCGATGAGTGCGCCGCGGTCGACGCCGCCGGCCTACAGGGTAGGTCGGTGCGCGCCGATTTCTGGGCCCGCGCCGCCGCCGCCCTCGGTACCAGTCGCACGGCCGGGGCCGTTGAGTCGCGTTGGAAGGCATTGCGCGCTGGCACCGGCGCGAGGACGCGGCCTTGGACATCCAACGAGGACGAGCGACTCCGAACCATGGTCGGCGACTTGGGCGCGAGGAGCGACTGGCCCGCCATCGCCGTGCAGCTCGGCAACGGCCGGACGGCGGGGGGCGTCGAGGCGCGCTGGCAGATCTTGCGCGCCGACGAGCCGATGAGAACGAAGCCGCGCTGGACGGCCGACGAGGACGAGCGGCTCTCGGAGCTTGTACGCGCGGCTCCGGAGCGCGCGTCGGGAAGTGCGCGACCAGGCATGTGGGACCGCATCGCCTTGTCGTTTCCCGATCGTACTGCGTCGGCGGTCGAGCACCACTGGAAGGATCGTAACAAAAAAGCGCAGCGACACGCCATGGCGGCGCCCGCGCCGCCATCAAAAACATTAGAGAAATCACAGAAGATTAGATGTCTGCAGGACAATCCGAAACAAAAAGGCACTGCATGTCGCGACCGCTACGAAAAGTATAAATCTGCTACCACTGTCAAGGAATTCTATGAGAAGGAAGGCACTCCTGCTGATCTGGACCATGACATTGGAAAGGGATTTATCGAAGTTATCCAACCGACGCCCGCGCCGTCGATCGCGGGCGATCCTGACCGGAAGAAGCGGCCGCGGGAGGGACCTGCCGCCCCCCGCTGGTCCTCGGACGAGGAGGCGCGCCTGCGCCAGGTTGTTGAGGACGAACGCAGGGCGATCGCGGGTGGGGCGCCGAAAGCCGGCGTGTGGGATCGAGTCGCTATAGCTCTCGGGACGGGTCGGACAGGCGGCGCCGTGTCACAACACTGGAGCGCGATGAATCGAGGCACCGCCACCGGTGCGCCGGGCGCGGCTCGTTGGACGCCCGACGAGGAGCAGAAGCTGAGGCGGCTCGTCGAGGCGGAGCGCGCCGCAAATCGCGGCAAGTGTCGCGGGTCGTTCTGGGATGGCGCGGCGGCGGCGCTCGGCACGAAGCGGACGGCGGCGGCAGTCCAGCATCACTGGCAGGACATGAATAGCGCGTCGCGCCCGAGCAAGAAGGCGCGGACCGACGAGCCGCCGCCCCCCGAAGAGGTGGACGACCCGATACTTGACCCGTTCGGCCTCCGCGCGGGCCTCGCGGCCCTCTTCTCCCCATGGGGATGGGGTTCGTAAGCACATAACTAACAAGTCACTACTTAGCCGCCGAAAGCTCCTCGACGCGCGCCGCGAGCCGTGCGACCTCCTCCCTCAATTCGGCCACCTCGGCCCGCAGGGCAACGACCGAGGGGTCCTCCTTCGGCTTGAACGCCGCCTTCAATTTGTCGAGGCGCGACTCGGAGGGCGCCGCGTCCTCGCGCGCCATGGCGCCGGACTCGTCGAAGGAGGGCTCGGGCGACGACCCCATGAGCTTCGAGATTTTCGCCGACGCGTCGCCCGCGGCTTTCCGCGTGGCCTCCGCGGCGTCATTCATGTTCTTGCGCGCGTTCGAAGCGAGCTCGGCCGCCTTCGGCTCTGTCTTCTTCATCATCTGTTGTAGAGATGCTTGAGCGGCCGAGGCCCGTCTCGAGACGTCGCTAAAGGTCCAGCCCTTGGAGGCGTTTTCCTTGGGCGGCTGGTTGGCGTCGCCTCCACTAAGAAAGAGGACCTTCTTCAGGTTGCCCTTGCCGTCGGACATCGTGCCCTCGCCCGTCACGGACGGCACGGTGGTGTCGTCGGGCGTCGTCGGGGGAATGACGACCTCGTCGGGCGAGGAGATGGAGAACTGGCTTTGTGCTGGCGGCGGGAGTTCTTCCACGGCGGCGGGCGGGCCGCCGGCGTCTTCCGTTGCTCCCATCATGGCTGGTGTGTAGAGATTGGGTCGATAGCGCTGCGGCGCGCGGCCGAGAGCTTTTCGTGCGCTGGCGGAGTGATGAATAACCGTAACGCACCAGCCGTTTTAACACCTGGTACGCAAGGCGCGAGCGCTGGAAACTTCCAACTTTATTTTTTTGCTTCTAGTGAAACAGGCATACTAGGAGCTGTTTTGGGCAGCCGAATCGAGCCACCACGCCACCAGCGATGGCCGGGCAGCCCTAGAGCGCCATGCGCCACCTCTACCTGCTCGCCGCGGCCGCCGCGGGGCAGCCGCAGCGTATTTGGATCGATGCCGATTGTGATGGATTTCACGACGCGGCTGCAATCAGCCAGCTATCAAAATATAACATCATCGGTGCCTCGGCGGTCTTCGGAAGCGCCACAGTTGTCGAAGCGCAACGGAAATGCTCCGACGTGCTGCGCAAGGCCAATATTGACGTCGAGGTGACCGCCGGCGCTTCACACTACGAAGACACGCAAGCAGCAAATAAAGCGGTCGGTGCCATGACGCACGAGCTCGCGAAAGCCATCAAAGATAACGAAAAGATGACCGTCGTGGCGCTAGGCACGCTCACGAACGTCGCGGCACTCGCCGTGAGAAGGCCGGACCTGGCCGAATCGCTTCATGTTGTCATCACGTGCGCTACCAATGACCCATCAGACGTTTGTGTAACAAAGGACTGGCAGGCTTTAGCCGCTTTGCTGCGGAGCCCCGCCGACATGACGATGGCCCCGCCCGCGCCGCCGGCAGCATGGGACGACGTGAGTGTGCTACCATCGTGGCTATCAACTCTAATAACGGGCCCGACGCGCGACCCGACCATTGATGGCGCTCTTCAAGGCGCGCGCTGCGAGGCCGAGAGCGCGTGGCTCATGCCGATCAACGAGGACTTCCACGACCCTCGGTTTGTGTTAGAGACGGGCGAATTACCGGAGTGGCCGACGAAGGCCACGGCCCTGCGGCCCGACTCCATCGGGTTGAGCGGGAGTCTCGAGCGGTGCTGGGGCGCGCACGACGCGCGGCGGCGGCTCGTGGATGACTCGCGTAGCGAGCTGTGAAGTAAGATGTGTGTCCTACCTTACCGCGGCGGCGGCGTCGTGGTGGCGGCCGTCGCGCATCCCGGCGTCGTCGACGAGTCATCCATGGCTTTTTTCTAGACTTTTAGGACCCCCCTGGCTCCGTCTGCGTCGCGCCGTCCTCCGTGTCCCTATCATCACTCGGCGCCGGCGGCGGCTCCGTGTCCATGGCGTCGCCGCGCCGCCGCTGCGGCGGCTCGGTGCGCTGCCAGGCCCTATCGTCCAAGAACGGATGTCTCAGAGCATCGGCGGGCTCGACGCGCGCCGACGGCGAGTACTCGAGCATGCGCCGCACGAACTCGACGAAGAGGCGGTAGTTTTCTGGAGCGTGCCCGGCCTCGCCGCGCCGTCTTCCTCCGGGACCGCCCGTGTCGGCGCCGACGACGTCAGACAAGCCCCGCGGCTCGCCCATGGGCTTGTTTCGCTCCCCGGGCTTGGCCTTCAGCGTCCACCGATGAGGCGGTTTCTGGGACGTGCTTCGACTCCGCGTCGCGACGCCCTGTTGACTGGCAGCAGGATTGGCCACGAAGTACTGGTCCCGCGTCGATCTATCGGCGGCCTCGACCATGCTCTCGGGCGGCATGCCCAGGACTTCCACGAGTCGTCGCATTTGATCTAATTGATCCGAACCGGAGAATAGAGGTTCACCGGTATGCATCTCTATCAGTATACAACCGAGCGACCACACGTCAATAGCGACCGTATAGGGCAACCCCAACATCACCTCCGGCGACCGGTAGAACCGCGACTGGATGTAAGAATACATCCGCCGGTCCGATCGACAGGACGAGCCAAAGTCAATCACTTTGATCGCGCTCCGTTTGGGATGCCTCAACAGAATGTTCTCGGGCTTGAGGTCGCAGTGGATCACGGCCACGTCCTGCGCGGCACGGACGCCGTCACGAGACGCGTCGACTCTCGGACGATCACGAAGACGGCGTCGAGGCGGCGCGGCATCGCGACGACGCCGTCGACGCAACGTGAAGTTCAGAAATGTTCGGAAACAGACGCCGAGTCCGCACCGGCCGCGCGAGGAACGCCAACGCATGTAAAATCTGCTTCGCGAATTTCCGAACCAAATTCAACGAAACGCCGTGGAATTGCGTGTTCTTCAGCAGCTCGTACAGATTATAGGAAAGCATCTCGAAGACCAAACACTCGTGGCCGCGATACACGAAGTGGTCCAGGAGCCGTACGATGTTCTGTTTGTCGTCTCTGTCCGCACTTCGTAATGCTCGTAACAGTTCGATCTCCGTCTGGGCCTGCAGCGCGAAGGGCTTCTTGGACTTGATGATCTTGATCGCGACGTCCGTGCCCGTGCGCTCGTCTCGTGCCCGAACAACTTGGCCGAAGCTACCCTTGCCTATTCGCTCTTTGATGGTATAGTGCTCGCCGAAGGCGTCCTCCATCTCGAGCTTGTAGTCGTGGTGCTCGTCGTCCCACTGGGACTGGGGGGCTTCCGCCGCGCGCTGCTGGACCTTCCTTTTTGCTTTTTTCTCGTAGTAGACCTGTGCGGTTGACGTTGAAGCGTTTTCTGCGGGTGGGGTTTTGACGGGCGGCGCCTCTCGCGGCGCGCCTCATGCTCGTACGTCGCGCCTCCGCCGTCATAACGGCGCCACGGGGCGCTCTCGCGGCCCTCTCGCCCGGCTCGGCCCCAGCGCGCGCGTTTGACGTCTCTAGGACGCCGCTCCAAACCTTGTTGATGAGCTTGTACGTGTCGATGAGCTGGACGCTCATCTTGTAGAGCGGCCGCTCCGTGTGGGGCCGGTGCTGCGCCATTCTGTTTCAGGCGTCGGGCCGGCGGGTCACGGGGGCCGCGGCTTTCGGTAAAAATCCGCGCGGCGGCGGCGGAGTAACGCTGTGCTGCGGCGCAGCGGTCCCGCGCGGCCTCGGTTAGTGTAACAACGCACCGCGGCGCCTAGCAACGGTAACGCTCTGAAACAGGTTCGCCTCGGCAGAGTGTAACCGCTGGCCCTTCTCGCTTAACAGGGCGCCCACTGAGGTAACAGCGCAAGCCTGGAGAGGTCTCTCGCTCACCGTATACTCCGAAAGGGTGTCATACTGGCGGTCAGGTCGGCTTTAGTCACAGCTCTGGCTTAGTGGCAGTTTTTTTATTTAGCTAAAAAGACCAGGCCGCCCAGGCCGTTCCGCCGCCGCGAGGCGTCCGTGGGCGCTGGAGCATGTCTCCGGGAGGCCGCTGACTCAGACCGCCGGCGTGCGGGGCATTTTTTTGGCTCGACAGAGGCATGCGAATTTTGCTATCACCGGCTCGCGCGCAGCCGCCGAGGCAGCCCGCCAAGCGCAAATCATGATACGATCATAAGAAAAACAAGTACGGAAGCGATGCGGCTCTACGCTGGCCTGTGGCTGGCGGCAGCGTGTGCCTACGACCAACACAACGAGGTCGACGCGCGCATCCGCAAGGCCCTCAAAAAATCGCTGGAGCCCTATCCGAAAGGAGAATCGAAGGATGACGCCATCCACTACGTGAGAGATGTGCTCTCGTTTCCGGAGAGCGCGGTGCTCGTGTACGATCATCACGTCATTGTCGATAGACGCTTCCTGCGCCCGGAGAAGAGCCGGAAACATGTTAATTTTCTCGCGTCGATCGTAGCGAAGCAGAAATCCATCAAGAACGCTGCTTACGCGTTTTCTGGCAACTCTACTGGGCTCTGCGGGCGGGATATGGGCGCCAAACGGGCACCTTACCCTTGCGTGATCATCGCAAAAGCTTATGGTACGAAACAACCGGGGGTCTTGGTGCCGAACCCCTACCACCATGATTTGGATTATTGGAGCGCTCTCCGAGATCACATCAAAGCTCGAGCGTCGTCGAGGCCGTGGAAAACAAGATTACCTCTAGTCTTTTGGCGGGGCAATGTCTTGGATCGGTGGCACGCGCCCGACGACCCCAGGTATGCTGGTGACAGTTGTGAAAATGAATTTGGCAATCATGCGAGGTTGGCGGCGATGGCGGAGTCGGTCTTACACCCAGACTTAGTAGACGTCAAGTGCTTCTCGAAGCACAAATGTCGGGCGCGCGACCCCGACGAAAGGCCGTGCCCCGACGAGCAGTATTTATATAGCGATACGATGCGCCGGGTGCAGCGGAACTCGAGCCTGATTACGGACCACGGCCACGTGGCGAAGGAGAACTACACGCGCTACAAGTACGTGCTGAATCTGCCGGGAAGTACGTCGGGAAGCTACTCGCGGAACCTGAACCACCTCTGGTTCCTGGGGAGCGTGGTCCTGTTCTGGAAGGCGCGGTTCACGGAGTGGTATTTTCCCGCGCTGACCGAGGGCGCGACCCATTTAACTGTGGATTCTTCGACGCTCGCCCTCGCCGTGCGCATGCTGGAGGAGAATCCGAAAGATGCCAAAGTACTAAGGGAGAAAGCTTCAGATGTCGACCACCGGATCATGTGCCCGTCCTGTTTAGCTGCTTATGTGTCCGAAGTCATCGACGAGGTTCGCGCTCATTTCGCTCTGGGAAAGTTGTTGGATGACCCCTGTGCAACACATGCTTTCTTTGATGCCTTGAACTGTCAAAGGCGAGACTTGGTCATCATCCGGGCCACAGCTCGGCCGGCGGGCTCCTTCGACGTCAGCGAGTTCATGCAGCGGCGTTTGACCACGAACACGACCTTCGCGAAGACGACGTGCCACGAGATCGCGTCACGTGCGCACGCAGAGTGTCGCGCGCGGGACCGATCTATATTAGGATGGCTCCGCGCGAAGCTCGGGGGCTGGCACACTGCTCAAGTGTCGTCGCTGGACGAGCCGCCGGGGACGCGGAGGCTCCGGGGGTAATTTTGATTTAACTGTACCGTGACTACTTCGAGACTGCCAGTGGTGGTTAGTAACTGTCGCGGCGATGGCGTGCTGGTGGGGTGGACGTCCGCCCGCCTCGACGCTATCGCCGCGACGGCGTGCTGGTGGAGCTCCGATCCACACTTCCGGGCGGGCGCGGCCTCCTGGGCCGAACTAGAAGACTTCATAAGTCACATAATAGTTACTACAGGAACGTCGGCCCACCGCTCGACCGCCGTTCAGCAGGAGTCAGTGCGGACCGCGGGTCGCTGGAACTTCCAGAGGTCCGCGACGCCGCGAGGAAGTCACGAAGAGAACCGCCCGTCGGCGGCTGCGGCAGCGCGTTGTCGATGGACACGCGGCGCGACGGTTCTGATGAGGGCGCCGGCAGCGCGCGCGCGATAGTGACGATCTGCAGGACTAGGTCCGCGTGCGCGTCAACTAAAGGCGTCGGCGGCACGACGAACCGTTGCGAGTTCCCGGACACGTCTTCGACGACTAGCGTGGAGGGCGCCTCCGTGGCCAAGACGGAGGCGCCCTTGGCCACGAGGCGCTCCGTGAACCCCGAACCCGAAGTGACGTCGACGGCACGCATCGCCTTGTAGGGTAATACTTGCGCCACGGCCCCGAAGCCCGCTATGCCTTGTGAGGAGAAGTACAGCGCGTCGGACGTCACGGTCAGCGTCCCACCTTTCGGCGCGGTTTCCGTAATTATCATCGCCCTACACGCGTAGAGGAACGCGTCCTGGGAGGCGGTCCGGAATTTCTCGGCCAAGGCCGTCTCGAGCGGCGACGGCGGCAGGTTCCGCCGCCGTCGCTGCACCAAGGCACCGACCACAGCTTTCGAGGATTGTAGAGCGTTCTCGACCCGCGCCTGAACCGACTTCTCCTTCCGGCCGACGCGCGCGACGTACTCTTTTCCGGCTCTTAACTCCAGTAAGGCGGTGACGTTGTTCCCCGCTTCACGCAAAGATGATACACCGCCACCAGGATAGGTGGACACGGGCTCCGTCTCCAGCTCCAGGGGATACGAAGCTAGCGGAGGCGCCCGCGACGGTGGCGGCGGCTTCACACCCGCAGAAGCGTAGGCCGGCTGCAAGGCAATGGCCACCCGAGCTGCGTCCACTTCCGCTTTCTTAGCTTTCGCATCCAGGGGCCTCGCGGCGTCCACGAGCCGTCGCTCTAGTTTCACCGCAGCTTCCCGCTGCAAATCCCTAAGAAACCCGTCGTCGAGCCCATCACTCTCAAAGGTCTCCTTTTGTAACGCGTCACGTACACTCATAAGAGCCTGGAAGACGCTGTCGTCGGCCTTCGCCTCCCATGACTGTTGGGCGAGGGCGCCGATCACAAGGCAACGCTTTCCATCAGACGCTCCAGAACCAGCGATTAATGAGCCGCCGCCGCCGCACCGATCCGCCAAGAATAAATCGGCGCCCAAGGCGCTCGCCGACGGCCAATCCTTCCTTCTGACAAAGCCGCGGCCCACGAGCACCGCCTCGATGATCGCCTCCGCCTTCGACCAGGGCGCACCCACGGGAAACGGCCGCGCGAACGCGCGGACGCCATCTAACGAACATTTGCGAGCGTCGACGGACGCGGCCCAGGAGAGGGGCTTTCTTACTGGTTCGCGCTTCTTCTTCTTCGGCTGTTGTTGGACAGGGGGACGCGACACAGCTAATGCAGCCGGCCTCACTCTTAATTTCTCGGCGAAGGCGGCCTCGGACACGTTCATCAATGCTTCGCCGTTGACGCTCTCGATGATGTCATTCACACGGATGCCTTTGGCTTCAGCGGCGCCCTTGACGCCGACGACGCGGAGGCGGCCCTTTTCTAGCTTGACCCTCAAACCAATAGGACCGTCGCCGAACGTCATCGCTCCAGCATCGTCCAGAGACGCCTGGATCGCGCGCGCGAGCGCCTCGTCGCCGTCCGTGTCCTTCGTCGGCGTGAAGTCGAGCTCGTCCTCGTCGGCCTCCTCCTCCAGACCCAACGCCGCGGCCGTTTTTGGTGGCGTTTTGGGCTGCTCGGGCGAGTCGAAGGGGTTCGGGGCCGGCGGCGGCGGCGGCGGCGGCGGCGGCGCTACGGCGGGTTCGCTCGGCGCCTTCAGAAAGTCGAAGGCGGAGGAGGCGGGCGCCGGCGCGTCCGTCCGCAGCGCGTCCCGCGCCGTCGAGAGATCGAGGAGCGGCTTGTCCGTCCGCAGGCCGGCGGGTTCGCTAGCGGCGTTCATGAAGTCGAACGCCGATGCGTTCGCTGGCTCTGTTGGCGCGGGCGGCGCGGACTGCGCTGGCGCGGGCGCCGCTGGGACTGCTGGGGTCGCGTCCAGCTCGTCTTCGTCGCTGTCGCTGCCCAGCATCAACTGGCGCAGGCGCTCCTCGTCGGAGGCGTCCATGATTCACTGCGCCGTTCAAAACTCGAGAGCTTATTGGCGTTCAGCGTTTCACGGAGCTTTTTTTTGGGCTTTGCATCTTCACTAGCGGCATGTAACACACTAGCAAGCACTCAAGGGCCACCTCATCAGGCTCCCAGGCTGCAAAACGCATCGGCATCGGACGCTGGGCCACACACGTTCTCTGGACAAGCCCTGCAATCGGCTTCAGGAGCACTTTTGCAGCCCTACGCCAGTCGACGCGCGGGAGGTGCTGCCCGAGACCTCAAGGCATTACATACGACGCGTAGGTGCTGCCCGGGCCACTTCAGGGCATTACACCGCATGTATGCGCTGCTTGGCGCCTGCCTCGTCCTCGCCGCGCAAGCATGCGAGGTCTGCCAGTACAAGCTCTTCGCGGGCGGCTGCCCGGTCGGGCGGCGCAAGGCCAGGGAGCGCTGGGGCGACTGGGTCGTCACCGAGGACGCCTTCGACGACGGTGACTGCCGAAACACGTGCTGCGCCGCGAACGAAGACAGTTGCTGCGAGACGGATTTTCACTTTGTCGCCGGCGTCGCCGGGGGCTTGTTTGTGCTCATCGCGATCTGCGTCGTGGTCTGCTGCGTCGAGTGTCGGCGGCGGCGCGCGCTCGGGCGCGTCGTGCGGAAGCGGGCGGCGCCTCCGCTCGAAGCCGCGCGTGTGTAAGACTTGTACTGTACGATCGACATCTCTTACACATTGATCAGCGCCGCCCGCCGAGGCCCGGCGGCAGGTCTCCCCCGCGCTTCAGGCCCGGCGGCAGGCTCGGCCCGCTCGCGCGCGGCGGGGGCGGCGGAGGCGGCGGCCGCCTTCTCCTCGCCTGGGGCGGCATCATGCGCGCCGGCGGGCCGCGCGGCGCGCCGGGCCGCTGCGGGCCGATGCTCGAGCCCTCGCGCACGCCCGGGCCCCGCATCTTGAGGACCGATCCCGGCGCGGGGTAGGGCCGCTGCTGCCAGAGCGGCCCCGACGCCGTCGAGTCGGCCATGCGCTCGCCCTTGTGGTGGAGCCCGTCCGAGTAGCGGCCGCCGCTCAGGCCGAGCGGGTCGAGGGGGTCGATCTGGGACTTGTCCCTCTTCTTTTTCTGAGCGGCCGCCAAGGCAGGGTGCGGCTGGGGCCGCGGCTTCGGTCCCTCCGGCCGGCGCGTCGCGCCGTCGCCCGCATCATTTGCGTGTGTAGGCGGCTCCCACCGCCGTTCCCCGGTCGCGTCCTTGACGTAGTAGACCTGGTTCGACGAGGGATGGACGCGCGAGCTCCAGCCCGGCGGCAGCGCCACCGGAGCCGTCGGTGTTGCGGACGGCACCATGACCGCCGGCGCTTCCTGCCTCACCAACGACCCGGCCTTGCGTAGTTGCGCCTGCACGCCTAGTAACTTGTGCTGCAGCTCCTTGTAGGCCTCGTCCCGTTCTCTACCAGCAACCTGCTTCAGCGTGTTGTCTCGAGTCCTCTCGAGCTGCGACATCTTTTCTCGCTTGCGCTTCTCCGCGGCTCGGCCCCGTAAGCAGTCGTCGGGCACGCCGTCGTCGCCCTGCTCCAAGTACGCCAGGGCCTGCGCCCGCTTCCGCTGCGCGTCGAGCTCCGCCTTGTATTTTTCGTCGGACATGGTCTTGCGCTCGCCGCGCGGGCCGACCACGACATCCCGCTTCACCTTGGGAATGGTCACTTGTTTAGGTTTTGGTTGGTTGGACGGCTCGTCCGCAAAACCGGGGTAGTGCTGGCCCGTGTTCTCGGACCAGAGCTTCGCTTGTTTGGTGGGGCGGTAGTCGCGCGCGTCGACCTCGTCCTGGACCTCCCAAAACTTCCTTCCGGTAGCTTTGGCGAGTCTATCAATGCGCTCGCGGTCCGCCTGGCGGCTCTGGCCGTTCATCATGGTTTCTTGCTTGTGGCCGGCGCCCTAAAGGGCGCTCGGGCTTCGCGTTTTGTTGGTTGCGTCGCGCGCGCGGCGGCGTATGTGGCGCTCGAGAGGCGCTCCCTGGTTGTGGCTTTTCGGGAGCCGCGGCGGCGCCGTTGGACGGCGCGGCTGTACTGCGTTGGTTGGGCGCTTGGGCCGCGTCTCTCGATCGCTTCGGGGCGGGCGTAACGTGCCACAGCCTTTTTAGTGTGTAAATGTCGGCTGCGTATTCCTAGTGTCTTACAGGACGCTAGCAAGCGTGCATGGCAAAGCTGCCGCAGTAGAGCACCCTGGTTGCTAAAATTGCGCAGGCGTCGCACCTTTCGACATCTCTGAGGCTTGCAAGCGGCGGGAGCACGCCTGAGTGGACGTGCGCCAACGTGCAAGCAGTGACCGCGGTGCCGTGGCAGCGCCATGCCGCCGCGCAAGAAAAAAGACGACCCCATGGCTGCTGTGGATGCGCTCCCGCTCGTCCAGGAGCTCGAAAAGGCCCTCGCGTGCCTCGACGCGGTCGAGAAGGACGTCGACGAGGGCAAGCGCCCGGGCAAGGACATGGACGCCTTCTTCCAGCAACTGGGCCGCGTCGACGACGCCGCCGCGGCGCTGCCGGAAATGCCCATCCCCCAGGGCGCCCTGGACGACGGCGCGGACCTGGACGTCGTCGCGAGACAGGACCTCCGGCGGCAGCTCGACGACCTCGCGGCCGAGGGGCACCGGAAGAAGAACATGAAGACGCTCGCTGATTTGGTTGAGGCGGGCCTTGATAATACTTAGAGTTTCCCCAGGGAGAGCGCGTACCACTTGTCGAGGCGCTTGACGAACGACGTCCCGAGCTTCCGCCAGCCCTTCCAGGTCAGGGGCACCTTCGCCACGGTCGCCTCATACACGTTGTCCGCGACGGTCACCCAGCCCTTGCCCGTCGTGGGCACCCAGCCTAGCAGACGGTCGTAGGCAGTGTTGAAGCCCCTGAGCCAGCCGTCCGTCGACGTCGGCACCTTGGCCAGGGTCAGGTCGTAGGCCGCGTGGAGGCCCTCGTTCGCTAATGAGGTGACAGATCCGACGACTGCAGTCGTTTTCGCGTAGCACGCCCCGGCGGCGGCGGACGTCTTCGCGCACGCCGTGCTGACGGCGGGGCCGGCGTTGCTCGTGATATAGCAAGCACCGGACTTGACGCCGCCGACGCAGGAGCTGAGCGCGGGTCCCGCGCCCGCCGCGGCCGCCTTGGCGCCGGCGGCGACGGCGCCGGCGCCGGCCTTGGCGCCGGCGGCGACGGCACCGGCGCCGGCCTTGGCGCCACCAACGGCCGCGCCGAGGGCCGGGCCCGCGCCGCTCTTCACGCAAGCGGCGCCCGCGCACGCCTTCGTCGCCACGAAGCCGGCACTCGCTTTGGCGCCGGAGGCCACGGCTCCCGCGCCCGCCGCGGTCTTCGCCGCCACAAAGCCGGCACCGGCCTTGACGCCGCCGACCGTCGCGCCGAGGGCCGGGCCCGCGCCCGCCGCCACCGCGGACACGCCCGCCTTGGCGCCGGAGGCGACGGCGCCGGCGCCCGCGCACGCCTTGGCCGCGACGTAGCTGCCGCCGGCCTTCGCGCCGCCGACGCAGGCGCCGAGGGCCGGGGCTACCGCGCCCGCACCCGCCTTGGCACCAGAGGCGACCGCGGCCGCGCCCTTCGTCACACCGGTGGCGACGGCGCCGGCGCCGGCCTTGGCGCCGCCCGCGACGGCCGCGGCGGCCGGGCCCGCCTTGGCGCCGACGGCCGCGACCGCCGGCCCGACCGCCGCGCGCACCGGCGGCGCCGCGAGCGACACCGCGACGGCGCCGACGGCGAGCGGCACGACGGGGAACGGCCGCTTCTCCGCCTCCTTCGCTTTGATAGCGGCGGCCTCGCGCGCCGGTTCCGCGTACTTGCCCGTGACGTCGCCTTTGCCGGCGGTCGCCTTCGCCGGCGCGGGGGCCGCCTTCGTCGCCGTCGGCGCCGCCGCGGCCTTTTCCGCCTTCTTCTCCGCCGCCTTGGCGACGTCCGCGAGCCGGGCGGCCTCGGCGTCGGCCACGCGCTGCGCCTCTTTTTCCTTCGCCGCCGCGACGTCCTCGAGGCGCTTCTTCTCGGCCGCGGCGACGTCCGCGTCCGTCTTCGCCGCCGGTGCCGATGCTGGCGCCGGTGCGGGCTCCGGCTTCGGCGCGGGCTTGGGCGCCGGTGCCGGCGCCGGCGCAGGAGTGGTCTTCGCCTTGTCGTCCTTCGTCAGACCCGCAATAAATTGGTCCTGCCAGGCGTAGATCTTGTCCTGGAGCGTCTCCTTGGCGAAGAGCGGGGCCGCGCGCAGCGGTGCCCGTTGCCGCGGCACGGGCGCGAAGGCCGCCGCGAGGCCTAGCAGCAGCGCGGCAGCTGTTCCCACTCTTGCCAGCCGTGCCATGCTGCTCCTTTTACAAGAAAACTTCGGCAGGGCTTCACACGTGTAATGCGCGGTTACCGCGGCTGCGCTTGCCCGTACCAGACCGGAGTATGGCACCAGTGTGGGCCAAAAAGCTAGCTTGGCAAAGTCGATGCAAAAAGATAATCTCGCGTCAGGAGCCGTCGGAGCGCTCGCGAATACCTTTTTCAGGAGTCGCTTCGGCCTTGGTGGCCCAAGAGGCGGCCGCCGCGGTCAGATCGCGGTCACCGCCCGCGCGCCGTCGACGGAACCCCAAAGCGCTCCGAAGCGCGGCGCTCGGCCCTGCGCGTCGACGAACCCCCCAAAGCGCGGCGCCCCCGCACAGCGATCACGTAACACAAGACCTACTCTTACGGCACGCGGAACGTCTTCCCCTGCTTCCAGAGGTAGTCCAGGTTCCGCCGCTTGACGCGCTTCTTGCCCTTCGTCAGCCACGCCTTCTGCAACACCGTGATGGACTTCACCAAAGGTGAATACAAGGGCACGTGCCGGCGCATCGGCGTGCCCATCACTCGACAAAACAATTGGACCGACGAGTCCGCGCCCCGATTGCGCCTTCCTAACACCAGGCCCTTGACCTTTTGGGGTTTTGGCGCGTCCACGTCCACGAGGATCTCCATCTCGATCGCGTCTCCCGCTTTAAAATCGGGCCACGGCCTATGGACCTTCGCGAGCGCCTCCTTTTGGAGTTGGCCTAGCAATGCGGAGGCCTTGCGCGCGGGCGGCCGCGTGTCCATGGTCGACGCGCAGGCGCGCTGTGGCCGCGTGGCCGCGCGCGGCGTAGCCGTCGCGGCTGCGCGACGCAGCAGAGGTGCTGCGCGGCGCAGGAGCATGGTGCGCAGCGATGTCTCAGCTTCCGTTGTTATGAATCGAACAAATGCTACACACACAGAGCTGCTAGCTCGCCGCGAGCTGCCGCGTACGATGCTCAAATGCGGCCAAAACAGCTCGCTAGCGGCAGTAAGACACTAGCAATTAAGCACGCCAGCTCTAAAACCGTCCAGCGCGGCCCCATTAATAGCTTCTGGTACCATTTTGTTGGCGCAATACATTACTACACATCGTGCGCCGCTAGCCACAAGGACAGAGACGCCGCCAAAGCGCCAAACACAAAATATGAGCCTAGGCCTCCTCAGTGCCGCAAGCAGAATCTGCGACGACGTCAACCTCCTGTGGTCCATCGCCGAGGTCTACAACGAGAGCACACAAAGACCCAGAGCCCACGAGCTGCTGGCCGGCGTGCTCTACGCGCTGGACAAGGACGCCGCGCCGCCGCCAAAGAAGCGAGTCCAACCACCACCAGTACTGGCGTATGTGGATGAGGACGACGACGAGGCGTTGTTCGCGAGCGCGCCTCCCCAACAAACCTACGACACGCCCGCACCATCGACCTGGCGCCGGACGCTCGCCGATTGGGCCGCGCGAGCCTGCGACGAACTCGCCTTGTTCCCGGCGTACCAGCGCGTCGCCTGGCGCACGTCCAGAAGATGCGGTTTGGGTCAAATGGTAGGCATCGTGCCGTACGGTTTGGCACGGTGCGCGCGCATCGTCATAACGGACGAGCACTGGCTCTCGTCAGCGATCCGGGCGGCCGCGGCCCACCCCTTCGAGCGCGCCGCAATAAAGCTGCTCCAAGGGCGAGTTTTACCGGTGGAGCCATACCGGGGCTGGCGCGTCTCCATCCTTTTCGCGTGCGTCGAGCGGCGGTCCTCGGTGTTCGCGCCGTGTGTGATGGCGGCGCGCCTCGCCTGGTTGTGTTCTGAAATTGATGACGGCGCCCCGTTCCGCGGCGAGGCGCTCGTCGCCGCGGCGTGTCAAGCCCTCGCGGGGTCGCTCGTCGAGCTGCCGCGGGCCGTGGCCTGCGTCTGCGCCGCGCGGCTCGTGCGGCGGGCGTTGTTTGGCGGGTCGCCGGCGCGGCGGGGGCGCGACCGGCGGTTCCGGAGGCGCCTGCGGCGCGCGCTGGACCGGTCGCGGCCGGCGGCGCCGCGGCCTTTGTCTCAGACGCGAAGGTTCGGCGAGGGCTAGTCCTGTTGGTTGTTTATTTTATGTATATTATCTCGAAACCTCTAGCCGATGGGTGTCGCCACGGGGATGTCGTGTTTCTTCGCCTTGGCCTGCTGCTTCTTCTGCTTGGCCTCGGCGTTCCAGCACGAGTACGTCCAGGCGCACCACGTGATCGTCGCCGTCGGGATCCAGTCCAGGCCGGGGACACTTTCCTCGACCATGGCGACGGCTGCTCCGGCCTTCGAGTTGAACAGCTTCTTCATGAGCGCGGCGCTCGCCGGCCCGTAGATGCAGTCGAGCGCCGGCATCGACTGATCGAGAACGCCCAGAATATCAATGAGTACGGCCGCGATGAAGAGCAGGAGGGCCTGCGCGACGGGGCGTCTGGTAGGCCGGCGGCCGCGTGTGACACTCAGAGACGATGCCTTGTGAGCGGCCGACAGCCCAACGCGTCGACTCGCCGCGGCGCGAAACGAATCTTGATGAAATTGATTGATGGCGCAGCAATATATACCTTCTTCTCCCATCCGGACAGGTCCTCCTTGCCCGTGGTGGGCACTTTAGCCGTCGCTTTGGCCATGTCTTTTGCCTTTTCCAAATAGCCCTGGCTCTGTAAGACTGAAACTGTCCGGCACTGCTACTCCGTTACGCTATAGTGATGATCGTCCGCCGTGAGGCAGATTGACGATGCTGACTCGCCGGCGCGAGCGCTTAATCGACTGGTGGTTGCCCCGAAAACCCGTACCAGCTGGCGGAGGGTTAGGGGGACCCTGCGACGTAATCCGCCTGAGCCTGACTTGATTAGTGAGTGCTCGTATTTACTTTTACGATTCTTACTAAACGATCACAGATATACTACTACGCGTGCGCGGCGGCCACGAAGTCGAGCCCTATCCGCAGCACCCACCAGCCGCCGAGGCCGCCTATAATTGCGGGCCGCGGCGCCGCGCGCCACGCCGACGGGACGAGCTCCAGGAGCGAGACGGCGATCATCGCGCCGGCGACGCCCAATAAAGCCAGCTCCAGCACCTCCGGCGACAGGAACGGCGATAATACGGCGGCGGACAACCCGGCGGCCAGCGGCTCGACCAAGCCCGTCGCGGCGGCCACGACGAACGCCCGCTCGCGCGACCGCGTCGCCGCATACACCGACGAAGCCACCGCGACGCCCTCGGGGACGTTGTGCATGCCAATCGCGAAGGCCATCAATGCTGCTCTTCCGGTATCCTCGTGGGCCGCCGCGACGCCCACAGCTAACCCTTCAGGGGCATTATGCGCCGCCAAAGCCAGCGTGACGAGCCACGCGGTTCTAGCTGCTGTCGCGTCCTTGAGCTCCTCGTCTGATCTACTTCTACGCAGCGGCGCCTCATCTAGCAGTAGCGTGGCATCATCACACGAAGCTAACAACGACTTGAGGGCGTGGACGCAGAGAGCACCCCCGAGAAACGCCCCGACGGCTTTATATGATCCGCCCGCCTTCGCTCCTCGCTCATAATAGTGCGGCAGGGCAATATCCAATACGGCCAACGCCAACATGACGCCCGCCGCGAACCCCAACGCCGCGCCGTCAAAGCGCCGCGCTTTCCGCGGCGCGCACGCGACGACGAGGCCACCGACCGCCGTAGCCCCGCCCGCCACGACGGACCAGGCCAAGGCAGCTAAGACCCGTCCGGCGTGGTCCGGCTCGTGCGCCGCCCAGTCCAGCGTCATGCGAAACCCCTCGAATAAACCGCACGCTAGAGTCGTATATGACGCGACGTCGTCGGATGAAGCCGTCTCGAGGGCTTCCGGGATCATCTCGCCTATCACCACGGATATCATGCAGCCCGCGGCGAAGCCCAGGCAGAGAGGGTGGAGCGGCGCATAGAGGTTGCAGAAGAGGAATGCGGGTGCCGCCGCGAGGAGCTGCGGCGCTGAGGTCAACACGGCCCACCACGTCGCGCGGCCCGGCCCGACGCCTCTTGCAACCAAAGCAAGGGCAACGCCGAAGCCCTCGGGGATATTGTGCGCGCCGATGGCCGTGGCCACGAGAGCGCCCCTCCGGACCCCGGACGCCTCTCCAGCAGAACGTGCGTAGGCCACGCCGACGCCGGCGCCTTCACTGATCGAATGCAAAGCCATCGTCGCGAGAAACACGTGCAGGCCCCGCTTCTTCTCGCCGAGCAGATCGTGGCCTTCCTCCATAAACGAGCGCGACCACCGCACGAACAGCGCTCCTAGTAATAACCCGCAGACGCAGCCTCGCGGGCCATTATGCGCCTCGTAGACCATCGTATACGACGCCGACAGCATGACGCCGGCGGACAGGGCGTTCGCGAGGCCCGCCGCTCGCTTACTGAGTCCCTTGGGCACGAAGAAAAAGGGCAAACCGCCCAAGCCGCCAGCGAGGACCATGAGTAAAGATGCGCCGAGGACCGTGTAGACCGATGCGGGAGCGTCTCCCTCGACGTGGTGGGGGAAGGCGCCCATGCCTATCCTGTTTAGCACTCCTCAGCACCGGTGTGTTATGCGCAGCGATTGCGGCAGCAGCCTGAACGACTGTACACAGCGCACGGATGAGACTCCGTCAAGCGTGTGTACCGATATTATCGGTGCCCTGCCGCATACAATTTTGCCGAGATCACAATCGTGAGCTAGCGGCCTGTAAGACACTAGCAAAACGAGATTTCACGATGCGACAGCCTGACGCCATCGACGCGGGAATATAGACATCAAACTTTAAGACCCAGCCTCGCCGGGCGTCTCGCAAACCACCTCCACGCCGTCGGCGTCAGGACCAAGCACCGCATTCACAAGGGCCTGGCGCTTCTCCGGCGCGAGGCCCTCGAAGCAGGCCGCAACGACGCGCACGCCGGAACCGCTCGCCTCGACGGCCGTGGGCTGGAGCGCCGCTAATTTCGCCGATAGCGCGTCCACGTCGATGGCGCCGCCGACGGTCCCGCCGGACAGGGCAGCGACCTTCGCCTTCACGACCCCCAACATGTTCACGAAGCCGTTGTTCCGTCCGGGCGTTAATGATGCTGCCACACCACACTCCTTGATGAACGACGCGTCGACGCTCAGAATTTCCTCCGGCAAAGCGCCGCTCAAGCCCTTCACGAGCAACACTACTAAACCTTTGGTCAGCTGCGCGTCCGAGTCGCCTTGTAGTAGTACAGTACCGTCCTCGTCTAGGGACGCGACCACGTAGACCGTCGACAGGCACCCAGGGACCTTGTTGGATTCAATTTGATCCGAAGCAGGTAAGGAGGGCGCCTCCTGGGCCCAGTGCAACAGCTGCTTATACCTGTACTTGTCGTCGGGCAGGCCCGCCATGGCGGTGACCAACGTGTCGAGCTTCGCCGGGCGGGCCGCGGTGGCCGTGGCCCGCATTCTTATCCGGTGCCGCCGGCTCGTGTGTTTTGTTGGTGTGTAGTGCAGGGCCTGGCACGTTATGAAGAGCGCGGCGACGCGTTTCCAGGCCATGATGTCAGATGCTGTAGGGAGAGCTTTTGTTGTGTGCTGGTTGTTAGCGCTGCTCGCTTAGGATACGGCTGCAGCGTGCGGACGCGGCGACGCTGACGCAGTCGTGTGGGTCAAATGTTATCTCTATGAGCCGAGCAGCGTGGTTTGCAGCCGCAGGCTCCACAGCCTGCAGCGGGTTTTACTCGAATCGATTTACCCGCAAAGCAAGAATAAACGGACCGAGGGCTCTTTAAAGTGGCGAAGACCGCTCCGGCCCCCTGGTTCGGAGGGGGGGTCAAGCGCACACTCAGAGGCTGGCTTGTCATCAGCTGGCATTGGTCCGGCGCGAACTCACGTTTCGTGACGATTCAGCAACCATGGCGCGACGATTAGTTGTCCTCAGTGCTCTCACGGCCACGTCGGCGCTCGTCGCGCCGCGGAGCCTGAGCCCCGCCACGCCCCGCAGCACCACTCCCACCAATGCGCCGCGGGAGCTCGTCGTTTTGAATAATGACGGCGGCGGCAAGATCATGGGCGGCGGTTTTAATGCGGCGGGCGAGCCGCCCATCAAGATCCGGGGCTTCTCCCTGGCCACGGCGGCGCTCGCCGCCGGCGCGCTCATCACTTTATCTAGTTTCGCCGCCTTCTTCACGTCGGGCGGCGGCGGCGGCACGGCGTCCGTGTCGTCGCTGGGCTTCATCTACGGCATCCCCACGCTGCTGGTGGGCGCTGCTTTAGCGTACGCCGAGCTGGAGCCGGTCCCCGTCACTTACGACGGTTCCGAATCTAAATTAGAAGCTCTATTCGAGCGCAAGGCGAACGAGGCCATGCGCAAGGTGAGGGAAGATGTCACTAGACATCGTTACGGCGACGACGCCCACTTGGACACCACCACGAAAGCTTTAGGGTTGGTCGAGCCCGGGCGACCCTACCCGATCTTGCTCGAGGTCAAGTTGGGCGAGACGAGCAAGGGCGAGCTCTCGTACTCCATGATCTTCAACGCGCCGGAGGCCCCTTTTTCGTTGTGGGCCGACGAGAAACGCGTGCGCAAGTACGAGACCTTCTTCGGGCCGGACATCGACGCCGAGGTTGTGAAAGTAGACGCCGAGAAGCGCGTCGTCGCCATCGTGCTGGCGACGAACAGCGGGACGCCGGGTGCCTCGGGTCTGAAGGACGAGGAGGTCGCAGTCGAGTTCACGGGCGCGGTGCCCGACGTGCTCCCGGCGCGGAACCGCTCCTAGGCTTGTTGACCATGGGGGTGGCGCTAAGAGGTGTTGAATAACGAGTTTCTTTTACATTGCTACGGTGCTAGGGCTCGTGGGCGGAGCGGCTCGCTTGCTAGTGTCTTACGGGACGCTAGCTCGATTTTCGAGCTTGGTTTTTTGCCGCGACCCACACGCATCGATTGATGTAAGGGCGGCGCTGGGTTCTTTACCATTCATTTTGAACGCTGCGACCCACGGCAGCGCGTGCTATTACGATTGTGAGCATTGGGGCAGCATGCCTCCCAAGGAGAAGAGGGCACGCACCGAGCCGCCGCCGGAGCACACAACAGTCGCGCGCACCGGGCGGGTGCCCCTGGTCGCAACATTCCACATCGGTTCCCGTCATGGTGACGTCCGGCGCTGCAAAACGAAGGCCGAGCTTGTCAGCGCCATCGAGGATTATCAAGTAACGCGTCCATTGACGGACGAGCTGGTCCGCAACCCGGTCGCGGACTGGAAGGTCGTTTACCGGGACGCGCTGGACGACGCGACGTCATCACTAATCGCGGCCGACCCCACGGCAGAGGCACTCATGGGTCCCGGCCCGGGCGGCGCGTGGGCGTTCTTCCTCGACCGGCCGAACCCGGACGACTACGCGCCGGACGACGGAGATTTCTGGGTGCTCGAACTGAAGTTCGAGCGCGACGTCGTCATTACCGCGGTGAGCCTCGAGGGCTTCACGTTCGGGCACACGCGCCTCGAGCTGAAGGCGGTCGCAAACCAAGGCGAGACGCCGGGCTTTGACCGCTTGATCGACGAGTCGCGTTGTTTTTACGGACCCGACACCGTCGCTGAATTCGACCTGCCCTGTCGAAGCGCCGATGACATGCCTGGCGCGGAGGTCCTCGACCAGCGCGACCCGGCGCAACGGGCAGCGTTCTGCCGGAGCGTCGCCCGCGGCCAGATGATCAAAGCGCTTTCGGCTAATGACTCAGAGCCCTCGGTCGCCGGCCGCCACTTTCGCCTCAGAGAGCGCCGCGACATGGACCAGGACCGCGCCCTAGAAGCCAGGGTCCGGGGCGGTTTTCCGGAAAACCTGTCCCGCGTCCTCGTCCGGAGCCGGGTCAGCGTCGCGTACGAGGAGGTGTTTCCGGGCGCCCCGGGCGCGGCCTCGTTCCTGCGCGACCTCCACGCGCTCCAGGCCGACGAGGCGTTCCACGACTGCGTGCTGCGCGGTGCTACATCTGAAGGCTCCGTTGACGTGAGTTCCTGTCGCTTCCTGCTTGCGGCGCGCTCGGAGTATTTTCGCGCGCTGTTCTTCGGACCGATGGCCACGACGGAGCGCGTCGTGGACGTCGGGGAGATCCCGTCCGCGGAGGCACTGCGCGGCATCGTGAAGTTCCTGTCGACCGGCCAACCGGACCGCTGCGATAGTTTCGTGGCGGCCGTCGAGCTCTTCGCGTTGGCGCACCGCTTTTCCCTTTTCGACCTCGCGGAGTCGATCCTCTACTGCCTGCAAGACATCGACGAAATGAACATGTGGGGCATCCAGAACTTGCTTCCCCGCGCGAGTCAGCATGAGGCCAACGACCCAAAGTTCTCGGGCAGCGCCATCGTTGCAGCGCTGACTCGGGCGGGCGAGCTCCACGTCGAGGATTGCGCGACGCCGCTCTTCAGCGTCCTCGCGACGACGGATCGGCGCGCGGTCGCGCACACGGACGAGTTCAAGGCGTTCGGGTTGCGATTTCCCGAGCTCGCCACGGCGTATTCCCGGATGCTCACGCAGTACATCACGAACAAGGAGAAGCAGGAAGACCTTCGGCGCCGGCGGGGATGGGGATAAAATAATACTAGTCACATCATAACTCATGCTACGCCGAGGTCCTCGTACGTCCGCACGACCGCCGCCGCCGCGTCTGCTAACAGTGGCGCATGGAAGCCGCGGAGACCGTCGGCGAGCGGGTCCTCGGCGGCGCGCAGGCCTCTTATTAAGTTCGCCGCGGCGCGCTCGCCGGAGATGGCCGGCGGCAGATGAGCGTCGGCGTATTTCACGCACCGTGCCGTCAAAAGGTGCGGCAGATCGACGTCTTGTCCCCCGGCGCGCAGGGCGTCCAAGGACTCCGAGAAGGCGTGGCGCTTGCTGCGATTGAGGCCGTCGTCGAGCAGGTGCAGGTTCTCGAGCGAATTTTGCACGGAGGCGACCGAGTCGCAGAGCTTCCGCAGGGCGCCGTGCCGGGAGACCTTTCCATCGATGAAGGCCTCCTCGCGGTAGAAGCGATGCCAGCTTTCGCACTGCGTCAGACTATGGCCCATGGCCTGACATTCGAAGGCGTGGTCGACGTCGGTGCGTGGCCGCCGTGACCTCAAATAGTAGCAGTGCTCGCCGTCACGATCGACGATGTCGCTCCGCAGCCGCCTCACGTTCCTGTCCCTAACTGCGTCGCCGAGGCTCCTCCGGAGCTGGTAGAGCTCGACGGGGAGGCCTCTAATATTGGTCACGACGCGGCGCGGCGGCGGCGGCGGCGGCGGCGGTCGTGGCTTGCGTTGCGGCAGGCAAACGAAGCGCCGCAGACTCCGGCGGCGCGGCTTCAGCCGCGGCGGCGGCGGCGGCATCAGCGGCGGGTTGGGATGCTTGGCCGCACCGCCTTTTAAGTTTGCGGCGACGTAGCGCCGCGCTCGGACGCACGAACATTGGCGCACCGTGCGATTCGGCGCGCCGCAGTAGCCGCATGGCATTGTCGCCTCCTCTACTGTTCTTCTCCGCGTCGTGCGCGCGTACGCGGAGTCCTCGGCGGTCGCGTGTCAGTGCGTTTCGCACCACGTCCGAAAAAACTGTTGCACACTGCAGCACGCTCTCCGGCTGTTTTGAGCAGTATTGTCCTCCGGACCGCCGGGATCGCTGTCAGACCGTAGCCGCGGATCAGGAGGACTGCCCGCGCGTCGCTGATAACAGCTATGCGCAGCACGCTGCGTAGCAGACGCTTTGTTCGGCCGAGCGCTTGCTAGCGGCGGTAAGTCACTAGCAAAAAGCGCTGTGGAAAGCGGAAATCACTCCCGCTGCGGCCTAAATCTCTGGTATCCAGTACCGTGGGCAGCCGCGACACACGCAACGCGCCGCCGCCGCGCCGGACAACAGATTAAGGCAGCCCAATGGCACGCCTCGCAGCGCTCCTCGTCACGACCGCCTGGGCACGGAGCCCGCTCGAGATGCTGTGCGACGGCGACCGTCTCATAGTGGTCGCGGGCTACCACCACTCGGGCACCTCCATCCTGCAAGCCCAGCTCGCGCGGCGGCTCGGCCTGCCCGTGCCGACCACGACCGACGAAAGGTGGCCGACGGACCACCACGAGGAGGCGTGCTCGCCGGAGTGGTCCGTCTTCCGGACGCGTTTGAGTGGTCTCCGCGACGTGCACCGCTTCGCGCGGCTGCGGAACCGGTTCCCCGCGGCGAGGCTGGTCTTCTGCACGCGCGACGCCCCGAACCAGATCTGGTCCCTGATGCGGCGCGCGTGCGCCGAGTCGCCTCGGTTGGCGACGTATTTGGCAAAACAAAGATGCCAGGTCCTGGAGAAAGAAGCGCGGTGGCGGCGGCCGGGCGCGCGCGACTGGACCGTGGACCTGGCGGATTTCGCCGTGGACTCGCGGAGCATCCTGCAGCAGGTCGTGCCCGGTCACCTGGCGTCGCCGGACGCGCCGTCGTTGTTCATCGAGAGCGCCGCGGTGCGCGTGCCGTCCTTCAACAACAACGACGGGTTGCGACGGTGGCAGGTGCGGCAGCCCGTCTACGCGTACGAGCGGAGCCGCTTCGCGCGCGAGGGCGGCGCGTTGGTGCCGCTCCTGCGGTCGCTCGGCGACTGCGCGCGCGTCCGCGCGATGCCGCCCCTGAGCCTCGGCGAGCGCAAGGCGCTGTCGCGGAACAACTGCTCGGGGGGCGGTACTAGGGCGAAGTTCCCCGCGGACCTGCTGTTTCCCAGCGTGCGGCGGCCGCGCGGCGGGTACTAAGTCTTGTTGTTGCGTTCCTCTTTGCGGGGCTGGGGCAAGTGGGGGGTGGTGTCGATTCGTCGGCGTCGGGCGGCCGCGTCTTTCATAACAGCATACACCCGTCTAAGCAACGTCCGCACCCGAGCAATGTGGAACGTTCGCCCTTTCTATCACCCTATCGCGCGCGTCTCCCCGCATGGCGCGCGATGGCTATACCTATAAAGCTAGTGCCTCTTCTAGCTCCAAAACATAATTCGTGGCCTCTCCAGGCATCCGCCTCGCGCACTGGCCACGCCTGCCGGGCGACGCAGTTAGCGCTCTAGTTTCTTACTACTTTTCGCCGACAGCGTACGCTTACGCTGCGTCGCTGCCTGGAAAAGCCACACCGCTATAGCCTCCCTCCTCGCCAGCTGCACGCGCGGCACGCATGGCTGAGCCCGAGCAACAAGCGCCGGCACCGGCAGCACCGACGCCGGCCGCACCGGCGCCGGCGTCGCCCGCCAAGCCCGAGAGCCTCGCCGCGCTGCCGCCGCCCGGCGGCCCCGCGCCCCCGAAAGGCATCCTCAAAAAGAAGAAGAAGAAGAAGATCCTCGACAAGCTCGCGCCGCCGGCGCCGGCGCCGGCGCCTCTACCTCAACAGTCGTCCGACGAGGACGACTTCGACGAGAAATTTCCGCAGAAGGCGAAGGCGCCGGCCGCCGCGCCGCCAGCACCGGCCGCCGCGCCCGCCGCGCCCGCCGCGCCGGCGCCGCAGCCCAAGAAGAAAAAGAAGAAGAAGCTGGCCAAGTTCGCGAGCCTCGGCGCGCCGCCGGCGCCGACGCCCACGGCCGCGCCGGCGCCGCCGCCGCCCGCGCCCACGGCGCCGCCGCCGAAGAAGAAGAAGCGGGTGGTCGTCGAAGAGGAAGACGACGACGAGGACGCGCCGCCCGACGACCTCTTCGACCGCGAGGACGACGACGGCGCGGCGGCGGCCGCGTTCGCGGAGACCGAGGCGCCCGAGCTGCCGCCGGACGGCGTCGAGTATGACGAGCGCCACATCGCGCGGCTCAACGCCCAGTTGAAAGGCGTGGAGTTCGTCGACGACGGCGAGCGGTGGCGCGTCCTCAAGGTCTCGTTCGACGCGGAGCACGAGGAGCCCGTGTGCTTTTATTTTGATGCCAAATTAGGCGACAAGGGCACGGTCGACGACTGCGAGTACTCGGCCGTCGACGAGGTGCAGCAGTGGATCGCGAATCATAGGCGGCGCCTCAAGGCCAAGGCCGCGCGCGAGGCCTCCGGTTTGTCCGGCGCGCCGCCCAAGAAGCGCCGCGTGATTAGCGACGACGACTTCGCGTCCTTCGCCTCGTCGTTGGACACGGAAGAGGCGCCGCGGCGGAAACCCTCGCCGCCGCCCGCGGCGCCGCCGCCGGCGCCCGCGCCCGCGCCGCCGCCGCGGGTCAGGACGGTGCCCAAGAAGAAGAAGGACCCCCTCAAGGAGTCGCTCAAGAAGATTACCAAAGTTGGAGCATCGGCAGCAATCCCGAAACGCGCGCCGGCGCCGCGGCCCCAACAAAGAGCCGTGCCGCGCTTCAAGAGCGACGCCCGAAAGCGGCCGTCGGCCATGGATCTGATGAGAGCGACGACGCCGGGGCAAGCTCCCCCACCACAAATGCGCGCGCCGCCGCCGCGGCCCGTGCAGCGCGCGGCCGAGCCGCCGCCGGGCTGGCGCCAGCGCGGCGCGCCTCAAAATGATAGGCCCTGGCTCGCGGCCGGCGCGCGCGGGCCGTCCCCCATGGGGGCGCCGCCCATGATGATGCCGCCGCCTCCGCAACAGTACGGCGGGCCGCCGCCGCAGTTCGGCGCGCCGCAGTTTGGGGGCGGCGGCGCGCCTCAATTTGGCGGGCCGCCGCCTCCGCAGTTCGGCGGCGGCGGCGCGCCTCAATATCAACGGCCGCCGCCCGCGGGCCTCTACGGCAGCGCGCCGCGGGCCGCGCCGTCGCTGGGCCCGCCGCCCTCCGTCGCGCCGAGCTTCGGCGGCGGCGGCGGCCCGCCGCCGGCCGCGCCGCCGCCGCGGCAGGCCGCCGACGAGAAGGCCGCGTTATTGGCGAAGCTGATGGACTCGAAGCCCGCGGACGCGCCTTCGGAAAGACCGCCGCCGCCCGCGGCGTGGGTCAACCCGCTTGCGCGCGAGCAGGCGTCGAAAGGGGGCCCCTTCTAAGTTATCGGATATAGCTTAGTTACACAAGAGGCTCAGAGCGCCCACGCCACGAGGCGCCCGTCGCACGCCGTCGTCGAGAACCCGCCGCTTCCACTTTTTTTGAGGCAGGTCACGGGCCCCTGGTGCTTCTTCCAGGCCGTCGACCCCGCCGACGCGCCCTGGGCCGACCCCGTCTTGTCCTTGGCCTGCCACATGGCCATCTTCGCCGCCACACCACTCGCGGCCTTCGTTTCCGCTTCTTTCTTCTCGTCTAAGAAGCGGGAGAAGGCCCAGGCGTTCGTCTTGGCGAAGAGGGCGGGATTCGCGTCGTGGCCCGCGCCGATGAGCTTCGCTTCGTCGAGGAATAGGAGCTGCGTCAAGGGCAAGCACGGCAGCTTGATCGTCTGCACTTGACCATTCGTCACGACTGATATCGAAGCGTCGTGGCCGGCGAAGGCTAAGGAAGCACCGGAAGGACTATAGGCCACGGCGTGGACCCAGCCGCTGCACACGAACTCGGCCAGCACCTCGCCAAAGGGCTTGGCTTCGTAACCCGCGACAGCCGTCTGCGCCCCGTCGACACCGTCAATATGAGCGGAAAAGACTCTACAGCGAAAGTCCGAACTCCCAGTAGCCAACACCGTGGAGCAGGGGTGCCACGCCAGACTTAGTACAGAGGACTTGTGTTTTTTGATCATTTTACTGACCCACCAGTTGTTGTCTGACTCATAATAGCATACTGGGACACATTTCGCGGAGGAGGCGACGGCGAACTTCTGGCCGTCGAGGGACCACCTGCAATCGAGCGCGGCCCGCTCGATGCGCAAAATCACCAGGCTCGGTTTCCATTTCTTCTCTCCGTCGTCAAAGGACCAGACGAACGCGTTGCGGTCGTGGGCGCAGGTCACGATGTAGTTGGACTGGGGGTGCCAGTCGATCGCACTAATGAGCATGTCGTGCTCCTTTAAGCTGTGTTTGGTCTCCAAGGTCTTGGCGTCCGCGATCCTCAGTTCGTTCGAATTGGGCGCGAAGGCCACTTCGGAGCCGTCCGGGGACCAGGCGTGGGCGCTCACGCCTATTGTGGCGTCCGTGAGCTGCTGGAAGGTGGCCATGGCGCGGCGCGCGGCGGCTGGGTCCTAGCCCTTGATCCACTCGCCTGTAAAAAGGCGCGGCGCTGGGTTACGCTGGCAGCGGCCTCGATCGGGTCACTGGCTGTGGCCTCGGTTGACTTGTAGCTTCAGTGATTCGCGCGCGGCTGGCGTGCGAGCAAAATGCCCGGCGGCGAGACCTAGCGTACATCGACACTAGCCAAGTCGCAGCCCAAAGCCCCAGTGCCGTGTACAGCTCATTCGAAGTGGCAGAGCGTCGCTTCTCGCGTTTCGTACCCTTCAGATCCGCTACCGGTGCTTAGTTGCATTGGTTGCGCATCTGGGGCAAGCTACAGCCCGTACTCAGGTGTGCCTCCCTTACGCGTCGTGTCGTGCACAGAGCGCACAAAATTCGCAGCCAGCAGACTGGTGGAGAGCATCGCCGCCTACTTGTCGCACGAAGTGCATGCGCACGGCTCGCGTCGCACTTCTCGTCGTCAGCGTCATGGCCGCGCTCGAACCCGAAGACGTCCTCGGCGACGGTTCCGTGCTCAAGACCATCGTAAGGGCGGGCTCCGGCGGCAAGCCGCGACCGGGGCAAGTCGCGCGCCTGAAATACGCGCTGCGCCTCGCCGACGAGACCGTTATCGAGGAGGACGCCGCGCGGTCGATCACGGTCGGTAACGAGGGCGACGGCTTGGATTTGGGGGTGGCGGAGATGCGCGTCGGGGAGCGGAGCCGCCTCGAGGTGCGTTTTGATAGAGGTTTCGGCGAGGCGGGGCTGGGACGAAGGCGCGTGCCGCCGCGCGCGACGCTGTTCTACGACGTCGAGCTGCTGGCCGTCGCAGATGATGTGTCTTCATCGAACGACGACCCGCTCGCGCTGCCCGCCAGCGATGGTGCTCAAAGTGTGACCGTCGGCGGCGAAGCCGTCGCGATGGAGGAGCTGGGGCCCATCGTCATCAACACGGACGGGACGACGGCGCGCATCACGAACTGGCCGGAGATGACGCCGGCGGAGCAAGAAAAGACGCGCCGCGTCATCGTCGCGCGCAACGCGAAGCGCCTCGCGAAGCTCGAGGCGGCCCGCGAGCTGTGACCTAAGTAGGATTTGGATGTCGAGCGCGTTGACGGCGTGGGCCCGGCGCGTTATGTCGGGCGAGAGAGAGGGCCACTTATTGAACCCACCCCCAGGTAGTACGGACCCCGAACGCTTCGCCACCGTGTCATAGCGCGCGCGCTAGCGCCTGTAAGACACTAGCAAATTGACTGCTGGCAAATATAAATCGGCCCATCATCTCTGCTATCCATCGAAAGGCTGCCAAAGATGGGACGCAAGACGGCCAAAAAGAAGCGGGGCGCCGCCAAGAACACTGTGCCCAAGGCCGCGCCGCTCGTCGACGCCACCGTGTTCGGGGGCAGCTATTCACTGCAAGTACCCCAGGGCTGGATGCACCCGGCAGAAGTCCTGGCGTCCGGCTTCGACGCCCGGCCGTCGGAGCAGTTCGTCAGCCGCCGCGCGTTAAGCGGTCCTGGCTTCGCGTCGCTCATAGTGGATGTGGTGCCGGCTCACATTCGTGATTTAGGGAGCCCTTCGGGCAAGCAGCGATTGTGTGAATTCGTGAATTACCATGAGGAGGAGAACGACGCGACGTTCAAAGCCCCTGTCGAGGTCAAGAGCTGCCATGATTCGCCCTTTGAGAGCGTCTGGCTCATTGAGTATAAGTCGGTGGGAAAGCTGGAGGGGCGTACGACGAGGACGATGGCGGCGCTCCTCGAGAGTCCGGAGGCGGACGTGATCCTGCGCCTGAACAACGGCGACACCGAAAACGTCTGCTTCCCGTCGATTGTCGGGTCGCTGCGCCGCGTGCCGGGGGCTCCGCCGCCGCAACCGCACTACCCACGGGGCTCCGGCCTACCAGTCCCGCAGACAATTGAGCTCGATTTCGACGAACTCGAAGCGGTCGCAAAAGACAGAGACGTAGATGTCGAGTTCCTCTGGATGACCGCCCAAGCGATGTGCTCCAGCGATGCCGAATTGACATCGATGGACGCGGCGGCGCGCGAGAAGGTCGACACGCTGCTCAGGTGCGAGAACTTTGCGCGATACCGGCATGCGGCGTTGGAATTGCCGATCGTCAGGCGGCGCATCGAGGATAGGCAGCGGGCACGCATTTCCCGCGAGCAGGCGTCTTATAAAGCAGCCTCGGAACCGGTCGACGACCCGCGGGCGCGTGCTATCTCGGTTGCCGTGGCGGTCGCCAAGGCCGCAGCCAAGGCTATCCCGCCTCACGAAAATATCACTGAGAATGCGAGATGGATAAGAGCAGTACAAACTCTACGGGATGCAATCACCACAGACGATTCTGACGAAGAAAACTTTTATGAGTATATGCAGAGCCGAAAGTATGACGGTCCCGAAAAGTACTGGCCGCATGAAAAGATGTTGAAATTCATGTCGCGCTGGCCCCGTGTACGGAAGTACTGGCCACGGCTGCGGCGTAGAATCTGTACCTACTGTGGCAAGAGAAGTGACCTGTCCGAACCGCGGCTCTTGGTCTGCGGGGGGTGTGCCGCTGGCCGAGGCGTCGGGCGCTATTGTTCCGAGGCTTGTCAGCGAGCCGACTGGCCTGAACACCAGGAGGCTTGCACGCTCATTCATACTATGCCGGACGAGGGTCATCCGTGGATGAGGAAGGTGCCGCATACCATGCTTTTCGCCGGGGTGAAGGAAGCGAAATCCGCCGGCCTCTCGCCGGAGGGGATGTCGGAGGCTGATCTCGCGGACAGAATGTTGAGCCTCACACTTCAATATGCAAAACAATGGAAAAGCGAAGGAAAAATGTAAGGCCCGGGGCATTGTAAGGACATCTGTAAGGACATTGTAAGGACATTGTAAAGTAGCACGTCCGAGTCACGGTACTAGTAGTACTACTAGTAGTAGATAGATACCAGCCTTAGTACACCCGAAAAAAAACTAGCCCGCCACGCTGCTACTCATCCGCACCGACCGCGGCCGCTCGCGGAACGGCGGCGGCGACGACGCCAGCGACAGCCCGTCTTCATGCGAAGAGTCCGGCGAGACGACGTTCCGCCGCTCTACGTGAGGCAACTTGCGGGGACCAGAACCTTTCACAGCGAGCTCCTTGCGCCTTCGATAGACCCCGGCAGATAAATGGGCCTGCTGGGCCGGCGACAGGAACTGCGAACCTGTCGGACGTTTACCAATGGAAGCCAACCGCTCGTGCAGGGGTATCTCGCCAAAGGTAACTTCCACGTCCTTCTGCTCCCTTGCTCGAGTCAATGATGACTTCCGCTTCGGTGGAGAAAACGGACCGGGAAACGGCGGCGGGTAGGGGTAGTCCCTTAGTACCGCTCGCGCGCTACTCCCCATCGCGTTGTGGCCGCCCGTCAGCGGCCTCTTTTTTAACATAGAAGGGTCCAGCTTGACTGGACTTCCGAGAGACGTCCTGCCGGTAGCACCGGTGACGACGGAGAACTCGTCTTCATCATACTCGGGCGCCGTCACCGGGCGGTTGCAAGATAAGCACTTGGTCGAAGCCAGGCCCTCCCACTCCTCGGGCTCGGCCTCCTCGAGCTCCTTCAATCTTCTAAGAATGTCCTCGAGCTGGTCGCGGCCGGCCTTCGTCTCCAGGAGTCTCCTCAGGACGTCCATCTCCGACGACTCGATGAGTCGGGACTGGGCCCGTCGTAGCTCGGCCAGACCGTCCCGCAGATCATCCACGGACGACTGCTGCGCTTTTGTGGGAACGAGCATCTCGAGCTTCTCCAACGCCTCGATGATCTCCGGGTCCGGACTTCTATCGACGATGACTTCCGGGGTCGGCGGTCTCTCATCCGCCGTGATGGTGATTTGCGGCGCTTCCCGGCCCGAAACCTCGGCCAAGGTAACAGCGAGGGCGTTCTGGGCCTCGGCGAGCGCCTCGTACTTCTTCCTCAATTCATTCGCATTGTCGTACTGGCGTCTTGCTAAATCCGCCTCCAGCACGTCGGCCACATGCCCGTGGACCTGCTTGACCTCGACGTCGTCTATGGATGAGAGCGTCTCGGCCAGACTCCAAAGCCCCTCGACGGGCTCGCCTCGCGCGAGAGCGGCCGACGCCTCCGTGCACGCCCGACCGGCCCCTTCCAACGCATCGCCGGGGCGCTGGTGCCGCCTTCCAAAATTCTCCAGGGCGTCCTGCAGCGTCAGTGCATCGCTGGAACCGCTCAGAAGTTGTAACGTGTCGCGGCCGGCCGCGTGGCGCCTCCATGCGATGCCCGCTTCGAGAGCTCTGAGAGCCTCGTCGGAGACGCCGCCCGTCGCCACAGGCACGGGAGCCGGCGTGCGCGGCCGGTCCCCGAGCATCGACGCCTCGAGCCGCTGGAGGCGCGCCGCGACGGTATTCTCGCTCGCGTGTTTGTGAGAGACCGCGCATCTTCCAGTAACTGGTTCGCTGTCTTCATCAATACGCCGCTCGAAGGTCTTCGCGCTGAAGTCCGCTAACTGAGGCAGGTCCGCGTGCGCCACGGGCGTATGATGCGGGTCCGACTCCAGTTCACTCGACCGCGGATCCCGGGGGTCGAACGACGCATGATGTAATTCGTCCCTCAGATGGAGCCGCTGCTCGTCGATCTCCCGCTCGAACGACTCCAATAAAGTAGCTACTTTATGCGAGGCCGGGTCGTCGTGCGTGACGTCCGCGTAGTGCGACGAGTCCGCGCCTTGTAAGATGGTGCCCGCTAGCTCGCGCCAGTCCTTCTTCTGGGACGCTTTCGATTTCGCGAGGAATAAGGACGCTAAGACAGTCGCCCGGCCCTTCTTGGCCTTGGCGAAGGCGTCGTCCAACCGTCTGAGAGACGCTTGTTCTAGCTTCGCTTGCTCCGTCTCGAGGTCGTCGCCGTCGACGTGCAACCTAGTTAACTCGGCGACGAACTCGGTTCGAGCACGCCTCGCTAATATGACTTCGGATTCCAGATAGCACCGCTGCAAATCGACGACGTGGCCGGGCACGTCCTCCGTGTGGCACCGCCGCGACGCTTCCAACCGCCGCGTGAGCGCGATCTCGACGCAGTCCTCCTCCTCGCCTAGTTCGACGGGCGCGAAGTGGTCTGCCATCGCTAGATTGCTATCTAAACCGGAGACGTTGTAGCCCAGCGTTTTCACGGCCTCCATCGCTCGCTTCGAACTCTGCAGCGCGTGGTCCGCGCGCCTTCTTAGGTCTCGCTCACCTTGATGGACGCGATCAAACAACGCGTGCTTGAGCTCTGTCAATTCGCCGTCGTTCGACAAGGACGCGAGCTTCTCCCTCAGTTCAGCCAGAGACTTATCTGTTGAAGCGAACGACTCGTCGCACTGGCCAAACCCTCGGTCGGTCTTCGACTTGTGCTCCGTCTGCGCGCTTTCGAGCTGGGCCATCTTCGACTTGAAGGACGCCTGCATCTTGCGCACCATCTCCGAGATCTGTTGGGCCCACTCGGCGCTCACGGGCTCGCCGTCCGCGGGCGCCGCCATCACTTCCACGTCCGCGTCCGCACTCAACGCTTCGAGCTGGTCTTTCAGTTGCTGCTCCAGAGCGGTGATGCGGTCATTTTGTTCCTGGAGCTTCCCATCAGTAGTAGTCTGGAAGCCGCCCACGTCACTATTCAACTTCTCGAGCTGGCCCGTCAAGGCGTCCTGGCGCTTGGTCCTTGACTGGGTTTCTTGCTCTATATTTTGACGTAGTTCGGACGCCGCTTCCGACACCGAGTCCTTGGTCGCCTTCGTTCTCCGCAGCTCGTCGACGGCCCGCCCCAACTGGTCGCATCGCTTACCGACGGACCCAAGACTTCCCTCCAGCTCCCGCGACGCCCGCCGCGCTTCCGCGGCCTTCGCCTCTTTAACTAACGACAGCCAGTGCGACCACGAGGTCCACATGACCATGTTCGCCATGCGGTTCATGATCTTGAGCATGAGGCGCCGTTGCCGTTCCAGCTCCTCCTCGGGGTCCAGAGGTTCGGGCTCCGGTGGCGGTGCTTCCACCGGTTGTATGGAAGAGACGGCCTTGTCGATCATCGATCGCATTTGATCAGTGAGGTCCGCTCGCATCGACGCCTCGAGGTTTGCGAGTTTAGCGTCCACGGCGTTGCGGATCAACAGATCAAAGTCCGGCGCGTCGCCACTTTGAGCCGCCTTGGCCAAAGCCTCGCGCGCCGCGGCTTCTCTCGCCTCGCGCTCGGCCCGTTCTTTCTCAGCTCGTTCGCGCTCGGCCTTCTCCGCCGCTCCTCGCTCGAGTCTATCTTTCTCGGCCTGCTCTTTACTCAACCGGTCGCGCTCGGCTTGAGCCTTCGCTTCGCGTTCTGCGGCCTCGCGGGCCGCGGCCTCACTCTTAGCCAAAGCCTTTTCCGCGCGCTCGCGCTCGGCGGCCATCGCGGCCTCGGCCCGCCGGCGTTCGTCGGCGAGCGCTTTCTCGAGCGCTTGCTTCGACGCCGCCGCCGCCTCGGCCGCGAGCCGCTCGGCCTCCAACCGTTGCGCGCGCTCGTCGCCCAATTCCGTTTCCATCGTAGAACAACGCTGCTCTAGCGTCCCGAAGGCGTCGACCATGAGATTTAAAGCGCTCCCGACCATCGTGGGGACAGGGCTCGTGTCGAGCTGCAGGATGCGCACGAGCTCCTGCTGCCGCGCGGCCTCCATCTGCGCGTCGAGCTGCGCCTTGAGGCCCGCGGCCATGGCGCTGGCCATGTTAGTTTCGCGCGCCGGCCCGCTGAGCTCCCGCTGCTGCTCCCTGCTGCCGGGTCCGTGCAGCTAGCGCCGCCGCCGGGGCTGCCTGCGCTCGCGCCTGCTACGGCCCTTGGGTTTCCGAGTTACCTCGCACGGCGGGGCTGCTTATGGGTTGCTCCCGGCGCCTCGCGGGGCCATTTTTCTAGCCTGGCGCTCTCCCGGATGGGGCCCGTGTATCTTGCTTTTTTTATTTTTTTGGACCCGTGCGGAGCGCTGCGGGCCCGGGGCTAGGGCTCGGGACCCCGGCCCAGGCCTGGCTGCTGCTTTCTAGTGTCTTACAGGCCGCTAGCTAATTCACTTCTCGGCATCCTCTGCACGGCCGTACAGCTGCGTTGCGAACGCTGCGCGACGCATCCAGCCGCTCAGGGCCTCTGCGTCGACGGCGAAGCGCCGCGTGAGCCAGCGATCGTGTAAGTGCTCGCTGCTGCCGAGAAGACGCTTAACATGGGGTCGGCCATGGGCAAGAAGAAGAAAAAAAGCAAGAAAAACAAGGGAGGCATCACGGCCCAGGACCGCGCCGTCCTCGACCTCAAGAACGCGCGTGATAAACTCAGAAGGTTCCAGGCGAAACTCGACGCGGAGTCCGAGCAATTAACAACAAGAGCAGCACAATTGTTGCGGGACGGGAAGAAGGACCGCGCTTTACTAACTTTAAAGTTCCGGCGATTCCGCCAAGACAAAGCCAATCAGGTGGACGGCCAGTTATTACGTCTAGAAGACATGGTCAGCGCGATCCGGTGGGAGGAGCGCCAGTCAGAAGTTATAAGTGCTTTACGAGAAGGCACGGACGCCCTCAAAAGGTTACACGAGGACATGGGCGACGTCGCGGCGCTGATGGACGAGACACAAGATCAGCTCGAGATGGAGCGCGAGGTGTCCGCGCTGCTGAGTGGGGAGACAACGGATGATTCGGACTTGCTGGCGGAGCTGGATGCCATGGCGGCGCCTGTCTTAGATCTGCCGGCGGCGCCGTCGTCGTTGCCGGCGGCGCCCGTCGGCCTGCCGGCGGCGCCTTCATCAGTGCCGGCGGCGCCGCGGCGGCCGGAGCGCGTCGCCGTGCCCGCGTGATCAAATCAAATTCCACTATGCCTCCGTGCCTGTGCGCCATTCGACGCGACCGTCTAAATTCTGTGATACACAAACACTACTTATAAATCATCAGAATAGAACGCCTCGAGGTCGCGGACGTCCTCGGACGACCCCAGGAACACGGGCACGCGCTGGTGCACCGAGGAAGGGACGACGTCCATGATCGGCCTTCTGCCATCTGAACACCGCCCGCCGGCCTGCTCTACCAAAAACGACATCGGCGCGGCCTCATACAGCAGTCGCAATTTGCCATTCTTGTTTTTCGTATCGGCCGGATACCCATAGATGCCGCCATACAATAATGTTCGATGGACGTCGGCGACCATGGAACCGACATATCTCGAACCTTTAACGCCCTGGAGCGAATCTAAATACCCTCGCACGTGCGCATCCCACTCCTTCGCATTGCCCTCGTTGAACGAGTAGTAGGGCCCCCGCTCCGGTATTCGGACGTCGTCATGGGACAACACAAATTCTTGGGAACGCGGGTCCAGCGTGAAGCCGTGGACACCATCACCCAAGCTAAAAACAAGTACCGTGGACGAAGAATACATGCAGTAGCCCGCGGCCACCAGCGACCGCCCCGGCTGCAGCGCGTTCAGCAGACACCGCGTCTGATCGTCGTCCATGTTTTCGTCGTCGTCGTCCACCAAACACTCGACGTTTTGCTTGAAGATCCCGAAGATCGTCCCCGTCGCGACCGCCGCTTGCACATTACTACTACCATCGAGCGGGTCGAAGACCGCCACATATTTACTCCCGAAGGCCTCCTCGACGAGCATGGGGTCGGCTTCTTCTTCCGAGGCCGCTAAACCTACTTTTCCAGTATATCGTAAAGCGTCCTTAAGCACCTCGTTGGCGATGATGTCCAGCTGCTTCTGCTGTTCATCTTGCACATTAATGGTGTCCGCGGCGCCGTCCAAGCCATCTACTCCTGCTCTCTGGACGATGCCACTTATGGTCTTACATCCCATCGCGATCGACGAAAGTAGAGCTTCCAGATCTTCTTGGCTCGGGTTTTGGCGCGTGTGGTCGAGGAGCCACCTCGTTAATGTCGGCGTTGTCATGGGTTCGGCGGTGGCGCGGAGGCGCGTGCGCCGCCTCCGGAAGGGCGGGCGCGGTGCGAGGGCGGCTGCCGTCGCCAGCAGCGCTGCGAGGCGTGCGCGCCGGTGCCGCATCGTTGCGCGCGAAGAAATGTGCAGTCCTTTGATAACGCGGCCTCGATTTGCGACGTTCTCCAGCGATTTCAAGCCTTGTGGAGCTGCTTGCTAGCGCCTTACAGCCGCTAGCTTCGACGTGTTAGAGTGCTGCTGGCGTGCACCGCGTCGGACGGAGGGCTTTCGATTCCATCGCAGACGCAGACGGCTCGTAAATTGCCTAGTGACTTTTAGCTAGCTTTTGTGACATCAGCTTCACGCGAGCTTGACGAATTGGGCTGCAACGGGGCGCCCAGCAGCATTGCTTGAAGAAGGGTTGCATTCTCCGGGAGCGGCAACATGAGGACGGTCACCGCGCTCTGCCTCGGCACGGCGTCTGCCTTCATGGCGACGAGCGCCCACAAGCCCAAGCTCGCGGCGCGCAAGGCGACGGAGACCCTGCCCGAGGGCGAGTTCGAGTACCGCGTGGCTATTCTTGGTGATCTCCACGTGCACAGCGGCGTTGTTATTCATACGTTGTTTATTACCGAAAGATGCGACGCGGGAGAGCGTTTCCGAACAGCCCAAAGAGACGGCGCCGCCGCGCGCGACGCGAGCCGCACCGACGCCGGAACACGCGTCATAACCGCGCAGGTCGACCCGAGAGACCTGGACCACACCATGGAAGGAAGGGAACACATGAAGGCGCACAACCCCGACTTCGTCGTCTCTCTAGGTGATTTGGGAGAGTCCAAGGACTGCACGGAGTCGAAGCAGTTGTACGCGGGCACGACGCCGTGCTTCAAATTAGTCAGGGACTACTTCGACGGCTTCGGCGTCCCGTTCGACGTCGTCGGCGGCAACCACGACCTCGAGGGCATCGACGAGTTCAACACCGACGCCGAGAACCTGGAGGCCTACCTCCATCACTTGGGCAAGGACACGCCGCAGTTCTGCCACGAGATCGCCCCCAAGACGCTGCTAGTCGGTCTCGGGTCGACCAAATTCCGCGACGCGACCTACACGTCCCACGAGGTCTTCGTCGACGCCGAGCAGGTCAAGTGGTTCGAGGAGCTCGTGGCCTCGAAGCCGGCCGAGGAGGGCTGGTCCATTTTTTGCTTCTCCCACGCGCCGATCATCGGCAGCGGCGTCCGCGTCCTGCAGGAGAACCACGTGGTCAACGGCTGCTGCTGGCTGAACCACAACGGCGGGCCCGGCGCGGCCCCGCAGAACTTCATCGACATCGTGCGCAGAAGCCCGCAGATCAAGGGCTGGTTCAACGGCCACTTCCACCTGTCGCACGACTACGAGGACTCGATCACGTTCCCGGGCGGCAACAACCGCGGGTCGTGCGTCTTCGCCCAGACGGGCTGCATGACGGCTCGCTCGTCCCGAGACGGGCGGCGCCACTCGCGCTTCATCCGGGGCAACGAGCACGGCTTCGAGATCTGCACCGTCGACCACTCGAAGGGCGGCGTGTTGCGACTCGACGCGACCGTGACCTACGCGGACGAGTGCGCCGCGGACGGCGAAGCGTGCTCGACCCTCGTCTTCGCGCACGACCACGAGGACTACGACCACGACCTCTGGTTCCAGGCCTACGTGCCCCAGGAGGGCGACGGCTGCTACATCGAGAACCCCGACGGCGTTATTAACATGCCCGGTTCGGAGCTCGACGATTTGTCGGACCCCAACGCCGTGTGCTGGTGGCACATGAAGGACGGCGCCGTGCTCGGCGTGCACAACGGCATGATCATCGAGTACGACGAGTCGACGCTCGCGCCGCTGGGCATGGTCGTGTCGCGCGACGAGCTGCAGGGGCGCCGCGTCGCCGTCGTCGACAACGGCTACGGCGGCTCGACCTGCCTCCTGTATGATGACGAGAACAACTCGGAAGTCACCGTCGTGCAGCCGAACGAGGACGGCACGTACTGGCGCAAGGTCGTGCGGAACAAGATGTACCGCACGCGCGAAAAACGCAACGTCGACGCGGCGAAGAAGTTCATCCAGAAGGTGCTGCCCGACCAGGACCACGACGTCATGTCGTCCTACGGTCCCTACATCTCCACCGTGGGCCAGGTCATGGGCGTGTCCACGAAGGCGTTACCGTTCAAGGCCGAGGACACGACGAAGCTTACCAAGAGCCGCTAGGTCGCTACCCCTGCTTATACTATCGTTGGAAGTGTAGTTTACTCACTCGTCCGTCGTCCGTCGCGTCGATGGCGTGGAGGTGGACTCGGACGCGACCGTGACATTTGATACACTCGGTAGTGTAGTTATGACCCAGACTCTGCAACCCCGCAGCGAGGGAAGCGCGCCGCCCGCAGACGACAGCATGGGCCGAGAACCGCGAGGCGCTAGCAAGGGCTGCATCCCCGGAGGGTCTTGCGTGGAGCGCGCCGCGCGGTCCTCTCCGTTCAAAGCATCCTCCGGCGCCAGTCGTCGTCGTCCGCGGCGGGCGCGGCGGGTGCCGGTGCCGTCGCGAGCGGGTCGAACGGCGGCAGCGGCGGCAGCGCCGCTGCGGGCGCGGGCGCGGGCGCCGGGGCGCGGCGCGGGCCGGTGGGCGCCGTGAAGATGGACTTCGGCCCCTCGACGCCCGGGCGGCAGGGCCCCAGGGTCTGCGCGCGAGGACTCCGCGCGCGCGCCGGCGCGGGCGCGGGCGGCGCCGCGTCGTCCTGGGTCAGATCCACTACCGCTGCCGCGGGCGGAGGTGCTCGCGGGCGCGGCGGCACCGGCGCCGGCGCCGGCGTAGGCGCTGTCGCGCCGACCAGCAGCGCGTGGTTCGGCACCGCGGCGGGCGCCGGCGCCGCGGCCCGGACGCGCACGTCCTCCTTCGGGACGTGCGACACCGTGCGGCTGCCGCGGTGCTTCCACTGCACCTGCCAAGCTCCCCGCGTCACCTTGCCCGCCGAGTCGCGCAGCTCGAAGTCGGGCAGCCAGCGGCACCAGACGACGGTCGCGTGGTACGGGCTACTCTTCGAGGAGTTCCACCGGCCGCCCGCGTCACGCACCTCGCGGTCGAAGACGACGCCCGGCGGCAGCCAGGCGAGGCCATCCGGCACGTCCTCCTCGCGGACGACGCGGAAGTAGTCGTTCTTCAGGTCGTACAGGAGGTCCTGCTTCCTGCCGCCGCGGTCGACGTACTCGCGCGCCGTCGTCGCCCGCTCGATCGCCGCGGCGCGCTGCGTCGTCCGCGGCTTCCCGGTGCGCTTGACGCGCACGCCGCGGTCGACCAGCCCGTCGACGATCGACGACGCTCGGGGCGAGCTGGGGCGCGCGCGCGCGCGCGCCGGTGGCCGCGGCGCGGCGACCGCCGGCGGCCGCGGCGCGCGCGCGGGCGCGGGCGCGGGCGCCGCGCGCGCCGAGATCACAAAGTCGTCGACCTCGTCGACCTCGGCGTCGTCGCCGCCGTCTGTCGGCGCAGCAGCCTCAGCGGGCGCGGCGGCGTCGACCTCCGCGTCGTCGTCGGGAGCGCCCGGCCATCCTCCTGCCGGCATCGGGAGCGGCCCGGCGCCCTCCTCGGCGCCCTCCTGCCGGCTCAGCTCCGCCTCGGCCTCGGCCACGGCCTGGGGCAGCAGCCGCCCGTACTTGCCGCCCCGGGGCGCGCCGTGGCCGGCGCGCAGGCCCTCGGCCCAGCCCACCAAATTACCGGGCGCCGCGAAGCTGAACTGCTCGGCCGAGTCCACCCCGAAGTTGTAGACGGCGTAGCGCTGCCCTTGCTCGCGCCGCGCGCGCGCCGCCGCGGCCCCGGCGATCGCCGCCGGGTCCATGACGACGCCGGGCCACCAGACGTCGCCCTCGCGCGCCCAGCAGACCTCGTCGTAGCGCGCGGCCCAGCGCTCGTCGCGCAGCCGCGCCGCGCCGGCGCCCTCCTCGGCTTCATCGTCCTTGGCCTCCTCCGCCACCGCCGCCGCCCACCGCGCGTCCGTGACCTCGCAGTAGCCGCGCTCGACGTCGTAGCACAGGTCGGCGGGCCGCCCGCCGCACGAGAGGAACTCGCCGACCGTCGTCGCGCCCATGTAGGCGTCGTAGCGTCTTTTCGATTTTTTGCCGTGCTCCGACGCGAGGCTCTGCTTCGGGTTTGGCGTCGCGAACTTGATGCGCGCGCCGCGGTAGGGCAGAATCTTGGAGCGGACGCGGGCCTCGATGCGCCGGTGGCGCTCGTCGGCGCCGCTGCTCCGCCGGCGGCTCGGGAGCGCCGCCGCCGGCACGTCCCACACGGCCATCGAGACCGCGCCGCTCGCACTCCGCACGGGCAGGCCCAGCGACAGGCGCCGCGCCAGCTCCGCGTCGCCGGCCGTGGCGTCGTCGTCCGGTTGTGCGGGCGGCTTTGCCTTCTTCTTCGGCCTGGGCGCGGGCTTTGCCGCCGGCCGCTTCTTCTTCGGCGGCTGCGCGCGCCGCGGGCTCTCGGCCGCGGCGAGCTGCCGCGCGAGCGCGGCGTCGCCGGACGTGTCCGCCTTCCTCTGCTTCTTGGGCGGCCGCCCGCGCGGGATCGGCCGCTGCGGGGGCGGCGACGGCGCCGGCGTGATCTCCGCGGTGGGTGCTGCTGGTGCCGGCGCCGGCGCCGCGGCCGCGAGCTTGCACTCCCAGCCGCGCTCCGCGCAGAGCTTTGCCACGCAGCGCCGGAGCTTGCTCCGCGCGAGGGAGCTCCAGCCCGCCGTGATCGCCGGGATGTCCTCGTCCACCGCTTCGCTGAAGTCGCTCAGCGCATCGACTTGTTGTAATAAGTGCGCGCGCTGCGGCTCCGTGAAGTTGTTGCGGACGAGCCAGGCCTCGACCTCGGCCGTGCACTGGGCCTGGCTCATGGCTCTACGCCCTGGCCTTCGAGTTTTGGGGCTGGCACCCTTGCTGGGCCGCGCGGACGGCAGCTACGACGTTAAAACAGCCCGACCCGCTCCTGAGAGCGGTTTGCGCTAGGCACTCTCTGAACCACAGAGATGCCTTGCTGGCTTCGAGAGCGCCTCGGCTGGCGCGCACCTATCCGGTGGCTTGCCTAACGCGTGAATTAGGTCCCCGCATGAACGGCGCGGTCGTTTTTTTGGCTCTTGACAGCGCAAAGCTGGGTATGTATTATACCCGCACGTAAGACCAGACGCGCGACCCGACGCCTCCGCCCGGGGAGCCCTCCACGCTTCCCGGGGTCCTTCTTTGTCGTTTCGGCTGGCTGCGACCGAGCCGGAGGTGAGACGAGCTGGATCTGCTCTGACTTTTGTTGCTGTACGCAGTCGCACTCGGACGCTGAACGCGTTCGTACAGCTCATTCGAAAGGCCTTCCGACGACCCTGCGGCTGAACGCACCCGTTCCCCCACCAGACGACGCATCCGAAGCTGAAACTCTAACAGTGCCATGCCCCGCCTGCCGAAGGTCAATGCGACAGCCATCAAGGCCCGCCTGCCGACGCGGCTGCCGAAGAATCTATCGCGGAGCCTGTACGAAGCGGTGTCTAATTTGACGTCCGCGCCGTCGACGCGACGCGCTCTCACACCGGTCGATTGCCACGCAGGGGGCTCCGCGTCCCGAAGAACCCGTTCCGACGGAGCGTTATGACCGGCGAGGAGCATATTATAGAGGAGGACTGCTGGCTCCTCGTCTTCCTGATGCGGCCGCTCGTCATGCTGTTGCTCGTGATAGGCTACCTGAAGAGCGAGCCCTACGTCGCGAAGCTCCGAACCAAGCTAAAACTCCGCAAAAAGGCCAACAAGCGCCTCTTCACGTTAACCGTAGTGGCCCACAACGTCGCCTTGGCCGTCTTCTCGCTCTGGATGGCGTTGAGATCGTGGCCGCTCTTCCTGGGCACGTGGTCCAGTGATGGGTTGCGAGAAGTACACTGCTCACCAGCCTTCTGGGACAACGAGTTTGGCTACCTCGCCAAGGTCTTCTACGCGTCGAAATTCTACGAGTTCGCGGACACCTGGCTCTTAGTACTAAAAAACAAGCAGCCGTCCTTCCTCCAGAAGTACCACCACGCCGGCATCGTGATCACGATGTGGGCCGGAGTCGCCACGTCGAGCAACTGGCTCGTCTGGCCCACGGTCTTGAATAGCGCGATCCACACGGCCATGTACTCGTACTACGCGGCCGCTACACTAGGCTACAAGAGCCCCTACGCCAAGTACCTTACCAGAGCTCAAATGACCCAATTCGTCGTCGGTATCTTAGGTGCTACTTCGACTTACTTTTTTGGGTGCGAGGCCGCTCAGTATAGTAAGCGGGCGCTCTTCCTCATGCAGTGTTATGCGGCTGGATTACTAGTGTTGTTTGGCGAGATGGCTCGGGCCAAGTACGGGGGCGGCAAGCGGCCGAAACGGGGCGCCTCGCCCGCGCGCTCTCGGAGCGCGTCGCCGGCGCCGGGCCGCGCGTCGCCGCGCCTCGCCGCGCGGAAGCGCCGCTAGGCCCCGAGAAAAGTTTTGAAGAGCACGTGCACACGCCGCGCCGCAGTAACCCTCGTAGTTCAAGGGACTATCGTGTGCACCTCTAGTAGTAGAAGTAATCTCTTAGGCGGGAAACCAGCTACTCGTCGTCCTCGTCGGGGCCGGCGACCTCGTCGGGCAGCGGCCAGAGCATGACGCCGCCCTCGGAGCCCGCCGTGACGCAGACGCGCTGGTTCGGGGCCATCGCGACCTTGTTGATCGCGCCACTGTGCGCCGCGCCCTCGGCGACGTAGATGCCGCCGTCGTAGTCCCACAGCCGCAGTCGCGAGTCGCGGGATCCGCTCACGAAGTGGTTTCCTGATGTGGAGCAGGCCAAGGCCGTCATCTCCACGGGCCCGCCGCGCACCTCCCGAATGGCATCGCAGCCCACCGCCTCCCAGAAGGTGACCTTGCAGTTGCTCCCGGTCGTGACGATCTGCGACGCGTCCGGCAGGTAGAAGCACGACCGGTAGCAGGTGGCCTCGAACAAGTTCGCGACGCGCGTGTATCTTCTCAGGTCCCAGACGAGGCAGTTGCCATCTGTTGATGCCGATATAAATTGCCTTAAATCAGACGTCACCTTGAGGCACGTCACCGCTCCTCGGTGCTCCTTCGTCGACGAGAGCATGGCTCTATGTTGGCGAGTGACGCGCCACACTCGGACGCGGCCATCAACACCACCCGACAGCAACCGCCAGGGCTCATCTGATGAAGGGTCCTCGGCCATGCCTTCCGGGACGACCTCGAGCGCCGTGCAGTCCATGGGCCCTCCATTGTTGTTGAGGTCGTGGGCGTCGGCCATGACCCAGGTTAATTTGCCTGTTTCTGGTCCAAAAGCCCTTACTTTCCCGTCGGACCAGCCGCTGACGAGTGTCGCGCCGGAAGCGGTAATAGCGATGGCTCGGCACTCCAGGTTGGGCACGCGAATCCTTACCAACTCGGACTTGCTTCGCGCGTCCCACACGCGAATGTCTTCGACGGCACACGTCGCGAAGACTCTGGAGGAGTAAGCCGGGTAGCACACGTCGAAGACGGCTCCTACATGAGAGGTACCTCTCAGCTTCGGCGTGCCGCCGATGGCTAACGTGTACCGGTTGCCCGTCGATGTCCCGACCGCATAACCACTCAGTTTGCCTTCTCGCGAGGTCGCCGATAATGACGTGACCGGACCGTCCACATCACACGCCCACCTTTTGAACTGTCTCAAATCCGGCGAGTAGAAGGTCAGCGAGCCATCGCCCCCACCCGCACACACCACATCAACGTTGTCCTTCGAAGCGCCCGGTAAGCAACAAATAGCCTTGACGCCTCCCGAGTGCCGTCCTCGAGACACTTGTACTAATTTGGGTACGATCGCGTCGGGCTCGTTGTAGTCCTTGATGGGGTCGCGGTTAATATTGACCTGGATCACTTCGCCGGACTGGGTACCGCATAACGCGTAGTTGTCGTCGCCGCTAATCGTGACACAATCGACCACTCTGATCAATTTACCTACTTTGACGTCCATGTCGTGCACTTTATAAGTGCCTGGTTCGATCCTCCACACTTTCACGTGCGCCTTGCCTCCCGTGACGAGTCTGAACGGGTCATTCCTCAGGAACGCGCCGCATCTAGCCGTATCTAGAGCGGCTCGCACGCAAACCTTCGGTTCGGCAGTAGGCATCTCCCACAGACATATCTTGTTGTCGTCCCGCGCGCCCATCGTGAAGAGGATCGAGTCGTCGCAGTTGAATCCGACGGCCCGCACGCCACTGACGTGCTGGTTGAGGATCTTGAGGGGCTTCGGCGGTTCCGCGTCCTCCCGGGGTCGCAGGATGCGGTCGCAGGCGTCCTCGAGGTCCCACAACACGGCAGGTGAGGCGACACCGAGCGGCGCGTCCTGCCCCGTGCACAACACTCTTCCGTCATTCGACGCCGCCACGCACGTGACGTCCTCGGTATGTCCTCTCAAGAAACAAACGCCGTCTCGTCTCGTAGCGTGCTGGACGACGACCATGCCCCCCAAGGGATACGCCACGAAGGCCTCGTCGTCGACCTCGACGGCGACCAGGCCGTTCGGCACCGTGCCATTAAATCCTAAACAGGCCGTCGGCTCCAGCGTTGTTATGTTGTCCTGGGGCATCTTGTGTGTCTTCGCTTGCTCGTGTGTCTATAGGCTGCCTGTCTAGGCTGCCCTTGGCTGCGCGACGCGCTTGGCTGGCCTCGGGTTGGCGTTCGGCTGATCCCGCAGACGTCGCGTCGAGCGACGCTGCGTTCGCGGCTGTCCTCGGCTACGCCCTTCGCGGCCGCTAACCTTGTCTCGGCCGCTAACTCTAGGGGGTAACAAGCTACTAGAAGACGGCCCGCCGTAGACGCGTGCGACGGGCGAGATGCAGGCTTCCAAAGCACCCTTCAACGCCGTCGGTCGGCAATTGAGACCGCTCCGATTTTTTGAAAGCGAATTCACAGCGCTCGGCAATGCGTTGAGGCCGCCGCGCACGACGCTAAGCGACGGCAGCGTGATTCGAGGGCCGGAGACACCCGTCCGAGCCGCGCGTACGCGCGCGCATCGAAGGGCGGCCTTCTCCTCGCATTCCGAGCGGCTCGTGAAGCTGCTGCTGCTCTGGGAGGCCCAAAATGGACATCGCGCCGCCGGCGCAAGCCCTCACGCCCGAGTTCAAGCGCAACCTGCGCAAGGCGGCCGCGCACGAGCAGAAGAAGCTCCTGCAGGAACGGTACGCGGCGGCCGTAGCAAAGGGACAGCCCGTCGACGCCGTCGAGGCGGCCTGGTTCGAGCTCTACGAGGAACCCATGGTGCTCGGGAGCTTCGCGGCCTTCGTCGAGTTCGGCCGACTGGGAGAACTGGTGGGAAGGACGCCGCGCGACGACGTCTGCCTCCACACGCTGCGCGACGACGAGCGCGTCTCCACGCCGCCGCTCGGGCCCTCGAACGTCCGACCGACGCCGCCGCCGGGCTCGGCCAAGAAATCGCGCGACTTCGCGGGCCGCCGAGCGCGGGCGACTCCTCCCCGCGCCTGAAGACCAAAGAAGACCAAAGCCTAGTAATGTTTCAAGTTTACGCCGCGGCCTTCGCCGCCGTGGGAGACGCCTCGGCGTTGCGCTCGGCGCCGGCATCCGCCAACTTCGCGCGCATCTTCTGGATGGACGCCTCCAACCGACGGTTCTGGTCCTCGGCGTCGCGCCTTCTCAACTCCTCGCGCAGCGCCTCGACCTCCACACTTTGGGGCGACCGCTCCCTCCCTAAAATCTGGCGGAACCCGGACCAGAGCCGCTGGAGCTCGGAGACGCGGTGCAGGGCCACGGTCCAGTCGCGCAGGGCGTCGGCCAGGGCGATGCCTCTGTAGACCGCAACGCGCGACGGACTCTTGTCCTTCGAGAACTTGCCGCCGAACGGCCGCCATTTCAGCGACCCATGGGCAATAAAAGATATCGTGGGGAACTGGCGCACGCCCGCCGCCTGGCAGAGCCGTCGATGCTCCGTGCTCATCTCGCAGGAAAACTTGACCACGGATAATCGTTTCGTCTTCTTCGTGGCGTGCCATTTCGACACGGCGTCCCACAGCGGCAGCACGCGCTGGCAGTAGGCGCCGGCCTCGCCGTAGGGCGAGTAGAAGAAGACGGCGTAGTCTTGTTTAGGTCTGTAGCCGCCCAGGGCTTGCGTTAAGTTAGTCAAAGGTATGACCGGCGTGAGGGCGCCGGGCGCGCGCGGCGCCTGGGTCGCTTGCTTGGCGGCGTAGGTTGTCGTGGCGAGGAGCAGGAGCCTCATGTTATTTCTTCTTTCTCAGAATGTTCGGCGCTAAAGTAGATGTCTTGGAATCGGACCGGCAGTCGTCGGAGCGTGGGCGGCTGCGGCGTAGGTTGTATGTGTAACCTCAGCTCAGCGATGCAGCAGTACGTAGCACAGGCGCAGCGAGGCGCAGCGCTGGTCAGCACAGCAAGCGAGGGTCACAAGTACCTTATTGGCCTTGGTGCAAGCCGAGACGAGTTAGCTAGCTCATAGGCCTACTAGGCGCAAGCACTCGTCGTCAAAGCGCAACCCAGGACTCCACCCGAGAGCCGTAGACCCGCGGCAGAGATCGCTCGCTCGAGACCAGCATCGACGAGAGGAATCGAAAGCTTCCCAACACAAACTGTGCACCGTGCCAGTGGATATATAACACGCCGCCCGCCCGCGCGTACACAAAAACCACAGCGCGCGCGCGACGAGCCACGCCACCGCCACAAAAAGCGGGCAGCGCAGGACGCAGCCCCAACCCAACCAACACCAAAAGATGGCCACCAAGGCCGCCGCGCGGCGGCGCCTCCGGGCCCTGCGAGCTTTACTGAATAAGGACTTAAGTGGAGACGCGCCGGGCGCGCTCTTGTTCGTCTGCGGCGTCGACGGGAAAGACAATTGGGCCTCGTCGTCGGTCGTGCGGTGGCTTTGCTTGGGAGAGAGCGGGTCGTCGTTGATCGATGAACGACCGAGGCCCTTCAACCACGACCAGTGGGCCGCGCTCGAGGAGACCGCTCTACTCATGACGCGGGATTCGTTAAGGGTGCTGTACGACGCGGCGGCGGGTGACGTGTTGGCACCTTTGCTGACGTGTGGCGCGGGAGGCATTTCAGAGTACGTGCTACCATCCACGGACGATCCCGAACAACGAGAAAAAGATAAGGTCGCGAAGTTCGAAAGGATGTTAGATGCTGGACTAGGTCCTGAATCAAGGACATTGGGAGTAGCCATCCCGTCCGCCGCCTCGTCAGCGCGAGAGGAGTGCGAGTACTGGCCGTTAGTGCAAGCCTTAGCGGCTGGTGGTGAAAAAACGTTCTTGTCGCGGAGGCACGACGTCGTCGACGCGTCGCAAATACTGAGACAAGTGTTGGTAGCGCCGGACGCCGACTTACTCCGGGAAGCTTTACGGAGAGCCACACCGGCATTAAGACGGCACGTCGAGGAGGCCTTCAAGAACTGCCGAGGGCCGATGGGCGTGAAAGGCGACGTCGCAGCCGAGTCCATAAGGCAGCCGCTGGAGACCTTCGACGAGTACGACGGTGCCGTTCAGGGGGAGGGCGGGCCCCTCGCGTCCATCGGATGTGCGTCGCTAGACCTGAAAGAGGGTGACGGCGACGCTCACGTCGTCTTCCAGGCGCGCGAGCCGTCGACGGGGCTGCGCGTTTGTAGAACCTACTTCCTGCGGAGCGGCGCGTTCGCGACGTTAGATGGGTCGAAGATAGAGGAGGACGAGGCCCTTCTCACACTGTCGTCGACCTACGCCGACCTATGTTCTAAGTTCAGGGGGGCGGCGCCCTCTCTAGATAGACTGAAGAAGGCCTTTCCTTCGGCCGCTTTCTATGCGCAGACGACGGACTGCCTCGGGAACGTCCTGCAAGAGGAGGCCGAAGGGTCGTTAACGTTCGTCCGCGTTTCTGTAAAAACGAAGTTTGGCGTCGTGGCCGTCGGCGACACCTTTTTGGAGGGCGGTGGGCTCTTAACCGGAGACCGCTGCGCGCCCTACTGCAAAGTGGTCGGCGCGTCCAGTGGTCGAGAACGAGAGGCCGCGGAGGCCATCAAAAGAAGGCTAAGAGATGCCCACGGCCCGCGGTCGGAGGAACTGCAACTGGGGAAGCGGCTAGAATCCTACTCCCACGCCACGCTGGTCCTCGGCTTTGTTGACAGAGACCCCGTCCCGCACGTCGGGCGGTTGGAGCTCTACGAAGACGGATTCGTCCTCGCGGACGGTGGCCTGGCGCCTCTCGTCGTGTCGTTTGCGAGACAAGACTGCTCTAAAATAGCCGTCGTGCAGGTGTCGAAGGACGCCCACGGCGTGGCCATGGAGCTTAAGGATCCTTCTCACTTACGAGCGGGGTCTATCGTTGATGCCTCATATGCCGTGCTTGTGGTGCGGAAGCATGCGCCCGCCAGAAGAGCCGTGGACGGTTCGATAGAGCGGTGGCGCCGCCACTGTTCGCGCGAGGACGCTCGCGAGTTAGTGAAGCAAGCTCAGGACGCGGCAGCGAGGTGCTGGACCGAAGAAGCCCTGGGCTTGTCTCGCGGCTTATCTGACGTGCAGGATGCGAAAGTAGAAGCGTTAATCGACGCCTATGCGGAGCGGAGCGGGTCCCGTACTATAGATCGCCTCTTCGGCGCTTCGAGTAATGAGGCCCCTGCCAAGAAGGGGCCGCCCGCCTATCTGATTATCGGCGAACCCGGTTCTGGCGTGGCCGACGTCGCCTGCGCTGTTCTCAGGAGAATCGCGGAAGTCGATCAAGTAAAGTGGCACCACTGCGAGGCGTTACGAGTGGATGACCGCGTCGATTTGTCGGTCGAGGGCGTGGCGCATTTGGCGCGGGCGGCGGCAGCAGCAAACAAGTCCAGACTGTTAATAAGCTTCTGCGTGAACGACTCGTCGTTAGCTTGCGCCACGGCCTGCGCGAGAGCAGGGATCACCGTGGCCGGCATCGCGTCGGTGCACTCGGCGGCGTTACTCGCGGAGGCGTATCCTGATTTGTGTGCGGGTGTCTCGGACCGGAACGCCGTCGCTACGACTCTAGTGGTGCAGGACTCGCGAGCGGGTCCGAATATCGGTGAAGCGGAGAAGCTGCTCCAGAAGCGGTTAAGGGCGGAAGGTTTGCAATTAAAAGCTTGTCGACGGTCGCGCTTCGCGACGGCGTCGAATGTCGTGGACGCGTTGCTACCCGCAAGTGGCGCGGCGTACGAGCACGAGGCAACGTGGTCGAAACCCGCGGACCACCAGTTTTTGGGTCGAGACAATTCGAGGTTGTTCTCGGCGTTGTACGCGCCGCCTCGCACGCCCCGAGACTTTATGTCGACCTACGTCAAGTGTAGTGTAGGATCCTTAGATCGGGAACTGCTCAAGGTCGTCCTCAAAGAGTTGTTACCATCAGCGACGTTCGACGACGGCGTCGTGGCCTTCGCCGCTCAGAGTAACAGCACCACCTCGAGACCCCCGCTCAAGGCGCTGTTCGACATTGCTCGTAATAAAGTCCGGGCCAAGAGGGACGGCGAGCAGCGCCTCAAGGAATTACCGAGAGATATCGAGCACTGGAAGGCGTTGTACAAGGACAGCGTTTCACTTCTACAAGGTGGTGTGGACGCGCTGGACGGTTTTGTGGATTTGTCCGTCGATGGCCGGCCCTTACTCCGACCGGCGGCGCTCGACGGGAACCGCAGGGTCGTGGGCTGCACGCCGTTGCCCGAGACGCACGGCGCCTGCTCTGGGCAACGCTTCGTCGGCCTCAAGGTACGACGAGGCGTCGCCGGTAAAGCATTAGATCACCTGCTGGGTCTGGCCGCGACCACCCCAAGAATCGCGCGGCCGCGGCGCGAGGAGAAATCACTCACGAGGGACGAGCGCGTCAGGATCTGCAAGCTCGCCGAGGACCGGCCCCTGCCGCCGGGCTGGGCTTTTGATGGGGCTTGTTATGTGGATGGGTTCGGGCGGCGGAGCCGGCTCCGGCCGGACGCGACGGAGCTGTGTTTGGAGTGGCTGGAAGGCGTCAATGCTGGTGTCGACGCGTGGAACAAAGCCATCGCGCAACAGTAATACTAGAAATCCCTCTTTATAGGTGGTGTCCGTTGCCGCCCGGATAGCGGCGGCACCGAAGCGACGTCGTCCGCCGCCCCCAGGACAATGTCGACGGGCACGCGCGCCGTCACGACGTCGTCGGGCGCGCCGTCGGCGGACACGCGCTGGCCCCGCGCGACCGTCACCTTCACGCTGTCGCCCGGCCGCTTCCGATCTAATGCTTTGAATAGGTCCGCCTCGCCGTTAATACTCCTCCCGTCGACGTCCACAATAACGTCTCCTAGTGTGAGCGCGCCGTCTGGCGACCGAGAAGTGCCCCGGACGCCCGCCAGAGCTGCGGGGCCGTCCGCTGGCGCGGCTAGTACCTGTGTGGAAATCAACCAGTGACCGCGGCCATGTTTTCGGCTCAAACTGGGACACTCGACCGCGTAGAGCGAGCAGCACCTCACGCAGACCACGAGAGACCCCAAATTGTTGAAGTTTGATTTCCTCACCGGCGAGCACCAACACGCCCGCGTCGATGCCCAGCGCCTTGGCCTGCTGGCCGCCCAGAAAGGTAATACCCAACACGGGCCTCCTCACTCTACCATCATCAACTAAGGCCTTGACGACCGTAGATAAAGTGTCCACCGGAATCGCGAAGCCGACACCCGAGGACGCCCCAGAAGGACTATATATAGCCGTGTTCATGCCTATGAGTCGGCCGGACGAGTCCAAGAGAGGCCCACCGGAATTCCCGGGGTTGATCGCGGCGTCCGTCTGGATGACATTTGTAATTGGTCTTCCGGTAGGACTGCGTACTTCCCGTCCTAGGCCCGAGATGACGCCCTGCGTCAGCGTGTGGTCCAGGCCGAAGGGGTTGCCCACGGCAAACACGGAAGCCCCCACTCGTAAGTTAGAAGACGTACCGACGGCGATCTTCCTTAGTTTGTCTCGAGGTATATCGTCTACGGTAAGTACAGCGATGTCCTTGTCCGGGTCGACGCCTCGCAGCTGCGCTTTCCGCGACAGCTTCGTCCCGCCGTCCACTAACAATGTAACATCAGCGGCGGCGGCGTTTCTTATAACATGATAGTTCGTGACGATGTGCCCTCGATCATCCCAGACGAATCCAGACCCCGTGCCCTGGGGCACGTCCATGTTCATGGACACGGCTTCCCGTTGCTCCGCGAAGGTGTCGATGAATACTACGCTCTTCGTGGCCTTCTCGAAGAGTTGTATGGTTTCTAACTCGGCTTGGCGCAAAGCCGCGGCGTTCGCGGGGAGTGAGGCTAATGAGGCGTAGGCGCCTAAGATTGATCGCCGGTCTAGCGCCGGTTTGAGCGCATGTGACGTTGCGAGCAGGCACCACGCGCCGCGCATTGTTCTAGCAGGCACTGCTGCTAAAGCTCGTGCAATGCTAGCGCACGCCTGGTGCTTAGTCCTGAGCAACGCTTAGCCACCTGGCAAACTTTTGTTCGCGATTTAGTCAGTGCGGGGGCTTTTGCTCGTGCTGGAAAAGTGTGCTGAAATAGTAGCTAGCGGCACGTAAGACACTAGCAGGATTCTAGGATCTTCTTAACTCGCGCACGACTCCGGGACTTCGTTGGAGGTGCGGCGAGGAGGTAGGGGAAGGCACCTAGTGGAGGAAGACAGCGGCGAGCAGGGCCGCGGCGCCGGCGGCGAAAGCGTTCGTGGCGCCGGCGCCGTCCGTGCTCAGGCAGCCGCGGTGCGCGACCGGCGCCGGGACCGGCACCGTCGTGAGGAACATCTCGGCGTGGATGATGTAGTAGTCGGCGCCGTAGGCCGTGTAGCCCTCGGTCACCATGCGGTCGCTCAGGGAGTAGTGCCAGTAGGGCGTCACCAGGTGGCTCACAGGCTGCTCCGCCAGGATGGCCGCGTGGGCCTCGGCCGTCGCCGCGACGCGCGCCGTGTGCCCCTCCGCCACGTTCAGGGCGTCGAGCTTCACGTCGACGTTTGTGGACGAGAAGCCGCCGTTGTACTTGGTGCTGCCCCCGTCGGTGTGAAAAAAATTGTTGAGGAACGCTGCGGGGTCGCCCGTGGCCAGCACGTTCTGCGACCACATGAGGATGTCGAAGTCCCCGGCGGCGACGCGGTCCGTGAGTTCGACCCAGTCGTCGGCGTAGAGTCCCCCCGTCGCGTTAAGGTAAGTCCCGTCTGTGGTCATGCGGTCGTTCACAGTGATCCCCAGAGCTTCTAGATTCGATTTGATCTCCGGTTGCATGAGCCCCAAGTCCGGGCGGAACTCGTAGGCACAGAGCTCGATCGTGAGCTCCTGGCCGTCCTTCGTGCGCTTGTTGGATGAATCGAGCGTCCAGCCGGCATCGTCGAGGAGTGCCCCGGCCTCGGTCGCTTTGGCCAAGGAACTGCCTAGGTTGTCCTGGTAGTAGGGCGTGTTTTGAGGGAAGAGGCTCCGCGTGCCATGGCCTCCCTTCAATAAATCCATGGCATCTTCGCGGTCGATAGCTAGATCGATCGCCTGGCGCACCTTGAGGTCCGCAACGGGGCTGGGGGCTGTTTTTGCCATGTTGTAGAACATCCTGCGCGGGAGACCGTCGGGAGCCGTTCTCTCGTTCGAACGAGTGATCGAGACGCGGGGGCGCGCATGTAGGTCTGGCTCACCCCGAAGGACCGGACGTTGACGCCGGTCGTGTTTCTTAAAGTATCAAGGGTGTCGACCGGCACCTTAAAAGCGATGTCCAGGTTCGCTGCGTCAGCGGCCAGCGCGGCCCCGTTTTCGTACTTGGTCATCTTGATCGGGCGGCGCTCGGTGTGCTGCGGGTAATACGTGTTGGGCACCAGGTCGACGTGGTCGTTGGCGACGAACTCGGTGATCTTGTAGGGGCCCGTGTAGACGAAGTCCGTGCCAACCTTCTTGTACACTACGAAGACATAGTCGGCGAGCACCGCGTCCATGATGGGCGTGGCTTTCGTGCTCTTGATCCGCACCGTCCCGTCGCACGGCACCGTTGCCTCGATGTCGCCGAGCGACGACTGCGTATTGTCGTTCATCGTGTGCAGTTCGTTCAGGCAGTTCGCGACGTCTTGCGCCGTGACCGGGGTCCCGTCGCTGAACTTGTAGTCCGGCTTCAGGTCAATATCCCACTCGAACTCGCTCACTTTCCCCGCCGACTGGGCCACCTCCGGGACGATCTCGCCGTCCGCATTCAGCGTAAAGAGCTTCTCCGCGACGCCGTGCATCACGAGCGCCCACCCATTCGAATCAAGCCGGGGATCCTGTGATGCCGTCGGCACGAGATGGCCCACCAGCAACGTGTCGTCGGCGGAGGAGAACGTGTCGCCCGCAGCCGCCGCGGCGCCAAACGACGCCAGGGCAACGAGGACGCGCATGAGGCCTGCGCGGGACGGGCGCGGTCTCGCGCTGGTTTGCAACGGCGATTGTTCCTCGCGCGCGCGCGCGCGAGGGCAGCCCTCGGGCAGCCTCCCAGCAACAAGGGCAGCCGTGCACGCGCGGCGTCGCAATGCCGCCGCAACCGCCCGGCGCAGCACCTACGATGGCTCGCATGGACGCCGCGCACGCGCTGTTGGATAACGCCATATCGACGCGCAATCGGATGGCAACGAGCCGGAAAGTCTCAAAGAGTCTTGATAATGATTCTCCTCGCCAGGTGGCCGCGCCTCAACTTCGACTTCGCGCGGCGCCACGCGTGGAGCGGGGAGCGAGCACAACAGCACATTACTCAGCAGCGAGGGCCTAAGAGTCGTCCGAGTCACTATCCGACGAGCCGTACGCGACCAGCCCAGACAAGGGCGCCGGAGCAGGCGCCGGCGCCGGTGCGTCCACCCGCCGCCGCTTCAGGACCGGCGCGGGACCCTCGTCCACCTTATTCTTCACACGAGGCGCCACGACGACCGAGGGCGCCGGCGCCTTCGCCGCGTCCGCCCGGAACGCCCGCACGGCGCTGTCCTCCGCCGCCTTCGCTTTCGCTCGCCGCTCGTTGTCGGCCTGCTGCTGGCCCTTCGTGTACATCATGTCGCTGTGGTCGAAGGCCCCGCACTTATCGAGCCAGTGCGGCACCTTGACGGCGGCCTCGCCGTCGGCCTCGAACTCGGGCGCGTCCTGGCTCCCGGCCATGTTCTCGTGCACCGTGCGCATGGACTGGCGCTCCTCCTCCTCTTCCTTGGTGAACTTGTAGCCGACCTTTTCGAGCTCCGCTTCTTGCTTCTTCGCGGCCCGGTCCCAGAAGGACTGGGCGGCGTTCGTGTGGCCGGCCATGGTTTTTTTATGATGCCAAGCAAGAGGACCCCCGGCCCGCGGCACGAGGCCTTGTTTTGAGGGGCGGCTGCGGGTGCGGTCGGATGCGGTGCTGGGCGCTAGCGGTCGCGCAGCGCGGCAGCAATGCGACGAAGATTACGTTGTGTGAATCCAAGGAGCCAGTCACCGCTTAGCTCGGGCGATGGCCTGTCCAACACTTTTGTCAGCGGGAGGAACCTAGCGTGTCAGACACACTAGAAACAACAGCGCTCGAGCGCCCTGTAGGGCCAGGGACGGACAAAAAGTTCGGGTCTGAACCGTGTCCGAGTCCGGGCTGGTCTGAGTCCGTCCCAACCTTGGTCTGAGTCCTAGTCCGAGTCTGACTTTTGTCCGAGTCCGAGCCTGGTCTGAGTCTGAGTCTGAGTCCGAGTCTGAGCCCGAGCCCGGGTCTGAGTCCTAGTCTGAACTTTAGTCTGAGATTTCCGACCAAAAGGGCGATTTTGGTCCGTTGGGGGATAAAGTTTCCCTCTAGTCCGCTCTCCGTCTGAAGTTTAGTCTGCTCTCCGGTCTGAGTCCTAGTCCGAATCTGAGTCCTAGTCTGAAGGCTGGTCTGAGTCCTAGTCCGGTCTGAGTCCTAGCCGAGTCTGAGTCCTAGTCCGGTCCGAGTCTGAGCCGGGTCTGAGTCCGTCTCAGTCCGAGTCCGTCCGAGTCCGAGTCCGAGCCAAGTCCGCCTCGGACTCGGACAAAAGGTTCGGGTCCGTCCCTGGCCCTAGCCCTGTGAGACGCCGCTGCTGAGCCTTACCGCATCGAGGCGAGGCTGACCCTCGGCGGCCCGGAAGCGGCGGACCACCACAGAGGCAGCCCCGGGGCGACAGACCTCCCACCACCACAGAGGCAGCCCCGGGGCGACAGACCTCCCACCGGACACCAAGGCAAGCCAGGAGCCAACAACAATCTCGACGCCGCCGCGGCGCCCCCACCCCAACGATGTCGAGGCCCGCCTCGCGCCAGGCCTCCGAGGCCTCCGTGCCCTCGCGGCCCGGCTCGCGCGACATGTTACGGGAGGCGTCGCTGTCCCGACCGTCGACGAGCCACTCGGCGTATTCTATTGGGGCGGCGACGCGGGGCGCGCTGTCTCCGATTGTGAGCGAGGGCGCCCTGAGTCCTGATAGAGTCGACGTGAACGACCGCGGCGGGGTCTTCAAGCTCACCCGGCCCGCGCTGCCTCCGTCACTGCCTCAGATCCCGAAGCCAAAACGAAAGAAGAGCGCGCGCAGCTCCCGAAGTTCGGGCAGCTCGCGGAGTTCCCGGAGGAGTAGTCGAGGGCCGGCGCCGGCGCCGCGCATTTTGGAGCGGCAGGCGGCGTTCGCCGACGGCGAGTGGGAGAACGAGCTCGCGCGATCGATCTTAATCCTCTACGGGAGCGCGATGGGCTGCGGCAAGGAGATCGCGGGCCAGGAGAACGACTTCGCCGTCGACAATGACGCCGTGAAAGCTCTGGGCTCGAAGGTCACCCAGGACGAGATCGATAGTGGTAAGGCTCGCGAAGCTGCATCTAGGGAACGCAGAGAAAAGAAGAAAAAAAGACCTAAGAGGTTGAGGAAGCCGCCCTGGGAGTCACCTCCCGATTCTGTCGTCGAGTTCGAGAAGTCGCAGGCGTCCAAGGCTGCTAGTTCGAAACCCTCCATATCGGCGGACCCGAACGCCAAGCCTCTACGGCCCGTCTGGTATTTGGGCACGGGCCCCGTCCAGAGCGAGTGGGACTGCCTGCCCGAGGGCGACGACATGCGCTTGGATCTGCAAGCCTTAGATGAAGCGGGCAAGTACGTCGAATACTTATCTTGTGTGGAGGCGTCGCTCAATGCCTACGTAAGGCGGCGCTGCGACGGCGAGGGCGAGCAGGGGCGCTTGTTCGGGCGGCTGTGGCGGCAGCTCTGCGTCACGGCTTGTGTGTTTGTCTCGCGGGCCGTCGACCAGAGGCGACCGGCTCTGGCCATGAAGTTGCTGGACCGCGCGAAGCAGTACTCCGTCTCGAGTGCCGCACACGTCCAAGTCAAGGCGGACGCGCGGGAATTGCAAGCGTTCGTCGAGGACGCGTATGCGTATTACTACTATTGTCGGGGCAAGTACCACGCGGCCTTACACTGCGTCGTCAAGGCGATGAAGATCCACGTGAAACAAGAAGAACACGCGCACGTCGCCAAGTGCCACGTGCACAGCGCCTGCATTCTGTCGAGACTTAGGAGGCGGCCGGAGGCCGTGCGGTGCCTGGGGCAAGTTTTGTTCTTAGTGGAGTCGGAGAAGCTGGACATGTGCGGCGACCAGCCCCACCTGATTTGTTTGGTCGCCATCGCGCACCACAACATGGCCGTGGTACACTGTGTGGAAATCAACCAGTGCGTCGGGTGCACCCGACAATTCTTCACTAAGTCATTTCTCAGCGATGGCGCGGCCGTCCTGGCTCGGTCGAGCGGTGAGGAACCGGCCTCGCCACGCCATCGAGCAGGCGTCGCGTCGATGGCGTGGAGGACGAGGCGACGATTCAACACGAACGCTCCGTAAAATTTTGATTTCCACACAGGTGGAACAGCAGGGCCTGGGGCACTTCGAGGAGGCCGTCGTCTCGGCCCAGAACGCGCGTCGATTGGCGCGGCTCTGCCTGTCCTACTCGAATCGGTGGTTGGAGGCCTTCGAGAACACGCACCGGACATGTGCGGAGAGCCTGACGCTGTGTGGAAATCATCCGTAGCTGCGTCTGCTCGATGGCGTGGAGTTTCCAGGCCGTCGACGCGACGTTGTCCCCGTGACCGCGTCGGCTCGATGGCGTGGATTGTCACGAAGGTCCACGCACTATGATAACCTAACTCACTGGTTGATTTCCACACAGGTCTGACGCAAAAGGGCGACGTCAATGAAATGGCGAAACAGGGCAGCGACGTGCTAGCCGCGCTCAACGTATCGCGCGGCAGCGACCGGACATCCCTGAACGGGTCCCGGGCATCGAGTAGGGCGCTGCGGCGCGCGAGCCGCGCGAGCCGCAGCGGCGTGTCGCGCCTGACGCCCGAGCCGGCCGCGCCTGCGTCGCGCCTCGCTCGAACGGGGGTGTCGCAGGAGTCGAGCCTCGCTACGGGGTCTGTCGTCACGGGGTAAGGAAATGTGCATCATACCTCTCGTATACTCAAAGCAAGTGTGATTGAGGAGCGAATTATTTTCGTGGAATTCCCGGCCAGACCAGGCGGACGCTGCGCGCTATCGGCCACAGCGTCGAGAACATGTGATCATCGATATAGTCACAGCTCGGCAGGATGCACGCGGTGCGCGAGATGCCCTAGACGTCCAGCGACGCGAAGCCGGAGGCCTGCGACAGCTTCTCGTAGCTGAGGGGCCAGGGCAGACCCGGGAACTTATCGCATCGTCGCAGCTGAGCAGGCCTGCACTCGCCAGCGCCCCGCCGGCGGCGCCGGAAGATCTCGCCGCCATCCAAGCCGCCACGCAAGGGGCGCGCAATCTAGCAAATGCGCCCGATGCGCCGCCCGAAATACTGGCGCTGATCGCGGCGATGGCGGCCGGCGCGCCCGCGCCCGCGCGGGCCCCTGGGTCGCCGCCGCCGCGCACGCGCGCGCGGCCCGCCTCGACGCCGACCCCTGGTCGCCAGCGGCGGCGAACGGGGTCACGGTCGCCCAGTCCCGGTGGTTAGTCCCGGTGGTTCGGTCGAGATAACGCCTCTCTAAGAGTTCTCCTAGGAATATGGACTATGTTACAATTGAGCAGAGGCATGCGTGGGCCGCCCCATCCCCGACGTCTCTCAAAGGCCACGACCTTACACAGCCGCCCCAAAAAGCTCGTCGCTCGTCGCCACGCAGCTCCGCACGTCCGCGCGCGACCCGCGCGGCAGCGCCGACGCCGCCGTGTAGAGGCACTCCGCGTCGGGATTCACCAGGACGACGGGCGTCTCCCGTTGTACGACGGCCGCCACGTCCCTCAAATATTCGCACGACGCCGACTGCTCGAACGAGATCCCGAGAAATAAAACGAGGTCCGCTCCCCCACAATCGTCCTTCAGACGTTGTAGAGCCTGCGGCCCATCTAATATTCGAGCGTGCTCGCGGTCGCCGTAGAGCAGCACGCGGAACCGTGTTCGCAGCGGCGGCTCATGATCGAGCGGTCTTTTTTTGGAACCGTTCACTCGCAACGCGTCGCGCGGCGCGTCCTTGCCGTCGACGGCGTCCCTCCCTCCCCTTATTCGTCTTAACATCTCATCATCTAAAGCGTAGACGTTCCCATTCTCACAATCGACGACCTCTCGCAACGCGCCGTGCAGCTCGACGGTCGTGCCGTCCGACCCGTCCCATAAAGACGCCCCGGCCTGGGCATGCAAACCGTCGATGTTCAACGTGATATGCCTCATCAACACCCCGCTTCGCTCGAGATCCACGAGCGCGCGGTGCGTCGGCGTCGGTGTGGCTTTCTGCACCGCGACGGCCAATTCGGCCAGAAACTTCTGGGCGTCGCGCGGCCGTTCGGAATAGAAGCGCCATCCAAAAAGATCGATGCCTTTTTCCAGTTTATACCTTTTCCGCGCCTTCTCGTAGAGGCCGTCCTTGCCGCCCACGTACGTCGAGAGGCCGGCGGCGGCCGAGATGCCGCTGCCGCTGACGACGACGACTTTTTTGGCGTTCTTTATCAAATCGGCGGCGGCCGCGAGCGGCATCGCGTCGTCGAGGCCGCTATCCGTGATGTTCGAGCGGCTGCGGCAGGCCCTCGGCGGACGGCGCGGCGGGGGCGGCGACGGCTTCGGCGGTGGCGGCGGTGGCGGCGCGGCGACGGGCGGCCGTGCGGTTACGGGCGGAGATACGGTGACGGACGGCGGCTCGGCGACGGGCGCCGGCGGCTCCGGCTTCGGCGCCGCCTCGGCCGCCTCGGCGACGAGGCGCTCGGCCGTGGCGCGCATCGGCGCGTCGAGGCCGGGCGTCGGCGGGGCCACGGGCGCGGGCTCAGCCGCGTCTTGCACTAGTTTGGGGGTGTTTTGCTCGGCCATTTTGCAGCCGTACGCCTATGCGCAGCAAGGTGCCCTTGCCTGTTTCGGCTCGTGCAGTGCGGTGCGGCGCCCGTTGACACTTCGCAGCTGTGACAGCGCAAGAGGACGGTAAGGGAATATCGCAGGCTGCTGGTAGCTGACCTCACAAGTGTGGGCTTATCAGTGCACTGCAAAACTCCCATTTTCCAGCCTAGCGGCAGTAAGACACTAGCGCTCGAGCAGCCACGAAGCGCCGAGCTAAACTCGCACCAGGGCAAATCGTCACGATCAAGTCCTAAATTCCACCGCCGGCGCGAGCCGATCACGTCTCCTGAGTCGGCGAGCGTTTTATCGAAAAATCTGACCTTCAAAGCTGAGCTCTGCACGCGACGACGACGCGCGACACCAGTATGGATCGCCCGACGATGCCCCCGGCCCACCGCGACCTCCCGGACGACGTCACGCCGCCGGGCCACGAGCCCGTCAAATACGTCGTCGGCCCCGGCGACCTCACGCGCGGCGAGCTGCGGCGATTACTAGCGGACGCCGGCGCCAAGGCCGCGGAGCTGTCGAATTTGAGTAGAGATGATTTAGTGTCCGTCGCCAAGGCGCGCAAATTAGAAGGTCTGGAAGTGTCGGGGACGGGCGCCGTCGAAGCCAGAGCCAGGGACTTCCTCGCCGTGTTCTCGCGCTTAGATAGGACGGTAGCGCTCCCGCCGGGCGCTGAATTAGGATTGGTGCTCGAGCGCGTCGGCGACTGGGCCGTCGTGGCCGAGACGCCCCAAACGACGGCTGTTAGAGTAGGTGATGTTTTGAGCGAGGTCGACGGCGTGCCTTGTTTGTTAGAAGCCTATGATGACACGTTTAAGCTCTGTGCGGCCGCGCGACGGTCTCGAGTCCCGTACACGCTCACGTTCCGGCGCGCCCCGTTCCACAAGGGCTGGCTGCGGAAGAAGTCTCGCGGCCGGTCTGCATCTAGATTCAGCGGCCTGACGGGCTGGAAGCGGCGCTTTTTTGTATTAAGGAGCGGCAAGCTCACATATTACGAGGCCGAGCCGCCGTCGGCCTCGCCCGGACGGAACGCCTCGAAACCGAAAGGTTCCTTCTCATTGGCGCGCCAGTGCACGGTGCGCATCCGCGAGACGGACGGCGTGCTCGAACTGGCCTTAACTGCGGCGAACGATAGGTTAATTGTGCGCGGCGCCGACGCGGGCGACGTGCGGAACTGGGCGGCGCTCTGCACCGTGGCGACGGCCCACGCGACGGGCGGGACGGCCCTGTTGCGGGACTACGAGCGCGAGCGGCTGGGCGTCGAGCGCAGGGAAGCGGAGCGGCGCGAGCGGCGGCGCCGCGCGAATTTGGAAAGGAGGGAGATGTTCAAGCGCCAGGCGTCGGAGCGGGCGTCCCTGGTCGCGGCGCAAGCTCGAAGGGACGCGCTGCACTCGTCGACGTCGTCCGAACTGCTCCCGGAGTACAAGTCGGACTCGCGAGCGATCCCGCCGCCGCCGCTGGACACGCCGCCGTCGCGCGGCTCCTCCTATAGACTCCCCGAGTGCTCGCCGGCGTACGCGGAGCCGCCGCCGCGTCCGACCCGCGCGACGTCCGCCGAGGAGCTGCGGGAGCGGTTCCGGAACGTGGGCCTCTCGGACCTCTCACCGTAAGATCACTACAAACACCGATCTATCACCGTAAAATTACAAAACTAGGGCGCGGGCGCGTAGTCCCGGTTGCACGGGCAGCACCGCTTCGCCCACGACCCCGACCAGGCGCAGCACTTCGCGAGCCAGCTCCGGTCGCACTTCTCGCAGCCGCAGCAGTCGACGACGTACGGCCAGTCGTCGCCCTCCCACCAGCAGCCCTCTCCTCGAATAACGTCCGCGCGGAAGGCTTCATCAATGTTGCGCTCGTCGTATTTGGAGACGGAATTCGGCGCGCGGTCCCGGCCGGTCGTGAATCCATTGTTGTCCGGGTAGGGCCGCCGGGGCAGCGGCACGGACCAGTCCGCGTTGACGGAGGCGAGCGTCGCGAGGAGCGCGAGGCCTCGCATGATCTAGCGTTGTCGCGGCTTGCCTCGCGTCGACAGCGTCGCCGCGGCGCTCACAAAAAGATAAAGCTGGGAGCACTCAGAGCTCTCTACCGCACAGATCGTTGTCTAACTAAAGCGAGCTGTCGTGCTACCAAGTGATAGTCAACTGCACGCTTTCAGAGCCTTCATTAATCCGTAGATGGCTGCTACGCTTGCTTGCCGGGGCTGCTGCTAGTGCCTTACTACGCTAAGCAGGGCTGGGTCAACGCATCAGAGCAACGGCGCGGGGGGCAGCCTACGAATTGGTCGAGGCAGCCACCAGAAACAAACATGACCGAGCCGCACGAAGACGACGACCGCGAACGGACGGCGGCGCTGCTCGCGTCGGTCCGCGCGTCGATTCAGGCCGAGCGCGCCGCTCGCGAGGAGGCGACGGCGGAGCCGCCGGCGGGCCTCGCGGAGCTGCTGCGGCCGCCGGGCACGCCGCGGCGGCGAAGGGCCCAGCTGCAGCGCGAGTGGGAGGCGCGCGGCGCGGCGCGGCAGGCGGCGTCGACGCGCACGGCCCGCGCCGCGGCCGAGGCGCAGCAGGCCTGGGGCGCCTCCTCCTTCGCCGACGTGCTGGCGGACCGCGGCTACCGCGCGCCGCGGCCGACGCGCGCCGTGTCGCCCGTCGCGTCGCCGCCGCGCGTCCGCCGGCCCGCGCCGGCCGACGCGTTCGCCGGCGAGTCCCTCGAGGCGACGCTGGCGTCGGGCCGCGGCCGGAGCCGGCGGCGGCCCGGCAGCAACGAAACGAGGCCGCAGCCGGCGCCGTCGCCCGTGCGCCACAGCCACGAGCTGTCTGAGGGCCTCGCGCACCGCCCCGCGGCGTCGTACGACTGGGGCGGCGGGCTCGCGGACGTCCTGCGGCCAGTTGGTCCGGCGCCCCGGCGGCTCGCACCGACGGAGCCACTTCCACCACGGCGCCGCGCGCCGGCGTCGCCGGTGGAATCGAGCGATGCCGCGTGGGGCGGCGGTCTGGCGGACGTCTTGCGGCCCGGCGGGTCGGCGCCACGGCGCACGACGGCGACTGAGCCACTGCCACGGCGCCGCGCGCCGGCGTCGCCGGTGGAAGTCGTTGACACCTGGGGCGGCGGTCTGGCGGACGTGCTCCCCGCGCGGGGCCGCGCCACGACACGGCGGCGCCCACCGCCGCAGCGGCAGTCGCCGCCGCCGCCGCCCTGCCGCCGGTCGCCCTCGCCGCCGCCGCCGCAACCGGAACCACCCTCACCATCGGGCAACGCCGACGCCATGCTCGCCGCGCAGCTCGGCATGGAGGAGGCCGCCCGCGCGGAGCCGCGCCCGGCGCCGCGCCGCGCGACGGAGCGCGCGCGCGCCGAGGCCGCGTTCGCCGGCGGCCTCGCGGACGCGCTCCCGCCGCGGCAGGAGCGGCGCCGCGCGGGGCCCGACCCCGCCTACGCGCCCGTGCGCCGGCCGCGCAACGTCGTCGCGGCGGGATCGCTCGGCGACGCCTTCCCGGCGCGCGCGGCGCCGGCGCCGCAGCCGCGCTACCCGCCGCCGCCGCGGCCGAGCGAGCGCGCCGTCGCGCAATCCGCGCGGCCCCGCCCCGAGCCCCGGTCTGTGCTCGCGGGGCTCGCGCTCCTGGGCGGCGCGCTCCCGGCCAACTTCTCCCAGGCCGACGCGCTGCCCGACAGCGCCCTCACGTACGACGCGCTCCTGGCGTTGGATCGGCCGCCGGAGCCGTCGCAGGCCCAGCGCCGCGCCAAGAAGGCCGCGGCCGCGCGGGCGGTCGAAACGACGGTCCATCGGAAGGGCGCCGAGCCGTGCGAGTGCTGCATCTGCCTCGACGAGTTTCATGATAGGGAGCGCCTCTCCAAACTTCGGTGCGGCCACGTGTTCCACAGCGCCTGCATCAAGAAGTGGCTCGTCCACGACCTGCGCTGCCCGACGTGCCGGACCGACGCGCTGGGGGACGATGCGCCCGGAGGCTAACCATGCTTTGTTTTACTTACTGGCTCGGCGGCCGTCGAGGGCGCGCGGACCAGGATACTGGGCCCTGCTGGCCAGGCGACGGCACGATTTCTCTGGCATACGCGGCCACTCGACTTGGGTCGAGGGCCGCGGAGGCGCCGACGACGCCGCAGCACGCCGCGCCGTACGCGCAGCCCATCTTTAGTCCGATCGAAAGGTTGACCACTCCGGGCGGGTCTCTCGCGAAGGCCGTGAGGAAACCGGCGGCGAACGCGTCACCAGCGCCCGTGGCGTCGAGAAGAGCGCCCGGCGCTAGTGTTGGCGCGTTCGACTTGACCTGCTCGTTTTCGAGCCCCCAGACAATTGCTCCCCGCGCGCCATGCGTGGTGACGACGCAGCGCGTGTTGCCGGCATCCAAAAGATCCAGAGGAGCCTGCGAAAGTCCCGTCCCGGCGAGATTCTCCACCTCGGCTTCCGAACAAATCAGCACGCCCGGCGCGGTGCCGGCGGCGACCGAGAGCTCGCAGATGCCGTCCCAGCGCTCGTCGGCGTCCCATTGCGGGTTCAAGGACGACGAGCCGCCGGCCTCGCGCACGGCCCGGAACAATTCTCCGACGCGCGCGCGCACGGCCGGCATGTTGTAGTACCCCGCGACGTGGACGTGGCCACCGCGCGCGCCGACCTCGCGCGCGCGCTCGATGTCCGCGTCGGATAATCCAGCGACGGCCACCGCGCCCCGATGCGTGGCGAAGGCTCTGTCCGACTGGCCAGATAAGACAATACAAACGCCCGTCGCCGCGCCCGCCGGCGCCGCGAGCGGCACAACCGCCACACCCGCGTGCGCCGCCGCGGACCGCAGCTTCGCACCCGCGTCGTCGTCGCCGAGGGCGCAGCGCAGCTCGACGCGCCGGCCCGCGCGCGCGAGGTGGCACGCCGTGTTCAGGCCGCCGCCGCCCGCGAGGAATTCGATCGGCCGCGGCACGAGCTCGTCCGCGTCCCAGCGCGGCAGCTGCGCGAGGCCGCCGCACTGCACGTCCAGGAACGCGTCTCCGATGACGAGGAACTCGGGCACGGGCAGCGTGATGGCCGTCTGGGCGGCCATGCTCTCCGGGCCGCGGGAGAGCACGACCTGTAGAGCTGCTTTCTGAGGATGCAGCGGTCTCGGCTGTGCGAGACAGTAAAGGAGAAGTTGTAAACACGAGCAGTGCGGTCCACAGTGGCTCCCACGGGACCTGGCACGGGTGTTTGAGCTTGGCTTGTGACGGGTTTTTCTGTCTTGGAGCAAAGCTCCGTTCTGCCGAGGCGTGGCGCGCGGAGGACTCGGCCACCGCTCCCGACGACGCCTCTATTTTTCCGGGCCTCTCAGCGCCCTCAACGCAGAGGAGCTGCTCCGCAAGCAGCCAAGCCGACGCGACCGGCAGCCAGTCACTCGGGCAGCCTCAACGCCGCCGCCGCGTGACCACAGACAACCATGGGCGCCGAGGGGGAGCAAGCCCCCGAGGAGGAGCAAGCTCTGGTGACAGGCAGACCCACGACCATCGTCTACAGTGGAGACTGGCCGCCCGAACAGGCGCCGCGAGGCTTATTTAAGAGGTACGAGGTCCGGGGACGCGTCTGCGAGGTGATACCGCATATCCTGTTCCTGCGAAAGGACGACGCGTCGGCCGAGTTCATACATGGCCACTACAAGCGAGCACATGCCACGCGCGACCGCTTCCAAAGGGTTGTGGCGGCGATTCGGATCGAGTTCGATCCGCCGGGGGAAGGGGACAACCTCAAGGACCAGGAGCGCGAGGAGCTGCGGTCCTTGGAGCGGTTGGGGGGCGCCCAATCTAGAATAGAGGGCCACGGCGAAGACGGCGAGCTGTGGTTGTATATCCCACAAAAGAGATTGGATGCCCACGATCCGTTTGGGGACACGGTCGCCGACGCGCTGGTCGAGGGCGTGATTGTTAATTGCACGTGCGTCATCTCGACAGCGCCGTTCATCAACACGATCGACATCAAACGAGAAACGGAGGAGCCGGACGCCCTCGGCATCGTCGAGGCGCCGGCGCCGGCGCCGGCCGAGGACGAGAGCGACGCGTCGTCGGATTCGGCGTCGTACATCCAGCCGAGCCCGCGCGACCTGGCGCTGCCGTCGTACATGTCCGGCACGGTGACGAAGAACGGCGTCGACATGTACTAAGTATATATAGGAAAGGTGCGCTAGCGGCTTGCAAGACACTAGCAAGCGGCCCGGGTGGGCCCAGCTGGCAAACTCTGCCACGCTGGTGCAGCCGTGCCATAAATCATCGATATCCTTAGTTATCAATTGTAGTTGTTGCGAGTTCCAAATTGCATTGGTCATTTAGCCACCAATTGCATCGATCACTGCGTCATAGCTGGCAGGACAACACAGAGAGCATGCTTGGGTGCACTATAGCTCTCTGCGTCGTCACGCTGGCGTCGTCGTTCCGATGCAGCACTCGTCCGAGGACGCCGCGCACGATGAGGCACTACACGCCGACGCCCGTGGACCCGTCGGTGATCGCCCAGCAGCTCGCGGTCATCGGCGTCTCGGGCGCCGCGGCCTTCGTATGGTGGACGCAGACAGTACCTGCAAAACGCCTCGAGGTGTCGCGGTCGAAGAAGAGCGGCGAGATTGCCGAGCTGCTGGACGAGCTCGACGAGGCGGAGGCCACAGGCGACCGAAAGCTCGAGCGCTGGGTCCTCACGGACTGGCGCGAGCCGTCGCGGCGCAAAGAACCGGCGCTGCCCATGCTGCCGAAGTCGAAGTTCAACTCGGGAGATAACCCGATCCTCGCGGCCGCCGCGCTCATCCTGAGCTTCGGCGTCGCGAACGCGCTGGCCGAGCGCGCGTCTTCGCTGTTGTGAGTAATCGTTGTTGTAGATCTCCTCGCCGATTGATCGCGCGCGCCCCGCACGCAGCTCCAAGAGGGAAGTGGCCTCCCTGACTTTTTGAGCGCGTGGGCAGTCAAATAAGGTGCGTAATGTCATGCAATGCAGTGCGCGCGCGTCCTGGCCCCATGATCTTGCAATGCAGCGCAAAAAACGGCAGCCCGCGCCGCGCAGGCAGCCGCAAACCACTGCAGCAGGGGGCTGCACAGCACCTCCCGAGCGGCGTCGAACTCTCTGCACCGCACAGCACCAACAGAGGTGCGCACCAGCGCCAGAAAGCATCCGCCAGTCCCGCCGCGCGCCGCGCGAAAATTCGCCGCCGCGCCGCGGCGGCGCACGATCGCACCGTCGAACGCAGGTCCGGAAAACATGGCCGCCCCCGACTACTACGCCCTGCTCGGCGTGCCCCGCAACGCCACGACCGCCGAGGTGCGCAAGGCCTTCCGCGGCAAGGCCCTCGAGCAGCACCCCGACCGCGGCGGCGACGAGGAAAGTTTTCGTTTGTTGTCCAAGGCCTACGACGTCCTCAGCGATCAGGAGCGGCGTAAGTACTACGACCGCACGGGCCGCCCGGAACGCACGGCGGAGGACGACTTCCTCGACTGCTTCGGCAAGAAGACCACGGAGACCCCGAAGCGCGACGAGAGCGCCGCGCTCGCGCAGCGCCTCGACGCGTCGCACGAAGAGTCGCACGCCACGTCCTTCGAGGCGTGGATGCGGAGCCGTCGCCCGCGGTGTCCTGATCTGGTGGAGGCGATGGCGCCTTCGCGAGACCACGTCGCCGTCGGCGTGCCGTCAGAGAGTCAACGTGAACCTGACGTGGTCGCGTCGATGGCGTCGACGCGGTGCCGCGTCGCCGCGACGCCGTCGACGCGGCCACACGAGAGTCCCCGCGCCTCGCGAACGAACACGACGGTATCAAATCAAACGCAGGCAACGGCGAGAGCATGGTCGTCACGACGGAAAGCCTCCTCAACGACAAGAAGAACATCGCCGCGGACTCCTACGAGAAGGTCCTGCTGCCGCGGGTGCGTTCCACCACGATCCGCGTCACTCCGTCCATCGCGAAGGGCGACCTACTAAAACGAGCGGCGCAGCGCACCGAGGTCCACTACCGCAAGCTCCCCAAGCATTTGGACTGGAAGGAGTGCCTCGTCAACGTCCGGAGTGCGCCGCTCACCTTACCGGATCTGCGGAACGCCGCGGACTCTTCATTGGAATTGGGCTGCTCTTGTGTCGGTGTTGTGGAGACCGTGGGGCCCGGCACGTCGTTATTGAAGGAGAGCGACTGGGTCGTGCCCCTATCTGACACGATGGGCACCTTTTCTTCCTTACGCGTTTGGGACGAGAAAGATTTATTGAAGATAGAGAGAGACGTCATGCCCGTCGAGTACGCGGCTTTATGGAGAGAGTTAGCGTTGGCCTACCATCTCCTGGAGACGGAGGCTTCCGAGCTCAAAGCGGGCGACGCTGTCCTGATAAGTGCGGCGAACGGGGCCGTCGGCCAGATCTTGATTCAATTATGCAGACTCGTGAAGCTCCGAACGTTATGTATTGTACGAAAGTCCGACGCCTTCGAGGACACGAAGGCGTGGCTCGAGTTCCTGGGCGCGGCGCGCGTGTTCTGTTACGAGGACGTTATTGCCGACGAACTGAAGCGGGAACATTCGTCACTGCCGAAGCTGGCCTTCGACGGTGTTGGTGGTTCTTCTAGTTTGGTATTGGCGGAGGCGTTGGCTCCGGGTGGAAGCGTCGTGACCTACGGCTCGTTGGCTCCGGTGCGCGGCGACTGGAGCGTATTAGCGCGGAACCGTATTACGGTGAGCGGCTTTTCTCTGCTCAGTTGGCTGAAGGAGGATCGTAAAAACAGAGACAAGCTGAAGACGATACTGACACAAGTGGCGAAGCTCGTCAACGCCCAGAAGCTGCGCGTCTCGACGACGGACGCGCCGTTGCACGCGTTCCACCGGGCGCTGTCGTCCCTGGAGCCGAACACGAAGGTCGTCTTCGCGATGCCGTCGCTCCAGGAGGAATTGACGCGCGAGGCCGCGCGGAAGCAATCCATGCGGCGCGAGAAGGAGCTCCAGAGGGAGCGCGCCCTCGCGTTGGACGCGGCGGCCTCGAGGCTCTTCGCTTCGCCTAGCTCGTCGTCAAAAGTAGACCAAGCTTTGGTCATCGACTGCCCTTCACCGACGTCGACGCTGATCTGGTGCCACGGCAACGGCGAGCTCGCCCAGGAGTACGCGCCCATGTTCCGCAAGGTCTTTTCTCCAATGAACGTCAAGGTCGTCATGCCGGCGCCGCCCACTTCCTCCGATTCGCAGAAGTGGTTCGATCTTGAGGATTTGAGTTGGTCCAAGGTCATCGGAGGGTCGTGCGCGACGGAGGCGGATTTGAGCGTACTAGAACAGATCGACGCGGGCGCGGCGAAAGTAGCGGCGCTCGTGGAACAAGAAGCGAATGGTGTCTACGTGAGCGGCTTCGCGCAGGGGGGCTGCGTCGCTTTATATGCGGCGCTGTGCCGCGCGCGGACGGCCGGCGCGATGAGCCTGGGCGGGCCGCCGGTGCGCGTCGAGGTGTTGAAGGCCAAGGCCCGCTTCCCTACTACTCCGGTGCGGCTCCTTTGCGGCTCGGACGACGAGGCCTTCTCCGTCCAGTCTTGCGAGAGCGTCGTGGGCGGGTTGTCCGAGATTGTGCCCGACGCGCGTTTGGAGGTCGTGGCGGGCGGCCGCCACGACGTGTCGTTGACCGAGGTCGAGGCGCTGGCCGCCGCGGTCAAGGCGTGCGCGAAGCCGTCGCAGTGATCCCCGCTAGATAGCTCCCCCGACCCTCCCCCCTATGTAATGCGTATTACGGTAGGGGCTCTTGGCGGGCACCGTCGCGCGGCTTCTAGCGCGTGTTCGGGGAACGCGACGACCCGAAGATAACTCGAAGCTAGCGTGTGTGGACACACTAGGCAGCAGCTCGGAGACTCGGCGGCAGGAGCAGCTTTGTAGAGGCGAAGCGGCGCTCCGCCGCGCTCTTAATGCCAAGAAGGAAGGCAGCAGCCGCCGAGGAAGAATCCTCGGAGCCGGCTGCCACCAACAGTGCCGCGCGGCGTCGAATCTAGCTCTCCTGCTCTTCGGCCCCGACCCCCGCGCGCGCGCAGGCGACAAGCGGGAGAGCGAGGCCGCCGACCCCGGCGCACCGCCCAAGCGGCAGAAGACCGCCTCCCCCTCCCCCTCCCCCTCCCCGCCCCCCTCCCCCTCCGCCGCCAAAAAAGCCATGGCCGAGGCAGCCGAGGAGGCGCCCGCCGAGGAGGCGCCCGCGGCCCCGGAGCCCGAGGCCGCCGCCGCGGCCGAGCCCGCGCCGACGGAGGAGGCCCCGCCCGCCCCTATCGTGGAATCCACGGACCCGACGCCCGCTGAGGCCGCCGCTTTGGAAGCGGCCGGCGAGGCGCCGCCGCCGCCTCCCGCCCAGTACGGCAGCCCGCCGCAAGATGGCATGTACCAGCAGCCGGCCGTCTATAATGTCGCTCCGATGGCCCAGTATACCATACAAGCTCTGGCTGGTCGCACCGTCGAGTTCAAATTATTGCTGCCGCACGCGGCTTGTGGGATCGTGATCGGCAAGGGCGGCGCCATGGTCTCGCATATTAGGGATGCGTCGGGGTGTCAAGTAGATGTGCAAGAATCTCCCGCGCCGCCGCCGATGGCTGGTGGGGTCCAGGGCGGCTCCGAGCGCATCATTACGTTATCAGGCGACTTCGGGAGTGTTTATGCTGCTTTTCAAATGGTTTTACAACATCTCGCGGCGGCGCAGCCGGCCGACCCTCTACTGACGACGAGACCGCCTGGTTCGGTAGAAGCTGTAGTATTGGTGCCGAGGAACAAGACGGGCGGCTTGATTGGTCGAGGCGGCGCCTCGATCAACCGCGTCAGGCAGGACTCGGGCGCCACGGTCAAGGTGGGAGCCCCTGAAGACGTTGTGGCCGGGGATCCAGACGTCCGGAAGTGCATCGTGAGCGGCGCGGTAGAGCAGGTCATGGCCGCCTTTACGTTGATCGTGCACAAATTGGAAGAGACGCCGGCGGGAGCAGCTCGCGCCGCGGACGCGCCGCCGATGGCGCAGGGCTACGCGCAAAATCCGTACGTGCAGCAGTACCCGCAAGGGGCCATGCCGGCTCAATTAGCCCCGGGGACCATGCCCGTGCAGTTCCAGGTACCTAATGAAAGCATGGGCGCCGTGATTGGGAGAGCTGGTGCGACGATCAATCAGATCCGAAGCATGTCGGGTGCGAAGGTCGACATTGCCCAGTCCGTGCCGGGCATGCCCATGCGTTTGGTCACCGTAACAGGAACCCCAGACCAGATCCAGATGGCGCAGTACTTGATTCAAGTGAAGATGGGCGGCGGTTCATTACCTGCGGCTGGAGCGCAGTTGGCCGCGGGGAGCTACGACCCGTCCCAGGTCGCGCAGCAGCAGCAGCAGGCGGCAGCTCTCCAGCAGCAGATGATCCAGGCGCAGCAGCAGCAGTACGCGCAGAACCCGGAAATGTACCGCCAGCAGGTGGCCCAACAACAGGCGATGCTGGCCCAGCAGCAGCAGCAGATGCAGGCGGGCGGCTACCAGTACCCGGCGCAGCAGTTTTAGAGGTTGTGATGAATGTGTCCCCTCCCTCCTCCTCACCGCGCCGCGCGAAGCACCACGGCCGACCCGCCTCCAATTCTATAGCGTCCTCCTCCCCCGGGGCGCGACCTAACGACAACGTTAGGATTTACCGGCGGCGTTGTGACGCACGTGTGCCCCGGGGCGTAACGCGTCCCAGTTGCCGGCTGTGCGGCTGCGGCTGCGCGTGAGTCCCTGGCTTGAAATCTACACGACGCGCCCGCGAGGTTCCCGGGGACACAAAAAACGGTGACTTACAGGGGGGGGATCACGCGCGCCCCGCCGCGAGTGGCGACGCGGGTCCTTCGACGTCGACGTCCTCCTCGGCCACCTTCAGGCCCAGCCGCGATCCCAGCGACGAGAGACGCCTCCCCAAAGTCCGCTTCTGGTGCTTGACCAGATCCTGCAACACCTCCCGCTCTCGTTTTACATCAACATATATAAGATAGGCGCCCGTGGCCAGGGCGCTTACGAGCAACCCCATAAGTGCCCACCCGACGGCCTCCGAGTCCCTTCGATACGTTCCCTCGTGGACCAGCACCGCGAGCTGCGTCAAGACTAAAATCCAGCACAGGAGCTCGGCCAATCTATCGTCCGCGTCCACCGAGAACGGCTTGTAGGTGACATACAATTTCAGCGACGCGAGCGCTATGGTCAAAGATAGAGCGATCTGCAGCACCGGCCGGAACGGGAACAATAACGGAGCCAGGCCCCCCGTCAGTAACCGTCGGATACACTCCCAGACCTCCCAGAGGTAGTGCTGCGGCTCGTACGGCCCCCAGAGCATCGACGACGACCTTAGCCTCGTGTCCGCGAGTCTCTGACTTTGTGCGGCCTCGAGCCGCTCCTCGTCGTGTTTCCGCGCGCGCTTTCCATCAATGATGGGATCCAAGCCGTCCCGATCTTTTCGCAACAGGTAGAAATAAAACAAAGGCACGCCGAGCGGGTACGCGAATACACATATGATAGCATACGCCCTGTTCCAGTAATGTTGGGACGAGCCGCACCGGACGCCATAGTCCGCCCTTAAATACTGCGAGGAACCGACGATGAAAGCGCCCCGCGGGGCACGTCTCGCAGAAGTAGCGCGCCGCGCCGCTCCGGCTAAAGTCGCAGCCGCGGCCGTCCTCTATACTATCAAAGCGCGACGGCGTTAGTGTAACGCCGTCCCAGATGCGCGTGCCGTTCGATTTGATGATGATTCTGGGGACGTAGGCGTCGTCTCGGTCGAAGATATCCGTCCAGTTCCCGGCGAGCTCCACCGCTTTTAGGGTTGCGTTGCCGGCGTCCCACGGCGGGTCGTACGACGCCACGAGCCAGTCATCGTTTGTGGAATCTATCGCGAGCCACGCGGCGACAGACCCGACCCGCTGCGCCAGCGTTTTTGATGGACTGAGCGCGAAGGCGACCTTGGCGCCCGACAGCGATATGGGTGTGATATCATTCAAGGTCGTGGCCAGTACTTGCAATCCCGTCCCGACGGCGCGCCGCAGCATGGCATCGAGCTGCGTCGCGAGGGGCAAATTCTCAACGTCGACGACGGCGCCGATCGCGCGCCAATCATAAACGGCGGCCAGATCCACCAAGGCTTGGAGGCGGTGGCGGGGCTGCGGTCCGAGGCGGTAGTAGCTTCCTTCTTCCGTAGAACGCGTTGTGAGTAACGTGAGGTTCAAATCCGAGGCGCTTTGTGCGGCGACTTCAAGAAGTGTCCCGGTGAGCGGCGTGACGATGCCCCGCAGGCCGTCGAGGTCGCCGCACGCCGCCGCGGTCTCGCAGAAATGCGGTGTGACATCGTAACGCTGCGCCGCGTGCATGAAGACGGCGTAGGTGTCGTCCTCGATATCACCTAACCACCCAACCTTCGTGGAGACGCAGGTGCCGGCCAGGAGGAGGGTGGAGAGCAGCATCATGTGTCGAGCCGTGCTCGCGGGCTGCCCGACGCGCGCGGGCTGCTGCTGTCCGGTGGTCGGACGTGAAGGCTTTCACTGTCTGAGCTGTCAACTGCAGAGCACGCGCTCTCTAGACCACACTAATTGCCAAAGCACACTGGAGGCCACTGCCTCTGCTCGACCCCCTATCCCCCGATACTTCCGTACACTACGTACAACGGCCTTGCGAGGCTTCGTTCAAAAGCTGGAAGGTCGTTTGGCGTGGTCCTAGTAGCTCTATCCCTAGCTTGGCTTTGCGGGCTTAAGCTTAGGAGAGGCACAGCGGTGCGCTCCTACTGTTTATGCGCCTGGGAGCAAGTGTTGCATCGCTGTTGCATTGCTGAGATAGCTGTGGATCGCAAGTTGCTCTGGCATTGCTGCAGGACACTGACTGCAGACAGGCTGTCTGCAGGACACACTGCAGACAGCTGTGCACACGATGGCGGTCGGGACGCGCGCCCGCGAGAAGAATGGTGAAGAGTGGCGCCGCCAGGTCGGCTGGCTCTACCCGGCGCGGGACATCCACCGGAGATTTGAAAGAAGCCCGCGCGAGCGGGAGGGCAAGCCGCTCGCGTGGTGGCGCCTCGTCGGGCCCGAGACGCGCTGCCCGCTGCGCTGGCGGCGGGACCTGAAAACGGTGAGTGTCTACGCGCTGTCCTCGCTGACTTTTGGGCTGTGCGGCCTCGCCGCATTTTATACCTTCGGCGCGCCGCGCTTTGACATGTTGTTGTTGTGCGCCGTGGCAGTGACGAGCTGGCAGGCCGACGTGACGTACCTGGGCATCGATCATGGGTGGAGGACGCTCGACACGGTGCTTGCCGTCATGTTGGTAATGCGGTACGTGGCCCTTGCGTTAAGGCGCCTCGCCCTCGCGTCCTGGGCGCACGGCGCCGCGTTCCCGCCCTTCGTCCTCTCGCTCCTGTGCTTCCTGCGGTCGCAGCGATCGAATAATTTCAAGACGCGCGCGCGGCTCCAGGCGTGCTGGCACTTCGCGCTCCAGGCGAGCCTGTTGTTGTTGCTGCGGGCCGAGGAGTCGTTTGTCACTTAAGCCAGTTGTTTGTTATGCCCGGAAGTTCTTCGGCCGCGGCGGCAGCTTCTCGAGGGGCTGTCCTTCGCCCCTCAAAAGCCGCTCGAGGTTCTCCTTCGCGATCTGGACGCGCTTCGTCTGGATGGCCTCGCGCATGCGGTCGGCCGTCGTGGGCTTGCCCTTGAGGCGCGGCTCGGCGGCGGCGGGCTTTTTGAAGGGCCGGCGGCGCGCGATCGGCTTCGGCTTCGGCGCCGCTTGTTTTGTGGGCGACCGCGCCGCGCCGACGATCGTGCCCCGCGGGATGCGCGCGGGCGCCGGCGCCGCGACCGGTTTTGCTGGCGCCTTTGCCGGCGCCTTCGCGGCGCGCCCGGGCGGGACCGGCGGCGGCCGGCGCGGCCGCGGGGGCGCCGCCTCCGTCGCCGCGGGCGCGGCGTCGCCGTCGTCCAGGATGCCGCCGCGTGGCGCGCGCCGCGGCGCCGGCGCCGCGTCGGCCGCGCCGTCGTCCAGTACCGGCGCCGGCGCCGTCGTCGGATGAGCGCCGCCGTCGTCAGTGCCGCGCGCGGGATCGGCGTCGCCGCCGTCGTCCAGCACGCCACCGCGCCGCCGGGGCGACACCGCGCGCGCGGCCGGGCCCTCGTCGTCGCTTTCGCTGTCGCTGGCCGCCGGCGGCGGCGCCCGGGCCTCCATCAATGGCACCACATCGTCATCGTCGCCGTCGCAGAGGAGGCCGCGCCGCGCGGCCGGCGCCGCGGGCAGGCCCGGCGCGGGCGCGGGCGCCGCCGCGAACGCCGGATCGTTGTCGAACGCCGGCACGTAGTTCGCGTGGAAGTCGACCTGCTCCCTGATCAGCGTCTGGTACTGCGCCGCCGACTCGTCGACGGTCGTCTGCGCCTCCTCGGCGGTGGCGCGCACGGCCGCGAGGCGGGCAGCCAGGCTGTGCTCCTTACTTTCGTCGTTTTCGTCGGGGGTGGCACCCTCGACGCGGAAGAGCGACATGGGGGGTCGTGGAGGGCGGCCCTACAGCCCTTCGGCGACGGCGTAATGGCGCTTCGTAGCGCTTTTACGTCGCGCCGGCAAACGGGCTGCCCACGAACGAGGACGGAAGGGAGGCCTGCAAAAGATCCCTGGCTGGGCAGCTAGTGATCCCACGGAGCCCTATGGAGCGGGGGTAGAAATCGGCGCTAGAGTCTTTGTCACTAGCATTAGGCTTAAAGCTTTTGTACTTCCCCCATGTTTTGTGCTTTTCGCATCCCCGAGTCGACAGCTTTGTCACTCAACCAAGCGTAACTCGCTCCGCGCACGCCGCTGCGATCACCTAAGCCAGCACCCTAACACAATGGCCCTACGCGCAGCGCTCTGCTGCGTGCTCGCCCTAAAAGCAACAGCCGAAGGCCCGGCCGGCGTCGCAGATGACATCTTTGCGGCCGTCCGCCGCGACGACGCCGCGGCGATCGAACGCCTCTACAATGCGGACAAATCAATACTAGACAAGACCGGGCCGGGCGGCCAGTCGCCGACGATGCACGGCGTGCTGCAGGGCAAGGCGAAGGCGGTCGCGACGCTCATCAAGCTCGGCGCGGACCTGACGGTGCCCGAGAAGGACGGCTACACTCCCATGCACGGCGCGGGCTTTCAGGGACGAGCGAAGGTCGCGAAACTCCTGGCGGCGGCGGGCGTCGACGTCAACGACGTCCACACCGACGGCTACGCGCCGATCCACCGCGCGTGCTGGGGCACGCAGCAGCGGCACGCCGAGACGGTCGAGGCGATGCTCGCGCTCGGGGCAACACTCGCCGACAAGGCGGCCTGCCGCGCGGCGGCCGACGGCTCGAACGCGTGGACCGCCGGAGTGGTAACGGCGCACTTCGCCCAGGCGGACCTGTGATGTGTGTAAGTAACTAGTACCTTCAATAACACTTTAGGATGCCTGATTGCAGGTCCGGTGCTCGCGACCGGACGTGCGGCCGATGCGGGCGCATCGGCCGGATAAAAAAGTAGGCGCCGTCTGCTGGCGACCTAGCGCCGCGGCTGCACGCCGCGCGCCATGAGCTCGACGACGTCGATCTCGCGCGCGTCGAGCGCCGTCGGCTGCGACCGCGCGCGCGCGTCGTCGTCGTCCTCGCTCGACGACGCCTCGATCGTGTCGGCCGCGAGCGGCCGCCGCCGCCGCCGCTGCGCCGGCGGCGGCCCCGGCGCCGGCGCCGGCGCCGGCCGCCGCCGCGGGCCCGAGTCGGGCCGCGCGCGCTGCCAGCGCTGCCGCGGCGCCGCGGGCGCCTTGGCCGGCACGAAGACGTCGGTCTCGCGCCCGACGAACCACGTCTTGCAGGCGTCGCGGTAGGCGTCGCGCGTCGTGTGGCTCTTCTTCGAGACGCCCATGGCCTTGGCGTATTCGCAGGCCTCGTTCCAGTCGAGCGCGTCGACGTCCTGCAGCGTCAGGGGCACGCGGCGCAGCACGCGGTCGCGCGCCTTGTCGCGCGACGGCCGGTGCCGCTTCTTTTTCGGGCGCTGCGGCTCGGCGGGCTGCTGCGGCGGCGGGCCGCCGGGCTGGTAGGGGCCCTGGAGGACGGTGCCGGGCTGCTGCGGCGGCGGCGCCGTCTGCCGGAAGAGCTCGGAGGACGACACGCCGCGCGCGGCGCCGGCGGCCTGGAGCCGCAGCACCGTCTCGTGGCAGGCCGCGACGTCGCCCGAGTGCGCCTGGAGGAGGCCCCGCAGCTCGACGTCCGTGAAGCCGGCGTAGATGTCGCCGCGCTCGCGCATGAGGCCCAGCAGGATGCCCTGGACGCGCGGGTTCGGCGCGGGCGGCACCGGCGGCGTCGGCGGCCAGAGGTTCGGCGGCGGCGCCGCCGCGGGGGCGCCGGCCGGCGGCGCCGGCTGCCACGCGCTCTGCGTCGGCGGCGCCGCGGGGGCGCCGGCCGGCGGCGCCGGCGGCCCGCTCGCCGCCGGCGACTGCCACGCGCTCTGCGGCGGCGCCGCGGGGGCACCGGCTGTCGGTGCCGGCTGCCACGCGCTTTGCGGCGGCGCCGCGGGCGCGCCGGCCGGCGGCGCCGGCGGCCCACCGGGCGGCCACACGTCCGGCGGCGGTGCCGCGGGGGCGCTGGCCGTCGGCGACGTCGGCCCGCCCAGCGCCGCCATCATTGAATGGGCGCGGGCGACAAACAAAGCTTGGATTGACCCCTCAGCCGAAATATCGGTTTTTAGTGGCCGCAGCAGGTCCAGCGCTGCGACTTTCGTTCCGTCGCGAGTAAGGGTGTTGCGGCACGCCTTCCGGCGGCAACCTCGCGGCCAAGCGGCCGCTGCGCGCAACAAGCTTTGCAAAGCAGTCGGGAAGATAAGCAAGTGAGGTCCATGGGCATGGCGCCTGGGCTCGGCGGCGGGACGGCTCCTTCTTCCTTCAGCCGGGGACCCCTCCCCGTGACGGCTCGGCCCCGAAAAACGCGGCGGCGAGAAACCCACTAGCTGCCCAGCGGACATGGGGGAGCGCGAGTGGCTATTAGCCCGTGCCTGAGCAGCCCCAGCGGCGTTATGGCTTCGCCGGCATACACGTAAAACCGCTTTGAAACCATGAGGCCCTGGCTCCTCCTCGTGATAGGCGCCGAGGCCCAGATCCAGACCCTCCTAAGCCAGCCCTGCCCGAACCTGTGTTCAGGACACGGCTGGTGCGATTCCGGGGATCGAAGGTGTCGGTGCTACGCGGGCTACCAAGGTCCCGATTGTTCGGAACGGCTGTGTCCCGTCGGGCCGGCCTGGGCCGATCACCCGGACTCGCTCACCGTGTCGGATGTAGCTCACTTGGAGGTGGAATGCTCGAACCGAGGCCATTGTGAAAGGGCCCAGGGCGCCTGTGTGTGTGTCGACGGGTTCACGGGCGCGGCCTGCGAACGAAAAGCGTGTCCCAACGACTGCAACGGACAGGGGAAATGTACCTCTCTGAAAGATTTTGCGACCTCGCAAGATTTGGGAGTGGGTCTCACGTCCTACACCTTCGAGAAGGGCGGCTCCAGACCGCAAAAACCGCTCACCCAGGACCTCTGGGACCACGAGCAGATGTATGGCTGCGTGTGTGACGAAGGCTATTATGGCTACGACTGCCTGAAACGGAGCTGTCCCGTCGGCGACGATCCCTTGCCTTCCTCTTCCTCGTCCTACAGTGTGCAGCGGATGACTTGTATGGCGGACGGTGGTTCATTCTATCTCACCTTCAGAGGCCATACTACTGAGGCCTTATCCTTCGGCGCGACGCCGGCTCAATTGCAAGCGGCTTTGAATAATCTACCTTCAATAACCACGCCGCCGTCGCAAGACTGGTCCCAGGGCGTGTTGGTTGAGACCTCATCAAGAGTGCTATGCGACAAGGACGGCGTCTACGTGGACCTGAAATTCTTACAAGACTACGGGGAACTGCCTCTAGTGCTCGCGAACGTCGACCAGCTATCCTTGACGACGGGCACGCCGTCCATAAAAATGGAGAAGACCGTGACGGGTGCCAAAGAATCTCTGGAGTGTTCGGGTCGAGGTATTTGCGACGGCGAACTGGGGACGTGCATCTGCGACCTGAGCTGCGCGGAGGGCTGCTTCTCGACGTCGGACGGTCATGGGAATCCGGGCGGCCGAGGCGACTGTGGGTATAGAGATGGCACGGTCACGGGCGAGACGATCATGCCGGCCTGCCCGGGCGAGGTCCCCTGCAACGACCGAGGTATCTGCGACGAGGACACGTGGGACTGCCAATGCATCGATGGCTTTACGGGCGCGGATTGTACGTTGATGACCTGTCCTAAAGGTAGGAGTTGGTTCTCGGCGCCAGTGAACGAGATCGACGACGTCCACCTCCAGATGACGGAGTGCAGCGACATGGGCTACTGCAACCGGGACTACGGCGAGTGCGAGTGCGCGCCGGGCTTCGAGGGCGCGGCCTGCCAGTACATGAAGTGCCCCGGGGCCGACATCGAGGGTCCGTGCTTCAACCAGGGCGAGTGTTTATCTCTCTCATTCTTGGCGGAGGCGTCGCTGGATAATGGGGTCGCTACCAAAAGAACCTACGGCAAGACGCCGAATGATAAATATCGGTGGGACTACGACTCCATCCGAGGGTGCAAATGTAATAGGGATCGATTCGGCTGGGACTGTAGCCAGAAGTTGTGTCCCTTTGGGGACGATCCATTGTCTACATCCCAGTACAACGAGCTCCAGAACCTGAACTGCGATTTGGATGATGATACCCAAGCTACCGTGAGGTTTACCTTCCGAGAGGAAGTGACCGACGCGTTGGACCCGACGACCATGACCCTCAAGGACCTGGAGGAAGCCCTGGAAGCGTTGGAGACCATCGACGACGTCCGCCTCAAGTCCAGTATAGTGGGCGGCGACGACGATTCGCAGTTCGTCTGCTCCAATAGTGGAACTGATATATTGGTCGAGTTCCTGCGGCCGACGGGCGACGTGCCCTTACTGCAAGTGTCCGACGGCGGCACCTTCACGGTCTCGGACTACCGCCAGGGCACCAAAGAATGGGAGGAATGTTCCGGAAGGGGCCTCTGCGACCGCATGAGCGGCCTCTGCACGTGTTTTGCCGGCTACGGCGCGTCCGACGGCCAGGGCGGCGCGGGGCCCCACGAGGACTGCGGCCACCCGATTCCTCTTGTTAGAGAGATGGCGCAGCTCGTGGGGAACACGGAGTAGTAAGCTTCGGTTTTTGTGAGTCGTAGTCGATGTTACGGTGCTAGGACTAGTGGGCGGAGCCCCTGGGGGGGAGACACCGCGCGTCGCCGATTCATCGGCGGCGGGCGCGGGCCGCTTCTTTCATAACAGAGTACCTCCTTCTAAGCAGAACCGCCTTTTGTGAGTCGTTGCGGATTTTGCTAGGCATCCCTAGTGCCTTACAGGCCGCTAGCCCACTTGCGTTGCAACGCTGCGGGTCCGGCCAAGGTTACGCGCTGTCCCGTTGGCGCATCGTTCGGTGGGCTACTGACGCATAACACACCTCTGAGACGCCCTCGAGCAGCGCTGCTCGCAAGCAACACCCGTAGCGGCGGCGTGTCACGCCCTGCAACGAGGATTTGCTGCGCACAGTTCGTGAACGTATGCGGCATATACTGTGCCTCGCCACCGGCGCGTCGGCGCTCCTCGCCGTCCCGCGCCCGCTCCACACAAGACGACGAACGACGACGACGCGAGCCACCGCTATAACGGATGAGGACCCGCCGCCGCGCAGCGTGGCGGGCACGGCCGCGCTGATCACGGGCGGCGCCGTGGGCGGCGGCTTCCTCGCCGTGCCGCGAGCGACGCGCGGCCTCGGGCTCGGCCCGACGGCCTTCGCTCTCGTTTCAGCCTGGGCCTGGCTCGGGTTGTGTGGTGTCGCGCTCGCCGAGGGCGCCGTGCGCAGCACGGAGGCGGCGCACGATAGGGACGATTATGTGGATGACGAGGGGCTGTCGGTCTACGGCGTCGCGCTCGAAGCGACGCGGCATCGTAGAAGAAAAAGGGTCATCCTGCCGTTATCGGTCATGTGCTTTTGTCTGGCGACCTTTTCCTCGTTAGGAGCGCAGTTCGCGAAAAGCCGGGAATTGCTTGGCTCCGTCGGTGCTCTTCTGAACGGCGTGCCGGCGGTCACGGGCATCGCGTTGACTGCCTATGCGGCGGCCTTCGCTTTTGGCGATCGCATAGCACATAGGATCGCCTACGCGTGTACCGGCACCATGGCGGCCTCGTTTCTGTTTCTGGTGGGCCGCGTCGCGGCTTTACCGAAAGTCGCAGCGACAGCACCGACGTCCTGGCGGGCCTTATTACCCTCGCCCGGGACGCCCTGGGCCGCGGCCGTCGTCGTCCAGATCCTATGTTTTGGTGATGTGGTGGGGGTGGCCGCGGCGCGGCACGAGGCCACGCCACGGAGGGTGCCGCGCGCGTTGATCCTGGGCACGGTCGTACCGCTCGCGATGGCCCTCGCGCTGGCGTTGGCCTCCTCGAACCTGCCGGGCGCCGACCCCCTTTCACCTCTCTTGAAAAGAGGCGGTATGGACGCGTTTACTCTGCGACTGTTCGCGGCGTCGGCGGTCGCCACGACCGTGATTGGGTTGTTGCTCGCCGCGTCTCAACTTCTCTCAGATGTGGTCTGCGGCTTCGTGGGCTGGTGCTCGGAGCGGGACCGGCGGATCGTGCGCGCCCTCGCGACCGCGCTGCCGGCTGTCGGCAGTTTGGGCGGCGACGACGCGTTCTACGAGCTGTTGGCCTTCGCGGGCGCCGTGCCCGTGCCTCTCTTATATTGTGTGCTGCCGCCCTTTCTGCTATCTTCGTTGCGACGGCGGAAGGTCGGCCGGACGACATTGCTCCCGGGCGACGCCGTGATCCTCAACGCGCTCAAATTGGCGGGCGTCGCATTCGTGGGGACGAACGTGCTAGTCCGATAAAATTAGTCTGAGGAGTACACGGTGATCGCGCGCTCCACGATTCGCTCCGACCCATCCAGTGTGAAGGTCAGCCGCGCGACGGCCCCCAGCCCCCGCGCGTCGAAGCGAATCAAGTCGCCCGGCTCCGCGCCCTCCGGGATGCGCACGCCCACGATAATCGTCTCCGGCTCGCCCGGCGGCGTCGCGTCTCCCCTACTACATCCGCAGAACGATTTTTTTTTCGGTTGGGTCTGATAGACCATGTCCCTCCTAATAGAATCGCGCCACTTGTGCAGGGGCGGGTCGCTCGTCTCCATGGCCGGCCGCGGGCTGCCCGCCTCGCTGCCCGGAGACATGGGCGTGCGGGGGCTGCTGTCGCCGTCGGTCTGTTGCGCCTTTCGCTTCAGAAACTTCGTGGACATGCGCTTGAGGAGCGAGCCGCGCCGCCTTACCCTCTCGCCCTCGAGGACGTGGTTGTAGCGCGGGGAACTACTCATCCTGGCTATCGATTCTTGGCAGGTGCTGCGGGCAGCCACTGGCGACGCTGTCGACGGCAGAAATTGAGCGCTTCGATGGCACGGCGCCGGCAATTGCACGAAACGCGCCTCCTAGTGTCTTACCGCCGCTAGCTCTCGGTCCGAGTGCGAGCCACAAGCAGTGACGTCTATGCCGTGCAGGGGCCTAAGGCGTCGACGGTAGAGCCATAGCATTCGCACCGTAGCTGCCGGGCAGCACTTACTGCTGCCGAGGCGCTAGGGCAGCACTGCTCATGGTGCGGGGCGGCCTGCTCCTCGTCGCGCTCCTATCAACCGCCCGCGGGAAGCGCCGACGGAAACTCGGCGACCACCCGACACCGGATGAAAAAGACCCCGGCCTCCTGAAACGTTTGAGATCCGGCGAAGGCAAGCCGACGACCGAATGCGAGGCCTGCGTCCATCTGGCGGCGGAGGCGGCGGCCTACGCGCGCGTCTGCGTGCGGGCCCGTTTAGCAGGTGACGAGCCGCCGAACGCCACAACGTTCGCCCAGCGGCTCGAGGAGGAGGTCTGCGAGACGAAAAAGTGGCCCTGGTGCGAAAGATGGCGCGCGCGGAATGGGTTTAGGAGCTTTGGCGCGGAGATGGTCGAGCTGGCGGAAGATGCGGAGGACGACCGGGACTCGGCCCTGTCCCGGTCGTCGGTGCAGAAGCTGTGCGTTTATGATGGCCCCCTCCAGGCGTGCCCGAAAAAGCACAAATTCGTGGACCGCAACGACCCCGCGGCCGCGGACGTCGCGTTTTTAAATAGAACGGGCAAGAAAGTCGAGGTATACTGGATTCACGATGAAAAAAGGATCCACCGGGGCACGATGAAGCCGCACGGGCGGCTCGACGAGGACTCCTTCGCGGGCCACGTCTACGAGGTGGATGTCCAGACCAAAACAATAGGCACCATCACCTTGACGGCGGGCGTCGCCGCCTACTCGGTCGACGGCTACGGCAACGGCATCTACGCATTGAACGAGGTCGACACGCGACAGAGGGGTAAGGAGTTCTAGAGAAATATTACTCGCGTTTTTTCTTGAGCTTCTCCTTCTCCTTCTGTTTGGCTTTTTTAGCCTTCTGTTTCTCCCGGTCTTTCGCTTTCTTCTTCTCGGAGCCCTTCTTCTTATCCTTCTTCTTCCGCTTCTTCTTGTCGTCGTCCATCATCTTGCGCCAGTCGACGCCTCCCTTGTTCATCTCCTTCTGGGCGCCCTTGAACTTGCGGCGCATCCTCTTAATAGCGTACCGTTCCATGGCCGCTTTTCTTTTGCGTCGTTGGTACTCCTTGTAGGCCACTAGTACACACGTCAGAAACGACAGGACCGAATATCCAATATAATCCCAGGGCAGCCGCGTGTTGTACTTCCACTTGTACATGTTCCGGAAACGTAAACCGTCGAAGACCACGTCCACATTACCCGCCGCATCGACAGCCCTAACATAAAAAATGTAGAACCCGCTCCCGGGGCCGTTCTCGTAGTACTTATCGAGCCAGTTGACCTGCGCTTTGCCTAGTGATCTATCCCATGTTCTCACAACTTGATTTTCATCAGCATCATACACTAGGTATTCAAACATAACCGCTTCGTCCGCCGCCTTGGCGTGGAACTGGTACTGCGGCACGTCGAACATCGTCGTTATGGTACTGAGGTCGGCCTTCGCCGGGACGCGGTCCCCGAGCTCGGCGCGTGGTAAATTATCATCCCTGTACCACATGTCCTGCGCCGTTTTTAGGGAGGTCTTATTCTCCAGACCACCTAAGACGTAAACCTTGCCGTCGAAGAACACGCCCGTATGGTACGCCCGCGGCCCCGGGTTCTGCTTGCAGATCAGCTCGCGCACGAGCGGTTCCGGGTCCTTGACGTCGTCGGGCGGCGGCACGCCGCCGATGCCCGGCACGTCGACCGTTCCCCCACCGAGTATGGTTTTGCAGCCGTCCCAGCCCGCGATGATTTCCTCCGCCGGGACGGCCGGCCGCGGGTTCTGGCACGGGTACTGGTCCCGGCCGCAGTGCCACCTTGCCTTAAAAGGACTGCCGACGGCCCAGGTCTTCAATTTGTCCTCTTCCTTCAGGCTGCCCGAGGCCTCGCCGTCCAAAACTGCATCCTTGCCGAACGCGCGTTCGTCGTCGTCCTCGAAGCCGCGCGGCTTCGCGCCGAGCGGCGGGCTCCCGGGCGCGAACTCGACCTCGACGTTCCAGGGCGCGAAGGTCTCGAGGTCGAAGTGGGTCAGCGGGTGCTGGTGCGGCGTGACGTGGCACTTCTCGAGCAAGGCCTCCGCGAACGCCTTGTGGTCGCAGACGTCCTCGTAGACGTCGTCGACGAGCGGCGTCGCGCCGGGGTTGCGGTAGCCCCGCAGCTCCACGATCTGTTCCCGCGTCGCTTCCGCCAAATCCCGGATCGTATGGATGCCGAGCGTATGTAACATACCTAATCTATCTTGCGTGCCGTCCGTGCCGTCCGTGATGAGTTGCTTCCGCCGCGGCACGATGCCGTAGTGGTTCTGGCACTGCTGGTACACGCTCGGGTAGCCCTGGTCGCCCGCATGGGACGGCTCCGTCTCCGCGGTCGGCAGGTACACCTTCACCAACTTCTCGACCGGCGAGTCGCCGTCGACGTAGTGCTGCTGCGGCGCCCCCGCATCGTAAAACCACGCGCCGATGGGGTCGAAGTCGCACTGCGAGTAGTACTCGCCGGGCGTGCCCGTGACGGCGCCCTCGACGTCCTCGACGAACGTCGACTCGGGCATGAACGCCCCGCCCGGCACCTTCGCCCGGAACAGCGCGTCCGGGTCGTAGTCCCGCCGCCACCGCGGCTTCGCGCGGCAGCTCGCCATGGCCGGGCAGTCCTCCTCCTCGACGCAGGCCACGTAGTGCTGCTCGTCGTCCTCCGTCCAGGTGATGTCGACGCACTCCTCGTTGTCGCCGCCCGCGCAGTCGCTGTCCACCCTGCACAGCTGCGCGCTGTTCGCGACCGTCAGCGCGTCCGTCTTCTTGCACTTGCGCGTGAAGCAGTACTTGTTGTCCTGGTCCAGGCCGTCCTGGAGCTCGGTCTTGACGAGGTTAATGTCGTTGTTCGGGTCGCCCGCCTCGCACTTGCCTTCGAGGCATATCTTCGACGTGCAGAAGCCGCGCCAGACGCCCCGACTCGGTTCGTTCACCGTGTCCGTGGCCGCGGCGGTCGGCACCTTCGTCCGGCTGCCCGCCTGCTGCCCGTCGTGCGTGCACTCCCAGCCCGTCGACCAGACGTCTCCCAGTAACGAGCCATCCTGACCTTCGCCCCCGATGACATAGACTCGTTGCGTGAATAAATTGCTTTCCGAGGGCAGGTCGACCACCGTGGCGTGGCCCGATCGCGCCGGGAACCCGCACCCGTCGGGGCACGCGTTCAGCCACTCCCACGTACCGGCCCCGACGTCCACGCACTCGTCGAGACCATCCGGGGGAATCGTCCCAACCGGGCAAGGGTGCATGGGAACCTCGGCGTACCACGCGTCGTCGAGCACGGCGTCCCGCGACTTGTCGTCGGCCGAGCCCGTCCGCCCGCCGATCACCCACAGCGCGAAGATGCCCTTGGCCTGCACACCCAAACCGTCTTTCGGGAGCATCTCGAGCACGGATAACGAATGCCCGCCTCTCCCGGCGAAGCCTGCGCCAATGGTATTCTCTTCCCACGTGTTCTTTTGACCGTCGTCGCCCTCGGACAGCCACGTGTTCAGGTCCCAGTACCAGACGTCGCTCAGGTACTCGCGGTAGCCGCCCGCGTCGACGTCGCCGCACGCGTCGCCCTCGCAGTAGCTCCGGTGCACCGTCACGAACCCGCCCACCAAAAACATGATGCCGCGGTGGATCGCCACGCGGTGCTGCTCGCGCGGCGACCAGATCTTGCAGGTGCAGATACCCGTCGACTCGTCTCGGCTCTTGTCTACGCCCGTGCACTCCTCGGACGGGCTGTAGCAGTCCGTGTCAACCTTGCACACGTTGCTCTTGTCGCTCACGTAGGTTTTGCCGTCGCCGCCCGTCAACAACAACCCCGGCAGGGCCTTGTTGTTCTGGCAGCCCGGTTCGATGAGCCTCCAGTTCGCGCCACCGTCCCCGGATAGCCAGACGTCGTTCTTGAGCACGGCCGGCTCGCGCCACGTCGAGTGCCCGGCCCGGCCCCGCATCTGCATCTGTTTGGGGGACGTGAGCCCCACGGTCCGGTCGTTCGCGAGGCGCTTGTGCTCCCGCGCCCGGCCCCCGATCAGAAAAAGGTTGCCCTTGTGCTCGGCGAGCTGGTGGAACCGTCGCGGCGAGAACCAGCCCCGGTACATCCCGTCGATCTCCACCTCGCCTTTCTTGCCAAACCACGTTTGACGGGGCATCCGCGTGAACCACTTCCTCGACTGACAGTCGATGCCCGCGGTCACGTGTGACGGGTACTTGTCCGACGTCTTGCCCTCGCTCCACTGCTGGAGCGGCAGCTGGCACTGGATGAATTCCTCGTACGTCTCGCCCGAGTCAGGGACGCGGCCCGGCGCGCGCTGCTCCCACCGGAGCAAGGACCAGAGCTTCGGCATCTTGTGGTCGTAGCGCGTCCGGTCGATCATGTCGTACATGCCCAGCCACGTCCGGGGCTTGGCCCGTAATCGCCACACGTCGTTCCGGAACCCGTGCGACGGGTTGCCCGCGTCGTGCTGCTTCCTCCGGTTCGCCTTCGTGAAGGTCGCGCTAAAGTCGTCGCCGCCCACGAGGTACAGGTGGTACCTGTTGTCGTGGATCACCTTGCAGCACCGATCTCTCGAGCAGACCGGGTCCGACCCCTGGACGGCGATGTCGACGCACTCCTCGCTGTCGCCGCCCGCGCAGTCGCCGTCCACCCTGCACAGCTGCGCGCTGTCCGCGACGGTCTCCGAGCCCGTCTTCTTGCACTTGCGCTCGTACATGCAGACGGTCTCGGCGGCGCAGGCGCGCGTCGCCATGCACGCTTCGTTCGAAACGGCCGTGGCGTGGCCCAACCGGCCGCTCCAGTGGCTCCGATTCTTCGACGGCGTCGCCATGTAGGGCACGGCCAGGTTCTGGCGCAGCGCGCCCGTCGTCTGCGCCCAGTTCGCGGCGTCTACGCTAGGGATTAGTAAGAGGAGCCATCGTCGTCGTCTCGTTTTTCTGTGGGCCGCGGTGGCCATCCTTTGCTCCCCTGCTCGGCCCTGGGAGGGGCAGCACTCAGGCCCGACGCCAGCCGTGTCGGTCGCCGGTCGACGCGCGCGTGATGGCCCGTAGAGGTCTCTGCTGCGCGTGCGGGCTGCCCGGGTGCGCTGGGGCACCGTCCGAGGCTGAAAAGCGCTGGATCAGCGGACTACTTGCTACCCTAGCCCTGACATACTAGGATGGTGGGAAAGCCCGGCCTGCCACTGGACGGGGTGTCTTAGGCCGCTCCGCGCGGGTCCAGCGGCAACGGCACGCCGTGGCGACGCCCCTCCTGCACCAAACGCGGTGCCAACGCGAGAGATAAACTTGCGCGCCCTTAGCCCTAGGACGACCCCAGCGCGTCCATGTCGACGTCGTTGCTCCGCTTCGGGTCGTTCTTGAGGCGCACCAGCAGGCGGCGCATGATGGACGTGTCCTCATTATCAACGTCGGCTTGCGCGCCGCCGATCAACTCGACGACCTTCTCGAAGGGGTTAGCCGGGACCGGTCTCTCCAACATCGCTTTGAGCTCATCGTCGTGGTCCCGGTTCGACGCTTGTTTTTGCGCTTTTTTGTCCGTGTTCTGGTCGTAGAACGTGTCCAGGTCTCGTTCCGCTTTATCTTTGCGCTCCTTGGTCAAAGCTTCCTCCTTCGCGGCGCGCTCCGCGACCTTCGCCTCGAAGGCTCGTTGTGCCTCAGCTTGGGGGCTGGCGTCGGCCGCGAGGAAGGGGTCGGCCGGGGGTTCGGGCGGGTCGACGGCGCCGAAGGGGTCGTCCTGCTGTACCGGCGCAGCGGCCAGAGGGTCGGCGCCGAAGGCGTCCTCTTGCGCCGGGGGCGCGGCCTCGTCCGCCGCGGCGAAGGGGTCGGCGGCGACGGGGGGGGGGTCGTCCGCGGCCGCGAAGGGGTCGGCCATGGAAGAGGTCAGGCCAGTTGCGTCGCAGCAAGTAGTGCGGCTGGTCGCGCAGCACCAGTCTCTAGCGAGCCTGAGGCGTGACGATGTAATGCGTGCTCACGCGGTTCGACCGAGGCTTTTCGCGCTAGTGCCTTACCTTACGCTATGCATGTGGGCTCCGAGTTGTGAAACTGCTGCTGTGCAGCTCTCCGGGACTCTGAGTGGTGAATTGAGAGCGTCTCTGCTGCTGTGCAGCTCTCCGGGACCCTGAGTGGTGAATTGAGAGCGTCTCTGCTGCTGTGCAGCTCTCCGGGACCCTGAGTGGTGAATTAGAGCGTCTCTGCCGCTGTGCATTGCTACGCAGCGATGCGTGCCCCACTTGTGCTGCTCGCGCTCCTCGCCGGCGGCAGCCGGGCGCTCGCACCGCGCCCGGTCGCGCTCGGCCTCGTCAAGTACGCGCACAACGCCTGCTGCTGCGTCGTCGACGCGACGACGGGACGCCTGCTCTTCGCCGGCGAGAAGGAGCGACTCACGCGCGTGAAAAATGACGGCGGCTGCGTCGGCGATTTGGTGCGGCACGCGCTCCAGGCGTGTCAACGGACGCCGGAGGACGTCGTGAGTGTCGTGGCGAACGACCACCACCGGCCCGTACAAGAGACGGAGGCCGCGGCGATCCGCGCGTCTAGGTTAGGCATTTCGTCGCTGATGGATCCGGTGGACGTCCGCGACCCGTGCAACTTCTGGGACATGCAGCGGGAGATGTCGCATCATCGAGCGCACGCGCTCGGCGCCGTCGCGACGTTCGGGACTGCAGAATGCGGTTTAGTTCTGTGCATGGACGGGATGGGCGACCGTGCCAAACGCTTCCGCGGGTCTGATGCGGCTCATATTCGCGATTCCATGACGGAGTGCGTCCACGTCCTCAATAGTGGGCAAGTGGCGTGGAAGGACGTTCCAGATTCCGCGAGGGAGTGCGAGACAATCTACCGGGAGGACCACGGTTCCCTAACACCCATCTTCAAGCGCTGGTGTCACACACAACCAGAAAACGACCTGCTCAACGCCTACGGGGACTGGTTCGCGTCACCCCTAGATTCGTTGGGGGCCGGCTACTCGCACGCGTCCCACTTGATATTTGGGGACTGGAACGCCTGCGGCAAGGTCATGGGCCTCGCGCCCTGGGGTGCTGCTTCCAGCCATTACGACGCGGGCTGGGGGTCGGCGACCAGAAACTCCTGGGCGGCGCGCGTCGCGGAGGCTTCGCTAGAAGACCGCCCGCGGATTTATGACGGTGCCGTCTGGCCTTGTTCAGGTGAGGAGGGGTTGAGGGTGGACCGGGAGGCCCTCGTCGCCATTCTGGACGCCTCATCAAAGAAACTCGACCCGTCGATCGCCTTTCCCGTCAAAAATCTTTGGAAGACAGGAGACGACGTCCACAGGGCCTGCGGCGCGGTGTTAGCCCATGCGATCCAGCAAGATTTGGAAGACGTGGCGCTGGACTTCGTAAAGAAGGCTAGAAATGAAGTCCCCGACGGACGTCGTATCATACTCTGCGGCGGCGTGGCCCTGAACTCGGTGCTCAACGGGAAGATAGAGGGCATGTTTCCCGACGTGGACGTGCTGGTGCCGCCGGCGCCGGGCGACGAGGGCTGCGCGCTCGGCTGTGCGGTGGCTGCACTAGATTCGATTCCGGACTTCTCTCGCGTCTTACCGAGGGCCGGCGCGGCGCCGGACGCGCCGGACGAGGCCCTATCTCATTTTGGCGAGTGGCTCGACATGGAACGGATCGATGATAACAAACTGATTGATGAATGCTCGGAGATGATCGCCAAGGAAAATACAATAGTGTTCTGGTTCGAAGGCAGATCAGAGTTCGGGCCGCGGGCGCTCGGCCACCGGTCGATCATCGCGCCGGCGACGAGATGTGATACGGTGGATTTTATCAATGATGTTGTGAAAGGTCGGGAAGATTTTCGGCCCCTGGCGCCGGCGGTCTTGGCGGAGGAGGCTCATGAATGGTTCGAGGGTGGCTGCCGAGCGTCGCCGTTCATGTCCCGGGTCTGGGTGTTGAAAGAGGAGGCGGCTCGGCGAGTGCCCGCTTGCGCGCATGTGGATCGCACCGCGCGGCCGCAGACAGTTGGTGAGAACGAGGTAGATATCGCCCGGTACCGTCGACTCATCCAGGGCGTGTTTCGTTTAATAGGTGTGCCCATCGTCCTGAACACGTCGTTCAACACGAAGCCAGGCGAGCCGATCGTGGAAACGACAAGGGGGGCGATAGCGTCTTTTCTAGCTGCGGCGGCGCGCGGCGCGGGAGCTTGGGATCTGGTTTTGTGTTTTCCCGGGATTCTGGTGCGAAGCCGCCCGTGCCCTATCGACGACGAGGGCCGCTTCGAGGACGCGGCGCGGTCCCTTCCTGTCAAACGCCACGATGATTGGGAGGTGCGCGAGATATGGAATGATGATGGCGCGTCGCAGACGCTGTACGTGAGGGACCTCGACGAGGCCCTCGAGGACGCGGACCGGACGGGCCGCGGGAGTCATGTCTTTCTGGACGAGCTCGAATGTAGGATTTATGGATTGTGCGACGGCGGTTTGAGCGCCGAGGAGATCGCTTCATCTATCCTTGATGAATTAGATGAAGACGAATCAGACGAGGTTACAAGAGAGGACGTCTATCTGCGACTCGCGCGGCTCTGGCGGAGGACGCTGATTCGACTCATGTTGTAGTCTGCGGCGATGGCGATGAGGAGACACGTTGGACGCCATCGGCGCGACATCTGTGCGCTGGCGTGGCTGCGGCGATGGCGTGCGTCGAACCCTTCACGCCGTCGCCGCGACGTCTCGGACTAATAATGTTGTGACACAATACTCAGAGTTAGAAGCACCCCCCGACGCCGAAGCAGCCTCCTTGCCCCGACAAATCTTCGTCGTCGTCCGCCGCGACCCGCTTCCCCTCCAATATCAATTTCACCCGAGCAGCATCGGGCGTCTTGGAGAAGTTCGGAATAGAAGCCGATATTGCAGCAACGCACGGCTTCGACCGCGCGACGGCCGCATAAAATATAGCTTTCTGGTTGTGGTGGTCGACGACGTCCGCAGGAACACCACTGGCAACTAACATCTGGGCGCACAGCGTAGCTTTGTTCTTCGCCGCGTGGTGCAAGGCGGTCCTCCCATCATTGTCCGTGGCCGTGGCGTCGCATCGCGCTCTCAAAAGTAATTCAACGCAAGCTGCCGCATTGTAAGCCGCGGCCTTCATGAGCGGCGTGTGCCCGTCGGGGTCCGTCCTCAAGTTCTTGTCCGCCTTATGTTGGAGGAGTATCTTAACGGCTTGCGGGGCATCATTAATACAGCACCAGTGGAGGGCAGCATAGCCTCCTGAACGATCATCCAACGACTTCCGTCGCGCGACCATCTCGGGCGTCAACACAGCGACCGCTGCTGGACGGTTCTCGGAGGCCGCCATCAACAGGGGAGCGTAGCCCTGCCGGTTTTTAGCTGTTAAGTCGGCACCATACTCTAGTAATACGGAAGCGATTTCCGCGGCGTCGGTTTGCGCAGCGGCTAATAATGGGGTGTCGCCGTATTTATTCCTGTGATCTACTCTAGCTCCAGCCTCGCATAGAGCCCTTGCTTTCGTGACGCAGGCGTCCATCCTGCTTCTTTGTGTCGAGCCTTTGGCGCCCTGCTGGAGCGCGAAATATTCGTACACTACCTTATGTAGTGGCACCTCGCCCTCGGCGTCGGGCCTATTGAGGCCTCGTAGTTCCGCGTCCGTCAGATCGCAGCCTATTTCCCTCAGAGCCGACGAGAGCGCGTTCCGGTGATCTAACGCAATCTTCTTGTACTGGGACGAGTTCTTCTTGCCCTGCGCTTCCAACTCTTTCAATTGCTTGGCGAGCCTCCGGTGCTCGGGCTCGGGACCCGCGGGCTTCTTCTTCGTGCTTCGTTTCTTGTGCTCGCTCCGCTTCTTGCGCGGGCGGTCGGCGCTGGGCGGGCGGTCGTAGCTCGACATCTTTGGCGCGGCGTTGTTCTTTACTGAGCTACAGTGCCTTGGCCTGAGCTACGGTGTCTCGCGCTGCGGTGCGGCCAGTCCTTGTTCCTTCCTGGGCTTGGTTCGCGAGCGGCGGCGGCGGGCAGAGATGCGGCTGCGGCTGCGCTGGCGCAGTAGAGCAGTCGCAACTAGTACCACCGCCACGCCTGCGTGGCTGGAGAGCTGTGAAGTACTGGAGCGTGAGCAAAAGCAGGCGCGCTAGCGGCTGTGGTACTAGCAAACACACTAGCAACCCAGCACGAAGCATACTAATTGTCGAAAGGGGCCAAGCGGAACCCATGGACCTGTCAAGGGCCTGGCGCGGCAGTGAACGACAAACCCGACTTCTCAAAGCTCGCGCCATCTCCGCCGCGCTCTCCTTTGTAGCCCACTTAACGCGCGGCCCAGCACCTCAAGTGCGCAGCCAGTGCCTCACCCTAGTCGCTCGCGCTGCACGGCTCGCCGCCGCGCGCTAGAGACGTCTGGAGAGCAAATCCAGCAGCACAGAGCCCCCCACAGCACGCGACGGCGGCGCCCACCTGACCACACGATTCGTACGCAGGCGCAAGGATGGCCGAGAACGTGCTAGGCGCCCTCGCGGACCTCCAGGAGGAAAGCAAGCCCGAGCCGAAGGAAGGAACTAACGAAGCCGTCAGCTCGGTCATCAAAGTGGAGACGCCCAACGCCACGTCGGTCTTGTTTTGCGGTAGCGCGGACTTCGCCGCCGCGGCCAAGGGCGCGAGCGGCAAGGCCCAACAGAAAAAAGACGGCGCGAACGGTGAGGAGTTCCGCGCGCCGGTGATTATCGCCTCGTTGAACGACAAGAAGGTGCGGTATTTGAGCGTGGGGCCGTCGGCGGGCCATATCGTCGCATTAACCGGAGAAGGGACTTATGCATGGGGTTTGAACGGCAACGGGCAGCTCGGGCTGGGCGCCAAAGGTGGCTACGTCCACCCCGGGCCCGTGCGGGCGAAGCTGTGGGACGTGGACGGCGACACGCCCATTGCCGTGGCGGCCGGCAACCGGCACACGCTCGTGTTGTACGCGTCCGGTACGATACTATCTTGCGGCGCCGGCGAGCGCGCGCAGCTCGGTTTAGGTCATAAGGGCGCCGCTTTGAACGATCAAAACAAGCCCCAGAAAGTACCGATCGAAGCCAAAGTAGCCTGCATCGCCGCGGGCCACGACTACTCCCTATGCGCTGATGAAGGTGGTGCTTTATACTCGTGGGGCTGGTCCGAGTACGGTAAATTGGGCACGGGCACGGACGGGTCCTACAACACGCGGGACTCGTCCATCAAGATCACGTATACGGCCACGGATATCTCCAAAATACCCATGGAAGGTAAAATTATACAAGTCTCGGCGGGCAAGCACCACGCTGCTTGTCTGACGGACGAAGGTTTGGGATATACCTGGGGCGACAATGGGTATGGCAAGCTCGGGCACCGGGACCAGAAGCAGCGGAACGCACCTACACGCGTCCAGGGCGCGAGGTTCTCCACGCTCTTATGTGGCGACGTCTCGACCGCAGGATTAGGCTGGCCCGAGTATCAAGGAAGACCCTTCTCCAAACAGAGTGGAGATGGATTGGTCTGGGTCTGGGGCGTCCTCAAAGGGTCGAACGGCGAGGGCGCGACGCACCCCGTGCCGAATTATGATGTGCAGGGCTGGGCCATCGACAAATCTAACTTCGCGCTGGGCGGCACGCACTGCGCGCTGAGTGGCGAGGGCGCCGGCGTGGCCTGGGCCTTTTCGCCCGTCGCGTTCGGCCAACTGGGATTTGGCCCCAACGGCGTCAAGTCGTCGCACACGGCGAACAAGATGGACGTGGGGGAGGGCCTGGTGGCGCGGCAGGTTGTGGCCAGCGTGGGCCAGACGCATTTACTGGTCGATTCCGAGACGGCCAAGGGCGTGGAGACGTGGGAGCCGCCCACGGAACCATTGCCTGCGCCGGCGACGAAGCCGCGCGGGCCGCCGCCCAAGAAGAAGGCCCGCTCGTAGATGTCCCGCCTAAGGAGGACTGTGGCCTGAGATGATCTGGCTAGTGTCTTACAGCCGCTAGCTCGGGGGAAGCGCTTTACGCATCGCACAGCTAGGCCAGTGCGCGTCTCTGTACGTCGTACAACATCGCCAGCCGGTGCGTCGTCTGGCGTACAGCTCTACCGCACGCTAGCACTCGTAGCAGCACGGTCAGCATGGACGCCACAGCGCCGAGCGAGCCGCAGGCCGACGACGCCGGCGCGCCAGAAGTCGCAGAGGACGGCTTCGAGACGCTCCTGCCCGGCGTGCGCTACAAGGAGATTGCAAGAGGCGAGGGCCCGGCGGCGGACTACAAGCAGAGCGTGACGTGCTCGTACACCGCCGAATGTACAAAAACAGGTGAGGTCTTCGAGAAAGTAGAGCAACGAACGTTACGAATCGGCGACGCAGACGTGCCGCCCGGGCTCGAGCTGGCATTGAGACGGCAGCGCGCGGGCACGCGGGCCGTCATCCAAGCGGAGTGGCGCTTCGCGTACGGCGAGGACGGCCGGCCGGCGTCATCAATGGATGGCACGAAGGCGGTCGAACCGAGGACGGACGTGACGTGGCGCATCTCCACCCTGAGCTTGGGCCGCGGCGAGGGCGAATCAGAGGGACGGGACAAACTAAATGAGTTAAGGGAGAAGAAGGACCTGGGCAATAACCACTTCCGCCATAGTAATTGGCGCAAGGCGGCGCAGAACTACCAGGACGTGCTCAAGGATTTAAATCCCGAGGCCTATGATGAGTGTCGGGACGAGGCCGTCTCGATATATGTGGCCTGCGCCAACAACCTCGTGTTTGCGCTCATGAAATTAGGCGACTGGCTCAAGGCCGAGCAGGCGGTCTGCGACGTGCTGGGGGTGGCGCCCGACGACGAGAAGGCCTTGTATAGAGCTGCGAAGATCGCGCTCCACCTGTCGAAGTGGGCCGAGGCCGACGCCGCGATTTTGAGAGGTCGCTCCTTATACCCCGCGTCACCGGCCTTCCCCCGGCTGGAATCGGCTCTCAAAACGCAGCGGGCGAAGTACAAGGAGCGGAGGAAGCAGATGAGCCGGAGCATGGCCGGCGCGCTCTTCGCGGTCGACGGGGCGGTTGATGAGGCGCCCGCCTCATCAACGTTTCCGTGGTATCCTGTGCTCGGCGGATGCGTCGTCGCGGTCGCGGTCGCGGTCGCAGCGGCGTTGTGAGTAACGTGTGATTTGTGGATTTCTATCGTACTTACTAGTATCTAGTGGGTGCCGCGGCGGCGGCAGCCCTATTCGCGCCAAGTTCCGGGCAGTCAAAACGCCACCCTGCGATCGGGTCGGTTTCACCTTACGGGTCGGTTTAGAGGCTGAGGCTGAGGCTAGTTACGTCGCAGGGTTCCCCGTACCCCTCCCGCTCCCAGGACGCAAGGTTTGCTCTAGAGTGTGTCGCTACGCTAGGTTTTTCTGGGTTGCAAGTGCAGCGCTCCTGCCGCCATTACTTAAGTATAACATAGCTCAATAATGCAGCGCCACCTCTTCCTCCTGTTCTATGCGCCAGGCGCCGCGGCGTTAGCGTTGCGCGCCGCGGCGGGCCACAAGCAGCGATACAGAAGCAGCATCAACATGGTGCTAGAAGACGCGCCGCAGGTCGTCGCCTTGACCGCCTCGCTCCCGGAAAGCACGCCGGCGCGCTGGCGCAAATCCACCAAACAACTGGCGACGGTCGGGCCCGCTTCCAGTACAAGTGAGATGCTCGAGAAGCTCTTCGCCGCCGGTGTTGATGTTTTCAGGCTCAATTTCAGCCACGGCAGCCACGACGAGAAGCGCGAACTCATCGAAAAGATAAGACAATTGGAGAAGACGCACGGCCACCCGATTGGCATATTGGCGGACTTGCAGGGCCCCAAACTGAGAGTGGGGGTCTTCGACAAGGGCAAAGCTATGTTAGTACAGGGCCAATCTTTCAGATTCGATGATGTGGACGAGCCGGGCGACGCGTCTAGGGTCAGGCTGCCGCATCCGGAAATTCTCCAGACTTTAAATGAAGATGACATTTTGTTGGTCGATGATGGTAAGTTGCGGCTGCAAGTGACGAGCAAAGACAACGATGGAGTGGACTGCGAAGTTATTGTAGGCGGTACTATATCAGATAGGAAAGGAGTCAACACCCCCTCTATAACCATCCCGATCTCGCCCCTGACGCCGAAAGACCGTGCTGATCTGGCCTTCGCTCTCACGCAAAACATCGACTGGGTCGCTCTAAGTTTTGTGCAACGGCCGGAGGACATCGAGGAGTTGAGGACCATCGTCAAGAACTCGGAACGGCCCTTTGTGCGGCTGATGGCGAAGATCGAGAAGCCGCAAGCGGTCCAAGATATAGAGAGAATTGTGGAGTTGTGCGATGGTATTATGGTGGCTCGAGGTGACCTAGGCGTAGAAATGAACCCGGAAGATGTTCCAGTGGTCCAGAAGACCATCATAAACCTATGTCGGTCGAAGGGCGTACCTGTGGTCGTAGCGACGCAGATGCTCGAGTCGATGATCGAGTCGCCGACCCCGACCAGAGCGGAATGTAGCGACGTCGCCACAGCGTTGTACGACGGCGCCGACGCCGTCATGCTGTCCGCGGAGAGTGCCGCGGGCGCCTACCCCGAGGAAGCGGTGACGATGCAGCGTAGAGTTATCTCGCGAGTGGAAGCGGATCCTTACTATAGAGAGGCCCACGACGCCTTGGTTGGATTTCGTTTGTTGGAAGAACGGTCCACGACGACGGACGCCGTGACGCTCGCCGCGAGACAAATTGCAGGAGCTATCTCCGCCAAAGTGCTGATCGTCTTCACGTCGGAAGGTACGACCGTATTAACAGCGGCTTCTTTACGGCCGAACGTGCCCATTTTAGCTCTGACGCCGAACGAGGAGACGGCTCGCGCGTTATCGCTGTGCTGGGGCGTCTACGCGCGGTTGCTGGCGCCGCAGACGTTTGATGAGAACCAAATCTTCGCCGATGTTTTGGGCGCGGCGGTCGACGTCGCCGTGGACTACGGGTTGCTCGAGAATGAGTCCGACGTGGCCGTCGTGACAGCGGGCCTGCCCTGGGGGACGCCGGGCGCGTCGAACGTCTTGAGGGTCGTGCCGATGATGGGCCCGGACGCGTGGCCCGAGGACCTCTGCCGCGTGGGGGTCGACGAGGCGTGCGCCTAGCTCACCGTTTGTTAAATAGATCTTGTATGCATTCGCGCCACCGAGCAGGTGTCGCGTCGATAGCGCGGGTCAAATGACGACTCGGCGTGAACTCCACGCCGTGAAGTTTTTATGCCAGCCTGAATGTCTACGTTTTTATACTTAGACAGAGATCCTAGGACGACGCGCGCGGCCGCGGCTTCGCCGCGCGCGGCCCCGTCGGGATGATCTCCCCGCCCGCGTCCGCCAGCTCCCTTTCAAAATACGCGATCGTCTCGGCCAACCCTCTAGCGACGCTCCACTTCGGCCGCCAGCCGATATGCGTCTCCGCCGTCGTGATCACGGGCTTGCGCTGTTTCGGATCGTCCTGGTTCGACGGCAGTCTGACAATGCGCGACGAAGATTTCGTCAGCCGCTTGATGGTGGCCGCGAAGTCGCCGACCGTGTACTCGTCGGGATTGCCCAGGTTGACTGGTAATGAATAATTCGAGTTCATGAGCGCGTGCAAGCCGTCCACCAAGTCATCCACGAACTGGAACGAGCGCGTCTGGGAGCCGTCGCCATACAGCGTGATATCTTTGTTCTGCAAGGCTTGGATGATGAAATTCGACACAACTCGCCCATCGTTCGGGTGCATGCGTCTCCCAAAGGTGTTGAAGATCCTCGCCACTCTCACCTCAACCCCACCCTGCCGCTGGTAGGCGTACATCATCGTCTCCGCGACGCGCTTGCCCTCGTCGTAACAGGCTCTCGGTCCTATGGTATTCACGTGGCCCCAGTACGATTCCGGTTGCGGGTGGACCTCGGGGTCGCCGTAGATCTCCGATGTTGATGCTAATAATATTCTAGCTTTGACTCGTTTCGCCAAGCCCAACATATTAAGAGTACCCTCGGTACTTGTTTTGATGGTTTTTATGGGGTTGTACTGGTAATGTGGGGGAGAAGCGGGACAGGCCAGGTGATAAATCTGGTCGACCTCGAGCATGACCGGTTCTACTACATCACCTATAACTAGATTGAAATTCGGGTGCCCGAGCCAGTGCTCGATATTTTTTTTCCGTCCCGTAAACAAGTTGTCCAGTACTGTGACCTCGTGGCCTTCTCGCATCAATTTATCTACCAAGTTGCTACCAACAAACCCGGCGCCGCCCGTAATGAGCACTCTCAGCTTCTTCGTGCTGTGTAATTTCTTGACCGGGGGGTAGCCGGTGGCTCCTCCTCTCGTAGCTTGCGCGCGCATCGCCGCGACCTCTTCGACCACGGCCGATTTCACGACGCCCTGGATGACGTGCTCCGTGACGGGTCCATCCTGTACCGTACTGGGAGTGTGGAGGGCCGTCGTGAGCAAAAAAATGAGAATCGCTGCGATGCCCAACGCAGGTATTGGTCTTAGAATTATAGACTGCTTGAGGCGGCGGCACTCGCCGCCGGGGCCATGCTCGTCCATGGCCGTGGTGGCGGCGTTTTTTGCGCGGGCCGCGCTGCTCGACAGCTCGGCCTGACGGCTCCTAGATTGGCTCCCAGCGGTGGTTTGCTGCTTGGCGGCTGCGCGCGCCTAGGTATCGCTGCGCGTGCTGGCCGGTCGTTACCAAGCGTGTGCACGTCTATGGCTGCTGCCGATTTAGGATGCCCAAGCTATTTTTTTTTGTGTGCTCGAGGCTGGGTGATGGTTCGCCTGCGATCCGTCGCCAGGCGCTTCGCGAGGGGTCCTCGTCGCCCGCTACGGCTGCGCCGCCCCTGTGGCTAGTACGTATAGCTAGTGCATGCTCTTAATCAGCATCAAGCTTGTCACCCCGCAACTCTGCGCACGCGTCACGAGCGTTGACTTACTCAGCACCGGCGCATTGCTGCGCCCATCTACTCACAGAGTACTTGGTGTGCTTTGCAGCACACGGCATCCACCATGCGCCGCCTCCTCGCGGTCCTAGCAGCAACGCATGCCCTTGACATGAAACAAGCGCCGCGGCGCATGCTCAGGAATGCCCTGGGCAACACGGCGGCGGCCCTCGGCGCGGCGTCCCTCGTCCTCCACCCGCTGCCTTCACTCGCGGCGAAGCCCTCGAACGCCGCGAGTAGTGCTGGCTCGCGCGTCAACAAGGACCCCCAGTCGCTACTGCGGAACGGCCTGCCTATTGATGGACAGATCGGCTCGGCCACCAAAAAAATGGACGTGCGGCAGCTCCAATCGGCTGTGGAGCTGCTCGGCGACGATTTGAAGGTCAAAAGAATTTCGGCGGCGAAGAACGACGTCCAGAAGGCCGCTACTATCTTGAATTCGAAAGCCAAGGACATCGCCAAGGGCAACGGTGATATCGCGAAGTTGCTGGACGAAGTAAGAACCAACTTGGACGCCTTACCGGCCATCCTGGCGGACACGGGACCCGCCGGAAGCCCGCAGGAGCGCGAGTCGCTCGATAAGGCTGGTGCCGCGCAGCAGCGCTGTGCTTCCTTGATAGGTTCTGCAGAAGCTAGGTTAGTACCTCCAGGCTTCAAATATTCAACACCGGACGAGTACAAGGGCGTCCCCCGCCTCGATACGAGAGCGCGCGTCCGCTTCACTTTACGAAAAGCGGACAAATCCGACACGTTCAAAGTCAACGGCCAAGGCTACAGTAAAGCTGTTATTGATATGATTGTGGACGGCTATACCACACCTTTGACGTCCGGGAACTTTGTCGACTTGGTGAAGAAGGGCTTCTATGATGGCATGGCCATCCAGCGGTCGGATGGCTTCGTCGTGCAGACGGGCGACCCCGATGGGCCCGACGGGCCGTTGGTGGGCTACGGCGACCCGGTGAGGAGGGTACCGCTCGAGCTGTTTGTGGATGGGGACAAGGCGCCGACCTACGGCGAGACGACGGAGGAAGGCTCTAGGGGAGGGGCGGCCACAGTATTACCGTTCCAGGCGTACGGCGCTTTGGGCATGGCGCGCGACGAGTACGAGGCCGACTCGGCCTCAAGCCAATTCTTCTGGCTGCTCTTCGACTCGGACCTGACGCCGGCGGGCAAGAATTTGTTAGATGGGCGCTACGCGTGTTTTGGGTATTCCGTGGAGGGCGAGGACTTCCTCGGCGCGGTGCAGGAGGGCGACGTCATCGAGTCTGCAAAAGTGCTGGGCGTGGGCATCGACCCCTAGGTGGCGCGTAAGGAGCGCGTGGCGGATTCCCTACCTAGCGAGTCATTATGTGAACATTAGTCTAGTAGAGAGCTAGGTTGGCATTTACCTGAGGGGTTATTTACCCCAGGCGCCGGCCGGGGGTAATTACCCGGGTAATTACCGGTGAGTACGGGTTATTTACCCCGGGATCTTATAGAGGGGGAGGGGGAGGGGGCCTCGCGGGCCACTGGCGCGGGCCTGGGCCGCGCCGGACCACATGACTTGGTACTTGCCTTGGCGCACCTGTACGTATCCAAAAGCTCAACGGGCTGCTTGCGCCCATCCGCTCGCCCGGAGGGGTCTTCGCTAATCGCACTAACGGGTTTAGTCGAAAACCCGTCGGGTAATTTACCGGGTTATTTACCCCAGATCCCCTCCGAGGAGTGATAATGGGTAAATTACCGGTTATTAACCGGTTAATGCCAACCTAGGTAGAGAGCAAACTTACTCCTTGGCCCGCTCGGCCATGATCTGCCGGTAGCACCTTTCTAAGGCAACCTTCGCCTCGCCCTTCGGGAAGTTTTGTAAATCATAGTAGTGCGGCGCGATCTCGCAGAGCCACCGGCATTCGACCGCGGTGCACGTGCGGACGAAATTGCGCGACGTGAGCACGAACTCCTCGTAGCAGACCCAAGGGGGTTTCGAGTCCAGCACGGTCGAAGGATGCAACGCAACCACTTGATTGTCTTTGACCGTGAGGTAGGACCCGCCCCGCTCCAGGTGAGCGACCTGTAAGAAATTGCCGGCCAGTATGCACTTCCGCAGATTCACGTAGTAGTCGGGATCGTCGAAGGGCGTACTGACGAGCGGGATGTTCAGCCGTTCCATGATACGTTGGAGTTGCTGCCTTACGCTATCGGCCGAGGCCAGTGACCGCGAAGACAGAAAGTTCTCGGAACACCAAGCCGGATCCGAATGATGATGTTTATACGCATGATACGCATTCAACAACGTGGGATGGTCCCCGTCGCGATGCGCGAACTGGTTTTTCGCGTCGTCGGCCTCGCGTTGCTTCTGCCTAGGTCGCTGGAAGATCTGCGGGACACTCATACAAGCTACTACTGATAGAGCCTCGTTCGAGCACTTGTACTCCGGCGATGCCAATAGCAATTTGGCCAATTGAGGATCTAGGGGCAGTTCGGCCATTTGTCTTCCTAAATCGGTGAGCGCGCCGTCATCATCCAAAGCGCCGAGGTAGTTCAACAGCTCCAAAGCGCGCATGAGCGTCTCGGGCGCCGGCGGGTCCATGAAGTCGAAGTGCACGAGGTCGTCAATACCTAATTTTTTTAGGGTGAGTACCACGTTGCTCATCTTGGACCGGAGAATCTCCGGGTAGGTCTGCTCCTGCAACTCCGACTTGAAAGAAGCTTCCGTGTACAGTCTAAAACATTTCCCCGGTCGCGTTCTACCAGCACGACCCGCCCGTTGCTTCGCCGAGGCGCGCGAGATCGGCGAGACAAGTAACGATTCGACCCTGATCCGAGGATTGTAGACCTTTTGCTTCGAGAAGCCCGGGTCCACGACATACACGATGCCGTCGATCGTCAACGACGTCTCGGCGATGTTCGTGGACACGACAACCTTGCGGCCCGGCATCCCGCCCGCGACGCGAGGCCCGGGCGCCTTATCAAAAATCCTCTTCTGCTGGCGAGGTGGCAACGACGAGTACAAGGGATAGACGACGAGCTCGCCCCTTTCCGGCCCGCACTTCTGCGCTTCATTCCTTAGCCTTTGGCAGACGTCCTCGATCTCGATCTCGCCAGTGAGGAAAACCAAAATATCTCCGGCACTTTCGCAGGCGTGGATCTGGGCGGCTGTCCGTACGGCGGCTTCGACGTAGTCCCGCTCGGGCTCCGGCGTGTAGAAGATTTCCACGGGGAACGTTCGGCCCGGTACCCTTAGTAATGGAGCCCCCTCGAAGTAGGTCTGGAACTTCTCCGCATCTAGCGTCGCGGACATGACGACGCACTTCAGGTCTTTCCGCTGTTGGAGGAGTTCCTTCAGAAGGCCCATCAATACATCGGTGGACAGCGTCCTCTCGTGCGCCTCATCTAACACAATGACGGACATCCTTTCTAAAAACGGGTCGGACATGGCCTCCCGCAGCAGCATGCCGTCGGTCATGAACTTTAGTAAAGTGTTGGGCCCCGTCGTATCTTCAAACCGGATCGAGTAGCCCACTTCTTCCCCTAACTGGACGTCCATCTCGTCCGCCACGCGCTGCGCGATGGACATGGCCGCCACGCGTCTCGGTTGGGTACAAGCGACACATTTAGAACCTCTTCGGGCATAATCTTTCACTAGAAATTGAGGAATTTGTGTTGTTTTCCCAGAACCCGTCTCGCCCTCGACCACCACGGTCTGGTTGTTCTTCACGGCGTCGAGCAGTCTCTCCAAGAAACCATAGACGGGTAACTCTTTTCTTCCCCTCAAAATGTCGTGGTAGCGCCTACTGTACGGCTTGCCATTAAATGGATTGCAGCCCGGCTGGATGAGATCCGAGAAGCCGGGCGCTAACAAAGGGCCGTGGGCCGCGCTTGTTGCAGCGACGTTCGTCCCCAGGTCGAGGCGCGCGCGCTTTTGTTGGCGGTCCATGGGTGATGCTTGGCGCTTGTGGCGTGCAGGCTGCACAAGCGTTCAGCCGTTCGCTGCGTCCGCGATGCCTGCACCGTGTATGCCTGCTTGCGGCTGCTCACGTCGCGCGCAATGTCGCTGCACTTGACGCTCTCCGGGCGATTTGCGACGAGGGGGTTAGTCCCTAGTCCCCATAAGCTCCCCCCCACTTGACGCCGCTAGCGGCCTGTACTTCAGGTAAGACACTAGGCCCAAGCCAGAGCTGTGAGAAGCGCGAGGGCAACACGGAACGCATCGTTAAGGCATATAATACACTATACTTACACCTTCAACCTCGCGACCCCCCGCAAGACCCCGCCGCCCGCGCACGCCTCGAGCGAGTCCGCGAGGCCCTCGTACAAGACTCGCGCCTTCGCGACGTTCTCCTCGCTGTTGACGTCGTGCTTCCCACCAAGATACCGCTCCAGCGCCGCCGACGACACGCGCGCGAAGCTGTGCAGCGGTAGCGTGGGCGGCGCCTCGTCGCTCGTCTCGAGCGGCACGAAGGGCGTCCCCGGCGAGACCTGGACTTCCACCGAATACCGGCCCTCGGCGTTCGTATCGTACGACGTGTCCTCCCACAACCGGAAGACCACATGCGACAAATACGACAGCTCTGGCACGGCCGAGAGCCACCGCCGCCCCGCATCATCAACGACGGACTCCGTGCCGTGCTCGTTGAGCCGCAGCGCGTCCAACAGCGCGTGCAAGTGCGACTCGGACGTGAAATAGAGTCGAGACCGGACCGCGCGCCAGTGCGACTTGATTTCAGAGTCCGCCAGGTGCTCGGGGTGGTCGTCCAGCTGGAAATGGAGGCCCGAGTCCTCCGTGTCGCCGCGCGCCGTCCGCAGGTCGAAGGAGATCTTATCTAGCAACGCACGACTAACGTGCCACGCCGCCTGCCTTCTGGGTTCCGCCGCACTCCCAAATTCTAAAGGCGCCACCGCTTGAGACAAGGTAGAGGCCTTCTTCACGAGCACGCCGAACCCAGCATCAAAAGATAACGTAAGAGCATTATGTCTAGCGTCGAAGCGCAGCTTGTCGAAAATCTCCGGAATCTTCGACAGGTCGTACGCCTTTTGGTCGTAGAACTCCTTGCGGATGCACTTCCACGAATCCAACCAGACGCCGAAGCTCTCGCCCATGTACAGTTGTTCAGTGCACGGTTTTTGCGAGACCTTCTCGATGAACGAACTCATCTCATCGTACAAGTCCCGCAAAGCCCGCAGGGGGTTGCCCAAATCTCTAAGAGCTCTCAGGACAGAGTCCGGACCGTCGGGCGCGATGAACCTTCGACGTTGCGCGAATTTCGAGTCACTGGAAGCGGCGTCCTCGTCGTCCGAGTCGGGGCCTCGTAACTCGACGTCGACCTGAAAACACCTCGACACGTGGGCCTTCGACAAAGCGAGCAATTCCTGGGCCTCGTGGTTGCCCGCGCGGTCGAGCATGTGCACGTCCGAGCGCCCGCGATGAATCAAAGACACGAGAATAGGCGAGATCTCGCCCTCCAATTCTAACAATCCTTTGGTGAAGGCCGCGCCCGTCTTCATGACCCGACCTTCGTCCGAGGTTCTTATTTTCAAGTCATGCCTAAAAGTCGCATGCAATCTCAAGAGACCTTGGCCGCCCGTCGTCGGGTACATATGACGTCTGAAATGCGCGCCGAGCGCCGTCGCGTGCTGCGCACCTAACTCCGTGAGGACGCCGCCCCACTTGAGGACGACCTGGACCTCTGTTGTCTCGTCGTCCTCCCACTTGAGGGGCTTGAGCTGCAGCTTGCAGCCCGAGAAGAAGACGCCGCCCAGCAGCTCCTCTTCGTCGTCGAGTTTGTGCGACTTGAGCACCTCCCGGATCTTGCGGAACGCGTCGATGTCGTCCTTCAGCAAGATAGCTTTGAGGGTCGAAGAAAACGCCCGCAGATCTTTCGACTCTTTGAGCTTGACCTCCTTCTTGGGCGTCTTGCACCTATCCCTATGGATCTGGACGATTGAAGGGTGAGTCGTCTTGACCTTCAGTTTTCGTTTCGGCGTCCTATCCCCATGGCGGACGACCGCGATGACGCATCTTAACTCTCTTCGGGACGGCGCCAAGCCCGAGGGCGACTGCGGTCTGCTACATATCTTTGGTGGACTTGGAGGCAGTTCTCGGGGCGGCGGCCGCATGTCCACGATGCGGCCGTCCCTACCCCGTAAAATCGCCGCCAACAACGCCGCGCAATCATCATAATACTTCCTACTCTTCTTCACGAAGGACCAGCCGTTCACGTCGCAAACGAGACACGCCCCATCATGTGTTCGTAATATGTCGAACCCGCACACAGTTTGTCTAAAAGCGTGGTAGATCTTGAAGGCTACATCTTTCTCGACCCATGATAATATCACGGGATACCTTAGTTCTTTACCATCAGCACCTCTCAAAACAACCCCATCTAAGGTAGGGGACTTCCGCGCTTCCGCGTGGCCGTAATAAGGCCCGACGCTATACACCTTGACATCGGTACCTTGCGTGTCCACGAACTCCTCGTACAAATAACTCCCTTCCCGTCTTATCGAGTGTAGATCAGGTTCGTACTTCGAGCTTTGATTACCAACTTTCCGAAACAGTCGCTTGCAGCCGCCGCCCGCACTGGTAGGATAGTAGACCCGAATATTATGATCATCGGAATCCACGGGCTTCTCGACGAAGGGCTTCTCGATCTTCACGCCGTCGATGATTATGGCGTCATCTAGCTCCTCGATTTTTTGCTCCACGTCCCTATCCCTATTGACGCAGACGTGTCTGGGGGTTGGGACGCCCGCCCTGGCTAGCGTCGCATAGACCAGCCGCCGATCTCGCAACAAATGCTGCCTTCGTAAATCGTTGACCACGAAGGGCTTTCTGAGTTTGGCGTATTGGATCGCCTTGTCCAGCGGAAAGCCCGACGAATGGAACGCGATCAGACACTCGACGACGGGCCACGCCTCGACGGCCGCCTCCAGAATCACCGACTCCTCGAAAATCACGATTTCGAACGCGTCGCCCGGCAGCCGACTCAGGATCTCGCGCATGGGCTTCGACTGCGTCTTCTTGGCCATGGCGCAGACACCCAGGGTCGTGCGCTTCGGCGTCGCGAGGCGCGGCGGCGGCCGCGGCGCCGCGTCGGGCGTCGCGGGCATGGCTCGTGACGCTGCTCTCCCAGCAGCCACTGCCTCGGCTCTGCCCAGGCGTGCGTACGAGAGTCCTTACGCGTGCCGGTACGTGTGCGTCTGAAGACCCGGACGGCTCTTTACTCGGCAGCGGCAGCAACGCCGGCAGAAAAATGAATGGCGGCGAGACTGCGCGACAATGAAAATGGGGCGAGTACTCGAGTGTGAGCTCGAGCTCTGGTACGACGGGTTTTTTTCGTAGTGGCCCGCCCACGGATGCCGGCCCAGGGACGACGCCTCGCACCGATTCAGAGCACCGCGCCTGGTAGGGAGAGCCCGGCTCCGCGGTGGCGGTGCAGCACCGAGACAACATCCGGCCGGAGAGGGAGTACAGAAGCGGTCACGAACGCTAGACAACATTCCGGCATGGCCGCCCCGCTCCGAGACGCCGCCGGGCCGCCCCCGGCGCCGCCGCGCGGGGCGCTGCCGCCGGCGCCGCCGCCGGGCAGCCCCCGGCGGCGGCGGAACACGTCTCCGGTGGCCGTCGACGAGGCGCCCCTCAACGACCTCGCGCCCGCCGGGCCGCGGCGGTCGCCGGCGGGCAGCCCGGACCGCAAGCTGGCCCTCGTGGCCGAGGTCTCGCCCGTCGACGACGCGCTCGGCGACGTCCGCGTCGCGCGCGCCGCGAAGCCCGGCCTCGCGCTCGTGCCCGAGCTCGAGCCGACGGCCGAGGCCTGGGGCGACCTCGTGGCCGGCGCCGTCGCGCCCCCGGCGCCGGGCCTGGCGCCCGTCGCCGAGGTGTCGCCCGTCGCCGACGCGCTCGGCGTCGTCGAGCGGCCGCGGGCGCGGCGGCCCGCGACGCTGCCGCTCGTGGCCGAGGTGTCGCCCGTCGACGAGGCGCTCGGCGGCGCCGCCCGCGCGGCGCCGGCGCCGCGCCGGCCGAGCCTGGACCTCGTGCCCGAGGTGTCGCCCGTCGACGACGCGCTCGGCGACGTCCGCGTCGCGCGCGCCGCGAAGCCCGGCCTCGCGCTCGTGCCCGAGCTCGAGCCGACGGCCGAGGCCTGGGGCGACGTCGCCCCCGGGCCCGCGCGCGCGCCGCGCGGCGGCCGCCTCTCGCTCGTGCCCGAGGAGCCGCCGGAGGCCCCCGCGCCGGCGCCCGCGCCGGCGCGGCGGCGGTCGAACTGCCTCCTGGATTGCCTCCGGCGGCGGCGGCGCGAGGCGTCGCCCTAGCCCTCGGGCTGTGTTGTAATGATGAAACTTCGAATCATCACACGGCCTGTGTCTCATTCCGGGCGGCTCCCCGACATCTCCCCGACTCTCGCGAGCGGACACAACTTTGGATGCCTCGAGTGGCAAGGGTGCTTTTTTCGGGCTGCATCACGGCCTCAGGCGCGTTTCGGAACGATACGGCTGCCTTCGTTCGCTTCGGCACGATACGGCTGCCTCGACGGGGGCGCGCATCGCTTCGGCACGATGGAGGCGCCGCAGCGCTGCCCCCTGGCGGACGACTGGCACGGCGGTGACTCCACTGACGTCCTCGACGCCGAGGACGAAGCCGCCTATATTGCGGGGACGCGCACGCGGTTAGAAGGCGTGCCGCGGCGTCCGGATTCGCCGTCGAGCCTCGACGCGATCGCGGAAGCCGAGGAGCCGCCGGCCGCCGCCGCGCGCGAGCGACGACGGAAGAACACGCCCGTCGCCTACCGACCGCCGCCGCGCGCGACGCGGCCGCGGCCGCGCGCGCGGCCGCCGCCGCCGTCGGCCTACGAAGCGGGCCTCTCGGCGCCGCCGCTCGAGGTCGGCGGCGCCGCGCCCGGGGACCGGCCGCGCTCGCCCGAGCTCGTGGCGCTCGAGCACGTCGGCGGCGGCGGCGCCTACGACGGCGCCGAGCCCGACGACGACCGCGACCTGCCCTGGTACGCGGCGCTCACGAGCTGCACGGGCTGCACGGGCTACTACTAGCGGCGCGGCGGGCGCCAGTCGCGGCATAAGCTATCATCTCGAAGCTCTTCACAAGCTCCTCACTCGGGTATATATGAAAATCCGTTGTACCGTTCTCTTGCTGCTATTTGAGTAGGAGCTTGTTCCTTTTTTTAGGTCATCCTTACTTTATATATATTGATTTATATGTCCGCATCCCACGCGACTACGGGATGTGTGCTGCTACTGCGGTAGGACCCGCACTCACTATTTTGAGCCCGCGGCCCACCGGACGAAGCGGGGCAGCCCTACGCCAACATGGGCTCGCTCCGGCCGGGCCCGCGCGACGCCGGCGACGTGCAGCTCGGGGGCAGCCACGCCAGCTGGGGCGGCGAGTGCGTGCTCGGGGGCCTCGTGTGCTACGACTACGGGCTGGACGAGGGCTCGGTGCAGAACGTGGCGGCGGCGCTCTTCGTGGGGCTGGTGGTGGCGTGGGCCGTGGCCATCTTCGCGTCCTACGCGAGCCGGCGGGGCGCGCGGAGCGACATGGGCTACTACTTCTCGGCGGGGTGCCTGCTCGGCCTGGTCTGCGTGCAGTGGTACTACGTCTTCCTCGCGGCGAACCACGCGCCGCCGTCGGTCATGCCCGCGCACACGCGGCGCTACGACTGCGAGCGGAGCCGCAAGGGCGGCAAGCGCTCGACCGTGGACCGGCTGAACCCCGCGGGCGGGACCGTGAACCCGTGCTTCTGCCACCCCTACGCGCGGTGCGTCGACCACGCCACGGGCCGCGTCTACCACGCGGGCGACGGGACGCCCGCGGCCGTCCCGTGCCCGGCCGACGGCTCGGCGTACTGCCAGGAGCTCGACGGCCGGTTCGTGCCCCACTGGATCCACGAGCGCGGGACCCAGCCGACGGACCGGGACTGCCGCCACGGCCGCGGCGCCGCGTGCACGGCGCGGGACCCCTGCACGCCGTGCGAGGCCGAGGACGCCGCGCTGGACCCCCACGCGGGCTACTGCTCGGTCTGCACGGCCGACGATCGGGGCAAGTGCCTTTTCACGCAGGGCGTCGGGCCTTACTGCAAGGATGGGCACGGCGGCGTCAGGCCGTGCGAGACGTGCTGCACGGCGCCGCGCCAGGTCATCGTCGACTCGCACGTCTGGGCGGGGCGCGCCGGCGAGGAGAGCGTCTTCCGGACGGTCAAGCGGTGCGCCTACGCCGTGCACCCGAAGTGGCGGCCATCGTTCTGCAAGAAGACGCCCGCCGAGACGTGCGAGCTCGCGGGCGCCGTCACGGCGCTGGCCCAGGAGGCGGACCCGCGGGCGCGGGACGAGTGCGAGACGGTCCGGTCGACGCGCGTCGTCGCGACGGAGCCCTGGCCCCCCCGCGGGCCGGACCATTACAGGATCGTGCTCGCGTCGTCCGAGGTCCTCATGGACCTGACGCGGCACGGGCCGGGCAACGCGACGGCGGTCATCGCGGCGTGCGCGGGGGGGCTCCCGGCGACGCCGGCGCCGGCGCCCTCGCCGGAGCCGACGCCGGCGCTCGGCGACCTGGACACGTAGCGGCGTAAGTTCCCCCCCCCATCCCTCCGGGAGCTCATTGTAGTGCCGACTAACTGGAGAGGCGCCGCGTTTCCCCGACATCTGCGGGCGTGGGATCTGCGACTCTAGACAGGATGGTGAATTTATTTAGATACGAGCCGGGGACGGAACGCGCGGCGCGAAGGAAAGCGGCGTCCCGCGGGCGCTCACGTGTCGACGTCGCACTCGATCTCGCCCTGGAGGTCCAGCAGCGCGCGGTCGAGGTCCGCGGAGATCCGCGCCATGGCGCGCATGAGCCGCGCCGTGCGGCCGCCCTGGACGGAGATGCGCCGGAACACGGACGACCGCGAGACCGTGTACGTCTCGGTCGCCGCGGCCGACCGCCGCAGCGGCGCGCCGGTGTCGACGTCGACGCCGGCGTCCTCGTCGCGCGCCAGCGCGTAGTCGTCCTCGTCGGCCGCGCGCGAGGCGAGGCCGAGGTCCGCGGCGGACGCGGCGTGGAAGGGGAAGCCCCCGTTCCAGGCCGGCCAGGCCGGGTCGTAGAGGAAGAGCAGGAGGCCGTGCGCCACGACGACCAGCGCCTGGTCGCAGGCGTAGAGCACGATGGCGCGCTCGTGGTCGCTCACGCTCCGCCCGATCAGGGCGAGCGCGGGCCGCGACACGAGCCACAGCGCCGCGGCCGGGTTGAACTTGCCGTAGAACCGCGCCTTGCGCGGGTAGTTCCGGCGCGTCGTGTGCGCCGCGTACAGGAACCAGGCCGCCGCGTAGGCCCGCAGCGCGACGAGCGCGTAGCCCGGCGGCGACTCGCCCGCGTCCGCGTACCGCGACCGGTCCCACGCGTGCAGGCGCCAGAGCTCCAGCGCCACCGTCGCCCAGAGGAAGACCGTCGCGTAGACCGTCACGCGGACGCGGCCGTTCGCCGACAGCTTGCGCCGCACCAGCGTCCAGCCCTTGGCCAGGAGCACGAGCAGGCTCACGAGGAGGATGTCGGCCGCGTGGCCCAGGAAGCGCGCCGCGGCGAGGCACCAGGGCACGCCCGCGCCGTCCCGCGCGAACGTCGCGACGTGGCACAGCGCGAAGGCGCAGCCCGCGGCCTGCACCCAGGCCGACCAGCACAGCATGGCCACCGTGTGGTGGAACTTGCGGCGCCGGCGGAGCGCCGCGCGCACGCGCAGCGCCCAGGCGCCCAGCGCGGCGTACGCGGCGAGCGCGCACCACGCGACCTCGAGCGTCCCCAGCTCGTCGGCCGAGAACTCGCGCCGCTCCTCGGCGGCGCCGTTCGTGAAGTGCAATTTATAAGAAGCGACGAGCGGCCCCTGGCAGTCGCGGTAGCCCGCGGCCTCGGGGCACTGCGCCGCGCAGTTCGCGAGGGCCACGAAGAACCACGTGTAGGCCTCGTTGCGCACGTACGCGCGGCCCTTAGCCGTGGTCGTCCGGCCGAGCGAGTCCGGCGCGACGCTCGTCACGAACGACGTCGGCGCCTGCAGCGACACGACGTTGTCCGCCGCGCGCAGCCGCTCGGAACAGGACCCGCCGCCGTCGACGCCGTCGACCCACTTGTCGAAGCCGTCGTAGTAGAAGAGGAGCGCGGGCGCCGCGCCGGTCGGGTACGTGACCTCGAACTCGACGAAGCCGTACTTCTTCTTCTTCGCGTCCGCCGCGAGGTCCACGTCGGCCTGGGGCGTCGGCACGAAGCAGAAGCGGTCCACGAAGGCCCAGGGCGCCAGCGTGTCGAGCTCGCCCCGGAGCTTGAGGCCCGCGGCGAGCGCGGGCAGGAGCGGCAGGCGCGCGGCCCGCATGGCTGCCCTCCGGTCAGTTTCTTATTTTCAAACTCCTTAGCATCCGCCGCCTCTACTACGACGGGAGGCAGCCATCGGGGCATGCGCCAGAAGTTGTTACTTGTTACCGGTACCGGTACCGTACCGCCAGCACGGTACCTTGGTAGGTATGATAAAAAGAATAATAATACAGCGATTGTGCTATGATCCTATAGTTACCTACACTGAGAGCCCTCCCCCGGTTCTAGTAGGACCTCTGGTGGGCGTGAACATACTTGTAGTATCATCCGGGCTTCAAGTTTCCCGGGCAAGAACCCGCCGGACGACTGCCGCCGCGAAAGAACATCCAGCGCCGAGTCAGAGGAGTCGGGCGGCGCCGTTAGCGTGATCACGTATCGCTTCGCCGCGGCCCTCGCGTCGCTAGTCGCGATACTTCTGCGGTAGCCTCTTACGGAAATCGGTTTCAATTGGTGATCTCGCCTGCTTCTCCGGCATTCTGGAATTTTCCAAGGCTTCTAAAATGCATTTAATCTAGTAAGAGCCTTCGTAGCCCCTCGGTGCCTAGGCGGATTCTGATGAGGCGGCGCCAGGCGCCGCCTTGGGGGGATCCGCGACAAGCGTCGGCCGCCGTCGTCGCCGGTGCGCGAACGCGGCACCCGCGGCCAGGACTGCGACAGCGGCCGCGCCGACACCAGCGACGCCCGCGTCGTCGATAGCCTCACCACCCCGGCCGCCGGCCCCATCGACCGACGCGTCAGCGTCCGCCCCGGAACCGCCGCCGTTCTCGAGGACCGTGAGCCCCCCCGCGGCGGGCGCCACCACGAGGTCCGCGGCGCCGTCTCCGTTGATATCCCCGGCCGCAAAGGCGAGCACGGCGCCGGTATACACCTTGCGCCTTCGTACGACGAGCCCCGCCCCGTCGAACCAGTACAGGCCGGCCTGGTCGTCGCGCTCGAAGGCGTCGTTGCCGCGCGCGACGACGTCCTCCGCCCCACGCCCGTTTAGATCCGCGCCCAGGAGGGCGTCGTACCTCATATCGTCGGTGTCGTACAGCACACCACCGTCGACCGTCGACACCTCCGCGTCGGCCCGCTTGCCGGCTTCTCCGCCGTGGACGTAGACGGTACGATATGCGACCACAATGTCGTCGCCAACGACCGCGACCGCGCGCTGGCCGCGACCGCGCGTCCTTAACACTGTCCTCTGGTACTCGAGCCAGTCGTCACCGATCCAAACGTCGTCCTCGCGGTTGCGCGGCATGGACTTCAGCGCGACCACGGTGCCGGAACAAGGAAGTGTGGGGAGCAGGTCCAGGTCTCCGTCGCCGTCGACGTCTAGGACGACCACGTCAGTAACACCCACCGCGTCAGACGCAGCGAGACGCTTCGAAAATCCCTTGGACGCACGATACACAGCGACGGTGTCATCCTCGGCCGCCGCCGAGACGACGTCCAGCACGCCGTCGCCGTCGATGTCTGCCGCCCGGACGACCACAGCACCAGAGGCGACGTCCCGATCCACGATTCGTATTTGCTCACCGTCGAGCGCGTGCACCACCACGGCGCCGGCCTCGTAGCCGACGACGATGTCTTCCTCTCCCGCGTCGAGCGCGACCGGGCTCGCGTATTTAGTCGTGACGACATCTCGCGCGATCATCCGCCCCGCCACGTTCTCGTGGATCCGGAGCCAGTCCCCCTCCGCCGTGACGACGTCCGGGTCGCCATCATTATCAACGTCGACGACCGCGACCGCGTCGAAGCGACCGTCGACGGTATGGTGCTCGCCAAAAGAGGGACCCATCGTGGGACATCGCTCCGCTGGCTCGGCAACGGCGCACGCATCTCCGGAAGATTCGCGACATCGTACGAGGTCCTCATACGCGTACGGCGCCGCGCCCGGCGCCAGCTCGCAGAGGAGCCGCGCGTTTGTCACTAACGTCTCTGGTGATTCGCCGGCGCGCGGCTCGAAACCGAGGTCGTCCATCGAAAAGCCCCAGCCGTCGCTGAGCGTCTCGTTGAGGAGCTGGCCGGGCGCGCGCCGGCCCGTAAACGCGTCCGTCCCGACCGTGGTGTCAGGATCCAACAAAGGGTATGCCCAGTAGTCGTCGGCGTCATGAGCGCGCGTCCAGGTCCACCAGTGGCGAGACCGCTCGACGTTTGCGTGGTGGAAGAAGAACACGGGGTCGTTCGGACCCGCCTGTGTGCGCATCAACCAGTGCTTCGATAGTTCAATTGAATGCGTTGGGAGTTTGATCTGCGCGCTGGGCTCTGCCAAAGTATCCGCAAAGTCGCCATGGCTGGTCCCGGTGCCACCATCCTGAAAGCCGCCGACCCCTGGGTGCGCACCGCGATGCACCGAGTCGCCTAGGTCGGAGCCGTCCGGCGCAAATCCGAGGTCGACGCACTTGTTCCATTCCAGGAACGTCGTGGGCTCCTCGACGCAGCGCCAGAACACGTCTTTTTCTAGAGCGTAGTCGCCGCCGAAGCGGACGACCCCTACAACCGATGTCATGCTATGGGGGTGCCTCAGGTAGCCGGCCGAGTTGCCCGCGACGGCGGTCGAGGCTGAAAACGTCGACGAATTGGGCGCGTAGTCCGCCAGCGATTTGTGTCGAGGCACTCGCCACGACCCGAACGGGCCGTCAATCACGTCGTAATCATCGCCGAGGCCTGGCGCCGAGCCAAAGTACGCCCCCCCAAACACCGACGGGGACGTCTCCGAGGCGTCCCAGTAGGGCAACGCTTCGATCGCCGGATCGACCGCGCGGAGCGCCCGTTCGAACTCGAGGCCGAGCGCAGCGTGCCACGTGGCGAAGTGCGGGCCGTAGTGTGCACCATTTCCCCGTGCGTCAACGCAGGCGGCGTAGTGCTTCGCCGTGAAATAGTCGTAGCTCCGGTAGGCGGCGCCGTAGGTCGCTTGGCCGTTCGTCGTCGCTACTCGTTTCATGGTGTTCATTGCATTTGTGACGCGCTGCCACTCTGTGGCGCTCAGGTCCCTGACTTCTCGTCGTACACGTACTCCATCTGGAGCTCGCCAAGGGCAGCTGGGGCAGCTGGTGCCACAGCAGGGTGTTGCTGGTAAGGCGGCTGCGCCGACGGCTGCGAGGAGGACAAACCCCACGTTCTTCATGGGGCGTCTTTCGGCATTACTACTACAATACGCGGACAGGCTGGTAGCACTAACGCCGTCAATTGCGAGAAGCCATGTGCACGTGATGAATACCTTCTCGCACAATGTTCTAATTGTTCTTCTATCTGTCTCAATATTATGGGAGTCATTGCTAGCAGTATTCGCGCGTTCCAACCAGGGAATCAAATTGCGTGCGGGTTTCCTCACGTGTTGATGGAAGGGCAGCCCAAAGTCGTCACGTGTATAGCGAGGACGGGGTGCAGCGAGCAGCCCAAGTGGCAAGTTGCACCGCGACGCAAGGCCACGGCAGTCGGCAGTCGGCAGGAAGTTTTCAGTCAAAGCGCGTAAGAAAAAGGGACTATGGGGTCCGATTGCGCCGCGGGCCGGGGTGCGACGCCGTCGGAGGTTGTGTGGGTGCTCGCGCCGGTCATATCAATCATCTGCGCCATGGCCTTCTTCGGAGCGCGGCGCTTCGGGCTGATCGGCGGGCGCCCGGCGGCGGCGGACCGGCGCCCCGAGGCGTTCGCCGCCGATCTGGTCGTCTCGCACCCCCTGAAGGTCATCGCCCTCAACGTGTGGCTGATCACGGCGCTGTCGGTCTCGGCCTTCGTCGACGTCGGTTGCGGCGAGCTGCGCGAGTCCATCGACGTGCTGCTGGACGTGGACGCCTACACAAAGGCGGACAATCGCGCGTCGGAGTGGTACTCGGCGTTTGAGGCCGCAAAGTCCGACACGCGGTATTGCGCCGCGGGGTCGACGTCGCGGCGGCGCCTCGAGGAGTCGTCCGGCGGCCGCGTCGACACGCTCACGCTGGTGTACCTGCGGAAACCGCTGCATCGGGACGCCATTCGGTCCCCCGCGCTCCACGACGCGCAGCGGGTCGAGAAGGATTTGATCCTAACCGTCTTTGGGGACCAGGGCTGGCGCGACCACTGCCTACCCACGTACTGGAACGAAACGGCTTCGCCGCGAGACTGCGCGCCCTGGGCGCGCGACTCGAGCGTGCCCTACTACTGGACGGGCTCGGGACTAACGACGGACTCGGAATTGCGAGAAGTGGAACAAGTCACGACCTGGATGGCTCAGACTGGCGTCGGCAACGCGTTCTTCTCGGCGAATTTTGGGACCGTCCGCCCGAGGTCGGAGATCATGCGCTCCACGTTCACGTTCCTGGCCACAGACGACTCCGGGTTCAAGACGTGGCTCGTCGACCACGTCTGGCCGAAAATACTCCAGGAATGGGAGACGTCGTCGTCAACAATGCGGCTCCTGTGGCTGCAGGGCGACATCAACGGCGCGGAGGTGGCGTCCGCGCTGGGGCTCGACATGGTGCTTTGCGGTATCGCGCTAGTGCTGGTGTTCGCAGCGCTCATCGCGCACATGCGCTCGCCGGTGCTGGCGATCGTCGCGATGGGCCAGGTCCTGGTGTCGATCCCCGTCGCGCAGTACTTCTACCTGCGCGTCTTCGACGTCTACATCATCTACCTGCTGAACTTTCTCAGCGTGTTCATCGTGGCGGGCATCGGCGCCGACGACGCGTTCCTGTTTTTCGACACGCTCGCGCAGACCATGGTCGAGCGGCAGCACAAGCGGGAGGGGCTCCGGCGCGTGACCGCGCTCCACGACTGCAAGGGCGACCGCAAGGACGAGCTGAGTTTCAAGAAGGGCGACGTGTTGATCGTCGAGGACGAGGCCGGCGACGGCTGGTGTCGCGGCCGCCTGGCCGTCGGCGTCGGTAAGTTCCCCGCGACGTACGTCGCGCCCTGCGAGGGCCCGCGGCGCGTCACTGCGATCGTTGACCGCAGTCCCCGATGCCGTACCGAAGAGGGCGAGCTCTTCTTCCAGACGGGCGCCAAAATCCTGGTGGAGGACGACTCGGACGCAACGACGTGGAGCGGGTCGCTCGAGACCGGGGGCGCCTCCGGTCGGTTCCCGGCTGCGCATGTCGTTGGCGGGAAGCGCTACAAGGCCAAGTTCGACTGCGACGCCGACGCGCAGGACGAGCTCGGCTTCTACGAAGGCGACGTCATCGAGGTCTCCGATCAATCGGACCCGGACTGGTGGGTCGGGTCCCTAGTGCACGCCAAGGGCGTCTTCCCGGCGATGCACGTGGCCGCCGACGACGAGACGGAGGCGTTCGACGCCGTCGGGCGCAACGCGCTCGCGGAGGCGTACCGGCGCGCCGGCGCGTCGATGGCGACGACGTCGTTCACGTCGGCGGCCGCCTTCTATGCGCTCTCCGTGTCTGAGCTGCCGGCGATCCAGGCGTTCGGCATCTTCACGGGCACGCTCATCATGGTCAACTTCGTCCTCGTCGTCTCGGTCTTTCCCGCCGTACTGGTGCTTTTCCCCCGCTCGCTGCGCGCGGGCCGCCCGAAGCCGGCGGAGCCCCCCGTCTCGGACCCGGAGAGCGCAACGCCGGCGCCCGACCGGCCCCAGAAAGATGTGCTCAACCCCCTGGCCCGGGTCCGGCTCAGCAAGAACGTGCGAAAGTTCCTCGACCGGCCGGCCGTCAAGTACGTGACAAGCTCGCTGCACGCTGCGCAGGAGAAAATTGGAAGGGGCCTGGACCGCGTGTCCGAGGCGATCACGCCTAGCTCGAAACACGGAGGGTTCCTCGACCGCGACCGCGCGGGAGGCTCGCGGTGGCGCCAGACGCTCCAAGGGGAGGTCAACGCCGGTAAGATGGGTTGCCTCGACCGCTTCTTTGGCGTTAGCCTGCCCGGCGTTCTCGTAAAGCGCGCGGGGCTGGTCGTGGTGCTCACGGTCGCGATGTTGGTCGCCGCCGCGGTGAGCATCGGGCTGGTCGCGGCCGTCGACTACGCGCCGCCACGCTTCTTCCGGCGCGACCACAACCTGGGCCTCGTCTATCAAATCCGGGACAAATACTTCCCGGCGGACGGCGGCGTCGCGACGTTGCTCGGGGAGGCCGCCGGCGACGAGAACTATGAGTACGGTTCAGCGACCCAGCGCGGGACGGGCGGCTACGACGAGACGCAGTGGAGCCCGCAGTGCTCCGACAAGGTCGGCACGAACGGCGAAATATGCTCCGGATATGGCAAATGCGCCCACACGACCGGGTTTTGTCAGTGTTATGGCGGCTATATGGGCTTGAGGTGTGAATCTCTCGACGAGGAGTACACGGAACCGCCAGTCACATCGCCGCCGACGATAACGCCCGTTCCGACGCCGGAGCCGGTGCCGACGGTCACGTTCGTCGACCCGAACGCGGCGCAGGCCGGTCCGTCGGCGACGCCTGCGCCCGCGTCGCTCTCGCCCAGGTCGCCCTCGCCCGGGTCGCCCGCGCCCGCGCCCAGCCCGGCTTCCGGGGAGTCGGGGGACGACGTCGCTCCGGTCTGCGTCGACGATACGTGCGGCCGCTGCTCGTGCAGTTCGAACGGCTGTCAGACGGCAGACGGCGCGTGCGATTGCTTCCCGGACTACCGCGGCGAGCTATGCGAGTTCTACTACCCCTACGACCTCCAGCACACGATCACGCTGGACGTCGTGCAGGGCGTGCGGTCGCGGCCCGGCCGCCAGTCGGACGCGCATCCGCACGGCCGACCGCGGTACTGGCGGTCGTACGACTGGTCCGACCCGAACGTGCAGACCTTCGCGCGCGACGCGTGCGCCGAGCACGCCAAGCATGCGCACCTCAAGATGCGCCGCGAGGACTCGGCCTGTATTGTTGAACTATTTGAAGCCTCCTGGCTCGCCCCGAAGCAAAAGATGCTGCCACTACCGCCGTTCGAGTTCGAGGCGGAGTTCCTGGCCTACGTCGACAGCAACCCCACGGTAGGCCTCGGCGGCGACTCGATCCTCGACTACGTAGGCGTCGACTGCGACGCCGGGGGGGGGCGGACGGTCCGCTGGATGCGGGACCGGATCCTCCTGGACGTGCGACCGGACGCTGCGCTGTCGAAGCGCGCCGAGGTCTACCGAAACTGGGTGCGGTACCTGCGCCGCCGCGACCACGGGAAGCCGCACGGCGCCACGCGCTCGGTGCTCTCGTCCGACAACTACGTGCTCACGGCGCTGCTCGATGGCGTTATCCGCGACACGTTGATAGGCGCCGCCGTCGCGCTCGCGTGCGCATACCTCTGCGTCCTCGTCGCGTCGGGCTCGCTCGGCCACACGACGCTCGTCTTCTCACTGGTCGTCGCCGAGTGCCTCGTGCTCACGTTCACGGTCACGTGCCTGCTGGGCTACGAGATCGGCATCCTCGAGGCGATCTCGATGCCCATCTTCCTGGGTCTGTCCATCGACTACTCGTTCCACGTCGACCATGCCTACCGCGTCGCGGCGCACGACAACCCCAACGCCGAGCCGGCGAGGCTCGTGCGGCGCGCGCTGGAGACCGTCGGCGCTCCAGTCTTCGCGGCGGCGTTGACGACGTTCTCGTCGACGTTCGTCCTCATCTTCGCGCGGCTCCTGCCGTTCTCGAGGCTTGGCGTCATCGCGTCGATCAACACGACCTACGCGGCCCTGACGGCCCTCGTCGTCCTCCCGTGCTTCCTGCACCTGATGCCGTGCCTCCGGCGAGAGCGGGGCTGTTGGCAACGACCGCGGCCAAAACTACAGAAGCTCGCGCGGCGCTCGCGTAGCCTTCTGCGCAGCCTCAGCCCGGCGCCCCGCCCCCGGACGCGGCCGGCGGACCTCCGAGTCGAGATGAAGCTCGTCAGCATCACGCCCGGCGTATGAGTTTTAAGGGCACCGCGCAACGTAACATCGATCGAACCTCGGACACTACTCACCTTGGTTCCATGGTCCTTCCACTTTAATATGAACATGCAGCCACATCTAGGTCCAGGACCAGGGGGAGTACGTCGAGGGAGCGGAGAATTTAACCCCAGTCTCCCCATCTCTGCCCAGCACTCTCCTTTCTCATATTAAATATCCTGGAGGTCTTAACGTGCCTGTGCACATCCCGTGCCTCCGTGCGGGGAGGGCCCTTTTGCACGCCGCCGCCCGAGAGGAGGCTGCCCATTCCGTGCTCACGCGCTTAAGAGCGGCAGGAGCGGCAGCATGAGGTGCGGGGCGGCTATACTGCTGGCGTCTACAGTGGGCGCCGAGACTGATGATGCTCACTGCGGCTACGCCGCAGATGCATGGCGCATCACTCCTGCGGAGCAAACCGGCAACATGGGCGACGCCTGGACGGTACGCGAGCTTCACGTCTATGAGGACAGTGAATGCGAAGGCGACCCGATCCAAGCGACCTCGGTGTTTTCGAAGCCGAGTTATCCATCGAAGAAAGTCATCGTCGACGGAGACACGGGCTCGTTCTGGCAGGCCAATTGCGGCTACTCGGGCGATGGCTGCGCGGCCTACGGTCCCCACGTCGGTTTCTACACGGCGACAAACACAACGGCGCGGTGCGTCAAGTTGTACCAGTGCGCTGGGACCGGGTGCGCGCCGTCCATCGCGCTCCAGTATATGATCAATGGCGGCGACTGGACCACAGCGATCGTCTTCGACGCAAAACATGGCGCGTTTAAAGATTATCCAATTCATTTCCCTTGTCCCGCGACACCGCCGACACCCGGCCCAGAAAGTTCCCCTAGTGGGTCTAGTGACGCAAACGCTGCCTCGGCCGGTCTCATCACAGGCGTGGTCGTAGGGGCTGCTGTCGTTCTTCTCGTGCTCCTCGCTGGGTACTTTATTCTTAAGAACCGTCGCGCGGCGCCACTGCCAATGAAGGCGTCCGATTATTCAGCAGACGAGCTGCGGCCGGCGAAACCGCCCCGCGAAGGCGCTGCGGCAGCTGTCTAGGCACAGCTCCAGTCCTGAGTATCAGCCGCACACGGCTCGTATATTGATGCCATCGTGCAATCGTGTGCGTTCTCTACCGCCCCCCGGCCGGCGCGGCCTTGGCGTCGGCTCCGCTCCGCACTTATTTCCCCTCAACTGACGGGCAGACTGGAGTCCGAATTCCCGGTGGGTCTGCCCAGCGGGTCCCGGGCCTTGGTCCTAATGTGATCACAACTGCTCTCTACTTGCAACGGATATATCCTGGTAACGGTAGACTGTCCGTAAATAGAGGAGTATATCACAAGATTACATGACAACCTTCCAGATAGTGACTCTTAGCGTGCTAAGGAAGTAAGAGCGTGCCACAAAACAGAGCATGCAAAGAAAGGGCGCTGCCTCGCCGACTAAAAGCACGCTGCCCCACCCGCCGGCGCCCCACGATGCTCCGCCTGCTGCTCGCCCTCGCGCTCGCTGCCCCGGCCGCGGGCCAGGCGCCCAAGTCCACCGCGACGAAAGACTGCCAGTCGACGGTGGTCACCAGCCCCGCGGGCGACAATGGCTGCAACTACGGCGCCTGCAAGTCCCTCACGGGCGGTACCCTTACCTGCGCGTATGATAGTTCGTTTTGCGGCAGCACCGAGGACTGGCTCACCGCCCAAGATGTCATCGACGCGGGAGAAGAATGTACGTGCGAGCACATCCTAAATTACCCCAACAACATCGGTACGTGCTCGTCGTCCGGCGTCTACAGTCCCATGGCATTAGCCAGCGATTGCAGCGGCGGCACCGCGGTCTGCGAGGCCGAACCCGGCGGCCACTACATGATGGGCGACATTCAGAGTGGCGTGAAGCAGTTCACTTCCTGCGACCTGAAGTGTGATGCCTCAAAGGACCACAGGTACGACGTGCCCACCGACACCTACCAAGACTGCGAGTTCTACCAGGCGCAGTGGGCAACGCTCGGGCAGGCGCCGACGGGCCGCATGTACCCGCGGCGCATGGTCATGATGGACGACATGGCCGTCGTCGGGGGCTATGTCAAGTCGACATCAATGGAGAGTGACTATGAGGAAAATATGAAAGATAGGAATGGGTACGACTTTGAAATTCGCGGGCCGTTCTCGCGGTCCGACCCTGACGCGTCGGAGGGCACGTCCGTCCACGAGGACCTCAAGGCCTACAGCCCCCCCGGGCGCAGCTGGGACGAGTACGAAATGGGTTTTGTCAAGGTCGACACGACCACGGGCGTGCCCCAGGACATCATCCACTTCGGTGGCCATGGTGAGGATGGTCTCTGGGGCATCCACGCAAACTCTGACAACACGAAGATTGTGGCTTCGGGGTATTTCATCGGAAATCTAACCCTAGATGGGCTACCGACAATATACACCGTTAATGGTGGTATGAACAACGCCGCAGGATTAGGTATGGACGGCTGGGTGGCAACATTCGACGCCAATCTGGTGCCAGGCTGGTTAACTCGCTGGCCTGAGTCGGGGGTCGGGTCAACGGATAGCTCGCGCTGCATGGACGTTGACTTTGACTCTTCTGATCATATCTACGGTGTCGGCTACCAGTGCAGCACGGACTCGTGCGTCGGGGTCATGTCAAAGATGGCAGCGGCGGACGGCTCACAGGTGTGGGAGAAGGTTTTCACCGACGCGCAGCACTTCGAGCGCGTTTCCACCTCGAACGACGACTCGGATGATTTCTTCGTCCGGGGCAAGCTCTTTACCACAACCGGCGAGCCCACGGCGGAGAACCCGACGCCCTTTGGCGTGGCTTGCGCGGCGGATGACTGTGGTGTCATCGCGCGTATGTCCAGCGATGGCGCTGTCATCTGGGCTCGGACGATCGAGGGCGCCGACTGGAGCATGAGATACTTTTCGGGTGAGATTGAACTCGACGCCACCGGCGCACCCTACATCTACGTGGCTATGAAGGACGCAGCGCAAACTGGCGTCGTCTCCCTGGACTCGGGCACGCCCTACGCCGGCTGCAAGGACGACACGACCGGCGTGGTGATGCCGGCCTACGAAGTCAGCACGGCCAAGATGGTGACCGCCTCGGACTGCCCGTCGGGCTCGACGTTCGTCGACACCGACTCCGCCGACGCCGTCTGGGCTGCCTCGGCGAACACGGGCGTGCATTGCGCGCGCCACTCAGATGACGGTTGCGTGATGAAGTACCACGCGTACACCGGCCTGCCGATCTGGGCGTCGACGTTCGGGGGTCTTGATGCCATCGTCACGATGGCGGACGGCAGCTTACACGCCATCGGAGATGGCCGTGGGGTGCAGTTCGACTCGGTCTATACGCCGGATACGACCACCTCCTGGACCTGGCACGCGGAGCTCGACGCCACGACGGGCAAGGGCAAGTCTGTCAAGGCATTTGGCAGCGCGACCGGGTCCGGTTCTACCGTCTGCTACGACGCTGCCTCAACGCCTGGCGGCGACCTGATCATCGCCGGTTACTCGGCGGCGACATCTATTTATTTTGACGAGAGCTTCACGTTAACTTACCCCGAGGAGAACCAAGAGACACAATTCATGCTAATGAAAGTGGAAACGTCCGGCACCAAAGCTACGCCGTCGTGCATCTCCACGTGCACGAACGACAGGTCGACGACGGTCATCGAGGCCGGCTTCTGCTATATCGATGGTCTCTGCTACGCTGACGGGGTCACCGGCGAATCTCTCGGCCGCAGCTGCAAGGTCTGCGACCCCTCTAAGTCGCAGACGTCGTGGAGCGACGGTCCCACCCTCGGTGTCACAGAGTGCTTTATTGACGGCAATTGCGTGCAGGCCGCTGAATTTGATTACTTTACTGATCGGGGGGGACGGGCGACGGGATGTGTATATTGCGATGTATACTCAGAATGCCGTGCCTGCGACCCTGCCCAGTCGATTACGGAATGGACGGTTAACGATGGCTACACGGCTACCGGTGAAGCAATGCCGAACGACTGCCTAGCAGATGACACGACGACGGACACGACTGACTCGGGCGACTCGCCGGACAGGACGACGGCTGCGAGCGGCGGCACGCTCTCGGAGTCGGACGGCGCGCAGGCGCTTGTTGCCGGCGCTCTGGCCCCGCTCGCCGCGCTCCTTCTCTAAGTTGGCGGACCGCGACATCGACATCGAAATCGACACATCGTACCCCTCCCGAAGTTCCCCGCGATCGACGTCCGACCAAGCCAAGTCAAGTCCCAGGACGTTGAGCCGCCTCAGGCCCCCGCCAACTCCCACCGCTCTGGTCTCCGCCGAAGACCACCAAGTAAGGAGCACCCCTGGTGCTGTCGCGTTTAGACCACGCCTCTCGAGCCGCTGACACGTCTAGGTAGCGCCGTAAATTCGGGTTTACCCTAATTTCTCGGCGCGGAGGAGTCGTGGTCTATACTCGACAGCCCCTGGTGGGCGTGAACATAGTTCTACTAGTAGCATCTATTCTAGCCTACTTCTAGTAGTATCATCAGGGCGTAGAAATCGAAGGTACTCCCGAGTCGGGGCTAAGAAGATAATTAGACATATACGCGGGCGGCCTTGGCGTTCAGCGCTTCCCTAGCGCCCCCCCGAAGTACGGCGACGCCGCGAGCGCGTCCACGGCGCCGGCGTCCTCGAGCGCGTGGAGCTTCACCATCAGATCCGTGCCGCGGCCCAGCGCCTCGGCGCACGACCCGATCTCCTGCGCCGCCTGCATCGCGCCGCCGGCGAAGCCCATGACCTTCTGGTACTTCTCCGCGTCGGCCCCCAGGAAACGGCGCTCGACGAAGCACGTGGACGTGACCACGTACGACGCGAGCACGGCGAGCTGGCTGGCGTCGACCGCGCGCTCGAACGCGAGTTGCGCGTCGCCCAGGGCCACGGCCGTGGCGCGGAGGTGCGCGTCGTCGGGCGGCTCGCCCGCCCCCGTTGTCGCGGCGGCGGCCCACGCCGCGCGCGCGGCGTCGTCGTCGGCCTGGCGCGCGTCGCGCGCCGCCGCGAGCGCCGCCGCGACCGCGCCGACGACCTGCCCCAGCAGCGCCTCGTGCGCGACGAAGTACACCGCCTGGAACGGCGACGCGCGCAGCGCGCCGGCCGCGCCCACGACGCCGAAGGTTCCCTCGACCACCACGCGCGGCGCCGCGTCGACGACGAGGAGCTTCGGGCCCGCGGCGAGCTGCGCGTCGTCGGCGCCCTCGGCCCCGCCGGCCTTCTGCCGCGCGGCGAGCCACCGCGCGCGCCCGCGCCGCTCCAGCGCCGCGCCGAGCCGGCCCGCGACGAGGCCCTTGACCGCCTCCGCGAGCAGGTGGACCGCCTTGATGCCGAAGATCGCCGCGACGTGGCGCAGCGCGTCGTCGAGCCCGACCTGGCCCGGCAGCGCCACGAGCTGCTGCACCTGGCTCGCGAGCGCGACGCGCTCGACGGCCGTCGCGACGAACGTCGCGAGGCACAGGCTCAGGAACGACGCCCAGTGCGCCAGCGCCTCGCGCAGCGCGTCGCGCCACGCGCGGTTCCGCGCGGCGAGGGCCGCCGCCTGGACCGCCGCCTCGGCCGCCGCCGCCTCCGCGGCGGGCTCGTCCGCGATTGCGGCCTCGCAGCGCGCCGGCGCCGCGCCGGGGCGGTGCACCGCGGCCCAGCCGAGGCCCAGGCCCGCCGCCGCGCCCGCCAGCACGCGCGGCGCGCGCGCGCGCTGCCGGGCCGCCGACGACGCGGCGCGCGCTGCGACGCGGGGCGCACCGCGTCGCGCGCACGTCTGCGCTGCTCTGGCAAGCATGGGTCTCTTGGCCTCGGTGCACCCTCCTCTACGGCGCTGCTGCTCCCGCGGCGTCGTGTGCAACCACTGCCGCGGTGCAACCACCAAAAGGGTCAGCGAGAGGCTGCAAACTCTCGTACCGATACTATTACTAGTACTACCTGGTATATCGGTACCGTAGGTACCTACGGTACCTACCGTAGGTACGGTACCTGCGGTACCGTAGGTACCGCGGGTAGACCAGCAGGAGTAACATATCCCGTCGAGGAGGTGTTTTCCAAGGACTTTGAAAGAAAGACACAAATATAGTAAAAACCGACTCGCTCACCGCGCGGCCGCGGGGACGTGTCGCGCGACGATGACGGCGAGTACAACGAGCACGATGAGGAGGAGCAGGAAGCACAGGAAATAGGCGCAGCACCGGTGCTTCTGCACGCGGCGCCGGACGGCTCTCTCCAGCTGACGGTGCCCGCTCGTCGTCCGGTCGTGCGAGCGCGACACGAGGTCCTCGATCTCGTCGACGTCCTCCTGCTGCGCGCCGACGAGCGAGGCGATGTCGCGGTAGATCATGTTCACGGTCGAGACCTGGGCCGCGAGGCGCTCGATCTCCTCGGCGCGCTCGCGCTCGAGCTGCGCCGAGTACGCGTCCTCGGCGTCGATCTGCAGCTGGACCTGGCGGGGGCCGGCCGCGCCCGCCGCGCCGGGCGGGGCCCCTTCGCCGGGCGGGGCGTCGGCGCGCTCGAGGCGCTCGAGGGCCCGCAGCGCCGCCCGTAGGTCGCGCCGGGCCTGCTCGTCCAGCGCGTCCGGGGCCGCGGCCGCCCGGTCCGCCAGGGCGCGCGCGGCCGCGACCGCGTCGGCCCGCGCCGCGGCCGGAGCGCCCGTCGCCGCGGCCACCGCGCGCCGCAGGTCGTCTATCAGCTGCGGCGCGTCGTCGTCGTCGGGTTTAGTACTCGGCAAAAGGCTCCTGCCCTGTTCGGCGGCGTCCCACTCCATTTTGCCCGACTAGCTTAGTGATCTTCTATCTGTTTGTACCTTAGGTGATTCTTGTAAAATATTTTTTTTGTTGCAAAAAAAGGTGGTCAGGCCGCTCCACAGAGCGGCTAACCCTATGCGCCTGGGCTAGCTGCGAGACCAAGACGCCCGGCGCGGCAGCGGCGCAGCGTCTAAGCAATCGGAGGAAGCGTAAGTTCCAAAACCCGCCACTCGGCTAGGACAGCAAGGACCTCGGCCCCCGGCAGGACGGGATTGCGCTTTAAGTAGCCTCATTCGAGCATAAGGATAATCAGTTATTGGTCGATCACCCAAAAAGACGCTTGTCAATATCCATTTAGACACTTTACGAGCTCCTGTATACGGCTTGCCCGCACCCGCCGGCGGGGCAGATGACAAAAAAAGTTGGTGCGAGACTAGAACGATGGCGAATCGAAGACACGTTGCCGCGCTGCTCGTCCATTTCGCCCTCTGTTACGCGGGATGGGCGTCGGGCAAGGCGCCAGGCCTCCGCGCCACAGACGACGCGATACGAGAGACAACGATAGGCACCGTGTTGCTGGCGGTTCTGCTTTGCGCGATAGCCCATCGCTCCTACGTTGGCATCCTGGCGATCGGCTGCACGCTCTTCAAGCATCTCGCCTGGGTCCTCTTGCACACGGACGTTGGCATAACAGACACGCACATCTTCTGGGGCACCCTAGTGCTCCCGCTCGTCGGCGCGTTCCGCCCAGCGTCATCCCGGGCCACAATGGCGTTTGGCTTCGAACTCAGATGTATTGCCGCATAGGTACCATAGATGTCCCTATATTCTATTCGCCGGCGTCTATTCTTTCGGCACGAAGGTGATTGATAAGAACCACCACGCCGTCAAGGAGGTGATCCGGACGGGCCGACCGTGCTGCACGCGTGCCGAGTTCGAAGCGGCGAAGCTCGTCATATGCGTCGGTGTGTACCTCTCCGTCGTCCTCGCCTACGTTTTTTCTTTGCGCGTCCGGCGCGGCCCGCTCGTGGTCACGTGGGCCTGCGGCGGCGCCTGCGGGCATCTCCACCCGCGGCGTGCGAGGTATAGGCCCGTCGCCTACGAGTCCGACGAGGAAGGGACTGCGTCCGCGGAGAAATCTAGGCCGATTTAGTAATAATAGGAGAAGGCCTCTAGAGGCTTGGTGTATGTCCTTTCCTTTAGGATATTCCTTCCTTAATTATTTATTTTTACAAGTATTTAATACTCAGGCTCAGGCTAGTTACGTCGCAGGGTCCCCGTACCCCTCCCGCTCCCCCCGGGCCCACCCGTCCGGCTGGACTAGGACGCAAGGGCTGAGTCGCAGGGACTCGCACGCCCCCCTCTTTGGGACGCCCCCCGTCAGGATGTGGAACTGGCCGTCTACTAGTATACCTATCCGCTAGCCCGAGGCTCCCTTATAAGTTGTAAGCAGAGCGTCTCTCGCGGATGGCGTCGACACCCAGCCCCCTGAGTGACCCGCGGTACCGCGCCGGCGTTCGGCTGCGGCGCGGCGGCCGCTTCGAGGCCGCGGCCAATTTGTTAGCCGAGGTGCTGACCCTGGCCACCGAGGGCGCTCCCGACGAAAGGCAGCTCGACCCCGCGCTCGCGCCGCTCTACTACGAGTACGGCGTCGCGCTCGTGGGCGTCGCGCGCGAGGCCGCGGCGGCCGAGGAGGACGCCGAGGCCGCGCCGTCGCCGAAGCGGCGGCGCCTGGCCGGCGAGGCGGGCGGCGAGGAGGACGCCGACGCCGACGACGAGGAAAACGCGGACGACGCGGCGGTCGCGTGGCAGCTCGTGGACCAGGCGCGGTGCCTCTTCCTCGAGGCGGGGGACCGCGCCGCGGCGGCGCGCTGCGCCGAGCAGCTCGCGGGCCTCGCCGTGGACCAGCGCAAGTGGGCCGACGCCGTCGCCGAGTTCTCGCTCGGCGTCGAGTTCTACGACGCGGCCGCAGATTTGGATATCGAGGACCGCGTGCACCACCTCAGCTGCGTCGCCGGCCTCGCCGCCGCGCTCGGCGCGCACTTCGCCGAATCGCCGGCCGCCGACGTCGCGGTCAACGTCGACGGGCGCCCCGAGGTCGTCGTGGCGGCGGCCGAGGTCGCCGACCGGTGCGCGGCGCACGCGCGCGACGCCGAGCGGGGCCTGAACGCGCTCCTCGGCGAGCTCGCGGCGGCGCGCGCGACGCTCGACGCCGCGCGGAAGCGCGACCTCTGCGCGCTCGCCGTAGAGGTGAGCCACGCCAAGGAGGTCGCCACCGGCCTCGCGGCGCCGGCGCCCGCGCCGGGGTGACGCCTCGTCCTTACCGTCGCTCGATACGTGAATTACTAATGTGTTCTAGCCATAAAGACTGTGACGCACAGCCTGGGCATGACAAGCGACGGGGTAGATCTGATTTTCGGCATTTTTACATCCGAGTCAGATCGGATGCTCACGGGAACCCGTTCGCTTACAACCCAATGAAATATACTAGTAGACATCACCAGACTCCAGAATCGACCGCGACTTCAGGACCACTGCCGCAGCACTTTGCACGGATTTTTTGTCGTATTATATATGAGTTCGAGTAGAGAGTTCGAGTTCCGGCGTTTTTTACATCGTTAGGCGAACGGGGGTTTCCCCGGGCCCGTGAGCAGCGTCCGTTCTGATCATGATGTTAAAAAAACACCGCCGAACTTTAAACTCATGTAGTAGAAGCTTACTCAGGCGAGCCACCCGCCCCGCGGCACGGTCCGCGTGACGGGCTTGGAGTTAATGACGCCCTTCGGATCGGGCCTCGGGAGGGGACTGCGCAGCGCGTAGGCGCCCTCGACTCGCCAACCGTACATGGCGCCGCGTCCGTTCCAGTCGTATTCCGACCCGGCCGGAATGCGGTGCTTATCTTCGTCCGCGCGCCACTGTGCAAGCGACGTGTAGCGCACCGACTCGCTCGAAAATTTAATACAGCCGGTGATGTGCGCCCGCTGGCCCCGCTGCCGCTTTTTGCCCGGCGTCTCGACAACCCAGAACCACTCATTAGCAAAGCATTTTTGTTTGTCGATGTCATAAGTTCGCGTTTCGATCACTTTTGAGCCGTCGAGCAGCATCGGCGCCCAGGGGCGCTGCACGTTCAGCCCCCGCAGCGTAGCCCGGGTCGGCCGCAGCTGTACGTCGCCGCGAGTCCACGACGGCGGGCCCGCGGCGGTGGCTTTGCTCTTCTTCGATGGCGGTCCTTTGCCGCGCTTGCGAGTTGTTTGCTGTGGGAGCGCGGGGGGCTGTGATTGCTCAAGCGATGCCTTGATTGCAAGGCGGAGACTAGCCATAATATGTGCTGCGTGCGCGATGTGAGATAAGGGGGCGATCAAGCAGGCGAATCCACAGGCGAATCCACAGCAAGTTGTGTTGTAAGTACCGTAGGTACCACCATGTATCCTTTTTTTATATATCTGTCTTACCAAAGGCGGCGGTGGTGCGAACAGAACGCGCTCGTACCCGGGGCAGCGCCGGCGGAGGAGTTCCTCGTGGTAGCCCACAGCGCGCCCTTACGTTTACCGCGGCAGCAAGGGTGGTAAGCAAAGAACACAGCGAAGTCCTGTCGACGATGGAGGCGACGCTGCTCCCGCCGGCGGGCAAAGCCGCCGACCCCTACGCGTGCATCGGCACGAAGAACGCCAAGCACGTCCAGAACTGCCTCGAGCTGTACATGAACGACCGGGGCATCGACTACCTCCCCGAGGGCGTCTTCGAGCGCTTCATCGACCTGAAGTATCTGTGGCTCATGCGCAACAACCTCGCCAAGCTGGAAAATTTAGACGAGAACTTTCGCCTGCACTGCCTCTATCTCTCCAAGAATCGCCTCACGACCTTCGTCGACTCGTCGCTCGCGAAACTCAAGAACCTCGAGGAGCTCCACGCGAGCGACAACCAGCTGACGGACCTGCACGAGCACATCGAGGTGCTGAAGAAGTTGCGTCGTTTGAAACGCCTCGACCTCAAGGGCAACCCGCTGGCCCACGAGACGAAGTACCGGCTGCACGTGATCAAGCACATGCCCTGGCTGGAGGAGCTCGACCTGGTGACGGTGACGGACGCCGAGCGCGCCAAGGCGCGGCGCGTGACGCGGCCGACGTTCGACGCGACGCAGCCGCCGCCCCCGCAACTCACGGAAGAGGAGCGGCGCGCCGCGGCCGAGCGCGAGCGCGAGCGCGCGGAGAAGGCCGAAAGGCGGGCGGCCCGCGCGCTCGCGCCGATCAAGCGCCGCGTGCTCGAGAAGCGGATCCTGCTGCGACCGCACTGGGCCGAGGACGATCGAAGGAAGCGCGGGCTTATCAATCGGGCCAAGTTCGAGCAAGTCCTCCGCATCTACGCGCTGTGGCCCGAGCGGGACCGGGACGTCAAGGCCCTCGTGGCGACCTATGCGGCCGGCGACGACGACATGGAATACGTGCGGTTCTGCAAGGACGTCGAGCCGCGCGGCCACCGGGGCCGCGACCCCTACATCCGGGAGCTGCTCGAGGCGGAGGCGAACGCGAGGCCGTGCCCCGAGGTCTCGGTGTGCATGCGCATGGCGCTGAACAAGGCCGCCAAGATTCGGCGGCGCCGCGCGGAGGCCGAGGAGGCGGCGAAGCTGGCGCTCCTGGGGCAGGGCCCGGCCGTCGCGGCGACCGAGCCCGGCGCGCCAGTGCGGGGGACGGCGCGGCCGCCCTGCGACGTCTTCACGCAGTTCGTCTACCCCGAGGCGGCCGGCGCGCAGCCCGTGACCAACACGCAGCAGTACTCCGACGGGCGCGAGGGGTTTTCTCGGAGGGGGCGGCCGCCGCCCGTCCCGTCGACCCGGACAATAACTCTCTAAATAGACTGTTCGGTCACGCAGTCCCCGCGGCGGGTCGTGGCTAGGCGGCCTCGCTCTAAGAAAAGCAGACTAATATCTAAGACTAATAGATAAAGTTCGCGGTGGAGGCAAGTCAGGTAGCGCACCGTAAACTTGAAGGGCGAACCCGCTTTGCTTGCCAACCCGTATACGTCTCTGCGTCGAGGTCTCCCGGCACGCTACTCGTCCACGGTGACAAAATCGTGCGCGGAGGGCCAGGCGCCGAAACGCCATTCTAGTTCGCAATTTCGTTGGGCTCCATAAAAGGCGGCATGAGAAGCGATTGCCGCGGCCGCGGGCAGCGCGCAGACGACGCAGCGGCCCACCAGTGCCAGCAATGCAGTTCTCGTAGGACGCGCGTGCCTAGCGCGGCGCCGTGATAGCTGCCCCAAAGCAATGGAACCCAAAGCAATGGTCCTCGTCGCAGCAGCAGCCCTCCTCCGGTGGGCAGCAGCGCTTGACTGCAACTGCTCGGCGCCGCCGGCGAACCTGCACGCGTACGACTCGTTAATTATCGGAGACGCGACGGCGACCGCGTACGGCCGGGAAGCGGCCCGCATAAACCTAAACTTGAGCCGGGTGCTGGCCGCGTTTCCGAACGCCGGCAACGAAGACGCGTGCGCCACGTCCGCGGGGCTGGTCGCGTGCCTCGACCCCTATTTGGCGCGGTCCTGGCGCGCCGTCCACGTCAATTACGGCCGCGAGGACGCGCGACGCAACGTCTCCGCGGCGGACTACGCGCGGAACCTCGAGACGCTCCGCGACATGCTCCTGGCGCGGACGACGTGGAAGCTCACGTGGGCGTCGAGCGTCCCGCGCGGCGTTCCGGACGTCCGGCGCCTCGACGCCGCCGCGGAGCGCGTCTTCGCGCGGAACGCGTCGTTCGACGACCTCTCCGCCGTCCTGGACACGAACTGCCGGCTGGAAAACGGGTCGGGCTACCCGGAGACGGCCGGCTGCCCGCGGCTGCAGCGCGGCGACGGCGCGCTAAAGCAACGCGGTGCATACCTGCTCGGCCTGAACGTCGCCGCGAGTACGCTTGCGATCTCGGCGGCGGCGGCCGAGATCAACGACGTCCACGACGAGGGCGGGTCGTCGTCGAGCGACGGCGACGAGGGGCTGCCCGAATGGGCGGTCGTCGGGATATCGTACTCGACGTGTCTGCTCTTCGTCGGCGTCGCGGGCACAGTCGCGCTCTTTTGGCGGCGGCGGAAGCGCCGACGTATCGACGACGACGAGGCGCTCCTGGAACCGTTACTAGTGGAAAACTCGCAACGCACGCACGGCGTCGTGTTCGACCAAAGAAGCGCGCGCGTGCACGAGGGCGGCAAGGTCATGTGTGGAGGCTGGTGCTCGATCTGCGTTCTACTGGCGGCGTTTTGGACCGTCCTGCTTTTGTATCACTTCCCGCTGCACCAGGAGGGCGACCACAATTGCGCCTCGCGGTGCCCGGCCGACGCGAACGTGCTGTTCGGCGACAACGCGGTAGACGCAAATTATTCGAAGCCGAATTTGCTTTTCGTCGGAGACTCGATCTCGGGCCAGATCGAGCCGCAGGCGCGACGGCTCCTCGCGGCGCACGACCTGGGCACGACGCTCTTCGCGAGCACGGGCAAGGACGGGTACTGCGGCACGAGCGTCGGGCTCCTCGCCTGTGTCGACCCCTACCTGGCCGCGGGCAACTTCACGGTAGCGCACGTGAACTGGGGCATGCGCGACATCGCCTGGAAGATGTACGCCAAGGTGACCCGGGGCGCGTACGCCGCGCACATGGAGACGCTCTACTGGAAGCTGCGGAGCTCGATGCCGCCCAACGCCACCATCATCTGGGCCACGACGACCCCCGTGCCGTCCTTGTCTGTGTGGAAATCGAAATTCGGGCGCCCCACGCCATCGATGCGACGTCGTCGCCAAAAACTGCATCTGCTCGATGGCGTGGAGTTTTCAGGCCATCGACGCGACACTGTCCCCGTGACCGCGTCGGCTCGATGGCGTGGAGGTTCACGATGGTCCACGCAATATTTCTCAGGATAACCTAACTCTCTGGTTGATTTCCACACAGGCCCTCGTACAATAACCGGAAGAACTCGGACGTGCTCGAGGTGAACGACATCATCCGGAGCCTCTTCGGGCCGGCCGGCAAGTACCGGGAGGTGATCATCAACGACCAGTACGGCACGCTCGTCGACGCGTGCGCGTCGCGGCGCAACGCGTCGGACTGCTTCCCGGAGACGTGCGACTGCCCTGAAGTGCACAAGCACGAGGACATTCACTTGTCGGAGCTGGGCGCCCGGGCGCTGGGCGTCGCCGCGGCGGCCAAAGTCGCGACGTATCGAGCCGGGCACTTCGTGCAAACCGCACCCTGGACGGACCGTCGCGACACGCGCGACCGCGATACGTGGCAGTCGCAGCTGACCGCCTGGCAGCTTGCGCTGCTTTTCCAGGCGATGCTCGTGGTCTTTGCGATCGCCGCGGTGGGGTGCTGCCTCGGCTTCGCGCATCGACGGCGGCGCGCCGCCGTGACGCCGTCGGCGACCTACGGTGCCTTCGACGCCTTCGACAAGCTATTCACGCCGCCCGCGGTGCCGACGTCGGTGTTTTAGGGCACGTGTTCGTCTCCTCGTTTGAGTAATATCCTCCATTTGGTGCATTGTTTCCACTTACCTAATATTATCACCTCCAGGACTCGGACTCGGAGGGGATCTGGGTTAGAACTTCCGCCGAGCCGCCGCGAGGGTACGTCCTTGGGCCCCTATCCGTCTATATTTGGTCTCGGTGGACAACCATGGTGAGTTTGAATCTGGTGTCTCATTTACTTCTCGCTATCGAGGCTGCGAACTGGCTAGCGGTTCGGCAGAACTTCTTGTTCAGACGCCTAAGTACCATGGGAGGGCTATTTTGCGACGGTTGACTTAAGGGCGGCGCTTTTTGCACGAAAGGGGGACAGGGGTCGATCGCGCCTTCGATGGGGACGACTAGGCGGCGAGGAGGGCCGCGGCGGCGAGGCCGGCGGCGAGCATGGTCGGGGCGACGTGGCCGGCGGCGTCGGCGGCGCCGAGGGCCGCGCTGCACGTGCCGGACTCGGCCTTGCCGTTGGCGGTGAGCCAGTCCTTCATCGTGAGGATCTGGTGCGACTGGACCGAGACGATGTCCCAGAGCATGTCGTCGATGGCGCAGTCCGCGCAGCCGCCATCGTCGTCGAGACGGCGGCCCTCGCCGCGGAGCTTGCGGCGCGAGAGCGTCAACGCGTTCTGCTTCATCAATAACTTCGCCATATTGACCGCGTTCTCGTGGTGCGGGATCATCTGCCACATGAAAGAAACGACGTCGTTCGAGTCGAGCGTCGTCTTCATGTTGTAGTCCATGGCGCAGTCCATCGAGCTCAGGCAGTCGCCGAACGAGCCGCTCGGGGTCGCAGCGGTAGTGCACACGAAGTGCTCGTTGCCGCACGCGCCCTTGGACGTCTGGAACGCATCGATACCGTACGAGCCGCACGACTTGTCGTAGGTCGTGGGGGTCTTGTAGTAGTCGGCCGGCAGCGTCGTCGCGGCGGTCTTCGTCGACACGACGGCGCCGGTGGTCGCATCAGCGATCTTGATGATGCCGCTCATGCCCGCGTGGATGTGGCAGAAGTAGAACATGTCCGTCGCATAGGCCGTGTCTGTGATCGTGAGCTCGACCTTGTACTTCGTCGCGAGCCAGTCGCCCTTCGGGATGAAGAACTCCGGTTCGTAGTTGTCGAGGCCGAAGTCGTCGCCGCCGACGGGCGTGGCCGCTGTGTTGTCGTACGTCGTGCCGGCGAAGACGTTGTCCTTGAAGTATCTCGGCGCCTGGCACGTGTTGCCGGCGGCGCAGGCGTCGCCGGTCGTCTGCGTGATGCCGGGCTCGAGCTCGTCGACGCCCGCGTGGGCGCCGTCGGGGAAGTAAGCCATGCCGAGCGGGTGGTACCAGTTGCTCGCGTCGCTCTGGTCGAAGATGTACTTGACGCCCCGCTTCATCGAGATGACAGGCATGGCGACGTCGCCGCACTCGTTGAACTTGTAGTAGCCCGACGGACCCGCGTGCGGGTCGACCGTGGCGGTGAACGTGCACTCGGTGCCGGCCGTGTTACAGTTCGTCGTCACGCAGGGGTCGGCCTCCGTGCCCGCGCCCGTGCCCGCGTGCCCGGTCAGGCGCCGCGGCGCCTCGACGGCGGGCGCGACGCGGAGGTTCGGGGTGGAGAGCATGCGGTGGCTGTGCGTGCACGTGGCGCTTTCGGGCTTGGAGTTGGCGGCGAGCCAGTCCTTCATCGTGATGACCTGGTGGCCCTGCACGACGATGATCGACCAGAGCATGTCCTCGATGGCGCAGTCCGCGCAGCCGCCGTCGTCGTCGAGGCGGCGGCCCTCCTCGCGGAGCTTGCGGCGCGTGATCGTGAGCGCGTTCTGCTTGAGGAGGAGTTTGGCCATGTTGATCGCGTTCTCGTGGTGCGGGATCATCTGGTGCATGAATGAGGCGACGTCGCTCGCCGTGTCCAGGGTCGTCATCATTTCCGTGTCCATCTGGCAGTCCATCGCCTTGAGGCAGTCGCCGAACGAGCCCTCGGCGAGCGTTCCGGTGTGGCACAGGAACTCCTCGTCGGTACACGTGGCGCCCGACTTGTACGACGTGGAGCCGCCGTCGAGGCCGTAGGTGCCGCACGACTGGTCGTAGGTTGACGGCGTCATGTAGTAGGTGGCCGGGTCGAACACAGACGTGGCGTGGGCGGTCGAGACGGCGGCCGCCGAGGAGTCGAGGACCTTGATGACGCCGCTCATGCCCGCGTGGATGTGGCAGAAGTAGAACAAATCCTTGGCGTAGGTCGTGTCCGTGACTGTGAGCGCGACGAAGTACAGATTCTCGGACCACTGGTCCTTGGGGTAGAAGAACTCCGGCTCGTAGACGTCGAGGCCGAAGTCGTCGCCGCCGACGGGCGTGGCCGCCGTGTTGTCGTACGTCGTGCCCGTGAAGACGCCGTTCTTGTAGTACATCGGCGCCTGGCACGTGTTGCCGGCGGCGCAGGTGGTGCTGCCGCCGGTCTGCGCGATGCCGGGCTCGAGCTCGTCGACGCCCGTGTGCGCGCCGTCGGGGAAATAAGCCATGCCGAGCGGGTGGTACCAATTGCTCCCGTCGGCCTGGTCGAAGACGTACGTCGAGCCCTGCTTCATCGCGATGACGGGGTTGGCGACGTCGCCGCACTCATCAAACTTGAAGTAGCCCGTCGGGCCCGCGAACGGGTCGATCGTGGCGGTGTACTTGCAGGTCGTCTCGTAGGGGTTGCTGACGGCGCCGTAGCCTGCCGCGCAGTTCGTGCCAGTCTCCAACGACGCGGGGCAGCCGCCCTCGCACATGCAGCAGCCGCCGGTGAGCGTCGTCGAGGGGTAGTGGTGGCCACTTGCCGCGGTACAAGTCGCCTCGTCGACGTTACACGTCCAGCTGCCGTGCGCGCCACCTGCGCCGTAGCAAACGCCCTTGCTGAGCGCGTAGCGGACGTCGCAGTTAGTCGTGTGGCAGGGGTCGGCGTCCGTGCCCGAGCCCGTGCCCTGCACCGTCGCGGCGGCGCCGCGGGCGGCGGCTGCCAATACCAGGATGAGCTTAGCTGGTGTCATTGTACCGTAACTTCCGCGAGATGTTTTACCGCGCAGCGGGGCAGCCTTCGGGGGGCAGCGGGGCTCTCTTGAGGGCCGGGGGCGGCGACGGGGGCGACGCAGTGGCGGCGAACAGCGGCCTTTTGCTCGGCCTGTTCATGCACGTGCGAGACCCAAGGCTGAAGTCCAAAAGTGACTATTATTGAGGCGCGCACTTCGACCCAGAAGGCCGCGACACAGTGCTCTGAAGAATGCTGCGAGAGCGGGTCTAGGCCTCAAACCGCCAAAAGGTCATGTCGCTGAGACACTGGCCCTAAGACCCGATCGATTGAGACTTGGGACGTGAAGGCCCTCAAAATCCACTTCCCAGGCTTGCAAGGGATGTTGAGTTATTCCAGGGATTTTCCGGATGAGTTTCACGAATGTACCGCATGCGGTACATTAGTATCGTCCTCGGACTTGGCCCTGGGGTAATGATCCCCGGAGGACGGGCAGCACGGGCGAATGGGACAACGTGGTGGCCCACCGCCCGAGGCTTCTTGCCCAGAAGTAGCCCGAGGGACTGGCTCGCACCCGTTTCGGTCACAATCGGAGGCCGTGATCTTGGACCACGGGCGGGTATAGCCGAAGCGCAGACGTACGTCCGGGAATCGGGATACGTGCACACCTTGGGGGGGGGGCGGTTTTTTAGGCGCTAGCGGCCTAGGCCCGTACAGGTAAGACACTAGGCATCCCTAGAGCTATGCTTAGCAGTGCGCTATCCGATGGCTGCCCCTCGTACGAGACAGGCCCGCTAGTGCTGTCCGATCCGCGCGGGACGCCATGATGTGGGGCACTTCTCCCTCGACCACGACCTTTAGCTCGCGCGCGGTAGTCGTCGACGACATAGCCCTCGAGGAGCCGGCGGACGGCGGCACGCTGGACGAGGAGTGCGTCGTCTTGGACGAGGACGGGCGCTTCGACGCCTACAAAGAGGTGTGGCAGCCGTTCGACGAGGAGAAGCGCCTCGACTTGAGGAGGCATGCGCGCATCGCCGGCGCGGAGACCGCCAGGGACGCGTTGCAGGGTCTGGAGGACCTCACGGGCCTCTTCGACGAGTCGGACGGCTACGACGACGCCTCCCTCGACCTGGGCGACAACGAGCTGGGCACGCGCGGGGTGGACGACCAGCCGCGCATGAAGGGCGTGGGCCACTTCGTGCCGCCGCCGCCGCTGACGGTCTTCGTGGCCGAGAACATCATCACGAACTGCGACTGGGGCTTCGCCGGCCTCGGGCTGAGCGACAACGACCTCGGCGCGCGGTCGCAGCTGGGCCTGCAGAAGCTCGCGGAGGGCGTGGGCGCGCGGCTGGGCGCCGCGGCGCGCGAGGGCCACCTCCCCGGGTTCACGCACCTGCGCTGGCTGGACCTCAGCGGAAACCTGTTGCTGGGGGCCGACGGCATGCGCAACACCGGCCTGGCCGCCTTGACGCAGGCCCTCGAGGGCGCGCCGGCGCATACGGCCCATCTGGAGAAGCTCTGCCTCGGGCGCAACGCACTGCACGAGGCCGCGTGCGCCTTCGTCGCGCAGATGTTGGACGCCCCCGGCCTCGCCGCGCTGCGAGCCCTGGACCTGTCCGACAACTACCTCGGCCAGGACGCGGCGGGGCGGGCCGCGCCGTCGGGCCTGGTGGCCCTGGCGGCGGCGTGCGGACGCCATTATAGTTTGACGGGCTTGGATCTCAGCCGGAACGGCGGTTTTGACGATGCCGCGGCCGTGGCCATCGTCGACCGCTGCACGGAGAAGCCGATCGGCGGCGGCGGTATCCAACGGATAAGACTGGGCGGCAACCCGCTCTGCGGCGCGCGGACCGCGCGGCGCCTCGCGCGGGCGTGCGAACTGTCGCGGACACTACTCGACGCGGACCTCTGCGACCTGGACCTGCCGCGGCCGGCGCTCTACGATCTTTGCGACGCGCTGCCGCGGTGCTTGAGCCTGCGGGGGCTGGACCTGAGCGGCAACTGGCGGTGCTTCGCCGGGGACGAGCCTTTACTCCAGGATCCGCGCTACCGGCGGAGTCCCAGCGAGGCGTTGCTCGACGCGTTGCGGCGGAACTGCGCGTTGATGCAAGTACGGTTAAGTCGGTGCGACGTCGACCCCGACGCCATGCGCGCGATCGGTCGGTGCCTCCGCGCGAACAGATGCCTGCCGGACCTCATCAAACGGCCGGTGCGGTGGCAATTAGAAAGCAGCGGCGACGCGAAGAGCGAGTTACTCCGGAAGGTGTGCTTCCTGGATTCTGATATCCAGCAGCTGCTGCGGTCGAACCTGAGCTTTCTCAGGGATTCGGCCGCGTCGGACGTCGTCGACGCGGTCGCGCCGCCGTCGCACAAGTGCCTCATGACGAACGACCCCGCTTCCTTCCTGAAGCTCAACGACCGGAACTGGATGCGCAAGTTCGCCGCGCGGCGCATCCAGGCGACGTGGTTGGCCAAGCACGCGCCCCCCGCGCCGACCGGCGACGGCCCGACCGAGGCCGAGCTCGCCTACGAGGCGTCGCTGGCGGAGCACCAGCGGCTGACGGGCCATTCCGGCGGCGCGTTTCTGCCGCCGACGGGGCAGCGGAAAAGCTCGTCGCGGCGGCGCGGGCGGCGGCGCTAAGTGTGTCTACTAGTACTAGCCTGAGTACTTCCCTGGGCTCGGGCCGGGGAACGTGACCGCCACTAATCCCGCCACTGACCAGGTCTAGAGACCGGGTCCACTGGCACTGGCAGATCCACACAAAGGCAACAATTACTCGAGCGCGCAGGCCGGCGGCCTGCCCGAGAGCCGCGCGCGGCACGCGTCGCGGGCCGGTGTAGGCAGTCGTTCTAGCGCGTCCCACCACGCCCGCGCCGCCGCCGCGTGCGCGGTGCAGACGGTGGTACGCGGGCACGCGTCGTGCAGCCCGGGCGCGCAGCCCGCGGCCGTGTCCGCGCACCAGGGCACGCTCTCCTCAAAGAAGTGGTACGCGTCGAACTCGCGGGACAAATCCGCGAGCGTCGACGAGCAGCGTCGCTTCGCCCGCCCCGGCGTGGCGGTCGACCAGTCCTTCGACGTGATCGCGCGCCAGTCGCTGAACGCGCGGTTCAGGGCGGGCTGGTCGTGCCCGGGACAGAGCCCGCGCTGGTGGCGCCCCAGCCGGAGGGCCTCGTCCGTGTAGGCGGCGTAGGCCCGCGCGCCCGGCCGGAGGAGCATCAGCCCGGAGTTGAAGCAGCGTTGCGCGAGGCCCTTGCGCTCGAACGGCACCGCGGCGAGACGCTCGGAGTCGCCGTACGTCTTCCAGAGCGCGTCGAGCCGCGGGCCGCTCGCCGGCAGGGGGACGTCGTCGACGTCGAAGAACAGCACCCGGTCGTAGGGCAGGAGCCAGAGTCCCGCCTTGCGGTTCGCCGGCACGCCGTCCTTGACCTTGAGGGCGCCGCTCTTACTGTATCGGACCTTGGCGACGGGGGGGCCGTCGAACAGGCTCCAGGTGCTTCGCAAAATACTCCGCGTCGCCTCGCTCACGTTCCAGACGACGCACGCGCGCGGCCGCGCGGGGTCCGCGTCCCGCAGCGCGCGGCCGAGCACCGCGGCGCCGCACGCGAAGGGGCCGTCGCCGTAGACGAGCGTCGCGTAGGCCTCGCGCGGCCGCGCGACGCCGAGGAAGCGCGCCAGCTTGGCCGAGGTGCCGTCGCGGGCGAAGTCGCTCTCCGCCAGGACCAGGGCATCGTCTCCACTTGTTTGATGGGCTTGCGTGGCGACGCGGACGAACCGCACGGTCGATTCGTACGCGAACGTCTTGGCCCACTTGCGCTGGACGAGGTCGTCGGAAGGCGGCGGCAGGCCCAGCACCCGCGGGATGCGGGCCGCGCCCGCCTTCTTCGCGATGAGGCAGGCCAGCTGGGGCAGCGTCTCGAACGCGTCGCCGTCCGCCTCGAAGTGGAACTTCGCGCGACCGGCCGCCCGCAGCCGCCTATGGTCGAAGCTCTTGTGGTGGAAGGCGAGGGGCGCCTTCGTCAGGAGGACGTCGGGGTGCCGCGCGAGCGCGTCGAAGACGCGCTCCGAATCGGTCTGGAGTATGACCAGGGGCGCCCGGTCGCCCAGCGCGACGCCCGGACACGCGGTCGCGGCGCCGTCCCAGACCCGACCCGCGAGCACCCTGTCCGAGAAGCCTTCGCCGGCTTTGGCGTCCAAGAATCCGTCCTCGTCGACGGCCAGCGTGCGATTTATGCGCGGCAACTCGTCGCGGAACGTCCCGCCCAGGCCGTCCCGGCGGTCGCTCCAGATGCGGTAGTGGAAGAACGCGGCCTCCGTGACCTCGGTCTGAGGGTGCTGGACCGCGCGCGCCGCCGCCGAGGAGCCGTTCGCGACGACGGCGTGCAGGTGCTGGTCGTCCGGCAGGCGCGCGCACGCCGCGGCGCGCGGGCACGACTCGGCGAGCCAGTCCATTTTCCGGGCGACGCAGGGCCGCTCGACGCGCAGCGGGACGGCCGTCGGTGCCAGCCGCAGGGCGGCGCGCGGGCCCTGCGCGTGGGCCGCCACGGCGGCCGCGCACCGCGCTCCCGTCAACTGCGCGCAGCGGAACACGCGGCCCCCGGTCCACCAGACGCGCCCGAGGCCGTGGTCGCTGAGGACGGCGGGCAGCACGACTACGGACAGCGGCCGCAGCAACCGTTGAGCCTCCCCCGCCGAATAGCCGCGGGACCCCGGCAGTCGTCGAAACCTGCGGGGCGATCCCACGTCAAGGCGCCCGTCGAACTCTCGGGTTGGGTTTCCGCGCGGGACGCGACCGGGCCGCGAACTCCGCGGCCTCTCCGTCCACGACCGGCGCGAAGAAAGCGCAGCTGTAGCACGCCTCGGCCGAGACGTAGCGGTTCGCGGGCTTTTCCGGGTAGACGGTGGGGCAGCCGCGCGTCGCGTCGAACGACCGCCTCGTCTCGAGGCTCAACCGCCCCCCCCGGGCCTTCAGGTCCAGGTTCCGCAGGAGGGCCGTCGACAGGTGGGCGCACCGGAGCCACCGCAGCTGCACCGCGTCGTCGTCCAACCGCAGCAAGAACCACTGGCCCCGCGCGAACAGCCGCATCGGGTCCTCGCCCTCCGCGAAGCTCCACGTCGCCGCGTCGTACCCGCGACTCGCGTCGGCCCACGGCTTTACGTCGCCCCAGACCACGTCGAGGTCCGCGAACGTCGCCCGGTCGAAACCCTCCCGCATCAGGCGCTCGCGCCAGGCGTAGACCCACAGCGGCTTGAGCTCGATGACCAGGGAGGGCATTCTGCGCAACGCGCCCACAATTTTCTCCCTCGTCGCTTTCGCCGACGGCGGGTCCAGCCGCAGCGCGCGCGCGGCCGCCTCGCCCAGCCCTTTCGCGACGCCATCCGCACCGACCTCCCACACGCGCGCGTGGTCCAGGCACTCGCGCGGGACGATCGCTTTGTCGTCGACGACGAGCACGAGCGTCGCGTCAGTGTTGAATTGGAGGGACGCGCACGTCGCGCGCGCGTAGCGCGGCAGCGGTTTCGGGCCCAGCCAGACCGCTACGAGTGCGATCTGTGCCGCAAACGTGCCGTGGAGTGCCAGCAACGCGCGCCACGCTCGCCGCATGATGCTTCGGAGCTGCCCCGCTCCGCCTTTGTATGACCTTGTTTGCTGCACGGATCAATCAACCGGCAGCGCAATGCATCGCGCCCCTGTTTAGCGCGTAGCTGAATGCCGCATGCGTACCATATATGGTGCCCGGCTCGCGCGCAGCGGCTCCATCAGCACCGCAAATTTTATCACCGCCGTACCGAAGGTACCTACGATACCGTACCGTAGGTACCAAATAAATAAATAACTATATATTTAAGGAAGGAATATCCTAAAGGAAAAGGACACACACCGGACATGGTAGTCACAAGCTGAGAAATCGACCACGAGAGCACCAGCGACGGTGCCGTCACTATGAACCTTGGCGCGATCGTTTTTACTCTCCCCTTTGAAGTAAAATTTACTACTAAAAACCTATCCAGACAACGTACACTACCAGTCGAAACAAGGACAGAGTTTGAAGTTAGCTAAGAACGGGGCACGCGGCGCTGTCGACGACGCGAGGAAGTCTCTATGAAAGGCGAGCGGGACGTGCGAGCGAGGTGGGGAACAACAGAGCCACGTCGGACGTCTCTTCGTTGCCAAAAGGGTGGTTTCTGAAGAAACCGGGTAAGTTGTGAGAGGACGGAAGACGCCACAAACCAATAAGGTTCGAAACGCTTACGAGCGCTCGCCGCGGATGCGGCGCGCGAGCTGAATGTCCTTGGGCATGATCGTGACGCGCTTGGCGTGGATCGCGCAGAGGTTCGTGTCCTCGAAGAGGCCCACGAGGTAGGCCTCGGCGGCCTCCTGGAGCGCGAGGACGGCGGAGCCCTGGAAGCGGAGGTCCGTCTTGAAGTCCTGCGCGATCTCGCGCACGAGGCGCTGGAACGGCAGCTTGCGCACGAGGAGCTCCGTGGACTTCTGGTAGCGGCGGATCTCGCGGAGCGCGACCGTGCCGGGGCGGTAGCGGTGCGGCTTCTTGACGCCGCCCGTGGCCGGGGCCGACTTGCGCGCCGCCTTGGTGGCGAGCTGCTTGCGGGGCGCCTTGCCACCGGTGGACTTGCGGGCAGTTTGCTTCGTGCGGGCCATTTTTGTTACGTGATGTGTTGGTACTTGGACGAGCGCCGAGGCTGGAGACCGGGTCACCGCGGCACCCCCACTCTTTAGGTCCGTTGAATTCCCCCACATACCCAAACTAGGCCGAAACGCCTCAAGACTCCGGCGCCGCCCCGGAAACGCGTCCGCGCCGGGGCCCCCGCGTCCGCGCCGGCCCGCAGGCAGCGTTTCGAGGCGTTCGGGCCGACTTTGGGTATGTGGGGGAATTGAACGGACCTAAAGAGTGGGGGTGCCGCGGTGAGCCCGGTCCCCAGCCTCGGGCCTCTGCCCAGCTCCAACACATCGGACCAAACACACATCACTAAATCATGTCTGGACGCGGCAAAGGTGGCAAAGGCCTCGGCAAGGGCGGCGCGAAGCGCCACCGCAAGGTCCTCCGGGACAACATCCAGGGCATCACCAAGCCCGCCATCCGCCGCCTCGCGCGCCGCGGCGGCGTCAAGCGCATCTCGGGCCTCATCTACGAGGAGACCCGCGGCGTGCTCAAGGTCTTCCTCGAGAACGTCATCCGCGACTCCGTCACCTACACGGAGCACGCCCGCAGAAAGACGGTCACCGCCATGGACGTCGTCTACGCGCTCAAGCGCCAGGGCCGCACGCTCTACGGCTTCGGCGGGTAAATCTACCCCCGAGCCCGGGCCGCCGCGCCGCCGCTGATCAAGACCAGCGGTGGTTGCCCACGGCCCATCTCATTCACACCCGGTTTCTTCTGAAACCACCCTTTTTCTACGAAGACTGCTCTACGCCTTGTGCCGCTCTCCCCGCCTTCCGTGCCGCGCGCGCCGTTCGTCCTAGTTACTTACTCTCACTTCTAAAGAACACCACACTTACTAGTACCCGGGGCCTACAGTCCAACGGTGTGCCCAAGGAACCAGAAATTTGCGCTGCCCTAGCCGAAGCTCCCGCACTTGCGGGCCCAGAGAACCGAGGGAAGAAAAACACATTCTAATCATCATCACGAGACCATGCAGACGGCCGCGGGCCGCCCGGGCGCGAGGCGGTCGGCGCCCCGACACGCCTCCGCCGCCGCGCGGCCGGGCGGCGCGGCGCAGTCCACGACCTCCGCGCCCCGTCCCTTGGAGTGGGAGAGGTTGCGGGGCGCGGGCAGGTCGCGCGACGCGCACGCGGCGAAGAGCTCCGGCTTCGCCGAGTGGAGCTGCGCGGCGAGGCACGGCCAGGGCGCGAAGAGCGCGGCGACCTCGTCGAAGTTCACGACGAGGTCTGACAGACCCTCGGGCGTCAGCTTGACGAGGTCCGCGCGCTTCGGCGCCGGCGGCGGCAGGCCCAGGGCGCGGAACAACTCGCGCGTGGCCCCGGCCGCGTCGAGCTGGAAGTCCTCGTAGCGCGCGCGGAAGGCCACGCGCACGCCCTCGAACGCGACGGCCAGGCCGAGCCGCCCGAGGGCCTTCTCGGTCGCCTTCTGCAGGAACCGGGCGGGCGCCACGTGGAGGAACGCGCGCGGCGCCGCCGCCGCCGCCGCCGCGTGGGCGTGGTTCGCCAGCGCCGCCAGGGTGCACGCCGACCCGTGGTTGTGCTTGAGGTAGGAGAGCGCGTGCTTGGCGACGTTCGCGCGGTCCCACGTCACGAACTGGACCGCGGGGAGCGCGGCCGCGACGGCGCGGAAGTACGCGTTGTGCCGCCGCGCGCGCGGGAGCGCCGGGAGCGTGTCGGCGTCGTCGGGCTCGGGCGCGACGGCGGCGACGCCCGCGCAGGACGCGCTCCGTGACCCGGGGCAGCCGCGGCAGTACGCGTTCCAGCGGCAGTTCCGCTCGGCCGCGGTGGCGTCCGGCGGCGCGAGGGCGTGGCCGCCGCCGCAGTTCTCGCAGCCGTCGTCCGCCGTCGTCCGCCCGGGCGCGCCGAGGCACGCGCAGCCCGTCGCGAAGAGTCGGCGCAGCGCCTCCACGCGGTCCGCGAGCGCAAGGGCCTGGGTCTCCGGCGACGGCGTGCGGCAGCACCGCCCGTCGCACACGCCGCCGAACTGGAAGAACGTCGACACGTTGTGCGCGGCGAAGGTCGTCGCGATCCACTTGGACCCGCTGTGGCCGCTCGAGCGCTTCACGAAGATCGCCGGGCGCGCCGCCGCGGCCGCGCCCCCGACGAGGAGTACTGTGAGGCGCATGGGTGCCGTCAAGGGAGGCTTGGTCCGCGCATCAGTGGACGCGTCGCTTGCTCGCGACGACTCGAGCAGCCCACATGCCGCAGTGCCGCTGCCGGCCGATGCCTCGGGGCAGCGGAACCCGTCAAGGCACCGATATTGTGCGCGCCGTGTAATACGAATGTAAAACCCGAAAACCGCCGTCCGCCGTCCGGCCCCGGCCCCCTCAGTGAGGCTGCCCCAAAGGGCTGCCCATGAGGGCTGCGGCTCTCGTGCCGCTCCTCTTGCGCGGCACGCATGCGGAAGAGACCGCCGAGCAGCGCTACGTGCGCGCCGCCCGCGCGCGCTGCCCGCCGCCGCCGCCGGGAGACGACCTCTACGACTGGCGCCGCGGGCAGGAGGCGCGGGCGTCGCTCCTCGACGCGCGCGCCGCGGTCGAGGCCTACGCGTGCCTGCTCGACGCGTGCGTCGCGGCGCCCGGCGGCGTCGAGCGGTGCCGCCTCTCCGCGGCGGACGGCTGCGCGCTGCGCGCCGCCGCGGCGCGCGCCGTCGTCGCGCGGGGCGGCTCGTCGCTGGCCGCGCCGGGGCTGCTGGCGCGGGCGCTCCACGAGGCGGCCGTCGCGGGCGCCGCGGCCCTGCGGGACCCCGGACAGAGACGCCGCACGCGCGGCGCCGCGCGCGTGCACCTCGCCGCCGCCTGCGCGGCGACGGGCGACTTGGCCGCGGCGGCCGACGCCGCGGCCGCGGCGCTCGCCGACGCCGACGCCGGCGGCGCCGAGGGTACCGTCGCCGCCGCCATCGGGGGCGAAGCCGGCGCGCTCGCCGCGGCCGCGGCGCTGCAGCTCGGCGCGGTCCTCGTCGCCGCGGGCGGCGACGGCGCCGGCCACGGCGCCGCGCTGCTCGCGAACGCGACGGCGGCGCTCGGGCACGACGCGACGGCGGCCGGCACCGGCGCCGCCGCGGCGTTCCGCGGCTTCGTGCTCGAGCGCCTCGGGCGGCCGGCGGCGGCGCCGGGCCCCCCGTGGGCCGACGACGGCCTCGAGCGCGGCCGGGCGGCGCTGGAAGCCGCGCCGGGCCTCGGGCTCGTGGCGGCCGCCGCCGCGCGCGGGCCGCCCGCCGGCCGCGACGCGGAGCGCCTGAGCGACGCGCTCGAGCGCCGCGGCCTCGAGGCGGCGGCGGCGGCGCACGCGGCGCGCGCGGCGCCCTTCGGCGCGGCGACGCCGGCCGCGCGCCTCAAGGCCTTCCTGCGGCTCCCGGCCGTGCGCCGCGGCGTCGAATGCGCCCCCCGTCCGGCCCGCGGCCCGAAACGACGCGCGCGCAGGTGCCGCGGTCGCGGCGGTGGCTCGCCGCGGCGCTCGACGCGCTCGAGGCGGGGCTCGCCGCGAGGGACGACGAGGGCCGCTACCGCGGCCCGCTCTTCGTGGGTGGCGCCGACGAGGAGGACGAGGCCCCTAAAAGGAACGACGAGTGCACCCTGCAAGACCTGCCGCGGCTCCTCGACGCGGTCCTGGCGAAGCTGCACCACCTCCACGTCGACGACGACGTCGACGTGGCCACGTTCTACGACGCGGCGCCGCGCGGGCCCTCCCTCGTGAGGCGGCTCCTCGAGCGCGTGCGCCGCGCCTGCCCCGCCGCCTCCGTCGACGGCGGCGCGCCGCGGCCCGCGACGCCGGCGGGCGAGCCGATCCGCGTCGGGTTCTTCAGCGGGCGCCTGCGGCGGTCGCCGGCCGTCCGGTTGGCCGTCGCGGCGGCGGCGGCGCTGGGCAGGGACGGCGCGTTCCGGACGGTCGCGTGCTGCTTCCCTACGAGTCCCGCGGACGAGTGGACGCGCGCGGCCCTCGCCGCGTTCGCCGAGGCCGCGCCGCTGCCCGCCGACGGCCCGGGCGCGGCGCGGGTGCTGGTGGAGGCGCGCCTAGACGTGTTGCTGTTCGTGGACCTGCCGCTCGACGCGCGTGCGCTGCCGTTCGCCTCGAAACGCTTCGCGCGCGTCCAGGCCGCGCTCGTCTGGGCGCACTTCGGGGGGAGCCCGGGCCTGCCGCAGCTCGACTACTACCTCGGGCTCGACGGCGCCGCCGACCAATCCAAGTTCGCGGAGCAGGTCGTGCGGCTCCGTCCCATGACGCTGCCCCCGGACCCGCCGGCGCTGGGCGAGCGCGAACGGAGGCGCGGCGCGGACGCGGAGGCGCGGCGCCGGCTCCGGCGGCGGCACGCGGCGCCCGACGCGCACCTGTTCGTCGTGCCCGCGGCGCTCGACCGGCTGGCGCACCCCGCGGGCGACGGCGCGCTGGCGGCGGTGCTCGCCGCGGACCCGAAGGCCGTCGTCGTGGTCGCCGCCGCGAAGGCGCCCTCGGAGGACTTCCCCGACCGCGCCGACGAGCCCCCCGCGGCGGCGCCGCCCGTCGCCGCGGCCCTCCAGCGGCGCATTTGCACGAGCGGCGGCTGGAGCCTGGCGTCCGAGGCGTGCGGCCGCCTCCGCGTGCTCCGTCCGCTCCCGGTGTCGGAGCTGCGCGCGCTCGCGCGGGCGTCGGTCGCCGTCCTCGACCCGACGGTCGCGGGCCACGCGGACGGGCTCCTCCTCGCCGCGCAGGAGCACGCGCCCGTCGTGTCGCGGCGCTCCGGCGTCGTCGACGCGCTCGCGGGCCGGGGCCAGGCCCTGGTCGCGGACGACGACGCCGCGTTCGGGCGGGCGGCGCTCCGCCTCGCGACGCAGAGGGACCTGCGGCGCACCGCGGTCGCGGCCGCGCGGGCCAACGCCGACGTGCTCTTCGGGGGCGACGCCGGCGGGGACGCGGACGACCTCCGCGCCTTCCTCGCGGCCGCGGCGGGCCGCCACCCCCTCGCCGCGGCGCGCGCGGCGGCCGCGCTGCGCCGCCGCGCGGCGCTGGTCGTCGCGGCGGCCGTCGCGGCAGCCGTTGCGGCGGCGTTGACCCTGCGAGCGCTGCGCCGTCGCGAAGGCCCCCCGCCAGCGCCGCGGCGGCGCCGGGCGAAGGGCCGCCTGTGATGAACCGTTTGAAGCTTTGTTAATTATATAGTGATATTTGGACCTTTGCGCCCTCCGTCCCCAGCTTCAAGTGCAAAATTCATTACTATTTACCACACGCACACGCACACGACGCGCCGGGCGGCGGCGCCCGCACGACGGCGAGGACCGTCGTCCCGAGGTGGAAGCGCCGCAGCGACACGACCTCCAGCCCCGCCTGCTCGATGACCCGTACGTAATCGCGGTTCCAGGAGCAGCCCCAGCGCAGCAGGTGCTGCGCGGCGTGCCGGTCCAGGAGCCGGTTGAGCCACGCGTAGTGCGCCCGTCCGTGCTCGAGGAGGAGGACCTCGCCGCCGGGCCGGACCGCGCCGGCCATGGCTTGTAACGCGGCCACCGGGTCGTCGACGGAACACAGCCCGAACGTGTCGACGACCGTGTCGTACGCGCCCGCGACGGTCTCGACCGCGGCTCGCCGCACGCTGATGCGGCCGTCGCCCAGCGTCGCTGCCTTCGCCGCCGTCACGCGGACCATTGCGTCGGACGCGTCCGTTGCGACGATGGACGTCACGGCGGCGGGGTACAGCTCCAAATTGCGGCCCGTGCCGCACGCGACCTCCAGCACGTCGCCGCGCGCCCGCCGCAGCAGCCACCGCCTCAACAGCGGCAGGCCCATGACCAGTTCGTCGACGCCGATCTCGTCGTCGTACGTCTCCGCCAGCGCGTCGAAGCGCTCGACGCGCGCGCAGCAGCCGCAGCGCGGGTGGGCGTCTACGTCGATCGGCTCCGAACTGGTCGTGTACGTGTAGGCCGCGGCCGCGCTCACGACGGCGAGACCGCCGCCGCCGAGCGCCGTCAGGAACACCGCACCGCGGTCGCGTTGCTGCGGTGGTACTGCTGCCTCGACGGCTCTCCGCTTCGGCCAGGCGGTTATGGGCGGCCTCGCGGCGCGTGCCAGGCCGCGTCGCGCGAGCCGGCGCATTGCGTTTGGTCACGAATGGGGAGAAAACAATGAGCTTAAGTGTGTCTGGCACAGAGGGCTGCTGTCTTGCTAGTGTCTTACAGCTAGCCCAAAATTTTCTCGCGAGTCGTGTACGTACGAAATTCACAGGGTCTGGCCTTCCGAGGGGGCGCACGAGTTGTGCCGCCCGCAGTCCCCGACGAGCTCCGCGTCACGGTCGCCGACCCGCGCCGAAAAAAAAAACACTACGAGCTTGTAGCCGCCCTACAATACGTCGGCGACGCCCTGTATGGGGTAAGGCTGCACGACGGCGCTTGAGTCTTTGCGCTAGTCAGGAGCGCTCACCTTTCCAGGCACCGCCGCCGCGCTTATTTTTAGAGCACCTGGGGTGTTTTGGTTAGCACGCCCTGTATGTGTATGTGCCACGGGCGAGTAGCAGGCTAATAGGCATCTCTGAATCAAACGAGCCGAGAAAAGCCACTAGCCCGTGCGCGTGCGCAGCCTGCCTTCCGATTGGCAGCTTTATTGTATACCCGCGTTGCGCGCGCGCTCTGTCATCGACGCCTGCCGGGGCAGCCGCCCTCGGACTGCAGGGCACGGTCTCCGGAGCGCCTTTGCTGCCTCTGGTCTCGCGCAGTCCCACATCGTCTTATGGAGAGCCTTACGGCCGAGGCCGGCGCGCCCGCCGCGGCGGTGCCCGATGACCGCTGCCGGCCCCCGCCGCAAGCCTCCGGTGCTTTGCTGGACGAGGCGGAGGCGGCTGCGGCGCCGTACCCGTGCGGCTACTGCGGCGCGTTCCACGGCAGCGAGACCGGCTACTGCGCCGCGTGCTCCAGGAGCTGGCTCAAGCCCGAGATCGCCGCGCGGGCCGCGCGGTTCCAGCGGCGGGCGTACCTCGCGCTCGTGACGATGATGATGAGCTACTTCGAAACGGACGACAAGGCCGTGCTCTCGGTGTTCTGCGGCTCGATCGGGCTCGTCGTGTTCTTCTGGTTCCTCACCAAAAGCGTCGCGACGGCCGCGCCGGAGTGGATCGCGCCCCTCGTCATCTTATCCCTGGCGGCGGTGTACATGATCCCGACGATGCGGCGCATGGTCGTGCTCATCGAGGACGTCGACGAAATCAGTGCGCTCTTCGAACGCACATGGCGGGAGCACGAAAACGACGAAAAGAAGGGCCCGGCGCCAGCCAAACTAGCCGGCGAATTGAGCCAGCCGACGGCCGACCTGCACCGGCTCTACGTGCTGGCGCGCGCGCGCGTCGGAGGCTTCGAAGTGGACGTCGTTGAGCGCCTGGCGCGCGCGGGCAAGACGCCGGCGGAGTCGTCGCGCAACACGCGCGGTCCGCAGATTAAGGGCCTCCTCCGGGCGCGCGAGAAGATCGCGATGGACTACGGCGGCGACGTGAGCCGCCTACGAGACATCCTTCGCGCCTCGATCGTCTGCGAGACGGTGGACGAGTTGCGGACGCTCGGCGACGAGCTCGCGGCCCTCGAGACGGCCGGGACCATCCGCGTCGTCCAGGTCAAGAATCGTTTCGTGGGCGCACCGACGCCTTCAGGCTATCGCGACGTCAACGTGAGCACGATCTATCACGGGCTCCTCTGCGAGATCCAGATCCATCTCGAGCCAATCCTGGCCATCGCGGACCAGCAGCACGTCGCCTACGAAGCCGCGCGGGAGCTGGATCTCATGGGGGCCCTGGAGAAACCCACCGAGGCGACGCACGAGACCTCGAGCCGCCCTCTCCGCTGGGGCTACGTCGCGGCGCGACTCGTGCCCGCGGTGCTGAGCGTGGTCATCGGGTGGCTCTACGTCGACGCGTTCGTGCTCAAGGGCGCCGACTCGCTGGTGGCGCGCGCGATGTTGCTGCCGACGCGGGGCTTCTCAAGGCCCTACGTCGTCCTGCGTCTGTACGGCCTGGCGCTGGCGGCGCCGTACGCGGCGAACACGTTTCTGTTGCTCCGAGCGGCGGGATGCTTCGGCGAGCGAGCGCGGTGCCAGCGGCGCGGGAAGACGCGAGTCGCGCTGCTGTACGAGCGCTACTTTGGGTACGAGGGCACGTACTTCGTGTGGAAGGTGTTCTGGTTTCAAATTTTCGAAGTCGTCCTGCAGGCGTACGGAAAGGTCCCACTATTCCTGACCTACATGAACCCGTTCGAGGGTCTCAAGCGCGGCCGCGACGAGGTTTCGGTAGGCGATTCGGCGCGCGACCTCTCTGACAGTCGAAGCGGGCTGCACATTTTCGTCGTCGTGTTTTTCTGCGCGCTGCTGTTCAACGTCCTGTATCCGACGTTTCTGCTGCGGAGCCGCGACGTGAGGTATCAGCGCAATTTTTCCTTCGTGGCCGACACGGTCCTCGATTTGGTCTATGCGTGCGTTCCCTTTGTGTTCCTCGTTCTGGGCGTTCGATCGCAACAGATGATCATCCCGCACGACCCCCTCGAGTACACGTCGAATTTGCTGCCAATGCTACACACGCACTTTGTGATTTCAACACTGGAAGCGGCCGCCGACGAGTCCCGCGCGCTCCGCAAAGTCGCGCCCCGCCCGCCCGAGGCCGACCTCGACGAGAAATCCGCCGAGCCCTCGCCCAGCAGCACCGCGAAGTACGGGACTTGTCCGGGCGAAGCGCTCTACGGCGCGCTCGTCGCTTCGTGCCTCGTGCTGTGGTTCCTCGCGTTTTTTGCGGTGTCGTTCAAAAATCAGCTCATATTCGCGGCCGCGTTTGTGCTTGCGAGCCTGTTGCTCCCTCTCGCGGCGCGCCACGCCGGCCGTCCCCGCTTCTCGGTGTGGGAGCCCGCGGTGTTATGTTCCGGCTTCTACCTGTTGTTCTGCTTAAGCTCGAAATTCCAAAGCCACATCCTGATGAACATGGCTCTCGCATTCCACGGCGCACTCGTCTTGTTCGCGGCGCCCGACGAAGCGAGTCGCGGTCTCCCGGACACACGCGCGAGCGCGGCGACGAAGGCGAACCGTTTGCCGCGCTGGGGCTCGGTTCTATACTTCTGCGTAACGGGCGGCTTCCTTGCCGCGGTCGTCGCGGTTTACACGCTGGGTGGAACCTTAGTCTCGACCTGCATGCCGTGCGAATGCACACAGGACGGGATCCTCTCCAGCTGCGAGGTCTTCCGACACGCGGAGTCGTTGCGAATGACGCGCGGTCTGAACGCGCCGCCCTTTGCGGACTACCTGGACCTCGCCAACAAAGGCATCAAAGAAATAAAGCCCGGCTCGTTTTTGGGTCTTTCGTCGGTGAAGGAACTCAGCCTCGAAGGCAACAAGATTAAGGTACTGAAGGCAGAAACCTTCGAGGGTCTGGCCTCATGTAAAGTGTTGACCCTCACGGACAATCCACTGCGTGAAATCTCGGCCGGCGCCTTTCGGGGCCTTGGGAAGCTCGAGCAGCTAAACCTCGCCGGATACGGATTCACGAGTCTGCGGCCGGGGACCTTCGACGGGCTCGGCGCCCTCGAGACGCTCGATCTCAGTCGCAACAGCCTCACTCGCATCGAGGTCGATACATTCCGTGGCCTCGATCGCCTGACCTGGCTGTCTCTCTACCGGAATTTGTTGCGGCATTTCGACGGCGCGTTCCGGGACCTCGGCCGCCTTTCGAGGCTCGACCTGTCGGAGAACGCAGCTGTCCATCTCAACACGAGCAGCTTCTCGGGCCTGACGTCGCTGGCACAAATCGATCTCGTCGATAATCCGGTCCAAAGCGTGGGTTGCGGCACGCTGAACGTCTCGGGCGCCGATCTCACGGTCAGGTGGCTCGAGGAGTGCAACGAGGACTTTGACGGCGGGACGGTCGTGGCTCCGGCGGGCACAACCTACTGGGGCTTTGGCAAGGGACGATGCAAGTCCGATTTGAACAAACGCGCGGGGTGCGCAAAATCGCCCGGAGATTGTTGGACCCTGTGCCAGAATACTATCGGAAGTGGCCTCGTCGCCGTCGATTGGATGGAGAACGGCGAGTGCACCTGTCAGGACGAATGTAGGTACATGTCGGACGTCGGGTGGTGTTCCAACAACACGCACGTTATCACGAGCTTAGGTACCGTGCTCCCGGACCTTGGAGCCGAGGAATGTCCGACGGCAGCGCCGACCTTGGCGCCGACGGTGGCCTTGACTAGTGCCGGGTCTTGCTTTAGCACAACCACGTTTCTGGTTACGTGTGACGTGGACTATTATACATGTGCCGGGATGGGGGCTTATTGGTACCAGCCAGGATTTGTGTCTTTTGGTTCCGGTTGCTGCCACTGCAAGGGAAGCTGCGACCATACGCTGGAAACCTCTGCTTTGTCGTGTGATGAAGCTTATTATGAACCGGAGCAGGCATTTACTTGTGACATTTGCCAGGGCCGTAGTGTAAAGGCCAACGCCGCTGCGGGTCACCACTGCAAAGACGGCAATGGCACAATAATTGGCGACAGCATGGACAAAATAGGCTCCGGCACATATGATTCGATTACTTGGGCGTATGAGTTCATATTAATACTGACCAAGAACACGGAAGCCGAATGCCTCCAGGATGATCCTTCGAATGTTTGGGAACCATACACGTGCGAACAGAAGGCGGGGTTCTGGGCAAACTCGACTGAAATTCGCGAAGCCGGACTACACGAAGGTGATCTGTGGTGTCCCCATTTGCAAGAGTTCTGGATGAACCAGACCTTGAGTGACTGCTGCTTAAGCGAGGAAGAGGAAGATGTCAATACGGACGCGGCGTTTTGCGCCGAATACGAACACGTGCAGGCCGGGTTACGGCCGTGCAGCTACTACTGGGAACCGAATAAATGCCAACTAGTTGGCGAGACGAATCTTACGCAAGCTGAGATCACGGACTCGTGGGGTAACAAACTTGGTTACGAATACACCGTTACCGGCTCGTACGAAGCTCGTTACAGGTATTATGAAAATAATTGGGACTATGACGGTACATGGGACGATGCGCAGAGGTACTGCGAACGTATGGGCGCATCGATCGTTGCGATTAGCTCGGAGGAGGAGAGCCAGGTCATTAATACCATCGTGGGGTACGACACAGACATATGGATCGGCTACCGCGCCGCTGCTAGTAGTTCGACGTGGGAGTGGGCATCTGGCGAAAGATCTGATTTCACGGTGTGGCGCGCGGGCGAGCCCAAGGCCGAGGCTCGGACGGTTCCACGTTGCGCCTATGTCACCACCGACGATGAGTCTCGCTCCTACACGACGCGAGAATGGCGGGAGGCCGATTGTAACTTTACTACGATGAGGAAAGGATGGGAAACACCGTTGCTCTGCGAACTCGGAACGGATATAGCGGAGTGGCCGACGCCGGGCCCGACACAAAAGCCCACCGACGCGCCGACGCTGAAGCCAAGCTTCACACAAATGCCGACGGTGACGCCCGTGCCAACGCAGAGCGTCGAGTCCCGTCGTTCGCACGCGCTATGCTTCGAGACGTGCGTTCTCACCGACGCCGTGGGTGAGATGGACGCGACGCGACACAACGGGCTTACCTGCGACCCGGGCGTGGGCCTCGTCTTCGACGGCGAAGATGACTTTGCGGAGCTGGCGCCAGTCGAGCTCGGGGGCGGAGATTTCACTATCGCGCTATGGGTGGCGCCAGACCCCGGTCAGAACAACGACGCCTGGAAGACGCTCGTCACGTTCGGCAACGGCTCACGAACACAGGACTTGCAGGATAGTGTCTCGTATCGTCCACCTCACATCACAATCGAATCAAAGGGTAACACGGGCATTTCGTGGTCCTCCGAGGACGAACTGTGGAGCGGAGTAGGAGACCTTGTGGAGCCCACCGAGGACGCAAACACAGCAGACCTGCATATCGTGGTCACGATCAGGAATTATGAAAGCGGGGGTAGTCACTCAGCAGTGTACAGGAATGGTGAATCAGTATCGTCTAGTGACTCTAGTTCGGATACTGTGGAGAAGGCAGATCGTCCCCGAAGCTACCTCGGCGGCATGGCCGAAGGAGCGACCGATGTTCCAGATTGGTCGAGTATTGCTTCGGGACGCCCGACAAAACCCTACGACGCGTACTTCAAAGGAAGCATCGCGTCCCTGACGATATGGAACGGCGCCGCTTTAAGCCAAGATGAGGTCAAGCGTCTCTACGACGGGCCGCGCTGCCCGTGACGCTCTTATTTTCCATACGGAGACGATCCGCAAATGCCCTCGCAAACGCGCACTCAGATTCCCCTTTTTAAGAATACTAGCTAAAATCAGCTTACATGTATCTACTAGTAGTACTTTGCGATTTTGCGTTTTTTGGCTTTGGGCGGCGAGGCTGCTATCGTTGCGGGCCCGGAACACTGGCGCCACCAAATTCGACGCGACGCATCGCGCGCCGAGTGTCGTGTCTACGAACGTGCATAATTACACAATGGGGAAGAAGGCGCCGGACTAGTCCTGCTTCTTCGCGGGGTAGGCCTCGGCCGCGTCCGCGCCGCGCGCGGCGTAGCCCTCCATGCACAGGACGAAGTTCGACTTCTCGAAGACGCCCTTGTCGCGCTTCATCTTCGTGCGCTCCCACGAGGACGTCGCTCGCTTCGGGTTCGAGGCCATGCCGAGCAAGCAGAAGAAGTCGATGAAGAGCTTCGTCGGGTTGAACTGCGACGTGATGCCGAATTCCGACGCGGCGTAGTCGTAGGGGTACTGGTGGTGCCAGTTGTGCCAGCCCTCGCCGACCGCGAAGAACGAGACGATCGGGTTCTCGGCGGGCCACTGCTCGTTGTAGGGGTGGTCGCCGAAGATGTGCGCCGCGCTGTTGACGAGCCACGTCGAGTGCAGCACGAAGATGTAGCGCAGGAAGCCGGCGACCCAGACCGCGTCCCAGAAGCGCTCGCCCCAGCCGAACTTGGCGACGAGGCCGGGGAACGCGAAGCACATGAACATGGTGAACCACGGGTCCAGCTTGCGCTGGAACATGACGAAGCCGTCCCGCTTCAGGTCGTTGAAGTCGAGCTTCTTCCCCTCCTTGACGACGTCGGGGTGCTTCTTGCAGAGCAGCCAGCCGACGTGCGCGTAGAAGAAGCCGCGCTGGGCGTTGTGCGGGTCGGCCGTCGTCTCGGAGTGCTTGTGGTGCACGCGGTGGTCGCGCGCCCAGTGGAAGATGGAGCCCTGGTTCGCGATGCTGTTCATGAGCATGAGCAGGCAGCGCAGCGCCGGCCCGGCCGTGTAGGAGCGGTGGGACCAGAGGCGGTGGACGCCCGCCGTGATGCCCAGGCCCGTGATGGGCCACAGCACGTAGGCCCACAGCAGCGTGTACGTGTGGACCGTCGCGAGGCGCGTGAGGCCCAGCACGGCCCAGTAGTGGCAGAGCCCGATGTAGATGATCATGGGCCAGTTCAGCGTGCCGCCGTCGTAGTGCCACTTGATCGCCGCGTACCAGTGCGCGGGGTTCAGGTCCAGGGGCCGCGTCGCCATCTGCTCGTGCGGGTACGTCGCGCCGAGCTTCGCCGCCGCTTCCGCGGGCGTGGCGGCCTTGGCGGCGCTCGCCGCGACGACGGGGGAGGACGTCGCCATGATTTTACGGCGCGGGGGCGTCTCTCTGACGGCTTTTGCTGGCTGACTGCGTGACAGCGGAGAATGAGCCTCTGGCACGTCGCGCGCCGCTTTTTTTTAGCGTTGGCGCTGCACGTGACCTGTTGAACGTGCTTCCTACCCTCCGCGTGTGCGTTTACGGGGCTTGGGGCGAGGTGGCGCGGCTTATAGATCGCATGCGTGGACTTTGAGCAAACCCCTCGGCCCTCTCTCAATTGCGCATCAATTGCGAAACGAATTCTCTGGGCACGAGAGGACTCTTAAGGACGCTTTTACACATTCGGTGAGAAACCCGCACGAAAGCCAAGTCAAATGGTGGTCCCTACTTGGGGCCAGGGGGGGCGCCGCCCACTCGTCCTAGCATCGTAACAGACATGACAAAGAAACGAGAATCCGGGCGGGACACACCATGAGTGTCAACACAAACACAATGACATACGTTACTCGAACGGCAGACGGCTCCCCCTTCCACACGCCAGCACTACGCCGGCCACGCGTTGTGCCGGAAGCCGTGGTGCAGCGGCCCGTGCGCGCCGCGCCCAATGTTCAAAGACGCGGACGCGCGCAGCGCCGCGTCCAAATAGACCTTCGCCCCTTCGATCGCCGCCCGCGGCGCGTCGCCGGCCGCGAGGCGCGCCGCGACGGCCGCGCTGAAGGTGCAGCCCGTGCCGTGCGTGTTCCGCGTGGCGACGGCGGGGCCTGCGCGGAGATCATCTGGGGGGCGCGGAGGTCGAGTCTCACACCGGGCGGGACACGCGAGGGTCGCGACGGCGCCGTCCGCGAAGGCGCACACGTCGACGATGACGTCGTCGCCCGGAGCCCGCGGCGGCCCGATCCACGCCATCGACGGGGCCTCGTCCTCGCCCAGGCGCGCGCCCTTGACCACGACGGCGCGCGGCCCGTGCTCGAGGAGCCGCGCCGCGAGCGCCCGCGCGCGGTCCACCGAGAGCGTTCCCTCGACCGCTTCGCCGCCCAGCAGCTGCGCCTCGGCCGCGTTCGGCGTGATCACGGTCGCGAGCGGCAGCAGCTCGGCCTTGATCGCTTCGATCGTCGCGTCGTCGACGAAGACGTCGCCGGACGCCGCGCACACGACCGGGTCGACGACCACGCCGCCGACGTCCGCCGCGCGAAGCCGCCGCGCGACCGCCTCGACGACGTCCACGGAAGCGAGCAGGCCCGTCTTCACGGCGTCCACCGCGAAGTCGTCGAAGACGGCGTCCATCTGCTCCACGACGAACGCGGGCGGCAGCCCGTGCACGCCGTGCACGCCGACCGTGTTCTGCGCCGTGATCGCCGTCACCGCGTTCGTGCTGAACACGCCCAGGGCCTCGCAGGTCTTGATCTCCGCCTGCAGGCCCGCGCCGCCGCCGCTGTCGCTGCCCGAGACGAGCAGCACAGTTGGCGGGGCCAGCGCGGCGGCGCAGCTCGTGATCAGCAGCAGCACGAAACGCAGCATCGTCGCCCTGCTTCAGTGCTGCAGCGATGTATTCGCCAATTGAATGATCGAGTGCAGTTTTTGCCCAAAATCGCGTCTCTCAGCCCCGGCGCCGGGAGTCCAAGAGGTACTGGTACTAATGGTACCGTAGGTACCGTACTATACTTATAGGGTAAGCCTTGGCCGCCGATGAATCGGCGACGCGCGGTGTCTCCCCCCCAGGGGCTCCGCCCACTAGTCCTAGCACCGTAACATCGACTTCGTAAGCCTTGGGGAGTCGACGATAACCCGAACTCACCCTGGGGGGTCCGAGCCTCAGTCCCGTGAAGGAAGTGTCTTCTGGAAGCAAATCGCCTCCGCGCACTGTTAGAACATGAGCTTATGCCATGGTCGCCTCGGCGGCGGCGGGCCGGCGGGCCGCGCGCCGCAGCAGGGCCACCAGCGCAGCCACTCGCCCGTGCGCGCGTCGTACGCGAGGACGGCCTCGCGCCGCGAGCCGACGAGCCCGCAGGCGCCGCAGACGTGGGACGACGACGCGGCGAGCGCGGCGCGCTCCCGCCGCAGCTCCGCCACCACGGACGCGAGCGCGCCGCCGAGCGTCCCGGCCACGCGGAGCGTCGCGGCGAGCCGCCGGGCCTCGCTCGAGTGGCCGACGGCCTCGAACGTCTCCGAGGCGTCCGTGCCTGCGCGGACGTCGACCGCGTGAGACCTTTCGTCCGCCTCCGCGCCGTCGAGCCGACGCGCGGCGTCCGGCGTCGCGGCGACGGCGCGAGGATTCCGGCACGGGTCCCGCGCCGGCGAAGTCCAGCAGCGTGTCCGTGGACCCGGGGTGGTCCGGCGCGAACCTGGTGAGGTCGTAGACGGCGCCGCGCAGGGCCACGAGCACGTTCTCGCCCTCGACGTTGCCGCCGAGCACCGCGCGCGCGGCCCAGGACGCCGCGAGGCGCGAGTGGGCCTCCTTGTACGACTGCGCGCCCGGCTTGTCGCCGGCGGTGTGCGCCGCGTGGGCCGTCGGGAGCGGGTACGCGGCGACGACGCCCGCGTCCCGACGGTGCACCACGCGCCACGTCTCTTCGGAGGCCGAGGCGGCGCCGACGTCGCCGCCGCAGCACGCGAGGAGGGCGACCTGCTGGGCGGGCAGGAAGTCGCCGAGCACGTGCGCCCAGAGCTCCGGCGGGAGCCGCGGCCGCTGCTGGCGCCGGCGCCGCTCGTACTTCCGGGCGCTGCTCGCGCCGCGCCGCGCGACCCGCCGCCGTATCCGTTCCAGCAGCAAGGCCGCGAGCAGCGCCGCCAGCGAGTTGAGCAAAGACCCGCGCGCGGCGCGCGCCCAGGCCAAGGCTTTGTAGTACTGGCGCTCCGACGCCGGGAACGACGTGAGCGCGTCGAACTCGTCGGGGAAGCGCGCCGCCGTCTGGAGGACGGCGTAGCCCGCGCAGACGAGGAAGAAGATGAGCCAGCGCTCCCGGTCTCGCGCCTCCCGTATCAGCTCGTGCTCGACGCCCGGGCGCTTCTCGTGCGCGTCGATGAGGAAGCCGAGCATGTTCTCTGCCGGCGCCGCCGCCGCGATGGCGCGGGGGAGGTGCGGCGTGCTGTTGCTCTTGTTTTTGGTCCTGGGGATCAGGGTGTCCTGGGGTCAGGGGGGAAGGCACACGGGCGTGGCCCGCGTTCGGGCTGTCCACGGCGACGCAACCTATCGGTTACTTCCGTGGGGCACTGTGGGTTCCACACGGTGACAGGATGAGCTGTGCAGTCCTTGGCCGTCCTAGTGTCTTCACCGCCTAGCCCACGGAGAGATTTGGTGTATTTCTCGCAAACCACACTAAGGTACCGCTAGCTATATTAGGAGCGCTAGGGGCATGCCGTGACCCTAAAAAAAATCGTGTACACAGGAGAGACGCGAAGGTCCAAAGCCCGCAGCTTCGAGTGATAAAAAATTAATTTCGATTGCCTCCCCAGGAGGCGGCCGCCCAAGGAGGGGGGAGGCGGATCACGCGAGCATTTTGTTCTCCGTGGTGACGGTGAGCCCCCCGGCGGGCTCGGGCCCGCCCTCCATCTCGAAATAGCTCCGCGGCGTGGCCTCGGCCCGGCGGCCGCGGGCGCGCTCGAGGAGCACGCGGCCCCGGGGCGTGAAAAAGAGGAGCCCCGCGAGGAGCGCGACGACGAGCAGCACGAGCACGACGCCGACAGCCACCGCCGCCCGGCCGGGGCCGTCGGCGGCGTCGTCGTCGTCGTTCGATTTAGACGCCGCACCGGCTGGCCACGACGTGTCGGCGCAGATCGAGGACTCGCCGGGCGCTAAGACCACACTGTCGGGGTTCCGGGCGTTGAACGGGGCGAGGTAGATCGCGTCCAGGGCGGTCCCGTCCTCGCGCGGATAGAACTTGAGCACGTAGTTGCCCGCCGCGAGCTGCCAGACCGCCTCGTCGCGGCCCGAGTCGGCCGTTCCCGTGCCCTGGGCCTCGCAGGTCGCGTCCCACGGCTCCGAGGCGAAGTCCATGACGTTGCCGTACTCCTGGCCCGCGAACTCGTACCACTCCGGCGCGAGCTGCTCCATTTTGCCCTCGCCGGCGACGCACGTCGCGCCGAAGCCGACGGCGTCCGCCGTCGTTTGCCAGTAGCCCTCGTCGGCGGTGCAGGCCGCCTCCGCGGTCGCCGCGTCTTCGGTGTAGCACGGGCACGCATGCGTCGTCATGCTGTAGCAGCAGCCCGAGAACATGCCCGGGGTGTCGCCGATGCCGACCTTCTGGTCGCGCCACGTGGGCACGCCGCGGACCTGAGTGGAAATCAACCAGTGAGCTCCACGCCATCGAGCCGACGCAGTCACAAAACAAGTGGATATCCACGCGGCCGCGCACGACACTGCCGTCGGCGTTCGCCATCGTCGCGTACATCGAGTCGCCGGCGCCGCCCGTGTCGCCGCCGGACCAGCGCACGAAGAGCGTGTACGTGTCCGCGGCCGGCACCTTGAGGCGGAACTCGAGCGCCGTCCAGACGAACGACTCGTACGAGTGGACCTCGTTGTAGTTGTCGCCGTTGTCCGGCAGCACCTGGAGGTACTTGCCCGTGAAGGAGTGCACGACCGCGCCGCCGGGCGGCGGCTTCGCCTCGTCGACGAGCGTCCAGACCTGCGCAGGGTTGAAGCTGACCTATACATAATAACTGTTGGTGTCGCGCCGGACCGCGACGTCGTCGCGACCATCCTGCGCAGGTGTTACGGTGTAGCTCGACGTGTCCGAGGCCATGCCGATGAAGGCGCCGCCGTGGTTCGCCGACGGGCACAAAACGGCGGCGGCGCCCCCGGCGGAGAGCCCCAGCGCGAGGAGGACGAGCGCCATGGCTGGTGGCGGTGGAGTTGTCCCGGGTCCCGGCCGCGGTCGCCGCTGGAGGCAATTAGATCCTAAGCCAAGGAGGCCGTGGGGCGATGGACGGCCGCAGAATTGCTATTAGTAAGACGGGCTTGGTATATGTATAGGCCGCTACCACCATAGGCTCGTTTCTCCACGTGCTTGCATGCATGTACTAGCGCCGTGATATACAGCTAGCACGCAGCGATCCCAATTACAGCAAACTTCCGAGAAAAAACGCGGCGATCGCGCGCCGATCAATCCGATCAAAGGCCTGCCCATCTCTGACGTGACCCCGCGTCGCGGTGCGAGCTCACACACGGAGCCTAGACTTGCCGCTGCCGCCGGCGGGGTTCGTCCCGGCAGCCCGCCCGTAAAACCCGCCGGTGCCGGCAGCTGCCGCGGCGTCGATCGAGAGTTTGCTGGCATATTTGGAACCTGGCACGCTACCCCCAACTCGGATGCCCTGTCCATCGAGATAGCCCTCCGGTACGAACACCAGCTCTCGGCGCTTTCGAATCTCCGGGAGAGGAGTATCGAGTAGTAGTTAAAGCCTGATGGAGCGAAAGCCTCTTCTACGGTAACGATTAACGAGTCTAAGTCTGGCCAGACAGCTGCCCGCCCAGGGATTTGGGCCCGACGGCCTGGACTCTCGGAGCCGCGGCGACATATAACTCAGAAGATCGCAGACTCGGACTGGCAACTAGAAGGACCAACTTGAAGGCTGCAAGTTTCTCCAAGGACTCGACGGACCAGCCCGGGAGACAGGTACTAGCTTTTACTTGGCTTACCCCGCACGAGCCCCAGCAGGCGTCCTAGCCGCCGAGCGCCGCCGCCCCCCGCTCCAGCAGCGACACGACGGTGAACGCGCCGCCGATGATCGACAGTAGTGAGGTCAGGAAGTCGTACCACCGCTTCGCGCTGCGATTTGAGACCAGAGCGGTCATGGGCGAGATGTCAAACCCGAAGCGCGTCATGGCCTCCTGCGCGCCGTCCATATGACTCAGATGGGACTGATGTAACAGCTGGAAGGCCGTGAAACCTTTCCGTTTTGCCAGTTGGTACTTCGTTGGGACGACGTGCACGAAGTGATGGAAGACCTTGTCACGCGACGGCGACTCGTACCGGATTCGCTGCAGCGTCGAGGCGACTACTTTGGAATACCTTTCTGGTAAAGATTTCAAAGAGCGCGCTTGATTCTGCGTCAACGGCATGCCAAAGGTAAAGTCGACGACGTGGTGCGACAAGTCGGAGCCGGCCGGGGCCGAAATCGCGACAGTTCCAGGAGAGGTGTGCTCGTAGGCAATATAGCCCTTCAGTTTACATCCACCCATGGAGTCGCCTACCTCGTGGTCCACTTTTTTAGCGCCCTCGGGTATCTTTCTATAAGGATGGGAGCGTTTCGTCGCGTCATCAAACCGCCACACGCGCAACGTGCGCTCCAACCCGTGCGTGGCCGCCCGCGACTTCCCCCGCCATAGTTCGACGGCAGCATCGTCGCAGTTCAAGCGAGGGAATTCCACCTCGATGTTGATCCTGGCGGGAGACACTCCTAGCTCGACGTCGATTATTTCCCGTATGTCGCCGGTGCCAATAAACGCCCACGTCTCCACAAAGGCCAGGCAACCCATTAATGCTACAGCTATGAGCGAGAATACGCCTCCCCTAAAAGTAGCGACCACCAGGTCTGGCGTTACTTTGCGGTACATGTCGAACCCGCCCTTCATGATTTTTGCAAAACGCTAGGCGTTTGCCTCGCTGCGGAGCGTTTTTATGTGCTGCTTTCAGTGGCAACGCGCGGACTCATGCCGACTTTCGGGGACCAGTCGTCAAATTTCGGCACGTGCCCGTGCGCCAAAGGGAATCTGTGAATAGAGGGTCTTAAGGAATCGGTAACGCATTTTTAGTATCACTAAGACAAATCTACGATTAGACCCTGATCATATATAGCGGTACCCGCTTTTTACGCCCGGGCCGGGCCGGTGTGAGAGTAGTCACGGTCCCACGTCAGTAAATAATAAATTAATTAAATAAATCAAATCATCATGATATAAATAAATAAATGAAGCCTGAGACCTAAAAAAGAAAGGAACAAGCTCCTAAGAGCCCTCTCCCTGCTCAGTCAGGATACCCAACCGGAGCAGTAGTATAGGCCCGTCGGGCCGGGGGGTTTGTATACCATACTTTATGTCCGACTCGGAGTCCCCGGCCCGGGGCCATCATGATCATGATCCTGACGGATACTACTTCCTAGTATCATTCAATTTGGGTAAATGCTTGCCCATCCCCCACTAATCCCCAATGATAATCGCCTGGGAATTCCCCGGGCCCGAGGTTCTGGCGGTTATAGTATAGCCTCAGCCTGACCGTGACTCGGACTCGGAGGCTCCACATTGAGTCCACAAGCCGCCTCCTTGCGCGACTGAGCACCAGCCTGACGTTGAGTGGCAACGGTCAACCGTGACTTAAAAGTTCAGTACCTCTGACTCAGCGAGCACGGGCCCGGCCTCATCATGATGCTGCCGAGATTGGTCACCGTGACGGCGGGGGACTACATGAAGTTGAAGGGACCAAAGGTAATACTTGTAGTATTTACAACAAAAAACTACCGTGAAGACTACATATAGGCACCAAATGCTTGCCAGCACGGTCACGCTCGTTTCCTACACCGCCGCCGCGCGACAAAACGAGCGAACCATGTGAGTCCCACGACGACCAAAGCAGATATCCCCGCAGCCACGAATCTAGAAGTGGACCTTGGCGTCTCAGGAATCTCAGGCGGTGAGAGAGGCCGCCAGGGCGCATTAAAGCCATCAGGGCCTTTCATAATGATAAATGGCGGATGGCCCTTACCAACGTGCGCCTTCGACCAGATCCCAGCCTCAAGCACCATTTCATACGCGTCCCTTTCGTTGCGCCCAGATCCAACAATCTCCAGATAGTCCGCTGGTTTGCCATCGATCCAATTGCCACCGAAGAAATCGCTGACTGCTGCGACGTCTATCCGCGGGTAACCTTGCTCTAGGTCGCCGGGTCTCGGCCGCGAAAAATAGCGCCGCACGCGGAGGCTAGTCGGGTAAGCTGCTTCGAGCTTGGCGAATTCGCGCCCGAACACCACTCTAGAGGCGTCGCGGTCCAAGATGGCCATCCTTACCTCCGCGCCGCGTTCCAATAGGCGTTTGCCGAGCGGGAGGCACTCATTGACACCGATGCCAAAGCACATCATCGCGACTCGACGCGAATCTCGGTGGTAGTCCATCGCGCGGATCTCTGGAACCTAGGCCACGGCGTTAAACGTGGCGTGTTTAAAAAAAAACGCCGGGTGGCGCGTGCGCAAGCGCGCCGACTTCGAGCGCCCCCAGATACGCAGACACCCCTTGTCTGTCGACGTAGATCTTGACGGCGAGCTCAAACCCGTCGGCATCCATCACCACGAGGCTGTACGGCCGGAGCCTGCGAGAATTTCCGGTCCTGTTCCATGAAGACAACAAAAAGAGGCAACTGGGCGAATTCTAGGCACCGAGCGTGACAAATTTTTGCGGAAAACTCCGTCAGGCGCCGGGGCGCGGACGTGCACGTGGATGACTCCGTCGGCCCCTTCGCAGCACGACGGCGCCCCCCCGAACGTGCTTGGCCAGGCAAATCGGAGGCGGTGGACTGCTGGGTCCGTCTCGCTCGCGGCGACGAGCACCTCGCGTGAGAGTAGTGCGCACTGGGTCCCCTTGCGGGGCGCAGCGAGGTGCTCGAGGCTCCGCACGACATGGCCGGTTCGGCCAAGAATCTCGCCGCGGGGCATGTGTATATGCGCTAGCTGCGAAGCATCTTCGCTGCGTATTGCGTGCGCTGCCACGACATGTCTCAAATCACGATACTGTGTAGGTATGTTAGGATACGGTGAGATACCGATACTTAACGGTTATGTCCACCGGCCGGTGTTTTTCAGTCCCGGGCCTCAAAATTTCGGTGCAGCGTGGGATTTCTGGCGCGCCAAGAAACGAACATATATATACAATATATATACATTGAGGGCCCGGGCCCGGGGGTGATCCTGTCGACTCAGGCTCGGACTCGGAGTATAGACCACGACTCCTCCGCTCCGAGAAATCCAGGGTAACCCGAATTTACCTGGACGTGTTAGCGGCTCGGAAGGCGTGGTCTAAACGCGACAGGGGGAGGCTGCGCACGGGTTGCACGTGCCAGTTTTCTGAGCCTCAGTTTCTCACTCGCTTGCCGCCAACGCCGGTGAACTACAAACGGCAACATGCTAGCCGCCCTTTTGTTTCTCACCGCCCCCTACGCGGCTGCCGAGATCATCAATCTCGATAAAGGTAGCCAGGGGAGCTGCTACGATGGGACGACGCATGTGGTGCGTCGCGCCCCCCAAACACGGGTTGTTTGTTTATCCGTCCCCACCCCATAGGTAACGTGCTTCATCGACAACGTGACGTGCGCGGCGATGGGTAATACGCCGTACGAAGCGGGGTTCATTTCCAACTACGGCGGCTGCTGCCATTGTAATTCGAACTGCGACCACACTAAGGAGACAGGCACGGACTGCAGCTACTACGACACAAGCTCCGGAAGCTGCTATGACGGATCGACGCACGCTATCACGTGCGACGTGACGCAATCGACGTGCGAGGCCACCACCGGCAACGTGTGGTACGCTGCGGGTACTGTGGGAAGTAACGGTTGCTGCCACTGTGGCGAGCTGTGCGGAAATCAACAGTGAGTCAGGGTATCCTGAGGACTATTGCGAGACACACCTTCGTCAACCTCAATGCCATCGAGCAGACTCAGTCTCGGGGACAGCGTCGCGTTGATGGTTTGGCACCTCCACGCCATAAATTTGACACAGTTGTGGGATAACATCACGTCGAATGCGCGGGGCGCCTGAAATTATAATTCACACAGGTGACGAGACCTGCGACCACTCGCAAGAGACTGGGACGAACTGCCAGGCCTCGTACTACGACGAGTCCCAGAGCGACGGCTCGTGCTACGACGGAACGACGCACGTGGTCACGTGTGATGTCGGACACGCAGACTGTGAAGCCCTGGGTCACGCCTGGTACGCCCCGGGCTACATGTCCGGTTACTCGGGCTGCTGCCACTGCGAAGAATCTTGCAACCACGATCTCGAGACGCCGGCTGATGGTGTTGACTGCTCCACAAGGTACTACGACGTATCACCCTCGCCGACCCGCGGTCCGACCGCCGCCAAGACTGTAGCGGCCGACGCTGCCGCTGCAACTACCGTGGGCATCCTCGCTGCCGCCGCAGCTGGCGCCGCGGCGCTCCTCTAAGCGACACCAGAATGTGGCCTCCAAGCCTGGACGGAAGGCCACATGAAAATTCACGCCCCCCCTGATCAGCTCGCCTCTTGCAGGCTGGAGTAGGACCGCCGACCCCAGCGCGCGGGTCCTCCTTGAGCTCCCTTGCTAAGTCCCCACTTGATCTAGTTGATATGATACAGCCTGAGAACGGGATTATCCCAGCAATCGCCCCTGAACTTACCCCGTCTTGTGGCGCTGAAGTCGGTGCCTGGCCACTTCGCTGGCCAGCCGAGCTCCGAACCGCTTTCCGAACCCGGGCCCGGGGCCCTCGGAGCAATGGTCCTCTCGAAAGCCTGACTCGAGTCGAGACCCGAGCCTCAGACGGTCAGACCCCGGACTGGTCGTAGAATTGGACTCTAGCACTACAAGTAGTACCAACTTGAAGACCAGCGCATCGAGCACTAGCCGTAGTAGCAGCAGCTAAAACTTCAATTAGATGCAGAGTAGCAGTAAGGATTTCAGAGCAGGTCTTCTCCAGGCTCGTGCCTGGGACCCTTGACGTCGTCGCGCGACGCGCGCGCCGTGTCTCCCTCGCCGGCGTCCGTGGCGGCGTGCCCGAGGCCCGGAAGCTCGAACGCGTCGGTCGTCGGCACGTCGACGGCGGTCGCCTCGCTGTCGTCGACCGGCGCCGGCGACACGCTGCGGTCGGGCATGACGACGAGGACGGCCGGCAGTACGACCAGCGCGGCGACGGCGCTGAGGAACGTGTGCGCGCAAATGAGCGTCCCGAGCTTGTAGAACGGCTGAATGATGCAGAACAACAGGAAGATGGCCGCGCCAAAGGTTGTGGCGGCTGCTGCCGCCACGGGCGCGCCCACCTCGCCGAGCGCGCGCCTGAGCTGCTGGAGGCGGCTGCCTCGGATCATCTCGCCCGCACACGCGTAGCGGAACGCGCGGTCGACGTGCAATGCGTAGTCGACCGAAACCCCCACGAAAATCGTGAAGGAAATAGCCTCAATGATGCCGATCTTCCAGCCGAGCATCCACGTGATCAACGAAGCTAGGAGAGCATTTATCCACACAACACACGCCAGGATGAGACCGGTATGCGCGACGGCCCGCGTCAATGCCAAAACGCAAAAGAAGCACGAGCAGACCGACAAGGTCGCGGCGACGAGCGAATTCTCGACGATGTTCGCCTCGAGGCTCGCCATGACCTCCTGCGACGAGGCGAGCAGCGCCCGTCCCACGCCGGCCGGCCGCCCGTCCGCGCGCTCGTCCAGATAGTCGCGCCACTCGCGGAATACATCGAGACGGTCCTCCACGGACGAGTCCCGGCGCACCGTCAGCACGATATGGTCGCGAATCCACGTCGCCTCGTTCGTCGCGCAGTCGAAACCGATCCACTCCTCGACGCGAGACCCATCCAACAGCACGTTCGACTGCCGAAAGTCGGCGAAGAGCTCCACGAACTTGTCGCGAGGCTCCACCGGCAGTCTCAGGCCTTTCGGCGCAAGGAACTTGGTCTCGAAGATGTCGAGGAGGCAGACGGAGTGCGCGGTGTTTGCTTTTAGTTTCGACTTTCCAACCGCGTTCAGACACGAGTCTCTCACATAAACTTGCACGTCCGGGTCGGCCAGATCAAAGGCTCTGCGGTACCGAGGCCGCCCGGAACGGAACCGGGCCGTAGGGCGACCGGGCCGCTGCTTGAGGCCGTGGACGAGGTCGAGCGAGACCATCACGCCGGGATCCAGCGTCTTTGAGTCCTCCGTCTCACACCGCGTCCCCGAAAAACCAGCGTAGCATTCGCACCTATTTACACCGCCACTGTCGTCGTTACATTCGCCGGCGCCGCTGCAAAAAAAGTCGTCAGTACAAGTCGTCGGCGCGATTGTCGGTTGCGGCCCAACGGGCGCTTTGGTAGGCAGCGGCACGGGCGCTCTCGTCGGCGCGACGGTCGTAGGCGCAATTGTTGGTTTCGTCGTGCCGGCAGGTGCTCTGGTCATCGTCGGGGCGTGCGAAGGCGACGGACGTGGAAAAGCCGTCGGGCGCGGCGTCGGTCGCAGTGTAGGGTCCGTATTTGTGACTTTGGTCGTCGGCGCGGGGATTGGGCGCGACGTCGGCGCCGGCTTAGGTGCTTCAACGTCCACGCTGACGTCGCCGCCCGCGGAGGAGAGGCCGCCTCTGTCCGCCTCGGCGCCAAAATATTCGGCGAGGTCATGCACCAGCCCCAAATTGTGGCTCCGGAGAAAGAAGCGTGGTGGCTCGTCGTCGGCCTCGAGGGTCGCCGCCGTCGATACGAAGCCCATGACCGCCAGGGCCAGCGCCGCGACGAGGATGACCTTGTGGAAGCGCTTCACCGCCGTCGGGAGCGTGCGCCCAAAAAATTGGTCCACGGCCGCCCAGGACTTGAAGCGTTCGAACGCCTCTCCAAGTTCGGCGGGCGTCGCGACGATGAGCGAGACCCGACCCCAGAGGGGCCGAGCTTCTTCCTCGGCCGGCTGGGGCTCTGCCGCGGCTTGAAGCGGGTTTGAGCCCGGCTCCGCGGACCGCGCGGTGAGCTCGACGGATTGCGCCACGCAGACGCTAGGTTCATCGACACCGACAGAGGCTGGCGTCGGCGGTCGCCATCGTGCGCGGAGCACGAGCGCGGCGGGAAAGACGAGCATCACGAACGCAAAGTTGACGAGGATCAGTGTCCCGACGAAGACGCCGAACGACCGGAGCGCTGGCAATGTCGAATAGGCATTCGTGAAGAACGACGCCGCACTACTAATAGAAGTGACGGCCATGGACGCGCCCGCCGCGCGATACGATGCCGTCAGGATCTCTGGTAATGTTCTCGACGGTCCTCGGTCCACTTCTGCCTTCCACACGTCGAAGAGTAAAAAGCTGTCGTCCGCACCGATTCCCGCGATGATGAACAGACCGAGGAAGTTCAACACCTGTGTGCAAATCGACAATTGAGTCGGGTGCGCTGGTTGAATCGAGCGGCGGGAGGCCCACACCGCCACGCCATCGAGCAGGTGTCGCGGCGATGGCATGGAGGCCAGGATTTAGCCGTGGGCGAGAACGCCGCCAGATTTGATTTGTGCACTGTTTAGCACATAAAATTGCTCGATACCAAAGATCACGCGGTGTAGGTACACGCCGATCGGGACGGACACGAGGACCTGGGCCATGGCCACGGCCGCGACGCTGGGCGACCGCGTGTGGATCACCATGCAGAGCGCGACGAAGATCAGGGACCCAATCGCCAGCAAGGAATCGTGCGTCACGGCCTCTTCGACCTCTATATCGTTCAGATCACCATTCAGCCAGCAGACCCGCGTGTCCTTTGTCGACGCGCTTTCTAACATCGGTAAGACATATTCTTTGGCCCACTTTCTGAACATGTCCCGGTCTGTGATGCTGAAGAAAATTTCTGATACAGAGACGTTTGACTGCGGGTGGAAAATATTAAAGTAGACGTCGAAGAAGTAGCGGCCCTCGGGCGTCTTGGCGAATTCCAGCGCCGCGGCGTCGACGTCTTCGACCACGTTCCCATTATTCTGGAAGTAGAATTCGGTCCATGATCGCACGCCAGCGTTCGAGCACCGTCGATCCTTGCCATCAGGACCGCCGGCGATGTAGCAGTGGTCGTTGAAGTACTCGTTCGATGTGACACGCAGCTCGGTGGTGCGCGCATCTAAGAGTGACTTCGCTGTGATCACGTTACCCGGCCGTGACCGCGCCGCGTAGATGATCTTGAGGCTTTCCGTCACGCCGACGGCCGCGAGACTGCGATGCGGCTCAGTGCCGAGACGTCGCCTCGCGTTGCAGAGGCCGAGGTTGAGCGAGGCCTCATGTGCGCTCTCCCAGTTGTCGAGCGAGAACGACGAGAGTTCGTCTTGCCTTGCGTACTGCTCCAGCGCCGTCACGAGGTGCAAGGAGCGCGCTTGGCCGCAGTCGACGTCGACGAACGCAGCGAGCGAGATGTACCCCGCGTAGGCGGTGACCAGCGCGGCGAGGCCGAGCGGGCGCCGGCAGACGAAGCGCGCGAGCACCGTCGCCCAATCGTCCCGCGCGGGCTGCGGTCGGTCTTCGTTGTCTCTATGGTACCAGTCAAATGCTACAAAGCCGGCGAAGGCGAGAATGAAGAGCACGTGGCAGCTGGTCTCGAGGCCGACGGCGCAGTTGCTCATGGCGTGAGCAGCCCTTTGCGCGAGTCAGAGCGGCGATTTGCGGCGCACGTGCGGAGCTCTCACGCCGCGCCGCCCAGATACATATATATATCGGTACGAGCTTGTACCGTAGGTACCTACGGTACCTACCTAAACTAAGCTAGAACCCCAGGCATGCGCCATTCCCTGTGTAGAAGAGGACTAGCGTTATAAATATACTACTGCACGGCGATCGGTCACGATAACCCCCGGTAACACTGGCAACTTTCCCATACTGTGGCCAACCGGCGGCCATACCGAGGTAAACTTGAATCGCCCCCCTGTAGTAGTAGTATGTTTATAACACCAGTCCCCCGCACAGGGAATGGCGCATGCCTGGGTGCTAGGTGTCTTGTAGGCTACGTTAGGTAACAACATATGGATATGATACGTTAGGTGCCTGCCGCCTATCAAAGGCACGTGCTCCGCCGGACCAGCGCAGAAATTCCGACTGCGAACAAGGAAACGCAACGATGCGTGCTTTCCTCGTAGGGCTGCTCCCCTTGGCTGCCGCCCACGATTGCCCCCAGACGGTGTCGACGCCTGAGGCGCTCAAGGGCGCCATTAAAGATGGTGCGCACATCGAGGTTGCCAGCGACATGGTGATCAATGAAGAAATAGTCATCCCCGCCGGCTACGACGTCGAAATCATGTCAAAAAACCGTGCGATTCTCATTGCGACCAGCGCGGCTTCACATTTTCGCATTGACGGGAAGCTACGCCTCGAGAACCTGGTGTTGACCAATGGCTCTGCCTCGTACAATTTCTGTTCGTATAATGACGATGGGACGGGCGATAGTTGCGGTGGCGGTGCGCTGCACGTTGATGAGGACGCGAAGTTAGTTTTGGTGGATTGCGTGATCGCGAACTCGACTGCACGCTACGGCGGCGGCCTGTACGCGTACAAATCCGACGTCGAAATCTACGGGACAACCTTTGAAGGAAATCAGATTCTATCTGAGGCAGGCGGCGCGATCTACACGCAGTGGCACAAGTCGCTTAAAATTGTTGACTCAAAATTTGTCTCAAACACGGCCCCCAAGGCGGGGGGCTTGTTTCTGGGCGGCGACACAGAGATCTCTGGGACGCAATTTGTCGGAAACAAGGCTGCATGTCTTAGTGGGGATGTACACGGGACATATATGTGCTGGGGAGGAGAGGGCGGCGGGATCTGGCTGCACTCGGGCGTGGCGACCGTCTCAGGATCCACGTTCGTCAACAATGAAGCGTCAAAGGATGGTCCAGCCATCCACGTCTATGCTGCGACTAGTGCCCTGACCGTTGTATCCACGACGTTCCAGGGCAACATTGCCAACGGGACCTCAGCGGATATATCCTACGCAATTCTCACTGCAGGGCCACCGGTGATCGACTGCGAGGCTTCCTGCGACAATCTTGGCGGTGGGACCTGTGCCCCCGTCGACTGCATCGGGTGTCCCAAAGGCGACGGTCCCTGCGATGGAGCGACGTGCTCTTGCTACAGCTGCGACTGTTTACACCCGTCACTTCCGACCCCTCAGCCCACCGGGCCGTCGCCATCACCGACTGCCTCGTTATCAAGTTCGCCGTGGTGGCAATCATCATGCGGCGGTACCGATTTTGCGGCGCGCATCGCCGCGTCGCCGCTCGCAGTTGCGGCGGTCCTCGTGATAGCCCTGGCGAATGTTGCCGCGGCATCGCGAGGGTAGGGGGCACGCAATCCGCTCCGAGTCTGAGTCGGCGGCATGTATTGGAGTCTCCGCTTCAAAGGTACTAAAAATGCGGAGCCCTAGGCCGACTCAAGTAAATCAATCAATTAAGCCCAAAATGGTCACAGTGGTCCACCAACTCGAGCTCGCTACTAAAGTCCGGTCCCTTCCCACGGAGAAGCGTATATGCTTCCACTCTGATCATCCGACGGTCAATGATTCGCACGCGACTGGCCCCCGGTCGCCAGTACACGGCAAGTAAATAACGGTGTAGGGGCTCTGTAATATTAACCGATGACCCCCGAACCGAAGTCTATACTAGCACTCGTACTAGTACTACTCTTAAGTTAAAAGGCGGCCGGGAGCTAGAAGATCAGAACGTCGGAAGCTGCCCAAGGTCGACATTACATTAACAGAAACTTACTAATCAGCATATTGCCCCTCGCAGTCAGTACCCGTCTCAAGCGCATGGTCACAGTCTTCCCTGCAGATGCAACAGCCACCGATGATGAAATAGTTATGCCCATTTTTACACCAAAATGACCTGTTTTTCCTCTAATCTGCAAGATTTTCGCTCTAAGACGAGCGAAAATTTTCAGACACGAAAAAACACATTTCGTTGATAAAAATGGGTCATAACCATGTGCCCCTTTTTGCCAATTGTGCGCAACACAAACCCGAACCTTCCCCGAAAAATCGCCGAAACCGACGTTCCTAGGGGGTACATCAGGAAAATAAATTTCGACGTAAATCTCCCCATCCAGACGTGGACACCCCACGCTTACATTCCGACCAACCTTTCAAATGATCTCGGGGTGGTGGTAGGTGGTGGTGGTAGGTCATTTTGGTGTAAAAATGGGCATAACTATTTCATCATCTGAGCGCGTCACGTACCCGGGCGCCATCCAGGTGATATATCCTTGATTGGTACACGTTGTTTCGTCCACCCCGCATGAAAAAGACCCCGTCGTGGTGTTAAAGCATGCGCCACCAGTAACAAGGGCAGTCGGTGCCGATGTGGTCGGGGCGGCCGTCGGCCACTCCGCTGTACCCGTTCCGAGTTCGCAAAGCAACGGTTTGTTCCATCCTTTCGTCATCGTAGCAGTACTACAATCGGCCTCTCGCCATTCTCGCGTAGTGTAGGAGCGAGTCTGATCGTCGGTGGTGAGAAAGGCACACCGCGGAACCGCCTGGGCCTCGGCCTGGGGCTCGCCCGCGCGCCACACAGTGAAATCAGATGTTTCGCCAGATGCCCACTCCCACGTCGAACTACTAGCGGCGGCGCGGTAGCCGATCCACACATCTACCCACCCCACGTCTGTGGGTTCGCACCCCACGATGGTGTTCACCACCTGGCTCTCCGCCTCCGAGTTGATCGCGACGATCGAGCCGCCCATGCGCTCGCAGACTTCCTGCTCCACGGCCCACATCCCGTCGTCCGTCGAGTCTTGATCCGTTCCCGTGCCGGGGTAGCTGTCGTAAAACCGGTAACGAGCCTCGTACGAGCCCGTGACCGTGTATTCGTAGCCTTCTATTCTCCCCTGCGCGTCCAGGAGCTCGGCGCGGGTAAGATTCGTCTCACCAACTGGTTTGCACTTGTTCTGCTCGCAGTAGTAGCTGCACGGCCGTAACCCCGCCTGCACGTGTTCGTATTCGGCGCAAAACGCCGCGTCCGTATTGACATCTTCCTAGAAACGTCGGATACAGGACGTTGAACAGCAGCGCGCAAAGAAACACAACGACGAAGACGTGCAACCCGCTTCCGCTTTTGGAAAGATTGCGCGCCGAATCGCCCACCGAAACCTCGTCGCGGCCGCGCTTGAGACCCTCGAACGGGTTCATGTAGGTCAGGAATAGTGGGACCTTTCCGTACGCCTGCAGGACGACTTCGAACATCTGAAACCAGAACACCTTCCACACGAAGTACGTGCCCTCGTACCCAAAGTAGCGCTCGTATAGCAGCGCGACTCGCGTCTTCTCGCGCCGCTGGCACCGCGCTCGCTCGCCGAAGCATCCCGCCGCTCGGAGCAACAGAAACGTGTTCGCCGCGTACGGCGCCGCCAGCGCCAGGCCGTACAGACGCAGGACGACGTAGGGCCTTGAGAAGCCCCGCGTCGGCAGCAACACCGCGCGCGTTACCAGCGAGTCGGCGCCCTTGAGCACGAACGCGTCGACGTAGAGCCACCCGATGGCCGCGCTCAGCACCGCGGGCACGAGTCGCGCCGCGACGTAGCCCCAGCGGAGAGGGCGGCTCGAGGTCTCGTGCGTCGCCTCGGTGGGTTTCTCCAGGGCCCCCATGAGATCCAGCTCCCGCGCGGCTTCGTAGGCGACGTGCTGCTGGTCCGCGATGGCCAGGATTGGCTCGAGATGGATCTGGATCTCGCAGAGGAGCCCGTGATAGATCGTGCTCACGTTGACGTCGCGATAGCCTGAAGGCGTCGGTGCGCCCACGAAACGATTCTTGACCTGGACGACGCGGACGGTCCCGGCCACCTCGAGGGCCGCGAGCTCGTCGCCGAGCGTCCGCAACTCGTCCACCGTCTCGCAGACGATCGAGGCGCGGAGGATATCTCGTAGGCGGCTCACGTCGCCGCCGTAGTCCATCGCGATCTTCTCGCGAGCCCGGAGGAGGCCCTTGAGCTGCGGCCCGCGCGTCTCGCGCGACGACTCCGCCGGTGTGCGGCCCGCGCGCGCCAGGCGCTCAACGACGTCCACTTCGAAGCCTCCGACGCGCGCGCGCGCCAGCACGTAGAGCCGGCGCAGGTCGGCCGTCGGCTGGCTCAGCGCGCCAGCGAGCTTGGCTGGCGCCGGGCCCTTCTTTTCGTCGTTTTCGTGCTCCCGCCATGTGCGTTCGAAGAGCGCACTGATTTCGTCGACGTCCTCGATGAGCACGACCATGCGCCGGATCGTCGGGATCACGTACACCGCCGCCAGGAATAAGACGACGAGGGGCGCGATCCACTCCGGCGCGGCCGTCGCGACGCTTTTTGTGAGGAACCAGAAGAATACGACGAGCCCGATCGAGCCGCAGAACACCGAAAGCACGGCTTTGTCGTCCGTTTCGAAGTAGCTCATCATCATCGTCACGAGCGCGAGGTACGCGCGCCGCTGGAACCGCGCGGCCCGCGCGGCGATCTCGGGCTTGAGCCAGCTCCTGGAGCACGCGGCGCAGTAGCCGGTCTCGCTGCCGTGGAACGCGCCGCAGTAGCCGCACGGGTACGGCGCCGCAGCCGCCTCCGCCTCGTCCAGCAAACCGGAGGCTTGCGGCGGGGGCCGGCAGCGGTCATCGGGCACCGCCGCGGCGGGCGCGCCGGCCTCGACCGTAAGGCTCTCCATGATACTGCTGCGTCCGGTGCTGCACGAGACCAGAGGCAGCAAAGGCGCTCCGGAGACCGTGCCCTGCAGTCCGAGGGCGGCTGCCCCGACAGCCGCCGAAGCCCGTTTGCGTAACGCCGCAAAGAGTGCTTCCAAAAACGAGCAGGGACCACGCGCCCGAGTCTAGTTGTTGGGTGTCCCCTCTGGTGGCGTCCGAGCCGAAGCATCGACTTCCTTCTTCCTTCGACTCGCTCCGTCAAATCAACAAGTAGCGCTAGTACCTTTGTAACCTAGCTAACCGCACTGCACGCGCGCAAGTCGGCGGGGAGGTGTTTCGACGTCAAGCAGCATGGCAGGAACCACCTCGACCCTGCTCCTGGCGCTCGCCGGCCTCGTTACGTGCCAGGCGCCCGGGAGGCCCCGGGAGACAGGCGTGCCGGTGCCCGCGGTAGGCGACCACGCCGCGTACGCGCGCTGGATGGTGCGCAGCATGACCTGGGGCACGATGTCGACGATCTCGACTCAAGCCTCGATCGCGGGGTACCCGTTTGGCAACCCCGTGAGCTTCGCCGACGGCGGCACGGGCAACCCCTACATGTGCGTCTCGCCCCTCGACTCGAGCGTGAAGGACCTGCAGGCGAACCCCAAGTTCTCGCTCACGCTGTCCGCGGCCCAGGGCCAAAGCGCGCCGGCGGCGTGCGCGCCCGAGTCGGGGCGCGGCGACCCCGAGAACCCGCCGTGCGCCCGCCTGGCCCTGACGGGCGACTTCGTCGACGTCACGGGCAGTCCCGAGTTCAACACGGCCGTCGCGGCGCTCAACGCGACGCATCCCACCTTGAACTCGTGGGGCTGCTTCCAGGCGGGCGGCTCGGGCGGCTCCCACGGCTTCTTCCTCGCCAAGATGGCCGTCAAGCAGGCGTGGCTCATCAACATGTACGGCGGCGCCGCCGTCGTCGACGCCGCGGACTACTACGCCGCCTCGCGCGCGTAAAACTAACAAATTACTACCGTGATGACTCGACGACGAAGTCCCTCATCGCCGCGTCGAGGGCGTCGTCGCCGCCGCCGGGGAACAGCGCCGCGGCCCAGGCGTGGGCGGCCGCCGCCGCGTCGACGGCGGCCCGCGCGGCCGGGTCCGCGCCCGCGACGCGCGCGAGCGCGCCCGCGGCGCGGCGCGCCGCCGCCGCCGCCGCCGCGTTGTCGTCGCGCGCGGCGTGGACGACGAGGCCGCTCCGGATCAGGACCCCTACGTCGCCCGCCTCGTCGCCGGCGGCGACCGCGGCGACCGCGACGGCGACGGTGCCGGCCTGCGGGGCAACACCGGTGAGGCGTCTCCGCGCGAGCGCGGGGACGCCGGACGACGGACGAGCGCCCGCGCCGCGGCCCGCCGCGCGCCGTCGTCGGCGGCGCCCGCCAGGCGCCGCGCCGCCGGCGCGAGCGCGGCCGCGACGGCGCGCCGCGCCGCGTCTGACGGCGGAGCCGCCAGGGCCGCCGCCGCGACGTCGCACGCCTCGCGGTGCTCGGCCGGCGTCAGCGTCGAGGCGTAGCCGCGCTCGGCCAGCGCCGCGAGCGCTGCCGCGGCGAGCGGGCCCGGCGCCGTCGCGAGCCACGCGCAGGCGCCGCGCGCCACCGCCTCGTCCCCGCCGGCGAGCGCCACGAGCGCCAGCACCTCCAGCGCGGCGACGTCGCCCGGCGGCGCCGCGGCGTCGAGCACCGCGACGCAGGCCCGGAGGCCGTCGCGGTCGACGCGGAGGAGGCTCGCGGCCGCGAGCCGCCGCCACGTCGCGCCCGCGAGCGCCGCGACGCGGGGCCGGCCGCGCGCCTCCCCCTTGAACCTGCGCGGCCGGCGCGCCGTGAGTCGCGTCCCCCGACGGTCCGCGCGGCGTCGCACGCGGCGAGGAGGCCCGTCACGAGCCGCGTCCGCTGCGAGCCCGCCTTCGCCGCCCCCACGATGGCCTCGGCGGCGCCCGCGAAGCGGGCCGGCGGCGCCGCCGCGGCCGGCGCCCGCCGCTCGAGGACCCGCCGCAGCGCCGCGTCGCCGCCCGCGCCGCGCCGCGCGAGCGCCAGCAGCTCGCCGGACGCGCGGTCCCACCGCGCGTCGTCGGCGCACGCGGCCGCGCACCGCGCCTGCAGCGGGAGCAGGGCGCCGCGCCCGCCGCCGCGGACCCGCGCGAGCGCCGCCGCCGCCGCGCACGCCCAGTCCAGGGCCCCGCCGGCGAAGTCGCCGGCGGCCCACGCGGCGTCGGGCGCCGCCTGCAGCGCCGCCGCCGCGAAGACGAGGCACGTCCAGAACGCGCGCTCGTCGCCCGCCGCGCGCCGCGCGAGCCACGCGACGGCGCCGCCGGCGAGCGCGGCGTCGCAGCGGCGCCAGCGCCGCGCGGCCGCGCGCGACGCCTCGTCGCCGTCGACGAGCGCCCGCACCGAGTAGTGCGCGGCGCCGTCGACGAGTGCTACACATAGGGCCTCCGCCGGCAGGGCCCCGAGGGCCGCGCCCGCGTCGGCGACGGCGGCGAGCGCGTCCGCGGCCGGGCCGCTTCGATCCCGCGCCGCCCACGCCGCCGCCGGCGCCGCGTCGACGACCGCGGCCGCGGCGGCGGCTCGCGCGTCGTCGTCGTCCTCCGCCGCCCGCGCGAGTTTCGCCGCGGCGTCGGCCGCCGCGGCGCCGCCCCGGGCCGCCGCGTCCGCCTCGTCGCGCGCCGCGTCGGCGACGCCGCGCGCGAGCCGCCCGATCTCGCGCGCCGCGAGCGCCGCGCGCGCCCGCCTCGACGAGTGCGCCGGCCACGGCGCGTCGACCGGCTCGTCCGACACGGCGGCAATTTCGCGCAGCGCCGCCGCCGCGCCCGCCGGAGCGAGCTCGCCCGGCGCCTCCGGCCGCGGCGCGCGCCGCGGCGGCCGCCGCGCCGCGCCGCGCGCCGCCCGGCGCCGCCGCGCCGCGCCATCGGCGCCGCGGCGCCGCGCCGCCCCGCCCGGCGCGGGCCCGTCCTCGCGCTCGAGCATGGCCGCGAAGCCGTCGTCGTCGCGCGGGTCCTCGTCGCGGATGCCCTTGAGCCGCCGCGCGAGGCCGTGGATGTCCCGCTCGACGCGCTCCGTCGCGAGCGCGAGCGCCGCGAGGCCCTCGGACGCGGCGCCGCGCCGCGCCGCGCCGTCCTCGAGCCGGCGGTAGATGCGGTCGGCGACGTCGACGCCCCGGCGCACGGTGCCCAGGACGAGGTCCCGGAGCTCGTCGAGCTCGCGGCGGATGCCCGCGGCCTCCGCCGCGTCCAGCGCGCCCGTCCGCCGGCGCGCGAGCTTCTGCGCCGAGACGCGGCGCTCGAGCCGGCCGACGCGCCCGCGCAGGTAGGGCACCGCCGTCCGCTCGAGGTGGGCGTGGATCTCGCGGATTTCCCGCTTCAGCGCGCGGCGCTTCCGCGGGAGCCGCCGCCCGGGCCGCGCGAGGCCGTCGGGGCCGGCGGCGTCGCCGCCGGCCGGGGGCGCCGGCCGCGTCCGGCGGCGCTTCTTCGCCGGGGGCGCGTTCCGCGGGTGGAGCGGCCGCGCCCGCAGCAGCGCCGCCGCCGCCGCCGCCGCGTCGTCGTCGCTCTCGCTCAGGCCGTCGGCGGCGCGCGCCGGCGGCGGCCGGCCGAGCGCCGCGAGCGGCACGTCCTCGGACGACGACGAGTCGTAGCCGTCGGCGTCGAGGCCGAGGGCCTGGGCCGCGGCCTCGAGGTCCCGCCGGGCCCGCGCGTCGGCGGGCGCGCGCGGCGCCGCCGCGAGCTCGTCGGGCTGCGCGTGGCCGCAGTCGACGATGAGGCAGGCGCAGCCGAAGAGGCGGCAGCGCCCCGCCGTCTGGCGCTTGCGCCGCGGCGCGTCGAGCGCGAACGCGGCGACGCGCGACGCGGCGATGCCCCGCTGGCGCGCGCCGCCGATCGTGAGCCGCACGTCGACCGTGCCGCGCGCGGCGTCGACGGCCGTCACCTCGGCGAGGCCGCCCTCGAAGTTCTCGCCCACGCCCGTCAGCGCCGGCGCCACGACGAGCGCGCCCACGGCGAACGGCGCCGCCGGCGCGGCCGGGTCCGGCGCGTCCGGCGGCGCCTCGGGCGCGTCCGGTGGCGCCTCGGGTGCGTCCGGCTCCGCATCCGGCGCGGCGTCGGGGCCCACGTACGGCTGCGTGGGCGCCTCGTAGGGCTGCGTGGGCGCCTCGTAGGGCTGCGTGGGCGCCTCGTGCGGCTGCGTGAGCGCCTCGTGCGGCTGCGTGAGCGCCTCGTAGGGTTGCGTGGGCGCCTCGGACGGCCGCGCGGGCGGCGCCAGGGACGCCAGCGGGACGTCCTCGGACGAATCCGAGGTGTCGTCCGCGGGAACGCCGCCCGCGGCCGGCGGCGGCAGGCCCTGGAGGGAGTCCAGGCGCATCATCTGGCGGCGGCGCTCAAAATACACACAGATGTCGGTGACAGCAGGCGCGGTTGACCTAAGTCAGCAGGCGCGGTCGGGCTAGCGTTCAGCGTTCAAACCGCGCGCAGCACAATAATTCATTTGCTAGTGTCTTTTTCCGCTAGATAATCAAGCTTCCGGCTTGCGCGTTTTTTTAAGAGCCCCGCGCTCATTGAATCTAGACGCGGAGAGGAACCTAGACGCGGAGACACGTCGTCGCGTCAGGGTGCAACCATGTTCCAGCAGTACGAGGCCGAGCTGCAGGAGGTGCTGGCCGACGCCGAGGCGCGGCTCGGCGCGCTGCTCGCGGCCGCCGACACCGCCGACCGGTCCGGGGCCGTGCGGCAACTGAACGACCTCGTGCGGACCGCGCGCGACCTGGAAAAGCAGATCGACGTCGAGGTCCGGTCGGCGGCGCCGGACGCGCGCGCCGCGCTGCGCGAGCGCGCGCGGCCGCTCGGCGACCGCCTCGCGGCGCTGCGGCGCCAGGCCGAGGCCGTGGCCGAGGAGGCGGACCGCGAGCGCGTGCTCGGCGTGCGGAACCCGCTGAACGCGTCGGCCGGCGCGCGGGGCCGCCTCGCGGCGGCGGGCGACCGCGCGCGCGGCCAGAACGACGCCATCCGCGGCGCGCTCGAGACGGTGCGCGACACGGAGCAGACGGCCATCGACATCGCCGACGAGCTCGGCCGCAACCGCGAGACGATCGGCTCGATCCGCGGCCACGTCGCCGACGCCGGCGGCGACCTCGGCGCCGCGCGGGGGCTCATCGGACGCATGCAGCGGCGCGAGGTCCAGCAGAAGGCGGTCCTGACTGTCGTCGCCGCGATCCTCATCGCCGCCATCGGGACCGTGTCCTACTACAGCTTCTCCTAGGCGCGTAAGGCTAGCGGCCTGTGAGACACGAGGGGTCCACTACTACCAAGGAGATACCGTCCCCGGGGCGCGGCTTCCAGGGCTCGTTTAGGAAATCCGCGCTAGCGGCTTGTAGACACTAGCTCGGCCGGGGGGATCCATGAGATAAGCCAAGGCAATAGTCGCGGGCGGCCCCAACCGTTGAGCTATCTACGTTGTCTGTGTTTTCGTTCGCGAGTGTGGGCGTTCAGAGCGGGCATCGTATGAGTTCCGGTGCGCTACCGGGCCCAGGCCTCCTGCGCGCGATGCCTCTGCTTTTTTGATGCTAGAGGGGCTAGCTAGGGTAATTAGCCCCGACCTGCTACTACCTTCGAGACTCCGTGACTCGGGCTACCCCTGCTAGTTAGGCGGGGGATGGGTCGAACTTCGTCCGCGCCGCCGCCGCCGCCGCTACGCGCGTTCCTGCCACGCGTAGCCAGCCGTCCTCCGATTCGGTGAACGCGAGCGCCGACCTTACCGTCTCCTTTTTTCGCGCACCCGTGCGCGGCGCGTCCCCTAGCTACATTAGGGCTCTAGTCTCTGCGTTTTACCCTTGCACTCTCTCTCGGTGCAGGCGTGGTGGCAGGCAGCGGACCTGGAGGAGGTCCGGCTGATTCCACCGCGCCTGTCATGCTGCGCAGCGCTGTCAAAATGGCCGCCATGGCCTGCAGAGCTCGATTTGGGCTCAGAGCTACCGGGCGTGAGAGGCCGGCGCTGGATCCGCGCGGGAGCGCTAAAAAGCCCTATAAAGCGCTTGATCAGAGTCTGTTAGTCACCGCCGCGGCATTTCCAAGCTTACAGCACAAACGGGGACCGCTACGCACCTCTGCGAAGAGATTACGTCAAGTCTCGATTTGACGCGATATCGAGAGCGGCCGCGACCCGCTGACCGCCCTCACTCAAGATACTGACCGCGCAGACATATTATTGCCCACGACCAGAACCAGAGCCCCCACCGTCGTCATCACGCGGACTTACTCCGCTGCCGGAAGACCGCCGATCTCGAACGGATCTGAAAAGTGAGTACCAGCGCCCCTTTTTAGCTCGAGCCCGCGAGCCGCGGCACGGCGGCTGCACGCGCGAGCTGTGAGACCGCGCGCACGCCATCCAAATACTTCTGGCGGCCTTGCGGCTTTTCACGCTCGCAAACGACCACGTGCCCGACCTGAGAGAGGCCCCGCACGCCGTCGGAAGAGCTCGGTCGCTTCGACGACGTCGGCCGCGGCACGTGGCGGCTACGAGACGTTGCGCACGCCGTCGAGAGAGACTGCTCGCGGCGTTCGTGCTCTGAAGAGGCGTAAACGCGCCGCGCGCCGTCGAGAGGCCGCGTGCGGCCCGACGGCGTTCGACGAAGCGTGTCCCATAGCCGCCGCGTCGGCGACCACACTGGTATTTTCGGCGACTGGGGCGTCCGCGGCTCGAAACGCGGCGACTCGACCTTCGCCTCGTTCGCCTTCGAGTTCTCAGCGAATTGTGGCTTGTTGGCCGACGGCGGCATGCATCAGGCCGACGTTGGTCTGGAGGCGACGGTGTGTCGGGACGTCGGTGCGGCCTTCGGCCCGCGGTACCCGGCGATCGAGTGCGGCAACAAGGACGACCTCGGCGCCAACTTCTACTTCGACCTGATCTCGAAAACGGGCTACACGTACGTGGTCCTCGCGACGAAGCCGCCGACGGAGCCGCGCGATCTGCTGAAGGAGGCGCAGCGCGGCGGCGACGGGTCAGTGACGCGCGGCGGCGGCATCAGCAGGGGCCCCGTGACGACCTGGGAGGTGGACTGGATGCAGGCGCTGCTCTATTTGGTGGCCACGCGCGGCCTGGCGCAGCGCGACTTCGAGGTCATCGCCGCGGCCCTCAACGAGGCCTGCGGGCTGAAGTTGACGAGGAGCGCGGTCTACCACAAGTACAGCCGGATCGCGGAGCGGCGCGAGACGGCCTCGCCCGCGAAGGAGCCGGTCTCGAAGGCTGAGGTGGCCGTGGCGCTCGCCGCGAAGCGGTCCGCGGCGTCGCATCTCGCGGGCCTCGCGCCGGAGGTCGTGCGATCGCTGAAGGCGAGCGCCGCCGCTCTCGCCGCTGGTGACGCCTCGGACGACGTCCTCGCGGCGCGCGCCGCGCGCCAACACCGGCTCGAACGGTCGGCGTTGGGGAAGCTGCACGCGCTCTTCGTGGGCGCCGCCGCGCCGTTCTTCGTTGTCGAGTCCTCCTCGGGCGAGTCCTCCTCGGACGAGTCCTCCTCGGACAGTTCCGACGACGAGGCGGCAGCGCCGGCGCCGGTAGCGACGCCGGCCGCCGCCGCGGCGTCCCTGAGCGCGCTGCAGCGCATCACGTGCAGGACTGACTGCGTTGTCGTAGTGTCCTCGACTGCGCCGCGCAGGGCCGTGGCGGCCTTGGGCCGGGCGGTTGGCGCCGAGAAGCTGCGCGCGACCGCGGCCGTGGCCTCCTCGGGCAGCGCCGCCGAGCGCGAGGTTTGCGAGGTGCTCCAGTGGGTCGAGCAGCGGCCCGCGCTCCGCTGGGTCTGCCTCGACGCGACGGGCGGCCTCTGCGAGGCCTATGTGGCCGGCGCGCGCGCTGCCGGCGCCGCGCCTATGTTCGCGCCGCGGTTCGTGCCGTCCGTCGACGAGGACGCGCTGCTCGCGGTGACGTTCCCCGAGGACACGCCGGACGCTGCCACGGCGCCGCGCGGTTCGCTACCGCAGTCGCACGAGATCACGCGGGCTAATATTGCGGGGCGGCGTCTCGTCGTGACCGGCAAGAACTTTTTGCCCCAAGCGATATTGGAGCTCGTCCTGGAAATTAGTTTTGGAGCGAATATCACGAGCAAGGCATCCACAAAGACGCACATGGTCATCGGGCCGGCGAGTTGCCTGGAGGGCGACCCTGCGGACCAGTCAGCCAATGCAAAGTGCGCCTTGTGTACGCCGACGGAGGACCCGAAGAACGGCGGCCACGCCGTGTTCCTCGAGGACACGAAATGGAAGCGATGCTGCGGGAAGGCGAGGTGGGGGACGTGTTGCTGGAAAAGCGGGGGAGCCTGCCGGCGCCGCTCTACATTACGGTGGAAGACGCGCTCGCGCGCCGGCCCTGGAGGCGGCACGTCTGCGTCGTGACGGGCGCGGTCAACGGCTACGACCAGGTCGACTTCCTCGTGGCGCTGCGGGACACACTCGGCGCCGAGACGTGGGACCGCGTGACCGACGACACGACGCTATTAATCGTGGGCGATTTGGGAGGCCGGGCGTCGAGCACCAAGCTCGACATGGCTCGTGTGCTGAAGGTAAATATCGTGCGCGCCGCGGAGGTGCTGAAGCTGCTGGCGTCGCCCCCGGCGGTCTTCGCGGACGTGACGAACGGCGCCGGCCGGCCGGCGAAGAAGACGCGGGTGTAAAGCGGCGCCGCCGGCGTCGCGGCAGTCCTCGCGCGAAGCGGCGGAGGACACGGAGGAGATGGAGATGGAGTGGTAGTAGCTCTAAGAAAGAGCATTGTGTTTCAAGTCCTATGCCGTTCCGGTCTACCATCATGCCCTCCTTATCTCGCCTCGCGCGCGCGGCGCGTCGACGCGCCGGACGCCTTCATATCTGTAAGAAACTAGCTCTGATTGTCGGCGGCGCCGTGGTGGTGCCACCGAACAGTGCGAGTCACTGCACTTCACGCCGTAATAGCCTAGTGCCTCTATCTAGTGCTCGATTTCGAGCAGCGGGGCAGTAGTAGATTTAACTGAGCCTGGCCTTGTCAGAGCCTCGATTACGTCCGAGATGCCCAAGGACCTGTGGGCCTACCTCCGGCCCGAGCGCCCGGCGCTGGCCTGCGGCGGCGCGGCCCTCCTCGTGTCGACCTTCTCGAACGCCTTCGCGCCCCGGGCCATGGGCCGCGTCGTCGACGCCTACGCGGCGCGGCGCCGGGACGGCGGCGCGGCGCTCCGGCGCGAGCTCGCGGCGACGGGCCTCGTCTTCGCGTGCGGCGCGCTCGCGTCCGGCGTGCGGACGGCGTGCTTCGCGGGCGCGTGCCAGGGCGCGCTCCGGCGCCTGCGCGCGGACGCGTACCGCGCGTGCCTGGTCCGGCGGCGCGGCGCGCACGACGCCGCGGCGGCGGCCGACGCCGTCGACGCGGACGCGCGGACGGCCGCCCGGTTCCTGACGGAGAGCCTCCAGAACGGCCTGCGGTACGCGTCCTCGGTCGTCAACGGCGGCGCGCGCCTCGTCCTCCTCTCGCCGAATTTGTGCCTCGAGCTGCTCGTGGCGCTGCCCGTCGGCGCGGGGCTCGTGCGCGCGGCGTCGCGCGGCGTGAGCCGGCGCGGCGACGCGGCGGAGCGCGCCGAGCGCGACGCCGTCGCGCTCGCGCGCGACCGCCTGCGGCCGGAGGCGTTCGACGTCGTGCGGTGCGCGGGCGCGGAGGCGGTCGAGCACCGGCGCTTCGCCGGGCTGCTCGCGCGCGCGGAGGCGGCGGGCCGGGCGCACGGCGTCGCGCGGGGCTGCCTCATGGGGTCGCTCGACGCCGTCGGCAAGCTGACGGTGCTCGGCGTCGTCTTCCGCGGCGGCGCGCGCGTCGAGCGCGGCGACATGACGGGCGGCGACCTCCTCGCGTTCGCGCTCTACGCGGCCTACGCCGCGCTGGGGCTCGCAGGCCTCGCGCGCGTCGCGCTCGGCGACCGGAAGGCCTTCCGGCGGGCGGAGGAGCGGCTCCTCGCCGCGCTCGACGCGGCCGGCGCCGACGGCGCCGCGGCGGCGGCGGAGGCGGCGGAGGCGGCCGCGCCGGATCCAGAAGAGGCGGCCGTGGCCCTCGACGGCGTCGACGTCGCCTACGCGGGGCGCGGCGACCTCGCGCTCCGGGGCGTCTCGCTGCGCGCGGCGGCCGGGCGGGTCACGGGGATCGTCGGCGCGAGCGGCGCGGGCAAGTCCACGCTGCTGCGGTGCTGCGCCGGGCTCGTCGCGCCCGCGGCCGGCGCGGTCCGCGTCTGCGGCGTCGACGTCCACGGGGGCGACGCCGCGCGCGTCGCGGCGGTCCGCCGGACGCTGGCCAGCCACGTGCAGCAGGGCGCGCCGCTGCTGGCGCACGGGCCGCGGCTCCTCGACGCCGTCGCGTACCTGGGCCTCGGGGCGCCCGTCGACGTCGAGCGGGCCCGCGGCGCGGTCGCCGCGTGCGCGGGCCCGGTGAGCGAGAGCGTCGGCGGCCTCGAGGGCGGCGTCGGCCGCGACGCGGGCGACCTGTCGGGCGGCCAGAAGAACCGCGTGGCGCTCGCGCGCGCGCTCTACCGGGCCGGCGCGCGCGTGCTGCTGCTCGACGAGCCGACGGCCGCGCTCGACGGCCCCGGCGAGGCGGCCGCGCTCGACGGCGCGCTGGGCGCGGCGCGGAGGCGGGGCTGCGCCGTGCTGCTCGTGGCGCACTCGCGCGCGGCGATCTCGCGCTGCGACGACGTCGTCGTCCTCGAGCGCGGCCGGCTCGTCGAGCGCGGCGCCTACGGCGCGCTCGCGGCCGACCCGTCGTCGCGCCTGAACGCGCTCCTCGAGTAATCGGGGAAGTCTTACGTCGCCCGGCGACGTACGTGGTTAGTTAGTACGTTACGTTACGTGGGGGGGGGGGGGGGCGGCGGCCGCGCCTCGCCCTAGCCGAGGCGGCTCAGCGACGAGAACGCGGACGAGAGCGCGCCCGCGATGCCGTCCTCCTCCTCGGGCGCGCCGTCGCCGAAGAACGCGTCGGAGCCGATGCCGCCGTGGTAGAGGGCGCGGTCGCGCGCCGACGGCGCCGACGGCGCCGCCGCCGCGCCCGGCTCGTCGAAGAAGGAGTCGCTCCCGAAGCCCTTCTTGGACCCGAAGCGGTCGCGGGCCGCCGTCGAGGCGGCGGGCGCGGGCGCGGGCGCGGCCGCGCGGGCCGGGGCCTTCTTCTTCGGGGGCGCCGGCGCCGGCGCCGCCGGCGCCGGCGCCGCGGAGGCCTCCGCGTAGGCCGCGGCCAGGCGCGACGAGCCCGAGCGCGCGTCGAAGAAGCCGTCGGCGTCGTCGAAGCCCTCGGCCGCGGCCTCCTCGGCGCGCCGCGCGGCCTCGGCCCGGCCCCCCTTCTTGGGCGCGTCCGAGTACCAGTCGTCGTCGTCGTCGTCGTCGTCCGCGGCGGGCGGCGGCGGCGGCGGCGGCGCCCGCTTCGGCGGCGGCGCCTGCTGCCAGAGCGACCCGCCGCTGTAGAGGCCGCCCGAGGTGTCGAGCGGCGACCCGGGCTTGGGCGCGGCCGGGGCCTTCCCGCCCGCGAGCCTGGGCGACGCCTGCCGCGGCGACGGCGAGGAAAAGTCGACGGCGCCCGTGAGCTTGCGCGCGCCGATGCCGCGGCGCGACGCGCCGGCGCGCCGCGCGCCGAGCGCCGGCGCGCGCCGCTGCGTCGGCGCGCGCAGCACCGGCGCCGGGGCCGGGGCCGGGGCCGGCTCCTCGCCCAGCTCCGAGAACGTCGTCGCCGAGGGCGGCGCGGCGGCGGGCTTCGCGGCCGGCGGCGTCGGCGGCGCGGCGGCGCGCGGCGGCGGCGCGCGCGGCGGCGGCGGCGGCATCGCCGGCGCCGGCTTCGGCGCCGGCGCCCGCAGGCCCGCGGCCGAGAGGCCCGCGGCCGAGAGGCCCGCGGCCGAGAGGCCCGCGGCCGAGAGCTTGCCGGAGGCGGCCCGGGCCTGCTTCATCTGCGCCGCCGAGCGCACGCGGAACTGCGCCGCGTCGGGCTCGGCGCGCGGCACGGGCATCTTGACCGACGCCGCGGGCGTCGCGAGGGCCGGCGACGACTGCGTGCGCGGCGGCATCTCCATGGGCTCAAAGTCCTCGAAGAAGGACTTCTTGGGCAGCTCCGGCGTCGCGAGCGGCGACGGCGCCGCGCCGCCCTGCAGGGCCTGCTGGACCTCCTTGGCGAGGCGGTCGCGGTACTGCCTCGCCGTGGAGGACGCGTACTTCGTGTCCTGGCGGATGTGCAGGTCCCGCACGCCGTGCGCGCGGAAGAAGTCGCGCGCGCGGCCGTTGCCGCCCCGCTTCATGGCCTCGAGCTGGCCGCGCGTCCACGTGTCCATGTCGACGCTCCGCACGAACGTGAGGTGCGTGCCCAGGCGGCGCTGGCCGCCCGCGCAGTCGAGGCAGATGAAGACGCCGAACGTCGACGACGCCCAGATGGGCTTGCGCTGCGGGCAGTCGAAGCACGTCCGGTTGTCGGCCTTGGCCAGCAGCTTCCGGAAGACGCGGTCGCGCTCCTCCTTGGGCACGGGCTCGTCGGCCATGCCGGCGAAGGAATGCCGGCCGATGCCGCGCCTGAGGGTCTGGCTTTTGCTGAATTTTTTAGGCCATGTACCGCAGTACCGTAGGTATGTAGCTGGGTGTAAACAAGAGGTACTATACTTATGTAGGGTAAGGTACCTTGGTATCGAGGGAAGGCACAACCAGCACGCGTAGATCCGTGCAGAATCGGCGCTATCGCATTACGCGCTACGGCGGCGCCCCCGCCCGGAGCCGCGCCACGACCTCGCCCCCCGACGCGCAGCGCACGATGGGCAGCGCGGCGCCGCAGTCGAAGAGCACGCCGGCGCGCCGGCCGCGCCGCGCCGCGCGCCGGCGCACGCGCGCCGGCGCCGCGCCGCCGCCGAAGAGCGCGAGGAGCTGCGCGTTGTCCGTCCGGGGGTCCGGCGCCAGGAAGCAGTCGCCGCCCCGCCGCGCGGTCGCGTCGCCCAGGTTCCGCGCGAGGCGCTCGCAGCCCGCCTCCGTGTCGAGGGACGTCTCCCGCACCAGGTTCGCGGCGACGCCGCGCCGCGCGACGCGCGCCACGTCTTCCGCGAAGGCCGGCGCCGACAGCGCCGCTGGGAGCCGCGACTCCGCGTCGAAGACGTCGATGACGACCACGTCGTAGGCGCCGTCGTCGCAGGTGCGCAGGAAGTCCACCGCGTCCGCGAGAATCACGTCCACGTTCGCGGGCAGCGGTGCGCACCGCGCCGCCGCCGCGACGACCGCGGGGTCGACCTCCACGGCCGTGACGGCGTGGGGGCCGTGGGCGGCGAGGAAGGCCGCGACGCAGCCGAAGCCGAGGCCCAGCACGAGCGCGCTCCGCGACGTCGTGCAGGCGAACGCCGCGGCCCCGAGCCCCCGCGTGTAGCCGGCGAGGCAGCCGCCGTGGATCTTGGCGTCGACGAGCAGCGCCGCCGACTGGACGACCGTGCCGGACGTGCAGAGGAGGCGCCACGCGCCGCCCGTGGCGTTCGCCTCGCGGACGACGACGCCGTCCGCGTCGTAGATCGCCTCGACGCCCTCGAGGTCCGCGTCGAGCCAGTCCAGCGCCTCGGGGCGCCCGGGGTCCGGCGCCCGCGGCCGCCGGCTCAAAAACCGCCGCCGGGCGCCCTCCCAGCTCGTGGCGCCCTGGCGGTCGAACGGCAGGAGCGCCGCGCCCGTGCGCGGGTCGCAGGGCGGCGGCGTCGCCGTGAAGCTGCTCCGCAGGGCGTCCGCGGCCGCCACCGCCGCGACGAGGCAGGCGCAGCGACGGCGCATTTGCGCGCGCTCTACGAGTTCAGGGCTACCGATGGAAAGACGGCGTGCAGTGTATTTCGATTTAGGCAGATTGGTGCTGCTCAGGTGCGCTGCTCCGGCTGCAATCGGATGCAATGTTGCGCGCTCCGCGGTTGCAATAGGATGCAATGTTGCGCGCTCCGGCAAGTGCAGTGAGAGTCAGTGAGGCTCCTGGCCATCCGCAGACCCGACGCTATGCCCGGCATCCATCATCCATCGCTCCGCTTGCAAGACAACACTTCGGAGGAGGGAAGGAAGGCAGTCGTAGGCAGGACTCCCGCAAAACTTCGGGTTCAGCAAGTTGATCACAGCTTTTTGTGATCCAGCCCTATCTCGGTCGTGGTTGCAAAACTATTGCCACGCGACAGCGGCGTTGTGGGAACTGCAAGCAGGCATCCTCCGCAGCTTCTAAACGTCACGAGAGCCGTCGCAGAGAGCTCTGCCACGTGGTGAGGGCCCATTCGCGCGGGGCAAATCTACTCGCGCGCCGTCGGCAAAGAAGCGCCATGCTGCGCTGGACGCTCCTCGCGGGCGCCGCGTCGGCCCTCGTCGCGCCCGTCGTCCCGCGGCCGCGCTCGGCGCGGGCCGCCGCCGCCGTCGCCGAGAAGGAGGACGTCGAGCTGGCGGACTGCCCGGTGACGCAGTGGGGCGCGAGCATCCCGGACATCCTGGCGGCGCAGCAGGCGAAGCGCGCGGCGCCCGAGCAGCCGTTCCTGCACGTGCTCGAGCCGCCGTCGGCGGACCCCGACGCCCAGCTGCGGTGGCTAGCCGACCACCGGGACGAGGTGAACGCGAAGCTCGCGAGCCACGGCGCCGTCAACCTGCGGGGCTGGGACCTCGTCCGGACGCCGGAGGGCTTCCGCGCGGCCTACGAGGCGCTGGGCCTCGAGCCGTGCCGCGACCCGCTCGACGCGGTGAGCGCGCGGCCCATGGTCGACAAGGGCAGCGCGGTGTACGAGGCCGTGAACAAGGAGTCGCGGGCGAACTTCTACATCGGGATGCACAACGAGTTCGTGGGCACGCGCGCGCCGCGCGCGGCCATGTTCGTCTGCTTCCAGCAGGCCGAGGAGGGCGGCGAGTTCATGGTCTGCGACGGGCGGCGCGTCTTCCGGGACTGCGACGAGGAGCTGCTGGCGCGGCTCTACGGGCGGCGGATCCGGTACAGCGTCATGGAGCTGCCCTTCTTCTCGTTCCTGGACGGCCTGCCGGAGGAGGTCGCGGCCGGCCCCGTCAAGATCCCGCTCCGGGCGGGCGCGGCGTCGGCGGTGCGCGGCGTCGTCGCGGCGGCGATCAACGCCAAGGTCGACTTCGACGTCGACATGCAGTGGCTCGACGACGAGGCCTCGGCGTACGGCGACGACAAGACGCTGCAGGCGCGCGCGCCGGTGCAGCCGCCCGTCGTGCTCCACCCGGCGACGGGCGAGCCGACCTGGTTCTGCAACGTCCACTCGCACTCGTCCGTGCTGCGCAAGAAGCGCGAGTCGATCTACGGCGCCGAGAAGTTCGAGGACGGCGCGTCGCGCATCAACAAGAGCGACATGTACTACGGCGACGACGGGTCCATCGCCGAGGGCGACCTCGACCACCTCGACGAGCTGACGCGGAAGCACACGGTCTCGCTGCGCATGGCGCCGGGCGACGCGGTCCTCGTGGACAACTACCAGACGATGCACGGCCGCAACGTCTTCAAGGGCACGCGCAAGCATGCCGTGTCGTGGTTCAAGTAGGGGGCCGGTCGCCAGTGTAGAGAAGAGGCGCGTAAGAAGCTCCTGCCTCGACCCGGGAATGACCTGTCGCGGCGCGAGACGGGCGCGGGCCGCGTCTCGGACGCGGTCGTACCGCGCTAGTGTGTCGACACGGCCCCGGTGCGGCCTCCAGGGCTCCCCCGCGCTTAGGGTAGAGAGAGAGAGAGCCACTTATTGAACCCACCCCCAGGTAGTGTGGGCTAGCGTCCTGTAAGACACTAGCAAGCAGAGCCCCCAGGCAACAACGCCGGCAGGCCCGACCGACGCTGCGCCCTGGGCAGGGCGCTGCCTCACCAGACGCCTCGCGGAGGCAGCCCCCGCCGCCGCGATGGAGCGCCCGCGCGCGTGAGGCGCGAGCGGTCCGAGGATGGACGGGGCCGAGCTCGGGGAGGGCATGGAGATCGACCGCGTCGTCCTGCCGCTCGCGTCGAGCGAGGCGGCGGCCGCGGCGACGGCGGCGACCGGGCGCGCGCGCTTCGCGTACCTGGCGCAGACCGGCGCGAAGGCGCCGCCGGGCGAGGCGGCGCGCCCCGACTACGGCGCGAACCTGGGCCGGGACGCGCTGCAGATGGTCTACGCGAAGGACGTGGGCTACGCGCGCGAGGACGCGCCGGCCCCGGCGAGCGAGGCGAGCGACCTGGACAGCGACGACGACGACGCCGCCGCCGCCGCGGAGACGCCGCGCGGCGACGCGGCCCCGCCGGGCGGGGCGGCCGGCGACGACCAGCTCAAGATGGACGCCGACTGGAACACGGACGGGTGGTCGGCGCGCGAGATCGAGAGCGCGCTGAACGCGCTGATGCGCGAGGTGCGGCTCGCGGCGCCGACGGACGAGGGCCAGAAGCGGCGCGCCAAGGCCCAGAAGATGTTCCTCCGGCTCCTCAAGCGGCACCGCGAGGCGGTGCAGTACGTGGAGCGCGTCCTCGAGGGGCTCTGCCACCGGGGCCTGCCCGCGGCGGTCGTGCACATGGACGACGCGGAGGCGCTGAACCTGGCGCCGCTGCTGGCCGCGCTCGCGCCGGCGAAGGACTTCGCGCGGCGGCTCCTGGACGTGCACGCCGTGCGGCGCGCGTGCCGGTGCGTCGCGCGGCGCGCGAACCTGGCCGCGGCGATCATCCAGTGCCGCGTCCAGATGAAGTACCTCTGCGACCCAGAGGCGCCGCGCTACGCGGCGAAGATTCCGGACGACGCCCGCGAGGACGAGGCCGAGCACATCCGGAAGGAGACGCGGGAGTACTGCCGGCGGAAGTGGGTCGCCAAGTGCTGGGAGCAGGACGCGCTCGTGCGGCGGTGGCGCGCGGCGGAGGCGACGCGGGGGCGGCACGACGCCCGGAGCACGCTCGTCCGGCGCGCCACGCTCGCGCACCTGGGCCTGCTCGAGGCGCTGTGCGCGTCGCCGGCGCCGGGCGTCGCCGAGACGGCGCGGCGGCGGACCTGCGGGCGGCTGGGCGAGGCGCTGCCGTCGATCTGCATGCTCGCGACGCGGCAGGCCGCCGAGGGGCCGGAGATCCAGGCGCTCGCGCTGCGGGTGCTGCTGCTCGTCGCGGCGCAGCCGGGGCTCGCGCGGCCCCTGCTGCGCGCGAACGTCGCGGACCTGTGCCGCAGCCTCCTGAACGTGCGGGAGCCCGTCGAGGTGCGGCGCGCGGCGCTGGACGTGCTCCAGGCCGGCGCGCTCAGCTGCCTCACGTGCGTCAACCTGCCCCGGCCCGCGTCGCCGGCCGGGTCGCGGGCCTCGTCGCGGCCGGGCACGCGGCCGAGCTCGCGCGCGTCGGACCGGCCGCCGTCGCGGCCGCTGGGCGGGCCGACGCCCCCCGGCACCGCGGACGCGGACCGGCCGCCGTCGCCGCAGAAGTGGGTCCCGAAGGAGAAGGAGGACGACGACTACCCGCCGCTCGACCTCGTCGAGGCCGAGGAGGTCGGCGCCCTGCTCGGGAAGAAGCGCGTCGTGGCGAGCGTGATGGAGCTGCTCGGCGAGCGCGACGAGGCGCTCTTCCTCGGCTCGATCCGCTTCGCGCAGCGCGTCGCGAACGGCGGCTTCCAGGCGTACCGGGGGGCGCTCGACGAGGTCCTGGCCTACGGCGGGCGGCCGCTCGAGCGGCTCGTGCTGGGCGGCCTCGCGGCGACGACCGCGCGCGGCGGCCGCGGCGCGCCCGCGGGGCCCGCCGCCCTGGAGCTGCTCGCCGCGCTGTGCGCGCGGCCCGCCGGGCGGCAGGGCCTGCGGGCCGCCCGCGTCGAGCTCATGGTGGCGCCGCTGCTCAGCTCGGGCGACCCGACGTCGCCGCCGTACCTGCGGTCGCTCTACGTGCTGCTGGCGGCGGCGCGGAGCGGCCCGGCGACGGAGGTGGTGCTGCCCGGCGCGCTCGGCGACGACGTGGACCCGCAGGCCGACTCGCGCTTCGTGCCCGACGCGCCGGACCCGAGCCTCGCGATGACGCGCCACGTCCGCGCCGCGTTCGTCGCGCTGTCCCTGAGGAGCGACGACGAGGTGGCGGCGACGTGCCTGGAGCTGGCGCGGCTGGGCGCGGCGCGCGGCTGCCGCGAGTTCCTGTGCCGGCCGCGCGAGAAGGGCTTCCCGTACGCGCTGGCGCGGAAGGCGCGCGCGGCGCACCTCGTCGTGCTCCACCGCCTGCTGAACTCGGCGGAGCCGCTGCCCGAGGAGCTGCTGAAGCGGGACGCGACGGCGGTCGTCCGGTTCCTGGCGCTGGGCGTCCAGGCCGGCTTCCACGACGTCGAGGACGGCCAGGTGTTGACGCTGCCGCCGAAGGACCAGGCGCTGCACCACCTGGCGCTGGAGAGCGCGCTGCGCGCGCTGGCGTGCGCCGCCGCCGCCGGGAGCGCGAGCGAGGGCGACACCGTCGCGGCCGCGATCGGCGCCGTGCAGCGGCGCGACGCCGCCGCCGCCGACGACGACGGCGGCGGCGGGGCCGACGACGACGACGACATGCTCGCCGAGGAGGACCCGCGGATCAGCGACGCGCTGCTCGAGCCGCACCGGGGCGCCCGGGCCCTCGTCGCGCGGTTCCTGCTGGGCACGTCGCTGCTGGGCGACGTGCTCGGCCTCGTGCGGCGCGCGCCGTCGGCGGACGTCGCCGCGCTGGACGCGCTCGCCGGGGCCGAGGCGCGCGTGGCCGGCGCGGCCTGCGCGCTGGTCGCGGCCGCGGCGCCCGTCGCCGTCGTCGACCTCGCGGCGTCCCTGCGGGAGGAGCCCCCGGTCGCGGAGGAGGAGTCGTACGTCGCCGCCGAGACCACGCTGCGGCCGCTCCGCGAGGCGGCGTTGCCGGGCCTCCAGGTCTGCCTGGCCCACGAGGCGCCCTACGAGTGCCGCGCGGCGGCCTGCGCCGCGCTCGCGCGCCTCGCCGCGACGCCGGCCGGCGCGCGGTGGAGCCGGGACGTGGCGCGCGCGCTCGGCCGCCTCGCGCCGCCGGGCCCCGTCTCGCAGAAGCACTGCGACGAGGTCCTGTACAAGCGGCCCTGGGCGGCGATGGCCACCGCCGACGCGTCCGCCACGCAGGGCCGCGACGTCGACGCCTGCCGCTTCCTGCGGCTGCCCGTGAGCTGGTTCGCCGGCGCGGCGGCGCTCGCGCTGCACGAGCGCGGCGCGAAGGCGCTCCTGGAGCACCACGTCGTCCAGCGGTGCGCGGAGCGCTTCGGGGTCACGACCGACCGGCCGGGCGTCGACCGGGCGATCCGGGCGCACGTCGCGCTCGTCGTCGCGCGCGTCGCGGTCTGCGGGGAGCAGCCGAACGCGCTGGGGCCCTTCGCCCACGTGTGCATCGGGCTGCTCCAGCACGAGCGCCACGGCCTCGCGCCCGGCCTGGCGAAGATGGTCGCCGGGGCGCCGAAGCCGCCGCCGCGGGCCATGGTCGTGCGGCCCGCGCCGCCGGGCGACGCCGGCTGCTACAACGCGACGCTCTGCGTGGCCGCGCTCTGCTCGGCGAACGTCGCCGCCGCGGGGCCGCTGCTGCGGAAGGAGGGCATCCTCCGGCACCTGCGGGCGCTGATTCTCGAGCCGCGCACGGGCCAGCCGCTGCTCCGGCAGGCCCTCGTCGCGCTGCGGGCGGTGCTGCGCGTGCCCGGGTCCGACGCGGCGCGCATGCTCACGGCGTCCAAGAAGCGCGGCCGCTCGGGCAAGACCCTCCCGGAACGCCTGGAGCAGCTGACCATGGACGCGCGGCTCCTCGACGCCCAGCGGGCCGTCGCGCGGCGCGTGCCCATCCCGCACCTGGCGCGCGACGTGCTGATGGCGCTCGGGCCGTCGGAGAAGGAGGGCCGCGGCCGGCCGCCGACGGCGCCGGCGCCGCGCGCGCCCGCCCCGGACGTCGACTACGCCGCCGAGGCCGCCCGCGCGCGCGCGGCGCTCGAGCCCGCGCCGGTCGCCGCGCCCGCGCCCGCGCCCGACGCCGCGCCCGCGCCTGCGCCCGCGCCCGCACCGGCGCCCACCGAGGCGCCCGCGGCCGCCGAGGCGCCCGCGCCCGCGCCCGCGCCCGCGGACGTGGACATGGCCGCCTACCACCGCGCCGAGCTCGAGGCCGCGCTCGAGCGCGAGGCGCTGCGCCGCGCGAACCGGCCGTTCTGGGAGCGGACGCCCGAGGCCAGCGAGGACGAGGACGAGGACGGCGACGACGACCGCTCCTCCGCGTCCTCCGAGGACGACCGCCGGGCCCAGATCGACGCGCACGAGAAGGCGCTCGCGGACGCCGAGGCCGCGCGGCGGGCCCAGGCGGACGCGAAGCGGCGGGCGGATTCGGACGTCGGCGGATCCATGGGACTGTTTTTGGACGCGTCGGGGCTGGTCGCGGAGGAGGCGACCGCGGAAAAGCGCGCCCAGGAGGAGGCGGCGCTCCTGGCGCTGCACGGCGGCGCCGCGCCGCGCGAGCCCGCGCCCGCGCCCGAGCCCGAGCCCGAGCCCGCGCCGGCGGCCGTGGTCCCGGCGCCGGCGCCCGCGCCGCGCTCGAAGACGCCGCCGCCGGTCTTCGTGCCGACGATGACGGCCGCGGAGTGCGCCGCAGCCGCGACGCTCGCCGACGCGGCGGCGGACGTGAACGCGCTCGCGGACGCGTGGGACGCGAGCGACGACGAGCGCGACGCGCGCCTGGCCGAGGTCCGCGCGACGCGCCGGCGGCGGGCGGGCCGCGGGCGGCGCCTCGGCGCGCCCGTCGGGCCGCCGCCGCCGCGCCGGCCGCTCGTCACCGCCGTCGCGCTCGACGCGCACCCCGGCCTCGCCGCGACGCGGCCGCCGCCGCGCCCCCGCCCGCCGCCGCGGGCGCGCACGCCGCCGCCGCCGTCCCCCCGGTCGCCGGGGCCCTACGCGCGGCGCGCGGCGCGGACCATGGCCGACCCCGCCTTCGTCGAGCCCGTGCGCCTCGTCGACGGCCCGCTCAAGCAGCTCCCGGACCCGATGGCCGGCTTCACGGGCTGCGCCGCGTCCTTCGAGAACGTCCACGAGATCACGGTCCGGTCCAAGGTCGCCGCGGCGCGCGCGGCGCGCGCGACGCGCGACGTCCTGCGCCGCGACACAGCGTCCGCGTTCCTGGCCGCGCCAAAGCGGGGCACGTCCCTCCTCGCGCGGCGGCTGCAGGCGGCGACGCAGCGGGCGCGCGACGCCGGCGACGCCGGGCCGCCGACGTAGAATGGAATAGAATAAGGATGAGAAAAATAGCGGAGAGAGTCGCTTATTGAGCTAGCCCCTCTAGCACGAGGCCTAGCACGGCATAGATCCGGGAAAACCCCCGCTTCCAATCGGGGCTCTGGCAGAACCCCCTCTCCCCTCGCCCGCGTTGCGGAACGCCCCAATCCGTTGAGCTATCTACGCCGTCTGTGTTTGCGTGTCGCGAGTGCGGCCGTGTAGAGCGGGCTTTATATGAGTTCCGGTGCGCTGCCGGGCCCAGACCTCCTGCGCGCGATTCCTGGCGTGCCTTGAAGGGGGGCTAGAGGGGCTAGGGTAAGAGCTTGGAGGGGGAAAACCCGTGCCAAGGTGGTTTTGCTCTAGCTCTACGCCGCGGACGCGACCGCCGCTCGGACCTGGGTCGAGGACGGCGCGACTTCGCAGGAGCACGCGGCCGCCCTGCTCAAGAACCGCCTTTACCGTCGCTGGGGCATCAAGACGGCGCGCGAGTACGCCCGGATCAAGATCGACGGCCTCCGGCTCGTCGGCGGCAACCGGGACTCCACCAACGCGCCCGGGCACGGCGACGACGACGCACGCTTCTACGACCGGCAGCAAGCTTACGTACACGCTCGCGGGGGATAGCTCCCCCGTCAGCCCTCTGGGCGCGCGCCCCCGCAACCCGAATTGACTATCTAGGTATGGATAGGGACTAGCCCCTCCCGTGCCCAGAGCCAACCGAGGGGCAGCCAAGACTCGGCCTAAGATGCCCGGCCGATGACCGCTCGTCCACCGCCGCCGCGGCTGCCGATGCCGCCCAGACCAAGGGTCGTCCCGCCGCCTCCGCCGCGGCCTGCGGCAGGTCTCCCACCGCCGCCGCCGCGACCGATACCGCGACCGCCGCCGGGCCGGCCGGTGGCCGTCGCGCCCCCGCCGCCGCCGCGCGGTCCGCCGCCGCCGCCGCCGCCGCCGCCGCGCGCGCCTCCGCCACCCGCCGGCCCGCCGCCGCCCCCGCGGCGGCGGCGCTCGTCGCTCGACAAGGCTCGGCAACGAGCCGCCCCCGAGGACATCGCGGCGCTCATCCGCGCGCGCCGGCGGCGGCTCTCGTCGACCGTCCCGGTGCCGGTGCCGGTGCCGGCGCGCGGGACGCGCGCCGACGACGCGCCCGCGCGCCCGCCGGCGGCGTTCGACGCACTCCGCGAGCGGCTCGGCCGCGCCCTCGCCGGCCGCTCGGCGCCGCCGCCCGCGCCCGCGCCGCCGCCGGAGGCTCCCCGTCGCCGCGCGGGACCGCCGCCCCCGCCGCCGCCGAGGCGGGCGCCGCCGCCGGACGAGCCCCGGAGGGGCAGTCCGCCGCCGCCGCTGACCGGCGACGACGCGTCCGCCGCCGCGTCGCTGCAGTCCGCCATCCAAGCCAACCGGCGCCTGGACCGGCGCGACCGGGACTTGGTCGCGGAGCAGCGCGACGCGCTGCGACGGGCGTCGTCGCCGCCGTCGTCGCCGGCGACCGCCGCGCGCGACCTGCCCGGAGACGCGCCGCCCGCGCGCGACGCCGCCCGCCGCCCGCCGCCCGCGCGCACCGAGGCCGACCGGCGAGCGCAGCTCCACGCGGACATCGCGAAGGCGCGGCGCGACCTGCGCGTGGCGCGCGAGCGCGAGGCGCTCCTCGGCCGCGAGCCGGACGGGGCCGACGAGGCGCTAGAACGCGCCGTCGCGCGCGCAAGGGCGGAGGCGCGCAAGGCCGCGGCCCTCCTCGCGCGCGCCGCCGGCGAGCACCGCGGCGACGCGGCCGGCTCGGACGACGCGGCGTGGCTGCGGGGAGTCGTCGCGGGCGCCCGGCACCGGTAGTTTTCTAGGGAAAAATGGTAACACCGGGGCGGGGCGGGGGGGCGGGGCCTAGGGCGACGCGTCGGCGTCCGCGCCCCGGCGGAGGAAGTGGTAGAGCTGCGCCTCGAACGCGTCGCGCGGCGCGCGCGTGCCGTCGCGGAGCTTGAGGTACTTGCGCTTGCGCATGTTCGAGAACCAGTGGTTGACGCGGCCCGGCGGCCAGCCGGCCTTGCGCGCGAGCGCGGCCTTCTCCTCGGCGCTCGGGTACGGCGCCGCCGCGTGCGCGAAGGTCCACTTCTGGCAGGCGTCCCAGCGGTCGTCGGCGAGGGCCCCGGCCAGCGACGTGCTGATCGGCGCGGGCGGCGCCTTTCTCGAGGAGGAGCCCCCGGGCGGCTTCGGCCGCGGGGGCCGCTTGCGCGCCAACGCGTGCGCGGCCGTCGCCGCCGCGGGGTCGTACGGCACGCGCGCGGCGCCCTGGTGGTGCAGGGCGGCCACGAGGCCCTTGAGCTCCGCGCCGCCCCGGGGCTGCGCCGCCGCCTCCGCGCCGAGGCAGGCGGCCTTGTACGCGCAGACCGCGCGCGCGAGCGCGGGGCAGGCCACGTCGGCCGCGGCGGCCGTCGTCTCGACTAGCGGCGGGGGCGGCGCGGGCGGGGCGGGCGGCGGCGGCGGCGGCGGCGGCGGGACCGCCCCGTCGTCCTCGTCGTCGTCGGTGTCGTCGAAGCGCGCGAGCGTCGCGGCGTGCGCGCGCTCCTCCTCCGCCGTGAGCGCCTTCAGCCGGTCCGCGAGCGCGGTGACCTCCTTGCGCAGCGCCCGCTCGGGGCCTGCGGCCGCGGGGTTCGAGCGCAGGCGCGGGGCGTCCATGGCTCTCGAAGGGGCAGCAGGACCCTTTAGCGCGCGCGGGGCAGCCTCGCGAAGGGACGCTGCCGCCGCCGGATGACGGTGACGACGGTCCCGGGCGCGACTACGTGCGCGCTTCTGTCGCCGCCCGGCGGCGAGAAACGCTGCCCACAAGGCACAGCACAAATGTCATTCCCCCACTCGGGGGCCATCTTCACGGGCGCGTTTGGTATCCGTTCATTTTGCGAGGAGGGTTTCCGAAGAGTCCTCGAGCATTCGTGGAAGTCTGGCATTGTGCGCGGGTTTCAGGGGCTAGGGTAAGAGGGGGTTACTGAGCGCACACTATACTTACTCTAGAGTGCGCGATGCTTTGACTACCGCAGTAGTCGCAAAACTCTACGGGACGCGCGCGTTGACCGCAATACACGCGTGCGTGTCCGTGCGGAAGTGTGTTCACGCACGCGCTGTACGGCTGCACGAGGTGACAGCGAGTAGTAGCACCTACAGAGTGGCATATTAATAGGGCACCGAGTAGGAAGCTCGTCTCGAGCTCCTGCATTCGTAATAGAGCCGCTCACCGAGGCTCGATGCGCCGCTGGCTGCTCGTCGCGACCCTCGTCGCCGGCGCCCGGCCGCTGGCGCCGCCCCGGATCGCGCCGCCGACGCTGGGCGTGGACTACGGGCTGCGGCGCGTCGGCGTGTGCGTGGGCGTCGGCTTCGCGAGCCGGCCGCTCGAGGTCATCGAGCACGACGAGGACATCGACGCGGTCGTGGCCCGGTTGCTGCAGATCGCGCGGCGCGAGCGCATCGCGTCGATCGTCGTCGGCCTGCCGCTCGAGAAGGACGGCGCCGAGGGCCTCCAGTGCGCGGCGACGCGGCGCTTCGCGGACGCGCTCGCCGCCGCGGCCCCGGCGACGCCCCTGGTGCTCTGGGACGAGCGCTTCTCGTCGCGCGAGGCGGAGGCGCTGCTGGCGCACCGGCCCGGCGCCGCGCTCGACGCGGTCGCCGCCTGCGTCATCCTCGATGATTTTTTCGCCTCGGCGGACGACGGCGCCGCGGCGCCGCCCGCGCCGCCCGCGCCCGCGCCGGCGGCGCCGCCGAAGCGGCGCCCGCGGCCGAAGCCGCGGCTGCGGTACCTCGAGTAACGAAATTAATTAGACACGGCGACATCATCACAGGGTTACGTCCCACGGCACGCGGTCGACGCGTCCCGCCGGCGGCGCCGCTCCGAGGTGGAGGTGCTCGCGCAGGAAGGCGCCGCAGTAGTCGAGCGCGCGCCGGTTCCGCGGCGACGAGTGCGTGCCCTCGACGTCGGCGATGACGCGCGAACCGCCGTAGGCGCGGGCGAGCGCCTCCGTGTGCTGGGCGCCGAGCAGGGCGTCGCCCGTGGCGCGGAGGAAGAGCGCGGGCGCGTGGCACAAAGGGGCGCGCGCCACGGGCCGGAGCTCGTCGAGCGTGACGCCGGCGCGCTCGCGCACGCTCGCGTCGAGGAGCGCGATGACGGCCTGCGCGACGGGCCACGGCGCCGAAAACCCGCCGACCGTGCTCCGCTCGGCCAGCTCCGCCGCAACCTGTGCGGAAATCAAATTTTACGGCGTGTTCGTGCTGAATCATCGCGTCGTCCTCGCACCCGACGCACTGGTTGATTTCCACACAGGCCGCGACCTGCCGAACGTCTGCATACGATCCATCGAGGACGCAGCACGCGAGCGCGGCGTCGTATTTCGCCATGCAGAACAGCAACGCCGCGGCTCCGGCCGACGAGCCCCAGCCCGCGATCCGGGACACGCGCGCGTCGCCGCGCAGAAACTGCACGGCTGCGGCAATGTCGTCCGCCTCGCGAAACCCGAGCGTGACCACGTCGCCCTCCGAGAGCCCTGCGCCCGCGAAGTCGAGCGCGAGCACCGAGCAGCCGAGCGAGAGCAGGAGCGCCAAGTAGTGCACCGCCTGAACGCGCGACGCCGAGTTCGCGTGGCAGAAGATGACGCAGGGCCGCTTTGCGGCGTCGTCGACCGCCCAGTGGCTCGCGACGAGGCGCTCGCGCCGGACGTTGCTTAAAGTAATGTCGCGCCGCAGCACGCGTCCCTCCGCGATTTCGAACGACGTGGGGCCGAGACTCTGCGCGTCGTATGCGGCGCGCGGCGGCCGGATGATCGCCGCGACGAGGCCCTCGTAGAGCGCCGTGAGCGAGTCGCGTCGTTTTGGTTTCTCGAGGCGGGGCCGCGGCGGCCGCTCGGCCCAGGCCGCGGCGGCGTAGTCGTCAAGTAGGAGGAGCAGCGCGCGCGCGGCGTCGGCCGTCTCGAGCCGGAACGCGAAACGCCGGTCGCCCGCCTCGAACCGCACGCTCGCCCCGCGCCCGACCCACCGCTGGGGGCGACACGTCGCGACCGCCGCGCCGTCGGCGCCGAGCACGTCGGCGCCACGGCAGCTCGCCCTCAAGACGACGCGCCGCCCGGCAAGCCGCGCGGGCGCCCCGGCCGTCGCGCGGAAGGCCACGGTGCCAAAGGCCGGCCACGTTGCGGCGAGCGCGAGGAAGTCGCGCGCGGCGTCGGCCCGCGGGTCGCGGCGCCGCGCGCCGAGCTCGAGCACCACGTCGACCGCCCAGTCGTCCAGGGCCCGCGCCCGGAGGACGCGCCGGCTGAGGCACCGCGGCAACGCGGCGCGCACCTCCGCCAACGAGAGCGGCGGCGCGCTTCCGTCGACGAGCTGGGCGGCCGCCGCCCGCGCGCCGTCGCGGACGGGGCACGGCCACGTGTCGGCCAGCGCGCAGCAACGCGCCTGGCGAAAGGCCAGGTCCCGAAGCGCCGCGTCCTCCTCCACGGCGGCCCGGAGCCCGGCCGTCCAAAGTCGCACCAGAATCACGAGGCGGCCGCCGTTCGCCAGCGCCGTCGCGCGGCCGAGGGGCGCCGCCTCGACGGCGCCGGTCGCGCTCGCCGCGTGGAGGGCGAGAAACCGCGCGTGCGGTTTTTTCACGTCGAGGCGCGCCGCCGCGGTCGCGAGCGCGTCCCCGACGCTTGCCCCGTCCTGCAACGCGAGTTCACAGTCCATGCCATCAGCAAAGTAAATTTTCGCCATAGAGAGAGCTTAGGAGCTCTTGTTCCTTGGCTTCCTTTTGTCCTCTATTTACTTATTTAGGATGGCATGTCGCTGGCTGCGAGAAAATAAGCTTTAAAACCCGGTTTTTTTTAAACTAACCCTACCCCTTATACGGCTAGGCGCGCCCCCGCAACCCGAATTGACTATAGCTATTTCCTCTAACCCTTATGCGGATTCTAGCTCGCGCATAGCCTCGCGCGCGCATGGCGGCAGCGGCAGCACATGCTGCGTGCGTGCCCAGAAAAAAAAAGAACGACACTATATTTACCACCTACGGGAGCGGCTCGTCGTGGTCGCCGAGCCGCGACAGGTACACGAACGCGTCCGTCCCGAAGCCCTCCATGGACATGAGCGTCAGGTCGCCGCCGAAGTACCGCGCGTAGGCCCGCGAGATGGGCAGGCCGTAGCCGAGGCCCGCGAGCGGCGCGCCGGCGAAGTCGCTCCCGCCGCCCGAGAAGCCCCGGGCCTGCACGTCGCGCGACGCCGTCGTGTACAGGTAGGACCAGACGCGCCGCAGGTCGGACCGCGCGATGCCGCCGCCCTCGTCCGAGACCTTGAGGGCGACGTCCTCGTTCGCCTCGCCGTCGGCGACGACGACGCGCACGGCCGGCGGGTCCTCGGGGCTCGCCTCGCACGACGCGCGCATCGAGTTCTTGAGCAGTTCGAGCAGGATGTAGAAGGCGTGGTCCGGCACGTACTCGAAGTCCAGGTCCGTGCGGCCCTCGATCTTCACGTCCGGCGCGACGCCGAATTGCCGCTCGCACAGGTGCCGGGCCTGCAACGCCGCGTCCTCGGCGATGCGCGCCGGCGCCACGGCCGTGCTCAGCAACCCGACGGCGTCCTCGCCGTGGGCCGGCTCCCGCAGCGCGAGGTACTGCCCGATGATCATCCGAATGCCGATCCGCGACGTGTAGAAGCTGTCGAGGAAGCTGTGGATCGACGCGTCGTCCTCGAACGCGCCCTCGTAGTTCTCCCGGAGCTCGTACGCGCCGTGCGCCATGGTGTACAGGACGCCGGCGTGCCGCTCGTAGATCGTCTCCAGTAGTTTGGCGAAGGCCCGCTCCGTGGTAGCATCCGCGGGCTTGGGCGCCTCCTGGATCTCCAGCGCGGACCGCGCGTACCACTCGCGCACCTTTTTGACCGACGGCATCTCGTGCAGCGCGGGCAGCCGGTCGAGCTCGACGACGCGCCGCGCGAGCCGGATCGGCAGCTCGTGGCGCAGGAAGCCCGCGATCGACAAGAGGGCGGTCGTCGCCTCGCGCGCGTCGCCTCTGCTCAGCCGGAGGTGCTCCTTGCCCGCCTCCCCCAAACCTCGCAGCGACACGCTCGTCTGCGGCTTCGACGCCAGGGCTTTGAGTGACGTCTCCCAGTTGCACCGTCTAATCGGCCGGAGCCGCCGCCGGCCGCCGAGGAGCAGGGCGCGGCGCATATAGCTGGTGGTGACCGAGCGGTACGAGCTTGAAAGTGCCTTATGAGAGCGCGCGCTTGCACGAAGATGTTTCACCACTGTCTAGACTTTTTGGTGCTTGTGTGTGCTTGGCAATGCTGCTTGCTAGTGTCTTACAGGCGCTAGCTTCCCAGCCCATCTTCCCGGCCCGTCGAACAGGCCAAGGCACGTCGCTTGCGACCGGCCGGCCTCTGTTCGGAGCGAAACCTCACACCATTCGTGTCTGGGTTCTCGGGGGGCAGGGTGAAACAACACCCTATCGCCAATCCCAATAGACACGGTGGCGAAGCGTTCGGGGTCCGTACTACCTGGGGGTGGGTTCAATAAGCGACTCTCTCTCTCTCTTTCTCTCCAGCCAGTCCTAGCACCATAACAACTCTATGATTAGCATCGGAACAGGACAGGGTACACATCACGCCTTGAAGGCCGTCGTGTCGAGCGACTGCGGGTGGTACCGCGGGTCGGCGTCGTACCCGTAGGCGGCCGCGAGGTCGCGGCACGCCGCGGCCAGCGCCGCGTCGAGGCGTTCCACGTCGGCCCAGGACACGGCCGGGACCTTGGACGGCACCCGCAGCGCCTCGCTGCGCGCGAGCCGCCGCGGCTCGAGGATCGGCTGGACCACCTTCGAGGACGTGGCGTGGTGGCGGCCGTCGCCCCGGCAGAGGAAGTCGGGGAACCCCGCCGCGCTGCAGACGGCGCGCGGCGACGTCTCCTCGACGAGGAAGCGCGCGTCCGCGATTTTCTCGAGCCGCCGGTTCTGGAGGAGCCAGAGCCGCGCGGCCCGCCGGACCGGCGGGTCGGTCCGGTCGAGGCCCGGCTCGACGCCGTAGAGCCAGTCCCAGAAGCGGTCGTGGGCGCGCGTCGCCCGGACCACCGACGAGATGACGCGGAGCGGGTGCCGCACCTGGTGGAACACGACGCAGAAGCGGTGGCGCCGCGCGTCGAGGCTCGCCGGGTTGTTGATGACGTAGGTCGCCGCCTTCCACGTGAACAGCCACGACACGGACCCCGCGGGCCCGAGGCCCTCGTGGTGCACGTGTATGCCGAGCCGGGCGAGCATCTCCCACGTGAAGTGCGTGCCGCTCCGCTGCACGCCCGTGACCAGAATCTGGCGCTTCGCGGGGCCGCGCCGCTCGCCCTCGCCCGGGCACGCGGCCTCGCCCCGGAGCGAGATCCGCGCCCGCGCGCAGGCCTCCGCGTCGGGCCGGTCGTACCAGAAGATGCCCTCCGCGCTCGCGTTGCGCCGCGGCGCCGCGCAGCGGTCCGTGGCGAAGAACGCGTCGGGCGGCGGGCCCCGGGCGCCCCACGTCGCCGTCGTCGCGAAGGGCGTCGCCGGGCGCGCCGCGGGCGCCGCCGCCGCCGCCGCCCGCGGTTTCGCTTCCGGCGGCGCCGCGGGCGCCGCGGGCGCCGACGCCGGCGCCGCCGGCGCCGCCGCCGCGAGCTCGGCGTCGACCGCGCGCTGGCGCGCCGCGAGCTCGAGGAGCTCGTGCTCGAGCGCGCGCACTCGCTCCGCGCGCGCGCCGACGGCGTCGCCGACGCGCGCCGCGGCCAGGACGGCGCGAGTCCTAATGACGACCGCGGCGAGCGCCAGTAGGGCTAGCAGCCGGAGCGCGGCGCCGCCGAGCGACCGCTCCCGCGCGTCCTTGCGCGCGGCGTCCGACGCCATGGGGCTGCCTCAGCTACCAGGGGTCCGCACCGTGCCTCGGGGCTGCCTCGGCCGGTGTGGCAAAGACCCAGCCGTAGGAACGCAAACGTACCGTGGTAAATAACCCCCCCCCCGCGGGAAAGCTCTACCCAAGCCCCTCTAGCCCGTACCGTAGGCACCACGGTACTGCGGTACCCATTGCCGTCGCATAATCGCTCTATTATTCGCGTCTCGCTAGCGCTACGGCCAATAGCGCATTTATTGGACTCGCGCAGCTCGGACGACGGGCGTTCGCGTGCTTGATCCGTTGGACCCAGCCCTCGCAAGCTGCCGCCGCGGGTAGCACCGGTCGCGAGCCGCCAGCGCCGCAGCGGGATCGCCCGGCGCGCGGCCGGCGAGGATGCTCTTCTACAGCATGTTCAAGACGCTAGTGGGCAAGGAGATCGCGGTGGAGCTCAAGAACGACGTCGCGCTCACGGGGACGCTGCACTCGATCGACCAGTACCTGAACATAAAGCTGCTGGACGCGCGCGTCGTCGACGCGGCGCGGCACCCGCAGCTCGTGGCCGTGTCGTCGGTCTTCGTGCGCGGCTCCGTGGTGCGGTACGTGCAGCTGCCCGCGGCCGACGTGGACGCGGAGCTGCTGCAGGACGCGTGCCGCAAGGCGAGCGTGAAGGCCTAAGGGAACCGCGTTGATTTTTTAGCGACGGTCATGCGTGCGCGAGGGGGGGGGCGCCGGGCGCCGCGAGAGTCGGTTGCCGCGGCATGTACTCACTATCCGTGACACCTTATGTCTCCCGATCGATGCGGGGGGGGCGCTCCGGCCGGCCCGCGCCGCGCCGCGAGCTCGGAGACCCCGAAACCGAGGTTTCATCTCCTGGGCAAGGCGTAGCCATCGACGCCGGGGAGCGTGCCGAAAGGCGTCCGGGGCGGCCGCCGCCACGAAAGCGTAGCATACGTGTCGACCGTCGCTGGGCGCGCGGGGCTGCCCAGTTCTGAGGGCGGCCCGGTTCTAAGCGAGGTGCTGCCCGCCGGCCCCCCGAGCCCGGCGTATAGATTGCGGAAGATGGGCGACGTCAGCGACCGGTTGGAGGTCAAGGTCGTCGCCGCGCGGGGGCTCGGCGAGGTCGAGGGCGGCGACTGCAACCCGTTCGCGCTGGTGCGGTGCGGCGCCGAGGAGGAGCGGACGGCCGTCGCCTCGGCGACGTCGGCGCCCGAGTGGAACGCGAGCACGATGATCTTCACGGACGTCGCCGACGCGGCGGACGACGTCGTCGTCGCCGTCATGCACAAGGCCCTGTCGGCGGCGCGGGACCAGGCGCTGGGCCGCGCCGTGATCAGCCTGCGGACGTGCTTCCAGGCCGTCGGCGTCGAGCAGGACGACTGGTTCCCGCTCGAGGACGCGGACGGCCGGGCCTGCGGCGAGGTCCGGCTCGAGCTGGCGTACTTCGTGGACGCGGACGACGACTTCCCGGAGGACGACTCGGACGACGAGGCGGCGAGCGGCGGCGAGCCGAACATGGTCCGGGGCACGATCTGCCGCGCGCGCGGGCTGCGGCACCCGGACCGCGCGGGCCCCGTCGACGCGTACTGCACGGTGCGCGTCGGGCGGCACAAGGCCTCGACGGCGACGGTCCGCCGCAGCAACGGGCCGCTCTTCGACCACGCGTTCGAGCTCCCGTGCGGCGACGGCGCGGCCTGCGTCCGGGTCAAGGTCAAGGCGCGCGCCGCGTTCGGCTCGACGCTGATCGGGGAGGCCGTGCTGCCCATGGTCGAGGTCGCGGCGCACGGCGAGCCGGGCTGCTCGCGCTGGTGCCGGCTGGAGGGCAAGGACGGGGAGGTCGGGAAGGAGCGGGGCGCCGTGGAGCTGCAGATCGCGTGGGTGCGCGACCGCAAGTACGCGCGGTCGCTCGCACGGCTGGGCGCGAGCCTCGGGGACCTCGCGGGCGGCCTCTGGGGCCCGGGCCTAGGGGCTCGTACGGAGGGCGCGGAGGACCGGGACGAGGGGCCGAAGGAGGACTGGCTGCTCGAGGAGGACGCCTTCGCGCCGCAGCACCTCACGTCGCGGGAGCAGGAGGAGCTGGACGAGCGGCGGAGCGCGGGCGCCATGATGGCCGGGCGCGTCGTCGACGAGCTCGAGGGCCGCCGCGCCGCGGCCATGAAGCCCGGCGACTACGCCGTGCAGGTCCACGTCATCGAGTGCCGGGACCTCAAGGCGGAGGACCTGAACGGGCTGAGCGACCCCTACGCGCGCGTGCGCGTCCACGGCCGCCAGCGCAAGACGCGCGTCGTGAAAAAGGTGACGTCGTGCGTCTTCGACGACGTGCTGCACTTCTCCCTGCCGAACCTGACGACGGCGGCCGCCGAGGCGGCCGCCGTCGACATCGCCATCCTGGACCACGACGCCATCGGCCGGCACGCGACGATCGGGAGCGCGAGCTTCGACCTGCGGAAGGTCCACGCGCTCGCGGACCACGAGTTCTACCGCAAGTGGGTCGGGCTCGTCGACACGACGAACAGCGCGGACAACGGCTACCAGGGCTTCCTCAAGTGCTCCGTGACCGTGCTCGGGCCCGGCGACGAGCAGCGGGCCCACGACCTCGACGCGGAGTACCAGCGGGAGCTGGAGCGGGAGGAGGAGGAGGGGCGGGGCATCGCCCTGAGCGGGCCGACGCTGCCGCCCGCGCGCCTGACGTTCCTCGTCGTGTACTGCTGGGAGGCGGAGGACCTGCCGGCCACGAAGCGGAACCTCCTCGCGTCGAACCTGCTCAAGTGCTACGTCGTCGCGGAGGCGGGCGGCGCGTCCTGCCGGACGCAGACGCGCCGGTGCCGGGCCGACCCGAAGTTCGGCGAGGAGCTCTGGTTCCCGGTCACCGAGCCGGTCGAGTTCCGGCGCGTGGCCGTCGGCCTGGCGGACTACGTCTGGGGCGGGCGCGACCGCACCGTCGCGTACCTGTACCTGGACGTGGACGACGTGCCGCGGAGCGACCGCGCGGTCAAGACGTCGCTCTTCGGCACGACGTATCAGGGCCCGCGGCCGCGGTGGCACAACCTGTACGGGGCGCCGCGCGGCGTCCAGGGCCGGCGCGGCGCGCCCCAGAACCGGTACGGCGCCGGGGCCTCGACCTACCGCGGCCGCGTCCTGCTGTCCCTGGAGGTGCTGACGCGGCCGCCGCGGCGCGAGGCCACCGTGCCCCACCGCAAGGCCTTCGCCTTCCGACCGACGCCCGGGCTGAAGCCGGCCACGGCGCCCTACCACCTGCGGGCCCTCGCGCTGATGGGCTCGGAGCTGCCCGTCGTCCGGGCGCCCGGCCGGCCGCGGCCGCTGAAGCTCGGCCTGACGGTCGCCATCGGCAACCACGTCCTGGAGTACGCCGCGGCGGCCAACGCGCGGGGCGTCGTCGAGTGGAACGAGCTCCTGACGCTCAAGGGCGTGCACCTGCCGGTGCTGCTCGAGGAGCTGCCCGACGTCGTCGCGTGCGTCGTGGCCGGGCGGCGCCACGTCGGCTTCTGCCGCATCCCCGCGGCGGCGCTGCTCAAGGAGCAGATGCGCGGCGCGCCGACGTGGCACCGGCTCACGGCCGAGGCGGCGCGGGGCGGCCTCGGCGACGAGAACCCGGGCGCCCTGCTGCTGCAGCTCGGCCTGGGGCTGAGCGAGGACGCGAACGACCCGCACTTCAGGTGGGACGACCTCGGGCTCCTCGAGAAGTTCGCGGACAAGCGGCCCTGCTGCGTCCGCGTGTACGTGTACCAGGCGCGGAACCTGCCGCCGGCGACGGCCGAGGGCCTGCTCGACCCCTACGTCAAGGTCCGGTTCTGCGGCCGCAAGGAGAAGACGCGCGCGCACGCCCACACGACGAACCCGCTCTTCTACGAGACGCTGGACCTGCACGCCCTCGTGCCGCGGGACGCGCGCTACGGCCCGGACGTCGTGCTGCAGGTCTGGAACCGGCGCGCGGTGGGCCGGCGCAACGCGGCGATCTGCTCGCTCCGGCTGCCGCTCGGCGACCTCCCGGAGCTCGCGCACGACACGGCGCGCGCGCCGGACCCGCGGTGGCACGGCTGCGTGGACGCGTCCGGCCGCGCGCTCGCGACGGAACTCCTCTGCTGCGCCGCGCGCATCCGCAAGCGCGACGCCAAGGAAAAGTTCTCGAAGCCGCCCTCGATCGCGCCGCTCAACCGCATGGCGTGGGTCGAGGTCACCGTCGTCGGCGTGCGGAGGCTGCGGAGCGCCTACGGGAGCAGCCCGCGCCGGCCGTGGCTCCGGTTCGACGTGCCCGCGCCCGACGACAAGGGCGACGGCGGCGGCACGTTCCGGACGCCGGCGTCGGCGCAGCCGAGCGGCCGCGACGCGAACTTCCTCGTGCGGCGCGTGCTGCAGGTGGAGCTGCCCGAGGACCCCGAGCTGGCGCCGCGGCTGGACATCCGCTGCTTCGACTCGAGCCGCGTGGGCGCCGCGCCCCTGCTCGGGTCGTGCGCCGTCGACCTGCGGCCGAAGCTCCCGTGGAACCCCGTCGACTACGTCGCGCCGCAGTCGGAGCTGTTCGACGACGCCCAGGCGCGGGCCCTCGCGGAGCAGCGCGAGCGGGAGGAGCGGGCGAAGGCCGCGAAGGCGGACGAGGACGACGCGAGCGACGAGGACGCGGAGCCGGGCAACGTCGGCGTGTCGTTCGGCGCCGGCGACGGCGACAACGACGACCTCTCGTCGAGCGACGGGGAGAGCGTGGTCCACCGGGAGCTCGAGGTCCGCGGGGACGCGGGCCGCGACGACGGCGGCACGGGCGCCTTCGGCCAGGACATGCTCGACAGCCTGCCGCCGGTCCTCGAGGACGCGCGGTACCGGGAGGAGCTCGCGCTGCGCGAGGAGGCGATCCTGCACGAGCAGGGCGAGGAGCGGCGGGGCCTGCTCGAGACGCTGGGCGCGCGCCTCGCGGCCGCGGCGGACGTCGGCGAGGCGCCGGGCGAGCCCCAGTACGCGCTCAAGGACCTGGACATCGACTTCCCCTCGCAATGGGCCGCCGCCGACTTCGTCGACGGCCGCGAGTGGTGGCTCCACCAGGAGTCCGGCGAGCTCGAGAAGTACCTGCACACGAGGCCCTTCGAGACGTACACGCTCTACCGGGGCCGGCGGCACCCGAACCCGGCCAAGTCGACGCTGCGCGAGGTGGGCCACGTCAAGGCCGTGATTCGGGTCCTCGACGAGGACCCCCAGTTCTCGGAGCCGCTGTTCCCGCTGTCGGTGCTGCGCGTCGGGACGTACGCCGTCCGCGTCTACGTGATCCGGGCGGCGAACGTCGAGCCGCAGGACGGGCCGACGGCCGACCCCTACGTCCGCATCAAGCTCGGCGACGACGTCCAGACGGGCGCCGTGCGGAGGTCCACCCTGAAGCCGGACTTCTACGAGTGCTTCGAGTTCAGCACGCGGCTGCCCGGGCCGGCCCAGGTCAAGGTGCAGCTGCGGGACCACTCGCGGTGGCGGCCGGCGCACGCGGTCCTCGGCGAGAGCCGGCTCGACCTGGAGGACCGGTGGTTCCACCGGAAGTGGCAGGCGCTCGACGAGCGGTCCGAGGCGAACCCGGGGAACCCGCTCAAGCCGATCGAGGTCCGGCGCCTGACGCGGGACGGGTCGCTCGTCGCGCGGGGGCAGCTGTACGCCTGGGTGGAGATCCGCAAGGACGCGGCGGCGCGGCGGGACCCGCCCGTGGCGCTGGAGGGGCCCGAGCGGCGCGAGTTCGAGGTCCGCGTCGTCGTGTGGGCCTCGAAGGACGTGCCCTTCGAGATGGGCGACTACTACGTGCAGGCGCAGGTCGGCAACTCGCGGCCGCAGAAGACGGACGTGCACTGGCGGTGCCGCAACGGCAAGGCCTCGTGGAACTGGCGGCTCAAGATCGGGGTCGAGCTGCCCCTCGCGTCGCCCGACCTCGGGCGCCTGAGCGTGCAGCTCTGGGACCAGGACGTCGTGAAGTGGAACGACATCGTGGGCGAGGCCACGGTCGACCTGTACCGCTGGCTGCTCAAGGCGTACCACGAGAACCGCGCGGTGAACGTCTTCCGGGAGGTCAACGAGGCCGTCGCCCGCAAAAAGGCCGAGGAGCAGGGCCTGGCGACGGCCGAGGACCTGGCGGAGAGCGACGGGTCGTCGGACGACGACGACGACGACGACGACGACGACGGCGGCGACGGCGACGACGGCGACGAGGGGGGGGGCGGGGACGGCGAGGAGACCAAGGAGGCGCCCCCGGGCGACGAGGCGACGAACCCGCTGCTGGCCGCGGAGAAGAAGAAGGAGGAGAAGGCGAAGGAGAAGGAGGGGGGCGCGGGCCCGCCCGTGGCCGACGCGGACTCGAACCAGGAGGCCGCCTTCTTCGTGAAGCAGCTGAAGGAGTTCGTGGGCCTCGGCGACATCGACGACACGGCGCAGTGGGTCGCGATGACGTACAACGACGTGCGGCGGCGGCGCGTGAGCCGGCGCGGCGCCGTCGCGCTCAGCGTCGAGATCCTGCCGCCGGAGGAGGCCGAGGACCGCCCGGCGGGCCAGGGCCGCTCCGAGCCGAACGCGAACCCGTTCCTCCCGCCGACGACGGGCCGCATGTCGCTCTCGTACAACCCGCTCGCGATCGTCTCGGCGCTGCTGGGGCCGAGGCTCGCCTTCCAGCTCCTCTGCTGCCTCTGCTGCGTGCTGCTGCTCGTGGTCATGGGCATCCTCGGCATGTACTTCACCAGCTTCTACACGCTCTGGCAGTCCCTGTCCTAACACTGTTTCATGTTAACCGGGGGTGGGCGCGTAGACGCGTCCGGCGCCGTAGGCCGCGAAGAAGGCCGCCCCGTCCCGTGTCCGGTGCGTCGTCGCGATCGACCGTCGCGGCACGGGCCCGGCGAGCGCGAAGCGCGCGCGCGCGGCGTCGACGAGCGCCGTGCCCAGGCCGCGGCGCCGCCGCGCCGCGAGGACCCAGACCGCGGCCACGCCCATCGTGCGGGGGGCGCCGGGGACGGGCTCGACGAGGCACAGCCCGACCGCGCGGCCCCGCGCGACGGCGACGTACGCGGTCGCCGCGTCGTCCTCGCCCCCGCCGCCGTCGTCGGTCGGCGCGCCGAGGTCGCGCGCGGCCGTGCGCCGCGCCTCGCGCACGACGGCCCGCAGGCTCCTCGCGTCCGTCGGCCGGACCTCGACGACGCGCGTGCGGTCGTCGACGTCGGCCGCGACGCGCGCGTCGGCGCGCTCGAGGCGCGCCGCCGGCGCGCCGCGCCGGAAGGCGTCGCAGCGCCGCGCGTGCGCCGCCTCGTCCGCCGCGTCGCCGACGACGTAGAGCAGCCCGCAGCGGGCGCACTCCGCGCGGCGCCCGAGCGACCGCTGGCCGAGGTCGAGGAGCGTCTGCGCGGCCCGCTTCTTCTGCGGCGGCGGCGGTCGAGGAGTCTTCCGGCGCTTCGGCGCCGCCGTCTTTACGTCGCAGGCCGCGCGGCGGCGGGCGCCGAGGGCGGGAGTGCTCATACTGGATGGCTCCCTGGATGGCTCCCGGTGCGCTGTCCGGAAAAAAAACCTGGCTAGGTCTAGAGCTAGGTCTGGTAGTCCGGGGCTTGGCGCATTGCTTCTATATTATATTTTATATTGCAGGCTTAGGCATCCCTAGTGTCTTACAGGCCGCTAGCGCGCGAAGCCTAATGCGCGGGAGCCCTGGAAGCCATTTGTATCTGGCGGCTGAAAGACACTAGCCAGATCTGAGGCTGATCACCTGGGGGCTCCGCCCTCGCCAGCATCATAACAATTCAGTCACTGTGTAGGGGCTAGCTCTATGCGCGACTCTCTCTCCCCCCCTCCGGGCCTCCCTCGGGACGGATACGACTCGTACGCGAAATATATTTACTCGAGGCTGTCGAAGTTGGTCGCCTCGGCGGGCGGCGGCGGCGGCGGCGCGGCAGCCGCCGCGTCCCGGACCACCTCCTCGCAGGCCGCGACGGCCGCGCCGACGGGGTCCTCGACCGGCGCCGGCGGCGGCGCGTCCGGCCCGAGGCCGCCGAGCGCCTCCTCCACGGCGGCCCGGAGCCGCACCGCCTCGGGGTGGCCCGGCTGGTACTTCAGGAGGACGTCCAGGTCGGCGAGGCCCGCGCGCAGCGCCTCGGCGCCCCCGAGCTTCTCGCTCGCGACTGCGCGCCGCAGGCACGCCCGCAGGTGCAGGTCCGAGCCCCGGGCGGCGGCGGCCACGACCCGCGCGCAGTCGCGCCGGCAGTCCCGCCACCTGCCCATTTTCAGGTACGCGCCCGCGCGGTTCGCCACGGGCGCGAGGTACGCCCGGTCCAGTTGGCTCGCCGCGTCGTACTTCGCGACGGCAGCCGCGTAGTCCTGCGCGCCGTACGCCGCGTCGCCGGCCTCCTTGAGGTCGACGGCGGCCGCGAGCGCGCGGCCGCCGCCGCTCGCCTCGCCGCCCCCGCGGCCGCCGCGCAGCCGCCGCAGCGCCTCCTCGCGGCCCTCCTCGGGCCCGACGTAGATGAGGCCCTCGCCGTCGCAGCGCGCGCAGGTGACCGTGCGCCGGATGGGCAGCGACCCCTTGCCCGAGTCCGTCACGTGGCGCGTGCCCTCGCCGGAGCAGTCCATGCATATCTTCAGGTGGTCCAGGCGCGACGACGGCGTCGTGGTAGCCATGGAGCACGGGGAGACGGGAGGCAGCCCGGGACGGCGGGGCGCGAGTCGGCTTCTTGGACGCGCTCCGTTCCCTTTTCGGGGCCGGGCCGCCGGGGGTTTAGCTGCCCCTGCGGGTTTTTGGACCCACCAGGAGTCCCGGGCCGCGCGGCGGGACCGTCAGCTCTGGAGCGCCGGGGTGCGCTCGCCCATATAAAAAAAACTCGCTCGCCGCTCGTCTGCTATGTATTCATAAGGACTAGGGACTCGTCCGCTGCGTAGAGTTGCCAGAGTCGGGCAGCCCCATGTCGATCGCCTCGGCGGCCGGCCGGCCGACGCGCCTGCGGCCCGTCGAGGCGCGCCAGCCGGCGCGCGCGACGGTCACGGCCGCCGCGCGGCGCGCCATGCAAGCTGCGGCCATCCCCGCCTCGCTCGAGGCGCACCGGGCCGCCGCGGCCGCGGCGCTCGCGCCGTCGCAGCTGCTGCCCGAGGACCGGCGGCCCTTCGTCGAGGCGCTGAGCCGCGCCGCGCTCGTCGCCGCGGCGCAGCGGCGGAGGCTCGTGGGTCGGGGCAAGCACGGCGCCAGCGGGTCGACGGCGCGCATCTCCATGCGCTACCACGACCTGAGCTACGACGCGGCGCACCTCACCGAGGCCGTGCTCGAGGAGGCGCTCGACGAGCCGGCGGCGGGGCGCGTCGTCGTCGCGGCGCCGGCGCGGGTCCGGCCCCGGCGAAGCGCGAAGGCCGCTCGGCAGTCCGATGTGTAATTTAGTGTCGCTTCTTCGAAGCCCGGTCGGGGGCGCAAGCGCCAAGCGCCAAGCGCTGAGATTAAACATATCATCTCCGGCGCCCCGGGGCCGGGGCCCCGCCGAGTCTTCGTCTCTTCTCATTTGTTTGGCTTAGAGCTAGGCCGCCTAGCAGCCGCGGAGCCGACGCCTCCCTGCGTGACCTAACATATCCCGTCGACGGGATATGTTATACGGCGGGATATAAATAAAATTAAAATAAATATGACGAACGCGGATTGTCTGGCTTTGTTGATGGGAGATGATCCGCCCCAGGAGATTGAGAATTTGCTCTACCGTTTCTTGACGTCGCTTTTTAGGCGCCGGCTGGGTATCCTAGCCGCGCAGGGAGAAGGCCTCTAGAGGCTTGGTGTATGTCCTTTTTCTTTAGGATATTCCTTCCTTAATTATAAATAAGGGCCGGGGGCGGGGCGGGCGTGCGGTCAAGGGAGGCGTCGGCCCCGCGGCTAGGCTGCCCAGCTCTAAGCAAAGCAAAAAGTAATGTGTTTAGACCGCCCGCCCGCCCCGCCCCTATTTAGTTCCTAGTATTTATCAGTCCGGGGCCCCCGCCGCCGTGCCGTCGCCGTAGCCCGGGACGAACGCGCGGTAGGGGAAGAGGGACTGGTGGCCGTCGGACCAGCCCACGGCGAGCGCGTAGTTGCCCGTCCGCTTCAGCGTGAGGGGCACGACGTCGGCCGGCGGCGGCGGCCGCGACCGCGCGCGGCCGCTGTTCTCGTCGACGCAGAGCGCGCAGCGGCACCGCCGGTACAGGTCCAGCGGCGCCAGGCGCGCCGTCCGGTTCGCGTGGCCGACGACGAACGCGGCGCCGTCGAACTCGACCGCCGGCGGCGCCGGGCGCCCCCGCGCGAGGAACTCCATCAGGTGCCGCGCGAGGTCGTCGTACGCCGCGAGCGCCGCGCGCTCCGCGGGCGCCTCGCGCGGGCCCGCGAACCCGACGGGCGTCGGCCCGAGGGCGGGCAGCAGCGGCACCTCGACGACGTCCTCGATGCCCCACATGTCCCGCAGCTTCCGCGCCGACGACGCGCCGAACAGGTCGAGGGGCGCCTCGAGCAGCGCCGCGAGCTCCGCCGCCGCCGCGGCCGATAGGCCGTGCCGCGCCGCGAAGGCCGCGGCCTTGGCCCCGCCGCGCGCGTCGGCCACGCTGCCCATGTTCTCCACGACGCCCACGACCGGCACGTCGACCTCGTCGAAGAGCGCGATGCCCTTGACGACGTCCGCGAACGCCAGCGGCGACGGCGTCGTCACGACGACGGCGCCGTCGAAGTCCAGGACCTGCGCCAGCGTCAGCTGCGCGTCGCCCGTGCCCGGCGGGCAGTCGACGAGCAGCACGTCCAGCCGGCGCCACGCGACGGACGCGCAGAGCTGCTGCACGACGCCCGCGAGGCGGCTCCCGCGCATGTACGCCGGGGCGTCGTTCAGGTACCCGAAGGACATCGCCGCGAAGCCCCGCGCCTCGAACGGCTCCAGCAGCTCGCGCCCGTCCTCGCCGACCTCGGGCGCGAGGCGCACGGTCGCGTCGGCGGGCGGGCCCAGCAGCGCCGGCAGCGACGGGCCGTGGACGTCGGCGTCGCAGACGCCCACGCGCAGGCCCCGCCGCTGCAGCGCCGCCGCCAGGTTGACGCAGGTCGTCGACTTGCCGACGCCGCCCTTGCAGCTCGACACGGCGACGACGTGCCGCACGCCCCGCAGCGCCGCGCCGGTCCGGTAGTTGCCGAGGCCCGGGTCGTAGGCGTCGCTCCGGAGCGGGTTCCCCCCCGCGTCCGCCCCGGCCTCGACCGCCGCCGCCGGCGCCGCCGCCGGCGCCGCGGCCGCGTCCGTCACCCTGACTTCGCACGCCGCGTCGAGCGTCCCGTCCGCGACCAGCGCGTCGCGGCACGCGCGCGCCGCGGCGGCGCACGCCGCGACGATCGCGTCCGCGTCGTCCTTCGGCGCGAGCGCGAGCTCGACGCCGAGTTCGGCGCTCGTCGCGCGCACGCCGGCAACGACGCCCGCCGCGACGACGTCGTCTTCGTCGGTGTAGGCCACGCCGCGCAGCGCGTCGACGACGCCGACCTTGACCACGAATTCGTCCGCCGCGCTCAGCGCCGCGCAGGGCGTCGCGCGCCGCCGGCGCGCCCCTGGGTGCTGCAACGCGTGCGCCGCAGCCCACGCTAGCGCCAGGTAGCGCATTGTGGCGCTGGCGCACCCCGACAACCCGCAACCTTGTGGCGCTTGGCGGAAGTGCGAGGCAGGTGGCAGCGCTGCGCCGCGAAATGGAAAGTTAGAGCGCTGAGCCGGGACGCTGGTCGACAGGACCGCGGGCTGATCAATGAAAACCCCCCCCTCCAAGCTCTAGTACGCCCCAAAGCCCCCCTTCGAGACGCGCGAGGCATCACGCGCGGAGTCTGGGCCCGGCAGCGCACCGGAACCCATACGAAGCCTGCTCTAAACGGCCGCACTCGCGACACGCAAACCCGTCGAGGGTCCGTCCGGCTGCGCTGGCCAGCTGGGGCCCCGGGGCTCTATCCCACCTGAGAGCCACTGGCTTGCGCCCCCTCGTTGGTTTGCAAACGAAGACTTGTGCCGGCCCATATCAAGGAGGCGCTATACATTGAAGCGCTAAGCGATGGAGGCCCTGGCCTGCTGCGAGATCCGCGAGGAGGAGGATAGCCGTGGGCAGCGCGTCGCGGGCATGGTACAACCGCTGCGGCCGGCGCTCGCCGAGTCGACGGCGGCGCTCGCGGAGATGACGGCGAGGCTCGGCGGCGCCGCCGGCGCCGGCGCCGCCGGCGCCGCCGCGGCGCGTGTCGCGGAGTTCGTCGAGGCGGCGGTCGGCGACGTGGCGCCGCCCGCGGCGGTGGCGCCGCCAACGCCGCCGCCGGCGTCGCACGCCGAGGTCATGGCGCGCCTCGACGCGCTCGCGGCCCAGGAGGAGGCCGCGGGCGCGCGCGCGCGGCGCGCGCGCGCGACGGTCGGCGGCGCGGGCTGGCGCGGCGGGTTCCTCGGCGCCAAGGGAAAGGGCCGACCGGGCCCGGCGGCGCCGAATCCCGCGCTCGACAGCACGCCGGCCGCGGCGGCGCTGATGCAGCGCGGCCCGCGCGCGCGCGGCGGACTCGGTGCCGCGGCGGCGCCGGCCGCGGCGGCGCCGGCGGCCGCCGCAGCGCCGCCGCCGGCCCCGGAGAGCCGCGACGCCTGGCGGCGCGGCTTTCTAGACCGCCAGGACGCGCCGGCGGCGCGGGTGGTGGCGAGCGCGTCGAAACCAACGATCGGCGCGGCCGCTCGGCCGGCGAACGCGAGCGCGGCCGCTCCGCCGGCGAACGCGAACCCGTGCGTCCGCCGCGTCGTCGAGCGCCCGGCGGCCGCGACCCGGTCGCGGCCCCGGTCGCGGCCGCCCGTCTTCGACGGCCGGCCACCGGGCGCCCCGCTGCCGCGGCGCGCGCGCGCACCCGCGGCCGGCGAGTCGCTGTTCGCCCGCGAACGGGCCGGGAACTAACGAACGGCGCACTTTTCCTCGTTGGCCATTCCCTAAGTAGGTCGTATGTACTAGATACCTTATTGCTATTTCGAAGCTCCGGTTGGGCATCCTGACCGAGCAGGGAGAAGGCCCTTAGGAGCTTGTTCCTTTTTTAGGTCTTCCTTAATTTATTTATTTATTTATTTATTTACTAAGTATTTATTTATTTTTCCAGAAATTAGAAACGAATTTACCCGAGACGCACAATATGACGAACGCGGGTTGTCTGGCTTTATTGATGGGAGATGACCCGCCCCAGGAGATTGAGAATTTGTTTTATCGTTTCTTGACGTCTCTTTTTAGGCGCCGGCTGGGTATCTAGCCGCGCAGGGAGAAGGCCTCTAGAGGGAGGCTTGGTGTATGTCCTTTTCCTTTAGGATATTCCTTCCTTAATTATTTATTTATTCATTTATTTTACTGATGTTACGGTGCTAGGACTAGTGGGCGGAGCCCCTGGGGGGAGACACCGCGCGTCGCCGATTCATCGGCGGCGGGCACGTGCCGCGTTTTCATAACGGTATACCTCCTTCTAAGCAGAACCGCCTCGGCAACCCCCCCGAACAATGTGCAACGACTTCCCGCAGGCGACCTTGGACAGGTCTCGGCGACGCGTTCGGCACCGTACACTCCAACAGGCCGGTAGGCACTCGGCCCGAACCCTTGACAATCGCCACGCCCCACTCCCGGTAGATCTGGGCCTGAATCACGGCCGCGTCGGCTGCGACCAGTAAGACACTAGGGGTGCCTAGGCTCCAGGCCCTGCCCAGGACTGGCCGAGGGGCCCGCAACGCACGCTTCTACGACCGGCAACAAGCTTACGTACACGCTCGCGGGGGATAGCTCCCCCGTCACCCCTCCCTAGGTGTGTGGCTTCGAAACCCGAATTGACTATGGCTATTTCGTCTAGGTAGGCTCTATATTGAAGTTTTAATCCGTGTGCCTGGCGATGAGTCAGTTCGGCAATGAGCCAATCTGAGGAGATACCGTCTCCCGTAGGCTAGCGGCCTGTAAGACACTAGGCATGCCCAGGGAAAGACTCAAGACGGCGCGCGAGTGCCCGAAGCCACGGCCTCCGGCTCGTCGGCGGCAACCCGGACTTCACCAACGCGCCCAGGCACGGGCAAGCACTACAGACATCAGCAACCGCCAAAAAACTAGAGATGCGGGCCGCACGCCTCGCGGCGAGGGCAACGCGGGGCGCGCCTCGCCTGACGCTGCGCGGCGCGTCGACGGTCAGCGAGGCGGAGGTGGCCAAGTTCGGCGCCGTCGTCTGGGCCGACCCGACCAGCGCGAGCGGCGCCGGCCCGCTGCACGCGCTGAACCCCGCGCGCGCGGACTACGTGCGGGCGCAGGCCGGCGGCCTGCGCGGGAAGCGGGTGGCGGACGTCGGCTGCGGCGGCGGGCTCCTCGCGCGCGCGCTCGCGGCCGCGGGCGCCGACGTCGTGGGCCTCGACGCGAGCCCGCGCGCCGCCGCCGCCGCGGCCGCGCGCGCGGCGGCGGGGCCGCGCTTCGCCGTGGTCGCGGGCGCGCCCGAGGCGCTGCTCGCGGACGGGACGCTCTCGGAGGCGACGTTCGACGTCGTGTGCGCGCTCGAGGTGCTCGAGCACGTCGCCGACGACGGCGCGTTCGTCGCCGCGTGCGCGCGCCTCGCGCGGGCCGGCGGCGACGTGTTCCTCTCGACGCTCAACCGGACGCCGCTCGCCGCGGCCGCCTCCATTACTATCGCGGAGGGCGCGCTGGGCCTCCTGCCGCGCGGCACGCACGACGCGGCCAAGTTCCGGACGCCGGGCGACGTCGCCGCGCTGCTGGGCGCCGCGGGCTGCCGCGTGCGCGACGCGCGCGCGCTGCACTTCGCTCCCGCGCCGCGGGGCCCCGGCGCGGCCTGGCTCGGCGGCGACGCGCGCGGCGCCGTCAACTTCGTCGTGCACGCGACGCGGGAGGCGTGAGGGCCCGCGAGGCCGCCCCGCGTGCGTGGTCCTGCGGAATGCGGTCGTTTGGCCCGGTGGTGCGATCGTCGTGGCGCCCCCTCGCTGGCCCACAACAGGCGCGTCGCAATAGTAATGAGAAGTGCACTGTTAGCCTAGTAGATCGATCCCTGTCGAGTAGAGACTAAGTATAGACCACTGGCACGACTCCTCCGCTCCGAGAAACCAGGGTAAACCCGAAATTACGTCGCAAAGGACCTAGGCGCGTCAGCGGCTCGGGAGGCGTGATCTAACCGCGACAGGACCGATCCTACGAGGTGAAGGCCTCCTGGAAGCCGGCCTCGGCGTCCGCGAGCCACTTGTCGCAGCGCTCGGCGGCCGTTTTCTCTTTCAGCTTCGCGAACCACTTGATCGACGGCCGCGGGCACTCGTCGCGGGCGATGGGGCCCGCGAGCTTGTCGTAGACGATCCGCGCGCCGGCGGCCTTCAGGGAATCGTGCGCGGAGAGGTAGCGCGAGAAGTAGCACAACGCATGTTCCAGGTCCACCGCGGTGAGCCGCTTGCGCGCGCCGTCGGCGTCCCGCTGGAAGGGGAAGCGCAGCCCCAGCGCCTGGAACTGCGCCTCGGAGTTCTCGGCCAACCACGCGAGGCGTTTTACCGCCTCGCTCTTGCCGAGCTGCACGCCCCCCCACATCTTTTTTACGACGCCCTCCGGGCCCGGCCCGCACAGGCAAAACGACTTCATCGTCGTGGCGTCGAGGTTCGGCGCAAATCTCGAGACGTCGCCCTCGCAGACCCCGAAGAAGAACGTGCACAAGGCCTGTCCTCCCACGTAATCACCGACGCCGGACAAGGTCAAGACCGCTTTGCACGCGTCCTTCCAGGACCGGGCCGCCCTCAACGCCGCGACGACCTTGTCGATTTCGTACAGGCGCGCCGGCAGGTACTTCAACAGGCGCTTGCCCTGGTTCTGGAACGAGCCCGCGAACTTCGGCGTGTCGAGGTCCCAGAGGCGCTCCGCGAAGGCCACGAAGCTCACGACCTCCTCGCGCGACGACGGAAAGTTCGCGCCGCCGAGCCCGCCGAATTTCGACGGTGCGCGGAACCCGCCCTCCGGCGTCGTCGCCGTCCAGGCCTTGTTCACGCCGAGGAGCCAGTTGTCCATCTCGTGGACGCACATTAATACGGCTTGGCCGACCCAGGCGTCGCTGCCCTGTTCTATCCCCGCGTGCTCCAGCTTCGCGCGGACGAAGTCGCCCATCGTGACCGTGCCCGAGTCGAGGCCCCGGCCGACGTTGCCCATCTTGCACAGGCTCTGAATCAGCGGGCCGTGGTCGAAGCCGTCTTTGCCCGCCTTCGGCAACACCGCTGCCGGGAGCGCCTTGCCGTCGGCGCTCACGACGGCTTCCGACGGGTACATGAGGCGCCGCGTCGTCGCGCGGTGGTACAGGAACTGGTAAACGAGCTTGCAGAGGCGCTGGTCCTCGGGCGGGCCGCAGGGCTTCGCCGAATCCGTGGTCCTGGCGCGCCTCTCGGGCGCCGCGGTCGTGGTCTTCGCGCGCTTCTTGGGCGGCGCCGGCTCGGCCGGGCGCCAGGGCTCGCCGTCGCCGCTGTCGCACGGCACGTCGGCGCCGGCGCGGAATGGTTCTTCCTGCAATATTTGATAGTGCGTTTCCCCATCAGTATAGGCGATTTTGAGCTTGGCATCGCGCTCCGCCTCTATTTTGCCGAGATACCATTGCGCTTCGCCGGCCCAGTACACCTCGACCCAGCGGCCGGGAAGCGCGCCGGCATCTTCCGGCTCCTCCATGTTTTCTCGCGATGTGTTTTTTGAATGATAATATCTTTGCCCGACTGGATTTACTGCGTCAAATTTGCGGTCGCGAGAGTGTGACCTCCGCTGGCGATTTTTTGGCGCCGGCCCCTCCACCGGGCTCCCGCTTAAGAGGCTAACTTGAGTTTGAAAAGCTGCCGTCTGCCTATGGCCTACGGTACTCTACTCTGGAGACTTAATAACGCCCCAGTGTAAACCAGTTTATAATAAAACACTCTCGTAGCGGGTTTGGCCCAGCCTCTGGCGGCGAGCTAGGACCCTGCTACTTTACATAACGCTGCGACATACTCTTGCTAGGTTATGGGCCCACAAGGTTCCGCCTACTACTGACGAACTTCGGAAGAGCCTGAGTGCCAGTGTTTTTGAAATCTCTTGTCTCCTGTACAAAAGCTTGGCGAAAGCATGTGCTTGTGCAAATGGAAATAATGACGATAATGACGATAATGACGATAATGACGATAATGACATCACCGGGTTACGCCGCCGCCGCCAGGGATAACGTAGTAAAATCCTCTTCTGTCCAAATCAATCGCTCGAATTCAGCACCATCATTCACTTGGATTTCTATGTCCAAATTCTGGCTTTTAAAAAAGGCTTCTAGCTCTGCCTTGGGGAAAGCAATTTGCTTGATTCCATTTGGCAATATGTACCAAATACCAGACCCTCCAGGCTTTGAAGGATATTCAGCAACCAGAATTCTACTTCCGGCCACGATCTCCCCGAATACGGTGTAGGCGGCGACCGAGGTCCATCCTATGAGATCGCCATATGGCTACTTATCCAATTGGGCTTATGCGCGCACGCGGGCTCGAAATAGGGGGTGTCTGCAAAGTCGCTCTCTATATTGACATATTTTGGCTTAAGGCTTCCCCCATACTATAATTTACCCTTTAACGCCTGTCTATATGGTTAAGCCCCTCCTGGAGCCTACACTTATCCAATTGGGCTTATGCGCCTGAAGATTGTCTGCTCGCGCGATTCAAGCGCAAGAGAAGCTGCGGGCGCCCGCGCGCCGGCGCCGCGCTCGGTTGTACCGCAAAGGCTTCCACCGCTCCACTGACCAAAAACGCCGCGGCCGAGCAACGAGCCGCCGCGCGACGTCTCTAAACCCCGAAGACTTCCACCGGCTTCAGCCAAAGCGAAATGGGGCAGATCAGCTCGGCCCCGGTGGAGCTGATCCGCGTGCAGCGCTGCGGCGGCGCCGGCTGGCGTGGCGCGGCCGCGGAGATGCAAGGTTGGCGCGCGGACCATGAGGACGCGCACTTCGTGGCCGACGGCGGCGAGGACGGCACGAGCCTCTTCGGCGTGCTCGACGGCCACGGCGGCCGCGCGGCCGCGCGCGAGGCGGCGCACGACCGCCTGCCGGCGGCGCTGCGGCGCGCGACCGCCGCCGGCGGCGCGCTCGACGAGGCCGCCGTGACGGCCGCGTTCGTCGAGACGGACGCGTGGCTGCGGACGGTCCCCGCCGTCCAGCGCGACCAGAGCGGCACGACGTGCGTCGTGGCGGGCCTGCGCCGGCGGCCGCAGGAGGCGGGCGCGGGCGCGCCGACCTGGGACGCGTGGGTCGCGAACGCGGGCGACAGCCGGGGCCTCCTCTTCCGCCCGGGCGCCGGCGGCGCGGAGACCCTCGTCGCGAGCGAGGACCACAAGCCCGACCGGCCCGACGAGCTCGCTCGCATCGCGCGCGCGGCGGCGCAGAGATCGGATCGTCGCGGCGCGTCCGTCGCGGGGGCGGCGCGCGCGACGCGCCGACCGATTCTGCGCGCAGGCGCGCGGGCGGCTTCGTGAGCGACGCCGACGCCGCGCGCCGGCCCGCGGCGGCGCCGCCGGCCGTCGCGCGCCTCGACGGGAACCTGGCCGTGTCGCGCGGCCTGGGCGACTTCGCCTACAAGGCCGACGGGCGGCTCGCGCCCGGCGACCAGAAGGTGAGCTGCGCGCCCGAGTTCTACGGCGCGGAGCTCCGCGCCGGCGACCTCCTGATCCTGGCCTGCGACGGCGTCTTCGACGTCATGAGCAACGAGGGCCTCTGCCGCGCCGTCGCGGCGGCGCTCGACGGCGGCGCGGACGTCGGCGACGTCTGCGCGCGCGTGCTGGGCGCGTGCCTGCGGGACCTGCACTCCAAGGACAACATGACGCTGCTCGTGGTGCAGGTCGGCGTCGACGGCGCGGCCTACGGCCGCGCGCCCGACGAGATCGCGGGCCTCGAGCTCTACGCGCGCCAGACCGACGAGGCCGTGCGCCGCGCCTACCTGGGCTTCCTGCGCTACTGCGCCGACACGGGCGGCCTGCCACCGCCGGCGCGGGAGCTCCTGGACGCGGACGGCGCGCCGCCCGCGCCGCCAATCGACGCGCCGGCCGACTCGAGCGCACCGCCGCCCGCCGCCGCCGGCGGGGCGGCGGACGCGCCGGCGACGGCCAACCGCAAAAAGAAGAAGGTCAGACTCCCGCGTCCCGCGAGGTGCCTTCATATCCGCGCCCGCAACGGTCGACTCACCGGTCCATGGTTTTCCTTCGTCGTAGTTTCCGCCGTCGGCGGACCCAGATAGCCCGTCCGTCAACGACCGCTTTGCTCATGCCAAAATCCATGATCCCCGCGCAGAAGTCGAAGAAGAAGGCCGCCGCGCCCGACCGTGAGGCCTGACGCGCGTGCCTACCCCTCCCGCCGCCGTACCTCGCCTCAGTAACCGGCTTCCTCCCTCGTCCTACTGAATATAGTCCTCGCCTCGGGCCGCCGTCTATAGAGCCCCACTGGCACACCCCCAAAAGAGGTTGATGTGTCGGGTTGGCTCCAAGACTCCAGCGCTTGACCCCCGGTGACGATCTGTACCTCGCTGGTCCGACGCTGTAGACGACGTGGCCCCAAAGCAAGACCAAGTTATTTCCTCCTGGGACGGTCTCGGGCCGAGGGTGGCGTCGGCTGTCCAAGTTGCTCTAGGACGGGTCCGGCTGCAGACCCCCTGGTCCTGTCGTATATTTCTGGTGAATAAGGAATCGGGAGCGGTCGACGGCGAAGAAGGCCGCGATAACGTACGAAGGAGCCGGCGACGCGCTTCTTCTTATAGTTGAGCAATTACCCGGTAGCGAAATCTCAGGGTCGGTAATTACCGGTAATTACCATTGCCGGTAATTACCCTGGTAATTTGGTGCTCAACTATACTTCTTCTTGGGAGTGATGAGACGGAACAACGCAAAGTTGTCGCAGCGAGCCGCAGTCTGCTACTCGCTCGAGCGTCGCGTCGAGGCGCCTCAAGGTACGGAGAAGGTCTTTCAACCGTCTTTGTGGAGCTCGTCGACGTGCAGTACCTCGTGCACGCGGCTGCGATCGTCTCGGAGGAGGATATGGAGTTGTCGTTCGTCGTCAGCGGAAGAAGCCGGAGTGGACGCGAGAGGAAGGCCACCAGACGGTAGACGGAGGTGGCGCCGACGGGATCAGGCTCGGGCTAGGACGCCCACCCAAGAATACACAAAAGAACAAGACCCAAGAAGAAAGACCTAAGCTTAAGATTAATTATCCCAGGGGTCCACGGGACCCGTGCTATACGGCGTCAAGTTCAAGCTCAGTTTTCGCCTGAAGCAGGCCGCGAGAAGACGCGTCTTCCCCCCCCCCCTTCCAAGAGCTACAGCTCGTATACGAATAGGTAACGGCCAAGGGGGGGGGGGGACGGTACCATACACCATGACCAAAACCGGAAATCTGCCAGGCAGATCTACCTACCTACCTATCTCGGCCGGAAGACGTCCTGCGCGTCTGAAAAAGGGTGGAAATGAACCGCACAGCCCGTGGGGGTGCGCCTATTGGCTTTAATTGCTTTAAAAGTAATTAAAATTTTAGCATTTTTAGCAAAACACGAAAATAGTTTCGACGTTCCAGGCGTCGCTTGTGGCGCCCCTGCGACCCCAAACCTTTCTCCATTCACTGGCGCATCATATCACGCGTTCGTGCGCGTGCGCCGTGCCGCGGCGGTCAACCGCGCGCGCGGAAACGCAAAGCCTCTATTGGTAAAAACAGAATCTCAGCAGTGACCTACCTACCTACCCCCCTAGTAGGTTCGACATGGTGTCTAGCAGGTAAAATTTCACCCCCCCTGAAATGGCGCGAAAACGCCCACGCTGCCCCGTCCGGCCCGCCGGCGCCGCGAGCATGGGCCTCCGCCGGCGCTGGGCCGGCGCCGTCCTCCTCTGCGCGTGCCGCGCGGCGGCCGAGGAGCAGGGCCTGAGGCGCGCCGGCAAGGAGCGCGTCCTCGGCGTCGGCCTGGGCGTCTTCCTCCTCAGCTTCTTCTTCATCGCCATGTGCGCGCTCTGCTGGGCCGGCGCGCTGCTGCCGCAGGAGCGCGGCGAGCAGTGGATCTTCAACGTCGTCGGCACGCTCGGCTTCGGCGTCGTCGCGTGCGTCCTCTTCCTCGCGGACGAGCGGCCCGAGTACGCGAGCGAGGAGCGGGCCGAGCGGGAGCACGACGACAACCTGATCGGCCTCATCGTCGTGGCGGGCCTCCTGGCGTGCGCCGCGGCGTTCGGGCTGGGCGCCGTCCTGTGCTACCACGTCTGCGCACCCGTCGAGGCCCCACTCGTGCAGAAGCGGCCGGCCGGCGACCGGCAGGGCCTCTTCGACGCCTCGGGCCAGTGCGTCGCTTCGCGGCCGGCCTTCACGGCGTAAAGCGAGGGGGTCGGGCCTAGGCCCCGAACTTGGCCCCGACGCCGGGGTCCCCGGCTCGAGCCCTGACTCACGTGTGGCGGCTGTTGGTAAAATGATAATAGTAAATGAATTCTCTACCGTCAATCCGAAGCTCCGGTCTGGGGGGCGCGGTGCTCGTAAAATGCCAGCGCGAGGCACCCTGCCTGGAGGCGCCAGAAGCGGCCCAGGAACGCGGATCGCTTCGCCCGCGAGCCGTCGAGGTCGAGGGTCCGCGCGACCGCCGCGTAGTAGCCGAGCGCGAGGCCGTCGAGGAGGAGCGCGGGCGCCTGGACGGGCACGCGGCCCAGGGGCCCGAGGTCCACGGCCGGCGCGTAGGCGCCGGCGACGTGTCCGGCGGCGTCTATCACGCGGACTAGTCCCAGCCTGTGTGGAAATCAAATTTCGGGCGCCCCACGGGCCTTCTTCGCCCGCCTTCTCTGCAGCTCGTCCCGGTAGTTCTGCGAGACCCGGCCCCGGCGCTTCCGGTGCGGGGGCTCGAAGATCGTCGCATTGCGGTTTTTCATCCAGTGCGTCTTCATCGCAGCGCCGCCGTTGTACTGCTGGTAGAGTGGAGCGAAGCGCACGACGTTGCCTTCGAGGTGCGTAAAAGCGTACCTCCACGCCATCGACGCGACGTTGTCCCCGTGACCGCGTCTGCTCGATGGCGTGGCGTGGAGGTTCACGAAGGTCCACGCGATATTTCCACTCGGGTCCCGGCAGGGCAAGCACGAGGCACCCCGCGCTCCGGTCGTCCGGCAGCGCGGCCGGCAGCGTCCGGAGGCCGGCCGCGGCGTCACCCGGGACGTCGCCGAGGTCCTTCGCCACGAGGAGCGCCAGGTTCCAGGGGACCGTCGCGGCGGCGGCCCAGAGGAACGCGCCGAAGAGCGGGTTGGCGGCGAACGGCGCCGGGGCGAGGCCCAGCGCGTCGCAGGCCTCGACGTACATGAGCGCGTCGAAGGCCGCGTAGATGCCGCAGAAGGCCAGCGCCCGGCCCAGCGGCGCGCGCCGCGCGAGGCGGCGCGTCGGCAGGCGGTCGTCCGAGTAGAGGAAGGCGGCGGCGCCCATGGCGGCGAAGGCCGCGGCGTAGGCGCGCCGCAGCGCCGGCTCCGGGGGCGTCCGCGTGACGCCCAGGCCCAGGCACCCGTAGAAGGCGGCGACGAGCAGGCCCTGCGCCCGGCTGCAGGCGCCCGACGGCAGCGGGCGCTCCGGTTTGTTCTTCGCGTCGACGTCGACGTCGCAGACGTCGTTGAACCAGTCGGCGTGCATGACGTAGCAGAGCGAGAGGGCGAGGCCCCGGGCGGCCGCGGCGGCGAACGCGGCCCGCCCGGCGGCCGCGCCCGTCGCCACGGCGACCGCGCGCTTCGGTCCGCACACCTTGACGAGGAGGTAGGGCGGGAACACGACGTGGGGCGCGAACGACTCGGGGTGGTGGTGCGACAGCGCGTGCCTCGCCGCCGTGGCGAGCCACCCGACGGGGTCCGTGGGCCCGCTGTACGGCTTGGCCTTGCCCGCCGGGTCGCCCCGCCCCTGCGCGACGTGCGAGCGGTCCACGCCGAACATGGGCTCCTCGGGTTGGCTTCGAAGCCCTTGGAATTCGTCCACTGGGTCCTTCCCCGGCACCCAGGTGGCCGCGAGAGCGAGCTCGAAGAGATGATGAGAATACTGCGGTATGTGTCTAACGACGCTACGTTATAATAAAACGCTACTTACGCTACTTACGCTACTTTACTACAAAACGACATGATACACACCCCCCGGCTGAGGCCTACTCTCTAAATTTGAGTCTATACACTGAGTGTCTATCGACGCTACTTTGATGCGCCGCTGCTTCTCGCTGCCGACGGATTCTGCAAGGCCCGGGGGTGGGTACTGCAAACATCATGATACATCTTTGCATTTTTTTATACTTATATCGCGCGGGGTGCTGATGCGAAGCATCCTGACGATTTTGCTAGAGACTAAAAATCAACTAGAAAAATGTTACCGTGTGACTACTACTACTTCTTTCTAGAAGGTTTAGGGTTGCGATGATTTCCACCATGTTATTTTTTAAAGGATTGCGGGTTACATGGTCAAAACTTTTGTCTATTTTTGGGGTTTATTGGGATTAATATTTGTTAGGGACTCGCAGACTGGGGTGCGATTTACGCGGAAAAAACGCGTAAGTTACACGTAAAGCACCGCTACAGGAGATCCCACGTAAAAAACGGCGTAAAAAAGGAGGTATCCAAAAGTCCTTCCAGGGCTCTTCCCGAAGCCGGCGCTAGCGGCCCTCTAAGACTCTAGCTCGCGATCAGCAGCTCGCAGAGTGTGGCTGCCCCAAACGTTGTCAGAGCCGAGCCAATTGCTAGTTGCATGCTGTTGCGAGCAAGGTGTGCACTCTAGGTGTGCGCTTATGCGCCGTGCTCGTGCTGCTATTGAGCTGCGTGGCCACAAGGCCTTGTTTAGGGGCTCTGGCTGCGTGTGTGCGGGTTTTATAAATAAATGCACGCGTAAATTACGCGTAAATTACGGCGTAAATGACGCTGGACCGTTTCTCACGTAAAGAACGCCGTGCGTAAATCGCACCCTAGCTCGCAGATGCAACCGAGCAACGCGAGGTGGGCATCTGCGGCATGATCTGCCAGTCCCTATATCTCTCTTACGCGTCGGCAAGCCAGAGCGCCGTGTTGGCACACGCGGTCGCGACGACGCCGAAGCGCGGCGAGCACGCGATTCGCGCCACGGGGCCGGCGTGGCCCGCGGGCAGCGCCGCGCACGGCCGCCGCGGCGCCGCCGGGTCCCACGCGCGCAGGACGCCGTCGCCGCCGCCGGCGAGGACCGCGCCGCCGCCCGGCGCGAACGCGGCCGCCGCCGCCGCCGCGCGCTCGCCGCCGGCCGCAGACGGCGGCGCGGCGAACGCCGCGAGCGCGTCGCCCTCGAACGCGTCCAGCAGCGTGTGGACGCCCGCCTCGCCGGCGACCAGCAGCGTCTCGCCGTCGGGCGCGAACCTGTGTGGAAATCAACCAGTGACTTAGGTTGCATGGCGTGGGGCGCCCGAAATTTGATTTCCACACAGGCGCGAACTCGAGGCGCGCCCAGCGGCCCCGCGCCGCGCGCGCCGCCGCCTCGGGCGCCGCGACCGCCGCCAGCGCGCCGCGGTCGACGCGGAACGTCGCGAAAGGCCCCGCGCGGTAGTGCCGCGCGTCGTAGAGCGCCAGCGCGCCGCCGCCCCGCGCGTCGGCGAACGCCGCGCCGGCGGCGAAGACGAGCGCGTCGCGCGCGAACGCGGCGACGGGCGCGTGGCGCGGCCGGCGCGACGCGTCGGCCCCGAACACGTCCAGGCGCGCCACGGCCGCGCGGCGCTGCGCCGCATCCCAGAGGACGCACGTGCCGTCCTCGCCGAGGCTGAAGAAGGCGTCGGAGGCCGGCGACGGCGCGAGGCCGCAGACCGGCGCCGCGTGGCCCTCGAACGCGCGCAGGTAGCGGTTGTCGTGGAGCGACAGGTAGCGCACGCCCGTCCCGGGCGCCGCGTCGGCGACGACCACGCAGAGCTCGGCGTGGCCGAAGCACGCCGCGCCGACGCCCCGGGCGGCGCAGCGGACCTCCTTGCGCAGGACGCCGCGCAGGCCGTCGAGGACGCGGACCACGCCGTCGCCCGTCGCCGCCACGCACCAGCGGCCGCCGCCGTGGAAGCTGAGGCCCACGCAGGGCGCGCCCGCGCCGCGGAAGACCTGGGCGACCCGGAACTTCCGGGCGGCGTCCATGTCCTTGCTGCGTGAGCTCCTTCTCTCCCCCCCCGATGGCAATCGCAGGCACGCACGCGCAGGCCTGACTCGTCTGCGCTTCTTCCTGGATGATCGCGTCAGCGCCCACCTGCTGGTTCCTGGCTTTGCTGTGTGCCGTGTCGACCTGCTCACTGCCTGTCTCCGGTGATAGGGTGATAGGGGGCAACAGCGACCTCCCCGTGGGAAATTCGTCAGAAAAATTCGTCGAGCAAAACTCGGGACTCGTAATTGAGCAAATTCGTTTCTCGGAACTCGCTGCCAAAAAAGTCGTAATTTGTATCGTCGCGGCCGCATTCGTTATTCGTGAAGGTAATCCTCACTCGCCTCTACTCGCGCGATACGACCTGGGCGAGCTTCTCCGCGTGCGCGCGCGCATACGGCGCGATCGTCTCCACGAGGTCCTCGGCGACGCACATGCCCTTCTCGGCGATCTCGAGGTCCTTGGCGTCCCACTTGCAAAGTCCGTCCTTCTTGTAGAGCTTTGTCTTGTCGGCCGCTGTCGATGGCGAAGCTCAAACCACCGACGCGCGCGCTTTTGTCGTAGGACCGGTACACCTCCGCCTTGTACCCAGGAATCTCGGCCCCTTTCGCGAAGGGCCGCTTGTCAGCTAAATCGATCTCCCGTTCGAAGCGGAGTCCCAGAAGTTTACGTCTTGGCCATACCGTGGCGGCGTGCCGCTTGGCCGTCGGGGCCGCTCGCGCAGGAGAGCGAAAAGTGACCAGGGGCTCCAGGGTCCTTATAGCTATAGTCAATTCGGGTTATGCGCCGCCAACGCACTCGCTGACGATTCAGAGTTAGACTTCGGGGACCTGAGAGAATACGGGTCCAAGTTCGACGTGGATGATTTCAAAAAGCGCAAGGCGCCCCCCAAGAAGCGAGAACCGGAGCGGGGCGTAGTCTCGGCGAAGAAGGAAAAGAAGAAGGTCTCGTTGCGCAAAGGGCCACGAAGTTCGCGCGCCTCTCCGGAGGAGGATATCTAGACTGGTTCGAACGCGGCGCGGCCGTCGCCGGGATCGCGCCCGCCGACCTTCCACCACCGCCGCGGCGGTCGGCTCGCCACAACGCCGTCGCCGGGGGTAGAACTAAAACATACGTCGTAGCATCGCGTCTCTGGAAGCTAGGAGGATTATTTCCATATGGTGGCTTGTCCGTGACACACGAAGCCGGGCGGGTGTCCAAAAGGATGGGGCGCACTCAATGTTAGTAGGTATTTAGTGCACCCGCGTACGCACTTTCAGCACCGATCGTCAATAAAGCGATTGCGGGTACAGGTACTGCACGCGGCTGCGATTGCAGTCACGCTCGTGCACAGTCACGCGAGTTTGCTATCTGAATTGCTCGGCTGGACACAGGGTCGCGCTCAGGTGGCAGGTGTCCCTGCGTAGTGGCCGTCTCGTTCCCTTGCTCAGGTCGCAGGCGACATGGCTTCGCCCGCGCCGTCGTCGTCAGCACGGCCCGCGCCGTCGCCCTCGTCGCAACAGCGACGCGGCAAGTGGTCTCCTGAAGAAGAGGCATATGCGGCGCGTCTCATCCACGCCTTCGACGCGGGCGTACTGGCCAGCGCATAAATCAAACTGTCGCGGCGCATCTTCGCCACTGCTGAATCATGACCTCCACGCCATCGACGCGACGCGAGCTCGATGGCGTGGCGTTGTGGTCTATTACCGGTCGTGCCAGCCAGCACAGCCGCGTTCTCGCCGAGAAAGGACTAAGTGAGGAATCATCGGTGCACCCGACTCTGACTCTGTTGGATTGCGCACAGGTGCTCACCGATCTAGAAAACGGCGCCACACTCCGAGCCTTCCTCTCGCGGCGCCTGCGCTGCTCGGCCATGCGCATCTCCAAGAAATTCGCCGGCGACAAGTGCCTCGGCAAGCAAATATACCTCCGCCGCGCCGCCTCGGCGGCCGAGGCCGAGGCCGAGGCGCGCGCGCTCGCGGCGCTCGAGGCGGCGTTCGTCGCCGCGGCGACGCGCCAAGCGGCCGCGCCGGCGAAGCGGCCGCGCGGCGAGGCCGCTGGCGACGGCCGCCGACGCAAAGCGCCGCGGCGCCCGCGCGCGCCCGCGCCCGCGGCGCCGCACGGCGCCGCGCCGCGGCACGTCGTGTCGGCGAGCGAGTCCGTCGGCTCCGGCCGCGACGCCGACGACGCGGCATCGTCGTCGTCGGACGACGACGCCGCCGCGCGGCGCTACGGTGCCGCGGTCCCGCGGCGCCGCGGGGAGTCGCCGGTCCGCTTCAAGCGGCTCGGGTCAGCGACGGCCCTCGACCGGCTCGGCGGCGCCGGCGCGGCGCCCGCCGCGGCCTGCGCCGCGTTCGCCGGCGAGGCGCGCGCGCTCGCGGAGGCGCACCGGCGCGCCGAGGCCGCGGCACTCTCGGACGGCGGCGGCTTCCCAGGCGGCGGCGCCGCGGCCGCGGCGCCGCCCGGCGGCGGCCCAACGCCGCCGCCCGCGCAGCTGCTGCTCGAGCTCGCGCCGTCGGGCGCCGCCGCCGCGGCCGGCGCGCGTCAGGCACCCGGCTTCTACGCGCTGGCGATCGCGCGCGGCGCGTCGAGCGGAGCGCTCGCGCCCCTCGGCGGCGGCCGCGCGCGCGCGGACAGCCACGCGTCGGAGGGCGCGCTGCTCCTCACCGTCGCCGACGCCCCGGACGACTTCGCCGCGCTGCGCGACGACGGGCCGCTCGACCTCGACGACGCGGCCTGGCTCGACGCGTTCGACTCCACGACCCAGGTCGCCGCCGCGCGGGCCGCGTGACGCCCCGCGCGAGGCCGCGCCCCCCGCCCGCCCACCCCCGTAATGCGCCTCTGACCGGCCGGGTGCTCGACGCGTTCCGCGCGAATCGCCCACCGGGTCCCACGCCACCCCGCCGGTCAGGATAGGTAGACAACACCGACGGTTTTTCCGCGGCCGGGCCGCCCCCCGGGGGCCGAGGCCGCCGAGGGGCAGGTAGCAATTGACAAAAAAAACTTAGTACCGGCCGAGCGGTCGACGACCGAAAAAACCTTGCGATAAATAGGTCGAAATACCCCCCCCTATCATATACCCTTCCTATACACTTACATCACCCTTCAACACGCAACGCGTAATAAACACAGTTAAATCAAAACTACTTAGTGTATTTTAAGGTAGCTCCGCGGCAGACTATCTCAGCCGCCGTACTCCCAAAGGTGCGTACTCCTTTGGTCTTGCATTATTCGCAGGTTATGGGCCCACGGTCCATGGGAAATTCTCACTCAGCACAATACCTACTTATCCGATCACAGCAGCAAGATATTACCCCTAATTCTGCAATTCATTCGTGTAGCACCAATTAACTTGAATCTTGCCGAAGCAATGATTCATTGCAATGAAACTTTAGCCTATCATGATGCTACCCCATCAGCATTGGCTGATGGACCATGGAGTCCAGCTGCTGTTCGCGAAAGAGGTCAAGCAATTGATGTTGCATGGGAACATGAACCCAAGCAGCCCAAACTCCCATGTTTTGCAGTAGGAAACTACGAAGGAGGCGAACTGTGCATAAATAACGGGGATAATGTTAAATGTTTTGACATCAATGGCAAAATCCTCAAGTACAACGGGAGAGTCCCACACAGCCTGAGTGTGAGTGACATACTCAATTCTGGGGGAGAGAAACGCAAACGATACAGAGCTCTGCTTTGTTGTCTACAAGCGAATTAAATCCAGGGTTACACACCCAGCCTCTCAATTGTGGTTGCACACGTCCGTGATACAGCCAGGCAAGGGTGGCATCGTTAATGTCCCCTAGAGACGTATAAATTGAACATAATTACGAAAAATATATATATTTAAATTATTCACTGGCAAGTTTCAGGGTCCTATCATAATCGCTCCATATCTATATAGGGCTCAAAGAGAATTTCCGGCTTTTGCCTAGGCCGAGGGTTAGGGTAGGGTTGGGGTTGGGGTTGGGCGACTCGGCGAGAGTCGGGTTAGAGCGGGTCCGAAATGGTCCTAGTGTCGGCGGCAGTTTCGCGGCAACGTGGGCTCGAATGGTTTTGAAAAGGTGCTCATCGGAACACGGGGAGCGAGAGAAACGTTTTTATAAGGGCGGAAAGGGCGAGCGGCGAAGAACAGCGTTCTGACGAGCGGCGCAAAACAGCTTAAATGCTAGTGGCAAAAAACTCACTAGGGCCTGTGTGCCCCGTACCGCTAACGGTACGGGGCACCTTGGACACACCACCCGCCGCCGCGTACTTTTGCTCTGAGTTTACTAGCACCATGATGATAATTTTTAATACTTGCTAGGGTTACCTGTCGTTTTAGACTGTCGTTTATTGGTAGGTACACCGGCCCGGCGCGATCACTAGCGAGCCAGCGAGCCTGTAGTTGGACAAAAGCGATCGGCGACGCAAAATGGTGTTCCAGGATGTGGTGCTCGTCGACGGCCGGACACACATGCTGGGGCGCCTCGCGTCCGTTATGGCCAAGGAGCTCCTGAGTGGCCAAAAGATTGTTGTCGTCCGCTGCGAACAGGTTGTTGTCTCAGGCTCTTTGGTCCGTAATAAGGTAAAATTTACGCAGTTCCTCAAGAAGCGGACTAATACGAATCCCAAAAAGGGTCCTATCCACTACCGCTCTCCTGCGCGCATGGTCTGGCGGACGATCCGCGGCATGCTGCCGCACAAGACGGCACGTGGTCAAGCCGCACTCGCGCGCCTCCAGTGCTTTGAGGGCATACCACCGCCCTACGACACAATGAAGAAACTAGTCGTCCCTGAAGCTCTCAAGGTGGTTCGGCTCAAGCCGGGACGCCGGTGCACTGGCCTCGCACGGCTCGCAACGGAATTTGGCTGGGCGCACGAAGACCTGATCAAGCTAATGGAATCGAAACGCATCTCCAAATCTGCCGAATTCTACGCAGCCAAGAAACTTGCACACGTCGAGAAAGCCAAGGCAGCTGCCGTGGCCAATACAGCTGCCACTGATGCAGCTCTCTCAAAACTTGGTTACTTCGCCTAATCAAAACCTGGTTACCTACCCTTGGGGCTATGTAGTACATTCTAACTAACTAGTGGAGAATAGAGGCAGGTTTTATCCCGTCCGTTGGAGCGATTTGGTTTTGGGGCGGACTGGGAATTATTACTCACAGACCGGCGTTATTAAGAAAAAGAATGGAGAAGAGTAGGGCTCAATTTACCTCTAGATACCCGCAGCTGGCCGGGCCCGATGTTGTTTAATTGATTAATTAATTAATTAAGCCTGAGGACTCGAAGACCTAAAAAAAAGGAACAAGCTCCTAAGAGCCTTCTCCCTCAGGCTGTAGAAAATGAGAAAATATCAGACCCCCTCCCCCTTCCTCCTCAGGAGGCTTACCAAATATTACTCAGGCTAGCCCAGTGTACTCATCATGATGATCGGCCCCGGGAAAGCCGCCGTTTTAGACTGTATTTCGAGCTAGCCCGGGCCTTGTCGTTCAAGTTCGCTCCCGGAGAAGCGCCCCGGACACCCGGGCCGGCCCAGACCGGTGAATGCTGCCGTCCCCAGTACTCATCATGATCGGAAATGCTTACTGGCAAGCTCGAAAATGGTCTTTAAAACGCTACTACTAGTAGTACAACTATATCATCATCGAGATGCCACCGGCCATCTAGCGCTCCCTATATTTCCCAACGCCGCGGAATGCCGGTTCTATGCCGTAGCTGGAATGTCGCTCCTAGGAAGCCTGGTGCGCCGGCGCGGCGGAGGCGAAACTTGAAGTCTGATATGGAACCTCCCCGTCCGCCGTAGTCAAATTCTTTTTTATTTGACTGAAAATCTGATCCCTCAGAGCACATAGGGCAATAAATAGTCGAGTTTTCCTGGAAGTCCGGTCCCCAGAGCGCAGCGTCTAGTCATCTTACTCCTCCATGAAAGCAGCTAATGTACACACCCAGAGAATTCTGCTGTGGGGTAACGGAAATTCCAACCGCATTGTTATAGCTAGCACAGCGTCAATCCTAGAGTGACACCGGTTCTATCAGCTTCTGAACCAACCAAAGAGGCCACTAACGCCTTTTTCATTTGTCTTTGTTTGAAAAGAGGGTAGATTCAGGTAGACATGTCCCAGATTGAACAAGATAGGCTTACATGGAACCCCACTTGCCTGAAAGCAGCTTGCCGAAGATACGGCTAACAAATCTGAAACGTGAATATCAAGCACGCCAAGGAACATGGTCAATGTTGATTGAGAGAAAGTGGACTCCCTTGCATATTTGCGATGCAGATGGTCAAGGCAACGAGCAGCCTTGACACGGGACAAGGACGCCTGGGCGGCATCACTGAGGTGTGCCGTCTCTATGCTAAGAACTGGCACTTCACAGGCCTCGGCCTCTTGGGAGGCATGATCAGCAAGGTAGATAGTGTGACGGAGTAGAGCAGATGCCGTGTGACTCTCGTCCATGTGCACACAAAATGTTTCTGCAAGGAAGTAACATCTGTAGGCACGAAGTGCTGCATTTCGCCCGTGGAGTCTCTCTGCGAGAGTCTCATCCTTGGCATCTCGAAGGACCGTGAGAGCTGCCATTTCTTTCGTTACCTCTATCATCTTATCGTAGAGGTGAATGACATCATCAGGTATGCGTGGATTAATTACGCTATCAAGTGAGGCGTTACATACCTGAGCAATTATAGCACCTAACGTTACCCAACGCCACTCGGAAGCTCTCTCTATGACTGCGGCGTCACAGCGTTGATAAAGCAGGTCGAGCTTCTCGTAGGTGGTGCGTGCCACAAGGAGCTCCAGAGAAAAGTCACCTTGAGTTTTTGCATCTTGCTCTGAAATAGCAGCACGAATAATATCCTCCAGGTGTATCATCTTTTGGGCATACTGCACTTCATTTGGTAGTGATGAGAGTGAGATAGCTGGTTGCCGAATATTTTGACAGCACAATCCAGCTGTGCCGCCTGACGGTACGTCAAATATCCTCGGATATTTTAATGGACCACAAACCCGAAGTCGGCGCTTAACTTCTTCGGCTGTGATTTCGGGAGATGACCCGCACCAGTTGACGAAAATACTCCCCGAAGATTCTAAACCGCAAGTTAAATTTACCACCTTGCAACTATCTTGTTTATCCATGTTAGAAATTTCTAACGAGTGAGTACTACCGCCTGCAAGATTACAGCGACGTGTTGCCTTTGAGCAATCTATAGCTTGATTCTGAAATGGATCCAAGCATGCCGTGTCCCCATGGCATTTTGCAAAGATATTGTAAATATCACAAGCACGTTCAAAGGCCGTGGCAGCGTGATTATAGTCGCCTTTCGACTCCAGTGTAAGACCGTCGATCCAGTCCGCATAAGCGTTGCATTCACGAGCGAGCGCATAGTCACCCATAGTGATGCACAATGCCCGAAGAGTGTTACTATGTGCGGCTGCTTTAACTAAACGTTGGCACAGGCGACGTTCCGCATATTTTTTTCGTGTTTGTTCTGTCGCAACGTTCATCTTGATATTCCCCGACAGATATTGCTTTGACTCCATAGCATGGGCCCGAGCCCGCTCCGCCAAAAACGCTTGGATCAACAGATGATATGAATCACGTTTAGGGCCAGGAGACCCCAAAGTCATTAATTTACTATCGCTATGGGGGGTTGTGAGCTTCTTGCGTAGACGTCGTAACTGACGAGTACATCGCCTGTGTTGAAGCTTAAAAAATAAACGTCAACTATCGTACATGCGGTAATTCGCGAGATTCTCGCTGTGTCTGAAGCCATTCTGAACGTCTATTTTGTGTAGTAATGCATGTAGAACGAATTTATTGTGATAGCTTGGCTCATTCATCATGGCAGACCCGCGTATTATTCATCGGCGATCCCCCCACCCTAAAACCAAAAGGAGGTGGCTCCAGAAAACTCGAAGTTTACAACGGAGGAAGCCAAGCTTGCGAGTGGAGCGAGGGCTATAACCACAGCACCGGCATAAATCCCAACCCCCCCCCCCCCGGCCGGCATATGCTTGGCGAGAGACGAGGCGACAAACCGCCGGACGGCGCCCCTGGGCCGGCCAGGCACTTGGGCACACCATGATATGACAACCAAAGTAACCATGATAATTGGGGTTTTATATTCTCTGCTCAGTTGTAACCCTGCGCCCGGGCCACACTGGGCCAGACAGCCGATTCCGAGTCGGACTCGGCGAGCTCTGCTAGTTCCGCCGCTAGTAGGTCCGAGTCACCGTGACGGTAACTTGTTAAAACGTCCGAGTCCGCGTCTACGCAACGCCACCGGCTTTACGAGCACCTCTATGCGTCGCGCACCGCGACGTATGCGCCAGGAATTTTGGCGTGCGCGGGCCTTTCCGATGATCTCGAAGCGCTATCGGCTCGTAGCATCGCTTCCACACCCACGTACAGGCGGAAGTTTGCCCACGCTGCGGTTTCGCTTCTTCCGAAAACGTGTGCGACACGTGCCGCAGCCCGCCGACGGTGCGCCCGGGCGGCCACGGCCACTTCGACCTCGATACGAAACGAGCGTTTCCGCTCACTCCCGAGGACCCCACTTCTGGGTCAGTTCCGATTTGGCGAAAACACCTCGCCAGCTGCCGCGCCGCCGGCGGCCCGGGGTAAACTTCAAGTTTGAACTCAGGCTAGTAAAATTCCGGTTTACCTCTCGCTCTTGCGCGTCTCCCGTAGCTAGATCCCGTGGCTCTCCCGCGGCCCGCGGACACTTCCCACTAGTACCCAGCCCTCGGATCTCCTATTAAAAGTCGCGGCCCGGTTTTGATTCCAATACTGTACGGAGCTTGTAGGTGAGTGGAATATACCGCAGGTACCTCGGTACAATTCAACGTTTGACCGATGGAGATTTTCGATTCGAGTCTGCTGCGGATAAACTTAGATCTAGAAGATAAAAAAAAAGCCATACTTCTTCTGGCAGATGCCATCGAGCAGGAAACGTTGAATTGTCGAGCAGAGGTGGAAAAGCTCGAAGCTCTTTGTGAAGCCCATATGAGGACGGCAGGAGAGCAAAAACAATTTGAGCTCACGAAAGGGCTTCTAAAAGTGGATGTATAGTTTGGATTGCAAGACGGGGCACCAAATGGACGCTTGTAGGCACTTCTGCTTGTCAAAAAGCAGCTCTCCGCTGAATGTACGAGAATTGTCCTCGGGATAAATGTGAGTCACTCCATTTGAAACTATTATTATCACGTGTTACTGCCCCATCACAGATCAATGAAGACTCTATTTGTCGTGCTTTGGCCGCAGTCTTGCACAAGAATGATGTTAGGTTAGAAGCTTGTCGGATCAAGTGCCTCGCCGTGCCTTTTACCATAGTGCGGATAAGTTATTTCATGCTTCAGGTGGAATCAAAACATCAGTTGTCGGCGACGAGAGTACGTAAGGGCTCAGACAGCGTCCATCCGACAGGTGACCGTGATAGGACTTGAGCCTGAGGTTCAACGACTGATCCAGAAACAAAAAAGGGATATAATAGCGCAGCGCACTGCCCAGGACTTAGCATGGAGCGCAATACGCACCAAGTTGAGTGGAAAACTTTTTGATCAGCAGGTGGCACTACGTGAGACAATGAGTCGTGTCCACGCACAGCGCGATTTCAATGAAAACATTCGCATTGGTCAATCCATAACAGCACTTCAGTGTGAGTTCCAACATCGTTGCACAATCACATCAAGAGCGCAATCTGGACGCATTGAAAAATTGCAGGCCGAATTACAGAAAAAGCTGCATTTGGATAGTGCTAAATTTCAGCGTATGCATCAGAATTTGTGCGTGACGAAGAGAGATCGCCTCAGGACGAGACGTGACCAGCTCGCTTGTGTGCGGGATACTGTATATCAGCTTCAATGCTTTGGATCTAGAATAGTTGCTGAGGCACGAAATTCGGACCATGCGGTTTGGATTCAGGCAACCATATCCCACGTCAACACAATTTCAAAGGAATCATTTTCAGTGAGGACAGAAGAAGTCTTGCGCCGGCGGGACACTACCATCGGCAATATAATTCACCATGACCAAGCGTTAACACACACCTGGGAGCTCGGCATAATGCATGCCGCAGATGCATACGAAACAAGTTGCAAAGACTATCACTGCGCTATTATTGCCAGACTCCAAATACAGCGTACTAACTGGATTAAACAAACGAAAATCTTGATACGTGAAATTCAGTCCCTGAATCAAGAGGTCTGTGCCCTCAAAGCCATCGGGGACAAAACTAAAAATCGTTGGCATGACATGGAGATGGCTCTTGCCAAACCAAGTTATGAGGCCGGGTCGCATGCTTACAAACTCCTTTGTACCCAGACGAGCAGGCAGCAGACTCATGCCCAAGAGCTTTACCTGCTCGATGATAAATGTGCAGCTGCTGAGCTACCCATCAAAGCAATTACCACAAACATTAGGCGCTTAGTTGCTACTTACGATTTCTTACAGGGACAGCATCATGAGTTTCACCAGCGTGCTCTTATATCCAAGAATAAGGCAGTTCAATGCCACCTTCGTGATAATGCAAACAGACTAGTGCGAATAGTTGACAAAATCGGACTCGAAACAGTCCGTCATAATCATCTTACTAAAATGCTTGCTAGCTACACAAGAAGCTGACCGTAACGTTTCAGTGGTGGCAAGTTGAATGCACACGACGCCAACCCTCGCTGGCGGCAATGCAAAGAAGCGAGAAATATCGCGTCCCTTCGCATGGGTCGCAGATTGGCGCGAGCTACAACTTGCAGCTGCAGTAACTTCCGCTCGATTAGGAGGGGTTCTCGCTAATCTCACCGTTGATTAGAATATGAAGGGTTTTCGCTAATCTCATTCCCATTATACTACTCGGGCGGGAGAGAAATTCGGAGAATGCCATCAGTGATCCCACGCATATCATGATGACGCAGTATGATGATGGTTTTGTGTGGTTTGGTTTGTTTGGTTTTGTTCAAGTTTTGGTTTTTGTTTGGTTTGCTTGGTTTGACTTGGACAGACTCACCAATCGAGAGTTCAAGTTTTCCACAATACAGTGTGGGTGGGTGGAAGAACTTGAAATCATGATTGCCAATACCGTGACCAGCGGCTGCCACTGTCATCATGATTGTTGCCAGCCTCAGGCTGAGGCCGAGGCCTATGATTCTGAATTACCGTGACTCGGCGGACTCAGACTCGGAAATACTACACCGTCACCGTGACAGCACTGCATATACGCCACGAAGTCCGAGTCCACGACGTGGGGCGCATCATGATCAGCGTATTTAGTGGCCCAGGGTGCCTAGGAGCCCCCACTTGTGATCCTATGGGTCTGCTGGCGCCCCCCCAGTGGCTTGCGTACCGGGCCAGCTGAAATCTAGCTGAATACAGTGGCTCTATGAACTCCGCGGAATACAGTGCGGAAACCACGGTGGAGAGTTTTGGTGGAGGCTTCTTTGACCGCGTGGTACGTCTTCACTTGTCCTCGACGAGCGCAAGCCTGCACCGTAGGCTGCTGGTGTGAGTACGTCTCATAAAGATGTGTATCGTGCAGCTGAGATGCAAGAGTGTCGAGCTCAGTTGCGAATCACCTTGCAGCGAATAGCTGATGTGGAGTCAATTAATGTAGATCTCGAGTCCCGGCTAGAGGCGCAGGCTAAAGAGTACATTCAACTCGAGTCGGATGCTGCAAAGTCGTACGCAGCAGCCGCGTAATTTGTTGCTTAACTTCCAATTTAATCATCATTCGACGGATATAGGCTTGCACATTGGAAGATGCAATATAAAGCACTCGCTGAAGAGGCTGGAAGTTGGAAGTGCGCGTCACAGCCGAGTATTGTCCCAAAATGCTTGAGATATGACATACCATATCAGGAAATTACATGCTCAGCAGGAGCTGAAGAATCAGAAGATCCGCGAACAATTGCTTCGCACAGAGCGAGAGCTACATGGAATTCTTCAGAAGAAATATGACATCATGGAATATGCCCGGTGAGGCCGTTCATACTGCCCATGAGCGAAACCTACTAAACTGTCGTTTAGGCGCGAAGAGAGATTTCGAATGCGTGCAGAAATCTCTGTAGGCACGAGTCTTGGTGCAAGACCCGTCACTGTTTCCCGAAACAACGAAGTTGATAAATCAGATCGCATCAGTTGGATGAGAGTTGAAACTGGCTTTAGCACTGGAAATCCACTTGGTGCGCTTCCCCAGGATGTGCGCCGCGGGCGTGCTATTCTTGCCCTCGCCGACCTCTTCAGATTATATATGGGGGATGATGACAACACTAATCACTCTCAAATGGTATTGCATGCGTGATTTATCCTAGCTGGCAAATGATGATCAAATTGAAGGCTAGTCTAGCAGCGCGAAAGCGCCATTTGGACGCAGTGGTCTGGACCAGGAAGCGATAAGCAAGAGAAAGCCCAGAGGATCCTCCACATTAATATTCACGGGCCTATTTACACCTGCGAGTTTCTTCAAGAACCTACGGGTCCTCTAAGATTCAAGACTGGATCTCAATTCTGGATAAGCGAGGAACCCACGTTTGAGGCAATGGACTGTATGCTCCTCACTGGCAGTAGTATCCGATTTTTTTGGCTAATTTGGCTCACGGTGGTGTTCTGACGACCTCCATTGCCGCGCATCCTGCCGATGCCACGATACTTGGGGAGGCTGGGGAAGGAGAGGCACCTATCTATATAAGTGCACATTCCGCTGAGGACCGGGGGCCCATCCTCTCAGACTCGGAGTCTAAAGCACGCCAGTACACTTGCCAGTGCGCGGTGGCATCTCCCCGGGGTGCTAGTCACGGCGCCTACGTTGGCAGTAGTAAGACGGGCCCGGTGGGAGAGGAGGTCAGGTAACCGTGAGTCTTTGTCCGAGTCTGTCCAAAATCTGGACTCTAGGACCAAGACTTGAACAGTTAAACTTGACTCGGACTCCGAGTCGGAAAGTTGAAATTCCCGGGCTCTAGAAGAAAGAAAGAGAGAGAGAGTCGCTTATTGTGGCTAGCCCCTTTGCACAAATCCCAAGCGCGTCGCCACGGTTCTTGTTGGGACTTGAAGTCCTGAGCCCGTTTTTAAATTCTGCACGCCGGCTGCAACTGCATGGATTCAGAAAGGCGGTCGCAACGGGGGGGGGTTGCAGTAAGGATGAGCGACCAAGTGGCGGCTCTGGACGCCGTTTGGGCCAAGAAGACGGATTAGAAGGGAGCCGGGTCATATCGCACCAGTGCGGGATCGTTCTGCCAAAACGTCAAATCTCGACGGCCTCAGGCCAATTTTTGTTAGGGCGCGAGGGCCGACTTTTCAGGGACTCTATATTTTATCTAGCTCGTTATAGGCTGCCTTGCATTTCGTTCACAAAGTGAAGGGATCCCTCCCTTGCTATGCTAAAGTCCCGTACTGTGCTAAACTTATGCGCACGTTGTACTTATCGATGCGCCGTCGCCTCAGTGCTCTCCGATGGACGAGTTCCCACTATCGGAAGTGGACTTCATGGTATAACGCAGACGAGACACACACATGCTATATTCTACGCAAGCCTCGAGAGAAACCAAATCTTGTATAAACTCCTGTAATCAAGCTGTATGTAACTCAACTCGATTTTATTTTGGGCCAATGGCAGGTTCGGGTTGATAAAGAAGAAAGGGGCGAGTGGATTGTCCTATCAGAGGAAGTGTATATCACCTAGAAAACAAGGTCACGTAAACTAAAAAAGTGCTATCAAACATCACTGCGTGTTGCGCTTCGATTCGTCGTACATTAATCTGTTCTCATCCTGCAACTTATGTAGAATGACTTCAATTTCGGGTGATTGGAAGATTCTGTCTTTCTTGCTCAAAAAAGAATTGGCAAGGGTCAAAAGCTCGTTGATGTGCACTTTTCCCCGTGTAGCATTAATAGACGCAAGCTGGGTATATGCGTCAACCAAGATCTTATGACGACCAACATCATCAACGTGCGGTTGCAAGCTGGCGTGACTTGATTGACTATCTGCATCGCTGGTTTTTCGTAGACGCTTCCCCGTCGCTTCAATGGCCTAAAATTTAATTGTTCAATATTCCGCAGTAGGTATTCGTTCAGATCTTTTTACAAAATCATCCTTATTGACAAAAGACCTGGACAAGGCATTAACTTCATGAGGACCAAGCTTTGCATCGCCGTACAGGGCGAAGCTGTGGAACATATGTGGTCATGTATATACCAACTGGAGGTTGCGCTGGAGTTTACGAAAGAAATTTGAGAGCTGCATGACAATCACGACCATCCACAATGTTGGAGAGCCGCACCTTGGAATGGGCCGTTGCAATTCGAATGAGAGACTCGAGGCATCGAGCCGTCACCTAGTATGAGTGGGACACAAGATAAAAAATTTTGTTTTTAAGTTACGTAAAGAGCACAATGAGTGGTTACCGGCAAGGTACGGTCGTCGGATTTGGAACGAAGATCTGCATAAGCATTCGCGATACTTTCGCGAGACTCCTCGCTAAGTTTCGGATCGACATTGTGCCGGGCGAATGATATGTACTTGCGCACAAAGGCCAAATTTAGCACTGCATCTTTGGGTGGAAGACTGGCCTGAGTAAGATTATGTTGTGTGCCCCTAGGAAAGGAATCTTCTGCGAAGGAACATGCAGGGGCAGTATCCGCAGCAGTGATAAGATGCCTAATTAAACAGAAAAAAGTACCACGTCAGCTTCGGAGACTAAAGATGAATTCTTTTTTACGTACTTGTTGAAGTCTATGCTTTTAGACTGGTGTTGTGTCTGCCAGATAGAACATGATTTACTTTCTGTAACAGTTTAGAAAATTAGAAATGAATAAGTCATGGACCAACCTTCACCGTGAAACTCATTTTGGTCAATTAAATCTGGGGGCTTAAGCACATCTACAGACTTGATTGAAGTATCTTGATCACGGAACCGGTACTGGTGAGAAGAGAGCACATGATTTGCAACATGCCTGTCCGATTCAGCATCAACGTTATCAAGCACTATAAACATAAGGTCAAAACGAGAAAGCAATGAATCCGGCCTAAAAGCACCAGGCAGTGCATTCGTGTAAGAAGGCTGTCCTGGACAATGCTACATGCAATCCCACATTCTCCTGAGGTCGTCGATCAGTATCATATTGACCGTAAACAGGATTTGCGGCAGCCAGTACTGCACATCTTGCGTTTAACGAGGCATGAATGCCTGCTTTAGCCAGAGTCACAGTCTGTTGTTCCATAACCTCGTGTATTGCCACCCGATCACCTGGGAGTACACATGCATTCCAGATAGGCGTCTTTGCTACATACCTGCCGACATCTTATCAAACTCGTCTATACACACTAGACCGCGATCAGCAAGAACAACAGCGCCAGCTTCCAAACGTCGATCGCCAGTCTCAGGATCCTGAGCAACCGCAGCCGTCAACCCAACTCCCGAAGACCCTCGACCAGTGGTACCTAGCTCAATTCAGATGAATGTAGTTGATTACGCTAAAAAATATGCTCAGCATCCGACTAACAGCTAGTGGTGCCACGCGCATTGAAGCCCGAAGTAATTGGCTCTTTGCCGTTGATGGATCGCCAACCAAAAGTACATTGATATCACCACGAAGACGGGATCCACTTACCAGGCTCTTCTCGGTCCCCCCAACCTGAAACCAATGTTTCTTAGAGTCGGATTATCGAGTTCATTGGAATAACGCATCGGGTAGCACAAGTTGTAGAATCAGAGCGCGTTTTATTGACTCGTGACCACATATCGAGGGGGCAAAACCAGCTCCAAGCGCGTGGAGTATGCGGCCAAATCCGGATGATACGGCGTCGGAGGTGTCTTGAATTGAGCGCTCAAGTTCAAGTTGCTTGGCCTGAAAGGTAAGAAGTGATTTTTTGGGAGTGCAGCCGGTTATCTTACAATTTTTCTGATATTTGCTAAATCTCTCGGACTTAAAGATGCCGCAGTATTGCCATGACCATGGAAAGTAAGCGAATTCGCCAAGACAACCGTGCGGAAAACACCGGAAGTAATTGGACTGCTGTGAGTCAACGCACGATAAATTCCTGAACATTTAACGCGGTCCCCCGGCTTTACTGTATCCACAAGATCATCGTCAAGGAAAACTTCTACCTAAACGCAAAACATCACCGTGCCCTTTGACTGCGCGCAGCGATATATGACGGAGCGGGGGAGCTGTCCTAGCGGAGCACTTTCAGGAGGTTCCTGGATTGTTACGCATTGATGATCCTTATAGACACTTAATCCAAATTCCGTTTCTAGTATATTGCCGTCCGCATCACTTGAGGGTGAAGACCTAGAGGCTTGCAGCGGGTGAATTTTGGGATTGTCCTTTGATTCAGTTTCAGCATTCACTACCGCCACAATATTCATGTCAAGCGCTGTCGAATCACGGTATTCACGGGTAATGTGTTGTTGCGTTGATGCACACCAATGAACAGAGCGCACCACTTTGGGCCGCGTGATTGAGCACCTTGTTATGACACCTTCAACGCAAACCATGGTACCTAGCTGGGATGCACGCAGTTCACGCGGAGATACTTGATGCGAACCGAAGGTGCCAATAAAACCAAGATGCGTCCGAGCAGCTAGAGAAATACTTTCACTTGTGTTTTTTTTCCCCGTAGCATATTGCACACGCTCGGTGACGACTTCTGTCCACGGCGCGAGAAAACGAAGAGGTTGCCGCAGCAATTGTGTTGCTAATTTGGGATCGAATTGCCGGATATCATTTACACTCACAAGTAGTCGCTGGGACGTTCTCCCATCTGCCGCTTTGGCCATCTCTCTGATTTGCTGGTCGTATTCACCCCTGTGCTGCGTGTCAAGAAACGCAGTGAATTGGCTCTTGTGGTCGCTATGAGAGGCTGTATCCATTCGATCGAAGTTTAAACGTGGACTTATCTTCAGCTAGGCTGCTGCGCCGGGCGTCGCTAAGACTACTAAACGGGTTTTTGACGACTTTGGAGCTCTCCCTCTCATCGTCATGACCTCCGTACAGACCCCCGACCTCGGGCGGGGCTACCGACCCCTCTCGGAGGCTTCATGCGAAAGCCGGTAATTTCGGATCGATTAAGACTCGTTCAGTGCCTGGGTCCCCCCCCCCTATCTTGGGCCATTCACGGCCATTCACGAGCCCATGCTAGCGCGGTGGTTATTTGGGGCTGCCGGTGCCATCGAACTGCCCGGGCCAAGTTGGATCAGCCTGGTCAAGCCCGGGCCGGCTTGGTCAAGCCTGAGCGGCTGGTGGGGAAGTATCGATTTACCTCCCTACTCGACGATTTTGCAAAAAAAATCTTCGAGGGGCTCATAAGGGGGCCTTGGGATGTCTAGGCGACCGCTGGCATGAGATTTCTGAAGGTGTTGAGTTAGTCGACAGGACCGAGACAGGGGTATCAAAACAGGAGGGCCTGTAGTTGGCCTGTCATGATGAGAGGTAAGCTGTCAAACATGGGCGACGGAGCTGGGTATATTCAAAGCGATGAGTTGGCTGTCTTTTGGACACGTGGTGCGGAACTGACAGCGCGTATGGGTCTTCTGATGCACCAACTCCAGCGCGAGCGTGGGTTGATGACGCTGCATGTTGCTGACGCATCATGGGGCGCACAGTGTGCTCAGCGCCAGGATCATACACGCTACGATGATTGTGCAAATTAGGTCTCTGGCAAAGCAGCATGCAGTGTCCACAGCAGCGTGGGAAGAGACAGTAGCGTGGTTGCAATCATTTCGGACTAGTGTCCCAGAGGTCAAGTTAGCTCTGGGTCACGCTTCACGTCCGTTTGGCGAGCAAGTGGGACAAGCATCTGGTGAGCATTCAAACCCATTGTCGCAGAGGAGCTGTACATCACGTTTTGACTCCGCAGAAGCGGCATGGGCCAGAGCCATGATTGAAGTGGAGATGAAATTTGCCATGATGAAAAAAGATATAGACTCCATTCGACAAGTTGTCTTGGGAGGCCATGTAGACCAGCGGCGATATGCTGATGTAGCACGCAGCTATTCCGTAGTCCTGCGACGATTATTGGAGCTCCATGGCGCTGTTGTTCTGCCTCGTAGCAATAGTAAATTGCTAAGTTTTGTTCACATGCTTTTGCGTCTGAAGGAATATGCAGGTCTTCAGCGTGCACTGACCGCCGGGATGCTAGGTTTTAGGCTGGCAACAATCCCGCATTCTGAGACAGTAAGGTATGATTCAGATAGACCCACGTGCTCTATTGGTGAAGGCTGTCCTCAGTCATCGAGCTTAGAGCTGCTTCCAGGACGAGATGAGCTTCGGGCTGCCATTGCTATATTTTCAGAGCTCAAGGATAACTGCAGCGCCATCCGCTGCATGTTTTTCCCCGAGGATGAGCACACAGAGGCTCTAAGCCGCCTTGCACGCCACGTGAGAGAAATACTAAATGCACGGAATTTTGAGGCAGCAACTCGTGCTCCCGACGACATCGTAAGTCTCCACTGCGCCTTGCTCGGGAATACATGGGCCATAAGTCCATGGGGAAATGAGGGCAATAGGAGAGCGCACATTGACTATTTACCTGCTGCCCTTGGCCAAAGTGGTTGTGTGTTGAACCAAGCTAATGCCGTGCATCTTGACCCAGCGAGCCTTTGGCAGCTCATGACAGATTGGATTGACAAGCTTCAGGTTGTAGAAATTGCGGCGCTGCATCATGTTCTTCCTCCCGACATCTACGAAATTCTTTACGCGTCCCAGCTCCGTTCCCACGGAAAACCAACATGGACGAGACGTGGCATGTCCCCTGAGGAAAATAGTGAAACCGAGAGAGATATCAAAATTGAAACAAATACGCAAAATTTGACAGCAGAACAGTGCAATCACATGTTGCTAGTACCCCGCTCATCTTCGCATTATTCTGCGTTCTCTCCTCTTCCCCGAGAGCACAATATTAGCGCAACTCGAACATGGGCGGGAATGGATGCGCAGCAGGGGCTTATCCAGGTCAGTGTGCATGATATCACCTTTGGTCAAGTTCTAGGAAGTGGTTCAACTGGTTCCACTCATCTTGCACTCTGGCGTGGCCAGCATGTGGCCATCAAGCTTGTACTGGCGAGACAAATGCCCAATGGCGTACCATCGCAGGCAGCCCAGCAACTCGTACGCGAAATATCGACTCTTGCAACACTCCGTCACCCTAATTGTGTACGCATCCTTGGAATTGCACGTGCCCCGCCTGTCTCTTGCGGTATCCTACTCGAGTTCCTCGCTGGCGGTAGTGTTGCGCAACACTTGCGCTTAGACGCACGGGTTGGTGAAAATCCCGATATGACGGGCCCACCATTCAAAACTAGATTGGGCATCATGCTTGATGTCAGTCGAGGCATGGCGTATATACATGCCATGGGCCATCTGCATAGGGATCTCAAACCAGACAACATCCTTCTTGATGCGGAGGGCGCGGCAAAAATCTCAGACTTCGGCCTCTCATGCCTCCACACGTCAAAAACATTGAGCGATGAACACACAGGAGGAACCGGCACCCTCCGATGGATGGCGCCAGAGGTCGCTCAACATAGGCCTTATGCATATCCGGCAGATGTATTTTCCTTTGCCATTTGTGCTTGGCAGCTTGCCCTCTGGGAGCCGAGGCCTTTCTCAAAATTCTCACCAGCTGAAGCAATTGCGAGGACAATTGCTGGAGGTCGTCCTTCGCTTGATCTTCTCCGACAGAAGGACCTACCGCTCGCCCAGTTGATTCAGCGATGCTGGTCTGTTGCACCTTTAGAACGTTGCACCTTTGGATTGATTGTTGCTACCCTCGAAGCCATTAGTGCACCGCGATCTGTTTGCTCAGAGTGCTCCCCGCAAGTTTGAGCAGTGGCATGCAGTTTACTTAGGCGTACAGAGTTTGGGTTCAGATTCTAATAATTTTTTTATTTTAGTTTATATGAGTATCATCTGAGTATCGTATCATTGTTTGTTTGGTGTACTAGTAAGCATGCTGACAAATGCTCCGGACTCTGCCTCGACAGCCGATAAGAGTGGATTTTTGCAGGTGGTCAACAGGATCTGTTTCGATGAAAAAGATCAAAACAAGAATCAGAAACATGGCTTTCGGGAGTCCGAAAATGAACGAGAGCAAAATGCACATACCGTCCGAAAATACTGCACGACCTCAACAGTGTCACCTGATATTACTCATGCAACCGAATGCCTCATTACATTTGCATCCACGCATGATATAGCAGTGTGTGCACATGGGGTTTCTCTGAGACTTCTCTGCCTAGGCGGCTGTTACGTTCTCCAATATGCTCTCCCCAATTGGGGTTCCAAGACAGGAAACTAGACCGGGCATGCGACATGCTTTACGAGATTTGTAGTGCGCAGGGATATAAAAACATGGTCAAGTCGGTGCCGCATGCTGTGCGGGATCTGCATGCAGTTTATGTTACACTTATAAGTTTAGATGGGTCGCCGCAGACTAAAAGATGGCGAACGCACTATTTGCTTCTTCTGTGGCTGGGTGTGCTCTTGCTAAACCCTTTTGACATGAACTCTTTAGTTGACGACGGCACAACGCTGGTTGCCGGAATTGTCCAATGCTGTACTGAAGCTCTCAACGAACCAGGTCCATCTCGCCAAGCAGCTGCATTCTGCATTTCGACGACTTTAACTCGGCAGGATGTATCGATCCACTTTATGGTTGACTTGGTTCATCAGATATCTAGTCTGCTTGCAGATCTTGGCAGCTTGGAAAGCCAAGCCCCCTTTGCTGCGATGGGCGCTGTTCAGGCACTAGCCGCAATATATAAGCGTGGCGACAGAACTCTGCTTCAGAAGCTCGCCGACAGAGTCTTTGAAGCTGTTCGACCCTGCCTTTTGGATGCCAAATACGGTACGATTCGAATTCTGAAACACTTCGTTATCAAGCTGGTCGCACGCCTTGGCATTGCCGTGCTTAAACCACGAAATGCTTCTTGGTGCTACACCCGAGGAAAAAGGACTTTGATGATGGATGGCTTTGAAAGCTGCTATGAAGTCTCAGATGCTGATGAGGAGACTGGGCAAAGGGCAAGTGTCGGGGTCGAAGATGAGAGATTCAAGCACATAGTAGAATCAGCTGTGGGTGTGCTCCTACAAGCCACATGCGACTCTGAGACAAAAATTAGGTGGTCTGCTGCGAAGGGGATTGCACGAATAGCATCTAGACTTCCACGTGGCCTGGCGGATGATATTGTCAAAAATATTTTGTCAATATTCACGGATCCTGGGTCCCATCATAATGATAATGCGTGGCATGGATCTTGCCTCGCCCTCGCAGAGCTCGGTCGTCTTGGCATCCTGTTGCCTAAGCGCCTTCCAGAATCGCTTTCTGCCCTTGAAGTTGCCTTAAGATATGAGGTAAGACATGGGAGCCGTTCTGTTGGGGCCAACGTGCGAGACGCTGCTTGCTACGTAGCTTGGGCCTTCGCACGAGCATATCCTCCCTGTGTGCTCGGTCTCTATCTACCCGCTCTAATCGAAAAAATTCTAATGACAGCGGTCTTTGATCGAGAGGTCCATGTACGAAGAGCTGCCGGAGCGGCCCTACAAGAAAACATTGGTAGACAGGGAATTCAGGCTTTTGGTTCCATTGGCATCAAACTGACACAGACTTTGAGCTTTTCTGCCCTTGGTTCATGTGAGCGTGCGTATATTGAAATGACCCCTGTAATCGCCAAAATGGGCTACTGGGAAGCAGCCTTTGCAAAGCTGCTCAGAGAACTCGTTGGGCATTGGGATACTCGAATCCGCATTCTCTCGGCCAAATCCCTCTATGCTCTCGTGAACATTGTCAATGATCGATCCCTGCTGCAGGATATTGCACGTAGAGCCAGCTTGGTTCTGGCTCCTCTTGCGAGTGGAAGCAGGGACCTGGCCTTCCGCCACGGCGCTCTTCTTGCTCTTGCACATGTAATGCGTGCCCTTCGCACTTTTGATGATAATTATCTTTCCGCACAGCTGAGTACTGTAGTCCCTAGTCTCGAATCATCACGCCTTTACCGAGGCAGAGACGGTGATTTAGTGCGAATCGCTGCCTGCAGCTTCATTGCGGCCCTGGCTTCGTGCTCTTGCCCACTAAATGCCCCGACTCAATTGAGGCTGTTGGGTTCCTTAGATGATTCAAGTGGTCACGCCCTTGAGACTGTGCGCGCCGCTGCAGCTACAGCAGTGCGCGTACTCTCAATGAGCTATTTTGGAGTGGTTGCGTACACAAACGGCGCTTTTAATGAGCCAGATGAAGTGCTATTATCTCAGACCGTATTCAAGTATCTGGACATTGTGCGCAAAGGGACAACCGCGAGCCTCGCCAGAGGCTCGTGTAACTGCCTCGGCGCCTTGCCTGCATGGCTTGTTGTCAGGGATAAATCAACACTTGATGTAGTATTTGAGACCTTAATTGTTCGTGCATGGCGCTTCAACATGGTTGCTGGCGAAAAGGATGCTGAAACAAGGCGCGGTGCTTTAGTTGCACTCAAGGAAATAGTCACCATCATCGATTCAAGACATCTGATACGGAAGCGAGCCTTGAAGCTCCATGCTTCATTTGTGCACAATGCTGCCCGAGACTTTGGCCTTGATAAGCGTGGTGACGTTGGGTCCTGGTGTCGTATTTGCGGACTTAAAGCCGCTGTGTCTCTAGCTTCAGTTATAAATCCGCAGTGCAATCTTACGTCCACCTCTTGCAAATCCCGTATTGTACCTTGTCTTCTCACGCGAGCTGCAAGAATCACTGCCGATTGTGGCTGTGTCAATTTTGTACTAGCCAGGCCATTCCTGCACGTCGACTCAATTTTCAGTTGGGGGGCAAGGGAGTCACAGGAGCTTTGCTGCTCTCTACTACGGCATCTTAGCGAGAAGCTTGACACCGTTCGGAAAATTTCCTTGCAGTTACTGCCAATGCTTTTTAAACGCGCCCCCGCTGTCCCAATGCGAAATGAGATTGAAGTCAGGCTGTTTGCTAATGGAAAAAGTACTGAGCTTCCAAGCCGTCTATGCACGTGTCTTCAGCTTAAGGGGGCCTATCATAGTGCGATTCTCTCTGGTTTGATTCAGTCCGCTGGCTCCAGAGACTCAAAGATGGGTAGCCTGTTTAGACATGCTTTAGTTCACCATGCAATGACAGAGGCCAAGACTCAAGATAATTCAGATACATCTTACCTTGCCCGGTCGTTTGTCCTCAAGACACGTACTCTTGGTTCCAGGGTATCGAAGGCACCCTCTGTCGAAGAGAGAAGCAGAATGCATCTACCTCTTCTTAGATGCCTAACTGCCCTGATTGAGGCAGGGGCTCTCAATCCGATTTTCCAAACCGCGAGTCGTGTGCACAGTGATCCAAATGCTCTTGGGCTTGATCTGGTGATTTCGCTAACCTTGTTGGCTTCATATCAACATTCGAGTGATGTTAAAAAAATCTGTGCTGCAGTGGATGCTCTCCTGGCCTATCTTTCTGCCGCGGCAGTGTCTGCTCCGGTACTTGCACACCGTTCTCTTGCCACGCTTCTCCAATGTCTGCATTCCCCATACCCGCGCACCCGTGCTTACATTGCAGAACAACTATATGCTAGGCTAGTTGAACTCTCCATGGTCCGTGATTGCTTTGTGGGTATGGGACCACTGTCTGCTGCCCAAGAGCTGCTTTGTGATATCAACTGGGGTGCTGAAGTAAATATGAAATTCTTCGATGATGTGATCTTCCGATTGTGCCATATCCTTATGATCGAAAAAGGCCACATTCAGTCACAAGAGGCGCCGCCCAAAGTCAATCACCCGGAATGTGACGAACTAGAGTCATATGCATACTTGGTTAGAGTGGCTGGTTATTAGTCAATCTTCGTGCAGTAGCATCAATTACGAATGGGGGGGGAGCCAGATTTGACGGTTCACATCGCAAGCCTGATCGCAGTCTGCAAGTCTGGAAGTTTCTAGGTTAAGATTACTTACGCCTGTTCCCACCTTATGACGAAGAGCGGGCCGAAATGGCTGGGATCTGACGTTTTTAGTGGCCGCGAACGTCGCGCCAGCGGCGTTTCGTGCCGCGTCGCGTATGCTTCTGGCACGCGATCAGGTTGATGACCACATTTGCGCATCTGCCCCACATCGCTGGTACTTGAGGGCCCTCAGGAAACCGAGTTACCAGCGTATGGGCGAATTTTGTTTTGGAAATTGTTTCTTAAAGACGAGCAAACTGACAGGCTGAAACATTTTCCTTCGCGCCCGCCCGGCGCGAAAAGTACACCATTGCCGGAATCTACATTCCGAAATTTCTCAGAGTCTGACTTTCAAGCTGCTAAAATACTAGGTTGCAATGTGCCTAGGAGCACAGCAGTGCACTGATCCCCGTGCTGCCTGGCCCCGTTCGTACTACTTACGTGAAGAAGGGTACTACTGCCTGTTCTTAGAGCCTGAGCTCTTACCCTGAGAATACCCGGACGGTACGCTTGCTAAACTTAGCTAAACAAATCGTCGCAACTGGCAGGCTGCTATCTTCGCTAGATCGTCGAATTAGACCATGAGCCCACTTGCGAAGTGGGCCCGGAGCTCGCGATCCATCGAAGTGTCACGGGGTGCGAGCAGCCTCCAGAGTGCATTATAGACATTCGATAGCCCCTTCCCGTCGCGATTCCAGAATCTTAGAACGTCTGCAGCTGCGACAAAACTCGTAGAGTACACCCCATCACCACGAAACACCGAGACCGTCGGATCGGGCTCTCGCGACGCTAAGACAGTCACGATGGCGCATAGACTTGACCGTAGCTTCGCCCTGTCGTGTCCGGGCAGCAGCTCGTCCAGTGCCAGTTTTTAGCCACCTCGCGCCGAGATTTCGTGCCTCGAAGACGAGAAACGGCCTGATTTTCGTTGCGCTGCCCCTGGGCAATGAATCCTAGCACTGGACGAGCTACAGGCTCACACGGCTGCACGAAGCTCCAAACCGAGCCGGTGCTAGAAAAGATGCACCTCAGACTGAGTTCTCGCGCTGCCAATCCAATTCCCCCCCGGCGCAACGTCTCGGCTATAATTTGGGCTACCTTAGTTACATTATCAGTGTCCTCCAGGTATTGTTAAGTGCTAGGGGCGTTTTTAGGTTGGGAGAATAAGGACTATCGGGGCAGGGTTATATTTCTCGCCCCCACCCACTGGAGTCTTGTGTCTTGTCTCGTGTGTCTAAAACGAGTCCATCATTTTAAGTATAGTCCTTGATCGTCGTTGATCGCCGGCGGGCCCGGGTTTGGGCCCGGGTTTGGCACGCACAAATTTGAACCCTTTACCGTGACCTGCCAAATTTTTGCAGTTGAGGACAATGACTGTATGCGGCAGCCTGGCATAGGTAGCGAAAGACATTCCAGGCCCTTCAGACTATTAATCCCCCATGGCCGCCCAACACTATTATGCCTACCTAGGAGTGCCAGTTCCGCCGGCGGCCCGAATCCACTGAGTCGTGGTCGGGCCCGGGGCGGCTCCGGCGAACTCCCGGGCCGCCGGGTTCTGGCCACTGACTCGGAGCCTGACTCAGACTTCAGGCCTACTCAGGCTCAGGCTCAGGCTCAGGCTACTAGAAGGTCCAGCTAGCTAGTTCAGCTGCGCCCGGCTACGGCTAGCACGAGGGCCGTCGGTGCCTGGGAGATCTGTCGCTCACGAAGCCTATCACTTGTCACATGGATTCTACCAGTGAGCAGGTTGAGATACATCTTCAAGTAGAAGGGCATCTGATGCGCTCGCGTCCAGGGGGAGTAGAGAGAGAGAAACCTACTACTACTAGCCCAGGGCCTTCACTGGCAACTTGAAGTTCCTACCCTAGATGTGTATCTCCCACTCTCTAAATTTGAGTCTATACATTGAGTGTCTATTGACGCTACGGTGTAAACCAATTTACCATAAAACACTCTCGTAGTTAGGTTGGCCCAGCCTTTGGCTGGTGAGCTAGGACCCTGCTACCTTACATAACGCTGCGACATACCGTGACTATTGCTACCTAGGTATCTTTGACTCTGCGCCGGTCGTAAACACAGGAGAGTCTTTAATGTATTTTTTTGTAGCATGGCGAAATTAAGCTACGGGGTTGTTGCTTCGTCTGGGTGTGATCCAGAATTCCCAGCAAGCGAGTTAAACGTGCATTCACCACAAACGCGTGGCTGGCAAACTTCGCGATTCTGCGAGCAAATTACCGAGTCCCCCCCCCTCCCTTGAGCCACGGGGTGAACACAAAGGTACCCACAAGAGGTCACAATCGAATTAGCTCGGCCGGCGACAATATCTCAGGTTCAACTGTTAAGTCATCAGCACAAAATAGTTGTCATACTGAGTTAATGACACTTCGAGATTCATTCTTAGGGACTGATTAGGCAACTCGTGTTGAAATATTCATCGGACCCAGAGCCGCCAACCTAGACGATGTGCTTTGGACGCGCTTAGGCTATCTATCTCTGGATCCAAATGAACGAAGCCAGTCGCCTTTCAGTGTGTACTTCGTGTCGATTCCCTCTTGAAAATCATCTAGGTATAAAGCGAGGGAGCTGAAGTCTGTGTACGTGAATGCGCGAGGCCAATACCTCAAACTCATTATGCATCGCTGCCATGTAAACCAAGCCAACCTATTCAATCAGGTTGGCATTATCGCTTTGAATGTATTAGCGCGTTGTTGGGCTTGGCATGGTATAATTGCGTAATTTAGGTTATTGGGCACTTCACAGAGATCAAAAATCTATCTCGAGGCGCGTGTATTTCCCACGATGACCGTGTTGATGACCTTGCATTTGATTTTAATGTGCAGACAAAGCCATTTTCCATTTTCTTCTTTATAATTTACGATCTAGGTCGATCCACTGACTGCCAGGCAAATACGATCCCTAGTCGCAGCAAAAAGTGTTGCCATTGAGGCTGAGGATTTTGAAGCTGCAAAAAAGATTAAACTAGCAGAGCAGAGAATACAAACACTAGGCATTAAGCTTGCCCAAATTGAAATCGCTAAACGCCGCGCTGTGCGAGATGAAGACTATGACCGCGCAAAACTTCTTAAGAAGGAGGTTTCTTCTCTGCGAAAATGTGTCAACGAAGCTGTGGGGCATTGTGATATTGACATGCACGTTGAACAACAGCAGCTAATGCCTCATTTATCTTCCAAAAACAAAGTTGCGCAAGATTTGGTGAGGCACAGCCTATCTAGTGAGCCGCAGCCTATTGTTGTTGTCCCTGAAAAGTTAGAAGAACAAAAGCAACTTGGGATGAACAATAGTGACAGTCACTTAGGAAAAAAGTCGGGCATCTTGAAGACACCACAGTCACCACAGTACACTGGAGGGGAGGAGCATCGTGACCAGTCTAGTGATGTTTTTGAACACATTCAAGTCCGCACCACCCCCAACATTCCTCCTTTACCACCCTCAATAGATTCAATGCCGCATTTCTCTGGGGCTCTCAGTGGCTTGCCAAATGTTGCTGAATTACCAGCGCCTGAAGCGTTTGCTGCTACCGACATTGTTGCAGATGCAGATTTTAGTGCTATTTCGGTATTCCTTGGTGAATACCGTGCTTGTTGTCTCATGTCGAAAAATTGGGCTTTGCGTGAAGCCGCTTTGGCCAAGACACGTCTACTTGTGAGCGAAGGCTGCTGGGGCCGATCTGAAGATATGGCGCATCTTTGCAGCATTGCCCGACTCGGCATTCAGGATAAAGTTGCTCAGGTGTATTTGACTGCCTTGGCGCTCCTTGAAGACGTGATTCAGAAGTTTTCATGTCAAGACTTCAAATCCGCTGATATGCTTACTGCCATGGAACCTGCCTTAGATGCAATTGTGTCGAAGCTAGGCGACAATCAAGCTCGTCTCCGGGAGAAGGCTGTCGATGCGCTTGCCTCGCCATCTTATTGCCGGGTCATTGGTGCTCGTCAAATCGCAGCAAAAGTGATGCACTCCTTAGACAAGAAACGACCACCTCATAATAAGTGGCGCCCACTTGCAACACGTCTAGAACTACTCAGGCGTCTAGCTCGAGAATATGGCTTGAACAGAGGGGTAGCTTCTGGAAATGGATTGCATGCTCTTGATCTTGGGTCAGTGATTGGATTTGTTGAAATCCATGGATGTGCCTCTCACACTTTTGAGGAAGTTAGAACCGCAGCTAAAGATCTGATCGTGGAAATGTTCATTGCAGCATCTGAATCGGATCGACTTCAAGCACTTGAGCCTTTCCTTCATAAAATTCGACCGAGGCAGGCCGAGGAGTACCGAAACGCACTGACTCGAAGATTACAAAATATCGTGAATAATGAGATCACTCATGAATCTAAACCAAGATATGACGTAACGATCTCGCCGCCTGAAGCATCTGCAGCTGACTCTATTTCATTGAAATCGCAGGCTGTCGGCCATTCCTCCCAAAGTTCTGTAGACGTTTCCACGCCACCAAGTCAAAATATTCAAGAGATACAGCAGACATCCACGTCCTTGATATTTACTTTTACTTCACACGATTACCTACGGGTGCAACACAGGTTATTGCGCAGCGAAGAGGAAGAGGAGCTCTTTCGCGACCAAATCATGAAACAGCTCGAAGAAAGAGCCTTCTCAGTAATTTGGATCTGTTTGAATAATTTAGTGAAATGTCGATCACCACGCTGTGATTGTAGGTTCAGGAAGCTTATGCAATCCTAAAACTACATTTTGATGATGCGGTAGAGAGTCCAGCGAAGGAAAATGTACTACGTGATTGGGTCAATGAGGTTTGTCCCATATATGGAGTTCTCGACACTGCAGACACTCTGCACTACTATATAGGTCGGCATGGATATGCATGACAGAGGAGAGGATTCTCGCGACAGAACGTTGTGGGAAGTAGCGACGTGGCTCTTCCAGTAGATTTGGCCGTGGCACGGAGCGCTCTCTGGCGCCGCACTACAGCCCTGAAGTTGGGGTATGTCGGGGCATCCAGGGTAGTTAAGGTACTAGTCCGACTCGGCCTCTTGAGCGTTCAGCTTTTAGCGCGCTCTCCGTGCCCGCGCGCGGCACGGGGCAGCCACAGGGCGCGTGTGGAGGTCCTAGGAACTCATACGCGCCATGCTTAAAGCGCGCGCGTCGAAAGGTACCCGTCTCGGCGGTCTGCGAGTCCCCACAAGCTGCTGCTCTGCGCGAGGCTCTAAACCGGCGCGCGACCACGAATAGATCCTCAAATTGCTGGTAGAGAAGCGCGTGACCCACGCGCACAGCGACGTACCTCAAGAAGTTCACCAGTTGTCCGTCGCCACATGTCAACCCGCGGTCGGTCGGGAGAGCATATTCGGTGATGTCCATGGCGGGCCACTTGAACGCCGCTCGACAAAAGATCGACCGTCAGAACGTACGTGTACATTCCAGCGAACGTTCGAATGACGCGCCGCGCAAGTGGAACAGACTTTAAGCCGGCGACGCCGACCGCGGGGGATCGGACTCGTCCGAGAGCTGCATTTAGGACGTTAGGCGTACTATCCTAGGGCCTGTTTGAATACCAGGACGGGCGGGGGGTTGGGGCCACTCTCTGGTACGATAGAAAACCCGCACCACCCCCATCGTGCAACGCTGGCCCTCCGAGACTACAGGCCTCCCTGCCCTTCAATACCCGCACCCTATACTCCCTCAGCTTCAACTTCCCCCCACGTCAACCTCAAGTTGAAGTAAGGGTAGTTATAGGTAGCCACGGACCCCCCTCAGACCTCCTCAAACCCACTCCTACTTCTGCTGGGTTCTTCCAGACGCTTTTGGACGTTTATCTGGGCGCTCAAGTAGGTCGAGTCGGACCAAGTACTAGAAGTAGTTTAAGTGAGAACGGTCCACTGGCAGCTGCGTATATTTCGCCGTGATTTACGCGTAATTTGCGGTGCTTATTAACAAAACCCGCACACATGCAGCTAGAGATCCTAGAAAGGACTTTTGGTAGCTACGCAGCGAGCCAAAAGCAGCACGAGCGCGGCGCATAAGCGTGCACATTACTCGCAACAGCATGCAACTGGCAACTGGCTCGGACCTGACAACGTCACGTTTGGGGCAGCCACACTATGTGCGAGGGTGTGATCTGAGGGTGTGATCGGCGCAAAAGTCTCAAAACGGGTTGGCTCTCTGGACTTAAAGCAGGACACCAATTCAGCTAGTGTCTATTATTATACTTTTGACGCAATGTTGGCGTTAAAATATTCGTGCTTCATCGCATCTGCAGCTGAGCAGCGTTGCAACGGATCATAGGCAAGCATCTTCTCAAGTAGACTGCGACCAGTACCATCAATGCGTGGTACAACATCGGAAAACGACCTTGGTGGAGGATACTGCATGATTTTGGGGTCTCTATTATAGTCAGGGAGCTCGACAAGTCCAGGATAACTTTGCTGTATGGGCGATCCTAGGGTCTTGAAGATGCGCTTCAATTGGTCAGATTCTGATGTACCCGCCTAAGGTGCCGGTTGACTAACTAGGTTGTTTCATAAGGCACGGTCTGCACAAATAGAGGTCTCGACGTAGCCATTTCTGCAAAAATACAGCCAATAGACCAAATATCAACAGGTGTGGAGTATGTGCGAGAACCCATGAGAACGTCTGGTGCTCGGTACCACAGCGTGACAACCTAATTAGCATGTTAATCATGATTGAATATCATTATTCGCACCTCATGCGTATAACTTCGGACCGGAATACCAAAGGCCCTGGCGAGGCCAAAGTCAGCCAGCTTCAATTTTCCTTCGCGATTTATGAGAAGATTTTGGGGTTTTAGGTCACGATGAAGAACGCGGTGGGTGTGGCAAAACGCAACGCCACACAGGAGCTGGTACAGAAAGCTTTTCAGGATCGCGGTCTCGAGGCCACCATCGCATATATCAAGGTACTTCTTAAGGTCTTGGTCCAGATACTCAAAAACCAGAGTCAACCGACGATCTGTGTGCACAACATCGTAGAGACGGACAATGTTCGGATGTTGAAGCTCCTTTAAAAGGGATATTTCCCGGATTGCCTATGATGTCTTCTTTGGTCTAATCTTCAGCTTTAACTGGCTGGAACACACAGTCGACGGTATGCCTTCGTCTTCTGCCTCTAGACGAATTTTCTTCAATGCTACAATCTCACCAGTTGCCTAAATCGGAAATTGATGCTAACGCTGTGGTGGCGCTGGCAGCTACTTTGTCTGTTGCTTTGTAAACAACACCATATGTACCTATGAGCGCTCATAGAAGGTTGTGATGGATAGAAGGTTGTCATCAAACCTTCTCCAATTTTGTCAATTCGTTGATAGCGATCCATTTCTTGGGGCAAACTCGGCCGATGCTCCCATTGCCTCGCGGCAATCTGCTCTTGTGTAACTGACGTACTAGGGAGCCTGACGGCCGGGGCTTACCGGTAGGCTCCTCGTCGCCGCGCGCTTGGGGTCTGGCTGCCCTCAGGTGCGCCACACGAGGCAATCGTTTCAAGTGCGCGGCGCCGGCCGGTTACTCAGCCTCAGGGGGTACTCTAGAGGTGTACTGGCGGCGTGCGGAGGAATATGGCCCCGAGCCCCAGGAGGTATGCCTGGACTGTGTACTGACACCGGTGAATTGCGAATTTAGCGAGAAGTAATTATGGGTGGGGGCCGCAATCGCCGAGTCCCGGTACGGTGGGCCTCTGCGGTGACTTCTGCGGTGGGCCGAGCCACTATAATTTTGCTCTCGTGTGATAACTTGCAGTTCTCTTACTTGCGGACCCCTGGGTGTGTATTCAGGTCGCCAAGCAGTCATAAAGCAGTTCGCATTGACGCGACCCCGTGATTTTATGAAGAGTGCCAAGATCAACGAAACACCCGACATTGGACGACGCTTTGGCGTGCCTGGAGCTTAATTGTTAGCTTAACCCTGGTAACCTTCAACACCATCTCGGTAATTTTGCTCGCTTTTGGGTGCATTCTCTGCTTATCTCACGGGGATTGTTAATTTGCCACTACCAAGCTAGCAGCAAAGATCCAGGAGAGACTCAGAAATGGGGTTCTCCTGTCGCTGTGCGAATCTATCTTAAACGGATACCAGACATCATGCGGAACTGATATGGCAACAGGGGGAGAGGGCGGTGAGTAATCAACAAAATCCGAATCCTTCTTGACAAAGGTCGCGGTTGCTGTTATTGAAATACTCTGACTTGTGCTAGGGACTGTGCTGTGATGGTAATTAATATCAGAAGTACCAAAGCTTATCCGCGCTCCGATAATTTTTGCCTGGGGGTTACCCTGTGCACCGACATATGTCCATATAAACCCTAAATCTCCCGTAGCTCAATGTAGAAGAGATCTAGTACACTCACGGTAGTTCATGCTCGTAATTGCATTTTTGCAACTTCCACTGCGCTCTTGCCAGTCGGCGTCATTGCGAGTCGGACGAGGAAGTTTCAGCCATTGTGAATTGTCACGTGGGTCCGCTGCATTCCCAAAAATTCCAACCTAATGTATTTCTCAGGCTGATGTCTTGTTGTAGAAGGACTTTGGACATCACGCGGTAGTCTGTCATTTCAAAAGCTGCATTGAAAATATGCGATGTATTGAAGTATCGCCTATTTTGTGTACTCTCAAGGGTGATAATATGTATTCTCGCTGTGAACATACGGCAAGCCTTTTCCTGCAGCGTGCGGTCCATTGCCAACCTTGAAGGACAAGCTCAGAGTGACGAATTGTTTGTTAGGCAAAGGGGAGATCTTACGCAAAAGTCACGCAGTTCTGACCGATTTAACTTAAGTAAGCAACCGGAATGAACATTTACGCCAAAAGTTACCTGTGATGTCAACGCTCAGTTAAAGCAATTTATTCAATATCTGTCAAACCATATTGATCTTGTGGTCTGTGCAAGCCTCATCAGCAATAGCGCCAAGCACCCCGAGGTAACCAATCCGATGGGGTATGACGGGGATAGGGCGTCCAAATATATAGCCCGGATTACCTGATTTCATTGACGGAGGAACATCGGCATCACTTCTGAACTGAACGGAATACTCCTGCTGAACGACAACTAGACCATCTTCGTCCGTGACTGCAGCTGGAATGTCAGTCAGCACCTATAACTTCCATACTTGTTTTGTCCATATCGTATGTAACACGCTTGCTTGCAATGGTAGCATTAACTGCCACAATTTGTTGTTTTCCTTTGTTTTGCACGTCCCCGTTGTGATGTATTGTATACTTGATACTAGCAATGGTATTGCGACATGCTGGAGCTGGTGGCCTCCGGGCATCTGCTATTAAGCATGGTGTTGTCGATTCTTCTGAGCTCAGTGCAGATGTAAGGGGCTCCGTGCCACTGTCATAGATAGATTCACAATCTTTGCCCTGGAAAGGACGGCTCAATTCTCCGGTTGTAAAGTTTTGCCAACTCATGTGGTCAACAGCAACCTGTGTGATAAAGGAGTACATAAGAGAAAGAGAGAGTTCGCATGGACTCGTGACTGATGTTGGCACATTTACCCAGTTACTTCCCGCGTCCGACATACTTCCGTGGCTCGTAGTAAAGCTGCTCCCGACACGTAGCTTTGTAGTAAAGCGGCTAATGCCAAGAATACCAATCTGACAAGCTCGGCTCAGGCTCTCGGCGTCGAAAACCCGAATGCACTTGGTTGTTGTGGCCCTATGACATATACTTAAATACGACTTTATTCTATAAACAGCCACTGACGTTGCAAACTGGGCCAGACCATACTCAGAGCACCTATGTTGCCTTGTTTATTTGCTTAGTACCCAAAGAAGACGTGCTCTCCGAGTTGTGTGTTCGTTGGCAATGGAAGACTCCCGGCAAAAGCTGCCACCTGGCCAGCAGATTATGATTTATGATGTAACGAGGCAAAGCATTGACCGCACAGCATGCGCAAACCAAAGCAGAATCTGCTTCAATGCTTGAAAAAACAGCACCAATGGAATCGCCGGAATCGTAGTATCTATCCACTATGACCTGCAACAAATACGTTAGCATCACATCATTGGAAGCCACAACACAATCACAACTGGCAGGCTTGCTTTCCATTGGGAGTAGCCAAGCTCGGTTTGTGCAAGCTCTTTGTCGACGGTACTTGCGCTAAGCAAGTTAGGATCCTAAATGAGTTGTGTTTTGAATATCGCGATCCCGTCTGGATGAACTTTGCTTGAGATGGGCACCTTGTAAAATTTTCTTTGGGAATTCGAGTTGTCATATTGAACGCAGAGCATTCGGTCTACAGAACCTCGCGCGGTGCCTGGGTTGCACAACTAGTCAACTATCCTCCCTTCCCTCATGTTCTGCTTGCACTGAGTTGGTACCTCGCGTCGATAGAGGAAATTTTGGGTTGACCTGATCCACATCCTTTGTTGAATAGCACCTGGGGTCCGCCGCATAATGATTCGACGTAGTCAGTGCTGGCACTGCCGCGCCTGGTTATCTCTCCATTTTGCGTTCCCTCGGGCAGACATGCCTGTATTGCATCAAATCTTTGCCTCTGTGCCTCATCGCACTCCTTATCGCAACAGCAATTGTGGTCACATTCACCTACAAGGTAAATTTACGGTAACGTAGAGCCAGACTGTTTACCAGCGGTCAAATCGCATATGCAAGTGCAGTCAAAGACTTCGCAGTCACTGTCTCCGCGTCCTGTCTCCCAACAATCACAACTTGGCGGCACCCCGCGATTTGTAGCATATGCATCCCCGGAGGAGCTTGTTGCGGGCGGATATTTCGAAGACTGGTAGGTAATTTCAGTCGTTTTCGAGAACATAAAAAACGGCCATTCTACCCTGTACTCTTCACTTAGGTTGCAATCTCGCGTGAGCATACATAGAGCCACCACCCAAATCGTAGACAACCGTTTCGAGCTTTGTTTGATCGGCCCCATCGTACAGTTGCCGGTGCACGCCTCTATAACAATACCGTAGGTACCATGTAGGTACAAATACATATATATCCTTAGCAAGAGAACGCCGTAGCGTTGTATAATGTAGCAAGGGCCCTGGGCTGCCTCGGGAGAGAGTTTCGCGGTACCCGGCGTGAGTATTGGATAAAAGTTGGTCTATCATGATAGAGGCAAAGCCAATAGAACAACTGCGACAGTGCCAGTGTCCGAGTCACGGTATACTCAACTTCAATTCGAACTTGGACTCGGAATCGTAGTAGCCTGAGTGGGAAGATACATCCTTGGGAATAGGCTAGAGGGTTTCCTCTTTCTACTTCCTCTGGGCGGAACGTCCACCTCAGGCTATTCTGCCCGGGGCCCTGGGGCCACGGCGCCATGACTAGTACTAACCTCAGGCTGGGTCACGATACCGTATGACCGTATAGCACTGCGGCGGCACTGGGCCCGGGTCTCCGAGTTCGGGTCCGAGTGCGACGTCTGTAATTATAGGACGGTGAATACCTGCGAATGAGGCAAGAACCAAAGGGGTACCACGCACCTTCAAGTTCGAGTTTCGGAGTCACGGTGCAGCGGCTGAGACGGTCCGCCGGAGAGTTCAAGTTACTAGTACCCTTCCGAGTCCGAGTCAAGTTCGAGTTAAGAATATGCGGCTCTTCTCAGGCTCAGGCTCGGGCTCCTTGAGATACTCCAGTACTAGTGCTCCCCGGGCTCTCTTTGGTTACAATTACCGAAGTACATGTACCGCAGGTACATGTACCTACGATACCTACCAGCTTGAGTACCGTAGGTACGTTCCCAGCGCACTTGTGTTGCTCTCAATGTCCTCTCCGAAGATACGTTGGAACAAGCCTCGTTGTCACCCGAGTGACAGTGAGACAAAAAATGTCCCATGCGCACGCTCGGGTCACACCTTGTCGGTGATTGGCAACACTGGATTCCTGTTCGGTGGGCTGAGTGCAGGCTTGCATGACAAAATAGCACGGCCACTCAATGAATTACACATTCTTAAAATGGGTAGCTCAGAATTCGAGTGGTGCCTACTAGAGCTTGCTGATGGGCAAAAGCCTTTGGCAAGGTGGCGTCATTCTGCCAGCATCTATGACGGCACCCAAATCATTATTTTTGGAGGATACTATACAGCCTCTCTCCGTCTGTCAGATGTGTGGGTGTTCGACACTGTCGCCATGGAGTGGCAGCAGCCGCATTTTGATCAAGATCCTGGTTTTATCGCTAATGGTAGTCATCCTGCATCAAGCACTTGGCCAGGTCTTCCTGCCCCTCGTGGAGGTCATTCTGCAACTCTTATTGGGCATTCAATGTTCATATTTGGCGGTTATGGCGGCCACGGTTCAATTTGGCGTCTGTTCTTTCTGTTCTTTGCTGCAATATACTTAATCGCTTCCGTGCCGCAGGTTACGCAAGACGTGACCTTGATGATCTTCACTGCCTTGATGTTCGAGCGTGGACATGGTCGCGGGTTATTGCGAAGGGACGGTGCCCAGAGCGGCGCTCTGGCCACCAATCCTGTGCGGTTGAAGCATCATTGTTCATTCTGGGGGGCTGGAATGCATCACAACAGTTTGATGATCTTTTCATAATGGAAACTAAGCTGAATCCACCAGTATGGTCTTGTGTTGAAGGCTCTTTCTCGGCGCCGCGATGGAATTTCGCAGCCTGCTCTGTAATGGCGATTCCTGCTTGGAAAGTGTTTGTCTATGGCGGTCTTGAGGGAGAGTTAGATGGTGATAACAATAGACAAGGTGTGCTTTGTGGGGATATCACTGTTTTAGATGCGGGCCTTAATCGCTGGACCTGTCCTTTAATTGATGGTCATGTCCAACCCAAAGCCCGTGCAGACTCAGTCCTCGTCTATGACAGCAAGTCTTCCAGGCTCATCCTTTTTGGTGGATGGGCAAACGAGTGGCTAGGAGACATATTTACGCTTGATGTGGCACACTTAGTAGGTCCCCCATATGCAATCATGGATCTTTATCCTCAAACTGGGCCAATTACTGGCTCAACCGCTTTGCAAATCACCGGAATTGACTTTGTCAACACGAAAGACGTTGTCGTTCGTTTTTCTTCTCAGTTTGGCACAGTTGATGTGCATGGAGAATTTCTCAGCAGCACGCAATTGGTCTGCACAGCACCAGACTTCAGTGCTTACCCTGCAGGTGCAGTTGATGTACGGGTTGCTCTAAATGGCGACAGCTTTACCACGACATCTCAAGTTTATACATTTTTTGCTGTAACTAGTGCGCAGAATTCTCTCATATTTGGCCCAGGGCTTTTAAATGGCGGAGCTTGCAACGAAGAGACCATGTTTATTATCCAGGCCAAGGACAACTTAAATTGCAATCGTACAACGGGAGGCGATGAATTCATCGCGAGTATCAACCTTTTGGGCGGTGGTGAGAATGGTGAAGATGTGCAGCTTCGCAATGGCGTAGAAGTACGCGACAATGATGATGGAACCTACTATGTCGGTTTTACAGCTCCTTCTCCCGGAACTTATATGGTAGCGGTTGAATTTTTAGGCACGTTTGGCGGCTCCCCGGGGCAGGTACGAGGGAGTCAGGTTAGTGTACATTTTGAGGAATTTGTCCCGAGATCGAATAATGCAATGACAGGAAAGCTCGTTTCCTTGGCCGTGCAACAGGACATCCAAACTCTAGCGGCGTTCTGCAAGTCAGTTGCCACTGGTATCCAAGCAAAGCCTAGTGACAATGGCTGGACAGACTTACAGAATCAAGCAGCATTAGTATCTGTAAAAGAGCACCTAAATATGATCCAGGAAATGAAGCAAGAAATTGATCTTTTATTTGACCGTCTCGAATGCATTCTATCGCATCATAAAATGCAAGGTATCAATATTGGGCCACAAGAAAAACTAGTAGAATCGTACCGCACTTCTTGGGAAGCCTCACAGCGTGCAGCCCCGAGCATATTTCTCAAAATAGCTCCACTTGTTAAGGCTGAAGGCACTAGAACAAAGGGCGAGTTGCTGGACTATGAAGCTCGGGTGCGTGAATTCCAAAAAAGTGTTGAGTCTGCACCTTTTGTACTCTATGAAACAGGGACTTTCAAGGCTATGGAGCTTCTTTCTTTGATGATTGCTGCTTATGAGGAAGAAGAAGAGCGCTGCAAAAAAATGATTCACCTCTCAAAAATGTTTGAATGTCCAGCTGATGTAGCTACATCCAGGGACTTGCTTTCTTCTGCCGGGAGAATGCTGAAGAGTTATCAGGAGGTTTGGGCATGTGCGAGAGAATGTGATACTTATATTGAAGAAGCTGGCAATCTTCTTTGGGATGACCTAGACGCAGATGGACTTGAGGAGAACGCAAGATTAATACTGACAAAGGTAAAGCAGCATCCTGCCTCTGTAAAGCAGTCGGATGCATATCTTGGCCTTGAGCGTACAGCAAAGGAATTTCTGATGACATGCCCGGTGATTTCTAGTTTACGACAACAAACTATGCGTGATCGTCACTGGGACGAGATAAGAAAGATCACCGTGGTAAGCACCGTACTGGGACAACCTAGTGCTTTCCATGGGATGCGGTTAGCGGATGTTTTGAGCTTAAAGCTCCACCTGCACATAGCCGCTATTGTCGACGTTACTGACAAAGCCTCGCGTGAAGCAGCACATGAAGAAACACTACGGGCTCTTTCTATAACCTGGGATAATGTAGACTTTCGGGTGGTGTACTACAAAGACACTGATGTGCCTTTGTTGAAGATGACAGAAGATGATGTCGATCAATTAGAGGCTGACCAGCTTACGTTGCAGAGTATGGTCGCAAGCCGCTACGATCACTTCAGAGCACAAGCAATGGAATGGCAACGCGCACTAGTTGCAGTTTCTGAAGTTGTGCAAATGCTATCCGACATACAACGCACGTGGTCCTACCTAGAGCCACTATTTATAGGATCAGATGAAGTGAGGCGGGAACTTCCCGAAGATGCAATGCGATTTACTATGATTGATGAGCAAGTTAGAAAAACATTAAAGACAATGGCTGATGTTAAAAATGTCAAACAAGCATCTCAATATCGAGGGCTTATAGAGCGTCTTGACAGTATTAATTCAGACCAGGACCTTTGCAAAAAGGCACTTGCAGACTTCCTGGCAGGGAAGCGTTGCAAATTCCCCCGGTCAGCACTCTCAGTGTCGTCGATCACACGATCACACGATCACACGATCACACCTGATGTATAGGTTCTACTTCACAAGCAGCCACCCACGTCCATTGTTTCAGCCCAATCATAAGGAATATAATTCTTACAGGTGAAGCGGACCTTTTGGATATTCTTTCAAATGGGTCCTGCCCAGCAAAGGTTATGCGCCACATCAATAAAGTTCTTCTTGCAACAGCTAGCTTGCGTCTTGAAAGCTCGTCTGCAAGCAAGCCACGTGCAATTAGTTTTATATCCGGCGTGGGCGAAGAGCAAGTGGATTTTGAGCCAGCCGTATCCTTGGAGGGCAAAGTAGAATTTTACATGCACACGATTCTCACTGCTCAGCGAGACACATTACAAAAGAACCTTGAGAGATCCCAAAAACGTTACCCTCTGAGACCAAGAGCAGAGTGGTTACTGGAATCAAATCCAGCTGGTTACTCACTAGATCCGGCACAGATTGCAATATTGGTTGCAAGTATTCAATCGGTCATGGTAATCGAAGGAGCCATGGACAATAATACACTTGTACTATACTCTGATCGACAGAAGCAAGATCTCATCGATCTAGTCAGGCTGACACAAACAAACCTGAAGGGTAGCGAGCGACAACGCGTGATGTGCCTAATTACAATGGATGCACACACGCGCGACATACTTGGTAAATTAATCAAAGAAGTCTCCGTTGACAAAAATGATTTTCAATGGCAGTCACAACTCAAGCACCGTTTTATTGAGAAAGAAGAAGCTGGCCTAGTGGTTGCTTTGACAGAGATACATGTTTGTGATGCTCGTGCGGATTGAGCCTCCTGGCACCCGAGTCTTTTCAGGCCTTGAAACTGTATATATTCCTTTGCTTGTGTTAGGATTTAGCTATGGTCTGGAATATCTCGGAAATGGTCCCCGCCTTGTCGTTACTCCGCTTACAGACCGGTTTTATGTCACTGCGACGCAAGCACTCCATCTAAAAATGGGTTGTGCACCCGCGGGTCCTGCCGGGACCGGTTTTCAAGATTAGTGTTTTATTCGAGTTGGTAATTGAGTGCAAATCTATCAATCACTAGGCAAAACAGAGACAACGAAGGATCTTGCATCTGCGTTAGGAAAATGTTGCTACGTATTCAATTGTCAAATGACAGTGCCTATGTCAATTGTCGATTATCCACGTGTTTATCTGAAAACCCAGGTTCTCCGGAAATGGACTTCCAATCACTAGGCAACATTTTCAAGGGATTGGCTGCAAGTGGCTCGTGGGGCTGCTTTGATGAGTTCAATCGACTCATTCCTGCGGTTCTTTCTGTGTGCACTGTTCAGTTTAAGGCTGTCTGCGAGGGCAACGCTCGCTTCGAGCACAATGAAGTCACCACTCACGTCATCTTGATTGAGGGTGACCAGGTCGACCTAGATCCGACTTGCGGCGCATTTATTACAATGAACCCGGTAAGAAATCATACATTTCTACTGGCGGTGAGGACTTCACGTGGCAGGGATATTTGGGGCGCTCGGAACTGCCTGAGGGTCTCAAAGCTTTATTCCGCCCCATGACTGTAATGGTGCGTGCGTGTCCTTGCGAAACCCCCACGCCAAATTTTTGAGTTCTAGGTGCCAGATCTAGTGTTGATATGTAGAGAATTCGCGTCTATATTCAAGTTATGGCTTTCTTACATCTGATACTATCCTTCTCCAGGCGAAAACATGCTCATGGCCGAGGGATACGTAAGTGCTCGAAGCTTAGCATCAAAATTCTATGGGCTATATTCATTGCTGCGTGATTTACTTTCGAAGCAGTCGTATTACCTACATTGTTGTCCTATGCACATTAGCACAACAAATTCAACTTGATAGGCATTATGACTGGGGTCTGCGCGCTGTGAAATCAGTCCTTGTCGTTGCAGGGCAGCTTAAAAGGGCCGAGCCAGAGCTGCCAGAAGATCAATTGTTGATGCGTGCCCTTAGGGATTTTAACATCCCTAAAATTGTCCAACAAGACGAAATCGTGTTTTTTGGTGCGTGATGTGCTTTGTATTTCATGCTCAAGCTCAGCAAAAACAGGTCTGCTTAATGACTTATTTCCCGGTGTCAATCCACCACGAGTAGTAGACTCGAGCCTTGCCACTTCAATCATCAAAGCCATCGAAGAATCTGATCTTTGGCCTGATGAACATTTTACTCTCAAAGTTGCGCAGCTCGACGAACTGTTGGCGATCCGGCATTGTGTTTTTGTCATGGGCCCTGCAGGTGCTGGGAAATCAGTGACATGGAAGATGCTGGCCCGCGCACGTGACGATAAAGACCCACAGCAAAAAGTTTATATTGCACATCTAAATCCTAAGGTGATTCCAACTGAAGTTTTATATGGTCACATCATGCTTCAATCACGTGAATGGAAAGATGGACTGTTGAGTTCAATTATGCGAGACCTTGGACAACTTGAAGATGACAAACCCAAATGGTACGTGCACTCTCCCATTTAATCACAATCATACGCCCCCAGGATAGTGCTTGATGGTAAGTGAATCACTCGTCTGACCTTCCCGCCCCCCTTCGCTGCAAAGAGCTATCAAGATGCGCCCCACGCCCCCTTTATCAGACGTGAGGTAGCATTGTGTTTTAAGGTGATCTTGATGCAAATTGGATTGAGTCAATGAACTCCGTATCAGCCAGTGTCCACCTTGAGTGTAGTATGCACTAAAATATTATTCGCCACTGCAGGTAATGGACGACAATAGAATGCTTACCCTAGCGTCCAATGAACGTATTCCCCTGAAGCCATGTATGCGGATGTTGTTTGAAATCCGTGACCTTTGTTTTGCCACACCAGCAACAGTAAGCCGGGCAGGGATTATTTACATAAGTTCCGACGACGGGAATCTGTGGCATTCAATGATAGCCTCATGGGTACAGTCACAGCCGGATGAAGTTTATTCGGCACAAAGCAAGTCGGCGAGATGCGACGTTGATTTTGGTCTTGATCCTTGAGACACATCTTCTTTACAATCAGGTATTAAGCGACCTTTTCCAGAAGTATGTTTTGCCAAGCTTGAAGTACTTGCGTGACAACTCAAAAGCAGTCGTCCCTATTGTGGACATGGCGTTAGTCTCAGGACTTTTGAAAATGCTAGAAGGCGCAATTGTTGCTGAGACCGCCAACGACCGATTCAAATTAGAAATGGTTTTTGTTTTCTGCGCTATCTGGGCATTTGGATCTGCACTTACTTTGTCAGATGACGGTCACGACAATCAGGCGGATTTTAGTGAGTGGTGGAAATCTCAATTCAAACAAGTGCGTTTGCCAACACGCGATACTGTGTTTGACTACTGGCTTGATCCAATCTCGAATAAATTCGAACCATGGCGACAGAACCCTTCATTTCATGCAGTAAATTTTGACTCGCGTACAGCTAAAATGAATGAGGTCACAGTTCCCACAACTGAAACAGCCAGTATTTGTCATTGGATCAACCTTCTCGTTCAGTGCCGCCAACCTGTGCTGCTTGCTGGGCCTAGTGGTCGACCATGAGATGCTAAGCTAGGCAAAAGAGAGTCTATTTCTTCTGGCCATTGCTGTGGTGCACACTTCTTCGTTCAGGTACTGGGAAAACGCAACTCGTCACCGGCATACTGCGCGAATTACTTCCTACTGAGTTTTCGAGTGTGGGCATCAATATGAATTATTACAGCACGGCAACCATTCTAATCGGCTCATTGGAGGCGCCACTTCAGAAAAGAACCGGGTCAACATATGGAGCTCCTGGCTCAACTCGACTAATATATTTTATTGGTGCGTGCTGGTTTCATTTGATACCAATGCCATTCATTGTGTGTAGATGACTTAAACCTACCGTGCGAACCACTGCCGCGAAGAATACTCACCTTTTTCTGTTGTCGAGTGGGAAAGTAGTCGCTGGGGTGGTAAGCACCGCATGGTACTACACTGCTAGGCAGCTAGATAAATACAATACACAATCTGCAATTGCCCTGATGCGCCAACACCTGGACTATGCCGGCTGGTATGATCCAGTCAAGCTCACCCTCAAGAGTGTAATTGATTGTCAATACATGGCATGCATGAACCCAACGGCCGGATCCTTTTTAGTCAATCCGCGTCTTCAACGGCACTTCTCAACTTTTGCCGTTGGCATGCCAAGCGCCACCAGTCTGTTGACAATATTTCAGACCTTCCTGGATGGACACTTTCAAGCTGAGCAATTCCCAGCCAATGTGTGCAATCAAGTATCAAATCTCATCAAGGGGGCACTTGCATTACATAAAGAGGTACATGATACTTTTCGTAAGACGGCGTCAAATTTTCATTATGAGTGCAATCCAGTGTCATCACGTATTATCTGGGCCACACTACTTTATGGTCTGCTCTTCACAGGTTCAATGTGTGCGCATCGGTGTCCAGACGAGTTTCCCGCGGCAGCATGAACACACAGACGTCACCTGGCAAGCGTCTTTGGAGGTCTGTTACTCGCTCGCTCCCATGTTGCGCAATTTACTATACCAGATAGTATTGTATTTCTCTGGATCCATGAATCTGAGCGAACTTACGGCGATAGACTTGTCTGCGAATCAGATGTCTTGCGATTTCGGGCAATCCTTCAAAGCACGGCCAAAAAGGCATTCCCAGCAGTAGGAACAGCCCACCTCTGGGGAGATCATGCTACAACTCCCCTATGCTTTTCTCATTTCCGCGACGTCGCCACCCTTGATTCTCCAGCATACGGGCTAGTAGAAGATATTGATGCACTACGGAACTGTTTTGAGCGGGTCCTCCGCGATTATAACGAGTTTCATCCTGCTATGGATCTTGTTTTGTTTAGAGACGCGCTCTTACACGTGGCGCGAATCACGCGAACCATATTTCAGCCCGGGGGGCACATTCTTCTAGTTGGTGTGGGTGGAAGTGGCAAGCAAAGTCTTGCGCGCCTATCTACTCACATATGTGGCCATGCGTTGGTGCGCATATGCATAACCTCAAGTTATGGACTTGGGGACTTTAGATTGGATCTGCAAAGCATGCTCACTCGTTCTGGCACAAAACCGGAGGGCATCGTCTTCTTATTCACAGACTCTCAGATAATCGACGAAAAGTTTTTGGTTTATCTTAATGACCTACTCGCTGGGAGTATTCCTGATTTATTTAGCAAAGACGAACGAGATAACTTGGCATCAATGGTGGAGGGTAAAGCGAAAGCAGCGGGCCTTCCCGCAGACACTGCATCATGTTGGGAGTATTTCTTAACACAAGTTCGAGCCAACCTTCATGTTGCTGTGTGCTTCTCTCCAGTTGGCCCTGATTTTGGGACCTATGCAAAGCGTTTCCCAGCACTCATTTCTGGAACCACAATCGATTGGTTTCAACCCTGGCCGAACGATGCTTTGGAATCTGTAGCTGAGAAGCAGCTAAGCGATGTAGAATTCAAATCACCTGCCCTGCGATCTGCAATTGAGAGATTTATGCCTCTGAGCTTTGAAATGGCAACTAAGGCGGCTGTGCGCTACAAAAGAGAAGAGGGCAGATTTGTTTACTTAACGCCAAAGAGTTATCTTGAAATGCTTGCCTTGTACCGCACACTTCTATTGCGTCGGCGTGAAGAGAACGAGACCGCAACTATGCGCTTGGAAAACGGAATATCACGCTTACGAGAAGCAGCTTCCGCCGTCGGAACACTTGAGCTGGAATTAACAGCAATGGTACAAGCAGCTGATGAAAAACGAGAGCACAGTGAGGCTATCGCTGCGAGGGTGGCATCTGAAAAGATGATTGTGGAGCGAGAGACAGATAAGGCAAATAGCGAGGCTGCGAAAGTGGCCAACATTCAAGGAGAAGTGCAGCTCCAGAACGAAGATGCCGAGCGTGACTTGCTTGCTGCTGAGCCTGCAATTCGAGCTGCCACCGCAGCTCTTGATACATTAGATCGACGAGACCTAGGTAGCTGCAAGACAATGGCCACCCCGCCGAGCGGCGTTGAAGATGTTTTTAGTGCAGTCTGCGTGCTGTTGGCTGGGATAAACCCAGCAATTGCCGTCCAGCGCAATGGCAAGGTGAAAAAGGAGGGTCGCAGTTGGGATGCGTGTAAAAAGTCACTGCTCGGTAATATCAATGGCCTAGTTGACGAACTGAAGCAGTATAAAGCTCTTATAGATAAAGAATGTGTCCCAAAAATTAATTTTAATGAGGTAAGACCATACCTGCAGATGGACCACTTCAATGAAGATGCAATGAACAAAAAAAACTCAGCGGCAGCAGGCCTGGTAAAGTGGGTTGAGAATATTGTTCGTTATTATGACATCTGGCAAGATGTGGAGCCTAAGCGTATCAAAGTTGTTGAGTCAACACGCCAGCTAGAAGCAGCTAACTCAGAGCTAGCTGTGGTGCGCGGAAGAGTCAATGAACTCCAGGCACAACTGCGACAACTTACTTCTGAATTTGAGCAAGCTGAAAAAATTAAAAGAGAAGCAGTAGATATTGCAGAAAAGGGCCAACTTAAGCTCGAATTAGCCCAGCGCTTGATCAATGCTCTGGGCTCTGAGGAAGTAAGATGGGTAAAAGGCGTGGAGCGATTTCGTTTCGAACGAGACCCACTGGTTGGAGATGCTCTTGTGGCGGCTGCATTTATTTCGTTCCTTCCAGAGTCTCATGTTTTTCTTTGCGTGAATTAGGAAGCCCAAGCGTGACTTGCATTTCAGGTATTGTAGTTTGCGGTGCACTGAGTATTATTGTTTTTGCCAGCAGCAAAAAAAGTGACTTTTGAAATCAACTTCACTTTGTCAGACCCGCATCACCACACACAATTTTCACTTCGTGCGATACATCGCATTCATCAGTATACTTTAGGTGGCCCATTCAACAAAAAGTTTCGAGATGAACTTCTCCTCGAATCGTACATACCGTATCTACAAGTAGCTGTAGCAGGCAATTCTGTGCCCATGCGCCAACTCGATGCTACAACAACAGTTGTGACCTTAATTGCCACTGAAGCGGACGTCGCAGGCTGGAATTCCCAGGGACTCCCCCGTGATCCGGTCTCCTCCGAGAACGGTGCTATCGTCACTGCCTCAACGCGCTGGCCACTAATGATTGACCCGCAGCTCCAGGGGGTAGCCTGGGTCAAGGCACGGGAATCTGGGCGTTTGCAGGTACAGAGACTTGGACAGACAGAGTTGATACCTGGGCTGCGATCAGCTATGGCTGGAGGTACTACTATTCTTATTGAAAATATTGGAGAGCAAATCGACGCAGTCCTGCTGCCCCTCCTGCAACGCGCGATCTTGACAAAGAGAGACCATCAATATATTGCCCTCGGCGATGATGAGGTAGAATATTCTCCAGGCTTTCGACTTGTCCTACACACAAAACTCTCAAATCCGCCAAACCAGCGCATTATAATTTCCCTCGTAACCACGTCATTGTATCCAAATGGCATTTAGGCACTATCCTCCAGAGTTGCAGGCCGAACTGACGCTTGTAAATTTTACGGTTACACCCCTTGGGCTGGAAGACCAATTGTTAAGCCTTGTAATCAGGAAGGAACGCCCAGACCTGGCAGCCAGGAAAGCAGCTGTGATCCACCAAGCGAATGAATTTAAGGTCAGAATCAAACAACTTGAGGATGACATTCTAGTGAAATTAAGTACAGCAGAAGGTGACATTACAGAAGACCGCGCGCTCATTGAAGGATTAGAGAGCGCCAAGCAACAGAGCCTGGACGCATCGGCAAGACTCAGTGAAGGGAAGGAGATCAGCACTTCCATCAACAAGACTGCAGAAAGATACCGAATGGTAGCAAAGCGAGGAGCCACGATTTTTTTTCTGATGAATTCCCTACACTGCATCCACACGTAATTTGGACCTGATACTTCACTACCGCGATCGCGTGTAAAATAGGTACTACATTTACAGCTTGAATTCATTTGTGGTTATGTTTCTGCATGGCATTGAACTAGTGCATGATACAGAGCGCAAAGCCAAAGCACCTAAGAAACCCAAAACCATGCTTTCTAAATTAAAATCAGTGACTGCCAAGATCATTCAAATGCAACGATTCAATTGGAATGAGGATCTACTCCATCAATCTTTTCTTGCAGGAAAACAGGATTTCCTTTCACTCAGCACACGAGCACTTGAGAAGAAGACCGCGGAAGAAAAGAATGACGTTTCAGAGGAGGACTTCAATCATAGATGCTTGAGTCTTACAGCTTCGATCACGTCGGTTCTTTTCAGGTACATAGAACGTGGAATTTTTGCTCGTGACCTGCTTACAGTGGCAACACTTCTTTCATTCGCAGTAGCCGAAGCTTCAGATACGCTCGAACATTCTTTATTTCTTTGTTTGCTTTCGCCCGTCAAAGCCCAAGGGGGAGCTGCTGGAGGCATGACTGAAGATGTGGGCGCTTGGTTACCAGTATTGGTTTGGTCACAAATCAAGGGATTGGAGAAAGGGGCTGTCGAAAATATTGGATTGGTTGCATTTGAAGGGCTGGGGGATCAAGTGAATAGTGATCCAGATGGATGGCACAAATGGTATGAGCATCCAAAACCAGAAACGCAGCCACCACCAGGGGGTTTAAAGTCTATTACTGGGATCTCTATGCTAATTTTACTACGAACTATGCGGGCTGACAGAATCCCAGCTGGACTACAAGCCTATGTTGCATCTATGCTAGGCCCCGCTTTTTCTGAGCCACTGCCTTTTAACATGCTGGACACATACACAGAAAGTTCGGCCTCGACTCCAATTTTTTTCGTGCTTTTCCCCGGTGTAGACCCTACACCCTGGGTGGAGTTGCTGGGGTCAAAGTTTGATGTCAACTTGCGGAAAGGGACACTCAGAAACATTTCTATGGGCCAAGGACAAGAATCACCCGCGGAAGCAACGCTTGATGTGATGGCAAAGCAGGGAGGTTGGATCATGCTTCAGAACATACAGCTGATGGAATCGTGGCTGCGCAGATTAGAACGCAAGCTCGAACTGGCCAGCGAAGCAGCTGCGATGAATTTTCGTTGTTTTCTTAGCGCAGAGCCTCCGCCGCTCCCACATCTCTGTAACATCCCTGAAAGTCTCTTACAGACTTGTATCAAAGTGGCAAATGAAGCACCAGCAGACTTCAAGTCAAATCTGCAACGTGCATGGGCCTGTTTTTGTCAAGAGCAGCTGGATGATTGCAATCATGCAACGGAATTCAAAAAATGTCTTTTTGGTCTATGCTTTTTTCATGCCCTGATACTTGGCCGCCGTCGATTTGGTCAACAAGGCTGGAGTCGTGCATATGGATTCAACACAGGGGACTTGAAAATATGCGCAAATGTACTAACAAGCTATCTGGATGCGGCACCCGAACACGCAGAGGGGGGAGGTGTCTTGGTTCCGTGGGACGATCTTCGTTACATATTTGGTGAAATTATGTATGGAGGACATATAACAGATTTTTGGGATCGTAGAACAAATGTTTCATACCTGCAGTTTTTTTTTAACCAGAAACTCTTGGAGTCAGGAAAACATCTTGCCCCAGGATTTCCACTGCCAAATGGCAACTTAGATCACCAAGAATACGCCACTTACATTGAAAAAGCGCTCCCCATAGAAACACCTGTCGTTTTTGGCCTTCATCCTAACGCGGAAATCGGATACTTGACATCTACAGGCGAACAAATTTTGGGGACTGTGCTACGCTTGCGCAAAGGCGGAACTTCAATCCCGGATGGGAGTATTGCAGTTGGGGGTGTGCGTGAGATCCTGGATTCACTAGTAAAAAGACAACCAAAATGCTTTAATCTAATATTGACTCATGAAAAAGCCAAGCCACTTTTGACCAAATCGGTTGCCCCCTACGTTGTTGTTGCCACTCAAGAGGCCACGCGAATGAATCTTCTTGTTGAAGAAATTTCTCGTAGTCTTGGCGAGTTGCACAAAGGCTTAAATGGCCAATTGAATATGTCCCAACAGATGGAAGACCTATCCACGGCATTGTCGCTTAATGAGGTCCCAGGCCGCAATCCATTTCACTTAGCATCTTGGGAAAAGTTTGCTTGGCCCAGCAGAAAAAATCTTCAGCATTGGTTTTGTGATTTAGAGCGGCGCATCGAGCAACTCGTGAATTGGGAAGAGAGACTTGAATTACCTCGGTCTTTGTGGATGAGTCTGTTCAACCCCATGGCATTTCTCACAGCTGTACAGCAGGTTGTGGCTCGAAAGCGAAGTCTGCCGCTTGATAATATGACTATTTCCACCGACGTCACGATATATCGTCGCCCGGAAGACCTCAACTCCTTGATAAACGAGCCATCAGATGGCGCTTTTATTCACGGACTATTCATGCAAGGCGCACGATGGATGACAGTCGAGGAAGCAAGCGCAGCAAATCAAACTAGGCTAACTTCTGGTGTAAAATGTGCCGGTGTCATAGTCGACAGTCATGCCAAAGATCTCCTGCCTCCGATGCCCGTTTTGTATGTCAAAGCGGTCTCTGTTGAAGCAGAATGGGAACCCACGTCAATCGGTTATCTACGTCCAAACATGTACAATTGCCCATGTTATTATACTAGTTTCCGTGGTCCCACGTATGTATTTCTTGCCACTTTGGACACAGAAGAACCCGCCACTAAGTGGATCAATGCCGGTGTAGCTTTGTTGTTGAGCTCAGACGATCACCTCTAGAATTTTTGGTGAACTATCGCTCATCCATCTTCCTAGGTTCAAAGTTAGACATTACTATAGTCTTATTCTTTCAGGTGGTCTGGCGGCGTGGACGAAGACCGCGCGGCAAGATGCGCCGGACCCTAGGCTTCGATCTCAAGTCTGCTTGTTCACAGTATGCTCACCTACCAGCAATCATGACACCAAATGCTCTGCTCTCACCGTGACTAGCCGCTGCCTGAGGCCCCGGGCCCGGCTAGGGGTGGGGACCGGCAGTGCTGGTAGATTAAGGGTAGGTCACATCCCACGTCGGGTAGTTTAACATATCCCGTCCGACGGGATATGTTATACGGTTGGTAGCGCTTACTACCAACAAGCTAGGTTGCCATTAACCGGTTAATAACCGGTAATTTACCCATTATTACTCCTCGGAGGGGATCTGGGGTAAATAACCCGCTCAATTACCCGACGGGTTTTCGACTAAACCCGTTTAGTGAGATTAGCGAAAGTCCCCTCCCGGACGAGCGGATGGGCGCAAGCAGCCCGTTGAGCTTTTGTATACGTACAGGTGCGCCAAGGCAAGTACCAAGTCATGTGGCCCGGCGCGGCCGCCCAGGCCCGCGCCAGTGGCCCTTGAGGCCCCCTCCCCTACCCCTCTATAAGATCCTGAGGTAAATAACCCGTATTAACCGGTAATTACCCGGGTCACGGTAATTACCCCCGGACGGCGCCTGGGGTAATAACCCCTCAGTTAAATGCCAACCTAGGTTTCCTGCCGCATCAGGCGACCTATCTGGCAGCCCATCGGGTACCCGGCCGCGCCTACGTATCCGCCCCACGCCATAGGTTCCCAAGCCCCCCTGGGAGACCAAATTACCAGCATAGAAGCGAGTTTTGATTTTTCAGTCCAGAGGTCCCCGAAATACCCGCACGTTAGGCCCCAGATGGGCAACTTCGCGACCGCGTCTCGCCGCGAAAGTGACCCCTTCCCCCCAGCCCGGTCAGGGGGCGTACAAAGGGACTCTTTGGGACCCCTTAGCCAAAATCGCGCTTGGACAAGTGGCTGGGAACTCGAATCTCAAATTTGGGGTCCGCCCCCGTATGACTCGGAGGGGTCCACATTTTGCTTCTAAAGGACACGAGACGCGGGGTATGGGGTTCAAGATGCCACCGTCGGGGTTCGTGTCTTAGGGAGGGTGGTGGGGGGGGGGTGCTGCACCCCAATGCAGCCGCCGCGGAGGCGGCACCGCGGGTATACAAGCTCGCATTTCGCGTCGGCTCCGCGGCTCTAGGGGCGGCCTAGCACCATGCAAAGCAAATAAATAAATTAGAAATCGAGGACGGAGAGGTAGAGCTCCACATCACGCAGCTTAGCACCCTTCTACCCTCTAGTGTTACAGAATTTATTATTGCTTCGACGCTCCGCGCGGCCGGAAACAAGCACGAAATGGACGGACAGGGCCATCGCGTGTGATAATATCGTCAGAGCTCGTCGAGCGAGCGAAACTGCGCGCCGCGCGACGGAAAGACGAGCTCCGCGCCGCCGGCCAGGAGCATCAGCGCGACGGCCGCCGCGAGGCTACCCCTGAGCGCGCGCCGCGCCGCGCAGGAGACGGCGCGCGGCCGGCCCGCTGCCTCGAAGAGCCACGCGGCGTCGGGTTCGGGTTCGGGTTCGGGTTCGGGTTTTACACGGCGCGCGACCCCCTAGTCGCTCCCGCTCCTCCGGGACCCATCCGTCGGGCTAGGACAGAGTAAGGTGGTCGCACGGACCTCCCGTCCAGAGCTCGCGGGTTTCTACGTCGACAGCTGGCCATTGTGGTCTGCCGTCGTCAGTATTCTTGCTTTTAAACCTTTAGCAGCGCAACGAAGCTGGAAATATAGTAACGTAGGTAGGCTGGAATCTGCTAAAGATGGACATCACGCAAGAGGTATTCTATATAAATTTTGAGCGTATATTAGCGACGATATTCTACGTGCTAGGACGCTTGGACTGTGATCAGTGCATATTTCGCGGAGAAGGGCCTTGTGCGTCAACAACTAGATTCGTTCGATGAGTTCATACAAAACACGATGCAAGAATTGGTGGATGATAGTGGTGAATTGCACGTGGAACCAGAGGCACAATACCTGCCTGGCCAGAAGTCATTGCATCGAAATAAGTTTACGGTGGTATTCAATCAAGTTTACGTCTCAAAACCAACAGCAACTGAACGGGATGGGACTACAAGTAACATGTTCCCTCACGAAGCACGACTGCGCAATATGACATACTCGTCACCCATATATGTTGATATTAGCTGTATTGAACCAGAATCGACAGCTACACTGCACCAAGGCTGCCAGGCAGAACTTTACATAGAAAATGACTGGTATCCTTGCGTAGTTGATGAACTCAAGTCTGGGCGTGCAAACGTTACCTATGAAACTGCCGGGCCACTCCAAGACAGCGATAAAGTGGTAATTGTCAAAGAAAGCGACGTAGAAGTTTCTAGCCGCATACGGTTACCGAGTGGCCTAGCTAAGGCACATAGAACAGATTCTCCAAAGGAGTTTTTGGGCTATGTTCCAATCATGTTGCGTAGTCGTTTCTGTGTTCTTGCTGATAAATCCGACAGGGAACTCTGTGAGCTTGGCGAATGTGTTTATGATCAAGGGGGCTATTTTATCATCAATGGCTCAGAAAAGGTTGTGGTAGCACAAGAGCGCATGTCTAACAATCACGTGTACTGCTTTAGAAAGAAGCAGCCTCACAAGTAAGCCGCACTACTACTTTACTTTGCTATTTATCTAATATCACCCTTTATAGATACTCATGGGTGGTTGAATGCCGTTCCCATGTTGAACATGGTGCTCGACCAACTAGCACCGTATATATGCAGATGTATAACAAGGCAGGTCGTGGTCAGTCTCAAGGCAATCAAATCAGGATGACATTGCCATATGTTCGCGTAGACATTCCTGTGATCATTGTCTTTCGCGCACTAGGTTTTGTTGCAGACCGGGATATCCTCGAGCACGTTGTTTACGATTTTTCAGATACAGACATGATGGAACGGCTACGGCCATCTCTGGACGAAGCGTTTGTGGTTCAGAATCAAACGATTGCCCTTGACTTCATTGGGCGCAGAGGAAGTGCCACGAACATTGGACGCTCTAAGCGTGTACAGTATGCAAAAGAATTACTACAAAAGGAAGTTTTGCCACATGTTGGTACAGAAGAGCAATCGGACACGAAGAAGGCTTTTTTTGTTGGCTACATAGTACACAAGTTGCTCATGTGTTCACTCGAGCGCATTGATGAAGATGATCGTGATCATTACGGCAAGAAGCGGCTGGACCTAGCTGGGCCATTATTGGGTGGCTTATTCCGAATGTTGTTTCGTAAACTTACCAAGGATGTTCTCGCTTACCTACAAAAATGCATTGACGAAGCTCGAGATTTCAATCTAGCGTGCGTTAATTATTCTATATAGTAAATGATTTTATTGATGTTAAAACTCCACAGCTCCGCAATTAAATCTCGACTGATTACCGACGGACTGCGATATTCTTTGGCCACGGGAAATTGGGGCGACAGAAAGGATGCGTCACGTGCTGGAGTTTCGCAAGTGTTGAATCGATTGACCTATGCATCAACTCTCTCTCACCTTCGGCGATTAAATACCCCTCTGGGACGAGAGGGTAAACAGGCGAAGCCAAGGCAGCTACATAACACACATTGGGGGTTTATCTGCCCAGCTGAGACTCCAGAAGGACAGGCAGTTGGTCTCGTAAAGAATTTGGCATTGATGGCATATGTATCAGTAGGTAGCCCTCAAAGTCCTATCCTTGAATTTCTTGAGGAATGGTCGATGGAGAATCTGGAAGAAATTTCACCACAGACAATAGCAGATCCGGGGACGACAAAAATATTTGTTAACGGTAGCTGGATTGGTGTGCATCGTGACCCATGTACGCTTGAGGCTACCTTGAGGTCTCTTCGTCGACAAATTGATATAGATCCCGAAGTTTCTGTAGTACGTGACATCAAGGAAAAGGAACTTAGGGTGTATACGGATGCAGGACGGGTCTGTCGACCACTTTTGATTGTTGAATCAGATCATGCATCTACGTGGAAAGATCCACTGAATCATAGTTCATCTAGTCCTGCACAAAAGCTCAAACTACGCAAGCCCCACATTCATAAGTTAGTCAATGGTGAGTTGGGATGGACGCAGCTCCTGGTTAAAGGTCTGGTGGAGCTGGTTGACACGGAGGAGGAGGAGGCAACCATGATTGCAATGATTCCATCTGACCTGAACGAACCATATTCCTCAACATATACACATTGCGAGATCCATCCTTCAATGATACTTGGCATTTGTGGGTCTATTATTCCATTCCCTGATCATAATCAATCACCTCGCAATACATATCAGTCGGCAATGGGCAAGCAGGCCATGGGAATTTATGCATCGAACTTTCAGCAGCGCATGGATACCTTAGCTCACGTGTTACATTACCCACAGAAGCCATTAGCAACGACACGAGCAATGGAACATCTCCATTTTCGTGAACTTCCTAGTGGTGTTAACGCGATTGTGGCTATCATGTGCTACACGGGATATAATCAGGCCCCCTCCAGCGCCCTTTCTTCTTTAAAATCAGGTCCACTGACTTTATTGTTGATATGCAGGAAGACTCCCTGATCATGAATCAAGCAGCGATTGACCGTGGCCTCTTTCGTTCCTCTTTTTATCGGACTTATGTGGATCAAGAACGCAGTCACGTGACTGGCGACGCTGCTGGACTTTACTGTGAAACTTTTGAGCGGCCTGGTCAAGACCACTGCGTCGCCATGCGGCATGGATCATACGAAAAAGTTGACTGTGATGGCCTTGTCTCTCCGGGGGTGCGTGTATCCGGTGCTGACATCCTGATTGGGAAAACAGTTCCTGTACTAAATGGAGGTGAAACAAGTGGCTTAGTAAAACGCGACTCCTCGACTGCAATGCGTCCTAATGAGTCTGGCCTAGTTGATCAGGTAATCTAAGTTGCAATTGCTATCATATGAATGCCACCTCCTGGTAGGTCATGTTATCGACAAACCAAGATGGCATGAAGTTTACCAAGGTAAGAACACGCTCTGTCAGGATCCCGCAAATAGGAGACAAATTTGCCTCACGGCACGGGCAAAAAGGAACCATTGGCATGACCTATGCTCAAGAAGATATGCCATGGACGCGTAATGGTATATCACCCGACATTATCGTCAATCCACATGCGATTCCTTCACGCATGACGATCGGCCATTTGGTAGAATGTTTACAGTCTAAAGTAGGTGCTCTTACAGGTAAAGAGGGAGATGCCACTCCATTTACGGATGTTTCTGTTGATCACATCGCTGCTGTTTTGCACGAACTTGGCTACCATCGTCATGGAAATGAAGTCATGTACTCTGGGCATACAGGACGAGCAATTCATGCCAAAGTTTTTCTAGGCCCAACCTTTTACCAACGGCTCAAACACCTCGTTGACGACAAAATCCATGCTCGCTCACGTGGTCCTGTTACAATGCTCACACGCCAGCCCATGGAAGGCCGCGCACGAGATGGTGGTCTTCGAATGGGTGAAATGGAACGAGATTGCCTCGTCTCTCACGGCGTTTCTAGTTTTTTGCGTGATCGAATGTTTGCAAATTCTGACCCCTATGCCATTCACATTTGCACTTGTTGCGGTCTAGTCGCCCATGCTGATTTGCGGAAGCATATTTACTGGTGTAACAACAAAAATTGCCAGCGTGCCGCCAACTCAAGCGTCGTGCGTGTGCACATTCCATATGCTTGCAAGCTTCTCTTCCAGGTATGGTGCATTTCTTTTCTCAATAACTCACCTGATATTGGTAGGAATTAATGGCGATGTGCATTGCACCACGAATCTGCATCTGAGGATACTAATCAAGCCCGGCTATATTAATCATACCCTTGTTAATCCTGCCTGGGAATCATATCAAAGGAAGATAGGATCAAAATCAGAGGCTCTAGGCCAGCAAATAGATTGCGGGTGTGCACGGGACTAGCCATTTATGTCCGCAGCGTGACTACTAGTCCCACTTTGACGACCACGAGAACGGGGATGGTGTTGGCGGCCCCCGGGCCCAAACACCTGACTAGCCAAAGTTCTTTCTTTGTGCGGGGCGCGCCCGGGCTGCTAGGTTCCCACTTACCTGAGGGGTTATTCACCCCTGGCGCCGCCTGAAATAACCCGGGTAATTACCGGTTAGTACGGGTTATTTACCTCAGGATCTTATAGAGGGGTAGGGGAGGGGCCCAATGGGCCATTGGCGCGGGCTTGGCGCACCTGCACGTATCCAAAGGCACAATGGGGGCTACTTGCGCCCATCCGCTCGCCCGGAGGGGTCATTTTCGCTAATCACACTCAGGCTAAACGGGCCCGGGTTTTGCTTTGCCAGCCCGGGCCTGAGTGCATCGCCCTAACTTGAACCAAACGAAAGCGTGTCGTGCGTCGTTGCTGTGGGCGAAACGCCGACGAGGAGGCGCTGTTTGGAGCAACCTGACGAGCACATAGGCTGTGGAGTCTAAGACAAAGCTAAAGATAAATCACTGGCGATTGAGCCCCGACTCGGACTCGGAGCCTCCAGAGCTCGCGGGTTTCCACGTCGATAGCCTAGGGCCTGAGTGAAAACCGTTTAGTGATTAAGTACCGTGACCGGGTTATGACCGGCGGGTTATTCACCCCAGATCCCCCCGGCCCCGGCGGGCCGGGCCTCATGAAGCCTATCACTTGTCACATGGACTTTGCCTGTGAATAAACTGAGTTGATACATCCTCTAGTGGAAGCGCATCTAGTGGACGCTCGCGCCCAGGGGGAGTAGAGAGAGAAACCTACTAGCCCTTCCTACCCTAGATATGTATCTCCCACTCTCTAATATTTGAGTCTATACATCGAGTGTCAAAAGCACTACGGTGTAACAACAGTTCACTATAAAACACTCTCGCAGTCAGGCCTATCAGCTCTAAGCTGGTTAGCTAGGACCCTGCTACTTACATAACGCTGCGACATACTCTTGCTACGTAGGTACCAGCAAGTACCAGGTAAGCACAAGCCCTACCCGTAAATAGCTAGTCCGCTCGCAGGACCCAGTTGACATGACATGGGTGTCACGGTCTCTTCGCCGACTTCTTATATCTTCCTCTGTGTACCGTGCGAGCACGTCTTGTCCGAACCAGTGTAGCGGCCACGGCGAATGCACAGCCGAGAACGTGTGTTTGTGCGATACTGGTTGGGCATACTATGCTGACTGTTCTGGTCGTGCGGCGACGGCGCCCTTATGGGGTACACTTATTATTTAGTGAAGAGTACTCACAGGTCTTTGTCCAATTGCTACTGCGTGGGTCGACAAGGCTAGCGCTCCCGGCAGGGCGCATGGTGACATGGAATGTGGAAACATAGGCGTATGTAATCGGAACGACGCATTTACCTGCGCACAGATTAGTTATGTTGATTGCTTGCGTGATTTTGGTTTTTAGGGGAGTTGCTCATGCCCACCTGGTTTTACGGGTGAAGCTTGCCAGCGCTGTCCATCCCCAGTGTTACTAATTTATCTAGATGTTAGATGCCAATACCGTAGTTGAATGTCCTCAAGAGTGCAGCAACTATGGCAACTGCATCACTATGCACCATGCTGCACTAGACTACGGCCCTGGGCAGGGCATGACCCAGCTTGATGATGTGAATGACATAAAGGGCCCTTTATACACCAATTGGGAAGCAGAATCTCTTATGATGTGCGCTTGCGATTGGGGGGTATTTGGGCCTGAGTGTGAGGCACGCATGTGCCCCAAAGGTTTCGATCCTCTTCTGAGAAGTACTACGACTTACTATCGCGAGATTAACGTGACAACAAATTCAACAGCAGTAGGATCAAGCATCAATGGAACGTTCGTGATGAGTTTCAATGGGTTTGACTTTGAGTTCAACGCCAATGCAACACTCTTTGGCGAGGCAGAATGTGAAGCAGCCTGGGAATCGCTAGACAATGTTGAGCAAGTAGTTTGCTTTCGTGGTGCCATAAATCAAGCAGGGGGTGCTACTTACAACATTAAATTTCTAGCTTGGCCTGCAGTCCCAATGCAGAACAATATCTTTAGCCACGAGGGCAATCCACCGCTCACAGCTTTTACGTGTGACGCATCTGATGCCAGAGTCTGGCCACGTGGCGGCGGCAACGTCGCTGCATGTCATGTTGAGGATGTTGCGAATACTGATATTCGCGAGTACAAGTTCTGCAGCGGCCGCGGTACCTGCGACTTTTCTACTGGATCATGTAGCTGCTATGCTAATTTTGAGGGTGTTGCTTGCGGCAGCAGTATTGCCACTATTTCAGAGGAGGGCGTTGATGTGTTGCTACTGTATGCAACTGAGAATTCATTTCAAAATACTCTGCTGAAGTTAGACGCTACTGCTAATCCCTCAGACTCGTTTAATTTTCTTGAGATTGTTTCTGGTAGTAGTGAGGTGACCATGTTTACAATCGAAGGGGACGGGGATATCACGGTTGCTAAGGGCGATGTGAAGATTCTCACGGGCGAACTATCGTTATACTCCGGTCTTCGGATCATTGATGGAGGCGCAAGTATCACAACAGGGGGTCTTCGCGTCCTCTCCGGAGGTACTACGATCAATGAAGGTGGCCTAAAAGTTATTGGCAATACGCTTTTGTGGGGCAATGTTTTAGCTCACAACGGATCATACATTTTCTCCTCGAATGCAAGCGGACACAACGATGGAAGTATTATGGAGGTTCGTGCAACACAGGACGCATTTGCTGGTGCTGTTCTTGAAATTGGCGCAGACCGCAATAGGTCAGACTCTTTCGACTTATTTCGCGTAACAGTAGACAACGGACCATCTTCTCGTGAAGTTTTTGCTATCACAGGTCAGGGTCGCACCACAATCAAGCATGGCGGTCTCACCGTGACGGGAGCTGCTGTTGTCAAGTCTGGCGGTCTACTAATTGAAGCCGGTGGCATAACTATCACATCTGGTGGTCTGACTATCTCCAGTGTTGGTATTACATCTGCCGGCTCCATCACTGTGACCACTGGGTCCATCACGGCTCCATCGATAATCAGTACCGGCGGAGTATCTGCTAGCAGTTACACAACCACTTCAGACGGACGTTACAAGACAAATGTCACTTCCCTGCGGAATCGTGCTGCTCGCTTGCTGGAATTAAATGGCGTGAGCTTCCAATGGCGAGGCGATTCTGGGTTCGACAAAGAGACTCATTTTGGATTCATTGCCCAGGAGGTGGAGCTTGTTTTCCCAGAAATTGTCAGAGAAAGCAGTTTTGGCATCCGTTCTTTGCAGCTCGAAGCGATTGCGCCCCTTCTCGTTGAAGCCTTTCGCGCCTTGCACCGCCGCTTGACCATTCTTGAACGTAGACTTCGTTGATCTGAGCACGCTTTTGGACGTCTTTCAGAAGGGGAAAGTAGGCGCGGGGATGTGGTGCTCTGAGTCAGGGCCGGCGGCTGTGGGGATCCGGAGGGTCATGTGATGAGCCCCCTACAGTAAATTCAGTGCCAGAATCTCCAGCAGGTAAATTTTCCAAGTGGGTCCGCGCAAACCCGGGATTAGGGGAGCCTGTGATGCATAGGGAAATAGAGACGGGGGCGGACCCCAAATTTGAGATTCGAGTTCCCAGCCACTTGTCCAAGCGCGATTTTGGCTAAGGGGTCCCAAAGGGTCCCTTTGTACGCCCCGAGACCGGACTGGGGGGGAGGGGTCACTTTCGAGGCGAGACGCGGTCGCGAAGTTGCCCATCTGGGGCCTAACGTGCGGGTATTTCAGGGACCTCTGGACTGAAAAATCAAAACTCGCTTCTATGCTGGTAATTTGGTCTCCCAGGGGCCCTCGGGTACCTATGGCGTGGGGCGGATGCGTAGGCGCGGCCGGGTACCCGATGGGCTGCCAGATAGGTCGCCTGACGCGGCACGAAACGCCACTGGCGCGACCTTCGCAGGCCACTAAAATTTCCAAACCTAATCGTTTCGCTTACCCGTTTCGGTCACGTCCTAGAGGGGTAGGGAGTCCCCTCTGGCTCAATTCGCGATCGCACCAGACGTCTAGTTATAGAGATACGGCAAATTTGGTCTCTCTCGGTGTCCGCTGGGGGCCCGGGCTGCGTCAACGACGCCTGCGCGGGTAACTACTACGCATTTTTGTAGGTACTGGTGGAAGGTCAAAATTTCAGGGCGGACGCATGACCTTTTGGCGAGAGTTTGGTAAGCGTTTGGGCCCGAATCTAAGTGTTTGACATAAGAAGTGTTTAAACGAAATTGTAAGTGTTTGGGCTGGTCTTAGTGGGTTCTAGTAGGCACAAAGGGGGCTAAAAGGAGTACAAACCAGAATATCTCGGCGTATAGGGCTGCGTTCGGCCTAAGGCACGTCGTTGGTGGCTATGTTGCGGCGGTGGCAGGCTCAGGGGCGCTGATAGGGGCAATCGCACGTGCGGGTACTGCGGCGCGCAAGTGTTTTCAGCTAAATTCAAGTGTTTGGGCAAGCCTGAGTGTTGGCAAGTGTTTGGAGGCCTCTCTGACGGGAGAAGTAAACGTTTGGTAAGTGTTTGCGTCCTACCCTGGAAGGTAAGGGTGCCTCTTCCACGGGTGGGCTTCAAGGGGATTTGGGCCTCAGGCCTGCCACCGGCGGGGCCCACCCTGCGTCGCGCGCGCCTCAGGTGCCGGGCGCGAGGCATCCCCGCCAACCACGCCGCGGCGAGGCAGTCCCCGCCAGCCACGTACGGCAGAGATAGGAGTTGGGTCGGCTTGGCGCGGCGTTTACAAAAAGTGAGACAGGTACTGCGGCACGGTCGGCTGTGCTTTTGTTACAATGGACCGGCCTGCTGCGTCATGCCAGAATGCGAAGGACACTACTGCTAGCCGATGCGGTGGGCTCTCGTAAGCGCTGCGTCGTATTGTTTCCTAAGCTAACGACGCAAACTGATACAGGCCTGAAGATCAAACTCTTATGGAGGGACTAGAGCTCGCCGTCGCACGCTTACAGGACGTACGTCCGATGAGTATTTTATTCTGGCAAGCTTTTCTCGCTCGTAGGCAAATCCAGTGGTAGTTAGCACCGCCTTGGAATATTTAGTCAAGGAAGTACGGAATGCAACCTCATCAATGACTTCGGTGCCCAAGCCATTGAAATACTTGCGTCCGCACTACGATACTCTGAAACACTGTCACGCTATGGCGAAGGAATCAGTGCCATCAAAGAAGTTGATGGCAGATCTCCTTGCTGTCTTGGCAATGACCATGTCGGAGCCAGGTTCACACGAGATCCTCCATTTTAAAAAGCAGGGAACCATCAATGACCTTGGCAGCTGGGGCCACGAATTTGTGAGGGCGCTCGCTGGGGAGCTTGGGGCTGAATACACGGCAAGGCAATTAAGTGACAAGAAGGGAAGAAAGGACAACTTCACCGCGGATCTTATCAGTCTTGTTGATGAAATCGTCCCGTGCTTGCCCGCGCTGGTGATTAGGACTCTAGTTTCACAGTATACTTGGCTCAGGTTTCATCTGCAACACAATGCATACGCAGAAGCAGTTGATCTTCTTATTGAGACACAGAGTATATCTAAACTTCTAGGTAACTACCCACTGCGGCCTGAAAAGACCCTAGTGGATGATAGTAACTTCAAAAGGGTCTGTCTTTATTTGCTGCGGTGTGGAACATATATCGCAGATCCAGACGACCTTAAGTGTTTGAGGCAGAGTGCATTCCAGATTTACCGGCGGCATGGCTATTGCTCCGCTGCCTTGGGCGTTGCTTTAAAAATGGGAGATGATGATGAGGCCACACCATTCAACACACGATGTAAGGAGCTTTTTGATACGACGGACGGTCTGATGCGTAAGCAGATGGCATTCTTGCTTGCGCGGCACCATAGCAACTTTGAGTACGTTGAAGATTTGGAAGTTGATGCAATCATTGGGAATAATAAACTGAAGTCCTACTATGCGCAAATTCCGTGTTTGCCAGGTTTCACCTTTGACGTGAATAGCACTTTAGGCTGACCTTGGGCGAGACCTAGATATTCTTGATGCGAAGACACCTGAAGATATATACAAAAGCCACCTTGGGGACTCCGCATCCTCGCGTGCATCCAGCACAAGTGCACCCAATGTAGACTCCGCCCGAGCAAACCTCGCCGCAACATTTGTCAATGCCTTTGTGAACGCTGGTTTCTGCAAGGACCTTCTCATGACCCCTGATGGCAATACATGGTTGTACAAGAATAAAGAGCATGGTATGCTAGCCGCTGCTGCATCTCTAGGGATGATAATGATGTGGAATATAGAAGAGGGCCTAACGATTATCGATAAGTTTTTGTACAGCAACGAGGAATATGTCAGGGCCGGTGCTTGCCTTGCTATCGGCATTGTTTCGTCTTCAATTCGTCACGAGTCGGACCCACCTATTGCTCTCTTACCTGAGCACGTTGAATCTTCTTCTTCCATTATACGCTCAGCAGCTATTGTTGGTCTTGGTGTTGCATACGCTGGCTCTGGTCGAGAGGATGTGCTTGATACTTTAGCGCCTATAATTACAAACTCCGATGCCATGATTGAAGTAGCCTTTGCCGCTGTCAGTCTTGGTCAGATCTATACTGGGACATGCAACTCGGACATTGCATCCCTGATTGTGCAGAAACTGATGGAGGCGTCTGACGCCAGCCTTGAAATATCGGAGTCAAATTTCCTTGGGCTTGGGCTTGGCCTCTTATTCTTTGGTCGGGGCGAAAAAGGAGACGCAATGCTTGAAGTCCTAAAGACGATAGAGCACCCTGTGGGCCTTTGCGCATCGGTCACCCTTGAAACTTGTGCATATGCTGCCACGGGTGATGTGCTGCAAATCCAGAAAATGCTTCACATTTGCGCGGAACAACGTGATTCACCTTTGATATTCCCTGGGTCGGTAGAAACAACAGAAAATCAGTCAGCAGCACCTAAAAAACCTAATCTCGTAGCCAGGCATCAGTCCATGGCTGTCCTTGGCATCGCGCTCGTGGCAACTGGCGAAGATATCGGGGCAGAAATGACTTTGCGTACTTTTGATCATCTGCTTCATTATGGTGAGCCCCCTGTGCGTTGTGCTGTTCCGCTTGCTCTTTCACTACTGCGTATCTCATATCCTGATTATGGGATCGTTGACCAAATGAGCCGCCTAACACATGATGCTGACAACCAAGTTTCCCTAAACGCAATCGTTGGCCTTGGACTTGTTGGCGCCGGCACAAACAACAGCCGAATCGCGGGGCTTCTGCGTTTGCTCGCTGAGCATGCGCGTGAGCCCTCGACACTCTTTGTTGTTCGTCTTGCTCAGGGCCTACTTCATATGGGGAAGGGACTCCTCACCATATCTCCCTTTCATGCAGATCGAACTCTCATATCCAAGGCCGCCATGGGCTCCATTCTGACATTCCTACATTGCTGCCTTGACATGAAACAAACAATACTGGACAAAAACCATTATCTTCTGTCTGAAACAGCGTACTATAGAATTCCCGGCGAGGGAAAGGGTACCAACGATGTCTGATCATGCAGGTACCACCTTGCCTCTGCTATGGCACCAAGATTTTTATTCACAGTTGATGTCAATCTCAACTTACTTCCTGTGTCTGTTCGTGTCGGGCAGGCAGTTGAGACTGTTGGTCAGGCAGGCAACCCCAAAACCATAACCGGTTTTCAGACACACACTACTCCAGTCCTTCTTGGTGTTGATGATCGCGCTGAGCTTGCATCCGATGAGCTCTGTTCAAAATCTCACATTCTAGAGGGCGTTGTTATTGTTGAGCCTGAGCAGAGTACACAAGGTGCCTTAGAGTGCAAGACCTAAAAGTTGTCAATCCAAATTATGAAATGGGTGCTTCCAGTGCCAATGGATCGAAAATATTGGGGATTGTTCAACAACAACGGGCAGCTGCAAGTTGGCACCAAACGATAAGGTGGGTCGACATTATCGCGATTGGGCAAGCGACGAGCCTTCTCAGTTAGAGGGTTTGTCTACCGGCCCGAGGCTCGCCCTGGGGCCAGAAGTCTTTTCGACGCAGTATTGATGCAGGCTTGGAGGGGCGAAGGTCGGCTCTACTTCTCTGTGAGTTCTTGGTACTAGAGCTTTGGTTGCCACCGCCTACTTCCCTGAGTTTTGTTGCTTGGGTTCTTGTTGCTAGAATGATCTTTTTGTTAGAGCCAGGGGCGTCAATGTGAGGTAAAACCGGGGCGAGTAGTATACTTGTAATAAATTAGAGTCGAGGATGGAGGACACGCAATGGTCCACATCACAGCGCTCGGCGCTTTTCGCCCGCACGCCGACAGCGCGAGTAGCGGCCGTACGCGGACGACTACCTTGACCGCATCGTCATGCCCCCTGGGGGGGCGCGCCGCCGACGATCGGTCTAACTCATCCATTATCGACTATGAATGGCCCGCCGGGACGCGCTCGGCGCGTACCACGCGGGTTTCAGGTTTGGGTAAATCCATGTAGCACATCATCATATATTCTGTATCCATTACATCGTTATACGTATGCGAATGTAGAGAGCACCTGACCAACGCAAACAGCGGTGCACCTCCAGAAGTCCACCAGCTATCCGTCGCCACATGTCAACCCGCGGCCGGTCGGGAGAGCATATTCGGTGAATGTCGATCGCGGGCCGCTTGGGCACCTATCGACAAAATTCGACCGGTATGACGTACGTATGCATTCCAGCGTATGTTGGAATGACGCCCCGACGCGCCGCGCCAGTGGAAGGGACTTAAGGCCCGCGACGCCGACCGCGGGGAGTCGAACTCGTCCGAGAGCGGTCTTTAGGACGCTAGGCGTATTATCATAGGCTATATTCGAATGCCAGCGCGGGTGGGGGGTTGGGCGCATTCTCTGGTGCAAGGAAAACCCGCACCACCCCCCTCACGCACCGCTGGCCCTCCAAGACTACAGCCCCCCACCGCGCGGGTTTTAGCTCTCCGTAGTATCTCAGCTTCAACCCCCATTGACGTCAACCTCAATTTGAAGTAAGGGTAGTCATAGGCAGCCACAGACCCCTCTCAGACCAACCCCACAAACTGACCCCCACAAACTACTCCTACTTCTGCTGGGATCTTCCCGACGCTTTTGGACGTCTTCGGGACGCGCCAACTAGGTCAGGTCGGAGGAAGTAGTTGGTAAGAAAAGGGGGGACTCGGATAGTTTTAAAAAGATTTCAAAAAAATGGATTATGTATGCTTTATGGCTCATCCGTCAGAATGAGACATAAAGTATACATAATCCCTATACTACTGAATTGTTAATAGGCCGGGATATATATGCGCCGCTCAGGATCGCTGGGCACCCTTGAGTCGTCGCGCTTCATCGACGAGCTCCCGGAGTTCAGGGTGGTGCTTTTCGAGCTTGGTGCGCTGTGCCTCGGAAAGAGCGTTACGCGCCAAATTCTTGTCGCCGCGCTCTACCGCCCTGCGGAGCTGGTTTGAAATTGGGTCGTAGAGCCGCTTGTCAATGACCTTCATCACATCTAATTGGCGAGCGGCCCCGGTATAATCGATGCCGCGGCCGTCGGCGCGTAAATGAGCGTCGTGCAGCATCCGGTGCATGTCGCCGCTGTCGACGAACTGGCACAGAGGCACGGCCGACCGCCGCGACACGTCGACCAGCGCGAGCTTGTAGAAGAGATCGACCGGTCTGTCCGTGCCAAGGCCATATAACGATGCCTTGGTCCGGTCCCAGTCGTCGGGCATATCCGGCGGGGCCATTTTGATGAGCGAAGTCAGGCGCCTCAGGCTTTTTTGCCCGTTAGCTCTGCGTGCGCCCTTCGACTCCCAGAACTTGGGCACGTGACGCCTTCTAGACGATTTCTGTGCGTACTCGTGGAAAAGAACGGAAGCCTGCGGCGCGTACATGTCATAGCCGTGCGTCCATGCGCGCACACCAATGGAGATCTCCTCGCCCATGAAGACCATCGGTAGGCAGCAATCGTACCGAACGCGGTGTACAAAGTGGCCCCTGGCAAAAGAAAAGCCCGCGGCCCAGTACGGCTGGAGCATCGGCACGTCGCGGATGGCCGGAACGCGCTCGGGCTGCGCGCCATGCCGCAGATAGCCCGGCGAGCCCTCGAAATCGCTGTTGCACATAATAGGGCGGGTCTTACGCAAAGAATCGCCAGAGGGCGACACGCTGCCTTCCAAGTCGGTCAAGTAAGTCGACAAAACAGCCATCTCGTTCCGCGTCCGCTTCCACTGGTCGATGATCCCGACGTCCCATCCATTGACAAACACACAATGCGCGTCGACCTGCAGCGCAAAGGCCTCGCCGCGGTACATGCGGTAGCCGACATGGCGCGCGTAGACCGGGCCTGTCGCGTCGTTCGCGTCCATCGCGTAGACCCGTACTTGAGAGCTGTACTTGCAGAGGGGCTGGTGTGGGTCCTCGCTGCATGGTACGGGTGGGTCGGCACACCCCACATCCCCGGGCCGGTTCTGCTGCACCGCCGCGACAACGACTCGCCTCGGGTGCGTCGCCCGCGCTAACGCGGAAGCCGCCGTGTCCCGGCACTGCCAGTCTCGGTACGAAGCGATCATTAGGAAAATCGTCGGCTCGCCGTTTACGGCGTCGACGTGCGCTAGCTCGTCGACGCCCACCGGCGGCTCCCAGAACGTCGGCACGAGGAGGCCCGTCTGCTCATCACGCTCCATCGTGAAGCCATCGCGCTCCTGGTGCACGGCGAGCGGCGCCACGGCGTCGAGCGGTTGTGCTTCGGTGTCGTGTTTCGCGCTCGGCGCCGACTGTCGCTGCTCCGCGGAGGCCGCCGCTGCGATGCGTGCAGCCTCGCGCGCGCGCCGTGCGGCATCACGCAGCGGAAACTCCGAGGCCAGCGGCACGGGCTCGGCGCTTGCGCGCCGGGACGGCGTGGCCCATACGAAGAAGAGCAGGCCGGTCCACGAGACGATGAGGGCCAGCGCCGAAAGCCGGACGAACTGGGCCGCACTGGAGCCGCGCCGCCGCTGTCGCGGCCGCATCGTGTTTTGCACCATCGACGTGCCGTCTTTGTGTACCAGGACGGCAGTGAGGCTAGTGTGTCTAGTTTGGCTGTGTCCCGGCCACGAGGAGACTGATAACATGATACCATAGTTAGGACACTCGTTCACACAGACGTCGCCATGGTAAGGTTTCCCAGGCATGAAAGCCGCCCGCGCTGGCAGAGGCGGATGAAATAAAGCGGCGGCGCCGTCGACGCCTACCAGAGATCCGAGAGAAGCACGTCTTAGTTGTCGTCGTCCGAAGAAGACGACTTGCCAGACCACTCGACCGCTAAAGTTTCAGCCTTGTAGAGGTAAAGTCCACGTCCACCTGCACTTCTTGCAGGTCGAACTTTCGCGATGTTGGCTTTAACATCGCCGTGTGAAGTTAATTTTTTGAGGCTCTCGAAGCTTAGCTCGCAGTCCTCGGGCTTGACTAGTACTACTCTCCACGACTCCCTCACGCCAGAGAACAAACCATAGACTTAAAACTCATGCGCCCTCCCGCTGTTCCGGCAGCGACATCAAGTGGACGACGATGCTGATGCGATAGATGTCCGGCGCCGGATCGTTGGCGCGCATGACCTCGTGTCGAACATAACGAAGCCCCATCAGCATCATCAGGCTACGCCGCCCCGGGAGTGGGTAAAATTTTTAATAGAGCGTACGGGTTGGCCGCCTGTGCGAGTGGAGGAGTGCGCGGGCTAGACCCAGGTGCGAAGGGACCCCTTAATGACACCGAACAAGAGGTATCCCCCAGCTCCCGCCTCCTGCGGCTAGGTTGATTTGTTGGCGCACCCGGGCCCGGGCCATAACGGCAACCTAGTCGGTCGGGCAGGGGGCGCCGCCGGGATCCTAACAATGGACACATCCGAGTCTATAAAGGAACAGCATTTCCAATACTATGTCTTGACGAGAAACCCGGGCCCGCGTTCGAGTTAGCGAGAAAGATGATTGCTAACTCCTGAGCTATGGAAGTGTTGCACGTCGTCGTCACGGTAGGAGGGTGTTTTTATAATTATCTCAGCGAATGGGTGTTCTGTTCTCAATTGTATTTGTTTGTTGAGACGAATTATGTAGGGCAATCTCTTTTAGAAAGGGGGAATGGGAAGAAAGGGGCGTCCGACGAACTTGAAATCCCGTAATAAATTATTTTACGCATCATGATTATGGTAATTTCGGGGGAATGGGAAACAAGGGGGAACGCGATGGATTTGCAGTCTCCCAGCCCCGGGGGTGCTCTGTTTTGATGCGACTCAGGTCGAATGACCTGGGGAGTGACAAAACCAACACCCCCTACTCTCTCGAAGTCACGGTGACGCCGTGACGTTAGCTGTCGTCTGATATGTTAGTCGCAGGCTAATTCATTCTTAATTGATTAGAGCTAAGGGAAGGTAAGGCAGGATGTTAGTCCAAAGAACAAACCGATTTCCGGCCTTGGGGACACAGGGGCCCGGGGGTGGGGTCTCGCCACTAGTACTACGGTGACCCCACCAACCCGAGGTACTAGCTTTGCCTCCTCCTCCCTGGACGAACTCGCCGAGACCTGCCTCGCTCACGGGCTTTCGCGTCCTTATCAATCTCAATTCGTTGTGTTTCTTCTTGCTCTGCCTTGCTTTGTCTAGGTGGGTCTCGTAGGTCACAATGCTGAACTTTCAACTTAATGTTCCCATATTTAATGTCAGAAAGGCAGCCATTTTCAATCAACACAGTTTTCAAGACTTCGACGTCGGACCAAATTTTTCGACCCGTCATCAAGGCCATTCGTGGGAGCTCAGCTACATCTTCCTTCTCAAAACCAGCGATCCTACCTAGCCGGTTATTCAATTGGTCCTTTAGATCTGCAACCAGTGATATTGATGATATGCGGATCTCCACAGGGGCCGCCATCTCGATCATGTTCAGATGTGAATTCGCGCCAGCATGGCCCTCTGTGCCATTTGCCTCTTCTGTCATTCGAGGGGAGTCCTCTTTAACTATCGTTATAAATGCATCAGATACCACCATGTAAGCCAATTGGCGCCCTATGCGAGCAGAGAGATAGCAAAGCCTATACCTTCACCTACCTACGGTACGTACCGTAGGTACCGTAGAGATACCCGTACCGTACCGTACCGTACCGTGGTACCTACAGACTGCATTTTACCCTGCCGCAATGAACAAATTCACGCGATATCCAACTTGAACGCTGTGAGGCGCCACCAGCCGAAATAGGGCCGAAATAGGGGCGGGAAGGGCTACAACGACCTACAACGACCCACAACGACCCCCTCCCCCTACCACCTTGGCCACATTCACGGTCCCCGCCCGATTTCGGTTGCCGTGAGGCTCCGCAGGGTTTGGTATCGTAGCGCAGCTCAGATTGCGGCTTCTGAAGGGGTTGTATTTGTCCTCAGTCCCAAAAGTCGTCGATTTATTTATGTGCCGCGTACACCGAGAACCTCGAATCGGTCTCGCGACGCTAAGACGGACACTAAGATACGCCCAGATGACCGTAGCTTCGCCCGATCGTACAGGGTAGCAGCTGCGCGGAGGACAGCTTTGCGCACGCCCGGCGAGATTTCGTGCGTACGAAGGTGGGGATTTGCCTGTAGCAGCTGGATCTTGGCGCTACTTGCGTTTTTTTTTTGCTGAAAAGCAGAGTATCCCGCATTTCAGGGCGCTCGGGCAGCCCGAGTGATACGGCTCAAGCGGGCGGCCATCCTCGCATCGTGCGGGATTATCTCGTCTATTCGGCCTTTTCTCGTAAGCCAGGATGGTAGGAGGTCGAAGTGCTGTCGAATGTCGATAATGCACTCCGTGCGAGTGTAAGACCAGAGGGGTACGCACCTTTGGGAATACCGTGACAGCCTGAGTGGCTTAGACCAGCTCTTAGACCGTCCACGGCGGGAGACCGTGACTCCGGGGAGAGCCACCTTAAAATACACTCCTAGTTTTGTTTAACGGTGTTTACGGTTTTATTTCGAATCATGTGTGGTGTGTATGAGTGTGTATAGGGCCGGGTATAAAAATAGGGGCCCGGTCACGGTGGGGGTGCGAACTTGTATTTCGTTCTCTAATCGCACTGGCACTCCGACTCCCAGTAGGAGACTCGGAGTCTGGCGACTACCCAGGCTACTCGCCGCGACGAACTTCGATCTATCTGGTTGGATGCTTGCGATTTATCGAAGTGCCACGGGGTGCTGTGGCTCTAAGGAAGATTCAAAGAATGAACTTGAACTTTGTTGAACCCGTGTCCCGCCTGGGGGACTCGGAGTCACGGCCCAGTCTATGCCTCTATATCTATATTACCTCTGGTTTAAGTTTAGTCGAGGGCTGGTTCTCGGTCCACTATATAGTGACCGGAGGAAGTTGGATAGAGGAAACGGCGCTACTAGATTCGGCGCTTGAGGCCGTTTATCATCGCAGTTATGCTAGATATTCAACGTCAAAGTGCCTTCCCATGACTCAGAATTGTGGGAATCAACGCATATATTCCAAGCATAAAGTTTGTGTGCTCATTCCGCAATCGCGCTGATGTACATTTGCTACGCAAAAATAGAAAAATCGGCTTCAAAAGGGACCTATATTTAGAGAAATTAAGTCAGATAAGCTGAGCAAAGGTGAAAGCAGTTATGGAGGGAGTTGAGCTGAAAAAAGGCTGGGGTTGCGCCTCCGAAGAAGTACACACTGCACTACAGTAAATTTTGCCTTCAATTCTGCACCGAAAGAGTACCATGTAATCTCCCTTGTACTCCGGAATTAAGCCAGTAATAAGGGGCACCGAGCCAGGGACCTTGGACTCAGAAATGATGCTGAAAATACCCAGCATGGCGAGTCTACCATTATTGATCTCGACCTGACGCCCACGGATCTTGTCTTTGTTTTCATCAAACCAATTGAATGGGTCGTAGAGGTTAAAGATTAACTCAAAACGGTTGCCTTTGATAGGCGGATAATAGCCAGGGAGTCCACCATTGCAGTAGTGCTGCGGAAGAATCTCGCCGTACGATTCGAGCATGCCGATTATCCCGAATATCTGAATCTTACCAGCGAGTGGGATCGCATCCCACTGCTCCGGGGGGGTGAGGCCAGGTTCGTACCCCGAGTAGGGAAGCTTGGCATGTGGCCCAGAGACAACTGGGGTCGACTGTGCAAGGTATCCAAGAAACGCTGCCATTGCCACACGACCGTGCTTGATCTCCGCATGTCGTAGATAACCGATAGTAGCTTCGTTGCCAAGCGTCCAGAAATCAAGATTTAGACACCCTGCGCGGAGCAAAGTCGATCAGGTGATACGTGATATGGTGCCAGAAACACACCGAGCGGGTCCCACAGACCGAGAGACTGGCCAAGGAAATCAGGATTTGACTCAGCTAGTGCCGCCATGTCCTCTTTGGTCGCCGAGAGCACGCTCACAGTATTGTGCTTCGGCGCAACGTACGCGAGTGCGTGCGCAGAAAGGGCAAGCGCTAGAGTGACCTATGATGACTCTAATTATTAAGGCAATCAACATTGAAATACCTTCATTTTGCTGTTGCTTGAGCTTACTTGCTGAACTGGATCGCTAGAGCTAAGGATCCCACTAGGGGCATCGCTCCTCCGCGAACAAATCCTGCTTTGTGAAACCTGAGCAGGAGGGTCTCATGCCGGCGCTAGAGTGAGTGGAAAGGGTGATATTTAATTCACCGACATTCCGAGGCACTGGCTGGAAGTCGCAAGTTCAAGTTGTCGCCTCCCCGGGCGCCGTCCCTCTACGCCGTCCCCATAAGCCGTCGCTACCAGAATACGCTAGGTAAATCTATTTCTTCAACACCGGCCTTAGCGCAATGGCCATCCACTATCGCGGCCAGATGATCGTCGAGTTAGACCACGAGCCCACTCAGGCTTGCGAAGTGGGCCCGACGCTTACAAACTATCGAAACATCACGGGGTGCCATTGCGACGAGCGTGCTAGTAGGTGCCGTCGTGGCGAGCAGCGGCCGCCGGAGTGCATTAGTGACTTTCGACAGGATTTCTGCAATCCGGATCGGTTAATGTGTGGGGCCCCGCAGCGATTTATAGGATCGTTAGCGCAGCTCAGGATTCGGCTTAGAGTTCCAAACGGTCACAGTTGTCCACGGCCCCAAAAAGCAGTCGAGATAACCCCATCGCTGGCGAAACGCCGAGAACTTGAAACGCCAAATCGGGCTCTTGCGACGCTAAGACGGTCACTTTGGCACGCCAAATTCACCGCGGCTTCGAGTGCGGCCTGCCAGTCATACGCGAGTAGCGGCCACACGGGGACACCTTTCAGCAACCTCACGTCCTCTACACCCCCAAGCTCGAGCCCCCAATCTCCAGGCGATGGCGTGCTCCAACTATCGGTGTGTACTTATTGTCATGCTAATAGATTTTTGGTGTACAGCCAAACTGCCAGCGACAACCTCGGGTTTGCGTTGGAAAGTCCTAGATAAAAAGACTAGGGCCGCGGGCAGCGCACTTTACCCCAAACCTGCCGCGACGCAAATCGGACGTGGGCTGCGCTCTGTGGCAGCGCTTCGGCGCCAAAAGGTACGCGCATGAGTGGGCGATGTTGAGCGGCTGAACACAACTGATATGTGCTATGTTATGGCGATCTTCCTGGAGCCTTCTGAGGCCTCCCGGAGAGTAGGTAGATAGTGGCGGAGTTGTAAAGGGGGGTATTCGGGCTTTGCAGGGGGGTCGACAAACTGCGCGTCACGGCCAACTTTCAGTGAATGCGCGTTCCTGGCACCACTGCTCATCACGCGGTCCATTACGACGGGGTTGTGCCGGCTTGGGGTGGTTGCATGAGACGAAGTAGCCTAGTAGTACCGCGCGCCGCGGCGCTGCCACGGTAATTCAGTTTGTCTCCACTTGAATGCAAGTTGTTTCAAGTTGGAGGGGTCCTGGGGAGTAGTCGGGTTGTACTGTCATGACGTCCCGGGGGAGTCAAATGCCTGCCTCTTGGGTGCGCTGCCAGGGGATGGGTAGTAGAGATAGGGCAGTCTAGGGTTGGGTAGATTGGAGAGGAGGGCCTGAGAGAGGTGCTTGGAGCCAACACTTTTTTAGTGTGGTTGGCCCTCGACAGCTCCCTAGATAGAGTATCAGTGGCCTCGGTAAGCCCCCCCCCAATTCTTACCCGCACCTTCTGTTGGGTACACCGTACCGTAATGGCCTCATGGCGGACACGGGGAAGGTGCAAGGTAAAATCGCTATGTGTGAGTCAAAGGTCGATGATGCGTGGGAGCACAACGACGTCTCGCCGCGCGGCCGTGGCCCCCGCGGCACGCAACAGTGTCTCACATGCGACGGAGGCGATCATCTCCATTCGTCAGGCGCATGGGTTCATGGCGAAAAACCACACGGGACTCTTGATGTATCGGGCGATGCGGCAGCTGCGATTGCTCAAAGTAATGAAGTACCCAAAAATCACAGGCCACAGCGCGTGCCTCGCATCGGCAAATACTTTCGACGACATATTAAGAAGCCAACACGGCGCTTGAAGCCTCCTAAAGGCAAGGTGATCGACGGAAGGCACGAACAGTACACCTTATCATACACAATGCAACTGGGAATTCAAAGGTCTGTTGAATATGCGCATTCGGTAGTGTTTTCAGTGTGCAATTCTTTCGTGCGCTTAAGAACATTGGCGCTAGGCACTACCAGACAGCTTTGACGCAGCATGCGTGGAGACAACTAAGACGAAATTCCCTCCGGAAGGAAGCGATGTGACACCAGAGCACGCAATGCGACATTCTTTTACCGTCAAGGACTATGCGCCTTGTGTGTTCTCTCGTATCCGGGCTTTGATGGGCGTGACTCCAGAGCTCTACCTAGAGTCACTGTGCTCAGGACTATCATTCATTGACTTCATTGCCAATTCCCGGAGTGGACAGTTCTTTTTCTACTCTTTTGACGGGGTATTCATGATCAAGACTGTGCGACAGGACGAAAAGGACTTTCTTCTCAGGCTACTGCCCGGCTACTACAAGCACCTGCTCAAGCATGCCCTGAGACCAAATAATTTGTCAGGGGCCAACGACGTGTCTTTCTACCCTAATGGGAACGCGTCGCTTCTCACTCGCTTTTATGGACTTCATTGCACAAAGCTGAGGCATCTCCGGCGAAAGGTCCATTTTGTTGTAATGTCATCGATCTATGGTGCAAACACATCATCGCGGATGATCCAATTCGACCTCAAGGGCTCCCAGTACAATCGAAGTGCACAGAAGGAAGACAAAGTCCTCAAAGATAATGATTGCATCGCCATGGGAGTCAAGTTGCGCGTCAGCAGGGATAAAGCAGATGCTTTGCTAGAATCTGCACGCCATGATGCAGCATTTCTTGCGCGTCATGGTGTCATGGACTATTCCCTCCTTGTTGGCATATTCCAGCCCGACGACGCACCTCAAAACACTCTATTGTCTGACCCGACACCAATCAGAGAGACGGATTATACCACAAGTATCCAAATGACAAATGATTCTCCTAGACCCTCTCTGAATGAAGTACCAGCCAGCGAGCAACTCTCTGAATTCAACTCTCGTCATTTTTCAAGGCTACCAAGCTCCCTCAGTACGCCCAAAGAAATAAACGAGAAGAGTACTTATGCTATCAGTACCACTCAGTCGCCCAAGGCACCATGGGGTCTAAATGCTGCTGAGAATCAGAATCCATGCGGTATGCGCAATACCAAGACATCCACCAAAGTAAACGCAGACGAGGCTAGGCTTCCTGCTGCTTACGATGTTGCCATTGAGGGCCTGTCAGACAGCGGCCAGCGTGAACTCTACTACCTCGGCATCATCGATATTTTGCAGAAGTATACTGTTCGAAAGCACCTAGAGACCGACCTCAATATCATCACAAGGGGACTTAAACATTACAAGGAATGCTCCTGTGTATCACCAAACGAGTACCGCGATCGCTTTCTCAAGTTCCTCAGTCGCATATTCTGAGTTGCCAGGCAGATAGCTCGATTAGTGAGATACCTAGCACAGCGCTGGTAGATTCTGTGTGTTATATGCGCATAGGGCTCGACAGCCGCACTTAAAGGCCTCAGGAGAATATCCCGAGCCTCCGGGCGAATATCGCCAGCAAAAAAAACGCCGCATATGTAGGGCAAGGCAAAAGAAGGGCAGCTTTCCTTCGGCATCTAGATACTAGTACTAGAAGTAGTTTGAACAGCCCCGGGCGGCGGCGGAAGTGCGGGGCATGGAGACAGGTACCTACTAGTAGCAGCTTGTGCTGGCGGCCAGTGTCCAATTTAAGTCCGAGTCACGGTCTGTTTTATTAGTTCTTCTTCCTTGACTGGAATAATCTAGTTCATTTCTGTCTCGCTGGCGACCTCTCTAGCCCTCTCCCCAGCTCCTCTCCCCACTGGCACTGACTGGTCTCTGACTGGCGGTGACTGGAGTGCCACCTGGCAGTGGATTATGATGATACTCTAGATGCAGCGTGCTGGCATTCTGCTGGTAGTCAGGCGAGTGGCTCAGAAACCAGTGTTGGAGTCAGAGAAAAAAGACCCAAATGCGCCGAACAATGATTTCGCGCCAGTTGAAGGGTCACGGCCATCAACTGTAGTGGGCTGATGTGGAGACCTGGTACCGATCGCACCGCCAGGCGCGCGCACTTCTGGCAGCCTTGGTGGACCAGCAGGTGCAGCGAGGCCGGGCCTGGCGGGCCGGCCGAAGAGGCAGCTTAGGCGGGCAGCGATCTCATCAGCGCCGCCCTCCTCACCACTGGCCACTGCGTGCACGACATCAGGTTGCGATGGGACCGGCAAGCATGGGACTGGCGCGGGCTGCGTGACCCGCCAGGCGGAAGGAGCAGCCGCGGGTGCACGTTGCCACAGGGCCTGACCGTCGGACGTTCCTGCACCACTATCCTGGACAGGCGATGGCGCACGCAAAGTCAATGGCGATGATGTGGTGACGCGCGTGACTGTCGGCGGCGCACGGGGCCTGATGGTAGCCGGCGTGGCGGGCCGGCCAGCACGATCGGTCGATGGCGATGGACGCGTGGTTGGCAGCATGGCGCCCCCGTGCAACGCAACAGCCGATACGCGACGCTTTCGCGCCACCGCCGATTCAGACGGCGCAGATTCGGCAGGTGGACGCCGCGACGCACGCATAGGGGGCGGCAGCGGTGAGGGCTGAAGTGGCGAGACAGCGGGGACATCGGAGCCCTCAGACTCATCGGACGTGGAATGCCGGTCCGGACTGGGTGGCGTGGACGGCACCGGGGGTGCCGAGGTGCCAGCGTCATCAGGCGTGTCCGCATGCCCCGCCGCGCGAGCGGCGGCCTCTTTCTTACGGCGCTGCTTTTGGCGCTTCGCCTTCTTTTTCTCGCGTGCTTTGGCCGACCTCGCCTCGCGCTCAGCCTCCTCAGCCTCGAGCTCTTCGACGAGGCTCCGCCGTGCAGCCTCTGCCGGGCCGTCTGCAGCTACTGGCGCGGCCGCGACGTTAGCGTCAGTTTCGCCTCTCTTTCCACCGTTTCCGTCGCATCGCGCCCGCTCGCGCTGTTTGAGCAGGATCCTGAGGCGTGCGTGGCGCGCGGCCTGCGCAGGATGCACTGGTAGGGGTTGGGACGGAGCTGTATGCGCGTGCGTCCCCGCCGCCACGCGCGAGACTCAAGCAAATTTTGGGAAAGGTACAACGGCGTGCGGCGCTGCAAGCTCGCCTTCCGGTCGCGTGAGCAGTCAGCGAGCGGCGCACGGTAGTCGGCCACAAGACGGGCGGCAGCGTCAACGTCGCCACGCGCGACAAGAAGCGCGACAGCCGTATCTCCTCGTGCGTTGCGCGCGGCAACGAGCTCGGGAAGGCGGTCATCAGCGCGTGCGGCATCCAGGACGGGCCAGAGCACGTCGAGGTGCCCCTTTCGTGCGGCGAGGAGTGCGGCCTCGCCCGACGGCGGCGCTCCAGCGCTGATCAGCGCGCTCGCAAGCTCAGCGCGGCCGGCGCCTGCGGCAAGCGTGAGCGCGTCCTCACGTGGCGTCGCGCCGCGGACGGGTCTTGCAGGGTCCGCACCAGCGCGAAGCAGCGCGCGTGCTGCACGCGATGCGCCCTTGGCGACCTGCGCGCATTCGTGTTGGTGCCACTCGCGCACGATTCCGCTTCGCCGCGCTTTTTTGCTGGTTCGCGGCAGGCGAAGATGAGTGACACGCGCGCCAGCTCTGATCGACGGCGTGCCACCCTCCTCTCACACCGAGTGTGCGCACGAGTTAGGCAACTGTGCTTTGCATTCAACGCCGGGGTGCGGACGGCAAGGTGCAGCGCCGTCTCGCCATGAGCATCCTCGGCGTCGATGTCAGCGCCGGCGGCCGCGAGCACAGGCACAATTGCCGCTGCCGCTGTGTCTGCATCCGCGCGGTGACCGCGCGCGCACGCGAGGTGCAACGGTGTTCGTGCCGAGCCAGCGGCGACGTCGCGGTGCGCTGCGTCGGCGCCTGCACGCAGGCACCGCCGGACCGCGTCCGCGGCGCCCGTACGCGCGGCCGCGAGCAGGCACGCATCGGCGTCGCTGCGCGCGATATCCGTCGACGACACACTGACAGTGACAGTCGCGCGCACGCGTAGCGCGCCGTCGGTGCCGATGAGGTCACGCGCACGCAGCTCTGTGTGCGCAGCAAACTTCGGCCAGCCCCAATCCTGGACCGCGGGTGGCGGCGCGGCGCGGAAGACCTGTGTTGCCCATTTCGCATATCCACGTGACGCGTCGCCCGACGCATGGTCGACAGACATGGTGAACCTGCGGCGGCGGCAGCGCAGCAGTTGGTACAAGCGTGGGCGCATATGAGGGCGGCGCAACGCACGTCGCGTGTTTCTGCCAGCCGAACGGGAGCGTGGCGGCGTCGCGAACCGAGAGGTAGAGTGAAACGTGCCCGGCATTGTCTGCACCGTCCCCGTCGAGAAAGTAGTACAAAAGCCATCGGTTGCCCGCCGCGTCAACGAAGCCGGCGTCATGGTACATGCCCTTGTGCGCGCGTGCGGCGTCCGACCTGCGTGCCGTCTCGAAATCGGGCACGACCCAGCGGCATACTACGGTCGTTGGACGTGCCTGCGGCGCCCAGCCGCCGGCAGCTGTCGTACCACCGCCCGCTGCGCCCGCCGCACGCGCGGCTGCCTCGCCGGAGCCGCCGCCGGCCTCAGCCGGGGCCGCCGGCATCGCCGTGCCGCCAGAGCTGTTGGCGGCGCCCGGCGGCGGCCGTGGAGGTGGCGGCAGCGCGGCGACGAGGTGCGTGATGGCGACTCGCGTGCCGCTAGCCTCTGTCGCACCAGCGACCACCGCACGGTTCGCCGCCTCGGCAGCCGCGAAGCGCACGCACGCAGCGCCGCCGCCGGCGACGAGCGCACACGCCTCGACGGCGCCGTGCGGCTCGAGCAGCGTGGCGACATGGGCGCTGGTCGCTGAGACCGCAAGGCCCGACACAACGACGACGCGGCCTGCCGGTCCTGCGCCGCGAGAAAACCGCGCGAACGTCGTCCCCAGAACGTCGACAGCGGCGGCGCTGACGGTTTTCGCAAGGCGCGTGGGAGACGCAGCAGCAAGCGTGCGCCGCAGCGCACGCGCCGAGGCGTCGTCATCGCCGTCATTGTCCACCGCGCGCGCCACCGCGGCAAGCACGTCTTCCGAAGCGTCGCGCGCAATGACACTCGCGCTACCGGCAACGGCCTGACCTTCCGCGTGCGTCGCAGGTTCCGAAGGGACACGTCCGGGATCTTCCAGGTCGTTCCCTGTCTCGGTGGCAGCGCCCGGCGCAGCCGCGCCTGGCGCGGCGGGGCTCGCTGCCGAACGGGTCTTATGCTGCGCCGCAACGGGGGCGCGTGCGTCGCTGTCCTTTTGCGGGAGTGGGACTCTGTGTGGATATCAACCAGTGAGTTAGGATTATGCGGGGACCTTCGTGAACCTCCACGCCATCGAGCAGACGCGGTGACCGGGACAACGTCGTGTCGATAGCGCGGACCTCCACGCCATGCGTGCGGCGCTAAAATTTGATTTCCACACAGAGAGCCATACCGTACTCGGCCGGGCTTCTCCTCCGCTACGATGACGTCCTGGTCGCGCAACACAAGAAGTCGCGCCGTGTGCTCTGCGTCGATGACGTCGCCGTCCAGGAGAAAGGAATACGCGAGATTGTCGCGCCTCCTACTGTATTCCCTAAACATCACGCCTAGCTTCTGATCGAGGCGCAGTTTAAAGTGCGTGTTATCTTTTGATTTGACATCGAGGACGCGAATCGTCACGTACTGTGCCATCACCACCGTACCGGGAACGTCGCCGAGGAGTAACAATCTAATTAAGTCTAGCGCCAGCTCACGCGATTGATGGATGACGACTGCGCACAGTCAGCAAATGGCTATGCGCAAGCGGTAAGTCGCGCACAGCTGAATTCAATAGTGAGCTAGTTATAACGCACTAGATTTTCCAGGGCTTTGTTACATGCATGTTTATCTTTCGGCGCCCGGAGCTATATAATAAAAATACGCACCACATGCGGAAAATTCATCCCAAAGCCCCAATGTATACGCACATATACCCGCGGCGTCTGGTAGATATGTATATGGTACTCTGTCTTTTTATCGTCGATGAAGTGTGGGCACGTTGCACAAGGTAGTTACAGTTGCTTCTTCTTGGGTTCTTGCGTCTTGAGCGTGGGGAAAGGGAATCTTGACGGGCTCGGCCGGTCTACAACGGCGAGCCGCCGACGGGGCACGGCTGAGGCACGTTCGCATGCGCGTCGAACATGACGAAGCCGCCGTCGGCGATCTGCACGAAGATGTCGTCGCCGCCGGCGGTGTGGGGCACCATTTTCTCGATGCGACTTTTCACTACTCTGAGCCTGAGAGGTCCGTAGGAGGCCCTGACGTCTCTACGCGTCCGCTGGCACGAGGTAGCTGAGAGTATCGGCGAAGTTTAGGTAGGCCTTAGGATCACTTGACGCAGAACATACCGTACCTAGAGGGAACGGCAATATAACGGACGCGGCAATATAAGGGACGGCCCGGTTAGGCAATATAGGACTACTCTGGGGGACTCAGATGTATGGGAGATGGCTCCTGGCTGTCCGGCCGCCTTCGCTTCTCCGCGCTGCTGTGTGTGCTGCCTGTGTACAACAAACAACGAACCATACTCTTTAGTACGCGAGGATGTTTGCATAGCGGCACCTGCTAGCAGACAAAGAGCTGCATGTCCGCCCCTGCTCCGAGCCGGCGTTCGGCAGCTCTCGCCTTAGAGCAGTTGACTGCGGAGATACGATCCGAGCTATATCTTCTCTTGGATGATGTGGGTGGTCAAATATGCCTGGTCCTGGATCGCGGCATCGGCGGACAGCTGGATCACGTCGTGCCTGGCGGTGCAGAGGCACTCCGGTCGCACGGCGTCCGTTTCGTGCGCTCACTGCGGCCAGAGCTCGACGCAGTGCGCGAACACCGAGTTGTGTATCTCGTCCGTCCGACGGTTGCTGCGATGATGCTGATTGCTGGCCACGTGATGAACGAAAACATGGCCGAGGTCACACCGCGACGGTTTCACGTCTTTATGGTGCCGCGGACCACTGTCCTCTGCACACACGTGCTTGAGGAAGCGGGCGTTCTGCCGCACGTTCGCGTCGGCGCGTACCGCCTCGATGCCATTGCGCTCGACACCGACGTACTCTCGCTCGAACTCCCAGACAGCCTGCGCGAGGTCGCGGTCGATGGCGACCCGACAGCACTCGAGTGTGTTACTCAATTTCTGCTGCGTTTCGAACAGCTTTACGGGACACCGCGTGAAGTCCGGACGTTCGGCACAGCAGCGCGTGGCGTTGCTGAGCGCCTCGCGCGCGCTGACCTCCGGGCCGAGCGCGCGCGCTGCCGCGCGCGCAGCGGCGGTGATGGGGTTGCTACCGCCGCGGGGCCGCGCGACTTCGGCGGCGTGCTGCCACAGTGCAACCTTAGCGACGCGGCTGATGCGCGCGCGCGCCGCGACGTTGACACGTTGGTGATTATTGACCGACTTGCCGACCTCGTCACGCCCATGGTGACGCCTCTCACCTACGAGGGGCTCGTCGACGAGGTGATGGGTGGCATCCACCACGGCTGTGCGCGCCTACCCCGCGCTGTTGTCGCGGATGATGCCGATGAGACAGCTTCCGCCGCCGCTGCAGACGCCGACGGCGACCGCGTCGCCTACGCGCTCAACTCACGCGATGCGCTCTACGCCGAGGTCCGCGACCTCAACATCGAAGAACTCGGCGCTCGTCTGGGCGATCGCGCCAAGGCGATACGCGCAGCGTGCGACACAGCGTAGATGTCCAAGTTCGGAGATTATCCCCGATTTTTGTGGCTTCAGCGAGATGCCCTGACCCTTAGTCCCAATCGTGTCGAGAGGATTCCCTTAGAGGCCGGTTTCGTACAGGTATGACGCATTCCGCGCCCGCCGCGACGCGTCCATCACAGAGATCCACGACTTCGTGAAGCGCATCCCGGGCCTAGCGGCGGCGTACCGGAGCCTCCAGACGCACATCCGCCTCGCGGAGTGCGTCGCACGCGCGACAGATGCACGCGCCTTCCGCGCACGATGGCATGCCGAGCGGACTTTCCTCGAGGGCGAGCCCGCGTTCGACGTAATCGATGACCTCCTCGCGACGCGAGAGCCGCCATTCTCGCTCCTTCGCCTCGCGTGTCTTGCGTCGCTCACGACGGGCGGCCTTCGCGCCGCGCGGCACGACGCGCTCCGCCGTGGCGTACTGCAGACGTATGGCTTCGAGCTCCTCGGCACGCTCCACCACCTGGAACGCGTCGGCCTGCTCGCACGTGCTCGCGACGCGACGGCGGCAGGCCTCGTCCTCGGTGGTGGCGGCGCCCGCACGCCCTTTGCCGCACTTCGGCGCGCGCTGCGCCTTGTGGTCGCCGACGTTAATCCACGCCAGCCGAGCGACGCCGCATACGCGACACCCCGGCGTGAGGCGCTAGCTGTCTTCACTCAAGTTGCATTCAATTCGTAGTCGGCGCCCCGTGCCGGGCTCCCTGCACTGCGCGCCTATACCTAAGCGGACCCCGGATGGGATATTGCACTGCCCAGACTGAGGGGGACAGGCGGAATTGTCACCGACAGATCGCATTTGCACAGGTTTCCTCGGGCTATGCGCCGATCTCAGTCCGCCTCGTCGAAGCGATCGCCGCGCCGGATGACGCCGCACTCGCTACGGCGCTCCCGCAAGTTCCCGGCCTCCCGCATCTTGCATATGCACCCCGTGCGTTCTCGCGCGAGGAACTTGGATGCGCGTTCGACGACGCCGGGGCGGGCGTGCTCGCCGCCGGCGCGCTGCACCGTGTTTCACCCGGGTCACCAGCGAGCCCCGGTGCCAAGCCCGTTCTGGTTGTTGTTTTTGTTGGAGGAGTGACGTACGCCGAGATTGCAGCGCTGCGCCTGCTTTCGCGCCGGCCCGACTTTCCATTCACCGTGCTAGTTGCTGCCACCGCCGTGATTAACGGCGCCGGGCTCCTCCAAACTCTCGTGATGGAAATGGAAAATAGCCTGCAGAAAACCCATGCTACAGCCTAGCCTAGCAATCGTCCATTTGAATGAAGGAAGTTAGTTTTAATTTATTAATTAAGCGGGACCTGAGAAAAGGAACAAGCTCCTAAAGCGCCTTCATCCTGCTTGGGGTAGGATGCCCAATCGAGCTTCAACTCGGACACGGCGATAAGGTCACGGTCACGTAACTTGAACCGTCAATGAACGATAGATGATGACAGACACAGACGTAGCATTTTTTACACCTTTCGATATTTTAGAGGTCGATTAAGCCCCATTTGCTGCGCTCACAGGACAACCGACCTCTGATCTCCAAAATGATATAAAAAACGACAAGTAGTATATTTATAAACTTGGACGCTCTGAATGTCACGGTGACGAATATATTAATAATGCGCAACCTATATGCATGATCGCTAACCAGGTGAAGATAAACCTTGGTTCGCACCAACAGTATCTCATCGGCGTCGCCATGGCAAAACGACACCCATGAGGAAACGACAATCAATGAATCATGATGGCCTTCAATTCAACTTGTGCCAGTGACACTCAAACCGCGCGCGGCCCGGGCCGGGTAGGGCGAATTGAACCTAAGCGCTCGAGAACTCGTCACGCACTTTCACGGAGGCCTTTAAAGTAGGTTTTGGGGTCTCCTGGGCCGGTGGGCCCGCCGTCGCTGTCGCCCGCCCATCGAGCTGGACCTTTAAAGGTCCAGCTCGTATAAAACCTAACCCGCACGTTACGCAACCCTAACCCGGACGCGAACCCTAACCCGCACGTTACGAAAACCCGCGCGGCTAACCTGATTTATATAATACGAAATTACCTGATAAACCCGCCACTTGTCATTTCGGCGATAGTATGCCGAACCTACGGACTGTGAATGTTAAATATATAGTTGGTAGGTTCGACATTCGACAATTACCTGGTTAACTCGTCGAATGTCACTTCGGCGATAGTTTGTCGAACCTACGGACTGCGAATGTTAATATATAGTTGGTAGGTTCGACATTCGTCATTTCGGCGATAGTTTGTCGAACCTGCGGACTGCGAATGTTAAATATATAGTTGGTAGGTTCGACATTCGTCAAATGTCATTTCGGCGATAGTTTGCCGATAGTATAACTGACGTTGTCTAGTAGCCATTCTGTCTTCACAAATGTTGCTCCCACAACTCCCGTCGCGTCTCTAAACGCGGTAATATCCATGGGAGCATAACCGTCCAAAATATCGTCAAAAATAGATCTATCCACCCGTTCTCCTGACTTTAGTTGGCGAAGGATTCCCTCACGACTTTTGGTCTTGTATTTCATTGTTATCTCCATGTCCTCGTCATCACCTCCTCCGTGGGCGACAGCAATTGCTTCGGTTAAACTGTACTTAACCTTAAAGTATTTATTACTGGTAGTCTGCTTTTTCTTGACTATATTTGTCAAGGTGACGTAAATTTCATTTGGCACCTCTTCCTTCTTCTCAAAGAGGTAATCCATGAGTTCCCTGTTTTTCGTGTCGATTGGATCAGCCATCTGAACGTGACGTGAAGTTATCGCTAGACTTTTTGGCGAGTATGTGATGTGTTGGTACTGAGGAAGGCCTCTGCCCGGAGGACTTTTGAGATATATTAACATTCGCAGTCTGTAGGTTCGGCAAACTATCGCCGAAATGACATTTGACGAATGTCGAACCTACCAACTATATATTTAACATTCGCAGTCCGCAGGTTCGACAAACTATCGCCGAAATGACGAATGTCGAACCTACCAACTATATATTAACATTCGCAGTCCGTAGGTTCGACAAACTATCGCCGAAGTGACATTCGACGAGTTAACCAGGTAATTGTCGAATGTCGAACCTACCAACTATATATTTAACATTCACAGTCCGTAGGTTCGGCATACTATCGCCGAAATGACAAGTGGCGGGTTTATCAGGTAATTTCGTATTATATAAATCAGGTTAGCCGCGCGGGTTTTCGTAACGTGCGGGTTAGGGTTCGCGTCCGGGTTAGGGTTGCGTAACGTGCGGGTTAGGTTTTATACGAGCTGGACCTTTAAAGGTCCAGCTCGCCATTGCTCTCTGATAGTGTACTACCAGTAACTTGAGGTAATTAATAGATAGATAAACAAATAACATGCCAGTGAAATTGAAACTTGAAGTAAAGAAGGACCCGGGCACGGGGACCGTGACGCTTCCCCTCTGGGCAACCCCGCGGCGGCCCCCGATGCGCCCCTGACGCTGCCGCGGTATTTCGGTTCAATACGGCCTTACGTCGCACCCTAAAACTGTATCCTTGCCTCTCCATACATCAGAGATATGAGGTCCGGAAATCGGCATAGCTCCCCCACAGCTGGTAGTATTAGTCTTGTTGGAACCGTGACCCTCTGTATGATCGATAGACCGCCTCCTAAAACTTCTTCTGCCGCAGACCGCGTCTCCAGCGGACCCCATCTTGTTGAGCTTTAGTTGAACTGTATGAAACCGTTGTTGCGGGCTGAAATAGAACATTAGGCAGAGGAGTGGACACAAGCGAGCCAAAGTAATGCGTTAGCCGTCGAGCGGCACGCGGGTTCGTGTCGTTCCGCCTCGAACTTGAAAACGAACTCAGCCTGAGCCTGCCAGTAAGGCGCTTGAAGGGACTCGGATTTGCTCGGACAATCGGGAGGTCCGGCCACAGAGTACACGCCTCCTCTTCCTATGCAGCCTTTCGGGTGGCCTTGGCGCATCAAAACGGAACCCTGGTAATCAAATTTATACCCAACATTATTTTGGCCCTTACTATGTTTTTGGTTGTATCCGCTGATACCTACGGTACTTGCTGGTACCGTAGGTACCGCAGTACCAGTATTGCGAGGTATGGAGAGGTATATGTAAGAAAGAATTGCGGCTGTTTTATGCATGCGTTGCGTTCGTAATTAGGCATGGATCAGCGATTGAGTGCAATCTCTGACCTGGGAAAGATATGGGTGACCGAGGCACATGTTCTTTCGATGTACTCGATGGTCGAGCATGGCCCAAAAATTCAGTCCCATGCTACCGGATTAGAGCTAGCAATGCTGTCCGGTACAAATTCTATCCAATTCCAGGATCATATCGGCCTACAGACAGAACTTGCTGAAGAGACTATCGCGACCGCAGGGATGGAGGCATTAGTCGTGGAAGGATTAGAACACATTAAGATGTTGTACACATTCAGGAGTGTGGGACGCGCAGTGCCAGTGGTAAATAATTTGAGTATAGAGAATAAGTACAAGTTGGACCTGGAGACGTTTCAAGTGCTGACTCCACAAATCGAGAAGATCAAACGCTTTATGGAATTTCAGGAGAGATGCATCGCAATGCTTTTGCAAAGCATGCAGGACCTTGCGATCAAACAGGTCCGCGGGAATAATACTGACCGCCACTACAATGCAATTACAAAGTTAATGGATCTACTTCAAAAATTAGACAACCTCAAAGACATTAAAGCCTCACTGACAACTGATTTCTCTCGTTACAACCGTGTGTTGCAAGTATTGCGAATGGACTTGCCTAATGGAGATAGTCTTGCCCGGGAGAAGCACAAACTGCAACTATTTTTATCTAACTTCAAATATTCAAACTCGCTTATCCTTAATAATTTAAGAGACGCCTTGAAGCGAATTCCCAATCATGAACTCGTGCTGATAGATATTCTTCAACAAAATGTCGAGTTTATCGAGAATGGCCGCTATGTGCTTCTAGACGAGAAGTACCGGTTAGTACGGTCATTGCCGCGGCTTATGCTGCTAATTGATGGGGACCTGGGTGATAGCGTAAAAAGTGTGAACGTATTTAAGGACAGGCGTATAAGTCTCACTCCGCTCCAGTCTATTTTTAGAGCCTATCCAGTTGTTCCAGAGTGTGGGGACATGTCGATGACCATGCTTATTATCCTTCAGCGATCCCCCCATTGGGATGCTAGTATGGAGATAAGTTGGGGCGGCAACGCTGACCGGAGAATTGTCGCTCATTACTCACTACCGTCTCAGTGGAGCAGAATCAAGTTGCAGCACCAAGAATATATGCCGTACTTGGCGCAAACACTAACTGAGGTAGCAACTTATCTCTTCAAGAAAGACACTGCCACTGCAAAATATGCAGCCTTTGTGTCGAAGATGGTATTCGATGGCTTTAAGCTGTTGCAGTCCTGGACCTGTGCCGTGCTCGAGTCCTACCATTGGAAGCTAACACATCCCTGCGCCGCAGCTATCATTACTAAGTTAGATAAGCAATCAGATCACCCCTATGAGCTTGCAATTCGATACAACTATTCTCCACGGGAACTTGGGGTTCTTGTGGACATAATCTCGATGATCAAATCGCTGACCTCAATGCTGACTCAAGCGGAGGCTCATGTCGCCCCCTACATCCGACTTCATATCCACCACAAAATACAGCAATTTTCAGCAGGAGGGCTAGTACCTCCGTTGCATCGTGCGCATAAGCGAAAACGCGCAATAATCAATCCCCTTCTAAAACTACGACGCTTAGTCAGCGACTGGCCCAAAAATATTGAGCCAATCACGGACTATATATATTACTCCAGACAGGATGGCAGAGTTGAACCTACACACACAGCCCGTGTTGTTGGTCCAACATTTACACAGCTTCGACTTTTGCGGACCATGGTGCGCGCCATGTATGATCCGAGAAATCAGCTCCGTGTTCAATTTTTTTCCAAGAAGGACTTAGAGAAAGAAGATTTGCAGCTTATGGATTATTTCTACTGCGAGTCATTGTGCTTTCAATATTTACTCAACTATACAGGCACCTTAACCTCAAACTCCGACCTGGGCGACCTTTGGTATCGGGAGTTTTACCTTGAACTATCTGGGGAGGTACAATTTGCAATTGAACTTTCACTTGCATGGATTCTCGCGGAGCATGTAATTACAGACCAGCACAAGTCGATGCCTCTGGTTGAAAATATCTTGTATACACTAGACACCTACAATGACGCAGCTCACCGGAGCATAAGTGTTCTTTCCCAGCGCTTCCTGTACGATGAGATAGAGGCAGAAGTTAATTTAATCTTCGACCAAATTGTCTTTCTGGTGTCCGACCATGTGTACTCCTATTACACAAAAATGGTGGGATTGAGGCACGTTGATGCACCACACCACGAACGTTTGCATCCAACTCTAAAGTGCGCTGATGTGCCTGCTGCTCAGAGGTATCACGTGCCAATATCACAGCGAAATACTCACGTCCTTGGCCGGATTATTGACCTTAACTTTTTAATCGCGCATCACGTCAACGGGAAGTTTTATGATGACCTTGACTACTGTGCGAAGAAACTTGAAGCAAGTGATTTATCTCAAGTGTTGGACTACCAAAAAGCCATTCGTGTCGTGCGTGAGACCCACGAATTACTCGACGAGCATCTTGAACTAGATCCATTCGTTAAAATCATTACCACAGTAGATGAAGCTGTGGGACCAACAGCGTTTGCAGGAAGAGCCTTAATGCATATTCTCGCATGCCTGGTGACTGACGTCTTCCCAAATTACTCTTACAATGGGTTTACAAGAAGATTTGTGATATCATCACTTGCGGATATTCCCCGACGTAGACACCCAAACCCCAGCTATGATCATTCCACCTTTTGCGCCCCACCCAAGCACGTCTGCGAAAATGCAACTAAGCTTCATAGGAGCTTCATAGGAATGGTTCATATTGAGGCAATTATATGCACTCTCGGGGTTGTTGGGATACCCTTACTTACAAAAAGTCTATTGCAATTCGTCAAAGAACAACTCGAGAATACCCTTACTTATCTTTACGCAATTATCAAAGGATTTCCGCCATGGAACTATAACATGATGTATGGACCCACCACTTGCTTCAGACACTTAGAGGCAGTACTACAAAATTTCGTTCATGCGGGTGTGGACTTGAGACCTGAAGTTTTTCAGGCTTTTAAGGAGGTCGGTAATACAATTTGCTTCATCATGGATCTCTCGAATGTGCTGGATTGGCTAAGTTTGCGTGGGCAATTATGTGCACTTCGGTTTACCACTTTCAAGTTTCCCACCAAAACTACTCTCAACTCCACACTGGACTCGACTCAGCAATTTTACGCTTCATTGGGCCAGCTCTCCTGTGGAGCTCTCGCTCATCTTGGTGAGCTAACTAAGTCACTTCAAACGGCGCATATCCTTGAAAGCCACATTTTTGATTTGAATGCCACGCGCAACTTTTACCATATTTGGTCTTTACTCTCGCTCTCTTTTGGACTTTCTGGGCATGAAGAGAATCATAACCTGGTATCTGACGATGAACAGTTCGGCCACGGATTTTTTGTTGCGGGCGCTGTGCTCATACATTTCCTTGGACAGGTCGAACTATTCTATGCATGTGATTTCTCTAGCCAATTAAGTAGGATCAAAGCTCTAGAAGTTTCTTCTCCCTTGCAAATCACCCAGGGGGCTTTCTCAACCGTCCAGTTTGTCAAAACAAAGTCGAATCATGCAAAGGTTTACAACATGTTTTTTTCCCTATTGAGGGTCCATGCGATCGAGACAACTCATGATCACGATCTGCATTTTCTGCCTCCGACTTCTCATGATTTATTATGCGGGGTATCCAACGTCCACATAAGGCCAACGCCTACAACCTAAAGATCGTCAATCATGTACCTGTTGCCCGTCACCGAGTCACCATATTGTGAATAGAGTAGATTAGATCAGGAGGTTGTGCGCGGCAGGAGACAGAGAGCCGGATTCATAGGTAACTATGGTGGATGGTCAGGAAGCACTTACAGCTTCACCGGCACTTTCGGACTAGAAGTTATGACTGAAGTAAAATAACCCACCCCACCAGAGCTTGGGTTCTCAGGGATGAGTAGTCCCAGTCTATATAGCCCAACTGTGATATTCTTCTACTGGCGGGCGCGGCAATGCTATGCTTCCTCCCGCATGGCGCCTAAACTAGATGTCTAAAACCGTCTGCTACAGCCCCAAAACAAGTCGAACTAAGTTTTGTGGTCGTCTGAGGGGAGCTACCTATACACGAATTTACTTTTAACTTTGGACGATGTCAGCTGAGATGTGCTTGCGTCTAGTGTTGGCGGTAGTACATAGAATCTTGCCTCATCCTGACGGGTGGATACAAAGATGTATCTTCTGAGTCCGTCCAAAAAATTAATAGGCGCACTGAGTAGTGGATTTAGCCTGGGGCGGCCAGGGGGTGGCGAGCGGCTTGTACGTGCTCTGCCTCCACCCCTGCCAAACGCCACCGGTCACGCGAAGTGGATTCTTCATCATGAGGCCGTGTGCCGCCCAGTGGAACAGAGGCGGTAGGAGTGACGTGATCATCATTGTCAGTTATGGTGGACTGCCTTCCCTGAGAGACAACAAAGACGAGAGATCAACCATAAGGCATCTCCCAAGTTGACATTTGCGCTCTACTAGTAGATCATCATGATGCTGTGGCCGCTCCGGGCCCTACTGAAGCCTGCCTGGCTGGCACGGCAGAAGGCTACAGTCCCCGGGTTACCAACTTCGCGTTGCTAGAGCGTGCGCGGACTAGGCGCCGCGCAACTGACCTTAATTTTTGAAAAATACAAAGAGTCCAGGCCAACTCCGATTGGAACTCAAGTTGAACCTCAGTTTACTTCAAAAAAGCAGAGTGCCAGTGCCAGTGCCGGCAGTGGACTCGGATGGCGCCCGACGTCTCTAGATGAAGGGCCGGAACTCACCCGAATCCGCCACTGTAGCACGCATCCCTCCGTGTTCTCAGGGCCAGTCTGGTGCTAACCGTGACTCTAGGTTGCCATTTACCTGAGGGGTTTTTTACCCCTGGCGCCGCCCGGGGTTAATAACCCGGGTAATTACCGGTCAGTACGGGTAATTTACCCCAGAATCTTATAGAGGGGTAGGGGAGGGGGCCTCACGGGCCACTGGCGCGGGCCTGGGCCGCGCCGGGCCACATGACTTGGTACTTGCCTTGGCGCACCTGTACGTATCCAAAAGCTCAACGGGCTGCTTGCGCCCATCCGCTCGTCCGGAGGGGTCTTCGCTAATCTCACTAAACGGGTTTAGTCGAAAACCCGTCGGGTTATTGGGCGGGTTGGATCCCAGGTTAACCCCCCGGTTATGCACAAGTGAAGTCATAAGTGAGGCACCAGGGTAACCTGAACTGCATGTAGGCACTGGTGTTTAGAAGGAAGGCGCAGTCATTTGTATCCTAGCATTACCGTGACGAGTCCACCCCGGGCGGCCCGGGGCGGGGAGTAGTCACTGAGTATAGGGAAAATGTATACTTTATGTCCCATTCTGACGAATGAGCCATAAAATATACTTTTTCCATTTTTTAGAAATCCGACATAAAAACCATCCCCCCTTTTTTACCAACTAATAAAAAATATGTCAAAAAAACTTCAAGTTGACTCCGAGTCGGAACTGACATAAAAATCGCCAAATATTTTACCGTTGGCATTAGTAGTATAGACGAAACGTATAGTATTAGTCCCCCGCCTAACGGCGTGGAACGAATTCCCTACATTTCGTGGGGAGGGACATATAGTATACGTTCTTTTTTTGACTCGGACATATTTTTTATTAGCCTGAGTTAGTTCAAGTTGCCAGTGGAAAAAAAGGGGGGATGGTTTTTATGTCGGATTTCTAAAAAATGGAAAAAGTATATTTTATGGCTCATCCGAAGGATGGGAAATAAAGTATACATTTTCCCTATACTACTCGTCTTGCATCAATGCTGCCCGTGGCAATCCCAAGCCCGGCTAAACATCCGCATTTCGCCAAAAGAGTCTCTGTTGCACGACTTATGCGGGCTGTGCCCCAGCCCCCGCCAGCAGTTCAGCACCATCCTTGTGGAAACTCAACTCGCCCGCCGAGATTATTTCGCCAATTTTGGTCTTCTGGCCTCGTCACAGGAATCCATGGTGGCAGAGAGATCCTCTATGTTTTCCTGCAGCAGCGACGATAGACCCTTAGCAGAAGGCGATGGGTAGGGGCGTGAGGACGCGACTTTCCATAGATATCTGAGAAACGGAGGGTGGTAAGGGTCTTTTTCGTCGTCGGCATCGCCCAAGTCAATGCCTTGTGTAGTGTCATTTCCATCGAGCGCGCCTAAAATTTGCATGTCGTTGATACTCAGCGCCCCGGCGCATGCTATCTCGTGCCGCGCGGCGGGCGTGTATGCGTGCAGCGGGTCTCGAACCCAGGAATCTGGTGTTACAACCTGCGCGAGTTGTCGACTACGAGACATCATCCATGAAGCCCTTTCTTTCCCCGAGCAGCCGCCGATGGTGTACCGCCAGCGAGCCCCAGGTGCCAAGCGTCTGATCGATGGTGCGCCGGCTGCGACGGGCGGCGCAAGATGACCATGCCAGACGAGCGCCTCGGAACTTGCGCGGCGCGCAGCTGTCGCGTCGCCGTTGCGAGCGAGCGTATGGAGCCGCTCAACGTCGGCGGCGAGACCTGCGGGATATAGTCGCGGCCGACCATAGTAATGGCGCAGGCGGTGGCGATTGCGTGCGATGCGAAGCCTGTGCGCATAATTGATCAAAGCAGATTGCCGCGACGGACGCGATGGTACGCGAGTGGGTCGCAACGGTAGCTGAAACTCTGGGGACGCGCAAATCGAGGTCGTTCGTCTCGCATCCACGCGGGACTGACTCCGCCTCGGAATCAGTCTCGTCCTCCCAACACCTACATAAGCTCATGACGCCTTACTTCGCATCACGACCGGCGGTTGTTCCCAGGGCCGTTCGAGGACAGATTCTTTTCAACTTCAACACGGCCTGGCGCCGCTCGACGGCGCGCCGTGCGCCCTCTCGGAGTGCCGCTCGCCGCGCGCGCATTTGACAGCACGCGTGCATTGCGATGTCAATTCCGCCGCTGCCTATTGCCGCTACGCTGCTACCGCAAGCCTTGGGTGCACGTAGGCGCCGCCGCGTATTCCCGATAACTGCTAGTGCCTCGCCTATCGTGACGCGGCGCAGGAGCTTCGCCACGTACACCCGAACTTTATTCACTGCGCGTACTCGCAGCGTCGCCGCCTCGACCCGGCGCCGCGCATTCGCGCGACGCGATGCGGTGTGCGGCCGATCTGCACCACCACGGCTCAGCCGCATTGACGCTGAGACTGACATCTTCGGCGCTTTACTGAGCGCAGAAACTTCATGGTCGTGCCCTCTCTCATTACCCGCCCGGGCCCCGCTGGGCTCGGAGATGGTGCAAGCTACCAGCTTGTACAAGCTCGCGAGCTTGTACTTTCTTGTAATGGGTGTATCTACGGTACTACAGGATCTACAGGTTCGTACTGAAAGTGCAATCAGGGGGGGGGTCTGCCAGTGAAATTTTGACAGATCACGGCGCATACATACGTCACGGTAGCCCTGTAGTGTGGATTTTCATAAAATAAGGGGGCTCCTTGCGACAAAGGCCCGGGGGGGGGGACTCGGGACTCAGCCTCAGCCTGCCACTGCCACTGCCACTGCCACCGCCGCCGCCGCGCCGCCGCCGCCCGGCCCGGCCGCCGCCGCCGCCGACCCCCTTACCATCTTGGCCACATTTACGGTTCCCGCCCCGATTTCGGTTGCCGTGAGGCTCCGCAGGGTTTGGTATCGTAGCGCAGCTCCGATTGTGGCTTCTAAAGGGTTGCACTTGTCCTCAGTCCCAAAAGTCGTCGATTTATTTATGTCGCCGCGTACGCCGAGAACCTCGAATCGGTCTCTCGCGACGCTAAGACGGCCACTAGATACGCCAAGATGACCGTAGCTTCGCCCGGTCGTACCAGGATAGCAGCCGCGCGGAGGGCAGCTTCTGCGCACGCCCGGCGAGATTTTGTGCGTAGGTGGGGATTCGACTGTAGCTGGATCTTGGCGCTACGTGCGTCTTTTTTTATGCTGAAAAGCGGAGTATCCCGCATTTCAGGGCGCTCGGGCAGCCCAAGTGATGCACCTGCTTCAAGTATACGATACGGCTCAATTGCGCTCGCATCGTGTGGGGGCCCATGTGTATAATATGCAAGAGTACTTGTATAAATTTATTAATTTTGTACCCGTCCCGGGACTGCGGGAGGGGTGGAGAGGCCACTGAAAGAGATGTTTCGCGTGCAGGCTCCGATCCTCATAATAGCAATTTTTAGCTAAAATTGCTAAACGTTTTTTCCGTCGTTCTCGGCCAATTTTGCGCCTGCGCGCAAAAAGAAAGCTGCCGAGGGCCGCTTGCAATGGAAATACACGTCTAGTAGGATCCCAAGGTTCAACTGAGACGTATCCAAGCACAACCCGTACTTGTATTGCCCGCCTAGGCTACTTCCCGGCCCATCCTAGGGTCACGGTACTCCGATATCCCCTTACTAGTAGGGGGAAGTCGCCTCTCACTCCTAACTGTTATCATCCTGAGTCACTTTTATTGACGGACGTAATTCCCCGTCACAAACCCCATCAAACATGGGAGAAACTATTTCGTTAGACGACTACACTACCGTGACGCTGCCGGGGAAATCCGGAGCTACCGTGACACACTCTATTTCCCTATGCATCGCAGGTTATGGGCCCACGCTCTGCGTGGTGTCTAACGGAACTGTCCAGAGGCATTGAACAACCCTCCGGACGTTTTAAAACCTAACCTAAATCACTGGCATTACTAAGTTATAACTCAGGCTTGAAAACTTGAAACATCACTCAGGCTAAACGTTATTCAATTACCATCAGGCTCCGAGTCCCCCACGAAATGTAGGAAACTCGTTCCACGCCGTTAGGCGTGGGAACTAATTTTATACGTTCAAGTTTCGTCTATACTATTAACGAATATCACTGGCATGATCCCCATTGATAGCCAACGGACAAAATATTCAAGTTTTGGCGATTTGTGTATCAGATTTTGACATAATTTTATTAGTTTGTAAGAAAAGGGGGGATGGTTTTTATGTCGGATTTCAAAAAAAATGGACATGTATATTTTATGGCTCATCCGTCAGCCTGAGGATCATGGCCCACTGGCAGGGAGGACATAAAGTATACATTCCCCCCCCCCGTGCAATCTGAGTCACGGTCAGGGCTGGCGGCCCGAACCACATATCGCAGACTTACTTAGGAGGCATAATACTGTCCCTGGGGGCCAGGCCGTAAATACGCGACTGATTGAGACGCGGCCTGGAAGTGGGTCGCGGGACTTCAACTTGACTCGGGATTCTCTTTTGCTACATTGTGTTGTAAAATGCTGTGCGCGTGTGCCTTTTGTCCTCTGCCGGTGATTTGAGTTTCCCTCAGGCAAAAATAGGTATTCTAAAGTTCTGATCCCATTCCACTCAATTTAATCAGCAGGTCCTTGTCAATTCTATTCTACTCTATTATAAATCAAAATCCGGCAAAAACTTTTTTTGCGGAGTCAAATTCGTCCTCAAGACATTCCCGGGGATGGTACTCATCGAAGCGAGATGCATCCCCAATTGGGAGGATGAGCGGCTTCTGTGGAGGCCGGATGCGTTTTTGATTGACTGCCACCTATGTGAACACGCAAAGGGGGATGGTTGGCTGCCACCTATGTATGTATGCAAGGCACCGGTTCCGACAAAGTCGACATCCTGAAAAAATTCTGCGGCCTGGATACTCGCCGCATCAGTGAGTCGTTTTGGAAGATCAGCTTTCAGCAGAGAACGGACTAGGGCGCGCGGCGTGGGTCCCATGAAAGACGGGAATGAGATGCGTCCTTGGATGACCCGTAGATATATCGCATGATGCGAATCTGTCTTGTGATCTTTGCCTGCGAGGGAGCAGAGCCATTTATCAATATAGGTAGTAGATTATCCATACGGTGGCCAAGACAAAAAGGCGTATGCCCCGACATGAGCTCGTACGCAACGCAGCCAAACGCCCACCAGTCGACAATGCGTGTGTAACCGCCCGTCTTTTTTCGCGATAGTTGCTCCGGTGATAGATATGCAGGTGTCCCGCAGTTTGTTCGCATTCGCCCCTCTGGCCCATCGGGCGGCGCACATGCAAAACCGAAGTCAACGAGGCGGCAATGACCCTCGGTATCCAACAGTACATTTTCTGGCTTGAGGTCTCGGTACACAAATCCGCCCGCGTGTACATGTGCTAGTGCTGCGAGTATCTCGACGAGGTAGAACTTGGCCACGGCTGCACTCAGGCACCTGTTACCTCGCAGTTTTGAGAAAAGCTCGCCGCCAGCCACGTACTCCAGGACGAAGTAAATCTTTTGCTTGTCCTGGAGCGTACCAAAGAGACCCACGACAAATGGGTGGCGCAATTGACCTAAGATCAGGCGCTCGTTCTGCACATGCCTTTCGTCATCGTGCTTGACCACGTAGCCCTTCGAGATTGCCTTGATCGCCATGTACTTCCCGTCCTTCCTGAATCGTGCGAGCGAGACCTCACCCATCACGCCGCGGCCAATAACGCGCACGAGTTCGAACTTTTCAATGCCTCTATGCGACCGTGGTCCAAGGACACAGTGAGTGGCGATCCAGCCATTCGTGCCATCAGCACGGGCCTCGGCTCTACGCGTCGCGAGAGCGCTTCCCGCCTGCCCGAACGCATGCGTGCTTTTGACTGTGTGCTTCGCCTTATTCCACTTCGTCCCACCAACTCCTCGCCGTGATGGGCCTTTTTTGTCACCACTTAGGCCCATCGATCCTACTCGTCGAGACATAATGACTGTGTCGGCATCTGTTTCACCCTGAAAAGTCCACGGCAAGGCGTGTTCGTCGACGGAGACATTGTACCCATCGTCGGGCGCCGGCTTTGGGTTCAGGCTCAGACCTCCGCCCATGCGACGATTCCTCCCTAAGAAAGGGAAAGCAAGCTTACCACATGTTTTGGCCGGAATACCGCCCAGTGAATAAGTATACCACGCTTTCTCTCATCATATTACCGCGGTATTATGATATTGTACCATGGTATCTATCCAACCTAAACTAACGTGGTGCTGATGTGCTTATGCTAAGGGTGCGATCTAGACCTCCCCGGGGGGGGGGGTCCGGAGCCAATGTGGTGGTACGCTCGGGCCGGTCTGCGCGATCGGTCTGCGGTATCGGTCTGTGGTATGATCACTGGCATGATCATGATCATGATCCGCCCGGCCCGGGGCCGACTCGGATCATGATCAGTCCGAGTCTGAGCCTCAAATCGGTCACACGCCCGGCCCGGGGCCGGCACCTCCGATAAAGTGAACTTACTTTCGTTCACTCCGGTGTTTTTACGGCGACTACCTAACGCCGGGCTTGATCCAACTTGGACACTAAGTGCCAGTGAAATACGGCCGGCCGGTGCTACTAGCGGCCTGAGTATAACGTGCTGAGAGGCGAGAGTAACGTAGCCACAGTTTTTAGCTAGGGGAGTTTTTAGCTCACTGCGCCCCGGGCCGCCTCCCAAAAACCGAACAAGCTCGTATAGTTATTCGAGGTTACTGACCGGGATAGTTACCTCGGGCCGGCCCGGGATCTTTCTCCGGGTGGACTCGGTTGCGTCACGGTAGGTCAATAGGATAGGACTCGGACCAGAGGCGTGGTTCACAGGCACTGGCAAATCTAGTAACCGCTTGGGGCTCGACAGCTTGTACCAACTGGCAAATTGAACTCAGGCTTGCCAATGCCAGTGAAAAAAAAAGCCCCGGGCCAGGTCACCGGCCCGGGTGAGCAACCGGTTGGAAGCTCGGGCTCAACTTGAATCCGCTCGCAGCTGAGCCGCCGCCGGCGGGCTAACTGTCCGCCGGATTTGACCTTCAGCAGGCGGCGTTGTTGCCAGTGATCTCAGGCTCCGAAGCAAGCCCGAGCGGGAGGGGCATATACTAGGATTCCGGCCGAGTCTAACTTGAAGTATCCCGTAGAAGTATCCCATGGACGAGATATGATGGCAAACTCCCAGACGTTCCTTTCGGAGTACGCTGGCTAGCTATGACTACATAGCAGGGAGGGGCGGAAGGGAGTGGTGCTTTTAAAACTACTAGAAGTAGAAGCGACGCTGATCTCACGCCTTTCTTGGTCTAATCACCCAGGGCCGTCGTCGAGGGAAGGCGATACCGGTATTTCGTGCGCCGGGGCAGTTATGCAACAAGAGCAGAGGCAGTTGCGGATTCATACCTACAGGACATGTACTATTATAAATGCACCACCAACACTTCGAGAATTACTTCCAAGCCGCATGAAGCTTGCGCGTGGTCCGATAGTAACGCGCGAGGCGATGGATACGCGACTCGATGAGGATGAGGCGAAATTTTGAATCTTTGTCTGCGCGATTGCGCTCCATGTGCTTGCGGACAGACACCGCTTTCTTGATTAACATGTATAGATCCTCCGGAATTTCCGGGGCAAGACCATTTTTCTTGAGGAGGCGCAGAATTTTTGACCCGGTCACCGACTTGACGGCAGGGATACCGGAGGAATCTCGCAATATGACCCCAATTTGAGATGGTGTCAGGCCCTTCTTCGCTAATTTGCACACATGCTCCTCTACATCCAAGGGTGATGTCTTCAGCCATTGTGGCGGTGAGCGTTTGTAGGGATTTGCCGATCGCGAGATGCCCTTACCTTTGCTGTGAAGCCGGCCCATGTCAGCGACCTGGCGATTTTATTACCGCTATGTTACAGTTTAGCCACTAGGACTCCACCTCGATATTTTCGTATAGTTGAATTTAGCGACCGGAAAGGGGGTGGGTCGAATGTTGATGTTGTACTCTGACGCCCGGGCCGGCCGCTCGCCCACGCCAGCATCTACCCCCGTCACACCCGGCGCGGCAGGCCCATCCTACTCGACTCGGATGTCCGGCGTGCGACCGATACAGGTAGATAGATATATGTGTATCCCTGTGTTTATTTTATTTTATACCTACGGGTACCGTAGGTAGTACCTACGGTACCGTACCGTAGGTAGGTACCTACGGTACCGTAGGTACCGTAGGACCTACGCTATTATTCCCGCGATTCCCGCGCCATGAGGCGGACAGATCGGGAAGAAACTTTGCTTACCTACGCGACGGAAAAATCTATCGAAACTGGAGAAATCCCCTTAGAAGAGGTAATTTCAGCATCACCTTAGCATCAAGAAGAAACAATACAGGGATGGGAAAAGCTCAGGGAAAATGGCATTTGTGTTTTGGTCGACATACTTCAGGGCAATGCATCCGACAGACGCCCGTTTGGTAATAAAGGCTATGTGTCTCTCTACACAATATCCTATCGAATGTGTTCAAATGCTGGATTGTACGATCACTCAAAGGCATTGTATGACAGGACCAAAGATGAAATCGAGCACGTCTTGCAGCACTATGTAGTTCCCGAACTCAACAAAAATAAGTATGCAGATGAAGGCAACGCCATACTCAACAAATTCTCACATCACTGGGAGAATCATAAAGTCTTTGTCAAGTGGATGCAACAGCTGTTTAGACATCTTGACAATGGCTACATTGCAAATTCTTCAATCTCCACAATTACGTCGGTGGGCTTAAAACTTTTTTTTGATATCGTCTTTGTTCAATTTAAGGCGGAAGTTCGCGAATCTTTACTGAATGCAATCGACACAGAGCGCGATGGAATAAATATCGACCAAGATCTACTGCGTTCTTGTGTTGAGGTTTTTCCCGTCATGGGCTTATCTTCGAAGTGCACTACTTTGAAGACAGTGCAGTCGGCATTGAACACCCAGCCTGATCTTAGTGTCTACGAATCTGATTTAGAAATTTCACTCTTAAAGAGGACCTCGGACTACTATGCACGAAAAAGTAGGGTGTGGTTGGAGGACCAAACTACCCCTGAATACTTGACACGGGCAGAGATGGCACTCAAAGCAGAGCGAAACCGAGTTAAGCGATATCTCCACCCCTCCACTCAGAGTAAGCTACTCTGTGCCTGTGAACAGGAACTTCTACAAAAGTACAAGGGGCCGTTGATCAATCATGATCAAAGTGGGCTTAGATCTTTGCTAGCTGAGGACAGAAATGAAGACCTAAGGCGCATGTTTAATTTATTCCGACGTCTTGCTGATGGCCTTTCACCGATGGCATTAATGACGAAGAAATTTGTACAAAGTGAAGGAAACAAATTGCTTCAGGAACGTCGGGATCTTATTCACTCTCTGAAATCGAAAGGCAGAAAATTAAGCTCAAATGACCCAGATTTGATCGATCAGCTCATGACGCTGCATAGTAAGATGAGTAGACTTGTCCTTGAGCTCTTCGACAACGAAGCTCAATTTCAGCGCGCACTACGAGAAGCGTTCCAGGAAGTCATGAATGCAGATACAACTTCTGATGATTCAAATGTTGAGTTGCTGGTTGTGCACACTGACCGTATTTTAAGTGGGAAATTGAAATTGGATGAAGAGGAGGTGGAGAATAGATTGGAGCACTGTATTCAACTTTTTCAATTTGTATCAGACAAAGATTTATATGCTGAACTGTATCGAGAAAGGTTGGCAAAAAGGCTGCTATCAAAGAAATATACCTCTATTCATGCGGAAAAATCAATGATAGTAAAAATGAAAACACAACAAGGAGCTCCGTTCACCACGAAGCTAGAGGGAATGGTGAATGATTTTACAGTAGGCTCGTACCAGCTGTCGTTATTTAATTCATTTTCTTTTTTGTCTTAGGAAAAGATATCGATCAAACCTGGACCGCGCATTTAAACAAATTAAGAGCTGCAAACTTGCTTGCTAATAGAACGAGAATGGACTTTTCCGTTCAAGTGCTCACTCAAGGATTTTGGCCCTCACAAAAGCAACGCGACCTGCAATTATCCCATGAGATGAGAGATGCAAAATCTGCCTTTAACACGTGGTACACAGAACGCCACAGTCATCGTGTGCTATCGTGGGTGTATATTCTTGGAGATGTAGTTGTCAAAGGCAACTTTGGGGGGAGATCATATGACATGACGATGACTACATTTCAGGCCATGGCTCTGCTTGCCTTTGCTTGCAAGAAAGAAGCGGTTGCCTTTCCTGAGATTTGTGAGCATATGCAGATAGATGAACCGACTGGCAAAAGAGTTCTTCACTCCCTTGCGTGTGGCAAGTATAAATTGCTAGATAAAACAGGTCATCACAGAACTATAAATTGCAAGACAGACCTGTTTGAATCAAACGCTATATTTTATTCCAAGTTGAAGCGATTTAAAGTCCAGATGTCAATGCTGGATGGTGATTTTAAGAGAAAAGTCAACGTGGAGATCCAACAGCAGCGTGGGTTTGGTATTGATGCAACGTAAGTGATCATCAGCAATACAATATATATTACCTTCTGTGGCTTTGGTTAGGATTGTGCGTATTTTAAAATCTCGCAAAAGGTAAGCTAGGTGGTGTGAAGAGCGTGATCCCCCCGTTTCCCTCAGGCTTGCCCATCAAGAACTCGTCGGCGAAGTGATCCACCAGATTCAGAACTTTGCGCCCGAGAGTAGGTTGATACGACAGCGAGTAGAAGGTCTGATTGAGCGCGAGTGCTAAGATGCCCAGTGTCGAGCTACATGTATTGACCTTTGCAGATCACAAAAATGCACGTCTAGATATTTAAAGAGGGATGATGTGAATCCAAAATATTATATATATTTACCATGAACTGGGCCAGTGCCAGTATCTGAGCGGCCTCGCAAACAACCAGTGACATTATGCTATGGTCTGTAAAATACTGATCATCCTCGGGCTCCGAGGCCAATGCGCTGTCCTACGAGTCTACGACAGCCTGATAACAGTGAGCCTTTGACGTAAGTGCGCAGCCTGGTGGTGAAGATCAATCGCGACAAGCTCGCGGAGTAGGTCTTTATGACTAGGTGTTGGAGTCCCAAAGCCAAGCGGGCGCACACGCCAGACTAGCTGATTGCTACGACAACGCGCTGTGCGGGAGCAAGACTCAGCCCCAAGCGCAGCCTGGAATGATGGACAATAACCCCCTAGGCGTACGATTAGAGCGCCGCGCTGTCAAGGTTGTGTGGTGCGCTGTCCTGACGGCGCCTGGGGCGCACCATGACAAGTACGCCGGGGCAAGGAACTTAGTCTAGTACTACAGCGGCCTAAAAGCGCTGCACGATGAAAGTTGCCCCCGGGCCGTGCTAGTGCGCCACCGGTTATAAAAGACCGTGACCACTGCCAGTGGCAGAGTGGGGCTTGGTAAAATGAAGAATATGCGAATAATGCAAGACCAGAGGAGTACGCACCTTTGGGAGTACTGCGGCTGAGATAGTTTGCCGCGGAGCTACCTTAAATACACTAAGTAGTTTTGATTTAACTGTGTTTATTACGCGTGGCGTGTTGAAGGGTGATGTAAGTGTATAGGAAGGGTATAGGATAGGGGGGGGGGGTATTTCGCCCTATTTATCGCACTCAGGCTCCCCCTTTTCATGTCAGTGAGGGTAAGCTCTTGTTTCCCTTAGGAAAATATGGGGTGAAAGTTGTCCTCTATCCTTGTCGTTCCTTTCATTGAAATGTGCGTTTTGGCAAATATCATCAAGTAGCACATGGGCATTTGCCTGTTGTTACCTACTAAATAAATAAAGGCCCATAAATAAATAAATAAATAAATAAATACACAAATAAATAAATAAAGCGACCCGGCGGGCCAGATTGTTGAACTAGACCTCGCTTAAAAATGACATGTATGCTTGCGACCTACCGAAAATGCCACGGCGGGGTGCGACGCGCGTAGATGCCGGCCCCGATATCGCACTGAGGGCCTCGCAGCGTTTAATATCGTAGGGCAGCTCGGACTGTGGCTTCTCTGGGGTCGAATTTGCCCACAGCCCCAGAGCTCCAAATCGGTCTCTCGCGACGCAAGACGATCACCGTGGCACGCCGACTGTCGCGTTTAGACCACGCCTCCCGAGCCGCTGACGCGTCTACGTACCTTTGCCACGGAATTTCGGGTTTACCCCGCAGGAGTGGTGGTCTGTACTCGACAGGCGCGCCGAGTTGACCGTACTTGTAGTAGCTTGATCCGGTCGTCGCCGAGCAGCAACCGCGTGGGGGCTGCGTTTCGGCGCACTCCAGATCAAGCGCGGGCATCGATGGTAGGTCTCAGGGGAGCACCGCTTCAGCGGCTGCGGCTGCCTGAAGACCACGTATTACTTAGGCGGTCTTTAGGTGCCTTGCGCACTTCCTTGCGCCACATTTAGCGCCAGCGGTAGTGACCCCAGCCTGAGTATGACCCCAGTAAGATCCCCAGTACCTTGTCTAGCCGGCGAATAACGCACCTCCAGAGTCTAGCTCCAGAGGACGCTTTCAAGTTGGGAGTGCAGCTGTTTAGGCCCAGCCAATGCACTCTTAAGACTACTAGTCTGGTGGTTGGGAGGTGGTTGGTTGGTTGGCGCGGGAGTTTAGTAGAGTAGAGGTATACGGATATGGGGGCATCCGGGACCAGGCGATCATAATGTTTCCTTCGGACACAAAAAAATGGCCTTCTTGACAATACGGGCATTCTTCCCAATTGCAGCATTATCGCAAATGCACAGCGTAGTGAGCCGGTCAATAAATTTAGTTTTATTTTTAAGAATCTCGCGCGCCTTGGGATGCACAGCAATATTTGCAATACACTTCAGCGTGTTGGTTGTAAGAATGTCATCTTTCTCGTTGAGAAGCTCAGCAAGCAGAGAAACTGAATTCTTTTTTTTTATCTTGTCCAACGAAATAATTGCCTGTTTGCCCTCATCAGCTGTGGTGATGGTCATCAATGCCCCTGCGGCAGCAGAGCGGACAAGTCGATCACTATCCTTCAGAAGTTCTATGATGATCTCGATCGCTCCACACTCAATGGCCAACATCTTTGCCACATCCGCAAGGCAAAGCGCAATTAGTGTGCTTGCAGCTTCACGGCGAACTTCTGTGTCAATACTCGCAAGCAACTCAATGCATGTTTCAACTGCAGAGTGTCCTAGGGCACTTTCAAGCCCGCAGCCAGAATAAAGACAATTATGGAGTAGCCGTAAGGCCAGAGGCTGCAGAACGGTCTTTTCCTTTGCTGTTCGTAACTGATTAATAAGAATGGCAGGATAGTCGGCTGCAACAAGCGCATGCACACATGATAGGTTTCCAGTAGAGAACTCAATAAGAGCCCGGTACACGTATTCTCTCACCTCTATCTCGTCGTCACTTAATGCGGAAACAATCATCTGGGCTGTATTGCCTTGCAAAAGAGCGTGAACGCCAGTAGCATTTCGAGAGCAAATTTCAAGAGCTTTGGCGGCACGCAAGCGCGTCAGCGGGTCTTGATCTGCAGAGACCTGTGCGTTAAGCACGGACACGATTCCCAGATCTACACAACCAACCAGACTCGCCGGATTTTGCAACTCTTCGCAGAGTGCTAATAATGCGTTCACTCGCACAGGACGATTATGGGACATTACTTCGCGCACCAACTTGGGGCACATGCTCGCCCCAAACGCGGACACAATACGTGCTTCATTTCTCCCTTTTGCACTAACCTTCACTTCGTGAAGGAACATCGACAAGTATAGATACAGCGTAGGCCCAAAAGATATGGACGCAGAGGGCCCGCTGCCTTTTTTGGGCCTTTTTTATTTACGCTGTTGATCGCCAGCGCAGGTGTGAAAGAAAGATACTCGCTAGCTAAGGTTTAAAGAAAGGGGCCCGACGTCCGACGTATACTGCCCAGCACCTCGCTTCAAGTTCGAACCCCCCCCGGGCCCGGCCCCCCCGAAAAAAGACCGTGACTCGGCGGACATGGGGCCGGGCCGTGGGAAGTTACAGGAAGTTACAGGATACTGAGCAGAGACGAGCAGCTTCCAATCCGGACGACGCGATGCCGAAAACACGGCAGCCAACGCTGCCCATCTCGCCGAGAAAACGCCCCAAAACAAAAAAAAAGACACGCGATCGTTACGAGCCGATCGGGCCACCACAGCGTCCGGCGATCTGATACTAAGTGGCGCGGACGTCCCATGAGATTTCGGTCTATGCGTGGCCCGCGTTTCTCGCCGTTCGCGCATCGAGTGATTATCGTGCTGAATGACCACTGGCAGGACTTTTCTTAGGCCCGGGCTGCGGCTGCCCCGCGCACGGATAGCTTGCTCAAAACCTTGCGGCCAAGCATGTCTCGTAGCCCAAGGACTAGGAGTAGGAGACTCTCTCGAGTCTCCATTCCGTAGCATAAGCACCCGGGGCCCTCAGGCTCCCGTCTCTCTCTCTTCCGCCGTCCGCCGGCGTCCTTGGTTTCCACGTGAGCTAAACAAAGAGATGAGCCGATGAATAAGGCTTGGACTACACAAGGCAACTCGGCGAAGGGTCTCCTCTTTTTGTAGGGAATAGATAGAGCCGGTGGTATTTCCTGGCGACTTTATCTGGAGGAGATCTGCACTGATCAGACGCCATGCCACTACATAAATTTTCAAACTCTCGAGTCTCCACAAGTAGAACGTTCACGGAGCCAAATCCCTGGATACTTCACGCGTAGTAGTCCAGAGCTCCTTTCTTTTTAGCAGCAACGACTGCAATGCCCTCCATGAAGTCTTCATGTTTCACTGTGTTGGCCTCGCGCCGTAATGCCAACATACCAGCCTGCAGTGACAAAATTATTTTACTTTCAAGCACGCTATGCCTTACCTCTACGCATATGGCCTTGCACTGCGCACCATTAAAGTCATCACAACAACGTGCAAGTTCCTCAAAATTGGTGTCATCTTTATCTACATTCATCTTGCGTGAATGTATTTGCATGATCCGTGCCCGTGCCATCTCTGTTGGATGCGGAAGTTCAATCTTGCCTGATTGCAGCGTTATGTCCATCCGTTTCATTTGATACGCGGGAATGACGATCTAGACGGCCAGAACGCAAGAGGGCAGGATCAAGCACGTCTGGGCGATTTGTTGCGGCGATCACCTGCATTCATCGAGTTATTTTGCCAAGGTTCTGTTTTTGACGCTGCGCCACCTTAATTTTCTCATCCGATGAAAACCCATCGAGCTGACTGAGAAGTTCAAGCATCGTGCGTTGCACTTCGCGATCACCTGACTGTTCGCCACCAAAACGCTTTGTGCCAATGGCATCGAGCTCATCGATGAAGACGATTGCCCCACTTTTGTTGCCTAAGAAGACGATATCATGGCGTAGTGATTCTTTACGAGGAACTTGCCAGATTTGATTTTTTCTTTGGCCAACTCAAATGCATCTCGCACTAATTTTGCTCCATCCCCAATAAACATCTGCACTAATTGAGGCCCCGCCAATTTAAGGAATATAGCATCTGTTTGCTTTGCACAAGCTCGCGCTAGAAGAGTTTTGCCTGTTCCCGGAGGCCCATGCAACAAAACTCCCTTTGGTGGCCGTACCCCAATTGAAGTGAACATTTCAGCGTGCGTCATGGGTAGAACCACTGCCTCAATAAGTTCGTTAATTTGTTTATCACAGCCACCGATATCTGAATACTCTTCAGTGGGCTTTTCATCAACTTCCATGGCCTGCGTCGATGACACTCCACATGTGGTGTGTGAATCAAGTAAATACCTTCACCCGCGAGTCATACTCAGCAGGGAGCTTTTCAAGAATAAGATAAGAATCTTTATTGGTTCCGACGAGCTCCCCTGGAACCAATTCCTGGGTGTCAATGAGCCCAGGCACTGGCAGATAGATAGTCTGCCGAGTCGAGGTACGAATCACAACAGATTTTCCTGACCTAGTGCTTACCTCATATATTACAGACCTATATCCACCAGTCTTACCTTTGAGCGTCTACATCTTGGGCCATGCCGACCTCTTCGTCCTCTTCACAACCCAAATCAAGCACTTCGATGATGTTACCAACAAGATAGGGAAGTTGTTTATTCAATTTTATCTTATCTTGATTCTCTTTGATGCGTTCTTTGTGAGACTCGGATTCGTGCTTAATGCGTTGTATCTCTGAGCGCATTATCCTAACCTAATGATTAGCATAGTGAGCGTCCATTGTTCACGCAATAAATACATCATTTTCCACTAGCCGACTGCGCTGGCGAATCTCATCGAGTGACATCGACATGATCTCAGCATCCAGAGAGGCATCCATCGGCCGGCTCTGCCAAGACGTCTAATAGAATTACCCAGACGTCTATCCCGCTGGTAATACTAGGCTAGGAGCCAGCTAGCACAGTACCTTGCTTACTGTACTAGCCTTAGGCTCCCCTCGGAATTTCCGGCCAACCACAAAGCCAAATTGGCTGTGGTTTGCGCCGGCCCTCAGATTTATTTAGCCCGCCCTCCCTCCCTGTTTGAAGAAGGGGGCCCCGGTGACGTTTCCTACCTGTCCCCGGGATTGGTTGGCCCGATGGGCGGCAACTGAGCAAAGAATAAATTCCCAACTATTAGTCTGTTGCTATTTCACTAGCCACTAGGGAGACTAGGGTAAGCTGAATCACGTATTAGTATACCTACGGTACCCACGGTACTGTACAATGTCATACTGACTTGTACCGTAGGTACTGTCGTTGGAACAGCCGATGATTTATGCCAGACAGCACATTCTCTGTCTGGTGGGTTTGCCGACACTGTTAGGGCAATGCCCAAATATGTGCAGCGGTCACGGCAGTTGTGGCCCAGAGAATGTATGTTCGTGCTTCGAAGGATTTGACTATGCTCCCGACTGTTCATTGCGTTTTTTTGCCGCGTGAAATCTTGCCTATTTCACGACGGTGCATTAGGTACATGTTCGAAAGGTGCAGCTTGGGCAGACAAAGCATATGCTGTAGACCTTGCGCATTCTCCGAGTGAGTGTTCGAGTGCTGGTCTCTGCAATCGTGACACTGGGAAGTGCGAGTGCTTCGACGGATACACTGGACTTGCCTGTCAGAGATGCAAATTTCAGTGTCTGAAACACAAGTAGTTGTGCATCATGAGATGATCAGCTTAGCTACGTGCCCAAATGATTGCAATGCCAATGGTATGTGCTTGACATTGAGCCGCCTGGGCCAATTGTATGGTATTGATCACCAACATCCCAGCACTGGTGGAGATGGAACCGGTCCTTCTTATGCAAATTGGGATAAGGATTCAGTAACTAGTTGCTTCTGCGACCCTGGCTTCAGTGGGCCCGACTGTTCGCGAAGTTCGTCTCCCGAGTCGCATTTCCTTTTTTTTGTATTTACTTCCTGAACTGCACGCACATCCATAGTCATGTGTGCCAAGGCTGATGACCCACTTACTATCAACCAAAACTACCGTGCCCTTAGAATCGGAGTGTTTTCCGCTGATGGCAGCAGCCTTCAGGGCACAGTGATCTTCCAATTTCTTGGGTACACCACTTCTCATTCGGCTTCTCATGTCTCAGCGGTAACATGCGAGGGGGCTTGGGAGGCTCTTGAAAATGTTGAGGATGTGGACTGTCAGTCCGAGAACTTCGGTGCTGGCTCTTTTTACAATGTTACATTTAAGCAATGGCCAACTATGCCCATGGAAAACAACTATTTCAGTCATAAAGGCAACCCTGCACTCTCAAACTTTACTTGTGATGTGAGTGGTGCCTTTTCTGCTAGTGGTTCGCAAGTGTTATGCAACATTTCAGATCTCGTAAGCGACGATATAACTGAATACGAGTACTGTGGTCGGCGTGGTCAGTGCGATTTTACGTCTGGAACATGCTACTGCATTGATGGGTACGAGGGCTCCACTTGCACTGATTCAACTTATGCAGAATCAACCTCAAATTCATTACCTGGTGTGAATATTCACGCAACAGGAACCGACTACATTGGAGATATCTTCAAGCTTACCGCAGACAAATCGTCTTCATCTGACTTCACCTTCATGAAAATAGTCGCAAATGACGAGGATCTTTTGAGCATCCGTGGTGATGGGCTGTTGTCAATCGCACAACTTGATGTTACAACCTATGGAACAACAATTTCAGAGGGCGGACTTACTGTTCTGACTGGCGGCGCCAGCATAAAAGATGGAGGTGTGGATATTTCGAGCATGGCTTCGGGTGAACCTGTTCTTCATGTCATTGGTAGCTCCGAAGTTTTTGCAGACTCGCTGCTTCAGGTAGATTCAATACGGAATGAAGATGCAAGCTATTGGTTTGCTCGCTTCAATACTGCCTACAAGCAAGCCGATGGAAGCCACAATATCTTTTCCATCCGCGGTGATGGCTACACCAAAATCGCAGGTGAACTACATGTCGACAATGTTACTTCAGTCTACAGCCTCGAACTCACAAAGGGTGGATTAACAGTTTATCAGGGGGGGCTACGTCTTTATGAAGATGGCGTGGTCGTGTATGATGGTGGTGCTGATATCCGTAGCAATAATGTGACTGTGCTTCGAGCTTACCACAATTATGCCGCCGGTGATAAAGACAATGGTACCGTGCTTTCGATCGAGTCCACCGCAGGGCTATCCAGCAACATAGATTTGATAAAAGCAGGGATGGATGTGGACAATATACATAAGCCAAAAACTATTTTCCGAGTCAACGGTCTCCCCAGGACGTATATTGACCGAGGTGGTCTTAGTGTGATGGGTGGAATCACGGTAGCTAGCGCGGGACTGAATGTCTCTGCTGGTGGAGTCTTCATCTTGGCTGGAGGCGTTGACATCCAGGGAGGCAATCTTACGGTCAAGAATGATGCCAATATAATCGTGGGAAATAAGCAAGTCATTGGTGCCCGGCAAGCCGCCGTTGACGACGTCAGTGCAGCTAATGATCCTGGTGATGGCACGCTTGCGGCGGCGAGTTCAGATGTCGCGACATTGGCAGCGCAATCTGAAAAGCTACGGGACCTAGTCGATGAAATTAGGACCCAAATGAATGATCTTCTAGGAAAGCTGCGAACACATGGTCTCATAGCCAGCTAAGCTGATTTTGAGAAAAGAATTGCAATTATGGACTCTCATGCAAGTAGCCATGTGTTCCCTGGGGTAATAACAACACAATAGAATGTTCTGCTACTAGACTGCTAGTCTGCTACTAGTACTAGGCTACTACTACTAGACTCTAGGGCCGCCACACCCCGGCGGGTAATTGTTTCGAATAAGAACGTGAACTGACCCATCCTCCATGGGTCTAATTAAGATAGATGAATCCTTACCCTGCGAATATAAATACTGCATGTCGGAGACTAATAATAGCCTTAGCAGGACTCGCCCTTGCAAGGTTACGGTTACGGTCGTCAACGCAAGATGATCGTTGAATTTTACTCTATTACCAACAGACTCAGGCTGCAAGCAAAAAGGTTGTCGGAATGAGCCGTCCTGCTATCACTAGCGAGACGCACTTACTTTCTGATAGGCGGGACTCAGGCTGAGGGGCGTCTGTGGCGGCGAGCACTGCTCGCGCTTGGGGAGAGAGGCCGACAAAGTTGCTAGGAAAGTGCCACATCGGAATAAAAGACGTAAAAACGCTGTCGACGTAGAAACCCGCGAGCTCTGGAGGCTCGGGCTCGATCGCAAGTAATTTATCTTTAGCTTTGTCTTAGGCTCTACAGCCTATGTGCTCATTCAGGTTGCTGCAAACAGCGCCTCCTCGTCGGCGTTTCGCCCACAGCAACTACGCACGACACGCTTTTCGTTTGGTTAGGGCGCTGCACTGGCGGCCGGCGCGAGGATGTGCGCACGGAAGAGCAGACTCGGCGTTGCCCGGCGGCGAACTACGCTTCGAATACGGCCAGCCGCCCGACGGGCCCTGACCATGATAAAAGTCCCTCAGCCTCAGAAACTAGAATCTGCACGCAGCCTGATAATCTGTTGTCCTGGATCCCTGAACACATGGGGGATAAGCGCAAGCGCGTCGATGCCCCAACCGTACGGCCCCTGAACGTCGTGTCCCTACGGACTACAGTCGCACAGGTCGACATGTTGCTTGCGTATGCCTACCGTGCCGCCTTTTTCATTATCCTGGTCAACTAGGCTCCTAGGCTGCTCCGCTCCTACTAACTAACTACAGGTACTAAGTTCAATTTTTGGCCGGCTCCGAGACAGCTCGGACCAGGGCCCATATATAATGTTGAAAATGAGACCCAGCCTGGGCGTCACGCTACCATGTCGCAGACTCGCTTACCGAAAAAGTGATGGTGAAACTGCAGCAAACGCAAGAGAAAAGGACAGAGTAAGGAGGCTTGCTGATACCACCCCTAGGGATTAAAGTTGGTCTTCGCCGATGACGACAATACGCGTATAAGCCGTTCGTAAATTTGAGTTCGCTCCATTGTGCAGCGTAGTATACTGGCTGGCGTCCCCTCCTGTCCTTGCAGCGTTTAATTAGTGTCCATACCAGGAAGGTGATGTGCTTTGGTCCATGCGTATGTTATACGAGGGGGGTGACCCCCACCCAAACAAGCCGGCCTAGCGCCCGACGTCGGATAGCCTAAATTTGGATACAAGGTCTGCAGCCGCTGGCGTCCTTGCGGTCCTGGAAAGTGGCCTTATCATAAGAAAATAGCTAGTTTACTTGTTCGGCCGCCTGGGATCTCGTTTATGACCCTTCGATTGGAACTGATGCCGCTAGGAGGTCTACAACCCCGCCGCGCCGCCATTCAGCCGCAGTAGACGACGATTTGGACGCCTTCGCGGGGCCTCCACGTGCACTATCGGTCCTTTCTGAGCAAGGTACGGTCACAGAGCGCCTACTATGGATGGTCCTATACGACCTGCCTTTCACGCTTTTTGCCTCACAGTCCCGCGGCGCACATTTACGGGCCTGGTGAGACCACAAAATCACAGCCCTCGTTCTAAGCCCAGCGATCAAACCAACGGAGTACCGTTGCGCGCCTCGTTAGTCGAAGGGGTGCTGGGGCCCGGTGCGCCACGTCTCTCCCAGCGGGTCCGCGCCCGGCGCCCCCACGTCTCTCCCAGCGGGTCCGCGCCCGGCGCCCAAAACCGGCTGCGGCGGCCTGCTTTTAGCGTTTTTAGCTAAAAGCGCTTTATTCTTTTGCGAAACACATGTCTCCAAAAATTAGGGAGCCGTTTTAGGCCCCCAGAGAAGTCCCCTGGGGAGTATCCCCATAACAGATGCCGCGGAAGAAATGAGCCGAAATTGGGGTCACCCCCGTGCTATACGCGTACCATGGCAGAAACGCCCCTCAAAACGAGTCCAAACAACGAGTCCTAAACAAGATAACTCCCACAAGACTTCGAAATTTATGGAGGCTCGAGTGGAATAGTCGACGTTGGCTCATTGGCTGGTTTTTTTGCGCCGGTCCATGGCTGCAAGTTTCTGGCTGCGAAAATTTCAGTACGCAGACAGCAGCCCGCGCGTTGAGAAAGCAGCTGCGGGGCGGTCGCTAAGAAGCCAGAGAGAGTAGAGAAAGTCTCACTAACTGCAACCACCTTTTGAGTTGGCCGAGGGCCTCTCAAGAGTGCTCCAGGGGAAGGAATGACTTTTGTTTAGATTGGTCAGATTGCACGCTTTGGCTTTATTTGCCTAGCCATTTTCCGAGGCAGCTCAAATCCCAACAAGAACGCAGGGTTTAATTAGCTGCGTGCAAATATTAAAAAAAATCAAAAAAAAATCGAAAATCAGCTACTCATATCGACCCAACAAAGGCTGCCACTTGGCGGGAAAAACGCACTTTTGTTACCAAGTCGCGGTCGGGTATGCCGGAGCGCCGAGTCCACTCGAGTGGAAGACGCCAGGATGCATCAGCGACGAAACGCGGGTTTTTCTCTTCGCGAAGGTGAACGGCGATGCAGCTCTCGTACTCCCCCATCCGTGCGACGTCGACTCGAGGCGAAAGGCGCGCGGTTCGCAATAGAGCACGTTTTTATATTCTAGCCCCCACTGTAGTAGCCTTAGTCCTGCTACCTTTTAATTGTATAATTGGCCCAATTATAATAGATTAAATTTTATAAAACTATATTTGGTATCACTGGCAGTTGGCCTTTTATAAAAGCCTGACGGAATTCCTGTACTTTTACCTGCCAGTGTTTAAGCGTAAGTTCCGTGACAACTTGAGCCTGAGATTCGGACCCGGAGAGGCTGAGGAGGCCCCGCCGCGGCCCGGGCCCGGGCGCCCGGGCCCGGGGCATAAAAATAATGAAGTATTGTTGTGTCCTAGTCGATTTTTTTGGAGCGCTGCCAGGTGAGTTTTTACCCACTGAATGGCAGTCTCCTAGTGGGGGTATTAGGAGGCTTAGTATGGGCCCGGGCCCGGGCGGTCATGGTCGGGCCGCCCTCGACGAACCGCGGGTTACAGCCAACTGGAATGAGTACGCGTCTCTGGTACAGCTACTCAGCCCGCGGCTCACTAGGATAGGGTTTCGCCGGCTTGGGATTGCATGAGACGAAGTAGCCTGGGCGCACGACCGTGACTACTACAGCGTGTTTCCGTGGTAATTCAAATTTGAGTTTTCCCGGGGACTAGTCAGGTAGTACTGTCGTGACGCCCCAGAGGGTCCTAGTGCCACCCTTGATGCCCTCCTGTTCGATACCAGGCTTTTTTTGCCTCTTCAAGTTGAGTCTTACCGTACGGTACCGTGGTACCGTAGGTACTACGCGGTACCCAAGTGGTGCTAATAACTCCGCTAAATCATGACGAATGTGCTTTCAACAAGGCAACATAATTTTGGCGATTCCAGTTGCTTTTCGGTCAGCTTCGTCTCTGCAACTAGGAAGTGTTTTAAATATACAAGATCCCAGACTCCTCCACAGAAGCAGGTTAGTTCCGCCTCCGGACGAAATGTTGGCTGCTCTGCTGTATTTGTGCAGACGCAGATAGCGTTCGATGGGGCAACAAAGCCCAAGTTCCAATCAGATCTGATCGCACATCTAGCCTCCCAGATGATTCAGGAGCTCTCCCAACCGCAAGATGCATTTGTTGGCTTCGTTGGGTCGCAACCAAAACAGGACCAGGATATTTGTTGCAAGTACACGCTTACGTGCAGACGGTCAGGCGATCTGCAGTGTACTGGGCTGTCCTGGAATGCAACCGGCGCTATGCTATGTGCTGCGTTTGGCCGATCGGACCTCACTGGATGGTGCAACAAGTCTGGAATCCTCTGTTGTTGGTCGCTGTTTCGTCCGGAATTTAATCCCGAGTGCCCAACCTGCTCCGTAGAGCACTCTTCTTGCTTTACAACTATTGCTTGCCATCCGTCACAACCGTCGTTGATGGCCGCTGGGTCTTTTGATGGGGAAGTACTTATCTATGACCTAGCTGATAGTTGTGACGTCCTCAAAGCATGCTCAAACATAAGCGACTATTCGCATCGAGAACCAGTAAGTTCTCTTCAATGGAATCGGAATAGAGGTGCATTCACTGCCAGTATAGATGCTTATCAGCTTGTTTCACTCTCCAGTGATGGTAAGATCCTATGGTGGTCATTAGCGACAATAAAACACGCAACGGCCGAGATTAGCGGCCATCTGCCATACCCGGTATATCTGCCTAAGGCGCGATGAAAATTGAGTTAAGAGTTTCTTAGGTACGTGGCGTGACTTTGGCATGCAACCCTGAGTTAACATTGCTCACCAATATGGCAGCTTCATCACCGATAGTGGGGGGCACTTCTATGGCACTAGCTGAATCTTGCGTCATGATAGGCTCTGAAGGGGGGAAAATTTTGCGCTGCCATCCGCGTAAAAAGAATATAAAGAAACTCTTTGCTGGCAGCGATAGTAATATACATTGGGACAAAAGCGCGATTGACTTTTTTGATAATTTGCCACCTTGCATCACATCAAAACTCATCAAGCATGTTGAGCTTTGGGCAAATAGTGTAAGTAGGCAAGTGGTTTCAGCAAAAGACATCTTTGTCTCTAAGCCCCCACTCCGGTATGTGTTCCCAGCTCCAACTGGCGTGACTGAATATGAGGGGCATGTTGGTTCAATGTCCTAGATTTTTATCAACGCACCATTCTTGTTCATCTAGGTTGGTCCGATCACAATGATTTCAATGTCTCCATTTCACCGCCGCGTATTTTTGTCTGTTGGCGTCGATGGCTACGCAAAACTGTGGTCGACGATGCAGCGACGTGCTCTAATGACCATGCGAGATACAAGCTGTATTCACCTTGCTGATGGGCTGTATGCATCAGGTTGGTCCAAGGCACGTCCTCTTGTCTTTGCGGTTGCGGGTGATGGAGGTGTGGTGCGTATTCACGACCTGGGCAACAGGCGGCCAATGCTCCCAGCTGTCGAACTTAAAGCACCGATGCCAGCATCCGCCAATGATACGGACAGGCGAATCCTTGCTCTTCAGTTCAATCATAAGCAGAGAAATTTCTTAGCAACTGGCAATGCAGCTGGTCACGTCCATGTGTGGCGACTATCATGGGGACTTTCCAATCAAAGTTCTCACGAGCATGAAAAATTACAATCATGCATTGAGCATATGGAGGAAAAGGGCGCATGACCAACATTCACCTGCGTGCCCTGATGCGTCCTGCTCAGCTCGTATGGGCAACGCCTGGGATGATGATGATCCTAGATGATGATGATGAGGAGGATAATTCTATATTAATTGTTATAAGCTACCCTCGTCTCTTGAAAGCAAGCAGCTCGACATAGGTCCACCGTTGCGGGTTGCAACTATGTGATAAGGGTGCGGTGGGGCGCAGGCGAGCCGCACAGTACTCCCCTTAGCTCTACTTCGTCTAAAAAGGTGCCGTCTCGTCCCTCGGGCGGCTGCCATCGTACAGCACCTGAAGCGGGCCTGGGTCTCACGGCAGGTCAAAGTAAGTAAGCGAGCCGGATTCCTCCGTAAGGACCACCAGGCCGGTGACTTTTTGAACAGTACATTGGGCTTAATAATGATTGAGAAATCATGTGCTTTTCTCTAGAACGGGTTTCTCACGGGTCAGCGTCGCCCGAGCAGCTTGCACCCATGTCGTGGAGTATGGTTGCAGACGGGGATGCGCACTGTGAAATACGCTGGGAAATCGCTCACTCTCTTTTTGCGTCCGCCGACAACATCAGCGAGCTCCGAATCTCCGACATTCATAGCTGGCGTGACACGGTTTTTGAAGTTGTTGCGTATGTTATTGATCATTTCTATTATACTGGTCGAAAGGTACTACACAGGTATGTGGCCATTGGGAAAATTGAATCAGTAACAGCCCTTGATGTAATTAGACAAGCGTCGTTAATAATTGGTCAATCCACTGAACTAGCAGAAGCGATAGTTGACGCAATTTGGCTACATGATGTACCTAATTGGTTCCATCTTGGTTTGAGATTCTTTCCCCCGTTTAGGTACAAATCAGCGCAACTAAACTCAGGCCAGCACACTGTCATCTTGCGGCACTGGTGGAGGCTTTGCAAGCAGCTGGTGTTGTATCGTGTTCTTCAGCGCAGAGAAATTGAACTCGTCCCAATGAGGCAAGCCCAAGCTTGATCCAGGCTGACTAATTTTAAGAAGCATCTAGATGAAGAACTTTTGACTTCAGCAGGCCTAACAAATTCTATTACGTTTTCAAAGCGCTTGAAAAAGTTGAATACGGACCAGGTATATCGACAACATAAGTATAACCTTCTACACGAAGAAAGTGAAGGCTACTCCAAGGAACTGCAGCGTCACAACCAATTCAATCTGACGTCCCCCTTGCGTTCATCACCAATCAGATGCCATCACAGGTAACAGCGCTGCTTGTATCAGGGTCTATTACACGGCTTATTCTATATTCTACGCTTATTTTGTCATATTTGATTAGGTTGTCTCGGCTACAAATACAAGCGGCTCCAGCATATCTGCCAAAGTCACTTCAGGCTTTAATTGGGGGTTTTGACCTTGATCCAAATCGTGTAATGGACATGGTGCTTAGCTCGCTTCAGCACAGCTGTATGGCTTCTAGCACTACATCGCCTACAATAAATGCGCTCCTCAAGTTACTGGAGCAGGTCAAGCTAGGTGCATCCCTGCCCCAAATTCTGGGCTTCAAGTTTCAAAACTGCAGAGCTAAGATGTTAACATCGCTCTGCCGACTCACTGCAACATTGCTCAGCGCTGGGGCCATAGCTGTAGACGCACTGCTGCCCCATTTAGCGCCATCAATGGAGAAGCTTGCCGAAACCACAAAAAGACACGCTAAAAAGATCGAGGACGCGTCTCGTCTTGCCGGTACTGTTTCTCTATCGCACTCCGCGGAGCAGGACGCGAGTCAAACCACAGCAGTATCGCGATGCCGCTATCCGGCAGAAGGCCTCTCCTTACCAATTGTTGGGATTATTGAGGCATTATTGTGGGACCGACGTTGGCTTCTTGTGCGACCACTTCTAAGTTGCCTGGAGGACACAGGTGCGCTGCCTGTCTGCGGTCAATCTCGATTGGCACTCTGTTCGATGCTAAAATTTGCTATCTCTCCTCTGTATTGCAAGCTTACGCCAAATTATCTACAGTTTGCAACTCGTTGGCAACCGTCAGGAATTCCCTTAGTACACGTGGGCTCACAGCACCGATGTCGCACTTTTGATGATATTGCATCGGTTCATCGTCTTTTTCAAGTGCTAGAGCCACTGTGTTGTCATCTCCACGTTGGTATAGCCTCTGATGCGTCATTGGTGACCAAGCTTGCACGCATCATCAAATATCTGCTACGACCGCGGGATGCTCGAGGTGCGCATGAAGCAAAACGCTTGCTTGGATATGTCATACTGCCGGCTATGTCAATACTTTCGGTCAATCCTGGCTGCGTATGTGAGATTTGGGCTGCGACAAAGCAACTCCCTTGCTGTGAACGGCATTCGCTCTACTCAACCTGGCGCGGTCGCAGCCTTGAAAGAGAATCCGTGGGTACCAAGCACTTTGAAGTCGCAGAGGCAGAGTGTAAAGCTGGTTATCATGCTCGACAATCATTAAAGCGAGTGGCAAATGACAAAAAAAACTCCAAGCACGTTGGAAGGGCATTGGCAAAAGTAGCCCACTCAAATCCGCTGGTTGTCTTTCGTGTCATTCTCTCTCAAGTTGAATCTTACGGCAACATGATTCAGCCCATCGTTGAGTCGCTCGGTTTTGTGTCCCCCCTTGCATTGGATGTTCTTTCTTACATGCTATCGTCTCACCTTGCCGACACGTCACGTCATAAACTACAGAATGATGGCATAAATATTGCTCATTGGTTTCAGCACCTTTCTCATTTCACTGGTGTCTACTATCGCGCATTTCCCCAAACTGAGCTCCAGGCTCTCATTGAATTTCTCATGCTGCGTTTGGAGGACGGAGATTCTTTGTACCTTCTTGTTTTCAATGAGCTTCTCGCTCGAATGGGTGGTTGTGAGGTCTTAGAGGATCTATCTGATGCCCAAATTGGCGGTTTGGCAGGCGGCGAAACACTCCGCCGTGAAATGCTTGCTTTTAGTAAGGCTTCTAAGCGCGCCGTTTCAAAGCTTCAGGAAGCATTATGCACGCCCAGCACTGCCATTCCAATACTTGCACTTGTTGCCCAGCGCCACTTCGGCGTCAATAAAGTCTGTCTCTGCAGATCATGTGAATTCTTGCAGGCAGCGCGGGTACAGTCTCTTCAAAGGGAAGGTAAATCATGTAAAGCTGCTTGGGCAACTCTTTGATCGATGTCAGATGGTCCTGGTTCAGCTCGTAGATTTCCTTTCGCGTTCTACAGCGCACAGCACCGTCACAGGCACAGGTAAGAAATGTCCGTACTTTGAGCTGCTTCCTGATCTCTGTAAAATGTCCGTGCCGTACACTGTGTCGATGATTTTCTACTTCACACACGACATATACCTTCCCACCTCGTTTAGGCGTTGCACATTGAACCACAGATTGCGCTCCACGCGGCTAGACCACTAATAGCAGAAGCAGCTGGCGCTCACCGCAAAGAACCAAGAGCTAAAATTCCAATTTCACCCGACTCAGGGAGCTCTCTATGCAAATGGGAGCCAGGTGGTAAAGCTTTGCGCTCATCACTACCTGCACGGGATTGTGGTGCATTGAGCAGCGAACTATACCTTGTTTTCTGGTCTCTATCGCTATATGACATTACAGTGCCCACGCGAGAATATGATGCGCAAATAGCCTTAATCCGCTCTAAGATCAATGTGGCACATCGTGAGTTTCTAGAGCCAGACAGACGGAAAAAAGAGATGGCACGCTGCCTCAACACCATAAACTCGCTTGTGGCCGAGCTGGAATTCCAGAAGCATCATTACCAGCAGATCATGACTGATCTTGAGGCACAGCGTAATAGTCTACTTGGTACTATCGTCCTCACCTGTGTGAAAATACGTCCATAGATTATATGCTGCTTTTAAACTAGTTATGTTGACTACTGAGGTGCCATGGTAGGTGGAGGATCAACGCCGCTCGATTTCAGAAGCACTACTTGAGAATTGCATCATGCCACGTGTTACGATCACACCAGAAGATGCACTTTTCTGTGCAATTTTTTTCAAGCAACTTCATTCTCTCGAGACAACCAACTTCAGTAGCCTCCAATATTATGATCGGGTAGTCAAAGATGTTTTTCCTGTAATCTATTGTGCGACAGATCAGGAAGCTCGTTGCCTTGGAATTTTTCTTCGTGCAACTTTTGAACCCCTCACGCATTGGCGCTTCGATAGACGTCGCTATGATATGGAAGCAGGATCAAAACTTGGATTTTCTGTTGCCATTGGTTCTGCTTCTAGGTGTACATATGAACAATATTGCACTGTGTTTACCAAGTGGCATGATAAGATAACTAAAGTTGCCCTTCACTCGCTTAGCCACTACAAGGATCATGGCCGTGCCTGTCTCCTTGTGCTAATAAAACTAATTGGCGTCTATCCAATCTACAAGCACGTATCTACCCAGCTTTTGGGTCTTTTAGAGGCTATTCAAGTTCAAGAGGACATGAAGGATGTCCAGGCGATGGCCAAGCGTTACTGCACACTTCTTAAGAAGTCGGAGGATACACTGGTGGAAGAATCTCTCCTACAACGTGATATTCTTGGCTCTAAAGCTCAAGTTCCAGCCCCTGGCACCAAACGCCAGGCTAGTGCTGCCAATAAGCAACGGCGAAGTCCAAAAGTTAGCTTGGCACGAGACCAAGAATAACCTAGTGCCCAATGTTTCTGAGTGAACGACCCGCCTAGTTATAGATACGGCAATTTGGAGCCAGGGCAGGTTACCGTGGAGTGGTCCACACCATTTCCCTGCCGGGGGCCTGCTCCGCAGGGGTGCCAAATCCGACGTGGGGGGCGGTGGTTCGGGTTTAGACTTTTTGATAGAACTTTTTGATTCTTATATTGATTTCGGGTTTTGGGGGAACCTTGGCTAAGTAGCCTAACTACTCGAGGGACTAGACTAGGCGAGGGACTAGACTAGGCGTAGGCACGTCCCCGAAGGGGACGTGCAGGGAGGAAAAACCCGTACGTAAGATGGTTTAATCGATTGTTCAAGGGGGACCTCTGGCTCAAGTTGGCCCCGGCCGAGACGGTTAGAATTCGGGGTTCGGTGAACCACCCGTCACTAAATGTTAACGTACTAGTAACCGGGCCCAACCTGAACTAATCTATCATATGATATCGTTACCGTCCGTTCTAACCGCCCGCTAATTAGAAAGTGGTGGCTACGACGGAGCCGAACGCCAGACTACTAGCGTAGCGGCAAATTTCGCCTTACTGATAGGGCAAAAGACCGGCGCCCGGTCGTCTTTAACCTCCGCCGATAGCGCATTAGTGAGTGGCGAGGCAAATAAAAAAAATGGTAGGCCAAGACACGGTACTCCGCGTCACAAAACGGCCCCATATTGCGACCTTCCTATCAATTGAAAATTTCCTCAATTTTTGGTTCCGCCCTTTCCCTTTTATTTCGTGCGTGTTTATTACTTTTGATGATGATCAAATGTAGAAGCGTATCATTTTATTCGTGGGCATTGTCAGGATAATTCAACATCACCACTACTCTCTAGGGGGCGCTTAGGGGGCGCTTAGAGCCGGTCGGCTCTGAACTAAATGACGAAGTGGGTGATGCATCACGGTTTGTTTTAACACTGCTCAATTTTGCAGAAAGGTCGCCCAATGATCGAAAAACCGCAATAGATACGTGGCTGCCAGAAGAATATACCGCTCTGTGCAGGCTAGTCCTCACCAACACACACGCAAAAACTCCAGTCAGCTGTCCCAAACTTAGTCCAGTGGATTTTGTAGTAATCCATGGGCCGAACAACCATACGAGGCCTAATGTGCACGCAACTAGCTAAATGCACGCAAGTTTTCTCTTAAAACGTCAACTTTTCTTGTAGGCGGGGCTTTGACCTCGGCGATAATGGTGCAATGATCAACTGAGTACCTTGCAAGCGATTTATGGTCTGAGCAACGCTGTGACGTTGCAAAATGACCACCTCCTGGACAAGTTCGACAACAGGAAGGCCCAATGAAGTGCCCGGCATCGCGCTTGGTATCAAGATGAGGTAAAAGGAGATCAAAACATTTGTCAAAAACTGACGTGGGCATTTTATTCTCCGCTCTGAGAAAGCTTGACCACCAAATGAAGTCGCAATGCTGGCGTATCCCTGGGTCATTAGTGGCCTTTGTTTGTGCACCGGGTACCCAAGGCTTCGGACCGGGGGCATTGTAGTGAACCAAGGGCAGGTCTGAGTAGGTGAGAGATACATAGGAATTGATTTTGAGTGCAAAGTAATACCACATCAATCCTTGACCGGTGCCTGACCCAGCAAGGTCCCAGGTACGCTCTGTTTTACCCAAAACACTGCGGCACATTTTTTTATGTTGAGGCCTGTTCGGTGCATCGTAGGTACCAGAATTCCAGAGTTTTTTAAGGTCGTTGGTGATTCTGCCCCAGTTGTCAAAACCGAAACTGGCGAAGGGGTCTCTTGAGCTCCTGCACGGGCAATTGTTCCGTAGGGCAATATTATTAAGATGCCTCAGTCGTCGCTTTCCATTACTGCCCCCGGGCCGAACGATAAAAAAGCCACTATTCACCGGAGCTGTGCATGTTCGGTAGCCGACGAGCTCAGTTGACCTCGTGGATAGTGCCAGGATGTCGGAGAGTGGCCCAACAACTACAATGTCCAGGTCGACAAACATGACCTTGTCGTAGGTGCCCAGGGTATAAACGGCAAGTTTCATGTAGTTTAAGTTGCGCTTCATGAACGGGTATGTATTGCTTAACAAAAGTGGTACTAGGTCCATCGCCCTGATTCGTAGTCCCTTGACGTCCATAAGCGCAGCGAGCTCCTTGGCATGATCATCATGTTCAGATAGCCATCCTGGCCGTGCACTCCGCCACGAGTTTAGGTCTAACGGCGTGCTAGTACCCAAAGGACCCATCATCACAACTGCATCACCATAAAAGCCCCCGGGAGTCCGAGCACTATTGATCATGGTTAGTGCTGCACACGCCGATTGTTGAATGAATTTGCTATCGATGGCCTTATGGCCACTCACCACCAGAGCCGCTAGCGCCACACTCTCACTGCCATTTTTAATAAACTCCTGTTCCACTTGCTTTACTCTAATGGTCATATTGTGAATATTATGATCTATGTCCTCAGCTATTGACTTCCCTAATCGCGCCATCAAGCAAGCCCATACGTAGAGTACATTTAGTGGCTTCACAAGTTTTGAGCTCATGAAAATTTACATTTACAACCAATACGGGCACCTGACACCACTACTTGCAAACTTGCAAGCAATCTGCAGCCTGATGTACCGTAGTACTACGGTACCACCTACCGCAGTACGGTACTTGCTGGTACGGTACCGCAGTAGGTACCAAGTATGCATCTTAAGGTACCTACGGTACCGTAGATAGCCTGAGGTACCTACGGTACTGGACAAGCTCGTAATATTAGGGCCCGACGATGATAATAATCAGATATTTTGTTGAAGTAGAGGACTTCTGTGTAGAGGAACTGTAGTACGAGTCCGATCAATGATTCATCTCCAACTTGAAGTCCGCAGCATGAAGAACTTGAACACCAAGAAGAACTAAGAGACACACTATCAGGCCTTGCTCCAAGAGCTCAAGACCCTGATGAAGATGAAGCATACACACCTATTCAATACGAAGAACGATCTTGGGATACATTTGAACGAAATCCATTGAGATCCATGTACGGTCACGGCCCGGGTCTAGCAGATGACAAGGTTCGGAATCTTGCGACTGCCATCACATCGGCGCCGGTTCTCAAGACGAAAATGTAGACAATATGGGGCTGCAATGGGTACTAGGGTATATTCTCCGCAGAAAACCCCCACTCCTGAAGGGCCACCCACTGGCAAGTCCACTGGCACTCAGTGACTAAGTCAGTGACTCAAACCTACTACTAGTGTCAACTAACACCTACTACTGAGGCGCGTGTAACTAATTCAAAGTTCGCTGTGCGGACCTCCCACAGACTTAGTAGGTTTTTGTTTTTGAGCTTCATAGGCCACTCGAAGCTGAGTGTAACGCCATGCTTGCGCAGAAGCCTTATTATCTGCTGCCTTTTTTAATTCCTCGAGATCACGCATGTACTGGACTGTTGTATGCGCAGAAAGCTCAGCCACAACGCACTCCTTAACCTCACGGTCTAGGCGCATCTCATAGTCACGTAGCTTAAGCTTCGATTGCACAAGCTCATTCCTCAGGGTGTGTATGTTTAAGTCATTTATATTTTCAAGGAAGCTTTGATGAAGAGGGTCAGGGGTAGCCCGTGCTGTCGCTGAGCACGTTTGTTCGAGTGACTTGGCCTTCGATGGCAGTCCCCTTGTGCCAGCATCAAATTCAATATCAGTCTCATTTCTGTACCTTGAATTCTTCTCCCTCGACTGACTCCATTCCCCCTTCCGCATTGAACGGAATGTTGCAGGCAGCCGTGTGAGGATCAGGTGTTTGGTTGACAGCGGAAGGTCATTAGGCGGGATGGCTGGAGCTGCAACATTAGTACCGAGCTGATGAAGTGGATATTTGCCCTGACGGACACGACGCAGAACTCTAGAATGGTGCTCGACAGCATTCCATAGGACAAGGAGCTCACGATCGGCTGTCTCAAGTTGTGCATTCATGTTTGTGCGGTAAAGATTGAGCTGCGAAATAAATCGCGCTGAATCACGGTCCTTTTTGTTGAGCCAATACTCATACTGCATCTTGAGGTTGCCAATGGACGTCTCAGAGCCTGCGCAACGGCCTTCAGCGCGCTGCACAGCATCACGTGCTGCAGTTACCCTGCGAGACATGTCTACGACCGGATTCGGTGGCAACTTACTGCAAGTACCAACATCAGCTAGCTTCATGGGAGTAATATCATTAATAATAGCATCTTTCTCCTGGACCAGAGCCTGAAGTTGCTGCGCATGGATCTCTTCTTGTACCCGGAGCTGCTCTCCCATTTGGTTAGCCACAGAAATGATACTATTTTTGGAATCGCTTTCAAGTCGCTGTGCGCCAAGAGTCACCGACGTAATTTGGCGCTTCCCAAGGTCAATCTCTTTTCGAAGTATCTCTAATTCACACCGTGTCGACTCTAGTTTTCGTTTGAGGACCAAAAACTCGTCCTCGCGCTCAACAAGGGGGGTAATTAGTGCCTGCGGTAGGTCTTGCGGGCTAGGAAACCCCATTGCCTTCGCAATGCGGGCAGCAATTGTGTTCAAGACGGCTGAACGTCTGTTGGGATGGTTGTTGCTAGAATTCTTTGGCTGGTCAGCTTCACTATAATAACGAACAAATGCTCCAGGCAACGTACCTTCGAGTAGGCGACCATCACTTAGGCGGACACCTCCAGTTGACTCGTCTATTACTGCCCCTGGGATGCCAACAGCACGCATGGCGGCGAGTACTGCACCTGAGACGACTGCCTGTATCTGAGCCGGGCTATAGTCGTGAGTAGGAGATTCAACTGAGCCGGTGCCGCCACACTCCGCTATCTCCTCTAAATTCAGACCTGCTTGCGCCAGACGCTGCTTAAGCTTCCGTGTAAACTCTTTCAACCGCTCGATCTCCGCCCTCAACCGCACGATCTGCTCGTCTTTGGCCTTGTTACTCTGAAAATCTGTTTCGCCCAAGCGGTGAACGCGGGGATTGTTGGCCACCTTTCGGCATCTATTAGCAAATTGCAGCGTTGAGAGACATTCTTCAGCATGAGATCGAGTTGGTCGAATCGTGGCTAGTACCGAAGTGTAGCTGTCCCCGCCAAGCGCATTCTGAAGCAGGCGTGTTAGCTTTGAGTCTCGGTATGGGACATGTGCACCCGCCTGCGCCGGGTCTAGCGATACTATAACTTTGCCCAGTGCTGTAAGCGACTTATTAATATGAAGTGCTTCTTCCATGCGAATGCCGGAGGAGTCCGACTTCTTGAGGCGCTCTGAGCCGGCAAGATCAACTAGATGGAGCTTACCGGCAAGAGCATCGTTAGTTTCTGCACATTTCATCGCCACTTCAATTGTAAACACGGTGTGACTTCGTGAACTTGTATCATTCATACTTGTCGATTCTGTGGCCCGGAGGCGAAGCCCACGATCAATGACCAGGAGCACCTCAGCTGAATTCTTCACAGGGATCTTTGCGAGGCTCTTGACAAAAACATTTCCATCCTTGTCCTCACGAATCTCTTCCTTAAGCTCATACCAGTGTCCTTTTGTTTTCTCGTGGATCATGTCAGGCATCGGAGTTACTGGTTGAACTGTGTTTGTCGAAGGGACTGATGACCCACGCATGCCGAGCCCAAATGTCTCCCCACGTTGCTTTGCTGCGCCCTGGTAGATCGCCGATGTCTTCTCAGTTGATGGACCGCGACTCATCGAGAGCCGTGTCGAATTTGACAGGGATGCCTTGCCAAGGTCGCGGAGCGTATCACAGTATACTTCGAGAAACGAGACTTTAACTTCACTTTTGGTTCCTCCCGAAGACTCGAGGCAAGTGAAGAGGTAGTCGACAGCCCTTGGAATCAGGCCATGCATCTTGTGATCGCTGCGATCCTGGCCGCCTCGAGGAAAAAACATGGTGTGTGTCTTACCCGAACCCGTTTGACCGTAGGCAAAACAGCAGGCGTTATACCCTTTAAGGATGTGATCCACTTGTTCACGACAGACTGTCTCAAATATTGTTGTTTGTTTCTCATCGCACCAGAACACATTGTCAAACTGAAACACGTTTCCCCCGACACCCCCCCACTGCTCATGCTCTCCGTCTTCATTTCGCGTGCGCCTCCATTGTTTCATGGAGAGCTTCCGCACACGCCCCCCTGGCTCAGGTGCGCCAAGTTCGAACAGTTCTTCTGCAGGTTCGTCTTGTGGCTCTGCCGGCCGTGCGCGCACGAAGACCTTGACGTTTGCATTTTCACTTACCTTGGTGTAGTCCGCCACTACCTGATGTGCCATGGTGACAAATCCAAACAGGTAATAATTAATTTTCGAGTGCAACGCTATTCGAATGTATCAGCTGTACCTACTGCGGTACGGCGACGGTACCGTGGGTCGGTACCTACGGTACCTACGAGGTAGGTGAATATACACACACCGGTGTCGGTCCTACCGGGCCGAGCTTTTGGTCGCCTCAAAAGAGGTATGAGGTCTTCTGGACGTCTGTCGGATGGTAGGGTGATACTACAGTGGCCGCGGCGGTCACCAGCGGGCCGTGACCGTGATGCGGGTGAGTGAGTTTCAAGGGCCAAGTTGTTGATTTTTTTTTACGACTCGGCGGACTCGGAAATTCCGAGTCAACTGTCAGTGCGGCCAATGCGGGTCACTGGCACTACTAGCCTAAGCCTGAGGGGATTATAATATAGCCTTCCGAGTCGCTTGAACTTGCCAGTGAAGTCACGGTTGGCCAATCAATTCAAGTTAGTACTAGTAAACCTACGCTGTCCAATCAGGAACGACTTGAGGCGACGGCCGGTGAACATTGCCACTGTTCGGCACTTCCAGTCTCCGCCGGGGGGCGAAAGCAGCACACTTCGCCATATGCATGGTATCTAGTTCGCACTTGAAAGCCGCAGTTTCACCCGCCCATCATGGCGCACCCCGGGGCCTGCACCTAACTCCTCGTAGATACCTCCAGCCCAACACGCGAGTCCTTGCCTGGCCGCTTGGGCTGCTGGACTTTGAACAGCATATCACAGAGCGCGCCTGCTCTCACGCGTCGCAGAGATGGCGTCACGGTCGAGGCGCCGCTGGACTGCCATGGGCCCATCGCCCCAACGGGCTGCGTCCCGCGGGCAGCAAGCGCTGCAATAGTTTGCCATGGAAATTGCCAGGGCGGGGCGCCAAGATGGGCGAAAACACCAATTGTCTTGCCAAGGTTGTGTCTACTAATTAACAGTCTAGTAGCTAGCCTGAATCATCTGCCCTTAGGCATACCGCATGCGTCAAAAACAACAGAGAGCAAGAGTCGAGCCATTGATACGCTACCGCAGAGGGTAGGGCGATGGCTTGTGGGTCGATAAAACTGCTCGCGGAGATCCCTTCCACGGAAGCTGTATGTGCTGCACTTGCTGTGCGTCTCAGCGTGGCATCCGATGGCAATGCTAAAAGTGAGCAGCTCATTTGTGAGATCTACAATGCCGGCTTCTGTCATAAATCGCGTTCGCTTGAATGTCTCGAACGCCTCGGCTACATGGAGAAGGTACTGTGGGCGAGGTTGTCTGCATGCTGTGGGGCATCAATTTCGCGTGTACTCGCGCTATCCACTGTCGCGCTTTTAAACGAGACGGCGCGATGTGGGCACTTAACGGACGTTCTAAAAAGGCTCACCTCTCGCTTCGAACCGTCGGGGGGAGGGGGGGAGTCGCCGTTTGGCTGCCTTCTAGAAGCTGTTTGTCTTGAAGTGATGGATGAGGCCTGCCCACTGAACATTTTGGACTCTATTTTGCTTTTCTGCATCAATATCTACTCTCGACTTGAACACACCTCGATTCGCCGGGCTGCACTCCGATTAGCGGGCCTGCCACTTTGGGAACGATTAAGTATCCCGCGCCGAAAGCAAGAGCTCCAACTGTTCCCTCAGCTTTGCCGGCATTGGCAACATTTTCTTGCCAAAAGAGCAAAACGCAAAGCTACTGTGGATGCTTTGTTTTTCCCGGCACTACTTGATGCTATCACACGGCTCGTCGAAAGAAAAATGGGTAGCGATACAAATGATTTGCCAATTAGGTGCGTTGCTCGCTTTTTGGAACTCTGCATTGATTTGATGTTGCAACTACCGACGCGGAGATTCCTGCGTGTAGTCATAGAGGACTCTCGGATCCTTGAGCGGGCCACACTGTCGGCATGGGCAGCTGACCAGCGAATGGCACCTCTGCTTAATGCCTTTCGCAGCGCCATGGGCTTCGCCATCATCGACCAGACTGGTCAATTGATGACTCAGAGCGAGGACGTGGCCAGGCATCACATCCGCCTTCATCGCTTTCAGTGCGCATGCTTTGCAGCAAATCCCAAAGATAATTTCAGTCTTGAGATTGCACACATTGCGTCAGCGCAGCTTGCATCTGAGAAAAGCCTCCGAAAACTGCTGGTACAGACACCATTGACGACCCTCGTCGCAGCCGCATGTGACAAGCTACATTTACTTCCAAGGAATATCGCGCTTCGCAGACCTGAACTCCTCATCGAGGCTTTGATACACGAGCTGAGTGACAACAATAATAACTTCAAAGAGGTAAACAACATATCTCTCTACCCAAACGAAGTTTCTCTGTTGGGCGAGGTTCCGCACGAAACTGACTTCCCACTCGCTCTGCCAAAGCTTGCTCTCCAGTTCCTATCTTTCAAAGACTATTTGTCTCGTTGTTTTACGCTCTACCGTCTAGAAAGCGCGCATGAGATACGAGATGATGTATCTCAAGCAGTCCAACGACTCCAGCCACACATTAACTCTGCCGGTTGCACATACTTTGCTGGGTGGAGCCGGTTTGCTGTCCCGTGCAAATGTGAGGTTACGCGCGTCGCCAAATCGGTCCTCGGTAAGGAGCATCCTAGTGAAGTTCTATGCAATGTCACTCTCGATCTGGCTAGTTTTGGTGAGGACTGGGAAATCCACAAACATGACATCGTCTTCTTGGTGTGTGTTGAGGGGTTGGCCGTCAAACCCTCGCCGGCTCCGCTGCCAATAAATAGGAGCGTTAAGTCCACGAAGGATTTGCAGATCTCAGAGACATACGGCATCCGAGCCGTCCGTGGTGGAGAGGTAGTAGCAATCACAGATTACACTGGTGCTGACAGAACTGGATTTAGTACTCAGTGCACCGTTACACTTAGAATGGATTCAATTCAGTACTATAAGGATTCTCAGGCCTCAATTACAGCAATTTATGGCGCATCCAATATATTATTGCGACGCGACGCGCGTGCCAATAACTCTAGCCGCGTCCTGGAGACTATCCGCGAGACAATGAACACCGAGTCACACAAGAACGCAATCCCTGTGTGGCTGCATGACGTACTTCTTGGTTACGGTGACGCAAGTGCAGCACATTATTCGCAGCGACATGATCAATTAGATGCCTTCGATGCTGTCGACACTTTCCACGACCTCAATCATATCGTGTCATCCTTCCCCGAAATGGCCGTGGTTGTTGCTGATGAAAGCGTCCCAGTGACGGCGGCGGGACGATCACTGTTCCAGCTGCGCCTGGACCGCATAGCGAAGACAGTAGTTGTGACGCCCTACGCAGTTGCAGCTCGGAAAGTTAACAGCGGAGCGCTTACAATGCAAAGTGCGCGGATATTTGATGTACTCCGGTGCAATCCTGTACGCTTTACGCGCTCGCAGGTGGAAGCTATTCGTGATGGCATGAATCCTGGTCTGACTCTCATCATTGGCCCCCCAGGAACGGGAAAGACTGACGTTGCCGTCCAGATCATTGCAAACATTTACCAAAACTTCCCAGCTAACCGGACGCTACTCATCGCGCATTCCAATTCCGCACTAAATGATCTATTTGAAAAAATTTTGGAGCGCAATGTCCCAGCTAGACATCTTGTCCGCCTCGGTGGAGGAGAGCGCGAACTTGATGTCACCGGCTCATTCTCACAACTAGGGCGCGTTGACGCGACTTTGGCGCGACGCCTCGAGCTACTAGAGGAGATTCAGCGGCTCGTAACAAGCTTAAGGGGCGGTTTTGGGCACTCTGGCAGCGAAGTGGAGGTTGCATTCTGTACCTGCGAAGCCGCTGAGTACCTAGAACAAACTTGTGTTGATGTTCGCGTCGATATGTTTGAGCAGATAATTTACAATCTTGGTAGCAATCAAACAGTCATGGCCATAATAGACGCCTTTCCATTTGGTGATTTTTTTGCGCAAGCCACAAGATCTGGTGTAAGCGGAGATGAGAAAATGGCATCCACACTGTTCAATACCTGCCAAACATCTTGCCAGGCGCTGAATGTAGCACGTGCGTGCTTTCAACACATCCGAGAGATATTTTCCGAACTCCGCCAATATAGAGGCTTCGAGCTTTTACGAACGCAAAAGCAGCGTACAAACTACCTTCTGACAAATCAGGCTCGTATTATTGCAATGACGTGTACGCACGCGGCACTAATTCGCAAAGATCTTGTTGATCTCGGATTTAAATATGACGCAATTGTTGTTGAGGAGGCGGCTCAGATGCTTGAAATCGAGGCCTTCATACCGCTTGTCCTGCAGCATTGTAGTGGTAATAAGTCGCAGCTTGAACGGGTGGTTTTAATTGGTGACCACCACCAACTCCCGCCTATAGTCCGGAATCGTGCGCTTGCCCGGCACGCGTTGCTCGAACAGTCGCTCTTCTCGCGACTTCTTCGTCTCGGTGTACCAGCCATACATCTCGACAAACAGGGTCGATCTCGACCTGAGATAGCAAACCTTTTTAACTGGCGCTACGACAGACTCGGTGATCTGGATATAGTCACGAAACATGCGTACAGCCTTGCAAATCCGGGCTTTGCATTCGCTTATCAGTTTGTTAACGTGGCTGACTTCCATGGACGTGGGGAATATTGCCCGACGCCCCATTTCTTCCAGAATTTGGGTGAAGCCGAATTTGTGGTGGCGGTCTATATGTACATGCGGCTCCTTGGCTATCCTGCCGGTCGCATTTCGGTTTTAACTACATATAACGGCCAGAAGGATCTTCTCGCCGATATCTTTAAACAGAGGTGTGCAAAGGATCCAAAATATGGGCTCCCACAAATTAACACTGTTGATAAGTACCAAGGCTCTCAAAATGATTACGTCCTCCTATCGCTCGTCCGTACAAAGCATGTTGGTCACCTTCGTGATGCACGTCGCATTGTGGTAGCCATGTCCCGCGCGAGACTAGGCTTATACGTCTTTGGCCGCATGTCCACCTTCAAATCTTGCAACAGTCTTGGCTCGACAATGACCAGCTTCCTCAGGAGACCATCGCGTCTTGCGCTTGCATGCAGTGAAAATTTTGGCAGCCAGCCTGGCCGCAACGTCCATGATCCACCGGAAAATTCGGTCTTTATCGATGGACCCATAGAGATGGGCATCCTCGTCAGTCAACTCGCCAATCGCCATTCAATTTCGTAGTAGTAACTGACCGGGTTTACTTTCCCCGTGCACCTACCTATGACTAGGTTTTACCCCCCATCTAGGATTAGATAGGCACTTTCCTAGCCTGAGGGTGCAGTTTAACTTAGTAGTACGGCGTTTCTTACGTGAAAAACGTCCAACGTAAATTGCGCCGTGATTTACGCGTGATTTACGCGTGATTTAAATTATATAATAAAACCCCGGGCCGCTCACACGCAGAGCGCCTAAAAGGGATTTGTGGTAGCCGCGCAGCTACTACTAGTAGTAGCCAAAACCAACGCGAGCACGGCGCGGATTGTACAAATTGTTCTTATGAGCGCACAACTAGCAATTGGCTCCGAGTCATGGTCCCAGTCGGCGTCACCGTGGCCCGGTCCGTCCGAGTCACGGTCACCGTGACGGTCGTGGTGCCACAGGCACGGTGACAGTGAGCCCGGCCGATAATCTGCTTGTAATTCACTGATCGATAGCAGGAGTGCGTGAGCCCGTCCTGAGGAGGATCGGGCTGTTGTCCCCGCCCAGTGTAACTGCCGCGGCAGGCACCCGAGGCTACGTCGCCATAGTTACATATATCTATATCCACGAGTCATAACGCAACATGGCTGTCCTGCTTGAGGTGACCCATCCAGTGCTCCGATTTACATCCGACTTCCTTGAGCGCACCCCAAACAGAGCTGTTCGTGTATACGCGCGTGCATTCCTGGCGAGTGGCCTGGAGACGCTCGAGCCCTGGGAAAGCGGCACACCCTACATCAAAGAAGATACTCCGAACATAAGCGAGGCCACTATAGAGGTAGTAAAAGAGTCGGATGGCGCAGAAGGTGTCGCCACAGCGAAGATCAATTCACTAAAATATCGAAGCTTTGGGGCTGAAATCAAAAATATTGACGAGGCATCAGTTTCCGAACTGCTCTGTAAAACTGCTGTCGTGGAGCTATGGCTTGCCACCGGAGGGATTGCCGACGATAAAGTGGATTTGCACATTGGTTGTGCGAGGCTACCACTAGGAGCAGCACTTGCGACAAACCAGCTGCATGCAGATATAACTGTGGCTCTTAGCTCCACGTGCGTCAGCCAAACTGTTGACCCCTCAGCTTCGATCCTCCACGATGCTGGACGATCGTCAAAGGTGAATCTATGTCTATCTGCGTCAAACAAGTTGTTTTCGTTCATGGTGGGCGGAAGAGTGCTGACATTTGGCAATGGACATATCGAGAATATGCCTGTTGAGTGGATGACTACCACAATTTCACAACCAAACGAAGTTAAGCTCGCCATTAGGCTACAACAGCGAACGGAACATACAGGTGCAGGTGGTGTTGCGAATGGCCTTTCCGCTGTCGTGGGACCACATGCGACAATTTCAGGTGGCGTGCCCAAACAACTAGATCGTCCAATTGCAGAGCATCGGAACAAAGATACTGCGACACCAAGCAACATCTGCCGTCTCGAATGGGCTGCTGACCTAGATTTACCGGTGGCGCTCTTTGTGACTGCCAAGACCCTGCTCGATGTTGCGTTCAACCCAAATAAATGGGTGTTTGTCCTTGAGCTGCAGCAACATGACACAACTGAAGCGAGAGTTACGGCAGTTTCATCCGTAGATGCACTGATGGGTTCATCAATGGTCAAAGCGTCGTTTTTTGCCACCGAGGCTGGTGCTGGACAAAAAGTGTTTGCTGCGGTACAATCTCCCCAAGAAAAATCTACTACCTCCGCCCGTGAGTGTACCATTGCAACAGCAACAGCTGCAATTGAATGTAGTATCACTGGCTCTACAATAATTTCCAGTTCTACTTCGGACACCTGGAAAGGCACCAATCCTGCTGAAGAACTAATACACGATTCTAGACTCTCCGATTGCGTTGCGCCAAGACGCGTGTCGTGGAAGAGGAGACGTGTTGACGCATACGTTGAGCTTCACCAAGAGGTTAACAAAATTTTTTCAAGCATCTTGATCAAGCATGATTCTCTCCAAAATCAGAACTGTGCCGCAACATCTAGTACAGGGACATTGCACCGCCAAATGAAAGCAGGCCTCGGTCAGAGCACTGCTTTTCACAGCTTCCGCCTTGGTCTTACCCCCTGTCTTCAGCGTGTAGTTCGCAAATGGCACCCAATACAGCCTACAAATATCGCAACTGAAGAAGCTGCTGTTAGCGAGTGCTATACGCACATTATGGACCTTGTTACATTGTTCCAAGAAGGTGCAGAGCCAGGACGATCTTCCAGAAAATGTAGCCTCGCACGAGCTTATGATGCTGCGACCAATAGTCTATGGGGCGTAGCTGCTACCGAACACAAGACCCGACTTAGCCGGGCGATGGTAGAATCATCGAACCAGACCGCCATTGCCAATGGATGGTTTGATCTTGCTAAATCAGTGCTTCTGTCCTGCAATATAAACTCAAATAATATTCCAAGGACCACATACACGCAGCTTAACGTGGCGAAACAAGCACTCAGCGAGTGCCTGGCGTGCGGTAGTACAGATTCAAGAGATGCAGCCGTGCGCCTGCAAGGTGCTGTGCTACTCGAAGAAGGAAGTCTCGATGATTCCGAAGCAATATTTTCGGCGCGCGCGCTATCAGGCACTAATAACGCAATCGATGCAGCATTTCTCTGTGTCATTGCCGACATGCGCGAAGATGGCCTTAAGGCCAAGCGTGCTGCAACTTGTGCAGCAGGCGCCAAAGTATCGCCCGATCCCGGTGTGCTTCGTGCGATATGTGCCCTAGATGATGCATCTAACTACCTAATGACTTTCGGCCTGGCCAAATCCGCAGCTTCAGCTCTCGCGATTGCTGATCGTGCTCTTGCGTTGGCGTATAAACACAACTCTATGCTCACTTCGTGGGTAGGGTCACCGCAGATTGCAGCCCATCGACGTGTTCTCCACGCACGCCTCAGCGTCGACACCAGGACTGCTGTGCAGCTAGCGCATTCTGCAGTTAGGGCTTGCAAAACCATTTTTACGTTGACAGCACTTGGCGACTTGCTCTGTATGGCAAATGACGTAGCCGGGGCAGTTGAACCATACGCTGATGCATTAGTGAGGCATGCGGAGCGCTTTCCGCACGCAAAGACGCCATTGGACTTATGCGTCAAACATGCACGCTGTCTCCTTCGGACTAATCAAAATTGTGCTGCGCGGGATACATACGTCACTGTGGCAGAGGAGCTACAGGATTCGTCGCTTTGGCTCGGCGCAGGCACTGTGGCACTCCGCCTGGGTGCATTAACCTCAACTGACCGCCATCTACGTCGCGCAACAGTCCGTTCACCGCACAGTGCGCAGCCTTATGGCCTGCTTATGCTGAGCCATCTCACACATGATGGGAATGCTACCTGTTGTGCAGGAAGTCTTCTTGATGTTTCAGTAAACTTTGGTCTTAACGACCGTGGTCTCCTCCGGGAGCTCGGAAATGCCTACTTTCAGCTCGGACATTACACTATTGCCGAAACCTTGCTTCGTCGCGCAGTAGCCGCCGAGTTCAACAGGGGTGCTCATTCACACGCCCTCAAGCGCCTTACTGACGTCCGAGCAGCCCGGGTCGTGGCACGAGAGGCTCGCTACGCTCCAGTCTGAGTCCAGATAGCGAGCACAGTCGGTTCGACATTAATGATCTGCCTTGTCAAAACGACGGCTGAGGCGAGACGGGACAAGAAGGCCAGGGTCTCAATTTGAAGAAAAATCACCGTGGCCCGGGTCTCCACGCTAGCTGAGAACGTATATAGGGTCACTGGCATAAGTACTATCCGGGCAATTACTGTGAAAAACAAATCCGAGTCGCTTCTATCCGCCCCGGACTTGTCCCCGAAGTCCCGGCCTACTGGCGCGGGCCACGAAAATCATCAGAAGCAGACTGTTCGCCTCCTACCCAATAATTCTTTAACTACTTTTCTCTATACTAGGCTGCAGTCGCGCCCGTTGGTTACTGAGCGCAAAAAGGGCCAGTGCGTGTACCAAACGCGCGCCGCGCGCACTAAAACCGCGTCTAATCATCGCCCACACACCTAACATTGCTGCCCCGCGCCAAAAAACCGCGCGCGCAGCCGCGCCGCGCGCGTACACACACGACCTTCGCCACGATGGCATTGCCGCTGTCCTAAATAGCGCACGCGCGGCCGTAGAACCACGCGCGTCGCTGCGTACAGCACCGCCGCGGCCTGTTGCGAGACCCCGTCGCGACGCGCCCCCAAAAAATCGCGCAGCCGCGCAGCTCGCGCCGCGCCGACAAAAAAAACTTGAAGCGCGCCCGCGCGCACAGATGATTACGCGCAGGTTGTAGCAGCCGCAGCAGAAACTTCGTCCCGCACAGCAGAGCGCTTCGTCCACAGTGGCGCGATCCAAGCCGCCCCTCCCTAATCGTTGGTCGGTGGGCGGTCGGCGCCAGAATTTCCGTTCGCGCGTCGCCGACGGTCGGTCCCGCCCAGGCTCGGGTCTCAGGTCACGGTGGATGTAATGCACTTAAAAGAATCACGGTGGTATCGCCACCATGCGTGACGCGGCGTGAAAATACAACACGAGCTCGCAAACGTCACCGGTGGATTCGCCGCAGGTGTTGACGGCGGCCCGAGTCGACCCTACTATACTCCCTACCCCATATCCTACTACCCCCACTACCTCATACTACTCCCCACCTACTTTATGGCCGGCCTTCAGAATAATCGTGGACGAAAGCGCCGCGCCGTGGCCGTCGGTTTCAAATTGTTGACGGCGGCCCCTACTGCCCCCATATCCTACTACCCCCACTACCTCACTACTACTCCCCACCTACTTCATGGCCGGCCTTCAGAATAATCGTGGACGAAAGCGCCGCGCTGGACGAAAGCGCCGCGCCGTGGCCGTCGGTTTCAAATTGTTGACGGCGGCCCCTACTATACTTCCTACCCCATATCCTACTACCCCCACTACCTCATACTACTCCCCACCTACTTTATGGCCGGCCTTCAGAATAATCGTGGACGAAAGCGCCGCGCCCGGGCGAGACCTCAAATGACCAAATTCGGCCGGTGACGTCGGCAGCCTCTCCCTCCCTGGCTGAAGCACGCAAGAAGAGAACCCTCGGATGCGTATGCGGGTGCCGGGGAGATGCAAGATGTTGGGCTATTTGGTGCGGGTTTTCTATGATTACTCTAGCCCTACACGGGCCAGCCTTGGACTGGGGACATATGCGCTGCGTCCTCAGAGAGATATAGCCCACGGGGAACGGGCGTCTTGTAAGCCACTAGGTCCCACAGCTGGCGCAATGCGGCCGTGCTTCTCAGATTAGGTGCCGTCATTGTCCTCATCTGAGAGCAGAACTATGAACTGGCACGTCCTTGGTGATGTGAGTTATCAGAAACGGAATCTGCACACGGTAGTCGACCTCCACTAGCAATGCAAGTTACTTTTTTTTTCAGATGGCCTGGAATATTGAACTCTCGAACAAGGTGGTGACTGGCGCACCTGCTGGGGGGGCATTGGCCTTGCTGCATCGCCACCAGGTATGACACTTTTTTATTTTAAACTCAAATTGATTTCAGATGGGTCGCAAGTGCCTTGCTGAGAACAAGTTACTACTCTACACGAATGCAGGCGAGCCTTTGGCGACAATTACTTGGAACGAAAGTTGTCTGGTGGGCATGGGCTGGGTGGAAGAAGAACTGTTGCTTCTTTGTTTTGAAGATGGCGTGGTATTCATCTATGATGTGTTGGGCAACTTTGTGCGATCATTTCTGTTGCTCACATCAAAGCTTCCTTTAGAGGAGACCATTATTCAAGTCTACATCTGGGGGTCTGGTCTTGTCGCCTTGACAAGTGCCATGAATCTTCAAGTATGTGATACTGTTCATGCTTTCTCGCCAGCTGTTTATACTATGCCAACGGGGCTGTCTGAGGAGCGATTAGCTATTACCATGGTCGTTTTACAACCATGTTTTTCTTCCTCTGGTCTTGTTGAAGTTTTTCTTGGTACAGCTGATAGCTCGATTCTAGCTGTCGACGTGAACGGCCCCCATGATCAGCTCATTCACGGTCGTCTCCCTGCTCCTGTGACTTCAATGGCAATAGCTCCAAATGGTCGTTTTCTAGCGTGTTTTACTCTGGGATTATTAACAGTTGTATCTACATCTTTTACGACAAAAGTGCTGGAGTTTGACACTTTAGCGGATTCAAGACTCCTTGACATGCAGTGGTGTGGGGAAGATTCCGTCCTGCTCAGTTGGGAAGATTGTTTATTGATGGTTGGACCATATGGACATTGGCTTAAATTCAAATACAGGGCCCCCTTGTTTCTGATACCCGAAATAGACTGTTGCCGCATTATCACTGATCGAAGTTGTGAGTTACTTCAAAGGGTGCCTGGGCCGATTGCGCTGATTCGCCAATTGAGTGCAGATAATCCCTCAGCCATGCTGTATAACACTCTGGAAATGTGCAAAGTTGTAGATGTAAAGGTGGATCATGTGCGCTCAAAGGACCCACCAGGCCAAGCATGTTTATCAGCCGAAATCTTGCATGCGATTCAAGCAAACATTGCAGCTGCAGCTGTTGAACTCACAACAGTCCAGCAGAAGTGCTACCTCCGCGCCGCTGCCTGTGGCAAGGCATTTATAAAAGTATCCTCGGCTTACACAGAAAATTTTGTTGCTGCGGCTCGCAAGCTTAGGGTGCTCAACCATTTGCGTCGACGTATTCCTGCTTTGTGCTTAACCACGACCCAGTATGATCGACTAGCAACGAGCTCCTTGATGGACCGTCTTCTGGCTAGAAATTATCACTCCTTAGCACTACGCGTCAGTGAATACCTTGGAGTCCAAAGAGACAGGGTAATCATTCACTGGGCATGCGTAAAATTACGAAGTTCTGTAGCACACAAAAGCCTGGACGGACAGATGAGACCATCAATGAATAACGCTTGTTTGAAGATTCCTTGCTATATATCGCAAATCCCCATCGTAACAACTGCCGATGTCCTTGGGTGTCGTCAATTCGCAATGGCTTTGTTGCAGTCTGAGTGTTCTATGATAGACCAAGTCAAATTATTACTTGCTATGCACGAGCATGAATTAGCATTGAAAAAAGCTGCTCAGGGCAAGGAGGTTGACGCTATCTATCTTGCTCTTATATGTACTGAGCGCATGTGTCCCTGGATGACGAGGAACACGAGTCCATCGTCAAACTGCAGTTCACTTTTTGATACAATTGCTCGTCACGAAGACCTATCCAACCTGCTGCGTGTGTATTATCAGTCACGCATTCCAACAGCAAGCAGCAGAAACTTACACAACTTTCTAGTTCACCACAACGCTGGTCGTCCTTGCTTCAAACAAGCTGGAAACTTGGCACTAAGAATCAGCTATCTGCAAACACGGCGCGCAGATAGATTTAAAAAGCTGCGTGAAGTAATTTCATTGTATGCGCAGGGGCGCGAATCGCAATTTCAGCGTAGGGCAACTGAGGATCAAGTAGCTTTGCTTGAGTTTCAATCTGATCTAGAAAAGAAGTATGGAACTGGGTGTTTTTTCGACATGTCCCTTAGTGAGACAGTATACAACTTGATTGTGCTTTGCTCAACTCAACAAAAGCGTGCAGTTGATTTGCTTTCAGACACTAATAGATTACGAAGGAGGTTTAAAATACCAGATCGCCGTTTTTCATACTTGAAGTTAACAGCGCTTGCTGCTTCTGGACAATGGCACGCACTTCGTGTTTTTTCCGCTGAAAAATCTGCCATTGGCTACGCGCCATTTGTGCGGGTCTGCATTGAGTATGGACAGCCGGCCTCTGAGATAGAGTACTACATGAACCGAATAACTATAGATAACGAACGCCATTCTCTTCGTGCCGAGCTTAAGTCTTAATTGAGCATCAGCACAACGATTGAAGTATCATCTGGTGGATCCGGTGATGGTATTTCTTTTTTTTTGAGGCCTAAACCGGCTTGAACAGCGGATACCTCGCACTGTGTCATTGGATTGATGGAATTCTGGTGACAGCCCCAAGATTACCCATCTGCCAGAACGGAATGCTGAGTTCGAGTCCGGATCTCTACCCAGGTTGCTCAACGCAATTAAAATAATAAGAGGAGAAGATGCATCAGAATCCCGCACTTCTAGTTCAGGTTATCTACTACCTATGATGACCAGTCTGTGGAGATTCAATTTGCCTCGAGAGCCTCTGACTCAGTGAGGCCAGAATGCAAGCCCTGGACCTCTTTCAAGGCTGAGCAGTTGACTAAGGCCACCTGATGGTTTGCCTGAGTGCAGCGAACGGTTACAGACGGCAGTGCACATGGCCATCTCACTGACAGATGCCAGTGGTCCCATGCTTAGCGTCCGAGTCACGGCCGGCGATCACGGCCGGCGATCACACGGGGAAGTCACTAAAAAATCAATCAGACCAAAACTTGAAAGTCGACCATTGGCACCCTACCTCCGTCCCATCCTGACGGATCATAAATGGGGTAACAAAATTCGATTTTTGAAATCTCGGGCCGACCGTGACTCCGAGTCCGAGTCCTGAGTCGGAGCCTGAGACTCGGAATTGTACCCCCAGGCCTGAACTAGAAGTGAATACCTTTCATTCTATCTCCTCATTCCCTAAGATTTGAGCCTACACAGTTTTTCTATTGACTTTGCCTCTAGTCCGACTTCTTATCCCGACAGGCGCCTCATAAGTACGTAGGTATGCTAGGTATGCCTCATCCCTACGGTATCTAGCCACTCCGCTGCACGCGTGCTTATGCTGGGGATTGGGGACTAGAGCCCCGTGAGAGTCGCCCGCAGCCTCGCCACGGAACCCGCTACTTATGGCGCCGCGAGATAATGATATGCGCCAAAGACTGATCCATTCCCTGCGCGTCCGATCTCAGTCGCTCGAATCGTTGTTACTAAGCTTGCAAAGGAGTAGAGCTGACCTTCAATGCCCGACGGCAATGCAAGAGTGTGCTTATTGTCGCGGTTCACACGCGGTTGGAAGTTATACTCGCTGCGATCTGGATACATCGAGCGATAGCCCCGATCGTTCCCGATGCTGGATAGAGTTGCAGCCTTGTCATCGTTTGAAAGAATTTGGAAGCTCACATATTCGTTCTTCAGCGTCACAAATTGATCCATCTAACCCATCACTCAATGCTAGTATGTGGAGAAATGCTGAGATCCCAGACGCAAATACTCGCACTATTGCCCTTGATTATATTCACGAGGAAATCAAGAGTGTGCACAGCATTGGTCTCTGTGAATTAAGAATGCGCAACTTAGCCACGAAAGTCCTGACTATCATCAGGAGCTGGTTGGCGCGGAAACGATTTCAAAAGCTTATAGATATGAACGTGGCCATTAAACAATTACAGTGCAGGGAAATATTAAAGGCCGTATCTCAGCCTTGTGTCCGCTTTTGTGAGCTGGACCGAAGTATCACTAGAATCAGACGCCGATATTCACGGAAGTTTCTGTATACGTGCTGGCTTGCGCTTGGAACGGAGTTACATGAATCATCCTATTCCGGTGACAGGGGGCACCGATATAACAAGACCAAGGTCCCACCTAATCAAGTAATCTGCTCAAAGATTCTTGCTAAAAAGAAAAGTCTATTCAAAAAGTGGCGCTCGTTGGTGTTCTCACAAACCAACTTATGTGGCTATCCGGAATTGGCCGACACTAAATATCTGGCCTATCAGACTTCTGTTGAGCCTCGATGTAGTATCGACTCGGTAGCTGATCGTGTTGCTCAGATGGCGAGCTTGGTATGCAGAGCCATGCATTTTACTGAAATATCTTTAGCTGAGGTCGCTCGTAATCTAGCCATTGCCAGGCGCTGTTTGAGTGTTGATACTGGTTTCTTGAAGAACTCTTTTGTGTCGTGGGCTGGATGGGTCAAAAGTTTGTCTGAAGGCCGTTTGATACTAAGGGTTCCTTTAACAGCACCGGCTCAGGGAACAAAAGCGTCATTGGAAACACGCTTCAGGGCCCCTCATGACTTCCAAACAGCGGCTAGGATATCACGCTCCTTTCAGTTACTTAGATATACCGATGCCTGGCGCTCACGCGCCGCCCTTTTGGGTAGTATCACTAAAAAACAACGGATGTTACTTACAGATCATCTTCGTCTTCAATTGTCAGCTTGGAATATTTATGCAGCTCAGCTCAAAGCAGCACGTCAGGTGGCTCTTGATCGATGGTGCGCACACGTTGCAAGAGAAACTTCCGGTCCTCTGCGAGCATGGTACCTCTGGGCAAATATGCGAAGAACACGCCACCAAGATTCTAACCGCCTAGTTGCCATGTTTGCTCGTCTAAAATGCCGACACAGTGCAGCGACAGCATTGCGCGCCTGGAGACATGCCGCTCAGTTTAATCATTTTGAGGCCCGATACACACGCAGGGAACTTATTGCGGCGCTTTCTGAACAGAAAGGTCATATCCGACGATTAGAAAAATGTGTAGATGACCATTATATTGTTCGTGGAGAACTCGAACATGTGGTAAAAGATGCACATGAGCGTGCAGCAAGGCTTGCGCGACTGTTGCCTGACCGCGATGCTAAGTGTAAACAGCTTGAAGAGAATCTTCAAACTGTGGAAGTGCGTGTCGCCTCGGCTCAGCGTTATGTCTCCGCTGTGGAGGTTGTCCGCTCTGCACTCACTCAAAGCATATTACAGATGCAACCAGGAGTTGGATTTATAGACAGAGACCTGGCTACGTTTGCACACGACCATGGTATTAGACTTGAAGTGGAGATGATCCATCCCAACATGGGGTTTTGTCAGAACGTCCTAAGCCCTCCCCCAACTGTATGTTGTAAATGTACTAACGCAAACGCATCGACTGGTACCCTTCATCTTGCGCCAGAGAACGCTGGTAATTCAACGGCACCATTGGAACCTCAAGATGATAAAGTTCCACATGGAATGGTGTTAATTTGCCCTCCGAATAGGTCGGGAGGAATTTTGCTGTGCCGACATGAGGGAGACGACTTGCATTCATCGACTGAAAGAAGTGTCATGTCGTCCGACAGCACCGATGTCATCAAAGTAGAACTTGCAGCGCGCGTAGGTTGGCTCGTAAATTTGACACGTCAATCCTCTCCTTTGGTTGATTTCCGTCGATTGTCCCATATAGGTGGCGCGCCCTTAACTACCAGTCACGAGGCTAGTCAAGAAATCAGTCATGACACTACAGGACTGTTTAATGTGCCCAGAAAACTGATGCATGAAGCCGCACTCCTCCTTATACATACCTTCCGAGAGATGCAAGGAATCTTTGAGTTTTTGCGTGAAGGAAATACTTCAGCACTCTCTTCTCGTTTGCTGGCCTCATGGGGCAAGTTCTGTGCTCTCACAATGCGAAAGCCCGTGAGAGAGAGGAGAAAAATAACAACTAGTGCATATACTTGGGCAGACTTGACGTGGCAGCTAAATGGACAAAGGCAGCACGGAGAACAGAATACGTCCCCAACTTTCGAAGTTCAGACCGGTACATCGCATTATCATTTGAAAGTATTGCATGTTCCCCTCTACAGCGGTCGTATGCGATGGACTCGTTGCAACGACATCACCAAACGGACGCCCCCCCAAGCTCGCCCATTGCCAGTGGATTTTTTTTTGGGGGCTGGGGCCCGGGGGGAAATCCGGGGGGCAGGGGAGAGGGATATTTAAAAACAAAGTATATTGGTATATATTTCCGACTCTTGGACCGAGTCCGGGGCGCAGGCCTCACGGGTCCCGCAGTAGGCGACGGTATGATCACGGTCTCAATTTAAAAAAACGGAGCCGGACAACGGATGTTCCCTAGGAGCCCTATATAGATATGAAGCGATAGGAAATAATTAGTGGGGAATTAGAGGCCGACCATCAATGATTTGGAGCGATTGGGTTTCGGGCGGGATTTAACCACGCCCGACAGCATCTCCGACTGCACCAAACTACAGCCCATTATTTTATCATACCGGGGGGGGGGGGGGGGGTCTCACGGTAGCAACCGCGCGGGGGCAGCTTCTGCGCACGCCCGGCGAGATTTTATGCGTACGAAGGTGGGGCCGGGTATTCGCTTGCCGCTTAGGCTTGATCTTGCCTTGAAGTTGGCGCTAGGTCCGTCCGAGTCTTTTTTTATGCTGAAAACAGAGTATTCCGCATTTTCTGGGGCTCGAGCAGGATTATCTCGTTTATTCGGCCTTTTCTCTTAGGCATGTTAGGCAAGGGGCGGGGCCGAAGTGACGTCAACAAAAGGCACAGGCTAAGCGCCTGACCCCCCCGGCCCTGAGGGCCTATGAATTTTCGAGTTTAACCTGACCGTGACTCGGAGGTCACTAGCACGCCGCCGCTGGTCGAATGTCCGGCTAGGGGGACTCAGATGACTCCAGTACTATGGCACGGTCACGGTAGGTAGAGTACCTACGGTGCCGTAGGTACCGTAGGTACAATGCCTACCGGTACTTACAATTTACAAAATTTAATCATATGCTGCGTGTGCTGCGGCCGTTATCGAGGCCGTTCAAATTTGAGCAGGCGTGGTTGTAATTGGTCTCGCCATGCCGGAAATCCCCGATTTGCAGCACTACCTTGGAGATCTGGAGAGTAAAGACAAGGCTTCGCGAATTCGTACGCTCAGTCTACTGAAAGACAAGCTGACTTTAGCACCGGGATCATCGGATGTTGGCGATCACTCTATGAATTATAATCTGATAGACGCTCTGGCTAATAGGCTCGTCAATGATCCTGCAGAACGATGCAGAGAGCTTTCGCTTACCATCATAGCCGAGTGTCTCCGTGACATGGACCCCGCAAAAATCGTGAGGTCAGCTCGCTGCATAGTCCCGGCAGCTGCTGAGAGATTCGGAAGCCAGCCGTTCAGAGAACCAGTAGAAGAGCTTAGGCTGAAGTGCGCACGCATGGTTAGTTTCTTCGCTTTGATTGCCTATTTCTAGGCTCATTGAGACATGCACTAAAATTTTGCATCAAGCTGCCTCCGAGCTTAGTTATGAACGTAGCCACCCGATCACGGACATTTTGGCATTTTCCCTTGTTTCCGCTCTGACAGACAGATTCCCGGAGGGTAAACGAGCCGCTGCGACCGCGATCAGCAACTTGTGCCGCATTGCCCCCTGGAGCATTAATCTTCATTTTGTAGCCTTGATGATTGAACTTAGTACAAACCTGTCACATCAACACGTGGGTCATGCAAATGAGTTGTTTTGAAAAAGGCCTGCCTGGCTTTAGGCAAAGACGCGTCTTCTAACTCTCGATGCCATTGTGGATGCCTACTTGACTGTGTCGCAGCATTTGCTCCACAGCAAGACTCTTACTGCTCTTTTTAGGTCACATGTGTTTCGACCATTTGCAATGCGCTCCCACATGTGTTTCGCCAGGTGCTTGGCTTTTTTTTTAAAATTACATTGCTGATGTTCGCATTGGCAGATTGTCCTGCCGAAACTCGGGCGTATTTGCATGGATCGATCCAAAAAAGCTCAGGCCCGTGTAGAGTTAGAATGGACCCTTGTTTACTTTATGCCAATGCTCAGGTGCGAGTGTGCTTTGCTCGCTCCCTGGGTGTCTGGCTAGTGCGAGGACTTGACTGCATTACAGTGGCGGAAGAAGCGATTGGGAAATCCCCAGGGGCGCTAGTAAACGCCGGTGTATCCACAAAACTCGCCCCTGCCTATTAGCAATACTCGCATAGCATGAATTTGCCTCTGACTTGCTCGCTTTTCTCTTCATGCTCCTCTCAGACGAATCTCGGGAAGTTGCAGCAAGGGCAGTTTCTGAGTTGAATGTCCCTCCTGTGCGGGGATTGCTACCTTGTTCTCCATTGCGATATTTCTTAGGCAGTAGGCATACATTGGCAACTAGCCACCTCCAAAAGTATATCAAAGTGGTGCGTTGCGGAACTTCCCCTGCCGTGTGTTCCCTCTGTTCTGCCCCGTGATTTTGCCTGCAATGCTGCATATTTGGTATCCAGTGCTGCTACAACGCTTGTTACACTCCACTTTCAACCTATCTTGAATATCCAGCTCGCCTGGTTGAGTTGTTGGATGCCGCCGATGCGTCTGAAACAGTGTGCATGTCACATGTTCCACTTGGGCATTGTACCAAAACCCAATTTACAGGGGCTCATAATCTTCACGCTCTCGCATCATTGATTATAACGTCAGGGGCTGCTGTTACCAGTTCTGTGCTTTTCTATGATAGCAGGCACCAGAATAAATTGTAGGTCAATAGTTCATTTCAAGTTGGGAAGCTGATTCAAACCTATGGTGAGTTGTCTACCCGGGTATATGATATGTTAGCGCTTCAGCTCTAGGCAACTGGATTAGTGATAATGATGAAGGCGTCCAGGGCGGCTCTCGGGCAGCCATTCGGGCATTGGGTGCGGTTCTGATTGATCATTCTCCAGCACTCCGTATACTGCTTGACTTTGGAACGCCCCCCTTGGCAGGTGCAGACGATTAAATATCTTACCCCGTGCTGACTTCGAACCCATAGCCGTCAGAAATGATAGCTTGGTCAATGTAATCTTGGAACATTTAAGTGAGATGATGACGCTTATTACTGATAAACTCTTTTTCCAACAGGGAGGGTGAGTGCTCGGCGGATAGCCTCTTCTGCAACAACAATGGTCACCTTATTCTGCCACTTGGCAGAGGTCTCTGCTGAACAGCGAGCATCATGCCCCATGCCGTTCAACGCTGATGCTGCAGATATTTGCCTTTGCTACGCCGTGCGGAACCTCCTCCGTCAGTACATCTACAAATGGGGTTTGTTTCACCATGCTGTCGCAGGTTTACGGCTTGAGTTAGATGAGCTCTCACTTGCAAAACTCATGCGTAGTCTGCTCCTCCTACCATCATTCACTAATGCGTTCTTACCAACTTACACGCAAGCAAGCCCAAGTTCCAACTACATGGTGAACCAGAGCCTAGTCATCCTCCTGGCGCATTTTGGTCAATCTTCTCGAGCTGATTTTGTTCAGATTTCTTTTGATGCTGTTATTGGCTTGCTTCCAAAACCAAATCCATGCTATGAGATCCACACTGTGTCATGGCTCCTTTTAAGTGCGCTGGTACATATTTGTCCAGGAGCTGTCGCCTCTGTCTTTGACACCGTCCTAGCTCCAATCCTTTTGGTGCATGTGCACCCATGCTCTAATCCAAATCCAGAAGCGCGAATCAAGGCATTAAGGTAAGGCCCCAAGACTATTGCATAAAGCCTCAAGAATACTTTTAGCCTCCTACACACTTTGATGTGCGCATTGGATGCGCAAGGGAAGTTTAGCGAATTTACCATCGCAACGTTGATCGAAAGTATGTTTCAAAAAGAACACAACACACCCGTGCTTTTAACTCGTGCCTTTGAAATAGGTGCTGTGCTTCCTAATCTAGTTTGGTATACTGGTCGCACCGCAAACTCAACGCGCAACCTGCACAGTCACCTAGGGTGAAAGCCAAGATATATTTTCTAAATTTAGGTAAAGCTGCACTTGCTGTGCTACACGGAGTGCTCCATAGTGCCCTCACCCCCTCAACGGGACTATCAATGGAGCAAACCGGGATTCAACCCATTTTGAGATTACTGCCTGTTCTTGGAACAAGCTTGGATGAGTACGACACTTCATCGCGAGAGATTTCCTTGAGGTGCGTTTACATCTTACTTAGCAGATTTCAGCTTCAATCTGAACTTGCCTTCCCTCGGCCCTGCATCTGGACAGTTGCCTTACCACCTTGCTTAATTGCCTCCCACCAACCAGTCTTCAGCTTAACAGCGTTTTGGAATTATATCCTGCTATCGTGAAACGCCTCGATGATTCGCTAGATGACATTAGATTGGAAGCCTGCGCCACATTTTCTGCGTATGTAAAGTGTATATCTCCCGTTATTGCTCTTATTCTCTTATTCTGCAGATTTGCCAGGGTGACACCGCCAAACGCGCTAACAGAGACAATCCTTGAATACTGTATTGAACACTTTCTAGTTCATCTCGATGATGCAAATGTAAATGTTCAGAGCGCAGTCTTCCAGGCTCTTCTGACTATTGGAAGCGTGGGGCCCTTGGCCAAAGTCATGCTCTCGAGGAAAGTCAGTGAAATTAGTTTCTCCCATCGCGATCCGGCCCTCGCTATTCGACTTCTGAATGTGCTTAATCTAAGCTAACGAGGAGCATGCTTAATCCACGCACGCACTCGAGACCATGCACGTGCCTGTCGCGTTTAGACCACTCCTCCCGATAAGGACGTAATCGAGATTTGAACTCAATTCCAATTGTCCGGCAGCCTCCATGAATCCGAAACAAAAAGAAACAAAAAGTCCTGCGAAGTTCAACGTAAAGTTGAAGTAGAGGCAGGAGGGTAAATTTAGCAAAACCCGCCATCTAGTGTTCTAGAGCGCCCAAAAGCCACAGGGTTAAACGCGCGAAATTAGGCAAAATGTGGTTCCGGCAGGCCTCGGCCTGTGTCTTGGGGGGCCTGGGGGGCTCGCGAGCGCGGCGACTGGCGGCCCGGGAACGCCGCGACTGGCGGCCCGGGAACGCCGCGCGGTTACCAGTACTAAGTCCCGGCGGTTTCAGCCCCGGGCCTGACCCGAAACCAAGGTAGTCCGACCAAAACCAAATTAATTTGAGTTCCCGAAAAGAAGCTAAGTGCTACTCGATTTACGTCCCTGCTTCAAGTTCAGGCTCCGAGTCCCGAGCCCTGGCCCGGGACCGGGCCGCTGACCACTGACGCGGCTAGGTGCCTTTGCGACGTATATTCAATTTTAAGTTGTTCCGAGTCACGGTTTCTCGGAGCGGAGGAGCCACCGTGACGGTCGTAGACAACTTGAATGCCAGTGAATGCACTTGCACGGAGTCCGAGTCCGTATATGCCGACTGGGTCAACGTGCTCTATGACTGCATGCTACGATGTGGGGCCGCAATGATCAACGATGTGCCCGGCCCGGGGGGATTTTCTTAACGCTAGTTTCCTGCACAACCCCTGTCCTACTAGCCCGGGCGACGAGCATGACGGGGGGGGAGCGACAGGATAGGGGGCCCGTCGCGCTCGACTCCGACTAGTAGAGGGCCAACCCGCTGCCCATCGCTTGGACCCCCGCCGTCGGAGATTGATTTTGGCACCCTGGTACTGTAGGCCTCCTCGGATCCCCCGGCGAGTTGTGACCGATCACTTGCTTGTTCATTTTAAACCCTTACTTGTTCATTTAAAATATCTCGCGCGCTCCTGAGAGCTTTTAGAGGCCTGCAGCTTGATCTGCACATGCCGCGACATCTAAAGGTGAACGCGGCATGAACCTTAACGGGGAGCCCGCGACGACAAGATTGTCTGGGTTGATGAAGTCTGTCGTACTTTGCACGACGGGACTACCGCCCGGAGAGCGAGAGGAGATATGCGAAATGGCTCGCGCAATGGGAGCGGCCGTGAACGATAACCTGAGCCGTATGACGACTCACCTAGTTTGCGCCACTGTCAAAGGAGCCAAGTACGATGCTACCATGCACTCTCCTTTGAGGGGCCAGATCTATCTGGTGACTCCCGAGTATGTCCGATGCTGTCACACCACTATTGCCCGCCTTGACGAGAGAAAGTATCCAACTCTTGCTTTATCAGGCCTAAGAATTTCCATCTCTGGCTTTGAGAGCGCCTCACGCGAGGTGCTCCGTGAAGCAATTGTCGCTACAGGCGGCGCGTACATACCAACACTAAACGCGGGTACAACCGATGTGCTTGTTGCACGTCGAGCAACAGGTGCCAAGTATCACGCTGCTGCTGCCTGGAACATTCCATGCGTCTCCCGGGGATGGCTCGATGACAGTCTTATATATGGCCATCGACGTGATATGCGTAAATACACACTTAGTGACGTGAAATTGATGGGAAAGCGCAAGCGAGACCTCGGGCTTGAAATAGAAAACAACATCGCCGAGCTGGTTCGTGCCACCCACGACACATGCGTTAGCAGGGCTTTTGACAGCGTTATTGCTTTTGTCGCCGAATGTAGCATCCCTGACACAGTGAGATCTGACATCGACGTACTTCTGAGCTATGGACAGGGTACGAGGCTTCCGGTTCTTGCAGCTGCAGTTACACATGTCATTGTCCCCCCAAACCTAAGCCCAACGAGCTACCAAATAACACACTGGTCTCAGCATACAAATAGCGCCCACGTTGTCAAGGCTTCCTGGATCGCAGCATCTGCAACATCAGGAAGTCGACAGCCTGAAGTTTTCTTCGCTGTCTGTTGAGTGATCATTTTTAAATTTAGTATGCAATTGAAACAATTCAAAGTTAGTACTTACTGCCTCTAGCTCGCCAGCGGTAACTTGAAAGTTTTAGACAAACCCCCAGTGGTGCGCAAAGACCCCCCCTTACTACATCGTCGAACTTTGAAGGTCGATCAGAGGTCGATCACCCCCTTCTCCTACGTCGTTCAACGGTCAGCGGCGCTACCAATGCGCTACCCTTTACTCTCGTAAAAGGCCTTCGAGAGAAGGGTTAGCTGAAGAGTGTAGCGCGCTGTAGCGGTGTCATTCGCCTTTGAGCGCTGTAGCGCTCCAACGCCGGCCCCATTCATGGATGTAGCGCGTGCGATCGATGGTCAGCACGCCTGGCTCGGGTGCGAGGTCTTTCCGCTGCAAAAACGCCGCCGCGCGCGCCGAACGCAGCCCTCGCATTTTTACGATGTGCGCGATATCGGGTGCACGCGCGGCCGCGGGCGCGGGCGCCGCGTTCGGTAGGGGCCCGGGGAGCCCTGCGGCGCCTGCGTCGCCTCGGATGGCGCTCCCGGCGCCCCGGCGCGCGCCAACCGCGCCACGAAAGCGTCGCCGGCCGAGCCCGAGCCCGCGGGAGCCGTCCGCGGGCGAGGGCGCGCGCTGCCCGGCCCGCGCCACGGGTGCAACGGCCGCGGCGGCGCGCTCCGAGGCGCCGGCGCCCGTCGCGAGGGCCCGCGGCCGGCGGCCGGGCGCCGCAGGCGCCGCGCCGCGTCGAGCGGCCGCCGACCTGTGCGCCGAGGCTCGCCGCGGGGCGGCGACCACTTCCCCGGCCTCGGGCGCCGTGCGGCCTCGAAAGGGCGCCGCGCGACCCTGCAAACGGCCCTCTTGCGTTGCGCCGCCGGTAGCTCCGTGAGCCCTACGGCACGCCACGTGGCGCGCCGGATCATCGAGGGCGCCTGGACGCTCTCCGGGGCGTTGTTTTTTTTGTGGTGTAATTGTTGGTGTAATTGTTGGTGATGGGACTGCGTTTTTTTCGCGATGGGTTAGGACGCCAGGCACGGATCCACGAGGAAGAGGGTTAGCCGCAGGACAACTAGTATCTGGCCGGGATAACCGGGTTAGACGTTCTACGATTGCGTAGAACACCGTGGAACCGATGTCCCTAGCTGGGATAGATGGCGAGCGAAAATCGGGGATCGACATACGTGCCGAGCATGTGACTGTGCGTCGCCGGCGTCGTTTTCCAATTCATAGTTGCATCTATAATACAGGCGACGATGGCAATATCAAACATAGTCAAGTCGTCTCTGGGACCAGTTGGACTGGACAAGATGCTCGTCGATGACATTGGTGATGTCACCATAACCAATGATGGTGAGATAAAGCAGTGAACGATGATTAATTCGATTCTTCAGGCGCCACCATTTTACAGCGTTTGGAGGTTGAACACCCAGCTGCCAAGGTGCTTGTGGAGTTGGCTGAGCTTCAGGACAGTGAAGTTGGTGATGGGACTACGTCGGTGGTCATTGTTGCAGCCGAGCTGCTGAAGCGGGGGACTGAACTCGTCAAAAGTGGTATACATCCAACGACAATAATGACTGGGTTTCGTCTTGCTCTTAAAGACGCAGTCAGGTTTGTTAAATCCAGTCTCATGGTGCCCGTTTGCCAACTTGGCGATGATGCAGTAGTTTCTGCAGCTAAGACATCTATGGCCTCCAAGCTTCTCAATGCGGATGAACTCTTTTGGTCTAGATTGGCAGTTGATGCTGTACGTTCGGTCAAAACGCTCACAGCCGCGCCTAAATTAAAAAAAAAAAAAAGTCGGACACACACATTTTGCACAATAGGCTTGCAGCAAATGGCAAGGCTCGCTACCCTGTCTCGGCTATTCATATTCTTAAAGCCCATGGGAAATCTTCAAGAGAGTCTGAACTGGTAAATGGGTTTGCAATCAATATACAACGAGCAGCCCAGGGCATGCCTACCGTGGTGAAAAATGCAAAGATTGCACTGCTTGACTTCCCACTCCAGCGCCACAAAGTACAAATGGGCATTGCTGTCCAGGTTGATGACATTGCCGAGGTGGAAGGAATTCGTCAGCGCGAACTAGACATTACAAAAGAACGCATACAGAAGATATTGCAGTCTGGAGCAAATGTAATCCTCACAACCAAGGGAATAGACGATACCTGCCTCAAATACTTCGTGGAGGCGGGTGCATTGGCAGCCCGGCGAGTCAAGAAAGAGGATCTCACGCGCCTGGCCCGTGCAACTGGTGGTCGCGTTGTTGTGACACTAGCGGATATGGAAGGTAACGAGACGTTTGACTCGGAGTCTCTAGGATCAGCCGAGCTGGTGCAGGAGGAACGTGTTGGGGATGGCGAAATGCTTTATGTCCGTGGTACTTCGTGTTCAAGGGCCACGACGATAGTCCTTCGTGGTGCAAATGACTTTCACCTCGACGAGCTAGACCGTGCGCTGCACGATGTATTGATGGTTGTGAAACGTGTTCTTGAGTCTGCTGCTGTAGTAGCTGGTGGCGGCGCCGTTGAAGCAGCCCTGTCAATCTACCTTGAGAAGCAGGCACATACCCTGGGCACACGCGAACATTTGGCGGTAGCTGAATTTGCACAAGCGCTCCTCGTTATTCCCCGGACACTTTCTGTCAACGCAGCTCAAGACGCAATTGAGCTCGTGGCAAAACTTCGAGCAAGCCACAATGCTGCACAGCAGCACCTCCAGGATGATCTTCAAAAGTTTACTGGGTTAGATTTGACCACTGGACGTATTCGCAATAATCTCGCAGCAGGTGTCCTTGAGCCTGCTATATCTAAGATCAAGTGCCTCCGCTTTGCAACAGAAGCTGCAATCACCATCTTGCGTATTGATGACATGATCAAGCTCAATCCGATGGCTCAAGAATGATCATTTGGCGCCAATCTAAGCACATAATCCGCTGAACTGTTCAAGAAGATTGATATGATAAAAAAGACAAAAGACGAGTGGCCATCGTTGTCATGATGATTAATCAGGAAGGAAATAAATTAGATACTCTCCAGGCTACCCTACATTTTTAAGTTAGAGAGGAGGTGTTTTAACAATGAAAAAGCATTGGATTTGATGTTGGTCAGAGCTGTCTGATATCATCGCTAGTTGTGGGATGGTTGGGAGGCACAGAGTTCGATGGACTCATAGCGCGGGACAAAAAAACGTGTTAGGAGTGCTATGCACCTCTGGAATCATGTGTGCGTCGAAAGGAATTCCCGGCAGCGAAAGAAATTCCCGGCAGCGTCGGCCAGCACAAGCATGGCCAATAAACACCGGTGGGGACGTCTTTCTATTCTAAACTTAAAGAGGAAATTAAGAGTACGGGTATGTTCAAGTTTTGCGCCCTTTCAAACCGCGCGCCCGGGCCGCCAAAACTTCCATGCAAATGCGCCATGAGGGGTATGGGGGGGGTCTTCGCGCACCCTCATGGCCAAAACTTCCATGCCCACCCCCTCATGGTCTTCGCGCCAAAACTTCCACCCCCTCATGGTCTTCTTTGCAAATGCGCCATGTCGCGCACCCCCCCGATCGGGACTCGTGTCTTCGGGGAGGGTGGGGGGGGGGAGTGCTGCACCCCAATACAGCCGCGGCGGCGTCGGCACGCGGGCGCGGTGGCCCGAGGGCGGCTGAGGATGGAGCTAAACGCCATTCCAGTGGTGGGGATCGATGTCTAGGAGTCCGTGTTTCTCTCATAATGCTTGTGTGGAACTCGGGAAAACCCGTTTTGTTTCGAGTTCAATGGCTCGGTCGGCCCGGCGCACGCCGTGGGACTGCCCCCCCCACGGCGTAGAGAAACGCGTGCGCATATGGATCGGCCCGAATATCTCGAATACGGTGCCGCTGGGTCAGTCGAGCAGCACCTGGCGCGTTTGCGGACCGCCGCGGTCCGGGCGGGCTTCAAGTTCCCGCCCGAGGAGCCGGACTCGGACTAGAGCCACGCGACGACGCCACACGACTAGGACTAACTTGACGAACTCTCCCATACATTACATAAAGGTTGTACCGCGTACAACGGTCTCTCGGTTGCCGTACCCTATGCTTGGCGTGGCGGCTCGATCACGCGACCCCACGATCTCGTAAAAACGGCGAATTACTTGGACCTGCGACCATTGGCGCTTTTGCCGTCATCCTGGACCTGGACGCGATCGTTTGTTTCGTCGCCGATTGACTTGCTCGAGGTCCAGATCAATGGCAATAAGAGCTGCCGCCGGGCAGCCTCGAAGTACATTTCCCGTGGTGTAGATGTAGTACAATTGTAGTTGACTATCGGCGGGGTAGTATAGGGTCCGACGAGACCGCTACGGCGACTACTGGGGGCCCTCGGGTAATTGGCGTATTTGTGACGGTCGCGGCTGGTTCTATAGGTCGCGAAGTTGCCGAATCGCGCGGCTCTAACGGGTCATCTAATATACGTCGACCTGTGCCCATCCGGCCTAAATGGCAAAAGGCTTCAAGTTCCCGCCGATGCTCAAGCACCTTCCCCTTACCTCAATAAACCCATAAAACATCTGTTTTCTGAAGTTCTAGTTCTAGAAGAAAGTTACTAGTACTCCTTAAAGAGCTCCTAACAGCGACCCGAATGGTGTTGGAACCTTACCCTCTAGCTCAGGTCACGAACACCTCGAGCTCAGGTGCGAGAAAGAGTTCCAAATAGTTGGTCAACAAATAGTTGGTCAGAAGCGTCGTCCTCCGCCGCTGCGTGTTTCGCCTGGTGTTTCCTAGCTCGCCAAACCACGACAGTTTCTTAGTTTCACACAGGCTGTAAAGACTGCAAACGAGCAAGTATTTCAGCCAAGCAGTTTTCTGTTTTGTATCCATTGGGACTCAAGCAGCTTTGGCATGTCAATCATGCTCTCTTCGGTTGTGCTCAGACCAATCGCATGCCTCGAAATTGAATGAAAAGCAACAACGTAATTTAGCTTGGGAAGTCGAGGCCGCTGATTTGGAAGCATGTGGAGTTTTATGCATGCCTCTAGTTCCTCACGGAGCTGTGCACTTGCAATAGCAAATGAACAGGGTTCAATAAGTACTAGTGCAAGAGCAAGATGAATCGTTTTGGTCATAGTCAGAGAATCATTTGTACGAACATGGACACCCTGCTCGGAAACTTCACGAGGATCCTGAAAGGATGCTTTGATTTGAAGCCAGGCCTTCCACAGCGCACGTGCTTTGCGTGCCTATGGAAGCCATTCAACAAACAAAATCAAGAATACAAACTGCTCCGAGGCTCCGCGCCAAGATTGAGTTCGGGCCATTATAAACCCTACAGTTCTCCACCATAAGTTTGATATCGCACTCAAAAGCGCCAATTGATCTGTAGGGCGCGTGAACACGCAGGATCTTTGATCGCATGGTGCTGAGGTCCATAGGTTCTTTAATTTTTTTTGAATAGCCAGGTGCCTATAAATGAGCAATTTTAGTTTATATACTTGCAGACAGTGAATACGACAATAGCGTCAGTGACGGGAAAGGCAAATAAGTCGGTTGAGTCTGCTTCCTGTAATTGTTTCCAACATTCTTCAAGAACCTCTCGAATGTCGCAAGGTGGTACGGAGCTGTTCGCATCAATCATATGCTTCATTCTGGATATCAGGCGGGTCAAAGATGCGTCATCCCAATTGCCGTTCATTGCCACACTGTCCAGAATGGCAGCGATGCGCCTCACACCACCAGTAGTTTGAGGCTTTAAACCAAGCAGAATATCAATAAACAAAATAGGGTAGAGCGAGACTCGATGGTTCAAAAAGTCGTACCTCACACCACGCCATATTACTTCCACGAAGGCTGCAAAAAGAATCCCCTTGCTGTGGCCAATCAACTCGTAAAGAACCAAATAGAGGGATGGATCTAATGCCCGACGCACAGTGCATCCCCCCTTCATTAGCCGGGAATCACCACTCACTGCTAGGCTTCTGCTTGCACTAGGTGCGACATTAGAAAACCAACGCTCAGCATAGGATGCCAGCATGATACGAAAACGCGCAGAGATTGTTACGCAACACCTACACGTTCAAAAGACTTCATTGAGCATTTAGGATGCACGCAGATGGAGACTTCCAACGCACAAGTTTTGGCAACTTTCTGAAAGCATCTTCGGACAACCTGTGGAGAGCCTCGGCCAGAACACTGGGTATACGTCCTGGCCACGTCTCGAGAAGAGCAAGTGATACAACCCGAAGCTCGGGCACATGTGAGTGCGACCAGGATGCCTCAAGAAGTGCAACCCGCGCGTTGTAACTTATGCGGGGTATTGCCGTCACCAACCGGCGACACCAGGCGTCGATCACAATGGCGTGCCCGGTCTGTATACGCTGAGCCTCCAGCAGTGACAAAGCGGCCTGCATCCTTGTAATCCGAAATCTATGCGCTTATGCTCCGTCCCGCTGTTCATTCACTAGCCACAAGTCCCGCCGTTTGGTCGCCACCCCATGCGTGAAGGCAAAGAGTCTCCCATGGCGACCATGGCCCGTTCTCGCTGACGACGGCCCCGTTTGCGGCGGCGGCTAGCTCCGCGACCAAAAAGAGGTCGACGGCCTACGGGCGCCCTCGCGCGCCACGCCACCGCGCGGAAGGCCGCGCAGGGCAGCCGCCCGTAGGCCCATTTTCGAGCCGTCGACGGACTAGTGCTCGCCCGCCGCACTCGTCGAGGTCTAGTGGGACGCCCTCGGCCGCGCGGGGCAGCTTCGTCGATGGTCGATGGTTCAGATTGGCAGCTCGGACCATCGACCATATTGACCATTAGCGCGCTTGGGCTGCCTTCCGTCCCGTCATTTTGTGAGCGCTCCACGGCCAGGGTCTCGACCATTTTTTAGCAGCAGACGGGCGCCCGCGGCGCCACACGGCACTGCCCCATCAGCACGCACCCTCCGCCGTGCGTCGCCGCATGACGTCGTACCATGACCGTCTTTCGAAATGACCTTCACCCAGAACCCACGAACGGCTCACCGCAAGGAATTTGGGATGCGATGAAGTTTGACCGTAAACGCGGGCGTCAAACGAGGTGCGTCGACCACCGATACGCGAAGTGCGAAACGGGCTCCACGACCCAAACCTGTTGGCGTGGAGCTTCGAAGGGATCGTGGGGACTGCGCAGACCGCTTGGTTGCTCGGGAACCCCTTTTTTACTATAAAATGTCCAGGAAATAGCTATATTCATTTCGGTTTTGCCAGAGGGGGCACATGTGCAAAAAATGACCAATTCTTATTCTTACTAAAAGTCCAATATATTAGCAGGTACATAGCAGGCGAACCGCGCCCCATCACACGCACGCGCACATAATCGGCCTGAAATGAAAAAGGGGCACGGCCATCTCGACCTCAGGCTCGCGTGAAGTAAACTAGCTCGCGTGCGCCTCTCTTCGAAGCTGTCAGAGACACTTCGCCTGTCCTGTAGTCCACGTGTTTGTGGCGTACACGAGGGTGCATCATGACAAGAGAAGCTACGCGTGATGATGCGCGCGATGACGGCGCAACGCCGCGCGCGCGCGCGCGACAAACTTTGCGGTCATCTCGAGCCCTCGTAGTGTCATAGATCGTTGGGCGCAAAGATCGCGATGCACTAGCAGGCGGTGGAGATCTCGCGCAGAGCTGCGGTTTGGGCACTCAGCAGACCGCCCAGACCGTGACGGTCACTGGCACGATTACCTTTCGATGCGGGTGAGGCCCTAGGAGAGCGCGTTAAAACCAGGTGACCAAGTAGGATTACAGGACTAGTAATACTACAAATGCGCCATGAGGGGTATTTTGTAGAGGACACTAGACGTGGGGTATGGGGTTCGAGGGGGGTGGGGAGGGGTGTCGCGCACCCCCCCGATTGGGACTCGTGTCTTCGGGGAGGGTGGGGGGGGGGAGTGCTGCACCCCCCCAATACAGCCGCCGCCGCGTCGTTACCGGGGGTCTACAAGCTCGTATAGGCTGCGCGACAAAATTCGTGTCTGAGTATCGTTCAGTTAGCTAATGGTCCAAAGAGATCAATGGGACACGTACTGGGGGCCAAAAAAATTAATTTTTTTAATTCGCGATATTGACGGTCCCAGTATGACTGCCGCGTCGGTGGAATCCTGTGGATTCGTGGCCCGGAGGTCTCTCGGGAGGCGCCTGGGGTCGGTACTAGACGTGGGCAATCGCCTACACCGCACGCGCGGCGGCTTCCATCGGTGCATACATATAAGCAAGGTCCTTTGCGCTCTATTGCTCTGGACCATGATTTGCCAAAGATTTCGATCCAGAGCTCTCTGGGGAGCACCAAGCACCGGCGCATGCGGTCTAGGCGACTACCCGACCCCAGACCAACCCGGAGAGAGCTCCGCGAGCCGATCTACATCCGAAAAAAGTAAATAATTTGGCCCCGATGGCGCCCCGTTCCCGTAAAAAACGTCAATTTCTCTAGGGCCCCAGGAATCGTAATAGCGGTCTCGTCGGACCCCATACTACCCCACCGATAGTCAACCACGAGTATATGGGTTCTACACCACGAGAAGGGTACTCTGGTGCTGCCCACGCTCGGGACGTGAACATCTTTATCTGGACCTCGCGTAAGTCCGTCGATCATAAAACAAACGATCGCGGCAGGGTCCATGGTGATGGTACAAGGGCTGCTGGTCGCAGGTCCGGGTAGAAGCGCCGAATAATTGAGATCGTGGACTCGCAAGACAGACGAGGCGCGAGTTGGAAACGGGACCGGTCATCTAATGTGGTAGTCGCCCAGGCCGGTTATCTGGCCCGTCCCACAACTAAAGCGCCTGAAACGCAAATTTATTTCATAACTCGCGGGTCTGGGGCCTTTCTGGTGCTCCGTCTACGCACCGTCGTCCGCGGAGAACGGGCAAGTCGGTCGATTGTGAATAGAACAACGGCATTATGGTCCATCTGGATAGTGGCGTCGCTCATACTCGCAGATTTGGGCTTGGTGCTCATATTCACAAGAACGCGAGGTCGCGAAGTTGCCGAATCGCGCGGCTCTAACGGGTCACCTAATATACGTCGACCTGTGCCCATCCGGCCTAAATGGACTCTAACCCCAACAAACGGAAGGAAACGAACATAAACTCGGGAGTTGTCTAGTAGAACTCTTCTCCCGCCCTCCGAGCGCGGGCCGTCGGCTCCGGTTCCGTCGAACTTGTATGAAAACTGGACTGGAGTTGATATGATGTACTATTTGGGTAGTGGATGGCGGCGTCAATCGCTGGTGTACTTTGGAAACTCGTAAGACTCATCCGCGAATGTCGCGGGCGGTGCCTTCCGGGAGGCGCGAGGGTATGTTCCCGGACCGCTACTCTCAAATATTTGGTCTCGGCGAACGACTAGGATGTATTCTGAATTTGGGTCATTCTTTTGACGCTATTGAGGCGTATCTTTGAATTTGCTAGTATGTCGATTACGCTAGCTTCCAAATCCCGCTGGGTCCGGAGAAAGTGACAGCTATGCCTTACAGACATCCCCGGACCACTCCGGTCGCAACGGCCGTTCAAATTCGACGGGCCGAAGAGGGGTCCCCCGGGGGGTTCACCGTAGGCGGGGGGGCGGGTACCATAGAGTGGGTGGGGGGGGGGGAGTCGGAGACCCCCCACTCAGGAGTCCTCCGAGCGGGAGTGGGTGGGGGGAGGGGGGGGCGAGACCCCCCTCCTCGTGTCCTCTACAAAATACCCCTCATGGCGCATTTGACTAGTAGTACTCAGAGCGGCTCGAACTTAATTCCTTCAAGTTAATGCAGCCGCACTGGCATCCTCAGACTGTCCACTGGCAACGCCGGCGCGGCACCCGCATTAACTGATACCGGCGCGCAGGAACCCTGTCTAAAGTTTGCTCGTGCACTCTGCTGGCAGCTGTTTGCCGCAGAATCATCTCACGCGCGTCGTGCCCCGTGAACACTTCGATAGATCGCGAGCGTCTGGCCCACTTCAGTTCGCAAGTGGATTTCAGTTGTGTCCTAACTCGACGATCTCGCCAAAAAACGGCGTATGTGAAGACCACTTGGCATAAAAAGCGGCGCGTGTGAATTGTACACCCTAGCTACCCTAGCTTTTGCCAAAGTTGCCTGTCAGGCAGCGCCAAAGATGCGTCATTCTCGTCGCAGTTTTCGCCCTTTGTTATCTAGCCCTTTGTTATCTAGCTCGAGAAATAGTTCTGTGCTGCTGGGAAAAATGGCCCTCGCCCAAACCATCATGTCTAGGCGAATGGCCTCTGAGGATTCTTGTTAAATATGAATTTTTGGCAGCCCGTCATTGTGATGATTTTTGCACCATTCATTGGTTTTGCCTGCATGGATCTCAAACGGGTTGTAGATAGCAAGTTTTGTAGTTGGACCAGATGCATATGCAGCGTAGACAGCTAGGCATCGCTGGTTAATGGTGTAGATGATATTGGTGCTTTGCCAATGGCGGTCTGTTCCATAAACATGTGTAAGTGTTGCACTGAGCCCGTTACTACCATTATGGAGGATGAAAGTGTTCATAGAGCCGTCATTATATATGACAAATAGATTAGCTGCCACTGCCGCTAGTCTAATGGTATTTATACTAGAGTTTTGATTTGGAATCCGCCGGGCCCGCCTTGAAACTACACTAGGGGAATTGGATAAGCTAAGGGGCCAGAGAAGCAACCCGTCATCTCCATCTGCTAAAACAAGAATGATAGAATCTGGATTTGAGGAGGCCCTCATGATGCAACATTCAGGGGCTCGACAACGAAGGCCACTTACATTTTTGCAGGCATCCCAATCTTGCTTCCAAAACCGGACTGTTGAATCTCTGCATGGGGCGACAACCATTTGGTCAAGCACGTATGTGGTAACGCATGGACCTCCACAGGACAGAAAGACATCTGGTGGTGCAGGTGCCTCGAGAAATTCTGGCTCTTTCCAAAGGACACATCCCCGGCCCAGAGTAGCCACCACAAGCAGTTCTGGGATGAGTGAGAGCGCAACAATAGTACTAGACAGAGGCAAGAGAGTCAAAAGCCTACCAAGTCTAAGGTTTTCTCTCCCCCTAACCTCGACATGTACCAGCGAAACAGCTTTTCCTGCAGAACAGACCACAAGTCGCGAGCAGACGGCAACATTCTGGACGCATGATTTTCCTTGAAGATATGAATCTGCACCAACGGATGCAGGACCATAGATAGAAAGTGATGTACAGGGTTCTTTCGAATTTTGGGGGCCTGGACTGAAAAAGCGGAGCTCACCTCCACTACCAGAGGATAGAAGGCATGGCCCACACCAAACGATGGCTTCGACAAGGCGAAATGCATCATTAATCTTACATTCTGATCGCCACGTGACGGAAAGACTTTCGACCACAACGATGGCTCCATCAGCAGATACAATTGCGATGCGATTATCATCATCAGGGTCACATACAATATCCACTATATTACGAGGTGACTGAAAAACCAAAATCGTAGCAGGAGGGTGCCTAGGACTGATCTCATTTGGCAGCGACAATTGATGTGAAGTCATGTCCCGCACAAACCGATGTCGGAGGACACTTGGCATCCGCGAATGTCCCTGTTGTGCGGCAAGATGCACACGTGCATTCATTGCATCAATATCGAGACGTTTCGCCGCGGTTAGCTCCAGAATGTTACCCTCCAAGAAGAGAAATGGGGCTGGCTCAGACGCCGTCTTCCACAGAACTTCACTGGGTGCGTTGTAGCAAATGATTGTGTGTCGCATTTGACAATGCCTGAGCTGGTCTTTCTCAGTAGTGTACTGATCCTTTTAAACTCGGAGACTCGCGGGATACCACGTTTTGGTTCATGCTCCGGATTTACGGATGCGAACCTATAACCTATCCGATGCATTGAACATCATCTTAAAAAGAAGAAGACACATCATCGCCGGACCAAGTAAGTCTTAGCTCAAATCCTTTTGGATCATGGCGACAACGGCAGATTAAAGAAGAAATGCCCAGATCCGAGAGGAAATCTTCATAGATTTTGACTCTTTGCTCCTTGAACAATCCACCTTCTGCGAAGTGGCAAATGGGAGCAAAATCATCGCTGACCCATTCGCCATGCTGCTCCAGCAATGTCCCCTCGCTGGCGATACCACCATTGGAAACTAAACTTCCATGTTGCTGCCACCAGCCCCCAGAACCTGCGGGGCGCATCTCGAACTTGCAATCACCTGCGACAAGCGGCTAATTCACATATTGAAAGCCTATTACAAAGGTAGCACACAACGAAACGTCCAGTCCCATTCCTCTCTCAGCTGCAATTTGACGATATTTTCCGGCCACAAGCCTGTGCGATAGTAGTGATCACAACGAGTCATGCAATGAGCTATGGCGAGCTAAGGACTAGTTTATCTACGCGCAAACAGACGATCACGATACCCGTCACACCACCTACCCCAGGCGTTTGCATCACCAGCGTGCCTTTTCTCGAGACTGCCGATGGCAGACAGAGCCCATTGATGGAGAGCCCCTGCTGCATCCACACAGAAGACAGTTGGTCCTAGGATCTCCAACAATGATATCAACACAAACATGGATGTGAGCGGAAACGCACCGCAACTAACTTCAACGAAAGAATGCGCAAATATTTTTTCTGGCACTTTCATCCGAACACCGCATAGAACAATAGCTGTGCATCCACACCGATTCGTGGCTTGATCCAAGTCTAGTGGGACCTCGCCCTCTACGCAAAAGGCTGGAAGCGAAGGGCATTCGGATCTTTGGCATATGTACCGCTTGTTTTCTCTGGTTTCAACTCGTACGCGGCTGATCAAGCATTGCGCAAAACATTTTGCTTCCTTGAACCCCAGGGCGAAGCCGTGTCCGAAGCGTAGACCCCACCCAGCCGCGGATATAGAGGATATTGAAATAGCCGCAGATCTTTGCTTCCCACATTTTCTGCTGCCAACATCTTCAGCGAAAAGTACCCTCTTGTTATTATTGTATTCTCCCATATGGGCGCGTGCGTCGTAGAGTCAGGCCGCAGAGACGTCAGATAAGTCACGGTCATGGAGGTCGTTTCAGTTCAAACGGCGAGGCCCCGGCAGGCTAACGGCATTTTCTTACACATGGACATTTTTTAGCACTCGCCGGCTTGGGGGTTGCACTTTTTTGGAGGTCTTGAAAGTCCACTTAGTCTTACAGGTAGTACGAGCTCGTAGCGGGCACTGGCGTGGCCTTGTGGGGGAATCAATCAATCCTAGTGCCAGGCTCTTGACTTGGATGACCTGCCGCTCCATCGATGCCCGCCAGTGCCAGTGGCGACTCGGAGCACATAGGATGCAGAGTAAAGCCGAGGCTAAGATAGGTATTTGGCGTCGACGCTCGGGCCGCTAGAACCCAGCGTCTCTGGCTCAACAGCGTGCGGTCGCCCTGATTCCTACCAAAAATTGCTCTGAGTGCCACTTATTACTCTGAAGCCTCCAATTCTACTAGTAGTAGTGAGTACCGGCGACTTGATAAGACTCACTCAAGCTGATGGCAGTCGAACAGCCCGGGCCCGGGCCTGCGGACGGCACATCTGGGGTCATAGTCAGTCCCATTAGTTACTACACTAGTCGCCGCGGCCGCGACCGCGCCCACCGTGACGGCACGTGACTGGCCCAGCGGCGGCAGAGGCAAATATCATCCGGCCCGGCGCTTCACCAGCCGGGGGCGGCGGCCCCGGCCCTCAGAGGCTCAGGCTCAGGCTGCCAGCCTGAGTGAGCCGCCCCCCCATCCCCCACTCAGGCTGGCTACAGGTCACCGGAGACGTACGAGGGGGACTCCCCATAGAAAACTTACTCGGATCCCTCCGGCTCAGCGACGTCTGCCGGCACGCTCCGAGGAAGCCCCTGCGCACCCCACTCAGGTTTGGATACGTATATGGATACGTTATGTACTAGACACAACGCCCAAGCAACCATGAAAGCATGCAGCGCGTACGTTGAGTGGTATGATCCACAGCCAATGCTGGCCCGAGAGTACTTGCTGCGTGTGTACTTCGAAGAGGGTGAGGTGGAAATGTATGATGTCAAGTCTCGACGAACATTCCTCAAGCTGTCCCCCTTACCTGCATCGATAAAAAAGGATGATCTGTACCCAGGAAACGAAATTGTTTTACATTCGCGGACCTTGAAGATAATTCGGTATGCAGATCTAGCCACGGAAAAAATTCTGACCAAAGCCCTGGAAAGGAGCACCTGCATTTTGACTCACAATTGTTTGAAGAATGGAGAGCTTGGCTCAGCAATAAGTGTTATAGAAGGAACTGGCCTAAAAATCATTAAGCTCAAGATGGTGGCGTTTACAGACATCGAAGCAAGTGAATGTTCTTCGCTATTACGTGAGGACTCTCAGATGGTGGCGCTATTGAGGTTGAGCAAATGCGTCGCAGTAACCGTGTTGGGTGTAGATGCACTTGATGCACTAAAGCAAGTCTGCAATGAAATAAATGAGAGCTTAGGAAGAGACAGCGTGGATAATTTCGCAGTTGCCGCGCCAGACACCTCCGCAGCAACAAATTTAGACGAGTTTGCCTTTGGACATTCACGGCGTCTTTCACACTGGCCGACCACCCAGTACGGACCGCATAGCACTTGCTGCATCATACGTCCACATGCTCTAGTGAGCAATACACTCGGAGCAATTTTGTCGCATATAGAGGCACCTAAGATCTATGAGATTTCTGCCATGGCATTCTTTAGGCTCGACATCCCCTCTGCCTCAGAGTTCCTTGAAGTTTATGAGGGAGTCGTGCCTGGGTTCGGAGCTTCGGTCAAACAGCTCAGTTCAGGACCGTGCTGCGCACTTGAAGTGCGAGCTGTAGGCGCTGTCTCTAAATTCAGGGAAACCGCTGGTCCATGGGACGTCAATTTCGCCAGAGAGATTCAACCTAAAACAATTCGTGCCATCTTTGGTATAGATGGAGTGAAGAATGCCGTTCATTGCACTGACCTCGCTGAGGACAGTGAGCGTGAGCTCCGCTACTTATTTGATATGATGAATCCATGCTAAATTAACGTCTTGAAAATACAGTGGCAATGGACATAAGTTTTGGGATTTTCGGAAAGTCCACCACCAAGTGGACCGTAGTTTCACCCCAGTTTGGTACTAGGTTGCCATTAACCTGTTAATTACCCGTTATTAACCTATAATTACCCCTCGGAGGGGATCCGGGGTTAATAACCCGCTCAATAACCCGACGGGTTTTCGACTAAACCCGTTTAGTGAGTTTAGCGAAAGACCCCTCCGGGCGAGCGGATGGGCGCAAGCAGCCCGTTGGGCTTTTGGATACGTACAGGTGCGCCAGGGCAAGTACCAAGTCATGTGGCCCGGCGCGGCCCAGGCCCGCGCCAGTGGCCCGTGAGGCCCCCTCCCCTACCCCTCTATAAGATCCCGGGGTTAATAACCCATACTAACGGGTAATTACCCGGGTTACTGACCCCGGGCCACGATTGGGGTTAATAACCCCTCGGGTAAATGCCAACCTAGGTTTGGTAGGGGGACCGGGCCCGGAATCCGGGGTTCAAAGTGTGCAGCAGAAATCCTCAGGCTGCGGAAAGGTTGGTGATGCATATGTTGCGGAGTGCCAGTGGGGGTCTTCTTCGTAGGCTGGCCGTGCGCGTAATTTGTGCGTGATAATTCAAGTTAACAAAATTAAATATGATAGGTATAGAGTGGGATATATAGAGCAGCCTAAGGGCCGGTGCCGAGTGCCGGTGCCAGTGCACTGCAACCCCACTAAGTAGTACCCGGGCGGCCGGGCCCCACTGGCACTGCGAAACGCAAGACCGGGCTGGAATTGTCCGCCAGGGAGCCGCGGCTACCTTAAAATACACTAACTAGTTTTGGTTTGCGGTGTTTAATTACGCCGCGGCGCCGTAGCGTGTCACGGTGCCACTGCCAGTGTGGTCACGGTGAGTCTAAGTGTATAAGGAAGGGGATAGGACAAGGGGCCCGGGGGGTAGTATTTCGCCCTATTAATCGCACTCCTCCTTTTGATAAGGGTGAGCGCTTGCTTCTTGGGTGGGCTTATGGAAACATTGGGGTGAAAATAGTCCTCCATGTTGATTAAGTAGCCCAATACATAGCCGTCTGTCTTGTGTAAGTTGCATATTAGTCAACTCCAGCGAGACTCGTGCCTTCGACGGAGCCAGTGTTCGACCGATCCTTCCGGTCGAGAATAGCCTTGCGATCCTTGTCAAGCTTGAGTTTAGTAATGATGCAGTTAGATGGCTGAAGACCAACATTCACTTGAGCACCATTAGCTTTATCACGCGTGATCCGCTCGACATTGATTACATACTTACCGCGGTAGCAGGCTGTGACTTTGCCCTCGCGATTCTTATAGATACCGCGGACGACCATCACTTCATCATCTTTGCGAACGGGGATGGATCGAACATTGTACTTTGCCTGGAGCTCCTTTGAGAGTGAGGTTGACATGATCTTGCGCCTACAGTTCGGGTGCTATTACATCATTCGTTGAACCTTTCTTACCGCGAAGAGGAATCTGCAGTGAAGTGCGCCTTCCGCGATTTCCGGCGGCTGCTTGCTCCAGTCTGCTTCATCGTAACAGCGAATGATCGTCGCCAAGCTAACTGAGCAAGGGGGGGGGGTTCACGTATGACATGAACTTCGCACCAATCAATTGCTTCAAGGGGAACTAGTATCTAACTAGCACATGGGCTGCCTCCTCTTGCGCTGCCGTGACGCGCGGCTTGGTGGAACAGCCTGGTTAAGGCCTTGGGCTAGGCAACGCCACATCATCATCATGCCCATCATGATGATTGCGGCACAGCCCTTTATTATCATACGGGATCTGTGCCTCAACGAAAACTTGCCGCCATTCGGCCGGCGTGCGTGCGGCGGCCAGTGGCTGTCACGGTGCACGCTCATCATGATCATGATTACCGTGACCGTGACGCCAACTTTAAACTTGAAATGCCGGTACAATTCCGACTCAGGCTCGGAGTCCGAGTCAACCTGAACGTTGCATAGCGCTTGAACCCCCTATAAATGTGGAGGTCTCGGCGTAGTATTAGGATTCGCAGGGTACTGATTCCTCGCTCAGGCTTAATTAAGAATCATGGAGGATGGTCAACTAATTCTCTCAGGTCGGCCTAGACAGAAGCCGGAAATTCATGGTTCAATTTATACGTCTCAGGGGCGATTTGGGTTTGGGGTGGGTTTTATCTCGGACCATCGCACCGCGTCGCAGCTGCTTTCTCAGCACGAGGCTGCCCAGAATCCACCAAAATGCGCACAGCCCATTATTTTAGCATACGGAACCTGCGCCTCAGTAAAAAATTTCCCGCCATTCGGCCGGCGCGTGGCTGTACGCGCATAAGTCCGCACTTTAAACTTGGGTTGACTTTGGCTTAAACTTGGGTTGACTTTGGCTGAGTCAAGTTTCGGGTTTTTACTAATGTACCCCAATCAGACTTGAAACAACGAACACTATATACACTCTTTCCAAGTCCGCTTGGGGTACATTTGTAAAATTGCTGAAACAATCGCTGAAATTTAACGGCTCTTAGGGTTAGGGTTAGGGTTGAATTAAGGCAGGTTAGGGTTGATATTAAGGCAGGTTAGAGGTCAAGTTTACTAGAAAAACTTGAGTTTTAGAGCCTAAGTCACGGGTTTTTACGCGGCCTAGTATGTTTTTTCCCACTAGCATTTGTCAAGTTTTTTGCAAAAAACTTGACAAGGGGTGAGTTAGGAACACAGGTCCTTACTGCAAGGACCTAGGGCTCAACTTGAAAGAGATTAAATTCCGGTGTTTTGGCTAGGCCGGGTCCTCGCCCTTCTTCGTCTGTTTTTCAAGTTGTAGTAGAATATCTTATGAATGGAGGTACTAGTGCTAGTAGTCCACCTAATTGGGGTATATTTTGGTGGAAGTGTCCAATGGCGCTTCGAATCTTGACGCCTCGGGCGCTTATGTTGGTCCTTGGGTGCCATGTAAGATATGCGGCTCCTGGGAGATGTTGCAATCTAGTATTCAAACGGCTTCTGCTGTGATATACTAGTATGTAAACTCATATCTCATTGCGGTCCGACATCATGTTTGCAGGGTGGCATTCATGTCTGTTGGTTCCTCTACTGTGGGCTGATTAGGATTATTTTTCAAGATCCATTGCCCTAGCCAGCGAACCGCATCGAGGCCTACTGGCTTCTCTTTGCAGAGTTCGGAAAGGGCCTCGGAGAGAAAGTCAGACAAGGTGTCCCTACCGGCTTTTGTCCGACCAATGAATTGTCGCACACCATCTCCACTTGGCAGTACCTTAGGTTTGATGATACCTGTGATCGAAGACATCAAAACCAGTTTACCGCTCAGTTCTACGAGAGAGAGAGATTCCGCAAGCTTGGACAGGGCCTGTTGCGATCGGCTTAAGGCAGCATTATCCAACTCGCTTTCCGTGATGGGCATAAAATACTCGACTGACTCGGTTTGCCGATAAGCCTTTACCAAAAGGCCCGACGGAGAGGTATCGAACATTTGCAGTATGTATATGTCATTATCATCCAAAGCTCGTGCACAATTATAGATTGCCACCTTGCGTCCTGCCATCCTGCAACGCAGATCACGTATCTTGCGATATATCAAAAGTTACTTTCCAATATACTGGATGGGATTGCCGTGGTAACGCTGATATATTGCGATGGGCGAACCGCAGCGAGCCAAAATACTATGACTTTATCCCCTCGATTCAACGTTTTCACAGGTCAGATGGTCGGGAAGGCGAAGTGGGATCCGAGAGCGCGGATATTTATGAATCTTCCTCCTGGCGCAATCAATGCATTGTGGGAGTCTTTCAACGATGTTGCAGATGGATTTGGAATAAGTCTATGCGAAATGCAGCTGATTTGCCAGGAGCTCACCACTGAGCTAGAGATCAGTCGATCAGCGCTCAACAAACACGTCCAGACGCTCTTTAATCAAATCGATTCAGATGAGAATGCACTCGTGGATGGCATTGAGTTTCTCTCAACACTTGCCATGGCGTCGGGAATGTCGTTTCGCGATAAATTGGAATTCGCATTCACATGCTTTGATTTTGATGGCGCTGGGCAACTCAGTGTTGACGAAATCACCCTGGCATTTCGCTGCACCCTAATGGGCTTGAGCAAGCTCACTGGTGAGACCTGCCCCTGCGAAGATGAAGTGGAGCTCGTTGCTATGCGGGCATTTTCATTTGCGAAAATTGACCCAAATAAAAACTCGCCCAGCATAAAATCTTCTGTCCAGGAGGCCAAGCTCCGAACTCTGGTGAACCTTGGCCTTGTGCCCTTTAGACACCCTATTTTTGTAGGACCTGGTTGCTTTCTGTCTCTTTGATCCAGTAGCTGTATCATGGCTTGAATTTTTTGATGATCCTGACCCAATGTCTTCTCATAGTGGCGAACTTGAACGTGTGCTTACATGCCCGCCACATGAATCAATGTTTAAATTGCTGTAGGTCGCATTGATGGTAAATTTAGCGACGACACTAAGCTCCCCATACTCTTAGAATCATTAGACTATACCCCGACACTCCAAGATATTGATTACTTTCAAGACGGCTGCTATCCCTCTCCAACTACCGCCGCATTTGCGGCTCTTGAAGGCTCACCCGAGCTAGCTGCTCACCTAACGGAGGTTTCAGCTAAGTTTCAAAATCCACATGGTGACCCTGAACCATGGGTCAAGTCCGTTGCTTCGTTAACGCCGACTGCGCTTGCAAATGCAACCGCAAATCAAAGCTTTCCGGACGCTAGTCTTACGCTCGAATGGGTGCACGGATATCGCGGTGAAGATTGCAGGGGTAATGTGCGATACACGCTGACAGGCGAGATCGTTTATCCAGTAGCAAAGCTGGGCATCATCTACTCTCCGCTAGAGCATCGCCAACGGTACATGACAGGTCATACCAATGAAATTGTCAGTTTAGGTGTGGCTCCCGATGGAGACACGGTGGCTACTGGGGAGGCGGGTGCTCGACCTAATTTGATATGCTGGGATGTAACCTCTTGCAAGCCGCTTTCAATCATAGCCGGTCTACATGCTATTGCAATTACGCAAATAGCCTTTTCGCAGTCGGGCGAGCGCCTTGCTTCTATTGGTGGTGATGTAGGACGCACACTCGTAATATATAACTGGCGCGTTGGTCTTCGGATGTTTTCAGCACGCTCCAATATCTTGGGCTCTATTCTTGGCATGTCATTTGTAGATGATGGCCCAGATTCAATTGCTGCGTGTGGTATTGGCGAACCTTTTGCTTGTTTCTGGCGACGTGAGGGCGTGAATATCATTCGGCGCCGTGCCGCATTTGGAAGACGAGCTCGAAGGCAGCCAACCCTTTGCCTCGCCCGGTGTGGCGACGTAGTGCTATCCGGACAGGCATCCGGACACTTGTATGTGTGGCATGGACGTAACTGTGTTCAGGCTTTCCAGGCACATAGAGGCTCATTGAACGCTGTATATGTGGGCAAGTATGGTGTACTTACCGGAGGAAAAGACGGAAAAGTAAGACAGTGGTCTCATACACTCAATCCTGGTGCCAGTTTTGATTTGTCAGAGCTTGGCATGCACCCAACAATACGATCAGTCTGCTTGTCTAATGATGGAACAAGGCTGCTTGTTGGTACCGGAGGAAATGAAATATATGAGCTATCTGCCGTTGATGGGTCGGATGCTCTTGGTGGTCCCGTGACTACCTCCCATTTTGGCAGAGCCATGTGCAGCGTTGCATGCCATCCTCTGAAACCAGAGTTTGCATCTTGCGGCGGCGACTGTACTGTACGAACGTGGGATATTGTCACCAAATGCCCTGTGCGGACAGCAAAGCTGGCGGCGCCCGTCGGCTGTATAGCTTACCACCCTAATGGTGATCTCCTTGCGTCAGGCTTCGGCTGCCCAAGTACTGCAAATGAAGCGGGCATGCCGCAATCGAAAATAGGTGGATTTTGCGTTTTGAATGATAGCGATCTATCTGTTGCATTCGAGGCTAAAGACTCTACACTCCCTCTTGTTGCCAGCCAATTTTCGCCAGATGGGGAAATCCTTGCATTTGCAAGCGAAGACTCATCTGTCTATTTGTATGCATGTGGAGAAGAGTATGAGTCTATAGGTCAATGTAGACGCCATTCGTCACCAGTGCGCTACATTGACTTTTCTAGTGATTCTCGTTGGTTGCGATCTTGCTGTGATGGCGGCCACTTGCATTTTTTCAATGCAAATTCGGCACAATACCAAAGTAATCTGAGTGCACTCAAAGACATTCGCTGGGCAAGTGAAACATGTCTCTATGGTTATGGTGTGGCTGGATCATATATTGCGGCCAAGCAAGATGGCGCCATACTCACAGCCTGCGCGCGAGCTCAGGGTGATAATCCTGAAGGACCAGAAACAGGTGGCGGGTTCATCTTGGTTGGTGACTCCTACGGGCGAATTAGGCTTACACGTTTCCCGTCAAGGCACGATGCAGCGTTTCTTGAATGGCGTGGGCATGCCGGTTCTGTGGTAGCTATGAGCTTGGACTCTGATGAAACTCATCTGTTGACTGGCGGTCGCGACGATCGCTGTGTCATGCAGTGGGCTCTGGGAGAAGACGAACGTGGACTGGAAGACGCTGATGATAGAGATGAGGATGAAGTAGAAGATTATGCTCCTGAGTTGCGAGACTGTGGTGATTTTCAACGCCACGAGGACGTTGAGACTGCCGTCGACCTCATTAATGAGCGTCCATTAGCTGCTGAACTTAGGATGTGCAATGAGGTAGAGCAAACACTCGAGTTGGCTGGGAATGCAGAAAGTAACAGTTTAATACCACCCTACTCGCATGATCCGTGGTTTCTTGGAATATCAATGCCTCCATCGCAACAATCAGAGCTTCATATGGGAGCTGCGCCCACTGACGCTGTAATTCTGTCGCGGGTTTTTGGCTACAGCTGTGAGGCAAGCCGAAATAACGCAAAGTACACCGCGTGTGGTGCTGTGGTATACCCAGCTGGGGCTACTGTAGTTCGTGTGGATGTTGGAAGCGGTGGGCAATCTTTTGGTACTTTTCATGCCGGCTCTGAAATTTGTGCTCTTGCCATATCAAAAGACAGATTAATGTTGGCAACGTCAGATATTTCCGCAGAGCCGAAAATTGCTCTATGGGTGGCGTTAAATGTTGCAGAAGGGCCAAGCAGAGTAATACGCGGTCCGCATTTGAATGCCATTACACTCCTTGCATTCGATGACGACAAAGGGAAGACCCTAGTAAGTTTAGGGGCAGATGACCGTCACATGGTCGCTGTCCATGACGTGACATCGGGTTATCTACTGTTTATGTCTTCTACTACTTGTCGCAAGCCCTTTGATGTGGCCTTTGGTAACTTTGGAAGCGAAATAGTCATCGTTGGTATCAAGTATGTCCTTTTTTTTACATTTCTTGCCAACCATGCCGCCACGAGACATGCTTCTGCATCTTTTGGAAGGATTGGTCGACTAGGTACGATTCAAAGCTACCTCAGCTGCGCATATCTTCCTAATGCCACTTGTGTCGTTGGTACTGCCGACGGTCATCTCTATGTGTTTGAGGGTTCTTCCCGTGAGCTTGCAAAATCTATAAAAGCCCACGACGGATTTATATATTCCATGGATGCACCTTGGCATCGTGCGGAGCAGGTACGCGCAATTGTGCTAGTCACTGGGGCTCGTGATGGGGACGTCAAACTCTGGAACGGTGCCCTTGAAATTATTTCCAAATTTGACAATCGGGGTGCTGGTCCGATTCGCTCGGTGTTTACTTCCGCAGATTCATCTAGAATTCTGGTCGGTTCTCAAGCAGCTGCACAACTAAGAGAATTCAGAACCTCTGATGGTGTTCCTACGTCGGTGGCTCTTGCCGGTGGTGGCGCTGCAGCTGGCGAATTATGGGGACTAGCCCCACATCCGGTAGAGAAATGTGTGGCAACTGCCTCCGACGATGGTGCATTGGCAGTTTGGAACATCGAGGCACCTGATGTCCGAGATGCACGAAGATATTTGACGATGCTGGCCGGCGCTTGTCGAGCTCTGGCATACTCTCCCGATGGAAAACTGATTGCATCATGTCTAGGTGGTCCGAGACAGGAGGCAATGACCTTGGACTGGGCTAGGAAGCGCAGGGATTTCTTGGATGATGAAGCAACAAAGAAAGTGAGAGGCGATGTTGACACTTCATTCAAATTTGCAAGTGCTAAAGTTGATGGAACATTGCAGCTCATTCGGTCAGGCACTGGAGCTCTAGTACACGAGTTCACAGATGCGCACGAGTGGCTACGTGAAGTTAGATTTTCACCTGATGGTCAAACTCTTGTTGCTGGTGGCACAGACGGAAGGGTACATGTTTATCTATCAGATGAACACGGACAGTTTTCATGCACGACCTCCATGGTGCTTTCAAATGGTGCTGCTATCTGCGCTATTGATTTCACCGTTGACGGTCGGCACATACAAGTTGCAGATGAAGCTCGTACATTAGTCTATGGTGATCTTCGTGTTGGGGTCAGTGTAACTGACCCTTCAACTTTACAAAATGCCAGATGGGCAACCTTCAGCTGTCTTTTTGGCTGGGCAACCGTCGGGGTACATGCTGTTCTGGCAAATCCAGAGGGTGGGGGGTACGAGACTAGTAGTATTGACGTTCACGGAGACAATAAAACAGTTCTCAGCTTAGTATGCCTTGCCCGCTCAAATTCAGCCAAAGTAGTCGCAGTAGGTGATCACCATGGAGTTCTACGGCTACTGCAGTACCCAGCTACAAGTGCGACTGAATCTTCTGCTGAAAGAGTTGGAGTTGCTCACGTGGGGACGTTGCGCCGTCTGGCTTGGACTGACCATGACTCACACCTTGTCACAGTCGGTGGCTTAGACCGGAACATCTGCATTTGGCGCTTTGTACCCGATTCAGCAGATTCAATCTATAATTATACCATTGGAGCTAATCAGACTGCTCAAGATTATGATGACGCAATAGATGCTGATGGTGGACGTGCTATGGCCACTGCCATTGAGCGTGCATTTAAAGCAACTGTCTACCATTTCGACGCTAAAAGGAAGTCGCCGAGAGCTCGAGATGATAAACAACACAACATCACCGCTTGGATGTCGGTGTTAACTCCACCTTCAAATCTCGAAGATGAAAATCCAGCATTACCACAGATTTTGGTGACCTTGGATTGCGCACATGGCCAAAGATCTGATGATATTAGGGGGTGTGCTGCATATAACTCACAGGGCGGAATTGTGTATGCTTGTGGTGGGTTAGGAGTCGTATATGATGCCAGGACACATTCACAATGCTTTCATTTCCATCATCACAAGGGAGGTGCTCCAGATTTTGACATCTCAGAGAAAGGGGATATCAAGAAGAGTGCCTTAGCTGACATATGCTCATTAGCCATTACTGTTGATGGGCATTTTGCTGCATCTGGAGATCAAGGGAAATTCCCACGTGTTCGGGTTTGGGATGCCTTGACTGGAAACACAATTTCTGTTCTTCCAAGACATCTGCGGTGTGGTGTGCTGTTACTTTCGTTTTCAAAAAATGGTCGGCATCTGGCGGCTATCGGTGGCGATAAGGATCATTCATACTCACTATATGTGACTAGATCAGGGGGATGGGAGGATGGAACTAGAGTTGCTGTAGGGTCTGGCATGCGATCTCGTGTACACTGTGCAGCATTTGTGGGTTATACCAGTTATCCGCTGTTTGTTGGTGCGTGTGATACTGTAGAGTTTATACGTCTAGCCGCAGCAGGCGGCATACGGCGACAACGCGGTGAATTTAACGAACAAAGATGTCCAAAGATGGCCATTTTGTGTGTTGTGCGGGGACACCCGGTGAGTACCGATATTGGATGTGGGGTTGAAAACAACGGCCTTGATACCAATTTTGATTCTTTTGCTTTAACGGGAACTGGCGCTGGCTCATTATATTTGTGGATAGGCAAGGAAGTTGGTGAACACGTGCCAAATGCACATAATGGACCAGTTTATGCAATTGCAAAAACCCAAAAAAGAATTATGTACGCAACAGCCGGGCGTGATGGGGTTGTGAAGACATGGAACAATCGTTTGCAAACACTCCAAAGTTTTGAGCTTGCAAACATGAAGATCTCGATATTAATTCCAATTGCTGCATCGTTGTGCTTTGGTGGTCAACATGAAACCAGACTCCTGTTTATTACACGATCTGGCGAAATGTGTGAGCTTGCGACCTCTTTTGGCTGCGCAGTACTTTTGACCGAAGCACATGCTCGCCGCAAGAAGCAGGCAACAGAAGCTCAGGGCCTTGACGTGAACCCAGAAAGCAGTGATGTTTATGCAACTAGTGGAGATGATGGTTCGGTGCGCATTTGGTCGTGTCTGTTGAAACGTTGTGTAATGCGTGCATCTCCAGACACTTTTGGTGGTGCTGCTGCGCGCTGTTGCTCCTGGGCTCCTAATGGTGTTCAGCTCGCTGTTGGTCTTGGTGGTGACCCTATGGACAAGGCCAGAGATGGAACTTTGGTGATGCTACGAATTCAAGCTGGAGTCGCCAGACAGCGTCTTTGCCATATAGCGGGCACTAAATTTCTTCTTACAGTGTGTGCTACCTGAGATACTTGCTGAAATTCGCAAATCCAAGGCTCCTCTAGTTGATATTAAATGGTGCCATGATGGTGACTTTTTTCTTGTTGCATCTGAGGATGGACGCGTTCTACATCACGCGGAGTCCAGTGGTTCATCCTTAGATGTCGAGATGGTATGTACTATAGGTATACATTCACAATGCCCACGACTGCACTCTGAGGACGATTTGTGCCAATGCCGGAGCCCCCTTGACATCGATCGACATGAGTGTTGATGCTAGCCATTTCCAAGTGGCCACCTGCACTAATGAACTACAGTTTTACACCATAGCTGACGGTACTCGAGTTCTATCTCCCGCAGCTGTACGCGACAAGAAATGGGCAACCATCACAGTGCCAATTGGCTGGAGCGTCCAAGGCTGCTGGAAACCAGATGCTGATAGATCTGTAGAGCTCTTAGCAGCTAACAGCTTGGAAGAGTCGGCAAGAATTCCCAGCTCCATTCAATTTGCAAATAATACGAGATATCTGGCCACCCCCCATGTCACTTCCGTTCATCGCTCACCCGATCTGAAATATCTGGCTAAGGGATGCATTGATGGCAGTGTCGCTGTTTACAACTACCCAACCCACGCCCCTGGAATGTCCATGATAAAGGTTCTTGACGCCAGATTCGTTATCCTTACTGGTGCTGCTTTAGGTTCCTGGCCATGGTTCAAGCATTGCTAAGGTCAGGTTCACAAGTGACGGCAAGTATTTAATTGCCCTCGGAAGATTCAATCGCACGATCACGCAATATAAAATTCAACAGCTGGGTTAAACTGTGAATCTCATTAATGCAACATCTGCAAATGTTGCCCATCTTTCTCTCAGACTGCAAGCATATATGGCTAAGGAAAGTTCATAGCTTGCCCAGGTTAAGGGAGGGGGATCGCGCAGATACCGCTTGCTGGGGAACTTGGTCTCCTGAGGGCCCTCCAGTCAAGTGACAGCGGCGTGCAAGCTCTATAGAAAGGGGTTCAGGCAAGGGGTTTGGGATTCTTTTGTAATAACCCCACTGGCATAAAATATCTAATCGCTCTCAGAAGAATCAGAAGCATCGCACCCGTCGGCGGGCCCGGGGGTTGCGGAACACCACCACTAATAGCGAGGTCTGGTCGTCGTCTTGTCCGGAAAGCCAATATCACGACATCGCGGTCGCGTTGAATATCATCTACCGGCGCCTGCTCGGCGTGGAAGCGAAAACGGCTTCGGTCGCCGTCTGGCACGAACTGGGCGTCGCGTCCGTCGCAACTCGAATAAACGCCGCGGCGTTGAAATTCCGCAACAACATCTTGTCGTTGGACCCTCGGGATTTCCTCGTTCGCCGCGTATACGACGGCCTGATGAATGATTCTAAAGGTCGCGGTCGTCGAAGAACGGAGCTTTGTTCCTTGAAAATCTGGCGTTAGAAGCGAATTGGCCCGGGCCTCTGAAAAAACCGGCCGCGAAAAAGTTCGTCAATGAATTCGTCGCATCGCGCCGAGTTTCCGAGCTCGCCGATGGCTTCAAGGAAATGTCGACTCTCCGCAACATGGGCAATTGGGTCGAGAAGGAACGTTTCGGCTTGCCGGAATATTTACTCAGAGCGTGCCCCGGGTCTCTTCGGGAAGGGCGGAGATTGAAGACGAAGTTCCGATTGGGTTGCCACGACCTCCGGAGTTCGAGCAGCCGAACGCAGCTTGTTCGTAACGCGCAATGCCCTTGTTGTGAATCTCGCGAGTCGGAAACAATCCAACACACGTTGTTTGAATGCGAGGCCTTTGAGGAAGAACGGCAGGCATTTCTTGCGAGATTATACTCGGTTTGCCCCTCGGCACGGCGATTGACCGATGTGGGCCGATGTCGCTTGGTCATGGGGGACGAGTTACCCCGGGAGATCGAAAATCCGTTGTATAGATACCTTATTGCTATTTCGAGGCTCCGGTTGGGCATCCTGACCGAGCAGGGAGAAGGCTCCTAGGAGCTTGTTCCTTTTTTAGGTCTTCCTTAATTTATTTATTTATTTATTTATTTAAGCCGAGCCGGACCCCGGAAATTCCCTAGCAGCCCTATATAGATATGGAACGATGGGAAATAATTAGTGGCGAATTAGAGGCCGATTTATCCCGTCCGTTGGAGCGGGTTTCGGGCGGGTTTTATCTCGGACCATCGCACCGCGTAGCAGCTGATTTTTCAGCGTGAGGCTGCCCGCACAGTACCAAAATGCGCACAGCCCATTATTTTAGCATACGGAACCTGCGCCTCAGCAAAAATTTGCCGCCATTCGGTCGGTGTGTGGCGCTTTGCTTCGGCAAAGTTTAACGCTTCAAGTTTGCACAGCAAAGTCGAACGTTAGTCATCAAACACATCAAGTAGCCTAGCTTCGGGTCTAACTTGAAGTTGCCCTCAAGTAGACTACGCGTGCACTGGCATCATGAGCGGCCACTACTGCGCCTTCCCACGGATTGATCTAGGCGCAACTCTTGCTTTCGAGGCTTTGGGGGGGACTTCACGGATCCTGAGGCCGATGGGTTTTACGGGGAGCGGGATTGGGTCGCGGGAGCCTCCAAAGACGGCAAAAATCTAGTGAGTTGTAGCTAGCCGTCGGAGCGTCCTCTCGCCCGCCTTTAATCGGCGCCCGTCGGGCTAAAAGGCTGCCCCCACAGCCCTGCGCGTGGCCTGGCATACGTTGCGTCGCGACTAAAGCCGGGAGCAGCTTGACGTAGCGACACGCCGCCAAAAACAAGCACTTAGCAGCGTGGCGGTGGAGAACGCCAAAGACGGCGTCGTTCGCCATCGCGGGTGGTCGAAAAACGTGCCCCGACCAGCGCGTGGGCTTTGAGCGGCCTAATGCCGTCCTGGCGTTGCAACCGAGTCCGCATTGGCCCGAACAAGTTCCCGCCCGAGATTGCCATCGACGCGCCGACGGCCAACATCGCGGCGTCACGATGCCGGGGATGCTTTTCAGGCCACTACGAACATATCGGAGGCGCCTGGGATCATCACCGACCGCGCGTGGTCCCATTCCCAAAACGCGTAAAAAAAACGTGGCCGTCTACCGCCTATAGCTTCGCACCACCCGATCCGTTTGTTCCCATTCAAGTACCAACTCCGACTTATTTGGGTCCCTCTAGAGGATGGTCAAGATGGCAGGGGGTCCCCGGACGATACTACGGGAATCCGTTTTGCTTGTCTGGGGCTAATCATGGGCCCCATGCGGCCATTAACCTGTTAATTACCCGTTATTAACCTATAATTACCCCTCGGAGGGGATCCGGGGTTAATAACCCGCTCAATAACCCGACGGGTTTTCGACTAAACCCGTTTAGTGAGTTTAGCGAAAGACCCCTCCGGGCGAGCGGATGGGCGCAAGCAGCCCGTTGGGCTTTTGGATACGTACAGGTGCGCCAGGGCAAGTACCAAGTCATGTGGCCCGGCGCGGCCCAGGCCCGCGCCAGTGGCCCGTGAGGCCCCCTCCCCTACCCCTCTATAAGATCCCGGGGTTAATAACCCATACTAACGGGTAATTACCCGGGTTACTGACCCCGGGCCACGATTGGGGTTAATCACCCCTCGGGTAAATGCCAACCTAGGGGCCCCCATGGGAGACCCCAGTGGGTAATCCGCGACTGCGTCGCGCCAAACTTGAAAGTGACCTCTCTCCACTAGTTCACCCCCGCACAAAACGCTATTATTAACGTCATCGTAAAACGTTTGAATTGGGTTTCCTTTTCCTACTTCTTTTCCTGTGCCTCAACGCAAATTGCGGCCTCCGGCGTATATCGCGGCCTCAGGTGTCCTTTTCCTTTTTGGTGCGCGTAGGCCAGACATACTTTTAGTAGTCGTCCGGCACCGTAACTAATGCTTCGCAATTCCTACCCTGAGTTTCCACACATTTCACACTCGCCACTTAGCCGTTTGCGCGACACCCACACATTTAACACTCGGCGTCGACTAGGCTCCAAAATCGACCGTGCAAAATCTTTGTTCTGTCAGGGCCCAGGCCTGTTCGCTTAGGCCAAGTAAACATAGAGACGCGCATCACTCGCATTGCGTTCAAGGTACTCACGCTCGAGAAGCGATTCAATGCACTTTTTAATAAATTGAGGTTGAGGGTGAAATCGTTGACTGAGTTGACGTGTAACCTAATGGGTGCGTAATATCTCTACAAAGTTTCATATAAAGTAATTAACCTCTGCAATTAGGTCGTTGTGTTGGGCTTGCTTGCGGGCTTTCATGATGCGAACTACAGTGGCTTCGCAGAGATGACGACGGTCTTCCTCTATGGCTGCAGGGACACTATGACTTGAATTTGGGTGGGTACTTAACTCTTTCATGGCAACCAGGGGCACACGGACCCGCCTGAGCTTGGATGCGAATGAGTTATTTACCCTGAGTTTGTCATTACTAGAAAATCCTTTCCCCTTCGATCTTTTCAGAAGAATTCGGTATTTTGGAGTGCAGAGAGATATGAGATGGCGCCTGAGGTCGTTGTGTGGAATCTTGGTTGCATCTGTAATACTTTGCATAGTAAGCTCTTCACCAAAATCTAGTGCATTGAAGAGAATAAGGATGCACATTTGATAGGTGGAAACTGTAAGTTCGTGCTTTGCTACGTCCGAGAAAATGGCTTTTAGTTCAGCTGTTCCGGAGCTTGTGAGCCAAGTCAGTTTGCGGCCAGTGTGCTGTTTTAGGTAGAAATTTTTAAAACTTTCAGAAGCGGAGGCGGCAACATCTGGAACGACGCACGGAATTGCAGGATGAATTGGCCAGTACCCGGCAGTAAGCATTGTTACGTCTATATCACACGAAGCAGCACGTGCTGTCTTTACATCCACTTCATTCATTTTTTTTTCATCCCGATGGGTATTATATTTTTCCATGGCCCCCCTCGAAAATCTTATGTCCGTAATCATCCCTTCAAGCTTTGTGGTGTACTGGTAACCACATTCGCGTTTTAGCTTGACAAGCATTTGCCGCTCTGCTTCTGAAGATATTGACCTCTGATTAAGAAGCCTCTTTGCGAGATACTGCTTATAGAGTACTTCAAAAACATCTTTATCGTGAAGGTAGCGAAAAATTATAATAACCTTTTCCAACTCACATTCCACTTCTCCCTCTGCAGCACCCTTCAACCCAGACCTCATGAGCTCATCTATATAAGCCACGAGAGAAGACGCGCAGCGAGTGTCCGCATTGATAACAGACTCGAAAGCTTCTTTTACCTTCTTTTGGGCAATGTTTTCGCCCCGAAAGGCGTTTCGCACCACATTATCATACTTTTCGCGAAGTGCAAGCAGGCTGCGTAAAAGAACGACGGGATCTTTCATCTCGTCATTCAACAGAAGCTGCCCTGCTGCTCTGACATGCTCATGAAGAGCAGACCGCAGCAGATCCAGGGTTGCTGGGACTTGAAAACACAGAGCATACATTCGTGTGATATCAGCCATTTTTTCTTCACTCTGCCTCAGAAGATCACAAAACCCAGACTTCTTAGATTCAATCAGGGCTGGAGTATGTGCAGAGATGAGTTCGGTCTCCACAATATGACGGAGCTTCGGTCTTGTATTGGCGTGCAAGTAATTTGGTACCCTTTGCATCTCTTCGCATATTCTAGACTCCACCTTTTTGAGATAGTCAGGGCATGTGTTTTGAGATAGAAAAAGGTGAGATTCACTTCGATAAAATTGACATGTTTCTTTGAGAAAATAAACTTCGAATTCCTCTTCATAGACATTACTACTGTCTATACCTAGTTCACTAAGCATATAAAGTGCACATTTCATGCAATTATGATCGATCAGGCGGCCGAGTCGTTCATCACGTATATTTTCCAAAAGTAGCTTCCTTAGTCGGTCTCGCACTTGGCCATGCCGGGCTATGGTCTCTCGGAAGGCCCATAGCCCCAGATCATACACTGCCATTTTTTTGTTTTGTGGTACGTACCTAAGATATTGGTTATGGAGGAGTTGAGAAGACACGGAGCCAAGCGTTCTGTCCATGTACATCAATATATCTCTCACCATTATCATTGTGACTTGATGCTGTTTCCACTGCTCGCATACCTCCTGTAAAAGCTGATTATCGGGGCAGACAGCTACTTGTTCAGCCACCTGCCAATCAAACATACACTTACTTATGTTTCCTGACGTAAACAGACATACCGAGCGCAAGCGTGTATAAACTGTGTCTTGCACGCCTTCATATAGCATATCCCCGTGCTTGTGTAGGACCAGATTGTAAGCATTCCTATCATATAACGTCAGTAAGAGAAGTGTGCCAGAATACTCACCTGTACAACTCTTCGAAAGACAGCAATGAAGCATTTTTGTTGTAGATTTCAGTCACTGCTGAAGACAACGATTTCCAAATATTTTGGGCTTGCTCCTTATCCATTTGACAATGAGCGCGAAAAGGCCTGAGATTTACGGGCTGAGTGAATAGCAGAACAGTAGCGGTCGCGTACTTTATTACAAATTTTTTCGGAACCGTCGACATGTCGACAACAAGCATCGATTGCGACTGACACCCCCTGAGTCGTACAAGATCGATTTAAACACGATCTGGCTCGATTGGCCGCACTGCGTGCAGTCACGTAGCTATTTGCGGAGCTCCAAAGTTTCACCTCGCAAGCCTACGACGAGCCCCAGCATACAAACCTATAGAGCTAGGTCCGGTACTAGTACATCGCCGGTGGTTTAACGGACCCGGCGGTGCCAGTGCCCTTCTGTCGACCCCGGGCCCACTGGCATCCCTGGGCCTCACTGCCAAGGGCTACTTTGGCTACGATATAAGCTATAGAAGCCGGGGTGTGCCAGTGAACTTGAACTTGAACTTGAAGTAGCGGCATCATGATAGGGTTAGTACATTTCAAGTTCAACGACGCCGCAAATTGAACCGACTCTGAATTCCATCCGGCCGCCGCGGCCGCGGCGACGCCGGCTGCCCACGCTCAGGCTGCACCGTGACAACTTCAAGTTGAACTTGAAAACTTTGCATGGCAGCCGAGAATATCATATTCAACCGACGAGCCACCCTGGCTTGGCAAAGTTCTTCGGGTTCCGAGTCTCGGCAAGCCCAGCCGGTCCAGATCGATCCCTCTATAGCCCTCCGTCTGGAGGCCTCTCCTGGGGGGCGGCCGGCCCCGGGCCGGCCCGGGGCCCGGGCCCGCCGGGCGACCCCATTACAGGTTTTACACGATATTGGCGTTCCCAGACGAACTGTAAGGGAGCCCCCTCAGGCTCTGGGGACCTGTGGACCGGAGCGTCCTGCGGGCAAGGACGCGTCACGGTCATGGCATTTCACTACTAGTAGTAAAGGGCGGCGGCTGTCACAGCGGTACGCCGTGTGCTCTTTCCGTCGACGTGTTGCGTGTGTTGCGCAGTCGTCCGGCCCAGCAGGCTTCCCAGGCTTCAGCTGGCTTCCCAGGCTTCCCCACAAGTATACTACCGCAGTAGTAGATCCGAGTACGACGTACCTACGGTACCGTAGGTACCTACGGTACTCTCGGTGGCACACACTGATTAAGGCCGGTGTTTAATCGGGTCGTGACTACCGAGTCATGGTTTAAGTGGAAGACCAGGTATCTCCCCTCGATATGGGTTTTAGGCTTACGGAGATAGCGGTCGAAATATTCGCTGTTAGTAATCTCGATTAATTGAGCTGGGGTAACTATCTAAGACAACCTAGGCTGGAGATGGGGTGAACTATCCGCGGCAAGGCCAAACTGTGACTGTCCACTACAGTGGCTACGTAAGCATAATAGTGTGATATTTTACGTACGGCCGACCTTGCACAGCTACCTAATGGTGAAATATTCGATTCATCAAGAGACAGAGGCAAGCCATTCAAGTTTAAGCTGGGTGGCGAACAGGTCATCCCGGGACTTGATGCTGGGGTATCACAGCTGAGCATTGGCGAACGTGCGAAAATATCGATTCCTTCAGATATGGCCTACGGTATTGTGTATATCCCTGATATTATCCCACCAGGCCTCATTAGGTGAGCGTGGCTTTCCTGGGCTAATACCAAGAAACTCGGCTCTTGTATTCGACCTGGAACTCATTACATTTAGTTAGGTATCGAGTGGGAACGGCAGGCCCGCACAAAGGGGGAGGGGGGGGGCAGCCGGCCTAGCGCCCGATGTCTGGTACCCTGACGGGGAGTGGTCCTTGAGGCGTAGGGGAGCGGCCTTATCATAAGAAAAACAGATTGATTAGTATCTCTCGGCGACTGCCACGGCGCGGATGCAAGATCAAAATCGCCCCTAGCAATAGCTCGACCGCTCCGGACCTCGGCCATAGCCCCTTGGTTGGTTCTGAGGCCGCTACAGAGGTCTTCAACCCCGCAGCGCCGCCATTCAGCCCGCCGTACACAACTCTCTCGACGTCTCGGCCGGGCCTTCACGCGCACCACCGGTCCAATCTGAGCAACCTAAGGCCGCGGTGCGCCTTTTGTGGTCCCATACGACCTTACTGTGACGCTTATAACGATTTGCCGTTTTAGGAAAAAGGCCGAGTTCAGCGTCCGCGTTCTATGCGCAGCCGACATCAAATTCCAAGCGGGCTTGCTCCGTGTAGTCGATGGGGTGCTTGGGCCGGCGCACTGCCGCAGCCTCCGCATCTAGTCCGGTGTGGCGCACTAGAATCAGTCCGTTGCCGGGTTGCGATCGTACCAATCCCCATGAAAAGTTGAGGGGCGCTTTTGTGCCCCCAGGGGAGTCCAAAGATGGAGTACCCCCGCACAAGCTCCCCGGGAAGCAACTTGAACCGGCTAGCCCCCCCACCGTGACCCCACCCCACAATACGAATCTATGCGATTCAGAGGGTCTATGCAGAGGGCTCGCCGGCAAAGTAGTGTAGGCTATAAAAGCGGGTAGTTCAAGTTTAATAGCTGGGTCCGTTGGAAGGTGCGATAGCCGACTCTGACTCGGAGTCAGACTCTGAACTTGAAACTGCCGAGGATTGTCATTGATTCTGATTAAGAGGACATTTACGGGGCAGCCTTGTCTTTTAGGGGCAGTGTGCGCGCGGACGTCGAACGCGACCCTCTAGGCAAGAGGGCTCTAGGGGGTCGCGTAAGCGCAAAAATCAAACTAATAGACACGACCCACGGCCCATTCCCATCAAACGTAGATGCTACTAGTAGTATGATACTAGTACTGGCTTGAGTGCTTGAGTATAGTGGCATCCCGGGCCCTCTCCGTCTGTCCAATATTGGTAGGGCCGTCAATCCGTGGCTCCGGAGCACCACGGAGGTGCAACACCTGCGTGTGAACAAGGGCGCCGCTGATCTCTCGATTGCCAACAGTGTGGACGTTGGCGTGTTCAAGTTTCAAGTTCAAGTTCCGGCGAGTCAAAGGGCCCTCGAAATGTGGGGGCGGGTTCAAGTTGGACCCATCGAGTGCGCCGGTTCAGGCTTGGTGGCAGCAATATATAAACAAAGAACCAAGGAAACACGTACAGGTGTGTCAGTCTAGTGTGTCAGCATCCCACGGGGAATACTTGAAACTTCAAGTTAAAACAACAAGTACCGTAGGTATCTCGTGGTGCCAGTGCCGGTACCTACGGGATGTGCCACAGTGGTGCGTAACGAGACAGCCAATACACCCATTTGTTTACCTGCATGACTGGCGCTCGGCTAGCTCTCTGCAGCATGGGCTTGGGGGTTCTACGGCAGTGTATCTCTGTCAGTGGCCTCGGGAATATATTCACACCTCGGGGCAAAATGCGAGAACTAACAGGTTGGACTTCGTCATCAGGTCTAGGTGTCCAACGGATGCTATGCGCTAGTTTTGCAAAAGAAGCAACGGGTGGAGATTCCATCATGAATACCTTTGGCGCACCGCTGCCTCCTGTAGAGCTGGCAATTGATGCGGAGCGCATCGAAGTGGCAACAGATGGTTTTAACGGAGAGCACGAAGTAACAGCCGTTGCGGTAAGAGTTGTGCAACAACTGCGAGGATCAGCTCCCTACATGGACCTACATCGTGATTCTAGCATGGTAGTGCATCTTTGTTAGCTGCTGTGTCTCACAGGATCCTTGTAGAGTTATTCATGAGTGCAGGTAGCGAAGTTCTTGAAGATGAAGACATGTTCCAGGGAATAATGGATGATCTAGCAACGTTACACGTGCTCGGGGTAAAGCTGGTGATTCTAGCAAGTGTGCGATTTCAAGTAGATAGAAGATTGCAAGTGGAAACAGGCGATGTAGGGGTCCGTGTACGAGGCCTGCGGGTTACTGGCCCAAAAGAGCTGGCAGCGGTTCAAGTCGAGTGTGGCCTTGCCAGGTCACGAGTTGAGGCTGCTCTGTCTAGGGCGCTGCGAAGTGGGGGTGCATCTCATGGGCGGTCGACGATTGGAGTGGACGTAGTTAGCGGCAATGGGTTCGTTAGTGGGCGACCAGTGGGGGTAGTTGATGGCATAGACACCGGATTTACGGGTGCAGCACGACTAGTGGATGCAGCAAAAATTTCAAGGCATCTAGATGCAGGTGAAATTGTCTTGTTGTCTGCGCTCGCATACTCGCCGTGGGGGGACACCTTTAATGTACGCACTGAAGAGATCGCAGCTCGTGCAGCCCCTGCCTTGCTTGCGAGCAAGCTAATCTTTGTTACTGCAGGCCACGAGTTTGCTTGGAAAGATATAAATATTCCTCCTGAATCGACTTCTCGTCGTGTTGCTAGCCTCAGACTCGATGATGCCCGCAAGCTTCTCGAACGTCGAGAGGAGCTTTCTCGTGCTGGCTCCTGTGGTGTTGCAGCTCAGCTTCTCGATCTCACTCACTGGTGCGTTAGTGCGCTCGAACAAGGCGTCACGCGTGCACACCTTATTGCCCCAACTGACGGGGCTCTTCTCCGGGAGCTATATACACGGGATGGCGCGGGAACGCTTATCTCTCGTGACATCTACGAAGGCATTCGGTCAGCTACTTCGTCTGACATTGACTCTTTAGTTAGCCTTATAGCACCACTGGAAATTGACGGGACGCTCCTAGCACGTCCAAGGCCAAAACTGCTTGAAGAAGTCAAGCGCGGTTGCTTTTACGTTCTCTCTAGAGACGACCTCCCCATCGCCTGCGCATCCCTCAAAAGGCTCGATGCTGCCGGTACACTTGCCGAGCTAGGGTGCCTTGTTGTTGCTCAAAAGTACCGTCGACAATCGAAGGGGGATGCTCTTTTATCATATTTGGAACGTGTCGCTATTGCGGCCGGAGTCCAGAAACTATTTGCACTTTCCACCAAAACTATGCATTGGTTCATTGAGCGAGGATTTAGCCAGGTTTCATTAGCATCCCTTCCACGGGAGAGGCAGGCTATCTATGACAATCTTAGGAGACCAAAGATTTATTGTAAGACCCTAAAGGGAGACCGGGATGTCGATGTTGAGGATGCATTTTGGACCCGTAGACATGCAGAAGGTGAATTTGAAATTCTGTAAACCCTGAATAATTTCTAATTGTTATCGACAACCCCCGGGCCCCGGCAGAGAGCTTCGACTTGGGTAAATCCCTAGCCAAGCGGATGACTCGGAAGAGTCCAAGTCGATCCGAAAGACCTGACTCAAAGCTGCCCAAGTCTCAATGAAATCGAACCAAAAAGTGTGGCGTCATTGTTGAGAATGGATGCGACCCCACAGACGCGCAACGGCAGACGCGCAATTACAAATTGGACTCGGGCAGAGGTGGGCTCGACTCGCGCCGAACTTCTCCGATGGGCCATCCCCGTTCCGCCAGACCCAGGCGTGCGACAGGCGCGCAGGCGCGCGACCTCAACGGCCACGGAGAACCGTAGTAGCAGCCTGGAGATGAACCCGTTTCTCAGAGTGTGGTCACGTGTCGGTGAGGCGCATGGAATGTGTCCGGATGTGAGTCAGCTTTTCCGGCGCTGCTAATGCAGAATGTTGCGACGAGTTCCGCGCTCGTCCTTTAGTTCATAGCCGCTGACATAGCCGCTGACGTAGCCCTGAAGTGAGCAACCTCATAAACTAAGATTCCTTCTATAGTACCCGCCCATCAGATCGGGCCTGGTGCGCCGCGAAAACACTGCTCCATACAGTCACGAGTGAGCGCGAGCTTCTTTGCCCTGGGCGACGCGGTGGCGGCGAGAACCGCCCGACTCGGACGCCCCCCAAACCTCTTGAGCGTCCCGATTATTTTGCGGCGCCGCACGGCATCGTACCTAGACTCGCTATCATGCGAATGACGCAAGATCCAAAGGTGTACGCGCCTCAGGCTGACGCTAACTTTTCCGTTTTAATACTAGTAGCTTGAACCCCGAACTTGCTGGGAACCTCACTAGGTGGATGGATCTTACCACACCGGAGCAGGGGGCGTAGACCGAGCGGGGAACCTAGGGGGACCGCCCGCGCCCAGGCAGGAAAACCCCGCACATTAGTGCAAATAGAGCTTTTCCGAGCAATCAAGCGGTCCGTGTCGATGGCGTATATATACGTGTCGTGAAGTACGTGACGCAATCCACAAACGCGTCCGCAGAGCGCAAATCGTCGACGCACTCGTTTACAGTCAAATCCTCATCGCGGCACAAAATCCTTCTGGTCAGATATTCGCCGCGTCGGAGAAGCCCCGGCGAGATTTGGTGCCGGAGAGCAACATGCTGTTCATCGGCGCCGCGGCGTCCCGGGGAACATCCGGCCTTATGGTGAATGTACCGACGCTGACCCGTGTTGGTGTCAAATGGACCCCGGGGCTGCGTGCGCGCGGTTCTATGATAGTCACAGCCCGGCGGGCATAGAGCCCATGCCAGTCACAGCCCGGCGGGCCTTCGAGTTTACTCAGGCTCACTGGCATTCTAAGTTTCGAGTTTCGAATGGTCTGACCTTGAGTAGTTCAAGCCTGAGTTCAAAGTTCAGTGGCTAGGTACAGTGGCTAGTATGATGTGTGTTCCTAACTCCTCCCCAGCAAACCGTGACCGATATGGCAAACCGTGATTTGTCAAATGAATTGAATCGTACACACCGACGTGTTGGGGCTGTGATTAAAAGAGTTGAAACATTGGTGCAAGAAGTAGAAGAATTACGACAAACCCAAGAGGCGCTCGTTGCGAGGGTTGGTGTCACAGCAACGACGGGCCGCGTCGACCCTGTTGCGGTCTCTGCGGTGGAAGGCAAGATCGAGCGACTCAGAGGAGAAGTCTCCAGGTTGGAAAATCGTGCCGAGACTGGCATGGCGACTATGCAATCGGTGCTACGGGATACAGTACCTGGAACAAAATTGCTTGAACAAGAGCAGAATGCCGTCAACCAATCCGAATTTTATGTAGTTAAAGAGCGTCTGCGCATGTGCGAGGATCAGGTTGCGGTCTTAACCGCCGTAAAACAACAAACTCTTGACACAGGCAAGGTAGAGCGGCCAGACACCAATGTACGTGAGAACGACTTAATGCAGCTGGAGGCAGGACTGCAAACTAGACTCATGAGCTTGATTCAGAAAGTATCATCAGGCATGGCATGGACTATGGAGCAACTAGCGGCAAAGCTGAACGAGCTTCATCAAAATATTGAGTTAGAGGGGGTAGCGAGGTTAAAAGTTGAGGAATCGATGACGGGTGTCATTGAAAAGGCTGTGTGTGGTGTCGCAAAAGCCACTAACCACGAGATTTTGTGCTGTATGAATAAAATAAGACAACTCGACGTAAAACTCAGCTCATTTAATACATCCATTCATGGTAAGGTAGAAAAGAGATGCTTGCGCCTCGAAGAATTTCTGGCGATTGTAAATGCAGAATGTAAGAAAAGCATAGGAATCCTCAGGGATGAAACGACGCAGATCACGCACTCAATTCTTGATGAGCTAGTACGTGGGAAAGATGCACGTGTGCTTTCTACTGTAACTGACCTAAGTAAATCAAAACAGCAGCTCAATTCAATCAATGAAATCCAGTGCACTGCGAGCAGAATGGCGCACGAAGTTCAGCACATTGCAATCATCAGGCTTTTGGCAAAGGATCTCAATGCACAGAAGCAGCAACATGAAGAGTCTCTTTCCGAGACTATCAAATTCCTCGGTAACAAGATTGATAGGGAATTGGCCAAAATCAACTCAAAATGCACCAAGTCCTTTGAGGAAGCTGAGAGGCGTGCAAGATGCATCTCGGACGATCTTAGGAGCAAGCAGAATACAATTGAAGTAAAGTTGGTTCTTGCAGAAATGGTTATGCATCTGGCTGAGACTGAGTCTATGGAAAACCTAGATACATTTATGGCGGGGTGCATCGCCAAGGATGCCGCCCACGTGCAATCTGGAAAGCAGCAATTTCAGATTTTGGAGGCAGCCCTTGCTGCCAAAGCTGTAAAAATGCGAGATGCTGACAGGGCTGAGGCCCGTCTATGGTACAAGCAACAGAAAAATGCCAACAAGATGATCCTCGATCGAGTCAAAGGCAACAGGCATAACTTTCAGCAGGCTACAATTGACTTAGAGGACAAATATACTACCATATACCAGGCGACTGTCGAACTAGCAGCTCGTATTGAGTCTAATAACGTTTCTCGATGCCTGGTAGAGGCCATAGTCGAGCGCGAGAGGCAAACACAAGCCATAAAGATGACTCATGCAATTAGTGCTTTCAGTTTGAAACTCAAGACCCTCGAGGATAATCTGGACAGCAAGTTTATCAATCGAATTTCCATGGTAGAAGAGGTTGTGGCTAAAGTGGCATCGGATTGGGAAACAGCCGTTCGAGCAGCAGTCACGGCCTTTCGACCGTCGGAACGTCACAGAACGCCTGGGTTTGTCCGTCGCGTGTTTCCCTAGTCACCAGGAGATGTGGACGAGGCCAGATTTGACGGTCCATTGCGAGCTAGCCGCGTGTCTGTCAAACTCTCGTAGAACGGGGGTGTGACCCACGCGAGACCGGAGCGCACGGCGGGTTGAGCAGCGAACGACATGTCTGGGGGGTGTGGCGTGGTGTGATCTTAACTGATCTGATCTTACGTTGTCGCCCACTGGCACCATATGGCACCATTCACCAGTCTGCCAGTGAACACTGCAAGGTAGGAATTGTTTTCCTGGCTCTAGCTAGCAAGAGGCCGCTCCTCCTGTCAAGACGGGAAGAGCGGGTCATTGACGGCAACATAGGCCAAAATCGCGGCCGGGGCCCCCGGGGTGGGGATTCCGACGAGACGGGAAGACACTCAGCAGTAAGACAGGGAAACAGTAAGAGATTTTTAGCTAAAAATAGCCAAAAGGTTGCGCTGGGCGAGGGGGGGGGTCGTTACCAACGAGACACGAAGACAGGTTCTGAGCAAGAAAAACCTGCCCAACACCATTGACAGGCGTAGGTCGCCGACAGTAGACTAAATGCCAGCACTGGCATCCCTGAAATGCCGGAGCGCTCAAGCGAAGGAAGGGGGTCTGTGGTAAAATTCGAAAAATATAAACTCAAGAATTTACAGTTTGTATGTTTGCCAAGTGTACTTGGGGAAGCGTCCGTACACTAGCGAGTGCCCGGGCCGGGAAGCGCCGAGTTAGCCGAGGAAATTCGCCCTTCAGTGTATCTCTTTCATTTCAAGCCGCTACAAGCAGGATGTTCCCTGCGAGATTCATGACCAGCACTTGGCCTGAGATCGCATCATCTGTTAGCAGCGAGATGAGAACATTGTCGATGTTGGTCTCGAGGAGAAGATTTCTTGGATTGTCCATTGTAGCAAGAGTCGCCCTGAGAATTTCAAGTAGGGTTTTCCTTGTAATTGCGCTGGTATATCTTTCGAGTTTGTGGCCGATTTCAAGAACAAATAGATACCTCTTTAAATCAGCTGACACATCTAGGAGCGCCCTTACAAAACGAGGAGATGTATTGCAAGCATCAAGTAGTGGTTCTAGAGCCTGTTCAAACTCCGCCCCATCCAATCTTTGAAAAAGAAACACCATTGACTTTGCACAATAGGGTTCAGACATCGCAGATTCGACTGAAATGTCGGCCTTAAGCCAAGAGCTCAGAGCAGCGAGTGCTCTTACACACCAGTAAGCTTCATCCAATAGTCGAACGTAAAGACGGACACCTCCGGCACGCCAGAGCTCTGCGGCAACATCGCCTTGGTTGTCACTGGCTGCCACATGACAGAGTTCACACAGAATGGCAAGAGCAAATTGTTTCAAATGCCTTCGTCTTGCAACACATGTAGCCAATAAGGTTGCAGCACCACATCTTGCAGCCCGAGCCAGCCGCGAACGATCGATGCGACACAGGTAGTACACAATTGGCACTAGCTGATCTTCAAGCTCATCTCGACGAGGGACTAGTCTCTTTGTGAATCCATCACCTTTGACAGCGCCCACCTGGGCAACTTCAAGGACAACAACAACCGTCTCAATAGCTCCACAACTAGCTAATGAATCTAATGCCGCTGCACTTGTCATACTGATTGCCTTTAATGTTTTGAGCAATCCCACAGTGAGTTTAGCGTCAGCGTCCCCATCAGAGCCTTGCTCCCAGGCGTCTCGGACCCGCTGAGGAAACTCAGCCAGTACACCCAAGACTATGGTTGCTGTCTTCGATGCGGCAATGGCCTCCTTTACCACAGTATCTGCGTCGGAAAGGGCAGCAAGAGCATTAGCCATCAACTCTGCAGAATATCTGTCTGGGGAGGAGGAATTAGCGCAAAGATTTGCCTCTAGGGACGCAGCAAGTTTTGAAGGTGTGTCCCTCAATGCAAGTGCACGACAGAGAGCAGCCCTCGAGGGATTCTGTAATTGCAGTTTCACTGTCTTGACGTCGAGAGCTCGAACAAGAAATTCAACGCTGGCCAGAATAGCTATGCACTGAGAGCTAAGTCCTGCGGCCTTGTCACGTGGCATTAACAATTCGACAGCAAGCTGCAGGCCCCCACTGAATAGAAATACTCTCAGGCAAGGCCCTGAACAGCGCAGGCCAAAAATGTTCAAAACGGTGCCAAGCAGACCCAAAACTCTATCGTCAAGTTTGGTAATTGGTATCAGAGATGTGAGCACGGGTGCGATCCCCAAGGCCGTTAGTAAGTCTGCCGCGTTCGGAACAGCAAATAGGATGATGCGCAGCGCTTGGAGGACTTCAATAGCACATCCCTGTGATCTCAAAGCTTCAACAAGCGAAATTGCACCCAGCTCAGAGAGAATATGCTCTTCGTCAACCATCGGTTTAACAAGTGTGAATAGTCTTAATAAGACCTGGTCACCTTTTTTAACAGACGCTGCAAAATCAAACAGGAGTTCGTTAATCTCCTCTTGCTTCTTCATGTTTCTGTCCCGCAAGTCATTGTGAACAAAATCTTCAGCATCTTCAAAGAAACCGACCGTGAACGGGTCTAAAACATCAGCCTTCGTGTCGAGAGAGGCCCCAAACTTGCTTCTTGACAATTCTCTACGCGAGCCTGCATCGTGTGGTTTAACATCCCACTTAGCTTCACTTGAAAATGAGTTGTTTAATGGCAAGACCTCATCCCTAGCACCTTGCCAGCCATTCCCCACTGGGCCATTTGGACAAGACACGGAGCCAATTCCATCAAAAATCTTGCAGACATCAAAGCCGTCTTCAATTTGATCTTCTTCATCTTCTCGATATTTCCTCAACGCCTGGCTGTCCGCAACTGCTGGTTTTAGGGTAGGTGCAACGACGCCAGCAGAATTAATATGCTCAGTTGAAACTGACTTTGACCCACTGGCGCCGCGACTTGTTCGTTGCAGCTCATCCTTGCCGTTAAGAGACGAAACATGGCGACTCGGCTGTTGTGAAGTCATTGAAACTGGGGGCTGGAAACAACTAGGAGGTGTCGCTGGGAATCCAGCAGCCTCGGAGGGGCTTAGCGGGGGTGCACGTTGCAGCCATGCATGACCCAGAAGTACTCGGGCATTAGCGCGCAACGCAGCTTCACGATTAAAGCATTGAAGTAAAAAGTCGCGCAGAGCCTCACTCGCACCAGCAGGAAGCCTAGGTACGTCATCTTGCACAATCCGAAACAGTGCTGCCATGGGTGCCAGATCGAAATGTGGAGGCTTTCCTGTTGTGAGCTCAAGAATCGTGCAACCAAGACTCCAGATGTCACAGGCCGCGGAGGGTGTTGCAGACATCTCAATGATCTCAGGTGCCATCCAGTAGGGGGACCCAACCATGTCATCATCAAGATCAGCACCTGCAAACGACGCTGCTCGTGCCTACATCAAGCCATTAAATTGCGTTAACATGGTCGCCTCTAAGCAACTCTGAAGGGTTGACAGCTACACCAAAATCTGCTACTTTTGCCACACCAGTTTTGGTTGTTAAGATGTTAGCCCCCTTGATATCTCGATGAAGCACACCTTGTGCGTGAAGGTACTCAAGCCCAAAGAGCACCTAACCGCAGTATTAGGTGAGGTGAATTATTGCGCTTAATACTAGCCTGGTTAACGTATGAACTACATACCGGCTCCGAGAAATCTCCAAAGAGCTTGCGCACAGAGGCCTACTAACATGGAACTTGTATTGAATGGCAACCGCGAAATTCACATACGAGGCTACCATTTTCCATGTATTCAAGAACGACATGCAGACCCTCGCTGTCATTTATAGCGCCCAAATATTTAACAATATTAGGATGGTCCAATTTGCTCAGAAGATCTAACTCGGTCAATACCGCCTTGATGTCATTGCTGCTTCTTTCAAACTTTTTGATAGCTACAAATGCGCCTGTCTCGCGCTGCCAAGCCTGATGCACCACTGCACTGCTACCTTGTCCAATGACCGCACCAAGACTGTAATTACCAACGAGATTTAGGGCCATCCACGCCGTTTCTCATAACAAGCCTGCGTTATGGCCTCCTTTTGGCAACAGAAACATGAAACCATGTAGTAAGATCTATCTCGCCGCGCAAGTTGTTGCTCATGACTACCGAGAAAATCTAGTATGTTATATACTGGCACAGAATAATCCGGCAAACTCGGGAGAGGGCCAAGGTGTAAATGGGTGGGAAGACGGGGGAATGGGGGGGAGGTCCCGCTGGGGCAACTGTTCCTTATGATGTCCGTGGGCTGCATGCAGCGCAGGATGCAATTTGGGCAGCGCCGCGCGGAGATAGGAGCTCAAAACTCAAAAATTAAACCCGCACCGCCGCGGAGAGCAAAAATAAATCGCGCCACGAGCCTAGCGCACTGGGAAGCGGTCAAAGACGCACCATAATTGTCACGGAGCCACCTGACATGCTTGCCGACGTCCCTGCCGATTTTGGGGGCTGCCCGCGGCGCTCACGGTGAGCAGCACGACCTCCAAGTTGGCGGCGCCGTCGCGATCGCCCCCTTTGCTTCGCGTGGCCCGCCAAACACGTTCTACTACCTCTGGAGGGCTGCGCGGCTGACAGCATCTTCCCGACGCGCGGTCGTCCGGCGGCTCACCGCGTGCCCAGCACAGTATCACGCGGGACGCGTCGTGAGACCTCAGACCGTTTTCGGGATGGTCGGTGGCTGCGTGGATCGGCACTTCCCTTTATGGACGGTACTTCTTTTCTTCGTCTGCCGTCGCGCGGAGACCGCCGTCCACGTCAACGGCCTCTAAAGTGTCGTCCACCGCCTGCCTGTTGTGTGTTCCTGCTGATACGTTCCTAATACATCTATTTGAACATACTAGACCCCCAGGGCCCCGTCCCCGCGCTAACCCGCGGACCAGCAACTGGGTCAGAGGTACGCACCTTTTGGAGTGCAGTGGCTGAAACAGTCCGCCGGGGAGCTACCCTTAAACCCGGATCATGCCTCTTGGAGATGCCTTAACCTCCCTTAAAGAGTTCAAACTCATTTCTAGAGAGTTTAGGTTACGACTAGTAGTCGATTTAACATGGAGTCGACGGACGAGGGGTCCTTGCCTACACACCATCGATTTGGAAGTGGGACTGCAGATGCTATAGTTGCTGGGCTGAAAGAAGAAAACTCACGATTGCGCGAGGGTTCGCTTCGGAGGCTTTATTCCATTGTTGACCGATGCTGGTCAGAGATCTCGGACGCGATACCCCTGATAGAAGAGCTCAGTGAAGACGATACCTTTAGATCGCATGAACTTGCCGCGGCAGTTGCGAGCAAGATATTTTTCCACCTTGAGGAGTATGATGATGCGCTCCGACTTGCTCTTGGAGCTGGAAATTTCTTTGACATTGATGCAAGGACAGAGTATGTTGAGATGTTAATCTCAAAATGCATGGATACTTATATCCAGAATCATCAAAGCTCTCCCATCGGCATACAATCACATGACCTCGATCCACGTCTTGCCAATGTCATTGAACGCATGTTTCAACGTTGCTATGCTGATGGCAAATACTTTCACGCAGTAGGAGTGGCACTTGAAGCGCATCGTCTAAATAAGGTAGAGGAAATTGTAACTCGATGTCCACTGGGAGACCGACATGCTCTATTCTCTTACGTTTTGGAAGTTATTCCCTCTGTCACTGCTACCTGCGCATTTCGACAGCTAGTAGTTCGTACGTTAGTGACGCTGCATCCATTATTGCCGTCGCCTGATTACATATTTCTTTGCAGCGCACTTCAGTACCTTGGAGCTTCAAATGAGGTTCAAGATCTTCTACTTAAGCTGGTCGATGGGAAAAATCACCACGAAACACTCCTCGGATACCAGCTCGCTTTCTTGATTGCTGAATCAGATAATCATAGATTTATTTTTGACATTGTATCAAAACTGCGGGATCCTGCTGGCTCATCAACACTCAATGATTTACACCAAAATCATATATCCCACCTTATCCGAATCATGGACACAGATGGTTTAGCTAGTAAAATATCCTTGGATTTTATGAGCACAAGGTCCCGAACTGACACTCTGATATTTAAGGCAATTAAGGAATCCATTGACGGTAATCGAAACTCTGTGTTGCACAATGCAACAGTGATTTCGCACAGTTACGCAAACGCCAGCACAAAAGACACTGCGTTTTTGCGCAATAATTTGGATTGGATGGGCAAAGCATCAAATTGGGCAAAATTTATCGCCACCTCATCAATAGGAGTCATTCATCAAGGCCATGTGGAGGAGTCAATTCGCATCTTGCAACCTTACCTTCCGCAAACACCTGCATCTAACTCACCGTTTTCAGAGGGTGGTGCCTTGTATGCACTTGGCCTGATTCACGCAAATAAGGCGCAGTTGAGCACCTCAGCTGCGGTTTCGCGCCTGATAGATGCCTTGCATAGCTCAGGGAACTCCGAGCCATTGCAGCACGGGGCATGCCTTGGCCTTGGGTTGGCAGCAATGTCAACTGGTAAGGCACAATACTATGATGAACTGCGTACTGTGCTCTACTTTGACTCCGCCATCGCAGGTGAAGCAGCTGCCTACGGTATTGGTTTATTGTTACTAGGGCATGGTGACGAGACACTGCTTTCTCAGAATGCAATCTCGGAATTGTATTCATATGCGCATGAGACTTGTCATGAAAAGATCATCCGTGCAGTGGCACTTGCGATAAGCCTTATTGTTTGTGGAAAGGAAAAAGCCGCGGAAACAACTATTGAGATGCTATTGCGAGACAGAGATGCCATAATTCGGTATGGGGGCATGCATGCAATTGGTCTGGCGTATGCCGGCACAGCCAATAATCAAGCTGTCAAACGTCTCCTTCATGTGGCAGTCTCTGACGTATCTGATGATGTCAGGCGTGCCGCAGTAACCTGCTTGGGTTTCGTCCTGTTTCGAAATCCAAAACGAATTTTAGCACTTGTGGGATTACTACTAGAAAGCTTCAATCCGCATGTCCGGTATGGAGCATGCATGGCAATCGGACTTTCGCATCCGGCCTCAGGGGACGTTGATGCTATTGCATTACTTCAGCCCTTGCAGACGGATGCTATTGATTTTGTACGTCAGGGGGCTCTCATGGCAACAGCATTGGTAGTGATGCAACAATCCAGCGCGCAGGTGCATATGCTAGGTTCTTTCCGGAATAAAATCACAGAACTTGTCAAAGACAAATACCCTTCAACACTCACAAAAGTAGGTGCAATCATAGCGGCAGGTATCATGGACGCTGGTGGTCGTAATTGTGCGGTGGCATTGCAGTCCTCCAGTGGGTTTTTGAAACACAGTGCATGCGCGGGCATGGCTCTGTGGGTACAAAGTTGGTACTGGTATCCCATGTTTCACTTTTTTTCTCTAGCTTTAACGCCCACTGTCCTCATTGGTCTAAATTCAAATTTTGACATGCCCACTGATTTCTCTGTAATTTGTTCAGGATCTCCTGATTTGTTTGCATATCCTCCTCTGACAACAGAAAAACAAGAAACAAAGAAGGAACGAGTTGCAACTGCCATTCTCTCAACCACGTTGAAACACAAAGTGAGAGAAAAGGCAAAAGATAAACACAAGGCGTCTTCTTCAGCATCAGATCCAGATGCAACTTCAATCTCGTTGTCAAATGCAGATCTCACTAGCCCTCAAGAACCACTAGACGCTTGTGCTCAAGTCACTGTAGGAAGTTCGTTCAGGTTGTCAAATCCGTCGCGGTTAACTCAGATTCAGATGAAATCCTGCAAATTTGACCTGGAACAGCGTTTCGTTCCTGTTGCCACTACAATCAAAACGCATGGTATCATCATGCTTGCAGACCGAGAGCCCAGCACCATGCCTCAAATTACAAGGTTTCATGATTTCGCTCGGGCTGTCAATGAATCTGCTTTACCCACGGCATTCGAATGGCCATATGGACTGCTCTAATCGCCTTTTTCTGGTGTGTCCCATGCGCCCGAATGACATTGTGGGACACGGCACGAAACGCCACCTTGACGAACGTTGCGTGCGCCACTAGAATGCCCAGACCAAATCATCTTGCCCGCCAATCTCAGTCACGTCCAGCTCCAATATCAATTATCCGCTTACTAATTAGAGCTTCGTCCCTTTAGAGAGATCCTAGGGAGATCCATCAGTATGATATTTGGGGTTCCCGAAACTTCTGTGCGGCTCCGTGGTTTGGACCCCCGGGCCGAGATCCGCGAACAGTAGTATATGAGTTGTAGCCCTTTTTACATCAAAACGAACGTTCACGGGAAAACCCGTTCACTTTCCATTTTGATGAAAAAAGGGCCACAACTCAAATATATCGAGACCAAAATCCATGGTTCTGGGCGGTCGATTTTGGGGGTCTAATGATTTCTAGTATATTTCATGAATAGGGGGTTATTTCGAATATATAGTTGAGTTAGTCTCGCCATAGTGCGATGTCCCCTAATTTGAGATTGAGCTCCCTGCCACAGTGCCACTATCCGCGTGAGGCGGATGCACACGCGCGGCCGGGTCCCCGATGGGCTGCCAGATAGATCGCCTGAAGCGGCCGCACGAAACGCCACCGTGACTGGCGCGACATTCGCGGGCCAAAATTCCCAGATCAAATAGTTTCGCTTGCCCGTTTCGGTCAGGTCCTAGAGGGCCCCCTATTCTCGATTTGCCGGAGGCCAAGGCGTATAGTTATGGAAATATGGCAAATATAAATATTACTAGTCCCACTAGCCCTACCGATAAGGTTTGAGGGCGCTCTACGGCTAGCGCGGAGGCGCATTTGTGCCGCCAGCGCGTGTGGAGGTCCTAGGAACTTGTCCGCGCCTGGCGTAAAGAGCGCGCGTCGGAAGCTAGCCGCCTCGGCGGTCTGCGAGTGCCCAAAAGCTGGTGCTCTGCGAAGGCCCTAAATCGGCGCGCGACTGCGAACAGATCTCCAAATTGCTGGTAGAGAAGCGCCTGACCAACGCAAACAGCGATGCACCTCCAGGAGTCCACCAGCTATCCGTCGCCACATGTCAACCCGCGCCGGTCGGGAGCATATTCGGTGAATGTCGATCGCGGGCCGCTTGGGCACCTATCGGCAAAATTTGACCGGTATGACGTACGTATGCATTCCAGCGGACGTTGGAATGACGCGCCGACGCGCCGCGCCAGTGGAAGGGACTTAAGGCCCGCGACGCCGACCGCGAGGAGTCGAACTCGTCCAAGACGGCCTTTAGGGCGCTAGGCGTATTATCATAGGCTATATTCGAATACCAGCGCGGGTGGTGGGTTGGGGGCACTCTCTGGTGCAAGGAAAACCCGCACCACCCCCCTCGCGCACCGCTGGCCCTCCAAGACTACAGCCCCCCTATCGCGCGGGGTTTAGCTCTCCGTAGTGTCTCAGCTTCAACTCCCCCCCACGTCAACCTCAAGTTGAAGTAAGGGTAGTCATAGGTAGCCACGGACCCCCCTCAGACCTCCTCAAACTCACTCCTACTTCTGCTGGGTTCTTCCGGACGCTTTCAGACGTCTATCATAACGGTCAAGTAGGTCGAGTGGGAGGAAGTACCTACAAATATAAATAATAATAATTACCTACAAATAAATAAATAAATAAACTTGAATAAATAAATAAATAAATAATTAAGGAAGGAATATCCTAAAGGAAAGGACATACCTAGGTAGGTAATAATTAAGGGAGAACTCGGGGTTTGGATTGGGTTTGGTGTGACAAATTCATTCGGATTGGATTCGGGTTTGGATTGGGTTGGTTTGGATCGGGTTTGGTGTCACCCCCGTCCGGGCCCAAAATGTGCAATTCATTTTACGTCTAGTAGTATTACCTACCTGGGTAAGTTCCCTCCCGGGGCGCCCTAATCATCCTCGGATTCAGTCGTCCAACGCCGAAAATTGGAGTCCCGGTTCCCGTGGTTGCCAAGCCCCATTGGAGGTGTGTTCGCCATGCGCTTGGGCTATGTGCTTCGATGCCAGCGATAGTGAGGTGGCAGCCGTAGTGGTGGCAGTAGGGCACGCGATGCGGCCAAGAAAAACAGGCCTGACACGCCTGTAACGGGCCTCGTGAGGGCCCAGCGAAAAGATTTTGCTGAACCAAGGCTGCCCGAGAAGGTACCGAAGCCAAGGTTCCGTCGCTGAGATCATGTGCGGCGCGCCGCGACAGAATGCATGCGCAAAAAAGACATGGATAGGGTGCATGCGCAAATATCATAAGGAACACACACGTAGCGACGCCTCGCGCGTGCGTCAGCAGCAAAGCCCCGCTTCGCACACCTCAAAACCAACGTACGGCCAATTCCTATGGGGCTACCCTACTCCCCTCATGAGTTCAAGTCCCTAGTCCTTAGCATAAGCACAACAACTTTTGCGACAAGACTCTCAAGTCCAGTATGTACCGGAATGTGGCAAGCTAGAGCGTCAATCTAACGCAGGGCAGGATTTCTCGTGCCAAGCTACTTTTACACATGCCCCGATCGCTTTTGCTCTACAGTAACTTGCCTGTTTTGTGAGCGCCAAGTTGGGGGCCATATTTGAGCAATCAAGACTTCATTATTGGAAATAACAGAAAGCGTAAAGTGACCCTCCATCTCAGCTTGGAAGGCGCCGACCAATATAACATAGACACCGCGATCTAGACAATCCACACAAGTCTCAATGACACGTTCGCGTCTTGCCCGGCCCGTCGAGCTAATTAAGTTGTTCTTTTCTAGCTTGGTGATACGATTGACACGCCTGTGATCTCGCCGTGTGGCACGGCAAATGTAGCTGGCTACAGGTAACATCGCGGCATGGCCTTTCGTGTGAACCTGCTTAACAGACACGCGCAGTGTGGTGGGTCGATGAATAACAACAGAGTATTGGGGGTTACGTTCAACCTCACAGCATGGATTATGCCGTGAGGGGAGACCGGGCGCCGTGTTCTCACGATTGTCAGGATAACCACAACTCCACTCCCCAGATAAGCACTTTCTCTTCCAACACAAAGCATTTTCTGAATAGTAGTGGCATATAAAAATGCATCGGAATACACTACAAAACTCATCAAATGACATCCAGAATGTATGGGGCTCTAAGCCGTGAAATAACTTGTTGCGCAGGCGTTTTGTCCAGAGAGTGGATGAGTGCGACCATGCACCTCTGAAAATGTCCCTGTGGCCAGCAGGGTTGCGCAGCTTGATCAATTTGTGCCTTTCCGGAAACACATCGATGATGTCATAAATAGTATATGTTGCTCCAAACATAAGTCCAGAGAGATGAAGCGACAATGCAGCATGCTCAGCTGGAATAGCACCAGCCCCCAGAATGTAGTCACTTTGATGCGAGCGCAGGAGGTTACCCCAAAGTGCTCGTTTGCCAAAGCCACGAGAAGCCTGTGCGATGTGCAGGCACTCAGCACGATTTCCAGTGAATAGCTCAAGCCCTTGATGAACGAATCCACTCTCGATGGCACCATAGCTGCCATAGTATTTGGCGACACCCTTTTCTAGGAGGGACAGCCAAAGCTCAGCCATCTCAGAGACGTGTGCGATAGCAAAACCCGCACAGTCCTTGTAACGTTCTTTATAGGTCTCTAGTAAGATTGCATCTAAAGAAGCAGCCACATCGAGCTTCAAATTTTGGTCGACGCAGTCAGGATACTGAAATGAGTTCCGTTCGCGCCCAAATGCGTCAAGGGCAACAAGTGCATCAATACCACTGCCACCTGAGCCATCGCCGAGCATTGGAAGCGCATCATCTACAACCACGGCTTCCCACTGACCGTTAGCAAATAATTGGAGGCCAAATGCTCCGACGGCAGAGTCATATACGATGCTGCCTTCAAGATCAATCATGTTGATGAAGAGTTTTTTAATCTGAGCACCTGCGTCGGCATCATTTTTGACACCAACCGTGGAGAGCATAGCGAGCACTGCAATAAGCCAATTATCATTGACACAGACCCCTGGGCGGACATCATCAGGTTCGCCGCCTTCCGCGAAGAGGACAGCATGTGGATTAACCGAGAGGGCGTGATTCCATGTGCCAACAAAGTTGGCTCCAAAGCAGGGCCCCAACGTTGACGCGCTAGGCTGAAATTCAGGGTCAATAAACTGCAAAGTCCCTTTACGTGCTCTTGACGGATAACAGTCTGATTCACCTGCCTCGAGCTCTGCAAGGCGCTCACGGCAATTCCCCACCGTCTCCTCGTTATTCAGGAGCACATGCAGCTCATAAGACTTGCGCATGGGCTCATCTCCAGTTTCAATCGCAGGGTGCATGTTGCTTTCCCATTCCCTTTGAAGTACAGTTACAAAGCGATTTTGATCCTCTGGCCTGAGAGACTCCAGCCAATTTGAGGTGCGCCTAGAGCGCCGAACTAAGCAAGCACTCATGCTCTTGGCGGCATTCTCTTGCTCAGTGTAGGCGCGCATTTGGGAAAGTGCACGCGCAGCCACAATCTCTTCACGGTCTTGCTGGTCTACTTTCAATTCGTGATCTATCTGCTCTACGGTGAAATTGTCTTGTAGCAAGTAGAAGCGCTCACGTTGATCCTGGCTAAGAGACTGAAGCCAAGATGCAGCAAGTCGCATGTTGAGCATTGTGGAGTCGGGCGCTTGAAGCACCTTGCTTGGTGGTAAGATTCCATTGGAAATTAATTTGAAACGACTCTCACTAACAAACTTTCTGAAGGTAATCTGCTTGTGTGTCAAATGAGCATCGTTGGCTGTTATCACAAGGAAATGAAAGTGGGCCAGGGCCTTTAGCTCACCTGCAAAATGATTGCGGAAAGAGATATCAAGCTCGATAAGTTGAATGATCGCCTGCATAGCCTCCATTTCCACAGTATCTTGCGCGACGACTCTTTGCCCCTCCTTATCAAAATCTCTGAGGCAATTGCACAAAATCTTCAACTCCAAGCCGCGAAACATCCAAGCCGCAGATCCAATACAGCCAAAAGGGCCACGAGATGCGCATGTTTCTGCGAGAGCATCACGGTCGGTGTAGATGGCATCTGCGCGCCATACCGCTTGCTGTTCATCGCCGAGGGTAACTAGCCTCAATGCAAATTCTGCGACATCGATCCTCATTGCGATTGCCTGTGCCGATGACCTGAAATCAGAATGACCTGTGCTGATTGGTTCACTCTCTGTCGTCTTTGAATTGCTGTGTCCCTGAGAATTGACTTCATGCTGACCTTCAGGACCATCCCATTCATCACAACGAACTTCAAATTTTGATGCCTCTGCGCAAATATCCTCCTCATGTCTACGCAACGTCGCTAGGGCGGCATCTACAAAAATATCCGAGGAAGGATACGAGGCGACGACGCCCATTTTCAGGGGCACTTGTGAGCAGGCATTGGTAGAGACTGAAACAAAAAGCGAGATGAAGAAAAAGAAAAGAGTGGTCCCAATGGAAATACATTGGCTGAAGCAAGCCAGAGCTGCAGTCCAACACACCCCTATTCCACAAAACAGGACACACCGGACAGTGAGACGCGTTTCATCTACTAGAATACCATTCTGTGCTGAATATGAGTATACCGGAAAGAGAGTAGGAGCGAACCAATATACTCGATCTGTATCTAGGTGGACCAGGTCCAATATCTTTATAATGCATTTGCACAGCTGTAGCACGAAAACCACTGAGAGAATCAGTATAGATGACGAACCAGTGAAAACAACAACACACAAGATCAGTACAATGCAAACACTGCGGATCGCGATGTCTGATGAGCGCAACAGATTTGGCGGTAGATAAAAGGCGTTCTCTGCCCATTTGCATATAAAGTATGATGCGCCCGCAAACCATAGCAAAGTAAAGCAGCACGCTAGTGCCATTGCCGGTGAGCTCCAGAGATAGATTTGGGCCAACATGAAAAAAACAAGTAAGTAATTCGCTATCTGCACCAAACCCAAGTAGAGTCTGCGGAAAATAGGCGACACGCAAAAATTTCCTGAGTTCGATTTCCTCTTGTGTGACTCATTCAATTCTGGATTGCCCCAGATTGAACCTGGATCTTTGCAGCCGTGGTCAACCCAAGCTATTACTTGATAGAGGTTATACAGGCCCACCGGGTACAGGACAAGCGTATCAATAAGCCACATTGCTTCAACAACGTCAATTCGCCCATCTAACCAGGCTTTGTATGCCCACCCTAATGTGCCGGCAAATAGCAAATATCCGACCAAGCTGGCAAAAATCATGTTGCGCTCAGCTTTGTAGGTTTTGAACCATTTTATTATAGGAGAGATAGTGAGAAATAGAAACGTGTTCACTGTCCAGAGAAGGTGACCAACGTACGGAGGATATGCAATATGTGAAAGTAGACCGCCTAGAACCATGACCAGAAGAGGCACAAGGACGACACAAGTCACAGTGATATATTCATCTTGGAGGAGGCAACCTGTCAGAACAGCCTCCCACAACGGGACCTGAAACCAAACCTGGTCTGCTGTTTGCCAAGCGTAAGTTTCATTGGTCATACTTTTACATATAAGCCCAGTGCAGTGAGTACAAATTTCCATCAAGGTAAGATTTGGTAGTGATTTGGATTCCTTGCGTTTGTGAGAATCATCACTGAGGCTCCGTTTTAGTTTAGTGACACGACATGCATGTAAGCCAGTTTCAATTACTTTTCGCCGCTGAGGCAATGTATCAACAGGGGGGGAGTACAGCCGCCTTGACGAGAATGCGCGCTGCTTGATGATAGATTTTGGCGGCAGAACCGGCATTTGAACAGTAGGAGAGCATTCGGCATGCTGATTCTCATTTCGGACTTGTACGACATGCGGCATTTGAAGAGTTCTCAAAGTTTTGACGCCACCCGATCCCTTCTGGGGTTTGTTCATCATTGCCTGTAGTACTTCAAAGGCCAGTTTTGACTCGGAATCATCTACTTCGGGAACGTCTTCAGTGGCAGGTGGCCAGATGACGACCTCACAATCATTGGCTAGCCAAATCGAAAAGGCACGTAAAGAAATGATGACACAGAGCGGACCAAGGGCAAAAACAGCAAGGGCAGCAGGCGCCTCCGTAGCTCCCCACAACAGTAAGCCCACTGCAATGAGACATAGATACGCAAGACTTGCCAATATTTTGGGTAAGTTGAATGATGGAGTGATAACATATGCCATAGCTGCACCACCCATCAGCAGACTTTGAGTATCAAGGTAGGCTGCTCGGACATGGCCATGTATTGAGCCGGCAAATGCAACAAATAGCCAGACCACAATTGGTATAACGCGAGAAGGGAGCTCTGCACGATCACCAAAGCGCAAGAGTGGCAAAGATAGTCCAGGTGGGTTTGCGTACTCGGCAACCGAAGTGATAACAAACAGCGCTGCTGTCAACACCAACAAAGCACACTCTGGCGTACTAGCTACATCAAAGGAGGGCGGGTGAACAACTTTTGGCATCTTATTTCTTGTCGCAAGGAAAATCATACTGCAGGCTTCTAGATGATCAATATACGGCAGGCGTTTGTTCACAATATTGCGCAGTAGAGATATTCCATATACACAGTACACCATAGATATACCAAGAACCCAAAATCGTGTATCGATGAGGACGACAATTGCACGTGAAGCAATCATGAGATGAACTGTTTTACTTGGTGACCAGCGGGCACAATCAAGGTCAAGATTAGAACTGATGGTGTCAGTCAAACTAAAAAAGAGGGCATAAACTAGTGCTAGGTATCCTTTTGTAGTCAGCATGAAAGCACCAACGACAAGCATAAGAAGCACTAGTCGAGATGCTGTGCGGAGTAATGCACAACGCACCGCAGCCATCTCTCTTGAATTCAAACAATTGCTGAACCCGCAGAGATGCCCTGCAATATCGGGTACGAAATCAAAATAAGGCGAAGACGACGAAGCACTATAACATTCCTTCATCAGCCAGTAGTCGTGTTTTGCACCATCGGGGTGCTTTGATTCAATAATAGTTGCCGCATTCGTAAGTGCACGCACGAGGTCACTTTTTGCGCGACAGATATCTGCATTGAATTCCATGACTTCCAGGGTGAATGGGATGAGCCCCAAAGCGAGAAAGACCGTTGCGAATGAGAGGAAGTCAATCTCTTGTTCGGCATTATCATTTGCTAGTGAAGGACCGAACACAACAATGACAAATAGGAAGCCAAATGTACACGTCACACTACACACCAAAGCACTCAAGATAGCTCGCGTGAGACGCCATCGCTCAAGTTTCCAAAGAGCGAGAGCAAATCCAAGTGACTGAATGGCAGTGCCAACGAACATTATGAAAAGTCCCAAGTGTGGCGGTCGCACGGTCATGGTAATGATGATGCCGCACGTCCAGAAGACAATCCAGGGCACTGCAAGCATGTTTAATGCGCAGCGTGTTGCCCAGTAGTAGTTGTGGCGAAACTCGCAATTGTTAATCGAAATGCCATCGCTTTGAAATAAGCTGGTTATGATTGTTGCCCCTGTAGATCCCCCGCCTTCTTTCTCTGGTGTGAGCATGTGTGCGCCCAAACGGTGCAGCCTAAACTTACACATTGACAATAATCTAAGAGCGCCTGACATATAAATCAGGAGTGGAGTTCCCAGTTGTGTCAGCCTGACAAGAAGTGCAATACATTCGAAACGAATTTGCCATCGATGCCCTTTAGCACTGGTGCCAAAGTGTGGTTCAAACACAATGAAGTAGTCCATTTCGCACTCTGGCCATCCAAGATTTATCATATTTTGTGCTATAATACCATATTGGTCACGGACCGCCGGAGCGAAGTCGTGTTGGTAGCAAGAGTAGCCTAGACTTTGTTCCTCTTGCACAATTGGGATCGACACAACGTACTCCCATTCCCGAAGCCAATCTGGAAGCCTGTGGCAGCTAGTCGGGCGACAGAGAGTCAGCGTGGCATCTGCGTTTATAGAAAGCTCAGCATATAGACCCACCTGTGCATTTAGAGCCACCTGTGCATTTACAGACCGGCTCACATGGCTTTTTGTCTGCAGCAAAACAGCACCATCTGCATCAAGAGCGGATGTTGTACTATAAGCTATAAACTCTGTCGTTAAGAAGTCTTCTCCTTCAATAACATGGACCTGAAAGGGCACAATTTCAATAACTACGCGAACTGATGCGTTTGCATTCAAGCGAATCCAGGCTTCTTCGCGACAGAGCTTTCGGCGCTGTAGACCCCAGGGCATATCGTTTTCAAAGCAGCCGCTCTCATCACAAACAGAGTGGTTGTACTCCACGGCGAGGCTTGAGCAGAAAGGAAGCCAAAAGGATCCGGCCCCTAGTAAATCATCGCCACCATCTAATAGTTCCAGGCCAGTGTCGTAGTCCAGCACCTGAAAGAGCACCAGTGCCTCACCTGAACGATGCCATCCCATAGACATTTTTTTGCCCAACCAGTGTTTGTTCTCGTTCCCAATTCGACCAGTTTCTCTGGTCGACCAAAAGCCGGGTATACCCACCTGAACGCGGACATAAGCATCACTCCATTTCGCAATGCCTGCATCAGGAGTTGCCTTACCATCCTGATCGTTTAGGTTTTGTGCTTCCACAATAGTCACAAATACATTCCCGCCAGCCGCCGACCCAGTTCTTCTTTGGGACTGGATTTCGCGGTCGGGACATTCCTGCGAGCATGGCGGGAAAGGAAAATGATTCTGATTCTTCAATTTGCCGTTGCAAGAGAACCCTACACATGGCGGATCGGTTGTCAATTTCCGCGGCAGCCGTGTTGACATAGCCGCGCTGAAAATTGTTAAAGCTACAAGTACGTAAACTTTACGCATGCTTAAACTAGGTTTAATATTAAATACAGGCCCTTAAACACATGGTTGTTTCGTGTTTCAGCGCATGACGGTATACTTGGGTGGATACCGGTATGTGCATACTGCGGTAAATAAATAAAGGGCATACTAGTAATTAATTAGAAATCGAGGACGGAGGAGGAGAGCTCCACATCACCCCGCTTAGCGGTCTTCGCCACCCCAGGCTTCCCAGGAGCGACACTCCGGCTATGGCCCGGGCCCGGGGCGCGGCCCGGCCTATGAGTCTGGACTCGGATTACTCAGAATTATACACGCCGAGTCTACTTGTACCCACTCACTGAAAACAGTGCGGAATCACACAAGCAGTCTACGGTGCAGGCTTGCGCTCGTCAGGACAAGTCACGGTGAAGAAGTACCACGCCGCCGCGGCGGTCAAAGAAACCACCCGGGCGACAAAACTCCCGGACACTGATAATATAACTACTGGTAAGGTAGCCCGGGGCACGAAAGCAGTCTGAGGTACTCCCGTGGGCCGCTTCGGAGCCTCGTGCATCCGTACGAGCCTGCTGCTCCTCCACTGCGACACTGTCCGATTTCACCGTGACTGCCTTACTATTATTATTACACCCCAGACCCCGAGTCGTACTTTTACGGACATACGCGGGACTAGCCTGCTGAGTTTCTTTGACTTGAGTCGGAAGTTATGATCATGATACAAGAGCTAAGCTTTGGCAGCTTCCAAGAAGTAGGTAGATGCACATTGTCTCCAATTGACGACGACAGCCACGCAACGAACAGGGACTTGAGTCACCGCCCTTCTCGTTGACTAGTATTGCGGCTCACCAAGGTAGCAGGAGTTATGCCTGAGATATAAAGGGGCTTGATACCCGGGATTTTGTTAGGCCGATCTGTGTGATTCAATGAAGCTTCACACGAGACGCACTGCCCCAGAAAATTGAGAGGATGCTTTTTGGTAAATTCCAGAAGTGGCGCATGGGCTTGCTTAGGCTCCCTTGACACAATAGCAGCAGCATTGCTGTCGGAGGTGTTGCTTTTTTGCATTCTGTCTCCCAAGGCTGCATCAAGACTCTGTTTAAGGTCCCAAAACGAAGTTTTCTTGGCAAGTAAGTCGAGGATTTCAGCTCGCTTTGGACGGGTGTCTAGCTCATGCTTGAAATTCTTGATTTCATTGGCACTCATGATATCATCAACTTGCGAAGCAATCTGGGAACGAATTTGAGCTAGGTCACCCCTGTCTGCCTTGATCGTGCGCATTTCATCCAGGCCGCGTCGCAACTGGGACGTTTCTCGGCGGACATCGTCGTCATCAGCTTCTGTGGCGTGTAACGCCGATTGTAGGTACACTAATATCTCACCAAATCTGGCTTCCACCTTGACGTCCACATCTTCATAAGAAACTTTGTACTTGAGCTGGTTCAGGATATCTACAAGCTGTTTTTCTGCTTCATCGATTGCGGCCAACATAGATGGTAAATGACACTCTGCATTTGCATCGATTTTTGCCTGAACTCCTTCTAGATGCAATGAATGGGAGTGAACGATATTTTCAATTTCTATTGAGGCTTTACCACTGATGGCTATAGCATGATCTTGCAGCATCTTGCGCTGACGCTCAACATCGGCCTCGTGGATTTCTAATTGATCCCGGAAACTTGCTAGCAGGTGAGTCAACTGAGAGCCTCTGTCGTCTACGTTTCCAGTCAGATCAGCTTGTAGTTCCGTCGGTAGTGTCACGTTCTGCGCAGGAACCAACAAGTTCTCTTTTAGCTTGGCTACACGGGCTTGTAAATGTGATACAACTTCTTCAACAGTCCCCAAACGCATGTCCACCTTTGATAGGAATGTTTGGGTTCCTTCAAAACGTCTTGTAAACCGTGCGTCCATGTCATTTGCCAGCTTCTGAAGCGCGGTGATTTGCCCGTCTTGACTGCACACTTTGTCCTCTAGATCCTTGAAAGTTGAAAGTCTGCCTTGCAACACTGAGATTTGATCTCTATTATCAATCAATTGCTGCCGTGTCCCAGCAAGCTCTTCGGATTGCTTCCTGGTGCTTCGCTCAACCGCAGCTAAGAATTCACGCAACTGTTTCATCTCGTGGCGGGCTGATTCAAGTAACTCGTCGTGTCGATCAACAGTTTCCTGGATGGCACCTAGGATAGCGTTGTGTCCTCTAAGAGTCTCCAAAAGAGTCGTTTCTGCCACGTATGGCATGCTGTGCTTTGTTGCTCCTACCATGTCGACGTGCGAACTCTCGACGTCATGCTCCATTTGCCTAAAAAAACCCACAGGCATCGACTGGCGAATTGCATCGTCAAGAAGTGATGTTTCAAGGCTGACAGGTTCAAGGTTAACTGAGTTCATCGCTTTGTCGATTGATAGGCGGCTTGAGACAACTAATACGAGGTATAATACTTAGCGCCTCTCTTCGTTGTACCGTAGGTACCCTACGGTAGGTACCTGGGGTACAAGTACCTACGGTACCCACGGTACCGTGCAGTACCTACTAGAGAGAGAAACCTACTAGCCTATCCTACCCTAGATATGTATCTCCAACTCTCTAAATTTGAGTCTATACATTGAGTGTCTATCGACGCTACGGTGTAAACTTGAACCAATTTACTATAAAACACTCTCGTAGTTCAACTTAGGTTGGCCCACTGGCAGCCTGAGCCTCTGGCTGCCAGTGGTGAGCTAGTATGCAATGGAAATACACGTCTAGTAGGATCCCAAGGTTCAACTGAGACGTATCCAAGCACAACCCGTACTTGTATTACCCGCCTAGGCTACTTCCCATCCTAGGGTACTCCGATATCCCCTTAGTAGGGGGAAGTCGCCTCTCACTCCTAACTATTATCATCCTGAGTCACTTTTATTGACGGACGCAATTCCCCGTCACAAACCCCATCAAACATGGGAGAACCTATTTCGTTAGACGACTACACTACGCTGCCGGGGACCCTAATTTCTCGGCGCGGAGGAGTCGTGGTCTATACTCGACAGGTATGTGCTTGGATCTGATGAGCTTGGTGCAATAAATGCACAATGCTGCTATGGTAGCTAGGTCTCTCGGGTGTCAATGTGACACGGGAGATGCCAACAGGAAGGACTCTCACTGACTCGGAGACGTGGGAGTGTGGGCCCGGGAACCCCCTCAGGCTACTACCTCCGAGTCCGAGTCGGCTACTCGGGCGACTACCCGGCTACTTCCAGTCCGTGCAGTCCGTGAGCGACCTCTAGGCTCGCTACCCCCCCCGGGCCCTGGGCATTTGCGTCCCGGAACTTGAACCCGACTCGGAATTGACCCGGACTATGGCTATCATGATTTCATTCAAGTTAGGAAAAAGACAAAATAGAGGGTCTAGGGCACCGATCATGATTGATAGGGTTAGCCGGAGGTCTGCAAGGGTTTTGTTGTGTTGCTCTCATACCACGTCGGCTAATGTGCGATTTGCATGTGATCTGCAAAACTTGGAACAGACACACAATCCCAATATCAAGCAATCACTATATACACATGCCAAGGCCATTTTATCTCTCCTGTATTACCGCTTTTGGGATATTCTTGCCGCTGTGTGGCGGCGTATTTCCTCTAAGCCGACAGGTCGGCGGTTGACATCTTTTGCCGACTCGTTATCATCCTCTTCCATGTCAGGTGGATACATGTAGTCTTGACTGGTTGCCGTCGTCAGGCTACGACTGGGCTCCAAGGTATGTCCTGAGGCGCATTTTTCTCGGCTACTGATACGACGGTTGAAGTCTGACATAATTTCAAGCGCGCGCTGTTCGATTAGCTCAGCGTAAGCCAAGATATTAGATTTGGTGACTCCTTGGCCAGAAAGAAGAGCAAGACTTCCACCCGACCGATTGAAAATGACTCTTTGTCCACCTTTATTTCCACTGGCGTCATGTGCAAGAGCAACAAGCTGATCACACTGTATTTTGAAAAAAAATGACTGAATCTTTCTTGCAATCTGCTCGAGGGCTTGCTGTGCCTCTAGCGCAGCGTATTTGCACTCATCTGCATTTTCTTTTGCGCTTCGCCACTTACCCTGTAAATCGGCCATCGCATCTGCGCGCTGCGTCTCCTCTTCACTTAATTTATCTTCATATGTGCATATCTCTGCTTCTAATCTTGCACGACGTTTAAGAGTCCAGTCGGTCTCCTGATTCTGAGCCTGGACATAGTTAAAAAGCGAAAACGCTTCTTCCTCTGATTTAACGTACTTGCGGACAATGTCCCCGAGCGCATTGATTCCACTAACACGCTTAAGCTCAGCGAACGAAGTTCGGTAGAGAAATATTTTATCTTTGGTGTGTTGCATGACTTCTTTTTCGTTTGCGATCTGCTTCGCGAGCTCTTCGACCAAACCTGCCTTCTTTGTCTCCTCTTCGATCGTCATCAACCCCCGCGTTAAAGGTTCCTCTCCTAGGCCATTGTTGTGCGTCACTGATGATGCTGCTGCTGCCGCCATAGACTCTTCAAACTCGCGGTTTTGCTGGTCAATAAATTCAGACAAAGATTTCATTTTCTTTGAGAAAGTTGCCCTATCTTCTGCCTGTGATTGATGTAGCTCGCGTAATTGCTTGACAACCTTGTCGCGCGTTTCAGATATCGCATAGCTTCGTTCTAACACCTTCTCGACGCGACAATTGACCTCTCGGATCGATTGCTCAATTTTGGCGCGAGATTTACCGGACGACATTCGATGTCTCCGCACGGAGTTTATCTGCAACCTGAGCTTTTCATTGTAGTTCTCTGATTGCGACAGCCTTATGTGCATATGATTCAGGCGATGCTCAAACGAAGATATCAATTTTTTCCTGGAAATCTCCGCCAGCTTCGAAGGATCAATACCATCTGTTCGAGCTTTGGCTGGCCTCAAGGTAAATCTGTGTTGATTCAATAAATCGACAGCCGTATTTTTCGTAGACAGGCGAAAATGTGCGATCTGTTCGTCTGCCTTTCTTAGTGCACCTTCTAAATCGCTTAACCTTTTTCGCTCAATGATCATCTACGTGCTACTGGATTAGGGTATTAAATGAGTTTCGTGTATGTCAACCTGTCGTGTATGCCAATCAGACTTGAGCTGCAGCGCATTCATTTCCAGGTTCATTCGCTTCTGAGTCGCGATTGTTGCCATCTTGACTAGCTCGACAAGGCGCTGTAAGATGGCAAGAGAAGCTGCAGATATGTATCTGCGCACCGCCTCGGGCTCTATTAATGGTACGAAATAATCGTATGACTCCTGCGGCGAGACGACGGAAATCACCCGCGCTCGATCGTTGGGGCTTCATACCCCTATGAGCTGGTTAAGTGAGAAGTGAGGTGGTCGATGGGCGCCCACTCTCTAATATTTCAAGTTGACTCCGACCGTGACTCGCACAACGACCCCCCCCTTACGTAACATGCCTAAGTCGCTGTCCCCGCCCCGATTTCGGTTGCAGTGAGGCTCCGCAGGGTTGTGACTTCTAAAGGGTCGCACTTGTCCTCAGTCCCGAAAGTCGTCGATTTATTTATGTCGCCGCGTACGCCGAGAACCTCGAATCGGTCTCTCGCGATGCTAAGACGGCCACTACGATAAGCCAAGATGACCGTAGCTTCGCCCGGTCGTACCAGGATAGCAGCCGCGCGGAGGGCAGCTTCTGCGCATGCCCGGCGAGATTTTGTGCGTACGAAGGTGGGGATTCGACTGTAGCTGGATCTTGGCGCTACGTGCGTCTTTTTTTATGCTGAAAAGCAGAGTATCCCGCATTTCCGGGCGCTCGGGCAGCCCAAGTGATGCACCTGCTTCAAGTATACGATACGGCTCAATTGCGCGGCTATATTCGCATCGTGCGGGAATATCTCGTATATTCGGCCTTTTCTCCATAGGCACGTTAGGTAGGGGGGGGGGGGTCTAAGTGCGGAGTCCGAGTCGGCGGACTCAGGCTTGGACTCCGAGTCGGAGTCTACACCGTGACCGTGACCGTTAGCCTGGGCTACTTCAGCATTTAAGAGGATTGAGGTCTTCCGGACGCCTGCCGGACTGCCAGTGTTACTAGGTCATTCAAGTCACCCGGGCCGTGACGGTCACGCTTGGCGTGTAAACTTTTTGTATTAAATTGCAGTATGGCGCGTAACAAATCACAGGTGCCCCGATTTTCACCGGGCAGCGGCTGGACCGCGGCAAAAATAAACACAACAGACAGTTTAAATTGCATGCAAAATGAAGAAAGTATATTCGTAGCGAGCCACTAGGTGTGACGATATTGCTACTGAGATACCGATCCTAGCTGACAGACCTGAGTCAGCCTCATATAAGTCCGGGACAGCCCTGGGGCCCTAAAAAAAGCTCCTCCTGCAAACAGAGGGCTGTTGAGGCCTCTACAACACGGGCGCCGCCGCGGGATCGGAACGACCCACCAATAGGATTTGAAGGGTGAACAAGAAGTTCCGGGGGTAACCCCACACCTTCAGGGGAATTACCAAAAGCCCCTTTGGCAGTGCCTGAGCAAGCTGATAACAGTTTGGCTCGCCAACAGCCCGGGCCTGAGATCATTATATTCCGAGTCAGCCTGAGGTTGATCTGCGACAGGTCGAACAGGATGTATTTATTTGGGAACTAAGCCCAGCTTAGGGATATAAATCCCCTGCTTCTTAACTGCCAAAGGCAGCTGGGTTGAACACCCGGAGCACCATAGACGTAAATACAAGGATACGTGGCCCATATCATAGGAGGTACCGCAGTATTCACTTAATGGGGTCGTAGGTGGAAACATCGCAAACACACAACGCACAAGAGCATCGACCAAGCTTTAGACCCGAGCATATGAGGTTCGCGGTTGTTCGCTCTAGTTGAATCGTATGGCATTTGTGCACGAGAACGATGTGCGGGCATGAATATGAAAGACTGGCTTTAAGATTCGCAGCGTCGAAAGATGGCGCTTTGGCGCAGGAGGCGGGCAGCTGTGCGATGCGTCACTTGGTGGAGAGTTGCTACCTGAGGCACGGAGACAAGTTCTGGGGAATGGAAGCAAACAAGCTCTGGCGAACGTGCACCAAGAAGATGAGAGCGAGGCAAAAAAGTCTAGTACGGCGGGGAAACTCTGCGCTGGGTACGCTTTTAACAAGGGAAATTTACAAATGCGCACGGAGGCTTGCACCAGAGCGACCACTCAGAAGGGAAGTGGGATCGCGAACTGTGGGAGATCCTGGATGGGGATGCTTGGCCCAGATTTTTCATGCCTGTCGATCAGCCGCCGAGCAGCACAATCCTTATTGGACAGGGGCTGGTAGTAGCCAAGACGAAAACATAAAAAAACCAGGGCCCGTGCCAACAAGATACAATACTTCCAGAGACGACCTCAGCCATCATGGCAATGCCCAAAACTACAGAAAGCAAGGTCAAGTGTTTGATTTTGGCATGGAAGACAGCAGGCCAGTGGTCGAGCTATTAGAAAAGGAGTGGCACAAAGTATCAGAGCCCTCTGAATCAGTACAGCTTGAACTCCAAAGCGAGTCGAAGTGCGTAGAACTTCAGCCCTCGCAGCAGGCTTTGCTGACAAATGCACACGAGGTGGGGATCAGAAGATTTCGTGAGGCTAAGTATCAGCCATTCAAGATCACTCCTAGTGGTGAAATTTGTAAATTACAGTCCTTATGGCGTGCCACTATCGCTCGTCACATGTGTAGCGCGGCACTCAAGGATAGATGCTCTCTTAGAGTAGCCATAACAGCTACACAGACCAAGTTCTTATATGAGTATACGACCAAGTGTTGTCAAACCACATCTTTAAGCAATTTTCGTGCGACCCGGACCCTGCAACAGCTTCGCAGGGACAAGAAAGCCAGAGAATTAAAATCACCGAGGTGTCAAGTGACTGCTACTTTTTGCCCTATATCCCTGGGGGGCGCAACCAGGACAAAGGCGAGTCGGCTGATGCGGGCACGTAAAACGGATGGCAATCTGCGGGCTGCTCTAGCTGCATCCGACACCACTATTATTAGGATGCAAGATGAGCTAAACCTACTTCACGCGACTCATACTGTTGTATTGGATGAAGTTCATAATCTGGTGAAGGCCACTCGCTCACTTTCTGCAATTATTGCTAATGGAGCCATATTTTCAGCCACCGCGTATAACTTCACACCAGCACGTGATGCTCTCAAGTCAAACGAGCCAAATGTTGCGCTCCCGATTCTCCGCAAGCTTAAAGTTCTGAGCGAGCGCCATATTGGTTGCTGCTTGAAAATGGTTCAAGTGGGAATGCCCTTTGCCCTTGTCCGCTTACTTGGTCAAGCAGACGACGCACGTGCACTACTTTCATTTGAAATCCTCGAAAATTTAGCAAAATGGCAAATTAGCGCCATTGCAGATACTGGCGTAGTTATTGCTCTCACGCGCACCCTCCTACTCAGCGTCACTCCCGAGGTTAAAGACCAGGCGGCACGCACTCTTGCGCTTTTCCAGCCAACTGAGTACTTCCAAAGTGGGTTCAGGTGCGCCATCTCCAACACAAACACAGGCATATTGCTAGTAGACAAGTTATTTCTTAAAAGAGCCGGTATTCACGAAGCGTTCCTCGCTAAAATTGACTGAAAAAAAATTGAATGAAAAAAACGAGGAAGCTGATTGTTGGTTCCATTAAAAAATACACTGCCTCACGGTGCACGACGACGCTTTTGGCGGCACGACGACGCTTTTGGCGCTGCTGCAGTCGACCACCGCGGCCAAGGCGGCGGCTCTGAAGGACCCATAAGGCCTTAGATACGGCTCTGACCACAGCGTGGTGCCGGTAGCATGGCTTCTAGGGAACTTACGCTGCGCCAGCTGTCACTAGGACAAACGACCCAAGTTCTGCATGCAGAAAAGAAGCGCAAAATTTGCGGCTTGGAGAAAATTGAGGCCTTGAGGTTCTTCCCTTGGGTTCTCGAGGACCTGGCCCGGCACGGACACCAAGCCAGGAGCGCCGTGCGTCGCGAACAAAAGTTGCCGATAGTGCCTGGATTTTAAAATCTAGTGAAGGAAGTGGATGCCTAAGTGAATGATCGTCCCCATAGGACGATGGCGGTGGACTGTCGGAGTCCGATGATTCTATGGGCCAGCGAGCAGGACGCCGGGGCGGCGGAGAGAGCAGGCCCGGGGGTTGACACTCTCAGGCTTGTCACTCCACAGGTCTAGCGACCTGCTGCGCAACATAAGCGAGTGCAATGGAAATACACGTCTAGTAGGATCTCAAGGTTCAACTGAGACGTATCCAAGCACAACCCGTACTTGTATTACCCGCCTAGGCTACTTCCCATCCTAGGGTACTCCGATATCCCCTTAGTAGGGGGAAGTCGCCTCTCACTCCTAACTATTATCATCCTGAGTCACCTTTAATTGACGGACGTAATTCCCCGTCACAAACCCCATCAAACATGGGAGAAACTATTTCGTTAGACGACTACACTACGCTGCCGGGGAAGTCCGGAGCTACACACTCTATTTCCCTATGCATCGCAGGTTATGGGCCCACGCTCTGCGTGGTGTCTAACGGAACTGTCCAGAGGCATTGAACAACCCTCCGGACGTTTTAAAACCTAACCTAAATCATTATAAAACATCACTAAACGTTATTCAATTACCAAACTCCACAAATTAATATATTAAACGCAAAACTCAGAAGGCTCGCAATCTCGAAATTAACATAAGATGGCGGAACCTCCTGTACCAGCCGACGGCAACCCTTCTACCTGAGAACCCCAGCGGGTATGACGACTGAGGTCATAGGAGGATCCCGTAAGGCATTAGCACTAAATATGTGGTAGAAATTACTAGAATGAGCCTGGGACTCGGAGTGTCTCATACTAAGTAATTACGCTTATTGAATGTAGTAGAAAGTCAGTAGAAAGAGGATAAGGGAACCTACTAGGGAGTAGGCCGACACCCTCACTAGGTTGCCATTAACCTGTTAATTACCCGTTATTAACCTATAATTACCCCTCGGAGGGGATCCGGGGTTAATAACCCGCTAACCCGACGGGTTTTCGACTAACCCGTTTAGTGAGTTTAGCGAAAGACCCCTCCGGGCGAGCGGATGGGCGCAAGCAGCCCGTTGGGCTTTTGGATACGTACAGGTGCGCCAGGGCAAGTACCAACTCATGTGGCCCGGCGCAGCCCAGGCCAGCGCCAGTGGCCCGTGAGGCCCCCTCCCCTACCCCTCTATAAGATCCCGGGGTTAATAACCCATACTAACGGGTAATTACCCGGGTTACTGACCCCGGGCCACGATTGGGGTTAATAACCCCTCGGGTAAATGGCAACCTAGCACCCTCACTGGCACCGACTCGGAGTTTTTTTTACAGTAAGATCCTGAGCGATCCTCCCCAAGGTAAATTCGTGCTGAATTACCCTGCGACACTTAATGCTGGAGCCGTGCCAGTGAGTACAGCTAAATTTGGCTGTTTTACCCCCCCCTTTTCAGCGTGAACGGCTCAAACCTGATGGCCAGTGAATATTGCCACCGTTCGGCACCTTCCGATTCCCGAGGGCGAAAGCAACCACACTTTGCCATATAACAATGGGGTCTCGCTTCACGTAGGTCCTGTCCGCGTCCTTGGGGGCTGCGCAGAAGCTGAGATCAAAACTATTCGCGTGCTATGCGTCGGTGCGATCGGCCGCACGAGCTCCGCACGGAGCTCTGCACGGCCGCCGGATGCTGCCAAATCACCTCACTCGCTGGTCAGCGTCGATAGACTCCCTTCCCGCGCGCGGGCGGGACGCAGCAGGCGCGCATCGGCGGCACCGGCAGCCAAACGAGACACTCATGATGCTGGCTCGTAGTTTTACCCCCCCTACTTTTCCAAAAACCACATCGCAGAGAAAAAAGACATGCGATCGTCTTTTTTGGCGCCGTTTCGAGCCGATCGGGACTCTCCGACAAAGTTATTATTTTTAGATGCAGCCGAACTCCAGTCATCAGGCAGCCTCGCAGCCCGCTGTGGTGGTGCACCACAGAGCCACTTTAGCCTGTCCCGCCATAGCTTTTACGATTACCGCCGGCTGCTCGTCTAGATACCTGACCACGTTGGTGATAGGTTTCTCGTTACTAGAGGGCAAGGGCAAGATTTCCATCTAGATTTCCCGCACTGGGCACCTCAAAGCAGAAATTTCAAGTCAAAGTGCAAGCGGGGATGTCGAATTTCGGGTTGAGGGTTCACTAAGGTACCGCATGCCAGCCTGAGTGTCGGTCCCGTGACATTACTAGTTGTATATGAAGCATGTCAACTCGTCAAGTTAGCTACCGCTATGTTAGTGTTTGCCCGTTGACTGCAAACTTAAAACGTCCCGCTCCCACCACTCATCATGGCGGCCGGGCCGAAGCAGGCCGCCATCCACGTGGGCGACCGCGTCGCGGTCCGACTCGACGCCAAGTCCACGGAGGAGTCCCGGGGTGAGGTGCGGTACGTCGGGCCCAGCGGTGCACAGCGCGCGGTTGTGGGCATACGCCTGGACGAGCGCAAGCGGGGCCTCGGGGATGGCAAGCGGAGCAGCGGCGAGCGGCACTTCCGCTGCGAGCCGGGCCACGCCATCTTCGCGAGCCCCTCGCAGTGCCGGCTCGTCGCGCGCGCGCCGCGGCGGGACCGCCGCGCCGCGGGCAAGGAGAACGAGGCGGCCCCGGCGCCCGCGGCGGCGGCGGCGCCCCCACCGGCGCCGCCCTTCGACCTCGAGGCCGAGTTAGAGGCCGTTGTGGGCCTGGCGGGCGCCAAGGATGCGCTACGGAGCCTGCGGAACCGGCTCGTCGTCGGCAAGAAGCGCGCGGCGCTCGGCGTCGTCGACGCGCCGCCGCGCCTCTACCTGCTGGTGGGGGCGCCGGGGGCCGCCTTCGGCGCCGTGGCCCGGGCGCTGGCCGGCCTGCTCGGCGACCTGGGCGTCGTCGGCGCGTCAAAGGTGGCGCGGGAGGAGGCCACGAGGTGGAGGTGCGGCGGCCGCGGCGACCGCGACCGCGCGGCGGCCGCGGCCCGGGCGGCCGCCGACGCCCTCGACGCGGCGGGGGGCGGCGTCCTCCTGGTTGGGGGCGCGGGCGACCTCTGCGACGGCGACGGCCAGGCGGCGGCGCTGGACGCTCTCTGCGAGGGGTGGCGCTCGGAGCGGACGGTCCTCGCGGTCGCGGTGGACGAGCCGCGGCGCGCGGCGCTCCTCCGCGCGGCGCCGCGGCTGGCGGCGGCGCGGCCCGTGGCGCTGGAGCTGGCCGACTACTCCGAGGCGGAGCTGGCCGAGCTCGTGCGGCGCGACGCGCGGGCGCGGGGCTTCGCCGTGGACCCGGCCGGGGACGGGCCGGACTGGCTCGTGCGGAGCCTGGCGCCGCGCCGCGCGGGCGCCGGCGAGGGCGAGGGGGGCGTGATCCTGGCGCGGGCGTGCGTGGACGGCGCGCTCCGGAGGCAGACGGACCGCGTGTACGCGAGCGGCACGGCGTCGTCCGAGAGCCTGCTGCGGCTCCGGCGCGCCGACTTCGAGGACGACGGCGCGCGGGCCGACGCGGGCGCCGCCGCGCTGGCGGCGCTCGACGGCGTCGTGGGCCTCGCGGGCGTGAAGGAGCACGTCCGGGCCCTGACGGCGCAGGTGCGGCTGGACCGGGAGCGGCGGCGGCACGGCATGCCCGTGGAGCGGGGCGCGAGCCTGCACTGCGTCTTCCGGGGGCCGCCCGGCACGGGCAAGACGACGGTCGCGCGGCTGCTGGCGCGGGCGCTCGGCGCGCTCGGCGCCGTGCGGGCGGGCGACCGGGTCGTCGAGTGCGACCGGGGCGCGCTCGTCGCGCCGTACATGGGGCAGACGGCGCTCAAGGTCCGGGAGGCCTTCGACCGCGCGAGCGGCGGCGTGCTGTTCGTGGACGAGGCCCACGCGCTCGTGGAGAGCGACAAGGACGCGTTCGGGCGCGAGGCCCTCGACACGCTCGTGAAGCTCCTCGAGGACCGGCGGGGCGACGTCGTCGTCGTCCTCGCGGGGTACTCCGCGGAGATGGCCGCCCTGTTCCGGCGGAACCCCGGCCTGGCGTCGCGCTTCCCGCACGTCTTCGACTTCGAGGCCTACACGGCGGCGGAGCTGGGGGCCATCGCGCGCGGGCTGCTCGCCGCGCGGGACCTCGAGCTCGCGCCCGGCGCCGGCGCGGCGCTCGACGAGGCGCTCGCGGCCGCGGGCGGCGGCAACGGCCGCGCCGCGCGGAACATCGTCGAGGCGGCCGCGCGCCGCATGGCGCGGCGCCTCGACGGCCGGCTCCGGGACCGCCGGACGGTCCCGCCGGACGAGCTGCGCCGCCTCCTCGCCGCCGACTTCCACCCCTAGGCGGACCGGACCGCAACCAACCCCGGGGACAACGATTAATCTATCGCGATTACTTCACCGCCACGGCGTCCGCGGCGGCGAGCGCCGCGTCGATGTCGGCGTGGAACTCGGCCTCGAGGGGCGCCAGGGGGGGCCGGATGCCGGTGGCGAGGCCCCGGGCGCCTGCGTGGAAATCAACCGGCGTGTCGGGCGCACCGTCGAGCGGCGAGGACCCGACATGGCCACGCCATCGAGCAGATATCAGGACGAACGCGCCGTGCACTTGATTTCCTCGCGGCCGCGCGCGGTGCAGCGCGTACTTCACCGGGATGGGGTTCGCCTGGCAGAACAGCTTCTCGTGGAGCGGCCGCAGCGAGTCGTCGATGGCCCGCGCGGCGGCGCCCGCCGGCGCCCGCAGCATGCGCGCCATGGCGGCCGGCGCGACGTTCGCCGTGACCGAGATGACGCCGTCGCCGCCGAGCTCGACGAACTCGCGGCCCATGGCGTCCTCGCCCGAGTAGAGCAGGAGGTCGCCGCCGCAGGCGTCCCGCAGCGCCGCGACGCGTCCGTTGTCGCCCGTGGCCTCCTTGATCCCCCTGACGTTCGGGTGCGCTGCCAATCGCGCGACGGTCTCGGGCAGCAGGTCGACGCCCGTGCGTCCCGGCACGTTGTAGAGGACCATGGGCAGGTCGACGGCCTCGGCGACCGCGAGGAAGTGCGCCTCGAGCGCGCGCTGCGGCGGCTTGACGTAGTACGGCGTCACGACGAGCGTGCCGTCCGCCCCCAATGCTTTCGCCCGCCGGCCCATGGCCACGACGGCGCGCGTGTCGATGGCGCCCGTGCCGGCCACGACGGGCACGCGGCCGCGGCACGCGTCGACGCACGTCTCGAGCACGCGGTCGCGCTCGGCGGCGTCCAGCGTCGAGGCCTCGCCCGTCGTGCCGAGCGCCACGACGCCGTCCGTGCCGCTCGCGACGTGCCACTCGAGGAGGTTGCGCAAGGCGCCGTAGTCCACGGCGTTGGCCGCGTCCATGGGCGTCACGAGCGCGACGTAGCTCCCGCGGCCGAGCTGGACGGCGGCGGCCACGACGCCGGGCCAGAGCATGATGAGGCGACCGCCACGCATAGCAATTTGCTCTAAAACACTCTCGTAGTTGGGCCCTGCTACTGCGGTACCGCGTTCTATGGGTAAAGCGCGCGGGCCGCGCGGCGAGCGTAGACTAGTGACAGAGACGCTAGCAAAGAGACAAAGGTACCAGCCGCTAGAGGGCGTACGGGCACCCAAGCGGCCGTCGGCAGCTTTCCTTTTGCGCGCAGGCGCAAAATTGACCGAGAACGACGGAAAACGTTAGCAATTTTAGACGATGCGACGCCGACGCGAGAGCTCCCTTTCAGAGCTCCATCCTCCCGCTTTAGAGCCCCGAGACGGGTAAAAAAAAAAAACTTAAAAAAAGTACTATATCGCGGCGACGGTGTGCATATGGCCTTGACGCAGCCGTTGAGCGTCGTCGAGCCGCGAGGGAGCCTCTCATACCCTACCGACCAGCGTCCGCCTTTGGTTCCAGCGAAAACCGCCGGGAAATGAGCCATAGTGCCCCCGTTCGCGACCGTGTTCGGGAACGAATGGATGAAAATCTACGCGGTGGATTTGTAACTTTCTCATAGCAAAGTTCACGCAAATGCGGTCCTGAGCCCCTGTGTCGCGCTCAGTTACAAATCCAACGAGAGGGGGCCGCGGGGCGTCGATCGTCGAATGGAACCGCCGACCGTGGCTGCCCTTCCCGAGCACCGTTGCTGCTGAAACTTGGCATGCGAGGCCGTCATGGGGGCATGCCTCTGCCCCCGGGGCGGTGCTGGTGGCGGTGCACCCGCTGGGTCGCACTGGCATCCGCCTCTAAAACACCAAAAGGAGACATACATCTGCGGGGTAAAAGTAGCCTGGTTCCTCCGGTGCTTCTGCTCCCTCCCGTGTATAGCATATGCCCCATGGTCTATGGCTGTAAGACAAAGCTCAAGATAAATCACTGGCGATCTCCTTTCGAAAGATAAGTATGGCAGACCTGCTGGCGCCGCCGGCGCCGCCGCCGCTAGCTCCCGACGAGCGCCGGAAATTGTTGAGCGCGGCGCGGCGCCATCGAGCGGCCTGGCTCGACGACCTGTGCGTCGGCCTGGCCGCGACGCGGCGAAGCAGGGAGTGCTCGCTCGTCGACGCCATTTGCGCCGACGCGATCCCGTCGGCGGGCGCGGTGGTACGGGCGCTCTGCAAGGCCGCCGGCGACGACGGGGCGGTCCTGCCGCCGGGAGCCTTCGTGGCGGACGCGCTGGACCTCGCGCGGGCGCAGCCGGACGCGACGCGGGAGGGGGCCGCGGCGCTCGCCGAGGCGTTGAAGCACCCGCGGCACGCGGAAGCCGCGCGCGCTCTCGAACGAGGTGGGCGCGGGCTTGGCGACGTCGCCGAGCTCGCCGCGCGGCTGGCGAACGAGGTGGGCGCGGACGTGGAGGCCGCCGAGGCGCTCGTGCGGAGGGCGCGGGCGCTCTACGGCGACGCGGCGGCGGCCGCGACGACGACGGTCGCGGCGGCGCCGGCGCCGCGGGCCGCACAGCAGCGAAATCGGGTGACGGCGCGCGCCGTCCGCGCGCGGCGTACTGGCACGAGCTCCTCTCCTTCATGAAGTGCCCATGTTTAGACCCGTGTTTGTAATCATAATTATTTGCTCTATCGTTTCTTGACGTCTCTTTTTAAGCGCCGGCTGGGTATCCTAGCCGCGCAGGGAGAAGGCCTCTAGAGGCTTGGTGTATGTCCTTTTCCTTTAGGATATTCCTTCCTTCCTTAATTATTTGAATGCTCGGCTTTTACGAAAGAACGTGACACGTTCCTTGAACGATTATACGAGTTGCACCCTATCGCGCGTGGTTTGAGCCCCGAAGGTCACTGCGACTTCTTCAAGTTAATGCGTGACGATTTACCTCACGAGACTGAGAATACTGTGTATAGATACCTTTCTGCTATTTCGAAGCTCCGGTTGGGCATCCTGACCGAGCAGGGAGAAGGCTCTTAGGAGCTTGTTCCTTTTTTTAGGTCTTCCTTAATTTATTTATTTATTTATTTATTTATTTGCTTTGCTTAGAGCTAGGCCGCCTAGCTACCTTATTTATTTATTTATTTATTTATTTATTTATTTATTTATTTATTTATTTATGTATTCATAATTAATTCCTCCTCCGAGTCGAATCTAAAGGCGTCCCGCCGACTTCGCGCACACCGAGAGGGGGCCGCCGCCAAGGGGCCGGACCCCGATTGCATCGGGGGCTGTGGCGCCTCCCCGTCCATAGCCCGAACGGGGAATCTTACTGCGAATGACCCCAGTGGTTGCCCCACATTCTGGCAGAGGGTGGGGCCCTGAACAAGCGAGGGGCCGGAAGCCGCACCAGGCGACGTTTGGGCAAACAAACCTACACTAAGAGCCGCCGTAGCTTGCGAATCCTACCGGCCAGGGGCACCAAAGGCGGTCGATCTACGCTATCGACGTAGAAACCCGCGAGCTCTGGAGGCTCGGGGCTCAATCGCCAGTGATTTATCTTTAGCCTTATTTTACTCTGCAGCCAAATGTGCTCGTCAGGTAAGCCCAAACAGCGACGTCGATCACCAGATTTCGGGCACCCCTCACCCCGCGAGAGGGGGGCGCCCTCGGGGCGAACTAGGTACTCGTACTACTAGTAGGATGCCTTAGGACCGCGGCTTCTCCTTCTTCTCCTTGTAGAGCGCGAGCAGCGACACGCCGGCGACCTTGGCGATCTTGAAGCGCACGCCGGGGATGTCGCCGACGGCGTGGCCGCGGCGGCCGAAGCCCGCGACGAGGACCTCGTCGTTCTCGTCGACGTAGTTGAGGCAGCCGTCGCGCGGCACGAAGGCGGCGATCTTCTTGCCGTTCTTGATGAGCTGCACGCGGACGCACTTGCGGATGGCCGAGTTGGGCTGCTTGGCCTCGATGCCGATCTTCTCGAGCACGATGCCCTTGGCGTGCGACGCGCCGCCGAAGGGCTTGGCGTACTGCGAGATGTTGTGCGCCTTGGCGTACTCCTTGTTCGCCCACTTCTGGAGCCGCCGGTGGTTCTTGAGCTTGCGCCCGGCGCGCAGGCCGTTCGGCTTGCCCTTGCCCATGGTCCGCGCGGCGCCTGCGTTGTGATTTGAACGAGTGAGCGTCGCGGCCTCGACGGCGGCCCCCCTTGTGGCTGATGCAGCGCGCACGCGCCGCCCGACGCCCGCGCTCGACCCTGTGGCCTCTCGCGCACGGCCGAGCGAGCCGGAGCCGGAGCTCGACCGTGCCACTGCCGGCGACGACGGTCTCAAGCGCGAGCGAGCTCGCGCCGCCGGCGCCGGCTTTGAGCGGGCACGCGCCGCCGCCACTTTGGGGAGGCGCAATGAGCACGCACAAACCGTAGCGCAACCGCGGCGCAAGCCTCTCTCGCGGGCGTCCTCGGGAAGTCACAGCTCGTCCCGACGCGGCGCTCGCGCTGTCAGCGGAAAGCTTAGGCTGTCGCCTAAAGCTTTAGGCGCTCGCTACAAGCTCGTACAAGCGACTACTAGTAATACTAGTAGCAAGCTCGACAGGCAGCCGTTTTTGGGCAGCACGTCTCGACGCGCTACGCGCGGAAGAGGGATTCAGACGACGCGCAGCAGTGCGGACAGCAGCGATGACGTTGTGAAAAACGAGTCCGGGGGTCCGAGCGCACAGCCCTCAATTTACCTTGGTACCGGCTGGAGCTGCCGGCGCGGCGCCGACGGGACGGATTTAGCAGGTAGGATAGCAGGTTAGCAGGTAGAGACGGAGACGAATTGGATGTATGCGGGCGTGCGACTACGCACGGGCTCGAGCACGCGGACGTGAACGTCCTCACCGGTATCGGGCGGCGGCCTCTGAAAGCTCTCTGAGACTAGCGGTCGCGTCGGAGCTACGCCGCCGAAGCCGACGTTCGGGAAGAAATCAAGAAAAAAAAGTAATGCTACCACATTATCAATATTCATATAATGTGCCGGGTTCCAGGTCCGGAATACAAATCTGCAGAGTGATATTTTTACTTGTAATAATTCTTACCCGACGGCCGTGCCTACGCCTGACGCTGCGGTCTACATGCACGGTGTTCGACCTAGTAGAGCGGCCGGCGTCGGCTGCTGCGCGCGTTTGTTGTTTTACCTGCGGGTTTTGATATAAGTATCAAAATATTTCATTCGGGCGGCGGGGGCGGTCCCGAGCGGGGCGTCGCGTCGGCGGCGCCACCGAGAGCCAGACAGAAGAAGGACCCGACGCGACGAACGGGGCCGTCGGCCGTCGTGGGCTCGGGCGTGGGGTGCCCGCCTCGCGCGCCGGCCGTGCCGCGTCGGCGGGCGTGCCGGCGGCGTCATCCTCGCCGCGCCGCGCGCCCGGGCGGCGCCGCGCGCGCGGGACGCGCACTCCGCCGCGGCGCGACTGCGAAGTTTAGGGCAAGAACGAAGCAGCGGTGTGTGTAGGACGTCATGGTGATTTCGACGCGGTGTGGCGCGCGAGTGGGTGACGTTATACGGCCCCGTTAGAGCGCCTTTTAGGCGCTGGTGCTGGCGTTGGTGTCAGGGCTTGAGTGCAGGCGCGGCGAGGGTGCCGAGCCGATGCGCTGGGCGGCGAGGTGCCGTCGGGTGCTGCCGCGGCGTGCTGCGTCCTCCGCGGCGCGGGGGCTGCGATCACGCTGTTATACGGCGTCTCAGTGGCATTCACGATGAGCAAAAAGGCCAGACTTGCCTTACTGAAATTCTCTCAGGAGGCCTCCGCGGACCAAGACCCATCCGTGCCGGGGCCTAGCAGGACGCCTCTTTGGCCGTGCGTCCGAAAGTACGAGCCTGTACGTCGTCCGCGAGGCATAGAGGTTCTAGCTTCTAGCGGCGCCGAGACACCCCGGCCGCGAGCGCGCGGCACCTGAAGAGTCCCGCCGACCGGAGGCGGCACCTGGAGGACGCCGTCCCGCCGAACGCGAGGAGGCGAAAAACACGCACATGGCGGCGCAGACCAGCGCCAGCGAGGACGAGGAGGACGACGCGAGCGCGGCGCCGGGCGCGGCGCCCGGCGCGCCCCCCGGCTATGCCTGCCAGCACTGCCGCGCGCTCTGCCCGTACAACGCGCGGCGCTGCGGCGCGTGCGGCCGCGGCGTCCGCTACGCGCCCGCCGCGGGGCCCGAGGCGGAGGACGGCGACGACGACGCACGGCGCGCGTCGGCGCCGCCGTCGGCGCGGCGCGCGGCGCCGGGCCGGGCCGGGCCGCGGCTGAGCCCCGTCGGGGCCTTCGACGCGCGCGAGGTCGCCGCGCACCTGAGCGCGCTGCGCTGCGAGCAGCTCCACCGCGCGCTGCGCCAGCTCGTGCAGCGGCTCATGCAGCACCCGCTCAACCAGAACTGGTTCAACGAGCCCGTCGACCCCGTCCGGCTGAACCTGCCGGACTACTTCGCCATCGTCCGCGAGCCCATGGACCTCGGCACGGTCAAGTCGCGGCTCGCGGCGTTCGCGTACAGCGACGTGCCGGCGCTCGCGGCGGACGTGCGCCGCGTCTTCGACAACGCGCAGCGCTACAACCCGCCGCGCAACGCCGTGCACCGCGCGGCGGCGGAGCTCGCGCGCGACTTCGACGCCGACCTCGAGCGCGCGCTGGAGCGCTGCGCGCGCGCGAGCCAGGCGGCGCACGAACACGCGTGCGGCCTCTGCCGCGGGCGGCGCTGCGCCCTCTGCGGCGACAAGTGCATCACGCTCGAGGCGCCGGCGCTCATCTGCTCGGGCCCGTGCCAGCAGCGCGTGCGCCGCGACCAGCAGTACCACGCGACGCGCGACGGGAGCCGGCTCTGGTGCCACAAGTGCTACCTGGGCCTCAAGGCGGTCATCCCGCCGCCGGCCGACGCGCACGCGCGGCCGCGGGCCCAGGACGCGGCGCACGCGCAGGCCACGGGCCTCTGGTACAAGCGCGACCTGATCAAGCGGCGCTTCGACTGCGACGTGCACGAGCCCTGGGTCCAGTGCGACTGCTGCCTGCGCTGGGCGCACCAGGCCTGCGCGCTCTTCAACGCCAAGGCCGAGCGCGACGCGCGGGGCGCGGCCGGGGCCTTCGTCTGCCCGCTCTGCGAGCTCCAGCACGCGCACCTGCCGCCGCGGGGGAAGCGGCGGCGGGGCGACGGCGCGGAGGCCGCGGCGCCGCTGCGGCTGCGCGCGCTGACGAAGACGCGGCTCGCGCTCGAGGACGACGACGACGCGGCCTCGGACGACGACGGCGGCGGCGGCGGCGGCGGCGCGCCGCGCGCGCGGCCCGCGCCGGCAACGGGCGCGCGGCGCTGCGACGACACGGTGCTGCGGTCGTTCCCCGCCCCGGGGCCGCTGCTCGAGCTGCGCGAGGGCGACGCGTGGCACGGCCCGCCGCCGCCGGGGCCGCCCGAGGCCGCGCCCGGCGCCGTCGCGGGCGCGCGGCGCCGGGCGCCGGCCGCGCCCGCGCGCTGGTGGCGCGCGGCGGACCTCGCGGACACGCGGATGACGGCGTTCCTGCAGGCGCGCGTGCGCCAGCGCATGGTCGAGCTGGGCGGCGCGGCGGCGGGCTTCGCGCCGACCGTGGCCGTCAAGCTCGTGAGCTGCGTGCCGCGGCGGCTCCGCGCGCCGGACATCCTGCGGGAGCACTTCCGGGGGCGCGACGGCGCGGCGCTGCCCGAGTTCCTCAAGTACGAGTCGCGGGCCGTCGTCCTCTTCCAGAAGCTGGACGGCTGCGACGTCATGGTCTTCTCGATGTACGTGCACGAGTTCCCGACGGCCGCGGGCGGGCCCTCGGCGGGGCGCGTCTACGTCGCCTACCTGGACAGCGTCGAGTACTTCCGGCCGCGCACGGCGCGCACGGAGGTCTACCACGAGCTGCTCGTGGCCTACCTCGACTGGTCGCGCGGCCGCGGCTTCGACGCGGCGCACATCTGGGCCTGCCCGCCGCAGCGCGGCAACAACTTCATCTTCTGGTGCCACCCGCAGCACCAGCGGACGCCGTCGCGCGAGCGGCTCACGGAGTGGTACCGGGCGATGGTCGCGCGCGCGACGGCGACGGGCGCCGTGCGGCGCGTCGCGACGCTCTACGACGAGTGCTTCGCGGCCTGGGACACGACGCGGCGGCGCCACAAGCCGCAGCACGCGCAGCGGCCGGCGGTCTGGGTCGACAACGCCGACGCCGACGAGGGCGCCCCGGCGCCGCGGCTGCCCGTCTGCCCGCCCGTCTTCGACGGCGACTACTGGCCCGAGGAGTGCGGGCGGCTGGGCGGCCTGATCGAGCGGCGGCGGGGCCTCTTCGGGGGCAACCACGCGCTGCGGTCGCAGACCGAGGGCGCGCCGGAGCACCAGCTCGAGGGCCTCGTGCTCTCGCTCAAGGCGCAGCCCGCGGCGTACCCCTTCAACCGGCCCGTCGACCCCGAGGCGCTGGGGCTCAAGGACTACCGGACCGTCTGCCCGCACCCGATGGACCTGGGGACCGTGGCCACGCAGCTCCAGGCGAAGCGGTACGCGACGCCCGACCGGGTCGTGGCCGACGTGCGGCTCGTCTTCCGGAACGCCTCGCGCTACAACCCCCCGGGCCACCCGGTGCACGAGGCCGCGCGGACGCTGCTCGCGCACTTCGAGCGGAAGCTGGACCAGCTGCTCGAGCGGCTCGTGAGCACGGGCGCGGCCGAGTCGCCGGACGCGTGGCTCGCGGGCTACCCCCTGGACCGGGCGGCGGCGGACGCGGAGGACCGGGCGCCGTCCGTGCGCGCGCGGCTCCTGCCGGAGCTCGCCGGCAGCGTGCACCGCATGAAGGAGTCGCTCTTCGTGCTCTACCTGCAGGACGGCCGCGCGGACGCGTCGGGCGAGATCCGCGACCCGGACGCGGGCCTCCGGCTGAGCTGCCCGCTGCTCGACTCGCGCCACACGTTCCTGGAGATGTGCCAGTTCTGGCACTACCAGTTCGACTCGCTGCGCCGCGCGAAGCACTCGACGGTGATGCTGCTGTACCACCTCCACGTGCCGCGCGCGGAGTCGCTGGGCATCAGCTGCGCGGCCTGCGCGCGCGAGATCCGGCGGGTGCGCTGGCACTGCGCGACGTGCGTCGACTTCAACATCTGCCGCGCGTGCGAGCGCGAGCGCGGCGCGGCGCACCGCCACGCGCTGACGCCGTTCCGCATCACGTTCTCCCGGCGGCGCGCGCTCGCGCCGGAGCCGGCGCGGATCGACCGGGCGGTGGTCGCGGTCGACGCGGAGGAGGAGGACGACGACGAGGAGGACGAGGAGGACGAGGACGACGAGGAGGACGACGAGGCGGAGGAGGAGGCGTAGCGCGCCCCGCTCCGGGGGCGGGCACGACGACCGAGCAACTTTGAATAACTACTAGATAAATAAATAAATAAATAAATAAATAAAGGAAGACCTAAAAAAAGGAACAAGCTCCTAAAAGCCTTCTCCCTGCTCGGTCAGGATACCCAACCGGAGCTTCGAAATAGCAATAAGATAACGATACAACGGATTTTCAATCTCCCGGGGCAACTTATCCCCCATGACCAGCCGACAACGGTACTCGTCATTCAATTGCCGTGCGAGGGGGCAAACCGAATATAGTCTCGAAAGAAATACCTTGCGTTCTTCCTCAAAGGCCTCGCACTCAAACAACGTGTGTTTCTTTCGAGACGCGGGGTCTTTTGACCGGCCAAGACCGATCGAACGCAACGACATGATGCCGAAGGACGTCGCAAACGCTGTTCGCGTGCGTAGGTCCCGTGGGAACGACAACTGCCCCCAGCCCGCGGCCAGGATGGGCGAGGGGTCGCGCCGCCCCCCTACAACGACTAGACTCTCATGATAACTACCCCTTTCGGGGTGCAGTAACTAATTTTAAATAAATAAATAAATCGGCGGCCGGCCGCGCCGGCCGGCAACAACCACAAACTAAATATATTACAAACCTCCAGGCTTCACCCGAGCGGCAGGAGCACGTCCACGGAGCTGCGGAGCGGCCGGCGGCCGGGGTGCGTCCGCAGCCATACGCCCAGGCACGCGAAGGCGACGACGGCCTCGCGCGGCGAGAGATCCGCCAACGCGTCCGCCACCATTTCGGGCAGCGGGAGCGCCAATCGGACGCCGACGGGCACCAACGCGTACGCGCCCACGAGGACCAGCACGAGGGCGACCGACGCCGACGTCACGTGGCGGCCGCGCCGCGCGAACTTCCGACCCCGCGACGACGCCCTCCGCGCGACCGCGGGCGGGGCCACGGCCGCGGCGCCGCCCGCGAGTTCGCCGCGCTCGAAGTCGTACATGCGCTTCCGCCGCGGGTCGACGACGAGCATGAGCCGCCAGACGACGCGGAACGCCGCCGCGTCGTCGTCCCGGCCGCCGCGCAGCGAGTGGAAGGCGACCTCGACGTCAACGAGCGGCCCCGTGATCTCCGCGACGCGGCACCGCATCTCGTAGGCCTCGCCCTCGAGCAGCTCCGCGTCGAAGCGGGCCTCGAGGCGGCTCGCGAAGAACATGACCCGGAAGTAGTGCTCGAGGTGCGCCAGCCCCGACGCGTGCACGAGGTTGTAGAAGCCGCGCTCCGAGTCGCGCACGATCTCCCGGACCGTGAAGTGGCGGTTGTAGTCCGTCTGGGCGAAGGCGACGCGCGGCCCCGGCACGACGACGACCCGCTCCAGGTCGACGGCCGTCGGCGCGTCGAGCAGGAAGCGGAAGAGCCCGTCGCGCCACTGGATCCGCAGGTAGTGGAAGAGGCCCCGCCGGGCCATGTAGACGACGCCGCGCGCCGCCTCCGCGAGCAGCGACCGCGCCGCCTGCGGCGCCTCGGCGCCCGCGAGCCGCGCGTCCACGATGCGCTGCAGCGCCTCCCGGTCCACGTGCGCGAAGCGGCCCGCGGCGGGCGCGGCCGCCGTCGCCGCCGCCGCGCGCACCGCATCCACCAGTCCGCCGAAGTCCGCGTCCGCGAGCCGCGCCGCGTCGAGCGCCACGCCGAACCTGCGCGGACATCAACGTCTGCGGCGCCCTCGCGTCGCCGACGGGACGTCTGCTCGCGGCCGCGGGCGGCTGACGTCCACACCGGTGCCACGCGCGGTTGATCTTCCCCACGAGCTCGACCGCGCGCAGCGAGTGGAGCCCGTTGTCGAAGAGCGACTTGGCGCCGTCGACCGGCGCGCCCGCGACCTGCGCCCCGAGCGCGAGGATCCGGCCCCGCAGGTCGCCGGCGCCGGCGCCCGCCGTCGGCGGGGGCCGCGCCGCGCCGCCGGGGCCGGCCCCGGGCCGCGCGTCGGCCACCCGGGCGAACCGCGCGCCCTGCAGCGTGGCGACGAGGGTGCCGTCGCGCGTCCGGAGGGCGACGTCGCAGGCCAGCGCCGCGTCGGTCGCGGCCGTCAGGCGGCCCGTCGCCACCGCGAAGGCGGGCGCGCGCGCCGCGTCGAGCAGCTCGCAGCGCTCGACGCCGACGGGCACGAACGTGGCGCCCCTCAGCGCGTGTAGGGCGCAGACGGCTTGGAGGGGCGCGTCCATTAGGGCCGCGACGCTCTCGGGCCGGACGTCGACGGCGAAACTCCGATCCGCGAACCAGCGCACGCGCTCGACGCACTCGAACGCCGCCGAGTAGCGCAGCCCGATGCTCGCGCAGCGCCGGTAGTGCAGCGCCTTGCCCGCCTCGTCCAGCACGTAGGTGCAGGTTGGCGCGCACGTCGCGAGCTCCACGAGCGCGGCGCCGGCGTACAGGCACGTCGCGCACGTCTCGGCGCCGGCCTCGACGGCGGCGCGCCCCCGGTCCAGGCTCAGAACCAGCGGCGCGCCGGCGTCGCGGACGCCCCGCAGGAACCGCGCGCGCCGCAGGCCGACCGGCGCGTCGGACGCGGCCGTCGCGAGGAGGCAGAGCCAGCCCGCCGCGGGCAGCACGGGCGAGCCGCCGACGTCGTGGCCGTCGACGCCCAGCCGGCGCCACGTCGACGGAGGCAGCGGCACGCGGAGCCGGGCCCGCGAATAGCGCCAGCGCTGGGCCGCCGCGTGGCACGCGGCGTACGCGCCGGCGTCCGCCACGGCGGTCCGCGCGCGTGCCGGGCAGAGGGCCGCCTTGCCCTCCAAACTCGCCTGGAGCAGGCCCCGCTGGGTCTTGCCGGTCACCGTCTTCGGCAGCGCCGGCACCGCGATGACCGCGCCGGGCTCGGCGTGGCCGCCGACGGCGTCCCGCGCGCTCTCGCGCCACCGCCGCAGCAGGTCCGGCGCGGCGGCCCCGGGGGCCAGCACGACCCAGCCGACGGGGACCTGGCCGCCGACGGCGTCCGGCCCGCCGACGACGGCCAGGTCCCGCGCGGCCCCGCCGGCCGCGGCCCACGCGGCCCGCTCGAGCTCCTCGACGCCGACGCGGACGCCCGCCACGTTCAGGACCTCGTCGCGGCGCCCGTGGAACGTGAAGGCGCCGTCTCGATGGGCGCGGGCGCCGTCGCCCTGGACGAAGCGCCCCCCCCGAAAGTACGCCGCGTACCTCTCAACATCGCCGCGCCACTCTGAACATCCGTAGCCCTCGGCCGCGAAGACGGTCCGCGCGAGGCCGGCGTAGGGCGCCGTGAGCACGAAGTCGCCGAGGCCCGCGCCCTCGACGGCCGCCGACACCCACGGCACCGGCCAGCACTTCGCGTCGGGCGCGGACCGCCCCGACGGGTCGCGCGACGCGACGATCGAGCCGTGCTCCGTGGCCCAGTACGAGTTGACGAAGGGCGCCACGACGTGCCGCGCGGCCCACCGCTGCACGTCGGCGCTCAGCGGCTCCGCGCAGAACGTGCCCATCCTTAACGACGACCGGGGCAGGTCCAGCTTCACGAGGGCCGCGCGCCGCTCCGGGTCCGCCATCGCCTGGCGCACGTAGGCCGCCGCGCACTTTAGAATGGTGGCCTTTGTCATGAGCGCGACGCGGGCCCACCGCAGGCCGTCGCCGCCGAGAAGCGACCCCTCGACGAGGATCGACGCGCACCCCGCGAGCGCCGGCCCGTAGAGCATGTAGGACTGGCCCGTGATCCACGCGAAGGTGCCCAGCGTCAGGACCCTATCATGTCCCGCGCGCGCCGCGAAGACGTAGTCCATCGTCCGCGCGACGCACGCGCCGTAGCCCCCGTGGCCGTGCACGAGGCCCTTGGGCCTGCCCGTGGAGCCGCTCGTGAAGACGACCATGAGCGCGGCCGCGTCGCCGACGGCGACGGGCGGCGCGTAGGGCGCGCGCCGCGCCGCCCACGCCTTGGCGTCGCCCCGACGTACCGCGAAGCGGGGCCCGGCGTCCCCGAAGAGCCGCGCACACCGCGCGGCCGCGGCCTCGCCCCTCGTCACGGCGTCGCTCGCGGCGACGACGAGGTCGGGCCGCAGCTCCCGGAACCGGTGCGCGAGCGCCTCGTCCGTCGCGTCCAGCGCCGTGCACGTGTAGCACGCCGCCGCCCGCGCGAGCGCGTGGCAGACGACCGCCTGCTCGAGGCCCGTAGACGCGTGAAGGTAGACGCGCGACGCCGGCGTCAGGTCGAGCGCGCCGCGGCAGGCCAGGACGGCCGCGAGCAGCTCCGCGCGCGTCAGCCGGTCGCGCTCGTGCTCCGCGGACACGGCCTCGTACGCCGCGGCGGCGCCCTCCAGCGCGGCGGGCGCGTCGACGGCGCTAAGCGCGATGTTAGTCATAGCTCCCCGAAACCACGTCAGGTAGGGTGCCTCGGCGTCGTCGACGAGCCGCGTCCACGGACGCCAGGCCCGGGGCCGCGCGGTCGCGGCGGCGCGCAGGCCGCCGGTGCCCGGCACCAAGCACTGCCACTGCGTGGCCCCGAGTTTGCACCAGGCCCCGTCGTCGTCGGCCCAGTAGATCGCGGACGCGTAGGCCTCGGACTCTCGAGTAGCACAACCATCTGCCTCGGGGCGCACTTTCACGAGCTCCTGTGTGAAGCGACATCGATGGCGTCCCGACCGGCACGCCATCGCCGCGACACGTCGAAGAGTTCTGGCGCGGGACCGCACGGCTGCTGCTCGCGTGCTATCCATAATTACCAACTCTATATTCCCCAGGCTGCTTGCTAGTGTCTGTCTTTGCAGCGGCGTTGTGCAATGTCCGTGCCGTTTAAAGACTTGCGGCAGACCAGCACACGCAGCCTCCGAGGAAGTGACGATGGTCGAGGAGAAGAGACCCACGCGCCGGGGTACCAGCACGTACAGCACGTACTTGGCGTACCCGAGCAGCTAGCGGCCGATGGGCTCTAGAAAAAAAGAGCTGCCTGCGCCTAAATAAGAGCGGGAGGGGTACAGGGGACCCCGCGACGTAACTAGCCTGAGCCTGAAAAAGACATACAGCTGTAACTCCTAAGAGCCTTCTCCCTGCTCGGTCAGATACCATACACGTACACGTACATAAATAAATAAATAATAAATAAATAAATTAAGGAAGACCTAAAAAAAGGAACAAGCTCCTAAGAGCCTTCTCCCTGCTCAGTCAGGATGCCCAACCGGAGCTTCGAAATAGCAATAAGGTATCTATACACAGTATTCTCAGTCTCGTGAGGTAAATCGTCACTACCGGTATCTCTGCTTTTCTTGGCCATTTCTGGTGCGATTTCGCTGCGGTTTTCTGCTGTGGCGAGCGCCCTATGGGGGGCGAGTGCGCTAAAGGGGCTGGGGGCAGCCCGGGTGCGCTTAGCGATTGTCGCTAGGACGCTAGTGTGTTAAAAAACACAACGAAGTCCTACTACGTACTGTATTTACGCCGCCGCCTTCGCGGCCAAGGCTGCTTAGCCGTTCTCGGCTTCCAGCGCGGCGGACGCGGGCGACCTTCATCGTTCAAAGCGCTGTCGCTGCGCCGCCCGCTCCTCCGGAGCCCCCGCCTGCGGCCGCTTCGATTGCTGCGATGGCGCCGACTCGCGCGCGCGGTCCAACAACGCGTCTTGCCCCGGCGCGAACATGGGCCTCCTCATGCTCTTGCGCTCGAACGCGCCGCCCTCGTCGTTCACGTTGCCGTCCAGCGCGACTGCGAACCAGCCGCGCTGCTTCCTTTCGAGGATCGTGGCGACGCGGCCGCCGGCGGTGAGCACCAGGATCTTTCTTCCCAGTACGGTGAGCTTGCCGGCGCGCGCGGACCGAAGCGTGCTCTCGCCCTCGAGGCGCACGCTCCACCAACCTCTCTTCCCAAGTTCTACGACGTTGCCGGCCTTGCCGCCCAGCGCGACGCGCGCGCCGACGCCCAGCTCGCCCGTCGTCCCCAGGACGCGGATGCCGGTTTCCGCGAAGTTTATGACTTGGCTCAGGCCGTCGGCGTCGAAGAATACCGTGGCGCGGTGCTCGTCGAGCGCGCCCCCGACGACAGTGCCCGCGTACCAACGGTCGTCAAATAGCACTTCGACGCGGCTCTCCGGCGGCGGCGGCGGCCGCGCGGTGGCGTTGTCGCCGGCGCGCAGGACGCGGACGTCCTGGTCCGGGAAGCGGATGACGTCGCTCGTGCCGTCGTCGAACTGACACATGGCGCTGCGCTCGTCCAGCGCGTCGCCGATGGTGCCCCCGTAGTCCTGGCCGTCGTCGAAGCGCACGGCCACGCGGGTGCCGGGCGGCGGCAGCGCAGCTGCCGTCACTGGTGCGGCGGGCGCAGGCGTCGCCGGTGCATCGGCCAGCTCGCGGATGTGATCTTCCAAAACATCAGCATCGTAGAGGTACGGGGGGGAGTCGTCACGGTATTTTTCCCCGTCGAAGATGACAGCATAAGTACCATCCACGTTGACTTCGTGGACCGTCCCGGGATAATAGCGTGCCATATCCTTCCGGCAGAACGCCTCGATGCGGTCGTCCTCCTTCCACTTGGCCGACGCTGGCGCCTCCGGCGACTGTGGCGAGAGCAGCACGTGCTCCGGCACGGTCGCGGCCTCAGCCGCGAGCGCGCGCGCCTCCACTCGAGATGCGTCTAGACGATTGTGATGATCGATACATAATCGATAGTAATGGTGCTCCGAGGTCGGCGCGGCGGCGTCGTCGGGCTCGTCGGCGGAGGACGGCGAGCCTTCTCTATCGCCGGTCGCATCGTCATCGTCATCGGCGGGTAGGGCCCAACCGCTTCTTTGGGCCCACGCCCAAAGGTCGCCCTTATCGAGAAAAATACTTTCCCCCAGCTTCCCCGCGCCCCGGGACCGGAGCTTCCCCGCCGCGTCGAGGACCTCGGGCGCGCAGTAGATCCACGTCCGCGGGTCGCCCCGGGCGAACCAATGCGGCTTCGCCAGTACTCTCCAGCCCTGGTCATACATCTGCCCCCAGAGAATGCCGAAGACCCGCTCCGGTGGGACCTCCGCCGCCTGGCCGCGCCGCGACCGCATATGTTTTTTGGCTTGAGGCTGGTCTCATATCCAAGATATCACAATGGAGGATAGATATAGATGCGCAAAAGGCTGCCCAAAAGCGCTTGTGTTGCTCTCTATCTTTCCAGGGATCTTTTGACTCGGTTTCGGGGACGCTTTCTTTTTCTCTTTCGATGCGACACGCGGGGGTTTTAGTCCCTAGCATAATCACACCCCCACCATTGACTAGTATGTATCCATACTGTGGCTCCTTTATTATTTGTATTGCATTATTATTATTATAACTTACCTTAATTAGGTTCGGATCATTGCAATTATATTCAAGTTTAAGCAATAATAGGGTCAGCCACTAGCGGGGTCAGCCACTGCCCAGGTCCTACTTAATACATGCGAAGTTAGTTAAGACCGCCTTTCCCGGACGCCACGCTTCTTCGGGGCCGTCGCCCAGGGGGGAGGCCCGGCGTCCGTATGCGCCGCGCGCCGCTCCTTCCAGCGGACGGGCGGCGGGACGGCCGCGTCCGCCACGACCGACACGTCCTGTCCGGCGAATGTCACGTCGCCGCGCCTGACGCCCGCGAGCGTCTGTCCGGCGGCGAGGTCGACGTCGACGCGGCCATTCGGGCGCACGCACTTGATGGTGCCGGTGGCGCCGTTGACGGTGACGGCGGCGCCGACCGTCAGCTCCCCGGGGTTCTCGCGGCGCGGTCGAGGCAGGGCCCGCCCCAATGGCTCCGCGTCCGCGAGGCGCTCGAGCGTTCGCAGGAAAGCGCGGTCCCCGGGCGGCGGTGCGACGCCCGCCGCCTCCAACGCGGCCGGGTCGTCGAGCAGCGCGCCGCGAGGCAGGTCGCGCAGCGCGCCGACGGCCGCGCACAGCGCCGCGGGGCCCGCGGCCCAGGCCGAACCCAACTCGGCCAAGGCCCCCTCGGCCCAGGCCGCCGTCGCCGCCATGAACCTCCCGACGGACGGCCCGAGCGGCGCCTCGGCGGCGAATTCGCGCGCGCACGCGTCGAGGTCCCGCCGCGTGAGCCCCAGCCGGAGGCATTCGAGGGCCTCCCCCGCGTCGCGCGGGCAGCGCCGAAGCTGCGCCCGGTACCGCGGCGTCTCCAGCCAGGCCCCGAGGCCGCGCCGCAGGTGGCGCAGGGCGGCCCGCCGCCGCTCCTCCCGCTCTCCGTCGTCGTCGCTCGCGACGTCGCGTTCCACGCTGTACGTGTTGCCGCCGGCGAACAGGTCGTCCCAGTCGTCGGCGAGGCGGCCGGTCTCCCGGGGGGGCGAATCGGACGACGACGCGTCGTCGCCGTCCTCGTCCTCGTCCTCGCCCCGCACGAACGCGACGAAGTCGGCCTCGTCGACGCGGCCGTCGCCCCGCCGGTCGAGCCGCGCCGCGACGGCCCGCCGCGAGGCCGAGCCGAGCCTCGCGCCGACGCGGTCCAGGAGCCGGCCCACGTCCACCGCCGCCCGCCCCGCGGCCGCCTCGCGGAAGACCGCCGCCGCGTCGATCGTGCCGTCGGCACGCGCCGCGCAGCGCCGCAGCTCGTGCCGCAGCGCGTCGATGGCGCTGGCCGCGCTCCTCGACTCCGCGCCGTCGGCGGCGGCGAAACGCGCGAGACCCTCGAGGTCGTCGCCCCCGGCGGCCGCCCACAGCTCGGCCGCGTCCGCCTCGGCGAGTCCGTGGCGGCCGAGGAGCGCCTCGACGGCCCTCCGGTCGACGCGCCCGCCGCGCGCCAGCGGCGCAAGGCACCACCGGACGCCGCCCGGCGCGCCGCGGCTCGCCGCGGCGAGCGCCGCGCGGACGCGCGCCGCGACCGCCGGCGCCACCGCCGGCGCCGCCGCGCCGGCCGGCCCGCGGCTTGCCCGGGGCCGGCCGCCCGTCTTCGCCGCCACGTCGCCGGGGGCGACGCGGTCGCGCGTCCCGCCGTCCGCGAACGCGACGTCCAGCGTGCCGTCGAGGCGGCAGCGCGTGACCGTCGCGGACTTCTCGCCGCCGGCCGCGTCCGCGACGACGACGTCCGACCCCGCGCGGAGGTCCGGCGGCGCGGCGGCCGGCGCGGCCGCGGCGCCGGGGGCCTCGTGGGCGTCCGGCAGCCGGAGGACCTGGTCGTAGGACGCCGCGACGGCCGGCGCGCCGGGCCGGGCGCCGTCGAGCGCCACGAGGAGGAAGCCCGGCCGGCGGCTCGTCACGGCGCCGCGGCGCCACTCGCCGTCCAGCAGGACCGCGCAGCGCGCGAAGCGCGGCCAGGGCCGCGCGTCGTCGGCCGCGGGCGCGGGGTCCGCCGCCGCGTCGTCGCGGCGCCGGCGCCAGCGCGCGCGCAGGGTCTCGGCCGGCAGCGTCCCCGCGCCGGCGTCGTCCGCCGCCGCGGCCGTGTCGTCCGCCGGCGAGAGCGGCCGCACGCGGTCGCCGGCGACGCCGTGCTCGACGCCGCCCTCGTCGTACGCGACGTCGAAGCGGAGGGGGCCCTCGGCGCCGACTTCGTACCGCGCGCGCGCGTTCGGCGCGGCGCCGGCCGCGACGACGTGGCGCCTCTCGTCGCAGCGGCCGCGCCGGAGCACCTCGCCGCAGCGGCGCCGGCCGCCGTGGAACGCGACGGCGACGCGGCGGCCCGCGGCGCGCGGGGACGCGCCGTCCCGCGACGCCTCGGCGTCGGGCGTCGTCGCGTCGGCGGAGGCCGGCCCGCGCGCCCGCGGCGTGTCCGTCGTCGTCGCGGCGGCGGTCCCGCGCCTCCGGAGGCGCCGCGGGTCGACGCGGTGGAGCCGCGCGCCGTCCGCGGAGAAGAGGTCCACGCGGCGGTCGGACCGGACGCGCGCCACGCGGTAGGGCGCCCAGGCCGCGCCGGCGTCCGCGAGGCAGTCCACGACGTCGCCCACGGCGAAGGAAGCCATCGCCGCCGGGCGGCTTTGGCCTGCGGGCAGCCCCGTGCCCGGCTCTGTGTCGCCTCGACGGGTCACCGGGGCAGCGGTAGGAGGCTCTGTCCAAACTCGGCAACGGGTATAAGGGGCTAGAGGGGCTAGAGCTAGGATAGCTTGGAGGTGAAACTCGAAATCTCCGACCGCAAACCCAGATCTCAAACCCCCACAACCTCCAAGCCCATTGCTAGAAGGTGGCAAGCCGAGGATGTATCTGGTGACGGCTTTGTTGTAAGACAGCCAGCACTGCAATGCCGCGCCCGGAGGCCTCGGGCCCGCCTGCCAACTACTACGACGCCACCGAGGCGGCCAAGTACACGTCGAGCAGCCGCATCATTCGCGTGCAGGCGGAGATCGCCGCGCGCTGCGTGGAGTTGCTGAACTTCCCGGCCGGGGCGCGGCGCCTCGTGGTCGACGTCGGCTGCGGGAGCGGCCTCTCGGGCGCGGCGCTCGAGCGCGCGGGCCACGCGTGGGTCGGCTGCGACGTGTCCCGCGACATGCTGCGGGTCGCGGCGCGGCGCGCGGCGCGGGACGACGACGGCGGCGAGGCGGAGGACATGGACGACTCGGAGGAGGAGGAGGAGGAGGAGGAGGAGGAGGCGGAGGAGGAGAACGGCTCGGAGGAGGAGGCGGACGGCGGCGCCGGCGACCGCGCCGCGAACGCCACGGCGGAGCTCCTCGAGCACGACATGGGCCTGGGCCTGCCGTTCCGCGACGGCGCGTTCGACGGCGCGGTGAGCGTCTCGGCGCTGCAGTGGCTCTGCTACGACAACGACGCGGCGTCGTCGGCGCCGCGGCGGCTGAACCGCTTCTTCGCCTCGCTCTACCGCTGCCTGCGCGCCGGCGGCCGCGCGGCGCTCCAGTTCTACCCCGAGAACGACGCGCAGGCGGCGCTCATCGCGGCGGCCGCGCAGCGCGCGGGCTTCGCCGGCGGCGTCGTGGTCGACTTCCCGCGGTCGACCAAGGCGCGCAAGCACTACCTGTGCCTGAGCACGGAGCGGCGCTACCGCGCGCCGGACGCGCGGGACGCGGCGGGCGCGCCGCAGCGCCGCGGCGGCGGCCGGAAGCGCGGCCGCGACTGGGTCCTCGACAAGAAGGCGCACCAGCGGAAGAAGGGCGGCCGCGTGCGGCCGGACTCGAAGTTCACGGGGCGCAAGCGCAAGGATAAGTTTTAGGAGGCGCCCTCCTACCGCCCCCGCTTCCGGGGCTTCGCCGCCGCGGCCGCGGCCGCGGAGCGCTCCCCCGCCTCGTCGTAGAGCACCGCGAAGCCCCCCGCGCCGCGCATCGGCCGGTCGCGCGCCTCCGTGCCCTCGCGCAGCACGACGTCGAGCACGTCCCGGATCAGCGCCAGCTTCATGACGCGGTCGGCGCGCGTCGTCGCGGACAGCGAGGGCGACGCGTTCACCTCGACGAGCCACGGCTTCAGGTCGTCGTCGACGAGCACGTCGTAGCCGTAGCACTCGAAGCAGTGGCGGTCGTTGATGATCTGGGCCTGCACGGCGCGCAGCGAGTCGACGATGAGCCGGTCCATGTCCGCGAAGAGCCGCGCCGCGGCCGCGCGGCCGCGCGTCGCCTCGACGTGCAGCCGGCAGTGCCGCAGGTTCCACTTGCCGCCGTGGTGCTGGTTGTAGTCCTTGCCGTGCTTCTGCACGGCCACGTTCGTCAGGTGCACGAAGGGGTTCCCGAGGTTCGCCGGCGAGGGGTCGTACTTGGACGTGCAGAAGCGCGCGAAGCCCTCGCGGTGCTTGTAGACGCGCAGCGGCCGGTACGACGTCACGAGCACGTAGAGCCGCAGGTCGTACTTCCGGCCGCCGACGAGGTGCGGCCGGTCGACGTAGCGCGAGATGACGTAGGACTCGCTCGCCTTCGTCGCGGCCCAGCGGCCCGCGGACCACTTCCGGAGCTGGTGGAGCTTCGTGACGAGGAAGATGCCCCGGCCCTGCGCCGCGTTCGCCGGCTTCATGATCCACGTCGCGCGCGGGCACCGCCGGAACTCCTCGACGAAGAGCGAGTAGTCCGCCGGCAGGAGGTGCGTCACGGGCACGAAGTCGAAGACCTCGCGCTGCTTGTCGCGGCCCTGCTCGCGCAGCCACCGCTTCACGTTCTTGACCATCTGGTCCTTGCGCGTCAGCTCGAGGTGGTTCGGGAAGTGGTTCACGAGCTGGTCGTCGCGCAGGCGCGTGCCCAGGTCCGGGTGGAAGAGGCGCTGGACGTTCCAGGGGTGGCCCCAGAAGACGTTCCAGTCGTCGCCCTCGGTGCGCGCGCCGCACCGCCGGCTGAAGTTCTGCACGATGGCCTGCACCTCGCTGTCCGACTTCCACTTCATCTTGGGCAGCCTTTACCGCGTTGCTAGTCCTCGCAGCTTTGCAAGCCCCGCCACTGGCCTGTACCATGGTACCGTACCGTAGGTAGGTTCCGGTACTGTGTCTATGTATATAGGTATAGGGACGGACGGACTTAATACAACATTGGTTATTAGATCTCTTCGTTTCGGGGTCGTAGAAGCCGTTTCGTAGGTCCCGGCCTCGGAAACTCACGCGGCGGCAAAGTCCGCGACGGCCTTGCGGACGTCCAGCCAAATCACAGAGTGCTCGTTCTTGTAGGGAAGGGGCGTCTCGTACACCTCAACCTCCGAAAGATGCCACGCGTAGACGTGCTTCCACGACATCTTGTGTTGCACCGCCTCGCAGCTCGGCGCGTGGACACAATGTTGGTCCTGGAGCTCTTTGAAACGGTCATCCTCCAAGGGCCCTTCGACGCGATGCAACTTCGCCTGACCCCAACACGCTCTTCCGTCGCCACTCGAACACAACGCGATGGTCTCTCCCACATGCATTTCATGATAAGAACCATACTCCCTCATGTATTCCTTGCCACCACCACCTTCCGAAGAGCGCTTGTAGTCGATCCTGGGGGCTTCCGCGAAGTCTGGCAAGTCCAGAGGACAGTACCTTCTGTTGAGCTGATTACCATCGTAGTAAAATTGGTGTAAACTGAGCGGTTCCACCATTACTTCACACGAGCGGAAAGCAGCCGCGAAGCAGTCCGTCGTCCGCATGGTGTAGATGTGGGATCTACCTCGACGACGATGGCGTCGTTCTCGTGCGCGTCGTGCCAAGGTTCAGCTGACCGACTTTGTGGGCTTTAGCTTTCAACGGCTTCTCACCCTCTGGGACATCTGCAGATGGGAGAGCCTCCGTCGAGCCGCCGCCGCCGCCGCTCTGCTCACGATAACAATACAAAGTAGCGCTGCTGCCGAGGTCTTGGTCCTCTGGAGAAAAGCGCGGGCGCATCAGGCAGCCTTCCTCGTTGAGGATACGGAGCTTGCTGGGGCAGTCACCCACCGCCTGCGTGCAAATCGAGCACCCCTGTTTACGTCGGCACCGGCTTTGAGTAGGGCGGCGACGACGTCCGTGTTGCAGCACTGGGTCGCCCTATGGAGAGGTGTCTTCTGCAACCTGGTCGTCGGCACATTCAAATCCGCTCCCGCTTCGACGAGCACATTTAAGCAGGCTACTTGTTTTTCCGAGCTGCAGTCATGGGAGCAACAATAGTATGCAGGCGTCCGGCCCGACCGATCTGGTACATTTGGCAAGACGCCATTCGCAAGCTCCCGTCGCAACGCGGCGACGTCGCCTCTTTCACATGCTCTGTGTATGGGTTCGTTCCTCGGCATGATCTTCTGTGCCAGATGTTCGTGACAGCGCCTTGTAGCGCGGCGTCCGGGAGAGATATATGAGCACTGCGTGTCAATTGGCTCTACGGCCGCCCTTGGGACCAACGCTGTCGACGTAGAAAGACCAGAAGATAGGTCCTCTTGCCCCGAAGAGAGAGAAACCTACTAGCCCTTCCTACCTAGATATGTTTCTCCCTCTCTCTAATAATTCAGCTTACCCTAGGCTCCTTAGTGGCTAGTGAAGTAGCAGCAGACTAATAGTTGGGAATTTACTCTTTGCTCCGCTGCCGCCCATCGGGCCAACCAACCCGGGGACAGGTAGTAGCTCTCCCCGGGCCCCATCAAACAGGGAGGGAGGGCGGGCTAAATAAATCTGAGGACCGCATAAACCACAGCCAACTTGGCTTTGGATTGGCCGGAAGATCCCAGGGGAAGTAAGGCTAGTACAGTGGCCAGGATAACTGTGCTAGCTGGCTTCTAGCCTCGTGTTAAAATTTGGTACACTCACAGAGGTGTCCCAGCCCAAGGGGCAGCCCAGGAATAACCTGGGTTGTGGTTGGTGCCATATTAGACCCCCTGGTGCTGGGGGTCTGCGGCGCTTAAATTGTTTATATTTGCAACTGTTGCTTTACGTCTGCTGCGCGTGTGCACACCATTACAAGCCGAGGAGGACGGTGACATCTCCTTGCCGCGCGGTAGCCACCATAAATTACAAAGCTAAATCAAACAAGGAGATAAGCGCAGTAGTATGAGAAGCAAAGCCGCCATACAGGCCTCGAAGGCGGCCTTCGCGGAGGCGCGGCCCAACTACGTCGGCCCCGACGGGCGCTGCGTCCGCGCGGGCAACGGAACCGTGAACAACGCGGAGCGGCCGGCCTACTTCGTCTGGGCGCCGGCGCCGGCGACGGCGCCGCCGCCGCCGACGCCGGAGTGGCCCAGCGCCCAGCCGCCGCGGAGCGGTGGCAAGAAGCGGCGCGAGCAGCAGGCCGCGCACGTGGTCCTCGAGCCGCCCTACGCGCGCGACGGCGAGTGGGCGCCGCGCGCGCCGCCCGCCGCGCCGCGCGCCGCCCTCGAGCCGCCCTACGCGCGCGGCGGCGACTGGGCGCCGCGCGCGCCGCCCGCCGCGCCGCCCGTGCTGCCGCGCCCGCCGATCGAGACGGCGCCGCCGGCCCCGCCGACGCTCGCGGCGCCGCCGCCCGCCCCGCCGATCGAGGCGCCGCCGCCGGCCGTCGCGGCGGCCTTCCGAGCGCTGGCGGGGCCGTCGGCGGGCGTCGACGTCGTGCTGCGGAAACTCGCCGCGCCGCCGCTCGACGTCGCCGCCGCGGCGCCGGAGCCGCCGCCCGAGGAGGTGGACGAGGACGCGGCGCTCGCCGACGCCGCGGCCGCCACGGCCGTCGTGCCGCGGCGGCCGCCGAAGGCGCCGAAGGCGCCGAAGGCCGCGCCGGTCCGGCGCTACATGCGCATCAACGGCGGCCCGCCGGGCCGGCCCGCGGCCGTCCGCCGCGCCTTCGCGGGCAAGGCGCAGACCGTCGTGCGCAAGCAGCAGCGGGCCCTGCGCAACGCGGCGCCGCGCGCCAACAAGCACGCACCGACGTCGCCGCTCCTCTCAAACCCGCGCTACCCGACGCCCACGGCGAACGTGTACAAGACTACGGCGCGCCGCGCCTACGCGTGGCCGGCGCCCACGCCCGAGCTCTGACCGCGCGCGCGTTTTTCCCCGCCCCCCTCCGCCGCGCGCGCGTAACGAGCCGCCACCGTCCCCCACAGTAGTCTCCTTGCCGCCGCCGCGTCGATGCGTCCAAACGCGCGCGCTCCGCCAGTCCGGCATGCGATGCGTCGACGAGCGTGGAGCATGGGCTAGCGGCCTGTACTTAGACAGGCCGCTAGCTCGTTATCACGCGGCAACTGGCTGCCCCGGATATATCTACAAGAGAGTCGTTATATTCAGGGGAGAGGACCTAGGGAGATAGGGAAGTGAAGCTCGTGAAAGCTCAGAGGACCTCGAAGTCCTCGCCGCGTTTGTACCAGTCCACGCCGCGTTTGTACCAGTAGTTGGCGTCCTCCGCGTCCTTGATGTCGTCGAAGACGATGCGGTACATGCCGTCCGATTCGCGGTAGTCGACGATGTAGCCGAACTCCGGCGCCGGCTCGGCGGAGGCCTCCCCCTCGGCGGAGGCCTCCCCCTCGGCGTCAGTCGACGGAATCAAGGTGAGAGCTGATTTGAAACAGGACAGCGGCTCCGCCTGATCGTCGAGCTGCACCTTGTAATACCTCGCCTGGCCGACCGGCGTTGAGACAATGGAGCCGAGCGACCCGTCTTACCTGTGTAGGTACCTACCTGCATATGAAACATACCATACGCCGGAATTCATTGCACGACGAGATACTGACCCACGGCTGCTACGATTGCCGGAATTCGTTGGCACGACGAGACACTGCCCCACACAGTACTCGCATGGGAGAGCCAAGCAATGATAATGACACGATGCTGTTGGGGGGGCAGCCCGCGGCGCTAGCGGTCGCCCTGCAGGGCTTCGCGCGGCTCGAGGTGGCGGCGGCGTCGGCCCGCGCGGTCGCGGACGGCCTCCTGCGGCGCGACGTCGGCGCGCTCGTCGACGCGCTGCGGGCCGAGCGCGCGCGGTCGGCGCAGCTCGCCGACGACTTTGCGGCCGCGCGCTCGCGGTGGCGGCGCGAGGCGAGGCGGCGGGCGCGCGTGGTCGAGGAGCTCGTGGCGGAAAACGACTCGCTCGCGGAGCGCCTCGAGGCGGCTGTCGACGAGGTCCGCCGGCTCCGCAAGGCGGCCGCCGCAGATGCCGCTGCCCCCGAAGCCGCCGCGGGCCGGCGGCGGAGCGGTCGAAGGCGGCGCGCATAATTATTAGTCTGTTTACACTTGGAGGAAGGAGGATGGTGAAGAAGGTGGTGGATGGTATCTTGGAAATGACGATGGGGGGGCTAGAGCTCGTCGTCGAGGAGCTCGCGCGCCGAGCGCAAGCGCCCCCGGACCGGCACCGGCGGCGGCGCGACGGCGTCCGGCGCGGCGAACCACGCGTGCGCGCGCGCGGCGGCGGCGGCGACGCGATCACAGGGCGCGAGCCGCAGGCACGCGCGCGCCAGCGCGAAGGCCTCCGGCGGCCAGCCGCTCGCGTCGCGCGGGAGGTCGTCGCGCGCCATCGCGTCGGCCCAGGCCTCGCGCGGCACGCGCGAAAGCGGGTGCCTGCCGACGCACAGCGCGCAGAGCACGATCCCAAAGGACCAAAGGTCAACCGACGGATCGCAAGTGCCGCCCCGCAGCTGCTCGGGCGCCATGTACGGCAGAGTGCCGACGTGCGCCGTCGCGGCCTTGCCGTTCGTCGCGCTCGTGGAACTGAAGCGCGCGCTGCCGAAGTCGCAGAGCAGCACGTGCAGGGGCCCGTCCGCGTCCCTGACCAGGACGTTCTCCAGCTTGAGGTCGCGGTGGACGATGCCTCGCGCGTGCAGGAAACTCAGCGCGTCAAGGATTTGGGCCGAGGCGCGCCTCGCGACCGCTTCGGGCGGCGTGCCGTGTCTTACGACGTCCAACAACGTGCCGCCTTCGGCCTTTTCCATCACGACGTAGTTCGTGGCGGACGAGAGGACGACCTCGTGGCATTGCACTACGTGTTTGTGGAAGGGCAGCGCGCGCTGGAGAAGCAGCTCGCGCTTGACGGCCTCCCTGAACGGCGGCGGCTTCTGCCGCTTCCGCTCGGAGTCGGACTCGGGCGCGGCCAGGGCGGCGGAGTCCGCCCGCTGGAGTCTCGCGGCGTCGCGGCGGCGGCGGCGCCGCGCCAGCACCTTGATCGCGACCCGCGTTCCGTCCGCGGTCCGCGTCGCCTCGACGACGTCCGCCGCGACGCCGCGCGCGATCACGGCGCCAAAGACATATCTCGCCCGCAGCGGCTCCGCGTCGCCGCCCCAGCCGCCGCGCGCCAGCGCGCGCCGCGGCGTCGTCGCGCCGCCGGACGCGCCCGGCAGCGACTGCTCCGCGGTCTGGCAGAGGCGGGGCCAGGGCATACTGCGTCGTCGCTGCGCAGCCGCTTTTATCAGCACCAGCAGCACTTTGGTACAACGCCGGAACGAGGGTTTTGATAGACGTTGCTGTTGGCGACGCCGGCCCACTTTTTTGTTTAAATTTCGGCAGAGACCTGATGCTGGCTTGCGGTATTGCAGCTGGCCAATCCGCTTGGCGCCCGCCTGCGGGTTTTCGCAAAAAGGTTCGGGGCGAGCCGCCTCTTTTGTCCGCTGAGGAGGAAATGGCGGCGGAGGCCTCCGCAGGCGGGTGTCCGCTTGGCCTAGTAGGAATGACTAAAAATAGGTAAATAATGCATTGCTTTGCTTAGAGCTAGGCCGCATAGCCGCGACCCACCCTGGGGACTATTAATTTACCATTTCGCTATACTTGTTGGTGCAGCGGATGGTGGGGCAAAAACCCACGCCCTTCTAGATACGTTATATTATTAATCGTCACAACTGTCGCGGGTGTTTGATTGCTCCCTGCGAACAATGGCTCACAGGAGTGGTGTGCGAACAATGCAAGAACAGAGATGCCTACATGGACCCGTGCCTCCACATCTATTGGTGCTCCGTGAGCCCATCCACAATCCACGCGTCCTGGAAGTGGAGCGTCCCCGATACTTGGGAGGACATGAGCGGCTTGACGGTGGCCTCTGTGCTAGAGCACTTCGTTGACTGGAGGTAAGTATACTTTTATGATGTAATTTTTGATTGGACATGGGCTACTGAGGGCGAGCTGGCAGCAGCACTGCGCTCCGACCAAATCTGTCGGGAGAATGGGCGGCCCGTCCACAATTTTCCTCGCGACGGGGATCTGGGTGCGGAACCGCCTGCCTCTAGATATTACGGAGTGACGAAGAAAATTCGCAAGTCTGATGTGGTTTGGCGGGCAAGAATCACATATTCAAATTGGAAAAATGATATATATATTGGCTGCTTCGACGAAGAGCAGGAAGCCGCGCGAGCCGTCGACGAGTATCTCGCGTCGATAGGATACGAGCGCCGGAACTTCCCGGAGGACGAGGTGGAGGACCTCGAAGACCTCGGCGGCGACGCGGTCTCGAGTCCGCAGTAATTCTCTTTTCTCGTCCCGGGTAATTATCATCAAGAGAGAGAGAGTCGCTTATTGAACCCACCCCCAGGTACGGATCAACTCCGAGCACAGTAAATGCTACTACTAGTACTAGTACTAGCCCACCGCAGCGCGTCGTCGTCGACGCGGTCAAAAACCGCGACGTAAAAACGCACGCGCACGCTGCGCGTCGCTTCCAATCTCTTCGATACCGATGCACGAGATACACCCTAGAGCCATGAGGCTTCGTATTAGTATACCAAAATTCAAGAGGTACTTAGTACTTATAGGGTACCGTAGGTACCGTAGGTACCTACGGCCTTGAGGGCAAGCATCATCATGCGGATGCTGGCCTCAAGCTCTGCCCAGCAGCAAGGGCTGGCACCGCTGGGCGAGAGTCACACTAGTGCTCACACTGTTGTGGCACGTAGGGCATCCATGCGCACGGCGGCGGCGTGGTGCCTGCTCCTCCCGAGCGCCGCCGCGTTCGCGCCGGCGCCACCACCTGATAGTAGACGGCGCGCACTCACGACGCGGAGCGCCGGCGCCGGCGAGCTCCTGGCCGAGGTCCGCGACCTCGCGCGGCTGCGCCCGACGCGCGACGACATCGTGCGGCTGAGCGACGCCTGCGACGCGGGCGACGGCGCCCTGCGCTTCCTGCGCCGCCGCAAGCGCTACGGGCTGCTCGCGGAGCTGCTCAAACGGGACGCGGCGGCGTACGCCGACGTCGCCGGCTGGCTCCACGGCGCGTGTGGCGTCGGGCGCGACCAGCTGCCGAACCTCGAGCGCGTGCCCCTCGCCGCGGCGCCGCCGCCCGCGGTCGACGACCTCGTGCCCGACTGCACCTTGACGAACAAGACGTTCGCGGAGACGCCGCTCGACGCGTTCCTCCTCCAGTTCACGCGGGACCGCTACGCCGAGCACACGCCCGGGCCGGCCTTCCGCTCGCGGCAGGCCGGCATCCTCGGGCTGCTCGAGGAGATGCGCGTGCTCATGCTCGACGAGCGCGGGACGGACGCGGCGCAGCAGGACCTGGTGATCCGCGTGCTGCTGGACCTGATGACGCCGGCCCTGCCGCCGTTCTACCGGCTCTTCATGGGCGGCCTCGTGCCGTCGGCGGAGCGCGGCGACCCCGCGTGGCTCGTGGACCTCGCGGCGCGGCAGTCGCTGCGCCGCCCGGGCGAGCGCTGGCTCGGCGGGCGCGGCCCGCCGCCCTACGCGCCGCTGCTGACGAGCGTCGTGGCGCCGTTCGTGTTCGGCTTCCTCGTGGGCCCCGGCCGGGTCAACCGGCGGGGCGACGGCGCGCGGGGCGGCCTCGTCGTGGACAAGTGCAAGTTCCTGCAGGAGTCGAACTGCAAGGGCCTGTGCCTGCACCAGTGCAAGCGGCCGGCGGAGCGGCTCTTCGACGACCTGGGCGTGCCGCTGCGCGTCGCGCCGAACTTCGAGACGCAGGAGTGCCAGTGGTCCTGGGGCGTCGCCGCGCCGGCGCCCGAGGCCGACGACGCGTGGCCCGACAACTGCCTCGCCGGCTGCGCGAACCGGAAGCTCCTACCGGCGGCCGGACGAAGGGAGTGTTAGCACTCCCTTAAAATAATATACCTTCCTAGAGCATGTGCGTCCGCTTGACCCACTTGTAGAAGCCGCGCATCTTCGCCGCCCAGACCGCGAAGACCACGACGAAGCTCAGGAACGCGGGCCGCCAGAGGCGCCACCGCCGCGCGAGCGACGTCTGGGCCGCGCGCCGCGCGGCGCCCGCGAGCTTCCGATCCAGCGCGCGGTACTTGGCGTCCGTGCCGCGCGCGACGAGGCCCTCGAGCCTCGCGACGCGCCGGTCCAGGTCCGACGTCGCCGCCGCCGTCGCGCGCGCCTCGAGGGCCGCGAGGCGCCGCGCCGCGCTCGTCCGCGCCGCGATGAGCTCCGCGAGCGTCCGCCTCAAGTCGTCGCGCACGGCGATGAGCTCGTGCTCGTAGGACGCCTCGACGTCCTCGATGCCGTGCAGCACGGCGTCGACGCCGCGCTCGAGCGCGTCCGCGCGCTCGGGGTCCACGGCCGGCGAGTGCCGCGCGTAGCCCGGCGCGACCGGGTCGCGGTCGGCGTCCGACGCCGCCTGGCGCCGCAGCGTGAGCGCGAGCACGTCCTGGCGGTCCGGCGGCCGCAGGCCGTCGCCCGGCGCGTCGGCCGGGTCCGGCGCCGGCGCCGCGGCCGCGAGGCCGAGCCGCGCCGCGCGCATCCACGCGCGGTCGTGCAGCGCGTCGAGGTCCACGCGGAAGTCGCAGAGCGTCGCGGCGCGGCGCTGGCCGGGCCGCCGCGCGGCGACGACGGTCAGCCGCGCGAAGCCCGGCTGCGGGAAGGCCTCGCCGTCCTCGACGAGCGGCGCGCCGGCGACGACCTCGAGGCGCACGGTCCGCGTCGCCCGCGCGAGGTCCGCGCCCGGCGCCGTGCGCGTGCGCAGGTCGCAGCGGCAGGACCCGGCCACGCCGACGACGCCGCGGTCGTCCCTGACGACGACGCGCGCCGCGCCGGCCGAGAGCACGACGCCGACGGCGGCGGCGTCGGGCACGACGCGCGCGTCGTCGACGAGCGGCGCCGCGCGGAACGCCGCTTCGAGTGACGGCGCGTCCTCGGGCCGCCGCGCGACCCACAGCGCCAGGCCCGCCGCGCGCGCGGGGTCGACGGGCGCCGCGCCCTCGCCCTGGACGCGCAGCGCGAGCTCGCCCACCACCGCCACCTCGCCCAGCGGCACGCGGGACCAGAGCGCGCCGCGCCGCGCCGCGCCGCCCGTGAGCCGCACGAAGTGCTCCCAGACCCGCGCCCCGCCCGAGAGCTCCCAGAGCGGCGACGCCTGGCGGTCGCCCAGTTCGTTCGAGTGCACGAAGGGCGCCGCGAGCGACTCGCGCATGACGATCGCGCGCAGCGGCCGCGCGGGCGGCGGCGCGGCGAGGGCCAGGAGGAGGAAGAGCCAGCCCATGGGGCAGCCCCGGCTGGCCAACGAGTGGTGGTGGCAGCGCTGCCGGCGCGACCGCGGGGGCAGAGGCAGCGACGAGCCAGGACTCGCCTGCAGCGAGCACTGTGTTCAAGCTTAACAAATTTCAGGAGAGGCCTAGGAGGAAACCCGCACCAATATCCAGGCGGCGGACCGGGCACCCCCACGACTCCCATCCGCCGGGGCGGGACACGGCGAGGCATCGCCGGTACCTCTCTTCGAATCGGCCCCGCACGAAGCGCCGGCGCTAGCGCTATAGCGCGGTGCTGAGGCTCTAAGCTCCCCGACAAGAGCCAGCCGGGGAGTCCTTCGTGAAGTGTTGCTCGGCCCCTCGAGCCGCGAGCGACGAGGCTGCCCTGGAGGATGAACCACGATGAATAACTAGGATGCCGTTCCGGAAAGGCGGCGAGGCGGCCCAGACCGGCCGGCGGAAGCGCAAGGGCCGGCCCTCGGCGGCGCTCGAGGCCATCCCCATGGTGCAGGCGCGCCGCAAGGCCGCGGACCTCGGGGCCGCCGAGCGGCGCGCGGAGGTGCAGCCGCCGTTTCGCCTGGCGGCGACGCTCCGCGGCTGCGCGGCGCCGCGGCGACCCGCCGCGTTCCGGCGGGGCTGGCGCGAGGCGGGCCGCCGCGTCATGATGAAGCGGCTCCACCTCGAGGTCGTCCTGCGGGACGCGGCGGCCGCGGCGGGCCTGCCGACGCAGCCGCACGCGCCCCGGGCCCTGGAGAAGGCGCACGTGCGCCTGGCGACGCACTACCTCGCCGCCGGCGAGCACGCGCTCTGCAAGGCGCACCTCGACGAGGTGCTGCGCGGCCGCGCGGCCTACGCGTGGTACGCCCACGCCCCGCTCGACGCCGCGTTCTACCGCCGCCTCGCCGTCTGCGAGTGCGAGCTGCACCTCCGCGACACGGCCCTGCTGGAGCTGCCCTTCGCGCGCGACGAGGCCGTCGCGGCGGCGCTCGACGCGAAGCGCGCGAAGCAGCGCCTGCAGCGCGAGCGCCACGCGAAGCTCGTCGCGAAGCGCCGGGACATGGACCGCCTCGCGGCGGCGGCCGCGGCGGCCGAGGCCAAGGAGGCCGAGCGCCGGCGCCGCGCGAAGAACAGCCGGCCGAAGATGGGCCTGAGCCGCGCGGAGCGGAAGCGGCAGCAGGCGCTCGACGAGCAGCGCCGGGACCTCGAGGCGGCGCGCCTGCGCGAGGAGGCGCGGCGCGAGGCCCTGCGGACGCCGCCGCCGTCGGAGGCGCAGCTCGCGCGCGAGGCGCTGGCGCGGGACCGCGCCCTCGCCGACGGGGCGGTCGACCGGTGCCGGGCGGCGGCCGCCGCGCGGGCGGCGCGCGCGTGGCTCGAGGACGCGCGCCTGCGGGCCGCGCGGGCCGCGTACGAGCAGTGCCTGGGGCGGCTGCCGCCGGGGCCCGCGGCGGCGTCGCGCGTCGCGCCGCTGCTCGTCGAGGCGGGCCTGGTCCACGAGCGGCTCGGGGGCCGGCGCGGCGCGGCGGCGGCGGCGAAGCTCTACGGCACGGCGATCGAGTTCTTCCCGCGGCGGCCGGGCTACCGGCGCGCGTGCTTCCGGGCCGCGCTCGCGGCGTGGCGGGCGCGGCGGCGCGGCGACGCGGGCGGCGCCGCGCGCGCGCGCGACCTCCTCGCGCTGATCGTCCCGCCGGAGCCCGGCCCGGAGGCGCCGGCGGCGCCGGAGGAATCGGAGGCGCCGGAGGAACTCGCGACCCCGGAGGAGGAGGCGACCCCGGCGCCGGCACCCGCGCCGGAGCCTCCGCCGGCGCCGGCGCCGGCGCCGGCGCCGGCCGCGGCCGAGGCCGTCGACGAGGCGCCCGCGCCGACGCCGCCGCCGCCGCCCGAACAGATCGCGGAGCAGGGCGGCGCGCTCCGCTGGTACCAGAGGCTCCTGGGCCCGCGCGTGGTCGCCGCCGAGTCGGACTCGGACTACTCGGACTCGTCGTCGTCGTCCTCCTCGTCGTCGGAGTCGGACTCGGACTCGGAGTCGTCCGAGGAGGAGGGCACGCTGACGCGCGCGCAGCAGGTGAAGAAGATGGCGCGCGCGAAGGCCAAGGCCGCCGCGCTCGAGGCCAAGGCCAAGGCCGAGGAGGAGGAGCGGCAGCGCATCGTCGCGGAGCGCCGCGCGGCGTCGGCGGCCTACCGGCGCGCCAAGGCCCAGTACATCCTCGCGGACCTGGACAAGCGCATGGCGGCGTGGCGCGCGCGGCCGCGGCGGACGCGCTACGGCGACGACGCGCTGTGCCTGCTCCTCTACGCCCTGGCGCTCGAGGCGGCGCCCGCCGAGGCGGCCGTCGAGGCGCCGGCCGGAGACGACGCGTCGCTCGCCTCGACCGGCGAGGCGGCGCCGCCCGAGGCGCACCTCCCGGCGCCCGCCGCCGCCCCGGAAACGGGGGCCCCGGCGCCGGCGCCGGCTGCGGCGCCGCGGCCGTGGCGGACGCCGGACGCGCTCCGCGACCGCGCGTTCCGGCTGTCCCGCGACCTCGACCAGTTCGACGCGGCGCGCCACGACGGCCCCCGGAGCTGGCTCGGCGACCGCCGGACGTGGCGCGCGCTCGCCGAGGCCGCGGCGGCGCGCGGCGAGCCCGTGCTCGCCGTCGAGTGCTACGAGCGCGGCCTGGCCCTCGCCTACGTGTCGCCGCTGCGGCGGGCCCAGACGGACCCCGAGCGCGTCGCCGCGTACGACCGCGACGACGACGTCGCGCTGCTGCTCGCGGCCGGGCGCCAGCACATGCTGCTGCGGGACCCCGCGCGGGCGCGGCGGTGCGCCGACGCCGCGTTCGGCCTCGACGAGTGGGACCCGCGCGCGCGGCGCGTGCAGATGGCGTTTGACCCGGAGGTCTTCGACCGCGCGCGCGCCGAGGAGGCCGCGGCGAACGTCCTGCAGAAGAAGTTCTGGCGCGGGCGCGTGTGGTGGCCGCCGTTCTGGGCCCGCGTGAAGGCGCACCGGATCGCGGTGGCCGAGGCCCTCGTGGAGGCCGACCGCTGGGGCCACTACGCCGCGCGCGAGGACCTGCGGTACTACTACCCCAAGAAGTGGTTTTGCCTGCTCCTCTACGAGGACCACGTCGTCGCCGTCGCCCAGCGGTTCATACGGCGGGTCCTCGACTACCGGACGAAGGTGCTGCTCGACGCGGCGCGCCACCTGCGGACGGTGAACGCGGCGCTGTCCGCCTTTACCAGGGCGCCGTGCGACGGCGCGGCGCGCGCCCGCTGCCGCGAGGTCGCGCGCGATCCGCGGACGCTCGCGGACCACGCTATTGTCGGCGCCGCCGCCCGCATCGTCGAGGAGGACGCGGCGGTCGTCGTGCTCCAGTGCCTGGCGCGGCGCCGCCAGGCCGCGGCCCGCTTCGCGGTCGTCAAGGACGAGTGGGAGTGCGCCGAGTACGACCGCGAGATGCGCCTCGACGCGCTGCGGCGCGAGGCCGACGACGCGGTGGCGCGGTGCTGGCGGTTCGAGGCGTGCCGCGCGGCGGCGACGCGCATCCAGGCGCGGGCGCGGGGCGTCAACGCGCGCGCGACCGCGAAGCGCGTCGCCGCGCTCCGCGTCTTCCACGCGGCGTGCGTCGTGTTGCGCGCCACGCGCCAGCTCGCCCACGCGCGGCGGGTCATGATGCGCGCGGCCGAGGCCTTCGACGGCCGCATCGTCCTCGCGCGCGCGCTGCAGCGCGCGTGCCGTTCCGCGTCCTTCTTGATTGACCGACCTTGCTTCCAGCGGTGGTTTTCGTTAATCCGCACAATCGACGACGGCTCACCGGCGCGTCGCGCGCAGGCTCCGCCGGCGCCTGGCGGCGCGCGGCGTCTGCGCCCTGTTCGCACAGGCGCGGTGGCGCGGCCGCGCGGGCCGGAAGGTCGCGCGCCTGGCCTGGGTCCGCGCGAACGCGGCCGCGACGTTCGCCGAGAAGTGGCGGTGCCTCGCGCACCGGCGGCGCTACGCGGTCCTGCGGCGGCGGCTCGCCGGGCGGCGGGACGCGGTCCCGCCGCGGACGATGGAGACGGTCGCGCGGCTCGTCGAGGCGGCGCGCCGCGACGCGGCCGCCGCGGCCGACGCCGGCGCGGGCCAGCGGCCGACGACGGCCGCGCGGCCCGTCTGGGTGGCGCCGGGCCTCCGGGGCGAGGCCATCGCGCGGCGGACGAGCCTCGCGGCGCTGCCCGACGCCGCCAAGGAGGGCGGCCACCCGCTGGCCGGCGCGGCCGCGGCGCTCTTCGCGCTGCACCTCCGCGCGTGGAACTGCGCGCTGCGCACGGTCGTAGTCGTCGCCGCGCCCGTAGACACCGACCTCGCGGCGGCGCTCGGCGGCTGCCGCACGCTGCGGGAGCTGTGCCTCGTCGACGGCCGGCTCGGCCCCGAGGCCCTCGCCGCGCTCTGGGGCGCGGTCCGCGCGGCCGGGCTGCGGCTCGAGGCGGTGCGCGTCGACGACGCGCACCACCACCGGCGCCTGGCGCCGGGCGCGGCGCGGGCCGCGCGCTACGGCGACGTCGGAAGGGCGGTCGGCGCGTGCGTCGGCGACTACGTCTTCCGCCAGGTCGGCCGCCTGCGCGCCGTCGCGCTCGTGCGGGGCGGCCTCGGGGACGCCGCCGTCGAGTGGATCGGGCGCGCGCTCGCGGCCTGCGACCTCGTCGAGTTGCTTCTGGACGACAACCGCGTCGGCGACGGCGGCGCCGCGGCGCTGGCCGGCGGCCTCGCCGCCAACGGGAGCCTGCGGGTGCTGGGGCTCGCAGACAACTGCGTCACGAACGTCGGGTTGGGGGCGCTCCTGGGCGCGCTGCGGACGCGCCCGGCCGGCGGCGACGGCGGCGCGGCCCGCCTCGACCTCGCGCGCAACCACACCGACGACCGGCTCGCGCCCTGGATCTGCCAATATGCGCCCCTGCTGGCGCGGGACCCGGCCTTCTGGGGGCTGGCGCTCGAGGGCAACGCGTGGCGTCCGACGCCGCTCGCGCGTGTCTACGCGGCGCGCGACGCGGCGGCGGCGGCGGCGCGCGAGGGCGCCGTGCGCGCGCGGACGCCGCCGCCGCGGAACCGCCTGGCGACCGTCGTCGAGCGCCGGCGCCCGCCGAAGGCGGCTCCGTCGCCGCGCCAGTTCCTCCGCACGCTCGCGTCGACGAAGCGGACGCTTGTCTCTCCTTTGACGACGTCGCGCGAAAAAGAATAATATATTTTGTTGATTATTACAATATATACATAGCATAGTTTGTTCAATCTCATATTAGCGTAGTTGACCCAACTCGCGACTAATTAAAAGCGTTTGCTCGCAAGTCTGCAAAGCGTTTCTCAAGTACGTCTTCCCCGTGCCGCTCGCGGCGCTCAAAACGCAGAGGTATTACTTTTCGCAGGTGAGGAAGAGATGAGAGTGCTTTGCTCGCTAGCATTGATAGCATCGGCGGCCGCAGAGGGTCACGACGGCCACGACCATGGTGGAGCCTCTTATGAGCGAGTGGCCGCGTCTGAATCGACGCGCTTCAACGAGTCCTGAAGGTGCGACTACTAAGGTCACGTTCAACACACAGGTGGGGCGCCATCTTCGAGCTCCACAAGGGCGAGGACTACACCTGGCGCGCGCAGAAGGTGGACAATGCCTACGCCGATCCCATGATGAAATTGGTGGTCCACCCGGCGACGGACGGCACGATGGAGGCGCTCGAGGCGCTCGAGGGCGAGGCCGGCGAGCTCATGGAGGGCGCGTGCACGGACGTCAAGGCGGGCGAGACCATCACGCCGGGCGAGACGTGCTACAACCTCGTCTTCGACGCAGCGGCGGCCGAGACCACGTTCGTTGTCCGCCCGACGGACGACGGCCAGGAGCCCCACGACGCGTTCTTCGCGTTCTTCGCGGAGCACGTGCCCACGGAGTTCGAGAACGACATCCACTACCTCCAGGACGCCGCGGGCGCCGACGTCGAACCCTGTGCAGAAATCAAATTTCGCGGTGCATCTCCGCTTGCGGCTGAATCATAACTTCCACGCCATCGACGCGACGCCTGCTCGATGGCGTGGCGGTGTGGGTCTTACCGCACCCGACTCACTGGTTGATTTCCACACAGGTCGAACCCGTCGTCGAGGAGGGCGGCGGCGGCCACGACGGCCACGACCACGACGACCACGGGCACGGGCACGGCCCCTACGAGTGGATCGGCGTCTTCGAGCTCGCGGACGGCGAGCCCTACACGTGGACGGCGGACAAGGTGGGCGAGAAGTACGCCGACGCGACCATCTACGTCTACGTCGCGGCGACGGAGGCCGCGCACACGTTCCTCCACAAGCCGCTGTCGATCTGCATGAAGTTCGGCGTCTTCATCTGCTTCGCCATCGGCGCGGTGGCCATCGGCCTCGTGCTCCTGGACCACGAGCACTGCTCGGGCAACGAGGGCGGCTCGGGCGACGCGCACGCGGGCCACAACCACTAGGCGCCGCTTCAACGAACACTACCCCTCTCCCTCCCCCCCCCCCCCGGACGCGACCGCAACGTCGCGTCCGCCTCCACGTAGTAGTCGCGGGCCGCCGGCGTAAGGCTTCCGCACGGACTCGTTGGCCAGACGCGACAGCAACTGTCGCGTCCGCCTCCACGTAGTAGTCGCGGGCCGCCGGCGTAAGGCTTCCGCACGGACTCGTTGGCCAGACGCGACAGCAACTGTCGCGTCCGCCTCCACGTAGTAGTCGCGGGCCGTCGGCGTAAAGCTTCCGCACGGACTCGTTGGCTGGCATGAGACTTAGGGGGAGGGGGGTCAGCGTCGGTCGCGGCGCCGCCTCGGAGAGGGGGACTTAGTGGTTGTGGCCGGCGTGCGGGTCGGCCTCGCCGTCGGCGACCTTGACGCCGCAGTGCTCGTGGTCCAGGAGGATGAGGCCGATGCCGATCGCGCCGAGGGCGAAGCAGGCGACGAGCCCCATCCGCTTCGCGGGCGAGAGCCGGCCGACCTCGTGGAGAATCTCGCCCGCGGCCTCGGTGCACGCGACGTACGTGTAGACGCCCGCGGAGAAGGCGAGCAGGATGCCCTGCGTGCCCATGCCGGGCTCGAGCCAGAGGTACCACATGGCGCCGATCATGACCGACACGCCGGACACAAAATTCACGGCGCAGGCCTGGGGCACCGTGAGGCCGCCGGGCCCGACGAGCAGGAAGAAGTCGCCGAACTCCTGGACGAGCTCGTGATAAATTGTACCCGCCGTCACGACCCAGCCCTGGCCGCTCTCGCACCGCAGGAACGAGTGGGCGATGAAGATGCCGTCGACGAAGTTGTGCCAGAAGTCGCCTGTGTGGAAATCAAAATTTTACGGCGCGTTCGTGCTGAATCTTCGCGTCGACCTCCACGCCATCGATGCGACGCCTGCTCGATGGCGTGGCGATGCCGGTTCCTCGCCGCTCGACCGAGCCAAGACGGCCGCGTCATCGCCGAGAAATGACTTAGTGAACCCGACGCACTGGTTGATTTCCACTCAGGAAGTCGCCGAAGAAGATGTTGAAGCAGAACGCGTAGTCCGGCGCCGCCTCCTCCGCCTCGGCGACGGCCGCCTCGTCCACCCCGACGTCCTTCGCGTCGGCCGGCGTCGCCTCGGCGGCCTTGAGCGCGCTGCCCAGGCCCTTGACCTCGCGCGGGAACGCGAGCTCGGTCAGCAGCCCGAGCAGGTAGCCGCCGAGCACCGCCGTGCCCCAGCGCCAGACGACGTCGACCTCGCCGGGCCAGCGCGCGCCCACGAGGTGGCTGCCCTCGATCATCATCAGAAAAACCGCGCAGCCGAAGAGCGCGCCCGTGCCCATGGCGCTCGCGAAGGGGATGATCGCGCGCGCGCGCACGATCGCGTCCTTGAGCGCGAGCCGCGACAGCGCGCCGGCGAAGGTGCACAGCAGCACGATGAACGTCGCGAGCATCGAGTGGCGCCACGCGTAGCCCTCGTCGAAGGACAGCTCCGTCTCCGGCGGCCCGGCGGGGACCTCGAGGACCGGCTCGACGTCGTCGCCGTGGTCGTCCTTCAGGTAGTGGCTGTCGAGCTCGAACTCGATGGGGAAGTGCTGCGCGTAGAAGCCGTACTTGCCCGAGCCGCCGGTGGGCACTTCCAGGAGGTAGGTCGAGGTGTAGAGGTTCGTGTCGAAGATGAGCTTGTTGCACGTACCGAACGCGATGGGCTCGCTCGAGTGGACGTCCACGCAGGTGTTGTTGGCGCTGAGGCGGCGGTGCCCGTGGGAGTGGCCGCCGCCGCCGCCCTCCTCGAAGAGCGGCTCCACATCAACGTCGTTGGAGTCCTGGAGGTAGTGTTTGTTGTGTTCGAATTCGATGGGCACGTGCTCCGCGAAGATGGCGACGTAGCCGTCCGCGGCCATCGTGAACGTCGTCTCCACCGCGGCGGCGTCGAAGGTCAGCTGCTTGCACGTGCCGTCGGTTGCCACGGACCCGCCGGCGGCCACCGTCGCGCACGACGCCGCCTCGAGCGCGGTCGTGGCGGCCGCCTCGGCGCCCTCGAGCGCCTTCCCGAGGTGGTCCTCGGACTCGCTCGCCGGCGTCACCGCCATCACGACGATCTTCATCGCCGGGTCGGCGTAGTCCTTCAGGTTCTCGTAGTGGGCGTCGTCGTTGGCCTTGACGGCCTCCTCGGTGTTCGCGGTCACCTCCTTGATGAAGAGCTCCATCGAGTCGTCCACGTATTTACCGTCCGTCTTCTGCGCGATCCACGCGTACTTGTGGCCGGGCGTCAGGTCGAAAACGCCCGCCCACTCGTAGCCGGCGGCCTGCGGGGGGGTCGAGCTGAGCGAGCCCGGCGCGGGGGGACGCCGGCGCGCACCTTCTGCGCCCGCCAGGTGTAGGTCTCGCCGGCATTAAATTTAAAGATGCCTGCGTCGCGGCTGCGGTGAGGCCGGGGACGCGCGCGCGTTGGTTTGTTTCCTTTGGACGCAGGCTGTGGACCAGCCCACTCGTGCGCGGCCTCGCTGCTCACCGCGGCCGGCGCGGCCGCAGCAAGGAGGAGCGCCAGCGTGCGCGGGCAGCGTCTCGCAGGCATTTTCGTGCAGTTTTGGCCAGTTTTGTGCGCCTAATCAGCCACCAACAATCTCAGAGTCTTAATAACAGAAATCGCTGAACCCCCCCCGCCTCTCTCGGAGCTCGGCCACGAAGCCGGATATGGCGCTACATTCGTGTTGACGGTCCGTGGAAAAAATTCGGCGCGCCCAGACTTGCTGATCCCGGGCGGCTCCTGTTTCACACACGCCGAGTCTCACGCACCGGCTCGCCGTCAAGGCACGTCGCGAGGGCTCCTCCGAGAGTTCCCGGCGGCCTCCGTGCGCGCGTCCCCATGACCCCGGACGACGCGCAGCGGAGAGCCCATAATTTTTGACGCTTAATTCATGGCGCACGCCGGCGCGGCGCCATATGCGCGTCACACCGACGACGCATCGCTCGGGCCGACGACGCATGCAATCGCTCGGGCGGGGCTGCGTGCGTGAGGGCCCGTGATCGACTGGAGCCGGGAGCGCACCAGACGGGGCTGCGTTGCGGGACGCCGGTCGCTCGGGCGGGGCTGCGCGGGGCGTCGTCGATGGCGGCGCGGCGCAAGCCGCCGCGCTTCCGCGCGCGCGAGGCGGACCCGCGCCTCGCCGAGGAGGTCGCGCGGCTCCGCGCCGAGAACGAGCAGCTGCGGCGGCAGCAGGCCTACAGCGACCTGAGCGACGCGGCGTCCTCGTTCAACTCGCGGACGTCGCTGTCACGGAGCTACGACCAGGAGCTCGCGGACCTGCGCGGGTCGAACGAGCGGCTCCTCGCGGAGCAGCGGTCGCTCGCGCGGACGGTGCAGGAGCTCCGGGACGCGGCCGTCGCGACGCCGTCGCCGCCGCGGCGGCGCGACGGCGCCTGGCCGCCGCGGTCGCCGCCGCCGGATCCCTGGCCCGCGACGTCGCCCGCGTCGCCCCCGGCGTCGCCCGCGGCGCCGGCGTCGCCGTGGGACGGCGCCGGCGCGGCGGCGGGCGCCTGGGCGCGCGCGGCGTCCCCCGCCGCCGACGACGACCCGCTACTGGCCCTCGTGCCGCGCCTGATCCGCGAGGGCGGCTACCTCTGGAAGGTGCCGGCGCACCACGTCGCGACGGCCGCGCGGCGGCGCTGGTTCCGCGTGGCGCGCGCGCGCCGGGGCGACGTCGCGCTGACGTGGTGCGACCCGCGCGCGCTGCGGCGGGCGCAGCAGGGCGGCGGCCCCTTCGCGCCGCCGGCGCCGCGCGTGCGCGAGTTCGCGCTGGCGGACGCGCGCGAGCTCCGGCCGGGCCACCAGACGTCGGCGTGGTGGAGCCAGGCGGCCGCGCGCGCGGCGCTGCCCGTCGAGGACCTGTGCTGGTCGCTCGTGGCGGGCGACGGCCGGACGCTCGACCTCGCGGCGGAGACGGTCCAGGAGGCGCGGCTCTGGAAGGAGGCGCTCGGGGCGCTCCTGCGGGCCCTGGACGGCGGGCGCGCCGCCGCGGCGCCCGCGGCGGCGGCGGCGGCGCCGCCCGCCGTGCCGGCGGTGCTCCCGCTCGAGGCGCGGCGCCTGGCGCGGGCGGTGGGGAGCGGCGACGCGGCCGCGCTGGGCGACGCGCTGCGGACGGTGGCGGACGTCGACGCGTGCCTCGACGAGGCGACGGGCGACACGGCCCTGCTGCTCTGCTGCCGGCGGGGCTTCGCCGCCGGCGCGGAGACGTGCCTCGCGGCCGGCGCGCGCAACGACCCGCACCCGACCTGGGGCGGCACGGCGCTCCAGCTCGCCGTCGCGCACGGCCAGACCGCCGCGGCGCGCGCGCTCCTGGCGGCCGCGGCGGCGTCGGGCGCCGACCGCGCCGTCGCGAACCACGTCGTCGTGTCCGAGGACCGGGGCGGCGCGGACCTGCGCCGGGGCGACGCGCCGCTCCACACGGCCGCGCGCGCCTGCGACGCGGCGACGGCGCAGCTCCTGCTCGAGCACCACGCGGACCCGCTCGCGCGCGACGCCGGCGGCCGGACGGCCGCGCACGTCGCCGTCGCGGCCGGGCGCGACCGGGGCCTCGACGTGCTCGCGCTGCTGCTCGACGCGGGCTTCGCCGGCGCCGTCGACGCGCGCGACGGCTCGGACCGCGGCGAGGCCGTGCTCCACGTCGCGTGCCGGAGCGGCGCGAAGCGCTGCGCGGCGCTCCTGCTGCGGTCGGCCGCCGACGCGCGCGCGCGGGACGGCGCGGGCGCGACGCCGCGCGACGTCGCCGCGCGCGCGGGCTTCGCCGACGTCGCGGACCTCGTGCTCGGCTACGAGGGCGCGGCGGCCGCGGCGGCGGCGCCGCCGCCGCGCGCGGCCGCGCCCCTCGCCGAGGAGCGGCGGCTCGGGCGCGGCGCGACCGTCGTGGCCGCGGCCGAGACGACGCCCGTCAGGCGGGGCTACGCGTCGGACTCGTCGCGCGGGTCGCGCGACGGCGACTGGCCCGCGGCCATGACGCGCGCCGCGCCGCCGCCGCCGCCGCCGCCGCCGCCCGCGACGTTCCTCTGCGACGGCGACGAGTGGCAGGAGCTCTGGTCCGAGGCCGACCAGTACGCGTACTTCCAGCACGTCGCGACGGGCCACACGCAGTGGGACGACCCGCGCCGCGGCCGGCCGCCGCCGCCGCCCGCGCCGCCGCCGCCGCCGCCGCCGCCGCAGCGCGCGTCGCGGAGCCGGTCCGCGCCCGAGGTCCTCGGGAACGCGCGGCGGCGGCCCGCGCGCGACGCGAGCCCCGGCCGCCGCGCCTTCGCGACGGGCGGGCCGCTCGTGTCGCCCGTCGACGTCGTCGCCGTCGCGCGCGGCGCGGCCGCGGCCGCGGCGGCCGCCCCGGCCCCGTCGTCGACGCGCGCCGCGCCGGCGCCGTCCTGGGACACGGTGTCGACGCTCCGCGCGTCGCCGGCGCCCGACTGGGACGAGCGCTCCGCGTCGACGGCGCGCAGCTGGGGGCCCGAGCCCCCGGCGTCGACGCGTTCCAACTTCTCGGCCCGCACCTTCGAGTCCTCGGCCGCGTCCGACGGCGAGTTCGAGGACGTCGACATCGCGACCGACGACGGCGGCGGCGGCGGCGGCGACCCCGAGGACGAGGTCGACGAGTTCTTCGAGGAACTCGTGGCGCCCGAGACCGGCGCGGCGGCGCCGCCGGACCTGCCCGCGGAGCTCCGGACCGAGTTCACCTTCGCCCCCGCGGACGAGGGCGCCCCCGCGGACGACCCAGCGGTGCCGCTCGCGGACGACGGCGCGGCGGCGGCCGACCCGGCGGTGCCGGCGCCGGCGCCCGCGGACGAGGCGTCGCCCGGCACGGCGGCGGCAGACGCCGCGACCGACGCGGTCTTCGCGGCCGCCGCCGACGCCCAGCGCCTCGTCGCGGCGGCGGCGGCGCAGGTCCTGCGGACGGAGTCGCCGGCCAAGCCGCGCGCGGGCCGCCCGCCTCGACCGGAGTCGCCGGCGGCCATCGCGGCGCGCGTCGTGACCGCGAAGCGGTCGCCGGGCGCCGACGACGCCTATCCGAAGTACTCGGTCAGCGAAAAGACGTATGATCTTTGAATTAATTTGCAGCGTATTTGTAAATTACGTAGTAGACGCAGCTCACTCCGGCCGGCCGCGGTCGACGCCCTGGAGCACGTCCTCGGAGCCCTTCAGGATGCCGTCGCCCTTGAGCAGGTTGCCGAGGTTGATGAACGCGTCCGCGTACTGAGGGTCCAGTTCGCAGGCCTTGCGGTACGCCGTCTCGGCGCCGGCCTCGTCGCCGCGGATCTCCTCCAGCAGGATGCCCAGGTGGTAGTACGCGACGGCCGACTTGGGGTCGCGCTCGATGGCCTCGAGCGCGCGCACGAGCTTACCCGCGTCCTCCTCGATCTTGCGCTCGGCGCCGAGCATCTCGCCGACGAACGACGCCGTCGCGTCCGCGGGCCGGCCCGGCGGCGGCGGCGGCGCCGCGCCGCTGAAGGACCTGCGCGTGATTCCGCCGTTGACCATCAGGCGTCGACGGCTTTGTGTCGGTAGTCTAGCGTGCGTGACCGCTTAACTACTCCTCGGCTGCGGAGCCACGAGTTTTTTTTCGCAGTTTCGCAGAATTATTGACCCGGATTGTTGCCTGGAGGATGAAGATTTTCGCGAGAGTATTGACATATTGGCTTGTCGCGTGAGCGCGAGCGGTGAGGAAAAGCTCCTCTCGGGGCCACAAAAGTTAGTATAGGTAACTAGATAGAACTCGCCCGGGATAGATATATCTCTAGCGGGAAACTTCTAAGCGGCATAGACGTCCCCCAGGGTATAAAACGCGGGGGCAAATTCTCCCCCGGTATCGCCTCTACTAGTATAAGCGTTCACGATACACGCCCGCCGGCGCGCCTTTCCCCGAGCGCCCGCGCCGCGGGCCTCGCGCCGCTCCCGCCGACCCGCCGCCGCCAGCCGGCCCGGCACGCGCCGAAGCGCCGGTTCGAGGACCTGGTCGACACGGGCAAGCGCTACGGCGAGGAGGCGCCGTCGGCCGGCGCGCCGCCGCGGTCGTGGCCGCGGCCGCGCCAGGGCCAGATGCTGCCCCCCCCCCCGCCGCCGCCGCCGAGGCCCCGCGCGCCGCCGCCGACGCCCCAACTCATCGCGGGCCTCCAGAAGACGCTGTCGTGCCCGCTCTGCCACGAGCTCTTCGACGACGCCTGCACGCTCCCGTGCGGCCACACGTTCTGCCACGGGTGCGTCCACGGCCACTTCGACACGGTCGGCCACGCGTGCCCGCGGTGCAAGGTCCCCTGGCGCCGCCAGGACATCACGCCCGCGGCGACGACGCGCGGGCTCGTGCGCATCTTCGCGCGGCGCGACGAGTACCCCTCCTGATTCATGATCCGTAGACGATCCCCCCGCCCCTCCCTCGACTGGTAACGCACTCAGTTTCCTGATATATGGCGCACCCCTCCTAGATCACCCATCCCCCCGCCCTGGGTACATCCTTGCCTAGTACGTGTATGCAGCACAAACCGGAAAAAAAAAAAGAGACATTGCCAAAATGCCCAACCCGTGTCCTGTGATTTGCTATCTTTTTTAGCCTATTGTGCACGTCGGCGTAACAGAGCTGCAGAAAGTAGTATTTCATCACGTCTGTTGCACGCGACCAGCGCTGCGCACGTCTAGGAGCACCGGTCGCCGCGAGCCGCACAATCCAGTCATGGACGCCACCGCGCCCGCAGCGGTGAAGGTCTCCATCAAAGTCATGAAGGAAATCATCCGCCGCGCGGGCCTCTCGACGGCGGATCTGCTCGAGAGGCACGACGTCGAGGCGCGCTATGCGCAGGCCGAGGCGCGCCTGGCCGAGGCCGAGCGGCTGAAGAACCAGTCGAAGAAGCGCGGCCACGTCGCCGGAAGCAGCGGCGACGACGGCCCGATGACCCCCGAGGCCCTGGGCAAGAAGAAGAGCAAGGTCGCGACGACCTGCGTTTCTTCCGGCCGCTTCAGCAACTGCGCGTCCCAGGAGAACGTGGCCCACGAGCCGATCGACCTCGCGGGAGACGCGAGCGACGGCCACCGGACGTCGGACGACGAGGACGAGGACGACGACGCGGCTCATAAAAGAGCGGAGCGATTACTGAGCGAGTGCGGCGCGTACGCGGCGAAGCTGATCACGGAACTGAGATCGGCCGGTCTAGCGTCGTCGACGCGGCACGGCGCGCTCTGCGCCGGCGAGATGGTCTCCTCCAATAGTTCGACGGACTTCGTGCCCCTGGACCAGGCCGAGGTGCGGCGGTGCTGCGGGCCGGACCTGAAATTGCGGCAGCACCAGATCGTGGGCGTGAATTGGCTGCTACTCCTCGAGCGCGTCGGCGCGAACGGCGTCCTGGCCGACGACATGGGCCTGGGCAAGACGATCCAGACCATCGCTTATTTAGCGGCGTCGCGCGCGCGGAAGCTGGCGCAGAATCCTAGTTATCAAGGCCGGGACGTCGTCGTCGTGCCGGCGTCGACGTTGGGCAACTGGCAGCGCGAGTTCGCGCGGTGGGCGCCCTATGAAAAGCGCGTCGTTGTCTACCATGGGTCCATGAAGGAGCGCCACCTGCTTCGCTACGATCAAGATGTGACAACCGCGCACGTCATTCTCACGACCTACACGTGGTGGGAGCGCGAGGACTGCGAAGACGATAGAAGCTTCTTCAAGCATTACGCGCCCTGGGCCCACGTCGTGCTAGATGAAGGTCACAATTTGAGGAACCCGGACGCGTCGCGGAGCCGCCATTTACGGCGCTTGGGGGCGCGGTCGCGGACCGTACTCTCCGGCACGCCCATCATGAACCGGCCGCTTGATCTACTCTCGATTTTGCTCTTCCTGATGCCCGATTTATTTAGAGACTGCCGCGTGACGGACCGGCTCGAGGAGGTCATCACGGCCATGGACTCGGTCGGAGGCGTGAAGAAGTTGCGGGAGCTGCTGGCGCCGTTTTGTTTGCGGCGGGTGAAGCAGGACGTGTTGCAGTCGTTGCCGCCGAAGACGTCTCATATAAGCAAACAAAAACGTGGACTTGAGCGGTACAGTGGTCCGTACTACTTCCGGGTGACCCTATACGAGTTCCCACTGCCCGCCGACGTCCCCGAGGAGTGTAAGTTTCTGTCTTAGACTGGAGCGCTTCCCCGGGGATAACAAAACCGAAGGGTCCGCACTACGACTCCGGTGAGCGCGTCTCCACGCCATCGAGCAGACGGCGCGTCGATGGCGTAGAAGTTGCCCGCCACACGCCGTCGAGCAGACGCCGCGTCGCCAGCACTCCCTGAGATCAGGAGCCCCACACGTTTAGAGGAGGTCTCCTGCTGAGCGAGCCGAGCCTTGGGGATGCCTGCCCGTCGCGTAGGTCACGGTGACCATGTGCTCGACGGCGCACCGCAGATTCGTCACAGATCGGGTGCGCTCGCGGCGCCGTGGTCCGCGTCTCGTTCTGGGGCTGCGGCCAGCGTATCGAGGCTTTGGTATCCGCGAAACAGAGAGCATTGATGTCCATCTCCTCCTACGACTTCGCGAGTCGCCGTGGACAGGCTACAGACCGACGTCGTCGCGGCGGCGATGGGCGTTCGCTCTGGCTCTGCCCCGCGCCGACCGCGAACGACGGCGTTTGAGCATTCCAATGGGTGGACACAAAATCGGCGCCCGAGGTTGCGCGGGTCGCCCGGCGCGTCCACCACGACGACCGGCTTCTTCGACGCCCTGGGGAACCGCCCGCGGGGCTCGAAGGCTGCACGCCGCCCCCAGGAGGTGGGCAGCCCCATGGATTGGCCGCCGCCGTCAACCCGTTTTCGTGGGCAAGGCCGCAGCCCGCGGAGCCGTTATCGTAATATCCCAGAGCAGCGTGGGGCAGCGCGGGCGGGCTGGTGCGATTTGGGTGGCGGCCCAGCTGATGCCCCGAAGGTCCGGCCGGGCGGGCCCTGGCCAGGGCTTTGTCTGATTTCGGTTCTTTTTCTAGAAGGGAATTGAACGCCCGACGCGGCTTGGTGCACGCGTCGCCCGGGCTCCAGGACTCGTGGTGTGGAATTTTTGGTGCTCCTGTATTTACCACTTTTAGCAGCTAAAATAGCGCGCACCGGCTGCAATTGGGCCGCCCGGGCAGCTTGGCTGCCGGCAGGGCGAGCCCCTGGCGTACGCCACCATGGCGCACTGTCGGGCAGCCTATGCCGGTAGCTTGATGAGACACACTAGCAAGCAGTCGCGACTTTTGAGAAATCAAGCAAGGTCTGTGACTAGCTCTAGTGCTGCTCACCGATCCCGATTGACGACGCCAATGCAATACATTCGCTGCGCCCTCCTCGCCGCCGCCGCCTCTGCACTCGCTCCGCCGAGCGTAAGCGCGCGTGCACCCATATCCTTCAAGGCTGTCCACCAGGACAGCACCATCGCCGTCGACGAGCGCTTCGCCGGCGACAAGACCCTCCCGACCTCCTGCGAGACGGTCGCGACCCCCGGCGTGCAGTGGTGCGCGGACGTCGCTTCAAGCCTCGCCGAGCCCGGGCCGGAGCTACTCTCGACGCTGACCATGCCCCTGCCATTCCACGTCCCAACGAAGAAAGGCTCTGGTCTAGTACTGGCGAAGGACGAGAAAGGGGAGGACGTTTATGTGCCGGACCCGCAGTCGTCGAGACTTTGCGAGGAGCTCGTGGCGCTCGAAGGTGTGCCGAACCCCGAGGCTTTGTGGCTATTAGTGAGGGATGTTCCTGGGCACATTCTCGTGCCGAAACTAAGCGCAGCGATCGCCTACCAGAAGTCGGCGCCTAAGGGAGATTTCTGCCAGTATTTCCTCGACACCCTCGTCCCCCAGGTGGAGGAGGCGATCAAGGCCGCGCCGGACCTCTACTCGGCCTCGAAGGCCATGAGCGACGTCTCGCATCTCGGCGTGAACCTCGGCGGCGGGTGCTATCGGACCGTCGACCTCCTGGACAACAAGAACCTGAAGGTGATACCGGGCGTGATGGTGTTCCACCTCGCCGTCGGTCGCCGCGGCGACGGACACAACTCTTTTGCTAGGGACCGTAACAAGTGCGAGACCGGCAAGGCGATCGTGGAGTCGCTGCGACGCGTCTACGCGGAGGCCGGGTGCCTCCCGGAGATCGTCCTTGTACAGGAGTCCTGGGCGATCAACGGTTGTGATCAAGTAGGCGTCCGGCGGTCCGAGAAGGGCGACGTCGTGACGTAAGTTGTCCGAGTCGGACCACTTTACGCGTCTTCAACTTGCGCGAGCCTCCACGCCGTCGACGCGACGGGCTCCTCGCACGCAGGTACTCCATCAACAAGCAGGAGTGCGCGATCAACAAGGTGGCGCTTGCGCTACGGCGAGCGGTGCGGAAGGCGACCGCGCGCCTCAACGTGATGGTGCTGGCCTCTGAGGACCGAGGGCCCATCTACTTCGTCGACGCCGGCCGCGACGCGATCCTCGGCGCCCACTCGGGCCGCTTCACCGCGCTCGAAGCCCATGGTCTGGTGGAGCGAGTCTGCGGCTCGGCGACCTGCCACCACCCAGGCTTAGCGTGGATGTGCCAGGCCTCGAAGGTCACGTTGGATGCGGCCGTGGCGCCCTGCGTCCGAACGCCGATCTACCGATCTACTCGACCTCATATTTTATTTACGCACAGGTGGCGCAGGGCGTCGCGGCGATCATGGGCGCCCACGGCATGAAGGTGCCCGACGCGCTCGCGCAAGCGACGACGGCGGGCGTCCAGGAGCCGCCGGAGGGCTTCGAGCGCAAGATTGTTTCTGGACACCTCAAACTCGTGGCGCGGGACGGCGCCGTCGCGTCGCGCGCCGACGACGCATACGCGGCGGCGGCTTCATTAGAGGCGGACACGTCCTTGACGCCCACGGCGGCGCTCGATGCTGTGCGGGCGGCGCGGCTCCGCCTGGAGGGCCTCCGGTACGAGCCCCGGAGCAACGGCCACGCCCGGTGGTTCTTGGACGGCGCCCCCGAGCCGATCACGCGCGTGAACTACGCGGAGGCGCTGTCGGCGCGCCTCGTCGACGAGGTCCTCGTCGGCCTGCGCTACGACGCGGACGAGCGGGTCAAGGTCGCGTTCGACGAGACCGTGCGGGAGCATTACGCTGTGAAAGGTCTCGACTACGAGTGGATCAGCGGTATGAGCACGCGCGGCTATTTCATCGAGGGCTGTTTGGCCTCCTGCTGGCCTTTCCGGATCCGTTCGATAGAGGACGCCCGCGAGTGTTCGCGCGAGCTGGGCGACGGAGGCCTCATCGGCCGCGGTCTCGACGACCTGGACGTGAGGCGGACCTTCTTTAAGTACGCGACGGACTGGAGCGGGCGGTCTCAGGCGGAGCGCGACGCTTTGCCCACCCCGACGCATAACTTTGCGGGAGGATGGGTGTCCGTCGTGCCAGAAGACTTCGAGACGCTCGGCTCCCCCGCCGATTTGCGCTGGGCGGCAGAAAGGACGGACGACATGCCCGAGAATCGCCCCGTCGGGATTTCATTAACGTCCGGTCCGTCGTCGAACTGGCGGGTGTTCATCGCGCGCACGCATCTCGGCTGCTATCCCTCCGCGGCCCAAGCGTGGGCCGCGTACCCGAAGGCTACTGCCGACGACGACTCCGAGTCCGACAACAACTCGATCACGCTCGACCAGATGCGCGAGAACGCGATGCTGCCGCCGGCGAAGCGGCATCGCTCGTGATAAGTGTGCTATTTGTTAGCTTGCCTCCCAGAGACGAGAGAGAGAGTAGCTTGTGCCTCCTTGGCGGAGACTTGACTACAACTGTAGCCATAGCGGCTACGCATCCGTACGCGGGGCATTGCGACTTATCTGCTCCGCAGCCAACAACCCAAGCTTGACCCTTTGCAGAGAGAGGACGCCACAGCTGCAACATGCGTCTCCTTGCAGTGCTGAGCACGGCGGCGGCGCTGGTGGCGCCGCCGGCCCGCGTGGCGCGGGGCCGGACCTGCGCGCTCGCGGCCGAGCGGGGCCACGAGCGGCGGCGGCGGCCCGAACTGAGGGCGGCCGCGGCGGCCGCGTCGCTCGCGGCGCTGCTGCCGGCGGCGGCGCACGCGGCGGATTTATCGACCATGGCGGCGCCGCTCGACTCGACGTTCCTGCAGTCGACGTCGCTCGTCTTCCTGTCGGAGATCGGCGACAAGACCTTCTTCATCGCGTCGATCTTGGCGGCGAAGGCGAGCCGGCTCGTCACGTTCGTCGGCAGCTTCGGGGCGCTCGTCGTCATGACGGTCATTTCGGTACTGATCGGCCAGGTCTTCCACCAGGTGCCGGACTCGTTCACGGGCGGCCTGCCCATCGACGACTACGTCGCGATCGCCTCCTTCGTCTACTTTGGCGCCAAGTCCATCAGCGACGCGCTGGGCAACGAGGACGCGGGCGCAGGCATGGCCGAGGAGTTGGACGAGGCGGAGCAGGTCCTCGCCGAGGGTGACGTGCTCGAGAAGACGCGCGGGAAGGCCCTGAGGCTCGCGGGCGAGGCCTTCGCGCTGACGGTGGCGGCGGAGGTCGGCGACCGGTCGCAGCTCGCGACGATCGCCCTGTCGGCGGCGCAGAACCCCTACCTGGTGTGCGCGGGCGCGTGCTTCGGCCACGGCCTCGCGACGGGCATCGCCGTCGTCGGGGGCGCGTTCATCTCCAAGTACACGAACGAAAGGACCGTGGGCCTGGTGGGCGGCGTCCTCTTCCTGGTGTTCGCGGCGACGACGGCGCTCGGGACCTTCTAATATTTAGTATTATCCGGAAGCACTTACTCGAACATGGCCTCGTCGCCGTCGTCGTCGAACGAGAACGCCTTGGCCGGCTCGCCGTCGACGGCGTCGGCCGATACCTTTTGCTTGGCCGCGTAGGCGTCGTACTTGGCGAGGTCCGCGTCCGTGACGGAGCGCCGCGCCGTGGCCATGGCCTCCTCGAAGTGTTTGGTGGAGACGGCCGTCGGGCCCTCTACTCCTTCCGCCGCCGCGTGCACGGCGTCCCGGATCGCGCAGCGCGCGGCCCGCTTCGCGACCTCGGCGCAGTCCGCGCCCGAGAAGCCCGGCGTGCACCTTGCTAACAAATCAAGGTCCACCTCATCAGAAACGGGCGAGTTCCGGAGCGCCGCGCGGAAGACCGCCGCGCGCGACGCCTCGTCGGGCAGCGGGATATACACTAAAGTATCTAAGCGTCCCGGCCGCGTGATCGCCGCGTCCAAAACCTCCGGTCTATTGGTCGCGCCGATGACGAAGACGTCCTTCCGCGCGCCGACGCCGTCGATCTCCGTCAGGATCTGGTTGATGACGCGGTCGCCGGCCTCGGACGCGCCGCCCTGGCCCGAGCCGCGCTGCTTCGCGATGGCGTCGATCTCGTCGAAGAAGAGGATGCAGGGCGCCGACGCGCGCGCCTTCTCGAAGAGCGCGCGGACGTTCGCCTCGCTCTCGCCGAACCACATCGTGAGGAGCTCGGGGCCCTTGATGCTCACGAAGTTCGCGCCGCACTCGTGGGCCACCGCCTGGGCCAGGAGCGTCTTGCCGCAGCCCGGCGGGCCGTAAAACAAAACGCCCTTGGACGGGGGCAGCCCCACGGCCTTGAACTTCGCCGCGTGCTCGACGGGGTACTGCACCGTCTCGTGGAGCTCCCGCTTCACGTCTTCGAGCCCGCCGACGTCGGCCCACGACGCCTTCGGGATCGAGGCGGCCGTCTCCCGTAACGCCGACGGGTTCACCCTGTCTAAAGCTTTCGTGAAGTGCTCCATTTTGACCTTTCTGGACGCACCTTCGTCCGCGTAGCCGCAGAGGAGTTGCGTCCGCGCGTCCGACCCCGCCGGGAAGTGCTCGCGCACCGTCTCGTAGGCAGCCTCGAGGCATAACTGCGCGACGTCCGCACCGACGAAGCCGTGCGTGTCCCGCGCTAGCCTCTCCAGGTCCACGTCGTCATCCAAGGCCACGTCCCGCGTGCGCACCCTCAGAATATCCAACCTCGCGTCGGCGTCGGGCGCCCCGACGTCGACCTCCTTGTCCAACCTCCCATATCTCCGCAACATGGGATTCACCGAGTTCGGCCGATTCGTCGCCGCCATGACGATCACCGCCGCGTTCGCGTGGTCCCGTTCGAGTTCGTCCAGAAGGTCGCACAGCGTCCGCACCACGCGCTTCTCCTCGGCGCCGCCGCCGCCGCCCTTGTCCCGCCGCGGCGCGATCGCGTCGACCTCGTCGAGAAAGACGATCGCCGGCGCGTGCGCCCTCGCTTGATCGAAGGCCTTCCGCAGGTTCGCCTCGGCCTCGCCGGGCTGCTTGCTCAGGATCTCCGCGCCGTTGATCAAAAAGAAAAACGCCCCGGTCTCTCGCGCCACGGCTCTCGCCAAACTAGTCTTGCCGCAGCCCGGCGCGCCGTGCAGCAAAACCCCCCTCGGCGGCGCGACGCCGACCGCCTCGAAGAACTCCGGGCGCTTCAGCGGCGCCTCCACCAACTCCCGGACCGTCGCCACGGCCTTGTCGATACCCCCAAGATCGTCGTAGCCAATCTCGTCGACTTCCTGACTCCGTAGTAACCGCTCCTCCTCTATAATAATCTCGCACCCGCCCTCGGGCACGACGCCGCCCTTATCGTCCGACGCCGTCAGGGCCGTGTCCACGTCAATCACCTTGAATTCGACGCCGTTCGCCTCGATCCGGTCGCCCGCTCTTAATGGAACGTTGCCTCGCTCCAATCGCGGCGCGAGGCACTTTTCGACCAATTCCTGGTCGGAGACGTCGCTTTTGAACCCCGCGGCCGCCAGCGAGTCGAGGAAGGCCGCGACATACACGTGCGTCGCCGCCGCGACGCCTTCGGAGGGAGGCGTCACCGTGACGACTCCTCCCACTCTTACCGCGGCGTTCTGCCGCGCTAATCTACCTAACGCACAAGCGTCTCCATCCTCCTCGCGCTGCTTCACGACACACAGCGTGTGCGCGCCCTTGGCGCCGCTCACCTCCACCACATCTCCTTCAAAAACGCCGCACGCGTCCATCTGGCCCTCGGGCAGCTCGATGCCGCTCGCGTCGAAGTCCGCGGCGTCCTCGACGGCCGCGTCGACCTCCAATCTTATCGAGGCCGGCTCGTCCTCCTCGACGGTCTTCTTCGCGCCTCCCCTACTCGCGAGCCAGCGCGTCGGCGGCCGCGCCGCCGCGGCGGCGGCGACAACCAGCCAGAGTCCGCGCATGGTGTTGGATCTACCTGTTTTTGTACGGCGTCGGCGCTCTGCCGCGTAGGCTCCGCGTGGCGATATCGCCTTGCTGCTACGTCGTGTCAGCAGATACGCGAGCAGAGCGACTCGTATCAGCCTTCGCAGGCAGCGAAACTGGGCCTCGCTTCACTCTGGGCATGCAGCGAGACCTAGCTCAAGCCGCTCCTCCGCACTTCAATGGCGTCACGCAGGCTAGCGGCCGTAAGACACTAGGAAAACTGGCACCGCACAGGGCTCCGCCCACTAGTCCTAGCACCGTAACATGATGAGTACCGATGGCTATCATGGCGACGGGGCTAACTCGCGGGCTTTGGGTGTCTTCAGGGTGTCTTCAGGATGTCTCCCCACGGGCGCGCGGGCCCGTGGACGAGTCCCAGCACCGCAACAGATCGTGACTCGGACACCTAGACTCGGGCTCGTTAGACGCGCGGGGGATGTGCGGGGGATGCGCTCATAACAAGGCCTAGGGCGCCATCTCGCGCGGCGCCATGCCGAGGGAGTCCGTCGCGTCGGGGTCCGCGCCCTCGCGGACGAGGAGCGCGACCATGTCGGGCCGGTCGTACTCGTAGGCCCACCAGAGCGGCCCGCGGCCGTCCTCGGCCCGCAGGTGGATCAGCCCGGGCGCACGTTTCAACCATGCCTCCAACTCAGAGACCTCGCCCGAGCTCACGATCTGCCACATGAGCGTCGTATCTTCTGAGTTCGACCAGCGCGCCCACTCCTCCTTCTGGGCCTCGACGGACGCCCGCGCGCGCTCCTCGTTCTCCTTCTGCGACGCGGCGTAGGCCTCCTCGTCGACGGCCGGCACGTCGTCGTCCTCCTCGTAGTCGTCCTCGTCGACGTCGGCGACCTCGAAGTACTTCGGGGCCTCGTAGCGGCCCGCCGACGACGCGGCCCGGCCCTCCATGCGCGCCATGTACTGCGCGACGTACGCGTCGGCGTCGCCCCCGCGCTGCTTGTTGAAGTCCTCGAGCTGCGCGAAGTCGATGCGCCTCGAGATCAGCTCGCGCAGGGCCGGCGGGTACTGGCCGACGCAGTACCAGGACCCCGGCGCGTCGCAGATGCGGTTCGCCGGGTCGCGCGTCCACTGCTTCGAGGTCTTGGACACCTTGAGGACCTTGAAGATGCGCACCTTGTTGAAGCGCGACGTGTAGGCCTCGCGGAACAGGGTCGGGTCGGCGGCGACGCCGGGGCGCTGCTGGTGCGAGTGGAGCTTGTATAGTAAAGATTCGGCCATCATGGGCGTGGGCGTGCCCTGCCTATCGGTAAAGCCGAAGGATCTACAGGTAGGGTCGTCGGGGCAGATGTCTCTGTACACAGAATTGCCAATCCGAGCCATATGTGGTGACTTAGCTAGGTCATCCCCACCACCACCGGTCCAGACCAAGACGTAGTCCGCGAGGTGCCGCACGATCTTGTGGGCCTGTTTTTCGGGAGAGGTCAGACACCGCCCGATCGTCGCGATGTGCTCGTGGTTCCACGTGTTGCCGTCCGCTAAGGTCGTCCTGTTAGCTAAACCGGCGATCTGATACCCATAATCCCACCAGGCCAATACCCTAGCGTCCTCGGGCGTGTTGTCCCGCAGCCACCAGTAGGCCTCCCTGTAATCATCGACGATGACCGGCTGGCCGTTCCGTAAATGGGCGCGGAACATGATGGAGGGCTGGCTCATGCCCTCGGACAGGGACCAGGCGTAGTCGCTGAACTGCTTGTAGTAGTGGATCGACGCCGCTATTAAAGCAGCAGCTAACACCGTCCGTACGACCTTGAGCCCCGGCGCCTGCAGCGCGGTCGCGAGCGGGCTCAGAGCCTGGGCCGCGGCCTCGTAGAGGCCCTGGACGAGCTCCTCGCCGCCCTCGATCATCGAAGCGACGATGGAGCCCGCGTTGATGGACGTCGCCTTGCGCTCTCTACCTCTTCGCGCGGCGGCCGCGGCCGCGGCGCTCCGTCCCGAGATTTTTCTAGGCGGCGACTTGTCCTTCTCCACCCTGGTGGGCTTCTTCTTCGTCTTCTCCTTCTCTTGATCCTCGTCGGCGGGCCCCAGCAGCGCTTCGAGTAATGAGGGAGCGGTCGCGTCGACGGCGGCGCCGAGCGCGACGCCGGCGAGAGCCGAGGCCACGGGGCCCAGGAAGATGATCAGGCGCACCATCTTCGAGGAGAAGAAGTAGGCCACGAGCGCATAGACCGCGATGAAGCACCGCGCTTCCAATCTAAACCCTCCGCTAAAGAGGACGAAGAGCCCGACCGGGGCGGCGTAGCACGTCGTATGTAAATAGTGCCAGTAGGCGTTCGCCGACGCGGGCTGGTGCTCCGCTACTGAATCAACGAGAGGATTGCCCGTTCTAGTGTGCTTCACAAACAAACCTCGGACCCTCGATGATATAGGGCCAAAGTAGCCGACGCTAAAGAGTAGCACTAAAACCAGCAGCCCGGCGCCCGCCGCCGTCGCGTAGACCTTCAATCTCCTATTCCAGGCCTCGGCCTTGGACAGGGGTCTCGCTTTTTCTACTGCCTTCTCCCCGAGCATCAAAACCTGCAAACCGCCGAACGTCAATAACGGCGCGATCTGCTCCAAGCTTCTTAGGGGCCCCATGCCGACGACGGGCACGCGCGTCGCGCCCAGCGTGCCCACGACGAAGAAGAGGGAGAAGGCCCGGTGGAGCTTGTCGCCGTACCGTCCCAATAATACTAGTACGAACGCGTGTAACGCGACCAGGTTGCCGACGAAGACGAACCCGCCCCAGGCCGCCGCCATGTTCACGTAGGCCAAACCCGCGGCCGCTCCCAGCGGCCAGGAGTCGTCGTTTCTCAAGGATCGACACCACAACAAAAAGACGAGGCACATGGCCGTCACCGCCACGGACTCGTTGTCGTAGCCGCCGCCCACACTTCGCATCAAATGGGCCGGGACGACGGCCATGATCAATGTCGAGGCCACGGCGGCGTTCGCCGACTTGGAGCACTCGAACGTGAGCAAGCCCAGTAACAGCGTCGCTAGAACCCCGAACCAGACCGGCACGTACACACACACGTCGTTCAGCGACATGTCGCTCCCGACCAACCCGAGCATCCTCCAGATGAGCACGGACGTGATCTGCATGCCCGGGTAGATCGTCGTCCCTACCGGTCGTCCGAGAGGATACCAGCTCATGTGGTCGAACCACGTGAAGAACTTGCCCCAGCCGTTCGCCGCGAGGTACTCCGTCGCCCGATAATTGAACCACGGGTCGAACTCGTGGATGACGGGGCCGTACGTCCGGACGGCGTGCATGCGGATCTCGTACGCGTTGTGGCACGCGAGGGCCAGGAGGAGCGCCCTCAGCACATGGCCCGCGGCGCCGGCGGACTGCGCCATGGGTGGTGCTGCGGTCGCGCGGGATGCGCGTGCAGCTGCTGGGATGTTACAGCCTTACAGCGACGGGCTAGCGCGAGATCGCTGTGCAACCGCGGCTGCTGAGATTTTGCTGCCAGTTATCGCGCTGCCTGCTGCGTATTTTGCAGCGGCGCGCGGTAGCTAGCTGCGCTAAAAAGGCTGTCGGCCGTCTTCTCTACGAGCTTGTACAGCACAGGTACTTTTTACCGGTACTAGACAAGCAGGAGTCCTCCTTGTGGAAACAAACTTCAATGCGGGTTTCAGTACAAGAAACAGGGTGAAGAGGATTCCTTCTCGGGGGCGAATCGGATATGGCCCTCGACGATGCGGCGAGAGGCGTAAGCCCCAGCACAAATTATCGGGTGAGCTGTCGCTGGTAAAAAGTTATTGATAGCAGCAGGAATCACAGATCAGAGTTCTTATTACAGCTCCGCGCCGCTGACGCTTCGCAGGAGCTGTTTACGTGAGCAAAAAGTGCGTTGACGGCACCTTGCATTTGCTGCATTTGCTCGACGTAGCACTGCAAACGAATAACCATGGCCGAGGTTAAAAAGGAGGTGCCGCGCATCCCGCGCGTCGTGTTTGACTGGGAGAAGAACTACGTCCCCCGGAAGCAGACGGAGCCGCCGCTGCCCGTGTCGAAGCCCGCGCAGCAGCACACGCCGAACCCCTACGTGTACGACGCGCTGGCGAGCCCGCGCGTGGTCGAGGCGCGCAAGAAGCGGCCCTCGTTAGAAACGTCGCAGTTCGGCGACCTGCGGACGACGTGGACGCAGCCCGCGGACCTCTACCCGCGGGGCTTCCCGTACTTCGTGCGCGGGCGCGACTCGGCGCGGTCGTACATCTCGGAGCTGTTCCAGACGCGCATCACCATGTACGACGGCGCCATGGGCACGATGATCCAGAAGCACAAGCTCGAGGAGGACGCGTTCCGCGCGGAGCGGTTCAAGGACTACGACATGCTGATCAAGGGCAACAACGACCTGCTGTCGATCACGCAGCCGCAGATCATCAAGGACATCTACAAGAAGTACCTGGTCGAGGGCGGGTCGCAGCTGATCGGCACGAACACGTTCTCGTCGACGACGATCGCCCAGGCGGACTACAAGATGGAGGACCTGGTGTACGAGCTGAACTACGACTCGGCGCGCCTGGCGCGCGAGGCCTGCGACGAGGTGACGAAGATGGACCCGACGAAGCCGCGCTTCGTCGTCGGCGCCATCGGCCCGACGAACCGGACGGCGTCCATCTCGCCGGACGTGAACGACCCGACGGCGCGGAACTGCACGTTCGACGAGCTGGTCGAGGCGTACTACGAGCAGTGCGTCGGACTCGTGGACGGCGGCGCGGACATCCTGATCGTGGAGACGATCTTCGACACGCTGAACGCCAAGGCGGCGGTGTACGCGGTGAACGAGTTCCTGGAGGACGCGGGCATCGACATCCCGCTGTTCATCTCGGGCACGCTCGTGGACCAGAGCGGGCGGACGCTGTCGGGCCAGACGGGCGAGGGCTTCTACGCGTCGATCCGGCACGCCAAGCCCATGTGCGTCGGGCTGAACTGCGCCCTGGGCGCGTCGGCGATGGCGCCGTTCCTGAAGCGCCTGTCGGACTGCGCGGAGTGCTTCGTGCACGTGTACTCGAACGCGGGCCTGCCGAACGCGATGGGCGGCTACGACGACACGCCGGCGGACATGGCGCGCGAGAACGTGGTGTTCGCGAAGAACGGGTGGGTCAACATGATGGGCGGGTGCTGCGGCTCGACGCCGCCGCACATCAAGGCGATCTACGAGGCCTGCAAGGACTTTGCGCCGCGGCCGCTGCCGACGCTGGGCCCGCCGCAAATGTGGCTCTCGGGCCTGGAGGACTTCAAGATCGGCCCGGACACGTACAACAACTGCGGCCTGCCCTTCGTGAACGTGGGCGAGCGGTGCAACATCGCGGGGTCGCGCAAGTTCAAGCGCCTGATCATGGAGGGCAAGTACCCGGAGCTGATGGACATCGCCAAGGACCAGGTCGAGGCCGGCGCGCACGTGGTGGACATCAATGTGGACGACGGCATGCTGGACGGCCTGGCGGCCATGCAGAAGTTCGTCAAGATGGCGGTGACGGAGCCGGACGTGTCGCGCGTGCCGTTCATGATCGACTCGTCCAAGTTCGACATCGTGCTGGCGGGGCTGAAGTGGAACCAGGGCAAGGCGATCGTGAACTCCATTTCGCTGAAGGTCGGCGAGGAGTTATTCATCGAGCACGCCACTTTGTTAAGAAAGCACGGCGCGGCGGTCGTCGTGATGGCGTTCGACGAGCAGGGCCAGGCGGCGACGAAGGAGGACAAGGTTCGTATTTGTAAAAGAAGCTACGACATCCTCGTGAACGAGCCGGTCTGCTTCCCGCCCGAGGACATTATCTTCGACCCGAACATTTTGACGATCGGCACCGGCACCGAACCGCGCCCCAAGGCGCCTTCAACCGACGGATCGACCGCAGCATTTTATTCACAAACCTAGCCCGCGCGACCACGTCGGCGCCCGACGCGCGCGAGGCACCGCACCATATACGTACATATATACATATGGTATATCGACGCAGGCATCGAGGAGCACAACGCGTACGGCGTCGACTTCATCGACGCGTGCAAGACCATCAAGGAGATCTGCCCCTGGTGCAAGATCAGTGGCGGCGTCTCGAACCTGAGCTTCGGGTTTAGGGGCGCGAACGTCATCCGCGAGAGCATCCACGCGGTTTTCTTAACTGAGGCCGCCAAGAGCTCGGGCATGGACATGGGGATTGTGAATGCGGCGGAGATGCTCGCGCTCAAGGACGTCGAGGAGGACCTCCTCGAGATGTGCACGGACGCCGTCATGAATAGAACGGATAAGGCGACCGAGCAGCTCACGGAGATGTCCCAGTGGTTCTTCGACTGCAAGCAGGCGAAGAAGGATGGTACACAACCGCCGCGACGGCCGCGCTTCTGCAAGAAGCAGCCGCGCGTCGTGTTTGACTGGGAGAAGAACTACGTCCCCCGGAAGCAGACGGAGCCGCCGCTGCCCGTGTCGAAGCCCGCGCAGCAGCACACGCCGAACCCCTACGTGTACGACGCGCTGGCGAGCCCGCGCGTGGTCGAGGCGCGCAAGAAGCGGCCCTCGTTAGAAACGTCGCAGTTCGGCGACCTGCGGACGACGTGGACGCAGCCCGCGGACCTCTACCCGCGGGGCTTCCCGTACTTCGTGCGCGGGCGCGACTCGGCGCGGTCGTACATCTCGGAGCTGTTCCAGACGCGCATCACCATGTACGACGGCGCCATGGGCACGATGATCCAGAAGCACAAGCTCGAGGAGGACGCGTTCCGCGCGGAGCGGTTCAAGGACTACGACATGCTGATCAAGGGCAACAACGACCTGCTGTCGATCACGCAGCCGCAGATCATCAAGGACATCTACAAGAAGTACCTGGTCGAGGGCGGGTCGCAGCTGATCGGCACGAACACGTTCTCGTCGACGACGATCGCCCAGGCGGACTACAAGATGGAGGACCTGGTGTACGAGCTGAACTACGACTCGGCGCGCCTGGCGCGCGAGGCCTGCGACGAGGTGACGAAGATGGACCCGACGAAGCCGCGCTTCGTCGTCGGCGCCATCGGCCCGACGAACCGGACGGCGTCCATCTCGCCGGACGTGAACGACCCGACGGCGCGGAACTGCACGTTCGACGAGCTGGTCGAGGCGTACTACGAGCAGTGCGTCGGACTCGTGGACGGCGGCGCGGACATCCTGATCGTGGAGACGATCTTCGACACGCTGAACGCCAAGGCGGCGGTGTACGCGGTGAACGAGTTCCTGGAGGACGCGGGCATCGACATCCCGCTGTTCATCTCGGGCACGCTCGTGGACCAGAGCGGGCGGACGCTGTCGGGCCAGACGGGCGAGGGCTTCTACGCGTCGATCCGGCACGCCAAGCCCATGTGCGTCGGGCTGAACTGCGCCCTGGGCGCGTCGGCGATGGCGCCGTTCCTGAAGCGCCTGTCGGACTGCGCGGAGTGCTTCGTGCACGTGTACTCGAACGCGGGCCTGCCGAACGCGATGGGCGGCTACGACGACACGCCGGCGGACATGGCGCGCGAGAACGTGGTGTTCGCGAAGAACGGGTGGGTCAACATGATGGGCGGGTGCTGCGGCTCGACGCCGCCGCACATCAAGGCGATCTACGAGGCCTGCAAGGACTTTGCGCCGCGGCCGCTGCCGACGCTGGGCCCGCCGCAAATGTGGCTCTCGGGCCTGGAGGACTTCAAGATCGGCCCGGACACGTACAACAACTGCGGCCTGCCCTTCGTGAACGTGGGCGAGCGGTGCAACATCGCGGGGTCGCGCAAGTTCAAGCGCCTGATCATGGAGGGCAAGTACCCGGAGCTGATGGACATCGCCAAGGACCAGGTCGAGGCCGGCGCGCACGTGGTGGACATCAATGTGGACGACGGCATGCTGGACGGCCTGGCGGCCATGCAGAAGTTCGTCAAGATGGCGGTGACGGAGCCGGACGTGTCGCGCGTGCCGTTCATGATCGACTCGTCCAAGTTCGACATCGTGCTGGCGGGGCTGAAGTGGAACCAGGGCAAGGCGATCGTGAACTCCATTTCGCTGAAGGTCGGCGAGGAGTTATTCATCGAGCACGCCACTTTGTTAAGAAAGCACGGCGCGGCGGTCGTCGTGATGGCGTTCGACGAGCAGGGCCAGGCGGCGACGAAGGAGGACAAGGTTCGTATTTGTAAAAGAAGCTACGACATCCTCGTGAACGAGCCGGTCTGCTTCCCGCCCGAGGACATTATCTTCGACCCGAACATTTTGACGATCGGCACCGGCATCGAGGAGCACAATAATTATGGAGTGGACTTCATCGAAGCGACGAAGACCATCAAGGAGCTGTGCCCCTGGTGCAAGATTAGCGGCGGCGTGTCGAACCTGAGTTTCGGGTTTAGGGGCGTCAATGTCGTCCGCGAGTCGATCCACGCCTATTTCTTGCACCATGCGTGCGTGTCGTCGGGCATGGACGTCGGGATCGTGAACGCGGCGGAGATGCTCCACCCCGTCGAGGTGCCTCCGCAACTGCGAGAGGTGTGCGAGGACGCGGTGCTGAATCGGCGGCCGGACGCCACGGATCGCCTATTAGCAGCGACAGAAGCCGAGAAGGAGGCCATGGAGCTGCGGAAGCGCGGCGGCGGCGCCGTCGCGGTCAAGAAGAAGAGCTGGCGCGACCTACCTATCGCTGAGAGACTCACCCATGCATTGGTGAAGGGCATCAGCGAGCACGTCGACAAGGACACGGAGGAGATGCGTTCGGAGATCGAGCAGCGGGGCGGCAAAACCCTGGAAGTCATCGAGGGGCCGCTGATGCAGGGCATGAACGTCGTTGGTGATTTATTTGGAGCTGGTAAAATGTTCCTGCCGCAGGTGATTAAGAGTGCGCGGGTGATGAAGAAGGCCGTGGCGTACTTATTACCGTTCATGGAGAAGGAGAAGCGGGACAACTTGATCGCGCAGGGCCTGGACCCGGACGCGCAAGGGGATGACGATTCGCAGTACGCGGGCAAATTCCTCATAGCGACGGTCAAGGGTGACGTCCACGACATTGGGAAGAACATCGTCGCGGTCGTCCTAGGGTGCAACAACTACAAGGTCTACGATATTGGCGTCATGTGCACGTGTGAGAGTATCTTAGATGCGGCCATCGAGCATGATGTGGATGCTATTGGCTTGTCCGGTCTCATCACACCGTCGCTCGATGAAATGGTCGACGTCGCCAAGGAGATGGCGAAGCGGAATTTCAAGGTACCCTTGCTGATAGGTGGGGCTACGACCAGTAAGATGCACACCGCAGTCAAAGTGGCCCCGCAGTACGCCTCGGACGAGCACCCCGTGATCCACGTGTTAGATGCCAGTCGCGCGGTTACTGTAGTAAGCTCATTATTGTCTGATGAGTTGAAGCCCGACTACGTCGCGGACGTCCAGGACGAGTATGCTGAATTGAGAGATGAGTACTACGCGTCGCTAGAAGACAGGAAGTACTTGACGCTGGACCAAGCCATCGCCAAGCGCGGCGACGTAGCGATAGAGAAGGTAGCACCGGTACCGACGCATCTCGGCGCCCGCGTCGTCGAGGAGGACCTCGCGGCGGTCGTGCCGTTCATCGACTGGAACCCCTTCTTCCAGACCTGGGAGCTCCGGGGGAGGTACCCGAACCGAGGCTACCCGAAGATCTTCAATGATGAGACGGTAGGAGCGGAGGCCAAGAAGCTCTTCGACGACGCGCAAGCGATGCTGAAGAAAATCGTGGAGACGAAGGAGTTGTCGCTGAAGGGGTGCTACGGCTTGTATGCGGCGAACCGGAGCGACGGGGGCGAAGACGTCGACGTGTGGGAGAATGAGAGTGAACGCGGCGGCAAACCCGCAGCCACCTTCTGCATGCTAAGGCAGCAGGCGGAAGTCGACGGCCAGCAGCATTACTTATCGCAGGCGGACTTCGTCACTCCCCGAGGATCGCGGGACCACCTGGGCATGTTCGCCGTGGCTTGTTTCGGGGCCGAGGCCGCCGCGAAACGCCACGAGGACGCCAATGACGACTATTCGAAGATCATGGTCCAGGCCTTGGCCGATCGCCTCGTCGAGGCCTTCGCCGAGAAATTACATAGGGACATGCGCGTGGCGCACTGGGGCTACGCCGCTTCCGAAAGTTTATCGCATGACGACTTATTGAAGGTGAAATACGATGGTATTAGACCGGCGCCGGGCTACCCGTCGCAGCCGGACCACACGGAGAAGCGCACGATGTGGGATTTGATGGACGTGGAAAAAAGGTGCGGCATCAAGCTCTCCTCGTCATTGTCGATGATGCCGGCGGCGTCGGTGAGCGCGCTGGTCTTCGCCCACCCGGACGCGTCGTACTTCGCCGTCGGCAAGGTCCAGAAGGACCAGGTCGAGTCCTACGCGAAGCGCAAGGGCATGGAGCTCGAGGTCTGCGAGCGCTGGCTCTCGCCCATCCTGAACTACGACCGATAGATCCACCCCCCCTCTCCGAGCCGCGCTGCCTGTCGCACCGCGCCTCGCCTAACGATCGGTTTTATAAATTCGCGTGCCCCTACCCCCGAGGTATAAGGTACATACGATACCTTCCTGAGGGTGTCGTGTTTTGTCTGCAACTAACCATCACACAGGATTGCACGCTGTGTCGCAGTCTGCCACTGTAGAAGTAGAAGACAAGTACAACACAGCAGCAATGCTCATGACGCGCGTAGCATTCCTTGGCACGGTAGCCACCGCGCTCCGCGCCGGCAGCGCACGGAGAGCGCCGTTCTGGCGGCGGTCCCAGACCACCATGTCCTTCAGCATTCAGGACACGGTCGCGGCGTCGGACGTCGTCGTCTTCTCGAAGAGCTGGTGCCCCTTCTGCCAGAAGACGAAGAAGGCGCTCACGCTCGAGGAGATCCCGTTCACGGCCGTCGAGCTCGACGAGCGCGACGACGGCCAGGACATCCAGGACGCGCTCGCCGAGATGACGGGCCAGCGCACCGTGCCCTCGGTCTTCATCAAGGGCACGCACGTCGGCGGCAACGACGACACGCAGCGGGGCCTGCGCGACGGCTCCGTCCAGCGCATGCTCGCCGAGAAGGCGTCCTCGTGAGCCTAAGTCTATTACTCGACGCCCATCTTCGCGAACCGCCCCCGCAGCTTCGCGAGGTCGTCGCTCTCGAGCCGGTTCAGCGCGAGCGAGAAGTCCGGCACGCCGGCCATACCTGCCAAAATCGCGCGCGACGCCTCGGGCAGCTCCTCGGCCTCCTTCCTCAATTCGCCCACGTCGTCCGAGGCCAGGTTCGGGTCGCAGAGCTTCTCCGCGAACATGCGCGCCGCCGCGCGCTCGTCGTCCGACGCCTTGAGCGCGTCGCCCGTCGCCTCGGACTCCTTCGCGCGCGCGACGGCCTCCTTGCGCTCGGACGCCGAGTAGTACCAGAGCGTGACGGACGCGCGCGGCCGGTGCGTCGGCCGCACCTCGTGCTTCATGAGGTCGGAATAGAAGCACGCCAACCGACCAGCTTTCGGTAAAACATCGACGGGGCCCGTCGCGCCGTGCAGGCGTAACGCCCCGCCGTGGTCCTCGTGCCACTTTTCATTAAAGTAGCACAATACGGTCAACCTTCTCCCGTCATCCGTCGTGTTGTCGACGTGGGCCTGGAAGCGCGCGCCGCCGCCGGGGTAGATGGCCAGCATCCCATCTGAACGACTGGCGCAGTCGTTCAACCGCTCCACCCTCGGACAGAGCTCCTTCAGCACGAAGGCGTCCATGGCCTTGAAGAGGTCGCGCACGGACGGGAAGCGCGCCACCTGGCTGCGGTCGATCTTCGAGACGCCGCCGCCCTTCGCGAGGGCGAATTTCCGCTTGACGTCCGTGTCGCAGGGCTCGACGCCGCCCTTCTCCCTTATAGCTCTTGAATTCGCGTCGCCCTGCGCCTGGGGGTGCGCGCCGCACATCCAGAGCACCTTGTCGCCCCGAACGCTCGGTACGACCACTTGCGCGCCGACCGTCGACGACGACCCGACCCAGATCTCCGACGGGTCGTAGAAGGGCTCCAGGCCCCCGATCTCCCGTAACACTCGTTGCACGAGGTCCGTTCCACAAAAGCCGTCGAGGCACGCCCAGCCCCGCTCCTGCAGACTTTCCGCGACGCCGTCCGCGGCGCGGCCGACCCTCAGCTTCGCCGTCCGCTTCGTGGCCTTCTTCTTCGACAGGTCCGCCCGCGCCATGACCGTCGTGAGGTCGGACGCCTCCACCAACAACTCCTCGGCCTCGGCATCCAACGCACTCGCGAGCTCCTCCTCGTCGTCCAGATCGGCGAAAGCGGGCGCGTGCGCCTGGCCGCCCACCTCCACATTAACAACAGGCGCCGCGGCCTCGAGGAAGCACGTAGAAGCTCTCGGGTCCTCCTTCCGATCGAGCGTCGCCCGCGCCGCCTCGATGACATCCGTGGGCACGCCGTTCCGCTGCAAGTACGCGTTTATCGTATCCCGGTCCCGCCCACTAATGTCGGGCTTCAGCAGGAACGCGCACGTCGCGAGGTACTGCTTCCGCCTGTCCAACCCCCCGGCCGACGTCGCGTCCACCACTTGGGGCTTCGCCGCGCGGATCTCCTTCACGCGCTGGAGGACTTGCTTTTGTACTTTTGGGTCGTCAACACAAGACAGCAGGTCCCGCAGCGCGATGCGCCCGTCGCAGCCCGCGGCCACGCAGCCCATGGACCCGTCGTCGCGGTCGATGGCCCCGCGGCCCTGGGGCCGCGCGAGGGCCATGGCCATGCACTTCTTGCAGGCGCCGTGGCGCGGGTGCTGGCAGGACGGGGCGAGCAGCTCGTCGCTGGTCCGCGGCGTCGCGCAGATGGCGCAGGGCGTCGTCGGGGCTGCCGACAGGTCGAAGCCGCCCCGCTCGTTGGCCTCCAGGACCTGGGCGGCCATCCTGCCCGGGCTGCCCTCTTTTTGATTTATGGTCGGCCGAGCTGCCCTTTTAATGCCTCGGGCGTTTGCCTGATCTTTTTTCTTCTCGTGTTCCTAGAGTCTTACAGGACGCTAGCTAGCTACCGCGACGCTCCTGAAAGCTCAACGGGGCGGCACACCTGACAGGCAGCGCTGCCGACAGCAAAGGGTCATGTCGCGGGCCGAGCGCCAGGCCGCCCGCTGGCAAACACTAGGCAGCAGTGCTCGATCTACGCCGACAGCATCACTGCAGAGCATGCAGTTCGAAGCCGTGCTCGCGTCGGCCGGTAGCAAAGGCGACGCGCCGAGCCGCTTCGAGCTGCGCAGCAACCCCGCGACGGACGAGGTCGTGTTATACGTGTTGCCGGACCCGGCTCTCCCGCAGAAGCCGCGGCACTACTCGCACGCGTCGCGCGGCGGCAATCGGTGCGCGACGCGGGCCCGGCCCGCCGTCGACGCGCGGTGCCCGTTCTGCCCGGGCAACGAAAAGCTCTGCAACGCGGACCTGGCCACGGTGACGACGAACGGCGCGTGGACGGCGCGCGCGTTCGAGAACGCGTTTCCCATCTTCCACGCGCTCGACGGCGCCGGCGCGGGCGACCGCCTGGGCGCGGGCGACCGCCTGGCGGCGCGCGGAGCGATGGAGGTGCTCGTGGCGGCGCGCGGCCACAACGAGGGCCTCGCCGACCTCTCGCCCGCCGCCGCGGGCGAGCTCGTCACGCTCGCGCGCGACCGCTTCAACGCGCTGGCCGCGCGGCGCGGCGTCCGGTCCGTGCGCGTCTTCCAGAACCACGGCGCGCGGGCCGGCGCGTCGATCTCGCACGCGCACTGGCAGTGCGTGGCCCTGGGCTTCGTGCCGCCGAACGCGCTCCGTCGCGCGGCGGCGCAGGCCCGCGGTGACGCCTGCCCCGTGCGCGCGCTGATGGACGCGCCGGAGACGCTGGTCTGGGAGGACGCGAACGCCAGGGCCTTCGCGGTCGTCGCGCCGCGCAGGGGCACGGTCTGGGTGGCGCCCCGGCGGCGGCGAGCGCGGATCGGAGAGCTGACGGACGACGAGTGCCGGAGTATAGGAGAAGGCCTGCGGACCGTCGCGCGGGCCATGTGTCAAGCTTGGGACGACCCCGACTTCAACCTCGTCGCGCACTCCGCCTCTCTACAATCCACCGAGCGCTTCCACGCGTATTTCGAAATTGTGCCGCACCGCCGCGAGGACGCGTCGCTCGGCTCACTCCAGTACGACGTACCAATCTCCCACCTGCCGCCGGAGCAGTGCGCCGCAGAGTTAAATTCAGTTGGATGTTACCCGAACCCCAGGCACTGGATCCCCACGCTCCGGTCGCGCGGCCCGTCCAAATCGACCAGCATCACCGACTGCCACTGGCCCAGCACCAGCGCGCCGTCCACGACCGGAATCGATTCTGATGAACCAAGCAGCATGCTCCCCAAATGGGAGTGCGCGTTGATCGGCTCCTGGTCGCGCCACCGCTGCAACTCCTCCTCATCGTCGACATTCCACCCGTTCTCCAGACACCTCAATCGTTCGTCCTCGGAGTCGGGCCGCACCTCGATGTCGTTGTGTTTGTAGAAGATCTTCTGATCCGTACCGATAAAACTTCTGTCGTCCGGGGGTGCGAGCTTCAGCAGCCACGCCCGCACGTCCCTCACGAGCCGCGACTCCCACTCGTTGATGGTTATCGCCGTCGTCGTGTGCATGCTCACGACGTTGACGCAGCCCTGTTTCATACCAGACTCTTTCACTAGTCGGTGCAAGTGGGGCATCAGGTCCACGACCGTCACCTCCTGGCGCGGCGCGTAGGCCTCGGGCGATTTTATGGAAACTTTTTCGAAGTGCGCGATCTGCTGCAGTTGGAGGGCATGCGCCGTGGCGGCGAGCGCGACGACGCGGCGCATCTGTCTCAGACTCAGAGAGCACTTTGTCGTTTCACCCCTTACAGATGCAATCTGGCGCAGCTTTGACTGCAGAGCGCTCGACCGCTTCGACGGCCCGCTGTGACGAGCCGTCCTGCAATGATGTCGACGGGAATGCAATGGTTGCAAGCCACAGTGAGGCTGGCTGCTTTGCCAACTGGAGCCCGAGACGGCGCCTGGGCTCGGTTGCTCGACGACGGATCTGCGCCTTGCAATCGACGCCTGCAGAAGCCGCAAGACCCGTGCTAGCTAGCGTAATCGACATACTAGTTAGCGACGAGACGGATTGTCATCAGCGCGGCATTTTTTTTGCAAAGGACGCGGTGCATTAGCGACATAGTTCGTTGCAATAGCCGGGTCGACGAGGCCTGAGCACGCATAAGCCCTCGACGACGTAGCCCGCCACGAGCGGCTCCCGCCCCAGGACTCCACGTAGACCGCAACCCTGCCACGATGGTCCGGCGGCGCGCCGCAGCGCTGGTCCTGGGCCTGCTCCATGCGGCGAATCCCTTCGTCCTGCCCGGGCCGCGCGTCGCGGCCCTCCACATGCCGCGCCGGCCACAGCTGCGACCACCGACCGCGCTGCAGATGGCCCGCGACCTCTACGAGACGCTCGGCGTGCCGCGCGGCTCCGACGAACGCACGATCAAGCGCGCCTTCCGCGACGCCGCGAGAAAATGGCATCCCGACGTGAACGACACGCCGGAGGCCGCCGAGCGCTACAAGGAAATTAGTCAAGCGTACGCGACGCTGAGCGACCCGGACAAGAAGCAGCGCTACGACATGTACGGCGAGACGGGCCTGGGCGGCGGCGGCGGGCCGGGCGGCGGCGTGGAAGTGAACCTGGAGGACATTTTTGATAGTTTCTTCGGCGGCGGCGGCGGCGGCGGGTTTGGGGGAGCTAGGCGGCAGCAGAACGGTCCGATCCAAGGCGACGATCTGAGAGCCGATCTGGAACTAGACTTCAAGACGGCGTGTTTTGGTGGGCAAGAAAAAGTGCGAATCAGTCACTTGGAGAAGTGCGAGACGTGCGAGGGCTCGGGCGTGAAGCCGGGCGCGCAGGTCCGGTCCTGCGCGACCTGCAAGGGGAGTGGAGTGGTCATGCAGGTCACGCGGACGCCTCTAGGGAGTTTCCAGACGCAGACGGTCTGCCCGACGTGTCGCGGCGGCGGCCAGAGCGTCGACGCGTACTGCACGCAGTGCTCGGGCCAGGGCGTCTCCAGGAAAGCGAAGCAGGTGTCCGTGACGATCCCCTGCGGCGTCGACACGGGCAACAAGCTCCGCGTGGCCGGCGAGGGCGACGCCGGGTCGCGAAACGGCCCGGCGGGCGACCTGTACATCTTTCTGAGCGTCAAGAACCTGAATGGTTTCGAACGGGACGGCGTGGACGTCACGACGCGACTGTCCGTCGACGCCTACGACGCGATCCTAGGCTCTTCAGAAACCATCGAAACGTTGGACGAGCCCTCGTTCAGCGTGGACGTGCCGGCGGGCACGCAGCCGGGCACGAAGCTGCGGCTGAAGGGCAAGGGCGCGCCCGCGTTGGGGAAGGCGACGCAGCGCGGCGACCACTACGTCGTGGTGGACGTCGCGATCCCGAAGAAGCTCGACGGCGACTCGAAGAAACTCGTGGAGGAGCTGCGGGACAAGCTGCGCAAGTAGTTTCTAGGTAGACTTTAAGAGGGTGAGACTCTGGCCGACCGTCAGCAGCTCGACCGCGCCGACGACGGGTCCCGTGATGCGTCCCGCGGGGAAGCCGCCGGCCAGCAGCACGCCATTCTTCGAAAAGGCGAGGGACCCATCACCTAGGTTCAGAGTCACGCCGATCTTGTCACCCACCACGAAGCACTTCTCGACGGGCGTCTGGTCCGACGCCTCGGCGACGCCGCTCCCGTACAGCGTCCCGTTGTCCGTCCGCAGGTACCACGCCTTCCCGGACTTCGAGTGGCCGCCCTTCTCGACGTCCAAACCCTCCTGGGCCACGCCGACGTACATCGTCCTATTCCCGTTCGCCTTGGCCGCCGACGTGAACTCGTACTCCCAGACGTGTAAACCGGTAGTGAGTAACCTACCGTTCGTCGCGTGGCGCGGGTAGCTGCCGCCTCGCACCTTCGTGAGGACGGCGCCCTCGGCCTCGCAGGTCTTGCCGAGGCGCGTCCAGGCCAGCTTCGTCGCCTCCGGCGTCGAGAGCGCCTCGAGGGAGCTGTAGATCGATTGGGCCGCCATCTCGCTGTGCGCGAATCGACCAGCAGGATTCAGCAGATTCCTGCACTGACACTGGAACACACTCTCCCCGAGCTCTTGGAGGTGAGAGAGAAGGTTGGGGCGGGCTGCCCTTTGGATGCCGCGCGACGCACCGCGTGGGGAGTTCGTCCGTCCCGTGCAGCGGCCGGGCCTGGCCGCTCCGTCTTAATAAAGGGCGTGCGCACAGCAATACAAACCCGAACAACCCCGTCATTCGCGGAGGATAATGATTCGTCAAGGCCGCCACGCCATCGATGCGTCCCACGTACCAACACGTTATCTTTTACGCAGTCTCTTCGCGAGCCGGAAGCTCGCGCCGGCGAGGAGCGACGCGCCCGGCGCGGCGGCGGGCGGCGCGACGGGCGGCCGCGGCGGCGGCGCCGGCGGCGCGCAGGCCTCGTCGAACTCGGCGGTCCGCCGCGCGTCGCGCAGCAGGGCCCGGAGCGCGGCCTCGTCGTTCGCCGCGGCCCGCGCGGCGTCGTCGTGCCGCGGCTGCGCCCCCAGCGCGCCGGCGACGTGCCGCGCGGCCGCGGCGGCGTCGACGCGCGGCCGCAGTTCCGCCTCGGCCGCGCGCGCGCGCACCATCAACGCCTTGCAGCGCTGCAGCTCCGCGTGCACGGGCCAGCCGCCGGCCAATCGATGCTTCGCGTGCAGTGCCGCGCAGAGCGCGAACGCCGCGGCGACGTCGCAGCTCGCGCGCGCCGCGGGCGGCAGCGCGTTGCGCTGCTCGTCGCGCGGCGGGAGCGCGGCGAGGGCTTTGCGCAGTCGTTTGAGGGCTTTCCTTGCGGTGGAGGCTGCGTCGTCGTCGTCGTCGGAGGAGGACATCGGCAAACCAGTGCTGCTGCTGGCACTGCCGCTGGCACTGGGTGCTGGAGGGCTACACCGATAAAGTAGCGAACACTGAGGCAAAGGGTCCAAGCGAGCTTTGCGCGCGACGGGCGCACTGCTAGCGCATCATGCGGACACAAGCGCACAAGCGCTCAAAGGGAGGCAAAGATGAATGCTGATAGCAGCTTCTTTTAATGGGACGGGTTTCACCTCAGCTGTTCCTCTTCTTCGGGCCGTATTGTCCTACGGCGCCCACCGTGCACCGCCTCGAGCCTCTTCGCGCGTCGTGTGTCATAGCAGGGGGCGAAACGCACGAACGGACACCGCGTTTTGGCGGCTATCTGATGAGCACACGGGCTAATTCTTCACTTTACCTAGTCTTGCGCTATAGAGGCCCCGCCCGTGTCGACGGGGATACTCTTGCTCGACGTCGTCAAAGATGAATGCTGAGCGGCCGACTAGACTAAGGTGGAGCAGAGCGTTATGTAGATGCCCTCCTTGGTCCAGAGAGGCATCCCGGAGATTAAAAAAAAGCGTTCGGGTTTCGATCAAGGTCCAGTGCGTGTGCTGGCTGGCTGTCTGTCGGCCCACCCGCTGCGTAAAACCGCTCTGGGGAGCATCGAGCAAGCCCAACGCAGCACCGACACGCCCGCTCGGTCTCAGCTCGACCGCGTGCGCCTGCGGCAACGTCACGCAGCGCTCTTTTGCCGGCGCTCGGCCCAAACGCCCGCCGCCGCGGGTCGCCGTGGCCGTCCGTTCCGTCGAGGTACGCCCGCGCGCCGCGCAGCCCAAGAAAACGCAACCAACCATGCCGCCGCGCCGCAAGAAGGACCCGCCGTCCTTCAAGCCGAGCGCGGAGACGCTCAAGAACTTCCAGATGCCCGAGGAGACGCCGCAGCTCGAGCTCCTGCCGAGCGGGCCCAAGGGCGACATCCCCTCGACGTACACGGGCGAGTGTCGCGCGTTGAACCAGCCCGCGGTCCTCCCGCCGCCGCCGCCGCCCTCGCGGAAGGAGGAGCGGCCCTCGGCGTCGCGCTTCTGGACGTCCTTCGCGGCGGCCGCCGCGCGCGCGACCAAAAAGAAGTCCGGCGACGCCCAGCACTGGGCGCCCGCGCGGCCGCCGCCGCCGCCGCCTGACCGGCGCGCGGGCCAGGCCAAGAAGAAGTCGCCCAAGGGCCGGCCCAAGGTCAAGCGGGGTTTATCTGATGAGGGTCGCACGGTCTTCGCCGACGCGACGACGCGCAACTCCGACGAGCTGCCGCCATCAGCGTTCCCGGCCGGCAGCGACTTCGCGGCGGCGGCGGCCGCCGCGGCCGCGTCGCGGGACTCCTTCCCGCCGCGCTTCAGCTGGGACGACCCGGCCGCGCGTTCGTCCTCGAAGAGCGTCCTGAGCGACGCCGGCTCGGTCGGCGCGCGACACAGCCTCGCGCAGCAGGAGTCGCCGCGCCACTCGCGCAACTGGCAGCAGTACCACGCGCCCGTCGACGGCGACCCGCTCGAGGTGCCCGCGAACTTCAGCTGGGCGGACGGCATGGCCCTCGGGAGCTTTGCTGATGATGACGGCATTGACCTCGGGCCGCTCGACCTGTCCAACTGAGCGGGGGAGGACTCTGTGTAATACGTAAAAATTAGTCAGCAAAGGGGAGGAGGCTCGCCGCGGCCGGCGGCTCGTCGAGGGCCTTCTTCGCCCGCTCGGCGGCAATTTTAAAATCTTCGGCGTCGACCTTGCCGTCGCCGTTGAGGTCGAACGCGTCCAGGGCCGCCCTGTGGACCTCGGCCTGGGCCTTCTTGACGCCCTTGTCCGCGCGCCGCGCGAGCTCCTCGACCGTCGCCTCGGCGACGTCGACGGCCGTCGGCTGCGCGTGTGCCGCTGTCGCCGCGTCGTGCTTCGCCGCGACCTTCTTCTGCGTCTTCGCGGCGATGCCCTTCTTGATGCCCGCGAGCTGGCGCTGCCACCGCGGCGGTTTCGTCTCCTCCCGTCGCACCTCGGGCGGGTTGAGCTCGATGAGGAAGGCCTTGGCGTCGTCCTTTTCCTCTTCATTTACTCCCAGCACGCTCCGCTTTTCTTCCAACTCCCGCTCCAACCGGAGTAACGGGTCGTCATCCACTAACCCCGCCAATTGATCGGCCGACAGCAAGGGCCGCCCCGTCTCGTCGTCCGCGGGCGCCACGACCCGTTTCGGCCAGAGCATCGTATCTTCGAGACCCTGTAGAACGCCGCCCTCGAGCTCCTTCTTGAGCCACGGCACCTTCGTGACCTCTCCACCGGCCACCCGCAAATCCAACCCGATCGCGGGCTTCTTCGCGAAGCTGAGTAGAGACGCCCCGAAGCCCGGCCCCTCCGACCCGAGCGGCGTCAGCACGAGCCGGACCGTGCCCTCGACGCGCGCGTTTTTCAAGGAAACGGGCACGGACCCCGCCTGGATGCCCATCGGGCCTTTGAGATGGGCTTCGATATTCGCGTCCAGCTCGCTCTGCCACTTGACGTCAAAGTCGAAGGCCATCGCGTCCTTGCCCACGTCGTACGCTCTCGCCGCTTTCAATTGAGGCGGCTTCGCGCCCATCTGAAACGATTTCAGCTCGAGTTTGCGCGCCGACGGGTGCTGGAAGTCGGCGCACGCTCCTTTTATCGCTTCCTCGCAGGCCGCGGCGAGCTTCAAGGGCGTCAACCGGTCGACGATGTGATTCAGGAACTGGAGCCCCGGCGCGCCCAGCGCGAAGGCTTGCAACCTAGCTTCCGCCTTGATGGCTTCGACACTTTCTCTCGCCGCTTTTCGCGCATCAAGAACGCCGGAACCAATCCTATTCCACGCCTTGCGCCACCTTTTTCTGCCCGCACCGGGCGTCAGGAACTCGTCCTTCGCCGCGCCCAGGCCCGCCACGAACAACTCCCAGCTCCGCAGGATCATCCTTCGGACTAGCTTCAGCCCATACCTCACGTTCTCCTCACCATAAGTATATACGGCTCCCGCAAACGCGGCAGCAGCCGAGAAGAACAGACCGCCCGCGATGAACGCCGTCGTGACCTCCCAGAAGGTCGAGGACTTCGCCGTGGCGAGCGCCGCCTTGACGGCCGCGTCGACGGCGGCCTCGACCTCGGCCGGGCCGATCGGCGCGCCTCTCAGTTTCGTCGGTGGTCGGCGTATGCGCGTCGACGCGGGCGGCCGGCGCAGCCGTGGCGTCTGGAACGCCGCCGTCTGTAAGAGCGCGAACGCCGTGAATACGGCACGCATGGTCGGAGCTACTGATGGGGTGTTGAGCGGACGCTGCGCCACGTACGGGGACGCACTGCTTGTAACGCCTCCTTGTTGATGTTTTGTTGTTTTAAGCCGATCCGAGACGCGCTACCTCGAACCCAGCGTATCGGCTGGGGAACTGGGTCGCCGCTTACTGCCTTGGGCCCTCCGTGAGACCTTTTGGCCGCGGGTGCGCCGCCTAAGCTGGCTTTTTGCTCGTTCTCAGCCAAACTTGTGTCCAGTGTGTCCAGTCGCCCGTCGAGCCGTCGACAGCTCGAGCGCGGTTGAACCACGTAGATCGTGCGCAGGCAGCTTTCCTGAGCCATAGAAGGGTGTTGCGCCTAGCGGTAAGACACTAGCGAGCCTCATCGATCTCTTTCGCCTTGGGCTGCGGGAGCTGCACGCGCTGGCCTGGTTGCAGCCAAGGTCTCTGCGTGCTCGTTGCGCAGTCTAGAAGCATTTGCGAGCCAGCGGTGTGTGTGGCAATCACGAAGTGGAGCAGCAGCCAGGCCATCTAGCCCCTCCCGAGAGCGCGCGCAGAGCAGTCCTCGGCATCAGGATGGAGCTCTTCGCCCAGGCCGCGAGCCAGACGGCCGTCGAGCAGAAGGCCATCCAAGTCCGATTAAACGCGGTCGAGGAACGCATGGCGTCGATCGAGGCGCAGCTCGCGGAGGAGCGAGCGGGTAGGGCCCAGGACGCCGCCGAGTACCAGCAGCGCCTCCACGCCATGGAGAGCCATTTTGAAGCGGAACTCAATGGCAGGAGAGCTTTGGCGCGGCGCGTCGCGGAGTTAGCAAGGGAGGTCGCGGAAGATAGATGCGCGCGCGCCGACGACCACCAGCGCTTGCTCAAGATGGAGACGAAGGGCCAGGCGCCGCCCGGCTTCTCCGAGGAGGAACAACCGGTAAAGAAGCCGCCGTCGCAAAAACACAAGGCGCGGTCGGCGTCGCCCCGGGGTGACGTGATGCTCGGCTCCGCGACGGACGCGGAGCTCGACGTCATGCTCGAAGAAATACTCGAGGTCATCGACGCGCACGAGGGCCAGGTGCTCGCGAGCAACTTCCCCAAGTGCTACTACAAGGTGCACGGCAAGCCCCTGAACTTCAAGGATTTGGGCTACAACAAGCTCAGCGACCTCATCAGACGCTTACCGGGTGTGTATGTGGAGGCGGGCTCGCACGCGTTCGTCCGCCGCGCGGGCGTCGTGGAAGAGGCGGCGCCTTTGGATTACGACCTGCCGCCGTTGGATGCTAGGGTGACGGAGCCGTTCCCGGCTCCTACGGCGGACGCGCCGCCGGCGCCGCCGGCGGCGCGTTTGGGGTTTGTGCCGGCGGCCACGAGCGGCGGCGCCATGTCGTGGAGCGCCGTCGCCGCGGGCGCCGCGCCCTGACCGGTTTTTTCCTCGACGGCGTTTGCTAGGAAAATAAATACGTCACCGCTGAAATCTCGAGTCGCAGCTAGCATGTAGACACACTAGCAAGCGTTTTTAATTTTTACTATAGCTAAGGTGTCGCGGCCAGTGGCAGTGGACAAAGCTCGGAGCCGTGGCAATCGCATACTCAAGCGGACATCCGTAGTAATCAGGTCCGCTCACTCCGCAACTCCTACGCGCAAGTAGCGGCAGTGCACGGCCGTTTCAAGCCAACAACTGCTGTCTGCTGCGCGGCGACTGATCGCCTGGTGCGCGCGAGTCCAAAGCGGGTGCAAGCAGACAACCGCTGCGCGCGGCATCGCTGTCTGCGGCGCCGCGCAGGCGACCGAGGCCACAAAGCGGTTGCGAGCAAACGACGATGGCGCCCTTCTGGCAACAAACAACAACAACGACGACCCAGCCGCCGGCCGCGCGCGAGTGGTACGACTACCCCGGCCGCATCCTCGCCTGGTATCAACGAGGAGGCGCGCCGCCGCCCGAGCCGCCGCCGTACTCGCGAAACTGGCACAACTCCGGCGTGTTCCTCACGGCTCTGCTCGTCGTCTGCGCGACGCTGGGCGCGGGCACGATGGGCCTGCTGCACGAGGACACGTACCCCAGGAGGCTCACGCGGCTCCTCACGGACGCGGGCGTCGCGTTCCAGCGGACGGCGCGGACGATCCAGGAGATCGAGCGCAAGCTCTTCCACTGCCTCGGGTTACTCGTGCCCTGGGGCTACTACACGCTCTCGACGACGTACAACTACCCGAAGGAGACGTGCGTCTACCTCTGCGTGGCCATCACGTTGCTGGGCATTTGTTTCGATCTGCTGAGGATACGCGTCTTCCCGGCGATCAACGACCTGGCCTTCGTCCAGAAATTACTGAGGTCCGAGGAGCGCGACACGCTCTGCGGCTGCTCGTTCTTCGCCGTGGGCAACAGCATGGCCATCATGCTCGCGCGGCGGCCGGCCGTCGCCGTCACGGCGCTCATGTACCTCACGCTCGGCGACACGGCGGCGGCGTTAGTGGGTGTGGCCTTCGGGGCGCACCCCATCAAAATTAGCAAAACGAAGAAGAAGAGCATCGAGGGCTCGCTGGCCATGTTCGCCGTGTGTTGCGGCTCGTGCGGCGTCATGCTCGCGGACGTGACGCTGGTGGAGTACGTGGCCGTCTTCTCGGCGCTCGTGGCGACGCTCGTGGAGCTCTACGCGCCGTGCGGGGTCAACGACAACCTGGCCATCCCCGTATTATCTGTGGTGGCGCTGGACTTCGCGCTGCAGCGCGTCGGGGCCTACGGGTAAGGGTATTTATCAAATCTCCTCCGCGCGATCGACGCGACGCGTCCCTCGAAGATGTTACGCGCTCCCCGGCGGCGGCGTCTCGCGGGCGCGGAGCGCGGCTCGGACATCCCCCAGGTTGCGCTCAACCTCCACCGTGAACGGATGCGCGCCGCCGAGCACGCGCCGCGCGGTCGGTAACGTCTCCTCGAGCGTCGTCACGGCCTCGCGGACATCGTCGAGCGTGGCGGCGGTGTCCCAGCAGAGCGCCTCCGCGTATCTCCACCTCATCCTGAGCGTGACTTCAGCATCCTCACCGGCCACGCGCTGTGCCACGGGTATCGTTTTGCGCATCAGTGACCTGGCTTCTTCGAAGCGCTCTAGACTGATAAAGGACGACGCGAGGTTGTGAGCTTCTAAAAGGGAATCTCTATCTTCTTCGCCGTTGATCCTCAAGAGTCCAGAGTATACGTCCTGCCGCATGCGTAGGGCCTGTTCGAGTCGTCCGAGCTGTAGATAAGTGGTCGCGAGATTACCCTGCACGGATAGGATGTGGTCTTCGTCAGCGCCAAGGCGCCGCCGCATGGACAACTCGGCCTCAAGCACGGACAACGCGTCCTCGTAGTGTTCTGCCTCGAAGAAACCGAGCCCAAGCACATTCATCGCCCCAGCTCGAGCCCAGTCCGTCTCCGGCCGCCCCACGTACGTCTTCCAGCACGCCCACCCGAGCGCGCAATACACGACGCCGTGGTACGTTTGCTCGCACAGGCCGCACGTGTACCACCGATCCCACTTGTCATCATCCAAGTCCCTTGCCTCGGCGTCCTCGACTAAAATCTTCGCCTGCCGCACCAAGCACGAGACGTGTGCAAAGCCCGCCGCCCCGCGGCACGCGCACCCGCGCACGAGGCCCTCCTCCGCGTCGCCTTCGAAGCAGACATAGCACCTTTGACCGGTCGTGTCCTCGGCGCACGCCTTGACCGCGACCGCGACGGCCCACTTATATTTTTTCTCGGCGTGGTATTGTTCCGCGTCGCCGCCGCGGTGTATAATCTCGCAATTCTCCTGGTGCCCGCTGCGCCAGTAGTGTTGCTGACAGTCCTGACGACTACAATATCTCAGTTGACACCGTACACAGATGCGGCGCGTCGTGGGCGGCGCAGACGGCACAATTTGTGAGGATCATCTTGCGTTTTTTGCGGTGACCTATTATTGCGGCTGACTCGGCTTGGCAAACCCGTTTTTTAGAACGAGGAGATTACTACCGCCCCCCCGCCCGGCTCGTCGGCCGCGACCGCGTCCCGTTCAGCGGCGGGTAGCGCCCCAGCAGGTTCTGCGACGTGCCCGGCGGCGGCCGGAGCAACGGCGCGTGCGCGGACCGCGGCCGCGCGCCCGCGGCGTACAGCGCGTCGAGCGGCGTCGGCCCGCGGCCGAGCGACTCGACCTTTGATGGTGCGGCGCCCGCGTAGGCGGCCGGCGGAAAGATGCCGGCCTCCGTCCGCGGCGCCATGGTCAAAGGCCGGTCGCAGCTCAGGCATTTCAACGCGGGCACTTGTTGTTTGGCAACTAAGGTCGGATCCAGGTCGTCGTCCTTGTCGCCCGCGAGGCGCGCGGCGATGTCGTCGATCTCGTCCCTATCCACCTTACCCTTGAGCTGCCGCTCCATCTTGCCGCGGTCGGCCTTGCTGTGCTGCATGGACGCGAGCTGCGACCCGAGCAGCGTCAGGGCGTCCCGTAATTCAGGCACCTTTTGGCCCATGTCCGATGAACTCGCGGAGAGCTCCGCGAGCCTGCCCTCGACGGACGAGAGGGCCTCGACCAGGCGCTTCTCGAGGGCCTTGACCTCGTCCCTGGAAGCCCCGGCCGGCCCCTTGAACTTCTCGACCAGGTCGAAGGTGTCCGTGCCCGTCTCGAAGGACTCGATCGAGGGCCGCTCCTCGATGGTTTGGGTTTCCTCCTCGACGGGGATGGGGCTCGCGGCGCGGTCCACGCGCCGCGCGGCCTCCTCGGCGGCCCGGCGCTCGGCCTCGGCCAGCCGCTGGGCCTCGAGGCGCTCCGCTTCGAGGCGCTGGGCCTCGAGGCGCTCCCGCTCCAAGCGCTCCGCGTCCAGGCGCGCCTTCTCCGCCTCGGCGGCTAATCTATCAGCCTCGGCGCCCTCGGCCGCCAGACGCGCGGCCTCCAACCTTTCGATCTCGGCCTGCATGCGTTCCGCCTCCAGGCGCTGGCGCTCGGCCTCGGCCGCGGCCTTGGCCTGCGCCTCGGCGGCCTTCGCTTTCTGGGTTGCGTCGTACCAGCAGTTCCAGACGCCCCAGACCTTGACGTTCGCCATCCGACTGAGAATCTTGACCATGAGCGCGCGCTGCCGTTCGAGCGTCTCCTCGGCCGTCGGCGGCCGGACGGGCTCGTAGAGGTCGTCGAACAACTCCTGGGGGTTCTTGGGTCTCCTTTTAATATTCTGCTTGGGCTTGAGCAGGTAGCCGGCCGGCGCCGATTCTTGGGTCGCGAAGGACGCGTCGTCCGCGGCGGCGGCGGCGGCCGCCGCCTCGGCCTCGCGCAGGGCCCGCCGTTTAGCTTTGGCGGCCTCGGCCGCGGCCTTCTTCCGCGCGCGCTCCGCCGCCTCCCGCGACTGCTCCTGTCGGAACTCCTCGAAGGCCGACCGCGGCAGCGCCTCCATGGACCGCCGCTGCGCGTCGTCGGCCAGGCTGGCCACCTGATCCAACTTCCGTACCAGCGCGTCGCCGGCCGCGTTCGCGCCCGGCGTCCGCGGCCGCTCGGCGGTCCGCGGCCGGTTGGGCGAGGGAGAGCGCGGCTTCGCCCGGGCCGCCGCCGCCTCGGCCTCGATCCTATACTCGAGCGCGCGCACGTCCTGCTCGACGGCATTCAATCCACTCTTCGACGCCTCCTCGAGCTCCGAGGCGCGCTCCTCGAGCTCCCGGCGCGCCTCGGCGTCCTTCTCCTCGACCGCGCGCACGTCCGCGTTTAGCGAAGCGCCGAGCGCGTCCATCCCCGACTTCGCGTCGCTCTCGAGTGCATGGAGATCCTCCCGGACGCTGGACACGCGCGCCGAGCTCCGCGTCTCCAGCGCGCGCACGTCGAGCTTCACCGCCGCCGGAGACGTGACCGTCTCCAGAGCATTTAGCAGGGCGTCGTAGACGGCCCGCAGCGTCTTGCCGAAGGGCCCCCGCACGGCCGTCCGCGGGCCCTCGTACTCTTCCAGAAGGTCCTGGACGTCCGAGTCCAAGAGCCGGTAGCAGGCCCAGGCCAGCCGCTCGACGCTCGGCGCGCTCGCCGCGTCGCAGATCGTCGGCTTTACGAATAACGCGGCGTCCTCGCCCGCGTCGGCCGCGGCGTCTTGTAGAGCAGCCTCGCCCACGAGGTCGCTCACGAAGGCGACGAGCGGCGCCCGCCCCTCGATTATGGGCACGGCGTCCCTCGCGAGGCCCTCGAGGGTCTGGACCTCCTGCGTGATGTCCTTGGGCGTCGAATGAGCGAGCTGCGCCTCCCGCAAGGCCCCGAGGCCCTCGATGGAGCCGGCGACGTCGCCCGAGAGCTGCTCGACGTTCGTCGAGACCTCGCGCAGCCGACCATCGATGCCGTCGACGCGCTCGCCCAGACCACCCACGGTTTCCGCCTGCTTCTCGAGCTGGTACTCGAAGCGCAGCATCGCGTTCTGAGTATCAGCGTCGGGGCCCGGCGACTCCGCCCGCGTCTCCTCCTGCTTCTCGTAGTACTCGATGCGGTTCCTCAGGTTCCCCACCAACTCCTCCATGGCCTTCAAGCGCTCCGCGACGCTGTTCCGCGGCGCGCAGCGCACGTCGGCGCCCAACTTCGCCAGCTTCCGCTTCAGCTTGATCTGACGGAACGCCCAGTGCCACCGTTTAATGGCCTCGGGGTTCCGCGGCGCCCCGTCGGCCTTGAAGCCCGCCCCCAAATCCGCGGGCTCCTCGCCGGATTCGCGCGCCGCGGCCAACCGCTGGCGCGCCCGCTCCGCCGCGGCCTTGGCCCCGGCTTTAATCTTGGCCATGCCCGCGAGCTGCCTCCCGAGCAGCAGGGCCTTGTACCGCTTGCGCTCGGCCTCCTCCTTGGCGCGCCGCGCGGCGTCGTCCGCGACGCCGCTCAGGTTGTGCGAGAGCGACTCGATCTGCAGTTCCATGCGGTCGAGCCTCTCACTCTTCTCGGCGTCGGCCCTCTCTAATTTCTCGAGCCTTTCCAGAACGCCCGCGGCGGCGCGGTTCGCCTCGAACTGCTTCGCGATGGCCTCGATGGCGCCCAACGCGGCCCTGGCGCCGCCGCCCACGCAGGTGAGGGCCGCGTCGTCGTCGTCCAGGGCCACCATTTTCCTTAGATGCGACTCGTCGCGCGCCGGCAATGCCGGTGGTAGGGGTCTATTCGATTAGGGGGCGCGTCGGATGACCGCCTGGCTGGCGCGCGCCGGGGCAGCCCCGCTCGCGCTACGACCGGTCCTCCCCGGCTGCGCGTCCGGCCCGCGCGCCCGCAAATGCGATGTACTGCGGAGGGAGAGCGCGCGGCGCTGAAGGCTAGAGGCCGCAACAAAATCTAGTCAGATCCACCAATGTAACTCTCGGATAGGTGGGGGCAGGTGGGGGCGGCTCGGCGGCGGCCGCAGCAAACCTACTAGTGCCTTACAGACCGCTAGCCCGCACGGGATTAAAGTCCTCGCTGCCGCGCAAGCGCTGTGGGTACGCTAGACGCTGCGCGCGGCCTTTGATGGCGCGCCACTTTTCGGAGTCAGCGCGCTGGCCGGACGGCCAAGAAACACAAACTCAGGGCCAAAAGAGACTCTAAAAAGAAAAAAGCGAGTGCCACCACCACCGCCACCAAAAAAACACAAGCCAAAAAAGCAAAGAAGAAGAAGAGGGCGCCGCCAAATGAGTTCGTTCCTAGCAAATACAAGGACTCCGAGGGCAAGCGCGTGATATACTTTAACCCCTACAATGCCGTGGACATCAAAGATAGCGCCGAGTACTGGGAAGTCACCGCGCTGCCGGAAGGGTGCAACACGCCCGACGGCTATATTAGGGTGCGCTTCGAGGAGGACGGGTCTGTCTCGCACTACGACCCCGGCTTACTTACGCCCCGTTTTGTAGAGCTGCCTGAAGGAACGCCCGTCGACGTGAGCGGGTATCCCGTGAACTCCCAGGACTCCCAGGGCTTCTGGGAAATCGTCGAGTCAAATCCTGATGATCAGGTTTACGTCGTCAACAGGGTCCGCGCCACGAACGACTTGGAAGAAATGTCGGTCGACTTCAAGAAGGTGCGACAGCGCGTTCGTGTCTTCTCCAAGGTTGACCATCCGGAGTATTATACTAAAAGTTCGGGGCAGCCAAACAGCAAGCACCCGGACTACCTCCACTCCGCCCCATACCGTCTGCATATGTTTGCGAAAAAAAGACGAGAAGCCCAAATCGCCTCGGGCTCCATGCCCCCCAAGAAGAGGGACGACGAGGAGGGCTACCTCGATCATCCACACACCAAATACATGAAGCAACGGCATGAAGATAATAAAGATCGGATGAGAGAATGGAGAGAGAACTACGAACCGTATTGCTGCTTCTGTGGCAGGGCTTGCAAGGTGTCCGCTTGCATTTGCGGTGGAAAGGGTACTGGAAAGAAACAGCTAGCCCAAGTTGTCCGGCGGAGCCTCAATCTCGCAATAACCGACGCTCTGGGCGGCGACCTCACTGATGAAAATTGCAGACTTCTCACGGGCTTCCCTGCGGGTGAGGTCCAGCAAATCCTGCAAGCATCCATCCCTGATGACGTGAACATCGAAGAACTACTGGAGAAGAAGTGCATGCAGCGCCAATTTCGGCACCCGGTATGCGTGATCCACAAGGACCACATCAAGGCGGTTAGACCCGGCGTCCATCATTGCGGGTACGCCATCGACGCGACGCGACGCTGTACGCCGCGTGTCTACTCGACGCGACACTCACGGTCCACGTTCCACAGGTCGCTCAGTGGCTCCGCGAGCTGCGCCAGAAGCCTGGCTGGAACCGCGACAAGACGCCGAACGACGCTTTGCGGTTTATCAACCGCATCGAGAACCTGCAGTATCTGATCTGGCGCGCGAACTTGGACAAGGGCTCCGACTACACCGAGGCCATTCGGAACGACCTGGCTGAGTACGAGAAGTGCTTCTACAGCGCAACCCAGCTCAGAGAAAGCGACGTGTTGAGCCGAAAGTATTTGCCGTTGTCGAAGGTCTTAAAGAACGTGAAGGCGTGGGCCGCGCGGCGCGGCGGCGCGGGGGCCTGGCAGCCCATCGGGGTCCTCCCTCCCGGCCGTCTCCCACTCGTCCCGCGAGGTGAACAAGCTTATGCGGCTGTGAGGTGTTTAGTGTAAGATTGGTCTTGTACACCCCAGCCAGAAGCGGTCTAGTAAATCTAGTAAATGTGCCCACTGGCAGGCATTTTTTTCGTGAAAATTTCGCACCCGTGTACAGATACCTCCGCGCGGACCGAGTGCGCGCACGGATGCGCCCAAATGTTTCCGGAGCATCCGCACAGTTGTGCTGCCCAACGCGACCGGCTCGTTGTGCCCGTCGCGGCGCACGCCTAGGCCTGGGCGTCGAGGCAGCCGTCGACGGCCGCAAACCGGCACGCTGGCGATGCGCGCCACCCGCAAGCCCGGCGCGCAGCGCCACAAGAAGTCGCGCCGGGCCCCAGCGGCAGTCACCACAGCCCCCTCGACGCTGACGGAGGCGACGGCGGCGACGCCGATGACCGCGCCTCCCACAACGGACAACACGTCGTGGACTGCGGCGGCGCGCGCCGGCGGCGCCGAGGACCAGCGGCTCCTCGCGCGCCTCGCGCAGCGGCAGCGGGCCCTGAGCCAGGTCGCCGGCGTCCTCGGCCAGCTCCAGGCCACGAGCACGGCCGAGCAGCGCGCCTCGACGGAGGCCCAGAAGGAGGCCGAGGACGCGACGCGGCGCGCCGAGCGCGACGCGACGCTGCGAGCGGCCGCCGAGCAGAAGGCCGACCGGGCCGCGCGCGAGCGGCGCGACGCCGAGAAGGCCGCGGCGCGCCTGAAGAGCGACGTCCAGCGCCGCGACGAACAATTACGGTCGCTGCACGCGGAGCACCAGGCCCAGCAAAGCAAAGTGGACGCGTGGCGCGACCGCTGCGAGGCCGCCGAGGCCTGCGCCCTCGCGCGGGGGTCGCTCCACCGCGCCGAGCTCGCGCGGCACCGCGCGACGCTCGACGAGCAGAACCTGGCCTTAGGGAGCGCGACGGGCGCCTTGGAGGCGGAGCGCAACGAGAGAAGAAGAGCGGAGCTGACGCTCGGCGCCGAGGTCGACGCGCTGAGGAGGGGGCTCGCCGCGGAGCACGACGCGGCGCGGGCCGCCGTCGAGGAGGCCGTGCAGCAGCGCGACGCGGCGGTGACGGAGCGCGACGCGGCGTTGCGCGACGTGAGCCGCCAGGCCGAGGCCTTTTCGCGGCGCCAGGACGAGCGGGACGGCGCCCTGTTGACCTACCAGAAGGACGCGGACAACGCCCTGGATCGGAGCTCGGCCGCGGCCGCGGCCTGCGCCGCCGCTTTGGCCGACGCGGCGCGGTGCCGCCACGCGGCGGACCTCGCGCATACGGAGGCCCAGACGAGAATAGACAGGGACACGGCCGACGCGACGGCCGCGACGCGCGACGCCGCGGCGACCATTAAAAGAGCGGCCCAGGAGGCGGCGCTCGCGCGGGCCGCGCAGGCCGCCGCGGACGCGAGAGCCAATCGCAGCGACCTGCAACGGGACGCGGCCGAGGCGAGTAGCGCCGCGTCCGCGGCGATGCGCGCCGAGGCCGTGGGCTACGCCGCGGACCTGACCGAGGCCAAGTTGGTCGCCGACGAGGACCGCGACGCGGCCAAGGCGGCCTCCATGCGCGCCGCGCAAGCGAAGGCCGACGCCTTGCGGGACCGCGACATGTTAGCTGAAGCCTTGCGCAGCGCCGAGGCCGTCGAGGACCGGCTCCGCGCGAGCGAGGCGGCCCTGGGCGCGCGCTGCCTCCAGGAGAAATCTGAGAGGCACAAGGCCGATATGAAATTGGAGGAAGTCACCAAGGGCGCCGACGACGCATTAACCGTGGCCGCGACGCAGCAGCGCGAGCGCGATCTTAAGTTGCGCGAGCTCGACGCGCTGTCGGCGCGCCTCGCGCAGGAGCTCGAGACGCGCGTCGGCGAACTGGTGGCGTCGAAGCAGAGCCTCCAGGAGCTCGAGGCCGCCTCGAAACGCGCGGCCGAGAAGCGGGCCTTACAACGGCGCTCGGACGACGCCGCGGCGTCCGAGCGCGAGGAGGTCCACCGGTCCGAGAAGCGCATGCTAAGAGCGGAGTGTGATCGGGCGCTGAAGCGAACTCTGGATTTGGAACAGGACCGCAAGTCCGGCTTCGACAGGGTACTGGCGCTGGAGGCGGCCGTCGCGTGCGCGGAAGCGTCCAGGGACCTGAAGCAGCTGGAACTCGTCGACCAAGTGGACCGGACGGACAAGGCCGCGGCGACGGTCCAGGATTTGGTGGCCGAGTGCACGGCCGCCCAGAACGAACGAGACGCGGCGCGCGCGGCGCGCGACGCCGAGCGCGCGCGGTCGCGGTCCCACATCGACGAGCTGCGCGAGGCCTCGGACAAGGCCCGCAAGGATTTAGCCAGGGCGACGAAGGCCGGCGCGAAGCGCTGCGCCGGGATGCTGGCGTCGAAAGACAAGGCGCTCGAGGCGCGCGCCGCGTCCGAGACGGCCTTCGCGGCTTTGAAAAGCGAGCTGCGCGCCTTCACCGCGGCGTCCGAGGGCATCCGCAAGGACGCGGCGCGGTGCCGCGACGCGGCGCGCAAGGCCGACGAGGTCCTGGAGCGGGCGCGGCGCGCGCGGAACTTCATCGGCGCGACGGAGGGGCGGACGGCGGACGCGGCGGACGCGGCGCGGCGCGCCGAGGGCGCCGTGAGCCGCGCGCGGGAGGCGCTGGGCCGGGCGCGCCTCGCGGCGCTCGAGGCGGACGCGCGCGACGCCGTCGCGGCGCGCGAGGCCGACGCGCAGCGCGCGCGCGCGGACGCCGCGGCGGCGCTCATGGAGGCGCGCGGCGATAGAGATAGGATCGCGGCGGCGGCGGCGCGCCACAAGGAGGCCCACGAGGCGTCGAACGCCGCCCTGCGGCGCGCGACCGACGCCCTGGCCCGCGAGAAGGACTACGGGGCTCGGTTGGAATCGGAGGGCTTCGGCGAGCTCAAGGCCGCGCGCGCCAAGACGGAACAGCTCGAGCAGCACGTGTCCGAGCTGCGGTCGAAGCTGAGGGAAGAAGCGACGAAGAACAAGAGCACGGAGGTCGCTCTACGCGATGCGGGCCGGCGCCGCCAGGCCGAGGTCGCCTCGCTCGAGGCTAAATTACGGGCGGCGGAGCGCGCGAACGCGAGTGACCGGGAGCGGCGCGACGCGGAGAGCTCCACTTTGAGGGATGACATGGCGCGGGCGCAGCGCGAACGCACGGACGCGCGCGCCGAGGCGGATGATTTGCGGAGCGACCTCGCGCAAGCGCGACGGGTGGGCTGCGATGCAAGGGACGAGGTCGCGGCTCTGCAGCGGACGCTCGACGAGCACAAGCTCCAGATGGACGAGTTGAGGCGGGAGGTCGAGGACCTAAGGGCGCAGGCCAAGGAGGCGAGCGAGGCTCGCAAGAGCTTTGAGACGGAGGCGCACGAGCTCAAGCAGGCGACGCGCTTCACGACACGACTTTCATGCGACGACCAGGCCGAGTTCGAGTCCATACGGAGGAAGCTGCGCGGCGAGGACACGCCCCAGAAAGAGGCAGCGGATCATTTGGCGTCCGTGCAGTACGAGGCCCTCGAGGAACAGCCGAAACAACCTCGAAAAGTTCTGGGCAGGGCCCTGGACGCGGCGCGCGCGGCGGCGCGGTTCCAGAAGCAACAGCGCCCGTCGCTCGGTGAGACCGATCAGGATGAGGTGACGGCCGCGCCGGGCTGGGACGCCATGGGCACGAGACGCGCGTCGGACGACCCCGAGCTCGCGGACCACCTGGCGCGGCGCGACGAGGCCATCGCCATGGGTTTGGTCGATGCGCCTCCCGATGAATGGACGGAGGAAGAAAGGCCGGAGGAGCCCGAGACCGAGGCCGAGAGAAAATTAAGGGAGCTGGAAGAGCGGGCCTTCGACGGCGCCGCGGTCCAGGACGAGGAGGCGGCGCCCTGGCCCCGGGCGGAATCGTTGGCGCAGTCGGCGGCGCCCTGGAACCACGCGCGCCAGCGCGACCGCGCCGCGCGCGGCCTCCCGCCGCCGGCGCCGTTACCCCTGGAGATCCCCGAGCCCAGCGACCACACCACGGCCCACGGCGAGCGGACGCCGGGCGCGCCGCGGCCCGACCCCCAGGCCACCATCGACGCCACCGCCGCCTACCTCCAGATGCGCCGCGACCGCGCCGCGACGAGCGTGCCGCGCGCGGCGGCGACGCCGCCGCCGCCGAGCGAATCCGCGGGCGACGACGACGCCGCGGCGCGCGACGAGTCCCTCGAGGACGCCTTCGGGGCCATGTACGCCTCGCGGCCGCCCGCCGGCGCCGGCTCGGCGCCCGCGCGGGCGCGGCGTCGCGGGCGGCCCCTGCCGCAGACGAGTCGGAGCTAATCACTCAAGAATCATTACACACTATTCATTCATTGCGCTCGCGGCTTGTTGGCGTCGTGCACTGGCAGCCCGGCATTATTCATTGCGCGGCTTGTCGTACAGCCCGGCCTCCTGCCAGTAGTCCTCCTCGCGCTTCCGCCGGGGGCCGCGGCCGCGGGGGCCGTCGACGCGCGGCTTGCGGTTCACCGTCCGCGACTCGAGGTCGCGCCAGTACTGCGGCAGCTCGTGCTCCACGGGGGGCTCGTCGTCGGCGTCGTCGTCGTCATCGTCGGGCGTGCTCGGAGGCGCCGCCAGCGCCCGGCGTGCGCTGGGGAGGACGCGTCGCGGCACGGCGCCCCGCGCAGCCGGCACCAACGTCGCGGCAGAAAGGCGCCGCAGGACCATACGCAGAGCCATGAGAGATGTTTTTGGGTTGCTGGCCGGCAACTCCGCACTGGCGTAACTCCTCAGGAGGGCCTGCTATGTCCTTGCGAAATTTCGCAGCGTGCGTGCAGTTGAGCGCGCTGGCAGTGGGTGTGCGACTCGTGCGAAAGCCTCCGTTTTCGGCCTTGCGGGCTAATGCGAGCAGTGGAGCTGTCTGGGTCTGGGTCGAGCTAGCGACCGTAAGACACTAGTGAAAACGACATTGTTTTTACTATCCATCTTAGGACAAAGTCGTGCATGAACCCGTCCATGCGCTACGGCGTTACACCGCTCTCGCCCAGCTATAGCGGTTGCAAACGATGCTCATGCGCCACGGGCCAAAAAATTACGATAGGTCGAGCCGGGGCCGCTGCTTAAGCACGACGATGCTGCTCTACCTATTGCTCGGGCTGCCCCGCATCAAAGGCGACGACGTCGCCGCCTACGTGGACGCCTTCCCGTCACCAATACCGCACTGCGACATGCGCGGCCTGCCCCCGGCGGCCCTCTCGTGCGTCCACCTCGCGCCCGACGGCTCGCTCGTCCACGCGAAGGATCTGCGGAGCACGGCGGGCTCCGCGAAGCAGATGCTCATGGACATGCATTTGCGGGGCGTCGTCGGGAAGCTGCGGGCGTCGCACCGGCTGCCGGGCCGCTGGGTGAGTTTCCTGAGCGTGTACACGGCGTCGGGGCCCGCCACAAAACGCAATTACCCGGTCGTCGGCATCGGCAAGCGGGACCCCCGGCAGCCGGGTCTATTGATGCCGAACCCGTTCTTCGTCGCGCCGGACTGGTGGGACTGGTACTCGCGGCGGACCCAGGCCGTCGCCCGGAAGCGCGAATTCGATAAAAGAAGGGACGTGCTGCTGTTCCGGGGCGCGTGCGGGCCCGGCGGCCACGAGCGTTTGAAATTGATGCGCCTGGGGACCTTGAACGGCGCCGTCGACGCGGGCTGGACGAGCGTCGACGGCTATACGGACCTAGAGACCTGCGTCGCGGACCTCTCGAACCAGCTGGGGGCGAAGCGGCGCAAGCGAGACAGCGAGCTCTCGACGCGCGTGCCGATGGTCAACTACAGCCACTACCGCTACTTGCTGCACATGCCCGGCAGCGCCACGGGCAGCTACTCGCGCAATTTACAATATCTGTGGTCCCACGGGGCCGTGGTCCTGATCTGGAGGCACGACGCCCTCGAGTGGTACTACCCGTTTTTGAGGGATGGTGTTCACTACGTGAGCGTCGACGAGACGGACCTGGAGCGGAAGCTTGTGGAGTTGAGACGCGACCCGGAGCGAAGACGGCGGCTCGTCGCGGGGGGCGCGGCGTTCTTCGAGGCGCACCTCCGGGGCGACCGGCTCGTGGACCGGTGGCGGCGGCTCTTCGACGGGCTCGCCGCGGGGCAAAGCGACACGCCGCCTTTGGTAAGTCAAAGCGCGGCCTGCAGCTGCGACGCCGGCATGGCGGCCTACGCGAGCTGCGAGAAGTGCGAGATCACGCGGAAGCGGGGGAACACCGTGGCCAAGTTCCTCGGGCTCATCCCGAAGCGGCCGCCCGCGGCGCCGGCCGTCGAGCATCGGGTACACGCGGGCTAGTGCTAACATATACACAGTACGCATGCGAAAACCCGAACCCGAACCACATGACTCATGTCTTACCCTCCACTTCTTCACAACTCGTCATGAAGTCCAGCAAGGGGAACTCCTCGTCGAGGTACGCCGCGCCCCGCCGATAAATCTGGCCCTGCGCCGGCGCCCGGCCCCCGAAGGCCCGCATGTCCCCGTACCCCGCGTAGAACCGGTCCAGCGCCGCGTACGACGCCTCTCCCACCAATTCCCCGAAGGGCACCTCCCAGGGCTGGAAGCCCAATTTCAAATCCCGGAACGCGAAAAAGAACTCCGTCGTCCGACTGTCCGGGCCGGACCCCGCGAAGGCGAGGTAGCCCCGTTTGAGAGCTTGTTTTTGGCCCGTCAGATCCAACCACTGCGGGTCGTCCTTGATCCTTCCCTTCTGGCGCCACTGCTGGTGGACCGCCGGATCCCCCGGCACGCCCGTCTGGCACAAAAAGTTCTTGACGGCTCGGAACAATCCGACTCTACTGGAAAAGAAGCCTGTGTTCACCATGTCCAGGAACCTCTGACTGCCTAGCGGCGCCCAGTTCTCGTGGATATCAATTGTGAGGGGTCCCGCCGTCGTCTCGCAGTGCAACCGCGTCGTCGCGCCGCGCGCCTTCACAAAGGTACTCGGGTTTTCTGGGCCCGGCGGCAGGCCCGGAACTTGTTGGAGCGGCCGTCTCAAATACAAATTCTCCGTCGGCGGCGGCGTCGGCTTCGTATGGAGCGTCAGCCAGGCGTGCTGCTTCGTTTGCGGCGTGAGGCACAGCAAGACGCCGACCATGACGAGAAACAGCGCGCCGAGCGCGACGGGAAACCAGAGCGGCCCTTTCTCGCCGTAGCGCACCTCGTTGCTCGACAGCTGGTTGCTCTCGACGTCGTCCTCGCCGGCGCGCGGCTGGTGGCGCCGGGCCTTCATGTACATGGCTGCGCTGCCAGCAAGGGCTGTGCTAGGCCGGAGGCTGTCTGCAGCGTGTAATCGGTGCTGCCAGTATATTCAAGTGACAGCGCTATTGCGTAGCAGCGTGTAATCGATGCTTAAGCCACCAATTCGGCTGCCGCGGCGAGCCGAGACGCCCGGGCTACCGTAATCCCACTAGCAACCCGACTTCCGCAAACGCCGCCCCAACCCTCCGCCGAGCCCTGTTCCCACGTCTCGCCCCAGCGAACAGAAGAATCAAACAATGCGACCGGGCTTCTCCCGGGTTTGGGCCCAGCGGCACCAAAGCCAGCTTTGGGGCAGCAGCCAGCCTGCCTCGCTGCATGCGAAAGCGATGAAGTTACATTGAGAAACATGTTTCTATGGCTGCTGCTGCTCAGGGCAGCCATAGCCCAGAAGGTGGTACCCATACCTCGAGCCCAGACGCTCCAGGTAGCCGGCCCCATCGACGAGCCCACAAGTATCGAGCTGAGGAGCGCACTCGAGATTCCGGACGAGGGCGAGGCCCAGCTCCCGATCATCGTCGAGCCGCGGGCCGTATCGATACAAGGAGACGGCGCGCCGCGGATCACGCGCGTGGGCACGGACGCGCCGGACGGCATCTATTCGTCTGGACAGAATATTACCGTCACGTTATCGTTCACGAGTCCCGTGGAGATTGTGGGCGATCCCGACGCGTTAAAGCTCGAGCTCGACACGGGATGCAATGACAACGCCTGCGCCATTCGTGAAGAGCAGTCCTTCACGTGCAAGGCCGACTACGGCGAGTTCGCCCTGACACTTTATGATAGTATAAAGGCGAACGTGTCCTCTACCTTTTCTGAAACGCGGGGCCCGTCCGACCCGAAGATGTGGGCGCCTTCCGGTACCGCTAGAAACGTCGGTGCTCTAGATGATCAAGAATTAGTCAAGCAGAAGCTCGAGACCATCGACGGCATCGAGAACGTGACTGTCTTTTTCGGCGACGAAGACGACCGGGACTACTCCGGTGGTAGGCGAGCCTGCACGTCCAAGGGCAATTTGATCGTGATCACGTTTGAAAGGTGCTCCTACGCGGACCAGTTCGACGGAGATGTCCCTGAACTGCGGTTAGACGCTACTAATGCGGTGTTGGATCCGAGGACCATGCTGCCGGTAGGTGATGGTGTCTACTTGACGGGACGGACAGCTGGTAGTACGGTGTTCGTGGATCCGGTCGCTACGGAACTTACGAAAGGTGTCCGTCGAAGAAATGGCCTCGCGAATTATATAGGAGGTAACGGTACGGATACATTAACTTTTGTGTATGACGTCATGCCCGGCGACGCCGCCAATCCGTTAGAAGCGGTCCAATTACTCGATATTAATGGAGATAGTGTGGTCGTTCGAGCAGCAGCATACCCTTATGCGCTTATAGATGCTTCATTACCTCCAGCAAGGACCGCAGCCCGATACTCGTCGGGCACGGCCAATGCTCTAGGCGCGTCAAATGATGTGATCGTGGACGTCCGTTCACCATTAGTCGTCGACGTGACCTCACCAGAGGTCGACGGGGAATACGGCGTCGGGGCCGTCCTGCGAATCTGGGTGACCTTCGATCGACAGTTGGCCGTCGGGGGCGAACCGCGCCTGGTCATGGCGACGGGCGCTTCCAATAGTTACGCGTTATTCACGCAAGTCTTGGGGGGAGGGTATACGGCGGAGTTCGAGTACACGGTCGGCGAGGGCGACGCGAACCAAGATTTAGATTACTTCGCTACCAATTCATTGTCCGTGGCTTCACCTGGTTATATTGTTCGCAAAGCTCGCGATGTTACCGTGTCTGCAGTTGCGGTGTTAACTCTACCGGAGCCGGGCAAGCCGGGGTCCCTCGCTCACAACAAGAACATCATGGTCGATACGAGCATACCCTACGTCTTAGATGTGTCGTTAGCGGGCGAAGTCGCGTCGCGGGACGTGGCCGCCGGCGACGTTTTGGACATCCAGGTCTACTTTAGTAGAGCGGTGGCGATCCGAGGAAGACCTCGGTTATTACTCAGGACGGGCCGGTCACCAGTTTTCAGAGGAGTCGTGGAGACGCCCGTCGGAGAAAACGGCGTGGTCGCCGCGGCACCTCGAGCCTCCGCAGCGGCCGCTATTCAGATCGCGTTCACTTTGTCAATTCCGGCCGTCGTCGGGGATACGTTGAGGATCGCGCTCCCGGGCTTCTCGGGCAATGCGGCCGAAAATTGTTCGTCCGTCGACGGCACGGACGCGTGGGTCGCCGGTTTTAGCGGTGCGGGTCGCGACGCGGAGCTTTTGTTGATTGCCGCGCGCGCGTCGCCGGCCCGGACGGCCTTCGACGTGCGCGTGCTGTCGCGGTGCTCCTACCTGACACCATCAGCCGGTCTGCGGAGCGGCGCAGACGCCGGGATCTTCGTGAGGGGCACGTTCGCGTCCGGTATCATGAAACGCCATAGGGTCGATAATGCGGGCGGCGTCGCGTTGAGTGACGCGTCCGTGACGTACGCTCCCCTGATTGCGGGCGAACCGACGCAACTCTCACTGACCTTCACGTCGTTAGCGGCCATCGCGCGCAACGAGACGATAGATTTGGTCTTCTCCGATAGTCTCTTCATCCCGAACTACACGTTACCCAAGTCCGTGGACCGCAAGTTCTCGTGGGTTGCGAAAAACACGACGGAGCAGGCGCTGGAGGCCGACTCGGCGGACTTCCGCGCGGCGTGGGTCCCGGACCGCGTCGTCCCGCGGCTGCGGTTTCGGGCGGCGCGCTTACTCGACGCGGGGACCTACACCGTCGGCTTGACCTCGTCGAAGGTCCTGGAGCTGCCGGCGGGCGGTCTCCACGCCGACGACGCGCGCATCACGCTGGCCTCGGACGCGCGCGCGTTGGGCGCGCTCAGCGGCTTCGTACCGACGAGTCCGGCCGTCGGCGCCTTTGGTAGTACTTCATTGACAATTACGAGTGAGGATGGAGGCCGGACGCACGGCGGCGGCCGGTGTCGCATCTCCTTAAAATTCGCCCTGGGCCCGGGCCACGCGTCCGCCGGCGACGTCATCACCTTAGCCTTGGACGTGGCGGGTCCCGACGACGAGGCTTATATCGGAGAACCACTTATTAGTGAGGGATTTAGTGTATCAATCGTGGAGAATGCCATCCGGCTGACCGTGCTGAACGACAATGACATTGGCGGCGGCGCCGGACGCATCGTGACGGTCTCCAATCTGGTCCTGGCGCCGGGGGGCGTCGCCCAAGATTCATCGTCCATAACGTTGACGTCTTCCTCGGCCCACGTGCCGACGACCGCGATTCCCGTTCTCAAGACCACGGCGGTGGCCGGTATTAGCGACGTGGCCTGGACCTGCCTCCCGGAACCGTGCTCGTTGGACGTTCCCAGCGAGTGGACCCTCACACTGTCGTATGGGTCGACGGGAACCATTTCCAGAAATTCAACGCTCTCCATCGGCGTGCCGTTCTTCCGGAGCCTCAACGCCTCGAAGAACGTCACGCTGTACCGAGACGTCGACGCCGTGTCGTTACCGTACAAGGACCACTTCGTGACTACTGATTTAGGAAGACCTCACGTTTTACGGTTGGCGGCGGCGACGGTCGACGGCGCGGACTTCAACTTCAACTGCACGCTCTACGGGTCGTCCACCAGAGAAGCAAGGATCGACTTCGTCCCTTTGCGGGACCTGCCGTCGCCCGGGGCCTTGGTCTTGACCATACCGAGGAAGAGCGGCCTCACGGCGCCGCGACGGGGCTTGCGGCCTTCCGATCTGTTGGAAGTGTCGGGCAACGCGCCGGGCTTTGAGTTCGGCGACGCCGTGCCAGCAACGCCCTGCGCCGGGCTCTGTGCGACGTCCTATACCTGGTCCGCCACCCGAGGCAACGAGACCCTCACGGCTACGCTTACATTCACCTACGTCGGTGCAGTCGAGAAGGGCGACGCGCTGCGGGTGACCTTACCCGGTTTCAAGAGGGAAGCGGAACTCGTCGTCAAGTTAGGAGACTCCTCCACGTTGGTTCAGGTCCAGAGCTGGTCGTCCGACGACGTCCTTACGCTGGTCTTCACCGCAGCCGTTTCACTGACGGACGCCGGGACCACGTTACAACTGATTGGCTTCCGGGGCCCGACACGAGGTATCGTACAGAACCAGAGGAACTTCACGCTCCAGTACAACATCTCGGCCATCACCGCCGACTGGTCGGAGGCGAGAGCCGTCGAGACGGTGCCGCCGATGGAGAAGGCCGCGGTCGTCACGAATTTGCGGATGGCGTCATTAAATGCGTCGTCCACGAAGCAGTACCTCGGCTTTCGATACGGAAGGCCCCTCTCGTCGGGCGAGGCCGTGACGGTCGTTTTTAGCGGAGGCTTCACGGGCAAGCCCTTCATCGGCGAGAACACCACAGAAATCACCAGACAAGGCGGGCCGGACCCGTATTCATTCAGGGTGGCGAGCTGGGACCAAGCGACGGAGACGTTGGTCCTAAGGTGCAACCAGGACATCCCTGCCGAGGAGGACGTCTACGTCAATATTACGAATCTGAACGCACCGTCGACGGGCGTGCTTCCCCGGTTAAGGCAGGGCATCACGTTATCTACGGACGAAGACTTTGGCACCTTGGCGTTCCGAGGCGTGAAGGTCGGGCGGCCGATCCTCGTCGCGTCGCAGGCGGCGGTCACGTGGGTCGAGGACGAGCTGGGACGGCAAGAAGCGAGGAGGGACGTCGGGCGGCCCGGCGAGAGGGTGGTGGCGGACCTGTCCGTCCGGCTCGACGGCGCCGACCTGCGGCACGGCGACACGATGGCGTGGTATTTGCCTAGGTTGCACGTCCCCGACTGCTGGGCCGACGTCTGCGGGCTGTACGTGAACGCGACGTCGGCTCGGGTCAACGTCACGGCCAACTACGACCTGACGACGGAAATTGTCACCTTAAATATTTTGGGCAATATTACGGCGGGCGCGCACCGCACGTTTAGGGTGGGCCGCGTCGCCGTCGACCGCAACCTGACCGATACCATAATTCCGGGCGTGCGGAACCGGACGCTGGCCCTCCCGTCCGACGGCTGGCCGTCGTCGCGCGCGGCCCATGTCACGATCTCGAGCGGCGACGATTCCTGGGACACCATAGACCAACTCCCCGTGACCGTGCCTTGTGCCGGTTTGTGCGCCAGTGCCCTGTCCTTCGAAGAGCCTAGAGCAGGCGCGCCCACCTCGGTCGCCATCCAGTGGTCTACCTCCTTCGCGCCCAATTCGGGCGACTCGTTCCGCGTCTCCTTCAACGGTGGTGCTGACGCGGACTGCGGCGTTTTAATGAATGAGGGCGATTGTATACGAAGACTAAGGGCGGGCGGCGGCCGGTCCAAAACGCCGTTGCAAATCGGCGGCGTTGATGGAAGGAGCTTCGCGGGGACGTGGATCGCCAACACGTCGTCCGTCCAGCTGATGACGACGGACTATGGGATTGCCTCCTCCAAGCGAAGCTTCTCCATCATCGTCGAGTACGGCTCGTACCTCGCCTTACCGGTCGCTGGCATACCTCAGAACGACGCCTCGATCAGTCTAGGCTACAATTCCAGTAGAGCGGGAAGTACGCCATCGTCATATCTACCGTTCCGGGGCGTGGGCACCGTGCCCTCTTCCTCGTCGCCGCGGTCGGACTGCGCCTTGCCGTGTTTTACATTCCTAAGTCGGGACGTGTCGCCCGGCAGTGTCACGGTGATCCGCGTGATCTTCGCCTACGGCGACGCTTTGGCAGAAGGAGATTTACTGAATGTTTCGCTGCCGGACTTCTTCCGCCTGGGCTTCTGGAAGTCTGGGGCGTTCAGTGTGTCGCACGGCCACGCCGGTACGTGGGACGCTACATCTCATATCGTTTCTGTCACACTCGGCGAAGCATTCGCTGCACGTAAACCGATCGAGTTCAACATCACGGGCCTGCACCTCCCAACTTCACCATTACTGGAGAACGACGAGCGGCTGCGCGTCTCGGTCGACGGCGCCGCGACGGCGCACACGTCCGTGAGCGCGGCGTCGTCGCCGCCCGTCGGCGTCCTTGAAAGTTCTTCACTGCATTGGGTCAAGCCCCGCGTCGCGACGACGGTCGGTTCCGGACTCAATGTCACCATAAGGGCGTCGTGCGCCTTAGTAGCGAACGACCGGCTGATCGTGGAGCTTCCCGGGTTCAGCGCCTCTGGTAGTTCAATACCGCTCGATGATGATATTTGGGGGTCCTCGGCGGCCTGGGATTCACAAAGGTTGACGTTCACGCTGCAGCAGGATCAAGTGTATGGTGACCTCACCGCATCAATAAAAGAAGACGCCCTGCTGAAGCCGTCTTCAGTGGCCTTTGCCTCGGCCGAATTTAGAATGAGGATCGAGGCGCGGGACTGCCCCACGGGCTGGAGCCACGCCAAGAGCCCGGGCGTCGGCCTCGCGGATGCAAGAGTAGCGGCCTTCTCCGCGCCGTTCGTGCGCGCGGGCGAAGAAGCGGACGTCGTTTTGAGGTTCGACGCGGCCGAGGCGCCTTTAGTGAATGGGGACTCGGTGACGTTCAAGCTGCCCGCGTTCACTAATACTACGGAAGTGAGTATACACAGAGACGACCCGGCTCGAAGGCGGCTGAGCGACGACACGTGTGCGTTGGACGGCAGCGACTACGACTACCAGGAACGCATCGACACGAAGGCGCGCTACGTGTCCACGTCGCACTGCCCGAACCACGTCCTGGGAGAAGGCACTTCAGTGAACAAGCTCCCGGCGACGTACGCTTTCCCCCTATATCCAAAGTACGACCCGAACAACCCGACGGACCTAAGCGAGCGCGCGGGCGCCATCGGCACGTTATTTAACGGCGCCATGCTCCTGTCGGGCTACGGCGGGTCGACGCCGGCCGTGAGCTACCAGACGTCGGCGCCCTATTTGTACGGAGACACCTTCGACGCCTGCGGGTGCACGGTGCGGGAACAGACGTTGGTCGAGGACCTGCACCCGGAGACGATGCTCCCGACCTACGGCTGCCACGGCCCGCCGACGTGCTTGCTGCGGCAGCTCGACGCGCAGACCTACGCGCACTCGCCGCAGGTCGGCTGGGCCGCCGACGGCTTTCCTGTGTATGGGCCGCGGGGAGAGCATGGCACATTAATGAAGGCCTGCGGTTCAACGATAGACGGCCCCTGCCTCGACGCGTGCGGCGGCTACTACGGCCCGTCGTCCCAGGACGAGTATGTCTATAGATACCATACGACGGGCGAGGCCCACGAGGCCAACACCGAGGCCCAGTGCGCGGCGCCGAACACGTATGGATCAGAATTCTACCCCTTCACGCCGGCGTGCCTCGCGGGCTGCGTGCCCGACGAGCTCATAACGTCGTCGTGCCCGGACTGCGCGTCCTCGGGGTACGTCCAGACCTGTTCTTCGAATGCCGTTGATGGCTTCACGTCACTGTTCACACCGAACGCGACGCGGTTCGGTGCGTCGAAGAAGCTATCGACGGACACGAGCTACTGCAGCACGGGAACTGGCGTGGTCTTAGACGACCCGTCACTTAAGGTAAAGTGGAACGCGCCCTACCTCAAGTTAACGATTGACGAGGCCTTCCCGACGGCGTCGCATGTCCTCGCGACGGTGCGCGGTTTAACACTACCGGAAGATGGCATCGATGGCCCCTACGCGGGCGTGACCGTTTCCGTGAATACGGCCGCGACGGGCCCATTATCCGAAACGGCCGTGGAGAGCGTGCCCGTCATCGCGGCGCTGCACCACTCCTCACTAGATCTGGCCGAGCCCTTCGCGGGCGTCGCCACACGATTAAAACTGCAGATGAACTTTTCTGTGGACGTGCCCAAGGGTTCACGGTTACAATTAACTTTGCCTGCATTCAGCATTGACTCGGCAACCTCTGAATCTGACATATTAGATTACGAGGGCTCGACGGGCGACGTCCACACCTTCGGCTTTGGTATGGCAGTCGACAAGCGCACCCTGGTTGAGTTATCAGTAAACGGCACGGTACCCGTAGAAGGCGTCGACGGCCTGGGTGACCACGGCTGCATGTTAACCATGAGTGCTGTAGGCCTGGACGCCACGCCCATTCAACACGTCGAGTCGGCGCCCGGTCTAGTTGGTAGTGTCTCGATCAGCTTTGGGAGTTTAGACTTCGGGTTCGCGCGCATCGAACGCGGCGACGGGCTCAAGGTGCGGTTCCCGCCGTCGACGTACGGCGACGCCGACGGTCTGACGAACGCGGACGCGGGCACGCAGTACCGCGTGGGCGGCGCGCTGATGACCGTGGCTTCTATACAAGGTGATGTTATCACCTTCGCGCCGCCGCACGACTTTAATGAGACTTCTGTGGTCGTCGCGACGAAATACGACGAGTACGGTTTAGCAAGAGAAGCCGGTCTCGTGGATGTCACGACGCCGGGCTTCCGGCCGGCCTACTACTACGCGGGTGATCGGACGTCGGCGCTCATCTTCCGGTACCGGGTCCGGCGGGGTGATTTTAGCGATGATTTGGACTACCTCGCGCTCAACAGTTTGGGCTGCCCCGGGCCCGCGCGGCAGTGGGCCCTGACGCAGGGCGACGGCGAGGAGTGCTACATCCGACGCGATTCGCCGCGGCCGACGGGCGCCGTGAACCTGGAGCTGCGGGCGCCGGGCGAGGTCGGGTCGTTAGCGTACAACGCGCGCATTAAAGTGGACACGACGCCGGCGAACGTCACGAACATGAGTACCGCGGCCGCTCTAGCGTGCCACTGGCCCGCGTACTTCGCGTCCGAGGGCTACGCGTCGACGGCGGCGGCGTGCGTCTATGGCAAAGGTCATTTACTGGACATTACGGTCGCGTTCGACCGTCCCGTGAGCGCGGACGTGGCCGGTGCCGTAGCACAGTACAACAGGTCCATAGCACAAGGCAACATCACAGTGACGCGGAATTACGCGGTCTTCGCGCCCGCTTATCTAGCGGCCAATGTCGAACTGGACATCACGACGTCTACCACGAGGCCGGCGACGGCCTTCTACGCGTCCGGAAGCGGGACCAAGGACCTGCATTTCGTCTACGACATACGGGAGGGCGACTCCAACGAGGGGGACCTCGACACGGTACCGACCGTCGACGGGAGACGCGCTCTACAGCCGGGCTTCGGGGGCATCGTCGGTTATTTGAGGTCGTCCTCGGCATCGCCCGAAACGGATATTAATTATGACTCCGTCCCGGAGCCCGGGGCCTACAACTCGCTGTCCGCGTCGCCGGGCCAAGCGCGCGTCATCGTCGACGCGAACGCAGCCATCATCACGGCCATCGAAGCGCCCTCCAGAACGTACTCGCCGGGCGACAACCTGGATATCAAGGTCACGTGGAGCGAGAAGATAGTCCCTCCCAAGAACTGCTCCGGGAGCCATTTCATGCTCTGGTTGGACCTGGCGAACGACCGATTAGCAGCGGAACTGGGCGCGCCGAAGTACGTGCCCTACGGCGCGCAGGCCCTGCCGCACAACGGCTCGGCGACGAGATCACTTATGTTTAGATACGTTGTGCGAGTGGGCGACGAGTCGGAACGGCTCGAGACTGCCTGCGTGCCCTGCGCGTCCGCTGTTGTAGAAACGGCCGCATTGTGGGCCAACGCGTCGTGCAACCCCCTGACCCTTTCCACGAACCGCCCCGCGTCGCTCATCCTACCGCTACGAACGGACGACGGCACGCTCGGCAAATCATCGAACGTCGTAGTGACGTCGGCGATGCCGAAGATCCTGAAGGTCGACGCGGATGCCAGCGACGTCCAGACGGCACCCCTCGCGGCGGGCGACATGTTACGAGTCTTCGTGCGGTACGACGCCGCGGTCGTCGTGGCCGGCGACGTCGCGTTTGCCGCGACCAGACCCTACCTCGACGAGGCGCCGCGCCTAGAGTTAACGATAGGCGACGGCCAGGACTCGCCCTTCCGCGGCCATGATCGAGCCCACCGCTTGATCAGCGCGAGGTACGCGGCGGGCTCGGGGACGTCTATCATCCGCTTCGACTGCGTGGTGCGGGCGCCCCTGGGCACGGTCCGGGCGGACTACGACACGTCCTTTAGTTTGAAGGGGTCCATGTGGCGGCTCTCGGACAGACCTGTCCTCGAGGCGAACACGACGTTACCCGCGAGGGGCGGCCCGATGTCCCTCGGAGGGTTCGGGGTGGGCTTGTTCGCCCTGTCGGTGAATACACGAAGACCGGAAGCCCTGAAGGCGTCGTTATCGAGACAGACGGGCGTCCATTCGCATCGACGCCAGACCCTAGATTTGATCATCCTGCGACGGTGGGCTGCTCCCGACACGCCACCGTCAATCACAGGAGGGTCGTTTAGAGTAGCTCTCGGGTCCGTCCTGGAGACAGACCCTTGCATTGAAGCTTCGAATGCGTCCGCAGCCACAATCCAAGCGGCCCTCGGCGCCACGCACGGCCACCTCGCGCCGCGCGTCTCCGAGCAGCCCGTGCGACGTGGTGATGGATGGCGCCGTCGTTTTATCGTAGAGACGGGCGCCGGCGGCCACGCTCTGCTGGAAACAGATATTTGTGTGGAGCTACGGTGTTCAGATATAAAGGGCGGCCTGAAGAGAAAGGACGCGGACCAGACGAACGAGACGTGCGCGGTCGTCGAAGCGAATGCGGATGGAGCCTTTATTGGTGGTTCATCAGTGGACGTCGACGTGGACTATGCTGGATACCCTCTGACGGGACGCGGCGGCCTCGCCGGCGCATTAAGCGACGGCGGCTACATGACCCGGAGCGCGGGCTCGCTCTTCCAGACGATCGATGTTGGGGTGGACGCCTCGACGCAGATGACGGGCGGCGCCTTCCAGCTGCTCTACGGGAGCGCGAGGACGGGCTGCATCCAGTACGACGCCGGCGACGGCGGGACGAGATCGGTACGAAACCAGCTCAACCAGTTGGCCGAGGTGCGGGCTATTGGTGGTGTTAGGAAGGTCTTGACCTACGCACGAGCGAACGGGTATAGATTTGTCGTCGAGTTCGCGGCGGCGCACTGTAGTCCCCTGAAGCTGCGGCCGGCGGTCGATCGGGTGGGCGAAGAATGTGATCTTCTAGATCCGCCGGACGCCCAGGTCGTTATCGACGCCGAGGAGGTCATTACGTTAAAGCGAGACGCGCAGCCCGGGTCGTCGTTCGTTCTGAAAGTGGTCAACGGCTCGATCGCCGCGAACGAGACGCTGTCCATAAGCATACCGAGGGTCGCCACGCCGGTCTACGGCGTCGGCGTGTCCGGGGCGACGTCCTTGCGACCGCGCGTGTGGTCAGCGAGGTCGCCCTACGCTCGGCTCCGGACGGGCGCGTCGCGATCCGATCGCGCGGTGAACTGGACGTCGGACACGCCGGACGCGTCGCCCGTGGTCCCGGCCTACGTAGCGTTGAAACCCGCTTTACTGGCCTTCGTCGGCGCCGCCGTGCGCTTCGAGCCCGCCCTGCCGGGCGCGGCGACGTCCATCGACGTGTCCTTCGCGCCGTCGGAACAGCTGTTACCGGGCGACGTCATTACGTTGAGGCTGCACCCCCGGGCCGGTGCGTACGGAGGTATGTGTAGAGGCTGCATCCTGGGCAACGCGACGGACGGCTTCGGGTTCGTTAGTGCATCCGTGGAGAAAGGTTCAATGATAGTCAACGCGACGGTTGCTCGGACGGTCGCCGCGCTGACGTACGTACGCTTCGTGCTCGACGCGAACAACAGTTTGACCCTCCCGGCGACGGCCGTCTACAGCGTCGACGATTCGGGCGGTTGGCTACGGAGGGATGAAAGAATGCCGAAATTCAGAAATGCGTCCTTCGACGCCGCCACTTTAGAATTTGACGGCCGAGGCATCCGAGCGGACGCCCAGCCCGTCGAGACCTTGAAGGGCTCGGGCCTGGCCTGGGCCTCGCTGTCTTTTTCTGGAGGTGCCGCGACGCCCGGCGCCCCGACGGGCATCGACGTGTCCTTCGGCGTCGCCGCGCCCATCCAGTTAGTGGAGTCCCGCAACCGGACGCTGCCAAGGAGACGCGTCTCCGTCGACGCGAAGATCGAGTGGAGATATCGACCACCGATGCATATCTACGGCGAGGTGCGGCTCGTGTTACCGGGGTTCTTGGATCCAAGGGAACGGGCGGACATCCTGAGGAGCGGCTCGGACGATTCGAGGGATCTCATACTATCGGGGAGAGACGCGGCCTACTTCATCGGGAGGTGGGGCGGTTTGAGGGAGAGGGACTGGGAGTGGGAGACGACGGACCAGACCTCGGAGAACAACGCGACGTTGAATGGGACCCTCTCCCTCTACGCGCTGGCGCCGTTGGTACCTAGACCGCAAGGGTACCTGGTGACGGTCGACGGTTTAGCTGCCCCGGTGGACATCACGGCGGCTTCCCGGAAGCAGTTCGAGGCGTCTCTGTTAGATGCGAATGAGGACGTGCTCGTCGCCAGCACACCGTTAGCTGATGGTGGGCCTAGAATGAACGCTTTAGAAAGCGCACAGCTCGTCCTCGACCCGTCCGACGCGGTCGGCGTCGTCGTCGCGCTGAATTTGAGTTTTAGCTTCGTGCGGACCGTGGCGCCCGGCGGGCGCGTGCGCTTGTTTTTGCCGAACGTGCAGGCTTGCTCGTCGCAGGACCCGGCGCCCCTGGTATCGAGCGACGGCATCTGGTCCCTCGACGAAATCCGAAGCGACGACGAGGGGTCGACACTCCTCTTCGCGCCGGCCGTCGAGGCCACGACCGCGTCGGGTCTAGAAGTCGGGCGTTCGGCGGGCCTCCGCGTCATCCGGGAGCTGGGCATCCCGGAGGACGGGCCCAAGCTGTCGATGATTGACATCGAGTACGGCGCGCCGCTGGCACCGACGTGTCTGGGGGGTGCGTGCGCGCCGCTCAAGCTCCGGAAAAACAAACGAAGTTTGTTCGTGGGCATCGGCGCGCTGAACGCGTCGCTCGCCTACACGCGGCCGTGCTGCGCGTTTGATCGAGACGCGGCCCCGCCGGCGCCCGGCAGCGACGCGCGCGTCGAGCTCAATTTTACGTATAGTAGTCCCCTCGTCGAAGGCGATGTCTTGGAGGCGCGCCTCGGGGGCTTTGCTGCATTAAACAGCACGGTGACGATCGAGGAGCACTACTTTGGTGAAGACGAGGACAGCTGCGAGTTTCAGTTAGGTTTCAACGAAACCGCGGGATGGGCCAACAGCACGCTGACGCTGCTCGTGACGCGGGGCTGCGCCGCGAGCCAGCCCGGCGGCATCTCCATAAGAGGTCTGACGATGCCGACGTCGTCCCTACGCTTCGACGAGCCTTTCATCACGCTGGCGTGCCCTCGTTGTAAAACGGCGCGCGCGCGGCCGGCGCCCATCAAGACGCCGGGCTACGGGGTCGCCTTCGCCCAGGCGTTCGTGACCGCGTTGGATGGAGGCCGCGCGAAGGCGGGCGACACCGCCAGGGTCGTGCTGACGGCGGCCTTCTCCGAAGATGGTTTGGCGGGGGACTACATCGAGTTCTCCGGTTTGGATGGACCTGGCTCCGATGGAGGACTGGTGGCGGACGTGGCTCCATCGACCGTAACGTTGCACTGGTACGCTTCTCGAAAGATGGTCCGAATGACCCTGAACGGACGCGTCGCGAAGAAGGCGCCCATCGAGGCCGTCATCGAGACAGATCTCAAAGTGCCTGCGACGGGCTTAGCTCTCAGAGCCAACCTCGAGGACTCGGTCTGGAGCCCCGGCGGTGTGAGCGAGTGGCTCGCGGATCCCGTCAAAGTGCACGCGGCTTTGAATCAGAAGATCGGTGCGATTCAAGACGATTATGGTTATGATATAGGAAACGTGGCCTTGGATAACGTCGAGCACAACCCGACCGCCGACACGACGCCCGTCGGCGCGCTCCTCAATGGGACGCTCGACTTTGGCGCAGACGCGAAGGCCGGCGCGCCGTCAGATATTGATATTCTCCTCCAGTTCGTCGCGCCGCTCGTCGAGCACGACGTCATTACGATCGACTTCGGTTCCGCGTCGTCGACGGGCGTTTCGACGACCGAGGTGCTCGGTGCGGACGCCGACAAGGTGGCCGCATCGATAGCGGGTCCTCTGGCGACTTTCACGGTCCTCCAATCCGTCAAGGCGGGTGCATTCATACGACTCACAATCCCGGCGACGGCGGGCCTCGGCCCGCCGTCGACAGGAATTGAGGACGACGACGTCGGCGCTCATGTTTCGGTCGAGGCGGCGCACGGCGCCGTCGCCGCCACTTTGCTGACCGTGCGGCGGCCCGTCTGCGCGTTATCCACCGGATCGCTTGAGATCGAAGGCGCCACGGCCCCGGAGCCCGGGACCCTGCGCGACATTTTACTAGACCTCAAACTGACGCGGGCGGCGTCTTCCGGTTCGCGCATCGAAGTACGCCTGCCCAACTACGCGAACCACACGGCGACCTACGCCGAGATGGACGACGGCAACGTGACGCTCGATCGGATTCTGAATGGGAACCACACGGACTCCTACCTCCGCATGTATATCAGACCGTTCGTGCCCCTTTCCACGATTAAGGTGGCGCTGTACCAGGTCAAGCTCCCGTCCGGATCGTCGTACCTCGACCAGCAGGACTTCGTCTTGAGGATAGACGACGTCAATTCAGAAGGATGCGCGCTGCGGGAGTTTGTGCCTTTGTCCAGCGTCGAACCCATCGGTCTCTCGTCCTCTGCATTAAGCTACGACGACGACGCGCGCGTCGGGGAAGTATCAGCGTTCGAGCTCAAGTGGGCCTACGGCCAGGCCTTCTTCGGGGGGAAGATCAAGTGGCGCCTGCCGGGCTGGACCCTCGACGGCCGAAACAACCGGACGGGCACGGCGCGCGTCTTCGCCGGACGGGCCACGGCGCTCGCGAACGTGTCCTTCGACGTCGACGACCAGGTCTTATATCTTGCTAAATTACCGAGGGCTCGGAAAGCGCAGACGGAGTTCGTCCTCAAGATGCCGGCCCGCTTCGGCTTGAAGCCGCCCCGGTCGGGCGACGGCGCCGGCCCGAGCGTCTCGTATCAGATACGGGACAAGTCCGCGGCCTTCACGCCGGTGCAGCGCATGGCCGTGCGCCTCCCGGCCGTCCACTTTGCGCAGCTCGCCTTCCACGCGCCGCGCCCGGTCGTCGGCGACGCGTCGGGCTTCACGCTCACGTGGAACACGTCTACGGAAAGCGCCAACAACGGCTTCATCCTGAAGGATGGAATCGTACTGTTATCCCTACCGGGCTGGCTGCCGCGGGGCGCCGCGGCCGCGGCGCTGGCGTCCCGGGCGAGGGCTCCGTTAAGTATAGGCGGTCTGGATGGCGCGAACTTCAGCGCCGTCCTCACGGGCGCCGCGGCGCTGGAGCTGACGGCGAAGACCAATTTGAGGCAGCTGAACTATGAGATTATCGTCCCGTCGGACGTCGTCGCGCCGGCCTACGGCCTGAGTTCGTACAACGACGTCGCGCTGCACCTGGCGCCGCGGGGCGCCGCATCGACAAACGAGAGGGACTGGGTCGCGTCCGTCGACGTGCACTTCCCGACGCCGGTCTGTTCGTTGGTCGACGCGGTCAACGCGTCCGTCTGGATCGGCCGGGGCGCCGTCGACACGGTCATGGAGCGGTTCGACCTGGCGGACACCTTCAAGAATCGTGCCTTCGCGAGGACCCCCGCGGCGGCCGACGTTCGTGCCTCTTCGCTGGCCTACGACGCGACGTCCTTCCGGATACGTCGGCCGACGGGCGCCGACACGTCCATCAGCAAGGACCTCCCCCTCAATGTCTACGTGCAGTTCCGGCTGTCCGAGGACTTGGCCCCCGGCGACGAGGTCGAGGTCTGGCTGCCGCGCTTCCGGCTGTCGAACCCCGACCAGCTGATGCCGTGGGTCCCCATCGACCGGGGCCTCCCGGTCGACACGCGGTGGCAGGCCCAATTCGTGAGCGTCGCGTCCAGCTCTTTAAGCGCGGCGCGGCCGCGCGAGGGCGAGTTCGGGGTCGTCTTGAGGCTGAACGCCACGGAGGGGTTGCCGCGCGACGGCTTCGCGGCCGTCGCGGTCGCCACGGCTTTGGAAGGCGGTGTGGACCTGCTCCCGCCGGAGGACCGCCTGCGGCCCTATCGGGCGGAAGGCCTCGACGACCGCGTCACGCTCTCGTCGACGTCACCAAACTGCCCGCTGCCGCCGACCGTATTACGGGGCGCGCCGCGCTTCGGCCTGCAGGGGGCCTCCGTCGACATTTATGGATATAGTGGAGGCGCGCGGGACGCGTCGATCGGCATCCCGGGCGAGCCCGCCAACGCTTTGTTGGATACGGCGCCCTCATTAGATACTTCCGTGGAACTAGCGCTGACCTTCGACAGTAGCTGCGATTTGACGGAAGGCGATGCCATCACGTTCTCGCTGCCAGCCTTCCGCGGGGCCGACGTCGCCGACGAGGCCAAGGTCGACTACGCCGGGGCGGACGCGGCGAAGCCGCGCCTGCCGTCGGCGACCTTCGACTTCGCCTTCACGGGCGGCGGCACGGACCAAGCCAAGGTCGTCCTCACGGCGTCGTCGCACGCGGCCGCGGGACCGCGCACGTTGACGCTAGGTGCTTCTTATGGTTTGAGACCGCCGCCCCAGGGCCTACCGCGGGGCCCCGTCGGCCTCACGGCGACCATCTCCAGCAATTGCACGGGCGGCGCATTGAATCCCGTGCCGCTCGACGCCGCCCCCTCCTACGGCACGTTCTCGAACGCTTCCCTAGCCTTCGAGCCGTCGACGGCGAATGCCCTGGCGACGATGGTCCTCGAGGTGGCGCCCACGTCCTCCCTGGAGCCGGGCGACTCCTTGAATGTCTGGGTGCCCGGCTTTAGTTTCACGGCGCCCCTCGGCGGGTCGCTCGACGACGTCGCCTTCGCCTCGTCCTCGTCCGCGGAGTTGCGCGTGCAATACGTCGAGGGGAGCTTCGGGAGCGTCGAACTAGGTGCCCTGAAGGTCGCGGACGGGGGCTACTTGCGACGGGATTCCGACGACCCGGAGACGCCCGCGGGCCTGGAATCCATGCGCGCGAAGGTCAACGAGGCGCTTGCTTCATCACAATTGTACGAAGAGACGCCGCCGCAAATACTGGACGTACGGGCGGCGTTGTACGCGGCGCCCGGCGGCGGCGACGACCAGAGCGCGCTCCGCGGTACGAGTATCTGCGCGGGCGAACTCATCCCCATCTTCGTCGTTTTTGATAAAGATGTGTCCGTGTATGCGTCCTCGAGAACGTCGCCGCCCTACGCCCTGGAATTAGATGTTGGCAACGGTAGAACGGTATTAGCGCCGCTGTCGACGGGCGTCCACGGCTGGTCTACGACGAAGAATCTGGGGAGTAGATATTTGAGGTTTGACTACGTGGTCGGCGAAGGCGACTACTCGAAAGATTTAGCGCCGATCCACACGCAAGCTTTAGTACGAGACCCCTTACAACCGACGGCCGCGATCAGAAGAGCCGTCGGCGAGGAAGTAGAAGTCCCGGGGCTGCCGGGCCTGTACTACATGCCCGACGCGTTCCGGACGCCGGTCAACGCGAACCTGAGTCTGCCCATCCTTGGGCGGCTAGCTAGAGATGCGGCCGACGACGCGGCGTTCGGCCGGAGGCCCCTGCATGTGGACGGGCGGTTCGACGTGAGCGTTGTTTCGGTGGCAACAGCGAAGAACATGAGCACGGCGGAGTGGCCCGTGTTTGGTGCTGGTGAAATCTTGGATATAGATATCACGTTCGATCGAGACGTCGAGGTCAACGGTGTGCCCACGCTAAACATCCAGGGCGGCGGCGTCGCCTATTATACGAGAGGCGGTTCCGTACAAATCGTCGACGTCGGGGTAAGAGCGGTACCGGCCATCCAGAGCGGCGCGTGGGAACTTACGTACGGCCCTCTCACGGCCGGCTGTTTAGACTGGGACGCGACGGCGAAGGACGTCCAGAATGCCCTGGCGAAGATCGGGGTCTTCGTGTCGAATAATTATGATCCGGACAACGCCCCCGCGGTTTTACGATCCATCGAGTCGTATTCGCTGGGAGGTGGGAGAAGGACGGTCTTCCACTTCCACCCCGACGCGGCCGCGGCCGCGATTGAGGTGGCGACGCGGCCCTTCTGCCTTCCCCTGAGTCCCAACTCGCCGGGTGCCACAGCAGCTAGGGCACCCTCACCAGTAGCTACCTTCCGCTACCAGACGAGGAAGGCCGACGCGTTACGGTATCTAGCCATTAAATCAGAGGACGCCCTGGAATTGCATGGTGTGTACGTGAAGGACGAGTACGTGCCCGACGAGATTTTAGCGAGGACGACGTACTCGAGGCGGCCGGCCTCTCTGGTTCTCCCGGAGGCCACGTGGGACTTGGAAGTTTCCAAAATCGCGGTCAACGGTTCCGAGGCATCGGTAATAGACCTCTCGACGGACGCGACGCATCCGCTCGAGGCGGGCGACGAGGCGCACGTGATCGTCATCTTCGACGCGCCCGTGTTCGTCGACGAAGACGCGTTTGATACGTTAAAGCTCTCGGTCATGGTCGACTCGGCCTTCGGGGTGTCGTTGCCCGAGTTCGTGACGCGCGTCTGCTCCTATAGGAAGGGCAACGGCACGGCCTCGCTCTATTTCAATTTTTCCGCGGTCGAGGGCGACTCGGCCGTCGCGGTGCGCGCGGAGGCCGACGCCCTGGTGACGACGGGCTGGGTTAGAAGACGTGCTCTGCCGGTGGCGACGCAGAGTGTAGATTTGAGGGTGCCCTCCTACAAGGGCTGGCGAGAAATTTTATCTGTTGATGGAACCAAACCAGCAAAAGTTATGACCGTGTACAGTGTCGACCCCATTGAAGCGTTATATGAGCCGGTGATGCTCGGGTCCGGTGATCTCCTCGTCATAGCCGTACGGTTCAACAAGAAGGTGAAATTTGGACGCGCGGACGGGTCGCCGGTCGAACCGACCGAAGAACGCTTCGGGGACAAGAGCGACTGGCTGCATCTGACGCTGCGGACGGGCCGCATGCTCAACGGCACGACGTGGGTCAACGGCACGTACAACGAAAATGGCACGAAGGCGCAGCCCTACGCCTGGCTCCATGAGTATGATGGAAACGGTACCAATACTTTATATTTTAAATATATAGTGCAGCCGGCGGACAACTGGAACGACGGCTACCTGAACTACGCCGGGATGCATTCGTTGGAGCTCGGCGAGGGGGTTATACTGGATACGGACGCGGTCTCGGGATATGGGGAAGCGAATATCGAATTATGTCCCGCTTGTGCCTCATCAAAAGCATTAAACGTGTCGTCGATGCTTATTATCGATACGGTGTCGACGCCGCGCATCATCGATGCGTATGGCTCCACCGCCTTAATAGACCCTCTGATCGAGGACGACTCGGAAGCGCTGAAGAACGCCTCGGAACGGGCCGAATTCTACCGGCGGGCCGCCATCGACGGGTTGCGGGGGCCCGTGCGGGCCTACGACAAGAAATGGAAGGAGCTGAACTACGAGCCCGTGACCTATACCGTCGGCGACGTCGTGCGACTCGAGGTGGACTTCACGGCGGGAGTCAGCTGGCTGGCCGAGGAATCGCCGCCGCCTCGCTTATACATCGACGGACTCGTCGGTCGGTACCGCGAATTACAGGACCTGTTCCCGGACGACTACACGTTCGCGAAGTACGTCTCGGGCAACGGCACGAGGTTCCTGCGCTTCGAGTGGGAGGTGCCCGACGAGAACCCGCTGGTCCACGCGCCTCTGCCCTCGACCGGTGTGGGGAGGCTCGGGTATCGCGGCGTGCGCGCGCTCGTCGATTCTAACGTGAAACTACGTCGAGCGGCCTTCGGCGACGCCTTCCTCGGAACGCCTCTGATCCGGAATCCCGAGCTAGGGTTGTTGTCGATGTACCTGCCGCCCTCGGAGAAGTCGCCCCTGGAGCACTACTACGAGATTCGCATCGACGGGGCCAAGCCGAAAATTATAGATGTCAAATTATCAAAGCACTCGTCGATGGTGCGAGATGCGGGATTAGCGGTGGGCGTCAGTGCCTTTACGACGGGCGACACCATAGACATCACCGTCGTCTTCTCTGCGGCTGTTGTGGTTGAGGGCGTGCCGACGCTCCTCCTAAATGCGAGGGGCGGCGAGCCGCGGTCCACGGATGAAGACCCGCCCTACGCTTATTATTTAAGTGGTTCGGGGACAAATGAGCTGACCTACAGGTACACGGTGATTCGAGGCGACGACGTGAATGCGCTAAGTCATGCGACCACGCAACACGAGTGCTTCGCCGGTCTGGTGCGGGAGCAGGAAGGATTGCCACTTACGAGTGGTCTCAACGACACCGAAAGACTAAGCTTAGCCATGACCGTGCGCTGGCCCCACGGCATCACGTGCCCCCGGACGCTCATTCCGGGCCTGGAGCAGCCGGTGCTATCCATCCTGCGGAAGGCGGAGACGCCGACGATTTCCGCAGATTTGACACTGCCGATGCCGGGCTACCACGTTTTTGCGTACGACAACAATCAGATCGAAGCTGTTACGTCGTTAGAGGCCTCCGAGGTCGCCTTATCGGCCACGTCTCTGGAAGGCGATCTCGTGAGCGTCGACACCGCAGCTCCCGTGGTATTGCATGTGACCTCGCCGAACAAAGATGACGTGTACGGCGACAAGGCGCTCATCACGCTCTATGTCACGTTCTCGGCGCCCGTCGTGATCACGGGCCACAAAGTCGTCGGCGAGTTGCAACTAGCCTTGACGACGGGGACGGGCCCTGCCTACTACGTCCGAGGGAATGGTACCGCAGTGCTCGAATTTGAATACAACGTCGAGTACGGCGATACGACGACCGGTTCTTTGGATTACGCCGCGGATACAGAAAAACTGAAAGCTTTGACTTTCTACGAGACGGGCATACCAGAAACGCAGGAAGCGAAGGCCAACGAGAACGTCGCGTGCAACCTGCGGGGGAGGCAGTGCGAGTTCGTCGCGCAAGGTGGTACTATTGGCGATAGCGGTCCGGACGGCGGCACGTCCCATTCTCTGTATATTAATCAAACTGAATCTTTGATAATAACGCAGAAGGTCGTGCCCATCTATCCCAGCGGCGTGTATCGGAGGTTATTAGCGGGCGCGGACGTCGGCGAGGCGCGGGCGTCGGGCGTGCTTGCGGAACTCAATCTGCCGGCACCGGGACCTCGGAAGACGGTGGCCGACTATGGCAGTCTAGTCGGCCAAGGGAGGCAAATCATCATCTCCGCCGTGTCGCTTAAAGTATTAGAGGTCTTCGCGGCGAACGGGACTTATGGCGTCGGGTCGCAGATCCACATTGGCGTGCGGTTCGAGCGGCCGGTGAACGCCACAGGAGTCTCTTATCTATTGTTGCATCTCGATTCCGCGTTAGACGAGCCCGCCAAGGCGACGTTGGATCAATCCAAGCCGTATGAGTTAAGTGAGGTACTATGGTACGTCTACATCGTCCGAGCCGGCGACGCCACCGACTCGCTGACCTATGTCGCCGCTGACAGTTTGGACGCGACGGAGGGCGCCATCGTTTCGATAGGAGGCGGCTGCCCGGTCACGATGGAGTACTGCCCCGTCGACACCGGTTTGGCCGGCGTGGCCGCGCCTACGACGCTCCCGCACCCCGGCATGCCCGGTTCGTTGTCAGTGACCTCTCAGGTCATCATAAACACGGATCCGACGGAGGCCGTCGCCGTGTCGTTGGCCGAAGGTTTGAGGAGATCTAGTTACGTGTACGCGCCGGGCGCTTCTGTTCCAATCACGCTCACGACGTCGAACCCCGTACGAAGGGACATGGCGGCCAAGATGTACGGCGGCTTCATCGACGTGGGCGGCTTCACCGATCATATCGAAAGGCGCGCTTCGTTCTCCGAGGGAGAGACGACTCAAGTTTTATCATTCGATCTGTCAATCCCACACGGCTGCTCGTCCCAACTCCTGAAGCACGCCGGGGCCGAGGGCGCCCTCCATCTCGGCGGAGGCGCCTTCCTGGCGGACGGCGCGTCGAACCTCGCGACGGTGCGCGCGGAAGCGCGGCTGCCGTGCCCGAGCGCGCTGGACTCTTTGGCGTCGCAGAACGCGTCCGTCGACGCCACGCCGCCGCGCGTCGTGTCCGTACGAGCCGCGTCGTCGTCCTCCTCGTCCGACGCGCAAGTTTTGGCGAGGAACGCCTCCGCTTATCTGGTGGTCGAGTTCGATCGGCCTGTCGTGGTGTTCGACCGGTTACCGTCATCAGACTCAAAACCCATCTGCGAGACCTGCGACCAGAGCGGGGCGTACGTCGTGGCGGGCACGGCGTCGCCCGACGTCCTAAGAAATCCGGGGCGGCAGGGGTACTGGTACCCGCTCTACCTCGACAAAGACGCCGCTATCAAAGAGTTCGGCGCGCGTATCATCGAGATCACGTTCATCCAGATCCCCCAGGTCGTGTTTTATGGACCGGCCGAGAACCCCGAGGCGAGACGAAGGTTAATGTGCGCGCCGGAGTTTGGGTGGTGCAATAACCCGCTGACGCCGCGGGTCGAGATGCTGAGCGCAGGGCTGTATAACTGGACGGAAGAGGTGGTGGTAGAGGAAGAAGATAATTACACATACTACGAGGGCGGCGCGTACCCCGGCCAGGTTCTCGTAAAAGACTATCCGCTCTTTGCCGACCTCATTGATGCGTCTGAACGCTCTAGAGATATGGTCGACGACGGCCTGCCGGCGCTACGCATGGACCTGAGACAGGGCAAGGCCGAGGCGAGGTACGCGGGCGGCTCTGGAACGCATATCATCTCCATGGTGTATGCAGTAGCCCCTGCGGACGAGACGTCGGCCTTCGAGTTTAGCGGCACCGATGCTTTGAAAGGTTTAATTTACCGACCGGGCCGGGCCTGGACGTCCATTGTCAAAGACGAGGACGACGCGTCGCAATTTATCAAGGCTGATTTAACGGTACCCAGAAGAGGAGGCCCCGGGGCCATTGGTGGAGATGAACTGCAACCACCCATGGTTATTTATACCGCGCCAGCCCCTTCATACTTCGCGACGTGCTCGAACGCCGGCGCTTACGGTTTGGGGCTGGGCCAGGTGTTGGATATCCGGCTCATTTTTACGGCTAGAGTGTGGGCCGGCTCGGACTACTACGAGGCCATGGATAACGGCGACGCGAATGACTGGGGCCGGCCCCAACTCGAGATCTGGGAGACGCGACGACTGGACGAGCGACGCCGCTTGCAGGACGTGGGCACGTGTAATGACGACGGCACGAGTTACTTCTACGCCGAATCCGTCGATAGGGTCTTACCCTCCGATAGGACCTCAGCAGCTAGATCAGTCAGCACGAACCACTGCCCGAACCACGCCTGGACGTCATTAAATGGCTTCAAGCCCCGCATGAAGTCTACACGATATGTTTTCGCGGGCTACCCTATGCTCAGTACCTTCGATCCCATCTATCTTAACAGGGAGGGCGCCATCGGCGTTTTGTTTTCGGGAGCGATGGTCTACTCCGACTACGTCAATGACGAGGTCGGACCTGCTACCGAATACGTGAAGTCGGCGGCTTACTTGCTGGGTGATTCTTTTGATGAGTGCGGGTGTCTGGCCGATTCTAAGACGGAACCGAGCTACGGCTGCCACATTCCTCCCTCGTGTTTATTGAAGCAGCTCGGCCAGACCGGCGAAGCCCATTCGCCGCAGATCGGCTGGGTGATCGATGGGTTTCCGTTATACGGTCCGCGGGGCCCGAACGGCCAGTACATGCGGTCGTGCAACGCCACGGGCGGCACGATCGGCGTCGACGTGTGCCTGGACGAGTGCAATGGCTACTACGGCACGATCCCCGAGGACAAGTACCGGTATAGGTACTATAGTACGGGCACGTACCACGAAGCGAACGGCGACAACGCCTGCGAGGCGCCGCCGCCCAAGCAGCGCGACGCCTACTTCCCGTTCATGCCGCCCTGCATCAAGGGGTGCGTGCCTCTGTCGCTAGATGCGGCGGGCTTCACGTCGTCTCTAACGCAGCCGACGCCCGTGTGTCTGGCCGACGCGGAACCGGGCTACGAGCCGGATTTAATTCCGGTCGAATCCCCAAGCTTAAAAGTGGACACCGGGTATTGTACCTCTGGAATTGGTGGCATCGAGTACATCCCACCGCTACCGCCACCTCCTCTAAGCCCGAAGCAAGCGACGGACCTCTGGGAGGCGACGATCGAAGCCTCGAAAAAGCTAGATACGCCCCGCCTCTTACTCACGACGGGCGAGTACGCCTACTACCTCGAATCCACAGAAGGCATGTTGAGATTTGGCTACCGCGTGCCGTCGGCGTGGGACGGCGGCCAGATCGATATCCAGCCCGAGAGCCCCCAATCTTTGGAGTTGAGGGACTGGGTCGTCGTCAGCGAGACGGGCATTTTAGCTGTGAGTGAATTGGCGGAAGATATGCCTATATATTTTGATGTATTAGGGGCGTGCGTCGACGGCGCCTTCGCGCTGGAACCGCCGTCCGCCAAGCCGGCGGGGACGCCCCTACCTTTGGCCGACGAGCCCTTCGGTCTTTCATTAGAACTGGACCTGCGGCCGGCCGCCGTCGTGAACGTGACGCTGCTACGACCGTCGACGTGGTGCACGGAGCTGCGAACGGCGACGCCGACCTGCGGCGCGGGCGAGGTCCTGGATATCCTGATCGCCTTCGATGCGCCCGTGGCTTTGAACAACCCCGAGGAGGCGCACTTGTTACTGAATTCCGGGTCATGTTACGTACCTCGAACGGACGGTCTGGACCACCAAAATTGTGAAGGTGGCACGGCCTACTACAAATATTCAAAAGACGACGAGTACGGCGCGTCCATCTTGAGGTTCGAGTATGTGGTGCAAGAAGGCGACACGACGGCTGCTTTAGATGTCTTGAACGCCTCGTCGTTGCGGGGCGACTTCAAGCGCTTCGCCTCGCCCTCCTCCGTGGGCCTCGTGGACAACACGGTACCCTTAGCGGGCGCCCGGCACTCCATGAGTCGGATCGGACCCGTCGTGAAGATCGACACGATACCGCCGAAAGTAGATGCGCTGTTTGCCCTCAAAAGATCGGGAATCTACGTGGCCGGCGAGACGGTACTCATCGTGGCGCGCTTCACGTCCGCCGTCGCCGTCGACCCGTCGGCACCGCCGCCTAGGTTGATGTTGGGCATATCTCGAAGAGACAAGTCAGACGCCTACGCGGACGTGTTGAATGGTACGAGGGCAGAACAGCCTTTTGATCTTGTCGAAAGCATCACGAATTATGATTTACCTTTCCGGGCGACGGTCTACGATCTCGTGTTCTCGTATACGGTCCAGCCGGGCGACGTCGGCAATCTGGCGCACTCCGGAAGAGGCGCGTTGCACGTCGAAGTGAGTCCCTTCCACCTGGTGAATGGCACGATCGAAGTGAACAAGACCGACGCCCAAAACCAAACGTATCTGGGGCGGCAGCAGGCCTGGCTCGAAAGAGCAGCGGTTTGCGCCGACGCGGGCAGGTTCGGATCCATCCGACGGGCGACGAACGGCGCCATGCTCACGGCGGCCGATACGCGACTGCGGGGCGCGCACGATTTAGAAGCGCAGCTAGGTGCCCACGGAACGGTCCGCATCGACCGCCAGTGGCGGTCCGCGGACCGGTTCCCGACGAAGGTCGAACTAGTTGTGCGCGGTTTGGCCCACCCCCACGCGGCCGATTTGGATATCCAATTGATGCACGGGAACGTGTCTATCAACGTGTTCCGGGAGAGCGGTGGTTCCAGAGCATTAGGTCGTGGCGAGTCGCCGCGCTTGCCGAGACCCGCGGTTGCCGGTGCTATGAGACCGGACCCTCAATCCTCGGAAGCACGAGCGAAAGACACCGCAAGAGCGCGGTGGGGCGACGAGCGCGGCGCCGACTACGTCTTCTCGGACCTAGCGTTAGATGTCCGAGCGAGGAACAACCTCGCGCCCTTCGCGCGGGCGACGCAATCCTCCACGGACCATGGGGGCGACGCCCACAAAGCCATCGATGGGAACACGGACCCGTACTTCACGCACGGGTCCGTGACACATACGGCGGCCCAACCAACATATGTCGTGGAGAACGATGAGCTGGTCGCCGCGCCGCCGCCCTTCTTCGAGCTCAGGTGGCCTAGAGATACGATTCAAGAGATAGGCACAATTAAATTATGGAACCGGCAAGAGCTCCAAGCGGTGTCCGAGGTGCAATCGTTGACCTTGGAGGCCTTTGGGCTGTACCCCGAAGGTAGTTTCAAGGTATTACTGGACCTAGGAGCGGCGGGCTTACAGGACAAGGCGAAGAAGCACCCCGGTATACTAGCGAACCTCAACGCGACACTACCCATGTGGCGCGCATCTGCTTTCATCCCCTGCGGCGCGCCGGCGAGTGTCGCGGACGAGACCGAGTTCACGACTGGTACGAGCATGCAGGCCATCCTGCAATCGAGTTTCCCGGAACTAGGACGCGTGACCGTCACGAGGTATGCCGCAGAAGAGCCGTCGAAGAAGGGCCACACGTATTTAGTTACTTTCCAGGACTACCCCGGGGACTTACCTTTACTGAGGATGGACGCGACGAACGCCACGGGTCTGGTGATTGTGACCGATGTGGATGAGGTGCGCAAGGGCTCGCCGGGGCGGTGGTACGCGTACGACGAAGCTCTAGACGAGGAACCCGACCTGCGGGCCGGGTTTTCTTCGAAGCTCTTCCCGTGCTGGGTCATGTTATTTGATAGCACGGCATTACCGGACGATAGAGATATTCCTGGTCGCATCGAGGATGCGGTCAGTATGGCTTCATTCTCGGTCCTCGTGGACAATGTCGATGCGTACGAAACAACAGTCGACGTGGACCCGCGGCGCTTCCGCGGCGGCAAAGGTCCTTTGACAGACATCGTGGCGTTGCGGGTGCAGGTCGCCGATACGAAGCCGGGGGCGGTGTTGAGTCTGGCCGAGGTGCAAGTCTTTGCGAACCGAAGCCATACTATAAATAGTTTCCAGGGTGGTGGTGTGGTAGCAGCTCGCCCTTGGACGGCGCCCTACCAAGCTTCCGTGTCGATGTCTTCTTATTTTATGGAGACGTTGGTAGCAGGTAGGTGGTTGTTAACAGTAAAGGACACTTCTAGTCATAAATGGCGCCGCGAGCAGACCATACAAACGGCTGTCGGTCACACGGAGCTGCCGGCTCAAGATCGATCCGGCGTGCCGAACGACGTCGAGGAAAGCGGTCCTGGCCAGCTCGCGGACTGGGTCCTACTATTGACTGACGAAGCCGGTGTCGTCACCGCGCATTATATGGACATAACCGCTACCGTGACCCATCTGCCAAAGTACGGCCACCTCTACGCGGACGCGCGTTCCTTAGGCTCGGGCAACGCCTGGGATGCGATAAGCGTCGGTCGCAGCGCGGCCACGATCAACACATGGCGCACTGGAGATGGAAGACATTCACAATTACATACTGCTTCGAGATTCGATGCCGAACTACTGAAACGGACGGAGACGGGAAATAGACCTTTGGGCCAGTGTTATGGGTTAGATACTACTTCCTTCAACGGCGTGGCGTCGGGCGTCGACGGGTATCGGTACTGCAAGGAGAACTATGGCGTGGGCAACGCGGCCGTGGCTTATAGACGTAGAAACGAAGGTGATGTCGCGATCAAGAATAGACTGAGGAGGCACAAGGTCGTCTACTACCACCCCTTGAAGGGTTACGAGGGCGTCGACGCCTTCGACTATTCGGTGCGACTCGGGACGTACGAAAGCAAAGCGGCGACGGTGGGCGTCCATGTCAGAAAATGTCGGAAGTTCGAGTTCAACAAGAAGAACAAACCTCCGTTTGCGACGAGCCCCCTGTGTAGCTGCGTCTCGAATCTCACGTGGGCTTTTGGGCATGCGACAGAGTGCCCGGTCGCGGTGCGGGACGTCTGCGCCGACGCGCGGATGCGGTCGTCGTTCACGCCGCTCTGCGACGCGTGTGATTTTGGCTTCGGGATGGACACGACGGCCTGCCGCTTGCATACAGATCGGGCGGCGACGACGGTGGAAGGGCTGGGCTTGTGCGGAGAAATCGCGCCGCCCGACTGCCGGTCCGAGGGCATCTCGAAGGACGCGCCGGAGTCGTACGTCTGGTGGCCGACGCGGAACTTCCTGACGCCGGACGCCGAGGCCATCGCGCCGCCCGGGTCGCGGGCGGCACACGTCGGGGCTGGCTTCGCGGTCGCGGCGCCGCGGTTGTTGGAGTAGTATAAGTGCTGCTCTTGTTTTATTATATCTGTTGCGGTAGACTGTTACGGTGCTAGTCCTCGGCGGTTTCTGAGAGTGGGTTAGCCAGTTTGAGGGGGTACCGTCCCCGGGGCGCGGCTTCCAGGCCGCCTAGCCTAGCCTCAATTTAATCACAGCACGGGTTTCGCGGGACCCCTCCCCGCCCCAGGGACTCGTCGCGGAGGTCGCGCAGCGATGCTAGCGGCATGTAAGACACTAGCAAATGGCTCCTGCTTTTTGAGTAGAGGAAAGGCGGTCTAGCAGCCAAACCTCGCGCGATAGGGGGATATTACAGCGCTCTCTCCCATATTCGACAGCACGCACAGCGTCAGGGCCTCTGGGCCTCTGTACAACCGAGCCACACAGCTTTTTGGCAGCCTTTTGCATTTACCCTGGGAACCATGCTTTCCCCCCAGACGGCCTCGCCCGCCAGCTGGAAACCGCCCACCGCGGGTGGCGATACGACTGATGACGAGGAGGGTCCGCGCCCCGCGCCGCGCGCCGACGATCCCGCCGCCGCGCCCGCGGCGCCGCCGGCCGCGCAGGACGCCGCGCCCGCGCCGCCGCCGCCCGCCGCCGCGCCGCTCGCGCCGGAACACGTGCTGCTAGAGGCGTCCCCGCCGCCGCCACCGTCCAAGTGGAAGGAGGGCGACAAAGTCATCGCCCGCTGGCACCTAGGATGCCACTATCCTGGGACGATCCACGCCGTCAAAGCGAATGGCGTTTATGCAGTTTCCTTCGACGACGGTGATTATGATGATAACGTTATTGAAAACCACATCCGCGCCGCGCCGGCGCCCACGCCGACGGACGAGCCGCCTGCGCCCGCGCCCGCGCCCGCGCTGCCGCCGCCCGGCAGCCGCATCACCGTGCGCTTCAGCGACGGTATTGATTACGGGGGTACCATCACGGAATTGGTGGACGAGCACCACGCCAGGGTGCTCTACGACGACGGCCAGAGCGAGACCGTGCGCTTCCCGGACCCCGACGTCCGCGTCTTGCGCGCGGCGCCCGCGGCCGCGACGCCGGCGGCGGCGGCGGGAGGGCCAATCCGCGTGCGCACGGCCGGCGGCCGCGAGGCTATTGTATTAGAGAAGATGCAGCGCGGCTGGTTTAGGGTCGAGCTGGACGGCAACGCGAACGACGAGGGCGGCGCGAACGAACGCAAGTCGCTCCGGCGGCCACAACTCGCGGTGGGCCAGGACCATTTGCTGGACGCGGCGCCGCAGGCGCCCGCCGCCCGGCCCGCGCCCGCGCCGACGGACGAGGCTGCGCCGGCGCCGGCGCTGGGCGACAAGGACGCTCAGCAGGTCGCCGCGCTAGAGAAGCTGCACGAGTCACTGAAAGACAAGCCGAACCTGATCGTCTGCCGCAAGCCTTTGGAGGACTTCGGTTTTCGCTGCGGCGCGACAGACCAGCAGCAAAACCGTTTCGACGCCTTGCCGCCGCAGTCTCTCCATTCTATCGAAGATATCCTCGGTGGCCAGTACGCACAGACGTATTCGCTGAACTCGGTCCCGAAGCTTATCGCGTACCTCGAGGGCGTCCTCAATAGACTCTCGGGCGGGCGCCTTTTTCCTTCGCCATCTGCGCCGAAGAAGAAGCGCGGGTATGAGGCGCCCGCACCGAAGATAACGGAGCGCGCCAGGCCGCGCTGGTCGAGCGAGGAGGAAAGGCGTCTGCGAGAGCTGGTCGCCGAGCTGGGCGAGACGAGATGGCCGGCCATCGCCATGCGCCTCGGCACGGGCCGGACGGGCGCCGCCGTCGAGCTGAGGTGGGCGACGCTCAGGCAGAAGTCGCACGGGCGGCCGCCGAGGGCCGCGGCGGAGGCGGCGCCCGCGACCGACGGGCGGGAGCGGGTGCGGACGGCCGGCGGCCGCGTCGCGACCATTATCGAGCGGCGCTCGCGCGGCTGGCTCTTCGTGGAACTAGACGGCGTGGCTAACGACGAGGGCGGCGCGCACGAGCGCAAGTCCATCAGGGCGACGACGACGACGGCTTTGCATGGAGCAGCGACTCGGAAGCGGCCCGGCACGGGCGGGGCGGCGCCGCGGCCGGCGCAGCGACCGCGCCTCGTTTCGCGCGGCGGCAACGACGACGACGACAAGGACGCCCGCATCGCCGAGCTCGAGGCAGCGCTCGCGCAAGCGCAGCAGGCGCCGGTCGCGCCGGTCGCGCCGCCGGCCGCAGCTCTGGCTTCTGTCACGGGCCGGCTCAGAGAGCTCGCGTCGCTCCGCGCGTCCGGCGCGCTCACGGAGGCGCAGTTTGAGCGAGCCAAAAATACCGAGCTCGGGTTGCAGTAGTAGGTGCCGTCCCCCCCCCCTTCCCCCGTATAAAAGGCACGTACATCCACTCGAATGAAGACGGGTTTCTAGGGGGGGCTAGAGGGCTATAGGGTAGAGCTTGGAGGGGGGGTTTCTCAAACCGCGCGCGGAAGGCAATCGAGGCAGGGCGCTATTTGTTGACATACCGCGCCAGGCGACAGTGATCGCAAGCGGCGAGACCTCTGGACGCCCCGGTAGAGCCACGACCGCGAGATTTTGCGAGCTCTCACAGATCCAGCGGAGAGCACTCGACCGATGTCCGCGCCCCGGACCCCCGGTGGCGAAAGAGACCAGCCTCCTCAACCTGTCATGGCCGGCGCGTTGGCCGCCCAGCCGGCGCCGGCGCCCGCCGCCGCCGCCGACGCGGTCGAGCGGTAGAACGTCATCCTAGCGCATGTCAAGGACGTCGACAAGGAGGTCGCGCGCGAGCACGAGCAGGTCGCCGCCAAGGTCTCGACGACGGACGAAAACGGGTCCTGGATCCTCGCGTCGGTCGTGCGCTACGACGCGACGTCGGACGCCTACGCCGTGCAGGACGAGGACGACCAGAAGATCCTGGAGCTGCCGGCATCGCGCATCCGCCGCCTGGGCGTCCCCAACGGGCTGCAACCGGGCGAACGCGTCGTGGCCCTGTACCCCGACTCGACGACCTTCTACCAGGCGACGGTCGCCGAGGCGCCCCGCAGGCGCGACGTGGCGCTCGCCTTCGACGACGACGAAGACGACGACGAAGACGACGACACTGGGAGGATACTGCTCCGAAGAGTCTCGCTGCGCCACGTGCTGCGCGAGCGGCCTACGGTCTCGCGCGGTGTCATCAAATGCCTTTGTGATGCCGTCGAGGCATCGTGTCGATGGTCGTCAGTGGTGCCATCGCACCAGCGGCACCGGGCCAGCAGCCCGTGGCCTTCCAAGACATGGCGCAGCAGAACCGGCCCAGAAGCGGTTCCGTCGATTTGGACGCGCCGCCGCCGCCCAAGCCCAAGAAGCGCACGAAGCGCAACAAAGTAGAGTACAACACGGGCGACCGGATTCGAGTGGTCGAGCACGCCAAGTACCAGGGCCGATTGGGCACGGTGGTCAAGAGGACCGTGGCCTGGGTCGAGGTCCACCTCGATTCATTACAACCGGGCGAGAAGGAGCTCACGGCGTCGTTCCGGAAGAAGGATTTGGTGTTATTGAATGACGCCGGCGACGCGGCTTTAACGGAGGCGGCGTTACCTCCGCCGCCGCCGCCCGCGCCGGCGCCGGCGCCGAGCCCCGCCGCCGCCGACAAGGTGGACGACGACGACGACGAGGAGGCCGAGGCGGCGCCGGCGCCGGTGTCCACGCCGGGCGCGCCGATCCGCGTGCGCACGGCCGGCGGCCGCGAGGCCATTGTCTTAGAGAAGATGCAGCGCGGCTGGTTTCGCGTCGAGCTTGATCAGAATGCGAACGACGAGGGCGGCGCGGGCGAGCGCAAGTCCATGAGAATGCCGCACGGCTTCGCGCCCGGCCAGGACCATTTGCTGGACGCGGCGCCCCAGGCGGCGGTCGTCCCGAAGCCCAAGGGCTCGTCCTCCAAGGGCCGCAAGTCCGTGCAGCAAACGGTGCCGGGGCCCGTGCCCGTGGGCGCCGTCCAGGCCATCACGGCGGGCGGCCGCGTCGCCACGATTTTAGAAAGGAAGCAGCGCGGCTGGTTCGCGGTCGAGCTCGACGGCAGTGCGAACGACGAGGGCGGCGCGTTCGAGCGCAAGTCCATGCGAAGGCCCATGTTCGCGCCGGGCCAGGATAGTGTCCTGGACAGCGCGCCCGACGCGATGCCGTACGCGCCGCCGCACTACTACCACGCGCCGCCACCGCCTGGTGTGCCGGTCGCGCAACCCGCGGCGCTACCCGGCGCCGCTCAAGGCGCTCCGAACGCGATGTCGCCCGCGGACATGGCGGCGGCCTTCGCGCAGTTCCAGCAGTTCCAGCAGTTCCTGCAGATGCGCGGCGCGTTACCGCCCCAGTCCTAGGTGACATCCCTCCCGCCCCTCCCCCGTATACAGTACGTTGACTCGAGTGTGCCACAAGAACTTCGTGGTTATGGTATTCGTCGGAGGGATGGGGGTTCGACACGGCACAAAGTTCTACTTCTTCTTGCTGCGCGTGGATCGCTTCGCCGGGGACTTCTTCGCGGCCGGCTTCTTGGCCGGAGACTTCTTGGCGGCCGTCTTCTTTTTGGCGGGGCTCTTCGCCTTCGAGGCCGGCTTCGCGGGACTCTTCTTGGCGGCCGGCTTCCTTGGCGACGCGGCCTTCTTCGCGGGCGACCTGTGCGTTGACCGGTGAGGCTCGATCGCGTCGCATATTCTACGCAGCTCCGCACTTCTTCGCGGCGGGCTTGGCCGCGGGCTTCGCGGGCGACTTCTTCGCGGCCTGCGTAGAGAACGTGTCGATGGCGCGACGACAGACAATGGAACACGGGGCCGCGCGGGCTTCTTGGGCGACTTCGCGGCGGGTTTCTTGGGCGTCGCCTTCTTCGGCGCGGGCCTGCTCGTAAACGCGTCATGGGAATAACATAGAAATCGCGTCCGGACGCCGCATGCTACTTCTTGGGGCTCTTCTTGGCGGCCGGCTTCTTCGCGGGCGACCTGTGCGGGGACCGGTGAGGCTCGGTCGCGTCGCATATTCGACGCGGCTCCGCACTTCTTGGCGGCCGGCTTCTTGGCGGCGGGCTTCTTGGCTGCGGGTTTTCGCTTGGCGGCGGCCATGGCTGATGTGTCTCAGTACCTAGCGAGGGGGCGAGAGCGTTGGCGGTCGACTCGCGACCCGCGGCGCCTCAGAACGACGCGACGGCCGGGAGCACTTGCGCGCGCGCACGACCCGGGAACCGTGCCGCGCGCAAGCCCCCCGCCGCACCGGGCTCGCCACGGCCCACTGGTGCGCAGACGCAGCGCAACAGCAATTGGCGCGACGACCCGGCGGCGCGTCGCGGTCGACGCGCCAAGAAAAGGCAGCGTCGTCGCCAAGGCATTGTCCGCGTGACCGCGGGGTGTGTCTCCAGCTGATCCAGCGTTCTCGCTGCGGCCCGAGTGGGTTTATCCACGTGACCCGTGCGCTGATCGGGTCAATGCTTGGAGGGCTTTTACAGCGCGCTGCGCAGCAAAATGGATCGCCGCAGCGCGTCTATTGGAAGCCAGGTTTGTGTGTAAAAGGTTTGCGTCGACGCTGATTGTGAAACGGGTCTAGCGGAGCCTGCAAGCGTGCACTTTTAGCAAGAGGAACAGGCAAGGCAGAGCCAGACGCGCTGCACTTGGACCCCCCCCCTCGGCACGGACACCTCCTACGCGATCCATCACGCCAAGTCCCGGCCCCACCCGCCTCGAACTACCCCAAAACGACGGGTCCCAGGCGTCGCGACGCCGCAAATGAAGATCGCGCGCGGTCGGAGACGACGGCAACCCCACCCCTCCGCCCCGGGCTGCCCCCTCTACAACACCCCATAAAAAACACACAAAACAACCTAGAACATCGGCGCCACGTCCTCGAGCGAATCGACGGAACCAGAAGCGCCAGAACGCATCACTCTAGAAAACTCCTCATAATCGACGTGGCCGTTCCGCTTCAAATCCCCGTCCTGCATGAGCGTCTCCACGAGCTCGTCGGAGGCCCGCGACCCTAATAACGATCGCAAGTTCTCCCTCGAGATAACCCCGCTATCGTCGTGGTCCATCCGATCGAACGTATCTTGCAAGACTTCTTCATTGAGCAACTCGTGGGCCTCCAACGTCGCCGCTAAGAACTCGTGGTAGTGGACCTCGCCACTGCTATCATGATCCAACTTCGCGAAGACGTCTTTGGTTGGGGTATCGAGCTCGGCCACGCCGAGCGCCGCACACAGCTCCTTTTCATTTATCGTACCACTGGCATCAGTGTCTATTTTGAGAAATTCTTCCCTTAGCTTTTTTACCGATCTTTTATCGGTCTGCGCCGCCGCTATTATTAAGGCCGCCCGTTTCAGCTCCGTATAGGAGCCATATCTTTTGAGAGAGGACTCGAGCTCCGGGGCGAGTCGCGGGCTCTTGTCCCGCTTCTCCGTCGTCGCAGGAACATTCGTGTCGATGTTGACCGGCCGCAGGGCCTCGGGCCGCCAGTCGGCGAGGCCTGCGGGACGAAGCGTCGATGGCGTAACGGGAAACGGACGCCGCGCCCGCACAGTACTTCAACGCCGCGTCGGCCGCCCACCGCAGGCCCGGGTGCGGTCTTAAACATTTAAACACGAACGCTCTTCCGGGCCGCGACATGGTCGCGATGCGCCCCCAGTCGCAGTCGCCCGCTTCTAATCTTCTGAGAGCTTTGGGGTCGTCCCTACGGTCGTCTCTGAGGAACGGGTCCCGATCACCTACTAATCGATACACCATGGCACCAATGGACCACACGTCGGACACCATGAGGTACTCCTCTCCTCTTATGACCTCTGGTGCTGCTGTGGACGTGGTGCCCGCAGCTTTAATGCCCGTCCTCGAACCATCTAGCGATTGCGGGAAAACCCTAGACAGTCCAAAATCCACAATCGTGACGTGCCAGTCTTGTTGATCAGTAACCATGACGTTTTCTAGTTTCAAATCTCGGTGGAGGACCCTCCTCGCGTGTAAGTACGACACCGCCCGTAGGATCTGCTCCGTGGCTTTATAAACTTTACTTTCAGTGAGCTGCCCGCAGAACTCCGCCAGCTCCCGGCCCTCGCAGTACTCCATCACCAGCACCAAGCGAGTGGGCTCCCAGAAGGCCTCCCTTAAATGGACTATGCTGGGGTGATCGACCTTGCGCAGCACGTCGATCTCGTGCCGCAGCTCGTTCCGCGTCGCCTCATCTAGTCTCAATCTCCCATTGTGCCGCATGTAATCTAAAGCTTTCATCGCGAAGACGCTTTCGCTCTTGACGCGTTGTAGGTTGTTCCGAGACGGCGTCCTCTCAATACTTCGATTGCCGTCCGCCTTCCGGCGGCACAACGCCACAGTGCCGAAGCTACCACTGTTTAGGTCCTTCAGCAACTCATAGACCTCGCAGAACTTGCGGCCGCTTCTTTCCCAGACGAGCTGCTCTCGAAAGTCGCGCTTCTGGGGCGACGGCGGCTTTTGCTGTTGTTTCGACGGGGCGCAGCCCATGGTGCCGTGATGGATGCGTCGTTTGCTGGTTGCGCTGCGGCAGCGTTTCGGCCGCTGCCGCCCATGTAAAATGAGGCTCACAAAACACTGCGAGGTGCAGCCCCGAACCTGCGCGGCGCGCGTCCCTATGGTGCGCGGCGTACGGGTCGCGACGGGTCGGCGGCCGCCGCGACGGCTCGTCCGCGCTTGGATGGTGCTTCCCGCGCGCGCGTCTCGGGCCTGCCAACAGCGACCGGCGCCGCGGCGACCCTTCCTGTTTCCTTGTCCTTGGCAAGCCCCGGACCCTTGCGGTACGCCGCCGCAGCGAGCCGAGCCCTCGACTCGCAGCATTTTGGCACCTGATCGTCTTTGCCAAAACCGCGACTGCAAAACGAGACTGCAAGGTAGAGCAGGGCTGTTCATCGCTCTCTGAGAACGTGACCTTGTAACGTGGGCCCAAAAGCGCGGCGTTTGCGCTGCCGTCGCGGCATAGGAAACCGAGTGCCTGCCTCAAAAGGCTCCCAGGGAGCGCGCGCGGCGAGCGGAAGCGCCGCCGCAGCCGCCAAACAGCCGCGCGGTGACCCGTGAAGGCGCCGCCAACAGCTGCGCACGATGGACGTCGACGACGAGGACGACCCGGCGCTCGCCATCGCCCCGAAAAAAAAGAAGCTTGAGGACGGGCTCGCGCGGCGCATCTTCGCCGAGGATCGGTTCCGAGAGTTACAAAAGCAGAACCACGGGGAATTACATGATTTCGAGGCCGTGGAAGCTAGGTCGATCTGCGACGACGAGCTGCGAGTTTTGAAACAATCGCTGCAGGACGCTCTACAACGAAAGCGCGACCACCTCGTCAAACTCAAAGATGCGGCATCGGAAAGAGCCGACGCGCTGGAGAAGGGCGAATCGAAACCGGGCGATCCGCAATTTCTCGTAGCACCGGTCGACCTCGGGGCGACGGACGCCGAATGTAGATCTGATCTAAGGCAGATCCTCGCGGACACCGTGCCGCGTCCACCTACCGTCGACGAGGACGGCACAACTTTATTCAGAGTGGGCCAGACCCTCAGTATCTTCTCGAAGCCGCGCCAGGCGGAGTTCCTCGGAACGTTGACGTCCATCGACCAGGCGCGCCTGACGCTCGTCCAGGAGGACGGCCACGAGCTCAAGTTCTCGCTGGCGGATCTGCAGTCTCGGAGCCTCGTCGCGTCTTTAGCTGGTCCTGCGGAGACGCCCGCCCGGGCGGCTAACTAGAATTACTCTTAGTGTCCTTACCCGCGCGGCGTACATGAGGCTCCCCAGCGTCTTGGCCCCGTCCGGGTCGCGGCCGTTCGCCGCCCACTCCTGAGTGACTCCTCGATTGCTCGCGAGCGCGCGCAGCGATGGCGTGCGGGTGGCCGCAGCCCCCTCCACGCCGACGGCGCGGGACGAGATCACACAGCCACTGTTTCTACGGCTGTAGCCACCGGCACGCCGCCGGCGCAAAGATCACACAGTCACTCTTACTACGGCTCCTTGTTCGCCCCCTTCCGTTTAGCGTCGTCCTTCAGCGCCCTTCTAACAAAGTCCGCCGCCGCCGCCGCGTCGGCCAGCGTACTATCGAGCCGCGCGGCCTCGTCGTAGCACCGGAGGGCCTCCTCGAGCCTCCCCCTCTCTTGATGGACGATGCCGAGGTTGAAGTGGGCATCGGCATACCCAGGTTCCAGAGATATGGTCCGCGAGAAGTGCCTCGCCGCTTTATCTAAATCACGTCTAGCATGACAAGCACTGCCCAGATTGTAGTGGCCGATCGCGCACGTGTCGTCGCGTTCGACGACTTTTTCGTACGTCCGGATAGCTCGCGCGACGTCGTCCATCTGCATGTAGCAGTTCCCGACGTTGATCGCCGCGTCGGCGTCGTGCGGCGCGACCCGTAAAGCATCATCAAAACACCTTATCGCGTCGTCGAACTGACGTTGCTCCTCGTAGACGTATCCCAGGTTATATAACGCGCCGTGGTTCGTCGGGTCCAGCGAGAGGACCCTTCTATAACAGTCCGCGGCATCATCTAAATCGCCTCGATCCTGCAACGCCGTGCCGAGGTGGAGTAGGACATCTGCTCGAGAAGGATCTAGTTTCGCCGCCCTCGTGAACTGCGCTACGGCGCTATCTAAATCACCTCTACTGTGGCAGTCGACGGCTTTCGCCCAGTACCTCTGGGCGAGGTCGCGGTCGGCGGCCGTCGGCTGCTCCGTGGACGGTGATGCTCCGAGCAGATGCGACGTCTCCGAGGCCTGCAGGTAGTCGGGCTTGCGGCCGGGGAGGCAGCAGCAGACGGAGCGGAACATTTCTTTTGCGGTGCGTCGGCGGCGCGTCGGCGGCGTCGGCTGCGCGGCTTCGCGTGCGCACAGGCTGGGAGAGCACTGTTCCCAAAATGCCGGCGGCGCCCCTCTCGGCGCGTGATTTTTTTTGCCAGCAGCAATGAGCGCAGCAATGAGTAGTTACGTGAACGGCGTAGACGCGAAATCGCTGCGTCGTCGGCACGTTCGTAGGCGTAAAAGCCTTGAATTATTGTCTCGTAGCTAGCGGTCCGTAAGACACTAGCAAATACAGGCTTAGCAGGCGAGAGCGCTTTGCATCGTAAGGCTGCCCCCGAGCGATTTGACCATATACGAGATGATCCTCACGCAGTGCGCCGTCTGCGCCGCCGAACTTGGCTTGTCGTTGGGGAAGAAATGCGGCCGCTGCAGCACACGCTACTGTGGGCCCGAATGCCAGAAACAACACTGGGAGGGAGGCGGCCATGACAAGATCTGTAAATTAATAAAAAAAGCTGGCGGCGCCGAGGCATACAACGCAAATAAGAAGTACACAGCGGCCGTCGCGGTCGCGGCGACGGCGTGCGCGGAGGACACGAAGGGGCAGACGTGCTACATCTGCACGCAGGCCCTCCATTGGAAAACAAAGGAGGGTCTTGTGCGCGGGTGCTCGTGCCGCGGGACGGCGGGCTTTGCGCACGTGTCGTGTCTGGCGGAGGAGGCGAAGATCTTGTACGACGAGGCCGAGGAGAACAATTTAGACAACAAGGTGTTGAATGAGAGGTTTGGGCGGTGGCACACGTGCAGCCTGTGCGAGCAAAATTACCACGGCGTCGTGGAGTGCGCGCTTGGGTGGGCGTGCTGGAAGACATACGTCGGGCGGCCGGAGACTGACTGGGCTCGGAAATTCGCGATGACGCTGCTTGCGAACGGTTTGTCCGCTGTAGACCACCACGAGGACTCGTTGCACGTGCAAGAGGCCGAGTTGTCTATGCGGCGGCGCCTTGGCGCATCGGAAGGCGACCTGCTCGTGGTGCAGGGCAATCTTGCGGGCACGTATAATCAGCTTGGACGACATGAAGAGGCCCTAAGCATAAAACGAGACGTATACTTCGGATGTTTGCGGCTCAATGGCGAAGAACATGAAGCCACCATCATAGAAGCCCTCAACTACGCGATGACCCTTGCTAGTCTCCAGCGCTTCGAAGAAGCCAGGTCACTGTTGCGCAAGACGATACCCGTGGTCCGGCGTAGTCGCGGAGAGAATAGTGAGAACACGCTCAGGATGAGGGGTTTGTACGCGACGGCGGTCTACCTAGACGAAGGCGCCACGCTCGACGATCTCCGCGAAGCCGTGACGACGCTCGAGGAGACGGAACGGACCGCGCGGCGCGTGCTCGGCGGCGCGCATCCGCTCACAACGCTGACTGAGGGCCATTTGGGACTCGCGCGAGAAGCGCTCCGCACCCGCGAAAGCACAGGCGACGTCGAGTCCCTCCGCGAGGCCGTGGAGGCGATGACGCCGCCGGGTGACGCGTAATTTACTAGAGAAAAACAAGCAAACTTATATGTACATGACTTCAATCAACAACAACGACCCCCGGCGGCGACACCAAGACGCCGTCGCCGCGCTCCGCAACCCGAAACGCGACACCAGAAACCACCTCAGAAAGCGCACGACCCTCGCGCCAGGGCTGCAGGGCCGCCTCGACGGCCCACGCGCCCGCGGCGAGGCCCCAGCCAGCCTCGAGGCCGAGCATCGCCTCGGCGTCGCCGCGCCGCTGCTGCGCCAGCGCCGCGTCGACGTAGGCCGCGGTCGACGCGTGCTCCTCGCCCAACGATTGCGGAGCCGTCGCGCGCGCCACGACGTAGGCGAAGCGCCCGCCGGCAATTACAATAAGCGCGTCCCGGGGGCCCGCCGCGCGCAGCGCGAGGGCCTCATCGCCGCGGCGCCCGACGCGGCGCCACAACTCATAATAGTAGGGCGGGTCGCCCGCGAACGCCTCCTCGACCCAGGCGTCGGGACCCCTCCTCCGCAGCCGCCACTTGTTCGGCCGCGCGCGCGGCGCGATGCAGTCTGGCGCGAACTGCCAGTCCACGACGTGGTGGCGCGCGCAGACGTCGTTTTCAAAATCTCCAACGCCGCCGAACGCGTGCTGCCGGGCTAGCACGCGCAGCGCGTCGTCGGAGCAATCGTCAAGCGATGTTGGTAGTTCACCTTGCACCGCGCGGAGGGCGACGTCGCGCCCCGCCGGCATGCGCACGTCCACGAAGTAATTCAAACCTTGCACGTTGCGGACCCGGTCGTCGGACGTCGCGGCGCCGCCGCCCGAGAAGAGGGGCCGCGCCCAGCAGCCGACGGCCCAGGCCGGCGCGGTTTTTGTGAGTGTTGGCATGGTGCCGCGGCGCAGGTGGTGGTGCGGCAGCTCTTCTGGCTTGAAATCCGTGAAGTAAGCGTTCGCGCGGCCGTGCGCCGTGAGGATGCGGGCCTGGAGCTGCGTCCAGGCGAGGACGTCGCGTAGGATCCGGCGGTGTGCCGTTGTGGTCATTGCTGCTCTGTGTGAGACACTGAGAGCAGTGTGCCTGGCCGCACGAGTGCTTTTGACGCTCTGTTTTCTGTCGCAGCAGCCCAGGTGTGTACTCGAGATAGTCTTGCACCACGCACGGCGGTGCGCATTTATTAGCTTGCAAAACTGCAAATCGCAGTGCTGAGAAAACCCGTGCCCTCCGGAAGCTTCCTTCCTCGAAGCTGTCAAACTGGAGGCCTGCCGCCTCGACCGGTCTGGAGGAAGCCTCTACGACGCGTTGCGGCCGGTTTACCTCCGCACAAAAGTGAGGATCAACCGGCCTATTCGCCTCTTTGGCCTCCGCGAGTTTCGGCGCTTCTCGGGCCTGTCGGTACGCCGTGGCTACTCCGCGGTGTGTTTTTTAACAAGACCGCGAGCGCGAAACTCGGGTGCGTTAGTATATTCAGCCAGCTGCACTTTACTTGGCCTCGGCTCCTATGACAACGCCAGAGATGCACGCCGCCCTCGCCCGCCTCGTGAACAACGAAGAAACCCGCAAACAGGAGAAAATTAATCAGATCCCGAAGCGCTCGAGCCGCGAGGCCGAGCTCTCGCCGCGAGGGGCCGCGCCGCGCCTGCGACCCACGCGCAGTCGTACTCGGGACCGCGGTTCTTGTGGTGCCTGCGTCGTGGGCGGGTGAGCGTCGATAGCGTCCGCCTCAACGCCGTCGACGCGTCGAGAGAGCGCGATTCAGGACACCGCTAACACACCAGTCCGGGTCGTTGGTGCAGCCGCCTAGAGAGCCGTTGTCGTCGTGATCGCCGCCGTGGCCCGCGAGGCGCCGCGACTCGGACGCGCGCAGGTAGGCGGCGTCGACGCTCGCCGCGAGAGCAATGAGGAGTGCTTGCGTTAGCATGGTTGACAGCCAAAGAAACTGTTTTGGTTGGCTCTGAGACTCGGAGCTTCGTAGAAGGGCTTGAACTCAGTGGAGTTGTGATCGGGCGACACACAAGGGAAGTCTTAATCGATTTTTCGCGGCGTGGATGCGATTGGTGCGCAAAGGAAGATGCGCGGAGCTAAAATCGGTGAGGGCAAAAACCCGTGACACTATTAGTCCAGCACCGCAACACAAGGAGCCTCGAGACAGACGCGAAGCACGCAGTGACACCACGAAAATTACTTAGTCGTCCTCGCTCTCGTCGTCATCATCGTCGCGCAGCCGCTTCTTCGCGCCCGACACCGTCTCCGCCGCGGGCTCCTCCTCAGGGACCGCCGCCGGCGCCGGCGCCGGCGCATCCACGACGTCCGCGCCGCGCCGCGCATCCCTAGCCGGGTCGTACGTCACCCGCCGGTCGTCGCGCACCTGGCCGCCGCTCTGGCCGCGGCCGTACCTGCGTCGTCGATGCGTGAGGGACGGCGGGCGCTCATACGAAACACGATCGATGTAGTGTGTCGCCTCGGTGCCATGGAAGTTTGGTTTTCGTCGTTTCATCACAAGGTGTCAGGGTGTGTAACAACTCGGTGAATAGGGTTCGTCCCCGGCGATCAATGATATGAAAAATAAACACTGACGCAAACTGGCGCCCGTCCCGGAACCCGAAGTCGAGCTCTGCTCGTAAAGGTCGGTCATCCAACACCAGACCGGTAATACGAGAGACAGTATCCAAGGCAGCTTCCGAAGAGTAGTGCTCGACGAAACAAAACCCGCACGGCTCCTTCGTGTGCCGATTCAGGCCCATGATTACTTTTTTCACGGGTCCCGTTCGCGAACATAGCTCCACGATTTGCGCCTCCGTCGTGTAGAACGACAGGTTGCCAATATACACGGTTTTGCTATCAGTCAACGCCTGGACCTGGTCCTCGTAGGACGCGAAGAACTGGCGATCCACGTAAATCTTTTGCGTATTGGACGCCTCGTCGTGCCAGAGCGCGGCGCCGGCGCCCAATCCTCTGGCTTTGGGTAAGGCCGAGGCCTCGTCCTCTTGCGTGGGGTCGACGTCCATGCTTTTTGTGATTGCGGGACGGCTGGCCGTGTTTGACGCGGCGACGGCGTCGGCAGCGAGCGAGCGGGGCACAGCAAGCAGGCTCTGCGGGCAATTGAGGGCCGTAGCGGTGGCGGCGCTGGACGCGTGGCGTTGCGGAGGCGCAATACGCTTGCGCGAGGGTGGATTGCTTCGCGCAGCGCAGTAGTAGCAAAGGCAAAGCCGGGAGCCAGCTAGCGGCATAAAGACACTATAGCGCAAGACCCCGTGACACGTGATGCGCCAGCTGTTGGCCTATTGCGTAGTGTTTGAATACGTTCTGCTCGTTCTGTAACTAGCATATACCTGTCTGGCACATATACTGGCTCCACAGCAAATTTGGCCTCGGCAGACTAGCGGAGCAAACCCACTGAGAGCACATGCTGCGTATTCCGCTACGGCTTCTACGGACGCCTGCGGCGCGGCGCGCCGTGCGGCCACGACTCTCCGCGGCGCCATCACTGTCCGCGGTCTCGGGTGCATGCCGACCGAAATCCAGCGCAGCCGCGCCGGCTGACGCGGACGCCGGCGCCACTCTTGCCGCGCCGCGCGACGACCCGCCGCCCACAAAGATGAACGTGGCCGTCGACGCGGAAGTCGATGAGGACGACGACATGGAGGACATGTTCGTCGATACGAATATGGGGAAAGAGTGGGGCGGCCCGACGCGCGGCGGGCGCATGCCCGAGCCGACGCGGTTCGGGGATTGGGAGCGAAAAGGCCGCGCGACGGACTTCTAGAACAACGCTGTAATTCATTGTAGACATAACAACACTTACCATCTGGCAATCACGAGCGCGGCCGCGTCCCGCTTTGTCACATATCGCTCTACGGAAGCCCGCACGACGGGGCGCGCTTTTGATGAAGGCAGCGTCCCCCGCAGCGCGTCGAAGAACTCCGGCTCCTCGATGGACGTAGACAACACACAAGCATTTGATAGAATAGCGTAGTTGTGCGTGAGGGCGTAGGACCACTCTAGATTCAACACCGCGTGCGGCCGGCCGGCCGGCACGTAGACCAGCTCGCCCGGCCGCTGGACGAGCTCGACCGTGCCGGGTAAGGCTGCCGCTTTATCCCGATACCGCGCGAACCACTGCGCCGACGGCAGCTGCGGCTCGCCGACGCCGAGCGCCCTCAACTCATCTCGAGATAAATGGGAAGGCAGGAAGATCCACCTTTTGAGCCCTTGCACCAGGTAGACCCAGGCATGGGTATACAAAGGATCGACGTGCACGCCCGTGCCCGACCGCGGCCCTCCTAGTAATAACCAGCGCCAGGGCGGCCGCTCGTCCACATTTGCGAGAGCGAAGGCGTCCTCGCTCAGGAAGCGCGGCACGTCGTACGCGAAGCCGCCCAGGTCCGCGAACTCCGCATCATAAATCGCAAAGGGCGCGTCGTCCTCCGTCGTGGACGCGTACGCATACCACACCTCAAGACCCACCATCGCGCCGTGCGTGTCGCTCACTCTGAAGTTCGTTTCGCCGTAAAGGTGACGGAGGGCCTCGATGCTTGCGGGTACGTTTTTGAATAACTTCTCGCAGCCGTCGACGACGCACGGCGGTCCTCCCTTGCATTCGTAGGTGTTCGCGAACTTGACTCGCGTTAATTTTGATACGTGTTCGCGCGGCACGCGTGTCGACGTTGCGAGGAGCCGCCTTCGCGTTTGCTCCCATGTTTTAGCGAGGCCGTCTTTGGACCAATTAGTGCAGCGGGGCCGTTCGAGTAATTTGGCGGCTTCGATCTCGTCGCCGTCCGTCGCGTCTGATGCGTCGTCGGCGACGGCGCGGGGGCGGCACATTGTGCTCTGCACTGCAGTCCGCCTATAATTTTTGCGTGCGAGCGATGTGTGTGCTGTCACTGCACAGCGCTGCAGCCTGCACTCACTGCTAGGCTCCCTAGTTATGGCTGCCAAGATTTTGCGTGCGAGCGATGTCTGTGGATGCGTATGCAGCTGCTGACGCGCGTTGGTCTGTCGCACGCCGCGTACGCAGGGGACATGCGCCAGCATCGACCAAGCTGCTTCAGGGCCAGCAGGCATCGACGGCCCAGGCGTCGCTGGCATGGCGTGGCCGCACCCTTTCGTGGCACCGAAGCTTCCTTTCGGACTCCTCTCTCTACGCTAGTAGGTCACACCTAGGCTTTAGGGCTCGAAAGTCTTTAGCCGTCCCACGGCCCGTAAAATTGGCCGCTGGGCAGTAGTTTGCAGCTTTGTTGCACGCGGCTCTTTAGAAATACGCCGCGCGCCAGCACACAAACGCTCGCAGCGCAACTCGCTCGGCGACGCCCGCTTCAGGCAGCTAACCAACCCTGCCCGCCGGAGGCAGCCTAGCCAACCATGGCCATGAACTTAAATATGGCCGGTGGCGCCCAGGGCATGATGAAGGAAGGTAGCACGCTGGCGGACGGCGTCGACGAGGCCGTCTTGAAAAACATTGGCGCGACTAAACAGCTCGCAAAAATAGTACAGTCGTCTTTAGGACCGAACGGCATGAAGAAGCTCATCATCAACCACCTCGGGAAGACTCTCGTGTCCTCCGATTGTGGAACGATCGCTAGAGAGCTGGAGGTCGTCCACCCGGCGGCGCAGATGGTGTCCATGGCAAGTGCCGCGCAGGATTCCGAGGTCGGCGACGGCACGAACCTCGTCGTGTCATTTTCTGGGGAGTTGCTCAAGCTAGCTGAGGAATTACTTAGAACAGGTTTACATACTTCTGAAATAGTACAAGGGTATGAATTAGCTTATGCGGAATGCGTGCGAGTCTTACCAGAACTGGAAGTGGCAAGAGTGAAGAACGTCCGAGATGCAGCCGAAGTCGCGAAAGCCATCGAGCCCGTAGTCGCCGCGAAACACGAAGGCGTCGAAGGTATACTCAGCAAAGTAATAGCCGACGCATGCGTCGCGGTCCTCCCGCCCGCGCCCGAAGCGCCCATCCTGAAAGCCGACCAAGTCCGCATCGCCAAGCTGCGGGGCGGCGACGTCGCGTCGTCGACGATGATGAAGGGCATGATCGTCATGAGACCTTCCGAGACGACGGTGCAGCAGCTCGAAGATCGAAGCAAAGTAGTAGCGTTCAATTGTGGGGTGGAGATGGCCACGACGGAGACGAAGGGTACCGTACTCATTAGAACGGCGGACGAGCTCATCAACTACAACAAGTCGGAGGAGCGGGCCTTGGAGGCGATTGTCAAGGAGATCGCCGATTCCGGCGTCAAGCTAGTCATATCCGGCGGTTCGGTCAGCGAGATGGCCGTGCACTTCCTCGAGAAGTACCAGCTCATGTGCCTGAAGATCACGTCGAAGTGGGAGCTGCGGAGATTATGTGGGGCTACCGGGTGTACGGCGCTCGTGCGATTGGGCGCTCCTACTCCGGAAGAGATGGGCTCTGTTTCGAAAGTATCGACCAAGGAGCTCGGTGGTCGCACCGTGACCGTATTGGAGCAATTGGGAGATGCTCAAACCAAAATCGCCACTGTCGTTCTACGGGCCGCGACGGCGTCGCTGATTGACGACCTGGAGCGAGCTGTCGATGATGGTGTGAATGCGGTACGGATGCTCTGCAAGGACCCTCGGTTGCTCGCGGGCGGTGGTGCGTGTGAAATGGAACTCAGTAAAAGATTGAGAGATTACTGTGAGGCTTCTACAGGGATGGACCACTACGCCCTCGCGAAGTTCGCCGACGCCTTTGAAGTCGTGCCTCGAGCCTTGGCCGAGACGTCGGGCTTAGATCAAACGAAAGTCATCGCTGAGCTGCGCGACCAGCACGCGGCCGGGGATGCTACTGCTGGCGTGGACTTGGCCGCAACGTTGTCGGGCGGGGGCACGGGCGCGCCCGTGCGCGACGGCTACGCCGTCAAGGAGTCCGCTCTCAGATTAGCCGTGGACGCGGCGGTGACGGTGCTCCGCGTCGACCAGATCATCATGTCCAAGCCGGCGGGCGGGCCGAAGAAGTAGGTCGCGTGGCTTCCCTTTTGCTCTCTAACGTTACGTTTTCGATATACCTAGCATGATTAGGCGCTCCCCGGCGGCGTCATGGCCTCGACGGCGTCGCGGAGGGAGTTGACGTCGCCTTCATGGGCGCGGAGCGCTTCTCGCGACATTTCTAGGGCGTGCTCGATCGCCTTTGTGGTTGGGTACGCGCTGCCGAACACGCGCCGCGCAGTCCGTTCTAACTCCTCCAGCGTCGTCACGGCTTCGCGGAGATCGTCGAGAGTGGCACCTTCGTCTAGGGAGAGCGTCGTCGCGTACATTATCTGCATCCTAAGCGTGAGGTCATTACAGTCTCCAAGAAAACGCCGCGCCACAGGGGTCATTTTGCAGAGCACCTTCCTGGATTCTTGGTAGCGCTCGAGATTAACAAGGGACACCGCGTAGTTGAGGGCTGATACGAGGGTCTCTTCGTTTTCTTCGCCACTGAACTTCAAATTTCCGGAGTATACCTTTTGCCGCAGGCGCAATGAATCTTCAAGCCGTCCAAGCAGTTGATAGGTGGTCGCAAGATTGCCCTGCACAACGAGAATGTTGTCTTCCGAATCACCAAGGCGCCGCCGCATAGACAACTCGGCCTCTTGCACGGACAACGCGTCCTCATGGTGATTATTCTCGGATAAACCGCTCCCAAGCAGGCTCATCGCGAATTTCCGAGCCCAGTCAGTCTCCGGCCGCCCGACGTATGTCTTCCAGCACGCCCACCCGAGCGCGCACCGTACGACGCTGTGGTACATTTGCTCGCAGAGGCTGCACGTGTGCCACCGCCCAAACCTCTCATTCAAGACCTTGTCGTCTAAATTGTTCTCCTCGGCTTCCGCAACCAAAATCTTCGCCTGCTCCGCGAGACACGATACATGCGCGAAGCCCGCCGTCCCGCGACAGGAGCACATGCGCACGAGGCCCTCCTTCGTTTTCCAATGGAGGGCCTGCGTGCAGATATAGCACGTCTGCCCCTTCGTGTCCTCCGCGCACGCCTCCGCCGCGACTACGACAGCCTCCGTGTACTTAATATTTGCGTTGTACTGTTCGGCGCCGCCCGCTTTTTTTATCAATTTGCAGAGCTTGTCATGGCCGCCGCCCTCCCAGTGTTGTTTCTGGCATTCGGGCCCACAGTAGCGTGTGCTGCAGCGGCCGCATTTCTTGCCCAAGGTCAGCCCAAGGTCGGTGGCGCAGACGGCGCACTGCGTGAGGATCATTGGATGCAATTTGGGCAGCTCCTGGCCCCCACTTGGGCCGCCCGATAATCTGGCTAGTGATGAGACATACTAGGAATAGCTTTGGGCGCCGGCGCGGCCTTGCCATTGAGCTCATAAGTGCGCGCGTCTGGTGCACAGAGAGCTGGCTCTTCTCACTCAGAGTGGCCACAGCAAAATCGCTGCGGCTCAGAGAAGGCACAAGCAAGCACAGCTCAAAATCGCGGTCGCCGCCGCGAGGCCATTTTAACCGCCGCGCGCGACGATGACGACCCTCGCGAGCCTCGCTTTATCAGCGGAGTCATTGGCGAGCCGCCACGCGCCGGCCACCGGCGTGCCGCCCCTCCAGAAGACGCTCGCGGAGCTCGAGGCCGAGGCCGCGCGATTAAATGCCCAGCAGCAGCAGCCCTCTCAAAATAGGGGAGAAGCGCTGTTGGCCCAGTCGACCTTCGACGCCAGAGCTTTGCACCGGCAGATTTTGGAGTTGGAACAAAGAGCCGAATTTGCCCAGCATAGAGTCGAGGCCGACGGGAGGGACTTGGACGCCGCTTTACTGGCTCGTACTGATGAGGTCGTCGTCGCGTGCATCGAGGGCGCCGTGGCGGATGCCGTCGAGGACGGCGAGAAGGCGGCGCTCAAGGAACATCTCGAGAGTTGGGAGGTCGAGAAAAAACGTCTCCTCGAGGATGTGGGCCTCAAAGAATTGAAGTGGGAGACGCCCGCCCAATCAAAGGTTGAGGACATGCAGCTGACGACCGTCCAAAGTCCGCCTAGGAGGAGAGCTCTGGATGACGACGCTCGGAGACACGGGGAAGTTGTGCGAAGATTAAATAGGTACGCGCGCTTGGATGCGTCCGACCGTAGGAGGGTGGACGCCGAGGGCGGCCTACGAGTCGCGTCGGACTTCGGGGCGCTGGCGCCGCGACCCAGTCAACTTTCAGTAGCATGGCGAGTCGTGCACGCCCAGTGCCGAGAAGACCGAAGCTTTGATGAAGCATTAGCGGCCTTTCCGGGCCAAAAGAGGACGGCCTGCGACGCGGTTAGATTCAACGCTTCCAAACGAAATGATAACTGGCTCGCGCTCGGGTGTAGACGAGCGGTCGAGGCGCAGTATAGAGATTATGTGGATGCCAAGCTGAAGGACGCCGGGCCTTCGTTGAGAACTCAGGTCATGGGCGTCGCTACCTTTGATTCGAGTGATGACGCGGCACGGTACGCCGCTTATCTAAGATGGCGCCACCAGCTCCCGCGAGAGACGCAGGACATGAACGTCTTGAGGAACGGCGAGGCCGCCTGGCCCCAGTTGTACGCGGCTCTGAGGTGCGGCGGCGCTAGGGGTGGTTTGGCGGTTTGTTCGGCAGAACCCGCGTTCGGAGTGGGCCTGCAACGAGCCTGTCGAGCTAGAGCGGCGTACGACGACGCCGTCGAGGTGCTCGGATGGGCCGTTGATGTTGATAACGCACAAAAAAAAGTAGATGAGACGGCGCGAGAACTGGAGTCGGCGAGACGGGCCTGCGCCGCCGAGCACGCGGCGGTCCTCGCCTCCGCGAGTACGACGACGTGCCCCTACTACGCGTCCTGTGCGAACCTATTAGCTTTGGACGACGCCGATTTGAGGGACGAACGAGTGCAACGAACGGTGGAAGATTTTTGTTGGCACGCGCTTTGGTTTGGCACGGCGCCCTCCGGGAGTAGGGAAGCGTTGCGGAGGGCGGCGACGCAGTGGGGCGCGGCGCACTTCGATCCTGATGGGGAAACACCATTACAGTACGCGACGGTGTTGCTGCTGGCCGGTGACTGTGCTGGTGCACTCGCGCATCTGCAGAAACGTAGACTGCCCCAGGAAGCGTTGCATCTAGGCTTGGCGTTGGACGCCTACGGCTTGCTGGAACACGCCAGAAGCTCGACGACTGATGTTCTGTCTCCTCCAAAGCGCCACACAACTAGATCGCCCTTCGGCGGCAACGGCCAGCCCCCCGGTTCCTTAGATGAAGGATATGACTTAGCTCGAGCTTGCTTAGCCTACGCTAGACATGTCGCGGCGGCCGACGCTTCCATAGCGCTGGAGTACGTCTTCTGGCCGAGACATCGAGACGCCTTGGTGAAGCGAGAGGTGTCTTATGACGACTTCGACAAATCGGTCCTCGGTGACGCCCTGACGTCGCCGGCGGCGGCCACGGTCTCCATTCTACTGGATACGAGAGCGTATGACGTGATCTGCGGCGCGCCCACACCCGCCAGTGGCAGAGGCCGCGGCGCGCTCGATGACCACCTGCCGCCGCAACTCGCTGATCAACTGATCAAGATCGCGGCAAGGGACGCGCAGAAACGCGGGAGACCGGCCGATGCGGCTCGATTACATAGCTTGACGGGTGACGACGTTTCAGTGCTACGAGTACTTGTAGAAAGATTGGGCCAGGTCGTCGCTACGACAAACGATGCGGATCGGGCCTTTTGGTTGGAAACTTGTAATGATTTCGCTGAAAGAAGAATAGCGGCGGTCGTGAATGAATTGCGAGCCTCGGACGAGGAGGAGCTCGGGTATGCCTTCGAGTCCTTACTAAATCTGGCGCAGTTCTTCGACGCCGTGCGGGCGGACGCGTGTTCCGATGCGCTGCGGTCGTTAGATGCGACTCGCTTCGTGCCGTCTACTGATGATAGTGTGGGGCCCTGCTTGGACGCGTTCTATAGAAGGGACCCGACCGTGCAGCGGCTTCTACCGGAGGTGCTGGGCGCGACCATGGACGTCATCACGAAGGCCTACCAGAGCGGTAGAAGAGCGAGGCAGGACGCGCGCTTCGCGTCGGCAGCCGCGCCGGGCAAGCCGCGGCTCCACGACGCGGCCGACGCGGCGGCCCAGGATTTGCGGAAAAGGGCGGCTCTCTTAGTAGACTTCGCGGGGCTGCTCAAAGCGCGACTACCCGACGACGTCCACGCGCGGCTCGGGGCGCTCGAGGCGATGATGCTCTGATTGCTTGCGCGTAACTACTCCCCCATACTTAGATCAAATCGAGTAGCCATTCTCTCCGCCCACGGGCAGCCTTGCACAGAATTATGCGCAGCTGATGTCTAGTATGTCTAAAGCACTAGCAATTGGCAGGCAAAAAAAGGCAGCGCGCGGCTCAAATATAGCAAAAAAACAGCCGTTTACCCGTCCCAGCTGTCGTACGCTGTCGCGCAGCAGCGATAAAGCCACCCTCTGTCGAGCAGCGATAAAGCCACTCAGCCATAGTATTTCCCACAGCCCCAGGCGACGCAAAAGCGCTGCGGATGAGCGCTGCGCAGGACGCCGACGCGGCGAAAGAGGACGACGCCCCGGCCCTCCGCAAGCTCTTCGTCGCGGGAATAGCAATAGGCGCGCTCGTCGCCCTCACCCTGCCGACCACAACGCAAGAGAGACGGCGCCTCACCCCGGACCCGCAATTAAATGGCTGCTTCGAGGGCGCCGGCTGGAACAGCGCGACGCGCGTCGATCGGTTAGCGGCGCTCCAAGAAGTGAACCCGGACATCCCCGCCTCGATCCAGACGGGGCCCACGAGGGCGTGGGTGCTCGGGAGGGGCTCCTGGGAGTCTTACAGTAGTGATGAGGTCATCCCATCCGCCTGCGAGGAAATTGACGTCGTCGTGGCTCATAGTGGAGCTGATAGGTGTCTGTTGCTGTCTGGTGCCGCATCTTCCGCAGTACCGCACCACGTGACGCGGTGGGAGCGCCACCCTTCTTCTCCGACGGGATGGTCCGTGGTATCTCGCATACGGGAGTCGAGGCAACGCATGCCTGGGGAAGGCACCAGGAAGCGCGCTCGGACGCTCGCGGCTCGCTTGTATTCGAGACTCGACGACGTCTTCGCGTCCCTAGAACCCTTACTGAAGAAGGCGGCAGTACATACGCATCCGGCGTACAAGGCCACGATGGGCTCAAACACGAAAGGAGCGGTCCTCATCATGTGCGTGAACTGGGGCAATTTAGATTTGCTCATGAACTTTCTGAGGAGCGCGTGCGACAAACAGATAGACATCCAGAATTTAATCGTTTTCGCGGCGGATCCCAAGGTCGAGAAAGCGCTCAAAGCCATCGGGGTGTTGGTGTTCTCGCACGACGCGCTTGGATCCTTTACCGCTGGAGCGGCGCGATCGTATGGCGACCATACGTTTGTCGAGATGATGTGGCTCAAGCTGACGTGCGTCTACCTCGTAAACGCGTTGGGCTACGACCTCCTCTTCCAGGACGCGGATTTGTACTGGTGGCGCGAGCCCTGGTCGTTCTTCGCGACGCGACCGGATATAGATACCTTTTGGATGGACGACGGCGCTAGGACCAGTCGTTTCGCACCGTTGTATCCCAATACCGGATACTATCTCATCAGGCACAACCCTAGGACAGCGTTACTGTGTGAGACGCTCGTCGGGATGTATGACGTGGTACTCGCGTGGCAAAGTCACCAGGCCGTCGTGTCCCAGGTCTTAGGTGAATTCCACGCCTTGCACGCGTTGACGGTGAAGATATTAGATAAAATAGAATTCCCGTCGGGCAAGCAGTTCCACCACAACCGCGCTCTATTTGAAAAGATAAAACGCAAGGAATTCGAGCCCTACTGCTTCCACATGTGCTGGACGGCGGGCAAGGCCGACAAGTTGAAATTCCTCAAGCAAGATGGGTTGTGGTACCTCGAGGAGTCTTGTGCCTTGAAGAACCTGGACGCGGACGATGCGGCGTCCGTCCGGCGGTGCGGGCTCGGGCCGGCGACGTGCGCCTTCGTCGGCGGGAACTAAGATTGATGTGCCGTACTCGTCTAGTTATCGCTGTAGTCTCCCTAGGAGGACGCGGCGCACGCCATCAACGCGGCGATTCGTCGCGCCGGCCTCGAAGGGCGACGCAAGACGAATCCGGTCGTCGACGGGCAACTGGTCCCCCGCGAGCGAAAGATGACGAAGAAGCGCCGCCGCGACGAGCCCGCCGCCACGCCGTCGCCGCGCGCCCGCCGCCGCTAGGCATCAGTAAGAATATACACCACACACGAAAAAGAAAACGCAGAGCCCACGCCGTCGTCGACGACGACGACGACGCGCCACTAGTGTATTATTTTTTTACCCGGGGCGGAGACATCTAGACGCGCTCGTCGACGCGCTCGCCGAGGAGCGCCGCCTCGGACTGGATGTACAGGGTAATGAGGAACACGCAGGGCACGAACGTGCCGAGGACGACGGCCATGAACGCGGCCTCCGTGACCTCGAGCGAGAGCAGCTGCGACGGCATCTGGGAAACGACGTCGAGCGCCTCGGGCATCATCTTCTGGGACACCGTCCTCGCCGCGAGCGGCTTGACGGCGGGCGCGAAGGCCGCGGCACCCGTGAGGAGGAGCGCGAGGAGCTTCATCGTGCTGCGTGGCAAAGGGGGGCGGTGAGTCTCTCGGTTTCTCTCAGACTGGCTCTCTGCATTTGTGTGTGTGTGCGTGCATGCCTTTCGCGGCGAGGCCGGTCGCAGCGACGGCGCATGGGGGTCAGCGGTCCGCCGACGCAAGCGCCGACCTCGACCGCGCGGCGAATAGAGTGCCGTCGGCGACAAAAATTTCTCCCGCAGTGATCAGGTATCGCCCGATCGGAGAAATCACGCCTCAGCCAGCCTTTTTTCCGCTCGCGCGGCCGATTTGTCGCTGCTGATAGCAGTGCGATCCATACGCGTCGATTACGCAAGGGCACGACGCGCCGCTTTCAGGAGGTCATCTACGTCACCGAAAGAGCTGGTGCGACGGGGAATGAGGACATTTTAAGCGTACACGGCGCCGTACGCGCACAAGCTATGCTGCAAGCTCAGGACTTGGTGTTGGGTTTTGCGCGATTTTTGGGCGGCAGCTTTGCGGGTTCCCGCGCTGCGGGAGTCTCCACGGACGCCTCCGGAGTCCTCACTTCCAAAAAAACCGGCGTCTGTCTCGAGGCTGGGTCGCGGAGCTCGACGACCATCTCTGAAAAAGGCGCCTCTGGAAACGTGCCACATTAGAGCTCAAAGCGTTGCGTGCGCTCCAGAGTGCGAAGAAACGATCGAGGCCGGCTGCGCGTAGCCAGGCTCTTCGTAGTGACGCGGTATACCCCTATATGTACGATTAAGAGAAGCTGGAAGAGCCGACCCGCGGCGGAGCGCACGCCTCGCACAAGGCCCCCAAACGACGCCGCCGGGCCGCGCGTGCAGCCAAAAACAGCTTTTTTTCACAGGTCGCGACATGGCCGCGATGGACGAGGCCGACAAGGTACCTGTTACTGTACTTACTGGATTCCTCGGCTCCGGCAAGACGACGTTATTGAACCACATCCTCACGCAGCAGCACGGCAAAAAATTGGCGGTGATTGAGAACGAATTTGGGGAAGTCGGCATCGACGACGACTTGCTAAAAAAAAATACAAGAATGCAAGCGGACGAGGAGATCATCGAGATGATGAACGGGTGCATCTGCTGCACCGTGAGACAAGACTTAGTCGTTGTGCTGGACAAGCTCGCGAAGCGGGTGCAGGCCGGCACTTTGAAACTGGACGGCATCGTGATAGAAACGACGGGCATGGCCGACCCGGCGCCCGTCGCGCAGACTTTTTTTGTGGAGCCGAAGGTTGCTGCGTTTGCTAGATTGGATGGGATCATCACGCTGGTCGACGCGAAGCACATCATCCAGCACCTCGACGAGGAGAAGCCGGAGGGCGCCGAGAACGAGGCCGTCGAGCAGGTCGCCTTCGCCGACCGCATCCTGCTGAACAAGATCGATCTAGCGACGGAGCCCGAGTTAGTAGCAGTAGAGCAGCGCCTGAAGGGCATCAACGCCTTCGCGCCGATCATTCGCAGCGAGAAGTCCCAAGTGTCCGTCGACCAAGTGCTGGGCATCAAGGCTTTTGATCTGAAGAAGACGCTGGAGATGGACCCCGAGTTCCTGGACACGGAGGGCGAGCACGAGCACGACGATAGTGTCACGAGTATGTCCATTACGACGTCGGGCGAAGTTCATATGTTGTTGGTGAACGACTGGGTCGGCGACGTCCTCAAGAACCTGGGGAACGATATCTACCGCATGAAAGGTGTTTTAGCGGTGGCCGGTTCTCCGAAGAAATTCGTGTACCAGGCCGTGCACATGATTTTTGATGGAGTGTTCGAGGGCGAGTGGGGTCCCAACGAACCGCGGGGCAACAAGCTCGTCTTCATCGGCAAGAACCTCGACAAACAATCCTTACAAAGGGGCTTCGAGGCGTGTTTGGACACTCCACAAAACAGGGCCAAAATAGAAGAGGCGGAGATGATCAAGGTCTTCGAGCGGCAGCAGAACGCGTTGCTCGGGGCGGCGCAGCGCGACGACGTCGTGGCCATCAAGAACATCCTCCAGTCCGGGGCCGCCGTGTCGTACGCTAATTCTGTCGGCCAGACCGCTTTGCACATCGCGACGCTCTGGGGCAACGCGTCGGCCGTCGAGGCTCTTGTGCAGGCGGGAGCTGCGGTGGATCAAGTGAACGACCTCGGTGCGCAGACGCCTCTCCACTTATTGGCCTCTCGTGTGGGCAAACAGTCGAACACTGCGAACCGAATCCTCTGCGCCAAGACTCTTATCAAAGCAGGGTGCGACCTGGGCAAGAAGAACGAGGACGGCGTCATGGCCTACCAGTACCTCAACGGCGAGGAGGGCGACGACGTCGTCGAATTGCGGAAGCTCATCACGCCCTTCTGAAGACTCCCTTGTATTTCACCCCCTCATATTAAGTAGTATTAAACTACGTTCCTTGATACATCGCGGCGGCGGCGTGGGGGTGGATAGCTGAAATACGCCTCGTGTCACACATACTTAAGCAATACTGCTTCTCAGCCGCCGCGCCGCCGCTTGACGCTCTTGCTTGGAGACTCCCCTAAGCGCTCCTCGGCGTCGCGGGCTTTGCTTCTCTTATGGGTCCGCGTGGTGCGGTCGTCCCGCGGTCTCTCAACGAAGAAGAAAAGCGCGTTCGTGACGTGGCAGTCGGCCGCCGCGGGAACGACCCACTCGAGCGTCGCGATTTCCTCTTTGGAAAACGCGTAGTGTACCTCTGGCCACGTGCTGGGGCAGGCTTTGAAATTCTGAGCCAGCTCGCACTCGAAGACAGCGGCAACGTCGTAGAGCTTGCCGCCGACGTCGACGCCGCGATCCGGGCCAGCAGCTAGTCCGTGATGCGTTAAGGCGTAGTTGAGCGCGAGCGGGAGCGCGGGCGTCGTGTAGACCCCGGCGCCGTGTACACTACGGTTCGCTGCCGGGCTTGGGTCGATGCCGCCGCCCCCCACAATCTGTGGGACGTTTTCCATGTCTGTGCCGTGGAACACCCGTTCGGACCAATCCCCCTCCTCCGGGCGCCCGCCGTTCGTGAGGCCGATGCGAACCACAACGGAGGCCGAAGCTGACCGGTCCGAGAGTGCCCTTAGGTTTCGTAAGGGGATGACCTCCGTCCACCGATCGTTACGAGATTCCTCCGGGACGTATCCTTCCGCTTTTTGCAAAAAGGCACTGTAGACTTGGTGATGGTTCGCCGCGCTGCGAGTCATAGGAGAACCCGCAGCATAGGAACCGAGACCGAAGCCAACGTGCAGCGGCCCCGCGCCGGGAGGGGCGCCGGGTCCCGTGGCAAGAGCGCCGGCGTCGTCGTCGCTACTCTCCTCCTTGGTCATGTCGATGACGCGCTGCGCCGGCCTCGGAGCGAGCAACGCGGGCGCAGCGGCCGCCGGCGGCGCTGCTGGCGCGGCGACTGGCGCGGGCGCGAGCGGCGCCGGCCTCGGAGCGGGTTGCGCGGGCGCATCGGCCGCCGGCCGCGCTGTTGGCGCGGCGACTGGCGCGGGCGCGAGCGGCGCCGGCCTCGGAGCGGGTTGCGCGGGCGCATCGGCCGCCGGCCGTGCTGCTGGCGCTGCGACTGGCGCGGGCGCGAGCGGCGCCGGCCTCGGAGCGGGTTGCGCGGGCGCATCGGCCGCCGGCCGTGCTGCTGGCGCGGCGACTGGCGCGGGCGCGAGCGGCGCCGGCCTCGGAGCGGGTTGCGCGGGCGCATCGGCCGCCGGCCGTGCTGCTGGCGCTGCGACTGGCGCGGGCGCGAGCGGCGCCGGCCTCGGAGCGGGTTGCGCGGGCGCATCGGCCGCCGGCCGCGCTGCTGGCGCGGCGACTGGCGCGGGCGCCGGCGCCGCGGCCGCGAGCTTGCACTCCCAGCCGCGCGCCCTACACAACACCACCACACAGCGCCGGAGCTTGGACCGCGCGAGGCTGCTCCAGCCCTCCGTGATGGCCGGGATGTCCTCGTCGACGGCTTCGCTGAAGTCACTCAACGCGTCGACCTGCCGCAGCAGGTGCGCGCGCTGGGGCTCCGTGAAGTTGTTGCGGACGAGCCAGGCCTCGACCTCATCCGTGCAGTCGGCCTGGCTCATGGCTGTGTTTGGCACTCGGGGCCAAATGATGCTTTACTGCTCAGCCTCTGCTGGTCCCAGGACTCTCTTGCGCTGATCCCTCCGCTCAAAAAAATAGCTTCGAAGGCCACTCACAGACTTTTGCTAGTGCCTTACAGCGCTAGCTAACGGCGCTGGTCGTCGCGCGGAGGCTTGGGCAGAGGCGCCGCTGGCCGGCCCATAAGTGGAAAGCGCCTATTTACCATTTGCTCCTTGAGCCAGTTACACGATTTAATCGAAGCACCCACGGGCACGGCACCAGAGAGGCCACCATTTCGACGCTCGTCGAGGCCGTCGTCCGCTTCCTGAGCGGAAGCATGGAGGTCGACAGCCGGCACGAGAGCAAGGGCGAACATAAGGAGGAGAAATTCGTCAACGAGGGGTTGATCAAATGGAAGGAGGGCCGCAAGAAGTGGCTCGCCGCGGCAACGAGCGGGCCTAAGAGGCCGCGGCGGCGGCCGCCGCGCGTCGACGACGAGGTCATCCTCGAGACCATCTTCGCGAAGCCGACGGGCTGGCTGTTGCCGCACCCCGTGCCCCTGGCGCACATGGTCGAGCTGCTCGAGGACGAGTGGTCCGACTAGGAACGGTGGAGCTGCCGACTTGCTCCACGCGAATCAAAACACCAGACGACTATTCCCCGCCCGACGTACTATAGTATATGTATTTACACTAGGACGTCACCTCGATCGTCGTCGCCTCCGCCTCTTCCGGCGGCGTCAGCAGGATCTCCTGGCGCTGTAGCGTGCGCAGCACCTCGTAGGTCGCCGCGATCTCGGCCTTGATCCGCAGTAATTGTTCTTGCCGGTACGAGGCCAGGCAGTCCCTCATACCCCGAAACACGAGTGACGTGAAGTGCTTGTAGACCAGGGCCGACAGCTCCGAGAAGTCCTCGACGCCCTTGCCGAAGACGCAGGATAGGAACGACGACGTCGCTTGTTCGCCCTTGGCGCGCCAGGCGTCTTCCGCTTCGACGTCCAGCGCGTCCCCCGATTCGTGCTCTTGGACGCAGCACCTTAAAGCGTCCGTAGCTAAGGGTTCCAACAAGCTTTTCTTGGGATCGTCGATAGTTATGTCGGGAGAAGGTGCAATCCCATCAAAAGTAGACGTCGCGCAGCACCGCAGGAACGCCGCGAAGGCCAATGCGAGCACGTCGAAGTTGCACGCCGCGCAGCCCTTGAAGTGCTCGACTAATGCTCTTCCCAGCGTCGCCTCGAATTTTTGAGAACCGTCTAGCGCTAACCTTGCTAAAGTATCTTTTATGTACGGGTTCGAGAACCGTTCCACGAGTTTCGCGCGGTACTCGATGAAATTGACCCCAGCCACGGGCACCAAGGTCGTCACGACTTCGTTCATGTAGGCTCTCAAGAAAGTCAAGACGTCGATATCCGTCAGGGCTTCATCAACAAACTTATGACACGCGAGTAGCGATACATAGGCCATCGCACTATGACTACTATTGAGCAATCTCAATTTCATGAGTTCATAAGGCTCGACGTCGTCCACGAATAGTACGGACTCGTTCGGCCCCGAACAAGCCTTCTCCCACGCGGGCCGCCCCTTCACGAACTTGTCCTCTACCACCCATTGTAAAAAAGGTTCAGCAACAACGGGCCAGCCGTCCTCGACGCCGTACTCCTGCTTCAGGATGTCAATTTGCTCGGGTTTTGTCACTGGTGTGATGCGGTCGACCATGGCGTTCGGGAACGGCACTTCTTGCGCGATGTACGTCGCGAGGTCCTGATCCACCAATCTAGCGAAGGCTAGGACACTGTCGCGGGCCGTGTTGCCGTTCAGGGGCAGGTTGTCACAGGACATGACCGTGAGTGGTCCCGCCTTGCCCCTCCTTCGTAGGAGTACCGTACATATGAGACCGGGTGCCGTCTTGGGTTGTTTCAGACCATTGGACCAGTCATTCAGGTCTTCCTTCACTAACGCGTTATTTATGTCCAGGCCGCCGTCCGGTGTCCGGTAGTATCCCTTTTCCGTGACCGTCAGTGATAGTATACGGATGTCCTCCTTCTCCAATCGTTGCAAGGCTGCTTCCGGGGCTTCCGGCACGTGCAAGAACCCGACGATGGACTGCACGACTCGCGCTTCGGACCCGTCGTTGCCTCGCGTGAGTAGTGTATACAGGTAGTCCTGCCTCTTCAGGGTGTCGTACATCTTCTTGTCCCACCTGTGTGATGTATGTGATATGTGAATTGAGTTGAGACGACGGCGTCATCGAGTGTAGGGTCTCGGACTACTCGTAATATGTGTGTTCATCACACGTCAGGAAATACCAATGGGGTCGTCATCGACGCGCGAAGAGAATAAGGACGCTGTGGTAAGGACGGCATCAGGCCCACACCTAGAATGCCCCAGACGTCCGCGATCTCGTTCAGGTCGCCACCACTCCCAGGTAATTGTTTGTACGAGACACGCCTAGCGTTATCATACCCGTCCGGTACACTTCTAGATGTGGCTCGCTCCAAGAGTACGTCCGTCACGTAGGCTTGATGACTGCGATGAAACCCCCCAACACCTAAATGAGCTAGGAACGCCGTCGGCTTCGGGGGTTCCGGCGTCGAAGGCACTTTGAGCTTTCCTAGAGCCGCGATCTTCGCTAAATTACGTCGCTGCAGAGGATAGGATTTTTGAGAAGCGGTCAACTCGGTCAGGGGGTTGTGGGCGATTTTTACCGTACCCTCGGTCTGGGTGGTAATGCCTCGGGCACCTTTCGCGCCCTTGTTCGCGCCCTTGCGCCAGTTCTGGTAGTCCCGCCGGAATTGGGCGGCGTCATCTCGGATCCGTCGCATGGCTTCGTAGCCTGACAGGTTTTGCGTGGCCAGCTCCGCTTGGGTTTTGTCTCGTAGCACCGCTGGGGTGGAGAGATTCAGAGAGTCGAGCATGGACGCGGCGGTCCGCGCGTCGACGGCTTTCTTCGGGGTTGGGGGCTCGAAGGATGCCATGGTTTCTTGGAGCGCTGCTCGCGCTAGGCGTGTCGATGGCGTAACGCGCTTGCGGCCTCGCTGCAGGGCTCCTTGTGATGGGTGGACAGAGAGAGCTCAGAGCCTGTTTCTATGCTTCTCGATCTGCGGCGCGAAGCGCTGTGGCCTGGAAGCGCTGCGCTGATAGTGCTGCAAGGACTTCTCCACGAAAGCTGCCAGTCCTCGCCCCTCGCGTATGCTCTGTGCTGCTCCCTGTCTTGTGTTGGGGGCCTCGCGCCGCAGCCAAGCTACACGCCTGCGTCTTCTGGACGGTTCCGGGGCGCAGCGCAGGAGTGATCGGTGACGTAAACAGACCGTGAGTGCGAGCGGGTATTGCTGATTGCCTCGACTTGATCTTGTGCTGGGCGCTGCTATAGCTGTGTTAGACGCCTTGCCAGTGCAGTCGCTGCAGCAGCACTCATATTCTTGCACAGCAAGCCCAGTTGCAGCGCAGGATCACTCCATCCGCTGGTGTTTGCATACCACAAGCAGATCCTAGTCAGACCATGAGGGTGCTGCTAGTAGCGGCCACCGCGGCCGCCCTGGCGCCGCCCGCCCTCAAGACGGCTCGTAGAACCATAGCAACAAACGCGGCGGTGGACTTCGTGCCCGAGAAGGCGAGACCCTTAAGCGTCGCGATTGCGGGCGGCGGCGTCGGCGGCTTGACGACGGCCCTCACGCTACTCAAGGCGGGCCACGACGTGACCATTTATGAGAAAACCCAGGCCTTCGCGCGGTTCGGGGGCCCGATCCAGTTCGCCTCCAATGCTTTGTCAACACTCAAGGCCATCGACGAGAAGCTCTTCGCGCGCGTCATGGACGCCTTTACGTTCACGGGGACGCGACGGTGCGGTATTAAAGATGGTCTGCGAAGCAATGGGGAGTTCCGCATGTCGAAGGTCGCGGACCCCAAGTTTCTTATTGATAAGAACACGCCGAGCGACTGGTTCGTGTCATTTCCCCTCAAGGAATGTGCGGACTTCTTCCAGCTGCCCTACACGGGCGTCGTGAACCGACCGGACCTCCAAGAAATCTTGCTGGATGAGTGCCGAGCGCTGAAAGACGACTTCATCCAGAACGGCGTGGCCGTCGAGTCATATGATGACTCCGCAGAAGAGGGCGTGAAAGTACAGTTGACCGATGGCACGACGAAGACCCACGACTTGTTGGTGGGCGCCGACGGCATCTGGAGCCAGATCCGGGCCCAGATGTACAACGAGGGGCCTGTTAGGGGTACTTCGAAAGATGGGAAAGTGAAGCAAGGGTGCCCCTACTCGGGCTATACCGTATTCGCGGGCGAGGCGGTATTGCCTCTCAATGACTACTACGATGTAGGGTACAACGTCTACATCGGGCCTCAAAGGTACTTTGTGAAAAGTGACGTGGGCGACGGTCGGGTCCAGTGGTACGCGTTCTGCGCGTTGCCCGCTGGTTCCGCCAAGGCCGGGGATTCGTGGGACGAAGGATCTACCAGTGCGGACCAAGGTCGATCGGTAGTAGATTATATCAAGGGCTTACACGAAGGGTGGAGCGACGAGATCTTTCAGATCCTGGACCAGACCCCTGCTGAATCGGTAGAACAGCGCGACTTGTATGATAGATGGCCGGAGTTCACGAGGAGCTGGGCGAAGGGTCGCGTCGTGTTGTTAGGTGATGCGGTTCATCCGATGATGCCGAACCTCGGGCAGGGCGGCTGCCAGGCCATCGAAGATGCGTATGAGTTAGGTAAACATTTATCTGCTGCGGGCACCTATGATCGCGGCTTGGATCGTGCTTCCGTCGAAAAAGCGTTGCAGGACTTCTACAAGGACCGGATGCCGCGCGTCGCGGGCGTGTCGCTACTATCGAGACTAGCCTCGGACCTCATAATAAACGCCTTCGACACGCCCTGGAACCCCTGGGGCGACGGTTTAGGTACTTCTTGGAAGTCCTACCTGACGTTCTTCTGGAAACCGGTCCTCCAGTACCTGATCTTCCCGGCGCAGTTCCTGTTCCTCTACTCGTACCATCCTTCCGGTCCGATGGGGGATTTGCCGAAGAAATTGGAAGAGGACTGGCGCAAGCGCCACAAGGAGGAGAGCGAGGCGGCCTTCGCGAAGGCGGCACAGGGTGGGGATAGGTTTGACGCCGCCAGTCGTTTGGGGTCGTTCTTCCAGGCTTCGGAAGAGCCCGTGACGTCTCGCTAAGGGGATTAAGGATCGACTCACGAAACACTTATATATACGCCTTCCCAGGCGACCGTTTATTTATTGATATGCCGGCGGCGGCGGCTCGGTCGTCGGCGCGGCGGCGCCGCGCGCGATGAGCTGCCGTTTGATCGCCTCGCGCTCGCGCAGCGTCGCGGCCATGACGGACCGGAGGCGCTCGAGCGCCGCCTCGATCTCGGCCTGGCGCGCGAGGTTGGCGCGCAGCGCGGCCGCGACCGCCGCGGCGGCCGGGTCTTGGCCCAAGCCCCCCTGCTGCTCGACCATCGCGTCAATCTGGTCGCCGTTCTCCATGTCTAAGTCGCCGGGACACTGCTCGAGATTCACGCGCTCGCCGTCGACCATAAGGCGAATAGCTCTTTCTTCGATTCCCGCCTTGCTGGCATACGCGGTCAAGATCTTCCGGAACTTGGTGGTCTTCTTCACCTTGAAATGCGTGAGCGCGCCGTGCGAGTCCGAGACCTTGAGGTCCAGTTTTTCGTCGCTTTGGGACGCCTCAGCCATGGTTTTTGTCACTCCTTGTTGGGAGAGCAACTATAAAATATAGGTGCTCCCGGCGGCTCGGAGCCACCGCGCTCGCTGGCGAAGTACAGAATGCAGCCTCGACGTGCGTCTTAGCGAAATGTCGCCTCTTGTAGCGTTCGTATGCGGGCACACACGATGTGCAAGAGCTGGCTTCGCCCTGGGGCGTCCCTAGTGTCTTACAGGCCGTAGTCAAGCTCCGGAAACTTGCAAAGAATTAAAATTAAGACGTCCACGAAGGGACGACCACACTAAATAAAAACACTCATGCCGGCGGCGGCGGCGGCGGCGGCGCTGCTGAATGCCAGCGAAACGCCGGCCCCGTCGCCTTCCGATTCTGTTCGCCGAGGATGCGCGCCGCCGCCGCGTCGTCCAGGTGCGCCCAGTCGGCGCCGGCCACGCTCCGTAAAGCTCGTACCTTGTCGCGGTTCTCCCTGACCGAGCCGGGCGCCAGCCCCCGTCTCGAACTAGGACCGTCCTCGTCGTCATAAACGAAGAGTTCTACCGTCGGCGACAGCTTCAAGGCGCCGCCGGCGCGCCCCACCCGCAGCGGCGACTTCGCCTCCTCGTGCAGCGTCGAGTGAATGGAATGCCCAGGCTTTTGGTCCGAGAAGCGGCAGCGGTCCGCGGGCCGCGCCCGGCGCCGGCCGCGTTTCGGTGGTTCTATGTAATCGTCGTCCGTCGGTAGGGGGAGCCAGTCCCGCCTCTTACAGGCACAGCACTTGCAGAGGAAGGTGAGGAGGCCATCGAGGAAGGATTTCGAGGGCGGCGCTTCATAGACATCGGTGGCCTCCTCGCGCCCGCCGGCGGGCGCCAGCTCGACGCCCATCTTCCCGATGGGGCAGCCTCCCAGCCGGCATCCACAAGGCTTGTCTTTTGGGCCTTGTCGCGGCGGCGCGCGCCACGGCTCCGGGCGCGTGGTTTAGGGCTGCGAGGGGTGCTGGCGCGTCGGGCCTCGATTTAAAAAAAAAATACCCGTACGGGCTCTGCGCGCGGCAAAACACTCAGGGATTTCGCACGAATAAGCCGTCGGGGCTGCCTCTCACGGAAAAATGATCCTCACCCAATGCGCATTTTGTGCTGTCGACCTTGGCCTAACTTTGGGCAAGAAATGCGGCCGCTGCAGCACACGCTACTGTGGGGCCGCCTGCCAGAAAAAGCACTGGGAGGAGGGCGGCCATGACGCGCTCTGCAAAGCAATAAAAAAAGCTGGCGGTGCCGAGCAATACCACGCAAATAACAAGTACGCAGCGGCCGTAGCAGTCGCGACGAAGGCGTGCGCGGACGACACGAAGGGCCAGACGTGCTACATCTGCACGCAGGCCGTGCATTGGAAGACAAAGGAGGGCCTCGTGCGCGGGTGCTCGTGCCGCGGGACGGCGGGATTTGCGCACGTGTCGTGCCTGGCGGAGCAGGCGAAGATTTTGATCGCGGAGGTCGAGGAGAACAATTTGGGTGCTAATGCGTTGGATGAGAGGTGGCATCGGTGGCATAAGTGTAGCCTGTGCGAGCAAGAGCACCACGGCGTCGTGGCATGCGCGCTCGGGTGGGGGTGCTGGAAGACTTACGTCGGGCGGCCGGAGAGGGATCTGTCTCGGATCAGTGCGATGAGGCGGCTTGGGAACGGTTTATCCGCCGCAAAGCACCAGGAGGACGCGTTATCCGTGAACAAGGCCGAGTTGTCTCTGCTGCAGCGCCTTGGCGCATCGGAAGAGAGCATACTCGCCGTGCGGCACAATATTGCGATGGTGTATCAGGGGCTTGGACGGTACGAACAGGCCCTACAGATGAAGCGAGACGTATACTCCGGACGTTTGAGGCTCAGCGGCGAAGAACATCAAGAGACCATCCGATCAGCCGTCAACTACGGGAGCGCCCTTCTTTCTCTCGGGCGATTCGAAGAGACCAAGTCGTCGTCAAAGAAAATTTTGCCCGTGGCACGACGCGTTCTCGGAGAGAATCACCAACTCACGCTCACGATAAGGTTCGCTTACGGGGTGGCGCTCTACCAAGACGACGGTGCCACGCTCGACGATGTCCGCGAAGCTGTGACGACGCTCGAGGACACGGAACGGACCGCGCGGCGCGTGCTCGGCGGTACGCATCCGACCGTAGTGTCGATTGGGGAAGCACGGCGAGACTCGCAAGCGGCGCTCGCGGCCCGCGAAGCGGGGTGCGCGTACTCCTATAAGATTAGAGTCTGACAGCGCATAGTATTAAACTTACTCAGCCGCCGCGCCGCAGCGTCTCCCGGCACGCCGAGCCCGGCCGCGGGAGCGATGCTCTAAAGTCGTCGCGCAATACCTGCATCGCTTGATCTTGCGTATAATACGTGCGCTTCTGCCCCTGCGTTTGTAAAATAGTCTTCTCCCACTCGTCGGCGTGCTCCACATATGCAAAACCTTCGCGGATCTCCCGCTTCACGGACCGGTCGGAGGGAAATAAAACCTCCTTGTGCGAGAACGTTCTGGATTTGAGCGGGTCGTCGCTCCGCTTCATGTTCATCATGTCGCCGTACTCTTTTGTTTCGTCGTTCCGGTAGTCGCGTCTAGGTTCCCCTGTTCTCTCATCCAAAACAACTCGAACCTTGTCGCAGATGCAGCCGTCCACGGAAAGCAACTGGTCCGCCGTGTAGTAGGAGGTGGGATCATTCACATAAGGCGGGGGGGGCTTCTTGCCCTCCTTTGTCACTTTTTTGGGCGGCAGGACCGGAGCCGCGCCTTTGGGCCTTCGTTCCTTCTTCGCGGCCTCGCGCGCGTTCACAAATTCCTGGTACTCGTACTGCATGATCTTCTGGCCGCCGGGTGTGGCATGTCTGGGTGGTACATACCCCGCGGCGTGCGTTTTCGTCGTGCGGTCCTCATTATGTGAAGCGCCAGCTGTAGGTAACAGGTCCGTGCGGACGAAGAGGCCGTCGTCGGGGTGGCCCATCGTATGTGTGTCGCGTCGACGGCGTGGAGGGTGTCGAGGCTGCCGGTGGCAGCGGCTTGCTGCCTTGGCGCAATATGTCTGCAGCGCGAGGCGCCGCTGTGTCTGAGAGCGCCCGACGCGGCCGCGGTGAGAGATCCCTCCGCGAGGCGGGAAAGACCTGCCGTAGAGCTCAGGGACCGGTGGAAGGTCGCTGGTCCCGCGCCTCGGGCCGCGCTCTCTGCCACCAAGGCAAGAGAGAGGGCAGGCGCTGCAGCTCGCGCGCGACGCCATCGCGGCGACCAGCGACGACGCGAGGCGTCGCAGGTGCCACGCGCGCGCCCGACCACGACCGCTGCGGCTGCTGAGCTCGTTGCCGGGGCTGCCCCGCCACAACAGCACGACCATGGACTCCGGCCTGAGCAGCGCCTACAGCAGCGCCTACAGCAGCGCCCAGAGCAGCGCCTACAGCAGCCTCGCGAACACGCCCCGGGAACTCAGCCGGGTGGAGGCAAAGGACGCCACTAGAGACCACCGCCTCGCCCCGAGTGGCCGCGACCACTTGAGTGCCGTGCAGCACGGCGCGCGCCTGCCGAGGCGTCATGAAAAGCGCAACCGCGAGCTGAAAGGGCGCCCGCGGGTGCGCCGAACTGGGGGCGGCTCCGGCGGGTCCGGCGGGTCTGGTTCCGGCGGTTCCGGCAGCTCGCGCGGGTCGCCGGCGGGATCGCCACTCCGTCGCCACGGGTCCGTCGTGAAGTTCGACGACTCGCTCGACGAGCTTTTTGAATTTGAGGACCGGCCGCATTTGGAGAGGGCCTCGTGGGCGACGCCGCAGTATTTACCTACTGGTGTCAACTTCATAAATCCGCAGGGGCGGCGACGGCCGTTGATGAGGAAGCGCCCCCAGACGCCGGAAGAACGCTACGCGCCCGTCCAGGACGAGTCCAGTTACTCCATATCGACACGTGTCAAATGGAAGCCGAGCTGGTCGACCATCGATTCTTCGCTCGTGAGTTCGGGCGCGGCGACGATCCGAGGTCGACGGGGCCTTGAAGAGTTGAGACGGATGCGAGAGAGGCAATCGGTAAGGGACGCGAAGGCCGCCGATGAAAGAGAAGTGGAAGCGGATATCGTGGTCAAGACGTCCAAGGTCGCGCAGCACCTCATGCATTTGAGGGCACAGGCCAAGGAACTCGATATCCAGGCGCAGGTCGACGCCTGGCACGCGCGGTCGCCGAACAAGCGGTTGATCGGGTCTGGTTTATTTGATGTGGATGTCTTGGGCCAGAACTGCTTTGGGTTGACTCAGGACGATAGCCCTCCGGAGGTCTACGACATGGCGCCGGCGCCGGCGCTTGCGCCGGCGCCCGCGCCGCGAAAGCGAATGTTTTCCATGCAGAAAGGCCGAACTCGCTTCGCCACCCCAGAGCACGTCTGGAAGAAGAAGGACTGGGCCGAGCAGGAACAGGCCTTCAAGCGGCGCGTCGGGATTACTATTGGGCCGCGGGCCAAGACGTCTTATGTGCCTCGGGCTTCATCACGGAAGTCTGTTAGAGGCGGAGAGAAGTCCAACGTCATGGACAAGCTCGCCGAGCAGGTCGCGCTGGCGAAGGCGTCCGTCGGCAAGACTGATCCAAGAACGGGCGAAGCGCTTGTGTACTACGGCACGGAGCGGCCGACGACGTACTAGTGTTAACTATATTGTTATGTGCCACCCCGTGCCCAGCTCGCCGACGACGCGGCCCGTAACTTGCGAGACGAGGCCGAACGATACGGTAGACGCCGTCAGGACGCGTATCGTTGTAAATTCGGCGAGCGCGCCCGACGCCGCGAGGCCCAGTACCGGTATAAATCCTAAGAAGGGCCACCGTCCGCTGGTCCAGATTGGTGTTGTTGCGACTGTTGTGATGGCCCGGGCGAGCTCGTCCGGCGGCGCTGCCAGGAACGTCGATGCGGACGGCACGAGGCCGAAGAGACCACCACAAACAAAAGCGAGGACCTCCGGGTTCTTTGCGGCCCAGGAGTCGTCTGGCCGCGCGGATAAGCGGCAGAGACGGCGTGCTGGCCGGCGCGGCTGCGCGAATGCGTTAGCTGGCCGGCGCGGCTGCGTGAACGCATCGCCGCTCATTCTCCACCACACGAGGGGACCCCAAATTATCATCCGCTTCCAAGAGCGACATTTGTGCGGCTGCGCCATAGGGATGCAGCCGTGCCAGTGACCTCACACCAGTGTGGCACTGATCACACGAGTCAAGCTATGAAGCCGTAGCGCTGCGCCGACGTCAACGTGCACTGATGCGGCTAATCCCACAGTGCAAAGGCTGGTAGCCAGCTCAAAGGCCGCCAAGACCTAGCGTAACAAGGGCACTAGCTTTGTCAACCTTGTCTCGTTTTTTCGTGCAAGGCCAAGCAAGTCAGCCCGTAGAGATCTAGCCATTCCACTGTGCGCGCAGCAGCCCCGCAGCCTGCGCCGTTCGGAGCCCGGCCCCGCCCGGTGACTGGGGCCCCAAAAAGTATAGAGCTCCGAGGTGCACACCTCGTCCACGCCGTCGACGCGACAATCATGGACGCCGTCTCCCCCGCCTCGACCGTACGAACGCTAGATGACGAGTTCTCGCCCACCAGCACGAACCGCAGCTTAGATCATGAGGCGGCGACCGACGACGAAAACACGCCAACAACCTTGAGGAGGAACGACCTCTCCTTTCACGCCGCCGGCGACGCGCGCGACTGGGAAAGTAGCATCGCGGCCATGGAGAGCCAGTCCGAGTCATGGCAGGACTGCTGCGACTTCCTCAAGGTGCCGTTTGGGCCTCTTTTGCACTGCCTGTCGTTCCTCGATGGCTCCGGACTCGCTCGCTTAGAAACGGCCTGCCCACCTTTACTAAGAACGCGAGTCTGCGAGTCGGCCTCGAAGGCCACGGTCCTAGCGGCATTGCGACGAGCCTCGGACAAAGCGCCGGCAGTCGACACGTCCTGGAAGCGCCTCGCGGGCTGGATCGGCTCGCCTCCCGCCTGGAGGGTACTGCGAGAGCTCCACTGCACGACGAACGGCACCAAGTGGTCTTGGAGAGAGGGCTGGGCGTCGCCGGGCGACTGGCCAGACGTCTCGAAATGGTTTGGAGTGCGGTGCAAGCGAGGCCGGGTCGTGGGGTTGCGGTTGTTCGACAACGGGTTGTCTGGCGGTCTACCTAGGTCCGTTGGTCGGTTGTCCAACTTACGGGAATTGTTGTTACAACATAACTCGTTGACAGGAATGCTACCGGAGTCGCTCGGTGACCTGAGTAGATTGGAGGCGTTGGACGTGTCGAACAACAGTTTTGAGGGGGGGCTGGATGCGATTGCGCGGTGCAAACGGTTAGAGTACTTGAATTGTTCGCAGAACAATTTTACTGGTTCTTTACCGGATCTCCGGTTAAGCAAGCTCGAGGCTTTTCATTGTGATCGGAATCAACTATCAGGATCCTTGCAAGTGTTGGGGCGCCTGCGTTCTCTAGAGGTCCTGAACGCGTCGCGAAACAATTTTGAAGGCGCGCTGCCGGATTTGTCGAGATTGTCGAAGCTGAAAGCCTGCTTCCTCGGCCACAACCGGCTGACGGGGTCTTTGAGGGATCTTGACATCGGCGCATCACTCGTAGAGCTCTACGTCAACGACAATTCGTTAGATGTCGATGAGCTGCCCGCGGCGCTCGCGGCGCTGAACGTGTGCTTCACGGCCGGGAACGGCGTGCCCTAGAGTTTTGATAAGTGTGGTTTTACAACATAGTCTTATGGCGTGAGGTGGGCGCGATGACTCAGCCGAGGCGGACCGCGGTGACGTATATTCCGCTATCTCTCACTTCGTCGGGGACGCGCCATTCGTCCCAGACGCGGCTGTCCGGTCTCAGCACGAAGAGGCGCCGCGTTGATATTCGACCGGTGGGATCCGAAGAATCTACGTGGCCAACCACAACGAGATGGTTGTCGATGCTTTCGCCAATGAGAGCGAGGACCGGCGGCACGGGAAAGGGTGCCTCGTCCCATGCCTCTCGGAGTGGGTCCCAAATGAAAGCTAAGTATCTCACATTGTAGGGCCGAGCAACATCTTCGGGGGCCAGTTTGCAACAGGCCATCAGACAGAACCGCTTCCGCCATTCGAATGCCTGGTAGTGCCAATGAACTCCTCCCTCATCGTAAAGCTCATGAGGAAGGCGCGGCCCGGCCGCCCAAGTTTGAGTCGCGGGATCATAGACGAACGTCTCCTGGAGATGATCATCCAAAGCATAGAGCCAGAGCTTTCCATCGACCTCGATGGCTTTTGAATAGCATTCGCCAGGCTCACAGAACGGAAAATCCGGCCGACGTGACCAGGTGTCTTGGGAAGCATCGTAGACGTCAATGGGCATACGCGGCACAACATCGCCACCAATCAACATGATGGTGCTGCCAAGGCCGCAACAGGTCACCCACTCGCCAATTCCGTCGCCGCCGAACCATTCGCTATCTCGAGAGGGCGTCGCTAGCTCCCGCCAGCGATTCTGCAGCGGGTGAAACGCAACAGCACGCATTTCCGGGTAGGTCTGTAGGATAACAATCTCGTCGCCGCGCCCACTGGAGAGGCGCGCCAGGTGCCAGTCTTGCCCCAGTTGTGGGCCTGGCGCCACGCGGTATGCGCCCGACGCCTGGATCAGGTAGGGAGCTGCCGCATTGTTCCGCCAGTCGATGGTGAACCCGGCCCACTCTACGTATCCGGCCGCTTCTCGCGTCTTGCGGAACGCGGACGACGCCACCGCGTCGCACAATGACTTGCAAGTGCAGGGGATGCCATTGCGCAGGTCGGCATAGGGCACACGAGCAAGGCATGCGAGCAGGCAGTCGTTTGGGAGCGCTGTAAGGCTCATCTTTTGCGATGCGTATGAAGCACCGCGCCACCAGTGCGCTGTGTGCACAAACCCAAAAAACTCAATGACCTGCTATCTAGCGGCAGTAAGGCACTAGAAAGTCTTGCTTTTTGCGGCCGCACGATACAGGGAGAGTGCTACCCACGCTTGTGGCGCATTGTGGTATACCTCGAGCCCATTCACAGCGCCCGCGGCCCTTTGGCGCCGGTCCCACACCGCGCCAGGCCCCCAGCAGCACCCTGCTGGCACTGCAGCCGGTCGGCGCCGCCGCAGCAGCGCCCACATAAATAACCGCGCCCGCACATCAACAACCGCAAAAAGACTGCTGTGTGGATCTGCAGCTATCGACGCCGCCGCAGCGCCGCCCACATAAATAAGCGCGCCGCGCCTAGAACCAAGCGCGAAAAAAAAAGATGTCCCTCTCCTTCCTCGCCAAGAAGACCTGGCACACGCAGCGCACGGACAACGTCGAGCAGGTCTGGCTCGCCGAGCAGAAGAAGGAGAAGGAGGAGAAGAAGCTCAAAGAACTGCAAAAACAAATCGACGAGGAGCGCCAGATCGAGGAGTTGCGGACCTTACAAAAAGATGCGGGTTTGGTCACGGATCCAAAACAAAAGCTCGAATGGATGTACGAGGGTCCTGGGTCGGCAGTGGCGTCGGAGGCGCAGGCTCGGGAATACAAGCTCGGCAAGGCCTACGAGCCGACGAAGCAGTCCGAGGAGATGAGTCAGCTCGAAAACAAGAACGTGGCCGGTAGCACGTGGCTCGATAACACGTCTTCAAACGAGAACGAGCTGTTTTCTCGGTTAAATCAGGATCCGCTGTACGCGATGCGTCAAAGTCAGAAACGAGACCGGGAGCAAAAAGTCCTGCAGAACCCTTTAGCTATGAAGCGCCTGCGAGCTTCGCTTCGAGACGAATTGACGGCGTACGAACAAAAACGGGCCGTGCGCAAGGCCGCGAAGAAGGCCAAAAAGGCCGAAAAAAAGAGACGCAAAAAGGAGAAGAAGAAAAGGAAGCGCGCGTCTCCCTCGTCGTCGCCGTCGCGCTCGCGCTCTCGCTCTCGCTCACAATCGCCGCGGCGCCGCTCACCATCACCGCGGCGCCGCTCGCGGTCGCCGCCCCACGAAAAGCGGGACGGCTACGGCCTCCGCAAGGGCCGCGTCGACGATAGTAGGGGACCGCGAAATCTGGGCCCCGACCGCGGCGCCGTCGCGGCGCGCGAGCGCGAGGCGGCGGAGCGGAGAAGACGGCCGCAGCGCGAGCAGCTGACGGACGAGGAGAAGGCGCGGCGCCTCGCCGAGTTCGCGCGCGACGGCGCGGCCAAGCACGAGGCGGCCCAGGTGCGCGCGCGGCGCGACGGCGGCGCCGGCGCGGCGCGGGCCGCCGTGGCCGACGACGAGGCCGAGCTGCGGCGGCGCGCGGCCGCGGGCGTCGCGGCCGACGGCGCCAAGTTCCTGCGCGCGGCGCGCACGGAGGCGTACGTCGACGGCGGCGGCGACCTCGCGGACCGCGTCGGGCGGACGCGGGCGCGGCGGCAGCGCGGCGGCGGCGGGGACGAGGACTTGTAATTAGCTTGACGTATGATTTTAGGCATCCCCGAGCGTCGTCGCGAGCATCGCTTCGGCGATCTCGTGGGCGCGGAGCTTGGCCCGAGCCTTTTTCAGGTCGTGCTCCATCTGCATTGCGAGCGGGTGCGCGCCACCGAACACACGCCGCGCGATCCTTTCGTTCTCCTCGAGCAATGTCACGGCCTCGTGGAGATCGTCGAGCGTGGCGCCCTCGTCGTTGTAGAGCGACTGCGCGTAAGACATCCTCATCGCGATCGTGAGTTCATAATTCTCTCCGAGGACGCGTCGCGCCACGGGCATTATTTTGCGCAGCAGCGACTTGGCTTCTTCGAAGCGCTTTAATTTAAAAAGGGTTGCGGCGAGGTTATTGACTGATATGATGGTATCCCGATGTTCCTCACCTAACAGCCTCAAGGACCCATCGTATACGTCCCGTTCGAGCTGAAGGGAATGTTCAAGCCGTCCGAGATATTGGTACGTATTCGCAAGATTGGTCTGCGCGGCGAGTATGCTTGATGCTGGCGCGCCACGGCGTAGCTGCATGGACAACTCGGCCTTTTTCACGACCAACGCTTCTGCATGGCGTCCAGTTTCGTCTAAACCGCTCCCAAGTGTGTTCATCGCCATGACATAGATCTTATCCGTCTCCGGCCGCCCCAAGTAGGTCTTCCAGCACGCCCACCCGAGCGCGCACTTCACGAGGCCGTGGTACCCTTGCTTGCACATACTACACTCGCACCACCGCACCCACCTCTCATTCTTCACCTTCCAGTCCAAATTGTTCTCCACCGCTTCCGCGACCAAAATCTTCGCCTGCTCCGCCAGACACGAAACATGCGCGACGCCCGACGTCCCACGGCACGCACATCCGCGCACGAGGCCCTCCTTGGTCTTCCAGTGGAGGGCTTGCGTGCAGATGTAGCACGTCTGGCCCTTGGTGTCGTCCGCGCATTTCTCCGCCGCGACCGTCACTGCCTCCGTGTATTTTTTATTTGCGTTGTATTGCTCGGCGCCGCCGCTTTTCTTGATCTTCTTGCAGAGCGTGTCGTGTCCGCCTTCTTTCCAGTGCTGCACCTGGCATTCGGGCCCACAGTAGCGCGTGCTGCAGCGGCCGCATTTCTTGCCCGAGGATAGCCCAAGTTCGGCAGCACAGCAGGCGCATTGGATGAGGAGCATCTCTTATGGTCAAATCGCTCGGGGACAGCCCTACGATGAAAAATGCTGCAAAAGCCTCGGCTGTGAAAAGGCTAGTGCCTTTCCGCTAGCTGTCGCAAAACTTGGCCCGCAGCGACGCCGTCGACGCGCGCCCCGAAACGAGACAAGAATAACACAACAAGGTTAAGTTAGAACGTTCAGATGTCGTCGCTCCCCCACGAGTCGAACGTCGGGCGACTGCCGCCGTCGTCGTACTCGTCCCACGGCCGCTTCGCGAGCGGCAGGCGCGGCGCCCAGTCCGACTTTTGAGCGTCAGAATCAGCTAAAGGCGCCTCGACGACGTCGCCCCGCTTCTGGACGATGCGCCGTCGCCGCTCGACCGCCGCCTGTTGTAAGGGGGACTTCGCGGTCCTATCATGTATTGAAGCAAAATCAACCCCACCGAAGAAGGGATCCTCACGAACCTCAGTCCACTCGTACAGCCGCTTTGTAGTCGGTTTAAGCAGCTTCGAGATAAAGCCCACGAGCTCCGACGAAAACGAACGTGGATACCGCGGTCGCATCCTCAGGATGGATTCATAGAGCGCCATGTCATCCGCACCACTAAAAGGGACCCGACCGTTCCCCAGCTCAAAACACAAAACCCCGAAACACCAGAAGTCCACACTTGTCCCATGGCCTTCGGAACGCAAAACCTCCGGGGCTAAATACTGGGAAGTGCCGCACATGGTCCAGGTCTTCGTCTCGGAGCCTCTCAAAACCTTCGCGAGGCCGAAATCAACTAACTTGACATTGCCGGACGCGTCCAGGACCAGGTTCTCGGGCTTCATATCCCTATAAATGATCGACTTCTGGTGAGTGTGTTCTAACGCTCGTGCCGACTGCGCGAGGATGAATTTCAGCGACTCTTCGTCGAAGCTGACACGTCTTAACAGATGTTCGTAGATCTCCCCGCCTTCGACCAGATCCAGTATGAGATAGATGTGTGACTTATCTTGGAAGCAGGCCCTCAAGCTAATAATGAAGGGTGAATCTAGGGAAGCCAACACCTCACACTCCCCAACAACGTAGGCCTCCATGGCCTCGTCCGTGACTCGCGCCTTGTCCTGCAGTTTGCACGCGAAAATACGACCGGTGCCCTTCTCCAGCACTCGTTTGACCACGCCAAAGTGGCCCGTGCCGACCACTTCTAGAGCGTCAAAATCATCGGTAGACAAAGGACATTCCTCCTCCGCGAACGATTCCAGTGAACTTTTATCCAATGAGGACGACTGCCTTCGAGAGGGACTCTGGTTCGTATGGGCCGTCTCGATGACATCTTCTAAATGTCCTAGATGGCGCTCGAAGTCGTGCCTCGATAGTGTGAGGACTTTCGTATGCGTCGAGGCTCGCACCGAGGCGGTTCGGAGTTCCGAGGATAACAACGCCAATTCCCCGAAGTGGCCGCCCTCGTTTATAGATTTGGTCCGGTTCTTGTCCGTGATTCTCGGCGCCCTTTGGGACGGATCGAAACTCTGATCGACGTGGACGTCCACTCTGCCACTTTCAACAACAAAAAACTGCGACGCCGTGTCGCCCTGCCTGACAATCACCTCGCCCTTCGCGAAGGTCTCCGTGGCCATCTCGGCGGCCAGTCTCGCTAGATCCGTCGCTTTTAGAGCGGACCCTAGGCTTATCGTCGAATCACCACCTCCCAGAGTGGCTTCTCTCAAAAAAGCTACTCGCTTCTGGATGACGCCGTCGTGCACTCTTCGCAAGGCCGCTTTGCAGTCCAACCGGTCCAGAGCCCACAGGACACAAGGACCGCAGCACACGACCGTCGCGTTTCTCGGAGACGCATGCAATAAAGCTAACTCACCAAAGCCCGCGCCCGCGGCAATGGACTTCGTATACACGCCGTACTCCGCCGACGTCTCGCCCAGATCCAAATCGCACAACTGCTTCAGCGCCGGTTCTCTCTCATTCTTGTGGTGAAACACCCGTACCTCGCCCTTCTCCACCACATAATAGCGGTCGCCGGCGTCGCCCTCTCTGACAACGACGTCTCCCGCTTCGCAGTGCACCACGTCGAAGGGGTCCGTGAGTATGCGTTTATGTGCTTCATCTAGACCCCTGAACAGCGCCACAGAAGTAATAGCGTGCCAGAGCACGTCTCTCACCCTATCTTCTTTGGGTATATTTTGGGCTTCATACGCAGCAACATCATCGGAGAAGCGTCGCACGTCCACAACTCGCCCTATGCGAGAAGCAGCGCCAAAAACGCGCTCGCCGTGGAGCGACGAGTCCAGCTTCTTCGGACTGGGTCGATCAATGGAATTACTGGGAGACGACCGCGTCGTGGCCCCACCCAACTCAAAACGTGTTACTGACGAGCGATGGGCTCTGGTCGGACTGATGAGGCCGCTCCTCGCCCGCTTCGGCGGGTGGGGCGTGGCCTCATCTAATTTCCGACGCGTCGCCGCCAGCTCGTTTCGGAGTTCGTCTCTCTCTTGACGTAGCTGGCGGAGCTCCTCGTCGCGGGGTGCGCTCGCACCGGCGCCCATTGCTGCTGGGGGTCTCTGTCTATGGCTGCCTTTGATGCACCGTTATTGCTCGCAGGGCTGCCCCTTCGTTGTCACGGCGTGGGATCCATACCCTCCTCCTTTATTTTGGATTCGTCGTCCCGATGCGCGCGCACAGCTCGTAGCGCCGCTCCTCCGCGTTGGACAGCCTGGGAGACCGGACTAGGGGGGGCGGCGCCGAGGGACGGCTCGCGCCGCATGCTAGACTTGCCGAGGGCTGTGCTACGGCCTGGGTTTTGCATCATTTGAACCGCACCCGCACGCAAAACGCATGCGTCGAGTCCGGCTGGCATTATTGTTGCTGAAAGCTGGGCATAATTGTGCCTTTGTTGCTGAAAGCTGGGCGCACTGTCGCCACAGTGGTCGCTGCTCCTGCACGCAAGCACTAGGTGCAGCCCCACTGCGAAAAAACAAGGCACAGCAAGTGCAGCCCCACTGCACAGCGTACCATACGTACCATGACGACCTCCCCAATGAAAGCTGATGAGACCGAGAGCGACATCACCTTCGATGTTCTAAAAAAGTGGAACCTGCGCGCTGGTATCGTGCACCTCGTGCAGGCGGTCTTGATGCTGCTCGCCTCGCAGCTCGTACCGCGCATCCGCGACTTTCGCCTCGAGCTGACGACGGCGTTTCAGGATTACGACGACGTCCAGAGGAAATTAGTGACGAACGTCAAGGATGTTGGGAGCGTTCCCATCGGGCCCCTCGTGTCGGTATTTTTGTTTATGTCGGCGGTAGCACATTTATTGGTAGTATCACCATTGTACTTCGAGACCTACTGTGATGACATACGCAGGGGAATAAATAGAGCGCGGTGGTACGAGTATGCGTTGAGTTCTGGCCTAATGATTGTCTTGATTGCGATGCTCTTCGGCTGTCGCGACCTCGCGTCCCTACTACTGATACTGGCCGTAAATGCGTGCATGAACCTCTTTGGTCTGTTGATGGAAGTTCTGAACCAGTACACGACGAGCACGGACTGGACGCCCTTCTGGTTTGGTTGCGTCGCGGGCGTCTGGCCGTGGATCGTGGCCCTGATGTATTTCCTCGGAGGCGGGAATTACGACAAGATCCCGGACTTTGTGTATGGCGTTTTTGTGTCCTACGCGTTGTTCTTCAACACGTTCCCGATCAACATGGTGCTGCAGTACAGGAAGGTGGGACGGTGGGCCGACTACCGGTACGGCGAGCTGTGGTACGTGTTCCTGTCGTTGGGGTCGAAGAGCCTGCTCGCGTGGGTCGTGTTTGGCGGGACGCAGCAGCCGAATTAATTCGCAGACTAATTTTATTCAAGTTTATATCCTAGCGCCCGGCGTCGATGCCGAACATCCAGAAGAATACGAACACGTAGAACGTGACGGCCAGCGAGACCAACGAGAAGATCACGCCGCCGTCCGCACGAATGCCGAAGAGCCGAGCGTCGTGGACGCGGTTGTATATTTCTAGCTGTTCGGCGGCGCAAGCCAATATCTCGTCGGACGCCTGGGCGCGCGCCGCGAGTGCTGGGAACTGCGCCGCGTTGGCCTGGGCCGCGAGGCGCCGCTGCGCGAACAATGAGACCGCGGTCTCGCACTTCTCGTTCGCGAGCGCCGCGAAATAGGCCTGTGATTATGCGCATCAACGCCATGCCGTCGCGTCGATGGCGTGCCGCGCGAAGAGTCAAGACGCCGGGTCCGCGCCGACGCGACCAGGACGAGGAACAGGAGCAGCAGGAAGAAGAGCAGCGCCCACGTCCGCGACTGCGTCAGAAGCTTCCGCTGGTGGTCGGTCACGAGCTGAATGAAGAAGTCGACCATGGCCCCGCCGAGGACGACCGTCACGAGCACCAAGTAGTACTCCGCTCGTCTCTCGTAGCGGAACCCGAAGCTCCCAAGCACGGCGCGCCCCTGCACCCACACGATGCCATCCAACGGCCGCTGGCAGATCTGCAGGCGCGGGATCGGCGCGCCGCCCAGGTTGCACGCCTCGCGCCGCACCAGTAATCGGATGTAGGCCGAGAGCACTGCGAGGGCATCGATGCGTGAGTTGTTGCCGTACGTGGACAATCGAGCAGTACTGGGTGGCGTCCACCAGTGGTCTATACCGCCGATGGTTTGCTATAAAACCAGGGTCGCGGCGGTTCAAAAGTCGTCGGTCTGAACTAACTTTTAGCTCGCTCTACGGCGTTGAGCGCGGAGCTTCAGCAACACAGCCTGAAAAACCCGTTTTGCAAAACGCCGTCGACGCGCCCACCACTCAGGGACACGTAAAGGAACACAAAAACAACAGTTAAGAAAGATAAGACTAGTGCCGGTGCGTCAAAAACGACGAGACCGTCAGCCAGCCGAGGGACGTGCACGCGATGAAGCCGATGCGCAGCGGCACGGGCACGACCGTAAACACGAGCAAATTCGCCGGCACCCAGACCATGTAGTAGTTGGAACAGATCATCTGCCACTCGTGCGTGTATCTCTCCAAGCCGCCTCGCATCCCGATGCCGTCGTATAGATAACCTTTGTACGCGTAGTAGACCGGAAAGCACACCAAGGGCACGTGCACGGCGGAATCAAAAGCTACTTTCCTCACAGCGTTTTTGAGGGACGTGTCCAAGCCGAAGAGCCGCGCGTACCCGACGTTATACAGCGCGTGCTGGAACCAGCCGCAGTACCACCCGCCATAGAAGGCGAAGACCGCCGTCCGTTTCCAGTTCTGCTCCTGCTTCCCTTCCACGATTCTTTGGGAAATGGTATCTGCGATCACGCCCTTGACGGCGCAGGAGCCGAACGCGACGGCGTAGGGCCGCTTCGTCGAGAGCTCGGCGTAGGCGGCGAGGGCCCGTGACGCCATTGTCTCTCGTTGCCGTTGCAGCTGTGTGACGTCGCCACGCGGCTGTGTGAAGTTGCAGCTGTGCAGGCAGGGTGGCGTAGACGCCACAGGTGCAAACAGAGTCGCGTTTGCTTGCTCGTGCGGCTGCCGCACACGATAGGGACTGCTTCCTTGCCTGTGCCGTGTCGAACAGACGTATGAGCGCTCTGTTTGGGCCAAATTGCCGCATTTGCGGCTGAGAAAACCCGTTTAAAAATAAAGGTAAAAGAAATAAAAGACAACGCGGCGCGAGAATAAGGCAGCGCTGTTACGCGCGCTCGCAGCATTTTGGCAATTATCGCCAGCGGAATCACTAGCCTGACGTGAGCCATGGCGAAGAAGAGCCCGAAGAAGCCCACCAAGGCCAAGGCCGCGGCTAAAAAGAAGAATCCCGCCAAGCACTGTTGCGGCGTAATCATTACGTACGCGTGCCCTCGAGCGCCGCACATCTCAAAAGACAAGCGCCGCAGCCCGCCGCAGCGGTCAACACCGTCGCGCGCGCGCGTCGCCTTACACACGCGGTGAAACTGTCGACGCTCTCGAGACGCGAATCGGAGTTTCACCACACCCCCCACCACAGGCCCGCGGCCAAGGCTAAGAAGTCGCCCGCCAAGCCGGCGTCGGCCAAGAAGAGCCCCAAGAAGTAGCAAGCCGTGTCTGGACCCTATGTTATTCTCACGAACGCGTTACAGGCCCGCGCCCAAGAAGGCGACGCCGAAGAAGAGCCCCAAGCCCGCGGCCAAGTCGCCCAAGGCCGCCAAGCCCGCCGCGAAGGCCAAGCGCGACGGCGGCGTCCGACGTCGCGTCGACGGCGTCCGGGCCGACCGCGCCGACCGCAGGTCGCCCAAGGCCGCCAAGCCGGCCGCCAAGTCGCCCAAGGCCGCCAAGAAGTCGCCCGCGAAGCCCGCCTCGAAGGCCAAGTCGCCGGCCAAGAAGAAGAGCCCCGCCAAGAAACCGGCCTCGAAGGCGAAGAGCCCCGCGAAGAAGAAGACGGTCGCCAAGAAGTCGCCCGCCAAACCTAAAGCGGCGCCGAAGAAGAGCCCGAAGAAGGCCGCCTCGCCCAAGGCGAAGAAGCCTGCGGCGAAGCCGGCCGCCAAGAAGCCCGCGGCCAAGCCGGCCAAGGCGCCGTCGAAGGCGTCGGGCACGCGCAAATCGAAGCGCTCCGTCGCGAAGTCGTCGATCCCCGTCGCGCAGCGCGGCTCGGCGATGATGGCGAACGAGTACGGGGAGAGCCTCTAGGCGGTTGTTGGGGGTAAAGCCAGGGTAGGAATTGAGTAGCACTTAACTTCCTTTCCGGAAGTTAATTTTGGTTTTGGGTCGGACTACTTTTGGTTTCGGGTCAAGGCTGAGACCGGGACTTAGTACTGGCAACCGCGCGCGCGCCTCGCGAGTCGCCGCCCTCGCGGAGGAAACATCCGCCTCCTGAGCCCACCAGGCCACCAAAGACACAGGTAGGGGCCTGCCGGAACCACATTTTACCACATTTTACCCGTTTAGGCCCGTTTTTTTGACATCTAGATCACTAAGTGACGGGTTTTGCTAAATTTACCCCCCCTCTCTACTTCAACTTTACGTTGAACTTCGCAGGACTTTTGGTTTCGGAGCCACTTATCAGGCCGCCGGGAAGTAAAGTTCAGATCTCGATTCCTACCCTGGGTAAAGCCATTACTCGAAGGATGCCTACTCGGCGAGGCACCAGTAGCCGAGGACCTTGGATCGGAGTTCGTTCGGCAGGCCCGCGACGCGTCCGAGAAGAGGATCCGCCGTCGTCGCCCGCCCGCGGGCGACCAGCCACCAGAGGCGGAAGGACGCTTTCTGCTCAGCACGGCGGAACGCCAGCCAGGAACCTTCGCGTCGCACGCCGGCGACGAGCTCCTTGATAGTCTTGAGCTCATCAGCATTCAACTGCGGGTGGAACCCCTGTGACTCCATCTCATACTCTATGCCGTCTATCACCTCCTCCACCGACCGCTCCGACAGAGCCGACTCATCACCGAAGCATGAATCCAGCTCCGCGCCGGCCCGCAGCAGCAGCGTCACGACGTCCGCGCGCGGTCCCTGAGGTCTCTCGCAAATACTCAAGCACACGCCCAGAGGAGTATAGGAACCTTGGCCTACGTGCGGAGAAGCGCCCGCCGATAGAAGCTCCGCGACCAACTCTGCACATACCCCATGGCTACAAGCTACCGACATTGCGGTATTTTCATAGCACCACGAGACGTGATTCACGTCGGCACCTTGAGCAATGAGGTACCGTACCAAATCGACGTAGGCTTCGTCGTCTCGCGAATTGTACCGGTCGTCGTGGTCGGGCCCCGTACACGCATGCAGGAGAAGCGTCATACCACGGAGGTCCTCGTCCTCGGCGTTCACCCAGTCTCGCTCGTCGTCGCTGTCATGGCCCTCTAGCCACCACCTGACTTCTTCGAGATCTCCTTCCGCTGCAGCCCTCGCGATATTACATGGAACGAGTGGAACATTATGCTCTGGGTCCGAGTCTGGGAGCGACTCGAGATCCGAATCCGATTCCATTTGTGCGATCGTCTAAGGCCGCCGTAGGCCGGACAGAGGATGAGGGCCTTTAGCTTCGTTACAACTGATTATAGAGACGCTCTCGCGCCGTCTCTTGGGACCAGTTGGTCCGGATCCGGGCACTCGGGCACTCGAGCTAGCGGCCAGTAAGACACTAGCAAGCGCAGCTCGAGATCAAAAGCGGCACAGCCGGCCGCGCACGCTGCGCAGCGCTCATCTGCATGCTTCTGGGACGCGTCCTGATCGCTCGGTGTGTTGCCACCGCTTTCCGCCCAGCCCCGCGAGCCGTGCGGCTCTCGACACTGCCAGCAGCCATGATCGACCTCACCCAAGACTCACCACCACAAAAGAAGCGCCGCACGGAGGCCACGCCCAGCGGCGCCCTCGTCCACACGCTCGCAAGGACGCACAACGTCCAGGAGCACACGATCGGCGCAGTGCGACGTTTGTTGGTCGACGAGCAGCGCACGGTGCCCTTCGTGGCGCGCTACCGGGCCCAGGAGACGCAGCACCTGCCGCCGGACGCGCTGCGCGCGATACTGGACGCGCTGCACGGCGCCGCGGCGCTCGAGGCGAAGCGCCAGAAGGTCCTCGAGGCGATGCGGGCCGCGAACGCGTCGCCCGAGGCGTTATCGGCGGCGCGGCGCGCCGGCACGCTGCGAGCTTTAGATGATGCCTACGCGCCCTTCAAGGGCTCGGCGAAGTGCTCCAAGGCGGCGAAGGCGCGCGAGGACTTCCCCGCGAGCGACCGGATCGTCGCATCACTATTAGCAAGGGGCGAGGAGCCGCGGCACCTCCACCCGAAGCAGAAGGAATGCGTACTACTCGTCTTAGCCGACGCCGTGGCCAAGGACCCGCGCGCGCGGGCCGCGACGCAGCGCCGTTTTGTAAGGGGCACGGTCGCGGCCAAGAAAGGCAAGGAGCCGAACGCCGAGTACCGCTTCTACGAGGGCTGGTCGAGACCGTTGAGACGGGTCGCGGGCCACGCGTGGCTCGCGCTCGAAAGAGCCTCGAAGGCCAAGGCGTTATCACTGAGTATAGACCCCGGAGGTGATGATAGGGAGGCCGTGCGGGACCTGGCCCAATGTTTAAACCTGCGCCATTCGAAGTTCGCGGCACCAGCTCTCAAGGACGCCTGGACGCGCCTCTTGAAGCCGCGCGGCCGGCGCGAGGCGAAGCGCGACGGTTTACTAAGGGCCAAGGACGAGGCCATCGCGTGCTTCGCTTCGAATGTAAAGAAGCTCCTCGAGCAGGCGCCTCCGTTGATAGATGATGGAAGTGTATTAGCCGTGGACCCGGGGTTCCGGCACGGCCACAAGTGCTGCATCGTATCCGGTAGAGACGGGTCGCTGTTGACGCATTTCACGGTCGACGCGCCCGGGGCCGAGGATGATATGAAACAGGCGTCGAAGCGCCTCGATGGTATGATAGGCGATCATACTATTACTTGTGTCGCGATTGGTGATGGGACAAATACAAGAGGCGCGCAGCGACTGGTGGCTTCTACTCCGAAACTATCAAAAGTTCCGAGAGCCGTCGTGAGGGAGTGCGGCGCGAGTGTCTACTCGGCGAGCGATAGTGCTGCCAAAGAGTTCGGCGAAAACGTGCCTCTGTCCGCGCGGGGCGCGGCGTCGCTCGCGCGGCGGTTATTGGACCCGCTCGGCGCTTTTCCGCGTGGGAATCAACCAGTACGTGTCGCGTCGATGGCGTTTACCCTCGACGCCATCGAGCAGACAGCACACCGTCGAGCAGCCACAAAGACAACGCCGCGTCGCAGGCGAGTACGTCAAGCTGGACCCGAAGACGCTCGGCGTCGGCTCCTACCAGCACGACTTAGATGCCAAGCAGCTCCGAAGAGCCTTGGACGGGGCCGTCGAGGACGCCGTGAGTGGCGTCGGCGTCGACGCGAACGGCGCGTCCTCGGCACTTTTAGAAAGAGTCGCTGGGCTGAATGCGACCTTAGCCAAGGCTCTCGTGGCTGATAGGCCGTTCTCTTCGCGCAACGACCTGAAACGAGTGAAAGGATTGGGCCCGAAGACGTTTGACAATGTGGCGGGTTTCCTGCGCGTGTCAAATTCGCGCGAGGTCCTCGACGCGACGCGTATCCACCCGGACGACTACGGCGAGGCCTGGCGCTTGTTGCGGAAGGCCGGCGTTTCATCAGATGATGTACAACGCGCTTCTGTCAAAGGCGGCGGTTTAGGTTCAGACACAATTGAAAAACTACGAAGGCTCCCGCCGTCGTCGCTCGTCGAATTACTGTGCGACCCTTGTTTAGCCGGCGACGCGCGGTATGTATTGGCGCCGCCGCCCATCCTGGAAAGAGGGGCACCGCTCACTTTGAAGGATTGTAACGTGGGAAGGGTCTTCGCGGGGACCGTGCGCAACGTGGCTCCTTTTGGCGCTTTCGTCGATATTGGGGTCGGCGTGGACGGGCTCTTGCACTCCTCGCAGTTCGGCCCTTCGGATAGGATTGAAATAGGGGCGCGCGTCGACGTGGCCGTGGTGGAGGTCGACGAGCCTAGAAGGCGTGTCGGCTTGCGGTTGGCGCGGAAGCGGGGGCGGGACCCGTGATTTTGTGGCTACGTACGATGCTGCGAGGCCGTCCGCGTCGTCGGGAACCTCGCAATCTCTGGTTGAAGGCGCGGACCGGAGTATGCGCGGTCACGTCGTTCTGTGAGTCCGCCCGCGCGTCGTCGGGCGTGCTGTCGCGCCAGGAACCTCGCGAACTCTGGTTGAAGGCCCGGGCCGGGTTACCTCGTAAAACTCTGGTTGAAGGCGCGGGCCGGATACGGCGCGTCCAGCCAGCCCCGAGAGCTCTCCGGAGGTGTCTCTGAATGGGCCTGTGTAGTTTTGCGTCATAAGCTAGCGAATAGTGAAGGGAGCCCCGCGGGGCACCCGTCAGGTTGTTGGATCCCGTTCTTTCCGTCGTTGCTTTCGATCGGTGCTTGGAGAGGTGCTCGTAGACGTGGGACGCGTCGATAGTGACCCAGCGCGGCGACGCGTCTCGCAGGCCGGCAATTGCTCGACACTTTTTGCGTACATTGTAGCGGCCGAACCCACCCTCCACTACTATGAAGGGCTCCGAGGGTTCATAAAACGTACACTGAGATCCTGGACGAGCGACGGCCGCGTAACCGCTCGCAGAGATGAGGGCAAAGTCTCTCTTAGCCTTAACATATATCGTGGCCGCGGCGGCGCCGGGCGGCCGCGAAACGTGGCACGCATTTTTTCGGGCGGGTCGTAACTCCACAATTTGACGTATCGGAGCCGAAGCCGCGTCGCGAGCGCCTCCAGCCAGGCCTCGAGGCGCCCGGCGTCGCCCGTCGTCCGCCGCTCGGCGCTGTCGTCGCGCGACGCGTAGACCAGGAGATCACCTGGCTCCGACGCCGCATCCCTCCGGCGAAACCAGTCGTACGCGCCGCGCGGGTAGCAGTCGACCGACTCCTCACCAAGGAAGACCCACTCCCGCGTGGCGCCGTCGGCGGCCAGTCCGCAGCGCGTCGCGCGCCAGGGCCGGAGGTCGCCCTCGTGCGCCGCGCGGTGCGTCGCCCGCGGCGACTCGACGACCAGCGTGGCGTCTGGTAAAAGGTACTTCTGCACGAGCGCCGCGACGCCGCGCGTCGGCACGGAGTTTATGAGCGCATGCTGGAACGTGAACGGCAGGAAATGGTCCTGCGCCAGGACGCACGGCCCCGCGCGCGGCGCGCCGTCGTCGGGCCGGCACGCGATGCGTCGCGCCCGCCGCCGCCGGCCGTGCGGTCCCAGCGCCGCCGGGAGGATGCAGCGCGCGAGCGTGACGCGCGTCGCCGGCGCGAAGTATGACCCCGCCACCCCCGACGATCTCCGCGAGGCCGTGACGACGCTCGAGGACACGGAACGGATCGCGCGCCGCGTGCTGGGTGGGGCACACCCTTTCACGTTAGCGGTTGAGCGCAACCTGCGAAACGCGCGATTCGCGCTACGCGCCCACGAAACGCCGCCGCCGGGTAGCGCGTAAATTCTCCAGTATAGCTATTATCACAAGAACAAACAGACCCCTACGACGCCGCCATCTCCTCGTCGTCGTCGTCGTAGGCCAGCCTTCTACGAACGTGCCGGTCCGGCGTCACGCGGTCGATCGCAGCGCAAGCGCGCCGCCGCCGCTCGACGCTCGACGGGCAGCCGCCGTTGTAGGCGTCGCTCGCGAAGGAGCCCGGTCTCGAGACGTCGACGTCCACAACAACGCCCTCGGCCGTCTGCCGCACGCGCGTCCGATACGTCCGCTGGGCGAAAGGGCCGCGTTCGGCGCACGCGCCCGTTTCAGAATGGACGCGGCGGCCGTGTGCCGGGCACCTTATTGAACCGTCGTCCTCGATGTCGCCCGTGCCGCAACCGTCGAACAACGGCTCGCCCATGTGGTAACAGTGCCCATCGAACGCGACGTAGGTGCCGTCTTTGTTTAATCCGACGCATATCACGAGGCCGCTGTTGCCCTTCAGTGCCGTGAAGGTGTTTGGCCGCTGCGGTAGTTTTGACGGCGGCCAGGCGAGCCACTTCGGCCCGGGCCGCGGGCTGCGCGGCGGCGGCGGGAGGCCGTCGAGCGGGTCCACGGCCTTGGTCGGCGTGACGAACTGCATGGTGTGTCCGCTGCGCGTCCGCTGCGAAAGTGGGCGTTTATAGTGCCTCCCGGGCGATGTCGAAATTGCTCTGCGTTTTTCGCGCCTCTGAGCGCGGCGCGAGTGTGGCGTAGGTGTGGCCGCGAGTGCCGCAGCGTTTAGGCACAGTTAGAGCACGTCCGCAACGGCTATCTCCTGTCCCAATGAACTTGTTTGAGCAGCCGTGGGCCGACGCGGGACTCCGCGCCTTCGCAGCTAGCTAGGCCTGTAACACACTAGAAATATCATCGTTCGCACATTAACACTCTAGACGGCCGGCACCGCCGGAGACGACCCCCAAAGCCGGTCGAACAGCTCCCGCGCCCGCTGTTTCCGGTCGCCGGAGGTCTCCACGCGCGCCGCGGCGGCCGCGAAACGCTCGGCCTCCTGCGACCGCCCGAGCAGCTCCAGCGCCTCGCCCAACCTCCGCCAGGCCAGACCGTAAGCGGGAAGCGCCGCCGCCGCCGCCGCAGCGTCGGCCAGCGCTCCGCGCGCGAGGAATTCGGCCGACGCGAGCTCAAAGACGACGCGGGATGCCGTCGCGTCGAGCGATGGAATCGCGTCCAGCGCCAGCAACGCAGCTGCGAGCGGCTGGTCGAAGGTCCCCAGCGCATGCAAGAGCACGCGCCTTGTCGAAACGGCCGGCACGGCCTTCGCCTTCCGCGCTACAGTTAAACCACGCTTTCGCCGCTCCTTGGCCAGCATCAACCGCGACCCCGCCCGCCCCGTCAGCACGGGCGCTCGTTGCGGCCCGTGCCTCGTGTGCAGCGCGTCGGAATACAATCTCAAGGCGAGATCATAGTCCTTGCGACGGTGCGCCGCCTCGGCCAACCGATGGAGCTCGAGGCACTTGGCCGCCGTAGCGTCGACGTCGATGTCGAGGTGGTTCCTCAAAATGTGCGTGATTTTTTCTACGCTATTCACGCCGTGGAACTCCAACACGTCGTCACCGACGACGGCCGCGCAGTTCGGGCCTTCTGCACACCTCCCGAAGCACGCGTGGGGCTGGACGTCAACCGGTTGCTTCGCGATGGATAGAGGCGCGCCGAGCACCAAAGCCGCGTGCCGTTCGCGGCACCACTTGTTGCTACAGACGAAGAGCGTCTTCTTTTTTTGAGGGTCGTAGGCTCGCGCCGCCGCTAGGGCGAGGAGGAGGCGGCGCATCTTCGGCGTCACGCAGGAATACCTCAGTGCTCTGCTCAGAGCTGCAGAGTGCACTGGTCTCAGCTCGCTGGAACCGCGTCCTGTTGCCAGGGCGTGACCACAATGGTATTTTGATGTCCCGCAGCACCCGCAGGTCAATTGTGATCACTTCTGTCAATCGGTACGACCTGCAGATCACCCGGAATCACTCGATGACGATTTTAGCTAGCTGTAAGACACTAGCGAGCAAGCAGGCATCACTCCGACAACAGACCATTCCCCACCGCGCACCAGCCATAGAAAGGACCAATACAGCAGCCCGACCGACCGCGCCGAAGCGCCGGTGGCATGCCGGCAGCGCCAACCATTTTGTAAACCGGCCGCGTTGGGCAGCGCGGTACGCAGTCGCAGCCAACGCGAAGCTGCTGCAGCCCCACGAGAAGCGGTCGAACACGTAGCTCGCGGACCCACGTGCACCACCCACAGCAAGCAGGGCAGCCCCACAGTCAAAGCATGCAGCCATGACCGAGCGGGGCCTGCAAAGGACCGCGTCCTATGCGAGCACGGACGACGAATCCAACGCGAGCGAGGACCGCGTTCGAGTATGTGTTAGAATACGACCGCTGGCGCCGAAGGAGGCGGCAAGGGGCGCGACGATCAGCTGCCGCGCCGACGGTTCGGAGGTCGTGCTCGATGAAGGTAAACGATATGCGTATGATTGTGTGTTTGGCGACAAGAGTTGTGATGAGGCCCAGGCGCAGGACGACGTCTGGCGGGAACTAGCACCTACACTAGCTCCGGCGGCGAAAGAAGGCTACAACGTCAGCTTGTTAGCCTACGGCCAGACGGGCTCGGGCAAGTCGCACACCATGTTCGGCCGCAAGTCTTGTCGGGGCGTCGTGCCGCGGTTCTGCGAGGCTTTGTTCGAGGACGGTGAGGAGGGTTTATCTGTAGCTGCGTCCATGCTCGAGATCTACAACGAGAAGTTGAGGGATTTACTGGTGACTTCTTCCGAGTCATTACGCATCCGGGAAGACCCGCAGACGGGGCCTTATGCCGCCGGAGCTACTGTCGTGAAGTGCGCGTCGGCGCAAGATCTGCTGAGGTTGGTTCGGCTGGGCGCGCGCAATAGGACCATTGCCTCAACAAGAATGAACGAGACGTCGTCGAGAGCCCACACGGTCTTCACCGTGCGACTCGTGCGAGATTCCGTCGAGGACGGGTATTCGCTGCGAAGAAGTGCTTGTGTTCATTTGGTGGATCTCGCGGGTTCCGAACGGCAGAAACGAGCGGGTTCGACCGGTACGCGCCTGAAGGAGGCCGGCCACATCAATAGGTCTCTCTCGACTCTATCTGCCGTGGTCAACGCCCTCACGAAAAAGGACGGAAGGCACGTGCCTTACAGAGATTCGACACTCACCCATCTATTGCGAGACTCGCTCGGAGGCAACGCGCGGACGACCATGGTCGCGACGGTGTCGCCATCAATTGATGACGGAAACGAGACTCATAGTACATTAAGATACGCTGAAAGATGCAAGAAGGTCGCTTGTAGACCCGTAATAAACGAGACGGAGCTCTCGAAGCGCGACTCCATCATCCGGAAGATGGCTGAGGAAATTCGACTGCTGCGCGAGGAGCTCGCGGCCGAACGAGAGAAGAAAACGGTGAGGCCGCAGGGCTTCTCCTCGAGCAGTGAACCTCTCGAGGACGACTCGTCGCCGGGCAAGGCCCTGACGATGGCTCGACAACGCATGGAGCAGGACGCCCTCCAGCGCATCACGGACTACGAGTCGTCGATGTCGACGCTCTCCGAGTGGGCGCCGGCGGGCTGCGATTCGTTGACGACCGTGGATCAGCTAGAAAGGGCGTCCTTCGGCACGGCGTCTCGAGGTGGTTTAGCTACTAGAAAGTCGTCGCGGGAAGCGAGGCTCGTTAACCTGAACGAGGACCCGCAGCTGTCTGGCGCGTTACGCTATTCGTTGAAAGAGGGCGCGTCGGTCATCGGGGCCGGTCGGTGCGACGTGCAGCTCGGCGGTACGGGTGTCGCGGAGGAACACTCGATCATCAACGTGGTCAACGATGACATCGTCGTGCACAAGCGCCAGGGCGACACCTACGTGAACGGGAGGGAAGTAGTAGAACCAATCAAACTGAAACACGGCGACCGCGTCGCCTTTGGTAGACTGAACGTCTTTCGATTATCACTACTAGGACAAGACGACGACGGCGAGGGCGACTGGGACGCGGCGGTCGCCGAGCTCGCGGCGCACGCTTCGTCGACATCGGGCCTGGACCTGCCCTGGGACGACGACGCGTCCTCCTCGACGCGATCTAGACAACCATCTCTGGAAAGCCTCGACTCGGCCGTCTCTGGGCGCAGCCGGCCGTCGTCGTGCGAGCTCTCGCCCGTCGTCGAGAGCCCCGCGCGGGCGGCGGCGAAAGTCTCCTTCGACGATTATGATGCCTTGGGCGACGCCGGCGCGCGCCACCGCGCGGCGGCGCGGCTCCAGGCTCGGTCTCGTGGCCGCGCGGTGCGGCGGCGGCGGAAGAAAGCGCCGCGACCTGTGATCACGTCGCCCGTCGCGCGCGTGTCGCCGCCCAAGGTCTTCTCTCCATTGGAAGCGGAGGTCGCCGAATTACGTTCAAGGTTGGACGCCATCGAGGGGCGCGACCGGCCGCCGGCCTCGCCCGTCGTCGCGCCCGTCGCTCCGGCGGCGTCGCCCGCCGCGAAGGCGGCTCTTGAAAAACGCCTGCGTGGCGCGCCCGTCGCGCCGCGAGGCATCACGTTCGGCAACGCGGCCGCCGGCGCCGCCGGCGACGTCGGCGGCGACGGCGCGCTCCGGAAGGACGAAGCGGCCCGCGAGCGCCGGTCGGTCTTCGCGAAGGCGTCGCCCAGCGCGCCGGCGAAGGAGGCGTCGTCGCCGTTCCTGGAGTACCACAACAAAAAATCGATCTCGCCCGGCGCGCCGGCGTCGCCCGAAGCTGCGCCCGAGAAACCGCGGCAGCGGCCGCCGCCGCGGCCGCCGCTCGCGGACGTCACGCAGACGTTGGATCCGCACGCGCCGCGGGCCGAGCTGCGCGCCGCGCTGAGAAAATTGAGACCCCTCGCGGCCGCGGCGGCCGCGGCCTGGGGCGGCAGCTGGGCGCCGGTCCTCGAGCCCTGCGTCGCGACCGACGCGACGCTGCGGTGCTTACCGAGTGTCGCGCGCGATAATGGGAGGAGCGTGGACCAATCGCTGCTCCAGTGGGCGTTGAATAGGGACGAGGAACCCATCCGAGGCGCCGGCCGCATTGGAGTGGCGGGCGTCCATTTAGAGGCTTTGGCGAAGGGCTTCGACGTGCGCGGGAGTGTGGCGGTTGCGGACCGGTCTGGTGGCACGGCGTGCACGTTAGCCGTTGCTCTTCGCGCTAGGCCCCGCGGCGGCGTCAAAGTTGGTCATCGTGTTTCGATCGACGTGGCCATGGCCGTGACCGACGGGCTGGATGACGTCGATAGCGGTCTACGGCGAAGTTTAGTGTACCAGTTCTTCGACCGGCCGCCCACCGTCGTCGTGGCCGAGGGGCCGCTGCGCCACGCGGCGTCGCTGGAGCTCGACGTGACGCCGGCGCTCTTTTCTTATTTATCGGCGGAGGCGTTGTTGGTCGAGGTGCGGCTGGTCGATGAGGCGTCGGTCGCGGCGGCGACTGGGTAGGGTAATAAATGTGGTAACAGGAACTTATACGAGGGGGCGGGAAAACAGGAGAGACGGATCTAGGCGCGCTCGCCGCGGATGCGGCGCGCGAGCTGGATGTCCTTGGGCATGATCGTGACGCGCTTCGCGTGGATCGCGCACAGGTTCGTGTCCTCGAAGAGGCCCACGAGGTAGGCCTCGGCGGCCTCCTGGAGCGCGAGGATGGCCGTCGACTGGAAGCGGAGGTCCGTCTTGAAGTCCTGCGCGATCTCGCGCACGAGGCGCTGGAACGGCAGCTTGCGCACGAGGAGCTCCGTCGACTTCTGGTACTTGCGGATCTCGCGCAGCGCGACGGTGCCCGGGCGGTAGCGGTGCGGCTTCTTGACGCCGCCCGCCGTCGGCGCGCTCTTGCGCGCGGCCTTGGTCGCGAGCTGCTTGCGCGGCGCCTTGCCGCCGGTCGACTTGCGCGCGGTCTGCTTCGTGCGGGCCATCTGCGCGGGGTATGGCGTTTCGGGGGCCGCTCGCCTCGATTTCGCGTTCTGGTGTGTGTTAGGGGCCGCCGCGCGTTACGCGCGCGCCTGGGCGTGTTGCGTTACGTCGCGCGCGGCCGCCGGGGGCAGCGCGCCGCGTGCGGGGCGGCGCCCGGCGCTTTTTTTGTCGATAATGCGCTTTGGGCCCGAATCGTTCCCTCTGCGCCCGCGGGGCGCGCCGGAGCGCAGCGCTTTGGCCGTTGCAGTATCGCGCGCGTTGGGGCATCACTTTGACGGGTTCTGACGTTCTGAGCTTACCTTGGGGAGCGCTGTGGCCGGCGCTTGTCGTTTTTACGAGGAGCTGTCTCCTAGCATCCGTAACGCTAGCAGCAGGGCGGTTTTTCCTCCAGCAAGCTTGACCCTATCTCTGTAGCGGCTCTCTACGTCCTCAGAGACGGGTCTTTGTCGGCTTGACACCCGGCACATAGCACCTGTGATGCAGCAAAGCTATCTTTGGGTTGGACCTGCACGAGCGGCGTGTGGTCAACCGTATTAATAGCTGTGAGGCCTCGGAGACACAGCAACCATGCGGTGCTTCGCCGCTGCGCTGTTGGTGACGCCGGCCGTCACGCTCGTGGCGCCCATAGCTAGAGCACCCAGCCAATGCAGCTTTCCAGCGCGGCAATCGACGTTCGCGGTGCCTTCGTAGTGACGCCTTATGTCGACGTGCACGCCATCGATGCGACGCCTGCGCGATGGCGTGATATTAAAGCTCGATTCGGTTCAGTCGGCGCCGCGTCGTCGCCGAGCACGCAGCTGCTCACCCATTTTCAACGCAGGCGTCCTCCAGTCCCAGGCCGAGATCGCGTCCTTCATGGAGGCGACGCTGCCGCAGGACAAGGGCGACACGCTGCCGGCGTCGCCGATCATGGACTTCGAGAAGGGCCCCGAGGGGTTACTTTATAAGGATGATGTGGTAGGCACGGGGCCCTCTCCCACGGTGGGCGACGAGCTCGAGGTCCACTACGCGGGCTGGTACTACGCGCCCGGCTCGACCGAGGGCGTGAAGTTCGACGACAGTCGGGACCGCGACGCCAACAAAGGCCTGATGTTCGAGCTCGGTATTGCGCCCATCATCAAGGGCTGGTCGCTCGGCTTGGAGACGATGAAGCAGGGCGGCAAGCGCTCGCTCATCATCCCGCCGACGCTGGGCTACGGCGACGTGGAAGTGTCGAGTGCGGGCAGACCCTCGATCCCGCCGAACTCGGAGCTGCGCTTCGAATTGGAGCTCGTGACGGTGAACAACGACATCATCCGCAAGATGCGTAGGAGTCTGAACGACTTCCTGCGGCCGCAGGGCTCGGATTTCGTCTCGCCCGAGGAGAAGCAGGCCATCCGCGACGGCACGCTGAAGAAGCCGCTCATCGAGCAGCTGTTCCAGAAGAAGGACTAGGTTTGACGAGTGGGGGCGCGTAAGTGGAGGTGGCGCGTCGACGGCGTTTGGTTGGGGCGGGGCACCTTTGCTGTGCCTGACTCCATTGTTGTCTCAGGCTCGCGGGCCCGCGTCGAATCCGCGTCGGCGCGTCGAGCGGCGGTGCGACCCCCTCCACGACGTCGCCGCCACCCCCCCGCGGCGTCGACGCGACCTCGGCGTCGCCAAGGCTCACAACCTAGTATTCACATGCCGTCTGATTTTGCTTGCTAGTGACTTACTGTCGCTAGCTCGGGGTTGCCTCCGATCAACTAGCTCTGCTCGGCTTTACTGCAACGCAAACATAGCTTTCAGCGCAGCACCGCTCCGCATATTGACCACAGCGGTGGACTGCAGCAGTACAAGAAGTTTCGACGAGCGTTGGGCGACTGACGCCAATTGCACTCTCTCACCCCTGAGAGCAGCCACTTGCAGCAAGAGCAGCGATGCGAATCACACTGCTCGCGGCCACGCTGGCCGCCGCGCGGACGCGGCCGACCGCCCTCCGGGCTGCTCTACGCCGCCGCGGCGGCGACGTCGTCGAGACCGCCTCTGCGAGCTGCAAGCTCTCACCGGGACGAGCGGAAGAGCTCGCTTCATTAAATGAACGGGAGCACGCGGCGGAGTGTATCAAAGTAGAGGGCGAAGCTTGGAGTGGAGACCTCGAACCGGAAGGAGAGATCCCGGCCACGGACAAGTTCGCCATCCCGGATTGGTACCTGCCGGACCTCGATGCGGAACTGCGGAACAACGGAGATGTGGAAATACACGTTACACGCACCCCGCTATTCTCCCAAGAGGAGTGCCAGCACGTGATTGCGATGGCGGACGAACACGCGAACAATGCCGGGGGATGGGGGAAGATCCCCGCGGGGCGGTGCGTATCTCGGCGTCCCGTCGTGTAGAGACGCCTTCACGCCATCGACGCGACTCGTGTCCATCAGACGAGGTCGTGGATGGTTTCTCTTTTGATATCGAGCCTCGTCGAGCGACCGCGACGCGCCGCGCAGGTACGACGTCCACGGTGGCTGGGTCAAGGACATTGTCGGTGTCAAAGAGTGGTTCGACGACATGTTACGGACGAGGCTGTACCCTTGCTTGAGGGGGTTGTTTCCGAACGCTGCCGGAGACGGTTCTTCACTGAGGGTCCAATCGGCCTACCTGTTTAAATATACGGCCGAGACCGGAGCCGCGACAGATGTTCATGTTGATTCCGGGTTGTTGTCGTTCACAATAGCATTGAATGAACCGGAAGCCTATGATGGTGGAGGTACTTGGTTCGAATCAGTAGACAAACTAGTGGAGATGCCCCAAGGACACGTGACTTTCAGGCCTGGTCATGTCCGACATCAAGGAAGACCGCTCACACGAGGCACGCGCTACATGATTGGGGGCTTCATCATGAGGGAAGATGTGGTAGAACATGGTCGTAGAAGTATCGAGCGAGGCGTCGCGGCGTTAGGTGGGGCTGTCGCCGAAGCGAACTTCGCGGCGGCGTCGGGCGAGTCCACCGGTGTGCCTCCCGAACAATTAGCGATCGATGCCTTGGAGCACGCTGTGCAAGTGTGTCCTCGCGTCGCGTCGGCGCAGCTGAACTTGGGGACAGCTAGACAACGTATTGATGATGCGGCGGGCGCCGAGGTCTGTTTCCAGGCTGCTTCTACTTTGTCTCCTCGAGACCCCGCGGCGTTTTTTGGGCGGGGCCAGTGCCTCCGGGAATTGGGGAGGAGGCAGGAGGCCGAGCCGTTGTTTCAGGAGGCCTCTTCCTTAGATGAGTTGGACGCCGACGCGGCGTACATGGCCGCTTTATCCGCTTCTGAAAGAGGAGACTTTGGGTCCGAATTACGGTGGTTGGAGAGAGCTCTGAAAGCGGACCCGAAGCACGCGAAGTCCCTGGTCAACAGGGCGGTATTGTACGGCGAAGCCGGCGACTTGGACAACGAACTAGCGTGCAATCGGAAGGCCGTCGAGGCCAATCCCCAGTCCGCCCTCGCGGCGAACGCCCTTGCCTCATGTTTGGGCATGAGAGGTATGGTCGACGAGTCGCTCGCGGTCTTCGCGCGGGTCTTGGACGGCGCCGGCTGGGGCGACGCCGAGGAGCTCGCGCGGGCGCAGAAGCTGCATGGGGTCGTGACGCGCATGAAGGCGAAGCAGGGGGCTTCTTCCGGGTAAGGATCGTGCATCGACTTTGTTATTTTGTGACGGGGGCGCGCGGTCAGCCGCGGAGGCTCGCGGAGTTTTCTGACCTGGCATTCGTCGGGAACGTGGTGCACACTCGGTATACAGGCCTGATGCGCGTCGAGACGACTGCAAAAAAGGTTCGGGGCGTCCTTGGCGTCAAAGATTTCTCGATCGTTTGATCAAAACGTGCTGGTCCAGCGTCGCATACATTGCTCTCGAGCAGCAGGCCTTGCGCAGTAACATCTCGAGACGACGCTCGCCCCGTTCACAACTTTGCGCGGCACGCGCGGCCGCTTGGCGCGGCGCTTTGGCTTGCCAAAGCCAAGGATCGGCCCAGCGGCCTGTCCGACGGCCCCGTGCAACGAAAGGGCCTCGCGCCTGCTTTTCCGCAGCGCTGCGGCAACCCTCGCTGGCCCCCGCAAGTCGCGAGCCGGTTGCTTCGCGTCAAGCAAAAGTCTCATCATAGATTTGCGGCGAGCGCCTCGCGCTTGACCTGCCCGACCCCGACTCCCACGCCATCGCCGCGGCCACGCGGCAACCTAATCTGTACGCGCCCACCCGCAGACACACAAATCTAAAATGGCCAAGCTCGCTCTCGCCCTCCTCGCCGCCCCGGCCGTCGCCTTCGTGGCCCCCGGCCAGCAGGCCGCCTCCAAGGTCGTCGTCAAGGGCGACATCGGCGTCGACCCCGGGCCGATCACCCCCTCGGGCTTCATGTTCGAGGACACGGAGGGCCTCGCCCGCCGCCGCGCCGTCGAGATCAAGCACGGCCGCATCTCCATGATGGCCTTCCTCGGCATGATGGTCCAGGAGCTCGGCATCACCTTCCCCGGCTCCATGACCCTCGACGGCTCGGTCCAGTTCTCGGACATCCTCAAGGACGGCATGGGCTTCGCGGCGCTCTCGAACGTGCCCACGTTCGGCCTCGCCCAGATCCTCCTCTTCGGCGGCATCGCCGAGACCGTCGCCATGCCGGCGTCGCAGTACACGGGCGGCCCGCAGAACCTCCCGGGCGGCTACGACGGCTCGGCGGGCACCATCCCCGGCGGCTACCCGTTCACGGAGCAGATCACGGACCCCGCCGCGCGCACGCGCGCGCTCACGTGCGAGCTCCAGAACGGCCGCGCGGCCATGCTCGGCACGTTCGGCGCCATGTGCCACTCGTGCGTCGACTCGTGCGACCACCACTTCTTCTACCCGATCACGCACAACTAAGCGCGAGGTCGACTGTGTCGGTGCCCCCGGCGCCCGCGCATGGGCAAGCAAAGCCCGTCGTCCGCGCCGCGTTGGATGATTTAAGAATCGTTGCACGCTAGTCTTTTTCTTTCTTTGGGCCATGTCAGCAAGTTCCCGCGGCTCGGCGCCCGCCGCGCTGTCCCGAATCGCCAGCTAAGGCGACTCTGAGGCTCGGATCTGTGCTTCTATGACTAAAAGCTCGTAGCGCAAGGCCCGCACGCTCACACGCGCACCGCATCGTGCGGGTTTGCAGGATGCGATCCCCCAACTTTGAGCGCTTAAACTCCGTGTACGTGCGCAGTTGGCTAGCATAGGCTTGCACACTGGCTTACGCCATCGACGTGGTGCCCGGTGTCCTGCAGCCGCAACCTGTATAGCGACCAGCGACCTCAATCACAGCACGTACGCACAACTCCAAGCACAGGATGCAACTGCTCGTAGCGCTGGCGACGGGCGCCGCAGCCCTCGTCGCGCCGACGCAGCGCGCGCTGCCGAAGACCGTGCGCCAGTTTAATTTTGGCGACTTCGGCAAATCTAAAGATTACGCGTCGGCACAAGAAAAAATCCGGTCGTACGACACCACAAAAACCGTAGAAACGGCCAAGTACGGCAAGCGCGCCATCCGCGCGACGCAGCTCAACGGCCAGAACGTCCTGAATCCGGAGCCGGCCTGCGCGGCGTTCATCGCCTTCGCGGCGTTCGAGTGCTACCTCTCGGCGCAAGCCTGTGCGCTCGCGGCGTCCCGCTTCACGCCATCGACGCGCGTCGTCTCCAGGAATGGTGAACGTGGGTGGTTTCTTTTTTCGATTCTGAGGCTCCGCGCAGGCGCGGGCAAGTCTTCCGGAGATATTTGTCCGATATCAACAATCAGGGACTGGAACCCCGATTTGGTGACGGGTGGTGTCTTCCTCTTCGTCTGTGCTGTTTGGTTGAACTGGTACGGCACGTTCCGGCGACTGGCGATTGATGAACGAGGCATCGAGGTCGTATCGTGCTCATCACCTCGAAGGGACCCCCAAGAACAAGATATCGAACCAGTCCCGAAGTCCTGGGCCTGGGGCGGCCCCGACCGCGTCGAGTTCAAAGATGTGGATGATTGGGCCATATTACCTGTGGTACCCGTCTTGTATGTGCGAGAGGTCGCGCGGACGGCTTCCGGCTCCACGAGACAAGTGCCCTACTTCTACGCTCCGTCGTTTGACACGAAGACCGTAGAGCAGCTTTTTGAGTCCTATGGCGTGCCTCAGGCCGACCCCGAGGATAGCGTACTAGGCAAAGGCAGCCAGTACGGCGCCGCCGGCGTTTTATCGTATATTGCCTGGGAGTGGGCCTTCTGGATCGGTAGCTTTGGCATCGCTGCTCTCTTATTTAATTTATATGAGGGGCATTTACCGGATTTGAGGTTCGCGGCTTCGCTCGATTTCAATCTGCCTTTGAACCACATCGACTTACTACAAACGAAGAGCGGCATGGTCTCCATTGACTTACCGTCCTTTCCCTTGCAATTTACGGCTACGAATGGCGCCGACTTCGCGAACATTGCCGCGTCGGCTTTTGTTATTGTCAACCTCGCGCGGCTGATCCTGCCGCTGCGGCTGGCTTTGGCTTTAGCCACAGCCCCCTTCTTCCAGGAGACGGTCGTCGCGCCGTTCAACCGGTTGACGGGCAAGGCGGAATAGGTGATGGGTCTAAGTCTACGTCTCCAAGACTGCTGCTAGCAACTATTCCTGAGGCGGCGTATCGACGCTCGCGTCGATGGCGTACTGTCCCCCCACGCCATCGCCGCGGCGAGCGCTGCGTCGACGGCGTACCGGCCCCCAGTCGCGGAAGGACGCCGCGTACGCAGTCGAGCGGGCGTCGCGTCCCACGCCTCAACCGCGACCGCGACGGCCTCTTTGTATTTTTTGTCGGCGTAGTATTGCTCAGCGTTGCCGCCGCGGTGTATTTTCTTGCAGATCTGCTTGTGGCCGCGTCGCCAGTGGTCGTGCTGGCAAGTGGGGCCGCAATATCTTGTGTGACAGCGTACGCATCGCGGCGCGTTGTGGGCCAGTGGGGCGGCGCAGGCGGGGCAATTTGTGAGGATCATTTTGCGTTGGCGGGGAGTCTGTAGAGCGTTCGTCGCGGCGGCGTTTTGTGAGTTGAAAAATTCGGGTTTTCCAGGATGGGCTCAGAAACACACGTAGGTACTTACACAAACACATATCGATAATAAACGCACGCCACCACGCCGGCGGCGGCGCCTCCTCGTCATGCAGCTAGAACGCGAGGGCAGCTTTCCGCGCCTCCGTACGCGAGGAGGCGAACGACCTTCAGGTCCAGTGCGACGATGGCCGCGTACCAAAGGCATGGCTCCACACCGGGGAAAAAGAATACCCCTGGAAAGCTAGTGAGCCACTCCAGCAGCGACGGCGATTGCCAGATCGTTTGCCAGTACTCGACGTCGTCCCAACGCGCGACGAGCCACGCGTAGCCTGAGTCCCAACGCTCGATGAACCGCGAGTACCAACGCTCCACTAACCACCCGCCGAACAGTAAAAATAGAAATGCGACGTATAGAAACGGTGCCGCCTTGCATAACATGAGTATCGAAAGTAGAGAAACGGTGCCAAAAGACCGTCGCTCGGCGCCGTGCAGGCGGCCCACCGCCGCCGCCGTCAGGAAAAAGGGGATGCAGCAAAATGAGAAGTCATTCCAGTGGTAGGCCAGCCGGGCGCCGGCGCACGCGTTGGCCGCGATGCAGACGGCCGTGAGGGTGCGCCGGCCACGGCGCAAGCAGGCCCGTACGCCGATCGACGCGGCGCCCACGAGCAGCAGGAACCCGAGCGGATGCGTGAAGGCCACAGCTCCGATAGTCTTGAGTAACGCGCCGAGTTCTTCCCCGTCGAGGGACCCGCTGCCGTCCGCGTCGAGCCCCGCGAAGAGCTCCCAGAGTTCCGCGGGGGACATGAGGCATACGGGCTTGGTTTCGGGTTCTGGCTCCGGGCGCCATACCCTCAGACCAATTAGTGCAGCCAGGTTTAGGGCGATGAAAATTTGCAGCATGGCTATGGTCTATGCTGTTTCGTTCGTCGTTCGCCGCATTTATGCTGCTTTTGGGCTGCCCCGGTCCAGGCAGCCAAGCTGAAATAGCTGCCAAGCAGCCCAAGCATAAGCATGCTCGATCCTGGAAGTGCGGGTTTGCAGAACTTTCCGCGCCCTACGCCGGCCGCGCTGCCGTGGGGACGTCTAGCACGCCCTAGTCGGGAGCGCTGGCGCGACGTGTTTTGCTTACAATGGCAAGGCGCGCCGGCGGCGCCGCGGAACGTCCGAACTCCGTGTCCGATGTTAAATGCCCCGATGTACACTAGGAAGTAGGTCATCAACAGCAATAGCTTATGTTCTTGGGCTATCGTGGACGGGGGAGGGGAATGCGAGGAAGAGGCGCGACCGAGCGGCGCCGTGAAATCGATGTCAACAAACCGCGTCGCTCATTGCGGCCGACGCATGGCCGCCTCCCACGCGTTCGCCTCGGCCGACGTTCCGCGCGCCCACGTGGGTTTTCGCCACGATTCGTTCGCCGGCGACGACGCGGGAGATTCCGGGGCCGGCGACGCGGGAAGCGCGTTCGCCTGGCCGTAGCGCGCCCACGCTTCGGCCTCCGCCGAGGCTCCTCGGGTCCAAGCGGGCCGGCTCCACGTCTCGCCCGTCTCCTCGGTGGGGCTGCCCAGGGAAGCAAAGGACTGTCGGGGCAGCGTCGGCGGCGAGGGCGGCGCGGCGGGCATCTTGGCGAAGCGTGACTGCGAGGTGTTCATTTTTAAATGATTTTTTAGTTTGCGTTCGAGTTTGGTACTGCTTTGGCAGCCTTTTATGATCGATCTGTTTGAGAGCTGAGAGCCGAGGATCTAGGAGTGTTCCTGGGAGGCCAGGCAACTTCTTGAGCCCAACCACCCTGATACATCTGGCGAGCCGTCCCGGCGAGGCCTCCGGACGGCTCGCCGCGGCGGTCGTAGCTCTTCGGGGGAAAAAGCCCAACTCCGTCCTCGGAAAGGTACAACAAACATAGCTTACACGTCCTTCCGCGCCGCCTTACAGACGACGTAGTGTGCCCCGTAGTCGCGCTTTTGACAAACCGCGCCGCAGTATGCACTCAAACCGCACGCGCCGCAGGCGAAGCACTTCGCCGCGCCGCAGACCACACAAACGCGCTCGCCGCGCGGGCCGTCGCCCCTTGAGCGCGCCCTGCCGACGCGGGCTTGCGCCGCCATGACACCGAACAGCTCCGGCTCGAAGCGCCCCTCGTAGTTGGCCGCATTGTCGCGCGCGCGGCACGCATCTTCAAAAAGCCGCGTTCTATCGTCCTCGTCCTCGTCGCTCTCCTCCTCGGGCTCAATAAGCTCCGGGGCGTCCCTTCTCACAGCCACCTTCCTATCATTATCCAGCAGCACGTGGTACGCCTCTCCATCAGAACCGCGGTGGGCCACGACTTTACCGGAAAGCCATTCCTCACCAACGAAGACGCGGCAGCGCTGTTGTAAACCGACGCGCCGCCCCGCATATCGTTGCGACCCGCACGCTAACAGTCGATCCAAGACTTGCGCCTGGTAATTCGAATTCGGGCCGCCCGCTTCGTCCGGACAGCCGCCGACACCACTCACGACGACGACGCCCTTATTCTCGTCATCTACAGTGCTCACAAGGGTAATGGTGTGCTCGAAGGCGTCCTCGCCCCTCCCATAGACGTAGCCTACCGTATCACCTTTCTCTCGCAGGACCTCGCCCAGCTTCGTAGCCCGGGGGTCCAAGCCATCCAAAACCAGGGCTAGATGCGCGTCCCTCTCGACAGCATCCGTGCCTCTCTCATAATAGCCCGGCGCCTTGCCTCCCAGAGGCGTCCACGTACAGCCGTCCTTGAAATCAGTAAACGCGTACGGCTGTTTTCCTGTAAAACCTAATGAAGGTGCCAGGCAACACGCGTGGGCCTGCGCCAGACTATATGAAGCGTCGCACCGTATGATACGTTGAACGGGCGGCTTTAGAGGTTGGATAGGACCCTCCTGCAAAAACGCCGCGACCTCCACTTGTATTTCTATCCTACCAGTCGTCGCCGCCGGCTTCTTCCGGCGGCGCATGAGCGCATTCACGAACTGCCGTTCCGGCGCCGGCCGCCAGTCCTTGGGTTTGTCCGCGTAGAGCTCCCGCACTACTCCTCTTCTCCTCAACGCCTTCACGGGATCGATCACGGGCAGGCCCCACCGGACACACCTCCCGTGTCGTTGTTGTGGTTTGAAAACAGACGCGTCGCCCTTAAACACGTCGTCCACATCTTTCCAGTCGTCGCCTACGCACGCCTTCGCGGTGCCTTTCTGGCGCGCTTTGCGTTGCCGCTCCACAACTTTTCGAGCGTAGGCCGACGCTTCCAGGGACGGGCCCTTGTAGCGCTCGACGGGCGGCGTCGGCGCGTCGTCGTCCGAGACGTCTATATTGGCAAATTTGCTGTAGTCGAGCACCATGCTCGCAGGTCTCGAGTGCGGCGCTCGCAGCAATCTCGAGAGATGCGCAGCGATGAACAGCGGTGGTGGGTCGACAAATGAAATTCACGATGCAGCCTTCCGCCAAGCTGTGCGCACTGTAACACTGCTTTGCGGCCAAGCAAAGAGCCAGGCTAGCGGCTGTAAGACACTAGCAAACGGAAAGAATTGCGGGAAGAGTCGTTCTCCGTGGATAGGAGGAGTGCCGAGGAGCCATGCGATCGCTCCAGCGAGCCCTCCCGCCGCGCGTCATCTCGGAGCGTTGCTTTTTGGCAAGCAAGCACGGGAGCAAAGAACCCAACCTTCACACGCGATGGAGGCTGCCCCACCGCCACCGAAGCGGCGCTCCGTCGGCGGCGACGCCACCAACACGGCACCCGAAACGGCTGCCTCGCGCAAGCGCAAGAGCACGGACGCTGCCGACCCCATGATGAGGGCCGCTACCGCGCGCCGCCGGAGCCTCGGCGGCAAGCGCAAGAGCCGCGGTAGCCCCACGACGACGGACGCCACAGGGGCCGCCTCGCGCAAGCGGACGAGCGTCGGCGACGGAATGACGTCGCGCAAGCGCCGGAGCCTCACAAGTGACGAGGGCGTCGCGAGCCGCGTCAAGCGGCGCCGCTCGCTGGAAGGGGCGCCCCTCTTCTCGCCGCCGGACAAGGAAGCAACACCAAAGAAGGCGTCGCCGGGCGCCGCGGAGCTGAGCTTTTTCTCCCCGGCGGCGTCGGCGAAACGCAGCAGGGCTTGGAGCGTCCGCTGTTCGGCGCGCCGCGCGGCCGACGCGTGGTCAGAGCATGATGGATGGCTCCCTTCAAAGGGTGAGGAAGAGACTTTCATGACCCTGGTCGAGAGCCGCGGCTGCCCGCCGGCGAAGCGGTTGGAGGCCTGGGCGGCCTGGGCCTCGGGCCCTTCAACAGAGTTGCTCCTGGAACTGAGTAGCGACGCAGCGCTCGAGACCCAAATTAGTAAAGACGTCAAGCGGACGCTGCGGGGTACTCCTTACTTCCGCGACGGAGATGGCGCCACGTATCTGGCCGCCTTCCTGCGGACGCGCGCGGCCGAAGACACGAGTGTTGGCTACGTCCAGGGCATGAACTACGTCGCGGCGTTCTGCCTATTGGTCGCGCGCGGCGACGCCGACGCCGACGCGAACCCGGCGCCGACGGCTCGCGACGACGCCGCGCGCGCCTATGATGCCTTCCGGGCGCTCACCGGGCTGTGTCGAGGCTACTACGTCGACGGCTTCCCGGCGCTGCACCGCGACGTCCGCGTGTTCTCAGATCTTCTGAGCGAGCACCTGCCCGAGATCGCGGCGCATTTGGAGAAGGTCCGCGCCGAAGCGATGACGTACGCCCCGCGCTTCTTGATGGCCCTCTTCTTGCACATGCTACCCGGCCACGTCGTCGCGCGGTTACTGGACTGCGTGCTCGCGGCTTCAGCGGTGGACCCCGCCGGCGGGAGCGACGCGACGTCGGCCGTGCTCGTGCATGCACTGCTGGCCGTCGTTGCGGCTGCCAAGGACGAGCTGGTGGCTACCGACGACTTCTGCGCGGCGCAAGCGGCGCTCGTCCGCGCCGCGCGGAATACCCCAAGCTTCGAGAAGCTCCGACGCCGAGCGCCGTGCTCCGTTGAGGCCTGCCGAGCTGCGCTGACTCGGCCAGTTCCCCCACCGCAAGCGCCGCCGTCACGGTCGCCGCAGCGCCTCTTCCCTCTACCCCCTCCGCCGCCGGCCGCGCCGCCGACGGGCATTCTCCAGAACCTACGATCGTGGTTCGAGAACGACGAGTATGCCACCGACACCATGCGCCGGCCCCGCCTCTCGCCGCGGCCGCGCCGGTCGGCTAGACGGTCGGCCGGCGTGGAGCTTTCCACGTTCGCCCAGAGAGCTGCCTCGCCCGTACGGTTCGCGCTCGAGGCGCTGTCGCCCGCGCCGGTACGGGGGGACAATCCGCTGAGCCGTTGGGTCTAGTAACAACAGAGATCACTTATACACCGAGCGCGGCTCTTCGCGGCACCTCCCAGACGCGAGCGAGCGTGTGAAATTCCCCGCGCTCGCCGAAGGCGTCGAGGCCGTGAGGCGTCTCGAACTCGCCGAAGCGCTCGCCGACCGCGACCGTGTCGACCGTCGTGGCGGACACGTCGCACGGCACGCCCGACGCGCGCAGATCGGCACTGAGCTCTTCGTAGTCCGCATGCCAGAGCGGAAAGTGGAGGTCCGCGCCGAGATTAGAGAGCGCCTCTTCGCGCCAGCCGCGAATATGTTCCAGGTGCAAATCGCCGAAGCAGAGCCTCTCAATGGCGACGTGCCGGCGGATCGCGTCCAGGCCCGCCCGGATCGAATCCGCGTAGGCCTCGCCCGACGCGCGGTCAAGGGGAACACCGAGCAGCGGCAGTCCGAGGTGCTCGGCCTGGCGCACGATCGACGCGATGTCGACGTCCTGATGAGCTACTCGTCGTTCGCTGGCGTCGAACGTCGTCAGCAGAATAATCTCGGGGTCGGACTCGTCGGCAAGGAGTTTTCGCAGCGCCAGGAACGAGTCCTTGCCGCCGCTCCAGAACAGCACGGCCGCGGACGCGACGTCGGGCGGCGGCGCGAGGAGCCACGCCGGCCGCGAGATCTTCTTCGCCCGGTCGCGCCGCACGTTAACGTGGTCGAAGCAGCAGTGGCGGCAGCCGCTGCCGCAGCACTTGCCGCGTGACTCGTGGGCCAGCGATGTGAAGACCGAGTAGCCCGTCGCCGGGTCTTCGTACGTCTCTTTGCCGGCGGCGACGGCCGCGGCGTGCGCCGCTGCCCAGCCCTCGCCGCCAGGCGCAGCGGCGACGCCTGCCGCCGCGAGATCCCCGTCGCCGCCCGCACCACCGCTACCCGTCACCGCCGCGGCGACGCCTGATGCGGCGAGCCCCGCATCCGCCGCGACCGCCGCATCGCCAGACGCCGCGGCGCGACCCGCGCCAGTCGCAGCGGCGACGTCGACGCGACACCATCCAATGCCCTCTTCGGGCAAGTCCTCCGCGGCGAGCTCCAGGGGCCCGTGTGCGCACCGCGCGACCAGAGCGGCCCCAGCCGCCAGCGACTGCGCCGGCCGAGCGAAGTAGCGGTTGCCGTCGACGGCGAAGACTCGGCCGTCACGCGCGGCCCGCAGCTTCGAGAGCGCCGGGGCATGCGCGACGGCGTCTGAGACATTGCGCCGAAGGTCAAAGCCACAGCATGCGACCACGACGACGTCCGCGTCCGCCGCCGCCACCTCATCCCAGGACATCCCCGTCGACCGGCCGCCAGCGGCGTTCCGCGCCGGGACGCATCCGGCGGCCTCGATCTGCTCTGGCACCCAGTGGCCCCCGTCGAACGGCGGGTCGAGCCACTCGAGCAGCAACACGCGCGGCCGGGAGCTGCTGGCCGCCTCGGCGGCACGCCGGACGCGGTCCAAGTGGTCGTAGAATTCTGCCACTAGATCTTCGCCGCGTGCCGGTACGCCGCACGCCCGTGCGACGGTTTTGAAGGACTCCGCGACGTCGTCTATCGTCGTCGGCTCCAAGTTGGCAACTACCGGCGCAACGTCCGCCGCTGTGAGGACCGCCTCGACAGCACTCGTCGCCGGCGCACAGACCCCGCACAACGTCTGCGTCAGGAGCACCGTAGGAGCAGCTCGCGCGACCGCCGCCGCGTCGACGCCGTACAGCGCGCCGTCGCCGCCTTCCTTGAGAGCTGCCTTGACGCGCCGGTCGATCTCGCCCTGGGGTAAGGCGTGCGGATCGATGTCCGACGTCGTCACGCGCTCGCAGCCCGCCTCGAGGACCGCTCGCAGGCGGTCCGCCGTCGGTGCCACGTCGCACTCGTGCGACACGCCCACTAAGTGACCTTCTAGGCCGAGGCCGCCGACAATTTCCGTCGCGGAGGGTAGCAGGCTCATGATGCGTGGCGTGCTCGAGGCGCGCCGCAGCGCTCGCATCAATGCGCGCGCGTGCGACGACCGCATGGCTGCACTCGCCGGAGAAGTGGTTTTGCAGGGCGCCTGCAAGTTGACCTGCGGTGGCGCTTTGCCGGCGCTCCGATAGCTAGCGTCCTGTAAGACACTAGCAAGCGGTCTCAGCAATTGCGTCCTAGTCCAGCCGGACGGGTGGGCCCGGGGGGAGCGGGAGGGGACGGGGGACCCCACGACGTAACTATCCTGAGCCTGAGCGGTAAATTTAGCCCTAGGTCATCGCCCCATCGCGTTCGCGACGGCCTTCACCGCCGCCGGCACCTCCTCATGCCCGTCGAGCAGCTCGAAGGCCGGCGCCGCCCAGCCGCGCGCCACGAGCTTCGCCAGCTTCATGTCGCCCGTGACGCCGTAGACGGGCACGAGGCCGCCGGCGCAGCGGCCCAGGTCCCGCAGGTACTGCTCGAGCAGAGGCACCGCCACCGCCGCGCCGAGCGCCTCGAACTGCCGGAGCGGCTCGATCAACAAAATGGCGCCGTAGGTCGCGTCGGCGCTCGCCTTCGGGAGGCTCCGCACGGCCTTGATGTTGGCCCCAAAGCTCTCGTGGCAGCGGATCCACCGCGTCGACGCCGCGGCCGCGGCGGCCGTCCGCGAGTGCTCCTCGAGCTGGACGCACTCGAGCACGATGATGCCGTCGCCGCGCGGCAGCGGCGGTGCCGCGGGCTTGCGGCGCGACGCGAGGATCGAGGCGACGACGACGACGAGCGCCACCAACACACCGATTGTGGTGGCGTCGATGAAGGGGCGGCCGTCCATTGTTTACGGTGCGCTTTTGCAAGCGGCGCCGCGTCAGTAGTGGTGGTGGGCTTGCTGTGGCAGGCTGGGTGCTTGCAGATGTGCCTTGCGTACGGAGTTACGCTATATCGTTGCACGGCTATTGCAAATGGATTTGAAACGCACGTCTCCCGGCTTAAGCGTGGCTTAGGGGCTTCGGATGGGACAATTGCCAGGCATCAAGAGTCTGATCTCAGGTCGATTTCTCCCATCGCGCAACACTCTCCCGATGCTCCAGGCCGTCAAATCAGGGGTCTTTGTCGCTGTTGATGCATATTGCATCCTGCCCTTGCTTGCTAGTGTCTTACATGCCGCTAGCGCGATTATCTGGCGTGAGTTTTTGACAAAAACGAGGCAAACAGGGGCTGCGGAGCGCCTGGCAACGCTAGGAGTAGCTCAAAGTACCGACGCCTTGCCCCGGATCACCGCTGCGCGCGAAATCGCTGCGCGCCACGACGCAGCAGAGCTGAAACCAGCTCCAGCCCCACTGGAGGCGACGCGCACGCCGACGCAGCGCGCTACAGAAAAAAGGATGACCCTCACGACCGCGGCCCTCGGCTCGCTCAGCGGCCTCTTCATCGGCGTATTCAGCAATGGAGTAAGAAAGCTCCCGCTGTTTCGGCGGCCGTGGGACCACCTGATCCTCATGGGCATCATGGGCTACGGCGGCCACAAGTACCCGCAGCTCGAGGACGCCACCTTGGAGCGTGTCAACGCCATGCGCGCGGCGCGCAAGTTGGGTCCGCTGGACAAGAACGTCTGGGGCTTGGCCGTCTCGAAGCAAGAGGCTTCACAGAATAAGGATTAGATGTTTAGGTCCCGCGGCTCGCGCCACCCCTCCCTCATCAACGGTGGCGCTAATCTTTCTTCGGCGTCGGCGATGGCCTCGAGCTGGTCCGCGAGGTCGCCGACGCTCGAGTACGTGAGCGCGTAGTCGTACATCGGTATAATGATGTCGTTGCCGTTGTCGTCCGCACCAATACGCGTTTCGGCGAGCTGGGCGTCGTGCGTGTCCCACCGCTCATGCTGCTGCACGCGCACGACGAGCGGCTGCGTTTGATTCAAAGCAAACGCCGTCCGCCGCGCGGCGCCGGCCCGATCAGGACCCGCCACACAAACGACCGCCGCGCCGCCGACGCAGCGCGTGCACGCCTCGCCGACGGCCCCGAAGGACGTACAATGGAGCCCGTCGTGCTCGAACCACTCGTGCCGCGACGCGCCCGCGTCGATGCGGCCCTGCGTTATTCTGGGGCGTTTTGCGTTCGGATCTTCCTCGGACACGAAGATGTCCTCGCCTTCCAACGGAGCCGGCGCCGGGCCCTGGACAGCTGACAACGCGCCGTAGCCCGAATCTAAAACAGGCAGAGGCGGCAGCTCCGGGTCCTTCGCCAGCACGTACTGCGTCTTCGGTCGCGCGAGATGCGGTCGCCGCGCCACCAGCACGCCGCAGGCCCTCCTCAAATCCTTGGAGTCGTGGTCGTCGTGGCACGAGATGATGACCGCTCTGACTGGAGAGCGGGCGTCGACCATGGGAGTAATGGGGTCGACGGGCGCCGGCGCGGGTGCCGGCTGTGCCGCCTCATAGGCCGCCCACCGCGCGTTGACCAATCGCTCGACGAGCTCGGGCTTCGTACCTACTATATCCTCTCCACAGGCTTCCAGCGCCGCCTTGAGCTCCATGATATCCAAAATCTCGGCCTCCATCGTCGCGGTATCAACATCAAAAGTCTCGGGCTCGCGCGGCCGCATCTGTCCCAGAAAATGGTCGCGCGCGAAGACGTAGAAGTCCGCGGGTTGTTCGGTGAGAGCCGCCTCGAAGAAGTCCGCTATCAATGTAGTCACTTCGGGGTTGCTCTGCATGTAGGCCTGCGAGTGCGCGACGCGCTCCTCGGAGCGCTCGCGCATCTTCCGCTTGATGGCCAGCATTTCTAATTCTAATTCAGTGTGCTGTTTTTTGACCGGTTGGATCTCCTGCGTGTCGAACATGCCTTTTGTGTCTGCCATGGTCGCTTGTTACTGGATGGTTGTTTGTTACTGGGGCAGCCGTGCGGACCGGTCGCGGCGACGGCGTCACGGGGCAGCCGTGCTACAACGTGGAGGCTGCCTCGAGCCGTCCGCTCGTCTTTGTGGCAAACTAGCGCTCGGTTTGGAGCGCTCCAAAATGGTCGCGTGCGGGTTTACGATGCGATTATACGACTGGCAAGAGACGACGCTCCTCCTCGCAAGCATAAGTATATACGACTACTACTCACATTACAAAGAAGACCCACGTCACCGCCGCGCGTCGCAGTAGGCCGCGGCCTTGGCGACGACGTCGTCCATGCGCGCCCGGCTCCGCAGGCCGAACAGCGTGATGCGGCCCGTCTCCAAACACATCTCCTCGAGCTCGATCTCCTCCTCCGTGTTGTCGTCGAGCGCGATGGCGTTCGGCCCGCGCTCGCAGCTGCCGCGGCACTTCACGGTCTGCACGAACAGGTCGTCTCTGCCGCATGCTTCGACGCGTTCGAGGAGCGTGCAGTAGTCGTCGCCCGGAATCCACTTTGGTACCACTCTTCCGACCTCGAGACCCTTGCCGGGCTCTTTCCGCGACTTCCAGGCCTGGTATTTCTGTTTGCACATGCGGCCGCCGCATACTCCGAACGTTAATCCAGTCGTTCGTCCCAGCAATAATGCCCACAGCAGCATTTTATTGCGGTGCTGAAAGTGCACCTCTGTCAGGATTGACAGAGATGCACTGCCAGAGCCCACGCGTTGACAGCGTTTCTCTAAGCACCTCACTTACTACCACAGATGCTCTGTCGCTACAGCAGCTTGCTGCCGTCGAGTTTGGTGCCTTGCTAGTGTCTTACATGCCGCTAGGGTGCCATACAAAACTTTTGCCTTGCCGGCCGCTTATTGTGCGCCTGGCTCAAGGCAGGAGCTAGATTTGTTCTAGAACCAACAGCACGTGTGATGCCGGCATCAGTGGCAGGCTAGTTTCCGTGGAAATCATCGCCCAGCACACGTGCTTCCATCGGGAAACCGGAGCAGCCGTACAATGGACGCTGGCATGGATGCTCGCACAGCGAGTGACCACGCCTACGGCTCGGTCCCATCGCTTGATAACGGTGATGGCGACGCGCCACCGCGGCGGCGCTGCGTCGCCGCCGTCAGCCTCGGCCTCGCCTGCATCTCCGCGTGCGTGCCGCTCGCGAACAAGGCTGTATTAAGGCACGGCGCGAAGAAGGCGGCCCTCACGATGACGGCGTGCCAGCTGTTCAGCGTGGCTTTAATATGCGGGCTCATCCACGCCGTTATTGCGTGTAAAAACGGGGCGCCGCTGCGCCTGTCGGAGGTCCGTCGCAAGGCGCGGAACATCGGCCCGCTCGGCGTCGCGTTCGGGCTCAAGCTCGGCGCCACGAACGTCGGTCTGGCACTCGTATCAGTGGAGATGCACGTCTTGCTGGCGGCGACGGACATTCTTTGGGTTGCCATCTTCGCGCGACTCATCAACGGCGAGCGGGTCCGCAACGTCACGGGCGGCCTCGCGCTGGTCGGGTGTTTTTTGGGGGCATGCCTGGTCTCCACGGACTCGTACGACGCCGGGCGCCACGTCGCGGTTTATGCGGTGGCGCTGAACCTGGTCGGGCCCGTGATCCAGGGAATTGTGGTCACGCTGCTGCGGCGGTCGGCGACGCGCGAGGTCGCTCGACAAAACACGTCCTACGTCGAGTTTACCTTCGTCAAGCTCGCTTTTTCGACACTCACGGCCGGCGTGCTCGCCTTGCTGATCGAAGGCGTCGCCGACGCGCGGTCCTGCGTCGTCGCATTACTTGGCGACGCTCCCAGGTTCCTCACGACCGTCGGTCTCATCAGCGGGGTGCAACTACTCTTCACGGTATTGGCGACACTGGCCTCAGGAACGAGTGTGGGAGTAGTAGGCACGGTCAAGATCATTCCCCAGTGGCTCCTGGCCTTCACCATGGATGGCGCCAGTATTGACCCGAGGCATCTCATAGGTGTGTGCCTCGTGACGCTCTCGGCGTGCGCCTGGGCTTTGAGCGGTGGCGTGTCGAAATCTCCCCCGCGGCTGCCAAGCCGCGTGTTGTTTGTGTGATCGATCTATCCGAGTCGTCGCTCCTAGTCGTGTATTAAATTTATTAGGACTCTACTACGCGTCCTCCGCCTCCGACTCCTCCGACTCCTCTTCAGACTCCTCCTCGTCCTCCTCGGCTTTCTCCTTGGCCAGGTCGACCACGCATTTCGCCTTGCGCACGACGGCCCCCGTCGACGTCAGCCGATAACCCCCCGTCAAACATTCGGCCACCTCGGCGGCCTCCTTCTCGGAAGGCCTCGACTCGACCGCTTCATGGCGCCACGGCTCGTACGCGTCGCCCGCACTCGCTTCAAATTCTTCCAGCCCCAGGAGCTTGAACTGCTCCAGCAAGCCCGAGGAAATGAGCTCGAAGTCCGAATGGACCTTGGCCTCGTCGTCGTCGCTCGGGGGTTCACTTCGGGCCTCCTCGAACGCCAACAGAACCTTGTCAAAAATTCTAAACGCGTCGGCCTTGGCCACCTCGGCGACACTTTCCTGCTGCTTCGCGGCGTTCTTCTTGTAGGTGCTGACGTCGGCCACTATTCTATAATAGCCCGCTTCAGAGGCTTCGGCGGCGGCGCCGTTCGCCCTACTTAATTCCAAGCGCTTCTCCTTGAGCTGGGCCTCGAGCTGGGCTATTTCCGCTTTAACTTCGGCGTTCGGGTCCTCCCCCTCCTCTTCCTCCTCCTCTTCGTCGACAGTTTCCTCCTCCTCGGCGACGGCCTCATCGGCCTCGTCCGACGCGGCCTCCTCGTCGGCGACGGCCGTGTCGTCGTCTCCCTCTGTTGCGCGCAGCGCGGTTATTCCTGAGTATGCGCGCGCGACGCTTGGTCGCGTCGCGCGCGCGAGGGCCGGCGTCCTCACCCGCAGTGCTGGCTGCAAGGCGGAGGCGACGGTGAGGAAAGCGGCGGCGACGCCGCCTGCCAACAGGCGCCGTCGCGGGCGCGCCATTATTGTCAATTGATGCCCGTATTGACGCTACGGACGCCTGTGCTCTGCCGTCGCTGTGAGTTGCTCTGCTCTGCCGCTTGCTAGGGATGCCTAGTGTCTTACAGGCCGCTAGTATACGCGGCATCCATCCACGAACACCAACCGTACATGACTTCACACTAAGATTACTACACACAGCAGGCAGAGAGAGGAACTACCGCCCGTCCGCGCCGGGCGCGAAGTACGAGTGGTACGTGTCCACGGCCACCAACGTAAGGCAGTAGGGCACGTACCGTCGTAAACCCGGCGTTATTGATAAAGGCGCCGCACCCACCATTGTGGCGGTCCCTACCTTTACCTCGGGATAATCGACGCCCGCGAACCCGAGCCCCGTCTTCACGGTCTGATAGATCCCAAAAAATCCGGCCACGATGACCGCACTTCTACCCATCTCGTGGAAGGCGACGCGTGGCAAGTCCGTTTGCTTCACCGTTCCTCCCTTGAAAAGCTTGTACGCGTCCACCGCTCCGACGGTGAAGCCCGTGACCGTGCCGCAGATGATACCGAAGACGGCCCGTCGCCAGAACTCCTCGAAGGTCACGGTCTTTGGTGGTTTTGGTGTTTGCGGCATGGTTATTGCTTTGCTTTTTGTGGTGTGGTGGAGTCGCTGTGTGCGCCTCGACGTCGCAGCGATGGCGTGCGCGCTTCAGGTTTCGCAGCGATGTAGTAGGTGCTAGGCGCCGTACGCAGCTCAGTGGAGAAGCGCTGTCGGCTACGCGGCGGCTGCGCACACTTTCTAGTGTCTTACAGGTCGCTAGCCACTGCAATCGACGCTCGAAAAAAGGGTCTTTACCACAGCCATTGCTCGATATATTTGTCTGGCAACAACCTGGGCTGACAACTCTTGCAGTGCAGCATAACGCGCATTGCTGTGCTGCACCGCTGCACTCGCTGCACTGCGCTGCAGTGCAGCACTGTAAGCGATGGAAGAACTCGCCGTCAGCGTCGACCTCTTCCTAGACAAACCACGCGAAGTAGAAAACCAAAAATTGATTTGTGCCGCCTGCGCCGCGGATAAAACACAATGCATCTGCCCCGACGACCGCCGCGACCGCAAGGCCACGAAGAGGAGGACGCGGCTCCTGCATATGAGAGGCGTGACGTTAGGTGTCTGCGCGCACTGGATGCCGCGCAAGGACCGGCCCTGCGGCTTCCCGCCGCCGCCGGGCCGTAAATGGTGTAGGGAGCACGACCCCGAGCTTTTTGGTAGAGACGAAAGGATGCCTTGTCCGATTGATCCGTCCCACAAAATTTTTAAGAGGGATCTGGAGGCGCATCTGAAGGTCTGCGAGACGCGTAAAGATAGGGAGCGGATTTTGGGGAGGCCCTGGTATTCTGAGGGCTGCAACGCCGGTGGTTCTGGTGAGCTCGGAAATGACAAAGAGATGGGCGAGAAGGAGCTGCTGGATAAACTCAGGCTGGCCGCGTCTGATAAAGTTGGCGAGGGCGCGACGGGCGTCAAGTCGAAACGCGCTAGACATAAAACGCAAGCTTCGTTGATCGTCGACACGGCTCTAAGGATGGCGCCCTCTCTGTTCAAGGGAGACGACGTGGCCGTCGTCGATTTAGGAGCGGGCAAGGGCGGCCTCGCTGATGCTGTTGTCGCCCACAGGCAGCCACAAGCTGTCGTCTTCGTGGAACGCGAGTCCCGAAGGCACAAGGCCGACGGCAAATTAAGGAGACTGGAGGACTTGGAGGTAGAAAGGGTGAGAGGCGACCTCGCGGACGTGGATTTAGCCAGAGTAGGCACGCTGCGGGGCCGCGTCTGCGTCGGCGTCGCCAAGCATCTCTGTGGAAGCGCGACCGATTTGGCTCTGAATGCGTTCGTTGCTTTAAGCGAGGCGCGCGGCGTCGCCGTGGCGACGTGCTGCCACCACCGCTGCGAGTGGAGCTCGTACGTGGGCCGCGACTACTTCCGCGCGAAGACAGGAGGCTCCGCGGCCGATTTCGCGCGGATCGCGCGGTGGTCGTCGTGGGCCTGCCAGGTCGCGAACGGCACGACGGGAGAGCACGCGGCGCCGGTCTGCGCCGACGACCTGCGCGACTATACATCAGAACAGAAGCGCGAGATCGGCCGGCGCTGCAAGGCTTTGTTGGATGCGGGGCGCCTCGACTTTTTGCGGCGCCACGGCCTCGCGGGGGCGCGGTCGGCGTACTGCGACGTCGAGCTGTCGCCGGAGAACTGGCTCCTCGTGGCCGAGCGCCGGTGTGTTCCATGCGCCGACGCCGCGCCTCAGGTGGTGCGCAAGTCGCCGTGCAGCCCAGTGTTGCCCCGGACGCTGGAGGAGGGGGTCTGTGGTTGTGTGGTCATCTAAAAATATTTTTAACGTACAACAAGGAGCGCCTCGGCCTCCGCCCGAATCCCCAGGAACGCCGCGGCGCTCGGGGGGATCGGAGCGCCGCCCGCCACATCCCTCCCAATATTCTCGAGGCGCCGCGCGAGGGCCTCGAGTTGGGCCGCGTGGCGCGGCGGCGCCGGCTTCGCGGGAAGCGGCGGCAGCAGCGCGTCGACGGCGGCGGCCGCGAACGCGTCGTCGCGCGGGGCCGGCGGCGGCGGCGGCGGCGCGTCGGTGACGCCGGCGAGCGCGAAGAACTGCTGCGCGAGCGACGCCGGCGGCGGCGATGGCGGCGCCGCGGGCGCCGCGGCGTCGCGCGTCGCGAGCGCCTCGGTCAGCGCCGCGACCCGCCGCTCGGCCGCATCACAACGTTCGTCGGCGCCGCGCCGCGCGCGCAGCGCCGCGTCGCGCCGCGCGCCAGCCGCCGCCGCCGCCGCTTGAGCCGCGTCCTCCCGCGCCGCCGCTTCCTCAAAAGCCGCCTCCCTCAAAGCCGCGCGCTCTTCCCGCCGCTTTTTGGCGGCGGCGACGGCGCCCAGCACGCCCTTTCTGGAGGCGAATGCATTTGAAGCCGCGGCCAGCGTCTCGGCGTAGTCGTCCGTCCGCGCGGCCTTGGCTAACGTGGCGCCCGCGGCCAAAGCCACCGCCCGTAATGCCTCGACGAGCTCCGTGGCGTCGACGTCGTCCGCGGGCGCGGCCTCGATTAATTTTTCAACAAACGCTTGGGCCGCCGGCGCCACTTGAATAGCGAGCTGCGCGGCCTTGGCCGCGTCGCCGCGGTCGTTCGGCGCCTCGTCCCTCCATAAGTCGAGCTCCCTCAGGATATTTCTAGCGGCGCTATCGTTCTGGCCGCGGATGTCGACGCAGAGGTGGGCCACGGCGTTCGCGGAGGCGAAGGCCGCAGCCACGACATCATCTGAATCTTTGACTGAGAGGGGTCTCAAAGTCTCGAGGGACGCGAGGGCCTCCCCAATATCGTCGTCTGATGAGGTTTGTGAGGCCCCGCGCGCGTAGTAGGCGAAGGCTCTTTGTGGAGATTCTGCTAGCACGACGCGCGCCTTGGCCAATAGCACGCCCCGCGCGACGTCCTGGGTCGCTTGAGCAACAATATCCACATCTTCTTCCTCGACGGCCGCCCGACACGCTAATAGCCGCGCCTCGGCCGCGAAGGCGTCGACTCTACTAGAGTCGAAGCGCTGCTCGGCCAGCCTCAGAGCTTGCGGGTCGCCGATGCGCCGCTGCATCGACGACGACTCCCTTCTTAGGTTCTTGTGGTCTCTTCTCAAAGCTTTCAGATCTGACTCTAGATCAAAGACGCGCGCCTTTAGAGCACTATTAGCCTCTTCCCTCTCGTCCCGCTCGGCGGCTAAACACGACGCGGCCCTTCCGAGCTCGACGGCGTCGGCCTCGGCCTTCTTCAGCAACTCTTGGAGCTGCTCCTTGTCGTTTCGCAGCGCGTCGACCTCGTGGCCGTGGAGCTCATCTAATTCATCGGCCATTCTTTGCTCCGCCTCTAATTCAGCAACTCTAGCTCGCAGCGTCGTCCGCTCCTCCTCCGTCGCGCTCGTCTGCGCGTCTCGGAGCTGTGCTTCGAGTTGTGCTACTTTGGTTTCTTCCGCGTGGGCGCGCTCGTCTATCTCCAATTGCGCCGCCTCGAGGTCGAGCTTGCAGAGCTCGAGGTCGGTCTTGGCTTCATTGAGTGCTTCGTTCGAGAGCTTAGCCTCGTCGAGCGCCTCCTGGGCGGCGGCCTCGAGCTCGCGCATCTGTGTTTCGAGCGCTGTCTTTTTTTCGCGCTCGGCGGCGAGCTGGGCGTCGAGGGAGAGGGCTGTGGCGTCCATTTTCCCAGCGCAGCGAAGCCGGTGTGCACGTATGCGACCGCTGTGGCCAAGAAAAGGGGTGCCACGGCCTAGCGTGTGTTGACACACTAGCACTCGAATTAGTCCACCAACGCGCGCCCCAAACCCTCGAACGGTCCCGCGACGAGGCCGCGGAGCCGGTCCCTTAGCGACGGCCCGGGCGCCTCGCGCTTGGCCTCGGGCGCCAGTTTCTGAGCGACGCACCCGCGCCGTTGGCGCTGCTCGCGAATCTGGAGCGAGTAGCGGAAGGGCCGCGTCGACTTCGGGTCCCGGAGCCACTCCGGATACAGGGAGAGCTTCTCGGTCCGTTGCTGCAGGACCGTCTTCTTGCCCCCGCCGCGGCCGAGGACGGTCGGCGCGCGCGTCTCGGCCACGACGGCGCCGGGTTTGGGGAAGCGCCGCGCGACGGCCTCGCAGCGCGCGCGGAGGTCTTCCGGCGGCGGCTCGTCCTTGACGCCCGCGACGCCGTGGAGATTGCCGTCTTCCGGCGCGCCCCGGAACAGAACGGCTTCGCCGGTCTTCATCTCGACGATCTGGCAGTGCGGACACTCGTGTGCCTCCTCTTCTCCCGGGCGCCACCGCCCCTGGCACTGCTGCTCGTGCGTCCATGCGCCGCGATAGTTGTAGACGTTCTTGTCATAGGGATAATCGCCGCCTGAGTCTCCCATGTTGTGGGACCACGGCAAGCGGCAGCAGGGCCAGCCCGCGTGGTCGCTCTCGCCGACCGACACGGGTACGATACAACCCCCGAACGAACTCGACTCCTTGAGGATCCCGTTGCACAAACGAAATTTGGCCGTGGCCCCCATCGACACCAGGAGGACCCAGCCCGCCCCGCTCGCGTCCAAGTGCGGGTGCATACTGTCTTTAGGCCGCATCAAAAAAAAAAGCGACTAGGCTTAATCAAATCGGGTTTTTGAGTTTCGTATATACGCGTGAAGACGTGACGCTGGATTCGGACCTTTAGAGGCCTGGTTCTAGTCGTCCATCCCCCCTGAGCTAGGCTAGCGTCCCCAAAACCGAGTAACTAGTCTCTCTCTCTCTATATACGCGTACATCAATGTACGTCACCGCACACACTAAGTCCTCTTACACTAGATGCTCTTCACCGACCGCAGCTCGTCACCGTTCACAAGTTCGGCCGCGTCATAGTTTGCGTACGCCGCGCGACAAGAATCACAGATACACGCGAAGCCGTACGCCCGGAAGAGGCGGTCGCGTCTGGTTTGAGACGGCAGGAGCCGCTCGGACTCGTCGCCGTAGTCCAGGAGCAGCTCGCCGCCCGCCTTGACGGATCGCGTCGCGACCAGGGCGCACCGTTCCCCGTTGAAGACGCGCTCGCAGTTCGCGCCGCGCCCGCAGGCGTGGTTGACTCTACTAAGACGCTCGTAGACGTATCCAACACCTTGAAACTCCACGGCGTTCGTGCGCCAGAGGCCCCGCGCCGTCTTGAGCCGCCACCGCGGGAAATCGTGTTCTTCATTATCAAGGCGCACTTTACATATTGCTCGCTCATCGCCGTCATCCGACACGTCCACCACGTCCCCGAACCGCCCCGCGAACTCATCTTCCTCCAAACCAACAGAGACGAGGCACCGGTCGCCACTTTGCGCGTCTCTAATGGAATCCGCGAGCCGCCAGACCTTGGCTTTCACGTCATCGTCCAACCTTGACAGGGCGTGGCCCGCGTAGAGCCGCATCAACGCGTTCGCCCGCTCGGGGGCGGTGTCGCCGGCCGCGACCGCGGCGACGATCGCTTGCACGTCCTTCCTTTGCAGAAAAGCATGATCGTTGAAGATCTTCTCGATGGACACGGTCCAGAGCGGCTCCTCCTCGAGCACCGTGGCGCCGGCGGCGACCGGTGCCGTCGCGACCAGGCCGAGGCCCAGCACCTGGCCCACTTCTCGCACCTCGACCATGGCTGCCCCTCAGCTTAATTGCTCGCCCCGCGCGTCGTCGGAGAGCGCTGCGGCAATGCGTGCGACGGATCGATGGCGTTTTGGCTCTCGGCTGGAATCGATGGCGCTCCACCCCAGAGGCTGCCCCGCACCATCCGCACCGCGGCCCGGCGCGCGAGGCCTCTTGTGATGTGGTTCCTGCCTATGGATTCGGTTCCGATCTCGGAACCGGGTCTCCGGCGTCTCGGGGGCTGTGGAGGGCAACGACCGCGGCCCGCGTCGGGCCCCCCCGCGATACACAACAAAGAACAACCTAGAAGGACCCGAGCTTCAGGAGCGCCGGCGAGTGCGGCGACGTCGCGCGCGACGGCGAGCCCGGCGGCGTCGCGGCGTCGAAGACCTCGGCGAGCACGCGCGCCGCTGTGTCGCGTCGCGCGTGTGCACCACCTGAGTAGGCCCAGAGCAACGCCGACAGCGTCACGAGCACGACGCCTACCAGGTGCTGCAGGTGATGCGCCGCGAGGTGCTGGGGGCTCAGGCTCGTCCCGTTCGCGACGAACGCCAGGAGCCACTGCGGGACGACCTTGCACGTGCCCACCACACCCACACTCGTGGACGACGTCAGCGTTGCCAGCACGGTGAAGGACAGCTGGACGCCGCTGACGAGGAGCGTTGAAATAGCGAAGCGCGCCGTCTCTAGATGGAGCGTCGCGACCGCGGCGACGCCCTCGTACAGTAGCGCCACCGGGAACGCGGCGAGGGCACTGAAGCAGAGCTTGAGGAACGTAAACTCGGCGTACGACGTATTCTCGGCGTCGATCTCGCGCCGGGCAGATTTCCTTAGCAGCGCCACCACAATACCCTGGAAGGCCGGGCCGATCAAATTCAGGGCGATGGCGTAGATCGGCGCGTCGCCCGGTTCGACGGCATCTATGGCGTTGGTGGACACTAAGCACGCGCCGACGAAACACCCAACAAGCGCGAGCGCCCCCGCGGGACTGGGCACCTCGCGGTTGATTAATCGCGCGAAGAGAGCCGTCCAGAAGATGTCCGTCGCCATCAGTAGCACGTGGAGCTCGACGGACACCAAACTGAGTCCGACGTTCGTCACGCCCAGCTTGAGCCCGAAGGCCACGCCGAGGGGGGCGATGTTCCTAGCCTTGCGACGGAGCTCGGCGCGCGTCGGTCGCGCGAGGGCGCCCGTCGCCGCGGAATGCAGGACGTGGCAAAGGCCGAAGAGCAACGCCGCTCCAAGAAGCTGACAGGCAGTCATAGCTAGAGGCGCACCGTTCGCGCCGCGTTTCAGCACGGCCTTGTTGGCCAGTGGGACGACGGATATTGTGAGCAGGCAGAGGATTATTGCTACGGCGACCTTGCAGCGCTGTTGCGGCGCCTCTGCAGCACCAGCGGTGCCATCACCAGGGATGGCTCCGTAAGCCATGTTTGATACGATGCTTGGCAGCGCCTAGCGCGTGCGCAGCGTGTCGCTGCTGGCCTGGTAGTAATACGTACAAAGACACAGCGAGAACTAATGGGTTTAAGGCTGCCAAAAGTACGCTCCAATTCGACTCGTGCGGCAGCTAGCGGTGTGTAAGATACTAGAATTCAAACTCGACGCGTAATGCAGCTGCTTGAGTACCGTTCTGTTCGCTAATGGTCCAAAGAGATCAATGGGACACGTACTGGGGGCCGAAAAAGGAAATTTTTTAATTCGCGGCCGAGAGCGCCCTACGGTCTATGGCGGCCGCGCCGGTTAAATCCTGTCAATCCCTGCCAAATAGGTCTCCCTGGGGTCGCCTAGGGTCGGTACTATGCACGTGCACGCGCCTATCCCGCATGCGCCGCCGCTTCAAGCATTTTTGGTCGATTTCTCTCAGCAGACCACTCGGTTTGGCCATTTTTTTGCCATGGTTTGCTTCCAGGGCCCTCCGAGACCACTAGGCTGCTGCATAAATGGCGTAAGCGGTGCAGGCGCTTACCCACTACCAGACCTACCCCGAGAGACCTCCAGGAGCCGATCTGCCCCCGAAAAAAGTGTGCAATTTGGACCAGATGGCGCCTCGTTCCCGTCAAAAACGTCAATTACCCGAGGCCCCCCAGGAATCGTAATAGCGGTCTCGTTGGACCCCATACTACCCCACCGATAGTCAATTACAAGTATATGACATCTACATTATAAGAAGGGTACTTTTGGCTGCACACGCTTGGGACGTGAACATCTTTATCTGGACCTCGCGTAAGTCCATCGGTCATAAAATAAATGATCGCGTCATGATCCATGGTGATGTTACACGGGCTGATGGTCGCAGGTCTAGTCATCGTGCCCAAATTGGTGAGATATTGGGCCCGCGAGACCGACGACCCGCGCCGAGCATCGTGGGGTCTCGAGCAATGTAGTAGGTATTGAGGCCGGTTATCTGGCCCGTCCCACTACTAAATCGCCTGAAACGCAAATTTATTTTATAAACAACCGGTCTAGGGCCTTTTTGGTGCTCCGTCAACGTACCGTCGTCCGCGGAGAACGGGCAAGTCGGTCGATTGTGAATAGAACAACGGCGTTATGGTCCATCTGGATGGTGGCGTCGCTGATACTCGCGGGTCTAGGTTCTGAGCTTGTCTACACATAAACGTGGGGGCGCCGAGTCGCTGTTTCGCGCGGCTCTAACGGAGCACCTAAAATAGCTGAGTGGGCGCTGATGCGGCTTGGATGGACTCTACCGACAACAAACGAATAAAAACGAACATAAACGCGAGAGTTGTCTAGTAGAATTCTTCTCCCGCCCTCCGAGCGCGGGCCGTCGGCTCCGGTGCCGTCGATTGTGTATGAAAACTGGGCTGGAGTTGATATAATGTACCATCTGGATAGTAGATGGCGGCATCAATCGCTGGCCTACTTTAGCAACCCGTAAGTCTCATCCGCGAATGTCGCGGGCGGTGCTTTGCGGGAGCCGCGAGGGTATGTTCCCGGGCCGCTACTCTGAAATCTTTGGTCGCGCCGAACGACTAGGATATATTCTTAATTTGGGTCCTTCTTTTGACGCTATCGAAGCGTGTCTTTGAATTTGCTAGTAAGTCGATTACGCTAGCTCCGATGACCGATGTCTCCCCCCAGGGGCTCCGCCCACTAGTCCTAGCACCGTAACATAATATTCCCGATAAGCAATATTACGTGCTCGCCGGGAAGGGGCTACTGTACAAGGGGGGAGAAGCGAACACGACGATCACGCGGACCGGATCGGTGCGAAAAGCCAGCCGTCGTCGGAGCCCGTCGCGCCGGGGAGCCGCCGCGGCGCGGCCGCCGGCGCGCGCGCAGGGGTGGGCGCGGGCGCCCGGTCGGTGGCGTCGAAGAGCCAGCCCTGCGACCCGTGGCGCCCCGGCAGCGGCGGCGGCGGCGGCGTCGCGCTCGCGACCGTGGATTCCGAGGCCGTGTCCCCATCCAAGCGCCTCTTCCTATCCTCGCAGAAGTGGAGCAGCGCCGAGACAGAAACCGCGCCGTTCGCGCCGAGCGCCGCGACGGCGGCTTGGGCCTCGGCCTCGCGCAATTTGCCGCCGTGCAGCTGGCACGCGCGCCGCAGGGCCTCCGCATCCAAGCGCGCGCCGGCGGCCTGCCGGCCGTCGCGCTGGGCGTCGAGGCCCGTGACAAAAAATTCCTCCACGACGTCGTCAACGCTGTGGGCCAGCAGGAGCCGATCCAAGACAACTGCTAGCTTGCGCAGGCCGCGCGGCGCCGCCTCTCGGTCGGGCGGCCGCGGCGGCCGCCCCTCGCCCGGTCTGGGCGTTGGGCGGCGGTCGGCATCGTCGGGGTGCGGCGCCTGTGGTAGTGGTGGCGGCGGCGCGGCGGCGGCGGCGGCGGCGGCGCGGGGGCTCCCCTCCTCCATCGAGCGGGTTCGTGGCCGCTTCTTCTTTGCTGTTTTTTTCCCGGTCGCGACTGCGACCGCCGCGCTGGCCAGCTTCTTCGCCGACTTGACGAGGGAGTTCGCGCGGCGCCGCGTCGGGCTTATCGGCTTTTTTGGCGGCGGGGCGCCGCCCGACGCGGCGCCGCCCGGTGTTCCATTGGTGCCAGCCTGTTCCATCCCAGGGTGGTGGCAGAGGCGCGCGCCGACGGGAGAGGCTGCCCCAGGGCGCGACGGCGGAGTCGACCCACGCGTCCGCCTGTTAATTCGTGCAGAGCTGGCTCCCGGCGGGCAGGGCCACGAAGATGCGCGGCACCGGAGCTGGCCAGAGCATGGGGTGGCCTGATGCCAAAACCCAGCACCGCGTGCCCCGCCGCAAGGAGGACGCGTTTCGGGCGGTAGCCGGACGTGTCGCACGCGGTCGGTGGGGCCGGGACCGCTGGAGCCACTTTCGGTCGCTGGCACGTTCGCGGCACGCGGACCCTCCGGACGCGGGGTCATCTTAGGGTCATCTGTAGTCGCGGTGGCGGCGCGGATAGTAAGCGTGGCGGGGCGGCAGCGGCGGCGCGTGGGTGTGAGTCACGAATCAATATCACTTATAGCCAGCGCTCGCCATAGATATGTTCAGGGATGGGGGTACGATGTGATTCCGCCGCGAAGTCTCGCGATGGGTGTGGTGGGGATAGTGTACGTCTGCGTTCCTCTCCTGCGAGAGAAGGTTGTATGTGCACAACGGGCGCCTCGCGCGACGCCACCTCGGGCGCGCCGCGGCCGCGCTGTGCCAGTCTAACTTCACAAGCAGATCTCACATGCGATATGCGCGCCGCGCGCATTCCAGAACTCCCATGACCCAAAGAGCAATACGAAAGCAACAGAAAGAGGACCGGGGAACTTTGGGCCAACGGCCGCGCGCGATTCAGAAAAAACCAATACCATTTACCACACCTCCTCCTCGATCGACGAGCACCCGATCTCCTCGATGCGCTCCACGCAGGCCCGCACGTCGGACTCCATCCCCCGCCGCCACTCGTCGTACGCGCCGCGCGGCGCCTCGCGGCGCCGGACGCGGCGCCGCCACGCGGCCTTCTCGCGCGCGAGGGCCGCGAGCCGGTGCTCGAGCACCGTGACCTCGCCCTGGGCCTCGCGGCGTTGGGAAGAGCGCCGCGACCGCCGCGAGCCGCGCGACGACGCGGACCGGTGCGACCGCGCCGACCGGAGGGATGGAGGCGGCGGCGGCGGCGTCCCTTCGAGCGTTGTTGGTCGCAGTAGGGGCGGCGGCCCGGCGTCCGGGGCGCGCAGCTCGCCGACGGCGCGCGCGAGGGCCTGCACCAGAACGTTGACGGCCGCGGGGTCCGAAGCCGGTGGCGGCGGCGGCGCCTCGCCGCCGGCCGGCGCCGCGGCGACTCGCGCTAGACCAGTGGCGGCGCTGGCAGCGACGCCGACGGGGACGCTGACCGGCGGCCGGCGCGCCGTCGGCGCCAGCGACGCCTCGCCATCATCGTCCGGCGCTGCACGGACCACGGGCGGCATCGACGCCTCGCCGAGCAGCACGACGTCGGGCGGCAGGGGCCGCGGCGCCGCGCGCCGCTTCGGCGGCGGCCGTATTTTCACGGGCGACGGCGTATTTGGTGGCGACGGTATGGATCGCGGCGGCGCGTCGCGCGGCAGGAGGAACGTCGCCGTCCAGCGCGCGTCGTTGTCGTCGGAGACGTCGGGCGTCCAGCGCGGCTCCGGCCTGGAACGCGTCGTCTCCACGAGGTCCGCCGCCGCTTTTGACTCCGAGGCGCGCGCGCGCTCGTAGAACGCGCGCTCGACGTCCAGCCGCTTCGCCTTGCGATTTTGTGAGTACCTCGCTAATGCTTCAAAGCACTTGCCCTCGAGCTGCCGCGCCCAGTGGTACAAAGCGCGCACGTTTTGCGCCCGCGCTTCCCGCCGGGCGCGCGCGCCGCGGCGCCAGTCCGCGAACGCGTCGCGCGTCATGCGTTGGGAGCCAGCGCCCCGCAATAGGCGACAGCTGATCGACACGTTCGAGACGGTGCGCCACCGGACCACGCAGCGCTTTAGTAACTCCGCGCGTCGCCGCCCTCGACCGTGCTTCGACACCATCCTCACGACGGCGTCGCCGCGCGCTCGACGCGCCCAAGCTTCATACGCTCGTTGTAGCCGCCTCCTATTGAGGTCGCGCGCCGCTGCTCGCCGCTTCTCGCGCGCGCGCGCCCGTTTTTGCGTCGAAGCGTGCCACCTTTGCAAAAAGTGCGTAGCTTGCGCGGTCCGCAGCGCGCGAGTGTCCATCGCCGCGACGGCCTTCCGCCGCCACCGCTTGACGGCCAATCTACGAGACGCCCCCAGTCCTCTCACTGTCGCGGCCATGGATTGGGTGGTCGCGAGCTTCTTCGAACAGCGAGACCGCAGTAGAGCTAAAGCGGAGCCGCAGCGGCGCCTTCTGAAAAACGCGTCGGCTAATGAGCAGTCCTCGCGCTCCTCATAGACGATACGGCACCAGATTTGTAGTGAGTCCGACATTAGTACTTGACGTCTGGACAAACCAAGGCGCTGGATGGCCGTGCGCACCGTCTCCGTGGACGCGTTCGCGAGGGACCGGCGCGCCGCCTCCAATACACTTGATGCGATGACATCAGACGTGCCCTCGAGGTGCGCCGCGTCGGCGACGGCGCCGACCGCGACCGCTAACACAGCTCCATCCACGAGCCCGTTGACGGCGGCCGCGGCGGCCTCCTCCAGCAGATCGTCTGATTCAGGATGAACGACCTCGTCTCTTGTATCGAAGTAGATCGTCTCCTCGCCTTCGTCCTCTTCATACGCCGGCGGCGCGCTCGTGATCGAGGCGTCAACGGGGATATTGTCCTCGTCGCTCAGGCTCGTCCTCGTGATCGACGCGTCGACCGGTACGTCCTCGTCGTCGCTCAGGCTCGTCGACGCTGAGAGCAGCTCGTAGCTGCGGCCGGCGATGCGGACGGACATTTTTTTTTTTTGACGACGTCGAGCTAGAGAATCCCCGGCCGACGGCGCGAGATTTTTTTTTGTCTTGAGTGCTGAGCTCTCCCTTAGCTCTATCCAGGAGCGCCGCGCTTCGTGCTCCTCGCTGCGCGTGGGTCCTTCGCGGTTTGGAAGCTGCTGCTGAGACGAACTAACAGCGGTCCTAGAGCGCAGGCGAAGCCTGTAAAGACGACGCGCGCGCAAAGACTATTAGCGTAGCAAACACACTAGCTTTTTGCCGGGGACGGCGCTTACAAAAACCAGCCACACGGGGGCGCTGAGCGAGTTGGACGCGCCGAGGCTAGCCCGTTTTTCGACCAAAGGCTGCAGTAAAGCTTCGGCCCGCTGCGAGGCGCCAGGACCACTTCTCCCTACCGCCCTTGCTAGGAACCCCGTGCGGCGGCCCGCCCGCGCGCGGCGCGCCCTCACCACTTGCTCCCGGCCGCTCCTACGGCGGCGGCGCCGCGCGCGCGAAACGAGCCTACAAAAAAAAAATGCAGATCCGCGTCGCGCTCCCGCCCGGCGTCCAGCCCGGTCAAGTGATCCAGGTGCGGGCGCCGAGCGGCGCGATCGTCCAAGTCAGGGCGCCGCCCGGCGTGCCCCCGGGGGGCACATTTGTGGTCTCCGTGCCCGACGCACCACAAACGGTCCAGAGCTACGCGGCGCCGAAGCCCGTAGCACCGAGGCCCGTAGCGCCGACGCCATCGCGACTCCAAGCGCCGACGCCCTACCGCCCACCACCCCAACAGTACAAGGCCGCGCCGCGCCTCTACTCGACGGGCGCCATCTACACCAAAAATCAAAATCCGACGTGCGCCGACGGCGGCTGGTGGAAGTGGAAGTGTTGTGCTGGGAGTCAAAATTACTGCGCCTACACGCCGTGCTGCTGCTGCTGCTGCACGGACCAGGTCTACGCCGTGGAACAGTCGACGGTGGGCATCGTAGAAAAGTTCGGAAAGTTCCAGAAAGTCGCGCCGCCCGGAGAATGCCTGTTAAACGCACCGTTCGGTTTCTGCGTGCCCTGGGAGACGGTAGCGCAAACCCTAAACATGCGGGTGCGGCAGAACCGAAGCGATGTCAGCGTGAAGACGAAGGACAACGTGTTTGTGGAGGTGAAGGTCGTGGTCACTTTCAAGATCGCGGATCCCCAATTAGCTGCTTACAAATTGAATAGGGTCGATGCTCAACTTAGTTCATATGTGGAGGATGCCGTGCGAGCGGCCGTCGCTCGCGTCGAGCTCGACGACGTCTTCACCATTGGCGAAGAGTTGGAGAGAGCCGTCAAAGACTCGACGGAAGCGAGGATGCTCGAGTACGGCTACGCCATACTGGATACGTTAGTGTTAGGCATCCAGCCGGAGCCTCGCGTGAAGGCCTCAATGAATGAGATAGAGATGCAAAAGAGGTTGAAGCTCGCCCAAGTGCACCAGGCGGAGGCGCAAAAAGCCATCGACATCAAATTGGCCGAAGCGCGCGCCGAAGCTAAACATTTGAACGGCGTCGGACTCGCTCGGCAGCGCAGCGCCATGGTCGAGGGGTTTGCGGCTTGTGTGGACACGCTGAACGTGACGGAGGACGACAAGTTCTCGTCGGACGCGACGGAGTTGCTACTCACCACCCAATACATGGATTTGCTCGACGCCGTGGCGGAGGACGCTCGTACTCGCGGTAACGAACGACCGGGCACGCAGACGCAATTGATGCTGCCGACGGGCATCGATAGTGTGGACGAGATGCGGTCGAGGCTGCGCGTCTTCGCGGGGGCCTTTAAGAAATAGTGTTTGACACCCTTGCGTCGGCGGCGTGGGGCGCGCTATGTACCAATACTCTAGTCTTCTTACGCGTCCTCTACTTCATCCAGGTCCCCATCCTCCCGGGCATCCGTCGGCGGCGTCTCGCGGGCGCGGAGCGCCGCTCGCGCGTCTCGCAGGGATTCCTCAAATGACGCTGTGAGCGGGTGCGCGCCACCGAGCACACGCCGTGCGGTCGATGCCGTGTCCTCGAGCGTCGTCACGGCCTCGCGGAGTTCGTCGAGCGTCGCGCCGGGGTCCTCGTGGAGCGTATCCGCGTAAGTCCACCTCATCTTCAGCGTGATTTCATTACTCTCTCCGAGAGCACGCCGCGCCACAGGGATCGATTTGCGCATCAATGACCTGGCTTCTTCGAAGCGCTGTAGCTCAGAAAGGGACGTCGCGTAGTTGCCAGCTGCTTGGAGGGTTAGTTCATGGTCTTCTCCATGGAGCCTCACCCAGCCAGAGTATACGTCTCGCTCTGTCCGATGTGCCTCTTCAAGTCGCCCAAGCCGTCGATACGTGACCGCAAGATTACTCTGCACGGAGAGAATGCTAGGTTCTGATCCGCCACAGCGCCGCTCCAGAGACAACACGGCCTCTTCCACGGCCAACGCGTCCGTGTGCAGGTCTACCGCGGCTAAACCGTTCGCAAGCTGCGTCATCGCGGCGCTCCGAAGCTGGTCCGTCTCCGGCCGCCCGACGTACGTCTTCCAGCACGCCCACCCGAGCGCGCACGCCACATACCCGTGGTACCTTTGCTCGCACAAGCTACAGTCAGACCACCACCTCCACCTCCTATTAAATGCATCCCAGTCCAAATTATTCAGTTCGGCCTCCGCGACCGAAATCTTCGCCTGCTCCGCCAGACACGACACGTGCGCGATGCCCGTCGTTCCGGAAGCGACGCCGTCGCGATCTCCACACGCGCATCCGCGCACGAGGCCTTCTCCCGTGCGCGAGTGGACGGCCTCCGTGCAGATGTAGCACGTCTGGCCCTTCGTGTCGTCGGCGCACGCCTCGACCGCGACCGCGACGGCCTCCTTGTATTTTTTGTCGGCGTGATATTGCTCCGCGTTGCCGCCGCGGTGTATTTTCTTGCACATCTGCTTGTGGCCGCGGCGCCAGTGGTCATGTTGGCAAGTGGCGTTGCAGTACCTCAATTTACATCTAACGCAACGCGGCGCGTTGTGGGCCAGTGGGGCGGCGCAGGCGGCGCAATTTGTGAGGATCATCTTGCGTTTGCGGAGAGTTATTGGGTCTGCGGCGGCTTGACTCTGGTAGCTAGTTTTTTCAACTCCAAAAAAACAACACACAGACTGGTGCGTCGTGGCGTCGGGGCGGTGCTCCACGCCGTCGACACGACGTCTAGACGGGACTACTTACTCAGTGCAGCCACGCGACGTCCGGAAACAACGGCGGCAGGATGAACGTCAGCAGCAGCAAGAACGCGATCCCCGTCCTCAAATTCAAGCCGAGGCCCAATTTCGCCATTTGCACCGCCGCGGCGCCCTCTTCGACGCTCTCGAGCTCCACATCAAAAAGTAGATCCGCGTTTCCCGGAATCTCGCCGTTCGCGCCCGCGCCCGCCGGCCCGTAGGCGAGCCGCGACGGGCAGTAGAGCGTGCGCTTGCCGCCCGCCTTCATCGTACTCACACCTTCATCCCACGCCGGTATTACACTACCTTCGCCGACCACAAATTTGAACGACCCTTTGCCTTTCGTGGAGTCGAAGACGCGGCCCGACTCCACCAATTTACCTTCGTATTGGACGACGGCGACTTTACCGCTTGACGCCGTGGCGCCCGTGCCCTCGACGAGGTCCTGGTACTTGAGGCCGGACAGCGTGACGGTCCAGCCGTCGTCGTCCGTCGTCTCCAGCGGCGCCGCGCGGCAGAGAGACTTGGTTACGTGGGTCGTGGGTGTGATGAACGCCGACGCCGTCGCGAGCAGGGCGAGGCAGCGCATCGTGTCCGAGAGGCTGCTCTCCGAGTGCTTTTGATCTGTCCTGGCGGCAGCTCTTTTTCGTGCAGGCTGGCACAGGGCTTGAATATATGCGTCGTCCGTTACTCCAAAGCAACGCTGGTGCCCTAACAGTGGCGCTAGCCTCCGATTTTACCTCGATCTTGGCAGAGCTAGGTCTCAGCTAGCTAGCCTGTAACACACTAGAAAGTAGCACTCTCTCCACTTTTGACTGCTACGCGGCCGCTGAGCATATATTTATCAAAGCGGCTCCACGTTCGAGCGGTCGTAATCATCACTTCTCGCGGACACGGTCGAAAACCGTGGTCCGCGCCGTGCTGCATACATTCCAACACCCTGCCCGGGGCAGCGGGAGCCGGCTACGCCGCCGCAGAAGTGCAGCGGGAGCTGCTACGCCGCGCAGACGTCCAAGCATGGACACCAAATTCCCGGAGGACGAGACGGACCCGGCAAAGATGAAGAAGCTCCTCGCCGCCATGTCGCCGGCCCAGGAGGACCGGTTCGAGCAGGCGCGGCGGGCCCGCTTCAAGCCGAACCACCTCAAGAAGCTCGCGGTGATCGCGGACCGGGGGCCGTTGGACGATGGGGGCGCCGTCGTGCTGGCGTCGCTGGCGAAGAGTCGCGTCGCGGAGCTCGTGAGGGCGGCGCGGGAACGGAAGCCAGGCGAGGGGGCGTTATTGCCCTCTGATTATGCGGCGGCGGCGCGAGCTCTGCAACGACGAGGAAGAGTCCAGGTCGTGGGGTCGCACAAGAAGCCGCGCTTGGACGGCCCGGCCGTCGTCGACGCCGACGAGCTCCTCTAGTACTAGTAAAGATGTGATGTTAACTCGGCGGCCGCCGCGGCGCCCAGGGCCTCGCGTCGCCCATGTCCCCGACGTAGCGGACCTCGCCGGGTTGGAACGCGAGCGCGAAGTGGTCCGTGAGGCGGCGGCCCCGCAAGCTCGCCTCGAGCACCGAGAGCACGTCGCTCCCGGGCGCGACCAGGACGACGTCGTCGCAGAGCGTCGTCTCGCAGACGGAGAGGACCTCGCGCACGCGGACGTAGACGTCCTCCACGGACTCGGCGTAGCTTCCGTCTTCGGCCTCGGGCGGCTTCGCGTAGCGGCTCTTCGCGTCGTACTGGGCCCAGAGCTCCGGCACGCGCCAGAGCCCCTCGCCCTCGTGCGCGCCGTAGCCGCGCGCGTCCAGCAGGTCCGCCTCGGGCAGCAGCTTCGACGAGGGCACCGCGAGCCGCGCGCCGAGGATGTCGGCCGTCTGCTTGCAGTGGCGCGCCGTCGCGTACCGCACGACGGGCGGACCGCCCGCGTCCCCGAAGACCCGGGCGACGGCGTCGGCGGCGGCCGACGCCTGCTTGGCGCCCTCCTCGGTCAGGCCGTTCGAGAAGAGGAACTTGCGCGCGGCGTTGGTTTCGATCACGCCGTCGGCTTCCGAGCGGCTCTCGCCCGCTCGCACCAGCACGTAGCGGTTGGTCAGCGGCTTCGTCGGTGGCAACAAAAGCAAACCGGACGCGTCCGCGGGCGCGGGTGCGGTCGTCGACGCGGCCGCGGCCGCGAGGAAGCGTCTCCTTCGAATCTCGGGACGCGCGGCCCCGGCGGCGGTGACCATTGAGAGCAGCACGAGTCGTGTCATGGTCCGGGGTGCATCAATATCGATGATCAAGGGTGAACCGTGGTCCTAAAACGCTACCAGCCCGTCTTCGCGCACGAATAAATCTCGCAGAGCATTAGACACGTCAGGGCCTGTCTTTCAAATATTTGCACCACTGACGCCTGATCCATTGGCAGGAGTGCACCAGTGCTGTCTTTTCTCGCAACGCAGCGTCCCTGCAGCGTCGGTCAGCCGCTGCACGCGCCGAGCACGCTGCCAATCGGCCTAGCGCCAGTAAGACACTAGCAAGATTTTTCCTCCTTTCCTCCCGACTCCCGAGGGACTGTACAGGGCGCTGTGCTTATGCGAAGGGCTAGGGACTAGATCCCGGACAGTATAGGCTGCCCCGGTGGCCCAGGTCCCCGTTACGCTGTCGAGGCGACCAGCACCAGCCGCCGCAACGCCGGCCAGCGACCAAATGTACAAGTACGCCTCGACCTGGCCCGCGCTGAGCCGCCTGCTGGGGTCCTGGGCCAACAACTGCGGCCTGACGGCCTGCATGCCGCCGCCCATGACGCCGAACTTGGCCGACGACTTCCTGTCCGAGGACGAAAGCTCAGACGACGAGTAGATGGAGTACGTGTCCGGTTTGTTTTGCGCGACGAACTACTCGTGCGTGCGCTGCGCCTGCGTCGACGACCTGGACGAGGCCGACGACTTTGATAGATTGCGAGCCTACGCCGTGAGCAGGTTGGGGGCGCCGCCAGAGGACGACGAAGGCGAGGCGTCGGGCTGCGTCACGAGGGTCGTGAGCGAGCCCGTGGACGAACAGGAGTTCGCCCAGGTCTTCCGGCGCGTCTTAGAAAGACGTGGCTGGCCGGTGGCGAAGTACGGCCGCGGGAGAGCCTTGAGGCGCTGCCTCAAGGTCTTCGCCGCCGCGGACGGCTCCCTCCGCCTCGAATGGGGCTCGCGCAAAAATAACAGCGACGCGGCCCGCAGCGTCCTCCTCACGGAGATCGTGGATATCTCACGTGTTATTTTTGAAGACGCGCCGCTGGACGCGGACCCGCAGATGGCTTTATGCTTCAACGTCGGGGATACCGCTGCTTTGAAGATCTTGGCGGACACTGTAACCGACGCGACTATTCTGGCGTACGGCTTCGGCTTACTCGTCGACGAAGCTCGCGCGCGACGGCAGAACCCCGTCGACGCCGACGGGTTCCCGACGATTCGAGTGGGCGAGGACCTCGTTTCTCCATAAGTGGTATCATTTACTCATCGCAGCCCCCCGCCCCGCGCGACGCCGATGACCTCGTCCAGCGACCCCTTCGCCTTCGCGAGGAACGACTTCGCCTGCCGCACGTCCCCGTTGTCCAGTGCTTCAGAGAGGCCGCCCGTCATGATGATGACGTCGGCCGCGACGCCGTATCTGCGGATCGTCCCGATCGCCTTCTTGTCCTCCACAGTCAGGACCGGAGCTTGCACGATAATCGTCGCGTTTTCCTCGAACGCGACCAAGGGCGGCGCCTGGAGCGCGGCCGCGGCCTTTTCCAGGTCGCCGCCCGCAAGAGGCTTGTCGACGGCGTCGAGCGCCGCGCGCGCCGCCTTCAGCTCGCCGAACGCCTTCTGCGCGTCAGCCGCACTGTACTTCTTCGACGCCGCATGCGCGGGGGCCACGGCAATCAAGGGCGGCACGACCACCGGCGCGCTGAACGCGTGCAGCTGCAACGCGCGCCGCCGCGAGACGTCGACGTCGACGCAGCTGGCGCACAGCAGGGTAATGGACGCAGCGGTAGCTTTAAGTGCATGCATCATTTTTTCGTTGCTGAATTCGACTGCTCTGCGTCCACAGCCTTTGCAGCGGATGTTGTCCGCGGGTCTCGAGAGCATAAAGTGCAGCGTTCACGCGTAATGAACACGTCTACGCTGATCTCTCTCCTTGCAGAGCCGGGAGGTGCGCTGTGAAAACTAGGATGTCAAGACGCTAGCTGGATGCGAGCCCCGGCGCGGATACGACGCTGTCCTCCCGGAGAAATTGTGCCGTGCGGTGGCCTCCAACAGCGATTGATCGATTTGACGAGCCGGAGGATTGTAAAGCGCCTAGGCACTTGCAAAGCAGGGAGAGCTTGCCACAAAGCCAGGGAGAGCGATTCACAGCGCCACACGCCATCGCCGCGACGCGTGCCATGGCGGACGCAGAACAGCTAGCAAGGGCCATCTGCGAGACCTGCGCCCAGCTCCACCAACCAAATGCACCACTGCACGACATCGCCGCCGCCAACCTACGGCTCATCCAGCTCTGCGAGCACGAGCAGGCGCCGCAGGCGTGCCTGCTCATCGTGCGGCACGGCGGCCAGCTCGCGGCACAGGGCGCGCCGATCCACGCCTGCGCGCTGGCGGCCGGGAAAGTAGAACGAGCGTGCCGCGAGCGGATCGTCGGCGGCGACGACGCGTTCGCGCTGCTGGAGCAGCTCGCAAAGGACGAGGCGGGCGACGCCTGCGCCGGCGCCGTCTGCGCGGCCGTGGCCTTTTGGTGCGTCGAGAGCGGGCAAGAAGTGAATGCGCTCGACCGTTGCGCCGCGCGGCCGGTGCTGCTCGCGACGGCAATCGCGGACGAATTGGCGCGGCGAGATATGATGAGGGACGCCGCCGGCGCCTGGCGCGCCGTCGCGCGCGCCGCGCCGCCGGTAGCAAAGCTCGCGCGGTGTGTCCAGGCCTGGGCGGCCTGCGGCGCGCGGCTCCGGGGCGCGCCTCCTGCGGTGCTCGGGGCGCTCCTCGAGGCGGCGATCGGCGGCGACGCGGACGCGACGGGTGCGCTCTGCGCCCTCGTCGAGGCGGAGCCCCCGCTGCCCCCGGCCGACGCCGTGGCGCCCTACCACACGCTCGTGGCGCTCGCGGTCGCGCCGACGGACGCCGCCGCGGCCGCCGACGCGCGCGCTTCGTTAGCCGCCGCGCTCCTGACGCTGCTGGCGGCGCCCGTCGCGGCGCAGATGGAGCGCGGCTCGCCCGTCGGCGCGGGCCTGCTCGAGGGCCTCGTCCGGGGCGTCGGCGCCGCGCCGCCCAACGTCGCGTCGACGTGCACGGACGCAATGGTTGGCTTCCTCGACGCGCTGCCGGACCGGTCGTCGTTCGCGCCGCCGTGGCGCCGCCCGCTCGCGTCGGCCGTCGTCCGCGCCGCCGCGGCGCGCGCGTCGGACGCGTTCTACGCTTCGGGCCGGTCCTTCGAGGACCGCGACGACGCGACGTTCAACCGCCTCTACCACGCGGGGCCGTGCCTCTACCAGCTCGCGCTCGCCCTGGACGAGACGGACGTGACCGAGGGCGAGCTGCTCGCGAGCGCGCCGTGGCTCGAAGAGGCCGTGGAGGCCGTCCTCGGCGAAGAGGAGGAGGAGGATTCGGAATAGTAGTTTTGTGTTGTAAGTGTGCTCGGTTCGTTTTTTCAAGTTAACGGTCCCCACTAATGCCACGCCCACAACGGAACACGCGGCGCCTACTTGCGGCTGCGGCGCGTGGCCTTGAGCGCCGCGCTGAGCTGCTCCGCCTCAGTCGGCGGCGCGGGCGCCGCCGGCTCCTCGGGCGCCGGGGCCGGCTCGGGCTCCGGAGCCGGAGCGGGCGCCGGAGCGGGCGCGGGCGCGGGCGCCGGTGCCTTCGCCTTCGGCGCCGGAGCGGCCTTGGCCTTGGCCGCCTTCGCGGCGTCGGCGGCCGCCTTTTTGTCGGCCGCAGCTTTCTTCGAGGCAGCAGCTTTATCGGCCGCGGCTTGCTTGGCGGCAGCAGCTTTATCGGCCGCCGCCTTAGCCTTCTGAGCGCTTGCCTGCTTCGCGGCCGCGGCCTGGTCGGCCTTGGCCTTGGCCGCGGCGGCGGCCTTGTCGGCAGAGGCCTTCTTCGCGGCCGTGGCTTTATCGGCGGCGGCTTGCTTCGCGGCGGCGGCTTTATCGGCAGCAGCTTGCTTCGACGCAGCAGCAGCTTCCTTAGCCTTGGCGGCCTTCGCGTCGGCGGCTTGCTTGGCCGCGGCGGCTTTGTCGGCCTGAGCTTGCTTCGCGGCGGCTGCCTTCTCCGCGGCGGCCGCCGCCTTCTGCTTCTGGGCGTCCTGGCCAGCGCTAGCCTTGAGCGCGGCGGCCTCGCGCTTCGCCGCGGCGGCTTCCTTGGACGCCTGGGCCTTCTTCTCGGCGGCGGCCTTCGCGGCGTCCTTCGCGGCGGCCGCCTTCTGCGCGGCGGCGTCCTTCGAGGCGGCGGAGGCTTTGGCTGCCTCGGCCTTCTTGGCAGACCTGCGTGGAAATTAACCATTGAGTCAGGGTATCCCGAGAATTATCGCTGAGACCGTCGCTGTCACATGGCAATGCCGCGTGGGGCTCCTGAAATTTGATTTCCGCACAGTGGCTGACGCAGCGGCGGCGGCGTCTTTCTTCTTCTGGGCGGCGGCGTCGGCGGCCGCTTGCTTCTTGGCGTCGGCAGCCGACTTCGCCTCGGCGGCCTTCGCGGCGGCCTCGACCTTCTTGGCTTCCGCCGCCTTCGCGGCTTCGGTTTTTTTCGCGTCCGCGGCGGCCTTCGCGCTCTTCGCAGCTTCGGCCTTCTCGAAGGCGGCGTTGGCAGCCTTCTCCTTGGCCGCGGCGGCCTTCTCGGCGGCGGCGACCTTGGCGGCCTCCTTCGCTTCCGCAGCCTTCGCCTTCTGCTCGGCGGCGGCGGCCTTGGCGTCAGCTTCTTTAGCCTTCGCGGCGGCGTCGGCGGCGACCTTCTCCTCGGCGACGGCGGCGGCCTTGTCGGCCGTCGCGGCGGCCTCGTCGGCCTTGACAGCGGCGTCGTCGGCCTTGGGCGCGTCGGCGCTGCCCGCCGCGTCGGCGGCGGCGGCCGTGGCCTCCGCCTTCGACGCGGACGCGTCGGCCTTGGACGCCTTGCGCTCCGCGATCTTCGCGGCCTTGCCGTCGGCCGCGTCCTGCTTCGCCTTCGCGGCGGCTTCCTTGGCCGCGGCAGCTTTCTCTTTCTTGGCCTGGGCCTTGGCCTGGGCCGCGGCCCGGGCCTCGCCGGCGTCGGCCTTCGTCGCCGACTTGGGCAGCTCGATGCCGCCGAGCTTGGGCAGCTCGAGCTTCGGCAGGGACGGGCCCTTGGCCTCGGCCTTCTTGCCGCCCTTGGCCGGCGGCGCGGGTTTCAATGCTTCCGTGATGGGCCCCACCGCAAACAACCCGGCCAGCGCCGTCGCGGCGACGGCCGGCGCGCCGAAGACCACGACCTTCTGGAACTCCGTGAGCTCCTGCGACCCGCGCGCCTGGATGGCCTCCTGCTGCTCCTGCTCGCGCTTCTTCTTGTTCTGCTCCAGGATGCCGCGCGCGCCCACCAAGCCGAGGACGGGCAGCGCCGCGAACGGCGCCGCGCCAAGGAGCTCGGCCTCGACTTTGGTGGTCGAGTCGAGCTCGGGGCCGAGCGACCGCCGCGCGGGCGGCGGCGGCGGCGGCGGCGGCGCGCGCGCGCCGCCCTTGGGCTTCGCGCCCTTGCCCTTGGCCGGCGCCGGCGCCGGCGCGGGCGCGGGCGCCGGCGCGGGCGCCGCGAAGGGGTTCGGCGGCGCGGGCACGGAGGGCAGCGCGAGGCCCTTCTTCTTGCCCGAGCCCTTGCCCTCGTTGAAGACGCCGAAGGTCTTGACCTGTGTGTGTGTTGCGTGACGCGTCGACGGCGCCTCGCCTCCCAAACTCTACGGGCGCGTAGGCGGCCGGGCGACGCCCTCGGTTCGGGCCGCGACGCGTCGCGTCGACGGCGGACGAGCCGTCGCGAGCGCCACAGCTGCCAAACTCCGCGGAGAGCGCTCTCACGGACGAACACCGTCGCCGCGACATCTGCAAGCTTAACCTTCCCAGGACGCCGAGATTCTCACCGCTTGCCGCGCCGCCTGGGACGGGCCCGGCGCGACGAATGCGCTCGCCGTGGCCGCGACGGCAGCACAGACAATGAGCCTCATGATTACAGCCTGTCTGCGAGCAAACTCCTCGCGATTTGGGCTCACACCCACGAGCTATGCAACTGGCTGGCCGCTCGCGCTGGCTCCAGCTGCAACCGGCACCGATTCGCGCGCCTAAGCGACGTCGCAAAACGATGATGCTGCAAGCAAAGCTTGACGCCAAATCGATAGCCGAGCGCGGGGCCGCGAGGCGCGCCGCATCACTCCCGGCACTTGTTCGATGGGTCTAGGCCGGGCACCGCGGAGAAACGGAGCTTTAGCTGCCCTGGAGCCGCAAAATGGCCACTCGTCGACAAAGCACCACGAACACCCCAGTTCGTACTCGTGCATACGTCCCACGGGCCGGAGAGACGCCTAGCGCGATCCGTGCGCTAGACTGCTCGCGGTGGTGCGAGACTGCAGGGCATTTGGCGGCGCGCGGCGACTTTATTGCAAGGCAGCGCTCGTCAACATCGATAATTGCTGCAAACAACACGAGCGGAGCCAGCTGTGCAGTTGATCCGCCCCACGTAGCTCAATTGCGTCTGCTGGCAGCAGCATCGCAGCACTGCGCAGCACTGCGCATCGACGCCGCGGCGCGATTGCGAAGATCGCTCCGACAATGATGCTCCTCCTGCTCCTCCTCCACGCCGCCGCGGCGAAAATAAGAGGAGTGCAGGTCCTCGCCGTCGGCACGAAGCCTAGTTTGGGCGGCCCGCTGCAGACGCCGGCCGCCCAGAAGGCCCAGGACAAAGATATAAAATACATAAAGAAGAAGAAACCGCGGCAGGCGCTCGCCCACGACGCGGCGCGCTGGTTCGGGAGCCGCGGCTATGTTGTGGATGATGTCGGAGTCAACACCCAAACAGTGGGAGACGACGAGCTCGTGGTGCTCTCGGCGCGGGTCCTGCCCTGCGGTCCCATCCGACTACGAGCGGCGAACGGCACTCATGTAAGGACGAAGCCGGGGACGGTCGCGCGCGCGCTGGGCTTGAGAAAAGGCCAGCCGTTCCGCTGGGACCCTACGAGGCTGGCAGCGTTGATACGGGAAGATGGTGGTCTTTTTAGGGCCGAGGCGACGCGGGCGCGAGCCTCCGTGGAGGACGGGGTCGTGGCTTTGGATTTAACTGTCGCGGAGCCCTCGTACCGCACGATCACGCCCGAGCTCGATGTCGACGCGGACCGGGCGCGGGTCTTCCTGCGCGTGCAGGACCGCAATCTGTTGGGACTGGGCTGCGAAGGGGAGGTCGAGGCGAGCTGTACAAGGCGGTGCATAAATCAACCAGTGAGTCGGTTGCGTCGATGGCGTGGAGGTCGACGCGACGATTCAGCTCGAATGCGACGTGAAATTTTGATTTATGGCACAGGTACGAGGAAAGAGGCGCCCGAGCTTGCGGCTTCGTTGGCGCACCGCGGGTTGAACGGGCGGGGCTGGTCGGCTCGTTTAAAACCGCTCGGCCTGAAGTCTCTGAGTACGCAGTTCGACGGACGGCGCGCGAACACGCTGGTGGATGTAGAAGAAGTCCAGGACGGCGCGATCTCGTCACTCACGCTCGCGAAGCGACGCTTCGGCAGCGCCTGGCGCCTCCAGCTGGGCCAGCGGTCGCGCCTGGGGCCCTTCGGCAAGGTCGGTCTGGCCTTGAAGCGGGGACCGTTCGAAACTTACGCGAGCGTGGGCCGGGGCAAGCCGCTCCAAGAGCGGGGCCTCGCGGCGCCGCGGCTCTACGAGCACGTCGGGAAGGATCGGAAGGACGCCCTGGCCGATGAATTTGATGGTGGTCTGATCGGCGCGCGCGTCGAGGTCGACCGGAGCGTGCGGGACGGTTTCCTGAGCGTCTTCGCGGACGCGTGCGCCGCCAAGGACTGGGGCGCTGAACGAGTGACGGACGCGGCCTACGGCGTCTCCGCGAGCTACTCGCTGCTGCGCGTGGACGTGACGAAGCGGCTGTTCGGGGGCAAGGCGCGGCCCGCGGTGACTTTGAGACTTGCGGACGGCGTGGGAGGCGTCCGGTGCCCTTGACCTAGGACGGTTAGTCTAGCGGCCTGTAAGACACTAGGAATACATAGCAAGCAAGCAGCAACAAGGCGTGTGGCGCAGCAATTGCCTGCAACGCGGTGCTACGAAGTCGTCGCTTCTGCAGTACTCGGTGCTACGTAGTGGCTGTCGCTTCTGCACTACTCGTCGTCTGGTGAACGCTGCACCCAGCTGCGCAAATGGCGAGAAGGCTGCTGCAGACCGTCGCCTGCGCCGTCGCCCTCAGGCCGCCCCATCAAGGGCTACGCCAGCCGACGCGACGACCCGCGACGCTCGCGCAACCGACGACGACGACGGTAGAGGTGGACTTGGGAGATCGGTCCTACCCCATCTACATCGGAGACGGGTTGCTCACCGAGGACGCCGCGACGGCCTCTCAGTACCTCCAGACCCACGTGAAGGGCTCGCAGGTGTTGATCGTCACCAACGAAATTTTAGATAGGTTAGGATATACGCAACGAACGAAAGCGGCCCTGGAGTACGGCGACTCCGGACTGAGGGTGGAAACTCTAGTCCTACCGGACAACGAAGAGCAACCAAGCGAAGCGACAAAAACGCTCGAAAACCTCGGCAAAATCACGGATTATGCCATAGAAAAAGCGTTAGATAGGAAAGCGACGTTCGTCGCGCTCGGCGGCGGCGTCATCGGGGATATGGTCGGCTTCGCGGCGGCGTGCTACGTGCGAGGCGTCGACTTCATCCAGATTCCGACCACGCTCATGGCCATGGTCGACTCGTCGGTGGGCGGCAAGACGGCCGTCAACAGCAAGTCCGCGAAGAACATGGTCGGAGCTTTCTATCAACCCGTAGCGGTCGTGGCGGACGTCGGGTCGTTGCGCACGTTGCCTGACAGGGAACTGGCTTCCGGTGTGTCGGAAGTCATTAAATATGGTCTGATCCGAGACGCGCCCTTCTTCGAATGGCTCGAGGATAATATAGAAAAGGTACTTGAGAGGGACTCGGAAGCATTGATCGAGACCGTCGAGGCCTCGTGCCGGAACAAGGCCGAGGTCGTCGCGCTAGATGAGAAGGAGGGAGGTGTGCGAGCGACATTAAACCTAGGACACACCTTCGGCCACGCTATAGAAACGAAGGCCGGGTACGGTACTTACTTACATGGCGAAGCGGTGGGCATCGGCATGCACATGGCCGCGAAGATGTCGCGGGACTTGGGCTGGATCTCGGACGAGTTGTTCGAGCGGGCCGTGGCGCTGGTCGCGCGGGCGAAGGTGCCGATCGTGCTACCTCTGGACTCGCCGCTCGACGTCGCGTCGTTCGAGTCGATAATGGCCGTGGACAAGAAGGTCGCCGACGGCTTGTTAAGGCTGATCCTGCTGAAGGGCGACCTGGGCAATTGCGTGTTTACGGGCGAATACGACCGGGCGGTCCTCAAAGAGACGCTGGAGCACTTCTGCGATCCCGAAAACCGGAGTAATTAGTAAATATGACACACACAGACTTAGCCGCGCGTCGAAGGCGTCACGACGGCGTCGTCGTCGTCGGGGCCGCGACCGCGGCGACGAGTTCTGCGACGGTCGCGACGACGCGGTGGCGGGCGTCGGAGCGCGTGCCAAAGGCATGCGGGGCGCTCACCTTTCGAATCAAGGCCCCGGCCTCGCGCGCGCGGTCGACGAGCGGGCCTTTGGCGGCGCACCAGACGTCCGGCGGGTCGTCGAAGAGCACGAGCCCGGCGGGGTACGGCCCGTCGAACGGCTTGTGCAGCACCCGCATTTCATCTCTGGCGAGGCCGAGCATCGTGACGACATTGCCAAAGCCACACATGGTTTCGGCAGTAACATCTTCGTGGACGCGATCCATACCGGCCGTCGCGCCGGCCGCGCGGAGGAGGCGGCGTCGCACGACTTTCGGAACTATACCGAGTAATGTAGAGAAGGACGCGAGCGAGAAGGCGAGAACGGGCGCGAGCGGCGACGTCACGAGCCGTCTAAGTTTTCGGAAGGCCGGATCGGCTTCTCTGTTTTCCAAGTAAGGCGTGACGCACACCACAGGGACGTCTCGTTGTGCTTTCAGCGCAAAATAACCACCGATGCTGTGACCGACGACGACCAACCGCCGACCCTGGCCCTCGGCGAGCGCGCGCTCGCCGTCGATCGCTCCGGCCACGTGTTTAATCTGCTCGTCCACGGAGAATGCACCCCTGGGTCTGTTCAGCGCCCAGCGCGACGCGTCGCCCCACCAGTGTCGTGAGACTCGCCTACCGTCGACGAAGCCGCGGAGCCCGAGAACAGTGACGTCGCCCCGCGTCGCATCCGCCAATTCCTGCGCGGCGGCGGCGTAGAACCGCGCCACGCCCGGGTTTCCGCCCACGAAGAGGACGCGCGGGCCGTCACTGCCGCCGGTATGCCGCAGCACGTCGAAGTCCTTCTCGGCCGACCGGGCTCGGTCGAAGGCCGACGGGAGCGCTCGCACGGCCATAAATGCACCGATGTAGTATAGTGCCATGGTGTGGTCCGTTGTCTTCTTGCGCGCGGGCTCAGTGTCCCCCCTCAGTCGCACGAACTAACCTGCGATCAGGCGCTCCTGCCGCCGCTCCGGCACGGTGCAATCACTGCCCAAGAGTGCTCTCACAGTGTTGCTGCCAGGCGTGCGCGAGCTCAGCACTTTGGGCCCGCAGCTGCAAGCAGATCTCTGGGCGCTCAATAATACACCACTACGCTAGCGGTCGTGCAGGTACGCTGTGCACCCTTCAAAAGGCAAGCTCCACCAAGCTCGGCACAGGCGCTGCAGATGCTGAGCACTGCCTACACGGCGCTATTGACGAAGCAGCACCACATACGTAATCAGTCGAGCCATATAATCACCCTCAGTTCGTCTGCGCAGTCGCTGTCGCATCTATGACTCGCACACCATGTGCTCTCTCATTTGCTGAGTGCCAATAAAAACCGGCCATGAGGCGGTGGGCCGCAAGCGTACTGCTACTGCTCCTGGCCAGCCCGACGCGCCCGCTCGACGTCGGTCGCCGCGACTTCCTGACCACAATAAGCGCGGCCACGCAATCACAGACGTGGACGCCGACCGCGTTGGAGAAGCTAACCCTTGCAAGTGCCGCCCAACTCGATCAGCTACCATTCGCGCGCTATCCCGACCCGATACTACGGCTCGAAGCGAAGCCGGTCCGGCGCTTCGACGCCGCGCTCGCGAAGACGGTCGCGCTGCTGCGCGCGGCGGCGCGGCGCCACGGCGCGCAGGGCCTGGCGGCGACGCAGTGCGGCGTCGACGCGGCGATTGTATTACTCGGCGACGAGGCCTTCGTGAACCCCCGCATCGTCGAGCGGTCGCCCGAGGCCCGTCTACGATGCTGGACGGAGCGGTGCCTCGCGCTGCCGCCGGACGTCCGCGTGGAGACGCTCCGCGACGAGACGTTGACAGTCGCGGCCACCACGGCCGCGGGCGTTCCCTTCACGACGACGCTGACCGGCGCGGCGGCGCGCCAGTTCTCCCACGAGTACGACCACGCGCGGGGCGTCCTCATCATCGACCACGCCTACGATGCTGTTGCGTCGACGGCGTTCCCGGCCATGGCGCGGCTCGAGGAGCCGTTCCACACGGAGCGACGACGGCGCGCCTGGGACCGAGCCTAACGTTGTATGTGTTGTTACTTTGCTTTCGTCAGCTCCACGCGCAGCGTCCGGTCGAGCTTTCTCCATTTCGCCTTGACGCGCGTGGGGTCCACCGGGCGCTCCAGGGCCACACGCAGTGGTGCGGCGAGCGCCGCGCCGGCGACGACGAGCTCGTCCGCGTGCGCCGTCAGGTCGAGGTCGGCCGCGCGGCTCACGCCGGGGAACGGGCCCAGGGTGACGACGAAGCCGTCCGCTACGGCCTCAACGACTGCGTTTGGTGGTGCCGAGGCGGCCGGTTCGCAGGCTGGTCGCGGCGGTGAAGGCATAGCGGCCGGCGGAGATGGCACAGGACCTGCTGGAGCGGCCGGCGCCGTCCGCGGCTCGGGCTTCCGCGGCGCCGCGTCGGACGGAGCCGCGCCGAGCCGGCGCGGCGGCTCACAAACGACCACGTCCGTGCGCGACGCGAGCGTGCGATTCGTGCCCAGGCGCACGGGCGCCGTGCTCGGCGGCTGCCCATCTAGGCGCTGCGGCGGCGGGCAGTGCTTCAAATCCTTGTCGACGGCAGTATGCGCATAAAACTTGCCCTGGAGCGCGGCCATGCTTCGCACGCGCCGACGGCGTCGTCTGGTGGGGGCGTATGGGCAGCCTCGAGTTCGACGCACAGTGCTGTCTCTAGCGCCGCCCCGAATTTAAAAAGCCAGAGCCGGTTCCCACGCCGCAGTGCCTCGGCCGAACCCTCGCGACGACCCCCGGCCGCAGGCCGCGCTACCTAGATACTACCGCACTCGCCCGGCATTTGCATCCGGAGCGCCCTGAACTTGGGCAGGGAGCGAGCAGGGAGCGACGTCGAAGATGCACGGGCAGCTCTTAATTCACGCTCTCTGCTGGTGGGCCATCGCGCGCGGCCAGAAAGAAGCGCCCGGGGAGGGGCCCAATCGGCGGAATGCCCACGCGCCCCCGGAGGTGGCAGCCCCTGAGCCGCATTGGGGCCGCAACGCGGACATCCGCGCGAACCTGCCCTTCCTGCACCGGCGCGGCCCCGCGAAGAAGAAGCAGGGGCCCGCGGCGGCGGGGGGCCGCGGCGAGGGGCCGGCGCGGAGGGCGCCCGCGCGGCCGCACGTGGCGCGCCTGGACAAGCGCGACGCGGACCGCGTGCCCGCGTGGCCGCGCGCGAAGAAGGCCCCCCGGCGCGGGCCCGGGAAGGCGCCCCTCCACGGGCCCGGGAAGAAGCGCGCGCGGCCCCTCAAAGGGCCCGGGAAGGCGCCCCTTCACGGGCCCGGGAAGAAGCGCGCGCCGCCCCTCAAAGGGCCCGGGAAGGCGCCCCTCCACGGGAAGCCGCCCGGGAAGGCGCCCGCGAAGCCGCCGGCGCCGGCGCTCGACAAGGAGCGGCTCCGCGAGAAGATGCGGGCGCGGAAGAAAAACGAAGCAGGGCCGGCGCCGCGGAGCGACGGCCAGTGCGCCTGCGAGTGCGAGGCCGCGAGCATCCCGAGCTACGTGGGCGACGGCTGGTGCGACGCCGAGAACAACCTGGCGCCCTGCTACGACGGCGGCGACTGCTGCGCGGAGACGTGCAACCCCGACGCCTACTTCACGTGCGGCATCGCGGGCTACTCCTGCGACGACCCGAACGCGGCGGCGTGCGCCTCGCGGTCGGGCTACGCGTGCGAGTCCGTCTTCGGCGAGGCGACGTGGGCGCCGTGGACCTACTACTACGGCGGCTACGAGCCCTCGCCGGGGCCCGTGACGGACGACGCGCCGCCGGTGCCGGCGCCGGCGCCGGGGCCCGCGACGATGACGCCCAGTTACTACTACTACGGCGGCGGCTGGCGCGACGACAACAACACGGTGGCCGACTGCGTCGACGGGGACGACTGCTCGGCCTACTGGGTCGGCGACGGCGTCTGCGACGGCGTGGACCAGGCGTACGGCTGCGACTTGACGTGCTACGAGAACGACGGAGGGGACTGCGACACTCCGGCCTTTACGGACTGGGGATTTCAGCAGGGGTGGTGCTCCAGCGAGCTCGACGAATACGTGGGCAGCGTTTATAGTATCGAGGAATGTTGGGGCCTGTGCGAAGACACGTACGGCAGCGAGCTCGTGGCCGTCAACCGGGACCAGAACAATTACTGCTACTGCCAGCACGACTGCCAGTGCCTCGACGAGGGCCACGGCGGCGGCTACTACGTCGCGACGAGCGACGCGATCCCCGAGCTGCCCGGCCCGTGCGGCGGCGGCGGCGGCGGCGGCGACGACGACAGCAGCTCGCTGGCCGACTGCGCCGCCGACGGGGACGACTGCCCGGCCTACTGGGTCGGCGACGGTGTCTGCGACGGCGTGGACCAATGGGACGGCTGCGACCTGTCCTGCTACGATCAGGACGGCGGCGACTGCTGCGACGGCTACGCGTGCACCGCTGACGACGACTGGGGCACCTGGGACGACGGCGACGACGCGTCGTACGGGGGGGGCTCTGTCGACGACTGCTCGGGCGACGGCGACTCGTGCCCCGAGACCTGGATCGGCGACGGCCTCTGCGACGGCCTGGACCAGGCGTACGACTGCGACCTGTCCTGCTACGAGCGCGACGGTGGGGACTGCTGCGACGGCTACGCGTGCGCCGCTGACGACGACTACGGCTACGGCTACGGCGGGTCCTGGACGCCCCAGTTCTCCTACAGCTACGAGGGCGCGTGCCCGGCGTCGTGCTACGGGAGCTCCTGCGACGTCTGGACCATGTACGGCTACACCTGCGCGAGCCTCGAGGGCGATTACGACTGCGACTGCTCGGGCTGCGCGTGCGAGGAGTTTGATTTTGATTGGGGGTACGGCTACGGGTCCAACGGAGACGATTATGCGGGAGACTGCGCGGACGCCAACGGCTACGACTGCTGCGCCGCCGCCATCCCGAGCTACGTGGGCGACGGCTGGTGCGACGCCGAGAACAACGAGTCCCCGTGCTTCGACGGGGGGGACTGCTGCGAGTCGACGTGCGTCACCAACGCTTACGAGTGCGGCTTCAACGGCTACGCGTGCCGCGACCCCAGCACCTACGACTGCGACGCGGCGGCGGACGCGGCGAGCGTCGGCGACGGCACGTGCGACGCCGCGAACAACGTGGACCCGTGCTACGACGGCGGCGACTGCTGCGCCGAGACGTGCGTCGGGAGCGCGTGCGGCAATTATCAGTGCGCGGACGTCGCCATCCTCTCGCAGCAGTGCGACGAGGCCATGGCCTGCAGCGCGTGCGGGACGGGCTGCTCGTGGTGCGCCGCGGACCTCGTCTGCGCGGCGTCGAGCGACCTGCCGACCCTGGAGGAGCTCCAATGGTCGGCGCCGGCGGCCACGTGCGACGCGACGCGGGCCGACTACTCCGACACGGGGGCGTCGTGCCCGGCGCGCGACGACCCGGTGGAGGACCCCTACTACGAGGCCGCCGCCTGGTATTTGGAAGCGATCCGCGCGCCCGAGGCCTGGGCCGCGGGCTACACGGGCGCGGGCGTCCAGATTTTGGTGAACGACAACGGCGTCGACAACACGCACCCCGACCTGGCGAAGCTCGACGTCGCGAACTCCTGCGACGTCTACGCGCCCTCCGGCTGGGACGCGCACGGCACGGTCTGCGCGTCGCTGGCGGCCGGCGACGCGAACTCGCACTGCGGCGTCGGCGCCGCGCCGGGCGCCGGCATCGCGTCGTGCACGATGATGGGCGCCAACTTAGCCTCGGAGTACTACGACGGGAGCTTCATCTCGCACCACCACGACGTCAACGACATCTCCTCCAACAGCTGGGGCTACGACCTCTGCGAGCGCCATTCGTACTCGGCGAGCTGCCCGTTCTCGTGCCCCTCGGGCACGTCGTCCTGCCCCTGCGACGTGTGCGACGGAGACGACTGGTCCAGTGGTGATCTCTCGTCGTCCTGCGAGGCCGCGGTCGTGAGCTACTGCTCGTACTACTTCAACAACGACGTGACGCCCTGTTTGGAACTGGACCACTACTTCGTCCAGTGCGGCTACAGCCAGCTCTCGACCGCGGCGCACGACAAGCTCGTCGAGGGCACGACGGCGGGCCGCGGGGGTCTAGGTATGGTCTTTGTCTTCGCGGCGGGCAACTCGTACGACGTCGGCCAGGACGTGAACTACGAGGGCTACCAGAACTCCCGGTTCACGATGAGCGTCGGCGCGCTCGGCCAAGACCTCAAGCACGCGTCTTACTCGTCGACCGGCGCGCCGGTCTTCATCAGCGCGCCCGGCGGCGACTCGGAGAACTACCACGGCATGCTCGCCGCGCAGCCGCTCTCCCACGGCCTCACCGATAATTGTGGCGACGCCGGCATGGGCACGTCCTACGCGGCCCCGCTCGTCTCCGGCGTCGTGGCGATGGTCCTCGAGGCGAATCCCAATTTGACGTGGAGGGACGTGCAAGGCGTGCTGGCCTCGACGGCGACGCGGCCCCACGAGGACGCCGAGGACCAGTGGACCACGAACCAGGCCGGCGTCAAGCACAGCTACAAGTACGGGTTCGGGCTCGTCGACGCGCTGGCCGCCACCGCGGCGGCGACGACCTGGACGACCTGGGGCGCGGAGTTGACGCTCATGACGCAGACAGTGAGCGGCGAGGCCCTGGTCGACTTCGACGGCGCCGAGCACTGGGTCGAGTCGGAGGCGGCGGCGTTCGGCTCGTCGGAATTTGTGATAGAGGGCGTCGCGGTCTACGTGACCATCAAGCATCCCAGGCGAGGCGACCTGCGGATCGAATTGGAGAGGAACGGCGTGACCTCGCTGCTCACGGACGACAAGCTCGAGTTCGGCACGCGCTACACGCACCACAAGTATACCACCCTGAGACACTGGGGCGAGCGCGCGGACGAGGGCGCGTTCACGCTCCGCGTGGCGGACCGGAGAGCGGGGAGCGGCGACGACGACGACCTCGGGTCGAACTACTGGGCCGAGTACTACGCCGACGACGACGGCGACGACGACGGCCTCCTGGTGTCGTGGACGCTCCAGCTCTACGGCCACGACGGCGACCCGACGACGCAGGAGACGCCGCAGCCGACGCTAAGCCCGCCCACGATCACGCGGTGGGGCAGCGGCCAGGGCTGGTGCTACTCGGACCTCGACTACTACATCGGCGGGTACAGCGGCGACGAGTGCTGGCGTGAATGCGAGGCGATCTACGGCGCCTCCCTCGTGGCCGTCAACTGGGACACGGTTGGGGGGGAGGCCAGTTGCTCCTGCCAGAACGACTGCCAATGCATGTTGCCTGTGGGCGACGCCGGTTTCCTCGCGACAGTGGAGGCGGTCGCGGAGCTCCCGGGCGCGTGCGACGACTCGGTCGACTCCGAGAGTGAAAACCAGGGCGGCACCGACGTGGCGGACTGCTCGGGCGACGGCGACGCGTGCCCCGAGGCCTGGGTCGGCGACGGGTACTGCGACGGCGCGGACCAGGTGTACGACTGCGATTTGACCTGCTACGACAACGACGGCGGCGACTGCGAGCCCCCGCCGACGGCCTGGGAGCCGGGCGCGGGCTGGTGCGCCTCGGAGCTCGACGCGAGCGTCGGCACGACGGTGAGCGCCCAGGCGTGCTGGGACAAGTGCGTGGACACGCACGGCGCGGACGTCGTCAAGGCGGTCGACTGGTGGAGCGGCGAGTGCTGGTGCCAGGACGATTGTCAGTGCATGGAGGACCAGGGCGACGAGGACATCCACCTCGTGACGTCGAGCGACATCGCGGCGCTCCCGGACCGCTGCGTCGGCCCGTGCCCCGACGAAGAAGCGGCCTACCACACGTGCATGAACGAGAACGACAGCGCGCGGGGGGACGACGACGGCGACGACGGAGATGATGGAGACGACGACGCCGGGAGCCTCAGCACCTGCGCGGACGTGCAGGCCTGGTTCCCGGACCAGTGCGAGCTGTTCGGCCTCTGGCAGTGCCGGGAGCCGTGGTTCGCCTACGTCGAGTGCCACTACGAGGCCCTGGCCGCGTCGGAACTCGGCCTCGCCTGCGACCTCGACTGCCGGCCGCCGTCGCCCCAGCCGACCGCGAGCCCGACGCTGTCGCCGACGCCGGCGCCCTTCATTGTGGGCGAGGTCACCTTCGACGGTCTCGACGAGGCCGACGCCGAGGCGCACGAGGACGTCATCGTCGATGCCATCGCCGAGGTCGCCGGCGTGTGCCCGGTGTCGCAGGACGAGCTCCACAACGCGACGGCCATCGCCGCGCGCTGCCCGCCGGGCGCGACGCCGGCGGTCGTGACGATCCGCGTCTCGTCGTCGTCGTCGCGGCGCCGCCTCGACGGCGAGGTCGTCGTCGAGTACGAGGTCGAGGCGGTCGACGTCGCGGCGATCTCGAACGTCGAGTCGGCGCTGGCCAAGGCCGAGGAGGACACGACGCTCGTGGACGAGGCGCTCGAGGACGCCGCCAAGGCCGCGACCCTCGAGGCGGCCCAGACCGGCGGCGACACGTCCGTGGCCCAGGCCTTCGCCTCGGTCGCGACGACGCAGCTCCACAGCGAGGTCGTGGCGCCGAGCCCCGCGCCCACGGCCGTGCCGACGCTCGCGCCGACCGTGTCGCCGACCACCGTCGAGTACCGCAAGAAGCAGCAGCGCAAGGAGCTCGTCCGCAACGTCGGTATTCTGACCGGCATCATAGTCGCGGCCATCGTCGCCGGCTGCGCCACGGTCGCCCTCTGCGCGTTCGCCGTGGGGAAGGGCCCCTGCAAGAAGACGAAGAAGACCACGATGGCGCCGGTCGAGGGGGTCCCGGCGAACACCCCCGCGCTCTTCGAGGCGCAGAAAAAGAAGCCCTTCTGGGTGCTGCCGGGGACTCCTCGACGCGCAGAAAAGGCCTGGAGGCCGGAGTCCCCGGGTCCGCCGCCCCTGGCGCCGATCCCTGGGGCGACGGAGACGCCGGCGGAGGAGCCCTGAATTCGAAGACCCCCTTTAACTCGTTTACCCCTACGGTGCTAGGACTAGTGCGATCCCTACCTCGGTCCCGCAGCACCCCGAGGCGCGCCCCCGCTGCCCCGCAGTTAAGATATCCATAGTAAGTGACTCCATAGCTGCCCTTCAGTTATGTATGATTAATTACCCTGAGGTGCAGGCACCTTGAGGTGCGCCAGGAGCGCGTCCAGTTTGCCCGACGTCGCCCGCGCGTCCGCCTCGAGGCGCCGAACCCGCTCCAGGACGTCCCCGCCCAGATCGCCGCCCAGCCAGGCCTCGCGCTGCTCCGTGTGCACGTCCAGCGTCACCATCTTGCGCCAGGCCGTCGTGATCTGGGACACCGCCCGCTCGACCTCGAGCCAGCACCAGTTGTTCCTCCTAAAGCGACTGGTGACATAGGTCGCGGGCACGTTCTCATATAAACAAGAATAATAACCGTCGGCATCCACCGTGCAGATCGTCGCCAAGGCCTCCGACCGCTCGAGAAAACACCCGGGCTCTCTTATAGTAACAGTGCTCCCGGGCTGGTGCCGCAGCGTGATCGCATTTCGTTCCACGACCACGTCGACGTTCTGGAAGCTGACTTCGATCCTCCCGTCCCCCTTGAGCTCGACGACGCGCGCCCGCTGCGGCGCCATGTTCTCCGCGAAGCGCGCGTACACGAGGTCGCCCTTTGAGAGTTGCGTCTTCTGGAAGCGCGACGCGGGCGACAGCATGCTTTGAGTTTTCTGCATCATGGACTGGGCTTTCGGTGGAGACACCGTCGTCATCTCGCCTTTTTTTAGTAAAGCGTCGACGTCGTGCGCGACGGATTCTTTGGATACGGTTTGTCTCGTTCGTGGGAGCCTTACGGTGTACCTTATCTCGTCATCCCCCGACGTTTTCTCGTTCTCCGCGATGTCGAGGTCTCGCCGTTCGTGCGTGGTGCGTATTCGTAACTCGCAGACCACTTCCGCGGGACGCATCTCGCCCTGTCCGAGTTGGACATAAACCTTCTGGCCCGCGTGGAACTCGTCGGACTCCGGTCTTTTCGTGAGGATGTCGCAGTCCTTCACCTTCGCGCGGCGCCAGAGCTGGGGCTTGAAGGGTCGCGTGAGCTTGGCTAGCGTCAGGGGGTCCTCCTTGATCTTCGACTTGCGTCGCTTCGCGAGGACTTCTCGATGATGGACTCGTAGCGCAAGTTTCTGGCACAGGTACGCGGCGTTGTAATACCTAAGTCGAGCTCGGCGCTCCTGCGCGGCGTACGCACCGACCCTAAAAACACCGACCCGGAAGAGTTGCCAGCCGGCTAATCTACGAGTAGCTGCCAACAATTTAGGACAGGCCTCCTGGGACATGATCCGCTCCAGCGTCTCGGCCGACAAGGCGTTCACGAAGACGTGACCAATAGCCGCCACATGATGCGTCGACGGCATCGGCTGGCCCACCAAAGCATGAATAATATCGACCCCAATCACGTCGTGGTTCCTCGACGACAGGAACTCGCCCGAACTCAAACCTTCGGAGAAGCCGTCGCCGTCCTCCGGATGCCGCGCATCCCCATATTTCTTCGCATCATAATCATTCGGCCCGCCGTCGCCCTCGTCGTGCCACGACGCTCTCGCCCTGATTCTAAAGGCGGACCCCTCGAACATGAGCGATAACTGGTCGTTCACTTGACCGCCGCGGACGATAAACTCCTTCGCGGCGTATAGTCTAGGCATCAAGGCCAGCGAGATCTCCGTCACGAGCGTCTGGCACTCCCTGTTCGCGGACTCGAACCTCCGCAACCAGGGACTCGAGGACGGTAACCTCAATCGACTATGCGTGACACCGGTCTCGATGTGCGGCCCGCCGTCCCACCTTTCTCCATAGTGTACTGTGTATCTGAGTACCTTATCTAGCGACTTGATCCTCGCGTACAACTCGCCGTGGGCCGTGAACTCGACGTCGGACGGGGCTACGACCACAAGGGTACCTACCTTAAGTCCCGAGACGGATCGCACCGTATCATTCAGGAACGGTAACTTCGCGACATACCCACCGAGCTCCTCTTTCGCTACGGCTCGTTGCAATGCCGGTGATAGCGATTGCAGCATCTCCCTGTGATATGTCTTGCGGAACAACCCCTCCGAGTTAATGTAGTACTCCTTCAGGTGCCTTTTCAGGGACGTCGTGATGTTCCTTTCGGTAATGTACTGGTTCAGGTTGTCCATGGACGTCCTATACGCATTCAAGGCGGGATCAAAATTCGTCAAAACGTTGGCAATTTCGCCGATCAACAGGGCCGTCATGACCATCCCACACAACATGATCGCCGCGCCCAGCATGTGCTCGCCGAACGTGATGGCGTCGGCTTCTCCCCCAAAAGCTTTGGCCGCCCAGGAGAGCGCCGCGACGTACTCGTACCACAGGCCCCGGCTCTGGAAGCGCACCGTCGCGAGCCAGCACTTGGGCTCGCCCTCCATATCTAGTTCATACACAATATTGTCATTGAGGTCATGGATGTTGAGATGGTCAAATTCATAAAGCTGCGAAGTTCTCTCCTTGAGACCAGTATACTGCGGGCACATCGCGCCCACCAAGCGAATCATGCACGCGAATAAGTGCGTCGTGACGAGGAGTAGGGCCGTGTACTTGAGCATCGTCGTCAGTTTGAAGCTTACATTAACTTTGGAGGCTAGTCGAGAGATCACTCTCCCAAATCTCAGCATCCGCAACAACCGCGGCAACCGCAGCAGCTTCGCCATCCGGATGACCATGGACCCGGACTTGTGGCGGTCGTTCGAGTGCACGAAGATCTCGCCGAACGTCGCGCCGCTCTGCAACATGACGACGGCCTCGAACGGGAAGCAACTGATCAAATCCAGGACGAACCACCCTTTTATATATTGCACGGCGATGGGCCACAGATGCAGGACCCAGCGATCCCGCTCCCGGTCATAGAACGCGAGGTTGAAATTCACCAGTAAATCGACCAAGAAGTAAATGTCCACGATGAGATTAATATAGAACAGCGTCGCGTCGCTCGAAATGAACGCGATCTCGAAGGGCGTCACCAGCGCCACGTAACAGAGGAAGGGGATCATCGTGATCGACCACGCAGAAAAGCACGCGCCGCGCGGGTTGAAGCGCCACGTGCCCCGCGGAAACGTCTCCTCCTGCCGCGCGCGCCGCATCATGGGGTTTTCCGCCTGGTTTACGCCTATTATGACCTTCCGCCAGTAGTTCACGGCCGTCTCATAGCAGTATCGCCGCCTTTCATTCATTTTACTCACGGAGATCTCCTCGACCAAGTTCATGGGACTGACTTTGGCCGTCCGCCGGCGCCATCTTTTGGATTTAGCGTCGTAGGCGTAGTGGTCCGCGTGGGGCTGCGCCTCGCGCGGCGCGGCGGCGTTCTGCGGCAGGGGACTGAAGGCCCACTCGTCGTCGTCTCTCCCAATGCTCGCGCGCGTCGACCCCGTCGTTCGCCGGATGCGCGGCAGCTCCTGCATCGACGGCCGCCGGTTCATGGCCGGGCGCGGGTCCATGGTGAGGCAGCCCCCCGGTGCTTGCAGGCTGGGCAGGCTGGGGTGCAGCCCCCGGCGCGCGGTGGTTCGGTTGGAGGCGCGTCCAGTGGGCTCCGAGAGGCCCACTCCGCACGTCACGCCGCGGTCCGGGCGCGCTAGGACGGCGGTGGTACACCGCCTCTCCTTCACGTGAGGCGTTTTGCGCCTGAACAAGGGCTTTCGAGGGCGGCGTTTAGATTCGTCTTTTCGTCCGGTCGGCGCTGCGGGAGGGCTCGGGGAGACGAGTGGGAGCCGCGGCGTCGTGTCGGATCGTGCGGGTTCGATATGCTCTGGAGCGCAAGAGGAACTAACCTTGTAAGTATAGTACTCTTGAGCGCAGATTGGAGCGCTTGTTTCGAGCAGACTTGCCTTTCGTGCGCGAAGCCTGCTCGATCACAATGATACGCACGAGTCGTTCGCACCGGCGGTAGCCGCGACAGGCAGCCCGCCCACTGAGGGAGGAGCAGGGGCTGCCCCCATGCCCAGGATGGCCCGGTCGCAGTCGCTGCCCCTTGCCCGCGCGCGCGTCGACGACGGCCGCCTCGTCCGGTCCGCGTCGCCGCGGCGGCGATTAGATGAAGACGATCCTGGTCGCGAGGACGACGCCGCGACCGCGTCGAGGCTGGGGCGGGTCCTCGCGCTCGTCGTCCTGACATCCTCGCCAATCTTCCTCTTCCTGCTCTGCGCGGCGGCGCCGGCCTCGAGCTTCCTGGCGCACGTGGCGGGGACGGTCGCGTGGGCGCTGGTTATAGGAAGGGCCGAGGCCGGGGCCTTCGCCGGCATTTTTTGGTTGGTGGAGGCGCTCGGCGGCGCGTTGGGGATCGCGGGCGTCTTAACGCTGCCGTTCCTGGTGGACCCGCCGCTGACAGTTCTTTTCGGGGTGCTCGCTTCGATGCACGTCGCGCTCCTCGACTACTCGCGGCGGCAGCTCGAGCGCCTCTTCGACCGGCGGCGCGTCGCGAGCGAACCCTAAGCAACATGTTTTTTAACTGGGCTGGCCGTCGCGCGCGCCCCCCTTGGGGACGACGCGCGGGACCGGTTGATCCAAGGGACACCTCGAAGCATGGACGAAGGCGCAGACCTTCGGCCAGAACGTCTCCGACTTTTCGGTAGAGAAGTCCAGCTCAAGGACGTCGGTCAATGCTCTCACACGAGCATCGTGCTTCGCGAGTAAACCCGCGGCCTCGTCGCGAGAAGGCGTCCCGCGGAAGCCCATAGCCGCCCAGAAGTGGTCGGCGTACGGCGCGTAGGCGCGGCTCCGGAGCTGCGTCCATCGTAACGAAGACGCCGCCCAGACGTCGGGCGATCGCGTCGTAAGGACAAATTTGGCGTCCGGGAAATGCCTTGCGATGACCGGGATGAGCTCGGGGTCCGTGAAGGGCGAATCCTGGAAGCACTCGTAGGGAGAAAGAGCGTCTATGAATGGTTGAGGGTCGCCCCGCAAGGCGCGTACGTGAAGCTTCTCATCTAAAACTCGGGCCTTGGCCCGGAGCCCCATCTCGCGCAGCCCCAACAGGCGGCAGACCGCACTTAATGACGTCGTGCCCGTCTTCTTCGCCCCGACTCCAAATAGACGCACCCTTTTATCGCAGGTCGAGGGCGACCGCCGCTCGCAGGCGGCGACGCAGGCGTCCACGATGGCATCGTTCCAGTTCTGGCCGCGGTCTCTGGTTTTTTGCGCGCACTCGAGCCAGCACTCGTGCGGGTCGATGGACTGCGTCCTTTTTTTGTGGAGGCACGTCGGCAGGGCGGCTTTCGTCGACGCCGTGTACGCTCGAAGCCTATCGAGGGAGACGGCGTAGCGCACGACGCGCGACGGCGGCAGTCGTTCCATCTCCTTATCGTCGTCAAAGACCCCGTGCACGCCGCGATGCACGTAGAAGAAGACCTTGTCATTCCTGGAAACGAGGCCGAGGACCGGGTGGTCCGTGGACCGGCCCAACGAACTCGGCGTCGAGTTGAGCAGCCGTTTCAGGGGCGAGAAGGCGACGCCGTCGCAAGTCAGCGCGAGGCCGACGAAGGCGTCGTCCCCCCCGGGCGCGTTGTGGACGACGGGGAAGAGGCCCAGCGCCGTCGACGGGTCGACGGGGTTCGCGGTCACCGCCGCGTAATAAATGTTGTCGCCCGGCTCGACGCACGTTGCGTAGGCCGCGATGTTGATCGAGGCGAAGGGTCCGAACGTCGCAGAACTTTCCAAGATCGCCGCCTGGACGTGCCGCCCGCCGAAGCCGCCGTCGCGGGTCCTGTTGCGGATCAGATTCGACCGCGCGTAGGCCACGACCCTGTCGGAGACGCGCACCATCGACACGCGCCCGTCGAATTCGCAGAACGTGCCCGTCCGCGGCCGCCGATCTACGCACGAGGCGTGCGACCCCAAGAGCGTGGCCTTGGTCGGGGCGCGCCCGAGGCTCGCGAGGCCCTCGGGCGTGGGCGCGACGGGCCCCCTCAACTCCAGGCCCTGCTTCGCGTTCCCGAGGCCGCCCAGGGCGTAGAGGCCATCCGCGTCTCTCCAGAGCGCCAGGTTATGAGCCGCCGACCGGCCCCGGAACAGCGTCGTCTTCGCGTCGGTGCACGCGAACGCATCGTCGCAGCCCGTCTCGACGTGGACGTACGTGCCGGGCCCGTCGGCCGACGGCGCCGCACCGCGCCGCGCCGCGAGCGCGAGCCCGGACGCGCCGAGGCCGACGACCGTCAGATACCGGCGCTCGTCGTCGAACGAGCGCACGACGCGCGCGTCGCCGAAGAAGTCCCGGTCATAGTTCGTGTCGTCGTCGCCGACGCACGTCGCCGGCGTGCAGTCGGCGCGACGCCTTACCGCTCCGACCACGGCGCAGCAGAGGACGAGCCTCATGGCTGCCCATCGATGGCGCGTTGCATCGATGGCGTGGTTTGAGGCTACCCGATGGCAGGAGACGTTAAACGCGCTTAGCCTAGCCTCGTTTTTACCGAAAAACGCGCGGGCGTAAAGCCTAGTGTGTCAATTAACTCTAGATGGCAGAAACTTTTTCTCCCCCGCATTGATGCAGATGGCCACGACAGGCTGCCCAAACGACTGTTCTCCCCCGCATTGATGCCGCTTCCGACGCATTGGACAAGCCTCGAATACTCGCTACTGCCCTGTGAGCAGCAAAGGCAAAATGGTCGCGTTATAGAGGCCTCGTGCCATTGGCCGGGGATTCTCTAGCTTGGCGTCGTGAAAATGGTCGCCATAGCGGTCGGGCTGGGCGCCCTGCTGCTCCGGGCAGCGGCGGCCTGGCACCCGACGCCGCACAGTAAGGCGCCGAACGCGACGGCCGGCGAAGAGCTCTTCGAGCGCGCGGTCGCGGCCGTGCGGGGCTGCGCCGCGCAAGACGACGCGTACCTCTCGTGCGCGCTGGGCACCGAGGCGGGCGCGTGGGACTTTCACTTCCATCGCTTCGGGCCCGCGCAGATCACGAACCCCACGGGGCGCGGCGGGCAGCTGACGCTCGTCGAGGGCTTCGACGTGCCGCACTGCACGAGCGCGCGGGCGCCGGGCCGCCGGATCCGCCGCGCCTGCCCGCTCGCGCCCCGGGGCTTCAACGACACGGAGGCGGTCCTCCTCACGCACCCCTGGGGCGGCAACTTCCAGCATTACGTGTTCGAGCTGCTGCCCCGGGCCTGGCTCGCCGCCGAGCTGTTGCGACGGGCGCGTCCCGACGACGCCGAGCCCGCGTTCGTGGTCCACCTGCACAAGTACCGGCGGACGGGCTTCTTCGCGGACGCCGCGCGCCTGGCCGTGGGCACCGAGATCGAACTTGTTGTTGATCAGGAGGGCCGCGGGGGCTTCCGGAACGTCTGGGTGCCGCCCTACGTCGTCGAGAACTTCCGGAGTTGGTCCGCGCTGGGCCTGAAGGCCCTGCGACATATGCATGCGAAGGCCCAGGAGACGTACGTAACGAGGCCGCCGCGGCCCGGGACGATCGTCTACTTCACGCGCCGCGACGCAAGTGCCGGGAAGGGACGGGCCCTGGTCAACGAGGCGGAGCTCATCGAGGCCCTCGCGGGCCGCGGGGCCCGCATCCTGGACTTCAGCGCATTCCCGACGCTCGGCGACCGCGTCCGCGGCCTCGCCAACTACTCCGTCGTGGTGACGCCGTTCGGCGCCGGCTTCGCGAACTTGGTTTTTGCGCACCCCGGCGCGCGGTGGCTCAGCGTCTGCCCGCCGACGATGTGCAATTCGCACGAGCGGTTCTTCCTCGACCAGCTCACCAGCGCCCTGGGCTTCCGGACCGGCGTGCAATACACGGCCGCGACCGCCGCCCGCGCCGTCAACGACGGCGGGGGCGGCGCCGGCGACCCGAAGAACGTGCCCTACAGCGTCGACGTGCCCGCCGTCGTTCGTGCGGTCGAGGGGCTCGCGAGAAGTTAACTATGTGGTCGCTATTATTATTGCGCTAGGACCAGACCTCTAATTACAGCCGGTGCGCGCTACTTTAGCCTGCTAAAAGTGGTAAATACAGGAGCACCAAAAATTCCACACCACGAGTCCTGGAGCCCGGGCGACGCGTGCACCAAGCCGCGTCGGGCGTTCAATTCCCCTCTAGAAAAAGAACCGAAATCAGGCAAAGCCCCCCGAGGGTGGCCGGCCAGGCCTGCAGGCCGGGCCGCCCACAGAGCAGAAAGGTGCCGGTACTGCTCGAACCGGCATTGGGTCCGCCGCCCGACGACACGTGCGCATCGATACCGCATCATCGAGGCTGCCCCAACTGCGATGGCTACCTCCACTAGACCTGCCTGGATTGCGGCAGCAGAACGACGCCTCGCGGGCGCACCAGACGTTGTGGAGGAAGCGCCACGCGCCGCTTCCGCCGCGGCGCCGCCGTCGCCGCGCGTGCCCGAAACGGCGGCGCCGGTCGTCACCGCCGCGGCGCTCGAGGCCGAGTACGAGGCCGCGCTCGCGGCCGCCTCGGCCGTGAACAACGACGACGGCGACGCCTCGGCCGTGAACAACGCCGCCGACCGAATTGCCGCCGCGGCGCACCGCCGCCGCGGCGCCCGGGCCGCGTTCCTCACGGGCCTCGGGGAGGAACCCGACCACGAGCTCTACCCGAACTATCAGCACGAGCGGCGCCTGCGCCGCGCCGCGGGCGAGTCGGACGAGGCCTGGGAAAAGCGTATGCTGGCGGGGTCGCCGACGCGACGGCGGCGGCCGCCGGGGGCGGGTTAAACATACAGCATTATTATCTTCTATGCACGACGCGGTCTGGCGGCCGAGCTGTCGTGTCGGCGCATTGCCGCCGGAAGGCCGCCTCGTCGAGGCCGAGGCAATAGGCGACTCGTGCGCGCGTGACCTCCGACTGCCGATGGCCGTGGACGGCGCGGCAGGCGTACGCGCCGCGCGAGTTCCAGCCGTGCCAGGACGTGTTCCAAGTCGGTGGGCGCGCGGCCGACAGCGGGACGTTCGGACAGTAGTAGTCCTCGGGCAGGATCAGGAGGCGGAGCCGGCCCGCGAGGTTTTCCTGCCACTCATACCACAGCATTTCCTGGTCACCCTGGCGCACGTGCGCGTGCCGCTTCGTAGCCAGCCGGTCGGCCGCGCCCAGGAGCCACGCTTCGACCAACGGGGACTTGGTGAGGCGTAGGACGCACGCGCAGAAGGGCGGCGCCGCGGACGCGTCGGCCCCCCACGTGGAGTGGGCGAAGTAGCGCGCCGGGTCGACCGGGGCGGCCGCGTCGGTCTCGAGCGCTAGCAGCGAGTGGACGAAGGTCGGTCGCAGCACGAGCACGTCCGTGTCCAGGGACAACGTCGCCTCGAATGGGCTCTGGAGCCACGCCGACAGGCGCCAGAGCCAGATATTGTCCTCCGTCGCCGCTGCGCGCGCCTTTATGCGCGGGTCGACTCCAACGACGCCTGAGTCGTCCCACGGCGCGGGTGCCGCGGCACGAGCCAGGCGAGCGAGGAGGTCCCCTGAGCTCGCCGCGAGGAATACCGGGTAGCGCGACGCCTGAACCGCGACGCGCCGGGTGAAAGTCAGGCTCGCGACAACGTCGCGGACGTAGCGGTCCGGTGTGCCCCCAGGGCGGTCCCATACGGCGTATAGCACGCCGGCGGCCGCAGCGAGGCGGCGGCGTGGCCTCCTGTTGTTCCCGTTCCGCACGATCTCCTGGGCATGCGCGAACTCCGCGGCCGAGAGGGAGCCTGCGGCGCGCAGCGCCGCGAGCCGCGCCAGCGGGGCGTCGGACGCCGTCGCGTTGCTCGCGGTCGACCCAGCCGTCGGTCTAGGGACCAGCGGCGGCACCGACGTCGGACCCTCCGGCGCGCAGGAGTTGGGGGGCGCCGGCCACGCCGCCGGGGCTTCGCCGCTCTGCTCCGCCAGGGCTGGCACGACCACGACCTTGGAGAACGCCGCAGCGACGCGTTCGATGTGCCCCACGACTATGAAGTTCGGCGGCGCGTCCTCAAGCGCCGCCCACGCGTCGAACGTCCGACCAGCGCTGGCCAGGTAGGCAACGCTCGACCAGACGAGGCAGTCGCGCCCCAGCGCGCACCATGGCCTCCGACTGACGTCGCATGCGCACGCGCAGCCGCGCCCGTCGTCCCGGGACCACGTCGTCCCCGGCGCCCGCTCGCCCCCGAACCCCCACCCTAGCCGCACGCTGAGCCACCCCGCGGCGCGGAGCACCGTCGCATCGAACTCCGCCAGCCGCGCGCGAGACCACGGCGGCGCGGCCGTCGCGACCGCGTCGTCCTCGAGCACGAGCACGGTCGCGTTCAGCGCGAGTGTCTCCCGTGCGTCTTGTAGCACTGCGAGGTGCGTCAGCGTCGCACGCGACTGCTGCCGCGTCGCACCGTCCACGCGCGCGCATCGGTCGTAGCGCAGGCCGTCGACGACGAACGCATGGCGCCACGCGCTCGGCGCGAGCTCCGGCGTCCGCTCGCAGCGCCGCGCACAGAGGACATACACGCGCTCCACCAACCCGCCGATGGCCGCGAGCGTCGATTCGTCGCGTTGCGTGCCCTGGAAGGGGCGGAGCGCGCCTTGGCACTGGCGCAGTGGCGGCGCATTGAAGCGGCCATGCACGCAGTGCAGCGCTGCGACGATTACGAGCGCGATGCGCATACTCGCAGCATGTGACGGGCTGCCCGAGTTGCGAGGTAGCTAGAGACGACGGGCTCTAGACTTATAATTTCCCGCTCCAAGCTTAAAATCAGATTCTGTACCCAGCAACCAAGGGGGACTAATATACACGTATACTTAGACGCCCTTGGAGCTGCCCGAGGGCTGCCCATAGGCATAATATGCATGCTTAACCAACACATGGGCGGCAGTGCCTGGCGGCTGCTCATTTGCGCCGCCTGCCAGGCTGCCGCGGTGACGTGCCCGGCAAATGAGGGCTCGGAGGCATGTCGTCTGGTGCCGCCCGCGGCCGGCTACACGCGTCATGGCATAACTCTAGACGCGCTCCGGTCGTCGGACTGCGTCGTGGTGACAACGACGATGCGCCACCCCGGCAGGGGCATCGAGATCGCCGCGCAGCTCGCGCGCGCGACGCCCGTCGTCGCCCCAGATGCCTGCTGCGCGCGCTTTGTGCCTCTGACGTTCTGCCGCGAAGAGGCTCGCTTACTCGATGCGAACGGCACGTGCAACGTCTCCACGGCGCGCAACACCGGCAAGGAGGCGATGGGACTGCTGATCGCGTTCTCGGACGAGGTCCTACGACCGGCGCTGGCGCGGGCGTGCGGCGTCCTCAGCGTCCCCGAGACGGCAATGGACCGCGTGGGCCGCGACCGCGAGCGCCGGGCGACGCGGATCGCGCGGACCTTGAGAAGCGGCGTCGCCGTCGGGCCCTACTGGAGCGGCGGGGCGTTCCGCCAGCATGGTCAATTCCACTGGAGGCCGCCGCTCACGTACAAGGCGTGGACGCTCGACCCGGCGTCGCCGGCCACCCTGGGAGAGTGGGGCCGCGCGGTCCTGCCGCCGGACGCCGTGGCGCGGGCCGCCCGGGGCAACTGGAGCACCGAGTGGTCCAAAGGCGTCTTCTTCGTCAACGCGACGGCCGCGCGCCGCTACGCGGCCCCGACCTACGTCCGCTTCATGCGGGAGCTCGCTTTTCCGCACCCGGCCGCGGGCCACTTCCTGGAGCGTCTCTGGCGGGCCCTCTACGGGGCCGAGAGCGCGGCGGCGGCGCGCGTCGCCGAGGATCGACCCGTCATCGGCGCCTCCCGCGCGCTCGGAGCGGGCACTGACTGGTGGGCGAACCTGTCGACGCCGGCGGCCGCGCGCTACCAGTACGGCGGCGATCACGCCAGCGCCTGCGCGGACGCGCGCGCGCGGCAGCGCGCGTGGCGCAGTGCGTACGAGCACGCGGGGTGGGTCGCCGACGCGCCGGACCTCGGCGTGTGCGAGCCGCGCGGCGCGCCGTGCGTCGAGGATAGCCTCTCTGGCTGCTGCGACCGCGGGCCGGTCCCCGGGCCGGCGCCGCCGCGGGCAGGTTCCTTCGTCGCGGTGTCGCTCGCGTCGTCCGAGGCGCCCTGCGCAGTGCGGCAGAGCGTGGTCGACGTGCTCGCCGTCGCGGTGCCGGCGACGCTGGTCGTCATCCACGTCGGCTGCTACTCGCCGGCGTCGCCCGCGGACCGCGTGGCGCTCGCCGACGCGTTCCCCGGTCGCGCCGTCCTGAACCCCGCCTGCGTGCCGACGCTCCGCGCCTACGGCAGCATTCTCCACGCGCACCTCCGCAACGTCAAGTTTTTGGCGGCGCTCTACGGGTCGAGCGGTCCGTCCCACGTGATCCTCGCGGCGGCGAACCTCGCGTGGCGCGCGCGGGGCTTCGAGGCGTTCGCGGTGCGAACGGGGGCGTCGGCGCTCGCCGCCCCTGCCTTCCGGCGCCTCGACCGGAACCGGACGTTCGACGCCGCCGACGGCGACTGGGCGCGCCTCAACCGGACGCGGGCCGGGGACGGCGTGCTCGTGCAGAAGCACGAGGGCGCGTTCTATCCCTTTGCCGTGCTCGAGCGGATGGTCGCGTTCCTCGAGGCCGCGGGCCCCCTCGGGCGCCTGAACGCGCGGACGTGCCTCGGCTGCGCCGCGCTGCCCGGGCTCTGCGTCGAGGAGCTCTACCCGGCGAACCTCTACCGCCTCCTGACGGGCGCCGGTGGCGCGCCGTGCGCCGCCGACGACGCGTGCCGCCCCTGGGACGGCACGCTCGCCGCGCGCGCGGACCACCTCCGCCCGGGCGACCTCGGCGCGACGAAGTTCGCCGTCAAGGACTGGCGTCACCGCGGCTGCGACGGGGCGCCCGAACCGGACGCCGCAGGCCCCGCGGCCCCGCCGCCGGTGTCAGCGTTCGACTGCGCGTCCGACGACGACTGCGACGCGGCGCGGCGTGAGCGTTGCGTCGGCCGGGGCGAAGGCCCGGGCGCGGCGTGGCCGGGGCAGTGCGTCGTCGAGGCCCCGCCGGCGCCCTGGGCCTTCACGTGCGCCTACGCCTACCCGGCGGTCGGAGGCGCCGTCGCGGGCGCGCCCGTGGTGCCCGACGGCGCGCCGTGCCTGACGCTCGTCGTCGACGCCGCGCCGCCGCGCGTCGCCGCCGCGCCGGCGGTCGCAGTCCTCGTGGTCGGGCTTGCGGAGGGCCTCGACCGGCCCCAAGTTTACGAGAGGATGCGGAGCTGCTTCCTCCGGAACTTGGGGCGCCACGACGTCTTCGTGAACCTCGAGCTCGCCGCGGACCCCAAGACGCTCATGGCGGACGCGCGCTGGAACCACGCGGGCCGCGCCGTCGGCGCGCGGGACGTGGCGCCGGCGCTCGCGGCGCTGCGGCCGCGCCTCGTGACGCTCGGCGAGCCGCGCATCGAGGGCTTCGCGGACGGCGGCAACGCGTGGAACCGAAGCGACTGGTACTCGGGCACGCGGCACGACACGCACTGCGGCGGCCGGGCGTGGAAGGTGGACCTCCACTACGGCGCGGGCCGCGCGGTCCGTATCTACGACCGGTACCGCCGGGCCATGCTCCTGGTCAACGCCGCCGAGCGCGCGGACGGGCGCCGCTACGACTGGGTCGCCAAGCTGCGACCGGACCTCTTCTTCGCCGCACCCGTCGGCTTCGCGGACGTCTTCGGGGACGCGGGCGCCAACGTCGCGGTCCGCTGGGCGTGGTTCAACGCGGTGTCGCGCGACGCCGCGACGGCGGGTTTCGTGGACGGCGCGCTCACCTACTGGCGCTGCGCCGGCGTCGAGGGCCTGCCTGGCCACACGACCGTCAAGGACGAAACGTGGCTCGCCGAGTCGCTCCGGCGCGGCGGCGCGCCGATCAGGCACGGCGGCGCGGAGCTTCGGGCCGCGATCTGCCTGCTCCGCGCGACGCCCGATGACGACTCGCTCTGCGCCGCCCGCCGCCGCGCGAATTCTTCGGCGATATCCGCGTGCCCCGCAAACACGCGCTCGTAGCGATTAAATGTGCCAGTGTTGTCCGCGTGAGTACTTGCTTGTAGTACATACATTCAAAAACCACAATTACACAAAGGTCCCTGCGTCCGGACTTGCGTCCGGCGGCGCCGCGTCCGCGTCCGCGTCCGCCGCGGGCGACGCCGCCCGCTTCGGCCGCACGGCCCGCGCCAGCGGCGACACGATCCGCTCGAGGGGCTGCCTTGCTAGGCCGCGCGCGACCTGGGACGTCTCTCTATGGACGTCGGACACGTCGAAGAGCACGCGGCCGACGCCGACGCCCGGCGGCGCCCGCCCGACGCGCCGGTGGCGCCAGAGCCGCCGCTCCCGCCGCTGCACCTCGTAGAAGTCGCCCCAGGCCCCGAGCCAGCCCTCCGCCACCCGTCCGAATTGCGCCGCGGGGAAGGCCCAGGCGTGCAGTAGCGCGAAAAGCAGCATCTCGACGCACATTAATGTGGCTTTGATCGCCGACTGCACCGCGGGGTCTTTTGCTGGACGCGCGAGGAAGTAGGCGCTGATCCCCAGATCCTGGAAGAACGTGCCAAAAACTAAACCCTTGACTGCCACAAACTTCCAGAAGGGCTCCGCCGGCACCAGTATGTTCGACTTTTTGCACGTCGCGTAGTAGAACAAGACCAGACAGTAGATGGCGTGGTTCGCCACGTTGAACTGCACGAAGTCGAGCCAGTTCTTGGGCGAGAGCAGGGCCGCCGTGACCTGTGTGGAAATCGACCAGTACGCCATCGAGCTGCCGCGGTCACGGCGACAACGTCGCGTCGATGGCGTGGGGCGCCCGAAATTCGATTTCCACACAGGCCGTGACCGAGGCGTCGTCCGAGCTCGCGAGGCTCCCCAACACGTCGACCAAACCATTCAACGGGGCGACCGTCGCATAGAGTAAAATGACGTAGCGGCACTGGTCGAAGAAGTCGGAAGTGTCCAGCCGCCAGGGCGCCCAGACGTAGGGCGACATGATAGGATGCGAGACAATCGGGTAGGAGATGTCCGGCGTCACTATCGGAGTATGTGTGACAGGCACGACGTCCTCCGTCCGTAACGCGTTCTGGAGCACTTTATAAGGCGGCGCGTCGAAGTGGACTTCTAGATAAGTCGACATAAAATAAAAAAAGTTCAGCACCGTGTAGGCCTCGTAGCAGTCCCGGAGAGCCGCGGGGATCGACGCGAATTTCAACATGTCCGGCGCGCCGTGGATCGCCGCTAGGGAAAAAGCCAGCTCACACAACGAACAGATCGCATAGACGGGCACCATCCACAAAATCCTCACCACATACACTTGGAGGACCGGCTGCCAGAAATTCGTGAGGTGCTGTCTGATACCATGTATGGAAATCGGGATCGAGATGCCCGCGAAGATTAATGAGACGGGCAGCAGGAACTTGTCCGGCGTGGCCTTTCTGTAAGCTGCGAGCCAATAGAGCATGGCCGGTAAGGCTGCCGCTAATAGGAGCATGATAAAAAGTACTAAACACACGTAGGTCGCCTTTTCCTTCACGACGTGCCGTCGCTGTAAGCGCTCATATAACTCGTCATCATCTGTGTCGTCGTTCAGCGGTGCGCTGAGTTCCGTCGGGTCCGGCTCCATGGTTCTGCCAGCCGATGCGCGCCGCAGCCGCGCGGATGCTCTGTTTGACCAGGGTGTCTGAGAGCCCGCGGCTAAGGGGCGTAGCGCGAGGGCTCGTGGAATGAACTGAGAAGAAATAAATGACCCAGTAACTCGTACAGGCCCGCAGGGAGACCACGGAGGCGCACTTTTGACTTTTGGCCTCCGAGCATAGCTAGCGCATGTAAGACACTAGTCCGGCGCTGTATTCGCCTCCTGAGGCAGTATATCGACGGATAGAGGGCATAAAGCTGCCACACGCATCCCACGCGAGGCGCACAAACCTTTTGGGGCTGCCTCGACGCCACCGACGCGCGCCCAGCTGCCCCACCAAGAGCCCTGCCAAACAATACGCCTGTCGTAGCGGTGGGGAATATCCTTTGGGCTGCCCGACGCGATATATAGGCTGCAGAGTAAGCCAAGGCCAAGAATAGCTGCCAGAGCAAGCCAAGGCCAGAATGTCAGACATCCGAGTGACCGTGCCACCCTTGGACGAGCTCAAGGAAGCCTTTGCGAAATTCGACACGGAAAGCTCGGGCGCGATACCGGTCCACGACCTCGGAGCATTATTGCGCTCCGTCGGCGTCGTCGAGCTCAAGGAAGATGACCTGCAGGCGCTGATTAGTGAAGAGATGTTCGACAAGAATTTCGACCTGCCCGAGTTCTTAGCATTAATGGTCGAGATCGGCCACACGCTGCCCGCGCCCGGCACGGAGAAGAAAGAGCTGCGGAAGGCCTTTAAGGCTGCCGATTCTGACAAAGACGGCTACCTGACGCCCGACGAGCTGCGACAAGCGATGGACGGCATGGCCGCCGAGCCGTTGGGAGATGACGAGTTTCAAGTCATGCTGGATGAGTGCAGGAGGGACGCGGAGATCGAAGAAGGCGAGCCGATAAAAATCGACGCGGCGGTGCGGTTCTTCCTGACCTCATAAAATTGTATATGTGAGACGAGCACTTAAGGGGAGAAAAGGGACAAAAATTCACTCCTCGGCGTCGCCCGCATCAGCCATCGCGCGCGCGTCCTCGCGCGCCTTCTTGCACGCGTCGTAGGCGGCCTTGCACTTCTCCTCGACCTCCTTCGCCTCGGCCGCGAGGCGCTCGGCCTCCTTGCACTTCTCGGTCACCGTCTCGCGGTCCTTGCGCTCGATGGCCGCGAGCGCCTCCTGGGACGCCTGCTGGGCCTGCTGCGAGAGCGACTCCGCCTCGAGCGCGTACTTCTGGGCCTCCTGGGCGCGCGCCTCGATCTCCTCGACGGCCTTCAACGACATGCCCTGGGAGAGGTCGGGCCGCGGGTCCTTGGCGAGGTAGGGAGACACGGGCGTCCAGTTGCGCCAGCTCGCGGGGTCGCTCGCCGGCGCGTCTGCGGGGGGGCGGTCGCGTCGCCGGGCGTTTGCGGTCGCGCGCATTTGTGTGTAGCAGCCGCGGCCGTGTAGAGACCGGCGTCATCGGGGCGGTTTCGCGCAGGTGCGTCTCGGCCGGCCGACGCGGCGCGCCGTCGTTGGAGTGCGCGTGCTGCCAGGTGTGTGTGGAGCGTCCGTTCGATCGCTAACGGCCGCGGCGCCGCAGGAGTTCGGGCGGCGGCAAACGAGGGTCCTAGTGATTGGAGCTGTTGGGCACTGGTAGCCACCGGTCGGCATCGCGCTCGACATCTCTGCACAGCGGTGGTCTTTTAGCACTGCCCAGCTGTATGGAAAGGGCCCGAGGCGTGCTGATTTGCCAAAAACGCCGAGCGCTGAGCGGTTGGAGGAAAACCCGAATTGATTTGTTCGTTCGAAACCATCTCAATAATGAGTGTACAAGAGTGTTCTCAGCGCCGTCAGAGCGTGGCACCGCCGGAGAAAACCCGCATTCTCAGCCAAGCTTGCAAAAAGACTGCGCGGCATTGTCCATATCACAGCCGCGGTGTGCCCGCACGGCTGGTGTAGTAGTGCTACGTGTCGCACTGCTGCCACCACAACAGCTGGCGAGCCCTGCGCTGCCTACGAGCAGCACAGGCAGCAGGGCAGCTATAGCATGAAGACCAAACCAGGCGGACGCGCAGCGAGAACCGACCTGCCACCCGACATTCCGGAAGAGCTCAAGGCACTAGATGACGCCGCGTTACTAGATGCACTAGAAACGCAGCCGCCGGCCGTCGCGACGCGCGCGCTGCACGAGCGATTAAGGAAGAAACCGGCGCCCTCGGACGCGTTCAAGAGTGGCGCGCGCGTCTTGCTCGCGCGCATCGTCTTCCGCACGCCGTCGTCGAGTGCGGCGACGGCCGCCGCGGCTTATGGATTTTCCGGACCCGACGGCGCGCTCTTGCTCGAAGCGTTGCGAGGCGCGCTCGAGAAAACATCATCGACCAATGCGTTTACGAACGCGGCGGCTCGAGCCTTGGTCGCTACTGATTCTGAAGCGTACAAACGCGAGGAGTGGCCGCTGTCCGCGAAAGTCGCGCTCGTCCACGCCGCCGCCAAGACGCTGAAACATACGGAAGCCGCTTCAAAAATCTGCGCGGACGCTTCTAGAACTGCGGACGACGATGTCACAAGGGCCGCGGCGCTCGACGCGCTCACGGCGCTGGCGAAGCGCTCGAAATCATGCCGCGGTATCGCATCACAAGCGGCCGCCGATTCATTAAGGCGGCCCCTGGACCGGCGGCGGTTTGCCGCCGCCGTGGCCTGCTTGAAGATTTGCGGTTCGTCAAATGTGACCGCAGCATTAAAGACGGCGAACGACCCCGACGCGTGCCTCAGAGGCCGCTGCGCCGCTCTAGAAGCGGCGCTGCCTTCGTTACAAGCGCCGCCATCGACTATGTGGGTTGATTTAGTTGAGCCGGGATTAACTGGAGACGCGGGGTCGAGACGAGCGGCCGTGGACCTCGCCTCAACAGCTTCGAACACCTTCGGCTTCGAGAGCTCGGGCGCGCTGCAGTGTTTGGTGCAGTCATTAGCCTCGTCCAAACAAGGCGTCGACGAGCTGTGCCTCAAGCTCTTGGATTGTGAGGATCATGATAGGAGGTGCTCATCGTTAGCCGCGGAGCTGCTTCTCGGGGCGCCGCCTTCCTGTAGAGTCCGGGCCTGCCGCGCGGCGTTGCAAGCGCGGTCGCAGTCGACGCACGCTTCGAAGCTGCTCGACGACGACGCGTTACGTGAAGCTTTGATGGATGCCGACGACGCGTGCCGCGCGGCGGCCGTCGAGGTGCTGGGGAGGCGCTCGTCCGATCCAAGGCGCCTGGCGGCGTTTTTTGATGATGCGCCGCTCGAGAAAGCGCTGAAATGTGCGGCGCGGCGCTTAGCGCGGAGTTCAGCAGCTCTAGAATTGGGCGAACTCGCGTGTCGTGCCTTGGGCGATGCCAGTACGGAGGCGAACGCGTCATCAGTGCTCGAGGGCTTGTCCGACGGCCCCCACGCCGTGGAATTAGTGGAAAGATGCCGTTCTTCACTATTAGAAGCTTTGCGGACGTCGCGCTGGGACCGACGGCGGCGCGTCTACTACGACTTACTGAAACTAGGCCCACCGATCAAGGAAGACCATGATGAGGACTTCTCCGACGGTTCTGCAAGGCTGACCGCTTTGTCTGGAGATTTGAGCCTCGCGTCGAAAGCAGAGGCGACCATAAAATCGCCTTATCTAGGAGCGCTTTCGCTCCTAGCGGACCAATTGGACGACTCAAGCGCTCTCAGTGCCGCCGGCGCCGCCGCGCGAGATTTAAGGTTGTGGGGTGCCCAGCTGCCGGCCGAAGATGGCCATGAAGACTCGTCTGATGAGGAGGGCGAGTCCGACGCGTGGCACGGCTGCCGGAACGCCTGCGCGTTGGCAGCTTCTGTAGCGCGCCACGCCCCTACTATGATTGGCGACGCGGCCCTTGAGCTACTATTGAGGACGCGCCACACGGGCGCCATCAACGGGGGCGAGAGTGTCCTAAGGGCGGCGTCCTTGTCAGGCACGGACGAGGATCGAAGGAGGTGGCTCAAGACCGCGTTGACGTCGTGTCGGCGACCGGACGACCATTTATCGAGACGCCGGAGCGCCGGCCTCGGCGCGGCGCACGCCGCTTTGCTGGACACGGATCCCTCTCTCTCACAAAACGCGTGCAAGTTTCTGATTACCATCGCTTCCAATGGAGGAGCTAGAGACGCGAAGAGGGCGTTGAATGTTCTGGCGGCCGTCGCCGACCGCGCCTCGAATGCGTTGCGGCACGATTTGGGGAAGGCGCTGAGCGCCTCGCTGACACGCGCGGACGACGGCGACTGGGGGTGTCGAGGGGCGGCGGCGCTGTGCGCCGCCGCTTTGTTGAGACGTTTGTACCGCGACGAGCGGAGTCTTTTCGACGGGGCGGAAGGCGACTTGCGGTCCTATACTCATATAAAGGAGGCCGTCGACGACGCTTTAGCACGGGAGGGCCCCATCGGCCGCACGATCGCGTTGCGTTGTATTCGTGGCTGCCGAGCGTCAAAACCATCGCAAGAGACGTGGCTCGCGTTACTCGGCGCGAGCGACCAGCGCGTCCGCGTCGCCGCCGCCGAGACGCTTTCTTCCTTGAACGAACCCTGGTGCACTCCATCACTACTGTGCGACGGCTTGTTACCTCAGAACGACCCCAATGGTGCCCACGGCCGCCTCCTGTGCTGCGCTTTACTCCCTCAAACAAATTCCACGGACGACGTCAAGAGTTTAATTAGATGCGCGTCGCGCCTCGCGCCCAAGAATGCCGATGAGGTCTGGTGCCCGCCCGTCCATCTGGTGGCGTGCGAGGCCTTGGCAAAGCACGCGCCGGCGACGCCGCGCCTGGCCGCGGCCGAGAACGCATGTATTGAGCGAATATTGGCGCGTGGCACACGCCCCGACACTTTACCAGGAGAGGGCCGCCTCGACGCGGCGCTCGCTATTAGAAGATGCGCGCGGTTAATTGGAGAGGACGCGAACGAGGCCCTCAAGCTGCTCGACGACGACGTCGCGGACCCCGTCGCCATTGGATTGCTGGGCGCGGCATCAAAAGCGTGCGGCATTGTCAGAGACGAGCGGTTTTTAGATGATTTGGATCTGGACGAGGCTACGTGTGAAATTGGGGAGGGCCGCGTGCCGCCGTACGTCGTCCAGGCCGAGCTTCGGAGGCTCACGACGGCGTCTCCATCAAGGCGCGCGGCGGCGCTGAAACTCGCGCTCGCGGCGGCGGCGTGCGGGAGCCTCCACGAGGCCGTCGTCGAGGTCGAGGTGCCTGCCGCCGTCGTCGAATCTTCCAGGAGGTGGCCCGAGGCCGCGCGCGCGGTCGTGGCGCAGCTCAGGGCGATCCTACAAAACGACCACGGGCCCGCGTTGTCGTGCTTCCGGGCCAACGGCGGCGTTCTATTGAGGCGGGGCGCCGCGCGCGCGTGTGCGCTGCTCCAGGACCCGCCTTCTTCAGTAATTCAGGCGTGCCTGGCCCTCGCGTGCGATTCTGATCGCGTCGTCCGGGCCAACGCGGCCGACGCGCTGGCGCCGGGGCTCAGTCCGGCGGCCGCCGTCGTTAGTGTGGCGGCGGAGTTCACGGGCGTCGTGCCCGTCAAGGCCAAGGCGCTGCTGGCGCGGCGCGCGGCGTTGATGAAGGCGCCGCCCGCGGCCGCGCCGCCGGGGCTCGTGGTCGACGCGCCGCCGCCGCCGCCCTCGCCGATCTCTCCGGCGACGCCCCCCAAGCGCGTTGGCTCCAACAGCAAGTTCCCGGCAGTTCCTGATCCCGAGACGGTCCGCGCGCCCGCGACGACGCCGCTCGCGTCGCCCCAGCGGGCGGCCGCGCCGCCGCCGCCGCCGTCGCCGACGACGCCGCGCAAGTCCGTGGACCTCCCCGGCTTCGCGCCCTCGAAGGCGGCGAAGCCCGTCGCGGCGACGCCCGACGCCAAGCCGCGCCGCAAGGTGTCCTCGCTCATCAAGCGCTTCGAGCGCAAGAAGGGCGCCGCGTCCCCGCCGGAAGCACCTAAGTGAATGTGACTCATCAACTTCATACGCCATCGCCGCGAATTCTAGAAGAATACTTAGTCCCCGGCGGCCGCTCGAGCGGCCGCGGCAGCATCAGCGAGTGCGGCAGCCGGCGCCGGCGCCGGCACCACGGCCAAATAGTCGGGCCCGATGCGCGGCGCCGGCGGGGCCCTATACGGACCGACGCACTGCTTCCGGAACTCGTTCAGCAGGGGATACACTTTCCGGAAGGCCTCGTGCAGTTGAGCTACGGATCTCGCCCCCGTCAAGACGATGCGCCCAGACACGAAGGTCAGGATCACCGTCTTCGGCTCGAGCAACCGATAGATCAGCCCCGGAAATAATTCAGGCTCGTAACTTGCATAAGTGTTGTGCGCGAAGGCCAACGCCTCCAACCGAATAGGGAAGCCCACGTTCACCGTCGCGACGACGTTCTGTAGTCTGAAACCAGTGAACTGGACCGGAAAACCAATTTTTGCTATTATAGCGGCGTAGATCCGCGCGCCTCGCTTCGCGGCCGCTTCGGATTTCGCGCCGGTGCACACCAACTTGCCGCTCTGGAACACGAGAGCCGTACACCTAGGCTCCCGTAACCGCATCACGACCGCGGAGAACTTTCTTGGATTGTACTCGGCGTTGCGCGCATGCGTGGAAAGTTTTCTCAAATCCAAGGGTGTTTTCAGATTGACCGTGGCGACGACGTTCTGGACCTCCATCGTCGTCCTTTGTTGCAACATGGCCTTCGTCACCTCGTCGTCGTCTTCACCGGCCTCTAAGAGGGGGTCGGTTCTATTGGCTTCGTCCGTCGCCTGCTCGACGGTGGCCACCAGCGCGTCGTCGGCGGCGTCGTTCGCGGCGAGTTCGGCCATTTTGTTCTTTGTTTGCGTCGCGCGCTCGGCGCTGCACCGCAGCGCTGTGATGTTTGGCCTGTTGCGAGGGCGCTACGGCACCGGCGATTGTAAGCTCTCCCAGTCCGCTGCGGGCCGGCTCTGGGAAGTTGTACGACGCGCTCTTTGCGTGTGGTTACGCGTCTATAGACGTGTTTTGGTCGATTTGCGCCGGGGCCGCAAACTAGCGTGCATAGAGACACTAGTGCGACGGAAAATCTGATTCTCGGCGGAGGTGTCTTGGAAGGCTCGTCAGAAGCCAGAATAGACTCTTGCGATTCTGTTGTCTGCATTCGGCCGCGCCCAAAAGCTGAGTTTTGGCATAAGACGAGGCGCGAGGCAGCTGGCCACGCCGCTGCGCTGTGAAGTAAAGCACGGCGTCTAGGAAAGATTGTATTTGCGATTCGCTGCCCTCTACCTCCGAAACCGCCCCAGCGGGTGCGCTGAGGAGGCTGTACCGCAACCCTCACCGATTGGAGCCATTCTCTGCCGAGCGGCGCGGCGCGGGCTTGCGCGCTCTCTAACGGCGGCCCAATGCGCTGCTGCGCGCCGTGCGCTTCCGCCGGCGGGACTGGCGGCGGTACTGCTGGAACCGCGGCGCGACCGGGTCGTGTTCCGCGCGTTCCGCTCAGTCAAAAGCCCAGCCCGAGCGTTGCGCCGCGGGCTCGCGCGCGCGCTGCTCCGGATGGCTCACTCAAAAACGCCACCCGAACGGGGCGCCGCCGGCTTGTGATGCTCTCCGCGGCTCAAACCGCCTGAGGCGCCGCCGCCTCACTCAATTCCCGCCCTTGCGCCGCCGCCGATTGCTGTTGCCCCACGCGATGCCCCCCGCGCAGGTGAGAAGTCGACGCGACCGCTGCGCCGGTGACTTGAGTGCTAAACGTCGACGCCACCGCGCCGACGACTTGAGAAATGTGGGCCCTCGCAAGGAGGGCGCCGCGGCTCGCCGCAGCCGCCGCGCGGCCGCGCTGCGCCGCGCGGGCCTTGTCCGGCAGCGACGGCAAAATCCCCGAGGACATCAACCAGCAGGCGGGCCGGCGGCTCGAGGAGATGAAGTACGAGCTCGCCGGCGAGGGCGAGCTCTTCTCGCGGGACCCCATCGTGCCGCCCGCCGACCAGGGCACGAAGGAGAACCCGATCCTCGTGCCGAGCGCCGAGCACGAGCGGGCCGTCGGCTACGAGGACCCCGACGCGGGGCAATTGGTCTGGTTCACGCTGACCAAGGGGCCGGTGCACTACGTGCCGGACATCGACCTCTACTTCAAGATGTTCCCTGTGGGCGACGGGTCCGGCGGGCACTGAGCGCTTGGCGGCCGCGCTATTCTGCCGCGTCTGTCTCGGCGGCGGCGCGTCCCGCATTAATACATAGTCTAGATTACTCTCCTTTTGTGCGCGTCGGCGGCGCCGGGTGGGAGCGCTAGCGCGTCCTGGCTCTACGTCCTGGCCCGGGAATGGCACCCCGCGCGCGACCAGTAAACGCGACGCCGTCGCTCCGGTCTCTCTCTCCATTCGCCCTTTCTGCGGGTATATCGTTACGGTGATAGGACTAGTGGCGGAGCCTCTCTCGGCTAGTGCCTTACAGGGTCTAGCTGCTGTTCTTTGCCATCAGATTTAAGGCTGCCACGAAGCACCTCTGCCGGTGACGGCATCGATTTTGTAAGGAGTGTGCTGCCAGCTCTCTCGACGCCGCAGCAGATTCAATGGCGCGACTCGTGTGGGCATGCAGCCTCGCACTCTGCGCAGGCTTCCAGCCGCCGCGCCTTACGCCGCCGCCGCGGCACACCATGCAGGCCGACGCGGCCAGCATCTTGGACAGCACGCTGTCGCTCGCCAACTCCGAGGAGTTTTTGGGGGGCATCGTCGGCTTCTTACCGCTCATCGCAAGACCCAGTGCGTAAATCATGACCTCACGCCATCGACGCGACGCCAGCTCGATGGCACGGCACACAGGCGATCCCCGGCGTGCTCGTCGGCATCCCGTTCCTCGTGTTCAACCGCCTGAAAGACTTGGAAGGAGACGCCTACACGGAGACGGTCTTCACGGACAAGCAGCCTCCCCGGCGGCCCGGGGCCGAACCCGTCGTGCGAAAGAAGGACATCGACATGTCCTACGCGGAGCTCGAGCAAAAGTACGGCGAGGCGACGCTCTTCAAAGATGACGCGCCGCCGAAACCGCCGGTGAACGAGCCCTTCGCGCTGCCGGAATTGCCGTCGTTTCCGAGCTTCGGCGGCGACGCGCCCGCGCCGCCAAAATACGAGGCGCCACCTTCCCAACCGGAGGAGGAGTTCGCCCTCCCGGAGCTCAAGCTCCCTTCGTTACCATCCTTTCCGTCCTTCGGCGGCGGCGCCGCGGCGCCGCCGCCGCGATACGACGACGCGGCGCCGGCGCCGCCCGAGGAGGAGTTCAAGCTCCCCGAGATCTCCCTGCCGTCGTTCCCGAACCCGTTCGGCGGCGGCGCGCCGCCCGCGCGGGAGCCCGTCTTCGCCGACGAGGAGGAGGACGAGCCGGCGGCCGAGGAGCCGTTCAAGCTGCCCGAGGTGAAGTTTCCCTGGCAGTGAGGTCGCATTTCCGGCGCCGCGACGGCGTCGGGGCTAACCTTTGGTTTGGGAATACTTCTAGTACTAGTTCTAGAAACAGAATCCCCGAGTCGGGGGAGTTCGAGTTGCTATTGTGTTTGAGTCGGCAGCGTTGATCCTGTGTTTTACGCTCCCCCCGGCGTCATCGCTTCCACCGCATCGCGGATGGCGCTCACGCCGCCGTCGCGGGCGGCGCGCACGGCTCGCGCCAGTTGCAGGCGGAGCTCAGTCGCCACTGTGAGGGGGTGCGCGCCACCAAGCACGCGCCGCACGGTCGGTTCCATGTCCTCAAACGTCGTCACCGCCTCGCGGAGATCGTCGAGCGTGGCACCGTCGTCGCAGTAGAGCGACTGCGCGTAATTCACCCTCATTCTGAGCGTGAGCTCATTACTCTCTCCATGAACGCGTTGCGCCACGGGCATCGTTTTGCGCAACAGTGCCTTGGCTTCTTTGAAGCGCTTTAGAGTCATAAGAGACGACCCGTAGTTAATAGCTGCAGCGAGGGTGTCCCTATGTTCCTCGCCCTTGAGCTTAAACCATCCAGAGTACATGTCTCGCCGCATGCACATGGCCTCTTCAAGCCGTCCGAGCTTTTGATACGAGTTCGCAATATTGGTCTGCATGATGAGGATGTCCTCTTTTGATGTGTCAAGGCGCAGCAGCGTAGCCAAATGGGCCTCTCTCACGGACAACGCCTCCTCGTTGTGATTTGCAGCGGCTAAACCGTTCCCAAGGTTCGTCATTGCGTAGCACCCAATCCAGTCCGTCTCTGGCCGCCCCAAGTACGTCTTCCAGCACGCCCATCCGAGTGCGCACGCCACGACACCGTGGTATTGTTGCTCGCACAGGCTACAAGTGTGCCACCGCTCCCACTTATCGTTGTCCAAATTCCTCTCCTGGGCATCCGCGACCAAAATCTTTGCCTGCTCCGCCAGGCACGACACGTGCACAAAGCCTGCTGTTCCACGGCACGAACACCCACGCACGAGACCCTCCTTCGTCTTCCAGTGGAGGGCCTGCGTGCAGATGAAGCACGTCTGGCCCTTGGTGTCCTCCGCGCACGCCTCCGCCGCGACCGTCACGGCCTCCGTGTATCTGTTATTTGCGTTGTATTGCTCAGCGCCACCAGCCTTTTTAATCTGTTTGCAGAGCTTGTCGTGGCCGCCCGATTCCCAGTGTTGTTTCTGGCATTCGGGCCCACAATAGCGTGTGCTGCAGCGGCCGCATTTCTTACCCAAGGTTAAGCCAAGCTCGGTGGCGCAGACGGCGCACTGCGTGAGGATCATCTTTTATGTTGTCGAAATGCTCGGGGGCAGCCCTACGAGCAAAAAGCCTCGCGCCCCGAATTTTTGCTAGTGCCTTACAGCCGCTAGCTCAGCTAGAGAGCCTGAGCTTTGGATTTGGCTCTTTGGCAGCTCTCGCAGCCTTCAGACGCAGGCACGGTTTCAGGAGGACCGCCACAAACCGCTGCAATGATGCCGCCATCGCTGCGCCTTCTCACACTCTGTGCCGCGAGCCAGGCCCTCAAGCCTGAGTTTCTCAAAGCGCCACAGCCCTCCCGGCGCGAGATCCTCAAAGCGCCTCTAGCTCTTGCAACCGTCGTCGCACTACCAGCGGTGGCGGCGGACACGAAGACCATCTCCGTGCCGGTAGGATCGTCCGCGAAGGACGGCTCGCCTCTCAGCAAGGCCACGTTCTCCGTGCCGGCCGACTGGGTCAAGCTGTCCGGCGATCCAGGTGGAGGGAGAAAGATGGAGCTCTACGCCGACCCGAACAACGCGGACACGAACGCCTTCGCACTCATCACCCCTGTAAGGGGAGACTATACCTCCCTAGGAAGTTTTGGTAGCGTGGAGGTTGTCCAGGACACGGTCATGCCCGCGGCGCCGGACATCACCTACGACGTCATCAAGTCGGAAGCCCAGACGGGCAAGTACGTCTATGAATACATCGTACAGGTGCCAGAACAGCCGAAGCGGCACCTGACGACGATCTTCATGGTCGTCTCGGACTGCATCGTGACATTCAACTTCCAGGCCAAGCAATCGGACTACAACGGCGACGTTCCCGGTTTAGCGAAGACTGTGGCCGCGTCGTTCAAGACGGGTAAGGCATCTTAGTCCTAAAGGGGGGGAATCAGCCCGAGCGCTGGAACCGCGGAGACCGGCGTGGCGAGCGCCGCGGCGGCGGCGAGTTCTCCCGCGTTTTGATGGGTGTCTTGCGCGAACCCGGCGTCTTCGACCGCTTCCGGTTCGCGCCCGCCGAACTTCGTAATCGTGAGGACAGCGGCGGCGACGGCGCGCGCGGCGACTGGGGGTTCGGCACCGCCGCCACGAAGGCCGCGAGCTTCGACGGCGACTTTCGTGATTGAGACCGCGGCGACAGCGCCGGGGAGGTCGGGTTCGGCACCTTGGCCATAAACGCCGCAAGAGGAGAGGTAGGAGCAGCTTTCCGCGGGGACCGCGCCGGCGACTCGAGGCTCCTCCGGCTGAAGGCGCCGAGTGCCAGCTCCGGCGACGCGGACGCGGCAGGCTCGGGCGACCGTTTCGACGCCCAGGCGTCGAGCGCGCCGAGCGCGCCGGCGGTGTCCGCAGGCGGCGTCTTGGGCAGCGACGGCGCCGCCGACGCCCAGGCCGAGAGCGAGAGCGGCTGCGAGCTGGGCTCCGTCTTTGTTGGAGACGGCGCCTCCTCCGTGGACGCGGGCGACGGCTGTTCCTCGGCCACGGGCGACGCCACGGGCGTCGGCGCGTCGCAGTGCTCCCGCAACGCGTGCGCCGTCTGGACGATGCGCCACAACTTCAACCGCCGCGCCACGACCCGCCACCGGCCCGTCAGGTGGTGCTTGCGGCAGGCGCCCAGCAGCTCCGCGTCGAAATCCGACGCGACCGTCGGGGCCGCCGGCGCGACGGTCGACGCCGGGACGACGGCGCCGTCGGCGAGCGTCACGTTCACGGACTGGGGACGCGGCGGCAGGGGCGGCGGCACGGGCGGGCACACGGAGAGCCGTGTCGCGTCGACGGCGAAGACCTCGCCCTGGGCCCGGTGCGCCTCCAATTCGTTCTGCAGATCTTGTAAACGCACCTCCAATTGATCGGTTTTGGAGGCCTTGGCCTCGGCCACGTCCAAGGCGCGCTGGAGCTTTCTCAATTGCAGTCGCAGGTCGTCGGCGTCGTCGTTCGCGCGGATGTAGGCGCGCTGCGTCCCGATCGTGCCCTTGAGGTCGCGCACGGTCTGGCGGAGCTCCTTGCACTCGTCCTTGTGTTGTTCCGACGACTGTCTTCTCAATTCCGCCTCGGCGCGCGCCGCTGATAATGCTTCGGCGTTTCGCCGTTGTTCAGCCTCGGCGTCGCGTCGCGCCGCCACCTCGGCATCGCGCCGGGCCGCCGCCTCGGCGTCGCGTCGCGCCGCCGCCTCGATCGCCTCCACCGCATCGGCCCCGGCGCCTTCCCGCGCCAAAGATAACCGCGCGGCGCTCAGCGCGCCCTCGACCAATCCATCGGCACAAGCGTCGCGCGCGCCGTCCACGATCGTGGCGACGCGCTGCGTGAAGCCCGCCGCGTCGTCGGCTAAAGCCGCCGCGGCCTGGGCCGCGTCGGCCGCGGCGCCGCGCGACGCCGCGAGCGCCGCCTCGGCGCGGTCGGCGCGCCGCGCCCGCTCGGCCGCGTCGGCCTCGGCCCGCGCCGCGCGCGCCTCGGCGGCCGCGCACCGGTCCCGCGCGTCGCCGCCGTCCGCGAGCGCCGCCTCGGCGCGCGCCGCGCGCGCCAGCGCGTCCTCGGTCGTTTTCATGCGCGCCGCGCCTGCGTCGGCGGTGTTGCGTAATCGACGCGATGGCGTAGCAATGGGGGACGCCGGCACCGAACCGTCGCTCGCGTTCTGTTTAAGAGCCGCCTCGGCCGCCTCCGCCCTTCTACAGAGAGCGCCGACGGCGTCCAGCGACGCGCGCGGCGGCTTCTCCCTTTCATCACGCAAGACGTTGCCCGTCGTGCGCCGCCGCCTTCTCTTAAGCTCGGCGATCGCGTCGGCGTCGCCGACGCTCAGCGCCAGCTTCTCCAGCGTCTTGATGCGTCTAGCTTTCTCCTCGAGCTTCGCCGCTTGGGCGGCCACGGCGCGCGCCAACTGCAGGTTCTCCCTCTCTAATCTCTCGGCCCGCGCGGCCGCCTCTGGATCACTTTTCTTCGGTACGACGGTGTTCGGCACGATGCGGATGGACGCGCGCGCCGCCCTTCTTCCAAATTGGAGCGTCCTTCTGGTTTCCTCGAGCTGGGCCGTCCCCGGCGCGACGCAGCAGATCAGTGCTAATTTAGCCCGTCCTTGTAACGTGGGCTGCAGCAACCTCGTCAAAGTCGCGTTGCGAAAACTGGGTTTCAGGCGGTCGCCCATCTGCCTCAACACATGGTTTAAGGCACTCAACGACTTGTTGATGCCGACGCCCTCGTGGAACCGCGTTTCAGGCGCGCTCACCCAGGCCCGCTGGCCGTTCTGCGAGTGCTCTCCCGACTTCCTTCTTTTAGGCTTCTCGGACCCCGCCAGGTCGACCACACAGAGCGTCGCCTCAAACCTTACACCTCGGACGTCCGTCTCGACGCGCAGTCTTAATACAGCGTGGCTCCGCGACGACTTCGCGTTCAGTCGCGTCGCCCCGCGTTTTCGGTTCCGTTCACCCCTATTGACGACCGCATCCAGGGCGTTCGGCGAGCCGATGCGCACCTCGTGCGCGCCCGTGACGCGGACCACCGGCTTGTCCTTGACTTGTACTGAGGACCTCGCGTCGAGTAAATCGGTGAGCTTCTCGTCATAGACCTCAAGATACGACGCCCACACTCGAACACCGCCCTCGGCCGTGCCCTCGTCGAAGACCTGCTCGCAGGCGAGCCGCATGACGCCCTGGGTCGTGTGCGTCTTGCCCGACGCCGTCTGGCCGTAGGCGACGATCGTGCCGGACCGTCCTACCAATAAGCCGCCCACGACTTCCCGGCAACTCCTCTCGTAGACTTGTTCCGTATGTACATCAGTACCACACACCGCGTCGAACCTATAACGCTCGCCGGAGTGCTTGCCGGCCGCTTGCGTGATCGTCGTTTGATCGACGGTCCAGCCCGCCTCGCCGTCGGCGCCGCCCGCCGGCCGGACGCGGACGCAGACGAGGACGGATTCCTCCTCGCCTTCCTCCTGCTTCGTCTGTTTGGCGGGGGTCGTCATGCTGCTCTGGACGTTTTGCTCTTTCTCTTCGCAGCGACAACGAATTGAGACCGCTCCTTCTCCACAGCTCTTGCCAGGCGCTGCGAAACTCTGTTCGTGGCCTCAGTTAGCTCAGCGCCGGCCCGTGCTGAGCGTTTTAGCAGAGGCAAAAGTGCGGAGCCAAACGTGCATACCCGCACCCATTGGATACCGTTTTTTCTTACCATGCCTGCACAGGAGTCCTCCGGAAGCCTCTCGCGGGACAATGGCTCCGGGCGGTGCCCTCGCCGGGGCGAGGTAGCAGTCTGCGTCGTGTGAGTGCAATTGAGGCTAAGACCAGCCTCTGCGATTGCACAGACGGCACACCTACGGACTAGGTCGGCGAGAGAGTTCTCTCCCTCGCACAGCCGTCTCGGTTCACGCAAATCGCCGTAAACCGCCTCACTGCAAGTCAGCAGCGCTGTCGCCGTAACCACACCTCACAGCAAGCAAGATGCAGCGAGTCATCGTCGCACTCGCGCTCAGCGCGGGCGCCACTACGGCCCTGCAGTTCGCCGCGCCGGTGCGCCCACTCAGCAAGCATGTCATGCGGGCCGAGGCCGACGCGCCGGTGACGGCCGCGGACATCGAGGACGCCGCCGAGGCCGCCGAGGAGGCGCCCGTCGTCGCCGAGGAGGCCGCCGCCGAGGAGAAGCCGAAGCGCAAGAGCAAGAAGGACGCGACGCCGCTCGACCAGCTGGTCGTCGGCGATTCCTACGACGGCACGATCACTGGAGTGGCCGCCTATGGCGCATTCGTGGACATCGGCGCCCAGTCCGACGGGCTGGTCCACATCTCCGAGTTGAGCACGGAGTTCGTGTCCGACGTGAGCGCGGTCGTCTCCGAGGGCGACGCCGTCTCCGTCAGAGTTCTTAAAGTAGACGAGCAGAAGAAGCAGTTGTCTCTCTCCCTAAAGCCCGAGGGCGCGGCGGCGCCGCCGAAGCGCGGCGGCGGCGGGCGGCGCACGAAGAAGGCCGGCGCCGACGAGCTGCGCAAGTATTTGGATGCTGATCCTCAAGAGTTCGTCGAGGGCACGGTCCGCACGGTGCTGTCCTGGGGCGCCTTCGTGAACATTGCGGAAGGTGTGGATGGGTTGGTGCACATTTCGCGCGTGTCTGATGATCGCGTCGAAGATTTGGAGGCCATGCTGTCCCCGGGCGACAAGGTCCAGGTTCGAGTGGTCGAAGTCGACCTCGAGAAGGCCACGTTAGCCTTGGCCATGAACACGTACCGCGATCCGTCCACATTGCCTCCTAGAAGAGCTCGGGACGACGGCGACGGCGAGTCCGCCGCGGCGAGACGCGCGAGGGACCCGGACGCCAAGTTCGGCGGCCAGCGCAAGCCGAAGCGCCGTGATCCGGGAGACGACATCTGGGACAACACCGACGACTTCGTCTGGAAGGACGTCTTGGAGAAGGCGGAGAACGAGGACGACATGTCGTCGGGCTTCGTCGTCGACGAGAAGGGCGTGCTGTCGCTCATGTAGGGTTCCCCTCTCCGCTCCGTAAGTGCTATGGTATATATCTCGTGTGGCTTTACGCGTCCCCCGGCGCCAGCGCCCCCACCGCCTCGCAGATGGAGCTCACGACGCCGGAGAAGGGCGCTTCTCTCGCCTCGAGGCGCCGTTGTATGGCGTCCAAGTCCCTTTGTAACGCGTCGCGTTCTGCCACTTGCACCGTCCCCGCTTCGCAGGCAAGCTCGAAGCGCCGTCGTAAGGCGTAGAGGTCCCTTTGTAACGCGCCGGCGGCGGCGCGGTCCGCCACTCGCACCGCCTCAGCTTCGCGGGCGCGGAGGGCGGCTCGCGCGTCTCGCAGGGATTTCTCAATCCCCACTGCATCCGGGTGCGCGCCACCGAGAACGCGCCGCGCGGTCCGTTCCAACTCCTCGTGCTTGCTTACGGCCTCGCGGAGATCGTCAAGCGTGGCGTCGGCGTCCCTGTAGAGCACCCTCGCGTAAATCCAATTCATCTTGAGCGTAAGTTCATCACTTGTTCCGACGCGTCGCGCCACGGGCAGTGTCCTGCGCAACAGTGATTTGGCTTCTTCGAAGCGCTGTAGGTCCAGAAGCGACGACGCTAAGTTGTTGGCTTCTCGGAGGGTGTCAAAATGTTCTTCGCCGTATAGCTTCAACCAGCCAGAGTATATCTTCCGTCGCATCCGCAAGACCTCTTCATGCTGTCCAAGCGCTTCATACGCGATTGCAAGGTTTCCCTGCACAACGAGAATGTTGTGTTGTGATCCATTAGTGCGGAGCAGCATAGACAACTCGGCCTCTCTCACGGACAACGACTCTTTGTGATGACGTGCAGACGCTAAACCGTTCCCAAGCACTGAAATCGCCACATTGTAAGCCCAGTCATCCTCCGGCCGCCCCACGTACGTCTTCCAGCACGCCCACGAGAGCGCGCACTCCACGACGCCGTGGTACATCTGTTCGCAAAGGCCGCACGTGTGCCACCGCTGAAACCTATCATTCTGCACCTTCCAGTCCAAGTTGTTCTCCTCGGCCTCTGCGACCAAAATCTTCGCTTGCTCCGCCAAGCACGAAACATGCGCGAAACCCGCCGTCCCGCGGCACGCGCACATTCGCACGAGGCCTTCCTTCGTTTTCCAATGGAGGGCCTGCGTGCAGATGTAGCACGTCTGACCCTTGGTGTCCTCGGCGCATTCCTTCGCAGCAACCGCTACGGCCGCCGTATACTTCGTATCGGCATGAAATTGCTCGGCGCCGCCGCTTTTCTTTATCAATTTGCAGAGTTTGTCGTGTCCGCCTCCCTCCCAGTGTTGTTTCTGGCAGGCCAATCCGCAGTAGCGCGTCTTGCAGCGGCTGCATTGCTTGGCATTGGTACTGTGAAGTGGGGCAGCGCAGGCGGGGCAATGCGTGAGGATCATCCTAGTGTTTGGGCTGCTTCTCGTGCTTTTCGCTTGGCACAACCGCTGCTTTTTGAGGCAGGTCTTTCAGCTAGTGGGTCGATACACTAGCGCCGAACCGGGCTGTGTTTCCATGCGTCCTATGGAGCCATGGGGCGCGCGAGCATGAGCCCTCAGAGCCGACTTTCGCACTTGCAAAAATAGGCGATTGGCAAGACAGCACATATCAAAACGCGGCCTCGCTAAGCAGCGTCTCCGCGAGCAAGCGCGCCAGCAGCACCTCTCAAAAGCCTCACAGCATTGCCGCGTGCAACGCTTTGAGCCAACGCCGTCGACGCGGCAGGATCAAAGCAGCTGACCTTGCAAAAAGCAAAAGACCACACACAAGATGGGCAAGAACCAGGGCGCCAAGAAGGGCACAGTAGTACATTTAGCCCATTTAGTCGCGAACGACAAGGCGCACATCCCCGACCGGCCGCAGGAGCGCGCTCCCGACGACCAGGGCTTCTTCCGGCGCGACTTCCGGGGCTACGGTTCGGACAGGCCGCAGGGCGATCGACCGACTTTTAGAAGTGAAGGTGATGACGACTGGCGGCGCGGTGGCGGCGGCGGCGGCGGCGGCTTCGGGGGCGGCGGCGGTTACGGGGGAGGCGGCGGCTACGGCGGCGACCGAGGCGGCTACGGCGGCGGCGGCGGCGGCTACGGCGGAGGCGACGCGCGGGGCTACGGCGGCGGCTCGTCCGGCGGCGAGCGGCCGCGCCTCAACTTGACGAGGAGAGGCGACTCCGGCGACGCCGGCCCGGCCAAGGTCGCGCCGTACGCGGCACCGCCCTCATCAGGCGGCGGCGGCGACAAGTGGGACAACATGTTCGGAGGGGGGAATAGAGGACCGCAGAGCGACCCGCCGCCGCCTTCTAGGTATGGCGCCGGCGGCGGCGAGTCGCGGTACGGCGGTGGTGGCGACGCGCGGGGAGGCTACGGCGGTCCCTCTCGCTACGGCGCCGGGTCCAGTGATAGACCGTCGGGCATGGGTCGTTATGGTAGCGGAAACCGCTACGGCGCTTTACAGACTGGAAGTTCAGCGCCGGCGCCTAGAAAGGAAGAATTCCCGACCATGGCCGCCGCTACGCAAAAGAAGGAAGAACCTCAACACGTCAAGGAAGCTAGGTTAGCGATGGAGAAGGTCAAGCTCGAGAAGCGTCGATTGGCCGAGGAGGCGCACCGCAAGGAGCAGGAGGCCGCCGCGGCCAAGAAGAAGGCCGAGCGCGAGGCCGCCGAGCAGGCTGAAGCTGCGGCGAAGCAGAAAGCTTTAGAGGACGCGGAGAAGGCGCGCGTCGCGGGTCTGGAGTCCGCGAAGAAGCTTGAAGGGCTCACGGGCCAATCATTAGCTGATGCTGTAGCAAAACTCCCGGACAAGCCGAACGCCGACGCCTTTGCCACGGCGCGCTTCGGTAAACATGGGAGCGACGTTTCGTGGCTGAAGACCGAGGCGCCCGCGCTTAAAGTGGTCGCGCCCTCTACCGAGGAGCAGGCTTCTCTCTTGTTAGCGACGCAGCGCCACCTCGCGTCCCTCGAGTTCCCGAAGGACGCGAACGGCAAGGGTCTCATTCAACAGGCCTTCAAGTTCCTGTTCCTCTGCGAGGTCTGTGATGTGGAGGCCTACGAGGCCTGGCGCGACGCCGACGATGCTGTGTCCGAGGCCGTGCCCGGGAAGATCAAGGCCTTGACACAAACCACGGAGTTCTTCGCGTATCTAGATACGATCGATGAAAGCGATTCTGATGAAGAAGGCGACGAGGAGGAGGACGAGGAGGAGGACGAGCTGGCTCCCGCACCCGTCCCCATCTAGGCGTCCTGTCTCGTCCTATAGTAACGTTTCCATATAAATATAGTACTACTTAGCCAACTAACATTCACATGCGCGCGAGCTGGAGCTGCACTTCCGCGAGCACATCTTTGAGGTCGGCGACCGCCTCCTCGCATTCGGCGCGGTCGGTCAAAGCGTCGAGCCTCGACCGCGCGTCGCGCGCTATTTCGTGGCGCGTGGACGGGTCGGCGCGCTCCGCCGTCACGCCGGCCGCCCGCGCGAAGGCGTCGACCCGGAACGGCCCGCGCCGGGTCCCTCGGGCGACCTCCGCGTCGTGCGCGTACCTTCTAATCTGCGTATCGAGATACTTGGCCTGCTGGTCGTTGGTAGCTAAATTGAAGAAGACCGCCATAGGTATGGTGGCCGTCCAAATGCCCGACTCCTTTTCGCCGCGCTCCGCGATCAATTTCAACGTAAAAACCAAACTACTCCGCGTCGCGTGCTCCGGACACAGCAAGACCGTCGCCACCGTAAACACCTCGCGTACCGCTAAGTCCTGCGCCTCGTCTTTTATCGGGTGCCCAGCCAGTCTGAACATCGTGTAGTGCCACCGCTGCTCGAAGAAGCGCTCATTAAAGACTTCGAGGGCGACCAGGTCGTTCTTGTCCGCGTAGGTGGTCGACTGATACCAGAGCTCGTCCATATCCAATTTGAGCTTGCGTCCAGTGCGTTCGTAGTCGCCGAGCAGCCACCACCGCTGCGTATCTAACTCGGCCGGCGTCCCAATCCTAAGCGACTCCTTGAATCCAACGGAGATAAGATGACCCTCGGCGGCGCGGATATGGTCCGACAGTATAGTGAGCATGCCGCGGATCGCGTGGCGCCCCTGCCTATTATCGCTCGCATCAAATAAATCCAGCTCCTCGACCTCGTCGTCCACATCGAGCCCGGCCAGCGCCTGGAGCTCCTGCACTGCTTCGTCCTCCTCGTCGTCCTGCTGCATCAATACGGGGACCTGCGCGGAACGACGTGGTTGCGAAACGGTCGCGGCGCCCTCACGAGACGCGTAGACCCCTTCGCGCGGCCGCGTCGGCAGCGTCTCGGTGGCGTGGTAGCGCGTCGACGCGCGTCGCGGCGACCGCGTCATGTCGAAGCACTTTCCGCGCGGGGTACTGACGCGCGGCCGCGCCGCAGCCTTCCGTCGGGCCGCCGCGGCGTCGCGGGCTCCTTCGAGCCGGCCCGACGCGCCTATTCCCCAGTGCGACTCGCTGCCGTCAACGCGTACCTTTGTCTGCCGGCCGCGCTCGTCCGGGACCTTGTACTCGTCGAGGCGCCCGTCCCCTCTCGGACCGGTCCAGGGCAAGCCCTTCTTCGAGTCCTTCGCCCCCTTCTGCATCCAGGCCGGCCGGCTCTTGAAGAAGGCCGACGTGTCCCAGTCGCCTTTGCGAAAGGTGAGGGCGTTCACGGCGCCCTGCTTCGCGCACTTGTCTTCGGCGCCCTTCGCCTCGCCTTTCGCGCCGTAGTCAAACACACATCGCTCCCACCTGTTCCTGAAATCGCAGTGTCGCAGATGACAATTTTGAAGGGCTCGAAACTGCGACGGCCCCACGTATCTAGTCCTAAAAATCTGCAGCAGCGCCTCTTCGTCCACGGGATCGGCCTCGAGCAGCGCTTGGACGTCCTCTGGGAGTCCGGAGTGCCAGTCACTTGCCCGGGCCGCCGTGCCTACTTCATTCATAGACTTTTGGCCTCTTGCGCGGAGTGCGTCTCTGTCAAAATCGAGCTCCCAGGCTCGAACTTCTAGGCCATTCACCGTTTTTAAAGGTCTCATAGGGACTCGCTCTTCTGCTACTAGGGCGCAGGTCAGGTCGACTCTTTTGCCCGCCCTGTACTCGCCGTCTTTGATGCGGAACTCGATTCGTGCAGCTCCGGCGAAGAACGTGCCGTCTTCCTTCTTAATCCTAAGTCCCAATTCTCTTGGCGTCGTGGTGTCGACGGTCATTTCATCGTCCTTGCGCACGCGTATGGGGCAGCGCGGGCCGCCGACCACAGCACCTCTGTATGCGGGCGCAGCTTTTTTCGGCATCTCTTGCAACGCGAGGCAACAGCAATAATTGAGTAGGCACGTAAGGTGCCAGATATGGATTCTTCTCCGGGGTGCCCAGGCTTTTGGAAATTGTGCGAGCTAGCGGCCAGTAAGACACTAGCAAGCAGGGCAAAAATCGAGGCGCACAGCCGCTGAGGCAGCCTGCACGACCGCATCGCTGGCCAGAGTGATGCGTTGTATCAGTGCGTTCGGTCGCTGGACGCTGGACGCTGAACGGCTGGCGCACGACGCGGTGCCGGCGGTCAGGCAGCCAGCGCTACTTGCAACAGGGCTGTGTTCGGGCGCTAAGCTCGCGCGGCACAGAAAGATTGGCCACGGACGACAGCTCGTCGGCGTCGAAAAAAAACCCACACGACGCAGCTCACGAAGCGGCCACGCTTCCGCTCGCCGCGCTCCGGCTGGCGGGCGCCTGACGGTGTCAGCTCTGCCGCGACGTATCGCCTGCGCCACGGCTCCGGGCAAAGCCATGGTTTCGTCGCTTAAAGCCGCGTCGCGCCCAGCGTGACACGGCACTACAACGGACGCGTCGCGCTGCTGTGTGACCTACCACGCTTTTTGCCCACTGCTTCGGCATCGGATGGCCACGTGCAGATGGTGACGCCGCGCCGGCTGTTGGCTCTTCGACGGTGTCGAGTCGCCTGATCTGTACGCCGTCGGCGTGCTGAGTCTACATAAAGTGCTCGATGATCACTAACACCGCTCGCGTCACAGCCAACGGCAGACCGAGCGGCCCTCAGATTACCGCAACGGTATCCTGGGGGGCGCGGACTTCGGGCGTCACGCGTCGTACTCGGCGGCGCCCGCGGAGGGATCCTGCCGCTCAGCGCTCGATGTGCGAGAAAGAGAGAGAAGTTCTAGTACTTAGTAATTAGTAGCGGCCGAACTTGCGCTGCAGCGCGAGCGCCTGCTTGACAAATAAACGAACGCTCGCCCACGCGGACCCGGTGTATTTCTTTTTGAAATTCTGCCGGGTCTGGAAGTCGAAGCGATTGTTGAGGGGGGCGGGCATGAGAAAAAAATTCTCGAGGTCGTCGCAGATCGTGCCGAGGATGTGGTCGGTTTGGAAAAACCGATGCTTGACGAGGTTCTTGATGGTGTCCTCGGAGAGGCCGTAGTCGAACGCGTTGAGGGCCATCTTCTCGAAGAAGCCCTCGTAGCCGAAATTCTCGTTGAGGTAGCCCTTGAAATTGTCCCGCCACGTGCGGATGCTCCGGCGGGCCCCGCCGAATGCCGCGCGCGCCTGTGAGTGCCAATCCAAGTTCAATGTCAAGTTCAACGAAAAAAATTTACTCTCGTGCGAAACGGGCGACGGCCCGCCTCTCTCCTGCGGGCTCCTGCTCGTGTCAGCAGGATAGTCGAAGAAACAGGAAAAAGACGCGGGCGCTCACTTCCTCGTTCTCCTGGGCGTAGCGGTCGTCGGCCATGTGGAGCGCCCCCTTTTTGGGGTTGCGGATGACATTGGCGGCGTCCGCGAAGGGGATGGGCTTGCCGTTCGCGCCGAACAATTTGAAGCCCTTCTTCCTACATAACTTCCTCAAACCCTCGTCGAGGGCCTGCACCATGGTGACGTCGCCTTCCGTGTCGAGGATGACCTGCTCGCGCTCACACTCCGCTCTCCAGTGCCCCATGCCCTTCCACTTGAACTCGCCATCTTTCATCCGCGCGGCCACGTCCAGGAGCGCGTTTCGGCGCCGCGCGCGCCGCGCGCCGTTCTTCGACCTACGTGATGCGAGTGTAGAGAACGTGAGCGTAGGTCGTCGTGACGCCGTAAATCCACTGCTTGAACGCTTCTAAGAGGGCCTTGGCTTTTTCTTTTTCGTCCATGCCCTCGTAACAGATCGCGACTGTGAGCTCAAAGTAGCGCGCCGCGCCCTGGCGCTGCGCCTCTATGACGACGTAGGACCTCGTCTTCGTGTCGTCCCGGACCGGCCTTAATTTATTTCCTTTCGGCGTCTTAGCATACTGCGGTTTTGGGCCGTGCCACGCCGTCGCGCCGTCGACCATGTCGACCTCCGTCAGCTCTTGAGAGTTAACCATGCCTTCGGTCTTCGTCTGCTTGCGCGTGCGCTTTTTTTCCGGCGACGCGCGCGCGCCGCCGCGCGTCTGGTCGCGGTTCTTGTCGGCCTCCTCGCGGCGCGCTTTCGCCAGTACCGAATGCATCGTTTTGCGTGAGTGATTTGTTCAATATATAGCGCGCTTTTAGGTCCTGTGAACTCGCCGTTCACGGCGTCAAAGTTGTGCGTTTAAAATCGATGCTTGTCCCTAGTGTCTTACACGCCGCTAGCCGAAAAGAAGGTGTCAACTAACCCCACTTACTTACCCCCACCAACAAGCAGCGCGTGCTTCTTCTTCCCCGACGAGAGCTTCACCTCGGCGCCGGCCAGCGCGACCTCCTGCTCGACGTCCTCTACCTTCACGCCGTCGACGCGCGCGCCGCCGCCCTTGATGAGACGTTTAGCTTCGCCCTTGGACTTGGCGAACTCGGCCGCGATTAAGGCGTCGACCACTGAAATCGAAGCCTCGGCGACCTCGACGCGAGGCAAATCTGCGAGGTTCCCGCCCTTGTTCTTGAACAACGAGTCCGCCGTCTCGTGGATCGCCGGTAGACAGTCCGCACCGTGCAGTAAAGTAGTGCACTCGTCCGCGAGGCGTCTTTTCAGCGCATTCACAAAGGTAGGTCCTGTTTCCGTGGCGAGTTGGCCCGCCATCTCCTCGATCTCGCTCAACTCGAGCTCCGTGAACAGCTTCATAAATCGAATCACGTCGGCGTCCGCCGAATTGCGCCAGAACTGCCAGTAGTCGAAGGGACTCAGTTTCTCGGGCGAGAGCCAGACCGCGCCTGCCGCCGTCTTGCCCATTTTGCGCCCGTCGGCGGTCTGCAACAACGGGGCCGTCAGACCGATGACCTTGCCCTGCTCGACGCGGCGCGTGAGCTCGACGCCGCTGACAATATTACCCCACTGGTCCGACCCGCCCAGTTGGAGCTCGACGCCCTCCCTCCGGTAGAGCTCGAGGAAGTCGTAGGCCTGCAGCAGCATGTAGTTGAACTCGAGAAAAGACAGGGGCTGCTCCCGCCCCAACCGCTGCTTGACGCTCTCAAACGATAACATGCGGTTCACCGTCACTTGCGCGCCCACCGTGCGCAGGAACTCCACATAACCCAGCGAATCCAACCAATCAGCGTTGTTCACCAGGATCGCTTTATCCGTACCAAATTCAATAAATTTGTCGAAGACGCTAGAGATGCCGTCTATATTACTTTGGATTGTAGCTTCATCGAGCAATTGGCGGGACTCGTCTTTGCCCGACGGGTCGCCGACCTTCGTCGTGCCGCCCCCAACGAGCACGACGGGCCGGTGGCCGTGCTTCTGCAATAATCTCAAGATCATGATCTGGAGCAGCGAGCCGACGTGTAATGAGTCGGCAGTCGCATCAAAGCCTAAGTAAGCGGAGACCCTGCCTTCCGTGAGTTTTTCATCTAACCCTTCAATGTCGGTGCACTGCGCGAGGTAGCCGCGGCTGGCGAACTCGCGGAGGAAGGGCGACTTCGCTTGTAAGGCTTTGTCCATGTCAGCATCGGTGGCGACCGCCCGCAACACGTGCGGCCGCCGCCGCACCGCGGCGCGCGCCGTCAGGCCCGCCACGCGGCCGAGGCAGGCGTACATGAGCACCAATGCCGAGCGCATGAGCTGCTCAATTTGCGCGGCGGCGACGCGGCGGCAGCCTACGCACTCGCACAGTTCCCTGCGTTTCGGGCCTCTTTCGACTCCTGCGAGCCGGTTTTACGCGTTTCGCACTGTGCGGCGCGTGGTGAGCACGTTTGCAGTCGTGCTGGAGCAACAAGCAGAGTCGAGGTGCTCACCGTCCTCGGACTGCCCGCTCGGTTACAGCTGTAAGCGCTCTCGCCGTTCAAAAGCACCAACGGTCCACGAGCGACCTGCACAATCGCTATCGCGGCGACGCGTGAAGCTGCCACTGTGGGAGAGCACAATCTGTGCAGGGCCTGCTGGGAGAGCCGGCGGCGAGCGCGACCGCGAAACGCCGACGCCGCGCCGCTAGCGCGAGCAGCTCTCGAAACCGGAGCCTCGCCGCTCCCGCACGCCGCCGCGCGACGGTAAGCGTATGCGTCGACGACTGGCCGGCTGCCTCGCGACCGCGCAGATGGCCTCCTGCCTCTTCCCACCGAACCTGTCCGACGGACCCACAAATTTACCGCTCGCCGAGGACATCGAGAAGAACCCGACGGTCTTTGGGGAGCTGCTGCGCGGCGAGGCGCCCATCCGGAAACTGCACGAGTGCGACGCGTCGCGACCCGGCGTCCTTGGAGCGCCTGCGTACGCCATCGACGAGTCCGTGCCTGCTCGATGGTGTGCCACGTAGGTATCTCGCCTTTCGCAACGTGAAGAACTATGCACCGCTTGCTGGGTTGGTCATTCCAAAGCGGCGGCGGCCGCAGGACCCCGACGGCTTGAAAAAGGCCGACGTAGCGCTCTTGGAGGACATGCGGCGCATCGCCCTCGAGGTGTGCCAACGGGAGCAGCCCGAGGCCTTCGCGGCGAACGACTACTGGCTCCGCTTCCACCGAAGACCCTGGCACAGTGTCGATCACCTCCACCTGCACGTGCTCGCGCCGGCCTCCAAAGTATCGAGCTGGACGGCGTTCATATTCCTGGCGGGCTCACCGTGGAGCCTCGACGCCGACGCTCTTTTAGAGAAGCTCCGTCGAAGCCGAGAGTAAATGTTTGTTGTCATACAAGTCGGTCCTTACACGTAGACGCCTCCTCCGGCCTGGACGGGTCCGCTCAGCACGCTGATCAGCGTGGGCAGGAAGGCGAGGGCCGCGATGACCGCGAACCAGAAGACCGCGTCTTTGGACAGCGACGGCGCCCGCGGCATGGAGTTCGCCGCGCGCGCGGCGCCGCGCTGGACGCTCCGGGCCGCGTCCGTCGCTTTTCTTTTTGCGACCCTTCCGGTCCGCTCGACCTCGAGCCCGACCTCGTTCAGCTTCGCGGCCTTGCCCGTCTCGCCCCTTTTCAAGCGCTTGAACTCCTCGTCCCAATCGACCTCGCCGGGGCTCACCTCTGGGAGCTCGTCGGCCTGGCGCAGCGTGATCGCTCGCCGCGGCGCCGCGGGCTGGACAAATGCTACCGCGGTCGCGACGAGCGTGGCCGCGGCGATGGCGTGGCGGGGCGGCATCGTTATACGGGCGTGGGTACGCCGCGAGTAGCAGACTTGCGTGTTACGGCTTTCTGCTTTGGGAATCGCACGGCGCGTGCGCGGGAGTCCGAAAAAGTTACTGCTCGGCTGGCGATGGTGACTGCGAGTCTGCCCCGCGTCGCTGTTTCGTTACTAATTCGCTAGGCAAGTGTGCGAGCCGTGTCTTTTACAGGCTCCGCGAAGACTAGCGTATCGAGAGACACTAGCACGAGGCAGACGCCGTCCTGAGGCTTACAGACGGGTCGAGAGGATTCGGAGGAGGTCGCGGGAGCGCTGGGGGAAGGCCGCGCGACCAGCAGCTCGGAGCAAAACGCTGCCTTCGTCTCCGCAGGCAAGCTCATCTTCGGGGTCCTTAGAAGACAGACACGGCAGCGCACGAGGGCTTCTGAAAAGAACTGTCGGGGTCGGACACAGACGCGAACTCTAAAGAACCGGAGGCCCGCAGATCCAAGAGGGAGAGCATCCAAGTGCTACTCACCTCGGCAGCCGACGCCCGCCCTCTGACGACCTCAAACGCGCCGACGACTCGAGCCGACGACCAAAAAAACAAACAACATGGAGCCCGACGAGTTAGAGCCGCCGCTCCCGCCGCCGCCGCCGCCCCAGCCAATCATCGAGGAAGAGGAAGGCGAGCGCATGTGCCGCTACTGCTTTGATGGAGAAGAGGAGGGCGAGCTCATAGCGCCCTGCGCCTGTAAGGGTGGCCAGCGCTGGGTCCACCTCGAATGCCTCCGAAGGTGGCAGCGCATGGTTTTAGTGAGTCAACCGACCCACCCCATGTTCCACGGCGACGACCTACGACAGCAGACCTGCAACGTGTGCAAGCAGCCTTATACTTGTGAACCGCCCACGAGGCACGACCTCATGAGAAGTTTTACGGGGGTCGAAATTGCGTCCCTCGTCGACGTCGGTTGTATCATCGCGGCGGGCGAAGAGTTCTCGAGGGAGCTGGAAGAGCAGTTGGATGGCATGCCTCCTTATCTAAGGCATGCGTCCAGTTACGAGCACTGGTGTCGCTCGGCTTATGTGATTACTGGTGTCCAGGACGATGATGGTTTATATGAATTAACGTTGGACACGGAAAGATCTCTCGAGAGGTTACGGGAAGCTCTTGGTGCAGATGGTGCTACGGTGTCCTTGCGAGGCAAGCGGTTACGGGCGACGGCTCGTGGTTCCCTGGAGGGCGCCGAGGACATCGGCGAAGCGCTGGCAGCTCTAGAAGCGCCGGCGACCGTCGTATTGATAGAAGTGAACGCCGATGGGTCACCTACCCCAAGATCTTGCGGCGACGACCACGTCGCCGCGGTGAACGTGTGTCGGCCTCTACCGGAGGACTGGGACAATCCGCGGAGTAGAGCGGCCGTCGCGACCGCACTCGATTCTATTTCCACGAAGTTCGGCGCCGAATGGCGCGAAGAATGCGACAAAGTTCGACTAGTACATCATGTGGGCGGGCCGTGTGATGCGAGGAGTATCGTGAGGTGCTTCGTGCTTGGGACGGGCGGGGCGCGGGGCTACTCCATCGTCGAATCCTTACCGGACGCGATGCTTTTGGCGGCGCGCCTGGCGAAGAAGGCCTCTGAAAATCGCGACCTGAGTCAGGGCATCGGCCCCGGCGCGCGCGTGCGCCTCCAGAACCTAGCCACGGCGACGGAGCTCAACGGTGTTTTAGGTGTGGTACTAGACACAGCCCGGGGCGACCGCTGGAAGGTGGCCTTAGCTTCCGAAGATGGCACGTCTAGAATTGTTACTTGTAGACCAGAAACACTTATCCCAGAAACCTCCTCCTTGTACGGCCATCCGCCGACACCGATCGAACAGAACGAGTCGTCGGACGACGACGAGTCCATGGACGGCGGCATCGAGGCCGCGCCGCCGGCCGAGCACGGCGCGCCCATCACTTCGGACGCGACGCCGGCGACGGGCACGGTCCTGTGCTTCTGGGGCGACGCGCGCTGGTCGCGGACTCAATTACTGGGGGAGATCGCGCGGGGGCACTGGGGCATGTGCCGCGCCTACGCGCGCGACGTCCACGCCGCGCCGGACCAGCGACGGAGCGGGCTCGAGGACCGGCTGGTCTTCGCTCCTGTCACGGCGATGACCGAGGAGAGCATCGTGCGCGCGCGGACGCAGATGCGGCCGCTGCGCGAGCAGGCGCGCCTGGCGGCTCAGGGAGAAGAGGGTGCCGCCGAGGACGCGGCGTCGCCGCGGCGCGCGTCGGACGCGTCGAACGAGCCGCCGCCGCCGCCCTCGCCGATGGGCTCGCCCTGATAGTCCCTTCCCTTGCTTGTTAACCCCCGAAGTAAGTCACATACTACTCCTCGGCTCGTGTGCTGCCGCGCGCCGGCGGGAAATGAGAGCGAGCACCCGGGGGCGACGGCGTATGAGGGCTGGGGACGGTCGCGAATGCGGTCGCGTCGGCTCCGCGCTAGGTGGCCTAGCCGAAGCAAAGCAAAAGAAGTTCATTTTCCGAGAGCTGTGTTGTGAGACATCCAGGGCAGGATGTGTATGGATACACCCGTCAGGCGTCGTGCGGGGCCGTTGCGAAGGGCAGCAAACGAAGGGCTGGCCGATAAAAAGCCGCCAAGCGCACACATATTAACCAAGATGGCTGCCCCGCGGCAGCCGTTGCGGCCGCGCAACGTCGACGACGCGGCGCGGCCGCCCCTGAAGCCGCGCGGCGTGGACACGACGCCCCAAAAGCTGCGCGCACGACACGAGACGGATGATGAGCGGCTGCGCGACGCGGACGACGACAAGACTGATGAGAGGCTCCCCCAGAAACGGATCAGGCTCCTCCCCAAGAAACGTATCAGGATGCTGCCCGCGCGCGACGAAAAGTGGACCGCGCCTTTACATTCGCCGGAACGCGACCGCCCGCCGGACCTCGACGCGAGCATGGACGGCAGCATCGTCATGGCCCTCGCGACGCCAACACAAAGCTCACCGGTCGTGGAGGAGGCGCCGACGGAGCCGCCGCCGGCGTCGATGGGCGCCGTGGCCAAGCTCGGCTCCCTGGCCGCGCTGGCAAAAGTTCTGAGGAAGCCCTTCGACGCGGCCACTCAACATGTTTTCGACCTCTATAATAGGACGTGGCGCGACTTCGACGCGAGCGGTCGGGCGCCGCCGGCGAAACCCGGCGCCGAGCTATCGGAGGACGAGGTTAGAAGGTTACGCGGCGGCCTCGCGGTGCCCATCGTCGATGCGCCGGTATCGGCCGTAAAGCCGCCGCCGGCGCCGCCGCGCAAGTTCCGCCTGAAGAGTCTGTTGAAAGTCTTCCGGTGGAAGAAGTCGTCGCGCATCGCGCCGGCACCCGCGCCTAACACCTAGTAGTATCACCTCCTTAGCCACGCGATACTCAAAATCAAAACCCACCAAGTAGATGGACGCCCGCGACACGCGGCACAATAGGCCCATAAAAACGAACAGTCCTCGCCGCCCCAGCGCTGGTACGGCCGCCAGTTCTGGTAGGGCGAGTAGATCATCTCGCACGTGCACAATCCTGTCGTATGATTGCAGAGACCATTCGGATAGCTACAGTTGTTCAGGCACACTTGGTACTGGCAATGTTTCCCATAGTACCCCGGGTCGCAAATACACCGAGACACGGGAAACTCCACGGAGCAGTGGCCTCGATGCGAACAGTTGTGGTCGCAGTCTCGTATGCTACAATCATCATTGATGAAGGGCGGCGCGCACTGGCACGTCCCGAACCCATCACAAATGCCATTCGACTCGCCAAAACTTCCATCTTGCCGGTGCGACGCGAAGGTACACGGCACGCGAGGCACGTCGACTTGATATTTATCATGCTCAGTATGATTGTACCCGGCCTGGCAGCAGTGCTGGCAGACCTGTTCGTTCGTGTCCTGGTCGACGTAACAAAAATCACCGGGACAGCTGATGTTCGAACAGTCCGCCCCATAATAACCGCGGTGGCACTGGCAGAAACCGTAACTACAATTACCTTGATTGTTGCAGTTGTTCGGACAATCATGCACACCCAACCGCCACATGTCATCGAGCACGACGGATGGGAAGGTGTGGTCCGTGGTCTGTTTCTGCTCGACGCCATAACCGACCCCACCGAACATGTAGATCTCGCCTAAGGCTCGCGTATTCGTCGTCCACCGGCCCAGATGCGGCACCAGAATAGCAGCATGGTCAGACCTTTGGTTAGGTCTCAGGTACTGGAGACCCGTATCTAAAATCAGAGAAGCATTGGAAGGACACTCGAATCTGTCAGGAAACTTCTGCCTTTCCCCGGGATACAAGCCCGGTTCGTTCGGGTGCACCCCAAAGCACGTATCTCGACAGCCGTCCCAGCCCGGCGCCCGTCTCCTTTTTTGCGGTATTAATACGGACCCATTCGCTCGTCCGTTCAACCCATCCGGCGCTTTAGGGTGCCACCCCAGCGTGCCACCCCTTGTAGCATCTCCATACACAGAAGTACACCTTCTATAATACACGCCTCGATAGGCCTCGAAGTCCTGCCTGAACTTCTTACCATTTTTAATCTCGGGAAGAGATTTGTTGTACGATACGGTGTAATTCTCGAGAAAGGCCACGTCTCGACTGAGATCTTGCGACCAGAAGCTACACTCCCTATCGTCAAATTGTTTAGTACCGCAATCCCTACGCCGAAAGTGGTCCTTGAGCCAGTCCTCGTCCCAATACCTAGGTCCGGTGACCCACTGGTTCGGTCCTGTTGCGGCATACTTGACGATGGGGTCCCCGAACTTCGGCTTATCTACCTGTGGGTCGGGCCTGGGCCCGTCCTTGTCGACGATGCCGTAGAAGGGAAAGGCCGAAAACTCGATATATTTCGACTTCTTGATGCACGTCGACGACGCCTCATGAAAGCTACAATCACCATCTACTCTACACGACATCATCCTGTCATGTGAACAAACGGCCATATTTAACAAATGGACCATCTTCGTGTTGTTCGGGTCGAGCGACCACCAGTCGAAGCCCGCACAGCCCTCGTCCGCCTCGGACGCGCACGCGGCGGCCCCTCCCACTAACTGCGCCGGGGCCACGGACGTCCCGACTAATGGGGGAGAGTCCTTCTTCGTCGAGTCGACGGCCATGTCCGTCTTCGAGACGACGACCACATGGATCGTGTCGTACAAATCACTCAGGTCGTGGCGCTGCGCCTGGACGAGGCCGTCCGGTCGGACCGGTCGCGCGTAATCGAGCAAAAAGCAACTCGAGTTCGCAATAATTTCGTCGTCGTCCGTGCAGCCCGGCGGCCACAGCGGGTGGACCTGTTGTCTTTTTTCCAACCATCGTGTCTTTCGGGTATCAAACAACCACGTATCATCGAAGTGGTGCGACCCGTTGTACCCGCCAAAAACTATCAACATGGGGCCGAAGCACGCCCCATCATCATCGACAGAAGATCGGCAGTAGCCCATGTCCAGGACCATGCTCATGTCCGTGCGCGGGGCCGGTACGTCACTGCTAAGTGGTACGAGCAGGGTCCAATACCCTGTGGTTAGGTTGTAGACCCACAAATCATTCAAGTAGTAGGGATAGTCGGGAAAGGGAATGAAGCCCTTCGCGTTCGGCTTCGCCGCCGCGCCCCATCCACTGCCGGGACCATCCGTGGACAGGTAGGGGAAAAAAGTAGTGTAGCCGCCGAACACATAAACTCCGCCGTTTTTGGCGTCCAAAGCTGACGTATGCCCTGCGCGCGCCGTGGGCCACTCGACCTCGCAGTTCTGGTCGTCGCGGCCTTCCCACGTCGCGCCCGGCTCGTCGACGCACGTCGCTTTGCCCGTATAATTCCGCCAGAGCCCTAGTCCTGCACTGCTTGTAGGCATCGGTTCATCTGGATTCAATAACCTTTTATTGTAGACCCAGAGGTCGTCCATGTAGCCCCCGTCCGGTAACTCCTCATTCGACCGCCATCTATTATCCTCACTATTGTCGCGCGCAAAGCCGTGCCACAGCCGAAAACCGCCAAAGATGTAGAACCGCCCACATTCAATTTCATCTTGATTTTGTTCTTCGAGTGCCTTCGGGCAGGGGTACCTTTGGCCATCACTGACAAGTGAAAACCGCCACCGCTTGCCCGGCGCGTCGCCAAACGCGAACTTCCCCACCTCGTAGATCTCCATCCACGTGTTGTCGCGCACGTCAAAGGCCCACAGATCATCACAATAATCCTCGCATCTTTGGGAAAAGCCGCCGTACACGAGCATCGTACTATCATCAAACATGGAAGCACCATGCCTCCACCTCTCCGAAGGGTGCGTGCACACTTCGCGCCCGAGCACATACCTACAACCGCCCCGCCGCGCCCCATAATCTAATTCCTTCCAGGCCTGGTCCTCGCACGGCAAGTCGCTCCCGAGGCACGCCCACGATTTCGCATTCTGGTTGTCGTCCGTGGCGGGGCACGGCCCGGTGCCCGACGAGGCATCGTAGTTTGCGGTGGAGCCGAAGGTCACTTCCTCACACTTCTTGAAGGGCGTTTCCTCGCAGTCATCATCAGAAGTGCATCGGTCGCCGTTAAAGACGCCCCCGCAGAACTGGGCCTGTTCGCCTTGGGCCGTCGTGCCTTCCCGATAACAGTCCAATTCATAGGCCCACACATCATTAAAGTACAATCCGACATTTATGGGATTTTTGCAGACCTGTTCGCCCGTGTCCGGGTCCGTCGTGCACATCTCCGTTTTTATTGGAGATTTATCATAGCTCACGAAGTCGATGGTCCCTGAACTAATCTTGATCTCGTAGGTCTTGGGCACGTGCTGCTTGAAGATCTCGTTCGACCGGCCGCCAAACAACACTATTTTCGTCGTGGCTTTCTCCGTCTCCGTCGCCGGCTTGTGGTGTAATACTAACGAGTGTCCTCTGCGCGCGCCCGGTCCTCTCTCTAACCCCCAGAGCTCCTTCCACTGCTGCGTCGCGTCGGCCTTGTACTCCCAGCGCTGCCAGGCGTTTGCCGTCGTGGCTACCGCGAGGAGCCTTGCGAGCAGCAGCATCTCTCCTCTATGCTCCTCTGTTGCCCGTCGACGAAGGAGGTCTCGCGGGACGCCTTGTGTCTCTATTGGTAGCGCCTTGGGCGGCTGGTTTTGCGCAGAGCTTGGGCTGCCCGGCGGGCGCGCGGGGGCGGCGCCGCCGGCGGAACGCGCAGCCGAGCACGCGTCTGGCCGCGGGAGCCCGCGTACGCGTCCTTTACGGCCCACAGCGCACCACCAGCGGAATTGCGGGCTAGAGTCTTACGGGCCGCTAGGTCCGCACGGCTGCCCCTCCTCACTGTTTCGACCATGCCCTCCATCAGCCAGCGCATGGCCCAGAGCGAGGGCCGCCCGATTTCAACAAGACGGCCCTCCTCAACAACGGCGCCCGACGCGCCGCCGACGAGCCGCCAGCCCTTCGTGCCCACCACCGACGCCGGCGCCTGGGGCGGCTTCCTCGACGCGCAGGCGCACAAGCCGGGCGGGACGGCGCGGCGCCAGAAGCACGCTCCCCAACCGCCGCCGCCGCCGCCGCCGCCGCCTCCCTCAAAAAAGTGGGACCGCTACGTCGACGCCGCAAGTGGCAAGCCCTACTGGCACGACGCTCATTCGGGAGAGACGACCTGGGACGAGCCCGTGACGCCACCGCCGCCGCCGCCGCCGCCAAGAGAGCGCTGGGTCGAGTTGTATGACGACGCGAGCGAGCGCCCGTACTACCACGACCCGGCCTCCGGTAGCGTTCGATGGGACGAGCCCGAGACGATTGACGAGCACGGGTCGGCGCTCTTCGCTCTCTCAGGCAAGGCCGTGCCGCCGCCTCCATCAGAAGAGGCGGAGGAGGCGCCGCCCGCGCGGACGCTCCGCCGGCCGTCGAACCCGTGGCAGAAGAAACCGGCCGCGCCGGTGGTCGACTCATCGAGCGAGTCGGAGGCAGCCGATGATACGGACCTCGCGGCGCGCGTGGCGGCGCTGGAGAAGACGGTCGCGGCGCTCGTGCGGCGCCTGGCGCGTTCTTGACCCCCGTGGCCCCTTCAGCTGAGTAAGTGGGTAGCTGTTACTTGGATTTTGGGAGCGCTAGCACCTTTCAGCTGATGCAACAAAACCCGTACAAGCTGCAGAGCGCCTGTCCAGGTCTGCAGCCTGTGCTACAGGACAAGCGGAGCAGTAAGAAGTTGCATTCGTTCAGGTCATCATACGTGCGCATTCGTTCCGTTTGAGTTAGGCGCCTGTTAGCTGTATAATCGATCGTGCACACCGGAGAGCACTCTCCCAAACGCCATCCGTGCGACATTGCGAGAACGCATGGCTCGACACGTCGTCGCCGCGGCCCTCTGCTTCGCCGCTGCATGGGCATTGCTGCATAACCAACGCACACGCAACCTACCACTGGCCATCGCCGCGAAAAAGACGGTCTGGACCTTCGACGAGGCGCGCGACTACGCGCGGTCTTTCGGCTTCGGCTCCAAGGACGAGTACGTCGAGTACCGCTGCCCCGGCGCGTATGCGCTACCTCGAAACCCGGTCGAGGCGTTTGGTGAGCGCTGGACGTCATGGGAGGACTACCTCGGGCTTCGTACAGGTGTCGATGATGCGGAAGTCGTGACGCGGCCGGGCTTCGAGCAGGTGCTGTTCGTCGAGATGGGCTGGGGCGCCGACCAGCACGGCCAGAACGCGACCAAGGCGTGCGTCCGCGCGGCTCGGAATGCTATCGAGTTTAACAGCATCCCGTCGATCCGCGCGGAGCCGGCGTCCTCGACTCGTCGACGCCGTCGCGCGCGTCGCGTCGATAGCGTCGGGGGGGGGGGACGCCGTCGCCGCGTGTTGCGTCGACGGCGCCACACTGACCATGCGAACGCAGGCGCGCTCGTGCCCAATGGCTACGAGGGCATGAAGCTGGCCGTGGACCTCGCCGTGCCGGAGGCGTACCACGAACATATCGACGTCGACGCCGTCGGGGCGGTCTTCCCCTACGGCGCCGTCTCAATACGACTGCAGCCCGGCGGCGCGGAGTTCTCCTCGGGCATCGCGATCCCGGCCATGGGTGATAAAGGAGACGCGCTCGTCGTCGCGCTGTGCTGCGTGACCGTGGGCTACTGATGTCGCCTCGCCATTGGCTGCGGCGGTCGCGCTCGCACCACGAAAGGAGGCAAGATGGATCCGTCGCCCTCGACGCCATCGCCGTAATCTGTGTATGTCTGTCCCCGAACACGTGATAGAAAGAACACATCCCTACGCGCCCCCTACGACGAAGCCCTAGCCGAGGACGATGCCCTCGTACTTCTGCTGGAACCACTGGACCGCCTGGTCCTTGGTGATGCGGTGCTTGACGCCGACGCGCGCCTGGCGCGCCTTCCGCCGCGCGACGCGGAAGCCCGGCCGCTCCAGGCACACGTAGAAGTCCATGCCGTAGATGCCGGTCGTCGGGTCGTACTTGATGCCGAGGTCGATGTGCTCCGTCACGCCGAAGCCGAAGTTGCCCGTCGCGCTGAAGTTCTTGCGCTGGAGCTCGTACTCCTTCACCTTCAAACCGCGCTCGAGAATCTCCGTCGCCTTCTCGCCGCGGACCGTCACGTGGACGGCGATCTTCTCGTTTCTTCGGATGGAGAAGCCGCGGCACGTGTACCGCGCCTTCGAGTAGACCGGCTCCTGGCCCGTGAGCTGCTCGAGCACGCGCGCCGCGCGCGTCAGTCGATCGCCCGACTCGCCCACACAACAATTGAGGATCAGCTTCGAGACCTTGATCTCGCGCATCTTGTTCTCCGCCATGGTTAAGGCTGGAGTCGCGACCTGTGCGTGCGTTGGTCTCGTCGTCGCTCTGTGTGTGTCTCTCTCTCTCTCGCGGGTCCGGCGGGCGGCGTTCGAGCGCCAGCAGGGCGATCCGGAGCGACCGGCGGCCGCAGCGGTGGCGTAGTAAGCGGTGGCTTGCCTCGGCGGCGCAGCGGGCGGCCAGCGGCTGCAGCAGGGCTATGCAAAATGCTGCTTGGCTGAAGTGCCTCTGTGCCCGCTCGCTGATGCCGCACGCTATAGCAGCGCTTGCCAGACCGTCTCAATCACTTCTCGGTTGCTGCACGCGTCCCGGATTTTGCAGACTCCGTCGCTAACCTCGTTTACACGGCGTCGCTTTTACGGCTCGAGATGGCGATGCGCCGCAGGCGTCTTACAAAAAGCGACTCGAGAGGCCTCCAGGCGCACTCGGAGCTGTCGCAGGAGTCGCCTCAAGCATTCTGACGCGTAGCAGGCTAGCGGCGTGAGACACTAGCAAGGCAGGCAAGCCGAGTCGAGGAGCTGATCGCAGCAACGCGGTCCGCTCCGGACAACTTGAGCCAGGATAAACTAGCACGACTGCTTTAGAGCCGGTTGCAGCGGTTCTGAGCCGGCTGCAGCGAGCGGCTGTGCTCAAAAGCGTCGTGCACATTAATGCCGGCTCGCACCACGAACGCCGCGCTGCAGCAAAAACTCAACGAGTTGTCCGCCTTCGCAGCCAAAAACGAACGGAAGGCATTTGTCGAGGCCTTCGTGCCCCTGGACTGCTCTCCCGAGGACCAGTCAAACTACCTGTCGGTTTTGACAGGAGACGACGCCGAGTGGGCCGCGCTCTCCTCTGAAATTCAGGCCATCGCCGCCGGCGCGACCGTCGAGAAGATCGAGGGCGACCAGACTACAAAGGCGGTCTTCTTCTTCCCGCACCCTTTTCTCGAGCGGTGCGACCGGGAGGTGGTCTTCGTGTGCGTTGACGGCGAGTGGCGCGCGGAGGGCTAATGGATCCGCAAACGACTGGTGGCGAGCGGTCGTCACGGGAGCGACGCGACAGGAGCCGCAGCCGGGGAAGTAGCTCCAGGCGGCGCCGACGCGGCCGCAGCAGGAGTAGGAGCCGCAGTCACGACCGCAGGAGACGTCGCAGCCGCGACCGCAGCCGCAGCCGTCGTGAACGGCGTCGCGACGACGACGACTACCGGCGGCGCGATCGCGACCGACGCCACGACGACGACACGCCGCGCCCGCGACGGGAAGACCGGCGCCCGCAGCGCCTCCGCCCCAACGCCAGCTCGTTTGGCGCGTTCCTCAAGGGAGTCGTCAGAGAGCGAGAACGTGCTGATGACGAGCTCCGCCGCGCGGCCGACAAGCAGTTGGCCCGGATCGAGTTCGGCGAGTAATTCAATTTGTTGTCTACACCGGCCCCCTACAAGTGCCCCCCCAGCGATGGCGGCGCGGGTGCCGGCGCCTCGGTCGCAGCAGGCGCCGGCGCCTCACTAACGGCAGGCGCAGGCGCCTCGACGGGCGCCGGTGCCGGCGCCGGCGCCCCGAGCGGCGCAGAAACGGGCGCCTCGGCGAGCCGCTTGACGGGGCTCCGCACGACGCCCGGCGCCTCGGCTTCCGAGGGGCAGGGCGACGCCAGCGGCTCGTCGGCGAAGGGCGGGTCCTCCAAGCTCCGCGAGGACGACGACGACGACGACGAGGACGAGGACGACGACGGCGGCGTCGGGGGCGGCGGCCGCGCGGCGAGCTCCTCCGCCGCGGTCACATGTCGCGACGCGATCTGCACGTCTTTCAGAGCCTCGGCGACGGCCTGGCGTTCTTCCCGAGGATCCGTGCCGGCGTCGCCGACGTCGATTCGCTGGATACCACTTAACAAAGAAGTGAGCTCGGGCACGCTCGGGTCCTTCCTCGATGCGATCTTCTCGGGAATGCGGATCGAGGCCGTCGACGGCCTTCCGTCGCCTTGGTGTTGTTTTTCGTACGCTTGGACCTCCCGCAACAATCGGTTGACCTCCTTGTCCCGCTTATCCAATAAAGCTTCTCTCTCATCCAATTCCTGCTGCCTCTGGACGGCCTTTTCTCTTTCCTTCGCAACTAGAGCTTCCACCTCCTTCACAGAAAGCGCCATCCTTCGTTGCACCTCGAAGTCCCTCTGCACGAGTCGGTCCTCCAACGCCTGGACCCGCTCCCTAGCTTCCTGCTCTTTCCGCTGTAACGTCGCCTCCATGTTTTGTTCTTCATGCTCCCAGTCCCGCTTCTGTTGCTCTAGACCCCGTAAACAAGCCGCGACCTCGGCGTGCTGGGCGTCCAAAATGCCCTGGCCCTTGCCGAAGGAACACTTCGACGCGATCGTCACCTCGAGGTGCTTCGCGACGCCCTTGACCGACCCTTCGAGGGCCCGTTCCCGCGCGGCCACTTTGACCTCCTTGAGCCGCAACCGCGCCTCATCATCACGGAAAGACATGATCTTCTGCGACGCTTTTTCTTCCCTTTCAACAGCGCGACTTTCGGTGGCGGCCTCGCGCGCCTCCGCCGCCGCGATGCTGCTTCTAGCTCTTAACAAAACTTCGGCGTCGAGGCCCTCGATCTTCGCCCTCATGTCCGCCTCGAGCTTCTCGAGCTCGGCCTCCCGCCTGGCGAAGTCGTCCTCCTGCTCCTGCACCCAGGCCGCCTTGTCCGCCACTTCTTGGTCATGGCGCCGTCGTGCCTCGGCCTCGGCCTGCTCCTGGGCCAGGCGCGCGGCGACGACCTCGGGGTCCTCCTTCTTGCCCTTCTTGCCCTTCTTGGGCATGGTCGTGCGGTCGTGAGTTTATGCGGGCTGCCTCGTTGGCGTTTGGCGCCGTCGATGCGATTGGCAGCACGCAACGCCGTCAACGACACACAGCGCTGTGCCGCCAGCTTCCGACCCGGCCTGGGGACGGGTGGGAGGCCCTCCCGAGGCCTCGCTGGCCCCGGGGCGCGGGGGGGGCGTCTTTTCTCGTGGCGTGCGGGTTCGGGGCCTCGAGCCGATCAAAACGAAGGAGACACAAGGCGATACACTTAGACGAGGTCCCCACCTTTCGGCGTCCCAAGGAAGGACTCCCGCTCCTCGTCGCACGGCGCGTCGCGCCCGAACCACCTCCTACACCGCCGCTCGCCCGTCTTCTGAGAGAGGTCAGGCGGCGCATAGAGCCGCAAAGCCAAGGAAGACAGCACGACACTAACCGAAGAGAAGACCATGCAGGCCGCCGCCGCGGCCGGCGGCAGTCTTTGACGTGTTGCGGGATAGAACGCCCCCGCCGCCGCCGGGACCAAGACCAGGTTGTAGCACGTCGCCCAGGCGAAGTTCAGGCGGATGCGGTTGTATGTATGTCTAGCCAAATCTAAGGCCGTCGATACACCTCGCAAGTCGTCGCCAACTAAAACCACGTCCGCGGCCTCGACCGCGACGCCGCTCCCGGCACCCAACGCCACTCCCACATCGGCTTGAGCTAACGCAGGAGCGTCATTGACACCATCACCGACAAAGACCACCAAACCGTCGTTCTGGAGTTCCGTGATCAAATCGCGCTTATCTCGCGGTAATTGCCCTGCTCTAACGCGGTTGCGCGACAGGCCCACTTGTAGAGCGACGGCGTCCGCCGTTTGCGAGGAATCGCCCGTGCACATCCACACGTCTATACTCTGACGGTGGAGCCACGCTATCACTAAAGACGCTTCGGGTCGCGGCGCGTCCGCGATAGCTATGGACCCGGCGAAGCGCCGATCGAACGCGACGTGGACCACCGTGGCAGCTTCTTGGCGCCATCTCTGGGTCGTTTCATCCTCAACCACGTCCACGCCCAGCTCCCGCAAGAACCGCGACGAGCCCACCGCCACACTCGCCCCGAGGTCGCCCACATTGGCCTGCGCGCCTAGTCCCTCAACATCCTTCGCGTCGTCTACTCGCAATAACTTCAGTCCTCTTTGTTGCGCCGCTCTCCGCAACGCGCCAGCTAAAGGGTGCGACGAGTGCTGCTCGCATGAGGCCGCCGCTCGTATCAAATCATCTTCGGTCATCTTGTACGCTTGACAACCGACGACGCGGGGCTTACCTTGCGTAAGTGTCCCGGTCTTGTCAAACACCACGACCTTGCACGCCGCCGCGTGTTCCAGGGCCGCGCCGCCCTTCGCTAAAACACCTAGATTGGCACCGACGCCGGTGCCGACCATGACCGCCGTCGGCGTCGCCAAACCCAACGCACAGGGGCACGCCACGACGACGACAGAAACCCCAAACAACAAAGCAAACAGAAACGTGTCGCGCTCGTCGAGCCAGCTCTCCGGGACGTTACCTGTCTCTGCGGCGATGTACCATGCCATAAACGTTGTAAGACCCAGAAACACAACACAGGGCGCGAAGACCGACGCGATGCGGTCCGCAAAATTTTGTATGGGCGCCTTGTCCAGTTGGGCGTCTTCGACTAAACGAGCGATCTGCGCGACGCACGCGTCGCCGCCGACGGCCTCGATTCTGATATAGCAGCTCCTCCCCATGTTCTTTGACGACGCAAAAACTTTGGCGCCGCGCGGCCGTTTCGCGGGTTTGGACTCTCCGGTCAGCGCCGACTCGTCTAATCTCGCTGAGCCACCGCCCTCGACGAGAATAACAACCCCATCCGCGGGCACGGCTTCTCCTTGTGATACTCTAGCAACATCACCAACTTCGCAGGCGTCCGCATCGACGTCGCCCGCGACGCACTGAGCTGCCAGCGATCGGAAGTCCCGCTCTAAGGCTGAAGCGTCCTCATTGACATCGAGCCTTGATAATTTAGTAGCGACGTCCCGCAACTCCGACGAAGGTAACAGAGTAGCGGAGGCCGGCCGTAAAGCCAGCAGCGCCTCGACGGCGTCGCCGGTGCGCTGCTTCGCCCTGCTTTCCAGGAACTTTCCCAGCGTCACGAATAATAAGAGCATGGCCGCCGTGTCGAACAGTAAGTGCTGGTGGTTCGCGTCGTACACACAGCAGTCTATGAGTGAATAGAAGGAGTACGTGACGACCGTGGACGTAGCTACAACTATCAGAGAATCCATACCCCAAGAACAACTCCGGAATTGCGTGTAGGCGTTCCGGTAGAAGCGCCCGCCCACAAAGATCTGGACACTTAACCCGCAGACACTTGCGACTAAGGCCTCGATCGTGAACATCCCGTGGCACCCTATACCTGTATGCCAAAATTCCTGTCCGGGACCGATCATCCCACCCCACTTCGCCACGAAGATCGGGATCGAGAGGAGGAGTGCTACTTTCAAGCTGCGCCACCAGCCTGCCACTTCCCGTTGCGACGCTGCGGCGGGCGACTCGTCCCGCGTCGCGAGTGAACAGCGGAAGCCGCATTTCTTAACAGCGGCGACGCAGTCCGCGCGGTCTCCTTCTTGACTAAGAACGACTCGTGCTCTATGAGTAGCCACAGACACATCCGCTCGTAACACGCCCGGCACTTCAGATAAAGCGCGCTCGACTTTCGAAGAGCAAGCAGCACAGGACATGCCCTCCACTTTCAAAAGTAGGGCGCCGTCATTCGTCACGTCGACGGCCTCGCACGCGTAGCCTTCCGCGGTCACGGCCCGCTCGACGTCTCTCGCGTTACAATCTGAGGAAGCGAGCAGCCGCCCGGCGTTGACGTTCACTTTCGCTGAACCACAGCCCGCCTTGAGCGCGGCCTGCTCGACGCGCCGCGCGTCTGTCAAAGTGCGCATGCCGTTCACCCGGAACTCCCGCGAACTTTTCAGGGATACGGTAGAGGGCGGCGCCGGTTTTGTCTGACTAACCTCGGCGCCAAATCCCACACATTCCACCGCATCAATTAGTAAAGCCACGTCCACCTCGCCCCAGACGCTCGCGTTGTGGTCCGCGAAGGACGCCTCCGCTCGACTGACGCCGGGTACGTTGCGCAGCGCGTTCGCTACCGTACTACCGCAGGACTGCTGGCACATCATGCCCTCTATGGTCAAGACGTGGGTCGGCGGGGTCGAGGCGGGGGTCATCTCCAGCATCTTTGGGTGTGCCTGGCGCCTCGGCGGCGTGAATCCACTGGAAGACTACTTTGTCTAAAGCTCCCTTAGCCTTCGTGCAGCGGTCGTCCGCGCTCGAGGACAGCCTCCGCAGCTATGAATGTCCCGCTGCGCAGTCCCAGCCAGCGTCGAGTTGATAGCTATATATGACCTCTGCAGCGCGTGCCGGCCGAAGGAAAACGTGATTATCTAGCGGCATGTAAGACACTAGCAACAAACTAATTGAACCACAGAGTTAAGGGAACAGCTCCCCGCACCGCGCCGCGAATTTCGACGCCCTCACCGCCGCGTCTCCAAAAAAAGCGACGCCGGCGCACGCGCCCGCGACGGCGCGGAAGCGTTGCTGCGCCTCGGCGCACCGCCGCACGCGGTCCTCCCGCGACAGGTCCACACCCAGCGCCGGCGCCGTCGCCGCGGCGGCGATCGCCGGGCCGTGCGAATCCAAAGCGCATGAACAAGCGTCGACGACCAGCACGCAGACCTCGCCCGCCCGGTCGGATTCCGCGGCGCAGCACGCCTTGAGCCACCGCTCGGCGCACTCGGCCAATGTGGACGCGGCGTCGAGCGTCAGATCAGTCGCGTCGACGCGCTCGAGGAAGTCGCCGACGGCTTCCCAGGAGAAATTCCGTCCACTCAACGCGCGGAAGGCCTCTTCACCATTACCCGCGCCCCACTGTTTCGACGCATGCTCCAGTTGTTCAAGGCGCGCCTCGAGCTCGTGCTTCGCCTTGCGGCCCATCAGTATCTCCGTGATGGCGTCGTCGACGCTCGCACCGTCAGCTTTCGGCTGCGACGCTCGTCTTTTCACATCTTCAAGGTCGCTCGTCGACAGGCGCCGTCGATCTGTCTTGGTGTTGCGCGGCGCGAGGCCCCTTCTCTGTGAAGGCGCGAAGACTACAGAAGGAGAGGCCTTCGCGTCGATCTTTGACGCAGGCGGTTCCTCCACGGGAGACGCCTCCTTGGCCTCGGCCTCATCACTCACGTCGTCCTCGAAGTCGTCCTCGTACGCGAGTGACGCATTGTATACCCGGACGACGCCGTCCCTGCGGCACGCTACTGTACAGTCGTCGCCGCATTTGAGAGCACAGACACCCGCCAAACCGCCCTCGATTTCTCGACTGATGGGTTTCACATTGGCCACGTTCCACTGTCTCATCCCATTCTCGGCCGCCACGACGAGCGACCGCCCCGACGACGAGAACGCACATTCTCGCACCGCGTGCGCTTCGAGAGATGCAGGATGCGTCGCTCCTAATTCTTTCCACTGCTCCAAGTCATACAATCTAGCGGTTCTGTCCGAGCAAGAAGCAGCCAGCACCAGTTCCGTAGGTGAAAACACAAGAGTCTTCGCAAACACCGCTTGGGCTCGTCTCGAAGCCCCGAAGCCCTTGAGCAATTTCCCGGCAGTTAAATCCCACACTCTAATTTGACCATCACCTCGAGAGGCCGACGCGAGCCATCTGCCGTCCGGAGAGAAACACACGGCATCGACCTCGCCGCCGTGGCCCTTGTAGGTCTGCAGGCAAGCTTTTTTCCGGGCGTCCCAGACTTTCACCGTCGAATCGGCCCCGCCAGTCGCCACGAATTCTCCGTACGGGTGAAAACGACAGCAATTCACTTGGTTCCGGTGGCCCGTCAACCCTCGCGAGGCCTTGCCTTCTCGTAAATCGTAGACTCGAGCCGAACCACCTTCGCAGCCGCTCAACACGTGGGTCTCGTCATGATCTAGGTCGAGGCAGGTGATCGACGACGTGCTGGCCGCGAAGGACTGGAGGTGCTCCGCGTCTTTTAGTCTCCAAACACAACAGCGCCGTTCCTGGCCGCCCGTCGCGATGATGGACGAGCCGAGCGCGATGCAGTTGATGGGTGCCGGCGAGGCGACCCACTCTTGTTGGAGGGCGGCCATCTTTTGTTGTGGGGCTGCTTTGCTGCTCACGTTTCGTCGCGGGATCGACGCGTCGCGGGGCAGCCCCCCCAGGAATGGAGGCGTCGCCGCGCTGCACGATTTGAACAGCAGGTCGCGTGGGCCGGCGTTCGCAGGAATGCGAGGCGTGCGCGGCGCGGCGTGGGCTGCTGCTGGATTTGAATAGCCAGTGGGGTGCGGCTGCAAAACTGAAAAATGCTAGTGTGTCTATGAACTAGCTCCAGCCTCCCCAATAGGCGTCCGCACGATCACATACGCGCAAACCTAGACATACTGTCCTTCGATCGACGTACCAGCCTCCGCGAAAGCCCTGCTTGTATACGTAGGCCGGGTTGCAGCTTTGGCCCAACCAGTACTCCAGAGCCAAAAGAGTCCCAGTCCATCCGCGGCGGGGATAAACGCTAGACATCGTAAAAAGACAGCAAAATGGCCGCCCTGGCCGGCGCCTGGGCGCGCGAGGTCGCCGCCGACGCCTGGCCCGGCCCCGTCAACGAAGGCGCACCGAGAGCTACACGATTGTTTGTGGCCGGCGGCGCTACCCACGCGGGCAAGTCGACCGTTTGTTTAGGCATCCTCCAAGCAGCTCTGGAAAAGTACGGCGCTTCCAATATAGCCTACGTCAAGGCCGCCACCCAAGATGAAAGAGAAGACACGGTGTCGCGGTGGTGCTCTACAAATAAAGTCGAGTATCGTTCGGGAAAGCATTGTCCTATTGTGTACTACGCGGGCTTTACAAGAGCGTTCCTCGACGGCTCGGCGGGCACGTCGGCCCAGTGGTTGGATAGAGTCGCATCAGTAGTGGACGACCTCGCCCAGAACCGGAAATTCGTGCTGGTGGACGGCGTCGGCTTCCCGGCCGTCGGGAGCATCTGCGGCACGTCGAACGCGGATGTCGCCAAACGCCTCGAGGCGCCCGTTTTGTTAGTGGTGAAGGCGGGCGTCGGGGCTGCTATCGACGAGGCGAATTATGGCACGGCCTTCTTCGGGTCGCGGGACGTGCCCGTGCTAGGCGTCGTCTTGAACAGAAGCGCCTCTCAGGGCTTCTACGCTAGAGAGAAGATTCTCGCGCCCGTGCACGCGTACTTCGCCAAAACTAGATTGGGGCTGTACGGCGTCATTCCCGACGAGCCGTCGCTGACGAATCTGAGGAACGAGGCCGCGTCGTCGGACATCGACACGGCACCGGTTGCAACTCACGTGCGGAAGCACGTCGATGTCGAGCAATTGATGTCAGACGCGGCGCGCGACCCCTGGAATTCTCGTAGAGCGCCGCCCTCCTCTACAGCAATGGACGCCATCGACGCCGACGATTTGCGGCTGCGCATCCAGCAGGCCGCGGCGCAGCTGGGGGCCGAGGTCGTCAAGGAGAAGTGCTGAGGCGGCGGGTGAAGTCGTATTCCTCCCCCTTGCGTGATTCGTGACGGCCCGTACCTACTCAGTAGTGGGGTGCGGGCCCGAGTAATTGCTCCATTTACTACTTGCGGTCCATCGGGGCGACGGCGACGACTTCCGCGACGGCTTGCGGCGTTGCGGCGGCGCCGTAGGGCGGCGGAGCGACGGTCGTTCCGACCGGTTGCGCCGCTTGCGGCGGCGGCGGCGCGTAGCCTTGGACGACGGCGCCCGTTGGGGCGGCGGCGTAAGGCGGCGGCTGCGTCACGTGGCCTTGCACGACGCCGCCCGCCGTTGGGGGATAGCTGGAGTTGTACGGCGACGGAGCAACGGTCGTCGGGACCGCCGGGCCCGGCGCAACTACCGTTCCGACCGCCGGGTTCGCCGCCGGGGAAACTATCGTTCCGACCGCCGGCCCTGCCGCTGGGACGGCTCCCGCCGTGACGACCACCGCTGGTGCGTTGGCTGGCGTGTAGGCGAGGAGTAAGCCGGGAAACTTCATGGCTCGACCCTTCAAGAGATTGACCCACGGCTCGAGCGTGATCCCGAGCGGCGCGAAGGTTTGAGCGTGGCGCGTGCAGAGCTCCTGCATGGCCGTCCACCACTTGTTTCGCACCTCGCCGGGGCTGTCGAAGCACGGGCCAGAACACCCACATCCGCCGCACTGGGAGAGCGCGAGCGAGGGGAGTTTGTATAACTCTTGGCGGAAGGGCTCCCATTGCGATTCTGTGACGCCTTGCGCGGTGAGCCCGGCCGTCAGTCCGCCGTTCGACGATATACGATTGAGTTGGTGCTTGTCGCTGCCGCCCATGAAGAAGAATTTCGTGCCCTCGGCGCTGTCCTCCGCCGGGATGTGGTGGGCGGCGGACATAGTCTGCCGTTCGACGCGCGAGTTAGTCTAGCGTTCGTGACCGCTTAATTATACTCTCTCCGTTCGAGGACAGCACGACGTGGAGCAGTCTACTAATTCTTGAGCTGAGACAAAAGTATATAATTCTAGGCGGCTCGTAACCCGCAGTAAACGTTGGTAAGTGCACGTATTCGTCGTATTTACAGCAAGGTTTTCCGCGTGAAGAGGAGATATGGCGCGATCGTACGCGTACGTAAACATAAAAATAAGCTATAAGGCTTGGCTTTTTTTTCGGGTTTTTCACGCTTTTTGCTGCAGCTGCGGCGTAATAGAGGAGGACAGACCGGGCGTTTTGATGGCGAGTCGTCTGTTTGCGCCCGCCTCGTCGGAACGCGTCGACAACTCTGGCTCCCTAAGAGCCTCTGAGGTGAAGGAGCAAGACACTGCTGACAACGAGCCCAGCAGACGGAGGAGCAGCAGTCTCGTCGGCGATTTGGCCGCGTCTATACTAGGAGCAGACGTGCTCGCGGCCAGGAAGGCGCCGCCGTTCCCGGACGACGCCGAGGACGGCTCAGACGGTACTCGATACTTTTTTGCGGGCGGAGGCCGGAGCGCGCGTATCTCGTCGCATGGAACGCTGTCGCCGGCGCTCGCAGCCAAGGGCATACCGCCGCAGCAGTGGGCGGCGTTCCGCGAAGATCTAAAGAAATTGCCTTCGCTCAAGCGATCGATGTGGAGACCGTTGTGTCGGAGCTCCGCGCGAAAACAGGCGTGGCTCGACGCCGTCGAAGCGCTCGGTGACAAATATATCGCTCTCTTCGCGCCGCTTGGGATCGAGGTCCGCGCGTCCCTCGACGACAGAGCATCGACGCGACATCGCGGCCCGGCTATTTTGTTCCGTTATACGCCGGCGGTCGTCGAGCCGGGGGCGACAACTACAATCCCAGTTCCGCCAGGGACGCGCGGCGGCGACGTGATTCATGCACGCGTGGACGGCCGTGAGATATCGGTCACCGTCCCCTCGCCGCCGCCGATGAAAATAGACGTCGCCGTGCCGCCTCCCTCGGCTCCTCAAGTCGGCGCATCGTACCAGCCGCTACAGGCACCGTACGTGCCGAAAGCGCCGTACCATCAGCAGGCACCGCCTCCCGCAATGGCCACGGAGTTAAAAGCATCTGAGGCCGTTCCCGTCGGCCCGCCGTCGGCGCGCAATCAACGCGCACGCCACCGCGTCGACGACGTCAACGATCTCGAAGCGCCCGGGCGGCCGCCCACCCCGCCGTGGCGGGCACGAGCGCCGGCGCGGAACATGTCGGTCGCGGGCGTGAGCGGTATAAATTAGGTATTGTTATACCGAATGAATCCGGAAACAAGACGCTGTTTTTTCCCGCCAGCCGTCGGCTGCTAGCGGCCTGTAAGACACTAGGGATGCCTAGGGAGCACAACAAGCCAAGCTCCAGGCCCTGCACTGTGTTACGGCACAGCTAATCGTACAGCAACATTGTGTTTCAACGTTCTCTGGTGAGGCAACATCGCCGCCAGCACGCGTAAACGTGTGCCTGTCCCTGTACGGCTATCTAAGTGGGTCTCTCTGCAGTGCCTGAGAGCTCATCTCTGCAGGCGTCGCACCGGGACGCGCACGAGTTTCCTCCGAAAGAGAACAGACCAGCAGATTAGATGCAAGACGAGAACGCACCGCGCGACGCAACCCTACCGTTGCGATTGGCAGTCGTCCTGCTCATTGCATGCACTCAAGTCGGCGCCACGCAGCTCACCAGCAGAGTCCAGCGTGGCTTAAACGCACCGTTCGCGATCACCTGGTGCCACGCATGCTTGCAAGTTCTCTGCTGGCCGGCCGGCAACGTTAGGAGGACGCCTACGACGGACGCTCTTAACAGAAGCGACCTCGCGATCTTCCCGTTGCTCTTCTTGGGTGCGAATTACGCATATGTCCGAGCGCTCGCTCTGGCGTCGCCTGCCATCGTGCAGTGCGTCTTCGGCGCCGCACCTGCCGTTGTCTGCGTGCTGTCGAGGCTGTGGCTGAGAGAACCGTTCACGCGACGGCGAGCTCTCGCCGTCGGCGCCGCGTTATGTGGCGTCGCGCTCGTCGCGGCTCCTTCTGGCTCGGGCAGTCATCATCTGACGATCGGCGCCGTCATCGCGCTCTGCGCGGTGCTCTGCGCCGCCACGTACAAAGTGCGGTGGAAGCGGCGCTTCGGCGCGCCACCGTCCGATTTTGTTTTGCGAGCCGTCGGGCTCGTCGGCGGCGCTGTGGCGATATGTAGCTTGCCGATAGCGGTGGCGCTCGCCGCCACCGGCGCCGAGACGCCGCCGGGGCGGTGGACGGCCCACGATACGTTGATCGTGCTCGGCGGCGGCGTCATCGACGTATTATACAACTGCTCCATCGCGCTCGGGCTGTCGGTTGCGTCGCCCGTATTTGTCGCGACGGGAACAATCCTGGCAATTCCTGGCAACGCCGTCGTCGACGCGATCCTGGACCGCGAGCGGCTCGGCCCGCTACAGCTGCTCGGAGCGGTCGCGGTAATTGTAGCGTTCGCGGCGCTGGCGTCCGAGCGGCCGACGACGACGCCAGACGAAGAAACCGACGTGGCAAATCCGCTCGTCGACGACGAGGACGGGGAAACTGTGGTGTAAATTATCTGTAAAAAATACAACATGATTATGATACCCGCTGCCGCGCCAGAAACTCGCGCGCCGCGCGGGGCAGCGCGTCGTCCGCGAGCTCCGCCTCGAGGTCGACCGCGCTCCAGGCGTCCGCGAAGCGCCGCGACAGGAACGACGCGCCCGAGTCGGGCGACGCGCGCGCGTCGAGGCCCACGTCTGGGATGCGTATCGCGGCGGCGTGCAGGTAGAGCCTATCTGCTTTTCCGCCGCCGTAGAGGCCGTCGCCGAGAAGCGGCGCGCCAATGCTCTTCGCGGCGACGCGTATCTGGTGCGTCTTACCGGTCAGTGGTCTCGCGACGAGAAGTCGAGCGGCCGGATCCTCGCCGGGCCCTAGGCCGATCGACCGCGAGAGCCAGGTGCAAGCCGGGTTCGCGCTGTCCCGCGTCAGCCGCCACTGACTTCGCCGCGAGCGGACCATGTCTCCGACGATGACGCCCTTCTTCTTCGACGGCCTCGAAGCTGTCAGCCCCACGTAGACCTTGGCCACGCGTTTCGCCGCGAACGCGTCGCCGATGGCCGCGGCGGCCCGCCGGCCCTTGGCGAGGACGAGGCAGCCGGACGTGCCGTCGTCTAGGCGGTGGCAGAGTTTCAAGTCCGTGCCGCCCACGAGCTCCAATATACCGGGCCGGTCGTCGCGTCGGTGACAGGGCACGCCGGCCGGTTTGTGGACGACGAGGTACTCAGGACCTTCCGCAATAACTGAGATCGTCGGCGTTGACGCCGTCAGCGCCGACGCGCGGGCCACGCAGGCGAGCAGCGTCATAAGTGTCCGCGCGCCGCATCGCTGACGAATTCCTGCCATGCGTACTGCAGGTCTTGCAGGTGGAGGAGGCTCACGTCGAGTGCGGCGGCGGAACGTCCATATGAGTGCTGCAGCGGTGCAGCCTCGATCTATGTGATCAAAATCGATGCCCAATCTGCATCTCTACCTGCAAATCGACCCCCTGCTATTCTACGGCTGTGAGCGCTAGCTAGCGGTCCGTAACACACTAGCAATCATACGCTGGAGTGCATATGCGCCTCTGGCGACGAGGTGCGCCTGAGACGAGTCCGGGCGTCTTATTGCATCGCCAGAGACTGCAAGAACCACCCCTCGTTCCAAGCGCGCCGTAAAACTTGCATAACTTTGGGCTGAGTCGGTTTCACCTTTTTTTGCGTACGTCTAAGGAAGACGATGCGCCTCGCTCTCGTGATATGCATCCTCCACGCCGCCGCCGCCAAGCAGGCGGACACGCTACTATTGAGAGAGGACCAGTGCGACGACGCGTTATTCGTCGCCCACTGGACGCACGTGCCCAAGGCCGGCGGGACCGCATTAGCGGGTTTGGCGCGGCGCATCGCCTGCGCGAAGAACCCCCAGATCAAGCACCTGAACCCCTGCTGCATCCAGGACTTTTGCGCTGACCACCGGACCTGCGAGGCGACGGCGACGACGTGCCCCCTCATCAAACTTGTGCGGGGCGCTCGACTTTTCCAGGGTCGACGACGTCTGCGGGCGGTTGGAAACAAGGGAGGTGCTGCTGAAGAAGGCGGCGCACGACGCGCGGTGCGCGCACCGAGGACCTGGAGCTGTGCCCCGGATCGCGGACAGAGGAGGGTTGTTTTCGCAGCTGTGAGAAGCTTAACACTTAACATTAGTGGTACTCCGCGCACCAGTCACAAAACGGCGGCGCCCCGGGCACGTCGTGGCACGCGCACGAGCATCCCCCATCATACTTCGAGGACCCGACCCAGCACGCGTCGTCGTTCAAGTCGACGGCCTTGCCGCCGCCGCCGTCGGCGTCACCGTCGGCGACGCGCAGCGCGTGCGCGTCGGCGTCGAACGCACCGGCCTCGCACGCGTCTAGGAAGGGCGCCGCGTCGACAATTGCGACCCCTAGTTTCGCCGCCTTGCGCACGCGCTGCGTCCTGCGTTCGACGGCGCCGGCGCTCGCCAGCAAGACGTGGACGTTGCGATGGACGGTAGCGCTGTAGGTGCCGCCCAACGCTTCGGCGCGCGACCGCACGCTCGCGAAGGAGCCCGTCGCGTCGTCGTCGCCGCGGGCCGCGTCGACACTGATGCTGAACGTACCGATGGCCGAGTCCTTCGTTTCTTTTTTGCGTCGGCGTCGCCGTTTCTTGGGCCGTGGTTGCTCCATCTTCACAGAGAGCACTTATGAGCAGAGAGCGAGGGCAAGCCGAACGGATGGGTTGAGTGCTAGCGCGCAGCGTAAATTGGCATGCAGCCGCAAACAGTGATTAGAGTTGCGCCTGCACGCCCTCTCGTACGGCGCTGCTTGCAGGCCTTGCTTGTGGTTGCAGCGTGCTAGTGTCTTGCGACGCTAGCTCCCTGCATAGGATCCCGTGATTAGTAGCCTCCTGTGATCACCGAAGGCCGATTCTAGGTCCTTCAGAGACGGATGAAACGCGCATTCATCCTAGAGGTGTATACAGAAGGTTATGTGGCTGCCCGAGCTCGGGCCACGAGAAGCCGATTCTGGAGCTCGGTCAAGTCGGTCGATTCAAATATAAACCATCGTGCTAAGGTCCCTGGTGATTGGACCGTCGCTGATAGTCTCTGGGTTATCCTATTTGCCCGTCTTTACTGATCGTTGCGGGGCGGCGTGCTGGGGACCGCAGCTAACGATTCTGTAAAGACGGACAAATAATTAGACCTCGAGATACCACGCGACGCCACCATCCAGGGGGACCATAGAACTGTTGTTATATTCGCGATCGACTCACTTACGAGTTGTCCAGAGTCGGCCGTGGGTAGACGGAGCACAGAAAGGCCCCCAGACTCGTGGAGAGTCATGAATAAATTTGCGTTTGCGTCGCAACGGTCCTAGATGTAGAATGGTCCATCCAATCGAGATGAACGAACTCTCTCTACATAGGATTCCCTGTTTCGTAAGCCGCGATCATGCAAATACGGGCAAATGACCCGGAGTTGCGACTATTTATTCCTTTCCCGCTCCTGTGCCCCGCGCAGCGGATGGTGTCTGCTTGGCGCACGTACAGTGTTTGCTTCCGCATACATCGTAGCGATTGACTAGTCTAGCGTGCATGTCGTCGTCGGTCGGTGCCGAGGCCGCGGGCGCCGCGCCGCCGCCGTCGCCGCCGCCCGCGCCGCGCGCGCCGCCGCCGCGCATGGCGACGCCGCCCCCGTCCGCGCCGCTCGAGGAGAAGCCGTGCGCGTCGTCGTCGCCGCCGCCGCCCGTGACGACGCCGCCCGTGCGGTGCGAGGAGCCGGCGCCCGCGCCGTGCAAGGCGCCCGCCCAGGAAGACGCGTCGCCGGCCGCGGTCGTGCAGGAGAAGCCCGCGGTGCGCGTACCGGCCCGCTCCTTCGTCGCGCAGTGCGTGGAGAAGATCGAGGGGGGCGCCGCGGGCATCGACAAGGAGGAGACGGGTGCCGCGCGCGCCGCCGCCGCGCGCGAGGCGCGGGCCGCCGAGCGCGCCGCCGCGGAGGCCAAGCTCAAGGAGGAGGCCGCCGCGCGCGAGGAGGAGCAGGCCGCCGCGCTCGCCGCCGCGGAGGCCAAGCTCAAGAACGAGGAAGACGCCGCGGCCGCGGCCGCGGCCGCGAAGTCCAGCAAGAAGACCCTGTCCAAGGCTCCGGCGGCTGACGCTAACTCGCCGCCGACGACGCCGCTGCGCACCCCCAAGGGCCGCTCTCCTTCGGGCCGCTCTACTTCATCATTGTCGTCCGTCCTCTCGAAGCTGTCGGATTTAACGAAGCGCAAGAACATGCCTTTCCGTACTAGATATCGCCGCGAGAAGTCGCTGTACGGGACGAACGCGTCGGATTATGGCACCGAGCGGGCCCTCCGGGCCCGCCGCGGCAGCGGCCATGTGGCTCCGGGACGCTTCGCCAAGGTCCGGGCCAGGATTGCGCGGTTGACCGGCCGCGCGGCGCCGTCGAGCTAGGCGCCACCTCACCATGCCCATTCTCATTCGTGATCACATCGCCTTCCGGTTGCACCGAAACGTTCCCGCCGCAAGACCACAAGAACGCATGACTTAAGATTCTACTCCCCTCAATTAGCATCTATGCGTCTCGTCTACTAGACACCGACACGAGTGTGCGCGGTGTCGTGAGCCGGAGGGGCTGCTCCGTGACCGTGACGATCCTGAGCGGCGCCGGTGAGCGCGAGGACGGGGCGGTGACGGTCGGCGCCGTCCGCTTCTCGACGGCCGACGGTCGCGACGCCTGGCGACCGCTCGACGACGGGGAGGGCGCGCTGCGGTGCGCGGCGTGCGTCGAGGGAGACGTCGCGGCGGCGGACCCGCCGCGACTGGGTCTACTACGTCCTTCCCGACCTATTCTCGCACTTGCCTCCGCTTCTTTGCCAAAATGATCAATACTTGGTATTGGTCGGTCCGGACGGTGCCTAACCTAGCCTAGCCTAGCACCGTAACAGATGCTTTACAAGCAGCCTTAAGAAAGTCACCTTTCCCGGAACTCGAAGCCCGCCAGGCGCCGGCACCACGTCGCCGCCGCGCGCGCCATGGCCCGGCGCAGGCGCGCGTCCGAGAGCCCCGGCGCGTTGGCTCTCAACGTAGCATATTCGAACTCGACCGCGTAGGACAACGCGACGCCCGCCTCACAAGGCATCAGCCGCCAGCAGGCGGGCAGGACCTCGGCGTCCGCCTTCCCCGCGTCCGCGTGCCGAACGGACCGCGTCGCGAGCGCGTAGCCCTCTCCGTCTTTCCGCCACGCCCGGAGCAGCGTCAGCCGCGCCACCGACGCCGGCAGCGAGCACCTACACAGACACCTTAGGAATCGCGCAGCGGCGGGCGCCTTGGAGTCGTGTCGGACTATGTCCCACTCGTCTCCATTCTCAACTTGCTCGATGCCCACACACAAGTGGTCCCACGCCGGCCGGTCATCCTTAACCACTCGAAACGCGGCGTCGACCGACGCTCCTGGCAGGATACAGTCCGTCTTGAGGACGAACGAGTCGCGGCCCCATGCATTTCCGGAAGCCCACACCACATCATCTGCACAATGCTCCCACCGGAGCTCGTCCGTGAGGAACAGTCTCAATGAAGACTCCAATGTGAGCGCCGGCGCCTCCTTGACCAGCGACGCGTGCCAGGCGAGGGCGCCGCCCGTGCACGTGAGTAGGCGCCTTCGGGCCACGAACATGCGCCGGCGCGCGAGCGCATCAGCGGGTGCCTTGACCTGTGCGGAAATCGACCAGTGAGTTAGGTTACTCCACGCCATCGAGCCGATGCGCTGCTCGCCCGAAATTTCCACGCAGGCCACCACGTCCGGGAACCGCTGTCTCCCGTCGAAGAAGCCGAACGAGAAGTAGCCGACGTTGATCAGTTGTTCAGTCCCCGTCGCGATGTCCCGTTTCACGGCCCGCACCTTGACCTCGCCCCCGTCGTCGAACGAGGCCGTCGCCCTTGCCCGAAACACGAGGTGGTCGCTCACATTCGATCCAGTATTGAATGAGACACCATCCACACCTTGTGTCCGTACCGCGTCGACGGCGCAGCCGCAGTGCCGCGCGCAGCACGTCCGGGCCGCCTTGTGCATCCAGCTCATCACGACGCCCCCAAACGTGTGACCCATGTGGTTCTGGTGCTTGGGCAGGACGACTTCGATGGTCTCGAAGGTAAAGGTCTCGTTTGATGGCGTCGGCGGCGGCGCCGCGAGCTTCAGTAAGGCTCGTCTTCTCTTCGCGGTCGCCCGGGCCCACCTAGTTCGTTCACTTGCATCATCATCTTCCAGCGGCGGGCAGAAGCGCTTCTCGCCGTCCGGACCTCGCGTCGTCACGTAGGTGAACGCCGCGTCGCAGACGTGGCGCCTTACCTGACCCTTCTCGGCCGAGACACGGACAGAAACATCAATCGACGTCCGCCCCACGAGCACGGGCTCCGCAGTGAGTGTGAGGAGCTCGCCGACGCGCGGCGAGTGCTCGACGACCACGTCGCCCATCGCCACGGTCACGCAGTTCACCTTCGTGTGCCGTTCCGCCGCCGCGCAGGTCGCGATGTCCATGCGCTGCAGTAACAGGCCAACATCGTGCACGGACGACACCTGCTCGACCATGCGCACGCAGCTGCTCGGCGCATTCATGCTGCTGTCGCGGCGGGTGAGCTCCATGGCGTCGACGACGCGCGCCGCCGTCGTGCGGGCGGGCTGCTCAGCTCGCTGCCCTTACCGATGGTTTTTGTGGGTCCGAGGGCTGCCCCTGTCGCTCGGTGGGCGCTTGCCGAGTGCCACTTGCCTCTCCAGCAGCGTCGAGGGCAACACTGGTGTGGATTGCGCTCCCCGGATTGCGCTGAGATTGGGATGCCTAGTGTCTCTACAGGCCGCTAGACGCCATCGACGCGCCATAAAGAACTTCGCTATTTACCCCACCCTAGAGCTGCGACGCGTCGACCTGGACCTCGTTCTGGAGGAGCTGGTCGAGCGTCGACCTTCTTCTGATCGATACGAAGCCGCCCTTGGTGGTCTTGAGGACCTCGGGCGCCGTCGGGAACGAGTTGTAGCCCGCCGTCGACATGGCGCTGCAGTACGCGCCCACGCTCTCGACGACCAGCAGATCGCCCCGCTCGCACGACTTGAGCAGCCGCGGCGCGAGAGTCTCGGGCTCGTCCGGCGCCGGCGTGAGCAGGTCGCCGCTCTCGCAGCAGTGGCCCACGACGACGTACTCGTGCGTAGCATCATCGGCATCCTTCGCGGCGTCGGACGGCACGACAACGAGGGGATGCTGCGACCCGTATAACGAGGGTCGCAAGACGTCGGTCATGCCCGCATCCAACTTCAAGAAATCATTACCTTTGGCGGCGCCGGACGTGCAGGCGACGTCCTGGACCTTGGTCACCAAAGCGCCGGCGTTGGCCACGAGGTACGTCCCGGGCTCGACCTCGAGCTTGAGCTCCACGCCCGTGCGCTCCTTGTAATCCCTAAAATTGTCCGTCACCGGCTTGCCCACTTCCTGTAAATTGGTAGACGTCTCGTAGGCCATGCGCCCGACCTTGTAGCCTCCCCCTAGATTTAAGGTCTTGACCGAGTCACCTAGTCTTTCACAAAGGTCCAGGGACATCGACGACACGCGCTTCCAGACCTCCGCGTCTGAGCCAGAACCGATGTGCGTGTGGACCCGGATCACTTCCAAGTCATGTTTCTTCGCGAGTGCTACTACCTCATCAAATTGTTCATGCCAAATCCCAAAGGACGACGACGGGCCGCCGACGTTCGTCTTGGCCGTGCCGCCGGAGCCCAAGCCGGGGTTGAAGCGCACGCCGACTTTGGCGCCCGGTAAGGCACTGCCGATCGTATCGAGTTGCGAGAGCGAGCAGCAGTTGATCTCCAACGAATGTTCTTTCATGAGCGTGATCGCGTCGTCATCCAACTGTTGCGTGCTCAGGGAACATTTCGACGCGGGGACGCCCGCGCGCATCGCCCTTCTCACCTCGTGCGTCGACGACGCGTCGAAGTTGAGCCCCATGGACTCGAAGAGCTTGAGCACGGCGCCGTTCGGGCAGGCCTTCATGGCGTACCTTACGGTGAGACCGTAGGCGTTGGGAAACGCTAACGCTTCCTCGGCCCTCGCTTTGAGGGTGGCGGCGTCGTAGACGTACGTCGGCGTCCCAAAGTCCTGTTGTACACTTCTGACGTCGTCATTGCTTAAGAAGCGTAACTTCTCTAAGTCCGGCGCCGCGCCTTTGCCCCGCATGATCTTGGGGAGCTGGAGCGCATGCACTGCGGTGGCAAGCAAGTAGAGCTTCATGGTGTTATGCGTCGCCTGCTGTTGGTGCCTCGGGCTGAGCACGTGTCGTAGCGAAGGTATAACGCTGGCCAGCTGCGCAGGTGGCGTTTGCAGTGGCACCAAAAGTATGTCGCTCGCGGATCGCACACCTAGATCAATGGACATACTAGAAATTTCGGCTCGAGCGCTAGTTCTGCGGGAAGTCGCGGGACAAGTTGATTGAACGGGCAAACGTTGCACATTGTTCGGGGGGGTTTGCCGAGGCGGTTCTGCTTAGAAGGAGGTACGCTGTTATGAAAGAAGCGGCCCGCGCCCGCCGCCGATGAATCGGCGACGCGCGGTGTCTCCCCCCCAGGGGCTCCGCCCACTAGTCCTAGCACCGTAACATCGACGCACAGCGCTAGTTCTAGCTGTCGGAACGCCGTCGACGCGACCCCAGGGGCCCACGACTCCGAGCAGGACCGCCCCAAGATGACTAGCAACGAAGCCTTACGGACACTACTTGTCGAAGAAGTCCGGGATCTGCTCCGCGCCGCCGTTCCCGAACAGCCAATCTAGTAAAGGCGCCACGAGGAACGTAAATAACGCGTAGTTGAACGCGACAAAGGCCACCGTAAATAACAGAGTGGCCCCGCCCGCGAAGAGGTCCACATATCTCGCCACCTTCACGATGAACGCGTCCCGCAGCTTTTGAGGGTCGAGTTCATCTTTCGGAACCAAATCAAATTCCCGCAGTTTATCTAAAACAACATCCCGCGCTTCCGACTCCGTGACGCGCTCGAAGAAATAGCCCGCGAGCTGCTCGACGAAGCCCGCGTTCTGGCTGCCTCGTCTAGTGGCGCACCTTAGTAACACCCACAACTCGTCGAAGTCGTCCCGGGATCTATCGGAGGCGCTCTGCTTGCAGATCGTTTTGAGCTTCCGCCGAAACGCCCGTTCGAAGAGCGGCGTGCCATCGATCGCTAAGGAACGATCGACTTGCGTCGCATTTAGATTACACGAAAAATCATGAGTTGAGACCGCTTCGGCCGCGGCCATGAATGAGGATTTCTCGACGGCCGCGCCGAACGCCGCCAATTGGTCGTCCGGTGGTACTACACCTAAGGCACTTCGTTCGGACGCGACCAGGCACCAGTCGCGCCAGTGGTCATTTAAAGAGCTATAGAATCTTTCATTCACCTTATACCCGAGCACCTCAGGAGTCAAGGCCTGCTGGACGTCTATACCGAATATAGTATCATCCTCGTCAAATAATTCTTCACCATCGTCGCCATCATCTACCGCCTCGGCGACCCTCTGCCAGTCGTCCTCGGACCACTCACCAGAGGTGTTGTTCTGGGAGACGTCACTGAGCGCCTCGACCAGTTTGTCAGTAGCTCCCTTGAACTGCGTCATGTCAATCTCGTCCTTCAGATCGACCTGGACACCTTCCAGTAAAGCGATGAGGTCGTCGTCGGCGTCTAGGGTCACTACTCGCGCCTGCATGACGTCCACATGTTTTAAGCCCTCGCCCTGCATCTTTTCCAGGTTCAACACCTCGGCGAACTTGCGTTTTTCTGCCTCGGCGTCGCAGGTCGCTGGGAGTTGTGCGGTGTCGAGCTTCGAGAGCACGGTATCGACTTGCACCTTCCCGTCCCGGATCGCGGCGCCGCCCGTGATCCGCTCCTTCTTTGGCTCGGGCTTTGCTTCGACGGCGACGGGCGCGGCCTTTCGCTGTTCCTGTTTGTCCTTTTCGAGCGAGTCCTCGAGCTCTTTTATTTCTTCGCGGAGGCGCGCGAGCTCGTCGCCGTCGGTGGCCTGGCGCCGCGCGCGCAGATTGTGCCGGCGCGTCGGCGGTACGAGGGCGCTCGCGCCGACGAGGAGGGCGAGCGTTGTACACCGCATCATGGCTGTGCGCGGCGCTGGCAGGAGAAGAGCTAGTGTCCGAGACTGTGCGTTGTCCGCTGCGGCGGCTCGTGCAAAGGTTTCAGATATGGCCCTGCTTTCGTCCCACGCAGTTGGCTGGCTTCTGCGGGCGGTTGCGTGCCCGTATGGCGCCCGAATCTGCTCAAGCTCGTCGAGCCTAATCCCCGCGGGCTAGCGGCCGGTAAAGACACTAGCAAGCATTTTCCGGATCGAGCGCTCGAAAGCTAAGGGTAAAGATCAAAAACTCCGCGCCGGAGCCCTACACCAGCGCCCGCCGCACTTCCCGCCGCCGACGACTGTCCGAGCGCAGCGTTACCGTAGTTCTAGACCGGCAACAACGCCGCAGGGGGGAATATATATCAGGAAACTTAGGAGAGAACGTCCGCCAGCAGCGCGAGCCGCTTCTCGCGCCGCGCCGCGGCCTCCTCCGGCGGCTGGCCCGCGAAGGCTTGCGTGAGCAGCGCCGCCATCCGTGCCCGCGGCACGCCGGTAAAGAAGCGCCGGAAGCCGTCGCGCGTGCGCAGGTGGCGCACGTGCTTCGGCGGCTGCGCGAGCAGGGCGACGACGTCGGCGTCGGCCAAACGGTTCGCGGCGCCTTCGCGCGGGTCCGCCGGCGCGGCCGCCGCGGCCGCCGCGGCCACCGCGGCCGACGCCGCGCCCGCGGCGGGCGCTAGTGCGGGCGACGCGGGTGCGGCGTCGGCGTCGTCGCGCCGCCTCCGCGGTCCGAGCGCGGGCGAGGGCCGCGGTCCTAGCGCGGGCGATACCGCGGGCTCAGCGCGCGCCGGCGACGCCGCGGTTTCGGAAGAAGGCGTGTCCACGAGCACGAGCTCCTCGGGCGACGCGAAGGGCCGCCGCTTCTTCGTACTACAAGGCGTCCGCCGGGCTCGCCGCTTGATCTCGGCCCGATCTAGACATTCATCAGAATCAGAAGAGGGAGACGCCGTCCGCGCGGCCCAGGCCTGCTGCGGCGCCTTGCACGAGTCCTTACGGCCGCGCGGGCCCCGCCGCGTCTGCGGCCGCGGCGCGAAGCCCAGTTGCTGTTCGGCCTGGCGCCGCGAGAACATCGGTGATGGAACAGGAGACTTTTTCTGTTGGGAGGGCGGCGTCGCCGGAACGGGCGTCAGTATGGGCCGGCGCTTCTTCTTTTGTACGGCAGCCGTCCGCACCGCATCGTCGGATGAGTCCTTGTGGAGCTCCGCGTCGCGCCGCCACTCCTCGAGCAGCTGGTCAGACTCGGCGCTGCCCCGCAGATCCCCATCGAGCTTTCGTGCGACATCCAACGTCGAACAGACACTTGTAGTGACCTCGCCGACTTTCTTCGCTCGCCGCAAGATAGCTAGCGGCGCTCCAGCAAAAGTTCTATCCTCGGTTTTTGTGAGTTCACTGTCACTTTCAGAGTGCATCACCACAACAACGTTGTTCGAGTTGACCCGTCGGTTCCCGCGCGTGCCGGGGACCGTCTCCCAATCGGAATCCTTGCTGGATTCGTGGACAGGTTCTAAAGCCTGGGCCGCCGCCTCGAGGGCGTCATCATCCAACTCCACGTGCTTCGCGTCTAATGGAGATCCGTTCAATCTTCTAATATGACCGGCGTGATGCCTTACGAGCGTCTCGAAGGTCTTCGTGTCAAAGGCCGTCGCTAGTGGTGTATCGGTAAGTTCGACCTCCCTTAACTCAGCACAGGTCCCCAGCACTTCCAAACAGGTCAGCTCGTGCAGTGCCGTGCGACGCGCTCGCAATACAGATAGAGTGTCGTGATGAAATAAATCCGAGATGTCCGTCAATTCACTATTGTCGGAGATGTCGAGCTCTTGGAGCGACGGGAACGCGTTCAAGCCGTCGAGGTCGGTCAGCCCGCACTTCTTTATGCTCAGTTTATTCAAATCTTGCAGGCGCGTGCCGAGGTCCCGCAGCGAACTCAAATGCGAGCCGTCCAGCGTCAGGCTCCGCAATGACGGCAGCAGCTCGCCCAGCGCGCCGGCGTCGTCGCCCTCCTTTATGCATAGGCGGGCCTCCCGCACTCCATCCAAGTGCGCCGTGTCGAGCTCGCGCCGCAACCGCCTCTTGTCAAAGGTGTGCCCTATAATTCTCTCGAGGTCGCTCTCGAGGCCCTCGTCTTCGCTGGGCGCCGGGTCGCTCGGGGGCGGCGCGGCGGCTTCACCGGTTCCGGGGCTGAGCTGCTGGCGGCGGTCGCCCTTCTTCCGCCGCCTTGCTTTTTGCTTGCGGCTGCCGCCCGGCGTGAGCAGGGGCGCGCCCACGTCGACGAGGGGGGACTCCATCGGCGCGGCGCAGAGGACCATCCGCGGCGTCGACGGCGTCGGAGCTGGCCTCCCGGGGCTGCCCGGCTCCGCGGGAAGCGGCTGCTCCCAATTAACTAAGTCTTGGGTGTCCGGGGCTGCCGCTCCGTCCACGGGCGCGCCGCGACGCGGGGCTGCCCGAGGGGCCAAAAGGGGCTGCCGGAGGGGCTTTGCACGCACCGAGCCCTGCCGGAGGGCGCTATTCGACGCCTGCTCCCGCAAAAACCACCGCGGCGCTACCCTAGTGGCTTTTGCAACCTACTAGACACAGATTGCAATCAGGAAAGCTTCCGACGAGTCTCGGGCCTGCGGGTGCCACTCCGGCCCAGAGGCGGTGCCAGGGCACGCGTCGATGCCGGGGCTAGCGGCTGTAAGACACTAGGAATGCCTAGCACTGCCGTAGTGCCGCCGAGCAAAACACAGCCTGCACAGCCTTGCTGCATGCTAACGCGGCGGCAAATAGGCCGCACACTGCCGCATTCAGTTGCTGAAAGCTTCCGGTGCTGTCTCGACGCGTATCAGTGCTGTCTCCGCGAGTTGCTCTCTTGCAGCAGCTCTAGCGGTGCTCTGTTGCAGTGGCCGAGCGGTGCGTTACTCCAGGCAGCTCGCGCACGAGCCCTGCGACGCGCACAAGCCGTGATGGGTAAAAAACGGCGAGCCTTCGACGACGACGACGAGTCCGAGGAGGATGAGATCTCGCGGCACGCGGAGGCGGCCTGGCTCGCGCGGCGCCGCGCGCAGCAGCCGCTGGCGGCCGCGCCGCCGCCGCCGCCGCCGCCGCCTCGAGGTCCTGGGCACCGGACGCAGGGCAAGGGCAAGCCGCCGAAGAAGAAGCGCAAGAAGCCGGCACCGCCGCCGCCCGCCGAGACCACTGAGCCGGAAGCCCAGCCGAAGCGGAGCAAGAGCGCGCGCAAGCGCGCCGCGGCCGCCGCCGCGCGCGAGCGCAAGGCCAAGGCCGTCAAGGCCGAGAAGAAGGCGAAGCGAAAAGAACGGTGGCGCCAGGAGGGCATCAAGAACAAAAAAGCCGCGGGAGGTCGAGTCCAGCGCCAGAGCGAGAAGCACGGCGAGAGCCGCTGGGGCAAGAAGGACGGCGAGGACGCTCCGAAGCCGTCCGCGAAGCCGGGGGGTCCTAAGAAGCCGTAGCTACCGTGACCTGCCGCGTCGATGGCGTGGCCCGTGCGTCTTAGTTAGAAACTACTTAGGCGCGCCGAACACTACGTGTTCATCGTCTTGAAGATCTGGTCCGTGATCGTGCTAATCGCTTGCGAGGCCGTCATGTCCGTGATGGGCTGGCCTCCTTCCACACCTCTCATTTGCACCCGATTGGCCACGGCGTTCGCGTCCGTCTCCAGGATGGCCCCTCCATCCACAACCTCGTCGACGCAAAGCATCGCCGTCTCGAGGTTCTCGAAGCACGTCCGCGCGTCGAAGGTGCCTCCGAGCAGCGCTGTTAAAGCGTCCACAAGACCGTCCAGGACCATGTTCAGGATGAGCTCGTTCTCGTCGGACGAGCCGACGACGTAGGCTCTTGCGTCGGGCCCGCAGCGGAACACCGCCACGCTCTTGTCTATCAGGATGACATCGGACTCACCTCTAGCTACCGCGGCGTTTTTGGTTTTCTTAAATAATTTCGCTTCAAAGGCGGCCGAGTCCCACTGCCGCGCTCCTCGATAGTACTTGGCCACGATGCGGCGGCCGTCGCCGTCCAACAGTAAAATGGCCTGGACGTTGGGCACCAAACTCTCCATGCCGGGCAGGGCCGCCATCGCTGCGTAGTCCCTGGGTGTCTCCCGGTGTGCGGCACCGCTGCGGCGGTCCTAGAGTGTGCGGCGCGCGGTACCACACTGTAGAGTGTGCGCGCTGCCGAGGGCTACCCAGTGATCGGCGCGTCCGGAGCTGTGGAGCTACGTGGCGCTGCCCGGCTCGGCGCAGGCCTCTGGTACGCTTGGTTGCGCGGCGACGGACGGCGTCCTCCCCAAGTTTGAGAGGCGGCGGCGCCGGGACGGCGGAGGTCGGCTCCCTCCGTCAGAAGAGCTCTGGGGAGACTTAGAAACGTATCTAAGAACCCGCAGCGGTGTGTCTCCTGATGCTAGTGTCTTACAGGCCACTAGCTCGATTTCACCGCGAGAGCCTGGACTGAAGCGGCGAATACGAGCGTGCCGCCGCACCCGGAAGCCGGCCTGCGTGTTCGTAGGTCCCACTGGTGCGAGACCTCGGCGTAACCAGCGAGCGACGCGCCCGCAGCGGCCCCGCGCAACAGTTGCAGCGGCTCGCCGGGAGCAGAGCGCTGCGCTAAAGGAGCGCCGCAGAGGCACAAATGGGCGGCTTCGGCTCGCCCGGCGGCGGACGGGGACGAGGCGGCAAGGGCCGCGGGAGAGGAGGAGGCAAGGGCGGCCGCGGCAGAGGCGGCGGCAAGGGCAAGGGCCGCGGCAAAGGAGGCAAAGGCAAGGGCAAGGGCAAGGGCGGCGCCAAGGGCGGCGCCAAGGTCGTCGTCGAGCCTCATAGACATGAGGGCGTCTTCATCGCGAGAGGCAAGGAGGACGTCATTGTGACCCTCAACAGCACCCCCGGCAAGGACGTCTATGGGGAAAAAAGAATTAGTGTGGACGGCCCGGCGAACGAGGACGGCACGACGACCAAGATTGAATACAGAGTGTGGAATCCGTTCCGCTCGAAGCTGTGCGCCGCAATCCTCGGCGGCGTCGATACGATACACATGAAACCCGGTAGCAAAGTTTTATACTTGGGAGGCGCCGCGGGTACCACAGTATCCCACGTGTCTGATCTAGTCGGCCCGCAGGGCTGCGTCTACGCCGTCGAGTTCTCGCACCGGCCGGGCAGAGATTTGATTAATATGGCCAAGCATAGAACCAACGTCATTCCCATAATAGAAGATGCCAGACACCCGCTCAAGTACCGCATGTTGGTGGGCATGGTCGATTGTGTGTTTGCGGACGTCGCGCAGCCGGATCAAGCCCGAATTGTCGCGTTAAATTCGCAGTACTTCCTCAAGGCGGGCGGCGGCTTCGTGGTCTCGATCAAGGCGTCGTGTATTGATAGTACGGCGACGCCGGAGGCCGTCTTCGCCGCCGAGGTCGCGAAGCTCCAGAAGGACCAGTTCAAGCCCAAGGAGCAGCTGACGCTCGAGCCGTACGAGCGCGACCACGCGGTCGTGGTTGGCTTGTACCGGCCGCCCAAGAAGTAGCCTACTACGCGTCGCCTAAGGGTCGCTCCACCACGTTTAGTATCTCGTCGGCCAGCCTTGCCGGGGCTCGGGGCGTGCCTAGGGGCTCAAAAACGTATGAGGCCGGGGGCGGGAAAAACATTCATGGCGAGAAGCTCGGTACAACGAGGTCCGTACTACTAGATTCAGAGAGCCGACCCTTACTCGGGCGCCAGAGCGTAGTCGTGCTCGGGGGAAGAGGGGAAGGGCGCGCGGCTCCGGCGTCGTCTCGCGCCGCGGCCCGTTGTTTGGGGGAAGGGAGACTGTCGCAACAGCCCTTGAAAGCGCCGCTAGGGCGCGACCGCGGCCAACGGTTCGTCCTCGTCGCCGCAGTCCTTGATCTCGCACGTGCAGCCGCCCTCGCCGCCGTTGAAGCACGTGTCGACGCCGCCCTGGCCGACGACGTAGTTGTAGCCGCCCGACGCGGCGAGCGTGTCGTCGCCCCAGCCGCCGTCCAAATAGATGTAGTCGCCGACGGCCTCCACAATGTCGTCGCCGTCGTCGGCGTAGACGTAGAGCTCGTTGCCGGCGACGCGCGCGCAGTCGTCGTAGGGCGTGAGCGTGACCTCGGTGCCGTCGGGCACGGCGCCGTCGAAGCAGACGCACGACGACGCGTCGCCGAAGTCGAAGCCGTTGCTGCCGTCGACGACGGCGCATAAGCGCTAAGTCTTTCCGACGTATTCAGCTTGCGAAACTTTTAGAGTGAAGCACTGAGTCCGCCGCGGGGGGGCGCGAACGGTCGGAACGTTGAAAGAGTCACGCTGCGATGAGTACAACTAGCGCCGAGGTAAATGCGCCTCCTCGACTCCTGTTTTTCACGCCCAGGATTTTCTCCGTAAACCTGCCCGTAGGTCTTCAGCGGCCTAAGAGGCGTCCGAGACGGCTGCGAGGCCGGTTTTTCCAAATGGTGCTAGCGTCATAAACACACTAGGAAACTCTGTCCCGATGAGCTTCATGCGCGCCCATTTAGCTGCCCGAGGCTGCCCCGTTACGTCCTGAACGTTGAAACCCCGCACGATACGCCCCGACGCCACGCCGCCGCACGCCTTAGCCGCCCTCCGCGCCCGCGACACGCCTCCGCCGTCGGCGAGTGCGTAAATATGAGCCTTCTACGTGGTTCACGAGACGGAACGGATCGCTTGACGCGCATAAATAACACAGCCAACTTAGTCCAGTAGCCACTCGTCCCCCGACGCCTTCTCCGTAGGAGCCTCCTCCGATGCCGCCGCCGGCGGCGCCTCGTCTTCGTCATCGTCCAAACCCAAAGCCGCGTCCAATAAATCGGACGCGTCGTCCGCGAAGAGCGGGTCCTTCTCCTCCTTGACGACCGGTTCGATGTCGTCCACCGCCTCGACCTTTGTCGTCTTCTTCTGCTGCTTCTTTTTTCTTGGTTTATTGATTTTCTCGTCCTCGTCGTCGTCGACGAAGCGCCCCGCCTTCTCGAGGCGCTCCCAGGGACTGAGCATGGCCGGGTGGTTCGCGGGAAGCCGCGCGTGGAAGGGCGCCTCGAAGAACGCGTGCGGCGCGATATTTGCTACTAAACTCAGATCTTCCAGAGGAGCGTTGTCTCTGGCAGTACCGGGCACGCAGGTCCCTTCGTAGGTCTCGTCGGGCACGTATTCGTCGGGCCAGTCCCGGAACCGATCTAGAGTAGAGTCCTCGTCCTGCTCGACATAACCAGAACCCTTCGGGGCGTAGAGGTGCCGTTTGATTGAGTGCCTCGTTGGTGTTGTCGTGACGTGGAACGCTGTTGTTGTGCAGGCGGTCGCGGCGACGGCGGCGCGGCGGAGGCGGCCCATCGCTGTTCTGTGCCTGTGGGTGTACCGTAGGCGTTGCCGCCATGGCCACCTGTAAAGTGACCGATACGCGATTCGAACGCGTAACCTTCAGGACTGGAATCTGACGCGCTGCCGTTGCGCCAATCGGTCGGTCGAAGACAAGTAACGATGAGACGCCGCCGCGGTACGGCTCGGGGACGCCCTTGGGCAGTGCCGGCGAGCGCTGCTAAAGGCCGGCGTTGCGGCGCTGTTGTTGCCGTGTCGCAGTGTTGGCGTCAAGGACACTTGTGCACACACTTCTTTACTCGGTGACGGCGTGCAAGTGTGGTTTTGCGCCGCTGTTCAACTCTGGCGCAGGTGCTAGCGGCATGTAAGACACTAGCACCGAATTGAGAAACGCGCGTGCGTGCGTAACCCGCACATGACAACGCTGCAGAGGCGGTTGCCGCCGCCGACGGACACGACGCAACGCGCAGGCGCCGGAGCACGCCACCGAAGCACAGAACTAAAACTTACACCGTCGCATCGTCCGAAGGCGGCACGACGGGCGCCAGGCCGTTCCCATCTCTGGAATCCAAGCTCAGCGTCACGGGCCCATCATTAATTAACGACACGTCCATCATCGCCCCGAACCTCCCGTCGGCGAGCTTGGAACTTTCGGGCAGCTCTCCTCTCAAATCACTCAGAAACGTCTCGTAGAACGCCTTAGCAGGCTCCGGGCCCATCGCGTGGCGCCAGTCGAGGTTGCCGCGCCCCTTCTTTCGTTTCAATTCGCCGTACAACGTGAACTGCGAGACGCACAACACATCTAAACCAAGGCTCCCGACCGAATGCTTCCAGGGCCGCCCGTTTTCGTCGGCCCAGAAGTTCGTTTTCAGGATGCGTTCGCGGCACCAAGCAGCGTCCGCGTCCACGTCGTCCCGGTGGATGCCCACGAGCACGAGCATGCCTTTGCCGATCTCGCCGACGACCTCCTCGTCGACGGTCACGCTCGCGCGCTTGACGCGCTGGAGCACGAGCCGCATCGCCCGAGCGCTTGTCGCTGCGAGGAGCAGCAGAACTTGTGGGCGCGCCAGCGTACAGTGATGGGTCGCCTCGGCAGCGTCAATCGGAAGCCGTGCCTGTGGGTGTACCGTCGGCATATCTCACCTGTTAAGCCCAGTGACCGATACGCGATTCGAACGCGTAACCTTCAGGACTGGAATCTGACGCGCTACCGTTGCGCCAATCGGTCGAAGAGAGGGCACGCAGAGGAGACGCGGCCGCGGTACGAGGACGCCCTTGGCAGGTGAGTGTCGTGCGTGCTGCGAGACGCTCCAGCCAAGTGAGCCTGCACAGGCTCTGCGGCGAGAGAATTGCCCGGCGAAGCTGCTGCGGCAGGCGTAGGACTCGCGAGCGACAACTGCACCGAGTCTGGCTACTGCTGCGCGTAGCGTTGCCGCGTTTCAGACTCCCAATGCGAGAGCCTGCAGCTGCCTCTGCGAGGCTTAGTCTTTCAACCCAACGACACACGTCGTACGGGACACAGCACACGTCTGGAAGTCTCGTGGAAGCCTAGACAACAAAAAGCGGAGCAGCTCTCCGTGATGCACAGCGCGGCTGCGGAGACTTTGGGCAGCAAAACGCCGTCCGCGCGTGCGCCTCTCCGGCGCCTACGAGCCGTTCGTAGCTCACGGTCGAGCTGTTCGTCGCTCACGGTCGCAAAACTAAAAAGGGCTGTGTGAGGATAGCTGCCCAGCTCACAAGGGCATCAGCCATGACCGAGGCCCTGCAGGCAGCCAGACCCCACCACCACGAAACCCTCGTGAACCAATTCCACGACGAGTTCGTCACGCCATCAGAGTTGAGAGATAGGGTAGAGGGCTGCCTGAAAGAGCGACCGTCGAAAACGAAGGGCAAAATACCAAAAGAGGGCGAAGGCACCGTCACGGCCGCCCACTTATTACCAGTAAAACACCCGCAGTACCCGGCCCACGCTTTGCTCAAAGTGGACGACGTTCGGATCCTCGCGACGCCCGCGCAACTCCTCAAGCTGGCGGACGACGACCCGCGCTTCGGCCGGCTCCGGGAACGGGGCCTCTACGCCGAGTGGGATCCATCAAATTTTACTGAGAGAAGACTCCGCTACAGCTATATCATAAAAGTGCCCGTCGAACTTAATGGAGGCACTTTCTTCGTACGCTCGGCGACGAAGCTGTACGCTCCTCGGGCGCCAGTTGCTACAGTACGACGGCGGTCGCGCTCTCCTAAAAAAAGGCGGCCGCGCACGGCGAAGGAACGGCAGAACGGTTGTGTGGACCGCAGCGTCGGCTTCCTGGACGCGATGCGCGATGCGTCGTTTAATGCAAGGCGGCGGCGCCAGCGCAGCGTCCGGCGCCTGGTGAACAGCGACGACTACGACTTCGCGGCCCAGTGGCGCGTGGCGTCGGAGTTCGTGGAGGCGTCCGGCGCGAGGGTGCCTCACGAGGCGCTCGATTGGGAGGCCATGGATGCCACCGACCTTTTATAACTTGTTGAGTCTTCTTTTGCGCGTCGACGGCGTATTGGGGGTCCGCATCGATGGCGTGAAATCGAGGCATCTGTTTCCTAGTATGTCCATACGCTAGATCACTAGGTCTTAAGGCCCGCCAAAATACACCAGCGATTGAAGGCGCCTTCTACCATCCGAATAGTACATTATATCAACTCCAGCCCAGTTTTCATACATATTGGACGGAACCGGAGCCGACGGCCCGCGCTCGGAGGGCGGGAGAAGAATTCTACTAGACAACTCCCGGGTTTATGTTCGTTTCCTTCCGTTTGTTGGTGGTAGAGTCCATCCATACCGCTAGAACGCCCAGCTAGACCCATCTCTTACTCCGTAGGCTCCGCGCGAAAGAGCGACTTCGCGCCCCGCGTTTATACGAATATGGACAACAAGACCTCAACCTGCGAGTATCAGCGACGCCACCATCCAGATGAACCATAACGCCGTTGTTCTATTCACAATCGACCGACTTGCCCGTTCTCCGCGGACGACGGTACGTACGCGGAGCACCGGAAAGGCCCCAGACCGGTGGTTTATATAATAAATTTGCGTTTCGGGCGCTTTAGTAGTGGGACGGGCCAGATAACCGGCTTGATTGTGTACTACATTGCTCCGAGACCCAAAGATGCTCGGCGCGGGTCGTCGGTCTTGCGAGCCCACGATCTGGCTAGATTTTGCTCCAGACCTGAACCTACGACCATCAGCGCGTGTACCATCACCATGGACCATGACGCGATCATTTGTTCCATGATCGACCGACTTCCGCGAGGTCCAGATGCAGATGTTCACGTCCCGACCGTGGGCAGCCAAAAGTACCCTTCTTATAATGTAGATGTCATATACTTGTAGTTGACTATCGGTGGGGTAGTATGGGGTCCAACGAGACCGCTATTACGATTCCTGGGGGCCCTCGGGTAATTGACGTTTTTGACGGGAACGGGGCGCCATCGGGCCCAAATTACACACTTTTTTCGGGGGCCGATCGGCTCCTGGAGGCCTCTCGGGGTAGGTCTGGTGGTGGGTAAGCGCCTGCACCGCATACGCCATCGATGCGGCAGCCTAGAGCTCTGGAAGCCATTGCCAAGTAATTCATGGTTCAATGAGCCGCAGTGGTGAGAGAATTGGTCGATTATGCCCCGAGCCCGGGCGCATGCGCTATAGGCGATTGCACGTGTATAGTACCGACCATATGCGCCCCTCGGGAGACCTGTTTGGCAGGGATTGACAGGATTCCACTGGTGCGGCCGCCATCGACCGTAGGGCGCCCTCGGCCGCGAATTAAAAAAAATTCTTTTTCGGCCCCCAGTACGTGTCCCATTGATCTCTTTGGACCAGTAGCGAACCGAACGGTACTCAAGCGGCTGCATGTCGCGATTTGGCGCTAGTGTCTTACAAGCCGCTAGCTGCCTCAACCGAGCGGCGCCCGAGAGCGATCGCTTGTGCGGCGTGTGAGGCCGGCCAGCTTTAGTGAAAAGTCTATATCGCTGCGGTCCATCGATTATCGCTGCCGCGTGTCAAGGCTGCATCATCAATCGAGCACTGCCACTACAGAGTGCACCCAAGAGAGAGCACCATTGCTGCACGCCACCGACGCGCATCAACAACAAAGACGCGCAGCAACAACAGCACACAACAAAATGGCCGACAGCCAAAAGTACACCGCCGAGGAGAAAGCGCGCCACGCCGCGCGCGTCAAGGAGCGCGAGGCGCGCAAGAAGGAGCGCCAGAAGCAGAAGAAGGCCCTGACGAAGCAAGCTTCAATCGCACCACAAGCTACGAACGGCGGCCACAAGACTTATGATGCTTCATTACTCAAACGCGCGAGAAACGTGGGCGGACCCCCGTACGAGGCGTTTTTGAAATACTTGCCCCATGATTGTACCGAACAGCAAGTCACACAATTCTTCGCGGGCTGCGGTTCGTTGGAAAAAGCGCCTCGCATCCTGAAAGACCGGGCCACGGGAAGAGTTATAAGAGGCTTCGTGACGTTCGCCGAAGAGCAAGGCTTACAAAACGCTCTACAAAAAGACGGTCATAAGTTAGGTGGAAGAAACATCAGCGTCACAATAGCCACAACGCACGGCACGTGCCAGCAGGAGGGCACGCACACGCCGGCGATGGCGTCTGAAGTGGTTGATGTTCTAGGTGCTCGACATTCGAACGGTGTCTTCGTTGACGGGACTTTTGGAAGAGGCGGACATTCAAGGGAAATCCTGAAAGCGCTGGGTCCGTCGGGACGGTTACATGGCTTCGACGTGGACGAGGACGCGATACGAGCCGGTAAACAACTGGAAAAACAGGACTCAAGGTTCACGATCCACCGGGCGCCCTTCTCGCAGATGCTCAAACACCTAGGAGACAAGGTACAAGGTGTTCTGCTGGATGTTGGTATTTCTTCACCTCAACTGGATGGCGGGCGAGGGTTTCGTCCGGAAGTGGAAGGTCCTGTTGATATGAGATTTGACGCCTCTGAGCAGTCCGAGACGGCGTTGCAGTACCTCGTACGAGTTTCAAGACAAGAATTAGCGGCTGCTCTAGAAGCGTTCGGTGGGGAGCGGCCCGCGCATGCTAGACGCATAGCCGACGCCGTCGCGCTCGCGAAGGCCGAGGACCCGTCACTCTCAAGCATGACGACGTCGAAACTAGCGCAATTGGCCTCGGCGGCGAAGGGGCACCGGGAGTACCAGCAGATGCACCCGGCCAAGATGACTTTTCAGGCTCTTAGGGTCGCGGTGAACCGGGAATTTGCCGAGTTAAGGGATGGCCTGGAAGCGGCGACGGAGGCTTGTGGCTTGAATGGCGCCGTTGCGGTCCTGACGTGGAAGCACGCCGAGTGTGCGGTTGTGGTCGATTTTCAGGCGACGCACTCATTGGCCGAGAAGGATTCAATGCTACTCAAGTATAGTAGTGGTGTCTCAGATTCTTGGGGCGTCGTGGTAGATCAAGCGCGGCGGCCCACGGATGCGGAACTGCGGCGCAACTCGCGGGCTAGGTCGGCCGTCTTGCATGTGCATAGGAAGTCAAGAGGGACGCGGTTGTCTGACTTGGAGGCGAAGGCTGGTGCAGTGTTGAATTGGGCGCCTCATCATATACCAGTGCCGGCGGAGCAGAGAGCCGGCTGCGACCGCTGGGGCGCCGGTGCTGGAAAGAAGAAGAAGAAGCGCGACGAGACGCCCGAGGAGCGCAAGGCTCGGAAGAAGGCGAAGAAGGCTCGCCGCAAAGAGTAATTGTAGTGTGTTAAATGACGTTAAGCCCGAAGCCCAGCCCCTTCGACAGCACGACCGAGCGCAGCCTCACTTGAAAATAGACGTCCGCGTTCGGCGGGATGATGGATCCTGCTTTTTCGCCGGACTTGGGGTAGCCTGTGCTACCATAAGCGAGCTTCGCCGGGAGCTTGCACCGCCGCGTGCCGCCGATGTTCATGTCGGCCAGGAGGCACTCCTCCAATCCCGGCGCTACTTTTTTTTCGCCGAGTTTGACTTTGATAGGCTTCTCGAAGCGCGAGAACTCCTTGCCCTCGAAGTCGTTGAGCCACGCGATGTAGTCGATCGTGACGGTGTTATCTATTTTTGCCGGGCCGTCGCCCTGGCCAACCTTGACGTCGTAGTACTCTAAACCGGAGGCGGTTTTGGTCATCTCTTGGGCATGCGTCGGCGTCGGCAGGGCGAGGGCCGCGGGCGCGCCTAGCATCCATGCGCGGCGGTGCATCGGTTTCAGAGCGCTTGCTGCACATGCCGTGGCTGCGATGGCGAGGAGCTGCATTTTTGCTAGCTAAAAATCGTAGTAATGCAGCAACAAGAACGCAGTGGTCGATTGAAGCAATCCGCAGTCAGCTGAGAGCACCAATCGCGCGTTTGCAGCTCACTTTTTGCCTGGCTGCAGCTGCATGCTAGTGCCTTACATGCCGCTAGCTCTAAGTTTCCGGCTTCTCTTTGTCCGGGACGATTTAGCGGCCGTCGGCTTCAGCTGGACATCCCAGGCACTTATTCGTGAGATTTCTTGTGACCGCAGCGACCTCTCGGCTCCCAGGAGCTAGATACGCTAGCACCCCCTCAGTGGCACCTGGCCTGCAGCATCGCAGCGGTGGTCGGATCGGTGCACAAGCATCGTAGCGTCGCATAGGTGCGCAGTCGTCGCTGCGTCGTCGCGGATCGTAAGAAAAAATGCTAAACACGCTGCGCCGCCGCGCCGACTACGCCACGCTGTCGCGAAGAGGCACGTTTCGCGAGTGGACGCGCGAGGTTCGGCTGCGCGAGTACGTGAAACGCGCCCTCAAGGCGACCGCGGCCGTCGCGGGCATCATCCTCGCCGGCGGCGCCGTCTATAGTCTTGCAGAGGGCCGCCAGTTCGCCGAGAGCTGCTACACGGCGCTCGCAATAGCAACAACAATTGGCGTTTCCGACGACCTCGAGCCGAAGACCGCCGCGGGCCGCTGCTTCACGGTTTTCTACTCGCTGTCGACGTTCGTCGCCCTGCCCTTGTTACTAAATGTGGCGGCCAACGGCGTGGCGCGCGTCGGCCTGACGCTCTGGGGCGCCGTGGCCGGCTACGAGTTGACGCGGGACCCGACGCTGCGCCACCAGCGCCGGCTGGGCTGCGTTTTAACAATTCTCGTGCTGCACGTATTGCTATTCGGCGGCCTCATGGGCTACACGCTGACGTTTCTGGCGCCGTCGTACTGGGAGTCGGTCTACTACGCGTACATGGCGCTCTCGTCGATTGGCGTTGATTCCACTGTTCCGCACACGCCCGCGGCCGTCGCCTACGTGGCGTACTACGTGCTCGCCGGGCTGGGGCTCCTGACGCTCGTCGCGGAGGACGCCTACGGCCTCTACTGCGTCTACAAGGCGTACCTGGATGACGAGGAGGATTGCGCCGTGCACGAGTCTCCCCGGTTACTGCGGCGCGACAGCTCGCAGATTGAACCAAAACTCAATTGGGTCCTCGGCACCGTGCACAAGATACTAAACCTCCCGCGGCGCCTCTCGGCCCAGGCCCTCGCGAGCGCCACGACGAATCCCCTGCGACCATGACTGTGTGTGTCCTAAGTGTTGTTAACATAACCTACTTCCGCCGCTTCTTTTTCTTCGTCGGCAGCTCACCAGGCACTGGCGCCTCGACGTCTCCGTCCTCGTCCAATTGATCGGGGTGCGCCGCGAAATACGCGTCGGCGTCGGCGAAGGGCGACGCGCCCTTGCGCTTCTTTTTTTCCGAAGGCGCGGGCGCCGCGGCGGTCTTCTTCTCCTGTTGAGGGGGCGCCGCGTCGTCCTCGTCGTCATCAGAGAACGGGAAGTCGTCGGGCTCCGAGCCCGCGCTGCCGGAGTCGCCAGAGTCGCCCGACGACGCGTCCGAGGCCGCATCGCCGGAGCCGTCGGAGTCCGAAGCGCCGCCTTCAGACCCGTCGGAGTCGTAGATCGGCAGGCCGACGATCGGCGAGTCGTCACTATCACTATCATCTTCCAGATCAAGGTCGTCCGCCGCGAAGGCCATAGCGTCGGCGCGGACGTCGTCGTCGTCGTCGTCTGAGGACGAAGCGTCCTCCTTCTTCGATGCTACGGCTTTGAAGGACCTCAAGAAAAACCGGTCTTCCGGCGCTACACTATCAAGGTGCTTCCCGGTCAAAGCCTTGACAGGTACTCTATCGTCGATAGCCGTCGTGCGCGCGTGGCCGTGCTGCTTCGTCCGCTGCTTCGGGTTTCTATAGGCAAATCTATCCAGGAAGCGCATCAGACCAAAGTCTACCAAGGGGTCGCCTCCATATTGGATCGTTTTTGAGGAAGCCAGCTTCTCGGCCCAGGCCCTACAAGAAGGGTGGTAGTGCGTCCTCAGCGTGTGGAGCTCCCAGAGCTTGCCCGGTGAGGCGTGGGCTGGATCGCGCTTCAAGAGCAAGCGCCAGTCATCTTCTGAAGCACGGCCCGCGATGAGTGATCGGCCTAATTCAGGCCGTTTCTCGAAGACATTGGACGCCAAATAAGTCGACGCGCAGGCGACCTGCGGCGAGTTGTGCAAAGCGACTTGGACGCATCTTTTTAGTAGAGCCGAGGCGTCGCCGCCTTTACACGCTCGGAAGACCACGTTGAGCAGTAGCGCGGGTTTGGACGGCGTCCGCGTCTCCGGGGCATGCAAAGCCGCATACAAGGCGCGCTCGAAGCGCGATCGCAGCACGGGCGCCTCCGACGACAATCTCTCTAGTAACTGTAAAGCCCTCACGCGGGCCGGTCCCGTGCCCGCGTGGGCCAGCCCAAACAAAGCATCTAGCTCTTTGGAGGTAGAGGCGTCCAAGACACCCTTCCGGGCGTACGGTAAGGCGCGCGCGACGCCGGTCAGCAGCGCCGCTAATAGTTTGGTCTGGAGGTCGCCGGCGTCCACCGACGCCACAAATAAAGCAAGGTACATCTTCACGAGGGAGGTGGCGACCGGTTCTAACTCAGAAGACAGGTAGACCTGGGACAGGCACGCCACGGCGGCCAGGCGCGCCTTGGCTCCTACGGAACCTTTCGGTGCTCTCGCCGTGAAGCCCTGGATTTCTTCCACAACAACACCCGTCATCGCCCGATGCGCCTTGAGCACCTCTGATAATAGCTGAGACGCCCGCGCTGAGACCGACGGATCGGGATCACCCAACTTGTTGACTAAGAGAGCCAACAACTCCGCTTCTTGCTCGGGTTTTGATTTTAGTAAATGAGCGCACGTCTCCGCGGCAAAGCGTCGTAGTTCCGACGCGGAGTGCTTCAGGTAGCCCTGCACCACGTTCACAAAAGACGCGTAGCGTTGTTTGAGCTTCTCCTCAAACAACCACAGCACCTGCCGTTCCGAGGACTGCGGGAGAGGGGGGCGGTTCTCCAGCGTGACTAATCTACGGTCGCCCGGCAAGCCCGATCTGCTGGAAAAGACCTCCTTCAAGGAATCGATGGCCATCTTCGCCGTGTGCTTTCCCGCCTTCGCCGTCGAGAGTAATGAATCCAGCGTCTCGAGGCGATGGATCGGAGACTCTTGCACCATGAGCGTCATCGCAGCTACTTTGTCGGCCATGGTGCCGCTTCTTAAAACTTGACTCATGTAGCGGTCGTCGCCGGAGGCGCGCGCTTCTCTTTTTGAAGTCCAATTTCGCACTTCGTCTCCAAATAAGCGCTCGGCGCTCGCTCGCAGCGCCGCGACTTGCGTCGCGTTCGGCGTGCCTTGCTCCTTGCCACCGTTTCGGGCGTGCCACGGCGTGTCATCCGTGTCGTCGAAGAGGACCGTGCCTTTGCCGCTGCCGCGCGGCTTTGCGGCGGGCTTGGGCATGCTGCACTGCAGCTACAGTGTGTTGCGCGCGTCTGTCGCGTCGAAGCAGCTTGTGCAGCGGCGGCAGCGTCACGGTTTCGATGAATGCGGCTCAGCGAGCACGCTTATGTGGTAGCTGAAGTGAGTGCGGCGCCTCAGCAGCTTCAGCTTCGCCTATTTCTAGTGGTCTTACAGACGCTAGCTCGTTCGCGGCCTTGGCCTTTTGAGTAGCGCATTGATCACGCGCGCGCTGATTACACACGTAAATCTCACCCGCCACACCGCCCGGCAGCGCAGCGCCGCGCCGCAGTTCCGCTGAGTCGACGCAGACTGCTGTGGAGATGGACACCAACAACATCGATGTGGTGCGCGCCATCGTCAAGGCCGCGCGACCCTCCGACGCGAAGCGGGCGCCGCCGCGGCGCCCGCAAAAGCCGCCGCCGGCGCTCCAGCGCGCCGCGGCCTTGGTGCAGGGCGTGGACGCGTGCGAAACCGCTCTGAAACGCTGCGCGCGCGCTTATGCGATGCCCGATGACGACTCAGCGATGACGGATGCCGCCAGGGACGCCGTCGACGCGCGCGTCCGGGCGCTCTTGCGGGAATGCCAAGCTGCTTTGGACGAACCGTCGGCGGACAGCGGGAAACCGGGTTCACGAGAAGCGCACGCCCGGGGCGGCGTCGAGGTCGCGCGGGCGCGCACGGCGGCGCTGGCTGCGTTATTCCGGGACCTCGAGGTTTTAAGAAGGCGCCGAGAAGCCGCGGCGTCGGCGCCGCTCGCGATTCGCGCGGCGGTGGACGCCGACGCGGCGCTCCGCACGTCAAACGAGGACGCGGAGCTCCAAGCGATGCGCGGCCGGCGCATCGTCGCCGTCGAGCCGCCAAAGCCGAAGCCGAGGCCAGTCGCTGCGAAGCCGGCCGCGACGCCGCGGCCGGCGCCGGCGCCCGCGCGAGTGCCCGCGAACCAATTGCAACGGGAGCAGGCGCAGCTCGAGGCCGAGTTCGAGAGCCTGTCCGACGCCGCGCGGACCGTCGAAGCCAGGACCGAGGACGTGTCCCGCCTCGCGGCGCAGTTCGCCACCCTCGTCGACGAGCAGCACGACCAGGTCGTGACGCTCGACGGCCTCGTGGGCGACACGGCGAACCAGGTCGACAAGGCCGGCGACCACGTCGCCCAGGCGGCGTCGCGCCGGGCGACGCTGCCGCGCGTCTTCAACGCCGTCGTGTTAACGTTGGCGGCGCTGCTGCTGCTGATCCATGCGGTGCACTCGTAATGTTATGTTTGTGTCTTCTTACGCTGTCTGTGTCTAGACGGGGCTGTCTTCCTTAGAATTTGTTGTGGTTTTAAAGCATATGTCTTAAGCTACTCCATTTTCCCGAAGAGGAGGAGTCTCGGCGCCCGATATTCTGATCCGAATATGCGATGCGCTGTTCTGCGTGCTGCTTCTTCGCCGCAAGATACTCGTCGAGGTTGTCGAACTCGCGGCCGGGGAAAACGTGGTTGTTGGCCCACTTGCCGTTTTGTTTCTGATAGCCCCCCTCAACAGACACCCTTTCTAGCTCCGATTTGAACTTCATGCGCTTTGCCGAACGGTGACTAAATGTCGCTCTGAGCGTTGGCGCCTCGGGGTCGACAATCACCTTCGGCGCCGGCGCGCGTCCAGATCGGCGCGGTGTAGCCGCCGCCGCCAGCGTCGGCGGTAGCGCGGCCAACACTGAGGCGAGCGGCGCCTCCCCGGGAAAGTTGACGGCCGGCTCGTTCCTATACTCGACCAGCGCGGCGTCGTAGGCCCGCGCGGCGTCCTCCTCCTCGTCGAAGTCGCCGAGGTGAACTTTAGACCCTAGCAATTTGATCTGCGCGGTCCACTTGCCCCTATGCCGGCGCACGCCCGTAAATCGACTGGTCTTGGGGGCGCGGACCGGCGCGGGCCGCGCGGCAGGGACCGGCGCCGGTGCCTGCTTGTACTCAGCCTCAGTGCGGTAGGCACCGCCGGTTCGCGCGAGGGCGAGGGCGCCCTCGAGGTACTTCCTCAACGCGGACAACGACTGCGCATAGTCATGGGTTACGTAGTCCTTGCCGGTGACGTCGTAGTAGCACGGGAAGTCTTGAGGCACCGTGACGGCGAATTTGGTTTCATTCTCCTGTCCCGCGCCACAGATGAAGCCACGGCTCACCAGCGGCTCGTGGAGGCCCCTCATGTTCGTGCGATCCTTGAGCGCCTCGAGCAGGTCCGTGCAGACGGTGACCCAGGCCGACGCCGTCGACGCGACGTGTCGCCTCGTCGCGGGCTGCGGTGCCGGCGCGCCTGGCCTGGGTGCGAGGCAGACGTCGCCCTGTTTTGCCCGGCAGGGAGCACATTCGCCACAACGCCGATGAGGTAGGCCACAGCCGCAGCTCGCCGGGCACGGGTAGGTGCGGCGCGGCGCTACGGCGCGTGGCCTTGTCTGTGCGTCCCGGGGCACGACGGCGCGCGGAGCCGGTGGCGTGCCCAACGCGCGAGGCGTCGACGCCGGCGGCGGGGCGGGTGGGGCCATCACCGGCGGCGGCGAATTGCCGTCGCTCAGAGACTCGCTCTCGCGTTGCGCGACGATGATGGCGTCAAGCTGGAGCAGGACGTGGGGCGGCGGGAGTTCCATTTCACGACTAAACTTGTTTCACTTCAGGCAGAGCAGAGTCTCCAAAGCCAGGACTCCAGGATGAACCAGTACGAATTTCGACGCGAAATGATGCGCGGTCTGTGCGGTCTATTCACAACTATATTCACGGCGTCCGGCGAGCAAAGAGTGGCCCTCACTTGAGGTCAAGCCTCGAGAGCTAGCTGCTGTAAGGCACTAGCAGGCAACGCGTTCGGCAATGAGCCAGTTTGAGGAGATCCCGCCCCCGGGGCGCGGCTTCCAGGGCTCCCGCGCTTTAGGTGGGCTAGCGGCCTGTAAGACACTAGCAAGCAAGCAACGCGAAGCGCTCGCTCGCCTAGACTACTCGGGCGAGGATTCACGAAGAACACAGGATAGCATATTAAGTCGGCGCCGCCTCCCCGCGCACCGCCGCGAGCACGGACGCCGTCTCGCGCTGCGCGACGGAGTCCGATCCCGCGCCGACGAACGTCCCGGGCAGCGGCGCCGCCCCGCGGCGAGGACGCTTCGCCGCCGGCGCCGCCGCGCCACCCTCCTCAGGAACGTAGGCTTCCTCTGACGAAGCCGGCCGCTTCTTCGGTTGTGGAGGATCCCGCCACAGCGCCGTTCTTTTTAACCGCTTGCGGATCTTCTTCAAAGCCGCGGCGTCCTCGTCAGGTTCCGCCTGTGATGCCAGGGCCTTCGCCTCGTCCAGGGCCTCGGGCGTCAAAATCTCCTTCAATTTCTCTTCACATCCACCGACCCTCAGACACGCCACGGCCGCGAGCAAGGATGGCGCATGTATTAATGGAGCGTCCGTCGTCAGCAGCTTGTCGCACTCATCTTCTATTCTACTAACGTCAACGTCCACTCCATCGACGAGCGCGCGCGCGGCCCCGTGCGGGTGCGCGACCCGCAAATCGTAGCCCACGCCGCTCAAGATGGCCTGCTCCGCCTTTGACGCACGGAACGCCAGCCGCTGGACCTCGTCGCTGCTCTCGACGACGGCCGCCGCGAGTTCTCCGGCAGAGACGAACTCATCTTCCGTTTTGGCCGCCAAGAAGACCGCCGCGAGCGTATGCGCGAGCGGCTCCCGTTCCAGCATGGAGTGGCTCAGGTAGAAGCGTTTTATTAGTATAGTGGCCGTCGCCGCGACTTTCCTATTTCTTCTCAGGCGTCTCGGTGCTTTTGTATCACCCGTTCGACCAACCAGTAAAGGGATCTGCTTCTCGTACCACCGTAGTAGTTTCGCCTCGTCATCAGCGGAAACGCCCGGCTCGGCGCACTCGTCGATTGTTGTTAATGGTACTCTACAACACGCTTCAGGCGGCGTCGTGACGCCGGCCGCGACCAATCCTCTTCCGCGTGCGTTCGCCGCTTTTCTCAGAGAAGTGATGTCTTGGGGCGTCAACCGCCACCGGTCTTGATTGGACGAGGGCTGGAACTCGTCTTTATCGGTGCGCGCGATGTGGCTCATGGTGTTGCTGCGGCGTCTGCTGCGTCGTTTGTGGCGGCGCCAATGCGGCGGATCGGTGGTCCAGTGGATTTTATTGATGCAGCAGGCTCATACAAGGCTTCAGGAGGTGCACTGGCGATCAATATGCGATTTTGCCAGGCCCGGCTTGCTTTTTGCTAGTGTCTTACATGCCGCTAGCTGGGCCGTGATTAAAGAGCCGTGACTGCCCGGCCGTCTTCCCGCGGCCTCAGGAGCACGCCACGGCCGCTGAGCACCGCACTGGATCAAAGATACGGTGCCAGCGCAAGCGAGCCGCCCCACGCCAGCCGTCGCGCCAAAATCAGTCAGCTCTGAGGCAGGCGGAAACCGCAAGCCCGAGCGCGGCACGCCCGCAAACGCCGAGCGAGCGCGTAAAAAGAGGCGCCAACTACCACTAAAACACAACCGGGCCAAAAGGAAGCGATGCCGCGCCCGGCCTACACCCCGCTCGACGTCGAGCAGCAAGAGGAGCGACCAACAGTACAAATCCCGAACGTGCTGCGGAGGGAGGAGCCGTCGCGGAGCGCGAGACGAGGCCGACGACTTTTGAGATTACTGCACGCCAACGACCCCTTGGTGGCCTTCTACTGCTCGTGTCTCGTTAACCTTCCCCAAATTATTGCAGTGATCGTCGTCTTCGCGTACTTTAATGAAAACAAAGTCTGTTCCGTAACGGCCCGGAGGCAGTGGCGCGCCTGGGGGATTGTGCACGCTCTTCGATTAACAGCCGGAACTTTGGTGAGTGCGGGCCGCGCCCGGTTAGCAGCGACCGCGGGACCGCCTCCGGAGCCCGAAGGCCGGCGACGTTTACGAGCACTGGCCGCCAACGCCCGGAACTCCCTGGATGCATTAGCGCTGATCTGGTTCGTGGTGGGGAACATGTGGTTACTTGGTAGCGTACCATCTACTACATCATCAGGTGTCTGCCACGACGCGGGAAGAAGCCCAGTGTACGTCACCGATGTAGCGATGCTCGTCATCCAGTACGCGCAGATTTGTTTGCCGTGTTTGTTTGCCGTGGCGATGGTGCCCGTCTTCTGCTTTTGCCTGCCGTGTGTGATTCGGTTGTTGGCGGCGCTGCACGATCCCCAACATGGGCGAGGCGCGACACGGAGAGATCTAGACAAATTGCCGACTTGCCCCTTCAGTGCGGATTTAGACCTACTGAAGGGCGAGGAGCCGTGCTGCCCCGTGTGTATCTGCGACTATGAAGAAAATGACCGGTTGCGAGTCCTGCCCTGCTCGCACGTCTTCCATGCGGACTGCGTGGACCAGTGGCTCGCGGTCAACGCGACGTGTCCCTTGTGCCGGAAGTCGATCTTCGTGCCCGACAGCGACGTGGAGTCACCGACGCCGGGCGTAAACTTAACGTGACATTAATTACACCCCTGGCTTTCGGATCAATCTCTCGGCGACGCGCGTCTCCCGGACCCGCTCTCCGTCAGCATACCTGTAGTAGACGATGTCGTACGTATCGTCGCCGTGGTCCCTCGCAACATTTCCGCGATAGAACGTGCCAAGCCTGCGTGGGAGCACTCGCCTCGAGGCCGTCGACGCGGCATTTCCAACTCGGACAAGGCACCCGGCGTAGTCGGCCTCGACCTCGTCCATTTCGCGGAGGCCCTCGCTGTCCTCGCGCGCGCCGTCGTCGTCGGGCGTGCCGAACAACTCATCACCTCGGTAGCGCCCCGAGGCCCTCATACATTGTACAATATAGGTCATGAGGTCCTTCCCGGTTTCCGCGTCGGTGGCGTAGATGTCTGTTCCGCTATCCCACTCTTCGTGGTACGAGTGCACGGTGAAGGGGCCGTAAAGCGTACTGTAGTCGGTGTAGGTGTTTATCGAGATGCTGCCGTCCCAGTCGGGGTCGGATAATGATTTGGGATACTGGAATTTATCGCTCTTGACGCGCTTGGGCTCCAGCGCCGCAATCGCTTCGAGAAAGCCTCCGACGCGATCGAGTCCGAGCATAATTCCTCCGAGGTGATGGTCACGGACAGAAACGTCGGTCGGCGTCGACGCGAGCCGGGTAGCACCTCGACGCGGCGTCCTCGCCAACGTCAGCGCCGCTGCATGCGTCGCAAGTGCGATGACGAGCGTCGTCATCGGCCTGGGTGTGGTGCTCAGCCACCGCCTACCAAGCATGCTTGCGGCTCTCATCGATGCTTTTTGCCTTTACGCGTCGCGGGGCAGCTCCAACTGCACGAATCTACAGCTGCAACCAAGTTCAGCTCTCGCAATGCTTTGCAGCTCGAGGCACATTCTTGGGCAGCCAACCATCAAAGAAATATCCGGGCTCCTGACAAGGCTCAGGGAGCCGCACGGAGCCGCTTGCGAAGGCTCAGAGGCCTCGTGGCCGCTCAGACGTGCGCTAGAGCTAGTGTAGACAGGCACTAGGTTTATCAGACGCCGCGGCTTGGCAAAAGGGATGCAATAAACGGCAGCGAGAGCTGCCCCCGTGCGCCGTGGACACGCCAACTCGTCCTCGCGTACCACGGCGCACCGCTTCGGCACGACTGGGCACCATGCGCCGCATCTTGTTGTGCTGCGCTGCCCTCACGCACGCATTGAGACTGGAGCTCGACGTCGACGGGAGACGCCTACACCTCGAGTACGAGGAGAGCAACCTCTGGGAGGCGCGCTTCCGCTACGCCGAGGCGTTCGTGGCGAAGCACGACCTCGCCAAGTACCAGGGTCTCGGCTGCGAAGAAGTTTTATATGCGAGGCATAAATGCGTCGCGTCGAAGATCGAGGAGGCCATGAAGGCGCATCGGGACCAGGTCCGGGCGATCATGCGCCAGTGGGTCTCTACTGTTAAGGAGACCGTCTCACTAAATGCTGATGGGGAGGAGGACACTACCTGGCTCCAGTTTTTACAGAGGCGCATGTTCCGGGGCTGTGCGCTAGATTCGATCGCCGACCCTCCTTCAAATATCCTGTCGAAATTCATTGCATTAGAAGTAGGATGCGGCTCGGGAAAACTGATGAAGCGCCTCGCTACCAGGGTACGACGGTTGGACGGCGCGGACACGTCGAAGGCTGCATTATCCAAAGCCCACGAGAGATTAAGTGGAGAGTACACGTTATTCCATGCCGACGGTTTATCATTGGACGCCGTGCCCAACGCCACCTATGATATTGTTTATTCTGCGAACTTGCTGCAACGCATACCGATTCACGCTTTACGGTACAAGCACCTCGAGGAGTTCTTCCGCGTTTTGAAGTGCGACGGCCACGTATCGCTACAAATGGGCTTCGGTGAAGGCGGTGCCGACTATCATGACGACCACCTGACGACTTCCACTGAGGTCTCGGTCACGAACGCGACGCACCTCTTGCAAGACCTCTACAAGGTCGGGTTCAGGGACCACACCCACGAGATTATTGAGCAGAGCCCCCCTGGTTCATTATTCAGTCAGTCGCTGATGGTCGTCGCCAGGAAACAGTGTCCCAGGCTCGGGATCACAGTTATTATCGACGGCGTCGAACAACCAAAGATCGAGGCGGGCGGCTCGAGGCAATACGTGGATCCCGTCGTGCACGACGTCGCGCCTTCTCCGGAAGGTATCAGGCGGCGGAAGCGCGCCGCGGAGAATTGTGGTGGGGAGGTCGAAATTGATGAAGACGAGGTCGACGCGGAGATCGCCGACTTACAGAGACAGCTCGCCGAGGCGAAGCGGAAGAAGAAGCGGAAGAAAGGTGCTCCGACGAAAAGACAACCTTTGCATCCGCAGTTCGTCGAGGACAACCTCGTGGGTCTGGACGGGAAGACTTGTCCTTCCTGCGTAAACTAGTTATGTGTTATCAAAGCTCGCGTCCACTACAACGACTTTCACGAGGGGCTGGCCCGCCTTGCCCCCCAATGCTGCTCGTGACGAGACGACGGGCAGCGACCCAAGCCGCGCAAGCAGCTTCATGGACGCGTCGTCGAGTAGTGCACCGACCGCATACCTGCCCTTGCCGTCGGAGGGCGCGAACGACAGCGCGAAATCCAGGTCCGGGCCCGGGCCGCTCTTCGCTACAGACAAAGCGCCGGCGGGCAGCGGCATTGATGGCGCCTCCGATTTGATCTTTTGCGGCGTCGCCGCCCGGAAGTCCGCTGGTGTTTTTCTAGAACCGGTCCGCCGGCGGTAGGCCAGTTCCTGGGACGACGCGGACTGCGCGAGAAAGACGAAGGGTTTTTCTACTTTCCAGGTCGTGCCGTCCAAGCCCGCTGGTGTTGTTTCCGGAGTATCTTTGTAGGCGCCCTGAGCTAACAAAGCGAAGGTCTCCGCGGCGACGGGAGTTTCAGAATAGAGTCCTACTCTGAGCAGCCCCTCGTCGTTGCCGGCTATACTAATACGCAGCGTCGCGACGCCGCCGAACCGGCCCGCTGGTTGGGGCACGGGCTGCGCCGTGGCGAATTCGCCCGTGCCTCCATCCGTAACGCAATTTGGGTCGGCAGCATCACATCTAGAAGCGCCGCCCCAGCTGATACCTAATGCGGCATCAAGATCCAGCTCCTTGTTGGGCGTGCCGACGGCGCGCATGCCTCTTCCTATTTTCGTCGTCGCTGGCGCGGCGTCGGCTGCTGTCGAAATCAACGGTGCGACGGCTGCTGCGCCGCCGGCGAGCCATGTGCGGCGGGTGGGTCGCAGGGCGGCTGCAAGGCTGCCCAAAAGCAATGCTGCTGTATGCGGGCTGAGACGCGCCATTGCTGGAGCCGGCTTGTGTAGGAGAAGGGCGAGGCTACAGTAATACGCGACTGAAGCGCCAAGCTCCAGAAAGACCGGTGCGCCCAGTTTTCGCGTAGATCGCGCCGAGGGCTCATTGCTAGTGTGTCTTACATGCCGCTAGCTAACTCAGCCACAGGAGTTACGCGCCGCATTGCCCGCGGGACGCGCGTGCGAGCGGCCCCAGCTCTCTAGACGCACCTCAGATATCGGCACACCCGAACGCGGGAGCGCTAAGATGCTCAAAACGCCCCGCCGCCGCGGAACTGAAGACGATGAAGAACAGCACCGGCAAGCGAAGCGCGCCGCGCCGGACGCCGTCTGGGCCACAGAATTACCGACCGACCTCTGGAAGCGGTGCCTGGACTTCGCCTACGGCCCGGCGACGGCCTGCGTCGACCCGCTGGCGCCGCTCAAGGCCGCCGCGACGCTCGCGATGGTGTCGCGCGGCACGCAGCGCGCGATGGCGGACCCGGGGCTCTGGAAGGACCTCGCGCGGGGCTCGGAGCGCTGCGGCTGCGACAAGATCGTCCTGGCGGCCGACGTCGGAGGCTTTTCGGCGCAGAACGGGCGGCCGTGGCGCGTCCTCGGCCGCGCGCTGCGCGACTTTTTGAAGAAGTGCACCCACTGCCGCGCCGTCGAGGCGCCGATCCGCGTGCCGTTCGGCGTGCGCCTCTGCAACGCCTGCGCGACGATCCGGCCCGGCGGCGCGTTGATCAGAGAGGGCCGCGCGCGCGACGACTACCACCTCGCCGCCGCGGATCTTGTGAAGCTGCCGTTCCTCGACACGCCGAGGAGATCAGCGCCCCCGCCCGTGCCGGACTTCACGGAAGCGCCACCAGTGACCCAGTCGCCGGCCCTCGTCTTCTCGCCGCGGAGCGGCGAGGTCGCGCTCGACGTCGCGCCGCCGGTCGAGGAGCGCGTCTTCGGCGGCGCGCCGTTCCTGTCGCCGCCGCCCTATACAAGGGCGCCGCCGGCGGAGCGCGTCTTCGCGCGGCGGCACCTCGTCTTCGCGCAGCAGCGGCGCTTCGGCACGGCCGCGGCCGTGGACGTCCTGGACCGCGATGCGGACGCGGCGCGGACGGCCGTCGACGCGGCGCGGCGCGCGGCGGCGACGGAGGAGCTCCTCCAGGCGTACAGCCTCTAGGTTGTGCGACTAAGAAGATATCGCAACAACGTACTTACCGGCCCCGATCAACCTAGTCGCCCCCGCCGCCGTCGTCGGCCGCCGGCGCCGCGGCGGCCTCGCCCTCGAGCACCTCCGGGTAGTGCTTCGCGAGGTACTCGTACATGAATTTGACGGGCGACTCGGGCATCGTCGCGATGAGCTCCGCCGTCATGTCTCTATATAATTTCTCGACGCCGTGGGCGGCGAGGTACTCCTCCCACTTTTTTTGTTGCTGGGCGACGTGGGCGCTGACGCTGTCCTCGGCCATCGTCGTCTCCCGGTGGTCGTGCGCGTGAGTGGTCGCGGCCGGGGGTGGCTCCTCGGGGAGGTTGCTCACTGGGCTGCTCGTTCGTCGGCGCCGGGCGGTCTTCTCCGCGGCGGGTGGGCGACGAGGGACGACGGAGCCTTTGTGGAGTGACCCTACGTGTCGATAGTCGGGGGTGCGTGAGTTGGGCAGCCCTGCGCTAGATGGATGAGCGGCGCTGCGTGTTGCTAGATAGACTTACTAGAATTCCGCAGGAGTTCCGCGTGTGCAGCTTGTAGCGCTATTCCAAGCGCTTCGGGCAGCCCAAAGATGCGCTTCTTACTACTCTTGATCGGTCTTGCCGCCGCCGCCGAGGTGGGTCCCGGCGCCGACTCACCCCAGCCTTCGCATCCCGAGAGAGCGCCACGCGCAACGCCATCGAGCAGACGCAGTAGAGCGACGCCGCCGCGCGCAGGTCATCCGCGACAAGAAGGAGGCCGAACAGGTCGCCAAGAAGCTGTTCAAGGACCGCCCCGGCCCTCCAAAAAAGGTCAAGGACGCGCGGAAGGCCGTCAAAAAAGAAGAATCGATCAAGCTGACGCGCGGCGGCGGCGCGCCACCCATCCCGAAGCCGCCGTCGGGCGAACCGCCGTCGGAGGAGGAAGCTAGGCGCCGCGCGCGGCGGCTGATGCGGCGCATGTCGCGGAAGCGCAAGGGCAAGAAGCACCGCAAGTCGAAAGCTTTCAAGAAGGGTATGCTATAATGTGCCTTTCCATGTACTAGTCTCTAGTTACTCCCGCCGCGCCGGAAGAACGGCAGCGATATCTCCGCGTCGAGCATCCGCGCGACGAGACCTGGGGCCTCGGGCCGGTCGTCGTCGTCGTCCCAGCCCTCGCCGGCCGGCGCGGCGGGTGCCGGCGCGGGCGTGGGCGGCGGATCCTCGACGGCGCCGTCGTCGCCCCAGCCGTCGCCCGCAGCTGGTTCGGGCTCTTCTGACGGCGGCGGCGGCGCTTCGGGCGTCGCGGGCGCCGGCGGCGGCGCGGCCGGCTTTTTCTGCGCGGCCTGGATCGCGAGGCGCGCCTTTCTCTTCGCCTCGGCGGCCTTGGCGTGCGCGAGGCGCGCCGCGACCTTGACCGCCGACGTCATCGCGTCCTGCGCTTCTTTTTGAGCCGCCGCCGATGTACGAGAAGCGGCGATCGCGGCGTCGGCGGCGACCAAAGCAGCCCGGTCCGCCGCGGCCGCGCCGGCGTCCTTCCCTTGGGGCTTCTTCGCCCCTCTCAACACCTTGTTCGACCGCCGCTTATACCTCTCGAAGTCCGCCCGCAGCCGCGCGTTCGCGTCGCGCTCGTTGTCCAGAGCGTCGAGCGCGGCCCGTAATCTCGCGTCGTCGCCGCCTTTTTGTGGTACTACGGGTGCCGCGGCGACTGGCGTACGCGCCTGTCGTAAAGCGTCGTCGCGCTGCGTCTGCGCGTGGCGTAACTGAGCCTTCACATCGTCGAGGGCCGTCGCCTTGGCCTCTTCGAGAGAAGCCAATTTCAATTCCGCGGCCTTGCACTCCTCGTCGCGCTTCTTCGCGAAGTCCTGGACGGCTTTCAGTTTCTCTTTGACGGCGGCGATCTTCTTTTTTGCTTCTATTTTAACATCTTCTACCGCTTTTTTGACCGCATTGTCTTTCTCGGTCTTTGCATCTCTCTGTAATTGTGAGAGTGCCCCCTTGGCGCCGTCCTTCACACTATCGATCGATTGACTTAGTTGGCGTTCCGCCTTTGCTCTTGCTTCCTCGGCCGCGTCGCGGGCGTCGAGGGCCGCGTCGCGCTCCCGCTCCAGCGCTTTTATCAGTTCATTGTCATCTTTGGTGTTGTTGCTGGGGGCGCTCGCGGCCAGCGCGTCTCGCAAGACTTCGAGTTCTTCCTCGGCGGCGGCGGCGCGCGCTTCGGCGGCGGCCAGGGCCATGTCTTGGTGTGACTGCTGCGCGTCGGCGGCGCGTGGCGTCTGTGTTTGGCTGGCTCAGCTGTTTAGGGCAGCAGCTTTTTTTTGCCTCGGCGGCGGTTGCGCGCAAGGTCTCGTTATAGCTCGACGGTGAACGGCTCCAGGAGGCCTCGCCTCTCGCGCAGGCGTGCGAACAGTGCGCGTGCCGCGAGCAATCGAGCCCGCGACCTTAAGCGGAGCTAGCGTATGTAAAGCCACTAGCAAGTGGTCGACGACGCGGCCTTTGCGAGGGCATAGCGCTTGGCCACGGCGTACTACGAGACGCTGTGACTCGCGCATCGCTGCGCACTTACCCTCGCGCCGCGATATCTCATCCCTCGACGCCGCCGCAGCGCGCCGCTGCAGCAAGCCTCGACTCCACACCACACCGCACCGCCGCGCGCCGCGCCGCACCGATCACGCGACGCCCGCAAGACAACCATGTCCAAAAAAGGCGCCGGCTACCGCTTAAGGAAGGAACTCCTAGCGATCAACAAGGACCGCCCCGAGTTCATCTGGGCGACTCATAAAGAAACAAACATACTACTATGGTCCTTTCTCGTAGCCCCCCCGGACGACACGGTCTACGGCGGCGGCTACTACTGGGGCCGAGTGACCTTCCCCCAGGACTACCCCTTCGCGCCGCCCGGGATTCAATTTGTCACACCGTCCGGACGGTTCCGACCGGAGACGAAGATCTGCATGTCCATGTCGGATTACCATCCCGAGAGCTGGAACCCCGCATGGTCGGTGTCGACCATATTGAAGGGTGTCCTGTCGTTCATGCTGAGCGACGAGATCACTACTGGTGCCGTCGAGTGTTCGGATAGTGAAAGGAGGAGGCTCGCAAGTGCATCTGTAGCCTGGAACTGTAGTCAACCGGAGTTTAATGCTCTATTTCCGGACTTCGCGGAGCTGCGGGAGGAAGAGTTGTTGCGGAGAGCGCGTCCGAAAAATGCGGGGCTCATCGCGAGGGGTGCGCTGGACGAAGCCGGGCTGCCCGGCGCCGCGGCCGCGAAAGCCACTGGTGATGCGTTCTTCCGCGCCAAAGCCTACGACAAGGCCATCGGTGCCTACACGCTCGCTCTAGAGGCGGCGCCGGGCTGCGCGGCCGTGTTAAGGAACCGCGCGGCGGCGCACGAGAAGCTCTCGGACTGGATTAATGTAGAAGCCGACGCGGCCGCGTCCCTGAAAGCGGACGCGGCGGCCGGCGAGCCGGTGTCCGCCAAGGCATTATTGCGGCGCGCGGCGGCGCTGGTGCAGCTTTCGCGGCCTGAGGACGCCATCACAGCGTATACGGATGCTCTGGCGCTGAAGCCGCCGAACGCCGATGCGATCAAGAAGGCGCTCGCGGCGCTCGAGAAGCCGCCGCCGCCTCCGAGCTAAGGCGCTCGCGGCGCTAAAGTAAGTATGTTGTTACGCAAGCGACAGCAGCTCCGCGCCGCCCTCCGTCGTCATGACCTCTGACTCATCATCATCAAAAGCCATGACCTCCGGCTCCGCCAGCGAAGCGAGACTGCGAGACGCCGTCTCCTCGTCCAGCGCCTGGCCCGGCGACTGGGGCTGGAAGGACGCCGATTCGTCGTCGAAGGCCATCACCTCGGGCTCCGACGAATCTTCCTGAGTAGCACGGGCGAGGCCGTGCCGCGCGAGCGTGAGGAAGTAATCTCGTAACGCCGCGCAGTCGACGGCGTCCTCGGCGACGGACGACGGAAAGGCGAGTGACAAAGCCACTGCTTCGTGGTCGTCGATATGGACCCTAAATAAATCGAACAATAGCCGAGCCGCCTCGTCGCACGGCATGGGCGCGCCTAGCACATCTAGTCCTTTGGCGCCCTCGCCCACTCGATCATAATCTAGAGCAGCAGCCAATAACTTGAGGAAGGCACTTCGTAAGACTCGCGCACGTCGATCTAAGGACGCCTCCCCGGAAGGCGTCATCGTCGTCGGCGGTCGCTGGCCCGCAGCCCCCCAGAAGCGTCTTTTCCCGCCGAAGAACTTTTCTTCACGCATTTTCAGCCGCGTTTTCTGGCGAGCTTTCCACTCGTAAAAAGCTCGCGTTCCTTTCTCCGGCACCTTTGCAGTGTCGGGGGACCACTTCTTGTCCGGGGACATGCGCTTGACCCGTCGGGAAGGCTCTTTGAGTAGCGAGCTGGACATGCCCCTCGTCTTGATGCCGATGTTCCTTCGACACTGTTCGATGGCGCCCAATTCAGAGTAAAAAACGGCAAAATCCCGCGAGTCGACGCGCCCGTCCGGCGCCAGGGCCAAGACAATGCTGCCGAGCTCCTTTGGTGTTAAACTCTTGGGCAGGACGCCTTTCAACAGATACCTCAGATCCTTCGGGGATAACAATCTTTTAGCTGCCCGCCAGACGGGTGGCAACGGATTGCGAGCGGCCGCGTCCGTGAGCTTGGCTACTGCTCTTCTTCGGTCGCGCTCGGTGTGATCGTAATCGCAGCCCGTGAGTGAGAACTCGAGGTCATCAAGTCTATTCAGTATGATCGTCGAGGCCGCGGACCGTGACGTCGTGACCGTCGGCTGGGCGAGGTCGTAGTAGGCGTCGTCCTCTTCTTCGTCTGAGGAGGACATGGCGTGACGGCGTCGGGCAGCCTCCGGGTCCAATGGGGCTGGCTAACTTGGTGGTGCCGGCGGGTGCTCACGCGTGCCGCGGCGACGAGTCCGATGGAGGGAGTTGCTGGCGACCGCTGCGCGTTGGACGCAGCCCCTGCGTCCACGCGGGCCGTATTACTCTGGCCGCTATACAGAGAGCAAAATCGGCCTGGGAGCCGAGAGCCGTTGTCGAGCCAGGGAGCGCGCCAGGCGTCTGGGTACCATTGATATGGCTCGTCGACGACTGCGTGGCGCGGCTTAAAAACGCGCGGGTTGAAATGGTGATGCATCCTTGATCATTGATTTACGGCGCTGGTACTCCGTCAATTCAAGCCAAGACATCAAGGGCAGCGGTGCCATGAAGTCTATCATCGTCGCCCTCGCGCTCAGCAGCGCCACGGCCCTGGTCGCGCCGTCAGCGCCGCGTATGCCCACTGCTTTACAAGCTGCGACCAAGGACCCGGCCACGACCTCCTACCAGCCGACGGAGGGCGCCAACGCCGCCGTGGACACGAATAATAAGGGAGACGCCTGGGTGAGCCAGATGCAGCGGCCGCGGAGGAACCGCAAGTCCGCCGGCGTCCGGTCGATGGTGCGCGAAAACTTTTTGACACCGGCCAACCTCATGCAGCCCATTTTTATTCATGAAGATTCGGACCAAGTGGTTCCTATTCCCTCGATGCCTGGACAGAGCAGACACACGCTCGACTCCATGGTCGAGCAGGTGAAAAAGGGCATGGCGTTAGGTGTCAAGTCCTTCATCTTGTTCCCGAAAGTACCTGATGACTTAAAGACGAATTTTGCTGATGAGTGCTACAATCCCGACGGGATTGTTCCTAGAGCGGTCGCCATGTGCAAGGCCGCGTGCCCGGAGGCGACGATCTGCACTGATATTGCTTTAGACCCTTATTCGGACCAAGGGCACGACGGCATTGTACTGGATGGCAAGATCGTCAACGACATGACCATCGAGCAGCTCTGCAAGCAGGCCGTCTGCCACGCGCGCGCGGGCGCGGACTTCGTCGGACCGTCGGACATGATGGACGGGCGCGTGGGCGCTTTACGTATGGCGTTGGATGCGGAGGGCCACACGGACGTCGGCATCATCTCCTACTCCGCGAAGTACGCGTCGGCCTTCTACGGCCCCTTCCGAGATGCGTTGGATTCGCACCCGGGTTTCGGAGATAAAAAAACCTACCAGCAGGACCCGGCGAATGGCAGGGAAGCGATCATCGAGGCGACCTTGGATGCGGCGGAAGGTGCCGATATGTTGATGGTGAAACCGGGCGTGCCTTACTTAGATGTGATTCGCAGAATCAGAGACGTCGTGGACCTGCCGATCGCGGCCTACCACGTGTCGGGCGAGTACGCGATGATCAAGGCCGGCGCGGAAAAGGGCTGGGTCGACGAGAAGGCGATCGTCCTCGAGACGCTCATGTGCTTCCGGCGCGCGGGCGCGGACGTCATCCTGACGTACTACGCGACGGACGCGGCGCAGTGGATGAACGACGAGGGCAACGTGTGCCTCTAATCGCGTAAGTTTCACAAGACATCTTAGATACTACGTTCTTCTTCGACCCGTGATTGCCGCGGTCGTCGCGTCGATGGCGTCACCCTACGCCGTCGCCGCGACGCGTCGTTGGGTTCGCGATACCACCAGGGCGCCATCGACGCGCCGTCATGGAGAAGAAGCGTCCGCCGCGGTGAACCCCATGCCGTTCTTGTCACTATACCTCTTCATGAAGCGCATGAACCGGTTCCATTCATCGGGGTTTGTGAGTAAGACCACGGCCGAGATGCCCGACGGGTTGCCTCTGACGAATTTGGCGCGCACGTCTTCTGTCGTCATACACCCCTCGGCGTCGCACAATCTCATGCCCGCTATTAATGAGTCCGGCGTGATCTCCCTATACAGCGCGTCAGCTCTCGGAAACCAGAACGTCGCCGTACCCGTAAAAAACTTGCCGTCTCTTTGGGAAGTGGCGCTGCGCGTCATCGAGACTTCCGGGATGACCGTCTCATCCACACCGGGCACGAACTGTATGACCGGATCGGACGACGGGCTGTCCTCTCGTATAATCGGCTTGAGGTCGCGCGCGCGCTTGATGTCGCTGAAGGCCGTTGTTTTTGCGAGTAATGCGATTAGCGTCCAGCGTCGTCGTCGTCCGGGAGGCATCGCGGCGACGGCCTCTGGGTTGCTAGAGTGCGTGCAGCTGGTGAGTGCAGCTCTAGTGTGCTAAGAGCGCTGATCGCGGCGGCGGCGTCTGGGTGCGTAGATTGTGCAGCAGTGCTCAAGTGAGCAGTGTGCAGAGTGTGGCGCCTTACGGATGCGCACGATTAGAGATGTGGATGTAAGGACAATCGGGATGCAGTACAGAGGACACGCACTGCTCACCTCCAGCTGTGGCGTGCGTTTGCCCTTTGCCAAAGCCCTGCATCGCAGCAAAGAGGGCTTGAGCGGCGCGGCTCTTTACTTGCCCGGGATCGGTCACGCCGTCTGTTGGAAGGCTCTGAACGTCGTTCGACGCGTTTCGCGCCACTGAGGAGCTAGCGGCTGTAACACACTTAGCAAGCGCTCAGTTTTTGCGTTTGTGCTGCGTACGGCCCACTTGACGCGGTGTTGACATACACAACGCTGCTGCGAGCGCAAGTCGGTCATCAAGCCGCGAGAGAGGCGAAATCTTGGCGTGAAACGGCGCAGCGGGTGATATTTTAACGCTATTCTCAAAGTAACTGTTAGACGATGCCGCGGAGCGCCAGACACACGATGGGCGGCCGGGAAGTCCTCGACGCGAAGACGATGCTGGACCTGCTCGAGGGCTCGGCCTCCGACGGCGGGCCCACGGTCACCATCGACGTGGACGTGTTCAAGGACAACTTCGGCGCGCCGCCGCCGCGGCGGAGCAGCGTCTCGGGGGGCCGGCGGTCGAGCTCGAGCGGCGCCTCGCGCCGCCGCGAGACGGCGGACCCGGCGCAGCTCAAGGAGCTGCTCCAGGCGTGCCTACTCGAGGGCAACGACGCGGCGGCGGCCGCGAGCCCGACGAGCCAGCCGCCGCGGCCCGCGCCGCGCCGGAGCCCGCGCTTCGCCAAGCCGCGGAGGCGGATGACGTGCGACCCGCGCCTGCTGAACCGCCTCGTCATGGAGCACTCGGGCGAGATCCCGACGATCCCCGAGGAGACGAGCGCCACGGAGTCGCTCACGTCGAACCCGTACCGCGGCCGCGTCCGTCGTAGGTGCCTTCCGACCGATTGGCGCAACGGTAGCGCGTCAGATTCCAGTCCTGAAGGTTACGCGTTCGAATCGCGTATCGGTCACTGCCAGCTCGTCGATGCGCGCTGCCGACGGTCCACCCACAGGCTCACGAGCAATCTGACGAGCAACCCGGCGACGAGCAACCTCACGAGCGGCGTCAGCAACCTCACGTCGGGCACGGGGCTCGAGTCCTTCGAGGAGAGCCGCGCGGCGGCGGCGCACGAAGATCCACAAGAGAACGAGGACGACGACGACGACGAGGACGACGTGAGCTACGCGCGGCCCGTCGCGGCGCGTTCGTCAATTGCGTGGACCTTCGACGAGACGCGCGCGACGATGCAGGAGCTGCGGCGCCAGCTGCAGATCGAGAAGGAGGTGTCGCGCGACGCCGAGCGCGAGCGCGACGAGCTCGCGCGCGAGTTGAGTGGAATGCGCGCGGAGCAGGCCGCTAGAAGCGAGGTGCAGCAGGCGCTCGAGGCGCAGCGCGACGCGGCGGCGGCGCGCGCGTCGTCGGCCGAGGGCCGCGCGACGCGCGCGGACGCGGCGCTCGGCCGGCAGTCCCAGGAGTTCGCGGCCATCGACGCGGACCTCGCGGCGCGGGAACGGGAGATTGAACAAAGCGCCGAGCGCGTGAAACTCGAGGCCGACGCGCGCGTCGCCGCGGCCGAGCGCGACAAGGCCGAGGCCGAGGCCGAGCTCCTCGCGTTGAGGGACGAGGCGGCGGCTTTACGGGCGCGCGTGGCGCAGCTCGAGAAGGTCAAGATCACGTCGGGCCTCGCGGCGAAGATCCAGAAGGTCGTTCAGGAGCGCGACGAGTTATTGGCGGCGGCGCGCAAGGGCGGCCGGTTCAACGACGAGAACGCGGCGCCGTTCGGCGCCGAGGACCTCTCCCAGGCCGGCGGCGAGTGCCGCCAGTCCTAGGTGACCTCCCCCGCGTAACGACCAAGCGTTACTACTCCTCAGGCTTACGCCTACTCCTTGACGCGCGCGCCGCCGCGTCGACGGCGTCGAGCCGCGCTTGCAATTCGGGATTTTTGGTGCCATCACGGTAGGCCATCCGGGCCTTGCCCGCGGACAGGGGCAAATCCACAGAAGGCGACCGGGCCACATGCTCACAATGTACGGTAGCCGGCGAAACACCGGTCAGCCCGACGCGCTGGGCGATGGACCCGTCGTAGGCGCGCGCCGGCGGGTGGCGCGTGACCGCTTTCTGTGGATTTTCCACTGTGTCGCACGCCGAGAACTCCAAAAAAGCGGTCGGAGACACGGGCCGGTCGTGATTAGGTACCAAGGCCGACGGCGGCGTGACGCCCCGCTTCGTCCCGGACGGCGTCGCGTAGCCTCCCCGAAACACGCGCAGGTCCAAGGTACCGCCCTGGATAACTGTACCGGGGCCCTTCGCGACTTCATAATGAGATTTGGGGGGTGCAAACCTCCCGAGCGGGCCCCGTAACATGCGTGCGAGCTTCCGCTTCGTCGCCCGATCTTCCGGAGAGAACTGGGGTCTTGGTAATTCTGGGCTCGCCATTGATTTCATTATCAATGCAGGTGGCACTTGTTCGTTCTTTGGCGGCGACGCGGCGACGTAGGCGTCCCGCAGCGGGCTATGTTGCGAGTCCTTGCCGGAGCACTCTGATCTATAAGCCTCGACCAAAGGGTGCTCCAATTCATTACTGCCCCGTCCATAGCTCGCGTCGAGCGCCGGTAATAGGTGGCCGTCCTTGACCTCCGCGCTTCTTACCCTTCCATCGTCGCTCTCCGACGGTAACGAGAGCGACGTCTGGGGCGAGAGGACCGGCGGGTCGCTCGCGTAGCGCGGGCGGCGCGGCGCCGGCATTTGTTTTTTGTCGTTTCCGGCTGCCCCTCCCTCGTTTTACGCTGCCCGACCGGCGCAGGTGCTGAATACGTTACTTGCGAAGTGTTCTTGCGCTACGGAGACGCCGTGCGCGGCTACAATGGCACGGAGAGCGGCTTGGCGCTGCGTTCGCGGAGGCCCCGGGTTTTGCGACGCCGTCTACACTTTACCACTCCTAGGGCAACACCTCTGCGCTCACTACTCTTCACGCGACCTTTGTTTGGAGCTCGGCGGCCCAAGGAGAGCTAAGCAAGCGGACAGGCGAGCAATTTGCTGCTTGACGTACGCGCGAAAACGCAGACGCAGCACTGCTCTCGCACGCTCACATCATCTCAAAAGCACCGCATTACTGCACCGCGAAAAGCGCCGCACCGCTAACACATGGCATCCACCACAAAAGACAAGCTCACCGCCGCCGCCGCGGGCGCGGCCATAGCGCTCGTCGTCAGCCGCTACCTCAAAAAGCAAGCACCGTATGATGCATCCCATGATGAAGTGAGAGCCATCGTCCGACCGAACATTAGGAAATTGGAGCCGTACCGGTGCGCGCGCGACGACTACGAGGAGGGCGTTTTGCTCGACGCGAATGAAAATGCCTACGGTGCGTGCGTGAAAAGCGACGAAGCCTTGGTGAAGGCGGCGCTGAAATTTGATTTACATAGATACCCCTGCCCGCATCAACGTACTGTCAAAGATCGCGTCGCGGCGTTCCGAGGTGTGAAGCGCGACAACGTGTTTGTCGGTGTGGGATCAGACGAGGCCATCGATTTGCTGTTCCGAGTGTTCTGCGAGCCGCGGACGGCGAATGTGGTCGTGACGCCGGCGACCTATGGCATGTACAAGGTGTGTGCGGCAACGCAAGATGTGGAAGTTCGAAGTGCCAATCTGCTGCCCGAGTCGTTTGACGTGGACGTCGACGCTGTGGAACGAGCTGTCGATGCGAACACGCGGTTAGTGTTCCTCTGCAGTCCGGGCAATCCGACCGCGAGACAAGTGCCTCGGAAAACGGTAGAAAGATTACTGGCTTCGCCCAAGCTACAACGAACAATAGTGGTCGTAGACGAGGCCTACGTGGACTTCGCGCCGGAGCCGTCGACCGCACCCTTGGTGAAGACGTACCCTCGGTTAGTTGTATTACATACGCTGTCCAAAGCCTTTGGCTTAGCTGGTGTAAGGTGCGGCACGGCGATCGGGTCTCCCGCTACCATACACTACATGAACGCCGTCAAGGCGCCCTACTCCATCAACAAGATGACGTCGTGTCTGGCCGCGGAGGCCCTGTCGTCTCCATCACTGGCGGCGTTGAAAGCTGTGGTAAAGGATACGCTGCGGGAGCGCGAGCGACTCGCGGCGCGGCTCGCTTCCTTACCGTACGTGTGCACCGTGTTTCCGTCGGACGCGAACTTTTTGTTGGTGCGCCTGAAGCAGCACGACAAGGCGAAGCCGCTGTACACGAAGCTGGCCGAGAGCGGCGTCGTCGTGCGGTACCGAGGCGACCAGGCGAATTTATCCGGGTGCATCCGCGTGACCGTGGGGACGCCGAGCGACAGCGACGCGCTGCTGAAGCTGCTGGGCGAGGTCGCGCCGTCGTTCGGTTTGATCTAAGATATCATGAGTTAACTTAGAACGAGGTAGTCTAGGACGGCCACGTCACGAGGTGCAGAGCGGGAGGGCGTCGCGGTTCGGCCGCGAACGAGGTCCCGCCCCGCGGCATGCAGAGGGAGATCAGTCAGAAGGGCCACGTCGCGAGGCAGAGTAATAGAAAGGCGATTTTGGATTGTTCGAGGCATAGCATCAAGACGGCGAGGCACCACAGGATTCGAGGCACGTGATTCACCGGCCGCGGCTTCTCCCGCCAGCGCACCAAACAAAGCACGGTATGTTCCATGTCGTGCGGGCTGTCTCCACTTTCCAAGGCAATACCTAATGAATCCTCCCTCTCCGAACAACGGCGGCCGATCGCGACCCCATCGTTCAAGCCAGACGGCACGAGCAGGTCGCCGCAGCGCACGGGCCCGCGGCACCGCACGGGCACCTGGCCCAGGAATGCGCACGTCGCGCCCGAACTATTTGCACAGGGCACGCCGGCGGCCAGAGATGGAGAGGTGGAAGTGACGAGGCACGGGCCCGATCCGCGCGTGTCCAGGGTCAATTTTCGGGCAGCGAGCCGCACGACCGTGCCCGGCGGTGTCACGCAACCATTCCTAGACTGCAGAATATCAGACCAGGGAAACCACTCCCCATAATCGGCGGCGCCGGGCGGCGTGACCAGCGTCCCGTGGATCCTCCCCGAAACGTAGATGGACCCCAAAAAGCGCACGTCGTCGGCCACGACGTGTTCCCCACGATGTGGAGACAGCGGCCTCTGTTGAAGGGGGGGCGACGGGCCGCCCACGCTGCCGGCGGACGACGCCCAGCCGCCCGAGGAAGAACCAGAAGCCATACCAGCTTGCAGCCAACGAGGAGACTCCTCTACATCACTTCCAGTAACACCGGTGGCGGAGGAGCCCGCGTCACTGCCAGCATCGTCCTCGTCCGAGCCCTTGGCCTTGTGGCGCTTGCGCGACTTGCGCGTCGCCACTGCTTGCTGGGGCGCGTGGGCCTCCTTCCATATTTGTACCAAGCTGCACTGGGCGTTTCTATCCGCAGCAGCGGGGCCGTCCGGGAGTCTCCTCTGGACCAAGGTGTACTGCCTCCCTCGATAGCCGTGGACCTGTCCCGCGCTCTCGCCCGACCTATACCTCCGCGCCATCGGCCGCGCACACACGCCATTCGCTGGTGAAAGCGGGTCCCACCAGCACTCGCCGTTCAGCGGCGACTGGAAGGCGACGGACACCGTGTTTGTGTTAGGTGGTCCCACGACGGGCGGCGCGCGTTCTCTGGAAACAAAAAAGGCGTCGTGGTCTTGAGCGAAGGCGGCGAAGGGGCTCGCTCGAGGTCGCACCGACACGGAAGCAGGAAAGGGCTCCTGGTCCGACCGCGAGAGGCGTCTTAGTACAGCATAGACGCCCTCCAGCGTCGCGACCTCGCCCTGTTGGAGGCGCCTGACAGCATCAGCCTCGGCCGCTTGTTCTGAAGCGGTCTGTTCCAGTGGAGGCGGCGGCGGGTTCGACGGCTGCGCCGCGGCCACGGCCTCGAAGGCGTCGGCCTTGACCTCCTCGTCAAAAACGCCGCCGCCCGTCGCGAAGAGGGAGTCCTCGAGCTGCCGGCCGTCGCCCGTGTCCTCGAAGCCGCTGCCGAAGTCGGTCCACTGGTCCGCCATTTGCCGCTGCTCGTGTTGGTCGTGGGCTTAGTGTTCTCCGCAGTGGGGTTGGGCAGTTGTTCTCCGCTGATTGCCGCCGCGGAGGCCCTGCTGCTCTCACAGGGCTGCTTGTGGCCCCCGGCGCCAGCTGCTGGGCAGCCCGCAGGCGCGCGGCGCGATTCCTGTGGATGATGTGGAGCCACCGACGGTGTCGATTGGCCTCTGACGAGATTTTACGCCTTGCGAATTTGACGTGATCTGCAGGACAACAGGAGCAGGAGCAGTGCCTGAGGCGTTTGGCATCTGCACGTGCCATTTCAGAGGCAATCCATTGGCAAGAGACGGGTGCGTGTGGGGGGTTCGAGTCCTAGGACGGGTTCTTCTCGTTTGAGTCTAGTGTGTATCATCTAATAAGGCATGGTTAAAGCCCCAACGTTGAATGTGCCGCCTAGCCTGCGTAGGCATCGCTACGCGATCTTAATAGACGTCCTGGTCACAATTGAACGGCCCGTCATCGCTTCGGCGCGCTCGCTGACTGCATCGCTCGGTGCCACTCACGCTGCTTGCTGCAGCAGCCTGCCAGTCGCCGCATCGATGCGGCGCGCCGTCTTCTCCGTAGCTGCAGCAGCACACTCGGCGCTCTCCATCAATGTGCCACGAGCCAAGGGCGGCGCACAAGTAGTTGGGCCGAAAATAGCGCAGCAGTTGGAAGCGCAGCTCGGCTACTGCCCGCTCAACGCCCTCGACGTCGTGACGACGACGGACGACGCGCCAGCCGTCGTGATCGCCCATCCGCTCCTGCACCGCAAAAAGAAAGTGGAGCCCTTCCCGACGACCTACTGGCTGGCGCACGGCGACATCGCAGCAGCCGTAGCGACGGTGGAGCGAGACGGCGGCGTGAGCGCAGCGGGGGCCGCGGTCGATAGTGACGCGATGGCGAGGGCGCACGCGGCCTACGCGGCGGACCGCTGGGCTTTGCTAGACGATGAGGAACGCGCGTTCGTCCAGGACCGCGGCTGGGACTCGTTGAGGACCGTGGGCGTCGCGGGCATCCGCGACGGCGGCACGAAGTGCTTGCATGCACATTATGCGCACTTCCTCGCGACGCGCGCGAACCCGGTCGGCGAGTGGGTCCACGAGCGGCTCCCCGAGGCCATCCGGGCGCTCTGTCCAGACTAATCTGTGAATTGTTACTACCGCCGCTCCCAGTTCTCTCCAGGCTCCGGCACCGACGCGAGCGCGCGAATCGTCGCCGCGAGCGCAATCAACCTAGCTTCGACGGCGGGCCACGGGTTTCTGAGGAGAAACAGCACGGGCAGGCGGAACAACCGCCCGCCCGCCGCGAGCGCGGACGCCGCGAACGGCTCCCGGACTTCCGCCCGCTGCAAGTGGCCGAGGGCAACTGAATAAGCATCCCGGGCGCCGTTCAGGTCACTTTTGGTCGCCAGCTGCTCGGCTACCTCTATATATTTGCGAGCATCCCGCAGACTCCACTCGTCAAAAAGGTGCGCCGCGAGCCACACAAAACTGAGCCACACCATGGTCAGCTTCGTCGTGTCCCACAGGAAACGGAGAATGGCATAAAAGCGGTCCCTATACACCTCGCCGCGCGTCGGCTCGTACTCCCAGTCGTCACTAGAGTCGCTCTGGAAGCTCCGGCGGCGCTGCGAGCCCGCGGAGCCGCTGCTCGTCGTGGGCTTGCGGCGGCGCGGCATTTTTTGTGGTTTTGCGGTAACGGAGGCGCTGCGGCAGCGTTCCTCGCGTGCACCGCCGCCCGATGTCGATGGCGACGCGCACGCGGGAGAGCGCTCGTCGGCGAGCGCGGCTGGAGTGAAGCAGTGAGTGGCTGTGCACTCTCAGTGCGCGCAGCGTCCGGAAAGACCTCGCGCGATCGATTGCGGCGTTCTAACGCTGTCACAAGCGTATAACGAATACGTCGTAAAGCTGCCGCGCGCTGGGTTATGCGCTGCTGCAGTCTGCTGCACTGAGAGCAAAGTCAATCGAGCGCTGGGCTGATCCGCCCGAATGAACTCGTCTACAGAACGGAGGGGTGATAACATGGCGTTTTATCGGCTCGAAAGGGAGAGCGGATAAAACCCGCACTCTCAGAGATCAGTCGAGCGCGGCGGCGGTCCCAGCTCGTATATACGCGCCCGCTGACCCCAGAAGGCTAGCGCTCGCGGACACAGCCACCTGCCAGTGCTGCGCGGCGAGCGAGCCAGCTCTTTCTGCGCGCGCGCGCCGCCAAGAGCCAGGAGAGCCAAAAGGCGTAATTTAAACCCAGCGCTGCGCCGCCGCCGCAACAAAACAAATGTGGCTCCTCACGCAAACAAACCCACCCCAAGACGGCTCGAAGCCGACCATCTTCCGCCTGCCGCGCGGCAGGTCCAACGTCGGCCGCAAGGACCAGCCGGTTTTGATCGCAGAAAAATCTGTATCTAGAAACCACGGCTACGTCACTTCTGATGGCAAAACGCTCAAAGTGGGCGACGGCGGCTCGAAGTTCGGGACCCACGTCGATGGGAAAAAAGTTTCCAGTGAATCGGAAGTGCAGGAAGGCCAGGTCATAAGGTTTGGCGGGCGAGAAGACGGCTCCGCGGACTTCCGCGCGTCCAAAGAAAGTGTCCTGATCGCCCTGACGGCGTGCGGCGAGAAGCATGCTGCCTTCAAAACGCAAGCGCTCACGTGCGGCCTCGATGTCATCGGCGAGCACGACGCGTGGCCCCAGGTGCCCATCGCTTGTGTTTCTACTGCCGATCCTTCCAAGAAGAAACCTTTCTCTGTTGCCTGTTTAAGAGCTGCTGCGTTGGGTGTGAAACTAGTGCAACCTTCCTACCTCGAGGCGTGGCAGTCTCGCAATCCCTTATCTGAAGCGCCGCCGGCCGTCGAGGACCACCTGCTGCCTTCCTCACAACTATTACAAAGGATCGGCGAGTCGTGTGCTTCTGCTCTGGAAAATCTACGATTAGTTTTCGTCGGCGACGCGCTAGGCGACCTGCAGCACACGCTCCAAAGTCTCGGTTTTAAGGACCAGTGCCCGTCCGTCACGAGAGCCCAGGCGTCCGCTACGACGCTGCCGGCGTGCCTACGAGGCTTCACTGGGAAAGTCGCCGTCGTCTCGGCGGACCCGTGCTTTGGGCCGCTCGCGCAGCCGCCGCGCTTCTTCGAGGCCGAAAAGTTGGTGGCGGCTTTAGTTGATGGTGCACCTTTAGCTTCGGTCGACGCGGCGTCGCTGGTGCCTACGCCGGCGCCTCCTGCGCCGGCACCGAAGCGGTCGAAGCGCCGCACCGACGAGACCGACGACGGCGCGGAGCCGGAGCCGGCGCCGGCGCCGGCGCCGCGGCGGTCGCCTAAAAGAAAAGCGAGGGAGGCGCCTTCACCAGCACCGAAGCGGTCCAAGACCGACGAAGATTTTGATGAGGCCGCCGCCACGCGCGCGGCGAAGAAGCTGAAGGTCGCGGAGTTGCGGGCGGCGCTCGAGGCCCTGGGCGAGGCGACGGACGGCACGAAACCTATCTTAGTCGAGCGGCTCGTCGACGCGCGGCGCCGCGCGGCGGCAACCCCCGCGGAGCCCTCGCCGGAGCCCCCGCCGCCCCCGTCGCCGGAGCCGTCGCCGGCGCCGCCGCCGGAGCCCTCGCCGGAGCCGTCGCCCGCGCCGAAGCGCCCGCGTCGCTCGCCGAAGCGCAAGGCCCGCGAGGAGCCGTCGCCGCCGCCGAAGCGCCAGCGCGCCGCAGAAGAGGAGGCGCCGCCGCCGCCGCCGCCGGAAGAAGATGATGAAGACGAGTTCGACCTCGCGGCGGCCATGGACGCGCCGCGCGCCGCGCCGGCGCCGGCGCCTCAGGCCGCGTCGCCGTCGCCGCCACCTAGAAGGAAGCGTCGAGCTGCCGAGGAAGAAGAAGAGTCGCCGGCGCCTGTACCAAAGCGCAAGAAGAAGCGGCGCGAGGAAGAACCCGTGGTCCAAAGGCGGGGCCCCACGCATGTGCCGCCGCCTTCACAAAGAAAGCCCGCCGACACGACGGGCGGCGGCTGGCTGAGTACGTCAGAACACGCCGTCGCGAATGATGAGGGAGGCGACGTCGACCCGGAAGCGGCGCTCGCGGCGCAGTTAGCTGACCAGGAGCCCGAGGTCGTCGAGGAGGCCCCGAAGCCGAAGGCGAAGCGGGGCGGCCGTGCGACGAAGCCGTCGAAGGCCGAGGAAGCGAGGCAATTGGACGCCTTCGCCGAGAGCGGCGCGCGCGATAAAGAATTAGACAAGGCCTACGCGAACTGCGTGGCTCCTCGGGCGCCGACGGTCGTGCGCGATCTCGTCGTGCCGCGGAAGGAAAGGCCGGCCACAGCTTCCAAGAAGAAGAAGGGCCCCAACTTCAAGAGGTTCCGCAAGAACGCCGTCCGCGTCGCGCCCGCGTCGGACATCGTGACGGGCGATTACCTGGACAAGCTTGCTGCTGCGGAAAGCGAGACCGAGCTGCAACTACGACGGGACGCGGCTGCTCTCGCGCAGGAGAAGGCTCGGGCGGAGGAGGACTGGGACGACGACGCGGCGCCCAAACCTAAAAGGAAGCCTGCGGCGCGGAAGCGGCGCTGATGGGCTCCTAGGCCGTGTATAAGGTGTGATATACTTATCTAATCGTACTGTGTAGGGCGGCTTCCATGGATCGGACCAGAGAGTTTGGTCAGTACCTGGAACCGGCTTCCATGTATGCTTCGAAACTGCGTCTCCGCCGCGAAGAAGGAGGATTTCACGGGCCTCATCCGCATCCTCATCACTCTCACAGTGTAACCAAGTATAAAAGTCGGAGAACACACGCAGGCGCGGGCACCCCCGCACCAACCGCAGCACGTGCTCTCCGCCCAGATCGAGGCCACGGTCCGTTTTAGAGATTTCTATCTCCTCGAGCGACGCCGCGCTGGAGCTACCAAGGATACCGTCAACGATTCCAGGGTCGTCACCAATTTGATCGCAATCTAGGGCTACAAGGCACCTCAGACTCAAAGACGAGCATGCTGCTGCGATGTGGCTATCTTCTGTGGTCTCGGACGCACAGAATTCGAGATAAGCGAGCTCGGGGCGCGCATGCGCGAGCGCTTCATAGAACGCGACGCCTCCAAGCTCATTCTTGGGAAGAACTAACACCCGTAGCTGGGGAAACCCTCGCGCACAGGCCAAAAGATCATCGGCATCAACTTGACCATCACGAAATGACAGGGCCCGGAGCCGGGTCCCGAACGGCGTGCCAATGAACAGGTCAACGACGGGGCGCGCAATTTGGCACTGATTACAATACAATTCGACGGCACTTGCGCACACGCGCAATGTCTCCGATATGGCAGCTAAGTCGGTGGGAACATAATCATCAGTCAGCTCACCACTTCTATCCGGACTTAGGTGCACCTGGCGCAGTTTGGGGAAGCACCTTGCCCAGGTCTCGGCGGGGCTGACCTCATCCCAACCAGAAAATTTGACATCCTCCAACAGCGGACACGCGCTACCAATGGCAGCGGCTCTCTCCATAGTGATGCAGACGTGTGACGAAGCGTCGAGGGACACTAGGTTAGGCGCCGTCCTGCACCACTCGACGAGAAAATTGTCTCTTGGAAGGCTCTGGCCATTCAGGACGGCATAATTAGGTGTGGTAGACCATTCAAGATGACGGCACGCGTGGCCAAACGCACGCGCCACGAGCATCCGCGACTCCATCGATCGAGTAGATCTCAACTGCACACGAGAGCACCCAACGTGTGACCCCGCGGCATACCGAATCGCATCGCGGCAATGCGTCGACTGGCAGCGGAGGCCCAGGAGCTCGTGACCGTGCAAGTAGCTGGTGATATGGCAGAGCGCGTCCCGCGGCAGGGTGTCTAGAGCTATGACCTGCTCAGGCGGCTGAGCCATTTTTTTTTAGCCGCAGTTCTCGTCGCAGCGCTATCCTTCGCAAGTACTGCTCCGCTGCGGTTCGCGGCGCCCCCTGTGAGCTCCGCTGTGGACAATTTGGCCCAGCAATTATGGTCGACTCCAAGACTCCAAAGTCGACCCGAATTGCTAGTGCCTTACATACCGCTAACTCATTTTTTCGAGCAGTTTCGAGCCCGCAGGGCCATTGGCAGCATAGAGAGCAATGAGAGCGCTACTTACATTCGCATTGCTGGCCTGCAGCGCGCGGGCCGGCTGGTTCAGCCGCGGTGGCACTGAAAAGCCAGATACCAAAAAAGCAGCCCCAGCAACACCAGCCGCGCCCGACGCCGCCGAGAAAAAGACAAAGGCGCCGCCGCCGCCGCCCGTCGAAGAGCTGGCCGCCGCCGAAAGGGACCACACCTGCGCCGCCGGCCTCGTGTTCGATGTCTACGCGAACGGCGCGTCTGAAAATCCGGTCAGAGTAGAAATGTCCGGCGGCCAGTGCGAGACGGTAGCGGCCTTCGAAGCTGCCGTGTCGAGAGCGGTTTGTGAAGATACGGCGGCCTGTCATGTGCGAGACGGCGCCGGGAGAAGAGTACGGCGCTGCTCCGAACTCTCGAGAAACAGCGCCGAGGCGGGCGTCCAGCCTGGATTAATCCCGCGGGCCTACGGTGTCAGGAGAGACATGCGCTGGGTCTTTCCGACGGAGGAGGTTGGTTATAAACGATACTTACCCCACCTGCAGATCACGTTAACGACGCTCGCGGAGGAGCCTCGACTTTTCGCCCTCGACAACTTCCTGACCGAAGAGGACGCGTCGCAGCTCATCGAAGACGCCCTAGCTATTTCTGATGATGAGCACAAGCTGACACGGAGTAGTGTGGGCGCCAAGGGCTACACGGTGTCCTCCACGAGAACGTCGGAGAATGCTTGGGTCAAAGATACAAAAACGGCCATGCGCATGAAACGTCGAGCGTTTGAATTACTGGGCTTCGACCATTACGACGAGCGCATGGCCGACGGGCTGCAAGTTCTCAGATATAACAACACGAATGGCTATGCGGCGCACAAGGACTACTTAGATAGGCCGCGAGGTTTGTCGAGGGAAGCGATGGAGCCGTCCCTGGGTGGTGCTAATAGACTCGCGACGGTGTTCTTGTACTTATCCGACGTGCAACACGGCGGCCAGACGGTCTTTCCTCACGCGCCGCGGCCTTCGATTGCATCATCATTACCAGCTTTGGAGTCCAGACCGTTAGATGACGAGGTCATTGGACTGAGAGACGCTATAGTATCAAAAGATGAATACACGTGGGAGCCCCGTTTGATCGATGAGTGCTATACCAAATTAGCAGCAGCCCCGAAGAAAGGTCGCGCGATCCTCTTCTACAGCCAACATCCGGATGGTACGTTGGACAACATGGCGACGCACGGCGGCTGCCCCGTCCTCGAGGGCACGAAGTGGGCGTCGAATCTGTGGATCTGGAACAAGGCGATGCCCTTTGGTTCTTCTCGGTTCCAGTCAAAGGACGACGATTCAGGAGATAGCTCAGGCGTCGACGTCGAGGTCTCTACTACTGGTGTCAGTGCCGAAGTGTTCTGGGTTGGTGGCGGCGGCGAGGAGGCGCCCATGGGGACGGTCTCACAGGGAGACAACCTGCGGCTGAACTCGTTCGTGGGACACTCGTTCGTGGCGCGGCGGAATGGCGCGGAAGTTTCTAGGTATACGGTCGCGCGGGGGGCGCAGGCGTGGGCCGTGCCTCCGTAAGTTTATCGTGTGGTTAGCTTGCCTTTGGGGCCGCGTCGGCGGCTTCTTGCGGACGGCTATTCACGCAGTTTTAAGGCTCAGGCTCAGTTCGTCGCGTATTTAAATACTAGTGTGTTACTGGTCGCTAGATAACTCCGGCTCGAGGAGGTCAAAAGGCACAATCTCCCGCTCGCAGCTCTATCGCCTTTGCGTCAACTGAACACGTGCGCTGCTTCAGCGGCGCCTGAGAATTAGCCCTCGCCGCGCGGCCTTTGCGCGGATAATTGCGACAAACAGGGTGACCAGGCCGTCTGCCCAATGTTTGGGCCGCTACCTCACGACACAGGCGCAGTATATCAAGCTTGTTACAGGCTCGATGTTGACGCGCTGCGGCGCGCGTTGGCGAACTTGACGGCCGAAGCCGACCTATCATTCCGCCGGTTGGGGACCGCAGGCCATGTCGGTTTCACCCCACTCCATATTATCGTCGATCGCAGTGATAACGCGGAGATGGTTTCAATGTTGTTAAAAGCAGGGCACGACATCAATGCTCGCACTAACACTGATGGCCCGACAGCCCTTCACATAGCAGTAGGCCACGGCAGAGTAGATTGTGTCGCGGCCTTGCTCGCCGCCGGGGCGTCAGTCACCATAAAATATGATGGATTGGAGCCCATCGATGAAGTGACAAATAATAACTGCCGGCGGATTGTCCCCATGCTTCGTCGGGCCAGCTCCGATGGGGTCTATTTGGACCAACAGCGACCAGGCACTTCTGATCCGAGGTTCTGGTTTCATGATTGGGACGGGCGGCCGTATCACGAGGAAAACTATCAAATTCTCTCGACTTACTTCATGAAGATTTTTATGTCGAACTCAGGGTCGAAGATATTTTTGTCAGGCCCAGCGGGTCATGGTCCGGGGACCTTCGCGACCTACGAGAAGGCCCACCGCGCGCGCCTCACCAAGACCTTCGTGCCCAAATTCCCGCAACTCCCGCCGGACGTCATCCCGACGATCGTCGCGTTCGCCTTCCACACGGGCTGGTACTAACTCACACTTAATCGTTATCGTAGCACGCGTGGTAGAGCCGCGCGACGTCGGCCTCGGACGGCACGAGCGGGTTGTTCGCCGGCGACCCCGACGCGAGCGCGTCCCGCGCCATGCCGGGCACGGCGTCCCTAAACATACGCTCGTCGACGCCGCGTTCTAGCAAAGCGTCGCGGAGCGACGGCACGCCCAGGGAGGATGCGAGATCATGAAGCGCGGTCGGCAGGTCGCCGTCGAGCCCGAGCGCCTCACTACATTGCGCGTACCGCTCGCGAGCACCCTCCAGGGAATAGGCCGTGACCGCGGGCATGAGCACGGCGTTCGACCGGCCGTGCGCTAAATGAAAACGCGCGCCGAGCGGCCGCGACATGCCATGAATCAGCGTCACGGACGACACGGAGAAGGACACACCGGCCAGAAACGCCGCGCGCGCCATGCCGTCCCTTCCTTCTGCCTCGTCGTCGACCGCGCTCCGCAGGTGGCGGCCGATGCCTTGTAAAGCGTCGAGCGCGAAGCCGTCCGCGAGCGGTGAGCTCTTTTTAGATACAAAGGCCTCCATGGCGTGGCAGAGCGCATCCACACCAACGTCCGCCGTCAGTGCTTTGGGAGAACCGTCCGCGAGGGCCCCGTCGACAATACAAGCTGCTGGGACGAACGCCGCCCCGGCGCACAGCATCTTCTCGCCACTCTCGGAGTCCGTGACGACGGCGTAGCGCGTCACCTCCGCGCCCGTGCCCGCCGTCGTCGGCACGGCGACCATCGGTAGCGTTGGTGGCGTATCCGTCAGGACGGGAGCCTTGTAGTCGCGGCATTTTCCGCCGTTTTCGGAAAGCACGACGGCCAGCTTCGCCGCGTCTAAGGGACTGCCGCCCCCTATGGCTAAAACGCCGTCCGCGCCGGAGCTCGACAGGGCCGCGGCCATCGCGTCGACGCGATCCGACGTCGGCTCGTCAACCTCGTCGGCGTAGACCTCTCCACTTAACTCATTACTGTCTAGGACGCTTCTGGTCAATGCTTCGAGGTTCTTGTCCGTGACCACGAAGGGTTTTGAGACGTTGCACTGCTGCAGCACGCTTCGGAGCTGCGTTTTTGCTGCGCCGCGGCCTAGAGCGACGATGCGCGGAAAAAAAGCCGTGGCGCTCGCCATGCGTGCACTTGCAGCGGTGCGAGCCGCGGAATTGCAGCTATGCGGGCTGTGGCACGGCTGCAGCGGCAGAGCTTGGTGAGTGCACTGCACAGCGCGCACAGCCGTCGAGTTGGACGGCACCGGTCGCACAGCACTGGTGCCAGAGTCCGGGAGGTCAGACGGCAGGCTTCAATGCCGCACTCAGCTTGCGGTGGGGCCTGCATCGACGCCGTAGTTTGTGTGTGCTTCTAGTGTCTTACGGCCGCTAGGGGAATTTTTCTGATCTGTGTTTAGATCGACTCCGTGGAGAGCCGACCGGTGGAAAGAGCTTCCACGGACGACGCGCGTGCGGGAGAGCCAAGGAGCAGCTTTGCAGGCAAGAGGCTGGGTTTGCGGGCGAGGAGCGTAATTATGGCAGCGCTAGCGGAGACCCCAGCACCCCCGACGACGACTACGATCACAGATGTTACCGCGCGAGCAACAAACGCGGCTGCAACCGTCCCTCCGGCGACGGTAGCACCTGCAACCCAACCCAAAGCAGGCCCGAGCGGCGCGACGCCCCCTTCCGCGACCGCACCCGGGCCGGCACGACCGCCCGCGCCGCCCCCGACCGCGGGCCCGTCCAGGGGCGCCGCGAGCCCCCGCGCGGCGGGCACCTCGAGACCCGGCCGCGCGCAGACGCCCTGCGTCTTCTTCGCCAAGGGGAGCTGTCGGAACGGCGCCCACTGCCCCTTCGCCCACATTAAGGCGGAGGAGCTACCGGACGTGTCCAAGCTAGAAGTCAAAGAGGAACCACAAGCGCCGGACTCGCCGCCGAGGCGGCCGTCCGGCGTCGCCATCTGCCGCTTCTTCGCGCAAGGGCTGTGTCGGAACGGCGCGAACTGCCGCTTTTCCCACGGCGAGACGAAACAAACAGCCACGGGCCCGGCCCTATCGGCCGAGACCTCATTACTGCTAAGACGGTTAGAAACGGGAGAACTACCGATGTACGCCCTGGATGTCGAATGTGTGGCCACGGGCAAGACCCATAATGATAGGGCAGTGGCGCAGATCGGTCTCGTCGACGCGTACGGGCGGTGCGTCCTGAACGTTTATGTGAAGCCGAAAAAAGAAGTGGTTTCCTACTTGACACCATTGACTGGATTGACGGCGGCGTTGATCGATGAACGAGGAGTCCCGCTCGAGGAGGCGATTCGGGTCCTACGATCGCGACTACCCTCATCAGCGGCATTGGTGGGTACAAATATCGGCCAGGACGCGAAATGGCTCGGACTCACGGCGCCGGGCGACTGCGCGTTGCTCGTGGACCTGGCGGCGTTGTTCCGAGCGTGGGACGGAAGTAGATACGTCTACTTCAGCCAAGACCACTGCGCCAAAGTGTGGCTCGGCGCCGTGCGGCCGCCGAACGTCGCCCACGACGCCGTCGGGGATGCGGCGGTGTCCATGGCTCTCCTGGGTTGTTATATGAGGATGCCCGATTCCGCGAAAGCCCAATGTCATGCGCGAGCCTTGGCGACGCCGCGCGATCCCTCGTTTGCTGTCAAGCATCCCTCGTTCGAGGGCGTGTGCCAAGGGAATCGGCGGCTTTGTACTTGTGGCGCGCCGCACTTCTCGTGAGGTGTCGCGTCGATAGCGCCGCCACGCCATCGAGCAGTGCCGCGTCGATGGCGTCGAGCAGTGCCGCGTCGACGTGGAACGCCCTCCACGCTCAGGCGACGGCGCGAGGACGAGATGTCGCACCGCCGCCACGCCACCGAGCAGACGCGGCGCACCGAAAAAAAAAAACGTATTCGTTCGACCTCTTGGAGGAATACACTAGAAAAACCGACGGCCGGCGACGCCCCATGCCGCAACAGATATGGAAAGGCCCGGAGATAAAAATAACTGACGCCCCGCCGCGGAGATTAACGTCCGCCGCGGGCGCGCACGACGCCTGGGAGACGGCGCGCCCTTTACGCCACGACTAACTTACTGGCGGCTAGTCCTAGTCTACGCCCAGATGCCATGGCATGCTTCCATATACAACGTCTCTTACCAGAGGTCAGGGCGCGGCGGGCGTCTCACAACTGCAGCGCAGCCATCGGCGACGGCGGGGAGAAGTCCCGGAGCGACTTCCGGGACGGCGTCCGCTGCGCCTGGGCGAAGCCGTCGCTCGACGCGATGACGACGAGTAGCGCTCTGATTGGATCGGCCTCCCCCGCAACCCTCCCAGTACCGTGGGCCAGGCCGACGCGCGCGAGGGCCAGACAAAAGTCCTCGAAGTCCAACTCCTCCTTCGGCCCGAGCACCGCAATCACCTCGTCGACGTCGTCCGTGAGCGTCGGCACGAGCGCGCAGTCGACGGCCATAAGCCCGAACGAGTACTGGTTCATCAGGCCCTGGTCGCCGTAGGCGTCGAAGAGGCGCTGGATCTTGCGGCCGACCTGAGCGATCCGCGCGGCGGCGGCCGCCTCCTCGCGGTTCTCGGCGGGCGACGCGATGCGGTTGAAGCCGCGGTCCGCGGCGCGGTCCCGCAGCGGCGTCGACGGCGTCGCCGGCGCCGACCACGTCACGATCGCTCGGGGCGGCGTGACCGGCGTCGTCGGCGAGCGGTCGCCCTCGGCTGGACGGTACTCGATGGCCTTCGTGGGCCGCTCGAGGGAGATCCGGCGTGGCCGCCGCCACCGTCGAAACGCGCTCCGGCGCCAGCTCTTGAGCATCGTCGACGCGAGGACGACGCATGCGAGGCGCTGGCCGCGCGCCGACGCCGCCGCGGCCCGCGCCAGGATTTGTGACGAGAGGCGCTCGGCCGCCGCCGCGCGCGACGCCTCTAGATTGAGACGCCAGCGCATGAAAGCCCGAGTCCGCGCCTTCGTTCTGTTTGCGCGGAGGCGGCTCACGAAATTCACCAGGGCCGAGAGCTGGCGCTTCTTCGACATAGTTTTTTTAGAGGATGGCATTTTTTTAGGCCTCACTGTTTTTCAATGTTTTACTAGTCTAACGATGAGATTCGAGTTCCGAGCCGACCCGTGCGACACACACGGAGATAGAGACAAGGCGTAGAAGCGCACAACCCCGATGAAACAGGTGCAGACCCCCCAGTTTGCCGGGACTTTTGCCGGCGCCTAGCGGCCTGTAGAGACACTAGCAAGCCGCCCCAGGAGAGGCTCGGCTTTTTCGGCTTAAAGACGCTGCCCCCCCACGCCGCCGCCGCGACGCGCGGGCACGACGCCACCGCACCGATTCCACCGTCGGCCACCGCCCGAGAAAAATGGCGGAGCAGCGCAACGTCTCCTACGACGACACGAGCAGCGGATGCATGACTTTGTTGGACGGCGACGGCGACCAGACGTCCTGGCTCGGCTGCGTGATGGGCTGCATGGAGAGGCCGCCCGAGGACGAGAACGAGCGGAAGCCGTCGCAGGCCGCCGGGGATTTGCTGGCGCGGGCCGAGACGGAGGAGCGGCGGGGCGCCTACGGGGCCGCGTCCGAGTTGTATAGGAGGGCTTTACGTTTAGATCCAGCGAACGCCACAGCCCACAACAACTTTGGCTACCTCTGCTCGACGCATACCCGTGATTTTGCCAATGCGGAATACCACTACAAACTGGCCATCGAATGCGCTCCGGACTATGCTTTAGCACATAACAATTTAGCTTACTTTCTGAAGAAGAACAAGCGCGACCTCGAGGGTGCCGAAAAACATTATCGCGAGGCGATTCGGTGCGACCCGCACTATGCGTTTGCCCACTCGAATCTAGGGGTGCTGCTGAAGTCGAAGCGGGACTTCGAGGGGGCCGAGAGACATTACCTCGCTGCGGTTCGGGCAAATGCTCGCTACGCCCCGGCGTTCCTGAACTACTCTTTACTCCTGAAGAACTACGACGAGGCGGCGTCGCGCGATTATCTGGACGAGGCGATTCGCATCGATCCTGCTTTGGCGGAGACGGCGGCGGCGAAGTCGCTCGCGCGCGCGTTCGGGGACCGGCCGGCGCGGCCCGCCGGTTCGAGATTAGAGCACGTCGAGCGCCTGTCGTCGAAGGCGATGCTCCGCTGATGTTTAGGGTAAGCTCCAGTGCTCACCACCTCCCACAGATCCGCCCCGTCCGCTCACTGCGTCCTTCGGTCGATGCGTCGCGGCGACGGCGTGCTGGAGGGGTAGATGTACGCCCGCCACGACGCCATCGCTGCGACGGACGCCATCGACGAAGCCGCAAACCTGGGACGAGACCTAGACAATCCCGGCCTTACCCGAAGAAGACCGCGGAGTTGGGGAGAGGGGAAACACAGTCAGGCCATCGCGCCCGAGAAGGTCACGTCCGGCGTGATCGGCACGTCGGCCTTCTTCTTGTCCTGGCGCTCCGTCATCTCGGACCACGCCTGCGCCAAGTCGGCTTTTTCGTTGCCCTTCCTCACGACACAGCGGTCGCCCCGAGCCACGCGCACGACGGCGCAGCACCCTAGTAATGCGCCAGTAACTAGTAAGGCAGTAACAAGTAAAGTGGCCGCAGCCCCAGTGTCCTCGTCGGGCTCGACGGCAAAAGGGTCCGCGGACTTGACATACCCTACGGTAGAAGCCTTCTTCTCCTCGTCGTCGTGCCAGTCCTCGAAGTGCCTTCGTTCATCGTCGCCGTCCGCGAAGTAGTCGTCGTCCCAGTACCTGCGCGGAATGGCCTCAAACTCGAAAAAGAAACCACCCACTTCCATCGTTCCTGGAGACGAGTCGTATTGAAGTGAAGGCACCGACGTGGGACGCCGCGAGCGGACCAGTTGCTCTCGTCGTCGTCCCACCACGTGTCGTCCTCGTAGGTGCTGAAGTTGCCCTTGGACGCGGGACCGCAGTCCTGGCAGTCCGTTCCTAACGCGCATTCTCCGCCCTGGCGCGGGTCGTCGCAGAAGCCATCCCTAGCATACGCGCACGTGTTGTCGCATTCTACTTCTTCAACTTCTTTTTGTGTGGCATCCCCATGCAACGGTTGGCAGTCCGTGCAGTCCGTGCCGTAGGCGCAGGCCGGTAGACTACCTTCGTCGTCCCAATACTGGCCGTAAGCGTCGTCATAAAAACCCGCGTAGTAGTTGTCGTCCCCATACCTCCCCCCCCAGTCATCGTCCCAACCATACTCATCATCTTCGACCGCCGGCTGCGTGCCGTCGTCACACACACCGTCCAGGGCCCACTCGCAGGAATCGTCGCAGATATCACCATCCGGTTCCTTGACGACTGTCGCCACAACTATCGGTTTGTCGAAGATGACCTCGCCCGCACCCGAATCTACTTTGGTTACTTTGAGCTCGACGCCTTTGTCATCTTTCAGGTCGTCGCACCACGCTCCATCTTCTTTGAGTTCCAATGTTACAGACCACTCGGTGGCCTCGATCACACTGTACTTGGCGGCTCTAGTTGGCTCTAGGGTCAACGACGTGCCGTCCGGCGAGAAGCCCGAACCTCGCACCACCAATCTCTTCGAATGCGTGCCGTACAGCTTGAGCTCGGGGTGGGCGTCAACCACAGGATCGCGGAGGACCGTCGCGACGCCGACACCTTGACCGTTCGCGAAGGTTCTTTTGGTTTTATCCCCACAGGTGATCTGCGTCACGTATAGAACACCTACCGGCCAGCGCTGCTTGTCCTTTAATTCCATCTGGATCTCGGTCGGCGACGCCTTCGTGACGGAAAAGACGTCGGACGAGATGCCCTGCTTGAATTCGACCTTCGCGTCCTTTCCACTATACCCTTTCTTGCACAGCGAGGTCCCGGAGATCTTTAAATGGCGTAGTGCAGGAGTCTCGTACAAAGTTTGAGTAGACGCGGTAGGCGAGATCTGCGCGCCGGACTCGTGCAGAGCGTCCTCCTTGATCGTGCCCAGCACGCGGGGCATCGCCTTCGAGACCGTCGGGGCCGGGCCGGCGCCCGTGTCGAGTGCGACACATTTTAACGTGCCTCCTGCCTTCGACGCCCACGCTTTCCCATCTCTTAAAGCTACTCTAGCATGGGTAGCATTGAAGACACTTAACAAGTAGTCGACGAAGGGCCTCAGCTCCAAAGAACCGTCCGCAGACTCCCCAACAAGGCTAACAGTCGTAGAGCCGCGCACGAAGCCACCACCCACTAACCATAACTCATGGGTCAAGGTCCGGTAGATCTCCCGCGTCTGGTCCGAATGGAGCGAGGGATCCGCGTAGATCGTCGCGACGACGCGGCCCTTCTTCGCATCCGTGGCACCGACCGGCACGAGGCCCGCGCCGGCGTCGACCGCGAGTAGCGTGAGCGGCCCAGGTAGGTTCGCGGCGTTCGGCCGCCACTTGCTACCAGCTAATAGCGATAGCGTGAGAGCATTTGTGGTGGCGGAAGTAACGGTATAGTTCACGCCTCGGCCCTGGAGCTTGTTGCCCCACCGGAGTCGATTCATGGGCGCCGTCTCGTTGAAACCATGACCAATAACTTTGAGCTCGGGCGCTGACTGGTAGTATTTTTTATCTGACGTAGTTTCTACCGTAACACCATGTCCACCGAGGTTCGCTTGCACTTCGGCCACCGTCACTCCCCCAAATTTGGCGTCGATTCTTAATGCCCCAGCACCGGTGTCGATGCGCTTGAGTTTGAGGGGTCCTGGATTGCCATCAGATCTCCACTTGCGCCCCGTTTTTAGCGACAATTGAGCCACCTTGGGCGACTTGATTTGTAGGACATAATCGACATCTTGATAGAGCGGCGGGTCAAACGTCAACTGCGTCTTCTTCGCGCGGAAGGCCGTGCCGTTTATGAGTAGTTTCAGCGAGGCCGACATGTAGAGGAGCCGATCTTCGTGTTTCACTACGGTAGGTGTGCTCAACACCGTCGCGGCCACGACGGGCTCCTCCAGCAAATTCTGGTCGCCCTGCGTGTCGTCTCTGTACTCCGTGAGGTACAAAGACGACTCCGATAACCCTTCGCCGAGCGGCCACGTCGCTGAACCCTTGAGCAACACCGAGAGACTCGTCTCCGACGTCACGAGGACCGAATACTTGGCCGGGTCCAACGCCGGCACGAAGGTGAGGTGGATGTTCGTGCCGTCGCCTGCAAACCCTTCGCCCTGCAGTCTTAGTTTCGGGGTCACGGTGCTGTAGACCAGGGCGTTGCGCGACGTGACCTTGACGGCCGCGGCGGTGCTGACGAGCGCCAGGAGGCGCATCATCATCGTTTTTGACTGGCGCGCCGGCAATTTTTTTTTTTCAGTATCAACTGAGCTGCTTTGTCAGCGACGGCGCGGCGTTAGCGCTGCGTCGGTTGGATCGCTGGCGTTGCGCGATAGCAATACCGAGACGCCGCGACGTAGAATGCACTTCGGGTGGCCGCGGCGATGTCGCGTCGGCGCTCGGCAAAATTGATGAAACCTCTAGCTTGACATACTAGGACGAAATTTACTCAGCCGATTACGAGTCCAAGTAAGCCTCCGAGCCCCGGTAACGCTCCCGCGCCCAGGCCTCGGCGCGACGCGCCAGGTCGCGGGTCTGGAGCGCCGTCGAGCGCCCGAGCGCCGAGCGCATCGATTTTGCGCACTCCCCGGCTCGGGCGAGGTCCGGGCAGCCAAGCACTTGTGCGCAGCAAGAGAGGCAGCCTCTCGCGCGCGCCGCGCTCGGAGCGGAGCACCGCTGCCGCTGCCGCTTGGGACGAGCCTGCTCACTGCTCGGGCGCCGCCGCGGCGCCGATGGAGGACGGCTGGGTCGAATACGTCGACCCGGCCACCGGCCACCCCTACCTGTACCATGCGGAGAGCGGCGAGAGCCGCTGGGTCGTGGCCAAGCCGCCCGCGCCGCCCGCGGGCAGCCCGAACGGCCACGCGAACGGCGCATCGTACGCCGCCGCCGCGCCGCACGACGCCGCCGCGGAGGCCGACGCCTCGTCGTCGTCCGCGTCCTCGTCGTCGTCCTCCTCGGACGACGAGCGCGGCATCTCTGATGATGAATTTGACGACCCCGACCTCGAGGCCAAGTTCCGGCGCATGCTGGAGACGCCCGAGGGCCGGGAAGCCGTGGACGCGGAGCGCGCGCGGGCCGAGCGGTTGGTGGACCGGCGCGAGCGCGAGCGCTACGAGGCGTGGCGGCGGCGGCGGCGGCGGCAGAGTGGTGGTGGCGGTTTCCTGTCGACGCTGGCGACGCTGGCGACGCTGCCCCTGAAGGTCTCGTTCGGGGTGATCCGGTGGGGCTGGAACCGGTGGCGGCGGCCCGAGGCCGCGGGCGACGGGTCCGAGGTTGTGTAGTTACTTTTGTCATTTTTTAAAACATGGCGTGGAGAATTTACCGCTCCGGCTCCATTTCGACGACGACGCCCTCGACGGTCGGCTCCTCGCCGCCGCCTTCGACCTTTCCGCCCGACGACGACCCGCCGCCATGCACCTCGATCTCTGGATGGACCGCCGTTGGGACGGGCGGGTAGAAGAAGGTGTGGTACATCGTCGGCGCATCGCCGTTGAAGGAGGACGTAAACGTTAGACGCAGGTAGCGGCCGAGCTTCATCGGGGCCCAAGACCAGTGCTTCACGGCAGGATCCGGCTCGGAGACACGCGCCCACGGCACGTCCTCACCCCACGCGGCGTCGGCACTCAGGCTGGCCACCGGCCGCCAGGGCCCTTCCTGTTCATCGGACGTCTCGACGGTCATCGTCTTCGGCGACTCACCGGCCACGTACGCCTTCATCTCAACGCCGGCCACAAGCCGCCCCTCGCATCCCTCGAAGAGGGCCCAGTGAGGGAAGCATCCATGCCCGCCACTGCGTCCACCAAAGTTTGCGAAGCCACCACCACGCGAGGTGATGTTGCTCAGACGGCCGTTGCCATCCATCGGGCTCGACTGGACTGCTCTGAGTGAAAGCGGAGCGTTCCAATCAACCTGTGGCGAGCGGCCGCTGCTGCCCGGTGAGTGGGTGCCCATTGCCGCAACCCATTGCTTCGAGCCACCGCATCCCATTGCCAAGTTCTATAGCGCCCACTGTCCTTTCCAAATGGTGTCTTGTCAGCCGGGCAGCCGGGAGAGCTGTGGATGCGGGTTCTTGGAGATGGTTCTTGGCGCCATCGCTGCGGCCCCACGCACTCCGCGGCGAGTCGGTGGAAAAGTAGCAAACGTTACTCCCCGGACTCCTTGGGCGGCCCCGGCCGCCACCCGTCCCCGTCCTCGTCCGAATCAGCACAGGGCTCCACATCTAATATAGACACGGCGTTCGCCGGGTCCCACTCCGGCGCCACCTCGTTGTCGTCCTCGACCTTCAAGAGCCGCGGCGCGCCAGATAAAGCGCCCCGCGCGGCGACGGCCCGCCGACTCACCTCGCGGCGGAACCAGCCCGCCCCCCTTTGGATTTGCGTCGTGGCGACGGGGAACTCGGCCTCGATGCCCTTCCAGGACGTCTCCGCGGCCCGTGCTAGCTTGCCGACCAAGGGCTTTTCCTCCTGAACACTTGGGTCGGGCAAATCCCACTGGCACATTTTGAGCGTCTTTGGGGACGCCAGAGCGTCGTTCAAGTGCCTTTCCAACATCCCGACGAGCACCTCCTTCGGGACGATCCCATACACCGTCTTCAGGAGACTCTGGTCGGCGTTTTCATCGACGGCGATCGCGTCCTTCTCCAGGATGAGTCGCGGGAGGCGTATCAGTTCGACACGCGATAGGCGTGGAAACGGCGCCGTCGTTGATGATTTCAACAGTAGCTCGCAGCGCGGCCGGCCCGATAAGGTACTTCGCAAATCGAACGACAACGGGTGCGTCACGGACTTGTCGATGCCCTTGAGTAAATGAGCTGCTGTTTTGAGAAATGAAGGCAGGCCGCCGCCGGCCGGGCGGTAGCCCTTGACCCGACACACCAAGCGCTGGGGCCATCTCAGGTCGAGACCCAACCGATGCGCGTCCTGATCCGGCCGCAACTCCAATCTTTTGACACTCAGCTTGTCGTCGCCCTCATACCTCAAAGTCATGGCCTCGACGACGTAGATGCCTCTCAATGCTTTATTCATCTGCGCGAGCGTCTTCTCCGACGAGAGCACGTTGTTCAGCGTCCTTAACCAATTATGCCGGTGGAACAAACCAGCATCACCCAACAGACCGTCGACCGACAAGGACGAGAGGAAGGCCGCGGCCTCGTCGGACATCTCGCCGGCCTCCGCGCGTCTAGCTTGCCGTCTTTCTTCCTCGACCTCGGCTCTCGCATCATCGCGAGCTGAGGAAGACGCCGTCTTCAGCGTTCGCAACCACCTCTGCCGCTCGCCTTCCGACGAACATTCCAAGTGGTACACGTCATCTCTCGCGCGAAGCGTGAACGCGAAAACATGAGCTCTTTTAGGAACGTAATCGAGACCCAGATCACACCTAGCACCTCCTAAATTCACGCGCCCCCGCTCCTTCAGGCACCGCTCGTCCTCGTAGTAGGAGATCGACGACCAGTCATCTGATAAAACAAAATAGCGCCGCTTCCAGTTCCGCCTTTTTCTTCCTTTTTTCATGAGCCATCCTCTCGACACAAAAGGTGGCGGCGGCGGCGGCGGCGGCGCCTTTTCTTCTTCTTTTTTCTCGATAGTTTTTGGTTTCACTTGCGCCGGTTTTTTTTTCGTGCCAAATTCCAGCGTGATGCCGGCCTCGGCGGCTCGTAAGAGTGTTAGTAAGGTGAGGAGGCGGAGCATCGCTGTGGCGCGTGGCGGCGGCTGCGGTGCACGACTCTTGTTGCGCAGTGCGCTGCACCTTACGTCGCGCCGCTGCGGAGCACTGATGCTTGGTGAGCGCAGTGCGCTGCTGCAATTACGTCGCGGAGCCCGGCACTTGCCGCAAGTCGTCGTCCTCGGCTCACACAGTGCTAATCGATGCCAACGCACGATATCAAGGTCCTTCGACGGCAGTTTGCTCCCTGTGAGCTATTTTTTTGTGCAATATAAACCCTAGCGTCTATTAAGACACTAGCAAGCAAAATCGTTCCTGACCCTCGGCCTTGCGCTGCCACAGATGGCGAGCTACGGACTGGAGGGGCCCGGCTTGATCCCAGGGCCGGCACGAGCGAGGGCGTCGCGACCTACGATGGCCGGATTACCGCCTCCGATGGCCGCACTGACCACTGCGGAGGAAGATGCCTTGCGCCGCGCGCTTGGCGAGTTACACCCTTGCCCGCCGGCCACTATACTCAGGGCAGCCGAGAAAACACTGGGCAGACCCGAGGGCAGCCTAGACGCACGGCAAATGCTCGTCACGGCGTTTTGCAACGCCGAGATGTCGCGCATCGACGACCTCAAAAGAGCCGTCGCGCCGCCGTCGCTCGCCTTCGGCGACAAGGGCCTGGTCGTGACCTTTACGCCGCCGAGCGACGTTTCTCACGCGGCGCTGTACCTGCACGTCGACGGCGACAAGCTGTTCTACGACGCCGACAAAAAGAAACTCCTCGCGCCCGGGGAGCTGGGCAACGCATTGGCGGCGAGGCCTCGGAGACCGAACAAGGTCGTTGTGAGCGGGGGCCTCAAGGTCGGGAAGCCAATCACGGCCACCGTGTGCTACCGCGGGCCCGCCGCGTTCGCCTTCGGCCCGGAGGGCGCCCACAGCAACTCCGTCGTCGCCGCTCTGCCCTTGCTGCCCGGCGCGCCGCTGGTGCAGCCCTACACGGCGGGTGGTGTTAAAGTCCACTTCGTGGCTCCGCCGCGCTGCTTCAAGGTCGCCATTCGAGTGGTCGATACTGCGTCTGGCGATGTCTATCGGGTCGAATGGAATGCAGATAAAGACCTGTACGATTGCCTGCTGGGACTGACGGGTCCGGGCACCTCGAGAGTCCCGATCCGCACCATCGAGGTCGACGACCATACTCGCCAAAGTACGGCGAAAATTAGGCTACGCGCACACAACATCGAGTACGCGATTAGTCTCGCGGCGTTCAACGGCGTTGCGTGGTCGGAATTTGGCCCCGCGTCGACGATAAACCTCGCGGACCACGTGCCGTTGGTCCCCTGCGCGCCGCTCATAGATACGATCGGCGAGGATAACGCGATGGTGCGGTTCTCGCCGCCGCCGTCGAAACTTTCGGCTCATGGCTCGCAAGTCGTGCTCGCGTTCCGCGTCCGTGGGGCCCCCGCGGACGCGACGCGATATTTCGATTCGAATACCCTCGAGCTGGTCGGCGGGGACTATGCGCGGGACGCTGTTGGCCTGCTGAATGCCAAAAAGCATGGTCGCGCTATCCGCGTGCGGGGCCTCGCGGCGGCTACGGAGTACGAGGCGACCGTCATTGGCGCAAATACATTCGGCTGGAGTGCACACAGCCCGGCCACCACCTTCAAGACGCTCCCGGGCGAGGTGGAGGTGACGGGCGTCCAGACCCAGGACGAGCGCGACGCCGAGGCGAAGAAGCGCGCCGTCGACGTCGACGCGGACGACTCGGACGAGCCCGAGGCCAAGCGGCCGGCGCGGAAGAAGCGCAGGCAGTAGTTGTGTGTAAATCAGCCCCCGGGGGAAGTTGATACTAGTATTGCATAACAGCAGCGTCTTACCGTCTAGTCGTCGCGAAGAACAACCGGGGTCGAACGAAGTCGGAACCGAGGGTATCGAAAACAGCGAAGTCACTTCTGGCGCTTGGCCGGCGACTCGGCGGCGCTGCCGCGGCGCTTGCGCGTCGCGGGCGCCGCAGAACCGCCTAACCGCTTCGCGAGCCAAGTTCGGAGTTTTTTCGCCGTCTTTTTGGGCCAGCTTCCGGCCGAGGGCGCCTTTTGCTGCAAGAGCGCGTCGCGCTCGGCCTCGAAGCACGCCCACGGGACACATGTATCACCTGTTAATTCACCACTAACGTCGACGCACCACTCGCGGCCGTCGTCATTGCATTTCTGGACGTGGTGGATGTCCGTAGCGCCCAGGGACGTGAGCAAGGCGCGGACATCCGTGTTCTCGTCGTCGACGCGGACGTGGTAACACGTCCCTTTGGGTGGGGGGTGCACCGGTTCTATAGCTTCATCAGAACCCAGGTCGATCTCGTAGACCGACCGCATCAGGTGCAGGCGGTTCTCGCAACTCGTACCTTTCTCGAGCAAGCGTACGTAAACAACTCCCGTGGTGTGGGCGTCCCAGCCGGCCTCGTGGAAGCGCTGCGTCGTACGAGGGTCTCTACGAGGCGCATCGAGCGCCGCCCTAAACGCCGCCGTGCGCGCCGCGTCGTCGACCTGGCCGTCTTCATCGGACTCGTCTTCGGACGACTCTTCCGGGCCGTACTTCCCAAAACCGCGCGCGAAGCGGATCTCCGCACCTGTCGACGTCTGGACGGCCTCGTACAATTGATCTAACGCGGTCCTTCTCTCAGGAAAGGCACACCGCGGCGCGAAGGCCTTCGTGTCGACGATGATCGGGAAGTTCTGCCGCACGAGAGCCTTGAATGAAGACCAGTCTTCTGGGATAGGTGCTTCGAAGTGCTCCAACAGAAACAAAAGGTCGTAGAGGCAGTTGTGGCCTACGAGAGGCAGCTTCCGGTCGCGACAGGCATCGCGCAATTCCACAAACAGCGCCCGAGCCCCAATCTTGTTCTCGCGGACGTCGTCAAGCCGTTGCTGCTTCCTTAACTGATCCCTACGAGCCTTCTCGGCCTCAGTTAACAGGACACACCGAATCTGGTGCTTGACGGGCCCTTTTTCGGTGGCGACGAGGGGAAACCTCCGCTCAATCTCTTGATGCAGGTACTTCCGGACCACAGGCGTCGCGTGCGGTTGGAGGTCCATCTGTTTTACTGATGTCTGTTCAGACAGCACCTGGACCTTTGCTAACTCCCCATCAGCGAAGGCCTTGTAGGTCGCGTCCTGGAGCTGGAACGTCTTGCGCTCGGGCTCACTGGAGGCCTCCTTGATGAGTCGAGCTTCCGTCGCGCTGTCGACGTAGGGGATGCCATCTCGTAACCAGGTGCCGAAGTCCATGGCGTTCTTCCTCAGGAAAGCAACGGCTCCGGTACTCAAATTTACGTCTCTCCCTCCAGGGGTCTCCGCGGCAAAAACATAGCAGTTGAAGACACTTGAACGGTAGCTTTCGCCGTTTTTTTCGAACACGGCGATGCCCAGTTGCATCAATCCAAAGGACTTGGCGACATTTCTCATCCTCGCGTAGCGCGACGATGCCGAATCAGACAAGGGGTTCATGTCCTGGAACGAGCCGTTGTTGAAGCTTATTCCCGTGAACTCCTCGTCGATGGCGACGAACTGGGCCTTGGGCGACTGGAGGGCCCGTCGCAATTTCGTGACGGCGTCGCTCAGGTTGTCTCGACTCACGTCCATGTCCCTAGAGCTTGTGCTTTACCTGCGTGCTGTGGGGGCGCGCGCGCGCACGGTATTGGGTTTTGGCGCGCGGGGGTCGGGGCGCGGGCAAAGGACCTGCAAGGACAGATGAGGTGATCAAGGGTTTGGAGGGCGCTGGCTGGACATTCGTTGTTGCGGGCGGCTGCGCGGCTGGTGAGAGGCTGCGCGGCGTCAGCGAGCGCGTCAGGCGGCGCGCGCCGGCCGCGTAGCGCGTGGCGGCGGCTGCCGAGCTGTGCTAGCTAGTGTCTACACGACGCTAGCTTCGACGCACCACGCGCTACAAGCGTTTTGTAGGCCTTGTAGGAGCTTGTGCAGACCTGACGCCGCCAATAGCTGCTCAGTGTTGCCGTGTGGTGCGCTTGATTAAGACAGACTGATCCGTTCGCCGCTTCTCCGCCCACAGAGCAGCTTGCTCTCAAACGCTCTGGACGGCCGTCCCAGGGCCTTACACATCACCACGGCGCCGCTGCGTTTCGTATTATCGTCCTGCGATACACGGCAGTCAAAAGAAAAGAAGTCAACAAAGAAAAGAGATGCGGCCCGGCTCCGTCTTCGGCCTGACGACGCTCGGACTCGTGAGTCGCACGAGCATGGACGACCGGCTCGGCGACGGCCCGCCGCTCTGGGAAGGCGAGCAGCAGTTTCACGCGTTCCTCGGCTACGCGCTCCTCACGGCCATGGCGGCGGCGTGCGCCGCGCTGAGCCTGGGCGCCGTGGCCCCGTACGGCCGCTACGCGGACGCGAAAGCGTTGGGTATTAGTGATTGGGGGCCAAAGGTACCAGCACAACTAGCGTGGTGCCTCCAGGAGCTGCCTTCCCTAGTAGTGCCGCTCGTCTGTCTGGTGCGGCCGGGCTGGGGCCCGGCTTCGGCGACGAACGGCGTCCTGCTGCTCTGCTTTTTGGCGCACTACGCGAATCGGGCCCTCGTCTATCCTTTGAGGATAAGAGGCGGCGCGCCGACGCCGCTCTACGTCATGGCCTCCGCCTTTACGTTTACCTTGGTCAACGGCTACCTCCAGGCGGGCGCGCTCGGCGGGCCCTGGGCGTCAGCCGTGCCCGGCGACGCGGCCTTCGGCGGCGGCGTTCTGCTGTTTCTTGCCGGCGCCCTCGGCAACGCCTACCACGACGCGCTCCTGCGGGCGCTGCGGGAGCCGGGCGAGACGGGCTACAAGGTACCGACTGGCGGCCTCTTTGATTACGTGTCGGGCGCGAACTACTTGTGTGAGATCGTGTGCGGAAATCAAACTCACGCCCCTGACACGCCATCGACGCGACTTTCGCTTGGTGCGTCACCGGTCGATTGCCGCAGGCGAGATCGTCGAGTGGGCTGGGTTTGCCATCGCCTGCCGGACGCCCGCGGCCCACATCTTCGCGTGGTGCGTGATTTTTAATCTCGCGCCGCGGGCGGTGTCGCACCACGCCTGGTACCGCGAAAAGTTCGGCGACGCGTATCCGGCTCAACGAAGGGCGCTCGTGCCGTTCCTGTTCTGACGACGACGCGACTACAACTGATAATGTGATATGTTTACTCTCCTGGTTCAGGATCGACATAAATAGGATCCCCTGGTTTCGGCCCTCTATCTTTGAGGCAGTCCGCGCGGAAGGTCACCAACCTAGGCGGCGCGAGCCGCTCGTCACTACCTTCGACCGCTTCCAGAGCCGTCACGACGCCCTCCGCCCTCAAGAGAGTTTGGGCGTTGGGCATCCAGGCGACGCGGATGGGCACTGGAACAGCCGCGGGAATGATCTGGGGAGCTTGCACGCGGATGCCGCCCGGCAAGGCGAGGTTGTAGGACGCCTCGCCGCTCCGCGTCGACTCGTGCCACGACTCGTCCTCCTCAAGACCGTCGGGCAATTCGAAATGCTCGAGCGTGTCCCTTATCGCAACGTCGCTCTCGCCGACCCAGTCTCTTCTCCAGGAATAGGGGCTTCTCCCCTTCCAGAAGTGCGTATTATCTTTATCATCTGGTAAATCATCCTCGTGGCCTTGCCACCTTGTTGCCTCCACTTCTCTCGTAGGTGCTCCTAGCTCCGCGTCGCACCGCTCCCTCGCGACGACACATCTAAAGCAGAGTAACGCGGGCACCGCGTCCTCGACGCCTTCATTGGCCTCCGCCGGGGCGTGCTGCACGGCCACGCGTAACCGCGACGCGCCGTACCTCAATAGCAACTCGGTAGACATCAGCCCACTCCTTAGTAACGTAGGCCCGGACACCATGCCCGCACCCGCACACGTCTGCCGTCCGAGCTTCCCTTTCGTGTACGTCCCGACGGGAATCTGCCGCGGATAGCCGTCGGGCCCGGGCACCTCCATTTTATGGACGGCGTCGTCGCCGTCCAGCGAGACGTCCCAGCAGCCCGTATGCGCTAATTGTTCGATGCCTTGGCTGTCGAACGTCGTCCAGACGCCCTCCCACCGGCCCGACTGCGCCGCGTACAGCTGCCACTGGGCGTCGGCGAAGTCGGTGTCGGTCGTTTCGGTGGCGCGGCGGCGCGTGAGCTGGTTGCGTGCTGCCGGCGTCATGATGAGTGCAGTGGCATACTGCAGCAGGAGTGCCGTGACGGCGCGGCGCCGCATCGTGCTTCGCTGGGCGCGTTGCTGCGGGACTCTATGAATCACTGGCCAGCGCTGGTGCACGCTCGTCGCACAGCAGCGCTAATGCAGGGCCAAAACCAAGGAGAGCGGCAGGCTGGAGACCACAGCAACTTTCAGTCTCCTGATCGCATAAATACTCTTGTGATCAAGCAAAGCTGCGCGGCGTGTGGTGAAGGACTCCAGCCAACAGTTCAGAGGCGTTCGGCTCCTCTCGGACCGCATGCGCCGCCAACTATGCGGCGCACTGCTCATAGCACGCCTCGCAGCAGCCGCGTGGGGCGTCCGCGAGGCGCTCGACCGCCACCGCGACCGGCCGTGGATGGAAATGATCCAGGACGAGTTGCGCAGTCACCGCGTCGTCGTCTACAGCAAGACGTTCTGTCCGCACAGCCGGGCCGTGAAGGAAATATTACGATCGCTCTCCCAGGGGTACGTCGCGGTCGAGCTCGATCACGTCGCGCACGGCAGAGACCTGCAGCGGGCGCTCGCGAGGCTGACGGGCGTGGCCACGGTCCCGCAAGTCTTCGTCGACGGCCAATTCGTGGGCACGGCCGACGGGACGCGCGAAGCGCTGGCGTCGGGGCGGCTGGCGCGGCTCCTGAACGCCAGGTTGCCGGATAGTGCCGTCGAGCTGTGCGCCAGTGGCTGCGTCGCCCGTTGCGACGTGCGAGGTAATCTCGGCGACTGCGGCGTCATATTCAATCGGGGCGACGACTGGCTGAAGGATCGCTGGCAGGCGGCGTCGGACATGGGCGGGACGGCGATACCAGGACCCCACAAGGTCGAGATCGATTTTGGACGCGCCGTGAGCGTGTGCTCCGTAGAAATCGACTGGGAGACTGCCTACGCCGACGATTATACGATACATCTCGACGGCGAGCGCGTCTTCGACGGCGCGGCGCCGGGCACCAGCAGACGCGCGCGGATGAGCGGAAAGAGTCCCGGGGTAAAGGGGAGACCGCTGCACGTCGTTCACGACGTCACGTTAGACGAATGCGTGCTGGCGCGAGCACTGACCCTCGACATCCATCGAGGAGCAACTCCATGGGGCGTCTCCATCTGGCACGTGGGCGTCATGGGGACTGTATCCTGACGGCAAATCGATTCTAATGCTTGTAACGCTTGACCGCGACCCGCGCGCCGCCGCGACAGGAGAGATCGTCCAGTCTCCACGCCATCGAGCAGGCGCGTCGGTGGCATGATAGTCGTAATTTAAATGTGAAATTAAGCAACGCTCACCGCCGGCAGCGCCCGGATCCGCTCGAGGATGCGCCCGTACATGCGGTCGAGGCCGCGCCGCGTCGCCTCGGAGTGGGCCTGATTATTTTCGCCGGCGGCCGTCAGGTCGTTGCGCACCGTCTCGGTCCGCTCCGGGAAGGACGATGCGAGTGATGCGGGCAACCCCAGAGCGCTCATGACCGCCTCGCGGTTCTGCCAGAGCTTGTGGTAGTTCAATGCTACAATGGGGTACTTTTGGGGTGAGGTATACGCCTCGAAGAAGGCCAATAGACCCATGCGGTCGACACCTTGTTGGGCGTACACGTCGAGCTTTGGAAAGCTCTGTTCCACGCCGCAATCCCCATCCAAATGCTTGCAGTGCCCGTAGCCAAATCTAGACACCATGGCCTCGACGGGGTCCTTGAAGATGTAGAGCACGCGGTAGTCGTCCAGATCGGCGACGGGTTTCGTCTCCGTCCGGAAGCGGCCGCCGCCCGGGAACCGCCTCGCCCTAAAATCCCTTTCTCTGGTCGACGGTCGCGGCGGCGGCGGCAGCTCCCTTAATATATCGGGTGGTCGTTTATCATGAAAGTGGTAGACGTGCTTCGCGTATTTGCGCGGTAATTGGGCGAGCCATCCCGCGAGCATCTTGCTCCCGCAGCCTCCATAACTTACGACGATGTACGTCCGCGGCTTCGTCTGCGTCTTGAGGGCAGACCCCCACCATTTTGAGGTTTCTAGTAAGCGTCGACTCGTATCTTGAGCCGCTCTCGTAGCGTCGTCTCGCAGCAGTCGCACCGTCGCCTTTGATAAATCTCGGTTGTGTCCTGGTTTGATCTCCTGGCCATCCACCACAACAGCGTCGCACTCGACTAACCGTTCGCAGTGTTTCAACGCCCGGGCGCAGGTCGCCTCCTTGCAGAGCAATTCGCACGTTTTTGTCACTTTGGCGACCTTAAAGTCCCGCAAGGCGCAGGGGAAGTCCTTGAGCTGGGTCAGAGGCGTCGCGACCGGCGGCGATGGCGCGACGGGCGTCGCCGTCGTCGCCACGGGCACGAAGGGCTTGGGCTGATAGGGTGATGGTGGTATGCGCCGCCGCCGCCGCCGCTGCTGCAGCGCTCTGGTTAAATTCGCGCGCTCGTCGCCCTGCCACCTCCTCTCCGTTTCCAGGGCCGCCCGCGCCTCGAGCAGCGCTGCGCTTAACGAGGCCCGTCTTGCGACGGCGGCGGCCAGCTCGGCTTCGTGCCTCGCCTGCTCGGCGCGGCTCGAGCGCAGCACGTAGACGCCGCCCATGAGGGCCAGGACGGAGGCTAGCGTGAGTTCGAGGGTCCGCGCCATGGCTTTGGGGCAGCGTTTTGCCGCCGGGGGCTGCCCAAAAATGCTAGCGTCGTGTAACGCACTAGCGAGCAGACTATGGTTTTTAAGCAGCCCCTACCGCTCGCCTGCGCTATCGTTGCGGCGCGAGACAGACTGTCTGAGGACGCGCCATAGCCGTGGATCACCGCTGTGCACCGCTTCTTGCTCAGCGCTGCGCTTAATTCAAACTCTGATCGGCCAACCTCCGCAGCGCAGCAGAATCAATTCTCTGCAACGTCCGCAGTAGCAATGGAAGCCGACCCGCCAGCCGACGAGGTCGACGCGCTCGCGACGCGAATCGAGGAGATCGATGAGCTGGGCGAAGGCAACGACGAATTCGGCCTCGGTGCCGTCCTGAAGAAATTGATTCGAAACGCCGACGTCGAGGGCGTGCGAGCGCACCTCGAAGTCCTCGAGTACAATGGGCAGGCCGTACACACGTACCACCTGTCGATGGCGGCGCGGCTGCCTTATAAAGTTCATTACGGCGACGCGGCGGTCTGCAGACGCTCGCGCGAGGTGCTGTTGCTGCTTGTTGCGGCCTGCGACGAGCAGACGCTCGGCCAGTGCGTCGTAGACACTAGGGATTGGAGTCCGAAGCGCGCTCTCGGGCGCCGCGGCCCGAACTGGCCGCCGTTTGATTTCACCGCAGAGGATTGGGCTGATATGCCAACGACTGCCACGGTGCTCCATCAGCTCGCGTGGGACGGCGATGTAGACGCATTAGCTATGATCTTGGCGCTCCCGCAATGCTCGGCGCGCCTCGTGAACGCCACGGCGGACGAGCAAATTCATGCCGATGGGTCGGGAGAAGCAGCGAGGTATCAGTTCGTAAGGGGCGACCCGCGTGAGCTCCGCGACGAGATGGGCCCCGGCTCGACCGCGCTGCACATGGCCTGTCTCGCCGGTCGCGTATCCGTAGTTCAATTGTTATTGCGAGACGGTCGGGCCGATCCGAACTATCCCAACGAATACCGACAGCCGCCACTGATCACATGTGCCGCCGCCACGGGCGAATGCATGGGTGGGAAAATCAACCATCGCGTCGCAGAGTGCGTCCGAGCGCTGACGCGAGACCCTCGGACGAAAGTAGACGTCTGGTACGACAAAACAGGAGGGCAGTATAATGGCGCCGGCGTCCACTGCCACATCTTAAGCAAACTTGCCAAGTACGGAGCACTCGAACCGGCGTACCACATACTCGCCGCGCTGCCGAAGCTGGACCCTGACTCTGTGAAACTATGCGATTCGGTGCAGAACAATGTTGTTCGTCAAATAGGTTCAATGGTGGGACTCGCTAGCCTGAGCCCGCTCGAGACCTGTCTCGACGGGCCGCCGTTGGGCTTCAGGTCAGACGGTCATCACCCGATGCTCTGCTTCTTGATTGAGGTCTCGAACGCCGGCGGCTTTCGGATGTGGCGGGCGGAGAAACGTCGTGATATGATGGTGATCCGCGCCCTCGTCTCCAAAGCGCGCAAGCGGCGCCGCTTTGACGCGGCTGCCTCCCTCACGCATCGCCTATTCAACCTCCGCGACGATGCGTTATTCCTGCGCGTGCTCGGCTTCTGTTGGTTCCTGAATCCCGGAGCCCGCGTGCCGTGTGGTCACGACTATCAGCTCACCCGGCTCCGCAAGGAAGGCAAAACCCCCGATGAAGCGTTTGAAATCATCGCGAAGATGCCGGCAAAATATAAGCCTGGGACGTTTACTCAGGCGAGAAACTCGAAAATAGCTCGCTATGTCTAAGTTAGAAATGTGTTACCTACTACTACAACAACCGCGCCGCCAGCGACACCGTCCCCGTCGCCGACTCGACGTCGTGGAGCCAGCGCGCCGGCAGGAAGAGCGCGTCGCCTTCGTCTAGCTCGACGGATATCAGATCGACCGCGCCAAGCGCCGACGAGGCGTCGTCGCCAAGGTACAGGCGCCGCTGCGCGCCCGGCGTCGTCCGCAACCGCAAAAGCTCCGCGAGGCGTTTTGGGCAAGCGTCGGATTGCGAGGGCGGGATCGCGAGGACGCGCTTCTTGCCCTGCACATGCACTAATATAGAAGCCTCGGGGTCCGAGTGCAGCGGCGTGCGGAGACCTTGGGACGTGACGAAAACGGCGCTCGCGTCGCCGTCACAGCGGACGCCGAAGGCGCCTTCGACGAGACGCAACGCATCAAGTGGCACGTCGAGCCGCGCCTGGCCGCGCGCGTCGAGCAATAATTGTTTCGTAAAGCTCCGGCGGCGCGGCCGCCACTTGTTCCGCTCGCCCGACACGATGTTTTCGCCGCGCGCAGGTACCAACCACGGCGCACCGCGCGAGGACGCGACGCATTTCAATATGCTTGTTGTGAAGTCGCTATCGAGGGCGCCGCGGACCAATGCCGGGGTCCGGGCGGCGATGGCCGCGGGTGCGTCGCATGGCGCGGTGTGCCGTAGTTGGAGGACGCGCCGCGCCAGCGCTAATGCTGCCTCGACGCCGTCGCGGCGGCTGCGCAAAGCTGTGCGCTCTGTGTCTGTAGCGCTCCTTTGGAAGCCGCAGCGATGCTCGCACCGGTCGGGACGGCTGTCAGGCTTCAAGAATTGCTCGAAACAGCAGCTCAACGCAGCAATAGGGCGAGGACGGCCAGCTGCAGCCCACAGGCTTGTTTGCTAGTGTCTTACAGGCCGCTAGGCGCGCTCGGATTTTACTCTGTTTTTTGGCTTCACACGCCCGCAGATCGGCGACGTTGGCTGCTGCGACATCGCGAAGACTCCAGAACATCTCTGGAATAATCCGCTCTTGTCGAGCGCCGCCACAATTGACGCGCTGTTGCAGGAGAGCAGCACAAAGGCCTTGGAAGAAATCCTCGCACCGCGAAGGCCCAAGGACAGAAATCCCCGCAGCGCGACCGCCAGCGAGCCGCCACCATGTCCTCCCTCCTCTCCGACGAAGCTTTAGCGCAAATGGAGCTCAACGAACGCACGGAGTGCGAACTTTTGATCGTGAGCAACGGCATGGACTGCGGGAAGCTAGCAGCCCTGATCGAAAGCTTGAAGGAGAGCTCGAAGAACGCCGGCTCTCATAAAGCGAGGCAGCTGCTCTGGGAGGGCTATGGTGCTATAGCTTCTAAGTTAGGAGGCATGGACGGGAGCTACGCCGGTTTTCTGCAGTGGGGGTCCGAGGGTGCTTCGTTGACTCCCGCAACCAAAAAACAGGCCCACGCCTTAGGTCAAGGTGGTCTGGAAATATTAGGAAGGAGACATCGGCCGCTCGAGGAGCCCGAGTCCAAGAGCTGGATTGTGGTCTTCACGGAGCGAGAGGCGCGAGACGCTCTGTCAGACATCACGTCCTCGGAAGCGTGTATTTCGATTACGGACAAGGCCTGCCACGTCGGCACGAGATACAAACGAAGGAGGTGCAAGGGCGTGTCTTCTCCTCTAAAAACGGCCAAGGATTTGGAGAAGTATGTGGCTGAGTTAGCTCCAGCACTACTCAGTGTCGAGTGGTCCTCGTCACAAAACATGGAGACGAAGGCGTACAACGTCCTACTCGCGGGGAACTTCCCGGCTACACTAACGTCGGCTCTACCTGATGGAGTAGGCCACGTGTCTTCCCATTCGTCAGGAGACATCTACGACGCCTTCCTAGCGAGGAGGTCGAAGCATTTCGTGAGCGAGGCAGAACGACTCCTAGATAGCATGGAGGCTGACCTCGGCAAGAAGCAACTCCCTTGTGTGGTGGCGACGATCAAAGAGGCGTCCTGCTGCCGCAAGAACTGCCTCCTCAAGAAGGCCTACGTCCATTCATCAAAGAAGAAGTTCATCGACGCCATCCGAGCTGATGGCGGCGACGTCGAGCTGCACGTCATCGAAGGGGACGTCAAGGGCACGCGCTTCCTCGACTTCGGGGGCGTGGTCTGCGAGATGTTCTACCGCGCCGATTTAACCGTCTATGGCTAATCACAGTGTACTCTCCCCGGTCCTATCGTCCAACGGTACCTCCTTGAGAGGTGGTGACGTTGGGGGCGGCGGCGGGAACGTGTCCGTGGGCAGGACCTCGTCGGGGAACGCGGGCCGCTGCCCGTCGTCGTACGTATCCAAGAACGCTAGCAATTCGCGCGTTGAGGGGGCCGGCGGCGCGTCGTCGAAGCCCTTCGACTTCTTCCCGGAGCCTAGCGCGGCCGCCCAGTCGTCGCTCCAATTATCTAAATTTGTGGCCTTGGGCGTCGGCGCCGACGCGAGCTCCTTGAGGCGCTCGCCTTCGACTTTTGCTTCGTCGAGTTTCGCCGACAGGGCCGCCATCTCGCGCTGCTGTGCCGCTAGATCCCGTCGCCGCGTGTAGGCCGTCTCCGCCCGAGCGGGGGGCGACGAGACGGGCGTCGGCGGTTTTGGTGTGGGATCATTGACCGAAAACTTGGCCACCACCCTCTTTGGAGTCAACAACGAATAGGCGTTGTCGAACGCAGCAACAACAGTACAGGGCTCTATCGCCGTCCAGTCGCCCGCGACGGCGACACCAGCCGGAAATCTTTTAGAATCCACGACGTCGACCTCCACAGACCCGCCCTTCTGCATGGCGCGTCGTCTTAATGCAAAACCGAGATCGTGCGACTGCACGCGAAACTCCCATCTGAGCGATGCGCCGGCTCTCAGACTGAAGGCCTGGGTCCAGGCCGTCCGTCGCGGTATCTGGAGCACCTCGCCGCCGTCCTTCACGAGCTTGAGGAACTTCGGTTCCGTCATCGGAGCGGCGCCCATCAATGCCCCGGACGCGTGCTCGCGCCAGCGCGCGCCGGCGATCTTCGCCATCGTCGCCACGGTCTTGGCCCGCGCCAACGCGTGGCCGATCGAGTAGCGCTCCTCCTCTTTGGTGGGCGGGGGGCCTCCACCTTGGAGGCAGCGCTTCGCCGTGGCGGCGCGCCGCGCCTTTTGCATCTCCGACATCATGGTGGCAGGCTGCCCAACAGTGCCTTGCGCGCTGCCGCTCGGCGCGAGCCTTGGCACGGCGGTAATTGATGAAGGGCGCGGCCGCGTCGACCCGGTTGCGCGCCCGGTGCGGCGTCCTGCGGAGAGCTAAAGGCCCAAATTGCAAAGCAGCCAATCTGCCAGACCCGCACGCTAGAGGGAAAAACCGGCGCTCCGATCGGTCCCCGCCGAGCCGTGGAGAGATCAATATACAACCCCCGTGTGTCGCTCGCGCCGGGAACCCACGAGCCCGTTTCACAGGAAGGTGGGCAGCCCAACGTGCAACGCGAAGGCGGTGCGCGGCGCGCCGGCGGCGCCCTCGGCGGGCGAGGCATCGCGAGGGCTCCGCGAGACCGCAGCACCGGCTCGACCTCGCACGCGGTCCAGCAGAGACATCGCGACCGCACACGAGACCACCGCAACAACAGGATAGTATGCCGCAGCTCCCGGACATAGCACCACAGCAGGCCCAGCGCCTCAACGCCGGCCCGCGCCACGCGCGCGGGTCCGCGTTCTCGAACCACAATTATAACAGATTGTATCGCGACAACACGCTGACGGCGGAGACGCGCCATTCCGGGCGGAGGGACAAGGTTGCTGAAGAAAGAGAATTACGAAGAAAGAAGGCCCGGCAAGAACAGGAAAGACGGACAGAAAAACGCCTCAAGACGCTGGAGCGGCGCATGCGCGACGAGGCGAAGCGCATCGCGGCCATGGAGCGCGAACTCAAGGAGCTGCCGAAACTGAAAAAGACGCGGCAGCAGCTCGCCCGCGAGTGGGCTCATATGGAGGATTCTCCTAGAACGTCTCGCAGTGCCGAGACGGGGCGCGACGAGGTGTCGTCCTCACCTAGATCGGAGAGCGCGCCCGCGCGGTCGTCGCCCTTGCCGGACATCGACAGCGCGGCTATAACAGTGCAGCGGGCCGCGCGGAATCGACGGGAGAGCCGGGCTGCCGTCAAGATGCAGGCTCATCAACGACGTCGACGGGCGTCTTTGGAAGTAGACGAGAGGCGCCGCGTCTCCTACAAACGAAGGCAGAGCGTTTTGTCAGTCGCGGCGACGTCCGCTTTAGCATGTGCGAGGGACGCGGCGCGGACTTGTGTGCTGTATCGTGATAGTGCGTTACGAGCCTGTCGCATGGTGAAAGCCAGACGGGCCTACGACGCCATCTATTTATTACAGCGCTTCGCGCGCTACGTCGGGGGGCAAGCTGCTTTAGCACTCGCGGCCGAGGTCGTGCTGTTTAAGCAGCGGCGGCTCTGTAAACGAGTTGAAAGGTTACATGGGACGCGGCAGAAGCGACGAGCTGAACGGGAAGCTACCGACAGACTCGCGATCTCCATCCAGAACGCTTCTAGAAGACGAAAAGCGCGGCAGGAATATCAAAGGCGCTGCGAGCGGCGCAACGAAGTGCTGAAGGCCATGGCGGCCTTCCTCGCTCATACTTTGCAAAAGCATTGTCGGAGGCGGGCCGCGCGGCGACGCGCTCATCTGATGAGGCAGCGCTGGAGAGGTAGAAGAAAGCTCGTCTCGCTCGACCTGACCGACGTGAGGAAGGCCGTTTTGAAGCCGGCGAAGCTCGAGGAGGCCTACGGCGCGGCCTGGGCCGCGCTGGGTATCGATGGGGCTTTGCTCGCCGACCCGGAGCTCGACGAGGAGGACCTGCAGGAGCTGGGCGTGGCCGTGCGGCTTCATAGAAGACGCCTTCTGAAAGACGTCGCTAGGCTGCGGGCCCAGGGCGTCCCCGAGGACGTGCTCGAGCCGACGCCGCGGGAGGAGCCGGCGGCGCCCGCCGAGCCGCTGCCGCAGCGGACGCGCGCCGTGCCGCGGTCCGTCGCGGCGGCGCGCGCCGCCGAGGAGGCCGCCGCGGCGCCCGCCGTGGTGCCCGCCGCCGCGCCCCGGCGGACCGCCGCGGCCTTCGTGCCCAAGCAGGCCAAGCAGCCGGCCCCGAAGGCCGCCGCGCCGGCGGCGAAGGCGGCGAAGGCCGCGCCCCGGGTCGCCGGCGTCGGCGCCGACGGACGACGCGTGGCCAAGGCCAAGCCGACGAAGGCCGCCGCGAGCAAGCGCGCGGCGCCGCAGCCGGCCTCGAAGGCGCCGGCGAAGGCGCCGGCGAAGCGCGCCGCCGCGGCGCGGCAACCGAAGGCCGCCGCGCCGAAGCGCGCCGAGCCCAAGCCCCAGCGCCGCCCGGCGCCCGCGCCGGCGCCGAAGCCGTCGCCCGCACGGCGGCCGCTCGCCGACGCCGCGAATTCCGCCGACAAGCGCGCGAATGGCCGCGACGCCGAGGTCGCCGCCGCGCGGCGCCGCGCCGCGGAACGCAAAAAGCGCGGGGCCCAGCCCCAGGCCCAGATGTCAAAGACGACGATCCCCGCCGAGCGCAAGCGCGTCGAACCGAAGGCGTCCGTCTTCGCGGCCGCGGACGACGCGTCGGATTCGGAGGATGCCCTCGAGGGCGTCAAGGCCGCGACGTACCCCCGCGCGTCCTTCGCGTCGCCGTCCGTCTTCGAGGAGCGCGGCGACGACGAGTCCCCCGACGACTCGGCCAATTTCTTCTCCAACGAAGACTCGTCGGACTCGGGCGACAGGCCCGTCCGCATGTCCGGGTCGCTGCCGGACATCCCCGCCGAGACGCTCTTCAAGGGCTCGGTGTTGGAAGATGACGGCTTCTTCGACGAGGACGACTTCGAGGACGTTGGAAATGGAGAGGACGTGGCGGACCTCTTCGCGTAAAGTATTTTCCACTAGTGCCTTGCTTCAAGTTAGAGCCGACGCGGGGTCCGCGTGACCGGCGTACGCCCGGGCAGTGCCCGGGCCGCCCGGCGCCCGGCGCGGCCACGTGCGCGGCCCCAGCCTTCATACTTGCCCTCATGTCGCCGTCGCCCCGAGTGGTAGCTCGGAGGACACCGGAATACCAGGACCGCGCCGCCGGTGAGCCGCGGGGTGCGGATCGGGAGCGGCACCTTACCCGGAGACTATTTTTCCACTAATTTATGTGCGCGCAGGGCCCGGTCGAGCGACTGAGGGGGGTAGGAAAGCCATGCGCGCGGGGAAGGGGAAGTTGTCGACCGTCAGCCGACGATCGAGAGGTGCTCGGCCTTGAGCGCGAGCGAGGTCTCGGGCAGCTCGTCCGTCGCCTCCAGCGTGACCTCGAAGCGCTTCTTGGCCGGCAGCCACCGCGCGACGGCGCCCGCGCGGCCGTTGTGCTGCGGCTTGCTCACGAGGCCGCCGACGCGCACGGCGTCGCCGGCCGCGAAGGGCGGCGCGTCGCCGGACCGACAGGCTTTGAACGCGTTCCGCTTCGGCGCGTCCTTCTTGCCTATTACGACGTCGACGTCGAAGGCTTGTTTCAGGTCGTCCCGCAGCGCCTCGGCGACGGTTTCCAGGTCCGAATGGAACTCGATGCTGCGCGGTCTTCTCGGAGGCCCGGCCATACACCGCGCCTCGTCCGACGCGCCGGCCATGGCCTCGACGAGCGTTTGCCGCACGGTTGCGGCATCTGAGAGATCAACGGAGGCCTTGGCGAGGACCGCCCCGGCGTAGGCCGACGAGTCGCCGACGTCGACGACGCAGGCCGCGCCGTCGACAGAAGCGACGGCCCAGAGCGACACCTTGCCCTGTTCCCTTTCTAATGAGTTGACGAAGGCGTCGTCGGCAGCATGCGGCTCGCCCGGCACGAGCTTGCGGAAGCCGTCAAGATATCTATGTTTGTGCTCGTCGCCCGCATCAATACCGGCGGAACAAGCACACAGCGCCGCGGCGCCCCGCCGGAAGGCCTGGACCTCGCAGTCCCGGTGGCGCGTCTCGAGGCGTTTCCGCTCGTCGGCCTTGCACGCGCCGTGGCACCTTTCTAAGCATCCCAGGGCCTGGCCGATGGACTTCGCTAATATTACTTTTGCCACCTTCTCCTCGAGGCCCCACCAGTAGGTCGCCAAATGCGTGGACGGTGCCTTGCTACCGGGCGCGCCGACGCGCTGCGGCGCATACCCGGGCACGGACACCTCCCACTGCGACGTTTGGGCTAGTAAAGCGTCATCATCAAGAAATGACGAGGCCTTGTCGTCCTTGTCCGGTCCTAGCCTTCCGAGAGGTCTCCGGCCCGTCGCCGACTTCGCGTGAGCCGCGGCGTGCAGCTCGCCCAGGAAGACCTCGACCTCGGCGCGGACGAGCCAGGCCTCGCCCCAGGCCGGCCGCACGACTTCGGGAGAGCCGCGCTCGGCCGCCACGGCTCGGATGCACGCGTGCGCATATAAAGCGAGGCATAAAGACGCGGCCTGGGGGAATTTGCGCAACGCCACGGTGTAGCACTTGAGGACGATATGTAACGGTTGCCCGCCGTCCTCGAACATCTTGTTGTACGCCACTAAATCGAATTCCAGGGGTCTCGCGCGGAGAGCGGCCCTCGCGAGCCAGAGTGTTGCTCTTGAAACCAAGACTAAAGCAGCCGGTCGGCCGTCCGCACCACAAGGAGTGTCAAGTAAAGCCATGCCTCGCAACGCGGCCATGCAGGCCGCCTCCCGGTCGCTAAAGTCGTCCTGCCGGATCTCCGGCTCTGTTAAGCCTTGCGTCGCTCTGAGATAAGCCTCTTTTTTGGCCTGGGGCGACGCGTCATCTTTCCCGGCACCCAACAGCAAGTAGTAGAGGTCCCAGCAGATCGTCTTCGCGAGGGGCCCCGGCGCCCTACTAATCGCCACCTCCTCCTTGACGTCGGCGTTTTTGGCCAGGCAGTCGCGGCAGCGGCGCGTCGCCTTCGCGGCGAACTGCTTCTTCGAGTAGCAGGACGCGTCCTTCTCGAGGCCGCAGGCGCCGCAGGCCTTGGTGGGCGGCTTCGGGGGCTGGCACATCGCTGCGTCTGGGCTCGCCTTCGTCGTACGATCTCCCTTGAGCTGCTGTGCTCGCTGCGTGTCGCCGTACGCGCGCTTCGAGCTCCAAATCTCTCCCTAAGCTGTGGGGCACGTCACACCAAAATTTATCGAGCGATGCCGCGAGTCTGCTGTGCTGCTGGCGGTGTAGTGAGCTCCTGCGCTGCTGCCGTGTCTCTGGCACAGCTTATATCCGTCGATTGATGTGAGAGCTCGATGCTTATCATCCAGCTGCACGACAGCAAGCGGCACCTCTAGTGTGATCGATGCCAGTAAAAAGTACAAAGCAAGCGTCAGCAGACCTCTGGGGTCAACCAAGACCGGCCCAGGCGTCTGAGACTCCGGATGTCACCGCTCGTGACTGGGAGAGCAGCCAGCCTCTCAGCTTAAAATCGCAGCCGTGCGACCCATTCAAGCGGCGCAAGCACGCTCGCGGCAGCGCCTGAAGACCACTGAAGGAGTCCCGTGCAGCGGAGCCAGGATATCCCACCACCGCTCGACCTACGAGTGGTAAGAGCCAGAGGGCAGTGGGAGGAGACCAGCCTTACGCGCGAACGGGATTGAAACCACCACCACTCTCGACCTGTAGACAGCGACAGAGAGCAGTGGGAGGAAACGAGCTGTATTACATGCCGCTGCGCGCGACCTGGCGCCACGCGCTCCTCGTCCTCCCCACGGTCCGCTCCTGGATGTCCTCCGCCAAAACGAACGACGGCCTCGTGACGAATCTTGTGAGAGACGGAGTAGTGGAGAAAGGCGGCGCCGTCGAGAAGGCCCTGCGGCGCCTCGACCGCAAGAACTTCGCCGGGGCCGTGGCGCCGGCGTTTGGGCGCGGCGGCGGTATTGATGACCGCACGGCTTATGCGGATGCGCCGGTCCCCATCGGGCCGCGCGCGACGATCTCGGCGCCACACATGCACGGGCGGTGCCTCGAGCTGCTGGCGCCGCCTTTATTAGCCAAGGCCCAGGCCAGGGTCTTGGATGTTGGAAGTGGGTCGGGCTACCTGACGGCGGCCTTTGCTCTACTGGGCCCGGGCGTCGCCGCGTACGGCGTCGACCGGGACGCTGGTTTAGTTGCTTTGTCGGTGAAAAACGTCGCGAAGGACAATCTACAAAAAGAACTGGGCGACCGCGTCCGCTTCGAGCGGCGCGACGGCTGGACAGGTTTACCTGATTATGGACCCTACGACGCGATCCACGTCGGCGCCGCGGCCGAGACGATTCCGGACGCTTTACTGGACCAGCTGGCCCGTGGCGGCCGGATGATCATACCCGTCGGCGGCGTGAACGCGGCCCAGTCGTTGGTGCAGGTCGACCGCGATGTTTCGGGAAAGCTGTCGTCGAAGACGCTCTTCGGGGTGCGATACGTCGAGCTGGTGGACGAACGCGGGTCGATGGCGTAAGGCCCTTTTTGTGTGATTTCTTATCGCGTCGACGGCGTAGGGGAGACGCAGTGTGAGAGTCGTGTCGCGAGCGTCGACCGTGACGGCGTTGGGGGGCAGAATACGATAGAAACCTTACGGTGGCTCGTCCATCACGCGCACGGAATCCGGCGCCCGCGCCTCGTCGCGCCGCGCGACCAAATAGATCGATTCCAAGTGCTTTTCATAGTCCGGCGCCGGCGCCGGCGCCCCGACACAAGCCTCCTCGTCGAACTCCTCGAGCTGGTCGCCGCCCAAAAAGACGGCTTCGATCGGTGGCGGAGTTTGCGCTGGTGGTGGACTCTCGGACGGCGCCGCCACTTCGATGCCCCGCAACGCGTCGGACACGCAGGACACCTCGAACGCGAAGGTCCGCTTCGTCGCGTCGGCGCGCATGCGCTCGCGCTCGTCACCCAGCAGCTCGTCGAGCGGCTCACTTAACAACTCGAAGCCCTCATCATTTTCAAAGGCCGCCTTCGCGCTTGGCGTCTGCGCGAGGCAGTAGGCCGCGCCGAGTAATCTCTCAACAATCGCCTCACCCGTGTGCTCGACGTCGCGCGCTCTGTTCACCCCTTCTAGTAATAAGTGGATCGCCTGGATCGGCTCATTCACTTCCGAAGCGTGGTCCGCCAGCGAATTCACCAGAGATGCGGACAAAGCCGCCGCGACGACGCCGTCCACAGATCGGACCCGCTCGATCAACTTTCCTGCTTCACCAGCGACGCGCTTCGCAATGGCGTCCTCTAATGTCAACCTCTGCAGCGCGACGGCGGCGTAGGCCGTCTGCGCACTCGTCGCCTCCTTCATAATTAATGAAAGTAGCGCGTCGACGAGATCTCCATCAAACTTGGCGGCAGCCTTCTTCGGGCTGGCCTTCTTCGGGGCGGTCCTCTTGGGATGCCTCTTCCGCCACGCCGCCTGGATCTCCCGCACCGCCTCGTCCTGCTCCTCCTCCTCGGAGTCCTCGAAGAACCTAGCGCCAAACGCCTTTGCTGCTTTTCGAGCTTGTTGCTTCTGTCTCCAGGCCGCCTGGATGATCTCCGCGCACTCCTCCATCTCCTCCTCCTCTTCACTATCTTCGCACTCGTACGGGACGAAGGGCTTGGCCTCACTCGCGACGCCCAGGAGCAGGTACTGGCGGCCTTCTGCATGGGCCGCGATGCGCGCAGTGAGACACGTTATGAGTCTTCCACAAACATCTAATGACGATAGTCTTGCTACGAGCTTGCCATTCATCACACCTAAAATATCTTCCCGTATCAGGACTTGGAGCGTGGCCGCCGTCCGCAGATCTCCCGCGTCGGCGTCCGGCATGCGACCACACAAAGCAGCTAAGACTTCAGGCGTGTCCACACTCGCTCTTAGTTTAGGTCCATCGAGAGGCGGCGGGAGCCACAACGCCAGAGCTTTTTTAGCACCTTTGGAATCGACGTCGGGTACATTCGTCTCCACATCAGAAAAAGCGCCGTGCTCCCGCAGCGCCTTCTGGATGTCATTTAACCTTGTCTTCACTCTCAACAGAACGCGAGCCGGCCGCCCCTCGACGAAGTTGCCATCCTTTAGCGTCTCGTCTCCACAATCATTATCATCATCGTCTGCCGTGGCAACCCCTCTAGCTTGCTCGACGTCGTGGACCAACCAAGCACACACGACCAACAACTCCAACGCCGCCTTTGAGACGTGGGCCTTCTCCTGTCTCGCATGCAATGTAGCATTAACAAGTCCAGTCTGCCAAGTCTCGTACGCGCGAAATAATACAAGTAATTTCGGCGGCGCGACGCGCGGCAATTCCTTCACGAACACATCCCGTAACTCGTCGCAGGTCTTCTCCTTGAGTAGGAGCCACTGGTCGTCGCCCTCTTCGAATAGAGGTGAGAAAGTAGCATGACTCCACGGCTTCTTTAGTTGTGACAATACGTTGTAAGTATTGTCCTTGTTCACCGCCAACAGGGCGTCCTTCAGAGCCGCATAGGATGCTCGTTCTTCCGCTCCTGAAGGGGCATCAGATTGATCATGTGCTCGGCGTCGTTTCCGACACGACCCTAGAGCAAATAGAGCGGCACAGGTGACGCGTAGCCGCGCCAACGCTTGCTGATGCTGTGCGCGTATAGGTACATGCCGCAACCATCTTTTTTCAAAGGTCGCCCGGCGTTCCCCGCGCAGGCACTCGATGAGCGAGTCGGCGGCTGTATTGGCGTACTTTTGCGCCTCCCCCGCACCCAAGAACGCAGCCACCGGGGGAGGCTGTCGACCCGGACATAGTCGCTCCGCCCTTAATGCATCTTGGGCGGCCCCGAAGCCCGCAAACGCCAGCAACTCGTCGACGAGGTCCCAGACCCGATCCAACATCCGCGCGGCGCCTATGGAAGGATCTTCCTGATCGTCCAACAATTTGGCGGCCAACTCCCGCAATGATCCCGCCGCCGCGGCGTCGTTGGCGCTCATCTCCGCGATGCTGGCTCGGTGCTCGGCATGTGCTTCAGAAGCTTTGGCCTTGTCCTTTTCGCTCTGCAAGGACGCTTGTTTTGCCGAGGACGCATCTAATTTAAAGCGCATGGCCGTCTCGCCGCGTTTCGCTAGACTAACTTCGGCGTCGCAGGCCGACTGGGCCGCTCGGACGGCGTCGTCCCTCTGTTGATTGGCCTCTTCGATGCGAACAGCAGCACTCCGCGCCGCTTCCTCCAACGAGTCCTGGTTCGCTTTTCTGGAAGCGAGCTCCTCCTCCGCTTTCTGCGTGCGTTCGCGACACTCCACTAACTCTGCATTATTATTGGCTATTGTATTCTTCAATGAATCCCGCTCACTGATCAGCGCGTCGCGCTCGGCCAGGGCCTGCTCCGCGTCCCTCGCTTTACGTTCCGCTTTGTCCTGCTCCACGCTCAGCTCTATTAGTTTCTTCTCACTCTCCTCTTGCGCGGCGACAGCTCGCGCCTCGGCAGCCTTGGCCTCGTCCCGATAGACCACGGACTTGTTCTGTTCCCGCTGCAACGCATCGCGCAACTGCTTGATCTCCCTCCGCAACTTGCGCTGCGCGTCCTCCTCATCGATTAATTGGTCTCGTAATTGGTCTCTTTGATGGACCAATCGATCACAATCATCTCTCAGTGAATTCTCCCGCTGACTAAATGATTCTTGCGACGTCTTCAGGTCCGCGACGCGCCTTCGGTCGAGCTGTTCGTATCTACGCGAGCCTTCTAGGGCCGTGTCGCGGGACTTTCTGGCGCGCTGCGTCTTGCTGCGCTCCTTGCCGAGCTCTTCGACGAGCTCATCGGCTTCCACTCCTCTCGGAGTAGTATCTTCTTCTCGCTTGTGGAGCGCCTTGCGCATCGTGACCATACGCTTAAACATCTTGCCCTACCAATGGGCTGCCTGCTCTTATTGGTGTTTACTGCGTCGTGCGCCGAGGAAAGGCTGCCCCCTCGGTGCAGAGGTGCGCCTCGAGGCCGCGGCGACGGCTCGCGCGCTGGCAAACGACGAATGCGGCGCACAACGGCGCGTAAGCCAGCGCCCGGTGCACGATTTTGAGCTAGCGTGCGGGTCGCGGCGGCGAGGGCTCGGCGGTGACCTTGAGCGCCCCAAGAGCCGTACTCGCCCGCCCGGACCCCTCCGAGCACCATCTCGGCGACGCAAACCACGCCCGCGCGAGGATCGACGCGATAGACTTGAGCTACTTACACACTAATCGGCTTTGCCCGACGGCGTCCAGTTCCGGAACCGCGCGTTCTCGACGGCCTGCCTGGCAGCACACAACCCGATACCGACGACGGGGAAGATGATCCGCGACGCCATGCCGACATTTTCGTAGTGCAGCGAGTACCAGACGCCGAAGGACGCCGAGACGAAATTTGATAAAGTCATCCAGGGGAACAGCAACAGGTGCAAGGTCCGGTTTTTCGGAAACTGCGACTGCAGACCAAAGACCGCGGAGCCCAGCTCTAGCGACGTGACGCAGGCACAAAATAAAGCGGATACGTCTGAAGGGTAGCCACACAATGAAGCCAACACAAGCCCGAGGCAGACGACGTGGTGCGCCAATAGTACTGGAGTTATGGGTAAAGTTAAATCTTTTACGAGGTACCCGAAGAACGCGTGGTGGAACATTCGGTGAAAGTAGTACACATTGCCATACGACCGGAGCCACTCCGTCAGAGGACCGCCGTGCTCCGCGACGCACAAGCCACATAAAACGGGAAACACCAGAAATTGGTGCGTGACCCCGTTCCACCAGCTGAAGCGCGGGCTCCCGGCGATGACTTCTTGCGAGCGCTTGGAGCCGAAGCGCTTGAAGAGCTCGTTTATTATGAGGCCGCCCGCCGTCCACGTTAAGCAGCCTTGTCCGTGGAGCTGCCACCACTGCGTTTGGAGGAACGCCATGCCTTATCGGTGGCGGCGGCGCTGCGAGGACAACGGCAGGGCAGCGAAAACAGCACGGGAGCGCGTAGCCTTGCCGTAGCGAGTCGACGCAGCAAATTTGCAAGTTATGGTATCCGCCTTAGCGGCAGTAAGATACTAGCCCGCTCTCCCGATCGCATCGCACAGCTCCCTAGCCCCCAAATCGCTGCCCAAACGAGGGCGTCGTGCTACAGCTGCCCCCAGGATGATTATCCTCACGAGCTGCGCCCACTGCGCGGCCCCGCTGGAGATCATGGGCAAGAAATGCGGCCGCTGCTTCACGCGCTACTGCGGGGCGGACTGCCAGAAAGCGCACTGGAAGGCGGAGCACAAGCAAATGTGCGGACAAATAAGGCTCGGCGGCGGCGCGGAGAAGTACAACGCCGACCGTAAATACGCGGAGGCCGTCGAAACCGCGTTCTGGGCGTGCAAGGAGGAGACCAAGGGCCAGACGTGCTACATTTGCATGGAGGAATTCAAAAGCGTGACGAACGAGGGCCTCGTGACCAACTTTTGCGCGTGCCGGGGCGGCTCGAGCTACGCCCACGTGTCCTGCGTCGCGACGCAAGCTCGGGTCGTCGTCGACGACGAGACGTCGAATGAGTCGGCCGAGAGTAGGTGGAATCGGTGGAACGCGTGCCGCCTGTGTGGGCAGCGCTACCACGGCCGCATGCAATGGGCGCTCGGGTGGGCGTGCTGGCAGACGTATACGTGTCGAGATGCCGTGGAGTATAATTGGCAACGGCTGTGCGCCATGGGTGTATTGGGGCGAGGTCTCAAGGGCGTGCGTCGCATGAAGGAGGCACTCGTCGTCCAGGAGGCCGAGATCGCCACGCACAAGCTCCTACATCCGAACAGTGACGGGCACCGCCTCGGACTCATGCATAATGTGGCTGGTACCTACATGAATCTGGGCCTACGCGATAAGGCGCTCGAGCTCCACCGACATATTTGTGGACCCAACGGGCTGGCGGCCGCGTTTGGCGCCACGCACGAACACACCTTGCGCTCGAAGTTGAGTTTGTCGTCTGCGCTCATCGAATGCGCGCAACACGAGAAGCCGCAGTTATTCCGCGAGGCAAGGTCGCTGACGGAAGAGTATATCCCCGTCGTGGACCGGGTCTTGGGGCCTGATCACGAATGCTCGCTCCAGCTCCGAGAAAACCGCGTGGAAGCCATAATGAACGACACCAGTAGCACGCCGGGCGACCGCGCCGAGGCCAAGGCCGTCTGTGAGGACGCCACGCGCCGGGCGCGCCGGGTGTTCGGGGCCTCGCACCCGGTCACGGTCCGCCTCGCACAGCAATCCAAGGACGTGGCCAAGTTCCTGACCGCCTTGGAACAACGTCGGAGCCTCGCCGCGAAGCTCGAACCCGAGGAGAACGCGGAGGAGGTCGACTGAGAAGGTGGTACTAGGTAGCTCGCTTAAATTACTAGTAATCTGTTTAGTAGTACCCTCAAGGGACGATCTCGAACACCTCGCCGACGACCTCCTTCCACTGCGTCTCCCGCTCGCACTTGAGCCAGAAGTCCGAGTTCAGGTACGTCTCCACATCCGAAACGCTCTCGAAGAAGTAGCAGCCCCCGATGACGTCCCGGTCCTTCGAGTCGCGCGACTCCCAGCGCGCGCGCAGGATGTGCTTGCAGATGAGGCCCGGCTGCGCGGCGAAGGCCGCCGAGAAGTCCTCGCAGGCCGGCTCGGCGCCGATCATCGCCTCGAACTCCTTGCCGCTCGGCCCGTCGAGCTGGCCGTTGATCACAAGGACGGCCTTCGCATCCTCGAGCGACCGCTTCGATTTTTTTAGCGTCTCGGTGCTCGTCGGCTCGCAGACCTCGAAGCTGCGCGCGAATTCGCTCAACCTGAGATCGTGCTCCGTCGCGAAGAGGTCCTTCTCGTCGTTGAAGCAGGCGACGAAGCCCGTGGTGCTGCCGGACGCCAGGCCCAAAACTTTGAGCTTTGGTGCATTGACGGTCACCTCCCTGAGCTTGTGGGCGTAGGCGGCATCACTGGGCAGCGGCGCATCGACGCCGTCGTCGCTGTTGACGACGGCCACGTAGGGGGCGAGCTGCACCATTTTAAGCTGCCCAAAGAGCGTGCAGCGCTCAGATTTCTGCAGAGCGCGCGGGTCGCGGGCCGGCGGGTGAGCGAATTGACGAATGCTCCCCCGCCACGCCGTCGACGCGGGCTCAAAACAACCTACTTCCCCCCCTTCTTCCGCCGCCGCCCAGTCTTCTTCGAAGCCCCGCCGCCGCCGTCCGCCCAGGACACGTTTTTTTTGGTGGCGCGCGGCGGGGACCCGGGCGGGATTAAGGCGGATTTTGGTGAAGGCGGCGGCTGCGGCACGACCATGAAGGCCCGGATCGTCTGCGGCGACCGCCGCCGCCAGGCGCCGTCGGGGATCTCGCCGATGACGAGGCCGTTCTCCACACAAGCCTTTTGGAATTTCGCGAGCGTGCGCGCGGCGTTCGGCGTCGACGCCTCGTCGGAGACAATTAAGGCTTTTGCGTTCCGTTGTCGTGCGAACAATGCGACGAGTGTTTGCAACAAAGGCTCATGTAATGACGCATTGTAGGTGCAGTCGCACGCTAAGATAAGATCGCCGATCAAATCCGCCGGTAGGGGCTCGCGCCAGTCGAGACACCTCGCACTGATACGTGTCTGACCGTTCGCCAACAAATTCTCGCCGAGTTGGGCCATCGACGCTTGCATCTCCGTCGCGATTACCGACGACGCGCCCAGGATAGCCGCCGCGACGGCGGGCACGCAGCACCCTCCACCTAATTCTATGATGGCTTTGTTTTGCACATCCACGACGCCGTCTTCGAGTAACCTTGAACAGGCCAAGGCAGCGGGCCAGAGCGTCCGCAGCCCGTCGCAGCCGTCGTCGTCGTCCGCGGCGTCCTCGAGGGCGTGGACCTCGCAGCCGTTTATCAGTACCGTGCGCCGCCACCTTGCAGCCTTGGCCTCCCAGAGACCCGCCTTTCCAAGATCCTCGCCGCCGCGACACAAAGCTATCGAACCATCGTCTGCAGATGTTGATGAGGCGTGGCAGTCGCTCGCGAAGGCCCACGCCGTGCCCGTGCCGGTTTTGATCAGCACGCAGTCGGCGAGGCGTCTCTCTACTTTGCCTCGGCAGCGCACGCGTCCGGCCGGCGCCCACCGCGCGCAACTGATATCCGCGTTCGTCTCGAGCCGCCCGACGTTCGCGACGCCGCGGAAGCGGCCCGCGTCGTCTCCTTTAATGTTGCAGGCCTTTGCGAGTCCTCGCGCCCATAGGTCCACTGCTTTTCTCGTCTCCTCGTCGGTCTTGCCACTGAACGAGTTGCGACGGTTGCGCCGGCCCATCGCTGCGCCGCCGCGACGGCGTGGGGCTGCCTTTTGCTCTTTTGCTCTTTTGCTAGTGCCTTTGTGCCGCTAGCACGATTATCGAATGGTGGTCAGAGCCCTGAACAGCACGTGAACGCACGCCGACGTGGCCCGAGTGCCACCGAAACAAGAGAAAGAGGCTCTTGATTGTACATAGAGCGAGAGACAGCAAAAGCGGCAATAACAAAGCAGTGTGTCATCGCAGAGCACACACTGACGAACACCGCATCCAACACCAGAGCTTCGCGTGTGGTGCCTCACACGAGCCGAGCTGCGAGTAGCTCGTACCAGAGAGCTCCGCGTGGTGCCTCACAAGGCGAGCAAGGCGTAACGCATAACCGTAACGAGTGGCCACCATGCGCCGCCGACGCGTCACCGCACTGATGCTGGCAACGGCCGCCAGCGCCCTGAACCTCCCCGGCCGCCGGTTACGACAACGGCTACGCGCCGCGACGCTCGACCCGACGCCCGAGGGCACCTGGGACGCCACAGATGAGACCTACGACCCGAGGGACAGCGCGATCAACCTCGCTCTACTAGATGAACCTTTGGAACTCCCCGAGACGCCGTCGCGGCCGAAAATCCTCGCGTTCGCGGCACCCGTCGCCGTCCTGAACCTCGCGAACTTTATTATGGGTTCGGTAGATACAGCCGCGGTCGGCACCTTCGGCACGACGACGCAGCTCGCGGCGTTGGCGCCGGGCACCATGGGCATGGAGTACTCGTGTTATGCTCTGTCGTTCTTAACGACGGCGTCGCTCAATTTACTGAGCACGATCAGCGACCCCGACGGCGAGGAGCGGGACGTCTGGGATTCTACCTTAGCTGGGAGTATCAAAGTTGCGATATTAGTAGGCTTGGTGCACGGCGGGCTGCTGCTGGGCGCCGCGGCACCATTAGCTCGTTTATTAGGAGCGAATGGTGTAACCGTAGCGCCCGCGGCGAGGTACCTGCGCCTCAGGGCTGCTTCGGCCATAGCGTTTCATGTCTCAGCGGTCTGCGGCGCGGCGCACTTCGCGAAGAAAGATTCAAAGACGCCGCTGTATACCATACTTTTTGCGGGCCTCGCGAACTGCATCGGCGACCGGGTGCTATGCCCGTTAGCTGAAAGTGGACGGTTGCCGGGCATCCCGGACGCCATTGGGGCTGCGGCTCTGGCGACGACGGCGGCGCAGTTCCTGGGGTTGGGCTTCACGCTGATGGCGCTGAAGCGGACGAAACGGCTGCCGAAGGTCTGGCGGCGCCGGGGCACTGGTACCACTTCTGGAGCATTTCTGGCCTTCGCCGGGCCCGTAAGTCAGCTCCTCTGGTGTAGAATTGCGATATACGCTTACGTGGGCCGGTGCGCGTCGTTACTGGGCGCCGCCGCGGGCGCGGCCCAGCAGATCATGTCCACACTCTTCTGGGGCTCGACCACATTGAGCGCGGAGCCCTTCAACACGGCGGGCCAGACATTTTTGCCCGACCACTACGACCCCGAGACGCCCGATGTCATCACGCCGCGGTTCCGACTGACGTTGCAACGATTACTAGATTCGTCATTACTCTGGGGCCTCGCCATCACGCTGGGCACCTATCCGCTCAAAAGCGAGAAAGCACTGTCCATGTTTACCACATCAAAAGATGTGATGCGCCTCGTGGCCATCGGGCCCATCCTGGCGGTCGGCGCCTTGATCGCGCCCATGTTGACGGCGGAGGGTACGCTTCTGTGTGGAAATCAAAATTTTACGGCTCGTGCTGAATCGTCGCGTCGACCTCCACGCCACCGACGCGCCGCCTGCTCGATGGCGTGGCGGTGCCGGTTCCTCGCCGCTCGCCGAGAAATGACTTTGTGAAGAATCATCGGGTGCACCCGACACACTGGTTGATTTCCGCACAGGTACTCTTGTGGTCCTAGGCGAGTTCCAGTGGTTGGTACGCAGTATGGTCTTCTCCTCCTTCGTCACGTACGGTCTCGTGACGTGGCTACGGCACGCTGGTAAAGCATCAATTGCGAACTACTGGTGGGCCACCGTGACCTTCACGGCCTGTCGACTCGTCTGCAACATGGTCGGCGTGCGGACTCATGTAAGACGCGCGCGCGTGAAGAACCTTGCCGAGTACCGGCGCGAGAAGCGCGAGGCCGAGTTGAGATTGAGGACGTGTCCGCCGTGGTTCGACAAGCGCTCCAAGAGGAAAGTGCCGGCGACGGGCCAGTCGTACCCGATGGATATAGAGTACGAGCGCATCCCCTAATACGTGTAAGAACTTGTGCATTCGAAAACCATTTACAAGAGAAGCCTAGCCGCGCGCCGGGGGAAAGAATTGCCGCGCCTGGAGGCTCTGGCCGGGCGAGGGAAAGCGGCGCGAGCCCCTGGACATCGGCGAGCCTCTACTTTGAGGCGACGCGGGGAAGAAGCCGTTGTCGTCCGGGACCGGGAGGCGTTCAAAATCCGACAAAGCCCGCGCGGCCGTCGCCGGCCGGGCCATCGTCGACGACGCCTCCAACAAGCCGATCGAGGCGTCGAGGAAGCAGGCGTCCATTTTGCCGGCAGACGGTAAGCGTAACGCCCAGTCCGGCTGGCGAGTCCCTTCACAAAAACGAGGGTCATCACAGTCCCACATCCGGTGGGACGGTTTCTTCGCCTTCGGCGTGTGCAGGGCTTTCCTCGGCTCGCGTTTTTGTCGCTCTGGTTTTCCGCGAAAGGTCTGGCGCGCCCGGGCTCGTTCCACGGCCAAGGCCGAGGCCGGCGTGCGTGGCCGTTGCATCGGCGGGCCTTCAGCGGTGCCGCCGGGCGACGGAAGGTCGGGCAGCTTGATGGCCTCGCGCGGCTGCGTCGCGAGCGACGACGGCGAGGCCGCTCTCGCAGGTTCGGGCTCGCGCAAGGGGGACGAGGATGATTGTAAAGAGGGCTGGTCGTCGACCGCGCCCTCCACCCTAATATGGAGCGGCATAGTGTAGACGCTGCAACCGCCCGACGAGAGGCCCTTCTCGGGCAGGAAGACGCTCCGCAGATGTCTTAGGGACCGCGGCTCCCTTGCTTTGTCCAGTACCGACCGTAGCGCCTGGGCCCAGTTTGGCTCTTCTTCATGCAAGCCGTAGCGCGTCTCCCAGTTAAACTCGGGCTCCGCGAGGGTCGACGATGGCAGGTCCTGCTGCGTGTAGGGGTCCCGTCTGACCACGGGGTCGTTCCCCAGAGATAACGTATTGGCAGGTAGAGCTCGCGCATCGGATGGCCGCCGCGACGGCCTCGACGCGTAGGCCCGCGTCAGTCGATGGCGCCGTTGTTGATGCTTTGATACGCCTAAATCACCGTCCGACGTCGCCACGGACCTCCGGCACGCCTCCTCGGAGCCCGCGTCATCCCGTGCGTTCGCGACCTCCGCCGCCCAGTCCACATCAATACGAGGGGCCACCACCACGGGTTCCGGAATGTGCGTCTGAACAACAACGGGCGGCGCCTGAACTCGAGGAGGTTCTGCGACGGGCGTCCACCGTGCGACGTTCTCCCGTTCTTCCTGGGCGCGCTTGCGGTACATGTCGGCCTTGGCTTCGACTTTCGGAGGAGCGCCGAACACGGAGGCCCCCGCGCGGCCGATGGCGTCAGCAGTCTTCCGGTTCCTCGTCACCCGTCGATGCACGGCGCCCTTCGCCCGTAGCAACCCGAACATGGCGTCCTTGTTTGTATGAGGTACCTCCTCGCCGTCCGACGAGTCGCTCGACGAGTCCGACTCCGACGACGACTCCGAGGACGAGTCGGTCAGGCTGATGCTGTCTCGAGACAAGCTGACTTCTTCGCGCGACGCGCGCGCGGCCTCGGCGAGCGCCGCGCGCTTCATCCGCAACTGGTCCTCCTCTAGAGCGAGCTTTTCGGCCTCGAGTCGATCGGCCTCGGCCTTCACAGCCGCGAGCCGCAGCGCCTCCTTCTCATCACCTACTCTCTTCGCTTCGGCGATTTTTGCGGCCGCCTCCTCCTCCCGGAGCTTTCGACGAGCCTCGGCCTCGTCCTGCCGCTTCCTCATTTTCTCGGCGAGGGCGTCGTCCTCGGCCTCGCGCTGCTGTCGCCGCTTCGACGCCTCGTCGTACTTGAGCTGTCTCTTCATTGCAGCTTCTTTCTCCTTCAGGCGACGCGCCTCGGCGCGCGCCGCCCGCCTTAGTAACCGCTGCTCCGCGGCCTCCTCACGCGACTGCGCCTCGGCCGCCGCCCGGTTCGCCTCTTCGAGTTGTTCGCGCGACCGTCTGTTGGCCACGGCAAGTTCTTTAGCAATCTGCTCGGCGGCCTTCGCGTCACCCGCTAATCGAGCCTCCTCGATCCTTGAAGCGGCCTGGGCCTCGCGCTCCAAGCGTCTCTTAGCGTAATTCTCATGTTCCACGCGCCGCTCCTCCTCGCGCTGTGCTCTCAATTCCTCCCTCGCCAATGCCGCCTCCTGCTCGATCTTCTCTCTGGTAAGACGAGTCTGGCGCTCGAGCTCCTGCTGCGCCGCCAGGTTCTTCGCCGCCAATTCAGCCTTCGACTCGGCATCAGCTTTCTGTAACTCTGCCTTAATACGCCGGATCTCCGACGCGTCCTCGCACCGAGCCAGGGCCGCCTCCGCTAGTTTGGCGCGCTCCTCCCTTGCAATAGCCTCGAGGCGTTCCCGCTCCCGCCTCCTTTCTGCAGCCGCTTCCTCGCGCTCCGCCAAGCGTTCCGCGGCCTCCTCCTCGCGACATTGTTGCCTCCACTCCCGCTCCGTCATCCGCAGTCGTATGGAGTGGTCTTTCAAATCCTGCCGTTCTTCCCGTGCATCCTCCTCCTGAGCTCGTTCAAGTGAAGCCCGCGCCTCCCGCTGCAGCTCGGCAGTGATCATCTCGGCCTTCTGCGCGTCGCCTGCTTGCTCGGCCTCCTCAATTAACCTTTGAGCCTCCTGTAAGCGTTCCTGCCTCCTCCTAGAACGTTCCTCGTTCCTCCGGAGGCGTTCCGCCTCGGCGAGCTCGCGTCGCTCCAGATCCTGCTGGAGACGCCGCTCCTCCCGCGCTTGAGCAGCGGCCTTCAATTGGTCGCCCTCAAACTGTTTTTCCAACTCCTTGGCGCGCCTTTTTTCGAGCTTCGCGAGTCTTTTCGCTTCCTTGGCCTCTTGTTTACGCCTACGAGCGTCCTCCTTCCTCGCTCGGCGCCAGGCGGCGGCCTCCTCGTCATCACTAGATTCCTGCACGGAACCTATTTCGACCTCTTGCTGCAGTCTAGCTAATTCTCGAGCGCGTTTTCTCTCGGCCTTGGCCTCCCTCAAAGCCTCCGCCTCCAGCGCCCGGGCCTCGGCCTTCCGGCGCCGCCGCTCTTCTTTGGCTGCTAATTTAGCCGCTAATTCATCCTGCGCGTCCTCCTCCTGCTGCAGCCGCTGGAGGCGCGCCTCCTCTTCGGACGAAGCTCTGTTCGCACGAGCCAACTCCTCCTGGATATTACGAGCGCGCGCCGCGTCGCCCGATGCTTGGGCCTCCTTGATCTTCTGGGCAGCGGCCTCCTCGCGCTTCGCACGCTTTTCTTCGGCCTCGAGTAAACGCTTCCTTTTTTCCACATCGCGCTGCTGTTGTCTCAAACGTTTGCGCTCGAGCGCTTCCTGTTTCGCGCGTTTCTTCGCCGCCTTGGCGTCCGTCGCTTGCTTCGCTTCTTCCGCAGCTAATTTCTCCTCCCAGGACGGCTCCTCTGCCACGGGCACCTCGGCCGACGCCTTGCGCGCCTCGCGCTCGGCCCGCTTCTGTTCTTTGGCCGCAGCTTTCGCCTCGGCCTTCAATCGTTTGCGCTCCTGTTTCGCCTCCTCCTTCAACCGCTTCTTCTCGAGCTTAGCTTCCATCTTCTTCTGTTCGTTCGCGAGGAAGTCCTTGCGCCTTCGTGCCTCCTCGTTCTTCCGCCGTCGCTTCTCGAGCTCCTCCATGAGTCGGTTGTCCTCCTCCGTCATTACTGCGGGCTCCTCGAAGACGATTTCGGGCTCTACGGGCTCCGGTTCTTCGGGCTCCGAGTCCGATTCCGACGAGGACGACGACGACGACGACGCGCGCGCCGCGAACGCCTCCTGGACCGCCGCCTTGACCGCCTGCTGCACCGAATCCTCTTCACTGTGAACGCTCGCCTCGTCGGCCGGGAAGACCTCGCCGAGGTCGACCTCTCCATCAATACGCGGCCTCGTAGAAAGCAGCGCGTCGAGCCCGGCTCCACTTACAGCTTCCAGCAGCCCGGGCACGGCGTGGATGCACTTGTCCGCGCCCCTCGCCAACCTCCGTTCCATGTCCGGGAGCGACCTGTGTGGAAATCAAAATTTTACGGCGCGCTCGCCATCGACGCGACGCCTGCTCGATGGCGTGGCGATGCCGGTTCTATCAGGCGCACTGGTTGATCTCCACACAGGCCGCGACGCGTCGAGGTTATCCTCCGGAAGGACATCTGCCAGAGGTTCTAGGGTTTCCAACCACAGCGGGTCCGCCTCCCACCGTAGACTGACCCGACGTACACCGTCATCATCGGGATCATCGTCTTGCACCGTGATCCGATCCAGCAGAAAACAGAGAAACTTCACGTACGCTTGCGTCGTAGGCTCACCTACTAACCAGGCGTCCACGATCTGGTAGAACGACGTGAAGAACCGGTCCCGATTTAACGAGGAGTGCCCCTGCCGATCGAAGTCCCACTCCCGCGTCGCCACGACTCGAGCCTCGTCCTGCCAGCCCTCCTTCTGCGTGGCTTCGACGTTCATCGCCGCATAGAGGTTCAGGTGGAGAAACAGATACTCCTCCAAGTCGATGCTACCACTCTTATCTCGATCGCAGACCTGCCAGAAGCCCTCCAGCAGCTTCCTCACCATGGGGTCGAAGCGCGCTATATCCCTCCTCAGTAGGAGAAGGTCATCTGGATACCTTCTCTTCTTATCCAGCCACGGCTCCGACGACGGCGCGAAGAGCCAGGCCGAGAACTCGTCCACATCCACATCGCCGCCTCCGTCCTTATCTATTTCACTCATTATTACATCAACTTCCGTCTCGCGGATGTTCAAGTGCAGAGAATGACGAATAGCCTTGCCGAGCTCGTCGCGGTCGATGCATCCACTCCCATCGAGGTCATACTTCTCGAAGAGCTGCACGCAGCCGAGATCCAACGTGCGCATCTGCGCCTTCGTCGCCATGCGCACCTGGTGGAGGCGGTACGACGCGTCGAAGAAGCATCTCAACTCATGAAGCAAGGCGTGGGCGTTCTTTGACGTACGGTGGTCCCGGGAAAAGCCATTCCACTCGACGGGTGAGGATGGTTTCGTGCTACCGAGGCAGACGAGCTCGTGCGGGTTCCTCCAAAGTTTTTGTGCCGTCTTTCGTTTTGTGAGCGTAATGTACTTTGTTGTATTGATGAGGGCGCCGGTTGAATCGAGGTAGTCCACGTCTAGATATTGCAAGGTGCGGCCCGTGAGCCTTTCGCGTAGGTCGTAGTCGACGCTGCGGCGGCGGCTCCGGCGCCGCGGCATGGTTGCTCTGCTCCGGCAGCCCGCCTTGCTTCAGGCGCGCGCCGGTGACTCACGGGCAGCGTCCCGCCGCCCCTTGGCGCGCGCGCGGGGCTGCTCCCACAGACAGCCTCTCCCTGTGAGCCTGCTACTGGTTCGCCGCCCGCGCACGAAGGGCTGGTGCCCGCGCTTCCGGCGCTTGGACGGGAGCTAAGGAATGAGTAATGGAGCGCGGGGCAGCCGTTTGCCGTCCCTGCCGCACGCACGGGGTGCTCCCACACACAGCCGGGAGAGCTGTGCCTCCTCAAATCGCACTAGCCCTTCAAATCCGAAACCGCCTCACTCAGGAATTCGCGGCGGCAGGGGCCGCGGGGATACCTCTCGGAAGGGTAAGCCGCCTGGCGCCGGCGATGGAACGCGGCGCGCGGCCCCTTCACGCCGTCGAGGCGACCCACGTGCATACAAAAAGAATTAACGCCTCACCGCGCGCGCTTCGCCCGCGATTGCGGAGAATAGCCGGGCGGCGACGCCGGCACGGGCATGTACTCGAAGAGGACGGGCGCTTGCGACTGGAAATAGCCCGGGAACGTCGCCGAGGCCAGCACCGCCAACGCGACCACAAAAACCACAACGAGCAACGCGCGGGTGGCTAAACCACGAGTAGGCGACAGCATCCTATCTACACTGGGTCGGGACTGCGTCGCGTGGTCCAGCAACCGCTCGCACGCCTTCGGGCACCGTTGCGGTGCTCGTCGGCACTTGTCGTCGTCGTACGCGTATCTAGCGGCGTAGACCTCGAAGGGCTTCTGGGGGCAGTCTTTCACGATTCCTATCAGGCCGCAGTCGAGGAAATGGCTCCATCTCCGCGCGGCGGGGTGCGCCGCGGCTCGCGCATCTAGCCGCGCGTGCGCCCGCCAGGCACTTGATAGTCTAGCCAAGCTGCACACGTCGTCGGACTCCCGTCGCTCCTTCACACAATTTGATAATTGATCTAGGGACGCCTGGTACCGTCGTCGCGTCGTGAAGAAACCGGCGCCATCCAGGATGCGGTTCGCCGGCGGTTTCGGCGGCTGTTCGCCGAGTAACGCGCAGTTCTGGGGCGGCGGCTTCGGCAGCGACGGCGCGTAGAACAGCGACTGCCACGTCGTCACCACTAGAAGCAAGATGACGATTGCTACTCGCTTTTGGAGCCGGAGGGGCCAGCGGCGTCTTGCTTGCGCCATGCGTCGCGCGCGCGTTGCGCCCCGCGTCCCGCGACGGGCTCCAAATCTAGTGCACTCTACGCAGTGCCCTCCCCAAGCTTGCTGTACAGCCCTGGGCACGCAAGGAGCGTTGCAGCGTTTTCTCTGCTGTATATCTCGATGCGATTCAGCTGCTATTCGATTCGTTTCTAAACGAGCTGGGTGCTGCACTGAGCCGAGCTGTGCTCATCCTTTGTGACTGTGCTCTGCGGCTGGCTCGTGGCGGAGCCGTCCTGTAGGCTTAGGGCTCCCATTGCAAGCCCACCGATCGAAAGAAGACCCAGAAGACCCGTAAACTTGCGCTAATGAGCTAGCGGCCTGTAAGACACTAGCAAACACCAAGGCGAGGAAGCGCCGCCATTTGTGTCCGCTACAGCCTGCGCGCAGCACACGACTCGCCCAGCGCCTCCATTTGTGCTAGAGACAGCGCGCTGCAAATTTCCAGCCGCCGCATCGCGCCGCGCGGGAGCACACCAGCCCGCGAGTCACTTGGCGCCGCGCGCCCAACTCGCCCGCCCGCGGCGCCGCGCGCCGAACGAGCGCCACCAGACGCCCGCCGCAGCGCCCGCCGCCAGCGCGCGCGAGCCGCAACGCACCAGTGACACACTAACGCCAACAAAACAAAATGTCCGACTCCGAGGAGTACGACTACGGGTCAGATGAAGAACAATATAATTATAGTGATGAAGATCAAAATGATGAAGGGGAAGATGATAAAATAGCCATCGAGAACGCCTACTACGAAGGCGACGATTTGAAGAATGAAAATCCGCAACAAGCTTGTCAGCTATTTGAGAGAGTCGTACAATTGGAAGGCGAGCGCGGCGACGAGGTGAAGTGGCGCTTCAAGGCGTTAGAGAACCTTGTAGTCTTGAAATTCAAGCTCGGCGCGTACGACGAGATGGCGTCGCGCTACGCGGAAATGTTAACACATGCACAAACAGTAACGAGGAACGAGTGCGGCGACGGCGTCAACGCTGTTTTAGATGCTCTTGCCGATCCGCAATCACAATGCTCAGACGAAATCATGCGAAAGATGTTCGCCATCACGTTTAGTGCTCTGAAAAGCTCTTCCAACGAGCGGCTGTGGTTCAACTGCAACGTGAAAGCGGGCAAGTTGCATCTGGCGCGCGGTGATCACAATGCTGTCAGACAGGTGGTCGATGAGTTGAAGAAGTCGTGCCAGAAGCCTGATGGTACAGATGATAGTAGCAAAGGTACTTCTCTACTCGAGGCCTATGCCTTGGAGATCTCGCTCTGTGCGGCCACCAGAGACGCGCGACGCATGAAAAGGATCTACCCTAGAACGCTGAACCTCAATGCGGCCGTCGCGGATCCGCGGATCATGGGCGTGATCCGCGAGGAAGGAGGGAGGATGCACATGCGCGACGCGAACTTCGCCGAGGCCTACAACGAGTTCTATGCTGGATTTAGAGCGTACCAAGAAGCTGGTAATAGTAGAGCCAAGGACTGCCTGAAGTACGTCGTGCTCGCAAACATGTTAGCTCTATCGGACATCAACCCTTTTGACGCTAGAGAAGCGAAAGCCTACCAGGAGGAGACCGAAGTCGCTGCTATGAGGAGATTACGTGTGTCTTATGATGCCAATGATTTGAGGCAGTTCGAGACCACTCTGACCGATAAGCGGAACAACATCCAGTCGGACCCGTTCCTCATGGAGTACGTCGATCCTTTGCGGCGGAGGATGCGGGAGCAAGTACTTTTGAGTTTGGTGAAGCCCTATCGAAGGGTCAAGTTGGACTTCCTCGCTGGTAAGTTGCAACTGTCTGAGAGTGACGTGGAGCAGATCGTGGTGGCCATGATCCTAGATGATCGCATTGAGGGAGAGGTGGACATGCTCGAGAAGCACCTGGTGCTGTCCGGGAAAGAGGAGGGCAAGAAGCATCGGGAGCTGGCGAAGTGGGCGGGCGCGCTCGAGAGCCTCGCGAAGGGCATGGCGAACCGGGCCCAGTAGGAGCTTGCCCTTGTGTTAACATGATATGACTATTATTCGCGTCGACGGCGCCGGGGAGGGGCTCCGTGACTAGAAATTACTGAGGATCAAAAGTGCATGAGGATCGGGAGATAGGTAGGTGGCGTTCCGGCGCGAGGCAGGAGAGCCAGGGGAACAGAGCAGCAAGAGGACGGAGCGTCTACGGAGCGGGGAGTGTCCCTAGGGGGCCTTTCTGCCCGGGATCCTCGCCGCCGGGGGGCTGCGCCACCTGGGGCTGCGCCGCGGGGGACACGGCCGCGGCCACGGCGTCCTTCGGGCCGTAGCGGTACGCCGGGCAGCCGGGGCAGCTGAAGCAGCAGACGGAGATGGATATTGAAAGCAACACGACGATGACGACCCACATTCCAATAAAAATAAAAAAGCGCATACATATCCAATCGTCGTCGTCGTCGTCGTCGTCGTCGTCCCTGTGTGGAAACCAAAGGTTTCGGCTCCACGCCATCGACGCGACAAGCCCACTGGGCGATTTCCACGCGGTCCGCGACAGCCGAGTGCAGTACCCATCCTGGTCGCAGTCGGGGAAGTCGCCGCCGCAACACGTCGGGTAGTAGTTGTAGCCGCTGCCGCACTCCTTGTAGCCGGGGGGGCAATTTCCCGGGACGCACGAGAGGTCGAGCGACGCGTCCGTCGAGGATTCGCTTCCGTCGAACCCGCAGACGATTGAGACGTCCTCATCGTGGGTGCACGCCGACGGCCCACCCGACCTTCCATCGACGGCTTCGAGGAACGTGGTGTAGGTGGTCGCCGTGTACGTGTACGTCGAGTAATCGTAGACGTAGGGGTCCTCCAGCTCGACGATGCCGCCGCCGGTCAGCGGCGTGTAGCAGTGGCCCTCGTCGACGGTCCACGAAACCCAGTCCGTGTTGAAGAGTTGCTTGCAGACGAGCGTCGCGTGGCTGTCCTCAAAATAACTGCCCGAGCCGTAGGCTCCGAGGCCGCTGCAGACCGAGCTCCATGCGCCTTTGTAGTACACCTGCAGGAGGCCGTCGTACCCCCCCGCCGTCCGGCCGTTTACCAGCTTCACGTCGCCCTCCGTCTGGGCGGACGCGGTCCCGACGAGCGCGCCGACGACGAGAGTGATGGAGCGCATCGTGCAGCAGATGGGCAGCCTCTCCTCGTCGGCAAGGTGCGGCGCGCGCGACCGCGATTCGTCTCGGGTGTTGCCCGGGCTTGCCCGCTGTGCCGCTAACGCCGGAGCAATATACAGTTGGCGCTGGGCAGCACGAGGAGCAGATTCTAGTGATCTTTCTAGTGGGCCACTATAGTGGCGCGCGAGATGATCGCGGCCCGACACGAGTCCTGTCTCTCGCCATGATTCGCCGATCAGATCATCATGATCATGTGCCTTAGTAGAGCTAGGCCATCGAGTCGCGCGCCTGCGCGGCTTGCGTGGCGACCGTGCGCTTCGAGGGTTGGACGTAGACCACAACATGTTGTTACGCGCGCGCCTCAAGAGCCAACTCATCCATCGCAGCAAACCGCTGGACGCCCTCCGCGTCGCCCGCGATACCACCGACGATGGCGTCGGCCAGCGTGCCCACTCTGATGGTTCTATCAACGAAGGGCACGCCTAAAGCCGAAGCCAAGTTGAAGACCGGGATGATGGGCAACACGTCGAGCTTGCCCCAGGACCAGATGAGCGAAGGGCGGTACACCACCGGTCGTAACTTATCTGAATTCTCACTGAGCTTGGCCTCCACGGCTCGTTTGGCGACTAAATACCTACGAAGCCACTCCGGAGCTACCTTATCTTCGACGAAGGACCCGCCAGCGACGTCGGGCCACCCGGACTCCGCGCACGACACGAACGCGAACGGTGTGCGAGGTGCAAACGGCAACCGTAGGCGATTCGCCGTCGCATCAATGGCGTTGAAGGCCGTCTGCCGCGTGATGCGATCATATGTACTTTCCGCACCGGGCACGGAATTGGAGCCGCTCACGACCTTCGAGAACTGCGTTAAACCCGAGTCCACGTCGAACAACAACCCCACGGCGTGCACGACGGCGTCGGCGTCCTTCACGAACTGCTGGACGTCCTTCGCGTCCGCGGCGTCTCCACTAATCCATTCGACGCAGTCTAAGGCGGCGTCGCCCGGCAGCGGGTTCTCGCCTCTTCTGCTTAATGAAGCGACTTCCCAGCCTCGTTCCACCGCGCGTTTGCAGACCTCTCTTCCTACGTACCCCGACCCGCCGAGGACGCAGAGGCGCTTGGGAGGGGCGGCTGACATGCTCATGTGCTGGCGCGTCAGAGCGAATGCGGCTGGCAAGAGGATTAAAGCTTTGACAGTCATGGCGCAGACGTATGGTGGGGATGGCTACGTCCTTTTGGGGCACTGTATGCAATTCGTGCGTGCCGTTCAGTGCCAAAATGAGTCTCTGAGCTGGTTATTTGAGCTGGTGCTTAGCGTAGCGACACACACTAGTATGCTCCAGGCCCGCGGCGCCGCGGCCAGCGAGCGTGTGGTGCACGGCCACGGCGTGGGAGAACGCTGTTGGATCACTGCTACCGGGCGCAATCGCTGCGCCGCATACGCCGCCGCCGCAGGGCCGCCAAAACGCCGCCGCTGCAGCAGCCCTAGGCAGCACCAAGGATGGTCGAGGCCATCCGCGACTGCGAGGCGTTGGTGGCGGCGGTAGCTAGAGCTTTTTATCCCGATGATGTGGCTATTGTGTTGGATGCATTGATCCGAGACAGGTATGTGCGCGAGGACGAGATGGGGCGACGGCTGCGCATGTCCGCGCGGCAAGCTAGGAAGCTTTTACAGTTACTCGAAGGCGAGCGATTGGTCGATTTCGAGGTTTTGGACGTCGGCGCCGACGGAAAACTAAAAAAAAAGAAGAAAGATTTAGGTCATGAGATAGGTAAAGCCGGAGATGCGGGCCGGAAATCCCCGGCACCACCCGCGGCGAACGAGATCTACTGGTACGTCGACCTGGCGCGGTTCGTCGATGTGATACGGTGGCGCGTGCACACGATGCGCGAGACGATTCGCAAGAGGGAGTCGGCAGCTACCGCGGCGCTGACGTTTCGGTGCGGCCGGTGCGGCGTCGGCCAGTCGTCTCTAGATGCTGTCAGGTACCAGTTCAAGTGCCCCGAGCGGCTGTGTCTGGGCGAGCCCGACGCTTTACTTACTGAATCCGCTCTTGACGCTTCTCTCACTTCTGCCAGAAGATTAGGAGCAAAAGTAGACACGCAGCTTGGGAGTAGCGAGGATCATGATAGGGCGGGCATTTATGAACTACTTAGGAGGTTAGATGGGAAGGAGCTGCCCTCAAATAAGCCGTCCGAGAACCGCGCCAGAGGTGTGGGCGGCTGGTTAGGTAACCGCGGCGACGACAAAAAATACACGAGGAACGAGGACGGCACCATCACCACGACCTTCGGGTCGAAGCATGATAGAAGTGGATTGGCTTCGGCGCTGTTTGCTCGCAACGACCGCGGGCAGACTGTCTCCGTGTCGCTCAACGGAGAAACGACTACTTCCACAGAGCCATCTAAGAAAGAAGCGAAGAAAGATAGCTCATTACCTTCGTTTCTGCAGGGGTCTAGAGTGAAACCGAGAACTGCGCAGGACATGTATGCCAATGACGAAAGTGATGAGGACATGGAGGACGCGGAGGGCCTCGTGGCGACACAGGCCGCGCGGCAGGCGTCCGAAAGTTGGAAGCCCGTGGATCGGGGCGGGGCGGTGCACTTGGGCGCTCGGGGCGGGTGGGCCGCGGTCACGTCGCCGCGAGAGGTCGTCGAGGAGGTTGTTGAAGAGGAGGAGGAGGTCGTCGTCGAGTCGGACGACGATGCGGGCGTGGCGTGGACGCCGTACACGCGGGACGATGCGCGGCTGGGGTACGTGTTCGTGCCGAGTAATGTGAGTTAACTTTGATTACCTGAGAAAATCAGTTTGCGAGGAAGGATCATTTGCGTTTAGAGCGTTCGCGCCGCGCGGCGTGTTTTTTTGCGAGCTGAAAAATCGGGTTTTTCAAGCCGAGTCAAGCCGCCGCGCGAGCCCAATAACTCACCGCAAAAACGCAAGATGATCCTCACAACTTGCGCCGCCTGCGCCGCCCCACTGGCCCACGACGCGCCGCGATGCGTGAGATGTAAGTTAAGATACTGTGATGCCACTTGCCAGCATGACCACTGGCGCCGCGGCCACAAGCAGATGTGTAAGAAAATACACCGCGGCGGCAACGCTGAGCAGTATAATGCAGACAAAAAATACAAGGAGGCCGTCGCGGTCGCGGTCGAGGCGTGCGCGGACGACACGAAGGGTCAGACGTGCTACATCTGCACGCAAGCCTTGCATTGGAAGACGAAGGAGGGCCTCGTGCGCGGGTGCTCGTGCCGTGGAACGGCGGGGTTTGCCCACGTGTCGTGTTTGGCGGAGCAGGCAAAGATTTTGAATGACGAGGCCGAGGCGAACAATTTGGGCGTCAAGGCGATGAATGAGAGGTGGAGGCGGTGGGACACGTGTAGTTTGTGCGAGCAGGAGTACCACGGCGTCGTGCGGTGCGCGCTCGGGTGGGCGTGCTGGAAGACATACGTGGGCCGGCCGGAGGCGGATCAGATTCAACGCTTGGCGATGCAACAGCTTGGGAACGGCTTATTCGAGGCAGACCACTACGAGGACGCGTTGTCCGTGTACGAGGCGGAGTTGTCTGTGGTGCGGCGCCTTGATGGATCTGAGCACGCTATCATCGGCGTGCTGGCCAATCTTGCGAGCACGTATCAATTGGTAGGGCGGTTTGAAGATGCTTTGAGACTGAAAAGAGATTCATACCGGAGGGCTTTGAAACTATTTGGCGAAGATAGTAGAGAAGCCCTCTCAGAAGCTATGAATCTCGCACTTGCACTCCGGCTTACTGGTAACAAACCAGAGGCGAAAGAGTTACTGCGGGCCCGTATTCCCGTCGCCGAACGATCACTTGGGCGCGAACACTATATATATTTCAGACTACGCTGGCTTTATGCAAACTCTCTTACCGATGTCGAGCCGTGCGACCTGGTTCAGGCCGAGGCACTGTTCGACGACATCTACACGCGCTTCCGGCGTGTGATGGGTGACGGGCATCCGGATACGCCGCGAATTCATAGCTGCCTTTTGGACATACGCAGGGAGCTGGCCCGCGCCCGCGCGTCGTCGCACGCCTAACTATTCAATCAGGGAAACTCAGAAGTAGGGGGTACGCCATCGCGGCGATGAAGAAACTCAAGTGCGTACTCTTACGCAAACAATCCAATCCGGGATACTTGGGGGGTAGGAACGGCTCAACACGCCGCGGGCGCGAAGTAGGAGGCCGCGCCGCCCGACGGCGCGCGCGGCCGGCCCGTCTGCGTCGGCGCCAGGGACAGGGCCGCGGGGTACGGTATTGAGAGAGACGCCGGCAGCGGCGCCGCCGCGAAGGGCGCCGCCGGGCCGGGTGCTCGCACCGGCGGCGTCGCCGCGACCGGCGCTTGCGCCGGTATCAAATGTTGCGGCGTCGGCGGGCCCGGTGGTAATGGGGTCCGGCCGTCTCCCACAACAAACGACGTGGCGGCTGTAGAGGCAGCCCCGGCCACGGCCGCGACGGCGCCGCCGTCGCGCTGCTCGAAGGCCGAATGCCACGCGTCGCCGCGCCGCGCCAGATCCGCCAATTGCGCCCTTGATACTGAGGTTTGCGCCACCACAACTAATCGGACGGGCTCCGGCGGCGGCGGCGGCGGCGGCGGCGGCGCGGGCGCCGGCGCGGCGGCGGCCGCTCGTTTCGCGTCGACGCACGCCTTCGTCAGCGCCCTCACGACGTCGATCGCTCGTTGGAGCAGATCCACGCGGTTCCCCTCGCTCACCGCGTCTCTCCTGGGCACGGAGCCCGCGCACCGCTCCTCGGCCTCGCCGAGCGCCTTGGTAAGCTCCTCGAATTTCTCGCCGACCTCCGCTCTCCTCCTCCTTTCTCTAGCGGACTTCCGATCAGCTCTCTCGGAGGCCGTCTCGTCGGCGCCGTCGCGCGCGCGCTTCTTCGAGCGCCCGGTTTGCGGCGCCGGCTGCGGCGGCGGCGGCGGCGGCGGCGCGGCGGGGGGCGCGAGGGCGCCCACGCCGGCCTGCGTCGGGTCGTCGTCCGTCGTCGACTGGAGGAAGTCGTTGATGAAGTTCTGGAGGGTGGACATTTTGTCGCGTCTCGGGTTGCGTCTCGGGCGCGTCAATAGAATTTGTCGGCGCGCCCTACTGCCACGCGCGGTGTTCAACTCGCTGTGCTGCGCTCACCCGCCGGCCTCTTGCGCGATCGCTTCTCGCTCCGCGGCGATAACTGTCTGCTATCTGCACGTGGAGCGCTGGACTACGTAATCGCTATCGGCGCGCGGTTTCTGTTAATTGCAGCGACGCGCAGCAGCTTGGTGCCAACGAAAGAGTCTGTCGCGCTTGTTCAACGCGGCCAAAGTCACAAGACCAGGCGCCGGTACAACAGAGGGCAGACATGCGCCGCTCCCAAAGTTGGCACGCGAGCGCTAGTATGTGCTAGTATGCCAAAAACAAGTCCCGACGGGCCGTCAAAGGCTCCTAGCCCACGAGAACCGCGCCGTCCCCCCCTTCAAGACCCCTCGAGGGGTCCGGGGCAGTCCTGGCCCACAACGCGCGCCGCGGCGGCCGGCGCGCGTCCCCAGAGCGCAGCCCTACTCCAATCACACCATGAATCACCCGACCACACCATGAATCACACAAAGACCAAATTACGCCTGACTAGCCAGAGTAGAAGCTTGGGTATCGGTCATCTGCGACCGCGTCCCTTCGTCGAACGCATCGATGGCCGCGTCCAGGATCTCCAATTGGGGAGAAGGAGCCAATCTAAACCAAGGCTTGATCTCGACGAAGCCGCGCGGAAATAGGGACTTCGCGCGGATCGGCTCCACATCATTATTGATAAAGACCTGTGAATCAAAGTTCAAGCGCCCTGCAATTTGGGGTCTCTCGGGGTGTGTGTGAGGTGCTGCTCGCTCTACGCGGTCGAGTGTACCTCCCGGAGGTCGTGTCAAAGTTTGAGCCGAGATCACTGGTCGATTTCCACACAGATGAACACGTCCTCGCCCGACGCCCAGTTCCCGCCACACGACACGTGGGTATGGAGGAAGGTCATGTTCAGGGCATCGACCGCTCGTAAAACTTCATGAAAGTTCCGTCCCACGGCCTCGGGATATTGTTGAATGATCTCGACCCTATTGTTCGGGTTCACTATCAATACCATCGACGCGTGCAGGACGCCTGTCGGGTGGGGGGGTTGCCCATGTCTCACCATGCCGATCGTCGACGCAATCACGGCATCGGAGTCAGCCACAATCGGGAATTCAACTCGCACATCCGACAACTCCTCGGTGGCCGAGACCCACTTTTCTATCGTGGTCTTCGTGTTCACGGCCAGTCCCAGTATTTTTATTCTTCTTTCACCAAAGTCCTTTTGCAGCTCCGCGAGTGACGTTAGTTCTGAAGTAGCTACAGGGTCATAAGTCCGACAGAACGTCACAATCACGAGCCACTGGTTCTCGCCGTATTCCCGCGAATCGACGGGCGCTTTTTCGTTCGTCGAAGCGGCCTTGAAATGAGGCAGTTCATCGCCGATCTGCAACGCAGCGTACGTATCTTCCCCATCGCCGCCGTCGCTCGACGAGTCGTCCGGCACGGCTTTCAGGTACAGTTCGGCGGGCGTCGAGAAGCCGTCGGTGGGCTGCAACTCCCAGTCCTGCCGCCCGGCTTTACGAGAAGGGGCGAGCTGGTGCGCGCTCGGCGCCTTGGCGTCGTCGTCGACCTTAAAGTCCATCGGAGCGTCGACGGCGTGCGGCGCTCGGATGCGTTCGACCGCTGGCGCTGATCGACGACGGCGGGGGCAGCCTGGAGTAAATGGCTCACGAGCTCTGTGGCCAAATACGCAGCGGCGGCGCCGGGGCAGCGCAATACGGGCGCGACGCGTCTCAATACAGGCTCTGGCGCACGCTGGTGTACACGCGACGGGCAGCTTGGCCGCGGCGGCGGCGCGCAGCGCGCACACAAAAGCCAGGAGCCGATCGGCGCGATCGCCCAGGACTCGTCGGCCCGCGCCGGCGAGCCCTCGCGGCGAGCCGTTGCCCGTGACCCTTCTCAGGTGCCGAGCGTGCGGGTTCGAGGCCGCTGGGCAGTTTTGGGCCGCCGGCGCCAGTTTTGGGCCGCTACGCATTAGGCAACGCTCGGGGCAGCCGCGCGCACTTCTTGGGACGTTGCCGCGCCGGCGCATAGCACGCCAGGCACGAACGAGGCGCCGCGAGGCGCAGCGTTAACGACCCCAGCAGAACCAATACAAAAGCAAGCAGCCAGCCGCCGCGCTAGGAGACAACGACCATGCCGCCGCGCCAGGACAGCAGCAGCGACAGCAGCGACAGCGACAAGGAACAGAAGCCGACGCTGCCGTCGCGCGACCGGGACTTCACCAGCAGCCAGCGCAAGGGCGGCGCCGGCGCCATCGAGTCCGACAGTAGCGACGACGAGGCCGCACCATTAAGAACAAAGGATGAGTCGTCCGAGGACGAAGCACCGCAACGGAGGAAGGTCCCTCCCCTAAAACCGCACAAGACGACGATCGGCCAGCGCATGCGCGGCGTCATCGGTTCCGTATTTGCGAAGCGCACGAAATCCCAAGAACCGTCCCAGAAGCTCATGGAGACCTGGAAGAGTCAGGGCAGAGACGCGAACACGCCGCGCGGCCAGGATGTGGGAGACGACTCCGATGCGAGTGTCGACTCCGACGGCGTCAAGCGGAAGCGTTTTAAAATAGACCCGTCGGATATGAAGGGTGGCACGATGCAGATCAAGGACATGAAGACGCTGCTGCAGTACCTCGAGCCGGACCCTGACTACGGCACGCAGCCCGTCGAGCGCCACCTGATGCCGATCGACGACTGGCTGCACCGGCCGGAGACGTGTGAAGATATCCCGACCTATATCGAAGACCCCAAAACCGGTCGATGGCGCAAACTACGGAAACGCCATCAAGTCAAGAAGAAGGAGGAGCATTCTCGGGAGGAGCGGAAGGCTGTGGCGGCGCTCGATGCGGAGTTAGACGCTGTGGATCGGTTGCTGAAGAACGAAGCGGTGCCCGAGGATCGCAGTATGAAGCTCGAACGAGTCCTGAACGCCTTCTTCACGGCGGCTCGAGGCGCCTTCTGCGGCTTGGCTGGCGGCGTTATTATCATCAATTTCGCCCTGGACAAGGATCGGCAGCTCCTGGACCACTACGGTCGAACGTCGAACTTATTCAGGCGGTGGGGCTATCTCCTCGCGACGACCGTCTTCGTCGGTGCACTCAATGCCTGGCACAACGCCCAAGCTAACGCAAGAATAGAGAGAATCGATCCCATTTTGACGCTCGAAGTCCGTTCCATGGTCGTGATCTACTTCTTCGCTCTCGTGTTCACGTTGGCGATGGCCACGGCCGACGCTTCGTTAGCGAGGCACTGGACGGACTGGGACCCCGAGACTACTGATGCTACAGAACTACAGTTATATAATGATCGAGACGACGATTGGGAGCGCGTGTTCTATGGGAAAGCTACTGAATTACAAACCTTCAAGACCTGGCGCTTCTGCTGCTGGGCGCGGTTCGTCTGTGCCGCTGTTGGCTGGTTGGTTTCGTTGAATCGCTTTGACCAGCTGTCGAAGCAACTGCACGCGAAACGTCGAGAGATTGATGCTTTACGGGGTGCTGTGCGTACCGCTAGTACGAAGATGATCGACCTCTACAACGAACAGGAGAAGAATAAGGAGGTACCGACCGGGACCGAAGCCTTGCGGGATCTGCTCGGTCGACGAGGCTTACCCGTTCCTGCCGAGGCGCAGGATCTGGTCCGGAACCCACTCATGGAGGCGGAGGCGCCTACCCTCGAGCGGAAGGACGAGAAGCCCTCGGCCCTCCAGAAGATGGCGGCCCTACAAAAGAAAAAGGCGGAGCTCGGTAAAAAGTCGGCCGAGGAGCTCAGTAAAACGCGCGGAAACGAGGAGGAGAAGACGACGGAGAACCCCATCCGCGGCGTGCGCGTCGTCCAGTCCAAGCCGGCAGCTTCTCCAGCGAAATCGGACGCCAGCGGGAGCAGCGACGACTCGAGCACGGACGACGAGGGGCCGCGGGACCTGCTGACAGGGAGCCCGCGCCAGCGCCGCTGAGTTGAGTAACAGACTACTTAGTATGAACAACACTAGCTAGTGGCGACGGGCCGCGGCGATGGCGTGAACACTGCATCCCGCTCCACGGGCACGCCGCCGCCCCTCACGCCACCGACGCGAAGGACAACACTACGACACCGCCGCGAAGGACAGCCCGACGAGCGCCAGGCCGAATGAGACCAGTACGAAGGAAGCACAACGCCGCCACCACAAACGCGGCTTCTCGCGCGCCGCCAGCACCACTGGCGAAGAGAAGATCAAACCCGGCAGGATGAACCCGATCAGCGACCCGGCGACGGCCCCCGTCAAAGCCATGACTGCGCCCAGCGAATCTGTACTGAGAGCGACGCCGACGAGCGAAGCCCACAGCCCGAGCGACCACATACCGTGCGTCCTCGATGAGACGAGACGCACGTCCTCCACCGAGGCATCGCGGTATTTTGAGGACGCGGCCCGATGCAGCGCGTGGCCCGCCTGGCGGCAGACGAACACCGAGCTCGGAATGCCGAACACCATCGTAATGGCATAGAGTAACCGAGCAATCAGCGCTCGCACGTCGTGGATGGGGTAGTCGTTCAGGATGTTGCTCGAGGTTTGCGCACCGTAGGTGAGGTAGCCCGCTGCACTGAACAATACACAAAGTAAAGCTGAGGAGCCGAGGGCGAGGCCCGTCGATTTCGCGAAGCGGGAAGGTGTCCTTCGTTTCAGGGACCGGTAGTACAAAAAGCACGAGTCCTGGCACACAAAGGCGAAGGCGAACAGGCCCAGGGCGGCCACGACGCCGCGGCCCTCGTTCTCAGGTGCCGCTATCGTTAATGACCCTTCTTGGCCCCTCGTACATAACTCAGAAATAACAACACCGGTAGCCGCGAAGACCGCTGCTACACTGAGTAGCGAGATGCCTTCCAATCCAGAAACGTCCCTCAACAAACAGGGTGGTAGAGCCGCCATTCCAGCTCCAGCGACACACGCCAGCCGCAAATGTTTACAAGGCTTCGCCACGAAGAACTCGACGGACGACACCGCCGTGTCGCCGAAGATAATTAAATATGTAAGTGCAGCCCCGACGTCGAAGACGAATTGGCCGCCGCAGACCAAGACCTCCCCAATACTTCCCAGACATTTTTTCGCCAATCCCCCGTAGCACGCCGCCTTGAGCAGTTCGGCGTCCCGTACTAACGCGACGACTACCACATGTACGGTGAAAGCCATCCCGACGAGTAAAATGCAGCCGAGGCCCAGGCCCGCGTCCTTGAGGGCTGCGGGCAGGCCGACGATGCCGCTCCCGACGATGGCGTTCGCTAGATTTATTCCTACGCCCAGGATCGTCGAGCGGCCCTCGTCTGGCTCTTCGGGCGTTGTTTCCGGCGCGTCTGCAGCACTTTGTTCTTGTGCCTCATTTACGGGTGCCTCGGAGGCGTCCTCGAGCAGCGGCGCGGCGAGCGCTGTTGCCTGCTCTTCGTCCTCATCAGCCATGATGCTTGCACGGGTAGGTGGCTTGTGTTAATGCACCGCTGCGCTGTGGACCTGCGCAAACAGCCGACTTTAGCTAGGGTTATGTGACATACTAGCAAAAAAAACGCGCCCGCAAAGTGCCGGGAGGCCCTGGCGACGTCGGTGCGGCCGCAGCACGGCTCTTTGGATGATGAATTTAATTAATTGTAGTATAACCGTGTATTTAACAGAAAGATTACTCGAAACGCCGTCACGGCGTCCAGGCCCCGACCGGGCAGACCCCGCCGTTGCCGGTCGCCAGGTCTTCCGCGCAGTCGTACGACTCGCGGGCAGGACACGTCAGCGGGCAGTGCGGGTCGCCGGCCCGGCAGCCGCACGTCGCGGGGCAGAAGTACGACAGGGGCCGGATCGGCCAGTTCGCGCCACCTTCGACGCACAGGTTCGTGGGACCCAATTCGAGCCACGGGAGGACCCAGCAGCCCCAGCGGAGCTGCAGCGATAGACTGACGGCGCTCGCCGCGAAGTCCTGAGGCCACGTCCACCCGACGCGTTCCCAATTATCCAGGTACGCGTTGTAGGCCGTGTCATTGTACTCCACGTCCTCGCATGGGGTGTCCTGGAGCCGTGCCATGTACCCTCCCGCGCGCATGCAGTTTCTCCCACAACCCTGGTTCGGGTTCGCCAGAACTAAGGAACTGCGCGGGTCGTCGCAGCCGCAGGTCCGGGGGCAGAAGAGTCGTGCCCTCAACCCGATGTCGTCGTTGTCGTGGCAGTACCGAGCCACATCACTACAACTCGGCGCGATGCAACTCTTCGTAGTCGCGTCGCAGAATGGTTTCGACGGCGGACAGCTCCCGCCGCAGGCGTCTCTAGATACCGCGTCGCCGACGGCCCCGCGAATCTGCAGGTCGAGCTCGAACTGCAGGTCGAGCGTGTCCTCGCACCCGGAATTCCACGTCACGACGGCGTCCTCCACGCTCCGCTGCTTCTGCTGCGCCTGCGCGGAATTTGGACGGAAGGTGACGTGCCGCGTCGATGGCGTCGCGAGGTGAAGGCCCGCGACGGACGCCGCACGCGGACCACGGACCAGCTGCCACCGGCGGCCACTGGCAGCCGCGTCTTCGTCGCGAGGCAGCAGGCGGGCGCCGCGGGGTTGCTTCCGAGAGTGGCCCCGGTGGCCTCGTCCCAGAGGTAGCAGGCGTCGCTGTGTGGATCGACCGGTGACGCCGATGCGCGAGACCCTTCATTCGACCGGTGACGCGCGACGACGCCCCCTCGACGCCGACGCGGCAAGATTCATCAAAAACGGACGCTGGTCGCGGACTAGCACGTCGCGTTCCCCGCCGCGTCGACACCGATGAAGTGGTCCCGGCCCAACTGCCGCAGCACGGTCTGCACCTGTGCGCAAATCAGTGCTTGCGTCGCGTCGATGGCGTGGATATGCGACGTTTGATTTATGCACTGCGCGCCAACGGTCCACTCGCGGAAGCTCCAGTCCATGTTGTCGTCCATCGTGAGGTCAGCGCCCGCGCCGCCGCCGTCCGGAAAGTTCCGCTCCTCGAGGCGGTCGACGCGCGCGCCGGGCGTGTGCGCCCACCTGTGTGGACAAAGTAGCGTCGATGGCGTCGGGCGCGTGAGATTTGATTTCCACACAGGCGCCCACGCGACTATCCCAGCCGCGTCGCTCGCGTAGATGAAATCGAGCTCGCCAGCACACAACGCGTCTCTCGCCTTGACGAAGAGCTCGCGCTGCGGTTGAACGTGGGCGACGAGCAAAGCCGCGACGAACCTGCGTAGAATTATCACGTCAACCCCCACGCCATCGACGCACGGGTTGATTTCCACACGGGACGGAACGCGAAGGCCCCGAGTACCGGCGGCGCGAGGACCGCGTACGACGGCACACATGCAGGGAGGGCCGTCGCGCCCACGAGCCGCTTGAGCCGCCAGGACCCGAGCGCCGCAAAAATTAATTCATCGATCTGCAGAACGATCTCCAGCGCGACGGCGTTCAGGATCAGGTCGCCGATGCCCGGCGTGATATAAAGCCCCGTACCACGCCAGCACGCAGCAGATGCAGAGTCGTACGACTTGTAAGATAACGCCCCAGGCCGTCCGCGCGGGGCCGACGTCCATGCGTAGGACGCTGTACAACGTCATGCCGGCCTTGAGCACCGACCCGACGATCGTGAAGGTCCAGACGAGCAGCGCGATGATGCACAACAAGACGCCCTGGGGCCAGAGTCGGTCCTGCATGCCCGCGTAGGTCTTGAGCACCGCGAACTGGTCGACTTGCGACGCCGCGACCTCGTTGTACGCCAGCTCCGAGCAGACCTTGCGCGCCAGCGACACGCCGCGCGCCGCGTCGTAGTACTGCACGTCGTGCGCGATCTCGACGCGAAACTTGCGGAACTCCGAGACCGTCTCCGCGGTGATGGCCTTGTCATACCCTAACTGCGCCGCAACATATAAAAAGATGAGCTGCGTGGCGACCATCAGCACGAGCAGGCCCACGGTCGTGGCGGCGTCGCCCAGTGACGTCTCCGGCGCGCCGACCAAGAGCGCCGCCTCCCAGAGCGACTCCTCCATGTCCCGTTCATCCTCGGTCGCCTCGGCCTCGCCCGCTTCGGGAGCCACCGCGATAATGGTCTCGTCCGCCTTCTCGCTCCGCGGCCGCGGGCTCGGCCACCAACTCGGCTGCTTCGCCGCTTTTTTACGCGGGGCGAGCTCCGCGATCGCGGCACTGAGGGCGTTCCGGTCCCTGAGACTTGGAATGCCCAGCTCCGTGCGAATGTCCGCCTTGGACATTTCGACGAGGAGCGCCCCATCGACTTCATTGGTTCGGAGCGCCTGCGCCGTCCGCGCCGACAGCTTGGTGGCAGCCCAGCCCGCCACTTGATTCACTGACCAGGTCTCGACGTCGCCGTCCGGCAGGACGTAGTCCTCCTCGGGGGTGACGCCGCAGAGGGCGTCGATCATGCTGGCTTAATCAACCTCTTGGGTTGTGCTGCAGGCGCTGCAGCAAAGACGACACTCGTGCGCCCAGTGCGCGCCTCCGCGGACGGCGACGACGCGCAGCGGGGCAGCACTCTGGCTCCCAGGAGCAGCAGTCTGGGCAGCCTCTCTCTCTTCAAACTGAAACTGAATCACTTATGCAGGGGCGGCCCTCCCGGGATTCCTCCGGGGACGCTTCTCCCGAGAGCTGCCCCTCGGAAGACTTTGGTGACCCGCACGACCTTCAAAGTTCAGCTCACCAAGGTGCAAAGGCTGCCCATCGCCATGAAGCTCCTCCTGGCCCTCGCGGCGGGGCGCGCGGCCGCCGTCACCGACGTCTTCCTCGCGTCGGACCGCCTCGCGGCCTCGGCGGCCGTGCTCAACTCGGTCTGCGACAACAGCAACCCTTCCCAGCTCCGCTTCCATCTGCTGGCGCCGACGCAAGAGGAGGCGGAAACGCTGGCGCGCGAGACGGAAACGGCCTGCGATGGCGCGGTTGTGCTGCCGTACGGCCTCGCGGAATTCGAGGCCCGCGTCCGGACGCTCGGCGAGGAGCCGATGTGGACGACGGCGCTCGCCACGGTCGAACGGTCGACGTCGGCGTACGCCGTACCCGTGGCGCGCTGGGACCGCGACAAAAAGCACACGTCCCCGTACAACCACGCCCGCTTCTACGCGCCCCAATTGATAGAAGGCGACACGCTCGTGATGCTCGACGACGACGTCATCGTCCAGGGCGACGTCACGACGCTCAAGCCGCAGCAAAAGGCCGTGGCCGCGGGCTGCCAGCAGTGGTACGTGAACGGAGACGACTTCGAGGCCTCCACAGATTTATCATATGCTGATGTTCCGTACTTCGGCTACGGCGTCTTGTCGGAGGACCGCGGCGACCCAACTTGCGCGCACGAGCACGCGACGGAGTGCGTTCCCGGCGACGCGCGGCAGTGGTTCGCCGAGGTGGCGCGCACCGACCAAGCCGTCGCGAGGCGCGCCGCCTGGCCGCGGCTCCTCCGGCGCCTCGCCGCGATCAAGGACGACGCCTTCGCTTCCCCCTCGCCGGACGACGGCGACGCGTTCGTCGAGGAATTACGGAACGCTCGGGCCTGGAACTTCGGGCTGGTCGTGATCGACCTCAACTCGTGGAAACGGCACGAGCTCACGGCGAAATATACTGGGTGGCTCGAGGCCAACTACCGTCGGGAATTCTGGCCAAGCGACTCCCTCGCGTTCGGGCTGGGCCTGCCGTTCCTCGCGCTGCGGGGCGAGGTCGAGTGCTTTGAGGATGCTGGCGCCGTAAGCTTCGAGCAGGGCCTGGGCGTGGCGCCCTGGGTCCACACGGACCGCGACACGAAAACTCTAGACGACGCCTTTGCCCTACATTGGAACGGTAATAGGAAGCCGTGGGATATGGATCGGTGCGACGAGGAGACGCGGCCCTACTTCTTGCGGTACCTCGCGCGGTCCCCGGGACTCTACGGCGGCCACGTCGCCGAATCTAACGGAGACTACTATGCCAAGTGCGCACCGCCGCCACCCAAGCCCTCGCACCACCGCTTCCTCGCGGACCGATCCACTGCCACGAAGGCGTCGGTCGCGGGCTCGGCATTCTCCACTTGGGACCAGGCCTACGCGTGGTATGCGAACGTATATAAGTTCACGGAGCCCAAGGACATTGCGGAGGGCTATACCGAGGCGGACTGGCCGGGGATGGTCCGACTCGCTGCGTCTTCAGTTTCGCCGTCGACGCGACACTGTAAAGGTCGTTTCCACGCAGGCCATCACCATCGATGATTGTGAAGCCAAGTGCGCCGCCCACTTTCCGAGTGGCCGCGGAGTCCTCGCGTGCCCCAAGACGGAACTCGAGCGCAACATCCTGAAGTGGCTCTGGTGGCATCCCAGTGCATATGGCTTCGTAGGTAACTATCGCGGCACGGCGGCGAGCGACGCCTTCGACGGCTGCCCGCGCGGTGCCGGCACCGTGGGCGACGGCACGGCGGGCGTCGCCGGCGATGGCCCCGCGTCGCTGGGCTTCATGCCGGACAACGGCGGCACGTGCGACATCGAGGAGCGGTGTGCGGTGCTTGTGGGAAACGAGTGGGTGATCGAGAAGGAGACGTGGGGCAAGGGCGAGTCCTGGGAGGTGACGGACCGATGGCAGACCGGCGAGATCACGTGGAAGGACTGGATCGACGACAAGAGCTGCGGCACCGGGGACTACGCTTTGCCCGAGAAGGACGTGGAAGAGAACGACAGCGGTGAACTGAGTGGAAATCAACCAGTGCGTCGGGTGCACCCGACAATTCTTCACGAAGTCCTTTCTCGGCGACTACGTGGCCGCGCTGGCTCCGTTGAGTAGTGATGAACCGGCACCGCCACGCCATCGAGCGAACGAGCCGTAAAATTTGATTTCCACACAGGCGGTGAAGGCACGAAGACGCGCTACGAGCACCGCCGGAGCGTTTGTTTGTGCGAGGACGCCGAGGCGGATTCTTCGTACGATACAGCCGATCTCCTCGCCACGTCGCCGGGGCTCCCCTCCGGCTCGACGGCGTTGCCCTGCGACGACATGCTCGTCTCGAGCGAGGACAAGTACGACAAGACCACGAGTGCCGAGGCGTTCGCGATCGTCTTCATCGTCCTCATCGTCGTCGGCAGCTGCATCGCGTGCAGCGTCTTCGCCTTCATGAGCCAGCGGCGCCAGAGGATGCTATACGAGGAGAACGAGAAAAAAAGACAAGCGCAACTGGCCAACGCGGCCCCCATCGTCCACGCGCCTCCCGTCGTCCAGCCCCAGGTCCAGCAAGGCTACGTCCAGCCTCAAGTCGTGCAGGGCGGCTATGGGGCGCCCCAGGGCACCGTGGTGCAGGGAGGCTACGCCCCCCAGCCGGGCTACGCGCCCCAGGGACAAGTCGTCGGCGCCTACCCGCCCGCGCCACCTGCGGGACAAGTCTATGCCCCCCAGGGCACCGTCGTTCAGGGCGGCTACGCGCCCGAGGGCGGCTACAAGCCCGAAGGGTACTGAGCACACCCCAAATTCACCCAATGCCTCTCCAAGTCGCCTCCTGCTGCTCTATCGCGATCTCCCCTTACCCTATTGAAATAACTACTGCTCACGTCCACGACCGAATAAACTTACGAGAAAACACTACTAGTGGTGCGCCGCCTCGGCGCGCGCCCGTGACCCCAGAGGTCCGGTAACGAGGTGGTGGCGAAACGCGCCCGCGAACCGAATCGCGTTGAAGACCGCGAAGGAACACCAGACGCCTGACAACGTACCCCCGAAGGTCCGCAACGACAGCACCAGCCCGCCCGCGGCCACGGCCGCGTTGCGAGCCAGGGGAAAGAAGGCCTGGTGACCCTGCATGATCCCCTCGGCCACGAAGGTCACGCCGTTCAACAACTGCAGGGCCGCGCCGATGGCCGCCGGCGCGCGCGCCGCTTCCCGGATCGAGGCGACCGGCGAGAACACGTTCAGGAGCGGTAGTGCCGCCAATTGCAATATAGCGAGCGCCACGCCGGCGCACAGGCCCCAGCCCAGCATGCGGTCCGCGACGCCCTTCGCGCGCGAGACGCCGCCGCCTTCTTCCTTTGGCGCGTTCATCGCCGCGGGTACAAGAACCGCCGCCACCGACGACAACGCGAACAGCACGACGCCGCCGAGCTGCCATACTTGCATCGCTATCGTATGGGCGGCGGCCGCATTACCAGCAGGATCGATGGCCTGGGTCGCGCGCGTGACGCTCAGGAAGGCGATGTTCAGTGCCACCGACCGCGCCAAGACGCCCGCCCCGCCCGTCAGCAGCGGCAGCAAGCTTCCGAGCGGCGGCGGCTTCAGGGCCTTGAGGGGATTCGCCGCGAGTTGCAGCGTGCCCCGCTTCAACAGTAAAAGGGTATAAGTGAGCGCCGAGGTCACCTCCGCGGCTGCGGTCGCGAGAGCCGCACCACCGACCCCGAGACCCGCCCCAAAAATCAGGATGGGATCCAATACCACATTCATCATCTGGGAAAACAACGTGATCCGTAGGGGCGTTTGCACGTCCAATCGACCGCGGAACGCCGCGAAGCCGACGAACGCGACCATCGCAGGCACCAAAGCACCTGCCCTAATGGTAAGATACTTCGTTGCTTGACTCCACACCTCGGACGCCGCTGTTGCCGGTAGGGCCAACCCCAAAGCTCGCTTCGGATTGGCAAATAGTAGTAGTGAAGCGGTCGCGCCGATGCACGTCGAGATCCACAGCGCATCTCTCACACGCTTCCTTACTAAAGTCTCGTCGCCCGACGCGTGGGCCGCGGCGACCAGAGGCGTGACCACCGAAGGGACGAAGCTGACCACAAAAAATATCGAGCTAAACACCTGGTTCGCAGCACCTAATGCAGCGAGCGCCGTCGGGTCCCCCAGCTTGCCGACCCAGAGCGTATCTACGGTGCCCACGAGCGGTAATATCAGGAAATTGAGGACGGCAGGTACCGCGAGCTTTGTGATGGTGCCGTCGAGCGCGTCGCCCCGCGGCAGGACGAGGTTCTTCCCGGTCTCGCCGCCCACGACCTTGAGGCTCTCGAGCGACGCGCTGCTGTGTCTTTTAGTTAAGCGGCGCTGCGGCGTCGGCGGCAGCCGCGCTACCACCAGGCTGTGCGCCTGGAGGAGGAGCGGCGCGAGGAGGTGGGTCCGCATCTTATCTTGCAGGCGCGACTGTAGTACGTAGTAGTGGTAGTGCGGTCGTCGCGACGTTCGGCTGCTGTGGTGGTCTTTGTTGAGCACTGCTGTTCGCGCTTCGTCTGCGTATCGCTTGCGTTGCGCGTGATCGATGCGGTTCTGACGAGCTGTTATCGTGCCACAGCGTTGTCCTACGGGCACGAATGGGCGTGACAGCAATGAGCAGATCAACTATGCTGTCATCTCCCAAACTTGCCAGCCAGCGTCCGCCGCACGCACGCTCGGAAAGGTGAGTCCGGCCTTCAAGAGGTATCGCTCCGGCGCACTTTACAAATACCGCGGCGCCGCGCCGCCCAAGCCACCCGGCACGCGGCCGCGACGAGACGGAGGACTGCCGCTCGTTTAGACCGCTCGTTGGATACATAGGCAGTAGTAAGAAGAAGAAAGCGCACTTACTACCCCAAGCAAGAAGAAGCAAGAAGAAGCAAGCACGAGCGCCCCCCACGCCGACGACGAGAGACGAGGGGACGCCTTTACCGCTATCGCTTCTTGAAGCCGTACTTCTTCCGCTCATAAAATAAATCTGTTTTTGATGAACCTAAATTGACGATCTTCGGGCAGCCGTCCCGGTCCTTTTCCATCTGCGTGCATTCTCTGCAATAATACGCATCACTAATACCAGGACCGCCACAAATCACGCACCGCCCCTCGTAGCTCCCGTAGTTGCACTCGTCGCAGATTCGAACGAGAGTACAGGGCCGCACGTACGAGTCGCAGACCACACATTTCCCGTCGCATTTTTCGCAGAGCCGTCCGATCGCGATGCCCGGCTGCTTGCGGCACATGATGAGGTCGGGATGGTGTTTCGCCATGGTGGCGCGCTTCGGCTACGCTCGACAGCGGCGGCGCTTTCTTCGGCTACGCTACGGCGGCGGCGCTTACGATGCGCGGCGCGGCGCGACGACAGCGATGTTCCTTTGTGTGGCAGCGCGGGCGCAGCCGTTCGGCGAACGCGTCGCGGTGCCTTGGCCCTTTGGAAAAAAACAAACGGCAGCGCTAAGGGCTCGGTTATTGCCCTGCACGCGCGTCACAGCGATTTTATTAGCATGGCAGAGGCTGGAAATGCTAGTGTGTCAATGAACTAGATAATAATCCGGATCGAGAAGCGCCCGAAGAACGCCTGCCATCGGCACGAAGATGGGCTCCGGTGCCTCGCACGAGAGCGCCACGGCCGCCGTCGCGGCCGGCGTCTCCGAGGACGAAGTAGCTGCCCACCTCGCCTCCCTGGACAAGAAGCCATGCACAATCTACTACAGTCCCTTCAGCAACAACTCCATGGGGGCCGCGATGACGGCGACGGCGTGCGGCTGCGCCGAGCTCAAACTCGTGGACCTCGCCGGCGAGCAAAAATCGGACGCGTACCTCGCCATCAACCCCTACGGCCAGGTTCCCGGCCTCACCGACGACAGCAACGGCCTGAAACTCGGCGAGAGCCACGCGATCCTAAGGTACCTCGCCACGCAGTACAAGCCGTCTTTGTATCCTGGTAATCCAGCGAGCCGAGCTAGGATTGACATGTGCATGGACAACTTCACCAATTATGTGTTCTTGAAATGCTACAACGGCTCGATCAATTGCGTGATCGGCGAGTTGCTTGGGCTCGACGCCTGGCCCTACCCGGCCGATCAAGCCGCGGCGAATGCCGAATTCGTCGCGGCGTTGGACAAGTGGGCGGGCCTCTACCTCGCGTCAGGCCCGTTTGTCTGCGGCGAGGAACTGACCATCGCCGACTATAGGGCTGTGGGCCTACTCTATACGATCATGCAACCCAAGATCAAGGAAAAGACGGGCTTCGTGCCGCCAGACAACGTCGCATCATACGTGAGCGCCGTCCTCGCGAAGGACCCCGCGGCCGCGGTCCTGCTCACGGAGAACACGGGGAAGTTCCTCGCGTGACCGTGTTCTTACTAAAAGTCTTTGTTAGCTGCGACTTGACTAGTAGCCGTGGAAGACGGCCTTCATCCCCTCGTTGTTCGACTGCGTGTGGTCCCCCAGCGCGCCGCCGGCCAGCGGGTACTTGAAGCCCTCGTTCAGCATGCCGCGGACGCCCATGCCGTCCACCGGCAGCGCGCCCGTGGCGTCGACGAAGTCGTACTCGGCGCCGAGCTCGCACGTCAGGAGGACCTTGCCGCTCTTCGCCGCGAGGTCCTCGGCGCCCGCCGCCGCGAGCGCGGCGACGGCGCGGCCCGTGAACGCGGGCGTCTCGCCGCCGGGGAAGGACGTCCGCTCCGTGACGGCGCCCCCGGGCCAGACCGTCACGCAGGTCACGCCCGTGCCCTTCAGTTCCGTGGCCACGTCCGCGCCCAGTTTGTCGAGCGCCGCGTGCATCACGCCGTAGGGCACGCCGCAGAAGTAGAAGATGCCGCCCGCGGAGCTGATGTTGACGATCAAGCCCGCCTTCGCCTCGACCATTGATGGAGCCACGAGCTGCGACAGGGCGTAGGCCCAGCGCACCCCCGACATGTGGTCGTCGTACTCGCCGAGCGGTCTTTCATAAAACTTCTTGCCGAGATGCGCCTTCTGCGCGGCGAGGCCCTCGTAGGCGGAGTTGACCAGCACGTCGACCTTGCCCACCTTCTCCACGAATGCCTTCACGGCTTCGTCGTCTTTCAGGTCCAGCGTGCAGGGCACGACCTTGCCGGCGCCGTCGGCGCACTCGGCCTGCAGACTCTCGAGGTCCGCCGTCGTGCGGCCGGTCGCGTACACCGTGAAGCCGGCCTCCTTCGCGAGAACTGCGGCCACGCCCCGGCCGAGGCCGCGCGAGGCGCCCGTGACGATCGCCACCTTACCGCCGGGCTCGGTAGGTGCCGCGGCAGTGGCGTCGGTGCCCTCCACCACGGTGGTCACCTTGTGGCCGTCGGCTGTCGCCTCCTTCGTCGACTCGGCAGACATTTTAAGGTGTGCTCGTGGCTTGTGGGCGGTTGCCTCAAGTAATTGTGCAGCGTCGGCGGCGTAAAAGCTGCCCAGAGGTCGTGCACTGGCTGCAAAAATCTGCAGAGCCTGGCGCTGGATGGGCGAGTGCGCTACCGGTCGGCGCCGCACGACACGTTACGGACTTGGCTTGGGTCCTGCGCGCCCCGCGGAGGCTGCCCTTTGACGCTCGGCTGCCTTTGACGCGTGGCCGACGCACCAACCCACTGCAGGTGACACTGTGCGGCTGCCCTGCCCGAGCTGTGCCTCCGCGTTGACGCACAGATCATAAATAGACGATGGCCGCGTCCACGAAGCAGTTCACGCACGCCGGCGCCCACGTTGTGACGAAAGCGGACGACATCAACGCGACGGCGCCGCCTCCCGCGGAACCCGAGGGCTTCCCGCTGCACGCCATGCGCATGAAGGACTTCCTCGCGCTGGAGAAGCTGCGGCCGCACAACGCGCTCAAGCGGGAAGGCCTGGTCGTCGCCCTCGACTTTAACGGAGCGCACAAGGACGCTAAATTAAATTTCGTGAGCCACCAGTGGCTTGCCTACGCGGAAGCGGACCCGAACGGCGACCACCTGAAGACGATGCAGGACGTGTTTCGTAGGGTCATGGCCGGCGAGTCCATCTTCCGGTCGGAAGACGACTGGTCGGCCTACACGAAGGGCTCGAACGAGGAGAACGCGCGCTGGAACCCCCACGCGTGGTCCATCTCGCCCGAGGAATTTACGAAGAGCATCAGCGAGGGCTGGGTCTGGATCCGTGTGGGAATCAACCAGTGAGTTAGGTTGCGTCGATGGCGTGTGGCGTCCGAAATTTGATTTCCACACAGGTCTGGATGGACTATATATCGATCCCGCAAGTCATCGGCTGTTCTAGGGATGAGGTCGCTTCCGTGCTCGCCGACCAGAAGGCCGCGATCCAGGCCATACCGTCGTACGTGCGGCACGCCCAGCACTTCTGGATCTGCGCGCCGTCGGGAGCGCAGCACGTCGACACGTGCTGCGAATGTAATTACGACACGTGGCATAGTCGTGGCTGGTGCCGGATGGAGGAAGCGGCGTTAAACCTGGAGCGGCTCGGCGACGGGCGCGCCTTACTCGTGACGCAACCGCTTGGTGAAGAACCGGCCGTCTCGACGTTCGACAAAATAGATAGGGCCTGGTACCAGACAGTGCACAAATCAAAGCTCGCGGCGCTTATCACACCGTCGACGCGAGCCTGTTCGATGGCGCACCCGACGCACCGGTTGATTTGCGCACAGGAACAAGACGCAGCGCGCCAATTCGCCGCTCACCGGCGCGTATTCCTGCTGCCGCATGAATCACGTCGTAGTATCGAAGGACGGTGCTAAAACAAAAATAGGCTGCGACAAGGTCGCGCTCAAGGGCGTCCTCCATACGTTGTTCGACCGCAAGGTCGCCGAGATCCGCGAGGCGTGCAGGGAGGAGGGGAGCTATAAGCTTGACCTCGAGTGGAACGAGCGCATGAATCACTCCAATTCAACCGGACAAGGTGCCTACCGCAACCTCTGGTTCCTCGTCGCCCTGAAGCCGATGCAGCTGGCCGACACCGTCGACGAGATCGATTATGTCGAGCGGGGCTGGTCGAAGCCCTTCGAGGAACTAACGAGGGAGGACTACGAGACCTTTTGTAGGGAGGGAAACGGCCACCAGGGTGGTTTGGAATGCGACCCCGAGCGGGACCTGGATACGGTGGCCTGGAACAGTGCGAACATGGGCCACCTGCCGATGCTGCGGTACTGCGTCGAAAAGCTCGGGGCGGACCCGAACTACAGTAACCACTACCACATGAGCATGTTGTTGATGACGGGCCGCTTCGGCCACGACGCGTGCCTGCGGTACCTCTGCTCGAAGTTGACGAAGGAGCAGATCGATCATACGAGCGGTGGTCAAAGGATGTGTGGAAATCAAAATTTTTACGTCGCGTTCTCCACGCCGTCGACGCGACGCCGTTGATCCACACAGGTCTTGGGCTATCGGCCATTGGGGACGCGGCGAAATGCGGCCACGCCAAGTGCATTCGCACACTGCTCAGCCTCGGCGCTAGTGTCGACCCGCGCCGGAAAAACGGGAAGACTCCGCTCCACGAGGCCTGCGCCAACGGCCACGTCGAGTGCGTCCGGTGTCTCGTGGACGGCGGCGCGGAGGTGAACGCCGTCGACAACAACGGCATGCAGCCCGTCGACCTGGCGATGGCGTCGGTGACGAACCGGGAGGCCGTGCTGGAGGTGCTGCGCGCCGCCGACGCGACGTTGAGAGCTGCCCACGCGACGCTGATGAGCGGTGCGGACGCGTGCGACGCGTGCGCCGACGACGGGTGCGAGTGCGCTACGTAACAAGTGTAACTTAGGAGCCCGGGCCTTGTGCCCTACTCGATGTCCAGGTTCTTCGGCAGCCCGACGGACTTGAAGAGCTCGTCGATCTGGTACGACGCGACGCCCTTCTTCTGGACCAGGTAGTCCTTGACCGAGAAGAGGTTCTCGGTCCAGCGGATCGCGTGCTGCTTCATGTCCTCCGACAGCTTCTCGATGCGCGCGAGTTCCTCGGGGTCGTTCGCCTTGTAGGCTTCCAACCGTTGCTCGAGCTGGCCGCGCCGCGTCTTCAGATCAGCAAGCTTCTTGAGCTTCGCGGCTCGAGATCCGTCGGTGTCCTCCCTTCCACTCTTGGCCTCCTGCTCCGCTACTTTGGCCTTCGCCAGCCGGTCCTGGGCCCGCTTCAGGTTCGCCTTGGCCTGTGTGGTTCACGAGACTCGCGGCGACTGTTCGCTTCGATGGCGTGATGGGACCCCTCGACGCCGTCGACGCGACGCCAGCAACGCGAGAATGACGCCATCGACGCGGCAACGGACCTCGTCGAGCTGCTTCTTCGCTTGAGCACCTTGCGACCCGGGGAAGGCCCAGAAGTAGTTGCCCGTGCCGATCTTGTCGCTCGACACGTAGTTGTCGTCCATGAGCTGCGTGTTCACGTCCTGGACGAGCTTCTCCGCGAGGCCGGCGGCCTTGGCCAGCTTCGTCAGCTCCTTGAGGTTGAAGGGCTCCTTCTTCGTGTGGTAGATCTTGAGCAGCATCTTCTTCTTGTCGGCGGCGGTCGTGCGGCCCATCTTTGATTTTGTGTGCGGCGCGGCGGCGCGCTCGGCTTGGCGGTAACGACGGCGGCGGCGGCGCGCCTGCGGGGTAGGCGCGGCTCGGCGCGGTGCGACGCGCGGTCGCTCTGAAGCGCTTGTAATAGGCGGAAACGCGCGGGCCGCTGTGATAGCGGCGTGAACCGCGGGAGCGCTCTGGCGTCCAGCGCGGGGCCGCGGGTCGCCGCACGGCGCTGCTTTTCGACGCCGCAGCGCACAACTGTGTCCTCTAGCCTCTGGCAGCGCTTCCTGGCGAGTGACAACTTATGCGCCCAAAAAGCGAAAGCGCGTAGGTTCCCGCTCGAGATCCCTAGCGTTCAGTAACACACTAGCAAGCAGCAGGCGTCGCTGTTCGGGTGGGGGGAGGTGGTTCTGCTTAGCAGGAGGTATGCTGTTATGAAAAGACGCGGCGGCGGGCGATAAATCGGCGACGCACGGTGTCTCCCAGGGGCGCCACCGACTAGTCCTAGCAGGCTAGCACCGTAACAACCACGCCCAGGGACAAAGTGGAAACGTCACTTACTCACCGCGCGGCGGCGAGCAGCCGGCGAAGAAGCACCGGACGACACCGACCGCTGCGGCGAGAGGCCCCTGAGCTGCGGCGACATCGTGGAGGAGGTCCTCATTGGTTCGGGCGCCCCCACCATGTCATGCATGTCGAAGGTACTAAACGCGGCGATGGCATCCCTCACATGATCCATCTTTTTGGATTTTTTGTGCGTCTCGAAGTGTCGTAATTGTTGCCTCCAGGTCGGCGTCGGGGTCACGACGCTCTCTTCCGAAACGCTCTCCTCGGACGGGCTCCGCTTCGCGGCCGCCTTTATTAAAAAGTTTTCCTGATGAGCGGCTTCTTCAAACCAGTGCCTCACTTCATCATTTTCACATAACGTCATGACGTCCGCCTTGGTTATCGAAGCGATCTCGGCCCAGTCCTTGCTGCGGTTGCAGATCGTGACTTTTGAGGTACATTCCTGGGAGAAGAGCCCGGCGCCGCCCGCGCTCATGCCCGGTATCAGCAGTTGCAACTGCTGCAAATTCGCGTCGAGGTAATTTTTCTGGTGGCCTTGCCCCATCCGCTCGATGGGAATGACGACTGATAATCGACCGAGTAAGACATAGCAGAGCGCCCGGGCCGGCTCGCCCCGCCGGAACACGACCTGCCCCGCCGGCACGGTCTGCATCGACAAGGCTCGCAGGAACTGGATCACGGTCGCGCCCTCGTGCGCGCTCACGAAGGGAATGGCTCTACATTTTTCAAATAGAGCGGCCAGATCGAGTTCCAATCTCAGAGCCTTCGGGAGCTTCGCGGCGACATCCTCTAAAGGTAAACAACCTTTTCTCGAGCGCCATGCAAATTTGTAGTACTTGAGGACTCGCTCGGAAACCTTGGCGTCGACGCGGTGGTAGTGGAGGCATCTTCTTACCGCAAAGATCTCGTCCCGCTCGTCCGCGTCCGCGTCGGAATTCAACACGGCGTGCATGACGTTGCCGACCTCGGCAATCAACACGGCGTTCAGCAGTAACGTGTAGAAGAAACATAGTACCCCAATGAAGCGCGAGAGAGACGACTGGGGCACGCCCGCCGGCGAGATCCAGCTTATGTTGCCCGTGAGTACACCGGCGACGCGCCAGATGCAGTCAAAGTACGCGTCGCCTATATTCGTGAACAATGGGTGCAATGGCGGGTATTCTCCGGTGCCGCCCACATTCCAGATGTCATCATTATTATCCATGTAGTTGGACCAGTCCAGATCCGACCCCTTCCATCCTTGTAATCGGCCACGGTACATGTCGTACGCTATCAGACAGCCCATGAAGTGCATCGAGAGTACTGTTAATACGAGGAGATACACTAATCGCGCCGAATGGCCGGAGATGTATTCTCTATTGGAAGCTTGAAACCTCACTAACCGTAGGAACACTAACCCGCCGATGACGCGGTAGCCTTCGGAACCCCAGCGGTCGCACTTGATCACTTCACTCCTATTACGTTGTCTTTGGAGCGAGGCCGTGCAGCCGCAGAACCGCACTATATCAGGTATGAGCGCTAAAGCTTCGGCGATGAACGGGCTCTCGCGCGCGTTCGACGAGCGGTCCCGCCGCCAGACGTAGTTCTTCGCGATTCTCTTGCGATTAAACACCTCCTCGTGGAACTGGTCGACGAAGGACCTGTGTGTTTTTGTGTCCTTGTCTGTCTGTCCCTCTCTCGCGTCTTGTCTCCGTGTCTGTCCAACGCCATCGACGCGTAGCTTCTCTGGACGCTCGTAGACCGCGCTTCTCCGCGCCTCGGCTCTCTCTCCAACACCGTCGGTCTCTCGACGCCATCGACGCCACGGAGGACTTTATATGTCCACCTCCACGCCATCGACGCGCAGCGTGGTGTGACGTAAGGCGCCCGACGCCATCGACGCGATGCACTGGTTGATTCCCACACGGCAAACAAAGGACGTGTTAAACGACAGCACGATGTCGAACACGAAGACCGCGAATAACGTGGCCGTGATCGAAGCAGGCGGCCGCCAGCCGAACCCCATCCCAATTGCTTCTAAGGCCGCCGAACACGCATATAACTCGGCAACAATAATCCTCCACGTCTGCACGACGAAGCCCTCGCCACTCAAAATCAACCCCTGATGCTCTTGCGCACTTCTAGCGCGGTCCCAGATCTCCCGTCGTCTTTCGCGGCCCGCGTCGATCGACAAGGGTCGCATCAATTTCCGCCGACTCTTCGGCTGGCTAACACCACTGTCGTCTCTCGCAAATCTACGATCGGCGTCGATCTTTGTTAAGTGAGGGCACTTCTGGAGCGCCACCGACAGGTGTCGCGTCCCGCCCCTGCCGAACGGATTCGCATCTAATTCTAAATGCTCCAAGACCGACTCTGAGTTCGCGACGAGGGCCTTGGCGATGGCCTGCACGCCGCTATCTCCGACACCATTGGTATCTAATCGTAAATGTTTTATCTTCGTATCTGTTTTCAGTAGTGCCGCGACGTGTATTGCCGCGTCGTCGTCGACGCAGTTGTTGTCCAAGAACAGCGCATGCAAGGCACCGTTGGCGCACGCGTCACATATTGACTTGACTCCTATGGACGAGATGTCGTTCGTTCCTAGCCTCAATTCAAGTGTATGTTCCGTGCTCAGCGTTTCGAGGAGCTGGGCAATTTCAGAAGCACCGGCGTCTCCTAATTGGTTCATGGCCAAGTCTAACACTCGCAGATTCGAGGCCGTGCCGAGGGCCATTCGTAGCGAGATCGCGCCCGGCTCGCCGATCTGATTCCCGGCCAAGAACAAGCCTTCCAACCCAATAGGCTTCGTTCTTTTAATCCAGGACGCCAGCTTGCGCGTCTTGGCGTCGCCTAGCTCCTTGAAGGATAGGTCCACTTTACCAGGTACTTCCTCAAGAGCCTCGTACTCGCCGACCGACGCCGGCTGCGGCTTCACGGCGAGCACGCCCGACGCTTCCTTCCGGACGATGCGCGTGTTGTCGTTCTTCAGGTTGACCTGGATCATGCCTTCTGCTGGAGGCGTGGCGACCTGTGTGGAACTCAACCAGTGCGTCGGGTGCATTTCTCGGCGATGCGCCGAGCGGTGAGGAACCGGCATCGTCACGCCATCGAGCAGATATCATGAAGATGGCGTGAAGGTCGACACGAACGCGCCGTAAATTTGATTTCCACACAGGTGGCCACTCTACTAGAAGTAGCCCGCGCGCCCCATCTTACTTCAAACGGAATGCCCTCTAGTTGAATAGCACCGTCCGGCCCTTGGTCCTTCATCGCCTTTGAGATCTCCTCGCAGCGCGCCGCGTCGTAATTTTCCCAGGAGCCGTCCGGCCCTTGGTGCGAGAAGACCTCCACTGTTTGTTCTCGTCGGACGATGCGCGTGTTGTCATTCCTAATATTGACTTGGATCATGCCCTCGTCCGGTGGCGTCGCTACGCGCGAGGAAGTAGCTTTCGAGCCCCAACGGACCTCGAACGGGATGCCCTCCAATTGAACAGCCCCATCAGGACCCTGCGCCTCCATGGCCGTCGCAATCTCAAGACATCTAGCCGCGTCGTAGGGCTCCCACGCTCCGTCCGGGCCCTGGTGGCTGAAGACCGCCGGCCCGCTCTCGTCGCGTGTCTGCGTCTTGGCAAAAGCTAGAGCGCTCTTCCAGCGCTGCTTTATTTGCGGGCTCGCGCTGGCTTCTGCGGGTGGCTCCTCGGAGGCGCCGCGCTCGGAGGCGCCGCGGAGCATGGAGGCCAGGCGATGAGGGACCATGAGGGAGGCTGCCCCGAGTCACGCCTTGGCTGCTGCTAGTCTGCTGCCGGTCCGCGCGGTGGCGGGGGAGCGGCTGCTTCTTCGGCTTGGGTCGCGGGCTCGTCGTTTCGCTGCCAACGCCCCCGCTCCTTGCGATCTTAGGATAGCTAGCGGCTGTAAGACACTAGCAAGTCAAGCTGCTCGGGTCTTGCTGGGCCGCTCCAGCGCTCTGCCCGCATTGATCGATTTGCGCGGTCTGGCGCGCAAATCACGGTCGCGACACTCCGCCACAGCGCATACGCGCCCTACACGGCAGCGCAGATGGCATACGAAGGCTATTGGGATGAGATAGGAAACATCGAGTCTGAGAATATACCCGAATCGGTCGTGCTCGCCACGTGGGAGACCGGCGACGTCGACGTGGTACGGGCGTGGCTCGACAACGGCGGCGCGGCGCAGCTCGAGGACCGCATCTTCATTACTGCTAAACACGGAGATCGGAATATAGCCTTTGGGACGCTTCTCACGATCGCGTGTGAATCCGATCACCCTTCGCCGATCGCCGAGATGCTGCTTGACGCGGGCGCCGACTACGACATCCACCACCTTTCTCATGCTATTAACAGCGGCAACATATATGCCATCCGGGCACTCGTGCCGCGCGTGGACGTGGTTCAACACTACGGCTTTGGAGACACGTGGACTCCGCTTCACAATGCTTGCACTGGTTATTACATGGAAGATCACAGCCAGATCGCTCTGCCCAATCAAGTGGAAATTGTCCACACTCTACTCGAAGCTGGTGCGCTGGTCAACGGCCGAACGAGGCGCCATCCGATCCTGCGGGACCGCCCGATCGGCCAAACCCCGCTGATGTTGGCCGCCAAGCAAGGGTTTACCAGACTTGGCGTCGTCAAGTGGCTGTTGCATTACGGCGCGGACATTTCAGCAGTAGATTCACTTGGGCGCACGGCACTCTTCCAAGCAAATGAATTGTTGCAACACTCGCAAATCTGGACTGACCCGAATAGACGAGCCGTTGCTTGGGAAGACTCGCAGGAGGGGCGTCAATACATACCATGCCGCGCGCCTGGGGTAGTCGAGGACATGATCGCGCTCCTCCAGGGCGTCGAGGCCGCCGGATCGTGGAAACGCTACCTCCGCGAGCCGCGGCGAGATTTGCTCACGTTTCGTAGGCTCGTCGAGCGCGGCCGCGCGGCGCCGCCGGACGGGGTCCTCGCGCGGCTCTTCCCGAAATCTGGCGGACTCCCCGACGTCCTCTTCTGGAAGGTCCTCGCCTTCTGGCGCTCGTCCCGCGACGCCTGAACGCGGACATAATGTATGTTAAGAAAACTAGACTAGAACTTGAAGCACATCGCCTCGGTGTAGCCCAGCGCCTTCAGGACGCCGTCGATGGGGCCTTGTTTGGGCGGCTTCCCCTTCTCGAACTTCTTGGGGCCGCAGATGGCCTTGTACATCGGCGGCGGCCCGCAGACCATGACGATGTTTCCTTCCGAAGGCGGCGGCAGGTGCGCCTTTACCATGTCCGCGTCGACGTAGCCCGTCAGGCCGCCCGTCCACGACCAGAACATGCCGAGCGGCTTGTCCACGCAGTACTTCACGGTGAAGCGGTCGTGCTTCGCCGCCAGGGCATCCAAGTGGTCCTTCAGGAAGATGTCGCCCTCGTTTTTATTGCAAAAAATAAGATCGATCTTCGTTTTATCGTCAGGTAGGCTCAACAGCTCCTCGGCGACCTGGAGGCACGGCGTGAGCCCCGAGCCGCCGGCGACCATGCCGACGCGCTTCCATTTATTGGCTTCGACTTTAATTTTCGTAAAGCAGCCCTTGACGCGCAGCGTGTCGCCCACCTTCCGGGAACACACGTGGCTCGACACGTTGCCCACGCCCGGGTAGTCTTTTACAACTAATTCCATGCGCCCGACCTGTGCGGAAATCAAACGTTCGGGTGAGTAAGCCTAAGACGCCTCGTGCGAGGACGCCAAGCACTCTCGCGCTGCGTCGAGGCGGCCAGAATGGTAAATAATACCTCCAGGCCGGCCTGACGCACTGGTTGATTTCCGCACTGCGCCCGACCGTGTCGTCTCTGGTAACAGGCGTGTAGGGTCTCGCGATGGTGCCGCTGCCGTCGCGCTTCTCGCCCTCGACCATGAGCATGCCCGCGCACGTCATGCCCAGCGTGTCGCTCGGGTCGGGGAACGCTAGCGTGACTTTGTGGACGTTGGCTCCAATCTTGTCATTCCTTGCTACGACCAGGGGCGTGAAGTCCTTCTTGTTGATGGCCGCGTCGCAGAAGGTCGCGGTGGCGACACTGGTGGCGGCGACGCCGGCTATTTTGCCGCAGCGGCTGAGTGCACGGGCGAAATGCGCCATTACAGCTTTAATAGAGCTGCTGCTCAGCCTCTCCCGGCTCGGAAAACCGCGAGCTAGCGTTCTGTAAGACATTAGCAAAGGTCGATTCTGGGGGGCAGCCCCGGCTGAGCGCAAAATGCAGGCCGCTTGGGCTTAAACGTCGTTTCATGCATGGCTTCTAATCGCACGAGCCCATAGGAGAGTGATGAGCGCAGCCCGAGCATAGATGGGCGCCTGCCACAGCCAGGAGCGCGAACCCTGGGAGACCGCCCACAAAACAGAGCCATCATGCCAGGCCTGGCGCCTCGTCGACCGCGTCGCCGCCGCGCGGACGGCGCGCCGAGCGAACCGATCGACTATCCCGCTGCCGCTCGCGCCCGGGAGTCAGGTTTCGGCGCACATGGTGGTCTGCCCCCACGCGGCACGCGAAACCTTCGCCGAGGACTGCGACGCGTTGTCCAAGTCGCGGGGCCGTTGTGCCGCTCTGACGGCGGTGAACGGCGACGCCTGGCGCGCCCAGCGCCCGCTCGTCGCGAAGGCGTTGGGCGGCGCGCCGTCGCGCACGTCGCGCGCCGCCGCTGTGGCCGTCGCGGCGGATATGATGGCACAGCTGCGGGGCCCTGTCGACGCGCGCGAGGTAGGTTTACGCGTGGGGACAGCATGCGTCGTCGCCGCGATGGTCGGCTGTCGGGACGCGGCCCTCGAAGGCGCCGTCGCGGCGATTTTTGCGCCGTCGCTCGCGAGGGCGCACTACCGAGCGACGCCCGCCGAGGGCGCGCGCGTCGATGCCGCGTTGCGGGCGGCGGGCGACGGCGGCCTGCTCGCGGCGCTGCGGCAGGAGTGCGCGGCCGCTGGGTTTGAGGAAGGCGTCGCGCTCGACAATGCTCACCGCGCGCTCTTAGCAGGCGCGCAGACGATCGCCGCGACCCTTTGCTCGGCGCTCGCGTTTATTGCCGCCCATCCGCCTCAGAAGAGCCTCGACGCGCGCGCCGCGGTCCGTGAAACACTCCGGATTCTACCGCCCGTTGCCACGCTGCCGCGGCGCGTCGAGACCCGCGTCGACCTTGGGGGCGGTGGGGTCGCGCGCGGCGCTTGGGTTGTCGGCGACCTCGTGGCCTGCGCCCACGGCGGCGACGCCGCGTCGCTTCGCTACGACCCTGCGCGGTCCGCCGACGGGGACGCGGCGCCGTGGGGAGTAGGCCCGCGCAGCTGCCCAGCGGGCCAACTCTCGACGGCCTGCGTCGCCGCAGCCCTCGAGGCGCTCGACGCGCGCGCGACGTGGCGCCTGGCCCGAAAGCGCGACGGCGTCGGCCCCGACGGCAGCTGTCGGTTCCTGGAGCCGCTCGTCTACGCGCGGACGCTGGCGTTTCCCCGGCCGGTGCCGCTCGTCGTCGACGAGAGGCGGCTCCCACGACCCCCGGATATGTAACCTGTGAATTACTCTACAATGGATGAGGATATGAACTTGTGGGGGAGGGGGTACTTTGTGATGATGATGATTCAAGAGTCCTCCGCCGCCATTGGTGCGCCTCCGCCGCATCCGCCGCCGCATCCGCCGCCGCCGCCGCAACCGCCGCCGCCGCCGCATCCGCCGCCGCCGCCGCATCCGCCGCCGCCGCCGCAGCCACCACCTCCGCAACTGGCCGCCGCGCCGGCCCCGCAACTACTGCCCGCGCCGCCGCCTCCGCACGCCGCCGCCCCGCAGGCCGCGCAGGCGCCGCCGCCACACCCTCCGCCGTCGTAGTTTGAGCTCTTGGCCCGCCGCGCCTTCTGGGCCGAGTAGTAGTCCCCGGACGCGATCAGCGCTTCAAGCTCCGCGATCTCTCTGGCGTAGCATCCAAAACAGAAGAAGCAGGCCGCGCAATCCTTCCTTTCCTTGAGCATCTTTTCCAAGCGGACCCGCATGATCTCGTCGCCGTGGGCCGTGCCGAAGCGGTAGTAGCCGTCGCCGAATTCGCCGGCACCAAATGCGTAGCCTGTGTGGAAATCAAAATTTTACGGCGCGTTCGTGCTGAATCGTCGCTTCGTCCTCCACGCCGACACACTGGTTGATTTCCACACAGCGCGTAGCCCTCCCGCTGCGGGTTCGCGTTCGCCGTGGTCGTCGACTTGGGTGCCCCTGCAATAAAGTCGGGCGCCTTGCTGAACGGCACGGAGCCCCCGGCCGCGCGCCGCACGACGCGCGTGTTCTGGTTCGCCGTGTTGACCTGGATCATGCCCTCGGGCGGTCGCGCCGGCATCTTGGCCGACGTCGCCTGCGCGCCCCAGCGCACCTCGAAAGGGATACCTGGCAAGTTGACCGCACCGCCCGCCGGACTCTTTCCCATAGCAGCGGCGATGGCCGCCGTGCAGGCAGTGTCGTAGGGAGTCCAGCCACCCCCGGGGTCCCGGTGTTCGAATCCCGTGGTTCGCGTCAGCGAGAACGACTGGAGGTCGGCGACCGACCCGTCCGGGAGCGTCGCGGTGCCCTCGCCGCGCGCGTAGGCCTCGTTGACGGCCGCGTTCGCCGCGGCGTCGAGGCGGACGTTGGCTCCGTAGATCCACCAGGGCATCGAGGACACGTGGACACGGCGCACGACGCCCGTTTCCCTGCGCGTCTGCGTCATAGCCGAAAGATCGACGTCGTACAGGCCCAGCGACACCCTGCCTTTCGACGCGTACGCCGCCTCGAGCGTCGCCACGTCGTGCGGCTGGTACGCTATCCACTTGTGCAGCGCTATCCACTTGTGCACGCCTTTCGAGCTCGCCAGCGCGTCGCCTTCGACGCTCCAGACGCGCGGGACGACGTACGACGTGCCGACGACGACGCCCTCGGCCACCGGCGGCGCCCCGCCCGGCTGCCACGTGACTCCGGCGGCCTCGCGCAGCAGCCGCCACCGAATCTCGACCGTCTCCTTCTCCCAGGTCGGTTCGAAGTAGGCCTCGGGCGGCTCGCCGCGGTACATGCCGCCCGGGACCGCGTATCGTTCGCCGCCGTACGCCTCGGCCCAGAGCTTCTGCGTGACCGCGTACTGGCGGTTCAGCTTGGAACCCTCGGCGCGGTCGTTGACGGAGTCGTCGTGGGGCAGCTCGAAGCCGCACAGCCGCCGCGTGTCGGCCGCGTATGTGCTGGCGCTCGCCAAGATGTGCGTGTGCCAGAAGAGGTCGATCTGGTAGGTGGGCACGAGGAATTCGCCGCTGCGCATGAGCCGGAGAAAGTTCTCGTAGCGTTTTACGCCATCGTGCAGGAAATAGCCCTCGTCGAACCGCGGGCCGGACACCTGCCAGAGGAACGTGCGCTGGCGTTCGCACGCCGCCGCCACGTCGAAGCCGTCGAGGACGAGGGTGCCGGCGTCGTCTCCGCTATCGCCTTCGAGGAAGAACGGCTCGTCCGGGTAGGCGGCGGCCCAGGCCTTCTGTGTCGCGTTCTGTGTCGCGCCCTCCGCTTGGATGAGGAACGGCTTCGTCTCCGGCAGGCCGAGGCGCCGCGCCGTCCTAGCGTAGCTCCGGGGCGCGAGCCGGTGGCAGTGCCAGGCCCAGGCGACGTCCGGCGGCGGCGCGAGCGCCGCGCCCGGCTTTGCGGCGGCGAGGAGCGGCAGCCACTTGGATGCGTAGCGCTCGAGCGTCTTGGCCGACGGGGCGCTCAGGGACACGCCGGCCCGGTGCGCCGCCCGGAGGAACGCGAGGTGCTGCGGGACCGCGGCGAGCAGGGCCTTTGCGTCGAGGCCTTCAGCCGACGACCCGGCCTCGAGGCTGAGCCGTGCCTGGGCCTTGGCCAGACCTGCCTCGACGGGGTCGATGGGCGGTGGCGGGAGGGCTTGCATCGCCTTGTAGCTGCAGTCTCAGTGCAGATGGATGCTGCACTGTGATGCCGCCCGTTGTGTAGGGGCAGCCTTGCCGAGTCCGGACTTCGCCCGCACTCCTTTCTTTGCACTCCTCCGGTCGGTTTACGCCTCGCAGGCGTACGCGTGCAGAATTTTTCTTTTCGGTGCTGTGGAGCTAGCGGCTTGTAAGACACTAGCAAGCAAGCACTACTTGGGAGAGCTCCTAGCGCCGTACCAATATACCCAAGGAGGGCCCTGGGCGCCCAAGCCGAAGCATGAAAGTCCGGGACGCAAAGTAATATATAACCAACCTTACGCCCCCGGCGCCGCGGGACGAGCAGGAGGCCGCGCCGGCCGCCGCTCGCCGCCGCGCGCCATCTGGTGCTGCACCGCGGCCCGCGACGCCGCCGAAAGTGCTTTGAGCTCCTTGATAATTCTAGCGCATAAACTCATGAACCCGAAGCAGTCGCCCTCGCCGTTCTGAAAGTCGAGCAAGAAGATGTTCTGCTGCACTTTATACAAAGTCAACGTCACGCGCACGACGTAGTCCGGCGCCAATCTCGCGTTCCGGGGCTCGCCGCCCTTGGGACTGACGCCGGCGTTCGGCCGCCACCTTGTTCTCAGTCTATACGGATCCACCGTGCGCCACTCGCAGTCCAATTGCAGGAGTGCTTTGTAGACTTCCGTCATGACGTGGGCCGGGTCTTTCTTCGATTGAATCCCGAGGTACCACCGTCGACGCCGCGCGCCGCTTTGTGGGGGTGCCGGCGGCGGTTGGGGCGGATTTGCAGTGTTACTAGGAGGTTGGGGCGGCGTCGTCGATGCTTCCTTCCGCCTATCGCCGAAGATCGTTTTTGCTTGCGCGCCTTCGCCGACGCTGCCGCCTCGCGCCGGCGAGGCCTCGCTGTGAGGTGAGGAAAAGGTCGGTGGTGTACTATCGGAGGCGGCCTGCCTTGCCAAGGCTAATTCCGCCGTTCGTAACCTTGTCCGTTTATGATCAAGAATGAGCTCGTAGGCGACGCGAATCGCCTTCTCGACGCCTCGCAGCCGATGCGCGTCCGGCTGCCGGACCACGGCCAAGACGCGCGGTCTCCGTTCCGACTCCTCGCCGAGCAAAGCTAGGGCTTTCGTCTGGAGCTTCTCCTGGAGTTGTTTTGAGGCGCCGAGAGGCGCGAAGCCTCGCGACGCCAACGCCAGGACGTCGTCGACCGTGTCCTCGTCGATGACCCTCTCCAAGTTTTCAATTCTGTCCGGAGCATGCCGTAAGTAGGGAGGCAGCTTCTGCTGGAACCACGCGTGCGCGCGGACCTCGGGGACCTGCGCGCGATACCGGTGTCTTCGCTTCGATGGCGTCGAGGTGCCGCGTCGATGGCGTGACGGTGCCTCTCGAGGCCGTCGGCGCGGCGCCACCGACGCGACGACATCGACGCGGCGCCATCGAGTCGCCGCGAGAATAAAAAGGACGCCGCTTTAGACAGTAACCCGCTTCATCGGGTCCACGACCAGCATGCGCGGGATCAAGTCCCGCGCCAGCTGACTAAGGTGAGAAGGCAAGGAGTACATGCCGCTCTTGATCTTCTTGAAGAGGTTCGGTATCGACTCATCATCAAAGGGCAAAGAACCACAAAGTAAAGCGTAGAGGATGACGCCGCAGCTCCACACATCCACCTCGGGGCCCGCGTACAAGTGGCCGGAAATAACCTCGGGAGCCGCGTAGTTCGGAGAACCACACGAAGTTCTCAGGAACTCGCCGTCCCTCATCACATTGGACAGGCCAAAGTCGGCTATTTTAATGTTGTTGTCCGCGTCCAATAACAAATTCTCGGGCTTCAGGTCCCTATGCACTATATGATGGTAGTGGCAGTACTCCACCCCTGAGACAATTTGGTGGAAGAAGTGCCTTGCCTCATCTGGGGCTAGCCTACCTTTGCTCACGATGTAGTCGAACAACTCGCCATTCGACACGTACTCCATGACCACAAAGATGTCCGTCGGGGTGTCGATGACCTCGTACAATCGTATGATGTGGGGGTGCGTGCATCTTTGTAAGATGTTGATTTCCCGCTTGACCTTCTCCGTCATGTCCAGTGCCACAATCTTCGCTCGGTTCAGGATTTTCACGGCGACCTTGTGGCCGGTAGTAACGTGCTCCGCGAGCTTGACTTTACCGAACGCTCCAATACCGAGCGTCTTCGAGAGGCGGTACGTGCCGATGACGACGGGGTTGTCCATTTTGGTGGTTGCGTCGTAGACGGCTGAGTTATTCTAGACGTCGCGTCGGCGGCGCCGCGGCGGCGGGCGTCGTGCGCGGTCCCGTTTCTCAGCCGCGCGCCGTCGAGTTTCGGGGCGTCGCGCCGGCGGGCGTCGGGCGCGACCTGTTCTCAGCCGCGCGGCGTCGGGCGCGCGCGGTCGGCCCCGACACTCAAAGTGCAGGAGTGCTGTCCCAGGGCCTGCGGCGTCCTAGGCGCGCCAGCGCTTTGCAGCTCGCTTAGGTCCTCGAAACGCAGTCTTCTGCAGACGCTCAAACGCGGCGCGGCGCTCTGCGGAACCACTCGTTTTGCTCCTCGGTACAAGGGCTGCTGCAAATTACTGCGAGCACCGAGTTTGTCCTTGTGGAGGCTTCGCACGGCGTCCGCCGACTGCTGTAGCCCTGCGGAGAAATATTTCGTTGCATGCAGGCACGCCGCTGAGTCTAGTGTCTATCATCTAGCTCCAAGCTTGGTCTTGGTCGTCTTGTTGGGCATTGCGATCACTGGGGCAATCGATTCCACCTGATTTATATCGCCAACAACTCGCACGCGATCGCTAGCAGCCACCATGGCCGAATGCACCATGTCACGCGAGCAGCGCGACGCGCTAGACACAAGGGTCAGGCACATGCTCGACCTATGCGTGCGCCTGAAAGAGTTGATCGGCACGTATGAAACGGACGACGAGGGCTACTTCCTCCTCGACGAGCGCGGTGATGTGAAACGCGCGGACGCCGCGGATGATTCGACCGTGACGACTTCGGCGGCGGCCGGAGTCCGCGGCGCGGGGTCCAGCGTCGCCGTCGAGGCGCTGCGACTGGTGCTTCAGCACGTCTGTCATGCTGACCACGTGGCGCTCTCGGCTCGGCCCGACGCGCCGGCCACGTGTTTTGCGGTGCGCTACTGGGAACGGTCGATGGAGGTCGCTGACGGCCACGGTGACTGCGGTCCCGCGCTCACATCCGAGGCCGCGGCGCTGAAGCTCTGTCGTAGGGAAGCGCACAGAATGGACCGAATGTGCGGCGTCGGATACGGCGCTACACAGCTAGGAGCAGCGGACAGCTGGTTGTGGCGCGTCCAGGCTGAGCTCGGTACGATCGTCTTTAAAGTTGTCGAGCTAGAGGTGCACGGCGGCACCATCGAGGACGTCGTGTCATACATGGACTTGCGGACGCTCGCCGCGCTGCGCGTCGTCGTCGGCCCGGACGAATCGATCGGCAAGCTATTTAATGCGGTCGTGACGCTGCGCGAGACGAAGACGCCCCGCGTGCTGCACGCTGTCGTCCACAGTACTGATATAGGGTTCAATATCGCACGTGTCTTCAAGGGCGCGACCGACGCCGCGCGCTCTATTTCCCTTGACTGTCGCACCGAACGGCCTTACCCGATGGACGTGCTCCGCCTTGCTGCTGCGGCCAAAAGCGCATATAATGAAGTGGAGGCACAACTGTTCAAAGGATGCGTTGTTGGACCCGCGCGCCGCTCAAGCAAAGATTATCAGCATCGCCTGCAGATGAAAAAGGACATCCGCCGCAGCTTGCCCTTCTCCTTCGACGTCCCGCTTTTCAAGCTTTTGGACAGCGTGCCCTTCGACGCCACGTGCTTCCTGAAACGCCCCGACGGCGCGTACGACGAGGACGACGAGGACTACGTCGACGAAGACGCCTTCGTCGCCGTCCGCCCGCTAGATCTCGTTGCCGAAGTGAGGGCTACCTCCAACTGGGGCAGCTCGCTCGCGGACGGTGTTGGTACGCTGGAATATCCCAAAACACGAGTGGTGTGCAGTCGTGCCGCGCGGTGAACTTGTGCTAAGTATACTACTGTCTTACACATCACAGGGCTCTACGTCCGCCACCCCCTCCGCACAAACGCGAAACGCCGCCTCGCCCCTAGAACCATCGGGAGCCTTCGCCAGGGCACACCGACACACACCATCACGAGGCGCCGCCAGCGCCAATCTCAAGGAAGCACACGTCGACCACACGGGCCCGAGCGCGGCCTTCCAGCTCTCGTCGAAGAACGCGCCTTCGTCGTCCATGCCGTCGGACAAGCCTCGCGCCGTGGAGTTCGCCACGAGGACGCAAACGCCCTGCCGCGCTAGAGTTTGTAAAGCGCGCGTCGCCAGCGCTAAGAGTTGGTGCCCCTGCGGGTTCCGGTCCCCGCCGAGATTCGGCGTCAGCACCCGCGACGGCGCGTCGACGACGCAAACGTCTCCTGGTTTTAAAAACCGCCCGGCGTCGTCCAAAGATCGTAACATGGCCCACGCGTCTTCGGCAAAACAGACCCGTATCAAATCTAACCTACCTTTCATGGACCGCGCTCTCGCTGGTGAGAAGGAGCTTGAACCAGCGTCGACCCAGGCCACGTTTCTACCTCTTTCAGAGGCTCGGCACGCCGTCGCGAGTAGCAATTGCGTCTTTCCCGAGCAAGTGGGACCGACGACTTCGGCCACGTCGCCTCCCCTAAACCCGCCCCCCAACAAGGCATCAATCGCGGCGCAGCCCGTTGGCGTGAGTACCTCTTCATCTTGTAGAGTTGAGGCGTTCCGTAGGGGCGCGTAGTGGTGTGCGACGGCTTTTCTGAATGCAGCGAGGGCGCCGCGCGGCAAATCGATTTGAGCTTCGAGCGCCTCGAGGTCCCTCTCCAAAAGCGCTTCGACACTTAATACTGGAGGCGCTATGTGTTGGAGCGCGGCGACGGCGGCCTCCGCGGCGGCGGCGTCGGGCAGTACTAAACTGCTGAGGAGCGGCATTCTTGTATTCGCGCGGCGGCTGGCATGCGCGCGGCGTCTCGCGTCGTCTTGTCGCGCTGTGATGCGCGCGCAAATGAGCTGTGCAGAGGTGAGCAGGCTCGGCGGCTTGGCGCGGCCCCACCGCCTAAAATAGATGGATTGGCTGTTGTCAGACGTCTTTTCTGAGTACGTCAAACAGAAATTGCGCTGTCTAGCCCACGTATAACGCCGGCGCGGCTTGCGCGCGCTCGACGCTTTGCGTGCTAGTGCCTTACAAGACGCTAGTTAACTCGGCCGAGGCGCGCGCGAGCACACCATCGCGGCACCCTCCGCGCGTGATACGCAGCGGCACATTCCTTTAGACCCATCGCTGCGTGTTGGCCTCGCGGAAATCGCGCGCCGCCGCCGTCGCCGCCGTGCTTGGTCCAAGCCCCTCAGCTGCAGCGAGTCGCCGGGAGCGCGCACGCGACAACCATGGCGCAACCGACGGCCTGGGACGCCGACTGCGTCGCTATTAGATGCGCTCTTACTATAGACGTCGCCGAGCGCACGTTCAAGGGACGCGCGTCAGTATGGGTGCGAGCGCCGAGAGCATCCTCATTAAAGCTGCACTGTCGAGGTGTCACCATAACAAATGTCGAAGTGAACGGTATTAAGACAAGATGGCGCTTAAGAGACCCGGTGGCCGAAGTGTCACAAACAAAAATCCAAGGCGCCGGCGCCCTCGAAGCGGCGGCATGGTTAAGTGCAGCAGAAGAGGCGTGCAAGAGTGGGGAACTCGAAATAGAAGTGCCGGCCAAGGTCCACCTTGAGACACTGCCGGAACATGATGGCTGTGACGATGATTTCGCGCGCAAAGCGCGCCGGAGCTGTGCGACGAGACTACCGAGCATGTCCAACATCGAACGAGACGATCGGTTGGTTGTTGTGGAGTACGAAGGCAGTGATGGCCTGGACTTCACATCCAACAGTTGCATGACGCGTTGTCGGCGGGGCGCGGCGCCGGACATTAACGGTACAAGGTGCTGGTGCCCCTGTGTGGACCGATGCGACGTGGCGCATGCGTGGCGGTTGGAAATCACAACTGATTTGGGAGTGGCCTGTTCCGGCATCAGAAGGCCCGACGTCGATGGCGCGCACTGCTACGAAGTCAAGGGAAGGGCTCGTTCAATAGGCTTTGTGGTCGGCAAATTCGCCGCGAAAGAAAGAGCCGTAAGAGTCGCGTCCGTGAAAGCGGCGCTGGAAACGGGCCGGCCCAAACTTACCAGGGTGGACACGGACACGCCTAGTCATTACCGGTCCCTGGGCGGCGACGCGATCATGCGACACGATTCTGTCGAGATCATGCGCGACGACCCCATTACCCAAACGCCTTCACTAGAGCGGCCGTCCATCGAGCGGGTGAACACGTCGGAACAAACGCCGGATTGGATCCCGCCGACGCCTGGGAGAGCTGTGAGTCAGGCCGTAGGCGAGTCGTCGTTGTTTGTGTATGACGAGAGGAACGACGTCCTAGACTCACGAAGGGAGAAGGCGCGAGCTAGAGCCGTGTCTTCTGCGTTAGAAGCGTGCGGCGACGCGGCGCAGTTCTATCGGGCCTTCCTCAAGTGCAGCGGCAAGGGCCACTCCGTGGTACTGTTGGACGACATTCCTTCTGGTACTTGTGCCTCTTTTGCCAATTTGACAGTACTGAAACGGTCTTTAGCTTGTGGCTTAGATAGGGTTGATATCGGTGGTGTTGGCGATGCGGTCCTCTTGGCGTTATTTGAATCTTTATCGTTACAATTATCATGTGACGACGACTGCACCTTGGCTAACGCAATACCGTGGTACATTCTACTAAAATACGTCGAGCGGTCGCGGGGCCGCGACGCGTGCTCGGCGCTGACGAAGTTCATGCGCGACGATTTGAATGCTTCCAAAGACCCTATCAATGCGGGCTGCGTCGGGTGTCTAGCTCTGAGAGAATTAGATGCGTCCCAAGGCCGGGGTGTCGTGCGCGACTCATTGAGACGCATCGCCTCGTCGGAGTCCTGGTCTCGTGACGTTCTCCAAGCTTCGTTTACCGGAGATGTCGATGCGTCCTTCCGATCGCTGGTGCAGAACGACCTCAGTAAAGCGGTACAACTGGGCTACACGTATGATCCCCAAAAACATTTAGTGGTCTGTGAGCTGGTCGGAGATAAACACTTCCGCGGGCCGTTATCTGTTAGAGTGGTGGAGGCCGAGAGCGGCTGGGACTACGAGAAGGCCGTCGAGGCGTCGAAGCATCGATGGGAGTTCGGCTGCCGGAGTAGCGGAGGCGCCTACGCCTCACTCAGACAAAAACACGGCCGCCACCACCACATCGCGGCCAAGGCGTTGACGGACGACGACCGGAAGCGCGTCCAGGCCTACGACGAGTCGACGAAGTTCCAGCGGCCGAAGATTCCCGAAGGGGCCCGGCGACGGCCCTGGAGGGCTAAGAGAGATGAACCGGAACGAGCTACGGACGCCGCCGAGTTCGCCCAGCGCGCCGTCGACCGCGAGGAGAAACGAAAGAGGAAAAGAGGAGATAAGGAGGACTCGTCGTCGTCGTCTTCTTCGTCCTCTGAGGATGAGAGCGACGACGACCGGCCGCGGCGCAACGCCGTCGAGCAGGAGGATGTCTTGCGAGGTGCTCGGGCGGCGAAGACGGACCCGATCTTGTATGTGAGTGCCGACCCTGAAAAAGCTCGCTTCCGCTCGATCACGGTAGCTCAAAGTGCAAAGGCCTGGGTGGAACGATTACTGGGTTCCGACGACGCCGCGTCGCAGTTGGAGAGTGTCGATGCTTTGATTTCCACGGTGCACGGCGAAGTCGAGGATCGATTGTTAGCTGCTCGAGCATTGGCCTGTGCGGCCCGCGGGTCCTCAAAAAGGCGCGACGCTTCCATAGAAACGCGCACGGCGGCCATCGCCGCGTTGGCCGCGTGGCAGCGCCTCGAGATTCTCCGAGCGTCCCAGGAGAAGACTCCACCTTCGGCGTTTGGCGACGCCCAGCTGCGGGTGGCTTTCGATGAAAGGTATCGGAAGAACGGCAAGGCCTTCCCCCACGGCGGGCTACGGGCGCCGTCGTTCCTCCGGAGCGACGCGAAGGCCGGCGACGCGCTGGCTTTGAAAACGGCCCTCGTCGCGGCGTTGGGGGATGCGCGGCCTCATAGGGCCAAACGTAGAGCGAGAGGCGCTGATGATGCCCTACTCCGAGTCGTGGAGCTCTTAAGGCACCAGCACGACTTGGTCGATGACGACGCAGCATTACCGTCCGACGTCTTCGTGGCGCACGCGTTAAGTGCCTTGGCGTCGTGCTGCCGGACCTCTGGCAGTGCGAAAGACTTAGAAAAAGCTAAACAACAGTGCGAGCGGTATTTGAGGTGGGATCTGCGGCATAAGACGTCGGTCAACGCTTGCGTGGCGTCGGCGGCGTTGCACGCGCTCTGTCACGTCTCGAAGGCGTTGTGTCGGAGAGCAATGGTCGTCCCAGAAGTCCAAGGCGAGCGCGATTCGAGTGACGAGGGGGAACAGGAAGAACCGGCGAAGGCGCAGGCTCGGTTGCGGGCGGCGGCTCAGAAAGAGGCCGTGTTGTTGCCTCGACAATATGCTTCTGCGGAGTATCCTCGAGCTGTCCGCGCGACGGCTATTCGCCTGGCGTTAGATCTGGCCTCGGAGGTCCGCGGGCAGCTGCCGGCCGCTTTGCAGTGGGCTCTGACGACACTGGAGACCGAGGAGACTTATGTGAGAAGGATAGGCGCGCAGGCTTTGGTAGCTGTGCTAAGGGGCGAGGACGCGGTTTACTTGCGAGCAAGACCTGGTACTGCTTTAGGCGTGCCCTGCGGCCTGGACTTGGACGAACCTTTACTGGGAAGACCTCGGGTAAGGGCGGACCCTCATGCCGTCAAGGGCGAGCCTTCATCGATGCCGAAGCTGCTCCAGGCCGTCGACGACGCGTTGGCTCAAAGACCGGCTTTATTTGATAGCGTGTGGCGCCGCTCTCTCTTAGATGTGCGGTTTGCTCTCGGAGCGCCGCAGGACGCTTTAACTGCGAAGGAGAAGTTGCCCGCGGAGCTGGCGGTGCACGTCGACGCGGTTGCGGCGTTGGACAAGCGGCGCTTCGCGCGGGAGGCTCCCGTATGTTTGGTGACGAAGTCGACGGCTCCCAAGTTCAAGTTCACGGTCAAGCGGCGGTCGCAGCCGTCGCTGTCGCCCGGGGGGGTGTCGGTGCCGGGGGCGTAAGTTGGGTAGGATGTGCTAGTCACGTGCGCCATGCGACCGGACCTCACTACTCCGAGTGGAGCGCAGATGATATGAGAGATAGAGTTGATATGTTCAAGTAAGCGGGCGCGCCGCGATGGGGACGGGAAATGGGGATGGGGAGAGCGCGCGTCCTAGAGACGCCTAGAACGCGGCTGCGACGGCCGCCGCCGCCGCCGTAAGCGTGGTCGTGAGGCCGAGCGCGCCGTCCGAGTCGTTGCCGGTCGGGGGCCGCGTCGGCGATCCCGGCTCCGTGGGAGGCATCGTCGACGGGCGCGACGGCGTGCCGATCACGGCGTCGCAGTCGATCGGGCAGTCGAGCCCGCCCCGCGCGAACGTCGTGGTGAAGATGCAGCCGACCCACGCCTTGTACTCGTCGTCGCAAACACCCAGGGTCCACGAGCCGCATTGCTCCGCGAGATTAGGTTCTTGCTGAAACTCCGCGCAGGTGTCCGCCGACCAGCCGTCGTCCTCGAAGCCGCTGATGGCATCAAAGGCGGCGTCCACCTCGTCGCCCGTCACCTCGCCCGAGAGCAAGGCCGCCCCGATGCAATCGAGGAACCCGGTGTCGTCCGTGCAGAAGTCGACGATGCCGTACGAGTAGGAGTAGGAGCCGTCGCCGCCTTCGCCGGGTAGGAAGTCGTTCGTACCTACATGTACACGAGTGAAAATGAACACAAGCTCGCGGGAGGACGCGGCGCGGCGCCGTCGGTCGGGAGGCTCTCGATGGCCGCGCGCTCTTCGTCGTCGTAGCAGTCGAGGTAGGCCGTGCACGTCGACGTCGCGAGGTCGCCGAAGCCGAGGCTCTTGAAATAGTCGACCGACGCCCCTGACGCGACGCAAAAGCCCGTGCAGTCGTCGTGGACGGGGACTATCTCGTAGCCCTCCTCGCACGTCAGACAGTCGATCATATCAGTAACGTGGGAGGCATTGTCGCTGATGCCGCAGGACGCGCAGGGTCCCGGCAGCGTGAACGGGGGGTCGCCGGGAAAGCAGCACGCCAGACAGTCGATAACGTCGGGAGCGCCCTCGATCTCGGGCACGCCTCCGAGGCAGCCCGAGGCCTCATCGGGGCACAAGGCGCACTCGCCCGCCTCCGTGGTAAACTGGTCCGCGCCGCACGTGGCACTACAGGTGCCCTGGTCGCCACCGTAGCAGGAGTCCGTGAACTTGTGGGCCGAGCAATCCTCGGTGCCCACCGGGACCACACCGCCGAGGCGGGACTTGCGGAGGGGCGCGCGCGCCTCGGCCGGCGCCCGGCCGCGTGTCGCGACGTTCGTCTTGGCGACCTTGCCGCGGAGGGCTTCTTCGGCGGCGGCGATGCGCTGCTTCAAATCAGCCGCGGGATTCGCGGCCGTCGACGACGCGGGATTCGCGGCCGTCGACGACGCGGGATTCGCGGCCGTCGACGACGCGAAGACGAGGAGGGCCGTGATAAAACTGTTGAGGGCCATACTGTAGTTTTTTTATTTTACCATACGCCATCGACGCGACTCGGCACGCGCAGGCGGCGCTCAACAGCGACTTCTCGTTCGTGATCTTCTCGTTCCTGTTCGTGTGGTTCTGGATGTGGGTCCACGTCGGTTCCTTCGCCGTCGCGTCCTTCTCCATGCTCCAGATTTTGATCTCGTTACCGTTATCGATGTTCATATACTCCGTGGTTTTTCAGATCGGCTACTTCGGCGCGATGCAGATTCTGGTGGTGTTCATCATCCTCGGTATTGGTGCGGATGATGTATTTGTGTACAGCGACGCGTGGCTCCAATCTGCGGAAGACGTAGAGAGGGAGTTTGGTGAGGCCCGCGGCTCTTACCTGGAGCGGCGGGTCGCCTACGCATATGCGCGGGCGTTGGAGGCGATCTTCAACACGTCGTTTACGACGGCCGTCGCGTTCTTCGCGACGGCGACCTCGAAGATCATGCCGATCAGTACCTTTGGTATTTTTGCGGCGATCTGCGTGCTGATGAACTACGGCCTCGTCATGATCGCCACGCCGGCGGTTTGGGTGCTGTGCACGAAGCGCGATCCGCCTACAAATGACGACGAGGACGTGCTGCCCGAGTCGCGGACGGTCGGCTCGTCGCTCGAGGCCGGCGCCGAGCCCGAGGAGAAGAAGCGGTGCTGCAAGGCGCCGGCGTGCTGCGGCCGGCTCGTCGACGCGCGCCGCGGCCTCTTCGGCGGTTATTTGAAGGTCGTCGGGAAGCGGCCCGTCGCGCTGGCGCTGGTCCTTGCCACGGCGGCGGTGGGCGCGACGCTCGCCTACTTCGCGTCGCGGCTCGTCCTGCCCTGTGTGGAAATCAGGCTGAACGCCATCGAGCAGACGCCATCACGGGGACAACGTCGCGTCGATGGCGTGAAGCGTCCGATTTGATTTTCACACAGGTCCCACCGTCGGAGCCCGAGGAGTGGTTCCCGCCGCAACACATGTATACCAGAGTGCAAGTCCTCGAGACGAACAAGTTCGGCGCGAGCCTCGCGAACACGTTTCCCGACGCGTCGCTGTACTGGGGGCTCGACCACCTGCGCCGGCCCAACTTCGACCGCTATGAGCCGCACAAACATAGGGGTAGAGTGTCGTTCTCGGCGCCGATAGACCTCTACACGGACGACGCGCAGAATCAAATTCTGTTCGCGTGCGACGCGCTGCGCAAGGCGCGGGGCGGCAAGCTCGCGCGGCCGGGGTCGGTTGTGTGCTTCATGGAAGATTTCCAAGTCTGGCATGCCGAGAGCTTCGACGGTGCATCTACGTACGGCCTAGATAAAGCTACGTTCGACGACCGCCTCAGTATCTTTCGCACGACCACGGTGCCCCAGAACGACGTCAACCCGATCGCGTCGTGGGAGCGCATTATTGGCTTTTCAGAAGGTGAGTTACGCTTCGTGCGCGTCGCGAGCCGCTTGAACGCTAGACACGACGACTCGCTCGACAAAAAGAAGAAGCTCCTCAAGGCGTTCAAAAATTTGATCAAGGACGTCAACGACGAGCCGGGCACCAAAGACCTCGGCGACGACTTGATCGACTACAGCCTGACCTTCTCGTGGTACGCGACGCAGGTGGCGCTCGTCGACGGCCTGACGTTCGGGTTAGCCCTCGCGTTTCCCGTGGCCTTTGTCGTCCTCTGCTTCGCGACGTCGAATCTGGTGCTGGCCTTCTACGCGATGGTGACCATCGGGTTGATCGTGGCGTCGGTGCTCGGCACGGTCTACCTCATCGGCTGGAACCTGGGCATCAAGGAGTCGGTCGCGGGCGTCGTCGTCATCGGCTTCAGCGTCGACTACACGATCCATCTAGGCCACATGTTCGACGTCGCCAGGAGCCAAGGCTTAACGACGCGCCAGGAGAAGTTCGCCTACTCCATCAAAAAGATGGGCGAGACCGTGCTGGCAGGAGCCATCACGACGGCCGGCTCGACGGTGTTCCTCCTCGCCTGTCAGTTGACGTTCTTCACGGCGATGGGTACCTTGATCATCCTCACGGTTGCTTACTCGCTGGGCTACTCGCTATTATTCTTTATGCCGTTGCTCCGCGTCGCGGGCCCGGAGGGCCGCGTCGGCGACATCTGCCACTTCCTGAGGGGCCTCAAGTGCGCGTGCTGCCGGCGCGCGTAGACTCGCAGTTTTGCGACGAGCCGTATCCGGCTCGCAAGCTATCCTTCCCTCCCCCATAGTTGTCTATATATCACGTTTACGAAGTATGTTAGTGCTGCGTATCTAGAGCGCGTCACTGAACAGGTAGGAATGAGGAGTTCTCTGTGAATTGGAGGAAAGAGGGTATTGCTTGATCAGCATTCCGGTTCAAGTTCCGCTTCCGGCGGACTTGCTGCGGGGGCAACCGGCGGGCCCGCATGGTCGAGGAATGCGTTCGTGACCGTGACGAAGCCCGACCACGCCTCCAGCGCACGCGGCGTCGTCGGATATGCGCCCCACGCGGCTCGGAGCGCCGCAGTCTCCGGCGCGTCGTTGTACCAAACCTGCATGCGATGATACATCGTGGCCGCATCGGCACTTGCGGGCTCCTCGGCCACCGCCTCGGCCGCCCTGCCCTCCGCGACGGGGGGCTCCTCTGCGACGAGTGCCGACGACGGCGCCTCCTCGGCCATCATCTCGAGGGCCTTAATCGGCGCCGTCGGCTCGTGCGCCGGCGTCGCGGCCGCGGACGGAGGCTTCGCCGACTTGCGCCGCTTCATTATCGCAAATACGACGATACCCACGACGACGACGACCGCTGCGACGACGCCCAGGATCACCGCGAGGGAGTTGTCGTCCGAGTCGCCATCGTCATTGCCGCCGCCATCGTCATTGCCGCCGCCGTCGGCATCGCCCTGTCCGGCGCAGTTCTCCGTTAGCTCAGCGTCGGCGTTAAAGTCCTCCAGGAAACAGACATAATCTTCAGTCATCCAGGACCAGTCCATGTCTTCGATCGCCGTCGATGTCCCGGCGGGTCTCTTACAAGATATCTGGCCGTTGTAGTCATCCTTGGCTTTTTTGCCTGTGCGCAAATCGAATTTTGGTCTCCCCTCTCGCGAGCCTTGGCACTCGGGCGATTACACATGCACTGGTGGCCTGAGGAGCTGTAACCAGTGAACTCCAACTGAAGACCCATATAATAGATAGGAACCCCGTTCATTGTGTTCGTGCCGGTATTGTCCACGCACCAATCATAGCATTCTTGGGGCGATCCTAACTCTATGACGTTTACTGGCCAACTGCCCATAGTACCACCGGTGTTTATATACGACGCTTCGGACTGAGGGTAGCAGCGGCCCGCCTGAAAGGTGAACAATCCCGTAGGCGTGGCAGGCGTGGAAGAGTCGCTACCACCACCGCATTGGGAGGATTGGGAGGACGTTCCGGTCGAGATAGCAAAGGTCTGGGTTGGTTGGATCAAGTTGTTCCGGTCGCCGCACGTTGGTCCGTTGCCGCCGCCCCAGTTTTCGTTGTCTATGCACGGCCGCATAACGATCTCCGAAGAACTAACAAAACAATCTCCATCGCAGATCTTTGTGCCCCCACCGGCGCGGATCTCCAATGATGGATTATTGCCCCCGCATTGTCCAAAAGCCCACGAGACGCCGTCGCAAGACAGGACTTGATCGAGACCGTTTTCTCCGGACTGCGTCCAATCGCGTATGTAGGTGGTGATGGCGGCCGCCTCCGTCGGGTCGGTGCACGCGACCGTGACGCCGTTGGTGGTCAGTGTGATGGACGACTCGGTGCCGGTAAGGCAGGCGCGCCATTCGTTGTAGGAAGTGCACTCTAGGCCGGATGAACTGATATGCCCTGGCGTCATCTCCTGCTCCCAATTGGAAGCTGCCGCCGGGCGCCACAACAGCACCAACCAAAGCATCATGCCGGACTGCTACCGGCCGTACCGACGGCCAACATGTGTGCGCGGCTGCGCCGCAAATCCTGGTCCCTAGGGCAGCCCTACGCGCGCTGCGCACCGCGCCCAGAGTGCATCTCAGAGTTGTTTTTAATTCGGGGATCCTGCCAGCCGAACGCGCGCAGGGCTCGAGGACATCTACCACAATCCTGGAGCCGGTTCGAAGAGATGTTTGGTCACAAATGTGTCGCGAGTTCGGGTTCGAGTCGTTGGATTGCAGCGCGACGAACAGCGCATATAACAACGTGCCGCATCGATGGCAGAATCACACGCCGCCGTCGTCACTCCCGACGACGAAACAAAGACGCATTTCTCGCCCGCGGGCAGCCCAACCACCAAGGGCAGTCCCACAAAAAGAGCCGCAGCGCCGGCCATCGACGTCCTCGACGACGACGTCCTCGACAATTGCCTTGGGTTCCTGGACGCCGAGGACGAGTTATTGAGAGGCCCCATCCGGGCCGTGGCGTCGGGCTGGCGTGCGACCGCGGCGCGCTGCGCGAAACGGAGCGTCCCCACGGTCTGCGCTCGCCTGGCGCGCCTGCCCGGGGCCAGACGCGAGCGCCACGCGAAGGATGCGGCGAAACGCTTGGCAAGCTTAGCGGGCCTCCCGGCGACGCACCCGCAGCTCAACGTGGCCGTGGCGCTCTGGTTCGTCGATAACCAGGACGGCACCGGACCGCTCGTCGACGACACTAAAGTAGCGCGCCAGCTCTGGGCGTTTGTCGATGAGGTCGGCGACGGTGCCGCCGTCCTCAACGACGCCATCGACGTCTGGCCCCACCGCGTGCGGGCCTTCGCGACTGAAGTCGGCATCAAGCGGCGCGAACGCTCGGCGTTCGTCGGGACGTGTCGCGGCGGCGCGGCGGCGGCGAAGCTGCGCGGTGCCAAACGATGCGACGACGCTTGTTCCACGCGTCGTGCGATCGACGCGGTCTTCGCCGACGTCCTCCGCGTGGCACGCGAGCCGTGGACGCTCGGGCCGCCGCCGGACGCCGTCTCGCGCCTGACGGGGCCCGTGGGGAAGATGCGCCGCTTCTTCCGCGCGTTCGCGGCGTTGCACGGCGTCGTCGGCGGCCACGCGGAGATATATTATGAGCGCCGGGCGTCCGAGCCCTACGACGTCACGCTGTTGCTTCCGCGGGCCCAGCTGGCCGTCGTCGCCCACTGGGACGCGGAGGACGTCGCCGGTGCGGTGGCGGGGTTGCGCGAGGTGGATGTGTCGTCTGCCCTGGCCCGGTGGCAGCTGCTGGTGGACGAGAACTCAACGGGCGGATTCGAAGTTGTTAGGGATTTGGATTTCTAAGACAGTACTAGTAGTATGTGTTTCACAACTAGTACATGGCCGAGTCGCCTAGCGCCCGTAGGGCCGGTCGAGATCCTCATCCTCGAAGCGCTTGCGGTCCGCTTCGGTCGCACCCTCGGGCCTCATGCCAAGTCTAATTTGCATGGCGCGCAGAGCCGAGCCGAGCTCCGCGCCCGTCTCACGAGGCGCCGGCGGTGGCGGTGGCACGTCCGCGGGCAGCGCCGCGACGGTCCGCAGGACGGCGCGCCCCGCCCGGGCCTCGACGGCCTCGAAGGCATCCTTCTCGACGACGGCGCCCGTGCCCCGGTTCGCCGCCACGATCGCGCACGTCGCCGCGCGGATACGCGTGCCGTGCGCCGCGAGGTGCAACAAATAACACGACTCCATCTCCACCGACGCGACGCCCCGCGCGCGCAGTCGCTCGAGGACGTTGCCGTTACAATCTCTAAAATTGGCATCGACGCGGCCCTGGGCGTCGTAGAACGAGTCCGCAGACGCGTTCAGGCCATAGACGACGTCGCAGTCCCTGGCCAGCTCGGCGGCCAAGCGCTGCGCGAGCGCCACGTCCGGCGCCGCTCTCCGTTGGGAAATGACGTAGTTGGCGTCGCTCTCGTCCTCGAAGGTGGCGTCGAAATTCCGCGCGATCCGCACGCTCCCGGGCGTGTTCGCCACGACGGCGCCCGGCACGGCCTCGGGACTCAGCCCGCCGCAGCTCCCGAGCCGCACCATTACTAGATCTCCGTCGACGACGTGGCGCAGCTCGCGGACCGCGAAGTCCATCATGGGACCGCCCATGCCCGTCGTTATAATAGATACGGGCGTGCCTTGGAAGGTGCCCGTATACGTTTCGAAGCCGCGGTGGCTCTTTATCGAGAATTGCGGTGCGCCGTCTAGTAATGAACACAACGTCACGGCGCGTGACGAGGACCCGACTAATACAATACGGTTCGCGACCTCGCCTTTGGCTACGCCGACGTGGTGCGTGCGGCCGTCTTCGAGGGGCACGCCGTTCGTGTCATGATAGTATTGGGAGCTCCTGCGCTGCATGTCGAGATGGTGCTCAGCTGTGATTCACCAATATTTATGCGTTGCTGGTATGTGTGCCGCTCGCTGTCTGCAGCAGCACTGTGATTAAAGTGTACTAACCGCCTTACAGCCTCCCAATCGCATTTATTTCGGTTTTAGGAGCCGCTTTTTTGCGCGCTTGTTGGCTTGCTAGTGTCTTACAGACGCTAGCAAAAGCCGCAGGCGTCGTTGCGATCCCATGCACAGGGAAGTTTCTTATTAGTCACTGTCTTCTAGGTTGTCCCACTTCGAGTAGTCGATGCCCGCGCGCTTCGGGGCCGGCGCCGGCGCCGGCTTTGGTTTCGGGGCCGCCGCCGGCTTCGGTTTCGCGGCATCATGCCCAGTTACAACATCTCTAATCATCTTCGTCATCTTGGGGCGATTCGTGCCGAACTTCGCCGTCGCCTCCGCGACCGTATATATATGCTTCCGCAATTCCGGCGCGAGTACGCCCTTTTCATTTATCGCGTCAAGCGAAGCTACTATCGTTCGGTTTTCACCACTCGGGCTTGGCGCGACCACCACCAATCGTTTCTGCAGTTCCGCCTCGCGCTCCCGCTCGCGTGCCGCCGCCTCGGCCTTGGCGACGTCCACGCCGTTCTCCGCAGCAGCCGCCGTGAACATCTCCTCGATCTCCGCGTCGCTGCGCTGCTTGTCGCCGGCCTTGGCCATACCGTCGTGGTAGATCTTCCGTTTGAGTTGTTCGGCCTTGATGTTTTGGATGAAGGGGTCTCCCTCGCCTAACACCCTCCGCGCGCGCCGATCGATGTCCGCCAGGTCTTTGTCGGACTCACACACCTCTTCGAAGGAACCATCCCAGACGACGCCCCGGGATCGACAGAGCGAGAACCGCAGCTTCAGCGTCAGGCGGTGGTCCGGGCCGTACGTTGCACAGCACGAGTCCACATACTCGGGCAGGAGTGCCTTCGCCTCCTCGTATTTCTTCGTCTCGAAGAGACTATTTCCCAGGTTGAGCGCATCGATGAACGTATCTCTGGACGTCGCGCCGTGGTACGCCTTCGTCCGCCCGAGGAGGCCGCGCCTTATCTCCAGCGACTCGTCGTGCCGGCCGAGTTCTTCCAAGACCTTTGCGACGTTCGTCTCGGCGACGAGTATCATGGCCCTGTAATTCGCATCATGAAGCGCCGCGATCTTCGTAGCAGCCAAGAGGGTCTGGTAGATGGTCAGCGCCTCCTCGTGGGGCAAGCTGTCCCCGAGTGCGTTAAACGCCTGGAACGTATTCAACTCGGCCTTGAACGTACCGCTCGCCCGGTCCAGGTAGGACCCGTCCGCGTAGGCCTTCCAGCACGCCCAGCCGATCGCGCACTTCACCTTGCCCCGGATCGGCTGGTGGCACAGGCGGCACGTGTTCCACCGCGACCACTTCTCCCACTGCTCCTCCCGCGACATATCGTCCGCGACCGCGAGCTTCGCTTGCTCCACCAGGCAGCTAATGTGCACGAAGCCCGCCGTCCCGCGGCACGCGCAATAGCCGGTCACGAGGCCCTCGTTCGCCGTGTGGCGGCGCTCGGCGCCCTCCGTGCAGATGAAGCAGGTCTGGCCCTTCGTGGCTTCTTTGCAGTCCTCGACGGCGTCCGTCACGGCCGCCTTGTACTTGGCGTCGGCGTTGGCCTTCTCGGCGCCGCCGCGCTTCTTAATTTTCTTGCAGAGGTCCTTGTGACCGCCCGCGTTCCAGTGCTGGGCCTGGCACGCGGCGCCGCAGTAGCGCGTGCGGCAGCGAGAGCACCGCGGCGCGTTGTGCGGGATGGGCTCCGCGCACCTCGCACAGGTCGATAGGGCAAACATTGGTCGTGTTACAGCGTCCGCGCAGCTGGCGCCGGACGTCCAGTGGCAGAGAGCAGTCTTGTGTTACAAGCGTCCGGCGGTCGAACCGCTGGTTGTTCTTCCGCTACAACGTCAGCGCAGTGGAAACGCGACCCTTACGCGTGCAGCGCCAACGAAACGGCCAAGTATAGGCCGCAGTCTACAAGGTGCAAGGCCCTTGCAAAATAATTGGCCTAGCGTGTCGACACACACTAGCCTTAGCTCGAGACTTTTTGCAGGCATTTTGCATCGTAGGGCTGCCCCCGAGCGATTTGACCACATACAAGATGATCCTCACGCAGTGCGCCGTCTGCGCCACCGAGCTTGGCTTATCCTTGGGCAAGAAATGCGGCCGCTGCAGCACACGCTACTGCGGGGCAGCCTGCCAGGAGCAGCACTGGAAAGAGGGCGGCCACGACACGCTCTGCAAGAAGATTAAAAAGGCTGGTGGCGCAGAGCAATACAACGCGAATAAGAAGTACGCGGAGGCCGTATCGGTCGCAACGGAGGCGTGCGCAGAGGACACGAAGGGCCAGACGTGCTACATCTGCACCCAAGCCCTCCATTGGAAGACGAAGGAGGGCCTCGTGCGCGGGTGCTCGTGCCGTGGGACCGCTGGTTTCGCGCACGTGTCGTGTCTGGCAGAGCAGGCGAAGATTTTGATGGCCGAGGCCGAGGAGAACAATTTGGGCGCGAAGGCGTTGAATGCGAGGTTCGGGCGGTGGTACGCGTGCAGCCTCTGCGAGCAAGATTACCACGGCGTCGTGGCGTGCGCGCTCAGCTGGGCGTGCTGGAAGACGTACTTGGGGCGACCGAAGGCGGACCACATTAGGCGGGTGGCGTTGACGCAGCTCGGGAACGGTTTATCCGACGCACGACACCACTTGGACGCATTATCTGTCAGAAAGACCGATTTGTTAATGCTGCGGTGCCTTGGCGCACCAGAAGAAAACGTGCTCGCCGCGCAGGGCAATCTTGCGAGCACGTATCAATCGCTTGGACGATTTGAAGAGGCCCTGTCCATGCGACGAGACGTATACTCCGGACGTCTGAAACTCAATGGTGAGGAACATGAATATACTCTCGTAGCAGCCAACGGCTACGCGTTGAGTCTGAAGCAGCTAAATCGCTTCAAAGAAGTCAAGTCGGTGCTGCGCAAGACAATGCCCGTGGCGCGGCGCGTTCTCGGGGAGAATCATGATCGCACGCTCAAGATGAGGACGACTTACGCGAGGGCACTCTACGAGGACCCCGGCGCCACGCTCGACGATCTCCGCGAAGCCGTGACGACGCTTGAAGAGCCGGAACAGACCGCGCGGCGCGTGTTTGGCGGCGCGCACCCGCTCACAGCGGGGATTGAGGGAACTTTGCGAAAAGCGCGAGCCGCGCTCCGCGCCCGCGAGACGCCGTCGGGGAGCGCCTAAGCACTACCTAGAAACAAAATACAAGAACCATCCTTACTGCGGCAGCGGCGGCGGGTGCAACAGCCCCGCCTCGCCCATGAGCTCCTCGAGCATCTGGGCCCGCTCCCCGAGCCCCGCGACGATCTCCGCCAATCTAGGATCTGAAGATTGCTCCTCAGCTTTCACAGCCAAGTCCTCCCGCCGCTGTAAATCTTCCGCATGGACCGCCTTCAACTTCGCCATCGTCTCCGTCAAAAGTTTACCTTCACTGGCCATTCTTTTTTTGTCGGTCTTGTACATCTTCTCGTCCTTCAGGACCTTCCTCTTTAATTGTGCGACGTTCCTCTCCAGGTGTTCCCTCTGTCTCGCATACTCGGCCTGCAGATCGAAGCCCGCAGTAGACTCTTCTGAGTCTTTCCTCTTATCCTCGTCCAGCACATATCTTTGATATAACTCTTTCACGCCCGCTTTCAAGTCGTTCTGGTCGTCCACACCCGCAGCACACATGGCGAGGTCCCTCCTAAATTTTCTGGTGTAAGCCTCACCAGCCTTAATCAGAGCTTTTTGCTGAGATAACTCCTTGGACATGCCATCCAACTTCAATCTGAGTTCACCAATCATCAGATCTAACGCAGCGTTCGACTTATGATACTGCTCGAGCTCCAGATCCATCTCTTCCACTTGTCTCCGCAAATCCGCAATCTCGCTTTCTCGCGGCTCGATCTGGCGCTTCAGCTCCTTGATCTTGTAGTCCAGGACAAACTTGAACTTCTCGAGCTCCTGGTTCTTCTTCTTCAGGTCAAAGATGCGCTTCTCCTTGTCGGCGATGGTCTCGTCGCGCTCCCTGCGTGGAGATATGTTATATGTCGCGTCGACGGCGTGGGGCGGCGTAGGAGACTCCAGTCGCCGCGCCGAGGCGCGTCGATGGCGTACTGGTGTTGTACTGATGTTGTACTGATGCGGTGGAGTGTACGCCATCGACGCGCATCAGTACCGCACCAGTACGCCATCGCCGCACGTCAGCACGACGCGACCGTGTCTCACACTCTCCGACAGCGGCGCGAACACGTTGAAATATATATGTATATGATATGTATATATATATGAATATATATATAAGGACGCCGCCACGCGCCGGATCTCTTTTTTATGGCCCTGTACATCTTTCTCCAGATTCTTGATCGACTCCCGCAAGTCAAACTCGCGGTCCCGCAGCGACGCCATCTCCTCCTTCTGGTCCTCCACATCCTTGGTAAGCTGCGCAAATTTTTTCTTCGAGAGACCGTTCTCGTCCCTGAGTTTCTGCGTGAGTCGTTTCTCCGTGATGAGTTTCGACTCGTAGGAAGCCTTTTCGTCGTCGACTTCGTTGTCCGCGTCCTCTTCAACTAAAACTTTCTCCTCCCGGAACTGCTGCCTTAATTCAGCCGTCTCTACTCGCACCGCCTCCTGGAGCCGTTTTTCTTCCTCAACCTTGACATCGAAGGCCTCCTGGAGCTCCTTCTTCTCCGCCGTATGAGAATCAGTAAGCTCCAAGTTCGCCTGGTCCCAAGATCTGTTCTCGGCATCGCGAGCCGCGACCAGGCCCTGGTACCTTGCGACTTCGGAATTGATCTTGCTATCGTACTGTAATTCTAAATCGCGAAATTCGGCGCGATGCTGGTCCTCCAACTCTTTAATTTGTTGTTCATACGCGTCCTCCATCTTCTTCTTTTTGTCATTAAGTGCGTCGTACTTTTGCCCGTCGAGCTCGAGCTCCGCGCTGTACTTCTCCTGGTGTTTCAGTAACTCCTCCTTGAACTGCATGTCCTTGAGTCGCAGTTGGTACTCGTTATTTAAGACGAGTTCGTCGACCTTGTTCGCTAGGTCTGCTTTCTCTTTGACACCGGACGTGAGCTCGTCTCTTCGTACAAGTATCTCCTCCGTGTAGTCGTCGTCGCGCGTCTTTGATCTTACGTATGTTCTGCCTTTCTGGTCCACATCTGAACAATCGTAGACGTAGATCGAACCATCAGAACCGCCGCTGAAGAGCTGCGAGCGGTCGTAGGATAACTTGATACAGGTTATGTTTGTAGAATGTCCGGGGAATTTCAGAGGTTCCCTCGTAGCCCAGTCGTCTCCGGTCAACTTGTGGGCATACACAAAGCCCGGTTTTTCTTCCGATAGCGATCCAGTAAATAGGACGCGCTCGTCCAATACAAGTGAACCAACTGATTCAGACGTCTTTATAGACAATAAAGGCGCAAACTCGGTGACCGCAGTCTGGCCGACGGCCTTCTGGCCGAACTCCCTGATAGTGTTATCCTCACAAGCACAGAAGACCCGCTTCAGGTCGACGGAGGCGGCGCCATCATAGAACGGTGCCTTGGGCGCGCCCTCCGCCTCTTCTGCTCTAGACTCGGTAGCGAGGTCCCAGGTATGGCACGACCCGTCCCGTCCGACGGTCGCGAGTCTTCTGTCACCTTTCTGCCAACAAACAGTAGCGACGCGGGACGCCGCTCTTAACATATAGCGCTTCTCGCAGGAGAACGTGTCGTAGACTGTCACTACCGAGTTGTTCACCAAACAGAAGTAATGACCACCTCTAGCGAAGGACACATGAGACGTACCCAATGCTTCCACTTCAGCAACGTCCGAAGCTTCATTTTCAAGTAGAGCTAACAGTTTGGCCTGACTGGGGAAGACGACCAAGACATACAGCCCCGACGGGTGCAATGCTACTGATGTGGGAGGTTCGCGAAATTTCCGAGAGACCTCGCAGACCTTCCGTCGGTAGTCCCACACCTTGAGGAGATGGTCGGAACCCACCGTAGCGATCAACGGTTTGCGAGCGCACGTATCCAACGCCAGGACACCGGCGGCATGGTACGACGTCGCTAGACTTTCAAAACACTTCGAATCGTCGGCATTGGCCACGTCGCAATTCGCGAGGTTAAACGTGGTCAGTGCTAAGTCCGACGACGCAATTAACAACGTTTCTTCGGAAGGCGACACGGTCAGGTCCATCAATGTTGCGTCATTCACATGAAATACTCGTTGGCACTCGTAGTGGGCCCGCGGGTCGTCCGACTTCTCAAACACTCTGAGAGAACCCTCAATACCTCCGGCGACGAAGCCCTTGCTGAAGGCTACCAATGATGAGGTCGCTTCCGTCTTGGAGCCGGGCGGTCCTGTTAGTAGTGCTCTGAACTCGAAGTTCTCGAAGTACAGTAAGTCGCCGTTCTCTCCCGCTAGTACGAGAGCGTCTCTGTTGCCCACAAACGAATGACAGAGATAGTCCTGCGGGTCCCGCTTCAAGTTAAATGGTATCGCTCGGAACTGGTGCTCTTGCACTCTCAGGAATCGTAAAATACCGTTGTCTCCGGATGCCGCAATGATCCCATGGTCCCGCGGCGAGAAGGAGGCCATCCGCACTCGACTACGACTACCGTCACTTGTGCGCGTCGACCCGACGGGTTTGACCGTTTTTTTGTCAAAGGCCCACAATACTAATGTCCATTCCGGACCACTCCCTTGCGTCAGTAGGTACTTGCCGTCATGACTGAAGGCCATGTGGACGATTGTGTCTGTCTGTATGTCTTGGTATTGCACGACGCGCTTCTTCTTTCGGTGGACGACGTCGTAGACGCCGATTTGCGCCGTCTCCAAACCTCGCTCGGCCACACAAAGCCACTTGCGCGACGGCGCCAATGCGAGCGCCGTGATGCCCTTCGTCTGTGGTAGTCCTGGGATGAGTTCTTGATCTTTAGCTTCCGAGTTGTAGAGGACGACGCTATGGCCGCACGGGTAGATCGTCGTCGCCTCGTCGCCGTAGTGTATCGGGGATGATACATCACCCTTGAGGCCGAAGGCGTGGCGCGCGCAGAGGACGGGGGGGTCGGCCATTGTAGGCGACCTCGTACTGGAACCCGTGGCCCCAGCGGTGGCTCCCGTCGCCCCGTCTATTGACGGTGGATGGGGCTGTCTCTGGGCAGCTCCCGTGACCGCCTCCGGGCGCGCTGCTCGAGACAGCTATCCAAGGGGTGCGTCGACGGCGGTGCTCGGGCAGCGTCGACGGCGTTTCTGGGCAGCCCTCGGGCCTTTTACGCCAGCGCCGGGCAGCGCTTTGCCGCCCCACTAGCTTGTACTAGCCTGAAACCGCCGCCCCGCACGCTGGAAGCCTCCGAGGGCGGTCGACGAGGCCTCGTTCGTCGAACCGCACTGGTGCCTCCTGTTGGAGCTGGGGGTCTTGTTGCCTTAGACTCCCGGATCCCGCGGCCGCTGCGCGGCCCGCGCCGGAGGTCGCCTCTCGACGCATTCCTCGGGTGGTCGTGAAGCGAGGGGCCTCGGTCCTGCGTCCGCGTAAGTGCCGCGCGACTATGGGGCACTAAGGTAGATCTAAGGTACGCAGACCCGCGGGTCGGTCGTGGCCTAGCTCTAAGCAAAGCAAAGGTACATATAAGGTAGACTCAAATTACGCCGCTACCACCAACAAACGCCGCCGCCGCTATCTAGTAGTTCCCGAAGACGAACGGCACGGAGCCGTCGATCATGTAGTGCGCCGAGAAGCCCATGGCGCCGATCATCGCGAGGCGCCCATTCGCGAGCTCCATGTTGCGCTTCTTCGCCCGGACCTCGTCGCTCAACGTGTCCGTGATGGGCTCGCCTCTGATTAATTGCCCAACCGGGTCCCAGATGAGCGTGTTGCGCCCGATCGCGCCGCCCCGCAGGTAGTGGGGCTTCTGGAACTCGCCGTAGGTCTCGATCATGCCGGCGACGAAGGCGAACTGCCACAACCCGAGCGTGGGAATCAACTTGAACTGCTCCACCGGGTTGCCCGCGGCGGCGAGGTCGCCGAACGTCACGTCGACCGTCGACAGCTTCGGGTACAATGAAGCTTTGGCCAGCGGGACCGAGGCCATGTTCGTCAGCGGGTAGGACTGCGCAATGAAGCCCATGCACGCGACCATGGCCACGCGGCCGTGCTTGAGCTCGGCGGCGCGGTACCACGTCAGGGCCTCGGGGCTCGTCTTCGCGAACCCGAACGGGTCCCAGAATCCGAAGGGCGCCTGGGCGCCCTCCATCTGCGACGCCTCGAAGGCCGCGAGCTGCGTGGCCGGCCGGGCCGGCGCGACGGGCGCGACGAGCGCGCGCGCGCCCGCGGCGAGCAGCGCGAGCCTGCGTTTTTGGCGCGTTAGGTGGGCGTCAGGGGGGCGTCGCTCTCGGTCCGGCTTGTGTGTTCCTTTTGCGATCGCGAGGCCTCGGTTCGGCACGCGGCGGCCGGCGCCGGCGACGAGACCGACGCGGCGCGCAGCTCCTCGGCCCAGGGGCGCAGCGCGGCCGCCGCCGGCGTCGACGGCGCCGCGCCAAGCGACCTTTTGCCACCGCGGTGCAGTGGGTGAATGCTGGATGCCTCAGGTGGCCTTTTGGCGGTCGTCCGAAGCCGTTCGACCGGCGCGCGGCGCCGCTTTCGAGCCAGAGGCCCGGCAGCTGGCCATTGCTCTATCTCCGCGTGAGCGCAAAACGACGGCCAAAGCGCTTGGAGCCGCTCACTATGCGTCAAAAACTGTCCTCTGCTTCGTCCAGACACGGCGGTGCACTTTGCTACGGCCATTTTGGAGCGTCCTTACGGCAAAGCCTGCCGAGCCAACTTTACCCCCCCCTCTAAAAATGGAAGACGAAACAGCCAGCGCATGCGTCGTCAGGCCCTGTGGGCCCTGCGGGAGTCGTCTGGGCCCAAAATACCCGCATTTGAGCCGGGGGGCTTGCGCGTCGCACAGGCGCAACTTCCTCTATCCCCCTCTAGCGAACCCCTCGACGCCCGCCGCCGCGCGCCGCCGCCGCCGCGAAGCCAAATAAAGAAACATACGTTTACGAGACAAGATCACTGCTGCAAATGCAACGGCTTGGACGCCGGCGCCGCCAACCCCACCGCCGGCTCGACGGAGGCCGAGAGGCCCATCTGCGAGATCTGGTTGTCCGTGTAGCCCTGGGCCCTAAAGTCCTTGATGCGCAGCTTGTCCGTCTCTATCACACTGCCTTCCCGCTCGATCTCCATCACTAATGGTAGAAACATCACTATCGAGGTAGCGGCCACGACCCAGGCGACGCGTCCTCCCCTCTTCCAGGCGACGCCGGCCCACTTTTTGGCGGTGTCCGCGAAGGTCTCTAGCTTGCCGCGGAGGGACATGGTGTCCTCCTGTGCTGCAGAGAGCGATTGGCTGGAACGCGGCGCGGCGGCGTCGCTCGCGAACAATTCGCTTCCGCTGAGAGCGCTGCGGCTAGAAACGCTTCCTCGCTGAGCTGGCACCCGTGAGTGGTGTGCCGTGTTTTTTGCGCGAGGACTTGCTAGCGCATGTAAGACACTAGGAGGCATAGACGTGTGAACCCGTTTGTGATTAAAAACATGCTATGCTAGGGGTGAAACACCGTACTTAGATCCGTCTTGATCCGAGCTTCGGAGGCGTGGTCCAAACCCGACAGATCCACGCCGTCGACGACGCGAGAGAACCGCAGTAGTACCGGGGACAACAACTCTTAAAGGGATCGGGGAGAGGGAAAACGGCACGTCGGCGAGTGCCAGCGGTCGGACGAGGGCTATACCGGCACGCGCAATCCGGCGGGCGGCGAGCGCGTCGCTTGTGAAGGAGACAGCGTCTCTGAAAACGACCGCATGCGCGCCTCGGGCGACTGCGCGGGCACGGGCGGCGCGAGCGACCAGTCGAGCGCGGGCTCGGAGGCGTGCACGGACATGTAGTAGCGTGCTGCCGTGCTGTCTCGACTCGTGAGCGGCACGAGGATGAAGTCATTCTGAAATTTCGAGCCGTCCGCGTGGTAGTTGATCAGCGACGTCGCGCACTGGCCGTCGCGGCCCATGGCCTCGCCCATGGCCGCGACGGCGCGCGCGCACGTTTCCGGTCCTTGTAAATGGCGGCAGCCCCGGCCGATGACCTCGGCCTCGCCGTAGCCGCAGCGCTCCAGCCACGCGCCGGAACACGCGACGATGGCGCAGTCGGCGTCGTGCGCGTCTCCCACCAGATACTGGCTCTCGGGCGTCGTCCGCTGCAGGTAGTCGACGAAGACGCGGTTCACTCCTTCTTGCGAGATGGTCGCGAGGATGTCGGCGATGGGCAGGCCGACGTGGTCCTTCGTCTGCGCGAGGCTCCGGCCCGTCGTCGCCGGGCTTCCGGGCATGGGCAGGTTGGTTGGCGGCGTGGTTTCGTACGCGCCGCGCGGGTGGTAACCTGTGCGGACGGGAGATGGCGGCTGTGGTGAACAACGTCGCATCGATGGCGTAAAGCAACTTGCAGCCTTCGAACACGCCGAGTCGCACGGTTTTTCTCGCCGCAGAGGGTGTCAGCAAGGGCTGTGCAAATCCTAAATTTGCGCACGCGCTGCCGCACAGATGCCGATGCACTCGCTTGTGCAGCCTAATACAGATACAGAAAACTTGTCAGACGGCTTTTTAAGTTGCGCGACGCGCGGATGGCGGCACCGAGGGTCGTTCAAGTTGGTGACTGGACTGCTGAACGAACAAAATTTTTTGCACGGCGATTCATCCGTCAATACCACCCAGCATCTCTACGATACGATATGGACACGGCTCGTGCGCGTCCCGCGCTTTAGCAAACCCGACAGAGCAATTTTGAAGCCCAAACAACAACGACTCGGACGCGGCTGCCCCCGGGCCCGCTCCGCTTTAGGAAGGACGGGCAACGACAGCCGCCATGGCAGCCGCCACGGCCCGCGACCTCCTGGCCAAGGAAGGCGCAGCTTTAAGAAGAGACGAGGCGTCCTGCCTGGACTTGTTAAGGGCCAACGAGGACAGCGACCAGAAGACGACCCAGCGCCTCCAGCGCGCGTTGCGCAACGTGCGCAAGCAGCTCGACGAGGTCGACCTCGCCCACGCTATTGCGGAGGGCCAGGCTTCGGCCGAGGCGCGCGAGGACGCCCATACCAGAGTGGACGAGCTGGAATCCGACTTGGCTGCGGTCCGAGCCGAACTGTTGGCGGAGAAGAAACGAAGACAAGACGCCGAAACTCTCATCAAGAAAGAACTCGAGCCGCGGTTGAAGGCGTTCAGAGAGGTAAGTGGAGAACAGTGCGTCACGCTGTCGGGCGGCCAGGCCCCGCAGACGACGTCGACGTGGGCCGTCCCGATTAAAGTAAGGACGATCTACGTGCCGACGCGGCCGGCTCCTAATGATGCTGACGACGTCGACCACTTGCGCGTGGAACGGGACCAGTTGCGAGATTCTGTTGATAGATTAACGGCGAGCGGCGCGGCGGCGCGGGCGGCTTCCAGGGCCAAGAGCGCTCGACTAGAAGCGCAGCTGCAGGCCCTGCGTTCGTCAGACTTGAACGCGGTGCGCCAAACTCAAGTCCTTGAAGCCAAGAGGGCCGCGGCCGAGGCGGAAGCTTTACGGTTAGATGCGGCGCGATCGGGCGCCCAGGAGGAATTGGTGAAATTGAAATGCGTCAACGAGAAGCTCACGCAGGAGGCGGAGCGGGTCGATCGCGTGCGTCTTGACGAGGAACGGAGAAGCGCCGCGCGGCGCGCTTCCGAGTCGAAGCGCCAGCAGGACGCGAAGAAGGCGTTGACTGAGCGCTCGAAACTTATGAAGGAGTTGGAAACGGCTCGGAGGGACGCTGCTTCTGCGCGGGCGCTTGTGGCCCGCGAGCGAAAAAGGCGGACGGCTTCCGTGAATGGCTTCGGGCGGGACCTCCAGGAGCTGAGAAAGGCGCTAGCGCGCGTCGCGGCGTCCGTGGACGCGTCCTCGATGCACCAGGGCCGCGCCTCCGCGCGCGCGGCGCGCTGCTGCGTTCCGGGGGACGACGCCTTGGACCTGTTGTCGCCTTCGTCAGAAATCGACCTGGGGACCGTGCTCGAGCGACTCGCGGCCATGGAGAAGCAGCTCGCGCCGTCGCTCAAGGCGCGCGCTTTAGATGTGGCGGCGCTGTCTCCCCGGAAGGTCACGCCGACGAAGAAGGGGCTCGTCTCGCCCTAGCTAGGGGCTCGTAATGGACAGAAGACTCGTCATAGAGCCCCTCGGAGGCACGTCGCGTCGATGGCGTCGCGCGCGTATTTTCATCGCGCCTAGTAACTTACAACACTAGGTGCGAAATATAAAAACGTCATCCGCTCGGCGTGATTCGCTGGCACTGGACAGCTTACGGTCGTTGGATTACATTTGTAAGCCTAATTCTTGCCTGGCATTCGCTCCGTAGCTTATTCAGGCGCGGGACAAGCGCTAGACATCACTGCACCCTCTGGTGCCTCATCACGCTGCCAGCTCCCGACGCCGCCAGCGCGAGCGACGTCAATCTCCAACGCCGCCCGCGCGACGAGCGCGACCCTTTCAAAGAAACAAGGGCATGCCGCGCCGCATCATCACTGTTCTCGGCACCGCCGCGGCCCTCACGGCGACGATGCGACCACCTGTAACACTAAACGCGGCGTCGCAACGCAACGCGGAGTTAGCGAGACAAGCCGCGACCAAGCAAGCGAACGACAAAGGTTTATTATGGCTCGAGCACATTAATATCGTCGTGGGCGACCGACAGGAGGCGGAACGGTTTTACTTTGAAGAGGGCCTAGGCTGTTATCGCGACCCGGCCAAACCGGGCGGCCCCGGGACGAGTGGCACGATGTGGGCCAACCTTGGGAATCAACAGTTCCACCTCGCGCAGGAGGAGGACGACGACCCGAGGCAAGTCGTCCGAGGTAGTATCGGATTGTGCCTGCCCGATGCCGACAAAGCGGCTACAAGGCTAGAGAAGTTCTGCGACGTCCAACGACATGATGACACGAGGTTCACGGTGACCTGCCCCGTTGGGAATACATTTCACTGCTATCAAGTGGCGAAGGACCCCCCTACCGAGGGGATAGGTAAAAGGCCGAAGATGGTGAACCTTCATAAAGGAGACGGCTACAATGGCGACGCCTTTTCTGTAAGAAACGGCCCGGGCATTCGATACGTGCAGTTCCTGGTGGAGGACGCCCAGAGGGCCGCGCAGTCGTACGTCGACGAGTTCGGCGGTTCCGTGACGGAAGATGACGGTCTCACGTGCGTCTCGGCCGGTCTCGGGCCGGTCCACCTCATCTTTGAAAGTGCGGAGCCCGATGCTATTGCAGATGAGAAGCAGGACGGCGTCCATTTATGTGTATATGTGGACGCCTTCGCCGAAAGGTATGACCGGCTTCGGAAGGCCGCCCGCATGTTCACGAACCCGCGGTTCAAGCACCTGGACACGTGCGACTCGCTCGAGGAGGCGCTCGCGTCGCGCACCTTCCGCTTCGCGTTTCCGGCGGTGCCTTTTGTGGAGCACGAGACGCGCGCGCTGACTCATCAGCAGTTCCTCAAGCGGATTAAGTACGAACCACTGTAGTTTTGTTGTCCCCGCGTCGATGGCGTCATTCGCGTGAGTTTCGTCGCTTGCCCTAGCGGCATGTGAGGCACTAGCAAGCCCCTGGGCAGGCTGGACACTGGCTCTCTGAGTCTGAGCGCTGCGCAGGCACGACGGCACTGCGGGCTCTGGCAAACCGGCCAGCGACCACGCCGCAGCGGCTGCATCAATTCCCAAAGCGAGAAGAGCATCCGTAAGGGCACAGGAGCCATTGGCAGGGTCAGCCACTAAGGCGGCATCGGGCATCACTGCACGGCTCCGCAGCACAAGCAATGCACCGCTCCACGAATCACAACGGCGGCTACGGGTCGCTCACGGCGTCGCCGAGCGTCTTCGAGGAGAACGAGAGCTGTGGAGACGCGTGCGCGCGGCAACTGCCTTCATTAGAATGGATCAAGGCCTACGACCTGTCGTGGCTCTGGAACGACGTCGCCGGCGGGGTCACGCTCGGGCTCGTGCTCCTCGCGCAGTCGTTGGCCCACGCGCACCTCTGCGGCGTCGCGCCGATCCGGGGCCCCTACGCTTGTTTGTTGGCGCCCCTGGCCTACGTGCTGCTCGGGACGTGCCACGAGGCGTCCATCGGGACGGGCGGCCTCGTGTCGCTCGTGGTCTCGGAGCAGCTCGCGCGCGAGTACGCGACGCCGGAGGAGCGGTCGGCCCGCGCGGCGACGTGCGCTTTGTTGGTTGGGCTGGTCCTGTGCGTCATGGGGCTGCTCCGGCTGGCGTTTTTGGTAAGATTCCTGTCGCGGCCGGCGCTCTCGGGCTTCATCAGCGGCTCGGCGCTGCTGATCATCAAGAGCATGTCGGGACCGATGGTCGGCGGCCACCTGCCTCGCCCCAACGACAAGCACGGCATGCACGCGCACCGGTCGACGGCGCTCGTGTCGTTTGCCTGCCTCGCATGGCTTTTCGCCGCGAAGCCGCTCGCTAACCTGGCGCGAGGTACAGTGCTCGAGCGCGTCGCGGAAGGGGCAGCGCGGTTCAAGGCGCTCGTGGCGCTGTTCGCGAGCGCCGTTCTCGCGACAACCATAGCACCGGGCGTGTCGGTAGTAGGAGAAGTCCCGCAGGGCCTCCCGCCGATCAAGCTCGACGTCCTGTCGACCGAGGAGCGCGTCGAGAACATGCTGCCGGGCGCCGCGTTGGTGGCCATCGTCGTCTTCGTGTCGTCTTTCGCATCAGCGAAGAAGTGCGCGCTGCACGGCGGCTACCACATCGATTCGGCGAAGGAGATGTGGGCGCTCGGCGCGGCGAACGTCGCCGCGGCGGCGTGTGGCGGCGTCCCGGTACAGGTCGGGCTGTCTCGCTCGGCGCTGGCGATTTCATTAGGAGTGCGCTCGCAAGTCGCGAGTTTGTTTGCCGCTGCGTTGATCGCCGTCGTCCTCTGGGGCGCCGCGTCTTTAGTCGAAACAGTGCCGTTGTGCGCCCTGTCGGCGGTCATCGCGCACGCCGCCGTCAGGCTGTTGGAGTGGGAGACGTTGGGGCGCCTCTGGAGCCGCAGGCATCTGGGGTCCGGGCGGGACTTTTGCGTGTGGGTAGTTGCCTTCGTGGGAACGCTGGTGCTGGGCGCCTTGTGGGGCTGCGCGGTGGCAGTTGCCACGTCACTGTTACTCGTTTTACGGACCGTGGCGGCGCCGAATTTGACGGTGCTGCGCGTCGAGCGGGCGGGCGGCCGCGCGGGCGAGTGGCGGTCGTCGCCGGCCCTCGTTTCGTTGGATGAGGAGGCGCGGTCGTCGCTGGTCGTGCGCGTCGAGGGGCCGCTGTGGTACGCGAATGCGGAGCGCTTCCACGAGCAGGTCGAGGAGCTCGAGTTGTTCTACTCGCGGCGCGGCGAAGCCCCTTTGGCAGTGGTTCTGTGCGCGTCGTCCATCTCCTTCATCGATGCGACCGCGCTCTCGGTGCTAGAGGAAATGACGCAGTCATGGAAGCGCCGGGCCGTCCACTTCTACGTCGCGTCGGCATATGGGCAACCCAAGGCCCTCCTCGAGGCGGCCCTCAGTGACGTCGGCGACTGCTCGCGCACGATCGACGCGTGCCTCGCCGCCGAAAACGCGTCGCGCACGGTGACGACGCGCCGCCGCCGCGCCACGAGCCACGACCTGCCCCGGGCCTTGGGCGACGACGACGCGTTCAAGGTCGGCTTCCACCGGTCGCTGCCGTCGTTCCAGACGCTGCCTACGTCCCCGGCAAGCGGCGCGGCGTGAGTGTAAGTGTGATTGTACTCAACCCCTGCCTTGACGAGACGCCCCCCGTAAAAGAAAGTAAGCAAGCTAGTTACTCCTCCCCCGACGGACGCGCCCGAGCCCGAGCGGCGCGAGTCCTCGTGGCCACCCCCGACGGCGTCTCGCGGGCGCCGAGCGCGGCTCGCGCGTTTTGCAGTGCGCCCTCGATCCCCGTTGTGAGCGGGTACGCGCCGCCGAGCACGCGCCGCGCGATCCGTTCCGAGTCCTCGAGCGTCGCCACGGCCTCGCGGAGATCGTCGAGCGTGGCATCGTCGTCCTTGTAGAGCGCCCTCGCGTAGTTTAACCTCATTACGAGCGTGAGATCCTCATTCTCCCCGAGAACACGTCGCGCCACGGGCATCGTTTCGCGCGATAGTGCCTTGGCTTCTTCGAAGCGCTGTAGAGCAAAAAGGGAATACGCGTAGTTGTTGGCTGCCAAGAGAGTCTTTTCATGTTCCTCGCCGTGGAACTCCAGACGTCCGGAGTATACGTCTCGTCGCAGGGACAGTGCCTCGTCTTGCCTACCTAGCATTTCATACGTGCTCGCAAGATTGCTCTGCACGGAGAGTAAGTTGTGTTCTGATACGCCGATTCGCCGCCGCGTAGCGAAATCGGCCTCCTTCACGGACAACGCGTCCTCGTGGTGTCCTGCGTCGTGTAAACCGACCCCAAGCAGGTTCATCGCATGACACCGAACCGTGTCCGCCTCCGGCCGCCCCAAGTACGTCTTCCAGCACGCCCACCCGAGCGCGCACGACACGACGCTGTGGTAGCTTTGGTTGCACAGGCCGCACGTGTGCCACCGCCTCCACCCCGCATCAAATGTCTCATCGTCCAAATAATCGTTGTCGAGAATACCATCCGCGACCAAAGTCTTCGCCTGCCGCGCCAAGCACGACACATGCGCAAAGCCCGCTCCCCCGCGGCACGCGCACCCGCGCACGAGGCCTCTCCCGTGTGCGGATGCACGGCCTCGAGACAGATGTAGCACGTCTGACCCGCCGTGTCCTCCGCGCACTCCTCGACCGCGTCCGCGACGGCCTCCTTGTATTTTTTGTCGGCGTGGTATTGTTCGGCGCCGCCACCGCTGGCTATTTCGTCACAAATTTCGTCGTGCCCGCCTCTGTGAGAGTGGTAGCGTAGGCATCGCTCACTGCAATAGCGAGTCCGACACCCCACGCATCTCGCGGGGGCGTCGTGGGCCAGTGGGGCGGCACAGGCGGCGCAATTTGTGAGGATCATCTTATTTTGGCGGGGTCCAGTGAGGGTCGCGCCGGCGTACTGGCTAGGCCTCTTGTGAGAGTTAGCTAGCGTAAGCGACTTACTAGCAAATTCAAAGATACGCTTCGATAGCGTCAAAAGAATGACCCAAATTCAGAATACATCCTAGTCGTTCGCCGAGACCAAAGATTTCAGAGTAGCGGCCCGGGAACATACCCTCGCGCCTCCCGGAAGTCGCCGCCCGCGACATTCACGGGTAAGTCTTACGGCTCGCCAAAATACACCAGCGATTGACAGCGCCTTCTACCGTCCAGATAGTACATTATATCAACTCCAGGCCAGTTTTCATACACAATCGACGGAACCGGAGCCGACGGCCCGCGCCCGGAGGGCGGGAGAAGAATTCTACGAGACAACTTCCGAGTTTATGTTCGTTTCCTTCCGTTTGTTGGTGGTAGAGGCCATCTAGGCCGAATCAGTGGCTACTGAGCTATTTTAGATATTCCGTTGGAGCCGCGCGAAACGGGGACTCGGCAGCCCCACGTTTTTCCAAAGGGGGGCTCGAAGCCTGCACCCGCGACTATCAGCAACGACATCATCCAGATGGACCATAACGCCGTTGTTCTATTCACAATCGACCGACTTGCCCGTTCTCCGCGGACGACGGTACGTACGCGGGGCACCGGAAAGGCCCCAGACCGGTGAGTTATAAAATAAATTTGCGTTTCAGGCGCTTTAGTCCTAGGACGGGCCATCTAACCGGCTTGATTGTGTACTACATTGCTCCGAGACCCAAAGATGCTCGGCGCGGGTCGTCGGTCTCGCGAGCCCACGATCTGGCTTAGATTGGCGAATTACTTGGACCTGCGACCATCAGCCCGTGTACCATCACCATGGACCATGACGCGATCATTTGTTTCGTGATCGACTGACTTACGCGAGGTCCAGATCAAGATGTTCACGTCCCGAGCGTGGGCAGCCAAAAGTACCCTTCTCGGCGTGTAGAACTCATATATTTGTAATTGACTATCGGTGGGGTAGTATAGGGTCCAACGAGATCGCTACGGCGACTACTGGGGGCCCTCGGGTAATTGACGTATGTGACTGGAACGGGGCGCCATCGGGTCCGAATTGCACACTTTTTTCGGGGGCAGATCGGCTCCTGGAGGCCTCTCGGGGCGGGTCTGGTTGTAGGTGGTCGCCCGTACCGCATACGCCGTCGATGCGGCAGCCTGGTGCTCTCCGAGAGCCCTGGAAGCCATTGCCAAGTAATTCATGCTATTCCTCCGTGGCTTGCTGAGCGAAATCGACCAAAAAAGCTTGAAGCGCCGGCGCATGCGGTGTAGGCGCTTGCGCGTGTATAGTACCGACCCTAGGCGACCCCAGGGACACCTCTTGGACAGGGATTGACAGGATTCCACCGGCGCGGCTGTCATGGCCCTTCGGAGCTCGTCCGGCGCGAATTAAAAAATTTCCTTTTTCGCCCCCCAGTAAGTGTCCCATTGATCTCTTTGGACCAGTAGCGACCCGAACGGTACTCAAACGACTGCATGACGCATCTTGTTTAAAGCCTAGTGTGTCTCTCGCCTAGCCTCGTTTACAAGCTCGACTTTGTACGGCTGCAAAAACTGGTCGCATTGCTCAGTGCTGCAGACGTGAGCCGTGCGCATTGACGCCATCGACGCGCTGCACAAACATGGCTGCCACAAAAGCGCTGCGCGTCGTCTCCTACAACGTGCAGCGCTGGGGCCGGCTCGACACTATTATAGATACGCTGGCGCGGCTCCGGCCGGACGTGTTGTGTCTCCAGGAGTGCTGCCAGAAGCGCGGCGCGGGGGCTTTGCAGAAGGTCGCGGACGCCTGCGGGCTCAAGCAGGTTCATTTTTTTGGCCACACGATGGACGAATCCTACGGGAACGCGATCCTCACGCGGGCGCCGAGCTCGCTGGTCATGGAGATCTTCCTCGCGGGCGGTTCTATTATTGGGGACCACCACATCCAGCGCGGCGCTTTATTCGTAGAAATGGGCGCGATCCGAGTGTGTTGCACGCACTTGGACCACATCTCGGAGAACGAGCGCGCGATCCAGGCCGGCGGGCTGGTCCGGCAGCTCCACGACCTGCGAGGCGATTCGAAAGCGATGCTGGTCGTGGGCGACCTCAACGCACTGAACGACGAGGCGAAGTGGGATAGGTTAGATCAGATCCACGAGGAGAACGGCTGGGCGCCGCCCGAGGACTCGTCGGTGCCCGGCGGCGCGCTGCACACGTTTTTGGAGAACGGCTGGGTCGACGTGAGTCGGGGCGCCGGGCTGAGCTCGCCGGCGAAAGACCCCGTCCGGCGCGTCGACTACGTCCTGGCGCACGGGCCTGTCGTTGTCAAGCGGGCGCGGACGGACGCGTCGGCGGACGGGTCGGACCACCTGCCGGTCGTTGTCGAGGTCGAGGTGCCGGCTTAATTTAGTTTTACTTGTGCTAGCTTCCCGCGCGCCGCCCCGAGCGAACGCGCGTCCGGGCCACCGTAGACAGGGGTATCTTGCGTCGTTCTCTCGCTCTTTCGCTTTGTGGTCGCCTCGTGCGGTGTGGGCTGGGGGAAGGACCGCGTGCGCGGCGCCGCCGCGGCGACGCGTCCGCGGAACGAATGTGTGGTTCGGGTGCGAATCCTCTCGTGGTCTGGCGTGCGTGTTCGTACGTTCCAGCTGCGGTTGTGGGCGGCTATGGGCGTCCTCCGCCGTCGAAACAATGGCGGCGCGGTGCTGGGCAGCTTGTTTTTGGCTAAGATATTGCCGTGCGCTTCGTATCAACGACCGTGGGCAGCCCGTAGCGGCAGCCGTTTGCGCTTGGCAGGTCCAACAAGGCATCAGGGCAGCATTTGGGCGCCCGTCATAATACGATTTCCTCGGCGGCGGCGGCCAATGAGATGCTGCTGGTAAATGTCTACCTTGAGTTTCGGGGGACCAGACTAGTATGTCAAACGCTAGTTGGGGGGCCCCGGCGCTGCTTCCAGGGCTCCCGCGCGAGGACTGGGTGGTCCTGTCGACGGCTAAGGAGGGCTCCTCTTGACCTCGCCCGGAGTAATGCTGACGGCAGGCCGGCTCGTATGATAATACGCGAGGTTGCTGCTTCTAGGATCGCAGAACAAATTCAGGCGCGCGTCCGCCTGCCCACTTGTTTGCCCCAGAGAAGCCCTGCGCTGCTATCTCGGCGGGGTTTTGCGTGCGCGCAGCGGATACAACTAGAGCGCAGCCGATTCAGGTGCACTGGGCTCACGCAGAGTGCCCCGCTGCGCGCCTAACTGCCCCAGACATAGACGCCCGGCAGCCACATAGACGCCCGAGCGCGGGCGCGGCCCCAAAAGCAGTTTGTGCAGAACGGCGTTGAGGCGCCTACAACTGCAAACAAAAAGAAATTCCCACGAAACGGCAGGAGGACCGCCGCCGGCCTCCCAACTGAACTCCCTGCTAATCTGTAACAGCCATGGAGGTCATGCAACCTCTAGCACCCGCGGCACCGCCGCCGCAAGTCGCGATTCCCGGACCCGCGAATCCGGCGCCCGCGCCACCAAAGGACGCCCCCGCGCCGGCGACGACGCCGCCCAACGTCCCGGCCGCCACGGTGACGCCCGAGCCCTCGCCGGCGAGCCCGCCCGCGCCGGCGCTCGCGGCGCCGCCGGCCAGGCCCGCGCTCGCGCCGCCCGCGCTGCCCGGCAAGGCGCCGCCTCCAACGCAGCCGGCCGCCGCGCCCGTCGTTGTACAAGGCGCGGGCAAGCCCCTGGCGCCGCCTCAAACCGAGCCCATGAGCGATTTGGACGGGGACCTCGACGTCGGCGAACTAGCCGCTTTAGATGGGTATCAAGCCCACGAGGTCAGTCGCACGGACGACTCGTTGTCGAGCGACACCGATTCCTACGGCATCATCGCTTGTTCCGAACCGCCGAGAGATAGGAGGCGGCCTGGTCTAAGAGCGGCGCGCGCGCGGCCGCCGCCGCCGCCCTTCCCCGGCATGGTCCGCGGCGGGCCTAGACGTAGAGCCGCGTCCAAGCCGCCCGCAACCTCGGCCGTGACGCAAGCCGCCGCGCGCAAGCGCTCCGCGACCAGCAAAAGGCGCCCGCCGACGTACGCCAAGAGCAGCGGCACGAACGGCGCCATCGCCATCATCGGCGCGAAGCGCATGCGTGTGATTGTCAGAGACGGCAACGGCGTGCCCATCGAGCCGCCGACGTCCACTGGAGGTAGGGGCTTGGACGATTCTTCTTCGTGCGCGTCCGTCGACGAGCGCTGCCTCGACGGTTTATTGCCGCACGGCGGCGGCGCGCGCGTTGATCCGTACCGCGCCCGCGACGCTCTGCGAAGGAGAGGCGGCTGCGGCGTCCAAGCGTTGCCGGAGTGTGCTGAATACCGCTGCGCGGCCTGCGGCGACGAGTACCGGAAGCGATGCGGCCTGAACCCCTGGTGGGCGCTGGTGCAGCACGAGTGCCCGCGGTGCGGGCGCGTGCAGTTTCCGTCGATCAACATCGCGGCGGCGGCGAACGCCATCACTTATCTGGCGGCGGATGATGATGCCGCGGATCATAGAGCCGCGCGAGCCGCGGCCGACGCGCTAGCATTACAAGATGCGCACGACGACGCGGCGTTGTTACCGGACCTGGGTCTAGATCCGAGGGAAGCACCGCCACCTTTGAACGACGACGAAAAACCGATCATGGTCGTGGCCGGCGGCGGCAACTCGCCGCAGCGCGTCGCGACGCCGCCCCCTTCCTTAGCTACGTCTGTGGTCTCGCCGCCCTCGACGTCAAAGGACGCCGCCAACGCGGCGGCGAACGCGGCTCTCGCGGCGCTTGGCGTGGCCAGCGTCTCGCCGGAGGGCGCGAACGGCCACTTCCCGCAACCGAAACCGCAGAACCCGCAGAAGCCGGTACAACCGTGCCTGCCGGACGCGGACGCGAAACGCCTCTTCGCCTTGTTCGACCACGCGCGCTACTGTCCCGGCTGCCACAAGTCGAAGAAGCACGACGACGTCTGCACCGCGGCCAAGTTCGTCATGCTCCACGTGCGGGATTGCGCGGGGCATTTACCGGACGGGCGGCCGTGCCCGTTCGGATGGTGCTCGGCCGCTCGGTTGGCTATTAGAAAACACCACCTCCCGCCGATCCTGGACAAGTGAGGATCACGGAGGTCCGCGGGACTGCCTCACGACGGAGGTAGTTTAACCCCGGCGGACCACACGAACTCTGTCGTCGCCCTCTCCCGTCGAACGACCTTGCTTGCTAAAAAAATTCAACCTTAGTCTCTTGTTCTCGATGTGTCGCGGAGGCCCTAGCCCCCGTCCAGCACGCAGCGCGCGCACCGGCAGTCGAAGTTGTACTTCTCGCGGAGGTATGCGCGCCGCGCCGCGCCGGGGGCGTCGAGCTTGAGGTAGCTGACGGTGATTTCCTCGCCCCGCGGCACCGCGCGCCGCGCCGTGACGTCGACGACCCGGCGGCCCCCGCGGTCGCTCATGGCCTTGGCGCAATTCGGCGCGCAGGAGTGGTTGGCGCGGCAGAGCGTCTCGAAGACGTAGCCGCTGCCGCCGTCGAAGTACGCGTTCGTGCGGAAGATGCCCCCCGCGGTCTTGAGGTTCCGCGCCCTCACGCTCTTGCGCCCCCGCGCCGTGGCCACCGCCCACCGCTCGCCGTCCGAACCGTCGACGCGGCCCCTTAGGCCGTTGAGCGGCCGGCCCCGCTCGGACACGAGGCCCGCGATCTCGACCGCGTCGCCCGCGGCCGGCCGCCGGAAGCAGTCGTCGAGCGCCCAGAATCTGGTCGCGTCGTCCAGTCCGAGCGAGGCGATCCCATCCTTCGCGTGGAGGTCGAGGACAGCTTGCAGGGCAGCGTCGGCCTCAGGCGTATAGGTTTCGTCGTCGTAGCCGGCCTCCACGACCGCGAAGAGCCTCGCTACGTCTGGTCTCCGCATGAACGCCGGCGCCGACATCGCCTCAGGATGCACGGCGTAGAGCGGCGGCTCCGAAATTATCGTTTCGCCCTCCGCGATGTCCACGAGCGCGCGCAGGCCGCGGCCACAGCCATCGATGGCGACCAGTTGTACCTTGTCACGCGCGAAATCAGCCATGGCGGTGCAAAGGGCTGCCTTTACAGCTTTTGTGGGCTGCCACTTGCCAATCTCTCGCGCATCGTCGGTCGTGGGTTCCCGGAGACGACAAATCTACGGCTGGGCAGCCGCCGCACGCCGGTGCGAAAAAGCGGGAGAGCGCCGAGCTAGCGGCTGTAAGATACTAGGGATTAAACTTAGTTGGAGAAGTACGCCCGCACGCGCAGGTCGCGCCCGTCGAGCTCCGTGCCCTCGAGCGCGTCCACGGCGGCGGCGGCGGCCTCGGCGTAGCGGTACTCGACGACGGCCGAGCCCGACGGGCGCTGGGCCCGGCCGCGCGTGAGGAGCTCGACGGAGGCAACCTCGCCGCTCGACGCGCAGTGGTCCGCGAGTTCGTCCTCCGTCGTGTCGAAGTTGAGGTTCATCACGAAGACGCGGTGCGGGTCCACGACCTTGTCGGCGACGTGGCGCCGGGTCTTCTTCGGCATGGCCTCCTTCAGTTTGGCCGCGTGGCCCTTCGGCCCCGTCCCCGAGCCCTTGTCCGCGCGGACGCGGATCTCGCGACCGTCCAAGTCGAGGCCGTCGCATTGACTGATGGCGTACTCGACCTCGGCGGCGGAGGCGAACTCCACGAGCCCCCAGCCCTGCGAGCGGCTGGAATTCGTGCGCGACATCTGCACCTCGGCCGAGACGACCTCGCCGTAGCCGCTGAAGAGCTCGTGGAGCGTTTCGTCCGTCGTCTCCCAAGAGAGATTACCGACGTGACATACGCACTGATTGGCCGGCGAGGCGCCGCCGCCCTCGTCCGCCACACGGTCCGTGTCAAGCGCGCCCAGGGCCTGCACGGCCTCGTCGAGCGCGTCGCGCAGCTCCACGATGGACCCGCTCGGAATGAGGATGGAGTTCGACTGCGAGTCGCCGCGCTCCTTGATCTTGAGGTACGTGCCGGCGTGGTTTTCCTTCACGTCCACAAAAATCCGCTTGCGTCCCGCGAGGAAGCTCGTCGTGAATATTTCCTCGTTGTCCATGATCGATTCCTCGACGTGATCGCGTCCTCGCTGAGGCCCCTGAAATCAGAGAGGAGACTCTGAGAGTGAATTCAGAGATTTGGCCCAAAAATTCACGCGTGGGTGGTTGGCGGCTACTGCTCGCCGTCAACTGAGGCCAACTTTCTCGCTGAGCACGACGAATTGGCGATACGCTACGATGCAAACTTGTGCTAGCTAGCGTGCTGTAAGACACTAGCAGTGTACGTAGCCGCGATCTACATGACGCGTGCTCGCACTATCAGTCGATTGCGCAGCCGCATTGTAGTCCAGTTACTGGCAAATAATTCCTTCTGAGCCTGCGCCGAGCGTCGCTTGCAATCTGCATCGCTGCACACCTCTCCGGCATCACACAGCAAACCATGCACCTCGCAACCACCGCAGCAATCATCGCCACAGCCCAAGCCCTCGTCGCGCCGACACCACAAAAAGCAAGCACACGCCTGCACGGCCGCGCGAACAAACTCGTGATTTGGGACTGCGACGGCGTCCTCGTCGACTCCGAGGCTTTGCTCAAGCGCGCCGAGGTCGACGCTTTGAAAGCGGCGGGCTTCGACGACGTCGACGAGGACGCCTGCAATCGGTTGTTTAGCGGCTTCGCGCCGGAGGCCGGCGCCGTCAATTTTGAAAAGGAGTACGGGAAACCTTTACCGGAGCACTTCTTCAGAGATCAAATAAAAAATTCCGAACAACTCTTCAGAGATAAATTGGAAGCCTTGAACGGCGCCACGGTCCGCACGCTACACGCGGCTGGAAGACAACAGGTCGTCGCGTCGGGTTCGCCGCGCGCCCGCGTCGACGTCTGCCTCGAGAAGGCTGATATCTCTGAAATCTTCCAGCCGGACCGCGTCTTCACGCGGGAAGACGTGGAGAGGGGCAAGCCCGAGCCGGACATGTTCCTGAAGGCGGCGGCGTTCTGCGAAACAGATCCAAAAGATTGTGTGGTGGTCGAGGACTCGACGGCCGGTATAAGAGCGGCAGCAGCGGCGGGCATGGAGTGCGTCGCGTACCTGGGCGGGGGCCACGCGCGGAAGCCGTGGTACGCGGAGGAGATCTCCGCCATTCATGCGGGGCCGGTGGTCTACTCGAGCGAGGAGCTCCTCGAGTTCCTGTCCGAGGAGTAGTATGTTGAGGGCGTTAAGAAGAATAGCAAGTAGTCCTCGTCGGCGCGCGGCGCGAGCCCGCACGAGCTTTTGACGCCTCGAGGAGCTTCTGGCATCGCGAGCACCTGCCCCCTTTGAAGACAGCGGGCGGCTCTCAGGGGCTGCCTATTCACTTCCCCCCATTCAAAAATGGTGCGCTCGTCGCTGGGACGTGCGGTCCTCGTCGACAGCGGGCTCGCGGAGGCCCAGGAGTACCCCTACTATGGCATCTCGGTGCCCGACTTCCTCGCCCTCACGGAGTGGCTGCCCCACGAGGCGCTCAAGGCGAGCGGCAAGGTCCGCGAAATGACTGAAAACGAGGAGGTCATCTTCGTCTCGCACCAATGGACCAGCTTCTCGCACCCCGATCCCGCGGGCAACCAGCTGCGGGCGCTCCAGACGCAAATTCGCACTTTGTCGAAAGGCAAGACGGCCGTCCGGAGCGACGCCGCGCTCGACGGCGGCTACGGGTACTCCATGGTCACGGCGGGCAAGGAGTGGAAAAATAAGCTCCCGAACATGTACCTCTGGATCGACTACTGCTCGATCCCGCAGCCGGCCGCCGCCGGCGGCGGCGTGCATGCGGCGCAGCACTCGGACCACCGCGAAGGCCAGGGGGACCTCGTCGCGCAGCTCAAGGCGGCCGTAAACAGCATCCCCTCGTACCTCGCGCGATCGACGATGATGTGGGTGCTCGTGCCGCCCGTGAACCATGAGAGCATCGACGGAGCCATCTGTGATTACAACTCGTGGCGCCGCCGCGGCTGGTGCCGCCTCGAGTTCGCCGCGAGCAAGCTCTGCGCTGGGGATGATATGCCTTGTATGGTAATCACCTCGGCCACGGCGACGCCCGAGTACTGCTGCCCGTGCGACATCTTCAAGCTCTGCGCGGGGAACGGTGATTTTACGGTAGATAGCGACCGCGACGCCGTCAACTCGACGCTAACGAAGATGCTGCAGGCCAAGGTCGAAGGGTACGCGAAGAAAGGGGACATCACGCTGTCGCGGATGATGCAGGCCATGTCGCCCGTGTTCGTGCCCCGACACGCCTACGGCTCGGCCGCGGTGGGCTCCGAAGGGTCGGCGGTCGATCGCCTCAAAAAGTTCATGAAGTGGCGCAGCGACGCCGAGGAGGAAGCGTGGATGGCAGAAACCGGCTGGAACCTCCTCACGTTCGCCGCAGCGATGGACGACAAACCTGCTATCGATGAGCTGCTCGCCCAGGATGCGGCGACGATCGAGCGCCTGTTTGCCGCGAAGGGAACCGACATGGTGTGTCCGGGGAACAGCAAGAAGGGAACGCCGCTCCGGCGCGAGCCGCTGGGGCAAAAGCTGTTGGAGTTCGCCAAAGACATGACTCCCATGATTGCCGCGACGACGTTCGGCTCGCGGGCGGTGTGCGAGAAACTGATGGACGCCGGCGGCGCCGCCGCCGCGCGGGACGGCTTAAAGCTGCTGGGCGCGCGGCCGTGCCTCTTCCGGGGCGCCATCGTGCGATGCAGCGTCCTCCAAGGCGCTTTTAACTCGATGGGGGGCGGCAGACTGGTCGCCCACACAGGTCTCGGGAAAACACGAGAACGTGAAGCTGGTCCTGGAGCGCTATCCGCACATCGCGGAAGAATTGGATCCCGAGTTCGGCACCTGCGTGTTGCACATGGCCTGTGGCACGACAGCGTGCCGCGGCCAGTCGAAGGTCATGAAGGAGCTGCTCGCGTGTCCAGGGGCGGTGGAGAAGCTCAATAGCGTCAATTCCCCAATCTTCGGCTCGGTGCTGGGCACGGCGTGCTCCTTCCAAGACCAGGACCCCGAGACCGTTCGGCTGCTCCTGGAGGCCGGCGCTGACCCCTCTAAGCCCGAGGTGCTCCATCCAATAGCGGCAAAGATGCGCCGTATGACCGCTGTGGGGAAGTTCTTGGGCAATGTCCAGGCGCGCGGCTACCACCATTTGTTCTCAACGCTACCGGGGCGCTTCAAGCAGTCGCCGACGCACATCGCGACGCAGCAAGGCGATCTAGCGAAGATCAAGGTGCTCGCGGAGCACGAAAAGTTTCCGGTGGCACAATATAAAGATACCAAGGGTCGCACGCCCGTCGCCCTCTGCGTCGAAGACACGGTCAAGACCGCGGTCGCGGAACTCGTCGGCGGACCGGCAGCGGTGGCGACGCCAATCCCGGGCAACAAGGTCGCCCCGGAGCAATGAACTGCCCTGAACTCAGTGGCAGTGCTTCCCCCCCCCCTCCGAGTGAGTTTCCCTCTCCGCCTATTCTGCGCGCGCGGGCCCCAGGTCCTCCCGTCTCCTGAGCTAACTCACATCACTTTTTGCAACGAAAGAAGATTGTTACGGTGCGAGAACTACACTTTTTAGAAATCCGCGCTAGCGGCTCTAGCTAGCGGCATGTAAGACACTAGGAAAGGGCTGCCTTCTTTGTCACTGTGACGGTGCTCTGCCTCGCAAGGGGCTGCCTATTCAAAGATGGTGCGCTCGTCGCTCGGCCGCGCGGTCCTCGCCGACAGCGGGCTCGTCGGCTCCGAGGAGTACCCCTACTATGGCATTTCCGTGCCGGATTTTCTCAATCTGACCGAATGGCTGCCGCATGAGGCGCTGAAGGCGAGCGGCAAGGTGCGCCAGATGGGCGAGGCGGATGAAGTCATCTTCGTCTCGCACCAATGGACCAGCTTCTCGCATCCCGATCCCGCGGGCAACCAGCTGCGGGCGCTGCAAACGCAGATCCGGACGCTCATGAAAGGCAAGACGGCGGTCCGGAGCGACTACGGGCTCGACGCCGGCTATCAATATTCGATGCTTACGACGGGCAAGGAGTGGGCCAAGCAGCTCCCGAACATGTACCTCTGGGTCGACTACTGCTCGATCCCGCAGCCGGGCGCCGCCGCCGGAGGCGTCCACGCGGCGCAGCACTCCGATCATAGAGAGGGAGAGGGAGACCTCGTCGCGCAGCTCAAGCAAGCCGTAAACAGCATCCCCTCGTACCTCGCGCGGTCGACGATGATGTGGATTCTGGTGCCGCCGGTCAAGCACGAGTCGCTGGAGGGCGCGATCTGTGACTTTAACTCGTGGCGCAAGCGCGGCTGGTGTAGGCTTGAGTTCGCCGCCTCGAAGCTCTGCGCTGGGGATGATATGCCTTGTATGGTCATCACATCGGCCACGGCGACTCCTGAGTACTGCGCGCCTTGCGACATATTTAAGTTATGTGCGGGCCGTGGCGACTTCACCGTCGACAGCGATCGGGACGCGGTTAACGATACGCTGACCAAGATGCTGCGCGCCAAGGTCGAACAATACGCCAAGGAAGATATTACTCTCTCGCGGATGATGCAGGTCTTTTCGCCCTTGTTCGTGCCGCGACACGCCTACTACGGTGCCGAGGGCCCCGGAGGGTTGGATCAGCTCAAATCTTTTCTGAGGTGGCGCAGCGATGCCGAGGAGGCGGCGTGGGAGGCCGAGACCGGCTGGAATCTCCTGACGCTCGCCTGCACGATGGATGACGGGCCGGCGATCGACGAGCTGCTCTCACAGGATGCGGCGACGGTCGAGCGCCTGTTTGCCGCGAAGGGAAATGATATGTGTGGTGCGGGGAAAAAGAATGCTCCGCTAAGAAGGCGCGAGCCGCTGGGACAAAAGCTGATGGACTATGCGAATGAGATGACACCGCTTGTTGCTGCGGCGACGTTCTGTAGCCGCCCTACGTTCGAGAAGCTTCTGGACGCCGGTGGGTTGGCCGCCGTTGAGCGTGACGGGCTAGGGTTGCTCGGCGTGCGGCCGTGCCTGTACAAGGGCGCCATAATCTCGGGGAATCACGAGAACGTGAGCTTGATCCTAGCGCGCTACCCGCAGTACGCGAACGCCGTCAATCCCGATAGTGGCTGCTGCCCATTACACATGGCCTGCGGTACGGCCGCGTGTCGCGGCCAGAAGCAAGTGATGGAGGCGCTGCTCGCCTCTCCGGCGAAGGAGTCGCTCAACAGCGTCGTCGCACCCTTCTATGGATCGGTGCTGGGCACGGCGTGCAAATTCAACGATCAAGATCCCGACACGGTCCGAATGCTACTGAAGGCCGGCGCCGACCCGTCGAAGCCCGAGCCTCTGATGCCGTTGGCTGTGAAGCTACGCCGCGTAACGGCGGTTTTGAAGTTCTTCGGCAACGTCCAGGCGCGCGGCTTCCACACGATGCTCGCCTCGTTACCTGCACGCTTCAAGCAGTCTCCGACGCATATCGCCGCGAAGAAGGGCGATATGGCCCTCGTAAAGGTGCTCGCTGAGCACGAGAAGTTTCCGGTGGCCCAGTATGAAGATACCAAGGGTCGCACGCCCGTGGCGCTCGCCGTCGACGACACGGTGAAGACCGCAATCTCGGAAATCGTGGGACCAGCAGCGGCGGCGACGCCTGTCCCGGCCAACAAGGTTGCGCCGGAGCCCTGAACTCTCCCTTTCCAGTTTTCGCGTCAATTCCATTGCCAGTGCTACACACTAATAATCAACTTAGTCACAGAATCACCGCCCCCAGCGCCGACGCGACGAGCCCCGCCGCGAGGTCGACCGTCGCCTTGGCGCCGACGGGGTCGGCGAGCGCCGAGTTCACCTCCACGACGTCCAGCGACCCCAGACGCCCCGTCGCCGCGAGCGCCTCGCAGAGGAAGTGGGCTTCTCGGTACGTGAGACCGCCGCGGACCGCCGTGCCCGTCGCCGGCGCGATGAGCGGGTCGCACGAGTCCACATCAAAGGAGCAGTGCAACGGACCATCATCACCGAGGTGGTCGAGGGCCGTATCTACCACATGACCGATGCCTCTCCTATCAACATCATGCATCGTGCTCACGAAGGCGCCGCGCTCCCTCAACCTTAGCAGTATTTTGCGTTCCTCGGCGTCGACGTCGCGCAAACCCACAAAGGCCAGGTTTTGCGGAGCGAGTCTCACATCATCCAGCCACGCAAAAGCTGATGACGCCGTGCCGAGTTCTGACGATTGCACGAGCTTGAGCAGGAACGCCAAGGGCATGCCGTGCGCGTTGCCTGACGGACTTGTTGAAGGCGAGTTGCAGTCGGCGTGCGCGTCGACCCAGAGCACCTTTGTCGACGGGCGCGCCTTCAGCGCGGCGCTCACCGTGCCCAGGGCCACGGAGTGGTCGCCGCCTAATGTCAAAACGAAGTTGCCGCGCGCGTGGGCCTTGACGCAGGCCTCCATGAGCTTCCGGGACCCGTGGCCGATTTGGGCAGCATGCCGCAGCGGGCCCGCCACGTCTTGGGTCGTTTGCATGTCCACATCGCCTTCGTCGTTCACGCGCCAGTCTAGGTTCGCGACAGTCTCGGCGAGGCCCGCCTGCCTCAGCAGCTTCGGTGCGTTCTCGACGCCGCCGCGCGGCTGGCCGAACTGCTGCGGCGCGCCTATGATCGAAACGGTGCGCGGCGCGGCGAGGGGCCAGGATGCGAATGCGCGGGTGGCCTGGCGCAGCAGTGCGGTGCCGCGGATCATGGTTGCGATGGCGTGCGTGCAGCGATGTGCTCCGGAGAGCGTCTGCAGCCTTGTTGGGAGAGCTGCCTCTGGAGAGCTATTGGTGCCGAACGGCTGCGCCTGGAGGAGGAGCGCTGCGACCTCGAAGCCTACCAGTGATCGATATGCAAGAAACGCAGGCACAGCCAGGGTACGACTCGAGCAAAAGTCCGGAGTGAGCGCGAAACCCGCGAGAAAATCACGGCCGCGCTGCGCCGTGTACAGACTCCTTTCAACGAGTAGGGAGCAGCTGCGAGGCGTTCTTGCACGTCTCTCCAACTGGCTCCTGGGCTCGCAAGCCAAGCTGCAGCGTAACAAATCGACTGCATAGCGCGTTGTGAAAACGTCTACTTGCAAGCAGTAAGCACGATATCGATCGCATTGCTCGTTGCAATCGCTTACTAGCTGCAACAACCTGCAACAGGGCAGACGCCGCAGCAGCACAGCATCGCTTGCAGCAGCACGTCGTCGCCGCGGCCCCATCGATAACGCCATGGGCTACTTCAGTAATGATGCGGCACCGGAAGAACCGCAGTACAAGCTCCTCGCTTCGTTATTCCCGGAGAGCTGGCCCGCGCCGCTGTCGAACCTGTTTTGCGGCCTACTTTTACTACTAACAATACTAGAAGGAATGCGACGCTTAAAGACGGCGACCACACCGACGACGGAGCGAGTTACAAGACAAACGAAGGGCAAAGTCAGTGAATTCAACGCGTTCCAGCGCGAGTACCTCGCCGTGTACCTCGTCATCATGCTCGCGGACTGGCTGCAAGGTACCAATATGTACACTCTTTACTCCGGATACGGCGTGTCCGTCTCGACCTTGTTCCTCACCGGCTTTTCCTCATCACTGGTGTTCGGCACATTTGTGGGTCTACTCGTAGACGCCTACGGAAGGAAACGAGCTTGCGTGCTCTTCTGCCTGCTGGAGATCGCGATCAACGCCATGGAGCACGTCCCCAGCATGCCTATACTGTTGCTGGGACGGGTGCTTGGTGGTATTTCGACGTCGCTCCTGTTCAGCGCCTTCGAGTCGTGGATGGTCGCAGAACACAGAAGGCGGGGCTTCCCCGAGGCGTGGCTGGCCAAGACGTTCGGGTTATCATCAGCTGGTAATGGTGCCGTTGCCGTCGTCGCGGGGTTGTTGGCTCAGGTCGCTGCTGATGTGAAGGGCGACATCGGGCCCTTCCAGCTGGCCATCGCACTGACGGTGTTGGCTTTGGTACTGATACTAAGGTGGCCGGAGAACTACGGGAAGACGTCAGACGGTGTATTAAACTCCGTGTCGTCCTCGTTATCTACGGCCACGAAGGCCGTCAAGACGGATCGGAGGGTAGCTTTATTAGCGGCCGTGTCAGCTCTCTTCGAGGGCGCGACGTACACCTTCGTCTTCATGTGGGTACCTAGATTAATCGCCATCTACCCCTTCGAGGGCGGGTTACCCACCGGTCTGATCTTTGCATCATTTATGGTCTGCATCACCATCGGTGGTGTTATATACAGCGCCTTGGGCATGGATTCGTCGGTGGAGTCCTACTCGTTCCTTTGTTTATTAGCAGCATTCGGGGCCATGGCCCTCTGCGCGCTCGGGGCTCCTCCCTCAGTTATGCCTCAAATACTACCGGCGCTGGGCGATTTCGGGCCGACGCTCGCCGCGTTCCTGGTCTTGGAGGGCTGCGTCGGCTGCTTCAACGCCTGCGCGGGGACGATGCGTTCGCGTTATATTCCGGAGGACGTCCAGGCCGCCGTCATGAACCTGGGACGGGTGCCCCTCAATCTGCTGGTCGTCGGTGGGACGTACCTGTCGGACGCGGCGCCGGCGCAGGTGGCGTTCGCGGCGGTAGCCTTGGCTTTCTTGGGCGGCGCGGCGCTGCAGGCGGCGCTGGTGCCCGTGAAGCGCGACTAGTTTCTTATCTCTTAAGTTCGGTTCTCGTCTTCTTTCAAGAGGCATCCATCCGGCCCAGCGCGATGTGACAAGAATCCTGAAATCTAGTGGGTATAGCTAGCTCAAACGTAGATCCGTTCAACGGTGCAACGTCAACTCGGCGGCGTGCCGTCCACCTCCACGCCATCGACGCGACCTCTCCCCTCGACCCTCCCCGCGCGCGTCGCCTACTCACGCGAGCGGCACACGAGTCAAACACGCCGCACCACCGCGTCGGCACGACCCCCGAGGACCCCCGAGACGCCCGCAAGACCGTGATCCGTGCGCCGGCGGAGAAGCTTCTGCGACCCGCACTCACCTGAGCACAGATTTGCCAAGCAAGCTTAAAGGCTCCCAACCAGCACACTCACCGATAGACACGATGGCGCGGCCGCTCCTTGGAGCCCTGCTGCTCGCGCGCCTTGCGACGGCGCAGGACATCGACATCAAGCGAATAGAGAACCCCGGTGTGGTCCTCTACAAGACCAGCGGCCCCCTGCCCGAGGCGCGGCTCGGCGACGACTTCCCGGGCAGCTTCCCCGCGCGGTTCCTGCGCCAGGCCTGGGGTTTGGAGGGGCCGCATTCACCGGAAGGCGCCGCCCTGGTCAACGCGACGGGCGTTTGTACTTCCAGTGAAATCACGGACGAGTTCTTCGGCCAGGCGATGTTGGAGAGGGCCAAGGCCATGTTCGACGACCGAGGGTTGAGACACGAGCTCGACGCATTTCTACAGTCGGGAGTGAGCAACACCCATTCACCGACACCGCGTCGGATGTACTGGGTCGGGATCGACATCCTGCCGAACCAGAGCCTGGCGCTCCACTCGCACCCGAACGTCGAGTTCGTCTACGTGGCGGCGGGCGTCATGCACGAGTGGCGCTGCCCGAAGTGTCCTGTGAAACGTAAATATATACCTGAAGAAATCAAAACAAATGGGAAGACCATCGAAAAGTACTGGGGCCCGGACCTGCACAAGGTCAATGCGAAAGCCAGAGGCATGTTCCGCCACGACGCGTATAATGCCGGAGACATGTTCATCAACGCGATTGGCGACGTGCACCAGTCCTATACGGAGGAAGAGGGCGTCAAATTATTAGTGATGTGGGGCGATGGCAACGCCGACGTGCCCCTGGAGCAGCTGCCGCGTCATTCCGATTTTTTAAATGTGGGCGCCGCGAAGGCGTGGGACTAGACTCATTCAAATCGTTTTATTCGATCTTGCGAGGCGCGCATCCGCCGCTTCGAAACGCGCTATTTGCGCAAGTAACATTCATACTTTATTCAGAGGAGTAGGAGACACGCGGCAGCGGTGCGCGAGTCACCGGTCGGCGTTTGGGCGCGTTTTTTTCGCCCATGCTTGCTCGAACGGTGTGCCTTTGGGGAGGGATCGCGTCGAAAGCGTGGGGTTGGGACGCGTCCGTGGTCCAGTCAGCTTTGGGCCGAGAACACTCGAAGCGCAGTGCACGGTAAAAGTGCCGACGTGCGAGCCACGTACAACTTTGCGACACACGCAGACGCCACATAGCGTCCAAAGACTTTTCCCCGCAGCGTTTACGAGCGATTCCGACAGCTCTTCTGCCCTCGCGACGCGAGAGCACACGCGAAACTACAACAAAGTGCTCGGCACAAAAAATCACTTCGCACGCACGCGAAACGACAACAGCGCTCAACGCAAGAAATCACAGCACCATGAGTTTCATGGACTCACCCACAGCCTTCATCCGCAAAGAAATAGTCGACGCGCTCGACGAAGCGCAAGACAGCGGGGACACCGTCGAGGTCCACCCGCGTGCGGCGTCGCCGCGGCGGCCCCTGCTCACCTCGAAGAGCTTCGAGGACCCGAGGAAGCTGCCGGCGCCGCCGGCGCAGCCCGAGGACGACGCCAGCACGGTCGCCTCGCTCCGGCCGCCGCCGATCGGGCCGGGCCTCAGCAACATCAGCTCGCTCACGTCGGCCGAGATCGACGACCCCGAGCTGCTCATCCTGGCGTCGAAGACGGCGCCGCCGCCATTCCTCGAGAAACAGGCCGCGCGGCGCGCGTCGGCGCCGGCCGAGTCGTTGACGGACCTCGCCGCGGCCGCCAAGCAGATCGCGGCCGCGAAACAACAGCGCCCGGTCGCCAAGCGCCGCTTCGTGCCGCTCCTCACGTTCGCCCTCGGAGCGCTCCTCGCGACGGCGGCCTTCTTCTGGTCTCCAGCTGTCGACTTGGTCCTGCCGCGCGTCGCGCTTAGTGACGCGAATGTCCAAGCTCCTAAACCGACATGCGTCGACGAGGCCTGCGCGGTGTGGGCGCACCCGCTCCGCATCGGCGCCTTCTCACCGCTCGTGATCCGGCCGGCACCAGGAGCTGATACCTCACCCGGAGCCTTAGTGGCGTTCCTCGACGGCCACAAGCGCTGGGCCCGCGACCGATTGGAAAGTGAAGGTGCTCTCCTCTTCCGGGGCTTCCAGGTCACGAACGCGTCGGACTTTGAGAGTGTGGCCGTGTCCTTGGAACCGGGCCAGCTCGCGACGACCTACGAAGGGACGAGCCCGCGCACTTCATTATCACCTCATGTCAAGACGGCGGCCGACCTGCCACCTACTTCGGTGGTCCCGGCCCACGCCGAGATGTCCTTCGCGCCGCGGCCGCCGGCGCGGCTCTACTTCTACTCGCACGTCTCAAACACGGGTATTGGAGGCGAGACGCCCGTGTCCGATTTGCGAGCAGTAGCTCAAGCATTGACGCCCGCGGCGCGGCGCCGTTTATCTAGACCTTTACGCTTCGAGCGCGTCTACTACGATGAGAGGAGCTGGTTCGGCTCGTGGGATCCCACGAAGACCAAGTCGTGGCAAAGCATGTTCCCCGGCCTTTCCCGCAAAGAGGCTGAGGTGGCTGCTCGGGAAAAGGGCTACGAGCCCTCGTGGCTGCGCGACGGTTCGCTGAAGCTGTCGCACGTCGTCGGGAGCCCGTTCCGGGCCCATCCTTCTGATAACGTGGAGGCCTGGCACTCGCACCTGACGAACCTGCACGTGACGACGGCCTGGGCCGCGGAGTTAGGGAAGGCGGCGCGGCACTTACGGTCGCCGTCGTACGTTCTCCGGTCATTGTTCTTCTCGGCTTTATATGGCTCGGGCCTCGCGGAGACGCTTCTCCACGTCATGGGGTCCGAGGTCGGAGCGAAAGTGGTCGAGGCCGAGACCGGCGCCGAAGTCGTCGACGTCGAGTACGTGCGCGCGCTCATGGACAAGTACACGTCGACGCATCAGCACGAGGACGGCGACGTCATTGTGTTGGACAACTTCCGCGTCGGCCACGCGCGCAACCCGTGGGACGGCTCGCGGCGCGAGCTGTACGCGGCCTGGACGGCCTAATCATCGTGCGCGCGCCACCGTTTGATACTGTGTCGTTTGTGTCGGCGCGCCACGCTTGTGTAAATATACCCCTCAATCGACTGACTCGGAAATAGTCCTCGTGTTCTAGGCTCGCGTCGACGGCTTGATCGCCGCTGCACCGCCTAGTATTTTTAGCAGAATGGCCGTTGGGTTCTTACGCGCTCCCCGGCGACGGCGTCTCGCGGGCGCGGAGGGCGGCTCGAGCCTTTATCAGATCGCGCCCGAGCCCTCCTGTGATCGGGTGCGCGCCACCGAACACGCGCCGCGCGATCCGTCTCGCGTCCTCAAGCGTCGTCACGGCCTCGTTGAGATCGTCGAGCGTGGCGTCAGGGTCCTCGCAGAGCGACGACGCGTAAGTCCACCTCGTCTTGAGCGTGACTCTATGCCCTTCTCCGAGAACGCGTCGCGCCACGGGCATTGTTTTGAGCAACAGCGGCTTGGCTTCTGCGTAGCGCTTGAGACTACCAAGGGACGACGCGTAGTTGAGGGCTGCTCGGAGTGTCGCTGGATGCTGTTCGCCATGGAACTTCAAACGCCCAGAGTATACGTCTCGCTCCACGCTTAGGGCCTTCTCCATCTGTCCAAGCTCTCCATACGTGCTCGCAAGATTGCTCTGCGCGACGAGAATGCCCTCTTCACCTGCGCCTATGCGCCGCAACAGAGACAACTGGGCCTCTTTCACGGACAACGCTTCTTCGTGATGATTCGCCTCGTCTAACCCGTTCCCAAGCTGGTTAATTGCAAAGCCCCGAGTGGCATCCGTCTCCGGCCGCCCCACGTACGTCTTCCAGCAGGCCCATCCGATCGCGCACCGCACGACGCCGTGGTACTCTTGCTTGCACAGACTACACGTGTGCCACCGCCTCCACCTCTCAACCAACACCTTGTCCCCCAAATTGTTCTCCTCGGCCTCCGCGACCAAAATCTTCGCCTGCTCCGCCAGACACGACACATGCGCAAAACCCGCCGTCCCGCGGCACGAGCACCCGCGCACGAGGCCCTCCTTCGTCTTCCAGTGGAGCGCCTGCGTGCAGATGAAGCACGTCTGGTCCTTCGTGTCGTCCGCGCACGCCTCGACCGCGACCGCGACGGCCTCCTTGTATTTTTTGTCGGCATTGTACTGCTCTGCGTTGCCGCCGCGGTGTATTTTCTTACACATCTGCTTGTGGCCGCGGCGCCAGTGGTCATGCTGGCATGTCGAGTCACAATAGCGGGTCCAACATCTAACACAACGCGGCGCGGTGTGGGCCAGTGGGGCGGCGCAGGCGGCGCAATTTGTGAGGATCATTTTGCGTTGGCGGGCCGTCTATAGAGCGTTCGCGTCGCGCGGCGGCGTTTTTGTGAATGAAAAAATCGGGTTTTCCAAGCCGAGCCAAGCCGCCGCAACCCCATAACTCACCGCAAAAACGCAAGATGATCCTCACAACATGCGCCGCCTGCGCCGCCCCACTGGCCCACACCGCGCCGCGATGTATTAGATGCCAGACCAGATACTGCAATCAGACTTGCCAGCATGACCACTGGCGCCGCGGCCACAAGCAGATGTGTAAGAAAATACACCGCGGCGGCAACGCGGAACAATATAATGCAGACAAAAAATACAAGGAGGCCGTCGCGAAGGCGGTCGAGAAGTGCGCCGACGACACGAAGGGCCAGACGTGCTACATCTGCACGCAGGCCCTCCATTGGAAGACGAAGGAGGGCCTCGTGCGTGGGTGTGCGTGCCGTGGCACGGCGGGCTTCGCGCACGTGTCGTGTTTGGCGGAGCAGGCGAAGATTTTGTTCGCGGAGGCCGAGGAGAATAATTTGGACCATAAGGCGAAGGATGATAGGTGGGCGCGGTGGTTCTCGTGTAGTCTGTGCAAGCAAGAGTACCACAGTGTCGTGGCGTGCGCGCTGGGGTGGGCATGCTGGAAGACGTACGTCGGGCGGCCGGAGGCGGATGCGGTTCGCATGGCGATGGGCGTACTTGGGAGCGGTTTACACGTAGCAAGATACTACGCGGACTCGTTGTCCGTGAAGGAAGCCGAGTTGTCTATGCTGCGGCGCCTTGGCGAACAAGAAGAGCATATCCTCGTCACTCAGACCAATCTTGCGGGCACGTATCATGAGATCGGACGGTTTGAAGAGGCCAACCGCTTGCTGCGAGACGTATACTCCGGATGGCTAAAGTTACAAGGCGAAGAAGATGAACGAACCATCCAAACAGCCAACAACTACGCGAATGCCCTTGTTCGTCTAGAGCGTTTCGAAGAAGCCAAGCCACTGATACGCAAACAGATTCGCGTGGCAAGACGCGTTCTCGGAGAAGGGCATAGAGTCACGCTCAAACTGCGGTGGCTTTACGGGCGGGCGCTCTACGGAGATGTCGGCGCCACGCTCGACGATCTCCGCGAGGCCGTGACGACGCTCCAGGACACGGAACGGATCGCGCGGCGCGTGTTCGGCGGCGCGCATTCGACCACAGGAGGGCTCGGGCGCGATCTGTCCAAAGCTCGATTTAACCTCAGTGTCCGCGAGACGCCGTCGCCGGGGAATGCGTAAGAAATTGAAAAGCTCCGCGCCCGCGAGACGCCGTCGCCGGGGAGCGCGTAAGAACGCAAAGGCTCACTAAAACTAAACTTACATGACGCTGCACGCCGTCGTGCCGTACTCGCGCCACAGCATCGGGATCGCGTAGCACGTCGGGCAGCACGTGATGTCGAGCGAACCGATGATGTGGTGCCCAAAACACTTCTGGAACAAGGACCTGGCCTTGACCGGCTCGCCGAAGAAGAAGACGTCGTACGTGTACGGCGCGTGCTTGTATTTGGAGCCGACCTCGCCCAAATCCTCCCGCCGTCGCGGACCGGGGTCGTCCCCGAGCACGCGGTGGTCCAAACCCATCTGCGCGTCGCGCCGCTCGTGCCACGCCTCCAAAGTTTCGCCTTCCCGCCGCGGATTCGACGGCGCGTCATGAGCATACTTGATCTCCTCTTCGGTCCACCCATCTCGCTCCGCTAAAGCTTGCCACTTATCCTTTTGAGGGGCTCTGGAAAATTTGTCGCCCAGCCTCAGCTGGATCTCCCGGAATCTTTTTTTCCGCCTTTTGAGCGCGTTGCCCATGGCCCAGATACCTTCCAATGCGAGTACCGTACCTCTAAAGTCCAACGCCGTCAGCGTCTCGTTGTCCCGGAAGCCGTTAGCTAATTCCGCGGCCCCGCGCGCCGTAAAAAAATTCTCGCGGATGTCGAGGAACTCCAATCGCCCAAAGCTCACCTTGCCGAAACACTTGATTCCAGCGTCGAAGTGGTTGTTGCGCCGCGTTTGTAGCATGTTCACCGTGCAGCCCGCCTCGGATGAAATTAGTCTCGCCAAAGCCCTCGCGCCCTCGATGTGCGAGTGATTGCCACTTAAATCTAATCGCTCCAACCCGATGTACCTCAGTCGTATGAGACCGTCGCATAAGCGCGCGACGCCGACGCCTCCTAATGAATTCTCGGCCAGATCCAATTCCTTGAGCATGCCGACTTGCACGCCTCTCGTCCTATACACAGGATGCAACCCCTCCAGGATCAAGGGTATGCCTTCTCGCGTGATCAAGTTCGTTCGAAGTCGAGCGGCCCGCATGTGCGAGAACCCGGCCTCGTCCTCCTCAAATAAATGAATAGCTTTGAGCAGCGTCCCTAGCTGCCGGCCCGCGTCCCGGTTCAAGCCCCGCAACTCCTTCCGGATTTCTCTGGATTTGGTTGATTTAGCACCAAAAAACTTCAACGCGTCGACCATGGCCTCCATGACGGGGCCCTTCTCGTCCTCTCGTCTTTTTTGACCGGCCTCCGTGTGCGCGGGAGCTTCTGATTCCAATTCCCAGCCGAAATCTTCTCCGATCAACGCGTTCTCCTCCGGCAGGATGCCCGCCTCCTTCCACAATTCTCGAACCTCCTCCTTGATATAGGAAGGCCAGTTCACCTTGATCTCGGGCTCGCTCGGTTCCTTCTCCTCTTCCGGCTCAGGCGCGACCTTCACGACGCCCCGCGCGGCCCACTCTTTATCACTTGCGGCGGCCTTCTCGCGCTGTTCGGCGTCGGCGGCGGCGAACATGGCCCCGTAGGGGTCGTCGTCGTTGGAGAAGCCCATGGCTGTCGAGTGCCCCTGCCTTGGGGCCGGTCTCACGCTGCCCCGCCGGGTGCGGCTCGCGACGGCGGCGTGCACGAGGGCTTGCCGCGATGCGAGGGCAGCCCTCGGGGCCCTCGACGACGCGGACAAGCTCGTTACAGGCTTTACAGCGGCCGGCGCTAGTATCTTACCTGCCGCTAGCTAATTATCAGCGTGAAGAACGACGAGCCGCACGTAGCGATATAGAGTACCTAGCGGTCCTCTAAAGGGGGCGACAGACCCAGACACATAGCATCTCTGAACGGCTAGAGCGAGAGCCGCTGGAAGCACTCGTGCATAAAACTGCACGCTGCACTCGAGGCAGCAGTGCAGCAGTGCAGCGGCGGGCGAGATGGCAGCGCAGCACCTCGCCGCGCTGTCGTTAGATGATAGACCAAAAGTATCGGACGGCGTCGTCGCGGACGCGGCGCCGGGCGTCGCCTGGTTGGATGCAAGGACGCCGGGCGCGGGCTGGGCTTTATCTGTAGAGCCGTTCGACGAGTCTGATTTCGGGCTAGAGGAAGGCGACGCGGTGCCGGACCTAAACATAGATCAAGAGGATGGCATCCTGTCCCTGCTCAATTCATCTCAAAGAGCTAGGGCATACCACGTCTCGATATATGACAGGACGCTCACGGCATCACATGGCACCTTAACATCATGCCCATGTCGAGGACGGCGCTGCACGACGTTATCAGTAGCGGTGCCACCTAGAACATCAGTAGACGTCTGCGAAGTCGAGGGCGACGCGTTGACTGTGGACCTCGCGTCGGACGTGGTCGACATCGTGGAACCTACAGAACTGGAGGCGAGGACGTACGACGTCTTCCCCCTACCTAGTGAAGGGGGCCCGTGGCTCTGCACGCAGGCTTCCGGTGGTTTGTTGTCGCACTATGCTCATGCTTCGACATATCATGCTGTAGATTTTAGATGTCCGGAAGGTACACCATGTCTAGCAATTGCGGATGGCGTCATCCACGCCGTCGACGTCGCCAACGAAGATGGCGGCATCCACGTCTCGGAGCTATTTCGGTGGAATGCCGTGACGGTGCAATTGGACGACGGCTTCTTCGCGGAGTACGTTCATATACGGTCGTCGGCATGTAAGGTCGGCGACCGCGTGAGGAAGGGAGATATCATAGGAGCGACGGGGGCCGTCGGCTTCTGCCCCGAGCCCCACCTTCACTTGGAGGTCCACGCGTCGGCGGCGAAGGACGCTCCTTCTGTGCCGTTGCGCTTTGGCGATCGGGTGCCCCGGGCCGGGGAGTGGTGGGACGGGTACGCGGCGTCCTCGTAGTTTTGTAAGTTGTATGTCTGGTGTTGAGGGACGCAGCGACGGCGTATTGACTGATGCAGTGATGCCGACTGCCAGTGAACCCGCACAAAATTTCTGAATTTGCCCGAGGCCGCCAGAGCCCGTCCTAGCACGCCTCTAAGCCTCGCATCAGGGGTTGATTGCTCCCGTTTGCGCGGCTCGGTCGGCCTGCTTGCGAACAAGTCGTTGCTAACAAAAGCACGCCGCAGGCCACCATTTTTGGGCCGGTGCTCGCTTGAGCACTGCTGCGGGCTCACATTTATCACTGACGCTCGAGCGCACCACCAGGCGCAAACCAGTTTGGCGGTTTACACGCTGCGCACACAGTTGCGCAATCGCAGCGCGCCGACGCCAGCGCCCCCGCGCAAGACCACCACAGCCATGGCCGAGGACCAGACCAGCCAAAATTTAACAGTCGCCGTCCGCGTCCGGCCCCTGTCGGCGACCGAGCAGAAGCGCAAGGTCGCGAAGGTCGTCCAGTCCTCTGGGAACCGTGTTATTGTCACCCATGGCCCCGGCGGGCGAGGGCCCGACCGCACGTACAATTATGATAGAGTCTTCTCGCCCTACGCGGCCCAAGAACACGTCTTCGAGAGTTTAGTATCACCCGTGGTCGATGAAGTGCTCCGAGGTTTTAATTGCACGGTCTTCGCGTATGGGCCCACCGGTACGGGGAAGACCCACACCATGGAAGGCACTTCTGAGGATGCCGGCCTGGCACCGCGCTGCGCCAAAGCACTGTTCGCGAGGCTCGAAAAACAGAAGACAAAAGCTGGGGAAGCGGACTTTCAGATCAAGGCGAGCTGCCTCGAGATCTACAACGAGGAGCTGAGCGATTTGTTCGCTATTGATGATGAGCCTTCACAAAGAACGACGTCCGCCGCGATGGCGTTACATACAAAACCCAACCCCCAGAAAAGGCCTCTGAGGTTGGTGGAAGCGGCCAATAAATCAGGAGTGACCTGCGCCAACCTCGAGGAGGTCGTGTGTGGTGACGTCGACGCTTGTCTGAAGGCCTTGCAGAAAGGGGCGTCCAATCGACGAATCGCGTCGACAAAATGCAACGACAAGTCGTCTCGGTCCCACGCCTTGTATACGCTGAAGGTCTGCGTGCGGTCGCTGACGGAAGACGGGCGCGACTTGATCGTGAACGGTCAGTTGAATCTCGTTGATCTCGCAGGGTCCGAGTGCGTCGGCCGATCGGGCGCGACGGACAAGCGCGCGCGAGAGGCCGGTTCGATCAACCAGTCGCTCTTGACGCTCGGTAGAGTCATCACTGCATTAGTGTCGGCAGGAGAGTCGAAATATGTACCATACAGAGACAGCAAACTCACAAGGTTGCTCCAAGATAGCTTAGGCGGCAAGGCGAAGACGACGTTAATAGCCACGGTCGCCCCCGGCAAGGACTGCGTCGAGGAGACGCTGTCGACGTTACAGTACGCGCTTCGGGCTCGATCCATCCAAAATAGACCCGAGCAGCACGCTAGGTACCACGGGAAAGCGATAGTAAGGGCCCACGCGCGGGAGGTCGACGAGCTCCAACGGTTACTGGCTTGTCAGCGGGAGAAGAACGGCGGCATCTATGTGGACGGGGACCAGTGGGAGAGCATGCAGGGGGAATTGGCGTCTCGCAAGGCCGAGCTTGAGGAGTTGGGCGAGGAGCTTGCCAATGCTCGTATCCAGGCCCTGGAGGCGGAGAAGAAGTTGGACGACGCGCGCGAGGAGGCCGACGCACAGCGGGAGCTGCGTGTTTCTGCGGAGAAGGCGCGCGACGAGGCGCTCGAGGGGAAGCGACTGGCCGAGGAGGCGCATCGGGCGGAGGTACGAGCGCATTCTGATACTAAAAAAGTGCTCGAGGCTCATCAGAGGAATGAGCGCGTCTTGTTACAGCATGGAGCGTTGCTCAAGGGTCATGTCAGGGAGGCGGCTCAAGACTTGGACGCGTCCGCCGAGGAGTTGCAGCAGTGGCGCCAGGCTCTAGATGACACGGTGACGAAATGTAAAGCGACGGCGTCGTCGCTGAGTGACGAGCGGAAGCCGGCCTTGACCGAGGCCGTCGCGGCCCTCGAAGCGGCTCTAGAAAGACAATCCAAGGACGCGGAACGCGCTCGTGCATCGCTAGAAAAGGGCGCGTCGACGGCGCTGCAAGAGTGCGTCGACGCGCTGCGCGAGGGACCCGTGGCTTCGTTGTGCCGCGCCGTAAAAGCCGCGGCGGCCGAGGATTTGGACCTCGCGTCGCAGCGGCGAGACCGCGTCGCGACGATGATGCGCGACGCCGTCGACGGCATCGGGAACGTTCAAAAGGCGTCGGAGACGATGGCCGATAACGCGAAGGGACGAGCCCAGCGCATCTCTCACATCTTGAATGAAGCGCGACAGGCGCTCGACCGGGCGAAGGCTCACATGGAGGAGAGTGGAGCGTCTGTGATGGAGAAGGCCGCCGAGGGTGCTGAGAAAGTTATCGAGGCGGCGAGGCCCTGCGTGGCACGGGTCGACGAGGCTGCGGCCGCGAGACAGGCCTTCGCGGAAGCGCGCGAGATCGCGTTGCAGGCCTTCCGGGCCCAGGAGGCGGAGGCACGAGAACAGCGAAGGGCGGAGCTCGAGAAGACCCTCGCCGCGTGGGAGGCTTCCAGTGAAGAACGGGCCGCGGACTTCGCGGACGCTCTTGCAAAGACGGAGGCCGACGCCTCTGCGAAGCTCGCCGCGGCGGACGACGTGCAGAGGACGGCGCTTTCTACATTAACGGACGAGACCGTGCCCGCGTTCGTCGCCGAGGTGCAGGGCGACGTCACAAGACTCGTCGAGCGCTGCGGCGACGACTTGGACGCCGTGTCCGGCGATCTGCCGCTGGACCAGGTCGCCTCGTTCCAGAGCGACCTCGATGGGGCGGCCGTCTCTAGTATTGCGGCGGCGGCGTCCAAGGCCGGTGAGGCGGCTTCAGTCGAGGCGGGCGACCTCGACGCGTGCGAGACGGAGGCGTGTGGAGCGGCGCGTATCACAAAAGCGGACGCTTTGATGGCGACGGCGGCCGAGGCCGCGCGCGCGGCGAACGAGAACCTCGCCGGGGCCTGCGAGGCGTCGGCGGCGGCCTTGCATGACGCGGCCGCGAGCGCGGCGCGCGCGTCGAAGGAGGCGGCGCAGCGCCACGCCGTGGTTGTTTCTGGTGCCGTCGACGCGGCCGCGACCTTGGGTGAGGAGGCGGCGGCGACGGCCGCGGCGCGGGCCGAGGCCTCCGTTCCAAGGGAGGGCGCGCCGCACGTGGCGCGAAGTGATAGCGTGGCCCTCGACCCGACGCCGCCGGCGGCGCAGATCTTGGCGGCGGACGCCCCGCCGCCGGCGCCTCCCGTAGTACGGGCGCCGGCCGCCGAGAACGTGCCGCCCGCCGCGCCGCCCGTAAAGGCGCCGCCCGCGCCGCCGGCGAAGGGCATCCTCTCGCGGCGGCCCGAGGGCCTGCCGCCGCTGCGTTCGCGGTCGAACAACTAGCTGACAAGACCAACGACTCTTTCGCGCGCGCTCTTCCCCTCCCCTCCGATTTAACACTGGGTGTGCGCTGATTCACTTTAGAGCGAGTCGCTTATTGAGCTAGCCCTCTTAGCACGGCCGATCCGTTAGCAAACCTCGGGGGGACTATTGTTACGCAAACCTCGGCTAAAAAAATGCTAGTGCCTTACAGGCCGCTAGCTAACTCGATTTTTGGGGCCGCAGCAGCACGCCTCCTGTGCAAGCCTCGGCCCAATAGCCAGCGTTTCGCATCACCTTAGAAGCGCTGAGTTGCAGGGGTACGGAGAAATAGCGCGCCAGAGGGCTGCTGCAGGCCGGAGCGCATTTCTCCCTTGCACCACTCGCAGGGCCGACAGCTGTAGGCGTCGACGCGACAGCTGACGCGTCGACGCGACGTCCCCGACGCCATCGGCGCGACAGAACGATGGCCACCGCCACCTTCTCGACGCCCGTCCGGGAAGCCCTGGCGAAGTACGGCGCCTAGCTGTGTGGAATCAAACAGTGAGTTAGTTTCCTCGCGTCGATGGCGTGCAATCTACACGCCATCGAGCAGATGCTGTTACGGGGACGACGTCGCGTCGATGGCGTGGGGCATCCAAAATTTGATTTCCACACAGACATACAGGATTTAGCGTTTAGCAACGAGTCGCCGAGGTTTCGGGCCGGCTACGATTGGCACCGGCAAGAGTTACAAATTGCAGATGAACATTTAGAGCGACTCACGAGTGGAAGTCAAGCGGTCGTAAGGGCCTTACAAGTGCTCGGAAGTGCCTCGGGTCGACTCGCAGCTGATCTAGAAAGGACGCCGGCCGTGTTTCAAGCATTACCAGTCACAGCCCGACTAGCCGGTGTTTTGCAAGATCTGGCGTCGGCCGGTGATGTCTTAGCTGAATCGTTAGATCTCTCATTACGGACACCCTTGGACGCCCTGCGGTCTGATGTCAGTAGAATCGACGACAAAAAACGCGCGTGCGACCGCGCCGACGACCAAGCTTCGTCTACGGAGGCCGATTTATTAAGGGGCGACTGGCGGCGAGTGGAGAGAGATGTGTTGAGAGGCGAGAAGCTGCGGAGTCGGGGCGAGGAGTCGGACCTGCCTCGAAGCATCGCGGCCGTGGTCGATCAACGCGCTAGGAACTGCGCGGAATCTCGGAGGTTGGCGGAACTGCGACGGTTTGAACTCGCGAGGTTCACGTCATCGTTACGACGACGGACGGGGCTCGTCCTGGCGGAAGCCGCGTTAGCTGCTCTCTGTTCCTTGCGGGCGTTCCACGCCCAGGCCGCGCACGCCGTCTCCGATGCGACCACAGCGGCGCATGCGGCACACACCACAATCGCGAACGCGTGCGACGCGGAACGGGCGCCCTGGGATTACCGCATGCTCAAGTTGCAGGAGACGTTGAATGCGATGCCCCACCTCTCGTCCCAAAATTCGAGCTTCGTCAAGGCCCACGAGGGTCAACCAGTAGATGATTTGTTGAGGGCCGCGGAGAGCGCTTACGGCACTTATGATGTTGAGTCGAGGTTGTCTTCTCTCTATGCTCCTTCTCAAACATCTTCCTCGTTGGAGGGCTACCTCTGGTGTCAAACAGTAGGTATTCGGAGCGGCCCCTGGCAGCGGCGCTACTTTTTACTTGGAAGTGCGGAGCTACGCGTCTCCAAGAGCGAACCTTCGACGATCGGTGGTTTGTTGTCGGCAGCTCTCGCTAGAGAGTTATCCGAGGACGAGATGCGTCAGAACAACGACGACGAGACGGAGTTAGTTGCTACCCTTTTACTCTCTTCGGTGAAAACGTGTACGACCGCGAGGTGTGCCTTCGAGGTCCGATCCGCCCACGGCTCACCGTTACGCTTGCAAGCTAGAGGTGATGCGGACCTCACGAGGTGGACGCAAGCCATCACCAAGGCCATCGCCGACCAATTGACCAGAACACCAAAAGCTTCGAAGAAGGTCGCGACGCCCGCACCAGTGATGACGAAGACGCCCTCGTCCAAGAGCCCTTTCCTGCGGCGGACCGTGTCTACGTCACCCGCACCATTACCGAAGCAAGGTGAACTGCTCCGTTCATTTTCGTCGCCCGAGATGAATGATAGACCCTACACGCCGCCGCCGCCGCCGCCCGCCGCGTCGCCCACCGGAATAAGGGAGGCCGCGCGGTTGCGGCGCGTCGCCGCCGTCGAAGCCTTATCGACGACTTGTTGTGACTGCGGTGCTAAACGCCCTGAGTGGGCGGTCATCAATCGCGGGTGTTTGGTCTGTTTGAGGTGTTCCGGCGTTCACAGAAGCTTGGGCACGCACGTCTCCAAAGTCCGTTCGTTGCGCTTGGATCGGCTATCGGACGCGACGCTACGCTTTTTAGAAGCTGTGGGCAACGACCGATGCAACGAGGTCTTCGAGGCGGCTTTGGCGCCAGACATGAAGCCCCGCCAGAACACGGACTCGAAACGGCTGCAAGCGTTCATTCGCGCGAAGTGGGCGCAGCGGGCCTACGTTTCCAGCGACGGTGTGGATCCGGATGGCGCGTTGCGCGATGCCGTCAGTTCATCAGACGTCTTGAGCGCTCTTGCGGCGCTGGCCGCGGCGCCGGACCCCTCGGCGTTGCTGGCGCGGCGGGACGGCGGCGAGGCGCCCCTGCACCTCGCGGCGCAGAAAGGCGACCTCGTCGTCGCGGCGCTGCTCGTGCTGAACGGCGACAGCGGCGAGTTGCTGAACGCGGTCGACGCCGAGGGGCGGCGGCCGCACGACCTGCTGTCGGGCGACGCGGCGGAGGCGCTCGCGGAGCTGCTGCGGCCGCGGTAGTAGGGGGTATCTTAACTTATGGTTTTTCTTACAAGGATGGTTCGCGCGTCTCGTATTTCAGCCTCAATGTCCACTGTGAGCGGGTGCGCGCCACCTAACACGCGCCGCGCGGTCCGTTCCACGTCCTCGAGCGTCGTCACGGCCTTGCGGAGATCGTCAAGCGTGGCGGCGGGGTCCGCGTAGATCGTCTGCGCGTAAAGCCACCTCATCTTGAGCGTGAGTCTATGCCCTTCTCCGAGAACGCGTCGCACCAAGGGCATCGTTCTGCGCACCAGCGACCTGGCTTCTCCGAAGCGCTGTAGCCGGGCAAGGGACGACGCGTAGTTGTTGGCCGCTCGGAGGGTCTCTTCATGTTCTTCGCCGCCGAGCCTCAAACGTCCAAAGTACACGTCTCGCTTAATTAGAACGGCCTCGTCATACCGTCCCAGTACCTCATACGTGCTCGAAATATTGCTCTGCGCGACGAGAATGGCGACTTCTGACTTACCATTGCGCCGCACCAAAGACAACCGGGACTCATACACGGACAACGCATCCTCGAGGTGGCCCGCCTTGAATAAACCGTTCCCAAGTATCGACATCGTCATGTTTCGAACCTGATTTGTCTCCGGCCGGCCCAGGTACGTTTTCCAGCACGCCCACGCGAGCGCGCCCCGCACGACGCCGTGGTAGTCTTGCTCGCACAAACTGCACGTGTCCCACCGGCGCCACCTCTCATCCAACACCTTGTTGTCCAAATTATTCTCCTCGGCCTCCGCGAACAAAATCTTCGCCTGCTCCGCCAGGCACGAAACATGCGCAAATCCTGCCGTCCCGCGGCACGAGCACCCGCGCACGAGACCCTCCTTCGTTTTCCAGTGGAGGGCTTGGGTGCAGATGTAGCAGGTCTGGCCCTTCGTGTCGTCGGCGCACTTCTCGACCGCGACCGCGACAGCCTCCGCGTACTTGGTATTTGCGTTGTATTGTTCCGCGCCGCCCGCTTTTTTTATCTTCTTGCAGAGCTTGTCGTGGCCGCCTTCTTTCCAGTGCTGCACCTGGCATTCGGCTCCGCAGTAGCGCGTGCTGCAGCGGCCGCATTTCTTGCCCAAGGTTAGCCCAAGCTCGGTGGCGCAGACGGCGCACTGCGTGAGGATCATCTTGTATATGGTTAAATCGCTTGGGGGCAGCCGTACGATGCAAAAGCACACTCGATACGCTTTTTTGTTTTTGTTGCTAGTGTGTCTTACGGCCGCTAGCTAGCTTTTCACCAAAGGCTTGCAGCCGCCACTGCTGCTGACTATATTGCTAGATAAATTAGCCCAAGACAATCGCCTCAACGCCCTATCGACGAATTCGTGCAAAGCCTGCACCGCTAACTGCAGTGCAGCTTTGCAGCCTGCACAATGCTGCTGCAGCGAGTGGCACGCGCGCAAATCCGTCGAGCACAGCGCTCAGCTGCTCTCAGCACGACTGCACCGACGCTGCCGCCGAGCTGCGTCTGGCGTCCCTGCCCCCACGACGACCGCAGTCCCAATGCACCGGTCGTCGTCGTCTTCGGCTTTACGTCGTCAACACAAAAACAGCTCGCGAAGTACGCAAAGGTCTACCATGCGCTGGGGCTGGACGCCATCACCTGGGCCTGCCCGCCGCGCGAGGTGCTGCGGCCCGAGCGGTCGCGGGAGACCGCCGCGCGGCTCCTGGACGCGCTCCACGAAGATACTTTAATGAATCGGAATATAGTGCTCAACGGCCTGTCCGCGGGCGCCTACTCCGTCGGGAACACGTTGCTAGAACTCGATGCGCGGGGCGGGCGCGACGCGTTCTACGATAGAATAAAAACAGCAGTGTACGACTGCCCCGTGGACTTCGACGGCGTGCCCAAGGGCGTGTCGTCGGCGATGCTCGGTGAAGGCACGCCTCTCCAAAAGCTGGGTGAAAGCGCCATCCGACTTTACCTGTCGGCGGTCGATACCGAGAAGTGGGAGAGCTCGTCGGCCATGTTCCACGCGATGCCGCCCGCGCCGCCGTCGCTCTGGATCTACTCGCTGAACGACGAGATTTTAGATATTCCCTCGATCGAGAAGATGATCGCCAAGTGGCGGGCAAGAGGAGACGACGTGGAGACGTTGGTGCTGGACGAGTCGCCGCACGTGAAGAACCTGCTGACGGCGCCGGACGCCTACTACGACGCGGTGAGGACGCGCGTCGGCGACTTTCGGAGTAACAGTAATTCTTAGTAAAAACATGCGTACATCATCAGCCGTAGGCGAGGTCGTCGTCGTCCGTGCCGCCGAGGTCCCTCCCGTTGCGTCTTAACCATCTCCGTTTGTGCGCGACGACGGCGCCAGCGCCCTCCACAGCACTCTCGGCCGACCGCGCGTCGAGCGGCTCGTTCGGTAATGCATCCAGGGACGGGTCCGCGACGAATGTGATGGGCGCGGTCTCGAGGAACGCGGCGCCGCGCCGCGCGCGGGCGTTCTCCTGCCAGCGCCAGAACGCGTAGACGATGGGCCATTTAGTTATGGGCGTGGCGACGAGCGGCGCGAGCACCGGCGCCGTCGCGAGCCAGGCTCTGCTTCTCCACAAATGCTCGTTTTTGCGTGCCGCCGCGAGTTTCGCGAGCCGCCGCCGCACCAGCCGCTCGTCGAGCCTCGCGGGAAACCTAACCTCGATCCTCGCCGGGTGGGGCCCTCCACCTAGCTCCACGAGGAACTGCTCGTCGGGGTCGCGCGAGGCGTCCAGGATCGTCTGTATCGTTCGCCGCGCGTAGTCTTTCGGCGAGTGGCGCGGCGCGTCCTGGAGCCGCGCCCACTGCTTCGCGGCCGTCTCGACGAAGGCGTCGTATGTTCTTTCCAGCGCGTTGCGCTTCTCGGGCGCGGCGCCGGGGCACCGCTTCGCGTGCAGCGCCCAGTGGCGGCGCAGCACGGGAAGCACCACTACTCTCGTGAGGCGTGGCATTGCTGCTCGGCGTTCCCAGACCTGAGCTAGGCTCCCAGAGGCGAGTGCGCCGGAGATGCTCTCCCGACTTGGAGATGCTCTCCCAGCTTTTGAGGCAGGGAGATGAGTTTAGAGCTCGCGTTTGCTCGCGATTTCGTGGCTTGGGGAAATGATCATCCACGAGGTGCCATTTTATGGCCCGGATGCGCGCCTGGCGAGGAGCACTGCGTTGAATGGAGCTGGGTGGCCTGCACTCGTAAATCGCGGGTTTTCTGGGATTTCGCGAACGCGTCGATGGCGCAAAGGCGACGCTCTTCAATCACAGAACAATTACAGCAGACCTATCGCTGGAACCGCCCCCCGAACACGAGGTACCAGAGCGGCGAGGGCTCGGGCGGCGGCGGGTTCTTCAGCGCTTCGACGTCTTCGGCGTAGGGCTCGCAGATGGCGCGTGCGTACGAAGGAACATGCCGCGTTGCGCGCGTCCCCATCCTATCGTCGCAGAAGAGCTGATTGCGGATGTAGTGGTAGTCGATCGAATAACGTGCGAATTCGAGACCCGTCGGCAGCGTTCTCGCAATGACGTCCGCGAGAATGTTCGCGACGAACGGCGGCGCGCCCTGGTTGCCGGCGACGAAGTCGGGTTCCAGCAAAGTCTTGACCATGGAGTCGCCTTGAACAGTCTTCACTGTTATTGATCGCCGGTCGCCCGTCGACGGCAGCTCGCGCCCGCCGACGCCGCCTCGCTGCAGGATCTCGACCCGGCCGCTCGCGACCGCGGTGTCGAGCATCCTCCGCCCCCGCTCGTTCCGTACAGTAACCATGAGTGGTGCGGTCGTCATCTCGTCCCGCTTGGCATCGAAGGGCGCCCCCATGTACCCTACCACAACGTCCGCAAGACCATTGGTATAATCGAAGCAAGAGAAGCAGCTCGGCGCGATCGACGGCACACCAATGCTAGGAGGCAAGGTCATGTACGCAGGCTTCACCGTCTCCTCTTCATCAGAGCCTCGGAGGCGCGCGTGGACGCGGAAGTCGGCCATAAATTCGTAGGCCAGCACGTCGTCGGCGCGCTCCTCTCCGACCCCTGGGAGAGTGGAGACGAATTTTTTCGCGGCCTCGGGAGTGGGGGAGTTGTCGACGCAGTGCCTGTGCGCAAATCGACCAGTGAGTCAGGTGGCTCGCGTCGATGGCGTAGGAGAGCCGCAAAGTTGATTTGGGCACTGCGCAGTGCGTTCCTAGGACATACAGCTCGTCGAGGTTCAGCGCCTTCACAGGATCGCCTTTATTGATGCCTCTCAAAGCTTGCACCGAGCACCCGACGCCGCAGAACAGCAGCCTTTTTATGGACGCGTCGTCCCGCACCTGGTCCAAGATGGCCAACGAGGGACACAGCGACGGCTTGACCCTCCTACCGCGTAACACGTCCTCCTTTGTACGACACAACACGGGCTCGGGCGAGCCAAAACCATCTTCGGAAGAACCAGCAACAACAACCGCGTCGACCTCGCCCGCTTCCAACCAGGCGAGGGCTATTCCAGTGGCAACCCCCGTCCACTGCGCCCCACCGACGTTGCCGCGCGCCAGCAGGATCTCGTCGTGGACCCCAAAATACGCTTCGTCCAAGTTACTGGCATCGTAGGCGCGGCTCCGGCCGTGGACCCGCTCCTCGAGCCCTTCGGCCCTTGCCATGCCGTCGCCGATAAACGCGCAACTATCGGTCACGGACGCGATGCCGACGTCGGTCTTGCACAAACCACAATTGCTGCAGAGGTCCTTGGCCGGGAAGGCCTGGGGCCAGGCGCCGGTTATGGCCCGCGGGGTTGTTGTGGTCGAGAGGGCCTCGGCTGCGGCGAGCAGGAGGACCGCGGCGGCGGCGTGAAGCTGCGGCATTGCTCTGTGAGAGCTCTGCTGCAGTACAAGTTGTCACGCCGTACGCGTCTCGAACGTCGATGCAATGCGTGCTGTGTACAACAGCAGCCCTGGGAGCACTAGTTCAGTACGACGGACGGCGCTAAGGTACGCAAATCTCACACGCCAAGTTCACGCCAAGTGAGCTAGTGCCTTACATTCGCTAGCCCGAAAATTCTCGAGGCTGCCCCGCGGGGGATTGCGTGGATTATCCAGCGCGGCAGCCGGCTGCAGCAGCCCAGACGGTAGCCAGGGCGCCCTGACTCACACACATGGGGTGTAGCGCTTCGAGAAAAGAAGTAGGGGATATTGAACTCATTGTGACGGGCGCGGGCAACCTGAGCGGGCGCTACGTGCAGCTTTCCGGCAAATCGTCGTACCAAGGCAAGCCATGGTGGCACAAGGATGGCCGGTTCAACGAAGACCACGGCCGACAGGTCTGGTGGAACAAGGGCGAGTGGCGCGTCGGCTCGACGTCGGACCACTGGTGGGCGAATAAGAACCCAGCTCAGCCGCCCGCCTCAGGCGAGTGGCCGGGCTGGCACCAGAAGAACGCGCTGGGCGGGCCCTACCCGCACTTTGCCATCGCGGTACGCGAGCGGATAGGCGCTGGCGTTATGTCGACGGAGGATACAGAGTCGCCACCGGACCAACCCAAGTTTACACGGGGTCGGTCGGGGTTGGGTTGGGTTTACACGGAGTCGGGGACGCAGAAGAGGTGCAAGCACTGCGGCCAGGCCCGGTCGCGGAGCATGTTCGTCGGGAAGCAATGGAAGAAGCCCCGGCCGACGTGCGTAGACTGCGCTTCGAGGCTGTCGGCGCAGAACGCGACCGCCGAGCAGCCACCACCACCTCCGCCGGCGCGGCGCTGGTTCTCGCGCGCGGAGCCTGAGCCCTCGGCACCGAAATTTGAGGAAATGTACAACCAGATAGCCGCCTGGTACAACGGGCTGGAAAACGCCGCGTTGCGCGCAAGATGGGGCCCGTTTCCGGACCCCGACGAATTCCAGACGTGGCCCGGCTTCGTCCGGGTCACTAACGCGTTCCTCGACGCCAGAATTAAAAAAAATAAACAAATAATTAATCAAGGAAGGAATATCCTAAAGAATTATTGAACCATGACAACTTAATAACCTAAGTAAACATCACTCCTCCACGGGAGCCGGAGCAGGGACCACCTCCCCCACGTCCTCGAGCACGGCCTCGACGTCGCGCGCCGACGACACGTAGCGCACCGCGTCGTCGCCGTTGCTTGTTGTGTCGTGTGCTCCTCGTCGCTTGTTGCGTAAACTTGCTAGCGGTCGTAAAGATACTACCCTGCGCCGGCGCCTCGAGGAACATCGCAGGCAGGTGCGGAAGACTGAGGCGCGACTCGAGGCGGATCGCGCGCGCGTGCGAGAGACCGAAGCGCAGCTCGCGGCGCTGGCTTCGCAGGCTGAACAGGAGATGAAGGAGGTGGCGTCCGAACCCGAGGCGAGCCTCAGCCTGAGGCTTGGTACGGCGAGCAGGAGCCGATCGTGGAGGGCGTCGTCGTCGCACCTGAAGCGGAGAGAGGTAGATTAAGAAACAACAGATAGCATTACTCACTCGACGGCGACCCGCAAATCAGCCACCGCCTTCGCCGCCCGCGGCTTCACCTCCTCGAGCTTCCAGCGCACCGTGCGATGCCACAATTCATCGTCGAGCACGAGCTCGCCGGACGCGCGCCGCTCCGTCGCGTAGACGGCGCCCTGCACGGACAGCATGAGCTTCGAGCACTCGCGGCCGGAATAGCCCTCCGTCTTCTTCGCCAGGGCGCGGATGGCCTCCTTCCGATCCAATGCAATGCACACGTCCGGCGCCCGGAACCGCTTTAGTATTCGATCTAACAAACGGCCCAGTCTCGTGGAAGGCGCCGGGCGATCGAACGCCATCGCGAAGTATAAGTGCAGTAACTTTTCGCGCGCGCCCTCGTCCGGCAGCGGGATCTCCACGGCCTCGTCGACGCGATCCAGCACCGCCGCGTCCAGGTCACCGGGTCGATTCGTCGCGAGCACGAGCATGAAGGTGTACGAGGGATCCGACGTGTGGAAGAGAAACGCGTTCAATGCAGAAATGGCCTCCTCACTTAAATCAGGCCGCCCGCGATCGCATAAAGCCGCCTCGGCCTCGTCCACGAACAGCAGTAACCCTTTGGGGCTTCGTCGCGCCCAGTTCAGGATGGCATGAATTTCGGTCGACGCAGCAGCTCCGAGCGGCCCGACGTCGCCGCCGGACATAATAGCCCAATCTAAACCCGAAATCTGGGACAAGCGCCGCGCGACCATCGTCTTGCCCGTTCCTGGGGGACCGAACAACAGTAAGTGTCGTAGAGGTGCTCGCAGCTTGCGGGCGCCCCTAATAGATTTCGCGAGCTGGTCTAACCTTTTTCCGAGGTCTTCTGGCAGTATAATGCCGTCGGTGATTTTGGTCGTCTTCTCGACGCCACCTTGCCCGACCGTGACGTCGCCGTCGTGGCCGGGACCTCTCCTGAAGAGTAGGAGCGTCATGAGGAGCTTCCAGACCAAGCCTAAAGACCAGACCAGCAGCCCGGACATGGAGAACGAACTCTCTCTCACTAAAGCGGGCCGCATCAAATACTGCGTCAGGAGACGCCTCGCCAACAAAGCAGCTTCCCGCGTCGTAAAGTACCCAGCAGCTAGACCGATCAGCCCGAACACGAACCGTCGTAACCTTTCAGGATGGGTCTTGAGCGACTCCGCGGCTCTTTGCACCTCCGCGGCGACGGCCGTGATCGCCTCCAGGAGCTTCTGCCGCGTCTCCGCGCCGCGCGCCCGGATCATCCTGAGAGAAACGTCTTCATTTAATCGCTCCGCCTCTGCTTTTTGTCTTTCCTGTTCTCGCGCCACTTCAACAGCCGTTTCTTCTCTGAGTTTTTCTCTCGCTTCAGCTACGGTGAACTCGTCGAGGAGCTTCGCGAGCTGCGTCGACCTTCTAAGAGCTTCCAGGATCTTCTCCGCTTCCCTGGTGGCGTTCGCCGCGTCATCTAGAGCAATCAAACCTAGTCTATGGTCCATCTCGCTGCGATCGATGGCTAAAGCATCGGCGATGGCGGCCGTCGCATTTCTAGTAGCAAATTCGTAGTCCGTCACATCGGCGTTCCGCCGCATCCTATGTTCAATATTCGTCAGTCGCGTCCTTAAAGCGGCGGTCTCCTCCTCGGCCAGTTCGCGGATCGGTCGTAATCGAGCCGCCGTCGACCAGTTCGCCTGCAACACGTAGTCCTCGACCTCACTTAGCAGGGAAGTCGTCGAGAAGTGCGACTCATTGAGAGGCGCCGAGAGGTTCACGGCGTCCGGTACTGCACTAGCCAGGTACTGTAAGGTAGCTAAGGCATGCGTAAACACGACAGTCGTATCGACGACGCGCCGCGTCAAGCCGCCTTTCGCGCCCGGTACCGCTTCTTCTCTCGTTACTACCTCACCATACGGAGCAGCCAGTATCGCTTCCGCGTCTTTGGCTAATACACCATAGTGCACTCGACCCTGGATGGTATCATGGCTCATCTCGTACTTCTTTATCGGTATTTCCTTGATGAGCGAGACGGATTTTTTCAGATCAATATCATCATTCGTAGAACGGTAGGCCCACCAGGCGCCGCGCTCGTCGGCTGCCTTTGCTAGGGTGAGGAGCACCAGCCATGCGTGGGGGCAGCCCATGATGGCTCAGGCTGGCGCGGCGCTGCGGAACGGTCGATCCGCTCGCCTGCAATGCGTCTGCGTGCCCGCGGCGACGGCGTTTCGCGTCGAGCGTCGAGCTCGAGCGTCGAGCGGAATTAAGGTGCGGGCTGCACCTAGTACCGGTCGGTCGGCGACGCGTGCCATCCCGTGCGCCGCCGAGCGGTGGCTCCCGGTGAGCGGGCCGGGCGAAGCGAGACCACGATTGAAACATACTAGCCGGCGTTGTGAGAGGCTCGGCGCTGTCGTCTCGCGGCAATTGGCCCGTGTTGGCACCGTCTGCGCGCCGTCTCCGGCGCGCGGACACCCACGGGCAGCCTCCGGACGCCGCCGGGCAGCACAGTCTCACCGCGCGGCAGCAAGGCGAGGCAAAGCGCTCGTCTCTGATCTAGCGCCAAAGCCAAAGCGCTCAGCTGGCCTAGCGCCACAAGCGTAGACCATGGCCCTCGTCATCCGCGACGCCTGGAGCGGCCAGCCGACGCACGCCATCTACGTAAGGCACGCGCACATCCTGAAGCCGCTCTTCCACAGCGACCTCAAGCAAGCCTTGTTACATTCCACCTTTAGAAGGGTCATCCTCCGCAATAAACTGGGCATCAAGTTGGATGGGAGGACCTTCTCGTCATTAATAAGGGAGCTGGACCCGCGCTTCACGGGGTATGTGAAGTATGACTCCTTCGCGAGACACCTGCAGAAGGACTACAAGCTCGCGAAAGCTCTCGAGTTGCGCTTCGTCTCGGCAGAACAAGCGGGCAAGCCGACCTTCAAGAACGAGATGCGCACGTGGCGCAAGAAGGGCACTGTCAGGAGAGAAACGGTGGTCTCGAACAACAACCCCAGCTCGTTGGGTGTGGGTGTCACGCAAAGGCGACTAAGGAGAGAGCTCGTGCGGCAGATGTCTGCGCAAGTCCGGAGGGAGGAGGAGGAGTTCCGGATGATGAGCAAGCAGGAGAAGCGGGACTATCGCGCGAGGCAGCGCGGCGAGCCGATCAAGAAGAAGCGCGAGATGCTGAGACATGAAAAGACGGAGATCTTTGGCGCGGGCATTTTGATGATACTCCCTACCACTACTCGTCTCCCATCTACCGAAGCGAAGGACGCGTGGTCGAACCCCAAGACGAAGCTCACGCTGCGCGGGCGCTTCGACTGAGTTCTAGTCCTCCCTCCTTCCCGGCCGTAAGGGCTCTTTGAAGATAGTTCTCTTTTTTCGCCTAGTATGTAGCACGGTAGCATGGTCCGAGAACAAACAAAGCTTCGCGTGCTTTACAGCAACCGCATTGATTTGCGTTTTGTCACCGTTTAGGTGCTGACGCGAGTAGTCAGTTACGTCACTCGCCGCCGAAACGAACACGCCTCGACGCGCACACACAGCGGACGAACAAGTCAGAGCCTCAGTGCCATTTTTAAAACCGTGCGAAGCAACCTGCGCAAAATGCTGTTGCAGACGGCGCGCGCGGCCCCGCGCGTGCTGCGGACAGCGCACCGCCACAAAGCGTCCTCGGTTGCCGCTCTACTGCACCGCGACGACGCCCAGCCACTTGCGAGCTCGGCCCGCCGCGCTGCGTCCTCGGTCGCCGCTCTCCATGACGACGACGAGGCCCAGAAGACGATCGCCAAGGTCGTCTCGCGCTACGCGCGCACGCAAGAGCAGCTCGTGCCCTGGTTTCTCGAGCAGATGCCGCGGAGCTACTTCGCGTTGGTCCCGGAGAGTTCGCAGCTCGCCCACCTCCAGGCGGCCGCGGGGCTGTTTGATCCGGCTCGAGGCTTCGACGTTCTCGATGAGGTCCGCGCGGCGTCGGCGGACGACGGCACCGTCACTTATTTGACCTCGGGCAACGCGCCGGGCACGCTCGCGCGGCAAGTCCGCACGCTCGCCGGACAAGGAGAACTCACGGGCCTCAAGGTCTTCACTTCTCGCGACGAGACGTTGTGTTTGAATGTTTTTAATTTCGACACGGCGGCGCCGGACTCGTGCTTCGAGGCCGAGGATGCGCTCGCGCCGCACTTACAATACGCGCGGGCGAAGGGCGGCGAGGGCTTCTGGAGCGAGGCCGCGGTGCGCGCGCACGCCGACAAGTGCTCCTTAGATTATCAACTCGGCACGCGGCCCGCGCACTGGGCGCGCCAAAGAGCTCTGTTCGAACGCGTGGCAGGGTCGGACGCCGTGGCGGCGCGCGTCGACGCGAGCAACGGCAGCGCTTGGCTGACGGTGGTGGCGCCGAACACTCTCCCCGCCTCATTCTTGCACAAGGTGCTGAGACTCGTCGCGGCCCACTCCCTGGACGTCAAGCTCGCGGAAATGGACACGGTCGAGGACTGCCTGATCCTGCGCGTGTTGGTGACCGGCTCGGCGAACTGGACCGACGTCGCCGCGGTTAGTGAACGCCTCAAGTGGCTCGGCGAGACGGCGCTCGTGCCCCTCTTCGCGAAGGGCGCGCCGACGGCGCGGGACGCGACGTTGCTAGAGGTGCGATACGCGCTTGAGACGCTGGCGCAGCGCACGCTCGGGTGCTCGCGCGACCGCGTTGCGAAAACTTTGAGAAGCCACGGCGACCTCGCGGACGCCGCCGCCAAGCTTTTGCTGAAGCGGCCCGTCGGTCGCGGCGACGGCGGCGATGTGAAGGAGCTGCTCGCGAGCGTCGACGCGGTCACTGATGAAGCGGAGAAGGAGGTTCTCGCCGAGGTCGTGCGCCACGCCACGACGTGTCTACAAACGAACGTGGGCCGCGCGGACCGGCAGGCGTTAGCTCTCGTCCTCGACCCGAGCACGCTCTCGGACGGGGCCGAGCCCCCGGCGCGCGTCGTCTTCGTGGCGGGCCGGCGCTTCGACGCCTTCCACGTCAGCATGCGTCCGGTCGCGAGGGGCGGAGTTCGGCTTGTCACCCCCAAAACGCCGGAGGCGCTCGCTCATGCCGCTTCTAGACATTATGACGAGTGCCGCGACCTCGCGCAAGCGCAGCAGCTCAAGAACAAGGACATCCCGGAGGGCGGCGCCAAGGCCGTCGTTCTGGTCGACGCCACGGGCCACGGCGACGACGCATGGGCGGGCCGCGGGCGGGGTGCGTTCCGCGAGTACCTGAACCGCAAGGCCGTGTCCGCCTTCGCCGACGCTTTGTTAGATGTGAGCCTCGAGAGCGAAACGCTGCCGTATTTGGGCCCGGACGAGCAGGTCGTCCCGCAAGACATCACGCGCATCGTCGCGAACGCGGCGCGCCGCGGCCACCCGCGGCCGGAGGCGCTGATGTCCTCGAAGCCCGGCGCGGGCATCAACCACAAGGAGTTCGGCGTCACGAGCGAGGGCGTCGCGGTGTTTGTGGAGCGGGCGCTGCGCGAGGTCGGGATCGACGCGCGGAAGGACGCCTTTCGGGTCTCGCTCGTCGGTGGGCCCGACGGCGACGTCGCGGGCAACTTACTGAAGATCATGCAACGCGACTGGCCGTCGGCGCGCGTCGTCGGCGTGGCGGACGGCAGCGGGTACGCTGAGGATCCCGAAGGTTTAGATGGGAACGAGCTCCGGCGCTTGGTGGAGGCCTCGGCGCCGATCGCGGCGTTTGATAGCAAGCTGCTAGGGAATCGCGGCACGCTCCGGACGGCGGACGACGGTGACGGAGCCGCGCTGCGCGATACGATGCACTTCCGCGTGGACGCCGACGTGCTCGTGCCGTGCGGCGGGCGGCCTGGAACCATACACGCGGGCAACGCGCGGGAATTTCTCAAACCGGGTGATGATGCCGCGCCGGGTGCGCCGCGGGCCCCGATCTGTGTGGAAATTCGAGCAGGGTCGCGTCGATGGCGTGGAGGTCGACGCGACGATTCAGCACGAACGCGCCGTAAATTTGATTTCCGCACAGGCCCCGATCATCGTCGAGGGTGCCAACCTGTTCCTGACGCCCGAGGCGCGCCAGATCCTCCACAAAGAGGCCGGTGTGCTCGTGGTCAAGGACTCGTCCGCCAACAAGTGCGGCGTCGTGTGCTCTTCCTATGAAATCTTAGCTGCGCACTTATTGTCCCGGAGCGCGTTCGAGGCGCAGAAGGGGGTCATCGTCGCGGAGGTCCTCGACCGGCTCCGCGCGTTGGCGTCGTTGGAAGCCGACCTGCTGTTCAAGGAGTACTCGCGCTTCCCGGGCGCGCTGCCCGACTTCTCGCGGCGCATCTCGGAGGCGATCAACCTCGTGGCCGACGCGGTCGGCGCGACGGCGAGCGACGACCAGGTGGCCGCACTCTTCGCAGAGCTCGCGCCGGAGCACCTGCCGCCGACGCTCGCTCAACTCGCCGTCGCGGCGCCGGAAGCACTGCCGGCCGGCTACGCGCGCGCCTGCGCGGGGTCTTTCGTGGCGACGAGACTCGTCTACGGCGAGGGCATCACGCACGTCGAGGCGCTCGGCAGTGACCCCGCACGCCTCGCGGCTGCCGCGACGACATACGTCGGGGCGCAGCGCGACGTGTCGCAACTCCAAGAGAAGGTGCTCGCTTCCTCCCTCGACGAGGCCGTGAAGACGGACGTCCTCAAGCTCCTCCGCCCCTCCCTCTCCTGATTCGTGTTGTCGTGGAAGCCTGTACGACTGTCAATATATTTACAACAAAAAACTAGAACTCCATCTTGGCCTCGGCGGGCGATCCCTCGAGCGATGCGCGCCGCTTGGCCATATATGTGCGGAGGTGCGCCTCGTAGGTGTCGACGCTGTGGACCTCGAGCGTCTTCGACGCGATGCGCGTCGCGGCGTTCGAGACCGAATTGCTAAGCACCGACCAAAGGGCCTGGGCCGTGCTCGGCTCGGCGGCCGGTCGCGGCTCCGTCGCCGCCGGCGCCGGCGCCGTTGCCAGCGCCGCGCCCGCCTGCCGCCCCGCGACGGCCTCGACGGCGTGGCGCCACGTCTCGCTCCAGGGCTCCAATTCCACGTGCGTGCCGACGTGGACGTATTCCCGCACCATCGGCAAATCCAGGACCCCGCCGAGCCCGCCGTGGTCCGCGCCGCCCAGCGACCGGGGCACGGGATCGCACCTGTTCGCGAAGCGCAAGCACGGCACGCCGTCCAGCAACCGCGCGTACTGCGCGTCGCCCGGCGGCGGCGCGCCGAACGTGCAGATTTGCACGGAGTGGCCCCGGCCCTTCAGCGCGCCGCCGACCAGAATCGCCAGGGCGCCGCCCAATGAATGGCCCGACAGCACGACGGTCCGCCGCGGCCACTTCTCGAGCCGCTCCGCGAGGCGGTCCGCGACGTTCGACGCCATTTTGGCGAAGCCGCCGTGCACGCGCGCGGCCCATTCGTCTTCTCCGACGCGCAGTGCTGGAAAGTCGGAGAGCGGCAGCAGCAGGAAGGCGACGTCGTGCGCGGCGTTGAGCGGCGTCGCCGTGCCGCGGAAGGCCACGTGTACATGACGTCCCGAGATGTCGATGATGGCGCGCGTGTCGTCTATCTCCAGGCCTTCGAACTCGGGGTCGTCGTAGGCGGCGCGCGTCAGCCGCCAGGCGCGCTCGACGTCGTCGTCGGCGATGCCGGCGTCCTCGATCATCTTTCGCGTCGTGCGATTTCCGGACTTTCCGAACTCCAAGTCGCGTCGATGGCGTCGACGCGATGCCGCGCGACGCCTCGACGCCCTCGAATAGCTCGGGAGTGATGTGACAGGGCTGAGTAGCAGTGCTGCTACTGCCCGGCACCAATCAGCGGAGGGGTTGAACGCCGCAATCACTGGCTGAAAAAAACGTGAAACCGAGCGACTCCACACTCAGGCACGCTAGGCAACAGCGCGACGCAAAAGAGAGCGCATTAAAAAGTTTTAGGTGCTAGCGGCCTGAAGACATACTAGCAAGTCCAGCCGAGATTGACAAGTTTTGGCCCTGGCAGCGCCGTGCCGCCCGTAGAAGGCTTCCGGAAGAACCGTTTGATCCATTATCGACCAAACGCATCGAGCCCGGCAGCCCTTTGCATAGCAGGGCACCAGCCCACTCACCTTGGATTTGGGCAGCCTCGACACCACTAGATACACAAAACAAACGGAACCATGTGGCGCTGGCTCGCCGCCCTCCCCTGGATACTTAGAGGAGAGGCGAAGTTCGGCTCCCATCGACGGGCCTGCGCCCTCGACGAGCAGGAATTAATCAGAAACACGCAACACAACGAATTCCACCAGATCATAAATAGCATGCACGGGCCGCGGTGCGGCGGTTTTTTTGTGGAGGCGGGAGCGAACACGGGCGTCAATTCCGTCACGAGGGCCTTTGAGCGGATCGGCTGGCACGGGTTGTGCGTCGAGGCGAGCCCGTATTTGTACCACAACTTCCTCGTGAAGAATAGAAAAGATTGTGAGAATATTCATGCTGCGTTAGTAGATGGTCCGGACCAGGTTGTTTTTAGAGCATACACGGAGAGGTTAGGAGACCTCTCGGGCATCGAGAGCTTCCGAACACAAAAACAGTGGGCGAAGATGGAGCGGGAACATGCCAACGACAAGCGGAAATGGCGGTTAGAAAGGACGAACGTCACCGCGCTGTCTCCAGCAAAGCTGGTCTTCGGGAGGGGACATGTAGATTTATTCTCACTCGACGTCGAGGGCGCGGAGCTGTGTGGAAATCAACCAGTGCGTCGGGTGCACCCGACAATTCTTCACTAAGTCATTTCTCGGCGATGACGCAGCCGTCCTGGCTCGGTCGAGCGGCGAGGAACCGGCATCGCCACGCCATCGAGCAGGCGTCGCGTCGATGGCGTGGAGGTCGACGCGACGATTCAACACGAACGCGCCGTAAAATTTTGATTTCCACACAGGCGCGGAAATGAACGTCCTGAAGAGCTTCCCCTTCGACGAGGTGCGCGTGGACTTCTGGTTCGTCGAGACGAATAAATTGGACCGGGAGGCGTTCATGACGTTCATGAGTGGCAAGCACTACCACTGCCACCACGTCGACCACGTCAACACGCTATGTCGACATAAAGATGTCAGGGCGAACCGGCGGCGGCGGTAAGTTTGAGTTTGTTGTGAGGTAACTAGTGCGCCACCGCGCGCGGGGAAATCGTACTCCCCCCGCGCCGCCGAGGAAACGCCGCGTCGACGGCGTGGGGGAGCCCTCGAGACGCGTCCCGCAGGCCGTCGACGCATGCCGCTCTAGCATGCGAGGCTAGTAGCACCATCGATGGCCGCCGGCGCTGCTCATTTTGGGGCAGCGTTGGCCGCCGAACACAAGGAGCACTGCTCGACAAAACACAACACCATGGTCGCAGCGGCGCCAGGACGACGACGAAGCGCTGCGGCGTGACAGACATAACGACGAGGCAGTAGCCCCCAGGACACAACCATGTCGGGCCTCGGGCTCCTGGGCAAGCTCAAGCAGCGGCGGGGCGACGCCAAGCTCGAGTACGAATGGGGCTCGTCGAAAGTTTTGCAGACGCTGGATTTGGACAAGTTGCCGCGGGCGGCGTTACGAAGTCACTTGGACGCGCGAGACCTCGAGACCGGTGGGACCAAAAGGGCCATGGTCAAGCGCCTCCAAGCCGATCTGGAGGGCGAGCGACTGCAGGCCACGGCCTACACGGAGCAATTGGAGTCGGAATTTCACATCAACAAAGATATAGAAGAGCGAGGTTCAGTGTATGCGTGCGGCACGAATTATGCAGGGCAATTAGGACAGGGCGACACGGAGCCTCGCAGTGTCTTCACGGCGGTCCAGAAGACGCGAGGCATTGGCGTGGTCCGCGTCGCGACGAACGCGGACATGGTGTACGCGGTGACAGCCGACCACGAGGTCCTGGTCTGGGGCGGCTCCGGTGCGGGCTCCACGGGAATCCACGTCGACGCCGACGACGAGTGGGCCAAGGAGATGTACATGGAGCCGCAATTTGTTACTGAGTTACAGGGTGAGGAGGCGACGTCGTGCTCCGTCGGTGCGAGTCATGCTGCTGTGTGCACTTCTGGTGGCGATGTGTTTGTCTGGGGCCACAACCTGGCAGGCCAACTCGGTTTAACAGATTTTCAAAAAAGACCACTCCCGACCATACTGACCTATTTCGAAACCGATGATGACATAAGGGTGAGGCAGATGGAGTGCGGCGAGAACCACTGCTGCTGTTTGACGACGGCGGGGGCCGTGTATAGTTGGGGTCACGTCGATAGTGGGCGGTTAGGATTGGGTGTGAAGGAGCGGTTCGGCGCTCGAGCGGAAGAGAAATTGTATTTCCCCGCTCCTACCGTTGTGAGTGGTCTATCCGCCGAGCCGATCATTGAAGTAAGCTGTGGAGCAGCACATACATTAGCATTGTCGGAGGAGGGCAAGGTCTTCTCGTGGGGGTTGGGCGCGGGCGGGCGGTTGGGCCTCGGTGATTTCCACTCGCGGATCGAACCGTACGAGGTCACAGCCTTGTCGAACAAGTGCGTCATGCAAGTTGCTGCCGCTACTTGGCATAGCGCCGCTGTTGTGTGCGTGCCGCCCATGCAGGGTTCGGGCTGGGTCTACACCTGGGGGAGCGGCTACCACGGCCAATTAGCACATGGGCGGACCCAGGTCCAGACCACACCTACGGTAGTAGAAGCTTTGAGAAGTAGAAACTTGTCAGCGGTCTCGATCAGACTCGGCAGTCACCACAGCGCGATGATCGCGATGGACGGCGAGCTCTACACGTGGGGCTCGAATCTCCATGGTTGTCTGGGCCACGCTATTAGGGATCAATTCGTCGAGCACACGGCGGACCCGGGCCACGCTTCGGGGTTTGGGGCCATCGTGGAAAGGGTGGGTCGAGGCATGGTGCGCGACTACGCGCTCGGGCGGGAGTTTACGATCGTCGCGACGTACCCGTATGAAGGGCCCACGGAGGACGTCGCGAGGAAGCTCATGGAGGAGGAGGCTATTAGGTTAGATATGTTGGCATTGGAGGACGAGCAGGACGCCGCGACGCTGCGCGGATCGCAAGCGGGGACCCAGGACGACGGCACGCTCGCGACGGGCGAGGACGACATGACCATGGACGACGAGTCCATCATGAGCGGCGGCGGCGGCCGCGGCGGGCCGGCGGGCATTTTGGACAAGGGCATGGCCGCCCAGAAGAGTAGAAAATAACAACTTAGACAATATCCGCGTTGCGCTTGGCCATGAGTTCCAGTAAGCGCGGGTCCGGCGCCGTCGGGGTCCAGCCGTCTTCTCTTGAAGTCTGGGGACGCGCCCGCTCCGGCCGCCGGGGACGTCGTGCGCGCTCCGTCTGCGAGACGCGCGCCGTTTGCAGGGCGAAGCGGGGATCGGCCCAGGCCAGCGAGCTAGGAACAGCACCTCCCCTAGCGACAGCAGCGGCCTGTCGAATCTCGCGCGGCGTCGCCTGCGCGAACGCTTCGAGGGCCTCCTCCCGTCTCGCGTCGCGGCCCCGCCTCCTCAGTAATTCGTGGCCTTCTCCATCGGAAGAATCGGAGGACGACTCGCTGCCCGACTCGTCCGTGTCGTAATCCACACCCGGCGTCCTGTATAAATAGTAGACGTAGTAGACCGTGGTCCCCGCACAGACGAGGGCCCCGTAGACGTCGACGACCGTCAAACCCGTCAGGCACAGACCCAGGAAGGCGTCCACAATACGTCGCGTGTTCCGCCTTCGGTTGAACGACGCGACGCAGCCCCAAAACAACAAGTAGCCCGCGAGGGCATCTAATAATTTGGCGAAGAGGAACTGCTTGAGCAGGCGCGACGTGAGGGCCCGGAACGGCTGGGGCCGCGCGCCGCCGGCAGGTTTTGGGGGCACCGGAGCACATCCTAACGCAGCCAAACAGGGCGGGATCCGCGTCTTGCGGAACAGGATGGCGAACACTACTAAACACGTGCCGGCCTTGATGAGAGCCAAGGTCGGGAGCGGGAAGGGCGGCCCCAGGGCGCCGCCGAACTCCGGCGTCCACCCTAATCTAATGGTCATCGCGCCGACGCCCACGCATAACTGGATCGCGGCGCCCAGGCCGTGGATCCACAACAACAACGCCAATCGTGCTTGCAAGGACCGGTCTAAGCGCCGCGCGAAGGGCACGTCGCAGATGTTGGGAGGTTCCAGATATTTCAGTTTCGCGGCTCTGATTTTGGCGGCCCGGAGCGCCGCGTTTCGCTGCGCGTCATCTAACATCCACTCGAACGCGCCACCTGGGCTAACGCGGGCGCCGCCTCGACACAAACAGCAGTTGAGGCACCGCCGCCAATTCCGCGCGCCGCAGCGCGGCCGTCGTTTTCGTCTCTTCCGTTTCCGTTCCTCCCGTTGCAGGGGCGCCTCCTCGTCGTTATCATCATGATCGTCGTCGACGCGGCGCTGCCTCATCTCCGTAGGAGGAGGAACGGCGGCCGCGGCGCGCTCGGCCCGCGCCTCGGCCTGTTCGCGCCGCGTTTCCGCCTCGTCGAGCGCTTTCTGCGCCGCCGCGGCGAGCTTCAGGGCCTCCGCGACCTTGGCTTCGAGCTCGTCGATGCGCTTCTGCTGCAGCGCCGCGGACACGCGCACCTCCTTGCCCCGCCGCCGGCGCACGCGGTGGGACGCGACGACGACCGGCTTCTTCTCGCTGGCTGCCGCGTCGACCACGGCGCCGACGGCCTGGCCCACGGCGCCGCCGACAGCACCTCCAACCGCTGAACCGGCCGGGCCGCCGACCGCGCCCGCCGCGGCGCCCGCGAGCTGGCCGACGGCCGCGCCGGCAACCTCCGCGACCGGCGCGCGCGCGGTCTCAGCCGCGCTATTCTGGGCCGCCGGCGCCGTCGCGGCGTACTCGCTCTGGGGGAGCGCCGTTGAAGATCGGGCGGCCTCCTCGCTTGTCGCGGTGGAGGCCTGAGCGGCCGGCACCTCCTCGCTTGTCGCAGCGTACTCGGATGGCGGGAGCGCCGTTGAAGATCGGACCTCTGCGGCAGGTGTCGCAGCGTTCGCCGCGGCCGCAGCTGCCTCCGCCTCCGCCGCGACGGCGGCGGTGCGTCGTTCGGCGGCGATGCGCTCGCGCTCGGCCTCGGCTCGTCTCAACTCGCTCTCACGCGCGGCCTCTGCCTCAGCCGCCGCCCGCGCGCGCGCCGCGGCCGCGGCGACCTCCGCCGCGCGCGCTTTGGCCTCCGCCCGCGCCTTTTCACCGGCTTCTGCGGCGGCCGCGAGGGCGGCGGCGGCCGCCGCCTCTGCGGCACGCGCATCAGCCGCGGCGCGCGCGGCGCGGGCCTGTTCCTCGGCCGCGGCCGCTTGCGCCGCCCGTGCCGCTTCGGCGTCTGCCGCCGCTTGCCGATCCGCCTCCGCTTTCGTCGCGGCCTCGGCGAAGGCGTCCATCACCGCGCCGAAGGCGGCGTCGTCGTCGGCGTAGGTGGGCTCCTCTGTCGGCGCCGGCCGCGCCTCGTCGTCCGACGAGTAGGTCGCCGCGTGGTCGACGTCGCCGAGGGCCAGCGGCGCGCCGGCGACCGACGAACGCGGCGCGCGGGCCGGCGAGCGCTGTGGCGAGCGCTGCGCCGGCGCCTCCAGGGCCGCCGACTCGGCGTCGGCCAGCGCGAGAGCCGCGCCCTCAACGGAGCGGCGCGGTTCCATCGGCTCGACGGGCGTCTCGACGGCCGTGCGCTCGGAGGCCGCGAAGTCGTCGAGCGCGAGGCCCGGTGGAGGCCCGGTCGGAGGTGCAGGCCGCGGCAACGCCTCGACGGGCGTGTGCGTCGGGGGTTCCGCGACGCTTTCCTCGGGCACGGGTGGCTGCTCGGTTTCCTCCGCGGGCGCCGGGATTGCCTCGACGGCCGTGAGCGTCGGCTCAGGCGACAATGACCGGCGCTTCTTCGGCGGCGGCGGCGCCTCCTCCTCGTCGTCGTCGTCGGACGCACCGCTGAGGACCATGTCCGAGTCCGAATCGGAGCCAAACAGCGAGGACACGTCGTAGCGCGTCTGGCGCAGCTCCGCGGCCGCCTTCGCCGCGGCGTTCGTTGCGGACTCGAGGGCCTCGCGCTGCCGCTCGACCTCCACCTCGGCCTCGCGTTTCTGGGCAGCGGCGCGACGCGCCGCCTCGAGCTTGGCCTCGTGGGCGTCCCAGCCGTCGTCGTCGTCTCCGCCTTCGTCTTCGGCCGCGGCGGCGCCCGTCACGCGGCTCCAGAGGTTCGCGGCCCAATCGACGACGACGTCGGTGGCGGCGAGGGCATCATCCAAACTCCAGCCGCGGTCCTCCTCCTCGGCGTCCTCCTCCTCTAGTCTGGCTTCGACGGCCGCCCGCGTCCGCGGCGTCGCGTCCTCAGCAAAGCCGCGCGTCGGGTTCAGGACCTCGCCGGAGCGGCCGACGCGGGGAGTAAAGGACGTCGGCGCGTGCTCTTCCCGATAATGGCCCTCGGGTCGCGCTCCCGTGCCGAAGAACTCGTCGTGCCGCCCGAGCCCGCGCAGTCTGTGATTCGAGTTCACGTCGCCCGGCGCCGATCCGGGCCGCAGATCGCGCGCGCCGACCGCCTGCGTCTGCGTCCCACTAATCACCTCGCCCGCGCGGCCGCCGATCCGATGCTCGTAGGTGCGGTCGTCGGCCTCATAGACCGGTGCTGCCCCGCCGGTGGTGTCGGTCGGGGCTAGGATTTCGCCCGTGCGTCTAGCGGACGACGGGCGCCGCGGTGCCATCTCGGCCCAGTGCCTACCCTGTATGGTTTTGGCTGCCTATTGTGGTCGCATCGCTCCGGCAAGGCTGCCCCGGCGGCCTAGGAGCACGTTGTTGTATGTGGCACAACGCAGCCGGTGATTGCTCTGCGCATAAACCGCGTACGAGGTGCGCCACCGGAAATCTGCTCGGGTTCGGGTTTTGCCGCCGCCCCGACGCCATCGACGCGAAAAACACAGGGCATTTTACCCCGGCGGCGGCGTCAGCGGCCTCACGCTTGCGAGGATGTCGGCGAACGGGTTCTTTGGCGGCGAGTTCTCGTCGCCAACGAGCGGCACGGGCGACCGGTACGCCTCGCCGAAGGCGCTCAGGTACGCGGCATCGGCGACGGCCGCGTCGGGCGCATCCGCGGGCGGCGCCGGCGACGGCCCGGGGCACGCGACGACGGCCTTGCCGCCGGACCGCGGCAGGAACGGCGACAGCACGGGGAACGGGTTCAGCGCGCGCCGCGCGCGCCCGGGCGACGGCGGCGGCGTCGCGGGCGCGGGCGGCGGCGCCTCCGCGGGCGCCGGGGCCGCCCACGCGCGCGCGAACGGCGCGGCAGGCACGGGCTTCGGCGCCGGTTTCCGCGGCGGCTTCGCGGCGGCCGGTTTCGGCGCGCGGGCCGGCGCGGCGGGCCGCTTCGGCGCCGGCTTCGGCGCCGGTCTCGCTGTCGCGGCCAGGGGCTTCGTCGACCGCGCAGGCGGCGCCGCGGGCTTCGGCGCGGCCGGCTTTGGAATGGCGACCGGCCGCGCCGCGGGCTTCGGCGGAGCCGGCTTCGGCGTGGCGACGGGCCGCGGCTTCGGCTTCGGCCGCGGCTTGGGGCGCGCGGGCGCGGGCGCCGGCGCGGGAACCGGCCGCGCCGCCGCGGCCTGGCGCTCGACGAGCGAGCCGCCGTTGCGCCGCGCCGCCTCGACGGACGCGCGGTACTCGTCGGGCACCGGCGGGAGCGGCGGCGGCGGCGCGACGTCCTCGCGCCGCCGCTGGACGCGGGGCCGCGGCGGCGGCGCGGTCGAGCGCGTGTCGAACGCGGGCCGCGCGTCCGTCGGCGACGGCGGCGGCCGCCGCGCGGACTTCGGGCGCGCGGGCTTCGGCCGCGGCGGCGCCGCGCGGACGGGCGCTGTCCGCGCGAGAGGTGCGGCGCGCACCACGGGCGCCGTCCGCGCGGGCGCTGCGTCCACCGCCGGGCGTTTTGGCGCGGCGGCCTTCGCCGGCGCGGCCGTCACGGCGTCGTACGCGCCCACGAGGTTTCGCAGCTGTTCCTCGAGTTCTTCGAGCGTTGGCGCGGGCCCGCGCAGCGCGTAGTTCGTTTCTACGACGGCGGAAGCCATCCGTTCGCAATTCAGTTGGCCCCCAGCAGCAGTGATTTCAAAATGTGTGCGGCCACGCCGTGCGAGCGGCTGGTACGGGGCGTCTATTAGCAATTTGTGGCCACGTAAACGAAACCAATCTCGCTGGTAGCCAGTAGGTAGCGCAAAATCTCGTGCGCTTTCATATTTTTGCTAGCGTCCTGTAAGACACTAGAAAAGCCGACAAGCGCAGCTGCATGCCTAGCTGAGCAGCGTGGGCTGTACGCGCAGGACCGGTACTGGCAGCACTCGTACAATGCTCCTCGCACGCCTCGCAAGAAGCACAAGGCCCGCGGTCCGGCGCTTCGCCGCCGACGTGCCCGCCGCGCAAGCAGCACTGCCGCGCACCATCCCTGATGAAGCGCTGGACTTCGAGATGCGCATGTATGTCCACGCCGGGCGCAAATTACCCGTCCCGGAAGCACACATGATTTCGGAGTATAAGGTGAAGCTGCGCGTCAAAATAGAGGACCTCGGCCTCGACGACATCGGCGCGGCGCGCCTCGCGTATTTGACGGGCCCGCGCTTCGACGCGGCGCGGGGCGTGCTGACGCTGACGGCGGAGCGCTTTCCGTCGAGGACGGAGAATCGGCGCTATCTCATCCACCAGCTCGAGCTCTTGAAGCGGGCGGCGTCTGAGGCCGACGACGAGTTCGACGCGGCGTGGCGGCGGCGGGAAGAAGATGAGTAAGTTCTGTTGTTGCGTATCCAACGAGACGTCGGCGCTATCGATATTCGCTAGTATGTCTCGAGCACGCTAGGTTTCATCGAGTCCTGGCTCTCGCCTGCGAGCGCAGCTGTGGCGAGCGAAGTGTTGAGGCTGTGCAACAATGCGCCGCGCCCTCGCACACCTGCAGCGATGCAGCATCTCCAGCAGCACACGACACGCGTCGTCCACGGCCGAGACAGCCCTGCGCGCCGCCGCCGCACAACAGCAGCAGCAACGGCGCGCCGACGCGAAACGACGGGAGGCCTCGAAGCGCTGGCGCGCGGGCGGCCGCCTCCTCGACGAGTTCCGACGGCTCGAGCGGGACAAGGCCGCGACGCGCGAGGAGACGCGGCTGGCCGTGATGGTCGCGTTGAAGCGCAACGCGCTCCAGCGGCCGGCGCACGTCGCGGCGGCGGCGCGCGCGCTCGCGGCGCGCGGCGACGCCGCGGGCGCGGCCTGGCTCGTGGGCAGCAGCCCGGCTCGTGGATTGGTCAACAACGCGGCCTACGCCGCGGCTTTGAAGGCCTGCGGTAAAGCCGGGGACAGGGAGCGCGCCGAGAAGCTGCTGCACGAGATGCGCGAGAAAGGCGTCGAGCCCGACGGCCTCGCGTACGCGGGCGCTATACGGGCGGGCGTCGACGGCCTCCTGGACGCCGCGCTTGATTTAAAGGAGGATCCGACGAAAGTCCTCGCGCTGCGCGCCGCGCTGCGGCGCATGAATTACGAGGAGGCGGCGGAGGTCGTCCGAAACAGCCCGCTGGCCGAGGAGGCCGACGGCGTCTACGTCGCGCGGCGCTGCGCTTCAGCTGGAGACGTCGCGCGGACGGATGCGGTGGCATCGTCCTGGCCGTCATCGCAACGGTGCCTCGCGGCGCGCGTAGAGGCGCGCGGCAACAGCGGCGATGTGCGCGGGGCGGTGGAGCTCGCCGAGGCGGGCGAGCCGATCTATCCAGTCGTCGCGAACGCGGCCATGCGGGCCCTCTCATTAATTGGAGACGGCGCCGGATCGATGGCGTTCCTAAGACGATTACCGGAGACGGCAATTGACAGAGGCACCTACCTCCTGGCCATGCGCGCGCACAAGTGTGATGCCGACGGGTGCCTGGCCTTGTTCCGGGCTTGCGAGCCGGCGACGGGCGAACCGGTGGACGAGAAGCTTGTCGCCGCGGCGCTCGAGGCGCTCGCGGAGGCGCGGCGCCACGACGACGCCGCCGAGCTCGCGCGCGACGCGGCCCGGCGCGGGATTGGCCTGGACGACCGCGGCGCCGCGGCGCTCGTGCGCGCGTCCCGGCGGAGTGGCGACTGGCAGGGCGCGCTCGACTTGCCGGTAGTAGGTCCGCTGTCGGCGCACGCCGCGGTCGAGGCTTGTAGAGCCGGAGCGGACGCCGACCGAGCCGTGCAAATCGTCGAGGGCCTGGAGGCGCCGTCGCCGGCCCTGCTCGCCGACGCGGCGGCGGCGTGCGACGATGCTCACGTAGAGGCCGCTGCGAGGATCTGGCGCGCGGGCGTGCAGGCCGGACTCTATCCGACCCCGGCGCGCGGCGACGACGTCTTGACCGTGGACGCTCACGCCATGACGGCGCCACTCGCCGTCGGTGCGGTCGTCGGCGCGTTGCAGGAGTGCGGCGACGCGCAGGCCGTCGTGGTCTTGACGGGCGACGAGGACCTCAAGCCCCAGCTGCGGTCGCGGTTGGAGGCGCTCGGGATTGAGTTGGGGGCGACGGCGAACGCGGGGGCGCTGGTCGTGCCTGGGGCGGAGGCGCGGGGGTTTTGTACTAGTGGGTAATTGTTGTATTATCAGATTCACAGATAAGAAAGTTACGACCCTACGTAACCTTGAACGCGTCCGCCTGCTGCGAGTTCCGCGCGGACTCCTCGGACGAGCGGCGCGACCGTCGCCGCTCGATCTTCGCGAGGAGGTATTTTCGTTTCATCTTTCGCCGGATGTAGAAGTAGGTCACCGTCACCATCCCGATGAACATGCTGATAACGATGAGCCACGTCAGCGTCCAGGCTTCGAAGCTCGAGGGGATTTTGATGAGCATGTGACAGCTCATATACCTATCATACCTGTGGGAATCGATCGGTGAGCCTCCACGCCATCGACGTAACGAGACGCGGGCAAAATCGCGTTTCGTTGACGGTCCCTTCGAACCCGCGCCGGCAGCTCCTCGTCCCGAACATTTCATCAGGATCCAACAGATTGCGGTAGTTGACCATGTCCATCACGGCAAAGGCCGGGCCCTTGCCCAAGAGGTCCTGGAACGGGCCCCGGCACTCGCGATGCGCCGTCCACGGCCCGAATATGCCAATGCCGCCCTTCCTCATGCAGATATTCTCGATGTACTTGGCTTTGCACCAGCACGTGCACTCGTTGGGCGCGGTACAATTCCCGCGCGAGGCGTAGTAGCCGCCCGGTTCGCCCGGCGCGCCCCGGAACTCGTCGGGCACCGGCCGCAGCGGCCAGATGCCGATCAGGCCGCACGGGCTCTTCTCGAAGGCGTCGACCTTGTTCTCGTCGAAGGTCATGAGCTGGCGCCGCTCGAGAGGGGTAGCGACGCGCTCGCAGACGGGCGTGCGGCAGTCGTAGCCCGTCCAGCCTTCGGTGCAGGTACAGGTGTCCGGCGCCGTGCAGTAGCCCCCATTGGGACAACGGTAGCAGCCCTCGCCGCCCGGCGCTTGCGGTATTCCCTTGATGGGACCGCTACAGAAGGGGTCGAAATAGCCCTGCACGCATATCGGCATCGTGCAGTCCGTGCCCTGCCAACCCGTCGCTCCGCCCGGCGCATTGGGGAATTTCTCGTGCAAGACACTGAGTGCGGTGACGCACTCACATGTGTCCTTCTCCTTGCAAACACCACCGTTCTCGCACGCCGCGACCTGTTCGTCGGGATACTGGAGGTGGCGGCAGAGCGGCGTCCGGCAGTCGAAGCCACCGTAACCGTCCTTGCACGTGCAGACGTCCGGGGCTATACATGTGCCGCCGCCGAAGCACTCATACATGCCTTCCCCACGAATCGGCTCGCCGTAGTACCACTGGTCCTCCTCGCCCTCGCCGCCCTCGATCTTCGTGATGTTCGGCGTATTAATTCTAATGTGCCGCCCGATCTCGAAGCGCTGCATCGGCGCGTCTTCGATGCCCTTCGCATCACTCGGCCCGATGCCGTACTCGATGCCCACACCATCCGCTCGCTCGCAGGCCCCTCCATCATCACAGAGCCCCGCGTCGTCGACGTAGTCCCCTTGCCACCACTCCGTCATGCCACACAAAAACTGGTGCGACGTCGAATTGGTTTTTGGGTCATCCCTTCTACCAGAATCGTACTGGGGCCGCTTCTTGTAGACCTCCTGCCAGTCCATCTGCATCTGCGTCGGGCCGCAGATGCGGATTTGTTGGGAGCCCAATCGTCCCGTATAGAACTCGTCGGGGACTTGGTTGTAGGTGTAGCGCGGGATGCCGGTAAAGCAGGTCTGCTTATGCCGGTCCTCGCAGGTCGCTTCGGTGTACAAGCAGCCGGCGGCCACATCACACCTAGCTTCTCCGGTAAAGCCCGCCGCGGCCTGCTCGTGGAACATCTCGTCGCACGTGCCCGGTCCTGTTGTGGTATAAACACAGGGCGCGGGGCACCTCGACGCCCCGCCCTTCGCGTGGTCGTCGAAATTCGCGGCGCAGTCCCCCGGACCGCCCGTCGCCGGCTCCGTGCAGGTCCCCGGCTCGGCGCAGATACTTTCGTAGGTCTGGGCCTGGTATTGTTCGGCGGCCGACACGTAGCCGACTCTTTTTAAAAGCCATTCGTCTTTACAGGGGGAGTCGCTTTGCTCACAATTCTTCGCTTTGGACACGACGATGCCGTTCTCCACAATTTCCCCGCAGGCCGGGCTCTGGCATTCGCCCCAGAAGACCTCTCTAGCACCTTGCAACATAGAAGCAGCAGCACACGTGAAATTGACCAAAACGCCGCGCTCGTCGTACTCATATAACTTACGACCATCTTGTTTCAGTTTACCGTAGGACGGCGAAGCCGGATCCGTGTCAAACACTCGATCCGCTCTCCTCAACTCCCCGGACCACGACGACCCGGGACAACTGATACAATCATACGCACCGACGTCTTTGAAGTCCGGGTCATTGGGATCCTTGAGGATGCCTTCTTCCGCGAAGCGGTTCGCGAAGTAGTCCTCGAAGACTGACCGAGTCTGCCAGTAGCGCGTGCAGCAGCCCGTATCTAATACATCATACCCACAACCCTTCGGGAACGACTCGCCCACGTTGCTGACGACCATGCGGTCGTAGGACGGGCACCGCGGCATGGCGACCGGCAGTCCAGTTTCAGGATCATTGGCACCGCACTTCTTCACGCGGTATTCGTTACCCTGGTTGTCGAACCGGATAATGTCCTCCCTACCGTCGTAACCGCGCCCGCCCAGCTCCGTGTATAAGACGGATCTTAACTCTAGACATAACTTCGTCTGGGCCTGCCAGGAGCACGTCGCGTTCTTCTCGCAGGGGTCCTGCTTCTTGCCGGCGCAGCCGATCGGGTCCCGGCCGCCTCCTGCCAATGTTATCGTCTGGTCCTTCAGCGCGCCGGGATCCGTGACGACCGCCTCGCTCAACAACTTCTCGCGGATGTCCGCGGCAGGCCCCGCATTGAGCGTGAACTTTTCCGCTTGGGTGCAGATGGGAGTGGCACAATCAAAACCCGTCCAGCCCGTCTTCTGCGGGTCGCCGTTCGGTTTTCGGAAGAGCGGTCTCTTCACCGTATGGCCGGAAGGCCACGTCGAGTCCCAGAGCTTGCACTTGCACGTGTCGGGCGCGACGCACTCGCCGTTGTGGTAGCATTCTTGCGCGCAGACGGGCCGGTCGCAGTACTGGCCCTCCCAGCCGGACTCGCAGGTGCACTCGCCTGCGTGGCACGGACGCCGTCGCGACACTGCCTCCGTTCACTCACGAGACTGTGTGTAAGTCCACCGCGACGCCATCGAGCCGACGTCACGTCGATGGCGTACAGGGGAAGCGGTAGGCTCTCATGCGACCACGCCGAGGGCGTCGAGGCGAAAAGAACGGACGCCGCGTCCGCACCGGGCATCGTGCAGTTCCCGTTGTGCTGGCACGGCTCGTCGCAGACCGGCACGGAACAGTCGTGGCCGCTCCAGCCGTCCGCGCATCTACAGGTGTCTGGGGCCACGCACGTGCCGTTGTTGTAGCAGCCCCGCAGGACCTCATCCACACATTCGCCGCCGATGGACGTCCAGGCGGACTCAAACCCATACGCCCTAGCATCATCATACGTAATCCGAGGGCGGTAGGCGAAATCAGTATCTTGCACCGCCACATCACTCATAGTTGGTGGCGTGATGCCACCTATTCGCTGTTGCTGAGAACCATCAACAAACGCGCGAGCCTTGCTACGCGTGTCGGGGACGTGGAACTCGGGCACACCTAGATCATCATCGAGGACCCCAATGTCGGGATGATCCGGGTTGGGACAGACCCTCTTAAACTCCATGAGGCAGGTCCCGTACTCCCACGTATTATTGGTCGTGATCCAGACGCCGTCGCGGCGATGGCCCTCGTTCGTGTAGACGTACGTGACCTCTTGTTCGGCCCTTGTACCTTCATACAACGTATGCGTGATATCGAGCTTGGCCGTGGCGGCGTGCGTCGGCGGCCACTCCATGCCGTCGTCCCAATAGGTATAAGTGATACCATTGAGCTGCTTCTCGGAGTTCATGTAGCGACTGTAGAAGTTAAAGTGGTCGTAGACGGTGCCCGGCTTCTCCCAGAGCGTGAACGCCCGAATAGAACACCTGTAGCCGCCCTGCGGGCCGTGCTCGTACAAGTATCTGACACCCGGATGGGTCACTTCCGTCCTCACTAAAGTTTTATGATCGGCAAACACTTCTTCATCTAACACGAAATCAGGATTGCTATAAGGCCAGTCCCGCCGATGGGCCGACATGTTCTGGTCGAGCGCCCAGTCGAAATTCGATAATTCCGTCGTCTTCTCGGTGCCGGAGACAAATTTCTCTTGCTCCGGAAAGTAGTAGCCCTGCGTGCAGATCGGCGTTCGACAATCGAAGCCGCCCCAGCCCTCCTCGCACCGACAGACGTCCGGAGCGGTGCAGTTGCCGTGGTTCGCACAGACATAAACGCCCTGCGTGACGTTGTGCAATTCGAAGAACGCCACCTGCCTGTCACTCGCGTGGTTCCAGGGCCGCGTGCGGTCCTTCCCCCCAATCATCGGCCCGATCGGCGCTTTCCACGGCCAGCCCGTCGCGTTCCAGTTGTAGGGGCCGCCCGTGTAGTAGCGCATGAACGCCGTCGTCTTGTTCGTCGCTGTTGAATATTGGAACTGCGTCCAGGCGTCCTCTCGCACCTCGAAACTGTCGCATCTCTTGGGTCGGTTCCGGAAACCGGTCACATGCAAGTAGTTCGGACCGGACTTGGCCTCCATGATCGTATAGGTCCGTTCCGGTTGCGCACAATCAAAGCCTTTCGTCGCGTTGCACCACTCCTTGAAAAAACAAGGTCTATACATGGCCCACGTTCGCGGTCGCACGTCCAAACCAATCGATTGGTCTTCGGACACGCGAGGCCCGGCCTGCGTCGTCCCATAAGCTTTAAATTCGCCCTGATGACACACGGGCAACCCGCAGTCGTGGCCGTGCCACTGCGGGGGACATTGACAGGTATTTGGCGCGACGCACCGCCCGCCGTTCTTGCATTCCTGGTCACAGACCGGTGCGCGGCAGTCCTCGCCACTCCACTGCGACGGGCACGTGCACGTGTCCGGCCCCGTGCAGTTGCCGCCGTTGCCGCACGTCGTCGCGCAGACGGGCGTCGTGCAATTCGCGTCGAACCACCCGTACTTGCACGCGCACGTGTCCGGCGCGACGCATTCTCCGCGATTCGCGCACTCCTGGACGCAGAGCGGCGTCTGGCAGTCGGCTCCCGACCATCCTGGTGAGCAAGCACAGGCGTCGGGGCCGACGCAGACCGACCGTTTTACGGACGAACAGAGGACACCAGCCGCCGGTACGGGAGGTTTCGTATCTATGCGCGTCGGATATGGGGATGCCGAGGGATACGACGTCGGTACTGCTGAAGGTGCTTCGGTAGCCATCAGCAATCGACGCCGCGAAAAGCCGGCAAATTCAACAATCGACGCGCCAAAATTCAGCAACTTCGCAGCAGCGGTACAGATCGGCGCGGCGCAGTCACTCCCGCCCCAGCCCTCCTGGCACTGACACTTCTCCGGTCCAATACAAACCCCGCCGTTCTCGCACGGTTGGCTACAGACCGCCGTGATCTTGCGGATGACGTTGTTGCCCGCGTCGGCGACATATATGGACTCGTTGGCCAGTTGGAGGGACGGTTTGCCTTGATATAAAGCGATAGCGGCGGGCCGATCAAAAGCTGCGGCTAGCGGGGGATAGCCGTCCGCAAAACCGCAAGCCCGTTCGAGGGGCGCTCGCGCGACGCCGGCGATGGTCTGCACCTCCCAGGGCCCGTAGTCGTGATACGGTTCGAACATGAGCAACCTTTCCACTTTATAAGGACCGCCTTCGTCCCAGGAACCATAGAGCGTGGCCATGACTCCGGTGCTATTCCCAGTTCGATCTCTCGTAAAGACCGTCGGTGCTATTGTGGGCCTTGCCGTTCTTTTGGGCGTCGGTTCGGCCGACGGCAGGACCGTGGGTTCGGCGGACGGTGGTGTGGTGGGCACCATGGACGGCTGCGGACTGCCGCCGAAGAACGTCGGTTTCAATGTTACTGTTGGCAGTGCGGAGGGAGCCGGTGACGGCGGCGCCGTCGGCACGCGCGAGGGTTGGGACGACGGCTCGGAGGTTGGAACCGAAGAAGGTGTTGACGAGGGTAGTGGTGAGGGCGGCGTTGTCGGCGTCCTCGAGGGCTGCGCGGTTGGTACTCGCGACGGTTCGGGCGCCGGGACTTGGGTCGGCGGCTGCGTCCGCCAAGTTGTGGGCTCTGAAGTAGGTAGCGACGTCGGCGCTGATGTGGGTTGCCAGGTCACGTAGGTCGGTTCGTGGGACGGCGGCGACGTCGGGACCGATGAGGGCGGCGTCGTCGGTATTGATGTTGGCACCGGTGAGGGTTGTGATGACGGCGGGATGAAGGGCATGGCTGTTGGTGCTACCAATGTATTGGGCGCCGGCGTCGGTAATGCCGTAGGTAGCCTCGTAGGAGCTGAGGTAGGATCATGCGACGAATAATTGGTAGGAGCAGACGAAGTAGGCGATCGCGACGGCGCGAAACTGTTGGCGTCGAAGCCGTTGGCCCACGTGTCGTTCGTGAAGGCGTGCGGCGCGATGCCGCCGTGTTTGACATGGACCACGAAATAGCCGCCTTCCGCATCCCTGATGACACCGCTATGCGCCGCCGCCGCGCATAAGGGCACGGTGTCCGCGTAGTAGCCGGGCATGGCGCCGACGATGTCCAACATGTTGAACGACTCACTGTAAAGGCACCCGGCGGGGCACTTGAATTTGTAGGTCGTCCCCTCGTGCGTGTCCTCATTCAAATCCCAGCGCTCGTCGTCCACGGCCAGATTCAGTCCCGACTCCCAGGCCCTTTTTTCAGACCGGTCGGGCGGCGGACTCCCGACGCAGTTCCTCATGGCCCGCCCGAAGGGCTCGGGGCCGTCGTCTTCAGAGCGCTTAGGATAGATCTGGTCCCAGCGCTGCTCGAAGTTGTAGTGGACGTGGCCCATCCTGGGGGTCGCCTTCAGGTCGCGCGCACCGACGGGCGCGTCGTACGACTGGCAGCCGTCCGGCCTCAAAACATCGACTAACCGGACATCGCAGACCGACGGCACCGGCTTGATTTCATCTAAATCAGCTACTGCTCGCTTCGGTGGGGAGGTCCTTCTAATACGACAACCCCCACCATCCGACACGTAGACGTGGCCGTCGTGCGAGACGACGACGCCGCTCGGTTCGTCGAACGTCGCTTCATCCGCCGCACCGTCGCGAGGGCCCCGCAAGCCACTTCCAGCCACGGTCACCACTTGACCGTTCGTGGAAATCACGCCGCCGTCGAACTCATATACATCTGAAGCCGGTCCGCCACTACCAGGAATAACTCTCCTCACTCGTCGAGAATCGGCGACAATGACCGTGTACGCCGTCACTTTCGTTTTACCGGATGTCACATAGTCGGTGGTCGAAGCATGTCTTGATGAGGGTTCGTCGATGGCCACACTTTTCGGGTACTCGAAGCGAGCTATGGAAGAGTTCCCGTCCCGATACCCCGGGACACCACGAACACAAGGAGGGGGACAGCCCTCTTCCACATTCTTCCTCACAATTTGTCCCGCAATGGTAAACACAAACCGCGTCGCGTTGATCTTGCGGATCGCGTGGTTGTTCGTGTCTGCTACTATGAGGTCCCCGCTCTCGTGGTGCACGGCCAAGCCGCGCGGCGCGTCGAAGCGCGCGAAGGTCCCAAAGCCGTCGGCGTAGCCCGGCTCCGGCGCCGCGTCCTGCAACGAATCTCGATAGTCATTGGTACCCTTGCCGCACCTTCCGGCGAAACACGTCACTTGGACGTTCGTAGGCGAAGCGATGCCGCCCCCCGTGACCTTGCGGATCCTGTGGTTGTCCGTGTCCGCCAAATATATGACGAGTGCGTCGGGGTCGCCCCAGGTACCGTCGTAGGTTATCGCGACGGCCCTCGGTGACGAGAGTCTTGCTGTACTGCCAGCTCCGTTTTTGTCTCCCTTCTGCCGATGAGGTGGCACTGACCCAACGAGCGTGATCACGCATCCCGACGCGTCGATCCTTCGCAGCGCGTGATTCCCACTATCGGCAACATACACATATCGGTCAGCGTCGACGGCCACGCCAGACGGGTCTTTGAACTTCGCATTAGTTCCACATCCATCCGCATAACCCTCCTCTGATGAGTGACCGGCCAGAGTGGTCACTTGGCCCTGGGCTTCCGCTCTTCTAGCATATTCCCACTTGTCGGTCGCGACCCACTCCTCGCCGTCGACTAATCTGATTGCATCGGTATTAATACCGGAGCCGGGCTGGTCCTCCAAGTGCGTCCCTGGTGTCGCGCGCCCGCCGCCCCAGCCCCAACATCTGGTAGCGCACTTCGACATGTCCCTTGCTAACGGATCGGTGCAGTTGAAGCCCGACGTGATGACGCACACATGACTGGTGTGGGGGTTCCCAAAATCATAGCGATGCGTGCCGTTCACACTCCAAGGTGAATCGGACGCCGTGGGGATGTTCTTCGACATTTCCGACGACGGGGCGCCCTGGATCTGGTAGTCGCACTCGTACCGGTTCTTGGACCCGCAGGCGATCTTTTCGCACCTATGGCATTTGGAAGAACATCCCCTAATATTACACTCGTGGCGCATGTCCTGGAGATCCTGGTTCGTGCGGCCCTTCCGCTCCCACAAACTCCCCTCCCACTTCTGGTAGGCGAAGGGCCAGGCCGGCTCCTTCACCACGTCGCACCAGTTCTTCGTGAGCGTCCAGGGCCGCGAGAGGCGGAAGGCCTCCGTGAGCGGCACGGCTATGAGCCGCGTCGGCGTCCAGCCGTCCGCCAGCTGCGGGAGCAGCACTCCGAGGAGCAGCATAGCTATCCGCGTGATCATGGCGGCCCGCCGCGGCCCTCCGCCCCACCCTGGGGTGGCTGGGCTGCCCAGCGGGCCCTGTCGCTCCGAACGGCTGCCCGTGCGATCGAAGCGCGTCGATCGCAGTGCTCCGGGCGCCCGATGAAGCCTTCGGCTGCCTCGAGTGGCCAGCGGCCTGCGGCCAACGCGAGTCCCAGCGGCTATCCCTTCGCGTCGAAGCCTAGTATGTGCTAGTACGTCGCTGCCGCTCGCGACGCCTGTTGGTACCATTCAGGCGCCAGAGAGTCCGTGGAGAGATGGGTGTACGCTCCATGCAAAAAGAAAAAATGTTGGCTGCTCTTTGCCGGGTCTCAGCACCTGGCACTGCTAGTAGACAGCAAGTTGTGCGTCGTGCGTAGTCGTGTACGTTCAGGCACGCCGCCGACGACGCGTCGTCGTGTCTGAGAAGGGACAAAAAGTACAACTTACAATCAACGCGTGTCGACGGTATAGTACCGCTCCACCGACGACACGTAGCTCCGGCCGAGGTCGCGGCCCTGGGCCTCGATCCACTCGAAGAGGGACCTCCGAGCCTTGATGCGCGGGTCGTCCGGAACGTCGGCCACCGTGAGGCCCGACGTGAGCAGGTCCAGGTCGTCCGCGTCCAGCAGCGTGTCACCCGTTATCCAGTCAATTGGCTTTGTGAGTGCGGTGATGGTCGCCGTCGAGAGGAGCGGTCCGGCGGCCGCGATGCGAGCCATGCCGCCGGACGCGTCGCGCAGCTTCGTAAACAACTCCATTGCCGTCGGCGCGTCGGGGCCGCACGCATCGACCTCCTCCCCCGACGTTTTGAGAGAAGTGCCCAACTCTTCCATCAGCGCCGCAATATCTCTCACGTGCACCGGCTGGAAGCGGTGGCTCCCGTCGCCGGCCAACAAGAATAACGGAGACCGCCGCAACACCCACGCCGCATTATTCATCAATATGGACTCCTGGGCGGAGTCGCCAAAGATGCCGCACGGCCGCACGATCGCGTAGTTGACGCCTGAGTCCCGCAGCGCCGCCTCGGCTTTAGCTTTGCCGGCGATGTACGGGAACGGCGAATCTACAGAAGTTCGCGTGTGCGACGCCATCACTATCTTCTGGACGCCCGCTCGTTTCGCGGCCTCCCAGAGCCGCGCGCAGTTCGCCGCGGCTATTGAGTGGGGGCTCTCACCGCCGCGGTCGGCGAACCGCACCCAGTACGTCGAGAACAGCACGTCGCAACCTTCGAGGCTCCGCGCCATCGCGTCGACGTCGTTGAAATCTAGTCGTACGCGATGCGTTCCCAATGCGCGCGCCTGTGGTGCGCTCAAAGGCTCTGGAGCTATGGGCACGCCGCGTCTTGATAAATTGACGACATCATGGCCCTTGGAGAGGAGTGAGGCTGCTAGGTACCTTCCGCTGTATGACAACGCGCCAGTGATTGCGCACTTCATTGCTGCTCGCCTGCTGCGGCTTGCGCTGGCGTTGCTGGTGTGCTGTGTTGTGCTGTGCAGGCAATGACAGCGGCGCAGCGATGCTTTCTTCGATGCGTGCTGCGAGTTACGGGTGTGAAGGGTATGCACAGATGCCGCAGCGTAGTTTTGACAATCTGCGGGGGCTAGGACGGCTTGCCAAGGTGGCTGCTCTCAGAGCTGGTGCCAGCAAGAGAGCAGCTTTGCAAACCACGCTAGCGCTCGGTTTCAGACGAGTCCAGCCTCTGCTGCATCTCTCGAGCCACGCATCGGTGCGAGCGACTCAAAATCTTACCGCTGCAGCGGTGCGCGATAGAGCATAAGACACTGCAGTGATGCAAGCCTTACGCACAGTCGCACTGCTCGCCGCATTGATGCCAGCAGCATCACTCCTCGCCCCGACGCCATCACCGCGACGCTTCCTCGCGGTATCGGCGAAGAAAAAGCCCGCGGCCGCGGGCGGCTTTGGCGCGGCCGCGCCGTCGACGCCGAAGACGAAGAAGAAGGCGCGTCGGCCGCGTCCTGCGCCGTCGACGCGTCCCCGCCACTCACCCGTCGCTGGCCACGCAGGACAAGCAGAAGAAGAAGGACGACGAGCCCGGCCTCGCTCGACCGTGGGACACGGACGACTCAGACGAGAACGCGACCCGAGCACAGAAGCGCGGCGGCAAGATAGGAAAACGCGGCGACGGCGGCGGACCCGCTCCGCAGCCGTCCGGGGGCATGAGCGCCGGCGTGAAGCTCAACTAATCTATGTTGTACATGTCACTTAAAACAACTACATATGCCCGCCGCTCAGCCAGCGCCTTCTCACCCACAGGTACGCGTCCTGGAGGCCCGGGCCGAGCGGGCGCAGCGACGCGAGGAGCGGCAGGAGCGCCTGCTCCGTCGCTGTCGGCGCGATAATGAACAATGGCGTCCGGCGCAACTTCTCGGGCACGACGCGGTACTGCTCTAACACGAACGAGATGCGCTTTGTCTCTGGTGTTTGATCCACCGCGCAGTCGCCCTCGTTGTTCAAACAGAAGGCCTTCACGCGGTGCGACTGGTCGCCCCGGAACACTAACACGGAGCCCTCGCGCGGCGCGTGGCTCCGCCCCGCCACGACGAGCTCGCCGCCATCGAGACCCTGGGGCACTTGCAAATAAGCGACTGAGACAGAATACGCCGTCTGCTCGCGCTGCGTCGACGGCTGCATGAGGGTCTGGTCGACGTGCGAGCCCACGCCGACCGTCCTATTTTTATCGCGGCCCGGCGGCACGACGAGGATGTTGAAGACGAAGGCGTCGCATCTATCATCTAACAATTCCTGCAACACGCCCTCGTAGAGCCACGCGTAGGCCGGATGTTGAAACGCGTACGCATCCTCGAACGCAGCCCGCGTAAAGTGGAGGACGACACCCCGCGTCCCGCCGAAGCCCTCCTCGCTGAGCGGATTCGCGTCGCCGACAACTCCCAACAAGTGCTCGCCCTTCTCCACCAAGTCTCTGCGTTTTTCGATAGAAAAGACGCCGTCGCGCCACGCCACGTCGGGCACTATTCTCGGATCAGAACCGGGCACCTCGTCCTCCCATTTCTCCTTGAACGCTACTACTTCCACTAGGTCTCTGAGTGTCCAGACGGCAAAGCTGGCGCAGATGAGGAGTAGGAAGACTACGATGTCCAGCAGTCTTTTGATTCTCACGCCCCGCTTGCGATCGGCGATCAGGTCGATGGCTTGCAGGTCGCCGAACGCCGCCGCTTTTGCGAGCCAGGCCTCCGCCTCCGCCTCGCTGCCGCCACAACTCTCGTGGCGGTAGCCTAGCGCGTAGCAGGCCCTCCCCTTGAGCGCGGCGTCGCCGTCGCCGTCGAGGATCGGTAGTAAGAGTTTTTCTGCTTCTACGCCGTCGCCGGGACCGTTCCGTCGCAACAATTGCGTGGCGCGCGTGAAGTATTGCATCGGCGGCTCCTTGGTCTCCTCGGCATAGCGGCCCCGGGCCTCGTCGGCCATTGATGCTATATGCGCTGCGCTGCGATGGCGTGCGGTGGTGCTATGGCTGTATCGGGCCAAATCCTGACGGTTTTTTTGTGCGTTTCGGCCGCGCGCAGCCCTGACAGCGCTGTCGCGACGGGATCTGGCCTCTGCTAGCCCCGTGTGCGCCGGCTGTGGATATTAAATGCCCGATTAATTCTTCTGGGTAGCGTCGTTGTAACACACTAGTATTTCAGCCGCGGCCTCGTAAAACGCGCACCGCTCCTCTATACGGACTGCGCGCACGCCTGTAGAGCGTCTGCGACCGCGCGATCACTGCGCCGGGCAACTCTGCAGACGCGCCGCAAGCGCCGCGCGCCTTTGGACCCCAAAGGCTTCCACTGACCAAAACGCCGCCGCGGCGCGAGCGACGAGCCGCCGCGCGCGCACGGCCACCATGCCCCTCGAAAGCACGATAATATGCCTCGACACGAGTGAATTCATGAGGAACGGCGACTTCACGCCGACGCGGCACGAGAGCCAGCAGGACGCCGCCAATCTCGTAGTAGGAGCGAAGATGCAGCAGAACCCCGAATCATCAGTAGGTGTCCTGACCATGGCGTCGACCGGTCGAGGCGCTGGAGCAAGAGTGCTTGTGAGCCCTACGGACGACATGGGCAACATTCTGAATTCGCTGCACAACGCGTCCGTCGGCGGCCAGTTGAACTTCGTCGAAGGTGTCCAGGTGGCGCAGTTGGCTCTCAAACATAGAAGAAACAAGAACGGCGCGCAGAGGATTGTGCTCTTTGTTGGGAGTCCGGTAGAAGCGGAACAAAAAGCACTGGTGAAAGTGGGAAAACTCCTCAAGAAGAACAATATTGCGGTCGATGTCGTGGTGCTGGGCGACCGGGACGGCAACGCGGACAAGCTACGGGCCTTTGTGGACGCCGCAAATGCTAATGATAACTCGAATTTAGTTGCGATTCCCGCGGGCGTGGTCCCGTCGGACGTGCTTATATCTTCTCCGGTGATCCAGGGCAAGGACTCCGGCGGTGGGGGAGGTGGTGGCGAGGCTTCTACGGGCGGCGGCGGCGGCGGCGGTGGCGGCTTCGCGGAGTTTGGGGGCATCGATCCGAACCTCGACCCGGAGCTGGCGATGGCGTTGCGCATCTCCATGGAGGAGGAGCGCGCGCGCCAGGAAGCAGCCGCGTCCGCGGAGGGGGGCGCCGCGCCGGCGGACGGGGCCGCCGCCGAGGCCTCGCCGGCCGCTTCAACGGAGGAAGCGCCCGCCGCCTCGACGCCGAAGACGCCCGAGGCGCCGCAGGACGACGACGCCATGGACGAAGATGATGCTCTATTACAGGAAGCTCTCGCGATGTCGATGAAGGAGGACACGGAGGGCGCGACCGTCGAGCCCCAGGCTGATCAGATGGAGGACGACGAGGAGGACGAGGAGATGAAGCTCGCCCTGGCCATGTCCATGCAGCAGGCGTCGTCCGAGGCGCCGGCGCCCGCCGCGGCTGCTGGCGAGTTCAACGACCCCGCGTTCGTCAACTCCATGCTCGCGCAGCTGCCGGGCGTCGACCCGAACGATCCTGCTATTCAAGCAGCTTTAGCATCGATCAACCAGGGTGGGGAGAAGAAGGACGACGACGCGCCGGCGCCGGCGCCGGCGCCCTAGCCTATCTATCATAACGTTACGTAGTACACAGCGAGTTAAAGAGATATCGGGTCGGACGACGATAGGCGTGGTGGTGGCGTGGACTGGGGCCAGCGCGACCACTCAGCTCACGCGACAGACCCTCGCACACAGACCTCGAACGGACGATGATGGGCGCGTAGTACAAGGACCTAGCTCACGCAACACAAGCCCGGGGGCCCCTCGCCCGCGTCCGCCCGTCTTCGAGCCTCGCGCCGCCGCATCGCGTCCTGGCGGATGCGCCGCGCGTGCTTCCCCGAGGGCTGCGGTCTTCCTAAACGCGAAAACCGCCGACATCGATCCAACACGTCCTCGACCAAGGCAGAAGCGGCGCCTCCAGTGGACACGTTGTCCAATAAACAGTGCCCTCCCCGCAACGAGTCCGCGGCGACCCGCGCGTCGCCGTCCAAACCCTCCAAGAATTCTTGGAGCGACGCCTCCTCCAGCAAGTCGGCGTGCGTCCACACTAAGCATGCACTATTCCGCCAGGCCCGTCCGAGGGCGAACCCAACAGCTACCATAGCTTCCAAATCGGCCGTGTTCAAGCGAGACGCGCAGGACGCCACATACAGTACGGAGAAGCGCGCCTCCTTTCCCGTAGTTGTGACGGCTTCTTCGGCCTCCTGCGTCGCTTTTCTAATAGCCGCGGCCGTGGCGTTCGTCCCCAAACCAGCATCGCCGAAGCCCGGCGTGTCCAGGACCACTAAAGCGTCGCCGCAGGCCACGCCGCAGCTCTTCGTGACGGGGCCCGCGGATCTTTGAGCCCGGCGCTTTTCTACATTACCAGACAAGCGGTTCGCGGTCGCCGATTTACCGGCGCCGCAGAGGCCGACGAGCACTATAACTAGGACTTCATCCTTTGCTTTGGAAGCGCACTGCATGATCTCTTGCGCGTCGCTGGCGTCGAGGAGGGACGGCTCGTCATTGGTGATGGACAAGTTGTTGAGTTGCGCCTCAAGCTCGGCCATTTTGCAGCTGTGGGTGCTGCTTGTTGGGCCAGCGGCGTTACGCCTCGAGCGTGAGTGATCTAGCCTTCGCAGCAGTCGATAGCGATCGATGGTGCAGTGCGGCGCCCGTTTTAACACGCCAGCGGGCCAATGCGTGCAACTCAAAAAGCTGCGTAAACTCGCAGCTAGCGGATCGTAACACACTAGGAAGTAGAACCGACAAAAGACTCACACAACTACTACTTATGCCCCTCGTGCCGGTGGTGCTCCTCCTCCGCAAGATGGTGAAGCCCCTCGCGCAACCGCGACACGCCGCCCATGCTGTGGAGCCCGTGCTCGCGCGCCCATTCCACGTCCGCGCCGTCCGCGACGGCACCTAACGCCTCAAGGGCGTTGTCCTCGTCCCTCCGAACGACGTGGCTCTGGTGTTTCGTGGTCTTCATCCGCACTTCCACATCTGCTCTCCTTGTCTTATATCCCCTAATAGAAAACCACCGGTCCTGCTGTTGGGGACTGAGGAAGTGGCCCATCCGCACCGAATGCGTCTGCGTGCGCACGGTCCCGCGGTACTTAATAACTAAATTTTGAAAACAGTAGATCAGTGTGAGTGACACTTTCTCCGCCAAGGTACAAGAGGTATCAGGATCCATGTACCGATGAACTCTCTCCACATCCGCGTCACTCTCGTCCGTACTATGGTCGCAGCGCTGCGTCAGGGCCTCGTAGAACTCCGTGAGCTGCGTACAGCCCAGCTCCCGCATGTCTTTTGCCGACGGGACTTGTACGCTTCGATCGACTAACCTAACAAAGGCCTCCAAAAAAGTGACCCACGACAACGCTCTGAATTTGGGAGCGCCCTCATCAATGAATTTCATCCTACTAAAGACGAAGGCATGGGTGGCTTCTGAACGAGATAGATTCCTAGCATACAGGCCCGAGTGCTCGACGAACAAAAACCACTCCTTGAGGCCGAATAAAGTTCTTCCAGCGATGGGGTGCATCCCTGAGTATAGTTCAAATAGCCCTCTCAGGATGGATTTGTGTCGCAACAACGCCGTATCCACTTCCTCGCAGTACAACTTCCGCCGCCGAAACTCGTCCGCGTCGACGACCACGTCGTGCGGCAGATGTAGTAAATGATCTCTCAAAACGTGATGTAAGGCATCGCTCAAAATTTCCACCGCATGTTCCGGGTGTTCCCTAGCGTGTTGCTCCACATTACCCTTGGCCACGGCGATCCGTAATAAAGCTTCCACCAGCTCGTGGCGCATCATGGCCGTGTCGTCGTTCGCCGCGTTGAGCTTGCTGTCCTTGTTGCCGACTTCGACGTTGACCTGGACGAAGATGCGCTGGGCGAGTTCTGAGGTAATCTTGGTGCCTTCAGCCTCATGCCGGTGGTGCTCCTCCTCCGCGAGGTGGTGGAGCCCCTCGCGTATCATGGTAACGCCGCCCAGGCTGTGGGGCTGCTCCTGGGGCGCCGGCGCCGGTCCCCTCATCGAGGCACCACGCCGGAGGCTTCGTTTATCCTCGAGTAATGAAGCATCTCTGAGTAAAGAAAAAAAGGCGTTTTGCGACATGTCGAAGGGATCCGCATTCGAACTTCGATAGCCGTAGTACTCCATGCACTGCGACAGGAGGCGATACATGGGCAGCATCTCGTGTCTTATAGCTTCGACGATCGCCTCGGTGCCGGAACCGTCCGGTAATTGCCCAGCGAGTCGATTGATGAATTTCGGCCAGCGCGGTTGCTCCTCCAAAATCCTCAGGTCTTGCGCGAGCATCCGCGCGTGAACCTTCTCAGGGTTGTAGAAGCCGTGCGAATCGGCCTCCTTGATTCTGGGGGCGTATATAGATTCAGCTAGCTTCCAAACAGGTCTAGGTGTCTCCACATGAACGACGGGCGGCGGTGGGGGTACGTACTCCACTAACAGATGCAGCGTGTACCGCGGCAGCATGCCCAGTGGCGTCCTCGAGTGGCCTAACAACTCCATGCTTCGTAGGTGTGGCATGTGGTGCCTGTGGCATCTTGGACAATCAACTACGTCTCTCTCCGACAAAGGGTCGATGTCCTCAAGTGTATCAAGTGCAGGCGTCTTCAGATCCGACAACGCGTCGTCGTCCGACCATAATTGAGGTTCTGTAGGCCTCAACCATGCGCCAGGATCCAACACCTCACACGGCACACGACTAGCGTGATGTAAGTGGTACCGCTGGTCGGGCCCGCCGTCGGGGTCGGCAAAGGCGTAAGAAGAAAACATGTCTCCTACCACTGATCCTGGGACATGTTTAAATGCACACAAATGAGTATCACGCATAGCGCGCTGGTCCCAGTTCATATTGCCACCTCTGGCCTCGTTAAACGTAAAACAGTGAGGTTTTCCACCAGGTGCGACAACACAAATTTTGTCGAGCTGTTGCGCGACCATCGACGAGGCTTGCGAGTAGTCGTCGGGCCATTTCTCCGCTTCCGCATTCACTATGAGGGGCGTCCAGGGGTCGTGCCCTTTCTCGGTCGGGACACTTCCTTTCCTTCCAGCAGGACCTATCCGATGCGAGCCGGCTCTCGGTCTTGTGGCGTCTAACGCCGCGCATTTCTGCCTTCGTTTAGATGGTGCACTCTTGGGTCGAGGTGGTATGGGTTCGCGCACGGCCCGCACCGCGAAATACGGATCTTTTTCTCCCTCGACTTGAGGAGTCCAGAGTGTGGACGCGTGGCGGCCCCATTCGGTGCAAGCCTTGCCGGGGTGTTTCCGGTAGGTCGCCGACTGGGGCCGCGACGGCTGCGGCGGGCCGTACGGTCGCATCAACCGAGGCACGTACTCGTCATTTTTGAATGTTTCCAGGAACCAGGTTTCATACCTCTTCGTCAAGTTTTGTTTGATGCGCGGCAGATTCTCGGGCGTGTTTTCTGGTTCGTCGGAGCCTAGGCGTCTTGGAACTACGGGCGCAAATCCCGCGTCCAATCGCTGACAGTAGGCTAGGAACCGGGCGCGCGCGTCCCTTTGTAAGTTTGAGAGAGTAGAGACGGCGAGTTCCCTCGTAACGACATCCACGTCACTTTCATCGGGTGCCGTGGCCACGTCAACGAGAGCGGCGAGGCCGTGCTCCGCCAACACAGTCGTCGCGTCCTTGCCTCCTGTCGACAGGTTCAACAGGCAGTGCAACGCTTCTTTCCGGAATGATGCGGAGCGCTCCATCATGACTAAGCGCGACAGCCCCTTGGCGCACTTCTGGGCCAATGGAGCTTTCGTTTTAGGATCACGGGAAGCCAGAAATTGAATAGCAAACAGGGCCGCGCGACAGACGCCGTCGCATCTATCGGAAGCCAAGGCGGCGCTCGGCGCCTCGATGAGCTGCTTCGTCGAGTGCATCCTTTCTAATCTTTTTCTATGTCGTCTCGAGTGACATACTAACCACAGTAATAACATTGAAGACTGCGTCGTTAACTCACTCCTTGTATGAATAGATCCATAGGAAGAGAACGTGATGCGATCTAACGATAGTATGAGAGAAGAGGGCGTCCTTTGTAAGTCGGGGTCTTGCGCGAACTCGGTCTCGACGGAGACCCGCCATAACACAGCGAGCACGTCCCGCCGACAAGCTATCAGAGCTTCGTCGTCCTCTGGCTCTTTCTCTCTTAGCAACTCCCGGGCGAAAGGCATGATGTCCAGGTCTGAAGACTCGTACAACAACTCGAACTCCATGAGCATACGAATGGCACACAACGACGCCCGACAGACCGTCTCCAGTATCCGAGCATCCCTCGACATGCGCCCGGCCTTCTTCGCCGCCAAGGCCCCGATCTGACAGCACAAGCGGACGCCTCGCACTAAGACTTGTAAAGCGTCGTGGTCATTTTTCTGAGCAGCTTTACGACTGCATCGAACGAAGGCCACGAGCACGAAGACCAACGCATCAGACCGGGGACCGGCTCGCGTCGGCACGATCAAGCACTGCTGCCACTTTGCGACTGCGTCTAAGGCTGATACCAATTCCTCGCACTGCGCCGACGGCAAGGTACACGATGCCGAGACCAATGCTAGACACTGAGCTAGTGTCGAGACGACGCCACCCTCGCTGTTCGTGGAGATGAGGCGACAGATGCGCCGCCACGCACTCCTCCCGACGACCGCTTGTTGCCCTTCGGGTGTTTGTGCCGTCTCCAAGACAACAATAGCCAGGGCGAGTTGCGTCTGCGGGTCCTTCGAGTGTTGTATTTGCTCGAGGCAGCGCCAGATGCCACTAGGGGAGGGGTCGGCGTCGCCGCTTTGTAAACCCAAGGCCAGTAATTGGGAAGCGACCCTACATGGTTCTTCAAAATCGAGGTCGTGGGACCGTTCCAAAGCTCGCGTGCACTCCTCCACCAACAACGCGCAAGCGTCGCCTTCGAGGCCCGGTTCCGAGGTCTTTGTTGCCGCTCTTAATGACAAAAAGGCGTGGGCCGCTCTCGTAGCTAGTTTCAGCGTTTCTAGCCGCTCTTCTCTCGAGGCTTGTGCGGCACGCGTATCGCGGTCGTCTTCTATATGACCCTCGGTGATCGACGGCGCCGGGGCCGGCGCCGATTCGATCTCGACCTCGCGGAGGCCATCTCCCACACAAGCCCGGGCGCAGGCTCTTGAAAGATCAACACAAGCGCGCAACGCGTCGGCGAGGCCCGGTATTACCGTCGATGTCGCCACGCCCGCGAGCGACGCGACGTCAGCATCTTTGGTCATACAAAGCCGCAACGCCACGGCGATGGCGTAGCGCGCCGCCTCCAGGGTCGGAAAGGTCCGCATCAGATCCGCTAACGCAAAAAGACCGCAGTCGTTCGTATAAGAACGCCGCGCTTTCCTCGACGTCGAAAAAACGTCGTACAGACCCCCCAACGCCAGTAACACGAGGTGGTCGTCGTGAAAGTAAGCGGACGCGGCCCCCTCGAGCACTTCCAACGACTCGCTACTATCTAGTTCAGAATGGCGGCACTGCCGCGCGAAGCATAGCAACGCACCTATGGCCACGTACGCGACGTCATCCACAATGTCCCTACCTTTGTCTGTTCGCCGTCCGACGAAGCCATGTCTATCACGCGTCGCCCGCCCCTTCTTTGTCTGAGTTATACTATGAGCCTTGTCGCGCAACCTCCTCATGCCTCTCAACTCTGAAGTATGCTGAGGATCAGGTACACCTCTCCGCAACAACTCGATCAACGCATGGACGTACCCACAACTTTGCAAGCGAGAAGCCATCAGACAACTTTGATCAGCTAATCTCCAAGAGGCGCGAATACCGCTCACTAAAATTTCATCATTCATATCTAAACAACAACGATGAACAAGTTGTCGCACCAATGAGTCAGAAACGCCGGGCAAGTTCTCGGGCCGCTCCGCGAACTCCCAGACTTCATCTAAAGTTCTTTTTATATCATCAGTACTCTGAGGCTTTTCTAGATAATGCGCATACCGCTCCGAGAACTGTTCCGCCTTCCGCTGATACCTCTTGGAAGCGAACTTGTCCCAGGCCTTGATCGTGTCGAGCCACTCCTTGTCTGACGTGATTTTCACGTGACCCGGGGCATGAAAAGACGCGTGGTCGCCCCGATCTTCGGCCTCCAGCTCGCGCCACCAGGCGTCCTCGTTGTCATCCTCACAGTACGGTCGACACAACACGAGGTCGTGGCCGAAGAGCTCCAAGGCTTGTTCTTTCACTTTGTCGAAATGATGGAAGTGCTTGCGTTCGATTTCCGCGTCTTTCAGTAGTGCGGGTAGCGTGTCCGTCGCTTCCCTAAATAACTTCACTTCGCTCCCGCGGATGTCGGCTTTTTTTCTCCTTTTCTTTTTTTTGGAATGATGCGCCTCGTGCGCGCGGAGCGCGTGGCCCCTTACGATCTTGTGGACGCGGCCGTCGGCTAGGGCTGTAGCCAGGACGCCCTTCGGTAAAGCATCGAGGGCCTTTCGCGCGGCGGCGGCGGCGGCGGCGGCGGCCTCCGCGTCGGCTTTGCGCGCGGCCAGCCGCGTCGCCTCGGCCTGGGCAGCCTGCTCCTCATCAGACAATTGCGCGCTCTTGTCGGGCTTCGGCGGCGACTTGGCCTTCTTGCCCTTCTTCTTCTTCGCCATCGCTTTGCACGCTGCCCCGTGGGGCTTGCGATGCTGCCCAGGCGCTAGCCTCTCACAGCGCCACGACTCGCGGGCGACGTGGGAACTCGCACTAAGACTCGTCCGGCGGCTCGGGCGGATGCGTGGTTGACGTCGAAAGAGCGATTCTTGCTTGCTAGTGTGTCTTACGTGCCGCTAGCCGCGATGGCATGAACTTTGAAGGCGGCACGACGCGAGCTGTGCATACCCACAGCTTGTAAACACGCTTTGAAAATCAGCAAAATCATCCATTTCAAACGCTGCGGCGCTCGCTTGCTCGTCTCCGCGCGGCCGCACTACAAGCAGGCTGCTCTCTCTCAGCACTGTGACGCCGAGGCATGGCGCGCACGTTCTCATTGATAGCGCTCCTCTACAGTGCAAGCGCAGCACGCAGGGGAGCAAGCAGACCGCCGCCCTGCCCCTACAAGGAGTTAGGAGTAACAAAAACGGCGTCCGACGACGACATCAAGCGGGCCTACAAAGCAGCAGCGCTCAAGTTACATCCGGATAAGGCGCCGCCCAACAAACGGCAGACATACGAGGCGAAGTTCAAGCGCGTCAACGCGGCCTACCAGAAAGTTCGCGACGCCGACGCGCGGCGAAAACACGCACGCGAGACCCCAGGGTCGCCGTTTCGAGCTCCACCACCAGCCCAGGAGCTGCGCGTGCCTCTGCGCGTGTCCGTCGAGGACTTGTTGAGAGGCGCGACGCGCTACGCGGTGATTTCATCATCTGGTTTTACGTTCCTGTTACCTGTCAAAATTGAGGTGGGCATGCGTCCTGGAGATATTGTGGATAGAAAAGCACACGGCGACACTATCTTGACTGTGGTCCTCGAGCAGAAGCCTGGGTTATATAGGGTCGACGGCGAGGACTTGCATCGAAGCGCCTGGCTGCAGCAGTGGTCAAAACCGACGTCCTTGAGGTTACGGGCGCCCGGGGGCCGCTTCCCTTTCCTGGGGAAGGATGATGTGGTCGTGCTGCCGCGCAAGGGCAAGAAATGGGGAGACGGCTTTCGGCTCCGCAAGAAAGGTAGGGGTTTGTACGCCAAAGGTGGCCTGGAGCGCGGCGACTTGGTCGTGACCGTGCGGCGGCGATCATTACGAGGCTCTCTTGCAGTACTTGCGGCGAGATTGAGCCCGCTCGTTGCGGTCATAACCGCAATTCAGAACCGGACGCGTACGATACAGCAAGCGCGTCAAGCGCGAGATCTAGCAAAAAAACACGGTCCTGGAATACTGGAGGGCTTCTCGTCGTTTTTGGCCGCGCGGCGCGTCTTCGACGACCTCCAGCGCTACGCGGGCGCGCCCGCGACGCAATGGTAATGTATAATGTGAATAGTATTACAAAACATGGCCCGGGTCGAGCATCCGCAGCACGGTCCCATAATCAATGTCTCCGTTCGCCTCCGGGTTGAGGTCGTCGCATACTTGATCCGCCTCACTCCTTGGAAGCTTGGGCCCGAAGTTCCGCAGAGCTGAAGATAGAGTATCCCGATGGATCCGAGAAGACCCATCTAAATGATTGTGACTAAGCCCTCGCCTCAGATCCTCGAAGGCCTGCTGCACCTCATACACCGTGTATTTCGACATGGTAGGCCTCAAAATAGTTTGACAAAACTCCCCAAAATCCACTTCTCCGCTTCCATCGGCATCTACTTCAGACATAATAACTTTGACCGTTTCATCTGAAGAGTCCATACCTACTAATCTCATCAGAGATTGCATCTCCCCAAAGTCGATTTCTCCGCTCCCATCCTTGTCGATCAAGTCGAAGACGTCCCTCATTTCTCGGACTTCGCTCGGGGAGATCCCAAGCTTGTTCCCGACGTCCGTCAAATGATGATCTGACGACGCCTGGCTCGGCGCCGTCGTCGGCCGCGAACCCACCGACGAATGGCGACTCCTCCTCAAGTCTTCTTGCGACCGGCGACACGTCTCCCGAAATCTTTCGGCGGCATCACCCTTCGACATGCGTTCCTTGCGCACGATTTCGGCCGCTCGTGCCTTCAGGAGGCGCTGCTTCTCTACTCGTCGTCGTTCCTCCTCTTCCTTGGCCCGTCGCTCGTCCTCTTCCTTTGCCCGTCGCTCGCGCTCCGCCTCGGCCGCCGCGTCGGCCTCTGCAGGAGCAGGGGCAGCCGCTTCCCCGTCGGACGCGTCGCGGGGCATGGTTGCGGCCTCTTCCTCGTCGAGCAGGGGCATGGTTGCGGCCTCGGTGGCGCGCGCCGCGCGTCGCGGGGCTGCCCTTTGCACAGCGCTGTGAGACGCTTTTTGCTTGGGCAGGGTGCGGGTCTCCACCCGGACGCGTCCGCCCACCGGTCGAAGTGGTCGAGCGGCGTCGGACATGGCTCGGAGGCGCCGGGTTTGCGACCGGCCCGCCCCGCACCGAGGCTTTGATCGCGCACCAGGCAGTGCTTTCCGCTTAAAAAAGCTGGCCCGCGCGGCACCACCGGACGCCAGCGCTCGTCCCGCGACGCGTTTTGCACGTATCAAGCTGCCCCGGCGCCGCCACGCCGCGAGGAACTGCCAAAAAATAAGTGCAGCAAACTACTGGGCGCAGCGCCCCCGACGCCGTCGCCGCGCCCCATCAATTGACACACGCATCGATCAAAATGGCCTCCTTCCCCCGCCCGCCGGGCATGGGCGAGACGGGCATCTTCACGCCGGGCGTCGGCGGCTGCGGCGCGGAACTGAAACGATTTCAAGCGCTGCAGGGCTGCAACAAGCGAGCTGCTGATCAAGAGATGAAAAGAGGCGCGCTGCTCGTAGGACTAGCGCGGAAGGGCGACGTCGACCGGTTACACTTGGCCGTGAGATCGGGACCGAGACCGTGGTTCTGGTTCTCGTGCCAGATGTTCAAGGAAGCGGCCGTTAATGGGCAGATCAAAATTCTGAAGTACATGCTCGTGCATGGCATTCAGCTCGACCGGCCGCCTTTGGACGAGTGCCTGTGCACGTTATGTGAAGCCTGTGACGATACGGACGGGGGTGCGAGTGTCGTGGCCGCGGCGCGTTACTTAGTTACACAAGGCGGCGCCGACGTCAACAAGGTACGAAGGAGGGACTGGCGCGGGCCTCTTCACATTTGTTCTGTGAGGAATTTGCATGAGCTAGGGGCGTTCCTAGTGGACGCGGGCGCGGACGTCAATGCCGTTGCTAAAGACGACTCGACGCCTCTCGGCTTATGTGCAGAGGGTGCGTTAATGGACGTCTTGAAAGCGCGAGGCGCGCGTACGACGTGGCGGCGCGATGCCGAACCGACGCAACCGCCGCCTCCGCAAAAGAAGCGCACGGCGCCGCTCGTCACTGCCGGAGCGACGGCATCCTCGACCGTGGTCGAGGACGGTCACGTGCGGCCCGAGCGCAAGCTCACGTCCAAGACCACCAAAGAAATTAGTGCGGAGGTCGCGCGCGAGCTCGCATCGTTGGAAATCGACGAGGGCTTCCGCTTCGACACGGGCATGGGCCCCGACGACCTCGTGCCTTCCATCAGGTTCGGGCCCGTGGATAAGAGCTAGTCACATTAGTAGTATATTTACAGGGTCTGGCGGAAGTGCTCGCGGACCTCGAGCTTCTTCGCCTTTTTCTGCGCGGGAACGATCGGTGAGTGATGGGTCGCGCATCGCAAGTTTTTGAAGGCACCGCATGGGACGCCGGAGGCACCTTCTCCTTTTTTTTGCGGTTGATCTCGGCGCGCCGCAAGGCCTCATTCTTCTCCGCTTGTTGTGCTTTGCGCGCGGCGATGTCTGGTCTTGCGACGGCCGGCCGCCGCGGCTTCGGGGCCGCCCGCTTCCAGTCGTCGACGCTCTGGACCGGGTCGAACGCGTCGTCGTCATCATCAGTCGGGGCGCGTGGCCGCGGCTTCGCCGTCAGCGACGCCGCGTGCGACGTCCGCGGCTCGGTGGGCGCCGGCGCGCCGCCCTTGGAGTAGGCGACGAGGCCGTCGAGCTCCGGCGCCGGCGCGGCCGGGGCAACTGGCTTTGCAGGCACAGCTTGTGCCGCGGTGCCGCCGACGCGCCGGATGAACGCCGCTGCGACGCCCGTCTCCGTCGCGCCGTCGTCGTATTTGAGAGCATACGAGTACTTGCCGCCGCCGAGCGGTTTTGACCCCGTGATTGTCGCCGGGAAGTAGTCCTCGCCGCCGCCGAAGCGCGCCTCGACCTTGTCGCCGTCCGCGAACGCGGCGGGTGCTGACGTCGTCGCGAGCGGCCGGCGCGGCTTCGGCTTGGGGCGCGGCGGCGGCGCCGCTTTCGGGACGCGTACGGGAAGTGGGTCCGCTGCAGGTGCAGGTGCTGGCGCTGGTGCTGGCGCGGGTGCGGGCGGCGGCGCCGGCGCGGCGGCCGCGGCCGGCTCCTTCGACTTCTTCTTATTGGCTTTGCGCCCTCGGTGCGCTTTCTTCTTGGGTTTGCTCGGTGCTAATAGCACGTACCACGCGGCTGCCGGCAGGGCAATGATCGCTGCGGCTTTGGCCAGGGTCTCCATTATTGGTGGTTTTGCGTGGCACCAACGAATGCAAAGTGCTGTCGCCTTCGCAAACAGTGCAGTGATGCACCACACAATCGCGAGGACCACTTGTGCTGTCGTTTGGCTGCTGCAAAGCTTTTTTTGGGCTTGAGCACCGAGCTAGCGGAGTAAGACACTAGCAAGCAAAATCCTCCCCGACTGCAGCAGCTCGCACGACTGCCTGCAGCGCTGACAAGCTGCCGCACGTGCAATCCGGCTGTCGTGGGCAGCCTCCCAAAAGCGCTGTCCTGGGCAGCAGGGATCAGGCTCAGGCTCAGGCTAATTACGTCGGATCGCCTGTAGGAGAGGATGTCCTGGTTCCTTGAGGATGACCAGGTGAAGGCCCAAGGCGAGGGCGCGATCCTGGTCCTCGTCCCGCCCGGTGCGGCGCCGGGAGCGTGGATACGCACGGACACTGATGCGTCGACCGGCCCAATCGACGTCCAGATCCCGCGGGGCGTATGGCCCTATGGGTATTTCGAAGTCCAGGACCCGAAGAACCCGTACCCGGTTACGGTCCGATTCGAGGTCCCTGCGACCGTCGCCGCGGGCGATCTGGTGCAGGTGCCGCGGCCCGGCGGGGGGCTGGTGCCTGTCCGCGTGCCGGCGGGCGCGGAGCCCGGAGACTCGGCCGAGGTCTCGCTGGGGGCGAACTATACGAACTCTGGGTCCGTGGACCAAGTCTCGCCTGAGCACGTCTCGCTGACCGAGCGGACAAAACAGCCCACCTGTTGCCAGTGTTGCGGCGATAGCGACATGACCGATTTCAACCAGCACAAGAGCGGGTGCTTCGTCAACGATTGCTGGGGGTTTCCCTGCTTCTGCTTGAAGACGAATCGGCAGCGCGCGGCCCTCGTCCTCGAGAAGTTCAGGGCGGTGCCGGTGGACATAGCTTCGCCGGGCGACGCCGTCGCGGTGGCCGGGCGCGTCGTCGCGACGGATGGCGTGCTGCATGCGCCGTGTTCTGGGCGCAGCTGCGTCTATTTCGAGGTGGGCACCGGGAGCGAAGGAGAAGGCTACTACGTCGTCACGCAAGGAGTCGATTTTTCCCTTGAGGCGGGCGACCGTGGTTTCCTTGAGGCGGGCGACCGTGGTCACGGACCTGTCCGCTCGTGCCGAGTCAGCCAGAATGCCAGCGACGGGCTGCGCGCCACCTTCAAACACGACTCTAGGTATTTCGCGGGCACATGGCAACGGGGCGCGGACGGGACTGTGGCCCAAGGCACCCTGCCGCCGGCGCTCGTCGACGTCTTCAAGGAACGGTGGCCCGGCGTATCCTGGGAAAACAAAACCTTTTTCGAGAAGGCCTTCGTCGTCGGGGAGCCGCTCACGTGCCTCGGCCGCCTCGAGCGGCAGTATTTTGAATACGGCGGTAATAATCCGCAAGTGAAGCTCTTCCTCACGCCGGCCGCGCGGGGCGCCGCCGACAAAACGGGCTGGAGCTGCACCGAGAGGCGGTCGTGGAACGCGCTGCTCGCCCCGGGTCGCGCCCGAGTCCTCGCCTCGGACGACCCCAAGCATCTACCAGAAAAGCTACGCAAGCTCGAGGCGCCGCTGCCCGAGGCCATCGGCGAGCGGGGCAACCCGCCCGGAGGCAGCGCTGGCGGCGACGTGAACACGACCGACTGTTGTGTTGTGTGCCTCGGTGCCATCTGCGGTGGCTGATGCCACCCTCCCCTCTTCTTCGACACACCTATCCTTTCACTCCTAGTTTTCTCATCCCTACTTAAGATTAATACCAAGACCGCGCGATCAGCACGAGGTGCTAATGCGCCCCACGTTCTTGCGTGTAAATGCCTCCATGCAAGCATCGGCATCGATCTCTCCTCGGGCGAGAGCGAGTACAGCCCGCGCGCGCCGCAGGTCGTCTTGGAAATTGAGGTGCTTGGGATGCGTGGGGCCCATAACGCGTCGCGAGATGCGCACGCAATCTTCGCACGTCGCCACGGCATCGACGAGGTTCTTCTCGTCGGAGGCGGCGCGTTCATCCATGTAAATAGCTTGCGCCCAGGATCCGCGCAGGTTGAGCGTGATGTCGATTGGTGGCGCGGGGCGTCGGGCGGTTCGCGGCGTGCAAGGGCTCGGCCGCGGAGTTCGTCGCGCCGATCACGATGCGGCACCGGCTGCCCTTCGCGCACTACGCGGCGCCGTATGCCGCGGTGCTGGCTTGTAAATCCGCAGATGACTGCTCGGAGTTTTGCGAGGAAGCGGGCTTGTGCACGGCGTAAGGAGACACATTTAGTTACACGACTACGTCGACCGCCAGCGAGGCCGCTTCGCCGCACCAGGCTTCGGCGCGAAGAAGCTCTGGACGTCTGCCGCATTAGCTGGTCGCAGAGCCTCCGGCGCGGTCTTCCGCCGCGTCGTTTTTTTCTTGGCCGCGGGCTTCGCGTCACTACTCGACGACGACCGCGGCCTAGCGCCGCTCGCTCGCGACGACGACCGGGCCCGCGGCTTTGGCGCGGGCGCGTCCGTCGAAGGAGGCGGCGGCGACCGCGCCGCGCCGCGCCGCGTCGCGCGCCAGAGCATGAGCTGCCTTTCAACTTCCGCTCTCACGTCCGGCGGCAGCTCGTTGAGCGTTTCCAAATCGACCTCCGCGCCGTCGATGCCGGCGTCGACTGGGGCCGGTGCGGGCGGCTCGGGCGCGGGCGGCGGCGCGGCCGGGGCGGCTGGCGGCTCGCGAGCCGGGGGAGGTGCGGCCGGGGCGGCGCGCGCAAAAGCCGCAGCGACGCTATGCCGCGCCGGCGGGAACGCCGCCGCGACGCGCTCGCGCTCGCAGGCCTCAAAATTTAATGAAGGACCGACCTCCGCGTCGATATCAGCTCCTGGAGGCGGCACCGACACTCGAGACGGACACACGAGCTCTGATAGGGCGACGCAGCGCGGCACGACGCCAGCACCGGGCAGGCCCTTCCAGACCTTAGCATGATAAAAAGCGCGCTCCGCGGCCCTCGCGCCTTCGACGTTCGTCAGTCGTTTGACGGCCTTCTCGATCCTTTCATTATCGGGCAAGCGCCTAGCCGCACAGACGTGCTCCGCCGCGCCCACTAAACCCAAACCCGCCTCCGACGCATAATAATCACAGCCCGCCAGGACGCACGCCTGCACGAAGCACCTTGCAGCAACCCGCGCGTCGACCCGCAACGCCTTCGCGAGGGCCTTGGCGAACTTGGAACGCCTCAGATCAGTTATCAATTTCGTCAGGTCGCCTGGTATTAATAAATCACCAGTCCCGTCTCTATCGAGCTTCGTGACGAGGAGACACCTACTAAGACGCAGGCCACATAATAAACAAGCCAAGTCCGAATCCTCAGTTATGATACCATCAGCCAAACCAAGGACACAGAGCGCCGCGAGCTGCGCGTCGGCCTCGTAGGGCGCGACGAGGCACCTCACACTGACTTTCTCGAGCTCGCGCTTGGTGACTTCGACCATGACTGGCGTAATTCTAACAGTCTTGCCGTAGGCCTTGCGCATCTCTCCAATAGCATCGTCGCGGTCTTCGCCGGCGGCGTGCCTCCGTTCGCATTCTAGCTTCCACTGACGCGCGTCCGCGAGGGCCTGGTCTCGCACCGCGCGCCGGTCATTATTAGTTTGCCTCTTGAGCGGCGTTGGCGCACCGTCGAAGACGACGATCGACGTCACACCCTTGGCCGCGAGCATCTGCACGCGTTGTACCGCAAAATGCGCGTAGCGCGTCGTCGGCTCGCCCTCGGCGAGGGCCTCGGCGCACGAGAGCGCGCCGCGGTGCAGGAGCGCGTGGCCGTCCAGTGCCAGCGTCCGGCCGCGCAGTTCGGAGACGTTTATTTTCTTTTGTCCGGCTTTAAGCTGGTGGTGGAGGCCCGAGATGCCCATGGCTGTAATCGGTGCTTAGCGCAGCTTTTTTCACCGCTTTTGGATCAGTGCCAGCGTCGCGGCTATGTCACGGCTGCTCTGCAGCGTTGGCACACTGCACGGCGACGCGTGGCAGGGCGTAAATTCAATTTGCAAGCACTGCCCGGCTTCCTAGTGTCTTACATACCGCTAGCCGACTATTTTGGCCACACGTTTTCATAGCACATCGTCGTGGTCAGGCGATAAGAGGGGCATTACACGACGGCGACCAGTCACTACCAACCACCCACGCTTGATTTCTTGGGCGCTGGGCCGAAACGGGCCGCCGAGCCAACATCGTGTTTTTTCCAGCTTTGTTGAGGCAACAGAGGAGGCGGCGCGGTACCCACCCTAGATCTGGGATTTTTTGGGTCGAGTTGACGTCGCAATGAAGGCGACGAGGCGTCACCTCTGGCGCCGCACCGCCGCCCTCGCCGGTGGCATCGTCGTCGGCTTTCTTTGCATTTCTGCGCTCCGCCGGACGCCGGACGAACCGCGCGCGAGACGACTCCAGGACTGGGACGGAGAGAAAGTCCGACCGGACGGCACGGGCATCCGCCCTTTAAAATGTTTCCAGGGCTACCAACAGATCCAGGGCGGGGGCCACTGGACGCAACGCCTCGTCGTACTCGTCAGTTCTACAATAGCACTTGTTCTGGCGGATCGTTCTCCCACCGACCCCGTAGTTGTCGACCGTCCAGACCGCCTCAGACTCCTGCGTGACGCACTGGACGCCGCCGCACAGGAGTCTGTTGAGCTGGGACGGGTAGTTGTTGCCGGGCGTCGACTTCGAGCCCTCCGTGATCGAGTCGCCCATGCACGCTACTTTGAGGCGCTGCGGGGCCTTGTAGCTCAGGATGACGCGTTGTTTGGGGAGCTCCAGCGGTCCGAGCGTCGACGTCGTCGACGATACTGTACTGATGGTGGGCGGGTACGTTACTGTATAATCAGGGCACCATTCCAGGCCGGGCACGGCGCTACACGTGTCCGCTTCTATCTCATGATACAGGTCCTGTTGTCGACAGGCGCAGGGGTCCGCATACGTCGTGTACTCGTCGAAGATGCAGCAGGCGCCGTCGGTCGGTTGCGCCGCGGCGGCGGCCGCGAGGAGCGCCGCGAGCCCCAGGGCGCGCATGATGGCGGCGCCAAATATTTTTGAGTTGTCTTGATGACTGTGGACGTCTGGCGCGGCGCGTTCACGTACGCCGCGCGGACAAAATTGTCCAGCCTTCCTGGCAGTTTTCGCAAATCGACAGGGCGCGCTTCGTTCTCTTAGCGGTTCGCGTCAATGTCGATGATATAGGTCGCGATAGACGAATGCGAAAGTTGAGCTCGCTTAGCCGCCCTCTCGCGGAGGTCCGCACGCTGCCAAAGCGAAACAAATGTCGCGACGGCCGAGACGGCCGCATGCTCCAACTCCGCGCGAAGCCCACGGGAGGCATCCGAGGACTCAGTAGAGCGCTCTCGTGGAATATCAGCGACAGCCGCCTGCGGCGCGCTACACCGCGGGACCGCGCTCATACTAACTATCCTGGTATCACTCCCCACTTACACGACACCGCGGCGGCGACGGCGTAAAGACGCGCCGCGCAGTAGGCGGCCCCGGCGACTCCGGCTGCTCGATCTCGAGCTCCTCGCACGCGTCGGTCGGATCCGCGGAGACCGCGTCGGGCGGCGCGCAGGAGCAGGCCATGAGGAGCTCCGCGACGGCGTCGACGCGGGTAGGCTCGGCATGCCGCCTTCGCCCGGTCAACGCGTCGAGGCCCGCCTTTGCCCTCCGCAGGCGTTCATGGGCCGCTAACGCCGCGAGCTTTTCCGAGGGCGTCGCCTCGGACGAGTCGGGCACCGGCGCGGCGGGCGGCGGCGACGGTCGCGGCACGTCAACGCGGGGCGCGGGCGGCGGCGACGGCGGAGGTACTGAGCAGCAGTTGGTCAGGGGCGTCGACGTCACCGCGGGCTCCTCGCTCCTTCGCCGCGCCTTTTGAGCCGCGGCGGCGTCGCGCTTCTCCTGGCGCCGCCGCCGCCGCGCTGCCGGCGTCACCGCGGAGAAGAGCTTCGCCTTCGCGCCTCCGATGTGCGCGAGCACCGCGCGCGATGCGCGTCGCACGGGCGGCGTCGACTGTTTCAGCGGCGTGATCTGCTCCACGTTCACTAGATTTTCTTTTGCGTCGAGGAACTCGCGGTGGCCGAAGCTCACGCGCTTCTTGCTGGAGCTGCGGCGCCGCCGCCGCGGCTTATTGGCGTCGGAGTCCTCGTAGATGTCAAAGTCGATCATGGTCGCGTCGACGGCGTCAAGCGTGGGCCTCGGTGGGCGTGTTATGGCTGGTCGCGTACGGCGTCGGGCGACTGGAGGTGCGAATTTTTGGCCGGAATCAGTGGGAGCCGGAGACACCCCAGGTCCACGTACAGCCCCGTCCGTCGGGGCAGTCCGTCTGTTTGCGGGCGCTGCGCCTGCGTCTCTCGGGCAGTGGTGGCACCGGCGCGCGTACAAGCTCGTACGAGCAGACCGACGTTTTTTGGGACCAAAAGTGAACGGACGATGTGACATTCGTGCGAAAGCTCTCAACGGCGGAAGGAGCCGGTGATGCAGTGGTGCTGAGACGCCTGGGTGCCCGCAAAAAAAGCGTGAGCTAGCGGCCTAAGACACTAGCAAAGCAGGCAAGCTTGTGTGTGGCGCGCCAAAAACGCTGCAAACGACGACTGTGCGAACCCAGAAACGCGTTCAGAGTACCGCACAGTTGCGTACAACCGGCCAGAAGCATCGCTGGTGACTACGGCTCCCCTAAGCAATGCAGTACACACTGCTGACTTTGCTGCTCTGCAGCACAAATGGATGGCAGCTTAGTACTCGTCGCACAAATGGCTGGCAGCTTGGGACTCGTCGCGCACGCATCATTCGCTACGCAGAAGACGCAGCATCTCTGCAGCAAGCCGCCGACGCGCTGCGCGCTGAAGCGGCATCCCTGGAGGCGACGCTGCCTCGCACAACGACGCCACCACCAGCAGTCGTAACCGAGCTGCCCGGCAGCACCTGGCGCTTCGCGTGCCGCTTGGACGAGGGGAAATCGTTCGACTTCGTCGCGACGCTCGAGCGGGAAACGAACCCCGACTATCTTGCCGACGACGCGAATCGGTATCGGGAGGCGGGGCCGCTGACGCTGGTCGAGCCCGGGCCGTCCATTAGAAAAGCTTACGGGTGGTTGGCGGACAGAGCATAAATCAAATTATCGCGGCGAAATGACTTTGTGCACCCGACTCACTGGTTGATTTGCGCACAGGCTCGCGGAGGACGACGGCCCCCCAAAGGGCGAATTCACGAGGATCACCGTGAGCATGAGGGACGGCATGCTGGCTTCGACAGATGGTGATCTGATGTACCTGCAAGCGCGCGTGAAGCGCGGCGCCTCCGTCGCCCTCGACGAGGGCACGCTCACGGTGAAGCGGCAGCGGCCGGGGACGCGCTTTTTGTTCGTCGAGTACCCCTCGCTCGTGGCCGACCTCAAGATCGTCGGGAGCTTCTCGGCGACGCCAACATCGAAGAGTCCAGACTAATCAAAAACTATACAAATTCCCCCCCGCGCTCCACCATCTCCAAGTTTCGTTTCCGAATGGTAGTTGTCGGGGACTCGGGCGGCTCGTCCTCCTTGTAGTCGTCATCATCAAGAAGGTTTTCTTGCAACGAGGACTGCCGCCGGACGTCCGACGAGCTCACGCGCGCGTAGGCGCCGCCCGGGTCGCCGCCCGGCTTGTGCAGCATCCGCCGCGCGCAGGCGAGCGCCGCGGCCCCGCAGAAGACGAGCATGACCGCGACAGCCAAAGGTGCGTCGAGGCTGATCGGCGGCCGCGCGTGGACGAAGATCAAGAGGGATGCTGGCGCGAGGCACAGGCAGTCCATGCGGACCTTTGGCGCGAGCATCTCCGCGACGGCCGCGAGCACCGCGACCGCGACCACGGCGTAGACGCAGAACGCGAAGTCGTCCGCAGCAGTAGTAGGCGCCCGCGGTGGCAACGCTGACCGTATGGCGGCGTGCTGCGTCACCGCGGCCAGCATCAGCGTCACGTGGTAGACCAGCCGCAGGCCCGCGTTGCCTGTGTGGAAATCAATCAGTGAACGCCATCGAGCAGACGCAGGAATTGATTTCCACACCGGGCGTTGCTCTGCGCGTAGGAAACGATCGCAAATAAAGCGATGAACGACGGCGGCAGGAGTACGAATGCGCCTAACCTCGAAGGTGGCGCGAACTTCAGTTCTAAGGACAAACGACTGGTCTGCCTGGTCGGCGGGCAGCCGGATGAAGGATAAGACAATTGCGCCTCGCAATTTCTCGCGAAGGGCGGCCGCCGAGCCGCTTCGTCGACCACAACTTTGGCGGACAGAGTCGCATCTTTTTCGTCCACAGACGCGAAAGAACTGAGTTTGGTCGCGAAGCCGCTGTACGTCTCGAGCAGACAGAGGACTTTGGACGGCGCGCCTGCCGATAGCTCCGGTGGTAGTTCCAGCGTAATGGGCAAAGTTTGGGTTTGAAACGGATACTCGGCGATGGACGGAGAAAAGTAAAATTCCGACTGCACCCGGAGGTGGTCAAATCTATCATCCTGGACTATGGGATTTTTTGAAGGGTTTTTACCGATGTTCACAAACTGGAGCTCGGGTAAATCTTCGTTCTTGAAGAAGAGCCACTTGTCTGTTGCATCGACGTCGCACGCTCGGCCGCGGTCGGTCGGTCGCGTCGCTTCCTTGAGGGCGCTGTCGAGCTCGAGGAAGGGCCGGTAGTACTTGAGGACGTAGACGTCGACATCTCCATACCACGTCGACGACTGCAGGTCTATTGAGGCGACATCGGAGACAAATATACCTAGGCCGTAGACCTCGACTTGGTCTACGGTGGTGGTCGTGTTCGCCGTGGTCGCCTGTGTGGAAATCAAATTTTACGGCGCGTTCGACGCGACACCTGCTCGATGGCGTGGTGCACCCGACTCACTGCTTGATTTACGCACAGGTGGTCGCCTCGTCGTCGACCTCCGGCTCCGTCACCGTCTGCACGGTCCAGCGCACGGGTTCCGATAGTGCAGTACCGTTTACGGCACAAAACACGCCTTGCGCCAGGGCGATGTCGTACCGCGCGTCGAACTGCTTGAGCTCATTTGGTAACTTCACTACACCCCTCTTCGCATCGGCCTCTGGCGCGCCGTCGCTGCAACTACGGTCCTTGCCGTTCTGGTAGACGCAGATAGCAGCTGACGGCTGGTCCTCACAAGCGCTGACGGCTTCGTCGAAGTCGACAAAAACAGAATCGGTGCCCACTTCCACGAGGTCGTGGTTGCGGCCGGGGCCGTAGTCGAGGACTTGTAATGCGCTCGCGGTTGCGAGTGCTATGGCGAGGCGTCGCATCGTTGGCGTACGCTTTGGCAGCCTCCGGTGCAGGGAGCTAATGTAGAGCGCAGTGCGTCGCTTCGAGGACTTGGCAACCGTTCGACACGTGCGCAAGCGTATTATTCACGGCGTGTCGTTGTTCTAACGATGCGTAACCACGAGCACGGCTCGATTTACGGCTCGGTTTGGCAAAGTTCCTACTCTAGGTAGCCCCTCTAGCCTACGGACGCCATCGCCGCGATCCTTCTACAATATCCTATATTTAAAAGCAGGACGGCTCACGCCCCGTCCGACACGTTCAGCGTCTCCAGCGAGAGCGCTTCCCTAATGCACCGGTCGCTGTCGTCCGGCGCGAATATTAAATTGCCCATGTCCAGCTCGACCTGGTAGGGGGCGTAGAAGCCCGGCGGGAAGCCCTCCTCGGTGTACCATAGAGCTACCACGGTACCAGGCTCCCAGTGGTCCGCGCCGACGCAGCACTCGACGCGACTGCCCACCTCAAACCGCAACTCATCATTTGGTGGCGGCGGCCAAGGTGCATCCTCTCCAGCCATCCACGCCGTCAGCACCTCGTGTGGTGGAAACAAGTGATCTAAAATTTCCTCGGTGACGTCCTGCGCCTCGTAGGGCAAGGCGACCATCCTCGACTGGTCCTCGAACAACAGATCGATGACCGTGTCGACGGGGGCGCAGGTCGGGTCGCCGCACAAGACCTCCTTGCAGGAGATTTTCGGGGCCTTGCCCGTCTGAGGCATCCGTTTCGCGACCCAGGTCCGCACCTTCTCCAGGTGGCGCTTCGTGTGGCTCTTGCCGTCTACGATTTTGCTGGGGTCGAAGAGGTGGGGCATCTTTGCTTTCTTTCGCCTGAGGTCGTGTCAGAGTGTTAACGGCGGCTTCGTGGTCGTGAGGTTAGTGTTGAAAAACACTGTGCTTCTCGCGCTCTCGCGCTGGTTCCTTGTTGTTGCGCCCTTTCCCGGGGCTTGTGCGGCACGCAAGCCGCGGTTTGTCGCCCTGGTTGGTTAATTAAGTGCTAGGCGCACTGAGCAGGCTCGACGCCCTCAGCGGGGCTCTGGCGGCGCTTCGGCGCACGCGCCACGGGAACGTATTGTTAGAGCTGGGAAGCACCGCAGCGCTCCTCCTCCCCCGCCCGCAGGCGTCCTACCGCGGCACCGGCAAAACGTAAAAGTACTGTATGGTACCGTATACCTACCCGTATGATGGTGCGTATTTTTCTCAGGCATAGCCTGCCTTGCCCGAAGCGCGGGGCCCTTTAGTATACGGACGACGCGTGCATAAATACCTCGAGCAAACGACGCGACGCATCGACGCCATCGACGCGACGAACGACAGAGTCAACGAAAAGACTATTTAAACGGGAGGGAGGCACAATGCGTCGTCTACGCCGCGACCTTGGCCGGCGCCTCAACCTCGACCTCGACGCCCGAGAGCTTCTCGTAGAACTCGCGGATCTTGAGGGACGCGAGCGTCTGGAAGAAGCCTGCGCGGAACGAGGGCGTCGCGATACGGCCGCGGTCTCTCTCGCGAGACGCGTCGACGACGTCGAGGCGGCGCGGCATCGCGTCGACGTCTTCATGAAGACCGCGTCGACTCGAAGCTCGTTTCCCACGCCGCGCCCGTGCCCGTGCCGTTGTCCGAGCCCGGCGAGTCGCCCATCTTGATCATCTGCTGCGTGAGCTCGCCGTAGAACTTCGTCGCCGTGTTCGAGAGGTGGGACTCGACGTAGATCTGTGTGGAAATCAACATGTGAGTCGCGGCGACGGCGTGCGGTCGTGGCGTCGCGGAAATGAAGGACTCTGGTAAAGCACGAGTTCCTGCAAATTGTCGAACTTGCCGTCCATCTCGAGCACGGTCACGTCGTTGCCCAGGAACTCGTCGGGGCCGTAGGCGAACTTGATGCCCGGGTAGGAGCAGGTCAGCTTCTTGCCGCACGGCGTCCACTCGATCGTCGAGCCCTCATCAAACAAGTAGGCGGGGTCGAAGTTCGCCTTGCCCTCCTTCTGGATGAACTTGACCTTGAGGACCTTGCCCTCCTTCTCGTCGGGGATCAAGTCCGTGGGCAGGACCTGAATCACGACGTCGGCGTCGCCGCGCTGCGGCGCGACGAACGCGTCGAAGTCGGGCTTGCGCGCCTCGATGGACTGCTGGATCGACTCGAGCGAGTGGCCGCGCTCGACCATGTCGCGCTGGATCTTCCAGGCGAACTTGACGTCATCGGTAATATCGAGGTAGAGCGAGAAGTCGAGCAGTTCGCGCACGCGCGGGTCCGCCATCGGGTGGAGGCCCTCCACAATCACAATTTGGGTGGGGGTGATCTCCTCGGGCGTGTCGAGCGTACCGTTCACGTGGTTGTAGATGGGCTTCTTGATGGCGTTGCCCGCCTTGAGCTCCTTGAGCTGCTCGTACATGAGGTCGAAGTTGTTCTCCGCCAGGTCCAGAGCCGTGCGGCCCGTGACCTTGCGGCCTCCTCTGTCGTTGAGGTGGTAGTCATCCAAGCAGATGACCGTCGTCGTGTCGCTCACGAGCGTGTTCGTCTCCCAGCCGCCGTTGTCGAAGCCGCCGCCGAGCGGGCCGACGTTCGTGCCGCCGAAGATACCGGTTAATCGGCGCATGAAGGTCGACTTGCCGCAGCCGGAGTCGGCCGCGACGCCGATGAGGACGACGCCGCCGTCCGCCGCCATGGTCATCTCGGACCGGGCGTTGGCGCGCACATTCGTGGATTTGAGGGCCGTGCGCGTCGGCACGAGGGCCTGGGCCGCGAGGGCGAGGGCGAGGATGATCTTCGCCATTTTTTTCTTGCCTGCGTGTGACGCGGGTGACGAATTGCGTCGATGGCGTGCTACTGCTAGCGTCGCTCGTGACGGCGGACGCGCGACGGCTGAGGTTTGCACGAGCGGCGGCCGAGGATTGGCCCAGGCGTGCCACGTGTCTCCCGTGCTGCTGTGGCGCGGCGACAGCGTGCGTGCGCACGGCTGTGCAGAATACGGCGGCTTTTGGGCGAGATGGGCTTTGAGAGCTGGTTGCTCGCCGTGCGGCTCGAATCAGCTGGAGATTTCTTGCAAACGCCGAAGCAGCAATTCGATGAAGGCCACCAGCTACCTCAAATCTCGCGCGATGCAGGACGCGGCGACTGCTACCGTCTATCCGTACAGCGTGTCCTTTGTGCGTGGTCAGCAGAGCCTCGAGTGCGACCCCACGCAAACGCCCAAATCCACCAGCATCAGGTCTCGCATTGCTCGCGACGTCTACGTCAACGTCAGCTGAAGGGAAAAAAGCCCCGGCGCGCGGGCCGACCGTGAGCAAAGATAACATAACTAGGTTAATTGCCAGAGCACGACCCAGTGGAGGCTCTGCTCACCTTTCTCTCAGCCGCGGCGACCGCCGCGGCGGCGGCGCCGGCGACCGGTCCCGCTTCCGAGACGTCGCCGTCGACCGCGGCCGCTTAGCAGTAGGCTTCGCGGTCTCGCTCCCCCGGGTGCCTTTCCGGCCGCGCGGCTTCTTCGGCGGCGCGGGCGCCGGCGCGGGCGTCCCGCGCTTCCGGCTGCGCGGCTTCGCGGGCGCGGGCGCGGGCGCCGGAGCAGGCGCGGGCGTGGGCACCGGAGTAGGCGGCGCAGGCGCGGGCACGGGCGCCGGAGCCGGCGCCGGCGCCGGAGCGGGCGTCGTCGGGGCCGGCGGAAACGGGTACGGCACCGGCGCGGACGCCGGCCCCGCCGCCGCGCCATCCAACGACACGACGCGCTCGTAGGGGCCGCGGATCTTCTCCGCGACCCGAGCCCGCGCCAGGGCCTGGGCCTCCTTCGGCGTCTCGCAGAAGTCACACGTCGAAGACGTGGCGCCGGCCGCGAACGACGCGAGCGAGCCGGCCCAGCGGCACACGACGCTGCAGCCGGTCGTCTTCACGACGTACGGCCGCCTGTGGCCGAGGGCCGTGCCCCGCACCAGCTTCTCGTCGACGTCGTCGTCCGTGGCCGTGGCCTCGAGCGGCGGCGGCACGTCGTCGCTGAAGTCCGTCAGCGGCCGCGTCGGCTCCTCGTCCTCGTCCGCCTCCTCGGGCGCGACGACCGGCGACCGCACGTGGACGACCACGTCGGCGGGCGCGTCCGGCACGGCCATATAGACGGCGTGCGCCGCGACGTCCGCGAAGCTGCCGCCCGCCGCGATCGCGAAGTGCAGGACGCGGTCGGGCCAGTGGCGCGCCGCCCAGGCGTGGAGGGCCCGCTCGAGGCGCCCGGCGATCGACTTGTGGGCCGTCGAGGCCAGGCGCGTGCCGCGGAGCGGAACAGGTCGACGATCCGTCGGCTCGAGGTCCTCGTCCTCCTCGAGAAACAGCCGCCAGCGCCACGACGACCGGAGCGCGACGCGCTGTACCTCATCCTCCCACCAAGCGTCGCCCGCGAGGCCCACGTAGACGGGGAGCGTCGTCTGCCCGAACACGCGCCGCAGCTCCGCCTTGCACGCATCTAGCAACGTCCGGTACTCGGACTCCAGCTGCCGCGGCGACGCATGCGTCGTCGCCGCGTCCACTAACGAAGCCAACCGCCGCGCGCCCTTCGCCGTCTTGCGCAAAGTCTGGCACATCGCGCCGAAGGCGCGCTCGGCCGCCGCACCCCGCACGCCCCGCGCGACGAGAGAATCGTACTTCTCCTTCGCCCTCATCCCTTCCGCGAGCAGTCTCTCGACCCGTCGTCTCCTACAAACAGCTTGGGTCCGACCCCTCGCAGCCGCCGCGGCCGCGCGCGCCCCCAGCAACTCCGAGTCCTCCTCGCCCAGGCCCCGCGCCTCCAACTCCCTAACTAACGCGTCGGCCGCGGCCGCGGTCGCGCGGCGTTCCCTGTAAACCCGCGTCTGCCGCGGCACGGCCTCCGCCGTCGCAATGGCCAGCGTCGCGCTCGCGGCGGCCAGCGCAGCATCGTCGCCGCCCTCAACGGCGGCCGCGTGGCGCGCCTTGGCCACCGCGAGACGCGCGTCCGCGGCGTCTTCGCGCTTTCTACGGCCCCGCGTCGTCCGCGGCACGGCCTCCTCCTCCGCCGCGGCGAGGGCCGCGCGCGCGGCCGCCTTCTCCTCCTCGTCGTCGCCCGCCTCGGCGACGTCGCGGCGCCTCCTCGCCGCCTCGGCGCGCGCCAGGGCGTCGGCGCGCCGCCGCTGGTGGTCCGACAGCGCGTCCCGCCGCGCGTTGGCCAGCTCGCGTTGCACGGCGAGGGATCGCACGAGTCCCGCCGCTGAGTTATCGTCCCGCAGCTCCTCGAGGAGCGCCTCGAGCACCGGGATCCGCGTCGTGGCGTCGCGCCGCCGCCGCTGCTCGGGAGACAGCACGGCGTCCTCCGCCGCGGCGACGTCCTCGCGCGCCGCCTCGAGCTGGCGGCTTCGAGCAAGAGCCTCGCGCCGCCCATCGCGCGTCTCGCGATCCGGAGGCTCGGCCGCCACGAGCACATCTAACACGGCCGCCGCCGCGACCACCCTGTCTTTCCGTTTCGCCCGGCGCCGCTTCGTCGCCGCAGTCGCCATCACGGAAGGCAGTGCCGCGTGTGCCTCCTCCGCGGCGTCTCGCGCCGCCGGCAACGCCTTCGCCGCAGCTCGGCGACCAGCCCGTGCAGCCGTACAGCGACCCGAACCGGCCGCGTCGGCTTCTAATCGCGAAACCTCCGCGGCAGCACTCGCGTGCGCCGTCTTACGCCGGTGGGTCTTCGCCGCTGCCTCGCCCCTGGGCGCGGCCGCGTGGAGCGCGCGCTCCTTCGCGAACGCGGCGTCCACCGACTCCATGCCTCCGCTTCTCAACTCAGCGACGGCGGCAGCGCCTCCGCGGGCCCAGGCCTCGTCGTGAGCCTGCCTGACGACGGCGAGCCGGTCCCTCGCCTCATGCCACTTCGCGGTCCGCTCCCGGGCAGACAAGGCATACTTACGAGTATGATGTCGTGGGCCTTTTTCAATGCCGATGGGCATTTCTCTTAATAGATGGCTGTAATCGCCGGGTTGAGGAGCAGCTTTTCTGGCGGGACGCCGATCGCTCGTCAAGCCATCGCCGCGGCCGCGGCCGCGTCCCCGTCCGCCGCGTCCGCCGCGTCCGCCGCGATCACCGCGACCACCGCCGCGTCCACGCGGTGCGCGGGCGCGCGTCATGAGCAGCACCAGCACCACAAACCAAATCCCAGCCTTTGCCGCCCAATTCAAACCCCAGCGCTTGCGCCGCAGCAATGCAGCGTTTGCAGACGATAACTGCGCAACGTCGAAAGTCTTCCGTGCAGTAACGGTTGCCGTGGCCAGCGACGCGGCCGACACAGCCTGTGGCGCGCAGGGAGGCCCAGTCGCCTCGAGACTAGAGCGTTTATCCATCTTAGGAGTTATTTCGGTGAATTGATTGCGACCTGGGCGGCGGCCCGGCCGCCGCCGCGGCGTCGTAGGACGCCAGCAGCACCCCAAAACGCTGCTCTGCACCAAACAGCAACCCGCAAACGACTAAAGTTCGGGCTTGGGAGGACAAGTGAGACTCGGCATCGAGTTTTTGGGACTCCACGCGCAGCACCGCAGCGCGTTGCCTCACGTGAGTGCACGACGGAGCACTCTAAACGCCGTGGGTCGCCTGACGGGGCTGCCGGTAGCTCGTGGAGCCGCCAGGGGCAGCCCATGCCCCCGAGACATCATCGACGCCCCGCGATCGGCGAGACTTCCCGCGCGCGACAGTAAGCGACGAAGTCGAGGCCACTTGAATGTAGCTGATTACGTTGCCGCCGAGTCCCGCGCGTCGACGGCTCAGGTTCAGCGGCGTCGACGGGTTGCGGGCCGGTTCGCATAGACCGGGCTTCTCGCGGGCTAGCTGGACACGCTCCACGGGCCTGGGCCACCGCTGGACGTGCCGTTGGCAGTCTTGCATGAGCTGGGCATCTCCGGGCTCGTCGCGTCGCTTCGCGGGCCTGCCGGTGGCGAATGTTATTGTGTGAAAATGGGGGGACGCTCCTCTAGGGGGACGCCGCATCGGTAACTTTAGATCGCCCGACCCCACGCGCGCGCCCAAAACCGCTAGCATCAGGTCTCGGATTGCTCGGGACTCTAGCTCGGGACGCCTACGTCGACGCGCTCCCTCGTAATTCAGGAAATTTTGACACACCGCGCGAGAGGCCAAATGGACGGGGAAGTTCCCCAGGGTCTTTCGAGTAGGCGTCACCGCCCGAGACAACCGAGCGGCACGAAACTGCAGGGTAAGCGTGGTCTTCACGCGCCCCGCGGACGCCCCAACTAGAGAAGAAACTAGAGCTCAAGAGAAATTACCCCCCCACTCGCACAAACAACAACCCCACCAGAGAGCACGCGGCGCGCCGGCGACGATAACGCACAAGCGCGGCCCGCGGTCAGCCGCCGCACGCAAGGAGCATGAGATGGCGGCCCGAGGACCCGCGCTGAGTCTTCCGAAACGTCCAGGACCTTCACGTACCGGTCGCACCCCAGTATCAACTGGGAACCGGCAAAGCCGAGGCACCGCACCACACTCGGATCCTGAGCTAAAGCCACCATTTGTAGATCCCCGCCATTGTACGAAAACACAGAGACGGCGTGGCCCTCGGCCGCGACGGCGACGCAATTTTTGGTACATGCGAGGGCCGTCACGGTCGATGGAGTAGAGGCCGACGCCAGTACTTTCAAGTCGTAGGACGGCAGGCGCCACTCGTCAGCACTTTTTCCGTTGTTGACCCAGCCCACGACATGCAGAGAAGCCCCGGCGGCGACCGCGATCGCATCGTTAAATTCTGAGGCGCACCGCGGCTCTCCATCAACATCGCACGCCCCGAGAGCAATACAAGCCAGCCGGCCGTTCGTTCCTCTTAGCTCGCAGACGGCTAGCGCATCCTTCGTAATGATGGAGACGCCCGGCGCCCCCTCGGGGCCCCGGCTTCGACAGACCGCGATCACGGCGCCTGACAGCTCTACTGAACAAACTTCCGCGAACGCCCCGTCGTAGAAGCGTACTGAAGGACCACCAGCCGCGGCAAGGTAGTCTCCCATTGATGCTACAGATGAAGCGGCGCCGACGGCCGTCGCTAGGACCTCAGTCCTCAGGCTCGCGCGGCTCAGGCGGCCCCGCCCATCTCTCCTGACGAAGTCTTTGCCAATAGAAACGTAGTCTCCGGTGCCCAATTGACACCCATCGTGATAGTTCACGACGGCCCCGTCGCCCGTCTGAACGATGTTGTCTGAGACAAAGGTCAAAACGTTTTTGACAAACATGCGTTTCCCGTCCACGAGGACGCCGTCCGGCAATAGTACAGCCAGCGTCCCGTCCTTCAGTATTCTAACGTCCGACGCCGGGTCCGTCAACGCCACCTGCTCCACGGTGTCTAGTGTGTCGAGCGTTAAAATAACAGCGTCGCGACCGTACGCCACGGCCACCTTCGAACCTCGCAGGTGGAGCGCATATATTTCATGAGGTAACCTTTTTGAGGCGAGTTTCCGGCCCGCGGCGTCGAGGGCCACGAGCTCGTCGCGGCCCGCGGCAACGATGCGACCCCCATCTATCGACGCGCAGCAGAAGCGGTTCACGACGTAGGTGCCGTGGAACTCAACACAATCTCCATTCACGTCACAGGTGCGGAGGCCGTCGGTGCCCACGTGCACGATGCGACTTCCGTCGAAGCCGAGCGCGAGCGTGCCATGAGATAGTATGGAAGCGATCCTGCCCGACTTAACGAAGTTGTCGCCTTTGAGCACGACAGCAACGTCGCCAGCAACCACGAGCGTCGCATCTTTTAGTTTAGTGGCGAAGAGCTCGTGCCGCGGCACCGTGAGATCATACACTCCATCGTCCACTAAACGATCGTGGCGACTCCACAACATACCACCACCGACACACACGACCCTCTCATGAACGAGGCACGCGTCGCCCACGTCTCCGCTCGCATCCAGCACGTTCGTCGCCGTCGACGCCGCGTCGCCCGAGAACTTGACGAGAGCAGCGCCGGCGGGACCGGCGCCGAGGCAGCGATCGCCCAGACGCGCGGCGCAGTCAAAGACTTTCGACGTCACGACGCGATTCGCCAGACCGTGCTCATCAAACCGCAACGCCTCCGTGCCCTGTTCGGAGCACACTATTACAGCGTCCCCCAGAGGTAGCACGAGGTACGGCACCACCCGGTGCGGCTCGTCGATCGTCACTACCCCAAAACTTTCGCCGTTGGATGAACGGAAGAGTCTACACTCGTAAGCCGCGACGCACGCCACGGCCGCGCCCTGGCGCACACTACAAACGCAAGCCCCGGGTGACACGTGGTCGACGCGCCAGGGGCCCTCCTCGACCACCAATCCTTTGGGGGTGTCGAAGCACACCACAGTTGTGGTCTCTATCGCCTCCTGCGAAACAAGGGCGAGGCACATGCGCTGGTTTTCGAGACACGTGGCGCTCGTGACGAACCCCTCGAAGGGCGCGTCGACGGGCTTCGCCGTCTTGCCCACGCATTCGACGGCCGCGAATTTTCCAGCCGACCACGCGAAGATAAGGGCCGTACTTTTCGTACCTTCGTCGTTCACTAACGGCGCGACAACAATGGCGGGGCTCCTCACACCACTTATGCCGAAGCCGCTCCGCGCGATAATCGACAGAGTTGATCCCTCGACGACGAGCGCCGTCCATCGCAACGATCCTCGATTCTCTTCGTCGACGACGACGACGGCGTCCCGATCGTGTGCGCACGTCACGGCCAGGGCCACGACGCGCTCGTGGGAGTCGTCGGAGGTTGCAATTAACTCGAGCTTTTGGTCGACCTCCGCCCAGACCTCGACGCGACCGCCCTTGGCCACGGCGACTTCGGGCCGCCACTTCGCGCGCCACGCCGGGTCCATGGTGCTCACCGAGAAGCATTGCCTTTCCGAACACGCGGCGACGGCGTGGACGCGGCGCGGGGGCTGCATGGTTGTGGGGTGCAGTTTACCAGGCGGCATTGCGGTCACTGGTCTACGGCTGCCCGACGCATCAGAAGCGGTGCGGCAGCCGCATAAATCGACGAATGGCTGCCTCTGGACCGACGTTCGACGCGGCGGTTGGCGCACGCCGTTTAACTAGCATCATCGATACTAGCCTTTGACAAGAACAAGCTTTTGACACACGGCCGCGTACGCCGCCGACGCGACGACCGGTTATCAAGAGGCTGCCCCAGAGCCGGACCCGCCCCGCGAAGACGCTCTGGGGACCCGCGCTTGGTGCCGCGCTCAGTAAGCCGGTACCCAAGAGCCTGGAACCATGCCGTGCTGCCTCTGCTTCTCCGACGCGCCCCTGAATGAAAATGAGTTGAAAGGGCAGCGGGCGGTCGCCATCGGCCGCTACGTGGCCAACGTGAACACGTTCCAGACGAAGATGATCGACGTTCCCTGCTCTTGTGCGACGTTACCGTGCTGTTTGATCTCGACGTGCCCCTACGTCTCGCTGTGCGTCCAAATAGACATGCGGCACCGTGTGCTCAATCATGTCAGTCCGGGCTCGGGCTGGACGCACTACCAGTGCTGCCAGGGCCACTGCCCCGTGTGCTGCTTCAAGCCGTCTGATACACCACATACCTTCCCGCGCACGTGCATGTGCCTCGAGGCCTTCTGCTGCACTGGTCTGGCGGCGTCGGCGAACCGCTTCGTGATCATGGACAAGTACGGGCTGATGCCAGACCCGTGCGACAACAGTCTCATCCGGATGAACAACTTCCTGCTACTCGCGCGCTGTATCTGCGACATCGCGGCGATATTCGATAAGAATCTGCGACACGCGGCCCAAATCTTGGATTGTCTTTCCGAGGTCCTCTTCTGGTCGACGCTCGGCTGCATGACGGCGCAGACCTACGCCGAGGTCCAGTTCCGCGAGCAGGCGGCGAGCGCGGTCGTCTACCAGCCCATGCCCGCCGATAGCGATTATGGGTCCTACGAGGCGCCCAAGGCGCCGGGCGCCCCCGCTTCCACGGAGTAATGGCCCCCTTTTTGTGAATCACATCACAAAGCTAGTTAGTCCGCCTCGCGGAGGTCGCGCAGCGTGAACATGCGCCCCATGAAGGACGTGTCCTGAGCTTTTAAACGGGCGTAGGCCCGCAATCCACCTTCCCAGTGCTCGTGGGTCAGGCCGCGCGGGCAGTGGACGCCCATGACTCCTAGATGCGCCGCGTCGCCGAGGTTCTCGGTGTAGTCGTCGAAAAAGATCATGTCACAATAAGCGACGCCCGACGCCTCCCGGATCCGCTGCAGGTGCTTCCGCTTGTTGCCCTCGTAGATCTCTCTGTAAGAAAATAACGTCGCGATGGACTGGCCGTGGTCGAGCTTAAAGTCGGCCAGGAGCTTCTCCGCCCAGTCCGTAGCGGTCGCGCGCGATGCCACGGCCGCTTGCGTCTTTTCCCAGCCTTCGCCCGCCAGGTCGTGCAGTGCGTCTAGCGCTCCAGCCGTCAGCTTGATGTCTTTGTTTGCTTTGGGTTTCTTGCCTCGCATTTGATACAACTCCGGTTGCCAGAGCGTGTTATCGAGGTCGAACACTATGAGTTTCGGCCGGGCGGCGCCTTTTGGTAATTCCGCGCGCTTCGGTGGTTCTTTGTTTTTCGCCTTTCGCTTTTTCGCATGGAGTGCTGTCGCAGAGGCGCGTCGCAGACCACTGCTCCTCAGGAGAGCAGAGGCATGAGTGAGGAGCATACAGGCAACTACTCGCATCACTGTCCAAGCGATCCGTGCGCATACGTTGTGCACACGACGAGCTATTTTGGCCACCAGACGAAGTATCGCACGACAGCGTCGTTGCGGTCTGCAGGTTTAGCTAGCGTCGTGTAAGACACTAGCAAATTTGTGTGGCCAACTGATGGAGCCGTAAATCCACGCAAGGGCTGCCCCACGGACGAACAACGACGACAGCCGACGCCCGGACGCCCCGCGACGCCGCCGCCGAGCGATGAGCCTCGGCAGCTTACCAAGAGACGCCCTCGACGCCCTGGAGACCATCGCCTCGAACCTGCAGAGGGAGCCGCACAATGCAAAGTTCCGCACGCTACGATTAAGTAATGCGGCGGTGCAGCGTCGATTAGGGTCCCACGCCGCGCGCGCGGCGCTCGCGGGTTTGGGCTTTGTTAAAAGAGACGACGCGATGACTCTGGAGACGATCGACATGCGTGCCGTGGAGCGCACGCTCGCCGCCGTAAAGGCGGCCAAAAATACTGAAGGTATCACTTGGAACGTCGTCGACACGACGATGCCGTCGCCGCCACCAAAACAAGCTTGGGGTACACAACGATCGCCGTCCCCGAAAAAGCCGCCAAAGCCACGCGCACCCTTGGATGCTGAAAGAAATAGGGTCACGCGGCCCAATACAAGCTGGGACGACGTCGTCGGTCTCGGTCAGGTGAAGACGGAGCTCCAGCAAATAGCGAGAGAAATGCAAGGAGGCCCGCGCTGGGAGGACCGCTTGATACTGTTATATGGCCCGCCGGGCTGCGGCAAGGGTTTGCTGGCGGCGTGTCTGGCCACGGAGTGGGGCCGCGGCGATTTGGTGACCGTGCACGGGGCCGAGCTACGAAGCGAGTTTTCCAGAAGCAAATCAGAAGCCAAGCGCTTCTACGACCGAGCGAGGTCGTTGGCGCCTTGCGTGTTGTTAGTAAGGGGTCTGGAGCTGAACGACTGCGGCGACGCGTTGATGGACCTGAAGGGTCCGGATGACCGCGTGATTGTTATTGTGACATGCTCCGTGCTCCCTACGACGCCATCGCGGCGGCGCCGCGCGTTACGATCGCGAGCCACTGAAGGGTTAGCGGCCTTCGACCAGCTGCTGAACGTGCCGATGCCTTCTTCTTTTGAACGATCAAGGTTGGTCGCGAGTTGTCTATCAAGGTCGTCGGGCTCTGATAGTCCGGCGCCGCCATACGATATAGATGTGGACGACCTCGCGGGGCAGATGCTCGGGTTTGCACCCAGGGCTGTAGTAAGGGTGGTGGACGCGGCGCGTCGAAATGCGAGTCGTCGGAAGCCGCGGGCTTCTGTCCTGGAGTCCGATTTTGACATGGTATTGGACGCCGTGCCCTCCCTGGACACGCTCGCGCCGAACCGCGAGGCGTCGGACGGTTTGGTTTGTGACTGGGGCGACGCGTTGGCGTGGCGCGCGATCACGCCGGCGGCCGAGCGAGCTTTGCGGGCGGCCGACGGCGACGAGTCGGAGGCCACGCCTGTCAAGCGGGGTATTCGGTGACGGTAATGAATATGTTTGTATAGCGGCGATGGCGTGTTAGGGGGAGCTGGCGTCGCCGCGTCGTTGCACCGCGAAGCACAAGAAACTAGTTTTCGCCCCCTAGTAAGTGTCGTATTGATATCTTTGGACCATTATCGAACTCAACTACGCTCAAACAACGTAGTCGCGTCCCGTCGCATGCAACAAAACGGGTTTCTCACGCTTAGCCGCCGCGACCTCACAGACACCGCCAGACACCGCCAGACCAAAATGCTCCTCACAAACTGCGCCGCCTGCGCCGCCCCACTGGCCCTCAACGCGCCGCGATGCGTGCGCTGTCGCACAAGATACTGCAATTCCACTTGCCAACATGACCACTGGCGCCGCGGCCACAAGCAGATCTGCAAGAAAATACACCGCGGCGGCAACGCGGAACAATACCACGCGAACAAAAAATACAAGGAGGCCCTCGCCGTCGTGGTCGAGGCGTGCGCCGGGGACGCGAAGGGGCAGACTTGCTACATCTGTCTCGAGGCCGTCCATCCGAGCACGGGAGAAGGCCTCGTGCGCGGATGTGGGTGCCAGGGAGACCAGGGCTTCGCGCATGTGTCGTGTCTGGTGCGGCAGGATGAGGTTTCGCTCGAGGACAGCAAGCGCCAAGACCCAATAGTAGGCCTAGTTGCCAAGCACAAAACCGAGGAAAGCCTGGCCGAGGGCGTTTTGGATACGCTTGAAGATCGTTACAAATCAGGGTTATCATGTAAACTGTGCAAGAAACAGCACAACGCCATCATACTGCATGCACTCGGATGGGGACATTGGCAAAGGTGCGCAAGTAAGGCAGAGCAGCCTTTGACTGAAGACTATACTCAAATTTCAGCGGCGCTTACGTATCTCGGGGTGTGCTTAGCCGAATCGGGTCGGATGACGGAAGCAATGAAGGTGGGCGAAGCATACCAAGCCTGGGCCGTTAAGACCACGCGAGCAAGCAGAACGGCCGCAGAAGTAATTGCAAATTTAACATAAAATAGAGAGACTCTTCTTACGCCACCGCTACCCCGACCCCCGCCGCCGCGTCGTCGCACGGCGGGTCCGGCGCGCCCGGCGGCGCCTTAAATGGATCTAACGTAGCGCAGCCCGCGAGCTCGTCCACGAGCAAGGAACACTGCTCGTAGCCGACCCTCATCAAAAAGGACGAGTTCCGTCCATAGCTCTTCATGCCCAATATATAAAACCGCGGCTCGGGGTTGCGCAGCGTGGCAGCGCCGGGCGCCGCCTGCTTGAGGCAGTCGCCGCCGCCGCCGCCCGCCGCCGCCGCGAGGAGCGTCGCCGCGAGCTTCATCGGGCCGTCACTCGCGTAACACTGGTGCACGTGCAGCTCGCGATACAGGTCCGCATTCGGCCGATAACCCGTCAAGGAGACGAGGTGGTCCACTTCTACAATTGTGGAGTCCGTGAGCGTCAGCTTGAGGGCGTTCCGCACGACGTCGATTCTCTGAATGCGGGCGCCTCGCACACATTCTAATGAGCCGCTCGTGCCTAAACTCGCCAGGCCGTTGCCGTAGGCCGCTAACGCGTCTCTTTGAGGCAAGGGGTCGCCCTCGACGCGCTGGTAGGGCGCTTCGCTCTTGGCCTTGCGCACGAGCCAGACGGTCTCCACGTTTTCGTCCGCGAGCTTCCTTATTGTGGTAATGGCCGAGAAGCCGCCACCTAACACAGCGACGCGCTTGCCCTTGAAGGAACCAGGAGATGGAATGACGCGCGACACCAAACCAAGAGCCTCCGCCTTCGCCTCGCCCGGCGCACTCAACCCACCAGAACCGGATCTTTGCGCCGTTTCGGGTGCGTATGTGCCGCTGCAGTCGACGACCGCCATCGCCTCCTCCCAGGCCTCGTCGTCATTCCGTCGCAGGAGCGCGCGGAAGGGAAGCGTCTCCCTACGTGAATCTCCGACGGCACCGATGCCCTCCTTCTTCAGGAGGTGGCCTCGAGCTAACCCGACCACACTACAATGTTCTTGAATCGTACAGCGGCCCGTCGCTTCCAAATACGAGGCGAGAGGTAATAAAACGTCCCTGCGAAACTCGTGGCCCGTCAAAAAAGCGTCTTCAGAGGGCACGCAGCGCGGCGGCGCGCCCTCCAGACCCGTCTCCAGCGCTTTTCTACAATCGTCGGGCAGGTTCAAGGCCATCGCGGAGAAGAGCGTCACGTGGCCCCACTGCTCGACGTTCGCGCCGATAGAGCCCTTCTCCCAGATCACGACTCTATGACCAGCTTTTACAAGGCGGAAGGCGGCATACAAGCCGATGGGGCCGGCGCCGATCACGGCTACTCTGTCGGTTGCGGCCATTCTCCGCCGTCTAATGCTGGTGGCTGTGAGGCAGTGCTTGTGTTGCGGCGTCTGGCGTCTGCCAGACGCTGAAATTGGGCGCAGAGCTCGAGAGTGGTCAGATGACGACTTGTGTACTGGTAATACGGCCCAGCGATGCGTATCGATGCCGCCACGCGCTCGCGGCCGCACCCAGCCTGTTTGCTAGTGTCTTACAGGCCGCTAGCATAGGTGTATCTTACATTTCTTAGATCTCAATGTCACCATCTATCACGTTGTTTTCAACTACGTGGTCGGGTGAGCGAGGATCGTAGTCCGGTTTCATCGTGACGCGTGGCGGCGACTCGAGCAACGCAGTCATCCGCTGAACGAACCTCTCCTGCGCCGCGAAGGCGTCGACATGCTGAGAGAATGGCGGCAGCTGGTGCGGGGAGAAGTCTAAGAAGAATACGTCCGAGGGGATGACCTCGTACATGTTTTCCGACGATGGGTCGAACATGTGTATAATTTGTCTGGTCACCTTGTTCCGTTCCTCACGTGTGCAGATTTTTCGGATTGCGAACTCTGCGGAGAAGGTGAAAGCTTCGATCGCTTGCCTCGTGGTGGCGAATCTAGTCTGCGCGCGGGGCGTCTCGACGACGTAGCATGGATCGCCGCCCGTCCGCCGCTCCCGGAAGATACGCACGCAGGTCCTTCTTCCTTGATGGGGTTGCGGGGTGTTCAGTGAACCCAAAATATAGACTCCGAAGATCGCGTCGGGCCGCAGCTGATCCATCTCCCTTGCTTGGCGCAGGATCTCGCCGCCCAGCGCTTGCGTGAAGGCGCAGGCCGAGCTGTCGCGCTGCTTGCGCTTGGGTCGGCTCATCGTCACGTTGTTTGGGCAGCGTTTGCACTGACGCGTCGATATCACAGAGAGCATACGGGTTTTCTGCGGATCGCCGCCCCAAGACGCCATCGCCGCGGAGAACTATGGATTCGACGAATTTAGTGGGGGGGTCGAGGATGGTCTCCCCGCCGCGCTTCTTGCGGGGCGGGGGTGGGGGGCTAAAAACAATCAGACGGAGTTCACCTGGCGCAGCAGGTCCTGGAACCAGTCGACCCGCACGTCGAAGGCCTTGCCGCCCTTGATGCGCGGGAACTCGATGGCCCGCAGCGAATCACCTCGTTCTTCGTCCTGACCAATACAACCGGAGTTGCCCTTGATGCCGCACTCGACGGCGAGCGTCGCGCAGGCGTTGATCAGGGCCCGGTCGGCCACGTTCGCCGGGGCCGCTCTCGCCATGTAGCCCGACTTCTGGACCAACACTTTCTCCGCACCGAGCTTCTCCGCAAATTGTTTGGCAAAATAAGCCCCAGGTTGGACTTTATCGAGCTTCACGTGACCGAACGCGTCCCTAGGTACGGATTCGCCCCGCGCTTCGAGCTGCGCGACGATATCATGCACGCCCGCACCTTCCGACAAAAAGATGTTCACGCAGTCGTGCGTGTCCATGACCCTCTTGAGTCGACGAGCCTCGGCGTCGACGTCGATGCGCACTTCCGGCACGTAGACGGCATGGAGGCATTTTCTTTGTTTGGTGAGATTCAACCCAGGTAATAGAGGTAAGCCGTGCAACGAGTCCATGTAGGCCTTCGCCGTCGCCGCCGTCAAGTAGCCACAGTCCCGCCCCATGCACTCGTGGATGATCAACATGCGCGGGTTCGCGGACTGCTCGTTCACGACGTTCGCGAAGAACTTCGCGCCCTCCTCGGCCGCCGTCCACGCGCCGAGAGACTGCTTGATGGGCACGACGTCGTTGTCGATCGTCTTCGGCATGCCGACGACCGTCACGGGGTAGTTGTGGCCCTCGAGGTACTCGGCGATCTTGGCCGCCTGCGTGTTCGTGTCGTCGCCGCCGATGGTGTGGAGGATCGTGACCTGGTCCATCATCAGCTGCTCGGCCGCGCGGTGTAAGGGGTTTTCTCCCTCCACCACCAGGCCGCGCTTGACGCAATCTTCGACATTGGTCAGTTTCACTCTAGAGTTGCCGATCGGGCTTCCTCCGTGGAGTTGTAATACTGACGCGTTTTCTCGGACGGCGTCCGTGACCTTGACGTGCTCACCCGACAGCAACCCTTTGTAGCCCGAGATGTAGCAAATAATCTCGATGGAGGGGTTTCTAGCTGTGTACTTCTCGATCAGAAAGCCGACCGAGGACGAGAGGCACGGCGCGAGGCCGCCGGCCGTGAGGATGGCGACTTTCGCCTACGGAATGCATAGTTTTGGTTCGTTTCGCGCGCGAGGGGGTGTGGGGTAGCGTGTGTGTGGTAGGTGTGCGGCGCGTCCGCGGCGGCGGCGTGGGCGGGCCGCGATGGCGCAGATCTAACCGCGCATCTGCCGGCCTTCCGCCGTGCGCACAACAAGTGAATGCGCCGTCCGTCGCACGCGCTCACGGCTGCCAGCAGCGCTGGAACGTGCAACGGGGCCGCGCGAGCTTTGCCACTGACGCGCAGCGGCCGCGGTTAGGCATGATTTCCGCCGTCTCCTTAGTATCGCTCGACATTCGGCCGCGGCAGCACGAAGCAACTGGCCGCGAAGCCAGCGCTGCGCGAGGGAGCTATAGAAGGGTTTCTTACCTGTTTCGGTGGTTTGTGATACTCAGTCATGGTGCCCTCGACCTGTTTGCAGGGTCTGCGGCAAAGCAAGGAAGATCAAATCGGGTTCTTTTTTCGGACGCTTAACACGTCTGAATTCGACTGCTCGAATGCTCTTCGACCGCAGACTCGCGTCAAGGGTACAGGCCGCGCTTCGAAGAAAAAAAAGAGCTGCAAAACGGGTTTCTCACGCAATTTTGGCCTGAAAGTTGCCAGTTAGCAAGTTCCAGGCAGCCAGAAGCTAGGATAAGCATCCCAGGCCTGCCACCTAAGCGCTGCAGAAAGATAGAGAAAGGCGAAAGACCGGAGGGCTGTCAACCCAGACAGCACTAAAAGAGAGTATGGTGCGAGTCACCTTCCACAAGCTGCAAACGACAAAGAGCCCCCCGGGCCGCTGCTCCCACTCGGCCACAGCCGTAGACAACGGCGTACTAATACTAGGAGGCGGCCGCGCGAACGACGGCTCGTCGAACGGCCAGCCCGCGTTCGTCCACTTTTGCGACGCCTGGTTCCTGGACCCGCAGGACGCGCAGTGGCGCGAACTGACGATCGAGAGCCCATTTACCGCGCGGCGGGGCCACTCCGCCTTGCTGCACGAGCGACAACTGATAGTCTTCGGCGGCGTCGCCGACAGCGGCGCGGGCGGCCCCGTGGAGCGATTGATAGAGGGCGACCAGCAGCTCGTTGTTTTTGATGTGGACCGAGACGTGACACGGCTCTCGCGCACAATGATGGAAACGACGGGCGCGCCGCCGCGGCCGCGACGGGCCCACGCCGCCTGGCTCTCGGGCCATACGATGCTCGTGTACGGGGGCTTCATGCAGACGCTCCAGGAAATACAGGAGGGCGTGCTCGACGCCATCGACGCGGCGTCGGCGCTCCACGCCTTGGACCTGGCGACGTGGACGTGGTCGCGCGTCGACGCGCGGCCGCCGATGCGACCGCCCGCGGCCGTGGGAGGCCGAGACGCGTCGGAGGAGTGGGCGCGCCGAGCCTCGCGCGGCGTCGCCCTCGCGGGGTGCTGCTCCCTCAGAGGTATTTCTGTGCTTGTTGGTGGTGTTAGTTCTACGGTCGGAGTCGGCGGCGGCGTGCTCGGCTATTCCGCGGGGCAGTGGACCAATTTTAGGGACGCCGGGTCGAGGCGCCACCTCGTCCCTGTCGACGGAGAGGCTTGGACGCCGCGCTGCTCGCCGGCCTGTGCGGCGTACGGTGACCGCTTCGTGGTGCTCTTCGGCGGGTCGGCGGTGCCGCAGGACATTAACGACGCCGCCCGGGACCTGAACGACGTTGTTGTGTTCGACGTCGCCGCCCCGCGGGCACCGGCCTGGCGGGCCGCGAACAAGGAATCCCTTCAGGTGACCGGCATTGGCGGGCATCCAGAGGGCCTGCTAACGATCGAGCGCTGCAACGCCACGGGCGCGGTGGTGGAGACGTTGCATACATTTGAACTGCTAACGGTCGCGCGGGCCACGTTTGATCAACTGAGCGAGACCGGAATGACGACTGCCGGCTGGCTCGAGCTGCGTCACGGGCCGGATGTCCTGAAGACGACGGAGTGGCGCGTCCGGACGCCTACGCCATTCGAACGGAACGCCGCGTCGCTGACATCTATCAAAACTGTGGGCGGCGAGGAGGCGCTTGTGTTGTTTGGTGGAGGCGTCTATCCGGACAGGTATTACGACGACACGCACATTTTACATTTGGAGGACTTGCCGGCCGCGTCGGCAGCGCCGGCGCGACCCCCGCCGCCGTTGGCGAATCTGTGTCAGACCGCTGTTGCTGGGGAAATTACTGACGACAACGTGTTCGAAATGCTGATGTTCGCCGACGACCGCCAGTTGGCCGACCTGCGCACGGCTTGTTTGAAACATGTCCAGCTGCGCTGGAGTTCGAACCTTCGTCACTGGTGGCACAATGCGCACAACGCGTCGCCCTTCCCTGGCAAGCGACCAGCAGGCGTACCAGGCGCCGACGCCGCGTTGCAGGCCCCGTCCCTCAAAAGCGACGTCGAACGCGCGCTCCGGGGCATCTGATGTTTGTGTGTTCAAGTTCCTAATTTTACATGTATTTAAGATAGATTCGAAAGCAGCGTCGCGACCCCATAACTAGCCGCGTCGACGCCGCCGCGGAGGCGCTCGAGCATGCCGTCGGGCCGCAGGTGGTCCGCGGCCAGATCGTCGACGACCTTCCGGATCGACACGCCCAGGTCGTCGCGCGACCGCCAGGCCTCGACCGTCGCCGCGCAGGCCTCGAAGCGCGGCCCAAGCTTCGCCCGCACGACGGCACACACCGCGTCGTCATCAAATATTTCCAGCAGCGCGGCGGCCTGGTCCGCCGGCACGAACGGTTTGGCCCGCGTCTCCGCGTCGAAGGCCGCGTTGTCCGCGAGGACATCATTAATGAAATGCTCCTCCGGCTCGACGATCTCGCGCTCCGCCGGCGTCAGCCAGACGTCGCGCCAGGCCAGGCCATACAACGCGAGCTGCCCGCGCGACGCCTCCTCGTACCCCGCGTCCCATTTCCTATGAATCTTCGACGGTAATACAGGAGGCATGCGGTAGAAGGCCGGCGGCGCGAGGCACTTGATTGGTAAGTTCGCCTTCCGCGCGACGCGCTGCATGAGCTTGTCGATCGGGACGACGTCGCAGTCCCGCCTTCTACAATGGAATAAGGACTTGGGGAAGCCGTCTCTGATATATGCGAGGATCTTCTGATAGAGTACCAAAGAGGGCCGGTAGGCGTAGGTGCCCCAGAGCTCATGATTCTGTCCGTCCGTCGTTAGTTCAGGGGCGTCGCTCAATCCTCGCGGGATGCGTTGTAGCGTGTCCGCGTGTGCGAGATGGCCCAGATAGAGTAAATCACAGGCGTCGTCCAAAACTTTCAGGACGCTTTGCGAAGCGCCCTCCAATAATGGTCTGACGTTGTCCTCGACGATTAAGGCATCTCGTCGTTCTTGGACCACGCGCATCGCCCGCAGATTCGCCAGCAAGCACCCGAGCACCCTCCGATTCGCCGGTCGCGCCAGCCCCGCGCAGCGCCCGAACTCCTCCCGTTGCGCGTCGTCGAGCCGCAGATCATCCAACACGTCGCCACAATGCTGCTCCGTGCGCTTGCGCGTGCGGCAGGCCTCGCCGGGCACGGCCTCGACGAATTCCAGAATGAAGCCCGCGACCGGCCCCGGTGTTCCATCCCCAAAAGCCTTGCGCGAGATCGCCGCGTCCCAGACGGTCGGTCGTCTTTCAAACGCCGCGAGTAAGGCGTGCTTCCGCGGGCCGCCGCTCGTGATGGCGACGAGGCGCACCTCCCGTGTTGTAGGTGGTGACGGCGGCGGCGTCGGGGGCTCGTCAGCCGCAGCCGGCGCGCCCGTGCCGTCGTCGGCGTCCGGCGCCGACGGCGCGCCCACGCTTTGCGAGGTAAAGTCGACCGCCTCAACGCTAGGACAGGTGCCGAGCAGAGCGGGCCTCTTCCACCGCCTTCGGCGAGACTGGCGGTCCAGCAGCGCCGAGGCGAACCGCGCGAACCGCCCGCCGCGCGCGACCACGCGCCGTAGGCCCTCGTTCAGCTCCGCATGACTCTCAAGAGTGGGAGGCAGGTACGGCAGCGTCGGCAGCTTCATCAATGCGAGCTTGCGGTTCAGCGCCGCCAGATCGGCTTTGAAGTCCAAGTCGTGCCCCGTTCCGTCGTCAGCGTCCGGCGCCGGCGGCGCGCCGCCCGCGCGCGGCGACGGCTCGTAGCGCTTCGGTACGGCGTCGGGGGCCGGCGGGCAGCCACCTTCCGTCATCGACGCCAGCTCGTAGCGCGGGGCGCGGCGGCCCCGCGCGTCCAGCACGTAAGACACCAGCAGCCAGGCCGCCGTGACGAAAGCGACCGCGTTCGCTAGATAGGCGAGGTAGGCCCCAGGCATGCACGTCGGCTCGACGCCGCGGTGCACCGCGCCGCCCTCCGCGGGTTCGCGGTAGGCCACGAGCACGACGGCCGCGAGCGCGACCGCCGCGCCCGCGTAGACGGCGTCGAGCGAGCTCTGCCGGAAGTCCGCCTTCTTCTCCGACGCGAGGAGGTAGGCTCCTGTCAACAAGCAGCAGCCGATCGCGACGTGCGCGACGACGGCTCTCGACGCCCGTTGTGGGTGGCCCACGAACACCAAAGCGACGACGGCCAGGTTGGCGAACCACGCGTCGTGGGTCCTCGCCAGGCGCTCGCCTGGGCGCGCCCGCGCAAACAGGAGCTCCTGGAGGCCCGCGGCGAGCAAGCAGCGGCCGATCGCGGTGTGCTGGCGCTGGACCAAGTCTCGCCGCGCGAAGTCCGGCGTGCTGAGGAGCTGGACCCAGGCGATGAGGTAGAGTCCTGCTGCAGCCGAGAGCGCGCCCGCGGCGGCGTAGCACTGCTTCTTGCCGAAGCGCTCGGGCAAGACAATGAACGCCCCCCAGACGACGCATATGCATGCGAGCGCTATTCCCAGAACGGTGTGCGCCGTCTGCGACGCCTTGCCGTACATCTCCGGCGTGAGGTTCGAGGGCCCAGCGAAGCGCATCGGCAGCGTCGCGTTGCCGCACAAGACCATGGATGACTGATATTGGCTGCAGGTCGAGGATTGAGCTCTGCGCGCCTTGTTTTAGCTCACTGAAATGGCTGCACCCTGAGCATGAGCAGTACGCGCTGCTAGCGCAAAAATGGACTAGGCAGGCCGACCGGCGATGGACACGAGTTGCCTGACAGCTCTTTGCTTTGCTTGGCTTGCACTTGCAGGCTAGCTTTGCAGCTTTTTGCCGGTGTGGCCTAGATTGCTAGTGTCTTACTAACCGCTAGGTGCCAATTACCCAAATCGAGCGCGTGCATCGCCTCCGCAGCGCATAGCTGAGTCGCAGACGTCTCCGAGCAGCCGCAAACGAGCCCAGACAAATCGCTGACTGGCACTCGCAAGCCTGCCCGGCGCTCGCTCCCACAACAAGCACAGCAGAGCAACACACGTAAGTGCTGCAAAACGCCGCCGCCGCGACAAGAAACGGCATGGAGGCCCTCACCCTCGCCTGCGCCGGCGCCGAGGCCTTGGTCGGCGTCGCCGGCATCATCGTCGACCAGAACAAGTCGTTCCACTACGACGCGTCGCTCGAGGACGCTCTCGCAGCGTTAGCGTTCTGCGCATTAGTGACGCTTGTACTAAGACAACAAGAGCGCCACGGCTTGGCCGCCTTCGCCTCCGTGGTAGGTTTGCTCTACGGCGGTGCCAAGGGCCTTGTCATCGGCCTCTCGCACCACTCGGTGAACACGGCATCTATTGTACTGTGCGCCGTATGCGGTGTCCTCGCGGTCGGGTCCATCGCGGGCTCCCTGCGGGAACGCCGCATCCTGCGAGATAATGATGATTACCAGCTGCTCGAGGACGGCGCCAAGCCCGCGCGCCTGTCAGCCTACGCGATATTACGCTTACTGAAACCTTACTTCTGGCCCCGGAGTTTAGTTGGAAGATTAGCTGTGTTCTCCACTCTACTCTTCGTCATACTGAGCAAGGTCTGCACGGTAGTGGCGCCACTAGTATTAGCGAGTGCTGCGGACGCCGTCGCCGCGAGGGACAAGAATGGAGTACATAAAGCAATAAAAATGTCGCTGTTCTACGCTCTATTAACGTTCACGGGCAAGGTGATGAAGGAATGTCAATCCCTAGCTTACCTAAATGTGCAAAAATACGCCTTCATCGACCTGTCCTCAGATACCTTCGCGCACCTCCATTCGTTATCTCTACAGTGGGCTTTGTCCAAGAAGATGGGCGAGGTCGTGAGAATTACCGACAGAGGAATAGCTGGCTGTGACACGTTTATGAAGTATGGGGTCCTGTACATAGGACCGTCGATCGGGGAGGCGGTCGCGGTCTGTATCCTCTTCTACGTCCATTTCAAGCTCTGGAGTCTCTCGTTATTAGTCTTTGGTGCTGTGGGTGCGTACGCCATCTTAACCGTAAAGATGACCTTGTGGCGGAAGCGCTTCCGCTCCGCCATGAACAAGTCGGACAACGCGTGGCACGACCGCCTGACGGATTCGCTGGTCAACTTCGAAACCGTAAAATATTTTACTGCTGAGGCGTACGAGAACGAACAATTTTCCCGAGAGATCGCCAAGTACCAGAAGAGCTCCGTCTCAGTACAAGCATCTCTATCCGCATTGAACATCAGCCAGCAGGTTATTTTATGTGGTTGTTTAGGAGGGGCCATGGCTCTTTCTGCCTTAGCGGTTCACAAAGGCGAAGCCAGTGTAGGAGGCTTCGTGGCCGTCAACGTCTGGGTCATCAACTTGTTTGCGCCTTTAAATTTCCTCGGGACGGTCTACAACGCTCTCATCACGGCTACTGTAGACTTAAGGAATTTATCAGAGCTACTTGCACAAAAGCCGCTCGTCAAAGACGGTCCCGCGGAGCACCCGGCGCTCGCTTCCAAAAGCCCTATTGGGGTGGCTTTTGCGGATGTCAAGTTCCGGTATCCCGGCGTCACGGCAGTAGACGCCGGTTTGAAGCAGGTGTCCTTCGAGGTTAAAGCGGGGACGTCATTAGGCATCGTCGGCCCCACCGGTGCGGGCAAGTCGACGATAGCCCGGTTACTGTTTCGCTTCTTCGATGTGGAAGGGGGTTCCGTGAGCGTGGGCGGTCTCGATGTTCGTAGTGTCACACAAGCGTCTTTGCGACGGCTCATGGGCGTCGTGCCGCAGGACACGGTCCTGTTCAACTCTTCCTTAGATTACAATATAAGGTACGGCAAGCGGAACTGCTCTACGGAAGAACGCGACGACGCCGCGAAACATGCATCTCTCAGTGCTTTCGTTAGTCGCTTAGAGGAGGGCTGGGACACGGTTGTGGGCGAGCGCGGGCTGAAACTGAGTGGGGGCGAGAAGCAGCGCGTGGCCATCGCGCGGTTGTTCGTCAAGAATCCTCCGATAGTGCTGCTCGACGAAGCGACCTCGGCTTTGGACTCGCGGACCGAGGCGGACATCCAGGGCGCTTTAGCGGCGCTGTCGTCCGATCGCACGTCCGTGACCATCGCGCATCGATTGGGCACGATCTCGAATTGCGATGCGATCATCGTGTTGAATGCCGGAAGGATCACGGAGCGCGGGTCGCACGCGGAATTGCTGGCGCTCGAGGGCGAGTACAAGGCCATGTGGGACGCGCAAGCTAGGAATTCGGAGGCCGAGGAGGTCAAGGAGGAGCCTTCCGAGGCCGAGCCCCAGTGAGTAAGAGGTCTTTTGTTATTTCTAGTGTCTTACTGGCCGCTAGCCCTGGCACGCGCCGCGTTTTTGCTCGAATTTCGTCCGCAGAACCAATTCACGGCCCGATAGTGGCACGCGGCCTTCGAGTGCGCAACACGGCGACCACGGATCGCGGGGTCAAAGAGCTATCTCTTGCTAGGATTGGTGTCTGGTTGGCAATTTAGCTGGCGTGTGGCCTAATACATATCTCTTGTCCGTCTCGCCTCTAAAGTCGACTCCCAGGAGGCGCACGGTACCGATGTTTCGCCTCGGTTTCGTGGGCTCGATCTTCACGACCGGCGTGGTCACGGGCCAGGCGGTTAACGACGCGAACCGCGTCAACCGGCAGACCTCGGATCAACTGCTGGACAATGAGATACTCGTCGCCGAGACGAAATTGAAGAAAGCCAAGGCGTCGCAAGGGAGATGCTGCGGCGCGTCCGAGCGCACGGTCGCACGACTCGAAGCGCGTCTCGCGAAGCTGCGCCTGGTCAAGGAGGACCGGGCGACCTTCGACGTCGTTGTGCCGCCGGGGGGGCATGCGGGCGCGCTCCTCCAAGTAACGGACCCAATGGGCCGCGTCGTCAACGCGACCGTGCCCGACGGCCTCCGCGAGGGCGACACGTTCTCGCTGCCCTACGTCGACAAGCTACCCGTCGCGGCGGCGACGGCGACTCCGGCCAACACGCCCCTGTCGCAAGCCGTCCCTTCGAGCAGCTCTAGCGGCGCGCCGACGGGCGGCGACGGCGAGCCGTCCGGGTCGTCCGGCCCGTCGAGCCGCTCGAGCGCCCACCAGAGTGTCATCTCCGAACAGCCGACACTCCAGAGCGATCCCAGTTGAGGCCGACTACGCCGATTGACATTCACGCTCAGTTCGTAATTCACACTTGATTCTTACTAGTAGTAGTCCGGGTCGTCGCCGAGCGTCAGCGTCGACGATGCAAGTTGTCGCTTTTTGCGCGCGTTCTCCGCCCGCTGCCTGCCGAGTTCCCCGCCCGTCACGCGCCCGGAAAACAGTTCGTGGTTCGAGTGCCAGTAGTCGTTCGCGTGGTCACCGAGCCGCAGGGTCGAAGCCGAGTTCTTGAGGCGCAGCTGTTTGTTGTGCGCCCGCTCCGTCTGCAGCTGGCGGTAGTGCTTCTCGTAGTCGATGGGCGCCGCGGGCGACGGGTCGTATTTTTCATCTCCAGCTTTCCGCTCCCACGAGAGCGCGTCGGACTTGCCGTACTTGAATTGTATTTTTTTGTCCCAGCACGCGCGCCGTTGTTTGAAGAAGGCCGTGTCCGGCTTGCTCGCGACGCCCTTGCCGGCCGCGCTCACGCGGTCCGCGAAGCGTTTCGAGGGACCCCTATCTTGGCCGCCTTGGGGCAACTTTTGGATGGGCGGCAGGGCCTGGCGCGGCCGCGGCGGCTCGCGCGGCGGCGGCTCGCGCGCGCGCGGCGGCGACGCGACGAAGCGGCCCACGCCGGTCGGCGCCGGCGGCGCGCGCGGCTGCCGCTCGTGCGCCGCCAACGCCGCGGCCGTCAGGCGCGCTGGCTGTGCGTTTACGTTAGGTTCCACTGGCCCTCGTCGCGCAGGCTCGAACCTCGGCGCTTCGGACCGTCGCCGTGCTGGCTCGAGCCTCGGCGCTTCGGGCTGCCGCCGCGCCGCGGGCGCCGCCGCGCGCAGCGGCGCGGCCACGCGCTCGCGCCACGTCGACGCCCGCCGCGGTTTGAGGATCGTGTCCTCGCGCTCGTCGACCGCGGCGCGCCGTCGCCGCCGCGGCGGCGGCTGCTTGTAGGACGGCCGCGCCGAGGCCGGCGCGAGGCGCTGCTGCTTGAGCGCGTAGGCGTCGCGGATCGTGCCCGGCAGCGCGGGCAGCTGCTCGCGCCGGGCGAAGCTGCCCGCGTGGGGGCGGCTCAGGCCGTGGCTCTGCTTCATGCGCGCGAGCATGACCTCCTGGAGGCCCATTTTGTCGCCTCCCGCTGTGCTCCTCTAGGGCCCTCGCGTTTGTTGCTCCCTGCAGTCGGCTGAGAGCAGTGCAGCAACTCAGCTCGTGGTCCGCAATGCAGTTCCGGACGAAACAGTCGCGTCGAATGGCGTGCGGGTGGACGATCGCGTCCTTTGGTGGCTGCCCTATGCCTATATCGATCTTTTGGGCAGCGCTCTCCCTGTTTGTTTGCATGGCGCTATCAAAGTGCTGCACCCGCACCCGCAGTGCACGAGTGAAGCCTAGCTGGAGGGCACAGCCAGTCAAAATAGCGGTCGTAGAGCTCCCTCGCGCTGCGCCGGCAAAACCCGTTGACTTTCCATAGTTATCCCCGCGGGAGCGGCCGCGTGGGGCGCGCCGCCTGGGCGGGGGGAGGACGCCGTCGGCGCGCTAGAGCTCCGCGAGGTAGTAGTCCAGGGCTCCGTCCACCGCCTGGTAGCCGTGGCCCGTGCGTCGGTTGACGAAGCCCTCGACCTGTTTGTTGAGGTCGTTGGACTCGCGGTATACGATGTCCCGGCCCTCGAAGATGTTGTACGACCGGCCCTCCTTCTTGTCGACGCTCACGTCGACTAAGAAGTGCGCGTCGTCGTTATTTTCATCGCCTTTGATATTCTTGTCGAACTCGAAATCCATCGCTTCGACGCGTTTGCCGTCCTTCTTGAACTCGTTGCGTCCTTCAGCCGATGATTTCTTCACCTCCTCGACGCCGATGTCTTTGAGCTCGAGCAGTTTGCCCGCCTTGTCTTTGAGCGAGAGCTCTTTCTCGTCCGCATCCTTGAATTTGGTCGGGCGGCAATCACACGTCGTGATGACAATCGGGCAGAGGTCCTTGATCTCCTCGGGATATTTTGAGAGGTCTGCTTTGTAGTCGTCCCCCTCCGTCTCCCAGCGCGGGGCCGCGGTCTTGGACTCGGTCTCCACACGAGAGGCCGACATGATTATTGCTGTAGGCGAGTGGTTTCGAGTCGCTTTGCGCGGTGGTTGGCCGCTCTTGGATGATGAGTCGCGTCGGCTGGACGGCGTGCGAGAGCGTGTCCTCTGTGGCGAGTTAGCGCTCAATAAAGCCGGAAAGCTGGAAATTTGGGAGATGAGCTGGAGATATGGAGATGGCTGCTGGGCTTACCGACGCGCGTACGCCGTCGACGCGAACGATCAAACAAACAACACTAATTACCCCTCCGTCCGCCACTCGTGCCCGCACGCCCGGCACGACACCGCCCACATGGAGTCCGGCGCGTCCTTCGACCCCCAGGTCTCCGTCTTGTGGGTCTGGAGGTTGCCGCCCCCTAAGGGTTCGCGGTCCGTGCGGCACGACCCGCAGGCGACGCACGGCCAGCCGTCGGCGCGGTCCTCGTCGCGCGTCACGACGATCTCTTCGCCGGCGCGCGCGTAGAGCTGCGTCGGCCGCGTGGGCTTGCGCCGCGACGCCTCCGCCTCGGACCCGAGCAGCGCCCCGAAGGGGTCGTCGTCGTCGGGCGCCTGCTGGCGCTCGGCCAGCCGCTTCGCCGCTTCCACTCCAACCGCCTCGGCGGCGCGCGCGAAGGCCCGCTGCCAGGCGCCCTCGACGCGCGGCGCCGCCGCGTCGATGCGGTCCCGCGCAACGACGCGGCTCCGGCCTCTCCGGAACGCCGCGCCGGCGAACCAGTGGTAGAGGCAGGCGGCGCCGCCGCGGTCCGTCTCGAGGCAGGCCGGCGCGCCGCACGCGTCGCAGGTCTGGCGCGGGTCCGGCGGCGCGAGTTGTCGTGGTGGTGGCGCCGCCCCCGGCGGCGCCCGCGCCGGCGCGGGTCGTCGTGGTGGGGGCGCTGGGCGCCGCGGCGGCGGCGGCGCGGGCGGGCGCGGCGGTGCCGACGCCGGCGCTTCTGCGGCTGCGGCGGCTAACCGCTCCCGCGCGCTCTTCTTCTTCGGTCGCTTCGGCGCGGGCCGGAGCGCCGCCGCGAGCGGGTCGCGCGGCCGCGTCGAGCGCACTCCAACAATCGTCGCGCCGCGGCCCGGCGCGGGGGCCCGCTTCGAGGCGAGGTGGCGGCGGTCCGATGGCGGTGGCTCCACGGTCGTCGCGGCGTAGCCGAAGACGTTGCGGTGGCGCGCTGGCTGCTGGTCCACTTGCGGTGGCGCTGGTGGCGCTGGCGGCTGTGCCGGCGCTGGCGGCGCTGGTGCTGGCGCCGGCGGTGGCGGTGGCGCTGCAGCTGGCGTATCAGCAGCGTCGTCGTCCCGGGTCAGGTCCACCACTTGTTGTGGCGCTGGCGCTGGCGGCTGCGCTGGCGCTGGTGCTGGCGCTGGCGCTGGCACTACGTCGTCAGACCCCGGCAATTCCGGCTCGGCCGGCGCAGGGGCGGGCGCGCGCCGCCGCCGTCGCCGCGGCGGTGCGGCCGGAGCCGGCGCAGAGGGCTCCTCCTCGGCAGCGCGGCGCGTGGCGCTCCGCGTCCGCCGTCTACCGGCGCGTGCGGTCGCCGGCGCGTCGTTGCTGCCGGCCGTGTTGTGATCAGCTATTTCGCGCAGGGCACGCTTCATTGTCGACCGCTGGCGTGAGTACGAGCTTGTACAAGAGAGAGAGCCCACAGCACAGAGCTGCGTCAGCGGGCTTATTCCTCGAGCGGCGTGCACCAGGCCTTCGCAGCGATCGATAACGCTTCCTGGCAGTGCGTTTTACGCGCCAGCGGGCCAGGCGTGCGCGGTGCCAAAAAACGCAGCTAGCGTCCATTGACACACTAGCGCGCAGAGGTCCTTGCGAAAAATATCGCATTGGCAGCCCAGAGACACGGCATTGCTGTTTGTGGAAGCTTCTGCAACCAAATTAATCGCTCCTCGGCGAGTCCTGCGCGTTTGCAGCACCAGATTTGCCGGAGAGCACGCTTAAAACACAAAGGCTGCGCCAGACGCCATCGACGCGATCACAAGATGGTCAACTACTCCAAGTGGGACGCCATCGGCGATTCGTCAGACGACGAAGCACCATCAAGACTAGCGCAGGACGTCCAGACCAAATTAGCGGTCGCGCCTCCGGAAGCCCCGCCGCGGAACCCGAAAGCGGAAGTGCTCACCGATAGAGCCAACCAGGTCGTCAATTCCTTGATCGAGAAGCACGGCGAGGACAAAAGTCGACTCCTAGGCCCCGACGAGCGCGCCGCCTACCGCGAAGCCTGTACCTTGTATGATGGCGCCCTCAAAAACATGGAGGTCAAGGACGACAAGCTTTCCAGTCGTATTTTACTAAATATGGCCACGTGCCACTGGCAGGTCAACGAGTTCGGGCCGGCTAGGAAGGCTGCTTCCAGAGCATTGGACTTTGCCGTCGCAGAAGACAAGAGCAGAGCTCAAGACATCGTGGATGCCTGCGATCGAGAGCTTCGTAGAGTCGCGTCCACAAAAGACGGCGTCGACCACGCGGCCGCGGGCGACGCGGCTCTGCACGCGAAGGATTTTGCCGCTGGAGCCAAACATTTCTCCGCACTTTGTAAGGCCTTCAAGGGTAGCGGCGGCGAGGACGAGATCCACGCGTTGGCGCATTTGGCTCTTTGTTATGAACAGCAGTCGAAATTCGGCGAGGCGGCTTCGCATTATGATAAAGCCGCCGAGGTCTGCGACAAGACGGATCAGGCCTCCGCATCCACACCTCGACGGGCGCAGCTCGCGCAACGGGCCCAAATGTGCTACGAGAAGAATGGCGAGGATTCGAAGAGCGCCGCGTCGTGTGCGCGCGAGACGCGGCGGTGCGCTGATGACGCTGAATTGGCGCTGAAGTGCGCGGGGGCCTTCGCGCAGCGCTACCGTGAGCGGCAGTGTGGAATTTGGCTCGCTCCGACGGCGTCTAAGATCTCGCGTCCACGCAGGCAAGGAAAAGAAGAGCAAAGCCCTCGTGCTGCCCGCCTTAACGGTCGCCGTCGAGACCGCGACGAAAGCGAGGAAACGGGACCCGAAGTGCCTGAAGACCGCTTCCCAAAGATTACTGTTGGCCACCGTCCTGGACGCGCTCGCGGACGGTCTATCGACACAGAAACAGTTCAAGGACGCCCTACCAAAGGCCGAACGCGCCCTCAAGGAGTACGACGCCGTCGCCAAGGCCCATTTGCGGGCGAAGAACGAAGACGAGAACTTCCGCGCGCGGCGCGCGGCGGCGGGCTGCGCTCTAGCGGTGGCGTCCTGCCGCGCGGCGCTGCACAAGTACGACGACGCGGGGGACCAGTTCCGCGACGCCTCGAACCGCTACGCGGGCGTGTCCGAGTTCCTGCGGGCGGGCCAGGCGGCCCTCAGCGCGGCGCGGTGCTTCACGAACGCCGGGTGCTCGCCGGAAGGCACGCAGGGGACCATCGACGCCGAAGGTGGCCCGGGCGCCGCCGCGAACGTCGAGGACTACCAGCAGGCCGCGAAACTACTCGCGATTGCGTTAGATCTACCAAAAAACTCCGCAGACGACAAGGCCGCCATACAATCTTTACTAGCGAAGTCTCTGGTCGGCGCCGGGCGACCCAACGACGCCGTCGGCCCCGCAAAAAGTGCATTAGCTTATCTCGATGCGAAACCTCGATCGGCGAATGACTCAAAGGACCGGGCCTCGGCCTGCGAGACGCTCGCCGACGCGCTGGCCGGCGCGGATCGACTCAGGGACGCGGCCTCGTGCCTCGAAAAGGCCGCGGTGTACTGCTTCGAGGACGATACACATCTGGGCACGGCGGGGGCCCAGCACCTCTTCAACGCCGCCGGCGCGCTCCAAAAGTGCGGCGACGGCGACGAGAGCGCGGCGATGTTCCGGAAAGCTAGAGACGCGTACAAGCGGCTCGGCCACCCGAAGGCCGCGCAGACGGCGCAGGAGCACGCGGAAGCGGCGTTGCGGGCGTGCGCCGAGGCCGTGCTGGACTGAGGGTTCTTTTTTTGAGACGGGTAAGTTTACTCGCTAGTGTCTTTATGCCGCTAGTCGTCAGCATCTGCGAGGCGCTTTTGCTACTCGTTGTGCTTGTCGCCACAGTGTTAAAGGACGTCAGCAGCTGCCGCATACGGCTGCGCTGCGCTGCAGGCGATGGCGTTCGATGGCGTGCCGCTGTGCAGCGCTACCGTCGAGTTATCGAGCCTCACGCAATGGCCGCGCCGACGCCGTCGGGCGCACGCGGACGCCGCGACGAACGTGCTCATTTGTGTGAACATTGGATGCTTCGCGTTGCAGTCGTTCTTGCCGCTGCTCGCGTTCGGGCAGCGCTCGACGCGTGCCATCCTTCGCCGCGGCGAGTGGTGGCGGCTCGCGACGCCGATGTTCTTGCACTCTAATGTGGAACACCTCCTGTCGAACCTCTGTGCCCTCTACAACCACGGCTGTCATGTGGAGGAAGGCCACGGATGGTGGCGCACGCTGCTCGTGTACGTCCTGTCGGGCATCGGCGGGAACTTCCTCGCGGCCTACATGGAGGGGCCGGCCTCGAATATTGTAGCAGTGGGCGCGAGCGGCGCGATTTGCGGTTTGGAGGCGGCGCGAGTCGTCGACGCCGTGCGGCACCTCGGCGCGCGGCCGGAGGAGGTCCTAAGGGACATTGTCATCCGGGAGGTCCTGAACAAGAGGTTGGGCAACATCGACGTCCACGGGCACGTCGGTGGCTATCTGACTGGTTTCGTCGCGGGCGCGGCCTTCGGAAGGCGCCTGGTCTTGGAGCGGGACGCGAAGGGCGGCCTGCGCGTCGTCGACCGGCCCCTCCTCGGGTTCTTGTTGTAGACCCTAGAGAGCGCGTGAGCCCGGGCGAGCGGGCGAGCGACTCCTCCCGCGCCGAGAACCCATATGTAAATATATTCAGTACGAGTAGAGACCGCTAGTACCTTTCTGCGATGAGCCTGCCTGGCAAAGACAAGCTTTTGGGGCTCGCAAACGCAGCCCCTGACGAGCATACGCGGCGCATAGGCTCCTCGTATCTCGCACGCCACCGTCCGCCACCGCTGCCGATAAAACGCGCCTCTGTGGCCCGCAGCCCCACGTGCTTCCACAAGGCTCAGAGGCTCTTACAACATGAATGCCGACGACGGACCGGAGGCGTACCTGCAAGCGTTGGAGGCCGACGCTACAAGACGTGTAGTAGAAAAGTGGCGAAAGGAGGGTTTTTCTCAGCAACGCATTAGGGAGGGTCTGGAGCGGCTGGAGCGGTGCAAGACCGAGACCGTAATGCGCCGCTACGTCGACCCGGCGTCGGGCCGGCCGTACTGGCACGACGCGACTACAGGTAGGTCGTACTGGGACGACGCGACGACGTCGGCGCCCTTGAATGACCCCGCGGCGCCGGCGCCGGCGCCCGCGGCCGCGCCGGTGCCCGCGGCCGCGGTGTTGGCCGCGATTAACCCCGACAAATACGACATCCGGCTCTAGACGGCCGCTGCTACAAGGTAGATACGAGTTTGATATAAGTCTTTTGCTCATATGTAATTCGAAGATCGGTCGGGGGGGATTTGGGCATTCCGGCACTCGCCCCTCGGCGCGAGTCCACGACGACGACGACAAGAAGAAGGAGCCACGACTCGTCCGGAAATAGTTAGGTGTCACGGTCGCGCGACGTCTCGGGCCGACCGTCACTTGCGAGTCAAAAAAGAAACTGGGACCAGTGAATTCACCGTTACGTCGACGTTGACGGGGGCGGGGGGGGGTACAGGGGGAGGGATGGGGCGGGACGGGCTGGGGCGGGATGTCGTCGACGACGCAACGGCGCTGGCGACTTTATGAAGGCGGTGCCGCCGTCGGCTTGTAGCTGGGAGTGATCGGCGCGGGCGTCGGGACGTAGGTTGGCCGAGAGATCGGGACCTTCGTCGGCACGAACGTCGGCGCCGACGTCGGCGTGTACGTGTTCCCGTCCTGGCCGTAGCTGACGGGTTTCGGCGTCGGCCGGTAGCTCGGCATCGGCGTTTGTTTGGAGTTCGGCGGCAGCGTCGGCACGCTCGTGGGAGTGTACGTGGGCGACCCGACGGGCACCGCCGAGGGTTGTTCCGAGGGCGGCGACGTCGGCGCGTAGCTCGGCGCCGACGAAGGCGCCCCCGACGGCGATAACGTCGGCGCGCCAGTCGGCACGTAACTCGGCACGGCCGTCGGCGTCCCCGAGGGCATCTCGGAGGGCGACGGCGACGGCGCGTACGTGTGCTGCGATTCCAGGGTCGGCGGCTTCGACGGCGACGGCGACGGCACGGCCGTCGGTACGTAGGACGGTGTGAGCGTCGGCTCGGTCGTGGGCGTCGTCGTGGGCGTCGACGTGGGGGAGTAACTGGGTACGACGGTCGGCTCGCCGGTCGGCTCCGACGTGGGCATAGACGTCGGGACGGGTGAGGGTTTCAACGTCGGGTCGCTCGTCGGCGTCGCCGTGGGCGTCATCGTGGGCGTGGGCGTCGTGGGCTTCGGCGTCGGCTCGGGCGTCGGCGTCGCCGTCGGGCCGATCGTGGGACCCGTCGTGGGCGACGGCGTCGGCTTCGGCGTGGGCTTCGGCGTCGGCGCGTACATGTAGTACGGCGTCTTCGCCTCGGCGAGCGGCGCGAAGGCCGCCAGCATGGCGAGTCGCCTCAGGATCATGGTCGCCTGCGAAAACGGAGGGCGGTTAACCATCATGTCAAAAAATTCGTGTGTGAGCGGCCGCGCGCGGGGCCCGTGGGCGCACGACCGGCGGGCTTGCGTTGGAGCCAGGGGCGCGCCGCGGGCGCGCCGCGGCGGCCGGTAGACCAAGCCGCGGACGCCGCCCGGCGGGAACGGAAGGGCCGCTGGCCCGCCCGCCGGAGCGCCGCGCCGCGCTCCGGGGCCACGCCGCCGTCGGTGCAGCCCCGCCCCAGCACCCGCGCGTCGCGTGCCGCGCCGCTTCCACGTTACGCGCCATGTGATATCGGACTCGGGGCAGGACGTTGTTACGGCGCGAGCTGCCCTTTCAGGCGCGTCAAGCAGCCGTGAGCGACTTATAGAACCACAACAGGCTCGGCGTGTTGTGTGGGCAGCCAGCAGGGTGCGGCAGGGCCAAATATTGGTCGATCGGGCTGGGCGAGCTGAAAAAAGCTGGCCTGCACTTTTGGCTTAAGCGGTAACGCCACTAGCATACACGCGCGCCTCGGGGCAAAGGACGCCTCCGGAGCGAGCCGCCCGGCGACGACTCCCCCGGCGCCGCGCACAACAACACCTCGGACGCCTCACCCCCAAATACCCTTTTCCCCCGCCTGTCGTCGCACCGACCGCCGGGCAGCTTCAACAACTCTCGAAACAAGGGTCCGCCGCGCGGGGACCGCTCGGCGCGGCCCGCGCGCCCCGACGGCAAACGATTTTGTTTTGCCGCCGCGCACCGTATAGGCCGCCGAGCGCTAGCTCGTGGTCCGGCAGCCGCGAGGCATCACTGTAAGAGGCCGCCGCGCCGTACGGTTGCTCCACCGCGTCGTCGGACGCCCGAGCGGCTGGGGAGTCCAACCGGTGGGCAGCCACAGGGCAGCCATGCCGCCGCGCAGCCCGAGCGGTGACGACGACGAGCGGTCGCCGCGCACGCCGCGCGAGGACGACGCCCGCAGCACGGCCTCGTCGCAACGGTCCGCGCACAAGGACGACGACGACGCCCGCAGCACGACGTCGAGCCGGCGGTCCGCGCGCAAGACGCCACGTGATGAAGAGGACGACGACCTCGCGTCGGTCCAGTCCGAGCAGGACGCCGCCGTCGCGAAGGCTCGGGCCTTGCGCCTATTACTAGCCTTCGAGGACTCGGGACACAAACTGAACGACGTCCTGAAAAGCAAAGACTACGACGCCGAGGCTTTGTTGGATGCCTTCGTGGGCCGGGAACATTTGAAGGAGCTTGGTAATGATGAATGCGATGCATTGATAGCGAAAGCCGGCGACGGCGTCAATGTCACGAGAGACCAACTCGGCCACTGGCTCAAGCTGGAACGGTCGCGGCTCTGCGAGGAGCTCATGCAGCGCCTCGCGCCGGCGCCCGCGCCGGCGCCGGCGCCGGCCGTGCCCGAAGGTGAAGCGGTACCCATGTCGCCGCTGTCGCCGGCGCGCTCCGATATATCAAACGGGAGCGACCTCGGTGATTTATTATTTTCGCGCCTCGACACGCTGCCGCGCGAGGCCGGCGCGGCGGCGGCCGCCGCCGAGGCTGCGGCGCGGCAGCGGGCGCGGGATCGAGCAAGAGCTTTGGCAAGGCGCCACCGGCGCGCGGCACGCGAGGGCCGCATCCAGAAGGGCGACTGGGCCCGGTCCTCTTTTAGACTACAGCCCGTCGTCGAGCGGGCGCCGCTGACGATGGACACGGCGCCCGTTTTTTGCAGTGTTGTGAATGACCTTGAACGTGGCTCGCGGCGATGGCGTCTTTGTGAGCCCACGATGCCGTCGACGTGACCGTCAGAGAGTCTACGTGAACGTGGCGTGGTCGCGTCGATGGCGTCGAGCGGTGCCACGTCGCCCCGACGCCGTCGAGGCGGCCGCACGAGAGTCCAAGCGCCTCGCGAACGATCACGACGGTATCAACACGCAGGTCAAGGTCCAGGCGGCCTACCGCGGCTTCAAGAGCCGCGTCGGTAGACGTAGAGACCGGCGCGCGGCGCGGGACATCCAGACGGCTTATAGAGCGTCGAAAGCGCGCTTCGCCGCCAAAGTCATGAGAAGGCGACGAAAAAGATTGGAGAGAGACAGCAACGAGCGCCACGAGCGTTCGAAACGCTTGCAGCAGTTGCGGGGCGAGTTGGAGCGCTTGAAAGCCTCACCGGCCGAACTCGCCTCAGCATATGCCACGGTCCATGCTAAAAGAAGGGAAGAGCGCTTGAAGAGGTGGCGCGACGAGGAGGCGGAGATCATGAAGGACCTTCCGGGAGACGACTACGTCAATGAAAATGATATTGTTTGTGACTACTCCGTCGCATCGTCGACGCCGACGAAGAGTAGCAAGGAGGGCGACTCCGTCGAACAAGCCATGAATCCGGAGGAGAACAAGGAGAACATATCTCTAGAAGACGCGGACGCTGTTGAAAGGCACACGATCAAGATGTACCGCCAGTCACTGAACGATGAGACCTTTGCGGAGAAGGTCGCGGCAGGCTTGGCTGTGGAGCTGCCTCCGACACTCGTAGGACCGGACCCTGATAGTAAAGAGGAGAAAGACCTCCGATTGAAGGATCTGCGGGAGCGCGTGGAGAGGAAAGCACATGAAAGGCAAGCGAAATCAGAAGCGAAAGGGCTGGAGAGTGTAGTAGATCCGAGAGGCACGCCGGTCATGAATTTCGGGGAGCCCCTCAAGTGGATTCCGTCCAAGAAGTTCAAGCGACGGCCCATGGTCGCGTCGCTACCCGCGTGGAAATCAACCAGTGCGTCGGGCGCACTGGCCCTGTCGAGCAGTGAGGAACCAGCATGAACGCACCGTAAACTTTTGATTTCCACGCAGGTCGCTGCTGAAGAAGGCCCAGGAGGCCGAGGAGCAGGGGCGAGATGGCGACGAAGCCATCCAGGCGGAGATGAAGCCGTTCATGGATCAAGCGAGGGAGGAGCTCGGCAAGTCAAAAGAGGAGCCTCCGAAGCAGAAGAAGGACAAGGGTTACACGCCTGGCTTTGTGAACAACAAGGGCGAGCATGTCGGCGTTACTCTCGATAGTTCCGGCACGACGGGTGCGCAGAAGACCTACGTCGAGTACTTCCAGGCCCGAGCTCGAGCAAGGGAATTGATGGTGGCCAAAAAAGCGACTGATGGCGAACGGGAGAAGATGCGTGCTGAAAGAGCCAAGATTCTGAAGCGGGCCCAGGGCTTGGTCGAACGGTTACAAAACCCGCCCAAGATCGAGTTGTCGGAGTCGTTAGGCGAGCCCGCGGACTTGGACCTCAACGATCCCGAGGAAGGTAGTGACGATCCCCGGGGCTGGTGGCGATTACCACCGGCAGGCGAGGATCGCGAGCGAGCCCAACAAGCCCATAAAAACGCGGTGGAAGCCCATGAAAATAGGGACAAGTGGTTCTACGCGTCCGTGCCGGAAGATGCCTCGACGGTCGGTATTGATATACGCAAGGCGGGCCAGCCGAACGTGCCCTGGCCTTTTCCTTCGAAGCACCTGAAAAACGTTCCGGGTCCGGAACCGATGGATCCCGACACGGCGTCGCTCTACTGGTGGAACTGGGCGCGGAAGGGTCTTGACGACGACATCGACAAGCGGACCGAGAAGCTCCTGGAGCACGCCGAGAAGCAGGCTCGAGCGTTGGATTTATCTGATGAGGGGACGGAGGCGGCGGTCGTCGCCGCGAGGTGTAGAGTGGTACTAGCTGCGAACGCGTCGAAGGCTACATTGAGGGAGCACTCCGAGGCGCTGCTGGAGCGAGTACGATTAGGTCCTGCTGGAAGGTTATTACAAGCTCGGGAACATGTGAAAGAAAGAAGGAAACACGTCGACCGCCTCGCGGAGCAGTACAAACTTTACTTGCTCGGCCAGAAATTACTCGGTAAAAAAGCGGGGCCGTCACCTTGGGCCGAAAAGAAGGATACGTCTTCAGACAAACTGCGCGAGCGGTATCTGATCCAACTCCAGGCCTGGTGGCGGGGCCAGGGCTATCGAAGGAGGACCTTCCGGGAGAAGCGCGACCGGCGGGTCGTGAACGCTTTAGCTACGCTAGTCGCGGAGTTGGGGGGAGACGCGTCGGGCGTCGCCGCCGCGGCCTCGGGCCTGTCCGACGTCTTCTCGCAGCGCAAGAAGGCCGCGCCGCCGCCGCGGGTGCCGCCGTCGGCCGCGCGCGTCTCGCGCGCCACCTCCGCCGTGCGCTTCTCTTCTGATGAAGCGCCTCCATTATCACGGCCGCCGTCCGTCGCCTCGTCGCGGCGGCCGTCTGTTGAATCAGTGCCCGAGGCCGCGCCGCCGTCGCCGTCGCCGCGGCCCTCCGTCTCTGAGGTCGCCGACGAGCCGCCGGCGTCACAAGAGTCGAGCGCGCGCCCGACGCCGCGGCAGCAGCTCTTTGTCGCAGAAACGCCAGCCGTCGTCCAGGAGCGGTCCGCGAAGGTGCGCGCGGCCGAGGCGTCCGCGCAAGCGTCCGAGGAGCGGCGGCGGAACGCGACGGGGGCGAAGCGGCTCGCCGACCCCTCCGCGACGGGGCCGCCGCGGCTCTAATTTTATAGTTTGGATCATATATTTGCTGTTCCGGTGCTGCACAGATCCAGAAGATCGTGATTGTGTCTTGGCGGCGACGGCGTGGAGGGGATTGGGTCTAGCAGCCTTCGCACGACTCCCTACAGACGCCCTTGCAGGCGATGGGAGGCGCGCGCTTCCCGGCCCGCGGCTACTAGTGCTTTTTACAGAGTGAGATTGCAGAAGTGATTGCAGTGCCAAGGGCTCATGGTGCAGCACCACCGATATTGCGAAGTGAGATTGCGGAAGTGATTGCAGTGCCAAGGGCTCAGCGTGCAGCCCCACCGACATAGCGTGCACCACAGGGCTGCCTAAGATGAACAAGCTCCTTCTGCTGGCGTTCGCCGCTGCCGGTACCCCCCTGGATTATCATCCTGACGCTGGTTGGTGTGACGGCCCCAACCATCCAGATGACTGCCAAATGGATGATGGTATTGCGTGTCCGAGCGGCGAGAACGCAGAGATCGCGGCGGCTTGCTGGGCCGTCTGCGAAGCAAAGTACCCAAACCTGGTGGCGGTAGATATCACAGCAGTAGACGAAGACGACGACGTCTATGAAGGCATGTGTCAATGCTGCTGCTCATCTGAGTGTACTTGCCTTAGCGATATCGAAAGCTCTTCCTTAGCGGTGCAATCGGGCTTGGCCTTGCCGGGCCCCTGCAGCCCAATACCGTGGCTCGCCTGCACCGACGAAGTGAGGACGTGCACGATGTCTGAGACCAATTATATGTCTCGCGGCTCCAACTGTAACAGCGGCAACTACCGTCGCGTGCCGGGGGCGATAGCTCCTAGCGATTTCTCCTTCGAGGTTTGCAGCGCCGCCTGCATCGCGGACGTGTACTGCATCGGCATAGAGACCCACGCGGACCATGCCAGCGACATTGGGACATACTTATATTGGGACAATTGCCTGATGATCTTCGAGGACAGTTTTGAGGACTGTCCGGACGGAGATAATACTTTCTACCCGAAGGATTGCCAGTGCCCGCCGGCGCCGACGCCGCGGCCCTCATGTTTTTCAATTCTTGGTCGAAAAGAATGCGAATCTAACGACGACGACGACGACGATGATCGTATGAGGCGCGACGAGGAATGGTTCGGGTCCGACGCGGCGGCGCGCGGCCCGCTCCTCGTGGTCTTCATCGGCGCTGTCGCCGCGGCGCTCGCGCACTAGAATTCACTACAAATGTTCCCCCAATCAACATCAACAACGTCATCGCGAGTCGCCCGGGCCGGACCTACTCCGCCCGCGGCCGCCGGCTCCTCTCCTCTTTGAATCGCTCGGGCGCCTCGACCGCTGGTTTTCGCACTAAGACGCCATTATTCATAGTCTTAAACGCGGGCGGCCTCCGCCGCGGCGGCCTCGGGCGCCGGCGAGGCGTCGGCCGGCGCGGCCGGACAAGACGGGGGGAGCGACGCCGGCGGGGGGAGCGGCGCCGGCGGCGGGAGCGAAAGGATCTTCTCGCGGAGCTGGTAGGCCTGGAGGAAGAGCCTGGCCCGGTTCTGGCGCAGGTACTTGAGCAGGTCCTCGATCTTCCGCTTCAGCCGGGGGATCTCGCCCTTGGTGAGATTGGTCTGCGCGAGGAGCTTCGGCAGCTTGATGATGAGGCGGACGAGGTGCTCGGCGCCTGTGTGGAAAGTAAAACCAGTGAGTCGGGTGCACCCGACAATTCTTCACTAAGTCATTTCTCGGCGATGACGCGACCGTCCTGGCTCCGTCGAGCGGTGAGGAACCGGCATCGCCACGCCATCGAGCAGGCGTCGCGTCGATGGCGTGGAGGACGACGCGATGATTCAGCACGATCGCGCCGTAAAATTTTGATTTCCACACAGCTCGGCGCCGTAGAGGCGGCTCGGCGCGCCGCGGCCGCGCGCGCGGAGGTCGTACTGCTGGCGCTCCTGGCGGTAGAGGAGCAGGCGCGGCAGCGCGGCGTCGAAGTAGCTGATCAGGGCGCCGGCGAAGTCGCGCCACGCCTGGCCGTGGGCGCCGCCCTGGCGCTTCGTCGCGGCGTAGGTCTGGAGCAGGTCGGCGACGCACGGCTTCCGGGGCAGCGGCGCCCAGTGGATCGGCTTCCCGACGATCTGCTCCCAGTCGTGCGCGACGACGAGCCGGATGTCGCGCGACAGCGGCGGCAGCTTGAGCTGGTCGTCGCCGCCGTCGGCGGCGACGCCGTCGGCGGCTCCCGTCTCGAGCGCGGCGCGCGCCGACGTGCCGGGCGGGGGGGCGCCCTCCTCGGCCGCGGCCGCGGCCGCGGCCGCGCGCCGGCCCTCTTTCGTCCGGCGGTCCAGCTTCTTCGCCGGCTTCTTCGCCAGCTTCCTCGCCGCCGGCTTCTTCGGCTTCGCGGCGGCGGCTTTCTTCCGGCGCGGCGGCGGCGGCGGCGCGGGATCGACCACAAGCGCCGGCGCCGGAGGCGGCGGCGCCGCCGCCGGCTTCGACGGTGCAGGCACGGGCGGCGCCGCGCGCGGCTGCATGCCTGCTGCAGGCACGGGCGGCGGCGGCGCGCGCGGAGGTGCTGCAGATGCATCTTGAATCGCCCATGGATAGGGGCCGTGATCCATGGTTGCTGGACGTCAGTTTTAGAATGCCCAAGGCCCTAGCCTAGCCTGATTTTACCCCCGGTTTTGATTTGGCCTTGCTCTTGCTAGTGCCTTTCCGCCGCTAGCCCTACTTTTGCGGCTTGCCGCGCTCTGAACTATTTGAGCAGGCTCCTGCTACCTGCATAGCCAGCCCCGAGAGGCCAAGCTCTGTGCTCAAGAGTCACGCACTTTTCCTGTGCTGTGGGACGCTCCAGGATTTCGAGCTGACTGCCTCCGCACTGTTTCGCCTCGGAGCTCGTTCACGCGGCGTCACAAGAAGTCTCGAAAGAAGCCACGGCAGCCAAGGGCCATAGGTGCTACAAACTAGCTATAGGAGAAAGCCAAAAATGGAGGCGGCCCGCCGCGTCGTCGAACGAGTCCTACGAGCCACCTACCCCTTCGCCACGTATCTGCCCCAGTACTACCTGCTCCAAAAAACGAGCAAGGAAGGCTTCGCGCCGGCGACGTGTCTGGCAGCTCTACTCGCGCGGACGCTGAGCATAGCTGCCTGGGCGAACGGCGCCCAGCCCAGGGACGCGTCCGCGCCGGCCGGCGGCGCGCTCGGTATTTTGGTGCAGCTGCTGCTCTTGGACGCCGTCGTGCAGGCGAAGCGCAAGAAGGCCGGCCGGCTCGCGCAGAAGAAGCGCTACGGCGCGACGACGCGGCAATTGGGACGGGAGGTCCGTGCGGTCATACGCGCGGCGTGCCGCGACCGCGACCGGGAGCTCGCGACGGAGCGGTTCCGGAAACTATGGAAGGCGTTCTGGGCCTGGGACGAGCTCGGGCCCTACGTCGAGGTCGTCGTCGTCTTCGCGCTTTACTTAATTGCGGCGTCGTGTTTGCTGCGGTTCCGGTGGTGGCGAACTTTATTAGTGACGGCCGCGGCGGCGGCGGACGCCGCCGCGCCAGTTCCACAAATCGTGCGTATAATACGACGGCGCGACGCGGCGGGGGTCTCCGCTTTCACCATATTGCTGCGGCTCGCGGGCGGCGTGGTCGGTGCGCGGCTCGGCGCGCGGCCGCGGTTCAGTGTGCTACAGGCGGGCCTCGACGCGTGCCTGTGCGTGCAGCTCGCGTGGTACTCGCCGCCGTTGACGCGCGTCCGCGGCGTGATAAGCGCGGCGCTCGAGCCGCTCGCCGCGCTCGCGCGGCGCGGCGCTCAGCGGCTCCGCGCGTACCGGCGGCGGTCGTACGCCCGCGTGCCGACGGGCGAGGCGCCGCCGGCGGCGCCTTCACAACGGCTCGAGGAGGGCTCCGCGTCGCCGCGGCGCGAGAGCCCGGCCAAGGAGGCGGCGGCCGCCGGAGCGGGTGAGTAGGGATTGGTTTTGTGGTTTCTACTCCTGCCACTGCCGGTCCCCAAATCTTGCAGCAAATTCTTGCTAGTGTCTTACAGGCCGCTCTAGAGATTGCCTACTAGCGACTACTATGAGGCTCGACGGCGTCGAGGGCGTAGTACGAGGTCTTAGGGCGGTCGGGGGCGGAGCCCGAGCGGTTCAAGGAGGAGGGGAGCCAGCGGTCAAGGGCGGAGTAGGTCCGCGCCGAGCGACTCGGAGAGCGATCGTGATGATGGGGGGAATCTGCAGAGGAATTGGGCGACGTGGCCTAGAGCGCCGCGGCGGCGGTGGCGAGGATGCGCTAGAAGGCGGGGGGCACGCCCGCGTCGTCAAGGAACGCCATGGTGACCTCCTTCATGGACGCCCACTTGTTGAACGCGTCTGGATTCGCGGGGAGCGGCCCGTGCTTCGCGCGCAGCGCGGCGCCCTTCCCGGTCGTGTTGTACCACGTCGCGAGCGGCGCGTAAACCATGTTCACACGGCGCGGCGAGCACACTCCCTCCTGAGAGACATCGACCTCCACGCCGCCCAGGGTGATTGGGGCCGGCGGCGGCGCCTCGCCCTTTGGTATTCCGCTCTGCGTTGTTTTGTGCCGGGCCTTGTACGCGGGGCAGCCCGTACACGTGAAGCAGCACAGCGCGACGCAGCACAAGATGAAGACGAGGCCGCCGCACGCGAGGCCGGCGACGAGGCCGACGTTCAGCTCGCAGCAGTCGTCCTCGTCCTCGGCGCAGCACACGTCCTTCATGCACTCGAAGTCCGAGTCGGTCGAGAAGGTGCTTCCGGTGATATAGTCGTCGTCGTCGATCGGGTTGTCGCACGAAGACCGCTCGCCGCAATCCGTGCAGTCCGTGCCACAGGCGCACAAGGACGTCGTAGCCCCAGTCTGTCCGTCGTCGCACTCCCCGTCGACGAAATGAATGCACGAGTTCGAGCAGCCTGAATAGGTGTCGGTCACGGTGTAGTCGCACGAAGCCCGCTCGCCGCAGTCGGAGCAGTCCGTGCCACACGCGCAGTACCAGTTCACACTTCCAGCCTCCCCGTCGCCACATGCCCCGTTGTTGGCATATATGCACGAGTCGTCGCAGACCGAGAGGCGGCGACTCGTCTGGTCAGCCGCTTCTGTCTTGTCGCCCGCGTCGATGCGACCCTGGCGCTGTATGGCTTGGAACTTGTTGAGGTCCGCCTTGTCTCCCGCCTCGAGGCGGCGACGGAACAAAGTCGGCGTCCAGTCGGCAATTTTGCTGGACTCCTCGTAAAAAGCGCCGCACTGTACATCCCACATGCCATTTTTGGCGATGTTGCAATCCTTGCATGCGGCGGAGGCGCCGACCGCGAGGGCGAGGATCGCAAGGAGGTGCTTCGTAAACATAGTTGTGTCTAGTGCGTGGGCAGCCTTAAAATGGCTGTCGACGTAGAAACCCGCGAGCTCAGGAGGCCCGGGGCTCGATCGTGGGCAGCCTTAAGCGAGCTTGTTGCCTAGCCTAGCATCAGATTCTGGCGGCGCTAGTATCTTACTACGCTAGCTGGGTTACAGGGCTGGCTCAGTGCAGCGCTGCCATGCGAGCCCTCGCATCTTTCCTCGCCCTGCGCTGCGCCGCGCCGCCGCGCAGGGTGCTCCTGCGAGCGCTGACGAGTGACGGCGAGAACGTGCACGCGGCCTGGACGAAGGAGGACGACTGGAAGCTCTGGCAGCATCGCGACGACGCTGACGTCGCGGAGCTCCTGGGCCGCAAGGCCGGTGGCGTCGCGGCGCGGCTGAAAAAGCTCGAGGACCCGGCGTCGACGGCGGCGAAGCGGCTCTTCGGGGAAGTGGAGGCGGAGGAGACGATCGACATGGAAGACTACCTCGCGCTGGACGACGACGCGCTGCTGCGCCAGTGCCGAATTGATTACAGGCGAGACTCCGGGCCCGGCGGCCAGAAACGCAATAAAGTGGAGTCCGCCGTGCGGCTGACGCACACGACGAGCGGCGTCGTGGCGAACGCCATGGAAGACCGGTCGCAGCACGTCAACAAGCGCCGGGCGCTGCGGCGGCTGCGGACGAACATCGCACATAATGTAAGGAGGCCCGTCGATCTGGATGAGCCCTTCGATAATGATGATGCGTGCGCGGGCCTGCTGCCGTGGACGTCCGCTCAAAGAATAGGCGCAAAGAGCGCGCTGCGGCCGAGAGCCGAGCAGGCGCTGCTCGACGTCCTCGAGGCTTGTAACGGTTCGATCGGCGACGCCGCTACTTATCTGGGCGGCTCGACGGGGCAGCTGTCGAAAGTCCTTACAAAAGACACGCGTCTCAAGGACGCGGCGAACGCGATCAGAAGAAACTTCGACCTCGGGCCGCTACGCTCACGAAAATAAATAGTATGTGTAATTAACAGGTGTCATAACATGGTCTTCTCGACCACTGGCGGCTCGTCGGGGTCCTCGACCATCTCGAGCTCCGTCTGCCGCGGCTCCTCAGTCACTACTGGCGACGGCGACCGCCGCACCAAAAGCGGGTAGAGGTGCCGGTCCAAGCCCTGGAGCATGCGCAAAGGTAACGGCGCGTTCGGCACGCCCGTCGACATAGACGCCGACCGCCGCAGCCGCAAGACGGGCGAGTCGGCCGGCGGCGGCATCGGCGAGCCGTCCTCCTTCAGTTCGCAGTCGCGCGGAATACCTAAAGCGGTCAGCACGGGCACGGTCAGAGCACCGAGCACGTACATGGACACGATGATCAGCACGATCGTGGTCGTCGCGAAGAGCGTGCGATGGTCGTGCGCGTTGGGAAACGTGTGCGCGCAGGAGAAGGCGACGGCGCCCCGCAATCCAGAAAACCAGAGCATGTGCTGCATCGCCGGCGGGATCTCGCCCGCCGTCGCCGGCTGCTGCTCCTCACGAGCTTCGGCGCGCGGCGACAGCCGCGCGCGGTCTTCCCGTTTTTCTTCGCCCAGCGGATCGCCCAGCGCGTCCTCGGTGGCCAGCGACTGGGAGAAGGAGTTCGACCGCCGCCGGGCTTGCTCCTTGCGCAGGCGCTTGTTTATTTGTCTAGATAGCGGGTAGACGTGCGCCGCCCGCCCCACGAGGCAGGCGAGGATGGCCCAGAAGGTCAGGGAGTGCGAGTAGTCGTTGGTCCAGTCGCGCGTCTTTGCTGGTACCTGTGTGGAAATCAACCAGTGTGTCGCGTGCACGCGGCCGTCCTGGCTCAGTCGAGTGGTGAGGAATCGACACCGCCACGCCGTCGAGCAGGCGTCGCGTCGATGGCGTGGAGGTCATGATTTCCACACAGGCCGGCACGCTCAATCCGAGGTACAAAAAGATGATCGTGTCCGCCAAATGAGCCAATGTAGATAAAACGGCATTAGCTACCGGTTTCGCATCGACCGTCGACGAGGATTGTAAGTTCGGCGTCGCCCAGTGCCTGACACCTATAGCCGCGAACAAGGTCGCCACAATACCTGAAAGCTCGACCAGTTCGGCCAAGAAGGTAGGGGCCCAGATGGCCGCGCAGAGCGTCACGAGTTGTAGAGTTCGAGACGTGGCAGCAGCGCCCTCGTCGGCGTCGGAATCCGCCCGCAGCATCCTCAGCGTCAACGCCGTGAACGCGGCACAAACACCACCAACTATGGCTGAACCAGAGAAAATGACGATAAAATCAGCCACCGCTAAAGCTAAGTTCTTCGCCGTAAACGAATACCCGACGAACTTGCTGAATGTTTTGAACAATACAATCCCAACAGCGTCATTGAGGACAGATTCGCCGAAGACGAGGTAGAACATTTTTGGATCCACTCTAAGTTCGGTGAAGACGGCGATGACCGACACGGGGTCCGTTGCTGACACTAGTGCACCGAACGTTAACGTCTCCGCGAAGGTGATGTCCAGCGGAGCTAAATGGCAGACCGAGGCTATTTTGAGCACAATACCTACTATCACGGCAGATACGAAGGTTCCTACTACGGCGAACCCTACTATTTGGTAGAACAAGCCAAATAACCACTGCGGATGGAGCTCGTAGCCACTGTAGAAGATGACTGGTGGGAGTAGTCCTAGGAAGAACAACGCGTTGTCAAAACCTAATAGCGCACCGCTAAAGAAGCCTCTTTTACCCCTCTTGACGAAGAGTTCCTTGCACAAAAAACCAGCCACCATGCCCACTGTTAAAACAACACAAGCCTCCGGTAGCACCTTGCACTTCCACCGATGGGCCAGCACCCAAGATAAAGCTAAAGACACCACGATCAGCAAGATAAACGCCAGTAAAAAAGTAGCGTCCTTCTTGCTGTCCTCGTGGTAGCCCCAGGCGTGGTTCGCCAGGTCGTAGATGGGCGTGCCGCTCTCGTGCCTATCTGTGGCAGCAGCGGCAGTGAGTAGAAGCAGTGCGAAATTGGTGCGCGAGCCCATCGTCCGTTGCTGCGCGGCGCTTTCTCAAGCGGCGCGCTGGCTCTTGTGCGCTTTTTCAAGCGCGCGCTGTGATGTTTGCGCCGGCTGGGGCCGGCGGGCGGCGCTTTGCAAGCGAGGCGCAGGCGCTGCAGTAGAGGCTGCAGCTAAGGGTCTGGAGTTTCGCCTGAGCACCGCGGTTCGCCGTCCACGCAGGCGCGGCGTGAAAACACGTCTCTCTAGCGGTGAAACGCGATGAACGGTGCGTATGTCACGACACTCGTCGTCCGAGTCTCGAGCCGTCGTTTTGCTTGCTTCAGGCGGGTTTTGTTGCCTTTTGCAGAAGTAAGCCCGACGCTTCTTCCGAGCGTCGACGAGTGATCGGGAGGGATCCTAGAGGGCGCGTGTGGCTGCCCGACATACAGCCAGCCCCACTTAACTCAAAAATGTCTGGCACAGCAGCTTGGCCATTTTTCGCCCGTGGTACCCGTTCAGGGGCCGGAGACGCTTGATATTTGCGCGTGGGCGTCTGCCGTACCATAGCGGTCGGCGCGGTCGCTGCCCAACCGCGCGGGCGCGCGTCCACGCTCCCGGCGTTGGGCTAGCGGCTGCCGCAGACAGGAGTACAAAATGCGACATAGGATGGGGGCGGCCTCGGGCGCGAGGCCGCTCCTCATAGCCCTCGTGCTGGGCGCCGTCGCCGCGCAGACGCCGGCGCCGACGGAGCTCCCGACGTTGGGTCCCTCGTCCGTGCCGTCCGCGGTCCCGAGCTCGCTGCCCTCGTCGGTGCCGTCCTCTCTACCGACCGCGGTCCCCAGCTCTACGCCAACTTCGGTACCGACCGCGACGCCCACGGGGCACCCGTCAGAAGCACCCACATTCGAGACCTGGCCACCAACGAATGTGCCGACGACTGCGACATGGGTCCCCTCAGAAGCGCCGACATACGAGACCTGGCCACCGTCGGGCCTCCCCACGACGGTCCCTTCTTCCATACCCACAACGGTCCCGACTGCCGTGCCATCATCAACGCCGACGACAGAGCCGTCGGCGGCCCCCACCGTCTCGCCGTACCCGACGGGCGCACCGAGCGAATTGCCGACGTCGCTCCCCTCGTCGCTCCCCTCGTCGGTTCCAACGGTCGTGCCGAGCGCTGTGCCCACACCAGTGCCGACGTCGCCGCCGTCGGCCGAGCCCACATCCGTCCCGACGGGCACGCCCACGGCCGCTCCGACCGAAGTGCCGTCGCCGCTGCCTACGATCTCGTTCCCGCCGACGCCTGTGCCCACTGTGCCGCCGACGCCGGAGCCGTCGCCGGGGCCGTCTCCGTTGCCGTCTTCGCTCCCGACGGGTTTGCCAACAGCTGTGCCCACGACGCCACCGAGTTCCGTCCCGACGGCGTCGCCCACATCGGAGCCCAGTGGTCATCCCTCGGTACCGCCGACAGCCGTGCCCACCGTACCCCCGACGGGTGTCCCGACCTCGACACCCACGTCGCCGCCGAGCAAGCCTCCGAGCATGCCGCCGACGCCCGAGCCCTCTGCATTACCTACCGCGGCCCCGACGTCGACGCCGACCACTGAGCCGTCTTCGCTCCCTACGGCGGCGCCGACGTCGTCGCCCTCCTCGCTTCCAACGACGGAGCCCACGGCCCTTCCGACGACGCCGCCGACGTCCGCACCGACGTCGACACCATCGTCGACGCCGACGCATTCACCGTCGGGCTGGCCGACGACGGCAATGCCGAGCCCTGCTCCCAGTCCACTACCAAGTGGCGTCCCGAGCGCTGTGCCGACCTCGACGCCAACCGCAGTACCCTCGCCCGCGCCCACGCCGACCCCCACACCCGCGCCCACCATCACAAAATACCCCACGTCGCTGTCGGTGGAAGTGAGCGTCTCGACGGGCGTGTCCTTCACCAATTTATGCCACGAGGCGTTCAACATGGACCCCGATGCCTTACGAGCGTTCCGCCTGGCCATCGTCGACGAAGTGCGAGTGGCGGACTCCGAGGACGACGTCGAGAACGTCTTCGCGTACCACGTCGCGACGACGCCCGCGCCGACGGCGACGCCGTCCTACGCGCCCACACGAGAAAAGGATAAAGAGGACCGACGACGGTTGTCCTTGGTGCCGCCCTGCCAGGGCGGCCTCGTGGAGTTCGACGTGCGGTGTCGCTGGCTCGCGCCCGTCGACAACGTGAACGTCACGCGTGCGGAGACGTGGTGTCGGCGGACAGTACGAAAACAATTGCACTATTCATTGAACAACGGGACCCTCGCGACGGCCTTTGAAACGAGAGGCAACAACACGGCGCTCGCGGGCGCGATCATAAACGTGAACGCGACGCTGGCGGAGTTCGAGGACCATTCATCAATAGAGGAGGTCCTCACGGACGCGCCGACGCCGGCGACGTGGAGCGACAACTGCGAGTGCGTGCCCGCGGCGCCCACGAAAATCCTGACGCTGCAGACCGCCGCCGCGTCGCCGGAGTACGGGTGTCCGCGCGTCTGCACGGTGCAGACGGGTCGCGTGAGCCCGCCTCCCTCGCCGGCGAGTAGGAGGTAAAGTGAAATTCATCAATTCTAACAAACTAATTAGACTATCCGCGGAAGCCCCACATCAGTCACCGGCGGCACCCTTAACCCGCGCGCCGGCGCGCGCTCGGCCGTCAGCACGTCGGCCGTCGGCGGCGGCTCGGGCGCCCGCGCCTGGAGCGAGAAGACGTCCTGCTTCGCATTCAAGTAGGTCGCGAGCGTCCGGTCCACGGTCTGCACGACGTCCTCGTCTGAAACGAGTTCATCGTCAAAGTCGCCGTCCACAATACGTGTCGCCGGCGACCGCGCTGCGATGCGGGGCCGCAGCGGCGCCCGCGGCCGCGGCAATAAATCCTGGGCCTCGCGTCTCGCTCTCTCTCGGGAATCGGGCTCGAGGGCCCAGACCTGATCATGTAAAGGAGGCAACCCGCGCTCGTTCCGTCTAGCTTTCTCCGCGGCCCGCTTCGCCAGCTTGCCGACGGACGGCCTTAATGGATTCATCATCGCGCGGTCGCCGGACAGCGCGAGGGCCAGCTTCGCCCTAGCTTTCTCCAACGACCGCCGCTTCCGCCGCGCCGGCTCCTCTATTGCTTTCTTCTGGTCGGCGAGCTTCTTCTTGCGTAATCTTTCAGCCTTCTCGGCCTTCTGGGCGGCCGCCTCGGCCTCGGCCTTCTCCAACGCCCGTTTCTTCAGCTGCCGTCTTTTATCCCTTTTTTCAGTCGCCTTGGCCGCGAGCCGCGCGGCCCGCGCTGCTCGTTTGAGGGCTTTCAAACCCTTCTTGTCCTCCTCGCCCTTCACGGTGGCCGCCGCGAGAGCCGCGCGTCTACGAGTCACCTCCAACTGTAAAGCGTTCGTCGACTCGGGGTCGTCGTCGGCCGACGGATCACTATCACTCCCAGAGTCGCCGCCCACCCGCGCCGTGTGTCTCCCGTCCTCCTCATCCGAGTCTGATGAAGGCGGCCTTAACACGGACGCGAGGCCGCTCAGCTTCGACTTCTGTAATTTCGCCACAACTTTCTCGGCGGCCTTCTGCTCCTTCTTCTCCTTACTTTCCAGGGCTTTCTGCTTCGCGGCCTGCCACTTGGCCCGGGTCATTTTTTTACCCTTGGGCTTCTTCGCGGCCCTCTTGACCACTGGCTTGGGCTTCGGCTCGACCGGCTTCTCGGAGGCGTTCGACGCGTCGGACTGGGCGCCCGGGTCGACGTCGCTCGGTAAGAATTCATTTAAACCGTCCTCGTCGTCCTCGTCGACGGGCAGTGGTGGAGGCGCGTCCTCGTCGTCTGAGAGCGTCGGGACGACCTTGGGCGTTCCTAATGATGAGATGCCGCGCTTCTGCACCCGCAACACCTGCGTGGCAAGCACCCGTGAGTTGCGGAGACCTTCGTCGACCTCCACGCCATTCAGCAGACGCAGTAATGGAAACATCGTCGCGTCGATGGCGTGGAGCCTCCACGCCATCGAGCAGACGCAGTTACGTGGACAATATCGCGTCGATGGCGTGAGACGCCCGAAATTTGATTTCCACGCGGCGTCACACGGCCCGCAGCTCCAGCTCCGCCCGCGACCGCACGGCGGCCGACCGGAGACTTCGGGATAGACCTATGTGCTTGTCCGCGCGCTTGTCCCGCCGAGCTTGCGCCTTCACGGCACTCCGGGCCGCCTCCGTCTCCAAGACGCCATAATCTAGCAGAGGCGCGCCGAAGGACTCGAAGAGCCGCGGCTGCACCAAGAACCCGGCCGCGGCGCCGGACCGCGCGGCGCCCTCCTCGGCGTCGTACATGCCACTCCCGTCCAAGTTACAGTAATGATACAACGCGACCATCAATTGACTCCCAACTAACTGCAGGTCTTCGACCGTGTAGTGGCCGTCCCGCATCCACGATTCCACACATTTATTTCTCAGCTCGACCTCGTCTCTCGGAACACTGGGCGCCCTTGCTCTATCCTCGACAGCTGCCATGGCTTGTTTTCTAGCGTCTTGTAGGTTTATACCGCTCTTCCTGAAGGCTTCGGCCAACCTCTCAGTAACATCGGGCACGGGAGAAGAAGGGTCACTTCTACCTTGATAGCTATCCAGAGGCTCCGTGTCGAGCGACAGAGGTATGTCCGTCAAGTCCACACTGCGACCATCATTCAATCTACGATCGGCAGCCGCTAAGAGTTGCTGCTCTTCATTATACCCAGGAGAACAGAAGGAGGCTTCCAGTGTAAAGGAATTGGCAATGCCAAGTTCCCGCCACGCGACGACCCGACCAGTAGCCTTCTTCGCCGCTTGGACACTAAACGAATTGTCCCTAAATGAATACAACGCACCGCCAGAAGCCCCAGAACAGGGCGCGGCGCCCGCGGCCCAGGCGCTTCGAGCTCTCTTGCGAGCCGCGCGTCGCTCTGATCTTCTTTCACTCGCCGTCAGGCCATCATCGGAGTCATCCGACGACGACGCACAGTCATAGACGGGCCCGCCGTCGCACATTCCATTTAAATTGTTGGCGATGCGAGGGAGCACTCGAGCCAGTACCTTGTGGTCATCGGAAAAAGTCCCGTCGCAATGCCCCGCCTCGGCCAAGGGTGGCGGTTCGCCTTCGCCCGACGCGGCCCGCTGCAACGCCTCCGTCAACTCTCGGGGCGGTGGTGGTGCCATCTTGGGCTCGGAACAGCCGTAGAAAAAGACGTTCTTCTTTCGCGAGTGGCCGTGCATGTCGCAATAAAACAGGACGCCTCGCGTCTCGTGCGTCGTTTTCAACAATTGCTTGATGGCGTAGACTGTGGGCTGCAGTGTGGGAGATGGGGACGCGTACCTCCGATTCAGGTCTTCTCCGGCCAATGAGCTGCGGTAGTTGCCGTTGATCACACCATCAGGATTTAACATCGGCACGACCTTGAAGACGAAGTGGTCCCGCAGCTTGATCGCGCGCGGATCTTGCGAGCAGAGGAACTCGATGCAGCCGCGCATCATAAATGATGCATTAGACTCGCCCGGGTGCACGCGCGCCGTCAACACGACGCCCGCCCGCTTCCGCACCGCCGCCGGGTCCCGCGTCAAAAAGTTCGTTATTGTAAGTAAATCACAATCATTTCCAGCTAGAGTAGAACAGAGCCGCCGCCGTCTTACCACCGCGGGCCCGGGGCAGTCGTCCAGGGCGACTAACTCATTCCTCAGATCCGAATACGTATAGGGAAAGCAGTGCGCTAGAAATAAGCGGTCGTCCTTCTTCCTCCTTCGCTTTCTTAGTTGCGGCGAGCGTGTTTTCGGAGATCTAGACAATAAAACCACGTCGGAGTCCGTCTCCGAACCCGTGTCATCACCACCATCGAGCGGATGGGGCAAGGCCACGAGAAAAGTTAACGTGTAGTGGTGCCGGTCGTGCTTGCGGTACGGGGCTGCATCTAACGAAGTTCTATTGTCAGTGGTAGTAGATGTTTTCCGTCGCGGGTACGTTCTACAATTCTTGAAATACGCGACGTCACTCCCGACGCGCGTCCAGCCCCTCCCTGACGAATCACTCTTCTCGCAGAACCCCACCGGCAGCATGCCCACGTCGTACAAGCTCGACTTTTTCATCATGTTCACGATGTTGAGGCGCACTCTCAACTTTTCCGGTATGCGAGGAGATGAATTCGCTCGACGAACGGAGAAGTAGAACCACTGGACGTGGCCGTTCGTGTGCGTGTCCTTGTTGCACAACAAATCATATTCTTGTTGGGCCCAGCTAGGCGTGTTCAGGGGCGCTCGTCCATGATTTTTTGGAGCGCCGTCGGCCTGCCTGCGATTTTCTACTCTCCACGCAGCTCGTAAGTTACCACTCTCGAACCAGCTGTCGAACTCCAAGTCGTCGAGTCTCCTATCCAAATTCTTGCCTTCTGAATCGGCGGAGTCGTAGACTAATCGACGAGTGGGCGGTTCTTGGACTTCTTCCACGGAATCCGGCCTACTCCCGGCCTTCTCACGCTCTTTTTTGTCCTTCAGAAAAGCCGCCACAGAACTCAGTGCGGTTTCACCCTTCACAGCCAAGTCTGAGTCCTCGGACGTCTCCTGAACACGTTCCTTGGCCGCCAGGGCCGCGGCCAGCGCCGCGTCGCGCCGTTTCTTCGTTTCTCTCTCTTTTTTGGCTTGGGAGGCCTCGAATTCATTTCTGTCGCGCTCGTGGAACCACCGCGCCAGGTGCAAGCCTCTTCTCGGATCTTGCAACGGTTCGCGTAGAGGCGTGCCTCTTCTTAGTGAGCTTCTGGCCACTCGATGCTTGATGATCGGTAAGGAATGCGCAAAGCCCGTCAGCGGTGGGGCGGCGTTCTGCTGCTCGTGGGACCGCGGGAAGTTGTACCTGCGCGCGAGGAGTGACGCCGGCTCGAACGACCGACGGAACGGACGCCGCGTCCCCACAAAGGCAGCGGCGGCGGGATGTTCTTCGCGAGCTGCTCGTCCTCGTCGTCGGCCATCGCGGCCGCCGGCGTGCAGCGCCCCTGGCCAGCAGTCGATTATTTGCAGCCGAGGGCCGCTATCAATCGTGTTTCGGGTGCCGCCCGGCTGTTTATTGTTCACAGTTCATTTATGAGCACGAATGGGGCTGCCCCTGCGCTCGGACCCAGCGCTTTTTGCAAAAGTGCGATGGCACTGGTCGGTCCAAACCCGAACCGGTTTGTGGGTGAGGTCTGCGCCGGGAGAGGCCATGGGGCAGCGGTCCCAGGACGCCTCGGAGCGGGCGGGCGGCTCCCGCTCGGCCGGTGAATTTTTGCCGGTTAGGAATCGGCCATCGGCGCGAAGTGCGTACAGTCGCGTACAGTCGCACCACCATGTACGCGGCGCTCACGTGGCTGCTCTCCCTCGCGGCGGCGCGGCGGGCGCCGCTCGAGGTGCCGACGGCGGCGCCGCTGCCCTTCCGCGCGCCCGGCGTGCTGCCCGTAGATGCGGAGCCGCACACCGCGGCCGCGGCCGTCGGCGACCTCCGGCACCGGCTGACTGCGTTGAAAATGGGGGCGGCGCCGCAGCCGTCCAACCTCGCGGCGCCGGCTCCTCCGCGAGCGAACTTCTACGAGAGCGCGGGCTTCTGTCCCGCGCCGGCCGACGAGCCCGCTGCGGCGACTGCGCCTTCGCCGGCCGTGCCGCCCGTGCCGCCCGCGGCGGCCGCGCCGGCGGAGACCGCGGAGGCGCCATCCAAGGACCCGCTCGACGCCGTCCGCGCGTCCCTGGCCCGCACCGCGGCGCTGACCAAGGAAACGACAACGGAGCCGCCGGATCCGGTACAGGAAGTACAAAGAAAGGCCGCGCTCAAGGCGATGCGCGAGCGCGAGGCGAAGGTCGCGCAGTTCTTTGACTTCGCGCCGCCGGTGCCCGGCTCGAAGCGGCCCGCAATCCGTCCGCGCGAGCCGTCCTTCGCGGCGCGGCAAACGCGGCGCGCCGAGGCGCTGCGCCGCCAGCGGTCCGCCGTCGTCGACGTTTCCAAGTCGCCGAGCGCGGCGCCCGCGGCCTTCGACGGCGCCTTCGAGTGGTCCGACGTCCCGGCCTTCGACGGCGCCCACGGCAGCTGGTCCGACGCGGAGGAGACGGCGACCGAGGCCACCGTCCCGGCCGCCGAGACCGCGCCGGCGCCGGCCAGGCCTGTCCCGGCTGATTTCACCGAGACCGCGCGAATCCTCTATGATCCAACTGCTTCTGCGACCGCGGAGACCGCACCGGCACCGGCCGAAGCCGTCCTGACCGAGCCGGCCGCCCCATCCACGCCTCAAGTGTCCTTCGCGGGCCTGCTGCTCGCCCTCGCCCTCGCGCTGTCGCTGCCCCTCTGCGTCGTGGCGCTCGCGGCGTCCGCGTTCTGGCGCCGGCGCGCGCCTCCGGTCATTGAGACCCGCGAGACGCCCATCAACGAGCGCTACGCCACGAGAACTGAACCGGCGTCGGAGCTCGTGGAGATGGACGCGGCGACGCGCCGCGTGCACCGCGAGGCGCGAGCGGCGAGCCTCGAGGCCGAGAAATTACGTAAAATCCTCCACCGCTGGCGCGACTCACCGCGGCGCCCCTCCGTGGCGTCGCTGCTCAAGGCGCGCCGGGACCTGCGCGCTTCCAAATTCCAGGAGCGGCAGAACCGCTTCGACAGAGACGACGCGGTCGTCGCCGAGACGCCGCTGGTCAAGGAGGTGCGCTTCGACGCGCGGACGCCGGCGTCGGCGATCGTGTCGGAGAGCGACGGCGACTCGCCGGTCGTCGCGTCGCCGCCGCGGAAGTTGTACATGGAAGCGCCGCCTGTGAGGAACCGGTCCGCAATACTAGCGTGGGTGTTGCTCGCGGCCTTTGTCGCGCGCGACCTCGCGCCGCGTCGCCAGGCGCCGGCGCCGACGCCGAGGCCGAGCATGGAGCCGACGTACGTGCGCGCGCCGCCGGATCTTGTCGACGACGTCGCGATGGTCCCGGCTATCGCGATGGCGGCACCGAAGGGCCTTCGGCCGCTCGCGATCGCCAAGGCGGCGCTCGCGCCGATGGCGATCTCGGCCACAGTCCTCGCAGTCCTGCCGCCCCGGCTCCAGGCCGCGCTCGGCCTCCACGCGCTCCACGCGCTCGACCGCCTCCGACGCCTAGCTGTCGCGGCCGTCGCTTTCGTGGCACGGAAGCGGCGACGCGCTCCAACGGGCGCGCAGCTGAGATCGGCCATGCACTTCTCGGCGCCCTAGAGTCTAGGCGCCAACCTCCCGGGAACAAGTCCCTGTGTAACCCGTTTTTCCCCACACTCTGGGAGCTTTCTTATCTTAGAACACATTATCACGGTGGATGCGAGCGGCGATGCGCGGATCGGCCGGTTAGGTCATGATGGTCAGCTCGACGATTCGTTGCTTCTTTTTGCGCGGCGACGTCACGTCCTGTTCCGAAGCTTGCAACGCAGCGGCGTAGGTCTTCGTCAGCGCGTCCACGGCCGCCGCGTCGCCGGGGCCGACCGCGGGCTGCCCGGGGTCGTCGTCGTCGTCCGGCCCCGCGGCGGGGAGCGTATCGGAGCTCCTACAACCGTCCGGCCCCTCGGGGATTGGCTCGCAGCTGCCACAGCCGGCGACGAGCAATAGCCCCGCCGCCGCCGCCGCCGCGTCCGGCCCCGGCTCGAGCGCTGGCGTCCGCGCGGCCCGCCGGACGTGGCGCTCGAGGCGCGATACGTAGCTCGCCACGCGGTCGCGGCGCTCGAGCGCCAGCCGGAGACTCCGCACGAACTCGTCCCCCTTGTACTCGAGGAAGCGCTTCCGTTCATCGGCCGGCACGGCCCGGGCGAGCAGTCTCAAGCCCTCGTCCGTGACACCCTCGACGGCCACGTGCTTCGCCTCCCTGACAGGTTGATGACCGAGGAAGTCCCGGAGCAGCTCGGTCCCGATGCCCTGCCCGCGGAACTCCGGCCGCACATATAGTGCAATTAGTTTAGGCATATCCATCGCCACGGCGTCGTCGCGCTCGTCAAATTGGTCTCCAGGGTACTGATACGCATAAAACCCAGCGGCCTCGCTGCGCCCGTCATTCGCTCTTCTCCAAAAAATCGTCGCGCGCTGCGTCGGCGCCAGCCCCGGCTGTAACAGTTCCAGGGCGACACGATCCAAATTCGCATAAAAAGGCACCTCGCACAGCCCCGCCCGGTCAGACCGCGCCATAATTGATGTATATGTCGCCCACTGGCCGTGAACGCGCGCCGCTATCACTGTCCCATCGTTGCAATGCTGGCACCGTAATACCCTCAAGTCGTTCACGCTCGTCCGCTCGATGTATTTTTTGCCGACGGGCTGCGACGCCCAGCATTTATGGCACGTGAAGCTCCCCGACGTTTGGGTGGGGCTCTTGGGGAAGCGCTCGTGGTAGTCCGCCTCGCAGAAGAGGCCGTGGCCGTCCCAGTAGGCGCGCCGGTGCATTATGTCTTCGTCTGGAGCTGCTGGAGCGCAATTATTCGCTGCCCAATTATTTTAGCCCCAAGCACATCTCTCAAATTACTGATGTGAGGCGACCCCTCGACCGGGCCGGCCAACGTTCTTTTCTGTCCTGGTGAAGCCTCGGACGAGTGCGCCGTACGAGGCTAGCGCAGTAAGGCACTAGCAAGCCACCAAGCTGAAGAGCTGAGCCAGCAAGCATCAACCAGACGCTGGACACACTCCCTGCATAATCCAGCACACGCATCGCAGCGATGCACCCGCGACGGGTCGCGCTCCTGGCATTGGCGTCCACCGCTGCGGCCCTCCAGGCGCCACGCCAGCCGACGACAGCGCAGCAGCGCCAGCCAACCACGACAAGACGCGTCGCCACGCTCGAGCCGCCGACCACAAAGAAGCCGCTCCGCCTCAAGCTCACAAGTCCAGAGCCAACTAACGACTTCGTGAAGCCCGACGGCACGCTCGACGTCATTCCCTTCTCCGCGCAAGCCGAGTACGAGCTCAAGCCAAGGCAGAGAGTTATTGGATTGGCCTACATTTCTACACTGTGCACAATAGTAGCATCGTCGAGGATCCCGGCCTTTTTTCGTTTACTAGGCCTACAGTACGCCGCTTTTTCGGCGTTCGAGTACTGCTTCCACCGGTGGTGCATGCACTCGACGTACGGGACCTGGCGCGACAAGATCTTTTCGCGGTGGAATCGACTCCATGTCCAACATCATTTGGATACGAATCCGGACATGACGATGGTCGAGGGCTACAACTGGAAAGGCATTAGGTTTAACTATTTAACCTCAAGGTTGTCTGTTGTGATTGGATCATCGGTATCATACTTACTCGTGAAGGCTCTACGATTAGATCTCCCGTTCTGGCCCACTCCCATCGTAAGTTGGTTGCTGGCCATGTACCACGGGGTGCTGTGGAACAAGCTTCATACGGACAGTCACGATTTACAAGAGACGTTGACATGGTTTGACGGTGTCAAATATGTTCGGAATATACCGACGGGCAACCGCTACGCTAGATGGTTGTTGACGAACCACATCGGCCACCACGCTATTGATGGGAAAGGCAACTACAACATCGTCTTCCCGGGGCCGGACCACCTCGCGGGGACGTTCTACCAGCTTAAGACATGATTGTTTCTTCGGGGTGTCCCCTTCATGCGCCGTCGCCCCGCGTTCGTCGCGGCGATGGCGTGACAGCGGGGTTAGACGCCATCGCCGCGACGGCGTGCTGGTGGGGTAGAACTCCCACCACCGACGCCATCGCCGCCGCGATATACGGGTGGGGCACAGTTGAGAGAACTAGCTATCGTCCTTACTCGCCTCGGAAACAGCGGAGGTGCCGGCCTCGACGGCCTTCCCCAATGCCGAGCCCGCCAGCTTCCCCACGTTTTGCAGCCCGATGAAGGCGACGCCTCCAAGAGTACCTAAAGCGTTGCCCACGGCCTCCGCGGACGCCTTCCGGTCGACGTCGGACCGCGACTTTTCATTGGACAGCACGTCATGGGCGTCGACGATCGTCTGCCACGCCTTCGTCGCGGCGTTTCGCCGCGCTTCGCGCGCTTCGAGTTCCGCCCTGCGATCGTCTCCTAGAGTAGCGAGTGTCGCCGCGGCCGCACAGAGGTCCTTCTCCAGGTCCTCCCTTGTAGATTCGGCGTCCAACTCATCCAAGAACTTCCGGATTTCATTGGCTGCCTTCGCCGCGGCGTCTCCTGCTTTTGTGTCGGGCGTCCCGCTCTTCGCCAGAACCACATCCGGATGTAATGATTTGGCCTTCTCCCGGAAGGCCTTGCGGATCTCGTCGGGTTTGGCCGACGTGCGCACGCCCAGGACCTCGTATGGGGATAACTCGGTTTCTGCTTTGAGGTGGGTCCGCCGCCGGTGGGTCCGCCGCCGCGCCGTGCTCGGTTTTGTTTGGAAGCCGGCGCTCGTCAAGACGACGGACAGCAGTATGTAGAGACGCATTGTGATTGCTCGACGGCGTGTGACGAGCACGTTCGTGATCCTTCGGCGCCAGAGAGCTGCTTGTACGGCGGATTTGGAGGCTCCTATGCTGGATTTTTGCACGGAAGCTAGACTGCGCAGTGCAAACGGATGTAACAGACACCTCGAATCGGTCTGTGGAGCCGAGAGCGCTGCGATATCCGCTCCCGAAACGCGGCAAATCCGCGCTAGCGTGCTGGTAAGCCACTAGAGAGCACTTTTGAAGGTGCCAGGCAGCAGGCCTTTAAACTGCACACACCTGTGGCTCTTGTGTTAACAAGACGTTGCTCCGCAATTTATCTCGGCCACGCGCACTGCTGTGCGAAGGCTGGCGGCCCGCGAGACGCCACCGCCGCAGATCGAGATTGAGCTCGAGACACTGCACAGCCACAGATGCGTCCGCCCGCGGCGCTCGCGCGGGCGCAGCGTGAAACCGATGATGCCAGGCAAAGGGTCGCGGTGCTCTCGCGCGCGCGGCCGCAAAACAATGACGCCACGCCGAGCGTCGCCGCGGCCCTCCGACAAAAACTACAAGGCATCCAGACCTCCTACGCCACGACCGCGGCGGACATCGCGTCGAGGGCGCCGCGGCGCCCGGCCGAGAATGTGATAAGGATCCTCGAACGCCACGAGCGCTCGCGGGACGTGCGCGGCGCCTTCCACAAGATCAAGACCCGCATGTTCCAGGAGCGCGCCGTCGAGAAGGAGGCCGCGAGGCGGGCGACGCGCGACGCGCAGCTCGCCCTCGAGCGCAAGCGCGTGCTCGCGCGGGCCCGGGAGCTCGATTCCATGAGCGACGGCCTTGAAGCGCTACGGGACCTCGCGCACCGGAAGCGAAGGGAGCGCTTTGCAGAAATAGCGTGCGACACGCGGCGCGCTTTCAGTTTCTTCGCGGCGATGCGGCCGCGCCTCGCGCGGAGAAAGCTCGAGCGCCGCGCTTCTGGCATAGCCGCGCTCCTCCGCGTCCGGTCGTGCTTCCGGACACTCCGCGCCCAGGCGCGCCGCGGGAAGCTCGTGCGCGAGATCTCGCGGAGCGCGAATCGCCGGCATGCCCGGCGCGCTCTGAGAGCGCTGCAGCTGCTGAAACTGCGCGGCGTCGAGCGGCGCGTCGCGCTTTTGCGAGCGAACCGCGTCGCGAAGGCGTCCGCGGCGCGGCGCTCCGTACGAGCCTTTGTGGAAGGAGCGGCCTTCAACCGGACCTCGCGGCAGGCCGCGCTGCTCGCCGACGCGGCGGCGCGACGGCGCGGCCTCACGTGCTTCGCTTTGCATGCGACGGCGCGCGAGGCCGCCCGCTGCGCGCGGCACCGCGGCGGCGTCTTTTGCCGACGGAAAAGGCTGCGAGCTGCGTTCCGGCATCTGGCGGCGCTTACGTCCGCGCGGGCGGCGCGGCGCGATCGAAGGCGAAGCGCGGCGCTTGAAGCGGTGGGCGCCGCGCGTGGCCGCGGCCTCGCGGCGCTGAAGGCGCTCGTGGAGCGCGGGCGGACGCGGAGCGCCCGCGACGCTCTCTCTGACGCGGCCTTTGCAGTCAGCTGCAAGAGCCGCGGCCTCGCTTCACTAGTGGAGGCAGTCGCGCGCGCCGGCCGGCGGCGACGACTAGAAACGGCGGCCTGCGTCGGCGAGCGGGCCGTGGCGCTGCGTTCAATCGCGCGCTGGCGCCGCCGCGTCGGCGCGATCACGCACCTCAAACGGTTAATGCGCAAGGCCGCGCTGTCGAAGAAACCGTCAAAGCCGAAGCTGCGCGCCGCGTTGGATGCGTGGTGGGCGCTGCGGCGCGACAGAGCGGTCAGTAAGGCGCGCTTGGAGCTCGCGGAGGTCTGGCGGAATCGGAGGAGAGGGCGCGCGGCGCTCGCCGCTTTATTTGCGATGCGGCGCGACCGTCTTCGACAGCGCCGGGCGCAGCGCGTCGTCGAGGAGTTTCAGAGACGAAACGACAATTCCCAGAAACAGCGCGTCTTGATTCAGCTCGCGCGGAAGTGTCAGGCACGGCGGCGGGACCGCGCGGCCTTTGCGGCCGCCCTCAAGCGCCGCCAGCGGCGGGCCTTCCCGCTGCTACAAGCGCGCGTCGCGGCGGCGAGCGCCCGCGAGGCGCGGCGCGTCGCGCGGCAGCGATTACGAAGGGGCGTCGCGCTCCTGCGCGGCCGCGTGCGTGCTCAACATCTACGCCGGGCGCGGACGCGCCTCGCGGCGCTCCACCGCCGTTCAATAGTGGGCCGCCCTGCCTTATTACGGTTGCAGGAGAGTAGCGCGCGGCGGCGGCAGAATCGCGTTTTGAGAAGGGCGCAGCACTACGAGGCCCTCGACGTCGCGTCGGCGCGCGCGCTGCGGCGGTGGCGGTTGATAGCGGCGAGCCGGAAATCGACGCGCGAGCGGCACGCCCCGCTCGTCGACGCGGCTCTTGTGTCTCTTGCATTGCGGCGAGCTAGACGTTTCCTGACGGAGTGGCGCTCGCACGTGGCGCACGCGCGCGCAACGCGGCGCGCCGAGCTACCGCGGCTCGTCGACAAGTTCCGCGCGTGGCGGCACCTGACGGAGCGCCGGCGTCAACCGCCGCCGCCGCCGCCGCTCCCGCGTCCGCCGGTGTTGCGCCGCCTCGCGGACGACGCGCCCGTCGCCGCGCCCGTGTCGTTGTCGCCGCCGGCCTGCGTGGATTTGGTGCACCTGAAGCATCTTGGGGCGGGGCCTCATCCTTCTGGTGGTGCGTTTTAATTTTACAGTATACATGTCTGCCCCGTCGGCACCGGCAAGTGTCTCTACTAGTACGTAACTGAACTTATGAACAACATATCCTGGGAGCGGGTCTTCTACACATAGCCTAGCGGCACGGCGTCCGCGTCCAAGTCGGTGATCGTCTCGTAATCCCAGATCGCGACGGACACAGGTAGAGGAGCGGTGTCGACGTCGAGGACGACGCGGAAGCCGGGCGGAAAGGCCTCTGGACCGAAGGTGAGGGAGACGCCCGGCGGCGTTCGGTAGCATATGATGCGCTCGTCATCGTGGCACGTCGAGCACGCGTAGAAGACGACCGACGCGACGCGCGCGACGTGGCACGATTCGAGCGAGGGTAGGTCGGTCATCAGTTGATTGAGGGTTCGCGGCGTCAGCGCCCCGAAGATCGAGGGATCGTAGAGCCGGTCGCCGCACTGGTCGTCGATTGTGAGTTTCTTGAGGGAGGGGCAGAAGGGCAGCGCGGAGTCCCAGTTGAATTGGGTTCGCGGTCCTACGGCGATCGTCATGGTCTCGAGGTTCGGGAGGCTCTCCGGCAGCTCCGGAGCGACGTCGGCCTCGAATCGCAAGGACAGATGTTTGAGCGTCGGGTGACCTTCCAAAGGAGAGAACGCGTCGGGGACGCTCGCATAGTCAATCGTCAGCGAGAGCGTTGTCAGCGGTGCCGCGGCGACGATGGCGCAGATGGACGACAGAAATCCATGGTACTGGTGGAATGCCACGAGCGAAGTTGACTCGACGAGGGCCTCCACGCCACGCAGCGTTCTGGGAGCCAACAAGTGGGTCACGATGCTGAGGTCGACGGCGCGCAGGCGCGGCATCACTTTGTGAAGCGATGACAGAACATCGTCCCTGACCCATGGCGCGTCTCCCTCGAAAAGTTCGGCGTGCCGATGCGTCTGCGCCGCGAACTCGGCCCAGGAGCGGTAGTTGCTGGCTCTGACTACGCGCGCGGTGCGGGTCATGTGTCCCCGGAAGCCGCGCGACACCACTTTTACGGCCGCCGCGGGTCGATGAGAAGCGTGGCGCGATAAGTCGTAGTCCCGTGCCAGGACGGCGTCGTCTTCATACCGCGCCGGTTGCAGGTGCTCGCAGATCGCGAGCAGAAGCTCCTCCGGTAGCTCCATTGTGCGATTGCAGGGGAGCCTCAAAAAGGAAGGTGACCTGAGTCACCTTAATTAAGAAAAATAGGCCCCTCCCCCCCTCCTACTAGTGTCTTACAAGGCCGCTAGCCCATCGCGATTATCCAGATCCACGCGCCGCCGCGGCGCAAACCGATACAAATCGGCGCGTTACGCAGCCAGCGATGAGCTTCGAGCCGCGCGACGAGCTGGCCGATTACCTCGCTAGCCTCGACCTGCAGCACTACGCGCCGCAATTGCACCAGGAGGACATCCACACCATAGCCGATTTACGGATCCTGACGGCCGTCGACCTGGTCGCGTGCGGCATCGAGCACGCCGACGCGGCGACGATCCTCGAACCCGACCTGTACCCCTACCCGGACCCGAGCGAGGCGCCGACGCCGCAGCGGGCCTTCGGAGCATTACAAGCCCAGGCGCCGGCCTGGGAGCCGCCTCGACAATACGAGGCGCCCTACAAGCAGCGCGCGCGCGAGTTCCAGAACTGCCGCGGCGGCAAGACGTCGTCAGGGAGAAGTAGAGCGAGAACGAAGGCCGCGATGGCCGACGCGACGGCGAGCGCGCCGGCCCTAGCGAACGCGCTCCGAGGCTACATCGCCATGCGCGGCGGCAGCATCCAGGCCCAGCAGCTCGCGGAGTTCTACAAGAGCCCCGCGTGCGCGGGCCTCGAGGTCCCGAAGGGTGGGGCCCTGAAATTGCTGCGAAACGTCGAGAACTCGGGGTTGAGATTCACGCACATGGCGCATCTCAACAAGTGGATCATCGCCCTCGATCACGACGCGCCGCCGCCGCCGCCGGCCTCGGACCTTGGCGCGTCCGCGCCGGCGTTCGTGCCCGGGGCGCCGTTCGGCTACGCGCCCGAGGCCGATCTGCGGTTCGCGTCGGCGGATGTGAGCGGCCGCGATGCACCCACCGACGGCATGACCGCCAAGCAGCGCCGTCTGGCCAAACGAGCCGCAGCGCGCGAGGCCGACGCGCCGGTGCCGCGCGGCGCGGCGACGTCAGCCGAGCCCGACCCTAGATTGAGGCAGCTGCGCATGGAGTCCCTCGAGGCCCTGTCCGCCGTCCAACGCCGCGCCGACAATGCCGCCGGCGCGCCGCGCCCGCTAGGCGTCCGGGGCGCGGCGCCAGGCATCCGCGCCACAGCGTCGGGGGGAACGACGACGACGGGATATGTTAAGGCGCGCCACCCGTCCGGGGCGAAGAAGAAGATCTTCGTTCCGACCGCGCGGCCGTGGACGCGCCTGGGCCACAACCAGCCCAAGCACGCCTTCACGGTCGTCTCCTACAATGTTTTATCTCAAAAATTGTTGGATTCGCATAGATACCTCTACCACACTACTTTGAGACCGAGGATGCGCCTCGCGAACCTGCAAAAAGAGATTGGTAGATATGGCGCCCAGATCGTCTGCCTCCAAGAAATCGAACCTGAAAACTTAGAAGCGTTTACAGGCTGCGTCCGGACGTTCAAGAATGATGATAAAGATATCAAGAGGGGTGCTGAAGTGGCCTTTGCTCCCTGCGGTGAACCGAGGACGGACGGCGTCGCCGTTCTGGTCGATGCGGGGCGGTTCAGCATCGTTCATAGCCACGAACTCACGTTGGACGCCGACGAGGGCAAGAAGAACGCGGGCTTGGTCGTGACGTTGTCAGATCGAGAGGCCTCGGGTTCTCTGATCGTCGCGTGCGCGCACCTGCTCTTCAATCCAAAAAGAGGAGACGCTCGCCTGAGGCAGTGCGTCGCGTTTTTAAGAGCTGTCGAGGAGGCTAAACAGCAAGCGGTGCAACCTGTCAGAGTTGTTGTCTGTGGTGATTTCAACAGCTATCCCGACTCCGCGGTCTACTCTTTTCTGAGTACTGGAAGCGTCGCTTCGATAGCTCTGGAGGAACGGACGGCCCACGATGATTGCAAGGAGCATCCGTTCAAGATTGAGAAAGGACGGTGCGTGACTGCTCATGAGCCGTACCAAGACGTCTCCATCAACAAAGTTTCTCATGCATTAGCTCTGGAGTCGGTCTATTCTTTGGGAGGTGGCGAGCCCGGCTTCACGACGTACCTACCCAAGGGCACGAAGGCCTGCGTCGACTACGTCTGGTCGAGTGACCTGGTGCCGGTCGGTAGACTCGAGCCGCCGCCGCTCGAGGAGCTGCGCGACGGGCTGCCGTCCCAAAAATTCCCGTCCGACCACGTCGCGCTGGTCGCGCGGTTCGCGCCGCCTCGTCAGCAGGCCTAGTTTGTGATAAGTATGCTTCTCTGTGTGTTCGAGTAGCGATCCCGCGCGGTGTTTTTTTTTCACGTCGGTTTCCCGGCTACCACAAGAGGTCATTCTCACCTCGCAGGGCAATCTTGCGATCACGTATCAAGAGCTCGGACGGCATGAACCATCCCTACAGATGAAGCGAGACGTCCACTCCGGATTTTTGAAGCTCAACGGCGAGGAACATGAAACGACTCTCATAGCAGCCAACAACTACGCGAATTCCCTTGGTCGTCTAGGGCGCTTCGAAGAAGCCAAGGATTTGCTGCGCAAAACGACGCCCGCAGCGCGACGCGCCCTCGGCGAGAGTAATTTAACCACGCTCAGGATGAGGCGGAAGTACGCGGAGACGCTCTACAAGGACCCCGGCGCCACACTAGACGATCTCCGCGAGGCCGTGACGACGTTCGAGGACACGGAACGGATCGCGCGGCGCGTGCTCGGCGGCGCGCACCCGATCACAAAGGGGATTGAGGGCGAATTGCGAGACGCGCGAGCCGCGCTCGACGCCCGCGAGACGCCGTCGGGGAGCAAGTAAGGCACTTAGGAATGAGTACTTAGCGTATAACTCCCGACCGATGGATCGGGCGCCCCCACGAATCGCGGTTGATTCGGATTCACGACTACCGCCGTGCCACCGATCGTCTCGATCTTCTTCGTGATGACGCCACTCCTGATAATTTTCTGGCCCGCGACCTCGTCTTGGACGGGCACCTCGACACTCCGCGAGTAGCCGGAGGCATAGGAGCCCTCGCGGCCGTCGCGCCGACTGTCCTCCAAGTTCGCCTTTGCATTGACCACGCGCAGCGGCACGGTGCCCAGATCGCCGTATTCGCGCACCTTCGACTTCCGTGTCCGTTGTGATGAGGTGAGGGAAATCACCGACACGTCCAGTAATGCTTTGCCCCGCTGCCGTAACCGACAGGGCCCGTCGCGGAACGCGAACGAACCATCGGATAAAAAGCATCGCCCCTTGTACAACCGCGGCTGGGGCGACGGCGGCGCCTCCTCTTCCACTGGTTCCGCCTCGACCTCGTCGTCCTCCCTTCGGATGGCGAGCTTGGCGCCGATATCAGTATGGTGGAGCCCGCCGTTCCAGCACCGCACGCAGTACGGTCTTTTTTCAAGCGGGCTCCATAAAGTCGCCTCGTGGGGACAATTCAACGAGCAGCAGGGCACGAACGGATTTAAGTCCTCGCGCGGCTTCGACTGGTAGATCGACGAGGACCGGCGGAGCGCGTCGACGTGCTCTTGCGGCGACATCGGTGCCGCGACGCGCTGGGGCGGCGGTTCGACATAGTTATCAGGCGGCGCCTCCCAGCCGTCCGGCCGCCAGGCCCAGCCCCGCATCGGCTCGTGGCGCTTTTTGCCGGGTCCATCATCTATAGTAGAGATGATTTCTTGGGTAGGTGCGGCCCTCCCCAACTTGTAGGGCGCGCCACGCGGCCTTCGGGATAGGTCCTGCAGCGCCCGCACGGAAATGCAGGCGAATGGCGCCTCCGTCGTCACTCCTCTCGCCGGATCAGCATAATTCTCGAGCTGCTCCAACAGGTCCGGTCGTAATCGAAACGTCGAGAGTCCCGACTTCGCCAACGGTCGATGCCGGCCTTGAGAGGCCTTCAAGCCGGGCGTTGCCGCGCCGGAACTACAACGCGGCGACGGCTCGGCGCCCAGCAGAGCCGTTCCCCGAAATTCCACGGCCTCGACGGCCTGCAGGCGCATCCTCAGCAGCTCGTCGGCGGGCGTCGGCGCGCGGCTCCGTTGCTGCGAGGCCGGCGGGCTGCCGATGGCGAAGGCCATCCTTTCGGCGTCCTTCTTGATATTAGTGGCGCGTCGATGGCGTGGGGATCCGTCGGCGGCGTCGGGCTGGCCGGGTGCAGCTGCCACAGTAGAGCTCACCACGGCAGGGCGTCGGGGGCCTGGGGCAGCCCCGGAAGCGACCGTTTCCTGCGCTCGTGCTGGTGGAGAGCTCGCCCGGCCCTGTGGGATCCCGCTCCCGGCGCTCCGCGGCCGACACGAGCTGCAGCGCCGGAGCTTGTGTTGAGAGAGAGCCCCGCACTTTGCCAAGTTTTGAAGCGTGAATCCTCCATGGATTTCTGAGACGAGCGAGAGGCGTCGCCGGCGCGGGGCAGTTCCTCTCCTTCGCCGCGGCCAATCAGATTTACCTGTGGCAAACCAGGCCTGGCAAGGCCACCAGGAATTGGAGCTTAAAACTACACGAACAGGTGCGCACACGCAGCCCGCGCAAGTCAGCGCAACGCCACCGAGCTCCGCGCACCACGCGCCGCCTCTGGGGCAGCCGCGCACCGCCGCGCAGGCCCACAAACAATGGTTATGATCGCACCAAGCTCCTTTATCGGCTTCGGCGACCTCACGACGGACCGCAAGGCCGACGCGGTCCCGGCCAACTGGCGCGACGGCATCCCGAGCGGCGACGAGCGGTTGAGAGGAGGCCCCTTCCACCGTGACCCGCGGCCGCGCTCGTACACCGCGCCGCGGCCCGACTTCACTCCATCTCAACAGATCAAGGGCGGGCCGCCGGCCTACGCGCACCTCATGGGCAATCCTTGTGAGTGGAGTCTGATGAGTTGCGACCGCGGGCCGTCGCAAGCCTCGAAGGGCTTCCGGTCCCCGGTCGGGTGGCAGCGCGGCCTTCATCCCGATCTAGCGGACAAGCTCTACGACGCGTCTCTGTCGAACAATCAAGCCGTCTACGAGCGCTTCGCGAAGAACGTCCGCTATTTATTCAAGGACGGCGCCCCGCAGTGTACCGCTCTGGTCTAAGGGGAGGACTCGCGGCTTTAGCCCGCGCGGTGGGGGTTCGATTCCCTCGGGCGGTTGATGGGGCGCCGCGCGCAGGTTTGTTGGCGACGACACGCGTCGGATCGCGCCACCACGACCGCCTCGTCAAGGGCTCGTCGCTCCCGGAGCCGCGAGACGTCGTCTCCAAGACGGGTGTCAGCATCGGCGTCATGGTGGGCTATGATTCTGGAGAGCCTCTGTTCGACGATTCGACGTCTCAACTAGTCGAGCCGCCCTTCGGCGACAAGCACGGCAAGTCCCTCGCGCGCGTCGAGCGGGGCGCGGGCGACGGCCTCGTCGTCTACGTCTGCCTCGACCCCGCCCATGGGACGCACCGCCTCTACGCGTGGCTCCGCCAGCGGTACTCCGCGCGCCAGCAGGCGGCGATCTTCGGCCGGCTCGTCGACGCGGACCTCCTCGCCTAAGGGTCATTTAGCACATCTTAGTCGTTCTAGTCGCCGCGCTTGCGTTTGGCGGCGGGCTGTTCGAGGGACGCGGAGAAGAGCGCCTCCTCGACGGCGCGCGGCGTCCACAAGCCCCCGAGCTTCTTCGCTTTCGCCGAGCAGGCCTCCAGCAGCCTCTGATAAGAATCGAGGTCGTACTTCTTCGAGTGCTCCGGCTCGCCGAGGACCGCTTCTAGAGCTTCATCACTCATAACGGGGAGGCGGTCGTCGACGGCCGCGAGGCAGACCGACGCCGTCGCCACCCCAATTCCCGTCAGCGCCGTGAGCGCGTCGCAGGCTTTTCTCGCGTCGGGGATCGCGGCGATGGCGGCCTTGCTCGCTTTGCGCACCTCGTTGTCATGCATAGCTTCGGCGAAGCGCATGAGCGGCCGCATCTTGCCGCGCGTCAGCTTGTAGCCGACGACCTGTACTAGATCTTCCTTGCTGAGCTCGGACTGGCCTTGTAAATTGGTCCACTTCTTGTGCAGGGCCTGCGTGGTGCGTGCGTTTCTTGGCGGCGGCGGCGCGACGGAAAGTTTTTGCCGCGCTGCAATTTTGCCTTCAGGCTCCCATACTTCGTCGTCTTGCCGCTGGCCCTCATGCGCTGCTCGATCGCGTCGAGATGGCTTTCCCACACGGCTTCGTCCTCGCTTGCCCACAATGTGGCGGCCATGGCTCAAGATCAAGAGATCGCGTATTGCGTGCGCAAGTGAGCGCGCAGCGGTTGACGCGCGCAGAAATTGAAAAAGACAGTGAACGCGACGCAACGAAGGCCGTTGCGCAAGCGATTTGCAGCAATATGAGAGAGCTAATTGCGCAGAGCGGCGTCGGTCTGGCCGCGATCGGGTTCGACGCATTGCTCCGTCGTGGTGCTTAGGGATCGCCAGGGGTCTGACAAAGACCGGTGGCGTGGCATGCGAGCGGCGGCGTGAATTTTTTCTCGGCGCGGGACGACTCCCGCGCTGGCCGAACAGCAGGAAAGGTACACAACGACAAAAATTACTTCACAGAAGCAGAAGCAGCCGCCGCGACGACGACCTCGTACGTCCAGAACGTCAGCGCCGCCGACGGCGCGACGCGCAGCGCGTTCGGCCAGCACCCCTTGAAGAAGCCTCGAATACCCTCCACGCGGAACGTGTCGCCCACGCATTTCAGAGTTCGCGCTATTTCGCCAGCGGGTAAATTGCCCTTGAAATTCGAGTTCGTGTTGGGATACCGCTGCTGGACCCGCGTTTTCACGACTTGGTACGGGTAGGTCGCGGTCGCGGCGGCCAATTTCGACACGCCACCATAAACTAGAGCCTCGGACCGGCCCGCGTCCGTGGACGGCGGCCTCAGTTCCTTCAGTTTCTCATAAACGACAAATTGCACTGCGCCGTGCGACGTCAGAAATAACGCCGGTAAAATACCTCGGTAGAGAGCCAACCAGCCCTCTTCTTTTATGATTCTTGAGAACGCATCTAAGATGCCCTTGTAGCGTTGGTCCTTCTGCAGTTGCAATCTCGTTTTCACGAGCCAGACGGGATTGGTCAACAGAACCATACAAGCACCACTTTGAATCGAAGCGACGGCGTGGTTCATCGCGCTGGCATTTTGTGGTTTGAAGCGCTCGTAGAAGTAGAAAAAGCCCCCCCAAGATAGTGCGCTTCCAAGTAATGCGGGCGAGAGGCCGTTGAAGAGCGAACGTAAGCCTTCCCTCCTGATAACGGAAGATGCCGCTGCTACGACGCCGGGCATCCGTTCCACCCTCGTGTCGGCCTGGAAGCGCACTTTCACGAGGTCGAGCGGGTACAATAGTGTAGTGGAGCAGGCGCCGGCGGCGATGCCCGCGACGGCGTGGATGTGCGGCGGCGGGCGCTTATTTTGTGGTGGTGCCATGGCGCTGGCGCGGCGCCGGCCTCAGGGAGGCGAAACGCGCGCTGTGATTGCACAGCTCTGCAGGCCTCCGGCCTCTGGCGTGCGCGCGGCGCCGGCGTCAGGTGAGGCAGGCTGCAGGCAGTGCAATGCTGCTGCGTGTCAGACGGCTACGAATCGATGCGTTTTTTGCCTCAGCCTTGTAGTGGCTTCACGCAGCGGTCGTATCGACACGAAGATGTGATCTGTTTGTAGAGTTTCCCCTGCAGCCAACCCAGGACAAGTTTGACCAAAGGCCAAAAGCTAGTGCCTCTTAGCTAGCTCAGGCAAACAGATCGAAGGCCCAGCGTCTCCGAGTCGTCAAGAAGCAGTGGAAGAGATACGAGAACGGTGCTCCGCGAAGCCGCACCCCGACAGACAGGCCAAGAGAGCCGGCAAAAGCGCTGTCTGGCAGCGAGGATGGCCGCCCACGAGCCGAGGTGACACCTCGCGCTTTCGAATAGCTCCACCGATCCCTCCCGGGACGCATAGTACGCGAGGCGGGCAGCTAAGGCGGGCAGCATGGTGGGGCTGCCTCTCTGGCTGCTGCTGGCCGCCTGTGGAGCCGTCGACCTCGACACGGTCTTCTTCGATGGTGTGGAAGCGGAGCGCTCCTACGACTACGACCTCGGAAGAGATATTCTTGATGTTGCGTCGACCGGACTGCCTCATCATAAATTCGACGTGAGCTTCGAGCCCGGCGTGCCTGTAGCGTTCACAGCGACGTTGCCACTTCCAGAAGACTACGTCCAGCGCGGCGTGGCCTTCGGCGGGCGGCCCTTGCCTGAAGGTCCTATTGGCGTCGCGGTTAATGGCGTCGCGATATATGCCTATAATACGAATCTTACGAAAAGAGACGGCTGCTTCGGCCACAAGATTGGTGGAGCCTATGTTTATGTGGAGGCCTTCCCCTGCCTTTTTGGAGACGACCGTAATGAGTATCACACGGTGAGAGAAGCTGCCTATATAGGCTTCGGCACGTCCGTGCGGCCCGACGGCACGGCCGCCGCGGATCCCCGCAGTAGGTTTTTTCGAAGCGGCGTCATTGGGGTGATGAACGACGGCTTTCCGCTGTACGGGCCGGTCGACGAGCACGGCAACATCCATCAAGGTTTAGATGAATGCGGCGGCAAATATGACAATGAAGGAGAGTACGCCTACTACGCGTCCCTGGAACCGCCCTACACGATCGCCTGCTTCGGTCCGGGCTACGCGGCGACGCCTCCGAGTCCCATCAAGGACGCCGTGCCGCGTACGGCGAACGACGACGCCGCGCCGGCCTGCCCCGCGGGCGCAATCGCAACGTCGAAAGGGTGCACAAACTGCCCGGCCGGGCGGTACGCCAAAGATGACGGGTGTACTGGCACGTGCCCGCCCGGCCACTACTGCCTCGAGGGAAGCGCGGGTCCCGAGGCGGCGGTCGAGTGCCCCGGCGGTGTGTTTGGCGACGTGCGCGGTTTGAGAGATGCGACATGCGCGGGACCGTGCCCGCCCGGGTCGTTCTGCCCCCGCGGGTCCCTAGAACCGCGGCCGTGCGGCAGTGAAGATAGGTACTGCCCGGCCGGGAGCAGTGCGCCCATCCTGGCGGACGCCGGCGCCTACACGACGCCTCAAATGGCTTCCGCGTGGGCGCATCCTGAAGCGCCGTACTGCATGGCCTCGGAGGGAGCCAACTGCACCGCCGCCGCGATCGCGTCCCGACCCCTCGCGCCGCGCCAGACCGGGATTCAACAATGCGAGCCGGGCCACTTCTGTACCCAGGGAATCAAATTCCGCTGTCCGGGTGGACGGTACGGGTCCGAGCATCATTTGAAGACGCCCAACTGCACCGCGGCGTGCCCCGCGGGGACGTACTGCCCCGAGGGATCCCTCGAACCTTCGCTATTGCCGGCGGGGCGCTACTCGCCGCGCAAGGAACTTCGGTCGTTTGATGACGCGTCGCTGTGTCCGGCCGGCTCCTACTGCCCGCCCGGCAGCAGTGCATCAATACATTGCCCGGCGGGCCGCTTCGGCGACCGCGTTGGCTTAAAATCGGCGGCGTGCCCCTCTACCAATTCGGATGGCGACGCGCCGTCGCAGTGCCCCGCGGGCTACGTCTGCCCGAGCGGCACGGCCGTTTCTACGTCCATTAAATGCGGCAGCCCCAAGGCCCTGGATTTGTTGGAGGCGCTCGAGCGCAACGCACCATTACCAGAAAGGGGGGAGACGACGCGTGGAGGCGGCCTCGGCGCGGCGGCCTTCTGTCCGCGCGGGTCGGCGGCAGCACGACGCGTGCGCCGTGGGTATTATTCTATCGGTCCCTCCACAAAACCGCGGTCAGTTAGCGAAGACACGGATCTCAATATTCGGAGGGACGAGGTCCGATGCGAGGCGGGCCACTACTGCGTTCAGGGCATTAGAAAACCTTGCCCCGCGGGCAGATTTGGTGATGTAGAAGGCTTAGATAACGCGCGGTGCTCGGGCCCCTGCGCGCCGGGCTACTACTGCCCGACCGGCTCCTCGTCAAAAAATGAACACGCCTGCGGTGGGCCGGAGGTCTACTGCCCCGTCGGGAGTCCAGCACCATACCCCGTTGGGGCGGGCAACTACTCCTCCGTCGATATAGACGAGTACGAAAATGAAGATGGCACACTCGTCCCCGCCTCCACCAACATGGCATCGACAGTGGCAGCAGATGCGCGCGCGTCGCAGCGCATCTGCGAGCCGGGCTACTTTTGCGAGGGCGGCGTGCGACGACCTTGTCCGGCGGGCCACTACGGTTCCGATAGAGGTCTTTCGGCGAGGACATGCAACGGGAAATGTCCCCCGGGCATGTGGTGTCCTGAACGAGCAACAGCCGCATTACCGACGCGCAACGGCAGCTACTGCGCGACGGGGGGCTGCACGACGGAGGAGGGCGACGGGCCCTGCGAACCCGGCTACTACTGCCCCCGCGGGTCGTCTAGCAGTACCCAACGGCCGTGCTGCGACGCTAGGAGGGACGACTTCACGGGATTATGGTATACATTTAATGGGAGAGGCTTCGGGACGTCGAATGACGTCGATGTTATTTTGCTGGTGGACAACGAAGCCGAGTGGGGCCACTCGTTCCACCCGCCGCCGGGCGAAGTTTATGACTACGACGGGTTCCACCAGCACGCGCCCGCGCGGTTAGCTAGGACTTGTGAAACGCTCTTCTGTCCGCGCGGTTCGGCCGCGCCAAGAAACGTCTCGGAGGGCTACTACAGTACAGGTGGGAATCGAACGACGCGCCATGGCCAGGCGAAGTGCGACGGCCTCGAGAACCGGCGCCAGACGCACCGCATCGGATTAGATCGAGCTCCTTATTGTGCCACGACGGTGCAGGGTGGTTCACATGCCCCAGGCGTGGACGACGAGACTTATGGCCAGGGGACGGCCGACGGCTTGCATGATTCCGCGCGCGCCTGGCAGCCGCCCCTGTTCTTAGGGTTGAAGGGCAAGGCGCACATCGTCGGAAACGACCAGACGGAGTACGAGTGGGCGCCGCTACCGGAGGACGCGCCCTCCGAAGCGTGCTGCACGTGTTTGAATAGGGGCGCGTTCAATTTATGTCATGAGTGCCAGAGCGTGTGTCGGACGGCGTGCGACGTCGAGGCTGCGACTTGTGCTTCGCTTTTTCCGCGACTGCTCATTGACGTCGCGTCGTAAATTTCCTCAGTATATTTACTACCCCGCGTCGATCGCCTTCTGGGCGTCCGCGATTGATGTGGCGTCGTAGATTTCCAGGAAAATTACTCCCCCGCGCCCAGCGCGAGGCCCTCGAGCGCCTTCGCCGCGTCCGCGACGGCCGCCGCCACGTTGTTCACGGCCGCGCACTTCCCTTGCGCCCGGCCGCCCTTGCCGCCGCCTCGGCCTTCTAGCGCTGATAAAATAGACCCCTTGGCCGCCTCGACGAGCGCCGGCGTCGCCGACGAGATCAAGAACGCCCCGTCATTTTTTGAACCGAACGTCTGCACGAGGACGGCGTCCGGCCGCCTTTGGTCAAAGGCGCCCGCGAGGATCTTCCCGATCTCGCCCATGTCCCTTGTAGAATCCCGCTTCGGCGCGGCGACGACGCGCCCGGGCATTGACGCGAGCTTGTCCGCCAGCAAGTCCACGACCTCCTTCTGGAGCCGCTTTTCCCGCTGCAAGGCCTCCTTGGACTTGTCCACGACGTCCCGCACGCGATCGGGCACGGTCTCGGCGGCGGTGCACAGCGTCTCGACGCACTGCCGCTCTCTTTCAATACACGCGCCGAGTCGCTCGAGCAGGCGCGGGCCCGCCACGAAGTAGACTAGCGTGTTTCCGCCGCGCTTCGCCTCCGTCCGTATTACTTTAAACGCCTGGAGGTGGGCCAGATTCCTCACGTGCGTGCCGCAGCAGGGGTTCACGTCGACATCATTTGAAATGCGAACGAGGCGCACGGGCCCCGTCACGCTCGCTGGTAATGAACAAGACGACGCGCGCAGGCCCGGCACTTTACAGTCCTTGACGTCGCTCGCCGAATGCCACTCCGTCTCTACTTGTATATCGTCTCTGATCAGGGCATTGACGCGGTCCTCGAGCTCCGGGACGTGAGCTGGGGTGAAGGGGCTGCCCAATTCCACGGTCGCGTCGGTCTCGCCCAGGTGCCAGGATAAAGTAGGCGCGCCGAGCCAGTCCTCGCAGACGGCCGACGCGACGTGCTGCGCCGTGTGCTGCGTGGCGTGGGCCCACCTCCTCTCCCAGTCGAGTGCGACGTCTACTTCGTCGCCGACGGCGACTGGCTTTGATACACGGTGCACGGCGACGCCGTCGTCGTTCGTCACTTGCGTGACCGCGGCGTCTCCAATGACGCCGAGGTCGAAGGGCTGGCCGCCGCCCTCCGGGAACAGCACCGTGTCGCTCAGGACGACGTCGTACGCGTCCTTGGGTTTCGATTTGGATTTTTTTTTGGAGGGTGGGGGTTGGACCTTCTCGCATCGCAGGACTGTGGCTTTGCAACTCTTCGCGTAGGTGTCCTTCTGGCACATTAATTCTCCGCATCTCACACAGCTCATTTTCCAGTCGTTCGACGCGACGGCGGCTGCCATGGTGCTGTGAGTCGCTGGCCGTCGTTGAGTCCGCACGAATGCGGCGGCCTGTGTTGCACAGATGAGCCAATTTACGCGCATCTGCGCGTGATTCCACTTTCTATAATCCTCTAGCGTAGTAAGACACTAGCATTACGGCCTCGAGAGCTTAAGCTCGCAGTACGAAGTCACACTGCACCCAAATTGGCCAAACACTGCTCCACAATACTCTCCACAATACGGTGGCCGCTGCGCGGCTGTGCAATCCATCGCTGCGGCTGCAAGCACGGCACCACTGGTACAGTGCCGCGGCAGTGCGCGACAGCGCGACGTAGCGAGCAATATATTTTCAAAAGCAGAACGCCATCGACTAGACAGCAATGCTCCTCCGAAATCTCACCATAACACGCTGCAACTGGAAGGCACCAATAGCGCTACCGGAAAAACTAGCCGAACGACGCGCCGCCTTCCTCGCCCGCGCGACGGGCCCGCAGCTCAAGCGGCTCTGCCAGAAGCCCCAGCTTTCAGATAGAGACGCAGCCTTACTGGACGTCTGGCGGCGCCTCGCGCCGCGCCACGCCGTCGCGCGGCGCGTGATTACCGATATTGGTATCGAACCAGCGAACGCCTTGGTCGTGGGAGCCGGCGCGGCGACGGTCGCGGCGCTGCCTTCATTTACGAAGTGTACGATGGTGGAGGCCACGCCGGAAAGGGAGGCCGCTGCTCAACAGCTGCTCGACGACCCGGGGATCGAGTATCTCTCAAATCTAGCCGCGGTCGCCACGCGCGAGCCCTCGCCCGAACAGGTCTTTGATTTCGTGATCGCGACGGACCACTTCGTCAACTGTGATGACCCGGAGACGCACCTGGCCGTGCTCTGGGGCTGCGTGGCCGAAAATGGTCTGCTGGCCCTGATCGAACGGGAGTCTACACCAATACGTGAGGCGCGCTCCAGACTCATGAGCGAAGGCACGCCCCTCGAGCCGAGCACGTCGGAGCTATTGCCCCAATGCTTCGCGGAGCCGCTGGCGGGCCCGCCGCCGCGGTCGACGCGGAAAGCCGACGCCGGGACGGCCCTCAAGCGGCGGGCCCAGCGCGTCGAGAAGTTCGCGAGCTGCGTCGTAAGGCGCGGCGGCGGCGTCGAAGGCGGGCGCCGCCGCCGCGCGATCGTCACGGCGACGCCGCTGAAGCGCGCCGGCCACGTCGTCGTCGACGCGCGCGACGACCTGGGCGCGGAACGGCGCCTGACGCTGTCGCGCGCGCGGCTGCGCGAGGCGGGGACGCCGTTCAAGGACGCGCGGCGCCTGACCATCGGTTCAGTGTTGTCTTGGGACGAGTAATTTTTGTGTTGTGCTGTGCCTTCCACCATCGGCATCTGCGTTCTCCCCGTCATGGATGACTTCACACATGTCTGAGCCTGCGTGTGCGGGTTTTCTCGGCAGCTCGAGCTCTGAGCCTGAAGTGCTGGCCTGTGCGCGCGCGCCGTCCGTTAGACACAGCGCACCGTCCATTTCAATTACGACGCATCGGCCAGGGCGCGAATTTGGGTCGTTTGCGACGCCAAGGCCAAATTTACTAAAATTCGAAAGTTCTACATATCTTGATTACACAGCTCGTGTGCTCGCGCCCGCCAGCCACCGTCACGCAGGCACACAACGAAATGGCTCGCCTCCTCCTCGCCCTCGCCCTCGCCCTCCTCGGCTCCGCCAACGGCCTCGGGTCGTCCACCACGCCCGAGCCCGAGCTCGTCGCGTGCCAGGTACAGGGCAGTCCCTCCGTTTTTGGGGGCAAGACTTGCACCACGCCAGGTGAGATTTGCACAATGGGAGGACCAGCAACGGCCTATATTGGGAGCCCTGGAGCCTGTATCCTCCTCCCGAATACTTTTTTTTTATGCGGCTGCTGCTTGAATGATGTCGGTGAGGAAGGTGGTGCGATCCCTGAGGAGGGTGTGAACTACAACACGGAAGAGAACGACGGAGTTATTATTCCCAAGTGCCAGGCGCCCTAGGCTCCCCCGGCGGCCACGCGAGGACCTGCAGTGTCTCGTCCTCTTGAAACCCTCCGCGAAGTTACCTGGGGCCCGCGACCGAGTAACTTACCCCCCACACACACCAGACTCGTATATCTAGCACAATCTATATTTTAATCGGGGAGGAGACGAGAGAGCGGAGTCTGAGACGCCTCGCGCGTACGCCGCCGACGCCTGCTCCCGAGCAGGACGGGTGACTCACACATATGACCTACTTAGAGCGCCCCCCGCGAAAAGACGGAGGCGCCGTGCTCGTCGTACTCGCTCCGCAGGACCCACATCGACTTGAACGTCGCCAGCGAGGCTAAAATAGATCCGCCAATCCAGCACGACAGGGCGCGCTCCGGCGGCGCCCGGACCCGGATCGTCGTATCCGGCAGCTTCGACCGTAGATCCTTCACGAGCCGCTCGCCGAAGCCCGGGAACAGCGTCGAGCCACCAGCTAAAACAACGGACTCGTACATCGTAGCACGCAGGTCCAGGTCCGCCCTTCTGCAAGCCAGGGCGACGAGGTCTGCCGCGCCCGGCTCCTCGCTACCCAGCACGGAAGGGTCAAATAGCGCCTCCGACGCGCGGAACCTTTCGCCCTCCAGCCTGACATGAGACCCGTCCGGCAGTTTAAATGAGCGCGGCTGCGCATCTGCTAAGTTTGTGGAAGGCAGTGTCCCCTTCCGTGCCAACGCCGCGCTCATGGCATGTTCGTCGCGCGACGCGTCGGCAGATACGTAGCAGCACTGTTCCTTGATCTCGCGCACGACCTCCTTTTCAGCAGACGTCTGGGCGTGGAAGCCCGCCCTCCTTAGTAATAACTCAAGGCGCTTCGAGATGGCCCGTCCACCAACTTCGCTCCTGACGACCGCCGAGCGCACGGCCAAACCTTCGTAGACGGGCACCGCCTGGGCGACGCCGTCCCCAATATCTAGGACGAGACCTGTGGTTCTGCCGCCGGCGTACAACGACAAAGCCGCTTGCGGCGCGATATGGAGAGCAGGAACACCTAAATGCTCAAACAACACCTCCGCACATTTCTCCCTATTGGAGTCGGGATTCAGCGGCGCCTCCGTCATCAGCAGGGGATGGCCGTCGTAACTCGCCTCGATCATGTTATAGGCGTGACTCCACACTCTTTCTGCATCCGCCCAGTCCGTCACGCGGCCGCTCTCCATCGGTCTTGATAGTACTAACGCCCCTCTGTGCTTTCTACAAGCATCTCCAATCACAACGTCCACACCTTCCAGCGCGCCGCCGGGCATGACGCGCTCATGCTTGACCCTCCCACAGATACTGTCAAACACGACCGTCGGCCGGTCGCCGCCCGCGAAGCCGGCCTTTAGGATTGCGGTGCCGTTGTCTATTACGACGGGCTGGCTGAGGAGGACGGCGCTGCTCATCGTTGGCTGCTTTTTGCGCTCGTTTGCTGCTTTTGCGCGCGCGGCGCTCGTTTGTGTGTGCTCCTTTTTTTGGCGGCTCTGCGGGCGCGCAAGTTGCAGGAATGCGCTGCTGCTGGGAGATTCGATCGATGCGAAACTGACGAACGTCTCGCGCGCCGCAAGCACTGCAGTGGCTCCTCTCAGCTTGCGCGCGACGGATGCGCTTTTGGCTTCCTAGTGTGTCTCGAGACGCTAGCTCGTAACTTGGCGGCGTTGTAAAAATACTCGCAAAAACTCCCGCCGCCCCATGGTCTACTACTCTCGCAGACAGTGCTCCAATCCAGACGACTGCGCCGACGCGCGGACTCCGAGTCCCACCGTGGAGAGAGTATTTAACGCCATTGCGAGCTCGTCTGCTCCTGATGATCATAAAATCTTGCGCGCATATATTGTGCTCGCCCTGAATCTCATACTATTCGCCGTGTTGGCCCGCGCTGGCTATCGCGCGCTGACGCGGCCGCGCGCGCCGCCCGCGGGGCGGCACCATCGCCGTAACTCGAGCCTGACCATGGAAAAAATGATGGACGGCATCGAAGGGTCGGACCGAGGCTCGCGAGACTCGCGAGACTCGGACGTCCGACGACGGAGCGTGACGAAGCCGGAGTAAATTTATAAATTTATACAAGCCTCGACGCCGCCGCGTCGATGGCGTGAACGAAACGGATCCCCGTCCGATGCCAGAGCAAGGAAAATTTACTACACTAATGTACCGCATGGATGAAGATCTTTGGGGGATCGCTTCTTCTTGAGCCAGCACCAGAATCGTTTCTTGGGCTTGCTTTCGCGCCGCGAATCGCGCGGCACCGGCATCGAGGAAGCGCTGTCGAGGCTATCGAGTGTGGATGCTTCCGCTAGCGAGGCGCCGCCGAGGCTATAGTCCGCGCCCAACCTCGGGTACTGAAGCGCTGCCAGGCTCCCGTACGGTGGTCGCGAGTTTCGGGGCGTCTCTTGCCCGTTGGCCTCGGTGAAGAGGGCGTCCGTCAAACCGGAGAGGACACTTGGCGAGATGGAGCCTTGACCTGCGCGCGGACGAGCGGTGATGCACTCCGGCCCGCCGCGACGGCGAGCAGACGTCACGTCGCGTAGCTTCGGGCGCGGGCTTCTACTCTCATCGTTGGCTTTGGTGCGCTTAATCTCATTCATTTCTATTAACGTTGCTAGCGCAACAGGCCACGGCGGAGAGAGAGAGAGAGTACTTAAGCGGTCACGAACGAGAGAGAGAGAGAGCGGTAACTTGATCCAATGCACTGATGCAGCTGCTTGTTTTCGACTTCGTTTACACGTTAAATTGATCGCGGGCGTAAAAAAAGTCCTACCGCTTTGCTCCCTGCTTTGCAGTCTGTATCGGCGCTCGTTTGGGCGCCGATGGCCCGATGAAGAGCCTACATAGGTGGTCGTGGACCTTCGCACGAATCCGCACGGCGAAGGTAAATAGCGCTCCGCAGCCAGTGGAGGCCCCTCGAGTCCATTGGTTAGCGCGATAGGCGTCCCGAGATCGGCGGGAGACATGGGGTCTGCGGCGGCGGTTCCCGAGCGTACAGAGCGGCTTTAAGCTCTAAACTTCACTATTCGGGGGTTCAGTCGGAGAGGTCTGTTTTCAAAAGCCATCCGCCTAGGCCTGTACACATGTATACATATAGTATATATCCATATATATATATATATACGGATTCCTAGTGTGTCGATACGCTAGATCGCTAGTTCTTGCGGCTCGCCAAAATACACCAGCGATTGACGGTGCCTTCTACCGTCCAAATGGTCCATCATATCAACTCCAGCCCAGTTTTCATACACAATCGACGGAACCGGAGCCGACGGCCCGCGCTCGGAGGGCGGGAAAAGAATTCTACTAGACAACTCCCGAGTTTATGTTCGTTTCCTTCCGTTTGTTGGGGGTAGAGTCCATCCATATCGATTGAACACGTACTCATCTATTTTAGGTGCTCCGTTAGAGCCGCGCGAAACGTCGAATCCGCGACCCCACGTTTAGACGTAGCCGGTCTCAGATCCTAACCCTGCGAGTATCAGCGACGCCACTACCCAAATGGACCACAACGCCGTTGTTCTATTCACAATCGACCGACTTGCCCGTTCTCCGCGGACGACGGTGCGGAGACGGAGCACCAGAATGGCCCCAGACCAGTGGTTTATAAAATAAATTTGCTTTTCAGGCGCTTCGGTTGTGGGACGGGCCAGAAAACCGGCCTGAGCAAGTACTACATTTGATTACTGTTCCCCAATCCTCCGCGCGGATCTTCGGTCTCGGGACCCCACGATCTTGCTTAGACGGCGCTTCTACCCAGACCTGCGACCATCAGCCCGTGTACCATCACCATGGACCATAACGCGATCATTTGTTTCATGAACGACGGACTTACGCGAGGTCCAGATCAAGATGTTCACGTCCCGAGCGTGGGCAATCCAAAGTACCCTTCTCGTGGTGTAGATGTCATATACTTGTAATTGACTATCGCTGGGGTAGTATGGGGTCCAACGAGACCGCTACGGCGACTACTGGGGGCCCTCGGGTACTTGCCGTATTTGACGGGAACGGGGCGCCATCGGGTCCAAATTGCCCACTTTTTTCGGGGGCAGATCGGCTCTCGGGCGCCCTCTGGGATAGGTCTGGGGTCAGGTAGTCGCCGACACCGCATGCGTCGATTCTTGGGGCTCTCCAGAGAGCTCTGGATCCAAAACTTTGGGGGCTTGGGCTCCGGCCCGATGTCTGGCTGAGGACCTGTACTGATATGTATCTACCGATGGAAGTGCCCACGCATGCGGCGTAGGCGATTGCACGTGTCTAATACCGACCTCAAAGCGACCCCAGGGAGACCTCCGGACTGCAAATCGACAGGATTCCATCGACGCGCCCGCCCTGGTGGCGTCGTCAATATCGCGAATTAAAAAAAATATTTTTTTTAGGCCCCGGTACGTGTCCCATTGATCTCTTTGGGCCAGTAGCGAACCAAACGACACTCGAACGACTCCGTGGCGCAGCTCTTCGGATCCCCGACGCCGTCGACAGCTGCGCGCCCGACCACTCTACACGCAGAGCCAGCCGAGCACGTCAGCTCCGTCGGAGTGAGCGCCGCGCGGCGATGGCGTCCGCGAGGGGACTCCTACCCGCCGGCACGCCATCGCCGCGACGCTGGTACCTTGGAATCAAGGCGTCGACTCGACGCGGTCAAGATGGAGACAGACCTTTTCTTATTGTCTGGACAGGGAGGAATGAATGCACAGGCCTACTTCGCCGGCGACTCGTCCTCCTTGTTCTTCTTCACCTTCTTGTGGTAGCCCTCCCTACCTCTCTTCCGGCACGCGTCGCACTTCGCGGTGTGCCGCTTGTTCGCGAAGGCCGGGATCGACCGGAACTTCTTGCAGCCCTGGCACCACTTGAAGTAGACGTCGGTCGCGCGGTGGCGCCAGGTCGACTTCGTGCAGGCGTCGCAGACGTCCTTGCATTGTTTGGGGATGACGCAGCACTGCGGCTCGCAGCCCGCCCGTCGCCGGTCCTCGGCCTCCGCTTCCCTCCCGCACATGACGCAGCGCTTCCGCTCACCTCTCCCGACCTTCTCGAAGTTCAGCAATGTTCTAAACTCAAGGTTGTCCTCGTTGTTCTCCTCGCCCTCGACGTGCGCTGGTAACCTTTCATCGGTCACCGTCTCACTTACAACTCCGGCGTAGTCCGTCAAGATGGACATGCGGAACCTGGGAGCGGCGCCCTTGTGGGCTTCGCTACGCTTCGAGTCGAGCTTCGGAGGCGTCGGCGGCGGCGGCGGCGCCGCGGGCTGCGAGGGCATGCCCGCTAATGTCGAAGCTACGGCTTCCGCCGAGATGGGCGGCAGGGGTTCATAATATTCATCGGGGGCGCCCTCGGGTTTTCTACCTTGCTCGATCGCCGTTCGCGCTTCATTTACCGCGTCCAAAAAAATTGAACGGACGCGGGGGTCCCAGGCTTCCGTGAGCCAGTCCATGTCCTCGGGCGGGGCGGTCGCGAGCTCGTCTATGGTCGAGGCATACAGACAAGCCTCGCGTAATGCCTCGGGCTCGTCGACGCCCCTCCCTTTGAGCCAGGTCTCGAGGGTCTTCGTTCGTCTGGCGCGCTTCGAGCGGGGGGGCTGGACGATGTCGGTCATCTTGTTGTTTTGCGCTGCTGTGCTTCCTGGAGAACGCGCGAGAAGCGACGGCGCGTTCTCGCGGCTTTGGCAGGAGGTGAGCGGCTTGTCCTAGGGCTGGCAGGTGCCCGGAAGGTGTTGGGTGGCCCGACGGTCGTTTCTGTCGCGTCGGCACGAAGTCGCAGCGCTCCGAACACCACAGCGCTGCAGCTGGTTCGTGTGACCCCGTGTGATCTCGGGGCTGTCTCGAGAGCTCCGGAAATCGCCTCGACGATAGCACTGATGTATTCCCAGCGGCTGGACTGTTTCCTGGATAATCACAAGGCTTTAACTGTGCCAAAACAAGGCATTTAGCACATCCTCAATCGCTCAATGTGCCATTGGAGCTCCCGGCCCGGCCTCTCTCCAAATGCGACAAGACGCCTGGAGGCGACACGTGGACGTGTCCGTCGACTTCTATATCGCAACCACAGTCGCATCCGAGCTCCGATTTGGTAGGCAGATTTGCTCTGGCGCCGCGGCAAAAAAAAGCAGCGCGGCGCGCGGATATGGCCGTCAATTTGAATGTACAGCGCGCTGACAACATATAGTATCCTCTCGTGACATGGGCATTTTCGACAAGTGGCGCCACGTCGAGAGCGATGACGACAACGACGCTGTCATGCGCTCTCAGTCTTCAGACGAAGGCGCGGCGCCGCCGCCGAGCCCCAAAACGCCGCCGCGCCGCCGCCCGCTGACACCGCGCAACGCCCGCGCGCCGCCGCGGCCCAGCCGCTCGTCGCCGCTCAGCGACGCGCGCGCGCCGCCGCGGCCCTCCACGAGCAGCCGCGCGTCGCCGCACTTCGCGACGCCGGCGAGACCGGCAAGACCGGCTCAACAATCGCCGGCGCACGACTGGCCCGTCGAGCCGCCGCCGTCGCCGCCGTCGCCCTTCCTGCGCACGGCGGCGCCGTGGCGGCCCGTGCCCCCGACGCCGCCGCCGTCGCCCTTCCGGCCGGAGCCGGCGCGGGCGCCGCGGGCCTGGTCGCCGGCCCAGCCGCCGCTGCCGGAGGCCGCGTGGTCGCCCGCGCCACCCGCACCGGCGGCGGCGCCGTCGCCCTTCCGGCCGGCCGCGGCGACGGCGCCGGCTCCCGAGTGGCCCGCCCTTGACGACTCGTCGAACGGCATGAACGCGGGCGCCGCGGCGTGGGAGCCCGCGCCTCTCGCCGCGCCGGTTCCCGCGCGGCCCGCGCCACCGCCGCCGCCGCCGGCTCCCGTCGCACCGCAACCGGTGGCGTGGTCGCCTGCGCCGCCCGCACCGGCGCCGGCGTGGTCGCCCGCGCCGCCCGCACCGGCGGCGCCGTCGCCCTTCCGGCCGCCGCCGTCAGTCCCGGCCGCGCCGCCGACCGCGCCGCAACCGCCGGCATGGCCGGCGACGCAGCCAGCGCCGCAGCCATCCGCGTGGCCGGCCGCGCCCTGCGCCCCACCGGCGCGGGAGTGGCCCGCGGCCCCGGCGCCCGCGGCGTGGCCCGCTTCGCCGCCGGTCGCGCCGCGGCCCCAGCCGGCTCCCGCATGGCCGGCCGCGGCGCCGTTCGCCCCGCCGGCGCCGGCGCCGACGCGACCGGTCGCGCCGCCGCCGCCAGCGCCGGCGTGGCCGCCGTTCGCGCCGGAGGAGGCGCCCGCCGCGCCGCCGACGCCGCCGCGCGAGCGCGCGGAACGGAACCGGAGAGCCGCGCTCGCGCGCCGCGCGGCGAAGCGAGCGCAGCAGCGGTCCGATCTCGACGTGGACCGCCTGCTCGCCGAGCCGTCGCCCTACGTAGCGATGCCGCCGCCCGAGGCGCCGCTCGCGCGCCGCGCGCGGCCGCGGCCCCGGCCCCGCGCGCGGCGCTTCACGCCGCCGCCGCCCGCCGCGGCGCAGACCGAGGACGAGTACTTCGTCGACGAGCTGCTCGACGCGATTGGCTGCCTCCCGTTCTCGAAGGCCCCGCTCGCGAAGCCGTCCTTCTGAGCGACTTATGGACCCTCAAGACCCAAGCCAAGACCGAAGAGTAACCTACATTCCCCCAATCACGGTGACAGACTAGTACACTCTCCGCGTATTAATAACTAGCCGCACCGACCCGCCTTCGCCGCGACTCCGCGCCGACACGCCGTCGACGCGACTCCGCGCCGACCCGCCGTCGCCGCGACTCTGCGCCCGCCGCCGCGCCAACTAGACCCCGTGCATCTTCCACTGGAAGTCGTCCGCGCCCAGCCCGCGCCCCTTCGGCTGCTTCCCGTCCAACATCACCTCGATCATCTTGTCGAGTATCTTTTTGATGACTTTGGAATCTTTCGTGCGCAGCCAGAGCTCGATGCGAAAGACCTGGTTCGACCCCTTATTTCCAGACTTGTCGACGATGCGCGCGCCGCAGATCTCGTCCTTGTCCTCGATCGTATGTCCGACCAACCCCAGGACGATGTTCTGCCACCAGTCGTCGATCATCGGCGAGTCCCTTCCATCTCTACTACTTTTCCGCAGATTCCACTCGCCTCCACTCATGTTCGCCGAATCCTCCCATTCCGGCGAGATGCCGTCCTTAAAGAGCGAGAAGGACTCGATCTGGCGGTCGTCCGGCGGCTTGCCCACTCGCTTCCTAGCTTTCCCGTCGTAGAACACGGCACTCGGCGTCGGGATATGCGCGTAATATTTCCAAAACTCCTCAACAGTATCAAAGGTAAAGAGCTTCCGCTGCAGCTCGCCCCACTCCTTCTTCGACATGGTCTTCTTCTCGGCGGCCTTGTGCTCCCAGAAGGTCCACTTGTGCTCGAGCGGGTGCGGGCCCGCGTCGGCGGCGGTCGCCGGCTCCGCGTTGGCCTCAGCTACCTCGCCGTCCTCCTTATCGGGCGGCGGCGGCGGCGCATCAGCCGCCTTGGCCTCCTCCGCCATAACTTTGGGGTGCGCCCGCTCGGCAGCCGCGCGCGCGGTCTCCCGCGCGTCCGGCGCCGCTGCGGACGCTGGTCGTCGCTGGCGCCTAGCTCTGGTGAGCTACGCGTCGGCGGCGACCGGAGCTGGACCTGCGCGCTGGCAGGTCCAAAGAGATCACTCAGGCACCCTTCCCTAGCTTGTGTTGCTAGGCGGGAAGGGGCCACACTGCCCACACAGGGCCGCAAAAGCGAATCGCGGACAAAGGGTGCGGGGGACGGGTTTTGCCGCGTTTTTTAAAGCCTCGAAAAATACGCCGTCGGCGCGAAACTCTCATAAATAAACTTACGTCGACGAGAACGCCTCCCGCAGCGCCAAATCCAGAGGCACCAAGGGCACGCCCAGCGCCTCCACGAAGCTCGACGAATCCAACGCGACCGAAAGGGGCGCGGTCCCCGCCGGCCGCAACGCCCCGCGCACCAAATCCGCATCTAAAGCCGCGGCCGAGGCGACGGCCCGGCCGAACTGCACTCGCGAGAGAGCCATTGGCCCGCCGAGATTCAAATGTAAAAAAACAGCCGGCCGCAAGGCGCGCGCTCGATGGTGGAAGCGCGCCGTTTCGGACGGAGACAAGGCCGCGGCCTCCAACGCGCGGGCCTCGTGGTCGTCGGCGGGCTCGTGGCGGACGCCATACTTCTGAATGGCCGCTTTCACCCCGTCGCGGACCTGGCGCATCGCCACAAAACTCCTAACTTCGTCGCGCCACAGCTCGACCGTCCCCTTGTCCCTCAATGTATTTGAGACCCACTGCGCGAACTTGCCCGATTTGTCATATGGTGCGAGTGGTCCAGCGACGTTAGACATGCGGAAAATGATACAGCGGTCCCAGCCCTCGACTAAAGCCTTCTCGAAGGCCAACTTCGACCGGCCGTAGGCGTTGGTCGGGACTGGTGTCTCACAAATGCACCGCGATGCACTCTTGGCGCCGACGCCGCCATCACTAACAGGTTTTTCGTCGTCGGGCAGCACCAGATCCGTCGAGAAGTGGATCAGTAGAACATCAGGAACGCAGGCGTGTAAGGCCTCGAGGAAGTTCCGGGGGCAGTTCGCGCTCATTGCGCGTGCTTCGTCCTGCTCGCACTTTGCTGGGCTCGATATCGCGGCGCAATTGACGACGACGTCGGGGAGCGTCTCATGTAGAGTTGTTGCGATGCTGTCGTCATCACTTAGGTCTAGATAGACCGACTTCACATTTGGTATATCGAATGGTGGATTACTTCGTCGGTGCGAGTAGGCGACCTCAAAATCGTCCTTGAGGTGCGCGATCAAGTGCTGCGCGACGTAGCCGGCTCCTACAATAAGGACGCGTAGCTTTGTTGTGGGGGTGTCGAGCATGGCTCGCGTCGACGGCGTCGGGCGCTGCCGAGGGGCTGCAGCTGTCGATAGGTGGATTAGCCACCGAAACGCTTGCCGAAGCCGTGCGCCACGCGTCGACCTGGCTGGGAACTTAAAGTTTGAGCACCACTCGTGTCTGTAACGGCTACTTTGGCACAGCCGGACTTTTTTGCTTTTTGGGGGCATGCTAGTGTCTTACGTGCCGCTAGCTTTTGCCGACCGCGGCAGTTTTTTGACCTCCTTGTCCAGCATACGTGCCGTCGCCTCACCACTAGAGCCTCGGGACGTCCAAAAAGCTGGGGCTGGGCCGCCGGTGCCCACGCGAGAGGGTGTGAGCAGCAAATACAAATCAGCACAAAACCGGCAGCAAGAGGCCGCAGCGGTCGCGCGGGCGCACCGCAGACGCTCAGACCATGGCCGAGTGCGTCTTCTGCAAAGAAGAATTCGCCGACAACCCGGACCTGGAGCCCGTCGTCTACGCCCCATGCCAACAGTGCGACGTGCTCTACTGTCGACCGTGCCTCGAGGAGTACGTCTCGAAGTACGAGAGCCAGTGCTCCGTCTGCAAGACGAAAGTGAAGGTGCGACGGAGCATCACCATGATCGCCGACGGTGAAGAAAGGCGCAGAGCCCACGACCGAAGGGCCGCCAACGAAGCGTCGCAAGTATCAGATACTGTAAGGAGGGTCGCGCCCGTCGCCGGTGAGCTGCTCGAGCAGGCCGTGGACCCCGCGTTCCTGCTCCAAAGGAGACAGGCGGACGACGACGCCGCGAGTCGTAGAGAGGCGGAGCGCTTGCAGCGCGAGTTCAATCAGGCACCTAGTAGAGGCCCGGAGGAGCCGGACGCCGCGACGCGCGCCCTCATGGAGCAGCTGCAGCGGGAGGACGCCGAGGCGCGGCGGCGCGCGGCGGCGGAGCCGCGGCCCCAGCCGCCGCCCGCGAAGCGCCGAAAGTCGTCGGACGGCCTCGTCCAGACGACGATCAGCCTCCAGCCGCGGGCCGTGATTGACGTGGACGACCCGGGCGACGAGACGCAGCTGTCCGGGGACCCGCCGCCTCCAGTCGACGAGACGCAGTCTCCTGATGCGGACTGGTCCGCGCCGCCGGCCGTGCCGCTGGGTGAGGCATCGAGATCGCCACCGGCCCGGCCGCCGGCGCCGGCCATGGATTTGACGCAGGACTCGTCCGGCGACGACGAGGCCGCGCCGCCGCGACGGTCGCCGCCGGCCCAAACGATGCCGGCCGTGAGGTCGCCGCCGCCGCGACCGCGCGCCGACGACGACGAGCTGGCCTACTTCCGGAGCCAGGGCGCGCGCAACGCGTCGCTCCACGAGTCGTCGAGCAGCGACGACGACGACTCCCTGCCGCGGCGGTCGCGGTCCCGGGAGCGCCCGGCGCCGCGACCGAGCGAGGTCATTGTTATCGACTAGTAACACATGTTTTGATTACCGCACGCCCCGCGCCTCGAGGACGGCGCACACAACTCTATCGCCGAGCGTCGCCAGGTCCGCGGCGATGTCGTTCGCCGCCTGCTCCAAAACGTCCGCCGCGCCGGCGCCCCAGGCGTCCTCCGGGTAGAGCACTCTCACTAAATCTTGATCCTGGAGGAACGCCTCGCGCTTGGGCATGCGTCTAAAGGAAGACACGATCCACGCGTGCACGTCCGCGTCGCAGGGCGCCTCCACGGTCCAGGGCGGGGCGCCGTCCGCCGCTCTCTCGGGAGGCGGCCGCGGCGCCGCGGGCCGCGACCGCGCGTAGGGCACGCGCGGGCGGCACATCATTCTATTAGCGATGGACCGCGGCTGCATGTACTGCCAGGCGATCTCCGCGCTGTTCGCTTCCGAGGCCTCGACGCCGCGGCTCGGTCTCGAATTAACAGCCAGATCGGCGTGCGGGCCGCCGACCTTCAATAAAGCACGCCAGAGCAACGAGGCGACGGCTCTTGCATTCTTCGCGGCTCTTTCCCGTTCTGATTTCACCGCAGGGGGATCACTCACCAGGAACGGCCTTAACACGACCCACGGAATTAAAACCCTCCCGACCACAAAGTTCAGCAGCAACGCCCTCAGAACGACGGGATCTATAGGTGGTGGTGGATCATCAGGCCTTCTCTCAAAGCACCTTCCCAGAATGCGCGGCCACGGCTGCGGACAGCACGGAAACCCGTCGACGTCGTCCACCACACCGGCGTCGACGCACGCCGGCGTCGCGTCCGTGAAGTTGTCGCCCACGTACCTGTAGTCTTGGACAGTAGGCGCCGCGACGTTCAACCTAGCGCGTGCACTTTTGGCCGCGAGCGCCGCCGTCTCGTCGTCCTCGAGCTCCCACAAAGTTTGTCTAGTAGCTCCGAGCTCGTCGAACTGGAGTACTTTTCTTTCGCAGCGCCACAGGTACCAGGCCGGGGCATAGAATCTATCAATAGCCCACAATCCTGTCAGTTTGATTAATTCCGGTGGAATGTCCTCGATATTTTCTAAGACCTCCTCCACCAAGTTGTCGGCTCTCGAAGCTAACTCCAGCGCGCGCTTCCGCTGCTTATGTGCCTTTTGTGTATCATTGGGAGCCAGGTCCGTGGCTTTCTGCAGGTCGCTCACATATGCATGAGTAACGGAGCCGAGCCACTCGTGGGAGGCTTGGAAGGCGTCCAGGATAGCTGATAAGTGGGCCTCGCGGTCCTTGTCCCGCGTCGCCTGCCGTTTCCGCCGCACGGCGACGCGCGGCGCCGCCACGAAGATGAGCACGGCCCGCGCCGCCGCGCGCAGTAACCGCAGGCCCGTCGGCGGTCCTTTTTCAACGGGCACCACGTCGACTAACGTCTCCTGGAGTTCCTTGATGCGCTCTTCCAGTTCGGAGTCCACGCTGCCATCATCAGCGAGGTCCTCGGCCGCTTCTTTTTTGAGCTCTTCCAGCTTTTCCTCTAATCTCTCGAATTCCTCCTTGGGCACTTCCTTGGGGGGGTCTGTGCCTGTGCGAAATCAACCGGTGAGTCGGGTGCAGCCGCCACGCCGTCGCGCGCGCGTCGATGGCGTCGAGGCCACGATTTGATTTATGCGCTGTCCGTGCCGATCGCGACTGAACGGGTTCTTGCCTTCTCTGCAGCGATTCTCGCATGCGTGAAGAGCGGCACTACATCCTTCTCGTCGTCGTCGTCCGAGGCGTATTTGGCCTCGGCGCGTCTTCCTCTGGGGCTGCGCAGGACCCAGTTGTAGTCCTTGTCAGTACTCTGCAGGGCCGCCTCGAAGGGGTCATGGTCGAGGAACGAGGCGAAGGGGTCGTCGTCGAGGCGGAGGCTGCCCCCTGGCATGGTCCTTGGTTATTTATGTGGCATCTTGGGCTGCCCAAACGCGCGTGCCAGCGCTGTTGCCGGTCAAGGGCCGTCGAGGTAGTAACCACTGGGTTCTTAGGACCCAGGGCGATGTCTGGGGCCCAAAACGGCCAGTTTGTGGCGTTGGTACGAAATGCTAGAGCTCGAGTACGCTAGCTCGAGTTCCTGCCCCGTGCGTGATATTGATGGCTTTCCAAGCCGCATGGATTGAAACTGAGCACGAGCATACTATCTGAGGCTGGTGCTGCGTGCGAAACGCTGCCCCGAGACCCTCACATAGGCATAACAAAATGGCACTGCGCATGGTGCGCAGCGCAACGCAGCATGCGAGCAAGACAATGCGTGCAGGAGTCTACCACGAATTTGGCGGACCCATCACTGTCGAGGACGTGCCACGACCAATCGCACCTCCAGGCGGCGTAGTGCTCGAAGTGCGCGCCACCGGTGTGTGCAGAAGCGACTGGCACGGCTGGAAGGGCCACGACGGAGATGTGATTGCGCACGGGCTGCCGTTCACGCCAGGACACGAGGTGAGTGGCGTCGTCGTCGAGCGCGGCGCGGGAGTAGACCTACCAATCGGCGCACGCTGCGCCGCACCATTCATCCTCTCGTGTGGCTGCTGCCGCGAGTGCGACCGAGGGCGCGCCACCATATGCGAGCGGCAGCAGCAGCCCGGATTTACACAGCCTGGTAGCTTTGCACAATACGTCGCGCTGCCGCGCGCGGACCGGAACCTGCGCGTGCTCCCGGACAACGTCTCGTTCGAAAGCGCCGCAGCTCTCGGCTGTCGCTTCACGACCGCCTTCCGCGCCGTCGTCCAGCAGGGTCGTCTGCAGGCCGGCGAGACGCTCGCGGTTTTTGGTTGCGGCGGTCTAGGCCTTAGCGCGGTCATGGTCGGCGCGGCGACGGGCGCGCGCGTCGTGGCCGTCGACCCCTCACGAGCGGCGAGAGAGAGAGCTCTAGAGCTCGGCGCGAGCTCGGCCGTCGACGCGTCGGAGGGCTGCCGCGAGGCCGTCTGGGCGGCGACGGGCTACGGCGCGGACGTGTGCGTGGAGTGCTCCGGGGCGGCGCGGGCCGTCGAGGACGCGTGCTATTCTGCGCGGAGGGGTGGCCGCGTCGTGCAGGCCGGATTGCCGTTAGGGGACGAGCGACCCGAGGTCCCGATGGCGCGCGTCGCGGGCTGGGAGCTGGAAATCTACGGCTCGCACGGCCTCGCGAGCCACGACCTGCCGGCGATTCTAGACTTAGTTGCAACGGGAAGACTACAACCCGACGCATCAATCCAGAGACGCGTCACGCTGCAGGAGGGCTGCGACGCGATTGTAGAGATGGACTCCGAATCCAAGCCAGGCATCACCATGATAGATAAATTATGAGAACATTACCGTCGAGCCTAGGGCTTCTCCTTGTCCGCGCCCGCCGACAGCCCCGCCAGCGCGTCGGCCGCCGCGTCCGCTTCAGCATTTGCCTCCCCATCAGCACCATCTTTAAGGGCTTTCATATGGCTCTTGGCCTTCTCAAACGCCGCCTTGTACTCCTTGGCCCCATCAGAATTGCCGAAGCGAATCGCGAAGATCGTGTCCTCCAATTCGCCCGACGAGAAGTCCCAGGCGCTCCAGACCCAGGATCTATCAGAACCGACGTTCGGCTCCAATTCGATGCGCGGGTCCACCACATGGTTGCAGATGATCTTCATCGTCTTCTCCTGGCGCATCAAGACGCGGACCATGCTGTTCTCCCGGTGCTTGAGGATTTTGACCTCGCCGACACCTCTTTCAATCCACTCCTTCTTGCCACTACCTTTATTGAGGAGCGTCTCGGAAAATCTAAATAATTTAGCGCGGATCTTGAAATCGACGTCCTCGTCCTCTTCATGTGTTTTGACCTCGACCTCGTCGAGCTGGACCACAGGCGTGAACTCCGCGGTGGACTCCTGGGCCTCGGGGTTCGCCTGTGCGGAAATCAAATTTCGGGCGTCTGCTCGACGGCGTGACGTTTCCACACGGCGCTCGACCTCGTCCTCCTTCTTGTCGCCCTCCTTTTTGTCCGTCTCTCCGAACTTCGTAGGGGCGCCGAACAAACCCTGATTACCGGTGTTGAACTCGGGGGCCTTGAAGTTGAAGCCGCCCGACGGCGACGCGACCTTGTCGGCGAAGTTGCCGAAGGACAGGGCGGGCGCGGGCGCGTCCGCGGCCTTGACCTGCTCGGCCATGGTGCTCGCTGTGTCGTCGCTGCGCGTCGCGCGGAGCCGCAGCGATGGAAGCTGGTTGAAGGAGCGCTCTTCGCGCTCGTTTGCTAGGTCCGCGGTGCCTCTCAGGGAGCACGCCGCGCCAGCGATTTGTGAATCGAGGCCCGCCGGTCGGCTAGTGTCTTACAAACCGCTAGCCCAGGCCTCGCATGGAACGGCGGAGGAGCTCTACCGCCGACGGCTCGCGAGAGGTGGGGCACCGGCGGCGCGCCCAGGTCGAGCGCCTGGCAAAGCCTGGCAGCGCCTGCCAAACTGGCCGTGCGTCCCGGGCCTCCGAGCGCGGAACGGGCGCGAGGCAGCCGCCACGAGACGCCGTCGAGCGCGCGAGACGAGCAATCGCAGAGACGCGTATCGGTGAGACCATCATAGAGCTGGGGGCAGCCAGTTGGGCAGCCCAGGCAAGCTCCAGGCGCGCAGCCGACGCGTAGCGGTAGTTGACCCCCGTCACGCCGTCGCCGCGACACGCGTTGCCGACGCGCCACAACCACCAGAGGCACCGGATAGACAAGCATGCCCCGCAAGGGCGCCCAGGCCAAGGCCTTCGCGGCGCAACAAGCCAAGAAGCGCGAAGCAGAGAAGCAAGAGGCAAGAGCGAAGGTCGACGCCGAAAAGAACAACGCGAAAGGCATTTCCGAGTGCCGAGATGTAGGGCAATTGATGCGCATGCACCGCGCCAACAGTGAAAGAATAGAACACATGGAAGAAGCGCAAGAAAAAGAAGCTAAAAGGAAAGAAGCGGAACGCGCCGCGAAGGAAAAGGAGCTCGAGGAGAACCAGGGCAAGTCCTGGTGGGACCGCTTCCTGCCCAAGCCCAAAGGCCCTCGGGAAGCCACGTCTCCCAACAAGGTGCAGCAGCAGCGCGACAACATCGAGCAATTCTACGACCTGCTGAAGTGCTCGAAACATGTGAAACGGGAGATCCAGGCGGTCTTCAAGGCCTTTGACGCGAACAAAGACGGGTCCCTCAACATTAATGAATTCCGGACTTATTTGAAAGAACCGAAGGAGCGGATGCCCTTCCTCAACAGGATCTTTTTAACGATGGACAACGACGCCATGGACGGCGCCGAGCGCGTCAATACCTATGGTATTGGCGAGCTCGACATGTTCGAGTTTTTTGTGATTAACAGCGTCCTTTGCGTCGATGGCGTCATGATCCACACGCAGGTCGGCTACTACTCCATCTGCTCCCTACCGAGGGGCGACTACGCTATCAGATTTATTTGGGACTTGTACGATCCAAGACGCACAGGTGAAATAGACAGCGAGACGTTCCGGTGCATGATCCGCGAAGGCATGTCCGCCATGTTACCTGATTATTTATTGCGAGGGGACGAGCCGCTCCCACCGGCCGTCACGGAGCAACTCGAAAAAATAAGAAAGGAGCAGGGCGAGGAGCTCTGGACAAAATTAAGATATGGGGATGTCGCTGTTCGCACAGATGGCAATGGGGAACGGCATCTAGCGATCGTCAAGGACCACACGGACTACAGTGTCACGGTCCAAGATATATATAGTCTGGAGAACGCGATGGGCTGGACGCAGTCAGATGACAACACCTTTACCTACCACATGAATCGACACGTCGTCCATGAGCGGGTGGCGCCGCCGCTGCCCGGTGACGACTTATTCGATGAAGCTTTGGAAAAGTTCATGTTTCTGTCGGCGGACAACGACGGCGACGGGTCGATTACGTTGAAGGAATTTCGACACTTCATCCGACGACGCGTGGCTTGCGGCGAGCCGTCGCCGTATGCGGCCTTCCTAGCGTTCCAGAAGAAGCTGCGGAGTGTTGGGGGTTTGGGTGATTCGTTCTGGGACGCGCGGACTTTGGATTTAGCCGTGACGCTGGAGAAGCATGGGTTATGGAGTGCGTGGGAGCTGCATCGGCACTTCAACCTCGGTAAAATATGTAAACGGCCGCCGCCGAAAAAAGGCGGGGAGCCGCCCTTGCTACCGCCGGAGAAAGGTAAAAATGACGGTCCCGTCGACACGCTCAACGTCAAGCCGCCGCCGTTGCCCAAGAAGCCGCGGAAGAAGGCCTTGAAGGGCGAGGATCTGATCGACCAGGCGCAAGAAATCGACTTCGCCGCGATGGTCGCGGCGTCGGGTCCGAACGTCGAACAATTAGTTGCGGAGAACGCCCGTAGGGTCGTCCGAGACAAGCAGGCGCAGGGTGCCACCTTGACGGTAGTGCTACAAAAAGCGAAGGGTCTCCAACGAGTCAATGGACTACTGGAAGGTCCTAGACCAGATGTTTTTGTGACGGTCGAAGTGGAAAACGAGGAATTATTTACGTCGCCTTTGCGCTATGAGACCATAAACCCGAACTGGACGACGGAAGAAAATGGAGTTATCGAGGGCCACGCCTTCGACCCGTGCGGCGTGCCCGAAAAGTTGCAGTTTCGGCTCTGGGATCGTATAAGTGACAAGGAGCGGCAGGCGCTCGGCTTTGCGTTAATAAGGAGAAAGAGGTTGTGGGACGTCTGTACGACGAAGAACCGCACGGTTGGCTTGCAGGTGATTGGGCGGATCGGCGGCACGGAGATCCAAGCTACTGGTGAATTGTGGGTGGAGTTGCGGTGGGAGCCGCGACCGTTTGATCCCGCCCTCAATATTGACCAATCACCAGATAAATGGCGCCCCCCCACACCGGAGGAGGTAAGGCCAGAAACTCCCATTACCGACGACGAATCTGAGACCTCGGAGATGCGGGCGATGCGCGAACTCGAGGAGCAGCTAGCGGAACAGGAGCGGCTCCTGACGCCCGTCCTGAAGCTGAAGAAGCCGGACTTCGAGTACAAGCCTTTACCTCCAATAAATGATAATATGATAAGGAAGCCTCAACAAATATGTGCGTGCGGCTTCTCTTGTGGGCTGGAGGTGGACTTTCTACGGCATTGTCTTGAATGTGAATCGAGGGAAGGCGACACGGTCGACCTGCTGCTGCTGATGCGGACCTTGGATCCTGACGTTCATCGTAAGGAGGCCGCGATCCGCTCTATGTCAACCGCGCCCGCGCCGTCTCCCATAAACGTCTTGACGCTCGAGGCGGCGACGCCGTCGAAGAAGAAGAAACGCAAGAAGCGGCAAGCTGAGGCGCCGGCACCAGCAGCTAGAATGGGCCGCGAGTCCTACGACGCCTACCCGGCCGAGATTTTGACCCTGGAAGATATTCCGGGACGGCCCGAGTCCGCGGGCTTGAGGTTGGACGGGAGCGCGCTGCGGTCGCCCTTCCTCAACGCGCGCCCGGGGTCCTCGCGGCCCGGCACGGCATCGCGGCCCGGCACGGCGAACTCGGACAAGTCCGTGACCTGGAAGCTGCCGTCCCTGCCGGCCGTGAAGCAGTCGGAGTTGGGGGAGGTCGAGGACCCGACGGCGTTCCCGGCGCCGCTCGTCGCCAAGGACGACGGCGTCAAGCCGAAGAAGAAGGGGTGGTTCGGGCGTCGTTCCCGGACGCCACCACGTACGCCACCCTAGGTCGAGTTCGGGTGAGGGTTGTGACTAAGATATGTCTTTGTGTATTTGCCTAACTTACGAGAGAGAACTTAGGAAAGTGGAAACGGCATCTGCGTGCCACGAGACGCGGGCATATCACCGGCTGCGAAACATATGCGGACATAAATTATTGCCATAGCAAGCCTCAGTGCCGGTACCTCCGAGCCTACGGCCTTGCGCTGTACCGCAGCCCGGTAGTGGGGTGCCGTCAGCGGCAATCGGTTCACCCGAAGAGTCGTAATTGACGCAGCACGACTGCATAGGCGAAATTGTGCACGCTTCACATATTTGGTCGTAAGCCCTGGAACCGACGGGGAGGGGTTTGGCGTAGTCTGCGGGCACAGAGACTCCTTCGTCGCTGGCAGATCGCCGCCACATGTTCGAGCAGTTCTGCTGCTCCTCGGGGCAGGCAGTGCACGTGTCCGAGCAAAAATCCGAAATCTCCGGCACGTCTGGGCTCGCGCACGCGCCAAAGTGGTAGGCATGCTGACACTTTGGGACGTAAACGCCCCGTTCGCACAGCCCCGGGCCATCCTTCAATTTTGATGGCAATGAAGCGATGGCGTCACTAGAGATTAGAACCAGGACGACGGCCGCGCAGAGAGCAAATAAGGCGGCCGCCCCTACGATGACGGCGCGCGTCAACGACTTGGGGGCAGGCTCGGCCTCGGGAATTGTTGATTGCTCCATGGCACCGCGTTCCTTGTGTGGTGGATAATCTGAATGACGATAATGGTAATGGCCTCGCGCTTTCACGAGCGCGCAATGAGCTCGCGCCGGAACTTGCTAAAAAATCCTTCCTAGTGTCTTACAGGGCTAGCTAACAGCAGCTCGGTTCTCACTTGCCATACGAGCCCATGAATGGAGTTGATGCATGCGTGACAGGCGCGCATGGCTATACCACTGGTGCTAGACGTGCGGAGCCAGCCAACTTATGAAGCGGGGCACGCCATCGATGCGTACAACATCCCTTTTGATGAACTACGCGATAGAGGCTTCGAGATGCCAAGCCACAAAATGCCATTGGTGGTCGAGTGCGACGCAGCCGACGTCGAGACAGTCCGGGAGTGGTTCGCCACCAGAGACGAGCGGTGCCGCTGGAACGTCGTCGACGTGCGCGCCGCCAGCGCGGAGAAATCGGGCCCCGGCGCGCCCGGCCGATTTCTCTTCTCCGGATCACCGCTCCTGGCAGCAATGGAGCAGCACGTGCAGGCTGCTGCCGCGGCGCCGGGGTCGCGAGCGCTCGACGTGGGAAGCGGCTCCGGCCGCGACGCGGCGCTGCTGTGCTGTCGGTACGGCTTCGATTTGGTGTGTGCCTTGGACCGCGACGCGAAGGCACTGAACCGCTGGACGCGTTTACTCGATCGGCATCAAGTGGCGCGCGAGTCGCGCGTCGCTGTCGAGGCGACAATTCGCGCGGAGGGAGACCTCACCGCAGCTCTTGCATCGCTCCCGGGGCCGTGGGACCTCATCCACGCGGCGCGGTTCCTGAAACGAGAAATGCTTGCGGAGCTCGCGTCGCTCCTCGCCCCGGGCGGCCTGCTGCTGTTCCACACCTTCTGCGAGGACCCGCCGCGGGCGCAGCACGCCGTCGCGCCGGGAGAGCTCCGGCGCGCGTTTTCTTCGCTCGAGATCCTCCGCGACGACGTGGGGGCCATCGACGACGGGCGCGAGCTGTCGTTTTTTGCGGCGCGGAGGCCTGCATAGTGTAATGTTGTGATCTATGTCATCGTTCTGCCGCGGCTAAGGCGTCTTGGCCAGGAAACCCGTTTTGGCTTGACATTTGGTGGCTCCGAGGAAGCACCGCATCTTGGTCAGTCTAGCGTCAGGTATCCACCGCGCGAAGCATCGTCCGAAAGTCATATATTGCGCGTCGATCGGATACGCGCCGAAAGGTGTGCAATGCAGCTCGAAAACACAAAATCTCCCCGCAGTCTGTGAGAGTTTTGCAGCGTACGCGCGACGCGAGAGCGTAGACGCCCGCGCGTGGGCCGCGCTGGACGTACCGCGTGGCTGCCGCACTCTGGCCGCGATCCCGCGCGCCATCTCGCGATAATCGTTACCGCGTGACGGTCCGCGTCCCGCGCGCAGGCGTATTAAACTAGCAGCAACGATGACGTCCGCGCGTCTGCTCGTCGCGATGGCCATCGTCGCCTACACGGCCAGCGCCATCAAACATAAATTGGAGATGCAGCAAGAAAAACCCGCAGCGCCAGCGAGGCGCGATTCGCCGCGAGACCTCTGCCTGATCGATCGGGCCGCCATCGCTCAGATAGGGAAGTCCAAGCTCGTCTACTACCTGATCTTGGCCGGCTCCGGCGCCCCGGGCCCGCACTGCTAGCCGCGTCGTCCCGCCCAGAATCGACCTCGGCCATCGATTCCCGCGCCGAGGACTGCATAAGTCCCCTCTCTGGATTTTGTAGTCCCCCGACGCCATCGACGCGACGAGTCTCCACGAGTACTACCCGGGCCCAAGAGAAATTTCGTCGGGACCGACTTAGCTACGCCCCGGGAGGGGGGGAAAGACGCACCTACTTCTTCGCGCGCTTCGCCGACGTGTTGTGCTTCGTCGTCGTCCGCGCGACCGTCGACACGCCGTCGACGAACTTCGTCCGGAAGACGACGTTCGCGTTGTTGAACATGCCCTCCTTGAGCGACACGACGATGAACTGCGACGCCTTGAAGTGGGCCCTTAACATCACGCCGATGTTCTGCGTGTGGGACAGGTCGAGGGCCGCGTCGACCTCATCCAGAATATACATGGGCGCCGGCTTGAAGAGGAGCATGGCCAGGACGAGCGAGAGGGCTATTAATGAGCGTTGCCCGCCCGACAGCTCGGACAGCGACCTGCGTGGAAAGCAAATTTACGGCGCGTGCGGCGATGGGTTGATTCCACACAGCCCGCGACTCCTTCCAGAGGCCGCCGAAGCCGACTTTCACTTCTAACCCATCTAGCACTGAAGTCGCGCCCTCCGGCGGCTCCAATTTAGCATGCGCCCCCGGTAGCAACGAGCTAAATATCGAGCCAAAGTCGCGGTTCACCTTCTGCCACGTGGCCTGCGCGGGAGCGACGCCGTCGCGGAACCGCGTGGACGCTCTGAAAAGTACAGACGCGGCGTCCGCGCCTCGAGCGTCTCCTGCTTCTTCACTTCTAGTTCCGAAATGACCGCTTCTATTTTGGATCTGTCTCTGGCAACAGTAGCTTTCTTCGCCGTGAGATCATCGTAATCCCGTTCCGACTTCTCGATCATGCCCATGACCCTCTTATTAATTTTGCGAGCGAGCTTGTCCTGGGCGCGCTCGAGCTTGTCGAGGTCCGCTCGAGCTCGAGCGGCCCCGCCCTCGCGCGCCGCGAAATCATAATCCCCGCCCGCACAGCCGAAGAAGCCCTTCTCGTGGGGGATCCACGTGTGCTTTTCCGTTAATGACTCGACCCTACGCGCGGCATTGGACGCCTCCGTTTTGAGTCGAGCGGCCGTGTGCGTCGCTTTCTTGGCCTCGACGTCGCAGGCCGCGGCCCGTTTCCGAGCGGCGGTAGCCTCCTCGCCTAATTGCCTCGCCTCGGACTCGGCCGCGTCGAGCTCCGCCGCGGCTTCGTCGAGGCCCGCCTGGGCCTCGTCTCGGACAGCGCAAGCTTCACTCAGGGCCTTGTCGGCGCGCTCCAACGCTCTCTTGGACGCATTCAAGGCATTCTCCAGACCTTTGAGGGACGTGCCCGAGGCGCTTCTCTCATCACCTATGTGGGAACGGCACCGTCGCGACACGACCGCGACTCTCTTACGAGGCGCTCTGGCGGCCGCGTCGACGACATCGAGGCGACGCGAGGACGCCATCTTCAATACCAAGTCACGTTCAAGTTCAGTGACGACGCCGCGTCCGCACCGAGCGCCTGGAGCTCGGCGCGCGCCTTCTTCAGACGCTTCTCGGCCTCGGACAGGGCCTTCTTCGCCTGGTCCGCGCCCTTCTTCGCCGCCTTCGCGGCCTTGTTGAGCTTCTCGAGCTCCTGGCGTCGAGCCTGTTCTATTTTTTTGCCGTCGCGCTCGAGGGCCTCCAATTTGGCTGAAGACTCCTCATCTGTCTTAAGAGCGTCCTGGCGGTCGTCCTCGAGTTGCTGCAGCTCCTTGTCTAGCGTTTCTAACTTGACGACGGCGGAACCGGCGTCGGAAGCTTCAAGCTCCTCGCGAGCAGCGGTTAACTCCGCGGTCGCGACGCCCAACGCCGACGTGAGCGTCCGCAGCTCGTTGGCGTGCTTTGCTGAAGCGTCCGCTAGCGCACAGGCCTCCCGGGCTCGTTGCGACGCTTCCGAGGCTTCCGATTGCTGCTGGTGTAAGGCCACGACCAATCCGAGGCAAGCTCCCAGGTTGCCCGACCGAGACCCGCCCGACAGCGTCCCGCGAGGGTCACACACATCTCCATCTAATGTCACACATCTAGCTTTGACACCCGAGTCGAACGCGACCGCGCGCGCGACCTGTGTGTGACATGTATCCCGAAATGCGCTCAAAATCAAAAGTGAGACCACCCACGTCATCGTGAGATGGAGGCGAGTACGGGACGCCGCAATCAGACGTCCATGCTGTCGCACACGAGAGCCCCCCCAAAGGCATATTCGACGGCGTTCTTCACGTGTTCTTCGTGGCCGACGAACTCCAATGCGATGCGGGCACTCCCGCCGGCCTTCTTCGCGACACTCGACGCGCGCGCGCACCGCTTGTCGTCCAATCTACCCGCGCGCACTTTGTTCAACGGAATTAATGTCACTCGTCGACGCAACTGGCCCCGCTCCAGCAACGCTTTGCCCGTCTTCTCGTCATCTACGACCACTTGGTACAGTCTACCGCCAGCCACGACCTCCAGAGCCGCGGCGTATTTCCCGTCGCAAGGCGTGACTAGTGATGCTAACACACCCCGCACCTTCTCCGCATCGAAGCCCTTGCCCGGGTGCTCATAATCAAATTTCAGTCTCGCTTTGAGTTGCGCTTCCGTCCGTTGGGCGCGCTGCGAGCACTCGCGCGCTTTCTGGGAAAGTTCCTTCGCCTGCCTCTGTAGAGCATCCGCATCACCGGGCGACGTGGCTGAATGCTCATCCACCTTCGATTGACACTTAGATACTTTCTCTTCACAGGCCGAGAAAGCTTTCTTCAAACCTTTAGCCGAAGACGCGTACTTGGACGCCAGTTCTGCAGCTTGCTCCCTACGCTTCTCGAGGGCCGACTGCTTGGCGTCGCACTTCTTGAGGGTCGCGCGCGCGGTTCTCTGAGCGTCCTTGTGGGCCGCCAATTGTTCAGAGACGGACTTCGTGTCAGTCGCGCCTTTCCCGGCGAGCGCCTCCTTGTGGACCGTCTCGGCCTCGTTCCACGCTTGGTCGGCCTCATCCTTCTCCGTAGAACACTCCTCGACAGCTTGTTCACATAATGCGACTTCTTCTTTTTTGGCCGATTCAATGCGCTCGTTGTCCGCGGCCGCGTCGGCCTCGCCCTTCAGTCTAGAGTCATCAGCGTCAAAAGCCGTTTGCGCGCCCTTCTGGGCCGCCTCGAGCCGCGCGACCTCCGTCGACGCGTCGTCGACGGCTTTTTTGAGCTCCTTGCGTCTTTGGGAAGCTAGACCAGCAGCACCGTCCTTCGCGCGGCATTTGGCCTCCTGGGCCTTCTTGGCCTCGGCCTCGTCGGCCTTTGACGCGGCTTCCTGCTCGAGGGCCTGGGCTTCTCGTTCGGCCTTGGCGGCGCCTGCGTGTTGCGATTGTCATCATCGTGTCGCGGCGACGGCGCCATCGACGCGTCGGCGCCGTCCATACGAAGGCGCCACCGCCACGCCATCGACGCGTCGTCCAATGAAGGGAACGCAAGGACGCCGCGCCAGACCCTCGCCCGCCACCGCCGCGTTCTTCTCGGCCTCGTCGTACTCGGCCGCCACACAAAAGCGCTCCAATCTAGAAACTTCAGCGGCGTTCGCCGACCACCGCAAGTAATGACTTTTTTCCTCCCGTAACCGTTCTAAAGTAGGCGTAATGTCCGCAGCTAAAACCCGGTCGATCTCGTCGACTTTCGCTTGCTTCTTGTCCAAGGTCTTGAGGGCCGCCTGTTTCTTCGATTCGAACATCCGGGTCCCGGCCGCCTCCTCGACCATGCTTAATATTTCGGGAGGCTTCATATTTAGGACCTTCGTGATGCGGCCCTGCATGATGAGGAAGTGGGGGTTGTTCACGTTGAGCTGGACGGACTGGAAGAGGTTGGCCACACTTGACGCTTGCGCCCCTTTGCCGTTGATGAGGTAGCGGTTGCGGCCGCCCACAACAACTTCGCGCGTGACACATAAGCGTTTCTCGCCCTCGTAGCCGACCGGCGAACTCTTGATCTCCGAGTTGTCGAAGACGATCGTGACGGAAGCTTTGGTGACTCCCGCTTGGCCCTGCTTGTAGACTAAATCCTGCAAGTTCGCGGCGCGTACTTGGGAGAGGTTCGAGATGCCGAGGACGAAGCAGATCGCGTCGAGGATGTTGCTCTTGCCGGAGCCATTTAACCCAGTGATGGCGTTGAACGCGGGATCGAAGCCGCTCACGACCGTTCTTGTGGCATAACTCTTGAAGCCGTCGATGATGACCTCGAGGATGTGCATGGTTGGTTTTTGGAGCACGGCGCGCCTCGGTCGGGCGGCTGCCGAGTGCTCTGGTCTAGCGGCGGCTCGGCGCGGCTAGGAATGTGTTGACGTCGCTTCGCGGCGGCTCTGTAACGAACGTTACCGTTCGCTACTGAGTCAGGTGCGCCGCGGCGGCGTTTTAGTGTGCGTAGGGCGCGGTAGCGGGCGCAACGGCGTGTTTGTGCCAGGCAACTGTAACTCCGGTTTCACGAGGAGCTGAGCCGCTCGTCGCGCTGACAGCGGAGCGCAGGGCTGCTACAGTGCTCCTTTAACGCGGCTTGGCTCAGCGCGGCGTCAACGTCGCGTATAGAGCGCGGCGCGGGTCGAGCGTCCAAAACAGCTTTCTAGTGTCTTACAGGCCGCTAGCAAACATTTTTTTAATGGCAAAAAAACAGGGCGCTATGCGCTTCACGCAACTGTTAGAGCTGTGAAATTTGGTCTCAGACTGCTCTCTGATAAGCAACAAGCGCCATGGCTGCCGCAAAGGCCAGCTTCTTCCCGTACGTGGCCGCGGCGCCAGCCGAGCCCCAAGCACCGCTCAAAGACGAAGCCGCAGCGCTGCGCAAGAGCCTAGCCGACAAGTCTAAGCGTGACGAGGCGACCGCGGAGACGCGCCGAACGCTGGACGCGCGACGCGAGGCGCAGACCGTCGCGCGGCGCGAGGCGCGCAAGGCCGAGCGCGCCGCCGCGACGCGCCAAGCCGTCCACGCGACGCGCGTGGCGCTGGCGAAACGTGTGGAAACGGCGCGATTCGCCGCCGAGGCCGCGGCCGAGCGCTGCGCCAGCGCCGACGCTGATGCGGCTTCGAAACAACGAGCGCGCGCCGATGCGGCTCTGGAGAAGCGTCGCCGAGAGTTCAAGAAGGCCGTAGAGAAGGCCAAGAAGCGCTTTGATGATGTGGCCCAGGTCTGGGCGCGGCGCGACCGGCGGACGGACGATCGGCTTCGGGACATGCGTGTCCTGCCGGCCAAAGCAGCTGCTGCGTAAGACCGTGTTCTGTGTACTACGTACATGCTTATGCGTGTGGTGGGTTAAACAGCGGCGTGAGACGAACGCGGCTAGTGTGTCTATACACTATCAACTCATTTTGCAATTGCCCGTTTTGGGCCTGCTTGGCCGCATTGCTGACGTTCCACGGCTATTCGTAGTCACGCGATTTAACATGGGTGACAGGCTCCTGGAGCACGCCCTCGACGGCGACGCTACAACAACGGAGTGGCGTGAAGCCGGGTTCAGAGCTGCCAGCGAGGCCGGCGCCTTTTTTGCGGTCACAGCTGGCTCACGCATGGCGCAAGCCGCGCTCGGCATCTCGACGCGAGCGCCGCCGGTCGCAGCGCTCGCGACACTGGCCACTGTATGTGTTGGCGCGGTCGCCGCGTCGTGCGCCGGCGGCGGCCAGTTCCAGTTCGAGCAGTCGACCATTGATGACGCTTTACGAGCGGCCGCGTGCGGCGTGACGGCCTACGCTATCCTGGGCGGCCGGCCGACGTCGTTGGCACCGTCCCACCTGGCGTCCGTCGGCGCCTTCGGCCGTCGGAGGGCGTCCCTGGCTGCGTCGCGCAACTACGCCACCGACGCGCAACGCAAGCAACTGGCGTCTTTAGGAAGACGCTTTGGCTGCCACACCTGCGGCGTCAAGTCTTCTGTACAGTGGATCGCGGATCACCAGCCGCCCCAGAAGATCGCCGCACTAAGGGACGCGCGCTGGTGGAAGCGGCTGCCGTTCCTTGGCGCGCCGACTTCACAAAGATTCTACCCGCAGTGCGCGCCCTGCTCGCAGAAGCAGAGCGCCGCCGTACGCGTTTTGAGTGGAAGGAGCGTTCTGCACCTCCCGACGGTGCGGCCGTTCCACCTGACGGGCTTCGTGAGCGCGCCACTCTCCCGAGCGTCGGCACCGAAGAAGCGATGGTATGAATAACGAAACCGAGTATTAATAGGGGGGAGGCCGTGCCACGACGGCCAGGGGGGTTGTTCAAGAAGCCTCGGGCGACACCCGAGATAAAGGCGTCTTCGCGCCCGGGCGAGGACTCCCTTGCTCGGACGACGTCGCGACGCTCTCCTCATCATCACAAGTGACGTAGCAGCCCGAGAAGACGCTATTTTCGAACTCCTTGAGCGCTGGGTTCAGCTCCCGGACGCAGTCCTCGAGATCCTCCAAATCCTGGAACAGCACCCAGTCCGCTTTTATAAATGTGGCCACTTCGTCCGCCGAGCGGTTATGGGCCACCAATTCATTATGCGTCGAGATGTTGATCCCATACACGTTGGGATAACGGACCTCGGGTGAAGCCGACACAAAATAGACGTTCTTCGCGCCGGCCTCCCGCGCCATCAGGACTAGTTCCCTGGAAGTAGTCCCTCTCACTATCGAATCATCTATGAGTAGTACCGTACGACCGGCGAACTCGCTCTTGATCGTGTTAAGTTTCATGCGGACGCCCTTCCTCCTCATGTCCTGCCCGGGCATGATGAAGGTCCTTCCAATATATCTGTTCTTGATGAAGCCCTCTCGGTAGACGCTATCTAAGCTATACGCACACTGCAGGGCGATGGGTCTAGAGGTATCGGGTACGGCGATGACGACGTCTGGCTTTGGCCTATCACCTAACTGGCGCTTGATTTTGGCAGCCAACTTCTCGCCCATCTTGAGCTGCGCCGCGTAGACGCAGACGCCGTCCATCGTGCTATCGGGCCGCGCGAAGTAGACGTACTCGAAGATGCACGGCCGGTGCACCGGCCGCTCGGCACAGCGCTGTGTGAGGACAGGGAAGCCCGGTCTCAATAGGACAGCTTCACCGGGAGCGACATCTCGACAGAGCTTGTATCCTAGAGTGTCCAAGGCTACGGATTCAGAAGCTACGGCCCTGTCATACTCGTTTTCTAGGGTGCGAGACTTCCTTTCCCCAAAGACCATCGGTCTAATCCCCCAGGGGTCCCGAAAGGCCAGCACGCCGACGTTGTGCACTAAGACTACTACGGCATATCCTCCCACACATCTTCTCATCGTGCGCTCGACGGCGTCGAAGAGCGTGTCGGGCGACACCGGCGTACTGAGGGGATCTCCCGCGTGGCCTACGGAACCTCGTCGCCGCGCTTCGAGGTTGGCTGCTAGGTGCTCCGCGAAGACGTTTAGCAAAGCTTCGGAGTCGGAGGTCGTGTTCAGATGTCTGTGTCTGCTGACGAGCTCCTTCCGTAACCTCTCGGAGTTCGTCAAGTTGCCATTATGCGCCAGGGCCAGTCCGCAGGGAAAGTTCGCGTAGAAGGGCTGGACGTCGTCCAACCCGGAACCGCCCGCCGTCGGGTAGCGCACGTGGGCTATCCCAACATTCCCGAGCAGTTCCTGGGCCCGCTTCGGGTCCGCAAACACTTCCCTAACCATGCCCGTGCCCTTGACCGTCTTGAAGGTGACCTTCTCCCAGTCTTGGGACGTCGAGGCCGTCGTGAAGCCGGCGGCGTCTTGCCCTCGATGTTGTAAGACGGTCATGCCATCAACCAAGTCGCCGACGCAGTGGCCGTCGCCGTCGGCGAGTAATGTCGCGAGGATGCCGCACATGGTTTCCTAGCGCTTTTGCAGTTGTCTCTTGCCGGCGCTCCCGCTTTGTATGCCTTCTGCAGCTGCTGCCTTGCACGGCTCTTGCTCGCGCGCTGCCGGCTCTCACGCCGTGAAAATTTTGCTACACAACCAGTGTGGCCTCCGCAGCTGCGCGCGGTGGCCTCACTTGCCGCCCGGGCCCGCGGGGCGCTGAACCCAGAGTTCGCTCTCGATGCTGGTGTTTTGAACCAGGCCTTCTAAGTGAGACACACTAGGAAGCAATTGAGAGTCGTCACCGAGGAGCAGGAGGAGCCGGATGACTCCACGCAGGCGACGACTCCGCCGCCTCGCTCGCGGGGCGGTCGCGGGGCCGACCGCGGCGTAGTCGGCGTCGAGCGCGAAAAGCGAAGAACTAGAACATCACAACGACGGCATCACAACGCCGGCCGCGGGGCGCCGCCGCGACGGGTCCAATCAAAGGGAGGAGCCTAGACATTGATGTCCTCCGCGACGACTGGCAGGACGCGTATGATACGCGTGTGCCTCCAAACGCTGCAGGCCCCGAGCCCCGCGTAGGCCATCACCGCGACGGCCACTACCAACGCAAAAATGCCGCCGGCGATGCCGATCACACGCTCCGAGAGCGCCCAGGCCGCCGCACCCATCAGGCCTCACTACGTATAAGGATGGCATGTGATTGGGCAGCCGGCGCCGTGATGCGGAGGGCGCGCACGTCCCTCGCATACAAAAATTCGGCGGCCGCGCGCAGCAGCGTCGCACGGTCCATGGTTGCCAGGAGGGGCAGGGCTTTGCCAGCTTGGAGGTGGTGAGCTAGCCGAGTCTACGAGCCAGGAGTCGCGCGCCCGGCGCGCGAGAGGACTAGCGAGGCCTCCGCGACGCGTCTCCGTCGCGTGAGAAAACCCGCAAGTTATGCTGCAGACGAGCTAAGTTACGAGCTTGGCAAGGATCGCGGCGTGCGAGACGCAGCACTGCGTTCACACACCGCCAACACTCGTATTATTCATCGTCCAAGCCACCGCACTGCTTCACGTAGCCGCAACGCCATCCGTGCGACCGCATAGCAGCACAGCCGTAGTGCAATCCAGCCCTAGAGCTGCGCATAGCAGCGCAAGAGCTGCACACAGATGGCGCGACGAATCACGCTCGCGCTCTGCGCACTAACAACGGCATTCCAAACGCCGCCGCGGCAACCCTCAAAGACGAGACTCCGCGCCACCACAACAACCGAGTGGGACCTCAGCCTCTTCTCCCCGGCCAAGATCAACCTCTTCCTCCGCATCATAAAGAAGCGCGACGACGGCTTCCACGAGCTCGCGTCGCTCTTCCAGGCCATCGACCTTGGCGACGTCCTCTCGTTCCAAAAACTATCAACAAATGATGAGGACATTCTCGAGTGCGAGACGGAGGGCATGCCCCTCGACGCCACGAATTTGGTGCTGAGGGCCGTCTCATTATTGAGAGAGAAGTGCCCCTCGGGCACAATTCCAGGCTTCCGGATCCTACTAGAGAAACGAACTCCCATGCAAGCGGGCCTGGGCGGTGGCTCGTCGAACGCCGCCGCCGCTTTATATGGTGTGAATGAATTGTGCGGCCGACCGGCGACGCAACAACAGCTCATTGATTGGAGCGGAGCTCTGGGAAGCGACATCACGTTTTTCTTGGGACCGACCGGGAGCGCGTATTGCACGGGACGAGGGGAAATCTTGGAGCCCGTCGACGCGCTGCCGACGACCTACAAGCACCTCTTCGTCATCAAGCCCTACAGGGGTCTGTCGACGCCGCTCGTGTTCAAGACGTTGGCTGCGTCGGAGTACTCAACTTTAAGGAGAGATGCGGACCCACGCACACTATTAGAATCTTTTGGAGACGGCTCGCGCGCGGCGCCTCTGAGCGACTACGTGAACGACCTCGAGCCTCCCGCTTTTGAGTGCGAGCCGGTGCTAGCACAAATCAAAGATAGGTTATTGGACAAGTACGGCTTCCACGCGGCGATGATGAGCGGGAGCGGCACATCTTTATTCGCCGTGGCGACGGGGAATGAAGTGGATGCCGATGCGTTTCCCGCGGCGTTCGTGGAGGAGTGCAAAAATGAATTGGACGTCGACGTGGACGTCTGGCCGACGCGGTTTCTAGGAAGAGACGCGGGGGAGTGGTACGCGAAGTAAGGAGGGTTAGTCATTTTGCGCGGTGAACGAGAGGGGTCGCGGCGGCGGCGTCAAGGGGGCTTGCTGCGGGGTCCAGACACGTCCGACGCGACCCGGGCACGCCTCCGGACACGCTCAGCGTCCGGCTCGGCGCGATCTTCGGCGAGCCACAGAGGGCCTGGGCTCCACGGGCTCGAAGAGTCGTCTAGGGGCTCCCACGCGCTCGGGGCAGGCGGCCGCTCGCTGCGAGGGGCGCGTATCAACGAGCGTCAAATTGAAATGGAAGGCCACGCAAGCCATACGTTTTCGTCGATACAGCCCCGACTGGCAATTAAACCGTGCGCACGCCGCGTCGCAACTTGCACCAAAACCGGCGCGCGCGCGTCAAAAGGCTCAGCACCCCACGGCAACGCCGCCGCGCGCGAAAGGGCTGCGTTTCCGCGCCGCGCGGGCGGCGCAGCGGTGGCCTTCCAAAAAATCGCGCCTATCGCCGCCCCACGGCGCGCGGCGCACGGCGGGCGGCGCGCGGGGCGCGCAGCGCGTCACACGCGCCGCGCCGGCGCCGCGCGGCCACAAAAACGCCGATGCGCACACTTGCACCTGACGCGCGCCCGACATCGCACCGACACGCATCTCACCACAAACCACCGCAGGCAAAAACTAACACGATGGCCACTACCATGAACGCCATCGCCGACGCGATCCAGCCATCCGCCCTCGAGGCGCTGCTCACGCAGACCCTGGCCGACGAGGCCGGTTTGAACGACGTGGCGGAGGGCTTCAAGCCCATCCTCGCCTACGTCGCGTCCCTCGCGTCGAACCAGTGCGTCGCCGAGACCTTCCACATGTTCGAGTGGGAGAAGACCTGCAAGGCCTACCTCGCGCCCATCCTCGCCGACGAGGAGAAGTGCGCCGCGGTCACGAAGAAGTTCATGGACGAGTCCGAGAAGCGCGTGCCCAAGCGCGAGGTCGAGCTCGACATCCCCGAGGGCGAGGGCGAGATCTTGTGTAATGTCGAGTTCAAGCTCGCCTACGGCGGCAAGATCCTGCTCAACACGACGCACTTCCACGTGCGCCGCGGCCGCATCTACGGCCTCCTCGGCCACAACGGCTGCGGCAAGTCCACGCTCATGCGCGCCATCTCGTCGGGTGCCCTCGCGGGCTTCCCCGGCGCCGAGGAGCTCATGAAGCTCCGCGCCTGCTTCGTCGACCACGACATCGACGGCTCGGACGCGAACACGCCGACGATCGACTTCTGCCTCCAGGAGCCGGTCCTCGCGCCGCTCGGCCGCGAGAAGATCCGCGAGAAGCTCCTCGAGATGGAGTTCACGGAGGAGCTCATCAACAAGCCCATCTGCAACCTGTCGGGCGGCTGGAAGATGAAGCTCGCGCTCGCGCGCGCCGTCCTCCTGAACGCCGATCTCCTGCTCCTCGACGAGCCGACGAACCACCTGGACGTCCAGAAGCAGCAGTGGCTCTGCGACTTCCTCACGGGCCCGCAGTGCGAGCACGTCACGACGCTCGTCGTGTCGCACGACTCCAAGTTCCTCAACAAGGTGCTCTCGGACGTGATCCACTACGAGAACATGCGCCTCAAGCGCTACACGGGCAACCTCGACCAGTTCGTCGAGCAGTGCCCCATGGCCAAGGCCTACTTCTCGATCCACGACACGGAGATGAAGTTCACGTTCCCCGTGCCGGGCCCGCTCGAGGGCGTCAAGTCGCGCACCAAGGCCATCCTCCAGGCCAAGAACATCACGTTCACCTACCCGACGTACCGCGACCGCGTCCTTTACCTTCTTCGAAGACCGATTGGCGCAACGGTAGCGCGTCAGATTCCAGTCCTGAAGGTTACGTGTTCGAATCACGTATCGGTCACTTGTTCGACGTCGCGTCGATGGCGTGGCGGAGGCGTAGCATTCCGCTTCCCTCGAGAGTACGAACGCGCGTCGACGGTACGTTCCCCCGCAGGCCCGAGGAGAAGGCCCTGGGCCCGTCGTGCAAGACGCGCTCCGGCAAGCCGACGCTCGAGGACGTCTCCGTTCAGGTGTCGCAGGCGTCGCGCATCGCGTGCATCGGCCCGAACGGCGCGGGCAAGTCGACGCTCATCAAGGTGCTCGTCGGCGAGACGAAGCCCGACGAGGGCTGCCCCGAGGTCTACCGCCACCAGAACTGCCGCATCGCCTACGTGGCGCAGCACGCGTTCCACCACATCGAGCAGCACCTCGAGATGTCGCCCGTCGAGTACATCCAGTGGCGCTTCTCCGGCGGCCTCGACAAGGAGCAGCAGGCCATGGAGGCGGCCCAGATGTCCGAGGAGGAAAAGGCCCAGCTCAAGCAGCCCTTCATCGTCTACCTCAAGGAGCTCGCCGCCGAGCTCGACGAGGCCGGCAACGCGACGGGCGAGCGCGAGATCATCTTCGAGAAGATGGAGCCGCTCAAGAAGGGCCAGAAGCCGCCGCCGGTCGACCCGGTCAACGGCATCTTCCCGAACTGCGTGCGCACGATCAAGCAGCTCATCGGCCGCCGCACGCGCCACGGCGACTACGAGTACGAGGTCAAGTGGGGCGACAAGGAGATGGTCTCCATGGACCCGAAGAACAACCTCTACGTGCCCAAGGTCGTGCTCGAGACGCACGGCTTCCACAAGCTCATGAAGGCGATCGACGACAAGATCGCCGCCGAGGCCGGCAACGTCAAGCCGCTCACGACGACGGCGATCCAGAGGCATTTGGACGACTTCGGCCTGCACGAGGAGTTCGGCACCTACGGCAAGATGAAGAACCTGTCGGGCGGCCAGAAGGTGAAGTGCGTCATCGGCGCGTCCATGTGGTTCTGCCCGCACATCGTCGTGCTCGACGAGCCGACGAACTACCTCGACCGCGACTCGCTCGGCGCCCTCTCGCGCGCCATCAAGGAGTTCCAGGGCGGCGTGCTCATGATCTCGCACAATGCCGAGTTCTTCGGCGACATCGCGCCCGAGGTCTGGGAGGTGCCCGGCGACCAGAAGGTTCATGTGTCCGGCGCCGAGTGGATGGAGGCCGTTAAGGCGAAGGAATTAGCCGAGGCCAAGGCCAAGAAGAAGTCGATCCCGAAGCAGGACGACGACAAGTTTGACGCGCTCGGCAACAAGATCGAGACGGCCGTGGCGGCCGCGGACATCGACCGCGACTACGTACCGCGACCGCGTCCTTTATATTTTCAACTCCGTGGCGCAATGGATAGCGTATCAGACTTCGAATCTGGGGGTTGCGGGTTCGAGTCCCGTCGGAGTTGACCGCGGAGGAGTCCGCCGACGGATGTTGTGGCCGAGTGGTCTAAACCCTGCGTGGGTGACCAGAGGCGCTGGTTTTAGGCACCAGTCTTCGGGCGTGGGTTCGAACCCCACCAACATCATGGCGGCTCCTCCTTCGACCGATTGGCGCAACGGTAGCGCGTCAGATTCCAGTCCTGAAGGTTACGTGTTCGAATCACGTATCGGTCATTCATGAACGCGTGTCGACGGTACGACCCCTCCGCAGGTCAAGAAATTGACGAAGCAGCTCAAGGCGCTCAAGGAGCGCGTCAAGAAGGGCGACGCTTCTGCTGAGGATGAAATGTATGAAGTAGAGGAGGCCTTGGACAAGGCCAACGCGATCCTCAAGAAAGAGAAGGAGGCCGCGAAAAAAGAAAAGGAGGCCGCGAAGGCCCTGGCCAAGGCCGCCAAGGCCAAGGAGAAGAAGTCGAAGAAGTAGACGCCTTCGGCGGCGAAGTCGGGGGAGTAGACGCCTCCGGCGGCGGTTGTCGCGCCCCGACCACACGGGTCGTCGCGTCGGTCGCCTATTCAAGTTTTAGTCCCCCCGCACGTATCCCCTGTGATAAACCTTGAACTAAACTGCCTTACCCGGGATTTGATTGACTACATCCCCAGCAGAAATCCAGTAGCGTCGGCCATGGAGTCGCTCGACACGATAGACGCCAGGACCTCCTTGCCACAGCTCTTCGCCTGGTCCCACGCGTAGTCCTTCGCCACCTCCGTCGCAAACTTCTTCGCGAGACCTGTGCCGGACGCAGCCGCCGACGTGCCGGACGCCGCCGCCGAGAGGTCCAGCGAGGCCGACGACGACAGCGAGACGCTCGGCGGGGGCAGCACCGCGCACTGCGTCGCGGCGGGCGCCGCCGGCGCGACGACCGTGAACGACCGGCCGGGTCCTAGGCGTTGGGGCACCGTCGCTCGAATCGTCTGGCCCGACGGGACTTTGACGAGTAATTGTGATCCAGGCGGTTTGTCCGGCGGGCACGTGACGCTGACGCGGTGGACGGGAGGCGCCGCCAGCGCGGGCACGAGTATCGTAAACGTCTCGCCCGGCGCGCAGCCTTCCGGGATCGACGCGCGGGCCTTGCGGCCGTCGGGAATTTGCACGGTGATCGGCTTGCCCGCGTGACCGTCGGCCGGACACGTCACCCGCACGCGCAGCGGCGCCGGCGCCTTCGCCTTGGGGCTCGCGGGCGGCGTCGGGGCTTCGGGCGGCGGAGAGATGGGCCGCGGCGGCAGCGGCGGCGGCGCTACGGGCGCCCGCGTCGCTTTCCTGAGCTTCTGCTTCAGGAGCGATTGCTGCAGTTTGTTCGTAAGACCGCACTGCTCGAAGACCAAGGCGAGGTCGTCGTCCGACGCGTTTGCCTGTGCGGAAATCAACCAGTGAGTTAGGTTCTAAATGCGCCCGACATTTGATTTCCACACAGGCATTTGCGAGGTAGTCGCCGTCGATGCCCGCTTCTCGCATCTTGTCGGCGGCGCCGGCGAACTGCGTCCCGAAGCCGGCGACGACGGCGCGGACCTGGTCCGCGTCGAGCGTCTCGAGCGGGCCGTCGACCTTGGACGCGGTGGCGCCCATGGTGTCGCTTGAGCTGGGTGGCGTTCTTAGGGGTTTCCCTTAGAGCGATTCTCCTGCACGGACCACTTCGCCGTCGCAAGGGTTCGTCTAGCGTTCGTGACTGCTTCCTATCTCACTTGACTCAAGTGAGGGTCCCGAGATCGACTCAGCGTTCGTTTTTCGGCACCAGAAGGTCGTAAGAGTAACCTCAGACACTTTCAATGTGAAATTTCGACGGATGGGCTGATCTGCACACGAAATTCCTATCTCGATGCTAGCGGCATGTAGACACTAGCCAGCTCCTAAGATGAAGGCTGAGCGTGCAAAGCGATGCAATAACGCATTGCTTTGCATAACTTTTGATAGGAAACATTAGCATTTGCACACCTGACAGTCGTGGGACACTCCTTGCTGCTGCAGACAGCCAGTAGCAGCCTCGCCGGAGAGCCCATCATCAAGCGGCGACAGGCGCGCGTGACAATAACCAGCCGCAAATGACGCTGTCCAGCAACAGCAAATCAGCCGCACTTGCAGGAGCAGCCGCCCTCGCCGCCTGCGCCTACGCCTGGCACCTCCGCAAGCGACTAGAAAGAGAGCAGCGGCTCCGCAAGGAGGAGCGCAAAGGAAGAACAAGAGCTGAGGCCGCCTTACGCAACCTGAGCAAGCAGCGCGACCGCATCCCGACGCAGTCGCTGCGGACAAGGCAAGTGGCCGCGATCGGGCACGTCGAGACGCCCTTCGTCAAGCGGAGCGGCACGCCGCGGCAGGGCATGGTCTGCCCGTCGTCGCGCGGCGTCGTCAAACTCGATCAAGCAGCACATGCCTGCCTCAGCAGAGCGGCCCTGGACGGCCTCGAGGACTACTCGCACATCTGGGTGCTGTTCGAGTTCCACGCGAATACCGATATGCATTTTAAGGCCGCGAAAGTCGCGCCGCCTCGAGGCTATGGCGCGAAGGTCGGCTGGCTGGCCACGCGGGCGCCGCATCGAGCGGTCCCCGTCGGCCTGTCCCTTGTGAAGGTCGATTCTGTGGATGCCAAGAATTTGCATATACACATCTCGGCTTTAGATTTGTGTCACGGGACGCCCGTCTGGGACATAAAACCCTACGTGCCTTGGGATGCCCCACAAAGTGAAATAAGGTACCCGGCCTGGGTCTCGCGGAACGACGTCCTGAAGGGTGTTCGCTGGGAATCTCAAGCTTTAGATGCCCTACGCAAGCTCGCGCCGTCTCTACTCGAGACGTACGGCTTCCCGACGGACGCCCTGGACGACGCCCAGAAGACGCTCGAGGAGGTCCTCGTGCAGGACCCGCGCAACAAGCGGCGGCGCAAAACGCGGGGCCCGGACGGCGCCGGCGCGGGGACGGGGGCGTCGTACCGCATCCCCTTCGCTGGCTTGGACGTCGACTTCCGCGTCGACGAGTCGCGCACGGTGGTGGTCGAGGCGGTCGCTCTGGGGGCGGAGGACGGGGACCTGCTGCGGACGGAGGTCGTGGAGTAAGTTGTTGTGTGTTCGATAATACCAAACTTACGCGCTACCGCCGCGCCGCCATGGCCTTCTCGAGCAGCTGTGGTATGTCGGTCGCGAACATGCGGTCCATTTCCGCGACTTTTGATTTGTCCAATTTCGGAAACTTCGACAGGTCGTCGATTTCTAACAGAGCTTCTCGGAAGTCGTCGACGTCCGGAAAGTCGCCCCGCGTGAGACCGTAGCGATTCGCGCACTTCGCGAATTGGCGCGGTAGGTCCGCCAACAACTTCTGCTGCTTCTCTTCTTTGCCGAAGAACTGGGGCATCTGCTTCCGCAGGTAGTGGATGAGGTAGCAATGCACTTTCAGCTTCCGAGCTCGTCTTGATAACTCGTTGATCCTTCGCAGGACGGCATTTTTTGGCAAATTTCTCAATTCGTCCAGTAAATCATCGCGTTCCCTCGATAGTAGTGCCGTATCCGAACCTCGTCTATGGTCCAAAGGCCGGTCCCAGAAGGAGCCAAGATGGACCCTAACTACCTCTGGAGTGGAGACGACGCGGCCGAGCTGCCACATCAACGCGCCATAAACCCGCAACAACTGCTGCGGCGTGACCTGGTCCGCCTTGTTCAGCACGACCCTCAACTTCTGGGCGTGGGGCCGCAGCGCGTCGACCTGCGTGGAACGACACTCTCGCGCGGCCGCGTCGACGGCGTCGCGGCGGCGTGACGTCGCGCTGACGCCATCGCCGCGACCCAGGCAAGACGCGTGGACGCTCCGATGATCACGACGACGGCATCGCCGCCACCGGATCGAGTTCAAGTTCATTCACAACACTGAGTCACGGACGGTAGCCTTCAGTTCATCACTTATATCAAGCTTATGCGCGTCGAACATGACCACGATCATGTCTGACCGCTCCGCGAACCACCGGACGACCTGGGGAAAGTCGTAGTCCCTGCCTAATCGCTGCTTCGCTCCGCTCAGCACGCCCGGCGTGTCCACGAGCGTCACGTTGTCGAGGATCGGGCAGCCATAGACCTCGGCGCCCTGGAGCTTCTCGAGGAACGCGTTGCCGAAGCCTTGCAGGCCCGCGAAGGGCTTGTCGTGGCGCATGGCCAGCGCGTTGCCCGGCACGATCCTATCTTGGTCGTCGGCGCGCATCACGGCCAAGAATCGGTCTGTGGTGGGTTCTGGCCCGATCCGGATGCCCGGGAAGTCTCTCCCCAACAGAGAGCGGATGAAGGACGTCTTGCCAACCGAGTACTGCCCCAGCAACAACACCATGGGCTTGGCGTCGAAGTCCGCCGGCCCCATCGGGACACTTGCAAAATGCCCAAACCGCGACGCTAATTCCAAAGGGAGCATGCGTCTTTTGTAGAGCTTTTTCAGCTCCCCGAAAAAGTACTCCTTGTCGAAGTGCTCGAACATCTCGGCGTGCGTCTCCTCCGAGAGGTAGTCCTGCTCTTCGTCCTCTTCTTTGGGTCGTGGTGGCGCGTCCGGGGCGACGGCCTCGGCACCCATCTGCTCCGGCGGCGCCGGCGGCGCGGCGGGTGGCGGCGGCGGGCGCTGTTGCTGTTGTTGCTGTTGCGGCGGCGGTTGTTGTTGCGGCGCGTAGCCCGGCGGCGCACCGTAGCCCGGCGGCGGACCGTAGCTCTGCGGTGGTCGTCGCGGCGCGTCCGGCGGGTACGCGTCCGGCGGGTAGCGCTGCGGCGGCGGCGGCGGTTGCCGATCAGGTGGCGTGCCATACCGCGGCGGTGCGTCGTTCGGCGGGTAGCGCTGCGGCGCTGCGCCCGGCGCGCCGCCGTGCTTAGACGGAGACCACTGCTGCTGGCCTGCAGCCAGGCCCAGCAGCAGCAAAGCGATGCAAGCGCGTTGCCGCATGGCGTCTACTGTTCAGCGGCAATATGAATCAGCATGCAAACCCAGCATTAAACGCGATCGTCGCGCTCTACGCCGTGCAGCAACAGGAGAGATGGCTGCTGCTCCAAGTGGCGGCTATTTGTTGGGCCTCAAGAGACGTCGTTTGCGGTTCAGGAGGTCTCCTGGCTGCTGCGGACGGGTGTCTTTCGCGACGCGGCTCCAGTCGCGCAGCACAGGCTGCCTTGCCCACCATGCTCCATGCTGCCAAACGCAGGGCCGGCACTGGCCGCGGGGCAGCGTGAAAAATGATTCCCCAGAGCAACTGATGCGCCACGCGCTGCCGCAGCTTGATACCATAGCTTGGTATGGAGTAGCCATTGGTCTGGAGTAGCTCACAGATAGCCCACACCTAACAAACATGGGCGCTGGCGGCTCGACGGAAGGCGCACACCTCACCAGAGGCACCAGCAAAAACAACCTCGGCGTGCTGTTTGACCGCGAGGCCGAGGAGGCCTTCCATGCCGCCGCGACTGGTCCGGAAGACGAACTCGCCGTGCCCTGGTCCGTGGCCGACGCGTACGTGAAGACGCGCGACGAGCGCTGGCGCGACCCGAAGCACGTCTTGTTTCAGAATCTGAAACAATTCCGCGTCGCGCGGGTCGAGATCGAGAAGATCGCGAACGAGAAGATCAAGGGCACAATCCGTGAGATCCCGTGGCGCGACGGCGACGCGTGCCAACAGCGCGGCCTCGCCGGCAAGCCGGCCGCGTCGCTCGACGCGCTGTACGCGATCGCCAACCTGGCGTGCAAAGTCTACCAGGTGATCCTGACGGACATCTGTAAGGGCGGCCCACCCCTGAACCTGGCACCGCTCAAGGGCCGCGCGCGAGCCGAAGAAAAGGCGCGCAACGAATACGCGGACAAGCAGGCGCCGTGCTACTCGTGGCTCTTCGACATCGTGAGAGGCTCCGTGTACTGCGACCACGAGGACGACCTGGTCGCGCTCTGGAAAAAGATCGAGGCGGACCCGCGCATCGAAATTGTCCGAACGAAAAATCGTTTCAATCCCCCAGAATTCAACGGCTACCGCGACATCATGATGAACGTGGCCGTTGACGTGGATACGCCTGCCGGGAAGATATCGCACCTCTGCGAGCTCCAGATTCACCTCACTGCAATTAAGAAGTCGGAGCCGATGCACAAGAGTCACGCCGTCTACGAGTTCTTTCGATCGTTCTTTTTGGGGAACGCAGAGGCGGTCGAGAAGCGGCTGGACATGTTCTGCGCGCTGCCCGTCGACGACGCTAAAGATGCGGACGAGCTTGTGGACCACGTGCTCGGGTCCGACGCGGACGCGAGTTTGCTCGAGGGGCTCTGTGAATTGCTCACGTCGATCCAGGAGAACGCGGGCGTCGTGAAAGTCCGGGAAGCCATCTTAGCGGAGCATGAGCGCGAGTTTGGCGCGGAGAGCAAGGAGGTGGGCGGGGCGCTGTATGATCTTGGGCTCGCGTACTATGATCTCGGCAACCAAGCCAAGAATCGCGACGTGCTGGAGCGCGCGCTCCCGATCTACGAGCGCGAGTACGGTAGTGACAGCACGGAGATGTCCGGTTTGTTGAATAATCTCGGGAACGCGTACGGCTTTTTAGGCGACCACGCGAAGTCGCGAGACATTTATGAGCGCGCGCTCGCGATCGACGAGCGGGCGTACGGCCGTGACCACCCGGAAGTGGCCCCCACGCTGACGAGCCTCGGGGACGCGCACAACCAATTGGGCGACTACGCCAAGGCGCGAGACATGCTAGAGCGCGCGCTCGCGATCAAGGAGCGGGCGTACGGCCGCGATCACGTGAATGTGGCCAGCACGCTGACGAACCTCGGGACCGCGTACGGCGCCTTAGGCGACCCCGCGAAGGCGCGAGACATGCTGGAACGCGCGCTCGCGATCGACGAGCGGACGTACGGCCGCGACCACCCGGAAGTGGCCAAGACGCTGGAGAACCTTGGGTGTGCGTACGGCGACTTAGGCGACAACGCGAAGCTGCGAGACATGCTGGAGCGCGTGCTCGCGATCAAGGAGCGGGCGTACGGCAGCGAGCACCCGAGTGTGGCCATCACGCTGAATAACCTCGGGACCGCGTACTGCGACTTAGGCGACCCCGCGAAGGCGCGAGATGTCCTGGAGCGCGCGCTCGCGATCGACGAGCGGGCGTACGGCCGCGACCACGCGGACGTGGCCGGCACGCTGATGAACCTTGGGTGTGCGTACGGCGACTTGGGCGACCCGGCGAAGAAGCGAGACATGCTGGAGCGCGCGCTCGCGATCGAGGAGCGGGCGTACGGCCCCGATCACATTGATATAGCCCCCTCGCTGTTCAACCTCGGAAGCTTGCACGAGGATCTAGGCGAGAAGGCTAAGGCGCGCGAGTTCATCGCGCGCGCTCTCGCGATTGCCGAGCGCACATACGGAAGCGACCATCCTCGTACCGATATGTGCCGAAGGCACCTCGCCAAATTATCATCGTGAGCTAGAGCCGCTTTCACCTCCTCTACAGATATCGAGTCCTCTCCGTCCCAGGCGCGAAACGCCTCCGTATATGCGGTTCCCCCCACGCGCTGCCGACGCGACATGACTAAAGAAAGAACACTTAATCTCAGAGCAGCTCCGCCGTCTGCTCCGCGATGAGGCCGTGCGCCTTCAGCGACTTCGACGAGAGCGTGTCGATCTGCTCGATGAGGTGGGAGATCTGGCCCGCGTCGAGGACCCGCGGCTGCACCCAGGACACCTCGACGACCTGCGCCACCTCGTCGATGACGCCCTTCACTAAGCCGAGAGCCATCGCCCGCATCGCGAGCCACTCCACATGATCCAGGTCCAGCCTCGCGCGCGACGCGATCGCCTGAAACGAAATCGCCCGTTGATGCGCCGGCGTCTCGAACACCAAGTTCATAAAAGCCAAGAGAGCGATCTTCTCCTTGACGAAGGGCGCCTTCGCTCTGAGAGCGGGCTGTTTCAAATACTCGTCCTTGTTCTTGCCGAGGCAGTCGTTAAAGGCATCGACGTCGCCCGCCGCAAAAATACGTAAAAGGTCGCCGAGCCAGGCGTTCGGCGTGTGGTTCAGGGCGTCGAGGATGGGCGTCGCGAGGACCTCGCCGAAGTTGTAGACGCCTTCACCAGACAAAGCGGCTAGGGCCACATCCGTCGCGAGAATACGTCTTTTGTTCAGGGGCATGTCGTCGGCCGACGCGTAGCTCAACAACGAGAGTGCTGCTCGGTAGAAGGCTTCCGGCGGTCCCACCAACTTGCGGTAGTCGGAGGCCGCGGCGTAGTACTTCCGAAACACGGCCGTGTCCGTCGTGCCCGTGAGGCCGTCCATTGTCGGCTTGGCCTCCTCCAGGGCCTTCTTTACTTGTTCTAAGGCATTCGCGTCGGCGCCGCGCAGTGCCAACAACGCCGCCTCCATCTCGAGGTACAACGAGGGCTCCGCACCTAACCTACCGCGCTTGTCCTCGACGGCCTTCTTGAGCCTCTCGATGCCCTCCTGGGCGCTGATGACGGTGGAGTCGACCGCACCGACCACCAGGTCCCCCAGAATCATGGCGTACTGGAGCTGGTTGAGCTTGGCCTCGACCTTCGACAGGAACTTCTCCTCCAGATCGAGCAAGAGCTGGCCCCGTTGCCTCGCGGCGTCGGACTGCACAAAAGTTCGCAATGCCGTCGTGAGCTCGTGGTAGAGCTTTTTGCTGAAGAGCTCGCCGAGCGCGGCGAGGTCCTCGGCGACCTCGGGCGTGGCCTGGGCTTGGGTCTCGACGAAGTCCATCGTCGGTCGCGTCCACGCGCGGCGGCTGGCGTCTACGAGGGTGTGCAGCGCTCCTCACGCTCCGCGCGGCTGGCGTCTTCGACGAGGTCGGTGGTCTGGGGCTCTTGCGCGCGGGGCCAAAATGTAGCGAGCGGCGCCGCGTCGATCAATGGGAGTGACAGCAAAGCGCAGCGTGCAAAAACAGCTCTGTGCGTGCAACACGCCCGCGATTTCGAGCCGCCGCGGCCCTGGGAGAAGCTAGTATGTGTGTACGCTAGCTCTTGCAGGCTCCCGGCCAAAGCGCACGAGATGCGCATTGATGCCTGCGACCTCACCATTCGGTTATATTTGCAGCATTGATGCGTGCAGCACTCATGCTCCTAGTCCTGCGGAGGAGCAGCACCTTTGCACCACGCGGCACGCGTTTACTCGTCACGAGACGTGCGGCCAAGGAGCCCGCGGACGACGCAGTGGTCGCGGCCGGCGCGGCGCAACGACGAGAACGGCTGGACCGCGAACTCGCGGCGCTCGGCTTCGACGCTGAACGGCTGGAGGGCGACGCGGCGCTGCGAGGGAGTGCAGCACTCGCGACGTACCGCCGGTTCGTCATCCCGAAGACGGCCAAGGGCCTCAGGGATGCGCTGGCGCCGGCGCGCGCCGCGTCGGTGGCCGTCGACGTTGTTGGGTTGGCCCGGCAGCACCTTGCGGAGCAGGCGGCCTGGTTGCGGAACCGGGACCGGTCGCTGGAGGAGCGGCCGGAGCCGCCGCACGCGGACCTGGTTGTTGTTTTAGATGGTCTGCGGAGCGGCGAGAACGTGGGTTCGGTGCTGCGGACGGTCGAGACGGCCGGCGCGGGGCGCGTGATCTGCTGCGGGACGACGCCGGCGCCGCCTTCACCATCTGTGCTGCGGGCGGCCATGGGCTGCGCGGATCTGGTGACCGTCGAGCGGGCGCCGTCGACGCTCGAGACCGTGTTGGAGTTGCGGCGGGAGGGCTTTTCGGTCTGGGCGTGCGAGACGACGGAACGCTCAGTTGTCCTGTTCGACACGCCGCCGCCGCGGCCCCTCGCCCTGATCTTCGGCCACGAGGAGTTCGGAGTCTCGGTGGACGTCTTAGAGGCATGCGACGCGGTCGTCGAGATTCCCGTGTACGGCCTGAAGAATAGTCTGAACGTCGCCAACGCCGTGGCGGTGGCTCTGTTTGATGTTGTGCGGCGGTGGCGTAAGTAATTAACTATGTCGTTAAGCGTAGGGGGAGGGGCGCGTCAAGGGGGACGGAATGTTCTTGCCCTGGCGGGCACACACAATGTCATGGGGTAGGTCAGGCCTGAGGCGGCGGCGGCGGAGGTGCAGCCATCTGTGCGGCCGTGGCGTACGGCACGAGCGGCTGGAAGGGGTTGAACTGCTGCTGCGACGGAGGCGGCGACGCCGACTCGCGCGCGGGGCTCAGGCCGAAGGCCGGCGTCGCGTGCGGCGTCGACGCGGGCGTCTGGCCGGGCGTCACGGCGCCGCCGGCGGCCAATAACTGCTGGATGTGGTGCGTGAGGAACTTGACGTGCGTCTCGAGGTCGGACACGCGGTCGAGGATGCGCATCGTGTTCGCCAGGAGCTCCGTCGGCTGCTCGTCCGGCGGCAGGTTCGAGAGCACCGCGAGGCGCTGGGCCGCCGCGGCGTTGCGGTGGGCCTGGCCGCCCGGGTGCGGGCGCGCGACCGTGTGTTCGTGAGAACTCTGCGCCGCCGCCGCCGCGAGGAGGGAGGTCGGCGACTCGAAGCCCGGTTGATAATTCAAAGGCGCGACGCCACCACCACCCGCGGCGCGCGCGCGCTTTCTTAAGGGATCTCCGGACTGCGGAGCGGGCTCGGCGATGCGCTTCTTCGAGAGTACCAATAAGCCCGGCGTGATCGCTGGCAATACACCCGCGACGTGCGAGGCATCTGGCGACACTTTCACGCAGAACTTGCGGTCGTCCGCTCTCAATGAACCGACTTCAATCCGGTAATCAAAATAGACCACCGCGCCGGGGTTCGGCAGGGTCAGGCGCTTGGCCCCGTCGCCGAGCACCTTCAGCGACTCGGCTTCCCGCCCGGGACGGGTCTCGAACTTCGACTGGACGACTCTTCCGTCCGGAAAACACAACTCGATCTTGACGGGCACGGCGACGCCGTGGTTCACGCCCTCGACGCGCACGCCGCATCTCACATAGTGCTCGGCGCGCGGCGTCGCGTCCTTGTAGAAGATGGGCGCCCGCGGGTTCTCGGGGTGTCTGAGCGCCACGTAGTTCGCTTGCGCCGCCGAGAACTCGTGGCTCGCAATAATTAAACGGGGGCCGGCGTCCTCGTCGTCGTCCTCGGCCTTCGGCGGCGGCGGAGGTGCCGCGTGGCTCTGGTTGCGGAGGTCCTCGCGGTTGGCCTGCGTCGGTTTAGCGTGTTATCGCCCGAAACTTTTTGTGGGTTCAACGAGGCCGGGCATCGAAAAATTCCACAGCCGGGCGGTTTCCCGACGTGGAGGCCCAGGGCGTCGTTGCCAGTCGAGGCGTGTCTCTCACGAGGCTCGTGTGGGCGGAGAGGACCGCTTACTTCGTTTCGCGGCGGTAGCGCGAATTTCGCCGCAAACGCCCGCGTGGCCCTTTGGCGCCAGGGCGCGGCCGAGGCCGTTCGCTTTTCGCGTGTAGAGTTCTGTGGACGCTGTAACGCGCGGAGGGGACACGCGGCATGCTCGTCGTCCGAAACCAGGTGCGTTGTGAGTGTGTTTTCCAATCACAGCGCCAAACGCCTCAATTGGAGCCGGGTCTTCGCAGGAGGGCCGGCGTAGCTCGCGAGCTCGGCGAAACCAGTCTCAGAGTCACGGATAAGTCACTCCTCCGCTCAAACGCGCAGGGTAAAGAGAGGCCAGGCTATCCCTGCGCATCCCATGAAAGCTAGTAGCTCGGCGTGGGCGATGATGATGCCTACAAACCTCACGAAACACACCCCAATCGCACGAGCAGCACGTATCTGGACCCCCCTGGCCGCACGCGGACTTCAAGTTTAGTTCTGACCGAACGCAACGCACGTTCCTCAGAATAAACCAATAATCATCTTAAAAGAGAGACAAGTAACTAGGCCGGCGCCGCGGCGGCCCGCTTCGCCAGCGCTTCAGAAAAAGCCTGTTCGCGCAGGGCAGCCGTCAAATCCGCGGGCGGGAGCGGCTCCTCGAGCGCAATCGATTCCGTGATCGCGTGGCAGACCCTATCTTTTTCCTCCGTCGAGAGCTCCTTCAGCGCCTTTAAACCATGTTTCATCCATACTTTTTCCCGCACTTCGAGCGTGCAAGCCAGGCCGGACTCCGCGTGAAAGCATTGACACTCGATGACACGACGTTTCTCGTACAAGGACGCCATGACGAGCTGGCCGTCCAACTCCACACCCAACGTCAATAAAGCGCGGGACGTCCGCTGCGGAGAGCCCGGTCGTAAGTTATCAGGAGGCGCCGTGAGGTGGACCTCCAGAGGTTTTTCTTCGTCCGCAGGCGCCAAGACACTCTTCAGTAAAGCCTCTCCTAATATGTCCTTGTCTGCATCGGTCAGATGCGACGTCACGGGCACGTACTTCGCCTGCTCGAGAACGTGAAGTGAAAACACGCGCTCGACCGCCCTCCAGGGACGAAGGGGGTCCATGGCCCTTACTCTAAAGCCCTCGGCCTCCTCCATCAACGTGACGGCGTAGCCCTCGTCGGTAGTGCCGTCGAAGGTCGGGGCCTCCCTCGGCTGTTTGTTGACGGCCAGTAGCAAACTCTCGAGGTCGTCGCCCTCGGAATTGTCGTCGATGACCAGTACATCCGCGGTCCGGTTCGGCGCGAAGATTAATCGATCGCCGGCGCCGTGGGCTTGCGGTACTAGAGTAAGTCCTTCACAAACTCTCTCAGCAATCAGATACGCGGCCGCGTCATCGTTGAGTGCGGAAGGCTCGCAGCCCGCCTCATCACAAGACACGATCAGCGAGTAGTCCATGAGCGCGTCGGGCTCGAAGGCCTCCACGCTCAACGCACCGTCGTCGTTGTAGATCGAACAGAGTAAATGCCGTCCGTCTTGGACCTCGACGCCCTCGGTATACAAGGCCCTTCTTTTAGTAGCCTGGCCGGGCGTGCCCGTCTTCTTGAGGGTCGTGAGTTCTGCAAAATCAGACAGGAACGGCGCCTCGAGCGCTTCGTCCTCCGCCGTCCAGGGCCGTCGGTCGGTCGTCGTGACGGGCGCCGGCTCGTCCGCCGCCGCGCCGATGTTCGCGATACCAGGTACGGAGTCCGGGACCTTGGCCTCTTCGGCCGGCGACGCCACGCGCACCGCCGGGAAGGGGTCGTATTTCAGGGAGCCGTCAATGACCAAGTCCTTCAGTATACTTCGAGCGAGCGACGCCTGCTGTCTTCCGCTGAGCTCCGTGAGCGCGCCACCCAAATGACTCCACTGCTCTTGTAGAACAGTGCACTCCCAGAGCTTCTGGGTCCGCGTGTCGTAGGCGTGGATGCCCAGGTTGCCGTCCTGGTCGACAACCGACGCGAGGAGAAAAGCCTCGCCGACTTTCACGCCCTCCGTGAGGATCGCTCGCGCCGACGCGACGGCGGTCTTGGGGCGCTGGGGGCTCGGCGGCGCCTCGGGCTCCGCGGCGGCGGCGGGCGCCTCGGTGGCTGGCTCCGCGGCCGGCTCCGGCGCCGGGGCCACTTGGGGCTCGGGCGCCGACTCCTCGACGGCGGCCACGTCGGGCTTGGGAGGGCTCGGCGCCTCCTCGACGGCGGCCGGCTCCTCGGCGGCGGCCGGCTCCGGGCTGCTCGGCTCGGCCTCGGCCTCGGTCGGCTCAGGCGCCGCGGCGGCCGGCGGCTCCGATGGAGCTGCTTCGTCGGCAGCCGGCGTCTCGTCAGCCGGCTCGGGCGCCGGATCCGCCGCGGGCTCGGCCGGAGGCTCGTCCGCCGGAGGCTCGGCATCCGCCGCAGGCTCGGCGGCCGGAGGCTCAGCGTCGACTGCCGGCTCGGCGGCCGGCTCGTCGGCCGGAGGCTCGGCGCTCGGCTCGTCGGCCGGCGGCTCAGGCGTCGGATCCGCCGCGGGCTCGGCCGGAGGCTCGTCTGCGGCTGCCGGCTCGGCGGCCGGCTCGTCCGCCGGAGGCTCGGCATCGGCTGCCGGCTCGGCGGCCGGCTCGTCCGCTGGAGGCTCGGCATCCGCCGCAGGCTCGGCGGCCGGCTCGGCGGCCGGCTCGTCCACCGGAGGTTCGGCATCGGCCGGAGGCTCGGCGCTCGGCTCGGCAGCCGGTTCAGGAGTAGCAGCCTTGGGCGTCGGCGGAGCGCTCGGCTCCGGAGTAGCAGCCTTGGGCGTCGGCGGAGCGCTGGGCTCCGGTGTGGCGGCCTTGGGCGTCGGCGGAGCGCTCGGCTCCGGAGTCGCGGCCTTGGGCGTCGGCGGAGCGCTCGGCTCCGGAGTCGCGGCCTTGGGCGTCGGAGGAGCGCTCGGCTCCGGAGTCGCGGCCTTGGGCGTCGGCGGTGCGCTGGGCTCCGGATTGGGCTCAGCGGGCGGCTCGGCGACGTCTTCGTCCGCGGGCGGCGCTTCCGCCGGGTCCGCGAGGGGCGCGCCGCCGTCGCCGCCGTCATCCTTTGTCGCGACCGTGCCGTCGTCGACCGTCGAGTCGTCCTGCGCCGCGACGACGGCAGCCGAGATCTCGGCCGCGGCCTCCTGCGCCGCCTCGCTCGGCTCGGCGTCCACGGCCGGCGCCGCGTCGTCCACGGCCTCGCTCGGCGGCGTGGGCGTGGGCTCGGGCGTCGGCGGTGATGGCGTCGGCTCAGCCGAAGGCTCAGGCGTCGGATCTGCCTGTGGATCTGGCGTCGGCTCGGCCGGCGGCTCAGCCGCGGGCTCGGCGTCTGGCTCCGGCGTGGCAGCCTTGGGCGACGGTGGCGCGCTGGGCTCCGGCGTAGGGTCAGCGGCAGGCTCCGGGTCGGCAGCAGGCTCAGGGTCGGCCGCAGGCTCCGGCGTAGGGTCCGCGGCAGGCTCAGGGTCGGCGGCGGGCTCCGGCACAGGGTCGGCGGCTGGCTCAGGATCGGCGGCGGGCTCCGGCGCAGGGTCCGCAGCAGGCTCCGGGTCGGCAGCAGGCTCCGGCGCAGGGTCCGCGGCAGGCTCAGGGTCGGCGGCGGGCTCCGGCGCAGGGTCGGCGGCAGGCGCAGGGTCCGCGGCAGGCTCAGGGTCAGCTGCAGGCTCCGGCGCAGGGTCCGCGGCAGGCTCAGGGTCGGCGGCGGGCTCCGGCGCAGGGTCGGCGGCAGGCGCAGGGTCCGCGGCAGGCTCAGGGTCAGCTGCAGGCTCCGGCGCAGGGTCCGCGGCAGGCTCAGGGTCGGCGGCGGGCTCCGGCGCAGGGTCGGCGGCAGGCGCAGGGTCCGCGGCAGGCTCAGGATCAGCTGCAGGCTCCGGCGCAGGGTCCGCGGCAGGCTCAGGATCAGCTGCAGGCTCCGGCGCAGGGTCCGCGGCAGGCTCAGGGTCAGCAGCAGGCTCCGGCGCAGGGTCCGCGGCAGGCTCAGGGTCCGCAGCGGGCTCCGGTGCAGGGTCCGCGGCAGGCTCAGGGTCCGCAGCGGGCTCCGGCGCAGGATCGGCGGCGGGCTCCGGCGCAGGGTCCGCAGCGGGCTCGCTAGGAGCTTCGGCTGCGACGCTGTCGTCCGCGGCTTCAGACGGCTCTGGCGTCGGTTCCGGCGTCGGCTCCGCGGGCGCGGCCGCGGGCTCCGACGGCGGCGTCGCTGGAGCGGCCGGCTCGGCCGCCTCGGGCGTCGGCGGAGCGCTCGGCTCCGGCGTGGCAGCCTTGGGCGTCGGCGGCGCGCTGGGCTCGGGCGTGGCGCTCGCGGCCGCCGCCGGCGCGGCGGCCTTGGGCGGCGTCGCGGCGGCCGGCGCGTCGAGCGCGTCGGCGACGGCCGTGCCACCCGGAGGAGACGCCTCGGGCGGCGGCGTCGCGGCCGGCGAGGCCTGGGCCGCCTTGGGCGGCGTGCGCTCCGCATCTTCGGCCGGGGCCGGCGGCTCGACGGGCCGCGGCGACGCCTCGACGGCGGCCGCGAGGCGCGCCTCCTCGTCGGCGAGGGCCTGAGCCGCCGCCGCGGCCTTCTCGCGCTCCGCCTCCTCGAGGGCCGCCGCTTTAGCAGCCGCGGCCTCCTCCTCCTTGGCCTTCGCCTCCGCAGCAGCAGCCTTCTCCGCCTCGAGGCGCTCGGCCTCCTCGGCCGCGGCGAGCTTCTCCTGCTCCGCTTTCAGCGCTTCCTCCTCGGCGGCGAGTTCGGCCTCGAGGGCGGCCCGCTCGTCGTCGTTCGCTGACTGCAGCGCGGCCTTCTTCTCCTCCAGCGCTTGAGCTTTGGCGCGCTCCGCTTCCACAGCATCGGCCTTGGCCTGAGCGGCAGCGTCGGCCTTGGCCCGGGCCTCGGCCTGGGCTTGTGCCGCTTCGGCAGCCTGCGCCTCGGCCGCGCGCTTGGCCTCCTCCGCCTGTTGAGCCTTCTCCGCAGCTAAAGCTTGCTCCTCGTTCGCCTCGGCGGCTTTGGCCTGAGCCTCGACCAGCTCCTGTTCCGCCGCATCTTCCAACTTGATGGACGACTTCAAGACCTCCTGCTTCTCCTTCTGCTCCTCGACCAAGGTTTCGACCTCCTGGCGGCGGACCGACGCCTCGGCGCGCGCGCTCTCGACTGCCTCGGTGTGCGCCTGGACCTTCTCCAGATCTAGGTTGAGAGCCGCGGCCTGGGCCTCGGCTTCATTGGCGCGCCTTTCAGCTTCTTCCCGCTTGGCCTGGGCCTCGGCCTGGACCCTGGCTTCGTCGTCGGCGCGCCGTTGCGCCGCCTCGGCGGCTTCTCGCTCCTCCGCTTCTTTCTGGGCCGCCTGTGCGGCGGCCTCCTGCTCCTGCGCCGCTTTACGATCGGCCTCGGCGGCCTTGGCAGCTTCTTCCTGTTCCAGAGCTTCGGCTTCGGCCAGCTTGGCCTGCTCCGCAAGTAAAGCCTCCTCCTCGGCGCGCATCTCCTCCTCCAGAGCCGCGCGCGCGGCGGCGTCGTCCTCCAGGGCGGCGAGCTTCGCTTTCTGTTCCGCGATCTTCGCTTCGCGTGCCTCTTGGGCCTCCTGGGCTTCACGCTTCGCTTGCGCGGCCGCGTCGGCCTTGGCCTGGGCCTCGGCCTGGAGGCGTGAAGCCTCCTCGGCCTGCTGGGCGGCTTTAGCTTTGGCCTCGGCCGCTTCGGCCCGCTTGGCCTCCTGGGCCTCGTTCGCGAGGCGCGCCTCTTCGGCCTTCTCGCGGGCGGCGACGAGCGCGCGCTCGGCCTCCTCCTCCTTCTTCAACTCGGCCTTGAGCTGCTCGGCCTTCTGGCGGGCGCTGTCCAACTGGGCCTCCGTGGCCTGGCGCCGCGCGGACGTCTCCTCGCGCGCGGACTCGACCTCTTGGACCTGCTGCTCGACTTTTTCAAGGTCTAAACTCATCTGCGCGGCCTTGGCCTCGGCCTCCTCGGCGCGCCTCGCCGCTTCCTCGCGCTTGAGCTGGGCCGCTTCTTCTATTCGTTTGGCCTCGGCGGCGTCCTCGTCCGTTTGTTCGGGAGTTGGGTCGGCGGGCTCGGGCGTCGGATCTGCCTGGGGTTCCGGCGTCGGCTCGGCCGGCGGCTCGGCGACAGGCTCCGGCGTGGCGGCCTCGGGCGACGGCGGCGCGCTGGGCTCCGGCGTGGCGGCCTTGGGCTCCGGCGCAGGTTCGGCAGCAGGCTCAGGGTCGGCGGCAGGTTCAGGGTCCGCGGCAGGCTCAGGGTCCGCAGCGGGCTCCGGTGTAGGATCGGCAGCTGGCTCAGGGTCGGCAGCTGGCTCAGCCGGTGGCTCCGGGGCCGGCTCATCAGCGACCGGCTCATCAGCCGGGGGCTCCGCGGTCGGTTCCGAAGGAGGCTCGACGGGCGGCTCAGCCGGAGGCGTGGGCTCCGCAGCGGGCTCCGGAGTGGGCTCCGCGGCCGGCTCATCAGCGGTGGGCTCAGCGGCCGGCTCGGCCGTAGGCTCCTCAGCGGGCTCCGCGGCCGGCTCATCAGCTGTGGGCTCATCAGCGGTGGGCTCATCAGTGGTGGGCCCGTCAGCGGCCGGCTCATCAGCGGCCGGCTCAGCTGGGGGCTCGGCCATAGGCTCAGCCGGTGGCTCCGCGGTTGGCTCATCAGCGGTCGGCTCAGCCGGAGGCTCCGCTGTGGGCTCATCAGCGGCTGGCTCATCAGCGGGCTCATCAGCAACCGGCTCAGCCGGAGGCTCCGCTGTGGGCTCATCAGCGGCCGGCTCCGCAGTCGGCTCGTCAGCGGCCGGCTCAGCCGCAGGCTCGGCCGTGGGCTCCTCAGCGGGCTCCGCGGTCGGCTCGTCAGCGGCCGGCTCAGCCGTCGGCTCGGCCGTAGGCTCATCAGCTGCGGGCTCCGCGGCTGGCTCATCAGCGCTCGGCTCATCAGCGGCCGGCTCAGCCGTAGGCTCAGCCGGTGGCTCCGCGGTTGGCTCATCAGCGGTCGGCTCATCAGCCGCCGGCTCAGCTGGTGGCTCAGCCGCAGGCTCGGCCGTGGGCTCCTCAGCAGGCTCCGCGGTCGGCTCCTCGGGCTCCGCGGACGGCTCCTCAGCGGTCGGCTCAGCGGTCGGCTCATCAGCGGCCGGTTCCGCGGTCGGCTCATCAGCCGCCGGCTCAGCTGGTGGCTCAACGGTGGGCTCCTCAGCGACCGGCTGAGCGGTGGGCTCCTCAGCGGGCTCCGCGGCCGGCTCATCGGCGGCTGGCTCAGCCGCAGGCTCATCAGCCGGGGGCTCCGCAGGAGGCTCCTCCGTCGGCTCAGTCGTAGGCTCGGCCGTGGGCTCCGCAGCGGGCTCCGCGTCTGGCTCCGAAGCAGGCTCGGCCGTAGGCTCCGGCGCAGGCGGCTCGGCCGTGGGCTCCTCCGACGCGGCTTCGGCGATAGGCTCGGCCGGCGCGGGCGCAGCAGCGGCCACGGCGGGCGTCGGCGCGGCCGCCGGGACGGGCTCCGGCGCCTCGTCGTCGCTCGCCTTGGGGCTCTCGGCAGCGGTGACCGGGTCGATGACCGTCACGGGCGACGACTCGCGCGGTGAGACGGCCTCGGGCACGGGTTCGCGCGGCGACGCGGTGGAGAGCCGGGCCTGGCGCGCGGTCGCGGGCGTCGTCGGCGCCTCGGGCTCGGCCTCGGTCGGCGCGGGCTCCTCCTCGACGTCGATGGGCTCGGGCACCGGGACGGGCGCCGCCGCCGGTTCGACGGCTTCGACCGGCTCCTCGGGCGCGGAAGGCTCGTCGTCGGCCGCGACGTCGACGGCCGGGGGGCTCTCGGCGGCGGCGGGGGCGGCGACCGGCGAGGCCGCGGCGACCGGCGTGATGGGCGACGGCGGGGCGCTCGGCTCCGGGCTCGGCTCCGGCGTGGCCGCCTCGGGACGGGCGAACGGGACGGGCGTGGCCGTCGCGAGCGACCGCTCGTCGTCGTCGGCGACGGCGACCGGCGCGCGCGACGGCGCCGTCGCCGCCGTCGCGAGCGACTTCTCGGACACGGCGAGCGACCGCTCGTCCTCCTCGGGCTCCGGCGCCGCGAGCGGCTCGCCGAGCGCGACGCCGCTCGCCTTGCGCGCCTCGTAGGTCGTCTGGACCGTGGCGACGAAGGACGCGAGCTCCTGCGCCGACAGGGAAGCGAGCCGCGCCTCGAGGTGAGCCGCCAACCGCACCTCCACTAGAATGGAGCCGCGCTTGACCGACACGATCTCGATCTCTTCACTAGAAACGTCGAGCAGCTCCGAGAGCGACGACAGGAAGGCCTCCCGCTCGAACGTCTCGGGCGTGCCCTCGAGCCGCAGGACGCGCGTCGGCAGATTCACCTTCAGCGCGCCGTCCTCGACGGTCAGCCGCGACGTCAGGTCGATGCAGTCCTGCCGGTCGAAGTCGCCTGATAATTCCAGGGTATAAACCTGCCCCCGCGCGACCGACAGCGCCTCGACCACGAAACCTTCCGAGGATTTGAGGAAGGAGCACGACAGGCACCCAGCGCCGGGCACATCAACCAAAGCCGTGTGCACGCAGTCGGCCGACTGCACCGGCGTATCATCATAGATCGTCGCGTCGCACGCATCTAAATCGTACGCGTCCGCATCCACGTCATCGGGCAGGCCCCACAACGCGATGGGGTCCTCGTAGGACCCCAGGCCCTTGGGCGCGGCGTCGCGCGCCCAGGGCGGCAGCGTCTCGACGACGCTGATGCGCTTCGTCTGCTCCTCGGGCGTCGTCATCGGCCGCGCCATCGTCGCCGGCGCGCTCGCGGGTTCGATCAGGGTCTCGTAGTCGTCGACCTTCGGTGAAGGAGCCGGCGCCGCAACGGGGGCGCCGACCGGGGCGAACGGCACGGGCGCGCCGACCGGCGCCGGCGCGAAGGCCGGCGCCGCGACCGGCGTGGACGCCGCGCCGGGCGCCGGGGCCGGCGCGAACGCCGGCGCGCGGGCCGAAGCCATCGGCGACACCATCGGCGAGGCCGCGGCCGTGCCGGGCGCGGGCGCCGGCGCGCGGGCAGAAATCAAAGGCGAGGCCGCGACGCCCGGCGCGGGAGCGAGGGCCGGCGAGAGCGATGCCGGCGCCGGCGCGCGGGCCGAGACCATCGGAGAGGCTGCGGTGGCCGGCGCGGGCGCGCGGGCTGAAATCAGCGGCGACGCAGCGCCCGGCGCCGGCGCGGGCGCCAGCGGCGCGGGCGCCGGCGGGGCGAGCGCGACGGGCGCCAGCACGAGGTCCCGGGCCGCGGCCGCGACGGCGGCGTCGTCGGCGGCGTCGGCGGCCTGGGCGACGTCCGCCGTCTCCGCGAGGGCCTCGGCGAAGGCCTCGTCGGCCGCGGCCGCGACGTGGGCCGGCGGCGCCGGCGCCGGCGCCGCGGGCAGGGGCGCCGCTGCAGCCGGTGCCGGCGCGCTGACGGGTGCGGCGCTCGGCGCCGGGGCCGGGCCCTTCTTCTTCGGCCGCCGGCTGGGCGGCCGCGTCTCGGCCGTCTCGGCGTCCTGGAGGGCGACGTCCGTGCGGTCCGCGGCCGCGGCGTCGACCTGCTTCGACGGCGTGGCCGGCCCGACGACGATCGTCCCCGAGTCCTCGAGCGACACGTCGAGCTTGAGCGGGTCGCCGAGCGCCGTGCCGGGCGCCGGCGCGGCCTCCTCGAGGGGCTCGTCCTCCTTGAGGGGCGTCAGCTCGGGCCGCGGCGACCTCTCGAGGGGCGTCAGCGCGGCGGCCGGTGCCGGCGCGGTCGTGGGCGCCGCCGCGGCCGGTGCCGGTGCGCGGGCCGAGATCGGCGTCGACGCGGCCGGCGCGGGCGCGCGGGCTGAGACAATGGGCGAGGCAGCCACGCCCGGCGCGGGGGCCGGCGCGCTCACCGGCGCGATATGTAATGCAACAGCGACCTCCTCGGCCGCGCGCGCGGCCTCGGCCTCGGCAAACTCCACATCGTCGGGCTTGGCCTCGAGTGCCTCGACGCGCGCGGCCTCCGCCGCCACGGCGACGGCTTCCGGAGAGGCGCCGGGCGCCGGTGCTGGTGCGCTGATGTGCGCGAGCACGGCCGCGGCGACCGGCGCCTCGACCTCGGCCTCGTCGAGCGTCTTCTGGACGACGGCCTCGGCGGCGGCCTGGGCGACCTCCGCCGCGGCCGCGGGGCTGCCCGTGGCTTCCAGCGCCGCGGCGTAGGCCTCTTGATGGACCTCGTCGGAGACGCCCTCGACGACCTCCTCGGCCGCGGCGACGGCCTCCGCGTCCGCCGGCGCAGGTGCGGGCGCCGCGGCCGGGCCGTCGGCGGCGTCGGGGCCTGGTCCCGCCTCTTCGGCGGGGCCCGGCGCGCTCGCGGGCGCCGGCGACGGCGGCGCCGCGGCCACCGGCGCCGGCCCGGCGCTCTCCTCGAACTCGGAAAAGGCCTCGTCGTCGTAGGCGTCGGCGGACTCCTCGAGGGCCGCCGCCGCCGCGGGCGCGGCGACCGGCGCGGGCTCGTCGAAGTCCTCGGCGCCGTAGCTCTCGTCGACGTCCGTCGGCGCGGCGGACGGCGCGGCGGCGGTGGCGGGCTCGGGCGCCGCGACGGGTTCCGAAACTCCGGCGCTCTCCTCGAACTCCGAGGCCCCGTAGCTCTCGTCGACGTCCGTGGCGGCCACCGAGGGGGCGACCGAGGGCACCGCCGAGGGCACGACGACCTGCTCGGACGAGGCCTCCTCGGGCGCCGCGACGGGCTCGGGCGCCGCCTCGACGGCCGACGACGACAGCTCCGTCGGGCCCTTGCTCTCCTCGAGCTCCGAGAACTCGTCGGCGCCGTAGCTGTCCTCGACGTCCGTGGCGGCGGGCGTTGGTGTTGACGGTTCCGCGGCGGGCGCGGGCTCCGCGGCGTCCGCATCGGCGGCGGGCGCCGGCGCCGCCGGTCCGGCCGCGCCGGTGCTCTCCTCGAAGTCCGACGCGCCGTAGCTCTCGTCCGCGTCCGTGGCTGCGGCGGAGGGCGCGGCGGCTGGCTCCGACGCCTCGGAGGCGGGCGCGGGCCCGGCGACCGGCGAGGCGGGCTCAAAGTCCGAGGCGCCGTAGCTCTCGTCGACGTCTGTCGGAGCGGCGGAGGGCGCGGCGACCGGTGCGGGCTCGTCGAACTCCTCGGCGCCGTAGCTCTCGTCGACGTCTGTCGGAGCGGCGGAGGGCGCGGCGGCGGGCGCGGCGACCGGTGCGGGCTCGTCGAACTCCTCGGCGCCGTAGCTTTCGTCGACGTCCGTTGGCGCGGCCGAGGGCGCGGCGGCAGGCGCGGCGACCGGTGCTGGCTCATCGAACTCCTCGGCGCCGTAGCTCTCGTCAACGTCCGTCGGCGCGGCCGCCGGCTCGGCAGCCTCGGAGGCAGGCGCAGGTCCCGGCGCATCAGCGCTCTCCTCGAAGTCCTCGGCGCCGTAGCTCTCGTCGACGTCGGCGGCGTCGGCGGCGGGCGCCGGCGCGGGCTCGGCCGCCTCTTCGACGGCCGGCTCCTCGGCCGCTTCGGCCGCCGGCGCCGGCGCGGCGGCCTCCTCGCCTTCGGGCTCGGCGGCCTCCTCGGCCTCGGCTGCCGGCGCGGGCGCGGCGGCCTGAGCGTCGGCCTCGACGAGCACCGCGCGTTTCTCCGTCGCCGCGACGACGGCCGCGTGGTCCTCGGCCACGCCGGCCTCCGTGCACGCGAGCAGCGCGGCGTCGATGGCCTCGACGTCGGCCGCGGCCTCGAGCGCCGCGACGGCCGCGACGCGCTTCTCCTCCGCGAGCTTGAGGACGACCTCCTCGCGCCGCGCCGCCGCGGTCTTCGTGCCGTCGGCGTCGTCGGGCAGGCCGACCTCCGCGCAGTGTAGCAACGCGGCGTCGATCGCGGCGAGGTCCTCGGTCGCGCACGCGGCCTCGAGCGCCTTCAAGGCGTCGACGCGCGCCTGCTCGGCGACGAGCTCCGCGCGTTTCGCGGAAGCCGTCACCCGTGCGTCGTCGTCGGCGGCGACGCCCACAGTATCAGCCTTGGCGAGGGCCGCGTCGATTAATTCGACGGTGTCGGCCGCGGTTAATGAAGCGAGGGCCTCCTGCTTCGCCTCTTCCGCGGATAGGGCGGCTAATCGCTCCGCCTCGAGGCGGTCGGCCTCGGCCTGCTCCGCAGCTAACCTTTCCGCCTCGACGCGCTCGGCCTCGGCGGCCCGTTCGGCCTCCAAAGCAGCAAGCTCGTCGCGCCGCGCTTCGGCGGTGGCGAGGTCCTCGACGCCCTTCTCCTTCGCGTCAGCGAGCGCCGCCTCCAAAACGGCGAGGTCGTCGCCCTCCGCCGCCGCATTCAAAGCCTCCGCGGCAGCAGCCTTGTCCTCCTCGGCCTTCAGAGCAGCTAATCTCTCAGCCTCCAATCTCTCAGCCTCGGCCTTCTCCGCGGCTAATCTCTCGGCCTCGGCCTGTTCCGCAGCCAATCGCTCATTTTCAATACGCTCGGCCTCGAGCCGCTCAGCTTCGATTCTCTCAGCCTCTAACCGTTCGAGCTCGGCCTTTTCCGCGGCGAGTCGCTCGGCTTCCACTCGTTCCGCCTCCAGCCTCTCAGCCTCGATACGCTCAGCCTCCAGCCTCTCGGCCTCCAAACGCTGTCGCTCCGCTTCCTCAGCAGCCAATCTCTCGGCCTCGGCCCGCTCCGCAGCGATCCTCTCCTGCTCGAGCCTTTCAGCCTCGGCCTTCTCGGCCAGAATGCGTTCCTTCTCGGCCTTTTCTTTAGCTTTCCGTTCCTTCTCGAGGCGTTTCTCTTCTTTCTTTTCCGCTTTCCGACGTTTCGCCTCGGCCTTCTCGGCGGCTTTCCGTTCGAGCATCTCCTGCTTCTCGCGCTCCTTCCGTTCCGCCTCTTCCTTTGCAAGTTTTTCGGCTTCGACGCGTTCCGCTTCGAGGCGCTCGGCCTCGGCGTGCTCCGCCTCTCGGCGCGCGTCTTCTTCCGCCTGCCGCGCTTCTTCTTCCGCCTTCTTTCTAGCGGCTCTGGCAGGCACGACAACAGCGGCCACGCGCTCGTCCTCTTGTTGTCTTTCTTCCATAGAACCGAAGAGAGGCTCGACGACTGGCGCTTCCGCATGATCACCGAACATCGACGACTGTTGCGGTAGTGCGCGCGTGTCGTCGTAGCCGCGCTGCTCCTCCACCATTTGATGAACTCGAGCATCTAAGCGTAGTACCAATACACCTCTGGTGGTATTCGCGTCGACCTGACCTCGCATGTCGATCTCGCAGGCATCGGCCAGAGCTGCTGCTAGCGACCGTTTCTCGGCCGGTGTGAGTTCGTACAAGGCACCGTAGCCGATCTGGTACCACTCTTGTTCCGACGCCTGGACCTGGTCCCCGGTTTTCGGCATATACAGAGTGAGCTTGTCACCCTCTTCATACACCTCGATCTTCTCCCCAGATTGGGTCTTGGCCTTGAGGAGGACCGGACCACTGGGAGGCTCCTTCTTGACCTTCTGGAGAGGCAGCTCCGTGACCACCGGTTGAGGGTCGGGCGTGAAATGCGACCTTTCTTCTACCACCGACAGATCATCAGACTGCTTCAGGACGGGGGGCGACCGATCAGTAGCCGGCCCTTCATGCGCGCCGGGCGTGATGGGCCGTCTGATTTCTTCCATCGTCATCGTTTCCGCTTTGCCTTGTCTGCGGGGTTTCCGAGTAGTGGCGGCAGAAGTCGGCCTGGACGCCCCCGTGCCTCTATCAACCTTGCCGTCCTTGGAACGGGGCGGCGTGAGCGAAGCCGCTCGCGAGACGGACTTGGACTTCGGTCTCTCTTCGTCGGGAGTTTGTAATAGAGCATGCGCTCTGGGATCATTCTGAGCTTTGGTTCTAGGCGTATCCTCCTCATTCACGTGGGGGGGCTTGTAGGCGTGGTCGCCGCCGGGCGCGAAGTCCAACGATGGCCTTAATTTAAGTCCCATATCTGCTGCTGCTGTTTTCGGAGCTACTAAAGCCGATAGATCAGGCCTAGGCGACGCGCGCACCTTGAGAGCGAGCTGGCCGTTCTTCAACTCGAGATCAGAAGACAACACGGCAGCCAGGGCCTCCTTCTCCGGCCTTAGTAAAAAGGATAGGGGCCCATAACCGGTAGCCGCCCACATACTACTTTCAACTGTTAATTCTTTTTTGGCCTGCGTCACGAATTTCAGAGCATCGCCCTTCTCATACGCATTTACTTCCCCTAAACCAGGTTGGGTAGAGGTACACAGTAACAGAGGGTCCAATTGAGCCTTGGCAGTTTGCGTTTCCCGGAAAAGATCCTCGGGCGACTTGCCACTTTCTTCAAACTGCACGGAAGTTTGCGTAGAAATGGGTATCTCGAGGTCGTACCACTCCTGCTTGGAGAAGGGCATCTTGTCAAGGTCGGCCGTTAGTTTTGGCGCCTCCGTGCCCACGACCCTCGTACAAGCACTGAGGGAGGTACAGACCTTCTGCTTCTGGTCCAACGACATGGTCTTCCAGCCCTCGATGACTGCTTCTAATTGTGACTGTAACACTGAGCCTTCCACTCGGTCATCAGTTAAAGCTGTGTAAGCTTCTAACACCAAGCCTTCCGGATGGACGATGATATTCAAGAGAAGATGAGTCCCATGCGCATCTTGGACCGCGCCCCGATACAGCGCGGGTCCATCTCTATCGCGGTTGAGCAATTTGACCTTGGCAGCTTCCGCGTCACCCTCAGCATTTTTACGAGATTTCCTTAAACGAGCCCGTTCCGCTTCCGCTTGTTTGCGCGCTTCGGCCTCGAGCCGCTCCTTCGACTGCTGGTCGGCGATCATCCTCCGCCGCTTGTCGGCCTCTTCCTGTCTACGTCTAGCTTCGGCACTTCTCTTGTCATCAAGCTCTTTTTGTTTTTTGGCCCTTAACCTAGCGCGTTCCGCCGCTAACACAGGATCGTGCAACATGAGATCTACTTGGATCTTCGCGAGCATGATGCGGACCCTCTTTTGTAATTGAATAGCAGCATTGCCGGCAATTTCCCGGATTTTGGCCAGTAAGGGGCCTAGTCGCGCCTTGTCCGCGGCCTCCGCATACGACACGACAGGTAAATAGTCGTACTCCGGCGAGATCTTCGGCGTCGGCTTCACGCCGTACTCATTTGCGGCCACACCTCGGTTGCGACTACGCATCAACTGGAGTTGCTGCTCCTCGCCGAGCGGCGACACGTTGTGGTCCCGCTTCGTCTGCAGCACATGGATGTAGACATGCGCCCCGAAGCCCTTGACCCGCTCCAGGTGCTCTTGTTTAAAAGGCACGGGACTCCCGTCCGGCAGGACAAAGGCGAAGCGCGGCGGTACGTCGCGCGACGGCACCATCTGCGCGTCGATCAGCGTCTTTCGTAAGTCGCGAAGAGTGTCCTCCTTGTCGTACTCCACAAATCCGAGCGGCCCCGTCGCGCCTCGGACTCTTATGGCAATTTGCGGCGGTTGGTTATTAATCTTCGATTGTATTGATTGTGTTCCTTGGGATTCATACATCGAACCGAGCGCGGGGTCGGCCCAGTTGTTGTTCGGCTCGTCGACGTATTTGATGGGGGGTGGGTTCATGAGTGGATCGGGGCCCATCTGAGCTGTTTTAGGTCTTTGTACTGTGGCAAATGATTCTTCGCCCCAGGCCTTGAACAATGGTGTCGGGTCGTCCGTGTCCATCGTCGCGTCATCAACAACGGCCTCAAAGGGCCTCGAGGACCTCTTAGCAGTTAATAAAGATGGAACCATGTCCGCGATCGGCACCTCGAAGGCCGGCAAGGCACTCACGTCGGGCGTCCTTACGAGACGAGACAAAGGCTTGTCCATGCGCGGCTTGGACTGCTGCAACAACTCCAACGAATTCGTCCCGACCATTTCCGTGAAGTGCCTCCGGAAGGACTCGCCTCTGGCAAACACGCAGTAGTCGTCGGTCAACGCGTCGTACTTGCCGAGGATCTGCTCCTGCTTCACATTCCTAGAGTCCCAGCCTCCTTCGAGCTTCTTGAGTCGTTTGCGGCTTGGCCGCTTCCTCAAAGGCCGCATGGCGCCGCCGCGCAACGCGCTGCGGTCGACCTGGAGCGGCTGGCGCGTGCGCTTTTGCGGGCCTAGGTCGACCCCCATGGTTTAGGTCTGCCGCAGCGGCGGCGGCTGCCTGTGGCGCTATCGGCCTTGGCTGCTTCCGGCGCGCGGCAGCGCTTGCTTTGCAGCCCCGGCGCTATAGGTGGCCAGGTAGTGCAACCGCGGCAGCGCGGGCAGCCCTTCCTCGTCGGGACAGGGCCTGCTGCCTCGCGTTAATGCCGCCTCGTTAAGCTGGGCCGGGGGCTGTGTAGCTGTAGTCCTAGCTAGCCTGCCATGGGGAATGGACGTGTCCTGGGCCCCGCGGGCTCGCGGCGCAGCCTTCGAGTGCTCCCGGGCACGCATGGGCTGCGATCGCCCGGCGGCTTGGTTTGGGGTCTCGGAAATTGCCCACGGCGCCTCGTATTGGTCCGAGGGTGCTTGTGGAGGCTCTGGGAGGCGCGCTGAGGCCTGTGGAGCCGCGTCGGGCGGTCGCGAACAAAAAAAACGCTGCTCCTTGTCATCGTCTTCGCGTGCGTTGTGCGCGCACCAATCGCCATTGTTTTGAATTCTGACCGCGGCATTATGAACCCGGTTATACTACTTTTGCTGCACAGCCAACGCGAGGTTCTGGCGTTTAGCGCAAGGCTGCAAAAACCGACGACCAGCACGAAAAATGGCTGCTCGCGCGGCGCCTCGGCGGTGCAACGTCGCAAAAATGGCGTCTCCTGCAGCGCCGCGGCCCACTTACCCTGCGACGCGACAACTGGCGCGTTATACGAGTGCGCCGAGGCCGCAGCGTTTCAGGCGCAGGCCGCAGCACTCCGCCAAGAAGCCGCGGCGCTCGAAGACGCGCTGCTCGCGGAGCGCCGCGCCCTCGAGCCCACGAAGGTCGTCGTGCCAGCAGCGACGACGACGGCACCGACTTTACGTACCCGCTCGACGCTCGCGGGCCAGCTCCTTTCGACGAGCTGGGAGCTCAAGGACGACGGCGCGGCCTTTGCATGTTTCGAGGACAACGGCGGCCACGTCGTCGCCCAAGCTGAGGGCACGTGGTCCGTCCGCGACTCGCGCCGGGGCGGCATCGGCGTCAAAATTCGGCTCTACGCGCGCGGCCGCGTCGACGGCCGCATCGTGTCCACGGTCGCGACCTTCGACGCGCTCCATCCTGACGACGCCCGCGACGCGCGAGAATTACAACGGACGCTCGCCGACGCCGTCCGCGATGCAGAAAAAGCAGCGGCGCGGCTGGTGCCCCTCGAGGCGCTGAACTTCGTCGAGCCGCCGCAAGCGTTCTGGCCGAAATTAAATACCGAGAGCCTCGCGAGCCGCTTCGTCCAGAAGCTCCGCACGACGTCCCGGCGGCGACGCGCGCGGCGGATCCGCAAACTGTCGCTTCAGAGCATTACCGCGGCCCGGCGCGCGTACGATAAGAATGCGCGAGCGGCCGCGGTGGCGGAAAGGGGCGAACCGGCCGTCGTGGGCGGCGTCGCGCTCGTGGTCGCCGCTTCTGGCAACGTTCGCGTCGACGGCCTCGCGCCGGTCCTCGCGACGACCTGGGCGCCGTCGCCGGGCGCCTTACTGCGCGGCGAGGCCTACGTCGTCGACGGGGCGCCCGCGGCGGCGAAGAAGTCGCGCCGCCGGGCCGGCGGCCGCGCGGGCGGCGTCTCTACACGACTCGCCTGATGTCCATACTGCCCGCCACGCACGACCTTCGAAGAATTCCTCTCAATCGCCGCTCCTCTGTATATATACCCCTGTTGTCCATAAGCACATGTATACTTAGTAGTCGCCCACGTGGAACGCGTATTCGACGACGCGGCGGATCATCTCCGGCGGGAGCAGCGGCAGCTTCGGGATAAACGTCGCGGCGATGGCGTTGAGGTGGGCGCGCTCGTATTTTTTGATGCCGCCCGCGGCGTGGACTTTTCGGAGGTAACTTGAGGGCCTTCCGGCGAGAGTACTTCCGGAGGGCCCGGGCCTCAGTGCCGTTTCTTCGGAAAGGGTGGCGCCGGCGCGGAGTAGCGTTGGGTAGATTCGTTCTTGGTTCCCTTTAATTATTGCCAAATCCAACGATGTCCACCCGTGAGTCCTGAGCCCCGCGTTCACCGCGGCGCCTGCATTGAGGAGCAGTTCCACGCACTCGACACTAGAATCATCGCGCCAACATGCCCAGTGAAGGGGCGTCCAGCCTGTTGATGATGGGCAGTTCACGTTGGCCCCGGCGTTGACGAGGGCCACCACAAGCTTCGGATGCCCGAAGCTGGCCGCGAGAGAAAGTGGAGTCGACGACCGCGTCGTCTCTGCATTTATATCCGCTCCCGCATCGACGAGGATGTTTAAGCAGGTGATCCGATTATCCGCGTCTGACTCCCTTTTTTCGCACAAATGGTGGAGAGGCCTTAAGCCGTTGGACTCTGCTAGATTTGGCGAAACGCCTTCCCCGAGCAATTTTCGCAACGCGTCGACGTCGGCGTTGCGGGCGGCAGAGTGTATTGGCTCATATGCCATAATATGCCAAATTGTTATTTACCATCTGAGAGTCGGCTCTGGTACACTGGTCCAACTCCCACCAATTCCGGTGCTCGACGGCTACTGGACGGCGCCGATTAGGCACCGTTCTCGCTCCAAAATGCGGGCCAAAATATGTCCTGGAGCCTACACTCAGCCTAGCGGCCTGTAAGACACTAGCAAGCAAGCCGTAGCCTGGCCCCGGGGAGCGGGAGGGGTCCGGGGGACCCCGCGACGTAATAGCCCGAGCCTTATCAGAAGAAGCCGCCGCGAGACGATGGTCACGTTCCCGGACGAATGTAGACAGGAAGTACTACTACTAAACTTAAGTCGTGCTCGGCACGTACGGAAACGGCACGACCTCCTCTTGGGTGGTCTGCGCCTCCCAGAGATCGGCGTACCGACCATTTGCTGCCAGCAACTGCGCGTGCGTCCCTCTTTCCGCGACCTTGCCCTCCTCCAGCACCACGATCTCGTCGGCATCGGCGACCGTCGACAGGCGATGGGCGATGACCAGCGTCGTCCGGTTCCGGCCATGCGTCTTGAGGTGCGCCATGATCTCGGCTTCGGTTTCGGTATCTAGGGCAGAAGTCGCCTCGTCGAAGCAGCAGACCGGTGCGTCCTTGAGGATGGCCCTTGCTAAGGCTACTCGTTGTTTTTCTCCACCAGATAGTTTTAAACCTCTATCACCGACGAGCGTCTCGTAGCCGTCCGGCAACGTTAACAGTAGTGGACCAAGATTCGCCGCTTCTGCTGCTCTTTGTACAGCACTGAAATCACTGTCTAGATTGCCATAGTGGATGTTGTGCTTGATGGACGAGTTAAATAAAGGAGTCTCTTGCGGCACCACCGCTATACTACGTCTTAGGTCGCCGACATCTAGATCCTTGACATCGACGCCGTCGACCGTGATCTTGCCCTTGTCCGCGTCGTAGAATCTGAAGAGTAATCGCAGTAACGTCGACTTGCCGCACCCGCTTGGACCGACGAACGCGACCGTTTTCCCCGCTTGAATATCTATATCCACTCCTCTCAATACCGAATCTCGTCCTTCGTACCCAAAGTGGACGTCCTCAAAGCGAATACAAGGAGGATCGACGGGCGGGTCGTGGCCCGGGCCGCGCGCGATCGATGTCGTTGCGTAGGACGCGGGCACGGGGCCGGGCTTTTTATCTAGTAGATCGAACATGTTCTCCATGTCCACCAAAGCCTGGTTGATCTCCCGGTAGACCATGCCGATGAAATGTAAGGGCATGGCCAATTGAAATAGTAAACCGTTCACCAGGACGAGGTCGCCGACCGTCGCCGTACCAGAGGCAATATCTCCAGCGGTTAACAGCATGATCGAACTGAGACCGACGGCGAAGATGGCCTGCTGCCCGAAATTCAGGATAGATAGGGTCTTCTGGACGTCCACCGCCTGCGCCTGGTACTCGCCTAAGAGCTTATCATACTGTCTAGCTTCGTGCTCCTCGTTGCCAAAGTACTTGACGGACTCATAGTTTACTAGTGTATCAATCGCATGACCACCAACAGCGGCGTCGGCGGCGTTCATGCGCTTTCGGATGGGTATCCTCGACGCTGAGTATTTTACGGTAAAGAGCACGTAAGCGCCTACCGTAGCCAAGCAAGCCAGCGCGTGGTAGCTCCCGAACTTCGTCGCCACGATACCTGTGACTAAGCTTATTTCCAGTGTGGTCGGAAACACGTTGAACAGCGTCATGCTCACCAAATAGTTCACACTCCGCGCTCCTCGATCCACAGTTCTGGAAAGTTGCCCCACATTTCTGTCTAAGTGAAACGCATGGTCCAAGGCGTGCAAGTGGCGATACACTCCAAGAGCGACATTGCGGATCGCCTGCTGACTAACGGTCGCAAAAATGGCATTGCGCGCCTCTTGGAATCCGGACGCACCCAGTCGCGCGACACCGTAGCCCGCCAACACCGCGACGGGCGCCGCCACGACCGCATCATTCGTCGACAACACATCAATGGCCTCCTTGAAGAGGAACGGCGTGCCGATCGTTAAGGCCTTGGCGCCGACCAGTAAGGATGCGGATAAGGCCACTCTCTGCCTTATGGACTGCGCCGTCTCCTTTGGTATGGCCTTGCCCGTCGTTATCGACGCATCTTGCTTCGTCTCGTCGACGGGCGGCCACAGTTGTGAGGCTAAGAGGCGGACGATGCGCTGGGCTCGTTGCGGAGCTGGTTTCGCTTCTCGTAAACCAGCCTCTTCCACGCCGCCGCCGGACCAGATGGATCGCTTCGGTCGCCAGGTATTTGTGATGACGACGCGCGGCGCGCGCCGCAGTGTGAGTGTCAGCATCGGTCAAATTATGGGAGAGCAGAGCTGCGAAATCTATCCGATCGTATCCATGCCTCGCAGCGTCGTCTGTGCTTATAACCAGCAAAGCTTATTATGCTTTTGCGCCGCAACACGACGCCTACTCAGCTTCAGCGCGAGCAGTCGAGCTAGCGTGATGTTAGACACTAGCAATCTCGGCAGCCGAGCTCGGGCAGCCCCTTTCACGGCCGCCGACAGTAAATCACTCGGCGCGAGTTGGAGCAGCCGCTATTTTGACGCCACCGCAGCGACGCACGATGGTCAACGGCACGGTCATCACCCTCTACTTGATGCGTTCGGGCCCCTCCTGCGCCGACGCGCTGGACGGCTGCACCGCTAACATAGCGAAAGCGGCCGCGGCCTTCGGGGCGCAGCGCGACGGCATCAACGACGCCCTCGCGGGCACGCCCTACAATGCCGTAGATATAAAACCGGGCTGCCGCCTCACACTCGACGACGGCCAATCAGTAAGGCTGAGGGACGCCTACAGCGACCCGGGCCTGACGACTTATGGTAGAGATAGGTCTCGAGCCGCTGGCAGAGAGCTGAGACGGCGCGTCGAGCCGGACCTCGTCGTTTGTTCCGTGCTGCGAAGGGCTCGGTTAACGGCCGAGGCCGCGTTTCCTTCTCATGATATCTTCACGGCGCCCTACTTAGCTGAAGCGGAGGACGACCGCTTGCTCGCGTTGGACGACGCGCCCATGTCGCCCTCGGCCGGAGGGCTGTCCTACGTCGATCCTACCAGACGAGACTGGGCCTCGTCAAATTATCATGCGTTTTTGACGTTTCTGGGCGGGCGCCTCGCTCGAAAGCCGCGCGCCTCCAAATCAAGTTCCTTGTCGGAGAAGATAACCGCCGAGTCGGATCATACGGCGGTTGCCGTGACGCACGGCGCTTTACTCAAAAAGGCCTGCGGGTTGGACGCGGAGCCGCCCCACAATACCGTTTGGAGAAGGAGGCTCTTGGTCACCCAAGAGCACGTGCGCGAGGAGCCGGGGCCCTGCGACCTGTTTATGGATGCGACGCCACCGGTTCATTTGAGCGTCGGTTGTGATGATGCTCCTCACAAGCCCTGGGACGTGAGTCCCTTCCTCGACGATGAGGCGGTGCTCACGGGACCTGGGACGTTCTCGTTCCCCGACGAGGTGGTGCACGACGAGCTTTGAGTCTTTTTGACACGCGACGACGACCACAACGCCGTCGACTCGAGGACCAGCGGCGCGGGGGATGCCACAGAACAGCCAGGAGCACACGACCAACATCCGGGAGAAGTGCGACCACGCTCCACTCCGGTGGTGTACATCGAGTCGTCGAGGCGCCCCACGCCATCGACGCGACGATTCCACGCATGTTTAAACAGTTATAATTTACTCCTTCGCATCGGGCAGCTCGTCGAGGAACCGCTCCTCGTCCTTCGCCTCGGCGTCCTCATCCGTATCGTCCTCGTCCTCCACAGACTCCTCGTCATCCTCCTCATCCACATCACCGCCGCTCTCCCGCAGCGACGCGCGCACGGCCAGCCGGAAGGCCGCGTCGTCGTCGTCGTCCTCCTCCTCCTCCTGAGAGACCATGGGTGGTGGCGGCGCCTCGTCCCCTTCGGAAGCGGCTCTCGCCCTTCTCGCAGCCTCGTCCTGCATCGACGCCTGCATCGCCTCCAGCAGCATCAAATCTTCGACGTGTTGGAGATCGCCCAGCGACGCCAATAGACGATGCACGTCGTCCAGAGGTAGAGCTTGCGTGCCCTCTCCTGGATTACTCCCCCGCCTCCTGAGAATGAACTGGGGCCGCCGCCACCCTCGTCGCTGCGGCGCCGCGCCGGGCACGGGCTCCGGGACGTCGCCGCGCCGTCGCGCCTCGAGCTGCTGTCCCCTAATTTCGTCCTCCATCTTGCGGCGATCATCAATGGACACCGTGGCCACGGTCTCATCGATAGAAACCTTGTGGGCGACGGGCGTGTCGATCTTGCACTCCTCTTTGCATTCACAGGCCTCGGCCTCGAAATCTTCCACGCTACAGAAGGGGCACTCTGTTTGACCTTCTTGAGGCCGCACTTGCAAATAACAACTTGTACAGATGGTTTGATTGCAGCATTTTGAAGAGTTCATAGTAGGGAAGTAGAGGAAGCAGATCGGGCACTCCTCCGTTGCTTTTGTAGTGGGATCGTCCTCTCCTTGTGTAGGCGGTGCGAGTTTCCCGCTCTTCACTAACGCAGCGACGGCGTCGGCGTCCCATGCATTGGATTTGCGCGGGTGGTCCGCTTTGATGACGGCCGGCCGGGCCTGCTCTTGGAGCGTTCGGACGGCGACGGCGCGGCGCCGCGTCTGCTGCGCGCGGGACGTGTTGGCGCCCATTTTTTCTGGGCTGTTTTTGAGCTAGCTGCGGTCTCCGCGCTCGTGCCGGCGGACGCGTGGGGCGGCGCCGCGGGTGCGCGGGGCGGCTGCGACGCGCCGAGGGTGGGCTAAAGCCCTTGTGCACTCAGCTTCCTAAGACGCTTTTTTGAGTGCCTAGGCCCTTGTTTCGGGCCCAGCAAAGGCTCACGTGGCTGGAAGGCTTGCTGGCCGCTTCTGTAGGGTGGCGAGAATTCAAACGCCGATCTCTCGCGGCCGTTCAGCGCCCAATGCGAAGCTCTGCCTCTGCTGGCAGGCGTTCGGCTTGGGTCGTGCGGAAGCGTCGAGGTCCGGCCCGCTCGTCGCGAGACGTCTGGTGTATCGACCTGTCCGAGTTTCGGGTGGGACCCGGCTAGCGCACTGTGAGGCACTAGCAAAAAGCAAGGAGGGTGATGAGCATCGTGAGCGACGCATACTGGTGCACCGTGGGAGCCGCAGGGCTCGTCGGCGACTCGTGTTGTGGCTGCGCGCGATTGCCGCACCAGACTGCACCACTGCACTGCACAGAGATAGCACTGCGAGCTGCAATTTGTGAGAGCCAGCTGAGCGCTCTCGCTGACGCCATTCGCAGCAACGCATACAAAGTTCAGCCGCATCCACAGCACTGCACAGCCATAGCACCGCAAAAAAAGCCATGAGCGCCCAAGTACAGCAACCACAGCTCACCGACGACCAGTGGCTGCAGCTGCACCGCGACCAGCTCGTAAAACAAAACGTGCCGGCCGCCGTGCATTCAATAATAGCGAGGAAGATGAACCACGAGATATTCGACTGTTCGACAACGTTTGCGCTGCAGGACGGGACAACGCGCGTCGTCAAAGCGACGCCAAAACACGGTGATGCGTGGATTTCGGACCACGCCTTGGTCTTCCGCGCGCCGACGGACGCCAAAGCAGCTCTTGCACAGTACCCGGGCCTCGCGGAGCGCTTCGCGACGATGGCGCGCTGTGAGCCCGAGGACGCACTCGACAAAGCCATCTGGAGGTACGCGCAGGCCCTGCCCGGCGCGCGGCCGCCCGTGTGGTGCGTCGAAGATGAAATTGGCAATGGCTTCATGCGAGGGTCGCCCGTCGCTATCGGCACGGCTCATATTACAGACCGGAGGACGGGCGACACGTTCGCCGTTTATTGGCCTGAGGGCGACTTGGACGTGGGCAGCGCCCCGAGGCGCGACCCGTATCCGCACATCAAACCAGGATTACGTAGAGACGCTTTACTAAGTGCGAGCGCGGACTCGTCGGAGCGCTGGCGAGCGGCCTACGCCGCGTTCTCGAAGCCTGAAAGCGCTTCTGCTGAGGTTCCGGCCTCGTCCAACACAAAACCACCGGCAACGACTCCTCTCAAAGTCTGGACCGACGTCGCCTGGACCTCCGAGGTCACGGACCCACGAATAGAATTTGTGGAGGACGCGTCAACTGCCGACGCCGTTTTCGCCCATTCCGGCGGTGGGAAGTATCAAGTTCTCAAACACCAGCTGGTGTCGTGGTTCGCCTACGAGGCGGCGCTGATCAAGAAGGACCACCTCGCGGCGACGTTACGAAGAGCCGGCCTGGCGCACCTGGCACCCGTCACGTTTGATCTGGAGACGGAGCTCGACGCGCTGCTGGGCTTCCTTGTTGCCAGCCGTGTGGAAATCAAATTTCGGGCGCCCCACGCCATCGACGCGATGGTGTCACCGTAACTGCGTCTGCTCGATGGCGTGGCGATTCCACGCCATCGACGCGACGTCCCCGTGACCACGTCGGCTCGATGGCGTGGAGGCTCACGAAGTCCACGCAACATTTCTCAGGATAGCCTAGCTCACTGGTTGATGTCCACGCAGGCCGCCACCGACGCCCACGTCATCCTGAAGCCCTACGATCTTGGGCGGTCGATAGGCCACAGCGTGACCAAGTCGATCCCCCAGGTCCTCGCGTATGCCGCGGCGGGCGGCTACGTGGCCCAGCGCTACGTCGAAAGGCCGCACGCGCTGCCGACCGATTCGAGGGGGCGCAAGTACGATATAAGGGTGGTGGCCCTCCTGCGGTCGGCATCACCTTTGGAACTCTACGCGCACGACCACGTGTATGTCAGGTGCGCGAACAAGGCGCACTCACTCTCAAACTTGGACGACGTCGAGGTCGCGCTCACGGCCATGCACCTCGTGGAGCGGGAGGCGGACTACCCAACAACTAGCGCCTTTATCGAAGCGTTCGACAAGGAGAACCCGTCGAGGCCCTGGGATTCGGTCATGGCCGACGTCCGCGCGACGCTAAGGAAAGCCTTCGCCGCGTGCGCTTCTCTGCACGCGGGCTTCGCTTCTTCATCCAACAGTCGTAGCGCCTACGGCTGCGACTTCATGCTCGACGCGGATCTGAAGCCGTTGTTGCTAGAGGTGACCTTCGCTCCGGCTCCGCTCTGGTCGTCGGAGAGCATGCCGGCGCGCGTCGACGGCGTCGCCGACGATATCTTCCGGACGCTGTTTTTTGGGGAGACGGCGCGGGTGACTCGGTGTTAAGTGTATTGTACTTTATAAACAGGCACATCCTACTCACCGACCTCCGCCCGCGTAGTTTTCCGACAGAGCGGGCACGACACTCCGAGCGAGCGCCGCGTCGGCGCCGCGAGCCGTACATGGTCCGCTAGGTCGCCGAGGCATGCCGCGTGGAATGCATGCCCACACTCAAGAACACAGGCATCCTCAGTAATAGTCGACATGCAGATGGCGCAGGGGTCCGTCGGCAGCGGCGGCGGCGGTGGCGGTGGCGGCGCCTCTACCGGCAGGGCTTCCGGGATCTTTTTCTTCGGCGGCGGTGGTGTCTTGTAGCGAAACACGTGGCCCTCTGCCGTACTCGTCTTTCCCGATAGATTCTTTGAGATTTTCGAAATGCATATGTCTAATTTGTCTGCTGCAGCCCCGACGGAACAGAATTCCTCCAGGACAGCTCCCGTCTGCGAGTCGTACCTGACAATAGCTGTCGACCGGGGACCCTTGCAGTAGCAGTCTGGGCGGCCCGACGTGCATCTAATACCACCGGTCGCGAATCGCTGTTTCGCGTCTCCGGTTACAAACTCGGGGTAGTGTGCCCGAGCGACCCCTAATAAAGAGCGGTACTGCTTCGATTCGCCGGGCTTGTGGTAGTACTTATCGGGCTTTGCTCTGCCACCGTCCTTGCCGGGCGGCCTAGGTACCACGCTGATCGTCCAGTTGTCCTCCCTCATCTTGGCCTCTAGAGCTGTATTGTCCGTCACCCGCTCCGTGCGCGAGCCCGTGCGCGAGCTTTTAGGTTGCTGCGACGTCGGATGGACGGGCGTGGGTGTGCTGAGCGGCTCTAACTCCTCGAGCGGCACCGTCTTCAGGGCGCCGTCCTCGAACGCGACGCGCGCAGACGTAGGCCCACTTGAGACGACGGTCGCAGCATACTTGCGCCCGTCGCTCCAGGGCACAATACACTTGGAGCCCTTGGCGAATTGCGGCGACGACGGCGAGGGCGGCGGCGGCGACTGCGGCAACAGAATAACTGGGGGCGGTGTTCGCTTGCCAGTAAGTTCTTGGTAACCTGTGCATAAATCAACCAGTGAGTCGGGTGCGGAATAGACTACAACGCCACGCCATCGAGAGAAGCGCCGCGACAATTTGATTTATGCACTGTTGGTAACGTTGTAACAAGCGGCGATTCGCCGGTCGCACCAGTTCCACAGGGACATCATCCTCTTCGTCGCTATCATCAACGTACTTTAGATCAACCGTCGCACCGGAAGTGGCCAGGACAAGCGCTGGATAGAACTTGGAGCCTCCGCGCCACCTTGCCTCGACCAGCGCGTCGACGGGGTAGGACACCGAGCTCGTAGGCGCCCGTGCGATGGCGTCTTCCGTCGGGGCGACCGGGGATGGCGGCGGCGCTGGGTTCCCGGCCTTGTGAGCCCGCAACTTCCGCCGGAAGTCGTCTTGCCCGTCGTAGGGGTCGCGGCCTATGCCTCTGGTTCGCATCAACTCCGTCAGCTGCCTCCAACCCATCCCAGAAAACTCGTCTGTGATCGCGCCCTCGACCGCCTTGGGCGCCGGCGGCGCCGCCATTATTGTTCCTCCCATCATGCTATACTTCCAGTGCCATTCACAGGCAGGCCCCGACCGCTGGGAGCCGAGCCGCGCAGCGATGGCAGACCAGCTCTCGCGGTCCCCCAACTCATTCACAAGCTTCCGTAATTGTTTTTCCTCTTCGGCCGTCCAGCGCGGCGCCGCCGCCTCGGGCTTGCTTGTGGGCGCCGCCGGCGGCGCTTCCGGGACGGCCGCGGCCGGAGCCGAGCGCTGGCGGGCAGCGAGCGGCCGCACGAGGTCCAAGGGCACCCTCTCCTCGGAATCGCCATCCGTATACTTGAGGTCTAGAGTCCTACCGCCGTCTCTCACGGCGACGACTAAAGCAGGATAGAAAACGTCACCGCCGCGGAACCGCGCCTCGACTAGAGATTCAACCGAGTACTGAGCAGTCGCCCGCGGGTCTGGTCGTGGCCCTGTGGACGGCTTGACGCTTGGGCGAGAAGGATGCGCGGGCGGCCGTTGTTGCGTCGACGGCTCCGCGGCCATGGCTAGGACGCGCTCGATGTGTTGCCGTGTTGTCTTAAATGCCATTTGGCTCGCATAATGACCGCTGTGCTGCTTGATGGAGGCAACCCATTTCGTCCATTCCGCCAAAGGGCCACTCTGTAGCGCGCGTGACGCGCCCGACGGTGCGGTCCAGTCGCAGAGCGCGCACCGCACGTCACCGTTTGACTCTACTGTGAACGTCCGCTGCGTTCGGCCGTCCTTGGTCGCGAAGCAGTTCCCGAACTCCCGACCCTTATAAGTGGCGCAGATGGCACCGTCTAGTTGTGCCTGGACCCACTCGTTGGGGGTCAGCCGGCTTCGGTCGCAGAGCGCCGCTTCCTCGGCCGACAGCGTGGTCGTGGTCAGATCGCAGCAATAAACCGTCACTGCGTAGCCGGTCTTCGTCGTCACCTCGGTTTGACCGTTATATCCGAGCTTCGTCACGACGCCTCGCAACCCGTCGCCGCGCTGGACGTGGGACCCGACGACGGGCCAGGCGTCGCCAGAGCCGCCTGGCGCGTCCCGCCGATTCTCCGACTGCGGATCGTCGACAGGCTCCTCCGCGGGCGAGTAGTGGTGGCGGCCCCGTTTCGCTGGCCGCGCAGGTGTCGCTTCGCGCTGGGCCGCCATTTGCCGATCGAGCTTCTGGCGCAGCGCCGCTAACGCCCGCTCTGAAGTAGCGGCGTCCTTGCGCGCCTCGTCGCGTTCCCGACGGAGGCGTTTGGCATCACCCCGTGCCTCGTCGCGTTCGCTGCGCAGGCGTTTGACGTCCCCGCGCAGCTGGTCGGCGTCGCCTCGCGCCTCGTCGCGCTGCGCCTCGGCGGCGCGCAGGTCCTGCTCGAGCGATTGCGTCGCGGCTCGCAGGGAGTCCAGCTCTCGCCGCAGGCGCTCGTTCTCCGCGGCCGCGTCGTCTTCGGACCGCGGGCGCTTCCGCGATGGTGTCTCGGCAGGCGCGGCGGCCGAAACTTTGGGCGTTCTTGCTTTGCTCGGCGCGGACGGGCGCGCGGCTCTCGGCTTCGGGCGCGCGGCGGCCGCCGGCCGGCTCTCGCGCCGCGAGGCCGGCGCGCGCCGCGTCGCAATAATGTCGGGGAATGCCGCGCGCGTCGCCTCCTCGTCGCCGGGAAAATTCACCGCCTTCTTCCGGTGGGCTAGGAGCATCGCGTCGACGGCGCGCGCGGCCGCCTCCTGCGTCGCGTGGCTCCCGGCGCTGACCGAGCCCCCGCCCATATGGACGCACGTCGTCCAGCTCACGCGCGTCTTGTTGGGGGGATATACATGCTTGAACCGGGGCACCGACACCGGTGCCGGCGTGTCCTCGTCGACGGGCTCCGTCGCGGGCGCGGGCGCGGGCGCCTCCTCCGCGTCGTTCCGCGTGCGCGATGCCGAAGGCCGCGCCGCGTAGGTCTTTCCCGCGTCGACTAGATCCGTCAGCCGCTCGGGCTTCGTCCGCGCGCGCCCCACTCGTTGCCCGACGGCGGTCTCGGGCCGCGCGGCGGTGGCGTCGGGCGCCACAGGCTCGACGGCCGCAGTGGTGACCGGGGGCTTCGGTCGTAATTTTTTCGTCGCGGCGCGGCGTGCGTCCTCGCCCTCGTCGGCCTCGCGGTCGGCCTCCGTGCGGTAAGCACCACCGGTTCGCGCGAGGTCCAAGCAGCCTTCGAAGTACTTGACGAGCTGGGGCTTCGTCCGTGGCATGTCCTGAGACGCCGAGTAGTCCTTGCCGGCGACGTCGTAATAGCACGGGTATGTGGCCGGTACTGAGATGTGATATTCCGACGGTTTTGGGCCGACCTTAACGCACCGGAAGCCGTCGCTCACGAGCCGGTCGCGGATGCCCACGATGCCACTCTGGTCCTCGAGGGCGGCGAGTAGATCGGTGCAGACGCCGGCCCACGCTGACGCAGCGGACGCGACGTGCGGCTTTCGCGCCGGTGCCGGCAGTGCCGGCGGTGGTGCGGCCTCGGAGCGTTCCGGCGCGGGCGGGACCGCGACCGACTGATGAGCCTGCTCCCTTTCATCTTCAGCCGCAGTGGTGACCGGCGGCACCGCCTCAGCATCCTCGGCCGGCGCCGGCGCCTCAGTAGTTGGAGCTGGCGCCTGGCCCGGGAGCGGGAAGTTTACGGGCGGGAGGCCTCGCTCCTCGCGGGCCGCGTCGTAAGCCCACGCGGCGGCGCCAGCATTTTCGTACGTGCCGAGCCGCTTAATCTCTTCCCCGTCGAATTTGATGTCAACTACCCACATACCCTCCTCCCGCGAGACGCCTTCGTAGGTGCGCTCTTCGGGCGGCAGCGGCGCCTCGACGGCTACCGGTGCGGGCGCGGCTTCAATAGCAGTTTCCGCCGGGAACCAGCTCGGCGCTGCTGCTGCAGAGGGAGAGCCGACGGTGCCTTGTAAGTCCTCCATGCTCCGAGCACTGCAGCGCGCGCGCGAGACTGTAAATCGCTGCGCGCTGAAAATGCGCTACAGGAATGCCGATACGCCTTTGTCTGAACAGCCTGCGCAGTGGCCTTCAGAGCCCGAGTCGGAGAGCCGGCTTGCTAGTGTGTTACAACCGCTAGCGCCTCGTTTTGCGCTTATTTTTGCTGCGGCACTTAGGCAGCCCAAAACGATGAAACGCCTCGTCCTCGCAGCCGTTCTCCATGTGGCAGCCACAAATAACTGCGAACGGGCCACCGATTTGAAGCCAGAGCACATTTGCAGAGCCCCCACCAATCCGGATGCGCTGCGGAGCGCCATACCAGACGATGCTGACGCGCTCCCGCTAAAAAGTAGCGCACCACCGTCCTTGAACGTAATCCAAGGCAACGTCGCGAAACAGAAGGCGCGGCTCCTGCGCAAGGCCAATACTGAAGGCGCGCCGCTGGTCTGGGTGCTCGACGACTACGTGGGCATTGGCAACGCGCTGGATGCTTACGTGAGGGCGGTGATCGAGGCGCGGCATCGCCGACGATCGCTCATCATCAAGTCGCCGATCCTGCGCAATCTGTGTCGCATTGTTGGCGTGCGGTGCATAAATCAAATTGTCGCGGTGCGTCTACGCCATCGCACCCGACTCACTGGTTGATTTGCGCACAGGTGGCGTGCGATGGCCTTGTTGGTGCAAAGCGCGACGACCTCTCGCGAAACGAGCGCATGTGCCTCGCAAGCAGCCACCAGGCGGAATCAGAGCATTGCGTCTACTACACGACCTTCGGCTGGCGCAACGGCAAGTATCCTCCCGATTATGACCTATCCTTATATGACGGGCGCCTGACAGCAGCGCGGCGGGCGATCCTGCGCGAGTTCCTGCCGAGGCGGGAACACGGCGAGCTATTGAAGCGCTTCTTGCCTATTCTGGAAAGGGCGTTCGTGGGGGCGAGCGTCGAAGAGGCTATAGCGCCTACTCAACGTTATGCGGTGGCGCTTCACTTAAGGACGTTGGATTTTATCGAAGGCATTGACCTGCGTGGCCATCAGCCAGTGGCCTTCTTATTGCGAGAGACTCCGCCAGCCTCCACGCCATCGATCGCGTCGATGGGCGTCATTGATTCCACACAGGCAAGAATGCGACCGACGCCGCCGCATTCGATTGGCTCCAGACGAGGAAAGCCCGATTCAAGTGGACCTGTTTAGTCAGGCGGCTGCGCGCTCTGGGGTTGGGCTGTTCACCTAATCAAAAGGTTTTCCTGGCGGCCGACTCCGCACCCGTAAAGCGGGCCTTTGCACGCGCGATCGAGGAGGCTTTTGGCTCCACGGTGAAATGTGAGTACTTCGACGGCATCGAACCACCCAAGTACAACGTCTGGTTCGCCAAGACGCCGACGTTTAACGACTGGCTCTCGCTGACGACGACGGTCTGCGACTGGCTCGCCCTCGCGAATTCGCGATTGGTCATCGGCGTCAAGGGCACGACGTCGGTGCAGCACCTGCCCTCGTCGTTCGCGCGGACGGCGTCGATCATCAGTGGCGCTAATTTTGATGACCTCGCGGGGCTCGAGCGGGACCAGCGGAGCGTGACGTGCTGCGCGTGGTACGACCATCGGGACTGGTAGTAGTTTTGTATAAGCTTGTTTGTGTGTGTCAAACAGATCTTACTTTGGTGTCCCCGGCCTACTACTACACCGTGAAGAGGGCGGCGACGGCTGCGGTAAGGACAGAGAGCACTCGCCCGGCGTCGCCGTCCGACTCGTCCTCATCTCTGTCCGCCTTGCCCCCTTTGGCGAGCGTCGTCGTCGGCTTGGGCGTCGGCGGCGGCGGCGAATCGCTGTCGCCGTCAGCCGCCGGCACGGAATCGAACGTATGATCGGTTCCCGGCGCCGCGGCGCCCGTGATAGCGACGACCTGCCCGCGCCGGCAATGTAGTCCCACCCGACACGCGTAGTACTTCGTAGTATCAGCGGGGGGTGCATCAATCGTGCAGGAGCCGCCCACGGCAGCTGGACAGACTTCGGTCGCGGCGCTGAAGTCGCAGGCGTCATAGGCAGCTTTGCTGGACATTTCGTACACGTTGTGTCCGTTGGACCACTCGAAGGTGATCTCACTATCGGCGGGAACCGTGATCGACTGCTCGGCGACGGGGATGATCCATGGCACGATAATGGGGGCAGGCGGTGCGGTCGTCGGCGGCGGGGTCGGCTTAGGCTACTCATAGAAAAAGGGGCGTCGGTGCATGTGCGGGACTCCCGTAATAACACGCTGCTTCACCGTGCGAGCTCATATAACCACGTGGAGGTAGTCAAATTGTTAATCGAAGCGGGAAGCGACGTTAATGCGCGTGGCCGCGATCAGAATACTCCCCTACACCTGGCGGCTCGCCTCGGCAATGGTGGCGTCGCAAGCGCCCGGGTGCTGCTGAGAGCTGGCGCCGAGGTGAACGCTGAAAACAATATTGGCGACACGCCGCTTTTTGGCTCACTCAGCGCTTGGGAATGTAACTCGCGTTGCTTCCGCGTCTGGCCGATTCTCTTGCGTGCCGGTGCCAATCTCCCCGCCGACCCGGACCAGTTCCAGACGTTTCTTGCCAGCGGTTATATCCGGGGAGTGATCGACGCGGGCGGCTGGGCAAACTACGAACGCCACCACCTCGACAAGCTCACCGCGATGCTCACGCCGAAGGATGATGGCCGCCGCCGCTCGCCCCGCCGCCTGTCGCCGCTCCGTCGCGTCCCGCCCGAGGTCCTCCACAAGATCGCCGCGTTCGCTTTCCAGTTGGCGTTTTCACCGTACAGATACTGAGCGCGAACACCAGCCGGGCCCACCGCGACCCCCGAATAATGGACTCGATTGTATAGTTCTTTAGTAGGGGATGGGGAGGGGAGAGGACCGCGCGTCTACGCCATCGCTGCGGCGACGAGCGCGCCCGCGTCCGCGCGCCCGGCGAAGATGCCCTTCAGCTTCTGCACTAATGCTTCCTTCTCGGCCTCGTCGACCATCGCGGCCGCCTCCCGCGCGTGCGCGTCGAAGTACGACAACACCGCATCATCATCCGACCAGTCGCAGTCGCAGAACGCCTCGACCTTAGAAGTGGCGTCCGCGAGCGAGCCACCCTGCCTCGAGATGCCCTTCGCCAGAGCATCGACCGCGAGCCGCCTAGCAGCTCTTTTGTAGAAGTAGCCGCGGGCGCCCTCCCACGAGACCACGTCCCTAATAACGCCCTTGGCCTTCATGCGGCCCGCCCTATCATGGAGATCGGCAAACTCGATGGCCACCTGCTGGTACAGGGGCGCCAGCTTCGCCTCCCGCGCCGCCACCGCCGCGTCGCGCTCCGCCGACGCCGGCTGCGCCAATAACTTCGCGAGCTCGGCGTCCGTCCGCGCCATGACCTTCTTCTGGTCCGGCGACCGGAACTTGACCTCGCAAATCCCCGGCGGCTCCAAGATCCCACCACGACTTTCCGGGTCGGCGTACATCTCCATAAAATCACTATTGATCGTCGGGTCCACGACGACCCAGGCCCCACCTCGCAACTCGGCCTTGGGCGGGATGTACACAAAAACGGGCATGTCGTACTTCGTCAATTCATCCACGATCTTCGCGCCGAACTTGAGGACCTCGTCGTACATGTCCCTGGTCCCGCCACTGAAGCCGCGCCAGTTCGCGAGGATCATGAGCGGCAGTTTCTCGCCCCGTCCGAAGTCGGCGATCGCCTGAGCGGTCTTGTGCGCGGAATCCGGGTACCAGACCTGGCCGGCTTGCGGCTTGATCGATTCCCTGGAGTCGGGGTTCGCCGGGTCCGCCGGGACTACTGCCTCGACCGTTCTAGTTTCGACGGAGATGACGCCGAACGGGATGCCACCCAACTTCGCCCGGCCCGCGACGACGGTCTTGCCCCAGCCCGCCAGCGTCTCCGTAAACGAACCCTTGTCGAACAAGCCCGTGCCGTCGGCGTTGTCGAGGAGTTCTCTGACGTCGTACGGCGAGCCGTCGGCCGGCGGCCGGGCCGTCACCGGCCGATCCACGGGGTCCGCCGGTGCTAATAAACCAGGCTTGAGGTCGTTGGCCGTCGCGGGGACGTAGGAGAGCCATCTCACAATGGCCTCGCAGCCTGCGCGTGACGACGTGTCTCTCTCTAGGTGTCGCGTCGATGGCGTGTCGCGGCGTCTATGGCGTCAAGGCCGCGGCGACGGCGTGTCGCGACGACCGCGTCGATGGCGTCGCGGCGACGTAGCACCGCGTCGACGCCATCGACGCGACCACGCCACGGTTGAGACGTGTACTCTCATACGGCCGCGTCGACGCCGTCGCGGCAACGTGGGCTCACGAAGACGACATAAAATACATAGGACGCCGCCCCGAACCCTCGTAGTCGTCATCAACCCCGAGATGAGTAACACCATTGGGAACCATGATCTGCTGCCCGCCGAGTTGATCTTGCGACGTGTACACGGCCTTGCCCAACAGCTTGTTCAGGGCCTGGAAGCCTGTTAAGATCATAGGCCCGGTCTTCATCTGGATGACCCGCTGGCCTAAACGATTCAGGTACGCGCCGATGCCCACAGAGCGTCCAGACACGTAGGACAACGTGAAGGTCTCCTCATAAGCTCGCGACGTCTCGCCGGCGATCGTGCCCGACCCGCGAAGGTTCTCGACCCCGATGCCGTCCGGCACCTGATCATCAGAACCAATGATGGCCTCGATCTCGTGGTGGCCGTTGCGATTCTTCGGCTTCACGTCAACACTTCCGGAAGGGAGCTTCTCGAGGTCCTCAGGAGTGACATACAAGTACTCCAAACCCTTGGAGGGGTCGTTGCTGACCCACTTGACGCCGACGAGCGGTTTCAACGCTTCCACGAGCCCGATGCGGGCGCCGGAGTTCGACGACAGGTACACTCTGGGGACACCGCGAGCAGCGGCAAACCGCGTGACCTTGGCGAAGAAGTCGTCCTCCGCAACACCGAAGGAGCCGGACTGGTACGTCACATCATTCGCGACGATGACGACCTCGCGGCCCTCCGGGTACTCCGGGGTTCTAAAAGTGCACGAGAAGCCGACCATGCCCACGTCGTTGGTACCTACCGGTCTGCTACCTTTGGTGGAGACGCCGTACTCCGCGTCGTCGTCGAACAAAAGTTCTTCGGCTACTACTACGGAGTCAGACGAGGGAATGTCAATCGGTTCACCTCCGAACGCCACGACTTGATCATTTCTATCCCTCCAGGCTTGTAATTGAGCAGTAGCCAACAAACCGACGAAATCATAGGCATACGTCGTGCCAATACGTCTGGCGGTAGCTCGCTTCTTGGAGACGGCGTCGGCAGCCGGGTAGGGCTCGACGACGCAGTTGTTGCCTTCGACGTCGCAGTACGACAGCGTGACACCCGTGACCGGGTCGACGCGCTCGATATACGTCCTCAGACTAAGCCAGGGCCCCTCCGCACTGGTAGCGACGCCGCGCACGGGGATGACGCCCCCAGCCGTCTTGAACGCGAACTTGACCTCTATTTCATCCACCCTAGCCGCTAGTAAGCGCGTCGCTCGCGCGGCTAAATACCCCCCAAGGGTCTTCTGGAACTCCTGATCTAGTTCTTTGGCACTTTCAAATTCAACCGGCGGGATGACGTTCACGTAGACGCGGCCGGACGCCGTCGGTTTGACGCGAGCGTCGAGGAGAGCCATATCTAGCGCGTCCAAGGCCTTGTCGAGTAAGCGAGCGCAGCCCCCTTCGAAGAAATCCCTCGAGTGCGTCAAGCGACGCACGAAGACCGACTGGGCCGCGAACTTCGGGTTCTTGGCTCTCCCAGCTCTATCGTCGCCCACGTACACTCTCAGGTCCCTATTCACGGTAGGCAGGGGCATGGTCAAAAAGTTCCGCTCCACGGCGCCCAACTCCAGTAAGTGGTAAAACGTCGGCCGCATGCCACGTCTGAGCGGGTCCTCGCGGTACGGCCCCGGCTGCGCGCCAAATTCAATGCACGTCGGATTCACGAAGGTAAAGTAGCGCGGGTAGTACGGCGCGTCCGTGGCCACGAAATTTACCGAACGCAGGCGCGCGGCCTCGACGGCGTTCTGGACGCCGGCCAAGGCCTGTTCTAGCGTAGCTACGAGTGCCTTATCATCGGTCGTCGCTTCGTTCGACTTTAAGAGGAGATGGATCGTGTTCACGGGCGTCTCGTCGGAAGGATCAGCCACCCACGAACTATGCGTCTGCAGGCCACTGCGTAACTCATCCCCAAACCCTTCGACCGTGGCGCTCAACCCAGCCACGGCACTCGCAGCATCATCAAATAACACCAGCTTGCCGAAGCGCAGCGGCGCCTTCGCCGCGTCGTCGTTGCGGAACTTGTACCACCACGACGCCTCGAGGTGCTCATCTTTTTTGGTGATCGAGATGTCGAGGATGTCATGCGCCGAGTACATCCTACGGACATATACTTCTGCCGCCTTTACACCAACAGTAGGGTCGTCAAACAGCTCCGTCAACAGATCGACGCCGCGCGTGTAACTTCCGAGCTGCGGGTTCGAGGCAAAAGTACTCAAGTCAGACGCCTTGGAGATGTCGTTCTTCAATGAGGCGAGTCTCGCATCGAAGGGGGGGACATTTTGTCTGAGTCTCGCCATTCCAGCGGCTAATGAAACAGTAGCGTAGCCCGGGCCGGCCGCCTCCAAAGCTGCTACTCGGTCCAAGTCCCTCTCGAGTCTCGCTCTTTCTTCGTCGGTAGCTCTGCCAGACAGCGCTTGGACGCGAGGCACGGCAGCAACCAGCGCCCTCGCCAAGGCGCTTCTCGCCTTGAGCTTGCCGTGAGCCAACAAGACGTCGGCCGCATCTTTTTTAGAAGAAGCCTTGATCAGTTCTCTGGTAGCCGCATCTTCATCGGCGCGCCCGACGAACTTCTCCTCCACCGCTAGGAACCGATCCAACAAATCAGCAACCGCATCCGCGGCGACCCCAGCCGCGCCGCCGGCCCACTGCGCCGCCAGATCTCTCAAAGATTGAACCGCGGGCTCGTTCTCGTATGCAGCTAACTCGGACTCGAGCCCGGCGACGTCGATGGAAGCCGCTACTTTGGCCAGCGCCGCGTCGAGCTCGGCCGGCATCTTCTGCCCAATCGCGCCCGCGACCTCTCTTACTTGCAGTCTGAACACGTCCGGGTCCGCAATGGCCTCGACGAGCCGACCGACGGCATCCACAGCATCCTCGCCGAGCGCGTCGTAGCCGTCCATCGCCGTCGACAGTTGGTCGAAGATCGATCTGTACGTGAGTAGGGCGTCCTGCTTGACGGCAGAAGCTTCTTCCAAGCCCAACGAATCGCCCTGGAAGGGCGTGATGCTACGAGCCTTGCTCGGGTCGTCTAATTCTAAGCCAGCGAGCAAATCCCCGGCCTCGATCACACTTCCGGCGGCCATCTTCGGGGACACCGTGCCGGCGTCGGCGGCCTTGAGCCTGCGTTGATTGATACCCGTGAGTGAGGTAATCATGCGGCCGCGTCGAAGGCGTCGAGGCGATCTCGGCACCGCGGCCATGTTTTCAGCTCAAACTCGGACACGATCGCCGAGAGATACACTCGACCGCGTAGAGCAAGCAACAGTTCACACAGACCACAAATTGAAGGGCGATTGAAGATTTCTACACAGCAAACAAACGGCATGATCATCTTCATCGCTTCAACTTCCGCGAACGTCTCGCCCTTCTCGACCGATTCACCGTCTTCTTTCAGCCATCTCACGATCTTGCCCGTGACGTCGCTCCTGATCTCGGAAGGATCAAAGGCCGCGGGCACGAAGACGGTCGCGCCGTCGACGATGATCCTCAGTCCTAATGGTTCTTCTTGCCCCGTCAACTGGTGGGAGATGCCACCGTAACTCGCAAGTAGAGTACCGTCGGGCTGCTCGCGCACCGAAGCCGCGAGGGCCGGCCCGCCGTTCGTCACGAGGTCGAAGGACGCGTCGCCCGTGCGCTTGACGGTCACCGTGTACTTGACGTCACTCACGACGATATCCAAGTCGAACGTGTCTAACGCATCGAGACCCGCCGTCGAGAACTGGCCGCGCTCCAATGCACTCTCAAATTCCGACCGCGCGGCCTTGCAGGCCTCGTGGGCCCGGAACAAGGCGGCGGACGCGACGACGACGCTGTCGTCGACGTGCGTGTTGATGGACTTGGCGGCGAGGATGCCGTCGAGCCAAGAGGTGTCGATGTTGTTGCTCTTGAAGTCGTCCGTCTCCAGTAACTGCACGAGGTACTCGACCGGGTTGCGGATCTCGCCGCGCACCTTCAGCTCCTTCAGAGCTAACACTAACGCCTTTCTCGCCGCTTCCCGATCCTCACCGGTCGCGAAGAGGTGGCCGAACTGCGAATCCGCAAATTCGTGGACCCCACCGTTCGCGCCCACCGAGAAATAACCCCAGACCGCCGGCGTCGACTGGAAGGACACGCGCTCGACCTTGCCGGACGTGGGCTTGAAGCTTTCATCAGGGTTCTCGGCCGTGATGCGCGCCGCGAGGACGTGCTTCTGGATGGGCCTGCGTTGTGTTTATGTGGTTACGGGCGTGCGCGTGGGGCGGTGTGTTCGCCGCGATGGCGTGGAAGTCGCAGCGTCCAGTGAAGCTCATACGCCATCCACCTTTGCGTCGATGGCGTGCCACGGCTCTCGCGAGACGCGTGGACCCTCTCGGGCCCACGGAGTGATGGTCTCATGAAGACGCCGTCGCCGCGTGAAGAAACGAGACGCCGCATACGGTACCGGTACTTCGTGTTCGGGTCGTCGAGATCCAAGGTCGTCGTCGTGTCACTCTCGTCGATGCCGTACAACCTCCGCACCTCCGGCATGTTCGGCAGCGGGATGCCCATGGCCACTTGTAATTGGGTAGCGGGCAGATTCACGCCCGTCACGCCCTCCGTGCAGGGGTGCTCGACCTGCAGCCGCGGGTTCAGCTCCAAGAAAAAATAGTCGTCGTTGGCCGCATTATATAAATACTCGACGGTCCCCGCGCCCACGTAGCCGATGTTCTGCACTAATTGTTTGGCCTTCAACTCCATGTCCGCGAAGACGTCCGGTCTAGCGATACCTCCGGAAGGTTTGGTCGGCGGCGCCTCCTCGAAGATCTTCTGGAAGCGGCGCTGCGTCGAGCAGTCGCGCCCGTTCAGCGCGACGGCGTTGCCGTGCTCGTCGCCGACGACCTGGACCTCCAAGTGGCGCGCGCCGGTCATGAGCTGCATGACGAAGATCGGGGAACCTGCGTGGACGTAGCGTGACGCCGTCGCCGCGAGACGCGCACGTGATCGTGGTCGCGGCGATGGCATCTTCACGAGACCATCACGTCGCCTCCACGCCATCGACGCGGCGCGGCGTCGATGCCATGCGCCATCGACGCGGCGCGACGATCGCGTGTGTGAAAGGACGCCGCACGGTACCCGGCTGCTCGTTCTCGACCTGGGGAAACGCCGCCGACAATTCTTCCGCGTTCTTGCACATGCGGATGCCCTTGCCGCCGCCGCCCTCGCTCGCCTTGAGCATGACGGGGTACTGGACGCGCTCGGCCGCGGCTAACGCTTCTTCGGCCGAATGCACACACCCGGCCTCGAACGTCTCGCGAGGGATCGTCCCGTCCTCCTGCAAGTTCGCCTGGAGCGGCCCGTCGTCGCCGGGGTTGCCGAACGACCCACTCCAGGGGATCGACGGCACCTTCGCCGTCTGGGCTAGGATGTTCGCCGCAATTTTGTCTCCCAATACAGACATGACCGGCGCCGGCGGGCCCATGAAGGCGATGCCCTTCTCCTTTAAAGCGCGGGGCAGCTTCGGGTTCTCGGAGGCGTGGCCCCAGCCCGGCCAGACGGCGTCCACACCTAATCGCGACGCCGTGTCCACAATGAGCTTGACGTTGGCATAATTATTGGTGTTCGAGCCGCCCGGGACTTCTACATATTCATCGGCTAATCTCACAAATTCCGCGTTGGCGTTCAAGTCCTCCGGCGTGGCCATGACGATGAATTCTAAAGCGCGCTCGTCGCCTAACTCCAAGTAAGCCCATCTTCTCATGGACATGATGGACTTGGTCGCGGCCATGCCGTTGTTGGCGATGAGGACCTGTGTGCGGGGGTGCGTGAGTGGGGCAATTTGTTTTCGCAGCGGTTTCGGTTTCACGCAGCGCTCGCGGCGCTCGTAGCGCGCTCGCCGTCGAAGTTTCGCGGACGCCGCGCGGCGCACCCTTCTGATCACGCGCGTGCCGCCCTTCGCGGCGACGTACTCCGCCAGGCGGTCCTGCTTCGTCTCGGCGGCTACCGGCGCGGGATCCGCGACGGCCGCCTTGAGCTTCGTGAGCCAGTTGCGCACGCCCTTCTGCTGTGGCGCTACTAGCGCATTCTTGTGCGGCGCCCGCGGCGCCAGCGGGCCCGTGAACGCATGCGCGGTTGCAAGCAAAGCCAAGGCTATGCTAAGCCGCGCCATCTTCACTCGCTAGTGCTGTGCTGCACACCTACACGCCTCGCACGGCTGCGAGGGTGCACCTAGTGCCCCAACGAACTCCTATCTCTGCTCCGCGACCGCTTTGCAGTTGAGCAGAGCGCGTCGTACGTCGCACTGCGACCTTATCCAATAGTGCCACCGTGCTCGCGCCCCCTCGTAAGACACGCCGATACGTCTATAGTTTCTTGCATTCGTCCCACTGGACGCATGCACAGGTCCAATGGGCATCCAGGCGCGCAATGGCCCGTTTTGCGACCTGCCAGGCGCGCGCTCGCCGCTGAAACGAACCGTGTCCGCTCACAGGAGTCCCTCCCGTGCCGCCTGACGCGTGCTCGACGCGGTGCCTCGTCTCGCGGCTGGCTCTCAGCATTGCAGCTCAGAGTCGGCGTCAAATACGCGCGCGCTGGGCACCGCAATCGCTATCGAGCGCTGCCGCAGATCGCTACTTATATAAAAGATCGTGATTGGATAGAAAAACGCAACGATGATCCTTCCTAGCAAGACCTTGCTGCTAGCTGCGGCAGCCAGCGCCCTCTACGTCCGGCCACGCCGCCGGATGAGACACGTTACAACGATGAAGTGGGGCGAGCACATCGACCAGGTGAAAGGAGATAATACGTTCTTAAGGAACAAGGACGGCCGACCGGCACAACTCCAACGAGACTACGGCAAATTAATAATAACACTAGCGACGACGGGCAACATCAACACGCGGGAAAACAACAAGGACCTCCCGTGCTCACCAAAGGAGATGGCCGACCAGATGCACGAGTGCATCAAGCTCGGGGTGTCTATCTTACATATACATTCGAGGAATGAGTTGTTAAAGCCGACGATGCGCGTTGATAAATTCAGAGAAACATGCAGATTGGTGAAGGAACGGGATCCCGACGTGATCATACAAATAAGCACGGGCGGCCGGGCCCCGCCGACGGCCTTCGAAGGTGTGGATGTGGGGGATTGGAGGATGGACCCCCTCAACTTATTACCGGAGATGGGCTCGTACACGCCCGGCTCCGTCAACCTCGGTCCCATCGTCTACCAGAACGACGCGAAGCTCACGAGGGACATGGCCCAAAAATACAAGGACCTGAAGATCAAGCCGCAGGTCGAAGTGTTTGACACGAACATGATCTCGAACGTTTGTTGACAGTGTCCGGACACGCGCTGATGGCGTCGAGGGTCGCGTCGATGGCGTATGAGCCGTCGCGAGGCTCGCACGAACACCTACCGGCACGCCGTCGAGGAGGCGCTGGAGAGAGACGCCACGCGCGCGCGGCACCAAGCGCCGTACGCAGGCCTACAACCTCGTCAAGGCGGGCCTCCTCGAAAAGCCGCTCGAGTTCGGCTTCGTGATGGGCGCGCCGAACGCGCAGGAGTGCACCTTGAGGCAGCTCGGCCATTTGCTGTCCATGCTCGAGCCGGGCGACACGTGGACGTCGGTCGGCGTCGGCAAGTTCGAGATGCCCCTCGCGTATGCCGCGATAGCCCATGGGGGGCATGTGAGGGTCGGTCTCGAGGACACGAACAAATTGCCGAACGGCGAGATTGCGACGAACTATGAACTCGTGGAGCACGTCGTGGAAATGGCCAAGAGTATGGGCCGCGAGATCGCGACGCCGGCGGAAGCGCGGGAGATCCTGCAGATGGATCCTGGGCACATTGATCGGATCAACGCGCAGCTGGATCCGTCTGTCGATTTGTCGTCGCTGGTGTCGAACACGGCGCCCTACGAGGGGCTGGAGGCGATTCCGGGGTCCTTGGAAATGAAGCCGACGCCCGGGCACCCGGACTACCCCTCGGCGTAACTAGCTTTAGTACATTTAACACACATGCTACTCTACCCGCCTCGTCGATGGCGTGCAGGTGGCGCAGAAGCCAGGCGCCGCGCACCAGCCGCGGGCTCGCCATCGATGCGACCGACCGCGGGCTCGCCGCCGAGGTGATCGGAACACGCTACGATACGCGCTCGAAGACGCGTAGTACGTCCCCGGAGGAGCGCGCTATCCTCAAAGCGCCGTCGACGTATGTGTTGTCGAAGACGCCCGCCTCACCGGTTATGCCGGGGAGCGGCAGCGCCGCGATCGTCTGGGGCGCTTCGCCGACGCGCGTGCCGTCGACCTCGACGCCGTCGAGCGCCGCGAGAATACGCATTCCTTCAAGTGTCGCGGTGTGCCTCAGGACGAGCGAGCTTCGGGTATTGGGCGCGAGCAGCGTCCAGGCCGACCGCCACCCATCGTCGTCGCGACGTATCGTTATCACGTTGTCGAGGCGCAGTTCGCTGTTTTCGCGTCGGATGTCCTGGTAGACGTCCACGCGGCCCAGCGTCGGGTCCCGCCGCATCGCTCGGAGCAGGCCGGCGCCCCGCGCCTGCGTCGTCGCCAGCAGCTCCCACCGGCCGCAGAGCAGGTCGGCGTCGCGCGGCCATTCCATCGCTTCGACGGCGTCGACGCGGCGCTCCAGTGCGTAGGTGTCAGCTATCGACGTGATCCACGTCGGCGCGGCGCGCGCGTGCGCCAGTAGCGTGCGGACCGGGTCTGTGGCATCGGTACATACAAGCAGCAAGATGCCAAACTGGCACGTTTGCCGTCCCATCGTGGACGATTTCTACGCGTGGCACGGCCTGCTCTCAGGCTGGCGTCTGGGCTCTCAGCTGTCAAAATGCTCTGTAGGCCTTTGTCTTCACGCACACTTCATGAGCGCTAGCGCGGCTGCACGCATGAATCCAAGTTATGCGTGCAATCACGATACAGGCTCAGGCGGCACAGATTGGCTGGGTTAGCTTGAGCTCATGAGGTCTTGCTTGCTAGTGTCTCACAGCCGCTAGCTAGAACGCGACGGTTTCGCTCATCGAATCGGAAGAACGGTTGTTACGAAGCCGCGTTGCGCTCAAACAACGACTCCTGGCGCGGCTGGCAGACGCGATGCGTCGCGACGGCTAGGAAGGCGCAGAACGCCTCGATGCCCGCGAATCCCTCGCAGAACGGCGCCGTCAGCAGACGGTAGCCGACCGCGATCACGCCGGCGAGCGGAACCCGCGACGAAATGAGGACGTTCGCGTCGCTCATCCCGACGAAGGCACCCATGGTCACGGCCTGCGTCACGTCGTAGACCCACTCGCCCTTGGTGTTGAGGATGGCTAGGACTAGCAACGTGATGAGCAGCGCCGACATCGCGCCGGCCGTCGCGCTCGGGTGGCCCGTGGCGATCTTCGTCATACGTGTTAAAACGGCGGCCGCCACGGAGGAGGCCAGGTATCGTAACACCAGACCGATGCGGACCATGCTGTGCCAATGGTCTAACCCCGCCGAGAAGCGTTTCCAGGGCAAGATGCCCGCGGGGATCATTATAACGACGACCACAATGTTCGTCGCGATAAACGCGACCGTACCGTACCGTCCGCCGTTCCCCTCGGCGATCTTCCAGTGGCGCGCCGCCAGCCAGAGCGCCGAGGCGAAGATCGCCACGAGCGCCAGCCAGCCGAAGTCCGGAACGACCTCGGGATGGCGGTGCGACGACATGCCTGTGATCGCTCCGACGGTGGTGGCTTCTACCATGTTCGGCTGATAGAGCGACGCGAGGGTGACGGTGATTGCCCACGCGAGCTGCGGCTCCACCTTCGGCCCGAAGTGGGCGATCGAGTAGGAGAAATACGCCGAGAGGATGACTCCCAAGCATTCTATAACATAAGGCAGCATCTCCGCCCAGGTCTTCTTAATATCAAAAACCGAGTTCGGCGCGTCGAGGACGGACCGCTCGTTTTGCAAAGCGCGCGGATTCCACTCCTCGAGCCCGCACGGGTCCTTCTTTTGCATCCACGCCGGCCGGCGCAGCCAGAACCGCTTCTTCGGCTCGTCGCCGCCTGTGTGGAAATCAATCAGTGTGTCGGGTGCACCCGATAATTCTTCACTAAGTCTTTCTCGGCGATGACGTGGCCGCGCTGGCTCCGCCGAGCGGTGAGGAACCGGCATCGCCACGCCATCGAGCAGGTGTCGCGTCGATAGCGTGGAGGTCGACGCGGCGATTCACGAACCGCGCCGTAAATTTGATTTCTACACAGGTCGCCGCCGTGCTTCGCCTCGCCCTGGTCGGCAAAGGCGCGCCAGTCAATGCGCGTAAGATCACGGTGAATATCGCCCATATCCCGCGCCGAGCCCTCTCTTGTATTTCGTGTCGAGCCCTCGCGCATCGAGCCGCGGCCGTCGCCGATGTGGCGCGTCGACGCCTCGCGGGGCGTCTGGAACGCCACCGACGAGCGGCGGCGGTCGGGCGGCGGCGCCGTCTCGGTGCCGTCGCGCGCGAAGCCGAGCATAGCCAGCATGGTGGATAGGAAGAGCACCAAGATTGCTCGGTTACGGTGCCACCTAGGACTTCAAACTTCTCGGCCACCTGCTGTGGCTATACGACTATTCCTCAGACGCGTGCGCCACTCCCCATCAATTATCTACGGCCGTGGAGCGCCTACAAAGTACCGAGCCGAGCCGATCCTTTTCTCAACGGGAACCGACAACCCCTTCGAGCGAGGCGTGCCTGACAACAACGTGTAACAACCACAAGAATATTAGTCGATCAAATCCAGCAGCGCCCCGCGCGCGTCGACGCGCTCCACGGCGGCCGCCGCCCGACTGATCGTGAGGCGCGCCGGCCCTTCCGCGAAGTAGTCCGAAGACGCGCCCGCGCTGATGACGAGAGCCGTCAGCGCCCAGAGCGCGTGGAGCCGGTACTCGCGCCAGGCGTCCTCGTAGGACAGGCGCTGGCCTTTGGCAGCGAGGCGCCGCAAGTATGCTTCGACGTAGGCCCGCTCGTTCCTCGCCAGGTCCGCGCTGTCGCACGACAAGATGAGATGATAGGCCACATCGCGCATGGGGTGCTCGGCCGCGACGCACTGCATGTCATAAAAGCCCGCGGACCCGTCCTTCTTGTGGAAGAAGACGTTTCCCAAATGGGCATCGCCGTGACATAGCACTAGCAGGCCGGAGGACCAGTGGGCCCGCACGGCGTCGTAGTGATCGAGGTAGAGCTGGTAGGTCGCGATCTGCGCGGACGTCAAATGTTACAGAATGTCACAGCGCCCCCACGCCATCGACGCGACAGGTAGACTTTCACGCCGGTCGCGACGACGTCGGCCGACAGCAGGTCCGGCCAGCGCTTCGTGATCGTGCGCAGCGTCGAGTCCGCGATCAATCGCAGGAACGGCGGCCGCGTCTCGTCCGTCCAGATTCCCCGCGGCGGCCAGCCCCAGCAGGACGCATGTAACGTAGCGAGCGCCTCAAGCACGGCCTCGACCGTCTTGTCGGCGTGCGGCGTGTCGATAACTGGAAACGTCACGCCTCGCGCGCCGACGTCCTCCAGGCACAGCACGAAGCGGCCCCGCCTCATCTCCGCCGCATAGGCCTTCGCAAATAAATGTGAAGGCGCCTTGATGCGCGTGTTGTAGAACCGGACTTCGTTCGCGTAGACTCCAAAAATGTCAAGAAAGAGCGACTCGAAGAGCGTCGCGGCGGGCAGCTTGCAGAAGAGGCGCGTCCCGTTGACGACAAGCCAGCACCTACTCGTGCCGGCGCCGCCCGCTCCTAGCTCATTGGCGTCGCTGAGTTGTTGCCTTTGGCTGTCGCCGAGTGATACCGTTTTGACTGTCGTACCGAGCAGTTGTGCTAGCGTGTTTGGTCGCATGAGTTCGACACGTGTCATGTTTGGTCGCATGAGTTCGGCACGTGTCAGAGGGATGCGCCGCTCGCTGGCGTAGAGGCAGCGCAGCACGCGGTCGTAGACGCGCTGCAGTAATGCTTGTGCGATGGCACAGGTGAGCCAGAGGGCTTCTTTTGCGTAGGTTTTGAGGAGCTGTGCGGACGGCATCGCTTCGTATGCAGGTTGTGGGAAGTGGTGCTTGTGGTGCTTGCCTTATGCTGCAGCGATGCAGCGAAGGTGTCGGCAAAGCCTTCGCGAAGGTTGACAGAGCAGTTCTGTGAGTGTTATTGTCACGCACGACTCGTGTACACAATAGACTAGGACGTGGGTTTGCCGGCATTCCTAGTGTCTTACATACCGCTAGCGCGCTCCGGCTTTGCTCCGTTTTGTCCTCGTGCTCGCCAGCGGAGCACCTGCCGCGAGCTCGACTGGCGCGGGGCGCCCCTCGCACGCAGCGGCTCCCTGAGATTTCAAGCGCGCGCGATCACACGCCGTTTTGAGGCGGTTACGGCAGCACTGCGCCCGAGGATGGCGTCGTCGTCCTATTTCGACGAGCAGGAGCCGAGTGAACCCTTCCACTGCACGATCTGCATGACCGAGCTCCCGCGCTGGCCCGCCGACGCGTGCATTTTGCAGCCCTGCGGCCACCACTTCCATTTAGAATGTGCGACGCGCTGGATGGACCGCGAGTCGTCGTGCCCGAACTGTAAACGGGAAGTGACGACCATCGCGAAGAGTGGAAGGTCTAAGAGGAGGCGGTCGGAGATTGCCGTCGAGCCGAAGAGGCAGTCCGTCGCCGAGCAGGACCTGGAGCTGCCCGACGCGGAGACGCAGCTCGATTCGATGCCGTCGGAAGGGTACCAGCGGGACGGTTTTGTGGTCGGCGACGATGATATTGAGTTCTACTCGTCGGAGGAGGAGCGGGCGCGCGTGGTACGACCTAGAAGAGGCCGCGCGGCGGCGGCGCGGGCCAACGCGTTAATAGAGGAGGAGCAGATGAGAGCCGAGGCGTTGCTGCGGCGGTCGGGCCGGCTCGGGCGGCTCCGGCGCCACGCGCAGGCTGATTCGCAGCCGCCCAGCGACTCCAGTAGTGATGATGAGGCGGAGATCGCGGTGCCGCTGCCTCCCTTATCACGCGGGCGGCTGCGGCGGAACATTCAGCCCGAGTCGCAGTCGCAGGAGCCGGCGGCGCCCGAATCGTCGCCGGACGACGACGACTGGGACGAGTCGCAGGGCGAGGCTGAGGCGCCGCCGCAGTCGCAGTCGCAGGAGGAGTCGTGGGACGAGGAGGAGGACGAGGCCGCGGCGTCGCCGGCGCCGCGGTCGCCGTCGCCCGAGCCGTCGCCCGAGCCGTCGCCGTCACCGCCGCCGCGACGACGCCGCCGCGCCAACAACAACGCGCCAGCGCCGTCGCCGCCGACGCAACCCGCGCCTGTCGACGAGGAGTCGCCGACGCCGTGGATGCGTGTGCGCCGGCCGCCGCGACCACGACGCGCCGTCACGCAGTCGCAGACCCCGGCCTCACCTGCGTCGCCGAAGCCACGGTTCGGGCAGTACGTCTATGTGCCGAGTCCGGAGGTTTAGTAGTAATACCGTCATGTAGTGCCGAAGCCTCGGTTCGGGCAGTACGTCTATGTGCCGCGTCCGGAGAGGTTTGCTAGTGTCTTACAACGCTAGTTATCTGGCTTAGTCGGCCCAACCTGAAATCGCACGCTCCGAGTCGCACAGCTACTTCAGAACTCGCCACGACCGCCCAGTGTACCCTCAGACCGCACTGACCGGAAGTCGTAATGGCGCGACGCGAATATTCCGCCGGTTTAACGCTCTCTGCAGCGCCGGGCCGAAAGATGGCACTCGCGGCGACAGCGCGTCCCCGCGAGAGCTGGCCGCCAGCGCGGTCGTCGGCGCGGCCTCGGGGCGGCGCTCGCGCTAACTATCGCGCGTGAAAGGCGCATCGCGGGGATTCGCTCGAGTCGACGTTCGCCGCACAGGCACTCACCACACTTGAGCTCACCGTAGAGCTCCTCATTCCCACGCTCACCACCACCATCACCACCACCACAACAACAATGTCTCCTTCCAAGCTCCTCATTGCCCTCCTCGCCACTACGACAACGGCCTACCAAGCGGGACCTGGCGCCGTCTTAAATTACTTTCCTGTCCGCCGCTCCGCGGAGCCCCTGCCGCCCGGCGTCGTCGCACCGCCCAAGGCCCTCCGCGGCCAAGCTCCGCGCAAGCTCATGCAGGCGACGTCCAGCCCGGGACTCCTCGGCGAGCACGACATGGAGTGCACCGACGCGGGAACGTACGCGTCGATTGTGTGTCATTACTGCATCGACGTGCCCAAATTAGTCTGCGAGTCGATCTGCGCGTCGGGCCTCGACCAGACACCTTCCAACTGCAACTGGTCGCCCTGGTGGGCCTGGCACGGCATCTCGGGGGGCGGCGAGGGCTGGTGCTGCGGCGGCTACTGAACACATCCACGCATCCCTCCCCGCGTAAAACAATCCCACAAATAGAATAAGCGGACTTAGTCGTACGACAGGCGCCGCAGGCAGTTCGCCAGCATGCGCAGCCCGTGCCGCGGGTTCGTCAGGATCGACTCCGGGTGGAACTGGACGGCGGCGATCGGTAGCGTTTTGTGTTCAACGCCCATGACCACGCTCCCTTCTCCTCCACTTTCTGTGGTCGCCACCACCTCTAGCTCATCAGGCACGTCGACGCCGTGCAGCGAGTGGTAGCGAGCCACATCAAATTCGTCGGGCAGCCCCTCGAAGACCGTCGAGCCACTCTTCTGTGAAACTTGGGCCGGCTTGCCGTGAACTGGGACATTGAGCTGGCCCAAGGTACCACCAAAGTGCTCGACGATGCCTTGTAGTCCTAAACAAACCCCAAAGACCGGCGTTCTTGAAGCGCTACATGCATCTAACGTCCCCGAGACGTCAAAATCAGAAGGACACCCGGGACCCGGCGACAACACGACTAACGCCCAGGGGCCGTCCTCTTTAATTGCGTTGAGAGCCGCAGGCCCACACCGCGAGACCTCGACATCAGCACCGGTCTGCCGCAGGTAATTCGCCAAAGTGTGAACAAATGAGTCCTCGTGATCGACCAACAGAACTCGCTTGCCAATTCCCGCTTCTTCGGGATCAAAGCCCTCCACGACAGGTTCAACTGGAGCAGGACTCTCACCGGCCGCCGTCGATCGCAGCGCGCCGAGCATCGCGCTCGCCTTGAGCTCGGTTTCTGCTTCCTCCGCTACTGGATCGGAATCGTAGAGCAAAGTGGCACCGGCTCGCACGGACGCGACGCCGTCGGCGTAGTGGATCGTTCTTAGGGTCAGGCCCGTGTTTAAACTCCCATCAAAGGCGACGTGGCCGACGGCGCCGCCGTACCAGGCTCGCGCGGACCGCTCGTGCTTCTCGATGAAGCGCGCGGCCCAGGCCTTCGGCGCGCCCGTCACGGTCACGGCCCACGTGTGGCACAGAAAGGCATCTAGCGCGTCGAAGCCCTCCCTCAAATACCCTTCCACATGATCGACGGTGTGGATGAGTTTCGAGTACATCTCTATTTGTCTGCGACCAATAACTTTGACCGAGCCAGGAGCGCAAATCCGCGACTTGTCGTTCCTGTCCACATCGGTGCACATCGTGAGCTCCGACTCGTCTTTTTTGGAGCCTAGTAACGTGCGGACTTGCACCGCGTCCTCCAACGCATCAGCGCCGCGCTCAATCGTGCCCGATATCGGACAGGTCTCGACCCTCATTTTACCTTCAATCCTTTCGACGCGCACGAACATCTCCGGGGAGGCGCCGACGAGGTACTCGCCCTTGCCATAGCCACTGATCCACGGCACTGACGAGTCGTCTTCGCCCCGTAAGTTCATCAGAAACCCGTAGGGCGACGGGTTGCGCTTTCGCAGTGTTCGGAACACAGCAGAAGGCTTCGCTTCTGCGGGAACGGACCACTGCTGCGACAGGACCACTTCAAACAAATTCCCACATGCGAATTCTTGCTTCGATCTTTCGGTGAGAGAAGCGTAGCCCCCCGGCTCGACGTCGCGATCTTGGACAGGCGTGCCCTCCTCATGTTTACGAGTCGTGCCGCTCCGAGCCATATCCACGGTAGACACCGTCTCTTCCTCCCCGGCCACGCACCACGTAAAGTCGTACTGTATCGTCCAGGCCTGCTGCTCCCGCGTGTCCACCACTAAAATCTCGTCGGGGATAAATAAGGCCACGTCCCGCTGCTGCTCCTTTCTGGACAGGGAAGGATTAATAGGTTCGAACTGGAACATCAGGTCATATCCGAGGGCGCCATATAACCCCAGCTGCGGGTCGTCGGGGTGGTAGAGCGTCTGGACGACGTTGCGGACCACAGACATCAGAGAAGGTTCCTTTGATCTTTCTTCTTCCCTCCTTATCTGGGAAGGGTCGCTGTCACGAATTCTCCCGACTAGTCGCGCGTAGTTGTCCTCCTCCTCGAGGGAAGCCACAGCATCGTCATCTCTCAGGTGCCCCTCGAGCATCTGCAGGATTTTTCTCCCTCGATCATTCAATGCTGATAATGCGAAATCGCGAGCTCTGCCAGACAGCAGGACGGGCGGGTCACTAAACCCGACGGTCCACCTCGCATATCTACCAGGAAATTCGTAGGACGAGTGCATCAGCACGCCTCTCCGGTCGTCCAAGGCATCAACTAATGCCTCAGTGGCTCCATGAGCGTCCTCGACCGTGAACGACTGGCGCGTCACTCCGACGCCGCCCGCGGTCACGTAGGTCCCGTTCGGCGGCTGGAAGCGCGGCGCGCCGAGGCTCAGGACGGACTCCAAGGGGTTCTTCGGGTACTGGATCGTGCTATATTGTTGAGTGGGGCCTCGCACGTGTTTGGTGGGCGGCGCGAAGCCGACGACGCAGACGCATGCTGCTAGCAGCTGTGCGGCGCTCATCCCTGCAGCACGACGACGACGCGTAGACAGCGAACGTAGGCGCGGCTCTCTGGCGGGCCTTCGCTGGCGAGACGGCGCCAACAGCGGCGGAGTGCAGTCGCGGCGAGCAGCAATGCAGTCCACGCTGCGGTGCAACCAGCCGACGGTGTTCAGGCCCTGGCTACACCGCTCGCTCGCGCAGCTTGTGACGGTGAGAACTGGTCGATTGGCACCTGCAGCGCCCAGCTTCGCTCGCAAGTGCTACGGCAAACACGATTAGCTAGCGTGCAGTAAGGCACTTAGGAACAAGGCTGCCCACGCGTAAAGCCAAGTAACGCTGCCCAACATCAATAATCATTAAAAAACAATCGCAATGCATCGATAACTCATGGCTGCGGCCCAGCATAAGCCGGGCGCCGGCACTTCGTGTATCTGCTGCGCGCTGCTGGTCGTGGGCCTGCTCTGCGCGCTCCAAGAACCGCCGCCGCCGCCGACGCCGACACGGTCGCCGCGGCCGCCACGGCCGCTGCGGACCTTCGACGACGTGAAGCTCGACTCGGTCGAGGAGGTCCATGCGCCGCCTCCCAAGACACCGTTGGAAGCACCGACCACGAGCCAAGCGCCGGCGCCGCGCATGACGCGCCGCCCGCCGGGGCTGCCGAACCGCACGAAGGTCGCCTTGCTCCAGCAAGCGCGAAGCAAGCAGACGAATGGAGCCGTGACGCTGGTGGTCGCCGGCCAGGCGCACCTCGAGTTACTGATGAATTGGTTAGTGGCCTACGAGCGGCACAGCAGCAACTGGGTCGTCGGCTGTTTGGATTCAATGATTGCAGAGGTCCTGCGCCAGAAAGGCGTCGACTGCGTTCTGGTACCGAACCAGGGCGGCCCCCTGATGCCCGGTTTGAGGTTGCGGGAGATGGCGCGCCGCCGGGGAGGTGATATGAGGCCGCGCGCGTCCGTCTGGGAGTCGCGCATGCGCCTGGTCCTCTGTTTGTTGCGGGCGTCCTATAATGTTACGATTGCGGACACCGATGCCGTGTTTCTTAGTGATGCGTCGCCGTGGCTCTCAGGATATGATCTGGTCGCGTCGCGGGGCAACTTCCCGGAATGGACCGCGGAGCGCTGGGGCGCCTCGTTGTGCCTGGGCCTCGCGCGGTTCAACCCGGGCGCGCACGTCGCAGCCCTGACGAAGCATCTCGTGGAACGGACGCAATCCCTTAGAGACGACCAGCGCGCCGTGAACCACGTCCTCCACGAGGCCGACATAGCCTGGGCGCCGGAGACGTCGAACGGAAAGCTGCTCTTCGCGACGTCAACAACGACGGCGACCGGCGTTACGCGTCTCGTGAAGGTCGGTCTCTTGCCTCACGTGAAGTTTGTTAGAGACTGCTCTCACGGGACGCGCGGCGCGGTCGTCGTGCACTGCGTCTCGCGTTCTGTGGACGCCAAGCACGACGCGCTGGAAAAGGCGGGCGCGTGGGTTCTGCGCGACGACTGGCGCGACGTCGCCGATTTGAGGCATATGGGAGTCACGTAGTTATATACTTAGGACATCTCACCACCTCCTAGCAGGGAGGGCACTTGAGGTCCGGCCCAATATGGTCGGCCTTGAGCTTGCCGCACTTGCAGGACCCGAAGACGGCAGCCATGATGTCGATCTTGAAGGTCCCGGCCTCGCCGTCGCCGGGGCCGGCGCGTTTCTTGAACTTGAGCTTCGTCGCCGGCGCCCTGCGTAGTGAACGTGTGAGGGTGTGTTCGTGGCCCAGACGCCATCGACGCGCCGCGCGTGGAAGGGACAGGACACCGGGATCAAACTGGGCCACGACAGGAGCCTGGCGCACGGGCGCCGACGCCGCGACGGGCGCCGGCGTGTTGTCGGTCAGGTCGGACACCTCCGAGCGCACCTCAGCAGACGCGGGCTCCGGCTCGGGCTGAGGCGCCGGCGCCGCCGCCACGATCGAGTCCGGGTCGCCATCCCAGGCTTCGAATTCGCTGGAAGGCTCCGGCTCCGGTTCTGGCTCTCTTGCAGAGGGCACGGCCAGCATGCGCGGCACCGGCGGAGGCTTGGGAGGCTTGGGGGCCGGGGCCTCCGGCGCCTCCACATAAGCCATCAACTGCGGCACTTCCTGGGCCGCCTTCCACTCGTCGGCGACGTCGGCACAATAGACCAATAACTCCGCGTTCGTCTCGCCGGAAGCATGGGCCTGCTTGTACTCCGTCCACGTCGACGGGCCCCGCTGCTCGCCGTCGGTATGCTGCCAGTAGAACTCGCCCTCCAGTACCTCTTGCGGCACGGTAATGGCCTTCTTCATGGGCGGCGGCGCGGCCTTCTTCTTCGGAATCGGGGGCGGCGCCTGCACGACAGGCGCCGCGGCCGCGCGCGGCTGCACGACGGGCGCCGCGACGCGCGCCTGGGGCTTGACCGGCGCCGCGCGCGGCACGGGAACCGGAGCAGTCTGCCGACGCGTCTTCGCCGTCCTTCTAGTGGGTATAATAGCCCCGGCGGCCCGCGCGCGCGCCTCGCGTTCCGCCTGCTTTCGAGCTTTTTTCTCCCTTAGTAAGCGGCGCCGCTCCTCCTGGCGCGCGGCGTCTCTTTGAGCGTCGCGTTCTTTCCTCAACTCCCTTTCGGCAGCTCTCCTTCGGTCGCGCTCGGCTCGTCTCGCGTCGGCCCGATCACGGCGCGCCTGGGCCTGTTGATCTGAGACGCCATCGGGAGCGTTCAATACGAGTGCATCACCTTCTACCATTGTAGAAGGTGGCATATGCTCGACGCCGCCCGGAGCCCCGAATTTCAACAAAGCCCCAGGCGTCCGCGACAGTTGCGCAGCTTTCCGGAGAGGCACGTCGTCCCGAGCTACTAAGCGAGTAGAAGAGTTCTCCCTCAGGATGACCCCGGCGAGCTCCGACCGCCTTTCGCAGTAGAATACAAGGTCTTCAAGAGGATCGGTGGGTTCCAGCCCGTACAAATCATCTCGCACGCGCTCGGGCGTGAACCACCCGTCATCGGGAAAGGTCTGGCGCTGTTCGCACGCTTCCGCACTGTAGATCTTACCGGACGCTCGACAATGATGTCTTCTCGCCCCAAAGACCCCAAATTTTTTACCGGTCACAGGACATTCCTTGACGTCCTTGTTCGCCTCCCAGTGTCCACTTGTAATCAATGCCTTCGTCACGGCCTTCGGTACTTGCGTTATGGGTCCGGTCCCTATAACTAGTATGCCGTCGGCCTTGGTCGAGACTAACAAAGCATCTATCTGATCCAGTCGTACGCGTCGCTTCAGCACATAGCGTCGCATGGAAGCCGGACCCTGGTCCTGCAGGACGTAGAGCCAGTCGCGCGTCACTCCCACCAATCGCTTCTCGAAGACGGCCTCCTTACCTTTCTCACCACCAGACACTAATTGGGCCACGGTCTGCTCGTCACTAAAAACAATTCTAGAGGTATCCTTGGCGCGCTTCTTGGCATCTAACAGACCCTTCCTCGCGTCATCGCTTTGTAAGTACTCGCCCTCGTACGGTCGGTCGACGGAAGACGCCCTTCTACGCTTCCCGATAGCTGAAAACCGTCGAGCGACGTCCCGCGATAACAGAACTGATTCTCTCAAATCAGTAGATCGCCGACCGGCCTTGGCGATCTTGGCCGCGTACGAAGCGAATTTCTCGTCGCGAACTTTTTCTAGCTGAGCGTAGACCTCGGGCTGCTTGACGAAGAGCTTGTGGCGGCCGAACTGCGTCTCGCTGCCGTCCGCCAAGCTGCTGAGAACGCCGCCGAGCTTCGAGGCCGCCTTCACGATTTCTCGGGCGCCATTTGCATCAGTGCCGGTCCATTCTCGAGGATACGTCGCTCTGCTCAGAGTCTTGAACCTCTCCAGGAAGCGATGATATTCGGTGCGATACGCGAAGCCCGCCCGTCGCACTCGCACGTTCTCCGGCAGTCCTAGATACTTACATTGGTGCGACACGCGCTCGTCGTCGCAGAACAAAGCTCGCTTCTCGTCGTTCGTTTTCACGCACCTCACGTAGTGGGGCTCGCACTGCATCAGGGCCGCCACGAGCTCCGAACACTGGTCCCGGATCTTCCGACCCGCGGTCGGGCCACTCCCGCCCCTTTTCCCGGGTCTTGACTGCCGCTCGTTTCGCTCCCGCTGGTCCTCGGCGTACAACGCCGTCAGCGAGCTATCGGAAGACGACACGAGGATCTCGAACAAGTCATTCCGCAGTTCGTCGCGATTCGACTCGGCGAAGCCGTGCGTGTCGTACGAGACGTCCCCCGCATAATGCTGCACGACGAAGCCCGTTTTCGAGGGTCGGAAATGCCGGTGTTGTTGCTGGGAAGCGGCCACATCAGATCTGAATGTGGCATCAATTTGAGGACCAGGTCTGGAGTGCATGCGCTTGCAGCAGTCGTCCAGAACAAGTAGGATACCGGGAGGCCGTTTCGCCTCAATGAGTTCACAAACGACTTTGTTGTTGAAGTATTTCACTTCTTTCCACTCGATGCCCTCGCGCACGTATTCCTCCTGCTCCGCTTTCAGAGTTAGTGCGATGAAGATCTGCTGCAGTTTTTCGTTGACGAAATTTATGGACAGCTGCTCAAACCCATTACGGTCGAAAATCTCGAAGCCGTAGATGTCCAGGACGCCGATCGACAGCAGCTCCTCGTCGTCCTCGCCCTGCACGCCTGGATCTAATGCTACATTGACCTGCGTGCGATCGTGACGACGCCATCGACGCGTTCATAGAGATACGCTGGGCCCGCGCCTGCTCGACGAGCTCGTCAAATAGTTTGGAATAAATGGACTTGACGAGCGCGTCGCGCGCGAGCGACGCCTGCGTCGGGTTCAGGGGCACCTGGTACGTCTCCGTCTTGCCGCCGGGCGCCATGGTCTCCAGCGTTCGGGACGCTAGCGCGTCTTTCAGAGCTGTCGGATCGAGGTGGAGCAGGGAGCAGGCCGCCTCGAGCGGCGCGGACTCTCGGATTTGGGAGCCTTCCGCGTCGCCCACCGCTAGTGGACTGAAAGATAGTAATCCCAGAGCTAAGCAAGCTGCCACTACTCGTAGAGACAGGTCCGCCGTCGCGTCGTCGAGGCCGACGTCGGCCATGGCCTTGGCGGTGTCGTTAAATTCCTTCTGATCGTCGATGCCTTGTACGGACGTACACGACGCTAATGAGGGATACGCTTCTGCTGAATCTAACAAGCACAACCGTGACCGTTCATCGGTAGGCGCGCCCTGGACTAATTGATAGAACACGTGGAAATTTCTTTCGCCTTGGCCGGGTTTCACGGTCCGCGACTTCTCGAGCAGGTAGTTCGTCACGACGCCGCCCTTCGGCGTGCCGAAGCGGTCGAAGAGCAGCTCGAAGTACTTGCCGAAACCTGTGTGGAAATCAACCAGTGTGTCGGGTGCATTTCTCGGCGATGACGCGGCCGTCCTGGCTCGGTCGAGCGGTGAGGAACCGGCACCGCCACGCCATCGAGCAGGCGTCGCGTCGATTCAGCACGAACAAAATTTGATTTCCACACAGGTCGAAGCGTGAGGAATTATTATTTCTCAACGTCTTCGCATTGCCAAAGGCCTCGAGCAGCGGGTTCGACTCGAGGAAGACCTTCTTGACCCTTTCTACTTCGGCACTGTTACCTTGAGAACAAAGAGCGAAGTAGCCCTGGATGTGCTTCGAGGCCTCCGTCTTGCCGGCGCCGCTCTCGCCGCTGATGATGACGCACTGGCTGTCCTCTTCTTCCGTCATGGCCCTGAAGGCGGCTTCGGCCACCGCAAACACGTGGGGGGGCACGTCTAGCCTCGACTGTCTCATGTACCGTTTGGCGTCTTCGGAGGAGTAGATTTGCAGCCACGTGAAGGGATTCGCCGCTACGAGGACGTTGCCTATATAAGTATAGATGCACTCGGCTTCTAACCGCTCTTTGAGGTTGTCTCTAATTCCTTGCGGCGTTGGTTTGGTGAGTAGCGTCATGTCGTCGAGGCCGGGCCGCTTCTTGTCGAGGCCGGAGCGCTTCGGCGGGGGGCGGGGCGCCATCCTGGTGAGTGGTGCGCGCCTCGCGTCGCGTCGGCGGCGCTTGCTTAGTGTTGCGCGGCACGTCGGCGGCGTTGCTTAGTGCTGTGCGGCGCTTCGGTGGCGTCGTTTAGCGCTGTGCGTCGCGTCGGCGGCGTTAGCTTAGCGCTGCGCGTGGTGGGCCCCTCAAGGCTCGTGGAAATAGTTTCACGTGGACTGAAAGGCGAGGAGCGCTGGCTCTGCCAGCAGTAGTTTGCAGCGCAGGCGTGCCGTGTCCACGGCTGGATGCGTACTGCAGTGTTCGCAACGCAGCTGTACGCCGTGAGGAGACTGCCCGGCGCCGAGTTATGTGAAGACAGCTAGCGCCAGTAAGATACTAGCAAGCCGGGACGGGGACCCGCGTAACTAGCCTGAGCCTGAGCCGCGATAGCCCCCGACACAGTATGCGTTATAAAGACGCGGCACGCGCCCGCCGCCGACGAATCGCGGCGTCTCCCGCCCAAACTAGTCTCAGCACCGTCACAGAATTACCACGTCGGCGCGTCCAACTCTACACCTCCTTGATGGTAACCGCGCGGGCGACGTCGGAGAGAACTACTAGACTTAAGCACGCTCCTCACGTCAGACTAAACGGGATCGCGTCATCAAAGGGAATCGGCTCGCCGCCCCAGTCGCCGACGAAGACCTGGAGCCGTGTCAGGGCCACCTCGCCCGCGCCACCTTCGAACATGGAGTTCCCACCGGACGGCATGCGCTGGTAGTACGGCCCGAGCTTGCAGCGCGCCCGCCTCGGACTCTTCGAGAAGAGGGGAATCGTCAAACCCTCGGGGCCGAAATACGGGCCCGTCTCCGGCTTGTCCACGACTCCCATACCAGCACCCCCAACTTTGGGCAGCTTGTCGAAGCCGCCATCACGTCTCCACGCGAACAGAAAGTTCGACAGGCCGGCGCGGTTCTCTCCTAATCCAACCCAGCCTTTGGAATTATATCCACCAAATTTCTGGCCGTCCGTCGAGGTGGCGAGGACCACACCGGGGCCTCGCCGGTCCACGGCGTCGTGGAACGCTTGCGGCGTCCAGCCGTCCTGGTTCGAGTCGTAGACCTCGTACATCGGGAGTTTCGCGAGCATCGTTTGTAATAAGACAGGTCTAACCCACGCCTTCAAATCAGCGTCATCACCAGCTACTGCTGGATTGGAATTACCAGACGTCTCCGCCGTGTACTGGTCGGGCTGCGTATCTACAGACATGCGCGTCAAACCCATGGGCGCATCTTCCACCTCCCCAAAAAAGAAGCCGAAGAGCTTCTCGGCGACGTCTCTGTCGTCTTTTTCTGGCTCTGGCGGTGGCGGGTTTTGCTTGCTCTCGTCGTTCTCGGAGACCACAAACTTGTCCATCATGTCGTCGAAGAAGCCATTCAGTTTTACGGTGCGCCGCGACGGCGTCGCGGGTGCGAGCAATGCCGCAGCTGTGCTGCAGAGCAGTGCAGGCAGCGCCAAGCGCATTTTTGCTGCGTGTGCTGAAAGAGGCACGTGCGATGATTGTGCAGATGCTCTACCACCACGTATAAGGACGCCTAGCAATAGAAATCGCTCGGTGAATCCAGCTTTGCTGCCTTTGATTAGCTAGCGGCCTGTAAGACACTAGCAAGCACAAATCTCCCCCAGTCCTTCCTCCTACACGTGCAAACGTCGGCGGACGACCGCTCGCCGAGCGTTCCCTTACGAGAGCGACACCTAGAGCCCTCACCTAGAGCCCTCACAAACAAGGCCACTGCATTGGAGCCGAGTTTGCGGCCAAACGGCTGCCCTTCAAGCCGCAAAACGCAGCAATGACCGCCCCAAAGACCGAGCCGACGTCAGCGGTCTACCGCCGCTGCGCCGCGGCCGTCGAGAAGGCCATCAATGCCATCCAGGAGAACCCAGCCCTCTACAGGGGCCGCACAGCAAGGAACAAGCTCGTCGAGCTCGCCGCCGCGGCGAAGCAACTCGATAGACTGCTCGACGGCAACGGGAGCGACGACGAGGATCATTTTGGGGAGGCCTTCGCCGCGGCGGGCCTCGACATGAAAGCCGCGGACGTCGACGCGCTCGCGGCCTGCGCGGCGGCGGCCGATTGCGACGGTGGGGACGGCGCCGACGAGGTCGCCGAGGACACGGCGCCCGAGGCGACGCCGGAGACCGGCAAGGCCAAGCGCGCCGCCCCGACGAAGACCCAGAAGAACCGCCGGAACCGCCTGAAGAAGAAGGAGAAGAAGCGGGCGGCGCGCGCCGCCGCGGAGGAGGCGGATCTCCCGCCCTGCCGCGAGATCGACACGCCGCCGGAGGTCCTCGCGGCTCTGGAGGCCGCCGACCGCGCGGCGACGCCCGAGCCCACCCTGCCCGCGGACCCGTCGCTGTTCAAGCCCACCGCGTCCGCGGACCCCGCGCCGTCCAAGCCCGGTGGCACGTCGTCCTGGGGTCGCGGCTTCCTCGCGATAGGTACAGTCGCGAAGACGGCGCCGCCGGACCTCGCGGCGAAGGAGAAGGCGCCGGACCTGCGCGACCCCTTCGCCTACATCGCGTCGACGTGCGACGACGACCTGACGGCGCCGGCGCTGCACGACGCGCCCTCGCCGAATTTCGACGGTCTGGTGATTGAGGAGGTGACGCGGGAGGAGCTCGAGGGCCTCGAGTTACTCGAGTCGACGCGATAAACCACGTAACAACAAAGTTCCTTACACGTCAATGGATGGCGCGCGGGTCCTGTTTCCCGGGGACGAACCGTGGCCACTCAGAGCAGAGGTGACCGAAGACTCGGTCTTGACGCGCGGCGGGCTGATGACTGTGGTATGCACGTCCACCGCAGATAAGAAGTGCTTCGACCGGTGGTTCCGAGCTAGTGCGGCTTGGAGAGGCGTCTGAGAGGTAGAACCTTCGGTCGAGCGCCCCCGGTCCATCGAAACACCACACCCGTCGGTCAGACAAGACATCGACGGGAACGGCGTCCGCGACCGCTGGCGAGGCAAAGCGTCGGCAACCGGTGGTCCTGAGGAACCGAGAAATAAGTTCTTGACCCGATCGACCACCGTCGGTTCCTCGCTCTGCGACTCTAAATCAGAAGAGGACACCTCGACGCCAAAGAGCAACTCCTCTTCATCACCAGACGACTGTTCCGGCGAACCTCGAGCGGGCAATTCGACGGACGACGCCCCGGCTAACTGGAGTAGCTCATCAGGACCCTCCGCGTGGAATAAGACTTCTCGTAGAACGGCTTCATAAGCAGCATGTCGAGAGGCAATATACGGATAGTCCTCCACGCAAGGGAGCCACCGCCGTTCGCACTCCGCGACCGTCCACGCTGCTCTGGTCTGGGGGGCGGCAAAGGAGCCTCTGTTGGCAAACCTTCGCGCGTGCGTCGCGAAGTCATTGTGACTTCGCCACGACCTCCTGCATCTGTCGCCGACCGACACCATGAGCAGGTATTCGGCTCGCCGCCATCCTGTCAAAGCGTTGCGCACGACCCTTATTGAGCCTAACGAACATCCTACTATCACGCCGTTCACTCTAGTGCGTCTATCGACGAACTCTCTACTAAACACTCGAGGGCACAACCGAGGCGTCAAAGCAGTTTCCAGAAAGGTCCAGGCATCCACCTTCCGCTTCTCAAAGGGCGTCACGCACCAGAGCTGCTGCGGCAGGCTGCGACCGGGCCGTCTTCGACGATGAGACGCATCTCGCGTCCGCGCCGGCCGCGGCCGATAACCACCCTCGTCATCAGACGACGACGACGGCGCCGGCGCGGGCGCGGGCGACGCCTGGCGCCGCGGCTGCCTTTCCGACGACGGCGGCCCGACGCGCACGTCATCTCCAGTCGTAAAATAGCACCTTCGGCGGCCTTGCGTCTCGGAAGCTCCCGCGCGCATCCAGGCCGCGACACCCATCTCGCACGAATCATAAAGCCAGGAGTTCAGTTCTGCTAAACCAGCTGTACTCGATGAGGTACTCGTGCCTCTCGTCGCGGCCGTGTCGCTCGAGTTGCCCTGGTCGTCGGATGAAGAAGAGCTCATTTGTGGTGAATCGTCATCACTTTCATCGGGTGAGGCGTGCCAGCCCCAGTCGTCGCTCGGGACGCGCTCCACGGGCGCTGCCATGGCGCTCGTCGTCGGCGCGGAGCCGCGCGTCACCCCTAGTCGACGCGACGCTTCGCGTGCGCCCTCCTGGAGGGGTTTCGCAGCTCCGAGGCCGCCTGGAGACGCGCGGCGGCTGTTGCTCGCGCTAAACGAGGACCTCCCTCAGCTCGACGTCACACCCTATCTCCAAACGAACGCGTCTTTCGTCGCTCGTACTTAGGGTGCAGCTTGAAGACCTAAATCAAGCTACAACAAGCCTGCATTTTTCCAGATTGCTGCAGGTGTAATGGCAAGCGCACCGGCAGTGCGTTCAGATGTGTCGAGCTGTGCTTGCGTCGATGGGGGGTCGACATTTTCGAGCTACGCGAGAGTTAAATGTCCAGGAAGACGCGTCGCGAGGTGGTTGAGCTGGGCCCCGCTTGGACCGGTCCGATTTAAGCGCATTAACCAACCACAGAGGACAAATTTGCTGCACAACCATCACCCTGGGACGCCTAGCGCTCTCCTCGCGGCCTGAGCGTGTCCCCGCCTTCCTCTAGAGCACAGATCGTGCGGCCAAGCTAGAGCTATAGAGGCACTAGCAAGCTGGGGGGGCGGGGCGCATAAGCTCTACACGGCGCGCGCGGCGTCTCGCTGCAAGTGAAGGCGTCTCATTCACGCTATCGAAGCGACCCATCGCCGCCAGCCAAAATTCGACTGAGAACGGCTCCTACAACAAACAGAGCCTCTCTGCGCAGAGCAGCCAGCAAACATGGCCGCCGCCAAGCCAGCCGACGATAGCGACCTCCTCTACCGCTTCCGCGCCGCCCACAAGAAGCGCGACGGCTGGTGTAGAATTACGGCAAGAGGCATCGAATGGCAATCCGATCGCGAAAACAAAGCGCTAGATGTGCCCTACGCTGAGCTCGCGAGCCACGAGGTGAGCCCCGAGGACCACCCGAAAGCACTGTTACGCTTGAGTCGCAGCGAGGGCAAGGCTCTGGTATTAACAATTCTGGAAGCGACACCGGATCGGGCCTATGCGACGTTGTGTGACGCGAAACTCGCGATCACCGCATGTATCAGAAGACGAAGACGTAGGGGAGAACAACAACCAGTACCGGAACGCAAGAAGCAGCCCACGGCGAAACGCGCGGAAGTCATGCGACGGGCGAAGTTACTACAAACGGACGAAGCCCTGCAGAAGCGCCACAAAGAACTTGTTCAGAGTGGCGCGGTCGACGAGGAGGCGTTCTGGGCCGCCGCGACGGGTCGACGAGCGCCGGCCGCCGAGAAAGTTATTAAAGCCCCATCCAATGAACTGCTCGTCGACGCGCCGCGCGAAGGCGAGTCGACGGGACGGACCGTCACTTTCTCCCTCTCGCCGGAGAAGATCGCCTTCGTGTTCTCGATGTATCCCGCGGTGCGCCGGGCGCACGCGGCGCACGTGCCCAAGGTTTGCTTCGGTGTCCGAACCGTTTCGTCGCGCGTCGACGGCGTTGCCCGTGTCGCGTCGATGGCGTTATGAGCTGTACACACCTACCCCGCTGGTGGGCCGTCGCCGCGACCCCACGACTCCTCACGCCATCGAGCAGCCGCAGAGGGCACACACCCACGCCGTCACCGCGCCAAGTCGCGCGTGGACGGCGTGGAGGCTGCCGGTCTCGCGGTCGCGTCGACGCCCGGCCGGAGCCGCGCGCGCGGACCGATCGAGCAGTACGCCATCGAGCAGCCGCAGAGGCGCGGACACACACGCGCCGTTGCCCCCCCCGCGTCGATGGCGTCCGCGCTGTACCAAACGCTCACGCCGCGACGCTCCCACGAACACACACCTACCCCGCCGGCGCGCCATCGACGCGACAGAACGGACACCAATCAAACAACGCAGGACATGTCCGAGGCCCAGTTTTGGGTCAAGTACTTCCAATCGAGATATTTTTGGCGCGACAAGGGGCGGGCGGTGCTCGAGAAGGGCCAGGCCAAGGCCGACGTTGCTGATGATTTATTTGCCCGACATGAAGAACCGGGCGACGACGCGTTGCAGGTCGCGCCCGAGGTGCGGAAGGCCGTGGATTTGTCGCGGACGGACGCGGATCGATTTATATCTTCTTCCCAAGAGGATGTTGTGGATCCCGCGGCGCCGGCTGCTACCAGGGTATTGCGGAAGTTTAATAGGCATGCGGCGTTAGTTCTTGGTGCTGACCCGCCGTCCATACCCTCTGATGAATTACCGGTCAAGAGTGACCACGTGGCGCTAGACTTGAAGCACCACGACTCCAAGAAGGCCTCCAAGAAGCGGAGTGTCGCCGCTGCTTTTGCGATTGAGGATGAGGACCTGGACCGACCTGTTGGTGTCCAGTGGTCTGAGGTCGACGTGGAGCAGGCGCTCACCAACAAAGCGGGCATCGACGCTCTCATATCGCTAGATAGGAACGTCGCGTCCGTCCAACCGCCGCCGCCCAAAAGCACTAAGGAGCAAGTCGAAAAAGTGGCCGGGGACGTCCGATTGTTAGTGCGGGCCTTGCGCTTCACTCAGGGCACGGCGAAGCGCCAAGCCATCCTGAAGAAGCTGCGGCAACTACAGGCGTTCATCGATCAAAGGGTGGCGGCTTTTACATCAAAACCGAAGCACGCGCATCTGGCCGCGTTCTTCAAGCCGGTGTCGGACCAGGTCGCGCGGGCGCTGCGCAAGTAACTAGGTGTGTGTCTTTCTTTGTTTGATGCGTGGGGTGTGTACTAAGAAGTTACTGCCTCTTTTTATAGATGTCCGCCGCGTTGTCCTTGATCTCCAGGAGGGGAACGGTCGGCGAGCAGTAGACCAGGTTCGCTTCAACAATATACGTGTGAAGCCACATGTAGAAGCGGTGCCGGTCCTGGTACAGCGTCTTCCAATCATGAAATCCCCCGGGACTCGCCGACGTGAGCCACATACCTAGGTAGTTAGCCTAGCTTTATGTTAATATGGTCTGGTATGGTATGGTAGTATATGTACTTGTATCACATACGGACAAATTTAGGCACCTTGACGCCGCCGCTCCTGGAACCGTACCCGTTTCGACGGCGTCGTCGTCGATCGCACAGGCGACGCGGTCCCGCCGATCACGGCCGACGACGCGCGCAGGCAGTCGTCCTCGATGTTGACGAATCGTTGTGCGGTCTCCAGGCCGCCCTCGCCCAAGAGAGCTTCCACGGACTTTGTTCGCCGCGCGTGCCAGACTCGGAGGCCTTTCTCTAATGCTTCCTGGGGCGTGTTTGTCCCATGGACCTCCCGCGGTACCACTAACGCTCGATCGACTGCCGACAACTCGACCGTCCGGCACGTCTGCACGACGTCCCGGAGCAGCTGCACGCACTCCGCGTGTTCTTGTGCTGGCGCAACCAGTAAGTAGTACAGGATCGAGGGCCGGTCCCGGGCGCTCACGAGCGAATGCAGCGCCGTCGATTTTTTCTCGTCCGCCAGGAACCTTTGTAAACGTACGAGGAACCCGAACACCACGGTCCGCTCTCGATCTTCGAGCATCGCGACGAAATCAATGATGCCCTTCTCCCGCGACCACTTCCGCCAGAACCGGGCACCCGGGGAGGCGCTGAACGACGACGTGAACGATGCATCAGAAATCAAGTACTCGATACGGCGTGCCACTTGCACATACCTCTCCAGGTCGTCGTTCGTTCTCTCTGGATCGTGGCACGCGAGGTAAAACGCTCTTGCGTTCAACGCGTCTGAGGCAGCTTGGAGCGCCCCAATGTCGCGCAGTACATCCGCGGGCAAGTCTTCGTAGTCGCCATCCGTCAGGACATCTCTCGCCGCGTGCCGGGCCCGGTTCTCCAGCCGTCGCTCGAAGCGGTCGACCTTTTGCGCCGCCGACTCGATGGCAGTCGCGAGATCGTCGTACGAGTTGTTCTTCTTCTTGGGCAGGAGCGGACCCGGCGGCTCGTGCTTGTCCCGGCGCTGCTCGATGTCCGTGGTATGGCGCTCGCGACACCGCTCCGCAAGGAAACGAGGGGTAGCTTTCCTTGATTGTCGGTCCACGTACTCCGCATAAGCCAAGGAGCAGGACGCCGTCAGCAGGACGCCGAGAATAACCAAGCCATCTACAGCCCGCACCGTCGCGTACCGCGAGTTGTCTTCGATGCCAAGGACGCCTAGCGCGCATGCTGCCACGGCCGCGTAGCAGCCGAGCGACTCGAGCGCATTGAGCCTCCACCCCAGGTATGGTCTAAAGGTATTTTGGCAGTAGGACGCGGCCGCCAGGATCAGGATCGATAAGCAGAGCTGGATCGCAGGGCCCTCGACTAACGCAGCCACTGCAACCAGCAGCAGCCACCGCAACCTCTTCACGTTGCGCCACGCGTGGCGACCCGGGCGCAGGTCCCGAAATGACCTGCGTCGGTGGCGTCTCGGTGGCGCCGCCTCGACGGCGTCTAATTCAAGGACACGGCGCGCGTCACCAGCCAAACAACGCCTGCACGTGCGGCGCGTGCACGCCGCCCCGCAGCTCGTATTCCCGGCGCACAGTGATCTCTAGGATGATCGGGACCGGGACCACGAACACGAGCAAGCAAATGACACCCAACACATAGTTCTGGACGCGGCATTTCTCCGAGGGCGAGGATGCCACGTACCCGTCGGCGTCGCACCGAAAGGCACAAAGCGCCTTGTACGCGAGCAACGGCCACTGCACATCCACCAAATGAAAGATCTTGCCCAACCTCGTAAACACCTCGGGGCCGAAGTCGCCCTTGTAGAAGTCTGTGATGCCAGGGCGGTATGTTGAATCTTTCCGCAACTGCGTCAGGATCCTCGCGCAGATCGGCGCGAAGACGACGACCGCGCCCACGACCACCACGCCGAGCTGCAAGAGCAATTGCCGCGCAAAGCCGAAGCTCGCCACGCACGTCGGCTTAAACAACCCCACGTCGAACAATGCGATATCTCCGAGCAGGGCCGCGAGGCGCGCCGGTGCTTGGAGGTTCCCCTGGCCGAAGTCCCGATCGTACGTGATTTTCCGCAGGAGCGCGACAGTCTGCACGGCGTGGAAGCATATTTGCAGGGACGGGTGCTTCGGGAGCACCAGCTGATTTAAGAGCACGAAGGCGAGCACTACGAGTAGTAAACCAGATGTCGCGACCAGGGCCCGTCCACCGTTACTCGACGGGCAGGCATACGGCCCGAAGCGCGACACCTCGTAGTAATCAGATGAGACGCGTGCGCACAGCCGGCCCGAGTAGCCCCGCGCGCACCGGAAGTTCGCGCGGCAGCGGTGCGGCACGCACTTGTGGAAATGCAGTTCATTCGGGTCGGCCCAGTAGTCGTCGAGATTCGCCACGGTGCCGTTGTCGCATATCGCGCCGGTGGGGCAGTGGCAGGTCGCCGCCGCGGTGCCGAGCAGCAGTGCTGCGCGCTTCAGCATTGTTTTGTGACTGATTGCGCGTCGACGGCGTGCCCCAGCTGTGTGGACTGCAGCACTAGACTGTTGCTGGTTTAATCGATGCACGACGGCGCGCCGACGGCCTGCTGGGAGCTATTCGCGTCTATGCCGCAGCCATCGGCAGCCCTGCGCGCCTAGACGGGTGCCGGGCAGCAATCAAATGGCATCGCAGGCTCCCATTCTCGCGCCGAGGCGCCGGCGAGCCGCAGGAAAATGCACCACGTCTCTCTTTCCACGTCTTCGTTGCAGGGGGCCTCAGGCGCAGAAACGTCGGAGCGATCCCGCGTTTTGCAAAACCCGAACAGCCTTAAGACATCGCGGGGGCGCACAGCTTATTAGGCAGCACACACGGCCCAGTTTTGCAACTGGTGCAGCAGGCTAGCCTTCTAGACTTAATACTGATCGCCGCCGCCGTAATTTTTGCAAGAACTAGGCGCGCCGGGCAAGCAGCAGGCCCGTAAACCAATTTTGCCTGAATTCGCAAAGCGCAGCAAAGATGCTCGTCCTCAACCAGAACACCCAGAGAGACACGGGCCGCAGCGCACAGCTCGCGAACATCGGCGCGGCCCAGGCGGTAGCGGGCATCGTACGATCCACCCTCGGCCCTCGAGCGATGCTCAAGATGCTCTTGGACCCCATGGGCGGCATCGTCATCACGAACGACGCCAACGCTATCTTGAGGGAGGTCGACGTGAGCCACCCGGCGGCCAAGCAGATGATTGAGTTGTCGAGAGCCCAAGACGAGGAGGTCGGGGACGGCACTACATCAGTGATAGTACTCACCGGAGAGATGCTCCAGGTCGCCGAACCGTTACTACAACGGAACATCCACCCGACGATGATCTGCCGAGGCTACGCGAGAGCCTTAGATGCGGCCTTAGGAGCCTTTGCCTCGATCAGCAAAACTGTCGACCTCAAGGACAACGACGCCCTCCTAGCACTCGTACAAAGTTGCATAGGCACCAAATTCAGCAGCAGGTGGGGCGACCGCGTCATCGAGATGGCGGTGCAGGCTACACTGAGAGTCGTGCAAGAACGAGGTAGCAGTACGGGAGAAGGTACCGTAAAAGAAGTAGACATAAAACGCTACGCGAAAGTGGAAAAGGTCCCCGGCGGCGAACCTGCTGATAGCCGTGTCTTACGAGGCGTCATGTTCAACAAGGACGTGACGCACCCGCGCATGCGGCGGAAGATCGTGAGACCTCGCGTTTTATTACTAGATTGTCCGTTAGAATACAAGAAGGGCGACTCGAACGCCAACGTCGAGATCACGAAGGAGGAGGACTGGAACACTCTCCTCAGAATCGAGGAGGAGTACATCGAGCACGTCTGCGCGCAGATTGTGGCAGCTCGGCCGGACGTGGTCATTACCGAGAAGGGTGTGAGTGACTTGGCGCAGCACTACCTCATGAAGGCGAACATCACGGCCTTCCGGCGGCTGCGGAAGACGGACAACAACCGCGTGGCTCGCGCGACGGGCGCGACGATCTGTTCTAGAACTGATGAAATCCAGGAGTCCGACGTCGGGACGCAGTGCGGGCTCTTCGAGGTGCGGAAGTTGGGCGATGAGTACTTCGCGTTTCTGGAGGAGTGCGACGACCCCAAGGCTTGTACCTTACTGTTGCGGGGTGGCTCCAAGGATGTTTTGATGGAGGTGGAACGGAACCTGCAGGACGCGATGCAGGTCATCCGCAACGTCGTGCTGGAGCCGCGGCTCTTGCCGGGCGGTGGGGCCGCGGAGATGGCTGTTTCCAGGGCGCTGCGTGCGGCGGCCGACGCGGCTACTGGGGTTGATTCTTACCCGCTGCGGGCGGTGGCGGACGCGATGGAGGTGATTCCCCGCATTTTAGCGACGAACTGCGGCGCCAAGGTCGTGCGCGTGCTCACCGAACTAAGAGCCAAGCAGCAGACCGAGGGCCCGACCTGGGGTATTGATGGGACGACGGGCAAGGTCGCCGACATGAACGCCAAGGACGGTCCTAGGATCTGGGAGCCGTACGCCGTCAAGGTACAGACTGTCAAGACCGCAATTGAAGCCGCGAGCCTCATCTTGCGCGTCGACGACATCGTCTCGGGCATCAAGGGCCAGAAGTAGTTTTTCCGACCACCCACGTATAATATTGCGTCTCTCGTTTTATTATTGCGTCGACGGCGTCGCCTCGCCGGCGTGCGTAACACGACGATATAGTACTTACGACAATCAAGCACAAAACTGGGAGGGGGGCGGGACGTGAGCCAGTGTTGGCGACGGTCGCGCCGGGGAAGGGACGAGAGGGCATAGACGTGAGCCGTTGAGGCGACGGTCCTGCCGGGGAAAAGGGGACGAGGGCGTAGAGCAATCGCTTGCTCATACGCGGGCACCGCGCAAGCGGCGGGACGGCTCGGCGCGCTTGACGAGGAACAGGCCCTCCTCGATGCTAGAGACGGCAAGCAGCCCCGACTTGAAATACGGATAGACCGACCAGGCGCCCGCGAAGTCGCTGCTGTCGTCGTCCGGATACGTGTCGAAGCGGCCCACTTCCTTAAAGTCGGCCGTGGCGTAGTCCTTGACGCGGAGTATTTGGAGGCCGGCGCGGTAGTTCGCTTCGTAGATGTAGTCGTCCTTTTTGTGCTTGGCGACGTAGAGGTTGTGGTCCGTGGCCGTCGTGCTGCCCATAAATTCAACAATTTGTCCGGGGTTCTCGAGGTCTTCGACGTTCATCACGAGCGTCCGGGTCTTGTCGACCCTGCCGTATTGTTCATCAAATTCGTCGCCGAAGACTAGGTACTTCTGGTCGGACGACAGCCATCCTTGGTGTGTGAAAGACACGGCATCGTAGTCCAACCTCTTGAGTATGACGATATCGGATTTGTCAGATACATCTAGGATGGCGACATGATCTTGGTTGAGGCAAAAGCAGATCTCGGCGCCTCGGTACCGCTTGTCCGGTCCCTCGTAGATCACACACTGCGCGTCGTGCACGGTCGAAGCGCCCGAGAAACAGGCCGCGAACTTCGGCTTCCGCGGGTTCGAGACGTCGACGGCATGGAGGCCCCCGACGCAGCCGTTGTTCGCCCCGAGGATGTATACGAAGTTGCTATCTTCGTTGACGGCGAGATTATGCGTCATTCCCACCGGGTACTCGTCCGTGCCGAAATAAGTCTCATCGGGGGTGAGTTCCTGCATGCCGTCTTTTTTAGGGTCGATGGTCAGCAGGCGCTTCAGATCAAAGATCTGCATACCGTGGTCCGGCGCGGCGTCGGCGACCATGTATGCATAGTCTCCTAACACCTTGACGTCATGCCAGATGCTGGACCTGTCGTCCGTCGAGGGCACGAATGCTAGGACCACAGGCGTAGAATCAGTGACCTCGACGAAGAAGTGGCCCTCCGAGACGCCCCAGATGACGAACTCGCGCTTTTTGTGGGTCCAGCCCCAGAGGTCGTTCGCCGCCGCCGGGGCCTCGCCAGTGTTGGTCGTGAACGCGCTGAGCGGGAGATGGGCGACGAGATCGACATTCTCGCACGGGAATCCCGCGGCGGTGCCGCCCGAGCACCGTGCGGGTCCTTGGGCGGAGGTCGACATCGCGGCGACATTGTTCTCGCGCTGTACTGACGAATGCGCGAGGCCGTAGAGCATGCCGCACTTGCAGCCACTCGTGCCGTGCGCCCGAGCATAGGCCTCGGCGGTCAACGACGTGGAGGTGGCATTTGGAAACGGGCCCCAGCCCGCCGCCTCGCAGCTCTCGTCGGTGTACTCTGTCTTCATTAGCTCGTAGAGTTTCGCCTCCTCGGCACCGGCGACGTGCGCGAGCACGCTTAGTAAGGCGAAAGCAAGATGAGGCATGATGATGACAATGATAGCAAACGTGCGCGACTTATTCAGGACAATGGTCGCTTAAAGGACTCGAGGTTGAATCTCTGTGGCGGTACGAACAGTCCAAATACGACGAATGAGGTTGCAGAGGCAAGTGGGCCTACGTAGGCCTGCCTATTTTCAGCTGCCAAAGAGCCTGCCGGGCGCACATCGGGTTCTCAAGCAGCCTAGACAAAATACCATATTACTCCTCCTCAGGCAGAGGACAAAACTCGGGAGTCGACGCTATAGCAGAAGCCAATCCCGAGGAAACGACCGGCGGCGCCCGCGCCGCGTACGTCACCAACCCAGCCGCAGCAACAGCTTCGCCGAGCGACCGGTCCAGGCCCGCGCGACACAACTCAATGAGTGTTTCGCAGGCGCGCCGCGAGACCACGTACGCCGACAGCGAAGGGACGGACGCGCGGACGACGCGGCCTTCGCCCTTCTCATCCACCCTATACCGCTCCGGAACGCACAGGTAGAGCAGATCATATTCTTCCGGAACCTCGCTCAGCAGCAGCGCCACGGCGTCGGCGAGGTCGGGAGGCGCCTCGACGCCGTCTTCTAGAACTAACAGATGATCTGTGGTACAGAGGCGCCACGCCTGACAGTGCGACGCCGCGCGCGCGACCTCGCCGCGCCGCGGCTTCAACAAGGCGAGACCCTCTTTCGAAGCGCGCGCGGCCCACGCGTCATAATCGATAGCGACGTCGGGGTGCTCGCGCAAATGCCTCTCCAAATCACCTTCGACCAGACCATCGACCGCCGGCTGCACAACAAGTCTAGGAAGAATAGCCGACAGCTGCTGGACGTTCGCCACGCGTCTTGATTCTCTGCGTAACGACAGGACGACGCCGCCGACGACGCCGTCCGCGCGTTTTACTGTTACTTTTTCTTTACCGGCCTTCAGGCTTCGCGCCAGCTCCTTGAGTGGGGCGACCTCACTGCCGGCGAGCCTTCCTTCCAGCACATCTAGGAGCTCCCCCTGAGACACGGCAGAAACACAACCAATTGTAGTTGGCGCCCTACACTCGCGCCCGGCCTTGACGCGCGCCCAGAAGCCGCCGCCCAGTTCCGCCGTCCGCTGCGCGACGAGGGCGTCCTCCTCCGCACGACTCTTCAGCACCACAATGGCCGACTCCGACGGCGGCAGCAGTTTGAGCGTCGCCGACGTTTCTAGTAATTTCGGCCCCGACTCCTCAAAAATCTCCCTAAGCCAGTCCCGCTTCTTGTACAAAGTGCGCCAGACCCTCAAGAGAGTTTTTTGCCTCCTCTCTAGAATAGCGACACGTTCCTCGCGCTTCATGAGCGGCGGCGCCCCGACGCCTCTAAATGAGTCCACATCCACACCTGACTTGCGCGCCCGCAGCACAACGTCCAGGTCGTCTCTTTCTAACTCGTCCACACATTCCGCTAACAATAAACCGGTCCTCAACAAAAACACGGGCACCAGCAGCGCCGCCTCCTTGCGAGTAGGTGGCTGATCGCAATGCTTGAAATACGCCCGCAGCGCCACGGGGAACGCTTGCGTACCGGCATCTAATCCACGCTTCGAGAAGTCCCAGACAAACAGGTGGTACAGGTCCCACAGTCTACAATGTTCGCGGCCGCCCTCGCAATTATCGACGCGCACCCTCCTTGTTTTAACGTGCTGGCGGCATGAGGATGGCGTGAAGTTTGCATGGACCCACTGCGGTGCCAGGTCCCTCAAGATGAGCGGGACGTTGGTTTCGACCTGTGTGGAAATCAAAATTTTACGGCGCGTTCTCGTCGCGTCGACCTGCACGCCATCGACGCGACGCCTGCTCGATGGCGTGGCGATGCCGTTCCCTCACCGCTCGACGGAGCCAGCGCGGCCACGTCATCGCCGAGAAATGACTTAGTGAAGAATCGTCGGTGCACCCGACGCACTGGTTGGTTTCCACACAGGTTTCGACGAGCTTCGCGTATTCCGCGCCGATATCAGACGCCGCGAGCTTGGCACAGGCAAAATCACAATCCTTCCGCAATTGTTCAGCGAAGGGCCGCGGCCGCAGCTCCATGGACGCGCACGCGATGGAATGGAGCGCGTACGTCCTCGCACAGCGATGCATTAAACCAAGGCACCGACCGACGACGGACGGGTCTCCCGAGGGCTTCCCGGCGAAGCGCGGCCGGCAGACCCACCGCCTCCCATACAACGCCGCGACGACCTTCGATTCCCGTCTGACGGGTACGAAGCCACCCACTAGTAAATCTTCGGGCAGGAACCCCTGCAACCGATTCCAGGCACTAGCTGAGCTTTCCGCGTATCTGCCATCATCCCCACAATCTTTGATCGTATGTATGTCAATCTTTTTTGTGGCAATGTGTTCACAAGCGCCTTCAGACGTGCCTTCATCCCTCAAAACGCGCCGACACGCATCCACAACGGACGCTTCCCTAGGCACGGCGAACAACTCGAGAACCCGCTGGGCCCGGTCTTGCACGTTCTTCTCGTGCCTTTCCCTTAGCTCTTCCCGCGTCGTCCGCGTCAATATGCGCGGCACATATTCTATGAGCGCCGTATTCGTTTTTGGCGTTCCAAAAAACTCTGGAGACGACGAAAACCGCACCCAGAGCGTCCGCTCGTGACCCAGGTCTTCCGATAATAATGAATCGAGGTCGAGCTGCGATCGCGACGCGTCGCCCCAGAGTGCAGCGTCGCGGCGCGCATGGGGTGCCGATGGCCTAGCGCGTTCATAGGCGTCGAAGAACGTGTCCAACAAACTCCGCAAGGACTTCCGGCCGAGCCACCTCGACGGGAGCGTGCATCGTAAGGCGAAGCGGTGCTCTTTGTCCGTCTCCTCGAGGCGGACGAAGACCTCGACGCCTTTTGGTTTTTTTGCCGTCGTGGCCATGTCTTTTGGGTCGCGCGGTTCGGGCGGCGCGGCGGTCATGCGTCTTTTTTGTGATCAAGCCAGCACAAAACGCTGTAGAACTTTTTATTGCGGGCGCCTCACCCGCTCCTGCTTGGCGCACAGCAAGAACTGATGGCGGAGGCTGTCCTCGCTGCGCCGCACGACAAATAACTGCTGTGACGGCCAGCTAGACGCCTCAAAACATGTCCACTGCGGAGAGCAAAACCCGAATTGATTGAGTGCAGATGCTGCGATTCTGTGGGTCGAAGCGAGTCTTCGCAACCTTACGTACGACCACCGCAGCCGTGGCTGGGAAACAGCAAAACCCGCGCACGAGGCAAAAAAATTCAGACAGAGCCCAAAGAGCTGCCCATCTCACGCCATCGTGCAAAGGCGATGGGCTCGAAGCGCCACCTGGCAGAACCCGGCCGAAGACGCCTAATTGTTAGACTGGTGCTGGGGCTGGCATTGATCTATGGCCTGAGGCAGCACCTCAGCCTGCGCACCGTCGCACACGAACGACTGGTCGCATTGCAGGCGATGAGTAGCACCACAACACCGCTGCAAACACCATCCACCAAGCATTTGTTCGAGCCGCGCGCCGCCCAGCCTCCCAAAGGACCATCAGCCGCGACGCGGCGCTTGATAGTCGCGGAGACGGACACGCTCGTCGCACGTTCCATGAAAGTAGCGTGGCCGCCATCGCAAGTCTACGATGGTGTCCTGTGGCGCCGGGCGCCGCGTTTAGCCCAGCCGCCTGTTGGGGTAGGAGATCGCAAGGACCCGCGCGCGGCCGTGAGGCGCCTCGACGTCTCGCAGATCGCCTTCCGGGCGTCGCGGAGACGCGTGCGCGACGCCGAGTTCTTCGGCAACGACCGGACGGCGGCGGCTTTTGTGACGAAAAGATTGGCAGAGATCATCGACAGTGGTGGCGCGCGGAAGAGCTGTTTGCTAGGCGACGACCGGACGAGGCAAATACAAACGTTGCAGAAGGCGTCTTCCCAGAGAGGCAATTCAAGAATCGCCATAGGTGTGGTCTCGTACGATCACTTGAGGGATTTTCCGGGGCTCGACAGCCTGAAGGCAATCTCATTATCAGCAGCAAGGGACGGGGGCTTCCCCGAGGGCTTATTTGCGTTCGCTTCCGTAGATGCGGCGACGCAAGCCGCGTTATGTGCGGTCGGATTGCCCTCGATAGCAACTTCTGATAAAGTCAACGACGAGGGACTGGCCATCATCACAAGAGCATTTAGGGACGCGTCGTTACGATCCGCCGCGAGGAATGGACGGAGGTTACGATCCGCCGACTTGACGGACGCCGACGCCTTCGAAGCTTTGTTGGAAGGTTCTACCCTGGAGGAAGTTCCCGAGGCCGAGACGGACGACATAAGTGAAGTCAAAACGGTAGAAGTGGCGAAGCCGTCCCTGGTGACGGGAGCGCCGCTCGATGCAGACGCCAAGTCTCAACACAGCGCGCGGTTCCAGGCGTGCGCGGATTTAGCGTTCGCTGGCGTCGACTGCGTGGCATTTGATGCTTCGAGTGTCTACTTCGCACCGTCTATTGACGGCAATTCCGCCCGCGAGGCTTTGCAGGGGGCGGTCGCGAGGAAGCCACCTAGGAAGCCGGCAAACCCCGAGATCCTGCACGCCGTTTTTCAGGATGAAATCAGAAAACCTTGTTTACCCTTTGTCGTCTCAAAGGCCACAAACTCCACGGCCTGGGCCCTGCATCGGTTGGCCGGGTTGGCTCGCATCGCCCCCACGCGGGAGCATCTCCAAAGAGCCGTCGCCGCGACGCTAGGGCTTGGTTCTTCAGACAGGGGACGATTGGAGGGTGATGAAGTGGTGTGTGGCGCTAGGCCCCACTTCGGCGGCGTAAATGTTCAGTCGGAGAGACTCGCGGCCGTCGTACTAAATGAAGTACCATCTAAGGACGAGCCGGGCTCGCTGAAACGGATGAGGATGGCCATGGGCCGGCGTTTATTGGCGTTGGAGCTTGGATTGATTACACCTACACAAGTGCCGGACGAGGGCTCGTTATCTGTCGACGCCGGGGCGGGGCGGGCTTCTACGGTTGTGGTTGATGCTCAATGTACTCTGAAGGCAGTTAGATTAATCATAGCACATGCAATCGCTGCATGCCTGGAGACGAACCGCCAACTGCAACTACCTTCTCTCGTAATAGGGGAAAGGCGCTTCTTCCTCTGGAGTTATCTCGATCTCAAGAGTGCGGAAGATCTAGGGTTGAAATGGCGGCCGACGCAATCACTGAACGGAGGAGGCAACGCCTCCGTAATCTCGGTAGATGAAAAAACATTGCGCCTCGCGACGGACGATGTGCGAGATCAGCCCGTCGTGGCGTTCGCGCTACCTCCGAAATCTACGGCGGGTCGCGCGGCGCTCGACCTCGTGCAGTTGCATCGGCCTCATACTCTACGCCTGCACTTGCCTTTCTTGTCGCAGCCGCGTCTAGTGAAGAAGCACGCAGACCAATTGGCGCGCGCGGTCCTCGCGGAATTAAGGTGGTGCCCGGCGCATCTGCGGGCCGAGCACGACGCGCGCGTGGCGACGGCCGCGGCGTCGTGCTGGGGGCGGGGCGTGGCCGTTTCGGCCTGATCCGATCTCCCGTCCGCCGCCGCGGCGTCGCCGCGGGTAGTTTAAATGTATGTTATGATCAGGTAACGGGGCGGTTCCAGCGCGCCCGCGCCGCCGCGGCCCGCGCCGCCGCGCCCGTGTTCGCGGTGCAGACCTCGCCGTGGAGCTCCGTGAGCATGAACATGGAGACACCGTCCGAGCGGTCAACAATTACGCGCATTCCCTTCTTAAGCTACGGCGCTTCGAAGAAGCCAAGGCACTGTTGCGCAAAACGATGCCCGTGGCGCGACGCGTTCTCGGCGAGAATAACGAGACCACGCTCAGGATGAGGACGATTTACGCGGCGGCGCTCCACAGGGACGACGCTGCTACGCTCGACGATCTCCGCGAGGCCGTGACGACGCTCGAGGACACCGAACGGACAGCGCGGCGCGTGCTCGGCGGCGCTCATCCGGACACAGGGTGGATTGAGAGGGCCCTACAAAACGCCCGAGCCATGCTCCGCGCCCGTGAGACGCCGCCGGGGAGCGCATAAATAACTACTAAAATTATTTTCTGGGCCATAAGCCGGCGCCGCCACAGACTTCCCCGTAAAACTCCGTCAGCAACTCAGCATAACTCTGCGGCCGGTACTGCCGGTTGACGAGCTGGTCGGTCCTGGGAAACCCATACAACGACGCGATATCGAAGTCGATCAGGGTCAACCGTTTGGTCTCCGCGTCGATGAGCGTGTTCTTCGCGGCGGAAAGCATCACGCGCGAATCGAGGTGCTCGACGCGCGCCTCGGCCATGACGGCTGACGCGCAATGAGCGAACCGCCGAACCGCGCCGATCGACAGCTGGCAGAGTTGCCGATTGTGGTGCTGACCGTCCGTGAGCGGCTCGCCGTCCCAGGACTGCACGAAGGCCCGCTTGGGGTCGTTCCGTTCCAGGAGACGCGGGAAGTAGCGGTCGCGGCACTTGCGCGTCGTGTAGCTGCTCGCGTTCCGCTTTTCGTTGAGCACCTTCAGGATCGACACCTCGAGTGCGAAAGCTTTCGTCGGCCCGAGCCCCGAGAACTGATTCTTTTTGCACGCTTCGGGACTCCGCGCCGTGATCGCGAAGGATTTGCTCACGGTTTTGGCGCCGTCCTCATCGGTCGCGTAACTGATCCGTATGCATGAGTTCGCGCGCGCCGCCTGTAGGACCGCGAGCAGGGTCAATGCCCACATCTACTCTCAGGGCTAATTCCAAACGACCTCGCCGCGGCTCACGTGACGGCGCGTGCGATTGAGGGTCACGGCGGACTGATTCGTGATGTCTGCACGCGCAACGCGCGCACGGGAAAGCAAAGACGAGCCTGCTTGCTAGTGTCTTACCGACCTCTAGCCCGAAACAATACAGAGACACGCAAGCGGCCCTGCCTGCACCTGCGAGCCTCAGACGCTGCCAGGCGACTGGCAGGAGACTCCTAGTACGCCATCGACGCGCTGCTGCAACCGACGAGCCCGCGAGAAAGCGCTCCTGCAGCCAGCACAAAGCATCTCACAAAAAGCGATGAGAGAGCACCTCTCCCACAATGTGGTGCTAAACTTAATCATCGCTGCCTGCTGTGGCTTAGCAGACAGCATCTGGACGGGGACCATAGGAGTCGCCTTTATCAGCGATGTGTGGCATACGAACAAGCGCGTGGGCATCGCGACGGCGCTGACGGGACTGGCAGCGCTCGCGTCGGCCTTACCGGCCGGCTGGGCCGCCGATAGGTATGGAAGAGCGAAGGTCTGTCGCGTGGGCTCGCTGGCCATCCTCGTCGCGGCGCCGGCCTACGCCTACGCGACGCTCCGCGCCACCGAAGGTAGAGACAAAGAGCTCAGTTATATCCTTATCTGCATAGCTTCTGCGTTTTTCGGCCTGTCGAGCGGCATCATCAACGGGCCGGCGCAGGCGCTCCTGGCGGACTCCGTGTCCACTGGCGCGCGGTCCAAGGTCTACACGTGGCTGTTTGCGTGCTACATCGTCCCGTCCGTCCTGGGTCCGGCGATTAGTGTTGGGTATTTCGAGGCGCACGGCGACGAGTGGCGCCTACCCTTACTTAGGGATTTAACGCTACTCGGCATGGCGCTGGAAGTGCCCGTCGCGGTCCTGTGCTGCTGCTTCCGCGACGACAAGGCGCTCGGGTCGTCTTCTGATGCCATCCAGGACCAGGAGCGCGCCGCGGCGTCGGCGAGCGCTCCGGGCGACGACGGCGACGGCGACGCGGGCCGACCCAAGGCTTCGGACGCCGAGGACGCCCAGAACGACGCCGAGGCACCGCCGGACGATCAATGCGACGAGCGCGACGACGCCGTGGACCCGCGCATCAAAATGATCCCCTACGTCGTCTTCTGCACGGACCTGGTCGTGGCCCTGGGCAGCGGCTGTACGATCAAATTCTTTCCGTTGTGGTTCAAGGACGACCTAAACATGTCGCCCGCTGCCGTCCAGGGTATTTATTGTGGTGTCCCGTTGTCGATGGCGCTGGCCTCGGGCTTCTGCACGGCGCTGAGCCGGCGCGTCGGCCGCGTCGAGGCCGTGCTGTCCGTGAGGAGTACTGCATTGGTCTGCTTCGTTGGAATGTTGGTCTGCTTCTATCGAGTTAAGAATGAGTGGCGCCTGAGAGGCGTCGTGGCGCTGTACATCCTGCGGACGGCGCTCATGAACTGCACCTACCCCGTCGAGGAGTCGATTCTGATGGACTACGTCCCGAAGAACACGCGCGCGCGCTGGAAGTCGCTCGAGTCGGTGTCCCAGTTCGGCTGGTGCGGCTCCGCGCTGGCCGGTGGCTTATTAGCGGACCGGTACGGTTATGCGCGGACCTTCGCGATCACTATTTGTCTCCAAGCTTCTGGCGTGTTATGCTACTCGCGCCTGCTCGGCGTCGTCGCGCGCGAGAAGGCGCCTGAAGAGCCTTCCACGGAGGAGCCGCTCCGGGAGCCGCTCCTCAGCGAGGAGGAGAAGGCCGACGCAGAGGCCCCGTGAACGCGAACCGCGGCCCGCGACGCCGTCGCCGCGACAATAACTAGTGTGTGATTTTTAATTAAGCAGGAGCCTTAAACCCCGGCGGCGCCTCCCACGTACTTTGCCCGGTCATCGCGTTGTAGTAGTAGAGCCGCCCCTCGGGGTCCCGCGCGCACGCCCACTGCGCGTCCGCGAATTTGTAGGGGTCGACCATCTGCTCGGCGACGACTTCCCTCCCGACCGGCTGCCTTGCTAGTGCCGCGCGTGAGGGATCCAAGGGCGACGACAGATTCGCCAGCATCCTAGCTTGGTGCGGCGCTAAAGTTGCCGCGGCCTTCGCCCGGCAGGCCTCCTCGAGGTCCCACGTCCCACTCTGTAAACCGCTCTCGAGAAAACTCAAAACCATTTCCCGCGCCACTTGCAACGTCATCGGGTCTTCCGACGCGATCTCGACGAAGCACGGATCGACATCTTGCTGCACCCGGCACTGGGCCCCACTCCGCTCGATGACGGACTTGATGCGCTCGCCGTTCCGCCCGATGACTCGTCCCAATGCGGATCGAGGAATTATGATCTGCTGCGGGCTCTTCGCGAGTTCCAGCGACGACTCGACCAATGCAGCAGCACTCTCGACGGCGTCGCGCGTCGCGCCCTCGATGAGAACGCGAGCACCAGATCTGATGCGCCGCCGCCCGGGGTCCTGCGCGCACCGCACGCGCGCGCCCGTGGACGCTTCGATCTCCCGCAGCCGCTGGCCGTTGTGGCCCACCACCAGCGCCAACGCGCCGGGCGCGCAGTCGAACTGGCGCTTGAAGTCGCTCGCCGCGTTCTTCTGGCGCTCCAATTGCTGCGCGGCCGCGCCCGCCGCCTGGAGCTCGGCGACGAGGGACTTCATGTCCTCGGGCGTCGTCGTGAAGTCGGCCATTGTTTTGCGAGCGTGGCGGTTGTTTTGCGGGCGTGTCCGTGCCCGCGGCGCAGTCGTTCTCGCTGCGCAGCCAAAATCACAATAATGTGGCGGGGAGCCAATGGGCTGTCCGCGGGGCGCAGATCTCCGCGGCGCTTGTGGTGTCGCGAGGGGTGCCAGGGTCTGCGCGCAGCAGCACTTATCGATGCGTAGTCGCCCGCGCGGGACGAAAAAGCTGGGCGTCGGCTATTTCTAGTGTCTTACATGCCGCTAGCTTTGCCCAGATTTGGACAGAGCGTCGCGTAATTGGCGTCCACGCGACATCCGAGCTCTGCTCAAGTTGTACATAGCGTATTTCGAAGCCCCTGGGCCGAGCCGCAGGCTTTGCCGGAACCCGATTTGGACCAGAGGTTGGTCAAATCGAGATAAACAGGAGTAGCAGCCTTTTGACTCGCAGCTCGGCGAAGATGTCCATCGCCGACGCCGCCGGCGCCCTACGCCGCCGCAGACCACCGGTCGTGCGCATCAACCTCGAACCAAATGAAGACGCCTCGGACAGCGCCCAGTCGTCGCCGCGCGCGGCCTCCGACAGTTCGGGAGCGGGCCCAACAACAAACTCGCCGCGGAGCGAGAGCGAGAGCTCGCACGGCTCGCGGTCGGCGCAGTCGTCGCCGCGCGCGCCGTCGGCCGCCGGGTCGTCGCCGCGGTCGTTCTCGGAGCTGCGGGTCGACATCCCGCGGGGCCGCGCGTCGCCGTCGCCGCTAGAAAGCTTTCTGAGGTCCGTCGTGGAGGCGCCGGCGACCCAAAGACCGCAAGAGATAGAAGAGGAGGACGAGGAGGACGACGACGCGCTGGCCGTCGCTTCACTAAGAAGAGTAGCGCGCCACTTACGAGGTGGTATGTCGCGCGAGGACTGCGCCGACGAACTGGAGCGGCTGGCGGCGAATCTAGCCAGGACGCCGCTAGCGAGAGCAGCTCGAGCGCGCCGGAAGGCCAGCAAGATGATGATCAACGGCCTGAGAAGAGTCGGGAAGCGCGACAAGGTCGTGTTCGATGGCGTCTACACGGACGAGGACAGCGCCCGCGACGTCGTGAAGTGGGGGCCCTGGTCGCCCACATTGCGACGCATCTCCTCCTCCGATAATGTGATAGCGACGCCCACGTCGGAAAGGCCACCGAGGAACTGGGCCGTGCACCCGAACAGTGCCTTCAAAAGACGGTGGGACTACCTGACGTCGCTATTGGCGGTTTGTGTGGTCTTCAAGCCCGAGCTCCGAGCATTGGCGGCGTTGCTATTGGGTCTCGAAGCTCCCAAGAAGGAAGTTATGAATATGTGGGCCCTGGCCTTCAATAGAGCGGTGAACTTGTGGTTCCTCGTGGACGTGTGCCTGAACTTCGTGACCGGTTACGTCGATAGGAAGACGGGGGTCCTTGTGATGTCCAAAAGGAGAATAGCTCAGAGGTATCTGAGGACGTACTTTGTGCTAGACATCTGGTGTGCTCTGCCTTTTGACAGATTGGTCTTGCCGGCGCTGGTCGAGGTCGCGCCGCCCCAGAAGCCACTGAAATGCGCTCCGGGGTCCTCAGATATGCTTCTGGTGGACTGCTTGCCGCGGCGGCGGCCGTTGCGAGCTTTTAGGCGAGCTTTGGGCTACGTGCCGCGCGTGTTGTCCTTCGCCAAAGGACGGGGTAGATTACGCCAGGTCTTGGTTGGAGCTCCTACCATAGTAGGCCACGTGCGGCGCTTCTTCCGGCTGCTACGGGCGTCGCGCGTCCGGCTCGTGAAGTGGCGCGCGCTGGCCGTTCTAGGGCGGCGCTACCGCAAGAACGCCAAGGCCTACTTCAACCGGCTGCCGTCGCCGTCGTTCTTACGAAGCCCGAAGGCCGTCTACCGACGGCTGACGCGGACGCCGGATCATGTGCCGTCGCCCGAAAGGCCACAGATGCGTCGGAGCGTGACAAACCCTACGTGACCCTACCACTAAAACATTTACCACTAACTAGGACGTCGCGGCGCCGACGGCGCCACCCCGTACGCCATCGCCGCGACGGGCTCCAGTAAAAATCACCACAAGTTATGCCGCCACAGCGAACTGGGCCACGTACTCTGCCTCGATGTCGTGCAACGTCGGCGCGCAGAGCACGAGGCAATGTAAAGGCGCGCCGAAGTCGACGGACCGCAGCTCCGCCAGCGTCCCGGCGACGATGCGCTCGTCGGCCTGGCCTAATCTAGCCAAGCCGACGGCCCTAGCATCAGGACCGCAGACGCCCTGCCCGTGCTCGGCCTCGGCACTTAATAATTGCTCGACCGCCTGGTTGATCGTCATAAATCGAGGAGGTAAGTACCTTGTGCGACCGGTCTCGGCCAAATGCGCATAGTCCGGCTCCTTCACCTTGATGTCCAGCAAGCACAGCGTGTGCAGGTTCCCCGATCGATTAAAAGCGATCTTCTCGTACCAACTCGTCGGTCGCCACTGCTCCGTCCAGAACGGCAGCGACACGCACTGCCCGTACGAGTACAGCTGCAGCCCGCACTTGCCGACGGCGCCCATGACCGACGCGTTCTGGATCACTTCTACCTTTACGTCGAGCTTTTTTGCTCGTAAGGCTATATCAGTATGTGTAGTAGCACAAAGGACGTCGCCCACGACCAGCAAAGCCACATTCCCGTCCTTGCTCCGCTCCAGCATCTCGTCGCAGCCGGACTCGACGACTTCACGGCTCGCAACTTTGACCTCTCGCCCGTAGAACGCCTCCAATCTCTCCACGCCGACGCATAATACCGAAGTATAAGCTTCAAGCCAGACCTGGTCGCATTTCTTCACCGCTTCTAAGCCTCGTACGGTGATGTCGCGCTCGTCGCCCAGTCCTAGGCCGACGAGGTAGAAGACCATGGCGATGGCTGCAGTGCTGCAGCGCTGCGTCTGAGCGTCTCCTGCGGCTGTCCGCGACCTGTGGTGATAGTTGCTGAGCCACCTGGAACGCCTCCAATCTCTCCACGCCGACGCATAATACCGAAGTATAAGCTTCAAGCCAGACCTGGTCGCATTTCTTCACCGCTTCTAAGCCTCGTACGGTGATGTCGCGCTCGTCGCCCAGTCCTAGGCCGACGAGGTAGAAGACCATGGCGATGGCTGCAGTGCTGCAGCGCTGCGTCTGAGCGTCTCCTGCGGCTGTCCGCGACCTGTGGTGATAGTTGCTGACTCCTTGGCCAGTGCTTTGCCGCAGTATCGCGTATATCGCTGGCTGCAGAGCTAGCTCTCAGAGGTAGCCGGGTTTTAGCAAAAGTCGGCAGCCCGAGCGCGCGAGTCTTGCACGGCTCGACAGCGCACGCTACGGTTCGTCTGTGCTGTCCTACTTGAGCCAGGGCAGTCCTTTTGCGCTCCGCGCACATTTGGCCTGTGCCGCACACACCAGCTGCCAAAGGCACGAATAAATGCAGTAGAACCGATGGCGCAAGCACCAACACGTGTGGATTCCTTCGCCGACGGCGGCACCCAGGGCGACACCGAGCCCGGCGCGCCCACCTCGCCGGGCCCCGGCCGGAGTTGGGCCGACGTCTTCGGCACGGCTGCGAAGCCGTCGTCGTCGTCGCCACCCATGCCACCGATGCCCTGGGAGGAGGCCGCCGCGGCGCCGGCGCCGTCCTGGACGGCACCCATCGAGCGCTTCCTCGCGAGCGCCGCGGCGAGCCTTTCGGCCGCGACGCAACCGCCGCCGCCGCATCCCAAACCTCGGCTGCCACGGTCCGTCGACTTTACGAGCGCACCCTCGCACTACACGACGCTGGGAGTCGCGCCGACGGCGCCCCAGGCGGAAATTCGGGCGGCCTACCGGCGGCTCGCGCTCGAACACCATCCGGACCGGCGCGGCGCACGAGGTGAAGAAAGGATGGCCCGCGTCAACGCCGCCTACGCGGTCCTCGACTCGCCGCGCGCGCGGCGGTCGTACGACTACGACCTGCGGTTCGGGCGCTTCGACGGCGCGCGGCGGCGAGGCGCGGAGGCGGCGGACTGATGTCCTCCGCAGTCGCGGAGGCGGCGGATTGATGTCTTCCGCAGTCGCCGGGCCAGTGCTTGGCGCCAGCGTGCGTTTTTGTGTGGTGTAATTGATACTAGAAAACATAGCATACCCAAAAGTTGGTCGGAACTCGCGCGCCGTAGCCGAGGCACTGTGGACACGAGTGAGATGAGTTGAACGAGTGATGCTAGGGGTCCGAACAATCGGCCATTCGATTTTGCCTGCTCATTTTTGCAGCGGCCAGCCCCTGGATCTGAGCCCACAGCTCCGGCTATACCGAACCTTACTTTGTCGCGACGCTGCGCATTGCCGCATAATTCCATCTTCTTGCCACAGCCCAAATCTCAGCAGCTCTAGACGCTCCGGCATCGACTTAGACCAAATCCAGAGTCGGTTTCACGCCACCGTCGAGCTGTGATACAGTAGAGCGCCCCACCATGGCGCTCTAGCGGCCCCCGATGACCCCGCCCAGCAGTCTTTCGGCCCCTGCCGTCGCCACATCATTCAGAACGTTCCAATGGAGCAACGGGACCGCGCCAACTCGCTCAGCTCCGACGACGACGTCGCCGCGGAGCTCTCGCAGCGCGCCGCTATAATAGCAAGAAAGGTCTGGTTCCTGCGCCACGCGCAATCATGCAGGGACCCGAGCCGCTGCCCCCTCGCGCCGTGCAAGCAAGCGTTCTTGCTCCTGGCCCACATGCGCGCCTGCGGCGCCTTCCAGGATCCCGAGCGGGGCTGCCGGGCGCCGGCCTGCCGCCGGGCCGCGCGATTGTTACATCATCCTCGCAACTGCCGGCGGGCCTCGTGCGAGGTCTGCGCGAAGGCGCGCGCCGCGGGGCCCACGGGCGCCGGGCTCGTCGTGCCCAAGGACCTCGTGCAGGCGGCCGATGTGTGCCCGCCGTGCACGCCGCCCCGCGCCCGGCCGCAGCACCTCGCGGCCGTCGTCGAGGAGGAGTCCTCGCCGCTCAAAATCACGCCGCCGTCGCCGCCGTCCATCAACCAGGAGGCCTAGGCGGAAAGAAGCCAACACCCCCCTCGCTCGCGGCGCGCCGCTCGAGCCGAAAAAACAAAACCAAACATCAAATCTCCCTCCGAGAAAATGCTCCTGCGACGGAGCCCGAAAATTCTGAAATAAATACCTTGTACTATACTCGGCGATGGCGTGGGGGGGGGCACTCCACATCACATTGCATTCAGTACGTTCTTGTAAAACTTGGCGTGAGGATGGTCGGGGCCGTACGCGCCCTCGAAAATCTTCACCGCGCGCGTTACGTATTCTCGCTTCTTGGCGGCGTCGCCTAGTTCGCCGTAGGCCATACCGAGGCTGCCCAGTATCAATGCCACTTCCGGGTGGTCGCAGCCGTACGTCCGCTCGTTGATCGCAAGCGCGCGCTCCAGCACGTCTCTACTCTTCGCGTGGTCGCCTAAGTCGCCGTACGCGTTCCCGAGGTTCGTCAGCGTCCCGGCCACGCTCGTGTGGTCGCGGCCGTAAGTCCGCTCGAAGATCGCGAGCGCGCGCTCCAGCACGTCACGCGCCTTCGCGTATTCGCCTGAGGCGCCGTACGCGTTCCCGAGGTTATCCAGCGTGATGGCCACTTCCGGGTGGTCGCGGCCGTACGCCCGCTCCTTGATCGCGAGTGCGCGCTCCAGCATGTCTCGCGACTTCGCGTGGTCGCCTAGGTTGCCGTACGCGTTCCCGAGGTTCGTCAGTGTCTGGGCCACTTTCGCGTGGTCGCGGCCGTACGCCCGCTCCTTGATCGCGAGCGCGCGCTCCAGCATGTCTCGCCTCTTCGCCTGGTCGCCTAATCTACCGTAAACGACCCCGAGGTTCCCCAGCGTGACGGCCACGTCCGGGTGGTCGCGGCCGTACGTCCGCTCAAAGATCGGGAGCGCGCGCTCCAGCATGTCGCGCGTCTTGGCGTAGTCGCCTAAGTAGCCGTACGCACTCCCGAGGTTCGTCAGCACGACGGCAACCCTCGTGTGATCGCTACCGTACTCACGCTCTTCGATCGCGAGCGCCCGCTCCAGTATGTCTCGCTGTTTGGCGTAGTCGCCGAGGCCCATGTACGTATTCCCGAGATCAGTCAACAAGCCGGCCACGTTCGTACTATCTCTACCGTGCTCGCGCTCGTAGATCGGGAGCGCGCGCTCCAAGACCTCGAGCTTCTTGGCATTGTCGCCAAGGTCCCCGTACGCGAGCCCAAGATCCCACAGCGCCACGCCCACCGCCTTGCTCTCCGCACCGAACGCTCGCTCCTGCTTCGCTAACATAGCTTCCCGGACCTTCACGACGCCTGCGGACTCCTGAATCGACTCGAGCAACTCGCAGAGGCCGTCAAGCAAACTCGCGTCCGCGTCGTACCCGAGCACGTGGTCCACCAACTCCTCCACACCGTTAACCTCGTCGACGGGCAGCTTGCACAGCATCTCGAGCCGCTGCGCGACAGCATCTGAATTGCCCAAGAAAAACGACCGAAAGTACTCGTAGACCGTGTGGCTCCGGTGTAGCGCCTCCGACTCTTTGATCGGCATGAGATGAATTTGTAGCTCGCACATGTGCGTCACGTTCTCGACTTTCACGGCGACGTTCATCAAGATGTCCTGGTAGCCGTTGAAGAGCGGCGGCGCGAACCGGTTCTTCGTCCGCACGATATCAACGCGGTCGTCGGCTTCGAGCGATGCGTAGAGCTGCACGATGGCGTCCTCCGTCTGACAGAGGGCCGCGCCGCGCGTAATGTCGAAGAGCCAACTGTAGCACGGCGCCGTCTTGTCCTTGTACTCGTCGCGCGCCTTGGCGCCGGCACGGTCGCGGCCCTTCAGCGGCGCGAACATCAGCTTCACACCGCTTTCAGGGCACGCGGCCGTCATGATCTCCTCGAACTGCACGCGCGCCAGCGCGGCGACCTCGTACAGCGCGTCGAGCGACGCGGCCGGCTCGCCGTCGAGGCCGCATTGGCGACACTCGTCTCCTAAATTCTTGCCCACCCACGGGATCTTCTTCACATCACCCTTGATGTGCACGATCGCGATCTCGTCGATCTGCTCCCGCGCGGCCTTGAACGCCTTCAGGTTGTGAAACATGCATTTCCGCGGGTCGAGCGCGCGCTCGTCGTGCTCCTTGGCGTAGGCCTCTAACTTGGGCCACGGCACCGTGCGCGTTCCGTCCGCGCCCTCGGTCGCGGCGGCATCAAACGCTTTCTTCTTTTCCGCGTCGTACAGCACGCCGATTTCATTTTTGATGGCCACTTCGGACAGTGGTGCGCCCTCCGTCGACACACCTGCACCCATGCTATCGCGGTAGTTCTTACTCTATCTATTATGTGGTATCTAGTTGCTCCGGGCTTTTAGCTGCCCCCAAATGCCAAACCGCTGCGCGCGATGGCGTAACTGATGTGTGATGCGGCTGCACCAACGGTAGGACAATCGATGCGTGCACTCACGTCACGTTTGGAACACAAAAAGAAGTAGACTACCGAGGCCGAGTTTGGGCCCCGCACCAACGCGCCGCGTGAGTAGATACGTGGATGTGACGTCTGAGCGCGTCGAAGAGCCAAGGAGGTGTAGCTGCCCCGCCAGCACGCCGTCGCCGCGACCCGCGCGTCGACGGCGCAGCTCCCCTTTTTAGCTACAGCTGGTCCCACCCCCAGCTGGCAAAGAGGTAGTCCCGCTATCATATGATGAGCATTACCCGGAGCGAACGGAACGCAGTTGAGAGTGTCTTCTAATTCGGGCCCTTCGAGCTGTCGTCCGTCGACGCGCGGCTCACCGTCGACCGGTGCGAGAACTTGCGGAAGAGCTTCCGCATGGAGTCGCCCTTCGTGTAGGCGAGCGGCTTCTCCGGGACTTCCTGGGCCGCGACGCGCCGCGGCACGTAGGTCCGGTCCTCGTCGTTCCGCAGTCGAGGCACGAAGGGCGGCCGGAGCTCGCACCTCTCGAGCTTCGCCCAGTCGTAGTCCTTGTACAGGCCCATGTTGCCCACGTCCCGCAAGGTGCACAGGCGCGTCGCCGGGCGCTTCTGGAGGAGCGCCCGCAGCACCTCGAGCGTGTCCTTGCGCCAGCCGGGGTCGTATCTAGGCTTGGACTTGACGATGCGCCTGCGTGGAAGGCGCGGTGACGGCGTCTGGCATCGACGCGACGCCGTCGACGCGACGCCATCGACGCGACGGCGCGGCAAGGGACGCCGCACGGTCACCAGAGCATCTTGTCCTCCTCGGCCGCGTCGAAGGGCAGTCTACCCTTGAGCATCGTGAAGAAGAGGACCCCGAGGGCCCACCAGTCGACGGCGAAGTCGTAGGGCTGGGCCTGTGTGTTACGTATGGTGAGAACGGTCGCGACCGACGCGGTCGCCACATGCGAGTCTCATGAACTCAGAGGGAGGCTTAGAAACAGGTCCCCACTTCCATAAGGAGTCGATCGACGATGAAATTCTCCGGACATCACAGTTCTTTGGCACCGTGAAGAGACACTGCATCAAACGAGTAACATCTCGGGCGCCATATACGCGGGAGTCCCAACGATGGACTTCGTCTGCGTCAATAATGGAGCGGGCGGCTCGGTCTGGACGGGCCGGAGCCCCATGGCGACCCGCGTCTTGTCTGGTAGTCTCTCGGGCACGTCCTGGTTGCCCGCGCGACAATCCTTGAGCGGTCGAGGTGCCAAGCGTTTGGAAGCGCCGAAGTCAGAAACGGCCACGTGGCCCGAGGCGTGGACCAAGACGTTTTCGAGTTTGAGATCTCTGTGGACAATACCATGAGAATGTAAATGGGCAATCGCTTGCGCAATCTCAGCAACGTAAAACGCGGCCCGATGCTCGTCGAAGCCCCGCCCGTCCTCCTTCAATGATATGTTCACGTGCGTGTGCAGCGAGCCACCAGGACAATAAGCTACTACGAGTACCAACTTGTCCCTCTCCTGGAACGAGTGGTACAATCTCAGTAACAAAGGGTGGTCGAACTCGCCCAATATATTGCGCTCCAGCATGGTCGCTCGCACGAACGAAGCGCCAGCCGATTTCAGGTGGGCCTTGGGGATGATTTTAGCGGCATAGACCTCTCCATTCGCCCCGTGGCCGGCTCTGGCGCGCACCAACACGACTTTGGAGAACCCACCCTCGCCGACCATGCCTAGTACATCATACGACGCTGAAGATTGGGGGTCCTTCAGCACGCCCCGTTCCTCCTCGTCCGGCTTTGGCTCCACGACGTCACTGACACCGCCGCAGCATCCACTTCTCTTCGGCGGCGGCGGCGCCGGCTTCTCGTCCTTCACGAGGTCCTTCTTCGAGTTGTTGTAACTGGACTTCTTCGCCGTCTGCGTGATCAAATTCACGAGGGCCTGGTCCTCGGCGCTGTTCGAGGGGTCGCTGCCGCGCCGCGGCGAGCCGTCCTCGGACTCGTAGGACTTGGTCTTCCGGTCCATCTGCTGCTGTGGCCCCTTCGCGGCGCGCGGTCGGCACTGCAATGCCAAGATGAGCTCACAGCCTGCCTGTTAACTCTGCCAAGGCGCCGCGGCGCTGCAGCGTCGGCGTCGCAGCGCGCAGTTATGAACGGGTGGACGCGCCGTGCAAACGCCGTGCGAGAAACTCGCTTTGCCCGGTCGGCGCTCTGTGTTTGGCAAAGCACAGCAGCAAGCAAAGCTCGACGTGATAGGCCGCCGCCGTCGCGCTTCAGACAGACCGTTCCGGAACTCTCCTCGACCGGTATCGTCCACCGTCGACGCATCTCCCACGTGGAAGCAGGGGGGAAACGAAAACGAGGCGCCGCGCGGGACGACGAGAGCGACGCCGCCGACACCGAAAAAATAAACAACAAACAAAAAAACTTAAACACGAAGCGCGTCCAGCTGCGCCGCCGTCGCCCAGGTCGCCGCCTCGCCGCGCGACGCCCGCGCCGCCGGCGCCGCGGCCTCCTTTACAACTGGTGGCGCCATCGCCACGGCCCGCGCGTCCTCGGCGAGCCGCAACACGAGCACGCGCAGGGCCTCGTTGTAGTCCGCCACGAAGCCCGTGTCGACCAAGCCCGAGAACCGCCGGTCGTCCTTCGCACAAAATCCCGCGACGGACTCCTCCACGAGGACGACACCCACCCTCTGGCACTCCTCCAAGACACGGCAGCGCGCGCAGGAGATCTCCGCGCACCAGCCCTTCTTCGCGCGGAACTTCGGCTTCGTGCACGGGGCGCACGCGAGGCACGCCCGCGCACCTCGTCCAAAACTCAGCGCCGAGAGCAGCCGTCGCTTCACTTCACCCGCCAGATCGTCCAGTAAATCCAGGCGCTGCGTCGCCTCGGCGCTCACGATCAACTCGATTTCTTGACTAAGTCGCGAGGCGCGGCCCAGGTCGCCCGCGTCGACGTCGTCCGCGTGCCCCCAGCGCACGCGCCGCACCGTCGCATTTAGATGGGGGTGGCGCGCCGCGTTCCACGCCGACAGGGCGACGCGGTCGTCCGTTAGTGTGACGTGCTTCGCGCCTCTCGCTCCGCAGATCAAACCCACGAATCCCGTCCCTGACCCTAGCTCGAAGACGCGGCACGCCCTCAAGTCAAAGCTTGTAGAGAGCCAGTCCGCCAGGACGACACAACCAACACTCACGAAGCCGCCGTCGGCACCGTGGGCCGCATCCTGCACTATATCCAGACGAGGTTCGTACCACGTGAACAGCCTACTAGGCCTCGTCACGTCGACGTCGCCCTCCAAAGCCCCCCCGCGGAAGCACAAAACGCCGGCATCACAGGCCTCGCGCGAGAGGGCGACCTCCTTGACCTGCGGGCGCGTGGCGTCGCGGACGTCGTCGACTGCGTGAACGGCGTCGAGGAGAACGCCGTCGATGAGAGACGTCGTCGCGTCGATGGCGATACGGGGACGCCGGCGCGCACGTTAAAATGGCACGCGTGGAGCGCTTCCGCGAACCGCCTTTGCCGGTGGCTCCGCTCGTCGTTGGCGACGTAGAAGATTGTTTTTGAGGGGGTGCAGCACCGTTTCAGAGTTGTCAGTAAGGGCGCCGCGAGGCTTTCCCTATACACGCCGTCGCAGCACAACACAACATCGAACGGTTTGGCGTCGAGCCAGCGCTTCGCGTCCCAACTACGAGAAACGCCGGGCAGGCACGCGCCTAGGTACTCCGTTACGAGTCCTTCTATTTGATGATCAGCGAAGAGCGGATGACACACGCCTGAGCGCCAGTCCAGGGCCTTCACGACGCAGTTTTGGGAGACGTCGTTCTGCCGGATGCCCCGTCTCAGTCGAGGCAAGGCCTCGGGCAGGTCGCTCAGGACCACATGCGCCGCGCCGGCCGCCGCGCACACCAGCCCGGGCAGCCCCCCGCCCGCGCCGAGCTCCAGGACCCGCTTGCCGCGGACCGCGCCACCAAAAACGCCTTTGGGCGCCAACGCCTGCGCGAGCGCGGCGGCACCGGGCCAGACCTCGTCGCCGAATTCGGTTGTGGTGTCGGCTTGGCGGCCCTCGACCCTTATGATCTTGTCGTTTACGTCTACTCCACCGCCTCCCGAGCCCCACAGCTCCTCGAAGTCGATGTCTTCGTCGTCGGCGAAGGTCGCCATTTATTATGGCTCTCAGCGCTCGCGCAGACGCGGCAGTGAGGAGCACCCAGCGTGCAGCGGTGTCTCCCAGCCTTCTGAAGCCCCAACAGCGAGTGGTACCGCAGCAGGCGGGCAGCAGCTATCCAGTGGGTAGTCTCGCGTGTGCGCCAAGACGCCGTGCTGCAGCTTACGGCGTTTTTTTGGCTTCGCTTGGCCTAAAACTAGTATGTCAATCACACGCTAGCTAACTCGATCGCGGCCACGCGAAATCGAGACGCGGAGCGCCCCAGGGAAGCTCTGCACGTGGTTGGCGCATCTCTTCTAGCAGCACGCCGTCGCCGTGCAGCGCTCTCACCTCGCAAGCACCCAGCCGCTGGACCCCACTCATCAAGCATGGCCGAGGTCCCGCCGCCGAAGCGCGACGCCGCCGCCGCTGCGAGCGAAGAGCCCGAGACGAATAAAAAGCAGAAGACCGAGGGCGGCACCGGCCTCAAGCGCGCCGACGGCACGCCGTGGGAGCCTATTACCGGCACCTTGGTCCCGATCGTGGGCGGCAAGGAGGGCCTCAAGCAGGAGTGGACGATGATCGAGCTCCAGGGCGACCTCGTCAAGAAGACGGAGACCTGGGACAACCAAAAGCTCGGGGATTTGGAGGTGCGCGACGGCACGCCCTTCCTGACGATCGGGATTCATGAATTGGAGGGCGAGTTCGTGACCCTCAAAAAGCCCTTCGTGGTCTTGGACCCGCAGCAGGAGGAGGACGAGACGGTGACGACGTGTCGAGGCGTCGAGTGCCGGTCGAAGTTCACGGTGGCCGGCGTCATCCGGCGGAAGGTGCTTTTTAAATTGAGACCGCGCGTGCTCGTCGCGCGGGCCGCGGGGCCCGCGGAGGTCGTGCCGGCGGACGCGGCGACGGCGACGGCGTCGGAGCTGACGCCGAAGGACGTCGTGTCGTAAGTTTTTACGGTGAATATCCCCCCGGGGGGGCGTCGGCTCCGCGGCTTGGTGCTCCAAGTCGTGGCGCCCGGACGCGTCCGCTACCGGCTACCCCGCCACCGACGCGCTTCCAATGCATCTTCCAATGCGCGTCCGGACGTGCGTCCGGCCTGCTCCCCTCCTCGCCGTCGCCGCTTCCGGGCGAACAACCGGGCAGGCATGTGTAGCTCTAAACAAAGCAAGGACAGGCAATAGAGACTTAGGAGGGGTCGGGAGACACATACAAAAACAAGGGGCCTTGGACAACTTCAGACGTGGAAGAAGTGCGCCCAGAAGGGCTCGAAGAAGCCCGACGAGTGCACGGCGACCGGCGTGCCGAGGAGGTACTCCTCCGCCGCGTAGCCGACGACGGCGAGCATGGCGATGCGGCCGTGTTTGACTTCCGCCTCGTCCATGCGCTTGCGGCGGGCCCGCTCGACGGGGTACATGCCGAGCGGGTCGAACTGGAGGTTGCCCGGCTCCAAGGGCTCGGCGCGGTCCTCGAGGCGCAGCTTGAGGCCGTAGAGTTCGATCGCCGCTCCAAACCCGAGCGCGGCGCCCCAGAAGGCCGGGCTGATGCGGTCGAGGCCGCCGTTCAGTACCGATGGGGCTTCGAGCTTCGACGTGAGCGCCGAATCTATGCCGAACGTGTCCGCGAGCGCCTTGTCCCAGAGCTCCGAGGCGGGCCACCCGATCGCCGCGAGCATCGCGAGGCGGCCGTGCTTGAGCTCGGCCTCACGGTAGTACTTTAAGAGAGCCGGCGACGCGCTGCCCAGCCTTAATGGATCGAAGTCGGCGTTGCCCGGCAGCTCCTGGAGGTAGGCCGGCGCGCTCAGCCACGGCAGGGCTTGCGACTTGCGCGGGAGCGTGAGGACGGCGGCCGTTGCTGGTAGGATGCTCGCGACGGCGAGGAGGCGGGCGGCAACCATGCTGCTGGCTGCAAATTTGCTGAGACAACAACGAGTTGAGCTGCCGGATGTTGCAGCCGTGTCGTGTAGACTTAGTAGGCGTCGTGTCGCGTCGATGGCGTCACGGTTTTGTGCCTCGCGAACGCGTTTTATTGCACTGTCGCGCTGACTCACAAACAAACGAAGCGTGACTGCTAAGTGCGGGTGCGGGGCTCGGACGGGTCCCGCCGTTCTGTGACTCGTCGTTCAAGGCTCTTTGCCGAGCCCGCGCCGCCGTAAAAACCCGTGCCATCGAGAGCAAAAACACGGAGAGCCGTGTTTAGCTTATACGCACAACGTAGCGTGACAAAGGCATAACAGTAAGCAGCTGAGTAGCAACGAGCAGCAATGCGGCTGAGTAGCACCATTACAAGCTAAGCAGCGGTGCTCACTATGCGTGGGCACTGAAGCACTGGAGAGCATGCGCTGGACGCGCAAGCTCGGACCGCTGCGAGTCGTGGTCGAACGGACCACCTGCGTCGTCCGCGCATCGACGACAAAGGACGTGCTCGTCAACGCGGCCAACGAATCCCTGGCCGGCGCGCAGCTGCCGTACTTCCCGCGCGGCGGCCCGTGCCCTCCACCGCTCCCGGAAGGGCTCGGTAATAATGCGAACTCGTGGGGCGCCCTCGAGACAGGCCCGGGCTTCGTTTTTCGAGAACACGCCGTCGACGGCGTCGTGTCAAGCTTGGGCGGAAAAGCGCTGCGGGACCTCTGCGCCCGTGCGCGGCCCGACGGTTTCGCCGCGGGCTCGGCCGTCGCCACCGCCGCCCCGGGCCTCCCGTTCGAGACTCTCGTGCACGCGGTGGCGCCGTTCTGGGAGTCCCCGTCGTGGCGCGCGGACCTGCTCCGCGCCTACGCGGCGGCTTTTGCGCTCTCGGCTGGCCGGGATGTTGCGACGCCGCTGCTCGGCGCCGGCGCGCGGGGAGCGCCCGTCGCCGACGCGGCCGCCGCCGCCGCGGACGCGGTCGCCGCCGCGGCGTCGGCACCGCGCCCGCCACGGAGCGTGTCCTTCGGCGTCGTCGACGACGTGGCCTTCGACGCGCTCGTAACTGTGGTTTGTACTATTATAGAACACGAACGGTTTTTACACCGGAAGGGGAAGGGATGTCGGCCCGCGCTTTTCGCGGCGCTCCTTGACTAACTTGAAGTTGTTGTACTAGATAATTACTGGGCGAGGGCGGGGAACTATACCGTCTCACGCAGCATATCCCGCCGGTTTCCCCTTCTCGGACTTCTCCCCGTGTAACAGCTTCTTCGCGAGCGCGCCCATCGGCTTGATCGTCGTCAATTCGACGCCCTCTATTTTGGTGAGGGGGTCGGCGACGATCGTCGGCCGGCCCCGCCACTTCGGCCAGTCCTTGGGCGGCGCCGTGGCGCCTAACACGTGCGAGTCGTATCGGGTACCGAGGCGCACGTTGGCCAGATCAGCCGGCGGCGCATTCGACCACTTTACGTTCTGGGCCGTGCGCCGCTCGAGCGTCGCGTCGTCGATGATCGGGAAGTCTGGTAAAGTTACCGACATCTTCGCCGCAGAGGCGGCGCCTTGCGCCGCGAAGCCTGTGGCCGCATCTCTTATTGTAGTGGCGAGCGCCGCACAGGCCGCACCATTAGTCCGCGCGGCGTGTTTCGCTAATCTAGTTCGTTCGACCACGGCCGAGGCGACTATCTCCGGCGGCAGCTCTGCTATCTTCGCCTCCAACGAAGATACCGCACGCAGAACTGTGGCCTCATTTGTGCCACCATTCGCGAGCTCCACTCCAGCTTCTCGCAATGCAATAACAAGATGGTTGACGTTCCCTGATATTTGATCTTTACCCTTCTTCAGACAATCCGACGACGCGCCGGCCATGAGCAAAGCGAGCACCAGCAACGACCGCTGGCCGACGACGCCCTTTTTGTCGGAGTCCGGCAGCGCGTCGAAGGCCGCATGTTCTAAATGTAAGGTCGTCTCGAGCACGGCGCGCTCCCCGTCGAGCTTCTGCTGAACTACCATCTCTTTTTGTTTCTTTTCCAGCTTCGTCCGCAACTTCTCTGGTATTTTGCCTATGGCTCCGGATTGTTGTGGTAGGTTCCACTTGGTACAAAAGTCCCTACACTCCGTCTTCGTGAGGCCGTTCCCTACTAATGCTTCCAGCGCCGGCAGCGCCTCCAACGTGTCCTCGATGTGTTTCTTCTTCGGAGCATTATCCTTGGCTAACGCGGCCACCGCCTCGGCGACCTTGGCGTCGACGGTGTCGCCGTTCGAGAGCCAGCCCCGGGCGGCCCGGGCCTCGTCCGCATCAACTTGTGCCTCCTCTTCGGCCTCGTCTTCAGCGCCGACGGGCTTTCCTTCTTCTACTACTAATTCCATGGGCCGCGCGTCGCCGCGCGTCATCTCCACGTCGTTCTTCTCGGGCTTCTCGCGCGGGGCGACGTCCTTGGGCGGCGGCTCCTGGTCCGCCGCGCCGGACGGCAGCGGCGTGTCGCCGAGCCGCTGTTTTTTCCACGGCTGGGACGCGGCCGTCTCAGACGCGCGCTTCGCGTTGTTGCTCGTCGGCGAGAGCGGGGGCCTCATCTCGGCCATGGCTTCTCGGCGCGCGCCCGTATCGGCGCGTTTGGCTCACAACGGATTTGAGCGCAGCGCGGTTGTTGGGCGGCGCGGCGCGTAATTTAGGGCTGACGAACCCTTGGCTGCTGGTGAGTAGTATATTTCGACAGCGCGCGGGAGCGCTGCTTGAGCTCTTGCAGCTGCGGAGACGCGCTCTGCCTGTGCGCCCTGCACCAGGACAAGCTCATTGGTGCGCCGTGCGCCCAAAATGCGGTCCCATGCATCGATGCCGGCGGTCTGCTCAGGCCCAGAGAGGCGTCATAAGAACAGTTTAGGAAATCCCGCGCCCTAGCGGCCGGTAAGACACTAGCAAGCACAAATCAGCTGCGGCAAAATCGCAAGCAAACGCGGCGCGTGAGGCTTATCACAGCCAGGGACGGCCCACAGCGGTACCCTGAGACAGCTGGCGCTGCGCGCTGGGCAAGAGCGTAATCGTAAAAGGCCGCGGCAAGCCGCGCGCACGCCTAACGACAGCAGACATGGCATTTGAACGCGCCGTCGACGCGGCGACGATGGCCGGCATGGCGCTACCGGAGAAGGAAGAAGACATTATCACGCCGCCGGAGGACACAAGGGCCTGGCAGGGCACCGAACATGGTAATTTCAACGGCATGGACGCGGCGCGCGCGGCGAAGGACGAAGACGACAGCGTCGCTATGCGCCGCGTCAAGAAAGCGGCATCGCTGGCGCAGGCGGCCCTACACGCGCTGGTGCTCTTCGTGCTGCACGCGCCGATCAAGTGTTTAGGAGTGAGCGCCCAGGTCGAGTGGGGCAATGCGAACCGCTCCTTCGCGCTGCTGTCGCAAGGGTCGCTCCTGCGGAACATGGCGTGCGTCGCTCTGAGTCGAGTAGCATATGTTCCGTGCGAGGCGCTCCATCGGCTGATCTGGTTTCTCTGCGAAGGCATGCAGAGCGTGAAGGGACTTAGGGGAGCCATGACCAGAGGAGCAGCGGTGCACATGGCGCTGTCCGTGGCGCTGCTCTTCGGCGACGAGATCTTCGAGGGCAATTCCGACGCGCTCTTCATCGTTGAGTCTATTAAAAACGTGCTCGGTGTCACGGCCTTGTGTGGCTACGCCGCCAGAAATTGTTCTTATCATTCTGGCGAGGTGGCTATCCGAGTCAGAAATTTCAACGTCCCGCGTCGACGCGATCGGTTCGATGGCGTGGTACGTACGAGCAAGATCTCTCGATAACGCAGGCCCTGCAAGCGCTCGCGGAGTTCTGGAAAAGGATGGACGCGGACTCATCGAAGGAGGCCGTCGTTTCTATCCTTGGATCCTCGTTCACGCTGTTCAAGAACGCCGCCGTCCCGATGCTGATGATCTCGCAGTGCGGCTGGTGCCCGGAAACCGGCTGGCCCGTGTTCGCCGCTACGGCCTGCTTCGTCGGGTATACGGAGATCACGATGTCGGGCATGGCGCGGTACGCCGTGTCGGAGCTCCACCGGTTCCTCGCTTATTGCAAGATTGTTCATTGCGGCCAGTCGGGCCAGAGACCGGAGGGCGTCGGCGTGATGCAGTTTCTCTTAGATCTCGCCGGTCGCCTGCCAAACTCGTGCGAGGACATGTTATTCGGCATCCACGGTCACTCGAACGTCGTCATGGGCTCGACCGTTTGTATGGTGCCGCTCCTGGGCGCGTCCGACGAGCGGGAGTTCCTCATGGGCGCGGGCGTCGGCGTCTTCGGGATCCTGCCCCTCCTGGACCGCAAGGTCTTCCGCGCCATCTTCGACCTCCTCAAGCGCGCCCCGATCGTCACGGGCGACCACGGCATCATAGATGCGCTCTTCGGCCAGGAGCAGAAGTGGGTGCCCGGGCCCCTCTGGAAGTGAGGCGTGTCGTTTCCTTCTTTATGCTTGTGTAGTGTGGAGGAGGGGCATAAGCTTGTTAATAACAAATACGTCTCAAGCAGCCTCTGCCCACTCCCTTGCCCTGGTCAAGTCCCTGGTCATGCAAAGCAGCGCGGCCGCGAAGGAAAAAGACACACTCTTACACAGGCCGCTCACCACCACCACCGCAGGGCCAGGGCAGCCGCCGCCGCAGCGTCGCCGATAAGGCGCGGTTCGGCGCGCAGTAAAGCTCGTCGAGCGCGGCGCGCGTCGCCGCGAGCATCGGCGCGTAGCGGCCGCCGCGGCTGGGCATCAAAGCGTACAATCTCTCCACGGCGGCGACGCGCGCCGACCGGCCATAATCAAAAGGCTCCAGTCCCGCAAAACGCTCGACGCGCGCGACCGCCTCGAGCGTCGCCTCGCGACTGCTCACGAAGTCCTCAAACACTAAAGCCAAAAGTTGAGACCGGGGGAAGCGGTCGAACCAGGGCGCGAGCTGGCAGTCGTAGAAGCCCCGCGGTAACACGTTCGAGTCGCCGCTGCCGGAGCCGCGCGCCCACGCACACTTATCTAGATCTTTTTTTGCCGCGAGCTGCGCCCTCACCAGCCTATCAAAAGCCTCGGGCGCGCAGGGGAAGCTCAGTCGTTCTGATGACTCATCATTGGACTTTGATCGAAATACAGCACCCTCCGCCTGGCGGACGCGGCCGTTGCGGCACTCGTGTTGTAAATGACTGTATGCTCGCGACGTAGGGTTCCGCAGACACACCAGCAACTTGAGGGAAGGCATCAACGACGCCAGGACCGACGGGATTTTCGGGTTCAACAGGTAGTTGGGGGACTTGTCGAACGTGAGTACACCATCAGTAGCTGGAGGGTACTTCCTCAAATAAAAGCGCCAGTTCCGGCCCGCCGCCTCCGGGTCGTGGGCTGCCGAAAAGTATCTCGATTCTTGCGGCCACCCTATCATATCCTCCGACGTCCGTAGCTGCGGATGGTTCTGGAGGTAGAGCATGATGTTCGTGGTCCCGGACTTCATGGCGCCTGCGTGCGTATGATGTCGCGGCGATGGCGTACCGGTGGGGTAGGTGTTCGTCCTCTCGCGGCGGGGTCGCGGTCGCCGTGGCGGCAGGAGTTAGGCGGTCGCGGCGGCGCGGCCGCGGCGGTCGCGGCGGCAGGAGTAGGCGGTCGCGGTGGCGAACGTGGCGTTGTCATACGCCATCGACGCGCCGCCAGTACCAGGCGCGAACGGCGCGTCGTGGCGGGGGGCGTGGTGTCGAAGGCACGCGGACGCCGCTTCCAATACCGATCACGGCCAGCGACGGCAGGCACCGCCGCCGATGCGCGCCGCGCCAGTCCGCCGCGTCCTCGACGCAGACGCCCGCGTCGAGGCTTGATGCCTGGACGCAATGCCCGTCGTCGGCGAGCGTCGTGCCGGGAACGGCTCTTCCACTCATCCGGCGCTGCTCCGGGCACGTCACGACATCATCCGTTTGCACGGCCCAAGCCGTCGCCGTCGTCCGCAATAAAAGCGACGCCGCGACGATGCAGCCGACCGCTGCTGCTAACAAAGGCAGCACGCGCGTCTTGTACTTGTCCTGCGACGGGAGCCTTTCTGGGGGCGGCGGCGCCTTCGTGCCTGATGCACGGCGCAGCATCATCTAGGTCTGGGTCTGGCAGGGCTGCTCGCGTCGATGCCGGTGCTCGAGCCCAAAGGCGCTGTCTTTTTATGACTCCTGCAGCACCAGGGCGTCTCCAGGCTGTCACAGCAATGCGATGACCGCGATTTTGCCGTCTTTTGCTAGTGTGTTACAGTACGCTAGCTGTCGAAGCGCGGCCGCGGCGGTTATTTGACCGCATCGGTTGCGTAGGAGTGCGTGCGAACGGCGACGGCGTAGCCTGTGCCAGGCGCAACATTGCTGGGCATCCGTACGGCCAACACAGATGCGGCTCCTCCACCTAACCCTCCTCACAATAACGCAGGGCGAGACCAGTAGATTGAGAAGAGGCCTCACGTCCATCGCGCGGCAGCTCGCGCCGCCGGAAGCTGTGGAGGCCTGCGCGTCGATTGGAAGAGCATTAGAAGCATTGGAGAATAGACGAGGTCGCAAACATAGACGAAGGGGCCCGCTCGTGCTCGACTTATTATTGCTAAGAGCGTTAGACAAGGACTGCGAGCGAGGTACCAAAATACAAATCAAGGACCCGTCGTTCCTGCGGTTCGCGTGGCGCCACGCGTCGGCGGCCTACGGCTACGTGCTCCTGAAGGCCTGCGGGTTGCTACCGGGCGTGCATATCCGCAGCTCCATTCAAAGATTAGACGAGTTGGGCATACGGGAGCGGTGCGGAGACGTGGACGTGTTTTTTGAAAATTTCCGGGACAAGAAGACGTTAGATGGCACGCCGAAATGCTATGTTTGTAGAGATGGGGACCGCGTCGTGCTATCAATCAGAGGCACGGCGGACATTTTTGATGCATTGACCGATGTTTTGTGTGAAGCGGTGCCGTTTTTGAATGGGGAAGCTCATTCTGGTATGCTGAAGGCCGCAGATAGATGTTTAGCAGCGACGGAAGCATCGATATTGGAGGCCCTCGATTCTGCCCCGAGGAAATGCGACCTCGTAATTACCGGGCATTCCATGGGCGGCGGCTGCGCCATCCTGGCGGCGATGCGGCTCGACGAGCTGCGAAGGAGGCATGATGCGAAAGGGCCCGGGTCGAGGCTCGCGGACCGGTTGTATAAAGGCCAACACCACATCAGGTGTGTCGCGTTCAGTCCACCACCGGTCGCCACGGTCGCGTGCCGCGCGTCGCGGAGGTGCTCTCTCGCATCTGTGTGTAGAGGCGAGGACGTCGTGCCGTCTTTATCGTTGCGAAGCGTGGCGAATTTACTAAGGAGCTTGGACGTGCTCGACGCCTCGCTGGAGGTTGGTCGAAGGGCGCGGCTCGTCGCGTTAGATACAGTGAAGACCGACGCCGTCGATGAAGTCCGATCGAAGCTGGGGGCGCAATTATCAAGGCTGCGCGACGATTTTCACGGAGACGACCATCCAGCGCGTTTGGTTGTGCCGGGCGGCCTCGTCCGGCTAGGCCAGGAGCACCACGTCTTTGATGATAAACCGCCGGTGATCCGCGTGCGGGACGCGTCGGTGAGCGACCACACGCTTATGAGTGTCGACGCGTCCATCGAAGCACTGGCGGAGCACTATGTTGTCGACTAGCGTATTAAGTATCACAGACTGTTAGATAGGGAGTTCCCCGACGCGCACGCGGCTGCCACGACGCGTCCCAAGTATAAATGGGACGCACGTGCCGGTGGCCCAGGCGACGTACCACTGAAAGCGCGGCCGCTTCAGGTAGACGTGGTCCAAAAGCAACCCGCCGGCCACCCTAAAAGCCCACGCGATATGAAACAAGCACGACGCGTACGCGACTGGGACAGTATGTGTCCAGGCGCACGCCTCGATTCGATCACTGGATGCCAATGAGTCGAACCACCACCAGCACAATAAGCCGGGCACGAAGTGGCCTAATGTATTTAAAAAGTGGAAGTAGGGCATGCTTGCATCTATCCGCGTCGCCAATTCGCGGTAGTGTGACGGGTACAAGATGGCCATGACGTTGAACGAGAAGAAGATGGCCCAGCTGTTCACTAATAAGTAGGGCAGTAATCGCGGCGGGACGTCTATTCGGATGAACGCGTCGCACAATTGAGCTATCAACGCTGTACAATTCCATATGGTGTAGGTCGACGAGAGCAACGGCGGCCCGGCGCACAGCAGCAGACCCAACCCAGCAGCACAGGACGCCCAGCTCGCCCGCACGCTCATCGCGAGTCCTGCTAAAGCGCCGTAGCAGCCCGGGAGGATCAAATCTCTCCAATCAGGGAGCGGCTTTTGTTTATTTTGGTCGCCCAAAGCTAATCCAATATTGACCGTGCCGGCGAAGGAGGCGCTGCGCTTCATTTCCGTTTCGTCTAATTGCGCCGCGCTTCGGGTTCGCGCCGCGACGGGCGCCGTGTGGTCGACGAGGACCATGGTGCTCGCTGCGCCGTCTTACAGCTTACTGCGATGAATGCTCTCCCAGCTACAGGGCGTCGCAGCAGCTCGTAATGAATGCTGCTCTCCCACTACAGAGAGCACCTCGCGCGAAGGGCCTCACACGGCAAACGATCCGGCCCACGTCGTCGGCGCAGCGATGCGACGATTGATTCCGATCAGTGTGCGCCTCCGTAGGGCTGGGAGACGTCTACAGGTCCAGCGAGCACTCGAGTTTTGGCTGTGCTCTAGTGTCTTAAGGACGCTAGCAGTTGCTTCTTAGGCCCCATCTACTACACCCGATTGACGGGGAGGTTGTCGTAGTTGATCGACGATCTCCGCCGGACGAGCTCGATGCTCATCGCCGACGCGCGCCGGTTGAGGTCGTCGTTTTCGATCTTCCGCGTCCGCCGGCCGCAGCACGCCGCGAACCCGCAGTAGACCAGCGGACAGACAACGAGGATGATCACTGCCGCCATGAGCGCCGTCTGGTCAAACTTCTTCCAGTTTAATGTCTCGTAGATGTAACGGTCGCCGTCGCAGCGGAGGCCGCTCACGTAAAATACGGCCGACCAGATCAGGTAGAGTATCGAGTATCCGATGAAATACCTGTGCGGTAGACGCGTGGATCGACCGGCGCGGCCACAGATTTCCACACAGTAATACCATACACGAAGTGCCACGGGCGCACGGGCTGGTTCGTGAGCAGCTGGTCGACCGCCATCGCCAGGAAATTATACCCGTGCGTGAACGGCGTGATGGGGCGCGGCGTGCCGCCGTCGTAGATCAATGTCCAGTACAGCAGGAACACCAGAAACGACGCGGAGAGCGTCAGATCCTGGAGGACCCACGTCGCTTTCGCAAACCAGGGCGTCGGCGATGGCGCGTCCCTGTAGAACGCCGACGCCGTCGTGTACGCGGCGAAGGCGAGGTAGACGACCTCGATGATCAGCATTTGGTTCGTCACTGTGTGGGAATCAAATGTCAGGCGCCACGTCCCCTAACTCACTGGTCGATTTTCACACAGGTGCCGAACGATAGATGAGGTAACACCGCGACGGATGATGCGCCACGCTCCAGACAAACACGGCGAGCACGCTCGCGAACAGACAAACGCGCACGGCGAGGTAGGCCTTGCGGTCGTCGATGCAGCGGCTCGCGCAGAAGTACTCTTGCCATCGATTGTCGTAGGTCGATAAGGCGAACCTCTGGCGGCAGGACGCCATGCTCAGTTACAATGATACAGTAATTAAGTGGTCACGGACGCTAACTAACCCAACAATGATGGTCCATGAGGACAATGTTTTGTAGCCAGGCGTTTCGCGTTACCGGCTTGCCGTCTCGTCCCTGGGCGACGTGAATAGAGCCAAGAGCCTGACACTAACTCAAAATACTCGAGCCTGCGGGCAAAGCGCGTTCCTGTCAGCTAGCGTGTCTGTAACACACTAGCAAGCACGGAGCTCAAAGCCCAAAAAGGCAGCCAAACGGTGCCTGATTCAATATAAACCCAGCAGTGGTAGTCTTAATTAATGCCTCTTCTCACGCTGGCGAGCGCTTCGATGCGTGCTTGAAGAATACGGCACCCAGGAGCCACAGAGCACACAGAGCATTTTGGACAGCTCTGCTCTCAGAGTCAGAGCACTGCGCGCGTAAGACAATGCGCCAGACGCCGCCACCCACACCGTCGGCGCGGTCGCCGCGCCGCAGAGCAGGCTCCATCTCGTCGGCAGCCCACACCGGAAAGAACTACGTCTTAGTCCTCGTAGGACTATTAGCGGCTGGCTTAGTCCTGGAGTGCGCACGCCATTTGATACGACGCGACGAGCCCGCACCACCGCTCGAAGCAGACGAAACAAACTACCTCCCCGACCCGCGCACGAAATTATCACCAGGAGACACCGTCAACGCCTACGAGCTCGTGTCGCTGGCGGGCCAGGCCGGCGGCAACAAGCTCCCGGCGCCGATCGAGGGGATTACGCACTTCACGCCGGCCTTGCCCCATCCTCGAGATGCCTGCGCATTGACGGAGAGCGAGCCCGGCGCCCAGACGTCGTTCCGCTGGGCCATCAAGAGACGTTTGAACAGAGGCGCGCACGGCGAGGTCTGGGCTGCAACTAGAGAGGAGAGGGACTATGTGCTGAAGCGCATGTTTTTGGAGAAAGGAGCACACGTACGTTTAGCTGCGGCTCGGGAAGCGTGGTTCGGTGCGGCTCTGGGCGGTCATTTTGTGGAGAGTTTCGCGACAGCTAGAGGCGACGTGTGGCTGGTCTTCGAACACGCTGGTCGATCATTACATGATCATCTGTTCGAGGCCGATCCTACCATCGGGGTACTGAGACCTACAAGGGCCTGGCGCCAATTGCGGTTGGATGCTGATGGGCCTCGCAAATTCGCGGAATTATGTGTGGGGCTCCTCGAGGCGACGGCGGCCGTGCACGCGGCGGGCGTCGTGCACCGCGACGTGAGTTGCGGCGTCGCGTTTTTCCTTCGACCCGCGACCTCGACGCCATCGACGCGGTCGCGGCGATGGCGTATGGGGGGCGCCAGGCGCCATCGACGCGACGCCCGCGCGCAGGTCAAGCCCTCGAACATAGCTATTGATGTGACCGACGAAGGCTACATGAAGGTGACGCTGCTCGACTTTTCCAGCGCTTGGAGCCGCGAGGCGGAAAGTGCCGGGTTGTACGGCTCGACGGGCCCGTCGCGCGACGAGGAGACCGTCGAGTACATGCCTCCTGAAAGGTTACTCGACGACGGGACGAAGACGCCGTCCCCTTCCCAGGACGCCTGGGCGATTGGTGTCGTCTTGCTGGAGGTATTACTCGGGACGCGCCAGGCCTTCCAGGTGGATCCACGGACAAGAGCATTCGTAGAAAAAAGCCTGCGAGGGCGGTCGCGTTTTGAAATTGAGAAGGCGCTGCTCGAAGCGGCCCTGGCCGATCTGTGCGTCTTGCCCAAGGACGCGACGCCCTGCGCGCCGACGGATCTACTGGACGAGCTCCAGGAGCGCGACCCGCTGGAGGTCGGCTTCGCGTCGTACCTCGGCGTCGACGGCGCCGACTTCATCTCCTCGTTACTAGCGAGGGACCCTTTGGAGAGAGCCCTCCCGGCCCAGGCCCTGAACCACCCGTTCCTCCGGCGCGCCGCGGAGCAGCTCTTCGAGAACGTCCGGCGCATCGACGCGCCCGCGTCCTTGCTGGTCGAGGCGCCCAGTCGCGCATTAGATGCCCCCTACTATACGCTACCCGGCGTGAGGCGGCGCTTCGACGTCTGGGAGTCGTGCCGGCGCTTCGCGGAGTTGAAGAACATGACGGCGTTTTGTGAGTACGATGCAAGATCGTTGCCGCCCTGCTTATCAGCACAACGCTTCGAGATCGACCAGGAGAGCCACTACGGATTATGTGACTTGAGGGGGCGGCGGGCGCGCATCGAAGACCACCACGCGGTCGTGTATGATGACCATTACGCGTTGTGGGGCGTCTTCGACGGGCACGGTGGTAGGGCCGCCGCGCGGTATTCTGCTCGAGAATTGCCCGCGGCGTTATCCACTTTTGGTGACGACGATATAAGGGCCGCGTTTCACAGCGTCGATGCGGCGTTCGACGATCCGAAGCACGACAAGTCGGGCAGCACGGCGACGGTCGCGGTCGTCGTCAATCAATCCCTTGTCGTGGCGAACGTCGGCGACTCGAGAGCTATAGCCTGCTGCCCGTTGGTCGTTTTGACGGAGGACCACGTCGCGTCGGACGCAAGCGAAGCTTCACGTATTAATCAGCTGGGCGGGACCATTGTTGAAAAACGGGTCGAGGACCGCGTCGTGCTCACGCGAAGTATCGGAAATCGGGCGCTCGATCCCTTGTTGATCGCGGAGCCTTATATCACGCGCTATCCGTTATCGTCGTTCCGGTACCTGATCGTGGCCACGGACGGGCTCTGGGACGTCGTCTCCAACGACGAGGCGGCGCGGTTCGTCGGCGAAAGACTGGACGGGTCCGTCGACGCGGCGCAGCGCGCGGCGAAGGCCCTCGCGCACGAGGCGCTCGTGCGCCAGTCGACGGACAACGTGTGTGTGATTGTGGTCGATCTGGAGGCGCATGGCTCGTAGATGTTGTAGTAAGTGTGGTTCTCTGTCTCGGTCCGTACCTACCGGTAGGTGCGACGTCGCGGCGAAGGCGTGGGCCTCTTGTTGAGAGGGGTTTCTCAGGACGACTCTGCTGAAGAATGCGACTCCGGACTATCGTCTATGCTCCAGTAAGAAACAGGCATAGTTCTTAGTCACTTGAATACAGGCATTATTCTTAGTACACTCGTGAATAGGCCTAGAGCCCAACGACGACCCCGGCGATCGCCGCCGCCGCGACGAGGGCAGCGCGGCGCGCCAGTACCGGCTTCGCCGCCCGCGCAACGGAGACGACGAGGACCAGCGACGCGACCGCCAGGGCGGCGCCGAGGGCCTGCTCGGTGAACGTGAAATCTTCTTCTTCTTCCGTGTCCTTGTCGTCGTTCCCGGTCTCCTCGGGCGCGCGGTCGCGGCGGCGCTGCGGGCCCCAGAACATTTGCTCAATACTGTCGGCCGAGCCCTCCGAGCCCTCCGGCGGCGTCGGCGGGAGCGAGAGGCCCTCGACGTCGAGGCCTAGCGCTTCTCTCTGCGTCTCCAAACGTTGCCGCAGTAAATCATCGCGCTCCACCGTGAGCGCTTCGACGACCGCGCGCAGCGCCTCGGTCTCGCCCTCGCGAGAGACGTCCTCGAGTTGCGGCACGCCTCCGATGCGCGCCGCCACGGCGCGCTGGACGGCCGGGTCCCGCGCGAGGTCCGCGCCGAGTCTGACGGCGCGCCGGGCCGCCTCGGACGCGAGGGCCTCGGCGGGGATCGTCTCGACGGCGGCCGGCGCGAGGATCTCCAGGCCGCCGTCGACGTCGACATCTCCGGGTTTCAAGCCAATTTCGAGCCAAGAGCCCGCGAGGGGGACCTCTGGCTCCTCGGACTCCGTCGGGCGGTCGCGCAACGCCTCAGTGCGGTCTCCGGCGGCCAGGCCTGCCAGAGCGGCGGCGCCGGCGGGCGCTAGGCGTCGGGCGGCTTGGCCGGCGGGCACGGACATGATTTAAAAATCGGGGCGGCGGCGTATGAGAACTGAGGGCGTGCCGGGCGTACGGCAGGGCAAATTTCGAACGATCGTGCTCTGGCAGCTTTTTTAGCGTCTGAAGGGCCGATTTCGAGCGCCGCTTGCTTTGATTCTTCGCACACGTGTCAACCGAGTTGCTGGGAGTCTCGTCAAGTCTCGGTGGCCGCTGCAGGAGACGGCCTTGCGCTGTGCACTTTTGTCAGCATAATCAGGTAGCGTATCGACATACTAGCCAAAAGAGAAGCTGCTCCATACGCTAGTTCTAGCACCGTAACAAGTAGAGAGTGCCCCATACGCCATCGACGCGACGCATCGCGAACAGGCACTCCCAAACACGCTACTTAACCACCCTATCCCACGACTTCGGCGCGTTCGCCCTCGCTTTGGGAGCGGTCTCGTCGCCCGTGACCCGCCGGATCTGGTTCTTGATGACGGTCTCGTAGCCTAATGACAAATCGTTCGCTTCGGAAGGGCGCCCCGTCCTTGTATCGGGATCCCAGACGCACAACGTGTCGAGCTGCTCGAATCTTGAATGAAACGGTGAAGTGGGGTCCACGGCGAACGGAACGTTGCACCAGCTCCAGTTCAGCGACGCCAACCAACTACCCCAGACAAACAGCGCGATGGCGCCCCAGTAGGGCCCCGAGACGGCGGGCGGTGCCAGGAGCGGATTCACAACCTTCGGCTTTTGCGACGCGGTCCAGGGCGCCAGCACGGAGGCGGAGAACGGCTCCCCGGTCGTCCGGGTCTCGAGGGCCCTCGACAATTCGGCCGCCTCGCTCACGGTCCCAGCAGGTGGGAGAGCGTCCAGTGCCGCTTTAAGGCTCGCCTCGTCGGGAGCCGCACCTTCGCCCGTCGTCGCGTCTATAATACGACTCTTCGACGCGTCCAGCGCGACGGCCGCGAGCCTCGCTACTGCCGAGCGAGACCCCCCAAATCCTTGTTGCTTGGCCTTAGGGTCGGCCGCCGCCAAGGTTATGCTGCGCTCCGTGTCCACAACGGCCGCCGTTTGCGCGCGCATCGTGTCCACGTCGAGCCGGTAGTAGGGGCCGCCCTTCAATTCTCCTGTTCTCAATATTGTCGCAACAGCGTCGCCGCAGTTCTCGAGGCAGGCCGTCTCGGCCTCCGCCCACGCCTTCGACTCGTCGCCTATCAAAGCCAGCGCGTCGTTCGGCTTGCCGATGCGGCCGTAGAACACGACGTGCTGCGCGCCCGAGACCGCAGCAGCACTCACGAGGCTCGCGACGTCGTCGGCGTCCGGCGCCTCGTCCGTCGCGATCACCAGCGCGTCGACGGAGCCGCCCGCAAAGGGCCGCGCGTCGGCGGCGAGCGTGCGACCGTCGTCGTTCGTCGCCAGGAACAATTCCTCAGGTGCGAGCGCGGCGAGGTCGACGCCCGGTGCTCTTCTCAGTTCATTGCAGACGCTGCGGCCCGTGAGGCAGCCGGCACCCGCGACGAGGACCACACGGTCGGAAGCCATCGCGACGACGGCGCAGCGACGGCGTGCGCGTGCTGGTCTGGCTCTGCGGTGCCCCAGAGGTGCACGCAGCGCCGCCGAGAGCACTGCAAATGCTGCGAGGCTGAAGAGCCGCATCATTGCTAATTATTTGCGGTATGCGATGCAGCCGTAGGCTGTGGTATCCAGCAAAAGATTCGAGACAAAAGTTGTGCTAGCGTAGCATTGATGCTAGCGCTCTCAGACGCGTGCCGCGCGTGCCTAGCCGTACGCAACGCAGCAATAGCCAAACGGCAGTCGGACACCTTGAATGCTCATGCGAACCTAATATATGGCTCCACTGCGACTGCTGTGGTGTTTGTGCACGATTCAGGCGAGTTTAAGACCCCACAACGCAGCGCCTCCAGGACCGACGCGTCCAGCAGCGCACGAGTCGTCATCCAGCCACGAAAAGCGGCTAAAGGAAGACTCGCTTGGCTCAGTGTCGCGCCCTGCATTCTCAGCTTTCGCTTCTCTGCCGGGACCACCGACCGTCGCCGCGACACCGAAAACTGACCTCTCAAACGCGACCGAACCGTGCATTCTGACCGGTCTCGTCAACGCGTTCGAAGGCATCCCCGACGACCTCCTCACAAAAACCGGAGGTAAAGTGCGAGTCGACATCTGGCCCGTCGACGGCGGCCCGTGCCCGGCGAAGGACGGCGGAGTCATCATAGGACCCACTTTGGTTCCAGTGGCCGCGGACCGCGTGCTGCCGTTGCTGCGAGAGACGCAACGGGGCTACCACGCCTACATCCGCCACCTGGACCTCAACTCCTTCCCGGACGTCGCGGACCGCTTGCCGCTCAAGCGCGCGAAGCGGCTCTGCGGGCCCCGAATTAAGTCCGCCAACCTATGGCTCGGCGACGGCCGCGTGCAGTCGGCCGTGCACTGGGACGGCCACGACAACCTGTTGCTGCAGTTGGAAGGGCGGAAACGGGTCCTGCTGCTGCCGCCCGACGCCGTCTCGGTGCTCGGCTTTCGACGGTTCCAGTACCACGCCTGGTGCCTCTCATCGGACGAACTGGATACGATTGGTCGCGGCGGATCTATGGCCCCGGCATTCTCTGAGCACGAGCATTGCAAGGCGGACGTGGAAAACCACTGCACCTTCGACGCTTTTCGTGCGACGGCGACATTACCGCCATCAATCGAAAGGCGAGCGTACCTCGCGGTCCTGGAACCAGGCCAGGCTTTATTTGTACCGGCATTATGGCACCACGCCGTGGCGAGCGAGCCAGATCCGGCTTCCGGTTTGAATTGCGCCGCGAACCTGTGGTTCGTCCTCGGAACTGCTGCCCACGACGCAGCTTTACGAAAGACGCCGGCCTGGCCCGAGGCGTTATTTTGCCTGGCGGCCGCGAAGCGCTCGCTCGGCGACCCGCGGGCCGCGGTTCAGGCGTACGAACGCGCTCTAAAGCTGCGGCCGGCGATGACCGACGCCAAGCACAACCTCGCGGCCGCCTTGGCCGAGGCCGGCGACCTCAAGGCCGCCGTGGCCCGGTTCGAAGCGAACGTCGGCGGCGATGCAGCCGAGGAAGCGCGGCGGCTCTCCGGTTTAGGCGTTGTATATAAACGCCAAAATCGTCTTGAGGACGCCGCCGCCGCCTTCGACGCTAGTCTACAGCTCGTGGAGGACTCGCGGACGATGGTGTACCGGGGCAACGTCGCGGCGCTGCTGGGCGACCTTCCCGACGCGGAGCGGCGCCTCGCGGCGGCGGCGGCGGCGGCGTTGAAGCCCCGCGACAGGGCCGACGCCCTGAACTCGCGGGGCGTCGTCCTGGAAGCGCTCGATCGTCCTGGAGACGCTGCGGACTGCTACGACCGCGCGCTCGACGCGGTCCCGGGCCACGCGAAGGCGCGGGCGAACCGCGACGCGCTCCTCTAATGTGATTTTTGTAAAACACGACAACGTTACATTCAGTATGGGGCGGGCGACGGCGAAGGCGTCACGACGGCTGCTGCGGCGCCGACGACGACGCGCTCCGCCTCTATCAAAACGCCATCGTCCTGGCGGCCGTAAGAAACGCAGGCCCAGTCGTGCACCGCGTCGACGCCCAGCGCCGCGACGGGCGGCAATGCGCGCCTGTCCAGGAGCACCAGCCTCGCCCAAGCTCTCGAAGCATCCGCCAGCGCGGGCCTCAAAAACGGCGGCAGCGCGCTCGACGGAAGGGGCGCCTTCAGTGGCTTCTGAATCGCCGCCGACCTATCATGGGCGAAGCACGGCCCACCGTACCAGCGCGCCCAACTACCGTCGTCCCACCGCTCCTTGTGGGCGCACCACTCGAACGGCCGCCGCGCCGGCGTATGAGATGCGCCGAAGAAGAGGGAGAGACGCAGCTTCTCCCGCAGCGCGGCGCCGCCGTCCGCCTGCACCGACGAGAAATCGACAATGGTTACGTCCGGGGGCGCCTCCAGCAACGAGAGCGCGTCCAGGTGCTTCTCCAGAGCCGTCCAGCCGAGGCGCCAATCGACGATGCGCGCACACGCCGCCTCGTCCAAGTTACTAAGAGAGGCCATCTCCGTGCAGCGCACGTCCCCCAGAATCGATTCTTGGACATCCGGCCACAGGCAGAACGGGTGTAATAAACATAACCGTGCGGCGCCCTCTCCAAGTTGTGAGTAGTCCCGTTCACATTTCATGCGTCTCCAAGCATCGCGCCATTGAGTGGATGTGACGCGGCGGCCGTCGATAGATGAATCCTCCGGCGTGAAGTGTGGTGCTAAGGCGCCGCTGTCGACGCGGTCCAGCATCGACACGAGGCGGCTCTCGAGCTGCAGCCGCGGTTGGCGCACGACAACGACCCACCACCTCGCGATCGCGCTCCACAGTTCGATCGTCGCGGGTAGAACCTTATTGGACACCTCCTTGACGAGGATCGTCGTCGCGTTGGTCGAGGCCTCCAAGACCGCGCGGAAGACCGGCTCGATCCTATTCGAGCCGTCCGGCAGTCCTAATAAACTGGGCTCGTTGACCTGGGCGTCGAAAGGTAAAGCTTCGTACAGGAAACGCTCCGTCGCCGTCGTGCCGCCGCGCGGTAATCCCAAGACAAAGACGATGCGTAGCGTGCCGGCGTCGGTGCGCTGCTTCAGGGCGCGGAAGGACGGCGCCTCGCTGGCTAGCTTTCTGGCGGCGGGCGTGAGGGTGTCCATCTGGCTGCTCTTCACCCTGCCGCGCGTGTTGTTGCGGCGGCTACGTTGCTGCGGCTACGTTGTTGCGGCGGCTAAGAGCGTCGACCGTCCCGCGCGGCGTGGCAGCGATGCTGTCACAGCCCTTGGCTGATTTGGGGTCCTGTGGCCGCGGATTTCGAGCGCTGCAGGCACAGCTCGTGAACTGAGGCTCCAACGGCCTGGGGTCTCCTATTAATTGGCACGAGCGCAGCGATACAACCCGTGAAACGCTGCCCTGGGAAAAAGCTGAGCTAGCGTATGGACATACTAGAACACAAACAAAAACGCATCGAGGCGTTCATCGCTGCTAAAAACCAGCCCCGTTGGGCGCAAGCAGCGGCATTCGTGCTCCCGCGCTGCTGCCGATCATCTGAGACACGCGTCAGCTCTCCATCCACCAGCCTGCAGAGGCGATACAGCTGCACGCCAGTCGCAGCGATGGCCGACGACGATAGCAAGACCGTCGAGGGCGCGCCACAAGTAGAAAACACCTGCGCCGGCTGCGGGTTACCGGCGAAGATGGCCTGCCCCCACTGCGTCAAAATCAAGGCCAGCGAGCCGCAAGACTTCTCCACTGATTATGGAGTGGCCTACTACTGCGCCCAGGACTGCTTCAAGAAGCACTGGAAGACGCATAAGGCGCAGCACAAGCCCTGGGCCGCCGCTGTGGAAATTGCTACACCATTACCAGGAGGCAACGAACGGATGCCATCCTGTTTCGACAACTACCAAGGCTGGACCGGTTCGTTGCGACCCTGGGCGCGGCCCGCCGTCGACGATACAAGGGCTAGATTATTGCGACTGCCGGCTTCGGTCCAGAAGCCGGACTACGCCGGTTCAGGGCAACCCTACTCCGAAATACTTGATAAGAGGAACCGGACCGCAAAAGTGTATACGCCGGAGCAAATCCAAGGTATTCGCAAGGCTTGTAAAATAGGGCGGGAGGTCTTAGATGCCGCGGGTCGAGCCGTGAAGGTCGGTGTCACGACCGCGGAAATCGACCGCGTGACGTATGAGGCGACGGTGTCAAGGGGAGCCTACCCCTCACCGCTCAACTACTACAACTTCCCCTGTGCCGTGTGTACGTCCGTAAATGAAGTCATCTGTCATGGCATCCCGGACCTACGACCGTTGCGGGACGGCGACGTCGTCAACGTCGACGTCTCGGTGTTTTACCAGGGCTACCACGGCGACCTCAACGAGACCTTTGTCGTCGGTCAATGTTCCCCGCAGAATGTTGGGCTTGTGGAGACGGCGTTCCGGTGTTTAGAGGCGGGCGCGGCGTTGATACGACCCGGTACGATGTATAGGGATATAGGCTCAAATATTGAAAGAGTAGCAAAGAAGCGAGGCTGCCAGGTCGTCAAGACCTACTGCGGTCATGGGATTGGGGAATTATTTCACACGGCGCCGAACGTGCCGCACTACAGCAAGAACAAAGCTGTGGGAGTGATGAAGGCCGGCCACATCTTCACGATCGAGCCCATGATCAACCTGGGCGGGTGGCGCGACCGGACCTGGCCCGACGACTGGACGGCGGTGACGGCGGACGGGTCGAAGTCGGCGCAGTTCGAGCACACGTTTTTGGTGACCGAGGACGGCTACGAAATATTGACGATGCGCGACGGCGAGCCGCGGATGGCCTGGGACCTGACGAAGCAGCAGCGGTGAGTAAACTTAGGTTCTAGTATGGGGCGCCACGGAGGGTGCCCGGTCGATATCTCGGTCGATCGATGCGACAGCACTGGCGGGTCTTTTTTGGCTAATCATCTTCAAATGTATTCGATCCCTGCCCCACGATGTATATCAAATTGAGCATCAGAGTGTACCAGATGAGATACGCAAAAAAACCGGCCATTCCCCAGCCGAGCCCGCCGCACTTACTCCGGCCCGCTTTCGCACGCTGCAGGAACCTCACGACTATGGGCGGGACGGGGGCAAAAATGATTCCAAGTGATTCGGGCCATCCCTGAGCCACGTAGGTACCAGAGACGCCAACGAACACCGTGCCAGGAATCGCGAGGACGCAGACGAGTTTGACGGCGTTTAGGATTCGTTCGTCGGCGTCCGTGACACGCACTCTTGCATTTTCTTCTGCCTCTTTGCGCGTGCGTTCGTCGAGACCGTGTCGAAATGCGAGGTCATCGATATCTAACAAAAAAACAACCGCCACGGTGTTCAGGCACACGTCCTTCACTCGACCGCCGTCATTCAGTACAAGCGCCACGACTGACAAGATTACGTTTGGAAGCATTATATAATACCGCGCAAAGTTCAGGCCACGTATGGCGAAGCGCCAGCCGCTGCTGACTTCTCGTCGCTCTGATACATCTCGCAAGGCGATCTCGCACAACATAGCATCACGTATCTCTGCAAACACGGCGAATGCGACGACCAGCGAAGCCAGGCCGAGGGTGAGCCAATCTTGAATCATCATCGAGTCGACTCGATCCCTCACAGCGTCCCCATAGTGCTCGAAGCCTTTATCCGTCGTGCACGTGGCGCACATATTCTGGCTCCCTTTTTCGTCCCAGTAGCATTTTTCGGTCGAGTCGGCATCGCAACAGTGCTCCCACTCACTTTCGCACCATTCGCACAGCCCCTCATCGCAGAAATTACCGCGGGGGCAATCTGAGTTTTCGCCTGTGCATTCAACCAGTGAGTTGGGCGGCAAAAGGTGATTATGCGCTGTTGTTCGCTGCACGTGCTTAAGTTAACCCCGATGGCGAATCCACTGGTGACGAAGCACTGCAGGAATACAATTCCGATCGATATAGTTAGGAGCCCGTACTTGCGCCGCGGCGGCGTGTCCTCCCGAACAAGTCCGTAGTAAATCGTGGTCTGGTGGAGGCTGTGCGGCTCGCGCGTCGCGAGGCGGTGCAGCGTCGCACGTATCGTGTCTTCGTCAGGCGTCTTCGCGGGCGTGCGATTCGTGATCTCTTGGTCGCGCGGCGGCGCTGCCTTTGTCTCCTCGGCCTCCACATCCTTTTCTTCTGGAGCTACTTTACTCACGCTGCGGGCAGCCATGCCCAGCCGTCGCGAGGCGTGGTCCCAGGCCTTCGGATTAATTGATTAGTCGTCGGCAGCATCTATGTAGCGCTCGCCAGCAGCGCTGCCCGCGGCGCCGCGCAAAATCCAGAGCATGAGCGCGTACCCTAATTGAATTGAATTGAGCAGGTGGAAGGGACGTCCTCTATGTCTATGTATATTCGAAAATCTTAAGAGTAGGGTCATGGGTAAGTCCCAGATAATCAGACCCAGGAACCTGGCCAGAGCGCGCGCGGCCGAGTCCGATGCGACATCAGATCCGTCGACGTCGACGCGCGAAATCGCGTGAGCTAGTCATCATCAAACATTCGCTCACCGTGAGCTTGGAAGAATAGCAACATGTACAACAAATGGGCCCATACGATATACACGAACCACTCGGCAAATCCCCAGCCGATCCCGCAGCAGGCCTCCTTGAGTTTAAGGCCACTCGATTTCATACGTTGCACGAACACCGCGACAATGGCCGGTAGAGGGGCGAGCAGTATCCCGCATTCGTCAGGATCGCTCGCGACCATGCCGTAGCCGCAGACGCCACCGAAAATCGCGCACGGGATGAGGACCACACATATCAATTTGACGAGGCCCATTGTTTGCAGGTCATCTTCCGTCACGCGTGCCCCTGAATGAACATGTTCCTCCGCTTCCATCCGCGTGCGTTCGCCGAGACCGTGCAGAAACGCCAGGTTATCCACCTCTAAGAGGAACAGAACTGCCACCGTGTTAAGGCACACATGCTTAACTGCCCCGCCATCATTAAGTACGAGCGCCACGACTGAATTAACTATACTTGGAAGCAGCAGAAAGTAGCGCGCAAAATTCAGGCCGCGGATGGCATATCTCCAGCCTCGTGGGACTTCCCGCCGCTTTGATATTTCTCGCAAGGCGATCTCGCACAACATGCAGTCCCGCATCTCTGCGAACAGGGCAAATGAAACGACTAACGAAGCCAAAAATAGCGTGACCCAATCTTGTATTAACATCGCGTCGACGCGATCCTTCACAACGTCCTGAAAAATTATCCATCCTTTGCTGCCCGTACACGCGGCGCACATATCTTCTCTATCGATGCCGTCCAGCCAGCAGGTGTCTGTCGAGTTGGTGGTGCAGCACTCTTCATGGATTGATTCGTAGCACCAATCACAAATCCCTGAATCGCAGAAATTGCCACGTGAAGTGCAATCGGAATGTTCGGCGCACGTGAAGTAATAGATACCAGTGCTTAGTCCGGTGGCGACGAAGCACTGCAGAAATACAATTCCGATCGACGCGGCCAACAGGCCGTACTTGCGCCGCGGCGGCGTGTCCTGGCGGACAAGGCCGTAGTAAATTGTGGTCTGATGAAAACTGGTGGGCTCACGCGTCGCGAGATGGTGCAGCGTCGGCGCGTGAGGCATCATCCCGAGCGGCGCTGCCTCTACATCCTTGGCGTCGTCTCCTGGACTCACTTTACTCACGTTGCGCGCAGCCATGCCCACGCCTCGGATTGATCGATTAGTTTCGTTGGGGCAGCATCTGCGACGAAGCGCGCACAGCGCCGCGCAGCGCCGTCTCCTGCCAGGCTCTGGCAGCCCGAGCAGATCCCGAGCTGGCCGGACGCCGCGCACCTCCGACCCCCTACGAGCCGTACTCGGAGCTCTGTTCAACAACTACCACATAACTAGACTTACCTAACTTGCTTTTTCGTCGTGTTCGTAGTTCGAGACCCCGGTAATCACCGGAAACGAGAAGAACACGTAGTAGTACACGATCCACCCAAACAGTCCTCGGGCAAATCCCCAGGCGAATCCCCGCCATCGGTCCTTCGCCTCATGGACCGACTGGACCAGGGCAACGACCATGCACGGGAAGGGCGCGCAGACGCCGACAATGACCCACGGGTCGCTTGATCCGACGCCGCCCAGGATCGCCATGGGAATAGAGAACACGCACACCGTCTTGATGGCATCGACGATGCGCGCCTCGTTTTTAGTCAAAAGTATTCGGCCGTGCTGCTCGGCTTCTATCCGGAGCGACTCGTCCAGGGCGTGCGTAAAGGCAAGATTGTCGAGCTCCACAAGGAACAAAATTGCCACCGCGTTCAAGCAAATCGCGATGGAATTACCTGTCTCGACCACCACGAGTCCCATGACGCATCCGATGATGTAGGGCGCCAGCGCGAAAAGACGCAGATAGTTCAGCGTGTGCAGGGCCCATGGCCAGGCGCGACCCACTTCGCGCTCGTCGCAGATTCTCTGCAGGGCGAAGCGGCACAGCGTCGCGTCGCGGATCTCGCCGAAGACCCCGTAGCTGACCACGACCGCCGCGAGGAGCAGTGCCGCCCAATCGTGAGGCATCATGGCGTTGATGTTGTCTCGGAGTACGGGCCTGTAGTTGATGAATTCCCCGCCGTCGTTCGTGCAGGCGTCGCACATGCCCGGATTCACGTCGACGTCTATCCTGCATTCCCCACCAATGCGCGTGGAGTTCCCGCAGCACTCGCGGTTGTCCCCGCCCTTGCACTTGTCGCAAAACCCGCCGCCAGTCGTTTTGTCCCTCTTGCACCACATGCCGCGAACGCAGTCGTCGTGGTAGTTACACGTCCGGAAACTGGAGCCCCAAAAAATCCCAATGGCAACGAACGCCTGGAGGGCCACGATTGCGTAGCTCGCGGCGAGCAGCTTGTACTTCAGCCGCGGCCCGCCCGTGTCGGACACGAGCGCGTAGTACACCGTCGCCTGGTGCAGCGAGTTCGGGTCCCGCTTCGCGAGCTCGTGCAGCGTGGCCTGGTCGGGCTCCGTCTCTAGCCTCCGAACGCGCCGCTCGACTGCCTCGAGGTCCAGCAGCGGCGCTTCCGCTTCCTTTGTGTCCTCGGCTGCCGGACTCACCTTCTGAACAGCGGCCATACTGGCGATGCGCGTAGCAGAATTGCAGTTCAGGGAGCCAATGTCTTCCGGATTGATCGTTAGTCGTCGAGCAGCATCTGTGCAGCGCCACGTGCCGGCGTCAGGCGCGCTGCGCATCCAAATCCAGACCAGGGACCCTATTTGAATGGAATTGAATTCAGGCTTCGAAAGGCGCCTTCGATGACTAGTTATATTCCAGAGACTTAGCAGTAGGGTCATGGGCGAGTCCCAGATAAAATTGACCCCTGCAGCAAGGCCGCGTCGGCTATTTCTCATCAAATCCCTCTTCTCCCTGCGTTTGGTAGATCATCAAAGTCGTGACCGCAAGCAAAAAGAGCCAAAACACGACGAATCCGGCCACAGCCTCGCAGACGGCTCCGCAAGCTCCCGTTAGTCCGTTCGCTCTCGCACGTTGCACGAACACGGCAACAACAAAAGGCAAGGGGGCAGCGACATACACAATATTCCCCCGCATTAGTCTGTAGCCACGGACGCCGCTGAAAACCACGCAAGGGATAAGGACCACACAAACGATTTTGACGGCGTCCATGGTTCTCAGCTCGTCATTCGTCACGTGCCTCGCCCCGGCATTTTCCTCCGCCTCCATACGCACACGCTCGCTAAGACCGTGCAGGAAGGCTAAGTTATCGACTTCCAATAGAAACAAGACAGCAACGGTGTTGAGACACACGTCCCGTACTCGGCCGCCGTCAGCCAAAACAAGCTCCATGACAGACAAGACTACACATGGGAGAAACACGAAGTTTCTGCAAAAATTCAGGCCACCAATGGCGAAGCGCCAGCCTCGGGGGACTTGTGATATGTCGCGCAGAGCGCAGTGACACAGCACGGCATCGCGCATCTCTGCAAACACGGCGAACGCGACCACCAGCGAAGCCAGAAACAGCGCGAGCCAGTCTTGAAGCCTCATGGAGTCGACCCGGTCCCTCTGAATGTCCGGATACGTCTCGAAGCCTTTGCTGGTCATGCAAGCGGAACACAATCCTTCTCTCTCCTTTTCGTCCAGCTTGCGTGTTCTCCCTTCACGAGTCGCGCAGGTGTCCGTCGCGTTGGGTAGACAACAGGACTTGTATCTTTCTTCGCACCAGTCACACATCCCTTCCGCGCAATACAATCCACGGCCGCATTCCGAAATTTCGCTACACGAACTCATACTAACCCCGATGCTAAAGCCGGCGCCGACGAAGCACTGCAGAAATACAATGACGATGGACGCGGCCAGGAGCCCGTACCTGCGCCACGCGGGCGTGTTCGGTCGGACCAGCCCATTATAGATAGTGGCCTGGTGAAAGCTCGTCGGCTCGCGGGTGGCGAGTTGATGCAGCGTCGGCGCGCTGGCTGTCGTCTCGAGCGTTCGAATCCTTGTCTCATGGTCGAGCAGCGGTGTCTCTGCTGCCTTTGTGCCCTCGGCTGCCGGGCTCACCTTGTGCTCAGCCATGCGCAGCTGAGAGATGGCGGCAGTGCTTTTCGCTCAGAGGCTCGAGCGCCAGCCAACGAGTTGTCGCCGGTCAATCTCGCTGCACGTCGGTCTACAGATATCAAATTGGGCAGCACTTGTGGCTTCTGCGCCTCACGCACAGCGCATTCTTTTGCAAGAGCTCGTCCGGGTTTTACGCGGCGCTAGAGCAGCGTTAGCGGAGCCTTCGCAGGGCGTACGTAGCCGCTAAGTAATTTCAAACAAACTAATTACTAGGCGAACCGGGAAGACGACCGGACGCGGCCCCCTATCTAACATACTTTGCTCCCTCTCCCGTCGCTTGAAGATATATCATCTGGTAGAACAATGCACCCCAGCCAACCATGGCGACGAACCCGACGATTGCCCAGCCAAGCCCGGCGCACACTCCCCTTCGTCCGTTCGCCTTCACTCGCTGTACGAACACCACTAACATGGACGGCAGAGGGGCGAGCATGTAACATACATTATCTGTTTCTCCGTCGGCCAAGTTTCTCGCGTAAGCACCACAGACGCCTCCGACAATCGCACAAGGGATCGTAAGGACGCACACGAGCTTGACGGCATCCATGCTCTCCAGGTCGAGCTCCGTCACTTGTTCGTGCGCCCCTGCGTGCTCTTCCGCCTCCATGCGGGTGCGCTCGCCGAGCCCGTGCAGAAAAGCGAGGTTGTCAACTTCCAATAGAAACAACACTGCCACAGTGTTCAAACAAATATCTCTAACCCGCCCGCCGTTATCGTGTACAAGCGACATGACTGAAAAAAGTATCTTTGGAAATAGTATGAAGTAACGAGCAAAGTTCAGGCCGTGGATAGCAAACCGCCAGCCGCGGCTGACTTCTCGTCGCTTTGATATCTCTCGCAAGGCAATTTCCATCAGCATGCCATCCCGAATCTCCGCGAACACGCCGAACGCGACGACCAGTGAAGCCAAGAAGAGCGCAAACCAATCCTGAATGAACATTGCGTGGACTCCTTCCCTTATAACGTCATGGTTAGTCTCGAATCCTTTGTCCGAAACGCACGTGTTACACATGCCTTCTCTGTCCTTCTCACCCATCTCGCGGCGATTATGTCCCTCTTTTTTATCGATCGAGCAGGTTGCTGTCGCATTGGGAAGGCAGCAGGACTTATGCCACTCTGAGCACCCACTACAAATCCCCTCGTCGCAGAAATTTCCACGGGTGCATTCCGAGTGTTCGCTGCACGTGCTCGTGCCAACCCCGAAGCTTAATCCAGTGGCGACGAAGCACTGCAGAAATACAATCCCAATCGACGCTGCCAACAGTCCGTACTTGCGCCACGCCGGCGTGTTCGGTCGTACCAGTCCGTAGTAAATGGTTGATTGGTGGAAGCTCGTCGGCTCGCGCATCGCGAGATGGTGCAGCGTTGGCGCATCGGGTGTCGTTTCGATCGCTTTCACGCGTTCCGCTAACGTCGCCAGGTCCAGCAGCGGCGCCTCTGCTCCCGCGAGGTCTATTGACGGGCTCACCTTTTGGGCAGCCATCCTGGTGGTGCGCAGCAGACGTGCAACAATGCCTTACAGATCAATAAGGCAGCGTTAGATCAATAAACGCAAGCAAGGAAACAATGTATTTCAGATCAATCGGCAGCGTTTATTAGCCGGCACGGCCGCGCGGATCCGGCAATCCGCCGCCGGTAAGGTATCGATAAAGTACCTTATACCTCGGTGGTGGGGGTCGGAGGCTTGAGAGGCAGCGCTTATGTGAAGTGCTCTCCGCCGACCGCGCGAGCAACACACGCACTCCGGACGTTTGTCGCGAGCGGTTTTATTGCCAGTGAGCCCACCGCGAAATTTGCAAGCGCTCGGTTCACTAGCACAGCTCGAGCACTGCAGCCGCAACATGGAGCCCTCCCCCGACGTCGACGCCGCGGTCCGCCAGGCAACAACAGCCCTCGACGCCGTCGACGACGCGCGGGCCCAGGCCTGGGCCGCCGTCCAGGCCGCGGCGACCGCCGCCGGCTGCGCGCCCGGCGACTTGTTTGGACACAAAGTGAATATTGATGTTTTACAGAGCGGCCCGCCCACCGCCGCATTACCGGTGCTCGTCAAGGCGGCGACGGCCTGGAAGCGGCATTTAGAAGGAGGTTATACGTGGAGAAGACGAGATCGCACCAAAAGACGAAAAGGCGCGGCCTCAAACCTCGTATCGATTGTAGACGACGGCCTGGGGCCTTCCGCCTTCGCCCACCTCATTCTGGGTTCAGGATTCTGCGCGCCGTCGGACCTGGGAAGATTGTCCCGCGTCGCCGCGTGTTTTGGGAGTAGACGACCCCATGAGATAGCAGGTCAAAGGCCCTGGCTCTCGTTATCGGAAGCGTCCTGCCGCGTCCTCGCCCAGAACCATTTGCGGCGCATGCTGAAGCCTGCGGTTGCGGTACTACCCATCGGTAGGGCGTGCGGCAAAGCCTTTGGTAGTCGTAGATTGGAAGACGCCGTCAAAGCAAGGAACGGGCCCCTCAACCGGTGGAGAGCACAGTTAAAAGTAGGCGATCGGTTGGATGTCATGGACAACGACGCGCGACGGGCGAAACGAGGCGATTTAGGGAGGTGGTGCGAGGCGGTGCTCGTGGGGTGCACGGAAAAAAATGATAGAAAATGGTGGACGGTGCACTTCCGGGGCTGGGATACGAGGTTCGACGAGGAGATCGACGCGGACCACGCTGAAAGATTTTTACCACCTTATTCGAGCGTCGAGGACTGGCGGAATGGGTTGGAGGAAGGCGACGAGATAGAGGTGAGACGGCCGGGCGACCACGGCGACGCGCGGACCTACTGGTTCCAGGGGCGCGTCGTGTCCGTCGCCAAGGACGAGATCTTCGTGAGGATGCAGGTCCTCGACCCGTCGGTCCAGCAGCTCGAGCCGTGGCCCGTACAACGCGACTCCGAGCGCATCGCGGCGAAGCACGAGCACATCAAGCGGGAGGTCTGGCTGACGCTCAACTAAGTAGTACCCTTACTCACGTTCGTCGGTACCGGACTCAAAGCCTGGAGCCGCTCCCGCGCGCTCCGTAACCTAGCGATCTCCGCGTCCTTGGCCGCGAATTCCCGGGCCACCTTCGTCATCTTCTTCTCGAGCTTCGCCGTGAACCTGTCGAGCTCGGCGTCGTGCGACGCTTGTTGTTCTGCTAAGCGTGCATCTAACTCTTCTTCAAACAACGCCAATTGCTTCGCCGACGTCTCGCTCCGCTGGTCGTCCAGCGCGACCTCGCGCGCCGCGGCGACCTCGGCGACGGCGGCCGCTTTTTGTTTCATGGCATCCAACTCAGCTTCGAGCGCCGCGACGCGTTCCAGGGACGCGTCTCTAGCTTGGTTTGTAGAAGCGAGGTCCGCTTCCAATGATGAAACGCGTTCTGATGCGGCGGCCTGCTTCCGGAGGTCCGCTTCCAATGAAGCGACGCGCTCCGCAGCGGCGGCCTGCTTCTGGAGCGCGGTCTCCAATGCATTCGTGTGGTCGTCGCGCTGCCTTTGTAAAGACGCGTCGTGGTCGGCGCGCTGCTGGTCCAACGCCCGGTTCAGCGCCGCCGCGTGGTCGTCGCGCTGTTGCTTCGACGCCGCGGCGTGCCGCTCGGCGGCCGCCGCGGATGCCGCCGTCGCCGCCGCGAGGTCCGCGCGCAGCGACCCGATCATGACGAAATGGGCTTTTTCCGTCTCCGCCAGAACCGTCGTATGCTCCGCCCGCGCCGTATCGAGGGCGGTAGCGTGCTCCCGCCGCAACGACTCAACCGTAGACGCGTGCTGCTTGCCCGCCGCCTCCAGGAGCATCGCGTGCTCCTTCCTCAATTTACCGATATCATCCTTCGAGGCTTTTTTGGATGCCTTGTCGAGGTCGGCCTTGAGCCCCTTCTGGATCTTCACGTTGGCCTCGAGGGCCTTGGCGTGGCTCTTGTCCTTCGCGTCCAAGGCCTTGGAGTGCTCCCTCGCCTTCGCTTCGATAGATTTGGCATGGGCCTCCCGGAGAGCTTTGGCGGCGCTCTCGTGCTTCTGTAGAGCTTTTTCTAGGGCTTTGGCGTGGTCGTTCTTCAGCTTCTGCTGGGCGGAGGCGTGCTTTTCCGAGGCTGTGGAAACTTCGTGCTTCGTCGCGTCGAGGGCCGCTTGGAGCTTCGCGCAGGCGTCCCGGTGCGACGCGTCTCGGAGTTCTAGCGAAGCCTTCTCACTCAAAGCGGCGGCTAATTCCGCTTTAACAGAGGCATAAGCTTTGGCAGCTTCGACAGACTCCTGCGTCTGCGCCGATTCGAGTGCAGAGGCGTGCTCCTGTTTTGCGGAAGCGAGCGCCGTCTCCGCGGCGGCGACGGCCGTAGCCTTGTCGGCGAGATCCGCCTTCAGAGAAGCTATAACAGAAGCGTGCTCCTTCTCGAGCGACGATAGGGCGAGGGCGCGCTCCTTCCGCGCGGCCAACAACGCAGCGGCGTGCTCCTCGCGCGCCGCGGCGAGAGCATCTGTTAATGCAGAGTGCTCCTTCGCGAACCGTTGTACACCCTCCCTCACCTGGTTCTCCAGACCTTCGGTGGCGGCCTTCGTCTTCATCTGGTCCTGCTTGAGAGCTTCGATCTTCGCCCCATATTCGCGGGAGATAGCATCTATAGCGTTGCCGTGGGACCGGTTGGCCTTGGCGAACTCGACGGCGTGGTCCTGCTGCAGGGCGTTGATCTCCTCATTGTGCTTCGCGCGCTCGTCGTGCAGCGCCGCCGCGACGGCCTTTGAAATACCCTCGGACCCGGCGTTGGAAGCTGCCAAAGCGGCGTCGCGCTCGGCGCCGAGCTTCTCGGTCGCCGCTCGTAGGGCAGCGGCGTGCTGGGCGTCGCGCTCCCGCAGCGCCGCGGCCGCGTCGTCTTTCGCTTGCCTCAGCTCGGCCTCGACCTCGCTCCGCACTTGCGCCCGCGCGTCGCGCGCGGCCCGTTTTTCATCACCGCCGCGTTGCAACGCGTTCTTCTGGCGCAGCGAATGCAGCTCCTGCTCGTGCTCGGCCTCCGCATCTCGCAGTCGCTTCGCCCAGGCCGCCTCGGCCGTCGTCGACGCGGTCGCTATCGCATTATCCAATTCCTTCTTCCTAGATTCGAGCTTCCGCTCCAGACCTTGCTCCGCTATTCTCACGGTCTCCTTCGCCCTTAGCCGCTCCTGCTCCGCCAAAGACGCGTACTCCCTATCCTTATCGAGGCGCGCCTTCTGGACGGCCTTCCTTAGAGTAACAGCAGCTTCATCAATCTCCTTCCCGCGTCTCAACAATTCGCGCGAGTGCGCCGCCTTCAGCTCGACGAGCTGCGCGTGGTGCTCCGTATCCTTCCGCTTCAGCCGGCCGACGGCGTCCACCAGTTCGTCGTTACGCTCGCGCAGCGCCTCCTCGACGGCTCGTGCCGCGTCGGCTTGGAGTTGCGTCCTTTCGGCCGCGAGTTGGGCCTCGTGTTCTCGAGATGCCGCTTCGAGGGCCTTCTCGTAGCCTCTCTCAACAGCCTTCAAGCGCTCGGCGGCGCCCAATTCCGAAGAAGCCTTTTCTTCCAATAAAGCTGCGGTCGCGCGCGCGACCTCGGCGTCGCGCGCCGCGGCCAATTCTTTGCGCCTCTCCCTCAATTGGGCGGCCTCGTTCTCGAGCGACTCCCGTCGCCGCCCTAGAATGCGGAAGGGCGCCGCCGCGATGCGCGCCACGCCTAGTAATGGAGACGCGGCGAGGCGGCCGATGCCGGTGCAGGCGCTCGGCCGCAGGGGCGGGTCCGGTTCTTCATATTCCTCTTCTTCCGCGTCGCCCGGTACTAGACGCACGTCCGGCGGGGCCGCGTCGTCGCCGAGGGCGCCGCCAGGGGTCACCAAATGCGTCTCCGCGGCTGCCATGTTTCGTGTGCTCGGTGCGTGCGTTCCCGGCGCGAGTTTTTAATGCGCACGGGTCCACAGCGTAAAAAGGCGGCGCCACGCGCGCAGGATCGCAGCCGTAGCCCGTGCACGGCTGATTTACGGCTAGCCGTTGGCTGCGGCTCACATGCTAGTGTCTTACTGCCGCTAGCAAGCATTATTTTTACGGGTCTGCTTTTGGCATCGTAGGGCTGCCCCCGAGCGATTTGACCATACTAAAGATGATCCTCACGCAGTGCGCCGTCTGCGCCACCGAGCTTGGGCTGACCTTGGGGAAGAAATGCGGCCGCTGCAGTACACGCTACTGCGGACCCGAATGCCAGGTGCAGCACTGGAAAGAGGGCGGCCACGACCAGATCTGCAAGAAGATTAAAAAGGCTGGTGGCGCAGAGCAATACAACGCAGATAAGAAGTGCGCAGAGGCCGTCGCGGTCGCAGTCGAGGCGTGCGCGGAGGACACCAAGGGCCAGACGTGCTACATCTGCACGCAGGCCCTCCACTGGAAGACGAAGGAGGGCCTCGTGCGCATGTGCGCGTGCCGCGGGACGGCGGGTTTCGCGCACGTGTCGTGCCTGGCGGAGCAGGCGAAGATTTTGTGTGACGAGGCCGAGGAGAGAAATTTGTTTGGTACTGAGAGAGGAAATTCGAGGTGGGATCGGTGGAACAAGTGCAGTCTGTGCGAGCAAAAATACCACGGCGTCGTGGTGTGCGCGCTCGGGTGGGCGTGCTGGAAGACGTACGTGGCCCGTAACGTGGGGAGGCCGCAGGCGGATATGATTCGGTGCTTGGCAATGGGCGTGCTCGGGATCGGTCTCTACAGTGTGGGGCACAGCGAGGACGCGTTGTCCGTGCAAGAGGCCCAATATCCTATGATGAAGCGCCTTGGCGCACCAGAACAAGAGCTACTCACCGTGCAATGCAATCTTGCGAGCACGTATTTAGCCCTCGGACGGGACGAAGATTGCCTGCGCGTGCGGCGAGACGTCTACTCTGGGCGGTTGAAGCTCCTTGGAGACGAACATCTGGGTACCCTCTCAGCAGCTCACAACTACACGTCGGCCCTTCATCTTCTGAAGCGTTACGAAGAAGCTAAGGCATTCACGCGCAAAGTAATCCCCGTGGCACGACGCGTTCTCGGAGAGAGTCATGAAATCACGCTAAAGATGCGCTGGTGTTACGCCGAGGTGCTCCATAAAGCCAACGGCGCCACACTAGACGATAACCGCGAGGCCGCGGCGACGCTCGAGGAGGTAGCAAGGACCGCGCGGCGCGTGCTCGGTGGCGCGCATCCGTTCGTAGGAATGATTGAGCGGGCTTTGCCATTTTCGCGAGCGCTCCTCCGCTCCAGCGAAACGTCGAGGGGTGCGTAAATATAAACGAAGCAACTTACGCGAGGAAGTCACTTGTTGAACTGCGCGAAGTACGAGTCCAGCGGCGCGCGGACCTCGCCCCCGGCGCTCTCGCGGCGCTGCCGCCGCTCCTCCATCTGCTTGTCGAGCATGGCCTGCATGTACTCGTCGGGGGACATGTCCTCCATACCTTCCAAAGCGTAGGTGTTCGTCGTGCCGACCGGCATCCCGAACTGGGCCTTGCGGTGCTCGTCGGCCGAGAGCCCGGCCTGCTCGAAGGCCTCGACGCCCTTGAGGGCCTCCTCGTCGGCGTCCTCCGTCATGTGCTCGTCGAGTTCGGGCCGCGGCGGCGGCGGCGGCGGCGGCGCGCCGCCCATTGTGGGGGCGGGCGGCGCGGGCGGCGCCTTGGGCGCGGGCGGCGGCGGCGGGGCCGCCGCTTTTGGTGGAGGGGGCGGCGGTGCTGCTGCTTTTGGCGGGGGCGGCGGCGGTGGTGCGGCAGCCTTGGGGGCGGGCGGCGGCGGCGGCGGCGCGGCCTCGGCGGCGGCGGCCTTCTTCGCCGCCGCGCGCTCGGCCGCGAGCTTGAGCGCCGCAGCGCGGTCGGCCGGCGCGCCGGCCGGGGGAGCCGCCGGGGGCGCCGGCGGCGCGGCGGCCGCGGGCGCGGGCGGCGGCGGCGCGGCGGCCGCAGGGGGCGCCGGGGGCGCGGGCGGCGCCGCGGGCGCGGGCGGCGCCGCGGGCGCGGGCGGCGCCGCGGGCGCGGGCGGCGCCGGGGCCGGCGCCGGCGCCGCGGGTGGCGACGGCGGCGCCGCGACGGAGCCCGAGATGTCGCCTCCCAGCGCCTCGATGATCGCGTTCGCGTCGGCCACGAAGGCGTCGAGCTGGCGGCCCTTGCGCAGCGGCCGGCCCGTCGGGCCGACGCGCTCGCCGAAGGCCCCCAGCAAGTTCTTCACGGCCTTGGCCGGCGCGGTCGACGTGATCTTGCCTCTTTTTGATGAGGGCGGCGCGGCAGCTCCAAAAGGCTTCGAGTTCTGGGCCCGCGGCGCCTCGAAGATGCGCGAGTCGTGGTCGTCATCCTCCTCGGGCGGCGGCGGTGGTGGTGGCACGCCGGCGGCGGCCGGCGGCGGCGGCGGGGGCACGGCCGCAGCTGCCGGGGGTGGGGGCGGCACTCCGGCGGCCGCAGGTGGTGGGGGCGGCGGGACGCCGGCGGCCGGCGGAGGGGGCGGCGGCGGCGCGCCGCCCTTGGCTGCTGCGGCCGCCGCTTTCGCCGCGGCGTAGTTTTGCAGCGGCGGCACGCGACGGCTGTGGCGGAGCGCCGGGCTTGGCCTCAGCGCCGTCGCGGCCGGAGAGAGCGCGAGGGCTACGATGACCGAGCGCATGACTGGGTTGCTGGTGAGAGCAAAGTGGTCAGGAGAGGCTGCGGGCCTTTTGAGATGGCTCTCGCCGCACGCCTGGCTGTCGGACGTATCCGAGAAGGCCTTGAACAGGCGAACCGGTAACTAACCGGCTCTGGGTGTGAGCACGTCTCGCGTTTGCTGTGTGCGTCGACAGCTTGGCATCGCTACGCTCGAGCCCAGTGAGCCGTCTCCAGCACCGCGTAGCAACGTCCACAATGGTCGAAGACGCGGCCGGACTCATGCAAGCGACCTAGTGGCAAAGTTCGGGTTGCCCAGCGCCGCAAAAGCCAAAGCGCCAAAAAGGACGCCAGTCGAGGCGCAAGGGCTGCCCAACAGTCCCAAACAACAGACCGCAAACCCCCCTCCCAGCCACCGCACCGCCAGCGCCACCGACCGCCGACCATGCAAGGGCTGGGCCCGGGCTCCTTGCTGGGCGCCGCCCGCGAAGCTGCTTATGGAGAAATCTCGGCCGAAGCAAGACAACTGGGCAAAGCGGAGATCGTGGGCATCGACACCTGGGAGCACGAGGGTGCCGACGAGTCGAAGATGACGCCCAGGGAGCGCGCGCGCTACCGCGCGAGGAAGGGCCGACGCTTCCTGCGGGAAGCCGATGAGGCGAGGAGCCCAGAACAGGCTGCCGCGACAAAGACGGACTTTCGGAGGCAACTCGGTCCAAGTGTACCGTCGATAGACCCCTACGGTTCGTATCACCTACCGCTGCAGTACGACACCGACCGCCTGCCGTACGGCGCGAGACCTGCATCAGATGAACCTCATATCGTCCTGGAGTACCGCGAGCTCATCCCGAAACTCGACAAGCATTGTGTGCGCTTGTTCGCCGAGGGTGGAGGTAAAAGATACTTAGAGGAGTGCCGGAAGACCGAGGAGCAAGTGCAAGCTGAGAGATTGCTGTTAGATGCCGACTTGAGTGAGCGAGAAGCCATCGAGATCAGAGATGAGGCAGCACTCGCGGAGGCCGTAGCCCAAGCGGCCATGACGCAGCTCGACAGCGAGAACTACAGCGAAGCGCTCAAAAAACGTTTGGAGGATGAACGCGGGAAAATCGTAGACGCCTCGAGGCACGACTACACGGACATCTACCGGTGGGACCCCGACGGTATAGCGTTGGAGGAGGTCGATTCTGATGATGGGTGGGACGATGATGTCGTGATGAACAATGCTAATATATCTAAGAGTTTCAAGGTATCAAGATATAACTGTCAAATACCCGAGGACTATCTCGATCTCCAAAGGCAATTTGTCGCGTTACATCCTGGACAATACAGACCATTGTCTATAGAGAGACCAGATGGCTCACTAGTCCAACCGAACGAGAAGCACTTTGTCCACGGCGAGACGATCGTGTTTCGGGAGTTCGGGATCTATAACAACGATGGAGTGGAGAGACCATCTAATAAAATACGGGCGTCCCTCGTCATGAAGGCGCGAGCCAAAGATGTTATAGAAGACACCGTGGAAGCCATGCATGCCGTGCTGGCCGCGAAGAGGGCCGCGTCATCAGCGACCAACGACGACCTCGAGGCCGAAATAGCTGCGGAAGAAGAAGCGCTGCGGAAGGAGCGGGAGTTCGGCCTCGAGCTCGCGGATGAGTTCGAGCGTTTGGAGGCGAAGAAGGCCGCGTTGGTGAGGGCGAATGATGAACAGAGGGCCGCCCTCGCCCAGGAAATAGCCGCCGACGAGGAGGCGTTGCGGGAGGAGAAGGAGAGATTAGCAGAGGCCAAAGAGGCGGAACGGCTCGCGGCGGAGCCGTTCCTCTTCGACTGGGAACGGCTCCACGCCGAGAATTGCCGCGACGACCTTCCTCTGAGAGATACGGTGCAGCCTCCTGTGTTGACGAGTGGTGACAAGCGCCAAGCTTCGATCCAGACGCCGCGCACGGAAAAGGCGTGGCAGACGTCGTCTCTAGCTGCTAGGAGGGCGGGCCAGATGCGCGCCGGGCGCTCGAAGCCGACGCCCTTCCATCTGGGTGGGGAAGGGGGCAATGGGCGCGGCGCGGGCCGGTGGTACGTGAGCGGGTGCGGGCGGTAATGTTCTTGTAGTCTTCTCGGCTCGACGGCGTACGGGGGGGCCGCGTCGTTCATGCGCCAGCTGCATAAGCGTGTTGGGGCCCCGGACCGGTCGCTAGGCCTCTCTAGCACTCCCCGGGGGCCCCGGGCAGGCCTGCGTCGCGGTGGTTACCCTAGCAGGGCAGCACTAGCCCGCGGCGTTGAGAGAGCAGGGTTAGCTAAAAAGGGCACGGAAGCACCTCGACAGGCGTGAAGCTGGGCCGGTAGCTAGCCCTCGACGCACCAGCCACAGCCGCGAAGCGGGGCAGCGCGTCGCGCAAGCGCGCACGCCGCCGAAGCTGCCCAAACCTGCAGGGCGGGCAGCCCGCGACCCGCGACGCGCGCACTACTGAGGCGCACGAGAACGCAAGATGGCCGACATGCTCACCGACAACTTAGATGGAAGTGAACCGTGGCACAACGGCGCACCTTATGTTCCCACGACCATAGGCCACGTCCCGAAATGCACGCAAAAAGCAAGGGAGTTCCTCAAGGGCTTCCCCGCCGAGGAACGGGCCGCGGCGCTCCGACCCTTCATGATCCGCTACCGATTGTTCCCGGACAACTGCAAGGATGTCCACACCGCACCTATAACCATAAAAGAGCTCAAAGGGTTAGTACGGGTCTGGAAGCTCCACAACCAGAAGGGTTTCTGGAGCGACCACACGACGCGGGAACAGATCGTGCTGGCCTTGTACGAGCGCATGCAGTACAACTACCGACAGGTCCGGGAAAAAAGACGTAGGGCGGACGAAGATCGGAAGCGACGCGAGGCCCTCAAGCACCAGGACGGCCCTCAATTAACGGAAGAGGAAAAAGCTGCTGCACGCATGAAGGCCCTCGCGTCGCGCCGAGAAGGCGGTCCCCGCCGGAGAAGTCTCGAGGAAGAGCCTAAAAAAGATCAAGATCAAACGCCGTTGCTCATGTACATGTCCCGCGGCTTTGGCGAGCCCGAAGACCGGTGCAATCCCCGCAGTCCCTCGCCGACGAAGAAGAAGAAAAAATTCTTTTCCGACGAGCGGCCGTCGTTCGAAGAGTCGGAAGACGAGGACGAGGACATGCAGCAGGTCCGCATCAAAAGGAAATGTAGTACGGCTCTCTTGAACATGTCGCTGAACAAAAAAATGTCGTCGCAGTTCGTCGAACAAGGGGGTATGGCGGCTCTGCTCGACCTCGCCTCGACGTGCAAGGACGAGGAGATCATTACCAATTGTGCCGCGGCTCTCAATAACTTGATACCCTACGGCGACTACTACCCGCCGTGGAAGCTTTGCGATCTTGGGGTTGTGCCAGTGATAGTTAAGTTGGTCAAGAGCGACGACGCTAGGGTGCGGCACTTCATGGCTTTATGTTTGTGTCGACTGTCGCAAGAACATCAACTGGAGGATCGATTGGCGGGCCAAGGCGCCCTAGGTGCGGCCACTCGACTCGTAGCCGTGAGTGACAGCGTGCGAACGAAAGAAATCGCAGCTAAGGTGTTGATAAACTTGGCTTGTAGCATGGAAGGCCACCAGGCCGACACTACCGTGAAGAACGTCCTCAAGTGTGTGGCTGTCCTAGTCACACATAGGGATAAGAACAACAACCCTGACGCCGAGACGCAGCAGTTCTGCGCCGAAGCCATTCTCGTGATGGCCTGTTTACCTCAAGCTAGACCTGTCCTAGCGAAGCAGGGTGTTGTCGCGTTGCTGAAGGTCATGTTTTTAGCCTCACAAAGACCTGCAACCACCAATGCCTGCGCGTCAGCCTTGTGCAACATGGGCCAGGCCCACTCCTGCAGGAAGGAGATCTTGAATTTAGGATTGGTCAAGATCATGGCCCGGCTCATGAAGACGGGCGAAGAAGCGACGCAGCGCATATGTACTCTTTGTTTGACCGCCCTGGCCGCGCAAGCGGACCTAAGGCCTTCTTTGTTAAAGGAAGGAGCGTTAAGAACAATAGCGGAGGTGGTGTACGCGCGGAAAGACGCTGATTTAGTGAAACAAGGTGCAGGTGCATTGCTGGCCTTTGCGTTCGACCCGTCGACGCGCGAAGACGTGGTGCATGAAGGGTGTTTAGGTGCTCTAGTTGCCTTGCTAGATAAAGATGACAAAGTAGATGAGGAAACACAAGCTAATAGCTTGATGGCCCTTTGTAACCTTATAGCCGATGCGGCTACTTGCCCACAAGTGCTGGAGGCCGGGGTGCTGTTGAAACTCGTTGGTTATACGTCGCAGTTGACCGAATTACCTTCGCTCGTCGATTACTTGGCCGTTGCTGTCTTAAATGTATCGACCCATAAGGACGTACGAACATATGTGGCAAGGACACCGGGTTGCCTGGACTTGATAATTGAATTAGCGCTATTGGGTGTAGCTAGGAAAGACCCATCAGGTGAGTTGATTGAGGGTGACGGTTCGGGTGCTGATTCTGACAGAACTAAATCTGCGCTCAAGACGCTCCTGAACTTGTCACTGGACAGCGAGACGCACGAGGCGTTACTTGAGAGAAGACGTCGTTCGTTATTGGATGCCCTCGCGTTGCTAGTCTATGAAGACCGGAAGGCGCGGACCTTTGATAGCTCGCGGCCGTGTGGTAAAGATAGCACGTTACATTTGATATCATTGCTCTTACATATTCTGACCACGAATAAGACGAACCACGACCAGTTGATGTCCGGCGACGCGTCTAAATTGTTAGTTTGTCTAGCCAAGACTTCTAATGACGAAACGAGAACGGCAGTAGCCGGCTCGCTCTACAATATGACTCAACTCAACCCAGTAGCTGAGGAAAACGCCATCGAAGCTCTAGTGAGATTGTCGAAATCCTCGGAGAACGAGCGCGTGTTGTGGTGCGCCTGGTGCTTCGCGAACCTCAGTACCTACCCGAAGGGTCGGGCGATGTTAGGGAAACTCAGTGCATCGTTAGTCCCAGCACTACTGGGCATGATGAGAAGCGGAGTAGCCGACGCCGAGAAAGTACAATATCACTGCGCCGTCGCCGTCTGCAACACTCTGTCGGTGTTCCTCAAGAAACAACACGTGTTGGACATGGTCGCGAGTGGTACCGTACAGGACGTTATCGTCATCACGGTGTTGCGGGCGAATGACGTGCGGACGAAGCAGGTGTTGGCGCAGGCGTTGTTTAACTTGTTGGCTCGGGTAGATACTCGCAGAGAGATGATCGAGTGCGACGTCCCGATGGCGCTCGTGCGACTTACTCGTGTCGAGGATCCTATTTTGAATTTATTGGCTACTAATATGTTGAAGAACTTGTCGTGTGAGGCGGACAAGAACGTCGAGAAGCTCCTGGAGATGAGAGTTGTGAGAGTGTTGGTGTCGCAATGTCTTTCAAGTTCGGGAGGCGTGCAGATCAAACGGAAGTGCGCCGCGACGCTAGCTAATCTAGCAGCAGTCCCGGAAATTTTAGATAAAGGCTTTTGTGATCGACAGTCGAATATTGTAAGTGGGGTGAGATCGATAGCTGTTGCTAGAGATGCGGAAACTTTGGAGTACGTCGCTACCATCTGCTACTACTTATCAGCGATGAAGAAGGGTCGCGACGAACTCGTGGCGCAGGAGGCCGTGCCCGTCTTGGCTTCTCTATGTAGTGGGGAAGACGTCCCGGCCAAAGTGCGGCAGTTGGTCGTAGCGGCGCTAACTCATATATCCAATGATAGTACGACTCATGAATCCTTAACAGAATTCGCCCTCCCCCTCATCATCGAGACGATGGCCGGCGCGGTCCACGCCCACGACACGCGCATGAACGCCATGACGCTGCTATGTAATTTAGTGGTGCATCACGAGCCGAGTCGCGGCGCGGCCGTCGCGTTGGAGGCCCTACCTGCCTTAAAAGCTTTCGTAAGAAGTTGTTCGGTGGACGAGCACTTCGCCGTCGTCGCCAAGATCTTGCGGGACTTGACCTGGGACGAAGAGCACGTCCCGTTGTTAATTGAGCAAGGTGCCATGGCTTTAGCCGCGAGACTAGCGAAGAGGGAACCCGCTCCACTCAAACACGACGTCGCGGCCATCGTCTGCAACCTGTGTGCGTCCGGCGCGCGGCCGTCGCAATTGATAGAGGAGGACGCTGTTGGTGCTTTATTCTGGCTTACCTTACAAGACTTGCTCAATCTCACGAGAGCGGTGACCGTCGAGTGTGCGACATCGTTAAGGTACTTAGCGCAACATAGTGAAATAGTGCCCCTCATCTGCGACGAGGCTAACCTGCTACCTTTACTGTTACGGTTCTTTAAGTATGATGAATCGGAACAAGTAAGGTATGATGCCGCTGTGGTACTGTACTACTGCCTGGGCCACGAGCCGGCCCAGAAGGCCCTGTGTCGGGCCGGTGCTATTAAAATGTTATCAGATTTAGCGTCGACGGGCGAAAGAATAAGGGAAGTGTGTAGTGCAGCCTTACATCAGTTGCCCAATAACCTCATGCAGAATGTTGATGGTAAATTACTAGGTGTATTGATGGGCTTGCTGGACATGCAGGACGCGGACTTCACGGACCCAGCCACGTTCATGCCTGATAGGTCATTAACAAGCAGGAAGCCCTGGCCGCTCCGAGAAGCCACGCCTTACGAACCGAAAAAAAAGAAGATGAAGGCCGAGTGGCCCACGTCCGTCATCGAGAAGTCGACGAATGCCTTCGTGCCCGCGAAGTATCAGTTGGACATGGCCCATCCCTGCGAGGAGATAAATCCCGCGCTGCAAGACGTAAAAGTGGATTTTATTGGCGAATACAAGAAGATGGGCTGCGACGCCGAGGCGCAAACAATAAAAAAGCTGTCGTGGGGCGCGAAATATTTGGAAAACAAAATTGTGGACTACTCTCCGCGCGCGCCGGCGCCGGCGCCGGTCTTCGTGGACACGACGCCGGCGTCTCCCACGCCGACGCTGGAGTCGCCCGTGCTGCCGCGCGTGCAGACGCCTCCCAGGTCCCTTGGATCGAGACGGTCGTCTGTCGACGACGAGGAGAGGTTGCCCGCCGTCGACGCGAGGTTCCTACAAGCGGAAGACGTGGCCGCTTCTGATGCGTTGCAGAACGCTTCCATAACATCAGCGTTCAAGAAAGGAGTGGATGAGGTTGAACCGGAACCATCACCAGCGCCGGCGCCCGCGCCCGCGCCGCCGCGGCGGCGGAACCCGCGCAAATACGCGGTCACGAAGAAGATGAAGCAAAAAGATAGGATCGCCGACGACTACTACGAGCTCCTGCGGAACGTGGCGTAAAGTTGATTTTAGAAGTGAGGGTCTCGGGCGTCGGTGGCGTACTGCGGGCTAGCCTAGGATCCGTGGGTGCCAGTGATTCTTGACCTTGCCATATTTACTCTTCGCGGGCGCGGAGGTCTGCTTGCGCGCATCGCAGGGTTTCCTCAATATTCATTGCGAGCGGGTGCGCACCACCGAGCACGCGCCGCGCAGTCGGTGCCAATTTCTCGAGTATCGTCACGGCCTCGCGGCCGCCGAGCGTCTTCGCGTAATTCGCCGTCATCTCGAGCGTAAGACCATCATTCTCGCCGAGCACGCGTCGCGTCGAGGGGATCGTTTTGCGGAACAGTGCCCGGGCTTCTTCGAGGTGCTGTAGACGAGCAAGGGTCACCGCGTAGTTGTTGGCTGCTACGTGGGTATTTCTATATTCTTCGCCCTCTAGCCTCAAGTACCCAGAGTATACATCTCGTTGGATCTGCAGTGCCCGCTCGTGCCTTCCAAGCGCTTGGTACGAGCCCGCAAGATTGCTCCGCGCGGCGAGCATGCTGTGTTCCGATGCGCCAAGGCGTCGCTTCATAGACAACTCGGCCTCTTTCACGGACAAAGCGTCATCGTGGTGGTCGGCAGCGGACAGAACGATTCCAAGCCCCGACATCGCCAGGCGCCGAAACCGGTCCGCCTCCGGCTGGCCCACGTACGTTTTCCAGCACGCCCACCCGAGCGCACACGCCACGACGCCGTGGTAATCTTGCTCGCACAGACTACACGTGTACCACCGCTCGAACCGCTCAGTCATCGCCTTAAGGCCCAAATTGTTATCCTCACCCTCCTCGACCAAAATCTTCGCCTGCTCCGCCAGGCACGACACGTGCGCGAAGCCCGCCGTCCCGCGGCACGAGCACCCGCGCACGAGGCCCTCCTTCGTCTTCCAGTGGAGGGCCTGGGTGCAGATGTAGCAATTCTGGCCCTTCGTGTCGTCCGCGCACGCCTCGACGGCCTCCGCGACGGCCTCTTTGTATTTTTTGTCGGCGTGGTATTGGCAGCCAACAACTGCGCGTTGACCCTTCTTAATTATCAGCGCTTCGAAGAAACCAAATCACTATTGCGCCCAGTGATACCCGTGGCGCGACGCGTACTCAGAGATGATCAAGTCACGCTCAGGATGAGGTCGATTTACGCGATGGCGCTCTACAGCGACGCCGGCGCCACGCTCGACGATCTCAACGAGGCCGTGACGACGCTCGAGGAGATGGAACCGACCGCGAGGCGCGTGCTCGGTGGCACACACCCGCTTACAACAGGAATCGAGCGCGCACTGCGACGCGCGCGAGCCGCGCTCAAGGCCCGCAAAGAGTAATAACCCCAAGTACGCCATCGACGCGACGCGTAACTATCTAAGCATGAACTTAGTCAGGGTTCCGACAGCGGACGCAGCCCCTTCATCTTGTCCGCCTTAGCGCCACCGGCATCTGAGGGATCCCAGGGCTCGTAGCCCTTCCTCCTCGCGTACTCACCGGCCTGACCGGACGTCTCGCTACCGGGCTGCTTGTAGTACTTGTCCGGTTCGTTCGGATCGGGCTTCAGCATGCTACCGATACCGTAGCCCCTATTGCGTAATTGCGTCTCATTGGTCATCCAATGCTCTTCCTCCTTGTAGGGAGATCGTCCCAAGTGCGACGTGTAGGGCCCGTCGTCGTGCGTGTCGAGCTGAGCTACTGACTTGAGTTTGTCCTCCAGGAAAGCGGCAGAGTTCGGGCCCGGCTCGTCGGTCATGTGGCAGAGCCAGCCGTGCCACGACGGCGGCACCATGGCCGCGTCGAAGTCCCAGGTGTTCTTGTACTGGACCCAGCGGTGCTGGCAGTGCTTCTCGTTCCGGTCCTCCCAATAAGTGTTTCCGTGCACATCTTCCCCAATTTTGACGCCGCCAATTTTCACGGTCCCCATGGCGAACATCTGGTCCCAGCAGCCGCGCCAGCCGAAGCGCTCCAGGGCCAGCTTCCAGCGGGGGAAGATGGAGGCCATTTTTACGGGCTCCGGTGTTCGTCGCCGGTGCCTTCGCGGGCGTCTCGGCGGCGCGCGGCGACAACGCGCGTCGCTGTGCAAGTTTTGCAGTGAGGGGCTGGTTTGGCCTTGAGCTGCGGCGCGGCGGCGCGGCGCGGGCCAAGACTTCTCGAGAAGGTTGATATATGTCTCCGCAAGGGTCTGGCGCGTTCAGAAGGTCGGCGCTGTGCCCCTGCGACGCGCGAGGAAGCTGTAGCAATGGAGCAAGCTAAAAGCTAGTGCCTCTTTGGCTAGCTAGTCTCGAGCGAGCTGCCGCGCGAGCTGTTTGCGTGTTGAAGGAAGCCTCCGGGACCGCAGGGCGGGATCGCCTTCACTGCTATAGCTCAGCCCCTCAGTGCACCAGAGGCAGTGGCACCAAGGTGCAGCGGCGCTCGACGTCCGGCGCGCCCAGGCATATAGAGCGATCGCTGCAACACAACACCCGCAGCGGTAGCCGCAGCGATCGAAAACGGACGCGCTTTGGGCCCTCGTAGAAACCATGCGGCGCTGGGCAGGCCTCATCGTCGCCGCCTGCGCTGCGGCCGTCTCCTTCCCGAGCGTCCGGCCCAAGACGCAGAAGGTCGTCCTCCAGCGCAAGCAGCCCGTTCCACAAAAACCGGACGACTACGCGCGCGACATCTACCAGGCGATCAAGCGCGACGACTGGCCGTCCGCGCTCCAGGCCTACCAGCACGCGCGGCGCGCGCGCGCTCGATTGCCGACGAACTGCTACAATGGCATTTTGAACGGCCTCGCGAAGCGCGCCGACGGCGACGCTTGTGCGAGTGTCTTCGAGGACATGCGCGTTTTGTCCGTCGAGCCCACTGAAGCATCAAGGACGGCCCTGGCCAAGGCCCACGCCCTGAATGGCGACGGCGACAAAGCCCTTGAGGCGTTGAGAGGAGGTACGGACTGGACGCCGAAGTTACGGACCTACGCGCCGGTCCTCAACTGTTTATTTTCATCGGGCCGCGTCGAGGACGCGCTCCGAGTGTGGCGCGAGATGGTTTCTAGAAGCGTGCGGCCGTCGGGCGAGTTGATTGTAGCTGCTGTTGCCGCTATTGATGATGACCATACGTTAGCTACGTTCCTCGGAAGTCTAGGTGATGTTTGTTTGAATAGAAAACAGCTCGAGGCCATACAGCAACGGGCAGGTGGCTCTTTTATGCACGTAACAAACGGCAAACTAGGTAACTTACAACTCCCCGGCGCCGGTTTGACAACGACGGAACTCGCGAGTGTCCGACAAGGCCTCTTCGACGCGGCATCACAATCTTCCGAAAGAGACAAAAACGAGCTCGAAAAGTTCGACGGCTTTCTCAGGGACCACCCCTGGCGCTTCACGGCGGTCGTGGACGGGCCGAACGTCGCGTACCTAAATCAGAACTACGACGGGGGCCGGTTCCGGCCGCTGCAGATCAAGGCTGTGGTGGACGTGCTCGAGGCGCGGGGCCACCGCGTCCTCGTCACGCTACCGGCGAAGTACTGCGAGGCCGTCGTGCCGAACCACTCGAAGTTCGCGACGCCTCTGCCGAGCCAGGAGGCCGAGCAGGCTCTGGAAGCGGAGGAGATCGCGTTGTTGGAGGAGTGGCGCATGCGGGGCATGTTGTATGCGGTGCCTCGCGCGTGCCACGACGACTTGTACTGGATTCTGGGGACAACTTATAATTGTCTGGCGGTGTCGAACGATCGAGCAAGGGACCACTGGACGGGGGTCTTTGACAGTGAGGCGCAGTATCGGAGGTGGTCTCGGGCGGCGGTCGCGTCCGTGGCCATCTCGCCGGACGGCGTGGAGCTGTCTTGTCCGCCGGTGCACGAGCATGCGAGCTTCGCCTCCATATCTTCTGAGGGGGCTTCTATCGCGGTGGCGCCGGAAGAGGACGCGGGAGAGTGGCTCCGCGTGGACGTTGTGTTTAAGCAAAATTGATAGTTAGGTCGTCGCGTCGACGGCGTCGACCTCTGGAAACAGCGCCCGCTTGGGAAAGTTCACGAGGTCCCGGAACCAGGGCTTCGCGACCGTCAGCACGAAGACGGGCCTCGCGCCGCCCGTGTTGTTCAAAGTGCCGCGGTGCAGGACGCGGTAGTCGAAGAGCAACGCGTCTCCAGGTGTGACAAGAGGCACGACGGGCGGCCGCAGCGTCTTCTTGATGCGCGCCAGGAGCATCTGCTTCGCGAGATTTCTAGTTAGAAAATGGCTCCCGGGTTTTATCTCCGTCCCTCCGCCTCGCGTCACGTCCACCAAAGGAACGAAGATATTCAACACATGGGCCGGCTTGTGTTCTGTCGGAGATAAATGAGCCCCGTCCACGTGCCAGGCCTGGGCCGCGCAGTCTCGCTCGGCTATGACCACCGAACAGCCCAATATCCGTAATTCATCCCGCAAGATCCGCCGCGCCGTTTCAAACGCCAATGACTTCTCGACGCGCCGCCTCAAGTTCAATAAGGGTTCCCGGTCCAGCCCATGACGCATCTCGTAGCGCCCCGGCATGCGCTGCACGATCTCTCGGTAGCCGGCCCTCTGGCCCACACCCATGCCGGGATCGCGCGCCTTGCACTCGTCGAGCGCCTCCATCGCCGCCGCGCGGCAGGCTTCGAGCTGTGATGCGTCGGCGACGCCCGGCGCGACGCAGAAGCCGTCCTGCTCGAACTGGGCGGCTAGAGCTGCGTCGGATCCATTGGAGATGTCCAGAGTGCTGAGGTCGACCGGGTTGGCCACAGGGATGCTCGAACTCGTCGCGCCGGGTCCTGGCACATCCGCGACGGCCACAGAAGCTGCCATCGCTGCGGGAAAGTGGTCTACTGGCCGTGCGAGCGCTGCTGCTTGCTAGTGTCTTACATGACGCTAGCACGACTCGAGCCGCGGCACTCAAAAAAAAAGCACCAGTAACGCACGAATCCGTGCTCCAGGAAGGCGCCAAAGGACGCCCGCGCACAGCTGCGCGCATCGCTGATACAAATCTCCACGCCTGCGGACTAGGCTCCAGCCTCCTCTGCCAGCAGCACACGCGCGGCGCGGCGGCTAGTCTACGCACCGACGCGATACAACAAAAAAAGGGATGCCCGCCTCCTGCGTCACCGTGCAGATCGGCCAGTGCGGCACGCAGCTCGGAGCTTGCGTTTTAGATAGGCTGAACGCCGAGGCCCGGCACGAGGCCGACGCGGCGTACTTCTTCCGGCAAGGCAAGTCGGGCGAGCGCGTCGCACGCGCGGTTCTTGTGGATACGGAACCTCGAGTAGTGGGCGAGGTCGAGGGCGGCGATCGGGACGGCTGCCGGTGGGTGTATGGCGCCGCGAACCGCGTTCTGTGCGACGCGGGGTTGCGGGGCTGCGCGAACAATTGGGCCAAGGGCTTTTCGTCGGAGAAGGAGGGCGTGAACCGAGCGGCGGATGTCGTTCGAAGGGAGATGGAGCGGAGCGATCGAGTCGACGCGTTGCTGTCGTTCGCCGCGGGCGCGGGTGGTACTGGGAGTGGTCTAGGATGTGCCTTCCACAGCTGCTTTTCCGACGACAATCCGAAGATCCGACCCTTGCATTGCGTCGTGCTGCCAGACAGACAAGGCGACGTCGCGGTCGGGTCCTACAACGCCACTTTGACATTGAATCACTTGAGCAAGGACGCGAAGCGGAGAGGCGGCGGTTTGTGTTTACTGTCGAACGAGCTCTCGAAGCAGATGTGCACGAATGTTTTCCGGATAGATAGACCTACTTTTGACCAGTTGAACGACGTCTTCGCAACTTTATTGGCCGGTAATTTGCTCCCCTACGCCATTGAGGGTCAGCGCAAAGGCCTAGGATATACATTGAGCCACTGCTGCGCCGGGCGACTGAGGTACGTGACACCGTATGCTGCGCCCTTGTACGAGCGGGCCCAGAACGCGGCCTTCGACCAGAATTTGTGGCCCGGCGTCTGCGGCGAACTTACCAGAAGAGCCAAGCTCCTGGCCGAGCCGATTCTGCGGGCCGACGAGAAGCCGCCTCTGGATCGACCGCCGCCCGCGCGAGCCTGGGTCTGCGCGGGACTCGTCGTGGGACGGGGCGCCGACGCCACGCAGATGGAGGAAAGTCGCTTCGCGAGAGATATACGTATACCAAAGGGCGCCCCCGGCCTCAAATTCGGCACTTCACAGAACGCGTGCCGGACGGCGCCGCGGTCATGTTACTTCCTCGCCAATTCGTCTTCTGTGTTACCTATTTTGAGGCATGTGGAATCGCGATGCAGCGCCATGCTCGAGTACCGCGCCTACGTCCACCACTACGAGCGCTACGGCACGACGGCCGAGGATCTTGAAAAGGCGCTGGCGTCGCTGCGCGCCCAGATCGCCGACTACGACGGCCTCGCTCCCGTGCCGGAGCCGCCCGTCGCGGCGATGGCGTCGTTATCGCTGCCGCCGCCGCCGCCGCGCTAGTTTTCTTCGTAATAATGTCTGTTGAGATATACAAACAATTTTACGCGGGCCGCCGCGGCGTGTCCACCGAGCCGTGGTACGCCATACCGCCGACGCAGCACGCGACGCCCAGTATCGCGGCGCTCCCGCGCCAACGGGGAGGCGTTTCGAAGGCGCGGGCGTGGTCGTACAACGGCGACTCCGGCCCTTGACACGCCTTCGGCGATGACGGGCCGCCCAGGACCTCGACGTCGAGGGGGTCCTCCTCCCGTTTGATGGGCGACGGCGTGACGACGCTGCGAGCTAAAGCAGTTTGTAAAGGCGACGCCGGCTCGTCATCAGAATAGCCGGTGAATTCATGGGACAGCGGGCCCGTATTTCCCGTCCGTTCGCGCCACGCCCTATCATGCTCCAGCGTGATCGGCCATTGCACACTATGATCATACCCCGGTGAACATTTATCTAAACGAGTTTGTCCGGCGCCCGTGATGGCCCGCCAGTCCGGTCCAATTAACTCGGTCATTTTATCCTCATCTTTATCCGTAACAAATAATATTTTGGTGGCCGTCTTCGGGTCGATCAGAGGCTTCACGAGCCGATAAGCCACTGAAAAAACAGACGGCGCATTATGTAAAATAATGTGGCCGCAGCACTCGGCAAAACAACACGTCAACATCCGCATCGTCTCCTTCGTGACGGCCCAGGACGGGTTGTTCCGCAGTGAGAAATCATTCAGGTGGAGGAAGATCACGTACTTTCTCACTTGAGAACCGTCGCACCGTCGCAGCGCGTGCTCTAAGACGAACGCTAACGCGCGTAATTGGCCGCCCGCGTCTTTCGTATTTTGGACGCTATTATCAAAAATGACCACGGGCCGGCCAAACCTATCGAGTGAGGGCGCCACCCTCAACTTACCAGTGGCGCACTCCCGATCCAGTTCCGCGTAGTCCAGGACGTGCGGTCTCCTCCGAAGGCGCCAGGCCAGCGCGTCTCGGATGAGTCGACTTGCTTTTTGGACATTGTCGTCCCTGGCTACTAGGAAGCGGTCCAGGACGGCGTCATCATCGAGGTACCAGGCCCAGCGCTCGTAGGTGAGGCCCAGGTCGGCTTCACGCCTCAGTTCCTCGCGCAGCTCTTGGATTTTACTGGTGTTGGGCTCGGGCCGGCTCGCGAGGACGTGCCAGCGCTGGTTGACGGCGGCGGCTGCCGGTTTTGGTGATGCCGATGCCGGTTTTGCGGCCGGTGTGGATGCAGGCATCGCACGATTCTACGATTCTACGTTTTTGTATTTATGCTCGTAGATGGCACCAAACAATTGCCCTTAAGACGGGGCAACAGCTGCCAAGTCTGACAAGTTGTTTGCCTGCTTTTCTAGTGTCTTACAGCCGCTAGCAACGTGAGAGCAGTATTCGCAGGGAGACCGCTCGCTTGCGTCGCCCCGACAGATCTCTTTCAGGGGCGCCGCCCGCGCGGACTCCAACAATCCCGCGCGCACTGCGCGCGAGGCTGCCCAGGCTTGTTGCTCTGCGCGCACTGACTGCGGTGCGGAGACGGAGGGGCAGCGCGCGTTAAGTGGCGCCATCTCTACACGTGATCGGTCTGCGCTGCCTGCTGCGAAGCGCCCGCCCGGCAGGCCCCAGCGAAGTTTGTGCTCCCAGGGCAGCGCCACTGGAGGCGGCCGACGCGCCCGTTCATCCAGGATGAAGCCCGCCTCGCGCCGGCGCGGCGCCCTCGCGCTCCTGGCCCTGGCCGGATGCGGGGTCGCGCAGAACATGGGGCAATGGGTCGGAGGCGAGCATTGCGCGGGCTCCCACTGTGGGCCCAGCAAGTCGGAGCCCGAAGAGCCCAGCAAGGAGGCGCAGCGATTGGCTCGCGAGGCGTTGGCAGGCGGCGGGTCGGGGTGGTTTGAATACGATATACTCGACGGCAACCGCTTCGACGGCTTGGGCGTCGTCCAATATTTGGGCAGCGGCGTCAAGGTCGACTTTTCGGCGGACGCCGCGAACTACTACTCGCGCTCGACGGGCCACCGGACGGGCGACCGCGAAAATGCAGCGCGCATGACTCTCGCGGCGGAGGGCGACTTCTCGGGCGACCACGCGACGCAGTGGAGCCTCGGGGCGCCGGGCGCCTGGTTCTCGATACGGCTGGTCGACCACGCGCTGCGGCCGACCTACTACGTCTACCGCGGCGACATGGGCGGGGGAGGCAATCATCCGAGGACCTGGACGCTCGAAGCCTCCGCCGACGGCCAGAACTGGACGCCGCTCCGCGAGCACGACGACGACGATGGGAGCGTCACCAATACCCAGGCGGGCGGGTGGCCGCTCGAGGCCGAGGAACACTTCTCGTATTTTCGCATTCGGAACCGCGGCCACCCGAACCATCTCTGCTGCAGCGGCGTCGACTTTTACGGGGAACTCGTCCACCGGAAGGGGGCGGGCGCGGTGCCGGTCACGTCATTTGCGGAGGAACCCGGGGCGGCGAGCGGCGGGCTCCGGGAAGCGCTCGACGGCGCGCCGCGCCTCAAGTTGGTCGCCGCGGGCTCGGACGATGCGCTGCACTTCGACAACGCGGCGACGCTGCGCGCGGGAGGCGAGGCGCCGCTGACGGCGAACGGCAAGAACGTTGGGCTCTACTGGTCGCAGCCGCGGAATGCCTGGGGCCACTGGGATTACATTGACCTCGGCGTGAGCGAAAAGCTGCGCCCGCTGCGCGTCAAGCTCGACGGGCCCTATATCGTCTGGGAGGGGGGACAAGGCGAGTTCGCCTTCGACGTTTCGATGTGGCAGCTTCACGAGGGCCGACACCTCGTTCTGGTCCAGGCGTGCGAAGGTAATCCGGGAGGACCGACGCGGATGTCGCAGGACGCGGCCGGACGAGACTTTGTCCTTTATGCCGACGGCACGATCGGGCCGCGCACCGCGACGCATCTGCGGCTCGGCGTCGTATCGAAGATTGGTAACCTTCGGCCTGGATGGTCGGCGCACGAGGACATCGACATGGCCTATCAAGGCGACGTCGAAATCATCCACAACTGGCGCGAGGAGCACTCCATCGAGGACCTCCAGCGCATCGTCGAGCGCAAGGGCTACTCGGCCATCTCCGTGGGCAGCTTCGACCACGCGGCTCTGAAAAAGTTCCCGTACCAGCTCACCGCCGGCCACTGCGAGCCGTCTCCGGGGTACTCGAACACGTTCTACATCTGGGGCGGTCGGGGCGGCGGCGGCGGGTCGGCCGACGGCAGCGAGGTGGCGCCGAAGGAACCCGGGGAGGGTTCCGGCGGCAGCCTGAGGAAGGTAGAGGTTGGTCGTGTTATGTCGTGGTACGACTACCGCGCGCGGGCGAAGCAAGAGGGCGGGCGCCTGCCCACGACCGCGGAGCTAAGAGCCGCAGGCGTCGATGTCGGCTACGATCAGTGGACGCCGATCACGCCGAGCCCGGGCGACCAGGAAACGGGCCGCCGCGACGGCGCGCGAGGCAAGGACGAGAACGCCTGGGCCAATATCGGTCCGCGCAAGTACCAGATCGAGTATCCCGCCTGGGGCCTCGACGCGAGCGAGCATCCATGGAAGCGGCTCACCTACTTTTACGTCGTGTCTGATTTTGGCAAGGACTGGGACGGGTTCGAGGACGACGAGTCCGGCGCCTTGGGCATCATCTCGTCGGTGCAGCCCAAGATCATCGATTCGAGGTTGGTGCTCGTTCGACGGGGCAGCCCGAACGTGCTCCGCTTCGACCACTGGCAAGCCCTGCAGGCCGGGAGCGCGGCGCCCTTGACTGTCGACGCGTCGCACCCCGGGAATGGAATTGGGACGATGTACCCTGAAGAACGAAGATTCCAGGAGTGGAGATACACAGAATCAAAATGTGTGGCGGAGCGAGACGCGTGCTCCGTTCAACTGGTCCAGGGAAAGTTTCTGAAGCGGGTCGACGCGAACCTAGTGCTTGACGTGGCCTTTTGGAAGTTTCACGAGGGGACCGCGGTCAATTGGGTCGGCGGCGGAAGCGACGACCGCACGTACCTCCACGGCGGCGGCCGCGACTTCCGCGTCAACTCGGACGGGTCGATCTGCCTGGTCAACCACCCGCGCTTATGCCTGGGCGTCATCGACCCCGAGAGCCGGGTCCGCCTCTTTAGGTGGAGAAGGTGGTTGTCCAAAGTGCAGGGCGTATGTTCTAACGATTGGCCCGAGTTCCCTGGCGACTACCCATACGAAGCATTCGCGAACTCGGGAAAATGCAGAGGAGGTGATTTCGACGAAGACGTCGGCACGGTCGCTGACATCGGTGAGTGTTGGAGCAGGTGCCAGGATCTCAACGAGCCCGGAAAAACGTCGTATTGCGCTTCGATGCATCAAACGTCGATGGAATGCTCCTGCCAGGGCGCAGATCCTGACGGCGACTTCGACGAGCTCGAGTGCCTCGAGGACGTCGGGGAGTACACGCTCGCCGTGCACGAGGGCTGGCGCGGCTCGCGGTGCTACGGCAACGACGGACGCGTGTGCGCGTGCGACGGCGGCGATTACTGCCTGCCGTGCGATTACTGCCTGCCGTGGACGCGGGAACATATGGCAGGACCCTTCAAGGAGGGACTGCTCAGCTACGCCTTTCTGGCCATAGGATTCAGCTTGCTGCTCGGCCCTGGCGTCTGGCTTATTGTGCGCGTGGGCCTCTGCTGGGTCGCGATCCCCGGCCTCATGGCCGCTGCCCCCCCTGGAACTGGCGTCGTCGCGTTCCTTTGGATTCTCGTCGGCATAATCGTCTACAGGTGCATAGAAACAGCAGCAGCAGCAGCAACAGCAGCAGCAACAGAAACAGCAGCAGCAACAGACACAAGAGCAGACGCTGTAGCGGAGGTCGATAAGGCGAATGAAAACTGTCAGACGCCGCTATACATCGCCTGCCAGAACGGCCACGTTGACACTGCGCGGCTGCTGCTGGACAACGGCGCGGAGGTCGATAAGGCGAATGAAAACGGTGTGACGCCGCTGTACATCGCCTGCGAGAAAGGCCACATCGATGTGGCGCGACTGTTGCTGGAGAAAGGCGCGAATGTCGACAAGGCGAAGAAGGACGGTGCGATTGAGGCAAATGAATCTACTACTCAAGTCATGCAAAACCCACCGCCGCCGCGTCATGATTTACTAAATATGTATTCGGGTGAAATTGGAATATGTGTTCTTTTGTTTTATTTTTTTGGCTTGTATCAGCATGCATTATAATGAGAATAAGAATGATACTTCAGAAATGGAAGCACGACAATGTGATACAAAAGGATTTGGTTTAGCATTATAGAAAAATTATTGCCGGAAAGATAAAAATGAATGGAATATGAATCCAAAAACGACACATTGGGAACAACGTTGCTGTTGAACTATTCTTTACTGCCATGAAGATAGGAAGTTCATGTCGTACTCGGAGCCCCCGTTAGACTTCCCCTGTTCACACTAATTTTCCCCTGCCTCGAGTTTAAAGATTTATATAATACAAGTACTCGAGAGTTCTGGAATGGTAGTGGGAGAATGACGCGTCTAGCACGACTCCGCCGCGCCGACCTTGGTCGTCGCCGCGTAGGGCCTCGTGAGGAACGGCCGGCCGGCGACGACGAAGGCCGCAATGAGGGAGAAGGCGACGATGAGCGGCACGTAGGCGATGTACTCGTTGTCGAGGTGCTGCTGGACGAAGTTCGACCAGCGCGGGCCGGGGATCTTCCCAACGTCGACGCTCGCCTTGTACGCGGACATCATCGTCGCAAAGGCGGTCTTCGGGAGGATTCCCTTATAGGCCGGCGAGAGGCCCATCGAGAATACCGTCGACGCGCCCGCGAGCGTGAGGTAGCCCGCGAGGAAGTAGGTCTCGACGTAAGTCATCGACGGCCGCGACTGGCCGACGAGCATCAGGCCGAGGCCTACCGCGACGGCCGCCGAGCCGGCGGCGATGCAGTCGTAGTGCTCGAGGGGCGTCCGCTCCAGCAAGACCTCGGCGACCAGTCCGCTCCCGAGGCCGGCGACCTGGAAGAGAAAGAGCCAGAGGGAGATCTTGGGTTGGTGCCAGCGCTGCTCGGCCAGGAAGACCGGTCCGAAGTAGTTCGCCGCCGACGTCGCGAGACCGTAGCAAAATACGAAGACCAGCCAGGTGCACGTCTGCCGCGTCCACACGCCGGTCTCGCGCCAGCCCGCGAAGGGGTTGAGCGACCGCTTGGTTCGCGCGCCGGCCGGCTCGACGACGAGCGCCCAGACACAGGGAAGCGTCACCAGGGACGCGAGCGCCTGGACCGCCGCGGGACTATTACCCGGGTTGTACTGGACGCCGGCCGAGAACCGTGCGTGGCCGAGGCCAATAGAGCTACCCGTCGCCGCGACCATGCCAACGCTAACGAACAGCCGGAAGGTCGACATGCGCCACGAGGCGACCTTCGGGTGCGCCGACACGGTCGGGATGTAGCCGATGCCGAGCGCCGTCGCCCCGCAGCCCAGGCCGTCGACGAATTTTCCCGCGATGGCCAGTCGTATCGAGCCCGCGACGCTCGGGTCCGCGAGGACGTACATCAAGTTCCCCGCGAGCATCAGGACGACGTAGACGAACAGGGCGGGCCGCCAGCCCAGCGCGCCCGAGAGCGCCCTGCTCAGCACGCTGCCGACGAACTGGCCCGCCGCCCAGACCGTCCAGGCGTTCGAGAACTGCGTGTTCGCCGCCTTCGTCGGCTCGCTGTCACGCATGTCGAAGGCGCCGCCCGTGTCGATGCGCGTGAAGTAGTTGGGGCCGGACGAGAGCGTGAAGACGTAGTCGGAGCCGAGCAGGGCGGCGACCCAGTACATGAAGAGGAGCGCGCGTTTGACGGCCGTCGACTCCTCGTCGGGCTTCGGCGTCGACGCCACTTTCTCGCTCATGGTGCTTGCAGGAAAAAAATGCTAGTGATGTTACAGCAATGGTGATGATGCGTGACAGTTATTGGGCGCACGAGTTTGGTTTAGAACATATGAAACGCCAGTGAGACTCGCGTGCTCGCACGTCGCGCGTCGGAGTCGCGAGAGACAAAGTCACTGACATCAAAACGGGTTTTCCTGATTCCTGTGGCGTGCTTTGTAGCGGGGCTAGAGGGGCTAGGGTAAGAGCTTGGAGGGGGGGGGTTCGCATTTCACACTAGTTACGCCCCCAGAACACGATCAGAGCTCGATCGCGTCCACCGGAACCGCCGCCTTCGGCGCCGCTGCGCGCTCGACCGGCGACGCGAACAAAGCCGTCCCCGAGCCCGTCGCCGCGTCGAACGCGAAGACGTTGTTCGTCGGCGCGCCCCGGCCGGACACGGCCTTGACGACCTCCTGGCCGAGGACGCCGCCGACGACCGCGGCGATATGGGCCGGACATTTCCCCGCGACGCGCGCGTGGCGCGCCAGTATCGTGTCGTCCAACCCTAAGCTCCGCGCCGCCAGCTCCCGCCGCGCGAAGGCCACGAAGTCGCCTTCGTCTCTTGACCGCTTCTTTGAGGTAGGACGGTCCGCGAAGAGCGCGTCGAGCCGATCCAACAGAAACGGTGTTGGCGGCTGCGCCATCTTCTTGTTCTTTACGCTGTCCCAGGCCACACCGACAGCGTCGGCATACGAACAGTACGAGGCTTTTTGCGGTGCTGATGTTGTTTTCTTGGCCCCCTCTCCCGTTTCGACCACGTACGTGTGCTCCGCGCCTAAATCTAAAAAAGCCGCCGCGCCGTCCCCCGAGCAGCGCACGGCCAGGAACTTCGCGCCACTCTTGCGGCAGGCCTCATTAATCAATTTCCTTTCCTCCTCACTACCTCTAGTACAAGGCACGTCGACGATGACCACCCCATGACCCTCCACCAGCTTCTCCGCCGTTGCTGCATCGCTGCAAGAAGAAGTAGAACCAATCTTCACGTCCGCGAAGGGGTTGAGCTCCGCAATGTTCTCCACAGACGCCTCTCCGACGCCCTTGCCGATGCTCTCGGCATCCGCAAAGAAGTTGTAGCCCAGCGACGCCGCGTCGACCTTCCGATGGTCGGCAACCGTCGCCGAGAAGCCGGCCAATACAAGGTTCTTGCAGAGCTCCACGTTCGCGGGCCCGAGGCCGAGGAAGAGGACGCGGCTCGCCTGGATGCGGCGCTGCGCGTCGGCGCCCCACAACCTAATCTGCCGATCATAGACCTTGTTCGTTTCTTCCTCCGAGGGCTTTGTGCTGGTGAAGGTCGCCATGGCGTTTAAGAGAGCTACCCTCTCGCTACTGGTTACAAATTTGCCACGGCGCGCGACCGGGCTCGCCTCCTCTGGGGACCAAGTGACTCGGACAGGACTGCGAACGCTGATCTCGCGCTGCGTCGGGCTCGTAGCCGTGTAGATTGGCGCGTGAGCAAAGCGAGCCCGCGCAGGCTAGCGGCATGTAAGACACTAGCAAGCTGTTAGGCGGGTTTTCTTCACGGAAGACGTCCTAGTCCCGATAACCAGGCCGCGACGTACATATATAGTTGCTTTGCTTAGAGCTAGGCCGCCTAGCCACCCGGCCGACGCCTCCCTAAGCCTCCCTACGCCCCTCATACGCCGTCGCCCCGAGTGTTCGCTCGGAGGCGACGACGGCGAGGGGGAATAGGTAACGTAGAGAGACGTTACTGCCCCCCACCACCACCGCTCGACTCGGCCGTCCATTGGTCTTTGAGTTTTTCGGCGTCCGTTTTTGCGATTTTCTTGTCCCATTTTCCCGCCCGGTGGTCGTCCTGCCACTGCAGGTGCTGCGTGAAGTCCTCGCGGTCGTGGTTGAAGCGCACCGCCGCGTGGTGCGTCCGAATCATGGCCCGCGCGAGACCGCCGACGTGCAACTGCGACGCTCTCCTTCTGTAGGCGCACTGCACCCGGAGCGCCGCCCCCTCCTCCCGCCTGTTCTTCAGGATCGTCCTCGATATGTCTCTAAATCTATGCATGGTCTGCATGCGCCGCCACCGACTCTGCACAATCAACGCGGCGGCTTCCTCCTTGCGCCCCTGGTGCCAGCCCCGCATCAGATGCTTCTTCCACTCCTTCTGGATGACGACGGCCTGCTCCTCCTGCGTGTAGGATTGTATGGTGCCGATGACGCCCAATGCCCTAAGCTTCGCCTGCCTCACGCGAGCTCGCTCCTGGATGACCCTCGCGGCTTCGACCCGTCGCGCCTCCTTCTCCTCGGCGAGCTTCTGCTTGTATTTCGTCATCTTCGCGTTATCCAACGAGACGTTCACCACCGGTGCGAGACCCGCCTTCTCCGCTAACTGTACGAGTTCCGCCCGGATCTCGTCATCAAGCTTGAGCTTTTCTGCCCTCAACCTCGCGCGCCGCTCCTCGTCGGACTCCGGCCTCTGCCCACCTCTTTTGGGCCGTTCGATTTCTTCATCCGCGATCCTTCGCACCGACGCCCCGCGCCAGGCCGCCTGCAGTGCCGTAGCTCCCGAAAACTCCCTTTCTGCTTTGGCATCGCGCTCCTCGACCAAGCGTTGCATGAACAGCCGCCTTTCTTCATGCATCGCCTCGTTCATCTTCTTGCGCGCGATCTCGTCCATGAGTCGCTGCGTCGGCGTCGCCGTGCCCGGGTTCCGCTGGACCGAAGCGGCCGACGCGTTCGACGCGTAGGGCAAGCGGCACCGCGCTTTGGACTTGCTTTGTTGCCGTTCTTTTTCACCGGGGGCCACATACCGCCTCACCGTATTCGACGTGCACATCACATCTACATGTGTTGTGCGACTGGACGTGACCCAGAGGGGCTCCGCAATGACCATCCTCCGTTGGGCCTCCATGCGGTTGACGTCCCAGGCGACCTTGTGTCGCGCCGGCGCGGCGCCCTCCGTGCGCTGGGAGGCGTCGGCCATGGCTGCCTCCGGGATGGTGTGGGCGCTGCGGCTCCACCACGAAGGCGTGGCCGGTGTCCTCGCTTTACTGAGGCTGCCCGACGGCGTGCGGGCGAGCCGTATGCGTGCTCCGGGCGACGGTCGCGCCGGCAGCGGGCAGCTCCTCGACGCGCTGCGGCTTGGCAGAGGGCTTTCAAAGCTACTAGGTTCGCGACGTGTCGAGGGAGGGAATCTTGCTGCGGAGAGGTCTTTGGAACTGTATGGGACCGTGAGGGCGCTTCCAAATGCTCACGGGTTTTGTGCGCCGCTCGGGGACCCAAATCACCGGCGGCGCGCGCGAGTTTGATCAATTTCTCGCGCGGGTTAGAACCAACATTCTTACCTTGCCGCCACGCGCCGAAAAAAATAGGCGTTCAGCGCACTCTCATTAACAGAGAGCCAAATTCCCAGACTGGGCTTTATTTTCCGTACGCGCCGCGCGAGGGACTCGGCGCGCCATGAAGCGCTCCATCAGCCAGGAATCGATCGTGACGCAGCGCCCGGCGTTCCTGCGGACTCTGAGCATCGAGCCGGACTCGCCGGCGACGCCGGGCCTGAACTACGATGATGATCCGGCGGGCAAGAGTCCGCGCGACCGCCGGCCGATCTTCTGGGGCCGGCGGCTGAGCCCGAAGGGGCCCCCGGGGTCGCCAAAATTCGCGGCGCCGCCCCGGGGCCGCCCGCCGTGGGCGTACGTTTTGACCACCGCGCTCGTCGCCGGACTTTTGTTAATAGTGCACGTCGGCGTCAGCGGCGAGCTCTCCTCCACGAAGGCCGAGGTCGCGCGGCTGACCGAGGCGCTCCGGCACCACGAGGAGCCGTCCCCGGCGCTCCGCGGCAGCGCGCCATCGCCAACGGCGCGCCGCCACCTCGTCATGGCCTGCGCCGTCGATGCGACGCACCTCGACTTCCAGAGGTTCGTCTACTCGCTGCGGCTCGAGGCGAATTATAAGGGCGACGCCGCCCTCTTCGTCCGGGAGGACACGCTGCCGTGGCTGCGGGAGGCCGTCGACGTCGTCACCGTCGAGCATACAATGCCCTGCCCGAGCGACCCGAAGCGGACGTGCGTTGCGGACGCGGCCTGGGGCCCCGTGCCCGTGTCCCTCGCGCGGTTCCGCTACTTCCGGGACTACCTCGAACGGCACGAGCCCTACGACGCCGTGCTCTGGACGTCCTTTGCAGATACGTTCTTCCAGCGCGACCCCTTCTCGCCGCCGCCGTTCTCCGAGTTAATTGAAGAGAAGAAGCTCGTGATGTTTGGGGAGCACCCGGCGCGGCCGTTGCTGCGCCAAGTCTACACCATGAATGCGATCCACGAGTGTTATGGATTGGGCAAATTGGAAGAGTTCGTCAATGATGAGACGCCAGCGCTCACGGCGGAGGCTCTGCTCGGCGCGGGCAGCGCGGTCAAGAGCTACCTCGGGCTGTTGTTGTTCCACGTCGAGGCCTGTGTGGAAATCAACCAGTGTGTCGGGTGCATCTCTCGGCGATGACGCGGCCGTGCTGGCTCCGTCGAGCGGTGAGGAACCGGCATCGCCACGCCATCGAGCAGGCGTCGCGTCGATGGCGTGGCGGTCGACGCGACGATTCGAACGCGCCGTAAAATTTTGATTTCCACACAGGTCGAGGCCTACTTCCCGAAGTCCAAGACCTGCGCGACGTCGCTCAGCGCGGACCAGGGCCACCACAACGTCGTCGCGTTCTCGAAATTGCCTCGGGACCTCTTTCGCATCGCGGCCTACAACACGGGCCAGGTTTTTGTCGCCGGCCAAACGAGACTCGCCAAGGAGAAGATCAAAACGGAGGACGGGTACGTACTAGATGCGGAAGGCAAGCGCGTGCCCGTGGTCCTCCAGTACTCGTCGTTCGACTTCCTGAATGACAAGGCGAAGGCCATCGTCGAGACCCACGCGAAGGAGGCTATCAAAAGGTGGAACGTGTAAGTAAACCTACTCTGTGTACACACATCACATTTTTTATTGTCGGTACGAGCTCGAGAAGCGCGAGTCCAACCCCTTGGCCTTCTCGATGACGGCGCGCGCGGCCTTGGCGTCCATGCGCTGCGGCGCGTCCATGGCGTCGCGCGTCCACTTCGCCGGCTTTTGGGCGGGCGCCGTAGACTTCTTGGCCTGGAACGTCTCGACGAGCGCCGGGCCGCGCGCCGCTCGGGCCGCCCTTCTACGTTCTTCGTCGGCGGCGACCTCGGCCGCCGTCGGCTGGGGCAGGGCGCCGCGCCCGGACCCCAGCCGACTCTTCGCCGCCGGTAAACCGTCCTTCGTCAGCGCCGTGAGTTCGCCGGCCGTCGGCGGCGTGAGCATCCAGCCCTCGCGCTTCCCGTCGCAGTCGCCCTTCGTGCCGTCGGCCGCGCGCGTCCAGCCGCCGTGCTTGTCCTCTTCTATTTTAACGCGCTTCGTCGGCCGCCGCGGCGCGCGCGCCGCCTCGCCCGGCGCCGCGGGCGCGGGGCCGTCGTCGTCCGACGACGACGACGACTCGGGCGGCGGCCGCGCGGGGCCGCGCGGCGCGCGCGGCGCCGGCGGCCCGGCGGGCCCGCGCGGCGCGCGCGCGGCCTCCGCTGGCGCGGCGGGGCCCCGCGGCGCGCGCGCGGCCTCCGCCGGAGTGGCGGCCTCCGCTGCGACAGGTGGGGCGGCGACCGCAGCCGGCCGCATCGATGCGGCCAGCGCGGCGCAGGCCCGCCGCGAGCAGGCGTCGTCGGCGGCGAAGCCCGGCGCGCCCGAGAGCTCGTCGCGCGGCGCCGGGCGCAGGCCCAGGCCCCGCAGCACGTGCTCGAGGGCTTCCCTCGCATCTTCGTCCTGGATCTTCTCGATGCAACAGCTCTCGCCTTCTGATAAGCGCACGAGCGCGCGGCTCACCTCGCTCCGGAACCGCCCGTCGAAGCACCCGGCGGCGGTCTCGGCGCGGTCCGCGGCGACGGCGCGGCGCGCGGCCGTCGTCGCCGCCAGGGCCTTGGCCAAGGCGTCCTGCTTGCCCAGCGCTTCGACGAGTGCCGCGGCGGCCGCGTCGGGCTCCGTCGTGCTGCTGGAGGTGAGCAGCCGCAGGAGTGCTTCAGGGGTGTTACTGATCAAGGCTTGCACTAATGCTGCTTCAGTGGTCGATTCGGCCATGCCTGCTGCTGCTATATCGAGCGATGCGCGCAAGCGGGCGCCGATGCTATGCCTCCAGGCTAGTGTCTTTCAGGCGCTAGCTCCCAGCCGGGAGGCCTCCCCGCGGGCGCCGAACGGCTCCGACGCACCCCTCCTCGGCGGGGCGACTCTGCCGAAGCGTCCGCGCGCGAGGGCACGAGGCTAGTGGGCCCAGCGCTCACTCGCTCCAAGGGAGAGCTTGCGCTGTGTACGACGAGGCTTGGTGCGCCCCAAACTTGGAGCGCCCGGCAGGCTGCGAACGCGCCCTCCCGCCTCCCTCCCACTCGATCGGGGCAGCCCCGCGGCCGCGCGGCCTGGCCCTCCCGGCCGAAGTTTTGTGCAGCGCCTCCCGGCCGAAAGACGCAACGCGCCCTTCCTAGGCCCCTCCCGACGACCCGGGGCCCTGCGTCGGGCCCAAACGACCCGCCCCCCCGTGCCACGGGGCCGGAGCCGGCGCCATGAACCCCATGGACGGTTTGGATGAGCCCCTGCTCGACGACGACGACACGAAGCGCCGGCGCTGGACGAAGCGCGAGGACGAGAAGCTCCGGGCCGGCGTGCGCGCTCTGGGCACGGACGACTGGGCGCGCGTGTGCTCGCGCTACCTCAGCGGCCACGGCCGCGCGCCGGACCAGTGCCGGCACCGCTGGGAGCATGTGTTGAGAGAGGGTTTGGTGAAGGGCGCCTTCACGCCCGACGAGGACGCGATCATCCTCGAGATGCTGTCCAACGGCCAGCGGCCCTCGTGGATGGACGTCGCCGCGCGCATTCCCGGCCGCATCGGCAAGCAATGTAGGGAGCGCTGGACGAACCACCTCGACCCGAACCTCAAGAAGGGCGGCTGGACGCCCGAGGAGGACGCCGTCATGGCGGCGGCCCAAGCGCGCTGGGGCAACGCCTGGACGAAGATCGCCGAGCTGCTTCCCGGTAGAGCGGAAAATGCGGTGAAAAATAGGTGGAACTCCGCCTTCCGCCGGAACAACGCGCACGCCTTCGGCCGGGCCACGGACGACCGCGTCGCGCGCGCGCTCCAGGAGGCGCGGCGCGGCATGGAAATTATTGATCGGGCGGGCTCGTTGCACGCCGACGGCGGGCGCCACTCGCCCGCCAATATGAACGCGCCGCCGCGGCGCCGGGCGCATCGCCGCGCGCGGTCGCCCGCGCAGCTGCCAGCGCCGCGCCGTTCGACGCCGTCACCCTTAAATACGGGCGCGCCGCCGGAGGGTTTAGATTTGGTGGTCCTGGCCATCGAGTCGTCGCGCGGCCTGCCGGCCATCGACGACGGGTCCTCGTCGCCGCTGCCCGAATCGCCGCGCAAGAAGCGCAAGGAGCCGGAGCAGGCGTCGTCGCTGCCGGCCGCCGCCGACGTCACTTCCAGCGTGGAGACGCTGCGCGAGCGCTCGCCGTCCGACGACCAGAAGCCTCCGGGCGAGGAGGCGTCGGTGATCACGCCGCCACCGCAAGCCGCGAAAACGGCGTGGCCCGAGGAGTCGAAGGCGGCGGTGCAGAAAACCCTAAACCCGTCGCCGGACAACTCCGTCGACGGGGCCGGTCAGCCGGTGTCGCCGGTCTGACCCCCCCATCACCTTACCCGATGTCCCCCTTATCGCGCGCGGCCTAAACATGTCGACGACTTATACATGAGCTTACGTTCTTCTTTGGGGACATGTAGGGGAGAGAGGAGGTGCGTTCTTTTTTGGGACAGGGTAGAGGGAAGGGAGAGATGCGCGTTCACGCGCTGGCCGCGACGAGCGGCGCCTCGACGGCTATCGTGGGGACGGTCCGCGACGCCATCGGCCCGACGACGCGGTCGGGGTCGATCGCCGAGACGTAGCGATTTCCGGCAGCGCGCACGTAGGCGCCGTCCAGCAGGTCGACCCGTCCCTCGGAGAACCCGTAACAGTCCTTGAGCGCATCAACGACGCGCTCGGTCCCATAGAACGGGTGCGCCGCGACCGAGTCATCAGTGATGCCGTGGCCGAGGCCGATAACTGCCGTCCCGCCGACCGAGAGGTAGCCGGTCGCTCGGCCCTCGAACAGGAAGCTGTAAACGTAGGCCACGTCGCGATCGACGACTGGCATCGTGACTTCGGCGGGGAAGCTCCACCGATCGCCGCCTGGCGCCATGCACGGGTGCCACGCCGTCGCGCGGACGTCGCCGACGGCGTAGAGGGTTGGATCTAGCATGCGCGTCCGGACCACGCACCGGACGACCGCCGGTCCATTTGTCAGCGCGTCCACGAGCACATCGCCCTTGACGACGTCGGAAACGCGCTTCCTCGTACCGTCGAACAGCCGGGCCAACGAGTCGCCAGCGACACAGCCGTTGCCGCGGTAGTGGTAGGCGCGCGCCATCGCCGCGCCCGACGCGACGCCGCAACCTTCCCTCGACGGCTTCGGCGGCGGTAACTTTGAGAAGGCGGCATCCGCATCTGCCAGGAGATCCTTCGCGACCGAGCCGAAGTAGTGCTGCACGCTCTGGTCCTTAAAGTTGTGGCACGTCCCGCGTCGGTGCGCGGACGCAAGAGACCGGCAGTAGTACCGGCCCCACCGCTTCCACTCGCGCTGGGACGACGTGGCTATCTTGACTTGGCCTTCGAGATCCATGATGCCTCCCGCGATACGATTCGCCGCCACATCGGTACCGACCAAACCAGCCAGTTCGTAGACCTCGCTCGTTGGAGCCCCCTTCGGCAGCGACAACGCCAGCGCGATGCGGCGCTCGGAGCGAGGCGGCGCCCGTCTTAAGGCCGCCTCCCAGCCGTCCCGCCACGCATCCGCGCGGGCCATCTCCCGCAGCGCATCACTCGCGCCGGCGCCGCTCGCCTTCGCCACCGCGACCGCCGCGCTCGCGTCCGCCGCGGCGAGCTCGTTCCCCAACCCGAAGAGGGGCCCGGCGAGCATTTCTCGCGCCTCGACTGCGAGCTCGGCACATACGCGGCGCGTCGACGCCCAGGCGTCCGTCACTTCGCTCCGGATGAGCGTTGCGCTTACGTTCTGCTCCCTGTCTCCATCATCGTAGTCGACGTCGTAGCCCGTCGCCGTCGCCCTGGAGATGGTCCCCGCGTACCACGTCTGGCGGCCCTGGAACTGGGCCTCTATTCGGTCGCCCGGCTGGAAGCTCACCATCTCAGCTGGAGGCGGCGAGATGCGAAGTGCGTCGATGAGCTGCATGCGGAAGCGCTCGGCCGCCGCGAAGCGCCGGTCGGCGACGGTCGCCACGTGGACGACGCCGGTCGCGCGGGCTAGGTTTTGCCCTTGGCGGTCCGTCAGGAGAAGCTTCTCGGGGTTCGCCAAGAGCGCGTGTTTCGTCTCGCCGCGGCGGAGGTCGCCCAGCGGCAGATCATTTAAAAGTGCGTCCGACGCGGCTGACGCCCGGAGCGACGCCGACAGGTTCGTGAAGGTCGTGCCGACCATGCCCGCGTCGGGCACGAAGGCGAAGATGCCGCCCGCCTCGCTCGCGAGGCCGTCGAGGACCTCGTCGTCCAACGAGTAGCCGAAGCCGAACGTGTGGACCGTGATGTCGCTGACGTCCTTCTCTAGTCGCTTCATCTTGCGCAGCGCCTCGACCTCGCCGCCCTCGGGTCTCGTATTCGGGAGGCCGTCCGTCAGCAACACGACGGCCCTGGGCAGCGACGACCCCTGCTTGTTGAGCTCGCCCAATGCTTTTTCGAGGCCGCCCCACAAATTCGTGCACCCCCGGGGGGCGAGGTCGTCGAGGACCGTGTGGAGCTGTTTGACCTGCGCGGGCGGCGGTGAGGCGCGCGCCGTCGAGCCGAAGCGGCGCGCTTACAGGCTGCACTATTTTCTTCAGGAAAGAAATAAGTTGTGGGTTTGCTGTGAGCAGCCTTGCGCGCCGCGATTGAAGTTTCGGACGCCGGAACGCTACGTGGTCCTCGTCGACGCTCGCCGACGGCAAGACCAGCTCCGCGATATTGTCGAAGGTGATCAGACCCAGTCTCGAGTCGGCGTCGAGCGTCGCTGCCAGCGCCCGCGTCGCGTGCTTGCAGACGTCCAAAATCGAGAAGCCGTGCTTCTGCGCTTGGCCGGACGCGTCTTGTACCTTACATTCGGTCGACATCGAGCCAGAAATGTCCAAGACGACCATGAGCTCGATTGCGGTCTTCGTGGCCGGCGCGTCGCATTTGATTTCGACGAGGGCGGCGTCTTCGATGCCCTCGACGACGCGCAGGGCGAAGCTGTCTTTCGGGGGGGTGGGCAGCTTGTTTTGTAGTAGCGCGGGCGAGTTCGGCGGCGCCGGTGGGCCGGGCAGCGCGAAGGCCTTGCGGGGCAGTCGTGGCGATTTATTTGTCATGTTTTTTTAGTTCTATGTGCGTAAATGTGCGTGTTTGCTCTGTCCTATGCTCTGTCTGAGATTTTGGAGACTTCCTGGCGGGTTTGGCAAAATTCTTCAAGGGCAGCCTTCGTGGGACGCGGTTGCGGCGTCGCGGCGAGTCCTCGGGACGGGTTGTTGCGGAGGATGTGGCTTTCCTACGGCTGTCGGGTGCTTGCTAGTGTCTTACAGCTAGCCCCACTCTGCCTGGACAGCAACAGCAAAGCGCCTTCCTTAGGCCCCCAGACCACCTGCTGACACGCGTGGACTTTCGAAAACATCTGTCGTGTCGAGGGATGTTCGCCCGAACCGCGGCTCTCGCCGTCCGGCGCTCAGCGCCACCGATGAGACGACTGGCCCCTGCGGCGCTGGTCAACGCGGCGCCGGGCGGCGCGGCGCCGTTCAGCACGAGGTCAGCCCTCCCGACGCCCGTCACTGCGGCGCTGGGCTCGCCCGGCGCCCGCGCGCCCTTCAGCGCGCGACTCGCCGAGCGCGCGTTCAGCACGCGACCAGCAACCGCCGCTACAGCGCCGCCAACATCAAAAAAGAAGCGCGGCCGCGCGCTCCCGGCACCGTTAACCATCACGCCGGCCGCCGCGGAGCGAATAAACGATTTGTGCGCCTCGAAGCCCGAGGTCCTCGGCGTGCTGCTGGGCGTGAAAAGGCGGGGCTGCAACGGCATGTCCTACACGCTCAACTACGCCGAGGAGCCGCCGCCGAGCGACCACGAAAAAGTTGAAGCCGACGGCGCGACGGTCTGGGTCGAGCCGCCGGCCCTGTTCCACATCGTGGGCACGGTCATGGACTTCGAGGAGTCGGCCTTGGAGACGGGCTTCACGTTCACGAACCCCAATGAAAAAGGTAGATGCGGCTGCGGCGAGTCGTTCAACGTGTAGATATTGCTAGTGTAAGGATTTGTGTGATTGCCTACTTATCCCAGCTTGGCGCCGCCGGGAACGCGGCCTTGAAGGACGGGTGGCCGACGCCGAAGCCCATCGGGATCGCGTCGTCGTCGTCGTCTCCGCGTCGCCGGGCGTCGGGATACCGAATCTCCCGCGCGGCCGGATCCCAGCGGCCCCAGTACCTTCGGGAGGCGATGTCGTGGAAGACGTAACGACGCTCGTCCGCGGGCACGGGCACGGTCCCGACGCCCGGCGCGTGGACCTCGGTCGCCTGCCCGACGTAGGCTGCCCACCAGCTGTACGTGGACTCAGTGACGACGAGCCGCGTCGCCCGCGCGAGGTACGCAAAGTCCGCCTCAACGGATCGGCCCCGGCCGTCGCCGCGAATCCTTGGCGAGACGACCTGAGTGGAATTCAACACTGAGATGGTCACGCCATCGAGCAGACGTCGCGTCTTGAGATTCCGCACGGGAGACGACCGTCGCGTTGAGGTGCTTGACCAGATCCCGGACGACGCCCGGCCGCGCGGCGTCGCACGCGGCGCAGACCTTGACCCGTCCCCGCCAGTTGTCCAACCGCGCGAAGACGTGTCTAAAATAATTCTCGTACGTGTAGAGCTTGTAGTGGTTCTGCGTCTTACATAAACGCACGTGAATAATCACGTCCGTCTTTCTTGGACTCTCGGAAAGTTCTAAATCACGGAGCCGGAAATGGGATCGCAACGGAGACCCGAGGCCCCGATACAGCGCGTAGTGCTGCCAGTAGCCCAGCGTCTTTAAACATGTAAAGTGGTCGCGGTTCAGGGCCCGCCGCAACTGCTTGTGCAAAGGGGTCCGCTGCAGGTCCGCCGGGCGCTCGCCAAGAATTAAGGTGCCGTTCTTGTCGTACTGGCCTGGGGGACTTGAGGGCGTCGGGACCGGGCAATGCGACGCTAACGCCCGAAGACGTTCGCCACGCTCTATTCGCGTACCACGGCGCTGGACGGTTGAAGCGGGATGCGCGAAGCGCTCTCGAGGCGCTAGACGTCCGCGTCGTCCATATGGTGGAGCCTGGGCGAGGCTACCCGAACGTGCGGCTCGGCGTCCTCTCGACTTGGCGTCAATTCACGCCATCGATGCGACACAGGTACAAAACGCGAGACCGCCCTTCTCGACTGACGAAGTAGGTGCGTACCTCCACTATGTCGCGAAGTCATACGACGATTTATTGGATGGGACCTTCTTCGTCCACGGCCACGTGCACGGCGGCCTGCGGCCAGTAATCCGAGCGATGGACTGGACGGCGAAGCGCGGCGTGGCTCCGCAGACCTGGTTCGGCACGACGCACGCCTACGACATGGCGCACGACGGGCCGATGCCGGCGCACCTAGCGACCCGCGCGCGGCCGACGTCCGCCGCATCCGGCAAGCGACGAACGGCCTGCGAATCCTTGCGCCCTGCTGGGGCCGCGGCAGGCGCGGGGAGCAACTCTGCGCGAGTCCCGAGGACGCGCTCGACGCGGATGCGAATTTCAGAGATGCGGGAACGATTGCGGTCGTCGCCGCGTGGTGCGGCGAAGACTTCACATGGGTCGCGAGACTGCTCTTGGCGTCTGATAGCGTGCCGCACGTCTGGCGGAAGTTAATTGTATACCAGAAGTGCGCCATCTACAAAACGGCCAAGGGTTACGAAGTGCGCCTAAAAGCTACCCCTATCATGATGGCGGCGAACCTCACAAAAGCGAAGCAAATCGCCGTCGAGGCGACGGGGCCCGAGACGACGCTGACGAGTATTGACGTACGGCGAGCGATCGCGAAGGACGTTCTCCTCCTTAAGACCTACGCAACGGCCGCGACCGCGCCGCTTCAGAATCTGGCTATCGAAGTGGTGCCGATGATTGAGCCAGGCCGCGGCTGGCCCCGGGTCAAGAATGCGCGGCCGCCGTTTTCCACCGACGAGGTCGGGGCGTATCTGCACCACGTCCGCGACGCCGCGTCGACTTCAGGCGCTAGTCCCTTGACGCCATCGATGCGTTCCTCTCCGCGCAGGTCTCGACCCGCTACGAGCACCTACTGGACGGCACGTTCTTCCTCCACGGCTCACCAAGCGGCACGTCGCTCGAGCTCGCCAAGCGGACGATGGATTGGACGCATCAAAATGGAGTAGCCCCGCAGACGTTCTTCGGCACGACGGACAGCGGCGCGCAACGCCTCGACCCGCTCCCCGGCCACCTCGGCGTCGCCAAGGACTTATTGAAGGTCCGCCGCGTCGGCAACTACGACGGGGGCGAATTTTATGCCAGTCGCCTCAGTCTTCGTAGAAGGTCGCAAGGATTCTATGCGAATGCGCTGGAGATCGTCCGCGCCGACGCGAGCTGCGCCGACCGCTACGTCAACTGCTCCGGCGTCGATCGCCGGAGGTTCTGCGGCGGAAAGGGCGGGAGGACGGTCCTGCCAGAACCCTTTGCGGCGTTCAACGCCGGAGAGCGAGACTGCCCCGTCGGTGACCCGGCGTCTGCTCGATGGCGTCGAGGTTGACGCCACGCGCGCAGGTCCCGCGCCGCTACCGCGGCTCGTCGAGGATCGAGGGCTACTGGAACGTACTAATGTGCGAGGCTTGCCGGGCACCGCCGAGGCCACGAGACCCTCGGATACCGTTTTCGGTGAACGGCGTCGGCGACAAGCTCGACGCGCAAAACAAAGGTAGTTACGCGGTCTTCGGGCTCAAGCACCCGGGCCGCTCCACATCATCGAGGCGACGCCTCGCGGCGCGGGCGAGTATACTAGACCATGCTCGGCCGAACGGCCTCGGCCGGCCCGAGCTCGCGCCCCGCCCGTTCGTGCCCATCCGGTACGACCCCGACGACCAGGCGCCTTTTTCGCCGCGCTCCGCGCTGTGTGGCGGTCTCGGCGTTTGTCCGGGACCCAAAAAATGCTACGAGAGGATTAACGACGACCGGGCGACGTATAAAGAGGGAGTGCGGGCGACGTACAAGTGCGCCGAAGGTCCTCCCGGGGGCAAGTGGAACGTAGCCGGCGATCTCCCGCCGACGACGACGAAACGGCCCCGGAGGGCCTCCAAGCGCGCCCGCGAGGAGCTCGCGATGCTCGAGCGCGAGGCCCGGCCGAAGCAGAAGCCCGTAAAAACACTCTAACTTATCACACAACACTTCCGCTCCTCCTTCAGCGGCTGCCGGAACGGGTTTGAGGCAGAGTAGCCCTCCTCACAAAACGCGTCCTCGTGGGCGTGGGCAATCATGTACCGCTGCATCTCGAGGAGGCGCTCCTCCTTGGTCGGCGCGGTCTTGAGGCGCTCGAGCTCCAGCTCTAATCGCCGGTACTCGCGCGCGGCTTCTCGTTCCGACGTCGGCGACGGTCTCGATGGAGACGGCGACGACAGCGCCGACTGCGCGGGCGAGAGCCGCGTCCCGAGGCGGCGCTCGAGGGGCGAGCCGCCGGGCGGCCACTCCCCGGGCGGCCTGGGCTGCGTCGACGGCGGTGGGCCGGCTGGCGGCGGTGGCGGCGTTGGTGGTCGACCCGCTGGCGGCGGCGGCGCGACCGGTGGCGGACTTTTGGGTGGGGGTGGGGGTGCTGGTGGCTTGCCGATTGGTGGCGGTGGCCGAGCCGGTGTCATCACGTCGTCGTCTGCAGGCGCCATTGGTGTGGGCAGCAAGGGCAGCACAAGCCGACCGCACGCTTCGATGGCTGGTGATGTAGCGCTTTCTGATGGTTCGGTCAGTAAAAATGCGAGCCCTGCGGGTGCAGCGGCTGCGTCTTGGTGCGATTCGCGCAGACCGAGAAGGTTGCTAGTGTCTTACAGGCCGCTAGCTAATCCCGTTGCGCCGCGCGCCACTCGCACAGAACGCACAACCTGAAGCGCCACGGGTGGCTACGGGCACTGTCGCAGCGCTCTCGCACATAGGTCGTCTCGCACAGCCAGCCGCGCGCTCTGTAGAGACAGGTGCGACCGCCAGTTGCTCCCAACAGAACCGCTGCCAAACGGTACCCACGCCGCAGCGCTCCTCTCGACAACAACAAATAGAAATGGCCTCCCAGGAGCGCCGCTACGTCTCGCCCAGCAAACCGGGCAATAATGCGGACCCCGCGTGGTTACGACGGCAGCAGCGCTTCTTCACGGCTTATGTGAATTCCAAACTCAATAAAAGGGACGACGTAAATGCCGTGACCGACCTCTTCGAAGATCTCAAGGACGGCCGCGTCCTGAAGGCCTTCGTGGAAGAGCTGTCCGGGACGACGATCGCCGGCAAGCAGACTTCTGGAAGTACTATAATACAGCACGTCGCCAACTTAACGCCGACCTTCGCCTTCATCAAGTCCACGACGAAGATTGTCGGCATCGGCCCGCAAGACGTCGCCGACGGGAATCCCGGGTTAGTTCTTGGTCTGCTGTGGTCGTTGATCGTCTTCTTCGCTTCGAGGGATCTGGGCGCGAATCAGACGAAGGACCTCAAAAAAACATTATTAGATTGGGTCCAGAAAAGATGCGCAAGACGCGTGCATGTTGACGATCTAGGTGCGAGCCTCGCGGACGGCCGCGCTTTCTTAGCGTTACTGGAGGACGAGGGCTTCGCGTATGAACCCTCAAAAGACGCGTCGGACAATCTAAAAAGGGCCTTCGACCACGCCGAACAGGCGTACGGCGCGCCCCGACTATTAGATGAGACGGACGCCGACTTTTGGAGAGAGGACAAGGCCGTCGTCGCCTACCTCGCGGAGCTCGTCAAGCGGCTGCCCGAGCGCAAGGTCACTGGAAGGGAGGCCGTCGAGGCCGTCGACGCGTGCTTTGCGTCGGGTATCGTTGCGGACTGCGCGCGCGATCTCGACGGCGTGCTCTCAACCTTATCTTCATCAAAGGGCTGGCTCGGCGGTCTACTCACGCAAAAGGTGCCGTCCGTGGCCTTGATTGTCGAGGAATCGAACGCTTCAATAGCCGTCGCCGTAGCTCGGGGCCAGCGCGAGGCTTCAGCAAGGAGCTGCGACCTGCACGTTATTGTTGTGAAGAAAGGAGACGACGTCACCGCCCTCCTCAAGGAGCGCTTCGATGATAAACCGCCGGACTACGTGCTCGTCGACGCGCCGGGGTGTACGACCGTGCGCGGCGCGGCGCTGTGCTTTGCCGCGCCCGGGGCCTGCGCCGTCGACGTGTCGACACGTCTCAAGCAGGAAAGCGGCGTCGATTCGGCGGAGGTGGACGTGTTAGATGCGAACCGCGTGCTCTGCGCGTGTTTGCGGAGCGCGACGGCCGTGTCACTGCCCGGCACCGCCGACGCGGAGGCTGAGGAGGCCGCCGAGGCCGCCGGCGCGGCCGACCTGCTGAAATCGCGGGCGCGTGTCGCCGCGCTGGCGCCGACGGACGCCGCTGCGGGCACCTTCCCCTGCACGTCGTCGATCGCCTCGCTCTCCGTCCGCGTCGCGCCGGGCGTCTCCGCCGAGGCCGCGTCGTCGATGGTCGGCGACGCGCTGCGGTCCTGCGCCGTCGTCGACTTCGGGGCGGAAGCCGAGGTCTTCGCCACATCAGCGACGGACGGTTTTTGTTCCGCGCCGGGCCTCGACCTCGCCGCGCGGTTCCGGGCGGCCTGCGTCTCTGAAACTCCCGACGCGATCGTCGTGGCGCCGACGGTCGCTGCTAGATCCGTACCGGTCGCCGCGGCCGCGTACCGCGCGCTCGGCGCGGCGACGTTCGCTCTGAGCCTGCGGTCGGCGAACGACGCGGCGTCGCTCCAGGCGTCGGCGCGGGTCCTGGCCCGTATTGTGTCGGGGGAGGCGCTGCCACCCGCGGCCGTCGAGGCGGCGGAGTAAGTTTACGTGCATGTTATTTCGACGAGTCCGAGGGCTAGTATGTCGATACACTAGCTCAGCGCTTGGGCTTTGTGTCCGACTCGTATCGACCGCATTTGTGGTCGTTGTCGGTGCGCATCGCTGCATTTCATCGTGCACTGACCGATGTCGCCGGCGCGCAGCTTTCTCGCATTGTTGTGCCTTCCTAGCACCGCTGCACTTGTTGCACCACGCACGAGGCCAGCGCGAGCAACAGCGTTGCACGCAGACGCAGACGCAATCAGTGATTTCTGCAAGGGAACGAACGCATTCTGGAAGAGTCTGATCATACCGGTCGTGCGGGACTATGCAGACGTCAAACCCAAGGGCACGGCTGACGTCGACGACTTCTTAAGCGTCGTGACGGCGGCGCCCGAGACGCCCGGCATCCCGCGGCCCGTGTGGCTGACGATCGCCGCGTCCGTGCCGACCGGTCTCATTTGGTACGGCTGGTACAAGTACAGCGCATCATCGCGGCGTCGCAATAGCGTTTTTGTCTCCGTAACGTATGATGCCCATCTCTCGTAGGTTGAGGAAGAATTGTTTCAATACGAGCTCGAGACGGAGGGCCGCGTCAGCGGTTGTGGAGGCTACGGCACGTTGTTTCCCTTTGTTTTCGGCGTGATCATCGGCGGACCTCTCGCGCTCGTGGGCTTTTCCGGCGGCGACGCCATCCTGGAAGCGGCAGGTTTGTGGATATTGCTGGGCCAGGTCAATCTGTACCGCCGCGTGAACGATTGCTTTCCCGGCGAGGAGCCCCTACACGCGTGGTGGGCTCTACTCCCGCCACCACTCGACGTCGTCGTCGGCCTGCGTCAAGTGCATTTCCTCAGCGAATTCTGGAAGAAGGAGAGGTCACTACCAGCCGGCGGCGACGCGGTCGCCGAGAAGTATTTTCCATTCATCAGCGCGCCGCGCTTCACGCTGAAAGAGTTCGCGCGGACGCCATCGATGTGGTTCTGGTTTACGAAGGACTGGGACGACTTCGACGTGCCTATTCTGAAGGACTAACTACCTGTTGTTGTTACGCATGAGTTCCCAGGGGTTTTCGTTGAAGGACGCGCGCGTCGCCACCGCCGCGTCCCTATACCTCCGACAGTAGGTGCCGTTGATCGGACCCGCGTCCGCCGACAAGGCCCGCTTGTCGCCCTCTTGAAGAGATCGTAGGACGGGGCACTGCTGAAACAATCTCGTGCGGATCAGCATCGCCTCGACCGCGTCAATGTCGTACATCTCGCACGCGTCGTAGTTTATATGAGCGGCTACGTTGGTCTGGAGCGGGCGCCCCCTACTCGCGAAGCGGCCACGAGCTAGCAACTTTCGTCCAGTGACGGCCCGTGCGGCCCTGGCCGCCCTGTAGAGGCGTTTTCGGTAGTTGCGCGACATTTGCGACCCGCAACATCGTCGCAGCGTCGACCACGGCCGGATGAATTCCACGACCGCGCCCAGCGCGTGCGCGGCCCGGCGGCGCCGTTCCGCATCGAAGCCGTCGCGCCGCAATGGGGGCGCTTTAAAAAACGCCGCGTAATCTTGGACGACCCGCCACTCGCGCTGCGCGACGGACGCCGTGCGTTGCAGTACTTTTATCGAGTTCCTCGGGATGCCCCACTCCTTCTCAAGACTGCGAGCGGTGGTATCGGTGTCACAGTTGCTGCTTCCATCCCAGGCGTTGTTCTTTGACTCGCGATGCGTCACGAACAACGGGATGCCATCGCGCGCTAATGACTTAGCCGCCTCGAGATCGTGGGTCTTGCGTACGTATCCAGTTCTATTCGTCGCGCAGAGGAACGCGCGAACGATAAACGTTGAGAGCGTCGTCGCCGTGCGCGGTGGCCCGTAGGTCACGGCGACTGGCTTGCGGCCGCGCGCGTCGCCGGTGCGAGCAGTGGAGATGAGGAGGAGGATGGTAAAAGACAGTGTTGAGTGCATTATAGAGCCCAGGTATCGTCGCATCGATCGCGCGGTGTGCGGGCGACGTTTCGCAACTCTCTTGACCTTCCAAACAGGCACGTATCGATTGTCGGCTGCTAAAAAAGTAAAACCTGATTTGCAAATTGTGCAAGCCAAAGGATGTGCTAAACGAGGTCGGCGAGACATGAGGCGGCGGTTTTCGTGATCCAAACTACGGCCTGAGTCGCCGCGAGGCGTGCAGTCGACCGCTTACTGAGTCCAGAGTCATGAAACTCACCATGTTGAAAAGTTTGATGCTGGCCGCGGCGGCGCGGCGCCTCGACACAAACGAGTGCCGCCACTACCTCGAGCGCGCCTGCTTCTTGCAGTACACACGCACAATACAAGTCGCGCACGGCTTCCGCGAGATGATCAGCAGTGCGCGGACCTGTGCCATGATCCCCCAAAGATTTCGATCCAGAGCTCTCTGGAGAGCCCCAAGCACCGGTGCATGCGGCGTGGGCGACTACCGGACCCCAGACCTATCCCAGAGGCAGTCCGCGAGCCGATCTGCATCCGAAAAAAAGTAACTAATTTGGACCCGATGGCGCCCCGTCCCCGTAAAAAACGTCAATTTCTCTAGGGCCCCAGGAATCGTAATAGCGGTCTCGTTGGACCCCATACTACCCCACCGATAGTCAACTACAAGTATATGACATCTACACCACGAGAAGGGTACTTTTGGCTGCCCACGCTTGGGACGTGAACATCTTGATCTGGACCTCACGCAAGTCGGTCGATCATGAAACAAATGATCGCGTTATGGTCCATGGTGACGGTACACGCGCTGATGGTCGCAGGTCCGGGATCTATGCCCCAATTAACGAGATCGTGGGCTCGCGGGAAGGCCGAGCCGCCCGGTGATTTCTGGACAGTAAATCAAATGTAGGACACGTTCAGGCCAATTAGCTGGCCCGTCCCGCAACCCAAGCGCCTGAAACGCGAATTTATTTTATAAACCACCGGTCTGGGGCCAATTCAGTGCCCCGCGTACGCACCGTCGTCCGCGGAGAACGGGCAAGTCGGTCGATTGTGAATAGAACAACGGCGTTATGGTCCATCTGGATGGTGGCGTCGCTGATACCCGCAGGTCTAGGTCTTGTGCTCTTCTGAGTCTAAACGTGGGGGCCCGAAAACAACGAATCGGGAGGTGCATAGGGGCAACCTAACGCACCTAGTTGGCTGTCCATCCGGCCTAAATGGACTCTACCATCAACGAACGGATGGAAACGAACATAAACGCGAGAGTTGTCTAGTAGAATTCTTCTCCCGCCCTCCGAGCGCGGGCCGTTGGCTCCGGTTCCGTCGGGTGTGTATGAAAACTGGGCTGGAGGTGATATAATGTACCGATTAGGTGGTAAAAGGCGGCGTCAATCGCTGGTGTACTTTGGAAACTCGTAAGACTCATCCGCGAATGTCGCGGGCGGTGCCTTCCGGGAGGCGCGAGGGTATGTTCCCGGGCCGCTACTCTGAAATCTTTGATCTCGGCGAACGACTAGGATGTACTCTGAATGTGGGTCATTCTTTTGACGCCATCGAGGCGTATCTTTGAATTTGCTAGTATGTCGATATACGCTAGCTCGTCGTACGGGAATTGTGAATTTGGGAGCCCGTTTGTTTAGTTATCGAGGCGAATCCAGACGCCATCGACGCACCCGAGCACACAAAAACCAAGTTACACACAACACTCACAAAAAGGGCGCGCACTTCCCCCGCGCACACACGTCCGCGCCGCGACACTGGCCGCCGTGCTCGACGGCGTCGATGCGCGTGTGGCAGACGAAGGTCGGCCGCGTCCCGTCCGCGTCGGACCGTAAAGCAGGCAGCGACCCGACGGGCGCCGAGGGTAACAACAGGACGTGGGGCAGCGCGAGCGGCTTCTCGAGCAGGCGCCCGGTCTCCCGGAAACTTCCGCCATCGAAAGCAGTGATGCCGCTCTGCGCCCGGATGCGCGCCGCGTCGCGCTGCAGGACGTGCAGCGCGCCCCGCTTGTTGTGCGCGACGGCATAGCGGTCGAACAGCGAACTATCGAAGTCGTAGGCGCCGTCCGACGCCGCCGACCAGCTCGCGAAGAGCGTCGCCCAGAGCGGCAGCTGGTCCTTCTTGCCGCAGCGGCCGCGCCACCAGAGCGCGAAGAATTGGGAGGTGAATCGAGATTTTCTCGCGAAGATGAGGCCGCCGTTCATCGGGATCTTGGGACCTCCTATCCTGTTCTGATTTCCCAGCAGTTCCGAATCTGATGATAAAGCGAGGTACGCCTCGGGCGTCACCTGGTCATTCGCAAAGGCGACGTCCGAGAACCAGGCGTCGGCGTCCACGTATAACACCGAATCCGGCGGCTGCTGACCCTCGAAGAGCGCCAGGAAACCTAGCGTTTTGACGCCGTTCAACGTGTTCCCTTCCCTTCTATCTCTACATGTCGCCCAGGGCGCCGCATGACGAGCATCCAGAATATCTGAAGAGGGCACGCCGAGCCAGAGGTAGAGCGCCCTTTTTGTCTTACGACAGTAGGCCGCCTTGTTCAGGAAGGCCTCCCAGTTGCCCCTCGTTTCGAGGTACTTCGTAGAGTCGACCATGGCCAAAATGACAGTTTTTGATGCGTCGACGTCGCCGCCGTGGTCCACCCGACAGAGTTTCAGCGGGCTGTCGGACGTGGTGGTCACGCGATTACCGGAGATGGTGAGCACGCAGCCGCTCTCAGCAGCTTCCAAAGACAGCGGTCGTGCGTCGTTGAGGGCGGCTTGGGCCTCGGATTGCCATTGGTCTTTGGTTACTCGTGTGGCGGCTGCCGAGGCTGCTAGGCTGAGCAGCAGCGCTGAGCGCATGGGTGGCTCGCGTGACTGCGCAGACTTGCGCAGTCGTTCAAAAATTATTATTTGGTGGGTTATCAATGCCGAGCTCGAGCAATGCTGCGTGTTTAAGCGTCGACAAGCGGCGGGCTGGGTTAGGCTAGCGGCATGTAAGACACTAGCAAGCACTCTTGATCGATCCAGCGCGCGGGGACCTGGTAACGGACGCGTCGCGTGTCGTGAGGGACGCGTACAGAAGCATGCTAGCCTGCCGGACTATTTTCCGTTCATTTTGTTTATGCTCTCCCACTTTGGCAGTGGGCATGCGGCTGCCACGCTCGACGACATGATCGAGGCAGAGGCGACGTATGTGGCGATAGAGCGAGTCTACGCACGGAGGTTTGGTCCATCGCACCCGGAGACTCGTGGCCTCCGGGGCGAAATCTCGAAATTGAGAGAGAACATGGCGAAGGTCCGTGAGTGTGCGACGTGTGAGTGTGCGACGTGTCCATGGGCTCAGATAGCCCGGCGTAGCGGGATTCATCGCAACGCAAGATGAGTAAGTAAACATTAGTCATTACAACAGCTCCAAGTCGTCCTCCTCGTCGTCAACGCACTCCCCCAGCACCGCGTGCAGCCCGTCCGGATCCTCGAGCATTGCCCGAATCATCACCTCCCAGCGCCGCTGCGCGTCCTCCAGCGACTCGCCCGCGCGCCGCCGCAGCGCGAACGGTTCCGTCTCAGGCGCCGCCTCGAGCGCCGCGGCGCGCGCCGGGAACGCGGGAGACGCGCGGTACTCGCGCCACGCGTCCGCGCCGATCGCTGCCACCACAGCCTCTTCAAATTTGCACGCGTGCGCCGTCGCCAGGATCGCGACCGGCGTCGCCCCGTCATCGTAGCCTAGCGCCGCGGCGCCGGCGAGCGCCACGGCGGCGTGCGGGTCGCACACGAGGCCGTGCACGTCGCGGCACCGTTTTAAAGCCTCCAAGGTCGTCGCGTCGTCAATCCGAGCAGAACGGTACGTTTTCGCGAAACTCGCGCGCGTCGCGTCGTCGAGCCGCAAGGACTCCGTCTCCCCAAAAACGTCCATGGCGCGCTTCGTCGCGACGGCGTCGCCATCCAACGCGTAGTAGAGCACCCTTTCAAAATTGTACGGAACTTGAATATTGATCGCGTCGCTCCGCGTCTTTTTCATGTGAGACGCGCGCGAGAAGTCGCCCTCACTAAACGCGCGGAACGCGATGTCATTTACATTGGTCGCGGCGCAGAGCTTGTCAAAAGGCACGCCTCTTCTCTTAACGAAGGTCGCCGCAGTTAAATTACCCATGGCGCCCGTCGGCACGACGACGTCGAGGGACGTACACGAAAACAGCTCGCGGCACCGTAGATACAACCACACATAATGGACCTGCTGCGCGAGCGGCCGTATGACGTTGTACGAGTTCACGCCCGTCAAGCCATGTTGGGCCTTGAAGGTCGTGTCTAACGATAAACGTTTGATGGGCGCGTCCATGTCGTCGCCACCTCCCTCGAAGCAACAGACCCTGATAGCTTCCGACGAAGCACAGGTCATCTGCCTCCGCTGCAAATCGGAGATCTGGCCCCGCGGGAAGCAGACGACGCACCTTAGTGAAGGATCGTCGACGTCGGCGACGGCCCGCAGCGCCGCGGGACCGGTGTCGCCGGTCGTCGCAACCAATAGAGTGCGGGGCTCGTTGCGTTTTCGGGCGAATAGAGCTAATAAACGCACCGCTACTTGCAAACCGAGATCTTTGAAGCAGAGCGTCGGGCCGTGGAAGAGCTCCACCAGAGCGGTGTTGTTTGTTAATTTCGTGACTGGTACTGTGTCGGGCGCATCGTAGCCGGCGTAGGATTTACTTAATAATTCTGCGAGCTCGTCTCGTGTGACTTCACCGTCGAGGAACGGCAACAGGACTTCCACGGCGACGGCGGTGAAGTCCAGCGTCCGCCACCGATCGAGGTCTTCTGCCGTGATGCGCGGGAGCGTCTCGGGCACGTACAGCCCGCCGTCGGGCGCGTAGCCGGCACCGATGGCGGCCTCGAAACTGACGGGCTCGCCGCCGCCGCGCGTGGAGACGTAGCGCATTCCTTTGTGCTCTCTGAGTGCTGAGAGACTGCAGGTCACGGAGATAGCGTATTGCTGTGCGTTTCGCTTTCGCGACTGTTTTGTGCAGCAGCAGCGATCAATTGAACCAGTAATCGACAGCCAGAAAGCACCGCTGCGGGTAGCTAGCCGAGTTTAAGCCGTGAGAGACTCGGCCGATCGGAGAGACTCGGCCGCCACGGGTTTTAGCGCAAGCTGTAGGCGTCCTAAGAAGGACTACAACGACGGGAGCCCTGGCACTGGACCAGTTCCCCACCAGCACCGGATTCTCGCAGAGCGAAGTTGGGCCCACTGCGGTCCATCGCCCGGGAAGACCTCGGCCGCGGACGCCTGGGCTGCCCCACGCTTGGAAGTGCCGTCGCGGGCCGCCCCGCGCGCCGACACGCGACCTTCACATGCAGCGCCCCCACCAATTCCCCCTCAACGGCTAAAAACTACCGCGCTGTGAGAGCGGTGAAGACGGCTATTTAAGCCTCTGTAGCGACCGGCGCCGCGCCGCAGCGCACCCGGCCACGCTGAGAGCCGGGCGAAGCTGCTGGACGACGAAAGGCAGCCCAAACAGCCACAAAAAAAGGGCAGCGAACGGCCAAAAATAGCGACAGACCAAAGAGAGCAAAAGATGCCAAGCGACGGCTGGAAGGGAGCCGACACGTATGGGAACGACTTAGATTATGAAGGAGGGAAATACTCGAGAGGGGCAACCCACGGCCAGACGGCGAACCAGATCCTCATGGGCGGCGGCCTCCCCTCACCCGTACCCGTGCGAAGCGGTGGCCGAAGCGGTGGCCGCGACGTGGGCTTCGAGCGAAGAGTCCACTCGACACTCTACAGGAACCAAGGACCACTAGTGTCGCAGGACGACTCGTCCTTCCATTCGTATGGCTACGAGCCGAAGGCGCGCGACAGCCGCGGCCACCGCGTCGATTATAATGAAGACGAATTGTCATTTGCGTCGTCGTCAGGACGTGTCTCGCCCTTCATGGGCGCCGGGCCCAAGCCGAGATCGAATACGTTGGACAATGCCCACGACCCGGGAGCTGCGGCTCGGAAAGCTTCATTAGAAGAAGGTCTAGATCTGCACGAAAGCGAGAGACCTCGCACGGCAGAGTCGAACCACCCGCCCATCGGCTACATGCACCAGTGCATGCAGCTCGCCTGTCTGATGGGCGACGTGAAAGAAGTAGAAAGAGTGGCGGCCATCGAAGGGTATAACCTCGAGCACCTCATACTAGGTAAGAGGCCGATGCATCTGGCGGCGGTCGCGAACCAGCCCGACGTCATTAGGGCATTAGCTAAAGCTGGGGCGAAGTTGAATGGCTCCGACGGCACGTCCAACAGGTCCAAGCCGATCCACGTCTGCGCCGAAGTCGGCGCGGTCGAGGCCGCGGACGCGCTGGTCAAGCTCGGCGCGCGTTCCGAAACGAGGCCGGGAGACGGCTTAGGTCCCTTACACATCGCCTGCAAGCACAACCACCCCGAAGTGATTGCTGTCTTACTAAGAGCGGGGGCGAACCCCGACGCGGCGTCGCGCGAGGGCACGCCGCGGGAACTCGCGGAACTCTACCACTGCACGCGTTGTGTGGATGCGATCGACGACTATATCATCGACCGGCACGACGACAAGAAGCTCGCGAGTTTCCACAAGATGAGTATCACCTCCCCCGCGCGGCACCTGGGCGCGCACCTGGACCCGGGCCACGAGCCCCCGACGACGCCCAAGAGCGTGAGATTCAAGGACCAGAAGCATTCGGAGCGAGATCAGGCGCTCATCGAGAAAGCTCTGCATGACTTGGAGATGCAATGTTGTACAAGACCCTTAGCGTCGATGCAAGCGGCCTTGATGACGGGCGACCATGCCAAAGTCCAAAAACTACTGAGCTGGGGCGGCGACTGCAACGCCATGTGCAATGGCCGAAGACCATTGCATTGCGCGGTGCTCGGTGACAGTGTCGAGTGCCTCAAAATCTTGCTCGCGCAAAAAGACATCGACGTGAACGGGCGAGATGGGGTAAGTTTCCAGACGCCCTTGCACGTGGCCTGCGACATCGCCTGCGACCCGGACATCGTCGTGATCTTGGCTAATCACCATGGCGTCCATATTGATGCCACAGATGCCAAATTCCGACGCCCTTTACATAGAGCGGCCGAGGAGGGCGACGAGATGGCCTGTCGGTTACTTGTCCATCTAGGTGCTGATGCGCGTGCGAAGGATACGACGGGCCAACGGCCTCGCGACTACTCGAAAGCGCATGGGTATACCAAGCTCTCAGGTGTCTTAGCGAAGGCCGAAGCGGCTGCGGTTCGGAAGAAGAACGCTCGAAGAAGGACCATGGCCATGGCGAAACTGAAGCATGTGAGCCATCGGGGCGACGGCGCGTCCTTCGGTGGCGACTCGACGCGGTCCTACTCGACGATCGGGTCCACGAAATCAGCTAAAAGCCGATCTAGTAGAAGACAACAAAAAACTCACTTCCCGCCGGCCTCGCCGACGCGGTCGCCGTCGACCTACCGCGCCAAGGACGAGGTCGTCGAGGAGCTCGAAAGTGTGCTGGCCGAGGTGCGGACGCAGCCCCACGGCCACCTGAAGGTCGATTCCTTGGTGAGCGAAGCGTCACGAGCGGTCCATTTGGGGACGCCCCAAACGACCTGGGACACGAAGCGGGGCTCCGTCGCGAAGGCCCGGTCGCCGGACAAGCCTTTACCAACTTCGTTGGACGAGCGCTTCCAGCAGTACGACGACTCGCGACCCATGACCGCCGAAGAACCTCCCGAAGAAATGGAGTACGACTGGCGGAAGCCGCCGAAGACGCCGGTGACGCCCCCGACGGACACGCCGAACATTTCGCAGTTGTTGGTCCCGCCCGACGACACGACGTGGCGCAACGAGCACATCCCCGAGCCGCCTGCTTCCCCACCGAAGAAGGCGAAGCGCAAGCGGCGGAAGAAATCCGTGGATGAGGACACGACGCCGCCGGGCACGTCCCGTCATGAGAGGCGGCGCGGCGACGGACGGGCAAGGCGGAAGAAGTACGTGCCTCCGTTGGGGGGCAAGTCGCCGGCGGTCGACATTGCAAAATTCTTCCGGGGCGATTCTGGGGATGAAGCCGCGACGGCCTACGCCGTCGTTGGGAAACACGGGCCGGGCTACGACGGAGACTACGACGACGAAGTCGACGACGGCTCGCAATGGGCACAAATAGAAGTAGACAACGAAAAGGCCGAGCCGGCGTCCATCGACGGCGAGTACGGCGGCGGCGCCTTCAGCAGCTACAACCGCGTGCACGTCGCCGTGTCTCCGATCAAGGCCGACCCGATGGGGTTTGGGTCCAGCGTGCCGACGGGCCGGAGCTCGCCCACTCTCAAAGCTAGGGGGTAAATTCTTCATCACAATTAGTCCACATAGCTCGGCCGGTCCCAGGACGGCATCTGCGCGCACATCACGAGGGTCTCGGCGAACTCCAGCTCTTCGCCGCAGACGGGGCATATTTGCTGCCCCTCGTGGAAAGTCTCGTCGACGAAGCGCTTGATGCACCTCGCGTGGAAGCAGTGCAAACAGTTGGTCATGAACGCCCGCCGGGACGCGTCGATGTAACCTTTGGAGGCCTTGAGGTTCGCCGGGCGGACCCGGAGGCTGTAAGCAGCAGAACTTGCTTCGAGCCGGGCTATCTCGTTGGTTATCGACCTTCTCAGGTCCGGGAATGACGTAGCCTGCGCGAGGGATATAATATCCTCCAGGGTCGAAATTTCACACTTGTCTCCGATGAGCATATCTTTGAGCACTTCATCGACAGCATCCTGCTTGCTCTCGAGACACCCAATCCCCGCGCTCAGGCTCGCCTCGGCAGCCCGACGAACTTCTTCCGGACATGCATTTGGACATGGCTTGTCGATCTGCTCGAGGAGGCCGCGGAGCACGGCCTTGTGCTCCTCAATGGTGAGCATGCCCTCCTCCGGCTCCGCATTCTTACAGAACCGCACCTGAACGCGTTGGTCCGGCCCCACTGACAAGCGCTCGACGACGCCCTGGTCGCCGTTGCGGTGCGTGGCTTTTTTCAGGCCGTGAACAGTAACGCGCGTACCCACCTCCAACTCTGCTGGCCAAGCGAGCTGCTGCAGACAAATGGGACACGCATCCTCGAGCGGCTCGCGCTCGCATAGCTCGACAGCCTGTTGCACTGCCCCAAGCCATCCGGCGGCCCGGTGATCGTCAAGCAGAAAACAATTAGTTAAGGTAAACGCACGCGCCTGGCAGCTCGGGAGGTTTGAGGTTTTGAAGCGTGCGAGCCCAGGGGAATTGCACATACCTGAGAGTAAAAGCGAGGCGGTTCTCTCTGCCGATTCCGCGGATTTGACAAAATCGCCCTTCATGACGTGATTCATTGAGGGATGCAACAATTGTTCGTCTTCTCGTAGTGTTTCGGCAAGTTGCTTCTCTGCGAGGCGCCGCCGACACAACCTCAAGTTATTGTCCAAACATTTGCGGAGCTGCGCCAGCTGCTCCGCGTTCCAGGTTGTGTCGCTGAGATCCGCAGTCGTCCACTCGCGGTCGCAGCGCTCCAGTTCCCGAAGCGCCTCGTCCAAGTCGCGATCGGACTCGCTCAAAATTTTCTTACGGTAGGGGTCGGCCATCAGTGCCGATTCCAACTTGAGTCGCTGGGGGTCGGCCATCAGGGCCGTGCCCAGCTTGAATCTCGCGCACTGCCGACTGACTCGAGGTGCGTCGACGGCGAGTGCCTTGCGAGAAATGGCCGCAGCGCCCGCGTAGTCACCGCGGTCCATTAAGGCCGTCGCCACTTCACAGAGCGCGTCGACTCGGTCGTGGCCCGACACGTTCGGGAACTCCGCCAGGGCATTGGCCCGGCGAGTGGCAACGTCGAGGAATTTGCTGTGTTCGCCGAGGGCATTCAGCGCCCGCAACTCGCAGTCAAGAACAATTATGACGACCTTCTCTCTCCACCGATCTTCCCAAGCGTCATTCAGTTCGATGGCGCACTTCGTGTGCCTCAGAGTCGCATTGTATGCTCCCGCGTCGACGCAATTGCATGCGCAGCGTGTATGCGAAGTGAAGACGCTGCGGTCGGCGTACATCAGGTACTCCCTCGCCATGTCAAAAAGCGGCGGCCTCTCTCGCCAATTTATGTCATCGAGCTCCTCCGTCGTGCGCTGCTTGATGCGCAGAGCCAACGCGAGCAGCGCCTCGCCGTTGGGCCCTTCCTGTTGATACAATTTGTTCCACGTTTCTGTCATATTTCCGTACTCCACGCTCATCAGAATTTCTGTGTCCGCCGTTTCATTTGCTTGGCCTCGGCGCAGTTCCTCCAAGCATTTATCCAGCAGCGCCTTACTTGCAACCATTTCTTGTTCGTTCCACCTCGTCCCTTCCACCGACATCGTCCAGTCGCGTTCGCATTGTTCCAGTAATTGCAGCGCCTCGTCCGTGAGTTTGGCACACCCCAGCGCAACCCCGAGCTTCATTCTCGCAGTGTTCCGCGACGCCGGGCGCACGCCTTCGACGCGGATCGCCGCGCGTGCCGTCTTTATGGCGGCCTGATGGTCATCTAGCTCTATCTGCACGGTGGCCACCTCGCAGAACGCGCGGACAACCTCGTCGCGCGGCACGGCCGCAAGCTGTGCCATACCCTCGGCCCGGCGCGTGGCAGTATCAAGGTAGTTGGATTCTTCGTCGAGGCCTATCCACGCCTCCTTTTCGTAATTGAGAACGTTCATCACCACGCATTCCATCCAGGCGCCCCCATGCGCATCGGACAGGTCGAGGGCCTTCTGCGTATGTTTCAGGGTTTCACGGTACGCGTCAGCTTCGAGGTAGTCGCGCGCGCAGGCCACGTGCGCCTCGAATATCTTCCAGTCAACCATCACCATATGATTGGGTATATGGTCCTTTACAATCTGGCCACGATCCCGCTTCGTAATGAATTCCTGCCAGCGCTGCTTGATCCGAAGCGCCAGCAGGAGCATGGCCTTTCCCTTGCCGGCAGGTATTGTCGACTCCTTCTGTTCTTTGTAAAGTTTACGCCAGGAGTCCTCCATCGCTTTGAGCTCGTCCATGAGCTCTTTCTGCCTTATTTCCCACGCAGCCATATCTATGCCATGCAACGATTATCTCTCCTGCGAAGCTGCCTCCATGCGGCAGGATGCGAAGCGTGTACACTGTGCAAGGGCTGCGTGCACGCAGCTAAGCGCGACACCCCCAAAAGCGCCGGCTCCTGGGCTGCTTGCTAGTATCTTACCGCTAGCTCGCGCCAGCAAAACACGCGCACAGGCTAGCTAGAGCATCGATCACACAACACAGAGTTAATCATGGCTCACCCACGACGCCGGGACGTGCGGCCCGAACACCAACCGGTTCGTCCCGTCGAAGCGCAAATCGAGGGCGATCGCCCGCGCCACGGCCGCGACGGACGTCTCGCCGCTCGCCACGACGTCCGCGTGGCGACACACCAACGCGTGCTGCGTCGACGTCCTTGTATTATAAACATCAAAACGCAGCCTCCGGTCCTCGTCGACCTTCCGCGCCGCGATGATGCAGTACTCGTCGTTGATCTTCACGCCCCAGCGCGCGATCTGCGGGCCGCCTTCAGTGCCACTCGTCGGGCTGTCCTGCGAGAGGAGCCGCGTCGTGTCGCCGTCCGCTTCGAGCGTCCTGGCGTGTTCGAGCAATTCTGCTAGCTCGCGGCGTGCCTTGGACAGTGGTAGCGTGGGCGGCTTCGCGCCGCTCGTCGCAGGCGCACTCATTGCCAGCGGTGCCCGAGGGCTGGCCGCAATTCTCTCAAGTCCGCAGCGCTCTAAGGGCTGTCCCACGGTACCAAAGGGCAGGCCGCACGGCTCCAGGGCTGCCCGACGTGCCGCACTTGGGGGCTGCACTGGGGGCTGCACAGAGGGGCAGCGCTCGATTGCCGGAAGCCGCAGAGACTGCACCAATGGAATCGTACGCAACGTGCGATGGCCGATGGTGTGCTCTGCTTGCGAAACGGGAGCAAAAGGCAGCAACCGGTTCGCAGTGATTGCTAGTACCTTACATACCGCTAGGTCGGCCGCAATTTCAGCAAAAAAACGCCGCCAGGATGGCCATTTACCCGTAACGCAGCATAATTCACAAGCAGCAACAACGCCATACGTGCGCTGCGACGGATGAGCTCGAGCGACGACGACGAGGCGCCGCGCGGCCTCGGCCTGGGCTATGGCGTCAAGCGCGGCCGTAGGGACCGCGACGAAGCAGCGTTAGGCGTATTCGGCGACGGCGACGAGCCGCACCAAAGACGCGGCCTCGGCGCCAAGAAAAAAAGCAGCAGCGGCCCGGTGATGTTCGTGTCCGCCGGCAAGGAGGAGGCCAAACCACCAGCCCCTGCGCCAGCGCCGACCATGTCGAACGACGACTTCCGCGCGCACATGGCGCCGCCGCCACCGCCAAAGGTACAAAAGCCGAAGCCCCCGCCGACGACCGCGACAAGGCCCGAGTGGGCGCGGCACACGAAGGGCGTCGGTTTTGAATTGATGAAGAAGATGGGCTTCACGGGACGCTTAGGTAAGGACGAGACCGGCGTTTCGAGACATGTGGAAGTGACCAAAAGACCAGACGGCGTCGGGCTCGGTTTTGCGGCGAAAGTCGGGTTCGTCGAGGAGGCGAAGTTGCCCCAGAACATCGCTCTCCAGAAGGAGCTCGGCCAGAAGGTCGCCGAAGATGTACCTGTTGAAGATACAGCTTCCTCGGCGCGGCGGACGAAGCGGAGACGGTTATATAGGGATGCTGCAGCCATGAAGGACGCCGTCGCCGGGCTAGAAAGGGCGGCGCGCGAGAACAGGAAAGCGGCGCAACTACAACAGCAGCGGCGCGTCGACACGGCCGTTGAAAACGCGTTGGCGGTGCCGGCGGAATTGAGGCTGGCGAGCCGCTTCCGCGAAGATCTCGCGGCGCGACTCAATGGCGAGGAAAGCGCCTTGCGGGACGCGCAGCGTAGGCTAGATGCGGAAAGGTCAAGAAAGGGTGGTTTAGATTTTGACCTGAGGCACGACCTGGACCAGTGCGAGCGACTGCAGCGACGGTCGCAGCGGCTGCAGAGCTGCGACGAGGCCCTCGCGAAGGTCGAGGAAGCTGTTCAAAGACGAGATTCTGCCGAAGTGCGCAAGGCGCTGCAGAGCGTCAAGAAACGATTTCCGGAAGAGTGGATCTTGGGGGGCGTGGCGGAGAGCACGCCTTCGGTCGTACGGGAGGCCGTCCTGGCGTCGCTCGAGGACTGGGACCCGTTCCTCGACGCGACGCGTTTACAATCAGTCACCGACGCCTGGGGGCCCTCTTCACTCTTCAAGAGTGAGGACGACCGCGACGCGTGTGCCAAAAAATGGCGCTCCCTCATAGAGCAGGCGGCGGGGCCGCGGACGCGGTCTGCGCTCAGGGAGTGGCGGCCCGGCGTCAATGCCGCAAATGACGCGGCCGCCTGCGTTTTAGTAAACGGTTTGCGGTCAAACGCCCCGGACGCGTTCCTCGCGTCCGTGATCGCGCCGCGCATCGTCACGGCTTTAGAAACTCTAGCGAGAACTGCAGTGCGCGGCCAGCGGTGCGATGCGCGCTGGGCCGGTCCCTGGCCCGATTTGCTCGATGAGGAGGGTCGCGACGCCGTCCGGCGCGCGGCGCGCGTCTTGCTCAGGGCCCAGCTCAAGGGGGCGTTGCTTACGGATGATAGAGCTCTGTTGAAGGCCTTCGCGCAGCACGCCGCGGCGTGGAAGGCGAGTCTTGGTAGTGAGTGGAAGCCGTTTATCACGCAAGACGTGCTCAAGACGTTGGTGGACGCCGCCAAGACCCTAGAAATATGTGACGACGAAGACTATCAGCGGTGGCAGGTCGTCGACGCGTCGCGGGTCGTTGCTTCCATCGGCGTGCGGGGCGACGACGTCGCGGCGGTGGTCAAGGGCGCGCTCGGCCCGCGCTTCGTGACGACGCTGCGCGCCTCCCTGATCGCGGAGGCCTGGGCCGAGGCCGGGTGTTTGTACTGCGCGTGGCGCGACCGGCTGCTGAGCGATGATGGTTTACCGTCGCTACCAGAAGCCGCATCAAATGCAGCGGTTGAGGTATTAACGTGCGGCCTCGACCTGATCTCGCTCAGTTTGGACGACCCGGCGATGCTCGCGCGAGCACCGCTGCCGCCCCTCGCTTCATTAACTTTCGAGGCGGCGCGGCAGAAAACGACCGTGGTCGAACAACCGGCGCCCCCTCAACAACGCAAGGCCTGGCGGCCCGCGCTCGACGCGTCGGGCTTCGCGGTCTTCGCCGACGTCGTCCAGCGCTTCGCGGCGGAGAACGACGTGCTCTACGCGCCGAAGCCGAACCGGACGCACGACGGCAAGCAGCTCTACGCGTTCGGGCGGGCGACGATCTACCTGGACCGCAACGTGACGTTCGTGAAGCGGGGGGACGGCTACGTGCCCGTGGCGTTGGAGGATTTGTTGGCCCAGGACGCTTGATGATGTTTTGTAACATGTGTTTCAGTTAGACGTATAGGGGGGAGAGGGAAGAGTTAACACAGATAGGGCGGGCTCACTCCGTGACGCCGAAGAGGACGTCGAGGTCCGCCTTGGCGAAGGCCGTGTCGCCGGCGCCGGCGCCGACGTCGTCGGCGGACGGCGCGTCGCCGTCCTGCGACGCGTCGAGCTCGCCGCGCTTCTGGCGGAGCCGTAGCATCCGCTCGTCGACCGTGTTGCGGCAGTAGAACTTGATAATTTCAACCGGGCGCAGCTGGCCGATGCGGTGGACGCGCGTGACCGCTTGCGCCTCCTGGGCGCCGAAGCGGAACGGTTCTAGGATTATCACCTTGTTCGCGTTCGTGATATTGAGGCCGACGCCAGCAGTCTGGAGCGTCAAGAGCAACACCGACGTCTCTGGATCAGATCTAAACGTCTCGAGGAGCTGGCCGCGCCGGTCCGGCGAGGAGTCGTCCAACCTAATGGAGCCGAGCGTCTGCTCGAAGGCGTCCGCGCAGCCGGCGGGCTTGACAACTGAAACGACCTTGGCCGAGCGCCAGAGACCATCTTTCTGGTCCTCTAAAGCGGACCGCTCAAACGTGACCTTGACCTCCGCGCCGCGCTTCGGCCGCACCTTCACCTCGTACTGGACTTTATTCGTCCCCTTGGCGTCGCCATCAATCACTTCGACATCATCGTCATCGTCGTCACTCTTGTCCACAATTAGTTTATGGACGACACCAGAAGCCCCAGCGTAGGGCCCTTCCAAAACCTTCACCCTCATCCCGACCTCGAGGGCCTCGTCCATGGATAGGGCGGGCCGCGTGGCCGTCACTTTGTCGCCCGGGCGGAAGCGATTGTCGAACCCTCCGCGCGTCAGGCAGCCCTCCTTGTCCTTGCACGACGCGGCGCGGACCATTTTGCCCGGGACCACACAGCGGTGCGATTTCGCAGTTAATTGACCCTTGACCACGTTGATCGCCTCCTCGCCGCCGTGCGCGATCGTGTAGAGGTACTTCGGTAAGCCAGCTTCGACATCGGTCAGTTCCTTGAGCTTCTGCTTCGTGCCGCACTTGTCACAAACTAAACCCTTCTTGCCTTCGGCCGTCCGACCCTCGGGATAGGGCGGTGAGTGCCGCGCATGACAGTTGGGGCACTCCATCTTGGTCAGCGAGCGTAAGGTGTTCTTGTACAGGGCACTATCATTGGGCTTCTGCTCTGGTCGGGGGTTCCGCCCGCTGCGCGCCGGTCTACAGAAGCGCAGCTTGCGGCAGGCAGGTGAGATACACTTCATACTACCCTTAACCTCGTCGACGTTGCCATCCTTGTCCGTGGGCTTGGGGCAGGTCTGCGCGTTGTATTTCGCCCCACAGCCGTACTTCCCGCCGCAGCCGTCGCACGCCGTCAGCGGCGTGTCGTTGGGTCTATCAATAACCTTCTTGCCCTTCTTCACTTTCCGTAATGCCGTGCAGCGCGGGTCCGTACAGATGATCTGGCCGTCGAGCTTCTTGAGCTCGAAATCCCGCGTGTCCTTCTTTGGGTTTGTGGGTCCAGAGTACACGTAGGGCGCGGGTTCCGTGCCCGGGCCGTAGACGCGGCCGCAGCCGTATTTCCCCTTGCATTTATCACAGTTCTCGTCGCGCGTGCACGGTTCACCGGTCTTCAGCACCCCGACGCACGGCTTGCACGTCCACCCGCATTGCTCGGCCGGGCAGGGCTTGCACTCCACGTAACAGTCCGGACAGATGTCCGGGAAAGGCGTCAAGAACTGCCGGCCGCACGCCTTGCACTCTTTTTTCTCGTCGACCTTGACGATGACGCCGTCGACCGCCGTCAGAGGGTCGTAGGCCTCCTTGCGGTACTCGACGCGAGATCCCTCGGGCAGCTTCTTGCCATCTCTATTCGCGAGATCGAGGTCGACTTCGTACTTGACAGGATCAAAGGCCTCCTGCAGCTCGTCGAGGAGATCGCCGTACTGGCTCACCACCACGAACTGCGTTGTCACGTCGGCGTCCTTGAGGCGGCGGATCTCGCCCGCCACAGCAGACAATTTTGCGGAGCCGCGCCAGCCCTGCTTTTGGGCCCTAGCGTGGTGCTGGCGTAACGCCCGGGGCAGCTTAGCTAAAGCTTCGTACTCCGGCTCCTTCGGGTCGCGCGCAGGCAAGGTGTCGATCGCCGGCCAGGCGTCCAAATCCGCCACGGTATGTGTCAAACGCGTCCGGCCGAGCGTCAGCACAGCGCTCCCCGGCTCGCCGCCGTCGGCGTCCATGGCTATCGGCGCGTCCCGTCTAGCTTGTTCCTTCGGCATCAAAAGCTTGTAGCACTCGTGCGGCAGGCTTTGTTCGTTGCATACGGCGCACTTCATCGAGCTGCCCAACGCGCGGACGCACTGCGTGCAGAAGCTGTGCTGGCACTTGAGGACGAGCGGGCTCCGCTTGACCGACTGGCAGACGTCGCACGTGTCCAATGCTTCGCCCTTCAAAGCACGTCTGAACTCCGCCAGGCACGGGATCGCGTTTGTGCCCTTCTTCTTGGTCTCGAGCTCCTTGACGGCGTTGGCCAGCGACAGCTCGCGCGTGACGCCCCCCGACACGTCCTGCGTCTGAGCAGTAGTGGTAGTCCCCTTCCCGGCGTCGAACGCGTTCTTGTAGAGCGAGTCGAGCACGTCATCGGTACAAAACGTCGACGCTCTTTGTAACGCCCTCACTAACAAGTGGTGCGGCGTCTCGGCGGCGTACAACTCGATGCGCCGCGCGACGTAGGTCTCCGACGCGTTCGGCGCCAGGTCGACGCCGACCCAACGAGTCGTGAGCGGCGGTAAGGGAACGAGCGGCTGATCATCACACACGGTCCGCTGCTCGCGCGCGTGGCGCATCATGGTCCCCTTGATCAGAGAGCGGAAGGTCGCAAGGCACGCCGCGTCCTTATTTGCCCAGGGCTCGCGGTAGGACGCCTCCCAGAAGTGCGACTGCCAGCCCGCGTCGGCGCCTTTCCCCAGCGTGAAGGGCCAGACGCGCAGCAGCGACAGCTCGCCTTGCAAATCCGCTATCTTCGTCGTGATGGGCGTGCCGCTGAGCATCCAGACATGCGTCGCGTCCAGACCGGCCGTCGCGGACGCCAATCGCGACGTGTCGTTGGCGACGAACTGGCACTCATCCACCACAACGCGGCGCCACGAGACTTTTGTGCGGAACTGCGAGAGCTGGTCCTGGCGCAGGAGCACGACATCAGCCTCGCGCACGTGGTCGAGGCTAATGTAACCGGACGCGTCCAGCGCCAGGGTCTTGAGCCCTGGGGCTTTTTGCTCGCACTCGGCCTTCCACTGACCGTACAGCGACCGCGGCACGACGACGAGCGTGCCGGCTTCGTGCGCCGGGCGCTTGTACTTTTTTTTATCGGCCGCGATGAGCGCGAGCGCCGTGATCGTCTTGCCGTAGCCCATCTCGTCCGCTAGCAACCCGCCGGACACGACGGGCGGCGGCTCGAGGAGCACGTGGCCGCCGTGGGGAAAATAGTAAAAGTCCCCGCCGTCGACGAACGCGCGCCGCTCCCAGTAGTAGCCATTTAAGCCTGCGACAGACGTCGTCGCCGTGTGCTTCCGGTCCTCCTGGTGGAGCGCCCAGAAGACGTTCTGCGTCTGGTACGGTCTTAGCTGAATGCCGTCGGCCAGCAAGCCGTCCATGCTCTTGGCGAAGGCCTTCGGCACGGCGATGCCCGACGACTCGGCGTCTCTCAATAACGCCTTGATCGTGAACGACGATAACGGCGGATCGGACCGCGAGAACGTCCCGTCCTCGGCCAGCGGCGCTCTACAAGGGTGCCGCTTGCCCGCCGGGTCGATGCCGTCGAGCACGATCTTGGTCGAGGGGTGCGCCGAGAGCCCGAAGAGCGCCCGGCGCGCCCAGACGGCGACGTGGACGCGGCAGGACTTCTTGCGGCCGCCCGTGCAGGCCGAGGCCAGTTGCTTGCTCTCGATGAACGCGACGGCGTGGACGCAGCGCTCCTTAAAGTCGTTGTCGCGGTCGTTCAGGCCGGCCAGTGCCTCCACAAAGTCCGCGGCGTCGTCGTGAGCTACGACGACGTTCGACTTGAGCAAGCCGTCGAGGCAGGTCGCGCCGTCCAGCGTCCCGTACTTGCCGTACGGGCGCCAGGCGTCGGTGCAGCGCTTGAGCGAGGCGCCGTCGTCGACGCGGACGTCGAAGGACTTGGTGCCGAGGAGTCGTGCGACGCGCGACGTGACCTTGCGCGCCTTCTTAACGGGCTTGACGCCACGAGGCGTCGGCGGCTCGTAGATGCCGCCGCCCAGGTACGGCGTCGGCGTCGACGACGGCCACATGAGCGCGTCGCCCGTCGTGCGGTCCTCCGGCAATATCAAGCACGGGCCCGCGCGCGGCAGCATCAGGTTGGGCGGCGCCACACAATCGACACGCGGCGGTAGATTTGTGGGCGCCTTGGTCGCCGCGCATTTTGGGAGCGAGACCTTGCGCTTCGGCTTCTTGGCCGGCGAGGGCTTGACTTCGGCCTGCCGCACGTCCTCGTCCTCGCTGCTCGACGCGTTCTCGTCGGAGCTGTCGGGGATCTCGATGATCTCATGGCTCTTGCGTTTTTGCGTCGTCGTTGTGTCTTGGAATTCGACATCGTCGTCTTCGTCGTCGTTGTTGTTGCCCCAGGTGGCGCCGCCGTGCCACATTTTGGCGGTGCTGTCACGATTTGTGCAACGCGCCGGTCTGCGGCGTCGATTTTTGGCTCGGAGAGCTTGTGGTCGATTCCTCTCCAACGCGGCACCGTTTCGCAACGAGATTGCAGCTGCGAGTACCAGTTGGCTGTGGCTCTACGCGCGCTAAGTCACGAGTAACCTGCTTGCTCTAGCGCAGAGATGTCAGCGTTTTAGTCTCTGGTCACTTGAAAAACTAGTACCTCCATGCGCCTAGCTGGATCTTCCTAATCGCAAAAGTTGAACACCTTCGCGTCAGAGATCAGAGCGGCGCACGTAAGCGAGGCGGAGCAGCCGTTCTTGATCGCCGCCAGCGTTTTGCAACGCACGGATTGGCTGAAACTGCACAACACACGCCGAAGCCATCGACGCGGCGCTGCAGCCATGGCCGACGCCCCACCACCACTGCATATAACCCTCGCCGCGTCGTCCATGAGCTCCCTCGTCTCGCGCGTGGCCTGCCACCCGCTCGACACGATCAAGAGCAAGATGCAGGCGACGAGCCGCGGCTCCGTCACGACATGTATCGCAGACACGCTGAAGAAGGAAGGCGCGCGTGGCTTCTACCGAGGGTTAGGTGCGGCCACAATAATCGGCGTGCCGGCGGGCGCGCTGTACTTCACGTCCTACGAGGCCTTCAAGAGACGTCTGGGAGACGGGCCGGCCTCCCACTTACTCGCGGGCGTCGGCGCCGAGGCCGTGGCGTGCATCGTCTTCGTGCCGGTAGACGTGGTCAAGGAGCGGTGCCAGGTCCACGGTTATACGTCGTCCTACGAGTGCTTCCGGACGGTGCTGAAAAAGGAGGGTGTACAAGCGTTGTACCGCGGCTACGGGCCAACTTTATATTCCTTCGGCGCCTTCTCCGGGTTGTACTGGGCCTTCTACGAGCAGCTGCGACCTTCTGGGACGGTCTCGTTCTCCGCAGCGCTGCCCTGCGCGCTGGGCGCGGGCGCTCTTGCGTCGTGGCTCACGGCGCCGCTGGACCTGGCGAAGCTCCGGGTCCAGGTGTATCAGGGTGCGAAGGGGCCGTCCTTCTTGACAGCGCTGGTGGACGCGTCAAAGGCGGGCCCGCGCGGGCTCTTCCGCGGCGCGGGCGCGCGCGTCTTGTTCAGCGCGCCGTCGATGGGCGCGTCGATGGCGTGCTTCGAGCAGGCGAAGAGTTTTCTTTTGTAATGTTGTTGTTTTGTACTCTTCTTTTGCGTCGGTCGCGTATATGCTGGGGCTGAAAAACCCGATTTGATTCGCAGCGGCGCGCGCGCGCGCGCAGCGCGTCGCTCCGCGCCTCTCTCGCGCTCATCCACGACGCCGAGCGGTCACTTGAAACAAGAATTTCCATGGCTTTCACCGGTCGACGCCCGGCGCTCGGAGATATTGCGAACAAGGAGCCTCAGGAGGCCCTAGCCGGGGCAAAGAGCCCAACTAGGGCATTACGTTTAAACCACAGAAGTTTAAGGAACCGGCTAAGCGAAGCCATCGACCCACAGAACAAAAAATTCGATCCAGCGCTCAGACGGAGATGGTTGCGCCTTGCTAAACAAACGCGCTTGGAGATACGGAAAGAGTGCCACGTCCAGATCCATACGCGCATGGTCAGAGGTGAGGATGACCAGTTTGCACTGCTGCGGTCCTTGGTTATGTCACGAGCTCTGCCTGCGAGCATCGACGAGGAGGCGCCGCTCGAGGACCTCCTCGCCGACGTGCGCGTGTCGCCCAAGACCAAGGCGCAAGACGAGCTCGACGCCGCGCCGGCGCCCCTCGACGACGATCTCCTGCGCGAGATCGCGTTCGACGACGGGGGCCGCCCGCGGCCTGCGGCAGACGAAACGAGCGAGGTGTCGGGCGTCACGGTCTCCTCACGCGCTACGTTTGCGTCGCGCGCCACGAGCGCGTACACGGCGATTCCGACGGCTCACGGGCAGTCTCGAATGCAGGAGCGCGAAGTAAGCCTGCGCGATCTCCAGGCTGCGAAGAAGTACGGGACGATTAAAACCAACCACGTACGGTGCCGGGGCAAAACCAGCCGGCGTTGGAAGATCGAGCACGGCGGCGTCGTCTACATCACGGACGAGCATCAGAAAAAGGTGATTACGACGTATAAGATCCGGCCTCCCGACCCGCCGCCGCCGATATGCACGCCGCTGGCACCGAACCCATCGCTCCCAGCGAGCACGCTCGCACCCGCCGGGCCATACGGACCGCCGATACTACTCACGCCGTTACGGATACGGCCGCTAATGGGAGGAATACTCACGCCGATACGGGAACACCCGGGTGTGCCAGCATCCTCCTGGTCCCCAGTAGGCGGTCGTTCGAACGGCTGACGCGACGGTCGAGACTGGTAATAAGACTCAAGAACTTTGATCAGCTAGCGGCCTGTAAAGACACTAGCAACCTAGCAAAACAGCTTTTGCAGGCGCCACAGTAGGCGCATAAATGCTCTTCAGTAACTTTGGCGCAGCGTTTGGAGGTCAGCGTTGAACACTGCGGCCGGTGCCAGAGCTTTAGAACACTGCACGCCGTCGCCGCGGCAAGTAAAGGATGATAGCCGCAGCAATCCTCATCCTAGCAATATTCGTCGGCATCGTCTGTAGTTTCGCGCTGCGCCACGCTGATAAATTATTCGTGCCGCGCCACGGCCGCAAGCATCGCATCGCGGGCGCCGCATACGTGTGCTGGCTCGCGCTGGGCGTCGCGGGCCTCTTCCGCGACGACGTCGCCGCGTCGCGGACCCGCACGGCCGCCTACGACGTCGTCCTGGCGCTGCTCGGGACGGTGTCGACGTTTTCGGCCGCGCACGACTTCGGCGGCCGCCGGCTGACGTCCAAGGTGTCTGGTGTCTTGGACGACAAGTCGTTGGTCACTAGAAGCGAAATGCTGGAGCACGGCTTCTATCAGTTGCTGAACCTCGCGCAGATTCTTGGATTATACGCGCAATCAACCTGCACGCGGGGTCCCCGAGGAATATTCTTGTTCAAACGTCGGCGGGGCACGGCGCGCGGCTGGCTGCCCTTCGTCATCCTCGGCTTCCAGACGGCGCCGTGGCTTTATAGGAAGGCGTTCCCCGTGAACTCCTTTAGCGCGAACTATACGGGCGACAGCGACCCCTGGTTATTTATTAATGTGATGTACCGGATCAAAAAGTACCAGTACGTGTTCTACAAGAATGCGCTCTTGCATGGCCTGAACATCACGACGTGCCTCTCGAGCACGCCGCCGCGGATCCAGGGCCGGCGGTTCCGCACGTATTGGTTGTGCCTCAACGCCGCGTACACGCACGAGTTCTTTTTGCAAACGCTCGTCAAGCGGCGATTGCTCGAGCAACGGTCGATGCTGCGCCTGAATTGGCTCCTGATGGTCGGCTCGTCGCTCGCGGCGGTCGAGGTGCTGCGGCACCACGTCGACTGGCGCATCGCGCTCGCGTCGCTCGCCTTCAATTTCGCCAACCGCAAGCACGACGTCGCGAATACCCTGTGCATCGCGTTCGCGTTTTCGGTGTGGGGGCACGATAGGCTACATGCGTAAGTTTGGACTTTCCTTGAGTCTGCCTCTGTCTGGACCACTCGATTTTGCGCTCAGTTTCGTGTTGGTCCGCGCGGCCGCTGTCGTGTCGTAGGCCAATTCAAGCTACGTACTGCAACTCTAGCATTTCGAGAAGAGGATTTCAGCGTTTCCGATAGCTTTCCGCGACCGCATCATGACAAAAGTGGGTGAGCCAGCGCTGAAATCAACTTTCCGCGGCGCGCCGACCACGACTGATCATGGTCGGCACGCCATCGACGCGGCGCCTGCTCGACGGCGCGGCGGGGCGGTTCTCTGAGACGCGCGAATTTCGCTAGCGCTGCCGCGTCGTCCGCCGACTCGCGCCCGGCCGCAGGTTGTAGCCCTCTGCCTGCTCGCAGCGACGGCCGACGCCGCCTACTTGCGCAAGGGCGAACCGTCGCGGCGCCTCGACGACGCCGATTGCTCGGACGACCCCGAGTGGTACCACAAGAACCGCGGCCCCGACTACGACTGCGCGTGGGTCGCAATGAAGACAGACACGCGCTGCGCGGTCAAGGGCGTCTCGGGCAAAGTCGAAGGCACTATCGTCGCGAGCGAGGCGTGCAAGGCGGCCTGCGGCGGCTGCGGCACTTTTACAGACGGCGAGAACGTCATCTTCGCCCACGATTCAGTACTCGATGACTTCTTAGGCGAGACGCTCCTCATGGACGCGCATCGGTCCGGAAAGATAAACTATCTCGGCTCGATCGTCGTGAACGCGGACTCCGTGCTTCCTTCGTCCATGGACCTCGTCTACAAGTTTCGCGAGCTCTACGGCGCGGACATGTATGTGGGCCTCTCGCCATCGAGGATGTTCTACCCGTTCCCGTGGATCTATAGAGCGGATTCCTACTCCATGGACTCCCTCGACGTCATGCAGGCCGTTGATGCGGACATCCCTAGCGAATACCCCGACGGCAACGCGTGGCTCGAGGAGACATTGGAGAGTGCTCCGCCGGGGTCGATCACGCTGATGTGGGTTGCGGGCGTGACGCCGCTACAGGAGTTGTTCACGAAGAAGCCGTACCTCGCGGACAAGGTCAAGCGCATGGTCTGCATCTGTGTTTCAGGCGCCCCAACGCCAATGTTACGCCATCGACGCGACGTCGTTCCAACACAGGTCTGGATGGCGGGTGCAATCGATGTGCCAGGTAATCTCGAACCCGCATGCGATAGCTTCCGCTGCGCCCCGTATTTCTTCCCGCACTGCACGGAGGACATGGGCTGGTGCGAGGTTTGCGACCCAGAGGTCAGCGGCCATTGCACGGGATTCCCAGAGTGGAACGTCTTCGTCGACCCCTACGCGACGGCGTACTTATTCACAGAGACGTCGTTTCCCATCGCGATCGTGCCGCTCGACGTCTGCGACAAGCTGCCGATCCCCGGGCAGTTCATGGACACGCTCCGCGCCGCCAACAGCAGCGAGTGCAACCAGGGGATCTACGAGGCATTACTCGTCAGCTACGACACTTTTGCTGCCGAGCAGCCGTTCTACCGCCTATGGGATAGTGGTGCGGTCATGTACTACCTCGACCCCGAAGATTACGGCGAGCCCGAGGTGACCGAGATCTGCATCGGCACGTCCTGGACCTACCTCGGGGGCCTCTTCAGGAAGTCAAAAGTCGACGAGGACGCTCCGCCCGCGGCGGACCTCAGCTACCCGGCCGGTTCCGCGCCGGCCTGCCGCGAGGTGTCGCTCGTCCTCAACCTCGCGACGAACGCGGACGGCGTCGAGGACCCGCAACCGATCTTCGACTACGCCGCGACTGGCGCATGCGCTGCCGTCGACGAGTAGATACCTGAACGCCATCGACGCGACGCCTGCTCGCCAACGCGGCGAGCTCCTGCGCCGGCACCGCCTACGAGTTCGTGCCGCGCTGCAATTGTTCAAAAATTCCCCCTGCACAGACTCCGTCTGCACATATAATTCATGTCCTATTTACATGGTAACCCTAGAGGCGGCGCTCGTCGTACTCGCCGAAGAAGTCGCTGTCCGCGTCGGGCTGCTCCGCGCTCCAGCGGAAGAAGACCGCGAACATGAACCCGCCCATGCCGAGCAGCGCGTAGCCCTCGCGCACGTCCTCGATGCCCAGAGCCAGACCGGTGCCCTCGGCCTGGCCGCCGGCGAGGGCCGCGAGCGGCGCGAACGCCGTCGCGGCGGCGGCGACCTGGTACGGGAGCGCCGCCGGCTTCGACGCCTTGATGTTTTTCGCCGGCGTCGGCGCGAGGGCCGCGGCGCCCGCGAAGAGGAGGGTCAAGAGCTTCATTGTGCCTGCGCGCGTGACGGGTGCGAAGGCGCGCGACGAGCTTGCGACGAATTTGTGAAAAAATGGCTAGCTGCCAGCGATGCGAGCAGCACGCGCGCTTCTCGCTGCGCCGCGTGCGCTGCAGGTCGCTCTCGCGCGGACCAGCACAGCTGTGCAGCAGCCCTGCGGCCCTCGGCGAGCTCACGACGCCAATCGAGGCGCGTTGCTTTGTTGCGCAATGAAGCATATACTCAAATCTTGACCTCGCGCGGCTATTTACCTTGCAATTAAGTTATTGCTGGTGGTCGTCAGGGCGCCAACAACACGAGGCTCTTGACTGCCAGCCTGGCCGGAGGGCAAGTGACGGCACGCCCCGCAGATTCTTGGCAGCGAACGAACACGTCTCGGATAGCTCCCTTAGAAGTGCGAACGCAAATCCGCGGGTCGGGCGTGCCATGACTCGACGCTCTCACTGCGACATCGTTTGGCACCCTGCGTGGCGCGCGAAAGCAAACAGGAACGCAATTGCATTCGCTGCTTTACGCTACTAACGCCAGAACTCCCACGCGAATCTTTGAGCTGCAAACAGCTGCAGCATAATTTGGCAAATAGCCAAATTGCAGCCAGAGACCTCATCAGTGCCGAGGCAGCGCGAGCTCTATTGCTCGCAAGAAGTTCCCCGTCTCTGTCGGATCTCTTTCCCCGCCGGCGGAGTGCGCTGACGACGTGTCACCGTGGGAGTACCTAGACCGCGTGGGTGCGGCGTCTCTCATGGCTCGCGCCGTAGCACTGCTCCTCTTTTGCCTCGCGTCAACCACAACCGCCCTGCGACCGACGCGCCGCCGCGACCTCTTCGCCGTGACGGCCGCGACCTACTGGAAGTGGGGCTTCGCGGCGACGGGCGTCCTGCACGCGACTCACGCGGCGACGGCGCTCGACGAAGCGTTCCCGGCGCCCCCTCCACGCAAGAGCGAGCGGCCGATGATCACCGTCACGCCTCTCGTCCACCGAGGAAAACTGCCCCGCCCCAAAGCCCTGGGCGGGCGAGGCTCGACCTACGACATGGAGCCGGGAATCATCGGCAGCCACCTCCCCTGGCCGACGGATGCCCGACTGCCAGGGGCTGCTAGGTAGTAAGTATCACAAAACATCACTTAGCCTGCAGCGTCACCGTCGCCGCGTCGCCGCCTTTTACAGTCGTCTGGCACGCGAGCCGCGCGTCGGCGCCGATCTTCGCGACGTGGCGCTCCTCCCACTCGTAGCGCGGGCCGAAGGCGCCGTCGGCGACGCGTACGGCGCAGAGGCCGCACTGGCCGCCGCCTGTGTGGAAATGAAATTTCGGGCGCCCCACGCCCATCGACGGATGGCGTGTAGATTCCACGCCATCGACGCGAGGTTGCCTCCATTCCTGCGTCTGCTCGATGGCGTTCAGGTTGCGAAACCTAACTCACTTTGATTTCCGCACTGGCCGCCGCCGTTGCAGTTCATCATCTTGCCCTTGAAATCATAGACGTCCTGCTTGCGCGCGAGCAGTTCCTTCCTTAAATTCGCGCCCTTTTTCACTTCAAACGTCGTCTCGCCCTTGGGGCCGACGACCGTGAGTTGGCACGTCGGGCCCGAGAACTGGAGCTGCACCGGGCTCGGCGCGTCGACGATGAGGTCCATCACATCATCAAAACCCATCGACGTCGTGTCCACGCCATTGACGGCATCCAAGCGATCGTCGACCTTGATGTCGGCGCACGCGCTCGCCGAGCCGTCGGAGTCGATTTCTGCCACGTACAAGCCCTCGGGCGCGTCGCGCACGTTCTCCTCGAGCACGAGGCCAAGCGGTTTCTCCAGCGACACGTCGACGGCGTGCAGCGTGGTCCTTGGTCTCTGCTGCTGGGCCATGAATGCAGCAGTGCTCGCAACCAGGCACGCGAACCACAGGGATCGATGCATGCTTGCAAGATGTCAATGAAAATAAGTCGCAGCTGGTTTCTCGCGCGCTTTGCAAGGAGCCAATGTGCTTGCCTGTCTGATCTCATACTGAGGTCACGGGGCGAAGTAACGAAGGAACTCCCCGAGCCATCGCGTCGCTTGTAGTGCTCTGAGCAGTGCTCGGAACCCGACAGGTCCACAGAAAACCCGGTTTAAAGCGCCGGTCCCGCGCGTCTCCGCGCCGCATGCAGGAAAGGTCCGTACTCCAACGTAGAAGCGGGGCCAGACTGTCCATCACCCTACGCCATCGCCGCGACGAGGAGAGAGTACTAGTAGTGTGGATACTTACCCGCCTTCCAGAGCGGGTCCTCAGCGCTGCGGCCGGCGCGGGTCTATAATGCCCTGTAGACTTCCTCCAGAACGCGAGCTTTTTGCCCACGTTCTTTTTGAGGCGTGGGCGGCGCGGCATGCTTGCTTGCTAGTGTCTTACAGGCCGCTAGCCCTAAGTTTTTGCAAGTCCAGGGCCGGAGCCGGCCGTGCAGACCTGTGTGTCCTAGGCACAATTCACGGCGTGAGAGATCAGATCTCTCATACTTCACCCCTTTGGCGCCGAGACGCGCGCCTGGTGAAGGCGAGAGCAATTGATTCCAATTTAAAACTCGACAGCTGCTCATATGGACGACGCGTCGGCGGGGGGCGAGGAAGACCAAAACTGGGCGGCGTGCGACCTTTGCGGTAGCTGGCGCAAAACCAACCACAGCGTTGACAAGGCCCACTCTTTTTCGTGCGCGAGCATCGGCCGCGACTGCTCCGAGCCGTGCGACGGGTGCCGCCAGCATGAATGCGTGTGTTCGAGCGACGACGAAGCTCTGTCGGACGGCGCCGCGCGTGGCGGCTCGGAGTATTTCGTGAGCGACGACAATCTGCGCGTGATGTCCGCGCACGGCGTCGCGACGGACGGCGACGGCGCGAGCGTCGCGAGCGAGTGTCCTAGCTTAGTGAGTGAACTCACCGAGCTCTCCGATGACTCGTCGAGCGAGTTTGGCGATCCGGACGAGAGCGACTCGTCCGATTCGAGTGACGAAGACGACGAGCCGCCCGACGACGATCGGTCGAGATGCTCGCACCGGTGTCCAAGACCGCCGCCGCCGCCGCCGCCGCCACCACCACCAAATCCACCGGACCCTCCCCGACCGGACGACCCGATGCCGCCGGCACCCGCCGCGTTGCCGCCGCGAGAAAAAAGAGGCGTGGCGTCCGAGGTCTCGCCCGAGTTCGCCGCGGACAAGAACACGATAGGCGTGACGGAGGATGAAGGCGTGCCGGGCGGGAGCGACCAGAGGAATTTCTTCACCGGCTTCAAGGCGCCCGGGCCGGCCTGCTTCAGCGCTAACCTCGCTGATAGGCTCAAGAAGCTGGTCGAAGGAGCCACACCGGCGCCGATGACCGTAGGCGGCGGCACCGTGGCCTCGCTGACGGCCCTCGGTCACGCCGCGTTCGAGAAAAATTTCGGGCACCCGTCGCGACGCGCGGCAAACGCGCGTCGAACTGTGGAGCTGATCAAGCGCGACGGCGGCAACGGTTTTAGTTTCAGGCGGGCGTGCGAGTACGTACCTCAAGCGGCGAAGCACTTGCAAGGGTTTGCACGCGCCGTCGTCGGCGACTCGCCCCGCGTCCATCTGGATGTGCACGCGTCCAGGTCGACACTGGCTGGCGCGCATAGGTTGGGCACGCACCGCGACGTGCGAAAGTGGGCTCGGGATTACTATCAGATGCGCGCTGTCGTGGCGACGGCGGCTGGAACTATTGTTTTCACGGTCGTAGAATTCGACGAGCGCGGGAAGCCCATGCGGAATTCGAGAGTCTACGGTTTCTTCTCGCTGACCGTCGCGGCGGCGGTCGTCTATGTGTTAGATCCGATGCTCGCCGGCCAGGAACCCTTCGACTTCGTCACGAAGACCGACGGCCGGAAGGTCGCGCTGGGCGTGACGCATACCGTCCTGGGCGGCCTTGGCGAGCGCTGCGTCTCCATCATTACCTGGACGATCGCGAAAAACGCGGCGCTCGCCGCCGCGGAGATCTGGGCCGCGGAGAAGGCGGCCCTCGTGGGCCGGTGGGCGGCAATTGCGGCCATGACGGCGGCCGTGCCGCCCGGTGTCCCGGTGCCCGAGCAGGGCCCGATCGTCGTCGCGCCGACGCTCGAACAGAGCGCCGAGCGCCGGCGTCAGGCGGCCAAGGATCTTCGGCATCAGAGACGCGTGGCCAAGTTGACGGACGCCTGGCGCGAGGCGAACGTGGTCCGGCTCGCCGACGCGGACCCGTCGACGCGCGACGCCGACCTCCGCGCCCATCTGGACGCCGAGCGGAAGCGCGCGCGGGCCAGGCGGCGAGTCCGGCGCGCGGCGGACTTGACGGACGCCTGGCGCGAGGCGAACGCCGACCGGCTCGCTGGCATGGACTCGGCGACGCGCGACGCCGAGCTCCGCGACGCTTTGGCCGCCGCGGACGCTGTGCGGAAAGCTCTAAAAAGGAACTCTAACCGGGAAAACTCCCGGCGGCGCATGGCCAAGTTGACGGACGCCTGGCGCAAGGCGAACGCGGACCGGCTCCCCGGCATGAGCGAGGCGACGCGCAAGGCCGAGCTCCGCGCTTTTCTGAAGGACGCGCAGCAAGCCGCGCGCGAGGCGAATTTGACCGCGGCCTTTCTCCTGGCGAACCTGGATCGGTTCGCCGAGGCGGACGACGCGACGATCGAGAAAGAGCTTCGCGCTCATCTGGACGCCGCGGCGGAGGAGCGACGCCTTCATCATAACGCATATCAAAATGCATGGCGGGCCGCGGACCCGGAAGGAACTCGCGCGCAGAACCGGAAAGATCAGAAAGCGTACCGCGAGCGGCAAGGAAAGGACGCGATGAATGCGCGGCAAAGGAAAAGAAGGAAGACGGACGCCGGGAAGTTGAAGGAGGCTGCTAATACGTGGTACAATACCTATTCGAGGAGATTTGGCAAGGACCTGGCGAACTGGGACGAACCCCACCTACGGACGTACAAAGAGCGACTGGACGCGGCCTACCCGGGGGGCCCGGGGGAAGGGTTCGCGTCCACGGACTCTCGCTACGCCGGCCTCCGCGCGCGCTACGAGAAACTCGAGCTACTTCTAGTAGAACTCGACCGGAGGAGGTTATGTCGCCGCCGCTAGGGCCTAAATTCTTTTGACAAAAACTCGTACCGACGGGCATCCGAGGCCTCGGAATAAGACTGGAGATAGCCTGTTGCTAGCGGCCTGTAACACACTAGGCTCAAGCAAGCAGCTTTGACGCTCCCGTAACTGGCCGCTAGACGCCGGCGCAACTCAACGAAGGGGCTCGGGACATATATTTGCCAAGGGCAAGCAACCAGGCCAAGCGCTGCCGACGCCGTGCCGCGCTTGACGAGTAAAGGCACCCCTGCCACCCCGCAGCAAGCGCCGCGCAAGCGCGCGACGCGGACAGAAATGATGATGGCCGCCCGTATGGGCCGCCCGGCGCTGAGAACAATGCGACGCAGCGCCGTCCCGGCCGCCGCGCGCCCGAGCGTGCCGGCGCGGCGCATGGGTGGCGGTGGCGGCGGCCCGCCGCACCCGCCCTTCCAGCGCACGAAAGCGCCCGAATATAGACTCGTCGAGGAGCACGAGCTCGTCTGGGACGACGGCGTGGCCGCGGAAACGTGTCTTGATTTTGACGCCGCGCACGTCGACAACGGACTGCTGCAGTTCATGGGCGGCTTCGGCTTCTTCGCGGCGCTCGCGACCATCATCGCGATCTACTCTCCGAAGCGCCTGAACCAGGTGACGCCGCGCACGGACCTGGTGGACCCGGTCGCGCTCACGACGGGCGCCGAGGAGGAGGAGTGAGAGCCCGGCGACGGCGTGCACGTGTAAATTTATTGATATGCTATACTTTTCGTTCTTCGTTCGGTGCTAGGACGTGGGCTCAGCCCTTTGAGGTACAACAAATATCTACAACAAATAGACACCGCGCGTCACCGATTCAGCGGCGGCGGGCTTCTTGCCGCGTCTTGCATAACAGCATAACTCCTTCGACGCAGAACCGCCGCGGCAAACATACCCCTGGATTGTTCCAAGCTAGTAGGGTTACGCTATGATTAAGCTCTCGGAGCTTGGACACGTCGCGTGCCGGAACTGCACGATACCGAGCTCCAGCGCACTTGTGCTAGGCAGCAGCAAGCATAAGGACCGCACCTCTTCACAAGGACAGCGCTGCTGCAAAGCCAGTGCATCAGCGCATCTCCAGAGCAAGCAACAAGCGATCCCCTTGCAAGAGAGCATATAGGCCGACAAGATGTCAGACAGCGCAAAGCTCCTCGTCGCCGCCGCGGCCGGCGCCACGGCAGCAGCTCTCCTACTAAGAAAGAATGATGAAGAAGCACCGATCACAAGCAACAAGAGAGCGCAAATAATAGACGGCAAAAAGATTGCCGCCCAACTCAGGAAAGAAGTGAAAGAATCCGTAACACTACTCAAAGCGACCCACGGCGTCGCGCCGGGCCTGGCTGTTGTCATTGTGGGAGACCGGCAAGATTCGGCCCAGTACGTGAGGATGAAAAGACGCGCGGCCACAGAGGCCGGGTTTCATTCCGTGGACGTCGCGTTGCCCGAGTCGTCTACGGAGGCCGAGGTATTGGACGCCGTGGCGCGGCTGAATACGGATAGTAAGGTGCACGGGATACTTGTACAGTTACCGTTACCTTCTCATATGAATGAAGGGCGAGTCTTAGCTGCTATATCCGTGGACAAGGACGCGGACGGGTTCGCGGCGTTGAACGTCGGGAAATTATGTTTGAGGGGAGGCGAGGAACCCAGTGCGGTGGCGTGTACGCCCGTTGGGTGTTTAGAATTGCTGGAGCGGTCCAACGTTGTCATTGCGGGTAAAAGAGCGGTGGTCGTAGGTCGTTCGAACATCGTGGGCATGCCCGTCGCCGCCTTGCTCCAAGCCAAGGACGCGACGGTTACGGTCGTCCACTCCAAAACCAAAAACATCAGTAAGATAGTAAGAGAGGCGGACATCGTCGTCGCGGCCGTCGGCCAGGCCCAGTTCGTCAAAGGGTCCTGGTTGAAGCCCGGGGCTGTTGTGGTCGACGTCGGTACGAACTTCATCCCCGACGCGTCGCGGAAGTCGGGACGGCGACTCGTGGGCGACGTCGACTTTGCAAGTGCCTCGCGCGTGGCCTCGAAGATCACGCCGGTGCCGGGCGGCGTGGGCCCCATGACCATCGCTTCTCTATTGAAAAATACGTTGAGATTGGCCGAGGCCGCCGTGTCTCGTGATAATAAACCTCTGACACGTGTGTCCTCTTCAGAACAACTAAGCAGGAAGGACACGTTCCTCGCGAAAAGGTCGCAATCACCTCGACCGGCGTCTCCACCAACGACGCAAGTGAAACGTTTACACCCTGTACCCAAGGACATTGTGATTAGTCAAGCGTGCACGCCGCTGCCCATCGAACGCGTAGCTCTCAAAGCAGGATTACGCAGTGACGAGGTCATCCCCTGGGGCCGCCACAAGGCCAAGGTCGATGTGAGAAAGGTCGCAGAGCGCATGAAGGACGCCCCGGACGGCTCGCTGGTCGTCGTGAGTGGCATAAACCCGACACCTCTAGGCGAAGGCAAGTCCACGACGACCATCGGCGTCTGCCAAGCGTTGGGCAACTGCCTGGGCAAGCACGTCGTGACGACCATAAGGCAGCCGTCGCAGGGCCCGACCTTCGGTATTAAAGGTGGGGCGGCCGGCGGCGGTCCGCGGCGGCGTCGCGAATGGACTTTTGCCGGGGTCGCGTCGATGGCGTCTTCATGAGAGAGTCCACGCGTCTCGCGAGTAGTTTCGCGACGGCGTCCGCCGCGCCGCGCCGTCGTGCCGGGAAGCAGCACGCCCCCGGGCGGCATCGCGCGCGGCTCGTGGACGACCACGAGACCAGCAATACTGGCGTTCACCACACGCCATCGAGCCGACGCAATCACGCCATCGCGCCGCTGTGACGGAAACACCACAAAAAACAACGCAGGCTACTCGCAAGTCATTCCCATGGAGGAGTTCAACCTGCACATGACGGGCGACATCCACGCCATTGTTGCCGCCAATAATCTATTGGCGGCGGCGTTGGACGCGCGGATCTTCCACGAAAGTTCCCAGAAGGACGAGGCTTTATTTAATCGGTTAGTGCCGGCGAAGAACGGCAAACGCGTTCCGGCGCCGTCGCAACGAGCCCGTATGGAGCGGTTAGGTATTAAAGGTGAAGCACTGGATGATGCGGAACTCCTATCTCCTACAGATCGCGTGCGGTTCGCGCGACTCGACGTCGATCCATCGACAATAACCTGGAACCGCGTCTTGGATACGTGCGACCGGTTCCTGCGAAGAATCGAGGTCGGCCGGGGCCCCAATGAACGCAGAACGGCGGAAAAGTACTCATTTTCATCTACGAGGGAGACGGGCTTTGATATTGCCGTCGCGTCCGAGATCATGGCCGTGCTAGCCTTGGCGTCGGACTTGGATGACATGCGGGCGCGGTTGGGACGGATGGCCGTCGCTCGCTCTAGAGTAGACGGTCCGCATAAAGGTGCGTTCGTGACCGCCGACGACGTGGGCTGTGCCGGGGCCTTGACGGTTTTAATGAAGGATGCTTTACTCCCAACTTTGATGCAGACTATTGAAGGCACTCCTGTCCTCGTTCATGCCGGCCCGTTCGCGAACATTGCGCATGGGAATTCTTCTGTTGTTGCGGACAAGTGTGGTCTGAAGTTATGTGGCGAGCAGGGTTTCGTGGTTACCGAGGCGGGCTTCGGGGCTGATATTGGTGGAGAAAAATTCTTCGACATCAAGTGCAGAGCTGGTGGTCTCAAACCGAAGTGTGCAGTTGTGGTTGCTACGGTGCGAGCCTTGAAATTACACGGCGGGGCGCCGCCGGTTGTGGCTGGTAGGCCCCTACCCAAGGAATACAGTGGAGAGGATCTAGAAGTGCTCGGTAAGGGCTGTGCTAATGTCGCGCATCACGTGGCTTGCCTCTCGCAAAAATTCAACGTGCGCGTTGTCGTGGCCGTGAACAAGTTCGCCACTGATACCCCTAACGAGTTACAGTTGGTGAGGGAAGCGGGCCTACGAGCGGGAGCACATTACGCCGTGGTAGCGGACCACTGGGCCCAGGGCGGCCATGGTGCTATTGACTTAGCTGAAGCCGTGGTCAAGGCCTGTGCTGCTGATTCAACACCATTTAGATACTTGTATCCGTTATCGGATCCCGTTCGGTCCAAAATAGAAGCGGTTTGTTCCAAGATCTACCTGGCTGGAGAGGTGACTTACAGTGAATTAGCTGCTTCCCAGATCGACGCCTACGAAGCCCAAGGTCTAGGAAGGTTGCCGATCTGCGTCGCCAAGACCCAGTATTCGCCTGCGTGGAAATCAACCAGTGCGTCGGGTGCATCACTGAGTCATTTCTCGGCGATGACGTGGCCGCGCTGGTTCCGTCGAGCGGTGAGGAACCGACATCGCCACGCCATCGAGCAGGCGTCGCGTCGATGGCGTGGAGGTCGACGCGGCGATTCAGGACGAACGCGCCGTAAATTTGATTTCCACACAGGTACTCGCTGTCGACGGACCCCTCGAAGAAAGGTGCGCCCTCCGGCCATACCGTGAACGTGCGGGAGGTCCGTGCAGCAGTCGGCGCCGGCTTCTTGTATTTGCTCTGCGGCGACATCATGACGGTGCCGGGGCTGCCGACGCGTCCAGGCTTCGTGGATATTGATCTGGACACCGTCAATGATAGGGTCATAGGCCTTTTCTAACTTGAACTTTAACACACTATATTCGTCGCCGCCGCTGGGTGCACGCGCCCGGGCCGACGGGCGCCGCCCGCGCCATTGAGTTGTTGAGCGGCGCCGCGCCGACGCCCCGTTCCAATAGCAAGCACCGGAACGCCTCCAGTCGCGGCCACGCCGCGTCGACGTCGTCCACACTGCTCCATAGTCGCTCACCGATCGCCGCGAGGCGCGGCCAGACCGTCGCGTCGAAATCCGAGCCGTCCACCGTCTCGCCTGCGTGGACAGCGTGAGCCACGTCCCTCGGCGCGAATCGAAGGCACCAACACGACACGCCGAGCGCGACCCCACATCTCACCGTGGCCCCCCAGCACTTTCGTCTGAAGGTGCGGAGGCACGGTCGCGCGCGGGTCCGAGGCGTAGGCCTGGGCCCAAGTGACATCTAGATTATCCAAATACCACGAGTCCGCGACGTAGCCCACGTTCACGAGGCAGTCGTAGCCGTTCTCTACGACTTCGGTGATATTCGTCGACAGCTTCCAGACGTGCACGATGGTGCTCTTGTCGAGCGTCGCGCCGAACTCGTCGAAGACCTCGGCCCACTGAATCGGTCGTTTCTGGTGTGAGCGAGCGATTTTCGCGGCCGTCGAGACAAAATACGAGTAGGCGTCGGCCGTTGTCCAGTTCCTCGCTCGTAACCTGTGTGGAAATCAAGAAGGCGCGTCGATGGCGTGGGGCGCCCGAAATCTGATTTCCACACGGCTCGTAACCACTGTTGGATCGACGGCGTCGATGCCCAGCACGAGGTATCGACCTCGTCGCCTCCGAGGTGCACGAACGCATCAGGAAACAGCTTCGCGGCGTCACCGAGAACATCGTCCAGCACGGCAAACGTCTCGGCCTTGGACACGTCGAGCGGCGTCTTGCACGTCGGCGAAGGGCAGACGCCTGGGTAGCCCGAACACCAGCTTTCCGCGTGGCCCGGCGTGTCAAACTCCGGGACGACGCGCACGCCCCGCAGCCGGGCGCGCTCAACTACTCGTTTAACGTCCTCAACCGAGTAGCGCTCCCGCTTCGAGAAGCTCCCGCGCCACAACGATGGCCGCGACGGCGTCTCGACGGGGAACGACTGCGTGTCCGTGAGGTGCCAGTGCAACACGTTGAGCTTCGCGAAGGGCAGCGCGTCCACGACGTGTAGCAATGTGGCGACCGGTAGGAAGTGGCGGCCGCTGTCGACCATGAGGCCCCGGTGGGGGTACCGTGGCGCATCTTGAATGGTGCACGCTACTACTTGGTAGGTTGCCGTGTCGAAGTTATAGGCCACGAGTTGGGAGAACGTTTCCAAACCCCGCAGCGCGCCCCACACTGTCCGAGCTTTGAGCGTCGCGCTCGTGGCCGTGATGCGGAGCTTGTAGCTCTCGTCGTCGCCGAGGGCCGGGTAGAGGGCTCCCGCGTCGTCGGCGCGCCGCGGACGTCTGGCCGCGCGCTCGGTTGCTCCGACGCCGTCGTCGACGACAACAGAGAGGGCGGGTAGTCCCACGCCCGGCGCGCCCCAACCGTGCGGGAACGCGAGCGGTATGTAGCGCTTCGCCGCCGCCGCGAGGACGTCGTTGCCGGCGTCGACTCGGAAGAACGCCGGCGATGGAATGACGGTCAGTTTTTGCGTGCTACAGGAGTAGTTCTGCGGCAGGGGCCAGAGCGGCGGCTGCTTGGCCGCCGCGGCTGCCGCAACAAGCAGCACTGAGCGCATGGCTGGCAGTGTCTCGCGCCGATACGTCGCGCAAACGCTTCGCTCGATCTGTTTCCAACTACGACAGCTCGAATGCGTAGCGAAGCGACGCCGCTATCCAGCAATGTCGTCTCTCGCGCTGGGCACTGGATGCTGGTTGGCAGAGCATGCAGTTTTGCACTGAGAGCAATCGATCAGTGCTCAGCCGTGCGCTCGCCAATTGCAACACAATTGCTGCAGCAAAGAGACGGTACACATACCTTTACGCCAGCCCAAGAGAAATCCGCAGAACGACGCGTCCGCGACGCCTGCAGTAGTGCCTCTCAGAGGTGTGCATTGCACACAATGCGCGTCGTCGCATTGCTGTGCCTTGCGCATGCGTCGGCGCTCGGCCGCAAGAAGAGCAATGGCCCCAGCGTGAAAGTATCCGCGACGCTCGCCGTCGACAAAAAGGTCGTCGGCAAGGCCGACGCGTTATACAAGAAGCGCACGGCCCAGTCGTGCGACGCGGCCGCGAACATCTATGAAGCGGAGCTCGAGCGCACGGGCTACGCCGACGCCGAGCTCCTGCTGAAAGCCGCCGACGCCGTGAATACGGCGATGCGCATCCGCACCAATTCGAACACCATCACGATCGACGGCACCGTCGAGACGCCGGCAAATAAAGCCGTCTGGAAGAAGGACGGCCAGCGGGCCTACGACCTGGCGGCCAAGGGCCTCAAGGCCTCCTCAAAAATCGACGCGCGGGCCCTCGGCATCCGCTTCGACGCGTTCATGTTCTCGTGTAGCCACAAGTCGCTGGTCAAGCAGGCCCTGACGGGCACGGGCACGGCCTACAAGAAGATGGGCGAGGAACTCCAGAGCAAACACCCGCGCCACGACGGCGACGTCGGCTCGGCCGTCTTGGCGTGCTTCTACCACGTCGCGCCGTGGCCCGTCGGCTCTCCCAAAAAAGCGATTCAGAACGCCCGAAAAGCCGTGCAACGGGGCGGCGCGACGCTGCGAAACTTGTACTACGTCGCGGTCATCTCCTACGGCCAGAAGGACTACGCGACGGCCGCCGAGTTCTTCAAGCGCGCGATCAAGGCGTCTCCAGGGTCGCCCTCGGAGGCGGACTTCGCAGATTTTATGAAAAGCGAGTCCAAGCGAGGGCTTGCCAAGGCCCAGGAGAAGCTTCTCTAAATACTACTTAGGAATGATGAGATCGCGTCGAACTCCTCGGGGCAGGCGCTGTGGGCCATGCCTGGATACGTGTCGAAGGACACGCGGCAGCCAAGTTCCTCGAGCCGTTCCTTCGACGCCTCGCCCCAGCTCGTCCGTACGACCTCGTCGGCGTCGCCGTGGTGCAGCGAGACCGGTCGTTCGAGGGCGCCGTCCGCAATAGCCGCCGGGTACGAATCCCCGAGCGGCAGCCACGTCGACGTGCCGACGACGGCGGCCACGTTCTTCGATGGACACCGTAGGCCGGCGGTCAGCGCCACGGCCCCGCCCTGCGAGAAGCCCCCTAATACAATTTTCGTCGCCGGGTCCTCCAGGGCAACGAGCGCCTCGAGCCGCGCCGCCGCCTTCAAGATGCCGGCCTCGTCGACTTGCGCGCCCGCATCCAAGCCGTAAATGTCGAACCAGGCAGGCATCTGCATGCCCATGTTTAGCGTCACGGGCAGCGTCTCGGCCGTCGGCAGCACGACCTTGTAGTCCGGTGATGGCATCGTGATGCCCCCACCGGGCACGAAGGCCCCGGCCCAGCCGTCCGCCGTATCACCAAGACCGTGGAGCCAGAAGACTGTGATAGATGGTGCGGCGCCGTTCTGGATCGCTTCGCTGCCGAAGAGCGTGATGCCGTCGCTGCCGTCGGTGACGCCGCGCTTGCCGAGCGGCTGCGCGCTGGCGTAGCGTGCACTGCAGCGGCTGCGTCTAGCAGTGCGTGGTATGAGCGCTCGGCTTGCGCGCAGCGACATCAGTAGCAATGCTCTCTGCATGCGCGCACCAGTGATATGGAGTTTTGGTGAGCAAACAACGGACCACTGTCCGCTTAGTGGCTCTGCAAAGAGGCATGCAAAGCTGCAGCTTGGCTTGCTAGTGTCTTACAGGACGCTAGCTCGACATTTTCACGGGCGCGTCGGCGACGCGACACAGCGTGTTTTGCGCGGGTGGCAAGACCCAGAGACACGCCCGACATCAACGCTAGTCGACTATAGCCGCAGTCGCGCGCTGAGGACTACTCTAGACTCGAGTCGCCTTTTTTTGCCTAGCAGCAGTTTCACGCGACTGTTATATGCCTGATACCATCAGGGCAAGGAAAAAACATAAAGGTCGGGTCAGGAGCAAGCCAGATCGCAGTGGCAAACCAGTCGAGGCCCCGCAATTTGAGGTCACCGGCCAACACGTGGTCTTCTTCGTGGCGTTCGTTTTCGCCGCCTTGTGGTTCGCGGGCCTCCTTCCCGATCCGTAACTCTACTCAACGATCATGAAGTTCAACCCCAACCGCTACGACCTCATCCTGCTCTTCGCCGTGGTGTCGGGGATCTACTACGTCATCGACGAAACCCTGGAGACGGTAGCAAGGGAAGATCCGTCGATCAACAAGATCCATCTGCACGGCCACCCGCGCCGCGGCGATGCTTATGAGACGACTGTCCAAGAGATGCCGTGGGAGGTACGTGGATTCCCCGACGCCGTCTTCCGCCGCGTCAACGTCTACCTCGACTCGCACGCATACCTCATAAAGAGGAGCCACGCGCGAGCGATTGTCGAGGCCCACGATCTATTGAAGAACGGCTCGACGGCGTGCCGGAACCCGTGGTACGATTCTGATGTTCAAGCGAACACGTGCTCATTAGATCCGTCGTTGCTGTACGGGGACTTCCAGGCCTGTGCCTTACCAGGGACAAGCTGTGCCGGCCTGGCGCTCGGTACAAAATCATCACATAACCTCGTCGTCCACGGTAGTGGAGGCAAGGATAACAAGGAGGAGCACCGCGACGCCAAGCGCCTCAATATCCGGACGCAGCACGCGCCGGCTCCTCTGAAACGCTTCGGGAGCGTGGGCGAACTTAGGAAATGGGCGCACGCGGGCGGCGCCGCGGCGTGGCGCCGCGCCGAGCGTCTTAAACATGCGCGGTGGCAATTGGAAGTAGACGAGTACCGCGTCGCGCACGGGCTTGTGGGCGACGCCGAGTAAAGTTACTTTCTTCGCAGCCTACGCTATCGCGGAGTGGGACCGTTGTCCGACAGCCGCTGGAGATCTACACAAAGGGAGCTTACTCACTCGAACCGGATCTCGATGTCGAGCGCCGCGCCGCCGTCACCGCTCTTGCGCCGCTTCCGCGCGCCGCCGCCGCCAGAACCGCCCCGACTTCGCTTGCGCGGCAGCCGCCGCCACACCTCTAACGTCGCCCACGCGTCCGCGGCAGCATAAGACCGCTGCTCCGGCGAGGGCCGCCAGTTGCGGTCCCGCACGAAGCCGAAGGACCTCTGCAGCTTTTTATCTTTGGCGTAGGGCGCGCCTCGTACTAGCTCGCCGCAGACCTCGGCTAGACCTCTACTTCGCCCGCCCTCGCCCGGGCCGGCCGCGCGCTGCACGTCTACCACATTCCGCAGCGTACACCCCAACCTCTCGTTCTTCGGCGCGCCGAAGAAGCACTTCTTGATCGCGTCGTCTCCTAGTAAGCGTGCCAAGTCGGGGCCCACACTATCCGAGGGTTGGACGATGAGCACGTCCTTCGACGCGTCGGAGGCGACCTGCACGAGGAGCGGCGGTTCCAAATGCGTGCCCTCCGCATCAATGGCGACGACCGCCGGCTTGGACCGCCAGAGCGCCGCCCACGCGTCCGGAGACGCGTCCCGCGCGCGATACCCGCTTTCGGCCATGGCCTCCTCCATTCCAATGTCTTCTCCATCAGATTCCTCGGCGCCGACGAACTCGATCTTCGTGCCGTTGCGTTCCGCGAGCTCGAATAATCGCGCGGCGGCCGCGAGCGCCGTCTTACGGTCTTTCCTGGATTGCGGCTTCGTGACGAGGCGGTTGGCGGCGGAGGCGGCGCTCTTGAGCTTTTGGCGTTGCTTCTTCTGGTGCTGGGGCTTGCGGCCGCGCGCTGTGGCGAGGGGGCGGTCCATGAATTCGGCTGTGAGAGCACGGCTCTGCAGGAGCGTGTCCCGAACGCGGTCGATTTCCAAGGCGGCTCGCTGCGACGGCTTCTTGGAGGAAGTAACACGTCGCTCTGATGCGAGAAAGGCGCGCGTACGACGGCTTTAGTGCTGCGCGGCCGAGACTTAAACTACAGCGCGGGTTTTTCGGGTGGTCGAAACGCGGCTGTGCTCGTGGGTCTGCCGCTTCCAGAGGGCGTGTGAGAAGCGTCTGAGAGCACAAGAGCATGGCCGCAAAACCCGATCTTAAGCCTCCGATCATCTAGCTCATTTTGCTCATTTTGACGTCAAATCGAGCTTTGAGGCAAAACTGCGGCGCGAGAAATCGTTTACAACCTTCCAGAGGATGGCTACACCACGCGCGCTGGCCGGTTGGGCTTGAAGCGGTCGCTAGGGGCTGCTCTTTGACCTCCAGCCTAAGAGCAGCTGTTTGCGCCGCGGCCGGGCGCGCTGCACGAGACGACGCATTACACGTTGCCCAGCAGCACGCCTGCCGCCGCGACAGCGCACACAGCTCACGAGAGGCCGCAAGTACCGCAAAACTGCCCGGCGCACGTCACTCACCGCCAAAACCCCGCAGGTCGAGATGGCGAAGCTCGCGATCGCGCTCCTCGCCGCGCCGGCGGCGGCCTTCGCGCCGGCGGCGGGCCGGCCGGGCCTCGCGCCGCTGCGGAACGCCTTCGGCGTCGACGCGACGTACCCGGCCTTCCTGCCGCAGGGCGGCGTCGGCGGCACGGGCCCGATGCCCGGCGACGACCCGATGGGCGTCATGCCCTGGGAGCGCGAGGCCTTCTCGACGGTCGCGGCCGACCCGTCGCAGCTCGACTCCGCCTTCATGGCCGCCAACGGCGCGGCGCTCGACGCGAAGCTCTCGAAGTACTCCGAGGCCCAGCGGTCGGAGCTCTTGGGCAAGAAGTCGGACCTCGAGGTCCTCGGCATGAGCGACAAGGACCTCGACAAGTTCTTCAACCCGCCGCCGCCCAAGGCGAAGAAGTAGACTTGTTGCTGGGTGCGTAACGGCCTTTGGTAGTACTACTTACAATCACTAACAGTCGCGCGTCGACATCGTGCGTCACGTTGCGAGGCAATCTCCGAGGGCGCGGCGCGGCGATGGCGGTTCTACCCCACCGGTACGCCATCGCCGCGCCCGGAGCCACGGAACGTCGAAGAGAACGGCGTCTCCGGCAGCCGCCGAAACGTCGAGGCGTGGGACACGGCCCAGACCTGCCATCCCAAAACGTCGGCGGAGACGGTGCTGTAGGTCGGGTTCGTGAGGCGCAGGTCGTCGAGCATGGCGTGGAGCGCCGCCTCCGTCGTTTGTAGATGGCTCGGCGCCGCGGCGCAGTTCACATCGAGGGCAAGGCCCTCCACATGAGCCACGGCGCGCGCGCGCGGCCACCTCTGGAGATAGTCGCAGATAATTGACGCGTATGTCGCGGCGGCTTCCGCACCTAACACAGCGAAGCGGGCGTGCGTCGCGGACATGGCCACGGCCTCGTCGGCGCTCGTCGGGACGGCATGCGTGTTCCCGTTGATCTGCGCAACCACCACACCGTCCGGGTCGGCTTCTCTTAACCTGTTGAATCTTTCTAGGAGGAAGGTCAATTCTTCTCGGATATTATCAGTTGTGACAAGCGCGGACAGGCGCTCCCGTCGCGACCGTTCTTCGTTAGATGAAGGAGAAGAGAAGACGTCTATCGTCATTGGCACTCTAGAGGCACACGCGGCCACGTGGGCCGTCTTCAGCACGCGCGGCGTCCTCTTTTGTGATGATGAAGCCCCGAACTCGAGCGCGACGATATCCAATAGAGTCGTCAGTAAGACATAAGGCATGAGCTCCGTGCACCGCGACAACCCGTCGTCGCGCGAGATGACGGCTGGTATTGTTCTTCTTCTCAAAGTAACATTCTCCAATACAAGATGCCTCCACAGAAACGTCTCCGGCTGCCAGACGACGGGATCTCCTCGGACACTTCCGGGCGAGCACGTGTGTTCATTCAGACAGGTCGGGGCCATGCCGTGCTCTATGGTAGAATACCACCGCGGTAGATTATCATGTCCACAAGTGTCCAAAATGCGGGAAGCCGAAAAGTACTGTTGTGCTACTGATCTCTCACAAAACGCGAACTGGTCGTTCACCGCATTCCAGGTCTGGATAGGCGCGTAGACGACACCAATCTCTGTAGGGAGTTGTAACGGAGCGTACCAGGCCGCATCAAACCTACACCGCGCGACCCACTCATACTCTTTACCTCTTTGTGCTTCTTCCCGCAACACCATCTCCCAAGCTCTGGACCACTTCGCATAGACATTTCTCGCAACATCTACGGCTCGAGCTGGATCTTTATAAAATTTGAAGGTTGGTGGTACGCCGAGTCCGTCTAAGTCCGGGAGCGGCGGCTGGCTGCAGTTCCCGTGCCACCGCGTCGACGCTTCGTCGTGCCATTCCCCCTCCTCACTACTGGTGACGACCGCGACGGCCACGGGCTGGAAGAGGTCGCGCAGGACGCTCTCCGTCGCCGCGTCCCAACCTGGCTTTTCCGAGAGGTACCAGAACACGTCTCCTCCAATTGGATCGATGAGGTTCGCCTTTATCGTTGAATGGACGGCGGGCTCGGCGAACGTGCGCGCGTGGCCGACGAAGACGAAGGCCGTGTCCTGGGCGCCGGCCAGGGTTATGAGCAGGGGCAGCCCTCGCATCATGCCGGTGGTTGTGGCATGTGTGCTTGTGGGAGTCGTGCGATGTCCCTGAGCTGCGTGCGAGGTGTTTGGGCTGCGTGCGCGCCGGTCGCGGCGTTTTGGAGCTTTCTAGTGTGTCTACAGACCGCTAGCTCGTCGCCTTGCACAAAAGCTCTCACGACGCCGTCGCGCACCGTTTCGACGGTCCAGCGATTAACAGCAACTTTTTCCAGCCCGCGCTAGACGCTGCAGCGCGTGCCGCTGTCCTCAAGCCCCAGCGCACTGTCTAGCCACCACCCCTCTGTGGTGCATGCAGCAAACGCCAGCGCCAGTTGAGAAGAAGAAGCGCCGCAAGCGTAGAGGCATGTTTGGACTTCCGGCCGGCGTGCCGGCCCTCATCGTTCTAGTCGGCGCCGTCGCGCTCGGCCGCATGGCGGCGGACGACTACGCCGAGGGGCCGATCCAGCGCGTCTCCGTCGTCGCCATGGTCGTCTCGGTCCCCTTCTGCGTCTGGGGCTTGTTCAACACTATGTTTTATCATTTGGACCTGGGCATGGTGAGCTACGCGCTCGCCGGCGCGGCGGGCGCCTACGGGTTCGGCCTGCTGTCCGTGGACGGCTACGAGCAGTCCGCGACGAACGTCCGCATGGTTACAGGTGTAGGCTTCGGCGCGGTCGCCGCGAACTACCTCCTGGGCCTGGCCCTCGTGCCCACCTTCTCGGGCCTCGGCCTCTACTTCGTCGTCGCGGAGGCCTTTTGGCTCTCGATGCTCTACAGCGCCTACGCGGCGACGAGCGTCGAGCTCGACCCGTCGTCGACGTACACGTCGCTCATCTAGCTCGCAGCGTATCCCGACGTGCCGTCGTCGTCGGCGGGGATAGGCTGCCTGTGCCCTAATGATGTGTTCCACGACTCGGATACTAGTAGTTACATCATTACACAGGAGGAGCGGCCTAAATGAGCGACGTGTACAAGTTGCCATCAGCATCCACGGAGCTCGTCGCCGCGAAGGACGAGTAGAGCATCCCCAGCCAGAACAGAAGCCCGGCGGCCATGTACGTGACGAGGCCCCAGCCGTCTGACCAGACGGCCGTGAGGCCGAGGATATAGTTGGCACAGACCGCGCCGAAGCCCACGGTGCTCACGGTTCGGAACGTAACTGGCGTCACCTCCGGGAGGCCCGACTCCACCATGGTGCTCCCGCACGGCCACTCCGCGGGAATGAGTTCGAAGCCGTAGACGCCGGCCATACCTGCCAGCGCCAGGGAGAAGACGCCCAGATCCAAGGAGTCCGAGAAGACGGTGTTATATAACGCCCACAACCAAAACGGCGCCGCCACGACCATTGCGACGATGCTTACGCGTTGGACAGGTCCTTGGGCATACACCTCGGCAGCGAAGCGGCCCAGCGCGACAAAGGCCGCCAGGAGGATGAGGGCTAAAACTCCATCCTCCATCTTCACGAGGAATGCCTGTTTGCGGGCTGTGGATTGGGCTGCCTCCGCCTCGGGCGGCCACGAGGTGCTAGCGACATGTAAGGCACTAGGAAGACTTCGGCCTCCAAACTTGGCAGCCAGGCTGTGCGCGAGTGCTGTGCACCGAACAAGCGCGGCATTGCTAGGAATTGATCTGCGACGCGCACCCGTCACGCCGTCGACGCGTCGCGAGCAATAGGGGCGAGTACGCATAGCTTGGCGCACAGCCAGTGCGCAGCCGCAGCGGCGGCAGCGTTACCATGCCCGTCCAGGAAATCAAATTGAAAGCGGCCTCGGACGCGCCGAGCAAGTCCGGCTTGGAGAATGTCCCGCCCGACCAGCTCGAGCGCGCGATGAAGGCCGCGATGGCGCGGTCCGACGGCGACCTCGACCTCACGGAGGAAGAGCAGAACAAGTTCACGAAGGCCTTTCAAGATAAAGAATTTCGCAAGATGATGGCCGAGTACGTCGACGAGATCAGCGACCCGAAGCACCGCGCGGAGCAGGACGCGTACATCCGAGAGATGGAGGCGAAGGGAGGTACGATCTCGGCGTCCCGCGGTTTTGCGGCGCCTTCACGCCATCGACGCGACTCGTCTCCAGGAGACGAAGTCGTGGCTGGTTTCTTTTTGGATTTTGAGGCCGTTCGGACCGCGTCGAGCGACCGCGACGCCCCACGCAGAAACGCCGAAGGACAAGCGCGTCATCCATCCGAGTGCGGGTTTCGTCGTCAAGACGAAGAAGGAGGACGGTGCTAAATTATTTATCAATGTGGTTAGTTCGGTGGAGGTCGAGCAGCCGACCTCTACTAATGTTAATGGTGGCCAACAGTGGCAGCTGCCCCACTTGCTGGGGCCGCCGCGCATGGAGCGGGACAAGAAAGATAACAGTGTCGGGGCGTTTGATTGCTGCTTCCACCCGCTTGCTTTACAACATGCGGAGAGTGCGAGGCCGTTCCGGGACTTACTCGTAAGTACGGCCATCGACGCGGTGGAGCAGTCCTACGAGAATCAAAACCAACCGACGAAGCTGTCGCGGACGTACCACGTCCTGCTGGGCGTGAAATATAAAACGGGGCCGCCCCAGGCGCTCATGGTCGCGTCGGACTTTAATGGGAAACCACCGCCCGCGAACAAGAAGAAGAACAAGAAGAAGAAGAAGAAGAAGCCGGAAGGCCCGTCCTTCGCCGACAACATCCGCGGGAGCCTCAAGTCGCAGCCGAAGCCCGAGCCCGAGAAGCCCCTCGACGACCAGCGCGCGAGGGCTCGGAAGCTCCTCGAGAAGGCGAACAGGAAGCCATCTTCGAACGCGGCGGCGACGCCCAGACCTGTGAACCCGCTCGACGCTCCGACCTCAATAAAAGAAAGAGGCGCGTTCGACCTGCAAAATTTCAGAATCGGCGCCGGTTCCGAAGCGGACCGGCGGCCGAAAGAATTAGTTGTCGAGGTATCATTGGAGAAGTGCGCCACGGCCAAGGGTTTAGATCTCGAGTTAGCTCAGGCGTCCTTCAAGCTGAAGATGGTCCTCGACGGTACGGTACTCTATGACGTCAAGCGGACATTGCCCTATCCTGTTGATGGTAACAAGGGTAGTGCGAAGTTCGACCGGAAGAGGAGGACCTTGACGGTTGTGGCTCCGGTCTTACCTCGAAGTGCCGAGGAGGAAGAAAAAGACCGACAGATGCGACAGACACAACCGGAAAGTGTCGTCAAGGTCATGGGCGGGTCGGAGCCGGAGGTCATCCGCGAGCACACCACTGCGTTTGGTCAACGTAGAAGGGAGCGCGTCGTGGAGCCGCGCGAGACGCTCGAACAGAAAGATCAGAGATTGGCGAAGGCGCCACCTCGACAAAAGAAGGCCGACGACCACGCCCGCTTCCTCGAGAAGCGGGCAAAACCCTCTCGTGTGACGCCTAGACCGCCGTCGAACGACAAATCAAAAGAGAAGACCTGGAGCGAGTCTGAGAGCGACGAGGACGACGACGACGATTTGGTGCCGTCGATCAACGCTTCTATTGCGGAGGACAATGTTGAAAGAGCTCGGAAGGCTGCTGCTGGGTTCAGGGCGGCGCCCGACGTCGTGGATGAGAATTTCGCCGCGTCGAAAACGTACACTGGTACTCGAAAAGGCTTCGTGTTTAAGAAGGGCGCGAAGGGCCTCGGCTATTATCGAGACGCTGTATCGGTGGCCTTTCTACCTACGATCGAAGCTAGACAACGATCGACGACGGCCACTGTTATTGTGGACGTGGCCGGCGTCTCCAATGTAGATGTGACGGTGGACGGTACGGAAGCACGGGTGTCCTTGGATGGCAAGACCTTCGGACTGAGGCTAGGTGGCCAAGTACAAGGCGAGTGCCGGGCCGACGCGGCGGACGCGAACGTGGTGCTCGTCTTCACGAAGAGTGGTGACGAGACGTGGCCGACCGTCGCGGAGGCGTTCTCCCTCGACGATGCGGTCGTGGACACCGAGGCGCCGACGGACGAGGAGCCGGACGACGAGGTCGCGCCGCCTTCTCTTATTCAAAGGGACGCCGCGCCGCCGCCGCCGCCGCCGGCGGCGGCTCAAACGTTCGCCGCGCCGGAGTTCCAGAACACGCTGCTGTACAACATCGACTGATTGGTTGTTGGGGGGAATTTTTGAGTAACGGTTTGACTATTTTTTGTGTGCTCATACGCCGTCGCCCCGTATATTATGGGTTTTACGAACAGTCTATTAACAATAGGCGCCTGGGCCAAAAGGTGGGCTCGGGGCAGCGCGGGGGTAGGCGTCGGGGTAGGAGTAGGGACCGCCGATTCTCAGGCGCAAGATAGGTTGGCGGTTCAGGGCTCCTGGAAGTCGTCCCACCACGGCGGCGCGATGATGCCGCCGAAGCCGCCCGCGTCGTCGGCGCTTTCTGGAACGACGCAGCCGTTGACGTCACAATACGGGGACAGCGTCTCGCGGAGCTGTCTCAACGAAGCGGTCACGGAATCGCTCGCACACAGAGATTGCTCTCTGGTAGCAAAATCGGCACAAAGCCGTCGAAATTAATAGCGGCGATTGTCGAGCGTCGTCGCGGTGTTCGTGAGGCCCTCCGGACACGCGAGACGGTCAAGAAAGGCACGAATTGCCGTGGTATTGGAGCTGAGGAGGCTGACAGCCCACAAAACTGTGCGCCGTCTTCCTGGCTTGCTAAAACCCACGAAACTACTCCACAAGCACACGACAACATACTTAGAGAACGCGAATAGGACAGGTCGGCGCCCGCGTCAGCTCGGCCCCTCCGCCTCCTCGCCCGCGTCGTCGTCGCCGCCCGCGCGGAACGCCGCCTCGCCACAATCCTCACATACCTTGTCCAAGACCCCGGACACGGACTTCGACACGCCCTCGAGCTCGGCGTAGGCCTCGAGGAGCTCGAGGCGCGAGGCCTCGTTCTCGGCTTGAGCTTGCAAGATGTCGCTCTCCTGCGCCGGCGGGTTCGCCACCAACGCATCGCAAGCGGCATCTAACGCTCTAGACGCCTTGACGACGGTCCGCGCGATGGCCGCGATCTCCTCGTTCGTGGCCTCGCGGCCGGGCAGCGCCTCCGCGGCGTCGTCCATGGCCGCGCCGAGCGCGTCGATGCTGTCATGGAGCGGGAGGGGCCACGCAGATTTCGACGCCTCCGGTGGCTGCGCCATGCCTGTGTAGATGAATGATAACCGCGTCGTGTGCCGGTACCCTCATCGTGCACGGAGGGGACGGTATAGCGTAGTGCGGTCTCATGCCCATTTTGGTGCATGGTACTCTCGCTTCCCGGGAACGGGCCCCGCGCCGGCGGACACGGCGCGTGGCCAACTTATGGGTAGCTGCTTTTTTGGGCGGGGTGGCGGCGGGGGAGGGCGGAGGCACGCACCGAGTGTTTATTTTGCCCGCTGGTTTTGCGCAGCAATGGAATGCGGTGTGCGGTGAGAACGGTGCGCGGCGACAGCACGCCGCGACGGCGTCTGCTCGTGCAGCGAGTGTGAGCAAGCAGTGAGTGTTGCAGCCTCCACGCCTTCGCAGCGATGGGCCACGAGCGGTTGCAGGCTCGAAGCAAAAATGAAAACTGCCTAATAGGTGCAGCAACTCTGCCGCAGCACAACTGTGCCGCGAGCAGCCCCGCTGGCCGGAGCTTGGAGCTTGGGCTTTGCTAGAGTCTTACAAGCCGCTAGCACACGTCATACGCGGGGTTTTGAGGCTCGCGCCGCGCCCAGAATAACTATCGCACGTGGGCGGCCCGGGACAGGTCCCCTCCGACGTGCGCAGGTGCGCGCGCGGCCCGCCGCGCGCCCCGCGAGCGAACGAACTAAGAAGCGAGATAATACTTAGTCCCCGAACACCTCCAGCAGCCGTCGGACATTGGCAGAACCATTCCCATACCGCTTCTTGATGTTCCTCCCCAATTTCTTCTGCGCCAGAGCCACCGTCGCGTCGAACTCGGCCTTTTGGCGGGCCACCGCTTCCTTCTGCTCCGCGTTTTGTTGTTCGAGTGATTTGGTCTTCTGTTCAAACGCAGCACATTTCTCGTGGCCGCCGGCGACGTCTCGCCGACGGAAGGGCACGTGTCGCCCGTAAGCCGATGAGGACATCGCCGACGACGAAATGTCGAAATCAAACCGGGGAAAGATCTCGCTACAACCAGGATTCGACCCGACGGCTCGCCCACCCACGCTTTCCCCACAACCCAGCGAAGGCGGCTGCACTCCTTTCCCCGCGACGAAAGGATGCATCAGCGCCTTGTCCGGCCCGCGCAGCACCTTGTCCGTCTTCAAACAAGACGCGAAGTGGAAGGTCGGGTCGGGGATCGTCTCGGGCCATCGCACGGGCGGGTGGTCGTCGAACTTTGTCCTTTCCTCTCGCCGGTGCATGCGCGCGACGAAGGCGGACTTGCGGTTGTCGCAGAATCGTCTATGTGTGCTGGAGTCGGGTTGGGAGCTGAAGAAGGGCAGCTCCACGAGCGTCTTGGACGCTAAAGCTTCGGCCATCCTACTTTCCTGCTCGGCGGCGCTCGGCCGGATGCTCACGCTGAGCGTGCCCAAGGGCGACGAGGGCTCGGCCATGGTTGCGAGGCTGCCCCTGCTTGTTGCTTGTCGGCGGCGTGCGGGCGCGTCGCGCTATTGGGGAGAGCTGCAGCGCCGCGGCCGTTTTTGGAGCGTCGCCCGACGCGTCTCCGCATACGTCGGGGGCCCGCCGAGCCGTCCCCGGGGCCGGCCCGTACCCGTCCCAAAACCCCCGCGCCGGCGTTCGGCTAGTGGGGCGCCACTAGGAACCCGGTATGTGAGGAGCAGCAGCGCGGTGCCTCACTGGAACGTGCGTGCGGCCGTAACCCCGGCGACCCCGTTACGGACGGGACCGGTCGGTACCCGCGGGAGACGCGCTGCCCCCTTTGTAGGAACAGCGACCGCGTCCCTAGAACGACCAGCCCCCCGAACAGGGGCAGCCTCAGCGCCGCCGCCCCCGCCGCCGTCGGACTCGACGGTCGACGCGAAGGACCGCGCCGAGCTCGCGCGGCAGCCGCCCCCGAGGGCCGGCCCGCGCGGGCGTCGGGCCTACGGTAAGTACAGAGGCGCGGCCGCCGAGCGGTTGACGCACGATGCAGCACGAAATTACATTAGGAGGCGACGCGCCGCGGTCCATGTTAGCTGGATTGCGCTTGCAGGTCGAGGCGCTAGAAGCCCTGGGCCAGACCTCGGCCGGCGGCGTCGACCCGCGGGTCGCGCGCGAATGCGCGCGACGCTTACAAGCATTGGCAAATAGATCTGATACGCACCCCCACAATAAAGATAGAAGGAGTACCTTCGGCCGGCAAGGGAGCGAGTCTGAGGTGTCCCTCGACGACAAACGGACACTGTTATCCCGAGGCAACTCGAAACAGTCCGTAGAATCGACCGCGTCCAATAGATCACGAAGATCAGATCGATCGCCCCATGATGCCACACCACATAACGACGAGGCCAAGTCCGAGCCGGGGAGTGAAGGTATGCTCTCACCAGGTGAAAAGCCGAGCATGCGAACGTCGCTCGAAAGTCGTTTAGATCTGTTCAACACCGTACTAGCCACACACGCACGAAAAGAAAACGAGTCCAAGAAGGTCCAGGCCGAACTCACGGGCGACGGGGAACCGAACGCCTGCACGATCGATCCCCAGTCACCCTTTAGAATTGGCTGGGACCTCACCACGGCCATCTTTTTAGTATATGTGGCCTTCTGGGAGCCCTTCAACCTCGGATATGTGGGCGAGTGCGCGCGCTTGGACATCAGCCACGCGGTCTTCAACAAGATGGCGCGCCGCGGCGTCCGGACGCCTTCACAATGACACTCACGCCATCCCCCCGCGCAGATGGACGCCTTCTTCCTCGTCGACCTCTTCGTGAACTTCAACACGGGCTTCGTGACGGCCGACGGGGAAGTAGTGATGTGTCCTCGAAGATCAGTGAAGAACTACCTGTGGACGTGGTTCCCGATCGACTTCGTATCTAGTATCAGTCCGGTGCTCGATTACTTCATCTGGTGGGCGGCGCGGGGCACCATCGTCATGCCGGGCAAGGGCTTCAATGGACTCAGTGGACCGCCGTCGACGTGCGACGGCGGCGCGAACGGCCTCGCGATGGCTCGGTTGTTAAAGATCGGCCGCATCTTCAAGATTTTCAAGGTCCTCAGAATTGCGAAATTAGTAAAAATGGGCAACGACAGCGCTGACTCAGTGTCTGTTTCTCACGTTTTCCGACCTTCAACGTTGGGAAGATGGCGTCTCCGTGGTCTCCCGCGGCCGTGTCGCGACGGTGTCGGTGCCACGCAGGCGCCATCGCCGAGTTCATCGACGACTTCCTCATGTCGTCGGCCTCGAAAACGGCGATGAAGCTGATCAATATCGTCGCATTTACCGCTGTTTTCGCGCACTTTATGAGCTGCTTCTTTGCGGCCTGTGGCCTACATGCGTGGGAGGCCTACAACCCGTTAGAAGGTACGTCACTCGCTGAAAGTGAGTATGACCTGGAGCTCGACCAAGCCGGGGAGGAGAATCGTCACAGAGCAAGGGGCCCGGCGGGCGACTGGACGCGGCTGCGACAGTACTTGGTTGGCTTGTACTGGGCCATCACCACCATCTCCACCGTAGGATATGGCGACTTCGTGCCAGTGACGGACAAGGAGCGCGCCTACGCCATATTAGCGATGTTCATCGGCTCGGGCTTCTACGGATATGTGGTGGCCCAAGCGGCGAACATCATCTCCAACTCCGACGCGGACCGGGCGAAGTACTACGAGAAGATGGATTCCGTACAGGTCCGGCTCGGTGTCTTGTATCTTGAATTTGGGGGTCTGTGGCGCCTTCACTTCACTGATGCGACTCGTATCATGTTGTGGGTGGTCTCTGGTCCGAGTTTGGGGCCATTCGGACCGCGTCGGGACCGTTTCCAGTGAACGAGTCGCGACGCGGTCCGAACCGGCCCAAATTCGGACCAGAGACCACCCATCGCCTTCTCTGATGGAGACGAGTCGCGTCGACCATCAGATAATCACGTTTCGACGCGACGCGCCGCGCAGGTGTGGATGAAGCACCACAGGTTTCCCAGTCGCATCCGGAGGCAGATCCGCATGTATTATAGAGCTTACTACTCCCAGCGGCTTTGTATCGACGAGCAGGATTTGATGTCGGATTTGAATCCGGCGCTGAAGCAGACGATTGCGGAGTTTTTGTTACATGAGTTGGTCGTGACGCACCCGATCTTCGCGAAACTCCCGGAAGGTTTGATGTCGAAGTTCATTACCTTGGTGAGGCAAACTAGAGCTAAACTCGGCGACGAGATCGTCGTGCAAGGGGAAGAGTCGAGGTCCATGTTCGTCATCAGCAAGGGTTTAGCTGAAGTGTCTATAATTGATTGGGACGCTAGAACAGTGAGCAAAGCGCCATTGCCCGAGGGCGAGTCCTTTGGGGAATTATGTGCTCTGAACATGATCTTCGTGAGCGACATCACCGTCGTCGCGAAGACGGAACAATTGGAACTTTTTGTCATCAACCTCGAGGACATGGTGCGATCGCGGCGTTTTGAGGTGTTGCGGCGCCTTCACGCCATCGAGGCGACTCGTGTCCATCAGACGAGGCCGGGGGTGGTCTCAATTTCGATGTTGAGGCCGTTCGGACCACGTCGGGGCCGTCGCGGCGTGTCGGAGAGAGAGCGGTCGGGGCGACGGCGTGAGGTGGCTCGCACCGACGCGGTCGCCGCGAAGGCGTCGGCGCGATGCCGCATGAGAGTCTACACGCCTCGGGAGTGCACAGAGGCAGTTTCGTGACGCCGCCGTTCCGCGCAGGGCATCGCGCTCGGTAAACTGGAGACCGAGGACCAGGAGTCCTTCGCGTCGATCAAGGAGGCCGCGGCGAAATTGCACGCGCGGCAGATGGCGCGGTGGCGGCGGAAGCCCGAGCCGCTGCCGCCGCCCGGTGTGGACGACGACCGTTTGGCGACGATCCCGGGGTCGACGCCGGCGACGCCCAACACGTCAAGAGGTGAGATCGAGCTCGTGGTTCCCGACGACCAGTCGCCTTTGTCGTCGCTCGTCGAGCGGCGGTCGCTGGAGGACTTCCCCGGCAACCCATGAAAGTACCCTTACCCCTGTGACTGCTAAGAACATTCACGTAGTCTTAGGCTCCTGCAGCGGCGGGTCCCAGACGACGTCCCAGGCCCCCCGGAAGTAGTTCAAAGCGATTTCGTTCGCCGCGGCCCGGTTCGACACGCCCGTCCCGAGGTTCGAGTCGAGCGTGACGACGTTCTCGAGGCGCGGGTCGGCCGTGTACTGGTCCCCGTCGAAGGGCACGACGAACCTTTTCACGCGTCGCCGCGCGAGGTGCCCGGAAATCCAGACGTCGTCCATGACTGTGGCGCCGGGCGGCGCGCGCGCCATCTCCTCCCACAGCTTTCCGTCGAAGAACTTGGCCTTGACGGCGAAGCCGCAGTTGCCCCGCACGACGCTGACGGGGTGCGGCGCGTGGAGTTCGTTGCCGTACACGAGATAGTTCTCCGTCCAGTGCGGGTAGCGCAGGGAGCGAGTCACGGGCCAGCCCGTCGCGCTCACCACCGCATCCGGGAAGCGCCGGCTCCAGCTCGCGAAGGTCTCGAGCAAGCGCGGGGGGTACAACGTGTCGTCGTCGACGACGACCAACAACGCGTCATCGCCATTGGCTAAACCATCTCTAACAGCGGGAATCACCTTCGTCGCCGGCCCGTAGTCCTTCTCGATCCTTACTAGACGTACGCGCGGCGCCATGGCCGCGAGCCAGGGCGGCGTTGCGTAGGCGCGCTGCTCCCGCGCCGAGTGCGTCGGCGTGTAGACGCGAATCTCGTCGGCCGCGAGCGTCTGTTGCAGGAGCGACTCGAGCACCTTGCGGATCTGGTGGATGCGCCCCGGGAGCGTCGTCAGCGTCACGACGACGCGAGGCTTCTCTCCGAGGACCGTGGGCCGCCGGTCGCCCAGTAAAGGCGCGCCGTCGACGACCTCGTCGTTCATTGGGGAGACGGCGCCGTCCGACGCGACGCAGACGCGCTTCTTTTGAGGAGCATTGCCTACCTTGCGGTAGATCCTCCTCACGGTCTTCGCTTTATTTCGCTGCTGGTTTCGTCGCATCACGGTCTGCGGCGCTTGGGGCGGGGCGATCTGCGAACCGGCATAGAGCACGGCGGCGCCGTCGCGCACGCGATAGACGAAGGACCGACATCTTTTATGCCGGGCGCACGCTTCTTTCGCGGCACAGAGCCCGCCGTCGACCGTTGACAACTTTTGGTTTGGGATATCGAGCCAGAACTCGCTCCGCGCCTGGGCCACGTCATATACCGTAGTGTCGTGGATCGTCGTGTTCCGGAAGACCGGCGCGCCGCCGTCGGCGGCGTAGGCCGCGGCTCTCATTTGCAGTCTACCGGACGCGTCGTAGCGTCGCAGGGCGTTGCGCAGCGCGTCTCCAGCTTTCCCGTACAAGGCTACGAACAACGTGGCGGAGGTGCCGCTCCGCTGCACAGCATTAAAAAGCTCGTCCCGGGTCAAAAATGTCGTCTTGTCATTGACGCGTACTATGCCAGCACACCGCTTGCCCATGCGCCGACACCGTGTTTTCGCCTCGCAGACGGACATGGCCGCGCCGTCTCCTTTAAAAGAGATGGAGAGGCGCCCGAAGCCGTCGTCCGGCGACACCTTGACACACACGTTCGACTGAGGCGGCGGGGTCGCTTTCAGAAGACGGTCCGCCTCCAGGCGCTTCGCGAACTCTTCCCGCCAGCCCTCCTCGAGATCTTCGCCCGTCGCGTCGAAGCCGTCGCCCGTCTCTCCATATGTCCGGCCGCGCGGCGCCGCGCCGCTGTCCAAGTGAGGGTGCAGGTACAGAAACTTCCATGCGACCAGTGCGAGGAGTAGGGCCGCGAGGAGGGCGAGGCGCGGGCGCATCGCTGCTGCAAACGCTGCCCCGCAGCACTGCGGGCTGCCCCGACGCTGCCGACCCGTGACGGCTGGCCAATTTGCTAGTGTCTTACAGGACGCTAGCAAACGGGCTCAACATCGGACGTTTATTGTCCTACCCCATCCACCGTCCATCTGTATGGAACAAGAGACGAGCTTGCCGCCGTCGGCGCGCGCCTTGATCTGGGACACGTTCGATCCGCGATTCGCGACTTTCGTTGTCCCCGCTTCCTTGCCGAACGCCAATTTGAAGGGGTTGCCTTGACGCCTAAACGACGCCGAGAACGACACGGCCACCGCTCCGGGCGCCGGCGACCCGGAGCCGAGGATGTTTTCCACGCGTTGCAAGGCGCCGAGCGCGTCTTTGACGCCGGCGTCGCGGCCGATCGCCTGCTTGGCGAGGTTTACGACTTTGTTCGCCTCGGCGGGCGTACATGTCGCTCGTCGCACGAGTGCTGAGGGCTGTCGAGGCGCGGGCGCCTGGAACGCCGCCGCGCACGCGACGAGGAGGAGTCCGCGCATGCCGGCTGCACTCGTGCGAGGCCCGAGTCGTTCGGGGCGCACGGAGCGGTTCCTCCGTACCTGCGCGAAGCTAGCCTCGCGGCGGCGCTCGCGAATGGTGCGCGTGCGAACGCTCGACCGGCGCGGACCCGTCGGACAAATGCCTCGATTTGGCTACATGGTTTATGTGAATGGATGTTCTTCAGATCGTCATCTAATATATGTTGATCGTCATGCGGGCGCGCGAGCGGTGGTTGCAGGACGCCGCTTGCGGTGCAGTGGGTTGATGCAGCGACGCGCGCGCTCGCAGCTGCCAGCCGTTGCAGCTGCCAGGATTTCAGCAAAGCTTTCGCAAGCTCACTGGCGATCAAGAATTACTGCAGCGGGCGAGCTGTGCGACTCGCTGCGACCTCGACCTAGCGTGCTGTAAGATACTAGCAAGGCCCAGGCCTTGCAAGCAGGGCAGAGTTTAGGCGCAGACCTTGCTCAGCGTGGCGCCTGGCGTGAAAAATTAACGGAAGCGAGTAGTTGACGCGGAATCCTGGAGCGTTAAGGACGAAAACAGAATACTCTGGAGTCTGGACTCCGCCACTCTAGGGACGGATGCTCAATTGACGCGGCGCCGACGCATATGGCCTGGCTCCGAGACATCCCTTGCAAAGATATCTCTCCAAAAGGCGACGACTACAGTGACATTTCCCTTAACGGTACTAGGTGGACTGGATTTCAGAGCTTCCTGGATAAGTGGGAAGACGCCAACGAAGCTGCACCACTCGAGACGCAGAAGGAGACGGCTACGGACATCAAGTACCTGCGGAAGTACGGCTGCGACTATCTCAAGAATTCGTCGCTCTGGGACTCGTTGGATTCGTACGAGGCGTGGCTGGCCGACGCTCAGAATAACAAGACGGTGAAGTCGCCTTACTGGTATGGACGAAATCTCTGTGTTCGGGGACGCGGTCACAAGCCTCTGAGTTTTTTCTGTCCCGAGGCGTGCGGGTGCCACCGCGGCGACGAGGACTGCCCGTTGACGTGTCCCGAGCGCGAAGCGACGACACCTCTCTGCCCCACGCATCAGCACAAGACTTTTGTGAATGCGTGCCACGGCCGAGTAGAAACTGGATATTGCTGTCCGCGACATCCTCGTGCGTATAGCTTCGATGTGGGCTTTTCGAGTGTTGGCACGAATGGGACCGCGCGGGCGGCGGCCGCCGGTGAATAATAAACCTTCGTTCATTCTTAGCACAGTTGTCTTCGAAGTAGATTGAGTGCGATAGAAGGGCGAAATTCCCCCTCGCCCTATCCTTGCATCATGACGGAGTCGATTGCTAGCGTCCTGTAAGACACTAGCAAGCAGCGTGTTGCAGTCACTGCGGCGCCGCAAGAGAGCGCTGTCGGCGCGAAGAGATCGTGCTTGCATCATCAAATCGGCAGTCAATAGCTTCGACGCGTCACCGCTCTCCCAACGGTGTAGCGCCTGCCCCAGCCAGAGCTGCATCTCCGGCCCTATGCGCAGCGCCATCATGCTCTTCGCGGCGGCCGCACGCGCGCTCTGCCCTCGCGTTACGCAGCCCGCGCGCCGCAGCATCATCCGAGCAGCAAAATCCAAGGTAAACAAGCCGCGCTACGCGACCGGCATGGCCAAGGCCGTGTATCGAGGCGAGGGCCTCGGCGCGCCGTCCTACGACAGCGCACCCATAGCGTTAAGTGGCCTGCCCGACACGACGAAGCCCTACGCCGTCCTGGGCATCGAGACGTCGTGCGACGACACGGCCGCGGCCGTCGTGCGGTCCGACGGCACGATTTTAGGGGAGAGTGTCGCGAGCCAGCACGAGGTCCACGCGAAGTACGGCGGCATCGTGCCCGGTTTAGCGAAGGAGGCCCATGAACTTGCAATTGACGCCGTCGTCGACGAGGCGCTTCAGCAGGCACACTTGACGATGAGCGACGTGGGCGCGGTGGCGGCGACCGTCGGGCCGGGGCTGGAAATTTGTTTGCGAGTTGGTGCTAGAAAAGCAGCTCATCTAGCATCAAAATACCAAAAACCGTTCCTGCACTGCCATCACTTGGAGGCGCACTGCCTGGTCGCACGACTTCAGACAGAATTGGAGTTCCCCTACCTCGCCCTGCTCGTGTCGGGGGGCCACTGCCAGCTGCTCTGGGTGCAAGGCGTCGGCGACTGCTCGGTCCTCGGCGGAACTTTGGACGACGCGCTGGGCGAGGCGTACGACAAAGCAGCAAGGATGCTCCAGCTCTCGTCGGCGACGGGCGGCGGGCCGGCCCTGGAAAGAGCGGCTCTCCGAGGCAACGCGACGGCGGTCGACCTCCCGGTGCCGATGAAAAAACGCAAGGACTGCGACTTTTCGTATGCCGGTCTCAAAAATGCCTTACGGGGCAGGGTCGCCGAAAAACGTATTGAAAGAGGTCTGAGCGATGAGGACACTTTGCCAGATCAGGACGTCTACGATCTCGCGGCGTCGTTCCAGAGCGTCGCGATCGAGCACGTCGAGGACCGCCTCAGAGTTGCGTTTAAACGCGTTGTTGGAGAAGCCGGTGCGTCGCCGACGCTAGCCTTGGTCGGCGGCGTCGCGGCGAATGCGGAGTTGCGGCGGCGTGTGGCGTCTGTCGCGTCGCAGGCGGGCTGGCGGCTGGTCGTGCCGCCTCCGAGGTTGTGCACGGACAACGGGGTCATGGTGGCGTGGGCGGCGGTCGAGAAGGCGTCGCTGGGGTTTTCCGATGAAATCGATGAGGAGGTCGAGGTGATCCCGCGCTGGCCTTTTAGGGAGCACTCAGCGCCGGAGCCGGTGAAGATCGCGGTGAAGCTTGCGTCGAAGGCCGAGCGGGCGACGGCGGCGGCGTAAGGTATCCAAAAAGAGTTCAATAAGTTAACCGACTATTTCCCCGGGGAGCAGCTCGGTGAGTCGCGGGCCGGGGATCCGGGCATCCCACTCGCTCAACCCGCGCATCACATATTGCGAAGGGATGGTGCCACCGCGACGCATATCATCCGGCGTGCGTGCTCGCGCTGGATATAGGTGTCCCGCGCCGACGATGGCGTGGTACTCGCGCGTGCTGTCGTCTTCGCGCATGGCCGCTGTAATCGTCCGGGCCCAAGCTGCCTCGCGTCGCGTATTCAAAATAGTAGTGCAGGGCTCACGGGTGACGTCGTCGTGTCCCAGGACGCTCACGGCAAGCCTCCTCGTGAAATCGAGGGGAACGTCCCAAGGGCACCCGCCCAGGCAAAGGACGGCGGCGGAGACGGCGCCTTCTGCCTCCCACGGGTCAGACGTGTAGCCGTTCACAAATTCCAAAATCGCGAGCATGTCGAGAAACCATCTTGGCGCCGGCTCCTCCATTGGTGGGAGCCCGGCCGGGCCGGCCCCTAGCGCCATGAGAGCTGCGGTGCATGTCACGAGGTTGCTTCCGCGGGGATGGTCGGCAACCGTCGCTACGGTGGCATCCAAACTTCCAGACAGTAAAGGGTCCTTAAATAATGTGGCCGCAGCCCAGTCCTCCGCCCCCCATGGGTCCTCGAGGCCGCGGATGTTTGGCCCCTCGTATGAAATCTCCACGCCGTTCATTATCGTGAAGATCTCAGTCCTCTGGTTGCATTGGCCTTCCAGGAAAAGTACGATCTCGCCGCGGCGCGCGCGTTCTACCAAACGAGCCGTGCGGTCACCAAAGCCAGGGCCGGTGCATCTGTGGATGTCGGCGTGGTAGATCATGGGGTGGTTCTCGACGTCTAGCTGGTCGCCGTTCGCCATGCCAATCTCGGAAGCCGTCTGGTCGCCGCGGACGTGCGAGCCTTTGAACAGAAAGCGGAGTGAATCTACGGCGACGCCCTTGCGAGCGGCGTACGCGTTAAATACCTTTCGCATCCTTGTGTACTCCTTTATCTTGAAGTGCACGTCCGCGGCGACGATCAACAGCGAGCGTCGCGCCGGCGGCGGCGCCGCGTGACCCGCGTCTGGCGCGTCGTCGTCACGGCCGCGATTTCCCAGGAGGTTTAGCAAAGAATGAAGCATGCTAGCGCCGGAGCCGAACAACCCGAAAAAAGCCTGGCAAGACGTACCCTCGCGCGATCGGCGCGAGCACGCAGGACTACTTGAGAGGGTCATTGGAGCAAAGCTTGATTTAATTTTGCGTTCTCCCGGTGCAATCGGCCGGTGTGTACTCGTAACACTCGACGACAATCTGTCGACGCGTGTGTTTGCCGCGCCCCAGGTCAAGTGTTACCCGGCAAAATAGGCAATGGCTTGTGAAAAAACGTGATTAAAATTTCCCGCGCTAGCGGCCTGTAAGACACTAGCAATCTCATCTCAGCGCCGAGGCAGCCCAGCATCGCAGCAGCACATACTCCGAGAGCAGGGCAGCCCACCCAACTGCCTCGGCACTCGACTGCGCCCGACGACGCGTAGGAGCGCCAGGACGACGATGCGGCGGTAGCAAGCCAAAGCGCAGAGAGACAGCAGCCATGCCCAAGCGCCCGAACCTCCACGCTTTACAAGTGACAGTAATCTGCGGCGAGGACCTGCTCGCCGTCGATAGTAATGGCAAGTCCGACCCGTTTTGTGAATTGCAGCTCTTGGATGAATTTGATCAGCCGGTGTTTGGCAAGAAACGGACGCGGACGAAATCCAAGACGTTAAATCCGACGTGGGACCAAACGATCACGCTGAAGCTGCCGAAGGACCCGAAGGCGCCTCGCACGCCGTTGGTCGTCGGTCACAAGGTACGCGTGCAGGTCAAGGACAGGGATAAAGGAGGTGTGTTTTCCTCGGGCGTCGTCACTAACTTGGGCCAATGCACCCTCTCACTAGCTTTGTTAAAACCTGGAGTAGCCCAAGAACAATGGTATAAACTAGAAAGGGTCGGCGAGATGCAGCGCGTCTCCGGAAGGATTAGGGTCAAATGGTTTCGTGAGCAAGATCCCGAGTCTCCCACCAAGTCTCAATCGACGACGACTATTGTGGAAGCCTTACCTGAAGTGGAAGTAGCTGGTCCTGTCGAAGCGACGGAGACGGAGGAGCAGCGAGCGGAGCGAGAAGCGGAGTTAAGTGAACTGGGTGTCCCGCCAGGTACAGAACTACGAGTGCGGGACCCGGCGCCCTTCCTGCCGCCCAACGAGTTGACCGTGGTCTTGATGAAGGCTTCTTCTCTCAAGATCATGGATAGGAAGCTCTTCGGCGCCGGGAGCTCCGACCCTTATGTGAGGTTGGCTTGCGAGGGGGATCTGGCCAAATCAACGACCAAACAAAAAGACCTGGAACCGACCTGGGAGGAGGTCTTTACGTTCGCGGCGTTCGACGAGCGGGCGTCGTTGTCGCTGCAAATGTACGACCACGACGACATCGGTCTGATTGCGGCGTCCTTGGATTCGAGGCGCGTCGATGGCGTCTTCATGAGGCCACGCCGCGTCGACGCCGTCGCCGCGCCCGTCGCGTCTACTTGTGGGGGCTACGCGTCGCGTCGAGAGGCGTCGCGGCGTCACACGCGCGCGCGCGCAGGTTCCGACGACTTCATGGGTTCTGTGGATGTGCCCCTCGCGTCCTTACGAGACAAGAAGCTGGTAAGGCGCTCGCTACAACTGAGCAACGATGCTGGTGAAATAGATGTTTTCCTGTGCTGGCGCACCTCCCCGCACAACGTGGCCAAGCTGCCCAACGAGGTCCACGAGCTCGTCCAGGGCCAGGAGAAGTACAAGAGCCAAGCTCTGAACGAATTGATTGTTTGTCCGATACGCGCGACGCGATTAATTGGCGTCGACTCGCATCTAGGAGGTGGTCCCAAGACCTCGGACCCCTACGTTGTTTGTGATGTCGATGGTCTGCGCATGAAGACCAGCCACAAACAAAAGACGTGTCGACCGGAGTGGCTCGAGGTTTTGAAATTACCGGTCGACGGCTATTCAAGAGCATCTTTATCAGTAGAGGTCTGGGACCACAACCTCGGGAAAGATGTGTTCCTCGGGAAGTGTACGGTAGATCTGGCCAAATATGAGGATAGGAAAGGTCGGCGACGGTGGCGCACTTTAACAGATGAACGAGGCATGCTCGACAAGGACCGAGGTCGCATCGAGCTCCATGTCGTGTGGCGGCACAACACAACTTTAAAGATCGAGATTCCAAGAGAGTTGGAGGACGACACTTTAGCTGCTGTTGATGAAAGCTTAGTGCCTCCGACCGAACTACAAGTGTTTGTCGCAAGAGGGCGTTTACAGAAGGAGTGCGACCCTTACCTTCGTGTCGAATGCGAGGCCCATCGACAGGAAACGCTATCGCGGTCGAAGACGACCAAGCCCGTCTGGAAAGATACCCTTGTGTTAGGCCCTGTGGAGGGTGATGATGATAACGTAGTGTTGTCTTTATATGACAAGAAGCCGTCAAGGGACAAGTTGATCGGGACGATCGAAGTGCCTCTCTGCTTATTGAGGAACAAGTGTCCCGTGCGGCGGTGGCTGCCGGTCAACGGTACGCTGTCTCCACAGGAGATTGCCCGTTGTCTGTCGATCGACACCCGGACGCGAGGAAATGAGGACCGGGAAGCCCTAGCCCTAAGTAAGAGGGGAGACTGCTACTACTCGTCCGACGAGAGTTCCGACGACGACGTCAGTGAAGATCCGGCGGAGCGCCTCGACCGCGCCAAGAGGAAGGTAAGAGAAAGTCTGAAAGCACTGGACAAGGCGGAATTGTTACCAGAACATACAGCAGAGGACGAAGTGAGGAAGATCGAGGCCATCACCGAGGCCGAGGCTTTGCACGATGACAGTCTGGCAGAGGAGCGCGCCGCACAAGCTCTGTACGACGACGACGAGACTTTGACACAGCAGTGTAGTGCAGAAGAGCAAGAGCAGGTCCGAGCACATAGTAGGGAGCACCGCATCACTATAGCGGAGGCCGGAGAAGCATTAGGCGTCTTCACTTCGAAAATCTTCGCGAGGTGGGTTCAGGAATTAATCGAGGCAAGACCGCCCCCACCAGATCCAAATGCACCGATTGCGCATGAAGCGTCCCCATTTGAGTATAGTGACTGGACTGCACCACAAAATCATCTCGGGTCTGTGGATATTTGGTTCGCCTGGCGCCACAACCCGCAGCACTTCTACAAAGTGCCACGAAGCCTCGAGGAGGACTTTTACCCCGATCGTATTGCCAATGAAGCGACCGTATGTGTGATACGGGCGAAGAAGCTGCTGTCAGTCCAGAAAGATAAGGACGCTGCTGATGCGATGGTGTCTCTCTCTCTACGAGGTAAGGAGAAGCACACGCGAGTGGTTCAGAAGACTCTCTTCCCGTTGTGGGGCCAGGCCTTCTACCTCCCTGCATTAGATAGCAGTAGTGTTATAGAATGTACGGTTCACGATGTCGACGACCCGGGGCCGTACCAAACTTTAGAATTCATGGGTCGAACGTCGGTAGAGTTGAAACCCTTTCTTAACATACAAGGGAGAGGCAAGCGCCTGTGGTATTCACTGAAAGATAAGAAGAACAAACAAGATAGAGGTATCCTCGAGTTGTACGTGGCCTACCGGCATAATGTGGATTTGGCTATCATACCGGTACCGGAAGAGGCGGCGGTCGATAGCTATAAACAGCGGGACGCGAACGAGTTGGTTATAGTCCTCGTAAGGGCGAGGCACCTCGGGAAACGCGGGACCCCGCCAGACCAGGGTCCTCTATCACGCGTGCGCATCACATCTGGATCCTGGGCCTCTTCCGTATCCACAGAAAAAAGGGGCATCTCGCCGCTATGGCTAGAAACTTTTAGAATCGAATGCGAGGACTTCGAAGAGGTCATCAGGTTCGAAGTACTTGAGAACGACGACGTACTAGGACACACGACGCTAGAGGTCAAAACTTTGGCAGGAAGAAAACCGATCAGGAAATGGTTCAAGCTCGATGGACTCGGGGATTTGGATTTGTGTCTACACTGGCACCATTCTACAGCTGTAAAAATACCACCATTAGCCCTCGAAACGCAACCTTCCGCTGACAGAAGGTTGCCTCTGAATTCCCTAGTTGTTACTGTTTTACGATGCCGAGGCTTGCGGCGACAAGACCTCGAGAAACGCGGTCCGGTCGGGCGGGGTCGGGTGCGCAAGTCACGAATCGAAGATGAGGCACCAGTGGAAGTACGGCCGGCCAACCCTCGAGTCAGGATGGAAATTGGTAACTTACCCCATCAATCGACCGATACGTACACCGAAGCAGGTAGGTCAGTGACGAACACTTTTAACCCCAACTACATGGAGACGTTTCGGTTTGACGACGTGTACGATGGCGGACTCGTTTGTAGGATATATGTGGAACATACCAGTAACAAGAAGCCCGAAATGATGGGTAAATGTCTGTGTGGAAATCAACCAGTGCGTCGGCAGCACCGATGCGGCCGTGCTGATACGGTCGAGCGGAACCGGCACCGCCACGCCGTCGAGCAGGCGTCGCGTCGATGGCGTGGGGGTCGACGCGAAGATTTCCACACAGGTAAGTGTGCCGTGCCGGTGAAAGCATTATCGCACCGACGAGCTCTACGAAGGTGGTTGACATTAGAGGACAAGAAGGGCCGAGCCGACCCTTCATTGGGTAGAATTGAGTTGTGTCTGAGGTGGTGCCACAACCCGGAGCTCGAGGTCGAGTTAACTGAAGAGGGTGCTAGGGATCCGCACATGTCCAAAGCTCCGAACGAGTTGTTCGTCGTACTTATTAGGGCGAGAAACCTCAAACCCCAATCGAGGAAACACGACCAGTCGAAGCAGGCCGACCCTTTCGTTGTGTTGAGTTGCGCGGGCAAGGAGACGCGAAGTACGACAAAAAAAGCTACTTTAAATCCACGATGGGTCGAGCGCTACACCTGGGACGCCGACGACGCTTCCGATGTCTTAGATATCGAGGTGCGGGACGCCTGCGCGTATACCGGGGCTGATTTTTTAGGTAGAGTGGGCGTGGAAATGGACCAGCTCCGGAAGAGACATGCGTTGAGGAAGTTCTTGGTGTTGAAGAACGAGGAGGATTATAGGGATGACGAGCGGGGCGAAATTGAACTCTTGTTGCACTGGCGGCACAACCCGCACTTCACTCCTAAAAAATTTCCCGAGGAAAGTCCGTTTTCTCGGCGTTTCCGAACTTCAAGTTGCGTCGACGGGCGTCGACGGGCGTCGATGCGGCCGTCCGAGAGTCTACGCGTCGCGCGAGAGCGTTCCCCGCGCAGGCGACAGCTACGACAGACCAGGTAAACCGAACTGCTTAGTCGTCGTTTTAGTAAGGGCGAAGAAGCTTAAAAGATTAGAAAAATACGCGGAGACGCCGGGGACCACCGACCCGACCTGCCTACTCACATTAGACGGCGAGAAAAAACGGTCACGAACCGTGGAAAATCAGTTGAACCCCCACTGGAACCAGAGCTTCAAATTCAACGATATTGAGGACCTGAAGCTCGATCGGGACACGCAGCATCACTTACATGTTGATATCTTCGACACGGATGCTGATGGTGAGACGACGAGTATCGCCTCCTGCAAGGTACCGTGTTTCAAGTTCCGAGACCGGAAGCCGCACCGAGCGTGGCACTGGTTGCATCGTGGGAACGACGGGGCCCAATCATCAGGCAAAGTGGAACTCGTGTGTAGATGGGTCCACGACGCCTCGTTAATTTTACCTGTGGATTTGAATAACGTCTACGAGGACGAGGGGTCGGAGGTCCAGCAGCCCAACGAAATCACGGTGCACGTCGTTCGTTGCCGCCAGTTGATCAGAACGAGTCGCACGCTGGCGTCGAAGGACACCAGCAACCCCTTTGTGCGCGTGAGTACGACGTTCGAAAGTAAGAGGACGAAGACCGCTCGGCGGACGGTCGCGCCCGTCTATCAGAAACGGTTTTCGTTTGAAGGGCGACAAGGTGACCACGACCTGCTGGTGGAAGTGTTTGATAGCTCTACCGAGGAGCCCTTATTTATGGGTAGAGCTAGATTAGCTTTGAAAGAACTGAGAGAGCGCAAACCAATCAGAAAATGGCTGACGTTGACGGACGAGTACGGGCGGAAGGACAAGCGACGAGGTCAAGTAGATATTGTATGCTGGCACTTCTATAGGGGTAGGTATGTTGTTAGTATACCGAATTCTGTAGAGGACGACCCCGCGGTGGAAGGCCCCTGCAACCAGATCTGCGTCTGTTTAGTTAGATGTTGGAATTTACCGGTCAGACAACATAAAAGTAAAGATGCCGTGCGCGCGGCGGATCCCTTTGTTGTTTTGCGGTGTGGGGAACAAGAAAGAGCGACGCAAGTCGAGGAGGGCACGGTCCATCCCTTGTACCAAGAAGTGTATAAGTTCCTGGCGCCGGAGGAGACCGAAGTTCGTGTAGACGTCTGGGATTACGACGGGTGCGTATCTCCGCGTTTTGAAGTGTTGCGGCGCCTTCACGCCATCGACGCGCGTCGTCTCCGGGAGAGGATGTCGTGGCTGGTTTCTTTTTCGATTTTGATGCTCCGCGCAGGTTGCGGGCGAACGCCTGGGTCGGGTCGTGCACGCTGAAGACCTGTGATATTGCTCGCGACAAGGACGAGGCGTACCGGGTCTGGCTTCCCCTCAGAGATGAATTTGGGCAGATCAAAACGGGTTTAGTTGAATTGTACGCTCGGTGGCACACGTCTTTGAAGCTCTGGTCTCCTGCCACTGATGTGATAGAAGTAGCAGAAGGCGTGACCGAGGAACGAGTCTATAGACCAGGAAAACCGACCGGTATTTGTCCGGAACAGCTTGTGTGCATCGTGAGATGCGTCAACGGTCTCCAGAACTTACGGCCAGGCACGGCTGTTTGGTGTAGAGTGAAAGTTCGCCAGCAAAAGTTCCAAACGACGCCGAGACGCGTGACGGACCACGATTCCGTATATATCCAAGAGAGGTGCCATTTCTACGTCGATGGCGTCGAGGGTCCGGGCCACTGGGACGGGCCTGCTATAAAAGTAGAGTTGTACGCCGCTTCAAATGCGTCGTCTTCACCAGATTGGTGTACGGTCTTAGCGGCGTATGACGTGCCCATTCATCAAACGTACATGAAAAATGAGGCTACTGTCGTACGAGTCTCGGAGGACTTCTCAGTCGAGTTGTTTCTGCGATGGAGGCACTTACGAGACGCGCGGACCTACGAGGGCGCGCAACGCATGAAACGAGAGGAGAAGAAGCCCAAGACAGGCTTGGGCCTCGCCAAATTCCTGGAGAACGCCCAGCAGTACGGCGAATCCGACGAAGAGAGTACGGTGGCTTCGAGTAGTGAGTCGTCGCATCTTCGCGGTTATGTGTCCGAGGGTCACGTGTCGTCGTCGGACGAGGCATCGTATGATGACAGTGACGCCGTCTCTGTTCTTGTAAAAGTCGAGGCTTGTCGAGGCGTGCCGGCGCCTCGATTTGTGGAGCTGGAGGCGTCGGTGAGTGTCAGTGCTGTCGACGCGAACAACCAGGACGACCTGTTCGAGGGGTCGTACGCCACAGAAAAGGCTCATGCTTCGTTTGAAAGTTCGCACGCCGTCGGAGCTAAATTTGCTGATATCGCATTTGCGTCGGAAGAGCGCATGGTCGTGTCATCCTCATCCATACTACGCTTCTCATTATCGGCGCAGGGCTCCATACAAGAACGTAGATATGTCTCGAAGAAGCCGTTACGGTGTCTCGGGTTCTGTCGCCTGTGGCTCAAAGGCTCGAAACCGCGTTCAATAACAAAGTGGCTCCAGATCAACGGCGGCTCGTTGTCCTCAGACGAGTGGACGCACGATAGAGGAGAGTTGAAAGTTACTGTTACTGTCGAAGGGCCGGCTGATAGCGATGAACTACTAGTAGATGAGCCCTGGCGCCAGGACATAGAAGAGTCTCCACCGTTTGGACTAGAGTCGTTAAGAGACCTCCCACCGCTCCAGCACAAGCATCTGACGCCGTTAGTTCTACCAGAGACGTATCTCCATACGGGCGGGTTGCCAGGAATTAGAAAGAAGAACGCGCGGGCTTACCGTGAAGCATTATCCAAACTACCGCTGCTGGACGCGACGGATGAAAAATCTAAAAGAAGACTAGTCGAGCAGCACTTCATGCGGGTAGCAGGTTACGCCGTGGCGTCTCGAATCTTGTCGAAGTCGCTGAAGGCCAACGATCTACCGCCACCCGGCAAAAGACGCTTCGACGGGTCGGGCTACTTCTACCCCGCCGGGGCGCCGGACCCTCGACGGCCCCGAGGCGCGTACCCGGACACAAAAGCCAGTACGTTAAGGTACGATTCAAGTGTAGCGTGGCGCGACAGACTGGCCGACGCCAAGGAGAAGATCGACCATAGCAAGCCCGTCGCCGATCCCGGTGCGAAGCTTTGGAGGTGTGGTCGCACATTCTCATTGCTGCCGGGGAAAAGGAAGCCAGGGGAGGCGCTTCCGACTGTGAGTTAGTACTGTTTACTCTTAGCTAGATGGGTCGTCGTGCGCATCGCTCGGCGTCATCGCGGCCATGGCCTCGCGGATGGCACTCACTTCGCGGGCTACGAGCGCGGCTCCAGCACATCGCAGCTTGCTCTCAAGCATCGTTACCAGCGGGTGTGCGCCGCCAAACACACGCCGCGCGGTCCGTTCCGCATCCTCGAGTGTCGTCACAGCCTCACGGAGATCGTCGAGCGTGGCGCCGTCGTCTTTGTAGAGCGCTACCGCATAAGCTTTCCTCATCCTGAGCGTGACTTCATTCCTCTCGCCGAAAATGCGTCGCGCCACGGGCATCGTTCGGCGCAGCAGTGATTTGGCTTCTTTCAAGCGCCGTAAATTGACGAGGGATCCTGCGTAGTTGTAGGCTGCTTGGAGGGTAAGTGGATACTCCTCGCCGTTTAACTTTAGACGTCCGGAGTATACGTCTCGCTCTATGCTTAGGGCCTTTTCCATATTTCCAAGCTCTCCATACGTGACCGCAAGATTGCTCTGCGCAACGAGCACGTTTTCTTCCGATGCGCCAAGGCGCTGCTTCATGGACAAAATAGCCTCTTCCACGGACAACGCGTCCTCGTGGTGGTCTGCACTGGATAGGCCGCTACCAAGCAGCGCCATCGCAGCTCCCGGAATCCAGTCCGCCTCCGGCCGCCCCAGGTACGTCTTCCAGCACGCCCACCCGAGCGCGCACAATACGACGCCGTGGTATTGTTGCTCGCACAGGCTACACGTGTGCCACCGCTGGAACCTCTCATCAAACGCCTTGTCGCCCAAATTGTTCTCCTCGGCTTCCGCGACCAAAATCTTCGCCTGCTCCGCCAAGCACGACACGTGCACAAAACCAGACGTCCCGCGGCACGCGCACCCGCGCACGAGGCCCTCCTTCGTCTTCCAATGGAAGGCCTGCGTGCAGATGAAGCACGTCTGGCCCTTCGTGTCGTCAGCGCACGCCTCCGCCGCGACCGCGACGGCCTCTGTGTACTTGTTATTTGCGTTGTATTGCTCGGCGCCGCCTGCCTTTTTTATTGGTTTGCAGAGCGTGTCGTGGCCGCCCTCTTTCCAATGCTGCACCTGGCATTCAGGCCCACAATAGCGCGTGCTGCAGCGGCCGCATTTCTTGCCCAGTGATAAGCCAAGCTCGGTGGCGCAGACGGCGCATTTTGTGAGGATCATCCAGCAAGTTGGGCAGCCCGACAGCGTCGTAGCCTCCCGTTTTTACGCTGGCCGAAACAACAAGCTAGAGGCGTAAAGACACTAGCAAGCCAGGCAGGCAGCCAACATCGGGCGCTAGACGCAACGAGGGAAAGTGCGGGACGCCGCGAGTGTTGTACAGCATCAGCACATCCAGTTCGTGTCGAAATTTGGACCAATGCAGGCCGACTCAGCCCCAGCAACGCGCTGCTCCATATCGGTGCGCCAGGGCGGCAAACGCGTCGCATTGATGGAGTTGGACCCTTCGACGACGCTGCGCGAATGTTTGCAGCAACTACCAGCGACCGTCGACGCGCCGGCGCTCGTCGACGACGCGTGGCGCGGACCCCTCCCCAGAGACGGCTCGACGTGCGGCGCCGCGGTGCCCCTCCGGCCGGACCAAATCAATGAGACGCTCCAGGCGCTCGGCTGGTTCCCGTCGGGCGTCCTCGAGCTCGGGGACACCGCCCCAGCGGCGAGGCCGACATCATCCGCTGCGACGGCGCCGCCGTCGGCCCTCTTCGCCGCCGTGGCCTCGAGACACGACGCCGCCGACGCCTTGACCGGCAACGGTATCAGCGGTAAAATACGAACGAGCCAGGCCGACGCCGCCGAGGACGCCAGGCGCGACGCCGCCGCGGCGCGCATCGACGCGCAGCGCGCCACGGCGGCGACGAAGCGCGACGCGAAGACGGCTTCATTAGTATGGCAGATGATGGCCAAGCGCCACGCCTGTGGTAGGTCGACGCTGCGCGAGGAGGACCGCGTCTACCTCGTGCTCGAGCGGCCAAGCCGCGCGGCGCGCTACTGCTTCTTCTCGGCGCAGGACACGTGGGGGCGCGCGCGCGACGCCCTCGGCGGCGCCGGGGCCCTCGCGCGGAGCGACGGCGCGACGGCGTCGGCGAACGACACGCTCGGCGCGCTGCGCGCGCGCGGCTGGCTGGGGAACTTCGCGGTCGTGCGCTTCGTCGACGCGCCCGGGCCTGCGTCCTCGACCACCGCGCCGGCCGCGCCGCCAGCGGCCGCGCCCCCGTCGCCAGGCGCCGCCGGTACGCCCGCCGACGCGACCCCGGCGCCGCCCGCGCCGCCCGCCGACGCCTACGTCGTGAGCTTCGTGAGGCTCCGGCGTCCCGGCGCCTTCTCTACTGCCGCGCATCGTCCACGGCGCTGGGCTCACCTCGGAGCTTACGAGGTCGACGCTGCAGTCTGCTCGATGGCGTGGCCGTCCGCCTCCACGCCATCGACGCGACGCCTCACCGGTCGCTTCGCGCGCAGGAGGGCAAGGAGCACCGCATCGCCGGCGTGACGACGGTCGGCGAATTGAGAGATGAGGCAGCGAAAGCCTGCGGCCTCGCGACGTGCCGCCTCGTGTACAAGGGCGACCTCACGAGGGACCCCTCCCAGAAACTGGAAGCGACGAAGCTGCGGCCGGGCGCGAAATGCCTGGTCATGCGCGCTAGGAGATAACATACACTTACATGGCCTTCACCTTCGTGGCCTCGCTGTCCAGTTCTAACGAGAAGGGGATCTTCTGCCCCCCGTTCGACGCACCGGGCAGCTGCACGGCGACGTTGAGCGTGACGGCGTTCTTCGTCGCATCAAAAGGTGCGGAGGTCACCTCGGCGTTGTCCTTTTTGAGCTTTTTTATGAGGCAGTCGTCCGGAGAGGTGGCGGTGAGCTTAATTTCGTCATCCGCAAAGGTGTAGGGCTCGTCCTGGCACGAAATGCCGAGAGCTCCAAAAAGCTGGATGTCGAGGTGCGTCGAGTTCTTCACGGTCAGCTCGGCGCCGATCTTCTGCCCTAAGAACTTGTCTTGGCCTTTGTAGGCGCCTTTCGGGTACGGTGTTTGAGCGGCGGCCAGCGCCGCGGTGACGGTTATCGCGCGCAGCATTTTTTGGCTTCTCCCTCTGAGATGCTCTCTTTTGGGTATTGCTGGCTGCGCGTTTCTGGCGCTTTTCTGGGAGGCGCTCTGGTGACGTGTGATGGGCACGTATGCGCTGTCGATATCTGGGCCTCGCGCACGGTAGCGAAGCGTGGACGGCCAAAAAAAAGGCTGAGACCGGGCAGAGGTGCGCGAAACCCGCGCGCATCTGCCGAGCTCAGCCGTCCGTTCAGCTGTCATATTATGAGTCTCTGGAGGACGGATTGCTCGGCGATGGCTGCGTTCCACGCAATGTGTCTAGACCGCCAGCTCCTTGTGGCTAGACCACTGGGTCTCATAGAGCTGCTGCCGTAGCGCGTCGCGGAGGCGCCCCGCAACGTATAACAACGCTCGACAGCGCCGCGCTGCGGTTTCACAACACAACTACGCAATCGCCCGCGCCCCCGCCCGGGCAAAAACAATTGTTGTCCGACAGTGTCAGTGAGGAAGCTTTTTTGACACAGCGCGCGGCTGAATCATCAAGCGCCCTTCATCAAAAAAGCACCGCACGCCATCGCTGAGCAAGACAAGGAAAAAAATGGAACAACCAGATCAGCAGCCGCCAGCACCGCCGCCGCCGCCGGGCGCCCGCCAAAAACGGGGCCCCAGCCGGGCGACGTCGGCACCATCACAACCGCAAGCGCCCCACCCCGAGACGACGGTGCTGTGGACCGACGCCGGCGCGGCAAGAGCCTCACCCCAACCGACGACGATAACGAGCCAACAACTACCTCCAACTCTACAAGCAAAAGTAGAGCGCTCCGACACGTTGGCCTCGCAAAAGACGCGGCCCGTCTCGCACATCGCGGCGGCGGCCGCCTCCCTACCGAAAAGACCTAGAATAGCCTCCCAATACGGGTCTGGTTCGGGCGGCGGGCCTCGAAGAGGCAGAACCTTCCCCGTGAGAACGTTAGCCGAGTGCCTCGCCTCCGACAACTTTAGTATCCTCGAAAAGTGGACTTTGGAACATGCCTCAAAACCCTACCCAACCTCACAAGAAAAGCAAAAGCTCGCTGAGCGCTGCGGATTAGAACTTAATAGTGTACACACGTGGTTCCGGAACATGCGGAAACGAAAGTTTTTTCATTTGGAACGAGGCTCGCGGCCCCCCGCCGACGCCTTCGAGACGCAACTCCTCGCGTTCATGAAAGCGGAAGGACTCAAACCGCCCGAGGTGAAGGTCGTCACGCCGACGGCTCCAGAACCGAAGGAGCCGGCGCCGGTGGTACGCCCTCCATCGTTGAAGGGGACGCGCTACTCGCCGGCGGACATCCATCCGCCCCGACCGCTCGCGCCGGGCGAGCGCCGGGTGGTCGTCGAGCCGGGCGTCGGCGGGTCGTTTGGGGTCTTGCTGGATCGGGGCGAAGGGTGTGCGATCGTGGCGGGCTTCGCGTCCGACGAGGTTGCAGAAAAAACATCCCTGAAGGTGGGCGAGGTCGTCGTCGCGGCCGATCGTCGTAGGTTGGCGGGCGCGGCGTGGGACGACATCGTCGCCCGTATTAGATGTTGCGGGCGGGCGGGCGAGCCGCTGGAATTGGTGGTTCGTAAACCGAACCGCGGGCTCGACGCGGTCTTGGACGCGATCGAGGCCGTGGGGCATTAAGTGTGTGTTTCCTGAGTCCCGTTCGTAGGCGCGGATTTCCAGGGGCTTCCGTGTTGTGTGTGGCCTCGTCGGCGGCGTCCCCTCGCCGAGAGTCGCTCCGCCCACGCTGGCCCCGCGCGTCGCGTCGTCGGCGCGGGCCGCGGTTTTTGGCTCTGGAGCTCTCCTGGTCGCATCGAGGGCGTCTGCCGGCGGCGAGGGAGTGCTTGCCCGGCGCGTCGACCGGCACGGCGGGCTCGACCGAGTTTGGATCGAGTCGCGGCTGCCATCTCCCGTGCCGTACGCGAGCCCAGCTGTTAGGTGCAAATTCCTTGCTTGCATCGCGTTGCTGGTTACAAATTGACAAGCGTTTGCTGCTAATCCGCCCGCGCGGCCGCTCCTTGCAGCCATGAAGCTTGCAGCTCTCCTACTCGCTGCCTCTGCGGCCGCATTCATGCCGTCGTTGCACCCGCGGCGCATCAGCGTCGAGCTGGGCGCCAAGCGCCGGCTGAAGAAGGCCCTCAGCGACGCCAAGAAGCCGAAGCGCGCGTCCAAAAAGGCGTCGGCGGCGCCGGTGCGCTCGCTCGACGAGGAGATCGCCAAGCGCGAGCGGCCGAAGGGCGTCGCCGTCGGCGACTATCTGGAATCGCTGCGGGCGGCGGACCCCGCGCCAAAGGCCGCGGACGCTGCCGCGCTGTTCAACGAGGCCGAAGCCGCTGCGTCCGAAGCCAGCGACCTCAGCAAGCAGGCCGCGGCACTCGCCGACGATTCGGCCGCCAAAGCCGCGGCGGAGGTGGCCGAGGCGGCCGAGCGCGAGGCGGCGGCGGCGGCAGCCGAGACCGCGGCCAAGAAGGCTGCCGCCGAGGCCGCGGCGCGGGAAAAGGAAGCTCTGGAGCGCGAGAAGGCCGCCGCGGCGCAGCGCGCGAAGGAGGAGCAGGAGGCGCGCGACGCCGAGGCCGCGCGCCTCGCCGCGAAGGCCGAAGCCGAGGCCCAAGCGAAGGCCGAAGAGGAAGCACGCGTCGCCGCCGAGAAGAAGGCGGAGGAGGAACGGCTCGCCGAGGAAGCTCGCATGGCTGAGGAGGCGCGCCTGGCCGAAGAGGCCCGCAAGGCTGAGGAAGCTAGGATCGCGGAAGAAAAACGCATCGAGGAAGAGCGGATCGCTGCTGAGAAAGCCGCCGAAGAGGCGCGCCTGAAGGCTGAGGCCGAGGCGAAGGCCAAGGCCGAGGAGGAGGCCCGCATCGCCGAGGAGAAGCGGAAGGCCGAGGAAGCTAGGATCGCGGAAGAAAAGCGCCTGGCCGAAGAGAAGCGCCTCGCCGAGGAGGCGGCGGCGCGCGGCGACTTGGTGTTGGCCGCGGCGGACGCGGCGGCGAGCTGGCCGCCGGCCGCGGCCATCGGGCCTTTGCAAGATGCGCTCGCCAAGGCGGCATCATTAGGCATCACGGACGGTAATGATGTGGACGCCGCGAAGGACGCGATCGCGGCGGCCGAGCGCATCGCGGCCCTCGCCGCTGAAGGTGCTGAGGTCCAGCCGAAACGCAAAGCGGCGGCCAAGGCCGCGCAGGACTGGCAGGTCGCGCGCAAGGTCGAGGGCCTCCGCGCGGAGGGCGAGAAAGTTATATCGAGGCGGGCCGAAGGTGCTCAAAAACTGCAAGCATACGTGAAGGAGACGCGGGCGGCGGCCATCGTCGGCGACTGGGCCGACGCCGACGGCATGCTTTGTAGATTGAAAGCAGACGGCACGGTCCTCGTGCCGCCGTCGCGTGGTTCTGGAGGCACCTGGAAGGTCGTCGACGAGGACGGCTTCTCGACGTCGATCGAGCTCACGCTCGCGCTGGCCCAGACGACGCGCAACGGCGTGCCCGCCGGCAACCGCGAGCACACGCTCCGGGGGAGCGTCGCGTCCGGCACGATGACTGGCACGGTCGAGACGACGATGTTCGGCTCCGTGGCACGGGGGGACCTCGAGCTGACGAAGATGTGAACTTCACGGGCCTGGGGCTAATCTTCTGTGTTGCTAGTGACGCATGGGGCGCGCGCGACGAACGCAACGTCGCACCTCCGTTCCCTGTTGCACGGAGCCGGTCGTAGACCGAGCTCAGGTGCCCGCCGTGAGTACAATCGGTCCCCTACGTGCGCCCGGGTCTACTGCGGCGACGACCGTCCCGCGCCCGCGGCTCCTCCACTCGCCCAAGCCGGACATACCCAATCCTAAACGTCCCCACCGCTCGCGAACAGGTCGCACGGCCCAACCCGCGCGCACGGGATGTCTTACCTCACACAGCAAAGCTTTGGATCCCCGCTTTTTGATCCTCCATTACGCAGAGGGCTCACTGTGATTTGTGCAATTTGCACCGCGAACGGCTTCATCGGTCGCCGAAGCTCACGCACGCCCGCGGGGATCGCTGCACGACTCAGGCACAGCGATTAGGAAGCAGCAGCCATGAAGCTTGCAATTATCCTTGCGCTTGCGGCAAGCACGAATGCGTTCCTCGCACCCTTGCACCCGCAACGAGTGAACGTCGAGCTCGCCGCCAAGAAGAAGAAGAAGAAGCAGGTCATGAGCCCGAGCGGCGACGGCGTCCAGGCGACGGTTCTAATTGAGAAGGCTGACGCCGCCGCCGCCGACGCGATTGACCTCAGCAAGCAGGCCGCGGCGCTCGCCGACGACAGCGCGGCCAAGGCCGCTGCAAAGGCCGCAGAGGAGGCCGAGGCGGAAGCCGCCAAGGCCGCCGCCGAGACCGCGGCCAAGAAGGCTGCGGCCGACGCCGCGGCGGCCGCCGAGCGCGAGAAGGAGGCCCAAGCGGCCGCCGCCGCCCAGAAAGCGAAGGAGGAGGAGGCGGCGCGCGAGGCCGAGTCCGCGCGGCTCGCCGCGAAGGCCAAGGCCGAGGCCGAGGCCAAAGCTAAAGCAGAGGAAGAGGCCCGCATCGCTGCCGAGAAGGAGGCTGCACGCATCGCTGCCGAGAAGAAGGCCGCCGAGGAGGCCGCGGCGCGCGGCGACTTGGTCTTGGCGGCCGCAGAGGCCGCGGCGAGCTGGCCGCCGGACGCGGCCATCGGGCCTTTGCAAGATGCGCTCGCCAAGGCGGCGGCGCTCGGCATCACGGACGGCAACGATGTTGATGCGGCCAAGGACGCGATCGCGGCGGCCGAGCGCATCGCGGCCCTCGCGGCCGAGGGCGAGGGCGTCCAGCCCCGGAGAAAAGCCGCGGCGAAGGCCGCGGAGGAGTGGCAGGTCGCGCGCAAGGTCGAATCTTTAAGGGAAGAGGGCGAGAAGGTCATTTCCCAGAGAGCTGAGGGAGCGCAGAAGCTCCAGGCCTACGTGAAGGAGACGCGGGCGTCGTCGATTGTGGGCGACTGGGCCGACGCCGATGGCATGCTCTGCCGACTCAAGGCCGACGGCACGGTGCTCGTGCCGCCCAGTCGCGGGTCGGGCGGCGCCTGGAAATTGACAAACGAGGACGGCTTCGGCGCCTCCGTCGAAATTACATTAGCGCTCGCCCAGACGACGCGCAACGGCGTGCCCGCGGGCAACCGCGAGCACACCCTGAAGGGGAGCATCTCGGGGAGCAAGATGACCGGCGCCGTCGAGACGCTCATGTTCGGGTCCGTCGCGTCGGGGGATTTGGATTTGACGAAGATGTGACCATCTTCCTTGACTTTAACATTTATGAACCTTGCCTAGTCCCTCATACGCCGCCGCCCCGACGCCATCGCCGCGGCAGCGTCGTCCTCTTCGGAGGAGCCCCTCTGGACGAGCCAAGTTAGAAAGGAGTCTTACACGAGGATGAAACGAAACGGGGGGAGGGGGCTTGACAAAATCACGGCGACTTGAGCTGCTGGCGCGGGCCCGGCTCCTTCAAAAACTTCGCGAGCGCGCCCTCGGAGACATCAGAAGTGTTCGCGAGGTAGTAGGCGCCGTCGTCGTCCAAATCGAGCAACACTAATGTCGCCTCGCCCTTCGGCGGCTTGATGTCACACAATCGGACCACCTGCTCGGCGATGCCCTCGTCGGCCGTCGCGTAGAAAAATAATGTATCAGACTTCTCCTGCTTCGTCGCGAGCGCCTTCAGGCCTTCCACGTTCTTGTCCTCCATATTGTGCACGAAGACGCACAGCGCCTTCTCGTCGTTAATTGACGACCCTTTGCACTCGGCCGTTTTTGTTAGATCAGCGTAGGGCTTGGGCGCCCACGACCGCGGGAAGTCCTCTACGCAATTCTCCATGACGAAAGATCTACCGGACGTCGTGATTGTGTTTCTCCCATTGGCTTCGGAATCCAATAACACCAAAGAGGGAATGCCGTTGACGCCGAAGGCCTTCGAGAGCTTCTCCTTCTGGTCCCGGGCATCATACGGTAGAGCTAACCAGTGCTCGCCCATGGACTGGTAGTACGACGCCCAGGCCTTGCTATCTTTGTCGCTCGAGACGAAGGCGATGGAGGCCTGTGTGATGATGCGTGAGTTTACGTCGCGGCGGCGGCGGCGCGCGGCGCGCGGGTGTACAGGCTGCAACATAAAAATTTTCGGCGTCTCCGCGTGAAAATCTTCGAGTTTGCTGTGAGCAGCCTTGGCGTCGTGTTTCGGACACTGCTACGATACGTCTGGATACTTCTTCTCGAGCTCCGAAAAGAACTCCACTAATTTAGGAGTGAAGCCGCGGCAGGGCGGGCACCAGTGCGCCGAGAAGTATAATAGTAAAGGCCCCGGCCGCTCCGACAACGACACTTCTTCGCCCTCCTTGTCGACGAAGGGCGGCAGCGCAGAGAGAATCTCTGCGACGGAGGGCGGCTTCCAGGGGAACGCCTCCGGTTCGGACGAGACGCCGTCGCGGCCATCTAACGTGATGGTCTCGCCCGTCTTCCCGTCGAGAATCACCAGTGTAGGAATGCCCCTGACCTTAAACTTCTTCGAGAGCGCATTTTTGGTCGCTCTGTCTTTAAAGGGCAGCGCCGCCCAGGCGGCCTGCTCGTCGTAGTACTCCTTGAACTGCGACGCGTCGCGGTCGCTCGACACGAAAATAATTTCAAAGTTCTTGGAGTCCTTGATCTGGTCGTAGAACTTGCCGAGCGCCGGTGTGAAGCCGCGGCAGGGCGGGCACCAGTGGGCGCTGAAATATAAACCGATCACCTCCTTGCCGGCTAATACTTCATTGGTGGGCTTCTGGCCCGTCTTCGTCTCGAGCGTGTTGCCGAGTAAGGTGCAGAAGTCGTGGAACCCGGACATGGTAATGTGTTTTTTGTTGGTGCTGTGTTTTTTGTTGCTGTGTGCGCTTGATCTGTGGTTTTTGCTGGCGCGTTGTTTTAAGCACTACTGTGTGGTGCTCTGCGCGTGTTGGTGGTGCTTGGCGTGCGTTTGCGTTTGCGTAATGTGCCTGAGATGTCTGGTCGAGCTCGGAGAGTTGCCACGGGTTTTTTCAGTAACAATCTTTGTTTCACCGGGCGGTTTCCGTAACTTGGGCTCGTCTGGGGCCCACCACCACTCTCGGGGCGACCCCAGGGCTCCGTCCGAGTGCGCCTGCCGCGCGTGTCGGGTGTTGCGTCGACGACGCGGGCGCCGCGCGAGAACCGAGGTCGCCGGGCGAGTAGCTTCCGGGCGCAGAGCCCTGGGCCGCGAGTCGGATTGTGTTCTGAGCCAGCGGCCGTAAGACGATTCGAGAGCCAGTCCCACCTAGGTAGCCCCTCTAGCCCCCTTCACAAAAGCAGCGTTGCTCTCAGAGCAACTGGGCCACGCGACGCTGCCCCCAGCGACGGTGGGCCGCGGCGCTCTATCCCCAAAGACTGCGCCGAAGGGCAGCAAAACGGTGGGCGCAGCCTTCGCCGAGCAACCACAGCTCGGCACAAGTGAAAAGCCATGTCCGCGGCGCGCCAGTCGCGCCCGCGCAAGGCGAGCGCGCGCGCACGCGAGGCGGCGGCGGACGCCGTCGACGAGTCGGACTCTGACTCGGGGTCGGACTCCGAGCCGGACGATGTTGATGGAGACGACGCCTGGGCCCAGTGCGACGCCTGCCAGAAGTGGCGCCTGCTCCCGAAGGACCACGTCGTCGACGAGGGCGCGGACTGGACCTGTTCCCTCGTGGGACGGAGCTGCGACGAGCGCGCCGACGACGCCGTCGAGGAGCCCGCGGGCACGGTGACGCCCCCGCTGTCCGTCGAGCCGGTATCACTGAAGGACCTCGATACGACACCGCAGCGAAAAAAAGCCCGGGCCCTCGCGGCCGACCCGGCGGCGATCCGCGAGGCCTATGCTCGGGAGAGGCAGGACGCCGGCTCCGAGCGAAAAAAATCTGAGCAGAAGGGCTGCGGTGGCACCCTTCCCGAGGACCTCAACACGCTCCTCGAGCCGCTCGAAGACGGCAGCAAGCGCTTCGGGCTCGCGTGTTGTGTGGCACGAGGCGTAATTAAGTACGGCTCGTTGAGATGTATGACTGAAGAAAGACTCGGCGACTACGTCAGCCGCGGGAAGGAAGTCTATGAAGATTTGGGGCCCAAATCAAAGCAACACGTAGACTTTATTGAACGGCTGGCGGCAGAAATGAAAGTCAAGAATCTTAGTCGATATTTCTACAGCTCACAGTGCCACAGTCATCTCGGCAATGTGGGGTCGTTACTCCAGAAGGTAGAGAAAAAACTGAGCAGCGCCGCGCCCGGGGCGGCGCAGACGCCGGGGCGCGCCCGTGGCGCCAAGAAGCGCGGGGCGGGGCCGGCTCGGGTCTCGTCGGACGACGACGACCCGCCCGCGGATTTGAGCGACGAAGCGCCGGCGCCGCCCGACGAAGACGACTCGCCGCCGCCGCCGCCGGCCGCCACGCCCAAGAAGCGGCAGCGCCGGGACGCGGGGTAGTAACGCGAGAAGAATCTATTTTTTTACCACTACTACGACCGGCCCCACGTAGCATCTAGGAGAAGATCTTGCCCAGGTTGCCGAAGGCGGGTTCGTGCGTCATGAGCCCCGCGCCGATCTGGCCCATGACGGCCCACATCGCGAGGCGGCCGTGCTTGATCTCCTTGAGCGCGAGCTCCTCCGTGATCTCGAACTGCAGGGGGTTCAGGCCGAAGTCGCCCGGCGCCCTCTCTCCCGTAGAGCGCCCCATCGTCGTCGCCACGCCCGAAATGAGCTCGATGGCGGTGATGAAGACGATGCCCGCGCAGATCGCGTTCGGGTGCTCCTCCCACGCGTCCCAGAAGACGTCCATCTGGCTTCGCCCGTCGGCCTCGGGCCAGCCCGGGAGGGGGCCGAAGGCCTCGACCCAGATGACGCCCGTCGCCGCGAGCATCGCGACGCGGCCGTGCTTGAGCTCGGCCTCTCTGAGCCAGTAGAGGTCGACGCCGAGGTCGTCGATCTCGGACAGGCCGAGGGGGTCGAAGCCCACGTCGCCGGCCATGGACCCGTCCAGGTTCTTCGGCTGCTCGAGGAACGGCATGGACAGCGAGTTCGCGTTGGCCGCGACGGTCTGTGTGACGCGGGGGGTGAGGGCCGCGCGCGTCTCTCTTCTCTCTCTCGTGCCTCTCGTGTGTGGGTGCGTGCGTGTCCGCCGTCGCGGCTGCGCGGCGGCGCGCGCAGCCCTTCCGGCGCCCGACGTCGGAGAACAGCTGCCGCCCCCACAGGGCTGCGAGCCGCGCTCCGCGCCAGCGCGAGCGCTCCGGACTGATGGCTGGCATCCGTGTGACGGCCGCAGCGCCTCGCGTCCGCCGCATGGGTCCGCGCGCGCCCGCCCGCAGGCCAAGATCGAGCAGAGGGAGTTCTCAGCGTCTACGCCATGAAATTCGACACAGTTGCAGCTACCGCCCGTTTTTGCCCTATCGGCGCCACGTAGGCCCCGACAACCGGCAACAAAGCCAGAGCAGCCCGCATTTTGGCCTTTTGCCTTGGCTCCTTACAGGTATCAGACAGCCCTAGTGGGCTTAACTAGCGCAATTTAGCCGTCCGCGCGTGATGGATGAATAGGGAGGGCGTAGCAGGCTCGGACGCCTCGACGCGGCGCCTTTTCGCATGCGCGGATCTGCTCGGTCGAAGTGAGAGTGCTCGATCTTGCTCCTCCGCGGCGGCCCGCCGTGCTCATCTGCTCGTCGTAGGCCGTCGGAGCCATCGCAGCCATGCGGTCACTCGCCACCGCGCTCGTGGTGGCGCTGGCCAGCGGCCTGGCGCCGCAAACCAAGCCCAGTGCTGCCAAGGTGCAGCAAAAGGCGCGCAGCTGCGTCGATTTGACTCAAATTGCAAGCCGCGCGGCGCCATCGACGCGACGCCGTGCCCGTCACCGCATCTGCGCGCTGGCGTGGGCTTCCACGCCATAGACGCGACGTCGCCTCCGTAACGCAAAACACACAGGCCCTCAGCAAGCAGCTCGGCACGCTCGCGGCCGGCGTCGCGCTCGCCGGCGTCGCCGCCGCGCCGGCCGCCGTCTTCGCCGAGGACGCCGTCGCCGAGGCGCCCGCCGCCGCCAAAGCCGCGGGCCCGGCCGCCGGCCGCACGGAGTTCCAGCGCCAGCTCTCCGCGCTGCGCGAGACGAAGCCCGCGGCCGCGAAGCCCATCGTGCGCGAGGCGCCGGCTGCGGCGCCGGCGCCGACGAAGGCCGCGCCCAAGGCCGCTCCGAAGGCCGCGAAGCCCGCGAAGAAGGAGGCTCCGGCCGTGGCGGACGGCGCGCCGCGCGCCGCCGACGTGTCCTTCGACAAGCCCGCTCAAGCGAAGCGCGAGGGCAAGGTCATCAAGAAGGCGCCGGCCAAGCCCAAGTCGGAACGCGACGCCGACGCCGCGAAAGCCAAGGAGGCGGCCCGCGTCGCCGCGCGCGAGAAGGCCGCGGCCGCGGCCGCCGCGCAGGAGGCGAAGGCGGCGGCGAAGGCCGCCGAGGCGGCCCAGGCGCGCGCGGCGCGCGCCGCCGCGAAGGCCGCGGCGCCTGCTGCGCCTGCGCCGGCGCCCGCCAAGGGCAAGGTCGTTATCCGTGTGTCCTTTGTCCCCTTCCCCGCGCCATCGACGCGACACATGAATCACCGGTCGACTCCCTGCCCAGGCGAAGGCCGCGCCGGCGCCGGCTCCTGCGCCCGCCAAGGGCAAGGTCGTTCTCCGTGTCCGTTGTCCCCTTCAGTGCATCGATGGCGTGACACATGACTCACCGGTCGACTCTCTGCGCAGGCGAAGGCCGCGCCGGCGCCGGCCAAGGCGCCCGCCAAGGCCGCGCCCGCGCCCGCGGCCAAGGCGTCGAAGGCGCCCGCCGATAAGGCGAAGACCGCCGCCGCCGCGACGGCGAAGGGCAAGAAGGAGCTCGGGCTGCTCCTGCCGGAAGAAGTGGCTAGAGAAAAAACCCTCGACCAGATCGCCGAGACGCGCGAAAAGAAGAAGGAGGCCCGGGCCTTGCGAGGCATGGCGGGCAACACGAAGAACGAGGTGAAGAAGTACAAGGCGCAAGAGAAGGCCCTCGACAAGAAGCTCGCGGCACTCGCGAAGTCGAAGCGCCAGCAGGACGCGCGGGTCGCGCGCGCGAAGGGCCGCGCGGCCAAGGCGAAGCAGCGCGCGGCCAAGGTCGAGAAGGTGGTGACCCCGCGTCCCTTCGTGACGCCATCGACGCGACGTCGTCCCGCCCGACGCAGGCCAAGCGCAACCGGGAAGCCAAGGTCGCGTCCCGCAAAAAGGCGGCCCAGGCGCGGGCCGACTCGAAGCGCCGGGCGTCGGAGCCTGTGTGGAAATCAGCCTCCACGCCATCGAGCAGACGCAGCTACGGAGACAACGTCGCGTCGATGGCGTGGGGCGCCCGAAATTTGATTTCCACGCAGGTCGGAGGCCAAGGCCGCGCAGGCCCAGCGCAAGAAGGAGAAGCGCATCGCCAACGAGGCCGCCAAGAAGCTCGCGCGCCAGAAGGCGCTCGACGCCAGGGCGGCGACGAAGAAGGTTCGCGCCGGCGTCCTTCCTTCGACGCCTTCGTGACCGTCCCGTTCGCAGGCTCAAATCGAGAAGAAGAAACGCAACGCCGCGGCCGCCAGCGCCGCGCGAAAGAAGGCCGCCGACGCGCGCAAGGAGGCCGCGCGCAAGCGGGCCGCGCGGCGCCGCCGCTAGACCTTTGCCCCCGGTGTCGCCGCGCCTGCGACACGTCGCCTACCTAAGAGTTTCGTTTGGAGGAGTTTATTGTCGCGTCGATGGCGTGCGTTGTGGCTCGGATGCGCTCGCGAGAGACGACTTGTCGAAAATCCGGCTAGCGTGATGTGAGACACTAGGAATCTCAGCTGCTTGACCTTGCGCATCCTCAGTACAGGCAACTGGCGGGCACGATCATCGCTTGCAACAAGCTGTAGTAGTAGTGTGACGTCGCCGCTGCTAACAGCTCCTAGCCGGAAGCCGCATCCGCGCGGCAACAAGCAACAAGCAGATCCACGCTCTCCGGTGCGACCATGATCGTCCGACGGACGCTGCTCCTCGCGAGCCTCACGACACTCGTGCAGAGCTACGTCGTGCCGCACTCGAGGATAACGCCCGTCAAGTACCGCGCCGCCACCGAGGAAGAGACGGCGCCGAAGCCCGACGAAATTGTGTTAGGAGCGCCCTTTGATGTGGCGGAGTACCCCATCAATACCGATGAGTTCGTCAACGCCTACAAGAAGTGGCAGGCGTCCAAGAACAACGAAATCAATGGCGACGACGCCAGGAGAGACATCCAGGCCTTCATGACGCAGGAAGACCTCATGGAGAAGTGGCGGCCCATCCTCCAGGCCGAGGCCGAGGAGGCGAACAAGATGACGTTGGTGGATTATGTCAACGCCTTCACGTCCGTCGCGTTGCCTTTGGCCGTCGGCTTCACGCTGCTGCCGCTCATCCGCAGATTGGGAGAGGGCAACGTTATTGGGGATGTCATCTTCCCGAAGATCGACCAGGCCGGTGACTTGCTGAAGGGCGGCGTGAAGAAGGCGATCGAATTGCCGATCTGCCTCGAGTTCGGGGACTGCTAGGGGCTGGGTAAGGGTCGCTCGTCGGTCTGTCGCGTCGACGGCGTCGGGGGGCCCGCGACGCGCCAATGTCCCAATCACAGCCGACGCGCCCGCGGTGCGCCCTCGTATACGTCGTTCGACGCGTGGACCTCTATGGCTTGGAGCTCAGGAGGCCTCTCGGGGAGGCCCGCGGCTCGTTTGAGCTTGGCAGGGAGCGCTCTGGCTGCTTGCGAGCGCGCAAGCTCGACGTGCGGCGGCTTAAAAAATAGCCCGCAGCGCCTGCGAGGCGCCGAGACCGACTACACTTATAATCTCGCCGCGCGCCGGATTCCGTGCCTGCGCGAACAGATCACAGCAGGTTCCCAGCCAAGCGTGTCTTTGCAGCCGCGCGGCGCGGGAGACCCGCCGCGCGCCCAAGAAACAAGCCATCCACGGTAAGCGTGACGCGGCGCCAAGAAATATGGCCCTCGGTAAGGAGAACAACGCCGGCGACGCGAAGGTCTGGAGCGTCGAGGACGACCTCGTCGTCTACGACCACCTGAAGAGTTACATGCCGGGACCGAAGCTCGCCAAGAGCCCGAAGGTCGCAGCGCTTGTAGCCAAGCTCTCGGCGTCTGCCGAGGAGATCGTCGCGCGCTACGGCGAGCTCGTGGACATCAGCGGTCCCGCGCGCCTCCGCCTCGACGAGGCCGTCAAAGCGAAGGCGCGCGCTCGCGAAGGCTTGGCGGTGCCCGCGAAGAAAGCGCCCCCGAAGGCCAAAAAGAGTGGCGGCGCCGCCAAGCCCGTGCAAGCAAAGAAGACGACGAGCGGCGCCGGCGCCAAGCCGAAGAAGAAGAAGGCGCGCGTCGCGACGCCGGCGCCGCCGCGGAGCGAGACCCCCCTGCTCGACATGATGCTCAACGGCCCGCCGGTCGGCTCGCAGGTCCTCGTGCGGTGGGAAGGCGCGCCCGGTCCCGAGCGGGACGGCTGCTGGCGGGCGGTCGTCTGCCAGGAGGACGGCAAGCTCTGGCTCGTGGGCGCCCAGTTCGACCCGACCTTCGGCGAGCCGATGCCGTTCGACCCGGTGCAGGACTCGTGGCGGATGGCGCCGAGCAACGTGGCGCCCCGCGCGACGCCGCGGCCGCGGCTGCCACCGCCGCCGCCACGGCCGACGCCCGCGCCCGCCGCGCGGCCGACGCCCGCCGTGCGGCCGACGCCGGCGCCCGCCCGCAAGCCGCGCGCGCGCTCCATTCGCGAATTGCAAAACGACATTACCGCGCCGCTATCGACAAGGGAGCGCGACGCCGTGGTCCGCGTCGTCGCGCAGCTCCGAGGCAAGAGCACATCGCTTAGGAAGATCCGCCGCGCGACCGAGGTCCTCCTGGACCGGTCGGAAGGCGCCCTCGACCACAAGAAGGCCGAGATCAAGGCCGTGTTCCGCGAGGAGGTCGCGCGCCTGGATCGCGAGGAGGCCGAGGAGTCGCGGAAGCGCCAGCGGCCGCCCGACGACGATGTGGTCGTGACGGGCTCTGTCAACGCCATCGAAGCGGTCGATAAGCGCATCGCCGACGCGGAGAAGGACGGCCGCGTCATCGAGATCGGCGACGAATCCCCCAAGAAGGCCGCCGCGGACGACGACGACGCGTTCTGGGCCGCCGCGGCCGAGGCTACCGCGCGGGCCGAGCGCGAGGTCGGGCCGCCCGCGCCTCCGGCGCCCGCGCCCGCGCCCGCGCCGATCCCGATCGCGCCGCCGCCGCAGCTCTGGCCGCCGGTCCCGGTCGCGCCACCACCGCAGCTCTGGCCGCCGGTCCCGGTCGCGCCGCCGCCGCAGCTCTGGGCACCAGTCCCGGTCGCGCCGCCACTCGCGCCGCCGCCGGCCGGCCGATCGTGCACGTGCGGGGTGCCGGCGGTACGCCGGACGGCACAGACGGACCGCAACTTCGGCCGCGTGTTCTACGCTTGCCGCTACGGCCGCGACGCGGGCTGTGGCTACTTCGACTGGGAGGACGGCGGCGGCGTAGGCGGCGTCGACATGCGCCGCGTGCAGTTGCTCGCGACCCTGCACGCGCGCGGGGCGTTGTCGGACGTCGACTACGCGCAGGCGATGGCGCTCGAGTTCCGGGCTCTGCGCTGAGCCTCTCCCCCGGCGCGCGTCGCCCAAGAGACGCGCGCGACCCCTGTGTACTAAGAATATTCTCTACGATTCACATGTACATTATTTACACTTGCCGCCGCAGACTCGAAAACGCCCCGCTCATCTCCGCCCGGCACGCGAGCGCCTCGAGATGCTCCAGCGCCAGCTCCACCTCCAAGTTGATCAAATCGTCTTCGACCGTGCCCTCGTCGTCCAGCGACGGCGCGCACGCTACCGAATTGTCTCGCGCGAGGACCTCTTCCACGGCCTCCCATGCGACTGCTGTATTCTCAGCCTCGGCTTCGCGAATCAACGCCTCCACGGCGGACCGCGCCTCGGGGCTCTCGGTTGGCCGCGTCAGCGGCGGAGCGAGGTCCGCCAGGGGTACTTCCGCGGCGCGCCTCGCCAGGACCGTGCGCGTGCTGAGCCGCCTTAATTCAGTCCGATGAAGCTTGAGATAGGCGATGTAGCGCCGACTCTGTCCCAATTTGTCGACGAGGCGCAGGAGCTCCGCGTTCGGTTTTGGTGCTTTGCACGGCATTCTAGCGGCGCGCGAGCGCACGTCCTCGAGCTCGGCCCAGGCTATACGCGCTGCCGCCTGATCCCCGGCCTCGGTCGCGGCGCGCGCTTCCGCGCAGAGTCTGGCGTCCTCCGCGGCGATGGCGTCTGTCGCTGCGATAGCGTCTGCGCCGGCCTGCTCCGCCGCGCCGCGTCCCGCGCCGCGTGCACTGCTCACAGCCAGCCTTTGTGCAGCAGGTCCCACCTGCCAGGCGCGGACGCCAAACGCTAGCATAAATAGACAGACCAGCCAGCGCATCATCATGAACTTGTCCTGAGGACGCGCGTCGCCGGTAGCGCACGACGGCGCCCCCGCGACTCTTGACCAGTCCTCACTAGGTGAGACACACTAGAACGCATCGAAATTTTTGTAGAAGCCACCGGACTTGCATACAAACGAGCTGACCTGCAGACAGGCGCAGGAAAAGGACTATTCGTATTGTCCTCCAGCGCAAAAGCAGCAGCGCTTGCAAAAAAACTGCGGTGTCAACAAAAAGCCGACGACAGCCGACCAGCCGCATCTCCGGCAGCCGATCTCCAGCTCCATCACACGCATCAAAAATGGGCGCCTGCTTCTCCGCCTACGACGAATATGAAGCGGACGCCAATAGAGGCAACGCCCTCGCGGCCATGCTCAAGGTCGAGGGCTTCGACGTGATCATCATCTGCTGCGGCACGTCCCATCAAGCGGCCTTCTGGCAAGCTAGACTAGAAAGGGGCCGCGGCGTCATCGTACCGAAAGACGCGACGGTACTATGCGTCCACGAAGATTGGCCGGGCGGCGCGGGTAATGGTCTAGGTACGCTCTATGCCTGGACCAAGGCCGCGAAGCTCGCCGAGGACAAGGGCGATTCACAACTAGCTTCCAAGTTAGCCTCTGGCAGTATCTCCGCAGCATTGTATCACACGGCCGGGAAAGGGACGCGACTGGCGCCCTTGCCGGGCGCGGAGAACAACAACAAGCCCGGCGTGAAATTACCTGCCACGGCGCCGCTGGGTGTCGACGGGGCCGTCGTGCCTTTGACGATTTTAGAAAGTGTGGTCAAGTCCACGGGCATCTACGCGTCGTCGCGGAAAGGCCGGTTAAGTGTCTTCTGGGGCGACCAGGTCTTCGTGCCGACGAAGTCCTACGACTACGACTCGAAGCGGGCGCACGCGGACATCTTATGCATGCTCGCGCCGATGCCGTCGGCCGCCGAGTGGGCCGCGAAGGGGCTGGAGAAGTACGGGTTGGTCGCGGTGGCCAAGAACGGTTTGATGCGGCGTCTTTGTGATCACACGAGAGTCCACGCGTCTCGCGAGAGAGCGGTTCGGCGCTGCGCCGACGCCGTCGACGCGAGAGAGCCACGATGACACCGTCAAACGCAGGCGCGGCGTGCCAGGTCGAGAAGGTCGACCACGCGACCGCTTTAGCGATGACGAAGACGCTCGGTTCCATCAAGCAGGTCGGCACGTCGCTAGGATCCTTCTCGCTGACCGCTTCACTACTATCGGCATTACTGAACGAGTTCGCAAATGAACTTGCGTCAAAGAAGGGCCAGCTCGACAGCGATCCCCACTGGTGGATGCCCATGACCCTGCCGTTAGATGCTTATGTCCAGTTGATGGGGCGGAAGGGCACGTCCGAGAAGGAGGCTTCGGCGCATTATGCTCGCATACAAAAACTCCTGAACAACTTTGATAAAAAAGGAGCACATTTGTTAGGCCCGGTAGATGTCGGCGGCGACGCCTACTGGTGGGACTACGGCCAATTGAAGTTGTACCTGAGGAACGCTTGTAGGTTAGTGGAGGACGGCAAAGAGGCCGATAGCATGAGGGAGTTCCTCGGCGTGACGCGAGGCGACAAGGGCGCTTGTGGGGAATCGTTCGGCATCGACGCGTATTCGACGGCCTCGTCGTGTCGCATTGTGGCTGGAGTGTCCAAACGAAGTGTCTTAGCGAATGTGGCGGCCAAGGAGATCGACGCCGAAGGTGCCGTGCTCGTGAATGTGACGGCCAAAAAAATAGTTGCTGGCGAGGGCGCCATCGCCTATAATGTGGTAGACGATAGCGACGAGTTGGTCCTTAAACCGGGAGAAGTGATTACGGACGTCTTCGGCGAGAACGGCTCCAAGCTGAGACAGCGGTCTACCTTAGACAACGATGGGGGCAAAAAGTGGAAGGAGATCATCTGCGGGAACAAGAAGACCTTCGAGGGCGTCTACAAGGACAATTTATCTACAAATGTTATCAAGGCCTCGGAGAAAGGGGAAGCGGCTCATGCCGCGCTCGCGCGGGCGGTGTCGTCGGCGTAGGTGACGTGGCCGTGGGGCGTAAGTGGGTATTTCTATCAACCTTGGGGGCGCGGACGACAGACCAGCCTACATAGCTCGCGGGTTTCACGTCGACAGCGTACGGCGCGGACGCGTACAGCGGACGGTACACACGGGTTTTTCAGGAATTTTGCACTTCCTCCCTCGGCGGCCAAGGCGCCGTCGATCAAGGAGATGAAGGCGACCATCAGGAAGGCAGGCTTCGGCGTCGCGGACCTCGTCGAGAAGTCGGACGTCGTCAAGCGCTACCAGGAGGCCCTCGCGCGACTAGGAAAGTAAACACAACAAAAGCAACTTACATCGAAAACGCCCGCGACTTGTCCGCCTTTCTTTCCGGAGACTCGTCGCCCGCGTTCCCGAGCCGCCGCGCGCGCACGGCCGACAGCCGCCCCTCTAATAAAGCCCGCCGGTCGTGCTCGAACTCGTCCCGCCGAAACTCCGCCGCGTAGTTCGGCAAATAGCGGCAGACGAGCTGCGACCGCCTGGAACAGACCCGCAGCAGTTCATCCAAACAAGCGTTGAATTCCGCCTCGACGACCGCCAGAGCGTGGACCGGCAGCCGGTTCTTGCGCTGCTCCGTGGCCAGGACTCGGGCGCGCACCGACGTGCGAGGAGACAGCTTCAGCAAGTAATCGCGGTGCGGCCGCGGCATCGTCCGCCGCGCGGCATCGCGCGACGGCTGCAGGTTGCCGATCTTCGGGACCGGTGCGCCGAGAAAACGCCACGCCGAGCTCAACAAAGCAGAATCAAAACCGTTGTACAACGCCGCCGCGAGGTCGCTGTCCGTGCCGCCCGCCGGCAGCAGGAAGTGCCGCAACCGCCGCATGACGACGCGCTCTCCCCGAGACGCCTCCCTATCGAAGTGGTGGGCTTCCGCCGTCGCTCGCAGCGCTTGCTTTAACGCGGTGAGGGCCTCTGATAAAGCGCGGGCGTCGTCCAGTCGCATCGCGTCGCGGCCGGCCTCGATGGCGTCGATGATCTGCGGCGTGGTTTTGTGGATGGCGTAGAGCGAAGCGTAGAGCGAGTCCTCCTCGGGGACCTGCGTGCGTTTTCGTGAGAAATTTGTGCGGGAGCTCGCGTCGCGTCGATGGCGTCAAGGTGGAGCAGCGTCACGCGCTCCGCGCCGTCGACGCGACGCGACAAAAGGACACGGGCGACAAACCGCCAAAAACCGGCACGACGGCGGCGGCGCGTCGTCAGAAAGGTCTCTATTACAAGAAACCAAATCCGTCAAACATAACACGCGCTTCGGCCGTCCTAACCGGCGCGACGCCGCCCCGAGGGCCTGATCCAAAGCGTTCGACAGCTTCGCGTCGCCTTCGACGGTTTTCTTCAAAGGCCCCCGGTTATGCGGCGCGGACGCCGCATCCCCGCGAGCGTACGCCGCGGCGACGAAGGCCAGACGGCTCCGCAATCTCTCTAAATCAGTTAATCGTAATGTCTCCACGAACCCGTCGTCGATCTGACTCAATGAATCACATTCCGCGTCGACGTAAGAACGGAACAGGCCGCGCGTCGCGCAGGAACAGGGGATCTCCCTCGCTAATCTAGCTACCACACTCAAAACCTCATTTGTAGACGACGACTCCTCAGAAGAGGGCAGAAAACCTCTCGCCGCATCGACGCGCCATAATAAGTCGTCGTCGTTCGTCACGAGCAAGCCTTCGCCCGCGTCGGCCGCGTCGCGGCCCGCCGCGAAGAAGGGGCACAACCCACCTGGTGATCTTCTCACGGACTTCGGGGTTGTCGGACCTTCCTTCAACACGGACACTCGAGCTGCTTCGGTGTCCGAGATATGTTCATGCAAGTAAGAGAAAGCTGCCGTACCACCCGTACCGACGGCGTCGTTCGTCCCGGCCGGCTCCAAGACGTACTTCCGCACCATCTGCATGTGCCTCCACCTAAAGTCTAATACCACGTCCACGCACCTATTATATTGCGCCGCCAGGGCTAATGCGGCAGACGCTGAACCGGACCAGTCGTCCACCACAGGAGGAGCTTGGTCCCGAGCAGCCAGGACGAAATCTCGACACGGCACTGTTTGTCTAATTTTCCTCAGGAACCGTCGGTGCGCGACCGGCATGGACTCGGAAAAGTCATCGAGTAGCGCTTGTAAAGTCCGATTCGAGTTGGACACGCCCAGAAACGCATCCAGCGCCGGCAGCAAGGTAGACATAGCACCACTGGGACCGGGTAATGAGACGGGCTCGTTGTCAAACTCGCCCTCGAAGATCACGGCATCAAGACCATTGATGAAGGGCCGCAGTCGCGCATAAAAAAAGTAGTAGTCGCACAACGCGCCGTGCTGGCCGTGGCGCTCGAACATGAGCGGGAGGCAGTCCCGGACGACATGTCCAAAGCAATCTTCGATCTTGCTGAGGACCTCGTGGCAGTCCTGGATCGCCTCCTGTGTCACAGTTCTCGACGTGACGTCGGCGCCTTCATTCAAGGCGGCTACGGCCGGTGCGGCCGCCGCCTCGATGACCAAATGGGTCTTGAAGAACCACTCCTCGTCGACGAGACCTGCGTGGACGAGGCTCTCGATCGTCGCAACCCTCCACGCCGTCGACGCGACGTCGGCTCGATGGCGTGGCGACGCGCGACACTCTCGCTGCCGCGGCGACGGCGTAGTTCTACGCCACCAGCACGCCATCGCCGCGTCGAAGGCACCGCAAAGTTTCAGTCTCGGACGCCGCGTTTCACCAGTAAAGCGCCGCAGCATCCGCGCGTTGTCCGTCGACACGGGCCCCTTTTCATCTAACAAGGCCCAATTATACAAGACGCAGCCCGAGTAGTCGAGCATCGGTCTCCGTCCTAATCGTCGAGACACGGCGCAGAAGCCTCGGGCCAAACACCGCGGCACTATTCTCTCAGAGGACTCCTTGACCAACGCGCAGCATATATACGAATAGAGCGCGTGGGCCACCTCGAGCTCGTCCTCGTCGTGCTTTATTGATTTTATGGCGTCCGCCGCTGCTTCCAATTCAGCACTTCGTTGCTGGATCGTCCTCCCGATGGATTCTTCTAACGCCGCGGAGGGCACCTCGCGCCCCAGATCCCGCAACACACGCAGGGCCGGCGTCGAGGGCTCCTTTCGCGGCGCTCGGGCCGGCAAAAAACCTCTCGCGCCGACGTCCCACAAAGACGCGTCGTCGGCCTCCATCTCGAGGTAGGCCGACGCTCTTCGAGCCTTCGTGCGCGGCTTCGCGACCTCCGGTGGTGTTGTCGTGCCTGTTTTTGATCTTGCCGCTAGGACGGGGCACAAAGCTTCGGGGGGCGGCGGCGGCGGCGGCGGTTTCGGCGGTGCCGCCTTCCGGCGGCGTAGCAGGGCCACCACGAGGAGAGCTATTGACATGGCGAGGATCGATGCCGACGGCAGCAGGCCGTCAAATGACTCCAGCAGGGCGGAGGCCATGTTCACGCTAGCGGGGCGGCCGGCCGGCCGCAGCCGTCTGCTACGCGTCTGGCACAATAACAGCGAGTAGACAGCGGCTTGTACACCTTCACACGGCCCGTCTACAGCGCAACGCTATGTCGCCTCCGCTTTTTGCTTGCTAGTGTCTTACGGCCGCTAGCTCTAGCATATAATCGTGTTGTGAGCTATTGCTGGCAAGGACTCGACATCAATAGAGTCGAGACGTGACGGCGAGTTGGCGGCCTAGAGGCGAACAAGTCCGTGCGACGAATTCGAAAGCGATCTAAAGCGATCGTGGCCCACTCGCCCTGAGGTGACTCGCTCGAGATCGCCGTCGGATGCGACGCGCGCTCGTCTTCCTCCTCGGCGCCCTCGGCGCCCGCGACGCTCTCGGTCTAGTCGGACCGAAGCCGTGGGCCCGGGGCGCCGCCAGCTCTCGCGCGTCCGTCGTCGCCTCGACAGAGATGGTGCGGGCGCGACCCCCGAAGGGCCTCGGCATCCACTGGACGCCGACCCTGAGCGTCGGTCAGCTCTTGCATAAACTCCACAGTGTCGATGGCGTCCAGCAGTATAAGCCGAGACGCTCGTGCAAGTCGGGCGGCGGCCTGCAGACCGGCCACCTCGCGCAAGCCCTCTACGACGCCAACTGCAACATGCTCTCGTACTACGACGAGGACGACGCGATCTGGCTCCACCCGGAGGCGGAGAAGCTCAAGAAGGACGCGGTGTGGCGCGCGACGCACCGGCCTGCGCGGCGCGAGACCGGCGCCTACGCGATGATCGTGCCGGGCGAGCAGATACTCGGCGAGGTGCGCCAAATCTGGCGCCAGGAGGACGGCGTGCGGACGTCGCGCGTCGTCCTCATCAACGGCTCGGCCGTCCCGACGCTCCAGGCGACGGCGCGCGAAGACGTCAAGGAGTACCTCGCGAAGGTTCTCGACGATGCGCCGGCCGTCGCCGCGGCGGCCATGGATGACTACCTGGAGGAGGAGCTCCAGGCCCAGATTTCGCTCTGGGAGCAGAAGGCCATCGACGCGGCCGACGCGGCCGACGAGGTCGACGCCGAGGCCCTCCGCCAGGCGTTGCGGGACGTCTGCGTCGAGTGCGGGTGGCGGGCGCTCCACCCCGAAGACGAGATCCTCCCCGAGACCGAGGACAGGGAGGTGTCTTATTTGGGGTCGCCGCGGTGCGTCGCGCACGATCTCGTCATGGACTCGTTCTTCGGCCGGCTCGACACGGGCCCGCGCGACGAGCACGACGGGGACCTCACGGTGTACCGCGCGGCCATCAGCAAGGGCACCGCGGAGTACCCCGGCCCCAAGCTCTGGGAGGAGCTCGTCCTGCGGCGCGTCCCGAAGCTCCGCGAGCACATCGAGGGCACGGTGGACGAGGAGGAGCGCAAGGCCCACCTGCAGGTGCTCAAGAACCTCGTGAAGATGCTCGCCGTGGACCACATGTGGTCGTCCGCGCGCCCGCGCCGAACTATCACTCGGCCCGACTCACTGGTTGATTCGCACAGGTTTGTATGCGACCACCCGAAGAACTGCGCGAACGCGGCGTCGACTCGAGCCGGGCGCGTCGCGCGGCGCGCGCGACTCACTGGTCAACACGCAGGCTACCTCGAGTGGAGTGCGGTCAACCGTTTTGACCGGTGCCTATCCTGCGATTTACTCGAATTCACACCTCGTCCGCACGCAGGCTACTTCTCCGACGTCAACAACCAGGACGCGAAGCTGGCCCGCGACGGGGACTTCGCCAAGGCCGAGTCCATCGCGTTCATGGACGAGGCCATCGATGGCGAGCTCAAGCTCTTCTCGGTCACCGATCGCGAGTAGAGCGCGCGGGTAAGACTGTCTCCTTGAAAATTACCACTAATAGCTACACCAGGAGCGCCCGGAGCGTGCAAACTTGGCTCATCGGAATACGATGAACGAGGTCGCAGATCGCGCGCATGCGGCCTGTCGAGGCGCGAGAGGGTCGTCGCCGTAGGGCTCGCCTCGCGTTTGTGGACCCGCGGCCGAGGTGTTGGCGCGCGACGCGCCGCGCGTCAGATGTCCTCTCCGAAGGTTCCTGGTCGCGTGGCCTCGCGAAGCAGTGCTTTGGCGTGCTTCATAGTACGCGGCGCCGCGGAGGCGCGACCGCGCCATCAGGTCCGCGGTGGCCGCTCGCCTAGCAGTAAAGGTAGCCACGTCTCCGCCAGAGAGACTAATTGCGACACTCTGGCCAACATGTCCCCTCGAAGGAGGCCCTGAGCGCGGTCTGTCTGGAAGCACGGTGTCATAAAGGCACGGCCCACCGGAAGTCATGAGCGGCCTTTGGCACCCGCGGCGCCTATTTCTCGGAATCTCCTCGCGATGTGACGTCATCGTGAACCGCGTCTTGTCCATTAGGCGATGCGGTCGGCGCACGCCGCACGCGTCCCGCAACGTTGCTCACACGGCGTCGCCGCGCGCAGGCACCTACAGATGCCGGCGGCCACGAACGCGCAACAGTCATCGCAGCCCGTCGACCGGTTCCTGGCGATCTGCGCATTGATGCTGGACGTACGCAGCGATCTGTTGCCTCACCGCGCCACGCGTCCTGTCGTCTGTGATAGCTGCATCCTCACTCATGCTCGGCGTCGGGTGTATGCCCAGCGCGACGACGGCTTCTTCGTGCGCGCGACGCAGCGCTGCTGCTGTCTCGGTTGACATGTGACTCCTTGCACAAAATCGTTCTTGTTTGGCGCTCGCAAAGACGCACACGCACGCGACAGTGAGCCGCGACATGTGCTTGCTAGTGTCTTACAGCCGCTAGCCGAGCGTCTCTCCCTCACGAGTCGCCCGGGCCCAAGTGACAGTGACAATTATTCTTACCAGCCTATAAGACGCCCATCCGCTCCATGTTTCGCAATCTCACGGAAGCGGCGTGGACGGTCGAGCCCACGTGCTTGAACCGCGCGTGGCCCGTATAGCGCTTGATCTCCGCTTTCTCGCGGCGGCCCTTCCAACGATAATAAAGTTCGAAGGGGCGCAGGACGACGGCCTCAATGACGAGCTCGTGCTCGGAGAGGACCGTGTCCACCCTCCAGAGGCGCCGGAGCACGCTGTATTGCCAGGCGGTCAGCGCGTCCTCGAGCCCGTAGACCTTCTGAAGGATGTCGGGCCCCGGCCCTTTCGGGTCGAAGAAATCGCGCTCGATCTGCGCGACGCGCGCTTTCCCGTCCGTGTGCTTCGCCCGGGCGCCGTAGAAGATCGCCGCGAAACGATCGTCGACGTCGCCCATGCCGAGGAGCAGGTCCGGCGGGCACGGCACAGCTAGGTGCCACCGGCGATCCAAATCGACGCCCAGTCGGGAGCAGACCAGCCGGTGGCGCGCCTCGATAATCAGGAACTCCCGCTTCAGCCTCGCCGTGGGCTTGGTCTGCCACGCGCGGCGGCGGTGCAGCCGTTCCCAGTAATCGCGGTAACAGCGGCTGGACGGCGGCGGGTGGAGCGGCGCGGGCTCCTCCGGGTCGTCGTCGGAGCAGTCGCACTCGGTGCTGTCGCCGTCGGAGGCGTCCTCGTCCGACGGCGGCGGCGGCGGCGACGCGGCCTTTTTGCGGCGGCTGCGCTTTGAGCTCGACGGGCGGCCGCGCGACTCGCTCGATGCGCTCGGCGAGCGCGGCGGTATCGGCGATGGCGTCGGCGACCGCTGAACAGTAGCACCGCGGCCGCGGCCGCCGCGTGCGCGCGCGCCGCGCGGCGACGCGGCCGCCGGTGCCGGGGCAGCTGCCGCGGCGCCGCGCGCCTGCCGGCGGCGCCGCGCGCTGGCCGCAGCTTCCGGCGCGCCGGCGACGGCGCCATCGCCGCCGCGGCCGCGCGTCGGCGACGAGATGGGCATGGCGTCCGGGTCGTCCTCGCCGTCGCTGCCTTCACCAGACGGTTTGGGCTTCTTTGACTTCCTCCCCGCCTTCGCGGACGACGTAGGCTTTGCCGTCGGCCTCCGTCCCGGCGTCTTGTCTCGGGGCGGCGGCGGCGCTGCGCGCGCGCGCGGGCGCCGGGTCGGCTCGCGGCGGCCCCGCGCCGGCGGCGGCGCAGGAGCAGGCGCATGCGCGGCGTCGGCCGTGGCCGCGGCGCCGCGGCGCCGCGACGACGTGGCGGACGCCGGCGCGCGCGCGGGCGGCGCGCGCGGCGCGGGCGGCTCGCGGCGCCGCGGCGGCGGCCGCGGCGCGGGCGCGGGCTCGGGCACGGTGGCGGCGCCGAGACCTCGGCGTGCCGCGGCCTCGGCTTGTTGGGATCGGCAGCGGAAGCACGCGTAGTCCTCGGGGCACTCGGCGTCTTCCGCGCCGGCGGCACACACGGCGTGCTGCCACGTTTTGCACGTCGGACACTCCCACATGGCCTTGCCGTCGTCGTAGTTCGTGCCGGACACCCCGCACAAGCAATCGAAGCGCCACGTGGCGGCGCTTTCCGCGGGCATCGGCGCGCGCGCGGCGGGCGCGGCCGTCGGCAGCGGCGCGGTGCGGCGGCCCTGCATCGACGCGAGCGCCCCTTTGCCGGGCTGGTTCGGCAGCTGGCCGTCCTTGACGCCGCGCTTGCGCGCCGCGAGGTTTTCCCGCAGCTCCGCGTCGCGCACCGCGCGGCCGCACTTCTTCAGCACGAGGTCGGCCGCCCTGGCGAGGCCGTTCTTGTCGCGCCGGAAGCGTTTGACCTTGCGCTCGCGCCGGCCGCGCGGGCCCTCGCGGTACTCGACCACGACCCAGTTGTCGGGGTCGGTCGGGCAGGGATGACTGCCCGGGCCGAGGCCGAGGCCGCGCCGCAGCGCGCTATACGCGCCGGTTCCCGGTGCGGCCCGCGGCACGCGCCCGCCCGACGCCTTCCGCCGCGCCATCTCCTCGATGACCCACGCCTTGAAGGCGCGCTCCTTCTCGGTGCCCACGGGGAGGCGGTTCTCCGCGCCGTCGTGGTCCGGGTGCAGCGCCAGCGCGACGACCGTCTCTCGATGCGCCCGCGTGAACGCCTCTTCCTCGCAGTCCGCCCGCGTGACCGCGGCCGCGTACCTTGCGAGGTCTTCGGCCGTCGGCTCGCGCGCGTCGCCGTGCGCTTCGTGGAAGAGCCGTCGCGCCAGGTCCTCCCGCATAGCTTCGGGGGCGAATGAGACAGGAGCGCGCTTCGTCAGGACCGGGTAGCAGACCGGCTGCCCTCGATTTGACCAGAACGCGAGCACAGCCGCGCCCGTGCCGTCGTCCGACGTGTCCTCGTCGCTGCCGTCGTTGAAGACGACGGCTACCACCAAGTTTTCGCCCGGGCCGGCGGCGTCGACGCCCTTGTGCCACTTCTCCGCGCCGCGGGCCGGCGCTCTCTCCTCCGGCTTGCAGGTCTCACTAATTCTCGTTGAAATGCTACCATGGGGCGCCTTGCGTCTGAACAATATGACCGGTGGGTCGTCGCGTCTTTTGGCCAAGGCCCAGTGATCGGTGCACGTCACGAAGGCCAACAAGTCGGTGGATTGTGTCAAGTTGTACTTGGGGCCGCGCGCGATCTTGAGCAGCCGCGCGAGTTCGGCTTTGTGCAAAGGGTTCTTGCAATTGTATGCGATGGCTTTCAATTTTTTGGAGTCGCCCGGCTTGGCCTGACCCTTAGAGGCCATGGCTGCAACCGATAGTCCGAAGAACGAAAGAATGCACAATTCTGGGCAGCTGGAGCGACCGAGAGCAGCTATACGACGGCTAGTGCTGCAATCGCACAGCGACGACTCGCAATAAAAAAACAGGCGACTAGCGTATTGGACATACTAGGATCGTCACCTCGAGATTTAAGCAGGACCTGCGCGTTTGAGCGCTTCAGCCGACTACACGATGTACAGAATGCTCCGACTAGTTGCTTGTGTCACGCGACTCCTTCGGAGGTACCTGGGACCTGACGGTCGAAACGCTGCCGCTCGTCCCGTCGATAAAAATCCGCGGCGAGAACCTTACGTACGACGAGGGGGTATTGATCTACACGGTCGGCGACAAGTCCCCATCAACCTGGGACGTGTTCCACGCGGACGGTGACGTTGTCTGCGCAGTGTCGTCCACGACGGGGGTGAATGTGATAAGACGGATAGGCTAGTCCCTTGCTGTGCTGGTTCTCCACACGTCGCGCCTCGCCCCCTTTCGCACACGTCGACTGGGTACCCAGCTCAGGTCCGTTGCACCAAATGCCCCAGCGACTGCAGCCAGAGCTAAAAATCGTGGAAGACGCCCTCGCAGCGACGCGCAGAGGCATTCGTGGACGCGGCGAGTGCACGGGAGCTGCCACTGGTACCGGCCGCAGCTTCCTGGCAGCAGGAACTGCGTCGCGAGCAGCTCTAGGAGCAGAGCACGGCTGAAACAGGGAGAGGTGCTCTCGACAGCGACGGACGCGACCGACCACCCTCGAAACGCCGCGTCACAGCTATTAGCAAGCAAAAATGATGCGCTCCACCCTCCTACGCCGCCGCGCCGCCACGGCCCGCCGCACCCTAGCATTGGCGCCGCGCCGCCAGATCAAGAAGCTCATGGCGGCCAACCGCGGCGAGATCGCCATCCGCATCTTCCGGGCGGCCACGGAGTTGGATATCAGGACGGTCGCCATCTACTCGAAGGAGGACAAGAAGTCGATGCACCGCTACAAGGCGGACGAAGCTTACCAGGTCGGCACGAATGCCTCACCAGTCGGCGCTTACTTGGGATATGAGGAGATCGTGAAGGTAGCTCTGGAGAATGATGTCGACGCCATCCACCCGGGCTACGGGTTTCTGAGCGAGAACGTGCACTTCGCGCGACTCTGTGAGGCGAACGGCATCGCGTTCGTGGGACCCGAATCTTCCGTGCTCAACAAGTTTGGAGACAAAACTTTGGCCAGACAACTAGCCATCGATGCGGGAGTCCCAGTAGTGCCAGGTACGGACGGCGAGTGCAACACGCACGAGGAAGTGCGCAGCTTCATCGAGGACGGTCCGGACCCGGTCGGCTACCCCGTGATCGTGAAGGCGGCGCACGGCGGCGGCGGTAGAGGCATGAGGGTTGTTCGCTCAGCAGCAGAACTGGAAGAGAACCTCGCGCGGGCGCAAAGCGAAGCGCTGACGGCCTTCGGCAACGCCGCCGTGTTTGTGGAGCGGTATGTCGAGGCTCCTAGACACGTCGAAGTCCAGATTCTATCAGATGGCGAGACGACGTTCCACCTCTATGAAAGAGACTGCTCCGTGCAGCGGCGCTTCCAGAAAGTTGTTGAAATTGCCCCTTCGGTAGGACTCCCGGAAGAGCTGCAAAAAGCTCTGCATGACGACGCCGTGCGCTTGACGTCGGCGGCGGGCTATAGAGCGGCAGGAACGGTGGAGTTCCTAGTCGATCCCCAGACCTGGAAGCACTATTTTATCGAGGTGAACCCGCGGATCCAGGTCGAGCACACGGTCACGGAAGTCGTGACGGGCGTCGATCTCGTGCAGTCGCAGATTCGCGTGGCCCAGGGCGAGACGCTGGCGGAGATCGGTTTGCATTCCCAGGACGACATTCAAGTAAGGGGCTACGCGATCCAGTCGCGCGTGACGACGGAGGACCCCGAGGAGGATTTCCGGCCGGACGTCGGCCGCATCCAGCTCTGGCGCCCGGGCGAGGGCTTCGGCATCCGCATGGACGGCGGCAACGCCTTCACGGGCGCGGTCATCTCGCCGCGCGGCCGCGGCGTCCCGTGAAGCTCGTTCCGCGCCGTCGACGCGTTCCACGAACGTGGCGTGGCCGCGGCGATGGCGTCGACGCGCTGCCACGTCGCCTCGACGCCGTCGTTCAACACGCAGGCACTACGACTCGATGCTCACGAAGGTCACGGCGTCTGCCTTAACTTATGAAAGCGCCATCGACAAGCTCACACGTAGTCTGAGAGAAACGCGTATCAGAGGCGTCAAAACGAACATAGGCTTCACTTTGAATGTGCTGAAACACCCGGAATTCCGAGCTGGTAGGGCTACTACTGCTTTTATTGAAGATCATCCTGAATTATTTGAGTTCGCGAAGGGTGGGGATAGAGCGTCGAAGTTACTCATGTACCTGGCCGAGCTAGCTGTCAATGGTAGAAAAGCTGTGGGTGCGACGGGACCGACCACACCTAGATACGCGCAAGTCCTACCGCCTCCCGTGGACGAAAAACCTAGAATCGGGTTCAAGCAGGTCCTCGAGACTTCCGGACCGGAAGGGTTCGCGAAAGCTGTCAGAGCGCACAAGGGGCTGTTGTTGACGGACACGACGATGCGCGACGCCCATCAAAGTCTCTTAGCTACGCGTGTGAGAACCAAGGACTTGGTGACGGCAGCGCCCTACACGTCGAAAGCACTCCACAACGCCTATTCCCTAGAAAACTGGGGCGGCGCGACGTTCGACGTCGCGCTGCGCTTCTTGCACGAGTGCCCCTGGGCTCGTTTAGAAGCGTTGCGGGAGGAGATCCCGAACGTGCCCTTCCAGATGCTGTTGCGGGGCGCGAACGGCGTGGGGTACACGTCGTACCCCGATAATGCCATTTTTAAATTTTGCGATACGGCTGTTAAATCAGGTATGGACGTCTTCCGGGTCTTTGATTCGTTGAATTATGTCGATAACCTGAGGCTGGGCATCGACGCCGTCGGTGCTGCGGGCGGCGTCGTCGAGTGCGCGATTGGCTATTCGGGCGACTGCACGGACGACAACTCGAAGTACAACTTGGAGTACTACCTGACCCTAGCGAGGCAACTCCAGGAGTCGGGCATTCACGTGCTGGCGATCAAGGACATGGCTGGCCTGTTGAAACCGGCGGCAGCTACCAAGTTAATAACTGCATTACGAGACGAGTTCCCCGACCTACCAATCCACGTGCACACGCACGACACGGCCGGGACTGGAGTAGCAACTTATCTAGCCTGCGCGAACGCCGGCGCGGACGCCGTCGACGTGGCCATCGACTCGATGAGCGGTCTCACGTCGCAGCCGGCGATGGGCGCCGTCGTCGGGTCGTTAGCCGGTGGCCATTTAGACACGGGCGTGCAATTAGACGACATCGCGCCCTTGATCGACTACTGGGAGTCGACGCGCGTGTCGTACGCGGCGTTCGAGTCGGGGCAGAAGTCCGGCTCCGCGGAAGTTTATGCGCATGAAATCCCGGGAGGGCAGTACACGAACATGCTCTTCCAGGCGACGCAGAACGGTTTGGCGGAGCAGTGGCCCGCGGTCAAGAGAGCCTACGCCGAGGCCAACGATCTGCTCGGGGACATCGTCAAGGTCACGCCGTCGTCGAAGACGTGCGGCGACCTCGCGCAGTTCATGGTCACGAACGGCTTGTCCGCCGACGACGTGCGGGAGAAGGCGTCGTCGGGTTCCTTGAACTTTCCTTCGTCGGTGGTCGAGTTCTTCCAGGGCGCTTTAGGTATACCGGTCGGTGGCTTTCCGGAGCCGTTGCGCACGGATGTGTTGCGGGGTGCCAAGAAGCTCGACGAGACGTTCACGGGGCGGCCCGGCGCCGAGCTACCGGACGTCGACTTGGAGGCTGTGAGAACGACTCTAGAAGCGACGCACGGCATCGAGATCGACGACAAGCAACTCATGAGCGCGGTCATGTACCCCAAGGTCTTCGAGGACTTCATGGCGGCGACGACCGAGTTCGGGGACCTCTCGGCGCTGCCCACGCGCAATTTCGTCGAGCCCATGGAGGTCGGGGAAGAGGTCGATTTGTCCTTTGGGCAGGGCGTCAACGTCAATGTGAAATTGATCGGTCTCGGCGACCTCGATGAAGCGACCGGGACCAGGGAGTGCTTCTTTGAAGTGAACGGCTTCCCTCGCAGCGTCAAGCGCCTGGATGAGACGGCGTCCAGTAATGTGGTCGTGCGGCCGAAGGCGGACTCGTCGCAGATCGGGGCGGTGGGGGCGCCGATGCCCGGCGTGGTGGTCGACGTGAAGGTGGCCGTCGGCGATTCCGTGAGCGCGGGCGACCCTATGGTTGTTCTCTCAGCAATGAAAATGGAGACAGTTTGTGCTGCCTCTATCGATGGCGTTGTGTCCGGCGTCTCGGTGGCGATGGGCGACGCGCTCCAGCCGGGCGATTTGCTCGTGACGATCAAGGAATCGAACAACAACGAGGCCGACGCCGAGCCGGAGGCGCTTGCGGCCTGATCCTTTCCCCATCCTTCCCCTTTGATTGTATGGCTAGAGTAAGGGCGACTTAGTCAGTCATGGAGATGGGGGCGTCGGCGCTATGCGTCGGCGATTGAGGTAATGGAGCGCCGGGTCGATGGCCGCCCGCGCGGCGGAGGCGATTGAGGTGACGATGGCGAGGTGGTGGTGGTGGCGGTGGTGATAATGATGACTCCCTCACAGTGACGGAGGGGATGGGGCCGATGGCTGCCCGAGGCGCTCAGGGGCAGTCGAAGGTGACGCCACACGTCGTCGGGCCGCACGGCGGGGCAGGTCCATATCTGCCGGTGGCGAACATGTCGGTCACGGTGACGCCGTTGGCCACGCACCAGCCAAGGGTCTGGTTGAACGACGAGGCGCCTTTGAACATCTCGTACATAGTCGTGACCTTGTCGACGCTCCAGGCGCTGAGCGGGTGGTTGAAGGACGAGGCTTCTACGAACATCTGGTACATACGTGTGACCTTGTCGACCCGCCAGTCGGCGAGCGTTTGGTTGAACGCCAAGGCCCTGTCGAACGTCTTAGTCATATCAGTGACCTTGGAGACGTTCCAGCCGCCGATCGGTTGGTTGAACACTTGGGCAGCCGTGAACATCCCAAACATATTCGTGACGGCCGACGTAGGTTGGCGCCGCGGTTTTTTTCCTTTGCTAGTGTCTTACAGGTCGCTAGATCATGCGGGATTTCCTTGCGCGGGAGCCCTGGGCGCCCCATAATATAGCCTCGGGTAAATTAATTGTAAACGTCGTCGTCGCGTGCCTAGAATTGGATAGCTTAGGAGATAGAGTCCGTTCTACTTCTTGGAAAGATGGCCCCAGGAAGGATCGATAACAAACTTACAAGGGCGCGAAGAGAAGAACTACACCCGGCACGCCGTCCCCTCCGACCGCCGCGCGAAGAGGAACGTGAGGTTGATGCGGTGATTTTCCAACCCCGGCGCGAAGTGCAGGGCGTCCGTCTGGTGGAAGCGGTGGCCATTCAATAACACGGCGCGGTTGAAGCGGTAGGGGATCGTCACGTAGGACGCTTCCTCATCCTGTAGGATGGAGCCGATGGCATCTAAGTCTCGATTCGCCGTCTCGAAGGTCCAGTCGGCGGGGGGCTTCTTATTCCAGATCCTCAAACCGCCCTTCTCTGAATTTAAGTTCGCTTTGTTCGGTGTGATCCAGATGTTGACGCTCACGTCGGCGTCGTCCGAGTGAACATCGATGCCGCGCGGATGGCCGTCCCGCGGGTAGGCGTAGGCCCAGGCCTGCCGCAGCGCCGTGTCGCCGAGCAACTCCGGGAAAGTTTGTCGTAGTTCGGACGCGACCTGCTGGACGACGCCCGCCGCCCCAAACCCGTCGCCTAAGAAAGCGCCCAGATACCCCTGCGCGTAGGCCCGCGTGAACACCGTGCTGCCCAGGACGAAGTCTCGTAGCCTCGTCAACGTTTCGTCCTTCAAAATGCCGTCGACGATCGCAACACCATCAGCCTCAAATGTCCGCGTGGTCGTTTCCACATCTATAGCGGCGAGCGCGCCGCCTTCAACAGAAGGCGCGTCGACGATGCACGCCGCCGCCCCGAGGACTTTTGGAGAAGAAGCATTCAAGCGATCGATGGGCAGGTCGAGGCGGCCCTCCTCATTCTTAGCAACATAATCGTAGGCCGCGGCCTCGTCTTCATCGATAGCATGGCGCCTTCTTAACTCCGTCGACAGATCCCTCAACAAATCCAGTTCCTCGATAGTCTTCCGCACGTCTAGGGAAGCGTGGCACGTTGGTCCGCGGCGGAGCTGGTCCGCGACGAACTTCGGTAGGGTAGAATGGACCCAGCCTGCGTGGAACGACACTGTCGCAAAACTGCCACGTCGACGGCGTCGCGGCGACCGCGTCACGTCGAAGTTCGTTTTCTGCTCCGAGCCACGGACCCATCTGGACGTGCGACCGGCTCTCCTCGACGGACGGGGACCAGGCCACGCGCGGCTCGAGCGTTACTGAGAGGTCCAGCGACCCACCAAGAACTAATGAAGGCAACGACCCGTCGGGCGGCCATTTTAGTTCAGCGAAGCGTCTCGCAAAATACGCCGTCGCGTCGGCCACGCCGAACAGGTCCTGCCCGGCCAACATGCCGAAGCGCGCCGCGCGCGCGCGCCGCGGCTCCAGGCGTAGAGCCAGCCCCGCGGCGTCCATGGCCACTGAAGCCGCCGCCGTACCTCCAGTGCGGTTATTTACAAAATTGCGATCCGCCGCGCAATAACAAAACCCCGCCGCCTGCTCGAGGGCGTAGCCCTCGTCTGGCGTGCCGACCGCGTCCCTCAATTTTTCAGAGGGAAAGGCGTGGCCCGGCAGGCGGCAGTGCGTCGCCGCGTTTGAAATGACGTGCCGCGCGTCGAAGCGCGCCTCCATGGCCCTTACCAAAACGTCCTCGACGCACCGCCCGTCGCCTTCAGGACAATCACCCCCAGTCATCGCCGGGTGCTTTTGCCTCCATGCTCGCGCGATGCGCTGCAGGTCGTCATTAATAGCGAAGCGCAGCGGCGCGTACGTCCCGTCGAGCTCGAGGTCCAGGACGTACGCATTGCTGGTGATGATGGTGAGGAGGGCTGCCCGCCTCATCGTCGCATGTTTGGCTCGTGGAGGCTGCCCGAGTTCGCGTGCGGGTCCCGAGAGCTGCCGACGCCGAGTGTCTGGCGATGTTGGCTCTTGCGCGCAGCGCTTTTTGCCAAGCGCTCCCCCAAGGAGACGCTAGCGGCACGTAAGGTACTAGCAAGCTCCGATTTGACGCGTTCAAGATACTAAATACAGACAACACCAAAGTTAGATTCCTAGCGCTTCCGCCGCCCGGCCTTCGCGGCCGCCGCGCCCTTCTCCTGGGCGCGCGGGTCAGCGTTCGGCGACACGCGGTCCCGCTGATTGAGGCGCTCCTGCCGCTCCACCGAGTCCCCGCGCCGCCCCTTCGACGAAGATGACGACGACGGCCCCGCCTTGGGCCGCTTCGCGGCCGGCTTTTTCGAGGACGTGCCCGCCGGCGCCGCCGGCCGCGGCCGCTTCCCCCCCGACGACGAGTGCGGCGTATATTCCGGCGACTATTCCATATTAGACTTCTCGGGGCGAGTGGCTGCTTGGCTCTGATGCGTGCCGCGCGTACGCCGCGCGCACTAAAAAACAAATCGGGCCAAGCGGCAGCATCGTTAATTGCTGTCAACGTGCCTGCCTTGCGCAGCCGGTGCGGCGTGGACGCAATGGGAGTGCGGCAGCGCCTCGACGCCATCGCCGCAGCGCCGCGAGCGCGGGCGTGCCTAGTCCTGGCGTGCTGTCTCATCAGATGCTGCCCCATGGGCTCCCGCTGGAGCCCCAGCGGCAGAGCCGCGCGCTGGGGTCACGATAGACAGCGCAGCCACCGCGCGCGGTGGGCCACGACGTCGCGGGCTTTCGCCGGGCGCAGACGATGGATGCGGCTCGTCGACGCGCACATCGATCCCGAGCCGCCGCGGCTTGACTCTGAGAGCCAGGCCGCGGTTGCTGTGTTTTATTGTGATGTTGTTTCCGTAAATGCCGTTCTCGCCGAATTTCGCTCGTCTTGCTCGAAAACTCGAAAAACCCGACACAAAAGACCTGAACCATTCCCTGTCAACAAGAACACAGTGCGCGGCCCACACGGATCGCAGCTGCGTCTGGTGAGGCGACCGTACATCTCTGCGCCGACGCCGCGAAGTCTTGCCGAAGCGCTACGGCCCGAGGGCGCCTGTAGCCGAAGCTTACAGCACTTTTGGCCCTTGTGTGCCAGTGCTCTAGCGCGGGCTCCCGCGGTCGCTGCGCGCCGCCCTCGCGCTGAAGGAAGGCGCCTGACGCTCCGATTCTGCGCTGCCGACGGCCCGTCGTTCTGCGCCGCACCTGCCGAGACGCTGCCGCTCGACGCCGCAGCGCTCACGAAAACACCTTCAAGGTCACGGACGCACGCGTTCGCCGGCATCATGGCTCGGGGCAAGAAAAGCGGCTCGCGGTCGAGGCTGCCGCCGGGGATGTTGAGTGCGGAGAGCTTCAAAAGAATCGAAGGAAGCATCAAGGCGCAGCGCAAGGCGATTGAGGCGCAGTACGGCGGGCCGACGGAGCTGCTGCCCCGCGCGCACAAAGGCTTCTTTGCGAGCATCGACGCGTCGAACGTCGACGACGTGCCGCTCACGGGCCTCTCACAAGAAGACCTGCGCGTCATTTGTAAGGGCGACGGCGGGCGCGGCACGAACCGCGACGCCGTGCTAAAGTGCCTCCGGGACCGGCTCGCGCGCGCCGCGCAGCCGGGCGAGGCCGACGCCAGGGAAGCGAAGCGGACCAAGTTACGGGAGGACGGCAAGCTCGACCTCGAGTTCCGGAACCTCGACGACCTGGGGCGGAAGGTCAAGTGGCGCCAGCTGCTCGTGATCCCGGGGTCCTGCGAGTTGAGCATGGGCATTAGGGAGTTCACGAATCGCACCGGCGGCATTGGTGATTATTTCTATAAGGAACTCGCGCGGGAGCGGAGAGACGCGGCGTTCGCCAAGGCCAAGGAGAGCGGCGATTTGTGGACTTCGGATCGCGACCGTACTCGCACGGCGTCCTAGAATTGCGGTCGCTGAAGCATCGCGTCGACCTCCACGCCATCGACGCGACGTCCGCTCGACGGCGTGGCCCTCGTCCACTGGTCGACGTCCCCGCAGGCACGCCGACGGACTTCTATCATCCAGATGACGACAAGAACAAGCACGACGGCCTGGTGCCCTTCGGCAACCCCGACGGCGTGGGCGCCAAGTACTGGGGCTGGGGCGACCCCGCCTGCAAGGCCATCTTCGAGGTCTTGCTGGAGAAGATGTCCAAGGAGGAGTGGGCCCGGTTCGGGACGGAGTTCATCGAGATCGCCTGGACGGACGACATGTCGCGGGAGATGAAGCTGCGGGGCCTCCTCGACACCCTGAGTCGGTGTCTGACGGTCGCCGCGGAGACGACGCGCCAGCACGTGATGATGGCGTGCTTCCCGAGTCCGAGACCTTCAGCCTGGAACGGCAGTGGCGCGTCGACCTCCACGCCATCGACGCGACGCGTTCACGCCGACGGTTCTCCGCGCAGGCCAAGGAGAAGCTCGAGGCCGAGCTACGGAAGGAGCGCGACGAGAAGCTCGCCGCCGAAGCGTCGGCGCGGCGCGCGCCGCTCGCCGAGTTGAACGGCGACGCCGCGCCGGCCGCTGCGTCCTGCGGCGACGCGCGCGGCGCGCTGCCCGTCGACGACGTCGCGGCGCCGGCCGCCGCTTTAGTTGAGGACGCGACGATGCGCGCCGCGCCGCCCGTGGCGTCGCGCGTCGTCGCGGCTTCGGCGTTAGGCGGTGCTGCGGGCGGCGACATGCCTCCCGAGACGCCCCGCGCCGATATCCTAGACGGGGCCCGCGCGCTCGACGCTTTAGATGATCCGGCGGCGGACGCCTCGGCCGACACGTTGCGCTCGCTGCCGTCGCCCGGAGTCCAGGCGCTCGCTGCTTCGGACGCCTCGGCGTCTTCTCAGCGCGACGCGCCCGTCGCTTCGTTAGATGGGCCTTCCCTGACGCGCGGAGCGCCTGAATCGGCGGCCTTCGGCGGCTCGGACGCGCCCATGCCTTCGCTGCGACGGGACGGCGACGATGATGATGATGACGACGACGACTACCTCACTGCGGCGGTGCGCAAAGCCGAGGCGGAGCCCGAGACTCCAGAGGCTCGGGAGGCCCTGAACGATCTACCTCCGGGGAAGACGCCTTCGAGCTGCCTCGGGTCGCTGTTACAGCGCATCGGTTTATTTGCGGTCGACGAGGACACGTGCACGGTCGACGGGGGTTCTCTGATCGACGATTTGGAGGAGTTAGACCAGGAGAAGCGGGACGAGCGAGGGACTGGCGGCGGCACTCACAAGTTTTACATCTACAAGATCCTCTTGTTCGCGGCGCAGATGGCTCTCATCTTCGGGGAGGTCTGCTTCGCGAAGGGCGTCAGCATTTTCCGGTGCGTCTTCGGCCGCTACGCCCTAGCAAGGATCTTCTGGGTGGGCAGAAAGACGATGCTGGACGCGATGAAGATGAAATTGCCGCTGCTCTGGGTTCCTTTGGAGATACGCCCCGAGGACCTGCACCTGCTGCCGTCGTGGGTCCGCGCCGTGTTCCCGCGGGGCCTGCGCTTCGAGTCGGCCGCGGTGATCAAGGAGCTCCTCCAGCGGTCGAACGGCTTGTTCTTCGACTGCAAGAGCTGGCTCTGGAACGCCACCTGCGCCGGCCTCGTCGGCACCACCGCCGTGGTCCCGGCGTTCGCGCTCACCGTGGCCGGCGTCGACCCCGGCTCCCTCGTCGCGTCGCGCGGCGCGTCGCGCTCGCGGGCGCTCGTCCCGTCTTCGGCGGCGGGCGGCTCTACTGATGCGGTGTCGTCACTCTTTTCGGCGGGCGTCAACTACGTGGACATCAACTTCTCGTACCCGGAGTCGGTGCAGCGCGGCACGGCGCTCGTGTCATCGCAGCTCGGGTCCCCTCCGCTCGCGGTGTCGGTGCCTTACTTCTACATCCGCTTCCACAAGCCGAACACTTCGAAGCTCACGGAGTGGTTCCTCGTCGACGACTTCGCTACGGTTATGCCGGAGCTCAATCGCACTTCCTGGAACCCCGTGCCCGACTGGGTCTTCGAGTCCAAGACGCTGCGCGCGCTCGCGGCCGGCGCGGCCCTGATCTTCCGCGGGATGGACATCCGCGACGTCGCGACGTCGCCTTTTTCGCTCCTGGAGGTCTTCGATCCGACGATCGAGTGCCGACACAACTACACCTACACGATCTGGGCCGGCGTCGACTTCGTCATCTTGCTGCCGGACGGCCGCGTGCTCGACAAGCGCCTCTTCCTCCTCGAGCTCCTCAAGGCGCACGCCGCCTGAGCTCCTCCCCTTACACGCGTGAAGCATAAGTAGCTTTCTTTCTCTACTAACTTTTATACTACTTAGCAGATGCGCCATGAAGGGTATTTTCCTTCGGACAAGAGGAGGTGGGTCTCAGCAACTCCTCCCCCTACCTACGCCCGCTCGGAGGATCGGCAAAGGGTGGGCTCCGACTCCCCGCCTTCCCACTCGGGGCGGCCAACCTGGACGGGATCCAGCGAAGTGCAGTTGACGCGGCGTCCGCTCCACGGCGTCGGTCGCCCTCAACGCCATCGGCGCGGCGTTCGCACGATGCCATCGCCAATAACCCGGTAAGCTGTAGCCGAGACGCGCCGCGCTCGCGCGGTGCTCAGGCGCCCCACGCCATGGTACTTCGCGGCCGAACGGCGGACCCGTCCACTTCGCCTCCGACGCCGACGGCGACGCGCACGTGCTTGCCATCGTCGTCGCGCCGGACGACGTCCGGCTCGTCTACCTCGACCCGATGTGGGCCGAGGTGGAGGCCAGGGTCCTTCGAAAGCACCACCTCAAAGCCCCCGCGTTCGAGTTGCTGTACCTCGGGTAAGAACTTGAAGCACTAACTCTAGAGTAAGTTGGGGTCTACCCCCGGACTCGTATTACAACTTCTCCTAGGACATCATAAATCTGAGGAGCAACGGATGCTAGCGGCATGTAAGGCACTAGCAAGGCTAAGAGCAGCTTTGATCTGCGGGCAACAAGGGCAGCCCCCTGGCCCCATGTGCCCGAACGAATGCCGATGGATGTCTGAAGTAGCATGAGGACCACCCCGGCCACCGCTCGTGCCTTACGGGCCGCCGCCCGAGCCGCAGATGTACGCGAGCTGCGACGTTTAGTTCTGGACGACGGCGTCGACGTCGCGTGCGCGAGCCGCGAGGGCTACACCGCGTTGCACGCCGCAGCGAAGCGCGACTGCGTCGCGTCGCTCCGAGTCCTCGTCTGCGAGCTGGGCGCCCATATGGACGCGACGAGCCGCGACGGCTTTTCGGCGGCCCACGTCGCCGCGCGCTACGACGCCGCCGAGGCGCTGGCGGTTCTGATCGAAGAGCTCGGTGCGTCCTCAGACTTACGAAGCCGGTCCGGCGACGGTCCCGTGCACGTCGCGGCGCGCTACGGCAGCGAGCGGGCGCTCAAATTCCTCGCCGGCCGGCCGAGCCACGCAAACAACAACGCGGCCAATAACAACGGGGCCTTACCCCTGCACTGCGCTGCGGCGCGCGACCAGCAGGCTTGTGTCGAGTGCCTCGTGTCACGGTTCTCTGCGTCTGTCAATGCTCGGGACGCAAGCGGAGCCACGCCATTGCATTGGGCATCATACTACGGGTCGGTGGCGTCCATACGGTGCCTGGGGTCGAACGGCGCGGACGCGGACGCGGCACGAACTGCGGACGGCGCCCGGCCTCTCCACGTCGCGGCCGGCGCCGGCCGGCGATTTGCACTTCGAGCGCTTGTGCGAGAGCTGTCGGCCTCGGTGGAGGCGCGCGACGGACGCGGGCGAACGGCAATGCATTGGGCGTGCCGCGCTGGGGACGTCGCCGCCTTGCTCTGCTTGGCAACGGAACTTGGAGCCAACGTCGACGCAAGAGATGAGCGGGGAGCAACGCCGCTCATGCTGGCAGCGCGGCAAGGGCACGATGCCGCGTGCAGGAGCCTCGTCGACGATCTCGGTGCGGATTGTAACTTGACGGATGAAGACGGCGCGACCGCGACGCATCACGCCGCGGCGCACGGCCGCGCGGACGCGCTGGCGGTGCTGCCGCCCGTGGCTGACGCGTTGCATGTGGCGGCGGCTAATAACTCCCGCGACGTGATCGAGCGGCTCGTGGACGGTGGCGCGTCGCCGAACGCCCGGGACGGACGCGATGCGACAGCAGCGCACTGGGCGGCCGACTACGACGAGGTGGCGGCGCTGAAGAAACTGCAAAGCCTCGGGGCGTCGCTCGTCGCGCAAGATGGTCAGGGAAGATTCCCTGTCGACGTGGCCGACCGGGCGAATTCAAGGGGCGCCGCCGCGTGGCTGCGACAACAGCCCGAGGTCCGGGAAGTACTGAATGTCCTCGGGGCCGCCCGGTCGTCAAGACGACGACCGCCGCCCACGCCGCCACCAGCCCGGAGCCCTGAGGCGGCCTTGAAAAGTGTGTTCGACAGCCGGTCAGATATCGACGCGACCATCACCGTCCAAGCGGCGCGCCGCGCTCTCGAAGCGTCGGCGCCGCGGTTGCTCGGCGTCGACGGCGAGGCCTTTTCCCGAGCTCTGGAGCGCCTCGACGGCGCCGACAGCGCGCAGAAATTATCGTGGCAACAGTTTCGCCGCGTCGTCGCGTCACTTGCGGTGTTGGCCCGCGCCGACCTCGCACTGTCGCCGCTCTCCCCCGCGACTATCGAGTCGACGTTTCCCGACGACGACGACACCGTCGAGCCGCCGCCGCCGCCGCCGGACTCGCCGCCGCCGCGAGACGTCGATGAGCCGCCGCGAGACGTCGACGCGCCGCCTCTGCCTCCGGACGCGACGCCGCCCGCGCCGCGACGCAGCGTCGAGGAGGTCGCCACGCGCCTCGACGCCATCGCGGCCGCGCTGTCGCCCTCCTCTGCGTCATCTCCGCGGCTGTCGCCCTCTTCCGCGCTGTCTCCGTCGTCCATACTGTCGCCGTCGGCAATGCTCTCCCCGTCGTCGGCGCTGTCTCCGATGTCCGCGCTCTCGCCGTCTTCTGCGCTGTCGCCCGCGCCGCGGCCGCCGTCCTTTCATGCCGAGGAGACGCCCGCGCGGCGCCTCCGCCCGCGCGCGGACGACGGCCCTTCCGAGGCAGCGAGCCTGGCGAGCCCGCCGGCGTGGACGGAGGCGCCCCCGGCGGAAGCCGCGAGCCCGTCGAGCCCGTCGAGACCGCCGGCGAGGACGGAGGTGCGAAGGGAGGACGGCGTATGGGCGGAGGCCCCGGCGACGGAGGCTCAGAGCCCGTCGAGCCCGTGGGATGAGGCGCCCCTGTTAGAGGTCGCGAGCCCGTCGAGCCCAACGGCCTGGGCGGAGACGCTCGAGGAACTGCGCGCGGACCCGGACTCGCCGATTGGGCAACTGGTCTTCGGTGACGCGGCGGAGGACGACGCGGCGGACGCCGACGCCGCGTCGGCCGCGCGAGAAAGACGCGAATTAGAAAATCGCGACGCGGCGACGGTTCGCGCGCTGGAGCTGGCCGTCGCGCGGGCCGAGGCGGCCACGGCGGGTCGCGCGGAAGCCGAGGCGGCCCTGGCCGAGGTCGAGGCTCGCGCGTTTGATGTGCAGCGCGCGACGCGGAGCCTTGAAAAGGACGTCGAGCGGCTCACAAGTGAGCGGGACGCGGCGACGGCCGCCCGAGCCGCCGCCGAGGAACGGTTGCAGGCGGCGACGCCGTCGAAGAAGGACCGCGCCGCGCGCGCCCTCGAGGAATTGGAGGGCGTCCGCTCGGAGCTTGACAATTCTCAGGCCGCGCGCGCCGCGGCGCTCCGGGAGCTCCAGCGCGGCATCCGGCGCGTGCGGGCGTCGCGGTTTTGGTTCCAGGATGATCCGGCCTCGCTCGTGTTCCGGGACGTCGCGGCGGCTCTGGGCGCCGTGGGCTGCCCGGCGGAGGAGCCCTGCCGCACCTTCGACGAGGGCGACAGCGGTGCGTGCATCTACTGCGGCCACCCGCGCGACGCGCACGCGCTGCCCGCGTCGTTGGACCGCGCCGGGTCGCCGCGGTGGAACCTCGTGCCGCCGCCGAGCCCGATCAAGAGTCCTGCGTCTAGTGCGGGCTAATAGTTTTGTTGTGAATTCTGGTTATTACTTGTTCCTCGCTAGCTGCTTGCGCGAAAAATCGAGCAGCTGCACCAGTGATGTGGTCTTCGGGTGCTCGGGGCCAAGAACGCGCCGATAGAAGCGGAAGGTGTTCTCATATAGTGCCACGGCCTCCTTAAGATCGTCCTCGTTGGCTGGCTTAAGTTTCTGGAATTTCCCGAGGAGGGCGTTACCCAAGGCAAGGCGGAGATCCGCGAGCCAACAACTACGCGTGGGGTCTCTTTCGGCTAGGGTGCTTCGAAGAAGCCAAGGCACTGTTGCGCCAAACGACGCCTGTGGCGCGACGCACTCTCGGGGATCGTGATGATCTCACGCTCGTGATGCGGCGGGCTTACGCGCAGTCGCTTTACAAAGACACCGGCGCCACGCTTGACGACCTCCGCGAGGCCGTGACGACGCTCGAGGACGCGGAACGGACCGCGAGACGCGTCCTCGGCGGCGCGCACCCGGACACAGTGGGGATTGGACATTCCCTGCAAGTCGCGCGAGCCGCGCTCCGCGCCCGCGAAACGCCACAGGAGGGGGCATAAGCTTGAATTCTTACCCCAAGTATCTATCCACCCAACGCCGCCGCCGCGCCCACCCCAAAAACCAGAGTCCAGACCTTACACAGCCGACCTAGCCCTGGTAGCGCATCAGCACGCCATCACTTCCCAGAGCAAATCCGGTCTTGTCGTCGAAGAACTTGACCGTGTACAGGTTGCCCGGGATCCGGTCCGCCGACGCGTCGAACTTGAACGTCTTGCCGCCGTCCGTGCTTCGGTACATCGTACCTCCGCCCCCTACGGCCCAGGCCTCCTGGGGGGTCCGGTAGTCGCAGTCCAGGATCCCATACCCACCGGAGTCGACCTTCACGCCCGAAAATTCGGGCTCGACATCGGTATTGGCGGAAGCTCCCGCGATGGCCATTTGCCCGCCGTTTAAGGTCATCCAGACGCCGTTCGCCGCGTTGTTGCCGACGTAGCCCATGGCCGTGATTCTTCTCGGGGTTCCTCGGTTGTGCGGGAGCCAGAAGTCGTCCCCGGGCTTCCACGTGAGGTAGAAGTTGCCCCGCGACGCTACCGACAGATAGCTCCCGTCGGCGGCCCTTTTAATGTTTCCGACACTGCCCGAGTAGTAGGAGGCACCAGAAACACCGGAGGACGACACTCGGTTGAGCGTCGCGTCGATGGACTCTTTGACTTCGGCCTTCCAGTTGCGCCCGGCGTTCGTCGTCGTGTAGATGGCGCCCGTGCTGGTCGTCATCTCGGCCTTTGAACCGCCGAGCGCCGTCACTCCACTAGGTTCTCCAGGTAGTTTCGGGCTCAGAGGGATCCGTTCCCAGCTCTTGCCCGAGTCCGTGGTATGAAGTAAAACAGAGGGCTTGCCGACGACCCAGCCCTCGCCGCCCTTGAAGGAGACCTTCTCGAAGCGGTAGCCGACCTCCTCCTCCTCGTCGAGGTTCGCGAAGACCCGGGGCTTCCACGAGCGCCCGCCGTCGAGCGTTTCGAGAAAAGTGCCCTTCGCACCCACCAAGTAACCGTGGTCCGGCGTGTCGAAGGCGATGTCGAAGAGCGTCGTGGAGACGGGCAAAGGGACTTGCGACCAGCGCTTCACGTCCAAAGCGCCGGCCGGCGTTGCCCCGGCGAGGACTGCGGGCGCGAGCGCGGCGGCGCCGACACCTTGCACGAAGTCGCGCCGACCCGCGTCGAGCGCGACGGCAGCTTTCCGTGCTGTTTGCACGCGCGCGGGTGCTTGCAGCGCCGCGGCGGCGCCGAGCAGCAGTGCTCCTCTGAGTGGCATCGTGTCTCTAGCGCGCAAACGCGAGTGAACGAAGCAAAGAGCTTGCCGGATGGCTTGCTGGGCTAAAAGTGCTCCCCGCAACGTGCTCTCGAGGCTGTCTGCCTGTGCTTACTCGCCGTACGCTGAGCACTGATGACTTGATGTCTCACAGAGGTGGCCCCCAAGTTTTGTTGCGGAGCGAGGCGCATACTGGTCAAACAGCAGCCAGGACGCGTCTCGGAACGACGCAGACGCGTACAAACGAGCATGTGGTTTCGCACGGGTATTTCTCACATAAAGCGCCAAAAACGAGCCCAAACGGCCAGCTAAAAGCTAAGAGCGGCCAAGCAAGAGACGCCGGTTCGTTCAACGCTGTCACTGTCCGAAGCAGCGAAGAAACGGCAGCCTAGACGGCGCGTGAGCTCAAAATCAGCCAAAGACCAAATTCTAAAAATACAAGCCGCAGCGGTTGCGCCGAGGCGAAACCATGCGCCTCCTCCTCGTCCTGAGCCTAGCGCAAGCGCTCCGCGCGCCCTTAGACCGACGGCGAACATTAACGACGCGCAAGTACGGCCAGCAGCAGGACGCCGACGACAAATTGCCGGAGATGCGAGCCCCGGAGGAGGGCAAACAAGTCCGCATGTTCGGCGCGAAGTTAGATGCGGGCTTTGCCGGTACGAGAGCAAGTAACCCGAAAGTCATCCGGGCGGTGCTCAAGGCCTACGAGGACAAGCGCGACACCGAAGGGAGCTACGCGTCGAACGACGAGCAGGCCGAGATCTTCTACGCTTCCGCTGTTGAAAAAATGAACAAGGGGTTCTACGACGACGCCGTGAAGAGGCTGAACCGAGCTTCTTATTTCGCGGGCGTCGCGAGTCGTCGAGGCGGCCAGATGCAGTTGTGGCTCGGGCAGGCTCTGTACGCTGCGGGGCGGCGGGGCGACGCCCTCAAACTACTGTTGGCATTGAAAGCTCATCCGGATAGAGATGTGGCCAAGGTCTCGAAAGAGCTAGTGTTCATTTTAAAAGCGCCCGAACTCCAATTGGACGAGTCGTCGCGCGTCGGCTTCGACATGGACAATTTTGATGCTGAAGCCAAATTCGAAAGGGCTCCGGACGGGACGATAAAAATCATGAAAAGGCCAGAGTTCGAAAAGCCTCCAGAGTACGGGTCCGTCGAGTGGGTGCTCCAGCAGCCGCGCGGCGAGCCGCTTCCTACGAATGAGGTGGATCCTGTCGCCGTGGGTGGGGTCCTGGCTTTGTGCGTCGGGGCGCTGGCTCTGTGCCGCTAGCCGTGCCTGCTCGACGGCGTGGAGGCGGTACGGCCGCTTCTACGTGTCTGCTCCGCAACGTGTCGGATCGAATTCAGCTGCTGGCCGCGCCGATGGCGTACCGTGTCTACTAATATAATTTCTGTAAACTTACTCACGGTAGGACGCCTTGCGCCGCGCCTCCCGCTTCTCAAATTCGGCCATCTCCGCGGCCGTGATGACGCCGTCGCCATCCAAGTCCATGGCCCCGATGTGCTCCTCGAAGGCGCCGCCCGCCCACCGAGGCTTGTAGGAGCCACCGGCTTGAAAGGGCTGCCTCGGCTTCGAGCTGAAGGGCCTCTTCTTTCTCTCCTCCATAAAAAAGTGCTCCTGGCGCATCTGCTCCTGCTTGGTCGTCTCGAACATGTGGCCCTTGGCCTTCATGGGTACGGACGGATCAAAGACGCGCGTCTTGTTGTAGCACATCTTCTCTGCTGCCGCGTCGTTCAGATCATTAGGAAAGTCGCGACTGAAGGGCGGGGCCTCGCCGCTACTCCGCGCGGACGTATTCACGAGCAGCTTCTCGCCCTTCTTGTACGTGCGCTCCGTCATCTTCGATGGACTTAATTGTTCGCGAGTGTAGCACTTCAATGCGGCTTGCGCGGCAGAGACCGGTCTACGTCTTTGCATCGGATTGTCATACCCTCTAAAATAAGGAGACCAGTCGGGCACGCCCTGCTTGTCGTCTTGGGCCTTCTTGTCCGCCGCCGCTCGGCCGGCGCCGCCGTCGAAGGGCTGGGTAAAATCGACTGGATACTGTCTCAATTTTTGCGGGATGAGTTCGCCGCACACCAGGTTCTTGCGCTTCGACTGGTCGGCGCCCTCGTACGAACTTCGGAAGTAGGGGCTCCAGTCCGGGTGCCGGTCCGCGCCCTTCGCCTTCATACGTTTCTCACGTTCGGCCTGCTGGTAGCGGCGCTGGCGCCGGCATTCTTCCACATAGTCCTCGACGGGCGCGATCTCGAGATTCTTGGGGTTCTTGTAGATGTCAAAGGCCTTGAATTTGCGCGACGTGCCGGGGCCGCCCTCTGTAGCCATCGGACTGTGGTTGTTGCGACCGCGACGGCGGCGCTAGGTGGCGGGGCAGCTGCGGCGGGCCGTGGAGGTGCTTGACGTGCTGTTCCGTGCGTTTACGCAAGCGGGAGCGCGAAATTATCATGCGCTGTGATGCAGCGCCAACACAACCGGTAAAACGGAGCCCCGTACTTTGCTAGGGCTGGGCGTGTCGAAGCCTCGCCTGACCGGTCCAAGGGCGTCCGGAAGGCTGCCAGACGCGCAACAAACGTCGCACCGGGGTGGCAGGAAAAGCTACTAGCCTGCTATAGAGTGGGCGCTGAGCCGAGGCAAAAGGGCTGCCCCAGACGACACGATGCCCAAGCAGGCGCGCGTCTTAGTGGTGGGAGGCGGCGTCGCCGCGGCGCACGTCGCCCAAGCACTTTGTGAGAGGGCCGAGGAGCTGCCCGAGACGGACAAAGCACTGTGTACCATCCTGAGCGCCTACCCAGCAGGTATCAGCCCGTACGACAGATCTAGAATCTCGAAGGACGCGCTGGACTGTACCCGGTTAGATGCGACGAGCTTCCCTTCCTTAGAACTGCCGGACGGCGTCGCGCTGTGGAGCGGCAAGGTCGTCACGAAGTGCGATCCCGACGCTAAGAAAGTTACGTACCGCGATGCCATCACGGGTGATGAAGATGAAATCACGTATGAGAAGCTCATTATCGCGACGGGGGCGCGGGCCAAGGTGTTAGATGATCAACCTTACTTGTGGCAAGACAAGCACTCGGACGTCGTGGACAATGGTTCAATCGAGGAAGGAGGAGAAGATATTGCGTGTGCCCCGGCCCCCGCGCCCGCCGGCGCCCCCGAAGCGACGGCGCCGGCCCCCAGAATTAGACCGTGGTGTCTCCAAGCCGACAAGAACTGCGGTTTTGGCTCGGTCCACTACCTGAGGGACATCGGCGACGCGGCCAAGGTCTCGGAAGCCGTCTCCATGAAAGAAGCGGACGGCCAGGAGACGTGTTCCGATCCCGTGGTCATTGTGGGTGGGGGTATCCTCACGATGGAGTTGGCGGCCAAGATCGCGCGGTTCCGAGGGCAAAAAGTGCCGGTCACCGTCGTACTCTCGAGAGATCGCATCATGCCCAAAGTGTTTAGGGAGGACATTGCTCCGGAGGCCGGCTCGTTAGGCGCGAAGGACGTCGCGGAGTTTTATGAGAGGCAACTCGTGAAGTGTGGCGTGAAGTTTATCAGGGAGCACCGCTGCCTACGGTTGTGGGACGTTGATGAAAGTGGCGAGTTTCCCACGATGGAGGGGCCGGCCATTTCTCTACAACGAACGAGACCTCGACGCTTTGAACCTTTACAGGGGGAGTACTTCTCGACTTGTAGGGGCATCGTGGTGGAGAACAACCATAGTGCTGAACGAAGTTGGATCGCGGCGAAATGTGTGATTCTATGTCTCGGCGATGAGCCCAACTCCCAGGTGTTCTCATTCTTAGATCTGGCTGATGATTCTTCAATCAAAGTAGATGCTACTTGTAGAACTTCGCATTCCTCAGGCGACGTCTTCGCGGTCGGCGACGTCGCCTCGTATCCTTTACCTCGCAGTAAAGAGAGATGCATGAGACTGCCCCACTACCAGCAGGCTTTCAGTACTGCAGTGTATGTAGCCCACCAATGCATTGACGCGATGAAGCAGCCCTCGCGGCCCGGAACCAGAGATTCCAGAAGAAGTATTGGCGGGGACCCGTTTGACCCCGTGCCTTGTATTACCTCCCAAGTCCTCGACTTGGACTGGGTCTTCTACGGGAGGAATGTTGGAGAATGCGTCCCGCTCGGGTTTGATGGCAATTCCGACCGATACTTCGGGTGCTTCTGGGTCGAGGACATGCGAGTTGTCGGGTGTTTTTTGGAGGGTGGCTCGGACGAGGAGAAGACCATATGCGAGAAAATCGCGGAGATGCGACCGCGGCTCACGCGCATGCACAAGTTCCGCAGTCTCGAGTGCGAGGACTTTTTAGCGGATCCGCTCGGCATGGAGCCGCCGGAGCTCGGGCCCGGCGAGTTCAACGCCGAGCTGGACGCGAAATACATCGCGATCGCGTTCGACAAGTACGGGCGCGACGGCCAGGCCAAGACCCAAGCCATGGGCGACCTGATGCGGGACCTGGGCGCGGACTGGGACGCCGAGGAGGAGAAGGAAGCTTTAAGGGCGCTGGACCCGCTCGGGTCGAACCAGGTGTCGCTCGAGTGCTTCACGGAGTGGTGGCTGAACTAAGTACGAGTACCCTATTTTCCTTTTTGTTATGCCACGCTGTGGCTTCCAGGGCTCCCGCGCCGTTGAGGAATCGACTAGCGGCCGTAAGACACTAGAAAAGCAACGCTGTGCGTCAGTTCTGATGTGCAATCCGGCGGCATCACTGCCCGCCGGAAGATTTTGGGACGCCTAGTGGCGCACGGTGCTCCGTCTACTCGGTCGCGGCGGAGGGCAGCGACCATGGCGGCTCACGTGATGCACCCGAGCCTGGCGGTGGTCGACACGCCCCACGGCCGCGGGCTGCGAGCCACGGCGCCCGTTCGCGCCGGCGAGCGCCTGCTCTATGCGCCCGCGGCGGCGCAGCTCGACGGCGTCGATGCTGATGAATTAGCGACGACGCTGCTCGCGGAGCTGGAGCGCGGTGCGCACAAATGGCTGGCTTCGCTGCCGCGCGGCGTCGCCTACAGCGCGGCGGGATGTGACGACGCGACGCGGGCCGCGCTCTGCGCCACCGCGGGCGGCGGGCTCGGGGATTGCGCGTTTGTCCGCAGCGTGGGCCAGGCCCAGGGGCGCGCAGACCAGCGCTGGGCGCGGAGCTTCGTCGTGGCGAACGCTTTGCGGGTCAAGTCGGGCCATCTCCGGCTAGCACCCCTATTCACGCTGCTGAACCACGGCGAGGACGGGCTGCGACCGACAGAACTGGAGGACGGCGCTCTGAGCCTGGAGGCCGCCCGCGACCTACAGCCTGGCGACGACGTGCGCATCGACTACGGCCATGGGTCCCACGGCGGCGCGGGCGTGCTCCACCGCTACGGATGGTTCCCGTCGACGGCTTCGACCGAATTCGTCGTCTTTAACGAGGCGTCGGACGACGCGATTCTAGAAAAACTGCGGAAGCGCCTCGCGCTCGATAACGGCGTGACGCTGCGTTCCGACGTATCCGGTCCCAACGAGGCGTTGGAGCTTGCGTCTCTACTCCCGGTCCTCAGTTCCAACAGTCTTGTTTCGTTGTCAAGGCGGCTTGATCGCGGCGAAGACGGAGACGACGCGTCGACGTCACAGGCCTCGCCCACGAAGTCGGCGTCGTCGTCTTGTGGCTTATTCGGGCTGTTCGCCGCGGAGACGGACCGCGACGTCGCTTATGGGTGGCTCCTGCGCCGGTCGCCGCAACTCCTGGCGCGCGCCCGCGCCCACTGCTGTTCCGTGCTCGACTCTGCCCTCTCGGCGTCGCGCAAGAACGCCGCGTCGGCGATCGCACGCGGCGGCGCGGCGGTCGCGTCGCTGAGGGAGCACTGCGCGCGCTACCGTTTATCAAGGGAGGCCATGCTCGAGCGATACGCGGCGCCGCTGCGGTGTAGTAAGAGCTAGAATTCTTCGCTAGTGTCTTAGTCCGCTAGCATGCGTGGCCTCGGTTTTGACGCCTTAACGCGGCACCACGCCCGTCAACATAGGTGCGCTTGCAGCCTGAGTCGTGAATTGCATCTGTGGTTAAGACTGTGAACGCTGCACAGCTTCGGGCCATCGCTACGACTGCCAAACCACTGCTGCTGACCACAGCCATGATGCTAGCAAGGCGGGCCGTCCCGGCAGCGGCCACAGCAGTTGGCGTAGGACTGGGCACAGCCTACGCCATCGAGCCAACTGCCCGCGACGACGAGCTGCCGCGACAATGGGACAGGTCGGCCGTGGCTGCGTACTGGCGCGCGCGGCCGCTCGCAGCTGCATCGCGCGCTATCGAGGTCGCCGCAACGTTGGCACCTGTCGCCGCGAGGATAGCTGCCGACCGCGCCTTCGTCGCGACCGACGAGCCGGCCGTTGAGCGTGCCGCGCGGCAGCGGCTGCGGGCGACGCAGGCGCGGGACGCGCTCGTCGAGCTCGGCCCGGCCTTCATCAAACTAGGCCAGCAGCTGTCCATCAGACCAGATGTGGTACCGCCGCCAGCCCTCGAAGTGTTGCGAGGTTTGTGCGATGCGGTGCCGGCGGTGCCGACGTCCACAGCTCTAGAGACCGTGCGGGAGGACCTCGGCGACGTCATCATCGAGGGCCTCGACGCTCATGCCGTACCGGTGGCCGCTGCTTCATTAGGACAAGTATATAGGGCGCGCTACGAGGGCCGGGACGTGGCCGTGAAGGTCCAGCGACCAAATATGGCATGCGGCGTCGCGCGCGACTTGTATCTCTTGGGCAACTGGGCGCGGTTCGTGGAGAGTGCCAAGGCGATTCTCGTCCCGAGGCAGCGGCCGTACGACATCCAACTCATCGACGCGTTCTGTAGGGGTGCCTACGGCGAGCTCGACTACGAACATGAAGCAGCAAACCAGCGACGCTTCAAAGACGCCATTTCCAACGGACCGGCGTCTCTACGCGACGTCTACGTGCCCGAGGTGCGGCTGGCGACGCGGCGTGTTTTGATAAGTGACTGGGTCGAGGGTGAACGGTTAAGCCAAGCATCGCAGCCCACGATCAAGAGGCTCGTGCCGCTGGGCGTCGAGCTGTTCTGCTGGCAGCTGCTCGATCTCGGGTTCTATCATTGTGATCCGCATCCGGGCAATCTGTTGGTGGACGGGCGCGGGCGGCTGTGCGTGATTGACTTCGGTTCGACGCGGCGTCCCTGCGCCTTCGACGTGACGCCATCGCCGCGACGACGCCATCGCTGTGACACGACGCCACGCGCAGGCTTGTGCGCCGAGATCTCCGCCCCGGCTCGCGAAAACATGACCAAGGCCATGGTCCACCTCATCGAAGGGAAGGTGGCGGCGCTCGTCGACGACGCCGTCGACCTCGACTTCCTCCCGGACGACATCGACAGGTCCGCGCTGGTGCCCATCCTCGGCAGAGTCTTCGACGGTGCACGACTGGCGGCCAAGTCCATGGACGGCGTGCCCGTGCAGAAGCGGCGGAAGGAGTTCGCCGCGGTCTCGGCGGATCTGAACAACATCTTCTTCGAGCAGCCGTTTCGGGTCCCCGACTACTTCGCGCTGGTGACGCGCGCGCTCATCGTCCTCGAGGGTATTGCGTTATCCGGCGACCCGTCCTTCGACATCTTCAAGGCGGCCTACCCGCACGGCCTGCGGCGCGCGCGGGAGCTGTTCGGCGTCGAGGGGCTGGCGCGGATCGCCGCGGCGGCCGGCCGCGCGCGCGTCGCACGGCCTGTGGACGGCGCGGAGGCGACGCCGATCGCGCGGCGACTGACGACTGTGTAAAGTAGATGTATATGTACATACGAGGAGAAAAGCTGGCGCGCGTCTAGTGCGTATCGCGCCTGGCCAAAACGGGTTTCTCATCCAGCCAACTTTGGCTTCCTCGCGCGCGCAGTGCATTTATCGCTCGTGGTGTGAATATAACGTATTAGTGAAGGCGCGAACGCGGCTCACCGCTCGCCAGGCGCGCAACGCCGCGAGAGGGCCTGGAAAACCGTCAGGTCGCTACAACTTCGACCAAGCTGCCGAGAAGTCCTTCTACGCGCCGAAGACGCCGAAGATGCCGAAGAAGAATGGTGCGTAGGCGCGCGGCCCGGGTAACACTCAAAGTATATCTTCCTCGCCGGATTGCTTGTACACAATCTTTACACGGAGCCACCGCCTTGTGCGGCCGCTGCTAGCCCCGAAAGTAAGTCCCGAAACTCCGGCCTCCCAAGCTCTTGTTCGCGGCCGACGGCCACTACTCCCATCGCCCGGTAGCGCACAAGCTCCTGCTCCGCCCGCTCCAACCGCTCGCGGAGGTCGGCGTTCTCCTTCTCGAGCGCGGCGGTCTGGTAGATCTCGCTCCTGACCTCGCGCGGCACGTCAGAGAGCCGCACCTTCTCCAACTCCGCCACGCGCGCCGTCAAGGCAGCACAAGACGCGCAGCCGGACGGAGCAGGGACAGGAGGCGCGCAGACGACGGCCGGCCGCCGCTCGCACTCCTTGCACATCCAGTCGCCAAAATACCGCTTCACGAAGAGCTCGCGGTACCGCCGGTCGGCGCGCGTCGACCCGCGGAAGGGGATCGCCCTTAATCTAACGCAGCCGGCGTGGAAGGCCCGGCCGCACGACGTGCAGGGCACGAGCTGGCTCCTTAATGAATAGGCGTCGTCGCCGCAGGCCGCGCAGCGTTCCCCATTGCTCTCGTCGAGGGGGTTCGTCGTGGCTGCTAACGCTAATAGATCCGCGGTCGTCGGCGTCGCCTCGTCCGGAGCTGGCGGCGGGCGCGGCGGCGTGGCGGGCGCCGTCGTCTCGGCGGTCGGGACTGGCGCGGCGTCCCTCGGCGGGCTCGGGGCGGCGGCCTCGACCGCGGGAGGTTCGGACACGACCACGGCGACGCTCGTGTCCGCGTGGGTTGCCGCCGCCGCTGGGGCCTCCGGCGCCTCCTCCGCCCGCGCCTTGAGCCGCTCTCCCTCGACACGGGCGGCCTCGAGCTTTGCCTGAAGCTGGGCCATGGCCGCGTCCTGGTCGGCCAGCTGCGCCGCAAACGCGCTTTTGCGCTTCCTGGCGCTGTCGAGCACATCCATCTTAGAGCTCGCTTAGCGCTGGCGGAAGCGCTTGGAAACGAGCGGGCGCGTCACAGCGCTCGAGCAGCGATGTCTGGCGGCCGGAATTAGAGCGTCTACGCCCTGCGCGCTCACACGGCCAAGGTTAGGCGCCGCCGACCTAGCGTACATCGACACTAGCAATCAGCTCGCTTTGCAATTTGACGCTCATAGACGCGATAAACCGCATCGCTGTGCACACTAGTGACTGTCAGGACTCGCAGTCGGCAAGGCCTCGTCGCCGCAATCAAATTTCTTGCAGCGCTATCGTCCGAGGCGTGACGCCTCAGCCGCAACCATGATCCTGCGACACGCCATAACGCTTGTAGCCTGCGCCCGCGTGGCGCAGGCCTTCCACAGCTCTACCCTTGCAACAATGCCGCGGCAAACCCCCCTGCTGCGCGCGAGCACCGCCGACGCCGCGACGGGCCTTGCGGACACGCAACTCGTCCTCAAGTTCGCGTGCTTCGGGTTTAAGGACCGGGACTGCTTGCTCACGCTTGGTAGTGGCGGCACGGCGACGTTCAGCGCGGGCATGGTCAGCGACGGGCCCGGCGAGTGGCGCGTCGTGGCGGGCGACCCCGAGGACGGGGAGAACCCGAGAGACGCGTACCTCGAGTTCAGCCAGCCCGTGACGGAGGTCTACAGCGAGCTGTACAACGTGCCGAGCGGCGTCGTCTTCTGGCGGGGCCGCGTCGCGAACGAGGGCGGGCGGCTCGCGATCGTCGACGGTGTGGCCATCTCAGAGTCTTCAGATACCTCTCGGAAACTCGTGGCGAAGCTGACGGGCGGCGCGGGCTTCCAGAAGGAGGGCGACTTCACGGCGCGCGCGGTGGCGCCGGGCGACGACCCGGCGACGCTGCCCCAGCCGGTCTCGATCGAGTTGTACGACGACGGCGGCACGCCGCAGTCGTCGGGCGTCGACCCCGAGTTCGGGGAGCTCGGCAAGCGCAAGCGCAAGCGCAAGGCGGGCACGGCGCCGGAGAAGGGGTTCGGGGCCTAATAGTAGCGCTCTGAACCTTGGCCCAGGCCCCAGTGGGGGATCCGCGAATCCCCGCGACGCCGTCGACGCGACAGTACTACGAAAGAATGTACGAAAGAATGCTATATACCCCCCCACTCCTCAATGCGCGTCAGCGATCGCCTTCTTGATCTCGCCGATGGCCTTGCCCGGGTTCAGGTGCTTCGGGCATGTTTTACTGCAGTTCATGATCGTGTGGCACCGGTACAATTTAAAGGCGTCGTCCAAAGCTTCTAGTCTTTCTTGGCGCATGTCGTCGCGACTATCTTGGATCCATCTGTAAGCCTGCATCAAGACAGCGGGCCCAAGGTACGAATCGGCATTCCACCAATAAGAGGGACAGGAAGTCGAACAACAAGCACAAAGGATGCACTCGTACATCCCGTCAAGCTTCTTCCGATCGACTTGTGTTTGCAGATGTTCCTGCGTCAAGTCATGTTCACTCTTCGTCTGGAGCCAGGGCTTGATCGACCGATACTGGTCGTAGAAGTTCGTCATGTCCGGTACCAGGTCCTTGATGACGTACATGTGCGGTAGGGGGTTTATCGTCACTGGCTTGTCCGAGACCTTCTCCTCGCCGGGCGGCGTGATATAACACAAGCAAGCGAGGGTGTTCGTCCCGTTGATGTTCATGGCGCAGGACCCGCAGATGCCCTCTCTACAGGACCTTCTGAAGGTTAGCCCTGGCTCTTGCTCCGCCTTAATCTTGATCAAAGCATCTAAGACCATGGGGCCGCACTCGTCGAGATCTACCGGATAGGTCGACGTGTAGGGCTTCTGGCCGGGAACCTCCGGGTCCCACCGATAAATCTTAAAGTAGCGGACGTTGTCGCCGGTGGACGCTTGCGTGCTGAGGGCGGCGCGCGTGGCGCTGACGGCCCAACCGGCGCCTGGCGCGCGACGCGCAGGCCCGGCGGCGCCGAGGGTGGCGCGGGCGGCGCGCTGGACTGAAACACGCAGCATGGTGCTAATTTTGTCGGTGCTCTGGAGCGGTGGGTTTCTTCGGCGTCGGGGCGCGGGGGCCGTGCGCAGACGTCCGAGAGACTGCTAGAAACGCGTGAACGCGCAGCGGTAATCAGCGGTATTCGGCGGCGGCCGCGCTGTAATATTTTGTTGTGGTGGAAGAATTGCGGAAGCACTCGATAATCCTTTAGCGTCAAGCATACTAGCTTTTCAGCCTCCTTGCTTTGTACGTCGATTGCGCAGCCGAGAGAGAGACGCTGAAACACTGTGCAAGCAAGCGTATAACATCTACCATTCGGTGTGAGCGCTGCTACCAATTATTGAGAGCAGTGCTGGTCCCCGACGCGAGTTTGGCCTCCTTGCCTGCAGCGCTGCACAGCATAATGAAGCGCCTCCTCGTAATAAACCCGAACACATCCAAGCTCTTCACAAAACGCATCGCAGCGGTAGCGCGCCGAAGCACGGAACTCCAAGTCGAGACGGTAAATCCACGGAGCGGCCCTAGATCGATAGAGAGCGCCTACGACGAGCTCCTGAGCTGCGCGCCGACGCTCGAGACGTATTTGGAAGCGCGACGGCGCGGCCCCGTCGACGGCGTGGTGGTTGCCTGTTTTTCGGATCACGCCGCCGTCGAAGCGCTACGGGAGATCGCGGACGGTCCCGTCGTGGGTTTGCTGGATGCGGCGTGTGCGACCGCGTCACTGGTCGGCGACAGCTTCGGCATCGCCACGACGTCGAAGTCCTGGGAGCCTCTGCTGCGGAAGGGCGTGGAGCGGCTCGGCTACGGCGAGCGATGCGTGGACATCCGCGCCATGGACCGGCCGGTGCTCGCTTTGGAGCACGAAAACGTGGAGCAAGCGCTCCTCGACACAACAACAGCGATCGCCAGCGACGTGGTTATTTTGGGTTGCGCGGGCTTTGGCTCGGAAGTAGCGAGACGGACGGCCGCGGCGACGGGCAGCTCGATCATAGAGCCCGTGGAGGCCGCCGTGCGCCTTTGTACCTCTTTGGCGCTCCAGGGCCTCGGGTCGGCGAAAGCGCGGCCGCTCGCGCAGGAGCTCGACGGCCTCCCGGAGATACTGGCCGAGGCGTACGCGCCCCGCGGCGATACCGTCGCCGTCGCGGCGCCGGCGGCACCGGCAGCGAACCGCGCCCTGGCCCTCTACCGCCGCGCGCTGCGCGCCGCGCGGCGATGCGTCCCGGGCCAGGCCGCAACCCAAGAGGCCTACGCGCGGCAGAGCTTTCGCGCCAACGTAGGAGCTGACGCGCGGAGGGCTCCTGGCTTGCTCGCCGACGCCGAGGACCAAATCGCGTTCGGGGAGTCGCTGCTCCGGCGCCGAGAGGCAGAGGACTCCGCGCCGGTCGCGGCGATGGCGTCTACCGCGGCCGACCGCGTCTCCCCGGAGCCCGTCGCCTCGACGCCCGTCGCCCCGACGCCTGTCGCACCGGCGCCTCAGGAAGCACCTCGGGGAGCGCATCGGGAAGCGTCTCGGGAAGCGCCTCAGGAAGCGCCTCGGGAAGCGGACGACCTCCTGGCCTACGGCGACTACCTCGACGGCGACGCGCTCGACCGACGACTTCGTGATAATTTGTAATGTCAAAACTCCACCTTAAGGTTCGGGTTCCGCCGTTGCAGATCGCTCTTGAGCCGCTGTTGGCCAACCTGGCGCTCGTACTCCTCAGCCGCGACGCGGCGCTCGTCGGCCTCCGCCTCGGGCGTCAGCACTCGCTTCGACTTGGGGAACTGGACGGCGAGCCCGACGCCATCTCCAGTTAATGCCACAAACTCGGCCTCGAATTGGGACGCCACCGCCGCCACCGCTCGACACGCGTCCTTCTTCAGGAACGCGCGGACCGCCTCGTGCGGCTCAGTCTTCGGAGAAAACGTTGTAGTCAGCTCCAAATCGTCTGCACCACACCCGGACGCGCAGTCCCGCAGCGTCGCCTTGCCCTTGAAGAGCGCACTGCCTTCCTCATCCTCGGCGACCCATTCGAGCTCGGCACACGAAAAGTCGAAGAGGAACTTGACCTTGCGCTGGAACACCACAACTTGCGCGTCGCCCTTGACCCGCCTCAAATCCCAGAAGCGCACGTGCAGATCCGGGCCGACCCTCGTGGTCGCCTCCTTCAGCAGCTCCGCGAAGCGTTCCACGGCCCAGGCCGTCACGTCGCGCTCCTCCCACGTGTCCTTCTTGTTCCAGTCCGACTGCCTCAGGGGCGCGCCGCCGGCACTCCGCACGTCGGTCGTCGTCACCGCGACTTTTCTAGGCCTCTCTTCCGACAGGTCCACGACGGCGTTGTCGAGCTTCTGTGGCGGTCGTGCGCTGGACTTCGTCGACGCCTTTTTGGGAGGCGGCGGCGGCAGGGCGCTCCGCATACTCTCGAGCCGGGCTCGGTAGCCCGAGAGCCCCTCGAGCGCGACGCAGCGGTCGCAGGCCGCGAGGCCCCTGGCGCAGGCCTTCGCCGCCTTTGATGCGGCTTTAGATGAAGGCCGCTGCTGGGCCATGGCTTGTAATGCTTCAGCTCGAAAACAATGAGCCGGGACGCAGTCGCCGTCCAGGTCGATGGCCAAATCGGCGTACTGCACGACGCCGCGCTTCATGTCGAGCGCCGCGAGCGCTGCACAGAGCTCCAGCGCTACTTCCAACTTCTTGCGGTCCTTGTTGCCGCCGGAGTCGGCCTCGAGGGCTTGGAGCTTGTCCTTGAGCTGTTCGATTGTGTCGGCCATGGTTTTGCAGCACGCGTCGAAGGCGTGCGCGTGCGATGGAAATGCGCAGTCCTGCTCGTCCACGAGCTTCGAGGCCCGCTACAGATCGAGCTAGGCAGCTTGTTTTCGATGCGAGCTCGCGCAGCTAACGGCACATACATACTAGCATTTTCACACAAGCACAAAACGAGGCTCTGAGCGCCAGGGGCAGCCGAGGGCAGCCGCAAGTATGCGCTGACACCCATGACCATGCACCCGGCAGCGGTGCGCAGCATTTCGAGCACAGCGCTGCTCGTCCTGCTGAGTCTGAGTGGCTGGAAGCGGAGCAAGCAGCCCCCGCCGAGCGCACGGAACGCGACGCTCACTCCGGAGGAACGCTACGTGCCGCTGCGACGAGAACCGAAATTGTTCGAATCGTTGCTGCGCGACGAATGGCTCACGTCGGAGGCGCGCGCCGTCGCTGCAGCCGCGTGGGAGGGCTACCTCCATGACGCGGTGGTACGAGAGTCTTCTGGGGTCTATTCCTTCGAGTTGTTCTCAAAAGCTTTCTGCGAGACGTTTTTACGGGAGGTAGATAACTATGACGCGTCGGGTTTACCAGTGAGACGGCCAAATTCCATGAACAACTATGGGTTAATAGTAAATGAGATCGGGATGAGGGATGCCATCACACAGTTACAGCAGGAGATCCTGTGGCCCGTGGCGCGTTTGCTCTTCCCGCTCCAGTCGACACGCTTCGACGCGCATCACTCTTTTATAGTACGGTACAAGGAAGACGAAGATCCTGGTTTGGATATGCACACCGACGACAGCGACGTCACATTTAATGTGTGTCTCAATAGCAACTTCACCGGGGCTGGACTAACGTTCTGCGGCGACGCCGGTACCTCGCGACATAGAAAGCTCGCCTTCCGCTACCGCCACGAGATGGGCCGCGTCGTCGTGCACCTCGGTACGAAGCGCCACGGCGCCGACGACATCGAGAGCGGCGAGCGGCGCAACTTGATCATCTGGAACCACAACCACCGCTGGCGCGCGTCGCGGACCTATCGACGACTCCGCGAGAGATACGCCACCGAGGCGGGCGAGCCGGATACGGAGTGCGTCTCCTACACGCACGATCGCGACTACGGCGCGTTCAAACCGCATACGGATAGAACGCGCGAACACGCGAACAGGCCGTGGTGTCCGCCCGAACAGGCGTGCTACGACACGATGGGCGAACGCCTCTTGGAGGACGAGTACTCCTATTACGGCGGACGCCCGAGGAGGCGTTCCCAAGGCATGTGCCCGGCCACGTAATGTATGTGATAACAATGTACTAGGACTTAGCCGCCTGCTGCTGCTGGGCCTTCTTCTGCCGCGCTCTGGCTTGCGACCGCTGCGTGTCGTCGCGCGACGCCCTCACGAGGTCGCAGTCCCAGGGTAAAGAACGGTCACCAGCAGCTAAAGGCGGCGCCCCCTCCCAGAAGAAGTCGTCGTCGAGCGCGTCCTTGGCCGTGACGCGTTTTTTCGGCGAGAGAGCCAGTAACCGGTCAAGTAGTTTCGCGCCGGCCTCGGACCTCTCCGCAAACGCCTCCAGGACGCGGCGCCGGCGCGGCACCGACGCGGCCACCGGATACGGCTCGGTCGTGACCTTGTCCTCCACGCCTCGCACCCCACACGCCTCGCGCCAATGTTTACACACTTTTCGGGCCTCGGGCCAGTCTACTTCCCGAGGCGTGCCGCACAACGCGTACAACTTCTGCAGGTAATCCCCTTCGTCTCGGCCCGTGATCACGATCTCCCGCTTCAACAACTCCGCAAAGATAGCGCCCACAGACCACACGTCGATCGGCGGCCCGTAGTGCCGACAACCTAGCAATAACTCCGGAGGGCGGTAGTTCAGAGTGACCACAGGCAAAGTATAGGCGTGGCCGGGCTTGTACGACCTTGCTAATCCAAAGTCGCAGATCTTGACGTCGCCCTTCCGCGTGATGAGGCAGTTCGACGGCTTCAAATCTCTATGCATGACCTGGTTCGCGTGCATGTAGTGCACGCCCTCCAAGATCTGCTGGACGATGGACTTTTGTCTTGGTTCGTCTATCGTTCTCACCACTGGCGACTGGATGACGATCTCCAGGTCGAGCTCCGCGTACTCGAAGACCATAAAAACAGGGCTTTTATATGAACTTGATGGCGAGTACACTTCATGAAGCCGTATGAGATTCGCATGTCTGAGTTGGAGCAGGATCTTGTGCTCTCTAAGAGTAGTAATCGGAAAGCCCCAGTCGTCGTCGCGCTGGATGAATTTTTTTAGGGCCACGGTCGTGCCCTGGGTACGTCGCCGCGCGTCGTCGGGCCGCGCGCGGTAGACTTCTCCATAAGTACCTTTCCCGACACACACGAGGTCGGTCCAGGGTAATTCCGGCCGGTCGCGCCGGTCGGCCGAAGGGGGCGTGCGCTGGCGCTTTTTTGAGGATAGGATTTCGGCGGGCGACTTCTGCGCGGTGCCTGGGCTGCGCCCGCGCAGGCCGGCGCCGGCGAGGGCCGGTGACTTGCCCGGGCGCAGGCCGGCGAGTGCGGGGCTCGTTTTTGTTATAGGTGGCGACCGGCCCGGCGCGGCGCCCGCGGCGGGCGACCGTCTGGCGGGCGCGACGGCCGTCGCTTGGGCGGCGGCACCCGGCGGCGCGTCGGTGCGCGAGCGCTTGGCTGCGGGCGATGCGGATGGAGATGACATGGCGCTGCGCGGTTCCAAAAGCACGTCTCTCTCGCGTTCCACCCTTACGTCTCCACCGCTGCGTCGCCCAAAGCCGCCGCAAGCAAAGGAGAGTGCCTCGCTAGTGTCTTACGGCCGCTAGCACCAGTTTTTGCGTGGTGGCCAAGTACGGTGCTTAACGAAGCCGAGGCATTGCAAGGATCAATGTCAACACCAGCATTCCTCGCGGCAGCAGTGGTTCTGGGCCTGGCCGGCGCCTTTGCCCTCATCAAGCACCGCAGCAAGAAGACGATCCCAAGGCTGCCGGACGCGAAGCTCGATTAATGCTCCGCTGGCTCGTCGTCGCCATGGCCGCAAATGCCCAGCAGTGCGACGAGCTCCCGTACGAGGTCGCCACCTACGCGTTCACGATCCCCGCCCGCGACGGCCACGCCATCGACGCGCGGGTCTACGCGCCGGCGACGAACTGGACAGTCCTGCAGCAAGCCCCGGGGCCGCATGACGCGCACGACGCGTTCGCCGGCGTCGTCTACGCCCACGGCGGCTGCTTCTCGGAAGGCACTTGTGAGTCCTTCGAGGAGCTGGGCCGCGGCTTCGCACGGCGGGGCCTGATGGTGCTGGACACATCGTTTCGGCAAGGCGCCGGGAACCCGCACCCGGGGGCTTTACGTGATCTGGGCGACGTCGCGGCGTGGGCTCACGAGGCGTTTCCAGACCTCGCCTGGGGCGTCGCGGGCTCGTCCTCCGGTGGTTACATGGCCCTGGCCCTGGCCGCGGACCCGTTTCACTGGGGCTGCGCGATGGATTTTTCATTTACGCTGGCCCTGTGTCCGGTCGCGGACCCCCTGGCGCGCGCGAATTATCTCCGTGCTGTGATTAATGGTACCTCGGAGATCGAGCCGCGGCACGAACCCGAGCGCGCACGACAGATCCTCGCGAGCCAGCTCTCGTATTTCCCGGGCGGCGACGACCAAATGTGGGAGGCTGCGGGTCTCGTCAACGAATTTGCCATGGGTATGGTGTTCATCGTCGCCGGGGCGCAGGACAAGAACGTCCCCCTGCACGTGCTCTCGAAGGTGATTCCCCGGGCGAACCGCACGCTCGTCCTCGGCCGGGCCGGCCACGAGGTCCAGGCCGTGCTCAAAGATCAGGACTACGACGAGATTATCCCGTGGCTCCGCGAGGCTGTAAAATAACATATCACAATACTTAGGGCCTCCAGTTCGTAAACAGCGAGATCCGCCCCTCCATGACGCCCGTCGCGTAGCCGAGGACGTCGCCCGTATCCCTCAAATCAAACGAAGCGAAGGCGTCGACGAGCTCGGCACCGCGCTGCAGGTTGTAGCCGACGAAGAGCGGTACCTGGCGATCGCCGCAGAGTTCGGCGACCGCTTCTGCGAGCTCCGCGGGCGTGACGTTCGCGAAGGGCGGGTCGAGAAAGAGCGCGTCGAAATCATATGAAACGCTTTTTGGGGAGCGCAGGTCGAAGGGCTCGTAGTGCCTCAACGTGGCGAAGCGCTCGTCGCGGTCGAGGAGCAGGTAGTCGTCTCCACTACTGTCGAGCTTCGCCGCGATCGACGGCACGCAGACTAGCAACGGCTTCTCGAAGCGCCTTACCAGTCTCATCATCTTGGCGCTCGTCGGCGCGTCGTAGAAAAATTGCTCAAATCTATGATCCTCGGGGATCGGCACGCCGTTCGCCACGACTGCCGCGGGCGCGATGTCCGTCGCGCGGCCCTTGCGTCTCTTCTTATCTTGGGCTTCGCGCGCCTTCTTCTCCGCCCACGCGGCCTCGCGGTCGACTTTTTTTGCCCTCTTCGCTCGCATTGTTGTGTGGTGATGCCTTTGGTGCAGCGGCTGCCAGGCGCTGCAGGCATGCCCAGCAAGGAGTGTGATCAGTGCGACCGCGGTACACGGCCTGCACTGATGACTAGGCATCGTGCAATGGACAGGAAGCTGCAAATGCGTCGCCGCTACGTGCTTGCAGTCCAGTGCGGCTGTCCAATGCAATTGCTGCCCACTTGTTGTTTTGCACTCGCAAGAGCTGCAGCGCTGGCCGGCGGCCGTGCGCTGGTTGCGACCGTTCACGACAGCTCGCAGAGCGTCTACAAAGTACCGTAGCAGCCGTCGCGCGAGAGGCAAAAAGCACAAGCAGCTAGCGGCATAAGACATACTAGAGAGCGGGAAGCGGGGTTTTCTTCCAGGCGCCAGAGCTCTTGTACGAGTAGAGTCAGAACACGAGGCCATGCGGGCGAGAATCGAGCAGGCCGAGAGGTACGGGGCAGCCCAACCGTTCACCTGGGGCTGCTCATAAACAGCACGCGGTCCGCCGTCTCGTGGAGTCGCGCAAGCCGTGCGACCTACCAGGCTCGTGCAGGACCTGACGGCACCGCCGCAGCAGTAGCGTCGAGTCTCGCGCGCCGTGAGACCTGCCGTACCGGCAGTACATCACAGGGACAAAGATGCCTCTCGAACCGCTGCGCTCCAAGGTCGTCGGCGCCGGCGCACCTAATAAAGATGCGACCTGGCTGCCCGCGCCATCATCAACAGCAGGAGACCTCCTCTCCACGAAGAACTTCTACTTCGCCGATAGGAGCACGCAATTAGATCTGGAGGCGATCCGCGACATCGATCTGGAGCGCATCGAGAAGGATGTTGATATAGAAGCCCTGCAGAGGCACCTCGAGCCGCTCGTGTTCGGGAGATTGCCGGAAGTGTTAGATGCCGGCGAGGGGCACGCGGCCTTCCGGAAGCTGTTCCGCCTGTCTCAGTTAACTTTAGAATATCTGCTGAACGTGCAAGACGTATTAGCTGAAGGGCTCGATAAAGCTTCCCAAGCATGCTCGGAGTCGTCTAGGAATGCGGAGAGATATCGCAAGCGCGCCAAAAAATTAGACGCTCGGGTGAAGATGCTGGAAAGAGATTTGGCCTCAAAAAGGGACGCGGCGCACGCCTACCAGGGCCTCGTCATGTCGGCTTCCTCAAGACCTCCCGCACCGGTCGTCCAGCCCATGTCCGTGGCCACGGAACCGTCCGTGAACTTTCCCCTTGGGGATGCTACTGTCTATGTGACGCTGCCCGACGGCACGGCGACGCAGCACGCCATTCAAGAAGGTACTACTGCGGCGGATTTGAGAAACAGGGCGGGGTATACGGGCCGGACCTACTTTCGCGGTAGAAGGTTGGCTGCGGACGTCACCCTAGGCGACGCGGGCGTGCGCGACGGTGATTGTATCATGGTCGTCCAGGACGGCCTGGATCAGGGGCAACAGGAACCGTTAGATGATCGCATCGCGGATCTGGAGCGATCCATCCGCGGGGAGCTCGCCATGCAGGTGCAGACGCAACTCGCGGCTCTACGCGGGTCATTACCTTCTCAGTCACAACCCGCACAGCCTCAGGGCTGCCTCGCCGGCGACTTGGAGGACGACGACGAGGCCGTTGACGACGAGACGGGGATGCAAACCGTCCTCACGTCGCCGTTCGACGCGTCGCAGAGTGGCTTCTTCGGCGGCCCGTCGCCGCACGCCGGCGATTTGAGAGCGATGGAGACGCGGCTGAGCGCCCAGATGGACGCGCTCGAGGCCAAGATGTCGGAGCTCATGGGCGACGCCGTGCACCGCGTCACCTTACCTAGAGCGACGACGCCGGTAGCACCCGCGGTGAAACAGAGCGCGCGGAAGACGACGCCGCGGCCCGTGCCGGCCACGCCGAAAGCCACGACGCCCTACGCGGGCGCCGTCGAGGACGACGTCGAGGACGAGGAACCGCCCCGCGACGCGAGCTTCGAGTTCTCGTGCGTGTTCGGGGAAGGCGCGTGGCCCGTAAAACCGAAGGGCAAGCTCTCGCTCGTCGTGGCGCCGGAGGAGACGATTGCGACGGTGCGATGCGCCGTGGCCGCGAAGCTGGACCTCGAGGTCGATCGCATCCGGTTACGGGATAACACAACGGGTGAGGATATTGGAACCGCGGCGGACTTGGAGGAGGCGGACGTCGTCTGCCAGATCGTGCGCGGCGATCTTATTAGTGATGGGCAGGTCGAGGATTTGGCACGCCTCAAGTCCATCCTGGGCGATAATGCAATCGACGAGTCGACGGCGGCGCAGCGCGAAGCACTAGATGCGTCCGTCGAAGCGCGACGGGCCGTCTGGCGGGCCGTGCCGCCGGCGCACGGCGCGGCGGCCGCGACGCGCGAGGACGTCGTCCACCTCGAGGTGCGGCTGAACGCGCTCCAGAAGCTCGTGGCTTCCATCGACTCGACGACGACCTGGGACGCGGAGATGGTCGCCAAGGTCGACGAGGCCTTGTCGGCGTTCGGCGGCGGGCTCGATCCGGCCGTCAACGCGGCCGTCGCTCGTATAAGGGCCCGCGTCGACGAGCGGGCCGCGCTCGTCGCGGAGCGCGTGGCGGAGTAAGGGTTCTGCTCTAAGCAAGACTAGTGCTGCAGCTGCGGCGGCGCTAGTGGCCTCGCGCTAGACGATCCTGGCTGTTTTTGCTCAGTGCTCGCTGCGGGCAGCCCCCACGCGGACTCTATCACCATGGCCCAGGGAGAAAAAAACTCAGGGGGTGGCATGTGCTGCTCGGCCGGCGACAACGGCTTCTGCCAGAACACGACCCAAGCCACCGACTGGGCCCGCAAAGCAACAGTGCATAAAGCAAGGTCGCGGCGCTTCTCGCCCGCGGCTGAATCATGACCGCCACGCCATCGACGCGACGCCAGCTCCTCACTGGTTGATTTGCGCGCAGGCAAGAATCGGTGCGCGCACGTGGGCATCATCGTCGGCATGTGGGTGTCGGGCTTCCTCATCGCCATGTTCATGCCCGATCTATTTTACCACGTGCGCGGCCTCTTAGGCATCATCGGTGCCGTCGCCTGCGCTTGTTTTGGGGGAGGCGGCGCGTGCATGGCGGTCCTCTGCATGAACGACAAGATCCGCGAGGCCGAGCAGAACGGCGGAAGTTGGTTCAACGCCGGCGGCGGGCCCCTCGCGCCCGACGGCTGGATCGGCCGCCATTTCGTGGAGCCCGAGATTGATGACGGCGACCCGCCCGTCGTCGAGGCGCCCGCCGGCGCCGACGACGTCGAGGCGCCGTCGGAGCCGTGACGACGTCTCGTGACGACGCACGTGTTTTTCTGCGCGCCGCCCTCCAAGTCCCCCTCCTTATTTCCTCTGGCCTCGACGCGACTAGGCCAGCGACTAATTAGATGACCGCTCGACTACTCGCCGAGGTCGAGCTCGGCCCAGGGCTCCTTCGAGTAGCAGTACAATAACGCCGCGTCCTTGAGCCGGTCGAGCGCGCCGTGCGTCGCCAAGCTATGGACGCAGTCGCTCTTGTTCGATGTTTCGCGGTCGTAGGCAAGCCGCGCCGCGGCATGGTCCCCATCTTCCAAACCCGACGCGGCCTCCGACGCGGGCACGAAGACCGGCGCGCCGTTCTGGTCCCGGTACAAGCCCACCAGGTTCTTGTCCGCGTCGTAGGCCGGGAAGCCGAGGACCGCGCCGTCGCGCACCGGGCGAAACTTCTTCGCGAGCACCGTCCTCACTTGGGACTCGACCTCGCGGCTCTGGGCCGTCTCCGTGAACGGCGGCAAGGGCACGTCCTCCCCATGGCCGGAGCCGTCGCCGGCGGGACCGCCCGTGTAGACCGAGGACACGCCCCGCTGTAACACGGGCGGCGCCATGCTTCCAGCGCCGGCCAGCGCGTGGAGCGCGCTCTGGCCCTCGGCCTCGTCCAAGATTGCCAGCGTCATCCCCGCCGACGTGCGCATGCGGCTCATAGAGGGTGCTTGCATCGGCGGGACGCTCCGCGGCTTCTTCCTCTTTTGGTTTTCTCCTAATAAAGGTGCGATGTCCTTCTCGTACTTTCTTTGTAGTGTATCGATGATGGCGTTGGGGTTGCGCATCTGGTAGTCTACGCCCGAGACCCTCCAGCGCATTTCATCTAACGAAGACACAGCCTCCTGGATCCACTCCGCCACCGACGACGGCAGGCCATCCTCCGAGACTTGCGGTAGAGGTGCCCTAGTACGAGGAGGAGAGGTAGACGCCCGGCGCCGCTTGTTCCTCTTCGACCTAACATGCACCTTCTGCGTTCTCACACTTTCGATGCCCTCCTCGTCACACGACACCTCCACACAAAAACACTGGCCCTGGTGGTTCTTCGACACGTCCTCCACTCGAGCCTTCACGGTCAACAACCCGCCCTTCAGTGACAAGCCCCGTTTCCTACCATCTTCCGTCCAGACCCGCAGGATCGACTGGTTCTCGACGATTTTGCCCGTGTCGGCGTAGCGCAGCGCGCACTTTACTTTCACATCTTTTTTCACCTTCTTGCCCGTGCTGTCATTTAGTGAAAGCTTCAGTAATATACATTTGTGCTGGCCCCCTTCGTCCTTGTACCAGACGGCGGCGCCCTGCTTTTTGGATTCCGCCGCGTCGTGCTCGAGGATGCCGCCCTGCTCGATGGCCAGCTGGAGGGCCATGGGGGCAGCCTGTTTTTTTTTGGCTGTCCAGGAAATTTCTAAGCATGTACTTTGGCGTGGGGTGGTGCTTTCTATAGAGATTTTTAAGGGGTGCTGTGAGACACCCTGGGAGCGGTTGGCCGGGTGCATCTATCGGCATGGGACGGGTTTTCCCTCAAACCCGTACGCATGGCTGTGTATGTAAAGCGGCCGCTGCGCGACACGCATCGATCGAGGCACAACGACTAACCGGCTTCGCGGCACTCCTGCGATGGCCGAGCTCGCGGCGGCAGAGGAGGACGCCTGGTCCGACGAGGACTGGCAGGCCTTTCCGCCGCTCTACACGCTGCAGCCGCACGCGGCGACGCGCGAGGCGCAGCTGAACGTGTGGATCGATTTGCTGTGGCGCTGGTGCAAGGCGCAGAACAGCTGGACCGTGGACGTGGCGAGCTGCGACGTCTTCGTCAATGAAACCATCAACCGGAGGCTCGACGAGAACGGTCGACGCGAGGTCGCGAAGGCGGCGTGCCGCGCGGGCCGCGGCGAGCTGCTCGAGAACGGCGCTTTGTTCGTCCTAGAACAGCAGCCGAAGGACCTCGCGCGGCAGCTCTACGAGTGGGCCAAGGCGACGGGCAGGCTCGGCGGCGTCTTCACGCTGGCGGAGCTCGACGACGACGGCCCGCTCGCGGGCGCCGACGCGCGGCTGCGGACGGCGGCGCTGGACGCGCTCGAGGCCGCGGACCGGTGCGCCGTCTTCACGGGCGCGACGTCGGCCGAGGCGGGCGTGAAGTTTTTTCGGGAGGAGTAGTCTCTAATGTGTTTTGTGTGATAGCGACGATGGCGTACAGGGCACTGCGCTGCGGTATCCCCATAATACTTATTGATCGCGCGCGGGCCAATCACATGGATTCCAATCATTGCCAGTGAGCTCGGAAAAACAAGCCTGAGTGGAAAAACTCGGCGGCGCCGTGAGGATGATGGCACATTGCTAGCGGCACATTAGTCTCCTTCATTTACAAGAAATAGGACCTTACTGAATTGCGCAAGTGGAACTGCCTGATGTCGGCCCAGATGATAAAGATAGTTCGGCGAGGTGCTTTTGGCACTTCTTTGTCATACGATTGCCGGTGCGCGTATATATCGGGAGAGCACGTTCTAGGAGCTCGCGTTTCTTGGCGTTGTCGCCGAGGTTGCCATGGGCTATGCCGAGATTGAACAGCGTGCTGGCCACTTGCGCGTGGTCGCGGCCGTACTTGCGCTCCTTGATCGCGAGCGCGCGCTCTAGCACGTCTCGCTTCTTCGCGTGGTCGCCTAAGTCGCCGTACGCGATCCCGAGGTTCGTCAGCGTGCTGGCCACTTGCGCGTGGTCGCGGCCGTACTTGCGCTCCTTGATCGCGAGCGCGCGCTCCAGCACGTCTCGCTTCTTCGCGTGGTCGCCCAAGTCGCCGTACGCGTTCCCGAGGTTATTCAGCGTGCTGGCCACTTGCGCGTGGTCGCGGCCGTACTTGCGCTCCTTGATCGCGAGCGCGCGCTCCAGCACGTCTCGCTTCTTCGCGTGGTCGCCCAAGTCGCCGTACGCGTTCCCGAGGTTATTCAGCGTGCTGGCCACTTGCGCGTGGTCGCGGCCGTACTTGCGCTCCTTGATCGCGAGCGCGCGCTCCAGCACGTCTCGCTTGTTCGCGTGGTCGCCCAAGTCGCCGTACGCGTTCCCGAGGTTATTCAGCGTGCTGGCCACTTGCGCGTGGTCGCGGCCGTACTTGCGCTCCTTGATCGAAAGCGCGCGCTCCAGCACCTCTCGCGCCTTTGCGTGGTCGCCTAATTTACTGTATGCGTCCCCGAGGTTCGTCAGCGTGCTGGCCACTTCCGGATGGTCGCGGCCGTACGCCCGCTCCTCGATCGCGAGCGCGCGCTCCAGCATGTCTCGCTTCTTCGCGTAGTCGCCCAAGGCGCCGTACGCGTTCCCGAGGTTCCCCAGCGTGATAGCCACTTCCGGATGGTCGCGGCCGTACGCCCGCTCCTTGATCGCGAGCGCGCGCTCCAGCACGTCGCGCTGCTTCGCGTAGTCGCCTAACCTGCCGTACGCGTTCCCGAGGTTATCCAGCGTGGCGGCCACTTGCGCGTGGTCGCGGCCGTACGCCCGCTCCTTGATCGCGAGCGCACGCTCCAGCATGTCTCGTTTCTTCGCCTGGTCGCCTAAGGCGCCGTACGCGTTCCCGAGGTTATTCAGCGTGCCGGCCACTTTCGGGTGGTCGCGGCCGTGCGCCCGCTCCTTGATCGCGAGCGCGCGCTCCAGCACGTCTCTACTCTTCGCGTGGTCGCCTAAGTCGCCGTACGCGAGCCCGAGGTTGTTCAGCGTGATGGCCACTTGCGCGTGGTCGCGGCCGTACGCCCGCTCCTTGATCGCGAGCGCGCGCTCCAGCATGTCTCGTTTCTTCGCGTTGTCGCCTAAGGCGCCGTACGCGTTCCCGAGGTTCCCCAGCGTGCCGGCTACATTCACGTGGTCGCGGCCGTAGGTCCGCTCGTCGATCGCGAGCGCGCGCTCCAGCATGTCGCGCTTCTTCGCGTGGTCGCCTAAGTCGCCGTACGCGCACCCGAGGTTCGACAGCGTGAGGGCCACGCTCGCGTGGTCGCGGCCGTACGCCCGCTCCTTGATCGCGAGCGCGCGCTCCAGCATGTCTCGCTTCTTCGCGTGGTCGCCTAAGTCGCCGTACGCGCACCCGAGGTTCGTCAGCGTGGGGGCCACGCTCGGGTGGTCGCGGCCGTACGCCTGCTCCTCGATCGCGAGCGCGCGCTCATAAATGGCTCGTGCCTTGGCAGGTTCGCCGAGAGAGTTGTACGCGCTCCCGAGGTTCGTCAGCGTGGTGGCCACCTGCACGTGGTCGCGGCCGTACGCCCGCTCCTTGATCGCGAGCGCGCGCTCCAGCACGTCTCGCTCCTTCGCGTGGTCGCCCAAGTCGCCGTACGCGCTCCCGAGGTTCGTCAGCGTGGTGGCCACCTGCACGTGGTCGCGGCCGTACGCCCGCTCCTTGATCGCGAGCGCGCGTTCCTGTATGTCTCGTGCCTTGGCGTGGTCGCCTAGGTCGGCGTACGCGTTCCCGAGGTTCCCCAGCGCCACGCCCGTCTCCTTGCTCTCCGCACCAAACGCGCGCTCCCTCTCCGCTAGGATAGCCTCCCGGACCTTCACGACGCCCGCAGATTCCTGTATCGACTCGAGCAGATCGCAGAGCCCCTCGAGCAAACTCGCGTCCGCGTCGGACCCGAGCACGTGGTCCACCAACTCCTCCACATCGTTCGCCTCGTCAACTGGAAGCTTGCACAGCATCTCGAGCCGCTGCGCGACGGCGTCTGAATTTCCCAAGAAAAACGACCGGAAATACTCGTAGACCGTGTGGCTCTGGTGCAGCGCTTCCGACTCTTTGATCGGCATGAGGTGAATTTGCAGCTCGCACATGTGCGACACGTTCTCGACTTTCACGGCGACGTTCATCAAAATATCCTGATAGCCGTTGAAGAGCGGCGGCGCGAACCGGTTCTTCGTCCGCACGATATCCACGCGGTCGTCGGCCTCCAGCGCCTTGTACAAACTGACGAGGGCGTCCTCCGTTTGACAGAGGGCCGCCCCGCGCGTAATGTCGAAGAGCCACGAGTAGCACGGCGCGGTCTTGTCCGCGTACTCGTCGCGCGCCTTAGCGCCGGCGCGGTCGCGTCCTTTCAGCGGCGCGAACATCAGCTTTACACCGCTTTCAGGGCACGCGGCCGTCATAATTTCCTCGAACTGCACCCTCGCCAGCACGGCGACCTCGTACAGCGCGTCGAGCGACGCGGCCGGCTTGCCGTCGAGGCCGCACTGCCGACACTCGTCTCCTAAATTCTTGCCCACCCAGGGGATCTTCTTCACATCACCCTTGATGTGCACGCGCGCGATCTCGTCGATTTGTTCACGCGCTGCTTTGAAGGCCTTCAGGTTGTGAAACATGCATTTCCGCGGGTCGAGCGCGCGTTCGTCGTGCTCCTTGGCGTGGGCCTCGATGGTAGGCCAGGCAGCCACGCGCGTCCCATCGGGGCCCTCGGTCGCGGCGGCATCAAAGGCTTTCTTCTTCTCCGCGTCGTACAGCACGCCGATTTCATTCTTGATGGCTACCTCGGACAGTGGTGCGCCCTCCGTCGACACGCCAGCACCCATTTTGTGCTACAACACTCTATGTCTACAGTATGGAGTCAAGCTGCTCCGGGCTTTTAGGCTGCCCCAAATGCCAAATCGGTGCGCGTTTGGGCGCCTCCCTTCTTCAGCTGTAGCTGTTGTGTTAGCGCAGCCCCGACGTTGTGCTTAAGGGCAGCTGCTCGATAAGCATGAGCATCCCTGAGCATCGCACAGATCGGGCGCGCGCTACAAGCTCGTACGCCGCCGCCGCGCCGCGCCGGGACGAGAGGCGGCGAGACCCCTACCAGCAGTAAGGAGACCTCCCGGACCCCCGAACGACATCTCACGGAGAAAAAATAAGGAAACGTTGACGCCGCCGACGCGGCGACTAGCACTAGAGACTAGACTTGATAAGGTTAGGCCACCACGCATCCCGCGCACCCCTCCTCGGCCGCGCGCCGCGCCACGACGCCGCTGCCCTCGCTCGTCACGACCCAGGACCCGCTCGTAAAGTCGAACGACGGCACGTCGCCGCCCCTGACGGTGACGTAGCCGCGGATCGCCGTGGCTTCCGGCGCGTCGCCCGGCGCCGGGCCCCGCACGAAACCCGCGTTCGCCGCGACGCAGTGCTCTATCGTGCACGACGCGCCCGGCGCGCATTTGACGACGAGGCCGCCGTCCAATTGGAGCGACTTCACGGTGACGTCGCCCTCCAGTATTAAAGTGGAGCGCTCCGTCACGGTCACGAATTTTGGGGAGGGCACGCGACCCTTCAGCGCCTTGAGAGAGGTGGCGAAGGACGGCAGGAGGACGATGGCCGGCCTTAGATTGTCGACGGCGACGCCGCCCCACGCCTCCGGCATGGACTGCTTCTCGACGGCACACCCGCACCACCGTAACATTTCCGCGCAGTGGGCGTACTGGTCCGCTTCTGCCGATAAAGCACACGCTGGTGGACTTTTCGTGGCGGCGTCGGCCGTGGCATTTTTACAGGGCGAGAACGAGATCCAGGCGTCCACGGACGTAAAACCGACCTTCTCCTCCTTCGCCAACACCTTGGGGTAGTCCTGCATCATGCATTCCAACCGGGCGGGCTTCTTGAAGGTCGTCTTCGTCGAGTCCGCGTATTTGGGGTTCACGAACTCGCCCATGACGCCGCGCGTCTTCTCCAAAGTTTGGGCGTAGGGCCCACACGCCAAGACGAACTGGTTGATGTTGCCCGGGTAGGGCGAGTGGACTCCGTCGGCGCCGGCCACATCTCCTCTGGGATCGACGGTAGCTTTCAGGAGAGGTCCCAATTGATTGTACTCGACGTTCAGCGTCATCTCGCGGCCATCTTCATGCGTTAATTTGGCCACGCCGCCCACGGCCTGGCCGGGCAATCTAGGAACGGTCAGAAAGTTGCAGTGCAAATTATGTTGTTTCGACACTCCTAACGTAGCCAACAACGGTCGAAATCCTAGAGCGTTCGTGTCCTGGAAGAAGTAGACCCACTTCCGGCCCTGCGAAGCCCACTTCTTCACGAGACCGGACTGATGTAACAAAACGTGGACGTCGCCGTGGCCGTGGGGCTTGGCCTGCACCTCATACGTTGATAAGGGTGCTATTCTAGCGTCGTTGTCCTGGAGCGCGGGCACCTTTTCCTGCTTCATGAGCGTGATCTGGCCCTTGGCGGCTCCAAAGTCGTTATTTTCCTTCAAGAGTTGCCGCGTCATGGCCTCGGTGTCGCCGGACACCATGATGGCCAAAGGCAGCCGGTCACCTAAGGCTAGTAACGTCTTGACGTAGTACTCGAGGTATTTCGTCGCCGACGCCGTCTCCGTCGGCAGCTCGACCTTGATGCGGGAATAGCCTAATCTTTCGCCCAAACCGCCCGCGACGAGCACGAAGGCGCATTTGGAGACCTCTTGACTGCCAAGGTCCTCCGCTTGCAACCAGGCCTCGCTGCCGAACTGCAACGATTCGCCTTGGGGCACGGACGGCGTCCAGCCCTCCAAGGGGTTGGCGCCCTTGGCCGACGCCGCTAACAGATCGCGCGCCGACGCGAGGTAGGCTTTCAAGCCGCCGGGATACGCGCCGTCGAGGGTCGCGATTTGATCGTAAAACGCCTTGCGCTGCTCTTTCGTGTCGCTCGCCTTCCAGTCCTTGTAGAGGTGCTCCTGCTTCTCGGCGATGAGTATATCGCGCAGCTTCTGCTGCGCCGGCGTGTCCGCTGGGTACTCGCTCATGCTGTGGATCGGCGGAGATGTCGCTGTGGCTCGAAGCTTGGCGTGGAGGATGACGGTGCAGCCGAGGTGCACTCGCAGTGGGTTTTGGCTGCAACAGTGCGGCGTATGGCCAAGATGCGGCGATGACACACCCCAAAAAATAGTCGAGCTAGCGTCATGTAACACACTTAATTGAACTCAGAGCTGTGATTTTGAGTTCTTAGACATACGCCCCACTGAATTTGCTCTCGCAGCGCTGCATTCATACCTACACGCCAGCCGCAACCACCACCATGCTCCTCCGCGCCGCCCTCCTCGGCCACCTCGCACATGCCCTCGTCGCCCCGCCGCGCCTCATCAGGCCGCGCCTGCACCTCGCTTCAACCACAACCGAAACCAAGGGCGACAGTACAGTAGAGACGCTCGCCCGCAGCGTGCAGATTGGTGCTGTGGGCGGCACCATCATCGCCGGGTTCCGCAAATGCGTGGACACGTTGCATGGGGACGTCTTCTTCAAGGGTTTGAGTTTTGACGTCTGCGCCAAGGACCCGAAGTTCATCCTCGGGCCCGTTATTGGCGCGCTGATCGTCGGTAAAGCGCTGCAGGGGGGCAAGACCGTCGCACAACTCAAAGACGTCACACTGCGGAGAGAACCGCTGAAGAAGCGGGACCAGGCGACGCGCGGCGCCGCGGCTGCCTTGACGCTCGGAAGCGGCTGCTCTTTGGGTCCGGAGGGGCCCTGCGTCGAGCTGGGTGCCGCGACGGGCCAGTGGGCGGCGTCCCAAGGCGGCAAGCCAAACGCGCTGGCCGCGGCCGGCGTCGCCGCCGGCGTCGCGGCAGGTTTTGATGCCCCTACCGCTGCGGTAGCGTTTGCCTTGGAGTCTGATACTAAAAATGCTGATACGACGGCCGCGGTGTCCGCAATTACGGCGGCGGGCGTCGCGTCCTACGTCTCGCGCGCTCTGTTAGGTGTTCCTAGCACCACTAGAAAAGGCAGCAAAGGGCTCGCAGCAGTCGTGACGAACTGGAAACTGACAGATGTGGGACCCCTCATGAGCGTGGCGCAAGATGTTGTCATAGCCTCCTTCGTCGCAGCGGTCTTCGCCAAGGCCTTGCGAACGAGCGCCGACTTGTTCAAGAGGGCGCCGTCCGTCAACGACTCGTTGGATGCAGCTAGAGCCGCGGCCATCACCGGTGCGATCACTCTAGCGGTAGGTTCGCCCATGATTCTGTTCTGGCACTCGGCGCCCTTTAAAGCTGCCTTAGCCGGGTCGTTGTCGCGGAACCGCGTGCTGACGCTGGCTGCGGCGAAGGTCGCGGCGACTGGTGCTTGTGTCAGTTCGCCCCTGGTCGGAGGCCTCTTCGCACCCACCCTAATCCTGGGCGCGCTCGGCGGCGCGGCCGTGTCGCCGACCGTCGCGCGCTACGCCGCCGCGGCCTGTCTCGGGGCCTTTTTCGGCACTCCCGTCACCGGAGCACTATTGGTCGCGGAACTGCTCAAGGCGCCGGCGCTGGTGCTGCCTTCATTTATTGCCGCGGTGCTCGCGCGGGCGCTGCTGCAGCGGGCGGAGTGATTTAAGTTTTGGAGATTTACTACGCTTAAAACTCCTTGCCCTCCTGGCCGGACGTCCGGTCGTGGTAGTAGCGCTCGTCGACGAGCGCGTTCTCCTCGTCCGTGATGCCGGGAATGTATCGTCTTGCTTTGCCATCGTCGTAGTCGCGGGTGCGGTAGCACCGACCTGCGTGCGAGAAGGTCGCGTCGATGGCGTGCGAATTGGACCTTAATTATGCGCACTGGCAGCGACGGCAGCCCACGCAGATGAGAATCGCGCCGACGATCGCGGCGGCCGTGATCAGGCCGGCGTAGAGCGGTTTCATCGGCATCGTCGCGCGCGAGAGCGATCTGACCCAGTCGAGACGACGACGGTGGATACTTTGTCCGCCCGCCGCGGTCGGTCCGCTGCGAGCAATGCGAATCACTAGAGACAGGCCTCACAGAGTCACAGGAGCAGTCTAACCTGAGACTCACGATCGGTGGATCGCGACGAGCCCAGCCAACCCGTGGCGTACCCAACCACCAAGAGAATGTGCCTGTCGACGACGCCAACGACGAGCCTCGGAGAGTGAGCGCCGAGCATGCCCTGCTGCAATTTCAGTGCAAAACGGGTTTCTCGTCGCACGACTCTCGCTCCACGACCAGGAGCAAGTATACACGTCTTCATTAGGACAGGGGAGAGGGGAACAATCACCACCCGTTCGCCGCGTGGTGCCGCAGCATGCGGTCGAAGGCCGACCGCGCCTCGTGCACAGTATACTCCTGGAGCGGGTCGCGGCAGTAGCGGCGCTGGAGGTCGACGCGCAGCGGCCCCGAGCGCCCGCCCGGCCCCGTGGCCGTGCGTATCAATTGCGACGTCGTGTCGAGGAAGTTCGCGAACACCGTGTGCAGGATCGCCTCGACGTTTAAGGACGGGTTCCACGACCCGGGCGATCCGGAAGTTGTCAAAGCTTCGATGCAGATGGCCCCGCCGGCGGTCACGTGGCCCGTGTACCAGCAGAAGCGCGGCGAGACGCAGCGCAGGAAGAACGGCCGCGTCGGGTAATCCGAGGGAAACGTGATCTCCATGCGGATCGGAACGCGCAGCTGCGCCAGGTCTCCGTTGAGATCACGGCCAGCCGGGCAGTCACCGTCGAAGTCCGCGACGGAAAAGCGCCACGTAGTCGCCGCGTCGCCGACGAGTTCCAGATCATGAACGCGCGGGGCCGACGCCCACTTCCGCAACGACTGGAACTCGCTCATGATGCGAGGAACCCCGGTCTTGCCCAGCCACTTCGGCGGCGCGCCCGGGGGACCTTGAGTCCGCTGGGCCTTCGCGGGCGGCAGCTCCGGCGGCGGGGGCGGCTCCGTTCGCGGCGCGGGCGTCACGGGCCGCCGCGCACTTTTCAAGGCGTCGACGCGCGCCCGGACTTCCCGATCAAACGCCGGCGCGAGCGTGTTCTCGCCAGCCGCGTCGCGCGCCTGCAGGGCCTCCCCCCGATACACGAACAGGAACCGCGTCGCGACCGCGTCCTCGTCGGGGACCACCCAGATGTTGGCACTCTTGGTAATTCCAGGAACTTCAGCCACCTCGCACAACGCAATAATCCTCAGGTCCGGCGACCCGAAGAAGGAATCGTTGAACTGCGGCGTCTCGGGTTCCGGAGCCGCGGCGCCGGCGCGTCCCGGAAGCGCGCCGCGGTGCTGGCGCCGGGCGGACATGGCGTAGCGAATAGAATACGACAGAGACGTCGAGACATACACGCCAGCCCCGTGCGCGGCGCCGTGGAGCTGCAATTTCGTGCCCGACGCCGACCGCAGGCCGGATCGCAAGATACAATGCCAATTTTCGGCCGGCGAGCCGTGCCACGCGAACTTGCTGCCGTGCCGCGCCTTCAAAGCCGCGAACCTAGCTTGCCTCGCCGGCGGCTGGCTCAACATAATAAACTGGCGGCACGTTGCTTCCGGCGCGATGCGCTCGAGCAACCGCATATTCGGCGGCAGCGCAACCAAATGAGCCTTGTTCGACGTCATGATCCAGCGCAGGGCCGCCGGCGCTTGCTTATCGACCTTGAGCAAAGCGCCCTCCACCGCCGCGAAGCCGGCGGCCGACTGGCCGTCGTTCCGCGCCGTCTCGTGGATGCGCTCGAAGGACGGGAAGCGGTCCAAAATCTTCGCCGCGGCGGCCGCGCCGACGCTCGTGCCGTCGAGGACGCAGGGCGGCTGCAGGATGTCCGCCGCGCGCCGCGACCGCGCGGCGAGCCGAGTCGTCGCGACGAGCAGGTCGAGGACGTCGGCGCGGGCCGCGAGGCACGTCGCGCCGACGAGCAGCTTCCCAAAGGTCTCGAGCTGGTGGGCACACAGGGGCCGCCCGCATACCGACGGCAGGATCGAGGCTTCTCCGAACGCTAGAGGGGCATCACATATTGCACAGACGTCCGCTAAGGAGCCCATTCTCTGATTTGCGTAGGCGAGCGTTGCGTAAAGCAAGCCCTCGGTATCTCGTTGTCGTTTGTGCAGGGGCGAGCGCCAAAAAGCCTCCAGCAGCCGTTCGACCTGCCGCCCGACGATGCAGCCTTCGGGGGCCGTGACTGTGATGCCAGCGTCGCAGTAGCCGGACGCGTACTGCGTCGCGCCACCCGAGAACACGAGCTTTGCGGAGAGCGGCGCGGTCAATCCCCAAGCTTGCCGTGTCTCCGCCGAGGCTTGCGACCGCGTCGGATCAATTTTGAGGGTCACGATGAGCGTCCGGCTCCCCTTCGTCGTCGACCGCTCCGCGCTCTCGTCGCCGAAGCGCGCGCAACACCGGGCGACGTCGACGTCGAGCTGGTCGCCGGCGTCGGCTACCGGGTCGGTCGACGCTTCGGATTCGTACGCGTAGTCATCTTCGGACTCCTCTGCTTCGTCATCGCTGGCGCTGCGGAGGTCCTCGACGTCGGCCATGATTGCTGCGGTGCTGGCGGCGCAGTCTTACGGTCGCTGGCGCGGCAGACGGGCTCGCGTCGGCCGGAGAGTCACCAGAGAGGTCAATCTCTGGAATGGATCAGGTGGCGCACGGGGGCAGACACTGCTCAGACAGATCGTCGCAGCGCGTCGAAGCGTTTTTCTGGCTGCGGTTCGGCCCTGCAATGCGCTCCGCGCAAGCGGACCTTCTCCGGCACCGCGTCCAAAACTCGTGCTTGCTAGTGTCTTACAGCCGCTAGCCTGATCGACTGCCCTGCCAATTTTCAAGAAAACGGGCCGTCTTGTTGCATTTCCTTGACGAAACTTGTTCACTGGGTCTTCTCTGGTAGCTCCGCACCAGCTGTATAAGCCGCGGGCAGCCAACAGTTACGCTAACACATCCCCAGAGCAGCATGCTCTGGCCAACGATGATCCTAAGCGCTCACGCCGTCACTTTTGCTCCTAAAGCACTCAAGTTCCCGTCTCGCGCGACGCCGCCAGCGGACGTCGTCGTCGCACAGCTGGACGCGCTTCGACGAAACGACGTCGCCCGGACCTACGAGCTCTTCTCGCGCGCTCGTAGGCTCGCCATCGACGAGGCGGCGCGAGGCGACGCCCGCCACTACGAGGTGTCGCGCGAAGTCGTTCTGCAAAAGCTCGAGATAGCGCTGCGCGATTCGTGCCCGGGACTGATCGGCCACGACAGGTACGAGATCTCCTCGTCGCTCGCGATCCGCGAATACGATGGCGTGCACCTGCCGCAGTGGCGATGTCGCGTCCGGTGCCGGACCGGTTCCAGGACGCGGGCCTTCATTTTCCACTGCACGCGCCAAAGCGACCCGCCCCCTCCAACAATAGACTTCGACGATCGGTTCGACGAGTCCCGTCTCATCGACGGCTTCGAGGGCTGCTGGTTCGTCTGGCGGATCGAGCCCGACGACCGGGGCTTAGCCGTCGCCGCGCCGGCGCCGGCGCGGCTCGTGCCCGCGTAATTGAACATAGATGTGGCTAGACCTAGAAGTACAACAAGTTACTCGACGGCTGGCCGGGGCGGCGTCGTGCCGGGTTCCGCGTACCTTTGGCGTCTAGCCGCCTCCATTTGGCGCGCGCGTGACGGGGCCGGCGGCGGCGAAGCCGCGAGGCTTGCAGCGCGGCGCCGCTCCTCGGCCGCCGCGGTGAGGCGCGACGCCGCGAGCGCCCGATTTTCGTCGTTGCTCGCCTGGTCCGCCCGGACGTGCCGGACGATATCCGTGAATGTCGGCCGCGTCGCGGCGTCGTTCGCCCACGCCCGGCGCATGACGGTGGCGAGCGGTCCGGGCATCGCCGGCGGCACTGGCGGGCGCGCGTGCTCGAACACGACCTTGAAGCTAATTTGGAGCGGCTTGTGGCCCGCCCAGGGCACGCCTCCGTCGAAAAGTTCCCACAGCACCATGGCGTACGAGTAGACGTCGCTCTTCTCCGTGAACACGTTATCCTTGAGGAGCTCGGGAGCCATGAAAGACGGTGTCCCTGAGAGCCCGTCGCCGTTCTTTGTGGTCAGCGTCGTCGCCGTCTTGAGCGCGTCGCAGCGGCTGAGCCCAAAATCCGACACTTTTGCCCTCGCTTCCTTGGTCAGGAGGCAGTTGTGGCTCTTCAGGTCTCGATGCTGCACGCCGCACGAGTACAGGAATTGCATGCCCTGCGCGACATCTGCGGCCCAGAGGCACTTCAGATCGGCCCCCACCTCCGCTGTCCCGTCGAGTGCCTCACGGATGGATCCACCGGGCATGAATTCCATGACGAGGCCGAGGAACGAAGAGTCCGTCGTGACGACGCCCAGCACCGCAACCGTCCGCGGCGAGCGGAGACGGATCATGATCGAAAGCTCCTGCGCGAACTGGGAGATCATTTGCTGGCGCTTAACCGCGGTCAGCGACGCCAGCGATATCTTCTTGAGGGCCACGGCCTCGCCCATGTACTCGCCTTGATACACGTCGCCTTGCGCGCCGCACGCCACCGGCTCTGCCGCGACGCGGTCGAGCGTCAGCTCGTGGCTGACCAGGTTGGTTCGTTTGAGAGAGCGAGCCGACTCCTTCCGCGTCTTTTTCGCCATCGACGCGCCGAGAGCAGCGACCTCTTCCTTGATGCTGTCGAGCCTGGCGCCGTCGCGTTGCACTCTCGCCTCGACGGCGTTGATGCGCCGCTCGCCGCTCTGTGCGGCGGCCACGATGAATTTCTCGTTGCGTCGCGCCCCGGCCTGGACCGCAGCCAAAAGCGTCGCGTCTCGCCGCGTGCTCGACGCGACTGCCCCCGAGACATAGTCGAGCTGCGCAGTGGTGCGTTGCGCCCTCGCTTCTGCAGCGACTAGCAGCTCCTCGTCACGACGCGCGCTCGCGCGGACGGCCGCGAGTATCGTGGCGAGCTGCTGTTCGTTGCTCCGATCTCGTAGCATTTTCTTCAGTTGCTTGTCCACTTTGGCGAAGCCCTCCCTGACTTCGAGTCGGAACTCGCCGAGCTCGCTCGTCAATTCGTCGACCGGCACGTGGGCTTCTATGGCGACGGACGTGATCGCGACGGGATCCTCCGCGAGGCTCCGCGCCGCAGCTTCCGCGGTTTCGCCGGTCTCGCGAACGCGCGCCTTGACGAGCTGGTCGATAGAACGCTCGATCTGGTACGTGTGTTCCATGAGTCGCGCGTCCGCCGCGAGGCGGTATAAATCGCGAAACGAGTCCATGGCCTGACAGATCTCCTTGTCGAGGCGGCCCAGCGACCTGACGTGGCCTTGCATCGTGAAGGCGCGCTTGAGCCAGCCCTTCTTCCCAAACGTTCGCATTGCATCGTTGAACTCGACGAGCAGATTCACGAGGTGTCGCATCTTCGACTCGACGAGCGCCCTCTCGTCCTCGAGGCGGGCGACATTCTTCGCCATCAAGTGGGCCGCGTCGAGCACGTCGCAGACGCGCTTCGCCGCAATCAGGACGTCATCCGCCATGTCGCCGAACTCCACCGCCGAACCGAGGCAGCCTTTGACGGCCCTGCAGAGCTCCCCGACGAGAGGGAGACCGCTACCCGCGGAGAGCAGGGCGTTCGCGAGCGTGAGGCCGTGCTGCACGACCGTCGACGTGTCCTTGTGACGGGCGAGCATCGCGGAGCGGCCATCGCCTGACTCGTCCCCGAGCTCCACGTCGACGCCACTGCGGGTCATCTGTTTCGTATTGGACCCTTTGCTGCGGCGGTAGAAGAAAAATGCAGCCGCGGCCAGCAGCAGCACGGCGCCCGCGGCGGCACCGCCACCGGCGACCATCACGCTGTTGTCTTTTCTGCCGCCGGAGCTCTCTGCTGTCTCGGTTGTAGCGAGCGCGCTGGCGAACGTGGGGCGCGGCGTCGGTGCGGAGACGGTCTTGACCGTGGGGTTGCCGGGTGTCGCCGTCGGGGCAGTTGTCGGGTGTAACGATGGTCGAGGCACCGGCATCGGCGTCGGCGCGCCGTCGACCGCGGTCGCTGCCATGATCGTGTCGTAGTCATTCGCGGCCGCCGGCGCCGTTGGCCCCACGGCGCCCTCGGCGTCGGCCGCGGTGGCAAGCGCCGTGTACAAGGCGCCGCTCTGGGCCGCGGTCGACAGATCGCTGACGACCGCCTCGGCGTAGCCCGTTGCCATCTCCGCGCTGCCCTCGACGCGAACGGAAAACACTACCGTGGTCGTGGTCTGCTGCAGGCGCCGTCGTCGCGACGATACGACGCTAAACGCCACAATTTGGTCGGTGCTCGTGACGTAGGAGAGCGTCGCGACGAGCGCAGTCTTGACGATGGTCTCGAGCGTCGTGGCATCCACGGTCACTTCCGCAAGGACCAGCTGAGAATTAATCACGACTGACTCCGCCGTCGGCGACAGCGCCGGTGTGGCCGTTGGTACCGGATTCAAGAACTCACCGGAGGTCGGCGCCGGCGCCGGCTGAGATGTTGGCGCATTTGCATCGAAGACGTAGGCCGCGCCCGAGCCGCTGCTGTAGTATTGTTCGGCCCCGACCACGATGGTGGTGCCGTCAATCGCCACGGAGAAGCCGAAGCCGAAGCCGTCGTCCGCCGCGGCGTCGGAAGCCGTCAGCTTGGCCACCTGGTCGTACGTGGCGCCGCCGTCGCTCGTGCGGTAGACGTAGGCCGCGCCCGAGCCGTCGTTGTAATATTGGTGGGCCCCAATCACGATGGTGTCACCGTCAATCGCCACGGAGCGGCCGAAGTAGTCGTACGCCGCAGCGTCGCTGGCCGTCAGCTTGGCCAGTTCGACGTACGTGGCGCCGCCGTCGGTTGTGCGGAAGACGTAGGCCGAGCCCGAGCTGGTGCCGGCGTCGTCGTCTTGCCGGGCCCCGACCACGACGGTGCCGCCGTCGATTGCCACGGAGTAGCCGAAGTTGTCGTACGCCGCAGCGTCGGAGGCCGTCAGCTTGATCTTCGTGTGCGTGATCCAGCCGTCGGTCGTGCGGAAGACGTAGACCGCGCCCGATCGGCCGGTGTGATATTGGTAGGCCCCGACCACGATGGTGTCACCGTTAATGGCCACGGAAATGCCGAAGTAGTCGTCCTCCGCGGCATCGCTAGCCGTCAGCTTGGCCAGTTCGACGTACGTGGCGCCGCCGTCGCTCGTGAGGAAGACGTAGGCCGAACCCGGGCCATTCCATTCATAGGCTCCGACCACAATAGTGCCGCCGTCGATCGCCACGGAGTAGCCGAACTGGTCACTCTCCGCGGCGTCGGAGGCCGTCAGCTTGGCCACCTGAGCGTACGTGGCGCCGCCGTCGGTCGTGCGGAAGACGTAGGCTGCGCCCGAGCCTGTACCGTCGTCGTCGTCGTAGGGGGCTCCAATCACGATTGTGTCGCCGGAAATTGCCACGGACCAGCCGAACTGGTCACTCTCCGCGGCGTCGGAGGCCGTCAGCTTGGCCACCAGGCCGTACGTGACGCCGCCGTCGCTCGTGCGGAAGACGTAGGCTGCGCCCGGGCCGCTGTTGTAGTACTGGTGGGCCCCAATCACGATGGTGTCACCGTCAATCGCCACGGAGCGGCCGAAGTGGTCGTCCGCCGCGGCGTCGCTGGCCACGAGCTTCGCGACCTCCCCGAAGTTGGTGGACAGCCGCCGATCAGCCCGCGCGACGAGCGGTGCTGTGAGGAGTGGCCCATTGCTAGGCTCAAGAACGCGCAGCCCGTGATGAGTGTGCAAGCTTACCAGCAGGCATAACTGGTAGCATCTCATGATATATCAGGCTGCCCGAGAGTGGGCGCGACGGCCCATCCTGCACCGCACGTGCGTGAGGAGCGCTGCGCAGCTTGGGACGCCGGGTTCGGGTTTTACACGGCGCGCGACCCCTAATCGCTCCCGCTGGGCCGACGGCACGGGTCTTCAATCGATGCGAGCGACTCTCTCCCTTAGGATACAACCTTACACACGACAAGAGAGTCATCACACCCACAGCGTCAGCCCGCACCAGTGCCGCCCCAGCGACGCCGGGTCCGTCGCGAGGTCGACGAGGACCCTGACCTGGTCCTCGACACTCAACGTCGCCTGGTGGCGCAAGGCGTGGCGGGCGCTGTTCTCCAAGCCGGCGACGACGGTCCGCGCGCGCTGGGCCATGTCCGCCTCGAGCATCGGGTTCCCCGCGACCTCGCGGCTCAATAAGTGGCAGGGGTTCGCCCCGAAGAGTTTCCCGCGCGCCGTCGCGACGCGCCGCTCGGGCGCCGCCGCGGCGCCCGCCTCGACGTCGTCCGCGTCCCTATCTAAAGACGCGTCGTGCTTCGCGCCCCGTAACCAGTCGAGCACGGGCTCCCGCACGAACGCCTCCAACAAGCCGAGGAGAGGCGCCCGCGCCCGCGGCTGCCGCAGCGTCCTGAATGTAGACTCGAGATGAGACGTGAGGACGCGCCGCGCGCCCACGGGCTCGAGGGGCGCTTCCAACTCCCGCGTCAACCGGAACGGAATCAACTCCGGCACGGGCAGCAGCGCCCCCGTCCCAAACGAGTAGCCCAGATCGATGTGCACGAGCGCGCCGTCGCCACTTAATAGGAAGTTGTCCAAATGGCGGTCGCCCAGACCAACAACATAACCGGCAGCACACGTCGCCGCCAGGGAATACGCGTAGGTCCGCCGCTTCGCGAGGAACGCCTCCGATGAGACAGACAGCTTTTCCAGATGGCGTTTCAAACCACCAGACGTCGCGTCGAGCACCTTGCGCGCGGCGAAGAGAGCTTGAGATGCTTCTTGCGGCTTGGCCCTTAGTCTCTTCTTCGTGAACGCCTTCGACGCCTTGTCCGGGGCTCCTAATAACATATCATCCCTTGAACGCTGCGCCCGGATCCACAAAGCCTCGCCCTTCGTGCTGTCGCCCATTCCAAATTCTCTGAGTAATATAGACTTGACGGGCGGCGACGCGGGCACCCATTCCACCAAACCAACCCTAGGAGATAACGGCGCGACGGCGTACGTCCGCAGTGCCGCACCAACACCGCGGCAAGACCCTTTCAGAGTGGTAGAGATGGCCTCGAACAAAGCCTCGACGCGGGCGTCGTTCCGCAGATCTTCCCCACCTTTGACGAGGAAATTTAATCTGCGGGCGTCGGTCGCGTGCACCGACAATTTTTTAGGAACCTGTTTCGATGGTAAAATGTCCAAAGACGGCTCGAAGCCCGCTACGACACCACCGGGCACCTCTAACAACGACCGGGCGCCGTCGAAGTCGCGCAGCCAGCCCGAGTACCTGTCGAGGGGACACGTCGGCCTCACGGACTTCTTTGGTTGTTTTGCTAGATCTTGTCTTAGACCGTCCAAGCCTTTCGCTAGCTTCGTGTGGTCGTCCGTCGAGAACAAAGCGTCGGCCTTCTTCCTCAAAGATCTCACAAATGCTTCCCGAACAAACGCTTCGTTCCTGGAACCGATGCCCGTACCCACGAGAGGCCACTCGTCACCCAGCGTCGTCTTCTTGAGTCTAGACCAGGCCGCCCGCGCTCTTACCAAATCACCATTCCGAGCGGCCTTGCGCGCCACATCTAAACCTTCCGCGAGGCGTTTCTCGGGCTCGTGCAGCCCCTCGCACGCCAGCACGAACGCCTCCGCAATATCATCTCTACAAGCGTCGCGGGCCGCTCTTATGAGCGTCGCGTCCGTCAATTTCTCGGAAGCGAAGCGCAGCGCGTCCCTTACTGACGATGGAGAAGAGCGCGCCAAGCGCTCGACGACGGGCCTTACGGCTTCGCAGATCGCTTTGGCTCTCGCATCGTTCGAATCACCATAAGCTGATAATAACGCGACGAGCTGGTCGCCGTGGTCTTTGAAGGAGGCGGAAGGCGCGTCCTCCGCGGCCGCCCGGAACGCCGCGGCGCAAGCTTCGGCGTGAGGACTTCCCAACAAAGCGAGCACTCTCGGAATGGCTCTTGAAGCGTAGGACGCATCTAGCGCCGTCGCTCTGATATAAGTCTCGACAGCAGACGCGGCGCACCGTTGCGTCGCCGTCGACGCGCTGCCGCCACCTGCTAGTTTAGCCAGGTCGCACACGACCTCCTTGGCCTGGCGCCGTCGTTTCGTCGGCTGGTCCTCATCCTCCTCATCCTTGGAAAGGCGGTCTCGGCGCAGCATCTCGTCGCACAAATCCGCAAAGGCGAAAAACGCCTCCGCGCTCGACACTTGAATCGCCGCAGTTCTCAGGTCGTGGGCCGCATTGTTCGCTAATTCTACGGGTGTCGCATCGCCCTCGGAACACTTCCCCGCATAACGGGCGTCGGCCCACTCCAGCGCCAACGCGCCTCGCCTCACTAGATTCCGTTCCACTTTATAAGCCACGGCGAAGACCTTGTCGCATTTCTCGGGCTCGTTGCTCGCACAGTAATCCCTAGCTAGAGCTAACGTGTAGTCGGCCTTGAGCTGGTCGGCGCCTTGCGGGGCGGTACTGAAGAAGGCATTTTTGCGGAGACACTGCGTCGCCACGTCTGTTATTGATGCATTCAGTGCTAAGGACGCGATATCCAGCCTTGTCAAATCTAAAACGGCCTCTAACGCTTGGTCGCTTTGGGCTAGTACTTTTCGCGTACATAACGACGCGACCCAGGAACTACAGGGCGCGTCCGCGGGCGGCTTGGGTGACGTGCGCCACCTTTCTCCAGCACCGCTGGATGGGGGCCGCGCGACGGCGTCGACGTCACCCAATATGCTTAAATCGGCGACGCACTTCGCCAATGCAGTACCTTGCGACAGGGACGCCAGCGCCTCCGCTACTTGTTCAAAACCAGCGTCGACGGCCTCCGCCGCGCCCGCACGATCACCATCTCGTAGTAAACGTATAGCTACTGAAGCGGGCGCCTTCCTCAGCAATTCGGCCCGCGTCTCAGGCTTTTTGAGCTGCACCCTTAGTTTTTCCTCGACGTCGTCGTCGTCAATTAACGCACCGGCGAGAGCCAACGAACCCGGATCACTCGCCATTCGAGCCACGTCGTCCCACTCGCCTAAAGCTTTCGCCGCGTCGAGCTGCCGCTCCTTGTCATCCTCAAAAGCGGCAAACGCTTCTCTTAAACGCCCCGCCCGCAACAGTGACGCGCCCTCATTATCGTCCAGTGACGCGTTGATGTCCTCGTCGACCTTCGCGTAGAGTGACGCTAAAGCGCTTTTTGTAGGCGTATCTAGCGGCAGGGCTCTCGCTTTGCGCGCCCAGGGCCCTTTCGTCGAGGAACCTGTGAGTGCACACAAGCGGGCCTTTTCGATCGTCAGAACGCCCGGTTCCAACGCGTTCGACGCTAACGCCGTTGAAGCTATTGATGTAGAGGGCACTAAGACCGCAGGGTCTTCACTTTTCTCTGATGCATCGATGCAGGCAGCATGGGCTTGATGGAGAGCGCTCCCTAATTCATGAGTGGGACTCTCCTCGCACGACCGCAAAGCGTTCTCCAGACCCACGACGACTCGTCGACGCGTAGCCAGCGGTCTAGCGTTGTAAAGTGTCCCAACGAGCTGCCCGAACAGCGACGCCGCTATTGATCCATCCCGTAACGACAAGGCCATCAATGGCCGGACCACCTCCGCCAACGACAGCCCCACGTTGGGCAACTCGCCCTGGGCATACGACCGGTACATGACGACCTTCTGCCGCGCTGGTTTCTTCTTTTTTGATACAGTATCTTCCGCAAACCGCACCGTACGTGCTGCAAGCCTACGCGACAGCTGGGCCTCGTCTTCTAGCACGTCGCCCGTCGTCTTCGGAGGGACGACATGGTCAGCAGCGAACAACAACTGCGTCTGCAGGCGCACTTGCCTTCCCTGGGCCCTTGGATCATCTTCGTCGACCTGAGTCGCATCGTATAAAGAATCTTTCTGTGTGGCCTTCACGGGACCAGAACCGAACATTTGGGTCGATAACGAGCTACACCGTTGGGACTTGGCGTTCTCCACGACGGAAAAGGCGTTTACGAGCGAGGACCCTTTCCCTTCGAGGTCCAGCTGCAGGTCGCAGCCCTTGTCGCCGCCCAGATCGTCACAGAGCGGCTGGTTCCAACTCGGGGAAGATGATGATGAAGCTAATAACAAAAATGCGGCGAATCTATGGGGCCTCGCATCGGGCGCGATGAACATCTCCCCGAGAGCACCATCCAGCCTCGACTGCGCCGTCTCACCTAAACGACTACGCCAGTAGTCGTAGACCCTTCTACGAACGCCCTTCCTCTGTTCCACCACTTGTTCTTTCTCCGCGTCCACGTCGATAACTTCCGGTGGTGGCGGCGGGTTCGGATCTCGCTCGAGCATGACCACGTCCTCGTCCGGCGTCTCTTGGACCGGTGGAGGCGGCTCTTCCTCCTCCACAACAGCTTCGTCCTTGGGCGCGTCGAGCATGCCCTCGCCGTCTTGATCTCCTAGACCTCTGATTAACGCTGCTCGCACTCGTAATGCCGTGGGATTCTCATTTTTCGAGTGTGAAGTAGGAAAGTAGACGTCGTGCAATGCTGCTAGGAGATCGTAGCCCAACGATCTTACCTGCACGTCTGGTGATGCCGCAAGTAGAGCTTCGAGCGACGCGGGCCCGCCGTGGACCACTGAAGCCACTAACTGCTCGTTCCTAGACAAAGCTTCACTTCTACTCACGAGCAATTGCAAAGCTCCGAGCTGCACTAATGGTTTGGCGGTCTTCGTATCTTCCTGAGAATCATCATCAAGAGGCAGCTCCGGCGTCACGCGTTCACTATTGGCCAAGGCCTTCGGCAAGATGCCTTCGAGCTGCTGCAGCAACTCGTCGTCGGAAGAAAAGCATTCGGAAGACACACCGCCCACGTCCAGCGCCCGCAGCAGCTCGAACGCTTGTTTTGCCGACTTGCCCTCGTGCACTATTTCATTTAAACTCCTACAACTTCGTAAAGCGTGGCGCCGCGACAGGAACGTAGGCACGGCCAACGTACACCTCGACACGAGCGACGCGAAGCGCCCGTGGCGGTGGTGCGAGCCCGCTTTACTTGTATCTGTGACGTCTTCTACGGTGTCCTTGCACTTGCGTAGCAGCGCATCGAGCGACGTCGCTTTCAGAGCTGCGGCGAGGACCTCGCCGGCGGCCTTGTATAACGTGGCGTGCCTTACTTTGGCGCACTCTACCACGAGTTCTAAAGTCTTGGGCGCCTCTGGGAGTAGATTCGGTCTTAAGGTTAGTATGGCGTTGACGAGGGACAATCCAGCTAATCGAGGCACCAGGTTCTTGGCCAACAGAGTTTTAGATCCACCTAGATCTTTGGGCGGCGTCAGGAGCTTGTTGATCGGTCGGCTCCAGTCGAAAAGTTCCCCATCGAACAATGTTGTGGAGTAGGCTGTGAGTAGAGCGTTGCACAAGGCTAGGTTCCGCTTTGTTGTGTCCTTATTACTACCAGGGTTCGTCGGGCCTCTATCAGTAAAGTGGGGGTCGTTTTCTTTGGAGTAGGACACATTTGCACAAAGCGTCTCCGCGATCCTTGCGATGGCTGGCGCTTCCTCTTCTGTAATGGGTGGCGCGTTCCGCTTGTCCGGTGACGTACATACGAGGAAGCGGCACGCGCTTCGTAGCAAATGATCAATACCTTGAGTTGGTTCGGCACATAACGCTCGAGCGGTCGCTTGCGCGACAGACTTTCGTAAACACATGGCGTGCGTCCTTAAAGCTCGTCTTAAGCCACCTTTGCTCTCGACGAAGACGTTCAACACCAAGGCGAGCAAATAGATACAAGTGTCGCCTTCCGACCGATCCAAATGAGACGCTAATACTTCCGCGGACTTAGGTGTAGAGTGTTCCTTGCGCCGTACCGACGCTGGACTTGCACCTGTGGCCTTGGCGGCGTTCCTAGCGTCCACCAATGCTTTGGCCTCCAGTCGGGCCAATTTAGCAAGACCAGCAACTAACGGAGCCATCAGAGCCGTGCGATTGAGGGGATGCGCCACGATCTCGATGGCCTCCTCGTGATCATCGTCATCTGAATCGTCCGTGTCCTCCTCGAGCAAGGCCGGATCCCCCGCGTCGACGTCCCACAAGGAAGCTTCTACCGGAGGCACGGCCTCGACGTCCTCCAAATCTTCTTCTTCCTCTCTAGTAGAGAAGGCGTCCTCCTCCTCGTGATCATCGATTTGCGACGCCTCCAAGCCTAATGAAGAGTGCCGCAGCATGGTCCTCGCGAATTGAGATAATCCCGCGTCTTCGTCTTCACAATTTTTTTCGACCACGTTCGCTCTCATACAACCGATGCGGTCGCGTCGCATGCTTAATTTACGTTGATGACCTCGTGCCGTCGTCATGCTCTCGAAGCCGCAGCCCACGGTCAAGGTGATAGCGTCTGGCTGGAGAGCTAATAGTAACGTCTCTTGCCGCTCCGGAGCCAGCACGATCTTGTTTAGATGGAGCGGGTTGTCCTGCGACGCCTCGGCTAACACTACCGCTAGCCTATAAGCACTCTTCACGACTCTGGGCGAGACGTCAGTAGTACTTTTTAGTTTCGAGACCCAAAGGCGCAAAACGCGCTTCCGCAGGGCCTTCGCGTCTTGCCCATAAGCGCTTAGTACTGAAGAAGAAGCGTCGTCCATGACGCAGTCCTCGAGACCACCTCGTGACAACCCAGGAAGCGCGTCGAAGGCCTGTTCCAAGATGCATGCTGCAGTTTCACCAGTCGCGACCTCTACTTGAGAAGCATTCGTCTCTAACGACTTCTCGAGCGCCGTCAAGGCCAAGGACACGACGGGTCTTGATGAAATACCATCGTTACTATCTCTGATACTTTTAAGGAAGACGCTTAGCGTACGGCCGTCGAAGCGTTTTAGTGACGGCACTAAGCCGTACTCACAGATGAAGCGGCAGACGTCGGGCCACTGCTTCGATTTACGATTCAATGAGTTTTGTGGAGCCTTCTTCCCGAGCAGCCCGCAGTGCGCCGCTAAATCGTCTAGAAAAGCTACTGATGACTCTTGGTCGTGATCATATGAAGACTGTGCAGAACCGACGGCCGCCGCCCGCAACCCTCTCCTGATTGATCTACCGAGCGTGTCCTTGAGAGCCGGGATTCTCCTCGAGAGTAGAGCTAGCAGTCGCGGCGCGCCGCAGGACCCGTAGGCCGCGCCCAACGCCGAGGCGTCGTTCCGGGCGCGGCTTTTACTAGGTTCATCAAATTCGTTCGAGGCCCAGTCTTCAAAGCGAGCGGGTAGGGTCCTCGCCAGGCGCGCGTCTAAAGCTTTGAGGACCTCCGCGTCGTCCTCTATACAAATTTCATCGTCTTCCTCAAAGGCGTCGGTCTCGTCGCCGTCGTTCGTCCGTTTACGTCTACCGGGGGCGTTCCTCGTCAGCCCTCCGACGAAGTGCGGCACTAATCGAATGGCCTTGTCGGCCGCGGCGTCGTCGTTACTTGCTAGAGCGTCTACGACACAGGTCCGCGCTTGGTTCCGCGCCTCCAGTCGCTTCTGTCTCCCTCGAAAGCCAGCACCCAACAATCTTGTAGCCAGGCCTAGTTTCTGCGACGTCGGCCACGCATCCGCATTTACGGTGAGTAGAGGCGCCGCGAGGGCCGCTCGACTAATCCCTCTAGTTCGCGCCCAGTCGCCACAGGCGACGACGAAGGGCGCCTGTCCCGCGCGACATAGCTTTTCAGCAGTATCAGACCAATCTTCGGATAATGTACCCGTACCATTGCACACGAGCGCCTCATACACCGCCTCGGGATGCCGGTCGCACGCCTCACCGGTCTTCAAATCTTTGATGACCAGAGGGAGCAAGCCCGGCGCTTCCGGTTCACCCAACAACGGCAGACCCATGGCTACGGCCAATCTCAGAGCGCCGTCGTCCTCGTCGTCGTCGTCGTCGAGACCCTCGAAGAAGTTCCTCGCGAGGAGTCGTGCAATATCTTCTGACGGTGCCGCTTGGTCGAGAGCATCTGTTTTGTGGAGAGCGTCGTACAACCTCAACGCGCCGTCCCGCCTCCGTTGCGCCGCTCGCGACGGTGTCGACAGTCGCGCCTCCTCGGTGTCTTCTCGGGACGACGAATGCGTCGGCTCCGAGCCTTCGGAGTCTACGGACCAGTGCGGCGCCAAGGCTTGGAGTGACGTGGCGATGGCCTTCCTTGTTAAATGTATCGGACACCTTTTCAGCAGTTTCGCGACTGATAGCGGTAACTGTGTACGTACCTCGACGTCGTCCTGCGACGACGGCAAGGCGCCTCGCCGATCCGGTGATACAATAGCATCCACGAAGATGCGTAACAGGTCGTAGAGGCCCGACTGTGCTACTATATCTTCGTCGAGTTGTGAGGCGAGGTCGCAGGAGTGTCTCAGAGCGTCCCTCCTCAAGATGCGCCGTCGTTCTTCACACACCTCGTCGTCGTCGTCGATCATGGCACTCCCTCGCTGCCTTGAACCGACATGTTGTACTAATTGTATAGAAATAGCAAGGGCGTCCGCCGCCCACGCCCCATCGATCACTTCAGCCTTAAGGAAGGACCCGACGGCGTGCACGCAAGCGACGGCCTTCGCTAATGATTCCGAGTCGTCGCAGTCGACTGGGGTTTGAGGCCAGAGCACTTTTTTCGCACTCGGAGCGTCGGGCAGCTTCTGCCGGTAAAAGGAACCGAGGTCGCCACTTACGAGCGGCGCCAACTTAGCGAGCGTGTACCACGTCCTCCTTCTACAAGCGTCGTCGGGGTGGGCCGCGCTCGCCATGAGCTCGTCGCATAGAACGCCTATCGAGGCCGGAGGCGCCCTATTGCCAACGGTAGCATCCATTAACTTCGCGTCGTCCCGCTTTCTCGCAACATGATGTCTAATACCTTCCGCGAGGCGATCCGCCGCCGCGGACGCCGCGCGCGTGGCTGCCGCGCCGGGTCCACCCGAAGAAGACGTCTCGACCGCTTGTAGTGAAGCTCTGAGTAAATGCAGGCCGAACCTCGATAAAATAAGGGAATGAGCCCGCACATGTCTCGCCAACTTCCCGAGCGCCAACGCGGCGCCTAATCTTCTGGTAGCATCTCTCTGCGTGAGGTCGAACGCGACCCTTCGCAGCACATGGGCCAAAGCATCAAACCCCTTGCCCGTCGCAACACCACTCATTTCTTCCCGCACTTCGGCCGGTCGCATCTGTTTACACGTCCAATTGACGAACTCCGCGAGGGCCTCGGCGGCTTGTGCTCGTTTCGATGCCTGGTGGCCAGCTAGCGCTTCGAACAACGCGTCTACGAGGTAGCGCGCCGCCCTCGTCTTCTCGTTCTGTTCCCGGCAGTCCCTATTTGAGAATAATCTACAACATTGTAATAACAACTCCCGGAATAGAGCTCGTATGATCGAATCTGAGTGTGATGCTAGACTACAGACGTAGGGCCAAACGCGGACATAGATCGAGTCTTCGAGGTTCGCACCTTTGCCGTGCTGGTTGGGATGGGACGTCGTCCTCCCAATAGCTACTAGGACGAGGGCGTGCAACGCTTCCGATGCTAGTAAGCGCGTCTGGCGCGGTCCCGAGCCGCACGCTATGACCCCTAAACGATTCAGTAAGGCACCATCCAATCGCAGCGATAGCGTCCCCAGAGATATAGTTAAAGGAGCGCCGAGCATTCTAGAAGATTCAGTTCTTTGGGAGAACGCTCTCACTGCTTCCCCGCCACAAGAAGATAAAAAGCGGACGGCCCTTCTAGATAAGTAACGAGCGGCACTATCAGAGACGTGCGGGTCCGCTCTTTGTGCAGCGAGCGCCATTCGTCGAGCGCGAGCGCGCGCTTGCGCACTTTGGGCCTTGTCGATCACTACACTAACGTCTCTGGACCGAGCCGCGACGGCGTACCTCCCGATTTCCGGCAGCACCTTCTCCAACACGTCCTCGGTGAAGAACTCATCGCTAGCATCGTCGCGCCACGTCACCACGGCATCAAACGCTCTGGAAGCTGTGGGTCGGTGCGCACTACCTAGCCGCAACGCGGCACCAAGCGCCGGCGCCAACACAGCTAGCTGGCCCGTCCGCACCTCTAGAGGCGCTGACAGTACGACTCGACAGGCACACTCGAGCAACTCGTCGCGAAAGTCGCCAACCCTATGAGCCGTGTCCCGCGCGAATTTCCTCGCTGATCTTAGGAATGCGTCCTCGTCGCCCGGCGTCAAGGAGCATTGCGTGCCCGCTCGGATAGCCAACGCACCCAACCGATACAGTGAAGAACACCTTTCATGTTTCGACGCGCGATCGACCACGACTCGCAATAGCTGTGAAGCCCAGGGCGCAAACGAATCTCCTGTATCTGCGACGAAGGTCTCCAGAAAGGAAGCTAAATTAATGAGGAGCTCCTGGTCGAACTCGTTTTTTGGCCTGTGTGGCACGGACGCCGTCGCGAGACGCGTAGACTCTCATGTGATACCGCGTCAGGTTCAAGTTCATTTTTCACGCTGAGTCAGCACCGCATCTCGTCCTCCAACATTCGCTCTTCGTATCTCAAATCTAATCGCCGGAGGATCTCCAATGAGGCGCTTAGTAGAGCATCATACAACACGTCGGACTGGGACGAGGCGATGACGTCGCGCCAGAGCTGCGCGCACCTTCTAAAAACGGGCGGTAGCGTTGAGTCTTCATCCGGCCGTTTATGCTGTATGGACGCGACCTGTACCGCGTCCCTGCAGACGACTCTGAGTGACGCGCGGCCGCCTTTCAATGCTGAACAAGCTTTGACTAGGGATGCTAAACCGTCGACGAGGTACTGCCTCGCTCGCGCGTTCTCCCCATACAACGCACATTGGTCCGCGTGCGCGCCCACGCACCTTCGAGCTCGTTGGGCGAGAGCTTGTAAAGCTGCTCTCGGTCGCTCTGTCTGATGAGAAGTAACGAGTGAGGAAGACGCATGGAGCGCCGCACTACGAACTTGTAAAGCGTCCCAGTGCGCGAGCCTCCGTCGGACCTTGTCCATTTCACCTTGCAGAGCTAGGTCCTTGTCTCGCCGCTCGTTGTCCTGCGCATCACAGGCATCGGCACAAGCGTTGGCCGCCTCCATGAGCCTTGCGTAATCTACGGACGAGGCGGGCGCCGCCGCCGCGATGCTACGTAACGAAGCCGCCCGCACTTTCGGGTTCACGTCCCGACAGCCCGCGTCGAGCAACGCAAACACGGGGCTCCAGTCACCTCGTTGTTGTAGAGCCAAGGCATGTAACGTTTCGAAGAGAGCCATCGACGCGTGTTTCGCGACGAGCTTCGGCGGACCTTCCTTCATGTCGGGATGGACCGTGGCCGCGAAGTGGAGGGGTTCATATGAAGTCATCGGTTCTGAAGGCAGCGACGGTGCCAGTAGGGACGCCCTTCTACGGAGAAACCGCAGCGCCTTGGCGGGCGCCTCGTACCGCGTGAACACTTTTTGGAACGGCACGGCGTACCTTTCTAGGAGCGTCAGGATGGCAGGGGCGCCTATCTCTGCCGCTTGTGAAGCCCACGCGTCGTTGCCACACAAGTGCTCCAATGCGGCCAATGTAGAGCCGGAATCTTTACCGGTGTCCTTCTGGAGGTCCAACTTGCATATCCGTAGGAGGGACGCGCCCTGCTCGTCCCAGGGGGATGAGGACCGGTCGTCGATCGCTAATGGAGGCGCCGGCCGCTCTGATGCGATGAGCGTCGCCGCGAGCTTCATGGCCTCGCCTTTAATACCCTTGGCCTTTTCTCCTGATAAAGAATCGACGCACTTGTGGGACAAAGAGCGCCACTGCTCGCCACTTACAACTCTCTCAGCATCCCTCTTGAAGAGCTCTCTGAGAGCACTCGCCGCGGCCTGCCGCGCCGTCGCGTGGCCCCGGCCCTCCAATACCAAGCGTAGGGACTCGAACGCCGTCAGGGTGTGGGGCCCGGCGCCTCTTTTCTTGATGTACTTGGCCATCTCTTTGAGGACAGTCGTCCGCGGCGTTTCGAGGATCTTGAAGCTCTTCGACACGGCCAGCCAGCGGCACAGGTCCGGCGGGTGCTCATTTTTGAACAGTCGTGCCCGCGCTAATGTGACTTCGACGTTTTCGACGTTCAGACACTCCTCGACCTCCTTCACTAATCTAGAAGGCGCGACGGCGAAGGCCGGCTCGGCGCCGTCCGGCGCCTCCTGGAGCGGGCGGTGGAGCTCCCAGAGCGCCGCGTCTAATCGGGCCGCGGCCATCCGTGCGCGGCGGTGATCCAACGTATATCAGTCTATGGCGCGCGCGGCTGTCTGGCGCGCCGGCTAGCTTGGTCAGCTGTTACCCCGGCGCGTGGTGCAGAGATCTCGTGCGCTGCACGTTGTCGCAGCAATGCTAAAGCGATGCGCTGCGCAGCGCGCGGTCACGATGAGCAGTCAGCGCGCACGCAGAGCGTCCAGATCGATTTGCTGGGATGATCCCTAGTGTGTTACATGCCGCTAGCGCGTTTTTCTACGCCCGGGGCTCGCCCACTAGTCCTAGCACCGTAACAATAAGCATTTTTCTACGCAAGGAGCGATCGATACGCCGCCAGTCCGGTTTGCTGACAGACTCCGCGGATCCGTACTCGGAGCCCGGGCCGTGACAACAATGCATCTCTTTGTACTTGTACTTACGCCATCAACGCGGCGCTAACACGACGTCGTCCAGGAAAACAGCGCCGACCGCGTCGAGTTGTCGTAGTAGTTCGTCTTGTTCCTGTAATTTTTGGCCATCTCCTTCATGTCGGCGACCTCCTTGGGTATCACTAACTCCGACTGATACTTTTCGACGATCGCCGCAGACGTCTCCATCTTGTCGCAGATGCCGCATTTAGCGATGCGAGCGAGTTCTTTCGGAACGCCCGTCACGGTCCCCAGCTTCTCCAACTCTCTCAAAATAGCGTAGCCGTCGACCAACCTACCAAAGACGACGCGCCGCCCATCGAGCTCCGGCCGCTCATCCAGTAAAATCTCAAACTGCGACTGGTTCGCGTTCGGCCTTTTCGTCAACGTCGTCAGCACGCCGGCGTTCGTGTGCTTGAGGCGGTGGTTCTCGTCCTCGTAGTCGCGGCCGTAGACCGAACGACCTCCAGTCCCGTCGTTCTTGTCGATGTCGCCGCCGCAGACGCCTCTGCCTGGCTCGACCCGGAAGAAGGCGCTTCCCTCGTAGCGCAACCCATCGCCCTTCTCCCCCGTAATTAATTGACAGAAGTTCTTGCACGTCCGCGGTACCACATCTTCGAAGAGCTCGAAGATCAATCGACCCTTCCCGGCGTCATGGGTAGAACCTGTGTGGAATCAAATTTCAGGCTTCTGCGCGATGGCGTGGCGATTCCACGCCATCGACGCGACGTTGTCCCCGTGGCCGCGTCGGCTCGATGGCGTGGAGGCTCACGAAGGTAACCTAACTCACTGGTTGATTTCCACACAGGGTAGAACGTTTCGGGATCGTGACATCCAACCACACATGGACTCCTGGTTTTCGGTCCGTGTCCTCGCCGCGCGTTCTCGCAATTATAGAAGCCTCTTTATCAAGTTGCTTCTTGCGTTGCGCTTTAATACGCTCTCTCGTCGCGAGATCCCGCTTCAGGGCCTCGAAGGCGTCTCCTTCATCATCACTCGCGTCCTCGCCCGCCTCGCGGTTGCCCGTGTCTTGCTTCTTGGTTTGGGGCTCGTCCTGGGCGTCGCGCCAGCTCGGGCGCTTCTTCGCGCCTTTCGTGGAGAAGTTCATCTGTCTGGCTTGCGGTCCGTTCGCGCCGCCGCGTCGAGCTGCCCTGCTCTTGGCGCCGCTGGCAGCGACCTCTGAGCGCGCTGCGCTGGCGTTGGGTAATGGATGCTGTAGCACACCGACCGGCGTTTGCACGCGTTGGTCGCCGCAAAACGCGGGCTTGCCTATGTCGAACGCAGGCGAGCTAGCGGCTGTAAGACACTAGCAAGCGACGCGGGACCCGCGACGTAACTAGCCTGAGCCTGAGCGTCGAAAAGTTGTGTGATAAGTATCTGTTAATTATTAATTACGCCGTTGGCACTGGTTGCAGGCGGGGCGGCTTCCGACGCGGGGCCGGCTAAGCGAGGATGGCGGCAAGCACGGCCGCGGCGGCGGTGAGGATCGTGGCGGAGGGGAGCCTCCTCGTCGCAGCAGCATCGGAAGAAAAATAGTCCCACCAACTCGACTCGTCCTCGAAGACGTAGACCGAGCCCGAGTTCGAGTAGGTGCCGGCGTCGTCGTCGCCGTAGGCCCCGACCACGATGGTGCCGCCGGCGATCGCCACGGAGCCGCCGAACTGGTCGCTCGCCGCGGCGTCAGCAGCCGTCAGCTTGGCCACCTGGTCGTACGAGGCGCCGCTGTCGCTCGTGCGGAAGACGTAAGCCGAGCCCGATTTGGAGCCGGCGTCGTCATCGCCGTCGGCCCCGACCACGATGGTGTTGCCGTCGATCGCCACGGAGCGGCCGAAGTAGTCGTTCGACGCGGCGTCGCTTGCCGTCAGCTTGGCCACCTCGACGTACGTGGTGCCGTCGTCGGTCGTGAGGAAGACGTAGGCTGAGCCCGAGCCGCTGCTGTAGTATTGGTCGGCCCCGACCACGATGGTGTTGCCGTCGATCGCCACGGAGCCGCCGAACTGGTCGATCGACGCGGCGTCGTCGGCCGTCAGCTTGGCCACCTCGACGTACGTGGCGCCGTCGGTCGTGCGGAAGACGTAGGCCGAGCCCGAGGCGGAGCCGCCGTCGTCATCGCCGTCGACCCCGACCACGATGGTGTCGCCAGCGATGGCCACGGAGATGCCGAACTGGTCGATCGCCGCGGCGTCGTCGGCCGTCAGCTTGGCCACCTCGACGTACGTGGCGCCGCCGTCGGTCGTGCGGAAGACGTAGACTGCGCCACCGGTGCCAGCACTGGATGCCCCAATCACGATTGTGGCGCCGTCAATCGCCACGGAGCTGCCAAATAAGTCGTTCGCCGCGGCGTCGCTGGCCGTCAGCTTGGCCACCTGGTCGTACGTGCCCCAGGTGCTCTTTTCGAAGACGTAGACCGAGCCCGAGTTGGAGCCGGCGTCGTCGTCGTTGGTGGCCCCGACAACGATAGTGCTGCCGTCGATCGCCACGGAGCTGCCAAATAAGTCGCCCGCCGCGGCGTCGCTGGCCGTCAGCTTGGCCAGCTCGGCGCCGTCGCTCGCTCGTAGGACGTAGACTGAGCCCGACCAGGAGCCAGCGTACGGGGCTCCGATCACGACGGTGTCGCCGTCGATGGCCACGGAGTATCCGAACTTGTCGCCCGCCGCGGCGTCGCTGGCTGCCATCTTCACACGCTCCGAAAAATCGTCGCTCAGCCGCCGATTCTTGCCCGCCTCCCTGCCCCGCCGCCTCGCGCGGGCGTCCAGCAGGCCCCACGCATGGGGGGCCGCAGCTGCGAGGCAAATAAAGGCGAATGCGTGCATTGTTGGGCTGCCCGACGCGAGCAGCACCCGCGTCCGCTTCTTCTGCTCGGGTCCGGGTCGGGGCGAGGTGGCCGGCGAATCGCGACGCGCGGAAACACACACACTCACGTTACGACGGCATACGCGTCCGAGCCGACGCTTGGTACACGGTGGCGGCGACGCGACGCCCGCACCTGCGCCGCCGCGAGCCGCGTCTCGCCGAAGCCGACGACGCCCCGCCGCGGGCCCGGCGCGTAGTCGTGCACGCCGCACGGTCGCGTCGACGCGTTCCGCCGCAGGTCGTTCACCATGACCGCGAGGCTCGACGTCCGCGCGGGCGACTGGACGAACGCGTCGGCCAGGACGCACGTCGCGACGTCCAAGACGACGCGCTCCGACGCCTCGTCCCTTTGCTTGCCTGGTTGCCGCGCGAACCGCGCCCGGCGGCGCCACTCTTCTATATTCACGCCGAAGCGGGCGTCGTCGTGACCCCCGACGAAGGCGCAGCGCTCGCCGCCGCCGTCGCACAGTTCGAAAAGTTCGTCGACGGCTTTGGATCGGGACCGCAGCTTCCGGATGTCTCCGAGAGGCATGTCCGAGGCCAGGTAGACCGCCGGCGCGTCGCGACGCGTCCGCAGGTGCCGTACCAATGCAGCGACGGCGTGGTCCAGGAACAGGACGTAGGTCGCCGTCTCTCCTTTTCCAGTCCTCACATGAGCACACACAATGGGCCGCTTCACGTGCCGTCTCATATGAACCGTCGCGTCGCGCAGCGCGGGGTGCAGCGCCCACGCGGCGCGCGCCGCCTCGCGGCCGCAGCCCCTCAAATCACAAGCCGGCCGCACGGCCTCGAGATCCAAGCCGCGGCTCCCGCCCAGGGCCCGCCCTAAATTCAGGATGATTGGATTCGAGGGGAGTTTAGCGGTGATGTTCGCCGCGGTCCAGCCCCGCGTCATGCTCCCGCAGAAGGGGACCGGGGCCACGCTCAGCGACGCCGCCTCGTCCACAAATTTTAAACCGGTCGCCTCGAACCTGGCGAGGTCGAGGACGCGGCGCCACGACGCGTGGCCGCTCCGCCGGAACTGCGCGTAGGCCCGGTCGGCCTTGGCCTGCACGTCGTTAACGAGCTTACTAGCACTCAAACGAGTGCACTTCTGGTCGGCGTACGAGGCCGACAGGCGCCCGTGCGGGAGGATGGGCGGGAGGATCAGCGCCCGGTCCGCCGCGCGGCTGACCCAGACCGCCGTCTTGAGGTTGTAGTACTGGTTGCCGAGGCCGCCCGTCGCGGCGAAGGCGAGGTAGCGCTTCCGCCGGACGGCGGGGCAGGGCTTCGCTGCCGTGCTTACGATGCTACACAGGCACCATGCCTTGTATGATCGATGGCGCCGCATCAATGCATCACTGAGCCAACTGCGAGCGCTATGGCAGCCATTGCGTCCGCGGGGCAGCCCCTGCACCGCGGTGCACCATCCAGCTCCCGCACGATTTTTGAGCAGCAAAAGGCGCCGCCCGGCCGCGCGAGCCGCGTGTTACGGACGCAGCGATCGTACTGGGCCGCGGACTGGACCAGACGACCACGTGGACCAAGCGAAAGCCGAGCAACACCGCGGCTCGGGACCAAGACAGTTGTGGGGGGCTGCCCCAAGGACATTTGTCGAGCGGACCCGCCGGGACACACGCGACACAACGTGAACGCGGCAGCACGCCATCGACGCGGATCATGGCTGCGGCCGAGGCGAAGACCAATGATGCGGAGGCGCCCGCGCCACCTTCAATCATTTACGCGACGAACCCGGAGCCGACCATCGCCCACGGCGCCGCCAAGGACGTGACGGACTGTGATTATGGGCGGCTTTTACTGAGGAGGTGGGGCGTGCCCAAGTCGCGCTTCGTCGGCAACATGCTCATCCTCTACAAATCGAAACGCGGCAAGCCCCGAATTATGTTAGGGCCCTATTGGACCATGCTGCTGGGCGTGACCGTGCCCCTCTCTATAATAATGCCGGCGCTGATCTGTGGACTACTACTCAGTACCAAAGTACATGTAGGCGTGCAGATCGCCTACGGTATTATTGTCCTGTGGACCGCGTGTGCACTCATGTCGGTGTCGCTGCGGAACCCGGGCCTGGTGGAGAGGCGAGACTCGATCCCGATGCGCGAGAACGGCAAGCCCGAGCTGGCGTGGGTCTGGAACGATCAAGCTCGAACCTGTGTGGAAATCAACCGGTGTCGGGTGCACCCGGCAATTCTCCACGAAGTCCTTTCTCGGCGATCGGTGAGGGACCCCACCGCCACGCCATCGAGCTGGCGTCGCGTCGATGGCGTGGAGGTCATGATTCGACGCGCCGCGACGATTGGATTTCTACGCAGGCCCGGACGTACAAGCCGCCCGGCGCGCGTTATTGTGATTGGTGCAACGCCGTGTTTTATGAATTTGACCACACCTGCCCCTGGACGGGCACGGCGATCGCCCGGAACAACATGCGAAGTTTTCGGTCCTTCGTGGCGCTCGTGCAGCTGGAGCTGTGGTGCACGATCGCGGTCGTCATTTTGTGGTTCTCGGAGCTGGTGCCCCGGTAACGACATACTAGTATTCACATTTACACGAAGGAGGGGGAGGGTTTCAAGGCGTACTACTCATTGCAGGGGCCCGAGCCGGTACTCCGCGAGCAGGCAGGCTTCCTTCGAAGCCGATACGACGCAGTTGCGGCGCTTGCCCTTCTCGAGGGAGGAGAGCGTCCGGACCATCGCCGCGTGCCACCCGCACGAAAAAACACACACATAGTATTACTCCTCCGGCGCACTCCCAGCCTCAGACGGCACGTCGTCGTCATACGACATCGCGTCATTCAATTGAAACGAGTCGCGGTAGTACAGGTACTTGTCCACCGTCCGGCAGTGCCTCGCCCACGCGTCGTACGAGCCACTTGTAGGCTTGACCTTCGTATCGTCCTCGCGATTCGGGTCATGGACCACGGCCGTCCGTCTCCGTAGCAGCTCAAACACAGCATCCTGCTCCTGCGGTAAGGCTTGTTCGACGACGAGCCGCGCGGCGACCGCACCTACGCGACCTGCTAACGTGCCCGGGTCGTACGTACACGCATCCGGCAGGCTTCCGGGAACGACGGGCCGCTCCGCGCACTTCAGGCAGGTCGCCACGTCCCGCACGAGCTGTTTCCGCTGGTCCTCGTCATCATCTAAAATTCGCGGGACGCGAGTAGCCTTCTCTTGAACAACGGAAGTGGCCTTGTAGAAGTCCGCGCCTTGCGCGAGGGCGCCCTTGTCGACCTTCCTTAAATGGGCTGCCATCTCGTCTTGCGCGCTCTCGTCGGCCGCGACCTGTGTGGAAATCACAATTTTACGGCGCGTCGTCCTCCACGCCATCGACGCGATGCCTGCTCGATAGCGTTGCCATGCCGGTTCCTCACCGCTCGACCGAGCCAGGACGGCCGCGTCATCGCCGAGAATGCACCCGACGCACTGGTTGATTTCCACACAGGCCGCGACGAGCTGCCTCGCCCTCTGAGCCATGTCCTTGATGTTCTTCGACGTGTCGTCCTCCAGCAACCCGCCACTCTTCTCCAACGACGCCTTTTTATCGGCCACGGGGTCGCGCCAGGCCTGCCCATTTCTCTCGACGACCGCTCGTCGCTCGAGTAGCGTCCCCACAAAATCTCGCAGCTCGTCATGGGAAGGAGAAAACGTAGCACACCGATCCAACGCCAGCTCCACCTCCCGACAGCACATGTCCCGATGCGCCTCGGCCAGGTCCGCGACGCGCCCAAGGGCCCGCCACGCGTGCTTCTCGCAGCAGTACCGTCGCGGCCGGTCTCGACCGCCCTCATCTAATAGCAATTCCGAATTGGGCAAGTCGTCGTCGTCCAGCATGACTCGCGAATGGGATTGGATGTCGGTGATGAGTCTCTTGGTTCGGTTCGACCGCGGTCCTCGGGGAGGCCTATCTCTCAAGATAGATTCGCGGATGCGCTGCAAGGGATCCTTGGGCAGTTCCGCTTCGTACTCCGCGACCTCCTCCTGCAGTTTAGCTAATTTATTCTGCTCCAAACTTCCCGAGGGAGGTTTGCGCCTCCCAGCTATATTCTGATACAACGTAACACAAAATCTGCGTATAGACTTCTCGCGGTCCTCGTCCTTGTCCAACTTAATACTAGGACCGCCGAGCTTCTCGACGTCAGACGTGAACCGTTTCGGCGCGATCGGCCGCGTCCCGATGCACTCATATCCTCGTAACTTGCCGTCGTTCGCCAGAAAGAACTCCCGGAGGATGTGATCCCTCTTCTTGTGCTTCGCGAAGACATCTAGAAATAATTCTACGAGAGCGTCGACGCAGTCGCGGTGGTCGCCTCTACACCCCGCAGCTACTGGCTGCAAGAGAATATCAATCCGATCCTGCAGCGTCGGCTCGCCGTCCTCGTCAAAACAAGGGACGAACTTGCCGATGCTACCCACATGCCTGAAGCGCGGATCCGTCCAGACCTTCTTTTTCTGGTATTTCGCGGGTGCGCTCAATTGCGACCAGACGGAGCGATCATCTTCCGTTAATGTAGGGTGGTCCTTGGTGATGATCGTCGACTGCTGCAAGTCGAACCCTCCAAGCGAGTCGACCTCATTTAATAAAGGTCCCGGCTCGATCGACGCCGACGGCCGCATGACCTCGGCATGCTCGACGCCGTTCGGCTGCGGTATACTGACGCCGCCCTCCTGCAGCGACGACACGTCGTGCAGGTCCTGCTTCTGGTACGCCTTCTTCGCCCAGTGCCGGTTCATCTCGCTCTTCTTCCCGAAGAACTCCTCGTCGCCCGTCTGGAACGCTTTCGCATCTTGCCGCTCTTCGATGCTTCTCTTGGCGAGGTAGTTCGTCGGCGCCGCTTCATCCCGCAGATCCTGCTGCCGGTAGACCTCGGCCAGGGCGACTATCTTTCTTCTAGTCTTTCTGTCCACATACAACGGTGCTGAGAGTAGGACATCTTCAGTCAACGCCGCGAAGGAACCCCTGTCATCATACCCGTAGCTACACAACCTCTCAATGATGTGCGGCGGACACCGTAGTAGTTTGAGCTCCCGCCTCAAGTCAAATGAAGCAGAGTGAGGATGCATCTTCGACGCGACGCTCTTATTTTTCGTGGCCTTGCCCCGTCGACGAGCACTCATCTCCTGGGACCGCCGCTGCGACTCCATGCTCCGTCGTAGGGCCTCCTCCTCGTCTTGGTCCTTCTCGGGCTCCTCTTCTTCATATTCTAACGGTTTGATGGACACGGAACCGGTCCCGATGCTCCACTCCGACGGCAGACTATCCACATCTATCTCCGATTCCTCGAAGGGCGGCCTATATTTAGAACGAGCCACGTAGACCTTGTTCGGCCACTCATCCTGTGAAACTTCACCGTAGACGCCCTTCGGCACTATGTCATCATCTTGTAACATCTGGCCCTGAAATAGTAATACATAGCGATGCCTCAAGTGCTCGTGTTTCTCGACCTCCGGCATGATGTCGTCCCGCTTCGCGATGAACTGCCGTACTTTTTGTCGTAAAACAGCCACTTTGCAGGGCTTCAGGACATCAATGCAAATCTCGACCGAGTCCCACGCCTGGACAACAACAACGGTGTCGTTTTCCTTGAGGACGGCGAAGTTCTCCTGCATGCGGCTCATAAAACCTTGCTTTTTGGGGGGAGAACCTGTGTGGAAATCAAATTGTCGCGGCGCGTCTCCGCCACTGCTGAATCATGACCTTACGCCATCGACGCGACGCCACCTCGATGGCGTGGCGGTGTGGGTCTTACACGACTCGATTCAGTCATCAGGGCCGCGTCGTCGCCGAGAAATGACTTAGTGAAGAATTATCGGGTGCACCCGACACACTGGTTGGTTTCCACACAGCGGTGAACCAAACGCTTCCTTCTTCTTGGGCTTCTTCTTCTGTTTATTACCGAACCAGGACGACGCCTTCTTCTTGGCCGGCTTGTCCGGCGACATGTCGCCCCTCGCGAGCGACGTCGAGTTCTTCGTCCTCGTCAGTTGGGGCGGCTTCCAGCCCGGCGACGCGGACCGACTGCGGCTCCGGAACATGAAGTACCGCCGCGCCGCCTTCTGCGTCTTCGTCCGGCCGCGCTCCGCCGCGCGTTCCGCCTGGATCACCTTGTCCTCGCGTTCCTTCTTGCCCCGTTCCTTCGCCTCGACGGCGTCGTCGACCCGCGTCAATGCTCTTTCCGCCGCGGCCGCCGCGAGGTCGTCTGCATCCTGGTCATGCGTCGGTGACGAGCCTCCTTTGATCAGGCCGCTCCGCACCACATTTCTCACTTTATCTCTCGAGGAGGGTCGCTTATCCTCGTCTTGCGGGATGGACTCTTGGGTCCAGGAGTCGTGCAACGTGTCGTCGTCCTTTTTCTCCGGCGTCTCGGTCAGTACCGTGTCCGGCGACTTGGCGCGCTCTTCTGGTGTATTTGTGAAGACCGTGTCCGGTGATGTGGCTCGCTCCGGCGTGTAGACCGTGTCGGACGGACTCGTGGCGTCCGCACTGAAGACCGTATCGGAGGGAGATAAAGCCCCTTGGCCGCTCTCCGCGTAGGACGTCGTCACGAGGCGACTGGGAGACGCGAAGCTCACACTTGTGGCAGCCACGGACGGCTGGATCTCGAGCGTGTCCGACGGCTGCGTCGACGGCTCCGCCAATTGAGCGGCGGACGCCCGCAGCGTCGAACCGGGGCTGTCCACGGACGCCTCGGCGTTTACTGAGGAAGCATCAATATTGGCCGCCTCATCAATATCGGCGGGCATGTCCGGGTCCCGCAGCGGCGTGAGGGCGCCGGGCTCGCCGCGGTCGTCGGCCATCGTCGGCAACGCTGCCCAGAGCCGCTGGTAAGGGAGGGCTGGCTCTGAGGCCCACGCTCGCGTATAGGCCGCTTCCTCGGGACGCGGGGGCTGCCTCCTCACCAGCGCTTGACCTTGTTGGGCCCCGTACGGAGCGGCGGGCAGCCTTTGCTCGAGCGGCGCTGAGCTTTAGGTAGCGGGTAACCCACTAGATTTTTGCAGACTTTTTGGCCGGCGCCGTCTGTGGCGCTAGGAGCGCCACGCGTCACGAAACTCACGCAACTGGTCGGCACCGACGCGCTGTCGACGCGTGCGGCCGCGCGGGCAGCCCCATAATGATCACCAAAGTGCCATGAGGGCAGCACTGCTGCTGCTCCTCGCCCCGCTGCACGCGCAGCAGCGCCGCACGATCAACGACGTCGTGAGTACGCGGCCGAAGTACTCGATCAACGACGTCGTCAGCCGTAAACAATCAAGAGGCCGGCCGCGCGTCGGTATCGCATACACGCGCAACGAGGTGACCGCAGGACCGAACGGCCACACGGAGGAACACCACGTCTTTGAACTAAGGAATGCCGTGTTATCCGCTTTATCTGTCAAGCGCGCGGCACCCGCACTGCCCGTGGCGTTGTTTACGGATCTGAGCGCGGCCGAGGTCAAAGCTGCCGCGAGGCGTCTCTTGAACGACACGTCTCACCGACGCGTCTTTGACTACGTGCTGCCCAATGCGCAGTTCAAGCCGAGAAATGAGCAAGAGGCTCGCCTGTTGAAGGGTGGTGGCGACGCCGTGGTGCTGCGGCGGAGGCAGAAGCTCCGCTCGCGACTGGGGCGGTTGCTGAATCTCGCGGGGAAGCCCTTCGACCTCACTTTATTTGTCGACGACGACACCTACTTCTGCCCGTCGCCGGAGCAGAAATGCGAGCGCTACGGCTGCTCGTCGCCCGATAGGCCTCTCGTGCGTGTCTTGAGGCATCTGTACGCCACTAGAAAAGTCTACGACGTGCGGGCCACGGTCTTCGCGCGAGATGCGAAGGAAGGCGTGCTGCAGAACGAGGCAAAACGCTGCGTCTGGTCTCGAGCCGCAGACAGGGGCTTCTCCGCTACCTTAGAGGCCCAATGTCTGGAACGAGCGGCCACGCGCCGGTCGGCCTGCGGCGGCGCGCAGGGCGGCGCCATGGCCGTGTCCGCCGGCGACCGCAGTCGACAATTTGTGCGGGACTGGGTCGACGCTTACTTAAGGCATTGGACGAAGCAGGCCACGCGGTTAGGTGCGGGCAAGTATGATGAGAGGGAAGCTCGGACGTTTGCGTCAGATCAGGGGCCTTTGTTGGATGTGGCGCAGACGCGGTGCAAGGAAGAAGAAAGTACGAAGCCTAAATGGAAGCTCGGCGCCCTGCCACGAACCATGAACGTGAGGGACGCGGACGCGGCCCCGGACTGTAGGAACTCGGTGTTCGGTCCTGTATTGTTCTTGCATCAGAAGAAATATGTCAGAGGCGGGTCGATCCCCGAAGCGGTTCAGAGGCTCGACGGCGTGTGTCGGAGGGTGAACCGGCCTTTACATGATGGCGGGCTCTCGTGGAAAAACAAGACCAAACCGCCTTTTGAATGTGGTTGGATGTCTCCCAGAGGCGCGCCGGCGGGGACGCCTTTGCTTTAGCGTCTGCGCGATGGCGTCGAGATTCCACGCCATCGACGCGGCGTTGTCGCCTCGACTTAGTTTGTTAACATTATTTACATTAACACTAGAGTTCACCGCGATCGCCCGGCCCGCGCACCGTCCGCGCGTTGCCCGAGTCGTCAGCAACGCGCAGCTCGAAGGGGTAGTCGCCGCCCGGCAGCTCTCCATGCAAAGCGTGCCATGCTTCGTGACCCCAGACCAAGGACCACTTCACCTCCGACGCGAGTCTATCGAGCTCGGCGAGGTGCCACCGGCCGTGCGACCAAGAAACCTCGACGGACGCCACCACCCCACCGACGTCCGACGCGGCTCCCGACAAGCGAAGGACGCCGTCCTCCAAATTAGCGTAGAGCAGCGACGCCGTCGGCGCCTCATTATCAGTGATATCATCGACGAGCACGAGCGACTCATGTAAAGAACCAGGCAGCACGCCCTGCATCCGGAAGACATTCACCGTCAATTGTTGCAAGTCACGCACGACACCCGCCGTATCCATCTCGACCCTGATGCTATACTTGTTCTGGCGCTGCGGGTCGTTCGCGTCGTGAACGTCGTCGAGCGCCCAGGCCCACTGCACGGTCCCGCTCCCGAAGGTCCAAGCTTTTGATTCTTCATGACGAGACAGTACCAGGTTGTGCGTCGCGCTGCAGGAGTCGAAGACGGCGCCCACGTCTCGTAGGCATTGGACGTTGTCCACCGTCGTAGATGATAAACGGTGAAGGTTCGGTGGCGACCAGCCGTTGTCGACGACCTCGTCCCACTCGTGGCCCAGCACGCCCTTCGGCGTATGGTATGAATGACCTTGGGCGACGGACGTGTTGCGCCAGGCGCGATGCCGCCCGAAGCGCTCGCCATCGACAAACAACGAATCGACGCGCTGGGCGTTGGCCACGAACATGTGTCCAGATAAAGCGTTCTCCGGCCTCGAACCGCGGGGATTGATCGGTCGCGAGTCTCTAAAAGTACCGGTCCAGACGTCGTGCCTATCCATCTTTCTTATGTTTTGCGTCTCCTTGTAGCAGATCATGGTCCGGCCCTCGAAGCGCACGGCCCAGTAGGCCTCGTTCGCGCTCCAGAAGTTGAGGTGGACGCCTCTACGTCTCGCGCGCTCGATCGCGTCGCGCTGGCCGTAAGTCCAGTACTCCTGTGTGGGAATCAATTTCGGGCGCCCCACGCCATCGCCGCGATGCTGTCTCCGTAGCAGCGTCTGCTCGATGGCGTTCTCAGAACTCACTGGTTGATTTCCACACAGGACGCGACGTCATGCCCCACGGATAAGTAGGCCCGCGACCGCTTCAGGATATTGTCCGCGTGCTTCCCCGATAGATCGAAGCCCGTCGCGTAATGGACGTCGTATCCCATCCTTTCTAGAAATCGGATCGCGGCGAGCTCCGGCCCGAGCGGCGCGTTCACCGACCGGTAGGCGCGCGTGATCAGCGGCGTGTCGTAACTCCGCGCGTGCGCCCGCTTGTGGACGTGCTTCGGGTCGCTCAGGTTGAGGAACTCGTCGCCGTAGGGCTCGTGCCTGTGCATTTAACCAGCGAGTTACGAGCAGACGCACGTAACAGGGACGGCGTCGCGTCGATGGCGTGGCGCCTCCGCGCCGTCGAGCAGACACGCAGCGCGGGTGGGATTTGCTTTCCGCACCGATACGCGCAGGTACGGGTAATGGAACGACCCATACGTCGTCAATCCCCCATAGCCGTTGTAGGCGTGCCACGTGAGATCTGCCGTTTGGAACAACAAATCGTGCGTCTCGGGTGATCTAACAACAAAATAAGCGTGCGACGCGCGCGGCTCCTTCAGTCTCCACCCTTCGCTCGGTTTGTTCTTGCCGCCCGCGCCGTAGGCATGCGCCAATTTCTCAGGTGGTAAGGAAGCGTCGCGCCCCTCGACGGCGTGGTGGTTGTCTGATACGATTGGCGACGCGTCGGCGCGCCATCCTTTCGTTTGGTCGGCGAGGACGAACCGCGCCACGTACAAGCCCGACGGTCCCTCCACAGACCAAGACGCGGCGACGGGCCACTTCGCGCAGGAGTAGGCCACGCCCTCCCTACACAGCGCCGTGACCGTCCGCGACGAGGCGTGACTGTCGAGCGTCGCCCGACCCATGACCCGCGCGCCTTTTCCCCCATAATAGCCCAGGCGGAAGATGTCTACTCGTTTTAAAGCTTCTCCAAATTGCAATTTGATCTTGAATTCAATAGTTTCGCCGGGGAGCACCGACGCCTGCGTCGCGAAGCCGCGGACGCCCGGGCTGCCCGCTCCATTAACATCCCAGATATCGGAAGATACGCCCTGCTTGCAGTTCTCCGCTACTATCGCATTGGCTGGAGAGGCGCAGGGGTCCTCGGTTGCTCCTACGAGCGCCGCTGCCAGCAGCAAAGAGCACCGCATGGAATGGTGCTGTCCGGTGCGTTTCTTGCCCACGAAATTGTATAGCCGTCGATTGCAGGCGTTTTCTGAATGCTTCGTGCGAATCAGACAGCTTGCGAGTGGCTCACAGCAAAGCCTAGCCTTTGTTTTGTCGAGTTAAAAAATGGTGCTAGCGCCTGTTAAGACACTAGCGCGCTCGGCATTCACACGGATTTGGCCACACCGCTGGCTCCCCCTTGCGCTGCTAGCTAAACGCTATCCCAAAGAACCGCTGAGGCAGTTTCGACGACGTATACGATCGCTGGTCCCCTTTGGGCTGCCTCCCAATGAGGGCCCTGTGGGCTGCCATCACAATACTTGGAGCTTCTGGGGTCGACATCATGGAAACGGACATATTAACGCTGCAGCACGACACCGCCCGGGCCCAGAGGCACATCAAAGAACAGCTCGACGGCTTAAATCGCGCGGAGAGGAATATAGCACAACTCGTCGAGGAGGTTATTGGTCTCCGCGGCGAGGTGAGGCGGCTCCAAGGGCTCGAGACGGAGGTCCGCGAATTGCGCGCGCTCGTCGGGACGCGACCGGAGCCGGGCGTCCTCTACGAGCTGGCGCCGGGCCACGAGAGAGAAGTGACGGTGACGACCGCCGGCGACGCGGAGCCCGAGGCGCAGATCGCGACGTCGTCCCTGTAATGTCTGTACTAGTAAATTAGAAAAGAACTGGAATCGAAAGGGGCAATCAATCAAAGGGGAGATATGGAATCAGAACGTCTCGCCGCCGCAGAGCGCGTGGAGGACCATCTGGGCGAGGTAGCGCGACGGCTCGCCGTTGTCGAAGCGCGACCGCCTTTTCTGAGCGTCGCAGACGGGGTCGAAGCACCGCCGGGTTGCGCGCGCCGCGTCGTGGGCCGGGCAGCTGCAGAAGAGGTGGGGCGACCGGTCGGAGAAGAACGCCTCCGGCCGCGCGGCCGAGAAGGCCTCGACGTCCAGCACCTCCGGCGCGAAGGCCTTCACCCGCTTGTTGATCTCGAGCAGGAGCGCGTTCACGCGCTCGCGGTCGCCGGGGTCCACGTCCGTCCCGAGGTTCAGGGCCGACGCGCGCCAGACGGCGCGCGTTCCGTTCAGCGCCGCCAGAAACGCCCGCACCCCGTCCACCCCCCTCTCTAATCGCTCGGCGGCCCGGCCGGCGTGAATGCCGCAGCGCGTCTGGCGCGCCTGAGTGAGGGCGCCCTTCCAGGATCCCGGGAACTGCTCCATGACAACGTGGCGCTCCTCTATTCCAGACCCGTTCTGGACCAGGAAGCGCGGCATCGTCGGGTGCGGGACGCGTCGCAGGAAGCTGCCGAGGTACGCGCGGCAATTCGATAGCGCCCGCGGCGCCACGAAGGACCGGACGAAGTTCCCGCCCACATTAACCACAACCATGTGCGGCTCGTATTTGCTTTTTATATTCTGTGCGAGTCTGGAATCGAGGCGCGCTGGCCGCTGCACGTACGTCAGGCCCACGGGCGGCGGGCCCGCCGGGAACTCGTAGTCCCACGCGAGCAGTCGCAGCTCGTCGAAGAGACCCTGCGTCGTCGCGTCGCCCACGAGCGCCAGCGGTCTCCGTCGGAGACACGCCCTCGCCTCCTTTCCATCAAATACGCGCAACGCACAGTTGTTCGGCGCCCAGACGCGCGGTTCTACATTATCAGGGCCGTCCGACGGCGGGGCGGCGACGCCGGCCGCCTTTGTAAAATCGCTACCATCAAGACGCCGCGCGCAGCCCTGGCACTTGGGCCAGGCGACCCATTTCCCCTGCGACAGGGCCGCGGCGTTGGCGCAGAAGGCGAGGAGGCCCATTTTTAGCTGCCACAAGCCAGTTTTAAGGCAGCCCCATCTGTCCAAGGGAGCGCGCGCACGGCCCGGTTTCGGCAGCGCGGTGCGAGATTGGGCAGCTTCCCGTCATGCGGGCAGCCCACGCCTGCCTACGCCGGCGAACTCCCCACGACCAGCAGCATTAGATGAACACAAGACTTCCACTAGTATCTAGTAGCGCCAGCGCGTGAGCTGCGAGAGGAGTGGCTTCCGCCGTTGAGTCTTGCGTTCACCGGTGTTGAGGCTTCGCAATGCTAGCGGCCTGTAAGACACTAGCCAGCCAAGCTGCTTCTTGGCTGGCACAGTGCTGGCTGCGGCATTCATTGCATTTGACCTTCGCACAGCTCGTAAAACTTATCAGTGCACCAAGTGCTGCAGTTGCATACAGCGGTGCGACGCGTACACTCGCATACTAAAGCTGACACAGGCTGCACACTGCTGACACAGAGGCACGCAGAGGCACGCGGACAGTGCAACCGCTCGCCGCACGCTGCAAAACACTGCATGAACATCGCACTAGCACTCATCATCATGGCCACTCGCAGCGCCAGCGCCCTGTCGGCCCTGCCCGCCGCGTCGCAGTGCCGCGTGGCCGTGTGCGGCGCGGGCGTCGCCGGCGCGCTGACGGCGCGGCGCTTAGCGGAGGCCGGCATGTCCGTGACGTGCTTCGAGGCCGGCCGCGGTCCCGGCGGCCGCACGTCGTCGCGGCGGACGGACCTGGGGCACTTCGACCACGGGGCGTCGTATTTTGCGCCGAAGACGGAAACGTTCGCCAAGACCGTTGAGGAATGGGTGGCCGCCGGTGCTGCTGCGGAGTGGCGCGGCCGCTTCGGCACGCTGCGCGACGGCGCCTTCCGGCTCGACGAAGACGCGCCGCCGCGCTACGTCGGCACGCCGCGCATGAGCGCCATCCCGCGCCACCTTCTCGCGCACGAAGGAATTACTTGCGTCTACGGCACGCGCGTCAAAGGTGCTGATTTCAACGATGGCTGGACGCTCCGCGACGCGAGCGGCAAAGAACTCGGCCGCTTCGACGCGCTAGTCAGCTCGGACCGCCTCATGGCCTCTGTAGCTGGACTTCCGGCGCCGCCAGCAGTTGACACGGTGCTCCCAGAGTTAAATGACCTGCCGTCGTTCGCGGGCGCGGCGAGCAAGGTCGAGTCGAGCCGCGCGCTCGTGCTGATGCTCGGGTTCGCGGGCGCGGTCGGAGACATTCCGTTCGACGCCGCGCTCGTCGAGGGCGACGACGTCGTGTCTTACGTTTCGCGCGACTCGTCGAAGCCTGGCCGAAGTGGCGAGCTCTGGACGGTGCACGCGACGCCGGAGTTCGCCGAGCGGACGCTCACGGCCGCCGCGGCCGAGGAGGACCCGCGATCCGCGCTCCAGAAGAAGGCGCCTGAGCTCGTCGCCGCCATGTCGCGCCTCCTGGCGCCGTGGGTCCCGGAGCTGCCTCCTCCAGACATCGCCGTGGCGCACCGCTGGGGCGCCGCGTTCCCGAGCAAACCAGAAGACGGTACTCCCCCGGCGATCTCCGAGCTCGGCGGGCGGTTCGTCGCCGTCGGGGACTATCTCGTGGGGCCCCGCGTCGAGGGCGCGGCCGCGTCGGCCGAGGCCGGGGCGAAGCTTCTGATTGGGGCTTGTGCGTAGTATTATTGTTACGGTGCTAGACTAGTGGCTTGTCTAGCGCGTCATACACTCTAGACATCACTTCCTTTTTTTCTTGAAGTTGAGCAAGCTTGCGTAGTGCGGGTGCTTTCCTCTCTCAGCTAAAGAGTTGGCGACAGATACGCACCCTGAACGCACGCCGAGCTCCTCCCCGGGCTCAAAACTCGAGATAATACACGCCTCATCTGCACAAGCCACGTGTACCACTCGCCGTCGCGCCGTCGCAAGGGTTAGCCTGGCGTCCGTGACCGCTTAACTACTCTCTCTCTCTCTCTCTCTCACGCCACAGCCATCAGCAGCATGGCGACGCGCGAGACCCCCAGGGGCGTCGAGGCCACAGGCTTCGCGGACCCGGAGAAAAAGCTCATCGAGAACTGTCCGCTCGTGATCACGACGATTGAATGCCGCCCGAAGGACAAAAAGACGTACGAATTCGACTATAAGATCGCCGGCGACCCGAAGGACAAAGACGCGCTCTTCCTCAAGGACATCCGCGAGTCGACGAGGAAGGAGGAGGGCAGCGGCTTCTTCAGTTGCGGCGGAACCACGTACAAGGTCTACGAGGGCACCGCGGTCGACAATTTGGGGACGGTCATCGACGAGATTGCCGACCAGCGCGGCGCCTCGCACTGCATCCTCTACGCGCACGGCCTCGGGTCGGATCCGGAGAACACGATCAAGACCGCGGGCGACATGAACGATTACTTCTCGAAAGGGGATGAGGGGAAACGGGCGTTCGTGGTCCCTATCTGCTGGCCCGCGGAGGAGAAAAAGGTCACGTGCCGGGAAGGGCCGATGGCGTTCGTTCACTCGTACGTCGGGCAGAAGGAGGACGCGAAGGGCGCGGCGACGGCCATGCGCTCGGTCCTCCAGAGCCTCAACGAGGCGAAGGCGAACCGTAAAAAACCAATGCATACCAAGATCGCGATGATGGCTCACTCGATGGGAAACTTCGTTTTGAAGCGGTTCGCGCCGGAGGGGTCCGACTTTAAGCCCGATGATTTCAAGTTCTGCGCGTGCTTCATGGTCGCGGCCGACGTGCGCTCCTCGACCTTCTCCGAGTGCCCGGAGGCGTACGTCCCGAAGGAGAAGGCCGTCAAGGAGAAGCTCGTCAAGGAATCAGACAAACCGCCCGTGGACGACAAGGGCAACGTTATCAAGGACGCGAACGGCCACGTAAAAAATTTCGATCACGACGGCGTGGACATCTGTCGCGTCGTCGACGGCAAGGTCCACATTGTCCACCACAGCGGCGACCTGGCGTTGTTAGGGCGCCGATTCCCCATGTTTGGCAACACGGGCAAAAATGACTTTTGGTTGGGGCGCCGGGCGCTCGGGAAGGACGGCCCTGATTTTAAGGGCAAACCGCTAGATTGCGACGAATGTTTGCACCCCAAAACGTCCGAAGAACCGTACGTGTCAGGACATCTCGTGGACGAGTCGTCGCTCCACCCGGACTGTCAAGGAAAAAAGCTCGTGTGGACGGACGGGAAATACTTTCATAATGAATTTGGGTTTGGCCGCGACCCCCTCGGCCACTCCTACCAGTACGGTGCAAAGATCTGCGATTACTACCTCGGCGCGTTGGGATTGCCAAAGCCGTCGGACCCGAAGAAGTAAGCGTCACCGGACGTTGAACCCTCCTGCGCGCGATGGCCTGCGCTCCCCTAGCCCTCCCCGAGTATAAAAACACAGTCATAAAACTTACTCCGCCGCGTCCTCGTCGACGTACGAGAGCTCGTCCCTATTGCACGTGATGCGAGGTTCGAGGCCCTCCCAGCCCTCGTCCTCGTCGGGATCAATCTCGCGGTCGACGAAGCAGAGGTTGGCTTGCACGTCTCGGATCACACCGATGCCTCCGCCCGCCCGCGTCGGCAGGTTCACGCGCCGCCCAATCATCGTCGACGGCCGCAGGATTTTCTGCAACAATTCGGCTCGCTTCCACGACGGCATGGCGTCGTACGCGGTCTGCGAGACGCCGAATTCCGCCTCAAACGCCGCCTCCTCGTCGGCGAGCACGGTCCCTGTCTCCCAGTCACCGGGCGGCGGCGGCGGCGGCGGAGGCGGCGGCGGCGGAACAGCATCCTGCGTGACTTGCAACGCTTCGAGCGCAGCAGTCGGCGGGTCCGCCGACTCCACGGGCGTCTCTGCTGGCGGCGCCTCCGCCGGCGCCGCCGCGGCCGCGTCCCGCCGCGCCACGAGGAACGCCTTCAGCGCGGACCGCAAAGGCGCGTTGCCCGGGACGACGTGGCCGCCCTCATGCTCGTGGATCACGGGGTCCGCGAACCGCGACGCCAGCGCCCGCGCGACGTCGGGCGGCACCGACGCATCCGTCGCGCCGAAACAGTGAAACGACGGCAACCGGCACGGCGCGCCGGCGTCCAGCGCCGCCAGCACGGTTGCATCGCGCGGCACGTAGCCGGCGAACAAAACCGCGAACTGGAACAGGTCCGTCGTGAGGCAGAGCAGCGCCGCGAGCGTCGCGCCCTGCGAGAAGCCGAGGACGCCGTCGAAGGGGCCCTGACTTTGGCACGTCGTGCGCACGAGCGCCAGGCTCTCCTCGAGGCCGTCGTAGGACGTTGACAAAGCCGGCCTATTTCCATCTCTGGTATTGTACCAGCCCAGCGGCGCGCCGCGCGTCGCCTCGTCGATCTGGCCCAGGAATTCGCCCGTCGCCGGCCGCGGCGCATCTAAAAATGTAAATTCGCACACGCTTTTCAATTGTTTGCGGACGGCGCCCGTACGTTCTCTAAAAAACTGGCCATTTTGCGCATAGCCATGCAAGCAGAGGAGTTTCAGCTTGCGCTGGGGAGGCGCTTGCGGCATTTCTAGTCCTGCTCGATGGCGTGGCGGGTGGCGCGGGACCACAGTGGTCCTATGTCTCAATCTGCGCACCGGCGACGTGCGATTTAACAGCCGTACAAGCCCGCAAAGGTGGCAAGCAAAAAAGGCTAGCGATAGTAACATACTAGCAAGCCCCAGCTTTTTGGGCCACACCCGCGTTACAGCTCGAAATCCCACGCGTCAGACGCGTCACGATCTATTTTTAAGTGCAGCTGTCGTAAGAGAACGCGTACGGCACAAAAACGCGGCCGCCAGGGGCACCAGCAGCACCCACCCTACAATGGCCTCGCAGCAGCAGCCGCCACAGCCGCCAGCCACCTACACAAACCTCCAGGCCGCCGCGGAGGACGGCGCCGTAGAAACACGGAACCCCCTAGCGCCGCCGCCGCCGACTGGCGCCGACGAGCCGAGACCGACGGGCGCCGCCGAGCCGCTGCAGCCACCAATCGAACCGGAGGAACCGGACGGTTCAAAATTTCGCGCGGTAGTAGCTATAGTAAGGTGCATGGTCGGCCCCGCGGCTTTGTACATCCCCAAGGGCTTCGCCGACGCCGGTCTTGGAGGAGGCCTCGTTTGTGTGACAATAGCCATGGCGTTGTTTGCCTTCGGCATGGCGCGATTGATAGCCTCGTGGCGCCACGCGCGCGCCAGCGGCGTAACCACACCAGGCTTGGACGGCGTCGCCTACGCCTTAGCGGGCAAGTGGGCGGGGCACCTGGCCACGTTCTGCGTCACGGCGATGCAGTGCGGCGTCGGGGTTACGTACTACATATTTGTCGCGGAGAATATTGATATGTTGGCGCCGTCTCGTTATAATCTTACGATGGGGGCGGTCATCTTGGCCATGGCCGTCGTCGAGGCGCCTCTATCACTATTTAAAAGATTACAGCGGCTCCACGGCTTGAACGCGGCGGGCAATTTGTTGGTGGCTCTTGCATTATTGACGATTTTTGCCGTGGCGCTGGAGCGATTAGACAGAGAAGGCCCGGCGCCCTCGAACTACGGCGTCGGCCCGCCGGGCAAGGTCTTAACTTTCGCGGGCACGGCGGTCTTCGCCTTTGAGGGGACCGCTTCCATAGTAGTTCCCGTCTGCGACGCGACGGCGCGCGCGCACCGGGGGTCGTTGGAGTATGTGGTTGTCGGCGCGACGGCGGCGGTGGCGCTGGCCTACGCCTTGTTTGGCATCGCTTGTTCTTTAGCTTTCGGGCGCCGCGTCGACGTCATCGTGGCCGAGTCGCTGCCGCAGACGTGGTGGCCCGGCGGGCTGGTGCGCCTGGCTTACGTCCTTGTGGTCTTGGTGACGTTTCCTCTCCAGCTCTTTCCGGTCTCCGACCTCGTGTCGCGCGGGCGCCAAGGGTGGTGGAGTGCGCTGCCGCGGCTGGCGCTCGTCGGCGTGCTGGCTCTGTTGGCGTTTGCGTTCCGGCACCGCCTCGACCACGTCGTGTCGCTGCTGGGGGCCCTGGCCTGCGCGCCGCTTGCGCTGGTCGTGGGGCCGTGGGCGCATTTGAGCGTCGCGGCGACGCCGCGGGCGCGCCTGCTCGACCGGGCGTGCATCTGCGTCGGGTGGGTGATCTGCGTCGCGGCGACGGCGAACGCGCTGGTGACGTGGCGGGACGCGGCGTCGTGACGTCACTGACGATCCTTGTTGTTTTTTATTTGTGGATATTAGTGTATAGTACTACTAGTAGTATTCTTACGAAACGTCCCGCGGCAGCCATTCCTGCGGCCGGTCCCCATGGACGACCCAGCGGTTTTCTCTCTCGGCAGGAACCTCGTCCAGGTTGGGATCGATTCCTCCAAGTCCCCTCTTCGGCCACTTCCCGTCCGGGCTAAACGGTGCCGCAGGCGTAGAATCGGTGGCGAACAAAGCAGCGGGCTGAGCGCGAAAGGAATGGTTCCGGAAGAACCGATGAAAGCCATCGAAGCCCGGGCGGAGAGTACCCTTTGGGACAGGGACGGGGCGCTCCAAATACTGAGGCGGCGCTGATTGTTCATTTTCACTGAAACAGATCTTCACGCATTCAAAGTTTCGAACGTTATCTTGGTCGTCGATGTCCATGTCAAAAGAAAAGTAGGTATCGATCCATGTCTCGCCGTATTCTTGGGCGGGTTGAAACGGTGAATTCCATGCGGCACACCGGTCGTCTACCGCCCCTTCCAATGCACCAGTGTCAGCAATGGGCGCCAAGACCCCATTGACCAGCGCGAACAAGCGAAGTTCGAGGTACGGCCCTTCGTTTTTGTGCCCGCCCGGAATCGGGATGTCGAGCGGGATGGTCATTTCGTGTGGGAAGCCGGCAAGTTCGCAGTCCATCAGTCGCACGACCTTGTAGGCCAAATTGCGGACAGTGCCAGGTCGACTAGTGCTTTCATAAAGCTCACAAATGATGAGGTCGAGGTCATATGCTGGTCTGAGCAACAGGCTCGCTGGGACACCGTCGCGCGGTCGCCACGAGTATACCTTGTCAACCCTGTTTGAATCTCTGTCGTCACGGACCACGCGCCACGGCAGGCTCTGCAGGCACAGGCGCCGCGGACTACAGCTGAGGCTCAGGAGCCTTGCACACGCTGCGGCGTCGAGTCCGACCGTCCCGAGCCCCAGCTCTGTGGTTAAGAGTCGCGGCGCCCAGACGCGTCTTTCGTTGGTCGTGACGGTGCGCAGCCGTCGCCCGGTCGCGCCAAGCAGTATGATGTCTTCTATTTTCAGCGCATCAATGATTACAAATAGCACATCATCTGTGATTCGGGAAAGCGCCATGAAGCTGCGGTCTCACAGGTGGCTTAAACTTTCAAGTGCTCTCGACAGACGTACGCGCGGTGCCGCAGCGATTGGGATTGCGCGAGCCCTGGTCCGGACTTGTAAAAAATGAACGAAACGACGAATGCAAGCGGAGTGGGCCTGCCCCCGGCACGGCTTTGCGCAGCGCGCGGCTTGCTAGTGTCTTTCAAGCCGCTAGGCGTAAAATTTTACCGAAGGCTCACCCCGCCGGCTCCGACGCGCCGCGCGGCGGACTCGACGGCTCGAGCTCGTCGCCCTCACCATCAAAGTCGAACAGCTCGACGCGCCCCTCCTCGGCGCTCGAGAGGAACACCGTCGTGTCGTCCGCGGGGTGCCCGACCGCCGGCGGCGACTCGCCGCCGTCGTCGGACACGTCCTCGTCCACGCCCAGGAACTCCTCGGGCTCGCCGAGCTCGTCGCACATGGCCCGCGTCTTCCGCAGCACGTCGCGACACCGTCGCGCGTAGGCGCGCGCCCGCCGCAGCTCGAGGCCCATCTCCTCGAGCTCCAGCCTGAGCCGCTCCTCCTGCTGCTCGAAGGAGCTCGACAGGTTCGACATGCCTCGCTTCAGCAATTCGTTCTCGCGGAGCGCCTGGCGCCCTTCGGTCGCGTCGGCGACGGCGCGGTCGCGCTCCTCGGCGGCTTTCGACGCCTTTGCGACGGCCTCCTCGACGAGCGCACGCGTCGGCGCCGCCGCGCCGTTGTCCCGTTCGCGCAGCTGGCGCTCCGCGTCGCGTCGCGCCTCGCGCTCGTCGCGCAGGAGCGCCTCGGTCCGCGCGAGGCGGCCGTGCACGCGCTTGAGCTGCGCGTGGAGGACGCTGACGATCTTGTCTTGGCCGCCCGCATTTCTGGCATCCATCGCGGACATTCTGTTTGGCAGAGCGTCGGAGGCGAAGCCAGAACTTCGCGGAGAGATCGCGTGTTTGCCAGTGCGTGGAGGTGTCGACCTCAAGGAGTGTCGTGAACGACTCGCGGTCAGCCTTGAGCGCTTGTACTGCGGTAACAGGACGTGAGAGCGTGCCTGGAGTGCTTGCTAGTGTGTTTACACGACGCTAGCTGCGTGTGCGGCGCGCGGTCTTTCGTGCTATTGTAGCCGCACGCGTACGAGAGCTGCGGTACAAGATAGCTGCAGCCATGAGCAAGACCATCCTCGTCACTGGCGCCAACACTGGCATCGGTTACGCGCTCTGCAAACTACTGGCCACCGAGCATGGATGCTCTGTGCTGTTGGGCTCGCGCACCAAATCAAAGGGCGAGAAGGCCGTGGCCGACATCAAGAAGCTGGCGCCGAACGCCTCGGTAGAATTGGTCGAAATCGACGTCTCGAGCGACGAATCGGTCTCGGCCGCGGCCGCGGCGGTCAAAGCGAAGGGCGTGACGCTCTACGGCCTGGTTAACAACGCCGGCGTCGGTCTGAATACAAACGGCGATATCATAGAAACGAATTTCAAGGGTCCGATCCGCGTCTCCGAGGCGTTCCTGGAGCTCATCGAAGACAAGGGCCGCATCGTCAACGTGAGCTCGGGCGGCGCGTCGTCGTGGGTGCGCCAGCAGGACGAGGCTACCAAGAAGTTCTACTCGGACCCGGACATCTCGAAGGAGGCGCTCGTCGCGGACGTCGCGAAGCAGGCCGCCGGCGCCGAGGGCGGCTGGCCCGGGACGTACGGGCTCTCGAAGGCCGGGCTGACGGCCTACACGCTCTATCAGGCTAAAGCGTACCCGCACCTGACGTGCGTGTGAGCAGCCCAGTGTCTGTCGCGTCGATGGCGTAAGTGTGCCGTCCAAACCCTCGATACGCGCAGGTCGCTCTCTCCAGGCTTCATCATGACGAACATGACGAAGGTATCGCCTCGGCGTCCATTTTTGTCTCCACGCGCCGTCGTTGCGAGCCCGATTGAAGCCTGTCTCGTCCGCGATACGCCATCGACGCGACCCCTTTGCATCGGCGCGACGGTATGCCGCGCAGGGCTTCGGCGCGAAACTCACTCCGGAGCAGGGATGCGTGTCGTCGTTGCACGCGCTCTTCGGCGACGTCACATCGGGCTGGTACTACGGCTCGGACGCGAAGCGGTCGCCGCTGACGTGCTGCCGCGACCCGGGCACGCCCGAATACGAGGGCGAGGAGAACCCGGACCCGACGCGATACAACAACTAGTAAGTTTTTGTTGTTTATGTTTGTGGAGGGCTGGGACACGTAGAACAGACTGCGTTGTTGCCCGCCAGGTCGTCGGACGCGGACGCGTCGCGCTCGACCGCATCCACGGGCAGCTCCGAAGTTATCTTCGCTGGTGTCGTCGGCCGAGGGGTCCGCACGGAGCGCGCGGCTCGGGTAGAGGGGGTTGCTTTGTTTGGCGCCCATGGTCTTCGCGCTGTCCTCCTGGGCCCTATTTGGCTTCGCCGCTCGCGCGGTCGGCGAGAGCGGCCGTGAAACCCAATAAGCCACAAAAGCTACAACTCTGCAAAAAGCAGGTATCGTCCGGATGGTACACGTCGGCGGCGTTACTGGGATAATCAGACACCCCAAAACGGTTATCCTTTATTCGATTGCCGAGAGAGCACGCGTACGCTCCGTCGTCGCGCAATTGTCAGAGCTAGCGGCCGGTAACATACTAGCAAGCATGCAAGCAAGCACAAGAGCAAGAGCTACTGCTTGAGCATAAAACTGCAGCAGAGATGTGCATTTAACAGCATGGATCGATAACGCACAATGGCAAAAGACAAGAAGGCGCCACAGGTCGACGACAGCCCCGAGGCCGCCGCAGCTTTAGCAGCCCTCGGCACGCCCCAGGCCTCGCAAGACGTCGTCGCATTAGTAGTGGGAGACGTCGTCGACGCGTCGCGGCCGCGCTACACTAATGGTAGCTCGTCGTCGCAACGCATGCTCACGTTCTCCGCGCGCTGCGGTACTACCACAAGACGCTGCTACGAGGCGGCGCCGCTGAAGGCGGAAGCGTATACTGGAGACGCCATTTTACTCAAGCGGAGCGTTACAAATGTAGGCGACCTATTACAACTCAAACCGACGACCGCCGAAGTATATATAGGGGCCCGGCCGCCGCCGCCGCCTCCACCAAAACCGAAAGAGGACGGCCCGCCGCCCTTCGAGCCCTTCGACGTCGAAGCGGCCGCAAAGGCATCTAGAGAGAGGCGCCCGCCGCCGCCGCCGCCGCCGCCCAAAACGCGGACGGGCCTCGCGAGTCTCGACCCCAGGGAGCGCCGGTCCGTCGCGCTGGTCGTCGAGGGCCTCGAGGCTTCAGAGGATGGTGGCGTCGTCATTAGAGCCGGCGGCGAGCGCTTGATGGCGTCGGTGCCGTTGCGGAAGTTCCTGTTGCGCGGCTCGGATGCGAAAACCGTCCTCCCCAAGCTCGCGCCCCACTTCGCGGGGAAGACGCTGTCCCTCGACGTCGAGAGATGTGACAAGGGATTTGTTGTACACAACCTAAGTTAGTTTTGTTTTCCCACGAGACCCGCGAGGTAGCGGTCCTGGTCGAGGACCTGGCGCGCCGCACGCGTCATGCCTTCCACTTCCCCGCCATCGGGGCGACAAGTCCCCGCGGGCCCGCACCGCATGCCTTTTATTTTGCGCGGCCTCCGTTCCGGCCACGGCTCGCCTTTGTTCAAATCGGGCCGGAAGCCGCGTTTTACCGGCTTGGCGACGTGGCCAGCGCGGCCCGCGTGTTTCTTCGGAGGCGGCTTCGCCACCACCCGATCGTCGAAGGGACACGCCTGGTCGCTCTCCTCCAACGTACAACCGCGGAACTCGAGCTTGCCGTACGACCCTTGATGGGCGGCCACCATGACGAAACTATTGTCATACCTCACGAGACCCAAGGCCGGCTTCGGAACCTTCCAGGGCGTCCACGTTGATCTATCTCCCTGCAGGCCGTCGCCCGTGCATTCTGATCTTCCTACGCAACACCTCCAGTTCTTCGCGCGGTCGACATCAATCACAGAACCTATACGATCCATCCTGTCGAGGTCCTGCTGCGACCATCTAGGGAGCCAATCTCGACCCTCAGCTGTAGCTAGTGACGGCATGTCCGAGGGATGAGCAATGGGCTGCATGCGGTGCGGACTCACATATGTTGTCTCATCGACTACGGAGAGCATGAACCGCGCGTTCCTTGTATGCAACACCTGGTCCGCCTCGGAGTAGTAGACGTAGTCGAAACTCCATCTGGGATCATTCTGGAGCTTGTCTCGTATCGCATGGACGGTCTTCGCCCCCAGTAGAGCCGGCTTGAAGAAGGGCACTCCCGTGATGCGCCGCGGGATGAAGCACTCCGACTCCAAGACGTCGAACCACTTCAGCCCTGAGTGTTGTCGTGCAAACTGAGCATCGGTGTGGGAACAGGTTGATAACACAACATGAGGCGTTAGCGCGTCGACGATCGACCAATACGTCGTGTTCAGGAAGTGTCTGCGCATGGCCGGTGCGCTACTACCAGTAGTACACGCCGCTTTCGGGTCTTCGCATTCCGGCGACGTCGCGAAGAAGGGTAGCACGGCGACGGTCTTGAGCCGTCGAGGCCCCTTGACGCGATGAGACGAAGCCCGTCGTTCGAGGCGCTTGGCCCGCTTCCCGAGCATGGAGAGCAGTTCGCCGTCCCAGGTCTTCTTCGCTATTCCTCTCGCATCTCGTAAGCCAATACGTCTTTCGAGCCACGACAGGTGCTCGACGGCACAGTCAAGTAAATCGACCGACTGCAAGGGCGTCGCCACTTTGGCCGGCATCCAGCCGCCGCTCTCCATGTTCGTATTATCTCTAATAGGTACGTCATGCTTCAAAACGGTGGCCCGGTGCGCGAGCCAGGCGGCCCCATACGCCTGTCCACTCGGATCGCGGCAGTTGTACCATCGTCTTCTTCTCGTCGCGGCGGCGCCGGCTCTTTGTATTGCCGGGCGCTGTGCTGCTACGATCGATGCGACGAGCAGCAGCCTCATCGCATCGATGGCGTACGCCTGCAGCGATGACCAACGACAGCCCCAACGTCCCGGCTGATTGATGCGTCACTGATGAGAGTATCTGAGCGTCCAGGAGGCAGCGATTCGAGCCGCGCGACTGCGTTTCACGGCTGTCCAAATTTCAGCAGCTAGCGGCATGTAAGACACTAGGAATCATTCCTGCTGCGCTGCGCGCTAATTGTACCACCCGACGCTGTCGACGCGGCCTTGGAGCCCTTCGCATCGCCACTGGCAGCCTGGGGCGCCGCCCACTAGTCCTAGCACCGCCGCCGCCGCCACCGAAAGAAAGAAACCTCCTAGAATTGTGTTACGACGCGCGAGCGAGCGACCTAGATCATCCCCTCCGTCGACAGGATCGACGCGACGACGTAGACGAACCAGAGGCCCACCAGCAACGCCGCGTGGCGCTTCGCCGACGCCTTGGGCCCGCCGAGCTCCGCACCGATCGTCACCCGTCGGTAGTACAGGACCGCGATCGTCGTCAGGGCGCAGATCGTGAAGACCGCTACCGACAATCCAAGGGAGCCGGCCGGCACGATGAACCCAATCGGTTCGGTTTCGCCAAAACCAATATTCCGCCCTCCGTCGGGGCCCAACTTTCCCCTGACATCCATCATGCGCGTCGGCGCTGGTGTCGCAGTGGCTACTGCCGGCGGGTACTTTGTGCCTCCCCGCCCGACGATCGTCCCGTCGCCGGCCACCGCATATTTACCGCCATAGGTCTTGAGCCAGGCTTCTTCGTGGTCGTCCGAATACAGCCCAAAGCCCCAGTAGATCGCCGCGATGGACCACGGTAAACCCAATCCTAAGAACACATTGACCGCATTCGACCCAGTGACGTTCCCGACCGCGGCGTCCGCGCTGTCGTCGTTTATTGTGGCCGCTTTCGAGGCAAACGCGTCCGGTAAGGACGTACCGAGCGCCACGAACGTGATCGCCGTGACCACGTCCTTCAGCCCGAGGCAGCAGCCCATGAGCGCCGCGAGGTCACCGATAAAGGCCGTCACGACGCCAATATATATTAATGCTTGGAAGAAGCAGAGCCAGCCCCCAGCATATGAGGTAGGTGCGACCGTGGCGAAGATGAGCTTCCACGGTAAGGTGATGATATGTAGTACCATGCTATCACCGGGGTCGAGGGCCTCCTGAAATTGGTGCGCCCAGCCTTGCGAACCCACAGCGAAGCCCGACCCGTCATTGGCCTGCAAGTAGGCGTGGATGTCGTCCATGTGCTTCTTCTCGTCGGCGTCGGCTACTACATGTACTATTTGTTTAGTATGATGTCCTAATGAGGGCTGCCGCTCCTTGTGGTCGCTGCGCACGTTCTCCAGTTGTACCGTGAACTCGACGCCGTCCTCCAGCCCCGTGTGCAGCAACTCCACCTCGAGGAACTTTTCGACTTCCGTGTTGTGGAAGGTAATGGGGTGATTGGACGCTTTATAATGTTTCCCGTTTACTGCAGAACCATCAATAAACTTGCAATCCACATGAACCTCGCCGTTCGCCCCGTTGAACCTTCCTACTCTTATTTTTGCGTGGCCCGCCTTCTCCGACGCTGTTACTGGTGGTAAACGCGTGGGAGAGCCCTCCTTGGGCGCTTGGAACCTGCGCGGAGCATCGTATTCACTGGAAACGGTCCGAACGGCCCCAAATTCGACAAAGAAACCCCCCACGACCTCGTCCGATGGACACGAGTCGCGTCGATGGCCTGAAGGCGCCTCTACACGACGGGACGCCGGGTTCGCACGCTATCACGCCCGGCTCGTCGTCGTCGATGATCGTCACTTCCGCGGTCCGGTTGTCCTCGTTCTTCAAGTCGATGAGCTGCGTTTCTTCCATTTCCCCATCTGTCGTGCATTCTAGACTGATGAGGTCGACGTAGAAGACCTGCGCGGAGCGTCGCGGTCGCTCGACGAGGTCCGGGACTGTCTCTGTTCCTTCGCGAGGCGCGTAGACTCTCGTGCGGTCGCGTCGATGGCGTCGCGGTGGCGTGACGTCGCGCTGACGCCATCTTCATGAAAGCGGTCCCTCCGACACGCCGCGACGGCCCCGACGCGGTCCGAAACAGCTCAAAATTGCACCCACGGCATCGTGCGATGGCCACGAGTCACATGGGACGCCGCGCGCGCGCCTCGTCGACCTCGGTCTCGACGTCGTCGTAGACCGTGACCGTGATGCTCTGGAAGTTTTCTCCATCGGTAAAAACGAGTTCGCCGCTCGACTTCTCGAAGTCGCCCTTCTTGGCGGCGCCGGGGTCCGAACCTTTGGCCGTGCCGTCGCGCGTGCTCCATTTGACCTTCATGGTCCCGGTCGGCGGCGTCCGCGTCACGTTGAGCGTCACACTCCCATCAGACTCAAGTAGGGCGTACTTCGTGTTGATCTTGCCCTTCGCATCCGAAAAGAAGGCGCGCGGGCCGTGCTTCTTGCCTCCCGAGATCTTCGCGAGGTACTTCTCGAGGGCTGCCGGATCTGGGGCATTTTGCTGAATGGCCTTCTTGCCTATCGCCGATCGTGTAGCATTCATCCTTTGAACAGCTCTAGAAGGTTTGGCCTTCTTCGTCGTCTTCGACAGCTTCGCGATGATCTCTTGGCGTTCTTCGTGCGTCGTGTGGGGGTGCCGTAATTTGGCCATGAGTTCCCGAAAATCATACGAGTGGAAGTGCAGGCCGCCGATGGCCGTGACTCTGCTCTCTGGTGCGACCTTCGACGCGCATTTGTCGAGCCACCCTTTGTCGGCGGCGAACGCGAGTGCCGTGAGTAGCGGGAAGAAGAGGAAGGTTAATATAGCTTCCCAGGGTTCGACAATGTCCGGCGAGGAGACCATGAGGATGATAAGTAACCAGATGTAGGCGAAGACCTGCGCGGAGCATCGTTGTGATGTGGCGTCGCGTCGACGGCGTCTCGTGACGACGCCATCGACGCGGCCCGAAACGGCTCAAACTCGACAAAGAAACCACTCTACACGACGGGACGCCGCGACGCACCGAGAAAAAACCCGTCACTTTGTAGACGGTCACTTCCTCAATTTTCCGAGTTTCTCCATCTGGTAATGACACCACACAAATAGCGATGATGCAGAACAGGTTGAAGGCCGCGCTACCCACGATCGTCGACGGCCCCAGATCGCCCGTGAAGAAGTCGTTGCTCAGAATTTCGATGACCGACAAAAGGATCTCTGGCGCTGAAGACCCGAGGGCCATCAATGTCAAATTGGCGACGGTCGCGTTCCAGACCTTGTACGTGATGTCCGTGCCCGGTACCCGTTTTTCTTTACTCGTGATCGTCCTGCGCGGAATGGCCTCAAAGTCGACAAAGAAACCAGCCACAACATGATACGAGTCGTATGGAAGTGAAGGCACCGACGTGGGACGCCGCGAGCGCACTCGATCGCGGCCATGAAGATGTCCGCAATTATGGAAACGCCGAGGAAGAACCATAAGAGACCAAGTAAATAATACAAGGCTCGGAAGTACAGGAAGCCCCGGCCCCATTCGGCAGCGGTCGACAGCTCCTGCTCGCTGTCTCCAAAAAAGGGCAGGAACAGTCCACTTTGCCCGGGGTGGCAGATCTTGTCCCTCGCGGCCCATGCGGTGGCGGCTAGCAGTATCAGTACATGCTTCGCGTGCTTCGATGGGTCCTTCATCGTGGCGTGCCGGCTGCTGCTGTGCTGTGGGGGCAGCCCCCTACTACACGCACGGCGGGGCGGGCGGCGCCTCGGAGGGCTCGGACCGCACGCGCGTCGATGGCGCCTGGTGCTGCCTGATTGCCTTCCCGGCCCCGGCTTCCGCTCGGGCTGCCGCCTCTGCGAGAGCGCTGCCGGGGGGCTTTTGCATCGAACGGACCTGAAACCAAAAGCGACGCCGGGGCGCCCCTCCGCCGCCGGGGGAGGCCGTTTTCATAGCTCCCCGGACTGCTGGGCTGACGCCGCCCCGCGGGGAGCGCTCGCCGGTCGCCGAGCCGCGGCGACGACGCGCGGCGCCTGGACTCTACTCATCCTTAGCACGCGTAGCCGCGAGCGCGAACTGTACCCGCTGACGCCGTCGCCGCGACGAGAACTGCGCCGCGCCGCCGCCGCGACGAGTATCAAAACAACGTATTATTCCCCGCACTCGAAGTCTTCGCGCCACCCCCAAAAGCAGCGGCAGCAGAAATCGCCTTCAGGGACCGCCGTCGAGCAGGCTTAGGAGCGGCAACAACAGCCGGCGCAGGACTCTCCGCCTCCTTCAAAGCTTTCAATCTCGATTCCTTCTCCCGCTTCTTCTCCTCGGCCCTCTTACGAGCGAACTTATTCTCGTGGAGGATCGGCTCGCCCAATTTCAAACAGTAGATGTGGTGCATGAGCGCGTACGGCCGGTCGACGTCGCCGTGGAACTTGTCGAGCATGCAGGCCTTGCAGGCCCGGTTGTTGCACTCCATGCAGGGGATCTGGGCGCATTCGTCCTCGCCGCAGATGACGCACGTATACAACGGTTCCGGTAGTGGATAAGTAGCCTCACTTGCCAATCTTCTCTCCCTTCTATCAGGGTCCTTCAGGTCGTTGTACTCCGTTAGTGTTATTTCGTCCCTCATGTATCTTTCCTCCAGTGTTCGTTTCTTGGATCTATCGCGTTTCGCTACTAAATACTCATGATCAGGGCGTTCATGCACGGGTACTACTTGGTAGGCCTCCCTCCTTAGTTCAGATCCAGTCAAGTCCATGCACTTGCCCAAATCCTTGAGCTTGTACTTGCCGTCCAAGTATAAATCTACGAGATGACGGGTGATCGCCGCCCTATTTTTCAATTGCGTTTTTATCGTCTTCGCCGGCCGACTATCATATATGGGATCTTCTGGGTTCAACGAGCGAGGGATCAATTTCAGCCTGCGCGGAGCATCGTATTCACTGGAAACGGTCCGAACGGCCCCAAACTCGACAAAGAGACCACCCAGCGCCTTCTCTGATCGAGACGACTCATGACAATGAAGTGAAGGCACCGCAGCACCGCGGGACGCCGAGATTTCACATGAGTCGCCGCTGGATCTTCGCGGGGATCGTCTTGAACTCGTCGTACGCTCGACTGACTTGATCTACTCTATCTATCTTGACTCGGACCGTGAACGGCGCCTCGGGCATCCGATACTCGAGGAAGTAGTAGTCCTGGCCGTACAAATTTTGAGGAGCACACGCCTGCAACAAGCGCTTGTGGAGATAACCCCCGGACCGGTCCGCTTCGATCGCTTCTTTGGTGACGCCCCGCAGGACCTTCGTCTTGCTGCTTCGCGGCTTTTGCATGCCAAAACTGATGCGCCAGTGCTGGAAGTCGGTGGTCGGGGCGCCGCCCGGTAGGGTCACCGTCTCGAGCTCCCAGAGACACCCGAGGTAGCGCTTCTTTTTCACTAAGTGGGCCATTTTGGTATGCTATCGTCTCATGCTGCTCTTGGGGCGCGATGGCGCGTCCGCGTCGACGGCGTCGCGGGCGGTGGCGCGGGCGGTGGTCCCGCGTCGGCGGGGCTGCCCCTCCCGGCTCCCGCGCGTCTATAGGCCGTCCTTGTGTGCTCCTTGCCAACGCGGCTGAGGCCCTGCCCGCACGCTTGGCTGGTAGGATACGCGTCCATGGGAGTCGTGCCGCACCGGCGGCGTGCCGGAGACGGCTGCGGGAGGTCGTGAAAATCCTAGTATCACTACCTCTAGCCATTAATCTCACTCATAGATTTGAGGGCTCTGAGCCGCCAAGTAAGGCCACCAGCGTCACCGACAGACTCGACACGCTGTGGAAGACTTCAGAAGTGAGCTCGCCATCGATTCGCTGCGACCTTTCGGGCGGCGCGACGCCCGGATGGCTGATCAGCTCTGCTTGCTCTGATAGAAAAACGCCGCGCCCGCCGCCGCGCACGGTCCACCGCCCCCAAAACCGCGCCGTCGCGACGCCGCCGAGGCCGCCGCAGGCCGCCGGACCCCGAAACCCCCGCGCAGACAGACCAAAAATCAACGATGTCCGTCTTCGACACGAGTAAAATCCGGCGCCACAACACGCAGCTCGCCGTCGCCGAGGCGACGAAGGCCGCGGAGGACGACGCCGTCGCGCACACGGTCGTGGGCAGCGTGTCCAAGGGCGAGTGCCAGATGATCAACCGCGTGCTGCTCCACTCGACGTCGATGAAGGGCAACTTGGATGCGGTGCCCCACGCCTGCACGATGAGTGAGGAGGGCGACGCGCCCGTGCCCTACCGGCCGTCGTACATGTTCGGCTTGCTCGCGCGCCGGGCCACGAAGAACGCGCACGCCGTGCAATGGCCCGAGGGCACGATCCAGCAGCACCCGGAGGAGCACGTCACGGGCGGCGAGGTCACGCAGGGCGAGTGCGCGCGCCTGGCGAAGCACCTGTCCGAGTCGTTCGGCACGATCGGCCTCGTGCCGAAGGCGTGCCGCGGCGTGCTGGGCCGCGGGCCCTAGACCTCCCCCGCCCCCTACTGAAGTAACATCTAACACATACCTAGACTTGCTTGCCGGCGCGCGTTCCGCGGCCGCACATCACCGAATCCAACTCCCAGCCGACATACGCCTCTAGACTGCTCCAGAACGCCCCTGGGCGCCCGAAACGCGTTGCGCGTCCACCTCAAATCAAGAAGCTTCTCACGGGTTCACACAGAGCCCAAAACAAGCAGTGTATCGATACAGGAGCCGCGAAGCGCCAAGTACGGCGCAAGTTGTTCTGCGTGACGCCGAACACCAGCCCTCCAACCTCGAGCGCGCTGCTCCCGCTGCTGATACGCCGCACTCCTCAAATTAACTGAGAGGCTGCCAAGGCAGCCAAAACCAACCAACCAAAACCAACCAACCAAAACAACAAAAGCAAGACAAGACAATGGCGTTCTTCGCCGCGATGGACGCCCAGCTCCCGACCCACACGCGCGGCGAGAACAATTCCTTAGAGCTCACGGCCGAGGGCGTCGGCCAGCCGCGCGTCGCCCTCTTCGCCGCGCTGGTGCGCAACTGCCCGAACGACCGCATTACATCATTGGTCGACGCCGTCGTCAAGGAACGTTGTGAAACGGTGCAAAATCTCGTTGATTTAGTCGTGCTCACGATGCAGACGCGCGACTGCCGGGGCGGCAAGGGCGAGCGCGACCTGTTCCAGCGCCTGTTCTGGGAGCTTTTGGCGTTGTGGCCGGACGTAGCCATCAAGCTCATCCCGCTCCTCCCCGAGTACGGCTCGTATAGGGATTTACCCGCTTTATGGCACGCCGTATCAAATCCAGACGCTGAAACAGCACCTCCATCAAAAGCGCGCGGGCAGGGGCGCCTGCGGAAGGTCAAAAATGCTCTGGAAGACGTTTACGTAGAACAGCTCCGCAAGGACCTTGATTCAGGAAAACCGTCCCTCGCGGCGAAGTACGCGCCGCGCGAGAAGAAGCAGTTCGCTCCCTTCGGCGCCGCCGTCGCTTCTAAACTTTTTCCCGGCGGCAATGCTAAGGCAGAATACAGGAAGGCGATGGCTCGTTTAACCTCAAAACTGGACGTCCCAGAGGTAAAAATGTGCGGCAAGCGCTGGGCGGAGATCGATGTCGCTGCGGTGCCGTCGCGGTGCCTCGCGAAGTCGCGGCGAGGCTTTTTGAACGAGAAATTGAGCAGAGATCGACCGCTGACGGTCGACGAGGATCGAACCGGAGATAGGCACCCCGACGATGAGGATCGCGTGACGTGTCGACAGCATGTGCGGGAGGCGGTCCTCGCCTCCGATAAGATTAAGGGCAAGCAGTGCTTCCCGCACGAGTTGGTGCGGCGCGTGATCGGGGGAAGACACGCGTCGACGCTCGAAGACGACCTCGTGAATGCGCAGTGGGCCACCATGAAGAGAGATGTGGTAGAGCAGATCGCCTCCACAGGAACGAAGAGAGGCGCGCTCACGGCCCTCGTCGATGTTTCGGGCTCGATGAGCGGCGTGCCGATGGAGGTATCCATCGCGCTCGGGTTATTGGTGTCTGATTTAGCCGACGAGCCCTTCCGGCACCGGGTATTGACCTTCGAGTCGCAGCCGCGGTGGCACAAGATCCCAGCCACCTCGTCACCGGTCGAGCAGATCCGCAACTTGTCACGCGCTCCTTGGGGCGGTTCCACGAACTTCGCGGCGGCGATGGACCTGCTGTTGGCGGCCTGCGTCGACGGACACGTGCAGGCTGAAGATGTACCTGATTTGATCGTCTTCAGCGACATGCAGTTCGACGCGGCCAACGGCCCGGGGTGGGAGACGCACCACGAGCGGTTATCAAGGGAATGGGCGTCAAAGGGCTACGAGCTGCCGACGATCACGTACTGGAACCTGCGGGGCGATACTAAGGGAGGGTTCGCGGCGGAAGCTTCGTGTCCCGGTGTCCGGCTGCTCTCGGGCTTCTCGCCCGCGCTGCTCAAGTTGGTGCTCACGGGCGAGGAGGCCGACGAGGATGAAGTTGAGACCGTCGACGGCGTGACCAAGGCGCGGCCAACTCCCTACCAGACGATGCGCCGGGCGCTCGACGCGCCGCGCTACGACGCCGTCCGGACGATGCTGTCTGAGTTTGATGGGGCGCCGTTCGCGGATTATACGTTCACGCCGGCGGAGGACTCCGACTTCGTCGTCGTGCCTCAGCCTTCAAGGACTCCTTCCGAGGCCAACGCCCTCCTTTCGCCGGCGTACCATTTTTTCTAACAAACTTTCAAGAAAACTCTGTGCTAGGACTAGTGGGGGGAGACACGCGCGTCGCCGACTCATCGGCGGCGTGAGTGGGTCCTTTTCAGGCTCAGGCTAGTTACGTCGCAGGGTACCCTAATTGTTACGGTGCTAGAACTAGTGGGCGGAGCTCCTTGGGTCCCCTTTTTTTGCTAGTATCTTACTGCACCGCTAGCTCGCACTTGACTTTGCTCCAGTCCCAGGCTGCACGGCGCATAGGTACCTCTGAGCGCTCCTATTACAAAGAAGGACACACGACAGCATAAGCCGTCAGAACCTTGCAGCTCTCCACCCATAAGGCCGCTCGCTGCAGCTTTTGCGCATCTCGCTGACAACGCTGTGTGCGCAACGCGAAGCCGACGCTAACACTGTCCAGCGCTCGCCGCCGACGCGAGACGCCAACGCAGCCCAGCGCTCGCTACCGTGACCATGCGGCGCCTCCTCGCCCTCATCACCACAGCACACGCAATAAGACTGAAGCAGCTCAACCCGCTATCTTACATATGGAGGGAGGAACCCTACTTGATCGAGTTCCACGCCGCGGGAGCCGACCAGTGCGACGAAATGAAGCCCGCCATGAGCGCCGTTGAGAAAGAGCTGGGAACTAGAATACTAAAATGGGACGTCTGGTCCGACCCCGCCGCTTATAAATTGATGCAGTTTCTGGACAAGGGTCCGGACGGGAGAAGTAAGTGCGGCGGCCTGCCCTTCTTTTATAATAGAAAGACGGGCAAGATCGTGTGTGGCGCCACCACCGAAAAGAACCTCATGAACTGGGCGACCGGCCTGAAGCACGAGATGGTGTTATCTCCACCACCTTCCGCGGAGCAGAAGCGCGTCCAGCAGCGCGTGACGGGCCGGGAAGCGCGTATTGCTCGGCAAGCTTTCGAGCGGAAGAAGAAGCTCGTGGCGGAGATGCAGGCGAAGAAGAGAGCTAGGGGGGCGGCGCCGGCCGCGGCGCCGACAGCGGCCGCGCAGTAACCTGAAGTACTCTACTATGTCTCGTTTGTTTAGGAAAGTCGAAAAGATCTGCTCAGGAGGCTTTCAAGTTGCTTAGAGCTGGCCGTCTAGCCACCCGGTCGTTGCGAGGCTTGACCGCACGCCCGCCCCCGGCCCCCCATACGCCGTCGCCCCGAGTGTTAGCTCGGAGGCGGCGACGGCGAGGGAAGCAGACCGGACACCATCCCAGGGCAGCGACACTTGCAGCGACGGTGGCGCGGGGTAGAACTAAACGAGACGATAGGCAAGACTCCTCTTACGCCAAGGAACCCCTCTACAACCCCATGTCGTCGAACCCCGCGACCTGGTGCACGCGCGCGAGGTCCGCCTTCAATTCCACCGGAACCAGCCACCCCCGCACGCCGCCACCCCCGGCTTCCAGCAGAGGCACGGGCTTCTCCAGCCGAAGGGCCCCCTGGCCGTCGATCTTGTCGTCCTTGAACCGCCCCTCGTAGTTGGCACCGTTGGGCCACTTCACCGCGCCCCGGCCTTCCCGCTTGCCCGCGCGCCACGTCCCTTCGTACACGCTCCCGTCCGGCGAGATGCACTCGCCCCGCCCTTCAAATCTATCCTCGACCCAGGTGCCCCGGTAGGAAGTCCCTTCCGGCAGGTCCAAGGTACCCTTGCCATGTCTACTATCCCGGACCCACTCGCCGTCGTACACGGAACCATCGGGCAGCTCGAACCGCCCGCGCCCGTGGCGCTTGTTGTCCTTCCAGTCGCCCACATAAAAACCGCCTCTCGGGCTTCGATATTCGCCCCGGCCATGGCGCGCGTTCTCCCGGAAGTCGCCCCGATACGTAGCACCATTGGGTAAGTAACAGATGCCTCTCCCATGGAGTCGGCCGTCCGTAAACTCGCCGTCGTACAGCACCGTGCGATCCTTCGCTAATAAAACACCTCTCCCGTGCTCCCGGCCGTGGCGCCACTCGCCCTCATAGATTCTGTGTTCGTGTGCTAAGTAGACCACAACGCCAAGCCCGTGCCTCAGACCCGTCTCCGCCGCCACTTCGCCACAGTACACCTCATCGGACGCGTGGTCATGGTACGCCGCCCGCCACTCGATCGTCTGCTGCGCCGGCTGCGGGCCGGAATAAGCCACATCGTCACTACTATCACTCTCGTGGCCTTCTGCCCTTCTTTTAGCCCTTCGAATCGCGTCGCGCTCCCTCCTGCGTTTGCGTTTGAGCTCGCGCTCCGCATCACCTTCTTCGTCCGAAGAACTTTCCGCGCCGCGTCTCCGAGACGGCTCCGCGGAGTTGTCGAAGACGTGCGTGGATTTTCTTTCTCTTGTAGAAGATCGAGGCGGCGCCACGAGCGGCACGGAGACCATGCGCCGCGGCGCGGCCTGGACCTTGCGCTTCGGGGCCGCGGCATACGATCGTTCCAACCGCAAGCGACCGTCATCGAACACGGCCCCGCGCAAATGGAACTTGCCGTAGGAATTGATGCCCACACCTCTAGCTGTGTGCAGCGCGGTAGCCTCTTTATCAAAAAACGCGTTGCCATCTTCACAACTAGTCCACTCCTCCGATGCTCTCCATAAAGCAAACGACTCCGCCACAGGGGCGTCCCTCCCATGCCTTCGCAAGACGAACGAACCCTCATAAAAACCCTCCCAGGGCTCCCGCGGCGACGCGCGCCCGGCGTCCGCCGCGTCCAGCGCTTGCTCAACAGCTCTATCTGCATCTGCTTTCAAAGCAGCATTGGCCGCGGACGCCGCCCTCGCGGCGTCCGTCGCGGGGTGCCTTTGGGGAGCTTTCTTCTTCTTCTTCTGGTCCGGGACTTTGACGTAGACGTCGGCGGGCGTCGCCGCGCGCGTTCTCTCATAAGAAAAAGGTAACTCAACCCCTTTGGCGCCCATCGCCGTGCTCCGCGCGTAGGCCCAGGTGCCCGTGACTTTTACGGGGGTGGCGTCCGTGTCGAGGTCGCCGGCGAGCTGGACGTGGGCCGCGCGCGGGACGAAGTCTGTGGGCGGTGTTGCCGTGGCGGCGTCCATTTTGTTTTGTGTGCGGGTCGCTCGGGCGCGCGGGTCGCTCGCTGGCGTCCGCGGCGGCTGGCGTGCGGCGCCGGCGTCCGCGGCGGTGACTGTGACCGCGGCGGTGGCTGGCGTCCGCGGCGCAGGCGACACAGAGGCCGAAACCTCCGATCTGACCAATCGGCCTGTTGCTGTTCCTGCAGCGCTCGACGGCGTGCTCCGCGGCTCCAGTCGACGCAAGGCACAGCTGACGTCGTACTGGAGCGGTACTAGGTCCAGCAAAGAGCTAAAAGGTGCCTGGCGATGGCACCAAGTGGAGCCTCTCTCGACTTTAGCGGATCCGAACTAGCGTTGACACACTAGCAATAACCAAAACGTCGATTAACGCCGTCGACGCGCCCCTTCAGATCCAGAAAACGACTACTTACGCGCCAAAGGACTAGGCGTCCACCGTCGCCTCATCATCATCATCATCCCCGGACGACTCGCCCGCGCCGTGATCATACAACTCGAGGTGCTGCAGCAGCTTCTCCAGAGCCACGCCCTTATCATCCGCGAAGTGTCGCAGGTACATATCTAAATCGGAAATGTCGCCGCACGCCATACCTTTAAACACCTCGAGCAGTTTCTCCACCGCGACCTGCTTCCCGCCGCCGCACTTCTCGACCAGTAATGCACATAAATCCCCGACGGTCTCCAAGCCAAGCGCCTCCGCATGCGTGAGTAGATCCTGCCTCAAAGACCTACCAGCCGCCAAGGACCGATGCTCCTCCTCCGCCCCGGGCCAGAGCAGCAATTTCCACAACAACTCCCCAACGTCTACAAGACCATCTTCGGACACGGACACGTCGTCGTCGTCCTCGGCAGACAGTTCAAAGCACTTGACGAAGGCCAAGACCTCGCTTTCTTCATCGTCGTCGTCTGTCGAATCGATGGCGACACCGAGGCCTTGCTTCACGACTGCCGAGAATTCGTCGACGCTCATCTTCTTCGGGTGACCCTCGTCGTCCGCGAACAACTGACACAGCGCCTCTTTCGTTTTGATACCTACACCCGCTGCCCCTGAACACAGTAATGACCTTAGCTTGTCCGCGAGCTCGTGCCAGCGCTCCGCTTCCTCCACTCCTGGCCACAACCGTAGATCATGCAACAAATGCGCCGCGTCCACGCTCCCGTCATCATTCGCATAAGCAGCCCGGATCAACTCGCGCGCTTGCGGCGCGTTCTCCGAACTCAGACCGTCATCGAGCAGCTCCACGGCGGACCAGAACTCGCCGGCATCCACAGCATCGCCTTCCGGTGTGACACCGTTCGAAACCATCTCCGCGAGATTTCGCGCCATCGGAGCTAACTTCGCGAGGTCTACGGAACCGTCGTCGGACGTCGCGTCTCTTGCCCTTACGAGCCAAGCACACAGCTCTTCTTTCGTCGCCATGCCCCGCTGCGTCGCACCCTCGCAGAGCTTGTCGTGCAAATGGGCTAGTATTGTTTGTTCTTCCGCCTCCGGGGTCAGTTGTAAATAGTCCAACAGTCCGAGCACATCGATGGGTTCCCCATCACTCGACATCTCGTTCTCGTTCGCGAAGTGGCCCGCGATCCACAATGTGGACGGGTCCTTGGCGTCGACCTTCAGCTCTGTGAGTAGTTGATCAAAATATTTCCGAGGGACCACTTTTTCCCCACTGGTTGATTGAATAGCATGCTTCGTGAACAGTTCCACCAATTCGGCCTTCGTCTCGATGTTCAGTGCCGTCGCGCCTTCGAGGATGGCGTCGCGGAACTTGTACACTTTATCTATATCTTGTTCGCCCTGCGCCACGGCCTCCTCCTTCACGGTCGTAACACCCGCGGCAGTGATGGCGGCGGCGACCTCGCCCTTCTCGGCTATTGATGCGGGCGGGGGCGGCGGCGCGTCGGGCGACACCTTCTGCTTGCTGCTGCCGGGCGGCGGCGGTGGGAGATTTTCCACACTGTCCATGGGTCCGCCGGGCATATGGGATGGGCTGCCGCCTGTTTTTGCTGGCTCTGCTGGAGGGCTGCCCGCCTCGGTTGCTGGGGCTGCTGCCGCGCTCGCGGGCGCCGGTGTTTGTCTGGCGGCTCGAGCGTCGACGGTCGAGTCGACAACTGCCTCTTGACGGGGGCGGCGCGGGCGAACCTGTTTGCGGGCTGCCGGCGTCCATAAACTTTGAAATAAATTCTCGTTCTGGAACCGATCGGACGCGTCGCCGGGGGCGCGGCGAGGCGTTCCTCGGACGGCGTGGGGGCGCCGCGAGGGCGCGTTCATGAACGTGCGGGCTCCTAGTGGCTGCTCAAAAACCGATGCTCTCCCTGCTGCTACTAGGGCTTGCAAATCAGCCGGGAGGTGGGCAAGCGGACCAAGGGCAGCGTCTCGGACCACCCGACCTCAATGGGAGATTTTCCACACTGTCCATGGGTCCGCCGGGCATATGGGATGGGCTGCCGCCTGTTTTGCTGGCTCTGCTGGAGGGCTGCCCGCCTCGGTTGCTGGGGCTGCTGCCGCGCTCGCGGGCGCCGGTGTTTGTCTGGCGGCTCGAGCGTCGACGGTCGAGTCGACAACTGCCTCTTGACGGGGGCGGCGCGGGCGAACCTGTTTGCGGGCTGCCGGCGTCCATAAGTCGGTGGCGCTCCTCGCGTGCCACCGTGTCCCGTCGACGTGACCTCAATCGTGCCAATGACGACCATAGGCTACCCCCTCAGCGCGCCCGCCGATGATGTAGCTGTCATGGCACCGGCCCCCGCGGCCGAGGCGCCGGCGCCCGCCGCCGCAGAGGCGCCCGCGCCGGCCATCGAGACCCCCCGCACTCCGACACGCTTCGACCTCCTGCAGACGGCCCGATCCTTACGACGGGACCTCCTCGCGCACAAGCGTCGGCTGCGAGATGCCCAGCAACCGGAGAGGGGCGAGCTGCCATCCATGATCTTGGCAAGAGCCAAAGAACGCGCGGCCGAGTGTGTATTTGAGGACACCGTCGCGTCGCACACGCCCCAATCTTATAAGGATATGGTCCGCGCGAAGGCACGAAGTCATAGGGCGGAGCTCGAATTAGCAAGACTGGCGGAGCACGACGCCTTCGACAAGGAGCGCTATTCATCTTTCTGTCAACGAATAAAGGGCAGTGAACTGGAAGCTTGGGTCCGCGAGACGTTCGAGGCGATTGATGTGGATGAGGACGGCGAGGTGTCGTTGCTGGACTTCGAATTGCTCGAAGGGAAAGAAAATGGAGCTCTGGCAAAGATGTTCACGACGATGACGTCTCAGAAAAGCAATATCAAGCTAGTGGAGTGGGTGCAGTTCTGTGCAGACCTGTGGCACGTCGGCGGCTGTGTGGAAAGTTCACGGCGCGTTCGCGACGCCTGCTCGACGGCGTGGCGGTCGCGTCATCGCCGAGAAATGATTTCCACACAGGTCGGCGGCCAGGACCTAGTAGCTTCCACGCTCAAGTCCTTCGAGAACCTCATACGGATGCGGGAGCGCGAGGAGGTGCAAGAATTGCGAGACATCTGTCGCAAAGCGCCCCCGCCCGATCCTGAGGTCTGGCCGCGCTCTACACCAACGCTCGACGAGCGCGTGCTCTGCGTCTTCCAGGGCATGGACTTTGATGGGAATGGTGCCGACGCGGCGTCCTTGCGTGCTCTCGACTCCACGCCATTGACGCCATCGCGTCATTGCGTGCTCTCGGCGTCGGCGCGCCGTCGTCGAGGAGCGATTCGACTCCACGCCATCGACGCCATCGATGCGACGCACTACGCGCGCAGGTACGATCGAGGCCGAGGAATTAGCTGACTTGATCCAGAACGACGCCGTGACGCCTTTAATACTACCCTTGCTGGACAACGACGACGGCGACGGGAAGGTGACGCCCGAGGAGTTCCGGACCTTCTTCGACGTCTGGGCGGTCATGGGCGACCAAGGGGTGGAGACGGCATTGGTCACGTTCGAGAGTTTACTTAGGGTGCGGGGCGGTCCCATGCAGGAGGCCTATGAGCAGCGAAAAAGGGAGTTGTTGGGCATCGAGCTGCCCGTGAAGTTGCCCACACCTCGATCGGAGGAACCCGAACCTATGAGGGATCTGCTTAAAAGAGTGAGAGGGCCGTCGTTGCCGCCTCGGGATTTCGTGGAAGAGGCTCCCGAGCCTGTACTTCGTGATCACGAGTCCGGCATCGTCTTGAAACCCGACGGCAGCTCGGCGCCGGCGCCGGCGCTGCCTATGCTAGACATATCCCGGGAGGTCTTGAGGGAGGCGCTCGGCTCGGCGCGCGCTCTGTTCGAAGAGACGCCGCGGACGCCGCGGTCGTCGCCGCGGCGCTTGTACCGCCGCGACGCCGACGAGTCGATGTACACGCCGTTCAAGGCGCGGAGTCGGCCGCGGCGGGCGAAGCCATCGCTGGCCGGCGCGGGTGCGGCGCTCCTGGCGACGGCCACGTTCTCGTCGGTCGGTGGGTAACACATGTTTCACTTACACTAATCGCCGCTCCGAAGCTCTAGCGCCCAGCCGGGGATCCCACCAGCAAGGGAATGTATCCAGCGCGTGATCGGAATGGGGAGAGTATCCCCGTCGCGGTGCTCGGCGAGATAAGCATAATTCTCTGTTCCTGGGATCAAATGGGTGTTTGCGTCGCCCAGACGTCTGATGTGGTGGTCCTTGGGCTGGACAACGATCGGCGGCGCGACGGGCTGCGCAAAGCTAACGTCGATCGGCAAGGTCGATCCGCGGTAAGGCGCCGCCCGCGACACGCCGACCGGCTTCCGGTCCCACAGGTTCACCAGGACGCTGATGCGCGTCGTCCCAGGGTCGTCCTTCGCACATTTTATGCGAGATGCGAGGAGGTTCTCCGGCGCAAGCTCGGCCGGCACGCCATGGAGCCGATCCCCCAGAAAGGCCACGTGGCGCGCCGTTCGCGGGGCGACGAGCCAGCCCCGTCGAACGCGGCCTTTACCCTCCGAGGCCGTGTCAAAGACGACGAGTGGCGCGCCGCTCTCTCCCAAGTAAGTAGCGGTCGCGAGAAGCGGGTGCCGCCACTCGCCCCGCTCGGCGTGGGCGCGCTCGTCCTTGTCGAAGTGAAACCCCAAGCCGCCGTCCCGCCTCTGCCGGATCTGCACCCAGTACTCAGCACCGGCGACGGCGTCCCGGGGCGTCTCGTCGGGGACGTGCGCGCGTAGGACGCCGAGCGCCAGCGCCTCGAGTTGTGAGCGCGGCGTCGCGCCGCGCGGCAGCCACGACGACTTTGCAACGGTGCGGTCGCCGCCACGTTGCGTCCAGTACTCCTGCGCCGCGTGCATTAAAGCTGCCATGGGTTCGTCCGCGATGCAGCCGTCCCAGATGCCGACGAGGGCCGAGGTCTTGCGGTTACGCTGCGCGTGTAGCTTTCGCAGCAGCCTGTGCAGCCGGGCTCTCCGCCTGCGGCGCCGGCTGGCGCCATGCATTGCTGCACAAGCTAGCGTGCAATGCAGGAGCTCCCGTGTCTGTGAGGGATCGATGCAAGTAAGATCCGCACCAATGCTAATTTTCTGAGGCACAAGATTGGCACAACTGCTGCCCTGGTGCAGCCAGCACGCTGCACTTTGGCTCTGCTGCTTGGCAGGCATCCCTAGTGTCTTACAGGCCGCTAGCCCTCGCAAAACCTGGGAGGGCCGCGTATCCCTCCTGCTAGCAATCGCGAGAGCCCCAATTAACACGTTATCGTGCGGGTGCTCTCCCATCTTGGCCAGAGGCTTTGGCTTTGCAAACGGGGCAGCCCAATTGCTGGGGACCGCACGATGTCCACCTACGACGAGAACGTGCGCAGCTACGAGTCCTTCGCGCGGGGCAGCCTCGAGGCCTCGCCGGGCACCGGTTCCGTCGAGGAGCTGCCCCTGACGCGCGAAGAGCCCGAGACGCCGCCGAGGACGCCGCCGCCGAAGCAAAAAACGACGCCGAATACGCCGGGCTTCGCCGAGACGGCGCCGACGCTGGCCCTGCGCCGCGCCGACGCCGCGTCCGCCGCGCCGGCGTTGATCAGGCTCGTCGAGTGCTGTGTGGAAATCAAATTTCGGGCGCCCCCCGCAACGTTGTCTCAGTGGCCGCGTCTGCTCGAGGGCGTGGAGTTTTCAGGCCATCGACGCGACGTTGTCGCCGTCACCGCGTCGGTCTGATGGTGTGGAGGTTCACGAATGTCCACGCAATATCGATAACCTAAGTCACTGGTTGATTTCCACACAGGTCGAGGGCACGGATTTAACTTTCGGGCGGGGGCCTCGGGCCGACGTCGCGTTAGTGGACGCCGCGAGGCGGACGGCCGGTAGAAGGCAGTTCGTTTCCAGAAGGCACGCTCGTGTCAGGACCGCGACGCGCTGGGGCGAGGCCGTGGCCGTTTTGAAGGCATTTCGTAGAAGGGACGGGCGCGCGCGCTGCGGCGTTTTTGTGGATGGCGAGGCCGTGGGGGACGAGCCGGTCCGTTTACGCGCCGGGCACCGCGTGGTCTTCGGGAGCCTGGCGGACGACGACGGCACGCCCTATAGTGAGTTTGCTTATGATGTGGTGACCTGCGAGCAGGCGCCGGAGCCGCCGGCGCCGGCGCCCGACGTGGCGAGCCCGAGCTCGGTCGGCTCGTTCGGTGATGAGGGCGATACGCCGCAACACCAGCGCCGCGGTCGCTTGTCGAACCGGAGACGGCGCATCTCGCTGGCCGTGGCGGTGGTAAGGGACGACCGCGACGGTTTAGATGATGAGACGGACGAGGAGGGGTACCAGGGCGTCTGCGAGCTCGCGCCGGCGGCGGGCTGCTTCGCGGGGCTCTTTGATGGCGAGTCGCTGTTGTTTGGCGGGAGTAAGGAGGAAACTTAGTATTTTTAAACGCTTCGGAAGGACTATGTATAGGGCGTTTGCGGGGAATTGTGGAGGGAAATTGGGCGCGGACGGCCATCGGGGGCGCGCGCCTGGGGAGCTCAGGGCATTTCGGCGGGAAGCGTCTCCGTCGCCTTGATCGGCGCCAGCGGCGGCGGTCCCGGGGGTGACGGCGGCGCCTCGGCCATCAGCGCGGCCGTGCGGCGGATGTGCTCCTGAGTCTTGGCCAGGGACCTGGGCGACATGGCCGGCGGCGCCTCGGCCATCACGGTCGCGTGCGCCAGGGGTGGCGCCGACGGCTCGGCGACGCGCATCTTCTTTTTCTTCGCGAAGCAGGCACAGCTCCCAAAAGCACCGAAGGCGGCCGCCGTACCGAGCGCGAGGAGGCAGCAGAATACGGCGACGCAGCATACGATGATGAGGATGAGCAGCGTGGCGTCGTCTATCCGTCTCTTCTTGTTGTCCCAGTACGTCGTCGGCGCGGCGGTGGGGGCCTCCGTGGTCACGACGGCCACGCTCAGCTCTTCGATCTTGACATTCATGAAGACCGCCTCCTGGCCAACGGCCGCCGCCGAGGATTCGATCTCTGCTTCGATGATCGAGGTGTCGTCGGCCGCGTCTTGGAGCTTCTCGGAGGCTTCCTCGGCCGCGGCGAAATCGTTCGCCTCAATCTTGTAGTCCACGATAACGCTGGCCTGGAGTCGGCGGCGCGCCGACGCCACGCTCTGTATCGTCACGGCCTCGGTGTCCACGCCGGCGACTCGCGCGATGGCGTCCTGGAGCACCGCCTTGTTCGCCTCTGCGTCCTCCGCCGTGATCCCGGAGAGCGATATGCTACCCGTGACAACCGGCGCGGGCAGGCAGGCCGCCTTGCAATTGGCCTCGGCGACCTGGTCGAAGTCCCGGCACTCGCAGTCCGCGCAGTCGCCGTCGAGGGCGTCGCAGTCTTCGCACGTCTCGAGGTTGTCGAACGAGCCGGCCGGGCAGTCCCTCGCGCAGGCGAAATCGCACGTGAGGCCTAGGAAGCTCTGGGCCGCGTCCTCGTAAGTGCACTCGACGTACGCCTGGTACTCCGTTTGGCAGACGGCGGGCCCATCTTGGCACAATCCATCCGAGAGCCACTGCTGCACGTCGGCGCAGGTATTCGGCGAAAAGTCGTCGTCGTCGCCGTCGTCGTCGTCGTCGTCGTCGCCACCTGGCGTCCCGCAGTTACACGCGCAGACGCGCTGGCGCGAAACGTCAGGGTCGACCGTGCCGCACGTTGGATTCCCGAACAATTGCGCCCATCCAGACTGCCCCGGATGATAGGTGCAGCCGCTACTATCGACCGAAGTGCCTGGGCCGGTCGACATGCCGTAGCTGACGCCAAGGTCGTCGAGGATACTCTTGCATGTCTCCAGGCTGGACGCCGCTGCCGTGGTCGCTGCGAGATCGCACCCTCCAGAAGACGCACAGGCATCGTCGCAGCTTTGCCCGCCAGTGGCGAGGAAGTAATCGCCGCCGCCGCCGCAGTCGTCGTCGTCGAGGCTATTTTGGTTGCTGAGGCAGTCTACCCAAGCCGTCTCTTCCGCGGGGCACGCAGACACGCACGCGTCGGGGAGCACCGCGACGTCGCTCGACGTGATCAGGTGGATGTCGCCGTCCTCCATGGCCTCCATGCACTGACAGTCGTCCTGGCAGTAGCACTCCCCGTCAGGAGTCCAGTCGATGGCCACGAGGTCGGAACCGTACCTATCTTCGCACATCGTCCAGCAGGCCGCGGCATCGGACGCGTCGCCAACATACTCGTCCAGGTCGGAGGAGCACCAACCGTTGCCGGTTCCCCAGTCGTTGTACATTATTGGCCAGGGCGTTGGCGCAAATGTGTACTCGGCGCCGTGACCACCGGAGTAAAAGCTGCTACAGTCCGTGCCCGTCTCGAGCGAGTGGTCGCACGACGCGTCGCACCAGCAGCAGCCACTGGAACCGCTAATGTAGCCCGGGGAATACCAGTAGGCGCCCATGACGTCGCAGGCCGCGTGCCCGATGTCGCAGTCGACGGTGTGCGTCGTAGCACTGTAGCACGCGCCGTCGCTCTGCGATTCATCGGCGTAGCCTTCCAAGTGACAGTCCGTCCCCGTTTCGGCCGAATGGTCGCACGTCTCGTCGCAGAAGCAGCAGCCGTCCGAGTCGAGCGCGCCGGCTGCGGACCAGACGTTCGGGGAAGTGCATTGGCCCGCCGTCACGTCACATATCACTTGACCCGATGCGGCAATTTTGCAGCTCCCCGCACTCGTGTCGGCGTAGTTGCAGGTGCCGGCGGCCGCCGTCTCCAGCGAGTGGTCGCAGTTCGAGTCGCAGAGGCAGCAGCCGTCGGAGCCGACAGCACCTTTGGCGTACCAGACGTTGCTAGCCGCCTCGCACTCGGTCTGTGTCAACGAGGGATTCGAGGGGTTGGCCCCGGGCCGGAAGCAAACAGTGATTTGCGTCGTCGGGTCCATGCAGGCGCCCTGGCTCGCGTACTGGCGGGTGCCATCGCCGACAATATCCGCCGCTGTAAACGATGCGGTGGCGAGCAGGAAGAGGCCAGCGGCGTGCATGGGACCCTAGCTCTCGGGAAGGAGTTCAATCGATTGCGAGGGGGGGCAGCCTGCTATTGCTGCCAACTGGCGCTATCTCGGTGCGATTACACCAAAGGCAACGGAGGAGGCTCGGCGCGCAGCGGGCACGTGCCACACCCAGGTCATGAGACAAGACTGCTAGCTAGTGTCTTAGCCCGCTAGCGAGGCAACCCTTCGGAGAGCTCCACAGCACGCCCCCGACGACGCCGCCGACGACACAAACCACCCTTAGGAGCACTAGTACTCGTCCCCGAAGGACACCGTGCAGCCGCCCGTCGCCGTTTCCGAACGATACAACCCCTCGGCGTCGCACTCGTCGTCCGACGTGACCACCGCATCAAACGGCGGCTGGCCCGTCGAGAAGAGTAACCTAGTCCACATGCGATCGCGAATCGCCACGATGTTCCTCCGATTCACGACCAAATCCAAAGGAAGCATCGCCAAGCGCGTGTTGATGTTTCCCACCAAAAAACGGGTATATCCGGCCATCGCACCATGCACGGCGGCATGCGCCAACGACGAACAGTAGACTTGATCATACGCGTTCGCGGGGACCGCCCGGATCGCATACGTGGGGTCGACCAAAAAGCACTTGGCCTTCTTGCCCGCGAAGTCGGGGTCCGTATCATATCTGTCAGCAGCGAAATGTTGAGTGATAACGCTTTTCAGCCAGAGGCCCACGTCCTCATTGAGCGCATTGCCCGAGGCATCAAATTTCACGGACGCCCCCATTTGAGCTTGTCCAGCGCCCTCCGCGACGACCACGAGAGCGTGGTTATTTTCTCGTAACTTGGCTTCTAAATGGTTCATGATCTCCTCGATCTCAAATGAGGACTCCGGGACGAGGCATAGGTCGACATCGCCACTTGCCAAAGTAGCGTGCAGCGCGATGAAGCCCGAATGTCTCCCCATGAGCTTCACGATGCCAATCCCGTTCGGGCAGGCCTCGGCTTCCGTGTTCGCGGCCTCGATCATCGGGATGGCCGCTTCTACCGCACTCGTGAAGCCGAACGAATTGTCGATCAACGGGACCTGTGTGGACGCTCTGACGGCCGCATCGACGGCGTCGAGGCGATGTCGCGTCGCCCGACGCCGTCGCGGCGACGACGTTAACTCTGAGAGTCATTCGCGTCTCGCGATCTCGGCGCCGCGGCCCTCGGAGCGGCCCAAACTCGGCCACGACCTCCGAGCGATGCACGCGACCGTAATGAGAGAGAAACACCTCAATTGAAGGGCCCTTGAACTTTGACACTGGAGCAGGACGTCGTTGTCAATTGTTTTTGGTACACAACAGACGACGCATTTCTTACCTCTTTTTTGCATTTCGGCGTCGATCTTGCAGGCCCCCTTCATGGTGCCATCCCCACCAATCACGAAGAGCATGTTCACTTCATGCGCTTCCAGTGCGTCGCAGATCTTCGACGTGTCGTGGCCGCCCCTCGATGAACGTAACACGGTGCCGCCCTTGCGCTGGATTTCATACACAAACTTCGAATCCATCTTCACCGCATCTCTTTGCCAATTTTTGAAGCCCGAGTAGCCGTTCTGCACTCCATAAACTGTGTTCACTCCATACTGTTTTGCTAGGCAGAGATAAAGTTCTCGCACGACCGTGTTCAGGCCGGGACAGACGCCGCCACACGTCACGATGCACGCTTTAGCTTCATTTTGTTCAAAGACGACCTCTCGTCGCGGCCCCGCCCGATGAAAGAACGTCGCGTCTTCGGAAATCATCCTACTTCGCGTCGCGGTGACTTGCGACGCGATGAGGGCGTCGTCGTCCACAAAAATGTCTCCCGAAGGTACAAAATGTATCGCTTCCGTGTGCCCTATTGGTGATGGTGTGGTTGTCACATCAATACGGTCCGCGAGCTTCGGGACCTCGGCGACGCGGATGTTCGGCGCGCTCAGGGCGGCGGCCGTAGCGACGAGCGCGACGCAGCGCATGTCTTTCGCACGCGATTCGCTTCGTCGACGGCGTTTTAGCTGGCAGAAGGACAGCCTGGTGGCTAGCTTGTGGTGTCTCTGGCGCCTCCTGGAGCGGTTTGTGCTGCGCAGCTTGGAGTCGGCGATCGATGAATGACTCCGACAGCCCGTGCGTGGCCGTGTATGTCCAAAAACGCCTCCAAACAAGCGCAGATCCGCACGTTTAAAATCTGATGGCTAGCGGCCTGTAAGACACTAGCGAGCAAGAGAATGGTCTCCCTGGCCAGCGAGGGATCGCTCGCGTCGCCCGGACGACTCCTGCTCGCAGCCGTCGCACTCGACGGTCTCGCGAAGGCGCCGGTTTGGCCAAGGCACTGCCACTGAAAGCCATACGCTGTGGTACCGGTACGCGCAGCGAGCAGCCCAACGCACCCCGACGGCAGCGCTCCACGGATTCCGGTCGCCGCGCGCGGGGCAGCCCGTCCGCCGTAGCAGCACTGCGCAGCCCCCTGGTAAAACTGCTGCAGGAGCGAGACGCCGCCGCAGCGCAGGAGCAGGCAACCCCCTTGTAAGGAGCTAAGCCGCCGCCGCAGCGAGGAGCAGGACGATGGACCCCCTCAGCCTGCTGGACACGCTGATCGACCCCCTGAGCCTCGCGGCGCGGCCGTCCAATCGGCCGCAATACATTGCAGAAACTGAGCCGCAACAAACAACGCGCAAGATCGACCGCAAGCTCGCGGTACGAGCGTGTCGCGTCTTACGGCTCCAAATAAAAGCCTTCGAGGACGCGTTCTCCGAGACGAGTAAACGGCGGCCGCGAGGGAGCGACCGGCGGCCGCTCGCGTCGACGTACCGGCAGTACCGGGACTGGAAGCGCTGCATCCGCCACGACGCCGCCGCGGCGATCCAGTCGTTGTGCCGGAGGCGGCGTGCGAGACCCATGGTCGCGCCGGCACCACGGCCTGTACAGCAGAGCACGATCGCCCAATTGCGACTCGACAAGCGCAACATCAAGAAGAAGCTGCGGGCCTACGACGCGCAATTCATCGCGAAGCACGGACGCTCCCCAACGCGCTTCGAGAAGGAGCCCATCCGCGGCCTCTACGAGCTCTACTACGGCGCCAAGGAGCGGCTGAGGAAACTATCGGGTGATGAGGATAACTCTAGTTAATTTTTGGGAGGCGGCGTCACCACACTTCCGTCCGGTTCTCCTTGCAAATTTGGCGACGAAGCCCGCGTGATGTCATTGGTGGGCGACGCCCTTTGTCTGATGCACTTCCTTTCAAAAGCCCCACCCTCATCATTCGCGTCGCCGTCGAGCTCCACGAACAACCACCCGCGACCTCGCTTCTCGATGACCGTGGCAATGCGACCGCCGGGCGTCTCGATCGTCTCGACCGGCTTGTTGAAGACCGCCAGGTTCCTTTGCGAGGGAGAACGCAAATATCTCGATCTTTCAGGAGAAGCCCGCTCCGAAACCTTGCGCAGGTAGCGCCACGAACCGGGTAAAGCGACGTCCCCATCGGGGTCAAACAGATCCTCGAGCCGCAGGCCCTGCTGGCAGACCCTGGAAGTTTCCGACCAGGCGACATCATACTGGAAGCGCTTCGCGTTCGGTTTATGTTTGGCGATGCGGCCCATCATCCAGTCCCCGTCGTCGCAGCAGATGATGAGGTACAAGTCGCCGCGCTCCACCGCGCTCTGGCCGAGCAACGCTGGCGGTCTTCCCAGTTCCGAGTCTTTGACCGCTCGAAAGCCGTCGGGGACCGCGTAGTGCGTGAGAATGATCCTGTCGTCGGTGGACGAAGGCGCTTCTGAGCTCGATTCAGAAGCATCATCAAGCAAGAACCCGGGCGGCGGCGGCGGCGGCAGCGAGGGCGGCTTCTCCAGGCCTCGCGCTCGTAGTTTCGACCGCACGGCCTTCTCCAGCTGAGGAAACGACTCGTCACACGTCTGGAGGGCCGTGGCCCGCCGCAATCGCGCCGCGTTCGCCAGCGCGACCGTTTTTTCGGGTTCGTCGACATTAAAGTTGTAGATCGGGACTCTCCTATCTCTGCACCGTCGCAGAGCCTCCCGCGTCACCTGGACACTAAACGACGTCCCCGCGAAGACGACCGCGTCGGCGTCGTCCAACCAGCCGTCCCAGGCGTCGGCCTGCGTTCGTGCGACGCTGTTCCGACACGGCCGCGGCTCTCTCGCGAGGCGCGTAGACTCTCTCGCGAGACGCGTGGACTCTCGCGCGGCGCGTAGACTCTCGCGAGGCGCGTAGACTCTCGCATGGCGCGTGGACTCTCGCGCGGCCGCGTCGACGGCGTCGCGGCGACGTGGTCTCACGAAGACGCCATCGCCGCGACCCAACACACACTCTCGAGACGCCATCGCCGCGGCCGCGCGGCGCGTCGAAGAATACGTCATAGAAACGCGGCGCAGGCGCAGATCGAAGCGACTCGACGTTCGGACGCCGCGGCGCGCCTCGAAGAAGAAGTGGCTATCGTAGTTCTCGTCAAACAAGAGTGATAGTGGTGCGAGAAAAGCGCCACATCTCGGACAGGAGAAGGGCCGCGTGACCGGTTTCCCCTCGTCGCGCCACCAGGCTTGCAACGCTTTCCGATCTTTGCTTAGTAGGTCGTCGACGCCGTACCACTCCTTGTTCGCCACGGACTCTTCACAACGTTGGCGACCTTCGGTAGCGTCCCCAATGCCGCAGCATCTAAATAATCCGGCCCGCCCATGAGCCTCGACGAGCTGCGCGTCCGGCACGCCGCCGCCCACGTGCAAGGCATCGACGTTCTGCGTCACGACCTTGATGGCCGGCGACAGCTGAGCTAATTCAGCGAGCGCGTCGTGGGCCTTGGTGGGTTTCGCGTCGCGCATTCTTCTAGTTTCGAACGTGGGGAGCCAGAACGCGTTGTGCCACTCGACGGGGTCCTTCCTTAAAGATTTTCTAGTGCCGTACTGGACGACGTTCTCCTCCCAGACGGCGCCCGCTCCGCTTCTAAAGGCGGGGATGCCCGCGCTGACCGACAGACCGGCGCCCGTAATAAATAAAACGTTCCGCCCGTCCGCGATGTGGATCGCGAGCTCGTCGATCAATTCGGCCGGAGGTCTGGGTACGGCTTCATCCAAGTCGCGCTTCCTCCGCTTCATGGCTCGCACCTGCGTTACATAACGTGTGATGTTTGTGTTCCGATGTGACGTCGACTCGGGGATGAAACCATTTTTTCGCCTCGCATGCTGCCGCCGTCGTTTGGATCGATGGCCGGGGCGTCATCCTCTTCTCCTTCGCGCTTCCTATCCATTTTACGTTCGTATATCGCGAGGTATTGGAGATTGAGCCGCCTCAAGCAAACGCTGAAACCAATGCAACTACCGTGCCAAAAGCTGTGAGATTTCGTCAGGACGGAACTGAAGACAGCGTCGCTGGATGTGCAGCTTCGTTTGTAACGCACTTATGTATACAGTGGCATACTGGCCTATTTGCATTTCGCTCTGCGGCGGCGAGCGAGATGAGTTTCGGGCAAAAAAGGACGCGTATACAGCGAGGTCTGCATGCGGCACGTCTGGTGCGACCGCTCGCACGAGTGGAGGGTTGATACGTACCCTAGTGTGCTGAACCTAGTGTGTTACTGCATCCTGGCTTCCAAATAATCTGAAAGCTGCATACGCGGCGCGGAGCGGAATTTGACAGACCCAGCGCTTGCAAAGTGCACCGCCAAGCCCTCAGCGCGGCCACAACCAAAAAATCGCGACGTGAATCGGCCCACCGGCCGCGCCAGACGAAAAAAGGGCGCGCCGCTGCCGCGCACCGGACGCCGACGCCGCGCGAAGACAGCCGCCGCAAGCCGCCGCCGCGGAATAGCCGCACGCCGCCGCACGCCGACAAGCGAACCGAGCCATGGCCCGCCAGCGCCAGGCCGGCTCCTACACCTGGACGCAGGTCAAGTCCGTCCAGAACCTCATCGAGCGCTGCCTGAACCAGTACATGACGCAAGCAGAAGTGATCGCTACCTTACAAGTGCAGGCCGACGTCGACCCGGCCCTGACGTGCTTGGTCTGGTCGAAGCTCGAGGAGGCGAATCCCGACTTTTTTTTGTCGTATGATGTTAGACTGAAGCTCAAGGATCAGGTCGTGGCCTTCAACTACCTGGTCGAGCAGCAGACGCGGCTGCTGCAGAAGCTCACGCTGGCGCTGCCGCAGCAAAGTGGCGGGGGCCTGATGGATTGATTGTGTAAGAATACCTAAGCTTATGTGCTCGCGGGTCCACAATAATGTTAAACTTACGCGAGATAATGTATTCGGAGTCGGTGCGCGACGCCGGCCGTGGGGGTACTAAGCCATCCCCCCCGCGACCACCAGAGACGTGCCCGTGATATACGCGGACTCGTCACTCAATAAAAAAGCAACCGCTTCCACGACCTCCTCGACCTCGCCCAATCTTTTAAGGGGCACGCCACCAATCTTCTTGGCCGCGACCACAGCTGGATCCCGGTCAAAGTAAGGAGACCCCGACGCCGCATGTAATTCATTCTGGCGCTTCCACATGAAACCGGACGAGGGACCGATCAAAGCCGGCATGACCGTGTTCACCCTTATGTTGTGAGGTGCCAGATCTTTTGAAGCTGTCATGGTCAGGCCGTGGATGGCGGCCTTCGACGCGACGTAGGCGCCCATCGTCGGCGTGCCCCGTAACCCAGCTACGGAGCCCGTCTGCACGATGGCACCACCACCGTGCGCGGCCATGTTTTTCGCACACGCCTGGAGCACTTGGAATGCCCCCACCACGTTGATGTCCATCACTCTCTGAAAATCGTCGCCCGGATAGTCGAGCAACGGCTTCATCGCGCCCTGGTAGCCCGCGTTGTTCCACAGAAGATCAATGCGGCCGCACGCGTCGACGACGGCCTGGACTTGCGCCGGGTCTCGCACGTCGCAGGCGCACGTCGTGACGCCGTCTTCATGAATTTGGTCCAGGGCGGCCCGGTTCACGTCCACTAAAACAACTTTGGCGCCTCGCTCGGCGAAGTAGCGAGCTCCGACGCGTCCGAACGTGCCGCCGCCGCCCGTGATAACAATGGTCTTGCCCTCGAAGCGGCGCCGCTGGCCGCAGGCGCTCGGCTTGTTATACGACAGCGTTGTCGCCGCCACGCCGAGGCTGCCGAGCTTTTGGAGGGAGCGGAGGGCGGCTGCCATGATGCTTTTTTTGTGCGCGGTCTATGGGTGATTATATTACAGCGGTTGAGCGCTGCTGCACTGGTGGGCGGCGAGTATATTTGAGCACTGGTAGCACTGGAGGTGCCGCAGAAGAGCTGCCACGGATGAAAATTGCGTAAAAACCAGCAAGCTAGCGTGCTGTACAGGTAAGACACTAGCTAGCCGCAGGGGTAAGGGGACTACAGCGATTGTGCTATGATGCTGTAGTTACCTTTATCTAGAGCTCCTCACAGGTTCTAGTAGATATCAGAGGCTAGTGGCCTGTATCTTAGGATACTTCCTTCTCCCTCTTAATCTCCTTTATTCCAATTCTGTCTTCTCAGAGTTGAGGGGGTTCCCACACTCTCACGTTTCAGTGAGAGTTCTTCCTGTTGGCATCTCCGTGTCACATAGACACCCGAGAGACCTAGCTACCACAGCTGCATTGTGCACTTGCTGCACCCAGCTCATTAGACACCAACACATACCGAAGCTAATATGGATGAACCTTTGGTTCAGGGGGAGTACAGCGATTGTGCTATGATGCTGTAGTTACCTTTATCTAGAGCTCCTCACAGGTTCTAGTAGATATCAGAGGCTAGTGGCCTGTATCTTAGGATACTTCCTTCTCCCTCTTAATCTCCTTTATTCCAATTCTGTCTTCTCAGAGTTGAGGGGGTTCCCACACTCTCACGTTTCAGTGAGAGTTCTTCCTGTTGGCATCTCCGTGTCACATAGACACCCGAGAGACCTAGCTACCACAGCTGCATTGTGCACTTGCTGCACCCAGCTCATTAGACACCAACACATACCGAAGCTAATATCGCTGAAGGGACCGGTAACTAGCCTGAGCCTGAGCGACGCTGCTGCCCCGCGATTCTGCTTAGAAAGAAGTATGTTATGAGCAGAGGTCGCCGTCGTCACTCCCCAGGGCCCCGCCACTAGTCCTAGGCTAGGCTAGCACCGTGCAAGTCGGAAGACACTCTCTAGAGATAGGGCATATTTAGGGCATATTTTCCTTAGAAACTTTGCAGTGCCCGCCTGGGGCGGCATTGACTTGTGTCTCGAAGGCGATAGAAAGGAGGGATCGAAAATGGGGCGCGTGCTCGCCGTCGGCGCTAGTCGAGCCGGCCTTCGCCACGACGGCCGCGTGGTCGTTCCCTGTGAACCATCGGCTCCGGAGATAGTCACTTCTGATGCTCCTCGAGGAGCGCGACGATGTCTGAATGATCTTCATTTTCCGCATCCGCCAAGGGCGTGTCGCCGTCTTCGTCCTCGCGGCCGATATCAGCAGCAGCGCCATTCGCCAACAACAGCCGAACGACGTCTATGTTGCCACTGCATGAGGCTGCGTGAAGTGGCGTTCGATCGTCGTTCGAGGCCTTGTGCACGTCGGCGCCTTTATCTAACAACAGCCGCGCCGCGTCGACTTGGCCCTCCTCGCAGGCGATGTACAGCGGCGTCGCGCCGTCCTTGTCCGCCCGGTGGACCTCCGCGCCGTTGTCCAGCAGCAGCCGCGCCGCGTCGACGTGGCTGTTCTTACAGGCGATGTACAGCGGCGTCGCGCCGTCCTTGTCCGCCCGGTCGACCTCCGCGCCGTTGTCCAGCAGCAGCCGCGCCGCGTCGACGTGGCTGTTCTTACAGGCGACGTACAGCGGCGTCGCACCGTCCTCGTCCGCCCGGTCGACCTCCGCGCCTTTATCTAACAACAGCAGCGCCGCATCGGCGCGGCCGTTCTCGCAGGCGGCGTACAGCGGCGTCGCCCCGTCCTCCGTCACCCGGTCGACCGCCGCGCCGTTATCTAACAACAGCCGCGCCGCGTCGACTTGGCCGTGCCGGCAGGCGACGTACAGCGGCGTCATACCGTCCCTGTCCGCCCGATCGATCTCCGCGCATTTATCCACCAACAGCCGCGCCGCGTCGACGCGACCGTTCTGGCAGGCGGCGTACAGCGGCGTCTGACCGTTCTCCGTAGCCTGATTAACGTCCACGCCTTTTTCCAGCAGCAGCCGCGCCACGTCGACGCGACCGTTCTGGCAGGCGGCGTACAGCGGCGTCTGACCGTTCTCCGTAGCCTGATTAACGTCCACGCCTTTTTCCAGCAACAGCCGCGCCACGTCGACGTGTCCAAGGGCACACGCAATTCCAAACGGCGACCAATCGCCCTCAAGCCTCTTGTCGACCGCGGCACCAGTATCAAGTAGCAAGCGCGCGGCGTCTACGTGCCCTTTCGAACTCGCGACGAACAGTGGCGTATAGCCGTCATCATCTTCCTGGTCGACGCCAGCACCCTGCTGAAGGAGAACGCACATTGCGTCGACATCTCCCTGATAGCATGCTAGGGTGAGTGGAGTCGTGCCGCTCTCGATGCGCAACTCCCCCCACCGGTTCCCGAAAGCCACGAAGAGCCCGCTCATGCCGCTCCTGACCGCCAAGTCCATCACGAAACCATCAAGAGCAACCACCCGCAGCGCCGCACCGCCCTTGCTCGCGTCCCACACCCGCACAGTCTTGTCCTCCGACCCGCTCGCGAGCCGCATCTCGCCCGTCGCCGGGTCCGCGAAGGCCGTCAGCACGTTCACATCGTCCGTGTGACCCCAAAACACGAACAGCGCCGCGCCGCCCGCGGCCAAGTCCCAGACGCGCACAGAACAGTCGTTCGATCCGCTCGCGAGGCGAAGCGCGCCCGTCGCCGGGTCTTTGAAAACAATCAACGCATTCACGGTGTCCATATGCCCCTCGAGCACGACCAATGCCTTGCCGCCCACGACCGGGTCGAAAACGCGCACCTTCCCGTCTTTACAGCCACAAGCTATTCGCAATTCACCAGTCGCCGGGTCCGTGAAGACCGTCAGCGCGTGCACCTCCGAGCCAACGTCGATCACGACTAGCGCTTTCCCACCAGCGAGCGGGTTGAAGACGCGCACGTCGCCAACATAGTCGCATCTTGCGGAGACGTATTTGCTCGTGCCACATGCAAGCCGCGGCGCGCCCGTCGCCGGGTCCACGAAGAACGCCAGCGCATACGTCTCCAAGCCAACGTCGAGTACAAGCAGCGCCTCGCCTCCCGCAACCGGGTCGAAGACACGCACGTCACCGTTTCTCCGAAAGCCTGTTCCACAAGCGAGCCGCGGCGCGCCCGTCGCCGGGTCCACAAAGGACACCAGCGCCAACACCTTCGAGCCGACGTCTATCACGAGCAGCGCACCACCAGTGTCCGCGTCCCACACGCGAATCCCATCACTGGACCCGGTCGCAACCCGCAACGCACCCGTCGCCGGATCTGTAAAGGTCACCAGGGCTTTCACATTCTCAGAGTGCCCCTCGGCCCCCGCCTCAATCGCCGCGCCGCCCGCCGCTGGGTTCCAGACTCGCACGGTGCTGTCATACGATCCGCTCACAAGCCGCGGCTCGCCCGTCGCCGGGTCCGTGAAGGCTGTCAAAGCCCTTACCCAGTCTGCATGCCCCTCGAGCACGACCAGCGCCTCACCGCCCGCGACCGGGTCGAAGACGCGCACCTTGTTGTCGTAAGACCCGCTCGCGAGCCGTGGTGCACCCGTTGCAAGGTCCTCAAATGCGACCAGTGCAGCCACCTCAGATCCAATGTCGAGCACGAGCAGCGCGTCGCCGCCACAAACCGCGTCGAAGACGCGCACCTTCCCATCCCAAGAGCTGCACGCGAGCCTCGGCGCGCCCGTCGCTGGTTCCTTGATGAGCGCCAGTGCATGCACGTTAGAACCAATGTCTAGTACGAGCAGCGCGTCACCGCCGGCGACCGGGTCGAAGACAAGCACCTTCTCTCCCGACGCGCACGCGAGCCGCGGCGCGCCCGTCGCCGGGTCCGTAAAGACCGCCAGTGCTTTCACTTTAGAGCCGACTTCGAGCACAAGCAGCGCCGCACCGCCCGTGGCCGGGTCGAAGACGCACACCTTTCCAGTAGGTCCTGGGTCTGAGCCTGAGTCTGAGTCTGAGTCTGAGTCTGAGTCTGAGTCTTTAATAGTCACTCCACAAGCAAGCCGCGGCTCACCCGTCGCCGGATCTTTGAAGACCGCCAGCTGACCACGTCCATCGATCACAAGCAGCGCCTCGCCGCCCGCAACCGGGTCATAGATGTCTATCCCCCCGCTACAACCACAAGCCAAACGAGGCTCGCCCGTCGCCGGGTCTCTGAAGACTGCCACCGCAAAAGCCCCACACACATCAAGCACGACCAGCGCCGCGCCACCCGCGACCGGATCGTAGATATTCACTCCCTCACTAACATCACAAGCAACCCGCGGCTCGCCCGTCGCCGGATCCACGAACGTCGCCAAGCAATTCACCTTGACCTCAAACCGACACCGCTCTGCCCCACCCGCCGCCGTCAGACCCATCGGTCGCACGGCGGAGAGCTGTAGCTTGCTCGCGACTTGCCTCGAATCGTCGGCCAGGCGGCGCGCCGCAGGAGACGACTCCGCATTTGCGCGCGGCACAAGCCGCTGCCACAACTGCTCTACGAGAGGCAGTCCCCGTGATAGCAGGTTGCGCGACAACACCAATGCATCGGACAACAAAAGTGTGTCCTGACCCTTCAGAGCACGCAAGTCCGCCACAAAGGAAACAATGTCGCAGTCGCTCCGCTTCCGCACGTACGACAGGCTACACGCGACGGCAACAGCCTCGCCCTCAGAACAAGATCGTTTCATGTGAAACAAACACCAGCGCAACGCATAAGCATCCGACGCCGGACCACCCTCGCCCTCGACGAATGAAGCCAGCGCTGCGTCCGCGGCCGCGTCGCTCGAGTGCGACTCCGTATCCAGAACTCCAGCACGAATCGTCCGAGAACATGCCCGCGCCAGCCGCCGGTGCGCCGCTTCCCGTGCGACGAAGAAATCATCCTCAGAAGAGCGCTTGTCAAACGGCGCCTCGCCCATCAGCCAGTCCGTCACCGTCTTGTGCAACACACCAATAACTTCGCCCTCGCGCAGTGGAAATAGCAGCGACACGCCGTCGCAGACCTTCTTGCACCGCGCTCGATCCCAGCCGAGCGCCCCACTCGCAGCGTCAATCGTCAACGGCTCCGCAGCAGCGCAGATTAATTCGACGAGCGGCAGCGCATCGCCCCACGAGGCATCGTCAACGAATACGCGTCGAAAGTTCTCGGCGTAGATCTCGTCGAGGCCCGCCGGCAGCGCGCCGACGCTCGCAAAGTCGATCTTGCCGCTCGTTGCCTCGAGCTGGTCCGCGATCAGGCGCGCGTAGAGCATGAGTCCGTCAGCTTTCCGCTCGAGTGCACCCACGGCGGCATCGAGCGCCGACGAGTTGAGGCGCTCTGAAATGAACGCCTCGAGCGCCTCTGCTTCGACGCTTGTGTCCATGCACATGGCTGGCAGTGCCGCGCGGATGACTTCGTACTGCTTGTGAGCGATCTTCTTGGCGGCGAGGACGCAATTCAAATTTACCTGGAACTCGGCAATGTGTGTGCTCCCGTCGTCTAGGGGGACGCGGACGTTGAGATTAAAGTCGCGGTAGCCCATGGGCGTCGGGCTCGCGAATTTATTCTTCACTTGTGCGATCTCCAGGCCGACGCTTGTGAGCCGATTCAGGACGTCGAGCAGTTCGTCGGAGGTCTCACACAGAATGGTAGCTCGTGACAAATCCTTTAGATATCGAGCGTCGCCGCCGTAGTCGTTGGCAAGCTTTTGCAACGACCGCGGCCGACCCTTTACGCCCGGGTCTTTTACGTCATCGCGCAGTTTCTTCAGAGATTCAACCAAAACCTTCTGAGCTACTGCGGCTTGGGCGTAGAGTGTCTCGAAATCGCCCTCGTCCTGCTTGAGGTTCGGATCTCGTCGCTCCTCGTAGGCCTCTAACTTGTCGAGTCCGCTCACGCCTCGCATGGCTTCCGCGTACGTGGCCTTGGCTCGACGGAGCGGATCTTCGAGAGCCGCGAAACCTCCAAGGCGACCGGCGAGCTCCGGGAACTTCGCCTCGACCTCGTGCCGCAGCGAGTCCATCGTCACCTCGAGCTCGACGTGCTCCTTCGCGAGCACCGTCAGGTACGCCCTCACGTCTTGCCGGTTCCGCGCCTCGTCGACGCGGAGCTCCGACGGCGTGTAGCCTGACAGGGCAGCTTTAATTTGCGCCTCGTCTCGACTCGTCGCGACGATCTTGATCCACGGCGGCAGCGTCTTGAGCTCGTTCGCGAGCAGCGACAGCACGGGCTTGAGCGCGTCCCGCGGCAGCTCGTCGAGCGCATCTATGACTAATACGAGGGCGTCGTCCGCGCCGCGCGGCGCCTCGACGCTTCGCAACGGCTTTGCTACTAAAGCCTCGAAGAGCTCGTCGACATTTTCCGTCTCGACGCCCGCGCTCTCCTTCAGCGCGTCTTCGAAGCCCCCCACCGTCGCGCAGAGCATGCCCGCCAGCGACCGCAACAGCACCGCTGGGGCTGATCGCGCCGGCTCCGTGTGCTTGCAGAAGTGCCACGCGGCCGCGTTTTGTTTGTCGAGCAGTCGCGCGAGCAGCTCCGCCGCGGCGACGCTCTTGCCCGTGCCGCCGCCACCGACGAGCCAGAAGAGTTTCGCAGCTTCCAGATCCGTTCGCCAGCGCATGACCGCCTCAAAGACCCACTCGCGCGTGCCGGGCAGGTGCTGCCCGCGCTTCTCGTTCAAAATTGCCGAGAAATCCAGCGCCTCCACAACACTGGAGCGCTCGGCACCGTGCAGCTTTTCGTAGAGCGCCTCGGAGATCGCGGCCTTGGACTCCTTCCAGCACTTCACCGCCTCGTCCCTGGAGATCTTGGCTTCCGCGAACTTCTCCTCCCACGCGGGCTGCCACCTGGCGCCCGCCAGCTCCTTCGCCTCGGCAAGGGAGACCTCTGCCGGCAGAGATGAGACACCGCCGCCCATTGTGTGCCACCCTTCTAACCTCCCGGGGCTGCCTTGTTGGGGAGCCTCAAGCTGCCAGAAGTGCAAATTTATACTCACGCTGGTAATTGCGCTCACAATTCACAATTAACGCCCCTGTCTAATACGACCCCCCTGGGAGTTTGTACACAGTATCTGCACCCGCACGCAGTTCTGCGCTCCGAGAGATCACAGGGGCAGGATTGAGCGTGATGAGACGTGCTTCAGCAAAAAAAATCGCACGCTTCTCATTCGCGAATCGAGACGCGCGGCACCTGGCTCCCCCCGGGGGCTCTAATAAGACACAATTAGGACACCTCCCGCACGACGACGGCCCCGCGCGCCGCCGTCGGCACGACGGACCCGGGCCGCGAGTGGTCCATCGTCCGCTGGAGCTTCTCCCGGCGTCTTTGCCGGTCCTCGTCCCTGCGATCTCTCATCTTCTTCACCATCTTCGGCAGGTTCCGCCGCCTCACCAAACGCTTGACCTGGGGCATGTGCGCGTGGCGCTCCACGAGCTTCGCCCGATAGTCCACGGCGAGAGCCTCCCTCCTGCTGATGGGTCCCAGTCGCTGCGACGCTCTAGCTTTCCACACTCTAAGGTTGAAGTCTTCCGAAGCGGTGAGCACAAAAGTAGCGTCGGCCGTGTACCTTACCGAAGACAAAGCCTGCATCCTCGACGTGTGGTAGACATCTCTAGAACGCCCAGCATCGGCGCCTCGCGCCGGAAACAACCGCACGGTCTTGTCCGTCGAGGCCGCCGCGAACTCCTTGCCGGTAGGAGCGAAGGCCACGTCGACCACCGCCGAAACGTGGCCTTCGTGCACCATGCGAGGCCGCTGCAGCTTCCGGCAATCAAAAGTGTAGCAAGCGTGGTCCTCGCCCCCCACCACGAAGCACGTCGGCTCGCGCGGGTTCCAGGCCAATGCTCTGCATGGGCTTCGCAGGATAACTTTCCTCAGGGGCGTCGGTGCGCGACTGTCGAATAAAGTCGCGGCTCGGTCTCGCGACGTCGATGCCAATAATGAAGGCTCGGCGGGGTTCCACCGCGCCTTGAAGACACTGTCCGAGCCCCAGGTCCACGTCCGCAAGGGTTGTGATCGTGCAGCATCCCAGAGCTCCACCAGACCATCTGCACCTGCCGTGCAGAACGCGCCGGCCGTCTTCCGATGCCACGACGCGTCGACGTCGTTGAGTGTAGTGGACGAGGTCCAGGTCTCGAGCGGGGGTTTGGCGTCGTTTAGCGTGATTTGGGTCCGCTGTCCCGTGGATTGCGCGACTTCGAGGCGCCACCTTTTGATCTGGCGTTCGCCACAGCTCAGCACGTCCGTGCCGTCCCGCGTCAGCGTCAGGCCCTTGACGGCGCCGACGTGGGCGGCGCCTGAGGACCACACACATTGTCTAGCTGCTAAATCCCACGCGCGCACCTCGCCGTCGGCGCCGCCGCTCACACATTGTACTAGCACACCTCTTCTCGGTACCGCTAAGGCTGTCAATGCATCAGAATGCCCCTCCAGCGCACACACAAAGGGCTTGGCCATCATCCTCTCCAGTTTCGCGGCGACGACGGCCCTTTGGTATTCTCTCGCTTGGGCGAAGGGGTGGTGCTTCGGATCTAAATTTCTGCGGGCCAATTTCGGGTCCGCGCCGTTGATCTCGCGCTTCGCGGAGCGGGCGATGACTTTGACCTTCATTCTGGTGCTGCAGGCTGTGCGTGATGTGCTGTGCTTTGTGCAGTGCAGATTCGGTGCAACACTTGCGCAGTGATGCCTGCGCAGCGATGCGGGTGTTTTTGAGAGCGATGCCCTCGCAGAGGCCGCGTTTTGAGCCTATTGCCAGCGTCTCGCCGCGCCTCAGCACTCGCCTCAGCTCAGCGGGGGCCCGTTGTATCCGTTGAAGAGTCTTCTTAGGCTCCTAAGAAAGATGGCGTCAATGGAGCGCTGCAGCCATTTTGTGTCATTGCTAGCGGTAAGACACTAGCATGCACAAAAAGCACGCCGCTTTTTTGGAGCTGCACAGCCCAACAGCGTGCCCTATTCGTTCGAGAAAGCACGTCAGCGCTGCCTCAGCTCGATAACAGCACTGCTCCGAGAGCTCTTAGCGCATTTGGATAGCGTCGGCGGCGCTAGCAAAGATCTGTCTGCCAATCTTCGGCGGAAAAATCTGCTCGCGCGTGCACAACAACACAACAATGCGTCTCGCCGTCGCCCTGGCCCTCGCGTGCACTCATGCGTTCGTCACCACGCCGTCGCCGCGGCCACTCACGCGCCTCCGCGCCGCCCCGGCGCAAGACACTGTACGATTACAAAAGAAGATCACTGCGTTCGAGGCCGAGGTGAAACTGAAACAGACCCTCGTAACTAAGCTCGAAGCGGACCTCGCGGCGGCGCGCGAGGCGTCAAGAGTAGCAGAAGAAGAACTCCGAAGAGCAAAACAAGAATTGGCCGGCGTCGTGCCAATGAACAAGAAGTCCAGACGGGACGAGGTGCCCATCAACGCCAAAGCCAGCAGAGCGCCGAACGTCGACGCCTTCGTGCAGGAGAAGCGCGCGCAGATCGACCAGGCCGCCGCCGAGAAAAGGTTGCGAGATGAAGCTGCGGCGGAGCGCCGGTTCCGCGACAGCGCCGAGCGCCGCCGCGAGCTCGAGAAGGCGCGTTCAGAAAGGCAGGTCTCGCAGGCGAAGAAAATGCTTGAAAAAGATGCCGAAAAACAATTGTACGGCGAGACGCTCTATGATTTGATAGGAGTGACGAGGGACGCCTCCGCCGCGGACGTGAAGCAGGGATATCGAAAGGCGGCGGCGTCCTGCCACCCCGACACGAACTCGAGCAATCCTGAAAAATATTCAAGGATCATGGACGCGTACGACGTGCTCAAGGACGCGGAACGGAGAAAAAAATACGACGCCGAGCTCGACCTCGACAAGGCCATCGAGGGCACGTTCACGTTCGTCGCGTCCGTCGTCGACAGCGTGTCGTCCATCAATAGCCCAAGCGAGGACGATGAGGATAGTTGCGACGCGGAGGACACGTCATTAGCGTGCCAGTTCGAGCGCCGAGCCAACGCGTGCCTCGAGGTCTTCAGCGAGGAGCACATGGTCCTGCCCTCGACGGGAAGTCGGATCAGGCTGTCGCCGGACGGCTCGCAGCTTGTTGTAAGGCAGACGGCGGTCGAACGGTTGCTGCGGAAGGACCCTGATGTAGAGTACAACATCACTTCATTAAAATTGGCGACGCGTAATGATGATGTGCTGACGCTGGGTTTCCTGGACGCGTCGGAACTCAGAGTGCTCTTCGCGTCAGCTGACGAGGCCGAGGCGGCATTACTAAAACTGGCGACTGATGTGGTTGCCCCGCTGAACGAGCTGCGGGCCAAGGCCGCGGCGCCGGGCGCCATCGGCGCGCTGGGCGGCCTCGCGATGGCGGGCGCCGCCGGGCTGGCCTTCGCGGGCATATTAGAAGTGGAAACGGCCATGGCGACGGCGGGCGCCGTCGCTGCTTTAGGTGGGGCCGTGGCGTCGTCCGTGGCGGCCGAGGTGTCTTCCGCGAAGGAGTCGGAGGGGGACGCGTAAGAGTTTGATTTGATGCCTGGCCCCGTCCGCGGCCTTTCTGCACACGCCGCTCGCCGATTCGTCGGCGGCGGGCGCGGGCCGCGACTCGCGGGCCGCGCCGAGCCTGGTTTCGTGGCGTCCCTCTCCAGAGGCCTCTCCAGCCGCCTCTAGCTGTCTCCAGCCGTGCTTCGGCTTGCCTTTTTTTTACCAACCCGTTTTGGCGCGTGTGCCTCTCATCTGCCAATCTGCTGCCAAATTCCGCGCCGCCTGTTGCCCTATTGATCGTGCCGCGACGCGGTCCTCACCGAAAATTACTCCTACGCGCGCTGCGCAGCCTACAAGGATGCGTCACCTCGCGGTTTTGCTCACTGGAGCCTGTGCTCTGCAGATGCCGGCACTCCAAGTCCCATGGAAGCGCGCCGCGCGGTCGCGCCAAGTCGAGAAGTCCAGTACGGCCGTCGCCGGCGACACCGTCCTGAAGCACGGTTTAGAGGTAGCGATGCTAAAAACAGTCCTGACTGGCTCGGCGGTCGACGAGAACGGCAACAGGATCTCACGGACCAAGCAAGCCAAGCAGCTGTTCAAGCGGTACGGCGCCGCGTACCTCACGACGTCGATCACGCTCTCGCTCATCTCGTACGCCCTCTGCTGGAGCGCGGTCGCGAACGGCCTCGACATCGTCTCGCTATTGCGCCGGCTCGGCCTGAGTGCGGTCGTGAGCCCGACGGCCGGCGTGGGGACCATCGCGTACGTCGCGCACAAGGCCGCGTCGCCGATCCGATTCCCGCCGACCGTCGCGCTGACGCCGGTCGTGTCCCGCAAACTCTTCGGGCGCGCGCTCTGAGCCTGCCTCCTCCCTTTGCCTGTTTTAAGTTTCTATATACCCTACGCCATCGAGCAGGCGTCGCGTCGATGGCGTGCAGGAATCCCTTTTTTTAATCGGAGCTAGCGTAATCGACTTACTAGAAAATTCAAAGATGCGCGTCGATAGCGTCAAAAGAATGACCCAAATTCAGAATACATCCTAGTCGTTCGCCGAGATCAAATATTCCAGCGTAGCGGCCCGGCAACATACCCTCGCGCCTCCCGCAAAGCACCGCCCGCGACTTTCGCGGATGAGTCTTACGGCTCGCCAAAGTTATCCAGCGATTGACGCCGACATCTACCGTCCAGTTGGGACATTATATCAACTCCAGCTCAGTTTTCATACACAATCGACGGAACCGGAGCCGACGGCGCGCGCTCGGAGGGCGGGAGAAGAATTCTACAAGACAACTCTCGCGTTTATGTTCGTTTCCTTTCGTTTGTTAGTGGTAGAGTCCATCTAAAGCGCTAGTACAGTTGCCTATCTATATTAGGGGTCCCGTTGGAGCCGCGCGATTCGTCAACTCCGCGCCTCTGTGTTTTTACAAAAAAGACCTCAGACTCTAGATCTGCGGGTATCAGCGACGACACCATCCAGATGGACCATGACGCCGTTGTTCTATTCACGATCGACCGACTTGCCCGTTCTCCGTGGACGACGATGCGTACGCGGGCCACTGAATTGGCCCCAGACCGGTGAGTTATAAAATAAATTTAAGTTTCAGGCGCTTTAGTAGTGGGATGGGCCAGATAACCGGCCTGACTGTCTACTACATTGCTCCGAGACCCAAAGATGCTTGGCGCGGGTCGTCGGTCTCGCGGGCCCAAGATCTTCTACAAACGGGTCTAAGAACCGGACCTGCGACCATCAGCCCGTGTACCTTCACCATGGACCATAATGAGATCATTTGTTCCATGATCGATCAACTTGCGCGAGGTCCAGATCAAGATGTTCACGTCCCGAGCGTGGGCAGCCAAAAGTACCCTTCTCGTGGTGTAGATGGCATATACTTGTAATTGACTATCGCTGGGGTAGTATGGGGTCCGACGAGACCGCTATTATGATTCCTGGGGGGCCTCGGGTAATTGACGTTTTTGACGGGAACGGGGCGCCATCGGGTCCAAATTATTTACTTTTTTCGGATGTAGATCGGCTCTCGGACGCCCTCTGGGATAGGTTTATGGTCGGGTAGTCGCCTACGCCGCGTGCGCCGATCCTTGGGGGGCTCCGGGAGCTCTGAAGCCATGCCAAGGTATTCATGGTTTTTTGGGCCGCACTGATGAGAGAAATGGCCGAAATATGCTGGAAGCGGCGGCGTATGCGGTGTAGGCGATTGCACGTGTATAGTACCGACCCTAGGCGACCCCGGGGACATCGCTTGGGCAGGGATTGACAGGATTCAGCTGGCGCGGCCGCCGTGGGCCTATCGTGGCATCGTCGCCGCGAATTAAAAAAATTCATTTTGGCTCCCAGTACGTGTCCCATTGATCTCTTTGGACCAGTAGCGAACCGAACGCTACTCAAGCAGCTGCATGTCGCGTTCGAGTTTAATTCTAGTGTCTTACACACCGCTAGCTGACCGCACGAGTCGAGTTTGTAGCCACGCTATACGGCTGCCATCGGGCTCAGTGCTCGCGACTGCGTAGCGAAGGGCTCGTCACGCATCGGGACGACACGTTTTGGACACCCTCAACGGCTGCACACTGCACAACAGCCCACTCTCAGACGCGCCCACTCAGACACGCTCTCAGAGCTATTTTTACGCCGTTTAGATTGCAAACAAAGGACGCCACCGTGGATCTGCAAAAAGACGCCAAGGCCTTAGGGCTCAAAAGCCCCGTATCCACGCCCGCCGCCGTGCGCGCGGCCTACCTGCGCAAAGCGAAAGCGGCTCACCCGGACGCCGGCGGTACGAAGCAGGAGTTCCAGACCATCCAAGCGGCCTACGAGCGCCTCGGCACGCAGCGCAGACACCAAGCGCGCGTCGACGCGCGCTACTACGCGCGGCGGCCCAACGACGTGATCGACAGAATAAACCACCGCCTCTCGCGGCCGCTGGGCAACCTCGTGCCCACGCGCTACAAGGTCGCCTTCCGCCTCGGGGCGTTGTTTCTGGTCCTCGGCGGGGCGGCCATGGCGGACGAGCCGCGGCGACGGCGACGATGATGCTAGCGCTTGTGGTCGCGGCAACGGCGCTGGCGCCCGTCGAACGCCTCTACCTGAGCTATGGGCACCGCGCGAACAGCTTCTCGGCGGCGTTCGACCCGGACCTCGAGCGGCACGTCACGGATCAAGGCTTCGTGGCCTTTGCGCGGCACGCGTGCACGCGGACGTCGCTCGCCTTCTTCGACCCCGTCTGTCTCGAAACAAATATGGAGACGGTCCTCGACTCTTTCATGGAACGAGAACGGCAAAGAGGCCGTGTCGCCTTCTGGAAGGTCTCGACGGCGACGGCGCGCTATCTGTGTGCGCGGCACGGCTTCGCGGCGGCGCCGTACGGCACGGAGCACGCCCTGGATCTACGTGGTGACATGCTGCGCGGGCCCAAAAGACGCAATCTACGGCGCGACGTGAATAACGCGCGCAAGGCCGGCGCGCGCGTCGAGGTCGTCGAGGCCGCCGACGCCTCCCTAACGACCTGCGAGCGGCGCTGGCTCGCCGCGCGGCCCCAGTCCCGCGAGATCCGGCGGGCCACGCGGCGCTGCCGCGCGGCGCCGGAGCCCTATTGCACCAAGGTGAGAGCTGTTGATGATTTTGGGGAGACGCTCGGTTGGGCGGCCTTCGACCACTGCTACCGCGACGGCGACCTCGTGGGCGCGGGCTTCTCCACGGTGCGGTGGGATCCAGAGGCCCCGAAGGGCATCCCAGCACTCCTAGCCGTCGACGGCGTCGCGCTCGTCGCCGACGGCAGAGCTACGTTCCGCCTCGAGCTAGGGGAAGCGCCGCTCGCGCCGCTGCCGACGCATCTGGCCGAAGGTTTTCCGCCCCTGCCCTTCGTCAGCGCCGTCACGCGGCTTGTCTACGACCGCGGGCGCCTTCTGTACAACGCCCGAGGCATCTCGGCCTGGAAACGCAAGTGGCGTGCGGAAGAGAGTGCATTGTGGATCTGTTGTGAAAAGGACCCGCCGTTTCTCGAGACGGCCGCCGCGCTCGCGCTGATCTATGACCCTTAATTATCCAAGTACCATTACTCCTAACATAGCACCTAGGCGAGCTTCGACGACACGAGCCCGAGGCCCCCGAACAGCACCGGGAAGAGCGTCGCCAGCGGCACGGCGATGAGCGTTTGTAAGGCAACATCAGTGACCGAGTCGTCGGGCAGCCCCGTGACCACGAACGCGCCGCCGAACGACGCGATCGCGAGGAGGAAGTTGAGCGGGCCCAATCCTAACGCGAGCGACACGACCGGAAGGCCCAGCGGCGCGAGCCGCACGAGCAGCGGCAGGAGCGGCAGGAGGTCATCATTCAAATCACCTAACAAACCCACGAGCCCGTTCTCCTCCGCGAAGAGGAGGAGCGGCTCGAGGTCGGCGAGCTTCACGCCCGCGCGCTCCGCCTTCGATAATAAGCCCGTCTTCGCGAGCTTCGTCAGTAATTGCGTCTCCTCGACGACTTCGAGCGTCGAGCCGATCTCCTTGAAGGGGTCGACGCCGCCTGCGTGGTTTTTTGTGAGTTGTTTGTGCGGGGCGAAGGTCGCGTCGAGGGCGTCTCGGCAGTCCCACCTCGACGCCATCGACGCGTAGCCCTTTCGTCGCAATCCGACGTCGGGATATTAGCGGATTGGTCGAAAGCGCCGACGAGCGAGAGCCAGCAAGCGCGCAGTTCTGTCATGCTTCGACGCTGATATCTGACTGCCGTACGGCTCGAGCAGGCCTTGCCTCGGCGTGAGCGCCGGCGCCGCAGCGGGAGGGGCAACAAAGGCCGTCGCCTGGGCCAAGACGATGGCAACCAAAGTTGCTGACCGAGTCATGCTTGCAATTTAGAAATAATCCCAACGCGCACAGCTGCTTGCGTTGCCCGCGGCTCGAGCACAGCCGTGTTTGCGGCACCGTCACAGGGGATCACCAAATGCCACTAGTATTTTTTTCCTACTAGTATCGACCCGCACGCAGCTGTGCACGCGCCACAGGTCGAACCACGCAGAACAACACGCCTTCGACGCGTACATGCCGCGCTGGAAGCCGCGCAACGGCAGGAGCCGGCCGCGAACCAAAGTCGCGCCCGACCCGCGTCCCCAAACCAACAAGTCAACACACAACTCACCTTAACGCCCCCGCGCCCTTCAAGCGCGGCACCAACTCCCCCGCGGCGTCGAGCGGCGCCAAACCGGGAGACCCGTCGTTCAGGCCACCAATATAGGAGCCGTCAATGAAAATGGCGGGCACCGATGTCCGACCGGTCCGCGCGCCGAGCCGTGCCCGCCGAGCGGCGCCATCTGCTATCTCGTCGAGCTCCACAACAGTATACAAGGCGCCCTTTTCGTCCAGGAGCTCCTTCGCCTTCTTGCAGAAGGGACAAGATGTAAACGAATACATCAACACGCCGCCCCTGGAGACCTCCGACTCGATGGCCGTGTCGACGGCGGCCGCGTCGAACTCGCCAGCAACCTGTTCGGCCACGAACTGCTTGAATCCACTCAAATAATTTTGCGTGAACGCTGAGAGCTTCTGCGTGAAGCTGTCCGCCTCCGCCCATTCAGAAGGCTCGCCGGCCCAGCCGTCCGCCTCCTGCTCCGGCAAGAGACCAACGCTCCGCGCCGCGGCGACGAGCGGCCCCGCGATCGGGTCCTTCGTGCCTAGTTTTGACGGTGCTGCCTTCGACGGCGACGACGAGGCCTTGGTCAGCGCCCCCGTCGGCCCGCTCCGGAACAGCTGGCGGACACCTTCGCCCGCGGACACGTCCCAGCTCTCCAGGTGCCTCGTAACGACGACAGTGCCATCATCTCGCTCCTCGAGGACGTGCTCGACGCCCCAGGGCCACGCCAGCACCGGCGACCACGGTAATGCTAAACGAAGCTTCACCAGCAGTTTTGTTCTATAAGACATGCCCTCCAAACTTGATGAAAGCGGTCTTACAGAAGACTCGGTGATGAACCCACCGGCGAGGTTCGCCAGATTGCTCTCGAATCGCTCCCTCCCGTTAAACGACACGAAGGGGTCGGCGAATTCACAATCGACGTCGTAGCATCCGGCGTCCATCTTGCCAGTGAGGAAGTAAGGTCCCTCGGGGCCCTCATAGTCAAGCTTGATGCGGTCGACAGCCTCACTCACGGAGCGCGGCGGCGCCGTCGTCGGGCCCCGTTCCGGTGCGCCTTGTAAAGCGGCCTTGGCCTTGCCGGCGAGCTCGGCCGCGAACCAGGCGCCTTTCGTCGCGAGGGTCGGCTCGTCCCCGGCGTGTTGTATAATCTTGTGGCGCGGCGCCGGCGTCGGGGCGAACGCGGCGACGGTGGTGACGAGGAAAACAGCTACGAAGCGCATCATCGTGCAGCACTGAACTCGTGTGAGCTTGAATTTAGATCGCTAACGTCGCGCTGAGGACGCGGCGGCTGGCTTGCGTGGCCAAGGCTCTCCCAAACTCAAAATCACGGCTCTCGAGACCGCTGTTTTTGCGCCACAGCTCGTGTACGCTGTTCGTTCGGTGCAAAACACGTTCGAATCGCGTATCTAGAGCTCTTCGTTGGACAGCAGAGCTGGAGACGCCGATTACTAGTGCCTTACGGGGCCGCTAGCTTGTCTCCGGGACTTGAGCTTGAACAGCACGGCAGAGGCTGCGCAACGAGCTCATATACGATACACGCGAGCGATTACAAGTGCTCTGCAAGCAGCGGACCGCTGGAGCCGAACGCCAACGCCTCGGGCTCAACAAAGCAGCTAGCGACAGCATGCGCCTCGCCATAGCCTTGCTCCTAAGCGCCGCGACGGCCTACACGCCGCCGCGGCCACCTAGACGATCCCCGCGCTCCCCAGGAGGCAACAACAAGCCACCTAGTCGAAAGCGCGAGATCATAGTAGAACCTCTAGAATCGTGGGGCGCCTTCGACGCCGGCAAGCACCGCATGGGCGTGAGTACCGTGTCCTGGGGTAATCCGGACAACGGTTTTGTAAGGAAGAAGAAGTTGCGAGGTGGAGAACGCTTCAGCCAAAAAGACTGCCGACTCGCGTACCAGGAGCTCATGAAAAATGACGTCAAAACGTTCGCCATCCCGGGCGGGCAGGCCGCAAATGATTGCTTCGGCAAGGCCGTGAAGAAGGCCAAAGTTTTTGACCCTCCGAAGGTTGTTACTTATTGCGCTCCTTCGCTGAAAGCGCGCTACTTCGGCAAAGAGGAAAATAGAAAAAGATATGGGTACGCTTCGGTCGCTACGTCCGTGAATGATGTTTTGGAGGTCCTTGGGAGTGCTTATGTGGATGCTTGTCTCGTTGGCGGGGCTCTACCGGGGTCGAGCTGCCCCGCGCCTCCGCGCGCTAGTAATTCGATAGAGTCCGTGGGCGTCCAGAACGTCCAGGGTGGGTCGGCTTTGCGCAAGGCGCATCGAGCTTTTGAGAGGAAAGGTCTACAACTGAAGGCGTGCTACGTCGACTTTTCACTCGTGGACAATTTGGCCATGCGGGACGGCACGCTGGAGGCGGCCAAGGAGCTCGACATTACGGTATTAGCGCGGTCGCCTTTGTGTGCTGGTCTAGGGAGTGGCGAGATCACGGAGCGCAACCCGACCGGCGGTTCGACAGTCGGCGCGTCCCCGAAGTGGCGGCCGCGGGCCCTGCGGCAATTAGCACCCTTACACGACGCCATCGAGCAGGTCTGCGGCATGGTGCAGGCGCGGCGGGCCGACGACGAGCGGTCGATGGCCCAGCGGCAGAATAGGGACGCCGGAAAAGTAGAAAAGATCCTACCCGTGCAAGTAGCTTTGCAGTGGGTCCGCGCGAAGGGCGCGGTACCTCTGCCCGCGGTCAAAAATCAGAAGCACGCCCAGGCGATCATCGGGTGCCAGGGCTGGGCGCTCGAGGAAAACGAGGTCGCGGTGCTCGACGCGGCGCTGCCTCGGTCGGTGCCAAAGTTCGCGCGGCTGCGCTAAGTTTATTATATTATTCGGCGATAGCGTGGGGCGGGCCTAGTTAGTCGATCCGCCACGGCGGCAGGATTGTCCCGTAGAGCTCGAGGCCGCGGATGTGCATGCATCGATGTGCATGCATCGATAAGGCCGGTCCCAGCAGCCGGATCCGGAAGCGGGTCGAGGCGCAGGGGTATAGCTGAAAGGTAACGGCGCCGTTTCCCCCGAGGTAAAACCCGCCAGTCCACGGACTTGGGCGGGAGTAGAGGAGCCGGCGCCACTCCTCACCATCGAAGGCTTCGAACGCCCAATCTAAAAAGCGTTCTGCACCGCAGCTAGAAAATCCGAAGCTGAAAGCTGTAACCTGGAACCGGAACGGGAGCTCGTACTGAACAAAAGAGCCCGTCCCAAGGGTACACTCTCCAACACCACTGATCTTCCTGGCTACATTCTGATCGACGATTGCCGACTTTAAAAAAGATGCGTAGGGCTCCGTGTCTGGATCAAAACGTAATTCCATGAGACCTTCCCGATGAATCGTGATTACGAGCCCCGCGGGCGGCACCGCTGCATTGGCCACCACTTGTGCGCTATTTTGATGGCTGCTGCGTACTATTCTTGTAGGCCACTGCCGCGTCCCGAGCGCAGTTGCGAGTGCGTGGACCACGCCGGTGACGCCGCGACCTGACGGCTCTGGCCGTCGCAACGCGTAGCTGTCCGCGCCGCGGGCGCGCGCGAGTGTCGTCGACGTCGCCAGGTCGCGTAAATGCTTCGAGGCGGCTCCCGCCCCGCGGGCGCAGTCCTTTAAAGGAACAAAGGTCAGGAGCTTGTGGAGGCAGTCGTCGCCGAGGGTATCCATTCTTTTGTGTTGTGAGCGTGTCCTGTCGCCCAGTTGGGGTGCTACGGGATACGCGCGCGCGGAGCTGACCGGATCAAAACAGGTTTTGCATGAACGGCGACATCTCGCGCCGCGAGTCGACGACCGGGGAAATTGCCCAGGCGCTCGTCGAGGCAAAAACAACCCTGGCCACCAAGTCGTACGACTTCGACGAAGCACGGCTCCGTTCGCGCAATGCGGCGATCGCTCTGGAGGCGAGCCACGCGGCCTTCAGAGCGCTTGCGGCCGAGAACGACCGCCTGAGGGCGTCCCGACACAATCACTCGAAGTAGCCAACTGTAAAACAAACGTACTTATTCACACAATGCGTCGCGCGTCGACGCGCGAAGACCTGCGTCGGGAACGTGAGCGCGGCAGGATACACACCGCTATAAAATGCGACGAACGAGGCGTTGCGTCGGATACAGATTTAGGTATGGATGTAGTTGCGGACATAGCCGTAGTAGCGGCTCCCAATGACGTGCAAATGTCGGAGGTTTCGTCACCCGCGTACGATATGAACCCAAAAGGACACGGGCACGCACTTAACTCGTCCAGCGGTCGATCGCCGCAAATTCCACCCTACGAGCGTAGGGGGCCTCCGGCGGGTCGTCGTCGTCCGAGAACATCAGGTCCAAATGGTGGGCCCCGAGCGGCAAGATCAGGGCGCTCACGTCCTTTGACGAGGAAAGGTTCCGGAGCCAGGGGCCCGTGTACCTCCCGGGTTCGATCACCGTCAGATCATCATAGACCCCGGCGCTGCTCCACGGATCTAGTAGCCCGTTCGAAAAGATAATGTTCGAGTAGCCTTCGAGTGACTTCCTGCCAAAATACGCGTCGAGCCACTGGCTCCACGGGTCGGAAGTCGTAGGATAGCCCGCCAGACCGGGCGGCGGCGCGCAGCCCGCTCCTTTCGAACCGATAGGCCCCAAGGCGTCCTCGAGCGTCTCATTGGGAGCGTGGTTCGGCGGCCAGTAGAGACCGTCGGTGTCGCCCTGGTGGAGGTAGTTCACGAGGTTCAAGTCGTCGTTGCAGACCACGGGCTCCCAGGCGCTCGCGGCGCCGCCCGCGTACTGGGTTGAGCACGTATCGCTCTTGGTCGTCGTCGCGAAGGGAGGCGTCTGTTGCTTCAAGGTCGCGTCGACGGCGTCGAGGCGACGCCGCGCCGCCTCGACGCCGTCGACGTGGCCGTCAGAGAGTCTATGCGTCTCGTGAGAGAGCCACGGAGAGTCGCCGTTCGAGCTGTCGCACTGGCTCGGGTCGAAGCACTTGAGTGTATGAGTGACGTTGCACCAGACGCTCCAGGCACCTAAAGCTCCATGTAACAACTTAGTTAAATGAGGCATGCTTTCCAAGTCACTGACAGAAGCGGTCGGGAAGAAGTCCGAGGAGGTCGCGTCCCAGTCCACACTGATAGAAACGCCGTCCACCGTGACACGGTCGTCGGTCACGTCCACCATTAAATCCAACAATTCCGAACAAGCGACGCGCGCCGGCCACGCCGGCAGTGCATAGTTTCCAGGTCCGACGGCCGACGTGATATAGGTCGAGGGAAACGGGTAGTCGGCTTCGGCAACGTCAAAAAAGACGCCCTGGACGGCCTTCGCTAAGCGTAGGCCGGCCTCCTCATCTGTTCCTAATGAACCAGGGCAGAGCCTGAAGCGTTCCGAGAGGAACGTCCTCCCAGTCGGAGTTTTGCCGATTTCATTCATCAAAGGAAAAGCTCCTCTCAGATTCCGGGCGCAATGTTCCGACCCGCCGGCCTTGCCGAAGGCCCTTGCTACGGCGATCGCCCCTCCGTTCAACGGCGGTCTACACAAAGGTAAACCCCAGATCGGCGCCGACGCGGCGATGGCGCCTTGTACCGATGCGGGATACTTCAGCCGGAACCAGGCCGCGAGCATGCCCCCGTAGCTGCCGCCGACGGCGACGACCGGCACTTGGCCATAGATTGCGCGGAGCTTCTGTATTACCACCGCATAATCGGCCAACGCTTGCTCCACCGTGCAGAAACTCAGGCAATCTCTCATACCTTTGGTGTCGGGCGTGGATCGCGCCTCGTAGCGGTGCTCGGCCCACACTAATAATGTGCCAGGTCGCTTAGCCGCATACTCCCACATGAGTCCAGTATTATTAACGTACTCGTCGACCGGGCTCTCGTTGCCGACGTAGAGTAGTACTCGAGTGATGTTTTTTGTGGCGAAGCCGTCGTACAGACACAAGCGCTGGTCGAAGGTCTTTTCAATACTCCCGAAGTGGTCGAGCTGTTGGGTCAGCGCCTTCCAGGAGCAGTTCTGCGCGTCCGGGAGAGTTGTGTGGGTGGCGAAGGGGCTGCGCCTCGACGCGAAGCGGCTGGCGCGCCAGCGGCGGCGGTGTCTCAAGCGTCGCGCGGCCGCGGCGTGTTGCGACAGCAGCACGGCTGCGAGGGCAGTCAGTGCAGCCCTCATGATATACTCTGTGGAACCCCCCGGCGAGACAAGAGCGCTTTGATTTGATGAATGCGGGCTCCGAGGGCCAGCCTACGAGGCGTGCGGCTTCACGCAGCCGATGCGCAGCTTCAGCGCGCTCTGCCGAGCTAGCGGCATGTAAGACACTAGCCTGGCAAAGCCCAAATCAACTGGATTGCGAGGCCGAGCGCGCGTACAGCATTCTATCCGCGTTTACCGAGGCTCCACAGCGCGCTTATTACCGTCAGGAACGAAATCTGCACCGCTCACGACGGGTGCGTTCAAAAACAGCACGCTCTCAAAAGCAGCTGAGATTTGATCTCCGCGCGCGCGGCACAGCAAGCGATATACGCACGCGACGCCAGCCAACGCGCATCAATCTACACGAGCACGCCAGCCGACGCGCGCATCAATCAAGACAATGTCAGCCGTCCCCTTCGCCGGCGTCGGCAAGCCCTTCCAGAAGCACGCCGAGCGCCACGCCGCCGGCACGCCGCGGGAATCGATAGACGAGTTTGACGGGCGGGCCGTGCTCGCGCTGCCGCGGGAGGGCGCGTCCAAGGACGGCGAGCGGCCCTGGTTCTCGGGCCAGGTCGTCGCGACGGACGGGTCGCGGCGCCAGTTCCAGGTCCTCGCGACCCCCCTACCGCCCTGCGAGGACGGCTGCAAGTGTTCGGGGGGCGACGGCCTGCATAGATATAGGTTGGCCCTCAAGGACGCGACGCGGCGGTTGTGTGCGGTGGTCATCTGCGACGCGTCGGGCGGCGACTTCCTGCGGTTGAGACCTGTGTGGACATCAAATTTTACGGCGCGTTCGCCTGCCCGATGGCGTGGCGATGTCGGTTCCTCACCGCTCGACGGACACCCGACGCACTGGTTGATTTCCACACAGGTTGACGCCGGCGGACCCTTCGTTAGCATCGTTCGAGCCGGAGACGCTCCTCGAAGACGACCGCGCGCGGGCCGCGCTAGATACGTTCTTCCCGCGCCTCGCGGCGGAGGCCGACGCCGGTTTTGATTGTTGCGTCGTCGTCGGTCGGTTTCAATGCAAGCAGTTGCTCCTCTTCGGGGCGACGCGGAAGCGCGGGGCCGCCGATGCTATGCCGGGCGCCACGCCGCCGCCCAAGAAGCCGGCGGTCGCACCGGCTCCGACGACGCCGCCGCCGGGGCCCTAGGAGGGGTGCCAGCTCCGAGGCGCCCTGGGAGTGGCGTCGCGTCGTCGCTGTGTCTGTGATCTGTGTGTGTGCCTAACTACCCCCTTCGACGCCGCCGACGCGCCAACTCATAGACAAACTTAGTGCGTGAAGATCTTCCCCTTGCGCTCGCCGCAGACGGGCCGCGCCGACATGGGCTCGCGGTACGTCTCGAGGTAGTAGCGCGGCAGGGCCCGATCGTCTTCCTCCTTCTTCGCTTGCAGGGACGATAGCCGCGCTTCCAACGCCCTCCTTTCGTCCAGGATGTCATCAAGACGACCCTTCGAGGCATCCACATCGTCCGCTGAAATAGTATAGATGTACTCGTGCCGCCTCATGGTATACGGTTTCCGCGGGACGCCCTCATCGGTCAGAAACCGCGGCGACGGCGCGTCGGGCGTCGCCGGCCGCGGCCGCGCTTCCCGTTGTATTATACCTGGTGCCATCTTCCCTCTACGAGAGACGGGGTCGTAGGTCACGTCGCCTCGTCTGTAAGCTCTTGCGACTTCGGCCAAAGCCCTACCAGTAGTCGTGTGCTGCGTCCTTTGGTAAGCGACGGCCTTCGATGCGTCGAAGACGGTCGTGGGGAGGGTGAATTTGGGCGGCGCGCGGTCCTCGTACTTCTGCTCCTTCGTCATCCTATCCCGCTCGTAGGCCAGTTCCTGCGTCGAGAGGCAGCGCGCCAATGAATTGCCGTCCCTTACTCCGACCTCCTTGTGGGCTACTACTTTCTCGCGCGTCATCCTGCGCAGCGATGGCGTCGAGGCGCTTGCAATCACTTATGGTGAGGCTGGCTGCCTGTGGGCCTCCTGGGACGAGCGACGGCGGCCGCGGCGGGAGGCGGCCGGTTTGTAGTCGTTCGTGTGCCGCAAGCGTCTCCCGCTGGAAGGGCTGCGTTTGCGGGCGGAGAGGCACCGCTACACTCAGGCGCTGCGGCGTGAGATGGCCTCTCTAGAAACGCGAGCGCTCTCCGCGGGCTGCGGACCACGTGTTAACGCGTCTGGAGACGTATGGGTGTGTGGGAGTGCTCGAAATCCGACATGCTAGTGGGGTTACCTAGCACCATCGGACAAAATTATTTGGGCCGACAAGCAGCCATTACTTTCCGGTTTTGCAACGACAAGCCGCAAAACTCTCGGATCAGTCGATTGGCTGCCACGCGCCGCCATTCGTCGCCTCCTCTCGCTCTCAGCCCTCGCCGCGCCGGCGCGCAGCCTGGCAGCCATGCCGGCCACCAAGCGCACGCTCGCGTTGTTCGACGTCGACGGTACATTAACACCAGCGCGCCTGAAGATCACGCCGGAGATGAAGGCCTTCCTCCAAGAATTGCGGAAAACCATCAGCATCGGCGTCGTCGGTGGGTCCGACTTCGTCAAGCAACAGGAGCAAATCGGTAGCGATTCTCTGTCCAATTTCGACTACTCCTTCGCCGAGAACGGGTTGGTAGCGTACAAAAACGACGAACTAATAGCGAAGGCGTCGTTCGCCCAAAAGATCGGCGAAGAGGAGTTACAGAAATTAATTAATTGGGTCCTCGCGTACCTGTCCAAAATTACGTTGCCCATCAAGCGGGGCACGTTCATCGAGTTCCGGACGGGCATGCTCAACATCTCGCCGATCGGGCGGAACTGCGCGCGCGACGAAAGGAACGCGTTCGAGGAGTATGATTTGAAGAACAATATAAGAAAGGACATGGTCGCTGCGATGCAGAAAGAGTTCGCCCACCTCAACCTGACCTTCTCGATCGGCGGGCAGATCTCGTTCGACGTGTTTCCCGCGGGGTGGGACAAGACGTACTGCCTCCAGTTTGTGGATAGATCGTTGTTCGACGAGGTCCATTTTTTTGGAGACAAGACCTTTGAAGGCGGTAATGATTATGAGATCTTTACGCACCCGGACGTGAAGGGCCACTCCGTGACGTCGCCGGACGACACGAAGGCGCAGTGCACGGAGCTGTTCCTCTCGTAGATGATGGACTGTGGTATAAAAACTTGAGATTTAATTGCTAGGGGGTAGGTCGTGAATTAGAGCGTGATGCCGAAGTTGGCCTCGAGGGCGTCGCGCCACTCCTTCTCCGTGGAAAGAGTCGTGCGGCTGACTTCGACGCCGCGCTCGACGGTCTTGATGTAGTCCTTGCCGAGCATGACATGACCGTCGTCCTTGGCGAGGACGCAGAGGCCTGCGGGCGGAACACACACGTCGCCGTCACGACCGTACGAGTCGAAGGGAAGAGGACACCGGGGCGCTACGCTTCGCTTGGAAGATGTTCTTCTCGGGGTCTTCGTCGAGCACGGCCGCAAGGCCCTCGACGAATTCCGGCGAATCGTACGGGAGGTCATCTTCTAAATTCAGGGCGTAGACCGGAATTGGGGGCATAGGCTCCGGCGGCGGCGGAGGAGCTCCCACAATATCGAAGAAGGCTGTTGCTGAGCCAACGCTTCGCTCGCGCATCAGGACGTGGGAAAACCGCTCAGCAAGACCAAACTCTTCTAGGCCGAAGCCAGCGGATGGCGCGAGATTGTACTTTTCGCCGAGCGCAGGATCGGTCGCGCCGCCCTTGACGGAGAAGATTGTGCGGATCGCGTCGCCGAAACCGGGATCGACGAGCAATGGGTCCGCTCCGAGGCCGTCCACAAAGATGACCAAATGTCCCTTGTTGGGCGGAGTGCCGGGCGGGCCGAAGACGTCGGAGCGGCCCAGGCGGACGCTGTAGCCCAGCTGGCGCAGGAGCCACGCGAAGGAGAAATTGAGTTCGAAGCAAAAACCTCCCCTGTTTTTCTCGACGAGCTTGCTCAGGCACGCGTCGACGTCGAGCGTTGGTAATAACGGCTTGGAAACGGCAGGCGTGCCGATGAAGGGCAGTCCCTCGGACGGATGGTTGTGCTGTCCAAGGTTCTCAAAAGGAATTGACGAAAGATGCGCGGTCAGCAACGCCTGGAGGTCCTCCGCGTTCGGTGCTCGGTCCACGATGGCGGCGTCGACCTGCGTAGCGCGCATGTGTCGCGGCGCGCGCGTCTCACGGGGACGCCGATGGGACGCACGCCGAGGCGGTTCAGGTACATGTCTCGCATCCCGGCATCGTCCGCGCTGCTCGCCGCCGCGCGGGGCTGCCTATGGACTCTGGAATGGGATGGTGGCAGCGTGAACGCTGCCGCGACGGGCACAAGGAGCAGCCAAGCAACCATGATCGACGGAGCTGGCTTGATTGTAGCCCTTAGCGGCGTTACACTTGCGAAGGCAGCGTCTGTCTTCTTTTGGCAGCGTCAAATGATGGGGGAGTTCTAGATTCCAAAAACTTGAACTCATGGTGCGGGTCCGCGAAGGCAGACGGATATAAGTAACAACATGATTACAGCTCCGAAACCACAGTGCTCAGCTCCGCGTTGCGCGTCGGCCGCACTCGCAGCGCGGGAAAGCGGGCGACGGTCCGCCCCGCCCGCTCGAGTTTTTGAACGCCTTCGAAGAGCGCCCGCTCCGCGGGCCGGCCCCGCGACTCGTCCTGGCCGCCCAGCAACGCGTCGAGCAAAGACGCGTCGAAGCCAATCACCTCACTCCGGAGCACGCCGTCGCCTAGCGACCAGGGCGACGGCGTGGATTGGACGACGATGTCCGCATCAACCGTATCGAGCACCGCATCCAGACCTTCGACGAAGTAGCGGCCCGTGATTTTCACGATCCGCCGGCACCTTTGTAAAGCTGGCAATGCTCGCCGGATCGCGCGGTGCTCGGCGTGGCCCTTGCCCTTGCTCGCGTCGACCTCGTCGTCCGTGAACGAGACGAAGTGCGCCGACGGTGCCGCCCGTCGCAGCTCCCCTAGATGTGCTCCGGAGTTCTCGACGACGACGAGCGGTCGTTTCGACGAGGCCGCGTAGCTCTCTAAAACAGCGACGTAGTCCCGCCGTCGTGCGACGGCGTCCCTTAATACGGTGTGCGTCATGGCCGACGGCGGACAGACCGTCGCGGTGAGTAATATACACCAATCCGAGGCCGGGGCTTCTTCATTTGATACCGGCGGCTCGCAGTCTCCCGCATCAAAGTCGTGGGAGGCACAGTTAAACCGCGACGCACAACAGCCGTCGCGTCGCGCCGTCGCAGCGGTGCAGCGGCCGTCGCAGTCCCGCGCCTCGCCGCCGGCGCACGGCTCCGCCGCGTCGCAGAGACCGCAGGTCCGGTTGCAGGCGCCCGCGAAGGGGCAGTCGCCGCAGAACCACGCGCCGCAGAGCGCCGCGTCGCAGGCCGCGCGCGCGCCGTCGAGCCAGAGCGGCTCGTCCGTGCAATCACTGGCGGCCGCCGCGGCCGCGACGGCGAGCGCGCGCCAGCCCATACTATTGGTTTGGCATCGCTGCGGGGCGCACTGGTTGAATCGCGCCGCGAGGGGCAGCCCTCTCGCGCTCCAATTGTTAGGGAACCGGGCTTAGCGGCCGTAAGACACTAGCAAACAGCCCGTGCGCCCGAGGAGGTCCGCAACAGCGTGCACCGCTATTGCGCGGTCTCTGGCTGCCCGTTTTCGCTGGCCCATCCATATATAGCGCCTCGCTAGAACTTGGGCTGCCCTCTTCTCTGGTCCCACCCTATGGCACCCGGGCCCATACACGATGCCGCACGCGAGCACGACGTCGAGACGCTCCGGCGACTGCTTGCGGAAGGTGTGTCGCCAGATGCACTCGTGGATCAGCAAGTACGTAGAAGACCTCTTCATTGCTTGTGCCTGCGTGATGATGAGAAAAATGAGGGTGATCGCGCGGCCTGCTTCGAGCTCCTTCGCGACGCGGGGGCAAATTTGGAAGCGGGCGATCAAATAGGGTACACGATACTTCACCTCGCGGCTAGAGATGCATTCGTCGAGTTGATATCGTTGCTAGTTCAAGCCCGCGTTAATTTGGATGCGACACTACAGACTGGTGACACAGCGCTGCACCTCGCAGCACGCTATGGGGCTGTCGATAGCGTCGAAGTGCTCCTGGCCGCAGGCGCTTCTCTGAATCTAAGAGAAATTCATAACGGGAATACTCCTTTCGACGTGGCACTCTATTATGGCACTGGCGGCGGCCACGCGCCGCCTGAACAACGCGCTAGAAGTCGCCGGACGTGGCCGCTATTCCTCCGCGCCGGTGCCGCGGTACCTGCTATATACACCGGCTCGGAAGACCAGTACCTCTTCCGAGTCGTCGCCGCGGGCGGATTCCAGAGATACGCCCAAGCCCATGTCGCGCGGATCGCGTCGATCCTCGAAACGCCCCTCCTCCCGCCGGAACTCGTCCGGAAAGTCCTTCAGTTTTGGCTCCACGCGGGCTACTACTGAGTAGTGTAAAGCTATATTGTTTGATCATGATGGACTCGGATTGTAAAGACTTCCTGGTCAACGGAAACTGAAGAGACGCGTGATTGCTAGTGGCTGACAGGACACTAGCAAAGCACCTTTCGCGCTATGTTACGACGGCCCGGGTGACTAAGATTACGTTTACTGCCCTTACCCGGCCGCCTCCCCGGGATCGCTCCGCGTCGGCAGCCACGGCGCCTTGACGGACAGGCGCGAGCAGGGCCGCCGCGCGCAGAAGGCCTCCATGAGCTTCGTCATCGTGTCCGCCGTCAGATATTCCCCCGCCTCGGCCTTGCTGGCGCCGAAGGCCTCGACGACGTCCGCGGGATCGTCCCACGGCGCCACCGCGATCTCGCCGTACGGCTCCACTCGCGCCGTGAGGGGAGGCGGTAGCGTCCGCCGGCACGAACGCCGCAAACAGAAGAACTCGAGCATCTTGTTCGCGCTCTGCTCGGTGATCTCGAAGCCGGCGGCCGTCGCCTCGCGCGAAAATTTGGCCACCTGTGTGGAACTCGACCAGTGAGTCGCGTCGACGGCGTGGAGGTCGACGCGATGTTTTCCGCACGGAGGTCACGGCAGCCGCGGGCTCGCCCCACGGCGGCACCTCCAGCGCGCCGACGCCCTCCACATCCAAACGCATGGGCGCGACGGGCCGGTGGCAGCTTCGACGCGCGCAGAACCACGCCATCGCCGCGTCGAGCTGCTCCGGGAGTACTGATATATAAGCTTCGGCGGCCGTCGAGGCCAGCCGTTCTACGGCCGTCGCCGGCTCCTCCGTCGGTAGGCAGGTGACGCTGCCCAGCCCGCTCACGTTCAGCGTCAGCGGCGGCGTCAGCCCCCGCCCGCAGCTCCTTCTCTTACAACACCACTCGTACAAATCCTGCATGCTCGCTTCATTCACTTCGTGCCCCGACATCGTCGCGGCGGCCGTCCAGCCCTCGATCGCGTCCGCGACGTCGTGCCAGGGCTCGACAACCAGTCTTCCTACTCCCGTCACGTTGAGTTCCAATCTCCGATCGAGCGCGTCGACGCACGCGCGCTTCTCACACACGGCGTCGAGCACCCGTCTTAATTGATTCTCGCCCAGGGGGTTGCCCGCGCTCTCGGCCGCCCGTCCGAGCTCGGCCACCGCTCTGGCCGGCTCGACCCAGGGCTCGACCACTAATGTCCCGACGCCCTTGACGTTCGCCGTCAGCCGTTCCCTGTGGAAGCGCCTTCTACAGGGCGCGAGGACGCAGAGCTTGTCGAGGATCGTCGTGAGGTTCTGTAACGACAGCGTCACGTTCTGCTTGAGGGCCGTGGCGTAAAAGGCCTCCACCACGTCCGCCGGGTCGACGCCGGGGTCCACCCGCAGCACGCCGAGGTTCTCGACCGTGAGCGACACGGGCTCAGTCGGCGCCTCCGGCGCCTTGGCTCTTCTTGCCGCTTCTAACAATGCGCGCGCTCGTCCTTCTACCTCGTCGTCGCTGCGGCACAGCGCGGCGAGGAGCAGAAAATTGCAGCCCCGCATGCTTGCAATGTCGCAGGTCCCAGGGGCTGGGGCAGTGGGCCACTTCGCTAGTCGAACGCGTTCGTTCGTAGAATGGCTGCGCGGCCTCGGAAGGGGCCACTCGATGTTCTTACCGGTTGATGGGCGCTCAAGGGCAGCGGTTTGGTGCCCAAGCGCTTTGGAAAGCCGGCAAGCGAATATCGTGCTAGTGTCTTACCGCACGCTAGGCGCATCGCACCTGCGGCGGCTCATATCGCGCTGGATTCGTCCGCATTGATGCTCAAACACGCATAGGATGAGCAACGACCTCGCGAACGACCTCGCCACCAAAGTCTGGCAGAGTAAAATACCGCTGCGGCTCTCCCTGCACGACCGAGCCGACGCCACACCTCTCTACCTCCTCCATCCGCGCGGCGCGCCGCTGGCCGCGATTGCAGGAAGACTAAGACGCCACTTCCGGCGCCACTTAGAAAACCAAACGGACGACGAGTCGCCGCGGCCCTACGCCCCGTCGCTGGCGGACAGTCAATATTTCTCGCCCCTCGGCAGCGAAGCCTGGGCCGAAGCTGATGAGGAGAACGACGACGACGAGCCGGCGCTGTGGTTCCAGCTCCACGACGCGGTCGTGCGGTGGGACATACCCTTGGGGGCCGCGCTCGACGCGCTTGGCCGACCAACACCGTTGCCGATCGACGTCACCCTACATATAGGCCGGCCCCCTCCCAATATAGCGGCCCTGGATGCGAGTGACGACGGCTTCCGGGCCTTCGTCCACTCGCTGAAGCAGGCGGCGCATCTGGAGCGAGGCACCGCGCGCGCGGTGCTGACATTGGCGCTCGCGCGGCAGCGGGCGTTGTACGCCGCGTGCGGTGCGGGCGATCTCTCTTCATATGAAGACCTGGAGGACGTGGAGCCAAAAAGGGTGCCGTGCCGCGTCTTCGTCGATGGGTGTTCCACTTGGACGCAACTGCCCTTCGCCGCGTGTAATGAACACGGCGCGCCGGCGACGGTGGGCGAGGCGCTCGGGCCCTGCGTGCGCCGGGCCCTCTCCATCCATGATGTGCGCGGTGCGACGGCGGTGTGCCACGGCGTCGAGCTCCCGTGGGACTGCGCCCTCGTGGACGCGTGGCGCGCGCTGCGGTGCGGCGACCACTTTCTTTACGTCGCCGTGCGGCGTTTGGCGTGAGCTGCGCGTGTTTTTTGTTCGTGTAACTTGTTGTTGGCTAGCGGTAAGACACTAGCAGGCAAAAACTCCGAACTGCTACTGCCAGTAACCTCCACTGCGGGGCCAAACGAAGCTGCGGAAGACCGAAGAATCTCACGTTATATACAGCTTCACGGCGCACATCAAGAAACTGCATCAATTCCAGCCGCGCGCTTGAAAAATGAGCGTGAGCAGCCTGGTGCTCGTTGCCGCCGCGGCGTCGGCGTACGTCGTGCCCCTGCGATCGGCGCATCGTTTCACGACGCTGCGGCGGCGTGCGGCACCGGCAGCGGTTCCTGCTGCTGAAAATGCCACCGAGGTCGAGTTCAGCGCGGGTCTCGTGAGCGGCGGTGCGGCCGTCGCGCCGTCGCCGCTCCAGCAATTATCAGAAGCCTTCGGCCTCAAGGACGCGAGCGACGCCGTCGCCTGGACGGAGCCGTTGTCATCAGACCCGTTAAGTCAGATAGCGCCGGACTTCACGTCGTCCCTCAGTTTCTCGACGCCCGAGGTCGCGACACCTACTAGAAGACTATCTTTACTACGACAAAGACGGAAGCCGCGCTCCGCGGCAGCGAGTCGAGCCGTGCGCCGTAGAAGAGCGTTAGAGCGCGAACGCGCCCAGGAGCGGGACTTTGAGTTTTTGCAAAGGGCGCAATTTGTGTCACTCGTATTACCACCGATCCTAGCTTTTGCATTGTGGCCCATGATCGCCGACGCCATGGCCATCTTTTTTAATGGACAGAACGCGGCGCAGCCCGTGGATGGCAATCTATTTGCGGTGCAACTATTGAGACCGACGGTCAACGGGGTCGTGCTGCCTACGCTTTCCGTCGCGCTGGGTACGTTGTTGGCCACCACAATTAATGTGCTGCGAAATAGGCAGGTCGACATCCGAGCCGCGCTGAACAAGGAGGCCTGCGAGCTGCGGTTGCTACGAGCGGCTCTGTTAGGCGCCTACGGCACGGCGCAACATGCTGGACGTAGAGCAGAAGCTCTAGATCTCGTACGAGCTTATAGTGCGAGGATCGTGGCCGAATCGAGTCCGGGCGCGTTCGAGGCCATTCGGAGGGAAGAACGCGCGGGCGGCGTCGGCGTCAATGAATTGGAGCCCTTGGGACGGATGCTGCACGGCGTCGACGGCGCCTATGCGGCGAGGCAAGGGTCGGTCCAAGCGTGTTTGCAATTGCTGAACGAGCTGAACTCTCATAGAAGTGAAAGATTAGCGGCGCTGCTCGGCGGCTTCCCGCCGATCCACTGGTTCGTCCTGTCGCAACTCGCCATATCTATCCTACTCGCCTTCTTGATCGAATCGAACCAGGAGGTGCTTCAGTTCCTCAACTCTCTACAGTTGCGGGTCTTGTTCGCGTTGATCGTCGCCGTGTGCAGCGGCACCGCAACTTTATGTCTGGACCTGACGGATCCCTTCCGCGGGCGCTTCTCGGTCGTGACGGCAACGGCCCAAATTGTACGACTGGAAGACCTGCTCGTGGACGACGTGGACGCCGCGGAACGGCTAGTAGACGACGCCCAGACGCAGGGCGTCTTGGATGCGGTGTTCTTTCATACCCTGACGTCGGGCTTCGCGGCGCCGGTCCGCGCGGTCGGCGACGTCGTGTCCTACGCGGTCCGGCCCATCTCGCGCCGGAAGCGGCGGCGCACGGATGACTCCTAAATTTGTTTTTAGTCTCTCTTGGTGCCGCGTCGGTGGCGTCGCTGGTCCATAGAGCTGGTCCAGTGACCACTCCAGTGAGCGGTGTCCATGAGCGGCGGAGTTAGCGGCGGTCGCGGACTCGCTGACTCGAGGCGGTCCCAGTCCCGCAAGGCCCCCGGGCCTCGGTACCCCCTGAAGCGCCCCAGAGAGGTCCAGAAGAGGCTAGGAGCGATGACAACGACGTTCGGGTTCGGGCCAATATTTTTTCGTTGGGATTGGGCGCCTCGCGAGAGTGCCAGCAGCGCGGCCGTTGGGCAGCGCGCAGTTGCACCATAGGGCCACCGCGAACCCCGCCGCCGCGTTGCGCCGAGGCGGGCTGCGCCATGCCGCTGCGCCGCATCGTGTCGTTGAAAGTGCTCGACTGGTGGCCTCGCGAGCGCGCGGCGCCGCCGCCGGACCCCGTCTCCATTGATACGACCTACGCTTGCGCTGTTGAATGTGACGACGCCGTCGCGCCGCTGGCGCGCCACCGCGCGCCGCCGACGCCGTGCGCGGCGCCGCGCGCGAAGAAGGGATCACCCCCGAAGAAGACGCCCCTCGTCAAGCAGGCGAAGAGATACGCTTCTCGCTTCTTCAAGCCGGAGATGTCGCGCCAGCCCTTCGTGCCTGATGACCTCGAGGTTTTGAGGGAGGTGGGCAGAGGGGCCTTCGGCCGCGTCTACGTGTCCCGAGTGAAGGGTGGCGGCGGCGCGTTGTTCGCCGTGAAGGTACTGAGGAAGGCCGAGGTGTTGAGAGGTGGCGGCGCGGAGTGCGCCTTCACGGAGCGAGCCTTGGGTGCTGATTTAAGGCATGCGGGAGTGGTCCGACTGCGGTGCGCCTTTCAAACCAAAAAAGCACTTTACTTAGTATCGGACTACTACCCGGGCGGCTCGTTAGGTGAGTTGAGAAGGCCTCTTTCCGTTGATCACGTACGATTCTACGGCGCGGAGGTCGCGGCGGCCCTGGCCCACATCCACGCGCGGGGCGTGGTCCATCGCGATTTAAAACCGGCAAACATTTTACTCGATAGAGAGGGCCACTGCGCCCTGGCGGACTTCGGGGTGGCGACGACGGGTAGTACTTTACGAGGATTTAGAGGCACCGTGGCATACATGGCGCCCGAACTACTCCTCAAGACGGCCAATTCGAATGCGGAGAGCGACTGGTGGGCCTTTGGCTGTTGTTTATATGAATTAACGACGGGTTCGACGCCGTTCTACGCGGACCAGCCGCGGGAGCTATTTAAAAACATCCTGCACGCTCCATTTGTGAAAACAAACACGGATGCCGCTTTGGACACGCTCTTGGAGGCGTTACTGGACAAGCAACCTGCGTCGCGGGCCGCCGATTCGGATGTGGCGACCTGCGCGTTCTTCTCCGCGATTGATTGGGACGACGCCGCGTCGAAGAGACTGACGCCGCCGATCCAACCGTCTCTACCTTCGTATGTGGAGGCTTCACAGGATGGTTCTTTACGGTTCGTGGGCGACGCCTACCGGCCGAAGAATTTACCGACTCCGAAACGCGTCACGTTCGACGAAGAAAACGAAAGTCCCTTCGCGAAGCGGTTGTCGGTCCGCGAGACCTACCAGCGCGAGAAGCGACACAGAAGGACCTTCCGCGGCTTCGCGCTGAACGCCGAAGTCGATCTGGCGGCGTCGCCGCGGACCTTCGCGCGGACGACGACCCTCTGAGGGCGCTTTATCCTAGCCTCCCGCGTTGCATACGCCGTGCACGGCGGACCACGACTGTTAGCTTGGCTCAGGCCGGGCGTTTTATTCTCTCCCCGCACGCGGCCCAACGTCGCGCGCGCATATTACTAACTGCTGTTTATCATAGACATACTTACACTAATCCCACCCGTCGTCGCCCGTCGCCACGACCTCCTCCGCGACGGGCTCGACGTAGTCCGTGTACTTCGCGCGGGCGTCCAAGAGCTGCGGATGGATGTCCTCCGCCAGCTCGCGCCGCGCCGCCGCCGCGGCTTCCACGCGGAGCTCGCGCAGGCGCAACGCCATGCGCGCGGGTATCACGAGCTCGCCGCCCCGGATGTGGTAGGGCGACTCGTCCCTATAAGCCCAGAGCGCCTCCATGCATGCATCAGCATCGGCGCCGGCGTCGCGCGGCCGCGCCTCGTACTGGCCCGGCGGCGGCCGCTTCGAGCGCTTTTCGAGCGACGAGCGCGGGTCGCCCTTGGACAGCTTCGGGACCCACTTCTGGGAAAACCTGTGCGTATCTCATTGAGAAGTGCGAGGACGATCGAAACATTCGACGCCGGACGGGGACTCCTCGAGAAACGATAGCGCCGCATCCTTCGCCGCCGAAGCTATTTCGTCCCCCTCCCCCTTCACATACTTGGCTTCACGTTCCTCGCGGCGCTTGCGACGCCGCTCGACGACGCGCTCGTCCACGTCATCATCGTCTTGATCGGCCTTGGCCTCTCTCCTTAAATAACCGCTCTCAAAGGCATTTTGTGGAGTCAACGAACGCACCTCCTCCGTGAGCGCCTCCAATGCTCGCAGCGTCGCGAGGCGGTCGCAGGCTCGTTGACTGTGTGAACGGTACCGTCGCGTCGATGGCGCGTTGCTCGACGCCATCGACGCGGACCCGAAGTATTGAAGGCACAATTGACACCGAGTCAGCACTCAAACGCGTAGAGGGGCATCGGCTCGTCCTCGGTGTACCAGCTCGTGCGCGTTTCACCGCCCTCCGCGAGCTCGGCATCTCGCAGCATGGCCGCCTGTGCACAAATCAACCAGTGAGTCGGGTGCGACAGATGCGCCGCGAGAATTTGATTTATGCACTGATGGTCGCGTCGGGCAGGCCCCCGATCTGGCGCTCGAGCGCGACGCGCTCCTGGTCCGCCTTCTCGAGCTCAGAGAACTGAAATGCCCAGGTGTCGACCTGTGTGGAAATCAAAATTTTACGGCGCGTTCGCGCTGAATCTTCGCGTCGAGCTTCACGCCATCGACGCGACGCCTGCTCGATGGCGTGGCGATGCCGGTTCCTCACCGGTCGACAGAGCCAGCGCGGCCAAGTGCACCCGACGCAATGGTTGATTTCCACACAGGTGTCGACCATGACGTCGGCCGTCGTCACCAGCCTTTTTAGAACTTGCTTTGGGTCAATCACCTCGTCGTAGACTTCCATGGCTTGCTTAGCCAGGAACGGATTGGCGAGTTCTCGCGCCGACCTGTGTGGAAATCAACCAGTGCGTCGGGTGCACCCGACAATTCTTCACTAAGTCATTTCTCGGCGATGGCGCGGCCGTGCCGGCTCCGTCGGGCGGCGAGGAACCGGCATCCTCACGCTATGGAGCAGGCGCCGCGACGCGCCATAAAATTTTGATTTCCACACAGGCGCCGACAGGCGCCGCCGCGGGGCCACCGCGATCTCTACGACCTCTTTCTCGGCCGTGCCCATGTCTACTAAGTATTCCTGGAACGGTTTGTTGAGCTGGCCGAACGCGGCGCTGTAGGTGCCGGGGAAACGTCTTGGTGAATTGCTATCGAGGTGGGCGTGGTCCTGGAAGGCCTTGAGCCAATTACCGAGCGGTTCGTTCTTCAAATCAGCCATATAATTCAACTGCTGCTGAACGGCGCGCTGGACGAGGTAGTCGCCGAGGTTGATCTTGGGCGGCGCCAATGCCCAGGCGGCGGTGGCGAGGCAGAGGTAGCGCCACATCTGGTACGTGTTTGTGCGGCTCTCGTTCGCTCGTTCGGCTGAAAGCGACGGATCCAGGTAGGATTCAGGTGGTCTCTGACTGGCCGACCTTGCGCAGTGAGTTGCGAGGTGTGCGTTGCTGCGCGCTATCGACGGAGCTACCTTTCCGTTTTAATTTAGTGCTTGATCACTTTTTGGTACGCGTCGTGCCGGACTTCAAGCTCAGCGCGTGCGTGAGTTATTTTTTCAGCTTAGCGGCCTGTAACACACTAGCAAAGGCAAAAAAGCAAAAAGAGCTGCGCAGTAGCAGCCTGAGCCAGCCACACAGCACAGGAATGCGGCTTTCAGCAGTTACAATGCTGCCATGACCGCACTCGCAGTGATGGCATCTCTCCTCGCGACCACAAAGAGCCTAGACCTAGCAGGCCACCTGCGCGCACTAGGCGCCCCGCGGGCCGCACAACGCCTGGACGGCGGGCCACCTCCAGTAGCTCCAACGCCGTTCACAGTCGATGCGAGCAAAGTCCACCTGGTAGCCGACGCGGCAGCCGCAGCAGCCTTCAGTGCCGACGTCGGCAGCGCGTCGGCAATCGCACTGGACTGCGAGTGGCGCCCCGACGGCCCCGGCGAGGACCACGCGGTAGCACTCGCTCAGGTCGCAACGAAGAGCAATGTTTGGCTCGTTGATTTCGTAGACATCAGCGGGCCCGCGAGAATAACCGCGCTGGACGCGCTGACGAACGCCCTCCAGTCCCAACATACATCAATCGTCGCGTTCTCCATCGCCGCCGACGTGTCGAAGCTGTCGAGTGTGCTGCCTAACTTCGCCCAAGCGACGCGCGTCGTCGACCTCGCGACGTCGAGCGACGGCCTCGCGGCGGCCGTGCGCCGCTGGCTGCCTATGTATCACCTCGACAAGGCGCAGCAGCGTAGCGACTGGGCCCTGCGCCCGCTCTCGCCGGCCCAGGTCGCCTACGCGGCCGCCGACGCGGCCGTGCTGCTTCCTCTTTTGGATGCGATGCGGGCGGGCGGAGCCGCACCTTCTGAGCGCGACGTGGCGCCGGCGCCGCGGACCTCGACTGATAGCGACGCGGCCGAGCCGGATGATGACGGCGCGCTGGCCGTCGCGCGGGCGGTAGTCGCTCGCACGCCGGGCTGTAGCATTGTCGCCGCGGATGCCATGCCGGCGGACGCCGTTGAGGTCAATGCCCTGGCGGTCGAGGCCGGTGATAGGAAGCTCCTCGTCGTCGCCGAGGCGGGAAAGCGGCTCGATCTGAAATGGCTCGCGCTCGCGCTGGACACGCCGCGGCGGCGCGTGCGGCTCTCCTCGCGCTGCGTCGAGGCCTTTGGCGTGGCTCCCCACCGCGTGCCTCCCATCGCCCTGCGAGACGACGTGTCCGTCGTCGCGACGCCGGCGCTCCTGGCCTCGACGCGCCCGCTCTGGGGCTCGGCGGGCGGCGACGGCTACCGAGTCGTCTTCGAGGACGGCGCGGCGCTGGCGCGCGTCGCGTCACCTCTTCCTGACCCGGCGCTCTACTACGCGACGCTAGATGAGGCGCTCGACGCGTACGGCGGCGGAAACGCGCCGACGACGTCATCCGGAGCGGTCCGGCTGGCCGCCGGCGCGACGGGCCGCCGCGTCATGCTTGACGCTTCATTGGTGGCCTGTGCGCGGCGGCTGCGCATGATCGGCGTGGATTGCGCGGTCGCCGGTGAGGTCCTGCGAAAGGAAGCGACGCCGCGGCGGCCGCTCGACGGTTGCGACCGGGTTCACGTGATCGCGTCTAAGGTCGACACTGATTTACGACGCGCGGCGCTCGAGGGTCGGCTCGTCGTCGTGGCGTCGTCGCGGAAGCGCGCGCCCGGAGCTTGCTACGTGGTTCGCGGCACGACGCCGGATCAGCAGTTCGATGAATTGCTCGACGTCCTCGGCGAGCGCGGCGCGGTGGCGACGTGGGGCTCGCGGTGCGGCATCTGCAACGGCTGCGACTGGCACACCCTGGCGCCGGAGGCAGTCGTCGGCGAGGCGCCGCAGGGCGTCCTGGCGGACGCTACGGAGTTCTACCGGTGCGGCGTCTGCGGGCAGTTGTTCTGGCCGGGCGCCAAGTACGAGGACACGATGGCGACGCTGCGCGGGCTCGCGCTGACGAAGGCGGTGTCTTCTGTTTCCTAGGTTGTTGTGGTTGTAAGTAAGCTTTACTGGCATAAGTTACGTGCGTAGACGAGCAAGAGATTCGATGATAGTAGAGGACGATGAGAATGATGACGAACCCGATATTGAAGAGCTAGGTTCAGCGCTCCATGGCCGCCGCCGCCGCGGGCGCGCCGTACTTTTCCTTGGCCGCGCGGAGCGTGTTTCTTAAGTCGTCCGGCGAGCGAGCAAGCGCGAGAAGCTCGATGCTCCCCGTCGGTATGAAATGACTGTTCTCTTCACTTTCTATAAGGGTCTCGTGTTTGCTGAAGATGGTCGCTCGATACAGGCCCTCCGCGTCGGGCTGGATGCAGACGTACATGCAGCAACCCCCGGGGATACAACAGCCGCAATGCAGCCCGACGACCAGGGCGTCGAAAGCGGAATCCCCCGCGGAACCCCCCATATCACAAAAGTCGCCCTTTCGTGTCGGGACGCACCTGCCGCCGCCGTAGGTGTGGATCCGAACGTTCTTGTCGACGTCGAAGCCGTCCCAGGCGATCGCGTTGACGCCGTTCTGATGTTTCTGTTCATTGACCCTCCAGTACGGCTGGACGCCAGCCTCTCCTTCTAAGTCCCCACATCCTATGCAGCAACAGTTGCACCCACCCCCGGGCGAGTCGGGCCCGAAGTTCCGACGGCCGACGATGCCTTTGTCGGTCAGGATCAGCGCAGCATCACCCCACGGGGGAAATTCCATGTCCCTGTGTTTGCTGCGGAGCATATTATAGAGAAAAGCGCTCAGGAAAATGGGGGAAAACGCCAGCATGTGAATCGTCCAAGGGAACACGCAGCACATGTACTCCGGGCATTGAGCGCAGTTCTCCATCTCGCCTCTGCGCAGGGTGCCGGGTACCCCATGGCAAACATGCGTGCGCGCTTTTGTGGCGTTCGCGGCGTCGAAGAGCGTGCGATCGACGCCGAACGCGTCGATCACCGGGTCCGCCGCGCCGACCGGTGTAGTGAAGCCGTCGGGGCCCACGTACACGGCGCCGAGCCCCGAGAAGAGGAGCGCGTGGCTTCGCGTCATGTCGCTCAGGGGACCCGGCACCGCAGACTGCTCCTTCCTTGCCCGCGCCACCAGGTTGGCCCCGGCTCCAGAGTCCTCACCTGCCAATATACCGTCCACCGAAACTAAATGGAAGCCTCGCGGGTCCGTCACTTTCCCTGGGCTCAGGGCCACATGATCGTGTTCCTTAACTAAGTGGAACCCTCGCGGTATTTGCGCGACGAGCGGCGAGCCCGCGGCCACCTCGAACGTCTTTTCGCGGCCTTGGTTGACCGTGAGGCCGCAGTCGCCGGGCGGGAGCTCGAGGACCGCCTCGTTGAAGCCCAGCAGGGACCCGACGGTCGGTCCGCTAGCTTCGGAAGAGAACTCCGTAACGATGGTGCCCTCGACTACCGGCTCCCCAGTGGATTCGGGCAGCATCTCGCCCGTGAGCGGCTCCATCAAATCGTTCAGGCAGCCTGCCTGCGGTGCCTCGGCAAGGCACAAGGAGCTATGCAAACACCGCGACTCGGTCCAGCCGCGGTGTGGGGCAGCCAAAAAGAGTCGCCTCGCGCTGCCTGCGTGCTTCAGGGCTGGAGTTTCTAGTGCCTTACATGCCGCTGGCAGACCAGCTTTAATTTTTCAGCTGGCACGAGCCGAGGTGACCCGGCGGAGATTGCGCGCCGGCACGGGCCGGCCGCACCGCGCACGATCGTCCCGGCACTATAGAGTGGCCGGGCAGCCCGGGACGGCTGCGCGATGGCCGCCAGTCTCACCACAAGACCAAGGCCACCCGTTCGATGGCTGGCGGCGCTGCTCGCCCTCGCACATGTTAAAGCCGACTGCGCCTCCTGTTTTGTAGAGCCGGTCCACGCCGGCGCCACCAGCGCAGCATTGATCGTAGGCGACGCCATCACGGACAGTTTTTATCCCGAGGTCGACGCTCTGTTGGATGACACGCCGCCGGACGCGGCCCAGTGCACGGCCGCCGAGGGCGGCGCGGGGGTGGTCACGACGCGCCGCGGGTCGCTGACCGCCACTACATTATTACGACCGTGCGCTTCTGATCTACTTAATTGCGTCGACAGCGCGCTGAGCACGTTCCCGAACGCGTCGTCCGTAGTCAAGGTGGTGCACTTCAACTGGGGCTGGGAGCAGTTCGAGGACTATTCCATAAATCTGGCGAACTACGAGGCCGAGATCGGGGACCTCTACGCGAAGCTGCAAACCGCGTTCCCTTCAGCCATATTCGTCTGGGCCACCACAACACCCATCAAGGGCGACGCTAGTATTGAGGCGATGAACGAGAGAGCGTTGGCCGCGCTGCCGAGCGACGTCAAAGTCCACGACCTCCACGCGTCCATCCTAGACTACTGCGAAAAGGAAGGATCGGAAACGTGTTCGCTCCACGAGCCCGCGGGACCCTTGACGCCGTCGGGACGGCGCTACGCCGCCGTCGCCGTCTCATCATACATCGCCAAACTCATTCCCGGCGTCGCGACCGAGGGCCTCCGCCACAGCACGCAGGAGGGCGACGCGACGCGATTTCGACCCTGGGAGACCGCTATGATGATTCAAGGGCTCTGCGTCATGTGTCTTGGCATCCTGGTCTCGTGTGCCTTCGCTTATTTATGGTACTTCGAGCGCAGCGACGCGGTGACCAATAGCTGGCGGCGCGACGACGACGAGGCCATGCCGCCGCCCGTCGAGATCGCCTCGGTCCAGATGTCGGCGCTGGGCACGATGGCCTCGACGCCGCCGGCGACGCCGCCGCGCCAACCGCTGCAACGGACGCCCTCGCCGGCCGCGCCCATGCGCACGCCCGACTCCATGCTCTGATCTGGTAACGTTGTGTTTTTCGAAACAGCAATACTTAGCAAATCTACGCCTTGATGTCGAGCTTGTCCATCTTCGTGAAGCGCTTCTGCGCCGAGTACTCGAGCGCGAGCGTGCGCTTCATCTTCCCAGCCTTCTCGAGCGACGGGCCGAGCTTGGCGATGGCGCCGCCGCCGACGATGGCCGCGATGCCCGCGAGCGGCAATAAGCCGAGCGCGACGCCCTCGACCTCCTCGACGAAGCTCACGTCGGCGAGCGCGGCGGCCGGCGCGAGCGCGGCGGCGGCGGCGGCGACGGCGGGCGCGACCTTGATTTGTGGGCGCGTTTTCGGCGCGGAGAGCGCCGCGGCGCCCGCGACGAGCGCGAGGAGGACCCTTCGCAGCATCTTTTTTTTTACCTGTGTGGCACAAGAGGTGCTATTCGTGCGCGTGTCGACCTCGACGCGGCGTCGAGTTGTCTCGGTGCGATTCCTGAGGCCGCTGCGCAGTGCCGGGCCGGCGGTAGCGCGTCTCGGCGCTCCCACAAACGATCGCGAGGCACCATAGCGCTTGGCCGCAGCCTTTTAGCCCGGCTTATGCAGCAGATGCATGAAGCTCGGTTATTAGGGCTCGCCAGCAGCTGAAATTCTCGCTGTGACCTCTCAGCGCATACATGTGACTTAAGAAGTGCCGTCCGTGTCAAGAAAGTTTGCAAATGCTCCGTTTTATACCGCTTTTAGCCCTGTTGACGCAAGAGGCCGCTTCCTAGTGGTCGTACACCGCTAGCTACGATGTTGATTGAGAGCTAGTGGCAGCCAGGCTCGCTCCTAGGGGCGGTCTGGAGCGACTTCACAGGGTAGTGTCAGTCACCCTAGGGCCTGGACCTAGGTATGCTGGACCGGTGGGCTAGGCCCAGGGCTGCCGGACGGGAAGAGTCTGTCCCCTAAAAGTACGACGCCTGGAAGGGCCCCTCCGACGATCCGACGAGGTCCCCAAAAAAATATATCGCGCGCCGCGCGCCGCCCACTAATTCTAGGACCGTGACAATATTCATCACGGGTGGGGGACCCCGCGACGTAACTAGCCTGAGCCTGAGGTCGAGGACAACTCGCCTACGGACCCGCCCTCTTGCACCCAGAGGGAGGGAGTGAGGAGTCTATTTACAAAGCCACTGCCGCGCCCACGCTTCGCGTCGTCGCCCGCGCCCCGCGCCGGGCCGACGGGTTGTCGCGCAGGTTGTGCGGCTTCAGCGCGCCGCCCGTGCCGGCCGACGCGTCGGCGTTGGGCGTGTTCAAAGCGCTGAGCGCCGGCCAGTCAAACGGCGTCGTCCGCACCTTCTCGAACACGAAGTCGGGGTAGCCACCGACGCAAGCCCCGCCGTGAGGTCGGCTCCGGCGTCGCTTCGACGAGCACATGCACCGCTTTTCGTGCGTTGGCACGGCGTAGGCGTAGGCGTGGACTCGGCCCCGGCGTCAGCGCGGTCTGGCATCGGTCAAAGTGTCGGTCCAGGCCTAGGGATTCCGTGTAGGCGTAGGCGCAGGCGAGGGCGACATGGGCAAAGGCGAGGGCGTCGATTTCAGGCGCAGGTCCCGGCCAGACCAAGGGTTCGTGCAGAAATCACAATGTGTCAGGTGGGGCAGTTTTCAGCCCTTCTCACGCGACGCGCGCAGCTACACGACTCCATGGGCAACCTACGGGTCCACGGCGTCCTCGGCTACGGCAGCAAGCATGCCTTGTGGCTCTGGTCCGCGCCGTCGCCGACGTTCGAGCAAATGATGCATGGGCCCTCGTCGGCGCCCGAGGCTGTCCGGCGCGTCCGCCACGGTGGCTGGCGACGTAGGGAGGCAGTCGGAGGACTCGCGCCGGCCTCCTCTGGCTCCTGGCTTGTGCTGTAGCAAAACGGCGGCATTCGAGAGCATGAAGGATGAACCCAATCGACGCCCGAGGATGCGTAGCTCGTCCGCCGCGGTGGAGCGGACGTCTGCCGGTTGGCGCGGTGATCGATGGGCTCCGACGCCGGCGCCGGCCGCCGCAGATTGCGGCAAATCGCTGTAATCTCGCTTGACAGCTCTCCCAAAAACCCGGCAAAGATATGAAAACGCTCCGCTCAGATTCCCGCGCTGCGGCTGCAGTATAAGCGCAGCCAAGGCAGCTGTTTGAAGACAAACCAAGGTGTGAAACCCGCGTCGAAATCTAGAGTCTTACCGCCGCTAGCTTTACGCCCGGTAGAAAGTTCGGGTCTGATCAAACGCCCTTGCGGCCAACACACGCGCTGCGACTCGTAAAGTGGCCTCGGATCTGGTGCTGACTGCCTATTAGTAGGGCGCAAGCCTTATGGCGTGCCGGCGCGTGGCCTCGCGGCCCCGCGCTGCGCCCAAATGTCCATCACCACCATCACTCTGGCCGAGCGTTTTGTGCGCGCTGGCTCTTGCGGCAACCGCTTCGCAGCGATGCCGCAGTCCCGCCACGCACGCTTCGCCGGTGCGCGCCTCGCAGCTCCTCGGCCGGCCGTCGCCGGAGAATACGAGCGCCGCCGCGAGCGCCGACACTTTTTTTTGTTTCAAGGCATCATCATCAACGACATCGCGCCGACCTCGTGCTCGCCGACGCCGAGGCTCTTCGTGCTCACGCCGTTCTTCTACTGCTGGAGACGCGCGCGCCGACGCCTGCGGCGCCATGACGCTCAAGGATATCAAAAAGCAGCTCCTCACTTTGTGCACGGTCCAGGCCGTCAATCTTCACGGAGGTCGCTTCGCGAAGTGCGTGGAGAAGTGTGTCAAGAAATTGTTTAGCCTCAATAAACGCTTAGACGTCGTCAAGTTCGACAGGAGCATTTGGAGCTACTACTTCCACGGAAGAACGGACTGGGAGCTCCGTGGTGTCGCCCGAGCATTGCGTTCGCTCGGCGTCTACACCGTGACGCTCATAGACGGCTTTGGTCAAACCATAGTGAAAGTGCGCCACACGGGCAAGTTCGTGAGGTTCCGCGTGAACCCGCTCTGTATCTGCTGCGCGTGGCTCGGCCGCAACCACGCCGCGGTCCTCGCCCTGGGACTCTACGTGCCGGACGATTTGTACGATTTGGCGGCGCGCGTCCGCGAGGACGCCGCTTTAGTCGCTTCGCAGTCCAAGCCGCAGGAGGCCGACTACGAGGCGTACAAGAACGCCGGTTTCTGCGTTGTAAGGGAGGGCGACGTCGGAGCTCTCCTCGACGCCGTGCAGCAGAAACTAGGTTCGGGCACCGTTCTGGCTGGCGTAGGCGACGCCGACGCCGCTGGTAGCCTGATGGAGTTGTTACTACCCGACCTGGACGTGGCGGACCTCACGAACGACGGCGACGCCGGGCTCGTCAACTCGTACATCACGCACGAGCGAAATCTGGGGCGGTTCGCCGTGTACGACACGCGCTTCGAGGACGACCAGCGGAGGAAGATGCTCTGGACGGCGCTCAACTTGTGCGGCGAGGGCGACTGCATGGTCCGCGACGTCCTCAGCAGGACGACTCAACGCGACTCGGTTCGCTTCACGGCGATCTCGGGCCGCATCGACTCGGGCCGCATCACGACCCTCGACCAGCTGTTCGCCGAGGTCGGCGCGAGCCGCGACCAGCGCCTGCACGTCATCTACGCGCTGACGACCTACGTCAACGGCGTGTGGTGCGTCGACGGCACCCCCAAGCCGTTGCGGATCCTCGCCACGGCCGAGCAGTACGCGCGGTCGTCGCTGACGCGGAACCGCGTGGCGGTGCGGCGCGCCGTCCTCGCTAGCAGCGCCGATTCCAAGCTCGTCGAGGCGGTGTTCGAAGCCGCCTTCAGCACGGCGCGCGGCTACTACGGCGTCAAGGACGTCGCCGCGGCGCTCATGGAAATCTCGCAAGGTGCGACGAAGGTGCATGTGCTCGATCGCCGCGAGGCGGTGCTCAAGGACGTCGATGAGGCGTTCGATGATGCGACGGCCGTTTTAGCTACGAGCGCTTTGGCGGAGAACTTCGGCGAGGCGGAGCTCCAGGGGTTGCTGGCCGAGGTCTACAAAGACAAGGCCTGGCTGGCGCTGACAAATGATAGTGTGTTCTTCCCGCCGTCCCGCGAGGAGGTCGACTGCCGGGGGGCGGAGGTAGCCTTCGCCGCCCTGAAGAAAAAAGCTGATGACGTGAAATCGCGCCTGGAGCTCTTCTACCGCCTGATATCACGTGCAGAGCAGGCTGTGTCGCACGCCGGCGAGGCTTCGCGGCGGGCCATCGACGCTCTAGACAGATTGGCTGCCGGCTCCTCCGTCCTGGACGCCGCCATCGCGGCTGCTACGAGCCACATCGACTCCATTGATGCGGCGGTGGTGGGTCGCGCGGCGTCGGCCTTTAATTTAGCTGTGGAAGCGTGGAAGCAGAACAACGTCGAGGGCGTCACGGCGCAGATCGATGCCTTGAAAGCGGCGGTGGATCCCGCGCTTGTCATGGGATTGCAGGGGTGCGCCGTCCGGTTGCACTCTGCGGTGGTAGATGCGACGTGGGCGTCGCAGCAACGTGTGCCGGAGGTTACGCGCTCCACCCTCGAAGCGCTCTCTGCGCATGGTTCATTATCGGCTTCGTTAAGGGACCACCTCAAGACATTCTTCGACCAGTGCGCCGCCGAGACGGACCTGGACCGCTTCCTGGGCGTGTTGAATGAAGAGCTCGCCGGCGGTCTGCGGTGGGGTACGCTACACGCCATCGAGCGAGCGGCCGGCGTGGCGTCCACAGCATTAGGTCGCGCGTCCAGTGTACGGCGCATCGTCGACGGCGTGATCGACCGGGTTAGGTATTTCGAGAAGTCGTGTTTTGGCGGTCCCACTGCTTATGTTGCACTGCAGACCCTCCTAGGCTCTGGCGACGCCGCCACGGAAGGGTCGCTGGAGCAACTCATCGTCGAGGACCTAGACACGCTCTCACATGCTTTGGTGCCCATTGTACAGCAGGCCTTGCTCGCCGACGAGCCGTCGGTAGACGAAGTGCTAGAGACTTTTGATAGAACGGTTGCGGATGTTTGGAGAAAGCTAGGCGCCGCTGACACGCCGTCTGCACGCCGGCGTGCTCTAGTGAGCAGAGTGGCAGACATCGCGAGGCGGCCCTATGTAGCCGGAGAAACCGTGCGGCGCCACACCGACGCGTTACGCGCGGCTTTGAGTGGCGATGCTACCGCCCAAGCTACCCTCGCGTCGGTTGATGCACGATGCGGTACTGCTACTGATGCGGCGTCTGTCGAGCTCCGGGGGCGCCTCGTCGCCGCGCTGGGCGCGCTGGCCGGCGGCGCTGACGCCGTCGAGTCGCGGCTCGCCGCCGCGGAGGCGGCGGCAGACCGGGCGTGTCGGGACGTGTGGGCGCTCGTCGCTCGGCTTGCTCGCGTGGCGGACATCGCGGCGCTGCCCGGCGCCGCTCGGGAAGCCGCGCTGCGCTACGCCGACGCGTTACGCGCGACTTTGAGTGGCGATGCGGGCGCTGAAGCCCTCCTCGTGTCGGTTGTTGGACGATGCGGTGCTGCTACTGATGCGGCGTCCGACGAGCTCCGAGGGGCCCTCGTCGCCGCGCTGGACGCGTTGGCTCGCGGCGCGGATGACGTCGAGTCGCGGCTCGCCGCCGCGGAGGCGGCCGCGGCCGCGGCGTGTCGGGACGTGGGGGCGCTCGGCTCTCAGCTCGAGCGCGTGGCGGGCATTGCGAGGCGGCCCTACGTAGCCCGAGGAGCAGTGCGGCGCGAGGCCGACGCATTACGCGTGGCTTTGAGGGGCGATGCTGGCGCCTTAGCCGTCCTCGCGTCAGTTGTTGGGCGATGCGATTCTGCTACTGATGCGGCGTCCGACGCGCTCCAAGGGGCCCTCGTCGCCGCGCTGGGCGCGCTGGCCCGCGGCGCGGAGGACGTCGAGTTGCGGCTCGCCGCCGCGGAGGCGGCCGCGGCCGCGGCGTGTCGGGACGTGGGGGCGCTCGGCGCTCAGCTCAAGCGCGCGGCGGACATCGCGACGCTGCCCTACGTCGCTCAGAAAGCCGTGCGGCGCGACGCTGACGCGTTGCGCGTGGCTTTGAGGGATGATGCTGGCGCCCTAGCTGTCCTCCGGTCGGTCGTTGCACAATGCGGTACTGCTACTCATGCGGCGTCCGTCGCGCTCCGGGGGCCCCTTGGCGCCGTGCTGGGCGCGCTGGCCGGCGGCGCGGAGAACGTCGAGTCGCGGCTCGCCGCCGCGGATGAGGCGTGTCGGGGCGCGCTAGCGCCAGTCGACCTGCTCGCTCGCGTGGCGTCGGCCTTAGACCGGGCCCGCGCGGCTTCCGGAGCGCGCACCGCTTTACCCGCGGAATTTTCCGACCTTAGAAATGACCTCATCGCGGCTTCTGATGCTGCATCGACCACGGTTCCGACGCACGCCCTGGCTGCTCTGAGAGCGATCGCCGCCAACGACGCGGCCGTGGCCGAGACGGAACTACTCGCAGCGGAGAGAGCGGTGGACTCGAAGCTACGCGCGGCGGCGGCGTTTTGGACGGCTGAGGCGAAGCGGCGCGCTGCGGCGGGGCCGGAGGTGTCCGCTCTCCTAGAGCCAGCCGCTTTCCTAGAGCAAGTGACGCGGGAGTACGGCGGCTGCGACATTAAGGTCTGCCAGGTCGTCCGCTCGGCCGTCGAGGGGCTGGCCCAGAAGGACGCCGCCGTCGTGACGGGTCGGGGTTGGGTCGAACATTTGGACGACGCCGGCTTCCGAGACCTGCCGAGGTCCGTCCTCTGCGTGTTCCGCGAGCTCGAGTCCGTCTGCCACGAGAAGGCGCGCCAGTGGGTGCCGGCCCTCGTAAGGAAGGCCACGGCGGCGCTCGCCTACCTCGACGCGCGCGAGGGCGGCGCGGACCCGCGCGCGGCCGAGGCCGCCGCCCAGGCCGTCGCGGAGGAGCTGCCGCGGTCGAACCGCGAGATAGCACGGAACTCGCGCGTCGAGACGCCCGTCGAGGAGAATCTTCGCTTGCTCAAGCGCGCGCTCGCCGAGGGCCTACGAAAGAAGGAGCCGAAGGCCGATGGCACCGCCAAGGCGCAAGGATGGGGGGAAAACCTGTCAAGGCCCGAGCGTCGCGAAGCGCTCCGGGCGTTGGGGAAGTCATCGCCTGAGATCCTCAAGGAGCTCGCGTGCCTGCAAATGTGCAAACGGGCGTTCGGAACTGAGTTGAAACCGGGGTTTGGCCCGAGGCTCCGCGAGGCGGCCTTCTCGGTGCTCGAGGAATTGGACGCCGCGGCCGCAAACGCGCTCGTGCGCCCGCCGGAGCTGATACAGTCCGAGTCCGCGCCGGCGGTCGCCTCGAAGTCGGTTCGTAAATCGAAGCGGCAGAGGGTCCTGCGCGACCCCAACGTCGACGCGCAGGGCTGAGTGGCAGCTGCTGCACGCCGGGGTAAGAGTGTCGTGTGAAGTTGAAAATTCAAGATATTGTTGGTTTATTGTTACGGTGCTAGAACTAGTGGGCGGAGTCCCTTGGGGGGGCACGCTAGCTAGCGGATAGCAGCAGCAGCAGCACCCGTGCCCTCGCGCGGGCGCGGCCGGTGTCGGCGCCGACACCGCGGCCAACGCCTCCCATGACGCCGCAGCCGACGCCGTGCACACAGGCCGCGGCGCTGCGCGCGAAGCTGGACCGCGTAGCCCAAGCCAACACCGCGGAGGTGCGCGCGCGCGACGCCGAGATCGCGAGCCCGCACGCTTACGAGCTTTGGCAGCCAGGCTCGCGCCAGGAGTGGTCCGGAGCGAGTTCACAGGATAGTAACACGCTAGGGCCAGGTATGAAGGACCGGTGTTGATCGACGGCGGACGCGCGGCGCCCGAGCCCACGAGTCCTACCACCGGAACGCCGTCGACGCGAGAAGGAGACTAGTATCACGTAGAGTTAAACACAATAGACCTACTTCGCCGTCTTCGCCTTCTTCGGCGGAGAGACGAAGTCGCTGATGCCGAGGAACTTCTTGCAGACCTCTTTATTGGAGCGGTAGCGCTTGCCGTCCGACGAGTGGAAGTAGTAGTCGATGCCGCCTTCCGTGTTGCCCTCCATGCGCTGCTTGCAGGTGACGGTAATTTCCCGCTCGACCTTGTCGGCGTCGCCACCATTGGCCTTGACGAACTCGATCAGCTTGAGCTTTCGTTCCGCACATTTGTCCGCGTTGTCGCCCGTCGACAAGCGAGGCTTCTTCTTCGTTTCGCGGTGGAGTCTTTGCTCGAACAACCACCGGATGTATTTCCGGGCCTCGTCTCGGTCGGCATCCGTCACGCCGAGCGGATCCGCGTCGTCGGGCACGTAGGGCTCCACCGGTGTACTATACAGACTCTCGTAGGGCGGTCGCAATTCCACGGCATTCCTCGTCGCCATCAACGCGTCCTTCACAGACTGATCTTCGATGTGGATGAAACCCTTGATGATGTCGTTGGCTAAGTCACCCCTCGAACCGCCGAGATCCAGGACCATCTGCAATGACGTGGCGCACTTGTACCTATCGTACCTAGCCGCGGACGTGCCCCTCTTGGGGTTTTCTTGTTGTAAAGTGCAGCGCGCGCGCATGTGCTCCGGGCTGAACTTCATTTGTGCCTTCTTGCTGTTGTTTTTTGCGTCGCGGCGGCGGCGTCTAGCTGCGGTTTCGCGCGCGCGCGGCTGGAGTCAAATATCAGTCGCTGCGGCGTACGCGTGGAAAATCGCTGCAGTTACGGCTCTGTGACAGTGAGGAGAGATGCCCTGTGTCCGCGCGTCGCGTGCGGGCTCGTATTTGCAGAGTTTGGCTCGACCAAAATGCCCACAAAACCCGAATTCAAATCGTGTCGTGTTTCCGGCCAATCCATGCGTATGAAGCTTGCCGATGAGTCGTCCAGAAGCCATCCAGACAAATGGAGGGATGATACGTGCTCGAGATTCGGGCCGATCACTCGACGCTGCCGCGCTTGAGCAGCTTGGTTACACGTGTAGGAACGCGCTGGGGACGCGAGCAGCGATTCACAAACACCACAGGACTCGTGTGCGCCACTGTCGCCATCGGTGCGTCGTGAGGCGCCCTAAAACACCGCTATGATGTCATATTGCAAATTGCTGCTGCTTTGGGCAGCAGCGGCACGCCCCGTCGCGGCATGTAGGTTCATCGCCTACTGCGGCAACCGCACGGTCGACGCGCGAAAACTACTCTTGGACGGCGAGAACAATTTACTCGCCCTAGCGACGAGCCGACCGCTCCTCCCAGCTCTCTCGCTGTCGAGGCACTACGACGAGGCACAAGTACCACTAAGGAACGTGGAGAAGAACCTGGATGGCTACGGCGTGTCCTGGTACGAAGAAGGCGAGTCCTTTCCTCGCAGAGTCAGAAGTGCCAATCCGATCATCAAGGATAATGTGTCGGATGCGACCTTCCAGAATTTGTTGGATGGGCGGGCCGCTGTGTGGAAATCGACCAGTGAGTTAGGTTATTTGCGGAGACCTTCGTGAACCTCCACGCCATCGAACCGGCGCGGTCGCGTCGACAATGTCGCGTCGATGGCTGAAAACCACGCTATCGAGCAGACAGCTACGGAGACAACATCGCGTCGATGGCGTAGGGCGCCCGAAATTTGATTTCCACACAGGCGCGCCGTGCCCATGCTGTTCCGGGCTTCATTAGATGTTTGTGTGGAAGAGCCGCAGCCACCTTCACAAGTAGCTCTTGAATCTAGAGCCGTCTTCGCGCACGTAAGGGCCGCATCCCCCAATTCGACGCAGAAGGAGACCAATTCGCACCCGTTCGCATTTCATACGTTAACATGGCTCCACAATGGTCATGTTTGGGGTTTTGAAAAGTTTCGGGAGCAGCTCATCGCGAAGCTTCCCAGGAAATTGCTGCCGTTGGTCGCCGGCGACACTGATAGTGAACTGGCCGGTGCTGTGTTTGCGTCGCATCTCGCGGGGTTTCCTTATCGGAAGACGTATGATTTGGTCGCGTTGCGGGCGGCGATGCTCGCGACGGTGGCGAATCTGCGGGAGCGCTCGTTGCGGGTCCACGAGAGCGAGGGTTCCGATCTGTGTGGAAATCAACCAGTGCGTCGGGCGCACCGGCATCACCACGTCATCGAGCAGGCGTCGCGTCGATGGCGTGGAGGTCGACGCGAACGATTCAGCACGAACGATTCCACACAGGTTCCGATGTCTGCCCCGACATGCCGCCCTCATCTCTAAACTTCGCTGTTTCAGATGGTACATCCCTGGTCGTTATAAGGTTCCGGTCCTCGATGAGCGAGGACCCGCCCACGCTCTACTACCGGATTGTACCAGAGGGCGTGATCGTCGCCTCGGAGCCGTCGTCTTCAGACGCCGAAACGCTCAGGGAGTGGACGCTGCTCGGCAAAAATAGGATGCTCTCTTATAGTCCCTCGACGGGCGTCCACGTCGAGTGCGTCTGCCCGCACAGCTGCGACGACGACGTGTCGGCGGCGGCGCACTTTTCCGGGCGGTCCGAGGCTGACGCCGTTGTTGGCAAGGGCCTGGTTTGGTACGCCGCCGCCACGGTCCTGGCGTTCCTGCTGGGCCGGCGGTGGCCTGCTCGGTCTTTATCTGAGGAACTGGCGCTTTCTGTCGTCACCGTGTTGTTAGCCTGGTGGTGCCTGACCACTCCTCCATGGTGAGGCCGTTCCCAGTGTAATTATGTGTGAAATTGAACCCCGGATCGCCGTGGGGGCGCGTCGACAGCGTTTAGCTAGCGGTCTAAGACACTAGCAAGTACCTCAGGCCACGCTGGCGGCCTTGTAGCGGTGCGTAGAGTCCACCAGAGTTGGCTCCAGTGCGCAAGGATCGTCTACGTGTGGCTGGTCGACGGGTAGGCTAACCTCCGTAGCTCGGGAGACAGCGTACGTGACACTGCACACTGTATGACCAACGCAGCACTCGTGCCGCTAGATCTCGAGGACGGAGTCGTAGGCTACGACGCAGTCCTAGCAGAGATCAAGTGATACGCGACGTCTGAAGGCACCTACGCGCTCCCATACGTGTCGGGCATCTTTTGTATTTTACCAGCAGCGGCGATACTATGGTGGCGACTCGTATCATCTTAGCGCTGGCGCTGGCGCAAACTTCGGCGCTCGTCCCACCAGCAAGGCGCGTCGCGACGACGCTCGCCGCCACACAGACTGATTGCGGCTGCGAGGTCATGACCGGGGACGTCCCGACCAAGGCGCAGACGATGCGCCATCGATCGGTGGTCAGCGACCTGCCCCTCCTCACGACCGACGGCACGCGAACGACGCTCAAGACTTCGATACCGGAGCGCGTCGCCGTCGTCGCGTTCCTGCGGAGTTTTGGGTGACCCTTCTGCCAGGAGCTCCTCGTCCAGCTGGAGAGGCGGCGCTCGGAGCTCGAGAAGGAGGGCGTGGGCCTCTACGCCGTGGGCATCGGCACCTCTGAGAAGGCGCGACTTGTGGCTGACCACGTCGGCTACTCCCCTTCGAAGTTACTGGCGGACCCGGACAATTTGTTGTACGACGCCCTTTCCTTGAATGCGGGTTTGCAAAGAACTTTTTTCAATCCATCCACACCCTACGCCATCTTGGATCGACTCACATCAAATAAAATGGGCGATTTGAATGACGTGCTCGGCAAGTGGGGAGACGCGTTCATCATTCCGCCCAAGCAGAGCCAAGCGTTGAACCAAGGGGGCTTGTTCGTTTTTGACGGCGAGGACAGCGCGTTCGTCCACTACGACGCGTCGACGGGCGCGCACGGCGATCTCGACCAGGCCGTCGCCGTCGCGCTCGCTCGAGCCTGAATACTCGGTTGCGCGTGTTCGTGACGCGCCAAGTTCCCTCGTACTGCGGGGCTTGGCGCCGACTTCATACGCGCGCCGGGGGCGTTTGTTAAATGTTTATCCTCCTACTGCCTGCGCGGCGCGCTCGCGCGAAACTGCAGCCAAGCACAGTACCCCTGCTCGACGAAGTCTGGACCAGTAGCCTCGGGCGACGACTGCGACCAGGAATATTTGATGTCTCTTGATCGTCACGACACCCGCGCACGCTTACTTTCATTTGAGGGGCGACAGGCAAAAACTGCTCCTGCCGCATTTCCTCAGCCTATACATTGATATAGCTCGGAAAAGCAGACGCCACCGGAACTCCGTTTCGCTGCGCTCCTCGTCGTGCAAAAAAATCGCTGGTCGCAGCTCCTCCGCAGCTGTAAACACAGCAAGTTTCTGCAGCAGCTACAGCAAAGCTGCAGCGTTCCTAGGCTCCGGACACGAGTTCCGCAGCGCCGCCACTACGTCGCAGACAGCCCGGCGAAGCTAAGCCACGATGATGCGCGCCGCCCGCCGCACCTTCAGCGAGATGAAGCCGCGCACGCGATTCGCAGCGCATAAATCAAATGTCGCATCCGCACGCCATCGCCGCGGCGCCTGCACGACGGCGTGGCGGCGCAGCGCCCTGACCTCATAGCGACTCACACAGGCGCTTCGTCATCAAGACCTTCAACAAGATCAGCCCGCAGGGCTTGGAGCGCTTTAGACCGGAAATGTACCGCATTAAACCGGGCGAGGACCAGCCTCCGGTAGCACATGCCATCATGCTCCGCTCCCACAAGATCCAAGATAGCGACGTCCCGTTGACGTGCCGAGCCATCGTGCGGTGCGGCGCGGGCACGAACAATTGCAACGTGCCGCGGATGACGGAGCTCGGGATTCCCGTCTTTAATACTCCTGGGGCCAATGCCAACGCGGTGAAAGAGTTGGTGCTTTGTGGGTTGCTCATGGCTTCTAGAGGTATTTATGAGGGTGCCAGTCACATGACGAAGTTACATGCCGAAGGCACGGCCCACGAGCGCATCGAGAAGGACAAGGCCATGTTCGGGGGGCGCGAGTTGACGGGCAAGACGCTCGGGGTCGTCGGTCTCGGCGCCATCGGTGCGGCCGTGGCGCATTCCGCCATCGCCCTCGGCATGAATGTCGTAGGGTACGACCCCGGGTTGTCCGTCGAAGCGGCTCTCAGACTACCTTCCGGCGACATGGAGATGGCGTCTTTGGAAGACCTCGTCGAGCAGAGCGACTACGTGACGCTACACGCTCCTTACATCAAAGATGTCACTCATCATTTGATCAACGCCGAGTTGTTGGCGAAGATGAAGCCCGATGCTAGTCTCTTAAACTTCGCGCGAGGCGAGTTAGTAGATGAAGCGGCTCTCAACGAGCGCTACGAGGATGGTGGCGGTGGTAGGTACATCACGGACTTCGCCGTTTCGGACGAGTTGTACCCGAGACCGAACGTCATCTCCATCCCGCACTTGGGAGCGTCCACGGAGGAGGCCGAGGCGAACGCGGCCGCGATGGCCGCCGACACGGTCCAGCTCTACCTCGAGACGGGCACGATCAAGGACAGCGTCAACTTCCCGGCCTGCTCCTTACCGGCGCGCGACGAGGAACATGTCCACCGCTGCACCGTGATCACGGAGAATCGGCCGGGCATGCTCGGTGACTTGATGAGCGTCTTCGGCGACGCTAATCTCAATGTGGTGCAACAAATAAACACCTCCAAAGGAGAACTCGCGTACAACGTGATTGATCTGGAACTTCCTAGAACGGCAGATGGGAAGGTCGACGTCGGTGAATTCGGCACCGGCGACTTTGATAAGTTGCAGGCCAAGATCATGGAGGTGTCCGGGGTGAAGTCGACGCGGTTCATTTCGGACTGGTGCCCGGGGACGGGCTACGCCGTCAAGGTCGATGATCAGATCATCGGCATTGGCGTGGATTCGCCCGAGCAGGCGTCGTACGCGGAGCTCTGAACAAACTATCGCCTGGGCAAGTCCAAGTCCCCTCGAAGGCGATATCGTATCGATTAACTAGTGTCTATTAAACTATCTCGACCTCGTCGTCGTCGTCCGTCCGCTGGCGTTTCTGGGGCTTGCGGAAGATGTCGAAGAGGGGCTTGTTCGTATTTCCGGCGGCGGCGTCCTTCGTGAACTTCGCCTTCGGGCGCGGCGCGAGCATGCACTGCCGCGGGTTGTTGAAGGGCCGGAGGCGCTTCTGCTCGCGTGTTTGCTCGAAGTCGACGATCTTTTCGAGAACCTATGTGGAAATCAACCAGTGAGCCTCGTGAGAGCAGATGCGGTGACGGGAATTACGTCGCGTCGATGGCGTAGCGTCGCGTCGATGGCGTAGAACCTCCACGCCATCGAGCAGATGCCGCGATGGAGACACCATCGCGTCGATGGCGTAGGGCGCCCGAAATTTGATTTCCACACAGATCGTCGCCTCGCCCGGCGCGAAATTATCGGGTAAGGCGGCCTTCGCCGCGGCGCACGCGTCCTTCGCGTTCTGGATGTCCTCGAGTAGTGCTCTGGCCGATTCATACGCTTGCTGCGCCGCTGCCTTCTCCGCGGCGCGCTGCCGACGGACCTCGTCCTTCCACTCGCTAAGGGCGCGGTGGAACTTGTTCCTTGCTCTCAACACCTTCAGCCGCGCGCCGACGTCCAACCTTCGTTGGAGGCGCTCGCACGGCGCCACAGTATAAAACGTCTGCGGCTGACCTAGAGACTGAAGAGCGATCGCCGCGCAAGGTCCTAGAGTTGGACGAGGGACCCAGAAGTAGCGCGAGGAAGCTTGTAGACAAGCGAGGGACGCGCCGTCCAAACAGGGCCCAAGATGAGCCAGAAACAGGTCGTCCGGCAGTAGAGGACACGGTCTCTCGGTCGCAGCAAGGCGCCACTTCGCCAAACAAACGCGGGCCTCGCGCATGGATCTCTCAGGTAAACCCATGGATCCGACTTGTGACGCCTGGGCGGCCTGGGCCCAGGCGTCCTCCGCGTCGTCGTCCAGAACGTGTCGCCGTCGCGCCTGTTTCCGGCCGTTCCGCGCCGCGATCATACGACGGTCTTCACCGGAGTCGAAGGGGTGGGCACACGGCTGGTTGTCGCGTTCCCACTCTCGTACCTGATCCTTGGGTCCTGCTAACCGCCACGCCCTTAATTCAAGTGCGCCAGATAAAGCTTGTATGGGCGGCACGTGGCCCTTCCACACGTCATCTAAGAGCGCTCTCGTGTAGTCCGCGGCGAGCTCGTCGTTCCAGACGCTCGTCAGGTAGAGGCCGTCGATCAGACCATTCATATTTGATTGGGCACGCTTCTTCTTCTTCCGCGGCGGCGCGATCTGCGTTGGTCGCGGCGGCCTCGCGGGCGCGAGGCCGAAACCCGCCGTCGCGGCCCGCCTTTGTGCCGCGCCCGACACGGGCCTTGGCGGCAAAGCATTAGGCGCGCGCGGCGCCGCGAGGCCGAATCCATTGGATGCGGCCCGCCTTTGTGCTGCGCCCGACGCGGGCCTTGGCGGCGGCGGCGGCGCCCGCGGCCGCGCTTTTGATGGAGGCGGCGCGCCGGGCGACTCGACGCGCGGCGCGGCCGTGGACAGGCGCCGTCTTAATGATGCGGCCTCCAGCACCGCGGCGTCTCTAGCACTACTCGTCGCCGCGAGGTCCCTTCTTAGGGTCTCGACGTCGCGGCGCAGGTGGTGCTTGTCACGCTGCAGCGTCTTGACCTCCGCTAGCAGCGCATCTCGGTGCTGCGTGACGCTTCGCAACTGCTCGGCGGGGTCCATGAGCGGTTTGGTGGCTCTAGCGCTCCAATCTGTCCCGCGTTTTCGCGCGGAGCGCTGCGGCGACACCACTGTGCACTAATGCCGTGGACTGTGGCCACCTTTAGGCTTCGAAGGCTGTGAAATCCGCATACGCGGCTAATTGCGCGCGATTGCTAGCGTGCTGTAAGACACTAGCGAGGCGCTGATTTTTGAGAATTGTGCTGTACAGCGCTGCATACTGCCTAAAACAACGCCAGAGATACCTCGCAGAGACCAGTGTTCACCAGTACTGGGCCTCAGCCAAAAGAAACGCACTCATCGGACGATTAGACGACGTTTTTTGCTCCACGAGTCAAAAGCCTCAACTTTTTTGAACAGCGCGAGCGATGGAAGCCCGCCTCGCAGCCCTCAACCTCTCACACTATGCTGCAGCGCTACGGGGCCACGAGATCGACGACGACATCCTAAAACTGATGACCGTCGCGGACCTGCGCGAGGCGGGCCTCGACCCAACTGCAGCGCAGCGCCTGCACGCGGACGTGTCTGGCGTCGCCGCGCCGCCGGGCCTCGCGCCGCCGCCGGGCTTCAGCGCACCGTCGCCGCGCGCCCTTGCTGCGCTGGGCTTCGACAGTGCCACGTCGCAGAGCGCGCCTATGCCGCTCGCGGACGCGCCGCCGCCGGGCTTCCAGCAACGCGCGACCGGCGCTACGACGTCTCCGTGGGGCAGCCGGGAGTCGTCGCCGCGCGCCGCCGCGGAGGAGCCATGGAGCAGCAGACCGCCTGTTCTCACGCACGCGTCGACGACGTCGGTCGCCCACGACGAGGACGACGACGACGACGACGCCTTCGCGGGTTTCCTGCCGAGCGACCTGCTGGACGACGACGACGACGACGCGGACGCGGCGGTCGTCGCACGGGTCGCGGGCGCCTCCAAGGCCGTGGCGGACCTCGACCCGAAGCTGCGCCTCGCCGTGCAGCTCGTCCTCGCGGTGGCCGTCGTCGAAAGCATCCGTCGCTTGGTGGCGATCGCCGGCGAGGCGTTGGTCGCGCTTGCGCTCGGCGCGGGCTACGTCCTCTACCGCCGGGGCCGGGCGCGGGCCGCGCCGCTGCCGATCGTCTGCGCCGTCCTCGCCGGCAAGGCGCGCTCTGCGGTCGACGACAGCACATTCCACGCTGTGATAGCCCAACTCCTCGCGCTCCTCTGCGCGGCGGCGTGCTGGTGGCTCGCGACGCGGCCGCGCAAGAAGCGGCGGCGCCGCCCGCCGGTCATAAAACAGAAGTCCGCCGACGACTGGAACGTGGCGACGGGCGCCGCGTCGAACGCGCCGAAACGAAAGAAGAAGAAGGGCAAAACACCGCGCGCGAAGACGCCGCGGGCCGTTGCTCCCGCGCCCGAGCCGGCCCCAAAACCGGAGCCGGAGCCCGAGCCCGAGCAACCGGAGCAACCGGAACCCGAAGCAGCGCCGCGCCGCCGGAACCAGCGCTCGCGGCAGGCGCCGGACCCGCGGCTTGCCGCCGCGTTGTTTGGGGGGCGCTAGACTGTCTAATGTGATAAATGTTCGGAAGAATACTTTAGACGGGCGGCACCGATGCGGCGAACGGGTCACCGCCCCGGTCGCCCACCGCTGACAAGAGCGCGGATATGCCGTCGTTCGGCGAGGACGTCTCGGGCGGCGGCGTCGGTACAACAGGCGGCGGCGGCGGCGAAGAGACAGAGCCGTTCTCGGCCCGCGCCGACGGCGCCGGGTCAATATCCATGGCGACGACGTCGGGCCCCAGCGCTTCTCGCGCTTTCTCGGCGGCCCAGGCCGCGGCGACGACGTCCAAGCGCAGCTCCTTGAAGGCGTCGCGGCCCGCGCGCGTCGTGGGTCGTTCACCGATATGCGGCCAGTCCGGTGGCGTCTTCCGGGTCAATAAGTGCGCGTAGGAGCCGGGCGTGTGGTGCACGCCTAATGTTGGAGGCCCCGCGCTTATCGGCACGGGCGACGCCTCGAAGTCGTCCTCGCGGTACTCATCATCAGAATCGTTCTGGAAGGCAACACATTCTACAACGGGCTCGGGCGACGGCGACCGCGGCCGCTTCCGCGGCGGCTCGAGCGCCGCGCGGTCGGCGTCGCGCCGCGCGGCGACGCCCCGACACAGCGCCGCGAACGTTGGATTTGAGGGCACCTCATCAACAGCTCGGGCCGCATCAGCGACGCACTGCGCAGCCGTGATCGCCGCCCGGTACGCGGCGGGCCGCTCATTGACAGGCACGCGCCGCATCAATTCAAAGATGCGCCGCGTGACGTGCGTCGTCGGCAGCGGCCCGCGGTCGAGAATCACGACCCGCGCCGGCGGCGCGCGCGCGGGCCGGCCGCAGCTCTTGCCGTGCTGGATGGCCGCTGGCGGGTGGTCGAAGGTGCGGCCGCAGCCGGCGGGGCAGGGGAAGCGGCCCATTGCGTGCGCGTGTCGCAGTGGAGGCTCTGGCGGTGCGTCGTCGCCGGTGCGTCGTCGGCGTGCCGACACGGGGCAGCGCTCCGGGCCTGGCCGAAAGGGCGCTGCCGGGGGCTTTACAGGGGCTGGCGGCGGCGGAAACGCAGCGGAAACGCAGCACCCCGTGGCGGGTGGACCGATGCGGCCTTGAGGGCAGCCCGGCGTCGGCCGGGGGCGGCGCGCGGCGTAGCGATTTGCGCTGGGCTGGGCTCTCTTGCTTCCAATTCGGGTTCGGGTCTCGCAGGCGAAGTAACGCGACGAGGGCCCTCCCGACCGCTCGCGGACCTCTCCGCGGGACCCGCAGTGACAAAGACGCGTCCGCGATGCCACTATGTATCTTTGGGAAGGAATTCCCCAGGCCTGGGCGGTCGCACCAAAGGGCTAAACTTGCTGCAAAGGGCTGCCCAGCACCCGCGTTCACCGAAGGACGATGTCGCCCGAGGAACTCGACGACGAGATGGAGGCGCTCCAGCCGGCGCGCGCGAACCGCGGCCGCGCCGTCGTCGTGGGAGCCGCTTTGCTGTCCTCTGCGCTGTTCGCCGTGAGCGCCAAGCAATCCACACAAACGCGCGCCCGTATTAATGTGGAGATGGCCCGGAAAGCCGTGCGCGAGCAGCAGGACGTGACCAAGGACCTCTACGTCCCTACAACCGAGGCGGACACGTCCCATTCGTCGGACCCGCGAGTAGACCCTTGCCTGCCCGATTCGTCGGCGCCCATCACGAAGTTTCCTTCATTGATCCAACTCGCGGCGGGCTACAGCGCGGAGGGCGTGCCCTACGGCGGCGTGCTCTTTAGCGACCGCGGGCAGTACGCCGAGCTGCACGGCGGTACTGATTATGACCTCCAGGGCATGCGGACGAACGTCATCGCGAAGTACGACGAGCTCTTGGCCAACTGTCTCACGTCGAAAGGCGCGCGCGCGGCCGACGTCTGCGAGCACGTCTACGACACGCAGTGCGAACTCGACCGGAGCGACGACGAGAAGAAGGGCCAGGTGTCGTGCGTCGAGGATTGCGTGAATTCGCGGTTCGCGCAGTTCGTCGAGAGCGAGGGCATCGTCGAGGACGCGTCGACGTGCGCCTACCCCGTGCTCAGCGGGTTCCTGCTGGCGCCGAACGTCATCAAGAGCTGCATCGACCCGGCCTACGACGCGACGGAGGGGGGGAAGCACGCGTCGTCCATCGCGGGCTGCTACGACTGCGTGACGACGTGCCTGGCCGGGGACCACTTCTCGTTTATCTGCTCAGCTGAGACTCCTAAATACCTGTATTAGATTTTTCGTCGACGACGGCGTGCCGGCTCGGAGAGGTACGTCGATTTCTACTATGAAGTGTGTGTGCGTCGCGGCGGGCCGTCGGCGGCGTGCTGGCTCACATCTAAGAACTGCGACCGGTCTCACACTCACACTTACACCTCCAAACGGGTCTCACACTCACATCTAACACCCTCGCTGCCCCCCTGGCCTGGTTCGGGTCGCGCGAGTCAAACCGCGGCAGCAGAATTTGTTGTGCGCCTAGGCGCGCGTGGGCCGCTCTGGGCGGAGAGCGCCGTGGCGAGTCGCGATGCCGAGGGGACGTGTCCGGGCGACCCCACCTCGAGGGAGAGGCGGATGCGGTCGCGCCCCACTGCGGCAGGTTAATGTATGTGTTACACGAGAAAATACGAATCGAACGACGACCGACCGAGTCGAGAAGAACGAGCGAGTCTTGGCCCGGAGTTCCGCTTCTGAACGACACCGGGTATATCCAATCATCGCGCGTAGGTCCCCGCCCCCACGAAGGCCACGCCGAGCCCCTCGCAGAGCTCGGGCAGGTCCCGGCCGACAGCAAGTAAGGCAGAAAGAGCCATCGTCTGCGACGACGACGACGCGAAGACCGCCGCCGAGCCGCCGGAGGGCGAGCCGTACTTCCCGAGGACCGCGCTGCACCGGCCCGGCGACTGCGAGCAGGCCATGCAGAACGCGTGTTCGTCGCACGACAATAAGTCGGGCTCCGACAGCTTCGGCCGTTTGCTCTTCACGAACGACGCTGCTGGCGGTGCGGCGTCGAAGGTGCCCGCACACACGTCGGGCAAGCGCGCCACGGCCTCCCAGAGGCAGGGCATGAAGTAGGCTTCATCTGTGTTTTCACAGGCGGCGCCGCAGACCTTGCGAGCATTCGCCAATATAGGAAACAAGGACGCCTTATCGGTGGAGAGCATGCTCGCGAATAAGTCGGCCGACGCCCCGAGCTCGCCTTCATGTGAACCGCAGAAGATGTCCGAGTCCATGCTCACGCAGCCGTCCCGCATCGCCGCGTCATCATCAAAATTCGCGCAGTTCGCGAGGTCCAGGGGCACGGGGAGCCGGTTTTCTACGAGGTTTGTTGTGCGGCTTCGCGTTGCTAAGGCGGCGGCACTTACGACGAGCGCGCCGGCCGCAACAATGTATGGTCGTCGTCGCCGGCGCCGTTGCGGTCGTTCCAGGAGGGGCTCCTCCTCGTCTATAAATGGATTCGGCGCCTCGTCGCCGTCGGAGGCGTCGTGGTGCTCCATGGCTGCCTCTTGCCTTTTTACGACGCTGCGCGACTGCGAGGGCTGCCCCCGGTCCTTCTGTGGCTGCCCTGTGTTGCCTCGCGCAGCCCGAAGCGGTCTGGGTTGCGAAGAGCGGGATTTACGCGCGTGCGGAGGCCCTGCTTGGGCACAATGTATCTTGGAATTGCTTAATTCCTCGCCTGCTATTGCCATTTGGCGCCCCGCAATTGCTGCCCGCGGAGTCACCTCGGCTCTCGCCGGGCCACATCGGACGCACGGAGCCTCCTCCGAGCACTGCGCGCGCAGCAGCCGGTCTCGCGCGCCCGTGGAGTTGCCACAGAGGTAGCACAAGCACGATGGACGACGACGGCGCGTACACGCCCATCCCCGACGAGGAGGAGCCCCTTCTAGTACCACAAAAGAGGACACGAAGAGTAAGATACGCCGTCGGCGCCGCCGCTGTGCTCTGTGCGGGCGGCGCCGCCGCGCGCGCCACGACGAGACCGACCGCAGAAAAACTCTTCTCGCTCAGCCAGTGCCCCGCCGCTTTAGCGCAGGACATCGACCCCACTGTGTGTGCCGAGGCCGACGCCGAGCAGTGCGCCCACTTGTGTACGGACGGCGGCAACGACTGCCAGACCCTCTGCGCCGACGCCTGCGACGAGGGCGCGGGCGCCGTCTGCGCGTTGGCGGCCTTTGCTAATCTCGACACGGTCTGCCCTGCTTTAGGATACTGCGCCGGCGAACTTGTAGATGATGTGCAGGCGTGGTTCGCGCCGACGTGGAAAGGCTACCTGGAGACAGCTTTGACGATCAAGGCGGACTACGAACCCGGTTGGGCGCTTATCCCGGACTGGGGGTCGGGCGACGACGACACGGCCATGTCTTGTGACCTGTACGCGTGGTGCACCGTTTGTGCGGGGGCGGACTCGTGCGCGGACGTGGAGACCGTCGCGGCGACGGCGATGCACGACCTCTACAAGCTCGAAAATAGGTGCAAGTCGAGGGACGCCTGCCTGCCGCCGCACACGCACGGCGCGCGGCGATGAGGACCGTAGTAGTTGTACATAACGTAATTCTTCCGCTTGAACTTGTGACCGGGCCCCGTCGCCATCCCTATAGTACGCCGCGGTGACGCACTCGGCCCGGGCTAGCTCAATAAGCGAGAGTCTCTCTCCGAGTCTCTGGTGAAAGGAACATAGCATGATACCACTTAGCCTGCTAGGGCGGCACGTCCTCGTCCTCGTCGGGCGAGTCCTCCTCGGCCTCCTTTATGAGTTCCTGCTCGAGCGCCTCGATGTCGACCTTCAGCGCCGCGATGTCACTATCATTAATTTGCGCCGAGACGTCGCCCCGCTGCCCCTCGAGGTCCTGCAACCTCTGCTTCATCTCCCTTAACATCGTGAAGTTGCGCGTCGGCGGCGTCGCTTTGCTGAGATCTACGGTCCGCTCGAACGGTCTTATCGCAGTGTCTTTGAGGGGCGACTGCGACCGCCGCCAGGTCTTCATCTCGTGGGGCGTCGCCATGTCGCACGACATTTTTTCGTCGTCGCGGTCACAGTCGCGGCGACGTCGCGGTAGTCGTGTCGAATGTCGGCAGCGGTCCGCCCTCCGTTGCGTATGTCTCAAGGTGATGTGCTGCCCACTCGGCTTGGAGTCGTCTAACGCGATCGAGCAGGCGTTCTGGCGGGCTTGCAGAGCGTGGCTTCGACTGCCGAGAGCTTTCGTGTCTCGTGGGCAGCCCTGGTGTCCACAGCAGGCTGGTATTTGCGCTGCTGCGGGCGGCGCTACGCGGCGCTCTCACAGTGCCGGGTTTGGAGTCGCACCTCCACACCTCGCCGCGAGGGAGGTCTACCTCTCCCGCCGCTGCGAGGGGTCGTCCGAGCTTTAGGAGGGGTACTTACCCGAACGCCGCGGCCACGTCCTTCCGCAGCTGCGAGACGATCTTCTCCTCGCTCATCTGCTTCACGATACCTGCCCCCTCGTAGGCGCAGCGCGCCGCGACGATGGCGCCGCCGTCGGCCGAGACGTCGACCCCGCCGGTGCCGGCCTTCGGCGGTGCCGGCGCGTCGTCGCCGTCGTCGTTCCATTTGTCGTCCTTCGCCTTGTCTTTGTCGGCGTAGCCAGAGCCCGATGTCGTGAAGAGGAGGCGCGCGCCACTCTCTCGTCGCGCCAGCTTCACGGGTGTCGTTAATTTCACGGACGCGCCGCCGGCGCCTTCACCGATGATGGCGCGTCGCGCCCACTTCTCGCACCACTCGTCGAGCTCGGCATCCGGGGTGTTTAAGGAGCCAGAGCGCCACAATTCGGCCTCGTAGTCGACCGCTTTGAGTCCTGGGAGGCTGCTAGGCCTGATGCTCTGCGGGGCAAAGGCAGTGGTGCAGACAAGCAGTGGTGCCAGCGACCTAGGCATGGTATGTGGGTGCCAAACGTGTGCGCGCACGGCAGAATAGGCAGCTGTCGCAGTTGTTTGGCCTCTGTCGAGCTAGCGTCCTGTAAGTCTCTAGCACACTCTATGAGTAAGACGAGCTGCCGCACGCTTCCTTAAAGATAGCAGGCTGTGAATAGCTTGTTTGGATAGCTTGGGCCCGAGCCTGACCTGGCAAAGCGACGCAAAAACCATGCCGAGCCCTGGATCTGTCGTGCTCGTCGCCTCTGCCTTGACGGCGCACAGCTGGCTCGCCCCGGTCGCAAGGCGAGCTGGACCGCTGCGCGCGGAGCCCGTGGTCAGCCCCTTCGAGGCCGGTGAAAACAAGGCCGACGCGGCGAGCGAGGCCGCCGCGTCCTTGGGCGAGCTCGAGTTCACGCCCGCGTCGGTGGACGAGGTCCTGAATAGGGTGCGGCCCTACTTGGTTGCCGACGGCGGCGACGTGGCCGTAGTCGAGGTTAAACCAGAAACGAAGGACGTCGTCTTGCGGCTGGAAGGTGCTTGTGGGTCTTGTCCATCCTCAACAACAACGATGAAGATGGGCATCGAGCGCGTATTGCGGGAGCGGTGGCCGGACCTCGGCAGCGTTTCCAGGGACACGGACCCCGAGAACCAGAAGTTCGACGTGGAGACGGTGGAGACCCTGCTGGCGCCGATTTCTGGTGCGGTGACGAAATTGGGTGCTACTTTGACAGTCAAATCGGCTGGTACTGAACCAGGACTGGTGGAGATCCTGTACAAGGGGCCCGAGAACGTCAGGTACGGCGTGGAGCTGTCTCTGTTGGATTCGCCTTTGGTCACGGAGGTGCGGTGGCTGAGCGAGTAATAATATGAATAAAGTTATAGTACACCAATCAAAATCCCGGCCGCCAGCGCGAACGGCTTCAGCGAAACACCCGCGTCGGGCGGGGCTACGGCCCGCCCGCGGTTGCCCGACGCGAACGTCTCCTCCCCTGGTCGTAGCGGCTCCCCCTCGACGACGTCGACGTACGCCGCGTCGCAGTCGAGCCGCAGCACGCCCTTTGTTGTATCCCCGAGGCAGCCCGAGATGCAGTCGTAGCAGTCGCTCGGCACCGGCGCGTCGTAATCAGGGTCGACGCAGGACTTGACGAGCGACGGCGTCGACGTGAAGGCCGACAGCACGGGAAAATAACATGAATCGTGCGTCTCCAACGTATCGAGGACGCGCTGCGACGCGCCGTCGACCGCCAGAAAGTCCTTGAACCGCGACTCGACGCAGGTCTCCACGCAACTTAATTGAGCGTCGGCCTCGTCCGTCACGACCAATGAACAACTCTTTGTGAGGTCGAGCGGGCCCGCGCAGTCGCCGCCAGTCATGCATTTATCCAGTAACTCATCATAGCCTTCCGTGATCCTACCAGTAGGTACGTCGTAGGCTTCATCACCGTGGAGCTCGGGGAACTGGCCGCGGTCCGCCAACAAAATACCGCCGTACGGGAGGCCTAATCTTTGATAGCCGGCCACATTCTGCAGGCCCTCGGGGAAGTCCTCGGTCCCCTCGACGTAGCAGGGGTCGCCCGTCGGCTGGGCCTCCGTCTCTACCACTAGGTTTGTGCGCGTCGTCCGCGCCTGGAGCATCACCCCGGACGAGAGGAGGGCGGCCCCCGCGACGGCGGCGCGGCCGTATCGTGTAGTGCCCCTTGCTACGAGGGGGCGCTGCTCCGTGGGCGTGTCGGCCTCGTCCTCCATCTTGGTGGGGCGGGGCAGCTTGGCTGGCCTCCCTGCGGTCGAGCCAAAGCTTGGAAACAAAGGAAGCTAGTAGCTTTTACGGGATCACGAGCTGACATGCGTCATGGGGCGCGTCGATGGCGTACTGCGCTTCGGATTCGTGGCTGTAACGGACCCCTCTCAGGCCTGAAAACCCGGCAAATCGAGACCGCTGGACTTGTGACACGCTGCAGTTGCACGTAGGCCGGCATAGGGCTGTGCTGTTAGCTCGTACGAGGTAGCAGGAGTACGTATTGACAAGTGCAAAGCGATCTCTCGCTTTTGCACACGCGTCCGGGCCGATAAAGGCTGCTGCAATTGGGAGAGCATCTCTCTTGCACGCGTGCGTGCCGCACAGCACAAATAGCTGCAACGATGCGCCGCCGCAGCCGCGTCTGGCTCGTCGCCGTCGCGCACGCACTCACGCCGCCGGCGGGCCTGCGCAAGCTGACGCGCTCCGTCGCGTCGCCCGAGCTGCTCGACCACAACGACGCCGTCACGTTCCTCCAGGAGACGGGCGTGCCGACGTTTGCCGCTGATGAAGCTTGGCTCGAGCTCGACGACGCCGCGCCGGCTTCGAAGGCCGTGCCCGTCGACGGCGCCGACGCGATCTTGATCGAGCACGCCCTCTCACCTGAAGAGTGCGAACGGTTGATAAACGAAGCGGAGCGCGCGGGTTTTAGTGAATTCGACGCGGGCAAGAACACGCACGCCGCTCTACAAGTTTGCGTCCACGAGGCGCTTGAGGCTGCAGCCTGCGCGAGGATTTCAAGACATGTCCCTCGCGAAGTGGAAACATCGAGATACGCCCACCTCCTGAACCAGCGCTGGCGGTTTTACAGATACGCGGCCGACGGCAAGCAGGAGTTCCGGCCCCACGTCGACGCGGGTTTTCCTCCCTCGAGCGTTGATGGAGACGCGTTGGTCATGGACGCGCACGATGGCAGGTACGAATCGCGGTACTCGGCTCTCTTCTACCTCAACGACGACTTCGACGGCGGCGCGACGCGCTTCTACCTGGCGAATAATACAGAAATCGACGTCAAACCGGCACAGGGCGCTTGCCTACTGATAAAGCAAGCCTTGGAGGGCGAGGAGTGGGAGGTCGCCGACGTCGCCGGCCACGCCGGTACTCAAGTACTCGAAGGGAGGCCGAAGTATGTTATTAGGACGGACTGCATGTATACGACGCAACCCGATCCGAACGCGCACGCTCTTGAGAGGACCCTGCGACCGTTTTCATCAATCTATGATCGCGAGTTCCTCGAGGCATGTAGACCGTTATACTCGGTGCACATGGGCGTCGAGAACGCCGCGTCCCTCTTGTATTCTCTGATACGCTTCGTCAAACCACATTCAGTGGTCGAGGTCGGCGCGGGCTACACGTCGCTGTGGTTGTTGAGAGCTTTGGCGGACAACGACGACGAATTGCAACGATTATCAAAGCTGCAGGAGGAGGGCGGCGCCGATCTGCTGGCGTGGCCCTGGTGCGAACCTATACATATCAAAAAATCATCCTTGATCTGCGTCGACAACTGCCGCCACCAGACGTCGACGGCGCGGAAAGTCGAGACCGTGGCCCATGACCTGGATCTAGGCGATCGTCTGCAGTTCATCGAGGGCGATGCGTTCGAGCTCTTCCGCGATAGATTTGACGATGAAAGCATAGACTGCTTCTGGCTGGACTTTGGGGTTGGGGATAGAGTAGCGGACTTCGTGCGGGGTTTGTGGCCGGCCATAAGTCCGGGCGGGTTTGTATTGTGCCACTCGTCGGTGACGAATCGAGGGACGCGACAGTGGTTGGACGCGGTCCGGCGGAATGAGCCTGAACACGAAACAGGCGTGCCGCCGGGCGAGGCCCACCACATCTCGTTCCTGGAGCCGCACAAGCACTTCCAGAACGCTATTACAGTATTACAGAAGCGGCCGGCGGGGTTCGCGGAGCCGCTCTACTCCGAGCGGGCTTGAGCGCTCCTTGAGAGGTGGGTACCGGCATGTGGTCTCAGAGACGCCATCGACTCTCTGACGGCCGCGTCGACGCCGTCGCGGCGTCGCGGTCTCGCGAAGACGCCATCGACGCGACCACGCCACCCCAAACTTAAATATCTGATGTGTAACGATTACAAACAAGTTCCCCGAACACGTGTGTGTTGGGACAATACGATCATGCGAGCGCTTCAGCGCCGCTTGTCGACGACGCGGCCGTCCGCCTGCACAGAAAACTGGCGCCGCCAGTTCCGCCGCTTGTGCGCGAAGACCACCAGCGACCATCGGACGCCTCTCGTGAGGTCCGTCACGGCGTGGGCCACGTCCGCGCTATGTGCGGCGGCGCTCCCGGCCTGGCGCGGCGCCGTCAGCAGCGCATTGTCCGAGAGCATGACCAGGTCCCCGCCGTCGTACTCCGACCCATCTACTAAATTGACGGAGATGGACGCGTCGCAGCCGTCGCAGTGGAAGGGTAAGCGCGGCCTGGAGGTCGTCGAGTACTTGCGCACGAACGCGCTCACCGCCCGCGGCATGACGCCTAGAATCTGGGACGCCGGGGCTAGTAACCGCGCGTAGCCCTCCGAGCCGAGCAGCTCCTTGAGGGCCGCTTTCGGTAGGTTCGCTTGGTGCGCGGGTGCGCCATCCACCGAATCGACCTCGTTCGACGCCGCGCCGGTCACCGTCGACGGCATGGCCCACTTCGCAAAAGTTATGAGCCGGTCGCAGTGCTCCTCTGTTACTACGTTATCAAGAGTAACTACGAAGTCGTCCCTCGCCAAGGCTTCTTTGGCCCGTTTTCTGTCAGATGGTTGGAGCGGTAACATATTGACGAGCTCCTTCGGATTTACGTCAAAGTCGCCTCCCAGGACTCTGTTCACGGGCTTTGGCGTGTTGCTCTGCGAAAGGGCGAAGAGGGGGTGGGGCTGCGTCGAGGCCTGGAGCGCGGCCGCGGCGGCGAGGGTCGACGCGAGCACGAGCATGGTTGCTGGCGTGCGGCGCGGCGCACCGATGCGCGTATGGCGTCAGGTGCGACGCAGCGTCGCCCCGATGGCGTGTGGCCAGCGGTAATCCTCGCGCTCGCGCTGGCGGCGTCCAGATCTGTCCGGCACCGAGGCTTGTGGCTTGTGGTGCCAGCAGCTGTGGCAGTGATCAGCGGGAGCTAGACAGCGCGATTCTATGAGTCCAAGGGAGTGTCTGTACGAAGCTGGCAGCTTCTGTAAGTATGAGGGGCGCCGTTTAAGCCGAAGCTGCCTTGGATGCAAGGCGCTGTTAACTAGTGTAGCGACACACTAGGCCAAAAAAACAATTGCTCAGAGCTAGGCCGCCTAGCCGATAGGAGCCATACGCCATCGACGCGAGAGAAGCACAAAAACACAGCTTACACGGCAAGAACCCAGAACTCCATCGTGTGCCGGAACGCCGCGAGGCCGCCGGCGTTGCACGGCCCGCGGGCCACGACGTCCAAACCCAACAAATCGAAGAGCGCGTCCCACTCTTTCCTATGTCTGAAGGTCCCGCGCGGGTCGTGGGCGAAGGCGTTTCTCGCGTCGTCGTCGCTGTCGATGACGTCCTCGAGAACTACCACATATGTCCGGGCGACGCGTCTCGCTTCCTTTAACAGTGAAATGGTGTCGCCGGCGGCGTGGTGCAAGACGTACGTGAGTAACGCGACGTCGTATTGGTCATCCTCAAGTTCGAGGGTCCTCCCGTCAAAAGTTCGCACTGGATGCGTTTCAGAGAAGGCGTCGAAGGACCTTGAAAAGAGCGCCGCCGCGGTCGACCCGAGGCCGCGGTTCGTCTCGCCGTCGTCGACGTCTACCAGATGTATGTCTGGGGCGTCAAGCACCGCAGCAACGATGGCCGTCAGCGTCCCCGTTCCGGCCCCGACGTCCACCAAACTCAATTTCGACGCGCCGAACCGTGTGGCAAGCTCCCTTATAAAAAACTCGTCGCGCCGCAGCCAAAATTCAGCTACATTCACAAACGTTCCGTTCGAGACTCCTATATAAGTATGTGGCCGGAGCCGCCAGAGCGGGGCTAGCGTCCGAGGCGCCGGGAGGAGGCTCTCCAACGAACCGAGCTGCCACGACACGTGCGTGGCGATCAATGCTTCTTCTGCTTCTTTCTCGACGGCGTCCGTTTCAACCGCGTCGAGTGCATAGGATCGCGCGAACGTTTGCACGGCGTCCTTAAGTGATGCGCTAGTGGTAGACTCGTCAAAAACAACAGCGAGCGCCGGCTGCGGCACGTGCACCACGACGTCCACATCAACAACGGTGGAGATCGGCGCCACCAGACCTACTAATTTAGAAGCGAGGCGCCGTCTCAATGCTTCGCTCAGGCCCACGTAGCAGACCGCGCCTTTGTCAAGTTTGCGGCAGCGGCTCGTCGCGGTGTTTTGCGAAGCGGCGCAGCGGTCTCTTGCAGATATCGCGGCCGCTCTTAGACGATCGCGCACGCAGGCCAGGTCGTCGCAGCCCGCGCCTTGCGCGAGCGAGCCGCCGGCGCGGTCCGCGAGGTCGTCCGCTACGGCGGTTGCGTTCGCAGTCGCGTCAAATAAGGAAGTGACATCCGTGCTGTCTATTCTTAACTCGAGGGCGCACGGCGCGCTCGCTGTCGCGACGGCGCAGGCGAGAGCTCCTAGAAGCCGCATCACGGGGGCAGCCTGTGCAGCACGCATCTCTTCACCACGGCGTCGCAGGCATGTGATGGGACGCCTTCGGCGCCTTGGGCAGCCTTTCCGGCGCGTGGGCGAGCTGTGCGCTGCCAAAGCTGATTCTCTACGATTGCTAGTGTCTTACAAGACGCTAGGGTGAAATTGTTGCCGGCAAAAGTCCGCAAAACGGCGCCAGATCGCAGCCAAACACAGCACCGGAAGCTCGGTTTAAGCTCGTGCACACGCTGCGCCCCAGCCCGCGCATCAATTTGTGCCTGAAACGCCAGCGTCTACTCTGAAACTCCTGCGCATTGTCAGGGCCACCGATCTAGACTCCTGCGTCAGCGCCACCGATCAAAAGAATGGCGTACCCCGGCCACTCCGCCGACGACCTGCAGGAGGACGAGGACGAAGCGAAAGCGTGGATCGAGGCCGTCACTCAATTACAAAAGCCGGACGACGAGACCTTCGAGGCCTGGCTGCGGAGCGGCGTCGTCCTTTGTACCCTGTTAAACGCCTTGAAGCCCGGCTCCATTAAAAAAATCTCCACATCACAAATGCCGTTCAAGCAGATGGAGCAGATTAGTTTATTTTTGAGAGGTATAAGGACATTGGGCGTGCAGGAGTTCGAGGTCTTCGACACGAATGATTTGTATCGAGGCAAGGACATGAGAAAAGTAGTGCAATGTATTCATAGTATAGGCACCGCTGTAAAAAAGTCGGGTTGGTCTGGGCCGCAGCTCGGCGTCAAAATAGCCTCGCCGAACAAACGGGACTTCTCGGAGCAGCAGCTGCTCGAGGCTCGTTCAGCGACCTCCAAGTTAACTGTCGGGTCCGCTGGGTTTACGGAGCGGTCAGAAGTCCTCAAGGAAGGTATTACGTTCGGCAACGACCAGTCCGGCTCCGGGGCCGCCCTAAATTCGCGGCAGACGATGGGCTCGGCCGCGTCCACCGAACGGTTGGAGGTCATCGACCGGGGCATCACGATGGGGTCAAATGCCGCGACGCGGGACCTCGAGTAACAAGTGTTAATGTTATTAGTCACAGTTTGTCATGCGCTCGATGGCGTCGAGCTGCATCGCCGCCTCCGTGCGGACGACGGGGAGCACGTCCTTGAGCGGCCGCGGCGCCTTGCTCGCATCGAAAACAAACGAGAAGTTGTTCGTCAGCGTGCTCTCGCGGAGGCCCGGCTTCCACACGGCAGCTGTCACGTCGACGCAGACGCGGCCCTGGTCGCAGACGTGGACGACGTGCGACTTGAGCGCCAGGAGAGCCCCCACTTCAACTGGTCGCACGAAGTCGACTTGCGCGATGGACCGCGTCGTCGGCGCGCACCTGCGTGACACGCCATCGACGCGGACCGTCTCGCGAAAATGACGCCGGTGCGGCACCCCGAGAACGCGTACGCCGTCGCGAACGCTAATTCTAGAGCGTAGCGCATCAGCGCGCCGCCGAAGACTCGTCCGGCGGTGTTCCGCACTTGCGGCTGGGTGGTTATCGCGTTCTTCAGGGACGTCTCGTGCATCAATACAAAGCCCTCGTCGGCCTGGCCCGGAAAATCTCTGGCGATGCGCCCGGGCTTCAGGAGCGCCTCGATCTGCGCGTCGCGCGCCGCGGCGCTCTCCGCTTTCTTGGAAGGATCTTTCGCGGCCTGGCGCTGCTCTTTTCGCGCGGCCTGGATTTTGGCTGCATCTGCGAATAACCGTTTCTCGGTCTCAGTCTCCGGGGTTAGCGGAGGAACTGTGTGACCTCCAGACCCGTCCCGCTTCCGGGCCACGAACGTGAAGACGGCGGACAGCGCCACGGCGTCGCTATCTTTGTGGCGAAGCTCGGCCACGATCTCGAGCGAGGACCGCCCCGCCCAAACCAAACTACCAACCAAATTGTAGTCTTCATCCAACGCGAGCGTGTCGTCCCTGACCTCGAGGCGCTCCATCGACGCCGTGACGAGGATGGGCGGCGCCGTGTCCGGATTGCCGTCGTCCACATGTAAATACGCCACGCTGCCGGCGAGAGCGTCCATGTCCTCCAAGAGCCGCCCGACTCGTAATGTCCCGAAGGCCGATTCGTACCTGTTTCTCAGCTCCTTGTCTTGCGTGAGATCATACGCGACGACAACCCTCGAGTCCGCGGGCAGGCGGCTGCCGTCCGGTCTCAGCGGCGGCGCCTGCGACTCGCGCAGCTTCCAGAGGTGCTGCGTGACGCTCGTGCGGTGCGCGGCGGCTGCCGTTCGCGCGTCGTCGGCTGCTGTAGTGCTCAAACAGCGGCAAAGAGCACTCGTGCCGCGCGAACAGCGGCTCAGAGCCGTCCTGGCCAGCAGTCTATGCAGCGGTGCGGCGCGCCTCAGACAGTTGGAAGCGATCATGATCGCTGCGGTTTATGAACAACTGGTCGTGATGCTTGCGTAAACGAAACAAAATAGCGGTCGAACAGGGCTGTTTTGCAGAATTTTGCTTTGCTTCTTGTAGAATGCTAGTGTCTTACACGCCGCTAGCTAATTCCGCGGCTCGCGCGCGCCAGCCGACTTTGCCACGCTACGCCCTAAGTTTAAAAAGTAGGGACTGTGCCGGTCTATATCTTTGCGCGCTGCAACGTAATTGGACTGGGGACGGCGCTGGGCGGCACACAAAAACACCTTGTGGAGAGCGCAACATCGCAGCGCGCCCGGGCCGCCGCGACGGACTGCAGACACCACAGATAAAATGGACAGCTCCTCAGACGACGACGACGCCTCGGCCTGCAAACTCCCCGAAAAAGAAAAAGCGACACTGGCACGCTGGGCGCCCGCGGCCCAGCGGCGCATGCTCGAGCGCCTGGCCGACCGCCCGCCCGTTAGACTTGGCCGCGCAAAACCGCCGCAGAAGCACGACGTGCCGAATTTGTTTGGCTCGAAGAAGCAAGAGACGGAAATTTTTGAAAGATTAAAGGCCGCGGCGGTGCAAGGCGCGTCGACGTCCCTCATACTCTGCGGCCACGCGGGCTGTGGCAAGAGAGCTCATCTCGCCCGAGCGATCGACCGGTTGGATGGAGAAAAGGGAGTACCTCGCTTCGACGTCGCGGAACTGCACGGTCTCGTGCACGCGGACGCGGCGACGGGTTTGAGAGACCTCGCGCGGCAACTCGACGCCGGTCGTCGGAGGAACGCCACGTCGCGGTACGTCGACGACCTGGGTATCTTAGTTGAGGAATTGAGAAGACGGCGAGCCGAGCGAAGGGCACCGTTGCTAGTCATTCTCCACGAGCTCGACGCCTTCGCCCTGCAACCAAGACAAACACTACTCTACGTCCTGTTGGATGCCATGCAGAGTAGACTAGGCTGCGTCATCGTCTGCGGCATCACGCGGGACCACGCCGTGCTCGAGCTCTTCGAAAAACGGGTCAAGAGTAGATTGCAGAACCATCACGTGGCGTTCAACCGCCCTACAAAAGTTGACATAATACAATTCTTCCAGGATCGGTTTCGCTTGTGTGGCGAGGATTTGGGTGGCGCTTCCGAGCGACTCATGCAGGAGACGTCTTCCAGGAAACGTCCTCGCGACGAAGAGGACACGCGTGAAATATATATCAAAGCACATTCAAAGGCTTTCGAAGCGTGCATCACGGATCCGAGGGTGGCGAAGATGCTCGACGACTCCGTGAGTTGTGGCCGATCGATGCGGTGGTTTTGTCGCGTCGCGCAGCGGTGCGCGTGCGAGATTAATGAAGACGATCCCCTACTCAGGCCGGCGCATCTGCTCGAAGCGTTTAGAGCTCAGGAGCCGAATTCGTGTCGGGCCTGGCGCGAGGCGTTGCGGTCGCTGCCGCCGGCGGAGAAGGCTTTGGTGATAGCGTACCTCAAGTTAGAAAGAATAGGCAAACAATATTGTCTGGAGAACGCCGCGCACGCCCTCGCGCGCCTGGGCCAGGCGTCCTCCCAAGAGGCCTTCGACGAGGATCGGCTGTTGGAGGCGCAGACGTTACTATTAGACAAGTCCATGGTCCTGCTGAGCGCGGAGGCGCGGAACCGGCGCGACGCGCACGTCTTGCGGTTCGCGCCGTGCCGCCTGGCGCCGGCGTTGGATGTGGACGACCTGTGGCTGGCGTTAAGAGGCGACGACCTCGGCTGTACCACTACCCTTAGACAGTGGGCGCTGAACCACGTTTGAGTAGTCTGCCTAACAACTTGTGACGTATAAGATCGCGGCGATAGCGTAAGACACAGAATAGTTACTCTCGCGACGACCGACACAGACGCCTCATTTGCCACCAAAACCAAGCGGGTTCGTGAGGTCCTTGGCGAAGCGCTGGAGCGGGTTCGTCGACCGCAGGGCCTCGGCCCGGTCCGCCGGCGTCACGGGGTCGTCCGGGAAAATCGCGCGGTTGTAGCCATAATCTAAATCGCCCTTGACGCCGGCCTGGCGCGCAACTTGTAATAGCGATTCCTCGTTGCCGAAGATGGACTGGCTGACCGACTCCGTCCTAGGTACTGTAACACATCCAATAGGAGTCCATTGTTCCGTTCCGGTAGGCGTGACGTAGACGCGGTACTCGGGCACGCCGCTCGCCTTCGCGGCGTCGTAGGCGCTCGCCGCGCGCTCCTTCTCGACCTTAGCGGCGGTTTTGGGTTTGCTTTTACTGAACTTGTCGTCGCCGAAGCCCTTACGTTTCGCGGCGAGGGCGCTGATGCGGTGCGTCGCGGCTGGTGCGACCCATGCGTGCGACGCCGCGAGCAGGCATGCGGCGAGGAGGGATCTCGACATGTTGGCAGTTCTTCCGTCACCGGAGTGCAGAGATGATGGCTGTCACACGCAGAGAGATGTGTGAGAGCTGAGGGCGGTTAGGCGCAACGCACTGCAGCAACGCCTCGAATATCTGGTCGTGAGCTGTCTGAAAGCTACTGGATGCAACCACGAAGGCTTTGGACTGCCTGTATATGGAATGCCGCGGTGGTCAAGCGCGACTTGCGTGTTTTCTAGAGTGTTTGATACACTATTATTATGGGGCAACTTGGGGCAGCCTCGCAGCACGCTAACAGTGCAAGCCGCCGCCGCATGGGTGGGGCATGAGGACCGCACTCCTGCGATGCGTCGCGCTGCGCGCCGCCGCCGCGGCCACGGCGCCGCTCCTTTATGCACCCATCGACCGCGAGGTCTGCGTGCCCACCGTCACGGACGACGGCACAGGCCCGTCCTTCTGCGTCGACTTCGTGAGGGAGGACTTGTTTGACGCAGCGGAACGGTTCTGCGACGATAATAATGTGTGCAGCGGCCACGAGGCGGGCGCGCTGGCGTACGCGGCGCGACGCGAACTCGAAAGGCAAGGTAATGAAGCCGAGCGGGCCTTGCGTGGACGGTTCCTGGAACTCGTGTCCGAAAAGGAAGACCCCTGGACTACTGTGAGTGATCCCATCGCGAAAAGACGGACGAGAATTAGGAGGCACCAGGCGCGCGTTTTGGTGCAAGGGTCCTTCCCGGAGCCAGAAGAAGGCTGCCCCAACCAACGGGAACGAGCGTTAAGAGCGTGCGCGTTATCCAGGGCCTACACGGTCATCGACGTCCCACCTAACTTGAACGAGACGAGGGTGTGGCTCCTGAACACCTCTGTGGTCAATGTGGGCCCCAAAGCCTGGGCGTTGATCGGCGAGGTCTTCACGGAGGACGAGCACTACGCCCACGCCATCGCTTGCTTCTTGAGAAGCTTGGAGCAGGGCCTCGCGATTCGCGATCCCGGACGGGCGGCTTTATTAGATATGAACCTCGGGACGGTATTAGGGTGCTGGGGCGAACTTGCACTAGCAGCGCGATTGCTGGGCCGGGCCCACGCCCGGGCGTTGAAGCTCGCGGAGGCGAACCAATCCTACGATTATGCGGCACTAGCATTAGCGGCCAGGGTGAACGCGGCCGTATTGGTGCCGCCCGTCGTGCCCCCTCCACATGAGTTGAATGACCTACGTAATCTGCTACGGAGCGACCTGCGAGCCCTCGCGTCCCAAGATCTCCGCAAAAGTGCAGCTCGACATATTCAAGGAGACGATTCGAGTTATGATGAAGCCATTGTGAGAAGAGTCGGAAGGACGTTGTTCAACCTGGCGCACCAGTGCGGTCAGGATGATGCGGAGATCATGTTTTTACTAGCTTCGACGTTAACAAGGGCGGCGCCGTCCCTCGTCGAAGAAGTCCCGGAGCTGCCAAGGTTACAAAATGAAGTCGTAAAGCTGGGCTTCGCCTCGGCGCATTTGTGCGACCATAGTATTGGCAAGATGCTCGCGGACCCTCTCATTTTCCTGGCGCGGGATCCGCGGCTCGAGGTCTATGCCTTGCATGTCGCGTTCGGCCCGCCCTCGGACGACGACCACGTCCGCAAGTTCTTGCACGAGTTACTCGGCGAGCGGTCCTACGCTTTATCGGTGGATGTGAGAGAGGCCCGCAAAGAGGTCATTTCATTCAACCTAGACGTTTTAGTGTTCCCGGATCTGGGGATGGAGATCCCTTCCTATTTACTCGCCTTTTCGAGGTTGGCCCGAGTCCAGTGCGCGTGGTGGGGCCACCCCGTGTCGACGGGTCTACCGTCGATCGACTATTGGTTGGGCCTGGACACGGAGCGAGATGATGCTTTCCAGGAGTACTCCGAGCAGCTCGTGAGGTTTAGTCACGTGAACACGGCGCCGTTTCATCCGCAACGAGGCACGCCGGTCAACCGGACCGATCTGGTATCAAAAGATCCGGGCGGCGCCATCTACCTGGTGCTCGGGAGGCTGTTCAAGGTCCACGCTTTGTTTGATGATATGTTGCTGGATTTACTGGAGCGTGATCGAACGGGCGTCGTGCTACTCGTGGGCGAGCCCCAGGAGCCGCTTACCATCAAAACTTATCAAAGAATTCAGAGGAGAGGTCTAGAGAGAAATCTGAAGACGGACCGCATCCACTTTATTGATTATTGGGCCTACATGGGGGCCCTCGCTACTGCTAGAGTCGTGCTCGATACGCACCCCTACGGGGGCTGTCTTACCGCATTAGATGCGCTGTCGAACGGCGTACCTCTGGTCGTGTTACCGGGCCCCGCGGAGCGCGGGAGGCACGCGGCGTCTATTTATCAACAGATGGGGGTGTCGGACTTCGTGGCCGCCAATCAATCGGACTATGTCAGTATAGCCGCCCGCCTGGGCACGGACGACGCGTATCATGAAGCGGCGGTCGCTAGGATCCGGGCGTCGTACCTGGACGCGCACCGCGCCGGGGCCGTCGCGGCCGAATGGGCGGGGGCGTTCCTGCGCATGGCGCGGGGGGCGGTCTGAGGCGGTCTTGTCTCTTAAAATTTAGTGTGTGTCTACTTTTTTGAATCTACTAATTTACATTAGCATCTCGGAAAACTCGTCGCTTCCGGAGATCGGGCTAGCGTCCTGTAAGACACTAGGCATCCCTAAGGCAAGGACGCCGCCGCGCCCGACTAGCCCAGCCGTGGTTTAGTGACAACTGGGTCGCGGTCCACGCGACGACGACGACGAGCGTCAACTTGATGGGCCGTAGTACCCACTGGAACCCCCTAACAAAAGCGGAGAGGAAGCGAGTAAAAACTGGACAAGCGCACGGAGTAGCAGGCATTTTGGGAGGGGGCGCCACACCTGATAGGGACAGGCGGCAGACAAACGAACCGGTCGCCTGGAACGCAACAAAGCGCCGAACCGCGCTCGACTCGCGCCGCCCCGCTAAGTCGAACTCCTCCGAGTCGACTCTCCACGCGATCCTCTTCTGCGTGCTCGTGTTGATCGTGGGAGCGTGGGCCCTCGGGTACTAAAGATGACTAGAAGGGCGAACATGCGTTTGCTACCACTTTTGGTCGCCGCTGCTGCGTCTCCCTGCGAACGCGCGTTCGAGGCCGCCGGCGCCCGAAACGGCTGGGTCACCGGATCAAGTGTGAGGGCCTACTGCGAGCGCGAGGGACTCATGCGGAGTTTGGGCCGCGAGACGTTGGCCCGCGTGTGGGCCCAGGTCGACGACGCCAGAGACACGCGCGGTATCCAGGTCGAGACGTTCTGCCGCTTCCTGCGGCTGCTCGAGTCGGCACGCGCTTTACCGGGGCCCGATGATCCGGCGCGCGCCCTGCCGGAGCCCTCGGCGCCGGCGGACCACGATCTGCAGTCTTTGCCCCTCGCCGTCAACGACGTCTGCTATCGCGCCTGCCGGGACGGCTCGAAACCCTCGGTTTTGCGGCGCGACGACTGCCCGCCCGGCACCGCCTGCCGCGCCACGCAGCCGCCGGGCGTCTACCTCGACAATTGCCTCGCGCCCGACACGTGCCAGGCGCGGAGCGACGCCGCGCCGGTCCGGAACGCGTCGGGCGCGCCCGGCTCGGGCAGCGCCGTGGCCTGCACTAGTACCTCCGATCCCCACCTGCGGAAGTTCGTGGGCCTGCGGTGCTGCCGCGACCGCGCGACGCGCCGACCCTACACGATCCACGTCGGCCACGCGTCCGGCGGCTTCCGCGGCCTGACCCACGCGGCCATGTACGAGCCCGCGCGCGAGACGCTGCGGCGGGGCTTTTTGGCGCGCGCGGACGAGTGCGGATATACAGTGGCGACCTACCTCGGCCCGCTGAAGCCAGAAACGCTCCGCGACGGCGACGTCGTCATTTCGATGGGAACGAACGGCCCCTATTGGTGGGGCTTTGCGAAAGTCGCGAACGACCTCCGCCAGCGGCCGATCGCGTTCATCAACTACGAGACGGAGCCCGGAGGGCTACCGGCGAAGAAGGTCGGCATGCTGCTGCCGCGGCATCATGGGCGGAGTTTAAGACGCGGGCCCGGTGGCATGATGACGGAGATCTGGTCGTACGCCTTCTCGCACGGCGCGAAGGCCAACCGTATTAAAATAGTGCCGCCCGGCTTTCTGGAGCGCTTTCCGATACCGGAGACGGAGCCGGGGCCAGTCCGCACTTTTAAGTGGCTGGGGATGGCGGGCCGCTGCATGGACCGCCTGCCTCCCGATGTTAGGCGCCGCGTCTCCGAGACCTACGGCGTGCGCACTTTGTCGGATTGGCAGAGAACGATGGCCGCGAATCACACGGTGTATTTGAACCTGCACAAGGAGCACTGCAAGGGCGGCCGGCCGTCGCGAGACCTACCCGCGGAGTACTTCCGGTTGTCCGCCATAGTGTCGGCCGGCGGCCTCGTGGTCTCGGAGCCGTCGTACCCGGTCGACGAGGCGGCGCTCAAAGACATCGTCGTCTTCGAGCCCTCTATTTACGACAAGGCGGGCGGCTGGAGCGCTTCTACCACCACCCTCCTCGCCGACGGCGCGCGGCTCCGCGCGTGGCGCGACCAAGCCCTCGCGGCGTACCGGAGCCGCTTCGACCCCGTCGCGCTTCTGCGGCAGGCCGACGCGTGGAACGAGCGGCCGCGCGGGGATTTGTGAGTAGTGGCGTCGGTGTTCCCAAAGTTAATGACAATATACCTCTCCAAGCGTCCCTCGGCTAGTGGCCTGCCTGCAAGCTCCCAAGCAAAGTGGTGCAGCGCGCACAAAAGAGGCTGCCCGAAGCCAGCAAAGCGGGCACCTTTGGCTGCCCACCCATCACGAATCCACGGCCCGCCACGCCATCGCTGCGACCACACGACAAACACCATGGACCTCCGGCCGCCCCGCCTCTACAAATGGTACAAGCCCATCGACGAGCGGGAGAAGGCCCTGGACCAGCCCGACCTCACTGAGGAGCAGCGCGCGGCCATGGACCTCGCGCGGCCCCCGGCGCCGAGCCTCCCGGGCGCCCCCGAGGGCGAGCCGGGCGCGGCGCCCGCCGCCGCGCCGGAAGATGAGGGAGAGGGCGAGCCCGTGGTCTTCACGGCGCCGGAGCACGTGCAGATCCAGACGCGCGAGGAGCAGCTCGAGGAGATCCGGCAGATGGGCCTCGGCGATTTATGCATGGACGATCCAGAACCAAAAATCGCCATGCCCGACTGGGCCGGCGGCGGCAGCGAGTCGTTAGGTGTAAAATACGACGAGGAACGAGAAAAGTTGGCCCGGGAGTTATGTGAGGACGAGCCGATGGAGTCCGAGGCGCCGGACGCGTGCGCGCCGGCGCCGGCGCCGGGCCCCGCGCCGGCCGTCGACGACGACCGCGTCCACGAGCCCACGGACCCGGAACTGATCCAGCTCAACGGCTTGCTGCAAAGCGCGCTCACGGAGCTCGGCCACAAGGTCATTGAATTCGGCTGGGACAAGGATCCATTACATGGCAAGTCGCCGCTCTGTCTCCCGTACGACGAGTACATGAAGCCCATCACCACCTCAGAAGAGGAGGCGGGCTACGACCCCGAAGTTGACGACCCGGACTGGGACAACTATCCTTTTAAATGGGGCGGCGTCGTGCCCGAGGCCTGGGCGCTCGAGTTCATCGCGAAGTACCTCAAGGAGCACAATCCCAATACTACTAGTGGGGCGCCGGCGCCCGCGCCCGCGCCGGCGGCCGCCGAGGCGCCCGCGCCGGCGGCGCCCTCGGAGGCGCCGGCGCTGCCGCGCGACGTGCTTCCTTTACTGAATGAGCCGGGCTACGTCGATACGCAGAAGCGCGTCCTCGGCGCGATGCCGTCGGAGATCCCAAGCGACACGACGGGCGAGATTCAGGACTCGGACGTCGTCGCGCCGGGGCTCGCGCTGCTGCAGCAGCAGTAATATCATGGCGTAGTTTTGTTGGGGTCGCGTGGATGGCGTCACGCCGACGCCGGGACCCGCCGTTGTTGTGGATTCTTAAAGTGGTTATGCTAACTACCCGAGGCGTATGTTTCTAGAAGATCGACGATGGCCGAGTGGCCCTCGTTGGTTGCTGCACTCATCGGCGTGTCGCCGTCGTCGTTCTCGCGGTCCAGGTCAGCCGTTGCACCGCTATCTAGCAAAAGGCGGGCTATCTCGATGTGCCCCTCATAGCAGGCCGCGTGAAGTGGCGTTGTGTCGTCCGAGTCGCTCCTGTGAACGTCGGCGCCGCGGTCCAGCAATAGTCGCGCCACGTCCACGTGACCTGCATCGCACGCGACGAAGAGTGGCGTTGTGCCGTCAGGAAGCACCCTATTGACTTCCGCGCCGTCGTCCAGGAGCCGCGTTATCGCGTCGACGTCGCCTCTCTTTGCCGAAAGATGCAGCGGGGAGTTTATGAGGGCGCTCACATTTTCAAGCTCTTCCCGGCAATCGACAGTCTCCGAATGGTCCGGGCCGTAGGCACTTTCGTTGATCACGAGTGCACGCTCTAAGATCTCGCGTTGCTTGACAGTGTCGCCGAGGTTCTCGTGCACCATGGCGAGGTTCCAAAGCGTAGTACCTACCTCCACATGATCGGGCCCGTACGCCCGCTCCTTGATCGCAAGCGCGCGCTCCAGCATGTCTCGCTTCTTCGCGTGGTCGCCTAATTTACCGTACGCGGCCCCGAGGTTCGTCAGCGTGATGGCCACGTTCGGGTGGTCGCGGCCGTATGCTCGCTCCTTGATCGCGAGCGCGCGCTCCAGCATGTCTCGCGTCTTCGCGTGGTCGCCTAAGCTTCCGTACGCTTTCCCGAGGTTCGTCAGCGTGATGGCCACATTCGGGTGGTCGCGACCGTATGCTCGCTCCTTGATCGCGAGCGCGCGCTCCAGCATGTCTCGCTTCTTCGCGTGGTCGCCTAAGCTTCCGTACGCGTTCCCGAGGTTCGTCAGCGTGATGGCCACTTCCGGGTGGTCGCGGCCGTACGCCCGCTCGTTGATCGCGAGCGCGCGCTCCAGCATGTCTCGCTCCTTCGCGTGGTCGCCTAAGCTGCCGTACGCGCTCCCGAGGTTCGACAGCACGGCGGCCACTCGCGTGCTGTCCTTGCCATCGCGCTCATTGATCGCGAGCGCGCGCTCCAGCATGTCTCGCTTCTTCGCGTGGTCGCCTAAGGATCCGTACGCGTTCCCGAGGTTCGTCAGCGTGGTGGCCACATTCGCGTGGTCGCGGCCGTACGCCTCCTCGATCGCGAGCGCGCGCTCCAACACGTCGCGCTGCTTGGCGTAGTCGCCTAATTGGCCGTACGCGCCCCCGAGGTTATTCAACAATCCGGCCACGTTCGTACTATCTTTACCGTACTCGCGCTCGTAGATCGGGAGCGCCCGCTCCACCACCTCAAGCCTCTTGGCATTGTCGCCAAGGTCCCCGTACGCGCGCCCAAGATCCCACAGCGCCACGCCCACCGCCTTGCTATCCGCGCCGAACGCGCGCTCCTGCTCCGCCAAGATAGCTTCCCGGACCTTCACGACGCCCGCGAACTCCTGGATTGACTTGAGCAACTCGCAGAGCCCATCCAACAAATTCGCGTCCGCCTCGGACCCAAGCACATGGTCCACCAACTCCTCCACATCTTTCGCCTCGTCGACGGGCAATTTGCACAGCATCTCGAGCCGCTGCGCGACGGCGTCTGAATTGCCCAAGAAAAACGACCGGAAGTACTCGTAGACCGTGTGGCTCTGGTGCAGCGCCTCCGACTCTTTGATCGGCATGAGATGAATTTGCAGCTCGCACATGTGCGACACCTTCTCAACTTTCACGGCGACGTTCATCAAAATATCCTGATAGCCGTTGAAGAGCGGCGGCGCGAACCGGTTCTTCGTCCGCACGATATCAACGCGGTCGTCGGCTTCGAGCGATGCGTAGAGCTGCACGATGGCGTCCTCCGTCTGACAGAGGGCCGCGCCGCGCGTAATATCGAAGAGCCAACTGTAGCACGGCGCCGTCTTGTCCGCGTACTCGTCGCGCGCCTTGGCGCCGGCGCGGTCGCGGCCCTTCAGCGGCGCGAACATCAGCTTCACACCGCTTTCAGGGCACGCGGCCGTCATGATCTCCTCGAACTGCACCCTCGCCAGCGCGGCGACCTCGTACAGCGCGTCGAGCGACGCGGCCGGCTCGCCGTCGAGGCCGCACTGGCGACACTCGTCTCCTAAATTCTTGCCCACCCAGGGGATCTTCTTCACATCGCCCTTGATGTGCTCGCGCGCGATCTCGTCGATCTGCTCCCGCGCGGCCTTGAATGCCTTCAGGTTGTGAAACATGCATTTCCGCGGGTCGAGCGCGCGCTCGTCGTGCTCCTTGGCGTGGGCCTCTATCGTGGGCCACGGCACCGTGCGCGTCCCGTCCGCGCCCTCGGTCGCGGCCGCATCGAAGGCTCGCTTCGCCTTGTCGTCGAAGAGGACGCCGACCTCGCTTTTTAGCCTTACTTCGGTGAGCGGTTTCTTGTCGGTCGACGCGCCCGAGCCCATGCTCCTATATGGAGGTATCTAGTGCTAGGCTGGCAGGCTGCCCCCAAATGCCAATCCGCTGCGCGCGTATGGGCAAAAAACTCCCTCTTTTAGCTGCAGCTGGTGTGTTGGCCGCAGCCCCACCGCTTCTTGTGGTTTAGGGCAGCTGCTCAGATAAGCATTGCGCTGCGCTAGAGCCTAGACGCCGCCGCCGCCGGGAGACTACTACGTGACCACCTCTTTACGCACTAGATCCCCCCCTTGAAGGGCGCGCGCGACCGCTTGGCTCTTCTTTTCGGTCGATCGATGTCCATCGCCGCGTCGTCCTGCTGCAGCGAGTTCTTGATGTCCTCGATCTTCGCTTGTAAGGCGGCAGCATCTCCTTTACGAGCGTCCCGCAGCGCCTTGGCCTGGACCTTGTTCTCCTCGAGCTGCTCCGCGACGGCGTCCGCGCGGTCGGCCCAGTCCGTGAGCGCGTCGGCCATGGCCGCGACGTCGTCGGGCTTCACGTCCCTGCCACTGGCGCGTTGCACCTTGAACTCCCGCGCCATCTGGTCCATCTTGCCCGCGACCAAACCCGCGTAAACCGTCTCGATGACCAGGTCTTCCAAGTCCCTTTGTTCGGTCACTTCCAAGGCTTCTCCAATCGCATCGTAGGGGACTACCGAAGCTTTTCTTGCGAGTGATACGAGAGAGAGTTGTCTCAGTTTGGTTTTTTGCGGCGGCGTCAAGGGCGGTAGTGACGAGGCTTCTTTCTTGTAGTCCGAGTACGTGCCATAGGCGAAGATCTCCAACAACCTCAGTTGGTTGGCCTGGTCCGTGCTCTTCAAGGCTCTCACGTTCGGTTCGGCCAAGAGTTCACCAAACACAAAAACTCGTTTCGCATTTAACGCCTGCTGCACAATATCACCGACGGCGCGACTGCCACCGGCGGACTTGGCCAACGTACAGAACTGCTCGAGGGCGCCGGCCGCGCCCTCGCCCGCGTCGACGGCGGCGGCCATTATGAGTGGCTTTTTGGAGAGCGGGAGCTGGGGCGGCTCTTTTGGAGGCGCGCGGCGGCTCGGTGCACAGTGCGCTGTCGAGCGGTGCTGTGGGAACCTTGCGGCTCTCGGTACTGCACAGCGGCGGCACAGGGTCGCGTTTAAGCTTGACTCGCTCGAAGCAGACCCGCACGAAATAAACCCGCGTGAAATCTTGGGCAGCCCTAGTTCCAAGGGGATTTCTCTGATGGCTCCGGAGCAGCATGCTAGGGACACCTCGAGGGACGCCGCGCAGCGCGACGCGTTCCGCTGTTGTTTTTTGACACACTGCCGCAAGAACTAGCTTCGCTTCGCGAGACGAAGGGCTGATGGGGTGGTCCTGCTGGGGGCGACGCCGCCGCCGCGCCCGGGACGAGGCGGCTGCCGAGACGCGGCGGTGGTGCGAGGAGGCCGTCGGAGGGACTGCTGCCCCCCACACGCCGCCGGCGCCGGTCCTCGAGACGCGGACGCCGCTCCACGCGCGGGCCGTACGCCCTTCGCCACTGGAGGCCGAGCTCCACCACCACTCGGCGGCCGCGCGGCGCGTCGTCGGCTTGGACGCGGCCCGGGCCGCCGTGCCAGCCGCTGGACCAGCACAGCCATCTATAACCCCGGCCGCGCGGAGGACCGTGGACCTCGATGCCGCGGCCGCCTTCGCCGCGACGCCGCCGCCGCCGCGCATGCGCACGCCGCTGGCCGACGCGAATGGGACAGTGCCTGCATCTGGGAAGCGGCGGCCCTATCGCGGCCTCTCGACGCCCGCGCTCGTCGCCGACCTCGAGCGGACGCTCGGCACGCGCCTGCGTCCGCGCCACGCCACCGTGCAGAAGGCGCGGCGCGGGAACGGCGACGGCTACGAGGGGTGGCTCCGGCGGCACTTCGCGAGCCCGCCGCGACGGCGGTCGAGGACGTCGCCGCCCGCCGCCACGCCGCGGCCCAAGGTGTGGATATAACATGAATACTGACATTACACTGGCAAGCCATTGTGGTCGAATGAGAGCACCCACGGCTTGTCCCAGAACGAGACGATGGTGGGGATCAGCGCCTCCGGGAGGTTCAGGCAGCCGTGCCCGCGCGCGAGGAGCTTGATCGTCAGCAGCTGGCACTGGCGGTTCATCGCGTAGGCAGCGAAGCCACCCGCGGCGTGTACTGCCTCAACATACGTCCGATGCCGGTCGGTCGGTAGGCGGTTTACCAGCGGTAGAGTCTTCTCAGATGGGTGAGGATGCTCGTCTGTGGCCAGGTGCGGACGTTCTTCGAACATGTGGCTCACATCTGCTCCCGCGCGCAGAAGCATGAAGGCAATCGCGTGCTTTGTCAGAAAATGCCGCTTTCGCGAGTCTGCATCTGCCATAGAGGGAGGGTACTCGTTGTCAAAAGCGAGGCCGAGTGGAGTTCTTTCGTTGGTGGGCTCGCGTGCCACGGTATCAACGTCCGCGCCATGGGATAGCAAGAGGCGAACGAACTCCGGAGAACAATAAATGTGCACCGCCACGTGAAGTGCTCTCAAGCCATTCACCGTATCGAGGTTTACTTCTTGGTTTACGTCGGCGCCGGCCTCGAGAAGCGCGACCGCGCAGGCATAACGATTCATCGCTGCCGCAGCCATCAACGGAGTAAGCCCTAACTCGCAGCCACGAGCAACGTCAGCGCCCGCCGAAATCAGCCGCCGCACTATAGCGTCATGCCCATCCCATGCTGCTGCGAATAACGGCGTCGCCTTTGTTCTTACTCCAAACTCGTTTTCGTACTCATGCTGTTCGTGCAGCTGCTCCGCGGTCGCGTCCGGCAGGAGCGCGTCGAGCGCCGCGACGTCGCCGTCCCGCGCGGCCTCGAAGAGCCGCTCGGCGGGCGTTTTCTCGGTTTCGACGCCTTCGGCGCCTTCGGCAGTGGCCATTCTGTAGCGGAACGGTTATTTTGCGCCGCCGCGCCTCTCGTGTGCAGCCTGCACAGGGCAGAGTGGGGCCTGGTCAGGGTCTGGATGCGCTCGCGGCGCCGAACCGCTGGACGTACGCCACGAAGGCGTTAGCAGGACCAATTACTGCTGCGTGGTAGCGCCTATGACCCGCGTAGCCCGCGTTTGCTGAAGCTGGAAAACCCGAGTTATTTATTAGAGCTAAAGCGGCAGTGCTTAGCACCGGGGCCATAACTCGAGCCAGTGTGCCCCTCCGAGCCGCGCAGAAGTCTTGTAAGGGCCTCAGTAAAATACGCCAGCAAGGAGAAGCCCGCGCGCAGCACGCGGGCGCCGCGGGCACCGGAAAACAAGCCGACGGCGAAGCGCGCTCCCAGCAGCCAAGCGCGCTCCCAGCAGCCAAGCGCGCTCCCAGCAGCCAAATGGAGACGCAGGAGACCCAGGAGGCCGCGGCCCCGCCTCCGCCGCCAGTAAAGATGGAAGTTGAGGCGCCGCCGGCCGCGAGTGCTCCTCCGGCGCCGGCGACGACCCCCGCGACGCCCAGCGAGCCCGGCGCAGCGCCGCCGACGCCGGGCCCGCCTTTGAAATACCCGCCGGGCTACGGCCCGCCGCCGACGCCGCCGACGGGCGACGAAGAGAGACACTGGGTTTCAGGGGTGGGTTGGAAGCCCGGCCCCGCGCCGCCCGCCGATTCTTCTAGAGCCGACAACGCGAAACGAGACCTGAAGGGCACGCGGGCCTCGTCGCGCGTGCGGCGCGAGTCGGGCCGCTTCGCGGACTTACAAGAAGACGCCCCGAAAAAGAAGAAGAAGAAGAAGGGCGCGAACCAGTACACGAAGGCGAAAGAACGCGGCGACGCCCCGCCCTCGAAGAAGCAGAAGAAATCCAAAGAACCTAAAAGGATTGCGGAGACGACGACGTCCGAAGGTCAAACGGGGGCCATTGTAGAAATGTCCCAGAAGGACGCGGCCATGACGTCGCAACGACGGTTGCGAGCGACCTTGGTCGAGCCGCCCTACGACCTGGAGTTGGTTCCGGACGCGAAGAGAGATCTGAGCGGTTCGGCACTGAGGCGCGTCGAAGGTACCGCGGAATGGGAGAAATTGCTCGCGGAGGCCATGCTTTTATGTAATGAAGCGGCCTGGAGGAGATTAGGAAAAGATAGAGGCGGCTCGCAGACCAACCAACGCACTGAATTGTCACCACCGGACGCGAAACCGCTCATGCTCGAATACATCTCGGACCGCATCGACACGGACGAGCCGCTCTGGGGCTACGCCGTGCGCACGCAGCGCGAGGCCTGGCTGCAGGGCTTCGTGTGTGTCACGCAGTTCACGACGTGGTGCCCGTCCGTGTGGACATCAAATTTCGGGCGCCCCACGCCATCGACGCGATGTTGTCTCCGTAGCTGCGCCTGCTCGATGGCGTGACGATTCCACGCCATCGACGTGACGTCGTCCCCGCGACTGTGGCTGCTCGATGGCGTGGAGGTCCACGAAGAACTCACCGGTCGACGTCCGCGCAGGTGTCCCTACTTCCGCTGGACCGCTGCTGCTCCCGCGGCTGCGGTGACGTTAGACGACTACAAGACGCATGCGGTGGACGGGGAGGGCCCTGGGTCTGAAGGAGGCTCATTATGTCGCGAGTTGCAAGCATCTAGAAGATTTGGCGACTGCGATGGCGAAGGGGTGGTGTGGCCGCGCATCGCCGAAGTTTCTCTGTTAGGTGGTTTAGGTACTGGGAGAACCTTGATGGACACCGTGATAGCCGAGGTGGCGGACCGCGGCGACGCGGACTTTGTGGTGTTGCAGGCCACAGATCAAGCAGTACCTTTCTACGAGCGTTTGGGGTTCAGTAAAGTGGGCGCGGTCGCCTCCTTCGAGGAGAAGGGCAAGTCCTTGCCGAGAGAAGCGATGTGCGGTCTGAACGCGTCGTGTGAGCAGCTCGATAATGACGGCTTCACGCCCGGGGAGAGGGCTCGCGCGCGCTTGTCCACGGAATCACTCAAGGCGGCGGAAGGACGACCGCTCAAGCTCAGAGACGGCGCCTGGTGCTTCGTCTGCAAGGAGGACGACACGGTGACGTCGGTCTGCGACTTGCTGAAATTACCTGATGCGGCAAAACACGAGGTCAGTGACTCAGCGTGATTTCCGAACTTTTCCGAACTTCAAGGTCGCGTCGATGCCACGTCGCCTCGACGCCGTCGACGCGGCCGTCAGAGAGTCTACGCGTCTCGCGCGGGAGCCGCGGCCGCGTCGCGACGCCGTCGTTCGACACAGGTCGTAACCGCCAATAAGAGCTCTCTGTCGGGCCTGACCCAGAAGAGTCGGGTCATGGCGTCGACGATCATGGCCCTGCCGGCGGCCTATGCCGAGCAACTCGCAAAGTGTTCTCTAGCGGTCGACGAGCAGACGCTGGAAGGATGTAACGGCTCGCTGACGACGACGGACGTCAAGGACTTGCGGGATAGTCCTCAGAAACCACCGACGCCGCCGCCGAAGCCTACATTAGGTGCGCGCTTGTACTGGGCCCGGAGACTCGCGAGGGCGGCGTTACGGTCGATACAAGCCCTCGACGAGTACCGCGTCTTCTGGGAACCTGTCAGCAGTGACATCGTGCCCCACTACCGGTCGTGGGTCGCGTTTCCTTTAGATTTCACGACTATTCGGAAGAGGTTAGTTGATGGGGCCTCACCTTTGGAGTTGCGAGATGCCTACCTCCCCGAAGATCTCAGTATAGATCTCAAGTTAATCTGGCGGAATTGCGCCCATTTCAACGGCGAAGATTCTTGGTTAGCGTCATACGCAAGAAAGGTCGGCAAGCAGGCCCAAGACATCTTAGATCGGTTCGCCCGGACGCACGCGCATCTCCACAACCTGCGGGAGGAGCTCCAGAAGGACGACTGGGACCTGGACGAGGAGACGCGGAACTTCCACAAGGTCAGTGACAGCGTCTGACCTTCGCGTCGATGGCGTCTTCATGAGACCACGCCGCCGCGGCGCCGTCGACGCGGCCGTCAGAGCATCTGTCCCACGCAGGCCGCCGAGACCGACCCCTCGTGCATGGGCTACGTGCACTGGACCTTCCCCGACCAGACGGTGGAGGACCAGTACCCTTCCTACCTGATGGCGCGGCGCGTGAGGCCGCTCGGCGACGGTGTCCTGAGAACGACCGCCGACGATGCCGTGAACACTTTGAAGGGCGTCGTCGAAGCCGCCTCGTCCGCCGCGGAGAAGGCGCGACTCGCGTGTGTGCGCTGCGTCAACAAGGCCAAGAAGACCTTCGGCGAGGCGTACGAGGTTTCGTTGGAGGGGCGCCCGCCGCGCGAGCCGACGAAATACGAGATATCGTCGCAGTTCGTCGGGTCTTCTTATAGACGTAGGATGGAGGACACGGACGAAGCTTCGTTAAGACCGGCGACGCAGTGCGTTCCCGCACTAGTGGAGCCCGAGGATATCAATAGACCCGCTCCTTCCAACGTGACGCCGCGAGGGCGCGGCTTCACGGCCAAGCTAGCAAGAGGCGGCGCCGTGGACTATTTAGGCATATTTCCGGACCGTAGATCAGCTCAAGCCGTCTACGACAAGGCCGCGCAAGAGTGGAAGGAAAAAAACGGCAGTGACGAAGAAACGCTGCGGCCGTTTTCCGTGCCGGACCCGCCCCTGTCAGCCTTGGGGCGGCGGGACGAGTGGTTGGCGCGGGAGTGCCCCTCTGCACCTGTTGCTCTGAGAGCGGCTCACCTCAAATCCGACACTGAACCGAATGATGCTGACAGTCTGAGGTCTAGAGTCGCCGCTTACCTCGATCAACGCGTCGCACCACCTCCTCAAGATCCCTACCTGTCGCCTCGTAGTAGAAAGAGACCGCTCTACAACCAGGTCGTGCGCATCATCGACAAGCCGCCGTGCTACCAGGCGAAGTATTGGTTCGTCTACCAGTACGTCCCGGACATGGAGTTCTGCCACCTGTGCCCCATGGAGACGCACGGGCTGTTTGATCGCAATACGACGCGCGAGGGGCGGCCGCGCTGGCGCTTGGTGCCCGAGGGCCAGTGTCGGGAGGTCGACGTCGGGGCTGCTCGAGTGAAATTGGTGAAGCACAAGACCGTGGGCAAGACGCCGTCGGCGGACAAGGAAGTGTGGGACGTGTTGGAGAGCGACGATGAGAACCTGCGGGAGTGCCTCGCGAAGGGGGCTGTATTTATTGCCGAGGAGTCCGACGGTGAAGAAAAAGTGGCGCCTTCCGTGGCTTTAGGTACAAAATCTAGGCCGTCGACGGGTCCGACGTACCCCTGTCCGGCCGGTTGTGGAAGGACGTTCAACCATCCTCCTGCCGCGGCGATCCACGGCAAAACCTGCCCCGGGGCCAAGAAGGACCCGGCGCTCCCCGCGCCGCCCGCCGAGGCGCCGCCCCCCGCTGCTCCCGGCGGTGACTAATGATCTCGTTCCCCTTTATTATTGACTCTTTCGCGTGGATGGCGCGTTGATGGCGTGGCTCGAGCCTCTGTCTCACGGGTTCACTGTGGCTAAGCTCCCGACCCCCGACGAGCTTGCATTTTGCGCATGGCTGCGTAGAGTTTAGGAGTGAGGTGAGAGAGACCCTTTAGGGTTCAAAGTGGTCCACACGCGTCTAACACGACGCGTGGTTTGCCTCCAGACATCGATCAAAGTTAGCAGGCCTGCCTACTCACTGCAAAACGCGTTGACTTTGGACAACAGCCGGCGCAGACAGAGTCGCACTTATAGACTCTGCCAAGCATCACGCTATCGTCGCGGAATTGGGGCTTTTTACGTCTCGCGTCTCGACGGTCTCAGACGCCGCCGCGCCGATGCCGCGACCTAAACGGTACAATGCCTCGCAAGGCACAAGCACGACAATCACGGACGACGAAGGCGAGTCGAAATCGCCCGCGAACGTGTTGTTAAAGCTCCGCGAATCCACATCGGCAGCCGACCTGAGCAAGCTCCCGGCTCCGACGCTCGACCCGTTCGGGCTCGAGCCGGATCTATCCCTACGCGTCGCGGGCTTCGCCGACGCCTTCAATGCCGCCCACGCCGAAGACTCGCTCGTGCGCTCGCTGCTGCTACAGTATTCGCGCGCGGCCGCTGCCGTCTGCGCCGACGCCGCGGCGACGACGGAGCTGCGGCGGGACGCGGTCCTGCGTATTGTTGATCTTTTGAGGCACGACAAGCGACTCCTCCGGTCGTTCTTGGAACTGCTGCCACCGTCCCGCGTGCCGGTCGTGACGCCGAACAGCTCCCGGGACGACTCCATGTTCGGAACCGTTTGATGCGGCGTCGATGGCGTGGGGGTGGACGGTTTGCAACCTCCACGCGACCGACCGGGCGGCAGCGTGGCGCGTAAAAATAACTGGCTTGTTTACAAAACAAGAGAGATGCCCCGGTTACCCCCAAACGCCATCAACGCGGCGCGTAAAGATAGATAAACAGGCTTACAAAGAGAAGTGGGGATGGGAAAAACAATCTACGCGTCGACCTTTTTGTTGTACCGCAGCGTCGGCGCCGCGACGGCCGCGATGCTCTTCACCTCCAAATGAAAATCGCCCTCCGCGCCCTCGGCCCACAACTCCAGCCCCGTCAGCTCCGCCAGGTCCTTCGATGAGGGACAGTACTGCTCGAGGTCGCCTTCCCCGCAGCAGTGGTGCTGCACGCCCGTCGGATCTTTCGTGTCGCATTCGCCGGTATACGGCGACCAGTCCCAGGAGAAGTCCGTGAAGGGCACGAAGACCGTCTGCTCGCGCGCGCCACTGCTCAGCGCGAACGGGGCCTTGAACGTCCCGAAGGGCGTGTAGCGGCTCGAGCTCTTGGCGTGCTTGGTCGCGAAGGCGACCTTGAAGCCTTTGAAGGTTGGTGTCGTGGAGCGGACGACGAGCTCCAGACCTTTCGACTTGCTCACATCGGGGTATGAAGCGCGGAGGTGCGTCTTCTCGCTCTGGGCGGAGCAGAAGCCGGGAGCTTGCAGCGACGGCACGATCTTGCAGGTGCCGTTAAATACACCGGTGCCTTGGCTGATTTTGAAGGTCGCCTGGCTGAGGCCGCCCATGACCTGCGGGGACGGCGGGCGGTGAGCGGTGAGCGGTGAGCGGTGAGGGTCGCGGCGATGGCGTACTGGTGCAACACCGCTGCTTACGGGGTCATTGGTCTCGGACCACGTTCTGCTGCCGTCAAATGTCTCCAACGTCTGCGCCGCAGCAGTGCTGAGGAGGGCTGTGGCAAGGACTAGCTTGTACATCTTGTGTTGTGGTGGTCGAGAGCTGCTCCAATTGGACACACTTCGAGAGTAGCAAGCACTGAGGACTGCAGAGCACGCACACTGTGCTCAATGTTATTTATGCGGTCGCTTGCGTGCAGCTGCGTCACGGCCTCTGCGAAGCGTGCGCAAAGGGTTAGAGTCGAATGACTCGTCCTCAGGCCCGGCGCAGTCGTCCATGGCAGCGTGCCGACCGGTCTGAGACCCGTCAGCTAGTGAAAAACGTACTAGTGGAGACCATTCCCGCACCAAGTCGCTTTGATTGCCGCGACGCGCGCATCGCCGCTGGGCCGCTTCAGGGCTCGCTGAGCAGCGCTGCAGTTCGCCACCGAGCGCACCGGCTGCGCGCTGCGAAACTGCGCACGTCTACGCCCGCTACGCGGTAAACAGTGGCGCCGACGCGAAAGCGCAGTTTACCTCGCGTCTGCCAGCCAGGCCGCGCCGCGCCAGCCAGAACGCCGCTGAAACAGCGCCGCAGCCACCGCGCACCACAAAACAGACGACGATGAAGAAGTTCCAACCCCTAGGGGGCGGCGGCCCGCGCAAGGGCCCGCCCACGAAAAGACTGGGGACCTGCGGCCGGCCCTTGATCTTGAGTGATCAGGAACGTTTCAGAAGGGACTCCTGCAGCCAGGGCGACGGCAACGACGACATGGCCGTCGTACGAGCGCCTTTGGTCCCTGGTCTATTGACGACGGCGCCCGTCTCGCTCAAGGTGCGCCAGAAGTTCCGCCCTTTGGGAGTGGGCGGGCGGCGCGCCAACGAATTGCTGAAGAAGTCGTGTTTAGGGCCGCGGCGCGTGGCCCCGGGCAAGGCTTTGGTGAGCAAGTTCCTCAGTGGACGGGACTTCACCCCCGGCGAAATTCAAGTCCCGACGGACATGGACCTGTCGCTCATGGAGGACTTGAGCGACGCGGAGGCCATGGACGAGGAGGAGCCGCCGCCGAAGTACCGTCCGTCGGTCGGCGTCCGAAGTTCCGTCGTGGCGCCTCGCGGCGACGACGTGGCGCCCTCGCGTCGATGGCGTGGAGGTGGCGCCGTCGTCGACACCGTGACGCCGTCGATACCGCCGCGAGAGAGTCATCGTTTTGACACGCAGGCGAGCACGAACCGTTGGTCCTGTGCGAGGGCGAGGGCGACACGCCGGACATTGAAGTACCTCCACTACTATGCCAGTGGCTGCGGCCGCACCAGCGTGTATCAGCGTCGAACATCAACCCGTCTCGCGGCGATGGCGTGGAGGCGGAAATTCGAGGATGAGGCCGTCGACGCACCCGTAGTGAGAGGAGACGCGAACGTACGTCACGCAGGCGCGAGGGCGTCTCCTTCGTCTTCGAGTGCGTCCACGGCATGAAGAAGGACCGGTACGGGGGCACCGGCGCGATTCTCGCGGACGACATGGGCCTCGGCAAGACGTTGCAGTCCATAACACTGATGTACTCGCTCCTGAAGAACAAGGATTCACAAGGAAAGCCGCTCGCGAAGCGCTGCATCGTCGTATGTCCGTGCTCCTTGGTGAAGAACTGGGAGGACGAGTTCGAGAAGTGGATCAACTCGAAGGCCCACGACAAGAGCGAGCGCGTCGAGTGCATGGCGTTATCTGATACATCCAGAAAAACGGTCGAAGGCATGATCGACCAGTTCCTGTCGCCGGCCTGCTACTACGACGTGCTAGTCATCTCGTACGAGACCTTCCGGGCCCAGCACCAGCGCTTCGCGCGTAAAAAAGATAGCGCGGACATCATCGTCTGCGACGAGGCGCATCGTCTCAAAAACGACGAGGCCCAGACCAGTCAAGCTCTAGCATCACTAGCCTGCCGGAAACGAGTACTACTATCAGGAACGCCGATGCAGAACGACCTGGTGGAGTTCTTCGCCATGTCGAACTTCACGAACCCGGGCGGTAGTGCACGCGGCGTCCTTTTATCCGTCTTCCGATGCCGGGGGTGGTCGGAGAGCGCGGTCGCGGCGACGGCGTCTTCGCGACATGACGTCGACGCGTCCCCCGCACGCAGTCTTCGGCACCAAGGACAAGTTCACGAAGTACTACGAGGGCCCGATCCTGCGGGGCCGCGAGCCCGACGCGACGGACAAGCAGAAGAAGCTCGGCAAGGCGCGCCAGAAGGAGCTCTCCGATTTGAGCGACCACTTCATCATCCGACGCATGAACCGGTTGAACGCCGAGCACCTACCGCCCAAGCTCACGCAAGTCGTGTGCTGCAAATTGACGCCCACCCAACAGCGCATGTACGAGCATGTAGTGAGGAAGCGGGACCGCGTCGCCGCTACCCAAGGTCATGTGAAAGATACATTAGGTGTCATCCAGCGGCTCCAGAAGATCTGCAACCATCCGTCCCTCGCGACGCAAGTCGACGCGTCGGCGTCTCGCGTCCAGCGCGACGACGCTCGAGAATTGGAGAGCTTGATGCCCGAGAACGACTTCGCGGCATCCGCGCCGCGGGGCCGAGGTGGCCGCATCGACCACAGATACGCGAGGATGGTCGATCCGGCTTTATCAGGTAAGCTACGGGTCTTGCACGCGTTGATGTCCGAGCTGCGACGGAAGGGCCGGGAGCGCATCGTCGTCGTCTCCGTCTACATGACGACTTTAGATTTAATCGAGCAGATGTGCAACCAGGAGGACTGGCCCTCGTGCAAGCTCGGCGGTTCCACTTCTACAAAGAAACGGAAGCAGTTCAACGATGAATTTAACGACCCCACGGCCAATTATTTTGCCTTTTTGTTGTCTTCCAAGGCCGGCGGGTGCGGGCTGAACTTGATCGGCGGTTCTAGACTGGTGATGTTTGATTTGGACTGGAATCCCGCGACGGACAAGCAGGCGGCCGCTAGGTGCTGGCGCGACGGCCAGCGCTACCAGTGCTACACGTACCGCTTCGTGTCGTCCGGGACCCTCGAGGAGCGGATGCTCCAGCGGCAGCTCTCGAAGGAGGGCCTCCAGAACGTCATCGAGGACAAGGACCAGGCGCGTGCCTCGGCGTCTACGCGACGCCGCGCCGCCGCGACGCCGTCGTTCGACGCAGGTCAACTCCTTCGCGACCGACGACCTCAAGAAATTATTTCTGTTCCGGCCGCACACGGCGTCGGATCTCCACGACGAGCTCCAGTGCCCCGTGTGCACGGGCAAGATAGCCGCCAAAAAAGATCGAAGCAAGAGAGGCGGCGCGAACGTGCTCTCAGCGAAAGCTGCCCAGAGGTGTCTGGAAGTGCTACAAGCTTCACTACTGAAAGATGACGCCGACGCGAAGAAGCGGTTACTCACACCTATTCCTTCCAGTGGTGACGAATTGCATGGTCCCGTCGATAAAAAGCGCTGGACGGCGTCGAAGCCCCACGCGGATCTTGGGAGCGTGTTTGCGAAGCTGAAACCGGACGCGCCTGGGCTCTATGGGACCATCCCGGACGTCTTGAAGGATCTTAGACGTATTAAGAGAACAACAGATAAGCTCTGGCCGGATATAAATGAACACCCTACAAGACTAGCGGCCCAGAAACTTGTCCAGGAAGTCGACGCCTTGTGGGAAGGGTTGTGCGACGAGATGTACGCCGCCAACGCGGAAAGCAAGACGACTGAGACTTGCTCAATCCTCGAACCGCAGGAGCCGGGCGACGGCTACAAGCCCCAGCAGTACCCCTTACCGAAGGAGGAAGATCTCAACAACTGGTCGCACCACGCTTCATTGGAGACCTGCGGCGACGAGGTCCTCAAGAAGGCGCTCCGAGGTCGCGACGACGTGACGTTCGTGTTTGGCACGTACCAGCGAGGAACTCAATCTTCGAGCGCCCTTCAATTTTTGGTGTGTCGTGGTTTGCGTGAGGTGTTTCTCTCTATACTCGGTCGCGTGGATCTCTCGGGGATCGTGTGTAACCTGACTCACTGGTTGATGTCCACACAGGCATGTACCAGGACTGGAATTTGATCCAGCAGGACACGGCGGCGCAAGCGAAGATCGAGGAGGAGCAGCGCGCTGAGAGGGAGGCGAAGGAGCGGTTGGACGCTGTGTGGCAATCAACCTGTGCGTCGGGTGCACTGACGCGGCCGTCCTGGCTCGGTCGAGCGGCGAGGAACCGGCATCGCCGCGCCATCGAGCAGGCGTCGCGTCGATGAACGCGCCGTAAAATTTTGATTTCCACCCAGGTTGGACGCCGAGGCGGCGCTGGCCGATGAGGATGACGAGGCTCCTGTCGTGGAAAAGAAGAAGAAGAAGAAAAAGAAGAAGCACAAGTCCGAGTCTTCTCATGACTCCGGTGCTGATGGTGACGCGGCGATGGCGCCCGTCGAGAAGAAGAAAAAAAAGAAAAAGAAGAAGAAGAAGTCCGCCGACGCCGAGGACGCCGCCGCCGCCCTGGAGACGGCCGACGCCGACGCGGCCCTGGCGCCGGCGCACCCCGACGCTGGAGTCGTGGACACAACGCCGCCCGACGCCGTCATCACGCAGCCGCCGCCGGCGCCCGCGCCCCGGGTCGACTCCCAGGAGGAATCGTCGCAACCGACGCCGGACTGGCCGCGGCCGGGTCAGGTGGTGGAGTGCGTCTGGACCAAGGGCACTGCTTTGTCAGATGGCGACGTCGACCGGTGCGTCGTCGAGTCGATCAGAGACCCGGTCCCTCATAAAAAACGCAAGGCCGGCGTGCCCGAGCACTTGGCGTACCAGTGCTACGCCCAGCTCAAGTCGCTGATCAAGCTCGCGGGCGACACGGACCAGCCATACGAGACCGTGCCCGAGTCCGACCCGCGGCCGAAGCATATTCATTTGAAGTACAAGCTGGACCTCGCGGACCACGGGCGGACGTGGCGCGTGCTCCCGGTGAGCAAGAAGGCCTCGCAGCGCGAGTCCGTCGGCGAGACGTTCTCGGCGATGTCGGACCTGACGAACAACTAGTATCGAGTCTATCCCCCCTCCCCCGTCGGACATAAGGTCTGTGTGATTATCCTCCCGAGGGATCGGTCATCAGGGGAGGGCCGGTCTCAGTCCAACGACGCGTCGAGGTCGCGCCGCAGCGCCTCGACGTCGTCCGAGCGGTATTTGTCCCGGTACCTGCGTGCGATGTTGTCTCCATAACTGCGTCTGCTCGGCGGCGTCGAGGTCCCACGCCATCGACGCGACTGGTTGATTTCCACACTGGCACGAACGCGTCGGCGGGCGTCGAACGGACCTCGAGCCCGCTGGCGCGCCATGCTCGCGCCTCGCCCTTCTCCGGCGCGACGGGCGGCGGCTTCGCGACGCGCGCCGGCAGGGCCGCGGCCTTCTCCTTGGCGCGCGCCCGCGCCGTTTCCTCGTCCAGTCCCTTCGTGACGAGCTGCTGGAAGAGGGACTCCTCGAACTTGGCCCGGAAACGGTCTGTGGCCTCGACACCCGACGGGGGTTCGGGCGCCGGCTCTTCCTCGGGCGCGTCCTCGACCTTGCCCGTGATCTCGTTCTCGGCGCCCTCCTCCTGCTCGACGATGACGCGCAGCGGGTATTCCGAGGGCGGCGGCGGCGGCGGGAGGTTCTCGATGGCCAGCTTGACCTGCTCGGCGTGCGACAGGCGCGGCTCGGGCGGCTCCTCGAGGATCGGTTTATCGTCGTCGGCCTCGTCCTCATCGTCCGGCAGGAGCTGGCGCAACGTCACCTCGAGGAACTGATCCACGAAGGTCCCCACGGTGCCCATCTCTTCAAAGTCGAGGGCGTGGTTGTAAAAGACGCGGCCCTGCGCGTCCGACAGGCGCCGGTAGCTATCCAGGGTGGACTGCTTCGCGGCCTCGTAGTTGTTGTTTTCCCGCCTAGAATCCTTCAGACCTGTGCACAGATCAACCAGTGAGTAAAGCCGCCGTGAAAATTTGATTTATGCTCAGCTCCAGACCATAGACCTCGAAGTCGCACGTGTTTGCCACCAAATGCAAGGCAACGCCTTCGAACGACCGGGCGATGGAGCCGTACCGCGACAGTGCGTCGTCGAGCCCATCAACACTTGAGAAGCTCGTGACGAAGAGGATCGCCGCGGCGCCGTCGCGCCAGCGGTCCGGGTCGTCCGGTAATCGTACGAACTTGACGTCGGCCGCTTCCAGTAACACTACGCCCGTCGCGACCCGTGCGGCCGCCTCCAACAACAAAGTGTCCGGCTTCGTCGATGCGCCGATGGCCTCGGAAATTTGTCTCAACAAGAGGGCCGTGTCGGCGGCGTCGGTGCCGGCCACATAAATACGCACTTTGCGCTGCTCCAGGAGATATAGAGCTTCTACTTCTGCCGGTCCCGCCGTCTCGCAGGCGACGCCCCAATCGATAAGTGCTCTTCGCGCTTCCTCGATGAATGCGAGCTCTTGTTTTGAGTACTTCCTTTTGGTGGTAAGGCTGCCCAGGGCCTTGATTTTACTTAACAGGCCCATCCCCTCGTCGCACGGCTGCCCGGATGTGCTGCCCAGCGAGCGCTGGGCTGCTGGGACTGGGGCCACAGCGGCTCGAGCGCCGAGCGGCAGATTTTGAGCAGTGCTAGTGTGTGTGGTAAGCTAGGGCCGCATAAATAATCGTGTTTGCGGGCCCGTCCGCGCGAAGCGTCCACATTGGAGGACGCGCACTCATTTTTTAAGCACCAGCCAGCTTGCCTGAGCCACACTCCAAGTCCCTTCGCGTGAGGAGGCGTGCAAGGCACCCAACACAGCTGCAGGGGTGCAGCACGATGGGCCCGCCGCGCGACAAGCAGGTCGCGCTCTCGACGTTCTCGTATGTCTTCAGCGAGCTTGTTCAATACAACATGACGAAGATTAGGAGCTCAGCGGAACTCGAAGCCAATCTGGAAAAGCTGGGCAAGGACCTCGGGAAGCGAGTCCTCGATGCTTTGTTTCACCGCGACCGCCTCACGAAGCGCGAGCTCACTGAGGTGGGAATATTACAATTCATCTCCACGACCGCGTGGAAGGCCTTGTGGGGCAAAGCCGCCGATTCCCTAGAAAGATCTACGGATCGAGAGGATGAGTATATGATAGTAGACAGTGCTCCATTGGTCAATCAGTTCGTGTCCGTGCCGGCCAACTTAGGCGCTTTGGATTGCGCGGCGCTGATGGCGGGGGTGGTGGCAGGGATACTGGTGTGTGCCCGGCGTCCCATACGCCATCGACGCGACTCACCACTCGCCCCGCGCAGGACGGCGCCTACTTCGCTGCGAAGTGTACCGCTCATCCTAGAGAAGAGGGCGGGACCGTGTTCCTCATACGTATCGGGCACGACGAGGCTGAGGAACAAAAAGAGCCGGAGCTCGTCGAGATGCGGCCGGTCCTGCCGCTGGCGGACCGGGCGCTGGCATGATTCTAAGTATGTAGTAGTGAATAGTCACCGAGAACTCTTCTTACTCCACGGCTTCACGGGCGTCAGCCCGCCCTTCGACGCCCGTTTTCGAGCCTCTGCAATCAACGTGTCGTCGTCCGCCAAGCCGGAGATCTCATCAACAGACAGGAGAGATATCGCGTCGCGCTCGTGGTCCGGCGCGCGCGCGACCGCGCCCGTCGCGCCCGTCTCGTACGTCTTGTCGCCGGTGCGGCCCGACGCGTACGACCCGCTCGCGAGCGTCGGTTCTGAGACGTGCGAGGCGTCCCTACTGGCGAACGTCGCCTCCTCCTCCAGAATGTCCTTCCCGGGCGATCCGCTGTCCTCGACAACGACTGATTGCTGCCGCTCGAACAATTCCTCGAAGACGTCGCTCACAAATCCATCTCTTTGTTGTCGATCCAGGTCGGCCCAAGCTCGCCTCACCTGATTCAAGGTCGCTGTCGACGAGCCGGGCGTGCAGGGGGGCAACCTCCGTCTCGCAGCACTCAGCAGCGCGGTCACCTCGAAAGTGCTTGCATTCCGAACCTCTTCCTGGAGCTCCTGGAGTTTTTCCGATTCAGCTAGTTTGGAATCGCGGTCCGCGCGGGCAGCGGAGAGGCGGCATCTTACAGAAGCGTCGTCAGCGGCCTTGTACCTATTCTCCGGCGACGCCACTTGCAGCACGGGCCGGCGCTGCCTCCTCATTTTGCGTTTCGTGGTCATGCGCCGCGCCGCCGCGCCCTGACGCCGCCGCGCATCCTTGAGCCGCGTTTTTAGTTGTGCAGCGTCCGCTTCGAGCACGTCGATCTCGCCCCGCAGTCGCACCTGTGTGGAAACCAACCAGTGAGTAGACGCAGGCAACCTCGCGTCGATGGCGTGGAAGCTCCACGCCATCGAGCAGACACAGAATCGCACCATCTCCTCTCTATGCAACACCATCTCGCCGTCCATGCGCTCCATCTCGACGACCTGCTGCCGCGTGTTGCGCGACAGGCGCGCCTTGGTCTTTGCCAGCTCGGCTCGCCTAGCGGCTAACAGCGCCTCCTCGGCCGTCTTCTCCAATTGTCGTTTGTCGCGCGCCACTTTACGGGAGTGTTCTTCCTGTTCCTGGCGCCGCTGGCGCTCGAGATCTTCGCAGAGCGCGTGCGTCGCGACGAGCTCGGCTTGGGTGCCCTCGCGTTTCTCCGCAAAGTCCTGTAACAAACGCCGCTCCTCCTCCGACGCGCGGGTGGCCGCATCTATGATGAGCATCTCCTGGGCCTGTTGCGCGGCCATGGATGCTGCTTCATCTTCAATCTGTCGTCGCTTCGCAAGAGACAATCGATTCGTCTCGCGGACCCGCCGGTCGAGCTGTTGCAGAGCGTCGCGGTTGTCGCTCAAACGCTTCTGCGCGAACTTAAAGGTCTCGAACTGGACGTCGCGCCGCTTCCGGATCTTGGCCCTTGCTTGTCTGTTTTTTTTGGACCATGCAATCAGCGCTCTTTCCTCGTCGGCGTGGGCCGCGTGGACCACGGTGCGCCTGAAACTTGTGACGGCGAGTCTCGCTTGCTCGGCGGCGAGGGGGTCGATCTCCTCGGCCTCGGTCGCCATGGCGGCTGGCGGTGTGTTCGATGCTCCCCGGCGGCGTGTCTGGTGCGCCCTGCACGACGAAAGACCGGCTGCCCCGGCGCGCCCGGCCGTTCAAGAGAGGCACAGAGGTGCGCTGCGCGAGCCCCCGCCCAAGGAGAGGACGCGCGGCGCTTCAAAACCAAGGAGAGCGCCGAGCGCTAAAACGAGGCACCCGTACGTTTGCGCCCACTGGCCGGCCGCGCTATAGAAGCCGGGAAGTGCCTTCGGCTGCGCGCTGAGCGGTAGTGGGCGAGGAGAGGAGTAACCGTACTAGCGTGACGCGCACTTAAAATGGCTCTGCGGAGCCTCCAGGGAGCAGCTGGCACTGCTGCCCCCCTAAACAAGGAGCACACGTATTCGCGCCCAGGAGGCACCCCTCGGCCGCCCACGTGCACCCGAAGCGCAACGGCCTATCACCGCCCGCCTGCGCCGGAGAGGCAGCCCCACATCTGAGAGGCAGCCCCATCCACGCCATGCAAGAAGGAGTCGCCCTCGCCGAGCGGTCGCTCCTAAGGACACCAGAAGATCACGTAGCCGCGGCGCCTCACGACGCTAGCATGGACGACGAGTCCGTGCTCATGCGCCCGTCCCAACGACCCTTCCTGAGAACGATCAAGGAGCACAAGCCCGTCCGAATCGTCACGCCGAAGCGACACCTGTTGAAACAAAACAACACCATCTCGGAGACGGGCCTGCAAATTGTGAAGATGACCTGCCGCGACTCGAGTACGAAAGGAGCGCTGCTGTCGGTCGCTGATCCTGCGGCCTGGGCGATGCTCTCGCCGCCCCGGAAGAAGACCGCGCCCGACTACGAGCGGTGGCGCAACCGCCTCGACTTTCAAGCCGCCTACGAGCCGGACCTCTCGGCCACGTCGCACCTCGTGACGCCCTCCGAGCCGGCCCTGTCGCCGTCGATGTCGGAGATTAGTGATTGTACTTTTGACGGCTATTCCTCACCAATACCAGTCCGGTCCTTCGACGCCGTGTCGCCGCCGCCGCCCGTTTTGTCCGACGACGACATCAGCCACAAGTCGATGCGCGACGCGTCGACGGTCTGTTTTCGATTGAATCGGCGGGAACCGCCGCCGCGACGATGGCGGAAACCGCGTGTCAGGCCCCACCAGCGAGCTGCCCTGCGCGCCTGGCGGGGCGGTAGGCTTGTTTTCGAAGCCGGCCGGACGCACGGGAAGTTCGAGCGACGGCCGCTGCCGGTGGCGTTTAACTTTAAGTAGTACTACAACTTACCGTGACGAGTCGGGAAAGTCCGCCGGAGGCGCGTTCTCCGCAGAAGGCAGCGCGCGCGGGTCGATGGCGTCCGTGCTCCGCGGGAGCACTCCGAGCTCGTCGCGCCAGTTCTGGACGAAGGCCACGTGTTTTTGTTGCAGCCACCTGACATGAGCCTCGTCGTCGGCGCCCGGGCGCGGCGGCACGCGCATGAGAATCATGGCGAGGATCGCGTCCAGCAGCGCCGAGGGCGGTTCTGATGGAGGCGGCGGCGGCGCGGCGGCCACGGCCGCGGCGTGCAGATCCCGGGCCATGCCCGCGGCGACCGGCAAATGAACGTCGTCGTCCGGCGGCACGGCGGGCGGCGAGGGCGCGCGCTCGACCTCGGGCGCGACATTTGTAGCCGTCGTCTCGGGCGGCCGCGGCGGTCGTGGTGTCTCGCCCTCGTCGTCGGCGTCGGCGCCCGACTCGTCGCCCTCCGTCGGCGCCTCATCCGACTTGGCGTCGTCATCATTAGTCTCGGGCTCCGGCGCCGGCTCGTGGTCCGCGAGATCATTAATCAACCCCTCGATCTGTGTCAGGCGGCCCTCTACTTGTGTCAAAACGAACTGATTCTCCGGGGTATCGTCCTCGAGAGCTCGTGTTTTGCGCTCCGTGAAGGCTCGTTTCGCATCCTTCAACCTTATGAGAGCGGTGTTCCGCCGGTCGCAGCCATTCGCGAGCTTGTCCAGTTCTCCACTCATGGCCGCGAGCCAGCGCGGGTCGCGCGCGCAGCCCAACAGCAACGATTTGAGGTCCCGGACGACTTCATGCTTGGACGGCGTCGCCGCACTTAACAGTAGTTGTCGCGAACTAAACCCGTCTATTTCTTCGGCGTAGGGCGCCAGCACGAGCCCGTCCTCCAGCGCGCGCCGCGTCGCCTCATCCACTTTATCTTTTGGTACTTTAACGACGGAGGGCGGCGGCCGCACGGACGCACAGAGGGCCTCGATCGCATCGCACGACGCCAGCGGCCGCTTCGCCTTCGCATCCATCCAAGCGTCCCGCTGAACCAGCAAACAGGGCACCTCGTCGTCGGCCCAGGGCTCGCAGCGCCACAGGTCGTCCTGCGGTTCTTGCTCGGTTCCTTCGTCTTCCTTTGGTGTCGGCAGCTCGAGGAGGTCGTCCTCTCTTATATCTTCCCAGCCGTCGGGCTTCTTGCGGCTGCGCGGCGGGCCGAGGCGGCGGCGCGGCTTCGGCTTCTCGGCCGTCTTTGCTTCTTCCGACATTGCTGCGATGCTGTTTGTGCGCTGCTGCAGCCTGCAGTGGTGCTGTTTGGCGCTGCTACAGCCGCTGCACGATTGCAAGCGATGCAGGATCGATTAGGTCGATGCGTGCAGTCACAGATGCTGTGGTTTGCACTATTTTTGCTCTACTCTGGCGTGCCGCAAGCGGCGCTTTGCCATCGCGGTCTGCAGCAGTCGAGGCCTCGGCGCCTGCGTTATTTCTCCCGTCAGCCTTCTCCACTGGTGCTACAAGCCTCCTTGAGCGTGCGAGAGGTCCAGACGGACGTCCGTGGAGGCGTCCCTAGTAGCTTCACCATGTGATTTCGGCCTTGCGACGCCGCCTCTGCGCGACGACGCGAGCTGCCCAAGGGCGCTCTTGCGACGCGCGGACTAGCCAGAGGGCACGCCAGCGCCGCGAAGGCAGCCCCAACCGGCGACGCGCCGCGAGGCAGCCATGGATAAAAGCTATGGGAGCAACCACACCTACACGCTCCTCGACGACCAGGACGCCCTCGCGCAGCACCAAAAGCCGCAAACGATGTGGCAGTCCCTCCGCTCCTTCTTCCTCAAGGGCAGCCACAAGTACGAGCATCGCTTGCTGTGCGGCGCGCCGCTCGTTTTGCTAGCATGTCTCGGCTACGCCTATTACTTTGGGTTGGTGACGATGCGCTGGACCGTGCTGGAGACGTCGTATATGTTCGCCATTTCTGTCACTACGGTTGGATACGGGTTACCTACTGAAAGCGATCTGGACGACCTCGACTCGCTCCAAAAGTGGTCTTTAGTTGGTTATAGTTTCGCGATGGTCATTCTAGCTGGATGTGTGTTGGCGGCGATTGTTGCTGCCGTGCACGAGGCCGCGGAGAACGAGTTCGATGCTCATCATCATGACGAGGAGCAGCATAGAGCAGGGAGGTCTCGAGCCGTGGAGGCCGGAAGACGGCGAGCCATCTTTTTGAGACAACGAGTTAGACGTCAACTCCTCGAGATCCTCATCCTCGCCTTCGTGGGTGTGTTTGCCATCTCGTTCCTCGAAGAGTGGGGCTTTGCCGATAGCAGCATCTGGGTCGCCGAGACGGTGACATCATTGGGTTTTGGGGAGATCCAGGCCGAGTCGACGGGCGGCATGGTCTTCACGATCGTCTACTCGTTGGTCGCGACGCTGCTGTTCGCTCGAGTTATTGGCGTCATCAGCGCGTATCCCGGGCTGGAGCTCGAAAATGCGTCGCTGTCGGAGGCGTGTGCGAAGCTGGGCTTCGCGCACGACAAGGGCCCGCGGCCAGCCATGGACGAAGATGTCATAGCGGCGCTGTTTCCTACACAAGCGCCCTTGGCGCGCGGCGACGTGGCGCTGCGGGTTTTGTTGGAGTTGGGCCGCGTCGAGAAGGCCGACGTGTTGGACGCCTACGAGGTCTTCGACCGGCTGAGCGGTGGTATGAAGGAGCTCAATTCGGAAGCCGCGGTCCGCGCGGCGCGGGGGCTCGGGTCGAGCGAGGTGTAACTTCCTGTTTTTGTGATTTAGATTACAGTGACTTCAGGGGGCGCGGCTAGCCCGAACCCACCAAAGGAGATTCACATTACAAATACACGTCCTCCCGGCCCGTTCCAACCCGTTCAAGTTGACCAGACTTCCCGTCAAACGACGATACTGAGACTCCCTCAATTATGGTGGCTTAAAGCTCGCGCCGTCGCCGGGGAGCGGCCGCCGTCTACCGCGCGGCGCCGCGAGGCCGGCGGGTTCTTCCGCGAGCTCCCGCGCCGAGGCGTTCCGCGGCGGCCGGCAGCACTTTTCGCCGGCGGCCACGCGCCGGGAGATGGCGTCGAAGAGCGCGCGCGCGACCGCCAAGACTTCGTTCTCGGCGTCGCAGAGCTCGGCGTCGATGTAGTCCAAGACGGCCGGATCGGGCGCGCAGTTGATGCCGGTGCAGGCGTTCCGGTGGGGCGGGCGCTGGCGGGGCTCGTGGAGGACCGGGGAGAAGAAGCTCGGGAAGGCGCACGCCAGCAGGTCCAGCGTGTCGCCGAAGCGGTCGATGAAGCCCCAGACCGCGTAGTCGCGGAGGTGGTCGATGGACGCCTCAATCGTCGCGTTCTCGCTGCCGCCGAGGAACTTCAACGCCGTGTTCTTCATCGACCGGAGCATGCCGCCGTACGCGCCCCGGGCGCAGCTCACGTTCCGCAGGCAGCCCGCGTCGAGGTCCTTGTGCGTGTACACGAGCTTCGAGTACGAGCGCGGGGCGCAGGACCGGAGGAGCTGGAAGCGCCCGAAGCTCGTGCCGAAGCCCTCGAACTCGGGGTCGAAGTACACGTGGCCCGTCACGAAGACCGACGCGCCGCCCGCGGCCTTCTGCCGCACGTACTCCCGCTCCTTGATCGCGAGCGCGCGCTCCAGCATGTCGCGCTTCTTTGCGGGGTCGCCTAAGTTGCCGTACGCGTTCCCGAGGTTATTCAGCGTGCGGGCCACGTTCGGGTGGTCGCGGCCGTACGCCCGCTCGTCGATCGCGAGCGCGCGCTCCAGCATGTCTCGGGACTTGGCGTGGTCGCCCAAGTCGCCGTACGCGTTCCCGAGGTTATTCAGCGTGCGGGCCACGTTCGGGTGGTCGCGGCCGTACGCCCGCTTGTCGATCGCGAGCGCGCGCTCCAGCATGTCTCGGGACTTGGCGTGGTCGCCCAAGTCGCCGTACGCGTTCCCGAGGTTCCCCAACGTCGTGGCAACGGCAGTGTGGTCGCGGCCGTACGCCCGCTCGTCGATCGCGAGCGCGCGCTCCAGCATGTCTCGCTTCTTCGCCTGGTCACCCAAGTCGCCGTACGCGTTCCCGAGGTTATTCAGCGTGCGGGCCACGTTCGGGTGGTCGCGGCCGTACGCCCGCTTGTCGATCGCGAGCGCGCGCTCCAGCATGTCTCGGGACTTGGCGTGGTCGCCTAAGTCGCCGTACGCGCCCCCGAGGTTCGTCAGTGTCTTGGCCACTTCCGGGTGGTCGCGGCCGTATGCCCGCTCGTCGATCGCGAGCGCGCGCTCCAGCACGTCTCGCGCCTTGGCGTGGTCGCCTAAGTCGCCGTACGCGCCCCCGAGGTCCCGCAGCATCTTCGCCCGGGCGGCCGGGTTGCGCTTCAAATTGTCCTTCCACTGGCTTGGCGCGAGGCCGAGGAACGCGCGCTTCGGAGTCTCGCGCGCGTACCTCTGAGCCGTGTTGTCCATCGTCGTCGAGCCGCACTTGCCGAGCTTGTTGTAGAAGATGACGTGTGGTTCGGGCGTCGCGCTTGTCCTGGCGCACCAGGCGGCGGCCAGGGCCTCGGCGTCCTGCGCGGCCGCCGCCGCGCCGCAGCCGAGGAGGAGCAGCGCGACGCCAGCGAGCCCGCGCATGGCGCGCGCACGTTAAGGGGCGGCGCCGCGCCGCGTGCCGCGCTATCGGGCTGCGTTTTGAGGGTGGCGAGACGACGTGCGCAGCTGTTATAAATGCCCAAAATTTGCGAGGCTGCAGTGATGGTGATGTTAAAGACGTACGCCGATCTTGGCGCATATAAGTTTTGATGCGGCCGCGCGCGAGCGGCTCAAAGTGGCGCCACTGCACCCGCACGAGCCCCCATGGTGGCGCCTCCCAGGGTGGCGGTATACGGTCGAACACCAATTACATACTAATACGCGCCCGCAGCCGCCGCAGCCGCTAAGAGGTCCGCGGGCACGTTGGGCGCGCCGTCGTCGTCGTCGTCCGAGTCCGAGTCGTCCGACGACGAGTCGGAGTCGCTCGACGACGACGCGGACTCAAGGCCCGCGGCCGCGGCGGCCACGGCCACGTCCCGGGGCACGCCGCCCGCCGGCGCCGCCGCGGCGCGACGCCGCTTGCGCGCCGGCGGCGCGACGCCGAGCAGCGGGTGCGACGCCACGACGGCGCCGGCCTCGTCCTCGTCGTCGTCGTCCTCAGAGTCGGAGTCCGCGGCGGGCGCCGGCCGCGCCTGCTTCTCGACGGCGGCGCGCTGCCGCTCGTCCTCGGCCTCCGCCGCGCGCCAGCCGCGCGCGACGCTCCCCAGCACCTGCGCGACGCCCGCGCAGAGCGTCGTGTGGCGCTCGCCGTCCTCGGCCGGCGGCGCCCGAAATATAGCCTCGGCGCGCCCGACCGCCGCCGCCATCGAGGCCTCCCGCTTCAGGGCCCCGAGCAGCAGCTGCTCCAGGAACTTCGGGTCGTGCCGCGCGCGCCTATCCAGTTGCTTCTGCGCGCGCGCGACGGCGAGGTGCTCCTGCACTTTTTCTTTGTGCGCGTCGGCGAAGGCCTTCACGAGCGCCTCGACGCGCGGCGCGTCCGTCGCCTCCAGGTCCAGGGCCGCGCAGACGGCCGCGCCGGCGCGCGGGCCGTCGCGCCGCCTCCCCTTGCCCTTGCCTCGACCGCCGCGGCCGCGGCCGCCCTTGCCGCCGCGGCCCCGGCCCTTGCCGCGGCCCTTGCCTTTGCTGCCCTTGCCGCCGCGGCCGCGGCCCTTGCCGCCCGCGCCGCGGCCGCGACCTCCTCCGTAGTGGTCCGCCCGCGGCGGTCGCGGCGGTCGCTCCTCGCGCGGCCGTTTCGGCGGCGCGCGCGCGCACGTGGGAATCGTCGGCGCGCCGGGCAGGATGGGCCACGCCCCGAAGATGGGCGCGCTCGTCTTCGGCGGCGCGTAGTCGTCTGGTGCGATTGTTGTTTTTGTCTTTGGCGCTGCCGGTTCGGTGCCGAAGACGTCGAGGGCGTTCGTTTTTGTTGTTTTTGGCTTTTTTTGTTGCAGCGTCGAGAGGCTACTCAGGAAGGAGTCCATTTCTTTGGCTCGTTTCGTCGACGGCGCGCGTTTTGCAGCGCTGCTAATGCTGCGGCTTTGTGCAGCACTTTTTATCCGCCCGGACTTGCCGCGATCGACTGCACGAGGCTGCGCTAGTAGTAAGGCGTCCCAATCACTGATTTTCGCTGCTGTTGGCAATGAATAAGCTCGCTGCGGCCTTTGGCTCCTAGCTAGCTAGTGTCTTACAGCACGCTAGCTCCACATGCACTTTTTGCGTTGAGGCTCTAACGAGCGCCTTTGCTGCGTCGGTAGAGCGCCTCGCGCCCCCTCGGCGTTCTCCAGGGACGACTGGGCCCGCCCCTGCCTCCGCTCCCGGCCCCCGACCGTGGACGGGCCCCTACAAGCTTGTGCAACCCACAACCAGTACAACCGCACCCCGACGGCGCGCACCGGCACAACGGACAGCCTGAACGCCCAACAACAAACAACGGCTGACGCCATCGCAGCCGTTGTTACACAGGCAAATATTGAAGCCATGGCCGCGGCACCCAACATGTCAGCGCTCCCCAAGCACATCCTCACCGCGACGGCCCTCGGCAACGTCTCCGTGCTATCGCAGTGGATTAATGACGGCGGCGATCCCAATGCGAGGACCATTGACGGGCACACGCTGCCGAGCGTCGCGGCCATCTTCTGTCGTTTAGATTCCATGACTGTACTGGTAGAGAGAGGAGCAAGGGTCGACGTCGCGGATGGCGACGGGTGGACGCCTCTCATCGAGGCTGTTGTGTTCCAGCCGGGCATCGAAAGCAACGACGACCACCGCGTGAGGAGACGGGAACTAGTCGATCTATTGCTGACGCATGGTGCCTCAGTCGATAGGAGAACGGCCGATGGTATGACGCCGTTGATGTTGGCCGCAGCTCAAGGACACATGGACATCATAAGGTTGCTGTTACGACGGGGCGCCGTCCTCACTCTGACAGATGGTGCGGGCCGCAACGCGGAGGCCGCGGCAGAAAGGCGCAATCGCGACGACGCCGCGGAGCTGCTGAAGGAGGTTCGCTTGAGTGGCGGGACCTGGAAACGATATATTTCGGAACCGCGGCGCGACCTCCTGGTACTGCGTGTGTTGTGCTCTAGGGGCCGGGCCATGCTTTCGCCGAATGAAGGCAGGTTGGTGGGCCCGTCGCAGGGCGGCGCGCTCGCGCGGCTCTTCCCGGCGCCGCCGGGCCGGACGCGGCGGCAGAAGCGGATGCGGCGGCGCGGTCCGCACCTGCCGGACGAGCTGTTTTGGAGGGTCCTGCAGTTCTGGCGGTCGGAGCGGGACTTCCCCGAGGAGCCCGAGGACGTCGCCGCAGGCTACGGCGACGACATGGTCGACATCCAGTTCCACGATGAGGAATCGTCTCTCGATGGCTGGACCGGACCGCCCGGTGGCCTTGCGTAATTTTGTCCCTAGGGCTATGTTCTTACTGGCTCTCGATGTCCGCCTGGATGGGCTTGTCGCGCTTCGCGTCTTCTATCTGCTGCACGGACGGCGCGACCTTCTGCGCGGCGAGGACGAGCCAGCCTGTGTTTGAACGAGTGAGCCGCCGCGTCGATGGCGACGGCGCGTCGCAAACGTTGAGGCTCGAGGACGCCGAGGCGTGCTCATCCGCGCGGTGCGGAGCCACCGCGAGCACCCGTCCGCGCGGATCCAGGTCGTCAGGTCCGTGTCGCGTACTTGAACGTCTGAGACTCGCCGTGGTCGCCCGAACTCAAGAGCGCGTGCTCCATCAGGCGCGGGTAGGCCTGCACGAACTTGAGCGCCCGCTTGACCTCGCCTCTCCAGAAGATGACCCCTGCCAGGGAGTAGCCGGCCCACGCGCCGACCTGTGTGGAAATCGAAATTTTACGGCGCGTTCGCCATCGACGCGACGCCTGCTCGATGGCGTGGTGATGCCGGTTCGCGCCCGACGCATTGGTTGATTTCCACACAGGCGCCGACGAGATATGGGACGAGCGGGCCCGCTCCGAGCAACGCGCCGGCCTGTCCAAAGAATAGGCCGGATGTTGTCGAGACAAAGGTGGAGAACGCCACGAATCTCCCGACGAACCGCGCTCGGCACGGGACGATTCCCAGGCTGGCACCGAGCAATTTGATGCCTGCATCCTCTACTCTTATCATGACAGATGTCTCTGCTTCGGTGTGCTTTACGCGTCGACGTTAGAGTTGAAATCGATCACTCGTGACGCAAACACCGCGATTCAGTCGCGAAGCGTCGGTAAAAAGAACGTAAAAAGTGATTAGACGAGCCGAGCTAGCGGCCTGTAAGACACTAGAAACACGAGCCTTGCTGCGCTGGCGCTGGCATTGTCGCAGTGATCGACTTGAGACGATCGTGAGCAGATCACGGCTATCTATTACTACTGCACAACGGCATTCTACAACTCATCAAAAGAGATGAGGTGCATAGCAGCATTTGTGCTGCTGCATTGCGCCAGTGCATTTGTTGCGCCGACGGCGTCGACGCGACGCAGCCATGTCCAGCTGCATGCTGCCGCAGTCATCGAACCTGCGAAGGACGTCCCGAAACTACTCGAGAAACAGCGAGCGACCGTCGATGCATTGAAGGGCGTGGCTCCCGACTTCTCGGAGGTGGCACTGCTGCGCTTCGCGCTGGCGTTTCCGACGCAGAGCGAAGCGGCGACGGCCCTGAAGGAGACGCTCGCCTGGCGCAGCGGAGCAGGCAGCGAGATCGTCGCCAAGGCGGGTGCGGCGTACAAGGAGGCGTTCGCTACGGGTAAGTGGAACAACGACCCCGTCCGCGAGGGCGCGCCGCATGCGAAGACGATCAATCAATACATCACCGAGAAAAATATCCTCACCATGTCGACGGCCGAGGGGGATCTGGTCTACGTGATTCGCGCCTCTCTCATAGATGATACCAAAATGATGCGTCAAGTGAGTGTCGCGCAGCTGACGGAGTTCCTGCTCTACGTCAAGGAGATTCACGCGCTCGTCGCGGACGCTAGATCAGCAAGGACAGGCCGACTCTGCACCGTCGTGTTCGCTAACGACATTTCGGGAATCTCACAGATCCCGGACCGAAAGTTCTCCCAAGCCCTGACGCAGTCATCAGAACAGTACGAGAAGCTGTACCCATCTTTGGCCGGCGCGACAATGATCATGAATCTGCCGTTCGTTTTGCAGGCGTTCGTCGGGCTCTTCACGCCATTATTCCCGCAGTCGCTTCAGGACCGCCTCAAGTTCGTTCCGGCTCCCTATTTGGGCAAGCTCAAGGACCTCACGCCGCTCGCCGGCGGCGCGAGTCGAAAGGTCTTCCTCGGCGAGCTCAAGCGGCTACTGAAGAAGTAGGTCTGCGTGTTGTGTGTGTAAATTCAAGAATACTTACAACGATATCATAATTCAAGCCAGCGGCTCGGACCCGAGCACGGCCAGCGTCGTGTTGAGCAGCTGGAGCTCCGCCGCCGGGTTCGCCGCGTCATCAATAATTTGATGAGTGGGCTGATAGCCGAGCACGGACGCCTCGAGCTCCTCGAGCTCGCGCATCTCGCACTGGAGGAGCTCGTAGCGCACCAACCCCGAGCCCGCCGGCGCCGCGCCGCCCGGCCGCGGCCGCAGCCGGGCCGGCACAACCACAGACGCATCTAAAGGTCGTCGCAACTCGCCGCGCGGCGACGCCGGCCTCGCGCCATCCAACCGCGACAACAAATCCTCCTTCTCGTCCCTACATAACCCCATCAGTTGCTTCAGGCGCCGCGCATCCTCAAGAGCTTCTAACGTCCGCCTCCTGGACCTCTCGGCTAATTGATGTCTAACAAACCATCTCCGAAAACCAGCGGGATGCGCCACGAGCCGCGCGTACAGCCTTTCTTCGCGACACGGCAGCCCCACTCGGACTTGCACATCATCCCGACACCGCAACGCCGCCGTCGACGACGCCAGCAAAGCTTTTCCGATGTCTTCTTCTTGCGCGACGACCTCCAGCAACGGCCGCACACCACCGGCATCGCGGATCTGCAGCTGGTTCGACAGATCTCCGTCCGCGACGTTCCGCAGAGTCTCGGCAAGATCCCGAGCCGCCGTGCCATCATTATCATCCTCTTCAAGAACATTCTGCAACAAATTGACCACGGTGGGAATCACGGAGTCGTCCTCGTTCACGGCCTCCTTCAGCTGCGTCCGCAAGATGTCCTTTTGGGGCTCTTCGTGTTCCTGCGGTTCCACGAGAGCTGCGAGAGCGCCCGCCGCTTGGACCGCCGCTGCTGGCCTTTCATGACCTCTGGACAACATAGTAACGAGTTTCTGCACCGTGTCCGTCTCGGCGAGCTCCGAACGTAGCGTCTCCTCGTCAACCTCTTCATCATCAACTGCGTCGCCGGCTCGGACGAAGGTCTGGAGCGTTAGTGCTGCGGAGGCCTGGCCCCACTCGTCGCCGTCCTCCAACAACTCCACAACTTTTTCCACACCGCCGGCGTCGCGCACGGCCTGCAACGCGCCCGGCGGCTCTTCGTCATCATCTGATAATACTGCTGATTCTTCACAGGCCACCTCCGAATCAATCAGCGTCCGCATCGTCGCCATGGCCGCCTGCTTCTTGGCCCAGTCGTCGTTGTCTTCTAAAACACCTACTACTGCTTTCGCGGCCTCGCTGATGCCTTCCCTACCCAAACCTACGAGCGCTTTGGTGGCGTTCTGGGCGCTTACTGAATTCTCCGTCGTTTGGTCGAGGTCGCAACCGCGCGCTTGCAACGCCGCTTCCTCGGCCGGCGGCAAGGCCCGCGTCGCCGTCGCGACGATGCTTTCCACAACCCCAGGCCGCTTCACGATGGCCTCCTTCGCCTCTTGCGACGTCTGTTCGTCGTCCAGCATGAGCTGGAGCACGCCTGTGTGGAATTGACTCCGTCGCGAAACCGCCGCGGCCCGCCGGCGAGACGCGTGGACCCTCTGGCGGCCACGTCGACGGCGTCGAGGCAACACGCCATCGCAGCGACGGCGTCGACGCGACCACGTCACGTTCAAGTTCATTTCCCACGCTGAGTCAGCACCGACGGCGTCGTCGACGTCGCCCGGCTTCTCTTGCAGACATTCTGTGACGTCCAGCAAGCGCGGCAGTAGGAACGGCTCCGAGAAGACGCGATGTCTCGCTTCGCCACCTGCCCTGGCTAATTGCGAGATAGCGCCTAATGCTGAACTTCGAACTCGTTCACGGTCAGAGCCGAGCATGCCTACTATAGGCGCGGTGATGTCTTCGCGCATGACCGTTTCCAGGCGTTGCGGCTGTTGTTGGGGTCTACTCGTAGATACGACCTGTCGCAGGACATCGGCGGCGGCGATCTGCGATTCGGGATTTGATTCCTGTGAGAGTAGTCCTACTAAAGGAGCGACGCCGTCGTGCTCGACGACCGCCCTCACAGCGGCGGCCGGTCGGTGCGCGGGCCCGCCCCACGGGTTCTGTGACGGCTGATGATGCGTCATCAGGCGTAGAGTTTGGACGGCCGACGCTCGGTTTCTCGGGTCCTCGTCGCCGAGCTGTTCACAGATCACGCGGTAGCCCGGCCATTGAGAAGTAGGCTCCTCCTGGGGCATCGGCTGGAACGGCGGTTGGAACGTTGCTGCTACTGCGCTCAACGAGCTCCCCGAGGCGACGGCGGCCCTAGCCGCCGCTCGGGCTTCGCGTCTTCGTTCTAGACTGCCCTGGCCTCGTCGCTGTTTTCTTGGTTGTGTGCCGTTCGTCGTCCGTCGCACGGGCGGCCGGTCCTTCGGTTGCGTGCGGTAGCCGTTCGTTGCCGGGGCGGCGCGCGCGTAGCCATTCGGTTGTTGTTGTCTGTGGTAGGGTGCCGGCGGCGGCGGCGGCCGCGGCGGCCGCGCGGCGTAGCCGTGGTAGGCCATTTCTGTGGTCGCTTCTCGTCGGCGCTGTCGCTCTAGCTGACACAAGAAGTGCTCTCTCTTAGCGCCCGGTTTCGCCGGCGCCAGCGAGTTTGAGAGCGTTCCAGCGCTCAAACGACTTTACGGAGCTTCGAATCTGAGGCCGCGGGTGTGGTCGGTCCGTGTGTGCGCGCGGCGACGACTCTGCTCATACTCTGCTCTACCTCATAAATGGCGGGTTTTATCGCAGCCCTCCAGCGGCCCCGTCGAGCCGTCCTGATGAATGAAAGGCCCGCCTACGGCGTAGTAGGCTCGCGACGAACCAGCCCGTCCCGACAAGCAGCGCCCGCTTTTGTTGTCGTCGCGCTACGAGCTTGTAGAGCCGGGGGCAAGTGACGGCGCTGACGGCTGCGGACGGAGCACCGAGGCATCCTATTCAGACCTTCACCGGTCCAAGAACAGGCAGCCCCACCGGGACTGGGCAGCCCTCCCACCCGACAACCAAGCCTAATAGCACGACACTAGCCAGGCGCCCGACGCAAAAAAGAAAGAAGAGCTCGAGACCATGCCCAAGGGCAAGAAGGGCGCCGGCGACCCGGCAGACGGCCCCGACGTCGACGCCGGCGCGAGGGCCATCGCCGAAGTGATGAGCTTACGAACGCAACTCGGCATGCGCCAGACGGCCCTGACGGACGCGGAAACGGCGAAACGCCAAGCCGAGGAAAAACTAGCCAAGCTGCGCGCCGATTTTGATCAAGAACAAGAAACCGCTTATGAAATTAGTAAGGACATGACCAGGCAGTACAAGGGCATGCAAGAACAATTGGTGGAGCGCATCACGCAGCTGTCGAACACGGTGCAGGACCTGCAAGATAAGCTCGATGATGCTGAAAGTCACTTGGCCAAAACGGTGCGGGAGAAGGACGAGATCATAGCTTCAAAAGATGAGGAAATTTCGCAAATGAAGGCGAAGATGGAGGACATGGCCCGCGAGTTCGGCGGCATGCTCAAGGAGACGCTCGACAAGATGCGCGAGCGCATCGAGCTGTCGTCGACGAATTTGGAGGTCGACGTCGTTCCCGACGGCGCGGCGGTGGAGGCGTACGGCGTGTAAGGGGGTTTCTGAGGTGTCTGTCGGGGCGCGGCGATGGCGTATTCGTGGGGACGTGGTCGTCGCGCGGTCGTCTAGAGCGGTTGTCGGGGCGTCCAGCGTAGACGTCCAGCGGCGTCCCGGGCCGTGATTCGCCGCGCGTCCGTAGGTTCCGTGCGGCGCCGCGTTACCAACGGACGGGAGGAGTGGTGGGAAGCCTCTCTGGCGGGTTCGCGTGCGGCGCGCGACCTCGGGGTGGGGGCTCGAAAGCCGAAGCCCGGCAGCCCCTCGCGAGGGCTCTATCTACAGCCTGCACAAGCCGCATTCGTGACTGCAGACGCAGCGCGACCGCGTACGTCACCCCGAATCAGTCATCTAGCCACTCGTGCAGCGAAACTCCGCGCGGCTCGATAATAGACAAGCTAGCAGCACAACAGTCCTCAGCAGAGGCAAGTAGGCAAGTAGCTGGTCGCGCGCGACCTTAGGCATCACTCGTCACACAAGACAGAAATCATGGATGCTCCTCTGTCGGCCGGCCGCGGCCCGAAAGATCCCTCGGAGCGCAAGCCGCGTGGCGGTGGCGGCGGCGGTCCTCGCGGCGGCGCCCGCAGCGGTGGAGGCGGCGGCGGCAGACCTGGCAGAGGCGGCCGCCCGCAAGTATGCTACAACTGCGGCCAGGAGGGCCACATCTCCGCCGAGTGCCCGAACCCCAAGGTCGAAGGTGGTGTGAAGAAGTGCTACAACTGCGGCGAGCTCGGCCACATCTCGGCGGACTGCCCGCAGCCGCGCAAGGAGCGCGAGCCGAGAGCTCCCCGCAACGGTGACCGCAAGGGCTATTCTGAGCACGACGACCGCGGCGGGAAGCAAAACCGTAAGGAAGACCGGGCGTGCCGCATCTGCGGCAAGATCGGTCACTTAGCGCGGGACTGTCGCAGTGCCGGAGCGAAGACGGACAAGACCTGCCGCATCTGCGGCAAGGTCGGCCACCTGGCCCGGGACTGCCGGTCCAAGGGCGCGCAGAAGGGCGGCAAGGGTCAAAAAAGAGGCCGCGGCGGCCCGCGGTCGGCGTCGGACTTGGACAAAGAAATGGACTTATATCATGGCAAGCCCGCGAAGAAAGGCAAGCCGACCGCCGACGAGCTCGACGCGGAGATGGATGCGTACAACAAGGCGGCGGCCACCGGCGCCGTCGCGGCGGAGGCGTAGAGCTCGACCGGTCTATCCCGCGCCACCGACGGCGCGCCGCCCGCAAAGACTAAGTTCCGCTCGTACGATTTGCTAGCGGCCGGTAAGACACTAGCAAGCCAGTCTCTGGCTGCGCAAAAGGCAGATTCATTGGAATCAGGCACGCTTTGCTGCGGTTTGCGGCTGGCGCGCTGGCGAATCAACGCGCCTGAGCTGCAGGCCAAAATTCAAGAACAGGCGCCAGTTATTTCGACGCACACCTCTCAGGCTCTCCCAAGCCAGCCAACCATTCGCCTCACTGCGTCGCGGCGCAAAGCTCGGTTTGTATAGCGCGGGCGCCTGCTGTTGATTTATTTGTGCAGCAGCGCCGCGGGAGTAACCAGCAGCCGACCCCACAACGCCCGGAGCGATGCCGTGGGTCTGCTGCAGCGCGAAAAACGACGTCGCCGACGACAGCAATCTAAAACCGGCCTCGAGCGACGAGGATTTGTTGAGGAGCGCGAGCGAGCCGTATCACGAAGATGAAAAGACGCCCTTCGTGCCGCTGCGGGGGCGCGTCGTCGATCGAAGATTGGAGCAGCGCGGGACGTTGTTGAGGCCGCCTCCCGAAAAGAACGCCGACCACGCCGAGTGCGACCCGTTAAAGGAAGACGAACTGGCCTTCGCGGACGCGATCAAGGACAAGCTCAGTCCCGAAGGCCGCCAACTCATCGAGGACGAGGCCGCGTCCCACGCTCTCATAAGAACCGTAAGAGGCTACTGGACTTATGATGATCGAGAAAATGAGGCCTGCAAGTCCCTCGAGGCCTTTGTGGAGCTACGAAGGAAGTACGACCTCAATGAACTCGCCAGAGGAGATCAAAAGACGATGCGTGAGGCTCTTAGATTACTCAGGCAGTGGCGCTCGATGAGATTTGCGGGGTTTGATGTCTATGGTCATCCCATCGTGGTAGAAAGGGTCGGCCAATCCTTAAAATTGACAGATAAAAAGGACATAGAAAAAGAGGAAATTATTAAAGGAAGGGCCGTCTGCACGGAGTTGTTCCAGGCGCTGAAGTACGCCGCCTCGAAGCACCACGACCCGGCAGATCCCAACAAAACAAAGGTGCTGAAACATATCTATGTGGTCGACATGAGGAACGTCAGGACGTGGCACGTCACGTCGAGGTGTCGAGACCGCTTCCGGAGCATCATGCAGACCATGGAGTTATCTTATCCCGAGGTCGCGTGGCGGACGTACGTCGTCAATGCGCCAAAGTACCTTACAATCATCTGGGTCGTCATCAAGTCCTGGCTCGACCCCGTGACGACGTCGCGCGTGGCTATTCTGGGTACGGACCAGAAGAAAGTTCGTGAAAGGTTGCTGGCTGATAATATACCGCTCGACGCGATTCCCGCGTGTTGTGGGGGGGAGTCGCGGGACGTGCCCCTGTCCTTGCTGCTCGGGTCGCACGACTCGTCGACGGTGTCGCACCTGTCGGAGCTGATCACGCCTTTGAATGGAACGTCGCCAAAGGAGGTCGTGGTGGCTTCGGAGGTCGTCGAGAAGGCGCCGGTGGCGGAGGAGCCGACGACGTCGCCGCGGCTCAAGGCCATCGCGCTGGCCGTCGTCGCGGCGGGCGCGGTCGGCGGCGCAACCATGCTGGGCGCCTAGTATTAAACTGTGTAGTGAGTGATATTTCATTAGGATGTCCCCGGCGACGGCGTCTCGCGGGCGGCGAGCGCTGCACGCGACTTTTGTATGTGGTACTCAAATCCCGCTACGGTCGGATGCTGGCCACCGTACACCCGGCGGGCGCCCCGTGCCGAATCCTCGAGCGTGTTCACGGCTTCGCGGAGATCGGCGAGCGTGGCGTCGCTGTCTTTGTAGTGCGCCTCCGCGTAAATCCACTGCATCTGGAGTTGGATGCTAACTCGAACGCCGAGGGCGGGGCGCATGAACGCAAGTCGCTCCGGCGGCCGCAGTTCGCCGAGGGGCAAGACGACATCCTCAACATGCTGCCGATCCGCGCGGCGCCGGTGCCGCCCGTGCGCGGGGCGCAGCTGACGCCGCCGGCGCCCGCGGCGGGGCCCGAGCCGGTGGAGCCGACGGCGCCGCCGGCGCCCGCTCCGTGGCCGGCTCCTTCCGATTTAATCCCGCCGGTCGTGGCGGCGGCGGTGCCGCCCGCGCCGACTACGTCGACGGTTCCGCCCGTTGTGGCGGCAGCGGGCCCGTCCGCGCCTATTGCGCCGACGGTCCCGCCCGTCGTCGTGGCGGCTGCGAAGCCGCCCGCGTCTATTGCCGACTACGTGACGGCGGCGGTGCCGGCTACGACGATCCCGCCTGTCGTGACGGCGGCGCCTCCTCCTCCGGCCCCCGTGCCCACTACGTCGACGGGCCCCGAGCCGGCCGCGCTGCCGTCGCCGGAGCAGTCGCCGCCCGCCGCCGGAGTCTGAAACACCTCCTCTCCGTGTAATATTTCCCCACGAATACTGCATTGCCGCCCGTCGCGCCGCCGACGACGAATCGGCAATGCGCAGTGAATGAACACACAGACTATTACCGCTCGCCCCCGAAGACCAGCGTGTGCGCTTCGCGGGGCGTCCGCCGTAAGGAAAGCGGCTCGGACCGCCGCGGTGTAAGAGGCCGCGCAAGATGCGCTTGCAAGGGATCGAAGACCGACGAGTACACGGCCCGCCGCCGGCAGGCGACGGGGTCGTGGTCGTTGTCCCTCAAATTCTCCAGGTACGCGTCGAAGACCTCGGCCTCGCCCGAGTACGGCATCGTGCCCTCCGTGCCGCTCTGCGCCACGGTCCGCTTAAATGATACCGGTTGTTCCGTGCCGTCCTCGAGGAGCAGCTGCTGGTCCCGTTTCCTCTCGTTCTCCGACCACGTCGCGTGGGTCGCCTCGGCGTGCCTTTTGAGCTTTTCGCCCGTCATCATGTCGACGATCTGGAGCCTTTCTTTAATAAGTTGGGACATGCCCGGGCCTCGTTCACTATCCTCGGCCGCTCTTCTACGATATTCCTTGAGGCCTGTTTCCCAGTGCGCGCCACTCCAAGTTCGAGGTGGTAATTCATCGACGTCGATGTTCCGGGCCTTGGCTTCCAACTTGCGACAGTAGGTCACAAACTCTTTATGGCCGTAATATTCCGCGGTAGCTTCGGGCAGCCAGTTGTCGCCGTCCGACGCCTCGAAGAGCGGTAAACCGCCTTTCTCGAGCAACGCCTCGGCGACTTCCACCAGGCCTCGCTCCGCGGCGAGGTGCATGGGGGTGCGCCCCTGGGCGTCGCAGGCCTTCCAGTCCGCGCCTCCTCGCAGTAAACATCTAGCGGCATCGCCTCTTGTGACCAAGTGGAGCGGTGTCGACTTGCAGCCTTTGGTGGTCCCATTGGGCTTCGCGCCGGCCCTCAACAACACATTGATGGAGTCCGCCGAGCCCGCCGACGCCGCCAGGTGCAGGGCCCGCCAGCCCTGCGGCATCGTCACGGACTCTAGGAGCGCGCCTCGCTTCACTAAAACCTCCACCGCTCTATAATTGCCGGCGACCGCCGCGACGTGCAAGGGCCCGAAGCCCAAATCGTCCCGTTTGTTCACGGGCCCTTCCGGCCCCGCCAACCACCGATCTCTCGCCGCCGGCGCCATATCCCCGCAGTGCTTGCGCACTACACCATCGAGATACCCCTCGATCTGCTGCGCGCGCATCGCGCCGACGACGTCAGGTAACGCTAAAGGTCGCGAGGCGTCGGGCCGCCCGTACGACGCCGGCCTCCCGCAGCAGCGGCACTTGAAAGCACTGGCGACGTTGTCCTGGGCGCAGCAGTGGCACTGCCAGGGCTCGCCGGGCGCGACGCCGTCGCCCCGCCTCGTAAAGTTGCGGGCCTCGGTCCGGTCCTTCTCGGCCAGCGACTGCCCCAGCAACGCGTCTCGTCTTGACACCGAGTGGTCCTTGAGGCCCAGATTCATGGTCACCGAGGCGTGCTGGGCCAGGAGGTCCTCGAGCTCATCCATTGTGAGTCGTGGGGCTGCCTCGTTCGATGAGTGACCGCCCAAAATCTGCTCATGGCTCTGGGCGCTGCGACCCGTTTTTTGTGGTTTTTGCGGTCGGCGGCGCAGCAGCGGGCCCCGTGGCTCTAGGGCACCTATAGATCACTAGCCGAGCGGGTAGCGGCACTTAGACAAACGACCTGCTTCACAGGTTTGAGCATTGGGCGCTGGCGCTGTGCGCAGCGCGCAGCGCACACGGCCGCCGGGGCTGCCCAACGACTCTAATCGACCAGTCTGAGGCTCAAGGATGCTGCCCGGTGACCGATCTGAGCGCTGCCGTGAGCGGTGAGTCCGCTCGTGCACGCTATTGACTGAAGCTCTCACGACCTTGGCGCGCAGCCCATGGACCTCAAAGTGAGCCCGGCAGCCGAGGACACACCAGAAGCAAAAGCACCGCTGCTGGACCTCGAAGCCGTCGAGCGACGGGTTCGGACCCTCGAGACCGACGCCCGGACGCCCGATGAGCCGACGCTGCACCATCTCGCGACGCGCGAGCCCACCAGTTTTCACCAGACCACAATATACTACGGGTTGCAACGCGAGGACACGCCGCCGTGGCGCAAGTACGGGCTCCTGGCCACTAGTATCGGAATCGTGTTTCTGCAGTGCTTCGTCGCTGTTGGACTTGCCCACGGGGTCACCTTTAGCACGTGCAGCGAGCATTCCGATTGCTCACGCGGCACGTTCTGCGAGGGGGGCATGTGTGAATGGTGCTATGGGCCACTCAGACCATGCTGTCAAACCAACTCGACAGACACCTGCGTGCTGGACGAAAAGCAAACAACAGAAGAAGGAGGATTTAGCGATGAATTGAGAGAAGAGAAGAATAGGGAAGCTATGTGCGCCGCGTGCACGACCAGCAAAGGATTCGAGACTCTGCAGGACGTTGTGAAGGACCGGATGGAATCCATGATGCTTCAGGACTGGCTGACGCTCTTCTTGGCATCGTTAGTCGTCGCCTGTGCATAAATCAACCAGTGAGCGTCGATGGCCGATGCGACGATTCAGCACGAACGCGCCTGAAATTTTGATTTATGCACAGGTCGTCGCGTTCGCCGTGTTCGCAGAGATACGGGATTGTATGCTGTGCGAGATCGCCTTGCGAGAAATATCAAAGCGGCGGGAAGTCCCACGAGGCTGGCGATATGCCATAAATGGCCTTAATTATGCCAGGTATATCTGTCTGCTTCCAAATATAATTTACTCAGTCATGGCACTTGTATATGAGGACGGCGGGCGAGTGAAATACTTGTGTCTCAATACCGTTGCAGTACTCTTTTTGTTAGAGGTGGATAACCTGGCGTTTCTGCACGGTCTCGGCGAGCGCACCCGCATGGAAGCAGAGCAACATGCTCATTCGGGGGCACGCGTCACGGAAGATGACCTGCAGCTCATGGGCGTGGTAAAGCTCGTGTGCGTGATCCTCATCCCCTGCACCGTTCTCGTCGGCGTCTGTGGCCATAGCTGGGTTCCGGACGAGCCCGACACTTTTATTATTGCGTTTTTTCCTTTACCGTCTATTGCCGTGCTGTTCGTGCAGCGTGTGATGGCGAGTAGACGCAAGCTCAAGGGGGCCTGCAGCGGGCTCGGCTGGGCAATTCTCAACTACTCTATGTATGGCGTATGGGGGGGTTGTTTTTACGCGGTGACGTACATGCAAGCCCAGGGACCAGAGGTCGTTCTTAGTTGGGGACCATTGCCATATGCGCTCGCGGCGATGCTTGCACTGACGCTCGTCATATCGATTCTCACGGATTTCCCACCCTCGCCGTCGACTGCGTCTTCGGGATTGTCATGACGCGCGCGTTTCATCCGCGGAAGTAAGTTTTATTTCTAACAAGCGCCCGCGATAGATACATATTATCCCATTTTTCTAGTGTGTTACAGACCGCTATCTCGATGCCTTGTGCTTTTTTAGCCTCATCATCAGCGCATGCTGGGAGCTAGAAAGCGTAGAGCAGCGCTTTGCTGTGTTTGAGACTACTTCCAATCATAGATTAGCTGCACAAGTGCGGTGCTGCAAGGCTGCCAGAGAGCCTCATGCTTGCCATCGCGCGCGTCGCGCCGCGCGCCGCGCCGTGCACCACGCTCCGTCTGGCCGCGCACGCTTCGCGAACTGCGTTGCGCGTTGCAGCGCCCACTCCACGGCGACCGCTTGCGGGCCGCGCGCGGCGCCCGAAACGACGAGGCCCAGCGAAACCACCGCCGCACAAAGCGCCGGAGACGAGCAAGCCGCCGCCGTGGACGGGCTGGTGGAAGGACGAGGCGCCGCCCGACGGCGAGAGCGTGGGGCGCACCTTGTGGGGCCTCGCGAAGTTCGGGTTCTACTTCTGGGGCGTCACGACGTACGTCGTCGACCTCACGCTCTGCACGGGGCCGTCGATGGAGCCGACGCTGAACGCCAACAGCGACCTCGTGTTGCTGGATCGCGTGTCGCCGCGGCTCGGCCGCATCGCGACGGGCGACATCGTGGTGGCCGACTCGCCGACGCGGCCCGGCGAGACGGTCTGCAAGCGCGTGGCCGCCGTCGCGGGCGAGCGCATCCCGGGCAGCTTTTTCGCCGACGTCGTGCCCCCGGGCTGCGTCTGGCTGCTGGGCGACAACCGCCGCAACTCGACGGACTCGCGCATCTATGGGCCCGTGCCGACGGACGTCATAAAGGGACGGGTCGTTTTGCGAGTCTGGCCGCTGGACCAGGCGCGCTTTTTTATTTAGGAGTGTAGGAATGTATATTGTGGTGCTTACTAGATCACCACCAAAGTATGCCACGCCTAGCAGCCACCTGGAGCATCATCATCTCCGTAGTAGTATCCGTCGTCGTCATCCGAGCAGGCGTCCGGCAGCGCGGCGACGGCCGAGTCGCGCGCGATGATGTAGCCGCCCCAACCTGCGTCTGACACGCACTGGCAATCGTCCTGGCAGAAGCACCAGCCGTCGTCCTCCCACCAGTCAATTGCCACGAGAGCGTCGCCGAACTCGTCTATGCATATATTCCAGCAGTCGACCGGCGACGCCGCGCAGCCCATATCCTGATCCAGGTCGCTGTAACACCAGCCTGCGTCTCCGTGGTTCGTCGTGCCGCTCAGTGAGGAGGTGATGTCGCCCGACAGCTCGCAGCTTCCATCGGTTACGCCCTGACACGTTTCATGATACCCGCATGTCCAAACCCCCTCGCATTCATCGATGGTACCATCGAGGTCATTGTCCCAACCCCACGAGCCCGTTGCCGGGTTACACCTAGGAAAGCCGCCCATAGCCACCGTTAAGTCGTACGGATCACAGCCTGAGTTATCACAGGAGTCGCACCTCTCTCCGTGCCACATATGTCCGTTGTCGAGGCACTCCATCGTATAGAAGCCGCTCTGACATCGGCCTTCACATGGATTGTCGCTGGTGCACGTGCCTTGATACTCGACGCCGCCGAGGTCGACGTCTCTCGTGTAACACACGGTTTTGCTCCCAGTGAGCGCGTCGATCGTATGCGGCGTACCGACTGGTCGGAGGTAGCACTTTTGGATTTCTCCGCCGACGCATTCGCAAAGACTGCCGTCGCCCGAAATTATGGCGGCCTTCGACCAGGTCATCCCCGCGCACTGGTTGAGGCAGTCTTGGGGCGTGCTAGCGGGCAGGAACATTTCTGTCAGGTACTCCACGTGCGGGCCCTCCGTGTAATCATAGCAATCTCTTGCCCGGAAGGATAGGTCCAGGGAGGAGTAATCTGGAGGATCCATCCGCGCAAACATGGAGCAATGGGCCTTGCGCCAACCGGTGCCCTCATCATCCGACCAACACGAATAGCCATCACCTAGGTGAAAGTCGTCATCTTGACCGTCGCACCGTTCGTCTAAAATGTATGAGTCGCAGACGCCCTCTTCACACATAAGGAAAGGCTGGTCGCAGCCCGGTGTAGCCGCGCAGTCCGCGTAGCAGCTCGATTTTGCCTCACAGTCCTCGTCGGTCTCGCAGTAGCCGTCCAGGTCGTTGCCCCACTCGTTGCAAAATCCAGTTCCCTCCTCCCCTAATTCTTTATCCTCACACCAATCGAAATCGGCGCACCACTCGTCGACGGGTTCATCGGCGCACTCCACCGACAGGACGTAATCGCCGGCAGCAGACGCGCCACGCTCGTTGTCCTCCCAGCACTCCTGGTCCGCATGTCCGGTGACCTGCAGCACATACGTCTCGCCGGCATCTAGTGGCCCTCTGGTCCAGACATTCTCGAATTCCCTGGACGAACTTGGAGATTTAAACACGCAGGTCTCCCATCCTTTATCGTTCCACGTTCCGAGCACGTTCGCGTGACCCGCGCCCGGTGCTGGCGCCCGCAGGCAGGTGTCAAGGGTACTGGAATCCTGTACCTGATATAGGTATAACATCGTATCGAAACTCGATCCGCAGGTCGAGAAGTGATAGTACGCGGTCTCAGAAGGCGTGATCAAATAGAAGTGATCGGGCGCGTCGTTGCCTGAGAGCCAGTGCGCCTCGTGAACCGTGGAACCAGTTCGAGTCTCTCCGCACGCGATAGTCTGGACAGGAAGTGACGACGTCGGGGCCAGCGACGACGTCGGAACGGCGGTGGTCGGGGCTCGAGAAGGCTCTGGCGAGAACGTCGGCGGGGCTGTGACACCGCCTACGTAGATGCGCGTAAACGAAGGCTCGTCGCGGCAATGGCCTAACGCTCCTTCCAACTGATGTTTGGCGTTGCAGACTGCCCCCGACGACCATTTGGTGGCGCCGAGGCCTAAGAAGCTATCTGATGACATGCAGTTCTCGAGTTCATTAAACCAGATCCCGAGGCGAAGTCTGCAGCTATAGTCCGAAACTTCAACATAACAGCCGTCCGCGGCCACGTTAAAGCCCTGGCGGTTGCAGTTTTCTTGGTACCCCGCGTTCGGCACGAGGCCGCGCCATTCTTCTAAACTGGCCGACGTTTTCGTGTAGCCACCGGCAAATAATTCTTTCAGGCTCTTCGGGTGACTGAGCTCGATGATAAGCGTCCTCTCCTCGGACCCCGTCCGCATCAGGACCGTAAACGTGGTCGAAGGCGTGAAGAATGCGTCCGTCTTCGACTCTCCGCCCTCGTCCAAAAGCTCGTCGTTTGTCCAGAGCGGCGCATCGTAGTAGAAAGTGTCTTTCGTGCCATCGATTGCCAGAGCCAGAGGCAGGTCCAGGTCCATGGTCGGCTTTGGTGAAACGGAGGGCGCCACCGTCGTCGGTTGTGGCGTCGGCCACGTCCAGGCGGAGCCCTCGGCCAGCTCGCAGACGAAGGGATGCCGGACCTCCATATCGCAGAATGTGGCGTGCCATTGTCCAAGTGTGGACTGATAGGCGCAATCGAAGCCCTGGGAGGCGCCCGGGCGCTTGTACCATTCACTGAACGTCGTCGCGTCGCCGGAGGTCCACTTCCAGGACCCGTCGCCTCCCTGCCTGTCGTAGCCGATCCAGAAGTCTCGACATCCCATGAGTTCGTTCATCGCGTCCAGGTCCGCCTCGGATCTAATGGTCACTAGGTGCGCGCTGCCGGACGCCCTCACCCACGGGCTCTCGCAGTACTTCTTCGCATCGTTCCAGGAGAGTTCGATCCCCTCCGGGACATAGTACGAATCCAGCTGTTCGTCAGTGACAGTCGTGCATTGGTCCGGGATCCCATAGCACGAACACGGCGTGATGTGAGGAATGTGTCGATATTCGCTGCAGAAGAGTTCGTCTCGGTCAACTCTCACGTGGATACCAGCACCGTCGCGGCGGGCACCGTCGAACGCGCCGCACTTCACTTTTGGTTTCGATCTAATCGCATTTCGCTGGAGCTCGATGAAACGGATCGAGTCGAGGCCCTCAAAGGTCCGGGGCTCGAGTTCGTCGATCTTATTGTTCTTCAAGTAAAGTTTTTCGAGGTTCGGGAGCCCTTTGAAGGCTCCCGGGCGGATCTCGGTGATGCCCTTGTTACTAAGGTAGAGTTCTTCGACGAACGCATTCACGTTTAGTCCGTCCACCAAGGTCAACGACTCCGCTTCGGCGAACACGTCGCAATTATGGAGGACGCCATCAGCGTCGCATTCACACGGCTGGCACGTCGAGAACACAGCGTTACCGGAAAGGTAGAGCATGGTCGAGCCGACGACGCATCCGGCCGTAATAACAAAGTACGCGGCAGCGCCCCAGCGCGGGAGGCGGCCGTGTTCGGCCGCCACAGCCGCGCGCGTCTGCGGCCCCGTATCCGTTTCCGGCGCAGAAAATAGGACTAGGGCTCCGTGAGCGACGAGAGCGAAACTCAAGAACACGGGGCTGGCGCCGGCCCAGAATATCGCTATGTAAACCGGACCGAGGCCGAGGGCCGGCATCCACGTCGAGAACGACGGCCGCCCGGCGGCGCGCGCCGCCAGCGGCAACGTTAGACTCATCACAAAGAAGAACGCGGTAGCAGTGATCTGCAGCTCGAGGCCAATCGCACAGATTGCCACGCACCACGAGGCGACGCACGTGACGACGAGCGCCACATACAGCTGCGGCGCGTATTTGCGGGCTGATACGGCCCCGTCGCCGGCCGCGCCCGGTGCCGCGGCCGCGCCTTCCTCATCGTTTGGTACTTTGTCTGACGCACCCGACGCCGTCGCGACGGCTACTTTTCGCAGCGCCCGCCGTTCTTCCGCCGCGCTCTCTAGCACCGATATGACAAAATGAGCGTGGAGCATGGGAAATAGGTTGCTAGTGTACTCAATTGGGTCGTGAGGTATGATCATGGGCTGGCTCCGGACGCCCAGCGCGAGAAATACGAATGGCACGAGGGCGTAGATGACGTCGAGCACCGTGTCAGCAATAAATGAGAAGTTCCGCTGATAGAATACGTGCCGCGACCGCAGAAGGAAGGTTGGGTAGAGGACGTTTACCAACAGCGCCGCGAAGAAAAATATCACGAACGCGTGCAGGAAGGAAGCGCTCCGGCCCTCGCTCATGGCCTTCCCGAAGCTTTTTGTACAGGTGGCCCGCAGGCAGTCGAAGGGCGACGACCAGATGAGGAATAGCGGTATTTTTCCGTAGGACTGCAGGAACACCTCGAAGATTTGGAAGCAGAAGATCTTCCAGACAAACAGCGTGCCGTCGTAGCCGAAGTAGCGCTCGTAGAGCATCGCGACGCGCGTCTTCTCGTGCCGCTGCTGCCGCGCCTTTTCGCCAAAGAAACCGGCGGCGCGACACAATAGATAGGCATTCGCCCAATACGGCGCGGCCAGAATGAGGCCGTACACCCGCAGTAAGACGTAGGGTGGACCGAACCCGCGCGTCGGTAACAGGTCCGCCCGCTTGACGATGAGATTGGCGCCTTTGAGCACGAACGCGTCGACGTAGAGCCAGCCGATCACGACGCTCAGCGCCGCGGGCACCATCCTCGCGACGAGGTAGGTGACGCCCTGGCGGCGCACTGAGGCCGTGCAGGTGGTGTTCTCGACCGGCGGCTCGAGCACGCCCATCAAGTCCATCTCTCGTGCATACTCATAAGCGACGTGCTGCCGTTCGGCGATGGACAGGATCGCCCGGAGGTGAATCTGCAACTCGGCGATGAATCCATGGTAGAGAAGGCTGACATTGACGTCGCGATACCCCGACGGCGTCGGATGCCCCCGAAACCGGTTCTTGATTTGGAGCACTTTCACGGTGCCGGCCGCCTCGAGAGCCCTCAGCTCATCTCCGAGCGTCTGTAACTCGGCCACCGTCTCGCACACGATCGAGGCCCGCAACACGTCGCGCAGGCGCTCGCCCCTGCCGCCGTAATCCACGGCGACCTTCTCGCGCGCGCGAAACAACTTTTTGAGCTGCGAGGTCTTGGTCTCGCGCGATGCCTCTGTCGGTGCTCGGCCCGCCCGCGCCAGGCGCTCGACGACTTCCACCTCGAAGCTAGCGAGCCGCGCGCGCGCCAGGACATACAGGCGCCGCAGCTCAGACGTCGACTGCACGAGCTGCTCATCTTCGCGTGCCTGGGGCTCCGGCCCCGCGTCGGCGTCTTCCACGCCTTCGAGGCACGCTTTAGTGGCCGTGTCGAAGAGCTTGCTGATCTTGTCGACGTCCTCGATCGTGACCACGGTGCCGCGGATCGTCGGGATCAAGTAGAGCACCGCGACGACGTAGAGCACGAGCGCGGCGATCCAGGCGGGCGCCGCGGTGGCGACGCTCTTGGTGAGGAACCAGAAGAATACGATGAGCCCCGTCGAGCCGACGAACACCGAGAGTACGAGCCGGTCGCTGGTCTCGAAGTAGCTCATCACGAGCGTCACCAGCGCGAGATAAGACCGCCGCTGCAGCCGCCCGGTCTTCGCGGCGACGGCAGAGTTGAGCCAGCCGGCGGAGCACGCCGAGCAGTAGCCGCTCTCATTGCCGTGGAACGCTCCGCAGCGGCCACATGGGTACGGCGCCTCGGCAGCCTCCGCCTCGTCCAGCAGCGGGGATTTCACGCTGCCCCCCTCCGCCATAAAGCTGCCTTCCTCACTGGTTATTCGTGGATAGCAAGCAGATGTTCATATTCGATGTCTCGCGACACTGGTGCCAATATCTGTGCGCGGTTTTACGCAGCTGTCTTTTAATCCCAAACTCTAAAATCTGCCCAGGTATCCTGAGTAAGATAGTTAGCCCACCGATCCCTCCTGCTTTGCGCTTACTCCATGCTGGTGTTGGGAGGTGTCTAGCAGTATACGCCTCGGTACAAGCACGACGTCCAACGGGTACAATCTGGTAGAGTTACGAGGGATAGACGCGTCCCGGACTCGTCAATCAGCTCGTCAATCCCTACAGTACGCCGTTTTGACGCACTGGAGTCCGTGCTAAAGGGGCTAGCTCACTATTCAAAACAAAAACTACTCATCCACAAACAGCAGCTCCCCGCGCGCGATCAGCTTCGGCGGATCCGCCGCGCGCGTCGGCCGGCCCGCGTGCGGTTGGCGGTGCGGGAACACCAGCAGCGCGCCGCGCTCGGGGTAGACCTCGTCGAGCACGGCGGCGCCGGCGCGGACGTCAGACAGCATCGCCGTCGCGCCGCCATTGGCGCAGGTCCGCAAGTAGAGGACCCACGTGTGCGTCGTCGCGGCGGCGGTCCCGTCGAGGCACTCCGCCGCCGGCTTCGACAGGTCCACGTGCGGGGCCATCTCGCTGTCGGCGCGGACGTACTCGACGAACTTGCCGCGCGGCGCGACACGCGCAGTCGGTAAAGCCCGGCGCACGAGCGCGTCGAGCCACCGGTGCGCGTCGACGAAGTGCCGCCGCTCCAGGCCACACTGGAGCTTGGCGGCCTTTGCGACCGGCAGCGACGCGTGCAATCGCGCGAGCGATTCGACCTCCGCCGCCGAGCAGCAGCCGCGCACGTAAGTAACACCGGGCGCGCGCTCCTCGACGCGTAGGTCGGCGGGCGCCGGGCCGGGCGCCAGCCGCGCCGCGTCGACGGCGGCGACGTCTCCGCGGGGCGGCGCCACGGCGCTCGACCGACCCAGGTCCGCGCCGGCGGTCCGCAGGACGTCCAAAAAGGCCGTCTGCCCCGCGAGCGCCGCCGCGAGCGCCGCCGAGCCGCCCTGCTCGTCGAGCGCGTCGACGTCGCACCCGTCGCCGATCAGCATGCGCTTCAGGCGCGCCACGTCGCCGCGCCGCGCCGCCGCGAAGAGCGCGTCCGTGATGCGCGTCCGGATTTTGTCGCTCAGGCGCGCGAAGTTCTGGCGCGCCTGGTCCGCCGTCCCCGACACGTCGGCGTCGAGCTCGCGCGCGCGCGTCACCGGCGCCGGTACGTCGCCGCCGCCGCACGCGGGACACGGTACGAACGCGCCGTAGGGCCGCCGCACCGCGAGGTGGGCGAAGAGGCCCTCGCCGGCCACGGCGCAGCCGCAGCCGACCCACCACCGCTTCCGCTGGGCTTCCTCGAGCCTCCGCCACGCGAAGCCTCTGGCCTTCGCGCGCGTCGGCAACGCGTCGCCCTCCTCGTTCGCGTGGCCGTCGAGCTCCACGACAACCTCGGGCGCCGCCTCGGCGAACCGCGCCGCCAGCACAAGACACCGGCTCGCCTCCTGCACCGGGAGCTGCGTGAGCGACTCCATGTCCACGTTCTCGCCGTCGCAGGGCCAGCAGGCGAGCGAAGCGCCGCCCCGCAGCAGCATCCCCACGATGCGCTCGCGGCCTCGCAACGACGCGTAGCGCAGGAGCGAGAGCGTCCCGTCGTTATTCGTGCGCGAGACCCAGGCCGGCGCCGGCGCGCCGCCGTCGAGCTGCAGCCGCGCGAGCCGCTCGATGCCGAAGGCCTGCGACCGCTTCTTGTCGATCGCCGTCACGAACTCACGTTGCGTCGCGGCGTCGGGCGCCTGGCGAGCTGTAGCACCAGACTGCACCTCCCACCAGGCCTGGCGTCGTCGCCTGAAGCGTGCGCTTTCGCGGCGGCCCATATTGCAGCTTGCAGTTTTTGCAGTACGTAGTTATTTCTCGCGAGGGTTCGTGGGCTGCAGAGCACGACTCTGGCAAAGCTATCTGCTGAATGGCGATGCTGATTGCTGCATAAACTAGCTACATGTAGCTCGCTCGACCAAAAGCTGAAAATTAAGTGTGTTTACGCTAGGGCATTAACTCTCGCGTGGTCGACTCGTACGAGGCCTACACGGCACATCGTGCAGTCCAGACGCCGCAGCCAGTCGAATACGGTTTTTACCCATCGCTGCGGGTGCCCAAGCCAACTCCGGCTCAAGACGAAGGCCAAAAAAACGCCATGCGCAGCACCATGGTCATGATGCTCTCGGCGCGCGCGGCCGCGCTCACGGGCCGTGCCTTACGACCCGCGCCGCGGACGCTAGTAAGAGCCGCACCCGTCTCGTCGTCGACGCCGTCGCAGAACCTCCTCCAGCGCCTGCAGGGCGTCGCCGAGGACGCGCTCAAGGTCGCGCAGGAGACGGGTCCCCGCGCCGCGCTGGCGCGCACGGTCCAGGGCCAGCGCGCCGTCCTCGAGACGCTCCTCGAGTTAAGGACTGAATTACCAGCCCCGCCGCCGCCCGCGACGATCCTCAAGGCGACGCAGGACGCGCAACGAGCCGCCGCGAGTGGTGGCGACGCCGCCACGGCCTTCGCCACACCTTTGTTGGAGTGGGGCCGCGAGAACGTGCCTCCGGAGCTCGCCCCTCGCATTGCGAGGAAGCTCGCCGAAAGACTAGGAGCAACTTATGTGAAACTCGGCCAATTCGTGGCGTCGTCGCCGACCTTGTTTCCGGCGGAATTCGTGCGCGAATTCGAGAACACGTTGGACGCCGTGCCGGCGATTTCGTATGAAGAAGTTAAAAAAGTTGTGGAGAGCGAACTCGGACCTCTTTCAGACATGTATGCGACGTTCGATCGGGAACCGGTGGCGGCCGCAAGTGTCGCGCAAGTCCATAGAGCGACCCTCAAAGATGGTAGAACTGTAGCAGTCAAGGTGTTGCGACCGGGCGTCGACAACCTCCTGAAAGCTGATTTAGGATTCTTAGAGGTCGCGGGCAAGGTCACGGAGGCCATCGCCCCGACGTTCGCCCGCGTGTCGCTGGCGAACGTCCTCGCGGACTTGCGGTCTACCATGCTTGATGAGTTAGATTTACGCAAGGAAGCCGACAATCTGGAAGTGTTTGACAAGTGGTTAGTTGAATCACAATTGGACGGCGTCGCGACGTGCCCGCTACCGGTGAGAGAAGCTTGTTCGGAACGAGTGCTGACCATGGACTTTCTCGATGGCGTTGCTTTAACCGATTTGGATGCGTTACGTAAGATGTACGGTCAAGATTTCGATGCGGAACGAACACTATTAAATGCGCTGAATACGTGGTCGCTGGGAGTACTCAGTTGTGATTTCTTTCACGCGGACGTGCATGCTGGTAATCTCCTGGCCATGGAGGACGGGCGCGTGGCCTTTCTGGACTTTGGGATTGTGGGTCGAGTGCCTCCCAGAATCTGGACAGCATTAAGGGATGCTGGTGCTTCTGTCGCGGCGGAAGATTATAAAGGCTTGGCCCAGGCGCTTTGTGACATGGGCGCCGCCGATTCGGTAGATATCGACCAGTTCGCGACGGATCTGGAAGCCTTGATCAAGTCGCTGGACGACGTGAACCCGCAGATCGCTCTCCAGGAGGCGGAGGGCGGCGTGGCTGCACAAATCGCGGTGGACGATTCGGAAATAACCGAGGTGCTGTTGAAGCTCGTGCAGCTCACGGAGCGCAACGGCATCAAGCTGCCGCGGGAGTTCGGGTTGCTCGTGAAGCAGGCTTTGTATTTTGATCGTTATACCAAGTTATTGGCGCCGGACCTGGACCTCGTGCGGGACGACCGCGTCGTGGGGTTTGACGATCAAAGGGCGGGGGCGATCGACGTTTGATGATCGCGGTGACGGCGTCGATAGTGGATATATCTTGTTTTGTGTGCAATCCATTTTCTTGGCAGCCATCCGAGCTAGCGCCTGTAAGACACTAGCCACCTGCTGTGAGAGCCAAGCGGCGTGTGACACCGCCAGGAGCGCGTTACGTGCAGCTCGTCTGTTCGTTGCTCCACAGCAGCCGTGAGGCGTAAGCGCACAACTTGAGCAACGTATGATGGCGCGTTTGATAGCGGTGCTCTCCGGACTGCTGTGTGCAACAAACGCTCTGCGGCCACAGACGCGGCACCAGTTCTTGCAAAACGTCGTCAAAGGCGCCGCGCTGTTGCCAGCCGCGGCGACGGCGTCGACGCGCGACTACACGCCCGCCGACGAGGACATGAAGGGCCTGCTCTCGTCCTTCACGACGGAGCTCGATGACAAGGACAAGAAAGCCGCCCAGAAGAAGATCGACGACGCGAAACCCCTCCAGGAGAAAATCAAGGCCGAGTTCGACGCCAAGAAGGAGGAAGCCGCGAAGCCGCGCCCCGGCCCCGGCGTCGCGACGCCGCGCGTCAAGAAAAAAGTAGAAAGACGCATGGGCGACGGCGGCGGCATGTCCGGCTACTCGTCGCTCGGTTACTAACTATCTTTATCCTGATCCCTAAGGCGCTTCGTGAGCATGTCCCGGAACTGGGCCATCGTCTTGTTCTCGGCCTGTTGCTTCTCTTCGAAGGTGATGAGGGCCAAGGCCCTTTTTTCCTCGGCGGAGTAGACCTGGTTCTCCTTGCGGATCCTAACAGCATTCATGCGCGCGTGGCGGCTCCCGGACATGACGTAGCCCGCGGCCTCGAATTTTTCGATCTCGGTCGACTTGAGGCCGATCTCGCCCCGCCGCGGCACGCGCATGTTCTTCTGGACGTAGGCGGCGATGGCCGCGCCCTCGCCGGGCCGCAGGGCCTTGCCGTAGTCCGCTTCGGACTGTTGCGCTTGTTGGCCTTCGGGCAATGGCATCGGGCCCTCGTCGTCGGAACTGTCTTGTTGTTGTTGTGTGCCGAGCACGGCCTCCTTGAAGTCCGCGGCCTCTCTCATATCATGCGCGTCCATCAGGGGTGGTTCCGCTTCCGGTGATTCGTCGGCGCGGCGCCGCTTCCGAGCTTTTTTTTCCTCCTTGCGGCGGCGTTTTTTTTCCTTCTTGCGGCGCTTCTTCTCCTTGCGCTTGCGGCGCGCGGCGCTGTCTTCCGAGGACGAGGAGGAGGAGGAGCTGCTCGCCATCGCTGTGCTGCTGCGGTTTTTTTGGTGCTGCGGTCGCTTTGCTGCTCTTGGGGTGCAGTCTGTGTGCTGCCCACGGCCGCGCCGCACGGATCGACCCGAGTGGCAGCGAGGCTGTCAGATAGCGATGCGACCGTCCGCCGAACCTCTGAGGACGACAGGGCACGCTACGCTGCGCTTCGACAGCCGAGTAAAAATGCGAGCTAGCGTCTCTAGGATACTAGCAAGCAAGCAGAAGCGTAACGAAACGCGTCCGTGGCCGCCGCCAGGCATCCCTCCGACCCCTCCAGAGACAGATCGCCGCGCAAAACCCGGGCCTCAAACCAAAATCAGCGCAAGAGAGGGCTGGGCAAAGCGCAGCCCGCCGTGCGCACGATGACGGGCAGCCCACGGCCCCCCGAGCGCTAGGGCGCCCACCGACCCATCACCCGGCACCGGGCACACCACCAGCACCAGGGGGCAGCCATGCCCACCTCCCTGCCCCGCCTCACGCCGGCGCGCCAGAGCACGGTCAGCACGCTCGGATCGTTAGTAAGCCGCGCGAGGCAAGCCATCCAGCCCCCGAAGGCGAAAACCAAACGAGAACAGCAGAAGGAGGAGCTCTTTTCGCACTACGTCCTCAACAAGGACCCGGAAGCGTCCAAGTACATGCCCTACGACGAAGTAGCGTATCCCTCGTTAGTAAGGAAAGCTAGAGATGTGGGGGAACTCCAGGAAAGCGCGCCCCAGGAGCTGGAGCATTTATATTTTGCCGGCCACTTGGACTACCTGCGGAGGACGGAGCAGAAGCGCGTCCAGGCCTCGTTCAAGCCGTTTTTAGCTCCACCTGGTGGCAGGATGCTGCCCGGCGCGGCCCTCGAGATGCGCAAGCATAGTGAGAGGCAACGGAGCGTCGCCAGACGAGAAGCCGCGCAGCAGAAGCGGGATAACGAGCGGGACTTTCTTGGTTTTCGTAAGAAGCCGCATTTGTTACGACAGAGTAAACCGGAGACTACAGAGTTATCAGATCTGGGCAAGTCGCTCTCGGAGCACGAGGAACTAAGGCTGAGGCACCTGGCCTCTTCCCTACTATTTGACGATAAGAAGCAGAACCCTTATGAGCGAGCGAATCGGTCGTTGAGGAGGGCCATCCGCAAGCGGAAACCAAGGCGAGTGGTCGCGTCGTTGTCGGTGGCACACGTCGGCGACGCCGTCGATCGGTATCGCGAGGAGGCTCGCGCTCAGCGAGTTATAGGAAGAGCCTTCCGCATCTTCGTGAAGCGGAGGAGGTTAGAAAGACGATTAGAACAAAACAGAGTTGTGGTGTCCTTACAAGCTGCGATGCGCGGGGTCATTGCTCGGAAACTCGTGGCCGTGTGGTACCGCAAGTTGGTGATCGTAACCATAAAATGGCAGGCGCGCATTCGACGCGCGTTATGTCAATTGCATCTTAAGAGGAGGTGGATTCACGAGCGGCGTTTATATGTTGTGATCCACAGCGCCGTGCGCATGTTTCTGGGGAAGTGTAGGGTGCGACGACGACGCTTCGACACGTGCGCCCGGCACATCCAATCTTTATGGAGAGGTTCTCGCGCGAGGTGCGTCGCCGACCGGACGTGGCTGGAATCAGTCGTCATACCCATCCAGAAGCAGGCTAGAGGCATGCGAAGTCGTAGTCGGTACGCGAAGATCCGGGAGGAGGTCTACGCGGCGACGTTGAGGATTTCGAGGTGTTACCGCGGCTACTCCGGGCGGCGAGACCGGAACAAGGCCTTGTATGAGCGGGAGTCGGGCGACCTGCGGGACTTACTCGCTCTATTGGGTAGTGAAGCCCAGGCCATGCAAGATAGGGCAAAAAGAACGGAAAAGCGGATCACGAAAAAGAACTTGCGGGCGAAGCGCGACGCCGCGAAGGATCGGGTCGATTCGCTGGCCGACGAGGTCATCACGATGGAGGCGCGCTACCTCCTCCTCATCCAGGAGAAGGAACGATTAACACCGAGAGCCATTAGTGGAGGCTACCGCGACGAGATGGACGCGAACATTAGTGAATACCGGCAGATCGTCACGAAGCTGAAAACGGAGCTGTTATTTGGGGCGTTGGTCGATCTGCGGGCCTTGGAGGGCGAGATCCGCGAGTCGGAACTAGTCGTGGAGCAGGCGCAGTTTTTTGCTGAAGAGGCGAACGCGGCGCGCGACGAAGAACTAAGAGCGATCTGGCGGCGGGAGTCGCGCATGAGGCACGACGCCGCGGCCCTCGACAAGAGACGGGCCATCGGCGACCAGAAGCGGGCCTGGCGCGTGAAATTCTTCACGGCGAGCGGCAAGCCGAAGAAGCGCGTCCCGAGCAATGATCCGATGGCCCAGGCGCATACGGGAGTCTACTGCGGGGGCACGGCTAATTTGTTAGCGTTCGAGGACACGGAGAAGCACCGCATCGGCTCCGACGAGGCCCTGGAAGCCTTAGACGATAAAATTCGGTTGCAGTCGTGGCTCAACCAGGTGGCCCAGGTCGAGCAGCTCTTCGAGCCGCTGGCCGAGCCGCTCCAGCGCATGCATCGCGCGGCGTCCGATATGAACGATGTGGATGGGCGCGACTTCACGAGGGTGTGCATGGGTGAGGAGGAGGCGCCTCCTCCGGTCGTTGTGGAGGCGCCCGTCGTGGAGTCGACGGCGCTCGCCGTCGTGCCCGGCTCGCCCGCGGACGAGTCGTACGACTTCTTCGGCGACGCGTCGCGGCCCGAGAGCCCGGCGCGCATCGCCTGGGAGCCGCCGCCCTCATCAAGGCCGAAGCGCGTCTACATGCCGAAGCGGCGGACGCGGCGGCCGCCCGTGTCGCGCGTGCCCTGGTCATTGCTCGACGAGCTCGACGCGGAGAAGGAGAAGTTCGCCATGCAGCAGGTCGGCGACACGTTCAAGGACCGCTTCGAGGCGGCCGACGCGAAGAAGAAGCGCGTCCGCCAGCGGTTCGTCGAGTAAGTTTACTGGTCTTGTGAATCCGAGTCGCGCGCGCTGCGCCCGGCCTCGCGGAGCCGCGACCTCCACGTATCACCGTGGAGCGGCTTCCACGTCGTCGCGGCAGGCCTGGGGCCGCGGCGGACCCGGCCGGCGGGACGCGAGCCGACGGTGCCGCAGAAACGGCAGATACAGCAGATTGCAGATTGGCCCAGTCTGCCTCAGATTGAGATTGAGAGAGAACGAACGACCGCGGCGCCGGCGCCCGCCGCGAGCGGGCGCGCGCGCGGCAACCTCGCTGCTCCTCCGAGGTCGCCCGACGCGGCCCGCGGCCGCGAGGTAGCGCTACCTCCTGGTGAGCTAGCGCGAGGTAGCTCACCTCCGAGGAGCGTGTCGCGCCAGGGCTGCCCCATGAGGCCCCTCCTGCTCTACATCGCAGTGTTGGGCTGCCCCCGGCGGCGGCCGACACCTGCAACAAAAACAAACACTGTGAAGATGACGAGTTCTGTAACTGCGACACGAACGGGGGCAGCTGTAAGAACCGCCTGTCGCAGTGCCAGACTGCGCGAGCGTCGGGCAGCCGAGCTTCGCCACGGGCACGGACACCTGCGAACGCTACGAGTCCGCCTGCGGCTACAACTGCGACGGTTCGGACTACCCGGCGACGGCGCCGGCGCCGACGCCGCAGCCGCACCGTGGCGATCGAAGGGGACACCATCGTGGTCGGGGCCCACTACGACGACGACGGCGGCTCCAACTCGGGCTCTGCCTACGTCTTCCGCACGAGCGACGATGGCGCCACGTACGTTGAGGTGGCCAAGCTGACGGCCGCCGATGCCGCGTCGTCCGACTACTTCGGCGCCTCTGTGGCGATCGCCGGCGATACGATCGTGGTCGGGGCTATAGGCGACGACGACGACGCCTGTCCCGACAATATGAACTGCGACTCGGGCTCGGTCTACGTCTTCCGCGAGGAGGGCTCGGGAGGCGCGGCCGGCGCGGCCACGGCGAGCGTCGGCCTCATCGTCGGCCTCGTCGTCGTCGCCGCCGTCCTCGTGGTCGCGGGACGCCTCGCGCTGAACCGCTTCCGGTCCCAGAGCCGCGCGAGCGAGCAGGCCGCGGCCGCCGACGCCGAGGACATCAAGCTGGAAGCGGCGTTCTCGGACGCCGCGGACGAGATGGCGGCCGCCGAACCGTCGACCGGCCAGAAGCAGGCCGCGCCCTGAAAAAATCATCCCCTCCCCTCCCCTCCCCATACTTGGAACCGACGAACCCCTCTGCGCTCCAAGAGTGCAAGGCCCTTCGCGCCCGCGCCGGCGACACGTCGGCGCGCGGAATACTAACCATCGATAAATCGCACAAACACAACATTTACCCGAGCGCCCGGAGCGCCCGCGCAACTCGCACGTCGCCCGGCGCGAGGGCGTCGGCCGCGAGGAGGTCGGCGCGCGCGCCCGGCGCGTCGCCCAGGCGCTGCAAGGCGTAGGCCCGCTCTAGAAGGGCCTCCGCGTACGCCGGCCGGAGCTGTAGCGCGTCGCCGAGCGGGCCCAGCGCGGCGTCGAACGCGTCCGCGCCGAGGTAGAACCGCGCGAACTTGAGGTGCGCCGCCGCGAGCGCCTCGGAAGAAGGCGGGTGGGCCCGCGTCGGCGCCGCGCGCTCGGCCGCGTGGGCGCCGCGGCACCGCTCGATCGTTTCGGAGGCTTCCTCGGGCCGGCCCGCGGCGTGCAGGGCCTCGGCCAGCAGCACGGCGACCTCGGGCTGGAGGCACCGCGTCAGAGCCACGGCCCGCCCGAGGGCCGCGACGGACTCGTCAAAGCGCCCCAGGTGCGCCGCGGCGACGCCCGCGGAGTGCAGCGCGCGGACGTCGTCGGGCGCGCGCGCCAGGACGGCGCGCGCGCGCCGCAGGCGGTCCGTCGCCGGCCACTGCGCCTGCTCGCCGACGGCGAGGGCCTCGCCGACGTTGAGCGTCGCGTGCGTCCAGCCGCGCGGCACGTACAGGACGTCGCCCGGCGCCTGGAGGCAGCCCCCCCGGAGGATCGCCGCCCAGTCCCGGATCGACGCGAGGGGGTGGACCTGTGTGGAAATCAACCAGTGCGTCGGGTGCATCCGACAATTCTTCACTAAGTCATTTCTCGGCGATGGCGCGGCCGTTCTGGCCCCGTCGAGGAAAGAGGAACCGGCGTCGCCACGCCATCGAGCAGGCGTCGCGTCGATGGCGTGGAGGTCGACGCGACGATTCAGCACGAACGCGCCGTAACATTTTGATTTCCACACAGCGGTGGACGGCCCCCTCTTCATCGATCGCGGTGCCCGGCGCGCGCAGGAACCAGCGCTTGCGGCCGGCGACGAGGCCGAGCCACGCCTCGCCGTGCGCATGCGGCGGCAGGCCCGACCGCGAGGGCCCGAGGCTGAGGAGGCCGTAGGACGCCGCCGCCGGGAAGGCCCGCGCCAGGACCGGCGGCGCCGCGAAGTCCCTCGCGAGCTCCGGCAGCGTGCCGAGGAGCCGCGCGTCGAAGGCGACGGCGTCGGACCCGTTCCGCATCTGGCGGAGGAGATCTCTAAGAGTGGCGTGGTTCGCGGCGCCGCCGCCCGCGTATATAATGTCCGAGCCCGTGCCGACGTTCGCCGCTCGATCGCCGAAGTGCTCGAGCAGGTACGCACGCGTCCACTTTTCGAGCGCGGGCCAGTGCGCCGCGGCCCCGCGCAGCAGCAGGGGCTTCTTGCCGCGGTACTCCGCCTCGAAGTCTCGTAACGAGATCGCGGCCGCGGCGTCGACGTCGCAGCCGTTTGGTGGGAGGCCGCGGAGCAGGTCCGCCGCCCCGGCGTCGCCGCGCCAGCCATTCCTCGGCGCTACTTTCTGCCGCGCCGCGAGGCGTCCGACGACTGCTACGGCTGCCGCGGCGGCCCACCACCACTTGTTGTGGCTCTGTCGTGCGCGCTTCCGCGGCATCTGGCGCTAGGGAACCATTGCTGCACTCTTGGGGCAGCGCGATTAGGCTGCCTTGCAAAGCCCACTCTGGGATGCTTGCTGTGAGATGCTAGTGCCTTACATGCCGCTAGCTACGCGGGGCCCCGGGGGGTGCCTGGCATCGTAAGGCATCATTGGAGATCATCATTGGTGCGTTCATACACACCAAACGATATATTTCCTGCCGCGACAGCGTCGCAAAGCTCAACCGCTTCGACGCGCGCTCAAGCGACACCCCAGGAACGAGGCTCACGCTAATTACGTCGCGGGGGTCCCCCTAGCCCTCCCGCTCCCCCACGGGCAGCAGCGACCTCAAATATGCCGGCTCCAACAAAAGCCTGCATCATATGTGGTGAAAAAGCGTCGCTCCGATGCAGCCGCTGTCGCCGAGGGCCGTTCTGCTCGGCGCCGTGCCAGCGAAGGGACTGGCCCGCGCACCGGAAGTTGTGCGTCCAAGAGTCCCGCAAACCCGAGGTCGAGGCCAGGGCCGCGCGCAAGCCCAGCCCGATGGCGGACGTCGCGGCGGCGCTGGGGCCCGTGGAGGCCTGCATTAAGAGGAAGGGCGCGGCCGCACCGGAGGATATACAAAGGAGCGACCGGTGCGTGCTGACGCTCACGCCGATGCTCTTCGGGCGCTGTGGGGAGAGGGAGTGTGGCGGGGAGGGGGACGACTACGACCGGCTCCTGGCGTCGCCGCGGTCGCTGCGGAGCGAAGCCGACGCCTTCGCGAAGGCCTGTGGACGGTTCGCGCTGCTGGAGCTGCTGCGGGACCCCGCGGCGGCCTTTTCGACGCTCGCCGGGCGCGACGGCGAGTGCTGCGTCGTGGAAGATTGCCGGGACCTGGGCGACGACGTGTTCTTCACGCTGGCGCCCGCGAACGCGCCGCTGGACCGCACGCGGCGCGCCGAAGTCAATAGGGCGGTGCAGCGCGGCGCGGGCCGGTTGGACGACGTCACGGCGGCGACGGCTCAAAGATGCGGCAAGGGAGACGAGTGGGACCGGGCGTTCCGGGCCTGCGGCTGCGACCCGTCCAAGGTCGTCATAAGGGTCGACTGCGCGGACCCGGCCGCGACGTTCGAGCCCGAGTAGGAACACACTTATGTTAGATTAGAGGATCCCACGCCGCGCGCGCGCCGCAGTAGACCGGCGCGTCGTTCTGGACGAGGTGCAGGACGTGCGTCAGACATCGGAGGTGCTCCGACGTGTGGTGCGTCACGAAGACGAGCGTGCCGCGGGCCGCGTAGGCCTCGGCCAGCGCCAGGACGCGGCCCCGCTGGAAGGCGTCGAGGCCCTGCGTGACCTCGTCCAGGATGAGGAGCCGCGGCCGCGCGGCGACGGCCGCGGCCACGAGCAGCAACTTCTGCTCGCCCTGCGACAGCGCGCGAAAGGGCCGCTCGAGGTCGCGCAGGCCGAGGCCCGCCGCGAAGGGCGCCGCGTCCTCGGCGCCGAAGAGCGCCAGCATGGCCCGGGCGCTTTGCGCGGACGCGGCGGCCCGCAGGTGCAGTTCCGTCGAGACCCAGGCGACGCTGCGGGTCGTCCGGACCTCGCCTTCGATGGATCGCGTCGCCGCCGGGCCCCACCGTACGCCGTCGTCGCCCGCGGGCCGCGTCAACAGCGCCGCGAGCGTCGACTTGCCGGCGCCGTTGCCGCCCGCGACGAGCCAGTGCTCGCCCGGCGCGACGGTCCAGTCGACGCCCCGCAGGATCGTCGTGTCACCGGTCGTGACGCCGAGGCCGCGCGCCTCGACTAACAAATCGTCTCCATCTAAAGGCGGGCCGAGGTCCCGTATCAGATCGGCGACGGGCGCGACGTCCGCGCGGGCCGTCGCCGCGAGCAGGCGCGCCTCGAGGTCGTCGTCCGCGGTCCGTGCCTCCGTCCGTGCGCCCTCCTCCGTAATCCAGGTCAGCCGCGTCACCTCGGGCAGAATTTCAGAAGCGCGGTGCGTGACCTGGAGGAGCTGCGTCCGCGCGGCCTCCTTGGCCGACGGCATGTCTCTGACGAGGATGTCGCCCCAGCCGCGCGACATCTGCGACAGCAACTTCGCCAGGGCCGCTCGGGACGGCGCGTCCAGCCCGTCGAAGGCGTTGTCGAGCACGACGAGGTCGGGCCGCGCCGAGAGGGCCCGAGCGAGCAGCACCTTGCGGATCTCGCCCGTGGACACGGCCTTGACGGGCCTCCAGAGGAGGGGGTGGAGGCCGAACCGTACCGCGAGGTACTTCGACGCTTTGGTCTGCAGCTTGCCCAGGGCTTCATAGACAGTAACGTCCTCCTTCGCGAGCGCCTCGTGGGCCTCGAAGGAGACGTGGGCCGTCCGGGCCGGCCGGTCGAGCGAACCGCTTTTGATGTGCGCGTCTCCACACAACGCGCGGCCGACGAGCGACTTGCCGCTGCCGTTGCGGCCGAGCAAGGCGTGGCCGCCGGCGTCCGCGTCGGCGATGTCGAGGTCGAGCTTTGCGGTGCCGTGTGCGAGTTCAGCTGCTCGCAGGGCGGCTAGGGGTGCGCTGGAGCTGCATCGTGCGGTGCAGCGCACGGCCCGCAGGAGTGCGACACGCATGAATCAGCCAGCACAATACATTTGTGCAGACTCTGCGGCGAGAGCGTGTATCTATTGGTGCTGCAAGTATGCCGTGCTGTTGCTGATCAGATTACTGTAGTGATGCCGGCAGATACACTCTCTCGCTGCTACCAAAAACGTGCGAGCTTCGCGAGGACGCGACGGTCAGCTAGCGTCCAGTAAGACACTAGCAATCTCTCCTGGTTTTGCAGACGGCGCTCTCGCAAGTAATCCCAGCACCGCCCGTCGGCTGCCCCCGCGTGCGACGTACCACCGAGGAGCATACTAGTTGCACATCACACCGCGCTGCTGCCCGACGCGCCTCGCGGCCAGAACCAAGCTCAATCCTAGGCTGCCCCCGGGCGCTGCAGGCATACCACCGAGGAGCATACTAGCTGCACATCACACCGTCGCGCTGCTGCCCGACGCGCCTCGCGGCCAGACCCAGCTCAATCGGCGCCACCATGCCGACGCGCCGCCTCGTCGCGCTCGCCCTCGCGGCCGGCGCCTCCGCCGGCTGCGACGTGTGCAGCAAAGAGCTCTATGACGGCCGGTGCGGGCCCTTCGAGCGCGAGGCCCGGGGCAGGTGGGCCGACTGGACGACGCTGGCGCCGGACGTGAGTTGCCTCGAGGACGTGTGCTGCGCGCTGCACGAGGACGACTGCTGCGAGCCGGCCGCGGGCCCGATCGCCGGCCTCGTGATCGGCGCCGTCGTGCTGTTGGCGTTCGTCGGCGGCGCGTGCCTGCGGCTCTGCGGCCTCGCGGGAGGCAGGGACGCCGAAAGGTGGAGTTTACGCACGTCTGGCCACTGCTTCAGGAACGGGCCGAACCCGAGCCACGTCGGTTTAGTGGCCTTCGCGTGCGGCGTGGCGTACCTCGTGGCCCTCATGCCCCTCCGGCACTGGACGAGCTACAAACTCGTCGTGGAGGTGAACCTGGTCGGGCGTCTGGAAAGCCGCGCGAGGTTCGACCTGTGGCACGGGGCGGTGACGACGAAGAACGACTACCTCGGGGATTCCAAGGACGAGGACGCCATCCTGGCGGACCCCGAGGATTGCAACGACGGGGACCAATTTTGCAAGTCCCTCGTCGAGGCGAACAACGCCGCGCAGTCCTTGGTCATGGTGGCGCTTGTCCTGGCGTCGGTCGCGTGCCTCGCGATCGCGGGATGGAAATTCTGCTGCGTCGGCGTCGACGGAGAACCGAACGTCGCCGCCTGCGACAAGAACGCGAACGCATTCGCGGTCGCCTCCGCGCTGCTGGCGGTCAGCGGGGCCGTCGGCGTCGCGGGCGCGACCAACTACAAGTTTGCGATGAAGGACGCGTTCCTCGACCTCGCCGACGCATCGCGCGAAAGCGGGCCCGTCGGCATAGGCTCCGAACCCTGCAGAGCTGGCTGCGCCCTGTCCATCGTCGCGGGCGCGTTCGGTATCATCGTCGGCGTGCTCGGCGTGGTCCTGCACGTTTACGGTGTCGTCGTCGAGGCCAGGCCGGCCGGCGCCGAGAGTCCGGTGGGCCCGATCACCCTGGGCGGCGTGAAGATCGATCTAGCACAAGAGGACGTGTGCTCGCCGCGCCGCGTGGACCTCGTGTACGCGCCGCTCGCGGCCTGGTACAACGCGACGGGGCGCGCCGCGCTGCGCGCCAAGCACGGCCCGCTCCCCGCGACCGCCGACGCTTTCTACCAGTGGCCCACGCGCAACGCGGTCGTCATGGCGTTCCTCGACGACCAGGGCGTGCCGCCCGCCTTCTAGCCATCCGAAGCTCCCCGCCTCCGCCGCCGGGACTAACAACTTGAAACCATACTTCTTCTACTAGGTATTCGAGTTAATTTATTTTATGAATTTTCGCCGCCCGCCCTTTCGTCCCGCCCGACACTAAAGCGAGGGCAAACGAGGGCGACCTCAGAGGGCCGCTTCCTCGGGTGTGCTTGGTTCGAGGGCCAGAGAACCGTGCCGGAGCAAGATGGCGGACCACACGGGCACGTGGAAGTGGTCGCCGGGTCGCGCGCCCTTGGGGACGACGCCCTCGACGCTGCGGCCGTCCGGGAGGTCCTTCCTCACGCGCGTGACGCCCGGGACCGCTTGTGGCGGGACCACGAGGTCCACCATGCCCGGCGGTGTTCTCTGAGGCGGCGGCGGCGGCGGCGCGGCCGCCGGGCGCGGCAGTGGCGGGGGCGGCGCGGTCTGCGCGCCGCCTGTCGGGATCTCGAGATCGTCTCCGGGCCGCGCGCCCGGGGGCACCGTGATCATGACCTCGCTCCCGTCCGGCAGCGGAATCGACAGCTCGTCGCCGGCCCTCGCACCCTCAGGCACGGTCACCGTCACCATGGATGCTGCGGCCGGCGGCGGCGTGGCCGCCGGGCGCGGCAGTGGCGGTGGCGGCGGCGTGGCCGCCGGGCGCGGCAGTGGCGGTGGCGGCGGCGTGGCCGCCGGGAGCGGCAGTGGCGGTGGCGACGTGTCCATGGGGCGGACGGAGATCACGTGGCCGACAGCCACATGCTCCGGCACGGGCTGCCCCGGCGGCACAACGCGATACGCCCCCACGCGCTCGGCTGAAGGGGCCTCCTCAGGTTCCGTGGTGGTGGGGGGCGTGGCCTCCGATGGCGGCGGCGGCGGCGGCGGCGGCGCGGCCGCCGGGCGCGGCAGTGGCGGGGGCGGCGCGGTCTGCGCGCCGCCTGTCGGGATCTCGAGATCGTCACCGGGCCGCGCGCCCGGGGGCACCGTGATCATGACCTCGCTCCCGTCCGGCAGCGGAATCGACAGCTCGTCGCCGGCCCTCGCACCCTCAGGCACGGTCACCGTCACCATGGATGCTGCGGCCGGCGGCGGCGCGGCCGCCGGGGGCGGCAGTGGCGGGGGCGGCGCGGTCTGCGCGCCGCCTGTCGGGATCTCGAGATCGTCACCGGGCCGCGCGCCCGGGGGCACCGTGATCATGACCTCGCTCCCGTCCGGCAGCGGAATCGACAGCTGGTCGCCGGCCCTCGCACCCTCAGGCACGGTCACCGTCACCATGGATGCTGCGGCCGGCGGCGGCGCGGCCGCCGGGGGCGGCAGTGGCGCGGGCGCGGGCTCGGGCGCCGGCTCCGGCCCGGCGACTGGCGGTATCCCGGGCGGCGCGGCCTCCTCCGTCGGCGCGAACTCGTTGTCGTCGTCCGCGGCTGGTTCGCGCGGCTGGATGCCAGCAGAGAGGGCCAGAAAACCGTGCCGGAGCACGATGGCGGACCACACGGGCACGTGGAAGTGGTCGCCGGGCCGCGCGCCCTTGGGGACGACGCCCTCGACGCTGCGGCCGTCCGGGAGGTCCTTCCTCACGCGCGTGACGCCCGGGACCGCTTGTGGCGGGACCACGAGGTCCACCATGCCCGGTGGCGGCGCGCCGGGGGCTGATCGAGGCGGCGGCAGCAGCCGGTAGTCGAGTTTTGGCACCGCCGGTATTGACGCCGGCACCGGCGCCGGCACCGGCACTGCAGGTGGTGGTGGTGTGGCCGACCGCGCGCCGGCGTCGTGGGCGGCCAGGCGACGCGCGAGCTCCTCGACGAGCACGGCCGACTTCTGGTTCGCCTTGATGCCGCGCAACTTCGCGAGGCGCTGCAGCTCGCGCCGCTCCTGGTGGTCGACCGCGGCTCTTATTGCTTCGACCGTGGCTTCATCCAGGTCTGACAGGTCGTCCACTGCTGCGCGCGCCATTGGCGGCTGCGGCGAGGCTACGAGATTGTCCGCCGCCTCATCGGCCGTCTCGGCAATCTCAGTGTGGTTCTCGGGTGTGCTTGGTCGTGCTTGTCCAGCGGAGAGGGCCAGAAAACCGTGCCCTAGCACGATGGCGGACCACACGGGCACGTGGAAGTGGTCGCCGGGCCGCGCGCCCTTGGGGACGACGCCCTCGACGCTGCGGCCGTCCGGGAGGTCCTTCCTCACGCGCGTGACGCCCGGGACCGCTTGTGGGGGAACCACGAGGTCGATCATGCCCGGTGGTACCCCTGGAGGCCGCGGCGGCGGCGCGGCGGCGGTTTTCGAGGGAGGCGGTGGCGGCAGCCCGGCCGCCGTCTTCGGTGGTGGCAGCGCGGCCGCCGTCTTCGACGGCGGCGGCGGCGGCGGCGGTGCGCCCGGGCGCGGCAGGTCGTCCACGAAGTGCGCCCCCGCCCGCGGCGAGGGCGTCGGCAGGGACGTGTCCCAGGGCACGTACACGATCTGGCCCGGACCGGATCCGGCCGGCGCGCGGAAGTAGACCGGCGCGCCCGTGGGCGTCGAGCACTTCACCTGAGAGCCCGCGCACGCGCCCGCCGGCAACTTGACGAAGAAGGTGCGCTCGTGGCCGGCGAGCGCCGGCCCGGGCGAGCCGAGCAGCTCGTAGCCCGGCATCGTGGCGACCTGCCACGGCCGAGCGACGCTCGTCTTCTTCTTCCCGCCACCCGCGTTCGATGCCTGCAGCATGCCCGACACGGCCTTGGCCGAGAAGTAGCAGCAGAACAGCGTAAGGACTAGCGAGACCAACAACGCCAGCAGAGCCAGGGTTTGGAGCCCCCAGCCCCGCTCCCCGGCGAGGATCTCGTTGAAGCCCTCGGCGGACATGGCCGAGGCCGACGAGTCCGCCTTGCAGGTGGCCGTCATGGCGTGGGGCGCCCACGACGCAGTCCAGAAGTCGTACAGCTCCCACGTGCCCGTCGACGCCGCGGGGGAGAGGTCGCCCCCGGCGTCCGCGAGCTGGTACCCGACCGCGGTGAAGGTGCAACTGTAAAGCTCGTCCCATAACCCGTCCTCGTAGCGACGGAGCTGCCACGCGCCTTCGGCAGAAGAGTAGAAGATGTAGTGGTGCAAGCCCCGCTCCCAGCCCGGCTGGTCGCTCATGCACCGGTCCGCGTCGTCCCGGCAGTCGGGGTCGTCCCGGCAGTCCGCGCTCGCCGCGTGCTCGACGTACTCCGGCGAGTAGTCTTTGCAGCAAGTGCATTTGTAGTAGGGCCGGCCGTTGCACTCCCCCGCCTCCTCGTAGAGCCCGTCGTACGAGCCCCAAAACAACGAAGTCTCGGTGCCCGCGACCTCGACGGCGTCGCACGGTTCCCCGGAGGCGGCGGCCGTCGCCTCCTCGTCCTTGTTGTCCTTGTCCTCGTCCTTGTCCTCGTCCACGTCGTTGTTGCCGTTGTTGCCGTTGTCCGTCGGCGGCGACGCCGTCGGCGGCGACGCCGGCGACGCCGTCGGCGGCGACGCCGTCGGCGGCGACGCCGTCGGCGGCGACGCCACGGGCCGCGGCGTCGGCCGCGGCGTCGGGCGCCGCGTCGGCGCCGGCGCAGAGGCCACGGGCCGCGGCGTCGGCCGGGGCGTCGGCCGCCGCGTCGGCCGCGGCGTCGGCCGCCGCGTCGGGCGCTGCGTCGGCCGCCGCGTCGGCGGCGCCGGCGTCGGCGCCGAGGCCGTGCAGTCGCCGCCGCAGACGTTCTCGTAGCGGTCGCAGTTCTGGCCGTTTGCGCTGAAGCCCGGCTTGCCGCCGTAGCTCGAGCAGGCCTTGCAGTCGCAGTTCCGGTTCGAGCACTCGGAGTCGCTGGACGAGTAGCAGAACTCGTCGCTTGCGCAGTGCTTGTTCTTGTTGCAGTCGCCCGCGCGGGCGAGCGGCGCGAGGCCCAGGAGGAGGATCAGCGGGGCGCGCATGGCGCGGCTGCTTCGTGCTGCTCGTCGCTGCCTGGTGTCAGCTGGGCCGGGGCTCGAGCATGCTGCCCCGTCGACGCGGCGGGCTGCGCCCGTCCTCGGTGCCCCCCGGGCGCTTCGCTGCGGCCCCTGCCGATGCCGGCGCCGCGGGGTCTCGCGGATAGATGGCGCTGTGCTCTTACTTTTGGATTGTAGAGACTAGTATGATTTTACGCTCCAGAGCGGATGACGTCTCCATCGCTCGTGATTTAAATCATACTGACATGAATCATAAAAAAATTAAGATGTACTAAAAACAGTTTCTATCTTCTTTGCGGCAAGCTCGCTTCTAGCGCCGCGCGCCGGAAGCGGCCGGGGCAGCCCGCCGCATCGACGGGGCGTCCTTGAGCACCGGCTCGGCTGAGACGTCGCAGCATGTCCGGCTGCCTCGCGAAGACGTGGTTGGTGACGAAGGACCTGGGCGGCACGGTCTACCGCCTCACCGACGCCTGCGCCGAGGCGTATGACTGCGCCGCCGGCAGCTACTGCCCCGCGGGCTACTACGCGGGCTCGGAAGCCGACGCCGCGGCCTACTTCGCCCAGGCCTGGTGGCCCGGCGAGAACTACATGGACGTCGACTGCGCCGTGGTGGAAGGCAGCGCCAACGGCGTCTGGACCTACCAGTGCGCCTGCGGCAACGGCTTCTGGTGCGCCGCGAACACCGCGATGCCCAAGTTCTGCCCCCCGGGCTACTTCTGCGAGACGCCGGCGGTCATCGAGGAGTGCCCCAAGGGCCACTACTGCAAGGAGGGCTCCGTCGAGGCGCGCGCGTGCACGGCGGCGCAGGACTGCCCACGCGGGTCCGCGGTGCCCGAGGAGAGCTCGTCGGGCATCCTCTGGTTCGTGCTCATCTCGGTCGTCGCCTACGTCGCCTTTAAAATAAGGACGCGCTACCAGGAGGACGCCCTGCGCATCGAGGCGCTCGAGGCCGAGGCGTACCACGACGCCGTCGAGGCCGCGGAGCTGTTGAAGGAGAAGCGGGCGGCGGCCGCGGCCGCCGCGGCCGTGGACGTGCGCGGCGGCGGCGCCGCGGCCAAGGGGGGGACCGGAGAGACCTACCGCATCGAGTTCGAGGACATCCGCCTCGACCTGCCCAACGGCGTGACGATCATGCGCGGGCCGTCGGGCTGCTTCCTGCCGGGCACGTCGACGGCGATCATGGGCGCGTCGGGCGCGGGCAAGACGACGATCATGAACCTGGTCACGGGCAAGGTCAAGAAGACGTCGGGCGTCATCCGCGTCAACGGCGAGGAGTGCGACTCGCTCGCCAGGTGGCGGAGCCGCGTCGCCTTCGTGCCGCAGGAGGACGTCATGCACCGCGAGCTCACGGTCTTCGAGAACCTGGAGTTCAGCGCGCACACGCGGCTGCCCGCCGACTGGGCGCCGTCGCGCAAGCAGCAAATGATCTTCAAGGTCCTCGACTCGCTCAACCTCGCGGCGATCCAGCGCTCGAAGATCGGCGACGAGTTCGAGCGCGGCATCTCGGGCGGCCAGCGCAAGCGCGTGAACGTCGGCCTCGAGCTCGTCGCGGACCCCAAGGTGCTCTTCCTCGACGAGCCGACGTCGGGCCTCGACAGCGTCTCGGCGACGGAGCTCTCGGAGATGCTGCGGTCCATCGCCGAGGCCGACGGCCTCACGATCGCGGCCGTCATCCACTCGCCGGGCCCCGCGGCCTTCGCCGCGTTCCACCGCTTCCTGCTGCTCCAGACCGGCGGCCGCCTGGTCTACGCCGGCCCGACGCGCGACGTCGAGACGTACTTCGGCGCGATCGGCTTCCCCTACCCGCGCGGCGACACGCTCGACACCATGGCGGACTACATCCTCAAGTGCGTCGCCGGCGGCGTCCAGCCGACCGGGCGGGCGGGCGCCGCGGCCGTCGCGGCCGCCGGCGAGCCCTGGGACCACATGACGGGCTTCACGAAGCTGTGGCACGCGTCGAACGGCCTCCCGCCGCCGCCCGCCGACGACGCCGCGGACCACCACCGCCCGAGCTTCCACCGCGGCCACCCGCGGCGCCACGTGCGCATCTTCAACCAGATTGTATCGCTGCTCAAGCAGGACCTCGTCGACTACCCGCGCGACGTCGCGCGCGCGTTCTGTCCTACCAGGGGCGACCCGGACCGGCCGGCGATCTCCGCGGTGACGACCTTCGCCATCTGCCTCAAGCGCGCCTGCCGCCAGGCCTACGCGAAGAAGTTCCGCGGCTTCTTCGTGGGCACGATCGCCGTCTACTTCGCCGTCGGCCACGTCCTCGCGTCGCTCGTCGGCGAGCACCTCAACGTGCTCGGGGGCTACGGCCCCGACATCTGCGCGCAGCAGTACCCCGAGCTGCAGCGCGCGTGCCTCAACCTCCAGGACAACTCGTACGTCCCCGCGATCTCGTCCATCCTCTTCATCCTCGTCGCGATGGGCGCGGCGACGAGCGCGGCGACCTTCGGCTGCGAGACGGCGCAGTACTGGCGCGAGGCGTCGACGGGCCTCCACACGCCGGCCTACTTCCTCGCCAAGGTCGTCGCGGACGTGCCCCTCTGCGCCGTGTCCGCGGTCTCGATCTGGGGCGCCTTCGTGAGCACGTTCTACTCGCCCATGCACAGCGGCGCGCTCCTCCTGGGCTTCCTCCTCATCAACTACTTCGGCTACTTCTCCGGCTACCTCCTGTCGTTCCTGCTGCCCTACACGGCCTGCGGCCTCGCCGCCGTGGCCGCGGCCGTCTGGTGGGCCATCTTGTACGCGGGCTGCAGCGCCGCGCGCGCCGGGCACATGCGGCGCGCGAAGTGGCCCGATACGTGGATCTACGCGATCTCCGCGCCGCGCTGGTTCATGGAGGGCATCTTCGACGCGACGACCGTCGAGCCGTACGAGGAGGTCCCCTCGGGCCCGGCCAAGGGCGAGGGCTACTACGACCTCTCGCGGCAGAAGGACTTCTACGACTTCCACACCTCGTACTCGAAGTGCATGCTCTACATGTGCGCCATCAACGCCTGCCTCCTCGCGCTCGACCTCTTCCTGATCGTCGCCACGAAGCTCGACAAGAAGCGGTAGACACCTCCCGCGCGGCCGCGCCCTCGCGAGACGCCGGGGCCCAATTAGACCGGGGGCTGTCGCGCCTCCCCATTAGCCCATTAATAGCCTAAGTACTAGGTCCTAAGTATGCTACACGCTGCTCTGCTCGATTTGCTCACCCAAGGCCTAGCCTGCAGCTCCGTCGGCGCGATGCCGCGATGCCGCGCGCGCGATCGATATAAAATCCGACCACGCTTCGCGCCTCGCGGCCTGCATATGACTGGTGGCAACCACGGCTCCCGGGCGACGCTTCGGATCTTACAAAAAATAGTGCGGGGCCAGAACAACAGAAAGAGGCAGCCCAAGGACACAGCTGTACAGGGTCGCGTGAAGGATGAGCGCTGCACCAAGCGACGCGGCCGCCGCTGCCCCGGCACCGGGCGAAAAGAAGGCCGCCCGCCTGCCCGGCTTGCGCGGCCACCACAAGCTCTACCTCGCTGCTGCTTCGCTGGTCGCGGTGTGCGTCTGGCTCATCGTCTGGCTCGTGGTCTTTGGGAAGGTGCTGCCCGACGACATTGTGGGCTTCGCCGCAGTCGTCTTCCAAGTCACTGTAAAGTCGGGCGTTTTCGCGCTGCTCTTCGCGCGCTACGTCGCCGGCGCGGGCGCCGTCGTCGCGCCGGCGGACCCGGAGGGCAAGGTCGGCGCGGCGCCGGGCCTCCGCGCGTGGGCGCACGAGGCCTTTGAGCTAGACGCGGCACGCACGCGGGCACGGGGCGGCGTCGACGCGGAGCTGCACGTCCGGCGGATCCGGATGCGGCTCGCCTGTTTGCAAGTCTGGGCGTTGCTGGCCGTGCCGCTGGCGTGCGTCTACGCGCTGGATCCGAAGAAATGCGGGTGGTTGCCCGAACGGAAAATAGTCGAGCAAGAGCCCACCTGTGCAACCACTATGGATGTGGAGGCGTGCTGCCCGTGCTGCATAACAGAATATCTAACGCAGTTTTCCGCCGCTCAATGTGATTTTTTAAAAGCCGAAGGAAGAGATTGCCATCCCGTCTGCGAGGTCACGGTCAGGCAGGCGGGTTGGGGCCGGGCCCGGTCGCCGGGGTTCGACCGCATCTCGCTCGAGAACGTCATGTGCCGCGAGGGCAACACGGCGACGTGGCAGCTCTGGCTCGCGATTCTGGCGCTGTACCTCGGCCACTGGGCCGCGTATCGGATCATCGACGCGCACGACGAGGAGGCCACCGAGACCATCCGTGCCGCGGCGGTGGACGCGCCGCCGAATCACTACGCCGTCGCGACGACGGGCCTGCCCGAGCATCTGCGGGAGCCGGCCGAGCTCGAGGCGTTCTTCGAGGGCGTCTTCGAGAGGCCCGGCGCCGTCGTGCGCGTCGTGCCGTGCCGCCACCTGAGCGCGGCCACGCGCGAGGTGGAGGCCCTCGCGGGCGGCGCGCCGCCACCGCCGGAGGGAGACGCCGCGCCCGAGGCGGCCGCCCGCGACGCCGTGGAGGCCGCCGACGCGGCCGCCGCGCACGTCGAGCAGCTCAAGGCCGCCGGCGCGGCGCCGGCGGCCGTCGCGGAGGCCGAGGCGCGCCGCGAGTCCCTGAAGGACAAGGCCGCGCGCGCGCTCAAGGGCCTCTTCGGCGGCGACGGCGGCGCGCGCGGCCGCGTCCAGGCGTTCTGCGAGGCCCTCAAGGAGGTCGAGCGGGCCGAGTGGCGGCAGGCGCTGCACGAGCGCTGGGAAAGCGAGGAGAAGAAGATGGAGAAGTGCCAGCGGGGCTGCGCCAAGTGCATCGACGGGTGCATCTGCTGCCGCTCGTTCGTCGGGCGCAAGATCCAGAACCAGGCGGCGTCCCCCGCGGAGGCGCGGCGCCGCTGCGAGGAGGCGCGGAAAGCCGTCGCTGACCACGCGGCCGAAGCGTCTCCGGACGGAGGGTCGGCGATCGTCGTCTTCTCGAACCTCGAGAGCGCCCAGGCCGCCGCGACCTGCCCCCTCGGGGCGTCGGACGCGGCGACGGAGGTCTCGAAGCCGACGTACCGCGAGGACAAGCCGCACCGGAAACAGGAAAAGCGCAGCCGCTTGATCGTGACGCTGGAAACGGCTGGCTATTACTTAACGGGGTTGCAGGGCTGCGGGTGCCGCAAGAGCAAGCCCGTGCCGATGGAGGTGACGCCGCTGCCGGAACCGAGAGATATAGATTGGGGCGAGCTCGAGACGCTCGACCAGGAGCGCGGCGAGAAGTCGGACCGGATGAACGCGGGGCGGCTCATCAAGCTTTGCGTCTGGTTCGGCTACTCGGCGATCGTCGCGGTGTTTGCCGTGAACTGGGAGGCGCTCTGCGAGGAATACGCCAAGGACGACGACGGCGGGCCCTCGGACACCGCGCTGCTCTGGGACCTGCTCGCCGGCTTCGTGCCGGCGTTCTTTCAGAGCTGGCTCTTCAATTACGTGGCGGTCATCTTGTACAACACGAACCGCATGTTCAACAGTTTGTGGAGCGAGTCCTCGCTGCAGGCGAGCGTCGCGCGGGACTACTCCATCTTCTTCTGGATCGTCGCGTTCGGCGCGTACCTGCTGTCCGTCACCTGGGCCGACATCTCGAACGAGGCCTGGTCCTGCGAGGGGGAGTGCGACACCGAGGATGAAGACGAGGACGTCGATGCTGCGAGCTTTAACCCCAGCGTCGCGGTCAAGCTCATGGCCCGCGCGGTGCCGCGCCACGCGTGGCCATTCGCCGCTATCTTCCTTTTGCTGATCGGAAACAAGGTGGCCGACGCGCTCAGGGTAGTCCCTTACCTCAAGTACGAGCTCCTGAAGCGGGCCAAGGTCGCGTCGGACGCGAGCGTGGCGGAGTCGCTCGAGCCGGGCGACGCTGACCTCGGCGCGCCGGCCGGCTGGTCTCTGCGAGGGAATCAAACTGCCCGAAGTGTCACGTCCACGTCGACGCCATCGACGCTGCGTCTGCTCACTCATTGATTTCACCACAGGCTGGGAAGCGTTCGCATTGTTGGTGGGGGCATCTTTCGCCTGCATCTCGCCGTTCACGTGCGCGGTCTGCTACCTCTACTTCGTGGCCGCGTACGAGGCCGGAAAGCACGCTCTGTGTTGCCTGGAGACGATGCCCTTCGACACGCGCGGCGCGCTCTGGTTCGACGGCGTCGCGCAGACCCACACCGCGCTGTTTATCGCGCTGGTCGTCCAGCTTGTCGTATTGTGGTTTAACATCACCAACAAAGGGTTCTGGCCGGTCATTGGCGGTATCCCCATCCTGCTCATGTGGAGGCGCTACCGGGACAGGTGTCGCCGCCGGCACGCTACGCGGAACCTCCACGGCTTGGCGCGGGGCAGGATGCCGCTGAGGGACGGAAACGTCGTCGACGCGCTGAGGGACGGAGACGTCGTGCGCGACGCCCTGGCCCACCTCGCCGACCGCGACCGCTTCTTCGAAGCGCCCGAGGTCCTGCCGCCCAGAGACCACCCGGTGTACCGGGACGCCCTGCCGGGACCGCCGATTACTTCCTCGACGGACGTCGAGGCGCGGCTCGCGGCGGTGACCGCGTGGCTCGAGCGCCACGACGGCGCCGCGGCCGCGTTCCTCGAGCGCGTCAACGGCACCGCGACCGTGCTCGGCGAGGACGACGCCATTCTGGTGGAGGACGACGTCGCGTGCGGCACGATGGGCTGCGGCCTCTGAAACTATTCGCGCGCCGCCTACCATGTTCCCAAAAACCGGGGCGAGCGTAAAGCAGTTCAAGTTTCAGTCTTACACGCGTACACTTCGGGGAGGGGGGGGGCACAGACACTCACTTCTTCTGCTTCTTCGCCGGCCGCGCGAAGGCGGCCATGGACTTCTGCGGCGCCTTCGGCCAGGCGGCCACGTAGGCCGCGACGTCGAACTTGCGCTTGCACCCGTTGTAGTTCATGTAGCGGACCTTGCCGAAGACCTCGCGCTCCTTCCAGCCCATGTCGTGCGTGCCCATGACGCTCCAGGCGCAGCCCACGAAGCCGTTCGGGTCGCACCCATCCAACGAGTACTTGTCGTTCAGGTACAGCGCCGTCGCCAGCGCCTCGGCCGGCGACGCCGTCCACTCGAGAATCTTCTTCGCCCAGTACATGCGCCTGCGTGGACATCAAAGTTTTACGGCGCGTTCCGTCGGCACCGGTTGCTTTCCACACGGACGTGCGCATGAACCCGTGCATCTTGCCCTGTCTCACTAATTGACGCTGCGCCGCGTTCCAGACGTCCTCGGCGGCCTCGGCCTGCTCCAGCGCGTCTCGACCGTACACGTGCTCCCTTGTATCATTCGCGTGCAATTCCAGCGAGTCGCGCGCCCACGGCGCCGCGCCCGCCAGCGAGTCGTAGTGCGGCTGGTAGTGGCAGAAGTTGTCCGACAGTTCGCGGCGCACGATCTGCTCTTCCAGAAAAGACGCGACGGACTCGCTGTGCTTGGACCGCTCCTCGCGGACGCGCAGCGCCGCGCGCTGGCACGAGAGCTGCCCGAAATTCAAGTAGGGCGACAGGTGCGAGGCCGCCTCGACGTTCGGGTCGTTCCGATGCTTCGCGAAGCGCTTGAGGCGCCCGTCGCCGCAGAAGGCCTCGAGCGCATCCAGTGATGCCTTGCTCCCCGGCGTCAGCCAGTCGACGGGCGTCACCGAGCGGTCCGTCTTCTGGCGCGCGGCCTTGATGACGGGCCGCCAGTCGACCGTCGGTTGTAATGGGGGGCCCTGCGCCTCGAGCTCGGGGAGCTCTTTCAAGTACCGCGGCAGCTGGTCCGTGATCTTCTTGCGCAGCGTGCGCGCGCCGACCTCCTGCTTCGGCGACGCCGCCCAGACGGGCACGACATTGTGCGCGTCCACGAGGGACGCGCCTATATTGTCAGGTAAAGCGTCGACGAGGTCTTTTGTCCCTTGCTTCGCCTCGCGCAGCGGCGAGAAGTCACACACCACGTGACTCACCTCGTGCGCCGTCGCGAAGGCCGCCACCGCGGCGCCCGCGTCGTCCGCCACTTCGATCAAATCGAACGCGAAGCCCTTCGCGTTCAGGTCGCGGCCCGTCTCGACCAGGCCCTTCAGCTGGAAGTCCAGGCGGCGCTCCGTCGTTATCGTTCCTAGAGCGAAGACGACGCGCGCCTTGCTTCCGTTTTCCTTGGCTAATGCGGCGGCTCTCAGGAGGGCCCAGTTGTCGGCCGCGCGCTGGTCGCGGGCCATCCAATACAGCACGTCGCCCTTGTTATTGGATCCAGCCTTGAGTGAGCGCTCACGCGTCGCGTCCCAAGCAGCCATTGTTGTTGCAGTTCGTCGCGCGTTTCTCGCAGGCCTGCTGACTGAGAGCACACTCTGACGCAGTGAGTTTGTCCGCACGAATGCGCTAGCCGTCCCGAAGACCGCAGCACGGATGAGCGAACGAATGATTGAAACGTTTGCGCGCGTGCAAGCAGTCAATGCTTGCGATTACGATGCGCTCAGCGTGTTTTTATGAGTTGGCTCCAGCTGCAGAGCTGGAATCGAGAGCAAAGCAAATTAGACCCACGGTGTACAAGAACCCTAGAAGACATATGAAAAACATACTTTCAAGACTCGACCAAGTAGTTTAGCTTCTCGCGGGTTTTCCACGCTGATTTTCCGAGCGCCGCGCCGCCGCTCTCGCACATTCGTCGCCCTCTCACTCTCAAAGTCATTAATTTGGGTGGTGCGTTGCCCGTGGCTCGTGCCCCGCGGCCATAGATTTGGCAAAGCACATTCCCCTGAAAATGGACTATCTCGCCTTCGGCTTCTCCGACGGCGTCGGCTCGCGCTCCTCGCTCTCGCTCCAGAACGGCGACCAGCCGATCGAGCGGCGCACGAGCCGTCTCTGGATCAATAAGCTCACGGGCCGCGTCGACGACGAGCCGGCGAGCCTCCCGGCGCGCCCCAATCGATTGACGCCGACGCGCAGTTTTCCTCAAGTCGCCGTGGGCCTGGAGGCGCCCTCCGACGGCCGCCGCACGACGCAATCGCCGCCGCGGCGGCTGTCGACGGTCGTCAGCGACCCGAGTGCCCAGAGCGGCCAGAGCCTCGACGCCGACCTGCGCAACCGCCTGGCGGCCTGTGAGGAAGCGCTCGACGCCGTCCAGACACGCCTGGCAACGCTCGAGGCCCAAGTTCACGGCGTGGACGACGACGAGCTCGAGGACGTCTCGGACGCGAACTGGGCCAGCGCGACGCGCGCCGTCACGGACCTCGACCGCCAGGTCGCGGCGCTCCGCCGGCGCCTTCCACCGCTCGACGCGCCCCGGGACGAGCCGCCGCCGCGGCCGGCGCGCGCCGGCTGGGCCTGCTGCAACTTCTTCGGCCGCCGCGCGCCCGCGCTCCCGGCGGGCCTGCCGCGGCCGACGTCGCTCGACCGGATCACGCCGTTCAACGAGCGCATGGCGCCGACGCCCGCGTCCGGGACGAGGTGTCTCGACGCGTCGCCGGACGCGCCGGCGCCGGTGCGCGGCCGCCGCGGCTTCTCGGGACGGTTCGAGCCAAACTTGTCCGAGCAGCTGGCCCAGTTCTCGCACAAGGCCCCGTCGCCGGCGGAGAGCCTCTTTTCGCGGACGCTCCCGAAGACGTCGCCGCTCTCGACGCCCGGGACGTCGCAAGAGGCCCATCCGCCGACGCCGCCGCTCACGCCGCCCCTGACGCCCCCCGAGGGGACGCAGACGAAGCCGCAGGTGCTCGTAGGGCGGTGGCTGCCGGCCTACGGCGAGGAGGCGCCGCTCTAGACTAAGGTAAGCGAATCAATCAACACATCGCCTATTTACTCAGAGCTCCTCTCCCTTGGCGCCGCCGCCGCCAAAGCGCTTCCGGAAGCCCGCGAAAGGCCCTGCCTTTTTGTCCGACGACGTGGCCGCGGCGCCGGCATCGGATGACGCCACGGTCCGCGGCCGCGGCGCCGGCGTCGGCGCCAGGGCCGGCGGCCACACATCGCCTGGAGAAGGCGGCACCTCGTCCGCGTCTATGCCATTCTCTTCCAACAAGACGCGCGTCCTCCTTTCAACGAGCGCCGCGTCGTCGCCCCAGAGTTTCCGATTCTCGGCAAGAAACGCGGAGACGGCCAGGCCCGCCTTCCGCGCGCGCACGTTGACGGCAGCGGGCTCGCCCAACTTTACCGCCTCGTCTAGCCAGTGCTTCGCCAGCGCCCGATCTTTTTTGTCGTCATTTCCTCGATTAGCATGAATGAAAAACAGGTTGAACGCCGCCGCCGAGTGGCCCCGGAAGGCCGCCTGCGCGTACCACTGCCGCGCGCGCGTCTCGCTCGCCGGCAGACATCTACAGTTATCTCTGTCGGCGAAGGTCACGAGGTCGTCGTTCAGCCACCAGGGCGTGAACAGGTCGTGCTGCGTGCCCAGATAAAAAGCCGCGGCGCCGGGCCTTCGATCTCCTTGACTAGGGTCGTCGACGCCTAGCACTTCAGGTCGCGGGAACTCCTTACTGTACATTTCAGCGGCCACCCTCACAATCCGCTCGCACCACGTCGCGTTCGGCGGCGGCGGCGCCGAACAGAAGGTCTTGCCCACCTGGAGCATGGCCCAACTGTCGCCCTGCGACGCGTTCCTTACTAAATCGGCGTGCCTTTCTGTTTCTGGTGTGAGCTCCGTGCCGAACCGGGCCGCCTCCAACCGCTCCTCCATGTACTCATAATGCGCGTCTTCGTCGCTCAGCGCGGCCGTGACCATGGCGTCCAATAGAGCATACATGCGCGCCTTGCCCCCCGCCTCGCTCGGGTCGTAGTCCTGGGCTGCCGCGGCGGCGTAGGGGAGGAACAATGCCGTGCGCCACATTGCTATCGCAGCAATGGTCTTTTGCAGCGAGGCGCGCGCCGGCGGGCAGCCTCTCTTTTTGAGTTCGGGGTTTGAAGGACCGCTGCCGACGCGCTAAGAGTCGTCGGAGGCCTTTGTCGATCCCTCGAATGGCCATTTCCAGGGGATAGCTACGATTGTTGCGCGCCGAACCCGAACAGCCTCTGAGCTCAGTTTTGTCTCTCCCAAGTTGATACCACCAGCAATCCAGAAAGTGAGTACCGACAGCCGCACGCGCGCGACCACAGCCCCACGATGCCTCCTTACCTTATCCGGCACGCCAGCAATCGCGTTCAGCAGTCGCTGCGTGCAAAAAAGCCGCGTGCGGCTTGGGCACGGCATGGCTGCAGAATAGCCGCATTTGCGTTGCATTGCTGCAACTCGCGCGCGTCGCGGTACCGCCCGGTCCCGCACGCGTCGCGCCGCTGGTTTGCGCTGCAAAGGAACGCCCTCACACAACGCTTTGCCCTCGAACGCGGGCCGACGACCACCGCCGCGAACTTGAACTCGCACGACTCGCCCGTCAGAAGATCACGACAAGCACACTGCGACCGCGCGCAGGCACAAACAACCAGCAACCATGCAGCTCATCTCTACTCTCGCCCTCGCCGCCTCGGCCTCCGCGCTCGTCGCGCCGGTCGCGCCGCAGACGTCCAAGGTCGTCCGCGCCGGCGCCACGCTCGACGATCAGCTGAAGAAGATCCCGGGCGTCTCGCCGCTCAAGAACGCCCCGGCCGACTACGGCTTCGACCCGCTCGGCTTCGCCAAGGTCTCATACCCGCGCTTCGGCCTGCCCGACGACGAGCTGCTCCGCACGAACAACCTGCGCGACGCCGAGCTCCGCCATGGTCGCCTCGCGATGCTCGCCGCCGCGGCGTGGCCGATCCAGGAACTCGTTCACCCGTCGTTGGCCAAACTCGCGGGCGCCCCCGAGCTTTTGTCGGACGGCCGCTCGCCCTCCATCTTAAATGGTGGCCTCGTCGCGGGCCCGGTGCCGGCGTTCCTGCTCGCGACGGCTGCGGCGATCGGCTACCTCGACGTCCAGGCCGAAGCCAAGAAGGCCGAGTACCCGGCAGAAGATTGGATCCCTGGGTTCGGCGCCGTGTCTCTCAAGATGCCTTAGATATCACCAGCACGCCATCGACGCGGAGCCAAAATGATGTCCGCGCAGGTACTACGGCTTCGATCCCCTGAACATCGTCGGCGGCATGTCGCCGCTCGCGATCAAGAACATGCAGGCGCGCTTCGGAGTCCGAAACACACTCCACGCCGTCGACGCGCCAGCTCGACGCCTTCCGCACGCAGGCCAAGGAGATCAACAATGGAAGACTCGCTATGGTCGCCGTCGTCGCCTACGTCGTCCAGGAGGCCATGACGGGCGAGCCCGTGACCTCCGTGAGCGAGCAGTTCTTCACGCCCATCATCTACTACCCGTGGGTCCAGCACCTCCTCACGGACGCGTTCGGCATCGCGTCGTTCCGCTCCTAGGAAGCCCCCCTCTCTCGCGCGTTGTAAATGTCCCTTGTCGTTACTCGACGAACGCGGGCGCGCGCGGCCGGTCGCACTGACTCTGGCGCGCGCAGCTCTTCGTGTCGTTACCGTCGTGATGACACGGCTAACACCGCGAACGCGTTCTCGAGGTCGGAGACACACCGCGGGCTGCCCACGGGGACAATCGCGTTGCGGCGCCGGCGCGCCCGCGTCGTCGTATTCGCCTTCGTCGGCGAGAGCGCCTTCGGCTTCGCGAGCGACGTAGCAGTAGCCTTCCGCGTGCGCGGGTCGATGTTCTCCTTGTTTTCGTCCTCCCAGCTCGCGTACGCACGGTGCTGCTGGGGTTTGGCGCTGGTCCGCTTCCGGCCGGGGCTGCCTGCTTTTTGCGGCGCACACTTGCCCGCAGCCTCTGGCCCCATGTCCACCTTCGTCGCGCCCTGCGCGGGCATACGGTGTTGGCAGGTACGTCCGGCACGTCCGGCACTCCCCGCGCCGGCCAGCAACGTTCAAACCAAGCCCGTACCGTACGCGCGAGAGCATGGAAGACGCACGGACGGCTCGCTGGGATCGGCGACGCCTGGGCGCGGTCTGGGACCGGCTCCGCGCCGACGAAGCGCCGCAGTCGCACGTTCGTCCGTCCGTCGCGGCACCGGAGCTGCGAGCAGTCCAGGGCAAAAAAAACGCCTTCAGGTAATAAAACTCAACAAAAAAGACGCCTTGAGGTAATAAAAACACAACAAAGAATTACCCGAAGCAAAGAAAAAACAGCAGCACCGCCCCCACAGACAGAATCGCCGCGCGCAGCCGCCGCATCGCCACGCGCTCCCGATGCGTCGCGTTCGGCACGTGCGGCTCGTCGACGGCGCAGCACGACCACCGCCGCCGCCCCGGCCCCGCCGGCGCCGAGGTCAATTGTAACGCCACCACGGACGGAAAAAAGCCGCGCTGCCGCAGCCGCGCCGCGCCAAAGACGCCGTTCGCGACGCCCTCGTCCTGGGTCCCGGCCTGGGCCAGCTGCCCCAGCGTGCTGCGACTGGCCCGCGCGGCGTCCGTCCGCGCCGCTCTATCTTCCTCGGACCGGAGGCGCGCGTTCCTCCGCTCGTCGCGCTCCGCCTCGGCCTGGCACCGCTCGATGCACTTCCGTGCCAAAGCCTTGAGGCGTCTCCCCTGAAGTTGCGACGGCGACGCGGGCCTCAATGGATTCTCGACGTCCTCGTCCACCTGGCTCCAGTCCTCCCCGTCGAGCAACGCGACGACCGGCGACGGCGAGCCGTCCGTCGTCGACACGCGCGCGCCCGCATCCAATAAAGCGTCGGCGACGACGTAGCGCTTCGACGAGACCGCCACGAGCAGCACGGACCGTCCGGCCTCGTCGACGGCGTCGACGTCCGCGCCGCGCTCGGCGAGCTGTCTGATACATTTCGCGACGTCATCTTCGGACCGCTCCGCGTCCTCTATTAACTCAACGATGGACCGCCCCAATCTCCCTCGATACGCGTGCACCAAGGACGCGAGCGACCGGTTCGGCACGAGCGCCCGGTGCGCCAACGGCGCGTTCGTCGTCGGCGACCGCCGATTCGTCCCCATGCCGAGCCACCGCTCGATGGCTTCCCGCTCGTACGTGAAACCGTCGGCCGCGATCACGGGATCCTCAAGCAGCTCCTGCGTGATCGGGCAGATGAGCGACGGCGGCGGGCCCTGGTCCGCGTCGCCGCCGGGCGTGAGCGGGTCGTCCATCATACTGTCCCAGCTGCCTTTTTTTGGCACCTGAGCTTGTATATTGGCTCACAGCGAATTTACAGCGACGGGAGGCTCGTCGAGATGAGTTGCGCTGCAGGAGGGGATGCTCAGCGATCACCAGGCTGTCGCTCGCGCGCACCACGGCCGTGTTTTGCGCGTCAATGCGTTTTTTTTTGCGGCTGCTTTAGCTAGCGGCCGGTAAGACACACTAGGAATCACCCGGCGGCTCGCACACGCAGCCGTACGAGTCACTGACGCGTTTACGCGACGTTAGCGGTGGAACACGGACACCCCACGATCACGCCGGGGCGCTTTCCGCCTCCAAACGCTCGTAAAATACACGCAGCAGCCACCCTGGGAGCAATGGACCAAAATGACGCGACGCGCTGGACGAATCTCGGCGCCTCACTCCTGATCATTCTGGCGGGAGGCACGGTATACGCCTTCGGCGCGTACTCCGAAGCGCTGAAGAGGAAGCTCCACCTGACCCAGGCCCAACTCGAGCTTGCTGCTTTATGTGGCAACCTGGGGAACTATCTCGGGACGGCGGGCTTCTTCTACGACCGTTATGGTGCGGTCGCCTCCGCGAAATTCGGCGCGACGCTGATTGGTCTCGGCTACGGGCTCCAGTGGCTCCTCTGTGTGTATTTCGCGAGTGAACACGCCATTGAGTTCCTATGCGTCTTCTGCTTCGTGTGGGGCCACGGGAGCGGTTACCTGGACTGCGCGGCGATTGGGAGTGGTGTCCGGGCGTTTCCGAGGAGACGAGGGGCTGTTGTGGGGTTGCTCAAGTCGTTCTACGGCCTGGCGTCCTCTCTGATAATTCTGGGCGCGGCGCCGTGGTTATCAGGCGTCAATTTCATCGTCGCGCTCGCGGTCTTCGCGGGCGGCTTGCCTTTGTTGGCTCTCTGTAAATTCGAAGACGTTCCAGACCGCGCGCCGGAGGGCGACGCCGTCGATGCTGTGGCCGCGGGCGTCCTCTCTTCGTTATCAATGCGCGTCGTGGGTTTCGCGCTGCTGGCGTTGTGCATCGCCGTTTTGCGCGTGATAAGGCCGCCGTCAGCGCTGGGTTTTAATGTTGCGTTCTCGCTGGTCATCGCGGTGGGTCTGGCGTGGATCGTGCGCGCCGCCGCGCGGGAGCACAAGCGCGAGGACGGCCTCTACGAGAACCGGGAGGACGAGGAAGAAGAGGACGCCGCCCCGACGCCCACGACTCCAGAGCACGACTCGCGGCCCTGCGCGACCCTAGGATCGCCGAGCTATTGGCTCCTGCTCCTCGCCATCTTGCCGGGCACCGGCATGGGTTTGATGACGATCAACAACCTCGGCCAGATTATATCGGCGCGCGGCGGCCAGGCGTCGACGCAAAGAGCTGCTACCGCCGTCGTGAGCGTCGCGAACGGCCTCGGGCGGCTGGGCTGCGGCGCGCTCGCGGATAAGATTGTACAACGGGGCCGGCCCCGCGCCGTGCTGCTCGTGGCGGCGGACCTGGCAGGTGCGCTGGCCATGTTTTTGTTTTTTGTGTCTGGGACCTCGGTGCCGATGGCATTAATAGCTGCGGCGGTGTCCGGGGCGGCGTACGGGGCCATCTGGACGCTGATTCCCACGCTCGCCGCGGATTTGTTCGGGCGGAAGCATTTTGGTGCTAATTACGCCCTGATCCTCCCGGCGGTGAGTCTGGCAGCGATTTTGTTTTCCACCTTACTGGCGCCGGCGGTCTACGCGAGGCACGCCGACGACGACGGCTGCGCCGGCGCGGCCTGCTTTGGCACGACGTTCCTGGCCACGGCGGCGGCGTGCGGCGGCGGCGCCGTCATGGCTCTTTTGTTGGGAGTCCGGTCGCGGAAGCGCTACGCGCGCGCCGCGGAGCCGCCGGAGTCTTTGCTCGCCGCGGCGCGGACGGGGGAAACGGTCGTTTGATCGATCGTGGTTTTTGTTTAATGATGTCCTTTGTCTTATCAGCTCCCGCGCTCTAGCGCGAAGCTTCTTCTTTGCAAAGCTGCGGCAATTCAGCTAGCGGAGTAAGACACTAGCTTGAAGCCTCGTGCGCAAACGCTGGGGGCTGGCGACAGTACGCTGGTACAGTACCAGTACCTCTCAAAACGGAGGTTTCCGCTGGCTTGCGCTGCGCGTAGCGTGGCTCGCGTCTGACCGGATAGAGAGCACCGCTTAGAGCTTTACACTAGCATAGCAACTCAGCAACACGCCGCCGGCGCGCTAGCACATAGCAACCCACAGCCTGCAACACGCCGCCGCCGGCGCGCAAAAGGAAGAACCCAGCCGTTCATGCCAGGCATCTACGAAGACGTCCCCATCGGGGACATGAGCTACGACGCCGACGAGCAACTGTACCAGTACCAGTGCCCCTGCGGCGACTTGTTCGAAATTACGCTCGAGGAGCTTTGGGACGGCGACGACATCGCCCACTGCCCGTCCTGCACGCTCAAAGTGAGGGTCATCTTCGACAAGGAGCAGCTGCCTCCCTTACCTCCCGCGGAATGATTCACTCGATGCAGCGCGACCGCGAGCGGCGGCTCCGGAGGAAGCCGCGGCGGAAGCGCGGCCTCGTCGCGTGTCTGATCGCGCTGACCGGCGTCGCGTTACTCGGGAACTTACTGACGTCGCCTCATTTAGAAGAGCCGACGACGGACGCCGCGCATAACCCGCCGGGCTACCGGCCACCCGTCTTGGATCCCGTGGAGGCGGACGCGCGGGCGGCCGCGGCCGCATTGAGTATAGTGGACGCCCTGCCGCCGGCGCCCAGGATCGCCTACGCCGTGACCGTCACGGAGGAGCCCAAGGCTTCCAGTGTCGGCTTTCTGGACGGCGCCGCGGTCCTCGCGCAGTCCGTGCGATCGGCGCATAAACGGTCGACGTACGGCGCGCCGGCCTTTGTTGCCTTCGTCTCGCCGCGGATCTCACAAAGAACGCGGGCCTCGCTGCGAGGTATTGGTTTTAGAAGCATCGAGAAGCAATTGCCCATCGTTCCTGACAAAATAGAGGGTTCATTTCTCAGGAAGCTCTGGACTGAGCCAAATGAGAAGTTCCCGGACCCGACGATGAGGGGAGGCTGCTGCGGCGCCTGGGAACTCCTGAAATTATATGCCTGGACCCTGACTGAATATGAACGCGTGATCCACGTCGACATGGACTGCCTCCTGCTCCACCCCATCGACGAATTACTGTCTATAGACGCGTCACTCGTCTACACGGCGGACTACAACATGATGAACGACAACCAGCGGAAGAACCGGTTGACGCCGGCCGTGCAGGGCGGGTTCTTGGTCGTGCGACCCTCTCATCAGGTGTTTGAGGCCCTCGTGGCGTTGATGCAACGGGGCAAGTGGGGCGGCAAGTGTTCCGGGTGGGAATGCACGGGCGTGGGCCATTGGTGGGGCGGCGCGACGATCCAAGGGTTATTACCTTACTTCTACGATCGGCACGCCAAGACTCTAACGATGGCGCGGGCCTCGGACCTCAAGGCCGTCGAGGTCGACCGGTGCGTCTACGACAACATGGGGGATAAAGCAGTGGTCAATCCCTTGCCGTACGTCGGGTGCAGCGCCGCGCGGCAGACGCCTTTTGACGACGTGAAGTTCGCGCATTTTACGGTCTGTCAAAAGCCGTGGACCTGCAACCCGGCGCGCGACCCCGACGACGACAAGAAGATCTGCCTCGCGCTGCACGCGGCGTGGTTCGACATCCGCCGCGAATTCGAGGAGGAGCACGGCATGCCGTCGGAGAAGAAGGTCTGCCGGCGGGGCTACAAGAAGATGGCGTTTCCCGCGGGGTTCGGGGAGTAAAATGAAGTTTGTTAGTCATGCTACTTGGGGTGGGTTCAATGAGCGACTCTCTCTCTCTATGCTCACGCGAGCGCCTTGACGACGGCCTCCGCGAAGGCTTCGGCCGACTGCGGGTTCTGGCCAGTCACTAAGTTGCCGGAGACGACGACGTGCGACGTCCACGGGTCGCCCTTGCTGTACTTGCCGCCCTTGCCCGTGAGGCCCTGCTCGTTCGAGCCGGAGAATGGCTTGACGGCCTCCGTCTGTCCCACCTGCTCCTCTTCGACATCAGAGAAGCACGTGACCTCGAGGCCGGCGACGAGCGGCGTGCCGTCGGGCTTGGTCGCCTCGATCAGCCCGATGGGGCCGTGGCAGACCGCGCCGACGACCTTTCCGGCGGCGTATGTGCCCTCGACGACGGCCTTCAGCGCCGCCGCCGCGGGGCCGTAGAAGTCGACGCACCTGTGTGACGCCGTCGACGCGACTCACGCGACTCGATTTCCACACAGAACACGCACGTCCCGTGGCCTCCGCACAAACAGACGGCGTCGTACTGGCCCGCCATCGACGCGTCGACCTTGACCGAGTGCGAGAGCGCGCCAAAGGCCTTGGCGTCGTGCATGAACGCCTTCGCGTCGGGAGCGAAGAACGGCTCGGCCAGCGAGCCCGCGTCGATCGGCACCTGTGCATAAATCAACCAGTGAGTCGGGCCGATAATTCTTCACTGTGACAAAATAATTCGTCGACGACGCGAACGCGCCGTGAAATTTTGGTTTATGCACAGATCGGCACGGCGCCGCCGGCGATCGACGCGATCGTCACGTCGAAGCCGGCCTTCGTGAAGACCGTGTGCGGCTCCGCGAGCTCGGAGATCCAGAGGCCCGTCGGGTGCTCGCCCATCTGGCCGGCGCTGGTGCTCACGAGGAGGACTTTTTTAGCCATGGTTTGTGACCTGCGCGCGTGGTAGCACTGCGTGGCCAGCTTTTCCAGAGACTTCCTCTAAGCTTAATCTAAAACTTGCGTCAAAAGCGAGCGAGTGACTCTGCGCCGGACGAAGGGATGATAAACTAGCGGACTGAAGCGCGCTTTGATATAATAATAGCGCTAGCTATAGCACTGGAGATGGCAAAGCTTGAAAAACCCGTGTCGAACCCTTGAACCCCGCCTCTCCCGTAGCTGTTGGTAGTCAGTCGTCTACGTACTATCAACAAGTGACTTTACCAAGCCCTACTACTACTTCCAGAACCGCAGCGTCGACGCCACGGCCGCGGCAGCCGGCCGCACCTTCGACGCCACGGCCGCGGCTACGGGCTGAACCTTCGAACCCACGGCCGCAACGACTGGCCGAGCCTTCGACGCCGCGGCCCCGAGAAATGGCGCGACCGCCGCTCGCACGGGGGGCGCCGCCGCCAGCGCGACGACCGCGAGGGGCACGACCCACCGCCGCTTCCTCCTCCGCGTCTCGCTCGTGATTTGAGCGGTGTCCTCGTCGCGCTGGAGCATGAGCTCGCCGGACGACGCCGGGTCGAAGGGCACCGCGACCTTTTCCTTCCGCAGCAGCTGCGGCGCGCGGTACGTCTCGACGCTGCCGTCGTCGTCCATCGTGACGGTGCACCACTCGTTCGCCGCGCAGCGCGCGACCGTGCCCGTGCGGTTGGTTTCCTCGACCATGACGGCCTCGCCGATTTTCAACGTCGACGCCGGCACGAGCGCCTCGTCCTCTTCGAGAGCGAGCGCCTTGGCTCCAGGAGCGTCCGCCGCCTTCTCGACGACGGTGATGGCCGAGTCGATGGCGCGCGCCTTGAGCGCGCTCGAGAAGCCGGCCTCCTCGTCCCAATTTTTGAGTTCGTTGTAGCCCGACACGCCGACCGTGCCCACCGCGCGCGTGAGCTGGCCGATGTTCGATTTCTCGTCGGCGATGGCGACGGCCGCGGTAGCAACAGCGGCGACGGTCGCAAGTTCAATATCTATACCTATTGCGACGGCGCCCGCCGCGAGCAGTGCCGCGCCGGCCACGGCCGTCGTCTCCGGCGCGTATTCGGGTTGGAGCGTTTCGCTCACGAAGCTATCGATGTCCTCGGCGGGCGGCGGCACGCGGGACAACCGGCTGGCGAGACGGTCGGCGGCGGGCGCCGGTGTTGCCTCCTCCGCCGCGGCCGGCGCCGGCGCTGCGACCGCCGCGACCGGCTCCGGTGCCGCTACGGGCGTCGTCTCCTTCTCCTCCTTGATCGAGGCGACCAAAGCCGCCGCCTCGGCCGCCAGCCGGTCGGCCTCGGCCGCCGCCGCGTCCGCCTCGGCAAGCTTCGACGCCGCCTCGCCGCCGCCGGAGATCTGGTCGAGATAGTTTGAGAGGCGTACGTTGGTGCGCGTCGATGGCGTGTTGAGCGTCCTCCGGGGTAGCAGTTGCAATGCTGACGCTCCCTGAAGGATGGTCAACAGCAGCGCCAAATTCATGGTGGCACGCATCACGAACGCAAAGAGCAGAGCGGCAAATGACGAATGCAGCGGCAGACAGAATTATACGCCGTGGCACGTGGTCGCTGGGCTCGTTGGAGAGCTTGTGAGTTTCTCTAGTGGGTGTGCTACGCTAGCACCTGCCAGGCTCGAGTCGCAAGTTTTGCGCGCACAGCCAGCAGGTTGCATCGCCAGGCGTCGCTGTTGACCGCTGTGAACCACGCAGCCGTGCTGACCAGCAAGCGTCCGCGCAAAGCTGCGCAAAGCACTGCAAGCGACTGCAGCCTTTGCACTGCGCTGCAACAAGCTGCGCAAAGCACCGCAAGCGACTTGCAGCCTTGCAGCACTGAGCACTGTGGCATGCGCAACGCACTCCTCGCACTCAGCTGCTGCATAAAAGCAGCAGCAGCCATGTCGCCGCGCGAAGCCTTGGCGAAACGCGTCGTCGCCTCGCCCGCACCCGTGCTCGCGCCGCTGACGCGGGCGGGCACGGCGCCCTTCCGTGCGCTTTGCCGAAGGCACGGCGCCGACGCGACGATGGGCGAGATGATTTTCGCACGGCAGTTGTGCAAGGGCGACCGCCGCGAGCAGGCGAGGTTGCGGCGGCCCGAGGCCGAGACGCTGTTCGGGGCCCAAATCGCGACGAACCAGATCTCCGAGGGCGTCGCGGCCTGCGTGTTAGCGGAGGAGGCGGGCGCGGCGTGGGTCGATCTGAACTGCGGCTGCCCTATTTATGAGGCGACGCGGCGAGGTCTGGGCTCGGCGTTGCTGAGGAAGCCGGCGAAACTCGCGAGGCTCGTCGGCGGGCTCGTCGAGGGGAGTCCGCTACCGGTATCGGTCAAGATCCGGTTGTCTCCGGCGGGCAACAAGGACGTGAACGCGCTGGAACATATCGAAGCATTGGCGGCGCTCGACCACAAGCCGGCCTTCGTGACGCTGCACGCGCGGACGGCGACGCAGCGCTACGGCCGCGCGGCGACGTGGGAGGACGTCGAGGCCTGCGCGCGCAAGGCCGGCGAAAATTTTCCGGTGCTCGGGAATGGCGACGTGCTGACGCACTTCGAGGCCCGGAGGAAGCGCGCGGTCGCGCCGACGGCGGCGGGGCTCATGGTCGGGCGCGGGGCGCTGATCGGTGCACAAATCAAATTTTTTTGAGCACATAACTCACTGGTGGATTTGCGCACAGGCGCTGATCAACCCGTGGCTATTCGACGATATCCGGAACGAGAAGTCCTGGCTGCCGACCGCCGCGGAGCGGCTCGAGGTCTACTACTCGCTGGTGGCGGGCTACCGGGACACGTTTGGCGACGACGAGCGCGGCCGGAAGACGGCCTGGTACTTTGTGCCCTTCCACTTCAACTTCTTCCACCGGTGGCGGCCGCTGAGTGAGGAGCACTTCGGCGCCTTCGAGATCCCACTCATCCAGAATGGCCGGGCCGTTGACGCGGCGCTGGAAGAGATCGAGGGGCCCCGCGCCGCGTTGGCCCCGCTCGAGCAGCTGCTCCGCTGCGCGCACGCCGACGCCGGCGAGGCCATCGCCGACGCGCTCTGGTCGAGTTATAGCGTCGCCGACGCCGTGGCCGCAGTCACGAGGCTCGCGACGCCCGAGCACCTCGCGGCCTGGGAGCAGCCCGACGCCGAGACGCGGGACGAGGACGAGGGGCATTCCTCGTCATCGGCGGGGAAGAAGCGTGGCGGCGGCGGGAGGCGCAATTCATAGAGTAGTAAATATTAAAAATGGAGTATGGAATAAAACTATATCGCGGCCAGGATCTCCTGTTTCTTCTGCTCGTACTCGGCCGGCGTGATGAACTCTTGAACCTCGTTGAGCTCCCTGAGGCGCTGCTGGGGGGACTTTGGATCCGAGGGAGCCGGGGGAGCCGGGGGAGCCGGATGCGCGCTCGAGCCAAACCAGCCCAGGTCCCAGGCCGACGCTGGCGTCGCGGGCGACACGGGCACGGCAGGCGACGTCGAGCCGAACCAGCTCCGGGCCACGTCCCAGGGCGTCGCTTGCGCGGGAGGGGGGCGGCACTCGACCTCGGCCTCGGGCCGATACCCCCGCCCGTGCTCGACCACGTATTTGAGCTCGTCGCGGAGCCGCCGGAGGTCCGGGTCGAACACCTCCGGAAAATCGAGCACGCGCAAGGCGCGGTCCAGCGGTTCTAGCCGCGACAACGGCGGCGGCGTCGCGGACGCGCCTGCGCCTTCGCACACCTCCTTGGCCATCCTTTCATACGCGAACAGCTTGTTCAGAATAGCCACCCCCAAGCCGACCGCGTACGGCTGCCCCTTAAGACGCTTAATGAACGGATGCGACGCGCACATGGTCACCACGTGGGGCGGGGCAATTGGGGGCGGTTGCAGCCTGTTCGGGTTCGTGGCGCGGCGCTTGAGCTCGGGATCCCGCTGCAGGAGCAGGAAGGCGGTGTGGTCGTCCGTCATCCGGCCCAGCGGGATGATTTGCTCCGTGACACCATGCACCTGGCCGATGCCCGAGAACGACGAGCACGTCATAAGCACTTTTAGGTTCGAGCACGATTCCAGTAAACCCCGCAGTAACAGTCGACAGTGTTCTCTCGCTCGTTCTTTGTCGCCGGCCGTGACGACGAGTCGTTCAAAATCGTTCAGGACCACGAGCGTGGGCCCGGCGTGTGCCAAATGCGCCAGTGCGGAGGTGTCGAGCTCATGGGTGTCGAGGCGCGAATATGTCACGTGCTTGAAGATCCCCGCCGCTTCGTGCTGCTCCTGTTTGCGCTGTGCCTCCCTACTGTCCAGCGAGAAGTCGTCGTCGTCCGTGGAAGATCGCAGCCGCCTCGTGGACAGCGACGACGAGTACGTGCTCAGTCGCCGGTCGAGCGCCGCGCGCATGGGAGCCGCCTTCTGGATGACGTGCGCCGCAGCCTCGGCCACGTGGTGGAAGAAGCCGTCCCTTGTCGTGACTTTCACCCAGACGACGGCGTCGAAGTTCTGATGCTGTGAAACGTGAGCCGCCGCTTTTGCCGCCAGAGCGCTCTTACCCGAGCCGTATCCACCACCAATCGTCGTGAGACGATGGTTGAGGATGGACTCGACGCAGAGCCATAACTCGGAATCCCGGCCCACGTAGAACGTCGGCGGCGGCGGCGCGTTCGAGGGCGGCGGCGGCCGCGTCGTTTCGTGGAACGACCCGGGGATCTCGGAGAAGATGGGCTCGTCGTGGGGTTGGTCCTCCGGGAGCAGTATGAAGCGCCCGTCGGAACCCTGCGTGTTTTGCGCCGCGGCGCAACCGATGTCGAAGGCTGTGCGTAACGAGTCCATATTAGCCAAAGATCGGTAGAACGCCCGGCAGAATTCTATGCCCGCGCGATCGGAAATTCTGCCATGGTTCTGGTTTTGCGCCACGGCAACCACGTGTTCCACGCCCGCGGCCACGAACGCTCGCCCAACATCTTCGCTCTTGCACGAGTTTAACACCACCAATTTGCATGTCTCCGCGCCACAGGCCGACACCCGGTTTCTCAGCACCGTCGGGTCCAATGTTTGCGCGCCGCCGTGGTCGTCTTCGAACATCATAAACTTTTCGTGGCCGTGGCCGGCAAAATGCACCACACGCGCCCCCAGCGTCACGGCCGACTGGAACGCGTCCACGGTGGCGGTGCGGATCTGGAGCTCAACGTCAATGTTCGCGTGAGCTGCGGCTTCGCGCAGCGCCTTCCGCAGCTTGTTGGCCTCGCCCTCGAGATTTAGTTTGGCGATCCCAGGGTTCAACGGCTCGCTCTGCAGCATGACGACGCGGTTCGCCAAAATCGCGCGGCTCGACTGCCGCTGCGGCGGCGAGCGGCTTGGCACAGGCGACGCAGGCCCGCCCGGTGGCGGCGAGGACGTCGCGCCGCCCGGCGGCGGCGAGGACGTCGCGCGCGGGACGTAGGCACCGTCGACGGCGCGGGCCGTCGACAGCGATAGCAGGACGCGTTGAAGGGCCTCCTGCTCGGTCGAGCTGTGGGCGACGAGATGCACCCGTTGGAGACCTGGATACGCCATGTCGCCGATAGCCTTCACCGCGACTTTTAGCACGTTATCCAACGACTGTCTCCCGAGGCGGTTGCCCGCCGACAGCAGCGAAAATGCGACCGTCTTGCACTTGAGTCCATTGGCGCGCCGCATCGACGCTCGGTAGGCGTCCCTTAACAGATCGTCGCCCCTGGATAAATCATCGTCCATCTCCTTGTAGTTGGGACCGACCGCGTGGATGATGGCTTCGCACCTCAGATAATTAAAGGGCCCGCCTGTGGTGACGACGGCGTCTCCCGTAAGACAGCGCGTGTCGCCGCTGATGATGGGCAAGGCCTGGCGTTTCTCCGCTAATAACGCACCGCCGGCTCGTGAGATCGCCGCGTCCACGCCGGCGCCCTCGAGGCAGCTCTCTTTCACCGCGTTCACGAGCGCGTCCGTTTTTGCGTCCACCAGGCTTCCGGCCGAGGCCACTAACTCGCCGTATTTCAACGCGTGCCGCGCCAGGGGTACCAGGTTGTCGACCAGTCCGCCGTGGTGATCCCAGTTATCGAAGTGGGCCTTGTGGTAGACTGGCTCCGTCCGTTGGATTCTTAGAGGTATTTCTTGGGGGGAGGGCGGGTCCGGCATCGTCTGGGCGCGCCGCACCGGGACGTACTCGCTGTTGAGGGCGAACTCCTCCGAGGCCGTTCGTCGCATATTGGAGGAGGCGTCCGAGAGGGGCGCCTCAGTTATTTCTGCTGCGCAGCGGTCCCGTACCTGGCGCGCCCGGATCGGCGCTCCAGGCTCCAGCGCCGGGCTCGCGCACCGGTCCGGCATGGTCTGGGCTGGCTCCGTCTGTTTCCTGTTTTTGTGCTGTTTTGGTGCTGTTTTGGGTGCGGCTTGGACGGGGGCAGCCTCTGCCGCACTGGGCTTCTAAATCTTGAGCTTGCTTGCGCGCCCGTCCGGCTGGCTGGCACGGGGGGCAGCCCAGATGGCAGCCTGCCGCTGCTTCTGCCCCGCCGGGCCCGGGGATCTTGAGCTTCGGGCTAGTGTCTTACAGTCCCTAGTCCTAAGCATAGCAGCAGTCTTACAGGCCGCTAGCTTGAGGCCCCGAGACCCGGGAATCGCACGAGATATGGAACAGAGTAACACTCCCCCAAGGCTCGAGCCCTCCAGAGAACACTAGCGCAGAAAGCGACAAAGCCCGCGAGGCTGTATGACTCGGACAGTACCTAGTATCATGATAAAAAATTTAAATGATAACGGCCAAATGCGAATAAAACGACGGCTGTTGTCACCGCCGCGCCTCGTATAAGAGCGCGACCGCGAGGACGTCAAGGACGAGGTGGACGACCGCGTCCAAGCGCACGTTCAGTACGAGGGCGTCCAGCGCCCCGCGCTCGGCCGCGTCGGCCGCCAGGCGCACGCCCCAGACCGCGGCGAGCGCTATCGCGAGCTGGCGCGGCTCGACGCTCGGCCCCAGGGCCCAGGGCGACGCGGGCGCGGAGGGCACCGCGGGCGTGGAGGGCGAGGCGACCGTGGAGGGCGACATGGGCGCGTCGAGCTGGAACTCGGGGGGCGGAGCCCAGGGCGACACGGTCGACGTGGGCGACGTGGGCGACGCGGGCGCGCCGTCGGGCCGATACCTCCGCCCGTGCAGGACCACATGGTTGAGCTCCTCGCGGAGCCGCCGGAGGTCCGGGTCGAACAACTTCGGTTCGTCGAGCACGCGCAAGGCGCGGTCCAGCGGTTCGAGTTTCGACGCCGGCGGCAGCGTCTTGTGCGCGCCCGCGGCCTCGCATGCGGCCTTCGCCGCCTCTTCCGACGCAAACAGCTTGTTGATTATAAGCACCGCCAGCGAGACCGCGAACGGCAGCCCATTGAGACGTTTCACGAACGGATGCGCCGCGTACGCGACGACCACGCTAGGAGGCGCAATTCGGGGCGATTGCCGCTTGAAGGGGTCCGTGGCGCGGCGCTTGAGCTCGGGGTTCCGCTGCAGGAGTAGGTACGCGGTGTCGGAAGGGGTCATCGGTCCGAGCGCGACGACCTGTTCCGTTACGCCCGGCACGAGGCCGATGCCCGAGCCCGACGAGCACGTCATCAGCACGCTGATGTTCGAGCAGCTTTCCAGTAAACCCCGCAGTAACAGTCGACAGCGTTCTCGCGCCGCTATCTGGGCCGCGGCGACACCCTGGCCCCCAAAGCCGTTCAGGACCAAATTTTCGAAATCGTTCAGGACCACGAGCACCCTCCCGGCGCTCGCCAGGTCCACCAGGATGGAGGTGTCGAGCGCGGACGTGTCAGCCGTGTCAATAGAAGTACTCCTCTTCTTAATATGCATCATTTTCTTGTTCATGGGATTCAGGTGGTCGTCCTCCGCCTTCTGGATGACGTACTTAGCCGCCTCGGCCACGTCGTCGAAGAAGCGGTCGGCGGTCGTGACGTTCACCCAGACCACCGCATCGAAGCGCCGGTGCTGCGACGCATAGTCCGCCGCTGCCATCGCCAGAGCGCTCTTACCCGAGCCGTATCCACCACCAATCGTCGTGAGCCGATGCCGCAGCATGGACTCGACACACACACACTGGTCGGACGCCCGGCCGACGTAAAACGTCGGCGGCGCCGGCGCGTTCGAGGGCGGCGGCGGCCGCGTCGTCTCGCGGAACGACCCGGGGATCGGGGAGAAGATGGGCTCGTCGTGTGGTTTATCCTCCGGGAGCAGTATGAATTGTCCGTCGGAGCCCACCTCCCCGCGCATCTCCTTACGCGCGGCGGCGCAGCCAATATCAAAAGCTTTGCGCACCGAATCCATGTTCGCCAAAGATCGGTAGAACGCCTGGCAGAACGCGATGCCCGCGTGATCGGAAATCTTGCCATTATTCTGGTCCTGCGCCACGGCGACCACGTGTTCCACGCCCGCGGCCACGAGCGCGCGCCCATTGGCTTCGCTGCTGCACGAGTTCAACACCACCAGTCGGCACGTGTGACGCCGGCCGGCGCCCGCCGACACCAGGCGCTGCAGCGCCTGCGGCTCCAGGGCCCGCGCGCCGCCGTGGCCGTCCTCGAACATCATGAATTTCTCGTGGCCGTGGCCCGCGATGTGCACGACGCGCGCCCCCAGCGTCATGGCCGATTGCAGCGCCTTCACGGTGGCGATGCCGACCTTGAGCTCGACGTCGACGTCGTTCGCGTAGGCGGCCTCGCGCAGCGCCTGTCGCAGCTTGTTGGCCTCGCCCTCGAGGTTCAGTTCGGCGAGCTTCGGGAGCTGGCGAATGTCGCCCCTTACCTTCAAATCGACGCCCAGCGGCTTGCTCAGCAGCACGTGGACGATGTTTGCCGGCGCCTTGGACGGCGGCGAAGGACTTTCGGATTCGTGACAAAGCATGGATGCCGTCTTAGTCCCGTGCTCGGGCCAGACCGTGTCGACGGCGCGGTCGTGGGCCGGCGAGCTCGGCCAGATCGAGTCGATCGCGAACTCCTCCGAGGCCGAGCGCCGCATATTTCTATTCGTGGAGGAGTCGTCCGAGAGGGGCACTGGCTCCGGCATCGTCTGGGCTCGCTGGACGAAGCGGTCCTTAAACGACGACGGATCGTGGTCCGCTTCGTTTTCCAGCGTCGGGGAGGCGCTCCGGTACGCCATAGGTCGGGCAGCCTCCTCTGACTACAATTCTGAAAGCTGTGGTGTACCGCCGCGAACGCAAAATCACGGACGCGTCGCAGCCGTCGCGGACGCGGGGCAGCCTCCCTCTGTCTGCCGCTTGAAATCTGGTGTATACCCGCGCGCACGCACCATCACGCGGACGGCTCCGCCGCAGCCGTCGCCGACGCCTCGCGCCCCGCCGGGACGCCTCCCGGGAGTCCCGGTAGACGCGCCTATTCAGCTTGTCGTCAACATCGTTCAACCAATCTGCTCCCACACATTGACTTCTTCGGTCCGACGCGCGACGCCGCGACGCAACGAGCGGCGCCCCGGCGCGCGCTGCCCCGCGCGCCGCGCCGCCTCGGAGGCCCCCTTCGTGCAGCCAGCGCCGGGCGCCCCGGGAAGGCTGCCTGCTGCTCTCTCAGCTTGAAGCCCATCAAGGGCGCCGCGCGCGCGACGTCGACGATGGCCGACGTCGAGCGCCCGGCGAAGCTGATGAAGCGCGGGGCCTTCGTGCGCTTCCCCGGCGACTACGTCTTCGCGCTCGCCGACCATCGATTGTTAGCGATTGAGGACGACCCCGGCGCGGGGCGGTCCATCGCGAGCGACCTGAAGCACGTCAGCGTCAAGGGCGACGTCTTGAACATCACGGGCTACGACGAAGAGGAATTCCTGCGGCGCGGGCTCCCGTCGATGGCCTGGGATACGCAAGAGCTCGAGAATATAGGGAAGTCCTTCGAGCATCTTTGTAGAACCGGGTCGACGGAGAATTTACCGTGCTACGAGGCCAAATTTAGGCGGAAGGACGGCCGGCCGTTTTGGTTGAGGTTTGACAGATTGTCGCAGACGCCGAAGACGGGACGGCACATGACCATCATGCACGACGTGACCACGGAAGTGGAATTACGGGAGGCGCGGCAGGCGAGGGAGGCGGCCGAGAAGGCCTGCGCCGACCTCAGTCGCGAGGTCCAGGCAAAATTGGTCCCGACCATCGGTATGCTGGAGCGGATCAAGGAAAAGGCGCCGCTACTCTCAGACGACGTGGACGCGATCTTGGAGGCGAACCGGACGGTGACGGGTTTCGCTCAAGAAATGCTGAAAAAAGGGTCCGCCGACGCGGCGCGCCCCCCCTGACGCGCCGCCGGCGCTGCTCACGACCCTGCTGCTCACGCCCCTTGCCCCCCAGCTGCTCTCTTCCCACGTCCCGTCTCGGCGCGATGTGGGGCCCCTAACATGGATTGTAGTACTGGCAGCCTTGAGCAGTCGACGGGCCAATTCGCAATTCGCAGTTGATGGCTGCGCGAGCGCCCGAACTAGTCCCATGGACCAAGGTGCACTGAAACCGAGCTAGCGTATATCGACACACTAGTAAATTTAAAGATACGCCTCGATAGCGTCAAAAGAATGACCCAAATTCAGAATACATCCTAGTCGTTCGCCGAGACCAAAGATTTCAGAGTAGCGGCCCGGGAACATACCCTCGCGCCTCCCGGAAGGCACCGCCCGCGACATTCGCGGATGAGTCTTACGAGTTTCCAAAGTAGACCAGCGATTGACGCCGCCATCTACCGTCTGAATGGTACATTATATCAACTCCAGCCCAGTTTTCATACACACTCGACGGAACCGGAGCCGACGGCCCGCGCTCGGAGGGCGGGAGAAGAATTCTACTAGACAACTCTCGCGTTTATGTTCGTTTTCTTCCGTTTGTTAGTGGTAGAGTCTATCTAGCCCGCATCAGCGCCCACTGAGCTATTTGAGATATTCCGTTGGAGCCGCGCGATTCGTCATCTTCGCGCCCCCAAGTTTTAGCGAAGATGGATTCAGAACCTGGACCTGCGAGTATCAGCGACGCCACCCTCCAGATGGACCATAACGCCGTTGTTCTATTCACGATCGACCGACTTGCCCGTTCTCCGCGGACGACGGTGCATACGCGGGGCACTGGAAAGGCCCCAGACCGGTGAGTTATAAAATAAATTTGCGTTTCAGGCGCTTTGGTGATGGGACGGGCCAGCTAACCGGCTTGATTGTGTACTACATTGCTCCGAGACCCAAAGATGCTCGGCGCGGGTTGTCGGTCTCGCGAGCCCACGATCTGGCTAGATTTGGCTCCACACCTGGACCTACGACCATCAGCCCGTGTACCATCACCATGGACCATAATGCGATCATTTGTTTCATGACCGACCGACTTGCCCGAGGTCCAGATCAAGATGTTCACGTCCCGAGCATGGGCAGCCAAAAGTACCCTTCTCGTGGTGTAGATGTCATATACTTGTAGTTGACTATCGGTGGGGTAGTATGGGGCCCAACGAGGCCGCTATTACGATTCTTGGGGGCCCTCGGGTAATTGACGTTTTTTACGGGAACGGGGCGCCATCGGGTCCAAATTATTTACTTTTTGTGGATGTAGATCGGCTCGCGGACTCCCTCTGGGATAGGTCTGGGGTCGGGTAGTCGCCTACGCCGCATGCGCCGGCGCTTGGAGCTCCCCAGAGAGCTCTGGATCGAGAAGTTGTCGGACTTGTGCTCAAGCCCGACAGCTGGCTGGGGACCTGTACTGATATGTATCTATTGACGGAAGCGCCCGCGCATGCGCTGTAGGCGATTGCACGTGTATAATACCGACCCTAGGCGGCCTCGGGGACACCTCAGGACCACGAATCGACAGGATTCCACCGACGCGGCCGCCATGGTGGGATCGTCAATATCGCGAATTAAAAAAAATATTTTTTTTGGCCCCCAGTACGTGTCCCATTGATCCTCTTGGACTATTAGCGAACGGAACGATACTCGAACGGCTGCATGTTGTCCTTATAAAACCTAGTGTGTCTCGCCTAGCCTACTTCGGCGCAATGCTGAGCTTGGTCGCGTACAAGTTGCCAGTTTTTTGTCCAGCGCGACCCAAAGTTGCCGTCTAGCTTGCTGGCAGTGGACCCATAACGTCTACGGTGGTCAAATCCTCGTGCAATTCAAGTTACTCATACCCGCCATCGCTTTCAGGGCTGCCGCATGCGCCAATGCGGAGGTCTCAGTGGCTTGTCTTAGTCCTGCTAGACGCCATCGATGCGCTGAGTCTTCAGAGGAGCTATGCGTTTGCAAGCAAGCCAGGAGAAGGAAACCCGGCGAGCATCGGCGTCCTAGGCAAGGCGGACGCCTGGCCCGAGGCGCCGGCGAGCGGTGAGGCGACGGCATTTGTCCGACCGGCGGCCCAGGGGGACGCATACGACGTGCGATACTTCGCAGGGGGCGCAGAGATCGCCTTCTGCGGCCACGCGACGCTGGCGGCCGCCGACGCCGTGTTGGATAGCGCGCCGGGCGCCCGTGTGGATCTTGAGACGAGCAGCGGCCAAACTGTTGCTGCGACGCGTTCGAAGGACGGCGCCGTAGAACTGCGCCTCGCGGCTGGCGTGCCGGCGGATGCGGCACCAGCCGCCGTCGCCGCGGCCACCGCAGCGCTGGGCGGCGTCGAGGCACTCGACGCCCGGTACTTTGATGACACGACACTTGTCATCGAGCTGTCGCCGGACGACTACGCGAGCCTCGACGCCGTCGACACGGCGGCGCTTAAGGATATAAGGCTAGTCGTCGCGGCCACCACACGCGCATCGTCGGGCGATCTAGCTTTCCGGAGCCGCTGCTTCGTCAGCGGCGCTGACGACCTCGCGTGCGGAGTGGCGCACTGCGGCCTGGCGCCCTACTGGGCACCGCGACTTGGGGCGGACGGCTTCATGCGGGCGCGCCAGGACTCTCCGACCGGCGCGCGCCTCGACGTTGCCATCGACGGCGAGGAAGTATTGCTGCGCGGCCAAGTGTCTTGGGACACGTTTCGTGAGAAACTTCGGCGCGGCGTGCGCCGGCTCGCCGACGCGCTGATCGCTCCCCTGCCAAAGTCTCGGTCCATCGAGGATGAGGCAAAAATTGAGCTAATAAAGGGCGGCGTCCTCCGGGCGCTCTTCATCGGCGGCACGGCGTTGGCGTCCGCGTGGTCGCTCACGTTGTTCGGCGCGAGGTGGCAAGCACCACAATGGCAAGCGCCACGCGTGAAGCAGCCCGTCCTCGTCGCGCCCAAGCCCAAGACCCCTGTGTTTGTGAAGCCGCGGTGGCGGTTTAAGAGTGATTCGTAAGTTCACTAAGTCGATGTTACGGTGCTGATCGTAGCTAGTGGCGTGTACATACTAGCATTGAGCCCCCGGGGAGGCCACTGCTCTTGCACGCGCGTCACCTAGCTCGCATCAATAGCGGGCTCCAAAAAACGCACGCTGATATTTTCACAGCGCTGTGTGGTCGCGTTCTTGTCCAGCCACGACGCTACGCAGAGGAGTTCTCCAAAAGGCTCAAGCAGTCGAGAGCATAATATGGGTGCCGCGTCGTCGAGCGAGGGCTCCCCGCCGGAGGAGCTGTCCACGAGGCTCAGCACGTGGGCCTCAAGCGAAGGCTCTGCGGCCGCGCTCGCGGCGCTCGAAACTGCGGCGCCCGCACTGAGTGCAGCGCTGCGCGCCTCCGATGCCGACGCCGTCACGAGTGCGCTGGGCGGCGGCGCCGCGGATGCCGATGCGGACCGCCCGGAAACCGTCGAGGGCGAAGGTGACGGCGCGGCCGCGAACGACTCGCCCACCCCGAAGCGGGCCCGCGCGCCCCTGGTCCCATTCACGAAGAGCATACTGGACCACCAAGATAACGCGTCGAAGGTCCTCGGCTACGCCGGTTACCGGACCGTGTTCACCTTAGAAGCGCTCTGCGCGAGGGCGCGACCGGCGCTCAAGGGCGCCAAACTCGTCCTCGACGTATCCACAGAGTCTTCGTTGACGACAGCGGCGCGCACCCAGAATCGGCACGAGCTCCTCGACGCGCGGCGCACGGGCAGCCTGCCTACGGATACGCCGCTGCGAATTGTACTCAAGTCCACGGAGACGGGCGCGCAGCGGCGCACGGCCGACGTGTTATACAAAGACGACCGCGTCCTCTTCCCGAGCCCGCGGCCGCGCCAGCTCTTCCGCGCCGCGTCGACGGATCCGGGCGACCGCGACGTGGAGCGGTCGCGGGCGTCGCTCGAGGCCTACGAGCGCGAGCGGGCCGCGAACCTGGCCCTTGGCTGCATTATCGTCGACGCAGATAGTCGGGCGGGCGACCACGCCGGCGATATAACCAAGCGTGCGTTTTTCCGGACCGCAGTACAATCCAGCTCGGAGGATTCCGAAGCGGCTGACGAGGCGACCGCCGCGGCGCTCGTCGAAGCCATGGGCGGCGCGCGAATTATTCCGCGGCGCCTGGTGCTGGCGGCGGGTCGGGTTCACGACCATCCAGTCTCGTCAGAATATGGGAGCCGGCTCCATCTCGAGAGGGCGTTCCAGTACTCCATGGACAAGTCCGTGGTGCTGGATTCGTTAGACGTAGCGCGGAGACTCTCGTGGTTCGCGGTCAAAGCCCTGCTCACGCATCGCTCGGAGACTCTCGTGGAGGCGGTCTTCAGAGAAAAGGTGTGCGAAGCGGCCGGCCTCAGCGCCACGGACTCGGCCGTCGTGTGGCGCGAGGCGATGGGAGGCGCCGTCCCGCCGTTCACGCCCTCGTACGTGGACCCCCTCACGCACGAGCGTCGCGAGGTCGGCGACGTTCGCCCGGGCGACGTCGCCGTGCTCGAAGTCATTGGTTGGCTGTGGCCAGCCCTCGCCGCGTTTGCGCTGGCCGCGTCGGCACAGGGCGATCCCGCCAAGTGCTTCACGGCCTACGAGCCGTGCGTTGTCGCGGTGAAAACGTTCGAGGACATTGTGATCCGGCAAGAGATTGTTGGCTGCAAAGAAAACGGCTCCGAGTGGTCCTTGCCGCTGGCGGTCCTAGACGACCTCGCGTACCGGCGCGACGGCGAGGAGGACGACGCCCCGGGCCAAGCGCGGGTCGCTGTGGCGGTCGCGAGCCTGTTGTCGCCAGAGCGCGTCCCGACGTTTGCCGTCGGCGCCCAGGTCGAATACGGCGAGGGAGAGTCGACGGCTCCGCGGAACAACCCGGTCGCCTGGGTCACCGCTAGCGTCACGGAGGTGAATGCCTCGACGGGAATCGCAACGATACGGACTGAAGGCGCAAACGAGACAAAAACAGTAGGTCTCGGCGCGCTCCGAGAAGGGCCAAGCAAGGTGCCCTGCGCAGCGGCGGTCGTCCTCGCGCACGCCGTCGCCGACCATCGGAACGATATTGTGCTTCAGATCCTCTCGTCGCCGCTCCTGGCTTCGCCGTTGTCGCTCGTCGTCGGCAAACCGGGAGCCAAGTTAAATGTAAGGGGCGTTACTCGCGCGACGGCCCTCGACCACGCAATTGCTTCTCGCAACATCGTAGCCGTTGGCCTGCTGACGAAGAATTATGCGTGCTCCTGGAAGCGCTGGGAAGCGGTGCTTTCGACGTGTGATAGCCTCGAGGAAGCCGATGAGCAACGATCAACTAAGGAAGGGTCACTGGTCGACTTGTCGTGCGCTCTCCGGTTGGCGCCGGGCGTCTTTCTGAACTCGCTCAATGCATTCAGGGTCTTCGAAGCAGGGGCCGCCTTGGAGAGACATGAGCTGGAGTCTGAAGGAGATAAGCTTGGTATACCGTGCTTGATCGCGGCGCGCGACGGCGACGCTGCGAGAGCACTCGCCCTCTTCGAGACCCTGAAAAGAAAGTGTGATGCGGGGGTTGTGGACCTTGTTGCTGTGGACCAAATTACGAGCCTGATGCTGACCTGGGCTGCGAAGTCGGGCTCTGCGGCGATCATCGACTATCTCCTCACACATCACAATCGGCCGGTCGAGATGGAGCTGGCGGTCCGCATTGCCATCGCTGATGGACACATTCATTGCCTCGAATCGCTTTTGGTCGTCGGTCCGTCACTGACGAATTATCTTGCAAGATTTTCTCCAGACGCGATCTTATCTCCGGCGCCCCTCAAAGCTATCTTGGAGGCGGTCCAAATGGACGACGGCGCCGCGCTTGATCTTATGCGTTCGCGCGGCGTTAGGCTCGGGCCATTTGATGGCCCAGGGATGGTCCCACGCCTCCAACCAATCGACGCCGCGGCGCAACGGGGGAGCTCTTCTGCGGTACGAGCGATTCTGCGCGACCCTTCCGTCGTCCAGTGGATCATGGCCCGCAAATCGGACGCGATCATGCGAGCTTGTGACCGCGGGCACCCCGAGTCGTTGGCTGCGTTGCTCGAGCGCGTGCAGCTGATTCACACGAAAGAAAATTCTGAGATCTTTGGGACTTCTTCGCCGCTTCTGCAGGCGATCACCAGCCGTAGTCTCGCGACGGTGGAGATAGTGTTAGCGCATGGCGTCGACGTGAACGAGAAGCTCGAGGGCAAGAGGTCGGCACTTGCGTGCGCCGCGGGTCTCCATGCCATCGACATCGCCACGGAGCTGTTAAAACGGGGCGCGTCAGTGGGCTCGCCGTCCGACCTCACTCAAACTGCTCTGTCTTATGCGTTGAATAATTCTAAGGACATCGAAGATGCCTCCTTGCGCAATTCGATGGTCCAGCTGTTGCTGAGACACGACGCCAACCTGGTGGAACACTGGTTGCACTGGGCCAAGAAGAACTGGTTGAAGGTGGGGCAGCTCCAAGCCTTCCTAGGCGCCGGTGCAAATCCTTCTGTCAGCGACAGCAAAGGGGTCACACCCTTGCACATAAATGTTTTTCACGCCAAAATTCTAACAGATGCATCGATCGCCCAGCACGACATACTCGAAAATATAACGACCTTAGTTCTGGCTGGCGCTGATTTGACGGCCAAGACGACCGCGGACACGAGCAACGACGATGCCGGATTCCCCTTGTTTGACGAGGTGCTGCCCGGGGGTCTTACGCCAATGCAGGTGGCCGAGACAGTCGGTTGGGGACCTTCCCGAGACCAGGTCGTCGCGCACCTCACGGCAGCCATCGCCCTGCGCGCGCTCTGAGCCAGTAATGTGTAAGACTTATACCCCCGTGGACTAGTCCCGCCACCCCCGCGGCGAATTCTCGGGACTCCTCCGCGGCGACGCCGTATCGCGCCAGACGTCGTCGTCGTCGACGCACTCCCGGACGACGCGCCCCGCCGCGGCGTTCTCGAGCCCCAGCAGCTCCGCGCGGCCCTTCGCCGACGCCGGGTTGGCCGCGTAGCAGATGCCGCATTCCATATCTTTTTCGCCGTTGCCCGCGTAGTAGCAGACGGCGCAGGCCCACGTCTTTTTCGATGATAAATCCAGCGACCGGCGCGACGGCTTCGCATCTACAGGCGCGCCGGCGAAGAGGTGGTCGTCGGGCGCGGGCGCGCAGAACGTCGGTGGCGAGCCCGCCGAGTTCAATCCGATTCTCCGATCCGCAATTGCTGAAGACAAGGCGTCAGGTGCTCTATTTTTGGTCGGCGGGGCGTACAAGGCTTCCTCGTCGTCGTCGGACTCGTCCTTGCGCGGCCTAGCTTTGCGCGGCGACGCGCGGCGGTTCCGCGCCGGCGACAGCGACAGCTCGAAGTAGGTCTTGTCTCTATCCTCATCGTTCGACCGGCGCCGCCCGTAACTCTGGGACGCGGGCCGCGCGAACCAAGGTTCCTCGCCGTCTAAAGGTTGGCCCCGCTTCGGCGGCTTGCTGTGTCTTGTAGGTTCCGGCGCGAAGCGCGTCCGGCGGCCTCGTTTCGCCTTGCACTTCGCGGTTGCTAGCGCCGCGGCGAGGTGCCTGACCAGCAGCTCGTAGTCTACCACAGAAGCGTCATCCGGCAATGCAAAACGCGACGCCAACTGCTGCAACCGAAGCTCCGTCGTCTTCGCGCGCCAGTCGCGCAGGAACACGTCCCGAAACACGGCGACGGGCACGACGCCCGCCCCGCGCGGATCCGCTTCGAGGAGCGGCTCCAAGAGGTCCTCGGCGTCCCTCACCCGCAGACCGGAAGCGACGTCGGCCAACGCGCGGGCTAGCGCCGCGTCGTCGCTCAACGCCGCAAATCTACAAAAGTCGTTGTAGTCCGCCTTGCCCCTAGTCGCAAATCGTCTCGCGCACGCGCGGCGGTGGTGCCGTAGGACACCCAAGCGCTCGAGCGCCTCCTCGAAGGCCTCTACCGTAATTTTGCCGCGTCCCCGCTTGTCGTGCCTTTCAAAAACACTTCGCAGCTTCTCGCCCGCGCTGCGCGTGGCCGTCGACGCGGCGTCCAGCAACATGCCCTCGTCTCTATCAACCCCGTCCATGGTGCTCGACGGCTGCCCCTTTGTTCCGGCACGGTGGGTCGACTGCGTGCGCGCGGCGCGGCAGCAATGCGGTCGCGGCGCGACGGCGTTTTGTCGTTGCGGTCCCAGCACCGTTTTGCTGCCCCCTGCCAAACTGGCGAACCGGCGGGCGCGGGAGATGGGTCTCCGGACCAGGTTTTATGCTTCGCGAGGACTCCGAAGGTGCGGAGAACCGCAGGCTAGCGGCCGGTAAGACACTAGCAGCAACATGCCTGAGTGCTGAGCAGTGTTGGCGAACAAATTGAGTCCATTCAGCACTTACGAATCGGTGGCGAGAGACTGACAGACGAGTTCTCACAGCGCGCAGCGATCGAGACTTTAAGAAACCGTCTGAAGCGAGCAGTGCAGCACCTGCAACAATGACTGAGAGCGCACCAGCCAACGCCAACGACAGCGGTGGCCGCGGACGCGGCCGTGGACGAGGAGGACGCGGGCGAGGCCGCGGCAAGGGCGGCAAGGGCAGGGGCGGCAGGGGCCGCGGCCGCGGCAAGGGCCGCGGCGGCGCCGACCAGGCCGCAGATGACGCGTCAGCGCTCCCGTACGGCGGCGACGTCCAGGCCGCGATGGCCGCGCAAGATAGGGACGCCGTCCGCGACCTGTTGAAGCACCAGGAGGCATCTAGACCTAAACCACAAAAGGACAAAAAGAAGAAGCCCCAACCCAAGAAGAAGAAGGACCGGTGGTGGCGGACGTCGACGGAAGTGGATCCTATTTCTCTAGAACCGTTGTCGGAGCTCGACTACCCGCCCTTCGAGCTCGGGCCCCACTTGTTCGACGGGCGGGTGCTGGCTTTTTACCTGGTCAGCACGGGCACGTTTCTCAACCCGATGTCGCGGGATGAACTGTCGATAGACGACTGCACGGCGCTCGACGCGTATTTAGCACAAAATAACTTGGATCCTGCGAGAGTCGCCGACGCGTTGCGGCTCCAGAAGGCCTTGACCGTTGACACGGGTCGCGACGACTCAGCCGCGCAGCAGCAACAGCGCCAGGCGACGGCGGTGTTGCACGGCTTGTTCGGGTTCGCTAGGTATGGGGACTCGGCGACGCGGCCCGGGGCGCGTAGAACTGGCGGCGGCAATTTGCGGAGCGCCTACGACGAGGATGATAGAAGTTCGGGCGGCTTAATCGACGACGGAGACATTGGAGGCGACGAGAGCGACGAAGAGGAGGTCCTGCCGGAAGCGGCGTTCCCGACTTTATCTAGCGATGCGCCACGCGACATTGATCAAGGCGCGGGCTGGCGCCGCGCGGCCTCGTCGCAAGGGGGGGTATTGGCCGCCTCGGCGCTGACGACGGAGGACTTCCCGACGCTCGGGGGCGGGCCTACACGTCAATCAAGGCCCCAGGCCCCTGCTTATAGGAACGTGGTCCGGCCCTACGCCATCGACGCACACGAAGGGCACGTCAGGAGGGCGCCTCAAGTGCGCGACGAGCAGGTCGCGTTGCACGTGGCGCGGCCGCCGCAGACGTACCAGGAGGCCTACCCCTCTCTCTCTGGCTCTGGGGGAAGCGCTCGTGCGCGCGTCGTGGCCGAGCAGTACCGCGCGCTCGCGCTCTCATCAAGACCGCAGCAACAACCTCAATCAGGATTGAGCAAGCGCGAGCGCGAGCGCGCGAGAAGGCGCGAGCGGGATAGAGAAAGGCGGCGCACGGAAGCGGCGGGCCTCGCGCCGCACCAGGGCGGCGGCAGCGTCGTCGCGCGCATCCGGGCCTGCGCCGGCGACGAGGCCCTCGCGCAGCTTCGGGAACGGTCGCTCGAATTTAGAAGAGGCGAGCTGTCCGCGGACGCGTTGTATGATTCGGCCAAGGCCCTGCTGCCTAGTGATCGGTTCCTGGAGCTGTTTGGGGGCCTCGTGAGCGTCATACCAGACGGCGACGCGCGCGCGGTCCTCGACGCGCTCCTCGACGAGCGCCACCCGGAACGGTCCGGCGCCGAAGTGGAGGCGCCGGCGCCTCCACCGCCCGGGCTATCGGCGCCGCCGCCCCCTCCCGCACGGCCGCCGCCCGCGGCTGCGCCGGCGCCGGCGCCACCACGGGCTTTGGCGCCGGGCGAGGCGCACTGGGCGGCGCCGCGGCCGCCGCCGCGCGCGCGCCAGCGGCCCGCGGCCGCGTCGGCGGCGGACTTCCCGACGCTGGGTTCGGGCGGCGCCGTGCCGCGCGCGGGCCCGGCGCTGCGCGGCTCTAGACCGCCACCGGGATTAGCCGCCGCGCTCGCGAAGGCCACGGGGCCGGCGCCCGGCCGCCGGGGACGCACGGGCATCGCGGTGGCGTCCCAGCGGCGCCGCGCGCCCGCGCAGCCGTCGCCGGCGCTCGCCGCGGCGGCCCAGGACTTCTCGGCGCCGCCGCCCGACCAGCGCGGGAAGAAGTAGCCCGCTTGCCGCACTTGTGGCGCCGCCTCCTCCTCCTGGCCAGCGCGGGAAGAAGTAGCCGCGCCGTGCGCCCGCTTGCCGCACTTCTCGGCGCCGAAGTATAATGTTGTTGATAACTCACTGCCAGTGCGCCGCGGCCGCCGCTAGCTACTGGCAACACGCCATCGCCGCGATCCATTATCAGACAATTAGGTTATGAACGCGACCCCGGCGGCGCACTCGTCCCTGTGCCCCGCGAGCCAGTGCGCCTTGCGGCACGCGTCCCCGCAGTAGCGCGGCCCGCCGCAGCCGTCGCAGCGCTCTAACGGTTTGTCCTCTGGCCGCTGGCCGCAGCTGTCGCAGACGCGGCCGCGCTCGGCGCGCGCCGCGGTGGCCCTCCGAGCCCGCTCCTTCAGGGCCGCGAGCTCGGCCTTGCGCCAGGCGAGGTCGGCCTCCTTCCGCAAAATTTGCGAGCGCAGCTCCATCTCTTCCGCCCGATCCTCGACGAGCGCGACGACGCGGCCTCGTACCGCTTCGGGCAGGCGCGCGACGGCCAGCCGGATCTCCTTTACTTTTTCGGCGACGATGGCGCCACCGTAGCCCGCGTCCCGGAGCCGCTCGAGGGCCCGGAACTCGCTCGCCACACGCGCCACCGCCACGGCGGCGTCATCTGGCGGCGGGAGGGTCGCCGGACTATTTCTCCCGGAGCTCGATTGCGGCGGGAGGGTCGCCGGACTATTTCTCCCGGAGTTTGATTGCGGCGGCGGTACGGAGGGCGGTGGTGGAGGGGTATTTGCTGCCGGGGCGGCCCGGGCCGTCCAGTTGTTCATAGCGCATCGCGTTCTTTTTGCGTGGGCAGTAGCCCAAACCGCTTCTTGCACGCGAGGCGCTGCGCGCTGAACTTGTCGTCCGGCGAGAAGCGCGCGGGGTGCGCGCTGAGGGTGGGTTGCTCTTCCTCGCCGTGGGACTTTTTGAGGGTGTAGACGCGCTCGCCCTTCTCGTTGAGGTAGTACATGAGGTGCATGGTTGTCGGGGGAGCTGCGGCGCTCGTCAGGCGAACCTGTGATGAGTTAGGCTGGCGCTGCGGCGAGTGTCGATTTTGAGTGGAGGGCAAGGAGCTAGCGGCTGTGAGGCACTAGGCAAGGCAAAACAGCAGGAGGGAGGGCGTTTCCAATTCCCGAGACGCGTCTCGTCCCCGCCGGAAGGATCGGCGCGCATTTGGATCCAAAATCAGCGGCTGTCACTTTACCAAAAGCCAAGTGCTTATCACTTCCTGTTGCTGCCGGTTGAAGCTGCGTGCCCGCCTAGCAGCCAGGAGCAGGCGCGGCGGAAAGCCGTAACGACGCGCGCTGCAGCGCGCTTGTGTGTAACCGTTCTCCGGATTCCCCGCTGCTCCTGATTTTCCCAATCTTAGTGACTAGCGCTGCTGCGCCATGGCCGAGCACCTGCAGGTGGCGGATGCTGACACGGCAGCATTACAAGCGCGGCTCGACGCGCTGGAGAGCGAGACGCACTCGCTGCGCGAGGTCCTCACGGAGCGGCTCAAGCGCGACTCCTTGGACGAGGCCCTGCCGACGGGGCGCGGGCAGCGGCGGTCGCGCGACAAGCCGCGAGGTTCGAGAAGTTCCCGCGGCTCGTTTGAGCGAAGATCGCGGTCGCCGGAGCCGCCGTCGGGCGGCCGGTTCCGGTGGGTCCGCGGCGACGACGACGCCAAGAGTTTGGCGCGACTCGTGGTCGGCGCCGCGATGCCCGACGCCGTCGTCGGCTTCCCCGTGGACCTGCACGCGAAGTACGAGGCGAACGTGAATACGGCGCTGAAGGGCGTCGCGATCGCGGCGCGGCGCTGCCTCGAGGACCGCGACTTACATTTAGCCTGCGCGCCGCGGTTCCGGGACAACCGCAACGAGCTCACGGCGAGCGTCTACCCTCTTCTGGAACGACCTCCCGACCCGGACGCGCCCGACGTCGAGGTCCTGACCGTCGCGCGCGCGACGGACTACCGCGTCCTTGCGGGTGCGGTCGCGAAGCGCGCGCGCGACGGGCAAACTTCTCGGTTAAGAGCCATCGGCGCCGCCGCCGTGTTTACCGCTGCTAGAGCGGTCGCGACGGCGCGCGAGTACCTGGCCGACGACGCGACGCGCTCGTCGGTGGCCTGCGTGCCGCGCTTCGCAACCGTACAGTTCGACGGCCGCGCGGAAGAGACGACGATCCTCGAGGTCGTCGTCTTCCGCGTCGCCGTCGACTCCGACGACTAGCTCGAGCCGGTCCGCCGCGGGACTGCCCCCCTCTGACGGGGGGGCAGTCTAACCCCGCGGCGCGGCGCTCACCCTACTGCCGGCGTCTCTCGACGAGGCGCCGCTCCTCACTGCTGCCACGGCCCCGTCACACGACGGGGTCCCTCGCTCACTGACTACTTTCCGGGCCCCGTCGCTACGGCGCGGCCCGACGACCACTCTCACGACGAATTCCACTTCCACTACTCCGTTCGGCGATCGACGTTTTGTCCAACACAGATTGGGGCAACCTCGATTCTAATTAAGAACTGCCTTGCTTGACTTGATTAGTGTCCCGCCACGTCCGAACCCTTGGATGAAGATTGCGGCGAGTACACGTGTGCCGCGAGTAAATGGCTTGTGTGTGTGTCTATCGACTGCGAACTCCTTATGAGCGCTGGGGGGAGAGAGGAAACGACACGCGGGGTAAGTAAGAGGACGATGTGGGGGTAACAGTGCAGGGGGAACATGACGGCCTCGAAGAAGAAGACCGTTCGGACCCGGAGGGGCGTGGAGCCCACGGGCCGGCCCGCCCGACGTGAGGTCGAGCAGGGAAGAAGAGCACGAACGAACTCGCCCAGGACGTTCGCGCAGAGAGCTGGTCGGCCGCGCTCGCGGGCTGCGCAGATCGTTCTGCGCTCTGCGATTTTTTTGATTCGCAAAGGGCCTTTGCGCCCCCCGGCCGGGTCCGCGGCCCCCGCGCGGCCCGGGAGGGCTCGGGGGCCTTGGGGGAGGCAATACTACGGAATTCCTACTCGCTGGAGGCGTCGGGGACCCCTTGCGCGGCACGACGCCGCCGCGGGCCGTCGCCTACAACCGCCTCAAGCGAAGCGAATGCGCGGCCAAAACCAACAACATATCATTAGCGGACAAGAAAGCAGCAGTACACGACCCGCGACGACGCGGCAGCGACGACGTTGCGGGCGACGCACACGTGCTCGACGAGGGCCGCTTCGGCGAACCCAGCCCGTCGCCACTTCACGGTTTCGAGGACCGAGACGCGGACCTTCTCGATCCTTTTGTACGTCGTAGCGACCGTTGAACTAAAAACGAATCCAACGGACCGGTTAACTGCTCCGAAAAGCATGACCCCCGGGCCCTCGAGCGGCACAAGTCGCGGAGCCAGACGCCGCCCACGAGAAGCTTCTTCGCCGACATAGCGTAGGGGTGGGATCACGAGCGCGCCCAAGCGCGCGCGAACTGGCGCAGTGCACCGCTCTAATGGAGCGAGTGACCATCCGACATATCACGCCCTCCGCGCCCAGTCCTCCCCCGCCGGCACGGCGGCCACTGGTGCCACGCATCACGACCGCCGCGCAAGATAAACGATTGCGTACGTCGTCGGCGCCGCGCTCGTGCCGCCGGCGCTCCGCACTGCTACCGGCATCCCGTCGTGGAGGGCGGCCACCGTGCAAGCAACATGGGCGCCTCGTTTCGCCGTCGCCGCGGCCCGCGGCATCATCTAGGACATCGCCGTCCATTCTCTACGCCTCGACGGCGCACCGAGGAGTAGCTGTGACCTCCCGCCGTCGCGCAACAGCGCCGCCCATGCGCGTGGCCGAAGTTTCGTCGCCCGCGTTAGTAACGAGAGGCCGTCCTGTCCGGCTGTCTATCGCTCGTCTACTCGTGCCGCCAGGCCCGCGGCAGGGCTGCAGTTGCAGCTCATACGTATGGTGCTGGTGCTGGTGCTGGTGCTGTGCCGGCCACTCACAGCAGTCGTTGCTGTGGCGAGCGAGGCTACGAGGGGGCTTGCAAACGAACGCTCTGAGAGCTTTGAACGTCCTCCTGTCAACAGTCCGACGTATGTCGCAGGCCAGCCTTCCCTGGCTGTGGGAGAGCACAAGCAGCCTCAAGAGCCCTCGAGCTCAACCGAGCCGCATTGATTACGAGACGCCCCCGCAGCGGTATCTCAGGATGACGCATTGATGCCATCAGGCGACAACGGCCGCTCTTTGACCGGTGCCGCGCCACAAGCAAGGCATGGAGTGCCTCTGCAGCAGCACAACCTTCAGGGCGTGGCGTTACGTCGAACACGTCGCGTCGATGGCGTTAGGGTGGTCGGCCCGTCTCTGTTCGCGCTGTCCGAGCGCTGCGCACCGCAACGCTCCCCTCCGCGGCGGCGGCGGCGAGGTCGAGACCCGTGCTGCGGCTCTTAGGCGTCCCGGACCGCGGCACGGTGTCTCGACGTGCCGGTGCGCGAGCGGCTCGGAGCGGCGACGGAGCCGCACGCGACGCGGCGCCGGCGTCGTGGAGGCGCTGGAGCCTCTACGGTGTCTCGGGGGCCCGCCAGCCCTGTGGTCCCGTCGATCGGCCTACGGCGAAGGACGGCGGTGAAACGGGTAAGGCAGTGTGTGGGCCGAGGCCCGGCACGCCCGTCGACGCGGCGGCGGACCTGGATGTGATATGATGCCTGGCGGTCTCCTAGTGACGGACCGGCTCGAGCGCGGCTTTCTCTGAATCTGGTCACAACGATTGCTTATGTAGGGATTGGACCGAGGTCGAGGAGTAGAAAGTCAGAACCCGCTTGGACGAGCTATCGAAGAGGTGCTGCCGCGGCAACGGTTGCGCGGCCGTCCAGCTGTCCCAGGCGCGGGCGAGGCGTAGCCTACGGCTCGTGGCACGGTGCTTCCGGACGGCTCGAGGCCCGGCGGGACGTCGTCGATGCCGTCGACGCGGACGAGCCACTGGTGAGATGCTCACCCCGGGGGGGCGGGGGGGCCAAGCTAACATTGTTCGAGCGAGTGCTCTCCTTATGAGTCCCGGGGAGGTCGTGAGTTTAGGGAGGGCTCTGTGAATACACTTTCAGGGCGCCGTCATGTACCACCACGGGTGCTCGTCGTCCTAGCGCGGACCGTCGGCTCCGGTTCCGTCGAGTGTGTATGAAAACTGAGCTGGAGTTGATATAATGTCCCATTTGGACGGGAGATGGCGGCGTCAATCGCTGGTGTACTTTGGCAAGGTATAAGACTCATCAGCGAATGTCGCAGCGGGCGGTGTTCCGGGAGGCAATGAGGGTATCTTCCCGGAGGCGTAGATGCAAATCTGAAGATCTGCAGTCATTTACTTATCGCAGTACTCGATGATTTCAAGTTCTCGAAATAATTGCACCTGCGCGGACGTACCCTTCTGATTCGGAAGCTCGGCCGGTCGGATGCGACGAACGATGTCAGAGACGGCTCCTCGCACACCAAAAATCGCGTCGGAGTCAATGATTTCGTACTGAACTGCCGGCGCTGCTCCGCGAGCCGCGAGCTGGCCTGGAGTGAGCCCGAGTTTCCGGCGCGGCGCGAGCGGTACCTGGGCCTCTCAGGCGCAGCTGCGCCGTCCGGGCAGGTCGCCGAGGCTCGTCATAGAGTCAACTGGGCGTGTTGGTCTGGTCTGCAGCGGCTCCGGCCGTCTGCACCGCGCTGGCGCCGTGGATGGCCACCGCCCAGATCGTTCTGCGCTCTGCGATTTTTTTGATTCGCAAAGTGAAATTACGCCCCCCGACCGGGTCCGCGGCGCGCCCGCGCAGCAGGAGGGCTCGGGGGCCTTAGGGGGACGGGTCCTAGCGGGTTTCTACTTTCTGGGGACGCCTGATACCCGTCACAAGGCCGACGCCGGCGCGGACGGGCGGCCCGGCCTCTGCGCCCGGCGGGCGAGTCCGCGGCGCGGGCGCGGCGCGGGCGCGGCGCGGGAGGCCTCCTGAGACTTGGGAGAGAGATTTCTACGGAGTTACTAGTCGCTAGAGGCCCATTGCCCACCAGCTTCGGAATTCGACGTTCGGGTTTTTCGCCCTTTTGCCGGGTTCTGGCGAGCCCCATATCAATACCGAACGTTCTAGGACATCATGGGACGGCTCCTGGCGGGTTCCTACTTTCTGGGGACGCCTGACACCCGTCACGAGGCGGCCGCGGGCCCGAACGGTAGACGACGCTAAATGTACCTTTACCAAAGAAAGAAAGAGCACGCTTCTTAATATTCACAAGTCACCCGTAGATGTCGTCGTCGTCGTCGGCGCCGCCGCCGTCGCCGTCGAGGTGCGCCCAGGGATTCTCCGCGGGCGGCGGCGGCCGCGCGGGGTTCGGCCGCGGCGGCGCGACGCCGCCGCGGAGCACGTCGAACATGTCCGGTACGCCGCCTTGACCGCCCATGAGTTGGGCCATCAGCTGCGGGTCGAAGGGCATGGGCCCGGGCAGCGGCAGGTCCGGCACCGGTTGTGGTTGCGGCGCCGCCCAGGGGTTCGGCAGCGGCGCGTCCGGGTCCGCATTCACAGAAGGCGCACTCGCACCGCCGCTCGACACGGCCATGCCCTCGAAGCCCTCCATGAGCGGTTCCTGGACCTCGGAGTACATCCTCCTTAAGGCATTAAACCCTTCTGGGTGGTTTTCTAATTGAGATAAAGCCAGATCCTGGTGGCGCATGGCTTCTCTAGCTCGTGCTGGATTCCTGGCGACCTCGACGGCCTCCCTGAGCAAGTTGGGATCCTGCAAGGCATGCCGCAGCTGCGGATTCGCGTCCATTGCCCTCCTGAGTTGGGGATTGGCGTTGACCATCTGTCTGAGTAAATTCGGGTCATCTAACAAACTTCTAGTGAACGGGCTATCGAGGATCCTCGCGGTGAGCTCGGGGTCGCTCATCAGACGTCTCTGTAACGATGCCGGGTCACTTGGTAATTGCATGCCGTGCAAACCACCTGCTAATAGACCATTCGCGGCCAACTGCGGTTGTTGCGGAGGCGCTTGCGGCTGTCGCGGCGGCGCCCTCAGTAAGTGTATGGTACACTGGTCGGTGACGTCGTACTCCGTTAAGAGGTCACCATCTTGTAAGGCCCTACCTTTATAGATGAGGCGCTGCTCCGCCGCCGGCACGTCCGCCGGCGTCTCACATTTTTCTTTGAACTCGAGTACTGACGCGGCCCTCGACACTACGAGCTGGAAATGCTTGCCCGTCGACGTCTTCACGACGAGGGTCATGTCGACGCCCGGGGTTGTGGCGGTCATCGTTGCCATCGTCTTTACGTCTGCGGCGACGGCGTGGGGTGCTTTTTGTTTGGAGGTCTCTGAGAGCTGATGGGTTTCAGAGAGACCGAGGGCCGTTGCGCGGCTCGCGGTCGACACGAGGCGCTGGCGGGTTCGCCCAGGCAAGCGGGAGAGAGCTCGCCTGAACCGGTAGCGCCGGCGTTGGCTGCGTTTTTGGGCAGGAGCTGGAGCCCAGATTATTTTCTAGTGTGTTACTTCTGTTAGCTAAGTTTACCCTCATTACGCCGTCGGAGACGACGGAGCGCGCCCGAGAGACCCTCCACCGAAATCGCGCCATCGCGAGGAGCGCCTCCGGAAAATCCGACACACAACAAATGCGGCGACGCCCACCGCGGCGCCCGTCAGATGTGCGCCGTGGCCGATATTATCCTGAGCGTCGATGAGGCGCCACTCGTGCACGAAATAGAAGCACGAACTCACGACGTGCAGCACCGCGTTGGCGTCGCACCGCCTTCCGAGAAGCAGCGCCTCGGCGACGACGCAGGTGTCGATGGCCACGAACGCTGACACTCCGGCGGAGGCGCCTATGGAGCGAATATTTTCGTTCACTTTTTTCGCCACGGCGTGCACGGCCGTCCTCCGCGCCTCGTCGAACGCCTTGGAGATTTTGTCGCCCAGGCGCTCACCCACCACCTCCGAGGCACCCGAGAGGTTGAAGACCCGTCGGACCCGCTCGCCGATGCCCCACCGCTCGACGATGCGCTCGAGGCGCTGCGTGCCAAAGTCGAAGGGGTCCAGGGCCGCCGCGATGCCCGCGGCGACGTACGTCACCATCGCTCCGTTGACGCCTAAGGTGTCCGTTGCCGCCGGCCCGGCGACGAGGATCGACTGCAGGTTGGACAGCGCGTGCGCCTGGTTCCCGTGCAAGAGCATGTAACTCGCCGTCGTCCACCAGCGGCCCTCGCGCAACGCCTGCCGGCTGAACGTGAAGTGCTTTTCCAGCGTATTCATAGAGAGCGGCAGCGCTATTGACAAACGCGGCTCCCTTCCAGAGGCAGCTGCGAGTGTCGGTATTAGCGCGTGCAGCGCCAATAAAGGCGAGAAGTCGCCGGCAAACGCCACGACGCGTTCGAACGAGCGGTTCATCACTTCTTGGACTTGTTCAGGCTCTTCATCACGAGGTAGTTCGACAGCGCGCGGACCGCGTCCGCTTTCAGCTTCGAGATCTCGGCCGCGTCCGTCACGCCAATATGTTTGCGGAAGCCGTCCTTGACGACTTGCTTGAGCGCTCGGCCCTTCGCCGAGTCGCCTCCAATATGATGCGCCGTGCGCAGGCAGTCGCGGAAGAGTTGTAGTGTTGTGCGCTCGAGCATCGGCCGCTGCTGGGCCTGCACCGCGTCTAGACTACGAACAAATGGCAGCAAAGCTTTGCTCGACAGCGTGGCTGCTGGAGAGTAACTCCAAGGCCTTCGAAGCCTGCCGCACCACGCGTTTAGCAGCGTTGGCAACTTGCGAGAGCTTCCTAGTGTGTCTAACCATTAGCTAATCACAGGCTCGGCTTTGTTGCGGCTGCTCAGGCACGCGCGAGTCGCGCAGGACTCGTTCGGGCGATCTCGGTACTCGCCACAGCGCCTGCTCACGCGCGCGGCTCATAACTGTCGCCAGATTTGGCGTACAGGTGCGGTGCTCTCTGAGAGCACTGTTCAGCAGCCTCAAAATCCGTGCGCGCGGCCTCGCGACAGCCATGGCCGCCATGGCTGGCGGTAGCACTAAGCGCGCTATCGTCGAGATCATCAGTGATGTTGTGTGACCCTTCTGCTGGGTCGGCAAGCGCAACCTCGAGACTGCGCTCCGATCCACGGGCGTCCAGGCGCGCGTCCACTGGAAGGCCTTCCAGCTGAACCCCGGCGCCTCGGACACGCCCTCCAATAAACTCGAGATGTACATGTCCAAGTTCGGTTTCGAAGCGGTGTCCGTGATCGGTCGTCGAGAGCACTGCTGGCCCCCGGCACGCCATCGCGGCGATGGCGGGCGAGAGCACCCATCGCTACGCAGGCATGGGCCGCGACCAGGTGCTGCGCATGACGGCGGGCATGCGCCAGAACTTTGCGAATGTGGGCCTCCCCTACGCGTTCACGGATCAAGGTCTTGTGGCGAACACGATGGACGCGCACCGCGTGCTCGCGTGGTGTGGTTCGCCGGAAGCGCAGGACAAGGCCGTCCGTAGCTCGGTGTCCTGCGAATTGGACGTCGAGAATGCGGCCGCGACGATGGCGTGGAGGTCACCAAATTCTCCGCAATCGTTCTCAGGATAACCAAACGCAGGTCGAGGTCATATTCAACGGGTACTTCGCCGAGGAGCGCGCCCCGAACGACCGCGACCTGCTCATTGAGGCGTGCGTCGCCGCGGGCAAGTCCGAAGCGGATGCAAGAGCTTTCTTGGACGACAAGTCGGCCATGCGCGACCAGGTCCAGCGGGAATTAAGTGAAGCGCGGGGCGTCCGCGGCGTGCCGCACTTCGTCATCCGCCAGCCGGGGCGCGACCCCGTGCAGATCAGCGGCGCCCAGCCGCCGGAGATCTTCGAGCGCGCTCTGCAGTGAAGCGCTACATCGGTGCTGTGTATGACGGGCCACTACTACCCGTGGTGATGGCCCCGACAAGAAACGGCGCCGCCGGCGCGTGGATATAATTGTGTCTTGCTTTAGAGCGGCGCGACGACGGGGTCGGTGTCACAACATCACAAACTTACGGAGGCTTGGGGGCGTTCGGCGGCGGCGGCGGCGGGGGACTGTCAGGACCACTAGCGGCGGCTCGCACCTCTCTCTCAACATCAACTAACGCCGTCATCGTCCGCCACCACAGCTCCCTTTGTTCTTCGTCGTCAAAACAAAGGTCGAGGGACCGGTCCTGCGTGACCAGTGAGAGATATTTGCCCTCATCTTTAACTTTTCCCGTCCTCCTTAAAACGTCGGTGTCCCTACCACGAGAAATGCGTATTACCGAAGCCAGCTCGACGCCTTGTATTGAGGTACGTTTGCCCTTCCAGGTCAGGTACATGTACAGATACATGTCTCCTTGCACCAGTGATAGCTGGAAGGTTTTTTTGGAGGGCCGGCCCGATCTAAAAGGGTGCTTCGTCACACTGACACCGGTAGTTGTTAAAGCCTCAAACAATGAATACTCCTTCTCCGCGAGCGTCGCTCGTATGGTATACATGGTCGCCGCCATCGCGGTGTACGTCGTCCCGGGCGAACATAGGATCCTTTCGGCCGCCTTCCGCCGGTCCTCATTTTCGGTATCTTGTACAATGTGATGATGTTTATAGTCGGGCAGCACGGCCTCGCGCCACCAGAAGGGACCCCTTAGTCTGTATAACTCATCAGCAAAGGTGTGGTGGTACCAGGCCTGCAAGTCTTCCCTCGCATTGGCCCTGGCATGGAGGGTCCACTGCTCCTTGTCCATGGCTTGCCGCTCCCGATTCGCGTCTCGCACATATGAAACCCACCGGTCTCTCGCTGTCGTTAATCTGGACATGTTCCGTCGTCTCACGAGATTCTGCACTTTGTAACTCCCGTGCTCCACTCTTCTATCGCGAGCAAAGACGCGCAGGCGTTCTCGTACCGCGTCGACCTCGCGCTCCAGCGCTCTTATGTGAGCCACGGGGTCCAGCTCCTCGTTGAGGTGCGCGAGGCCATCCTTTTGACTTTGAGGGTTCGCGGCGGCGGCGTTGAGCTCGTTCTCATCGAGGGGCGATGGCGGCGCCGGCGGGGCCGCGTCGCTGGTTTGCTTCTTTGCCGAGCTTGGGGGCTTCTTTTCGGACGCCGTCGCCATCGGTGCGTCGTTTTTGGACGGCTTTGCCATCGGTGCGCGTCGCGCCGCGCCGGCGTGCGCAAATGGGGTGCCCTTGGCCCCCCAGGCTTGCAAAATGAACTGCGAGCCAGAAGCGCTCGCTGGCGTTCTGGGCTGCGTCAGCTGTGATGGCTGGCGCCTCGCCTTGCCCGTGGGCAGCCCTTGCACGCGCTTTGCGGCGGCTGGCGGCCCAAAAAAAGGTGAATGCTAGTGTCTCTACGGCCGCTAGCCTCTGGCGGCGGCCTAGCATGGGGAGTAAAGTTGGGGTGGGTACCAGGCTATGTTTACCCCGCAGACTTAAGTCGCGTTTTGGCCTTTTTGGGGTGGTTGCCAGAGCGACCCAGCGGGTGCACCGCCACCAGCACTGCCCCGGGGGCCGAGGCACGCCCCCATGAGGGCCTCGCATGCCAAGTTTCAGCGGCAACGGTGCTCGGGAAGGGCAGCCACGGTCGGCGGTTCCATTCGACGATCGACGCCCCGCGGCCCCCTCTCGGTCGATTTGTAACTGAGCGCGACACAGGGGCTCAGGACAGCATTTGCGTGAACTTTGCTATGAGAAAGTTACAAATCCACCGAGTAGATTTTCATCCATTCGTTCCCGAACACGGTCGCGAACGGGGGCACTACGGCTCATTTCCCGGCGGTTTTCGCTGGAGCCAAAGACGGACGCCGGTCGGTAGGGTATGAGAGGCTCCCTCGAGGCGCGACGACGCTCAACGGCTGCGTCAAGGCCATATGCACACCGTCGCCGCGATATAGTGTTTTTTTTAAGTTTATTTTTTTTACCCGTCTCGGGGCTCTAAAGCGGGAGGATTGAGCTCTGAAAGGGAGCCCTCGCGTTGGCGCTTCGATTTTCGCGCATCGACTAAAATTGCTAAACGTTTTGCCGTCGTGCTCGGCCAATTTTGCGCCTGCGCGCAAAAGAAAAGCTGCCGAGGGCCGCTTGGGTGCCCGTACGCCCACGCGCACGCGCACTTCCGCTGCCATGGGCGTGGGCAGCCGCACGGCCCCAAAAACAAAACCGCGACTTAAGTCGGCACGGCCGGTACCGTATGGTACCCACCCCATACTTTACTCCCCATGGGCCTAGGTCGCACGGCCCTATTGCTGCCTCTGTTAAGCCTTTGAGCAGCGCAAGACGTCGTTACGACTACCAATAAAAGCGCAAGCCCGCAAGTCCTGCAAGTAACGTCGCGCAATACGTACAGTAAGCTCATCACTGCACGACGCCATCGCAGCTGTCGTGCTACGGGCGGCGCGGCGACAAATCCCTCGTCGTAAGCAAGCTCGCTCGCTGCACGCCGCCGCAGCGCAGCACAGATGTCCGGCCCCCGCTCGGAACCGGCCTTCGGCGTCGGCGCGTGCGCCTCCGTGCAACAAAGGTACGAAAGGCGAGACCGCGTCGGCGAGGGCACGTACGGCGTCATCTATCGGGCCTGGGACCGGCAACTACAGAGAGTTGTGGCCCTCAAAAGATTACTGCCCCACAACGAGGCGCAGGACGGCTTTCCCTTGACGTCCCTGCGGGAGGTCTCGACTTTACGACTGTTGCGGGGCCACGCGAACGTCGTTACCTTCCTGGACGTCGCTGTTGGTGCTAGAAGGGACGCGGTGTTTTTATCACTGGAGTTTGCGGAGCATGGAGATTTAGGCTCGTTGCTCGACGACCGAGCCATACGGAAGGGGCGGAAGAGGTTGTTTGACATTTCTCAAACCAAATGTTTAACAAGGCAATTGCTCCTAGCATTGCGGCACTGCCACGAGCGCTACGTGTGCCACCGGGACGTAAAAGTGGCCAATCTACTGTACACGGCGGAGGGGCGCTTGAAGCTCTGCGACTTCGGCCTGGCGCGCATCATACCTTCCATTGATAGAGCGTTAACTCAAAATGTCGTGACGCTGTGGTATCGCGCGCCCGAGGTGTTGCTGCGATCGCCGTCCTATGCCCACCCCATCGACTGCTGGGCGGCGGGCTGCGTCATCGCCGAGATCTTTCGGGACGGGCGGCCTTTAGCGCCTGGTAGCACTCCGCAACAGCAGTGGACGAAAATATTGGACGCGATCGGCGCGCCTTCGTCCGACGTGTGGCCCGGGTGTACCGAGCTTCCTGGTTTCGACGGTTCTGTGGCGTCTCTACCTCTACCAGTAGGTAGCTTCGCGAGGGCGTCGAAACTCAATGTTTTGGTACCGGACGCGTCGTCCCAGGCGCTGGACTTGTTGTCCGGGCTGCTGTGCTACGACCCTAGGAGGCGGGACACGGCGTCGGAAGCACTAGCGTCGGCGTGGTTCGACGAGGCGCCGCGCAGTGCGCCGCTCCACGGCATGCCGACGTTTAACATCGAGGAGACGACCGGCCGGAAGCGCGCGCCTCCTTCCAAAGCTCCCGAGGCGTCCGCCAAAAGGCGGCGGGCCTAAGTTCGTGTTGTTGTTGTATCCTGTCGCGGCGAGGGCGTCGGCGACAGGCTCAGGCTCAGGCTAGTTACGTCGCAGGGTTCCCCTCCCCTCCCGCTCCCCCCGGGCCCACCCGTCTGGCTGGACTAGGGAGTCGATGTTACGGTGCTAGTACTAGTGGGCGGAGCCCCTGGGGGGCTAGACTAGGACGGATTGGCTGAGGCTGAGGCTAGTTACGTCGCAGGGTTCCCCGTACCCCGATTGGGCCCTAGTGACTTACAGCAGCTAGCAAGCCCCAGCGGCCTGGCTAGTGGGTTCGACAGCCCTGAGGAACACCCGCACTCAGTTTTTTTAGGGTTTTTAGCCCGTAGCTCGACGCGCGGGCAACCGCGTGCAACAAACTCACTCACAAAGAAAGGCCATAATAGCCTATCGACACGCGGCAAAAGACGCGGCAGCGATTGGGCTGCGTCTCGCAGAGAAAACGGACAAAAACCATGAAAAATGACACTCGACAGCCTTTGGCTGCCCCGTATCGCGCCGATCGGGCCACCGCAGCGTCGGGTATCGTAGTACGTATAGCCTTCGACGATCTGAGACAAAAAGCAGCGGCAGCGGCCCATGGGATGTCGGCCTATGTGTGGTCCGCATTCTCGACGTGAACGCGCGTCGGGCTGAAAACGCCACCAATGAAGGCGAGATTTGGCTCGGGCCTTCCCAGCCACCGCGTCGGGCATCTCAGACGGTCCCAGGGGATTCTAGCCCCCCGGACGCCCCAAACGAGCGTATCGGGGCAGCCTAGAGGGAATACAACGATTTTTGTCAATATTGGGCGGCTGCCGGCGCTTTTTGCGCAAGGCGGCCTTAAATAAGCTTTTTGGTCGATAGACACAAAAAGCGCCGGCTGCCAACACCCTCAGACTGCCGAATCGGCCAAAATTGGCCTCTCCAAAACCCGAAAAGCCGTGCGGGTTGGGGCTGTCGAACCTACTAGCCAGGCCGGCGGGGCTCGATTTGGGATTCGGGTCCACAGGGTCTCTCGGCGGCCTATCTACTCGGACAAAGGACCCGAAGACGCGAGGAGGAAGCGACCAGAGACCCGGAGGCCACCGGCAGCCCAACTCCTTCACCAGAAGACCGGGGGCAGCTCTCCCACCCAAGCACAAGCTGTGCTAAGGACCAGGACTAGCCCCCCCCGTCGCAAGCAAAATGTCCAGCTTCGCCCTGCCGCGGCGCGCGACGTTGACAAGAAGGCCGCTCGTCGCCGCCGTCGCGGCCGCCGCCCTGTGCCTCGCGCTCGTCGCCGTCGCCGCGACCCACGACGAGGCGAGCGTAGCAAAGCGACCGGCCCTCGCGCGGCAGCAGTCTGGACCGTTCGGCGACGTTTCTCGGACAATCTGGGCCTCGGACAAGTACCGCGGAGATCTGGGGCGGTCCCTCTTCCTCACTATCTTCGGACCCGGAGTGATAATAGCGGTCCTCGTCGGGGCGCGGTGCCGGGACCCGCCCCGGCGGCGGCGGAAGAACGTGCCCGTCGCGCACGCGAGATACGACGGCGAGGCCGAGGCGGTCGTCGCCGATGCGAGTGATGACGACGAGCTTGATTTATTGCCGGCGGCGCGGCCCGTCCACCGGAACCCCTTCGGTTCGCCGGGGCGACCACAATCCCGCGAGGTGTAACCCTACTTGTGTTTAGATCGCGAGCGCGCTGCCCGCCTTGGTGGCGGTGGAGATGAAATACTCCCGCGAGAACGTCGACGCCGCGAAGGCGTCGCTCGCGCCGGGCGCGACGCCTACCGCCGTGACGCTCGCCAGGCTCTCGACGGGCGCGTTTGTTTTTATGTGGATGACGTTGTAGTCGCTCTTCGCGCCGTCGATGAGTGCGATTTCCACCGAAGGCAGCGTGCCGTGCTCGTAGAAGACCACTGCCGCGTCGAAGGACTTCGCTAATTTCACGTATTGACAGATGCCCGTGTAGAAGCGCTTGATCCGCTCGCCCGTACCTCCCGACATTTCTCTTATGAGTTCGCTGCGTCCGCCGTTGGATTTGTACTTGTATGCTGGCACGGTCTTCCGAGGCTCGAAAAACGCGAACTCGTGCGCCGGCGACCGGCGTTTCACTCCAATGCAGGAAGAGGGTCCCTTGAGAAGCTGCACTAAACGTCAGATAACAACCTTTTGCCATGTCTGGTCCGTTTACAAGCGCTAGAGTGGTCAATAAATCACTGGTTGTGAATTGTCGATTTTTGACGCGTGTTCCGCCGTGCCGGCTGATTTTCCGCCGATCTTTGGATGTCCCAGGTTCGCCTGGTTCCGCTTATGCCGCCAAGCAACGCCCGCTCGTCAAGCTTATAGGTCGGCAAAGCAAAGCGAGTGCTAGCGGTGGTAAGACACTAGCAAGTCAGCAGCCGCGGCCAAAAGACAGGATAGAGGGGTGTATCACTGCATCCGTGATTCAAGTCACCAGGGATCTCTACAGAGACCATCTACGACAGCTGTGACCAAACGCGCTGCGTCGCGTGCGTCAAAAGCGAGCATCTCTGAAAGCGCCGGCCGCCAGACGCCATCGCAGCCAATTACGCCATCGCCGCGACGCATCTGTGACAATGGCCGCGACGGTAGCCGCCTCCGAAGCAAGACGCGTCGAAGAGACCCGGGAACTAGCCGCGCAGACCGCGGCCGAGTGGATCGCCGCCCAGCCCGACGCCAAATTAGTGAGGGAGGCCGGCGCCCTCAAGTGCGGCAAGAAGGGCACGGTGGAAGTCTTAGAGCTACAAAAAGAATACAGGCAGGAGCTCGCCAAGATCACGGACGGCAAGGTGTTAGCCGAATGTTGTTCTCCATTAAGACGCGCCGCCTCCAAGGTTTTGGACGACGGCGGCTGCGTTGTGTTGCGAGGCTTCCCTCTTGAGAATGATGCCTCGGTCGCGTGGCGGTGTTTGGCCATTTCTGAAGCCTTAGGTGAGACGCTGCCGCAATTACCCGATGGGGAAGGCTTGCCGCGGAGGATGGTCTCCTCCTCACCTTTGGGTAACGAGCACCCGTCGCCCGCTTCGTCCAAAATAGCGAGGATCTTGATCGCGTGCGCGCGGCCTCCGAAGAACAAACAATCACTAAAGGTCGCGACCGCCGAGTGCTTACTACGAGGCACGTCGCTCGAAGCGCGGGGCACGCTGCGACGGAACTGCGCCTACGCCTGCGAGTCTTACTCGGACAAGTGGGGCGGCGCCAGAGAAGGGAAGGCGCCCCTATGTGGTCAAGATGCGAATTACCGCAAAACGCTCAAATACTCGGCGCAACTCAAAGTAAATGTGGACTGGTGCGAGCAGGCGGAGGAGGCGGCCATCGACGCCTGTTCGGAGTTGGAGAAGGCCGCGGCATCAGCGGCCTTCCCGTTCGATTTGAGGCAAGGCGACGTCTTGGTTTTTGACGCGTTGCGGTGGCTCTTCTCGTACGACGCTGCCGCGGATGATCATGATGGCCTCTGCTGGGGTCCTAACGGATGGATGCCGCTGCGAGCATTACCTCCGGACCAACGGAAGGGCGCGCGCATCGAGCCGTACCTCCTGAAGACGTGGCTCGGGCGGCGCGACTTCGGGGACGTCGTTAATACAGCGGAGATTGAAGATGATGCGGCGTGGCTCGCGTCGCTGGCTGATCAGACGGCGGGGGTCGCGGTGCAGTAAGGTTTTCGCGAGTTTCTTTTTGTTGCTTTGCTTAGAGCTAGCCCCTTAGCCGCGGGCCGCCGCGGGGGCTTCGTGACCGTTTGTTGACCCGTGTATCTTTTGGCGCTCGCGTCGATGGCGTAGAGGAACCGCGCCATCGACGCGACGTTGTCCCCACAGCTGCGCCTGCAGCCCGCCCCAACGTCGGCGTCCGCGCGTCGCGACTCCGAAGCCAGAAAAAAATTGACGGAGCGGTCCCATTGCGTCGGAGGGCTGCCTGCGGAGGACGATGCGTCCGATACGGGGAGTTGGCCGAGCTGAAAATCTGACCTCATGCCATTTGACGTATTTACGGAGCGCTTTTTACGCGCTATCACGAGCCCGCACAGCGAACAAAACAGCTGCGCGAGCTGTAGGAGTCAGTAGCTTCAGCCACACGACGCAAAACCGCGTTGCACGGCACTCCTAGGAAGCAGCACACCGACACTCTGACCATGCATCGGCTGCTCGCCGCCCTCTGCGTAAGCGCTGCCGTGGGCCTCGTGCCCAACGCGCCGCAGCGCGCGCCGCTCACGCCGCGCAAAGGTTTCTTCGACAACGCCTTCAAGAACGAGTCCTTCGACAACAAACCAAACGCGGGCAGCGGCCTCTCCACCCAAAAGAAGACCGTGCCCGTCAAGATCGGGTCGCGGACGGTCCAGGCCATGCCGGGCCAGCGCATGAAGGACGTCGTCCGCGCCGCGCGGGCGCCCATCAAATTCAACTGCGAGGACGGCCAGTGCGGGACGTGCGAGTCGAAGGTCGACGGCCGCGTCACGCGCGTCTGCGTGGCGAAGATCCCGGCGCGGGGCTGCACGATCACGCGGAAGTGAAGCTTGACGCCTCGCCGCGGCGGCGGCAGCGTTGGGAGAGTCGGCTTTGTTCTCGCGGCGCTTGCTCTCCCGTAACTAGTATTGTACCGGAATCTCGCGCTGTGCGTGTGTACTGCGTGTTTTCGAGCAGTTTCGGAGGTCTTCGCACTCACTGGGCCGCTTTCCTACCGGACCGTGGATACGCGGGGGACTCGTCCGAGGACCATTCCGGGTCGTTCAGGCACGAGTATGAAGCCAGAAGGACGTCTAGAGGGTGCGTTTTGCGTTTACGCGCGCGGAGATGGCCGCACGCGCACCTCGATGCCGAGGTTGGGCGGCTCTGTTGACGCAGACTCGGTCCTCAGGCATTGTTGGACCCAGCCAGCTCACCAGCAGACAAACCAGACCCCCGCCGCCCGCACCGAGCCCTGACACTGCTGTTGCACGCAGCGCGTGCCCGCCAAAAGCGCGTTGCCACGACTCAGTGTCTTCAAGCGCAAAAACGCTGGTCTGAGCGCGCCAAAACGCTGGTCCGAAACCCCAGGGCGAGTACGACGTACCCGCAGCAGCTCCCCAGCAAACCCCAGCATGCGTCGCGCCGCCCTCGTCGTGATGGCAGCGACCGCCGCCGCGCTCGTGCCCCCGAACTCGCCGCGACGGCCGCTCACCCCAGTCAATGGCTTCTTCGACAACGCCTTCAAGAACGAGTCCTTCGACAACAAACCCAAGGCCGGCGGCGCCCCGGCCAAGAAGACCGTGCCCGTGACGATCGGTAGTAGGACGGTCCAGGCGCTCCCGAACCAGCGCCTCAAGGACGTCGTGCGCGCGGCGCGGGCGCCGATCAAATTTAACTGTGAGAACGGCCAGTGCGGCACCTGCGAGAACCGCGTGGACGGGCGGCTCGCGCGCATCTGCACGATGAGCGTGCCGGCGCGCGGCTGCAAGATCACGCGCAAGTAACCTATACCTGTTTTAGTTTTCTTCTTCGACGGCGTCGTGGCGGGGGCGGCCCAGCTCTAGCAGGGCGAACAAATTAAGTTTTAGTTTCCTTCGACGGCGTGTGGGGGGGGAGAGACTTGAAGGAGGATTAGCTCGAATTTTGGGGCGGAGACGAATCCCGGGAGTGCTCGCTGGAAACGGGATTCCTCCGCTCGACGGGGAGCGAACGGTGCCGGGTCCGCGGCGGCGGCGGCGGCTCCGTCCGGGGAGGCGGCGCCGCCCACGGGAGGACCACGGGAGGCGACGCGAGGAACTCGGCGTGGCGCCGCAGCATGGCCGGCAGGCCCGGCACGCCCGCGCCGTGCGACGCCACGACGCCATGGAGTTCCGCGATGCACGCCTCGTACTGGTCCCGCGGGACGTACAGGTCGAAGCCTAAAGCGTCGAGGAGGACCCGCTCCATCTCGCCGACGCGTTCCGCGGAGACCGGCCGCTCGCCCGGGAGGACGTGGCCCCAGGCCGTCGCGAAGTCGACGTTCCTCAGGGGCGCGTCGTCGTGGTTCTTCTGGGCGACCATGACGCCGCACAGTAACAAGCGTTTGCAGTTCCGCGGCGTGATTCGGAGGTGCGGGTGGAACGACAGCATGCGAAGAATGAACATGAACGCCAGCACCGAGCACTCGGGCGTGTAAAAGCACGTCGCGAATAAGCGAAACAGGAAATCGTGCAGCTCCCCGACGTCGGGCGACGGGGCGGCGCCGGCCGGCGCGGGCACGTCGGGCTCGGCCCAGAACGCGGCCAGGTGCGCGGGCTCCGCGCCCGGCGGAGGGTTCGTCATGATGTGTTGTAGGAGCATGGCGATGCCGCAGAGCTCCACGGCCTCGCGCGCCGCGGCGCCGTCGCTCACGGAGTTCGTCCGTGAGCGCGGCGGCGGCGGCGGCGCGTCGCGCATGCACTCGTCGTCTTTGATCTCTCGCTCCCACGCTTGGTTCGTCTCGTCCCTTCGCGGGCTACCGTTTACCTCCTCCCAGTCGGCGAGGTCAGGTGGGCTACCCAGATCTACATGCCTCGACTCGGCCGGGCTCGGCGGCGACGTCATGCTGGCTGCTCGGCGGCGCTAGGGTTGGCTTGCCGCCGTCGCACCGATCAAGATTAGCCTCTTACGGTCAACACTCCCATCGATGTTTAATGCATGTCGTCTGCCGACGGTAACATTGTGGGTGCTTCCGCGGTTCGCGGCCGTTCCGGTGCAGCAGCGAAGTTTGGAGAGCCAGCATTTATATGCGCGGCGCCGGTGCGCAAGAGAACTAACGCTGACTTGTGACCGACTCCAGCCGCGGCGCCCGCGTAGCAATGAAACGGCTTGTCGGCGACCCTACTTTTCTTGGGCTGTGTGCGAGCGTTGCAGCTGCAGAGAACGCAGCTGCCGTTCTATTACTGAGCGCGCGCTGAGACCTCGTTTTTGTGCACCACTATGCCAGCGGCGGCAACAACTCAGTCCCAACTCGAGTAGGGAGCATCAGGACCACAAGAGTTGATCAAGGATAAGTTGATTAATTTAGCGGGATCGCGGACACACCCGTTGAGCACTCGACCCGTCTGCGTGAGGCCAATGACTCGTGGATTGCAATCAAACGGCGCCTAAAGGGCGGGGTGTTCGTGCGCGTGGAGATCGACGGTGGAGCGCGCTAAGCAAGAACAGGGGCTCCGCCCACTAGTTCTAGCACCGCACCAATAAGAAGCAAGAAGCAAACAAAGCAAAGGAAACACAAGCAAAAACAACATTAGCCGGCCGCAGCCGCGGCGAGCGCCCGCGCGCAAGACGACGCCAGCATGCGTCCAGAAGCACAGGCCTCCGCGAGGAGCGCCTCCCTTTCTATACCGTCGTCGTCGCAGTGGGACCGGTCCGTCGATAACGGCGCCCAGGGCCCCAACCGATTACCATTCGCGCGGAACGCGCTCCGCGCCTTTTCGTCCTCATCTCGGGTCGGCGCGCAGTACAGCGGCTCCGCCGCATGGGCGTGGACGTCGACGAGGCGCTTCGATAGCTCATCAACAATATCGGGGTTCGCAGCACTCAAGTCCACGGCCTCCGAGGGATCCGCCTCGACGTCGTACAGGTACGTGGCCGCCGCGTCGGCCAACCAATCTAGAGGGGCGCTCTCGGAGGTGCGGTCGTAGACCGGCTCGCGCTTCACGTTCAGCAGGAGCTTCCAGCGCCCCCTCCTTATGGCCCCCGTCATGCCAGATGAAGACGTGTCGACGTGTATGATCACTTCATCTCTTGGAGGTGTAGTCAACCCTTTGATCGCGGCCCACTGGTCGACGCCGTCGCCATCTCCATAAGATAGGCCGGCCGCAGATAATATGGTCGGCATCCAGTCGGCCGCGTGAAACAGGCCCTCGTACGACGACCCCCGCACGTTTTTTGGTATTAACGGTCCTGTTACAAGCGCCCTGGTGCGCACGCCGCCCTCCCAGACGCCGCCCTTGGCGCCCCGCAACGGATAGTTTGAACCGCCGGCGGCGGCCGCGCCGTTGTCCGCCAACACTACGAACAAAGTGGAGGGCCACAGGGCGTTGTCTTTCAGGCTCTTCACGACGGAACCGATCTTCGCGTCTTGATGTGAAGCGATGGCTCCAAAAATGCGTCTTCGGCCTTGCAGCCGGTCGTCGTATTGAGCGGAAGGCGGCTCTAGTAAAGGTTCGTGCGGCGTCGGCAAGGCGTAGTACAGGAACAGCGGTTTTTCAGAAGTGGATGAGATCAATCTTTTAGCTTCGTGCGCGACCGCGTCGGCGGCGTACGTTTTGGACTGAGATGACCAGTCCACCACACAATCGCTTTCGCAGACCGGCGGCGCCTCGGCGTAGTGCGAGTACGGATCGACGAAGCCTCCCAAAAAACCGTAGGCCGAGTCGAAGCCTCGCCGTTCCGGTAAATATTCTGTTGACGAATGCCCGAGGTGCCATTTGCCCGCGAGCGCGGTAGTATACCCATTGCTGCGGAAGACGTCGGCGAGCGTCTTGACGGACGGATCGAGGCCCCACCGCGACGTCTGGGAGATGACTCCGCGTTGCAAGCCCAGGGAAGTAGGATGGAGACCGGTGAGCAAAGCGCCTCGCGTCGGCGTGCACTCGGACGCGACGTAGTGCGACGTGAGCTCCACGCCCTCGTCCCGTAAAGCTGATAAATGAGGTGCTGCCAGGTCGGACGACGACCACAAATCATCATAACCCGCGTCGTCGAGCACGGTCAGGACGACGTGGGGCTTTTTTGACGCTCGGAGCGTCGTCCCGCCCGCATTTTGGGGCCTCTGATACGCGACGGCCGCAATCATCAAACACGCGCAGCCGGCCGCGACGAGCGGCGGCAGGAGCCGGCCGCCCGAACTTCGGCCCTGGCTGCGCGCGGGCTGCAAGGGCGTCTGTTCATCTAATTCCACGAGGTCGAGGTCGCCGTAGCCGAAGGTCGGGCTGGCGGCCCTCATCGTGACGCGCGGGGCAGCCTCGTATCCCCTCGCGGAGCCAAGGAACACCTCGATGCATCGATGAAAGCGTAGAAATGTGCGGGTTGCCGAGCCAGGGACGGCTGCTCGCGGCGTGCAGCGAGCGCTGGGGACGCGTCGCGACGCGTGGAGGGGTGCAGGCTCCCCAAAACCCGGGGCCCCTCGAGCTCAGGCTAGCCTGCACAGCTGCACAAGCTGCGCGGGAGCTAAGGACAAGTTGGCAAGCTCACAGCTCGTTGTTTTGCCCCAGGATCTCTCCCAACTTACTTGGTTGCAAGGCCACGACGGCTGCGCACGCGTAAGGCAAGGAGAGCTTACAAGCTCTCAGGTGACTGCAGCAGCACACGCCGTCGATCACGAACACAGCAAACGCATCGATCGAACCATGGCCAGACGCACACTTTGCACGACCATAGCCCTAGCTATGGCCGCGGCCCTGCGCCCAGCGCCACTGTCGCGAAGACGGACCCGTCTCAAAGCCACGGAGACCAATGAGAATGCAAGGCGCATCATCCTCTTCGACGTCATGGACACGTTAGTCATAGACCCCTTCTTCACGGGGGTGCACAGCGTTTTGGGGTGCGAGTCCATGCAGGAGCTCTTCAAAGCTAAAAGACCAGAGACCTATGAAGCGTTCGAGACGGGCGAAATATCTGAGGAAGAACTGTGGCAAAGGTACTTCGCCGACGACCGCGAAGTGGACGTATCTGCAGTAAGAAGGCACTTCGTCGACGGCTATGAGTACATCAAGGGCATGCGGAGTCTGCTGGGCGAGATCAAACGCATTGGTGGTGTGGAGTGCTACGCATTCTCGAATTATGGTACGCTCTACAAGGAAATTGAAACGAAGCTCGAACTCTCAAGGTTCCTCGACTGGCGCTTCGTGTCCTGCGATATTGGAATGAGGAAGCCGGCTCCCGAGGCTTTTGAGTATGTGGTGAAGGACCTCGGTTGTGATTTACAGAGGGACGTCGTGTGCTTTGTCGATGATTCTAAAACGAACGTCGAGGCCGGGACCGCGGCGGGCCTGCGATCAATACTCTTCGAGGGCGACTCGGCGGAGTGCCGGACGGCGCTCATCGCCGAGGGGTTCTGGGAGCTAAGGGTATAGTATCTGCCTTCCCTGTGCCTTTCCTCGCGGCACGCGTCGGCGGCGCGGCGCGGGACCACGTCGACCGGTGGCGGCGCCGTCGACGCGGCTCGTAGAGGTGTCATATAGCTCCGGCGAGCGTGCGGTAGAGACAGACCAGTCATATTGGTTCTAGAACTGGGCCTGTAAGTCACTAGATTTTGGTAGGGGACACACTTCGCATTTCGAACTGGCGGCGTGTGCAGCGAATTGAGGCGCTGCGTGCACTAAGATGAAGTTATTTGCCTACGAACACCCGAGCGGGCCCGTGCACGAGGTGGAGGTCACACTGGGTGACACGGTGCAGTTGCGGCGTAGCATTACAGTAGAAAGGGGCTGCTGCAGCCCCGCACGCCCCGCCGCCGCGTCGATGGGGGAGATGAGGCGCCGCAGGACCGTCGCCCGGTCGCGACGACACCGCGCGCGCTCGGTCGCGCCGTCTCTCGCGGATTTTGGACGGAGCCGCACCGCACGCGCCCGCCGCGACGACCGCGAAGAAAACGCGCGCAGGTCCTCCAGCTCAAGTCCAAGATCGAGCAGGCCATGCGGACTTCGGCGCGTGGGAATCAAATTTCAGGCACCCCACGCCATCGACGCGACGTTGTCCCCGCGACCGCGTCGGCTCGATAACCTCAGTCACTGCGTGACTTCCACACAGGCCATATTCCAAGGTTATCGAGGCCAAGAAGCAGCACCTCTCCTTCCGCGGCAAGAAACTTGATGATGACGCGGCGACGCTCGAGGCGATCGGCGTCGCGCCGGACTACACGCTGCGCACGCAGTCCGTCACGGTGAGCGACAAGTAGTTGATTGAGCGCCTAAGAATAGTCCTTCCTATAGCGCTAGGTAAGACACACTAGAAGCGCAGCCAAAAACTTCGGCCGCAGCGCCCCACGAAACGGCCGCCACACGTGGCTCATAAAGACGCCATCGCCGCGACGACGCCAAGGTCACGAGGATGGCCCAGCTCGTCGAGCGCACCGCGCGGCTGGAGATCTCGCCGCCGGCGGCTGCCCCATCAGTCACAGAGGCGGCTGCCGAGGCTGCCCCACCGATCACCCTCGACGCCGCCGCCATCGCGCAAGCCATAGAAGCCACGGGCTACTGTGTGGTCGACGACGCCCTCGGGGCCATGCACGCGGAGCAGCTCGGCGCGGCCTGCCGCGCCGTACCGAAGGCGCCGGCCACCATACAAGAAGGAACAGATCGAATCAACGATAGCAAGCGGCGGGACGACTCCGTCGCGTTCCTCAAGGACAGCAAGGCGCCTCCGATAGAACGGCACCGCGCCGCCATGGAAGGCTTACGACTACAGCTCAATAATCAACTCAACCTGAACACGGACGCCTGCAGCTTCATGTGCGCCGTCTACGAGGCCGGCGCTTCTGGGTATGTCAAGCATCGGGACTCGGCCCCAACAAAACCGTCCGGCCGGAAGCTCACGGCGATCTATTACCTCAATCCGAATTGGCACGCTAATGCAAAGGGCGAATTACGGTTATGGGATTCAACAGGTGGCGTGCGCTTGGTCGAACCGCGAAATGATAGGTTGGTCGTGTTTCGGTCGTCCTTGGAGCACGAGGTCCTCTCGACGAAGATTGATCGGTTGGCGCTGACGACGTGGTTCTTCAACCGGCTCGAGCTCGGGCTCGAGCTGATTAAAGAGAAACGGGACGCGCAGCAGGATTTGTTCGAGTGCGAGCGGGGCTGCGGCTTCCGCGGGCCCTTCGCGGACGTGGAGAAGCACGAGGAGGCGTGTAAGTACGTGGCATAGCGTATTCAGGGGTAGTATCATTACTCCGACGACGACGGCGGGCGCGCGCCTACTTCTGGGCGCCCTGGACCTGCGCCTGCAATTCCGCAATGCGCTTGTCCTGCGCGTCGATCAAGGCCGTGAGCTGGTCGATGGACGCCTGGTCCTTGCCGAGCTGGCGCTGCGTCTCGAGCTGGCTTCTCAAATAGGCCTGGCGCCGCTGCTCGTCGGCGATGGCGTCGAGCACCGTGAGGCCCACAACCGCGCCGGGCGAGATGCCGCCGTAGCCGTAGCCCATACCCATGCCGAACGGCGACATCATCGGCATCGGCATGACCATCGGCGACGCGTACATGCGCGTCTGCGTGCGCATGCGCGGCGCGGCCGAGTAGGACCGCGAGTAGCCGCCGCCGCGCATGCCGCCGCCGCGCATGCCGCCGCCGCCCGCGCGGCCGCCGGACCGCGCCGCGAGCGCCGGCGTGGGGATCAAGAGGGCCGCGCCTAAAGCCGCGGCCGCGGCCTGCTTGGCCGCGGCCTTCGCCTGGACCTTGAGCGTCGGCTTCTTCGGGGCCGGGGCTAACGCGCTTGCCGGAGCCGCGAGGAGGGCTAAGACCAGAGATTTGGCCACCATTTTGGCTCTGATGCTAGATCTGGTTTAGAAGTCTCCGGTGTACACCGCGAGCTGCGACACGAACTGGGCCGCGTCGATAGCGTAAGGCGAAGCGTACGAGAGCCTCTGAGCTGACAGTGAGCGAGTGCTGCCGGCGCTAGAGCGGACCAACACAGCGCAACCTTGGAGATTTTATTTTTTAGATAACATTTTATTTCGGGTTTATCCGGATGCTCTCGAACTCGACGTCCGACTCATCTTCGCCACCCAAATCGCCAAGCAACTCGTCGAGCGCCGCGTCGTCGACGTCGAGGAGCGGCCAGACGTCGAAGTCCGCGTCGAGGCCGAACGCGTCCCGCAGCGGGACGACCAATCCAAACAGCTCGTCTGGACGCGTCTCCGCAAGTTTCGAAGCTGCAGCGACGGCCGCGCCGGCGTCCTGTCCGATCACGCCGCCGATGTCGTCGGCGCTACCTTCGTCGAGCGCCGCCGACACTTCGGCCGGCGACGCGAGGCCGCGCGACGCGGGCGCCGCGTCCGACTTCTTCTTCTCGGCGTCGCGCTTCTCGAGGAACTTCCGCCGCGACGCCGAGACCTTCGTCCGTGAGCCGCGCTCGCGGGATTTCGCGCCCGGCCGGTAGCGCTCGAAGACGAGGCGCGATTTCAGAAAGGCGGCGGCCTTGCCATCATGCGGGCCCTTGCGCGGCGTCTGGGCGAGGAACGTCGCGTTTTTCGGGAGCGCGCTCGCTATGGTAGATGCTCTCGCGACCGTATCAGTCGCAAACCGCCGGAAGCCCGCACCAAACGCGATGACCGCGGCGGCCTCACTCTTTGAAATGACGCAGACCTTTGATGGTGCAATATCTCGCTCGACGCAGAGTTGGGCACAGGCGGCACACCGCCTCTTGTAGCGGTCCAAAGCGTCGACGTCGTCCAGACCTGCCAGGTCGATGTCATCGCCGCTGGTATCAGCCCATAGCTCGTCGTCGGTTGCGGCGCAGCGTTTGGTGCGCGCGCGGTGGAATGCCGGCTGCAGTGCGGTGCAGCATAGCAGCGCTGCAAATATCGCGCCGCATGGATGCCGCATTGCCACTGACGCTATAGCACTCAAGTGTGTGAGTCAGTAGACGGTCGCACAGCGTCTGGCGGCACAAATGGCACGCCGCACGCCGATTGCACTTGCGCAGCCGAAGCAGCGTGCAAAAACACACTAGTCGCGTGAAAACGTCGCCAGCCGGAACAACGATACAACCACGAACAACACTTACCCCGAAGAAGAACTAGCCTGCCGCGCGACGAGCGCCGCGAGACGACTCGACGGATCCGCCAACAAATCGACAGATGCCCCGCGCTCCACGACCACACCGCGGTCCATCACTATACAAGAATCAAACCTCGAAACGTGCCGCAACCGGTGGCAGATGGCCAGCACGGTGGCGTCCAACCCCAGCAGCACGTCGTGCACTCTCGAGTCAGCGACCTCGTCCACATTTGACGAACACTCGTCCGCGACTAATAGGGAAGGCGGCGCCGGCAACAACGCCCGAGCCAGCGCGAGGAGCTGTCTCTCCCCCGAACTGAAGTCGGCGCCGCCCTCCCTCACCTCAAAATCCAAACCTCCACACCGCGACACGCAGGCCGCCGCCCCGACAAGTCGTAAAGCGGCCCATATTATATCATCATTTATATTTGATGGTCCGACCAAGTTCCTCCGTAAGGTATCGGCTCGGAGCGTCGCGTCCTGCTGGACGACCCGCACCAATGACCTCAATGCACGTAACGAGAGGCCGGAGACGTCGATGCCGTCGACTCGGATCGCACCGTCGAACTCGTACAACCGCGCGAGACACTGCACTAAGGATGATTTGCCCGAGCCGGTGCGCCCGCAGATGGCCACTTTTTCACCCTTTGATACGGAGAACGAGACGCCCCTCAAAGCGAGCGGCCGTTCTAGCCGATAGCGCAACTTTAGGTGACGCACCTCCAACGCGCACGGTTCTGACCCTTCGTACTCATCTCCTTCCGTCCGTTCGGGATGTAACCGGCAGTACTGCGCCACGCGCTCCACAGACACAAACTGCGCTTCCAGGGTTGCGAGGCCTGCGCGGAACGGCCTCAAACTCGAAAAAGAGACCACCCACAACATGATACGAGTCTCATCAAGTGAAGGAACACTTCAAAACGCCGAGGTCGCACCGGTCATGTAGTCCATCGCCGCGCGCTGCAGCGAGGCCGAGTAGAGCAACACCAAGCCGAGCTGCCCCGTCGTCATGCGACCGCGCGACACGAGGTAGACGCCCAGCAACCCCGCGCCCAGATACAGCACGCAGCCGTTCTGCGTCGTCAGCCTGCGCGGAGCATTTCCGTCAAAGCGGTCCGAATGGCCTCAAACTCGGAAAAGAAACGACCCACGACCTCGTCTGATGGACACGAGTCGCTTCGATGGCGTGAAGGCGTCTCTACACAACGGGACGCCGAGATCGCACGCTTGACTCCATTTGCAAACCGCCTCGTTCGCGTAGCGGCCGGTCGCCATGCGATTCGTCAAGGCTTCGTTCTGTCGTTCGAACCTCGAAACGGCGCCAAAGGCTCGGATCGTACCTCGCCCTCTTATACAATCGTGGAAATGGGCGTAGCAGGGACCGTGGGCCTCGGCCTCTAATCTGCGAGCGTCCCTCGCCGCGATCCTCACCGTCCGGAAGATGAACACGTACGGGATTAGGATCAATGGTAGAGACAGCGCCACGAAGGGCGCGAAGAACAAGACCAATCCTAGCTGCGACGTCACGTCTAGGGTCCGGGTCAACTGGTCTAGCGTTGTGGTGGGGACCTGTGTAGAAATCAAATTTCGGGCACCCCACGCCATCGACGCGATGTTGTCTCCGTAGCTGCGTCTGCTCGATGGCGTGGAGTCGACGAAGTCTCCACGATAACCTAACTCACTGGATGATTTCCACACAGGTCGGAACGTCCATGTCGACGTTCGCCAGGTCCTGTAAAAAGCGGTTCAGGACGTTGCCGATTGGTGTGGAATCGAAGAAAGCCATGGACGTGGAGATTACTGCTGTGAGCATCTTCTCATGTAAACTTTTTGAGGCGTCCAAGGCGCACAACGTCAGTATGATCGTTTGTAGGGCTAGGACAACAGCTTGGACGCCCCCGATGAGCACATACGTAACTAATCCATGTAGCTGTTTCGAACGAGATCCGCCGCCTGCGCGGAGCATCGTATTCACTGGAAACGGTCCGAACGGCCCCAAATTCGAAAAAGAAACCACCCACTTCATGGTGAGATGCACACGAGTCACATCAACAAAGTGAAGACACCGCAACACGACGGGACGCCGAGATCGCGCCGTCGGCCCAGTCGGACAGCCACACGTTCGCGGCGACCCCGAGGCCGCAGCCCGACAGAGCCAGTAGGAGCAGCAAGATGACTTTTCCGTGTGTACCAAAGGCGTCCAGGTACATGCGGAAGTCGCTCCAAGCAATAAAGCCTTCCCTTCGGCGCTCTTCGACCCTCGACCCTCGGAGAGTAGCTATGACGTCTTCCACAAAATGAGCGTCCACCACTTGCCCGTGGCGATCGAATAACGCCGCTCGCAAGGCCTTCTCGACGTCTTGCAAGGGCGGGTGTTCCTCTACCTCTTCTTCTTCGTCGACCACAGATGTAGTCGCGTGGCCGTTCGTCTCCCGAGGTACACTACACTCACCTAAGGAAATGACGCGAGAAACTTCAGAACGAGACGCGTAGTGCAGCTGGTGCGTCGCGAGGACGACGCAGCAGCCCTCTTCACGAAGATGGACGATCGCGTCGGACCAGATCGCGCTGCCCGTGTGCGCATCCACAGCACTGAGCACGTCGTCTAAGATGCATAAAGACGGTTTCGCGTACAACGCGCGCGCTAGTGCCACTCGAGCTCGTTGGCCTCCGGACAACTGGACGCCGGCCGGGCCGACTCGTGCCTCCAACCCACAAGGCAAGGCCTCCAAATCCTTCGACAGTTGCGCTCGTCGCACGGCATCCCTCAATCGCTCGTCGTCTCGTGCCAACCCGAACAGAATGTTCTCCTCAATTGAACCTTCAGACAGGAACGGCCGTTGGGCTACATAAGCTCTCTGGTCAGACGCGACAACTTGACCAGTTAATGGACGTAACGCCCGCGCCAACGTAGCTAACAGTGTCGACTTGCCGCTTCCCACCGGTCCCGTTATCACCACCAAGTCGCCCTTGTCACATGCGATGTCTACAGTAACCTCGGCATACCTTACCGTACCCACGAAACGACATACTTGAGACGCGTCCTCGTCCTCCTCGACATGTTCCGATGAGAGGAAACGCCCCAGCCGCTCGCAGGACGGCTGGAGGGCGGCCCACAAGTTGTAGATGTCGGGTAAAGTGTTAATGGACCTGTGTCGAACGACGGCGTCGCGGCGGTGCGGCATCGCGGCGACGCCGTCACGGCGACCACGTCATGCGTGGAGCGTCGTGGTCCCTCGACTCGGTCCGAACAAAGACGACGCGCGTCGATGGCGTGAAGGCGCCACAGCACCGCGGGACGCCGAGTCACGGACCACCGCATCTGCTGGATCCACGCCAAGGCGGCGAACGCGACAGCCGGGGTTAGTATTTTATGATCCACAACAGTATAATAGGAGAAGATCGACGCGGGCACGGCCAGGCCCGACAACGAGCCTAATAAAATATTTGCGGCGTCCAAGAGCCTTATTGATACGAGATGGCGCATCTCTATGTTACGGGCGTCGTCGATCTGGTCCTTGGCGTCGTCGATCCAGCCTCGCAGTTTCAGTAACCGAGCCGACGCGACGCACTCACTCACTAACGACGCGCGCTTATCCCTCGCTTCCTGCAGTCTAGCGACGATAGGTTTGGTCCGTCTCGCAAGCAACATCGATAAATGGTTCGTCACCAACAACGTACCTGCGCCGCAGAGGGCCGCGTTTCCGAGCAACGAATACATGCAGTACACGACAGCAGGTAAAGAGACAACTGCAAAGCTCCACTGGGCCAGAAAGAAGACCGTCCACGTCCACCTTCCTAGCTTATCGGCGTCGGTCGCCATCAGATTCGTGAGTGCGCCACTGTCCATGTCTGTTTCGTGTCTTAACGCTTTCGCGAACACGGCTGGTCCAATAGCTGTGCGCGCGTTGTTCATCACTCTTACGGAGCCAAAGAAGCAGACCTCCATGCACGAGACGCGCAGGAACATTGAGACTGCCAAGAATAAAGCGTAGCCGTAGTTCCTTTCCGTTTGTTTTTGATTATCAGCGGCATCTAAGAGCTTTTTTAGGATAAGAGGATCTAAGAACATCAGTCCCAGAAAGGCCCACCCATGTAAGAGTGTCTTCACTAATACTCGTTTCTGGATGCTATACAGTAACGTGACGAGGAGGCTTCTCTTGTTAGAAACGTCGAGCCACACTTCACAAAACCGTTTTTTGAGAAATGACGCGCGATCATGGGTCGGTAATTGGGGAAGGTCGTCGGGTCGTAATTTATGCAAAGCGTTGGCTCGTCGTAGCGTCGGCGTGACCCACCAGAACGTGTAGGTGGCCACGACGCCGGCGCGGTCCTCCGGTGAACCGGTCCGTTCAATGGTGTAGAGCTCGGCGAGGAGCCAGCTGATGAGGATGGACAGGGCAACGGTCGCGCAAATGAGGCCTCCGCAAATCTGGTGTGTGCACGCCCTGACATGCGGCGGCCACTGGAAACCGAGCTGCCACGCGGCGATCGAGAGGTGCGCTATCGCTGCGGCGAGTAATGTGCGCGCGATGGGCCATTTCTTGGCCTTGGCCTGCTGCGGTTCGGCCCGTACGGCCTCCTCGGCCGCGAGCAGCGGCTCGGAGAGATCGTTGTGGCGCATGCTATCGGTCATTCTGTTGCATGGGCGTCATCATCTGATGTGTGGAGGTCCGGAATCGATCGCAACGGCCTTGGATAGCGCGCACTGGCCCGAGTACAAGCGCTTCAGCGCAGCGCTCTGCTTCCTAGTGTCTTATCACCGCTAGTTGCGCGCTGCAGGGGGAAAAGGCTGCCAGCAGCCTCAATCTCGCGGCCCAGCACGCTATCGATCAAGCATACGTTCCAGCTGCCCGGTCATCGCCAGGAGGCAGCAAGAAAAGCGCGCGAGACCGCCCAGGAGACGCAAGAAGCAGGGAGAGCTCACGCGTCCGCCTCCACGCCATCGGCGCGACAGGCCCACGCGGGAGACGCCAGGGCCCGGGAGAGGCCACGCGCCCGAGACGCGGCCTTAGAACGAAGCCAGAACCATGACGCGCGGCGCCGGTAGCTACCACTTCGCCCTGCGCGAGAAGCTCAAAGGCTTCGAGAGCATCAAAGCCATACAAGATAAAGGCCTCGTTTACGACTATACGACGACGCTGGGCGTCCAAAAGACGGCTTTTGCGGTGGATTCGATAGATGAGGCGAAGCGCTTCTACAACGAAGTGTTAGGTTGTCCAGAAGTCACCTTTCGCAGCCCGTACTTCCTCGAGGTCCCGCTCTTCGGCAAGCTGTTCGTGGCCGTACTCATAGACGGCTACCGGGGGCCACCACCTCAACGGGCGCGGACGGTCGTGCAGGAGCCGTGTTTTGGGGTTGAGACCACTGCCGTGAATTTCCGCGCGTTCGTGGCGCGATTGCAACGAGCTGGCGTCCCCTACGAGTACGTGGCGTCGCCCGACTTCGAGAACGGCCTGACCTGCTGCTTCTGCGAGGACCCGGCGGGGCACCGTTTGTACGTCGCCGCCGACGTTCCCCGGCCGGCGACGCGGCGGGCCTCGCTCGAAGGCCTCGACCTGTCCGCGATGACGCAAACGCCGTACACGCTACCGTCGCGCGAGGACGCGGCGACGAGTCGCTATACGATCACGCCGCCGCCTCCAGATTACACCGATGATGCGGAGGGTATGAGGTGGTATCCATGTGATCGGGCGGACGAAAGTCTCGCGCGGCCGATTCCCGGGACGGCACAACGCGAAATCGTCGTCGCGGCGCCGGCGCCGACGCGGTCTACCCGGAGGAAAGCGCGCGCCCCTACGCGCACGTCGACCGACGCGCCGCCGGCGCCGTGGCGCTCAGGCGTCGCGCTATGTGATGAACGCATCGACGCGTTCAGGGTGATGCTGTCGAAGAGGCCAGCCGCTCAACCCCCTTGGCGCTGCCTGCATTGTTCCACGGAGAACGAGCCCGTCGTCGACTGGTGCCGCCTCTGCCGCGCGGGGCGGATACGGGTGGTGTCGCTAGCAATAGCCTCGTAAGAAACTTATCACCTAGCGGTTGACGACGCCGAACGCCTTCCGCCCGGCGCGCTTGGGGACGAGCTGCTTCGCCGGCCCCGGCTCCACGTTCGCCGCCGGCTGGCATAATCGGGGAGAGGGAAACGCCGCCGACACGGCCGAGAGCCGCCGCGTCGCGGCCGTCCCGGACGCGGCGAAGCTCAATCCATCCGAAGCGAGCCACGACCGGCGACACGCCGGCGCGACGACGCGCTCGCCCGTCTCCTCGTCCTGCGGCGGCGGCGGCGGCGGCGGCGGGCGCGCGTCGTCGCCGGCATAGTCGAGCTCGTCGGCCGCGTCGTCCTCTGCAGTAACCTCGCGGCGCGGCGCTCTAGCTGCGGCGGCCTCGGCGACGGCGCCCGTCGCGAGGCTGATCGAGGCCAGCACCGACGACAGGCGCGGCACGCGCTTCACCTCCGGCGGGGGCGGCGCGGCGGCCGCGGGTTCCGCATCGACCGACGGCGCCGCCGCGGCGCGCCGGGCGGCCACCGCCGCGCGCCGCGCCGCGAGCGCCGCCCGGCGCGTCGCCTTGGCGGTGTCCTCCGTCTCCTCGGCGGTCGACGGCTCCTCGGCGGCCGCCTCCGGCGCGGACTCCTCCGAGGCGGCCGCGTCGACCGGCGCCGCCGCCGCGGGCTCCGCCGGCACGACAGGCTCCTCCGGGGCGGCCGCCGGCGCCGCGCCCGTGTCGCCCGGCGGCGGCGCCAGCACGCGGAAGCCCGGAGCGACCGCCGCGTCCGCGGCGACGAGCGCATTCAAAGCCTCCGAACCATCACTGGAAGCGTAGTGGGCTCGTAACCGCGCCACGAGCTCCGACTTCCGGCCCGCTAATTTCAACTGCAGGGGCCGCAGCTTGTCCTTCAACTGAGGCACCGTGAGGCCATCGAGCCCATCACCAGTCAACGCGACGGGAGGCTTCTTCCGCCTTCTGGTAACGTGCTGCGTTTCTTCCTCCTCGTCATCTTCTTCCGACGACGACGCCTCGAACTCGGAGCCCGACGACACCTGCTGGCGAGGCCGAAACAAGTGCGCCTGCCGCCGAGACGGCTGCAGGATTTGACCCCTAGGACGGACCTTCTCCTTCGCAGCCGCGCGCGTCTCGGGCGGTGCGGGCGGCGCCCGTAATTCCGCCTTGACGAGGCGGTCGTGGTACCACCGCAGCGCCAACCGCGCGTCCGCCGCACTTGTCGGCGCGTAGGCCTGCACCGAAGCCCCGGCCTTCGACTTCTCGACGGCGTGTTGAATATGAGCATCTAACCTCTGCGCGAGGTGCTTCAGGTCGGAAGACTTTGATTCCGGAAGGCGTTTAGCTCGCGCTTGCGCCTCGTCGCACCGTCTTCTCAACACGTGGGCCTCGCGCGCGTGCTGCGCTTTCAGTCGCGTGATTTCGGCCTGGGACTTGGTGCCCGTGCGCTGGGCTCTCATTAGTTCGTGGGCGGCGGTCCTCTTCTCTTGCAAGCGCTGACTCGTTTCGCTCCGAAGTTTGTTGACGGCGTCGACGCGCTGCCTCCTGAGGACGTCGGCCTTCGCTCGTAATGACGCCGCCTCGGCTTCCGCTCTACGTCTTAACCCCTCGACCCTCGAAGCTTCTTGCTTCGTGGACTTCAGTTCTCGGCGCTTCGCCTCGAGGTCCCTTCTTCTCCTGTCGAGGGCGTCCCTTAAAGCCTCCTCCCTCCTCCTGGAGAAGTCGTCCGTCTTCTTGCGCGACAACGCGTCGGTCAGGTCCCGTTCGGCCTTTTCCCTAGCTTGCTCGAGGAAGGCTACCTCGGCATCCAAACTTGATACGGCCTCTGCGAATTGTTGTCTCAGTTCGCCCATGCGCTTTTCTTCGGCCTTGAGCGTCGTGATGGCAGCGACCTGTTGGGCCTCCGCCGAGTCCGGAGCAGGCGCGCCCGGTTCCCGCGACGCGAGTTGCCGTCGACATGCCGCCAATTCCTCACGTAATTGAGCGACAACATCAACGTCCTTCCCGCTCGACAGGCGCGCCCGGTCCGCCTGCATCGTCGCGGCCAGGGCTTCCGCTTTGGCCGCAACCAATGCAGCTTCGGCACACCGCTGCTTCCGCCGCGCGTCGTACAGCGCGTCGTGGTCCGACTCCTTGACCACTTTACCTTCACCAGACAGTTGAGCCCTTAACTCGGCGTTCTCGCGCCGTAGCGCCGCGATCAGCAATTGCTCGGGCGTCTCCGCGATGTTGTGGCGCACGGCCGTGTTCGCGATGCTCCGCGCTCGCGACGCGTACCGCAACGTGTTCACGGTCTCTTCCGCATCGTCCGTTCGAGGTGAGACACAAGCCACGACCCACGTCGACGCCGTGCCTCCCAACGAGTCCTTTAGCAGCCGCGTGAGCTTCGAGTCCCGAAACGGCGCGTGCTTCCGCGTCCCCTTACCTTCCTCGTTCGACGCCAACGCCGCGACGACGTTGCCGAGGGCTAATAAACCTTTGTTGATCTCGATGCCCTCCCGCAGCCGCTGGCCCTGCGCCTGCGTCCGCGCGGCGCGCTCGGAACCTGCGCGCGGTTGCCCGTGATCGTCGCTCGCCCTCCCGCGACGACGCGCTCGCATTGCCGTTTCGCGACGGCGTCGGAGAGTCGCGGCCACCATCAAACGAGGACGCCGCGTCAGACCGGCCAGATCCACTAGAACGAGCTTGCCCACGGAGCCGTTCGCGCGCCGCACTCTCACTTGGAGCAAGGCGTGACTTCTAGAGGACCGGTCGTTCATCTTCGTCGCGCCCGTCCTTCTCCGTAACGCGCCGCGATGCAGCAAGCGGCCCGCGTCTCCTATATTACTCACGTCGCTCTCCGTCAGGCCCGGCACGACGACACTCCCAGAAGCGTCCTCCCGTACTGTGAGAGGCTCCTCGTCTAGAGCTAATAAATCGTAGACGGCCTCGTTGTAGACCTCGAGGTACGAGAGGCCGACCGTGCAGTCCTTTAAGGCTCGGCACCTGTGTGGACGTCAAAATCTTACGGCTCGTCCTCCACGCCATCGACGCGACGCCAGCTGGTTGATTTTCACACAGCGCGGCACCTCTCAAACACGTCCTGCAACGCTCGCGCAATCACACCGTCGCCGCTCGACGATAACATATCTAAAGGTTCGCCCATGGTGTAGGTCTTCCCGGAACCTGCGTGCGATCGCGTCTCGCGAGCGGCACGACTGGCTCGGACGCGGCGCGGTCTCTCGACTCGGTCCGAACGGCCTCAAACTCGAAAAAGAAACCACCCGCGACCTCCTCTCTCAGAGACGACGCACGTTCAGCAGCGGGGGACGCCGAGATCGCACCCGTCTGGCCGTACGCCATAATGGTAGCGTTGCGCCCGTCAAACACGCGCTCGACGAGCTTCTGCGCCGTGTGCGCGTAGACGCGGTCCTGCGTCGCCGCCTCGTCGAAGACCACGTCAAACTTGAAGGCCTTCTCGTCGTGGGCCGTTTTCAGTTTGAGCTTGTTCTTCGCGCAGGCCGTGGCGCGTTTGGCGCCTTCCGTGAGGGGTCGCACGCGCACGGCTACTCGCACTCGTTCGCGCGGCGCCGCCGCTGGGGCTTCTTCCGGCGCGGCGTCGGCGGCGGGCGCCGCGGGCGCGTCTTGCTCCTGTTCAGCAGCCATTTTGCGTTTCGCGACCTCGTCTCGCGCGGCGCCGCGGCCGCTGGCGTACTGGTGTTCGTTGAGCGCTGCGGCAGGCGTGGATACCTCGTCCACAGCCACGGGCGCGGCGCTTCGTCTAACGACTTTACCTAGCGTGCGGTAAGTCTCTAGGAAGATTTATGATTGGAGCGCTGGATTGGCTCCGGGCAGCCATAGGCGCGCTGCTGGAGACGTGTATGCGCCGCCTGAGGCTAGTGAGTTGGGCGGTCGAGGCCGCAAAACAAGGTGGTGCTTTTGGTCTCCCTCTGGAGACCCTACTGGCACTGGGTGAGTCTTGCACCCCTTTGCAACAAAGCTGGGAGCTGGCGCTAACATCGCAGTTAAGTTTCAAGGCGCTAGAAGAGCCAACTTGCGCGCATTGCGACAACATTCAGCCTCGCTGGACCGCCCAAATTCGGACTGGGCCCCTAGCGCCCGCTGCGACGTGCGACTGCGCTCAGAAGCTGAGGCAAACGATACTGAGGCCTCCGGACGCCCCGCTGCGCGCCCAAAACACTCCTAGCATTGCGTGAGTCCGAGCGGGACCGCCGCACGCCAAAAATGAACTCCTTGCAACGCGAACTCCAGACGTTAACAGCACAAATAGAAGAGCAAGATGACCTCTTGAGACCCCTCGAGAAGGAGGTCGAGAAGGCGGAAAAAAAAGCAGCAAAGGAATGTGAAAGGGACGACGCGACGATGCTCGGGAAAGAGATCTGGAAGGAGCTTGATGGCTTGTCCGACGACCTCCAGAAGTGCCGCGCCAGCGCCACCACTGCCTTACGGGCCGCATCACGACAAGTGTCCACGAAGCGCTTGCGAGTGCGATTACGCCTGAGCGGTAGAATAGTAAAAGAGCCAAAACAAATACACGTCGTCACGTCCAAGGGGCAAAGAGCAGCGGTGGAAGCCATCGTCCAGGCGTCGCAAGAGTTAGATGCTTGTAGAGACGTCGGCGCCTACGCGAGACGGTCGATGCGACGTCTTACGCAATGCGCCAAAAATAGAATAAAAGTTGTGGAGTCCCAATTACCCGGCCCTTTACCTGCCAAGCCCCAGATCGCCGACGCGGAGGCGGCCTTCGCCTCGGCGGGCCTCAAAACGCCCGACGCCGTCGAAGATTGTCAGTGACTCAGCGTGGTTTCCGAACGTTTCCGAACTTCAAGGTCGCGTCGATGGCGTCGGCGCGACGCCACGCCACCGCGACGCCGTCGACGTGGCCGTCAGAGAGTCTACGCGTCTCGTGCGGGAGCCGCGGCCGTGTCGCGACGCCGTCGTTCGACACAGGTCTGGTGTGCTGGGACTTCATGACGACCTTCCGCGACTCGCCCGTCCTGCCGGCGCGCGACGACAACTCGTTCCTCATGCTGCCCGAGACGCGATTGGATGAATTTGCCGCGGCCCTCCAGGCGCCGAACGACGACCTCATCAGGCGGCCAGAACAACATAATCCGTTTCGCTACCTAGCGCACGTGCACAAGGAACTTTTGAAACTAATCATGACCGACGAGGAAACGGACCGGTGGTGGCCGTCTCCCAAGAAGAGTTATGGGCCGCGCTGGTGGGCGAGACCTGAACTCCCTCAAAAACCCCAGCCGCTCCTCCAGCGCTTCGAGGCCGCGACGCCGTCCCAACCGTCGCGCATCATGTGCCAAATCGGCGCGATCCAGGCCACTTGTCAACCGGTACCGGTGCCTCTACTCGCGCTGGCGTTGCAAGAATTACGGTATCCGCAGCCCGTCGTCGATGCTTGTAGTCAGGGCCATCCGCTCGGCCAGGAGATCCTGCTGAAGGTCGGGCGGGCGGCGCAGGACGCGCATCGCGCTGCTCAAACAAATGGTACTAGAACCGGCCAAGCTTCTGCTGAAGAACTGGCCGCCTTCCGGGCCTTCCAGGATTCGAAACGAGCGCAACAAGCTGCGCAAGATAGTCCTCCAGCGCCGGCGCCCGATGCGCCGCCCTCGGCCGAAGAGCTCAAATTGCGCGAAGAGCTCGAGGCGCTCAAACGAGAAAATGCGAAGCTCAAGACGCCCGCCGGCGCCGTCGCTGGTGCTGCCGCGTGTGCCGAAGGCGCGCTAGCAGCTTGCGGAAAAGCGGCAAGGAAGGCGAAGAAAGTGGCCAGTTCCTGCAACAGTAAAGCAGCGAAGACGGCCGTCGAGCCGCAACAGCCCACTCGCGTGTCCGCTCGAGCGCGGCGGAAGGCGCCGCCTCGGAACGAGATCGGCTTCGAGTCGACCCCAAAAACGCGGGGCAACAACGGGCGGCGCGCGCCGGGTTCGGGTTTGCCTGGAGGTAGAGCGAAGCCTTTGAATGCGGCGCAACGGGCAGCTCTACCTTTACACTTGAACGACTTGCTGCAACTACTAAAACACGACGCGGGGACGCGCGACTGCCCGCGGTTCCCGCCCGCCGTCGTCGGGTCGACGACGTGGGCACCGCTAGCCGCCGCGGCCTGCGCGCGCATCGCGGACTACGCGGCGGCGACGGCGGAACGGTGCGGCGCCTACGACGAGTGGGGCGGCCTCGAGGGGGACATCGTCGTGCACCAGCGGCCGGGCGGCGCGCTCGCGGCGTCCCTTCACTTCATTCAAACGACTCGTGGCCGTCTCACTTCCATGAGAGTGGTTTCTCTTTCGAATTTGAGCTGTTTCGGACCGCGTCGGGGCCGTCGCGGCGTGTCAGAGCGACTGCGGTCGCGTCGATGGCGTCTTCACGAGACAGCGCCGCCGCGACGTGGTCATCAGGACGCCGTCGACGCGATGCCACATCGGACCGCTTTGACGGAAACGCTCCGCGCAGGCGGCGACGACGCGACGCGGCAGGGCTGGTCGCCGGCCCACCGCCAGCAGTTCTTCGACCCCTACAAGGAGGACCCCGAGTCCGTGGACGAGCCGTCGACACAAGAGCCGGCATGTGTTGTGAGGGACCCCCTCAATGGTAAAACGGCGCTCCGGGAGGCCTGCGCTTCATTGTTAAAGGGAGAGCCCTACGGCGACCTGGATCCGTCGCAACGGTGCGCGTTGCTACGCACGCTCATCGACGCGGCTCTTAACACGAAAACCGTCACCGAGGAAATAAATAAACGCGCGACGAAGATCGCGAACGCCGAGAGTGCGATCTCGGCGTCCCGTCGTGTGGAGGCGCCTTCACGCCATCGACGCGCGTCGTCTCCAGGAATGATGGAAGTGGGTGGTCTCTTTGTCGAATTTGGGGCCGTTCGGACCGCTCCGCGCAGGTAGCATCTGGACCAAGGGCCAGAAGACGCTGCAGGACGACAACATGCGCTGTCGGCGGCGGGCCCAAGATAGTAGACGAGACTTAAACATCCCGGCGCCGCCCAAAACAAGCACGGCGGTCATCGACGACGAGGGCGGCTTCTTCGCGGCGCGCTCGCGGCGTCCCACGTCGGTGCCTTCACTTCAATACGACTCGTGGCCATCTCACGATGCCGGGGGTGGTCTCTTTTCCGATGTTGAGGCCGTTCGGACCGCGTTCCGCACAGGCGGCGCGCCTCGCGGAGCTCGACGCGTCGTCGGCGCGCGGGTTGCTCCGTTGTAGATTGGAGGAACATAGAGATGCGGAGTGCTTGTCTTTGCTCGACGAGACTTTAAAGAGATGCGCCATCTACGACGAGGCCCCGTATCTGGTCGAGCACGTCGACTCTCAAAGGAACGCGTCTGCTCTGAAGCTCATCGAGGACGCGTCGAAGCAGATGGATACGGAGCGACTGCGGAACGCGTTGTTAACGGCACGACGCTTACCAGGCCTCGCCTCGCCTGTCAGCCTCGACCCGTCGCATCAGGCCTGGGTCCTCCGACCTCTGGCGGTGGGTGCGTTATTGTTGCGAGACCTCGAGTACGATTCACAAATATGTAAGAAGATTAAGAGCGACGAAGCCGACTTAAGAGCACTACCCTCTTTACGGGCGGAGCCGGTGGGACGAGATAAATCAGGAAACTGCCACTGGGCCTTTAGAGGAGAGCGGGAGTACCGCTACGCGCCGCAGCGGGTCTGGGTCCAGCAGTCGCCGGACAACGACGTGCCACAAAAACCATCTTGGGGCTATTATGGAGATGCCACCGCCGTCGCGGCGCTGTGCCGGCACTTGGATCGGAATGATGAAAGCGAGGCTTTATTGCGGGACAAGTTGTTATTGCGCGTGCCCCCTGGGGTCGCGGAGTGGCGGGAGTAAGTAATATGGTTATATAGCTCGATGCGCGGTCTGTCGCGTTTAGACCACGTCTACCTTCCTGACGTACATTCGGGTTTCCCCTGGATTTCTCGGAGCGGAGGAGTCGTGGTCTATACTCGAGAGAGTACTTAAGCGGTCACGAACGCTAGACTAACTCGTGCGCCGGCGAAGCTGCGTACACGGAGAACTATACTCGACAGGGTATACGATAAGGTGCACATTTACTAGCTGGTGGTCACGGTCACTACTGGGGGTGCGCGAGGTTCGCGAGGTTCGCCGCCGCGCGCGAGTGGCCGCGCGCGGCCGCGCGCTGGAAGAGCTTGGCGGCGGCCTCCTTGTCGACGGGCGCGCCGGTCCCGCTCGCGAGGCCGGTTTTGCTCGGGGTAGGTTTTCCCGCGGTCTCGGTCGGCGATCGGCTCGTCGGCATCAGAGCGCCGGCAGGCAGCGACATCGTCGCCGCGTTCCGAGCGACAGCTGGCATTGAGCGCGTCCTGACCTTTGCCAGAGGTCCTACGCGAAATCGCTGGCTTACGCCAAGTTGAGGTAGAAGGTTGAGGCGGAGTTATGTTCGTAATTCACTTATCAACTACTATAGCCAAAAAACACAAACAGCCTCAGACCGACAACTCCCCCGACGATTCTGAGGAAGGCCCGACCCACCTGAGTAGACGCGGCGCGAGGAACGACCCGATGACCAATTGCGACGGGTGCCAGACCAGCAACGGCAGCAAATACAACCCCAAAGGCTGCCCCGCACCCTCGTAGATGGCCGTGATGAGCGGGACGCCCATCGCGACCGTCTTGTGCGTGCACCCATACAAACCCATGACCCGCAGTTTCTTGTCGAAATGCAGGAGCCCCAACATGACCCAAGCGACGCCCATGGACGCTACCAATAGGAAACACTGTACAATGATCATGATAATGACGTCGACGGCGCCGACGCCTGCGTGGAACGACGCCGTCACGAAACTGCCTCTGTGCACTCCCGAGACGTGTAGACTCTCACGTGGCATCGCGCCGACGCCGTCGCGGCGACCGCGTCGGTGCGAGCCACCTCACGCCATCTTCATGAAAGCGCTCTCTCCGACACGCCGCGACGGCCCCGACGCGGTCCGAATTCACTCAAACTCGAAAGAAAAACCGCCCACCATCTCGTCTGATGGCCACGAGTCGCGTCGATGGCGTGAAGGCGATGACAGACGCCGCGATCAGCACCGACGTCCAGCTTCACGAAGGTCACGTAGACGATGAACGTCAGGAGGTGTTCCTGCAGTTTTTTCAGGGAAGGCTTGTGCTTCTTCGCCCACTTCGCGACGGACGGGAGCCAGTACTGGGTCAATTGACCGACAAATAAAGGTGCTAATACTCTGTATGATAGCTTGATCACCGTAGCTGCGAAACTTACGGAAGACGTGCTGCCTAACAGAGCCTGGACCCAGGCCGGCGTGACGAAGACCCCGAGCAGGTTGCCGCACGCTGAATTAAACACCGCGGCGGCCTCGTCGCCACCCTGCGCGGAGCATCACTGTCGCTCGATGTACGAATGGCCTCAAAATCACAAAAGAAACCACCCACGTCGTCGTGAGATGGACACGAGTCACATGAACAAAGTGAAGACACGACAACACGCCGGGACGCCGATATCGCACCGAACTTTTCGTCAGAACAATTACCATATTGACCGTCATCGGTAAAAACGCGCACACGGCCACGCCGTTCGCTAGTGGTGTGGAGAGGACTTTGATATCAATGAGTACACGAGATACGGCCCAGATCGCCACGGGTAATAACCCGAGGTTGAACAGTTGCACAAATGCATTAAATTTGTAGTTTTTGAGCGCCTTCACGAGTTCTCGCGTCCGCAGACCGAGTCCCGTGAAGAGAAAGATCCAGATCACGGCGACGATGGCTAGGATCGATAAAACGTCTTCATAAGATTTCGTGGTCAGGGACGCGTGGGCCCTCGCGATCCCAATGACAATTATCACATTGACCATGAAGCTGTTTTGAAGGTAGAAGCTCTTGGCTTTGTCGCAGCGCGTCGGGGGCGTGTCTTCTTTCACTTCCACCTCCTCCGGGGCCGCCATGGCGTCGGGCGTGGGCGGTTTGCACATGCCACTGGCTTGCAGTGTGTCTGTAGAGCTGTGCGTCAGCGGTGCCAAGACGTAGTGAGCGTGCGTCTGCCTGAGCACTGCTTGAATGCGACGAGCTGCGGGGCGTTCGATACCTGGCGTCGTTCGAGCGATGTCGTGTGGTGTGCGGTGGCTGGCCTGTCAGTTTGCTAGCGTCATGTAAGACACTAGCATTTCCTCAGGCCCCTCCGCGCGGCGTCCGGTTCTTCTTCGACGCGGCGCGGCGATGGCGTGCTCTTGAGACCACCGCGCCACGGCGAGAGAGCATCCTTTCGCGGCGACGGCGTGGGGATACGCCACATGATACGCCATCGACGCGACTCGTCACGCGCGGGACTTCGCGCGGGATGTCCACAGGTCCGTGACCCCGGGGAGACGACTCTATATAGCACACAGTCGTTACACACACAATCCCTAGAGCTGCCCGACCTTCTTGGCCCTGATTTTTTTCTTGCCGCCCTTGTCCCACCGGCCCTCGACCTTCAAGGCCCATATTTGAGCGTTCAAGATCGTCTTCTTCAGGGTTGATTTGGTCGCCTGCGCCTTGGCGCGCGCCTCGGCCAACCTTCTTTCCCGTTTCTGCAACCGCCTTTTACCGCGGTTCTCGGCCTCCATCATCTTGTCCGTGTTGTTCTTCCGCGCGCGCCGGATGCCGGCCTTGATCTTCTGGTATTTCTTGAGCTTCCGGTGCCTGCGTCGAACGACACCGTCACGAAACTGCCTCACAAGACGCGTAGACTCTCTGACGGGACCCCCTCAAGTTCAAGAACACTGAAAACGCTGAGTCGGTGCCAGTGCTTCGTCCCAAAAAACTTCTGCCTCATTTTATCTTGCGCTTCCACGACCGGATAAAATAAGTTCGGGAAGCGCCGGTTCAGCTCCAGGTACTCCCCGTACTCGAGCTTGCCGTCGTCGAGCAGATCGATCTCCCTTAGAGCTCTTGTGGTCCTTCCCCTGTTGGTGGAGGGGTGTAAGTCCGACAGTAACAATATGAACTCCTCGTGCGAGATCCAGCCGTTGTCGTCGGCGTCGAAGATCTGGTAGGCGAAGTGGAGGAGTTCGTCCTTGCCTGCGTGGTTCAACATCATCTTGAAGTTCAACATCAACACTGAGTCAGCATACCGAACATGCAGAACTGCGCGATGCACTTCACCGTCTCGCCGAAGTCCATGCGCGACCCGTCCCAGGGCTCGCCCAACAGCTGGAAGGCCGCGTGCATGAACTTCGAGTCGCGGAAGCCGAGGTAGTCGAGCACCTCCTTGGAGGACACCTGCGCGGAGCATCGATGTGGCATCGCGTCGACGGCGTCCTGACGACCACGGAGACTCTCGTGGGATCACAACGATGGCGTCTCGTGACGACGCCATCGACGCGACCGCGCCGCGACGGCCCCGACGCGGTCCGAAACAGCTCAAACTCGACAAAGAAACCACCCCCGGCATCGTGAGATCATGACAAGGAAGTGAAGACACCACAACACGCCGGGATCGCACAGCTCCAAGTTCGTTCACGTCCATGTCCTCGAAGTACGAGAGCCAGCCCTCGATCTCCGCCTGGCCGATGGCCGCGAACTCGATGGCGAACTTGAGCCTGCGTGTTGTAGCGTGAGGTGTCGTAGCGACGCGTCTACAGCGACGGCGTGAGACGTGCGCTCGGCTTAAACGATAACTTTCAAGTAATCTCGTCAGCAGGATCAGTGTATCGAGGTCGTCCTCGCGCGGTCAGACGTCTCACAAGACACTGCGTATACGGATCATCTTTGTACTCGTCCCTAAAATCACTTTCCTGCTTCACTTTCTCCAGTCGTAACTTGAGGGCCTTGATCTTGTCCAGTAATATCGGATCGTCCTCCCTCTTCTTCAGCTCCTTCCGCGCCGCCTTCAACTCATTCAAGATCGTCTCCTCGTTCTCGACATTGGTCTCGAGGTTCCGATTTATTTTTTTTATCCAAATAAACATGTCGCCGAAGCCTAAATCTAACAGATTTTCCGGGAGCTTCTCGAAGCCGTCCGCGGCGAGCTCGCGCTCGTCCTGGAGGTTGTACGTCACTTCGACGGCCGCCACGACCATGACCGCATCTGATCTTTTGCGGCCCCACATGACTAAACCTGGTTGCGCCGGTGCGGTAGGTAATAAAGCGTCGTGCGTGTACTGCCTGTAGTTCTTCTCCGCCAAATTTTTGTAGTGCTGGTGGTCGAGCGCCTGCGCGGGAACGACGCCGTCTCAAGAAGACGCCATCTTCACAAGGTCAAGTTCAAGATCACCGAAGACGCCGCGTCCGCGCCGGGTGCGCGAGCTGGAGCTCCGTCAGGAACTCGTCCTGGTCCGACGAAGGCTCGTACCAAATCACGACCATCTCGTGGAGGCCCACCGTCTTCTTGACTCTCAATAAGTGGGGCAACCTGCGCGCGGGTCCGTGAGACGACCCACGGCCTTCTCTGACGGAGACGACCGCGTAGCGCGCAGACACGGCGTCGCACGAGTGCTCCGCGAGCTCGTCCTGCTGTCTTTGGAATTGGTCCGTTTCCTCTTTTCCGACGGTGAAGGCGATCTTTCGCAGCGCGCTACACGTGCCCATCTTCATCTTCTGGCGGCGCATGATGGACCTGCGTCGTGTCGATACCGTGGCGCGTCGCGTCGATGGCGCGTAGACTCTCACGAGATCACGACGACGGCGTCGCGGCGGCGTGGCCTCATGACGACGCCATCGCCGCGACCACCACTCTCACGAGGCGCAAGCGGTCCGAAACGGCTCAAAATCGAAAACGAGACCACCCACGTCATCAGGAGATGGAGACGACGCGCGTCGATGGCGTAAGGACACTGGCGCAGGACTGCGTCATGTTCGACGTTTCCTGCTGCTCGGCCTTTTTGTCGGGCACGCCGTGGACCACCGAATTGTAGAGGCGCTGCGCCTTCTTGGCGGCGGCCTTGGGACCGTGCTCCTTCTTCCTCAAACTAGGATCGACCAAACCCATCTTCGCGAGGCCGGACGCGGCCTGTTTTTCGGCCTCGACCTGCGCGGGGCATGACGCGGTCCGAATCGGCTCTGATGGAGGCGAGTCGCGTCGAATGAAGGCACCGTACGGGACGCCGCGCGCGCGCCTCGCGCCGCTTCTGCGCCTCGACCTCGTCCTTCTCGCGCTGCTCCTCCGCCGCCTGCTGCTTCCGGCGCATCCTATCCATTATTTCCGCTTTTTTATCCGCTCTCAACTTCTCCTGCAGCGCTTTTTTGGCCTTCGCGGCCTTCTCGCGCTCGAGCTCGCCTGTGTGGAAATCAAAGTTCAAGCGCCTCAATTCGCGGTCGCAGAGAGATGCTACTCGCTCAACTCGGTCGATTGTATCAGAGGGACGTCGTGTCCGAGTTTGGGCCTCTCAGATGGCCGCGGTGCCGAGATCGCGAGACACGGGTACACGCCTTCGTTGAATTGCGCCAATTGAGCCCGCCGCTCCGCTCGTTCCCGCATCTGCCTCAACTCCGTGTCGACCTTGGCGATGGCCTCCTCCAGTTCTGATTTTTTAGTTTCTAACTCATCCGTCGCGAGGCCCTCGTCTTCGTGCTGGACAATCTGCAAGTCGACCTCGCCGAGCTCTTTGACCAAAGCTTTCTTCTTGGTTTGCAACTCGGCGGCGCGCGCGTCCTCCTCCGCGCCTTCGCGTTCCTCGAACTCGGCCTTGGCGAGGCGCGCGCTCTCGAGCCGCTCCGTCGCCTCGCGGTCCTCTTCCTCAAGGAGCGCCTGGTAGTCGGCGAGCTGCTTCTCGAGCTTCTCGAGGGACTCCTTGCGCCGGTGGAAGTCGGCTCTTTTATCATCGAGGACGCCTGCGCGGCGCGTCGCGGTCGCTCGACGCGGTCCGATGTGGCATCGCGTCGACGGCGTCCTGATGACCACGTAGACTCTCGTGGGATCACGACGATGGCGTTGCGGCGGCGCTGTCTCGTGAAGACGCCATCGATGCGACCGCTGTCTCTCTGACACGCCGCGACGGCCCCGACGCAGCCCGAAACAGCTCAAACTCGACAAAGAAACCACCCCCGGCATCGTGAGATGGCCACGAGTCGCGTCGACGGCGTGAAGGCGCCTAAGCACTTCAAAACGCGGCGAGCGCACCACTGTTGGTCGCGACGTAGTTCCGCGCGTCGGCCCTTTGCTCCTCGGTCACGTCCGCGTCTTCGCTATCCCGGAGCTGCTCGTGGTCCGCCATCTTCTTCTCGAGGCGCTCGAGGCGCGCCGCGTCTCTCGCCAAATCTTCGCGCTTGTTCTCGACGATGGCCGCCTGTGTGTTGCGAGGGTCTCGTGGCGCCCCTCGCGCGCGCGCCTCGACGGCGTCGAGGCGGTGTGGCACGCTATCGCCGCGACCACGTCACGTTGAAGTTCAACTTCAACACTGAGTCAGCGCCATCTGCTTCAACTTCGCCAATTTTTGGTCATACAATTCCTTCCGCTTCTGCTCGTCGACATCCTGCTGCACGAGCCACGGTTGGCTTCGGAAAATATCCATCCACTTCGCCGCATCCAAGTGACTGGGCACTTTCCGGGGATTCCGGAGCACGCACTGGATGTGCTCCAACCGTTCGCGAGAGATGCCGGACTCGTCCCCCCGAAAGGCCACACTACCTTCTAGACGAGCATCCTCCGCAGCCTGCAGCGACTCGAGCGCCCGTTGAGACGCCAAGAAGGGCCCCTTATGTAAGAGCTCTTGTTTTTGCTTCAATGCTGTTATTTGTCGTAATAGCTCCAGCGCGTCGGGCGACTCGGGGTCCTTCTCGAGACGCTTCAATTCGAGCTGTGTGGCACCGACGTTGTCTCGCATCGATGGCGTCGCGGCGACGCCGTCTCATGAAGATAAGTTCAAGTTCAAGTTCATTCACGACGCTGAGTCACGGACCCCGCACTTCTCGGCGTCGAGCTTGTAATCTGCAATCAGGCCTGCGTGTGGCGGCGGTTTCGCGTGTTGCCGCGGTGTTTGGGCACTCTCGCGGCGTCGACGCGACTCGTGTCCATCAGAGATGGCGATGGGTGGTCTCTGGTCCAAATTTGGGCCGATTCGGACCGCGTCGAGCCGGAGTCACGACGTCGGTCCGAATGGCCTCAAATTCGAAAAAGAAACCACCCACCACCTCGTCTGACGGACAGGAGTCACGTCGACACCGTCATGAAGTACGGGACGCTGGTACGCACCGGTGATGAGCTCGTCCAAGACCGCAGTCGTCGACGCGTCCGCTTCCAACAATTCGTGGAGTTGCTTGGCCTCCTTGTGGAGCGTGTGCTCCTGTTCGGAGTCGAGCGCGACGTACTGCTCTTTGAGTCTTCGGAGTTGGTCTTCGAGCCAAGATACGTAGTACCTCTGGGCTACTGTCCTAGGTGCTTTTGCGAGGCGATCCTCCATGACACTACGCAACTGTCTACAGTAGTGCGCTTCGTCGTACAGCCAGTCCTGCTTCTTGTCGCATTGTCTGGAGAAGAGCTGCGAGGCCTTGTGCCTCCGGTAGTGGCAGCGTAAAGCTTCCTCGCCCCACCAGAGGGCCTTGTCGACGGCGTCGATGGCGTACTGCAGGTGCTTCTGTCTCACCTTGATCCCTCGCATCGCTAGATCCCACTCGGCCTGCGCGGAGCATTTCTCTCGCATCGCGTCCGAACTCACTCAAACTCGAAAAAGAAACCAGCCCGCGCCTTCTCTGATCGAGACGACGCGCGTCGACGGCGTGAAGGCGCCTCCACACGACGGGACGCCGAGATACGCACCGGCGGGTTTTTATCGTCCTTGTTCTGTTCCACGGCGTCCTGCACGAACGCCACGATTCGTTTTTGCAGCGCCTTGCCGACGGCCTCGTTCGCCGCTTCCACATCTCTCAAGTATTCTAGATCTTCATCTAGTCGCTCCAGCCGTGCTTCGCTCCTCTCGAGACCCTCGGCGTCGCGCTCTCGGACTGTACGACGTGTGACGCCTTGCTCTTCTATAATACGAGACCGCTCGAAGATGCGTCGGTTCGCGAAGTCGTGGTCGACGCGCTGTTGAATTTTAATTTTGACACTCTTCTCCCCGTCACTGCCAGGTGCGAAGCGCCCGCGGCCTGCGTCGAACGACGGCGTCACGCGTAGACGCTCGCACGGCCACGACGCCATCTTCCCAAAATTCAAGTTGAAGGAAACCACGCCGAGTCACGGACCGCGCCGCGTCACCGTCTGCACGTCGCCCCCAAATTCGACCATCGAGTAGTCCTCCTCCGTCACTTCCCGGGCCCCGCAGCACGTCCCAATACCAATGTCGTGCTTGTCGCAATGCGTTCTGACAGAATTAGCTCTGTAGCGCTTTTGGATCTGAGAAGCCGCTCTGAAGATCCTTCTGTTCTCTCTAGCTTCAACGTCCCGCTCATACGTTGCACGTAACTTGTCCGCCTCGACGCGCGCCCACATGCCGCGGATCATGGCGGAGATGAGAGTAGCCGCATCACTCTCGTCCTCCGACACGAGTAACGCGGCCTCCTCGGCGAGACGAGCCTCCTCCTCGGCCTCCTCGAGCGCCGCGGCCAACCGCTTCTTCTCCTCGAGCTGCCGCGCCTCCGTGTCGGACCTCGACTTGTCTAAGATTAACGCTTGTTTCTTCTGCGCGAGGCGCGCGGCGCGCAGCGTCGGGAGGAGCGAGTCGGGCCCGTCCAACGAACCGGAGGCCCAGGGGAGGCGTCGTCGTTCCACTTCATCTCCTTGTACACCGGACATGTCGACGGAGCCCGCGCCTGCGTGGAACGGACAGCTCTCTCGCGAGACGCGTGGACTCTCGTGCGACCGCGTCGACGGCGTCGAGGCGACGTGTTTCCACGCTGAGTCAGCACCGCCGATGTGCACCGCGGCACCGCCACTCATCGCCGCCTGAGCAGCCCGCTCGACGGCCAGCGCTTGGGCCTCGTAGCCCGCCGCCGCCGGGTCGAAGTCGGAGATGACCTCGCCGAACTTCTTGGGCGGCGGCTCGGGCCAGACCTGCGCGGCGCGGACTCTCTGACGGCCACGTCGAGGGCGTCGCGGCGACGTGGTGTCATGAAGACGCCATCGACGCAAACTTGAAGTTACAGACGCCGAGTCCGCACCGGCTCCCCAAAAACATGGGGGTTCCCCGCGCGAGCCGCTTGTTCATTGAAAGAAGCCGCTCTGCTATTCCCGTAGACCGGCACGCGGCGCTTCCGCGATAGCGGCAGACTAATTTCATCCTCACCGTCGAAGCGCGCCGGCTTCTCGCGCATGATTCTCGCATTTCTCTCCTCGCGACTTTCGTCCGCGTGGTCCACGAAATGACGCCGTAGGTCGCCCTTCAAACCATCGACGTGGCCGCGGATCTGCGACACAATATGCGCGAAGTGCTGGTCCTCGCGCCGGATCTGCGTCGCCTGCGCGGGACCGAGGCGCGTCGACGCTCGTGCGATCGTGACGACGCCATCGACGCGGTGCCGTCTCATGAAGACGCCATCGCCTCGACCACGTCAAGTTCAAGTTCATTTTTCACGCTGAGTCACGGACCGTGAGGTTCTTTTGAGACTCGAGCTCCCTCTCGTGGAGCTTGAGCATGCGCAGAACAGATAAAGGCAGCTCCTTCCGCGACTTGTAGCCCCGGTAGACCTTGGCCACTAACTTCTGCGACGCGTTCACGAGTAGCAAAAAGGTCTGGAGCCACTCGTTCTTGCGCGACCGGTAGAACCGCTGGATCCTTGCTGCAGAGTTGTACAGGTAGCGTGCCTTGCGCCTTCTCACATACGATTGAATCCTCATCGCCGAGAACCGCATCAAGATCCTCTTATACGTCACGAGGTGCTTGAAGCGCAACCGGAACCGATCCTTGACTCTCTCGTGGTAGATACATATATTCCTCTTAATAACAGCACCGGCCGCTCGTCGCTTACAGCGCTGGAAGAACCACTTTAACCTCCAGCCGCAGCAGACCCAGATTTGACTTCTGTGTTCCAAGTGTAACCTTGCATAATAAGCGTCTCTTGCCTCAACAGCAGCCGCATCGGAAGCCGGCTCGATGCCATGTTTTGAGGCAATAGCGTACCGTTGCGATGCCAACACCGTCATATCTGTTACGAGGGAGCAGCCCTCGAGGTCCACATCAATTAACGAGGGAGCCGCTCGCACGACGCACTGGAGACCCTTACCTGTGAGTGCCGTGCACCCCCTCATCTTCAGACAACGTAGGTAGGGGTGGTTGCCCGGCCAGTTTTGCCATCCTAATCCAGTGATGAAGGCGTGGTAGGACACGTCGAGTCGCTCCAAGTGGCGCAGGTGCTCGCCTATACTATGTATAGCAGCATCCGTCAGAAACGCTCCTGAACTGCTGGAGAGGACGAGACCGTCGTCCCGCGGTTGTGCGCGTCCCAGTAGCAACACTTTCAACTGGCGACAGTGCTTCGCGAGGCACCAGACACTCGCGTCGGTGTGGCACGCTTCCGCCTCGGACCCATCGAAGACCCGCAGGTCCTTCAATTTCGGTGCGAGCCAACTCAAACACGACGCGTCGAACCTCGGACACCTTGCTACCGTTAATATCTCAAGAGCTAGCGGTCTATTGTGCATCGGGGGCTCGTCAAGTGAAGCTCTAAAGGACGCCCGGTACTTCCTTCTTTCTAACTTTCGTTCTTTCTCAGCGTCGTCCGATATGGACACCATGGGGCCCATGTCCGCCGTGCACTCGAAGGAACTTTGAGACAGGCCTCTCGTCGCGCTGTTGAGTGCTACGGCGGCCCTCGCCGGACCGCCAAATAAAGCATCGGAAGCGGCATGGACCGCGTCGATCCTCAACGAGTCGAGGCGCAGTTCAAAGCAGGTCCGCAAACACGCCATGCCTACCTTCGTCTCGCGCACGTCAATGTGTCTCAGCGTGAGTGCGTGGCGCCTCAGGAGTGCGGACAGCGCTCTTCCTTGGTCAAGACCGATCTGGGAACAGCCAGACAGATCCAAAGCCTCGAGCCGCTGCGGGGCCGACGACGCGGACAGCGGTAATAAACCTTGGTCGTCGACTCGCGAACCGCACACTCGCAGTCGTCTGAGGGAAGAGCACGCCGCCGCGACCCACCTCACACTAAATTCATGTAAGGGGCAGTCTCCCAGGTCCAACGTTGTCAGGGACGGGCGTCTTACCACAACGGCGACGTCTGATTGCGACGGCGCCGACTGGTCGACGAAGCAGACGCCACTTACCGATGTTTGAGACACGCGCAGGTCATTCAAACGGGAACATCCAGACAATAATGTGAGGACACCTCCATCGGAAACGTCAGTACAACCGCACAACGACAGCCGTTCAAGTAGAGGGCAGCCCTCTCCAATGCACGCACAGGCCCCGTCGTCCTGCGTCGTGCGATCGAGGACGACCTCTTTCAATATAGACGGCGTGATGGGATCGGCGAAGCACCGCGCGAAGCCTCGCTCGAGGAGGCAGTGCGAGACGTCGACTCGTTCCAGTGTAGAGAGCAGCTCCCTTATACAATATCCAATACCATCCGACGACGCGTTGACGCACCGCGCTAAGCCCAAAGCTTTCAGTTTTAGAGGTCGGAGGCCGTCGATCCTTTCACGCGTAGCCATGGCTAGTACCGAAAGCGCGTAATCATCGGGACCGTTGTGATCGGTCGTAGCAGCTCGTGACGAGGGCCAGACCGTCTCCACGCGACCGTACCTTGGGATGCAAGGTGCCAGATCCAATAATTCGAGGCGGTCGCACGATGCCACTACTCGTCGCAATTGCGACGCGTCGCGGCGCCAGGGCCCCATGATTAAGCGTCTTATCGGTTCTCCGGTAGCGTGGTCCGCCGCGAAGTGGAGCCGTTGCAACGACAAAGGCGCGCGCGGCCCCGCGCTTCCTTCAGTGCGTGCGTCATAACACACCTCGAGGAGTCGCGGCGGCAGCCGATCTTCTATCCTGGATGCGGAATATAACGACGCCCCGGTCTCTCTTATTGATTCTGCTGTTATCAGGGACACGTCGTCCTCGGGCTCTTCGACTCGCTGCCGCTTCCTCCGCCGAAACGCCTTCATCCGCCTTCGCATGACCTTCAGAGCGGAAATCTGAGCATGTAACGACGCGGCGTCTTCATTGGAATCGGCCGATTGCATGGGGGGTGGGCCCATCATCTTGATGAGGGCAGCCCGGCGCCGCGACGGCGGCGGTGGGGCTGGGGCCAAGCTGGTGGCTGTGTGCCCGTACCGTTATGGTGGTCCGCACGGCTCGGGGCTCGATGCCTACCACTCAGGCGATGCTGTACGCGTGCGCAGGGCAGCCGAAATGACGCCCGCGCGCGCACCAGGCCCGATTTTGGCTCAGCGCCGAGCTGCCAAGGACCCCGCAACTTTTCAGGGGACCGCTCCCCGGAGCCGTTTCTGTAGAAGCGGAGGGCTGCCTCGGGGGGCCGAGGCGTCGGCGGGCAGCCGCAGCGGGGGGCCTTTACCTACTAGCCCTCAAAACATGCAGCGCTGCCTCTGCGGCGGTGAGCCATCGTAGATTCCTGGGGCTCGTGCCTGGGGGCTGCCCGGCGCGGCGCGGACGCACCGCCTCCATACGTACGAGCGACAGCAGCGACGCGCGCGCCATTCGCGCCGAGCGAAGAGCGCTCCACAAGCACAGCGCTCACCCTAGACGCGAGACGCGGCCGCGGCGGCGCGGACCGGCCGCGCGCGACGCCGTCGGCGCGCCATCTTCAGTAAATCATGGGCAAGGGCCGCAGCAACATCGAAGGGTTAGACCCGGAAAGCCCGAGAACGCTCGAGGCATGTTTACATCGCGGCATCACGATCGAGGAGCTCCGGCCGCGGGACGAGAAGACGTTCCGGCGGGGCATGGAGTCCGCGGAGTTCACGCATCGGCGGTTTGATTTTTTTGAAAAAAGACGGCAGGACAAGATCGCGCTCGTGAAAAGCCGTCGAAATGATTTGGTGCGGAAGTCTGAGCGTTATGAAGGGCCCGGCGGTCTCAGTACGGGCGAGAAGCGCGCCCTCGAGGAGGCGGCGAAGCAGAAGGCGGCTACTATTGAAATAGAACGTAAAAGAGTGGAATCGATCAAGCGCAAGCAGCAGCAGGAGATCGCGCGCATCATCGAGAAGGAAAAAGTTCTGACGAACATGCAGGAGCACCTGGCGCACATCCAGGAGCTCGAGGCCGAGCGCGCCGCGAAGCACCAGGAGAAGCGCGACAAGGCGAAGCAAAAAGTGATTTCCCGCGTCTTCAAGTTGTACTTCAATTCGGGGTCTCTCGGGGTGTGCGTGAGGTGATAGTCGCGCCAGATGCTCGTGTGTAGCTCTCGGAGGTCGTGGCCGAGTTTGGGCCTCTCAGAGGGCCGCGGTGCCGAGAGAGCGACGCGACCGCTCTCACTCGGCGAGAAGTGAGGATAGCGCCGCGTCGACGGCGTGAGGGGCTCAGCGACGCGCTCAGACGCCGTCGACGCGACGACTCACGCGATGACCTCCCGCAGGTCGAGGCGAAGAAACAGGAGATGCAGGCGCGGCGAGCGCAAGCAGTGGCGGAAGAATTCGAGACCATGCGCGCCATCGCGAAGAAGGAGCGCGAGGTCGCCAAGAAGTTGGAAGCCGTGCGCATCGAGACCGAGGCGCGCATCGCCCAGGAAGCGGCGATCCGCGACGCCGAGCGGAAGAAAAAAGTTGAAGAAAAGTTGAAGAAGAGTCAGGCGATCCTCAAGGAAATAGAACGGAAGGGCGAGGAGAGTCGCTTGCGGGCCGTCGAGAAGGAGCAGCGCATCCAGGCGATCCTCGAGGTGCGGTCCCGCGTGGTCTCTTTGTCGAGTTCGGGGCCGTTCGGACCGCGTCGCGACGGTATCTGTACAACGCAGGTCAAGAAGGCCAAGAAGAAGGAGGAGATCCGTATAGCAAGGGAGAAGGCCGAGAAAAGAATAGCGGCGGCCCTCGAGGCGAACAACGCGAAGCAGCGCCGGAAGCGCGAGGTCTTCGACGCGAAGCAGGTCGAGGTGCGCTCGCGGCGTCCCGTTGTACTCGTGGCCATCTCACGATGCCGTGGGTGGTCGCTTCTTCGAGTTTGAGGCCATTCGGACCGCGTCGGGACCGCGACCGCCGTCGAGTCGCGATGCGGTCCGAACCGGTTCATTGAAGGACCAGAGACCACCCACGTCCGTCATTCCTGGAGACGAGTCGTATTGATGAAGTGAAACCACCACAACACGTCAAAACGCGGAGATCACGTGTCTGTCGCGCGCAGGTCGAGATAAGAAAGAAAGAAGCGATCGAGGAGGAGAAGGTCAAGATCGTGAAGGACATCGAGCGGGGCATCAAGGCGCAGGAGGAGGTGCAAGAGCGCATCAAGTACGCCGCGTCGATCCGCGCGGAGCGAAGGCAGAAAATAATTGACCACAGAAAAGAAAAGGAAAAGTATTACGGCGTCGTGCGATCTCCGCGTTTTGAAGTGTTGCGGTGCCTTCCCTGCCTTGGCTGGACTCGTGGCCATCTCACTTCCATGAGAGTGGTTTCTTTGTCGAATTTGAGTGAATTCGAGCGCAGGTCCGGAAGGAGCGGCTCGAGAGGGTCGCGAAGCAGAAGCTCGAGCACGAGCTCGACGAGATCGCTCGCCTCGAGAACTGCGCGCGGATCCAGCGGATGCACGAGTTCCACCGCTTACAATTGCTGCAAAAAACCCAGAAAGACGATGTGAGATTCCAGCAGATCAAGGCTACTCGCAAACAATTGGTGGAGACGCGCAAAAGAAATGCGTGGGAGTCGTTCATGCGCAAGCACCACATTAGGGAGGCCATGGAGCAGATGAAGATCACGGGGAAGTTCGTGAGTCTGGACGACATCATCGATCCGAACGGGTCGAACCGCGGGTCGATGTCGGACGAGGAGGACTAGGACTACCTGGGGGTCTTAAGGGTATGAGTATAGCTTCCGCGGCGGCGGCGTTTGCGGCGATGGCATGGTGGTACCACCGGTACGCCATCGCCGCGGCCGTCGCATCGATGGCGTGGGTACTTCGCGGCCGGGCGGCGGGCACTGGCAACTACTAACTAGTACCACATTACTTCCACATTACTCATCATCCTCGTCATCGTCCCCGTCGTCCTCGTCGTCCTCGTCCTCCTCGTCCACCTCCTCCTCGTCATCACTATAGAACGGGTCACCCTGGGAAACGCGCTCCAGCCCCTCCGCGTGGCGGTCGACGAGCTCCAAACAAGCGTCCGTGTTCGAGTTCGCCTCGCCCAGCGTGCGCCGGTACCGCTCGAGCGCCTCCCGCAAGACAGCAAGACTGTCGTCGTACCGCGCCAGCGCCGGTTCATTATACACCCTGGCGAGCTGCGTCATGTTCATGAGGCGGTGCTCAGAGTCCGGCTCGCCCATGGCCCTGTAGGCCTCGATATTTTCCGCGAACAACGCCGCGGCGGCGTGGGCGCTGCTTTCGTAGCCCGCCGCTTCCACCCTTTCGCGCGACTTTTTGGTAGTGGCACTCCAGCAGATCTGCGCGAGCTGACTTCGCGCATCCAACGTATCGGGGTGCGTGGCGCCCAGGACCTTGGCGAGCTTGGGCAGCGCCTGTGCGAAGATTGATGGGCGCGGGACGCCTGAAATTTACCACCCGGGGCCGCACGTCGGAACAAAGATCAAAAGCCTCGTTCCAATCACCGTCCTTGTCCTCCAAAATCCAGCCCGCGAGCGACGCGGCCGCCGTCAGAGTCACGGGATGCTCGTTCCCCAACTTGGAAGAAGCTCGATCCCGCGTCTCCCGAAACAGCGCCCCGGCCTTGCGCCAGGCCTCGCACTGCGCCTCCCACGCTTCCACAACTTCCGGCGCGCAGCACGTCGGCCGCGGCCGCTCGTGGCCCTCGGACCCATGCCACTGCGCATTGTCCGCCGCTTCGAGCTGCGCGCGACAGATCTCCTCGACGGGCTTTGAATCATGCTTCAGCGCGTTGGCGTCGTCGATACCTCGAAAACTCTGCGCGATCGAGGCCGTCTTGTCCCGCCACAATAAGCGGGCCGCGTTGAGTGACGTCAGGTGCACGTCGAGGCACCGGTCGTACAACCGCGCCGCTAATTCATACTCGTCCATGCCGCCATATCCTAAAAATCTAGCGAGGCCTTTTAGCCTAGGTACGTCCGTGCACGACGCGGCTAGGTCATTAACTAGACCTTCGAGCGACTTGTCGTGGCTGATGCCAATGTCCATGAGGTCCTTCATGCGGGAATCGACCTCGGCCATCGAACCCGCAAAATAACTCCGGAAGTACTCGTAGTAGTGGTGCGTCTTTTCTTTGTGCGCGATCACGGCCGCCAGGTGGAGTTGCAATTCACAAATATGCGACGTGTCGCCACTCGACACGCGCACGGAGTACAGCGCGTCCCGATACCCGTTAAACAGCGGTTCCGCAAATCGATTCTTCAACCGAACGACCTCGCATTTCTCCATGAGCTTGGAAGCTACAGCCACAAGCTGTTGCTCCTCATCGACGACGATGGAGCACCGATTCACATCCACCAATCGCGACGCGTCTCCCTCGTAGTCGTCTCGGATTTTTTCAGCTGCTCGAGCATGCCCCTTCGGTGGTGCCAGACACAGCCTCGTGAAGGGCAGGTCGTCCGTGAGCATCAGCTCCTCCCCGTCATGTGTTACTACTTCATCTGGATCTAAATCAGCAGCTTCGACGACACTGCGCGCAGCTTGCTCGAAGGCCGATCTTGTGCACTCGGCCGATTGATAAACGTCATCGATCGACATACCTTCAGCATGCCTCAGCACGGCAGGCTTGAAGGACTGGTAGGAGTCCATGTAGGATCTAGGTAAAACTCGTTCAGCAGTGGCGTCGATCTCGTGTTTTGCTGCTATAAAATCTTTTACGTTCGCAAAAAACTCTTCTGCTTTTTTTCCGACGCGGACCTTCTTCTGGCGCAGTCGGCTGCGCAGGACTTTCGCCGCCTTGGGGCCGGCGATTTCCTCTAACGCTGATTTGTCGTTCATGAAGCGGCGCCTTGCGCGCTTGCCCGTTATTCTGTGCTCGCGTACATACGCCGCGAGCTTGCGTTGGTCGTCCGCTTCTAACTCAGGATCATCTTCGACGAACTTGGCGACGTACTCGAAGGAGCCACCGGCGCCCATGGTGCTGCTCCCGTCTGTGCTTTGCTGGCACGCCGCGGCGGCGTCTGATGCTGGCGCTCTGTGAGTGAGGGTGCTATGACAGTATGTACAGTGTCTCTGCGCGCAGGGCTGCCCCTGCAAGTCGAACAAAGCGTGCGCTCGTTACTAGGGCGTTGAACGCGCTCTGCGGGTAGTGTGCTTGTGTGCTCTGCAAGTGCTCTGCGGGCAGAGCACCACTATTTTCACTCGAGCAAAGCTTGCTAGTGTCTTTACAGTCCGCTAGCCCAAGAGCGGCGGATTTTTCGATTATCAGTCTTGACAGGACTCGTGAGCGGCGGAGCAGAGGCATGGAGCGCGAGCAGAGGCGCGACGGCGGCGGCTTATCGCAAAACAAGGCAGAGTTACCATAGCATTTTGAGGAGGCATCGGCGGCGTCGCTGCCCTACGACGGCGGCTCGCCCTACGCGTAGCTCGCCCATGTGTGTCTCCTGTCACATGCCAAGTATCATGTCCGCGCCGTGCGCGCGTGATGTCCCGATTGATGTCCCCCCGTCGTTATAAAATGTGGCGCGCCCGCCGGCGTTGCGCCCTCGTGCTATTGGCGAGTTACGGCGCTACGCAGAAGCCAAGACTCTGATGCGCAAAATGATGCCCGTGGCGCGACGCGTTCTCGGAGAAGGGCATAGAGTCACGCTCAAGATGAGGCACTGTTACGCGCGTGCGCTCTACCTGGATGCTAGCGCCACGCTCGACCATATCCGCAAAGCCGTGGAGACGCTCGAGTCTGTCGCACGGTCGTGGAAGCAAGTATTCGGCGAAGCGCATCCCGAGACGCCGCAGGTCCAGGCGGCGCTGGAAGACGCGCGCGAGGTGCTGGCCACGCGCGCCGCGGCTTCGTCGGCGGGCCGCGTGATGTGATAAGTTTGAAGCACCCTCTGCTTTTCTGAGCACCCCTAGTGGGGCAGTCATACGGGAGTCTAGCCCTATGGGAGTCCCTCGAGTCGACGAGACGCGTAGGCGCGCTCACTAGACGCCATCGACGCGCCCCGAGAGGCGAGAGGCACAAGAATCCAAGTTAGTACAACCCAACCTTCCGCTTCGCGAGCGCCTGGCGCCACTTCGGCCACGCGCTAAATGCGGTCGCTCCCACGCCGAAGGCGGCGCGGAACGCGTTGGGCGACAGGTGCCGCTCGCGCCGCGACGCGTCGACGCCCGTCGGAAGCTTGCTCGCGTCGACGGCGAGCGCGGCCAGCGCGTAGCATACTACCGCTTCCTCGGCGGGCTCGGCTCGCGCGTCCGACTCGAACGCGATCGGCTCGTAGCGGCCCGGCTTCGCGAGCTTCGCGTAGAAGTCGAGGGCCCGCGCCGACGCGGCGGTCTCGTCACCTTCGAGCTGGGCGAGCTCGTCGGCGGCCTTCCGCCGCGCCGCGTCCGCGCGCCGCCTTCCGAGCTCGTCGCGTAGCGCCGCGTCCTTCTCCCGCAGTTCAGCGGCCGCGGCGATGGCGTCCGCGACGGCGCGCCGCGCGTCGGCCACGTCGCCGCCCTCGCGGGCCGCTTTCAACATGACGACCGCGTGATTCAGCGCCCGCGCCGCCGCTTTGACGGCAGTGTCCACGTCATCCCCCAAACCATCGCGCCGCGCCGCGTCTCTAGTAGAGGCCGTCGCCGTGTCCGCCTGGCTCAGCCGACCTTGCAGCCTATCACAAGCCTCGTTTCGCGCAGCAGCTTCGAGCAAGGCGGTACACGCCGCCGCATGAGCAGAAGCCGCGTCCTCGAAGGCGTCGGCCGCGGCCAAGGCCCCTTCGATGGGTCCGTCCTCGGCCGCCGAGGCGATCGCCTGGGCCGCGACGGCGCCGCACGCCCGCGCGTGCTGGAGCTCTTCGATTGCGTCCGCTCTCAATGCGCGCTTGTTGAGGGAGTCCTCGATCCTAAACAGGCGCTGGGCGAGCGCCGCGCGCTCCTCCAAGTGAGCCGCGGCCTTGACACGAGCCTTCTCGTGCTTGACGTGAGCTTTGTGGTCCGCCTCGACGGCTTTCAACACGGCCTCGACGGCGTTGTTGACGTGGGCCTCCAGCGCCGCGTGAGCCTCGCGCCGCGCTTTCGTCCTCATTGATGCCGCGTCGTCGGCCGCGGTCGCCGCCTTTGACGCCGCGTCGGCCGCTTTTGATACTGCCTGGGTCGCCTCGTCGATTGATGCTTCCGCGTCGTCTCCATTTGATTTCTGAGCCTTCGCGATGGCGTCTTCCGCTACCCTTTTCGCGTCGAGGGCCGCCGCATCTTTCGAAGCGTCGCGGGGCGCTTCTGAACGTAGCCGGTCGAGGTCGCGCGACGCTTTCATCGCCGCGCGACACGCGGCTTCGGCTTTACTGACGGCTGGCAATTCCTGGGGGTCGTACGGGTTGTCAACGGTGCCAGACTCCTGCCCCTGGAGCTTGATCGCATTCAAAGGCCCGACCGCGTCGTTGTGCAGCCGTTCGAGCGCGTCCGTCGCGTCTAGTTCTGGAGACGAGGGACTCCCCATCTCCAGATTATCAAGGTCAACCGCGAGCTTCGCCAGCGTCGCCCGCCGCCTTTTCGACCGGGCGTCGAGCGCACTCACAACGAGCTTCATGGCCCGCTGCGCCTTCTCGCAGTCCGGCCTTCGTAGGATCACCTGCTTGAAGGCCGCGCGGCTCTTGACCAGAAGTCCCGCGCGGAACGCGGCGTAGCCCAGGTTATGTAATGCATCAGCATCGTCATCAATAGACGCGAGCTCGTAGTTCTCGACAGCTTCATTCCAATTCTCGGAAGCGAGGTGCACGTCGGCCAGCGCCGCCCACGCGCGCCCAAAGTCGGGCCCTTTGCGAGCTCCTGCTTCGTCATCCATCCCAGCGACCATGGAGTAGTCGACGAGGGCCTGGAAGCCTTGTGTAGCTTTGTCAAGATTTCCCGACCGCGCGTCGCAGACGGCGACGTTGAACCGCGCGTCGAAGTGCTCCTTATGATGCGCGTATTTCTGCGACGCCACCACCGAGAAGTGGCGCCGCGCATGTAAAATATCACCGGACGCGAGGGACGCGACGCCGGCGCGGCACCGCGCTGTTGCCACGGCGTCCGTCACGTCCTTAGTGGTCATCTTCGACGCGGCGGCGTCTAAATCATCAACACCTGATGCGTGCTGGCCCAGTCGCGACTTCGCCAGGCCCCTCCAGTACAGGACCTCGGCGTCGACTTCCAACGCTTCGAGCGCTTCTAATGCCTCGGCGTCTCTCCCAGCAGCGACGAGCGCCTCTACCCTACAACGCGCCGCCGCGTCCCGCACATGCTTCGTCTCCGCCCGCTCACATGCTTGTGCGAAGGCCTCTATCGCTTCATTCGCGTCGCCCAGATGTCTCCTACATTCGCCCAGGACGTGCCAGGCGGCCGCGAAGTCCTCTTTTGATTCCAGCGCCGCTTCGACGCACTGCGCACTTCTAGCATAGTCCTCGCCCTTGTACCAATGCAAACCAGCCCCGTACAGCGCGTGGAACCTTATTTCTTCTGAACAGGGCTCCTCGAGATCAATCTCCTCGAATCTATAAGCGGCTGACGCGTGCTCCCGCGTCGTCGTCGCACGCACCTCCTGCGCCTCGCGTATCGCATTCACTTTCTTCTCGAGGCGGATGCTGTCCGCGTTGCGCTGCGCCGCCGCTAATAGTGGAGGCGGTGATTCAGGAAGCGCCCTTAATACGTCGTACGTCGCGAGGGCTCGGTCCAGCTCCCTCAAACCCTTCCACTCGCAGACCATGCGCACCATCAATGAGGTCGGCGAGTCCTCTTCTTCGCCGTCGAGGAGTCGGAGGGCCTGGTCGTACCTGCCCTGCTGCGCGAACCTATTGGCTTGGACCAATGCCGCGCTCGCCATCGTCGGCTCCGACGTCTGGTAGAGGGGCTTGGGGCTGAAGCAGGCCATGCTTGCTGGCGGTCACGGACTGCCTTTTTTGTTGTTTGCGTGAAGGGCTTGTGCTAATGCTGCCCAGCTCTGGGCAGAGGGACTCACTGGTCTGGAATGCTTGTTTTTGGCTGCCCTTCGATAGCCTGCCGCCCGTGACGGCTTATGCGAGATCGCTTGTGGCTGGTGCTGATGCCCGCGCCTGGATTTTAACTCCTTTACGCGTTCACGAGGAACAGTCAAAAGTGCGCTAGTGTCTTACATGCCGCTAGCTAATTCACAGGCGAGCGCGCAGCTCCGTGTGTTGCGCCGCTGCGTGGCCTAGCACACCGCCGCGCAGTCGGTGGCATCTATTCTAGAGCGTTTGCGCACGTCGCATCGCTCGCTGCCGCCGCCGCGGCCCGATAACACTGCGTAGCCCAGCGCCCCCGGCCTTGCACAGCGCGGCGCGCAGCGATGGCCGAGGTCGGTTCAATAAGAGGCGGCGACGGCTCGATCCCCGGCGAAGAGGTTGAGATCAAGAAGGAGCCCCAGTTCCTGCAACCGCTCGTCGCGACCGCCGTCTTGAGCGCTATGGCCCCCACGCGCGGCTTTCCGGAAATCAACGACCTGCGACGCTTAGTACTAGCCGCCGAACCGACGAAGACCTACACGATCCCGAGCCAAGTCGAACCGAAGTACACGTGCGACGTGTGTGGCAACCGCGACCAGACCAAATTCCTCCACGAGTCCAAGGACGGAGATGTAGTGTGTCTGGGCATCGGCGACCAGGGCTGCGGGAATGTCGTCGAGGAGCACAAGCTGTTCGAGGGGAATCAATTTAGGAAGTTCGAGGGTCGCCCGCGGCGTCCCTTCCGATGACGCCATCGATGCGACGGCCGCGGAGCATCCAAGCCACCCCCACGCCATCGCCGCGACTTCAAACTGCATCGCGATCGCGACGCCGTTCCTCACGCAGGCGAGGAGGACAAGTCGCATCACGGTCCGGCACCGAACAAGTTGTACAGTGCAGCACATAATATGAAGACGTCCCTCGTGCCGACCGGTGGCGCCGGTGGCCAGCGCGCCTCGCGCCTGCGCCAGGCCTCCGAAACCATGGAGATGGGCCTTTCTAACCTGGGCACTGATGAAAGGAAGACGCGTACAGGTTATAAAGATCAAATGAAAAAGAAGGCCTTCGACCTCATCGCGCACGCGGCCTCGAACCTCAATCTCCACGATTCGGTAGTAGGACGGGCCCAAGAGCTCTTCGCGAACTACCGCGACGAGCGCGAGTTCGTCCAGAAATTCGACGGGGTTGTTGCGGCTTGCGTCATCCAGGCGGCCGAGGAGTCGGCGCGCGACGCCCTCGGGGCGTCGGAGGCGGATGCTGCTCCGGTGATCCCCAAGCCCACCGTGGTCAGTCGCACGCAGCAGTTATTGATGCGGCCCGTGGCGACGCAGAAGCGGAAGGCGTCGGGGTCGGCGCCCGCGCCGAAGCGCGCGGCGCGCGCGGGGAAGTCGTGGCTGGACGACCTCGGGGACATCGAGGAGGAGGACAGCGATAGTTGACGTAAGAGTTTTAAACGGGAGTGGTCGGGGGGGAATCTACTAGGCCTTCTCCACGGCGAGCTGGAAGCCCTCCTCCTCGTTGGCCCGCGGCACGACCAAATCTTCCCCCGCATTCTCTAACTCCTTCTTCATCGCCGCCACCTCCTCGGCGGTCACGGGGTTCGGCGCCGCGGCGACGGACCGCTCGACGAAGACTTTGGCGGCCCGCTCGCGCGCGGCCGCCCGCGAGGCCTGGTTGTGCTGGTTTCGCTGCGCGCGGCCGAAGGAGCCCTCACCTGCGGCAGCGCCCCCCTTGCGGAAGGACCGCGGCCGCTTCGCCTTCAGTTCAGTCGAGAAAGCGTCTCTTTCAAGCGGCTTGAAGACCTCCGAGTCCGCGGGCGGCGCGGGCACGTCTTCCCGCGGCGACGTCGCCTGGTAGATCTCCCTGCCTAGAGAATCGACGTAGGGGCCGCTGCGGTCCTTCTTTTTTGGGGGAGGCGGCGGCGCGACCACCTGTGTGGAAATCAAAGTTCGGCCGCCCGCGCCATCCTGACCTTTTTTCACTTTTTTGAGTCTAGCGAGCGCTGTTCTCGCAAGAGCCGCTATCAGGCTTTTTTCGGCGTAGAATTAACCGCGCGCGCCCTCGTGAAACGCGGATATCCCGCAGTTGCAAACGTGGCGTGAAAAAAAAAAGGTCGTGCTAGTGTAGTGACACACTAGGATGGCTGCCATTTTTGGCGCTGTAGAGCTGCGGCTTGCGACGGAGCAAGCGCGAGCCACCGCGTCGACGCGCGTCGCGGAGGCGCCCAGTGGGGCAGCCCCAAACCATGACCACCGACGGCTTCCTCGCCGTCCGCAACGGCAACCTGCCCCTGCTCAAGCATCTCATCGCAGAGAAGAAGACCAGCCTCACGCATACGAGGTGGAGCGGCATGACATTGCTCCATCGCGCGGCGGACGTCGCCCAGGTCGAGATCATCAAGTACCTGATGGAGCTCGGCGCCGACGCCTCGGCCAAGACGTTTCGAGGCGGCGACACGCCGTTGCATCTGGCCGTGAGCGCGGGCCACGAAAAAGCCGCGATGGCGCTGCTCGAGGGCGGCGCGCCCTGGGTGCCCTCGAAGCAAAAGCCGAAAATGGCCGTCAATAATCGAGGGGAAACGCCGATGAGGACCGCGGTACGCAAGGGCTACCAGCTCATGGCGCAGCGGTTAGAACTGCAGTACTACATCCTTGACGGGCAGCGACAAAAAGCCAAGGCCGCCGAGGCGCGGGCGCGCAAGTCGCGCGAGCCCACGCCGAATCCCACGCCGCGGCCGCCTCCGATTAATGAGGAGCGGTCCGAGGCGACGGGCCCGCCCTGGGTGCCGGAGCCGTCCCTGCCCGAGGCCGCGCCGCCCGCGCCGGCGGGGATAAGCTAGTGTTTTTGTGACTTACACTTACACGCGCCACTCGAAGCGCTCGTCGTCGGCGAGCGTGGCGGGGGCTAGCTCCCAGTGTGGGACTTGATGGACTTGATGTATTGCACCATTCTCAGGCTCGTAATGGACTTTCAGAACATGAGGAATACTACCATCCTCATTGCGACAGCGGCGAAAAGGCAAATGAGAGGCGTGGGAACTTAGATGCAACAACCACGGTGTCGAAGCCTCTAATAGGTGATTGGGCGTCATTATAAGGACCGAAGTATTGTTGTACATCTGATAAGTCAAGAAAGCTTGATATCTGCCGGTCGGATATCCACGACTTGGGTGATCACAAATGTTTCCATAGTCGCCGCCCCACTGAGAGTTAGGCTGGATGGCAAATGTGTCGGCCTGGCGGCGCGACACGAAGCAAGCATTGGGTCGAATATCCACGATAGTATGTTCCCCGTGGGGATAGAAAAACCTCAAATGCTTTGGCCCGCCGCCAGGCCGCAACAGATAGTACGGGCAACGCCGCAGAGCGACCGCGACGTGGCGCCAGCTCGGTCTGAACTCGGCCATCCCGCGGTTCCCGCCCATCCAGCGACACTTGCCAAGCCGGACGGCGGCGCACTCCATCGATGTGGCCTGCAGGGAGGAGCTGACCACCTCGAGTCTCCACCCATGCTCTTCCCCCGCGCATGCTACGATGACGTCCAGGATGACAGCCGGGAGCTCGCCGAGGCTCATTTCTGATCGATGGGCAGCGCGCGCGGGCGCAACACACTGACCCGAGAGGAGGCTCCTCCAGGGCTAGAGTCTTCATGCCGCTAGCTACGTCTGCCTTTGGCTCGCGCTTTTTGCCATCGCTTACCGTACGACTGGTGCAGTAGTTGCGAAACATATCCGTTTTACCTCAACTACCAGCTGCAACGCGCAAAAGAACGCGTGGCAGCTCGCAGCTCTCAAAAAAGCCAGCACACATTCACCGCTCTCACAAGCCATGGCGGCGCTTTACGACATCAACGACGACAGCACACGCTTCTCGGAAGACGCACTCGTGCAGCGCTTCGAAGCGATCTACGGCGTCGGCCCGAAGCCGAGAATAGCCGCCGCGCCGGGCCGCGCGAACGTTATTGGGGAGCACGTCGACTATCAAGGCGGCGTGGCGCTGCCCTTCGCGCTGACGCAGCGCGTGCGCGTCGTGTTTCGTCGTAGAGATGATGATAGATTGAACGTCGTGAGCGACGACGCTCCCGTTAATGAGGACACCGGGTATCTATTTCTGAAAGTGCTCCACAAAGCTAGGCAAGAAGACCCGAAAGTTTCGGCAGAAATAGACCCGCGCTTTTTGCGCTATATTGCCGGGCCCTTCGTCTACTTTTCCTCACCAGAGGACGTGCGAGGCGCGGACATACTGGTCGCGAGCGACGTACCTCTGGGAGCGGGGTGCTCGTCGTCCTCGGCGTTAGTCGTCGCATCAGCACTCGCGGCGAGGGCGTGCAACCCATCCTATGAATTACGGAAGAGAAAAGACGGGAGGGACGCCTTTTTTCGGAGCATCGTCGAGTGCGAATGGGAATTTTCTGGAGTGAAAGGAGGCTGCATGGACCACCTGGCCATCGTCTACGGGAGACCGGGGTGCGTCGTGTCGCTGGATTGTCGGGACGAGAAGGTTGATGCTCACATTTCCACCGATGCGACGTTCGTACTCCTAGATACGCGAGTGAAGCACGACCTCGAGAACTCGCCATATACCGATCGAAGGCTGGCTTGTGAACGGTGCGCCAAGGAATTGCAAGTTGCTTCGTTGAGGGAGGTCGCTGATGAAGGAGTAACAAAAGGTCTCGCAATGATCGACAAGATCGAAAAAGAAGTGGGCCAAGCAACGGCGAACCGCGGGAGGCATGTGGTGGAGGAGATCTGTCGCGTGAGACGGTGTGCTACATTACTACGAAGAGGCTCGTGGCGCGACGTCGGGCTGATCCTGTACGAAGCCCATCAGTCGTTGCGGGACCTCTTCGAGGCGTCCTGTGATGAATTGGACGCGGCCGTCGACGCCTCGAGAAGCGTCGAGGGTATCTTGGGTTGTAGGATGGTGGGCGGGGGATTTGGCGGGGCCGCTCTCGCGGTCTGCGCGCCCGGCACGGATGTCGATCGGGTCGTGGAGGACTGGCGCGACTTGTATCACGTCGATGGGAGACATGAGCCGCGTCTGTTGGTCGTGGAGCCGGGCGCGGGCGCGGCGCTCGACGGGGCGCCGTGCGTCTCGATCAAGGAGCTCTGGGCGACGTCCGGGGAAGTTGAGGAGGCGGCGGCGCCTTCATCAGATAGAGAGCCGTCGGATTTCCTAAGGAGCCTCGCGGCGCGGCCCATCGCAAAAACGGCGTCCGACGCCGCGGCGATGGCGGCGTACGAGGCATACGTCGACGCGCAGCTGGCGAAGGCGGACTCGTAGTTTTAATGTGACCTATTTCTCTTGGCGCTTGGGGCTAGGAGCGACGCCGCGATGGCGTTTTTGCCCACTGGCATCACTTCCCCTCACGTTCGGGCGCCGCCAGCGCGCGTTCCCGAGGATCTTAGTGTAACCATCCGAGCACGAATCTTCAGCATTCCCAAATCGCTTCAATGGGTCGTGTGCAGCGAAACTTGTATCCGATCTTTTTGCTAGTGTCTTAGGCCGCTAGCCTGAAATAATAACCGAGCGTGCTCGCATCGTGGCGGCAGCTCTTGCGCAACCTCGAGCACCACCAGTGCTCAGAATTTCTGATCGATCACCCGGCACCAGCTGTACGCCATCGTCGCGATCAATAACAATAAATCTAAGCACGTCTCACAACCACTCGGAGAGGCGATTGGTGCAATCGCAGGATGCGTTCGGCATTGGTTCAGCTCACAGCACTGGCAGCGTGCAGCCACGCCCTGCTCGCGCCGCAGCAGTCGCTGCGGCGTACCGCTGGAAGACAAGTAGCATCGCTGCGCCGAACGAGTTGCAGGAAAGCAGCACCCTACTCCAACGAGCTGCGCGCCCTCGCCGGCGTCGCGGTTTCAGCAAAACTAGGCACGCGCGAGCCCTGCGCCGCGCTCGCGGCCGCCGCGGCGCTGGCGTCAATCAAAGTGCTGCCGCGCGAGTCCATTATATACGCCGGGGGCTGGACCGTTGTACTACCTCTCTCGCTCGCGCTGACGCTGATCGGCCGCGAATCAAAAGGAACAAAAGACGGCGTTGCAATCAGACGCGTCGGCGCGGCCTTCGCGGCCGGCGCCTTGAGTTCCGTCGCCGGCGCTTTTGTAGCCGCGAAGCTGCTGCGTCCTACGCTCGGCGCCGCCTCCAATCAAGGCGCCGCGGCGCTCGCCGCGTCGTATGTCGGCGGCTCGGCGAACTTTTTTGTGGTGGCCGAGGCCGTCGGGCTCAAAAACAATGGCCTGCTCGCGGCGCTCGCGACGGCGGACGTCGTGGTCATGGCGGCATATATTGTCCTGCTGCAGTTTCTCGCATCAAAATACGGCGCGCCCCGACCTGAGACAGCCACCGTGTCGAAGACCGAAGACGCTGGCTCGCCCGTCGTCCCATTATTCCTCGGCGCTTGCTGCGTCGCCGCCGCGGCTCCCCTAAAACCGTCCCTCCGGACCGCGGCCATCGCTGTGTCTGCCGTCGCGTGCCGCTGGTTCACACGAGCGCGCGGCGCGGCGCGGCGCATGGCGGGCTGGTGCCTCGCGGCCTTCTACGCCTGCCTGGGGGCCTGCTCGCCCGTCTCGGCGGTGGTTAAGGCCGGCGCGCCCGCGGTCGGCCTCGCGGTCGCCGCACTGGCCGGCCACGCATTGTTGCTAGCGGCGTGCACCCTGAAGGGGCCCTGGACCGTCGACGAGGCACTCGTCGCGTCGAACGCGTGCGTCGGCGGGCCGGCGACGGCCGCGGCCTTCGCTCTTTCGACGCGCCGCGAGGACCTCGTCGTGCCCGCCGTCGTCTGGGGCACGGTCGGCTACGCCTGCGGGACGGGTCTCGGGATGGCTCTCTACGATGTAATGTGTTAGTAGTTTAGATCTTCAAATGGGTTCTTGTCGAGCGCCGCCGTCACCTGGATCTCGACGAGCAGCACATCCCGCGCCATCGCCGCCTCCACGGTCGCGCGCACGGGCTTGTTCTCGGGGTCGACCCAGGCGTTCCAGACCTCGTTCATCGCTGCGAAGTCGCGGTTGATGTCCTTGAGCCAGATCGTCGCCGAGAGCGCGTGGGATTTGCTGGTGCCCGCCTCCTTCAGAAGCGCGTCGACTTTTGCGAGCGTGGCCTGGGTCTGCGACTTAATGTCGTCGCCGGCGTCTCCCGCGGTCTGACCGGAGGTATAAACGACGCCGTTGTGGATGACGATTTTGGACATTCTCGGGTCCTCGGTCTGCAGCCGCACGACGCGGTTGTCGCCGACCGTCGACGTCCGGCGGGCGGTGCAGCGTCGAGGAGCCGCAGCGCTGGCGACCGCGGCGCGGCGCGCGGCTCGTACGAGCATATTTCGTGACCTCCTTTGCACCACTATTGCGAAGCTACGATTGGGGAGCTACGAGTGCACGGTGTTGCGCACGGTTTTTTGCACCGCTATCTGCCGCGCGCCGCGTGCAAGGCTGCTTGCACCAGAGTGCTGCAGGCTAGAGATGCGTAGTGATGCGAGCGGCGCCAGTCGACCGCCCAGAATCAATCGCGCAGCCGTCACTGGTATTTTGCTCGCTCCTCTACCCTCCGTGTCGATGGTTGCAACCAAATAAAAGAGCTGGCGCTTCAGGCACGCTAGCGTATCATCGACACTAGGCCTAGGCTTGGAATCCGCGCGACGGCCGAAGTAGAGACCAAGCGCTGCCAACGCCCTCGCCGCGGCTGCGCATTCCAGACTGCTTTGACGTCTGAGCAGCCCAGGCATCGTTTGCACCGCTCCCGCGCGGCCAATTCCCATTGATTGGGCTGCCCATATCACCCAGCAAGCATGGAATTCGCCGCGTCAGAAGACGACAAGCCACCGCGCGGCGCAACGGTAGCCTTGCACGGCCTCGCCAAGCAAGCGCAGCACAACGGCGCCACGGGAATTGTCACGGACGAAATCAACGAGAAGGACGGCCGCCTCGGCGTCAGGATTGCTTACGGCGAGAAGGCGCGGACGCTGCGCGTCAAGCCCGGGAATCTGCGACGCGTGGAGGCGTGTGCGTCTTTTGACGAGAGAGGCGTCGCGCCGTGTCGCGTGCTCTCGCCCAAATTAATGAAAGAGATAGCAGCAAGTTTTCGGGAAAAGCGGCCCTGGGCGCTGCCGCGAGCGGCGGAGACCATCGTGAGAGCGCAGTTGTTGCGCGAGGACGCGACCATCGAAGAAGGCTACGTCTCGGTCTCGAACAGCGACCCGCCGGCGTGGGCAGCTTCCCAGGAGGAGATCGCTAAAAGAGCAAAACAGGCCCAGGATGCGGGTCTCGAGGCCATGGCGACGTTGCGAGATGAGTTGGATGGCGCGGCCTGCGCGAAAGGACTGCGCTTTACCCATTCCTTCGAGCACCACGCTCGGCTACTGTACGAAGGCCGACCGCGCGAGGCCCTGGCTTTACTGGTTGGCGTCGGCGACCTGGGGAGACGGGACAGCCCCGCGTCGGTCTGCCGCTGCTACCGCGCGGAGGAGCCGTCGGATTCGGAGATGGCGTTGCTGGCGGGATGCCTCGAGCACGTTCCTCGATTCCTGGCGTCGTTGAAGGGTCTACCGGAAAGCTTCGCGGTCCCGTTGTCGTACGACGCGAAGGAGACTACTCACGAGCTCCGCAAGGAATTGCGGATCACGCTCGCCGAGGAACCGGGCGACGCGCGGCCCATCTACTTACGATTGACCTACCCGGCTCTACCAGACATGCCTTCTCTAGAGAATGTCAAGAGGGCTAGGATAGTGGTGGAGAAACAACTTCCAGCCGGGTCGACGGTCGCGCCGCGCTTTGGCTCGAAGACGGCCTACGCAACGGTAAAGGACGCGGAGCGCTACCACCGCATCCAATCAACGCAACTGACGGGCCGAACGCGGGCCGGCCACGAGCTCGCGCTCGCCCTCGCGCTCGCTTCATATAGACGCGAGCCCGAGCATAGAGAAGCGATGGCGCTGTGTCGGCGCGCTGTTCACGGCGCGCGCGGCGCGGACGTCGGTGAGAGGGCCGAAGAACTACTGGAGGAGCTGTGCGCGGCGACAGGCGACGACGCGCAAACTTTTTTAGGAGAGGGCCTCGGCGTGCGGCCCGTCGGGCCGCGGCCGCCGCGCAATTTGGAGAGGGGCGCCGCCGAGCGCGAATTGGAAAGGCGGACGCGGGCCCAGCGCAACTTGCATCTGGGGGCCTAGTTACTAACGGGGGTGTTGTGTTTACTTCTCGTACGTCTCCATCTACCGCTTAGTTCCCCCGGTCCCAGGCGAGAGTCCTCATCGTCGGACCAGCCTCGGCGAGCGTCTCCGTGCCGAGGCCGTCGTCGTCCTCGGGCCCGGCTCGAAGTCGCCGTCCGAGTCGTCGTCGTCCTGTGGTGCCGGCCGAGGCCGTCGGCGTCGGCGTCGGTCGAAGTGACCCAGGATGAGGAGGCAACAGAGTACCGTCACTGCTAGTTTCAAAATACCAGGCAGAGCGTGTCCCTCGTGGCGGCGCCTGTCGGGGATCGTCGCCGGCGCCCCGGTATACAACGCGTCGCCCCTAGTGCCCTGAGTAGCGACACCCGGGCCCGAGCCATTTGTCGCAGGGAATTCTCCCCGCGAAGACGCCTCCCACGCACGAGGCGTGGGCGAGGAGAAGCAGGACCGTGCGGCGCATCGGCGGTGAGCCTCAGTGCTCCAGTCTGCTGACTCAACCTCACGACACAAATATGAGCTATTGTCGCCGGTGCTCGGTTTCCTTGCGTGCGCGGCGAGTCCTGTCGCTCCGGTAGTTTATGGACTGGGCCTGAAGCCAGCAGGAACGCAAAAGCAAGTTGCAAATCCATGGAAAACCCGTCACAAGCCATCGCCGCGACAAGAACAAGAGACTAGTACCGATACTTTAAGAAGAGACCTACCGCCTTCTTCGCCGCCGCCGCGACCGGTCCCGGTCCGAGGAATCAGAGGAGCCGGACCGCCGCCGCGACCGCTCCTTCTTCTTCTTCATGACGACCTCTTTGACCTCCTCCTTGAAGAGGTCCGGCTTCTCTCTCATTATAACCGCGGCGGCCGAAGCCCCGAGGGTCGCCGGATCTCCATCTAGCGTGGCCGAGCCGTTCTCGATCATCAGAGGGTTCGGCTGCGCCATGGCTACCTGCGCGCTGTGGACCTTGGCCATGAAGAGGTCTTGCCGCGTCGGGTCGCCGTCGGCGCAGCTCGGTTCGATGCTTTGTTCCGGGTTTCCCGGCTTCGGCCCCCTTAATTCTTTGGCCTGCTGGGCCAGCAACGGCAGCAAGTCGTCGAAGTCGCGTCTTACTCTGAGTTTGTACTCGTCGGAGTTCCGGTATTCATCGATATCTTTTTCCTCCTTTTGTTTCTTTTTTTCTTCCTGTTCCTCGGGCGACGGCCTATATATAACTTCCCTTTTGAGCTTCTTCCAGAGCTTCTTCTTGGCCTTGGCGTCGAGGGCCAGGTCGCGGCCGTCGCGCGACACGGACCAGATCTCCCCTGGCACGAGGTTCTTGGAGATCCTATTGGGGTCGGCGAGCGACACGTCGATGAGACTGCGGGACTGCTGCTGCGTCACGAGTTGCAATTGCTGGGCGATCTCCGGGTCGTTTTCTGGCGGCGGCGGCGGCTGGGCCACGGGCGCGGGCGGCGGCGGTCCGGGCGGCGGCGCCGGCTGCGACACCAGAGGAGTAGAGTTGGCCGGCGTCGCCGCGAGGACGCCGCCGTTGTGCCTCATAATCACGTCGGCAAACGCGAACTCGCGCTGCGTTTCCGGTACTCGGGAAACGACCTGGGCGCACTCGGCGACGGCACCTAATGCTCTTTGTTCGTCCATGCTTTTCAGCGTCTCCACCAATCTCGGAGACACGCCCGCGAGGCCGACTCTACTCATAATCTGCGCGCCGATGGTGCGCGGCAGATCTTTCAATTGCTCCGGCAGCGGCGCGTCGGCGGGCCACGGCGGCGGCGCGGGCGGCGCCATTTGCGGGGGTGGTGGTGCATAGTAGGGCTGGGGCGGCGGGTAGCCGTAGGGCATCTGCATCGGCGGCGGCATCATTTGAGGCGGGTACTGCTGCGGCGGGTACTGCGGGTAGCCGTAGGGTTGTGGTGGCGGCGGCGGCGGCGCCATGACGTTTGAGGGCGGCGGTGGGCCGGGCGGCGGGGGCGGCGGGTAGCCATTCATCTTTAGAGAGCTGCGCGTCGCGGCGTCTGTGGCGGCGAGCTCGCCTGCTGCCCAGGAGCTGGTAAGGTCCGCGCCGTAGCGCTTGCTCGCCTCGGTAGCGTCACGAGGGGAAAAGAGCAGTCTTTTTTTCGTTGCGGACGGCTTCTTATATACCGCAAAAGGTGATCAATGGGCGCGGGTCCTACGATGCCTAGGGATGCCTAGTGTCTCACGGGCCGCTAGCCTACCGTGCGAAAAACCAGGGAGTCCCGCGACGTCTCGGAAATTATTATGGGCAGCCTACTATGTGATCTATAGACACGGGTCGTGGGCGTGAAAAGGACAAAAACGGCGCCCGTCGCGGGCGCGGGCGGTGCGGTGCGCTCAACGCGTAGGTGCCTCGCGGCTGACGGGCCGCGCGACCGCGTGCGTCGTCCCGTCGCTCCGTTTTCGTAATAAGGTTTCGTCGTCCATGTCATCTGGTGGTAATACGACGCATCCCGCGCCGACGAGGCAGCTTAGCGACGAAGCGATGGGCCAGTTCGTGCTCGTCGGGTCCTGGCCGCAGGTCACACAGCTTGCCGCGCAGTTGTCAGGCACGAGTTCCACGTCCTCGTCGTCGCCGAGCCCCGGGGCCGCCTTGGGTTCGGCAGCCATCTGGTCGCTTTTGTTTTGCTTGGGGTGGCGTAACCCAAGTCAGGCGCTGGTCAGGGCTGATCAGGCGCGTAAATCGTCGTCTCAGGCGCCGGAGGGACACGTTAATCCCCCGGGATCAAAGCCAAAGTCGCCGGATCCTATTAGCTAGCGGTAGTAAGACACTAGGACCGAGAGAGCCGTGGAGTTGCAGCTCGTGTAAGAGCTGCGCGACAGCCAGAGACGCCGTACAACAGGACCAATGCCTAAAGCACTGCAGCTCCTCCTCGGCCTCGCGACAGCGAGCGCCTTCACGGGCCCGAGACGAGGCGTGCAGCGACCGAGCCAGCTTATACGGAGAAGCAGCGCCGCCGAGCCGGAGTCGCGGACGACGACAGCAGGCCGCGAACTCGCCGAGGCCTTGCAGAACGTGAACCTCTACTTGATCGGCATGATGGGCTCGGGCAAGACGAGCGTCGGCGAACTCGTGAGCCGGCAGCTCGGGTCCTACACATTCCTCGACACAGACGCAACACTCGAAGCAGCGACGAAAAGGACGGTCGCGGACATCTTCGAAAAGGACGGGGAGGCGGCCTTCCGCGAGCTCGAGGGGTCGATCATGGAGCAGGTGGCCGCCTACGTGCGGCTCGTCGTGGCGACGGGGGGAGGCGTGGTGACAAGGCAACAGAACTGGGCGTCGCTGCGCCAGGGCATCGTGGTCTGGCTCGACCCGGACGTCGAGACGCTCACAGCGCGGCTGTCGAGCGGCGACGAGGCCGGCAAGCGGCCGCTCCTGCAGCAGGGCGACGTCGGCGCCACGCTCTCCGCGACGCTCGAGAAGAGGCGGGAGTTCTACGAGCAGTGCGACGTGCGCGTCTCCATCCAAGGGGAGGAAAACGCGTCGGACACGGCGGCGCGCGTCGTCGCGGACGCGCTCGCCTTCATCCGCGCAAATCCTCCGAAAGCGGCGCCCGGACCGCCGGAGTAAAGACCACAGACATTATTTATTTGAGGCCGCTCGAACGCGTAGACGGCGACGCGGTTCGTCGACGCGACCGCCGGCTCGCCGCAGACGTCCGGCAGGGCCCGGGACCCCGTCGCGACGGCGAGCCAGTCGCGGTGCGGGTGGACCGCGACGCCGTTGGCCGCCGACGGCTCGGCGCGCAGGACGCGGCCCGGCTTGTCGACGTCCGCCGCCGCGAGGTCGAAGGCCCGCACCGCGCCGTCGGCGTCGCCCGCGACCAGGGTCTCGCCGACGACGTCAAAGTCGAAGCGCTGGTGCGCATGGCCGGCGCGTGTACAGCGCGAGGCGACGCGCCGCGTCCGCAGATCAAAACCGCGGACAACGTCCTCGCCACGGTGCGACGCGTAGACGGCATCATTGGAAACTCGGAGGCGCGTCACGCCGCCCATTTTGTTCGAGTCCTTCAGCGCGACGCCCGGATCATTTTCCCGGTCGTCGTAGACGCGGATCTGGCCGCTGTAGCCGCCGGCCACAAAGACGTGCTCGTCGATGCACGCAAGACACGCGAGGGGCCCGCGTTGAGCGACGGCCGTGTCTGAGACTACTTGCGACGTCGCCACGTCGAAGGCCGCGAGGCGGCTTCTCTTTTGCGCCGCGACGCGCAACGTCGCTCCGCCCGGGCTGAAGCTGAGGGCCAGGCAAGGCACAGGCTCGTCGAGGGCGTCGCGCAGCACGTAGGACGCCCGCCGCCGCCCGTCGTAGGCGTCGTAGAGCGCGGGCGGCGCCGCGCGCGCGCAGGCCGCGAACACGCACGTGCTAGGCTGGCTGGAGTGGAGGCGCGGGTACCAAGCATAATCGTAGACGCATTCGCAGGCCTTCACCTCGAAGGTCGGTCGCCATACGGGATTTTCCGGTGCCGCGGGCGGCTCGGCGACCATGGGCGCGGGCAATTCCAGCACCCGCAATCTCGCGTCGTCTCCTGCCGTGAGGAGGCATGTGCCGTCGGGGGCCCACGAGCAGCCCTTTGGCGGCGTGGTAAGGTCGTAGGTGAGCGCTGCTGCTGCTGGGGCGTCCATGCTGCCAGCAGTGGGGTGCTGAATGAGTGCTGCTGCTGCGGAGAGTGCAGAGTGCAGCGATAGTGCCCAGATGGCTTCACAGCGTCGCAAGCAAATGGCCCAAAAAACGAGGTAGCGTGCTTGACACACTAGGAAAAAATGCAAAAACCGGACTCTAGACCAGCATTGATGCCCAGCGGCCTGTAAGACACTAGCAAACAAGCCCTCGGGGCTGCCCGAATAGGATACGCCGGCTGCCCCACAATTCAAGGCGCCAGCCATGACGACGAGTCCATGAGGCTGCTGCTGGCCTATGTGATCACAAAAGCACTGGGAGCCACGGTCACGCTCGACAGCAACGACGTGCGCCACGCCTTTGTGGGCGGCGGGTCCGGGCGCGTCGCGGCGCGCACGCGCGCGGCGCCGCCCGAGCCCGGCTGCGTCGAGCGGCGCGTCGGGGACACCCACCCGGAGCTCGGCAACACCGACGACGTCTTCGTCCGGCGCTGCGGCCCGCCGCCCGTCACGAACGCGACGCGGGTTGCCTTATGCGTGCCCACGCTCTATGGTGCGTATCTCAGGGCGCCTTCGACGATGCGCTGGGCCGCGGCGTGGCTTGAGCACTATAGAAGCTTGGGCGTCGCCCACTTCTTTGTCTACGCCGCGGCGCCCGTGCGAGGGCTGGACGCCGCCGACGTCACGTTGCTGGACGTGGCGTGGCTCGGCGGCTGCCGCGCGCTACCCAAAACGCACCACGCGCGGTGCGCGTACACACAAAACCGGAGCCTCGTCTACTGGGGCCAGAACTGGGTCCTGAACGACTGCCACCAGCGCGCGGCTGCCCAAGGCTTCGGCTGGGCGCTCGCGGTGGACCTCGACGAGGTCCTCGAGCTCGGGCCGAACCGCACGTTGGCGGACCTCGCCCGCGATCCCGTCGACGTGCACACCTTCGGCTCCTCGGCCGAGCGGCCGCGCCCCTGCGGCGCGCCGTGTGCCGCCGGCGCCGCGCCGCCTCCCGCGCGGCCGCATTGCCTCCCGCGGTACTGCGGCGACTGCGAGCGGTGCCTCGGCCATCGCGGCCGGCGAAAGCACCTCTCCCGCGTCGCGCGCGTGCACGGTGCGAACATCCACTTCGTCTCGCCCCGCGCCTGCGCGCCGCCGTGCCAGGTCCGTGACCACGCGGCGACGAACGCCTGGCTTCGGCACTTCGGCGGCCGTAAGTCGCGGTCCGGGATGCGGTCGCTCCGTATCACGGACGGGTGCCCGAGGACCTACTGCGAGACGGCTGGTTGGATGGGCCCCCAGCAGTAATCTGGTACGGTGACTAGTGAGTGGAGATCCGGGGGAGACACCGCGCGTCGCCGATTCATCGGCGGCGGGCGCGTGCCGCGTTTTTTATAGCAGCATACCTCCTTCCAAGCAGAGCCGCCTCGGCAAACCCCCCGCACAAGTGTATGTCTCCACGGAGCTAATGTAGACATACTAGATTTTTCACACAGAGCAAAGTTAAAACTGGGCAGCCTCCAGGCTGTGCCGTTCACCACTGTTCAAAGAGGCATGCATTCGGTGTCTGGGCTGCTGAAAGGGCAGCTCTCCGACCGCACAAACACATGAAGGACCATCCCCCGCGGCGCCGCCCGGCGGCGCTCCTGCCCCGACTCCTTCTCGCCGCGCCCGTCGCGGTCTTCATGGTGCTCTACGCGCGCACCGAACGAACGCGACGACCGGAAACCACGAAGGCGGGCCTCATCTATTTAAGAATCGCGGACCCGCGCCACCGCCAGGACGCGTTCCGCGCGAGCTGGCCGCCGTGGCTGCCCGCGCTCGAGGCCTCGGCGCGCGCGAACGCGCGGAGCGTGACGTACTATTTTATCGGCGCGCCGGCGAACGTGACGTGCGTCAACTGCGTCGAGATTCCATTGGACCTCGCCGGCCTGCGGGCGCGCGTCGCGAAGTATCTGGGCGTCGCCGACATGGAAATCAAAAGCGTCAAAAATAAAATCTGCGACCTCAAGCCCATGTGGCCCGTGCTCTTCCCCGAGGTCAGCGCGCGCCACGAGTGGGTCGGCTTCGCGGACGCCGACGTGCTCTTCGGGGACCTCGCGGCCGAGGTCGACCTGCTGACGGCGTCTGATGATTTGCTCGTGCCCTCGAGCTGGCACCCCTACCCCCTGGCGAACGGCAACTTCATGCTCTTCCGGTCGACGGCGCGCGTGCTGCAGGCCTTCCGGGGCGCCGGCTGGCGCGAGGCGGTGCGCTCGCCGGGCTACTCGGTCTTCGACGAGTGGCACGGGCGCGGCTCCGCGACGGACTTCGGCCACGCGCTGCTCGAGATGCACCTGAACGGCAAGCTCCGGCCGAAGCCGACGAGCCGCCTGTTCCTGCAGGACGCGGTGTCCGGCGGCCGCGCGCTCATGGAGCGGCCCGCGGCGCTGCGCGCGACGTGGGCCCGCGGCCGCCTGCGCGTGGCGTACCGGGGCCCGTGCTACTGCTCCAAAGACGTCGTCCCCCACTGTGTGGAAATCAACCAGTGTGCCGGGTGCACTCATGAAGTCATTTCTCGGCAATGAGGCTGCCGTGCTGGCTCCGTCGAGTGGTGGGAGACCCATACCGCCACGCCGTTGAGAAGGCGTCGCGTCGATGGCGTGGAGGTCGACGCGACGATTCAGCAGAACACGCCGCAAAATTTTGATTTTCACACAGGTCCCCCAGTTCGCCATCGCGCACTGCTCCGAGTGCGTCTTCCGGGCGGGGGCGACGCCGGACGTCACGGTCGCGCGGGACCTCGAGGTGCTCGCGTACCACATGCTCTACACGAAGCCTTGGATCGGCCGGAAGTACGCCGTCGCGCCGGCGCTGCGCGACTGCGAGGCGTTCGCGCTCTGGAAGAGCGAGACGAGCCGCGAGCACCACCTAGAATGCGTCGACGCGCCCCGATAGCGTCGTAACGTATGAGCACCTTCTCAAACCCATCGGAGCCTAATCGGAGCCGACTCAAGTTCGGCGGCGTGATAGCATAATCGATTTTTTTACGACGGGGTCAAGGGGGGGTCCGATGGGGACCGATTAGTTGCGGGGACGTCTCGATCTTGGCGGCGCGAGGAAGGGAGAGGGGATCACAGAGCACGGCCGCGGCGTCGGCTCCGTCGCCGTCGCCCCGGTGCAGCGACGCCTCTAAATCGCGGGTGATGGAATTGATTAACTCAAGTTGAAGTTTCACTAATGTACCGCATGCGGTACATTAGTCTTACGCTAGCATCATGTAAGACACTAGCATGCTTGCGTCCTAGTCCAGCCGGACGGGTGGGCCCGGGGGGAGCGGGAGGGGTACGGGGGACCCTGCGACGTAACTAGCCTGAGCCTGAGCTAGCCTGAGCCTGAGCCTGAGCTAGCAATCTCAGCTGCCCGTGGGACAGAAACGCGCATTTTACATTATCCCCCGTCGAGATAAAGCCGCTGCGCGACCTCCGCCCGGGACCGGTACATCGTCGCATCGCCCGGTCTTGAGTAGTACGAGCCTCGCGCGTCGCGATTTTTGACGAAGCCGTCGGCGGCCATGCGCTTTACCACGGCCTCGAGGTCACCCGGCCGCCGCGGGATCTGCGTGACATTTGACTTCCCTGGCTCTCTGGCCCGCAGGCACCGCCGCCGCACCAGGTCCGCGAATTCGACCGCGAGCCACGACGCGGACGGCCTCTTTTCCCAGCGCAGGGCCAGCATCGCCGCGAGCAGGACGTTCTCCCGCGGAGCCTCGTGTCCTGCGTGTTGCGCGAGGGGCGCGCATCGTTTCGGTAGCATGTCAAGCAAGCTCGTGAAGTTGTCCCAGGCGGCGGGCGGCGCGGCGCGGGCCCGGGCGGCCGCCGCAGCCGCGTTCTCAAACGCCTGTCTCTCTCGCTCCGTGGGGATCGGCACTCGCGCGGCGGCGCTCCGCGCGCGCGCCGCCGCCGCCGCCGCCGCCTCCCCGTACGCTCGATTCAGCCTACTCATCCAATCCCTGTGCGCCCTGTGGCCGTTTCTGTGCCACATTTCAAACGCAAAACACCGAACGAGCAGGAACATGACCCCCGCGCTCCAGACGTCGGAGGCCGGCGTGAGCGGCACGTGCCCCGCCTCGGGCGCGATCCCCTGCGTGCCGGGCCGCTGCGCGCAACTCGCGTTCACGAGGCACGCCCGCCCAAAGTCCGCGACGCGCCACCTCAGGTAGTTCCCCTCGCGCCGCATCAGCAGGTTGCCGGCGTGCAGGTCCTGGTTGACGAGTCCCCGGGCGTGCGTCGCCGCGAGGCCTACGAGCGTCTGGTGCATCATCTGCAACGCAAAGCAGGCGTGCGTCTCGTAGTTTAGGCGCGCGTCGGCCTCCCGCGGGGGCCGGTCCAGGAGCTGCTTCAAGGTGCCGTCCATCCGCTCGTACGTCGCGACGCGGGAGGACACGCCGTCAAGCACGCCGCCGCGGAAGCACGCCGCCGCGGTCATCACGTGCGCGCCGGACACGTTCAGCAGGCTCGGGAGGAGCTCGTTCGCGAGGTGAATCGCCATGCCTTCGGGGGCCCGCTTCAGGACCACGGGCCGTCGCGTCTGCGCGTCCGTGGCCGCGTCGACGGCCAGCACGACACCCCCCGACAGCCGCGTCCGGTCGACGAAGCGCGCCTCGTCGAAGGCCTCGCCGCAAAACGCGTCAAGCGCCGCGCTCTGCTCAAAGCGCGCTCTGCTCAAAACGCTCCCCCAAAACGCGTTGTGCGCCGTCGGCAGCGGCGTGGCGCGCGCGAGCAGGAGCAGCAATGGCGGCCATGGCACCATCCAGCGAGGCTGCCTGCTGCCTCGTCGGTGCAAAAACGCGTTACACCGGCACGGGGCAGCTTGCAAAACCGATGAAGACACGCTAGTAGACACACTAGCTTTGCTTGCCCGGAGCATCATCCGAGCATGAGATATTGCTGTGCAGCGCAGGCATTGCTGCTTGGCTTTATGCTAAGGACTAGCATGTGGTGAGGAGGTCGCGCGGTCTTTATGCTGCCCCTGCTGCCCCTTCTGCTGCCATGCTGCTCCGCGCAAAGGCGGAAGGCCGTCGTCGCGCTGCGGGGCGACGCGTTCCGGTTCGGCCACAACTCGAAACAGGGATGCGTCCACGTGAACCAGTCCTACGCGAACCAGCTCTGGCAGGTCGAATCGATCAAAAGGTACGTGATGGAGCCGCTGCGGGCGGCGGGGTACACCGTGGCCGTGACCGGCGTGGTGTACGAGGGCTGCGACGCGGCCTGGACGCGCGCGATCGCCGCGGCGCTCGCCCCCGCGAGCGACGCGACGCGCATCGACTTCGCGCTCCCGCGGCGCGACGAGCACCAGCAGCGCGTCGTGTTCGCGCTGGCGGTGGACCACGCGTTCCGGCTGCACCCCGACGCGGCCTTCGTGGTCGTCTCGCGGCTCGACGTCACCTACTGCCGGGCCATGCGCCGGCCCAACGGGACGCTCTGGCGGGCGTCGCTGGGCGTCGGCGTCGGCACCGGCTGGTGGGACCAGGTCCACGTCGTCGGGGCGGGCGCGCGCGACGCCGTCCGCCGCGTCCTGGCGTCCCCGAAGTCGCTCCACTTCGGCGGCCTCCAGCGGAACTTCGTCGAGCGCGTCGCGACGCCGACGACCTCGCCTCCGCTCTTCACCCTGTTCGACGCGACGCCCGACCCCTACGCGCACTGCGACCGACCGGGCCCGCCGAGGCCCGGCTACAACTTCGTCGCGTCGACGCCGTGCTGCCTGGCGAACTCGTCGTGCGGCCAGGGCCGCGACCGCTGCACCGGCAAGCCCACCGTCCGCCGCCACGGCGTCAAGGCCCTGTCGTCGTACGTTCCCGACGTAAGTACTAGTAGTAGCGCCAACACACAGGGACGGTTAGCCCGGCGCGTTCGCGCACGGCCCGCGGACGGGCCGCGGGCAGAGCCTCGTCGCCGCGACGGCGGCGCCCCACCGCGCGACGCGCTCCGCGAAGACCCGGTCCGCCAGCGCGTAGAGGGCCGCGTCGCCCTCGAGCCAGCCGGCCGCCGCCGCGTGCGCCGCCGCCGGCCACGCGCGCATCGCGCGGGCCGTCCGGTCGCGCGCCCCGCCGTGGACGTGGCCGACGCAGACCCGCTCCGGGCGCACGCCGCCGATCTCGAGCACCGCGACCCTCAGGAAGGTCTCGAGGCGGTCGAACGTGCCGACGACGACGTCGTCGCGCCGGATGTTCGCGGCGGCCCGCGCGAGCGCGGCGCCGACGTCGTAGGCCGGCGCCGCGTACGTCTGCGACAGCACCGCGAGCGGCGACGGCTGCAGGTTGCCGTGCACGCGGCAGCCCTGCCAGCGGCACTTCACATAAAACGACACGTTCGCCGGCGAGGGCTCCGCGGGCGCCTCACGAGGACCGAAGAAGTAGAACGCGCTCACGAGGCGCGCCACGGGCTCGCGCACGACGACGAAGACGCGGATGGGCGCGACCGGCGCCACAAAAGGGATGCGGATGGTCTTGTCGTAGTTGACGTGGATCTCCCAGCCCCGGTCGACGGCGTCCTCCGCGGCGCGGCGCTTGTCGCCGAGGCACGTGGCCAGCGCGGCGCGCCCGCCCACGCCGTAGATGAGGGGCGCGCGCTCGCCCTGGTACTCGCCGCACCGGCCCTTCCAGAACCAGCGGCCCCGGTCGCAGATCCGGCCGAAGAGCGCGCGCTTGGCCGTCGCGGAGCCGCTCTTCTTGAGCTTGAGGAAGACGGGGAAGGGGTCCGGCACGACGGCGTCCGCGTGGGCGGCGAGGCGCTGGTCCGGCGGCACGCCCACCCGCGCGGCGCCGAGCAGGGGCAGGAGCGCGAGGCGCCTCATCCCACGGGCAGCCCCATCCGTCGTGCTGACCGCGTTTCGTGCACCACGGTGGTAAATGAATGCTGCGCCGCCCGCGCGCGGGATCCCGGGAGCCTCCGCTCGGAGAGGCACTCGGAGGCAGGGGAGACGAGGCGACGCTTTTCCAGCGGTCGCGAGGTCCGGGACCGCGTGGCGCGAGCGGTAGCGGATCGCTCCCCGCGCCGTCGGGCGGCTCCGTACGGAAAAAAATCGCGGGCGGTCGCGCTCGGACGCGCTGCGAGGCGTCGCCGGGGGCGCGGCGGCGCCTCCCAATCAAAGGGGACGCCCGCCGCGCGCCGCGCGTTTCGGGGGTTTCACCGTAAAGTATCCAGCTTTCGGGCCAACTCGCCCCCCCGGCCTGGCCAACGCCGCTGCCGCTTTGTGCCGCGTCGCAGCGCCCGGACCGCGAAGACCACGAAGAGGCACCGGCACCGACGAGCCGCAGCAGCCGCCACCGCGCGCCGCCGCGTCCGCACGCCCCGACGCGGGCAGCCCACGCCTAGCGCCACGGCGGGGGCCGCGCCCGAGGCGTGCCGGCCGCCCCCGCCCGCCCGCGCCGCCGCGCGGCCCCCGCCGCCGCGCGCGCCCCGCGGCCGCCCGCCGGCGGCGCGCGCGGACCCGCGCGGGCCGCCCGCTCGCGCGCCAACTGCCGCGCGGGCGCGGCCCGCCGGGGACCCCCTCGCCCGCCCCGGACGCGCGGCCCCCTCACGGTTGCACACGCAGGTCCGCCGCCGCCGCCGCCGCCGGGGACGATGAAGGCGCGCCGCAGGAGCCGCCTCGCCGCGCTCGCGCTGGTCGTCGGCCGCGCGGCCGCGCAGACGCCGACCGCGTCTCCGACCTTCGAGACGTGGACGCCGACGTCGAAGCCGACGGATCGTCCGTCCAACACGCCGACGACCGGCGCGCCGACGTACTGGACGCCGGCGCCCTTCGCGGCGCCGCCGGACGACTACGACCGCGACACGTTCGACCACGACCCCGGCACGTGCGGCAACTACGCGCCGAACGAGGTCTACACGGCGGAGGCGCTCGGGCTGAAGGGCGCCTACGCACTCGCCAACGACGGCGTGGACGGGGACTGCTGCTACGAGTACGTCCACAACGACTGCACGCACAACCCGACGGGCTTGCCGACCCTGGTGCCCACCGCGCTCCCGACAACCCAGCCCTCGGCGCTGCCCACGGTCGAGAAGCCGACGCCCATGCCGGTCTCGGACCCGACGAAGGTCCCGACGACCCTACCGACGTCGACGCCGACCTCGGCGCCGACGAAGGCGCCGACGAAGGTCCCGACGTCCCTCCCGACATCCGTGCCGACGTCGGAGCCGTCGGAGGCGCCGTCGCCGGCGCCGTCGAAGGTCCCGACGGGCGTTCCGACGGAGCAGGACCCGACACCTTTGCCGACGAGCCCACCGTCGGCGGAGCCGACGTTAATCCCGTCTCCGACGCCGACGACGCCGCCGTCGTCGGCGCCCTCAGAGGCGCCGGTACCGGCGCCCACGAAACCCCCCACATCCATACCGACCACTCTGCCTACTTCGGAGCCGACGCCCACGTTCTCGCCGACGCGCACCCCGACGACCGTGCCGACGCCGGTCCCAATCTCCAAACCGACGCCGGGACCGTCAGCCGTGCCGACTCTCGTCCCGACCTCGTCGCCGTCGGCAAAGCCGACGTCCGAGCCGACGAAGTCGCCGACGACGATCCCGACCTCGCTGCCGACGGCGAGCCCGACGCCTTCGCCGTCGGCACCGCCGACCTCGGTGCCGACGTCGCCGACGTTTTTGCCAACTCCCCTCCCGAGCTCGGTGCCGACGTCGCGGCCGTCCGCCTTGCCGACGGCGTCCTGGTCGCCGACTGACTTGCCGACGTCCGTGCCGACGGCGCAGCCCCAGGTCTCGGCCAAACCGACGGGGGTGCCGACCACGGTCCCGACGAGCGAGCCGACGATCCCCCTGCCGACGTCCGTGCCGACGGGCATCCCGACACCGGACCCGTCCGTGTCGCCGACGCCCGCGCCGACCGTGCAGCCGACGAACGGCGACTGCCTCGAGAAGATCACGGACTTCTGCCAGTGCACGTACGTGCTCTTCGAGGTCTCGCACACGCTCGCGCCGACGCCGGCGCCCACGACGGCGGTGCCCTCGCCGGGCCCGACGCCTGCGCCCACGCCGGTGCCCACGCCGGCGCCCACGCCCCGGCCCTCGGAACAAAAACCCCCGGGCGCTCCCGATCCGACGCCGAAGCCGACGCGGGTGCCGCGGCCCAGTCCGACCCGGGCCCCGACGAACGTGCCGACCTCGGTCCCGACGACGCCGCCGTCCCCCGAGCCGTCCGCCGTCCCGACGACGATGCCGACGTCCCGCCCGACGACCACCCCGACGCCCGCGCCGACGCCTCTGCCGACGCTCCCCCCGACATCCGTGCCAACGTCCATTCCGACGCCCGCGCCGATCCCGGTGCCGACGAAAATCCCGACGAGCGTCCCGACGTCGCTCCCGACGAGCGACCCGACGGGCGTGCCGGTACCCGTCCCGACGGGCGCGCCGACGTTACCTCCGACGAGCGCTCCTTCGGCAAGCCCGACCTTCGACAGCTTCGCCCCGACGGCCATGCCGACGACGGGAGCGCCGACGGTGAATCCGACGCTCGTCCCGACGTCCGTGCCGACGACCGAGCCGACGTCAGCGCCGACGAAAGTGCCCACCGCGCAGCCGTCGCTCGAGCCCACGTGGCAATCCCAAGCTCCAACCAAAACCCCGACGTCCGTGCCGACGACCGAGCCGACGTCCCAGCCGACAAGCGTGCCGTCCGGCGTGCCGACGAGCGCGCCGACGTCCCGGCCGACGCTGCCGCCGTCGCCCGTCCCGACGCCGTCGCCCACGGCCATGTGCCCTGCCATGGCGTGGCTCGAGGGCGATATGACGACGACCGGCTCCATGACGGCCCGGACCCGAGGGGCTCGAGGGGCTCCATGGACTGCGCACGAGGGCCCCGAGGCCATCACCAGCGCGGAGGACATCCGCGCCCAGGGCGGGCTTCTGGTCCTCGACCACAACAGGAATTGGGGCATCAAGGCCACGTGCTCCAACAACGCGGCCAAAAGTTGCGAGAGAGATGAGGATTGCGATCCCGGCAACACATGCGAGGCCAACGGCTGGGAGGGCGGCGTCAACCCGGCGAGCGGCATCGACGCCTGCTGCCGCTTCGTGCAGACGACGTGCCCGACGCCGCTGCCGTCGTCCGCGCCGACGTCGCCGCCGTCGCCGAGCCCGACGCTGCTGCCGTCGACGACCCCGACCAGCGTGCCGTCGAGCGTGCCCACGGTGCCGCCGTCGGAGACGCCGACGTCCGTCCCGACGGCCGAGCCCTCGGGAACCCCGACGATGATGCCGACGCCGCGGCCGACGTTCACGCGCTACCCCTCGCCCGTGCCGACGATTCCCGCGCCCTCGCCCATCCCGACGAGCGTGCCCACGCCCTGGCCGACGACGGCGGTGCCCTCGCCGGGCCCGACGCCCGCGCCCACGCCGGCGCCCACGCCGGCGCCGACGAGCTGCCGCTGCGTCGCGTACTACGGCGTCAACCGCAACGTCGGCAACTTTGCGTTCCGCGACGACGGCCTCGTCTACGGCAGCCTGCCCGCGGTCAACCCGGCGTCGGAGCACTACGACCTCGCCTGGGCCGCCGGCGCGACGCTCAAGGACGGCTTCGACTGGGACGACTACCTGGCGGCGCGGGAGCACTTCTCCACGATAGCCACGAAGCAAGCGAACGCGGCCTCCTTCGCCGCGAAGAACGACTACGCGCCGCTGGGACCGGGCGCCGCGGGGAAGAACGGCGTGATTGCGAACACCGGGAACATCACCGCGGCAGAGCTCGCGCTGCAGGACGGGGGAACGACCCCCCCCAACAAGTACAGCTACAACATCACGGACATGGACAAGCGGTGCATCTACCGCATGGAACCGGAGCCGTCGGCCGCGCCGACGCCCAAGCCGTCCATCCCGCCGGGCGTGGCGGCGCCGACGCTCGCGCCGACGGTCACGCAGGCCGTCGTCGAGGTCTCGGCCGCGGTCGTGCTCACGGGCATCGACCCCACCGACTTCAACTCCGACCCGCAGCAGGTCGAGGCCTTCGCGCAAACGATCCTCGCGACCCTGCCCGCGGAGCTCGCGGGCGCCGAGGTCACGGACATCCGAGCCAAGTCCGCGCGTCGGCGGCGACTCCAAGCGGGCAGCGTCGAGGTCGAGTACACGATCGTCGTCCGACAGGACGCGACTACCGTGTCAGACGGCGGCCAGAGCATCTTCAGCGACATTACGACGTCGCTTTCCGCGGCCGTGTCGAGCGGCGAGTTCCTCCAGACGCTCATCGAAGAGGCGGCCGCGGCGGGCGGGTCCGCCGCGATGGCGTTCATGACGATCGACGTCGACGTGACGGCGTCGACCGCGGCGATCAGTTCGGCGACCCTGACGCTCGTCATCACGACGCCGGCCCCCGTGGTGGCGACGCCGGCCCCCGTGGTGGCCCCGGCCGCCGCCGCCGCCGCCGGCGGCGGCGGCGGCGGCGGCGGCGGCAGCGACGGCGGCCTGCTGATCATCATCATCGTGGTCGTCGTCGTCGTCGTCATCGGCGGCGGCGCGGCGGCCTTCTTGGTGATGAAGAAGGGAGGCCGAGGCGCCGCCAAGATCGAGGCGTCCCCGCACAACTAAACAAGCCCCCGCCCTCCCCCCGGGGCGCACCGGCCGGCCCGGGCCCCTGTTACCCCCTGACCAAACACCCCCGAGAAAAAAAAAACCGAAACCCCCAGTTGCACCGTCTAACTAGTTTCACGCTACTAGCTACATCGATCAAGCTTGCTGTCTCCTCGGTGCATAGAACGACTGCGCGCCAGCGTTTGGACTGCCCCGACGTCGCGTAGTGGAAGTCTTGAATGACACTTGGTGCGGGCAGCCAGGTCGGCTTCCATGTCCTAAGACTCCTAGTTCTAGTGTCTTTACGGGCCGCTAGCCACGAGCACGCGCGGCGCGGAGCCCTGGAAGCCGCGGTAGGGGCGGTAGCTCCTCAAACTGCAGCTGAAAGAGGCTTGCGATTAAGCAGCAGTTTTGTCTTGTCGCACGCCGACGGGAAAGGAGTCGCCTGGGGCGCGGACACCGCCTCGTCTGGGACCATGAAGCGCCTCCTCCTCGTCGTGGTCGGCGGCAGCGCCCTCGTCGCGCGACGCCCGACGACGATGCGCGCGATGCAACCAGAGGCGCGCGCCCTTCGGACGAGGATCAAGACCCAAACTAAAATAAAACGGACGCTCGTGACGTTAGGAAGGGTCGCGCTGCCGTCCATGATCGCCACGGGCCTCGGCTTTGAGTACTACGACAATTTAAGCAGCTTCATCCAGGCGAACTGGTTGGATGCGAACTCCATTAAATTCTTGAGCAGCGACGAGATTCAATTTTTGCCGTCCTTTTTAACGGTGATCTCGTTATTATTTTCCATATTGGCGGGGAGCGCGTACTCGAGCCTCTACGCGCAGCAGGAAGCTATCTACTTCGCTCTGTATGCCGAGGTCTCGGAAGCGAAGTCCCTGCTGGAGCAGATGGCGCTGGTCTGCGCCGGCCGGCCCTTTTATAGGGACGCGCTGCGGGCGATGCGCGCCTACGTGAAGCAGGATCTGAGGAGACTGGACGTCGCGCCCGCGGATTTGATGGCGCGGCCGCCGAACGAGGACCCCCTCGAGGCCATCATGTACCTCACTTCTGTTGGGGTCCCGTCCGTCGTCTACGAGACGGTGCGCGACCTGCGGCAGGCGCGGGGGAGGAGGTTGGGGGCGATGCAGCGGAAATTTCCCCGGCTCGGCATCTTCCTCCTCTATTTACTAGCGCTGCTGGAGCTGGCGGCGTTCCCGCTCCTGGGCGCGGGGACAACCATCTCAGCGCCCTCGACGATCTTACTGGTCCAGGGCGCGCTGTTCGGGGGGTCAGCGCCTGTGTGGAAATCAACCAGTGTGTCGGGTGCTCATTTCTCGGTGATGACGCGGCCGTGTTGGCTCCGTCGAGCGGTGAGGAAGGGCATCGCCACGCCATCGAGCAAGCGTCGCGTCTATGGCGTGGAGGACGACGCGACGATCAAACGCGACGTAAAATTTTGATTTCCACACAGGTTGTGCGGCGCCACCACGTTGGTGTTACGCATCATCCAGGAGCTCTGGCGCACGTCGGGCGGCGCCTTCAACGTCGACGACGTGTTGCAGACCATGGTGCGGGGGCTGGCGGACGAGCTCGACGGCCGGGCGGAGCGCCTCTCGGAGGACGCCTTTCCGGCGCCCGACGCCGCTCGGGGCCTGACGCCGGAGCAGCAGCGCGCCTTCGAGGCGCTCGACGCGGCGGACGCGGCGGCGCCGCGGAGGCGGTGGTGGCGGCGCGGAGGCGGTGGTAACGGCGGAAGTTAACTTGAAGTCATAAATTATCGGTCACGGCCGCCGCCGACCCATCTCCGCGAGTCGTAGCGCGCGGCGCCCGCCTCCGCCGCGCGGCGCAGCGCCCGGGCTTCGCGGGAGACGGCTTGCGCGTCGGGCCAGGCGCGGCCAGCCATTGCCGCGACGTCGGCGGCGGAACGGAAGGCGCGGAGCGCGTCGAGCGCGTCGGCGGCGAGGCCCGCGGCTTCGGCCGCCGCGGGCGACGCGCCGAGGCCCTCGCGGGCCAGCGCCTGTGTGGAAATCAACCGGTGCGTCGGGTGCTACGCGAACGCGCCGTAAAATTTGAATTCCACGCGGGCCAGCGCGTCGCGCCACGCCAGCGCGTGGAAGAGGGCCAGGCCGTGCGGCGTGCCCCGCGCGCCGAGCGTCGCGCGGGGCAGCACGAGGCGCTCCCGGGCCGCGCGGCCCGCGGCCGCGGCCGCGAGCCCCGCCGCGCGCCGCGACGACGCGGCGCGCGGGAGCGCCGCCGCGAGCGCCGCCGCGACGTCGCCGGCCTCGAGCAGGTCGTCGACGCCGTCCAGGGCCTCCGCCGCGGCGTCCGCCTCCGCGCGGTCGGAGACGAAGCCGTGCTGCGCGCGCAAATATGCGTCGCGCCGCGCGACGGAGCACTCGGGCTGGACGTACGACACCGTGAGCGGGGCGCCCGCCTCCACTTTCCGCTGCGTCCAGACCTCGGCGAGGCCCCCGGCCGTCGTCAGCGCGACGCACGAGGGTTGCGGCGAGTCGTTCAGCAAACTCCTCAACCGGTAGAGGCCGGACTCGAAGGCGTTGAACTGCCACTTCTGCTCCAGCGTCGCGCCGTGCAGCTGCTCGATATGTAACGACGGGAGCGCCGCCGTGGGGTCCGCGATCGTCGCCTGCGCCTCGCGTGATAGGAGAGGCGCCTCGAGGAGCAGCAGCGTGCCGGCGTCGAGGTCGCGGGCCGCGGCGAGGCCGCGGCCGCCGCCCGTGGCCGGCGCGCTCACGAGGCGCAGCGCGGGGTGCGCGTAGAGGGGCGCGTAGCCGGGCGCGAAGGCCGCTAGGCGCGCGCAGGCGACGGCGGACGGCACGGGCACGGGCAGGGGCTCCGGCGGCGGCGCGGGCGGCGGCGGCGGCGGCGCGACGCCGTCGTCGTCCGACGACGAGCCGCCGAAGAGCGCCTCCGCCGCGGTCGCGCGGGCGAGGCCGACGCAGAAGCCGCAGCCCGCGGGCGGCACGCGCTCGGACAGCGCGCGCTCGACGGCCGCGGACGCGTGGTCGAGGCTCCAGGCGACGAGGACCAGCCGGTCCGTGGCCGCGACCAGCCGCGCGGCGACCTGGGGCCCGACGACGTCGGCCGGGTCGATCAAATTCGTCGCCGCGCCGCCCTGCGCGAAGGCCCGCGGCGCGGCGCCGGCGAGCGCCCCGAGCGCCGGCGCGTTATCTGCGGGCCCGACCCAGGCGAAGGCCGACTTCGCCCCGAAGCGCACGACGAGGCCCGATACGTTCGCGTCGTCCTCGTCGCGCACGGAAAAGCGTCGCTCCTCGAAACCTGGAGACGGCGCCATATCAAAGCTCTGCACCGTCCACGGGATTTTGATGATGGACGTGGACCGCAGCTCGACCTCGTCGAAGGCCTCCACGTAATTCGTGCGCTCGAAGCCGAGGGACGCGAAGAGTTTTAGGGAGGCGGCGTTCTCGGAGGCGATCTTCGCGACGAACGTCTCGAGATGGAGCGCCTCGCGGCCGTAGCGCAGCAGCAGCCGCACGGCCTCGCCCCCGAAACCGCGGCGCCGCCGTTCCGGAACCATGACGTCGACCTCGGCCGCGAGCGGCTCGTCGGGGACGGTCAGGAACGCGTTCACGTCGCCGACCATCGCATTCGTGGGGAAGCGGTCGTCGCCATTCTTGAAGCACTGCGCCCGGTCCAAAACGATGAACGTGAGCTTCTTGGCGTCGTCGCGCCAGCTCTTCTGGTTCTCGACTTCCTCGTCGAGCGTCAGGCGCTCGCTCGCCGTCAGGGCCAGCAGGTCGTCGTCCTGCATCCAGGCGTGGTAGCGTTTTACGTACTTTTCCTTGTAGGGCACGAGGACGCAGCGTCTTCCTACGAGCACGGTGTCCTCGTTGAGGCGCATGGTTGCTTTTGTGTGCGCTGCGCGAGCTCTCGCGTCGCTGGGAGCACTGCTGCCTCGCTGGTAGGACGCTCTCCGTAGGGCAAACGGTGCGCGGCTCTTTTTTTGCGAGAACTGCTTCGACCCTCACGCGAGCGGAACTCAAGCGATCCCTCCGCTGCAAAGCACGACAATGTGAGGGCGTCTATGGCCTTTGTCGAGGCACGCTCGTGGTATCGTACCTAGGTATACCGATACCGATATCAGTATCCCTACGGTATCTCTAGGCTCTATCTCTACTAGTAGGCTCTATCTCTAGGCTAGTCGGGAGGGGTACGGGGAACCCCGCGCGTCGTGACTAGCCTGAGCCTGAGTCAGATTCCTACCTCGAGCGTCCAGTGCCGCTACGTTGTTAAGCGTGATGGCGGGGTGGAAGAAGAGAGGCATAAGCCGCGACGGACTCGTCCTCAGACGCAGTCTCGGCGTCGAAGTAGTCGTCGGGGAGCGTCTCGAAGCGCTCGTCGTCCGCCAGCTTCGAGAAGATCATGCAGAAGTCGTCGGCCGTGATGGCCGCGTCGATGAGGTCGAAGTGGAGCACGGCCTTGAGCTCGCGGTACGTGAGCGCGAGGAGGTCGTCGGCGGTGCGGAACGGGGCGCGCGGGTCGTTCTGGTTCGCCTATGCTGAGGCGGCGACGCCGTTGGCGCGGGCGCGGCCGCTGGGCGTCGAGGCGGCGCCGTTGCTCACTACGGACGTGTAATGTTGTTGTTTGCTGTGTCTCCTGCTTGTGTTCCAGGGGTCGCGGCGATGGCGTGGGGGGGGGCTCACTTTCTTGTTCTTGGCGTGACGCGCGTCGCCGATTCGCGCGTCGATTCGTCGTTGGCGGACGCGGGCCGCGTCTTTCACAATAGCATACTTCCTAAGCATAACCGCCTCGGCAACGCCTGGGACTACATGAGAGTGTTCGCGAAGAAGGGCGACGACGGGACCGCCGCGTCGCGCATCGCGGCGGACCTCGCCAAGGCGCTCGCGCCGGCCGGTGGGGACAAGGTCGCGACCGCGGACCTCTGGGACGAGCACTTCGAGAAGGTGTACCTTCTTGCCGATGCCGTCATGGACCGCGTCGTCGCCGAGGCGTGAATGCATCGCTTCTGGAGGGGTTAAGAGGCGCTTGCTTGTACTACGAGTACCCTGGAGGGGGGACAGCGCGTCGCCGACGTCATCGGGTGGCTGCTTTCTAGTGTCTTACAGACAGCTAGCTAATTTTCAGCACAGCACGGAGGACGAAACGGCCCACGCGGGGTATAACATACTAAGACATCAGAAACGATTAACAGAAAATACACGCCTTTAAAATCTCGCGACACAGCGACTAGAGACACCTGAAATCTAAAAAGTGACATCTGAAAGTCAAAGCCATCGCGGCGCGCGTCGACGCGGCGGACTATGAGCGGCTGTTGGGCGACCGGCTCCGCGCCGAGGGCTTCGCCGCGCCCCGGAAGAAACGCAGCCGTGCCTCGTCCGGCGACGACGACGCGGCGTTGTACATGTACGTACGAGGAGCGGAGTTGCCCGCGCGGAAGCGCAGCACGCGCGACGCGGCGAAGAAAGCTAGCTCCAAATGGATCGGCGCCTGAGCGGTCCGAGCGGACGTCCACGCGACAGCTTCCCCCGCCATCATGATGGTGGCGTCGACGTCAGTATCAAATAATTAAATTTTTTGGCCAGTACGTGACCCATGTTGTTTGCTGTCTCTCACTGTTGTTCTTCACCGCGCGTCGCGGATTCGTCGGCGGCGTCTTTCACAATCCTACTAGACATCCTTTGTACCAGGACGAGTTTGCTGTGCTAGTCCTAAAGAACAACGAGCTAGCGGAGTGAGACACTAGAGCTCACAAGGTCTCCTCGAGTCTAAGGAGGCCCAAAGCACCGCCCCTCTCGCACCAGTGCCGCGGTAACGCCGCCTGCGAGCCATACGCCATCGCCGCGTGAGATCACAGAGATCATACCCAGCCTCCAGCGACGACGCAGCATAAAACGCCGTCTTGAGCCGTAACTTTGCCAGACTTCAGACCTCAGTGGCCTGCACGCAAGCGCCACCGCACGCGGGGCGCCACCATGAACCGCCTCACCGGCTTCTTCGGCGGCGGCAAGAAGTCTAATGACGACGGCGGCATGGGCCCCGAGAAGACGGACCTGGCCGTCGGTGGGGAGAACTTCGGGGGCGGCGACTTCGGCGGCCCCGGGTCCATGGCCGCGCCGCGCGTCGGCGGCGCGCCGCCGGGCCAGGCCGCGACGCAGGCCGAGCTCCAGCGCGCCGTCGTCGCCGAGCAGCAGCGCGCGCTCGTGCAGCAGGTCATCGCGAAGCTCACCGAGGTGTCCTTCGACACGTGTCTGCAGAAGAAGCCCGACTCCACTCTCTCGGCGGGCGAGCGCGCCTGCATCCACACCGTCGTGGGCAAGTACCTCGACACGTCGGAGTTCGTCCTCGGCCGGTCGACGAAGAAGGCGCAGCAGTCGCAGATGCTCTCTTAATAAATTATCACAAGCTTTTACGCGCCTCGCGCCGCCGCTTCTTCCGGAGCTTCCGCTCCTTGCGCTCCTCCGGCGTCTCGTCGCGCGCGCGCTTCGCGGGGACGGCCTCGGCGCGCCGGAGCTTGCCGCCGCCGCTGCGCTGCGCGCGCATGCCGAGGCGCGCGCCGCCCGTCGCCGCGAAGCACTCGTCGAGGAAATTTTGGGAGGAGTCCTTCTTCGCTGGTTTCGCCTTCTTCTTCGCCTTCTTCGCCTTCTTCGAACCGTGGCGGTCGTTCATGGCGTCGAGCGCGCCGGCGAAGGCGTCGACCCAGCCCTGGTCGCCGAACGCGGCCTTGGCCGAGCCCTTGTGCAGGCCCGCGGCGAACTGGGCCTCCACCGTCGCGTCCGCACCCAAGCCCACGTTGTCGCCGCGCTTCCGGTGCTCGACGTGGCGCTCGGCGCCCTGCTCGTGCTTGCCGAGGCCCTTGCCCTCGGTCCAGCCCATGGACGCCATGAGCTTGCGCGACACGGCGGAGTAGGCGCCGGCGGCCGGGGCGGCGGGCGGGCTCTTCATTTTGGGCTCGTCCTGCTTTGCTGTCGTGCTGCAGCCTGCAGCGTTGCAGGAGCGCTGTTTAAAGCTATGCCAGCCGTTGATCCACGCGTGCCGTGGATGCTGCGGTCCTGTAGACCGGTAATTAGTTGTGTCGGGTTTCAACCGTGCGTTACACACGACAACATCGCCCGATGAATGGGCCAAGTTTGCTAGGCATCCCTAGTGTCTTACAGGCCGCTAGCGCGATTTCCTAGCGGGAGCCCTGGAAGCGTCTTCACACTAGCGCGTCCTAGCACCGTGACAGCCCACTAGTGCTAGCACCGTAACATGATAACCGTAACAATATATTCTGCAGGATAGCTCCCCCGGAACCCCCCTACGTGCTCAAAAAAATTGACAAGGCTCGCAAAAAGCTTTTCGAGGTTCGCTACGTACGGGTGCGGAGTTGCTAAAAGCCCGAAAGATCTTTTTGTCTGTCACACAAACACAGGTACATCTTATAAAGTCAGGACGGCGGCCGCGCCGACGCCACAAAATCACGGTTGACGAACCACGTATTCCGGCCGTCGTGGCCGTGGAGCGCGTACGCGGGCGCCGCCGCGGCCATGTGCGCGACGACGGCGTCGCGGAACGCTGCGGGCCGCGTGCCCAGCGGCGAACCAGTCTCCACGCAGAGCACGCCGAAGGAGAGCCGGCGCCAGTCGATCGTGCGCAGGACTTCCAGCTCCGCGCCCTCCACATCCAAAATGGCGAAATCGACATGCGCGACACCGAGGCGGTCGACGAGAATCTCCGTCAGCGACGCGCACGCGACGAGTGCCACGCGGCGGCCCTGCCGCTCTCGCCGTTTTGCGGGGCCCGCGGTCTCGTACGCCACGTCGTCGGCCGCGAGGGCCCGCGACAGCTCCGTCCAGTCGACGCGGGCCCACGAGCGCGACGCGTTCGCAAACGCCTCCGCCGCGCGGACGTGGTGGGTCGCCAGGAACTCCTCGGGCGCAAATTCGGCGACACATCTCACCTCCGGGAACTTGTCCGCGGCGAGCCAATGCACCGCGCCGCTCGCGTCGCAGATCGCCGCGACGACGCCCGCGGCGCCTGCTGCCCGCGCGCGGCGCCGCGGCCGCGCCGCCGGCGACGCATCGACGACGACCCTTCGGAACCCTGCCGCCGCGTCGAAGAGGAGGCTCTCGGACGCGCGGATGCCGTCGAGGCCGCCCAGCTCGAGGACGACGCCGCGCTCGCGCCGCCAGAAGAAGCGGGCGAGCGCCTCATAGCCCTCGCAGTCCGTGGAGCCATAGCGTCCCCCCTTGCGGTTCCGCTCGCGGTCGCACGTCTGGAATCGCCGCGACTTGGCCAAGCGCGCGTCCCACGCATCGCCGTCCACCGCCGCACGGAGGCCGTAGTCCCGCGCCGCGACCCACGGCGGCGCGTCGATGCTCGCGTCGAGCAGCGACGGTCCCGCGGCCGCGCCGCGCGACGCACCGGCGAGTAGCGCCGCCGCCAGGCGCCGCATCGCTGCCGCGCGCAGGCAGCGGCGTGCGGAAGGCGGCAGTGTTTTGCCTAGCAGGCTGCCACAACCGGCGCGCGCAGCCGAGCCTCACAGGCAGGCGTCGGGCAGCCACAAGCACGCGGCTTGGATATCTCGTACTTCTCGTGACCTGGATATCGTACTTCTAGTAGGGGTAGGGCCCATGGCGCCCGCGTCGTCCGAGAGTGAGTCCGCGGCGACGCGAGGCCGCGATTCCGCCAGGATCTCGCGGTCGTAGGTGCCTTGAGGATGCCCGCCGCGGCGCCGTCATCGCTCCTAGGAGATAAAAAACTACCAGTAGCCTAGCCCCCCCCGCACCGCGCCGCGCGCCGGCGCCACGCCCAGGCGTAGAGCGCGTCGTCGAAGCGCACGGACTCGCGCACGAGCGCCGCGTCCGTCTCCGAGAGGCGCGGCGGCGCGTGCTTGTCCCGCAACTGCTGGTTCTGGCCCGGCAGCGCCTCGGAAAACAGAATCAGGTCGAAGCGCTCCAAGGCGCGCCGCGCCGTTTCCAAATCACTGTTCGTGACGGGGTCGCGCCGCACGGGGCAGCCCCGCAGGCACGTCTCGAGGTCCAGGACGTAGTGCTGCGGGCACCGCGCCGTGAAGGCCCGGACGAAGTAGTTGTCGCTCATCCGCGACGCCAGGAAGCGCGGCGGGTTCGCGCCCCGCGCGCTCCACTTCTCCCACGTCTCGCCGAAATTTCCCTCGCGGTGCGACGGCTGCGCATAAAAGGCCGCGACGGCCCGATCCAGGGGCCTCCGCAAGACCGTCGCCAGGAACACCTTGTGGCGCTCGAACGTCGGGAAGCAATGTGGGTCGAAACCCAAGGCTTCCTGGACCCAGAAGAGCTGCCGATAGCTGACGTGGCGGTGGTCGTGCCAGAGCTTGCGCTCGTGCGGGCGCGTCGCGATCGTCGTCGTGTTCACTAATTCTTTTTCCAGATATTTCTGGACCCAGCCCGACGACGCCTTGGCGTTCTTGCGGAAGAGCGAAATGCCGCCCGTCCGCCGCACGTGGCCGGACCGCGGGTGCAGCGTCATGGTCTGCGTCCAGGCGTGCTTCTTTATGATGTTCGACGGGTCCTCGCAGTCATTACCGTCGGTGGCGTTTTGGACCGCGTGGGCGCACAGCGGGAGGAGGAGGAGGCGGCGCATCGCGTCGTGGGGCCGCGGGCCGCCGCGCGACCGTCGCCGTCGTCGACCGCTCCGCGCCGGTCCACCGCAATCGACGGCGGGCGCCGTCCGCGCTGCGGCCGCTTCCCAAGTGTGGAAATCGGTGCGCTGGCCTCGTTCGGGGCAGCCCAATTAGCCGGCCGCAGCGGTGCCGATAGCGGCAATATTCGATGCGATGCGGGCCCTCCTCGCGATACTAGTGCTGCTCCGCGCCGGCACGCAGGCCCGCATGGCCACGCCGTGTCGCGCCGGCACGGACCACTGCAAAATCGTGAACACGCAGAAGAGCATCCGGGCCGCCGCGGACCGCGCGCGGAAAAGTGCGGCGGAGGCGAAGGACGCCGTGCGCATGAGCCGCGCCACGTCGGTAGCGAGAGAAGCCGCCGTCCGCGCGCTGACGAACCTCGTCAATACGCCGCGGCACGTCGAGGCCGCGCAAGCGTCGCTGGCGAAGACGAAGGCGTCGGCTGCTCGCGTCGAAAGGCTGGCACCGTCGATCCAACGGGATAATCTGGTCGATCTGGCGCTAGCCGCCGTAAACGCGGCAGACGAGGCGACGCAGGCGCAGGTCGCCGCGGCGGCGGCGCGCGCGGCGGCTCGGGCGTCGGAAGGAGCGCAAAAATCGGATGCACAACGGGCCTGGGGGTCCGGCGACGTGCGATTGATCGAACGGATGGCTAGAGCGGCCGAGGACGCGTTGGCGGTCGTCGAAGAGACCGAGCGCAAACACCGCCACGAGACGGCCGTCGACGAAGCGTTGGAAGCCTCAGAACTTGTGGAGAGGCAGTCGCGACGGGCGCACCGCGCCGCGTACGAGGCGCGGATGACGGCTAAGCACATCGCGTTCGGCGCCGACGACGCGCGCGGCCGCATGAGCGCCGCCGCCGACTCCGCGATGACCCACGCCGTTGAAGCTGCCGCTGCGGCTCGGGAGGCCAAACCGTTGGGGGCCGAAGCGTCTCGCCTGGCCAAGGAGGCGATCGCGAGAACGGGCATCTGTTCTTCATCAGAACGGAACGTCTCTTCAGTTGCAGGGACCTGCTCGGCACAAAGGCCTAGACCGCAGGGCGTCGAGGTCGAGAAGTGCGACGAGGACAAGGGTACGTGTTACCCGGACTGGAACGAACTTGGTTTCTATGCGAAGCGGTTCAAGGCCCAGACGCTGATCTCGAAGGGTGTCCGGCTGTCGCATCTGAATATTGATCATTTGGCGGCCTTCAATCCGTCATTGGTGGAATTGCCGGGTCGACTCCGGAAGGAAATTCGACGGCAATATCCACAAGCCTACTACGTGGCTTCCGTCAGACATAGCTGGGGCCAGTGCCAGCGGTTCAAGTCGTTGTACAAGCTGGCGCCCTACGTCATTTATGGGAAATACAAGTCGACGGCCGAGGTGCCGGGCCGGCACTCGTCCGTGGTGTTGTTAGATAGGAACTTCTGCGTGCTCGAGATAGCACAGCAGGACTTCGTGGAGGAGCTCGAACGGCCCAATTCCGTCGGATGGCTCGCGGAGGACGTTAAATTGTTAGAACACAACGGCCGGCTCCTCGCGACGCTCGTGATGTCGTCAGAGAGTGGCAAGTACTTCCAGGCGGGCTTCGAGCAGCGGTTTGGTGTTTTTGAGTTAATCCTAGAAATACGAGATGAAAAGCTGCACGCCTGGTACGCGCCGCCGTCGCACGAGGTGTTTCCGAGTCTCTCAAACTACTCCACAGCCTCGCAGATACGGAACCTGGGGTTGTTGGTTTTGGATGGGAGACTACAATTCTTGACGTTCCTGGGACTGCAGGCCGAATTGCAACCTACTTTACTACCTTTATCCGATTTACCGTCCACCTTACCACTCTTAGGACATTTCGGCAAGTGGCTGCACAACAACGTCAATCCCTTGGTGATTGAGGAAAGAGGCATGTTCCTCGTCGTGGGCCACGAGCACGAGCACGCCATGAAGGACAAAATTTTCCAGACGACGTCGTGGCATACCTATCTCCATTACTTTATGTTATTCAATACGACGGCGCCCTACAACCTGTTGTCGCGGTCCCCTGCGTTTTGTTTTTCTGACCAGAAAGGTGGGAAGTGCGACCTGATCCAGTTCGTGTCTTCATTAACTTGGGCGTCGCCACAACGCGATTCGGTCGTGGTCAGTTATGGCGTCAACGACTGCGAGGCGTCCTTCGCGTCCATTCCCCTGCGGACGATCCTGGAGTTCACGATCGGCTGCGGGTTGGACTGGCGGTTGGAGGCCGCGCAGAACTACGCGTCGCATTCATTTCAATTGCAGGCTCAAGTGGCTCTAGGAGAGAACGCCATCTAACAACAACTATTCTTTAGTTTCGTACTCCTCCTCGAAGGCGAGGAGGTCGTCGAAGCCGACGACTCGTTTGACCTCGTCGAAGGGCGCGAGGTTTGGTGCCGTTCCGGTCTCAACGAGGCTGGTCGCCGCTTTTTGAAGGGTCGCGATGTAGGCCTGGAGCGCCGTCACGCCGACTAGCGATAAGTCAAATCCCAAACTCGCGACGTCGGCCGGCGAGAGCATGCCGTCGTGCTGGAGCTGCGCGAGCATGAGATGGCTACTCGAGATTTCGTCGCGGAGCTTCGCGTATTCGTCCTTGCCTTGGAGGTTCTCCGCTGTGTTTATGCGACTGGTGACGCCATCGACGCGACGTCGGGCGTGATGGCCGAGCAAATGTGAAGGTATTCGCACGCTGCAAACGCGCCATAAACGATGTCCGCCCCGAGGGCTTCGAAGGCCGCGCACCGCGCGATGGCCTCGTCGAGGCCCAGCGCCGCCCTGCAATCGGTACGCGCGATCACGAGCACATCGTTTCCGGCGTCTCGCGACTCGTCTCGCGCTCGTAGCGCCGCCCGCACGCGTGCGACGGCCGCCTCGCGGTCGACTACCCTGACGCCAGTGCCTGCCGCAAATGTGCACCGCTTCGGGAAGGCCTGATCCTCGATGCTGACCGCGGCGGCGCCGGCCTGGGCGAAGCCGCGGATCGTCCGCCGGAGGTTCGACGCGCCGCCGAAGCCCGTGTCGCCGTCGACAATGAGCGGCACGCCGCCGGCCGCCCGGACGCACTGCCGCGCGACGTCCTCCATCTCAACTCGTGTGATGATGCCAGCGTCAGGCTCGCCCCTGCAGGCACTTGCTCCAAATCCCGACAAGAACAGCACCTGCGTGGTTGCAGCGCTGGTGCTGTCGGTGGGCTTCGCACGGCATCGATTGGACACTGCGCGGGACTTGGGCGCCAGCCTCGGCGAAGACTTTCGTCGACAGCGCGTCGTGGACGCCCGGGCACACGACGGCTCCGGGCGCTCGCAGCACGGAGCGCAGCTTACCAGCAGCGCTGATTGCGCTGCACTGCGCGGCTGCAGCGGCTGCAAGGAGCAGCCGCATGGCCTGCTGCATTGAGTGTGCAGGGCTACTCGTAGAAAAAACGGGCCCTGCAATGGATGCTGCACTACTCGTAGAGCCTCCGAACTCAATGTGTGTCCACTCTTAGGGCCACTGAGCTGAGCTTTGCAATCGCCTCGCAAGCTAGCTAGCGCCTGTAAGGCACTAGCATTCCAGCGGGAAGCCGGGGAAGGGTACGGGGGACCCCGCGACGTAACTAGCCTGAGCCTGACATCTAGACAAGGTCCCGGCCGCGCCAGGCGACGCGCGCCCGCCCCACGCCATCGACGCGGGGACTCGAGTGCTACGCTAGAGCAGCAATGCGCGCCCCCGAGTACGCCGTCGACGCGGAGTGCTCCTAGCTTATCCCAATCGCACCGGCTTTACGCAACTACTACACCAACCAGAACGTGTCAATGGACCGCCGGAAGGCGCCGATGCTCTTTCTGTCCACGTCTATTGGAAGTGCGTCGACGGCCGGCTCGCCGCGAACGTGCTCTTGAACTTCTTCTCGGGCGCGCGCACGATGCGGTGCGGCAGCGGGAATTTGATGTCGTCCTTGGCGTACTGGATCGTCGCCGGGCGCTTCAGGTCCGCTTTGTTCTCCACGACGCCCGTTCTAATAATCTGAATCGACCGCGGCCGCGCGCGGTGGCGGCCGGCCATCTCCGAGTAGAGCTGGTCGACGGCGCCCGTGAGTTTCGTCGCGCGGTACTCGCGGTACATGTTGTGCGTGCCGCTTCTGCTGTTGTAGCGGAGCATGACGTAGTACGTCTTGACGACGCGGTCGTTCTTCTCTCTGATTTCGTTGACATCCAACACCTCGCCCGTCGTCTTCTTCATCTTGCGGTACTGGTGCATGTAGTACCAGAAGCGGGACCTTGCCAAAACTTCGTTCGGCGCGAACAGCTTCATGCGGTAGACCGGCGGGTCCGGCTCGGCCGCCGTCGGCGCCTTGCGGCCGATGACCTGGTAGAGCTTGAAGCCCGGCATCCTTACCGAGCGCCTCGCGGCTTTCGGTGTCTTAAAAGCTTATTTATATACCGGCGGTCCCGTTGCGAGATAACCTGTGGAGACCGACGCGGGTGAGGGCTTTGATTGGCGAGTGGCGAGCGCGCGGTCGCGGCGGTACGGTGGTGGGCGCGGCCGAGACGACGTCGGAGAGCGTCCCCGGTGTTTCACCCTCTCAGAGCGGCGACGCGCCGCGTTTCGGGCGGCAGCGTGCCCCGCGGGCGTCGAGCAGTCCTGCTGCGCGGCGATCGCCGGTGGCGCTCGCTCGCCGCAGGGCTAAACTCGAACTCGCTGGTAAGCGATTTGGTTAATCTCGGACGTACCGCCGCGAGGCCAGCGCAGTCTTCTCTCACGCGTAGTAGATGGGTCGTAGAATGTATAGCACGCGGCTGCTGACCGGTTGTCGGCTAGGCGACGGTCTCCAGGCCCGATAATTATCGAGCTCGCCTACCAAGCCCAGCGCTCGCTGGTTCGGGTTCTTGAATCGTTTTGGCTCTAGAACGAGCTAAGATTTGTCCTAAGAGCAAGCTGGAGGCCTCTTCAATGGCCTGGACACTTCAGCGGGCGATCTGAAATACCCGCACGCTGGATTTTCGACTTTCGCAGTACTTTCGCGCTGTGCCGGCAGCCCTGCAGGCAATTACGGCAGCGAAATTGCGTATCGGGACATCGCGCAAGCACGCTGCCCAGCCATGCGCCTCCTCGCCCTCTTCACACTCTGCTATGCAGCCAAGAAGCCAGACCCAGCCTCGAAACGCCTAGTGATCATCAGCGGCCCGCGGACCGGCTCGTCGCTACTCATCCAGATGCTGCGCGCCCACGACCAGGTCCTCATGCACGGCGAGCCCTTCCACGAGTTCGACGTGAGACAATCGCGCAAGGACGGCTTCGACGGTGGCGTGGTCATCGAGGACTCCGTCTATAATGAAAGGCACAGCGACCCCCAGAAATTGCTCGAGGCCATCACGGCGACGGCCACGAAGGAGCTAGTGGGCTTCAAGCTCTTCCGGAAGCACGTGCCTTCGCATAAACTAGGTGAGGTGCTGCAGTGGGCCACCCATGTCATCTGGCTGACGAGGGAAGATAGGCTCGCCCAATATGTCTCAATCTGTCTGGCGCTGAAGTCGGGAAGTTGGGTGCAGTTCGAGGACGCCAAGGATACGAAAAGTGAATTGCGGGTCCGTGGGGCGGCTCTGAGGCACGCTCGTAAAATAGGCTCCGTCGTACTCTCGGACGAGTACTTTAGGCTGTGGCAGGGCGCCCAGGCGGAGTTCGCGGCTTATGCGGATGGCATCACGACTTTGCTGGGAGTGGAGAACAAGGCCCCCCAAATACTGAGGTTGTCCTACGAAGCTGATCTCTGCCACTCTACGCTAAGAAATGACACGGCGCAGCGCATCCAGGCCTTCCTTGGATTGGCTCCACCGTCACGGAACATGAGACTACCTCTAAGACAGGGCCGCGACGACCTTGCAATGCGAGTGAGCAACTGGGACGACGAGTTCGTGATCGACGCGCGGCGGCAATTCGACGACAAAAGATGTCGGATCGAAGGGCGACGGAAACGCAAGTCCTATTCTGTGAACGCCCCGGTGACGAAGATCGACGGTGTCCTGGGGGCCGCGAACGCTTTATTGAGGGGCGGCGCGACGGAGTCCTTCGTGGCCCGGTTGGAGCGGCGCGAGAAAGAAATGGCGGCGCGCAAGGAGTTCGAGGCGAAGGAGCGTTTGAGGGCTAAAGAAGTGTGGGAGCGCGATAGGCAGCGCTTGGCGCGGCGCCAAGAAGAGGCCGCGGCGCGCGAGGCCAAGGCGGAGAAACGCGCGGCGCACCTGGGCCGCGACGGCGCCGCGCGTTTGGAGAGGATGATGGCCTTCCGGCGCGCGAAGGGCCTCGGCGGCTCGTCTCGCGTTCCTCCTCCTCGCCGGCGAGAAGAGCCCCGGCGGCTCCAGGAGCGGGAGCGGGATTTGGACGAGGAGAGGAACGTGTGCATCGAGGGGCGGGAGGTGCTCGCGGGCATGACGCGGGGCGTCGGGTAGGGTCAATGTGTGTAAGTTGTTGAAGGCGTTCGCGTCGATGGCGTACGGGGGGAGCCAGCAGATGTGCCGGCGGCGGAGTCGAGGGGTCGTAAACTTGAGCCAGGCGATTCAAGACGACGAGACTGGCCGAGTGTACTGGCTCCTTAGGCCTCGTGGGGGAGATTATCTCTATTATTGTTACGGTGCTAGGACTAGTGGCGCGGGTCTGGGCTAGTTTAGAGACACACTAGCATTTCACGAAGGTTTGCCTGGCGCCGCACGGGTCAAGCTGCGGGCTGCCGGGCAGCATCGACAGCACAAGTCCACCACAGCTCGGCTGGCGCCATAGCGGAGCAGCACAGATGCATCGATACGTGTGAGCCGGGATGATGAGGCGTGCTGCCCCCCTGCTGGCCCTCGTCGCGGCCGCGATGGCGGACGGCAACGCCACGAAACAATGCGAGCCCTTCCGCATCGTCAGCGACCACAACGGCTTCGGGAACGCGATCTTCGCGTTGTATCGAGCCTTCGCGCAAGCACAGCGGTGCGGGACATCAGTAGAAATCCTCTCCAATAAAGAGAAGCACGACCGCCTGTCTCGCATCTGCGCGCGCCTTACGTGTGAAGGCGCGACCATCAAGGACCAGGGTTCATTTAGATGGGGCGAGGATCGAGCTGGTTTATTATCGACTTCCTTGGGGGGCCAGGAGAACGCCTGCCCGCCCGGGTGTGGGCTGCGGGGCGGCAAGCGTATTCATGTTACTCGCATGCCAGTCGATTCTGCAAAGTTCACGCCCTCCAACAATGGCGCGTGGCTGGCGCCGTTGACATGCGTCGGTGGTGATAATACTGGTAAGTTCACCACAGCAGCACATATCCGGTCGATCCGCTTTGATTTTGAAAAATCGCCGAAGGAGGTCCTGACGCGCGCGCGGACCCACCCCGACGACCGGGAGAATGATACGATGTCGTCCTACAAAGGGCGCGACGACGGTCACATGTTGTACGACGTGGACGAGTGGCGGTTCCTCGCCAATCATATACGAGACGGTGTGAATAACATCTACATCGCCTCGGACAACGCGCCGGCGCGCGATGAATTAGCAATGAGGATCGCCGATGGTGGAGGCACGGCGTGCTTCGTTAACAGAGCGTCGGGCCACTCGTCCTGGCATTATGGGGAGGAGGCCGACGACCACGCGCTGACGGACTGGTGGCATTTAGCACAAGCCCAGACCATCCACCAGATCGATTTGCGGTGCCGGGGGAGGACGGCGCATTCCTGCCAGTTCAATCGCAAAAGATGTCCCCGGGGCTCGGTCAAGCGCGGCCGCAACAACGCCGGGTCAAGCCACTGCCGCGGGTCCTCCTTCTCGCACGCGGCGCACCGGCTCTACGCGGGCACTCGAACGCGCGCCTACACGTGCGTTAATTGTCAGACCTTGTCGTCGGCGGCGCCGGGGGCCAAGGAGTCGCGTCGCGACGCCGACACGGCGGCGGCGGCGGCGGCGGCAGCACCCGCCGCGGCAATCAAAGGCAACTGCACGTCCGACATCGAACGGAAACTTATTGAACTCCTCCCCGGCCCGGGCATCCTATCAAGAGGAGAGCTGAGCAAGAAAATCGCGTGGGTCCCCGACGAGCGAAAGTCGTGCGTCGTCGCGCGGAGCTTGCTGGAGATCCGCGCGACGCTAAACCCGGCGCACGACCTCGTGGAGGCCGTATCCAAAAGCGTGTCCGGGCGACGCACGACGCGGCTCTCGGCGACGACGCGGAGGCGCTCCCGCAAGGCCCTCGGCGACGTCTTCTTCGAGGCGTTTCTGGACATTGCGTCAGATAGGCTCCTGGCGCTGGACGCCTGCCCCGCATCGACTCCGACGAAAACGTTGATCTGGTTCGTCACGCGCCGCGACGCCAAAGCTCGGCTCTGCGTCAAATTGGCATTGGCGGCGCTCGAGGCCGAGGCGCGAGGCTGGGGTTTGGGACTTGTCCATACTGATCCAGAAGCCGCCGCGGCCGTCGTCGACGCCCTGCCGGAGCGCTGCCGCGGCCGCGTCGCCCTCAAATCGGCCAAAGGGCTTGCTGACGTGATCCTAATGAAGCAGAAATGGGGCGACGATAATCCCCAATTTACGAGGTGGGACCTGTCCTGCCTCCAGGCGTCTTCGGTCTACTACGAGGGGCTGGACGCGCCCGTTGTGATCGCGGGCGGCGAAGATGTTTTAGTGAGACGCCCGATCACGGACGACGAACTGGCCTACACGATGCTCGGGGCGCCGTGGCGGCGGACGCAGATTAGGTTCGGGGGCAACGGGGGCTTCGCCGTGCGCGACCCGGCTTTTGTCAGGGCCGAAGGCCGTGTGGAAATCAACCAGTGCGTCGGGTGCACGAACCGGCATCGCCACGCCATCGAGAAGGCGTCGCGTCGATGGCGTGGAGGTCGACGCGAAGATTCAGCAGAACGTTCCGCACAGGCCGAAGGGATTACGATCGACCCGCGCGAGAATTTGGACGCGTGGGCGAACGCCTGCCGGAAGATGGGTAAAAGGGCCGACGACGTCCACCTCTCATATAAGCTCGGACTGCTCTATGATCGAGGGAACCTAGGCGCGTTCAAGCCCGCGTCGCGGGAAGTTTTGTTGAACTTCGCCGCGGAGATGGTCGAGAGCCCGGGCGACCCCGCGGCGCTCCACGCGGCCTGGCGCCATCTATCGATAGACTACGTCGTCCGGCAGTTCGAGAAGGTTGTTAGTGTCGTCCGCGACTTCGAAGCGCCTGCGGCCTAATGATGTGTGTTTTTTACTACATGGGCACCATGACGCCATCGACGCGACGCATCGACGCCAATGGCTCCTGAAGTCCCCGAGGACGCCGCGCGAAACACCAGTACTAGGATGCAAGACCCGTTAGAACACACAAAATAAAGGTGCCGGCGCAAGGCCGGTCAAGAGAAGGACGAGTCCGACAGCACGGACCCCAAATCAAACGGCGAGGCCTCGACGTTCTCCGGCGGCTTGTCGACGTGCAGCGCCACGACGGAGTCGGGCGAGACGTGCTTGACCGCCCCGTAGGGGTCGATCCGCGGCAGATCCGGGGCGCTCGCCGCGGGCCGGGGCGAAGAGGGGGCGCTGCCGGCCTTCGGAGGGGGCGCGAGGCCCGCCTTACGCGCGCGCTCGAACACCTCGTGCACGGCCGTCGCCTGGAGGCCAGGCACGCACGCCGCCAGGGCCAAACAAGCTTGCGCCGCCGCGCCTCTCTTCGCCAGCTGGGGCGCATCTCGAAAGGCGACGCAGGCGATGGACGCCGCGGCGACGCAACGCGCGTCGTCCCTGGGGAAATGCGTTTCCAGTACTCCCGCGAACGCGGCGGCTCTAGACTGATCACAGGGCGCCAGCGCGAAGGTGCTCTCCCGGTTGCGAGCCAAGCGGTCGCCGAGGACGGCCACGAATTGGCACGCGCGGCCCGCGTCGTCGTTCACCAAACGCTGGCCGCAGGCCTCGACGAGGGCGCTCGTCGCCCGTTGGATGGCCCTGGCGTCGATGTCTACGAGGCAAGCTCGTGAGACGTCATCAGGATGCAGCGGGTAGGAGGACGACCGGGCGGCCCAGACAACCAAAGCGCAGGCTTGTGAGGCGCTCGCGCGGCCCGGTTGCGTAACGCCCCGGGCCGCGGACGCCGCCGCCTTCAACCCTTCACTTGGAGCCGCCTGGTCGTGGAGCAGCGACCTAGCTCGCGCCCTTACGTGGTCCGGGAGCCGCAGTCGATCGCTCAGCGCGTCCATAGACGATTGCGCCTCGGCCACGCGCCGCCTCCTACGACTTTCGGCGGCTCTTAACTGCTCCAGCGTCGCGCTCGGCCCGGCGTTGCGCCCCCACTGGGATTGATCTTCAAAACGCTTGCGCTTCCGCTCGGAATCCAGAGCCTCGACGTCGACGTCTCCTTCCACTTCCGCCGTGAAGTGGTAGCTCCGGTGCCGCGTCACGTCTCCACCGGTATTCTCGAGCCTCGTGCAGGAGTCGTCTACCTCCAATCGGTCCTGGAGCACGGTGCCGCAGGACCGGCAGACCACGTCGCCCGCCTGTTGGTCGACTATGACGTTGGCGCTTCGACACGCACTGCAGTGCGTGGGGTAGCGGTCCGGGCGGAGGAGCTCGGCCATCTTTCAGATGCTCGCGCGCGCCGCGCGGCGGCCGGAGACGGGCGCGCGCGGCGGCGAAGGGAGCTCAGCGAGTTTGGCCCCTCAAAGTCAGCCGCACCGCGCCGCGCGCCAGCGATGGGCTGTGACAGCGAGCAGCGGGCAGAATGGCGCCGACTGCTGCCGCATCGGTCCGGGCTCGTAGTGAGCCGCGCGCGCCGCGTTTTGGCAAAGTTGCCACGGGTTTTGTAAACCCGCGCGCCAAGCGAAGATCCTTCGGTTGCGTCCGTTCATCCTCGCACGCCTTGCTAACGATAGAAACGCGTCCTTCGATCGGTCCGACTCGGACTCGACGGCGTCCGGCTGGTTTGCAAACTCGCGAGCGGGTGCTGGCTACGGCCGCCCCCTTCGCACGCGTGCAAAGTGCACCGTACCGAGCGTTCGCACGCCGAGCCCTCGGAGCGCAGCCGACCGGTGCCGTAGGCTCGCGGCCGAGGCTTGGCTGCCTGCCTAGGCCTTCGGCAGCGGGCGCAGCCGCGTCGCGCGGGAGCCCGGGGCGAGCCGCGGCACGCGCGGCGGACCCGGCGCGCGGGCCATAGCGCGCGGAAGCGCGAGGCCCGAGCCATGGCCGACACGCCGGCGGCCGTCGCGGGCCTCGACTTCGACCCCGTCGAATTGCTAGAGACGGAGTTGAAAGCGGCCGATAGAGCGCGGCGTCTGAGAGCCGTACGAGGTTTGTCCGCCGTCGCGACGGCGTGTGGGGTCGAGGCCGCCAAGGCTCGGGTGCTGCCGGTCATCGAGGCGCACGTTTCTGCCGGTGGCGAAGAGGATGAGGTCCATTTGAGGATCGCCGAGGTCCTCGATTTCAGCTTCGTGACGTGTCTCGGGGGTGGTGATTCAGCACAGTTATTGCTGCCGGTCCTAGAAGCTTTATGCAGGGTCGAGGAGACGACGGTGCGAGACCGAGCCTGCGTATCGTTAGCTGATATCTTAGAAAAGTTGGACGCGGGCAAGGCGCCGAAGACCGGCGATCGCGTCGTGAAGCTCGTGTCTCAGTTAGCTGATCCTTCCGGGGAAGCCTCGGGCTTCGGGTCGAAGTGCTCGGCCGCGGCGCTCTGCGCTCCGGTCCTAGCGTTTCTGGCGCGATGTTCGGATCGCGACGACGACAAGAACAAGGTCCGAAAAGTTTTCAGAGGCGTTTGTGAGGATGATGCGCCTTTGGTAAGGCGGGCAGCGGCCGCGAAGCTTTCGGAGGTCTGTGCGTCGATCGACGGGCCCCAGGACTTCGCCACGTCGTTGACGCCGTCCATCACGAAGCTGCTGGAAGATGAGCTCGATGCGGTTCGGGTCGTGGCCGTGTCTCAACTAGGTGCCGTGTTGCGAGAGGAGAAGTGCCGAGCGGGCTCGGAGGCCTGGTCCCGGACCATCCAGCAGGATCTGGAGAGTGATGGTGAGGCAGCATGGTATTCCACACAACCCGCAGCTCGAGTAGTACATGCGGCGCACAGCGATACGTCCTGGCGGGTCCGCGAAGCCGTCGCGAAAAGTTTTGATGGGTACTGCGCCTATCTCTCGGCGCAAGCAGACGCGGAGAGCGTGGCTCCCGGTTTGCTGGACGCCTTCGCTTCATTACTAGACGACGGAGAAGTGGAAGTGCGAGCCGCGGCGTTCCAGTCGTGTGTGGCGGTCGCGAAGCTCCTCCCGAAGCACTTCGCCGCGTCGGAAGGCGTCATGGCGTCGACCTGCGGCGGTGCGGACAATCGCGTCGAGTTCAAGGTACGGCTCGCGGCGGCCGGTGCTTTGGCACGATTATTGGGCGCATTAGCTCCGGTAAATGGCGCCCCCCAAACGGCCCAGGACACGATTTTTAGGACCGTCGACGCTCGATTATTCAGTGATGAGCACGTCGAGGTCGCTCTCGCGACGCTAGGTGCTCTAGCGGACGTCGTGCCACACCTCAACGAAGAGGCCGCGGCACGAGTGGCAGCTTTATGTGCCGCGAACCCCGTGAGTGATAATTGGAGAGTGAGAAGAGCACTACTGAACGCCCTGCCCGCACTAGCCCAAGCGAGAGGCAAAAAGGCCTTCGAGGAACAGCTCGTCACGGGTTTAGTGGAACGGTTCCGCGACCGCACCGCGGAGGTGCGCAAGTCGGCGGTTTCAATACTAGCTCGATTACGAGATCTACCTGAAAACGAGGAGGACGAGGACGGCCCTCGCTTATTTGATGGGGACTGGCTCATGTCGAATGTGGGTAGCAAGCTCAAGAGCGGCTACGGGGACCTCGAAAAGTACCTACATCGGGTCACGGTGGTCCAGGCCTTCGAGCAGCTGAGTCACGACCAGCTCGCGCCGGAGCACGTCGAGGTCATCGTGGAGTTTCTGTGCGAGGCCGCCAGGGATCCCGTGGCGAACGTCCGTTTTACCGCGGTGAAGGCGCTGGAGACATGTTCTAAACATGCTGGCGACGAGGCCGTCTCGACGCACATCCGGCCCCTGTTGGATTCGCTCAAGGAGGACGGGGATGATGACGTGCGCGCGCACGTCGCGAGCGCGGCCGCGGCGCTGTAGAGGGTGATTTTTGGTGGGGTCACACATAAACTACGTTCAAACTTTTCTTTTTTCGCGTCGCGGCGACGGCGTGGGGCTCTCTACACCCACGAAGCGCCGGGAACTCTGCTCCCCCGCCCTCCCGGGCGCCGGACGACCACGTCTCGATGCCGGGCCCATGCCTTTCGAGGTCTGGTCCTATTGTACCCGCCCCCTAGGTGCTAGCGCCCCCCAAACCCGAGGACCAGCTATCATCTATCAGCGCGATCTATCCGTGCGCGCAGCTAGCGGCCTGTAAGACACACTAGCATCAAAAATCAGCGCCGCGGCTCCAGCGCGCAAAGGACTGCTTGAAGCGCTCGTGCTGTGCTTTGGCTGAGCTAGGCTTGCTCGCGCATTGCATGCTGCAGCGGCAGTGGGACAGCAGCTCACGCCATCGCCGCGACGCGCCACAGGGGCAGCCCTTACTTAGGTTAAGCACCAAAGCCAGATGGAGCGCCTCGCCACCCTACTGAGCGACGCGCCACTCGACCAAATACGGACGAAGTGGTCCGAGCTCTCGTCCAAGTCCCTCCTACGCTTGGCACCACCCTCCAGCAAACTGCGAACGACACCCTGCGCCGCCGACCACCTCCCGGAAGGAGGCCCGTTGCGATGCGAAGATTTCCTGATATTGCTGCACCACTTCCGGCCCGGTGAAAATGAAGAAAAATGGTCGCAGGACGCCCTCGACTTATTTAAACAACTAGACGTCACGGGCGATGGCTTGGTGGAGTGGTCCGAGTTTGCCGATTTCATATTAGCGCAGGACATGTCGAGACCTCCCGGCGGCATGTACGAATTGGCTGTGGATGAGAACAAAGCGGCGGAACTAGTAGGTTGTTATTTTCCCAGAACATATGAAGTGATTGACGGTGGGGAGTGTAGTTGGGACGTTCAGATCAGAAAATTAGTCTACCTCCCACCACCGATCCACCGAGTGGCGGCCTTCCCGACGAAGCAGCGAGACAACGTCATGATCGTCAGCGCGAACCATCCACCAAGGAAGCAGAGCGGCATGCTCAAGCACCACACCTCGTACCGCGAACACGAGGTCTGGGACTGCGTTGGTGTGGATGGGACGGAGATTTGTGTGACATCCTCATCACTAGAAGCGCCTGTGCGCACGCGACGGGACCAGGACGATCCAGGGGATAAACACTACCTGACGATGTGGCGAATAACAAAGGGCATGCCCGATGTGGTCCATCGTAGGGAGACTCCTACATCACAATCAGCGCTGTGTTATGCGCAGCGGTTAGATCGACTCTTTACGGGCGGTATCGAGGAAGGATTCGTGTATGAGTACGCCTTCGACGACCCCCCCAGGATAGATCATAACGTGCCGGAGTGGAAGAAGCCCCCGCCCGGACCGGTGGCGTTGGTGAAATGTCGCTGTTTGCGGTGCCACGTCTTTGGGATTAGCGTGATCCAAGACTTACACCGACGGCTGGAGGACACAAATCTCATCGCGACGGGCAGTACGGACGGCACTTTGCATGTCTGGTTGCAGGGCGACTGGCACGCCAATCAAGCAACAGATTACGACACGGTCACGTCCCAGGACTCGGCGATGACTGATATATCCCATTCTCATGCGAGTTCTGTTATCCCAAAACCTCAAGATAGAACTGAATTAGAACCATTAGCACGGTTATCGGCGCAGACGGCTGGTTCGGCCGTACTGGCCCATTCCGACAGGCATGAACTGCTGTTTTCCTGTGGGCGCAAGCCCGTGCATGGAGACTATAGCTCAGGTGACATCCTGGTCTGGGACGTGTCGAACGTCGAAATAGGCATGAGGCTCCAGGCCCTGACGCCCATGACGTCCCATGAGAACCGTGTTACTGATCTACTCGAGTTGCCGGACGAGGATCGACTTTTATCAGCGGATATTGATTGTAAAGTTATAGCGTGGTCCTTACCTGGTTTGGTGCCTCTCCAGACCTTCCAGGGAGGGAACTGCGTCGAACGAGTACCCTTATATAGAGATGCCCCGCCTCTGGAAGCTGGTAAAGAAGACGGCTGCGTGATCTACGGCGCGGGACCACTGAAAGCCTTCCGCCGAACCCAACCGGCAGTCAAGGAACCCCTCGTAAAGGCCCACTACGATTGTAATATGGGGACCTTCCTCTGTGGGTCAGCCCATAGGATATGTGTCTGGGATGGTTCGACAGGTAAAATGAGGAGCCAGGTCGGCATCCCTCATCTATTAGCTCAGGACACGGCTCCCCAGTCGCCCACCAAACTCAGAAGCAGACGACCGGTCATAAAAGGCAGAGGCAAGAAGTTCGAGGTCGACCTCTACAAAGAAGTCGCAGAGATTAGTGGACCGGAGCCGACGGGCGAGGCCGTCGCTTATAGCGTAGCGCAAGATGGGCGGAAACTCGCTGTGTGTACGGCCAAAGGTGGGGTCCATGTTTGTGTGGTCCCTTCTGGAGGTCATGCCCCGAGGTTGTCGAAGAACTTGGATCCCCACGGCTCATCTTGTTCAGATGTATGTCTCGTCGATGAAGATAAATTAGTATTATCAGGTGGCTTGGACGGGAAGGTGGCCGTGGCGGACGACGCGTTGGCTACGGGCTATGAGGAGCCTACTGAGGGCGTACAGGGCAAGTTCGTGCGGCTGCGGGACGTCAACGTCGTGCGCGCGCGGAAGAAGAAGCGAAAGCAGCGCATCAAGACGAAGCTGAAGGCCGTTCATGCCCTTAGTTCACCTACACAATCAGTGGCCTCCGACGACCTCTCGGCCACGTCCCCCCAGTCCCAATCTTCAGAAATGTCGTCAATAGGCTCGCCGACGAACGCTCGAAGTTCCTTCGAGTCCATGTCCGCGTGCTCGTTCTCCTTCGCTTCTTCACCAGCATCCCCAACGGGGACCGAAAGCAAAGCATTTGCGTCGAAGGATGTGAGACATGAAGTTTTATGTTGCGTGGCCGATGCTGGCTTGTCGTTAGTAGCCTCGGTGTCACGCTCGTCAAATGACCCGCACGAGCCCTTTATATGTGTCTGGGATTTCGAGCATTTGGAGTTGCGAGGGACTTGTAGTCCACCTGTGGGGGATCTACAAAAGGCCGCGCAGCAGGGCACGCCGCCGCCTCGAGTGACGTCTGTCGTGTTCGTGAGACCCTATCCCGTGTTATGCGGTTCTACCTCGACCGGTACACTGCATTTGTGGCGCGTGCCCGAGTGCACCCTTGTAGCATCACTGACGTTCGTCGATTCACCAGCAACGATGCCATTTCTTCAAAAACCCGAGTATCCCGCTTTTTTGACCGATGTTTCGAAGCCGGAGGTCAAGGAAGTGTCGTTCGGGTGCGTCGACGTGTGCGTCCATGACGCGGGCTGCACGTTGTCAGCGGGTGCGGACGACGGCACGTGCGTCGTCTGGTCCTTATCAGCTGACTTCTTCACGCATGCGTCCCTCGTACCAAATTCATTAACAAAGCGCGACAACTACAATCCGCGGCGCCAAGCGCATCCGGTGGTGGAGTGGGGCGAACTTAGACGTAGTAGGCGTTTATCGCGTATCTCGTTTGGAGCGAACCCATCACCACAAGCTCTTGACGACGCCCAAACGGCATCCGATGAAGCCAAATGCTGGGACGCCCATGCGGGGGTCGTATCATCAGTGCAAGTCGTCGCGAGACCGCAAGCCATCGTTACGGCCGGCGAGGACGGCATGGCGCGCGTCTGGACGTTTGACGGTCAACCAATCGGTTTGCTGGACGTCAACGCCCCGGAGGGTAATGGTATCCCGTGGCACTTCCGCACGGCGGCCTTCGAAGAACATGGTGGTGATGGGGAAGCGCGCGAGATGCTCCACGAGGCGAAGGCGGCGGCGGCGTTTTATGCGGGGATGAAATCTCGAGCGACGCGGGACGAGAAAGCGCGAGCACGCGAAATAGCCCTCACGAAGCTCAAGCAGGGCACGCCCGAAGGTTTGGAAGATCTCGCGTCCCATACCATACGGTCTAGAGCAACGTCGCCTCCTAGATCACCTATTACCTCGCATAGAAAGTCGACGCTGGTCATCGAGGACGTTTCGCTAGAAGAGGGCTGGGCCCTGGCGATCAAGAGCCCGACGGCCTTCCAGCTTCGAGATGAAAATGCCACATTGAATCCGCACGACACGGCGAGCGAGGGCCGCAAGGGCTGGGACGCCGTCTTCAACGGCATCAACGCCCTCGAGGAGCAGAACCGGGCCAACGAACTTGCCTTGAACTCGCCGTCGAAATTGAGGCGGCGGCGGTCCATTAGAGGCGCGATAAAAACAAGCGGCAAGACGTGGCGCACCTTACCTTCGTTGATCGACCTGTCTCATTTAGCTTCGGAGTTGCCCGGGCCTCCTGGAAGGTGCGATCCTCCCGTTGTCAGGAAGCCGAGGCCCCACGGCCGCGTCAAGTCGCTGCGCGAGCGCGTTTTGAGTAGAAGGGACCAGCTCATTCCCCGAAAACTGGGACCGGACCCGGCCGAGGGCTTCGCGGACAACGGCCAGTCCGTGGCGCGCATGATGCGGCTGGCGCACATGGGGTACTAATCTACTTGTGTTTCTTAGTTAGTTCGTTGCCTGCCAGAAGGACAGGATGGTCCACAGGACGCCGTTGTCGGCCCGGCGGAGGATGAACTTGATCGCTGGCGTCGCCGCGAGGCGCTCGCGCGCGCGGCCCCGGGTGATGAGGCTTCGCAGGCGCAAGATTCTTTTGTGATCTTGGCGGCAGAACGCCTTCCAGCTTCCCGCGGCGCGGACGCCGTTAATCAGGGCCTTGACCTGGACGAAGGTGTCGCTGTCGCGCAGAGCAGGATTCGCCTCCTCAGCTGCCCGAAGTTCCATCTCAGCCGTCCTTTCGTCGGAGACGGCATCCAACGAAGCCCCCGCGCGCAGCAACAACGTGGTTATGCGATATATAATTGTAAAACGTTCTTCCGAGGACCCTTCGTTCGGAAAGCCCAAAAGTGTCATGCCGAGTGGAGTATCGGCCGGGTATGAGGCATCCTCGGGGTTCGGTTGTGCTCTGCAGTGCACATTGGCTTTTGCGTCCAGGAGCAACGCGACCATGTCCGCGGAATGATCAACTAATCGGTCGCAGGCGTAATGCAGCGGGGAGAGGCCCAATGCAGGTGGCTGTTCTTCTGCACAGATGTTGACGTCCGCCCCGTGCTTTATCAGCAACCGGGCCAAATCAACGTGTGACCTGGTACGGGTGTGCGGGGTACCCGCACAAATGAGGAGCATGGTATGTCCCCGTCCACCGCGCTCATTCACGTCGTTCCCCTCGTTAAGCCACGCCTCGATCGGAGCGACGTCTCCATGTCCAGCGGCATTCGAAAGGTAATCTGGTAAAACCATAAGCCAACTCGGAGTCCGGGCGCGACGTAAAATAAACTTGCCTCTAGGCTCTGGAGTGACAGTGGAGTCTGTGTCTGCTGTAGGGACCTCGCGTACACGGCGTGGCCGCGTTGCCCGGCACTGTGGGGTTCTAAATTAAGGACTACGTCAGTCACCAAACGACGGGGCGTACGCCGCGCGTACGCCGCAAATTTGCGGTGAAAAACCCGTTTTTTTTGCTCGGCACGCGCGCGTAGCTCGCAGCCGCGGGCCCACGCGTGGCCACGCTACCGTCAACGAGGCCTTGTCGTGGCGCTGTGTGCCAGTGTGTCATTCATTCACCAACTTACACAGAGACGCCTCTCCCGCGGCGGGCCGACTACTTGTCCGCGCGCCAGTACGACAGCACCTTCCAGACGATCCCGTTGTCGCCCTGTTTGGCGACGAACGCGATGGCCCGTTCGTACTTGCTCCCGCCGCCGGGGGGCGCGAGGAAGCCCTTCGTCACGAGGCCGCGCACAGCGCAGACGTCCTTGTGCGGCCGGCGAATGTAGGCCTTCCAGCTGCCCGCGGCGCGCACGCCGGTGATCATCTTCTTGCACTCGATGCACTTTTCTTTCGTCTCGGCGATGACAGTTGGGTTCGCCCCGGGGATAGAGTTAATAAATTGCCAAAATTGCCGGAGAAGATTTTCGGCTGACATGTATGAGGCACCAGATACCGCCCGCACACAAATGTCGTCCAACTCCGCCCCGGCGCGCAAAAGTGCAGCGACCTTCGACGGAAAGTTCCGTACTGGGCCGTAGACGTGATTCATAGATCTCACCGTCCTGAGGAGTCTCCCGAGCGGCGTCTCAATATAGCCGCTGCCGCCGCCCGATGTCCTCGCCTTCACGTTCCCTCCCGCCGCTAGCAGGAGGTCGAGCATGTCTCGATTGGGAATCGCATCAGTAGAGGCCGCATGCAACGGAGAGCATCGCCCCATATGGTCGTTGTGCGAATCACTAGCGCATCGGTTCACGTCGGCGCCACGCTCCAAAAGCAGACGAGCTAGCGCGACGCGTCGATCGGGGGGCGCAGACATTGAGCAGGCGATGAGCAGGGTGCATCCGTACTCGTCGTACTCGTTTATACATGCGCGGCCGCCATCTGGCTTGCCATCGAGCCACGCTCTCACGGCGTCCAAATCTCCGTTCTCTGCCGCAGTCGCGATTTCTGCTGGGAGGACCATTTACGACAAGCACGCGTCTGCCCGCCTGCTGAACTGGTGCTGCTCCTCGCACCCAGGGAGTATAGTGGCGTTGCAAGTCTTGGCGCCTCGCGCAAGAGAGGTGGACAGCAGGGTAATTCTAAGACTCCACTCGTCACTAATCTCAGGATCAAGCCACAGCGCTACGTAGCGCTACGCAACTTGCAAGAGCAGCTTTGCTTGCTTGCTAGTGTCTTACAGGCCGCTAGCGCGCGGGATTTCCTAAACGCGGGAGCCCTTTGCTTGCTTGCTAGTGTCTTACCAACCTAGCTCGAGTCATCCAGATTATCCAAAGGGGGAAAGGATTTCTGTGCACGAGGCGAAAGGAAGTCAATCCTCCCCTCGTCCGACCGCATCCATCATCGGCGGCGCCGCTCGACGCCGCGACGATGAACTTCCCGTCGGAAAACCAATCCGCGACCTCGCTCAGGCGTCCGCGGCCACGGATGTATGACCGAGCCGCCCTTTTGCCGCTCCGCGCGCCGCGTCGCCGGCGCCGACGTGTAAAATCCAGTGGCTTTCACACAGCCCGTGTGCGAGGCGTCACGGCGTCGGGCCAGCGGTCGCCGGTCGGCGCGATGAAGGTCAGAGTAATGCGAACTCGTTACGCATTCGTCCCAAACTACGGTCGTGGACGTGGCCCTATCAATTGGCCTGCATGCCCAGCAAAGCGCAGCTTTGCCAAAGCCATCAAAAATACGACTCATTACGCGCCGAACGACCCTTCCGAGGCTTCGAAACGACGTGTGTCTGCAAACCAAAACAAAAACGCCAATGGTTTGCGCGCGCGGCGATGCGGCGATCGCGAGGCAGACCGCAGTTCCAGACGGAAACACTGGTCGAGTAGACGTCCTCCTTATGTAAAGTCCGCCCGATTATCGTGCAGACAGAGCTACACGGGGTAGTGTGGAGACACACTAGGATCAAGCTTCTTGTGGAACAAACTGTTGGCTGCCCGAGAACCACACGACGCTCATGGCAGCCCAACAAACGATGGGGAAAGAGAATGTAGCCACAGCGGCGACAGCGGAAAAGCCCGAGCCGCCGGCCCTGGCCGCCCTGGATTTAACTGGCGCCACGCCGCCTCCATTGCCCATGGCGCCGCCCGCCGCCACGCCGTCCAAGCCGCCGGCGCCTCTGTTAACCCCGCGATCGGCCCCGCCGCCGCCGCCGCCGCCGGCGCCCATCGCCTGCCCGCGCATCGAGGCCAAGGACTTTGAGACGTTGGCCGCAGCGCTCGAGGCGGCCCACGTCAAGCCGGGCCGCGTCGACGTCGTCGTCGCGGAGGGCACGACGCTCACGGGGACCATAAAAGTGCCGGCCGGCGTCCGATTGGTCGGTTCCGCCGGGACCAGGCCTATCATCATGAGTACTTTGACGCTCAATGGTGACGGCGCGGGCGTCATGAATTGTGACTTGCGGGAGGGCGTCAAGGTACAAATGGGCACGAAGGATACTGAAGTAAGAGGCTGCGCCGTGACGAACCCCTGCGACGCCGGGATATTGTCGCGCGGCGCCGCGTTGACGATCAGCGACTGCGAGCTCTACGAGTGCGAGGACGCCGTGCGCCACACCTACGGCGACCGCCTGACTTTAGTAAGATGCCAAATCAGGAACATCGACGGCGACGGCATCTGCTCGATTCCCAAGATTTCACTCCTCGAGGACGTTTCCTTTGAAAACATTGGGCGCCACGAGGTCATGTGCAAGGCCGGCGTCCTGCGCAAAGTGACGTCGCCCGTCGTCGAGCCGCCGCCGCCGCCGCCCGTGCCCATCTCACAACTACCCTACGGGCCCGCGGGCTAGACTTCTACCGGATTGGATCCCTCGACCGCCTAAGTCTGTAGTACCGGCATTTTATTCATGTCACATTTAAACATTCTAGCCCGGGCCTGGCGCGGCGTACCCAGCCGGGACCGCGGTAGGATTCCAGTGTTGGACCGACGTCGCGGTGTAGCCCGGGAGCGGCCAGACCCGCCCCCGCGCGTTCAGGACGGACGAGAAGTCCCGCGTGAGTTTGGCCAAATACGGGTGGGGCGGTCCAATCTCGAACGCCAGCGCCTCCGGCGTGAAGGACGCGTTCACCGCGTACGGCGCGACGCGCACGACCCTCCCTTGTAATTCGTGCGCCCACATCCCCGGCGTGTCGTCCACGATCGCTAGACGATCGTCCGCGATCAGCGACAGCGACAGGTCCGCCGGCAACGACTTCTGGGGCATCCCCGTCTCCCTATATCTTTGTCGAGCTTCCGCGTCGATGACCGTGACAGGCAGGTCCCGCCAGATCAAGGATATCGCCGAGTAGTAGGCGGCGTTCCCGATATTGGCAGAAGCTAAGCCATCGAGGTGGTCCGCGATGGCCCTGATGACGCCCGCGCCCTCCAAGTTCATCGTCACGATCCTCAAATCCACGTTGCCCGCGTTCCGCAGCGCCCAGATTAAATCTGACGCGCCCTTGCGCACGGCCACCATCAGATCCAAACCCTGGTCCTCGTGGTTTTGCGACGCCTGGAGCCTGCAGACGCCCTCCGCGAGCATGTCGGCGTTGCCCGGAAAAACCTTGGAAGGGAGCACGTGCACTAAAGTTTGATCTAAATCCAACAAAACGACGTTGCGCCGCACGGCGGGGTGGTGTTGGAGCACCGGCGCAGTTTCCGTGGTGGGTTCCTCCGGCCCGGCCCAGCCCTGGGCGTTATTTGCCAATGGTAACCTATTGGGATTGGACGGCGCGAGGCTCCCGGTCAGCACGAGGGCAGGACTGCCAGGGGCGAGCTTCTTGATCCCGGTGCCATACGAGTACGTCTGGGGGAACGCCGTCTCCGTCGCTGGCCCGCCGGGGCCGTACGCGCCCGCGTCCTCGGGCGCCCGGAAGTCGTCTCCATGTTGTTCGCGGCCGACCACGACCACGCGCCCATTACCCTTGCCGCCCGGCGCGTGGGCCCATCTTAACTTGTCGCCACCAAACTGCGTGATCGTTCGCTTGATGCCCGTGCCCTTGCACTTCTTCGCGCGGTGCCCCGGACACGCGTCGTGGAACTCCGTCATAAACGTGGGATCGATGCCATCTCTATTATTCGCGACGAGCCAGTCGTACAAGGCGTCCACCAAACGCTGGCCCGGTAACCTATTGTCGCCGGGGACCGGCGCCGCCGGCGCGGCGCCCATGCCCGCGGGCCCGTAGGTGCCCGCGGCCACCGCGGCGTTGCCGTCCGGGCCGTACGTCGGCACGACGCCCGCCGCCGCCTTTTTCAGATAGGCGGCCGTGTGCGGCAGGCCCGTCGCCGGGTTCAGGCCGCCGGCGGCCGCCGCCGCCGCCGCGCCGGGCAGGAAGGGCGCCGGGATGCTCGTGCTCAGCTCCCGGTGGCCCAGGGGCCCCGAGAGGGCGTCCGTCGGCCAGCCAGTTGGTGGCGGCGCGCATGCCTCGATCGTGTGCGGCAGGCCCGTCTTCGCCGATTGGCCGGCGAGCGTCTGCGTCACGTCCTCGATGCACGCATCAATAGCCTCGGGCGCGCCCGTGAACGCGATGCGCCTCCTTCTATTACAGCCAAGAGTCGAGGGCTCGTCGCGGTCCGCTATTCTAGTCTGCGTGTTTCCGTACAAACGCCGCAGCCTATCTAAGTTCGACCCCTTGCCGCCGACAATCAACCCCACGACGACGCTTGGCACCGAGACGACCCTCAACACCTCGCCGATATTCGTATCCGGCGCGCGCGGGAACGTCTTCGGGCCCCAGCCACTGTCGTCGCCGTCCTTCTCCGTTGAAGCCGGCTGCAGCCGGGCCCAGCCCACCGTTTGTAAGCTGGGCGGTTCTGCGGAAGGGACGACGGGCGCCGCGCCGCCCGGACCATAAGTCTCCGAGGCGATGGGGCCGTAACTACCAGAGGCGCCGACCTGAGTCGTAGTTCCCGCGTCGCCGGGGCCATAGGCGGCCAAGAACGGGCCCTCGACGGGCGGCGAGAACTTCGACTTCTTGCGGCGGGCCTTGTCCTTCTGGCGCAGCATGCGCCGCTCGTGCGCCGAGCCCTCGGCCGGCGCGGCGCGCGGCGACCGCTCGCGCTTGGGGATGCGGGCGGCGCCCGCCGGCGGCGGCGCGTAGCTCGCGAGGCCGGCGAGGCCGCCGCGCGCCGGCGCCGGCGGCGCGTGGCTCCCGAGGCCGCCGAGGCCGCCGCTCCGCGCCGGCTGCGCGGCTGCCGGCGCGGCCGTGGCGCCGCCTGGTGGCGCGTAGCTTCCTAAGCCGCCGAGGCCGCCGCTCCGTGCTGGCGCCGGCGGCGCACATCTCGCGACAATGATCTCGCTACCATCTACGAGGCCGAGGCTCGCTGGCGTCTCGTTGCCCGTGAGCGCCGGCGAGCTGAGATTACCAACCGAGAAGTGCAGCGCATCCACTTCGAAGCCTTTGCGCGTCGCATGGGCCTTGAACAATTCACGCAATGCCGCCGTCGAATTCACCACGCAGGTCTCCTCTTCGAGAGCGCGGGGGCCGAGGACCTGAATTGTAATACGACCCGGCGCCGGCGCGCCGTAGCTTCCTAAGCCGCCGAGGCCGCCGCGCTGCGCCGGCGCCGGCGCCGCGGCGTCCGCCGCGGCCGCCTGCAGCGCCTTCGCCGAGACCTTCTTCGCCCGCTTCCGCGCCCGCGGGTCCGCGGCCGGCGGCGCGGCGGCCCGCGGCTTCTGGCCCTCACCGCGCGCGGCGGCCCAGAAGGCAGCGTCGGGCGGCGGCGCCATCGGCGGCAGCCCGGGTGCCAGCCCCAGCGCCTTGCTCTGCGCGTCGGTGCCCCAGAAGGCAGCGTCGGGCGGCGCCTTCCCGAGGGGCGTTTTGGGCGGCTTCGCGCTGAATCCGTACGGCGGTGCCCCACCCGGCGTCGGTCGGCCTGACAGCGCGACTGTCGCCGCCGGGGTCGCCTTCGGGCGCGGGATCGGCGCGGCGGCGGCCGCCGGGGCCGGCGCGCGCGCGCTGGGCCGCACTGGCGCGGCGAACGACGCCGCGAGGGGCGGCGGGCCCGGCGCTGGTGCCGGCGCGGGCGCCGGTTTCGGCGTCTTGCGCGGGACGCACTCGAGCGCGGCCTCCTCCTCCTTCGGCGGCGGCCGCGGCGGCGGCGACGGCCGCTTCTTGACGGGCGCGGGCGCCGCGGCCGCGGCCGCCTTCGACGCGACCTTCTTCGGCCGCGGCGCCGGCGCCGGCGCGGAAGCCCAGACGGCCTCGGCCCGCGCGAGCGCCTGCTCGCCGACGGACGACGCCTTCTTGGCCTTCTTCTTCGGGCGGGGCTGCGATGGCGGCGCGGCCGCGACGGGCGCCGGCCGCTCCGACGCCTTCACGGGCGCGGGCGCGGCGTCGTCCTCCTCGTCGAAGAGGGCATCGACGCTCGCCGCGGGCGCCGGCGCCGGCGCCGCAACGACAGCGGGCCCGCGCCGCGTGACCCAGCCCTCGACGTCACGACGCTTGTGCCACTGGTGGTCGACGACGGCCCTATCTCTCGGATCCACCCAAGCCACGCAATACATCCCTTTGTCGTCGGGGCCGCGCGTCACCGTGCCGGGCCAGGGCGCGTTGCCGTAGCCCGAGAATTTTCTGGAGACGGCCGAGCCCAGCAAGGAGTCGGCCTCCATTTTTAAGGGGTGCGGAGTTCGCCTCCGAGCGCCGGTCGCGCGGAGTCGGCCTCCAGGCGGGCGAAGTTTTCCTTCGGGGCCGTGGAGCTGCCTCCGGCGATCGGCGCGCGGAGTCAAACGCGCTGACGGACGTCGCGCGCGGAGTTTCACTCCGGCGACTGGTTAGGTCCTGTTCGCAGCGGGAGTACACTCCCACGCCTTGATCCAGCTGCTGAACGCTGGGTATCGCTGTCTGGAGTTAACCTCCAATCTTTACAGGTTTTCCGCGTCCGTTGCGCGCGTTCAGAACTGTTTTTGTGGCCCGCTGGCGCGATTATTTTTTTCGAGCTTAGCGGCTTGTAAGACACTAGGAAACAAAAACCGAGAGTCTATCACGTACAATCATTACACAGGCGCCTCACTCATCCGGCGTATCGACGCGCCGAGCGGCCACCAGGTCCTCCTCGTCGAAGGACCCCAGGAACCGGGGAGCCGTCGCTCTAGCTCGCGTCGCCAGCGCCTCGGCGTGCCAGGGCGCCACCGACCGCCCAATTGTCGGCGAGGCGACGGCGGCCTCATCCAACAGCCCTTCCACATCACCGGAAGACGCTGGCACGTCGCCGAAGACGTGCTCCCGTAAAAATCTCTCGACGCGCTGGGACACACCCCTAGGCCGCACGGAGTTGTGCGTCCCGGGGCACACGCAGAGCTCAGCTTTTGGGAGTGCCGCATGCACGGCGTGCGAGTGTGCTGGCGGTACTAAAGCATCATCAAGAGCACACAGTACCAATGTAGGACACGCACACTCGCGCGCGTGCCTCTCGATGTCGACATCATAGATATCAAAACCAGCGCGCCTTCGAACAGCACCCCTTACCAGTCGCAACGCCCCGATCGACGCGACGCGCGCGGCGCCGTTGAGTTCGGAGCCACCGAGAGCGGATTGCACGACATCTAAAGCAAGCTGCCGTAGCGATTGGAAGGGCGAGTCGAGTATTAACGCTACTACATTGGGATCCCTTGTAGCAGCGTACAACAACGCCGTCGCCGCGCCCATACTGCGCCCCCACAACGTCACTTGCCCGCAGTCCTCCGCATCAATAACTGCTCTCACATCGTCCCGTTCCCGCCACCCGAGCGTCGTGTGCTCGCCACCACTCAAACCAGACCCGGCGCAGTCCAACGCGATGACCTGGAACCCCATTTGTAGACATGGGCCGAGCACCGACAGCGCTTCCAACCTACACCCTGCATTCGCGTGTACGTACAGTAAAGTCTTCCTGTCCCTGTCCTCCACTCCGCGCCACACCGAATACCGCACGACCTCGCCTCTTTGATTCGCTGTCGTGGCGTCCTGCCGTCTATACGCTTTCCCACCAAAAGGAAAAGCTCGCGGACCGAGCTGCGACATGTCGTACCGCGCGCGCGGCGGCCGCACGAAGGCCTGCACGGCCTGCTCGAAGGCCTGGCGCGTCTTCTTGAGCGTCGAGGCGTCCTCATCTATGTCACCGTCCGAGTCCTCCTCGGAGATGGCTGTCGTAATTTGGTCGAGCTCGTCGGCGGTTTCGTATTGGGACGGCGTCGTCAATTGCGCCACGGCGCGCCACCAGTTGATTTTGGCTTCCAAGGTCTCGAAGCGGAGGAGTAGTGCGGCGTCGTCGTCGCGTGGTTGGATCCTCACCAGTAGGTGGGGCTCGCCCGTCAGTTCGACGCTGTCGAGGCTCGCTCGATAAATGGGCGTGGATCGGTTGCCTTCTGGGTAGATTAGTAGTGCCGGCCTCGGGCCCCTTTGGACGACGACGACGCGCCTCAGCTCCCGCGCCAGTGCTTTATCGATTCGCGCTTGTAACACGTCGGTGCGCCAGGGCGGCAGGGCCGGGTCGCCGCGCTGCTCGGCGACGTCGTAGCACTGGCAGAACATCTTTTTTTGCGCTCGCGCGTCGTCGGCGTCGCGCGTATTCAAATGAATGCGAGAGTCTCTTGGCCTGTCCGGAGTGTAGGGCTGTGCTGCGCGGGTAGCAGCCGAGGAAATCAATACAGCTATGGAAAATGCTTCGCCGGCAGTCGCTACCGCTGCGAAACGAGCCAGCCGGGCTCCGCGCGGCGCGAATTTCGACTCTGCTGTCTGCCTGCCCAGCTTGGCCGACGCGAAGCAAGGCGTCAAGCGCCAACTGTAGCTCTCCAACGCGTCGGGCTGGACCACTACGAGGTCGCACTCGCGAAACAAAGCATGCCCAAAAAGCGACAAAATCAGCCCACGTACCATCGCATTGGCATCGATAGCGCCGCCATAACTGCATCCCGGAGGATACAGAGCTGCGAAACGGAGCACTGTGAAGCCTATACCACGAATTGAGTCGCTTGCTTGCATTGAGAGCAGCAGCGACTAGTACCACTTGCAAGACAGCAGCAGCCATATTTGCTTGCAAAAAGGCAGCCGCCAGACGACACAAGCCACCAGCAGCCCTACGCAACGCAACCATGAAGTACTACCCCCAGTACAACAATTTCGTGACATGGCCCGCCATGTTGATCCCGCCGGCGGTTTATGTGGTCGTCGCCGTCCTGGCAAGTAGGAGTGTCACCCCGGGCAAGCCGGTATTACCGGCAGGACTACTCAAAAACGTTTTGAGAGTATACAACGTCGTGCAGATCGTGCTCTGCACCTACATGACTTGGGGATTACTACCCGTCGTCCAACCCCCGAACATCTTCGGCATCTCTACGGAATTCGACGCCCGAGGCGAGTGGTTCATCTTCGTGCACTACCTTTCCAAATTCCTCGACTGGTTCGACACCTTTTTTATTATCGTGAAGGGCAACGCGAAGAAGCAGTTATCTTTCTTACACGTCTACCACCACTCGTCGATTGGGCTCATGTGGGGTATTCTACTCATGTACGACAACGCGGGCGGGACGGCGCGCTACGGCGCCATGATCAATAGTGTGACGCATGTCCTGATGTACTCCCACTACCTCTGGACGTCTTTTGGAAGAAAGAACCCCTTCAAGGCACTTTTGACCAAATGGCAAATCGCGCAATTCTACTCGTGTTTTGTTCATGCGGTGCTCGTGCTGACGGGCGTCTGGATCGTCGAGACGCAGCTCAAGCTCGAGCTGGCCTGGCTCCAGTTCTGCTACCACATCACGATGGTCTACCTCTTCACGTTCAAGATGGCGTGGATCCCCAAAATTTATATCGACCTCGAGGACAAGTCCGCTTAATTTTTATTAATATTACTACATATACACACCCGTCGAGTCGATGGCGTCGGAGTGGACGCGATGACTTGCGCTGCCGCGTCACACAAAAGTTCACGACAGGAAGTCGTCGTCGTCGGCGTAGGCCTCCGCCAGCGCCGCGGCCGTCGTGCGCGCCGTCAGCGTCGTCGTCACCACGACCAACAGCACGCCCGCTATGAGTAAAACGGCGTCCTCCGCCACCGGGAGGCCGTTGCGCTTTGCCAACAACAAATGTACCAAAGGAGGCAGCGCAAATGATAAAGTGCACACCGCGACGGCGCCCACTAAACCGACGACCAAGGCGAAGGCCGGCATGGCGTAGGCGACGAGCGCCGCGGCGACGGCGACGAGGCCTCTTACCACAAGCCGACGGCACCGCGGGATCCGCGCCTCGACGATCTCGCCGCAGCCCACCAAACCAATAGGAATCGACGCCACGCAGGCCGCGGCCATGGCCAACCGTACCAAAGTAGGAGTAACCCCCATGGGGAGGGCGTCCAAGACGTTGCCGGGCACCGAGTCGTCTGGTGCTGGCCCATCATAAAGTCGGGCCACGCCGGCGCCCACGATCACGTACGCCGCGAACGCCGTAAACAAAGCGACTCTTTGTGCTGCGGCAAAGCGCTCGGGAGCGGCCATCGATGCTTCCAAATGCAGCGCCACGGGCGCGACCTGTGTGCACCCGACAAGTCCTCACTAAGTCATTTCTCGGCGATGACGCGGCCGTCCTGGCTCGGTCGAGCGGTGAAGAACCGGCATCGGCACGCCATCGAGCAGGCGTCGCGTCGATGGCGTGGAGGACGACGCGAAGATTCAGCACGAACGCGCCGTAAAATTTTGATTTCCACACAGGTCGCGACGCCGAAACAAAAGGCCATCACTCCCACCGCGGCCCCCACATCAGCGACGGAGTCGGGCTTCGTCCAGTCGAAGGTGCCGCTCTGCGCCCATCCCAATCTTTCCCTTCTCAAAACGCCGTAGAGCGCGATGGCCGCGAGCGAGCAGGCGAGGGCTACCAACGCAGCAGCTCCCGCGGCCGCGAGCGAGCCGAAGTCGTCGACCAACGCGAGCGGTACGGCGGCCGCGGCGGCCAGCGCGACGTCGACGCCGAGCGGCAGTGCTAAGGGAGTAGCTCTCACGAAGTCGTGGAGCGCTACTAAATATGCCACAGCTACGCCAAACATCAAAACGAAGAAGACGGCCTCGACGACGCCCGCGACCGCCGCGCCACAGACCTCGCGGGTCAGCGCCGCGAGCGGGGACTCGCCGCCGCCTTCGTTAAATCGACGCAGCGCATCGGCGTCGAGGAGGTCGCGCGCCTGGATGAGCCGGCGCCCCGCCCAATCATTCCACGCCAACAACGCGAGCAGCGCCAGTGCGCATGGCAATACGCCTCCGGTCGAGAATGCGTGCGGCACAGCGAGCACGCCTGTACCGATACAAAACTTTAGCATCGTCGTCACAGCCCCGAGAAATGACGTGTTGCCCGTCTTGCTCCCGCTGCCGGCGAGTGGCAGGGTCTCGCTGGGTCTACGCGAGCCGAGTGGTTCCGGCATTGCTGCAGCCTCGTCTTTGAGCACGAGTGGTTGCAAAATGTAGGGCACTGTAGCGAGAAAGCTGTTGTCACACCAGCAGGCTGCAACACAACGAGGCGAAGAGTAATGTGGTGGCTGGGCGGCCTAGCATTACCTAAGCAATGTGTGTCAAAAACGCGACGAGTGAAAACGCGAAGAGCAGGGAGCTAGCGTCTGTGTAAGACACTAGCAATCATTCACATCTCTCCTTTGTACCTCTATTTCGTACCCTTACGAAGAAGACCGCAACAAAAAAAGACACTTTCTAGTACTTACCCTCCCGCCCCGTCATCGCGAACACGCTCGCGCCGGGTTTCCGGCCGTGCGCGTAGGCCCACGGCACATACGTGTCCGCCATGTTCACGGCGCACGGCTTCACTTGATAGGGCCCGGCGTGCCGCGGGTTCGCGTTCAGGTCCGCGGGGTTCGGCGCCGTGACGTGCAGAGGCGACGGCGTGAAGGACGGCGGCATGAACGTTCCACCGCAGATGCTATCATACGTCGCGTTCTCGCCCCGAATCGCCGTGGCGAAGGTCGCAGATGCACCCACGGCCTTGGCTTTCACGTCCTTGCGAGCTTTGACCCGTGCGATAGCATTTGCAGTGCTATCGTCCATGACCTCCGACACCGTTGCCAAAGAAGCTCGCTCCAGCGACGTGCTCCTTGCTTCTCGTATTTCCGAAGCTCTCTGACGGGTATACTTCTGGGCCTCCATGCGCGCGGGCCCTCGTCCCGGATAGTGTACTCGTAAGTCATACACGGGACCCGGACTGACAATGTCCTTGATCGGTCGATGCAGCCCCAGACCCGGCTCCTTCGCTTGCGCTCCACATTTTTCATCGGGAAGAGCAAAGATCGTCACGCGCTCATCCGTCAGGAACCGTTGTTGGCCCGCTTTTGCAGGTCTAAAAGGAAAATCGACTTGATTCGGGACCTTCGCCAGGTACTTCGCGTCGGTCTTTTTCATCGTTATGAGTGCCTTGCCGGGCGTCGGGGGTTGGACCTTCACAACAGGAGCGAAGGCTCGAGCGATTTTGATCTCGTGGTCGGTGTGCGTACTATCGCAAAAAGACGGCTCAAAGTCCGTGAAGGACATCGTCTTGCCGAACAGACTATGCGTATAGGTGGAAGGTTGCTTTTTTGGTTTTTTGAACATGACTCCGGGTTTGGAGATACATCTCGTAGGACCGGGCATCCCGGGACCGCGGTCCGTCATCCTACTAAATGGTAAACCTTTGACGTCCTCGCCCATGAAGTTCCCGTGGGGCTGCACGAAGTCATCACTGGTGGTAGGACCGGGCGTCACGATGGGCATCTTGTTCGGGTCCCAGCAGCACCGTCCCGTACTAAACGTATGGGCCGATACATAACCCTTGAACACATCTCGCCCGCGAAGGTCGTCGGAGTGCCAGGGTACGGCGCGATTTTTGGTCCAAATATCGGTATGGGGAAACCTCTTGAGGGGGGCTTTATCACTTAAAGTTCGTCCGTGGAACTCCCGCGGTGGCTTGTTGAGCAGTCGGTCACCCGCCAACCGCTTGGCCAATCGTCGCGCACTCGCTTCGCGTGTGGCAGACTCGCGCATCATCTTGTCGCCGCGCGCGTCATGATACGACTCCCCAATGATCGCGCCATCTTCAATATGCCAAAAGTCGGCCTTGTCCGGCGGATCCCGGTAAGGTACTTTTTCTACCACTAAAGCTCTTTTAGCGATCGTAGAAGCCAGGCCATCCTCCAATAATTTAGCCGCGGCCTCCAACCTGTCGCGAGGACACTTGTCCATGACGGCTTCGGCGAGCTGCGGCATCCAGGGCCCCTGGACGTCTGACCACGCTCCAGCGAGCACTTTCAAGGCATCCTTCAAACCAACCGCATCCTGGGCCTTCTCGCACTCGTTCAGCAAAGTCTGGGCACCGGCAGGCGGCGTGAAGGCCGGCTGCGGCTTTGCTGGAGGTGGCGCGTCCCACATCCTTTTTGTGGCAGTGCCCGGCGTCCGCGTCATCGTCGAGCGGCTCCGGTCCCAGGCGACATCCTCGAGGTCGGCCTCCCTCCTGCCGTCCGTGTCGCAGCGGCCCGCGCCGAGGTAGCCCTTGCGGAGCGCTTGCACGATGTTGCTCATATTGCTCTGCCCTTGGCTCTGGGTCGGTGCGACCGCAGCCCTTCGGGCAGCTTTGCAACGGCTGCGCGACGGCGTATGCGCTCGTGCGGCGAACGGCTGCCCTTTTGACCGCTGTCGCGCGCCCAGCGCGATGCCTCGGAGACCGCGTTGGGCTCGGCGGCCGAGCGCTACTAGGCTGGTCGACGGACAGGCCTCCCGGCCGCCCCTCCACGACTAGAGACGTCCCGGGGCAGCCCCGGCACGCCGTAGCGAGCGCCCACGGAGCCGTGCGGGTCGCGGAGCATTTCGAATGCCAGCCAGCCGAAAACTGGGCAGCCACGCGCACACCGCCGCGCACGATACGGCAGCACTACGCCAGCCGCCGACACATACAGCCACCAGCGCGCCAGCAACGAGCAGCCGCACCAACCCCACCGGCAAATCAAACCAAACCAACCATGGGCAAGTACACGGCCTCCGACGGCAAGGAGTTCGACACGAAGCGCGAATGGCGCAAGTACGAGATGCTCCTCATGTACACCTTCAAGGAGCAGACGGGCCACACCTTCGATATGAAAAAGCCCGGAGACGTCAACGGCCAGCAATTTGATATGATGAACCTGACGAAGTAGGATCTCGGCGTCCCACGTCGGTGCCTTCACTTCCATACGACTCGTCTCCAGGAGTGATGGCCGTGGGTGGTCTGTTTTTCGAATTTGGGGTCAATCGTGATGCTCCGCGCAGGTGCGAAGCGGTGGTGGCCGACAGCACGGACATGGTCCAGATCGACGAGTGTATCGATTGCAAGGTGTTCCTCGGGGCCTCTGGTGAAAGTGTTTTTATCAGAGACTGCAAGGGGTGCACGTTCTATGTCGCGTGTAAACAACTCAGATTAAGGGACTGCCACGACTGCAAGTTCTCCCTGTATTCGCAGACGGAGCCCGTCATCGAGACGTCCGATGGGATCGTATTCACGCCCTTCGCGGGAGGGTTCGACGGGCAAGAACAATGTATGCGTTCCGTGAATTTGGACCCTTCCATTAACTTCTGGTGGGGGATTTTTGATTTCAACGACGAGGCGAAGACGGTCCGTGACTCAGTGTTGTGAATGAACTTGAACTTGATCCGGTGGAGACGATGGCGTCTTCATGAAGCCACGTCGCCTCGACGCCGTCGACGTGTCCGCGCGCGAGTCTACGCGTCTCGCGACCGCGTCGTTCCACGCAGGGCAAGAACTTTAAAGTAGTGAACGTGCCCATGGAGCCCTGGTGGCCGCTCGGTGAGGCTTCCCAGGTATGTGAACAGACCGCTCCCAATAGTGCGACGCTGCCTTCCACGCTCACTGATGATGGCGGTGGTCACGGCGGCCCGTCACAAATGAACTCCTTCAAGATCGGCACGAGCGCCGAGGACGCCCAGAACAAGGTCGACTCGCAAGCGCCGCCGCCGCCGCCAGACTTGGAATTAATTCCCGACGAGGTCCAGAAGCCCGCGGCGGACTGGACGGCCTTCCGGGTCGGGGTTCGGTACGATCCTCCACTATTAGCTCTGGAGTGGAAAGGAAATGAGAAAACTCTGAGGAAGGACATCCCGTTTCCCGAGGTCACGGAGTTGGCGGCTTTGGTGGCGGAGGTCGCCGACGACGAGTGCGCCGCCGCGGTCTTAGATCACATGGTGAAGACGCACGGCGCGCAGTGGTTGGATTTTGAGAAGTTCTTCTCGAAGAAGCAGGTCTTACGGCTGGTGGACATGGTCCTCCAGGGCGGGCCGGACTCGGTGGAGATGTAGGCATCGGTGGCGTAAGGTCTTTCCCTTTACCTTGTCGCGGCGACGGCCCGGGGACGCGTTTATTTTGCTAGTGTCTTACTGCGCTAGCCCACGCATACGCTGCTTTTGGATCGGCTTGCGCGCGCACGCTACGGGCCGCGCAGCACTTGGAGAACTGTGGGACGTCAACGTTTTGCTATCTCTTCCGCACGAGACCGTTGGTTTTGCTGCAAATAGCGCGAGCGCACGCATTGCATCTCACACTGTAGCCTGCATCTATTCGTCGCAGCAGTCAAGGGCTCGCACCATGATGCGCCGCCGCGCGACGCTCCTCCTCCAGGCCGGCGTCCTGCAAGCGCTCGTGATGCCCCGACAACCACCCATCAAAACAGCATTGCGAGCCGCCCCGGACATGGAGGACCTCACGCGACGAGTGTTTTGTAGCCGAGAACTAAACATGGCGAACATCGAGGCCGTGGGCTTCGACATGGATTATACGTTAGCGCAGTACAACGAGGCCTTCGACATGCTGGCGTTCGAAGGCGCAAAAGATAAGTTAATCGACATGGGCTACCCCAGCGAAGAGATACAAAAATTCAAGTTCGACCCCCTGCAGCACACGCGTGGGTTGGTCATAGATAAGCGACGCGGAAACATCCTGAAGATGGATAGACATAAATATGTACGAAGGGCCTACCACGGGACGAGGGAGCTATCTAGAGCAGAAAGAAAAGCCCAATATATCTTAGATGCGGGCGCGACGCCGACGTTCGTCGGCAACGATTATGTGAACGTCGACAGTCTCTTCCAGTTGGTCGACGCGTCGCTATTCGCGCAGCTCGTAGATGTATTAGACGAGGGCGGGCCGTCGTATGCCCAAGCGTTTCGGGACGTGAGGCATGCGGTGGACTTGTGTCATCAGGACGGCGTCATCAAGGACCAGGTCGCGATTGAACCATCTAAATACATAATACCAGATGATAACTTGGTACCCATGTTGACACAATATCGATTGGCAGGCAAGAAAGTGTTCCTACTCACCAACAGTTTATTTGACTACACGAACGTGGTCATGAACTTTCTAGTGGGGAAGGATGTGAATGATAGGGCCTGGGTCGATCTCTTCGACGTTGTTGTGGTCGGTGCCGGCAAGCCCGCCTTTCTGGGGGATGGTCGACGGGACATGCTGCGCGTCGACGCTGGCACGAACATGGGCACGCTCCATAATTTTGTAGGGAAGCCCGTGTCGGAGGTCGGCGGCCCCGCCTTCCTGCAGCGCGAGGGAAAGATCTTCCAGTCCGGTGCTGACTCGGCGTCCGTTTCCGACCGTTTCTGAACTTCAAGGTCGCGTCGATGGCGTCGACGTGATGCCACATCGCCTCGACGCCGTCGATGCGGCCGCACGAGAGTCTACGCGTCTCGCGAGAGCTGCGGCAGTTCCGCGACGGAATCGTTCCACACAGGTACCTGGAAGGAGCTCCACGAGATGCTCGAAGTCGGTTCCGGCTCGGAGGTGCTGTATGTCGGCGACCACATGTACGGCGACATGATCCGCTCCAAAAGATCGCTGGGCTGGCGGACGACGCTGATCGTGCCCGAGCTCGAGCCTGAACTCGTGCTGGACGCTCAGTTGGACTTGCCATTACGTCATGTGGTAGCAGAGAAGGAGAAAGAATGCGAAGAAGCGGAGCTGGCCGTGCAAGAATTGCGTTTATCTTTATTATCGCAGGGTCTGGATTTTCTTGAATCTGACGAGAGAGAAGCATTAGAAAAAGCACAGGAGGAGTCGCGAGAAGCTCTGAAGGAGGCGAGGGACGCCTTGCACCGGGCCTACCACCCCCACTGGGGCCCGCTCTTTAGATCGGGCAACCAGGCGTCGAGGTTCGCGAAGCAGGTCGTGGACTACTCCTGCATTTATACCTCAAGAGCGTCGAATTTGTTAGCGACGTCGCCCTCGCGGACCTTCCGGCCGCCTTCCGACTTCATGCCGCACGACGATGATGAGCGGCCGCCCATGTAAATACTAAGTCTTATGGTAGTCACTCTTGCCCCCCGTCTTTTCGATGAGTCGCAGGTCCTCCACTCTTATGGAGTGACTGAGGGCCTTGGTCATGTCGTAGACGGCTAATGCCGCGATTGAAGCTCCAGACAGAGCCTCCATCTCGACCCCAGTTCTGTGAGTTGTGGTGACCGCACAAGTCACCTCCAACGCAAGCTCCTGCTCCTCGAAGGACACGTCGCACGCGTCGAGCGCGACGGGATGGCAAAACGGTATGAGTGAAGAAGTTCTCTTCGCCCCTTGGACGCCGGCGACGACGGCCGTCGCCAGGACCGGGCCCTTCTTTCCAGCGAAGCCGCTCGCGGTTAACGTGTCCCAGGCATCCCGCGGGAAGACGACGCGGCACCTTGCAATAGCTTTGCGCGTCGTCGTCGTTTTGTTCGACACGTCGACCATGCGCGGCAGGCCTTTGGTCGCGTCGACGTGGGAGAGCGTCTTCGACGACAAAGCGCGGTGGCTTGCGCGCCGCGCAACAATGGTACAGCAGCGCTGCATCGTGTGTGCAGGGTGTCAAAGCGATCCGAAACGCCGCTGGAGCGTCGTCTGCGATCTGTATTTGACTTTTACGTGCGTTTGACGATCTGTGTTATGCCGCGGCGGGCGCACTAGTGCAGCTTGGCGGCTGCACCTCGGGCAGCTCTGCGCAGCGTCGAGTGATGCCTCCGAGACGCGCAGCTCTCTGACACAAGACCGATCTCCAACAGTCACATATGTTGGGGCATTGGTCGAAAAGCGCGTTTGTTATCCGGTAACGCGCCTCGCGCGCGCGTTTCAGCCCTGTGGTAAAGAACGCTCTCTGGGCTTTCATTTGCTCCCGCGCCGCCGGCTGACGCATCAGGATAGGCAGGATGCGGTCCCTCGTCTGCGCACTACTGTTGCTCGCATGCTACGCCGTCGACGCGCTCTGCAGCGAGACGCGCGACCCGGTCGGCTGCGTCGCGAAGGGGTGCACGTGGTGCGCCGCCGCAACGCACCGCGGCTGCAGTCGGAGCGGCGGTGCGTGCCCAAAGCACTGCAGCACGACCAAGCACCTCGGTGACCTGGCGTCGTGTCCCGACCTGCCGGTCACACGAGTTTCGGCGACCGATGCGGGCCCGACCGTAGGCGCCGCAGGGCCTGACACGTCGGCCATAGCGTCCTCGGTCCTGGTGTCCGGCCCTAGCTCGCCCGTCGGCGTCGGCGTGGGCTTCAGCGGCGGCGGCTCACGCGCGTTCGCGTGCACGTTCGGCTGGGTCCGCGCGTTGCGCGACCTCGGGCTCTGGCACGCGAACCTGACGGTCGCCGGCATCTCAGGGGCGGCCTGGTTTTTGGCCCCGTTCGCGTACGCGACCGCGGACGAGGCGGCGCTCTTAGGCGAATACCTCGAGCCGGAGCGCCTCTCGGCCAAAATGGTCGCGGCGTCCGGCGGCAGCATGGCCTCGTTACCCGGTCCGATCATCGCGAAATGCACAGCGCGCCTCCTCGGCGTCCTCGGGACGCTCGACAGCGAGGGTCTCGGGCGCATCTGGCGCGACGTTATTGATTCTACATTCCTCAAACCGTTGGGAGTGGTGGGAACGCGGCCGGTCGCTGCCTCTGCGGCCGCAGCCGCCGATCTGAAGCGGCGAAACCCCGGGACCTTTGATCGGAAGCTTTATAAGCCGCTCGTGCCGCGCAACGCGAGCGCACCGGTGCCCATTATGCTCGGCGCGCTGGAGGGCCCCGCCTCTATAGCGCCGCTCAAAAGTGACGCGCCGTACTTTTCACTCGCAATGGGGCCTAATTGGGCGGGCGTGCCCGGCGCCCGGCGCGTCACCTACACGTCTCGACGGAAGAACCACACGGAAACGGTCGCGGTGGGTGGTTTTGTCGAATCCTGGGCGTTGGGGGCGATACCATTCCTCACCGTCGAGCAGACGATGCCGCGGGGACGGCGCCGCGTCGATGGCGTCGGGGAACACGTCGAAGTCGCGTTGGGCACGGCACCCACCGGCATCGCGGACTCGCTCGGCATCGCGTCGATGGCGCCGGCGCGGCTTTTTCTGGAGAGCCTGCCGCCGATTGGCCGCGCCATCTCGGCGGGCACGGGCTTCCTCGACACGGTGCCTACCGTCCGCGTCTGGGCGTCCTCCGTCGACGAGGCGCCGACGACGCCTCCCCTCCAAGCCGTCGGCGACGGCGGCGACCTGAGCAACACCGGCGCGCCGTATTTGCTCCAGCGCGGCCACGACCGCCTGGTGATATTTGATTGCGCCGAAACTCCTCTTAACGTGTCCTGGGACCCGCGCGCGCGGTCGCCGACGACGACGGACGTCGACGCCTATTTGCCGCCGCTCTTCGGTCTCCGGTCTCGCGGAGACAAGGGCGTCGAGGCGGAGACCGCCCGCAATCACGTGTTCGACACCGAGGGTTTCCCGCGGTTGGTCGAGGCGCTCCAGGCGGCGGCCAGGAGCGGCTTCGGCGCCGTGGCGCGCGTGGCGCTCACGACAGTGCGCAACGACTTCTTCGGCGTCGAGGCCGGGCGCGCCGTCGACGTGACGCTCGTTTATTTAGATCTCCCGAAACGATGGGTCGACGCGCTCCCGAAGGAGACGGTCAAGGCAATCCGCCGCTACCGAGGATTCCCGGAGACGCCGACGATCTCGGACCTCGACCTTACGCGGAGCGAGGTGTCGCTGCTCGCGCAGCTCTGCTCCTGGGTCGTCCGGCAGCACGCGGACCTGCTCCGCGACGCGTTGTTGTACTAATAGTATGCTTGTTACCAAGGTACTTGCCTTCCATCGTAGTCGATGAATGACCCGGACGCCGACGCGTTCAGCGCAGCGATGCGCCGGAAGAGGCCCGCCGCGGACACGGTGGCGACGACGTCGCCGCGGTCACCTGTCATGGGTGTCGCCACGTACCCAGGATGCAACAATACGACGGACATACCTTTTGGCCGCAGGTCCACGGCGAGCGAGCGGCCCGCGGCGTTGAGGGCCGACTTGCTCATGCGGTAGGCGTAGTTCGCGCCGAGTCGCGTGTTCGAGGCGACGGAGCCGAGCTTCGAGGAGACGAAGGCGATCTTCGCGCCGGTCCCGAGGAGGCCCTCCTTGAGGCAGGCTTCCGTGAGGCGCAGCGGCCCGACCGCGTTGATCTCGAAGGCTCTAGCTACGAGGCCATAGTCCAACGATCCAAGGGTCATCGGCTCCGTCGTGCCCGGGTAGACTACAGAAGACAGCTGCCAGGTCGCGACGCCGGCGGCGTGGACCAGGACATCGACGGCCGTCCGCTGCCGCTTCAGCCCGTCGACGAAGGCGTTCACCTTCTCGGGACTCGTCACGTCGAGGCCGAGCAGGACCTTCACGCGATTCGCGACGCTCGCTTTTGATACTAACTGGTGGACGTGGGCGCTCCGGCTGCGGCACGCGGCGACGACGTCGTAGCCCGCGCGGGCGAATTGCACGACGAGCTCGGCGCCGATGCCGCCGTTCGCACCAGTAATTAAGGCGACGGCGCCGCGGGCAGTGTGCGTCGTTATGACGAGGAGCAGGCAGCGCAACGCGCGGCGCATCCTTATCTGCTGCCCGGCGGTACGTGTGCGCGCGGCTGGTCTCACGCTGCCTTTTGCTGTGTGTCCGAGCCGCGCGCCCGCGAGCGGCGGCTCCTGCTTGCTGCCCGCGCCTGTTGAGGGTGGCTGGAGGCTGCCCGCCTCGCGAATTGTGCCGATCTTTGCCGTAGCGCGGGAGGCCAAGCGCTGTGCAGAGCGCCAGGCTGGACAGCCAGTTGGCGCCCCCCAATCTCTGGCGGTCGGACGCCGCGCGGGGCCACGCCCGTTTGTTTGCGGCGTCGAGGAGCTCTCTTCGACGGCGCCCCCGACGGCCCGAGTGGGCAGCGCCCGCGTGGGCGGCGCCCCCAGCAGACGGTCGTGACCGACCGAGGGCAGCGCCTGCGTGGGCGGCGCCCCCGAGAAGATGATGCGCTACGCTTTGCTGGTGGCGCTCGTCCGGGCGAGCAGCCACTGGCTCGACGCCTACGAGCAGCGGGGCTACTTCGTGCTGCCGCGCGTCTTCTCGGGCGCGCGGCTGATGCACCTGCGGGCCGCGGTCGCGCGGTACCTCCGCGACCACGGGAAGGATCATGAGTACATGATGCGCGGCGAGAAGCTGGGCGGCTGGTGCGCGTCAGTGCATAAATCAAGTCGTCGCGTCTCCGCGCGGCCGTGTTATCGCGGAGACACACAGGTTCGTGCCCGGCATCGAGCGCATCGACCAATTAAAAATCTTCGAGGCCGAGGTCGCGAGGGACGAGCGGCTGGCGAGGATATTAAGAAGAATACTGGGAGACGACTTTAAGCTCCTGGAACGGAGCGAGATCTACGTGTCGAGGATCGGCAACTGGCACTCCGACGACTTGTACGACGCCTTTGATTTGTACGCGACATCATTACCGTACGTCGCCGAGGAGTGGTGCCCGCCGACGGGCCCGAAGAGGCCGCCGCCCCTCGCGAAGCCCAACACGCGCGCCGCCCCGCCGAAGGACGACGACGAGCTCTGCGCGCAGGGCATGGAGTATGGCTTCGGGAAGGCGACGACGTTCTGGGCGGGCGAAGGCACCGCCCACGAGCGGCGGGTGACGACGGTCGCCGTCTACCTCGAGGACCACGCCGACAACGAGGGCGGGCTGTCCGTGGCGCCCGGGAGCCACCGGAACGCGAGCGTGCACGGCGACACCGTCGCGCGATTGGATCCGTGGAGCCCGTCGCACCGGCCCGAGGCCGAGACGCCCTTCGATTTGATACGGAGCGGCGCGGGCGACGCCGTCGTCTTCGACTCGCGGCTGGTGCACCGGGGCCCGCGCGACGACGTCGCCGACTTCAAGCGGGAGCTGAGCCGGTCGAGGCGGACGGTGGCGACCTGTGTGGAAACCAACCAGTGCGTCGGGTGCACCCGACAATTCTTCACTAAGTCATTCCTCGGCGATGACGCTGCCGTGCTGGCTCCGTCGAGCGGTGAGGAACCGGCACCGCCACGCCATCGAGCACGCGCAACGCGCCGTAAAATTTTGATTTCCACACAGGTGGCGACATTTTCGTTCGGGCGGAACAACGCAGTGTCCGAGGCTGTGTGGAAATCAACCAGTGCGTCGGGTGCAATTCTTCACTAAGTCATTTCCCGGCGATGACGCGGCCATCCTGGCTCGGTCGAGCGGTGAGGAACCGGCATCACCACGCCATCGAGCAGGCGGCGCGTCGATGGCGTGGAGGTCGACGCGAAGATTCAGCACGAACGCGCCGTAAAATTTTGATTTCCACACACAGGTCCGAGGCCTTCTCGCGGGGCATGCGCTTCCGCACGGACATGCTCTTCAACGGCAGCATCTGCGGCGCGCAGCGCGACAAGAATGGGGATCCGGACTTCGGCGCGCCGTGCGCGTTCGACGCCGTCCGCGAGGACCTGGCGCGGCGGCCGCTGCGGGGCGTGCCGGACGGGAGGCCGTTCCTCGAGGCCCGCCGGGACCTGGCTCGGAGGCGATGACACGAGTAATTACCATCGGATGGACCATTGCGGGGCGGGCGGAGGCGAAGCGACTACGCGGGCGCGACCGCGCCGGTGCGGCTCGGCGCCCGCAGGCACCACACCGCGCACGGGTGGCAGAACATCGTCCAGCCCATCAGGCTAATTCCCACGAGTAGGCCCATCGGCGAGTAATAGAACCTGTGTGGAAATCAAATTTTTACGGCGCGTTCGTGGCCGTCGAGTCATCGACGCGACGCCGGCTCGATGGCGTGGCGATGCCGGTTCCTCGCCGCTCGACCGAGCCAGGACGGCCGCGTCATCGCCGGGAAATGACTTAGTGAAGAATTGTCGGGTGCACCCGACGCACTGGTTGATTTCCACACAGAGTAGAACATCGTGGGGGCCTTGAACCAGTAGTCGTGCCTGCCGCATCTCCGCAAGTGCCCCTTCGATTCGTGATGCTCCCACCAAACGCACGTGTCAAAGCGTTGTGGTACAAGAGCGGAGACCATCCAGAGGCCGGTAAAGAAGAAAAACCAAGCGAAACTGTGGAAGCACAGATTATCCCACGCGAACCGCGTGCAGCCGCAACTCGTCGCCTCGGAGAAGACCACCTTATCGAGTTCCTTCTGCGCGTCGTCGTCGGCCTCGGCCTGGAGCATCTCGGCGATCTCCCGGCCGAGCCGCGACTGCGCCAGACCCTCCTCGCCGCCGGCAATCCTCAAAAACACCTTCTCCATCGTCGCGCGCGCGAGCGAAAAGTCGATCACGCCGAGCCGCGCGCAAGCGTCGTCGTCGAACGCGCGGAACGCGAGCGCCGGCGTCCGCCGCGGGTCGACGCCCGCGAGCTCGAGCGTCGCAATGTCCGCGTCCGCGGCGGCGACGTCGACGTCCGGCGACGAAAAGGCCTCGCGCGCGAACGCCACGAGGTCCGCAACGTGCGCGTCGTCCCGCGTCTCCAGGCGGCACGAGATCTCGTAGCCCGCCGCGTAGCGCTCCTTGAGCTCCTGCGGCGTCCCGATGCAGCGCATGGTGCCCTTGACCATGATGCCGAGGCGGTCGCAGAGGAGATCAGCCTCGCCCATCGAGTGTGTCGTCAGGACGACGGCGCGGCCCTTCATAGTGACCTTGATGAGGTCCCAGAGATTCCTTTGCGCTCCTGGATCCAGGCCCGACGACGGCTCGTCCAGCAACACCACCGAGGGGCCGCCGACCAGCGCCACCGCGACCGCCAGCTTGCGCTTCATGCCCCCCGACAGGCGGCCGGCCGCTTTGTCGGCGTGGTCGGACAGGCCGACGACGGCGAGCGCTTGCTCCGCGGCGTGGCGCGCGTCTCCTTCGATGTCGACGCCCCGGAGCCGCGCGAAGAGACTCAGATGGTCTCGGCCTGTGTGGAAATCAACCAGTAATTCTTCACTATCGAGCAGGCGTCACGTCGATGGCGTGGAGGACGACGCGATGATTCAGCACGAACGCGCCGTAAAATTTGATTTCCACACAGGTCTCGGCAGCTCAGGTGGTCCCAGAGGACGTTCTTCTGGTTGACGACCTGTGTGGAAATCAAAATTATGGCGTGGCGATGCCGTTTCCTCGCCGCTCGACCGAGCCAGGTCGGCCGCGTCGTCGCCGAGAAAAAAATCTTCGTGAAGAATTGTCGGGTGCACCCGACACACTGGTTGATTTCCACACAGTTGACGACGCCGAGCGACCGCGCTGCGCGTTCGAAGTCCTGTGTGGAAATCAAATTTCGGGCGCCCCACGCCATCGACGCGATATTTTCTCCGTAGCTGCGTCTGCTCGATGGCGTGAAAGTCAGCCTAACTCACTGGTTGATTTCCACACAGCTCTTGACGGCCAGCACGCTCTTCCCCGCGACCCTGGCGTCGCCGGACGTCGGTTCGACGGCGCGGCAGATCATCGACACGGTCGTTGTCTTTCCGGCGCCGTTCGCGCCTAGTAAACCAAAAACCTGGCCCGTCGGCACGCCGAACGCCGCGCACTGGACGGACTCGACGGCCGCACCGCCGAAGAATCGCGGCGGATATATCTTCCGCAGCTCCGAGACGACGAGGCCGTCGCGGTCCGCTGACTTGATGTCTCGCACGAGCGGCGGCGGGTACGGGTCGTCGCCCGGCGGCACGTTCCGCAGCATGGCGACGGTGTCGCGCACGGCGGCGGAAAACCTCGTCGGCGGCGGCCGCGACGGCGGCGCTTCCTCCTCCGGCTCGTCTACCACAATCTGGAAGTCGTCTTCGTTCGTCGACAGGGCGTCGCCCGCGCTCGCGGCGTCGCCCGCGCCGGTGAGTGCCGCGACGCGCGCGCGCTCCGCGGCGACGTCGTCGGGCATCGCGTTCGCGCGCACCTTGGAGACCCGCGTCTTCACCCAGGCGAGCGGGCGCAGGGCCCGTTGATCTTTAAAGAAGACTATTCCTTCATAAAGTATGATGTGGAAAAAGGCGAAGATCACGGCCGCCCAGCCGCTCGGTAAAGGCGGGTCCGCGCGCTGCCGCGAAAGGGGCCCGTCGCCCGACGCCTCGAGAAATCCCCTGCGCTTCAGCTGCGGGTGGAAAGCCACCTTGCAGACCTGGACCGCCAGGTTGCCGAACGGCGTTGCGATCGATGCAAGCCACCCGAACTTACAGGAGATATCCTGGTATAGGAGCTGGTTGGGGTTGCTTGTTGTGACCACCCACCAAAGTCCTGCGAGCCCGGCCGGTGCCGCGCCGCCCACGAAAGCGATGAAAATGGGCGTCGACGCGACCGCAATGAGCGGCGAGTCGAACGTCGTCGTCGCGAAGTGCGAGAAGCTCACGATCCCCGCGCTGCAGAGCGGCAGTAAAATCCACAACCACGGCCAGCGCTCCATCCAGCGGCGGACGACGAACTTCGTGGCGTTCTGCCAGGCCCCGGCCCCGATGCCGCGGTCCCAGATGCTGTCGCAGTACCACTGCGTGATGGTATCGTAGGAATCGGAGCTCCAAATACCGTTCTGGTCTTCTTGAAAGCCCCCCGGGTACCGGTCGTGGAAGGCGGTTGCTAGCGACGTGGCGGTCGCGTTGTAGGGCCCGAGGTCGAGATCCCCCTTCCGAGCGGCCGCGTGGAGCTGCGCGTAGGTCGGCGCGCTGCTACATAACCGCTTGCGATATGCCATGCGCGTCGCCGCTAACATAAAAACGACGCAGACCGAGCCGCCCACGAGTACCAGCGCGTCGCCGAGCCAGTTTCCCAGCCAGTACGTGAAGGTGTCGAGGCCCGAGACCGCCAGCAGATTCCGCAGACCCCTGGCGCGCTCGCGGACGTAGGGCTCCACCACGAAGCCCGCCACAAGGAAGTAGGCGCCCACCAGGACCCCGGCGACGAGTACGTTGTAGCCCTCCGCCCACTTGCTTCCGAAGCGCGGGACCTTCTTCCTTCTGCCCATGGTTCCGCGCACGACCAGCGGCATCGCCGCCGCCGCCACTTGGAGGAGCACCAGGATCGTTCCATGTATCCCGGCGGAACAAAACGCCGAGGCGAAGACGGAGCCCAAAACTTCCACGACGAGGCCAACAAAGAACCCGGCGACGCCGCCGGCGGTCCGCGCTCGCGCGCGGCGGCCCGCCGCGCTCGCGGCCATGCGCCGAAACGTCTTCTTGTCCACTTGCCAGCCCACAATCCAGCCCACACTCCACCCCGTCCCCGCACCCGCGATCGCACCAAAGACCGATGTTGGAGAACCAAAGTACGGCCGGAGCCCGGCCTCGAGGCCTACGGCGATCGCCGTGGCCACCAGCGACGTCAGCCCCCGCGCCAGGGACTCCCACCATTCGGTTTTCACGAGGACACATGTCATCCCCACGAAGGCGCCTACGACACCGCCGGCGACCGCGCATGGCGCCGACACCGAACTTTTGAAACAGTAGTATCGCACGCCGCATTCCAGCGCCGCCAACAAAAAAACGAATGCTGAAAAAGCGACGGAGGTCGCGAACCACAAACCCAGGCCGAGCCAGCCGCCTCCCTGCACGCCCACGGCCACGCCGAGGGTCGGCGCCCCGGCCAGCGCCGCGACCAGGACGGCAAATTTCGTGGGTACCGTGAAGGTCGTGTGGTCTTTGCTTGCGCGCGCCCGCGCCACCGCTTGCTTGAGCCCGCCGGGCACCGCCGCGCCGCCGAGGACGAACTTTTTGATCCACACGAGGTCGTCTCTTATTTGCTGGAGCCTGTGTGGGAATCAAGAGGTGAGTCGAGGTCACTTTGATCTGTCTGCACCGCTGGGAGCCGAAACTGGACCACGGCCGCGACGAGCCTCCCCGCCGGCACCGGCTCGCCTGGCGCCGACGGCAGCAAGGCCCCGCCAACCAACGTCTCTGCCTCCACGGGCGCCGCCGCGCCCTCGACCTGCTCGCCGACGGCTATGAACACGTCCTCGAGCGACGTCGCCGTCACCGAAACGTCGACGAGGCCCAAGCCGTCGGCCTCGGCCTCCAGCCCCTCAAAGAGAGCTGCGACGCGTGCCCTGGGTGCGTGGACGGTGTACGTCGTCGTGACGTCGCGCGCGGAGTCTTCGAGGAGGGGGGCCTCGGCGTTCGCCCAGTTCCGCGACGCGGAGAAGCTCGTGCCACGGGTCGCGTTCAGGAGAGGACTCTTAAATGATGACGAAAAGCTCTTCGGCGTCGACCCGAGCAGCGGGTTCGCGGCGTCCGTTTCGGTCGCCCGGCGGAGGTCCTCCTCGAGCTTCGAGGCCGCCGCCAGCTTGGCTCCGGGCACGTGCTGCGCAAAAATCCCTTTAAGTTGATCGCGCGCCGCGGCAGTCGTCGTCACCGCCACGTGGAGGCCGCCGGTCGACGTGTCCGCGCCGCCCTCGGCCTTGGCTCGAGCCTCGGCCGCCTCCCGCTCCAGACGAGCCTTCTCCGCGGCTAATCGTTCCCGCTCCTCGGCCCCGGCCGCGGCCATGCGTTCCGCTAACGCTTTGGCCTCCGCCTCCTTCCGCCTCGCCTCCTCCTCCGCCGCCTTGCGGCGAGCGGCGACCTCTGCGTCGTCGCCCCCGCCGAAGTGCCGCTTCAGGAAAGAGAGAGTGCCGCAGCACGTCACGCTCCCGGCCGCCATGATCGCCACCCGGTCCGCCAATGCTTCGGCCTCCTCCATGTGGTGCGTCGTGAGGAGCACCGACCGGTCGACGCGGACGTCCCGCAGCAGGGTCCAGACCTCGCGCCGCGCCACGGGGTCCATCCCCGCCGTCGGCTCGTCGAGGACCACGAGCCTGGACCCGCCGGTCAGCGCCGCGGCCATCATCACCTTGCGCTTCTGGCCGCCCGAGAGCTTGAGCGGAAACCCCTCGGCCATTTCCGCGAGGCGGAAGAGCTCCAGCAGGCCAGTCGCCTCGTTCTCCGCTCTAGCTTCCTCGACGCCCTTGAGCCGTGAGTAGAAAATGAGGTGCTCCCGGAGCGTGAGCTGAGGGAACAGCGCGTCGTGCTGCGGGCAGAAGCCGAGGAGCTGGCGGAGCCGGTCGAGGCCGTCTGCTTCAGCTAAGGGGCCAAGCGTTCGTATACCAAAGAAACTTGCGCTGCCGCCGTCGGGCGCCATCGCACCAGTCATCATGGACATGGTGGTCGTCTTGCCCGCGCCGTTGTGACCCAGCAGGCAGAAGATCTCCGAGTCGCGAATCGCAAACGTCGCGTCGGATACGGCGACCTTCTTCCCGAAGGCCTTCCGGAGGCCTCTTACCTGGACCGGCGCGTCGGCGCTTTCATCGTTCTCGAACCACTCGTCGTGGTCCACGAGCGGCGCCTTCTCCACGACCTCGTCCGGCGGCGGCGGTCGCCAGTACGCCTTCCGGATGCAAAAGAGCAGGTCCTTGCCCTTGCCCCGCGCCGCCGACGTCGAGACCTGGATCACGTACCACAGGACGGCCGCCCACAGCGCCACGGACACCATCAGCATGCAGTAGACCCCGGCCGTCCACGCGGACTCGGGCCGCCAGCCCCGATCCTCAGTCTTCTCGTACCAGAAGGGCCAAACGTCCTCGCACATGAGGTGCTCGTCGGCGCAGGGCGCCGCCGTCAGCGCCTGGCTCTGCAGATACTGCTCGAAAGCCTCGAGCCGCGGCCCCGGGGCTTTTTCCCAGCACTCTTTTCTACACTGCTTGCACGGGTAGCGCTCCCCCACAAAGCCGTCGGCGACGAGCCGGCACCGCCAGCCCGCTCGCTTTCCCGTCGGGCTGAACGAGTCCACCAACAAATCGTAGGCGAACTGCGGCAGGAAAGCCGCGCCGGCGAAGTGCGCGCGCGGCCGCGCCCGCAGGGTCCAGTGCGTTCGGAGCCGGCCGCCACCGTGACGGTTCCAGGTCCGGAGCGGGTTCCAGGCGAGGTAGCACCCGTGCAGGGCCGCGTGCAACAGGGGCGGGAACCCCGCCGCGGCGATCTGCGACCGAAGGAGGCACGTGACCACCACGAAGGTCTGGAGGGTGAGCGCCAGCAGGAAGAGCCAGTGGAGGGCGAAGAGCTCGAGGAACGCGGCGACCTCGAAACTCTTGCCGGCGCGCCGGAAGAGGCCCGGCGCGGCGCCCGCGGCGATCGCGACGGCGACGCCGCCGCCGACGGCGACGCCCTCGACCAAAAAGGATGCGAGCCAGTAGGCCGCGTCGGCGCCGCCCGCCGCGCGCGTCGCCTCGCGCGTGCCTTGCGCGACGTCCCCCACCAACGCCGAGGCGACGACCTGGACCCACGGGAAGAAGAAGAACTGGAACACTTTGAGCTCGAGGTCGCCGTGGATCGTGTCGAAGCCTGCGCTCGCTTTGGTGCTCCGCTGTTTTCGATTTCGTTCCCTGGTGTCGTACAGTAACCACAGGACGCCGACGCCGAGGAGCGGGACGAATACTTGCTTGGCCAGGGCGCCCGTCGTGCGCTTTTTTATAATCCACGCCTTGCGCACGAGGAGCGCGGTGCGTTCCGTGAGCGACGGCGGCTCGGCGGCGTGTTTCGGCGCGGCGCCGTCGGCGCCCGCGGGCGCCGCCTCCGCGAGCGAGAAGAGCTGGCCCCTTTGGACGCCCTCCGGCACCTTGACCTTGATGCCGTCGGGGCGGGTCACGATCGTGCCCGGCGGGCCCGGCGCCACGACCCAGGGGACCGTCTGCTCCGTCCCGTCCTCCGCGGTGTAGACGGCCGCGGGCGGCCGCTTGACCAGGAGTCGCCGCCAAAATTCGCCGCAGCGGCCACAGCAGCCACAGTAGAGGCAGCGGCCGAGGCGGGCCGTCCCCTTCTTCGGGCCCTTGTCCGCGAGCGGCGCGGCGACGGCCCGCTTCCTAAGCGACGCGACGCCGGCCGAGAGCTTTTCCAGAAGCGCGACGACGGCTTGCTTGTTCTTAAGCGACGCGACGCGCGGCGCGACGTGGCGTCTGAAAAGCGCCGCGACGCCGGCCGAGAGCTTCTCCACCCGAGGCGCGACGTGGCGTCTGAACCAGGGGCGCCGCTCGCAGAACTTCTCGTAGCGCGCGCGCGCCTCGTCGCGGAACACGATCAGCAGCCCGCCGAAGAACAGGAAGAAAAAGAGCGGCGCGGCGCCCGCCCCTAATTGCCAGCTGAGCGTCGACACGAGCACTATGGGAACGATCGTGGCCGGAACCACTCCGGGCCGGCGTCGCAGCAGCGCCGGCAGGGTGCACAACAACTCGAGCCAGCCGCCGCAGCAGACGAAGTAGCAGTAGCGGGCCCCGACCCCGTCCTCTATCTGCCGATTGACCCAGTTCCGTAAGCGTTGGAGGTGCGCGTATCCAAGGCACGCCGGCTGCGAGACGCAGCACGCCGCCGCGACGCCGACGACGTAGATGAGGCCGACGCCCAGCCACGCGACGATTTGTCTGGCCGTGACCCAAGTTACAATGTGGGGGTCGTAGAGTATACGATAAAACCCCTCGTGGGCATTCCAACGCGCCGCGGCCGCCCGCGACGCGAAGCCGCAGGCGTCCGGAATCGCGTCGCCGCCGCCCTTGTCGGGCCACTTCTTCACGGCGGCCCTGAGCTTCTCGAAGAGGACGGGGTCGTGGCCGAGCTCGGCGCACGTCTTCCCGCAGGTCCCGAGGCAGCCGCCGTGGAACTCGCGCGCCGCGGCCCGCGCGCACGCGTCGGCCGCCGCGGTCGTCGGCGCCGCGTCCAGGCCCCGCCAGCGGCGGGGCGCGCGCGTCGAGGCCCAGAAGTTGTCCCACGGGTGGCCCCAGTTCGGGTCGGTGTTGGCGTAGTGGCCGTCCCTGTACAGCCACGCCTCGTCCCAGGCCTTGCCCCCCGCGAGCTGCGCGTGGAAGAAGTCGCCGTCCGCGGTGACCACGCCGCAGGCCCGGATGCGCTGGCGCTCGCCCACGCGCCGGTTCTTCCGCGAGGCCGGCCAGGGCTCCTGCTCCCGCAGGTCGGCCCGGAACCAGTTGCGGACGCAGGCGTTGTCGCCGAGTCTTTCCTTGTACTCCCACGACCAGAGGCGGTCCCACCAGCGCCACGAATCCTCGCGGACGTAGTAGAGCGCGCCGGACGCCGGGTCGCACCGCAGGCCGTCGCAGGCGTAGGGCTCGCCCCTAAAGTCGCAGGGGGGCGTGCGGGCGTGCTCGCCGTCGTAGTCCATGGTGCCAAAATACTTCAAGAGGACGTCGCACCGCCGGGGACCGCTGCGGTGGAAGCATTCCGGCGCGGGCGCGACGCATTTCGCGTCGTCGGAAGTCCCGTTCGTGCAGCACGCGCCGACGCCGGGGACGAAGTCCACGCCCGCCAGCGTGTGGTCGTCGGCGCAGTACCGGGACTGCGGCCCAAAAATGCGGGTCCGTTCCCAGAAGGGAGTCTCGTAATGCATGCCGTAGCAGTCCTCCTTGATCGTAAACCCGCTGTGTTCATCCAAAGGATCCCAAAAACGATCCACGGCGGCGCCCCCGGGCATCATCCCGCGGCACGCGTCGTCGACGCAGTCGGCGCGGGGCGACGGCCGCGCGAAGCACGCCGCCGGCGCGTCCGCCTTCGGCCGGCAGGTCGTCTCGCGGAACCACTCCTCGCGGTCCGGCTCCTCCCCCCAATCCTCCCCCCAGTGCGCCTCGCAAAAGTGCTGAGAGCAGGCCTCTCCTGCAAGGTAGACCGTCCGACACGTGGAGGTGCCGTCGCCATCGTCGGCGGGTTTATCTCCGCACTCGGCTTCGCAGCAGTCGCGCCACTCCACCGGGCGCCGCCCCTCGTTCGCGTGGGCCTCCCAGCAGATGCCTTCGGCGTCCACGTCCGCGGCCGTCGTCAGGTTGTCGACGGCGCCCTCGCAGCACGTGAAGACGCAGGGCGCGTCGCCCGCCACGACCGTGTACCCGTCCGCGCACGCGGCGGTCTCGTTCGGCCCCGCGCAGCAGGCGCCGGCCTCGGTGGCCAAGGTGCCCCAACTGCTCCCCGCGAGCGGCGGGTCGTCGAGGCCCTTGTGCACGCTGCACTCGAAGTCCCGGAGCGCGCCGTCGTGGCCCGTCGGCCCGGGACCGCAGTGCTCGTTGAAGTTGCCCGTCCGCCACGCGCCGTCGCACTTGCAGTCGCTGTTCCAGTCGCAGCAGTCGTGCTGCTGGCCGCAGTCGTGGTAGCCGACGGGGCACCAACCGTGGGGCTTGGACGCGTTCTCGTGGTACGCGAGGCTGCAGTCCACGTTCGCAGGCAAATCTGAATTGCACGGTCGGTACTTTTTTCCATTTGTCTTCCCACGTTCCCGACGCAAGCACGACGGGGCTCGAAAGCGTTCGCACTGGTCGTCGCAGGCGCAGTCCGCGTCGCGGTCGCAGCAATCGCCGCACTCGTAGTAGCCTTCGGGGCACTTGGGCGTGCGCCAGGCGTGGTCGTAGGCGTCGCCGCCGTGGCCGTCGCAGTTGCAGTCCGCGTCCTCGTCGCAGCAGCTGGCGCACGTGTAGTAGCCCGCGGCGCAGATCGGCGCCGCGCTCGCGTTTCGCGGTTCGACGCGGCACTGCGTGTTGTCGCAGACGAAGGGCGGCTCGGGCAGCGCCCCGTAGGCGGCGGCCAGGCCCGCGAGCCGCCGGAGCATCGCGTGCCCCAAAGAGTTTTTCACAGTGTGCTGGAATCGATGGGGCAGCAGCGCTGGCTCTGATTGCTCGGCGCTGCCTGCCTGCCTTGCAAATGCAGCAAAGATCTTCACAAAGGCGCTGGATTGGTGGGGCAGCGCTGATTAGATAGCTGCCCCGGCGCCGGAGCTCTGGGCGCTGCTGGTTTGCAAATGCAAATCTAGTGGGCAGCCCTAGAGGTGGGTGACATAAAACGCGCCTCTTCTCTCCTAGATTTCCCACGGTACGACCTCTCCGGAACTGCAACTTATTTAGGCGAGGCGGCCACGATCGCCGCGAGGCGCCCGCCCGACGATACCACCACACTATTACCACACTATAATATTAAGATGCCTGTCCCACGGCCGCCGACGACGCGGCCAGCGCGTCCTCCGCGGCCTCCCAGGCCGTCCGCGCCCGGTGGAGCCGCCGCCAGCAGGCCGCCGCCGGCGCGCCCGGCGCCCAGGCCACCTCGACGAGCTCGCAGTTGTCGAACTGGAACTTCGGGTCTCGGAACGTGTCCATCGCGCCCCCGAGCGCCGCCGCGACCATGCACCGCCCGAGCGCGCCGTGCGACACGACGAGGCTGCACGGCGGCGCGTCGCGACGCAGCGCGGCCCAGTTGCCCACGGCGCGCGCCCACAGGTCGGGCAGCGGCCGCGCGCCGTCGTCCATCACGAAGGCGGCAGGGTCCGCCTTCCAGCGCGCCCAGCCCGTGTCCATGACCTCGCTTTTGAGCTTTCCCTCCCAGGTATGCAATTCGATCTCCCGCAGATCGTCGCGCACGACGGGCTCCGGTAGTAATGTGCCGCAGGCCTCCTCGATGCACGCGAGCGTCTGCCGCGCGCGCGTCATGGGCGACACCCAGACCTTGGATATCCTCGCGAGTTCCTCGTCAGCAATGTAGCAGCCCAGCTCCTCGGCCTGGCGCACGCCCCGGGCCGTCAGCACGGACGTATCCAAAGTGCCCTGGATGCGGCCCTCCGCATTAAAGTTCGTCTCGCCGTGGCGCGCGATCAGGAAGCGTTGCGCGCCTTGCGGCGGCTCGAGCGCCATCGTCAGTGTGATTGTCACTGCTGCGATGCGCATGGGTGTGCACGCCTTGATGCTCTATGCTCTCCGGGACTCGTGTCTCTGCACGGCTCTCCCGCCCTCTTGGTGGCGCGCAAGGTTTGCACCTGGGCGCGCACGACTATGACCTCTCTCGGAAGGAGCTCTAGTGATGATCTATGCAGCATAGCACCCAAAACGAGCCACAGCTTGTGAAATTAGCGGGGCTAGCGGCCTGTAAGACACTAGGGATGCCTAGCAAGCAAGCATGCGCCTCCCGAAGCTTCGTAAAACGATTAAGATTATCCCGTTTTGAACCATTTGCATGACTCTGCACACCGTTCTGTTTTTCGTAAGCAACCCGCACCAAAAAAAAGAGATCCCAAAATTTAATGCGCTGCGCGACGGCAGCCGCCCTCGACGCGAAACCGCCTCCACGCACCGCCGGGCAGCCAAGAATCACTCGGGCGCGTCCACTGCTTGCAGCCGGGCAGCCCTACCGATTGACCGGTGAGCTCCCACGCCATCTAACACACACCCGGTACCATGAACGAAGCGCGCCGCCAGGCGGCCCGGCCCGGTGATTTTGGAGGCGGCCCTGATGGCGGCCGCAAGCTGCCCAACGAGGTCAAGGCCATGGCGCGGCAGATGGGCATCAGTGCCAAAGAATTAAGTGAGGTCGGCGACACGATGTGGGCTCGTCTCACGGAACTGTCCGAGAAAGATCCAGTCGCGTACGCCGAGCTCATGAAGGAATCCGCCAAACACGTCGCGAAGAACGCCGGGGAAGAGCTCGCCGAGGAGCCGGACGACGCCAAGGCCAACGAGTTGATGAACCGCGTCCTCAGTCCTTCCGTGTTGACGCCTGTTCCTGGGTTTGTCGTCAAGTGTCAGCTTAAGTATGGAGGTGGCAAGGTCATGGTCAATATCTGTTCGCATCAAGCCGTCGTGCCGCCGAACGATCAACGAGGCAAGGACGCTACTAAATACAAGGCAGGAATTTCGCCTAGAGGGCTGCAGATCCCGCTGGTCGTCGGTCGCGTGCGTTCGTGCGCGGTGGCCGGCAAGGCGTCGAACACGGTGGCCGAGGGCAAGGCCGTCGATGTCTTGGTGCACCCGTGGGTCATGGACCAGATCAACGGAGAGGGTCCGCGCGGCGGCCCCTGGCGCGCGGAGATCGCGGCGCTCGCGGTCAGCTGGGTCGCGAAGGAGACGAAATTACCTCTGGATTCAGGATGGAAGCACATCAACTCCAAGTATAAAGGAGGGTTAGGGAAGAAGAGCGACGAGCCGGTACCTTTTGATATCGAAGAAGCGCAGCAGCAATCGAAGCCGCCGGACGAGCGGAAGAAATCAGTGGAGAAGAAGATCGAGAAGCCCGAAGGTGTGGCGGCGTCGCCCGCGCAATTACTCAAGCGCGCGAGGGATCTGGCCTCGAAGGAAGAAAAGGAGAACCATGTGTCATTGAAACTGCCCACTCAAAAGAAATCATCGAAGAAGCCGCTCGTGCAAGAAGTAGACAAGGACGGCGCCGTCGTCGAGTGCACCGATGAGGGCTTCGACATCTCCGACGACATCGACAAGAGCGAGCGGAAGAAGAAGCCCGCCGTCAAGAAGGGCTTCTTGAGGACCGCAAAAGCGCGGAAGGCGGCCTTGTATCCTTCGGGATCGGAGCAGGGCGAGTCCCAGAAGGAAGGGACGTATTCTCGGTTCATGTCGAAATGCAAGGTCGTCGACACGACGACGATGTCCAAGGAGGAGGTCGACGCCGCGACGCGCCAGTACGCCGGCACGGGCACGGTCTCGCAGCCGCCGCAGGTGCGTGAATCAGCGTCGTTGCGATGCCGCACCGCCGCGATGCCCTCTCCATGATCATCAGAGAGTCTACACGTCTCGTGAGTGAATGGAGACAGTTTCGCGACACCATCGTTCGACACAGGCACCTCCGCTGCCGTCGAAGAATACGACGGCGAAGCCGCCCGCGCCACCCTCCAAAGCCTTCGACGGGGCCAAGAAGGGCTTCCTCAACTCCAGCAAAAGTAGCCTGTACGACGAGAATGAGTCGAAAAAACGTACTCCGGAGTACGAGCCCGAGTTCGACGCCGCGATGGCCGAGCTCGACCCCGAGTTCTCGAACGCCCACAAGAATGAAGATGTCGGGAACGACGAGGACGACACGATCGCGCAGCTGCGCGACTTCGCGGCGAAGGTCGACTGGGCGTCGTCGGACTTTTCGAAGCCGCTTCATCCCGCGAGGGACTCCACGAAGCACGACCACTCGCAGCGCCCGAAGCCGGCCGTGGAGACCGAGGTCAAAAAAGCGCCCGGTTCGCGAAAGCAGGACCCCGGCGAATTGCAGCGAGGCTTCATGGCCCGCGACGCGGAACGGAGCGCCGCGAAGGCGGCCGTGCGGGCCGCCAGGGCCGAGACCTTTTCCTGTAAAGTGGATCGCACCGACGACGGCCGCGTCCGCGTCGTCGCGGATTTGTCCGGTGTGGCCAGCTTCGCGGACGTCGACCTCGACGTCGCGGCGAAGACGCTGCGCGTGCGCGAGAAATGTGGGCGAAGGCGCGCTGCACGTGTGGAGCTCCCGTGCGATGTCGACGCCGCATCAGCTTCGGCGAAGTTCTCGAAGAAGCGGGGGCAGCTCACGGTTGTGTTGAGTCCGTCGGCAGACTAAGATTAGCGAATCATACAGCACTTACAGGGGCGAGGAAGGGAGGGACTAGTACTGCACGCAGATCCGAGCACCGGGCTCCGTCCGCGGCGGCACGCGCACGTTCAGGACGATGTTCTCCGGCGTCGTCGTCTGGAGCGTGTCGCCGACACGGACGCCGGGAGGCACGACGACGAAGACCCGCCGGTTGCGGCGGCGCGCGACGCCGTCGGGCTGGACGGTGACGACCTGGGCCCGGTCGCACGGCGAGAAGCAGGGAATCAGCGCGCACGGCGGGAAGACCGTGAAGAGGAGGCACGACGCCAGGAAACTGACGGGCCCGTAGTACTGGGATTCCACGACCGCGACGCGGCCGGCCGGCGGGCCGGGGCGCACGAGCAGCGCGCCCTGTTCTTCCTCGCGCTGGAGCCGCTGCGCGAGGACCGCGTCGCTCTCGATGGTTGCGGCCGCGAGCGGCTCGATGGTCTCCGCGACGCTCTCGGCGATGGGCACGGTCTCGTCCGCGACGACGACGTCGGCTACGGGGAGTTGGGCGTCGTCCGCGCCGCCGTCGACCGGCTTCGCTGGGGCCGTGGGTGGGGCCATTTTCGCTCGCTCGCAAAGAAGTTGCTGGCGCTGGCAGAGGCCAGATGAGCAACGAACCTCGCCTCGCGCCGCGGGCAAAAGATTTACGCGCCTGGCTAGAGGGCGTCGAACAGGTACCCTACACGCTGCGGTGAGCCAATATGCGCTCCGCTGCGAGCTGTCGAGCCGGCGCTGCGTAAAGCTTGTTCTTCCTAGTGTGTCGAAGACGCTAGGTAGGGCAAATTTCAAGTGACAAAAAACGACTGACACTGCCTCCAGAATTGGTTTCCGCGTGATATTTGACGCATTGGCTTCAGCTGCTTGCAATCTGAACGCTGCGTGAGTGCCGTGCCGTGCAGCAGTGCACCCATCAATAGGCTGCCACTGCCACAGTGTTGCTGCACAGCACAAGCGAGCGGCGCTGCAAAATAAGCTCAGCAGAGTATCCTCGCACACTGCACAAATCAACGAGTAGAAATGCGCAAGTTCGCTCTCGCGTTCGCTTGCGCGGCGAGCAGCCTGCAGACTGCGCCGCGACGCTGCTACAAGGCACGGCGGCGCCACGCGACGCCCGACGACGACGACAACACAAAGTGGAGCGTCGACGTCGACGAGTTCGCGGAGCGCATCGAGTCCGCCAAAGCCGCGGTTGTTGGTGGTCTCGCCGCGTCGGTCGCGGCTTCGCCGGCGGAGTTCCTCACGCATACGAACAACATCGCCCAGTTCGAGTTCGACGTCGACCAGATCTCGATCGCGGGCGCGCTCTTCGGACTCGTGTTCCGGTCTGTGTGGATATCAAATTTCAGGCGCCCCACGCCATCGAATAACCTAGCTCACGGTTGATTTCCACACAGGTTCCGCTACGCGGTGCGGCGCGACAACAATCCACAGCTGCGCCAGGGCGTCGTCGGCGCTTTTACAATTACGCGCGCGGTGGCCACGGTGCGCGTGAGCGACGAGTGCCTCGCGGTGCCGCTGCGCTGCGGCCCGCCGCTGTCGTACCTCGACTACGCCATGCTCGGCCAGCTCGTTTCGGGCCTGCTCGTCTCGGGCGTCGCGTTCGCGGCCGCGGCCGCCGCAGTTGATGCGGGCGTCGACCGGGGGTGGCTTAAGAGGTTTCCTTAGTTCAATTTACTCCTTGGTCGACAAAAAGCCCCACAAGCGATTCCTCGTCCGACGTGTCGCCCTCGTCGAAGTCGCCATCCGAGTCATCACTAGAATCGCCCTCGGGGGTCATGCCAGGCGGGTAGCCGCGGCCCCAGGCTGAGCCACGGCAGAGGACGGTCTCCAGATGCCTCCTCTGTTCGTCGGGCAGCTTTAAGGGCGCCTCGGCCCCAAAGTTGACCGTGACGCTCAGCGCGGGCGAGTCCATGCCGACGACGGCGTAGAGCGGCCCCGCGCCGTCGATGAGATAGGCGACGCCCAAAGGCTGCGGCGCCTTGTCGCGCCTCGTCAGCACGAAGTAGACCGCAAGTAAGTTCTCGTCGTTCGCTCTACACAGCCCGCAGCCGACCACATCCCCGGCGCCAAACCTAGGCCCGTAGCGCACGCCCGAGACCCCGCTGCCGTGGTAGGCATTGCCATCGTCGCCGTGGTAGGCCCACGACGACCGCGTCCAGCCGGGCTGCTTGCCGCGCAACTTAAAAGCGCGCTGGCAGACCCCGACGGCCACGCAGGGCGTTACGCCGGGGACCCGGGTCCTGCCGCTCGCGATCGAGACCTCGAAGTAGGCGCCGCCCACGCAGGCCCAGCCGTTGTTGTGCGGCACGACGAGGCCTGCGCCGCGCGGGGCGCGCACGTCGAAGGGCGCGTCGCTCCGCACGCAGACGTCGTAACCCGTGCCGTCTAAAGCAGTGAGGTACTCGCAGGCCGTCTGGCCGAGCGGTGACAGGTCCCGCGTTTGAGGTCTGTCGTCGCGGCGCCCTGTTGATAGGGCGCGCGGCGGCGGCGGCGGGCGCATCGACCGCGGCCAGGACTTCGGAAAGGACGCCCGGAGCCACGGCGCGAGGCTGCGGCCGGCAACATCCCAGTTCGCGGGAAAGGGCCGCGCGCAGTCGTGCCGCTGGAACGCGGCCCTTCCCAGCGCGCTCCAGAGCGACGGCGCCTGGCAGGCCCGCAGCAGGCGCTTGGCGGACGCCGCCGCTCGCACGACGCTCGCGCTCGTCGTGAACGCCAGGGTGTGTTGCAGGATCGCGTCCGGCAATGCTTCGAGGAAGCACGGTTGTGCCTCGTCTTCTTCGACCGTCGCGGGCGAGTTCACGTCGTCGAGGCTCTCGTCGTCCGAGGAGGCGAACCTAGTGTGCGTGGCGCCCTCGGCCGTGATAGTGGTGTGGGCCCTGCCGCGAGACATCGAGGCGAAGTGAGGCCTCAGGTGCTGCACACAGAGCTGTGTGCCTCCGTTCGCCTCTCGTTCTCGTCGCTTCTGCAAGCTGTTAAAAATAGCAACAGCAGTGAGCCGGCAATCGTCTGGCACCAACTCCCCAGCAATGCCGGAAAAAAGCGGTCCTGAAAAGCGTGAACCAAAACGCTGCTAGCGGCCCGTAAGACACTAGCCAGCAAACCCGGAACGCGCATGCAGCTGTTTGAGTATCCTTCAGTTCGCCACTGGTCCAATGAGATCAATGGGACACGTACTGGGGGCCGAAAAATATGTTTATTGAATTCGCGCCGACGATGCCGCAATGGTCCAAAGCGGCCGCGCCGGTGGAATCCTGTCAATCCCTGCCCCAGAGGTCTCCCTGGGATTGCTTAGGGTCGGGGCTATACACGGTTAGTCGCCTACACCGCATGCGCCGCCGCTTCCAGCATATTTGGCCAATTCTCTCAACATGGCAACCCATTAAAGCATGAATTACTTGGCAATGGCTTCCAGGGCCCTCGGTGGGCCCAAGCGCCGGCGTATGCGGCGCAAGCGACTACCCACTACCAGACCTACCCCGAGAGACCTCCAGGAGCCGATCTGCCCCCGAAAAAAGTGTGCAATTTGGACCCGATGGCACCTAGTTCCCGTCAAAAACGCCAATCACCCGAGGGCCCCCAGTAGTCGCCGTAGCGGTCTCGTCGGCCCCCATACTACCCCACCGATAGTCAATTACGAGTATATGACATCTACATTATAAGAAGGGTACTTTTGGCTGCCCATGCTCGGGACGTGAACATCTTGATCTGGACCGCGCGCAAGTCGGTCGGTCATAAAACAAATGATCGCGTCATGGTCCATGGTAATGGTACACGGGCTGATGGCCGCAGGTCCAGGTTTGGTGCCCCATTTGTAGAAGATGGTGGGCTCGCTAGACCGACGACCCGCGCCGAGCATCTTGGGGTCTCGGAGCAATGTAGTACACACACAGGCCAATTATCTGGCCCTTCCTAGGACCGAAGCGTCTGAAACGCAAATTTATTTTATAAACCACCGGTCTGGGGCCAATTCAGTGCCCCGCGTACGCACCGTCGTCCGCGGAGAACGGGCAAGTCGGTCGATTGTGAATAGAACAACGGCGTTATGGTCTATCTGGATAGTGTCGTCGCTGATACTCGCAGGCTTAGGAACTGGGCTCTGCTTTATGTGAACGCGGGGTCGCGAATTCGACGAATCGCGAGGCCCTAACGGAATATCTAAAATAGCTCAGTGGCCGCTGATTCGGCCTAGATGGACTCTACCACTAACAAACGGATAGAAACGAACATAAACGCGAGAGTTGTCTAGTAGAATTCTTTTCCCGCCCTCCGAGCGCGGGCCGTCGGCTCCGGTTCCGTCGATTGTGCATGAAAACTGGGCTGGAGTTGATATGATGTATCAATTGGACGGTAGATGGCGGCGTCAATCGCTGGTGTATTTTGGCGAGCCGTAAGACTCATTCGTGAATGTCGCGGGCGGTGCCTTCCGGGAGGCGCGAGGGTATGTTCCCGGGCCGCTACACTGAAATATTTGGTCGCAGCGAACGAACAGGATGTTTTCTGAATTTGGATCATTCTCTTGACGCTATCGCGGCGTATCTTTGAATTTACTAGTATGTTGATTACGCTAGCTCTGGTTTCTTGTGTCATTGCTGCCGGCTAGCCCACGATTTCCTATCTCGAGATAGAATGCGTGCGTGCGGTCTTCGGAAAGTACGACAACGAACGGTAGAAGGAGGTACAAGGCAAGCAGGTTACGCAGGGCGCGCGGGATGGGACTCGGGAGCGCGCGGGCGGACCAGGATGGCATTTAGACCTCATCCTGGTCGAAGTCGTAGGCCGGGCCGATCATGGGCGTCCGGCGGCGGCGCTGCTGTGGCTGCTCGTAGCCGAGGAGGTGGCTGCGGCCCCCACGCGCGCTTCGAAACTCCTCCTCGAAGCGGTCCAGGGCTTGCGGGTCGGCGTCCATGTTCTCGATCGTGTCGAGGGTCCGCTCGTCGCCGTGCTCGTCTCTTTCTTTCAACACCGTTCTAGCTCTATCCCCGATGCGGCGGCGGCAGCTCAGCGTCTCGCGGTCGCGGTCGCGATTGTGCTCGCGGCGCTCGCCGACGACAGGGCCGGCCCCGTGCCTTTGAGCCGTCTCCGTGACCGTGCGCGACCGGCCGTCGGCCGAGACTGTGGTCGACGAGCTCATCATCGTGAAGCTCGAGTTCCCGCCGCCGCCCATGCGGCCGAAGTCCTCACCGAAGCCTCCTCCCAAAAGACTGCCGCCGCCCATCATCTGCCCCAGCAGACTCCCGCCGAAGGGGTCGCGGCGCCGGCCACCCTCACGAGAGGCGCTGCCCCCACCGGTGAAGAACGGGTCGTCGAAGGGGTCGCCGCCGCCGAAGGGGTCGCCGCCGAACATCGTGAGGCTGCCCCACGCTGCGGGCGCGGGGCGTACGCTGCCCTGACGCGCAGGCTTCGTGCAGGCTTCGTGAGCCGAGCAACGAGCGGTCTAGTAAGTTAAAAAAGCTAGAGTGTTTCATTACTTTAGCTCCTCCAGGCCCCAAATCGCGCGTGGCTGTGTAAGGCTGCGTACAGATCACCAAAATCGCTGGTGGAACTGTGCCTGACCCCAGCGCGCAGCGAATCACCGCCAGAAATCCATCAATCAACCAGCAGGGAGGTCAGGGAGCATTGGATAAGATGTCCGCCCAAATGCAGCAGCACAAAGCACACGTGCGCAAGACCATGCGCCAAGCGTCCAGCGAAAACACCTTCGCGCTCGAGGAGCTCGCAGACGAGCTCAAGGACGCCAAAAACTGCCTCACGCGAGCGAAGCGGCCGCACGTCAAGGCGCTGCTCGCGGCGCAGATTAGATATGCGGCGGCCGAGGAGCTCCGGTTATTATCGGGCGACGACGCGCCGGCGAGCGTTCCAAACGACCGCATGGCGTTCAGTGCGGACGCGGAGAATCTCGCGGCGGACCTGGCCGAGGCCAAGACGTTGTTAGCGAGGGCCAAACGACAAGAAACCAAGAGTCGGTTAGTAGCCTACGTGCGCGCCGCGACCGCCCGGGAAGTGGAGGTGCTCGCGGCGCAGAATACGCCCAAGGCCGAGCCGTCCAAGGAGCACGAGCCGCAAGACGACGCCCCCAAGGCCGAGGCCGCGGGCTACGTCGAGCGCGAACCGTCGCCAGAAGACGCGCGGGCGCTCCACGCCCTCGCGGCGGACGTGGGCGTCAAGGCGCCGCCGAAGAAGCTGCCTCCCTCAAAAGGTGTGGTCGTGTCGGCGCCCGTCGAAGCGAGAAAAGCGCCGCCCGCGGCGGCGCCGCGCTTCGACCGCAGCGGGGCCGAGGCGCCGCCGCCGCTCGGCGCGGGTGCCGACGTGCCGGACCGGGTCGCGTCGATCTGGGAGAAGGCGAAGCAGGACACGCTCGCCGACGAGATGGAGGCTGCTGCCGCCGCTGACCGCGCCGCGGCCGAAGCGCCAGCGCCGGCGCCGCCCAGGAGGAAGGCGGACCCGCCGCGGTCGCGCGCCTTCGACGGCTGCAAGAAGGGCTTTTTAGGTGGTTCTGCGCCGGCGAAGAAAGTTACAGAGCCGCCGCCGCCGCCGCCGGTGCCGACGAAGAAGCCGTCGGCGAGCCTCTCGGACTTCGCGCGCAAGCTGCCGCCCGCGAAGGACCCGCAGATGCACCACCGCCGCGCGGCGGCCTACGAGCGGCACCGCGAGCGCGAGGCCGCGGAGAAGGCAAAGCGCGAGGCCGAGGCCGAGGCCAAGACCGCGCGGGCCGCGAGCCAGGGCGCGGCGGAGGCCGCGGCCGTGCTCGAGAAGGCCGCCGCGGCCGCGTCGAAGGCCGCGGCGGCGGCGCCCGCCGCGCCGCCGAAGCCCCCGCCCGCGACCGGCAACGATCCGAAGGTCGACGCGCTCGCTTCTAAATTGAGAACCATGGGCAACAGCAAACGCATGGACGAGGTGCCGAACTGCCCGCCACCACAACCAATCTCCGAGCCGGCGTCGACGGCGCCCCGCCCCCTCAAAGCGCGACCACCATCTACTACCGAAAAGACCTTCGTCGCCGTCACGGCGTTCGGCTGGGAGCAGGGCGATCGCAAGAGCCCCTGGGCGCGCGTCTCCGTGCCTTTGACCGGTGTCGCGCCGGACCAAGTCACGTGCTCGTTCGGCGAGGACGCCTTCGACCTCCAGATACGAGGTTTAAGGGGAAAGGACTATCGGTTACGACGGAACGCTTTAGGTGGCAACATCGATCCCGCGAAATCGTCCTACAGCGTGTCCGGCGGCCGCGTCGTCGTGAAGCTGCGCAAGGTTCCGCTCGAGGACGGTTCGTTTGTGGAATGGGAGGAGCTGAGCTGCCCCGGCGGCGACCGCGAGAAAGCCGTTGATAACGCGCCGCGCAAGCCCGGCGGCGAGCCCTACGACATCGCGCGCAAGCTCTACGAGACGGGCAACCCTATAATCAGAGAGAAGATTGGGGCCGCGGCGACGCGGCACCGCGACCGCATCTTCGCGCAGGGCTGCGACAGCCCCCTCGAGGATGTTTTGAAAGAGCACGGCGGCAAGCTCGAGGAGATCCTGCGACGGAACAATCCTTTGAAAGAGAAGCTGTTCGACTCGGGGCTCGGCGAGTAAAATAGAATTGGTAGCATACTAATGTACCGCATGCGGTACATTAGTGAAACTCAAAAACCCGCCTCATAAGGCCGCGGCGTACCGGGTCCTCTCGATCTGCGGCGCCGCGCCGCGGATGGACGGGTCGGACGCGGAAGCCTTTGTTCGTGGTGGACGCTGTGGCACCCCGCCGGCGGGGCATGCCGCGGCGACGCGCTCGATGCGGAGTCGCTCGAACTCCGCGGCTGCGAGGGCGTTTGTGTTGTCGGCGCGGCGGCGATGCCTGCGCTCCCGCGGGTCAACCCGTCGCTGTCCTGCTACGCGATGGGCTGGCGCCTCGGGGAGCTCCTCGCCGCCGAATAAAATCGCACTCTTGTTAAAATTTACCGTCGCCGATCGCAGGCCGGGGCCGCCTCCCACGGGAGGTGGTGGACCACGCGCGAGTCCGCGGTCGCGCTGTCGACGCGGCAGCCGCCCCGCCCCCGCCCGGATGTCTGGGGCAGCTCCGCGTAGCGGCCCGACGCGACGATGGGCGCGAGGGCGCGCATCGCGTGGCGTTCAGCGTTACATTCCATCACGCCCGGCTGGGCGCAGACGGTCGTCGCGTTCGGCGGCAGCGCGAACTGGCCGCGCGGTAATGTCGCCGGGCGCCACGCCATGAAGTCCGTGTGGACACGGCTCGTGGTACGAGAAGGCGAGGACCGCCCGCAGAAGGCGAGGACCGCGTCGATGCCGTCGCGCGCCATGTGCGTGCGCAGGAAGCGGTCCTCGCTGACGATGACGTCCGGGTTGAGTCGTACGACCCAGTCGTAGCCGTCGAACCAGCCCCGCGCCTCGGCCTCGCTCAGCGCCAGGATGGCGCCCATCTGCTTCTTCGTCGAGCCCCGCGTAAAGGCCTTGCGATGCACCTGCCGCGTCGCCTCGGCGGAGAAGATTTCCACGGAGCGATTATTGTAGCGCGGGAACGCCGCGGCGACGGCGGCGAGCTGCGCGGCGGTCGCCGGCCGTCCGCTGTTGAAGACGACGACGTCGGCGTCCCGGAGCAACCGCGCCCGCCGCGCCGCGGCCGGCCACAGGCACCTGAGACCCGACGTGTGCCACTCGCTCAGATGAGTCGTGACGTACAGGAGCGTTCGCAGCATGGTACCGGTCACGGGCTGCCCGTCATCAGATGCTGCCCCGGCAAGTCCCTGCTGCTCCAAGGCAACATGCGAGTTAACGAAACGCAGCTAGCGGCCTGTAAGACACTAGCCAGAGACGGGAAAGCAGCCCATGCGTCAAAAGACGTGCGCACCGCTGCCCGACGGCCGCGAATGGGCAGCAGCGATGACGCATTGATGCGCAGAAACAGGCCGGAAGAGGATGCGCCTCCTCGCTGCCGCGGCGCTTCTGTCGACGACGTGCAGTCGCCTCTACACGCCGCGCCTCTTCCCGCCGCGCCCGGAACCGCCGCTCCCACCACTAACGAAGGAGGCCTGCGACCGCCAGGCCCGCGACGAGCGGCGGGCGCGGCAATACTCTAATACCACGTGCGCACCGCTGGTGGACGGTGGTTGCGCAACGAGCTGCTGCCGCACGGGTGCCGAAGAAGATACGGCGCGCGCCCGGCGCTGGGTCGCGGCCCGAAGCTATATCGTCGCCTCTCTGGCCACGTCAGATCCGGCGTGCGCCGCGCGCGCGACGGTCGAGAACCTGCTCGCGCATACGACGGACGTCTTAGTCGTCGTGCACCGCGGCTGCGGGTCGGAACGCTTCACTCTATCCGATGCTCGCGTCGTGCTAAACCCGGTCTGCGTCCCCACGCGACGGGCCTACGGGTCGCTGCTGCACGCCCACCTGCGCAACGTGCTGTACGCGAAAACAACGTTTTCAAAACCTCCGACGCACGTCCTCCTGACGGCGGCGAATTTGTACTGGATCGCGCCCGGCGTCGAAAGTTATATCCGCGCCGTCGGTTCGAGCGTCTACGGCGCGCCGCGGGTCGCCCCGCCCGCGACCCACCCGCCGGATTTAGATCCGGACTGGGCCTCCATCGTGAGACGCCTGCCGTCCGAGGGCGCGCTCCAGCAAAAACACGAGGGGAGCTTCTACCCCTGGGCCGCGGCGGCGCACATGGTCCACACGATCGACTTGAACCGCCTGAACCACCGCTCCTGCTTCTGCGGCGGTTTTTGTATCGAAGAATATTACCTGCCGAACCTGTTCTATCTTCTGGAGAAGGACCGCTTCCCTTCGGGAATCGACGCGGCCTGCTACGCGCGAGCCAATCCCGATTTAAGACCGGGCTACTGCGTCGATGGCGAGTGCGACGCGCGGGGGCTAAGAAGGCACTGGGACGACTTCGGACGGTGCGAGGGCCGCCCGGTCGCGTGTCCTCCTACGACCATGGAGTCTCCAACACTCAAAGCGCGCGTCACGGTCTTCTACAACGTCTTCGCCAAGGCCACGGGCGCGGCCGCGGCCATCGTCGCCGAGCAGATGAGCCAGTTACGAGAGGCGCCGCTCTGGCCGTTCATCGAGGAGGTGCGCTACGCGACGATCGGTCCGGACGCCGCCGTAGCCGCCGAGGTCGCGAAGCACTGTACGGACGTAACGTGCGTCCACCTCGGCCACGACGCGGCGGGCAGCGAGCTGAATAGTTTGGAACCGCTCCACGCGTATTGCGTCCAAAACCCGGAGGCGTCCGTGGCCTACCTCCACGACAAGGGCTCGTTCCACGAGTCGCCGCGCAACGCCCGGCTGCGGCGGGTTCTATTACGGGGTCTGGCGTCGCGGCCGTGCGCCGCCGCGATCACGGCTCCTAGTGCTTGCGACGTCTGCTCCAGTCGCTTCGCCGTAACGCCCCACCAGCACACGTCCGGGAACATGTGGCTCGCGAGATGTTCGTACGTTCAACGGCTCCACGCGCCGCGGGACTTCCGGCGACGGATGGAGCTCCATTATGGGAGAAAAAAGGGCGGCGAGGCCTGGCCCCTGGGGACCTGGCGCTTCGCCTACGAGCACTGGGTCCACTCGCACCCGTCGTTACGGGCGTGCGACGTCCTCGATCACGAATTCCAGGAGGGCTACGGGAACCTGCCCCCGACGGATTTTGAGATCTCGTTCGCGCTGGCGCCGCGGTATAACAGAGGCCACGCGTTCTTCGCCGCCGCGACGGCCTTCCGCGGGCGGCCGGCGGCGTTCTCCCTCGACGACCGCATCCCGGAGATGGAGCGCGAGTGGCGCGCGCTCTACAACGCGACGCCTCCACCACTATCGCGGCTCCGGACCTACTACGGCGGCCGGGCCTGCGTCGCTCCCGCGCCGGCGGCGGGCGGCGGGCGGCGCGACGACTTCCTGTTCGCGGGGACGGTCGCGAGTCGCGACCGGGTCCTGCGGAGGGAGGTCGGACGCACGAAGTTCGCCGTCAAGCACCGCGCGCACAACGTCAGCTGCGCGCGGTCGGGGATTAGTTAGGCCCGTTTTTTACATCGCCCTTAACTAGCTTTTTGCCTGGGCGGCGGGACCCTGCGACCTGCGCGCTGGCGACCGCGATCGGTCCAGTCTTCGAAGATAGCGCCCTCCTCCAACTCGAGGCGCCGGTCGACGCAATAATTGTGCAGTTTAATGCACGCGCCGATACGCTGGGGATGGCTTGTTTTGCCGCGCTGACTCCTACTCTCTCAAAAAGCGGGGCGACGTGTGGACAGCCAAGAGTCGCGGCGGCTGCCTCCTCACCGAGATCACCGCCACAATAAAAAGAAACGGAAAGGACGTTCGTTGCGACCCGTACACTTCGTCGGGAACGAGCTACTCGAAGTTCGTCATCGAGGCGTCAGGTCCAGATCCATATCTCGGCCTGCCGTTTCATTGTGGTGCTTATCGCGACACCGGCCCGCCGTACACTGACGATGATGCTCAGCGCGCGTCCACATGCTCACGAGGGACACTGCCCACCCTCAAAGCTTTCCTCCCGCCCCTTTCCCAGATACATACTCGCTCCTAAAAACCGTACGACGAAAGATGAGCGCTCTACTTAGGCCCTCCGCACGACGTGCGCGCACGCCGCCGGCAGCTGCAGACAGTTCCGCCTTGATAGATCGAGCGTCTTCGCCAGCACCGCTCCGTATAGAGTAGGTGGTTCTACCACTCCAGCTAACACACCCGCATCGAGCTTCGACAGAGCGCCGATGCACCGCGTCGCGATCCTATCGGACCCTTCGACTAATTCTTTGCACCCAATGACCAACACCCCGCGCGGCCACAGTTCCTCGGACGAACCTCTGGGAACAGTAGACAGCCACCGGCCGCCCGCGCACTCGACGATGTCCTGCAGCTCCGAATCGGACGGGAGCATCATCGAGGCGTCGCGGGCGCCGGGCGCCAAAGCGACCGCATAACCCGACAATACTTTGACGGAGGGATTTTGAGCTAACGACCTCGCAAGATTGAAGCCCCAGAGCTGCTCCTTGGCTCTATCCTTCACTAAAAATGGCTTCTCGTCGGCCCGGCCGTCCGAGGCCAAACAAGCCCCGAGCCACTCGCCCGTCACCACATAAGACGCCGTAGATAACCCGATCATGAGCTTCGGCGTCCGCTTGAGGGGCGCCTTCGTGATGACGTGCGTCGCGTCCCGCGCACCGACCTCGCTGAAGCCAAGCAGTTTTAAGATACCGCGCTCCGAGATCGACGGCTCGTAGTTCGTGAAGACAATGCGTACCGAGTCGTCGGGCGGCTGCATGGTGGTCTCGGGCTCGGCCTTGCGCTGCTTCGCCTTCGTCGCGGGTTCCTTGGGCGCCTCCGGAGGCTCAGCGGCCTTGCGCTTCTTCGCGGCGGGCTTCTTCGGCGGTGGTGCGGGCGCGGGCGCGGGCTCGGCGGCCTTGGGCGCGCGGCCGCGCTTCTTCGGCGGCGCCGCGGGCTTCTTCGGCGCGGGCGCCGGCGCCGGTGCTTCCTCCTCCTCGGGAGCGGCGGCGGCCTTGGGCTGCCGGCCGCGCTTCTTCGGCGGCGCCGCGGGGTTCTTCGGCGGCTCGGCCGCGGCGGCGGGCTTCCGGCCCTTCTTCGGCGCCGGCGCCGGCGCGGGCGCGTCCTCCTCCTCGGCCTCGGGAGCTGCCGGCGCGTCCAGCGGCGTCGTCGTGTTCGCGCGGAGCGACTTCCGCTCGCCCGCGCCGCCCTCGTCGTTCGCGTCGCCGTCCAACTCCACGAAGAGCCAGCCGCGCGCGCGCCGCTCGAGGATCGTCGCGACGCGGCCGCCGGCCGTGCGCACCTGCTCCCGCTCCTCGGGCTCCGCGGCCGCGGGCGCCTTGGCCGCCGCCGGCTTCTTCGCCGGCGCGGCGGCCTTGGCGGCCTTGGGCGGCCGGCCGCGCTTCTTGGGAGGCGGCGCCTCCGCGGCCGCCTCCTCCGGGGCCGCGGGCGCCTTTTTCCGCCCGCGCTTCTTGGGAGCCGGCGCCTCGGCCTCCTCCGCGGCCTCCTCGACCTCCTCCGGAGCCGCGGGCGTCTTGGCCGCCGCCGCCGGCTTCTTGGCCTTCGGCGGCCGCCCGCGTTTTTTGGGGGCCGGCGCCTCGGCCTCGTCGGCGGCCGCGGGCGACTTCGGGGGCCGCCCGCGCTTCTTCGGCGCGGGCGCCGCGTCCTCGGCCGCGGGCGACGGCGCGGCCTCTTCTGCGGTCGCAGCTCTCGCCGCCGCGCCGCCCGCGGCGCGCCGGGGCGCCTTGGCGGGCGGGCTCGACGCCGGCTCGAACTTGTCGCGCCGCGCGCTCCGCACCGTCTCCTCGCCGTCGAGGCGCAGCTTCCACCAGCCCCGCTCCGGCAGCGCCTCGATACGACCGGGCGCGCCGCCCATGGTGACGCGGGCGCCCACGGCCAGGCCCTCGGCGGCCGTCGGCGACGCCGGCGCCGCCGCGGCCTCGTCCTCGTCCGCGCGCGGGCTGTTCGACGCGCTGCGCCCGCCGATGAGGGCCTCGCCGGACGTCGACCGGCGCATCTTGTCCCGCCCCGAGGGCTCCGCGTACGACACGGGCGACCCCGCGCGCCGCGGCCGCCGCGCCTGCGGCTTCGACGCCTTCTTCGCCGGCTTCTTGGACTTGGGCGGCGCCGGCGCGGCCGCTTCCTCCTCCTCCTCGTCGGCGGCGTCGGGGCTCGGCGGCGGCGGCGGCGCGTCGGGCGACTTCGGGGGCCGCCCGCGCTTCTTCTTCGGCGCCGGCGCCTCCTCGGCGGGCGACGCCGGCGCGGCGTCCTCCTCGGCCGCGGGCGACTTCGGGGGCCGCCCGCGCTTCTTCTTCGGCGCCGGCGCCTCCTCGGCGGCGGGCGACGCCGGCTCGTCCTCCTGGGATGCAGCGGGCGACTTCGGGGGCCGCCCGCGCTTCTTCTTCGGCGCCGGCGCCTCCTCGGCGGGCGACGCCGGCGGCTGAGTGGTCGACACGGCGTCCTCAGTCGCCTCGCCGACGCGGAAGAAGCCGCCCTTGAGGTCGTACTTGAGGTCCCCCTTCTTGCCGCCGCCCTCCAAGTACTCGCGCGCCGTCGTCGCCGCCTCGATGCTCGCGGGCCGCCCGCGCCCGCCCCGCGGCTTCTCCGTGCGCGCGATGGGCGCGTTGCGCGCGATGAGCGCGTCGACGTCTTGGCTGGCCGGCGAGGGCGGCGGCGGCGCGGGGGCGGCGTCCTCCTCGTCGTCGTCGTCCGCCGGCGGCGGCGGCGCCTCGTCCTCGTCGTCGTCCGCGGGCGCCGCGTCCTCCTCCTCCTCCTCCTCCTCCGCCACCGCGTCGAGCTGCGTCTCCGCGTCCGCGGCCGCCGGCGGGGGCGCGTCGAGCTGCGTCTCGGCGTCGTCGGCCGGCGCGCCGCCGCCGAGCTGCGTCTCCGCGTTCGCGTCGGCGGCGTCGTCGTCGTCGTCCTCGGGCGGCGGCGCGCAGGGCGTCAGCGACGAGGCCCGCCGCGACAGGGGTTTGGCCGCGCCCGGCGCCTGGACCGTCCACCAGCCCTTGGTCTTGCCTATCACATGAAACGCCTGGCCCGTCTCCTTGTCCACGGCGCCGCCGCCGACGCGCAGCTCCTCAACAACCTCCTCTTCAACGACCGCTTCCTCCTCGCCCCCGGACTCCGCGAAGACGCCGTCGGCCGTGCGGTCGTCGGCGATGGGCCCCTCGTCGTCGGCGGGCGCCGGCGCCGGCGCCTCCGCTTGGTCGTCCTCGAAGGAGAAGAGCTCGCGCGCCGCGCCCTTGCCCGGCGCGGACGGCGGCCCCTCGTTTGACTGAGAGCCGCGGCGCCGCGGCGCCGGCGACGCGAGGTCCGGCGCCTGGGCTTGCGCGATGCGCGCCGCGCCGTCGAGCACGGACGGCGACGCGTGCTCCGGCGCCACGGGCGGCGGCAGCGCCTCCTGAGGTGGCGGCGCGTCGAGCTGCGTCTCGGCGTCCGGCGCCGCTTCACTGTTATCGTCGTCGTCGTCGGCCTCCTCGAACCTTAATTCGTCATCATCATCATTTGGTGGAGGCGGCGGCGCCTCGAGCTGCGTCTCGTCGTTCTCCTCTATCTCTGTACCGTCCGGCTCCTCCTCTTCGGCGACCGGTTCCAGTTGCGTCAGCGTCGCCAGCGGCGGCGCGGGCTCGAGCTGCGTCTCGTCGCCGGCCGGCGCAGCTGGCTCCTCTTCTAGTTGCGTCTCGTCGCCCTCGGGCACCTGTGTTGATCGACGCCGTCGCGAGACGCCATGGCTCGACGTTCAAAAAAAGACGCCGCGTCACGGACCGCCGGCATCTCGTCGAGCTGCGTCTCGTCGTTCTCGGGCGAGCCGTAGTCGAAGCCCCCGCCACCAGGCGAGGGCAGGAAGCCCGAGGCGTCCGTGCCCTGCGTGTGCAGGTCCGGCGTCGCGCGCAGAAATCCGGTAGCATCAGACCCTTGCGTCTCCCCCTCGGGAGGGTCGCCGCGCGTTACTGTGGATGCCCTTATGTTCTTCCGCTCGAAGGCCGCGCCCTCACCGTTCGCGTTGCCGTCGAGCTCGACGTAGAGCATGTCGTTCGACCTTCGCTCCAGCACCGTGGCCACTCTCCCCGAAGCGGTGGTCACCGTATCACCACTGGAAGCGGCGGGCGTGGCGGGCACGGGCGCGACGGCGCTCCGAGGCGTCGCCGGTGGGCTTCCTGGTGGAGTAGTAGACGCTCTCCGGTAGGCCTGGGTCTCGGGCTCGTCGTAGGCCTGCGTCACGGCCTCCGTCGAGCCCCAGGTCGGCTTGTACTTGAGGGGACCGAAGCTTACGGTACCGGTGGCGGGTACCATCACCGGTCGGTCCTTTTTTTTTGATTTGATGGGCTGCCACCCGACTTGTAACGTGACCGTCGTCCCGCAGCGCGAGTTCTGATCTCTCACGAATAACTCCTGGGCTTTGGGGTCCGGCTCAATAATAGCATGCCTCCGCGAGACCTTGTCGTGGTCGATGCGGTGGTAAGGGGCTCCTTGATCCCATCCACTTTCTGCCCGGCCGATGTGGTTCTCTCCCGACGATAGTAGTAGCTCTTTAGGTACATTGGGTTCGTCGGACACTAAAACTAACCGGCACTGGACCTCGTTCTGGTCGTCCAGGAGCAACTTCGCGGCCTCGTGCTCGTCGTCGTCGCTTAGGGCTTGGGTCTCGTCCATCGTCGTTGGCTTGTGCTACGCTGTCCGAAGCACGGCTGATCTCGCGCTGCGCGTCCCGCGCGCGCGCGTTTCTGTAAAATGGCGCCTCTGGACGGTTTCGCGCGCTGCTGCGCGTTCTCTTCAGCAGCGCTCGCTTTTCACAGCGATGGGGTAGTCAAACGACCGTCTAGGGTGTCCGCAAGCTCGTCTTAGGGCGAGCGCGCGTCGATTCGCTTGGCCGCTCTCGGCGCCGCTCTCTAGTACCTTTTATCTAGCGTTCAAAATCCAACGGACGCTCTCTCACCCGTCAGCTCGCAAGAGCACGGCCTGCGCGACGGATGAGAGGCATCGCGAGCAAAGCGCAGGAGGCATCCTCGTTTGGTGATATTTGCCGATCCTGCCTTTGACGATGCATCTAGCTACGCGCGTCGGCAATTGCCGGCTGCGGCGGCTGGCGAAGATGCTCTCCTAGTTAGGTCCCAGCCCTACGCACACCGATTTTAGCGGAGCGTGCGCGTAAGCGACGTAGATCCGCATTGCGCCCCTAGAGGTTGCACAAGCCGGCGGCGCGCGCGAGCACGCACGCATCTAGGCGCCGCGGCACCGAACCATGTCCTCGCGCAAGCGCCCCCACGCCAAGGTCGCGTCGAGCGACGTGCCCCTGCGCACCGGCCAGTGGACGCAGGCCGAGATCGCCTTTGCGAACCAAGTGATCGCCCACTTCCACGCCGGCGTTCTTCCCAATTGCGACAACGGGGCGACTTTGAGAGCGTTACTTGCCGAATTGTTGCACTGCTCGCCGATGCGGATTTCCAAGAAGTTTGCTGGTGATGGGGCTATTGGTAAACGTACTTTTACTCGCTCCGGCGCTTTGGCGGATGCCGCTCGGGCCGAATTGTATCGGTTGGAGAAGGCCTTCCACGAGTCGATAGATGGGCAGCAGCGGTGGCCCCTCGCGCCCTGGCACACGCTTTTACTTGGAAGGGACGAGCCTGTTAGGGGTCCGGCGCCGCCGCCACCTAGTAGACCCGTGGCGCCGACCGTGCCTCCACGATCTCGCGGCGCGCCGCCGCGCCAGACGCCTATCACTTTGTCAAGGCTGAACTACGACCAGCAGCCCCAGGGCGCGGTCGCGCGACGAGGGAGTCGAGGCGGCATCACCATGCCCGAGGGTGCGGCGTTGAATGCGTCTCGGCCGCGAGGTGCTCCACCTCGACCACCAGCTCCCGCCCCAGCACCAAATAGACCTCCTGAACAATACGGTTCCCTGTACAACCGCCAATTGCTCCACCGAGAAGTCTACGGCTGGGTGCCGAATGAGCTGGGCGTCGAGCAGTCGCCCCAGACTTTAGCAAGGATGCTCGATCCCACGGGCCAGCCCCAACCACGGGGCCCGCCGTCGATGGCGCAGCAGATGTTCTGGCCGAACCTGCCGCCCGGCGCGTCGCCGCTCGACTTGCAGCGCCAGCTCCCGCCCGGCGCGTCGCCCCTGGATTTGCAGCGGCAGATCCCGCCACCCGTTCCAGGCCAGGGCGGGCCGTCGCCGCCGCTGCCGCAGGGCTCGCCGATCGGCTTCAGTCCTATGATCGACTTCGCGCGCATGCCGCCGCCTCCACCAGTGGCGACGGGGCCGTCGCCGGCTCCGTTATCTCGTGCTTTGTACGCCGCGGCGCCGCCTCCTCAGTCGGTCGTGGCGGCCGCGCACGCCGCGGCGCAGGCGGCGGCCGGCGTGGCTTCGTCGGACACGCCGCAGAGCGTGACGTCTGAATTATCTGCGGGTTCTCCGGCTTCACAAACAGCCGGTACGCTGAGCGGCGCCGACAACACGGCTGAGTCGACGCAGCGGTCCCTGGCCGACGACGCGACGCCCGCCGAGGCGTCCGAGACGAGCTGATTCTCCTTTCCTTGTGACCGCGTCTGCGCGATGGCGTGGTGGTTCACGGTCTAGGTTCACGGAGGCCGCGCCTGCGACACGGCCCGTCTCCGACACGCCTCGCTTGGCGAATAATACTATTACTAGTACTAGAAGTATACTAGTATGATTTTCCGAGTCGCTCCCGGCGACGTCCCGCGGCGGCACTTCTCGCGGCGACGACGGCGTATGGCGCATAATAGTATGGATATTAGTACCAGTCCCCGCTCCCGTCGAGCGACACGCGCTGCAAATCTCCGCTGAGATCATCATTCTGGGTCCACGTGTCGACGACGCACGCCTGGCGCGGGAACCACAAAGGTTCTGAAGGGCAGTCCAACCGCAACGCATCTCTGTCCAAAGAGTGCTCGAGCACGGAAAAAACGCCGCCGCAGCACCGTTTATGCGCGTCCGTAAAAGCCTCAGGCTCTCGGAATTGGACCAGGGTCTCGACCTCGTCCGCTGCTAATAATTCCACGAGCGTGCCCTTTTGTATGATAACGCTCCGCCGCCGCTTCGGTGGGGAGACCACGGGCGTCCGCCGCTTGCCCCGGATGAAGCCGAGTTTTCTCGAAGTTCCGTTGTCGGCCGCCGCGACGTGGATCAAGTAGTTCGCACCATTTACTTGGATACCGTTGACGCTCTGCAGGGTGTCGCCGGGCCGGATCTCGCCAACCAGCGGCGAGTCAAAAAAGACCTCCCTGACAATCGTCGACTTGCGACTTTCAAACGCGACGCCGAGCTTCCCGGACGGCGCCTCTACCTCATAAGTGCACCCTTCGTCGTCCGACGCTACCGAATCCGAGTCCGACTCGAGCAGCGGCGGCGTGTCCAGGCGCGGCCCGGCGAGCGTCATATCCACCGAGACCTTGGCCAGCTCGCGCTGATCCGGGGAGAGGATGTCGTCGTCGTCACTGGAACCGTCGAAGGCGTCCAAGAAATTTTGTTGTTCGGGGCTGAAGGCGCCGCCCGCGTTCTTCTTCTTGGCGAAGAGGCCCATCGTTCCGACGGCGCGCGCGCCTCACGCAGGGTCGGGTCGAGGGCGGCGGCGGGGTTTGCCTCCGAACCGGAGTCCCGCGCAGCAGCCCCGAGGAGCTTGGCGCCAAGGCGGCCAAAGAGAGGGCTGGGCGCTCTGCCCGGCCGAAAGAGCTGGGAGCGGCCGGCGGACGGCTTTCAGAAACTCCGTGCGCCACCCGACCGGCTGCCTCGGTCGCCGGGGTGCGCGCGCGTGCCGGATTGACAGCCGGGTGCTCTCGCTGCCTAATCGGAAATATCTCTTAATTCGGCGCATTTCTATGAAGGCGACGCCCGCGGCGACGCGTCTCCCACGGCTCTTTGGGACCGCTCGCCCGAATTTCGCGCGGGCTATGCTATTCGATTCAATTAGGGTGCCAACCAACAGCCGGGTGCCGGCGCTGCGCAAAACGACCGTCGCACGGCCGACGACGCGGGCTCCCATGCCTTGCAGCCGATAATCAATGCGCACGATGCCGATCAACGCGCGCGGGTAGGCCGAGGGCTGCCCCAAAGCTGCCCCATCACGAAAAGCTGCGCCTGTACGCCATCGAGCAGCCACCATGCGCCTCCTCATCCTCCTCACGTTAACGCGCGCCCAGCAGCTCGTCTACAAGTACAACGTGTCCTGCGACAACGCCACCAATACCTTAGTGAAGGACGAGCGCCGCGGACCAGACGGCGACTGGGTGGGAGAGTGGGTGGAACCGGGCGGCGGCTGGGTCCCGAACTACGTCCGAATTAACTTAAGAGCGAGGTACATCCACGAGATGGGCGGCGACAACTCCAGCAAACTGGCCAAACAATTGTGCCATAGTATAGGCGCGACGATCGCCACGATCTACTCGGAGGAGGAAGACGAATTAGCCTACGCCGCCTGCAAGCCCGCGGACTGCTGGATCGGCCTCGAGGAGGACGGCGGCGTCCCCGACTACCTGTGCGACGGGAAATGCGGCACGGCCGAGACGTGGTGGGGCGAGCAGGTCCACGCCAGCGTCCCGTGCTACTTCCTGACGGCGTCGACGCGACTCCTGTCCGTCAGACGAGGTAGTTGATTCGGTCCGAAACGGCCCAAATTTGGACCAGAGACGAGTCGCGTCGATGGCGTGGAGATCACACACGTGTCGCGCGCAGGTCTGGCTCTGGGTCGACGACATGGGCGGGCCGCTCGGACTCATCAACCGGCGCATCGGCGACGGCCTCGTGGGCTACCGGTGGCGCGCCGGCGGGTCGAACGGTCTCAACATGCCCGAGGGCTACGAGAACTGGAACCGGTTGCAAGGGCAGCCGGACAACGGGAAGTTGAAGGGTGTGCCCGGCGACGAGCGCCACGCGCACATCGCGGGCTACGACGGCATGTGGCACGACGTGCTCGGCACCGACGAATATTACCCGTTGTGTCGCATGTGGCCGAACCGCTCCGACGGCTTCGTCTGGAACGGGACGGACTGCAAGCCCAAAGCAACGCCCTCGCCGACGACGTACAACGTCTTCCTCCACGACCCCGAGTACGTCTGGGGCGGCTTTCTGTTCGTCGTGTTCCATTGTTTGGTACTTGGTCTGTTATTCACGCTCTCGAAAAAAGTGCGAGATAAACGAGAACGGACCCGGGAGCACTACTACTACTCGTGGCGTAGTATGTGTGCGTCTGGCACTCTATTTTTATGTTTTCCGCCCTACGCGCTGCTACCTCTGTTAACGCCGTGCGATAAATATAATACGGCGATCGTCCCGGAAGGCGGCGGCGGCCCCGAGTCGCTCGTAGACGACGGCAAAAGTACATTAGCCCAATACTATGCGGCCTTCATCGAACTCGTCCAAGCGTGCACGTGGGCTATCGGTCTCCCTTTAAAGATGGCGATGTCGCGGACCGACTTCCTAGCCACGCGCTACAACGACTTCGGGGGCGCTAGTTACCGAGCCTTCGTCGACCTCAAGCTCAAGAAAGATGAAAGAATAAAATGGTTAGATGCGTGGGGTTCGATTGATGCGGACACGTCGAATTCTGTGGATGCCGCGGAGTTCTTCGACGCGTTTCGTCTAGACCCAAATGAATACGCGAGAAAATTGTATAATATCTATGATGCGAAGAAGAACAATAGCGTGCCGTTCCACGACTTTCTCATCACGTCCTGGCGCTTGTGCCACGTCAGTCGCGAAGCTTGCGAAGAAGTTTCGTTTAGATTGTTGCGACGGTCCTCGCGCTTCAATAAATTAGACTCGACGCTGGACGTGCGCGACGTCCAGCGCTTCGTGGAGCACCGCTACGGCTTCAAGAAGGCCAGTGCGAAGAAGAAGTCGCTGCAGATCTTCCAGTTTGTCGCTGTGTGGAATCAACCAGCGAGTTAGGTTCCTCCACGCCATCGAACTGACGCTGTCACGGCGACAACGTCGCGTCCATGGCCTGGATTCTCCACGCCATCGAGCCGCCGCGGTCACGGAGACAACGTCGCGTCGATGGCGTCGGGCGCCCGAAATTTGATTTCCACACAGGTTCATCGATAAAGATGGATCAGGGGGTATGGACTTCAAGGAGTTCCAGGTACTGCACGCGGCGTCCCTACTCGTCACCCTCCACGCCATCGGCGCGGCTCGATGCGCTCGTCGTGACGCCATCGCCGCGTAACGCGTCCGCACGCAGGCCTTCGGCCGCACGAACCCCGTCTTCCTCGCCGTCGGGCATCGGATGCAGACCAAACTACGACACAAGCTCTTTGGGCGCCAGTACTGGCTTGATCAAACAAAAAAACGGAAAGACCGGTATGCCTTCGACAAGAAGTTCGAGAGTGACATGGAGAAGTATGTTGGACTAAGATACGGCGACATGCCACCCGTCGAGCGGAAGTCGCGGGCGTCCTTCGGGAGTCGCACAGCGACGCCAGCAACGCCAAAGAAGAAGGAGGCGGCCGTCGACTTCTGGGGCGAGTTTCCCGAGGTCTACCAGCAGGTATTGACACAAATCAAGAAGGAAGAGGGCGAGAAGGCGACCTTAGCTGCCTTGCACCGGACGATGCGGGCAGAACTACACGGGAAATTGATCAAGGCCGTCGAGACGCTATTTGGGGATGCTCGTTCATTGGAAGGGTGCTTCTCGCGGTGGAAAGCTAGATGTGTCCAACAACGTAGACTGTTGAGAGATGTTGACTCCGCGACGGGCACCGAGACGACCGAACTTGATGTGGACGACGCGGTGCACGCGGGCATCATCGAGACCATGAACCGGACGCTGCCGTCGCACGAGGTGCGCGACGCGACGTTGTTGAAGGCCCATGACATAGCTACGATGAAACGAACAAAACGAAGTCGATTAACAGCAGCCCAGTACGGGACGTTGCGCGGGGCGCTCGGCGACCATTCGATCATTGAAGATGGTGTTGGCTGGCGCGAACGCGAGTCGATTGTTTCGATCCAGCGGTCTTCATCTCTGAAGTCTCGGTCGCGTATCCGGTCGTACTACGACGACGGCGACACGTCCGACGAGGAGTCGGCGGCGTCGTTCTTGTATGACGATGATGGGTCGGTAGTGAGTAAGCTCACTTTGTAGTTTTTGTGCGTGTTCGCGTCGGTGGCGTTCCCGGGGGTGCGTGTCGCCGACTCGGAGGACGCCGTCACGCCGCCGCATATGACTCCACGGATACTTGCAAACAAACTTTACTTGATGATCACGCGACGCGCCTCTAGACGGACCCACCGCGCTTGGGCGCCTCCGAGGAGAGGAGGCCGTCCGCCGGCGGAGGGGGGCGCGGCCGCATGAGCGCCGCGGCCGACACGACGGCGACGAGGTAGCCGCCATAGGTGGCCACGTCCTTGACGACCTGGGGCGAATCGCCCTTGGTCATGCCGAAGCACGCCCAGCACGTCGCCGCGCCGTAGCCCAAACCGAGCGCTGCGGACCGCCCGAGGAACATGGGGACGGCGTAGCACGCGCCCGCCACGACGCCGCCGAGCAACACCGCTCCCGCCTCCGGCGACGCCAGCGTCGCCGCTGTATTCTGCGCGACGAGTGTGAATCCAATTCCGGTAGCCGCCGCGAGCCAGGCCGCGTTGATGCCGGTGGGTAGCGCGACGAGCAATGATTCTGCGGCCGTGCCGCCCTTGATTAACGTGCCAGCTCTGATCATAGAAGCGAAGCCGCCCGCCAGTAAAAAAAAGCTCGGCACGAAGATCGCCAATTTTTGTGACGTGGTGCCGGAGGCCTTGCCGTCTTCCAGCGGCGCGTTTGCAAAGACCAGCTGCCAGGCACACTCGAAGGCCCACGTCGTGAGCCAGAGCGGGGCTACTTTGGCGCCGAGCGTTGGAGCTTTCCCGGCGGCCATGAGTACCGTGCCGGCGCCCTGCAGGAGGAAGATGGGGCCCCACACCGCGAATGTCAGGCCCGCTGGCGTCACGTTCGTCGGGTAGGCGTCGCTCACTTCCGCGTTCGTCGGCACGCCGAAGGCGCCGCTGCCGAAAATACCGTTCACGGCGAGCAGGACCGCGTAGCCGGCCGCTATCGCGACTCGCAGCTGTCCCGACATGGGACCAGATTGTGCCGCGCCCATGTTTGTGCTTGTGAGAGATCCTGCAGCGACGCGTCGATGGCGTACGGCGCTCTAGCAGGCGTCTGCTCTCTGAAAGTTGTGAGAGCACGAGATTACTCTGTATATGCGAAGAGTTGCAACCGCAGCCGACTCTACGCTTGAGACAGGCTTTGATGCGCGTGAGCAATGGCACGGTGTATGCAGCAGGGAGGCCGTGCGTGGCCAGCAAAAGCGTGTTCTAAGTGACTTACCGCTAGCTGATTATGCTGCTTACGCGTGTCCTCTGCTCGCTCGGCCTGTGGTCGCTATCACACACAGCTGAAGCGTTGCAGCACCCTCCACATTGCAACTGACCACCTGCGCAAGCAGCGAGCACCACACTGCATCGCTAGCTGCAAAGCCGACAGCATGCGCTTCGCCATAGCATGCCTCGTCGCCACGGCGGCGGCGCGACCGACGGTGCGAGAAATACGCAACCTTGCTGAGTACGACCGCCTCATACAACACCATAAAACGGAGACGGGATTACCGGTCGTCGTCGACTTCTACAGCGACTCGTGCGGCCCCTGTCGGATGATCGCGCCCGCGTTCAAGAAGCTCGCGAAGGAGATGAAGGACCGGGCGGTCTTCGCGAAGGTAAACGTAGCCATGGCCAGGGACGTGGCCTCGAGGATGCGGGTGTCGTCGATGCCGACGTTCCACTTCTACGAAGATGGTGTTAAAAGACATGAATTCAGCGGCGCTGGGGAGTATCAACTCAGACAGCTCGCGGAACGAGTCGCTTCAGATGCGGCGGCGAAGAACGTGAAGTTGTCCGCAGAAAGTTTGCGAGCGTTCTACGACGAACACGATTCAGGTAAAGATATAACAAAGATCATCAGCAAATGCGCTTCACTCGCGAAAAGTCGGGACTGCGTCGGCGGCGCCGCGCGGGAACTGGCCAAGAAACTGAAACAGAAATTCGGGAGCGCTCCGCAACTGTCGAAGCGCTTTGGAGAGCAAGAGCCACCGAAGCCGAAGCCGAAACGGACGTCTAGATCGTTGGATCAGGCCTCGACCGACGAACTACTCGCGGAGCTCGCGAAAAGATCCGAGGACGACGACCTCGCGTTCGCGGCGTCGGAGGCCGCGGAAGCGGCGCGGCGGGAGCTGGAAGAAGAGGAAGAAGATGAGGAGGACGAGGAGGACGAGGGCGCCTTGCCGTTGTACCGGCCGCACGGGCAATTCGCGGAGCGGGTTGTGATTGTGGGCGCGGGGCCGGGCGGGTTGAGTGCGGCGGTCTACGCGGCGCGCGCTGGTTTAGCTCCTGTGGTGATAGCACCGTCGGATGGCGGGCAGTTGCTAGGCAAGGGCGTGACGGTGGAGAACTATCCCGGTATTGTCCAGCGTCCTTTTGTTGCGTACCGGTCACGCGTCGTTGGCGTGGAGGCGGCGCCACCGCAACGCCATCGACGCGACACGCCGTCGACGCGCCACGCTCAACGGCGCGGAGGCAGTCGCGTCGATGGCGTGGAGGAGGCGTAGCATTCCGCTTCGAGTGCCCTCGAGAGTACGACGCGCGTCGCGCCGACGGCGTCGGGGCGGCGCCGCCGATCTGACCCGCGTCGCGCGCAGGCGTCGTGGGAGACACGGGCCCCGGCCTCGTCCACAAGATGCAGGCCCACGCGGCGGACTGCGGCGCGGCGTTCTACCCCCACAAAGTGCACAACATAGACTTGAGCCAGAGGCCCTTCCGCGTGGAAACCCCCGAGGCGAACATCTCCGCCCATTCATTGATCGTGGCGACGGGCGCGGACTCGCGATGGTTAGGTGTGGACGGAGAGTCTACTTATAGAGGAGGCGGCGTCAGCTCGTGCGCCACGTGTGATGGCTTCTTATTCAGGGATATGGACGTCGCCGTCGTCGGCGGAGGAGACACCGCGATGGAGGACGCGCTTGTGCTGGCGCGGACGTCGAAGTCCGTGACCGTGGTGCACCGGAGGGATGCGTTCCGGGCGTCGCGGGCTCTGGCGGACCGCGTGAGAGAACACCCGAAGATTAACATAAGGTGGAACGCCACTGTGGAGCGGTTTAGTGGTGAGGAGGTCCAGGAAGATGAGGTAACGCGTCAGATCTTGACCCGCGTGGATCTGAGGGACACCTCCACCGGTGATTCAGACTCATTAGATGTGCGGGCGGCGTTTGTCGCGATAGGACATGACCCGAACACGAAGCTCTTCGGTGGTTTATTGAAGACGAACGACCAGGGTTATCTCGAATTGTCAGGTGGTCGCTTCGCGACCGAGTTGAGTGTGGAGGGCGTCTTCGCCGCGGGCGACGTGGCGGACCCGGTCTACCGGCAGGCGATCACGTCGGCGGGGAGCGGCGCGATGGCTGCTTTGGATGCCGAAAGGTACTTGTCGGAGCAAGGTATTCAAGATGAAAGCGAGCAGTTCGCCGACGATCTGATGGCGGAGCTCATGGGCGAGTTTGATAGTGAAGAGACGTACAACGCGTATGCCGAGGGCGTGGACCTGTCTTCCGCGAACGCGCGGGCGGAGCTGTAAGTGTTGTTTATATTTTTCTATCTCCCGGGTCGCGGCGATGGCGTCGATTGTAGGCTTGTATGCTTGCGCACGCGGCATCGCGTCCCCCCCCCCCCCGGCTTTAGCAGGCTTTTTTTTCAGGCAAGTTTTTTGGCTTGTAATCGCGCCAGCAGCGCATACGTGAAAATCCGCGGGTGACAAGCTTGCGTCTGGTCCCAACGGATCGCCTACTCTCAAGCTCGAGTAAAACAGCAACGACGAAGGGGGAATATATTAAAATATTACAGAGTGCTGAAGCTCTGTGATACAAAGCCCTTGAGTCGACGCACAAAACACGCCGTCGCAACTGTTTCGAAACGCCAAGACATCCACTTTACGAAACCGTGATGAAAATGAATGCCTGGCTCCTCCTCGCTCTTGTGGCCGCCGCCGACAGCGCTCTCGTCGTCGTCGTGGATGGCATACCCGCCGACCAGCTGACGAAGCGCGTCGTACAGCACGCGGTGGACGACGTCATTGCCATCGTCGAGGCGCCGGAGCAGGTAATAGACGTCCAGTTCTTTCCCGTGCCGGGCTACCCGTCGTCGGTTCGCATCGAATCCACCGTTCGGATGGGCGACCCCTGGAGAACGTGCGGCGAGGTCGGCTTCCGCAACGCGCAGGACTGCCACGACGGCGTAGATCTACCGTACGACGCGCCGCCGTCGCTGGTCGCGTCGATGGAAAAGGCGATCGAGAACGGCAAGTTCGTCGACCGCCTGCTGTATTGGGCCCAGGAGTTCGACGCCGGCAGCGTCTGGGAGAACGTGACTGTCGTGCCGCCTCCCGATTCGCTGAACCCGGTTTTCCCCCCGAACAGCACGTACGTCTTCAACACGAGCTGGCGCTTTGCGACCCCCGCTCCTACCGCGACGGCGGCACCAACAGCTACATTCGCTCCGACGGCCACGGCTATGCCGACGGCGACGCCTGCGCCGACGACGCAGCCGACTACCAACGCGCCGACGTACAGCTCGGCGCCGACATCAACTCCAGCTCCGACTCAGACCCACGCGCCGACGATCACGCCGGGACCCACTCCGGGACCCACGCTGAAGCCGACGGTCCCGCCGAGAACACCGAAACCGATACCGGCACCGACGCCGACGCCGACGGTCGAGGTGCGCCCGCGCGGCTCCAAGAAAAAGAAGAAGTCGCGCGGCTTGGCCTCTGGAGAGATTGCGGGCATCATTATCGCGTGCATCGCGGGCGGCTGTTGCATCATCGCCATATGCCTAGCTCTTTGCGCGCACCAAAACCGCGAGGGCAAGCACGACAAGCAGGCCAAACCGTGGGAGCCGTCCACTCCCGCGTCGCACGCGGGGCCCGCGCCGCACTCGCCCGACCTCGCGTCGACGAAGGAGGGCGACGACGTCCCCGAGGCCATCCGGAAGCTCGAGGCGAACGACAACGCCGTGTGATTCACTGTTCGCGCGGACGTCGTTGCATGACCCACTCCGCGTGCCCCCCATCCGTGTAAGTTGAGCTGGTGACAGTGATATCCGGCGGTACAGTCTAGCGGCACAGGCGATTAATAAACGCCAACAGGCGCAATTAGACACGCTCGGCCCGTCGGCCGCATCAAGGGGGAGTTTTTTTTTCGGGGGAGGGACGCGTTTACTCGTCCGCGAGCGGCGGCGCGAGGAACACGATGATCGCGGCGAGGAGCCCGAGGCCGAACGTCGGGAAGAAGTAGCCGCCGAAGTCGCCCTCGTTTGCTGCGATGAGCACGTTCGACATCGTCTGCAAGGCCTCGGCGGGGACCGGCGCGAGCGCCGGCGCGGCGGCGAGCGGCGCGACCGTGGAAACGATCGGCGCGAAGGCCGCGGCCGTCGAGCACACAACGGCGGCGAGGAGCTGGCGGGCCATCTTAACAATTAATCTGCGAGGGGCGACGGGTTGCGCGGTTGGCAGCGATCTCATCTCTGTCGTCTCGAGGGCAATGGGCGGCCGCCGCGGTGCACAACTAGCGCAAGAGCGCTGCAGAATCCGCAGCGACGAGCGCGCTGCCGCGGAAGGGCAATGGCTGCGGTGCGAAGGGTCGGCGGGCCTGGTAGCCGCGGCCCGCTAACTTTGCATCATCAGCATGTCATAGCTCTCCGGGCCGCCGCGGCGTCGTCGCGCGCAGATTTTTGCACAGCGCGACTGTCGCCATCCGTTGCGGCACCGCTAGGTCGAATTTTGCGCCGTGGGCACGTCTAGGCGCTGGAATGGACAAGCTATGAGCTGCAAGCTTGCGGCTTTTGGCACTTCGAGCCGAGCACCCTGCTCGCGCTGTAGGCGTCGGCAGGCCGCAGATCACTCCCTTGCTTCACCGGAGAAGCCTATGTGGATTTTGGGCCCGGACAAAACCCGCGCCCTAGATAACATGTCCCTTTGCGCCCCACGAGAGTCCACGACCCTCTCGCGCACGCCATCACACACAGCCGCGCCCCACGAGACCAATCACTCGCCCCGAGAACCGCCAAAACGACGTTCGCGGTCGCGTCACGTCGGCGACGCGGTGTCTCCCCCCCACCTGGGCAGGGGCTCCGCCCACGAGTCCTAGCACCGTAGATAAAAGCCCAACAAGACCAATGACCACACACAACCTTACACACAGACACTACTCCTCGTCGCCATCCATCGCCTCCCCCAGCGCGCGCGAAGCCGCCTCCAACAAAGAAGCCGGCGCGCGCCAGCCGTGCCGCGCCCGCAGCCGCCCCGCCAGCAAGCCCAGCGAGCGCCGCGCCTCGTGCGACGCCGCCGCGCGCGCCGCGACGGGCGCGACGAGCTCCGGCGCGTCCATGAGAACGCGCCACGCATTATTGTTTGGGGACTCAGAGGACGAAGTGAACCACGCCTCGGCGTCGTCCACCAATGCTGCGCGAGTACGAGCCCCGGCGTCGCTACAAACATAGTCGCACGCGTCCGTCAGAACACCGGCGACGGCGTCCCGGCCACCGAGAGCGACTATGATGGAATCCATGGACCCCACGTCAGAAGCACTGAAAGCGGACTTGCCCAGGGCCTCCAATCGCCGCCAGCGCACCCGGCCATGCCTATCTAGCACTAATCTGCGCAAAGCCTGCCGCGCTCGAGCATCACGATCAGCCAACAAAGCTCGAGCGACATGAGGATACGCCGCCGTGACGACCTCAAACTCCGGATCCACGGCCAGCACGGCTCCTTCCAACGCACCTAGAGCCCGCACGACCGACGCGAAGCGCGGCGGCAGCGCGAACCTGACATTCTCCGAAGAGTCGGCGGGCAGCGCCGCCCGCAAGAACGCAATCACGCCCGAGAAGGACATCGCTTTACCACCGAACATGGTTCTAGGTTCGCTCAGAGCTGTTTCTAAGGCTGTTTTCAGCGATCTTTCCGCATGGTCCGTGTCATCCACAAAGCCCAACCCGCGAAAGTCCCGCGCCAACCCACCCGCGTCCCGGTTCGCGAAATGAACAACAACAGACATCAGCGCGAAGCGATCATCATCCTCAAGCCGGTCCATCTTGCCGAAGTCGAGGTAGGCCAAGCGATTCTCACTATCTACCAGTAAGTTTCCTGGATGAGGATCGGCGTGGAAGAAGCCGACCTCGAAGAACTGCCGCGCGGTGCACTTGACGCCCTCCTCGATGATGCGCTTCTTTTGGGCTGGCGAGGGTCCGGAGCGGCCCCACTCGTCGAGCTTCGTTCCTGGCAAATAGGAGAGTGTCAGCACTCTAGGACCGCAGAACTCCTGGAACACGCGAGGCACGCAGACGTCCTCATTCTTGTACAAGCGCGCAAAGGCCTCGCAGTCCCGAGCCTCCCGCGCGTAGTCCAGCTCATCCCCTATACGTCCCACGATCTCATCTGCTATGGCGGCGAAGTCGGTTTCAGTATTGAATAACTGTGAAATCATGGCTACGAACGATCGCACGGCCACCGCATCGATCGCCAGTGTCTCGAGGACGTCGTCCCTCTGCACCTTCACCGCAACCTCTTCGCCCGTCAACAGCCGGGCCCGATACACCTGGCCTAGTGACGCGGACGCCACCGGCACCGACGATGCATCTAGCCCCTCGAACAACTCGCCGATGGGTTTCTCCAGGTCGTGCTCGATCACTCGAACTGCTTCCGCTCCACTCAGTGAAGGGTCGATGTCGTCTTGCAGCCTCGACAACTCGTCGCACAGCTCGGGCGGTAACACGTCTCGTCGCGTCGCCAGGGCCTGGCCGATCTTCACGAAGGCCGGTCCTAATCGCACGAAGGCCCGTCTGAATTTGACAGAGCGAATCGCGACGTCGACGCCTCTAGCTTTCCGTAGCTGTAGTAAACCTAACTCGCCCGCTATTCTCGCGACGCGCGCTGCTACCCTTGCGGACGACGGTGTGTTTGTTGTACTGCTGCTGCGGCGGTGCGGCATCATCACCGCGGCCTGCCGCGGCGTCGGCGTCGTTGCCACGCGTGAAACGCGTGCGGCACGCCTGGCTGCAGTGCGCATCGCTGCAGTCGAAGCCACGCGCAGGGCGTGACGCGGTAGCATTGTCGTCGAGGGTTCAGGCGGTCATTGTTTCTTTGTTTTGCGCTTACTGTAAGCGCGTGTGGGCACGAATGGCGCCTGCTACGTACGTGCCACTGCAAAGCTCGTGTGTTACAGCCGCTAGCTAATTGCCACCGAGCTGCCGGAGCGCGAGTTACGCTAAGTGCTGAGTTCGGACAGTCGTCTACGTTTAGACGTAGCGGGAGAAGCTGTGGAGCAACGAAAAACCGCTGCTCGCGCCGTCCACCAGCGGGAGAGCCTGGAGTGCTCTCAGACACAGGCAGGCTGGCGCCCTCACGGCGCCGCCTGCTGATGGCGGCCTGCGCCGCCTCCGCCCGAGGCCTGGCAACCCACAAGAAGCCGCAGCAAGTCGTTATTGCCGGTGGAGGTGTTATTGGATGCGCGACCGCGTATTTTCTGGCGAAGGAGCACGGCATCGGGCCCACGATCGTGGACCGCAAGAGTATAGCGGCGGCGGCGTCCGGAAATGCTGGAGGCTTCCTGGCGCGCGACTGGAACGACGGCTCGCCTACACAAGAAATGACGCACCGGAGCTTCGATCTCCACGCGACGCTCGCCGAGGATCTCAAAAAGTACGGCGCCACCGATTATAGGAGACTGACCTGCGTCGCCGTGGGTGTGGACGGCCGCACGGCGGTGCAGAAACCAGGAGGCAAGAAACTCGAAAACGTCGACTGGGCCGACAGCGCAGGAGTGATGGGCATGAGACCGATGGGCGACGAGAGCACGATCGCGCAGGTGCATCCCCGCAAATTGTGTGATGCCTTCGTCGCCGCTGCTAAAGATTTAGCGGGGGCGTCGGTCGTCGAGGGCTGCGCGTCTGGTTTGAGAGAGGAAGATGGTCGCGTCACGGGCCTGGAACTTTCGGATGGTACTTGTATTGAGGCCGACGCCGTCGTTTTGTGCATGGGGCCCTGGTCGCACGCGCTCGGCCGACCGAAGACTGAGAAACTAGGATTGAGGGGCGACTCCGACTATAGTGGCTGGGGCCTACAAAACTGCCCACTAGTGGTGGGCACGAAGTACCACGCCGTGTTGCTGCAGGCGCCGCGCGTCCTGTCGCAGTCCGTCTTCTTCCAGGGTTTGGGGGATCCAGAAGTGTATCCCCGGCCGGACGGCGAGGTGTACGTTACGGGGTCTCCTGATCCCGCGGACATCGTAAGGGACCTCCCGGGCGAGACGGAGGTGCGGGACGAGGTCTGTGACCAGCTCGTCGCGAAGATGAATGTGCTGTCGTCGGAGCTCAAAGATGCGCCGATCAACCACAAGCAGGCGTGCCACCTGCCCTCGGCCGTCGACGGCGTGCCCGTCGTCGGGGAGTTGCGCTCCGGAGCGTATGTGGGCTACGGCCACGGCTGCTGGGGGATTTTATTGGCGCCGGCGACGGGCGAGGCTCTGGCGAATCAGATCGCCACCGGTGAATCGCCTTTCCTTGATTTGGGGCGCTTCGACCCGAGGCGGTTCTAAGTCCCCTAGTTATGTGACCGCGAGTCCACGACCACGGCACGGCGGCACAAACATGGAGAGTAGGAGTGCGCGAGTTCAGCGGCGATGGCGTGTTTGGGTGGGCAGCCGCGCCGCCGGGGGGGGGCCGCTGACATTCGCTAGAGCGCTCCGAGCCCGCATAGGCCGTCGAGGCCGTCGGGTACGAGTCCCCACAGGCCACGAGGTGATCCCGGCGGGGCGGCCGCGGAAGGGGGGGGTCCGCAACCGCCAACTGAAAAATAACACAGGGCGCAAAACGGCAGTGCTGTGGGCCAGGTAACGGCGCACGAGGGCACGAACGCTGCCCAAGGAGGCAGAAGGCAGCCCGTCGCGTCGTCGACGCGAAGCTGCCACACGAGACACGCCGCCGGCGACCAAGCGCCAGCCGGTAAGCCGATGGGCCGCCACGGCGAACGCGAGTGGGCCCAGTGCTGCCGCCAGCTCCAGTCCGTCGTCGAGTCCGGCGCGCGGGCGGTGGGCGCCGAGGCGGGCACGTCGGCGTACGGCGTTTGGTTGTCTAGAGCTTTAGGCGACCGTAGATTACCGAGGACCGTGCCGGCCAGTGTGAGAGATGTAGCTAAACTGTTAAAGTGCTACGGGCGGGAGTTCGGCTGGCGGTTAGGACGGCCGGAGCTCGCGAAGTGGGCCGAGGCCTTCGATAGTGATGGGGACGGGTTAGTCTCCGCGAGTGACGTCGAGACGTTCGCTCAGAGAAGGGGTGGAGCGTGGAGGGGAGGCCCCGAAGAACAAAAGGGTCCTTGGAGGGTATCGTTTGACACGGGCGACGCGGAAGCGACGGAGTTCATCTGTCTGTTGCGAGATGCGTTACGTAGCAAACAGTTGGACGCCAGTGATTTGGAGAGGTGCTTCGGCGACCGGTTCCCGAAGCCCAAGCCCAAGTCTTTTATGAGTTTGACCTGGTCGCGGCCCAAACCCATGGAGAAGCCCAAGAAACTCGCCCTCGTGAAGGCTGTCGAGGCAATAGTAGAACCCTTGTCGAGGGAGGACGCGGGGAAGGTGCAGCGGGCCGCGGGTCGGGCGTTCCGAGCCGGAGCGTTCGCTGCGGAGCGAGACGAGGTCATCCAGACGCACGGTGCCTCTGCTCTCATTGGGGAACCGCCGCCGCGAGGCGGCTTGATCGACACGCAGGCCGTCTGTCGAGCTGTTCGTAGATCGGGCTTGGCGCCATCCGGTGGCAATGAATCCTCGACGACGGGGGACGAGAAGACCGATAATAAAGTGAGGGCGGTCCAAGGTGCTCTGCGGAGGTGGTCCCGAGCTAGAGTTCTAGCTGCGTTGCGCGCGGCTGATGCTGATAACGTCGGGAGAGTCGACGCGTCGCAGTTCCTCTCGGCGTTAGATAGACTAGACGTCTTTCCGCTCGACGGTGGGCTGGCCGCGCTGCAAACGAGTGAAGTGCGGAAGCTGTTCGTCTTCTTCGACGATTCGGGAGAGGCGTCGTCGGCGTCCGTCGAGGAGCTCCTTGAATTCTTGCTGGACAACGCCGTGCAGACGCACTGCCATCGCTTCGCGGCGATTGTGGCGAGGGCGGCGCGCGCGGCCCAAAGATCGGGTGCCGCCGCTGATGCTGACTTAGTGAGAGAAGTCGCAGCTTACTTACGCCGCCACGATAAGAAGCGCGACGGGTCCTGCCGCCAAGCAGCTTTGGAGAAGACGTTGCACTGGACGGGAATAATACACGAGCTCCAGCCTCTAGAGGTCGAGGACTTGCTCGGGGCGCTTAAATTGGAACAGGTCACGCGGCGGGGCGAGCCCGTCGTCGACTACGCTTTGTTCCTGAGACAGGTGCTGGGGGATGATGCGTTGCAGGCGTATCCCGAGCGAGGCGTCGTGAATCGGGGCCCGGGGACCTCGCGGAAGGAACGGCCGACGACGGCTCGTAGGAGGCGCTACGACTCCGACGATAGTGAGGAAGAGGAGGAGCCGAGAAGGCGACGCGGCGATCCGACGAAGAAGCTCGCGAATGTTTCTCGGAAACTGGAACGGTCTGGCTCGTCCCTAGCGGAGTTCCTCGAAGAAGGTGCCAAGAGGGGCAATCTGACGGCGCGCCAGTTCTCGCGATGTCTGGAGGACGTGGCGCAAGAATTGGATGTGGACGAAGTGCTGAGTAGGCGAGACGTGGACTCTATTCTGAATGACGTCGGGGACGGCCGCCGCATAAGAGTGGAGGATTTGTTGGAGGCGTGCGGTTTGGACGGCTATGATGAGAACGACGACTATCCTACCACCAGTAAAAAGTACCCGCGGACGCCAGGCCTAGCGAGGACGCCGGCGCGGTTCCGCGACGATTCGGACGACGACGACGATGAACCACGTACAAGGCGCACTTCAAGGAAGCCTACCACGGCCGTGAAGGATCGGAAGTTGACCGAGGTCCAGCACCGCGTCCGCGCGGCGCTACGGCAGTGCAAGGTGCGGCATGGCTCTTCCTATGATCTTAATAGGGCTTTTGACCGCCTAGACAGATCGGGACGAGGCGTCGTGTCCGCGTCGGACTTCGATCGCGTGTTATCCACATTGGGCGTGGACCGAGACGACGCGCGCAAGCTCCGGAAGCGCTTCGACCGGTTTGGCAGTGTGGACTATGCTGATTTCTGTCGCTTCGTGGAGGCTGACGTTGATGGCCTAAGGTTCGCGGCGTCGAAGATCGCTGATAAGTTAGCGGAACAGCAGAGGAAGGGTCTTGATGTGTTGCTGCCGTTCCAGATGGCCGATAGTGGCGACCACGGCATCGTGCCGGCGCGCGACTTCCAGGACGCGTTGCGAGCGTTAGATCTGGGAGACCTGCAGGATGCTGATAGGAGAGAGTTAGCTGCTGCGTTCGCGCCTAGTGGCGATCCGGACGCCGTCGATTACCGAGAATTTCTCAAGTTTGTGAGGGACGCGGGCGGCCACATGGAGTCGACGGGGCCGTCGGCGACGCCGCGACTCGTCGATGCGTCCTCCAAGGCCTACGACGGGTTTTATGGAGGTGCATCTTCGGACGACGAGTACGATCGGCCGCGGCGCCGGAACCCGCCGCGGTCGCCGGTCACGCGGCAGCGGCGGACGCTGTTCCAGGGCGACTCGGCGCCGGAGACGGCGTGGCGCGCGTGATGCGTCTTCCTTTCCTTTTTGGGGTACTAAGGACTCTTCAATGGGGCTTTGCTTCGCTATCCCGTCACGATTCCCGTGTGCGGTCCCGTCCCGCTCCGAGCGCGCGTTGTACTTCTAGTAACCTATGCGCTTCCCGGCCCCGGGCGCCGCCGGGAACCGTCCGGGAGGGCTTCCTGGAGCCTTTTTGGTCTGCTTGCCTCGGAGCCGCCCGTCGATGCTCTCGACTCAATCTCCAATCTCACAGCCACCAGTCGTTAGCACTGATCAACTTCAACCGCAAACGCGCGTTCGCCGCGGCGTCAGAAGCTCGCGAGAGCCCTTTTATTCGTGTCCGCGTTGGCTGTTCGAGTCGCGCGCGTTGAGGCCTCAAACTCGCACTCCTTCACTGCTTTCAGCTAATTCCTGAGTCCGCGGCGACGAGTTTGAGTCGTAGCGAGACGCGGGGTGCGAGCCTTGGCGCTGTCGCCGCCGCGACGAGAGAAAATTCGGGGCTTTGCGCGAGCACGCGTCGCGCGCGGGCCCGGCACGCGGTCGTTCGCACAGGCTCTTCATCCCTAGACAACACAAGCACAATGTCCGCCCTCGACGAAGAATCAACCCTCCTCCGCGGCAACGCCGCCCCGAAGTACCGCACGAACCTGATCGTCGGGGCGCTCGCCGCGGCGAGCTTCATGTTCGGCGTTGGGGTCGCGACCACGCTGGACCGCAACGCGGCACGCGCGACCCGCCTCGACATCGCCGCTCAGGCCGGCATCGTCGTCGAAGATTACGTTCCGACGGTCACTGACAAAGCTGGAGATTACATAAACGACCCGTCGTCCATTCCCGTCGAGGACGTTGTTGACACCGTACAGCCTATCGTTGAGAAGGTGATCGACAACTTCGACCCTGATGATGTTCCGAGCTGGGTCGAGCCGATCGTCAAGACCGTGAACGGCATCGTCGGCTGGATCAACGGCCTTCTCTCGGGCAATGGCGGCGAACCAGGGTGGGACGAAGACGACGAAACGAACGCGAAGGTCCTCTGCCCCGGCACCACGCTAGGAGATGACCCGTCGTCGTCCGATTACTGCGACTGCATGGGCGATTGCACGGACCCCGAGCGCTCCGCGTGGTGCTCCTGCTCGGAAGCCCAGCTCTGCTGCGCGATCCCAGAGACGAAGGACGACGACACGACCGACGACACGAGCGGCACGGGCGGCGAGTCAGACGACATGAGCGGCATGAGCGCCGGCGACGACACGGCAGTCATGGCGATGGCGTCGCCGTCCTTGCGCAGCGCCGCCGCGAGACGCTCGCGCCGGCCGCGGTTTCGCTTCTCGGCGATGCGCGGAAAAACAAAGGCCGTCGAGTCGTTTAGAGCCCATGGGTGGAACGCGTCGGCCGCGTCCGCGGCGCACGCCAAACTCAGGAGGGCAATCATTTTTTTACTTGCTTTAAAATGTCATCACGGATCGCCGCATCGCCCTGAGAATTGAGGACGGTCCCCTGGTATCCAGAGGAGCTAGACAACGGCACGCCGGTGCCCAACAAAGACGATCGAGGACAATAGAGCTAGCGTTACACAGGCACTAGCCCGCCGTCGTCGGCTTGATAAATTTTGGCAGGCTGCTATATAGGCAAGCTCGCAGCAGAGCTGCCAGCGAGTCGATTTGCTGCAGCGCGCCACCCGCCGACCATCTTTTCGCCGACCGACGCCCGCCGACGCGTGACGTCGACCACCGCTCTCCGAAAGCAATTCACCAGCTGCCGACCGCTGAAGCGCGGAGGAAGCCAAACTCACCACCAAGCTCCATCGTCCCGCTGAAGCGCGGAGACCCAAGCAATAGTCAGTACATGAGCGCGCGCAGCGGCAGCATGACCGCGCGCGAGACGAGCCCCAAGCCCGCCGAGGACAAGGCCTCGCTCCTCGAGAAAGGAGCGCCCGCGCCCGCAGCCCCACCGGCCCCGGGCGCCAAGCAGTTGTTGTTCTGCTTCATCGGCCTCCAAGCCAGTTATTTAACGTGGGGCTACGTGCAGGAAAAAGTGATGACAAAGGAGTACTCCACGGGGAGATTCCCCTCGGCGACGTTCTGCGTCTTTTCGAACCGTGTCTTAGCTGTTACCGTAGCGTGGGCGGTCACGATGTATAAACATGGAGGCAAGTTAAATATTCCTGCACCGTTGTGGGTCTTCGCGCCTTGTGCTCTCAGTAACACGCTATCGAGTTTCGGCCAGTACCAGGCTCTCCACTACGTCTCCTTCCCTTTGCAGACCATCGCCAAGTCCACAAAGGTCATCCCCGTGATGATCATGGGAAAAGTTTTAAATAAAAAAACGTACCCCTGCGTCGATTACATCGAGGCCGTCCTGATCTGTCTAGGCGTATCACTATTCAGCTTGGCGAACGTCACCACGGACTTTTTTGGGGGAGGCACGTCCGGAGACGCCTCGTCGTACGCGGCTATGGCCGGTGTGGCCATGCTGGCCCTCTACATCGTCTCTGACTCCTTCACGAGCCAGTGGCAAAGTCGCTTGTACCAAGCCCACCCGACGGTGGACCAGTTCCAGATGATGTTCGCCGTCAACACCTGGGCCATCATCATGACGACCTTCGCCCTCGTCACGTCGGGTGAACTCTGGATCACGCTGCAATTCATCGGAGACAACCCCATCGCGTTCCTCGACAACGTCACGATAGCCATAACCAGCGCCACAGGACAGCTCTTCATCTTCTACACGATCAAGACCTTCGGGCCCATCGTTTTCACGATCATCATGACGACGCGGCAGATGTTCTCCATCGTCCTCAGCACGGTGATATTTGGGCATGCGATCAAGCCGCTCATGGGGATGGGTGCGATTATCGTGTTCGCGACGATCTTCAACCGCATCAAGCGCCAAGCTGCCAAGCGCAAGCAGGCCGCGCCGGCGGCGCCGCCCTCCAAATAGACTAACGTGATAGCATGTGTTATATTTGTCTTCTACGCGTTGCGGCGACGGCGCGCGCGTCGCGGCGATGCGTACTGGGGGTTTTAGGAGTGGTCCTCTTGCTAGCCGCCGCGGCGAGGCGAGGATGAGGGGAACTACACCTCATAAAGCGCCGCGAGGTCGTGCGCCAGCCCGAGCGCCCCCACAAACAGCGTCTCGACCGCGTCCGGCTCCTCGCCAAGATCGTCGACGGCGTACTGGAGGCGGTGGCCGTGCTTCCGTATTATAGACTGGCGCCGCGCGATTTCTTCGGACGGGATCCTCCTAAGAACGTCGAGCGCCTTGAACGTACCATTTCCATACTTTCTCTCGGAGAGCCGGACGGCCACGCCCCTGGGCACGAACCATGGAGCGACCAGCTCGTTCTGTAACGAAAAGATCACGGGAATGCACCCGGCGAGCATCGCGTCGTAGAACCCCTTGCGGTACGGACTGTCGCCGCCCGGCTTGAAGCAAAAAATCGCGCTCCTATGTATCGTCGCGAAGCCGCACTTGTGATCCATGTCGCGCGGGTCATAAACCTGACAAGTGGCGTTGGCCGCGTCGCGGCATTCCGCGTAGACCCTGTCGCGCGTCGCGAGGCCGTACTTGCCGTGCTGCTGTCCGACGTACATGGCTAATCTAGCTCGTCTCGTAACAGATACTTGAACGAGTCGCCGCCCGTTTTGGGGACGTGGTAGAAGCACACGTCCTCGGCGCAGAGGTGGTCCTGGCGCGCGCTTACGACGACGGCCGCGAGGGCGAGGGCGCGGCGCATGGTCTGCTCGATGGCGTGAGGGCCCTGCACTGGGCCTGCAGTGTGCTCAATGTATGTCAACTCGGCGCCTTCTGAGGCCTCATTTTTGGCCGCCGGCCAAGCGACGGATTAATTCCAAGTACTACGCGTTCCCCTTGCACGGCGGGGTCTCAAAGCTCCTAGGTAGGGGTTGCTTATGCCTGCTAGTGTCTTACAGCACGGTAGCTGCAGGTGCGCGCCGCGGCGGCATTTTTGCCATTCACCGGCATAACAGGACAAACGAGTTGTCTCTGGCACCGCACCAGTTCCGTGGCAGCGCGCTGGAAGCGTGGGAGCATCGGTGCGCCGCGGGAGATCTCGCTTGGACCATTGCGCTTCACAGCTGAGATCAGTGTGCGCGCCACGCCAGAGCCGTATCGGTAGAAAAAATACTGGCAGCAATGGACAGCGAACCACCGCTGGACGGCCCCGGCGAAGAATCTCAATTGTACTGCAAACCCGTAGCCAAGAAGCCGAAGACGACGAACGCGGCGTCCTCGGACGACGACTCGTCCGCCGACGAGGCCGGCGCGGCGGCGCCCGCCGACGCGGCGCCAGCTCCGGAGCCCATCGACGTCGACGCGGACGACGCCAGCGACGGCGACGACCTGGACCGTTTCGGACCTAGAACGGAGGTCGACCTGCGCCTCGGCGACGCGTACGCGTCGGGCGTCGTCGTCCTCGCGCCGGAGCACGAGGCCTGGTGGAACGCGGATACGAAAAAACGGCTCGCAGACCTCGAACGCGCGGTCGCGACGCATCCGGCCCTCGCGGTGGCGCCGAAGGAGGGCGCGAAACTGCCGCGCGCGACGGTGCTCGGCGACGACCTCGAGGCCACGGTCTCCTTCGCCGCGGCGCCCGCGCCTTATCTATTACTCGTCGCCGACGCGGACGCCGGCGCGGGCGGCTACCGCCAGCTCTCCCACGACGGCTACCGCCTCACTTGCGTCGTGCGGCCGCGGTCGAGCCAGTGACTGACGCGTGTGTGAAATAATGTGCCATCGAACCTGCCCGACGGCGTATGGGGGGTGTGTATTAGTCGATTCTTATAGACAAGCGCCTTGTGCGCACGGCCGGATAGGGCCTCAGGCGACGCGCTGCGCCGACGGGTCCGGCACGTACTCCCGGCCGACGACCCCGTCCAAGCGCTTCTCGTCCATGCCGGCGTAGCCCGCGCCGGCGTGGTAGCCGTGGAAGACCTTCGCCGCGATCTCGACCTGGGCGTCCTTGGGCACCATCTCCGGCGGGATCTCGACGCGGTTCACTATTTTAATACCGGACTCGACGATGGCGTTGTACTTCATGTCCGACATACTAATAAAGTTGTGGATCTTCGTGATGCCGAGCCAGTGCAGGACGTCCGGCATCAGAGCTTGAAAACGCGTATCTTGAACACCGGCAACACTTTGAGTGCAGTTGAAGTACTCCTTGGCTTTATCCCCTCCTTCTTGACGCTTGCGCATGTTGTACACTAGGTATTTGGTGACCTCGCCGAGGGCCCTACCTTCCTTGCGGAAATACACCACAACGCCCGTGCCGCCGCGCTGCGCCGTCTTGATGCACTCCTCGATGGCGTGCGTGAGGTACGGTCTACAGGTACAGATGTCGCTGCCAAACACATCACTCCCGTTGCACTCGTCGTGGACCCTCACTGTCAATTCGACGTCCTCGTCTTCTATTTTGGACGCGTCGCCCCATATATAAGCCGTCATGCCGCCGATGGGCGGCAGGAAGATCTTCAAATCGTCCCTCGAGATTAACTCAGGATACATCGAGTTCGTCTCCGCGAACAGCGCATCGCGCAAAACCCTCTCAGAAACCCCAAACCGCTTCGCCACGCCCGGCAGGTACCAGACCGGCTCGATGGCTGCTTTGGTGACGACTGAAGTACCGTCGTCCGTCAAAACGGTCCCATCGGGAGTCAGCCTTTGCATGCGCAGGGCCTCCAAGCACTCCGGGAGTTGGACGTGAGCTTTCGTGATGGCGATCGTCGGTCTCACGTCATAGCCCTTGTCGAGCCAAGCGCCGAAGCCCTCGGAGATGGCGTGGCCCCAGGGATCCATAGTAACAATAGCGTCGGAGTTGCGCCACGCTTCATGAGGACCGATCTTGGCGGCCGGCGTCGTCAAGCCCAACTGCGGTAAGGCATCTCTATCAATTTTCCCCGCGGCCACCGCTAACGCGCGATACACGGAATAACCACCAGCATGCGCACCGATGGCGTTGCGTTGCGTCGTATGTCGCGTCGTCGCCAGGACCGGGCCTCGGTCCGACGGTGTCGTGGCGCCCCACCTCATTCTACAGGGATCGGGCCCGAAACTCCCATCGTGCGTCGTGAGCTGCGTGGCCGCCTCGTCCTCCGATTTTGGTAAGGGGATCTCTCCAGTATTACCGGAGACGTCTCCTAGTATGAGGGTGGAAGGCTCCGATCTAACACGTGTGAGACTTTCAGCCGAGTCGGCGCGCGGCCGTCTCGGTCTCGTAGGCCGCGCCCCGGCCTCCTCCCAGGCGTACGTCGCGCCCAACGCCAACTGCTTCTCGAGGGCCTCGTTGGCGACGATGTCTTTTGCAGATAACACTCCAGTAGCTCCGAACAACCGATCCCCGGCATCCCCCAACCCAGGTAAGAGCCCACCATCTCGCGCCAATCGCCCGTCCACTTGTATGGCGTAGACCTCGACGTCTGGATGCGCCTCGTGGAGCGCCCGCAGGCCTTCGGCCGACCTGTGTGGAAATCAAATTTTACGGCGCGACACCTGCTCGATGGCGTGGCGATGCCGGTTCCCCACCGCTCGACGGAGCCAGGACGCACTGGTTGATTTCCACACAGCGGCCGACGCGAGCACCGTGCACGCCACGATGCGGTGCGCGCCCCAGGCCTTGAGCTTGGCGATGACGGGAGTCATCGTTTTTGCAGTGGCCACCACAGGATCCAAGATGAAGGCGATATCACAACTATCGCCGCCGTGCTTCGGGAGTCGCGAGTAGTACTCGACGGGCCGATCACTCCCGCTCCGCTTGAACATGCCGATCTGGTGCACGGCCGCGTTCGGCAGCAAAGCTTGCATGCTCTCGACCATGCCTAATCCTGCCCTCATTATAGGCACTAAGGCACACCTCGCGGCGAGCCGCGTCGCTCTACCATCAGCAGGAACGTGGACGCCGCGCGGCGTGACGCAGTCGTGGCGCGGCACCGTCGACAAGGATCGCGTCGCCTCGTAGCCCACGTAGCTCGCAAGCTCCCGCAGCAGCCCGCGGAAGTCGCGCGGCTTCGTCCTGCGGTCTCTTAGTAAAGTGACCTTGTGCGCCGCGAGGGCGTGCTTGATCAAAGTTGTTTGAGGCGGCAGGTCGTAGGTTACAGGTGAAGGACTTGGGGCGTCGGGGTCGTCCCAGCCAATCGCGTCCAATGCAGCGCAGACCGCCCAGGCCCGATTCACGTCGAAGCGCTCCGAGCCGTCTATATCACTCCTCAGACCGCTCTCCATGTCGATCCAGATTGATCTACCTCTAGCGGCGCCCTTCCGTAATTGATCTAAGACGGTAGCGACGTTGTCCCTGTTTAAGCCTCCCGCAAAACCCTGCGGGATTGACGTTTCTACTGTTGTAAGAGACGCATCTAACGTATGACCACGGCCGCAGGACGCGTCCCACAGCAGCGACAGGTTGGCCGGCGGCTCGTCCAGCAACGCGCGCCAGAGCGGCGCCGTCTCGTCGTTGGCCTGGACGATGAACTCGACTTCGGGAACGAGTGAGCAGGCCTTTCGGACTTGTTGAGCTGCTTTTGCAAGTAGTGAGGGGTCCTCGGCGGTCTTGCAGCCGTTCGGCGCCGTCGCGTTGAGCTGCACGCGCCGGAAGCCCAGCCCGACGAGCGTCTGCACGAAGGCGACGTCGCCCCGTTGCAGGACGTCGTCGACGGCGGAGCCGCACAAATGGCCGGCGAGCTGCGCCGGCGGGCTCGTGTTCCGTGCGGTTTTCGCGAGCTGCTCGAGCCACCTTCTCGTGGGGAATCTAGGTTGGCCTTCTTTGCCCGGCCGGAAGAGCACGCCGAGTTCCACACGCGGCCAGCGGCTCACGATGGCACTCAATAAGCTCGGGTCGACGCTGTCGTCGACGCCGCAGAGGCCTACTCGGTGTAGGGACATGCTTTCAGACGTTCTTCTGGCGGTTTCACTTGGTGAGCGGCTGCGTAGTAGGTGTGCTTTGGCACGGCGACCGCGTGCGCTGGGGAGGTGCTTCAAATAACGCGTTTGCGCCTCGAAGAACACCTTTTTTTGATATGATGTCACACGCGCAGAACTCTTGCAGCGCGATGCCGTGGGCGCTGCAGGCTCTCGTGCAGCTAGAACTGTTTGTTGCTGAGCCTCAACCGCTGTTGCACAGCTGAAAGGGCCTCTATGTGCGTCGTAAATGCGGATTCAGAGCTGGGCAAAAATCTCTGTATACCCGTTATATTCGAATTAAATTTCAAACGCAAACCAGTTTTAAAGCTCCACAGGAGTCGCGCGCGAAAGGTTGATGCACGACTCGTCGCTGTGGACCGCGGCAGCGGCGCCGTATTTTCATCTTTTTGCCAGCCTCTCCCACTCAAAACCGCGTCGCCTTTGCGCACATTTGCAGCCAGGGCTTACGCGTGGGAGTACTCCGAGCCGTTCGCAGCGCTGCGAGGATTTTGCGCCGCGCGAGCCGCTTGTAAAGCGAGGAGAGACTTGCAGCAATCAGCAGCACAGCTAAAAAGCCGCCGCAGCGATGGGCTTCGGCGCAGCGAGCCCGGCGGAAGCACGCGCAAAGCTCGAAAAGCTCAAGCTCGAGGCGACCGCCGCCGCGGCGGCACCGCCAACACCAAGCAAACCGGAGGACGAGGACGCCGTCGCCCGGCTCGCCCAGAAGATCCTGCGATCGTCATCAATAGAAGAAGCGCGGCAGCACGCGCGCGAGGCGACGAACACGACGAACGACCCGCGGCTAGCGCCGCTCTTCCAGTCGCCGAGCAAGGGCCGGGACAAGGCGACGCCCGGGTGGCCGGAGAGCGTCGAAATGTACCTGGGCCCGACTAATTCCGGAAAGACGCATCGCTCGCTAGATTTCCTCGCGAAGATTGGTTCGGGTTGTTATGCGGGGCCGTTACGCGCATTAGCTTGGGAGGTCCGCCATAGCGTCGAAGCGCGCGCCAAGAAGGTCTGGGGCGAACATCCACCTACGGTCGGATTGTGGACCGGTGAAGAATCAAGAGATCCGGACGCTCCGGTACTATGCTGCACCGCGGAGGTCGCCCCGTCGCACGGCAACGTTTTGGTATTGGACGAAGCGCACTGGTGCGCGGACCCGCAGCGGGGCCACGCCTGGACTCGTCTATTATTAGCGGCTAGATCTGGTAGATATAGGCACGTTCGCATCTGCGGCCCGGTCCAGTCCGAGCCGTTACTACGGCGAGTCTTCGAGAAGCATGAACACGCGGTGACGGTCCATCGCACGCAACGGCGCAGTCGATTGCATTTTGAAAGGGACCCCATCGCGGACTTTCCGGCCTTCCTACAGCAAGCGAAGTCCGAAAGGCGCTTCGTTGCAGTAGTCGCGTTTTCTCGAGCCGCCGTGTTATCATTAGCGGGCATTGCTCGCAAGGCCGGGGCAAGGGCGTCGGTGATCTTTGGCAAATTACCCCCCGAGGCGAGACGGAAGCAGCTAGATGATGCTCTGGCGGGCAGGTTAGATGTCCTCGTTTGTACCGATGTGATAGGGCACGGTATTAATCTCCCGCTCGACGACGTCGTTTTCGCCGAAACTAAAAAATTTGATGGAACACAAAGACGAGATTTGTATGTGTGGGAGGCGGCGCAGGTGGCTGGTAGGGCGGGGCGCGACGAATTGCCGGGGAGGTGCTGGTACTTACCGAGATATGGTGCTAATGTGAAGCTGCTGACCAAAGCCGTCAAGGCAGCAAACGGTGATCCCGGTGATGGGTTTGATTTAGATTTGTCCAAAGCGGTCTTAGCGCCGGATCTCTCTGCTTTGACGCAGTTGACCGGGAGCGTGCCATCTATACTCTTACTACCGAAGTGCGTAACGCAGTGGCGGGACGAATTGCAACGGTCGCTGAATGATTCAGATGATCCCTTGGACTGGGTGAAATCGGGAGACATCGATGAGCTTCAGCGACGCCTGGACATCCTCAGGAACAGTAGTTTGGTGCCGGACGACGTGCGCAAAGCTTTGTCGGCGTCCGATCTGTGGCATCTCGCGCGGTTGCCCGTGCGGGAGCAGCATTTCGAAGCTGTCGCTAGAGCAGCTTGTCTGGGGGAACAGGTCGTGTTCGGTTCGTTAGATTCGTTAGTCGATGAACAATTGGAGGATGAGGTGCAAAGATTAGGAGACGTCCTGATGGCGTCGCGACGATTTCCAGCCATCCTAGTCGGGGACGACGCTGTGGATGAAGATGACGCGTGTCTGGCGGCGGTCGCGTGCCACGAGGCCTTGTATTTGTATGGAAGCAGATTGATCGGCCACGGGGTTGGAAGACAAATAGACGACGCCCACCTGTGCAAAGTCTGCGGCCAGCCCAAGGGTCCCAATTCAAAGATAAAGGACCGGCAATGTAGGAGATGCTTCGCCATTCAAGATCGGGAAGCGGCCCAGGCCGCGCGCCAGCTCGCGCGCCAGTACGCGCGCGTCCAAGCCCGGTCGCAACCGCCGCAATTGGGTTACGCGCTCAGCGGCGGGCAGCCGCCGCCGCAGCCGTACGCAGCCGGCGCCTTCGCTTCGCCGCCAGCGCCGCCGGCCATGAGCGTCGGCGACCGCGCTCGTTTAAGAGCGCAACAGGAGGCCGCGGCGCGCGTGCGGGGCCTGCCGCCCGAGCTCCTGCGCGACGCGGAGTCGGCGCGGGCGTCGCGTGAGGCGTCGGCGGCGTCGCGCGAGGCGCGCATGGGGCAGCTCGCGGCGGCATCGGCGGCCGCGCGCCGCGTCGACACCGAAGCCGAGATCATCCGGAACCAGGCCGCGCGCGGCCGGCCCCTGAACGCCGCGGAGGCCGAGGCCATCGCGGCCCAGGTCGTCGCGGCGCGAGGCCAGCACCGGCCGCCCGGGAAGCCGGCTCGGGAGCCCGGGAAGCGTATCCGGGGCGGCAAGAAGCACGCGGGTGCCCGGGAGGCGGCGCGGGCGCGCGAGCGCGCGCAGGAAAGCGGCGCCATCAATCGAGGTAAACCGGTCATCCGGCCGCCGGGTCAGCAGAAGCCGGGGCCCCTCGAGATCGCGCGCGCGGCGAATCGGGCGCCCCGGGCGCCGCGGCCCGTGCCCCCGACGCCGGCATACTTACCAGCCGGCGAAGTTTACTTCCACCCGCCTCGGAACGGGCTCGGGCGCGGGCGCGGCGGGCGCGGCGGACGCGGCGGACGCGGCTCGGGCCCGCCGGGGTTCATCTAGTAGGCTCTGTTCTAACTTATACGTTGTGTAGAAATCACATCACCCGTTTTTCCCTAAAGGAGGGCGTCTGTAGAGCGTTCGCGATGCGCGGCGGCGTTTTTGCGAGGCGAAAAATCGGGTTTTTCAAGCCGAGTCAAGCCGCCGCGCAAACCCAATAACTCGCCGCAAAAACGCAAGATGATCCTCACAAACTGCGCCGCCTGCGCCGCCCCACTGGCCCACACCGCGCCGCGATGCGTGCGGTGTCATACAAGATATTGTGATTCAAAATGTCAGCATGACCACTGGCGCCGCGGCCACAAGCAAATGTGTAAGAAAATACACCGCGGCGGCAACGCGGAACAATACTACGCCGACAAAAAATACAAGGAGGCCGTCGCGGAGGCCGTCGAGGCGTGCGCGGACGACACGAAGGGCCAGAAATGCTACATCTGCCTCGAGGCCGTCCATCCGCGCACGGGAGAAGGTCTCGTAAGCGGTTTTTGCGCGTGCCGCGGAGGATCGAGCTTTGCGCACATTTCGTGTTTGAAACGCAAGGCTCAACTCGCTATGGATGAGGCCCTGGAGAACAATTTGGACGGTGACCGGATGGAATCGAGGTGGAGAAAGTGGTATTCTTGTGAGCTATGCGGGCAGGAATATCACGGCGTCGTATATAGTGCAATGGGCTGGGCGTGCTGGGGAAGCTATCTTAGCCTACCAGAAACGAAGAGACTCGGCAAGCTCTCTCCTCGGCAAGACGCGATGAAGGAGCTCGCTAACAGTCTACTGAGCGCCAACCGCGTCGAAGAAGCGCTCGCTATCTTCCGGACGCTGGTGGGTATCTGTACTCGCCTTGGACACGAGCGCGATGATGTACCTGGATTATTATACAGCATCGCCAGTTGCCTCATGAGGCTAGGACGCAGAGAAGAGGCACTGCAACTAGACCGCGATGTCTACAATTTGAGGGTAAAGTGGCGGGTAGGGCCCGCCAAGATACTCCAGTCGGCTACGTCGCTCACGATGTCGCTCGTTCAAAATGAAAAGTTCTCGGAGGCGAGGGACTTCGCGCGCGAACAGATCCCAGTCGCGACGCGTTCGCTCGGACCTCACGCGGAATTGACGCGCAACCTTCGCACTTATTACGCAAAAGCCATACTCTGTGACACGGCGCTCCCTCTCGACGACGTGGCCGAGTCCGTAGCTATTTTTGAGGATATTGAGATTATTACCCGGCGAATCTTCGGCAACGTTCATCCAGACACGCTGCAGGCGCAGAAGGACATGGACTCTGCGCGAATGGTTTGGCGCGCGAGATTCAGCAAACCTTTCCCGTCGAAGCTCCCCCGTCTCAAGACTGACGACGCCAAACACGAGGAGCTCATGCGCAAATTTGAGTTAGCTAAGTAAGTAAGAGTCAAATACTAGCAAGTCATATTAACTGGCGCGCTTTCGCGCGCTCGGTGGAGGCTTCGGCGGCGTCCGCGGCGCCTCCGACGCCGCCGCGACGACCGCGCGGTCCACAGAAGCGTCGCGCGCGTGCCGCTCAAGGACGTCGTACAAGGATCGGGGCACGCGCGGCGCGATAGCACAAGCGCGCGCCACGATGCGCCGCGCATCTAAAGGCGCCAAGCGCCGCGGCTGGAGCCGCGCAACAGTTTGATCGCCAGATTCAAACCGCTCAAGGATCAAGGCAACCACGCACAGGACCGGAAAGTGCCCGCCGAGCGCGAACGTGGCATCCCACAGCACCGCGACCTCGTCTAGTGGAGGCACGACCGTAAACAGCGACGCGAGCAGGGGATACGCTACCAAATCTTCCACGGGGGTCCGCGCGTCGTCGTCCAGTAGTAAACTGTCTCCTAGTAATGTCCCATGTATTTCCGGAGAGATGCACCGCAAGATATGATCAACCAGCGCCGCGCCGACGACGCAGCCGTCCAGCGTCGGCGTGAAGTAGCGCGGGCACAGCTCCGCCAGCTTCTCGAAGCACGCGAAGGCTTCCAGTTCGGACGGTAGCGCGTACAAGAAACAGGCCGCCACTGCTGAACGGTTCGCGCCGTTCGAGACCTCGTTGTTGCGACTGCGCGCTAAAGCTGTCACGCAGCGCACGATCTGGGCGTCTCTGACCTTCTGCCGTACGCTATCGTCGGCCCGGAACGTCCTCCTCGCATCATCTCGGATCTTTTGGGCGTCGTCGCTGAGGCCGTCGCAGAGATTCGAGTAGCGCCGCGCTTCTATTCGGCCGCAGCCGAGCAAGAGCGTCCAGGCCAAGGGCCGCGTATTGGCGTCGAGTCCTTCGGTGACGGCAACTCGGCGGAGGCGTGCGACGCGCTCCGATGGTGGTAGGGTGCTCTCATACAAGAGGTGATGTGCCGTGACCTCCGCGTCTGGCGTGCACTCGGTCATCTCAGCTCATGCGTATCACTGCCGCGCAGCAATGCATCGAACCCGACCAGTTTTAACGACCGATTCGTGCAGCACGACGGCCGTGAGCCAGCGAGATTGCTGCTCGATGACAAGGCTAGTGCGGCATACGCTAGGTCTAATTGCACCGCACACGCGACACCGACGCCTCGTAACACGATCGCGACGGCTGGAAGTCGAGAAACTGGGCCTGGCCGATTAGGAGAGCATGAATGATGCATGCTGAGCATCGAGCTGGCTCTGGCGTCTCAGGCCATTCAGACAGCAATTCGACGCGTGCAGTAGCCGCACGGCTCTGGTTTTAAGGTGTCGTCTTAATTTCAGATCGATACGTGCGCTAGATCACACAACACATTTGCCCACACCAGCTCATTTGCAACAAACAAAAGCCATGCGACGACACGCCGCACTGCTGTGCGCCGCCGTCGCGACGCACGCCTTCGCGCCGCCGACGCACAACCACTTCCTACAAAAACAACAGCAACCAACGCGCGTCGCGCCGCTCGCGCTCGGGGGCAAGGAAGGCGAGGGCCTCGGCGACGTTTTGAGGAAGTACGGCGTCGTTGCTTTAGTGTTCCACTTTAGCGTCTGGCTGACGACGCTGAGCGCGAGCGTCGCGGCGCTGAGTGTCTACGACACAAGTACGCTCCTCGAAGCGCTGCCGGAGCCGCTGAGGGGCCAGATCCCAATATCGAGCGGCGCGGCGACGCTGCCCGTCGCCTTGGCGCTGTGCGAGGTCGTCGGGCCGGCACGGTTGGCGCTGACCGTGGCCGCGACGCCGGCCGTCGCCAGCACTCTGCGAAGCAACGCGCGCTTCGTCGAGCTCGAGGACTCCGTAAACGAGCGGCTCCTGGAGCTGCTGCCCGGTGGTGGGTCCGATTAATTTTCTGTGATGTCTTCGAGTTACTTGCGATAAGGGATAGGGGATCAGCACGTGCGGCACGTCTTCGGGCAGGCCTCGAGTGCTGTTCTCACTCCGTCCGTGTTCTTGGCCTTGCAGCGTTTGAGTTTGTGGGCGACGTAGGCGCAGGTGTTCGAGGCCTTCGTACCGTAGGACCACGTCGGGTCGTCGGCGCACGATGCGGACGGCGCGTACGTCGGCGTGGGATGGTACGGCGTAGGCGTGGGGTGCGGCGTTGGCGATGGGGCCCGCGGCGCCGGTCCTGGGGTCGGTCCGGGCGTCGCCTCGGGGGCGGGTCGATGCGTGGGCTCGCGCGTCGGCGTAGGGGGCGCGCTACAGGTGCCGCACGTCAAGGGGCAGGCCTCGAGCGCGGTGCGGACGCCGTCCGTGTTCTTCGCCTTGCACCGTTTTAATTTTTGAGCGACGTACGCGCAGTCGTTCGGCGAGCACGAGCCGTAGCACCAGGTGGCGTCGTCGACGCACGACGTCGATGTACAGTCGACGCCCGGCCGGCGGGCGTCCTCGTCAATGGCCTGCGGTGCGCGCGCGGCCTCCGCCAGGCGGCGTCTCGATGGTAGCGTGGTCGCGACGAGGACCTCGGCGCAGGCGCAGGCGCAGGCGTCGGCCGCGGCCCAGCCGTCGTCGGATGCCGCGCGGCCTGTGGGGACACGAACCGGTGAGAGAGCAGACGCGGTCACGGAGATGATGATGAGCGCGCCGCCGGCGCGGGGCGCCGGAAGAATGATGAACACACCGCGCGCGGCAGAGCGCCGCCGCGTCGCGGGCCACTTCATTACAATCCGCGCCCTCGCTGGACGCCCAGGCGGCCTCGTCGCGACAGTCAGGTTCACTTCCGTCGGGCGGCCACGGAAAGACGGGCGCCACGACGCGCGCCGGCGGTCGGGGGCCTGCTGCCCCCCTGAGATTGTGGTGGCCTTCGCCGGCGCCTGCGCGCGCCGCGGGCGCGAGCAGGGCGAGCGCGAGCCGGACGCGCATCTCCTGATGGGGGCGGGGTGGCGGGCAGGCTCGTTCGGCGGCGTTTGTAGCGCGCCCCTCAACTGCCAAGAAACTCAGTGTGGGCGGTTAACCGATGATTGCGGCGTTCACCGGCTCGGTTTTTTTATGGTTTGGGCGTCGCAGCCGTCGGGGCGTGCCTCGGCCTTCGTGGGACGGGTCGCCAGGGCTCCCGAGAGCTGTGGGCGGCGTCGCGGCGGCCGCGACTTTCGGTGGTGAGTGCGACTTTCGGCGTTTTTGTTTTTCGCGTGGCTGGGAGGGCTGTCTAGGCGTCTAGAGCCTACTGGCGGGGACGGGGAGTCCTGCGATTCGCGCGGTTCTGCACGCCGCGCAATGGCAGCCCGATTTGGGGCAATTGCTGCTTTGGCGTTGCTAGGACTCCCTCCCAGGTCTCCTACGCCTAGTGGCGGGCAAGGGGACCCGTGTTTGGGGCAGCCCCAAATCGAGCAGCCGTTTTTGTGCAGACAAGCCGCCGCGGCCTTTGTGGCAGCGCAGCGCTCACCGAAGCTGTCCCCAGCCGCTCCGATCGCTTCGCACGTGCACCCGTGCAGCGCATCGATCCGATCGGCCCTCGGCGCCGGCACCCGGTGAGCCGGCAGGGCTCCGCAGCAGCAGCTGCCAACTCGGCCAAGCGCCGCGCCGCCGCTAGCGCACCGCTAGCAGCGCGCAAACGACACAATTGCGCTCGCCGCCCACAACGCCATGCCCGGGTCGGGACCGCGCGTCGACCCGAGCGCCTACGCCGCGACGCGGCAAGCGAACATCGCGCGCGCCGCGGAGCTGCGCGCCCAGCGTAGAGCTGAGAGCAACGGCGGCGATTCGTTGGATGCGCTGACCCAGGACGCGCGGCCGGCGCGCAAACCGAGGAAGGAGGTTGCGCCCGGCTGGACGCAGCACACGTGCAAGAAGACCGGGAAAAGTTATTATCACCACGCGGCCACCGCAAAAACGACGTGGACGCGGCCGCCGGGGTGCTACGACGAGCGCGAGAACGTCCATCCTTCCCAGAATGACGTGCCTCTGCAGGAGGCGAACGGTAGATCTAGAAGAAGGGACGACGACGTCAGGGCGAGTTCGTCGCAGATGAGCGAGAGCGAGTTCGAGAGCTGGCTGGAGGTTCTTAAAAGACGTACTCTCACTGGTTCGCAAGCTAGACGGGCGTCGTCGGCGTTGGCGCGCTACGGCGCCGCGGCGCTGGACGAGCCCCAGCTCGGACGGAGCGACTCGCTCCAGTCTCTGAAAAATTCATTGCGATCGAAGCGGGGCCAGACCTCGGAGACGCTGCGGACCAAGTCCGCCGCTGATATTGTTGATGATGAGCCTCAGGAGGAGCCCGTCCGTCGCGCGAAGACGGAGCAGAACAGGAGACCTCGAGGGAGGCCGGAGTGGAATTCCGACTTTGCGACGGACACTACCGCTGATGATGATCGTAGACGCGAGGAGGAGGAGGCCGAGCAGCAACGGGCGCTGGCGCAGCGCCGGCGAGCTGCCCCTAAACCTGTGGACGACCTGCCGGCGGGCTGGACGAAGCACGTCGACAAGCGCACGGGCGCGACCTTCTACCGGGACGAAGCCGCCGGCGAGTCGACGTGGACGAAGCCGACGCAGCCGGCGCGCGGCGCGGCGCCCCCTCCTCAGGAGGAGGCCTACGACGAGCCTCCTGCACAGAAAGGCTACGACGCCTCGGGCGCCGGCGCGCGCCACCGGACCATGTGGAAGCCCACCAACGACGAGGAGGAGGACCAGGGCCGGTGGAGCCCGCCCGCCCGGGCGCAGCGCCAGGCGTCGCCCCAGAAGCGGTCGCCGGTCAAGCGCCAGGCGTCGCCGGGGCCCGCGGCTCGCATGAGCCCCGGACCGGATAATGGCGGTGTGCCCGACGGCGCCGCGAACGCGCGGTTAGATGATGCTTGTACGACGTGCGGGCGGAAGATGGCCGGCACCGCTCTAGATCGCATGGAAAAAATTCACGGCCAGCGCTGCTGCCCGAAGTGCGCGCCGAAGAAAGCTCGCAAAACCTTCAACATGGCGGCCAAGCGCGCTGACGGCTTCGACGGCGACGAGCGAAGGAAGGTCCTCGACGGGGCCAAGCAGGTCAAGCGCGAGCTGAAGCAGAAGAAGAACTCCTTCGGCGGCTCTGGCGTCAAGGAGGGCAAGTGGAAGGCCCAGTCGAATCAGTTAAGAGAGGCCATGGCGAACATGCGCGCGATCACCAAGGCGGAGAAGGAGGGAAAACCCTTGCCGCCGGCGATGCCGAGCGGGCCGGACATGTCTCTCATAGGCTGCCCGCACTGCGGCCGGCGCTTCAATCAAAAAGCGGCTGAAAGACACATCCCGAAGTGCCAGTCGATCAAAGCCAAGCCCAAGACTCTTACCAGAGGCTCCGGGCGCGGCCTCGGCCGGCGATAGGCTGCAGCTCGTCCCTCCCCGCGACGCGCGCCCCTCGCCTCCGATTTTAAATTAGATTTCGATCACATTAATTACGTAGACAGAGCGACGGCTCGGAGCATAGACGCCGCGCCCGCGGACAAGTTCTTCGGCCGGTAGACCTTGGGCGCTTGCAGCGCCTCGGCGCCGTAGATCGTCGCCGCGATGACGCATGCGGCGAGGTATGTCCCTGCAAGAGACGGGTGCTCGCGATCGTCGTCGAAGAGGTCGAGGCCTCCTGGTCCCGCCGTCCGCGCCGCGCCGACGTTCGCAACGCGCGCGTTGTTCTCCTCAGCGGCGCGCGCGTGTTCGGCGCAGATCGCATCGTCGTCGAACGCCGGCAGGCGGTCGTAGGCCCAGGCCGCGTAGAAGACCGGCTCCGCGCCGTGGTTGCGGACGTGGTCGCACCACAGCTTCGCGTGCCGCCGGAAGCTCTCGCGAGACGTTTCCGGAAGGTCCTCCTGCAAGACGACCACGTCGGTTGCTGCGCACGCGAGCTTCGCCTCGTCATTATTCCACAGCGTCTCGAGCGTCGCGCCGCCGACAGCGACGCGTTTTGTCTCGATGCCGGGCACGAGCTTTTTGACCATGACGTCGACGCCTTGGTTCCAGAACGTGAGTGAATTGCCGATGAAAAGGACGCGCTTTGCGAGACTTGCGATTCGCATCTCTCTGGCTCGCGCGTCGACGTAGTCGTCGCTGAGCAGTCCGCTCATGTCAGTGCGGCTTCGCGTCTACAGGTTATGGCAGCGCTGCTACACCTTAGGAAGGGAGAGCACTGGTGGTGCAGCTCAACAGCCGGCTCGAGCGCTCTGGAAAGTTGCAAGCCCCGATTGTGCAGTAGTAGCAGGACTCTCGCAACGACTCGTACCCAGCGCTGCTGCCTTCTGTGCGGATTTTTGGGCGCTTTGGCTTGGCAAAAGCTGGGCTAGCGGCATGTAAGACACTAGCAAGCTCCGTAACCGCAGCTATGCCTCGGAACAGTCTTGCGCGGCGAGAGAGAGATGCAAGGCGCACCGCCCACTGGTCCTGGGCGGCCCATGGCCCCGCGCGACGTTGCTTTTGGCACAGTGTCCTGTTCGTGGGCCGCTCGTCCCACCGCGCCACGCAACGGCCACGCTCGCGTGCGCTCTCATACCACAACCGTCGTCGCGGGGCAGCCCGCGGCGGCGTCGCCACGATCGCCGCCGACGACCGGCGGTGGGAGCCCCTCGTCGCAGCGGGCATCACCTACGCCGCCATGGCCGCCCTGTTCGGCGACGCGACGGACTGGAGCGCCTGCACGGCGCTACTCGCAGCCGGCGGCGTCGGCGCCCTCGTGAGCTGCGCCTGCGCCATGGGCGACGACGAGCCGACGGCCGAGGACGCGGCCGCGGCCTGGGGCGCGCAACAGGACCCGCGGCCGGCGGCGACCGTGACCTGGGACGGCGACAAGCACCCGCCGGCGCCGACGCACCGGGCCGGCGTCCCCCCGGCCTGGGGCGATGCTGATGAGGTGCCCGCGGCGACGCCCGACGCCGAGCCCGCCAAAAGTAGCTTCTGGGCCGCATCGACGCCCGACGCCGCCGCGACGGCGAAGGCCGCGCCCGCCACGAAGACGAGCTTCTGGGCCGCGAGCGCATCAGAACCGGAGGAGCCCCTCGCCGAGCCCGTGACCTTCGAGCAGGCGACGGGCGCGGCCCGCCTCGAGGCCGCGCGGCGCTGCCGCGCGGCCGAGGTGACCGAGTCCGAGCGCCAGTTCATGCGCGAGTTCACGGCGATGATGGCCGCAGGACTCGTCGTTGTTTTAAGAGTGGACGGCTCGGACGGCGTCGCCGTGACGCTGTCACTACAAGAATTCCGCAACGAGCCCATCCTCGAGTGGCACTTCACGGAGAATGGGGAACGGGGCCGCCTGTCGCTGAGCGACATCCAGACGGTGCGGGGTCAACAACTGAACGACGAGCTCGCGCGGCGCTCCTTCGTCATCGAGGGGAGAGATAGGGTCCTCGTTTTCCACAGCGAGACGCCGGACATCTGCGCGCTCGTGATTGACGGTCTGGCGATGTTGGTGGCCGACCATAAGAGACGGGCGGCGCGGCGGCGGTCGTCGCTCGGGCCGGCGCGCAAGGCCATCGCCGCCCGGCGGAGTTCCCCGAAGAAGCCCCTCGCGGCGAACAACTAGACACCTGACAAGTAAAGAGTGTATATGCATGCTTAGAGACCCCCCTTGAACAAATTCTTGATGTCCCGGCCCATCGCCTTCGCCCGCTGATCGGTCATGCCGCTCCTAAATTCGGCGCCGCGGCCCTTGCCCGTCGTAGCATTTCGTGCGACGTAGGCCCAGGGCGGGCTGTTCGCTGATAGCCGCCCGCGCACCGCGTCCAACCTATCAATCTTCCGCTGGTCGAACGCGTCGCCCAGTAAATGGCGCGCTAAAAAAGAATACGTCTTCTTGACGCACGTCAGCGGTCGTTTGGAGTTGTGGCCGCCCTTCACCAGCAGCAATTCGGCGTCGCGCCGCCGGCAGCCCTTCGACGCGTACCGTCTTAGTAAAGCGCCGGCGTTCGCCCTGGGGGGCATCAAACTGTCGTCTGTTGCGGCCACCAGTAATAATGGAGCCTCCAACACTTCGACGGCTTCCAAGGCGTCGACGTCGTCCACATCTAGCTGAGCCCGCTTCAGGACCTCGGCCCGCACCGCGTCGATGGCCGCCTTGGCTGCACTTTCCGCTAATCCCGCGCGCGACGGGAAGTAGCTTGAGGAAGACCGTTCACACTTCTCCGTTCGACCCTCCTGGACGTCACGGATGAAGGCGTCGTCAATCGGTCGCTCACCTTTCTTAATGTCGGAGGGACCGTCACAACCTAAGGCTTCATGCGCCGCGTTCCGCGCGAGTCTATCAACAAGTTGTGATAGGGAAGCAAACGGCGAGTCGGCGACGACGCACGGAGCGACACCGTTCGGAGAGAATCCGGTTTTCTTGGCTCCTGCCAAAATAGCAGCGACGGCGCCCATGCTTCTTCCGTACAGCGCCACCTGACTACAGCGCTTGTTCGCTAGTAAATGAGACGCCACGGAAGATGCATCCGACGCTTCGCGCAGACCCAACGTGACAAACTCGCCCTCCGATGAACCAGAACCCGTCGTGTCCACGGCGCACACTTTTATACCAAGCATGAGTAAAGGAGCTACGTGCGGCAGCGCTTCCATGCGGCACGACGCGTTGCCGTGCAAATACAAGACGCAAGGTGCTTCAGTAGAAAAGGCCCGAGACCACAAAGAGCACTTGAGCGCTTTCTTCTCATCAGACTGCACGGTAAAGTCCGACCGGACGCATTGTACTGTAGTCTTATCTAGTAAAGGCACGTCAAACGATAACGGACCGAGTTCATCCACGGCGTAGGACGCGCGCGGCGGCCTTATAACTAATCGCACGACGGCCCGCCACGCCGCCTTGGCCCTTCTAGGTGTTGCCGCCTCCCAAGAAACAGTACCGTCCTTCCTCACGACACGATCAAAGGCGAAGCCCTTCGAGACGTGCGCTTCATCCGCGTCCGAGAAACGCACGGACTTTCTGCGTAGTGCGCTTCGACCACCAACTGTCCCTGGAGTTGAGGGCTCGACTCGCTTGCTCTTCGCAGGCGTAGCTGGTGGTGGCGGCGCCTTCTTCACCGCGGACAACGCGCCGAACGCCGACGCAATAGCTCTAAATGTAGAGGTAGTACCGGCAGAAGCTTCAATTGCGTCGACCTCGTCCTCGGCCGGCTCCAAGGAGTCGTCGTCGAAGGAATCCGCCGAGGCCGGTGGTTGCGACTTCAGGCGCCGATGCACTGCTAGTGTTTCGCCGATCGCCGTCCACCAGGCTTTGCACTCTGCTGAATCCGTAGTACAAAAGTGGAGGACCTCCTCGGCCTCTCCCACATTCAGGGTAAGTGTGAAGGCCCGATCCGACGAGCGCTCGACCCTACAGACCGCCGGGTGGAGCGACAGGACGCGCGCCGTCGCGTTGTGTAGAGACAAAGCCAATCTCCCAGCGCCTAGATCAGCATCAACCGCTTCGTTGTTCAATAGTAATGAACCTCTTCTTTCGGGCCAGGCCGCGAAGGCGGCCCGATCATCCTTCAGCGGCGAGCGAGCTAACGCGATCGTCGCCCGATCCCTCGTCATCCGTTGCGCGGATTTCGTGAGCCAGTCCACGACCTGCGTGGAATTCAATCAGTGTGTCGGGTGCACTCGAGCAAGCGCCGCGTCGATGGCGTACGAACGCGCCGTAAATTTTGATTTCCACGCAGTCCACGACGTCGTGCAGGTCCACGAGGCCGTCGCCGTCGGCATCACACGCGTCGAAGGCGTCCCTTAGTACGGGGTCGTCGTCCTCGTAAACCGCTTCCGTACCTAGCGAAGCTATGACTAATGAGGGAAAGGCGTCCCTTGTCACAGAACCATCCACACTAAAATGGCCGAAGGCCCGAGCCAACGCGTCGAGGGCCGGTCTTTTTGTCGCTTCCTTGGCCCACCGCTGCAGAACCTTTCTTCTAGCGTCGGCCTTGGACTTACAGCCCGGGCAGCGCTTTTGCGCGGTCTGGCACCTGCCACAAAGGATCGCGGCGCAGCCGCGGCCGGCGCAGGGCTCCAGTTTCTTTGTAGAATCGCCGCAGGCGACGCACCAGGCGCCGTCGCCGCTCGCGTCGAGTTTTTTGGGGTCGTCTAACAGATTTTCACACGCGCGCTGCGCGCGGGCCGTCGTCGCGACCGCCTTTGTGGTGAGCGACGCGCGGCGGCCGGCGGCGTCGACGACGACGGCCGCGGCCGTGTCCGCCGTGACCTTGACGACGCCGACCAGATCGCCTTTTGACGACGCGGCCCAGCCTTGCGCGCTTCGCTGGGCCAGTTTGCTACACAACTCCGCTGCGGCGCCGTGGGCCTCGCCGATCGTGTGCACCTCGCCGCCGCGTCGTATCACACCGCAGAGCGGCTCCCCACAGCCGCTGCCTAATCTCGCGAGCGGGCGCGCGCCATCCTTGTGCGCGTTGGCGTCGTCGTAGGCGTCGTCGAGGTCGAATTGCACGTGGGCGGCCATCGTTTCCTTCTGTGGTTCGTTTCTGTGTTGCCGGCGGCGTGCGCCCGCAAACGCAGCCGGTTCTCGACGCCTAACAGTCTCTGCGGTTACCGCTCGTAGGGCGCTGAGCGCGCAGTTTTTTCGGCTGGCTGCAGTAAGCGGCTGATAAGCGCAGTGCCGACGCTACTGGTGTATCAATTGACCGTCGTACGCGGCGTGCGCAAAAGCAGCGGTAAAGCCTCCAAAACTAGAGGCCATAACTAGCGTAGACACAACGCGGCGCGCCCGTCTCTTTTGGATTTTCAGCATTGCTACCAGGCTTCATTTACCCGCTGTACGACGGCCTTGCGGCAGGCCAACGTGCAGGGCTTGCATGCATGTGCACTGCCTTGTCTGCGCATACGCGCGCACAACTAGCCCTCCGTTCGTGACTGCACGTTTTCGGGAGGCGTCTGCACCAGCGAGATAGCCCGTAGCAGCTCGCGCGGCCCTCGGCTGGGCCTGAGCCAAGGTCAGTGCAGTGAGCTGGTGAGGCTTGTTATTCTCCGCCCCGGTGCGCGACGCCGCGGCGCCAAGGTTCGTAAACCATGCGCCTCCTCACGAGCGGCCTCTACGTGACGAACCTCGTCAGCGCGGTACTCTGCGAGCGCCCGGTCGCGCGCTGGTCGAGAGCGGCAGCGAGGCGAGGCGTCAAGCCACGAAGGCAAGTCCGCTCCTGGGCCCTGCGCACGGACGGCGAGGTTCGAGGTGACGTCCTCGTAAGAAGAGCGCGGAACGACGACATTCCTAGAATACAAAGATGCAACCGGGCCTCATTACCGGAAAACTACAACGACGGGTTTTATGCAAGACACATCGCGGACTGGGGCCACCTGGCCTACGTCGCGGAGTGCGTTGATGATGCGGACGACCTCGCCGGCTACGTTTTAGGTAGGGTTAATGAACGAGGATCGGAGCTCCCGGCGCCGGTTACAGCGGCGTCGCGCACGCGGCCCGTCGACGGCCACGTCACGTCATTAGCCGTGCACGCGAAGCACCGGAGAAGAGGCGTCGCGCGGGCGTTGATGCGCCAAGTCCACAAAAACATGGCGTTGGAGGTCGACTGCGCGAAGCTCCACGTGCGCTGTTCGAATGCGCAGGCTCTCCAGCTCTACGCCGGCTTAGGGTATGACGTCGTCGACGTCGTCCAGAGCTACTACCACGACGGCGAGGCGGCCTACCTCATGCAGGCCGACGTGAAGAAGCTCGCGGCGGCCGACGCGGCCGAAGATTCCGCTTCCGAGGAGGCGGTTCTCGCCGCCTGATCGCCGCTCCCCTCTTCGTTAGTATATGTATAAAGACAAGCAATTTAGCTTCTGAGTCCCCCATTGTGGCTAGCAACTCTAATAGGTAATCGAGTATTGTTTCGGTGCTAGGTAATGCTACGGCGCTAGAGCCTAGAGCTAGCGCGCTCGAATGCTCGATCGAGCTTTGAAACTACTCAGAGGGCAGCAGGAGCAAGCTGCCCCACGCACTGCTGTGTAAAACTAAAGAGGGCAGCAGGAGAAAGCTGCCCCACACGGCATTGCTGTGTAAAACCAAACATATGGAGCTCTCCGCCAGCGCGCAGGGCGACGCGCGCATCGTTGCGGCGCGATCGCTGCCACGGAGCGTAGCCCACTTGGACCGGGCGGTGCTCTTCCAGATCTTTGATTACCTGCGAGACGCGCTTGCATTTCTGCAGTGCGAGGCGACGTGTGTTGATTTCCGCAGCCTCCTGCGAGAGGACGGCGACACTATCGGACAAATCGGACAAAAACTCTGGCAGGCGCGGCCCATCGCGTACGGTGCGCGGATTTTCGCGACGGGCGGGACTGCGTATACAGAGGAAGAGTTGGAGGACTTAGATGAGCAGTACTGGGCCGGCACGGTTGGATGGACGGAGCGCCACAACGACGAGATCTGCGACGGCGGCCGGGAGGTCGTACTCGGTTTCGCATGTATGGACGCCATAGGTGCAGCGCAGCGCTTGCACGGCGCAATCATAGCGCCGCTCGCAGGAGAGCAGTGGACGCCACTACTAAATCGCTTGCATCGGTGGAGTAACCTCAGCATTCAACGTCCTCTCGACATGTTTTCCAGTGCCGTGGTTCTCGCCGCGACCGAGTCGGTCGAGGCGTGGATCATCGATCTCATGGAAAAAGGCTGGCTGTGTGCCCTTCACCGGGGGAAAATGATCGTCACAGGGAACGACATAAAATTGGCCGCCCGTTGTTCAGATGATTTAACCGCCCGAGGCACTGAATTTCCTGGGTGTGCTTCTTGGAAATCCAACGCAATATATAAATCCCTCAACGAAAGCGGCGATAGACCGTTGGCCGAGCTCCTCGCCGAGCTCGATGGGCCGACGCAGGAGCGCATCATACGGACGCTTGCGCGTCGCGCCGGCTTCGCTGCGTACGATAATTCTGCTTACGAAACGTTATGGAGGCTTGTATTACTTCGCCTTTGCGTGCTGTTGGAGCGCGTCGACGCCGTATACTTTAATACGACGCCCGAAGACTGGGAAATTCGTTTCCCCACTCCCGAAAGCTGGAAACGCTCGAAGCACAGGCCGAGCCTCGAGACTCTCGCGTATGTCTTGCAGAATGGCTCCGGACCAATGACCCCGCCGCCGCCCCACCAATACGCGCCGTTTCGCGACGAGGACGACGGCAGCTTCCGCTCGGACGACTGCAGCGACACGGACGACGACGACGACTCCTCGATAGGCGGTGGGTCAGTGCACGAAAACGACTCCTCGATAGGCGACGAGTCCGCGCAGCCGTCCTCCGTCGCCGACCGGCTCGCCTCGCTCGCGTCGCTCCGGTCGTCCGGGGCGCTCACGGAGGCGGAGTTCGCGCGCGCCAAGGCGCTCGAGCTTGGGCTACCCGTCCCGTAATTGAAGATTGTTTACGACTGATCAATCCTAGTGTGTCTCGTAACGCTAGCTCGGCGTAAAAGCGGCGCTAGGCTGCCAGGCTGCTGCTCTGAGCTCTCTGCCGTGCTGCGTTGCTGCATCCTTTCGCCGCGACCGCATCCTCCACGCCTGGGCACTCATGGCACCGGAGCTGCCGCAGGCGGTCTGGTTCCAGGTCTTTGACTACTTGCGCGACGCGCGCGCGTTCCTGCAATGCGAAGTGGTGGCGAAAGAACACCGCGATTTATTGCGGGACGAGAAATTAGGTAAAAAATTGTGGGAGGCGCGGCCGATCGCGTACGGCGCGCGCTTGTTCGCGACGGGCGGGCCGCCGCATGGCGGGCCACCGCTGGGTGAATGGCATCGTTTACGTGACTGGGAAAGGATTTGCGATGGCAGCCAAAGCTACACGACGTTAGACGATCTCGAGGTCCCCGACGGAGGCCGGCAAGGCGTGCTCGAGTTCGCGTGCCTCGATGCTATAGCGGTGGAGCAGCGCTCTGACGGTCCAATTATACTCGCGGAGGTAGACAGAGGGGTCTGGCGAAGACTTGTTGAGAAATGCTTTGATAGGGCACGAGAGGAGCCCCGAGCGCTGGCACCGAGACGTTTTTTCGACGTCCGGCTAACAAATGAATTGGTGCGCGTTGCAACTGACATGGTCGAGGGCTGGTTTAATGATGTCACCGAAAATGTGGTTAGATTGGCTACGCACCGTGACTCCGCCACGGTGACCTTTCGCGACATCAAGGCCTTATGCGCTGTCACTAGAGACATGACTCTTATTGCGTGCTCCTTAGCCTCATTGTCGTCAGCAGAGCAAAACTTTAACTTCATCATATCTGATCGAGTCGTGCCCGAGCTCAACTCGCACGGATTCGTCTCCGACCTCGGCGTCGCAGCGGACCGGGTCATGCGGCGGTTCGTGCGAAAGGCCGGCGGGTTCGCGTACGATGGCGCGGCCTACAGGGCCCTGTGTAAGATCCTATTGATTCGCCTTTGTGATACTTTGGACCGCTGCGCTTTGCACTGCATGTCTAGGGAGAACATCGACCTGAAGATGGTGGGCGGCAATCCACCTAGCGGGAGCTGGTCGTATTGGGTTCCTGCTGCCGCTGGGCCTCCGGAAAGAAGGCCCGTGCTGACGCCGGTCCTCGAGGATCTTTTGCAGGTCGCAACGCTTGGCCCCGAACGGTGCGGCGTTGCTGATAGCTACGTCACGGGTCGTTGGTATGGCGACGATGTCTGCTCCGACGACGGCAGCTTTCACACGGACGACTGCGGCGACACGAGCGACGACGACGACTCCTCGATAGGCGACGAGTCCGCGCCACAGTCTTCCGTCGCGGACCGACTCGCGTCGCTCGCGTCGCTCCGCGCGGCCGGGGCGCTCACGGAGGCGGAGTTCGCGCGCCAGGCGCTCGAGCTTGGGCTCTCTTCGGGCCTGTAACTAACTTTATGAATATTTACTACTACTCTGGCTGACTCGCGTCGTCATAGCCGTAGGACGGGTTCTAAGGCTCAAAAAATTAATGTTTCCTAGTACCTTACCGCTAGCTGCACAGCCAGCAAAGACTCTTTGCGGCACTCTTTTGAAGGCAAGCAAGGCTGTGACAGCCGAGCGAGTGCCTCAAAAGCAAGGTTCAGCAGCGCAGCGCTACAAGAAACTGGCACATCGATGATCAATTGCAGTGTTGCGTGCACAGAGAGCCTTCATCAGTGCCAGTGAGCAGAGTGCTGCAAGCTTGAAACGCAGCGCTAAGATGAGCAAAGCACTCGACGCCGCAGTGCGATCACTCAGAGCATTAAAATCGTGGGAGCACGCACGCAGCCGCGGCGCCATGCAATCGCTCGACTGGCGGCCGTGCCAGGCCGTCGCACAAAAACTGGGCTACAAGCGCCACCCGCTCACGATACATGTCGCGGGCTCGAAAGGCAAGGGCACGGTCTGCGCGCTCGTCGGCGCGGCGCTGGAAAGGGCGGGGTTCCGGGTCGGCGTCGTCACGTCGCCGCACACTTATCACTTCGGCGAGCGGCTGCGCATAGGGATGCGACCCGCCGGCGACGCGCTCGCGCCGCACCTGCAACGGGCCGTCGAAATTATTGAAGAAGCGCGGCGTAACAACGACGCCGTGCTGGGAGCGGCCACGCAGTTCGACGCCTTTGTCGCTGCCGCATTAAAAGCCGCCCAAAAATGCGATGCTGTTGTGGTTGAGGTCGGTTTGGGCGGAAAACGGGACTCGACGAACTTTTTGAACGCGCCAATCACGGCCCTCGTGTCTGTAGAAAGAGAGCACACGGAGGTTTTAGGTGAATCTTTGCGAGGCATTGCTACGGAGAAGGCCGGCATTTGTACGAAGGATGGGGTCTTGGTGCTCGGCGATCTGAGCAGGGCGCCGCGGGAAAAGGCGCTCGAAATAGCTCGGAGACGCGGCGCCACGCCGCTGGCGACACGGCCGGCGAGGATGGTACAAGGCATCCCGGCGGGGTCTTTAGCTGTGGCGCGGGGCGTCCTCGACGCCGTCGGCGGTTTTGTGGACGGGAGCCTGCTCGACGATCCCCGGGTGTTGCGGACCGCTCTAAAAGCATTACCCGCGCGCGCCGAGTCCATCAGAGGCGGGTTCGTCGACGGCGCGCACACGGCCGCGAGCGTTGCTGTATTTGCGAAATCCGTAAAGCGGCGGGGCCGCGGCGTCGTTTTGATCATAGCGCTGCGGTCGGACAAAAATATCGAGGACGTCGCGAGGGCCGTCCGCGAGCACCTCGACCCCGAACGCGTCGTCTGCTGCTCGTGCGGCGAGGGGTTTGTGGCTGCGGACGCTCTATCAAAGGCCTTTGATATGGCGGAGGTCGCGCCGAGTCCCGCGGCCGCGTTCGACGCCGTACCCTGCGGTGAGTACGTGCGCGTCGCCTTGGGGTCCTTCGAGCTCGCGGCGGCGGCGCGCACAGCATGGACTTAGTTGTGTGTGATATATGTAACAGTTTTAATTACTAGTGCCCATCGTGAACTTCTCCAATTTCAGACACGTCGACAGGCCCATCTGCCGCTCGCAGATGTCGAGGAAGTGGTCGCAGGCCGCCTGGCCCGTGCCGTCGGTTGGTGCAAAGGCCGTCGTGCCGTCGTCGTGGAACATGCCTGTGTGCGAAAAGTTGGCGCCGCGCCGCGACATTTTGATTTATGCACCGGACCTTGCGCCAGAGCGGCGCCGGCCCGCCCCACTCGGCGAACCAGCCCTCGACCTCGGCCGCGTTCGTCACCTGCGCGGAACGAGCGGTTCGCGCCGACGGCGCGTCGACGGCCGCACGGGGCGCGACCATCTTTTTGACCTGGCTGTTCGAGCGCTTGACGATGTCCGACGGCTTACGCGTCGCCAGGATCTCGTTGCGCCCGCCGGGCCGGTCGGGATACAACTGGGCCATCAAGCCCTTCAGTCCCTCATCCTCGTCCCTGACAAAGTCCTCGTAGGTCATGACGTGCGTTTTATTATCAGACACGTAGTCCGCCAACCGGTGGTACATGGCGATCTCGCAGAGGCCCCAGGTGATCGACCGCAGGAACCGTTCCTTCTCGACGGCGAACCTGGACTTGCGGCAGTCGCGGAGGTGGTGGCCCGCCTCTTCGATTCGTTTCCACTGCGTCGAGTTCGGGTCTTTTAATCGATGACAAAACTCCATGCCCGGCCGGTACTCGTTGATGAGGCCGATGGCCCTTGAAACGACGTTGCTGCGGTACCACAAGATGACGTGGAAGGGCTTCCTTCGCTGTAACTCGGCCAGAAAGCTCCAATCAAAAGGTCCAATTGGAGGCCGCGTCAGCGTGTGGTGCGCGGGGTTCTGGCTCAGGCCGATGACGCGCGTGTCGCCTCTGCACTCCCTTGTTAATGCCTCCACGAAATGGTCCTTGATGTCCGTGCTTGATTTTGGTAATTCCCCGCTTTCCTTGAACCTTTCCATGAGGAACTCCTCGATCACATGAAAGCGGTCGATGCCATTTAATTCATCAACAAACCAGGTACTCCCCGTGTGCGCGTATTTCAGGATGATGAAGTGCTCGCAGGGCGCGCGCTGGAGCGCGGCGCGCGCGGCGGCGAGCGTTACTGCTAGCCGCAGGGCGCGCATCGTCCCAAGCTGCGATTATCAATGGAAATTATTGAGGCGAGTCACCCTGGGCCATTTCAATATGCGAGGCGTCGTCAGATCTTGCGTATTGACGAGCTATGAGTCCAAACGGCTCCACCGCGCGACGCTATCGTGCGAAACTGCCACGTCGGGCGAGTATGGCGAGCGTGGTGCCTGAACTCTGGGCTAGCGGCCTGTAAGACACTAGCCGACTATATGCGCCGAGGAAGCGCCCCCAGACAAGTGCTTGTCCGTTCTTCTGACAAAATTTAGGCGTAGAAAACGAGATAAGGTTCCTCACAAGCTTAAAGGGGAGAAGGGCCGCCTACGACTCACGCGAGCCACTGCGTCGTGTGCGTCCCGTCGGGGTCGTCCCTCCTGCGGTACGTGTGCCCGCCGAAGCAGTCGCGTTGCGCTTGGATTAATGAGGCGTTCTCCAAATAAGGCCGGCGCAGCGAGTCGTAATAAGCTAACGAAGCCGAGAGCGCGGGCACCGGTAAACCTCTCTGCACGGCCACGCCCACCACCGCGCGCCAGGCGTGGATGCGATCTTTCGTGAGTATAGCCACAATAGAAGGGTGCATCAACAGATTTTCAAGAGAAGGATCGTCCGCGTACGCCTTTCTAAAATCTTTCAGTAGATCCGCTCTTATAATACATCCTCCTTGCCAGCACCTCAACACGGAATCGGGCTCGGCGGCCCAGCCTTTTTGTAAGGACGTCGTTCGGATCAAAGACATGCCTTGCGCGTACGAGCAGATCTTGGCACATAACAAAGCGTCCTCCAACACCGCCTCGGGAATTCTAGGACATAAATCTTCATGCACTCCTACAGTGGCAATAGAAGCGAACCTTCTTCGCTGCGCCACCAGGGCCGACAGGTAGCGAGCCTCGAGCGCCGCCGCGACCGTGCCGCAGGCGACGCCTTTCTCCGCAAATTCCTGGACCGTCCACTTGCCCGTGCCCTTCGAACCACACGAATCGAGGACCTGGTCCACGAGCATGGCGTCGGACCGATCATCCCTCTTCTTCAGGAGTCCGGCCGTGATCTCCACTAAAAAACTCTTGAGCTTGCCGCGGTTGTACTTGTCAAATATTCTAGCGCAATCTTTGGTAGTTCTAGATAACCCCTTGCCGTTCTGCGTGTTTTTTAGTAATAAAAACGCCTCGCCGATCAACTGCATGTCGCCGTACTCGATGCCGTTGTGCACCATCTTGACGTAGTTGCCCGCGCCGCCTGTGTGAGAAAGTTCAAGCGCCCTTCAATTCGTGGTCTCTCATGGTCTGAGTGAGTTGCTGCTCTCTGGATACGGTCGCGTGTAGCTCACGGAGGTCTTGTCCGAGTTTGAGCCGAAAACAGCGATTTCCACACCGCGCGCCACCAGAGCCGAAATATCCCAGGCAGGGCCCGTCGACCTGCGCCGCGATCTTTTTCAGGGTCGGTTCCAAGAGGTCGAAGGCCTCCCGCGGCCCGCCGGCCATGAGCGACGGCCCGTGCCGCGCGCCCTCGGCGCCGCCAGAAACGCCGCACCCCACGTAATGCAGTCCCAACGACGAGAACTGCGCCGCTCTTCTCTCGGTATTTTCGTACCACTCGTTGCCTCCATCCACAACGCAGTCGCCCCGGTCTAGCAGTGGTCCTAAAGCCGCCAGTGCACTATCCACGGGCTTGCCCGCGGGAACGAGCATCACGATCCTTCTAGGGGTCGTGAGGGCATCCACAAACTCCTTCAGATCCGTGTAGGCCTTGAAGGCACTCCCCAAACCCTCCTTGGTCGCCTTGGCCTCGGCGGCCTTGGCCTTGCTCGGGTCTAATTCAAAGCCGGCTATATTTTCACCGGTCTTCTCGGCGAGGTTCAGGGCGAGCATGGAGCCCATCACGCCGAGGCCCACGACGCCGAAGGACGCGGCTTGCGCTAAGGCGGCCATGGGTTTGAAAATGGCTGGTGGGGAGAGGCTAAGCTTATCTCCGCTGCGGCGGCTTAAGGTGCGGCGCTTGTGCTGGCGCAGTAGTAGCGCAGCGATGCGGTGTCTTTGCGTGTGCTACCGCAACAGTGCTTGCAATCACGTCTCACGTTTTAGCGCAAAGCCAAGCCAAGAAAGCTAGTGCCTCTTTGACCTGCCCGGAGCGCCGACGCAAGCTCGTGGGACGTGGGGAGGGCGGATCCGAGAGGATCCGAGAGGCTTGGGGAGAGGGAGGGTGGAGTTAAGGTTGAGTTAAAACCGAGGACCGGGAGGACCGAGGGCTCGGGGGAATTCGGGGCTTTCTCGCCTTTCCGGGGCGAATCCGGACGCGGGGAGGCCCTTTCCGGGTCCTTTCTGGGACGCGAAGGCCCTCAAAAATCCACCCCCTACCCCGGGTTTAAACTCGAGTTTAAAAAACACACCTCAAATCCAAAAATTCAACTTAGAACGCGAGGCGGGTTTTTGAACTTGAAGTCAAAGTTGCACTTCAGTTTCACTAATGTACCGCATGCGGTACATTAGTCCTTACTACTCCGCAGTATGTACTTAGACCTTGTCGGACGAGGACGGCGAGGACGGCGTCTTCTTGTGTTTTGAGCACGAGCCAAAAGTTCCGGCCAGGAAGCAGAAGGATACGGCGAGCGGGACGCAGATGGCTAGGATGAGGCAGATAACGATGACCACGACGAGGCTGACTCCACTTCGATTCTTGTCCCGGCCCCAGCAGATGCCGTGCGTGACGCCGCACGACGTCCACTCGCACGCGGTGCTGTCGAACGCGTCATCCATATGCACACGGTAGTCCACGCACCAGCCGAGGTCCTGATCGAAGGCCTTGGCGCGTTGAAACATCTCTCGCATATTCGTGACCGTGTCGATCCGCCAGGCTCCTAGGTCCTGGTTGAAGGCCTTGGCGCCTTGGAACATCTCCTTCATATCCGTGACGCTTTCGACCCGCCAGCTGCTGAGCGGTTGGTTGAACGCCGAGGCGTCTTCGAACATCCTGCTCATATCATTGACCTTGTCGACCCACCAGTCGCCGATCGGGTTATTGAATGCCGAGGCAGCTCTGAACATGTTCTCCAGTTGCGTAACGGCCCCCACGCTCCAGTTGCCGATCGGTTGATTAAAGGCCTTGGCCGCACCGAACATGTGGTACATGCGCGTGACCCTGTCGACCCTCCAGCCGCCGATTGGACGATTAAAGGATTGTGCACCTTCGAACATCTCGTCCATCGTCGTGACGCCGGAAGTATCCCACGCGCTGATGTCCTCGTCGAAGGTCGAGTCGCGAAAGAACAAATAGGACATGTCCGTGACTTGTGCGGTCTCCCACGTCGAGATGTGGCCGTGCATCGCCTCGGCGGCGGCGCGGTCCGAGAGCCAGAGGGCCACGGCCGTTCTAATCGTGCTGTCGTCCGCGATCAGTGGCGTAACTGTCGGTGCTGGCGTCACTGTCGGAGCGGGAGATGTTGTCGGCGCTGAAGTCGGCGCACAGGTGCCTTGCTCCTTTTCGTAGACGCCGCACGACGTCTCGGCGCACGGGGTGCCGGAGAACGCGCTCCACAGGTACGCGTCGTCGTCCATGCACCAGCCGAGGTCCTGGTTAAAGGCCGAGGCGTAGTAGAACATCCTGTAAATCGTCGTGACGCCGGAGGTATCCCACGCGCTGATGTCCTCGTTGAAGGACGCCGCGGCCGTTTTGCATTTAGTCGAAATCCTTGATTCCGTACAAAACAAATACGACATGTCTGTGACCCCCGATGTGTCCCACGTCGAGATGTGGCCGTACGTCGCCTCGGCGGCGGCGCTGTCCGAGAGCCACGCGTTGCGGGCCGTCCAGATGCTGCTGTCGGTCATGACGTAGCCAGTCAAGCGGCGCGGCGCCACACCGACACGGTCCAGCGGGGCCTCGGCCGGCGCCGCTCCGACGAGCGCCTCAGCCCCAGCAGAATCGGTGGCCCGCGCGTGCTGGTGGCCAGCTTGGGCAGCCGCAGGGGTAGCGTACAGGAGGAGGCCGAGGATAATTACCATCGTGGGGCTGCTATCGGGCTCGGGGATCTTGGAGAGAGTGCTGCTTGCGGCCAAATCTGGGGATCCAAAAAAACTAGTGAGTCAAAACACTAAGCCTGCACGCACGCGAGGAAGAATAGGAAGGTAGGCCACTCGACCAGTCGTCTCGTCCTAAAGGTGCCCCGTCCGTGGCAGTCAACGCGCGCACGGGACTGCGCCGCGCGAATTGCGGGACGCGAAGAAGACGAGGTCCGGAGGTACCCTCCGCGCCAATTTCGAGGGCTGCCCGCGACGCCGCCGCGGCCCTCCACACGCGCGCGCGGAAGATTTACGGTACGAGTCCGTTACATAACCAAGCCCCCCTTCTCTCTAAACCTAGAAGTAGGGGAAGCCCTTGCCCGTGAGCACGGCCTGCGTCACGATGCCCGAGAACGCGAGCATGGCCAGCCGGCCGTTCTCGAGCTCCTTGAGCTGCATCTCCGGGTCGTTCGCGCCGCCGATCTGGAGCGGGTCGAAGCCGAAGTCTCCCGGCTGGCGCCCCGAGCCGTCGAGCATCTCCAAAATCGCGAGGTAGCCGATGCACTCGGCGACGGCGATCCAGATGCCGATCTGCGTCATCGCGCCCATGTCCACCGCCATGTCGTGCGCGTTGATCGACGCCACGTTGTGCATTTCCCCCGGGAGGCGGAACCCCAAGTCCGTCGCGACGAAGCCGACGACCGCGAGCATGCAGACGCGGCCGTGCTTGAGCTCGCTCTCGCGGAGCCACTCGACGGGCACCCAATCACTCAAACCGAGCGGGTCGAAGCCCTTGTCGCCGACCATGCCCTTGAGCTTCTGCGGCCGCGGCAGGAAAGGCATCGCGGGCGAGCGCCTGCGTTTTGGGAGGGGTTAGCGGCGCGCGCGTCGTGTGTGTTACGTGTGCCGCCTCTCTCGGTGGCACAGCGACGGCGTGCGGGCGGGCCCGCCGACCGCCGACCGCCGTTCTCCGACATCGTGGAAGACGGCGGCCAGAGCCCGCTTTCCGCACGCTCCGCGTCCTTTGGAGCCTCAGTTAGGTGCGTCGGCATCGTTTGGACGGCCCCAAGGCTTCGCGGGGCCAGCGCGCGCGCGCGCTTTGCGAACCGGCTGCTAATGCTAAATCGACGCTGTGGACGCACTCTACGCTGCTAACCTCCGCCGAAAGCTGCGTGGCGGGCCTGGCAGGCGCCACAGGCGCCATTAAGGCGCTTGCACCCGCCGCGAGGGCCAGGCAGCGCATCATATTGGCCAAATTGCCTATGATCCTGATCAACCATAAAGCTTAGCGGCAGACACACACTAGAATCAAAAAAATTGATTTATCTCTCCGCGCGCAAAGAGACCTCCCTTCGACACCCTGGCGCCCGCGCACTTCGCAGCAACACGCAGTCGGCCCTCAGAGAGATGCCTGCCCATCGTCTGTGAGAGCAAGCGTCCCGCGCGCCGTCCCGCAAGGCATTGCTGCGAAGCTGACCACACGGAGGCCCCTGCGAACTGCCGAGCCCAAGAGGGCAGCCGTTCGCGGGCTACGGGCAGGAGCACTGCGGTGGCCAAGCACAGTGGCCCCTAGATGGAGTCAAAGAACGACGCCCACGAGCCAAACAGAGACACCAAGGACGAGCCCGCGCCACCGCTAGCGCCAACTTTAAAAATAGTAGCGAAGCAGTTCCTCGCGCGCCGGGCAGCCCTCGGCGAGGCAGCTTTGGACTGCGACGGCATCGAGTGCCTTTATGGAGACTTTGTGGAGGAGAACGCCGACGAGTTCGAGGGCTTCGACCCCTCGGACGGCTCGGGCAACGACCACGGCTTGAAAGCGCTACACGAGGAGTTCCTGGCGCTGTTCACGAAAGACGTCGAGGGCGCCCTCGCGTCGTCAGACCTGACGCTCGAGGACTTCGTGAAAGACGTCGAGGAGGCGCGGCGCGACGGCCTGGAAGCGCGCTGGGACGCGCTCGAGGCGGCGACGGCCGTCTGGTTCTGCGAGGCCTGCTGGGCCGCGCTAGATCTAGCCCAGTTCGCCGAGACGATGCGAGAAGCTGCTCAAAGGCAACGACGAGTTTTAGACAGAAAGCGCGCCTTCCGGTTATTGCGGCGGGGCGCGAAATAACACAAATGTCTTAAACAGCCCACTTTAGTAAAGCGTCGCGCCACGCTATTTCATCCCGTCGCACGCAGACGACGTTCGCCCAGCGCCTCACCTCGTAGGCCTCGGCAAAGCACCCGCCCGTCAATCTCCATAAACTCCCGTGCGCGCCCTGGAGGTAGCAGTCGAAATTCAATGAATCGAACTGCTCCGTGCGACCCTTGAGCGTCTCCTCGGCCCAGGCGCCGCGGAAATGGTACTCGAACTCGACGAGTCTTGCGTTTTTCACGGTCTCCATACCACCATCGAGCACGAGCGGGTCCTGGCCCTCCACATCGAGCGAGAGGTAGTCCACCTTGTCTTCCACAATACCATCTAACGTCTCGACTCGGACCTCCTCGAAGCGCGGCTCCTTCTCGAACCGTCCTTCAAATTGCCGGGCGTCGCACGTGCCTTCTGAGCAGACCTCGCCGACCTCCTCGCCGGCGGCCAAGGACGGGAACGTTGCAGAACCACGTGTACGGCCGAGGGCCATCTGTAAAAGGCGCACGGTCGCAGGACCCTTCATCCAAATCTCATCCTTCTCGACGAAGCTATGATCACGAAGGCAGCCCGCCAGCAACCCGACGTTCGCCCCCAGCGGCTCGACGAGGTCCACAACAATCGTATCAGTAATGTCATCATCATACGCCTCCTCGTCCTCGAGGCAGTCGCGGCACCAGCCGCAGGCCAATCTAGCGTTGAGCCTTCGCAGAGCCACGCCCCACGTTGCTGGAGAGACCTCGAGGGACGGCGCGAGTGCTGATAGGAGCGACGCGAGGCCGTAGCCCTTGTTCGCGCCGACATACACGGCGCGGAATCTGCCATGATGCGCGCGCAGCGCGTCGCTCAGCCACGGTCTCGAGGGGCAGCCTAATAACGCGGCCTTGTCCCAGGCGTCTTCATTACCTTCAAGCGATATTCCAAGGGACGCGGTGAACAATGATGAATCAGCACAGGCGAACGAAGGCACTACGTCACGGTAAACATCAACAGACCAGGCCACAATGGAGTCCGCGTCGACGAAGCGTCTTCCAGAAGCCGTGCCGACCGACGGCCCGCCATAGAGCTCGACGCGGTGTTGATCAAAAGTGTCGAAGTCGAAGGCGGCCGGCGATGGCGGCGGTGATGATGATCGCGGCGCCCGTCTTATGAGGACGGCGAGGCCGCCGTCGGCCGCCGCGACGGCGACGTCCAGCGTCGGCCGTCGTAGTTTTAGGACATCTTTCCAGACGCCGCCGTATCCCTCTTCCGTGCACGGCAGTGCGCCCCTTATGATGATCGCGGCGCGCAGCGGTAGATTTGAAAACGCTGCGTCGACCGCTTCTCTTAGCTCACATGTGATGCCGTCGATCAGCGCGGCGCCCGCGTTTTTATCATCAACTCCATGGCAGTCGGCGCGCGTCCACGTGGCGAAGCCGCGCGCCCTGGCTACAGCTAAAGCCACCTCCTCACTTCTAGCCCGCGCGCGGCGCAGCGTCCGCCCGCCGTCACAAACAAAACCCCCGACGGCGTCGGCCGCGGCCCGGATGCGTGTTTCCTCACTAGCGCCCGCGAGCTCCGCTATTTGAGCGCCCGGGCTCCTTGCGATGAGGTTCTCGAGACCGACTACCACCAACTCCTGTGCGGAGGCGTTGAGCCGCGGCTCCTCCGCAAGCGCGTGCCGCGCGCAGTCCAGAAGGCTGCCCCGGTCGCATTGGAGCTCCGCGTCGGCGAAGGGCAGCGTGAGGGCCGAGCTGCTGCTGACCAGCAAAATGAAGACAAGCGTCCGCATCGGTGCTCGCGTCGACTTTTGGGGCATCGATGCGTCGCGGGCTAGTGCCTGGAGGCTGCCCGCCGGCGCTGGGCTGCAAATGCGCAGCAGAGCGCCGGGCGCTGGCTAGCGGCCGTAAGACACTAGCCTAGCAATCAGGACGCTGTGATCCTGGGGGCTACCCACGGGCCGTAGACCGGACCCGGGCGTCGCCCACGGAGCCTCAAAAGAGCCCCCGTGGCCGCAGCGGACGTCGCGCGCGCGGGCAGCCGCCTAGGATCTCGGGGCAGCCCAGGAGGGTCCCACCACTTCACGCGGCACTGACGCCGCCGCCGCGCCCCACGGACACCAAGGCAGGCCAGGACAGGAGGCAAGCCCCGACGCCGTCGACGCGACACCACCGACACGCACTGAGACACCACCATGGCGCTCGCATCAGCAAAGTCGAGCGCCCTCGAGGACAACAACAAGGCCGTGGCCACGGGCATGAAGTGGTCCGTGGAAGCCCGCGCCGAGATCCCGCAGGCGATGAGGGATGAGATCGAGGCCGAGATGGCGACGAAACGCGTTTTGAGGGGCGGCACCGAAGAAGATCGAATGCGCGCTAGAGCAGAAACGGCCTCCCTCAAGAAAAAGGTCATGGACCTGCGGACGCCCAAGAACGTCAAAATGCCCGAACCGAATGACATTGTACTCATTGGTGAGTGCCCCTGGAAGTTTCCTAGAGATACTGAAAGGATTGACAAGTACCGGTACCGCATCCTGAAGGTCGACCCGAAGTACGACGAGATTAACCCGAAAACGGGCGCTCCCTTCGACCCTGATGAGTTGAAGGAGGCGATCTTGAAATCCAAAAACCCGCGGAAGAACGAGCGCTTGTATTTACATGACGCGCTGTGTCCGCCGCCGCCGCCTACTCCTCCTCCCTCAACACCACCTAGGATGGTGTCGTCGTTGGCCTTGAGGCCCGCGGATCTGAGAAGGCAGGAGGAGCAGAAACGGCGTGAATTGGCTATATCTGCGACGTTCAATAAGTAGTCTTTGTGTGACTTGCTTTCGCTCGCCCGTCCCGCCCCCGGCCCTCATGCGCCGTCGCCCCAGCTTGTCTATACAAAACACACATTAGTCTTGGCAGCACGGTCATTCGCTGGCGCCGCGCCCCGCCGGCGTGGACGATCACGCCTCATCCTCCTCCTCGTCCTCGTCGTCCGTCCGGAAGAAGTTGTACGACAGCGCGATGTTCGACACCCTCTTGAGCGAGGGATCTTCCAGAAACTTCGGGTCGATGACAAACAGCACGGGCATGTCGACCTCCTCCCCCGCTTGCAACCGCTGCTCGTCAAAGCAAAAACACTGGATCTTCACGAAGTAGGGCCCGGCCTGGGGCGGCATGACGTTGTACGTGGCCACGCCCGTGATCGCCTTGTCGCTGTGATTCGTCGTCACGTAGAAGGCCAATGCCGATTCCCCGGGCACGACCCTCACGTCGCGTTGTGCTGGAACGAACGACCAAGGCAGGGAATCACTTACAGAACCATCAAAGGTCACCCTGATGACTCTTGAAGTTTCCGCCGGCTTTAGTAGATCTAAAGTGTCCTTCTCGGCCCTTTTCGTCGTGCCTCCGAACCCAGTCGCCTGGCAGAAGACCTTGTAGAGCGGTACGGACGCGTAGCATAATGCCAACGTGGAGATGGCGAGGGCGCTTCCGTACAGGAGCATGCGCTGGTTCTTTTGTTTGAGTTCCTCCGCGGCGGCCGCTCGCGCTCGCTCGCGCGCGGACGAAAATGCGCGCATTTGTTCTAGTCGTCGTCGGCGCGCGTGGTTTGTGATGCTGTTGCATGCGTGCCGTCGCGTCGATAGCGTCGCGCAGTGTGTTGTAAGTGGTGGCCGCCGCTGCAGCCTTGTACGGTGTCGTAGCGCGCGCAGGGGTGCGTGGCGCAGCATTGCGCCTTGTTGGTGTGCTATTGGTCGAATGATGCGACGTTTGAAGCTACGGCTATGCCGTTTCGCGGCGCCACGGGCGCGCCAGCGCAGGGCCAAGGAGAGCCTGCAGGCAGAGCAGCAGCCTGAAATGCTCAAGCTCTGTACCTAGCCCGTCTCGCGCTACCAAAGCTGTGTTGCGAGTAACAGACACGTACTGCGAGGGCTGCTCCACAGCACTGCTGGCCAATGCGTCTCCTCGCACCACTCACTTTGTGTGCAGCAGTGCGTGCTCTGGCACCGATAACTAGCAACGCGCAGACAAAATTGCGGCCGCGGCACGCCCTCGGCAGTCGAAGGTATCTCAGCTCGCTGCAGACGACGCATGGCGCATATCTTTCGCCAGCGCACCGCGGCGGCCCGGGACGGCGCGGTCGAGGCGTCCTGCGGTCGAGCCCCGACGACGTCGACGACGAGGTCGTTTCCTCGGATGCCGACTTCGGCGGCGCAGTCATAAATGCGGTCACCGCCGTCTTGGGCGTCGCGGTAGCAATATCGACGGTGTGCAACCTCGCGGGCTACGGATTTATGCAGACGGATGAAGGTCTCTACTTCGGGACGATCCAGCAGACGCGGATGCGCTACCAGCTCGACCAGGAGGCGGGGCGGGCGAGGTAGTCCATGCTCGCGCGGTCGGGCTATCTTGATTCTTGTGACAACGCCCGTCGACGCGCCGCCGCGCCTAGTACCCGTGTGTAGTCCGTTCCTTCGAAAGCGCGAACAGAGTAAGTGCGCGCGTTGACGCCGTCGACGCGCCCCACCATACCATATAAATGCCGGTGTGTTAAGCGTATCGAAAGGGGAGGGGGGAACACCAGCTCTCCACAGTGTCGCGCGGGGTCGGCGGGCCGCGCTCCTATCTCAAAGTCTAGACGATGCCCTCGATGCGGTCCTCGACCTCCTGGTAGAGCTCCTGCAGTCTCTCCACGTTCTCCTCGTCCGTGTCCCAGTAGCCGCGGCCGTTCGCTTCCAAGAAGGTCGTCACCATATCCCTAAAGGCGTTGGGGTTCGTCTCGAGCAACCGCTTCTGCATGGCCTCGTCCTTGATGAACGTGTCGTTCGCGTCCTCGTAAACGAAGTTGTCGACCTCGCCGGCCGTCGCGCTCCAGCCCATCGTGTTGCGCAGGCGCTTCGTGATCTCGCGCGTGCCCTCGTAGCCCGACGCGAGCATACCCTCGTAGAATTTCGGGTTCAGGAGCTTCGTGCGCGCGTCGAGCCGCACCGTCTCCGACAGCGACCGCACCTGCGCATTGGCAGTGGTGGTGTCGGCCATCATCGACGAGGGCTTCTTGCCGTCCTTGCGCAGGCCCTCGACGACCTTGGTCGGGTCGGAGTCGTAGTAGTGCGACACGTCGCTGATGGAGATCTCGCTCGAGTCCAAGTTCTGGAACGTGACGTCCACCGTCGACAGGGCGGCCTTGAACATGTCCGTGGACTGCGTCATCATGCCCGGCTTGTCGGCGTTGAACGCGAAGCCCTTGCGGCCGACGAACTGCTCCTGGAGCTGGTTCTCGGACTCCCAGCCGCCGTTCTCGATGGCCAAGCCCACATTTGCGGAGTAGGAACCCGCGGCGTTCGAGAAGACGCGCGTCGCGGCCTCGCGCACGGACATGCCGAGCTCCTTGGCCTGCTCCTTGGCGTGCTTCCTGACATAATTCTGGTCGTCGGGCTCGTCGGCCTCCGCCGCGAGTTTGACGGCGCGATCCAACAAATTCATCTGGTTGATGAACAGGTCGCGGAAGACGCCCGAGCACGAGACGACGACGTCGATGCGCGGTCTTCCCAACTCCTCGAGCGGGATGAGCTCGAGCTTGTTCACGCGGCCGAGCGCGTCGGGCACCGGGCGGACACCGACCAAACCCAAGACCTGGGCCAGCGACTCGCCGTAGGTCTTGATGTTGTCCGTGCCCCAGAGCGTGAACGCTACCGACTCGGGCAGCTCGCCGTTGTCCTTTTCTAACCTTTCCAGGAGCTTCTCGACGACGCGGTTCGCGCATTCCACGGCCGCGGTCGTCGGAATGGACTGGGGGTCGAGCGCGTGCATGTTCTTGCCCGTGGGCAGCACGCCCGGGTTGCGGATGGGGTCGCCGCCCGGCCCCGGCTCGATGTACTGGCCGTCGAGCGCGTCGACGAGCGCACCCAACTCGTTGTCCGCGACGACCTGGCGCAGGCAGAACTCGAGGTACTCGAACAAGGGTTCCAGCATCTTGTCCTCCGACGCCTTCTGGAAGCCCGCCGACGCGAGGGCCTTGCGGTAGGGCGCCTGGCCGAACATGCCGCCGAGAGCCTTCTCCATCACATTTTGAACCTCCTTGACGCGGCCCTGGCTGTCGGTGGACTCGTCGACGAGCGCGCGCACGGCGGCGCGCGTGCCCTGCGTGATCTTCTGGAGGAGCTCGACGTCCTGCAAGACGCCCTCGTTGGCATTCCTGTAAATCTCCTCGAGCTTGCGGCCCTCGGCGTTCGCGAGGATGCGAGGCAGCCCGAGGATCTCGTCCTCGGGCCTGTCGATCTCCGCGATGGAGACGAGCGTCGCGATGGCCTCCTCGGCCGTCGGCGGGACACCGACCGTGTGCAGGCCCATGGGCAGCAACCGCGACTCGATTTCCATGAGCCGCTGGTAGACCATGCCGACGATCGTGTCCCTCCGCTCGAGGTCGACCTCCTTGGAGTCGAACTCGACGTCGGGCAAATTCTTGACATCTTTATCGAGGTTGCAGGAGTAGGCGGCGGCGATGATGGAGTTGACGATGGACGGGCCGCGGGCCTCGTTCTCGCGGAGGCCCTGGTACGACGAGACGAGCTCCGACAGCTCCTTGAGGCCCTTGTAGAGGCCGGCGTTCTCGGCCGGCGGCGTCAAGTAGGAGATGGTCGCGGCATACGAGCGGCGCTTCGCGATCGTGGCCTCGGACGGGTTATTAGCAGCATAATAGTACAGGTTCGGGATCGTGCCGGCTAACCGGTCGGGGTAGCACTCGCCGGACATGCCGACCTGCTTGCCGGGCATGAACTCGAGGGAGCCGTGGGTCCCGAAGTGCAACACGGCGTCGGCGTCGAAAACGGACTCGAGGTACGTGTAGTAGGCCGCGAAGCCGTGGTGCGGCGACGCCGACTTGGAGAAGAGCAACCGCATGGGGTCGCCCTCGTAGCCGAAGGACGGCTGGACGCCGATGAACACGTTGCCGAATTTCGCGCCGAAGACGAGGAGGTTCTGGCCGTCCGAGTTGAGGTGGCCCGGCGGCGGGCCCCAGTTCTCGTGGAGGTCGTCCTGGTAGGGGCACAATCTCTCATACTCCTCCATGGTCATCTTGTGGACGACGTTGAGCGTCGGCGAGTCGAACTTGGCCTCCTTGTCGTTGAGCACCATGTCCATGAGGTCCTCGGCCTCCATCTGGTTCGGGTCGACGTCCCCGAGGTCGTAGCCGCGGCCCTTGAGCTCCTTCGCCACCGCGAGGATCGAGCCGAACACATCTAAGTAAGCAGCAGTACCCACATTGCCCTTGTCGGGCGGGAACGAGAAGATCGTGATGGCCAGCTTCTTGTCCTTGTTCTCCTTGCGCTTGAGCGAGCCCCACTTGAGGGCGCGCTGCGCGAGCGTCGAGATGCGGTCGTCGAGCGGCACGGACTTGCCCGTCGCGCCCTCGCGGCCGGCGTAGATGATGGGCTCGATGGCGCCGTCGAGCTCGGGCAGCGAGACCTGGAGGGCGACCTGGACCGGGTGTAAACCAAGTTCAGAAGCCTCCCACTCCTGGAACGACTGGAACACTAAAGGTACGGCGCAGAGGTACGGCACGCCCAGCGACTTGAGCGTGTCGACGGCCTTCGGGTGGTCCTGCGAAGCCGGGCCACCGACCAAGGCGAAACCAGTAAGATTGATCACGGAGTCGACCGCGACGCCGCCCTGGCGGAAGAAGTACTCCTTGACCGGGCCCGAGAAGTCGAGGCCGCCGGAGTAGATGCAGACGACCTTCGCGCCGCGCGCCTCGAGCTCGGAGATGAGCGAGACGTAGTGGCCCGCGTCGCCCGTGTTGATGTGCGACTTCTGCAATACGACGCCCACGACCGGAGCGTCCTCCGCCAGACCCGCGGCGGGCGCGTGCTCCGTCTCGTACCACTGGAAGTACTCTTCCGCCGTCTGGTAGACCTCCGGGCCGAGCGGGTGCCAGATGCCTTTATCGGGCAACAACACAGGTTCCGCAATCAAGCCCTCCTGGTCGAGCGAGGCCATGTCGGCCTTCTCGACGACGGCCGGCACGTAGGTCGTAGCTAACGAGAGAAGCATCGACTGCAAGTTCTCGGGCGACCCGCCGAGCCAGTACTGGAACGACATCATGAAGCTCTTCGCGTCCTTGGCCTTGTCGCCCGGCAGGTACTTGAGCACCTTGGGCAGCGTGCGGAGCAATTTCAACATGGCCTCCTCGAACGAAGAACCGTCGTCGGCCTTCTTCTTCTTCATGAACTCACTGACGACGCTCTTCGACTGGCCGAGCGAGGCCATGGTAAACCCACCGACCTTGTTGAGGCGCATGACCTCGGGCATGGACGGGAAGATGAGGACGGCGTCCAAGCGGTCGCGCTCGGCCTCTACCACTTCTTTCACTTGTTCGGCGAGCTCCTGGACGAAGATCAACGAACCAATAAACACGTTCGCCTCCTCGACGTCCTTCTTGAAGGCCGCGGCGTTCTTCTCGTCGCGCAGCTCCTCGAGCAAGTAGCCGACGCACTCGCAGGCGACGCCCGAGTTCTCGTTCTCGTTGATGGCCTTGACCGCGGCGCTCATGGAGCTCTGGTACTGCGACTCGAGGACGACGTAGACGACCTTGAGCGGGGCGCGCGCGCCGCTCGGGTCGGCCTTGGCGGCCTGGTACCTGTGTTTTGGTCGAGGGGTGAGATACTGTTGGTGTCGATGGCTTTGTGTGTCGTTGGCGCCTCGGCGGCGTCGTGGGACCGTGCGACGGCGTCGACGGCGTCGCGGCGTGGAAGCGTGCGGCCCGCGGCGGTTTCGCCCCGCCGCGGCGACGGCGCAAGTCTTCATGGCGAGGCCAACGAAGCGCGCCGACGCAGGCGACGCGTCGGCGCCTTCACATGATCACATGTGTGTGGCGCGCGCGCGCCGACGTTGCGTTGAATTGGAGATCTTTTGCTCTCGCCAGCTAAGCGGCGGAAGACGGCAGAAGATGTGGTGAGCGGTGCGCCGCGCGCCGCCGAGGCGGCGCGCGGCGCCGCGGTCGACGCCTTCGACGCTTCCGCGCAGCGCTGGGGCCGGTGCGCGCTTTTAACCTCAGGATATCTTCGCTCTCGATATCGGACGCCGGAAACGAACAGCTCCGTGCCGATGCGGCGGTCCTCCGGCGAGCTAGACGTAAACATGCCGCCGCCGCTCGACAGCGACACGCCGCTCTCCTCCGCGAGAGCGCTGGACATGGCCACGGCCGGCGCTTTCACGACCCGGGGCGTCTTGACCGGCAGCGGCGCGCGCATGCCGAGAAACGCCGAGGCGCTTGCCAGCACGCATGCTGACAGCATCTTCATCGTGATGCAGCGACCGCTGTGCCTTAGCACCTTGCGATCGCGGGCCAGCTCGATGCCAATACGAGCTATCTAGTCGCAACTTCGACAAGGAGGGCCTGACGACCCCCCCCTCTCCGGCGCAATGACCCTTGGCGCGTCCCTCCCCCACTCGCGTCCGAACCAGAACGACCTCTCCGACGCCTCCCCGAGCAGTTGTCGCCTGCGCTTGCTGTGTGTGTTGCAAAATGGGGCTGCGGTTCTGAACCGCTCGATGCGACGACGTTCCGACGGCTCTAAGACAGAATCCCGCGGCTAAGGACCATTCGCGGCCGGCGCGGGGGCTCATGCACTCTGCCAGCCTCCTGGTAAAAAGAGTGGACGCCAGCGCAGCGCTCGCGTGACCAACGCCCGCGCAGCTGCGCCCTCGCAACTCTACCTTCATCACTGCGCACGCCGACGAGCGCTACGCCGCCGCCGCGCGCGCCACGTCGAGCACACAGCACTGCAGAGCAGAGGTTACGCCAAAATAAATGGCCTCGTACCGCTTCCGACGACGAATAGCGACGCTCTTCCTCGGCGCCGCAGCGGCCCTAGCGCCGGCGCGACCGCCGCGCGCCGCCATTTCACGAAGCGCCGCCGTCGCCGAGCTCCCCGTACAACAACCAGCAAAAACGGACGAGGGCCCCATCGCCGTCCTCTTGCTGAACTTGGGCGGCCCCGAAACGAGTGACGACGTCGAGCCCTTCCTCTACAACCTCTTCGCGGACCCCGACATTATTAGATTGCCCCCTGCTCTAGCCGGTTTACAGACGGCCATCGCGTGGCTCGTGGCAAAAAGGCGAGCCCCGAAATCGCGGGCGGCCTACGATTCGATCGGCGGCGGCTCGCCCATTCTGGAATATACCACTCAACAAGCTAGGTTACTTGAGAACAGACTCGGCCCGGACTACAAGTGCTACGTCGCGATGCGCTACTGGCACCCGTTCACCGACGACGCGGTCCAAAAGGCCGTGGCCGACGGCTGCACGTCGGCCGTCGTGCTGCCCCTGTACCCGCACTTTTCGATCTCTACTACCGGTACGGAGCGGCGTCCTTTTTCCGCCTTCGATGCAACGGCCGTACGACCGCGGGAGGGACGCTGGGCCTCTGTAGATCCCAACGGGTCGCGTCGATGGCGTACGGCGTCAGCCGGTTCGCGCCCGGCCCGCCGTTGCGGGTTCTTCGATGTCCGGTGGGGCGTGTCGTGACCTGGAGCCCCCATCGACGTCGCGCCGACGGCGTTGGGGCGCCGGCGCGCCGTCGCCGCGACCACCGCGCGCGTCGCATCGATAGAGAGACCTTCACACAATCACGCCGCGCCGATGCCTCGACGCCGTCGCCGCGAGGCGCGTCGGAGCGAGTCGTACCGCGTCGACGCCGTCGAGACGCAACCGCGCCGCAGGCTCCTCCCTAAGAGCATTACTAGCGGAGATGCAGGCCAAAGCGCCCGCACTCATGCAGCGCCACACGGTCGTCCCGAGCTGGCAGGGGAGCCCCGGCTACGTCGACGTCGTTGCGAAACTCGTCGCCGAGCAGCTCGACTCCCTCGACGACATTTCAGACACGACCACGGTCCTCTTCAGCGCCCACGGCGTCCCCGTCTCCTACGTGGAAGAAGCGGGAGACCCCTACAAGCGCCACATCGAAGAAACCGTAGCCAAGGTCACGGAAAACGTGAAAAGACGGCGACCAGCGACGACGGCGACCTTCGAGCTCTCCTTCCAATCGAGGGTCGGTCCCGTGAAGTGGCTCGAGCCCTACACGGATACTAAATTAGAAGAAATCGGTCAGAGAGGTTGTGACTCCGTGGTGGTCGTGCCGATCTCGTTCGTGAGCGAACACATCGAGACGCTGGAAGAGCTGGATATTGAATACAGGGAAGTCGCGGAAGAAGCGGGCGTCAAACACTGGCGGCGCGTGCCGGCTCTGAATCTGGACGAGGACTTCATCAGCGAGCTCGCGACGCAAGTGCGAGGCGCTCTCGCGAAACCCGTCGTGAACAGCGTCGACGCTTGTATTTTGAATTCGTTTGATCTCACGGAGACGCCCGTCGGCATGCTTCCCGGTGTGGATGAACCGGTCGAGTTCGTGAACGGGCGGACGATGACGGTGGCCATTACGCTCACAATCCTCTTCGAGCTTCTTGCCGATAGAGCGTCGGTCGTCGGGCTGCTGGGGCTGCCGGTATAAGTTATAGTTATGAGTCGCGGCGATGGCGTGCTGGAGAGGTAGTGTTCCGCTCGGCGGCCTCGAGCGGCGGGTATGCTGTCATGAAAGACACGGCACGCGCCCGTCGCCGATGAATCGGGGGACTCCGCCCACTAGTCCTAGCACCGTAACAATAGACCCCGGCGGACCCGGTCAGCTCGGCCAGGAGTCCGACAAGCCCGTGCTAGGGATACAACACAAGGACATTACTACGACCTAAAAACAGCACATCGCGCCCAGCTGTGCTTCCGGTAGACGTCGTTCGCGAGCTCGCCGCTCTGCTTCCAATTTGGGGCATGAAACGGGTTCCAGACCGCGCCCGAGACGAGCACGGCGCCAGCTTTCTTCAGGGCCCGCGCGTCTCTCGAAAGCTCGAGACGAGTAGGGGAGAAGAAGACCACAGTGGCGCGCCGCCGCCGCGCCGCGTCGAGGGCCGCGGCCCAGTCGTAGGAGCTGTCCGAGAGGCCCATGTTGAAGCCCACGAGGAGCGCGCCCGCGCAGAGGTCAGCGGCCTCGTATGACTTTTGTAGTGCCGCGACGACGACGCCGCGGTCGGCCCGCGCCCCGGTCTCCTCGGGCACCTGGGGCCCGACGAGCGTGACGATGATTCCTTTGTCCCTCGGCAGCACTCGCTCGAGCGCGCGGGCCCACCACTGCGCCGGCGCCGCGGCCTCCGGCGGCGCGGCCCCAACCAAGTGGATGGCCCCCGAGGCCTCCACGCACCTCGCCGCCGCCGGGAACGCCGCCACGGCGTACGCGACGGAGAGCGGGAACGACAGCGCCAGCGCGGCAGCGGGATCGCGCCAGTTTGTCAGCCTCATCGGTAGGTACTCGATCGATGATAAATCAGCGCGGGTAAAGTCGAAGCTCTCCTCGACCGCGAGCGCGTCGAGCGACTCCTCTGGTAGCTGCTTGAGTATGTCGCAGGACGCGGCGTGGGCCCGCGCGTCGCGGCCGCGGCAGCGCGTCGAGCAGTACGACACGCGCCCGCAAGCCTCGCAGGAGAGCATCGGCAGGCGCAGGCACACCGCGCAGCAGTCGTGGCCGGGCCGCAGCGATTTGTTTTGGTGTTGTCTCCGCCTGCCGGCGGCGTAGTCCCAGGCTCTGAGGCCGTCCTCTAAGTTGGTTTTGCTGGGCGGGCGGTCGCGTGGCTTGTGGCGTCGTCGGCGGCGTGCTGCACAGACCATTTTTGCTGCAGTGCTTGCTTTTTGATGTGTCGCAGCCTTTCCTTGCAGCGATTTTTGCTGTAATTCGCTTCGCAGCAATGTCACAGAAGGTATACAGCCCCGACGCTTCAGGAGTAGCACATGCGCGTCGTATGCGCGCGGTACATCGTCGATTTTGTGAGAGCGGAGCCGCCACTACCAAAATCGGGCGCGGCTCGGCCTATGTGTCCGAGGGAAGACTGCTCCGAGGAGTCGTAGCATCAGGATTCCGAACGGCGTTTTGTTCGCCACAACCTGAGCGAGATCGAGGCAACAAAAACACTGCGCTGACGACCGTGAGCTGTACCACCGCGGCGCCCTAACCAAAACTGCTGGCCGTGGGGTGTTTACGACGTGACCGAGGTGCTGGCCCAGGGAGGCACGTCGAATTTTGGGCGCTTGCGTGGCTGTGAAGCCGAGTAGAGGCCCAAAGCGAGTCGGGCCAAATTGGCCCCGCGGACGGCCCCTCGACGCTCTGTAGCCACCTCGAGGACTGCCCGACGACGCGCCGTCGCCGCGCCGTGGTTTGTAGCCGTAAAAAAGCTACAGAGACGGAACGCTCGACCGATTGCAGTCGGGCGAAGCGCTGAGTCCCGCCCCCCCCCGCAGGTCGTGAAGCAGAGATGCCGTCGCGACGGACGGCGGTGCTGGCCGCCCTCGCGGCGACGGCCTCGGCCTTCGTCGCGCCGAGCCTCCAGGCGCCCAAGGTCGCGCCGAGGCACGCCCTCGTCGAGGAGGGCGCCTTCGTGCCCGACATGGAGCGCCGGAACATCATGAATTTAATTCTGGTCTTCGGCGGCGCTTTACCTGCCGTAGGTGGATTAGCTATCCCGTACCTCCTCTTTTTCATCCCGCGCGGCGGCGGCGGCGGCGGCGGCGGCCTGCCCGCCCTGACGAAGGCCGGCGACCAGGTGACGTTCAAGAGCTGGCTCGACTCGCACCAGGTCGGGAGCAGAGAGCTCGTCCAGGGCCTCAAGGGCGACGCGACCTACCTGATTGTCGACGACAACAAGCAGATCCGCGACTACGGCATCAACGCCGTCTGCACGCACCTGGGCTGCGTCGTGCCGTGGAACAAGGCGGCGAACAAGTACATGTGCCCCTGCCACGGCTCGCAGTACGACGAGACGGGCAAGGTCGTCCGCGGGCCGGCGCCGCTGTCGCTCGCGCTCGCGCACATCACGGACAACGCGGGCGTCGTCACGTTCACGCCGTGGACGGAGACGGACTTCCGCACGGGGCTGAACCCGTGGTGGAAGTAGATTTCCTCCCCCCTGTCTAACAAAAACTCGCGTTTATTTTGTGTCTCGTCGACGGCGTGCGGGTGGCCGTCGTGTCGATGGCTTCGCGTCGATGGCTTTCGGGTGGCCGTGGCAGTGCCCGGCGCACATCGCACCGCTCCGGACGTCCCGAGACGACGGAGCACTGGCACGACCCCCGGGCGCGTCCCCTCCGGGTAGGGCGCGGCGGCCCCCGATGCGCCCCCGGTGCGGACCTGAGATTCCGGCGTCCGGCCTGCTCCCCCCTCGCCGCCGTCGCCTCCGAGCTAACACCCGGGGCGACGGCGTACGAGGGCCGGGGGCGGGGCGGGCGTGCGGTCACGCAGACCCCGCGGCGGCCGGGTGGCTAGGTAGCCTAGCTCTAGGCAAAGCAAAGCGGGAAAAATAGCAGGCGCCGCGCCGGCCGGGTGGCTAGGCAATCTAAGGAACGCAAAAATCACACATCCGCCACTACTTAAGCATCTGCCACAGCGACCGCCGCTCATAGTCGTCCCGGCGCAACGGCCGCCCCCGCCGCAACGCCGCGGACAGGGACCGCGCGGGCAGCGTGTCCAAGGGAGGGAGCTTCTTTGTTGTATAAGGCGTCCGCGTGTAGAAGAACTCTTCCTCTTCATCAGAATCGGAAGAGTCATAGTAGCGACTTTTGGAAGGAGACGCCCGCTCCAGGGCCCGGACGCGCGCTTCTAACATCTCAACCTTGGACCGCGCGGCCGTCGCGATCTTGGCCCAGTCCGGCTCCGGCGAGAGCGGCGGCAATTTTTGTGGAGGCGTGACGGGCCGCGGCGTTTGGACCGGCGCCGGCGGCTCGTAGGCGCACGCCGCCTCATGTTTTTCGACGTCCCCAAACGAACCGGTGAAGCCGCAGCCTCTTTCACAGGCGTACTCCTCCTCTGACGACTCCACAGAGACGGGAGGCGCCGCCGCGACCCTCTGTAATACCTCCTGTTCTTCTGGAGAGAAGGCGACGAGGTGCACTCTGTCCAAACCCTCGAAACACGCGTCGCGAAGGGCCTCGACCGCTATCATCAGGACGTCGTCCAGTGACCGGCTCCCTCGAAAGACGCCCGCACTCAGCAACGAAAAGGCGACCGTAGAACAGTCCTGGTCCCGCGCTAATCGCATCGCCTCCCCATAAGCGCTCCGCAGTAGCGCGTCGCCCTTCTTCAGATCCACTTGTCGGTAATCGGGCCCGACGGCGTGAATGACACAAGCGCAGCGCAGGGACCCGAAGGAACCCGACGTGAGGACGGCGTCTCCAGTATGGCAGCGCTTGTCGTCGCTCACAGGTAAGGCCTGCCGCGCCTCCGCTAGTGAAGCCCCGCCGGCTCTCGTGATGGCGCCGTCGGCGCCACTCCCGCCCAGACATCGCTCGTTCGCCGCGTTCACGATCGCGTCGACGTGAGCGTCCACCACGCTTCCAGAAGACACAACTAACTCGCCGTGCGTCAACGCATGCCGCTCGATCTCGACGAGGCCATCTGTCAACCCATCGTCGGGCGGCGCCACCCGTTGTAAAGCCTCTCTACAAGCTTCTAGGGAGGGGTGGTCCCCGCCACAGATCGTTAATGCGTGCATGTACAATTCATAGGCCGTCTCTATTTCACTCAAAGCCTCGTGCGCGCTGCCCAACAGCAATATACTAGCGACGATCTCCGCGCCCTTCTCGCCGTGCCTGTCCATGTCCAACTCCAAGGCGCGGTCAAACACATGCGAAGCTTGTTCATAATCTTGGAGGCCGAAGTACGCCCCTCCCACATTATGCAGCGTACTCGACTCGACCGTGTCTTCCCGTTCTTCGATAGCTAATGCTCTACTAAATAACGTCAACGCTCGTTCGTGGTCGCCGATCTCAGAATAGGCCACTCCACAGTTGTTGAGGGAGGCCACGAGGTCTGCGTGGGCGGGCCCGTACTCCCGCTCCTCGATGGCTAGGGCCCGTTCCAGGACCACCACCCTTTTAGCGTGTTCTCCTGTCGTAGCGTAGACCTGGCCCAGGTGCATGAGCGTGATCGCTAAATCGGCGTGGTCGCGCCCCAGTTCCCGTTCCTCAATCGCCAAAGCTCGCTCGAGCAACTGCTTCTTCCGCGCGTCGTCCCCCAATTCCCCATGCGCTAAGGCAAGTTCATACGCCGTCTGGGCGACAGCAGCGTCGTCCTCTGTGTAGTTGTCGAGGGCGCGTTCGAGCAGATCCCGCTTCGTCGCGTGGTCGCCCAAGTCGCCGTGCGCATTGCCCAACGAATGGAGGACTGCTGACGCTTCCAATGAATCGCGTCCATTATGTCGGATGGTGAGCTCCAAGGCGCGCTCGAGCGTGTCGACCGCGTCCCGATGCTCGCCTAGCGCCGCGTGCGTCTCGCCCAAGCTCTTGAGCGTCTCGGCGAGACGCGGGTCCGACCTCCCGAACTGGGTCTCCTCCATCCTTAGGGTCTTCGCGAACACATCTCTGTTTTTAGCAAGAGCATCGTCCCCGGTCGCCATGGGGCTGCCCTTTCCTACGCAGCGGTGCTCCTTTACTTAAAGTCGCTTGCGCTGGGTCGTGTGTCGTTGCCCGAGCACCGGTGGCTGCGACGGTGCCGCGAGAGCGTCTCAGGCTGCAGCGCCGCAAGACGCGCTGTCCAGGGTGGCGGGTTTTTGGTGGAACCACCGCAGCCGTCGTCGAGGGAGAGGTCTGCGGCTACCGTCTATGGGGAATGCTGCGAAGGTGGGCGCTCGGACATCGAGCTGGCCCATCCTGCGCGTCTCTGGTGGCAAAGCGGCACTCCCGTCGGACGCGACCGAGGCACGGCGGGGAGCTCGCAACCACACGACTGCTGTGCGTTCCGAGGCAACTGAACCCAGCTGGAGTTCCAGCACGTAACTCTTCGGCCCACCTGAGCACAACCTGTGGGCTTGCCCGCCTGAGACGCCCGACGCCGCGGACGGGGGCGACCCAAAGAAGAAGGACACCATGTCGACGGCCCGGACCGAGACGCGCACGAGCTCCTGGCGCACGCCTACTTTGAGAGGCCTCCGTCAGTCGCTCTCCGTCACGAGAAGGACAAAGCAGCCGGTCGAGGAGCCTCTACAACTGGACGCGGGCGGCCTGCGGAAAGCATTAGCAATTGGCAGCGACCTCATAGCATCGCCGACCGTGGACCACGTGCGCCAGCAGCGCGCCTGGGATTGCGGACTCGCGTGCGTCCTCATGGCGGCTCCGCACGCGCGACGACAAACCAAGTCGGAGGTGAAGTGGAATGACGTGGAGAAGGCCTGCGGCACGCGCTCCGTCTGGACCGTGGATTTGGCCTTTGCATTAAGGGCGTTGGGCTGTCGGGATTTTCTCTTTTTAACGAAGACGACGGGCTGCGATCCTTCCTACGCGCGGCTCGCGTTCTATCGGCGGGACCTCGGCGCTGATTCTACTAGAATCCAGTCGCTGTTTCGACGGGCGCAGAACGGGGAGGTTTCCGTGAAAAGGGCAGTCGCGACAAGGGACGGGCTGCTCGAGGTCCTGCGGACGGGGCGGGTCCTGGCGATCGCGCTCGTCGATTTGCGGCTGCTGCACGCGCGCGCGGCGCGGACGTCGCTTCTACCTAGGTCGTACACGGGCCACTACGTGTTGCTGGTGGGCGCGGAGGGCGACCGCGTGCGCTACCGGGACCCGGCGGCGGACCGCGCGGAGCTGGTGATCGACGCGGATGATCTGCATCGGGCGCGCGTCGCGCACGGCACGGACGAGGATTTGATCCTCGTCGCGGTGGATACCTCGGAGACGGCGGAGGCGCTGCCGCCGATCCGGGGCGTAAGGTAGTCTTCTTGTTTATATTAGTCGCGGAGGCTGGGAATGAATTGGGGGGTGAATTGCGCCATGGAGCGAGCACCGTCGTGGCGGCGGCGATGCGAGTTAGCACTCTGGTTCCGGCTCTGGCTCCTCCGTCGGCGTCGCGCGCCACGACGCAAACCAGCCCTCCGGCGGCGGCGGCGGGCTCTCGGTTAGCATCTCGACCGCTTGGGCCTTGATAGGGGGCAGGGGCGGCGGCGCCGATGGCACGGCCGGGCCGGTGGATGCGTCCATGAAAGCGTTGGTCACCGGGACAAAGCCAGGCCACCCTTCAAGCTCCTCGGGGCGCGTCGGGAAGGAGCCCCATTGTTGGTGCAACGCCGCTTGCGCAGGCGCCTCGTACCAGCCGACCATTCGTCCGTGGGCCTCGTGGAGCTTGGAGGGTTTTTTCTTCAACCGAACGTAGCTTGCATATGAGAGGCACCCGCACACGCAGATTGCCACGACGCAGGCTATGATGATGATGAGCAGCGTGGCGTTGTCTCTCCGTTTCTTCTTGTTGTCCCACCTCGTCGTCGGCGTGCACCATGTCGTCGGCGTGGCGGTCGGGGCGTAGGTCTCACATGCCTCCTGGTAGTTGGCGTCGCCCGGCTCGCACTCCCTAGTCGACCACTGGTAAAGCTGGTTGTACGAGCAACCAACGCTATCGCAGATGCCATTCGACAGGGGCGCTGCGCACAATTCCTTCCCTTCGTTGTAGCACAGTTCCATGGCCTGGTGCCAGGTCTTGGGGTCGCCCAGAACATTCCATGTAGCCTCGTAAAGACCCGCGAAGCAGCCGTCATTGTTAGCACCAACCCGCCGATGACACACGCCGGCGTCGTCGCAGCATCCGACCCCTATGTAAACCGGAACACCGTTTTCATCGGGAACAAATTCCAAGGCCGGGCTAGTCGCGCAGTAGACGTCTGCCAAACCACGACCGGAAACAGAACCATGCGATGGTTCCTGTAGATGGAGCTTCACGCCGCACGCTGGGAACATATTATGCGTCGGTAGGGGCGTCGGTTGGGGCAGCGTCGGCTGACACGAGACCGTCGGCTGAGGCGAGACTGTTGGCTGGAACGTCGGCGACGGGACGCAGCACGCATAGCTGCCCTTATGTAGAACGACGTTGGTCGAGCTCCACCAGCCGCTGTCAGGATGGGGCGTACCAAGATAGTCGGTGTGCTTCCTGCACATGCCACCGGCCTGCGTGGATAAGAGTAAAGTCTAAACCTGCTGTCTGTGGAGAGAACACCGCCACTCGCCCGCGTCCCGACCTGGACCCAATTCTGGGTCCCCTCGCCGGGTCCGGGAATGATCGGCGCCCACATATCGTGACCCGCTTGCTGTCCACCCACGGGTTCTGTATTGGGCCCTCCGCCCGGGCACAGCTGGTCATAGGTACACAGCTGCTCGTCGCAGCTCGCCTTCATTCCGTTATAGTCCTTGTTGGCACCATCCTGGTACCACACGACTTGTTGGCTCGCAGCAGCCACCAGCACAACCGAGGCTGCCCGCAACATATAGCTCGCGAGCGCGCCCCCGGGGCAGCTAAAAGCGAGAGCGGCTGCTAAAACGAGCGCGCCCAAGCCTCATGCGGCCTCAGCCAGGCCTTGGTTGCTTCATCGTCGTTTGGGCAGCCGACACCTTGCTCATGGGCAGCAATAACTGCCTTCCAGGCTGCCCCACCGCGTTCTAGATCTTGAGCTGCGGCATCCCTAGTGTCTTACAGGCCGCTAGCTCTATACGTGCAGTACCGTAAGAATAATGCCTATACGTGCCTAATTAGTCGCAGAGGATGCGCCGGTCCCGATGGGGAATGAATGGGGGGGGTGAATTGCGCCATGGGGCGAGCACCGTCGCGGCGGCGGCGATGTCGATGGTGCGTGGGCGCGCGTGAGCTTCATATTAAGCTTCGGGTTCGAATGCGAGTTCTTTTTCACGCTCCGCGCGCAATGTAGAGAATGGACTCAACGGAGGCGGCCGTTCGGCCTCCTCAGGTTCGGGCTCTGCGCGCCCGAACCACCAGCTTTTCGCGGGCGGAGGAGGCGGCTCCTCGGCTTCTCGTTCGGCTTGCGGCTCAGCTTCCGGGGCGATAGAGAGGACGGTGGCCTCTTCTTCTGGAGCCGGCGTGGGCCCCTCTGGTTCCTCCAGTGGCTCGAGGTTTGACTTGGTGCCCTCACGGCGGCGGCGTTCGCAGCAAAATCCAACGATGCATAGTCCTAAGACCGCGACGCAGGCTATGATGACGATGACCAGCGTGGCGTCGTCTTTCCGTTTCTTCTTGTTGGCCGGCATGGCGCTCGGGGCGTGAGTCGCGGTCGGGGCTGCGGTCGGGACATTGACGCACGTGTACATCTTGCCGTGTCCGTGGGACCCGACAAAATCCGAGGTCCAAGTGGAACCGTCCCAATGCGATTCGGGACAACCATTTTCCGACACAGTTGTCACGGAGCCGTCATTGTAGCCAAGCTGCTGACAGAGCGCCGTGGCATCAATCTGCTTGTCGGGCGCATTGCACATCCCGCCACCCTGAGAGCAGCAGCTGCCATCGTAGTAGCATTGGTTGATCGACGAGACGCCGTGGCACGAGCGCATGGTGTTACTGCTATCATCAGAGGAAGAAGAACCAAAGGTAATGCCCGTACCAGTGTCTGTGCAGCTGAAAGTGGAAGGGTCGCAGTCGAGATAATGACAATTACTACAGCCGATACAACCGATGAACTGAAGCTCATTGTTGGTGTAGGCGCCAAGGGCGACGCCGGAGGCAGCATAACCCCAGACGGTGCCGCTGTAGAGGATGTCGCTGCATTGGGCTGCTGGTGTCACACAAGGAATCGTGCTTGTGGCCAATAGCACTCGCAGCATTTGTGTCTTCATCGTTGCTTCATCGTTTGGGCAGCCTTAACCGACTTCTAGGCTGCCCCACCGCGGTCGAGTCTCGAGCTGCTAGTGTCTTACAAGCCGCTAGGTCGCAGCTCTGCGCGCTTCGCCCTTCTGAGTCCGCAGCGGCTTTCCGGGGGCTCTCAGGACATATTCCTCCAGCTATTTTCACGCCCTGTCTGTTGCCAGGAGTTTTACGCGCCGCCGCTGTGTAAATCCGGCAAGCGCTCTCAGCCTTTCAAATGGACGGCGCCAAACCGATGCCTTCCGCCGCCGACAACGATGCCTCCGGCGCCTCGGAGGCTGCGAAACGGCCGCGGGAGGACGACGCCGCGCAAGACGAAGCCAAGCGGCCGCGCGCCGACGACGCGCCCGCGCCGACCAACAACGCCATGCAAGACGCCACCGCTGCGCCGGTCCCCGCGCAAGACGCTGTGCCGGACGCGCAAGACGCCGCCACGCGCCAGAACCTCGAGGCCCGCTACGTCGGCCTGACTTTTATTGATGACGACGCGGCGGGCGAGGGCGCGCGCGAGATCGTTCGGATCGACAAGGCCGGCGCCGTGTGGACGGTGGTCGCGGCGCAAATCACCAACAAGGAAAACGAGCAGCCCTACCTCGTCAACGAGGCGTTGGATGCCATGGTCGACGCCTACCGCTGCCGGGGCGACGCCCGCCACGAGACGTGCGCCTGCCCGCCGCCGCGCGGCCACACGATCGAGGTCCTCTGGGAGGTGCACGACGAGGAGACGAATGAAGCGAGAGACGTCTGGTGGCGCGCGGTTGTCGGCGAGGAGGACGGCAGCGGCCACGCGCTCGACAACGGCGACGTCGTCCTACGGAAATATTCTGTAGAGTACGTCGCGCGGCCGGAGCTGTCCGAGCCGGCGCCGGCCTCATACAATGTGTGCTTCCTCTCGCCGCGCGCTTTATTAGATTGCTCGGGTGATGTGGTCATGCAGTGGCGGTCCTTTGGCAGTAATGATCAGCCGGACCCCGCGCTCGTCGAGGCGTCGCTGGACGCGGACGTGGAGAACGCGCTGCCGATAGCCCAGCCGCGGACGCCCGCCGGGAATGTGGACGAGAGCGTGGATGTGGTCGTGGCGCGGGTCATCGGCGACCACAGCGCGCGCATCCAGAGCCTGCCGGCGGACCAGCAGTGCGCCGTCGCGGATCGGGTGGTGGACGCGAAGGAGCGGCTCAAGGGCGCGTTGAAGGCCCATTTACTGGCGCGGCCCGATCCCGCGGCGCCCGTGACCCCGGAGGACGTGCATGCAGCCGTGCGGTCCATGGCCGCCGCGCGCCCGGACGAAGGGTAAAGCTCTGTACAACTATTTTAAGACTGCCCTTCCCCGGGCGCGCACGACTTCTTCGTCGCGCGCCGCCGCTGGTCCGAGCCGCGGCGCTCCGCCTCGCCGGCGGGTCCGCCCCCGTCGAACGTTTCCGTGAAGTCGAACTCAACGGTTGCCGGCGGCTGCCCTGGATCGGGCGTCGGGGGGTTCGCCGAATTCGGCGGCTTGCGCTTTCCCCCGAGTTCCGCGGGCCCCGCTCGAGGGGGAGGCGGCGGCGTGCGCTCGCGGGACGGAGACCGACGAAGAGGCGCGGGCCGCGGTACGGCGCGCTGGGGGGCCGCGGCCAAGGCCCTCGCAGACGACTGAGCCAAGAGCGAGGTCGAGGCAGGTCGTCTTTGCACCTCCCGGAGCGCCTTCTCGGCCGCCCGGCGTGCCTTGCGCTCTTCCGCGAATTTAGATTGAAGGGCCAGGTTGCCCCGGTCGGCGATGCGGAGCTCCTCCTCGAGATCGTCGGCGCGCTTCCTTTCTGCGACGGTGCACGCATCCGCGTCGCGCGTCTTGCGCTCGGCCGCCTCGCGCGCCTTGCGCTCGGCCGCCAGGCGCTTCTCCAATTCCGCCGCGCGCCGCTCCGCTTCGGTCGCGCGTTGTGTCGTCGCCGCGAGCCGGGCTCGGAGCTCCGCGTCGTTACCGCCGTCGAGTTGCATCGGCTCCGCGCCCGCCGGCGCGGCGGCGGGCTGCGCGGCGCCCGCGGAACCGTTTTTTGCGTCTCGCAGCGCTTGCGCGATCGCAGCCTTCGATGCCTCGAGGGTGTCTGCAAAATCGTCCGTGGGCCCAGACGCTGCATCCGCGAACGGTCGCATCGCTGCCTGCAGTGCTTGAATCATCCTGCTCGTGTCGATTGACGACGAATGCTGCCGCCGCGGAGGAGCTCACCCACAAAAACGCTGCAGCCGAAACCCGCGCGATACTGAAAACGCATTAACATCGTTGTGGGCGGCCCGCGGACTCGTTCGGGGCCCCCCGGGAGGATTACTAGTTCCGCCTTCACCGCACGCGTGCGTTTTTGCGTTGCAGTGCTCTTGTTGACAGTGCTCTTGATTGACAGATCGATTATTCAGTGATTATGGCGGGCGCTCTCGTGTCGCACCTCATTCAATTCATGATCAAGCACCCGGAGGCCGCCGCGTGTTTCGTCCTCGGGATTTTCACAGGCATCATTTTATTGATCCTCTACAGCTACGGTGCGTTCTCGCGAGTGGAGACGGCCATCTGTGACCTCTTCTCAATCTCAGAGGTCAGACATTTCATCGGCATATCGATTAGCTTCATCGTCGGCGACAAGCAGCTCGCCGCGCGCCTCGAGGACTACGACGAGATGATCATTCCGTTCCTCATCAAGGCCAAGGACCACCTCGCGCGCGCCGGCCCGGCGCGGCCGGGCCAGCGCATGATTATGGCCGGTTCGGCCACGGCCGACGCCGACCGCGCCGACGGGAACGTCTAGACGTGTCCGCGCGCACGTCGGGTAACACTGTAAATAGACGAACTTCCACCATAGCGTGCCGGCAACTCAGGACGCTTCTTCCGACGCCGCTCGGCTCTACGAGCCCGCTTCTCCTCGGCACGATCTTTGATTCGTTCTAGTGGTTGTAAGACACTAGCCAGCACCAGATATTATTGCATTGCAGTCGGAGTGCCTGCTAAAGCAAAGGTTTCTCGATTGAATCGCTGCTGGAAATTCGCTCCGCGCAGCGCTTCCAGCCCGCCTCGAAAGCGCGCGCGCCGGCATCATGATGCCGCGCCGCACCCTCATCCTCCTCGCCCTGCTCGGCGTCGCGGCGGCGTCGTGGCGCAATGCCGCGAAGCTCGCCTGCGCCGGCGCGTTCCTATCAGCAGTACTCAATGGCGTCGTCGACCGCATCCACGGCATCGTCGACTACTCCTGGAACTCGCCGCCGCCGCCGGAGAGCTGGAATCGGACGCTCGCGCCGGAAGAGCTGGAGGCCATGAACTCCGCCATGCGCAACCTGTCGGCTGCCCAGGCCCAGGGCTACGACGCGTTCGTAGCGAACTACAACTTCACGAAGAAGACAGTCGAGCTGGCCCTGCGCGGGCAATTGCCGACGGAGCAAGAAGACTGCTCGAACCCCGACGTGCCGCTGCAGGCGCCGACGACGGCGCCTGACGTCGTGCCGATGCAGGCGCCGACGACGGCGCCGACGAGGACGCCCACGGGCGCTCCCGCGCGGCGGCGGCACCGGAGACGACCGCTCGCGCCCGCGTCTCTACCTCTCGAATCGCATCAGTGACTCGTTTGACTCGTTATGTGCGCACAGGTTCACGCGGGTGAACCGGCGCAAGCCGGCACATAATTGGCCTGCTTGTCGCGGCACCGAGCTCTGCGCCGACAAAGGCCTGATCGAGGCGCACCTCCTCGTCCTGGGCACCTTCGATGATCTGGAACAAGCAAAGGCGGAGCTTTTGACGATGGTTTCTACTATATTTGGACCCGATACCTGGGACGCGCGCCGTCAGGCGCAGATCGTGGAACTTTTCCGTCTGTACTCTAATGGGAACGTCGCGCTCGGTCCTTTAGTAGATAAGGTACTCGAGGCGCGCGGCGAGCTGGGCGCCTTTGATCCGGGAGGTATACTGGAAAATATAGGAGAAGCTCTCTTCCAAGCCGGCCTCGTGGCAATCGAGGACGGCGTTCTCGTCGATGGTCCGCGGCTCGTACGAGCACGCGATGCTTTAGTGGAGAAGCGGGGCTACAGCCCCGACTCGAACGCGGTCCGGTCGTTAACTGTCGAGACCACGCTCGTCGTGTGGTTTAATTTGGTGCTTTCGGATCTGGAACTGCAGAAGGCAGTGCCGCTGCTCGCAAGCGCCAGCGCCTATATTCTCAGAACCTTCTTCGCGGTTTCTACTGTTCTTCACTCGTCTACCTTCAGCTATCATAACTCACTGTTGTTCCACGCAGGTCTATCCCCATTGCTTCTGGGGCGCATACTCGATGGTCGCCGTGCAGAAGTTCCCGGGCCTGCTGAACGACTTCTGGAAGGCTGGCGCCGGAGAATCGCTCACGTTGGTGGCTTCGGGCGACAAGTCCGCCTACAAGCTCATGGTCAAGGCCTGCGCCGACGCCTACCCCTACGTGATCGTTCGTGGCGCGCTGTGTCGAATTAAAAGGTCGTCTTCTATGAGACACGCCGCGTTGATGGCTGCGTCGCGACGACGGCAGCGTTGCGTCGATGGCGCCGCGTCGATGGCGCCACGTCGCGTCGATGGCGTCATGTCGATGGCGTCGCGTTGATGGCCGCATCGACTGTGTCGCGTCCATGGCGTCGCTTCGCGTCGATGGCGTCGTGGCTTCGAGAGCGTGGCGCTGGACATGGCCTCGACGTAGCCCAACGAGAGTCGAGCTGCTCGCGCCGACGCTGCGACTCGTCGATTTCCACACAGGTCGCCTGGAGAAGTCCTTGCTCAAGGACCTCCACGACGAGAAGAAGATGCAGAAGAAGCTCTACGACGCGATCAAGGGGTCCGACGAGCAGTGGACGTTGGTCTTCGCAGTGAAGGACGTGGTCGTGAAAAACGGTGCGGATCCTGGGATTCGCGCCATCTACTACGTTGAACTACCCGCGGACGAGACGTTTTCGACGGTGGGCCTGCAGAAGATCGACAACGTGCCTGCTCTCACGACGCCTTTTGCGTATTTGACGGTCGCCGTAGCTCAGGCCGGACGGGCGCAAGCGGGCGGCTCTATCGTCGTCGTGTTCAACGAGAAGTTCGCGCCGCGGAAGGCGCCTCGCACTACCCAAGGCTTGCCGTTCGGCTACAACGACAAGGAGCAATACCTGAGGGCGTGCCTCGAACAGGGGCGCGTCCTTTAGCGTGTGACCGCGACGTTTCCATCAAAATGAATCAGGGCCACGAATAGCGGCTCGCAGCCGCTCGCGTGGAATAGCAGAAGTATTAATCGTTCTGAATTGTATATGGGGTTACAACAGTCGCTGCGGTCCGACGAGGAGAGCGTGCGATCGGAGCAGGAGGGGTATTGACGTAAGATATCTCACTATTCTTCAGCCGGTTCGCACGCCTCGACAGCGAGAACTAACGACTGAGGAACACACCCTCGCGGCTCCCGGAAGCTCCGCGGACAAACCTGCGCGTTCCGATCAGGCTCAGGCTAATTACGTCGCGGGGTCCCCCGTACCCCTCCCGCTCCCCCCGGGCCCACCCAGGCTCAGGCTAATTACGTCGCGGGGTCCCCCGTACCCCTCCCGCTCCCCTCGGGCCCACCCGTCCGGCTGGACTAGGACGCAGCCGTATTGCTAGTATCTTACCGCTAGCTCGATGGCAAACGGCGCGGCTGATCACGGATTTTGAGTCAGTCAGTCGCTCCGCTGGGAGCTGGTGCACCACCGCTCGCCCCCAAATTTGAATCTCCGCCCAGCTGCTCGAAATCCAGCCGCGCCGCGTGCGCAGCCCACCGGTCACCGCTCCAGCCCAAGGAAGGGATTGCGGCGCGCGCGACCAGACCGCGGCGCGCATGCTCAACAGCATCACCAACATGGGCAAGAAGACCAAGAAGAAGGCCGCGCCGCCGCCGCCGCCGCTGACCAGCGGCCAGCGCGTGCGCTACCAAGGCGCCGAGGGCTTCGTCTCCAAAATAAACGGAGACGCCTACGAGATCGCGTTAGATGGCGGCCGCGTCGTCCAAGCGACGAGAAACGACCTCGAGCCCATCCACCGCCGTTTGTCCACGAAGCAGCCGTCGAACAAACTCTCGTCGACGCGGTCGTCCACCGAGCTCGATTACAGGGGCACGAACTTCGAGGACTTTCCGGACGAGGCCTTACCTCTCATAGAAGTGTCGGACGACAAGGAGGTGTTGAAAGTGAATGAGGAAGCTGTTGAATTGTTGAGAAGGATCGACTGCGCGATTTGCCCCATTTCCATTGTTGGTCTTTATAGGACCGGGAAAAGTTCATTGTTGAACTTCCTGCACGGCGGCAAGGCCGGCTTTCGCACGGGCCATTCCGTTTCGAGATGTACGAGAGGCGTCTGGATTTATGGAAGGCCTACAAGGGCTACGTTAGGGGATGGGACACAAGTAGCAGTCGTCCTCCTAGATACGGAGGGCGTCGGCGGCCTAGAGGCCGATAGGAGGTACGACGAGCGCATCTTCGCATTAGCAACACTACTTTCTGCGACTCTTGTGTATAACTCGCTCGGTAGCATCGATGAGAACGCAATTGGTCAGTTAAGTTTCGTGGCCCAATTGTCGCGGCACGTGCGCTTCGCTCCGAAAGAAGATAATGATGTTGATGAGGGCGACGAGGCCGAGGAGGACGCGCGACGCTTGGGTGCTGTTATGCCCGCGTTCACGTGGGTGCTGCGGGACTTCGCGCTGGAGCTCGCGGATGAACGGGGCGACGCGATCACGGCGGATGAATATTTAGATCGGTCCTTGAGGCCCCAACGGGGCTTCGAAGCTGCTGTGCTCGAGAGGAATCGCGTGAGACACGTGCTCGGGGCGTTCTTTCCCAAGCGGCAGTGCCGGACGTTGGTGCGGCCGGTCCACGACGAAGCTAAATTGCAGCAGGTCGATTCTTTGTCCCCAGAGGAACTAAGACCGGAGTTTCGCAGAAACCTGGAGGAGTTAAAAGACGCGCTCTTCGCGCCCGAGCACGTCAAGCCCAAGTGCGCGCCCGGTTCCAATGCACCGGTCTCGGGAAGTGCCTTCGTGGACCTCGCGCAGCAGTTCGTCGAGGCCATCAACAATGGGGGAGTACCCGTCGTCAGTAGCGCGTGGGACCACGTTTCTCAGACGGAGTGCACGCATGCATCCAAAGAAGCTTTGCAGTTGTACAGTGAAGTCTCGCTAGATCTGCCTCTCGATGAAGTGGAGTTACATGCTCTGCTCGAGAAGGCTGAAAATGACGCCCTGAGTGCCTTCGACGCCCGAGCTTTAGGTGACGCGCGACCGGAACACCGGAAGGACCTGAAAACACAACTCGCGAAGAAGACGAAGGACTGGCGTAGTCGTAATGATGCGGCGTCGCAGGACGCGTGTCGGAAATCATTGGACCAACTGTACATGGACGTGGTGTTTGAATCTCTGCAGAATTTGGGGAAAGAGGAGGCCGGGGCCACGGACGCTGCTATGAGGTTGGAAGATGCCTGGAGCGAGCTGAGGAAGCGGTACGCGAAGGATCCGAGGGCGCGGGGCCCGGCGCGCGATCGAGCCTTGGCGTCATGCTTGTCGATGAAGTGGCCCGAGGCGGCCCACGAGCTGGCGCGTCGACTGGAGCAGCGGTGCGACGAGGCCGTGCGGAAGGAGCACGACAAGTTGGTCGGGGCGCGCGCCGAATTGGCTGAATTAGAAGGGAGTGCTGCCGCGCGCGCGAGGATGCTCGAGGACGCCCAAGCTGCATTGGTGTCGACGCAGCTCGAGAAGGCGCGCCACGAAGCCCGGTGCCAGGCCGCGACGCGCAATCTCGAAGAGGTGCAGAGAAGGAGCGACCGCGACAAGGGACGGTGGGACGAGGAAAGGAAAAGGTTGGAGGTCGAGCTGGAGCGGTGCCGCGCGAAGCTGAGCGTGGCGACGGAGAAGGTCAACAACCAAGAACGAGCGAAGGAGGATTCCATGCGGGCGCTGCCGTCGCCGTCCAATACCGCGGGCAAGGGGGGGTGCGCCTGCGTCGTGGCGTAAGGGGACAGTTTTCTATACCATGCGCGGCGATGGCGTAAAGCATACGCACGTCTAGAACACAAATTACAAGCCTACGCCATCTTCAAAACCCAAGCCACGACCCGCTCGCTCAGCGCCGCCACGAGCGACACCGTGTGGAACACGTGGCCCCGCTTCGGGTCGAGGCCCTCGAAGAGGACGACGTCCTTCGGCGGCGCCAGCGTGCCGTACCACTTTAAAGCAGCATGCTTGGCGGCGTACTGGTCCCGCGTGCCCCAGACGAACAGCTTCGGCTTTGGAACTGAAGCGTAGCCGCGCCACCGCCCCGCCGCGTGCGGCAGCGTAAGAAACCAGAGATAGTCGCAGGGATACGAGATGCACACCATGCCATCCACCTCATCAAAGCGCCCGGCCGCCGCCGCGGCCACGGCGGCGCCGAAGGACACGCCGACCACGTAAACCCGAGACGCGCCGAGCTGCGCGCGCGCCCATCTTACAACAACTCCGCAGTCCCGGACCTCGCCGTCGGGCTCCATCAACGACGCTGAACCGCTAGATTGCCCCGTGCCGCGCTGGTCGTATCTAATGGAAGCAATTCCGTCGGCGGCCGCGCGTCGCGCGATGCCGCACAGCTCCGCCATGTCCGACGTGCCGCCCAGCGCCGGGACTAATACCAAAGCCGTCTCCGACTGGATCCCGGCCACGACGCCGTGCAAGGTGTCACCGTCGGCGCCCTCCAGCGTCACGCGCCGCTCGTCGATGGCCTGGTGGACGAGCGCGGCCTTGGCTGCGGCGCGCGCTTGGATGGAGTGCTGGCGGCGCTGCGCTATTACAGTTTCGGGCGGGCCCTGGCCCCAGGCGCGCGCCCGCTCGGCGGCCTCGAGCGCCCGCGCGGCCTCGTCGGCCGCGCGCGCGGCCGCCGTCCGCGGCGCGTGGCGCGCGACGTCGACGACTTCCGGAGCAGCTTCTGTGGCGGGCCAGGCGGAGAGGCAGCCGACGAGGTCGCCCATGGTGTCGTCGCGCGCCGCGTCGGCGGCAGCCTTCCTCTTTGCAAAGGGCTCCATCACTTTGCGGGAGCCATTCCTCGAAAAATTTGGGGGCAGCCGCCCGAATTGCGATGAGTGATGTGCCGAGGCGCCTCCTGCGCGCCGGCGTCGAGCGGTCCCGGCTGCTTTTGTGATGCTGCCCAGCTTTGGCCTCTCCCTCTCCCTGGATTCGCATTCGTCGACTTTGGTTTCGCGACGCGTCGCCGTTGGAGTTGTTTGAGGAGTGGATTGGCCAGGAGGACTGCAAATTTTTCGAAAACCCGTCCCGCCTCGTCATCTCGGTCGTCGCGGTTTTTGACTGGATTCAGCATCTATTCGTGCACGCGGTTGCAAAACAGGTGTCACGGACGCACGACAGCTGCCTCCGCCTCGGCTTGCAGCGAGATCCGCCGCCGCCGCGCCCGATTTGAGCTGTAATCACTGCCAAAGGCCAGCTGCGATGCTCGAGGCCGTCCTCACTCTACTGGCAGCGGCCTGGGGCGCGGCCATCCACCAACTCGTGCCGGCAGACCAACAACTCGCCGTCGGTGTCTTAGCATTCATCACTCTAGGAGCCGCGTACCTCTGCCAAAGCAAAACCAAAGAGTTAAGTGCCATCGGCCCCGCTGTTGATGAAGCCAAAGTAACCAAAAGGCCCTACCCTACGTATGATATCTCCACGCCGGAAGCGAAGAAGGCGTCCTTCAAAGCGATCATCCCGATCCTCATCGACGAGGCCTGTGAGGAACTCGAGCAGTCCTATGAAGTGCGACCGGACGAGGTGGCGTGGATCCGGAAAGTTTTAGATTACAACGTGACGGGGGGCAAGATGAACCGAGGCTTGATGGTCGTCGAGAGCGGCATCTTGCTGTTTGGAGACCGTTGTACGAACGACGATTTATGCAGGTTCGCAGTTTTAGGCTGGGTCATCGAGATGCTGCAGGCCTGGTTGCTCATTGCGGATGATATTATGGACTCGTCCGTGACGAGGCGGGGCCAGCCGTGCTGGTACAAGAAGGATGGTCTCGGTGTCGCGGCTATTAATGATGCTTTCTTGGTGGAGATGCTCCTGTTCAAGGCCTTGCGGAGGCATTTTGGGGATCGGCCCGAATATTCCAGATTAGTTGATTTGGTCATGGAGACGACTCTACAGACCGAGTTAGGACAGCTGTTGGATATCAAGTGCGACACCGCTCCTCTCTCAGCTTTTACGCTGGACCGGTGGACGGCCATCGTCAAGTACAAGACGGCGTTCTATTCCTTCTACCTGCCCGTGGCGATGGCCATGGTCTGCGTGCGCGGCTGCGTCCTTTGTACGTTACCACGGTGGCGCGCCATCGCCGCGCCGACGATCGCGTCGCGTTTTACCTGTCGACGGCGTCGCGCGCCGTCGATGCGTTCGGGGCCGCGGCGACGGCGTCGCGCCGCGCCATCGCCGCGCCGCGCCATCGCCGCGCCGATCATGGCGTCGCGTCCCGCAGGCCGGCATCGAAGATAGATCTGAATATGACGCTGCGCGCGAAATATTAGTCGTGATGGGCGTCTACTTCCAAGCCCAAGATGATTTCCTGGACGCCTTCGGTTCGCATGAACAGATCGGGAAAATAGGCACGGATATTCAAGATAAAAAATGCGGCTGGCTCTTCGTCAACGCGTACAACGGCATGGTCGACGCCAAGGACAAGGCGTACCTCGACAAGCACTACGGGCAGCCCACGTGCAAAGTGGGCTCGAAGCCGGAGAAGGCGATCAAGGAGATCTACAGAAAGATCGGCCTCGAGGCCAAGTATCAAAAATACGAGGAGGACAGCTACGCGCAGATCATGAGCCTCAAGGGCAGCGCGAAGCAGGTCCCGTGGGCCGTCTTCGAGACGTTCCTCAAGAAGGTCTACAAGCGGAAGAAGTGAGCTTTGTTTTCTCGGGGGGCGGCTAACGTGGGTTACCTTTACTCCGGCTCACGCAGACACGAGTACAACGCGGGGCGACCGACCGCCGCATCGACGCGGTCGAGTAGACTTCTACTTACAGCGTAAAGGGGTAAAACAAGCAAGGCGATCTAGTCGGCCGCGATGGAGACGACGCAGTACTCGGGCGGCGGCACGGGCGGGTCGGCACCGGTCGGATTGGCCAGGTCGCGGACCAGGACCTGTGCATAAATCAAAATTTCACGGCGCCTTCGCGCTGAATCGCCGCGTCGACCTCCACGCCATCGACGCGACGCCTGCTCGATAGCGTGGCGATGTCGGTTCCTCACTGCTCGACGGAGCCAGCGCGGTGGCCACGTCATCGCCGAGAAATGACTTTGTGAACAATTATCGGGTGCACCCGACTCACTGGTTCACTGGTTGATTTATGCACAGACCAACGAAGCCATCGACCTCGTCAGGCTGCTGCCGCCGCTTCTCCGCCTCGGCGAGCTCCCTCGCGGCGCGCGCGTGCCGCTCCTGCGCTGCCCGGTACTCGGCCTGCGGTTTGCGTTTTTTGTGAGTCGCGGCGATGGCGTGCGAGGACGCTGACTCGTGCCTCGCAACGCCGCCGCTCCTCGTTCCGCGTGTGCGCGAGCAGCCCTCCCGGTGGTGAACCGTCTCCATCTTCGTCGCCGCTCATCCTTCGCAGGACGTCGTCCAGGGCGCCCTGGTTTTCCTCGGGCTCGAGGAGGTCGTCGAGCACGGTGGCGGCCAAGCCGGCCGCCACGTTCTTGACGGCGCCCAGTCCCGCGAGCGCCGCGCCGCCCACCGCGCCGCCCACGTTTTTGAGGGCGCCGAGCGTCGGGCTCACGTCGTCGCCGCCGGCCGGCGGCGGCGGCGCGTCGTCTTCCGGTCGCTGCGGAGAGCTCTCGTCCGGCCGCGGCGGGTCCGGATCCATGATAGACGTATCGTAGATGTCCATCTTTGACGGGATAACGCTAATTTGAATCTGGGCGAAGCTGTGATGAGCGCGCGGCGCTCAGGACTAATAGTCGGCCTGTTCTTTACGCGTGCGCTCTCGTTTGACTGCCAGAGCGCCTCGTTCTCCCAGGTTGATTGAGCTGGATCGCGGAGCCTACGGATTTCGGGAGCTGCTGTGGTCGAAAATGTGGAAGGAAAGAAGTGCGCGAGGGTGTTGAATGACCGATCTTTCGGCTTCACGCACGCGTATTCCCGCTGTGTGCTTGGCACCCCTGCCGGCGCTGCTTGGCCAGCCGCCCCCCATGGCACGTACCGCTCGAGCCATACCAGCAGCCCTCAGGGCACCTAAAGACGCAATATCGGCGCGCAGGGGCCGTCGCGCCCCCACAAAACCGACCCGCGCGGCACCGCGGCGCGACGCGACGCCATCCTCGACGCCTCCTCGACGCCATCGCTGCGACAAGGCGACGCCGTCGACGCGACGCGCGAACAAGGAGCTAAGAATAGACAGCCTTACCCCGCCAGGACAGGAAGGAAGAATCTACATGTAGTCCATGCCGCCCATGCCCGCCGCCACGTCCATGGCCGCGAGCTTCTCGTCCTCACTTAAATCTTGGGGAATTTCATGGATCAGCGCCTCCGTCGTCAAGACCAATCCGGCAATGGAAGCTGAATTCTCCAGAGCTGACAGCGTCACTTGGGCGGAGTCAACAACTCCGGCATCAAATAAATCACCGTACTCGAAGTTCGCCGCGTTGAACCCGTACCCAAAGTCCTTGTCGATGACCTTCGACAGGACGATCTGGCCCTCGATGCCGCAGTTCTTCGCGATCTGACAGACGGGCGCACTTAATGAATTGAAGACGATCTTCGCGCCCCGCTTTTCATCTTCGTCTTCAATCGCGTCGCAAATTTCATTTTCGAAGCGTAGCAAGTAGGCTAACGTACTTCCACCACCGGGAAGAATTCCCGTCTTGAGCGCGCTCTTGACCGCGTTCAAGGCATCTTCGTACCGCAGCTTCTTGTCCTTGAGCTCCGTCTCGGTAGCAGCACCCACTTTGATGCGCGCAATACCTCCACCTAAGGCAGCGACTCTCTCCTCCGCCTTCTCCTTGTCGAACTGGCTGTCGGTGTTCTCGGCCTCGGTCCGGATCTGCTGGATGCGCTTCTCCATGGCCTCGGCCTGCTTGCCGTCGGTGACGATGGTCGTTTCTTCTTTCCCAATCACCATGCGCTCGCACGTGCCGAGCATTTCCGGAGTGACCGTTTCCAATGAGACACCGACCTCTTGGGCCACATAAGTGGCACCAGTGGCGATGGCGATGTCCTGGAGTAAATCTTTCCTTCTGACGCCAAAGCCCGGCGCCTTCATCGCGCAAATATCAAGCACGCCGCGCATCTTGTTGACCACTAAGGCTGATAAAGCTTCTCCTACCACGTCCTCGGCGATGATGACGAGCTTCTCCTTGGTCTTGACCATGCCCTGCGTGGGTGTTGCGTCTCGCGTCGACGCCATCGACGCGACGGTCGCGCTCGCGCCTCGAGACCTCTCGGCAGCTCTCGACGACGAGGTCGGCGCCCGCGGCTCGCTCGCGAGGCGCGCGGACGCTCTCGTCGACGCCATCGCCGCGACCCGCTCTCGCGAAGACGCCATCGAAAAAAAGACCATCCAGCGCCTCGTCTCGTGGAGACGAAGTGAATGGAAGGCGTCGGACGCTGTCGCGGACCTCGAGCAGCGGGATCAGGTCGTTGACGTTCTCGATCTTGTTGTCGGTCACGAGGATCTTCGGGTCCATGAGCTCGCAGAGCCTGCGCGCAAACGCGGTCGTGGCGCGATGAAGGAGGGTCGGGCGACGTCGTCTCCAGGAACGATGGAAGTGGGTGGTTTTTCTTTGGATTTCGAGGCGATTCGGTCGACGACGTCACACAACTACGGACGCCGGAGCCAAACTGGCGCTCCTGGTCGTTCACGAAGTACGGGCTTACGTAGCCTCGGTCGATGGTCAGGCCCTCCGTGAATTCCACTTCATCGTTCAGCGTCTGGGACTCCTCGAGCGTCGTACTACCAGTGGTCCCGACCTTCTCGTAGGCCTTGGCGATGACGCCGCCCATGAAGGCGTTGCCGCTCGTGGAGATGGTCGCGATGTTGAGGATGTCGTCGTTGCCTTTCAGGGGCACGGACAACTCGCGGCACTTCTCGATCAAAATGTTCGTCACGTGGCTGATGCCCCGTCTCAGCGCGACGGGGTTCGATCCAGACGAGACGGCCTTCATGCCCTGGTTCACGAGCTCTTGCGTCATCAAAGTTGTGGTCGTCGTCCCGTCGCCCGCTTTGCTGTCGGACTTGCCGGCGACCTCTTGAATAAGTTTCGCGCCGATGTTCATCGCCGGTTCCGGGAGGTCGATGTCCCGCGCGATGGTCACGCCATCATTGACAATCTCGGGGGCGCCGTAGGCTCGCTCCAAAACGACGTTGCGACCTTTCGGGCCGAGCGTGACCTTGACGGCGTCGGCGACGGCGTTGATGCCGGCGACGAGCTGCGCTCGTGACTCGTCGCCGAAGAGGACGTTCTTGGCCTGCAGCGCGGGCGCGCGCGCCGTCTGCGCGCCGGGGCCCACGAGGGCTGCAGCACCCGCGGCTAACCCGACGATGCGGAGCATGGTTTCGACCGCTGCTGCGTGCCTTTGTACGGCTGATGTGGTTAAAGACTGCTCGCGCTGGGCAGACCTTCAATTGAGGCCGCCGCAGACCTTCAATTGTCCTCGCTGCAGCACTGAGGCCCCGCTACGTCAAAGTGCGCGCTGGGCCTCTAAGGCCTTCAGGACCCTCGTCGAGCGTCCCTGGACGCCTCGACGCATCAGGGGGCCCGGAAATGGAGTGCGGGTTTCGCGCTTAACATCTGGGACTCGGGCGCGCGCTGCCGCAAAACGCAAGCCCGCAGGGCGTGAGACGCAGTCGTTCATCGCAGAAAGTGCCCGCCGAGGCGTCCTCGCTGGCGCCGCAGCGAAAGAACGCGACGCAGAGGCAGAGGCCACAGCGCTCTCAGGAGGCGCCAAGCTCTCCGAAGCAAACGCGCGCGCTCCGGGCGTAACGCCACCGCCGCAGCGCGCGCAACGCCACCGCCGCGGCATGGCCCGCTCCAAGACCACGCCCCGCATCGGCGGCGAGACCGGCGCTGGCACGCCAGCAAAAAAAAAGACGCCGACGAAGCGGAAGCAGCGGCTGCGACCGGGAGAGGCGGCGCTCAAGGAGATCCGCAAGTACCAGCGCTCTACCGATTTGCTGCTGCGGAAACTGCCCTTCGCTAGATTAGTACGGCAGGTCCAGCAGGGTCTGGCGCCGCACTGTGTGGAAATCAAATGTCGGGCGCCCCACGCCATCGACGCGATGTTGTCTCCGTAGCTGCGTCTGCTCGATGGCGTGGAGTTTCCAGGCCATCGACGCGACGTTGTTCCCGCGACCGCGTCGGCTCGATGGCGTGGAGGTTCAGGGCAATCTAACTCGCTGGTTGATTTCCACACAGGCGCCGCACGACTTCCGCTGGCAAGCCGCGGCTTTGGTCGCGCTGCAGGAGGCCGCGGAGGCGCACCTCGTCGGGCTGTTCGAGGACGCGAACCTGTGTGCGATTCACGCCAAGCGCGTGACGATCATGGTCAAGGACATGCAGCTCGCGCGGCGCATCCGGGGCGTGCTGCGGGAGTAGTGCTTGCTGCGTGTAAGAATCAAGAGTCATCGGGGTCGCGGCGGGCGTACAGCTGTATTAGCATCTATTGGTCCGCGCCGGCGGCTTGAAGTTGTGGAGAAGAAAGGAGGTCTATGCGACCAGACCACACCTTACTCTTTCCAAAACGCGAACCCGAACCAACCCTGGGCTGGCCGCGCCGCCCGGCATGGGCGCAGCGCTGCTTCGCACGTGCGGTGCGGAATGGGTCGCGCCCACTCTCGGGCGGCAACCTGATATATCATGAGATGCTGCCAGTTATGCTTGCTGGTGAGCTTTGGGCTGCGCGTCCGTGGAGCTACCAATGGGACTCTCACCGTGCCGCTAGTCGCGCGGGCTGAGCATCGGCGGTTGTCCGTCGACTTTAAGGAGGTCGTAAAGCTGGTGGCCAGCGACGCAGCGACCAACGACGAGTTCGGCTACTCCGTGGCGATCGACGGAAACACCGTCGTGGTCGGAGCCCTCTACGACGACGACGCAGGCTCCATGTCGGGCTCGGCCTACGTGTTCCTAACGACCGACGGCGGCGCTACCTACGATCAGGTGGCCAAGCTGACTGCTGCCGATGCCGCTGCGGAAGACCGCTTCGGCACCTCCGTGGCGATCGCCGGCGATACCGTCGTGATTGGGGCCTACGGTGACTACTATGAAAGAGGTGCGGCCTACGTATTCCGAACGAGCGACGGCGGCGCCACATACGACCAGGTGGCCAAGCTGACGGCCGCTGACGCCGCCTCGTACGACTACTTCGGCTACTCCGTGGCGATCGACGGCAGCACCATCGTGGTCGGGGCCAGCGGCGACGACGACGCCGGCTTCTACTCGGGCGCAGTCTACGTCTTCCACACGAGCGACGGCGGCGCCACATACAGCCAGGTGGCCAAGCTGACGGCCTCCGACGCCGCGGCGGGCGACTACTTCGGCTACTCCGTGGCCATCGACGGCAGCACCATCGTGATCGGGGCCTACCGAGACAACGATGGCGGCTCGGACTCGGGCTCGGCCTACGTCTTCCACACGACCGACGGCGGCGCCACGTACGTCGAGGTGGCCAAGCTGACGGCCAGCGACGCCGCGGCGGGCGATCGCTTCGGCAACTCCGTGGCGATCGCTGGCGGCACCATCGTGATCGGGGCCTACGACGACGACGACGCCGGCTCCAAATCGGGCTCGGCCTACGTCTTCCGCACGAGCGACGGCGGCGCCACGTACGGCCAGGTGGCTAAGCTGACGGCCGCCGACGCAGCTGCGGAGGACGACTTCGGCAGATCCGTGGCGATTTCCGGCGACAGTGTCGTGGTCGGGGCGCACCAATGGAGTATTGGCGGTACGGGCATGGCCTACGTCTTCCAAACATCCGACGGCAGCGCCACATATGAACAGGTGGCCAAGCTGACGGCATCCGACGCCGCCAATTACGACCGTTTTGGCGTCTCCGTGGCGATTGATGGTGGCAACGTCGTGGTCGGGGCTTACCTGGACGACGACGGCGGCCAAAGCTCGGGCTCGGCCTACGTCTTCAGCTTCAACGTTTGTCCCCCTGGTTCGTTCAGCGACAACGGCTTCCTAGACGGTACCGGCCAGTGCACTGCGTGCCCTGCCTCAACGTACCAGCCGCTGTCCGCCCAATCGGCGTGTGATCCTTGTGCGGCCGGCCGCTTCTCGGCCGAAGACGGCGCTGTTGATTGTGAGGCGTGCCCCGCCGGTCGGAGCCAATCGGCGAGCGGCCAGAGCGAGTGTGTTGTATGCGCGTCTGGCAGCTTCTCGGCCGAAGACGGCGCTGTTGATTGCGAGGCGTGCCCCGCCGGTCGGAGCCAAGCGGCGAGCGGCCAGAGCGAGTGTGTTGTATGCGCATCTGGCAGCTTCTCGGCCGAAGACGGCGCTGTTGATTGTGAGGCGTGTCCCGCCGGTCGGAGCCAAGCGGCGAGCGGCCAGAGCGAGTGTGTTGTATGCGCATCTGGCAGCTTCTCGGCCAGCGCTGTTGATTGTGAGGCGTGCCCCGCCGGTCGGAGTCAACCGGCGAGTGGCCAGAGCGAATGCAACACTGTGTGTCTTCCGGGAACCTACGCCCCCGCTGGGTCAGCATCCTGCGATCACTGCCCGTACAACACGTACAGCAGCAGCCCAGGAGCCGCCGCCTGTGATCCTTGCCCCGACGACTTGAAAGCTGGCCTTGGGCAGTCCTACTGCTCCAGGTGCCTTCCTGGCGAAGCAGAGCACATCGCTGACGACGGTCTGAGCATTACGTGCTTGAAGTGTCAAAACGGCACGTTCAGCCCACTTGGGCTCTATTGCGAGGTCCCTCCGTTGGGGTGGTACACGCCAGACGCGGTTCAGAGTCTGCCATGTGCCGCCGGGAGTTTTGCCAACGAGACCTACGCCACTTCCTGCACCGCGTGTCCTGCTGGTCGAAGCCAACCGGCGAGCGGCCAAAGTGAATGTATCGGGTGCGCGCCGGAAACTTATCAGCCGGACGCGGGCCATTTAGGGTGCGAGCCGTGCGCGACGTTCCAGCTCGGTCGCGGGTCGCGAAGCGGTGCAGTTTCGTGTGATTATTGCGGCGCGGGCTTATATCTGGGCGACGACGCCTCCTCGGCCGACGGAAAAAATTGCTTCGCCTGCCCGGCGCACGCTGACTGCGCGGCGGGTACGACGCTGGCGACGCTAAACGTTCATCCCGGCTATTGGCGCACCGGCCGCACGTCTCCGAAGCTCAAGCGATGTTTCCTCGAAAGCGCTTGCGTCGGCGGCAACGCGTCGCAATGCGCACCGGGCTACCACAAGACGCTCTGCGCGTCGTGCGAGCACAATTACTACCTGGAGGTCAGCACGGGCGAGTGTTATGAATGCGACGCAGCGGCGACGCGCCGGACGCGACATTTCTTCGGGCTGCACCTGTTCATCTTGCTTCTGTTCTGCGCGTCGCCCTTCATCGTCGCGCGATTTCTACGCGCTCGTGCCCACGATGCGGCGAAGCGGCGCTTCCGGGCTCGCAGCGGGCGGTGGTCGCGGAGCGCCAAGGCCCTGCTGCCAAAGGCAGGACGTGTCGTGCCCGACGGGGAGACCAGCACGTCGCGGCCGCCGTGGGGCAAAAACTTGGTCGGCACAGCAGTCAAGGTCCACGCCGTTGGGGCTTGGCTCAGAGCAGAGATTGTCGACGTGGAGACCGACTACAGTGGCGCGCGCGGCATTTGTATTCAGTACACGGACTACCCGTCTGCCGACGAAGAATTTCACGATTACGAGAGCGAGGACATTATGTACCTGCCTCAATCTCAGACGCCCAAGAGCGATATACCTCAGCCTCAGGACGACGCAGACCTTGCTCGCGAGGATATACCTCAGCCTCAGGACGACGCAGACCTTGCTCGCGAGGATATACCTCAGCCTCAGGACGACGCAGACCTTGCTCGCGAGACTCCAAAGATCCACCTGCGCGAGCTTACGAACGCGTCGCTCGACCTCGACGCCATTCTGCAGGAGATCCTTCCGGACCTGATGCCGCCGCAGCTGCGCATGACGTTTGACATTTGCGACCGAATCCCGGAACTAGCTCCGCTGCGGCTGAGGCTCCTCGAGGCGTCGTTCCGCGTCGCGGTGCCGCGCCTGCCGCGCCCGCGCCTGGACGAGCTTTTCGAGTTGCTGCGTCCAGATATGAAGATTCCCGCGGAGCTGGACCTCGATGTCCTCGTGTCATTGCTCGCTGAGGCCTTCCCGCGGCTTGACGCTCCGGACCTCGCGGTGATCCTCGACCTCCTCGACGGCGTACCGCGGCCGTCGCTCGACGCGAACGTGGCGAGCGTGCTACGTCTGATCGAGGAGGCTATTGTCGTGAAGGTGAAAATCGTGGTGACGTTTCTACAATGTCTGTGCTACTTGCCTGAAGTGTACTATGCGGTGACGTGGCCCAAGCAGCTCACGGGCCTGCTGAACGTCTTCAATCCGCTGAACCTCGACGTCTTCAGTCTCGTGCAGCTCGAATGCCTCGTGGGACGGCTCACGTTCTACCATCGGCTACTGCTCGTGACGCTGGGTCCTATATTGGTCGCGCTGGCGCTTTGTGCGGCTGCCGTCGTCGCGAGGCGGCGCGGGCGGCCCGCGGGCGCCGCAGCTTTTATCGACCTCGTGCTGAAGCTCTGCTTCTTCGTGTTCGCGTCGACGTCCACCTCGATCTTCCAGGCCTTCGCCTGCGACGACACGTTCGATGACGGGAGAGCCGTGCTCGCGGCCGACTACTCCATCTCGTGTAAAACGGATCGATGGCGGGGCTTCGCGGCATATGCGGGCATCATGGTCGCGGTGTACCCTGTCGGCATCGTCTGTCTTTTCTCGGCTTTACTCTTCAAGCACCGAAAAGCCATCGACCCGCCCCTCGGCCCGCACGGCGCTAAGCTCCTCCGGCTCGAGGAGACGTTAAGTGTCGAACGCGATAAACGCTGCTCGCTCGCCGAGCGCGCAAAGCATGCCCAGCGGCGCGAGGACGCCAGCCTGAAGAGCGTCCGGTTCCTCTTCGTCCACTACCTGCCCAGGTACTGGTACTTCGAGGCGATCGAGTCCGTGCGACGTTTACTTGTCACCGCCGTAGCGGTAACTGTCCAACCGGGCAGCAGTACGCAGCTCGCCTTTGGGTTGCTGACGTCTATATTGTCCCTATTACTCTACGCGGCCACGCAGCCATTTATCCACCATGCGGACAATACCCTCGCAATTCTCGGCGCCACGGTTCTCACGCTCGCGACGTTTTCTGGACTGCTCCTATCCTCCGACGTTGTGGAGGATGATGGCTGGTCGGTGCTTGGTATGGGAACGTTTCTGGCCATTTGCACGGCCCTCGTCGTCGTCTTAGGCCTCGCGCTCGCCGTCCTCGAAGCGAAGCGGCTCCTCGAGAAGCTCGCCGCCGCGGCGTCGACGCGCCATCGGCGGTCCGTCGAGTACTTCTAGTAATTTTTTAGTACTTGTAGTAACAGAGAACAGTAGTTAGACTCGGGGGAAAACGATAGCTAGCCGCGCCGCTTCGACAGCCGCCACGACCCCTCCGGATTGAATCTATCGTAGAGCGGCTCGATCTTCTGCCGCCTTTTACATCTTGAACGCCTTCTCTATTTTCTTTCCCCAACGATTCAGCTCCTTCGCGATCGCCTTTTTCACCTTCTTTTTCTTTTTCTTCATCTTCAGGCCCGGAATGGTGTGGACGCGGACGCGGTCGCCGAGCAGGTCGCTGTGCAGGTGCCGCAGCGCCTCTCGCTCCGAATCTAGGCTCAACTCCAATAGGCGGGAAAACAGGCTGGAATCCGACATCACCGAAGCCCCGTCACGGCCCGACCGGCTTCTACTCACACTCTCGCTTGGCGCCGCCTTCGCGATAATCCTATCCCTGGCCGCATTCACCGCGCCGAGCTCATCCGCTGCCTCGACGTAGCGGTCCGGGTCCACCGCGGCCTCGACGTAGCGGTTCCGCGCGTAACGGAGGAGCTCGTCCCAGTCCGAGAGCTCGTAGCCCTCGGCCGCAGCGCGCTCCATGATGGCCACGACCGTCGCGCGGGTGTCTTCGGGCAGGCTTGCGATTGTGGGACTGATTGTGTCCGGGTCCGTAGAATCTTCGTCCGAGGACTCGCTGGCGACGCTCGCGGCAGCTTCTTCGGCGGCGGGCGGCGGCGGTGGCGGTGGCGGCGGCGCTACGTTGGCCGCTTCGGCGGCGAGAAGCCGGTTTCCCCAATCCAAGAGGTGCGCTCGCTTGAATTCCCTCCGGGCCTGTCCGGCGCGCGAGGCGCGACCGCCCGGCAAGAAAGCGGTGCGAGGCGCGTCCGACCGTCCGAGCCGTTTCGGGTCCGAGGCGCGGAATGCGTCCCTATAACCGTCAACCAGCCGCTGTCGCACGCCTTCGCGTCGCACCGGCGCGACCTTCTTCCATTGACCAGAATCGTCGTACTCATCACGCCGCACACCCACATGCGCCCAGACCTTGTCGATGGCAGCTTGGTCCTGGGCCGTGATGGTCCGCTCTGCGACTCGTGATACCATCAGCACATGGCTCAACACGCGTGCCGTCGTCTGCGCCCAGTCGCCTTGGTGCCTGGACATCTTCTTCCCAGGGTGGATGCGCGAGCATCTCCGGAAGTGGGGCTGCCCTTGAGGCTAGTAGGAAGACGCGCGGCTGCCCTTTCTATACGTCCGAACATAGGAGTGCGAGAGACCTTCAGAAGATGCATGTGGAAATCATTAGTGCGCGACGCTAGAGCCATGATCTAGCATGGCATGCCTAGCAGTACCCCAATCCCCAAATCAGAGAGGCAGCCAGATTAAGGTGCACGTTCATCGCACTCGCAGCACACACACCGCAGCGCTGCTCCCAGGGCCGCAAAACCCAAATCCCCCATGAATCCTTCTCACGAAGCACCTCATCACACCCAGGCACAAAACCAACGCAAACGCAACATGGCCGGCAAGACGATGATCCACGACAAGTCCACCGGCAAGACCTACGTCGGGTCCTTCACGCCCACGGCCACGTCCACCGCCCACCAGCAACTGGCCAGCGCCGCGGGCGTGTCGACGCGCAACGCCGTCGGCGGCGGCCTGCGCAAGGACACCGGTGGGAAGTGGCAACTTAACCAGAAGTCCGAGTCGATCAACTCGCAGAACGGCTACAAGACGTACGGCGCGAAGAGCTGCGGCGTCGCGCACGGCAACCGCTTCGTGAGCGCCAAGTCCAACCTCAAGAACGGCAACTACTTCACCGTCTCCAACCGCGGCAGCGTCAACCGCGGGAGCAAGAAATATCGCCTGTGAGGCGGGCCGCCCCTCCCACTCGCATCGCGCCACCCGCGCGCGCCTCCCACCTAGCACCCCAGTAATCATCAGACGCATCCTCCGCTGAGGCTTGTTCTAGAGAATCACGCGCAAAGGACCGCGGCCACGTGCCAACGTCCAAATGCTAGTATGTCCACAGAGATTCTCCCCTTTTTGGGCCTGTGGGTGGAGCTCGCAGCGCACGTTCGTCGTAAAGCAATACACACCCGCAGCGCTCGCTCCCCAGGCTACGCACACCCTCTGTACCCCGCGGCACAGCTTCCGCATCAAAGGGCAGCGTTCTGCGCAGGAGATTGCCCTTAGAAGCAGCAGCACGAGCATGGGCGGCGGCGTATCGTCTCTCCCGGAGCAGTTCACGCTTGCCGAGGCGAAGGAGCTCGCGGGCGACAAGTGGCGCTGGCAGTGGGCGGAGAGGTTCCCGAGATATCCGGGCGCCAGGATCACCAGGGCCGAGGCGATGCGCTGCTGGAACAAGGCCGAGGCCGCGACGGCCGCACCTGAGCCCGAGCCCGAACCGGAACCCGAGCCCGAACCGGAACCTGAGACGCCACTGCACATCGCATGCGCGAATGGCCGCCTCGACATGGTGTCGCGGTTGCTGGAATCAGGAGTGGATGTTAATCAGGTGGATAACAGCGGCTCCACGCCGCTGCACACCGCCTGCCGGAACGACTACGTCACCGTGGCGGGGCTCTTGATAGATAAAGGCGCGGAGGTCGATCGGGCGAACCACTGCGGTTTAACGCCTCTGGACATCGCGAAAAGCAAAGGCCACGAACGCATCGTCGTGCTGCTCGGAGGGGAAATGTTTTTGCCCCGTAGCGCTATGCGTACACTTGCTGCGGCCATCACCGACGACGTCGGCGCAATCACGCAACTCCTCGACGACGGCGCCGACATCGACCAGACGACCCGTTGGCTATTCATCGCCTGCCAGATCGGCCAAGTCGATGCGGCGCGGCTGCTACTGGACCAAAGCGCGGAGGTCGATCGGGCGTTGGAGGACGGTCGGACGCCGCTGATCATCGCCTGCAAGAACGGCCACGCTGTCGCGGCGCGGCTCTTGCTGGACCAAGGCGTGGACATTAATCGGGCGGATAAGTACGGTGCAACGCCGCTGCTTGCCGCCTGCACGAAGGGCCACGTCGACGCCGTGCGGCTCTTGCTGGACGAAGGCGCGGAGGTCGACCGCTCGACGGAAGGCGGTCAGACACCGTTATTCATCGCCTGCTACAACGGCCACGTCGACGCGGCGCATCTAGTGCTGGACAAAGGCGCGGAGGTAGATCGGGCGAGCGAGGGGGGCGTGACACCCCTATGGATCGCCTGCAGCGAGGGCCACGTCAACGCCGCGCGGCTGCTGCTGAAACGCGGCGCGGAGGTTGACCGGGCGATTATGGACGGTACGACGCCGCTATGGATCGCCTGCCAAGAGGGCCACGTCGATGTCGCGCGTTTGCTGTTGGAAGAGGGAGCAGATGCCGGCCGTCTGGCCATAAAAGGCGCAACACCGCTGGACATCGCGCAGATGCAGAAAGCCATCGTCGAGCTCTTCGATGAGATGGCCCTATACGACGACGACGGATCTAAGGAGACGGGCGTCGAGGAGACTAAGTCGGCCTCGGGTCGGCGCTGGCATGGAGTGGCGAGGGCACCGCGACGATCCCCGTTTCGAGTGCCAACTCGCTACACTTCGCCTCTAGGTCGGCAAAAGCCTTTCTGGAAGCTGGTAACAGCGGGCGGATCGGCGCCGGGCCCTATGGGCGTCGAGGATAACGCATTGGCCAAAATCCCTATGGGCGTCGAGGATAACGTATTGGCCAAAATCCCCATGGGCGTCGAGGATAACGTATTGGCCAAAATCCTCCAAGAAGAAGAAGACTTATGGGCCGCTCACCAACTGGCGTCGACAGACAAGCGGCACTGGAACCCGGCGTCAACAAATAACACGAGCGGCTTGTTGACCGGGCCTGAATACTCGAGTGATGATAGTGGAGACGGGCCTCCGGTCGACGACGCGGATTTAGATGAACTGTCCCGCCGAGTCGCTTCCGATGATGTACGTGTATCGGCTATAGGACAAGAAGCTGCGTGCGAAGCCCTTTCGGACAGACCATCTCCGACCGCCTTGCACGTCATGGACGACGGAGGCAGGGACGAAGACGAGCACCTTGCACATCACCTTGCATCGTTGGACAAAAGACCCTGTAATCCATCGTCGTTTGACCAGCCCCGCCGCGCCGACCGCCGCATAGACATCCCGCCGGCCACGGTCATCGGCCGGAAGTACCGAATCAATCAAAGGATCGCCAGTGGATCGTCTAGCGAGATATATTCGGCCACGGTCATCGGCCACGGTCATAATTTTTGCAGCTGTACAAATTGCAACAAACAAGTCGCGATCAAGTTCGAGAAGCGGTCGGCGCGGTGTCCGCAGTTACGGCACGAATTCAAGGTGTATCGGGAGCTCCAAGGCTGCACGGGCATCGGGCGGGTGATGTACTTTGGCACGTACCGAGATTGTAACGTCATGGTCATGGAGTTGTTGGGACCTTCGCTCGAGGACTTGTTCAATCAGTGCGGCCGACGGTTCTCATTAAAAACGACGCTCCAATTAGCCGACAAACTGCTGGAGCGGGCGGAGACTTTGCACGAGAGCCACTTGATCCACCGCGACATATCACCTGCGAACTTCGTCGTGAGCCCGCGGGGCGACACGAAAATATTCTGTATTGATTTCGGGTTGTCTAAGCGGTATAGACATCCTCATACTTTACAACATATCCCTTACCGAGACGATCGTTCCTTGACGGGGACGACTAGATATGCCTCCGTGGCGAACCACCAGGGCGTGGAGACCTCACGACGGGACGACTTGGAATCAATCGGCTATATGCTGGTCTACTTTCTGCTCGGCAGGCTCCCCTGGCAGGGCCTCAAGGTGCCGCACGGCGTCGCCGGCACCGCTTCCCTGAAACATCGCCTGATCCTGCACAAGAAGACAACGATACCCTTGGCCGAGTTGTGTCGCGGCTGCCCCGTCGAGTTCCAGGAGTTCATCCAGTACTGTCGGGAGCTCCAGTTCGACGCGAAGCCGAACATGATTTATGTCCGAAATCTTTTTAGGGATTTATACCGGCGGCACGGCTTCGAGAATCCGCAGCAGTGGGACTGGGATGCCGCGAGGGCACCGCCCAGGCCGCTTTCCACAGAGACGGACGACAGACCGGGCACCGCGGGTGCCGTCGCACGGCCGGGCACGGCGGACACTCTCTCTACTTCGTCCGCGCCGACGCCGCAATCGCAGAAGAACCAGGACCACGCGGCACGCATCGCCGACGTGCAGTGGAAAAAGGTCTACGCGGCGACATGTGTGGGGCCGACATGTGTGGGGCCACAAGCACAAGGTCTAAGTCTACGCGGCCCGGCCTGGCCCTGGATTTCGCGCCGTGGGACAAGCGAGCGGGCGAAGGGCCACGAACGAGACCTCGTGAACGAGCTCCACGACTACGAAACGAGCGGCGGTGATCTCGACTCCATCCGCCAGCACATCGACGACGCGGCGAGTGCGCACGTCTGGGACATGTTCTTGGCGAACTACAAGTGCTTCTCCCGGACCGGGTTAACATATCCCGTCGACGGGACATGTTATACGGCACTCACACGTGGAGGTCAAATACGGCTCATCCCCGACCGCCCCCGCCTCGGGCCCCGCCCCAAACCCCGATTCTGAAAAATTTAGGGTGAGAACTACAAGGCACCTTCGCGAAGACTAACAGAGAACAGTAGTTAGATCTAGCCGCGCCGCTTCGACAGCCGCCACGACCCTTCCGGGTTGAACCGATCATACAACGGCTCGATCTTCTGCCTTCTCTTGGCGGTAGACAGCTGCCCGGCGTCGGCCCGCTTGAAGAAGCGCGGCGCCAGCTCGACGAGCCACTTCGGTTCAATCGCCATCACGTTCCGCATGTACTCCTTCGACGTTAAAACGAGTTCGTGGTACACGAGCCACTCCGGATTTTTATTAAATAGTGCCGAAGAGGGATGAATCGACACCGGCGAGCCCTCGACCATGGTCCGGTAGCCCTCCTGCGGGTCCTTCTTGGCCGCATTGGTAAAATACCCAGCTACTATTGCTCTCCTCACCAAATCCCAGTCCCGGCCCGCACTCAACACGTCCATCTTGTACCTGTCTAAAATCGTGACGAGCTGCTTGCGCACGTCTTGGGCCCTCCTCATAGCTCTAGCTTGCAAATAATTCTCGTAGCACCACGGGTTGCTGAACTTGGCATTTTTCCAGGCCTCGTAGACCGCGAGTAACATCAAATGGTCGCCCTCGGACTGGAAGAACTTGGCCTTCTTCGCGTCGGCCTGCGCCTGCTTCTCCTTCGGCCGGTAGAAGGGCTGTTCTACTGAAAGCATGGCTACGACCGTCAGGATCTCCTCCGCGCATCGCAGGTCCGCGGCCGTGATGAGCATTTTTGACAATTGCGGCTCCAAGGGAAATTCGGCCATCTTCCGCCCGAACCGCGTGAGCAGCCCCTCGTCGTCTAGAGCGCCGAGAGCGTATAACGACTGCATGGCACCGACGAGCGTCGCGACCGGTGGGGGATCCATGAAGTCGAACTTCAACAAGTCGTGGATGCCCATGGCCTTGAGCTGTAAGACCACATTTCCTAAATTGGTCCGTTGGATTTCTGGTATCGAGGTCGGGAGCATTTCGGTACGTAGAGCCGCTTCGGTATATAACCGATAGCATTTCCCAGGCCCCGTCCTGCCAGCCCTGCCAGACCTCTGCTTGGCCGAGGCTTGGGAGATGGGCGTGACGACCAGAGAATCCATGCCTAGTTTGGGGTTATAAGCTTTTTGTTTGCAAAAACCGGGATCCACGACGTAGTAGATGCCATCTATGGTCAGCGAGGCCTCGGCGATGTTCGTCGCGACGACGCATTTTCTGGCGCCTGTTGGTGCGGGTTCAAAAATACGACTTTGCATCTCGGCTGGCAAAGCGCCATACACAGGTAAGATGATCAATTCCGGCGCGAGGTCGCCTAGTTGTTGCATTCTTGAGTACAACACCTCACAACAAGTATCAATTTCTTCCTGGCCCGTCAAGAATACAAGGATATCCCCAGCAGGTTCGGATAAGTGGATCTGCATCACGGTTATGAGAGCAGCATCCAAGTAGTCCTGCTCCGGCTCCTTCGTGTACAAAACCTCCACAGGAAATAATCGACCGGGGATCGTAAAAATCGGGCATTCGAAAAAATACGTCGAGAACTTTTCGGCGTCGAGCGTTGCACTCGTGACGACTAATTTCAAGTCTGGTCTCTTTCGTACTAGATCCTTGAGTAAGCCGAAGAGCACGTCCGTGTGGATCGTCCGCTCGTGGGCCTCGTCTAGAATCAAGGCGGAGTAGCGGCCGAGGTCGCCGTCCTGCGCGGGGTGAGGCGTGATGTGTGCGGCGCCGCGGCGATGGCGTGCGGGCGGCGCTCCCGACGCCATCGACGCGGGGCGTGCCGACGACGCTCGCGAACGCCGTCGACGCGAAGAGTTCCACACTGACATGCACCGCCAAGTATTCTCTCATTAACATGCCGTCCGTCATGTACTTAATCACTGTGGAGGGTCCCGTGCAATCTTCGAACCGAATCGTGTACCCGACTTCTTGGCCGAGATCGCAACCGAACTCCTCGGCGACTCGTTTGGCCACGGACATCGCCGCGACGCGTCGAGGCTGCGTGCAGCCGATCATACCTCTGGACGTCAGGCCCATCTCGGCCATGTACTGCGTCATCTGCGTCGTCTTGCCACTACCGGTCTCGCCGATCACCACTAAACATTGGTGGTCCCGGATCGCGTCCATCAACTCATTGCGTAGTTGCGCGATCGGCAGGCCCGCTCGTTGTTCTCTTATCGTTTTGGTGGAAACATGTCCGAACGACAACGCGGCCTTCTTCTGCTGCTGCTTCCAGGCGGACTCGACCTGGCTACCTGCCAAATTCACGGAGCGCAGCTCCTGGGCGAAGTGCCGCTCGCCGGCCTCGGGCATCGGGTCCTCCCACGGCCGATTCAAATCTTTTGGAATGCCGTCGATGAGCGCGTTCGCTTGCGCCGTCTTCAGCTCGCGCCGCTCCTTCGCGAGCTGGCCCTGGGTCAGGGCGGCCCTCTGCAACGAGCCGTCGGGATTGGCGACGATTTTTATGGGCGAGGCTTCTCGTGCTATCGTCGACTGCCCTCGCAGAAAGGCCGGTTCGTGCGTATTCAATTCGATCTCGATGTCCTCCTCGACCTCCTCGCGGCCGCCCGCCGCGAGAGCGCCGCCCCGCTCGGCATCATATGTAGGTAATAGTTCCGGCGGCAAGACGCCAGAGGCAGCTAGTTGCCTCGCTTCGAACAATTCCGGAGAGGTCAGTCGTTTCGGCGCTCGTCCGCCCGACTCTCTTTGTATGTCGTCTAGCCGCACGCCGGGGTTGATCATCGGGTTACTGCGCGTCTTCCGTTCCGTTTGGTCGTCGAGGAGCTCTCGTCGTCTCGGTTGCAAGTCTCTGCCCGATCGCTGGTCGCACTCCTTCATGGACAGCGACACGCGCTGCCCCGCTCGACCCACAACCTTCACGAAGACGCGCTGTCTCCTTTGTACATGTTGACTCGGATCCCTGATGCGTTCTCGACTTATCATGGAGACGTGGACCAAGCCTTCGGTTCTTGGAGACACGTCCTCCAATTCCACGAAACACCCGAAATCAGTAACTTTCGTCACGGAACCCGCATAGACCTCGTACAGCTCCGCGGGGCCGCCCGACGGCCGCGGGCGCTTCCGCTGCTGCTCTGGTTCCTTCGGCCTTGGTGGAGGCGGCGCCGCGGGCAGTGGTGTGGAAGCGTCCTCGACCAAGGCAAAAATCTGCCTTGATAAATCGTCGGAAAAGTCTGCCCCGTTCTTTGCGAGTGATTCCGTGAAGGCGACGGGCGTGCCCGCCTCTTGGGCCAAGTGGATGACGAACTCGGCTAATGTGCGGTCGCCGATGCCGACTTCCTCCTCGAGTCTTGACACGACTTTGTTGACGAGCTCTAAGCGGGCGAGCTCGTCCATGGTTTTTTGTTATGTCTGAGTTTCGTGTTCTGGCGCAGCGATGCGCACCGGCGTCGGCAGCGTAGGCGGGAGCCGTGCGCCGCGCGCGCGCGCTGTTTTTGCGCAGCAGGGCCTGTAAGTGAATCTGTGGAGCCGCGGCGCCGGGCGAGACGCAGCGAGGCGCGGCAGATAGGTGTGCCTTGCGGAGCTCTGCGTCCAGGGCGTTCCAGCCGATTAATTATGGGCTTTTACAAGCTGTTTGACGATGGGCCGCCTCTCGCTAGTGTCTTTGTGCCGCTAGTAAAGACCTCGTCAGGCAAATCAGCGGCCAAAGCACGCCATACGCTCGAAATATTGCATAACGTGCGAGCCGTACTCGTCCCACGCATACCTGCGATGATGCCGAGGCATAGCCTGCGATTGCTTGCCTTGCTGGGCCTCAGCCAGGCCCTGCTTGCCCCGAGCCGCAGCGCTGTCAAAGCGCGAAGCGACGTCGTCGTGGCCTCGACGCCGGCGGAGGTCGCCATCGCGGCGCAGACGCAGCTCTTGTCGTTAGCGGCGGTGACGACGGGCGAGGGCCTCTGGTCGACGGTCTCGTTCGGCTTCAGCGTGGGACGGGCGATCCAGTGCCTGGCGCCGCCTTTATTAGCCTCGGTGGTCTTAGTAGGCGCGTCGGGCTCCGTCGGCTCGGGCGTCGCCGGCGAGATGGCGCCGGGATTATTAGCCTCGTCAGTCGCCACGCTCGGCCTCGTCGCGTCCTACGCTTCAAGACTGTCAGAGAAGCAGACGGGCGACGAGGGCGACGACCCGCCGAAGGAGGTTATAGGCCTGTTCGCTGTATTGGCATTCTTCGGCTTCGCGACGGCGACGCAAAGTCTCTTCGCGGCGGGCATCGTGGGCGTGCCGCAGCTGCCCGACTTCTTCGGGAGCGGGGAGCTGCCGGACGACCTCGGTCTGTAGGCTTAACTTGGACTACTGCTAGGTGCGCGTTCCCCCTTCGTCGCGGGGCGCCCCAATCCGTTGAGCTATCTGCATCGTCTGTGTTTGCGGTCGCGAGCGCGGCCGTTGAGAGCGGGCTTCGTATGAGTTCCGGTGCGCCGCCGGGCCCAGACCTCCTGCGCGCGATTCCTGGCGTGCTTTGAAGGGGGGCTAGGGAGGGGCTACAAGCTCGTAGGGTAAGAGCTTGGAGGGGGGGGTCCGCCGTTTTGATAGTTTGCATCAGTGTGTATTTGCCTTCGCGCCTCGACACCGCAACCATTATCCCCCTCTGGGCTGCCCTCGGGGCACGGCCCGAACTCCCTGACCTCTCGCCGAGGTCGGAAGCGCGGCGGGCCGCCGGAACCGACGAGCCGGTTGAGCACCGGGCTGCCACCGGAGTCACTGCCGCGAGCGCACACCCGGAACCGTCGACTCGTCACCGGGCTGCCACCGAGGTCACCCAGACGGTCACCCGGACGGCCGTAGAGCCGAGAGCGGAACCGTCGACCCTTTGGTCGCAGACGCGCGGCGGGCCGCCAGACCAAGAGCCGCTTGAGCACGCCGGGCTCGACGCCCTGCTGGCCGAGGTCGAGGCCGAGCAGGAGGCCCAGACGGTCGATCCCCGCGGACGGCCGCAGACGCAACCGCAGAACCTCGCGGACGCGGCGCGGCCGGAGGTCACCCAGACCGCGCTCGCCGCACACAACAAGACGGAGGTCCTCTGCAACCACTGCGGGGGGCGGCTCACGCACGGCGAGGCCAAGTGCCCCCACTGCGGCGGCCAGGCCACGCACGCGCTCCACTCGCCGCCCCCCAAGATGCAACACAGCATGGAGATGACGCCGCCCCGGAAACAACAAATGAAGCGCCCGCCGATGACGCCTAGGGTCAAACACACGACGGCGTTCGGGGCCGTATTGCACGTCCTGAAAGGCCAGCCGAAACCTCAGGGATGCTGCGGCAGCGAGCACCACGTCATGACGCTCTTCGAGGGCGGCATCCAGGCGCAGTCGACGGACACGCACTGCTGCGGCTGCTGCGAGCACGTCTACGTCAAAGTGATCCCGAAGCACACGATCATCGGCGTCGACGTCAATTCCAAGAGGTACTGCTGCTCGAACTGCTGCAAGACCTCCAAGGTCCACTTTAAAGTGAAAAGGGACCCGTCGATGCAGGCGACGAAGGGCTGGTGGCACAAGGACGAGACTTCCGTCTATCTGAAGATCCGGGGCATCGCGAACACGCATTTACTCTTCGACTACGTCTACGGCATCCTGGCCAAGTCCGGCGTCGGCGACCGGGCCCACAACCTCGCGCACATGATGGCGTCGGGGCTCTGCGACAAGGCCGAGGTCAATTTAGATCTGGGCTTCGGTGTGGATGGCGGGGGGATCGGCGCTTGAGTAAATACTTACGCCTGACGCTCACGTTTTCGTCGTCGCGCAGCCTTCTTTCGTTCCATCCGCGCGTGCTTGTCGCCAGCGACCTGGCAGCGCAGCGCCGACGGCGAGAGGGGCTGGGCTGTTGCGACGGCGTCGAGAGCCGTCTCACTTTGTAGAATATCGTCGCTCTGGCGCGCGAGTCGCGCCGCCAAGCCGCTTTTGGGGGATTGGTGCGGCGCGGGCGGCGGCGCGGGCGGCGCCGCCGGCGCCGACGCCCCGCCGGTCATGCGCCGCGCCAGCGACACGCCCGCCACGGATCGGCACGCCGGCGCAGCTCTATGCTTGCCCCGCGCCTTCTCGCGCTGCTCGCGCTTCCGTCGCGCCGAGGGCAGGCGCTGCGTCGACGCGGTGTCGTAGGATCTCCCTGTGGACGGCGCCGGCTCGGGCAGCGCCCTCAATTCCAAGTGCGGCACGCGGACCACCTCGTCGTCGGACTGGGGCTCCCTCGGCTTCGGGGCGTCCGCGCCCCAGGCGTCGTCGTAGGTTGTGTTCAGGGTGACACCGGCCTCGAGGTCCTCGATCGATGCGGGGGCGACGCGCGCGACGCTGCCCTCGTGGAAGGGATTAATAGGCATGCTGTGGGAGCTGATCGCGGCGCGTTGGGCGCCCTGTAGACCGTCTGGGGCAGCACCTTCGCGCAGCAGCACGTTGGTTGGTCGGCGGTGGACCGGCCCTTGTTCGTCTCCACAGGCGTCTTTGGAGGCCGTATATGGATGCCCTTGGAGATCTCTACTCGTACGGCTCACTTGCTAAGTGTCTTTACAGGTCGCTAGCCCAAGTCGTCTCGCGGCCTTTGTGCCTAATATACGCGCATTGCTACTCGCCTGTTGCTGAAAAGTGACGACATGTCGCCCTCATTGCTGCTACAGCCCAGAGCTGCAACGCCAGCGCGTGTACGTGCGCGCCCGAGGCGATAGAGTAAGGCACAAGAGATACCGCACGGACGCGAGCTCGCGCGCGAGGCCATCAATCCGCGCAAGCGGACCCAGAGGCAATAAGCGCCGCACCTCGACCGTCGAGAAGCAGGATGGGAAAAAAGGCGCGCGGCCGCAAGGGCGGCATCGTGGCCGCCGAAAACGCACACAATCAACGGGTGCGCGCCTCGCGCGCTGCGACGGCGGCAGCCATGTTCTCGAATACCGACCGAAGCGCGGAGCGTTATCCGGGCTTCACGGCCTTCTCGAGTAGGGTCACCAGTCTCCTCGGGGATGTGGTGGCCGGTCGTGACACTGACGCTACGTTCGAGCAGCAGGACGAAGTGCTCCGCCTCGGCCCCGGCGAGAAGAACTTCGCGGGCGCGGACCGGATGTGCACGCCCTGCCGGCGGTGCTCGGAGGCGTACAACGGCAGAGGCATCGTCTGCGACGTCTGCGGCGTCACGTGGTGGTGCAGCGCGCATTGCCGCGCGCTGGATGGCGACGGGCACAAGGCGACGTGCCACCACGTGAAGCTGCTCGGCGTCCAGATCAAGCGTGACGGCATGCGCGCGTTGCCCTTCGTCCAGGAGTCTGGCGACATTGGATGCTTGTTCGACCACCCGCGCGCGTCCGTCGAGACGGGCGGCGTCGCCTACGCCGCCGCGAACGGCGACGTCGCGGCCATCGACCGCCTGCTCGCTCAACACGGCGCGGCCGCGGCCGGGGCGACGACCGACGAGTCCCCGGTGCCGCCGATCGTCTGCGCGGCGCTCCAGGGGCACGCCAAGGCCGTGACGCGGCTGCTTAGGGCGGGCGCCGATCCCAACGCGGTGAGCCACCTCGGATGCACGGCCGTGTTCGGCGCCGCGCAGAACGGCCACGTCGCTGTCATCGAGGCGCTGGCTGGCTCGGGCGCGGACTTCGACAAGCCGGACGCCGGGGCCATCACGCCGCTGGGCATAGCGATAGAACACGCGCATCCCGCGGTCGTGGACGCTCTACTCGCCGGAGGAGCGGACCCCGACCTCCGCTCGGGCCGGAACGCCTGTCCGCCGCTCGCGCTCGCGGCGACCCAGGCGGCAGAGAAAACGCTCCAGACGACGCGTCCGGGTTCGATGATTCGCGCGGGGACCCCCGTGCTGGACAAGAGCATCGGCATCGACGCGTCCGGCCTCGACGTGAGCGAGTCGGACGAACCGCGCGTGCGCACCCTGGGGGCACCGCAGAATAGCAACGCGGTCACCTTCTTGATCGACATGCCCCTCGTCGACTACGTCTCGAAGCAGGCCGAGATCACGGCGCGCCTCCTCGCCGCGCCGGGCCTCCGCGCCGTCGACGGCATACCGTTATTCGTCCCGCTCGTGGACTTTGCTACCGCGGCCGCGATGAACTGCGTCGCCGCCGCGCCGGCGCTCGCGGCCACGCGCGCCCTCATCGCGGCCGGCGCCGACCCGAACGCCGCGAGACGCGACGACAGGACCAGGGAGGACGACAAGCTGACGATCATCCAGGGCGGCTCCGGCGACAAGGGCGTTCGGGGCCTGCTGCAGTCCAAATTCGGCGGCTTCCTCGCGCCGAGCGACGTCGAGCGCCTGGACCGGAGCGATGACATGAGCGCGTGCCTCACGCCACTGCTCGCGCTCTGCCACTTCCGGCGCCGCGTCGAAGCGCCGCGGCTCGAGCACTACCGCGCGCTGCTGGACGCGGGCGCCGACCCGGACCGCGGCGTCGGCTCTGTCCGCCTCTCGCCTCTCCTGGGTGCCGTGGTCCGCGACGACGCGGCCGTGGCTTCGGCGCTCCTCGCAGCCGGCGCCGACGCAAGCGGCACGCACGACCTCGTGCTCTTTCGGTGCGACCGCTTCGTCTACTTTGACCCGGAAGACGGCACGACAGGCGGCGGTCTGGCGCTCGCGTTGGACCAGGCGCGCGCGCGGCGGACGCTCTCGACGCTCGAGTTCGCGGAGGTCCACCGGCCGCGCTCGGAAGTGACGCGGCTCCTCCGCGCGGCGGCGGGCGGCGGCGGCGGTTACGATCGCGGCGAACTCGCGGCCATGGGCGTGAAGGCGCTCAAGGCGGAGCTCGCCGCGCGCGGCTTGAGCGCCGACGGCTGCTTCGAGAAGAAGGACCTCGTCGACCGCCTCGCCGCCGCGCCGGCTCCCGCGCCGGCGTCCCTGGCTACGGCGGACGCCGCGGCGGACTTTCGACTCATGGAGACCAAAGAATTGGCTGAGGGGCTCCCGGGCGCTCGGGCCGCGCGCGCCGTGCGCAAGATTCATCGGGCGCTCCGCGCGGCCGACGACGTCCTCGACGTCGACGCCTACACCGCGCCGGCGGCCGGGCCGGCGGCGGCGGAGGCGCGGCCCGCCTGCGCCAACTGCGGCAAGACCCGGCGCTGGGACAAGGTCGACAAGCCGCTCTCCAAGTGCGCGCGGTGCAAGTCCGTCGCCTACTGCGGCGCGGCGTGCCAGAAGGCCCATTGGAAGGCCCACAAGGCCGCCTGCCGCGCCGCGAGCGCCTCCTAGGTCTACTATAAGACTGTTACACAATACTCACAACAAACACATCACTCGCCGCTCTTGGCCGCCCGCTTGACGTAGGCCGTGAACGGCGACGCGTCCTCCTCCTCAGATTCCGACGAGAGCGTCCCGTCAATTAAACCTTTCGGTAACGACGCCGAGAACTTGGCCACGGCGTCCAAACTTCCAGGAGGCGCCCGCGGCGGCAACGGCACGCGCTCCCTCTCCGGCACCACCGCCTTGTAGGGGTCCTCCTCGGCGAATAACCGCATGCGCGCCGCGGGATCATCTTCACAATCCATGTACTTGTTATAATATCCAGGGTTCTTGACCTTCGTCCAGGCGCCCTCGATGTTTCGTGCGCGCAGCTTCCTTAAGTACTCCTCGCGCTTCTGGACACTTTCCTCGTCCTCAGGTAAGTAAGAATGAGCCTGCCAGGGCCCCAAGGGATCCTTCGGGTCGAAGGGCGTTAGTATGAGTTCGGCATCGGGTGCCGTGCCCATCAGCGCGAGGTGGTTGTGCAATGCGGGAGGGTCGTCCTCAGTCAGAGGCCTCAGTGCTCTCCCGTCCAAGTGTGTCACGTGTCGGGGCCGATTGGCAAAAAACGCGTCCTTCTGCCTCCTCGAGAACTGATCTTGTTGCTGACACGTTGCAGCAGCGTCATACAAGGCCGCGTCGACGCGAGACATCGCTAGTGCACTTGTGAGGACGTCTCTGAAATCTCCTAATGTGGCGTCGGGGTGGTCCTTGAACAGCTTCGAAACGACATCTCGGAGCGGCACGCGGTCGGCGGCCGCCGTGAGGTAGGATCGCGCTAGGTCTCGCGCCACAGCTCGGACCTGCGATGCTGTAGAAGGTAATTCTCGACTCAATTTCAACGATCTCTGAGCCTCCAACAACGCATCTAAGGTAGCGAACCAAGCTCTTCGACTTTCGTGGTCCTCGCTTCTTCTAGAACACAGGCGAGTTGCCGCACTTACGGAAGCCCGCAAATCAGCCTCAGCTTCATTCAGTTCTACTTTAGAACGAGCCGCGTCCCTCAGCACCTCGAAGCGCCTCCCGAGCCCGCGCAGGATCAAATCCAACGCGCCATTACCATCACCCGTCTCCTCGAGCAGTAAGGCAGTCGCGTCGTCGATGCGATGCCGCCGACACAATTCTAGGGTTGCCTCCACGTCGTACCCGTCATGCGACGCTAAATAAGCGTGCACGCGGTGCGGCGCACTATCACAGAGCAACTCCACATACACAGCTCGTTCCTCGTCGTCGACACTCGCGTCCGTTCGAATCAGTTCATCTAGCACGACAAATTGCAGCGAAGGCTTCGCCGCCAAGGCTTGGCAGGCACCGGCCACATCATCCGGTAATACATTTGCGATGACTTGGGCCGTTTGTGACGCGTCTACTTGGGCTAGCGCTGGTAGCGCGTCCCGGATGGCTGCCGCTACGGTAGTATCCAGTCGTCGAGCCTTCTCTAGGAAGGAAGATATACTGGAAGTGATGAAGGCGAAGGCCCGCTTCTTCACGTCGAGATCCGCATGGGCTAACGAAGCTTTGATCGTTTGTGAAACGGCCTCGGCCGCTCGTTGTCGATTCTCGAGGCTCTTTTCTGATGCTAACGAATCAAGTAGTCGCGCGGCCTCGTACTCCAGGAGGATGATGGACGCTTCGCTTCGACCCTTCGCAGAAGCTTCTTTTTGTAAGGTAGAAACGTTCGCCGGTTGTAGTACTCTTAAACATTTCGGGAGGGATGCCCATGCGTCAAGGTCGTCTTCAGTAGCATCGACGTCGTCGGTGCGACCCTCCAGCGCGAGGTACCTTAATACTTCTTCACTTAGTGATTGTGTAGGTACTAACACGCCTCGCGCCGCATGAGCGGCAAGATAGGCTAAGAATAATTTCTTCGTGGAGGCGTCGCAGGCCGCTTGAGGGCCGTCCACAAAGTAAGATGAGGGCGGATCCGTCGAAGGAGGCGTCACTGATGCTGATTGGACGTTATCATATGGATTTACTACTACGGTAGCATCATACGAAGTACGTTTTAGTAAATGAGCACTGAGTAAATCTAAGGAAGCTTGCGCATCGACAGTAAAGAGTAGAGATAGATGAGGGTACTCCTGATCACTGCCCGGCCGCTTTTTACGAAGTAAAAACCACAACACAGAGGTAGTCGGCTCCACAGCCGTACCAGACGGAAACGCCAGTCCCTCGAGACAGTAGCGAGCGTACAATAAAGCCTGCCCACCTCGGTGCCTTACATCAACGCCCTCGTGGCAGGCGTCTAGCGCAATTTCTAAAGGTGCCACGAAATCACCGAGCCCTTCCACGTAAATCCGATACGTTGCGGAGTGCAACCGATGCGTCTTGAGCAAGCGTGTAAGCATGTTGAAATCCAGCGCCGTCGGGTCGAGGTGCAGCATGCATCGCTCGACGTTTACGAGTTTCCCGTTCTCTCGGAACCGCTGCACAAAGGCTTGGAGCACCTCCGGCGCTAACCTTTTCAATTTGTCCGTTAAAATGTAGGGCTCCAGCAAATCTAGATAGACGTCGCTCCTCGACGCCTTCTGGAAGGCGTGGTAGACGTCGTCGAAGAGGACGTCGAGGACGTCGACCTGCGTTGATTGATACCGTCGCGACACGGCCGCGGCTCCCGCACGAGACCCGTAGACTCTCTCGCGGCCACGTCGACGGCGTCGCGGTGGCGTGATATCGTGGAGACGCCATCTTCACAAAGTTGTTGAAGTTCAGAAAACGTGAGAAACAGACGCTGAGTCAGTCACCGCGATGCAGAACTCGACGCACACGCTCGCGAGCATCTTGAAGTGCGACCGCGCCAGGTCCAGCTGCCGCGTCGCCGCGCGCCGCGCCGGCGCGTTCGCCACGGCCAGCGCGACGTACCTTCTCAGCAAATCGATGGCGTTTGCACTTTCCGAGGCATCGTCCCCAACCGCGTCGACCTGCGAACTCAGCGCCTCGAGCCACTCGCCCGCGTCGACGAGTGAGGCGATGCGTTGTTGCGCGGATCGCGCTTCTATTTGTTGTAATTCGTTCCCTTGGAGCGCATAGACCGTATCTCTTGTAGATGCTATGTAATCACTTGAGAACGACACGGCATCGAGCTGCCGCCCCTTCCGGTCGATGAGTCGTAACACATCATCCCTACCCAGAATCATGACGCCTCGCGCGACGACGCATAGCGCGACCGCATTCGCAGGTAAGGTACAAGGCACAAAATCGACGGCCGCCCCTTCTTCTGTGGAGTTCAACGCATCCAAATCACAACCCCAGGCTCTGATCAATATGCCATCATCATTTATAGAGACGACCGCATTGTCTACCTCTGATTGTGGACGGGGCCAGGTCACGGCCACTCGTACCGAAGGCGCGAACGCGACGACGAACGAAGCACTCGTCGACGAGAACGCCGCGTAGGTCGACGACACGGATAACCAGGGCGTCACGTTCGACTTCGCATCTAGCAGACACTCGACTTCGTGGAGATACGAGCCACCCAATACTCTTTGTCGGAACACAATGCGATTCACAACACCTGATGAATCAATAGCAGCAACGGCCCGGTCGGACGCACCCCTACAGCAAAATTCGACCTTCTCTACTGACACGGCGAAGGCGTCGTCCACTTTACGTAGTTGTGAACCTTTTACCACGTCCCACAGTATCAAAGTACCAGACGCATGGCCTAGACAGGCCACGTCGTCCTCCAGTGCTACACACCGTACTGAGTCACTGGAAGCCGTCCCCAGGACCCGTCGCACTTCCTGGAAGTGGTCGAAGACCAATGCCAGACCTCTAGATGTCCCGAGCGCCACGAACTTCGGAGAAGCCCCGAGCGCGGCGGGCGCGCCGGGGCCGAGCTCGGGCCGTCGGGCGTTGGCTGCGAGCTGCCTCGACGCCGTCTTGAGCGGTTCTACCTTGAGGGCGCCGCTCGGTTTTTGTTCTGAACTAGTAGTTGCTCCTCGCGAGAGGTCGATGGGTTTACTACGATTCCGACGCTTCGTCTCCAAGGGAGACGCCTCGATCGATTCATTCTGGGCCACTAACCGTCTCTCCCGCAGCGCGAAGGGCGCTAGTCTTTCACCGCGCCACAGGACGGGCCCGACCGGGGCCGCCTGGGGCTTCTTCTCATGATGTACAGGCGACTCCGGTACGGGCGGCTCCGGTACGACGTCGTCGTCGTCGTCGTCCTCCCGCAGGATCTGCTGGAGCACGGCCCAGTCCCGGGCGCTGTAGGACTCCTCGTTCGTCGTCGGGGCGCGGTACTCTTGTAATGGAGAAGAGGCGCCATCTTCTTTCAGGATGTCTTCTAGGGATAAGCCGCCTCCCTCTAAGCCGTCGTCGCTGTCCGATTCCGCTAAAATTGCTTCTAGGTCGGCGTCCATTGGCTCTGCTGTGAGTGCTGTGAGTGCTGCTGTATGTGATCTGCTATTTCTAGCGCTGCGGACGCGGTCCGGCCGCAGTAGCGCTTGCAGCAGGAGTGATACTGCTTGCAGCAGCGCAGATCTTGTGCGCTGCCGCGCTCTCGCACGCTTGATGCGGCTGGTCGCAAGCTCGTCCAAAAAGCTGGGCTAGCGGTCGTAAGACACTAGCAAGCATAAAACGGCGAGACGTTTGTAAGCGCGCGATGCGTTCGAGCACCCATCCCTGCGCTGGAAGTACGTGTTGCGCTCGCAGGGCCGTGTCTCGTATCCGTGATTGGCTTTGGCTTTACGCGCGCGCTCTCGCGGTGCGCGACATTCGTTGCTGCTAGAACCGGTCTCTACGAGTCCACCCAACCCTCCGTACCACAACTAAACTCTGAACTCCTCGCCCGGAATTATGATTTGAAACCCGAACATCGATGGTCCTGGCACAATCTCAGGGAGGTTTTGCATCACTGCTACGTTGTCGGGCTAACACGTGGATCTGAAGCGCTTTGGCGCAAGCCAATTAAACCGCTTTAACCGACAGGCGGGCTTGAACGCATCGATAAGAACCCATAAGAGCCATCAGAGCTCTTAACAACTGTGAATCGCAGAGTTGAAGCGAGAACCGCAGCGCTAAGCGATTTGTTCGGCTCTGTCTGATACAGCGCGCAAAGACATCTAACTCACCATCAACATTGGCCGCCGCCACAAGGGGCGACCTGCATTAACAACACCAAAAACACAACCGCGCGTTCACCGCGTCTCACCGCGCACCGCCCAATTCACAGTGCACAAAGTCAAATTTCGCGGCGCCGTCGCGGAATCGCCGCGGCGACCTCGACGCCATCGACGCGACGCGCGAAGGAGACGAGGGCATCCTCAGGAGGAACTAAACTCACCGCGGTTGATGCGCGCAGGTACCTATGGGACTGCTCCGCACCATATTCCTCCGCTCCAACTCCGGCCGCCGCGACGCCGCTGTGCACTTCGTCAGCTCCCTAACGAAGGCCACGGCGGCGACGCCGACCTTTGGAGACTACACCTCGCCGCCGGGGTTCACGCGCGAGTTGCCGCCGGAACCGGAGAAGTCCTGGAGCTACTACACTCCATTTCTCATCTACGCGTTCGCGGCGCTGGCGTTATTTTTGGCCGTCTTCTTGCGCGGGAGCCACAATGTCTTCTTCCTCGGCCTCGTCAACGGCGCGGTGCTCGCGGCCTGCTGCTGCCTGCGTGACTCGCCGCGGAAGTCATACCACAACCTGAGTCAACCGTGACCATCATCATTCATCATCCAAGTGTCGCCACAAGGGCGACCGTCTGTCGATATTCCTCCTGCCGCCCCCTAGTTGCTTGCGTGCACATAAAGTGAGGCGCGGCCTCCTTCTATATATGTTCCTTGAGGGAGTGAGTCGCGTCGACGGCGTATAGGGAAGAATCCATGCACGAGATACTTAGAGAGGGAGAGGACCTAGCCGCCCTGCGTCGTCCTTCTCTTCTTCGTCGCGAACCCGTCCAGCGTCTGCTGCCCTCGAATCGGGGCATTGAGCTTGAACACCTTGAGGTGGTTCGACTGCGGCAGACTTGATAAATCCTGGGGCGTGATGAAGACGAACTGCCGGTTCGGCATCTCCCTCGCCATGTCGACCAATTCTTGCATCGCGACTTTACGACTGACCTGGTCCATGAAGACGTCGAACTCGTCCATCACGCGGAAGGGGCATTCTATGGTAGCACCCAGCGACACGAGCATGGCCAGCGTCGAGAAGGACCGCTCCCCGCCCGACAACGACTGGATGTTGTCGATCTGCGTCGTCTCATCTTGATTATCTTTTTGGTAGGTCATTTTTAGGGTCGCGTCTTCGTGGTCGAAGCGCAGAGCGCCACTTGAACCTTTTTTCTGCAGTATTTTATCGAATTCGCGGTTCGACATCCTGCAGATGTGCTTCCGGATGCGTCTCAGGCGGTCATAGCGCGCGTGCGCGTCCTCCCGGAGCTGGATCCCCTCCTGCTCGATCTGCTTGCAGCCGGCCTCCTTCTCCGCGTAGGCGAGCTGCGCCCGCTCCATCTTTTGTTTGGCGACTTCCGGGTCCGTCTCCTTGCCGCCGCGCTTCTCGAGCTGCTGCTCCTTCATTTTTTCGGTGTGGTTGATCTTCGCGAGGACCTGCGTTTGATCAATGTGTCGCGTCGGCGGCGTATGCGCCCGACGCCATCGCCGCGACCCGTGAAGATGGCTCTCTGTCTCTCGTGAGATGCGGACGCCGACTCAGGACCGCGTCCTCGTTCTTGAACCGCTTGATCTCGTCGTTGGGCGGTCGGTAGTCCTCGTCGTCCAGCAGCTTCTTCGTGAAGCGCCGGGCCTTATCCAGCACTTCCTGCAACCGCTTGTCCTCCTCCTTCACTAAATCCTCGCGCTGCGACACCTTCTTCTCGAGGTCGAGGCACGCGGCCTTGGCCTTCTCGAGGCGCTTCTTGAGCTTCTTCTGGCCCTCGAGGGCTTTCGTCATCTCCTGTTCCTTGGCGGCCTGGTCTCTATCGAGCTTGTCGTTTCTTTTAACCAAGTCGGCTCGCGCCTTCTCGAAGGGCCGCATCTTCTCTTTTTCCGCCTTCACATCATTTGCTTTTTGGGACCTGCGAGCGACGCGTGAGCCTGACGCCATCGACGCGACGACGACCCGATAATTCTTCACGAAGTCTCTCGGCGACGACGCGGCCGTGATGACTGAATCGAGGGGTGTAAGACCCACACCGCCACGCCATCAAGCAGGCGTCGCGGCGATGGCGTGAAAATGGGACGCCGGCACCCACAGCGTCTCCCTCGCATTTCGGATCTCGCGCTCCATGTCGGCGAGGTCGTCTTCGAGCGCCGACGTGTCGTCCAAAACTACCGCTTCGTCGGCCTTGTCCTGCACTTCTCTATGTTGCGCTTTCGCCTCTCTGGCATCTCGTTCCGCTTTGGTGTGGGCCTTCTTCGCCCGATCGACCTCGCGGATCGCGTTACTATCAGCCTTCTGGGCTTTATCAAAAGTTGCTCTAGCCGTCTTGGCCTTGGCCGCGGCGTCCTTGTGTCTCTTGGATGAAGCTTGGGCCGCCTTCTTGGCCGCCGGGATGTCCCTCGACGCGTCGACGCCGAGCGCGACGCCCTTGCGCGCGGACGGCCGCTTCACATACAAGTTGCCCTTCTTCGCGCCTGTTATAGAGCCATCTCTCAGTACCAACATCTCAACACCTGGAGCATGGGACCAGACGCCCCTTGATTGCGTCATGCCCTTGCTCTCGGCTTCAGCCTTGTCCTCGAACACGCAAGTGACGTCCGCGCGCGCCATGTCTACCAAGGCATTGTAACAAGCATCATCATCAACATTCAGTAAATCCAACATCGACGTCTGGTTCGGCGGCTTCCGCACGTTATGACGCGGACGAGGCTTCTGGATGATAATCGTGAGCCGCGCATCGCAGCGCAGCTTCCGCGCGATCTGTAGCAGTGCGGACCGATCCGCGGGCGTCGCCACGATCCAGTTCGAGAGGTGCCTTCCCACGATCTCGCCGAGGGCGGCGCCCCACTTTTTATGTTCCTTCTTTGCTAGTGTCACATGGGCACCAATAGGGCCGACGGGCCTCCTACTGAATGAGCGAGCAGCCTTATTGACTTCATCAGATAAACGTTGTTGGTAGTCGCCGAACGCAGCTAACGGGTTTCTCGCGGTACTTTCAAGCATGGCCAGGTGGCGCTTATCATCATCAGCTTCCGCCCTCGCGTCTTTTTCCGCCTCGCGAGCGGCGCGATCGGCCTCCTCGAGATCACTCAAACCGCTTCGTAACTCATTCGCTTCGCGCTGCCGCTCCTCCAGCGCCTCCGCCCTCGCCCGCAGCGCTTCGTCACAATCAGCGACCTTCTGAGCCAACTCCGCCGCCCGCGCCCCCGCCGCGTTCTGGGCGTGCGCCGCCGTCCGCCGCTGGTTCTCCTTGCGCTTCTTCTCGAGCTCCTTGCGGATCTCGCCCTTGTCCTTCTCGAGACCCGCTAGTAGATCTTTTTGTTGCTTCTCGAGGCGCTGGGCCGCCTTGACGCACTTCTCCTGGGTCGCCAACGCCCGCGTCGCCTCCGTCGTCGAGTCGCGGCAGGCCTTCATCTCGTCGTTGCCCCTGGAGATGGCATCTTCCAGCGCTTTTACTTGATCGTCGCCGCCGCTTTCTAGCGCGTCCTCGTGCTCCTTTTGCAAGGATTGGGCGTCCGTCAACTCCTGGCGCTTCTCTCTGACACCCTCTTCGGCGTTCTCCTTGGCGCGCTCGCAGCCGCGCACGGAGACCCAGCCGAGCAGGACCTGCGTCGCGGCGACCGCGTCACGCGTGGATCTGACTCTCCGACGATCGTGAAGACGACGGCGTGACGTCGCATCGACGCCATCGACGCGACCCGCTCACGCGTGGACTCTCTCGCGGCCGCGTCGACGGCGTCGATGCGACGCGGTCTCGTGACGACGCCATCGACGCGACGCGACATGAGACGCGGCACCGCGCCTTCAGGTCCCGGATCTCCTCATCATATTTAGCAAGACGCATGACTTCTTCATATTCGCGTTGCGCGTTCTGCGCCAGCCGCGCGAACGATTCCAGCTTCGTCCGCTGGTGCTCCGCGTCGCTAATGCACTTGTCCGCGGCGTTCGTGGCCCGTTTAATGCGCTCCATCACGTCCTGAATTTCCGTCGCCCGCAAAAAAAACTTGTACTTGTCCTTGGCCTTGCCGCGGATGAAATGCTTCGAGTTCTCTTGATCTAGGACGCAGACGGGATTGTCCACAGAAATTTTGAGAGAATCTAACAAACTACGTAGCTCCTTTCTGTCGGACGTCACCTTCTCGTCGTTCTCGTTGAGCATTTCTAATTTACCACCGCCCTTCTTGCCGAAACTTCTTCTGATACCAATCGTGTCGCCGTAGGTCTCGTGGCGGAAGGCGTCCGTGCCCTCGTTGACGAGCTTGACAACCACTTTTGCAGTAGCATCGCTACCTTCCCTTACGAGATCGCCGAGCTTGTTGCCCCGATGCGTCTGTTTGGCCGAAGCGCCCAAACAGATCTGCATCGCCGCCAAGATGGCACTTTTCCCGGACCCGTTCGCGCCATTAATGAAGTTGATCCTCCTCCCGAGCTTAATTTCCAACTTCTTGTGGCACATGAAGTTCTCGCAGTATATTTCCTTGATGAGGCCTGCGGAACTCGAGTCCTCGGCGTCTTCTCTCGCTATGCGGCCGGCCAAGCGGCGCTCCGCGGCGTCCGCTCTGGCGTCCTCGTCCTCGTCATCCTCGTCGTCGTCGGCTCCTAGTTGTTCAAACTCCTCGTCTTCGTCTCTCGAGCGTTTCGAGCCCGTGGACGCGCGGCGGTCGACGGGGCCCGTGTCTCCATCGTCGTCGTCCTCCTCCTCGGGCGGCGGCGGCGGCGGCGCTTCGTCTAGTTCTTCGTCGTCGTCCTCCTGATAGACTACTTTGGCCTTCTTGCGGCGCGGCGGCATCCTTGCGCGCGCTTGTTTGTTTTACGGGCTCAGGCTGAGCCTTTGCTTCCCTGCTCGGCGCGCGACGCGGCGGCACGGGAACGCGTTAGCTGAGCGCTTGGGCGTATTTTGACAGCGCTCTGGGGTCCAGCGCGTCTCACAATGGTCCGCAGCGCGTTTAAATGCGAGGGTCGCGTCGATGGCGGGACCATTCTAGCGTGCCCGTAACACACTAGCAATCATTCGCGTTTGCAGAACAGGAATCCACATGGCTACGAACTTAAGAGGGGAGAGGAGGGACTACAACTAGAGCTTCGCGACGGCCCCGAGCACCTTCGCCGCGTCGGGGAGCACGTGCACGACCGCGTCGTAGACGCGCGCCGTCTTTGCATCAAACGCCAGGGCGCGCAAGGCCCGCGCGAGGCCCTCCAGGTCGCCGTCGCTCCCGTTCGTCCCGACGCGCACCGCGCACCGCGCGACGACGTCCGCTACTTTATGGAACGCGTCCGGCCCTGCGTTCACTGCAAAGCGGGACGCGACGCGTTCCAGCGCGCCGACATCCTCGGCGAGGGACCGGTCGCGGGGATCAACAGAATGAACGCCTCGACAGAAGCGCGCTAAATGACTGCGCAGGGCGTCGAGCGCCTGGCGGACGTCGGCGTGTTCCGGCGGCGCGACGACCGTGACCTTTTCGACGGGCGGCGTCATGGATGGTGGAGGCGGCAGGCGGAAGCCCGGCCTCGACGGCGCCTTCTCGACGCGGCCCGCCAGAAATCCGGGCGCCGCCGTCGCTGTTGTGTCGAGGCGCCAGCCGACGGACGCGCCGGTCAACGCCTCGCTATAAGGCAAGGTCGGCACGCACGGCGCCGAGGGCGGTTTCGGCTTCCCGATGGCGTCGAGCCGCGCGACTTCGGCCGCGACGACTTCTCTCGCGCCGGGCCGGTCCTTGGGGCGGCCTTAATTAAAGCGCTCGCGGCTCCGGTGCGAGATCTGTGGGGCTCGGCGGCCGTTCACAGCACGGGGATAGTCGCCAGGCACGGCGCGCACCCCCAAAGCGTGGGGAATGGTGCTGAATTTTAGCGGTAGCGTAGGCGGAGTTAAGCTTCGACAGGTACCGTGCGGGGTTACCTCACTCCGTATCCGCTCAAAGAGGCGTCAAGGCCCACTCCTGTACGTGTCCTGCGTCACGCGCACCGGAATTGTACTGGTGTGGCGGACTTCGCCGGCCGTCTCGCGGCGCGATCGCATAACACGTACACCTCCGGTGCTTGTAGTATCACGTCGGTACCGCGAGCGTTCATATCGGTGCGGCTCGCACGAGCTGCGTGCGGCCGCCATTAATTGCGCGCGGGTTTTGCCCCCTCACAACCGAGGCCCTCACAGCCTCTACGCGCAGTAACGATGGTATACGGACTTTGCAACGAAGCCAGGAGCTCTTCGCACTGCAGCGACCCGAGAACAGTACTCACAAAGCATCCGTGAGCTCGACCAGCCCAGTGCTCTCCTGCAGTCTGCAGCTGCACTGCTCACAGAAACCGCATAAATGCCGCGCAAGCGCAAGCAACCCTCGGAGAGCAACAGGACCTACAAAACACCAGCACCAATGCGATTACTCGTGCTGGCAACAACGGCACTCGCCAGGAAGACGACGCGCGAAGAGCAGCACGCCATCGCCGCCCTGCCTACGGTCAGCGGCAACCCGCTCGTCTCGCTCGAGCACATCAATTTGAGCAGCGGCGACAAATGGAGTGAGCGCGTAGACGCCTTCTACTTTGACGTCTTGCGATGCGCGCGCGACCCGCGGTCGCCGGCCGTGCTGGCCCGCACGAATAGCGCGCGCGCGAAGCAGAATAGGCCCGGCGTCGCGAATCAGAGCTGGGCCAATATTGGTTTTCAACAATTTCATTTACTATTTGGAGACGGTCTCGATGATGAGATGAACCAGCCGCCCCAGCAGAGACTACGAGGAGAGATCGTCCTCGCCTGGCCGCGTTCGAAGATGAAGGGGCTCTACGCGCGGCTGGCCGAGTGGGGCGCTTCGTTTACTGGTATCGGAACGTTTGAAGGTCCCTTCGGCAACCGCTTCCGGCTCGTCGCCGCCGACGAGTTGCTGGCACCCCTTCCGGACGCGACCGCGGACGATTTACCGCCGGGCGGCGACTCCGAGGGCCTCGGCATCCTGGCGGTGCGATTCGACGCGCCGCGGGGCACGAGCGGCGCGATCTGCGAGTTTTATAGTTCTGTGTTTGGGGCGACGGCGGAGGCGGGCGCCGGGCGGTGCGTTGTTTCCGTCGGCGCCGCGCAGACGCTCGAGTTCGTCGAGGCCGACGACGTGGCGGCCTACGACGGGCACCACATCGCGCTCTACGTCGACGGCGCCGCGTTCGTGCGCGGCTACGCGGCTTTGAAGGCACGCGGCCTCGTCTTCGAGAACCGGCGGTTTCTGCAATTCACGTGTCGCGCGGCGTCCTCGATGGGCGCCGGGCGCCGCCCATACGCCATCGCCGCGACCGAACACACTCCCTCGTCGCCGTCGACGCGGCCGGCCGTCTCATGGTCTCGCGCGCAGGTACGGAACGCTCGCGGACGCCATGAAACACGACGAGTTCCGCGTCAAGGACATCGCCGGAAATGACAATCAAATTGTCTACGAGCTCGAACACGAGGTCCGGACGCTCAGGCATCCGGGCTTCGTCGCCAAGCGATGGACAAGACAAGAGCTCTAGTAACGGGGCAAATTTTTCTTTACTAACGATCTAGTTGGGGGTCAGGACGAAAGCGAGTCTACTTCATCTCGTTCTCGAGGTTCGTGTTGTCCTGGAGGTAGTTCATGTACTGGTCCTTCGCCGACCGCTCGAGCTCCGGGTCGACCTTGCCCGAGAGCGGGTCCGTGCCCAGCGGCCGTCTGAACAAAAAGATGTGGCGCTCGGGCCGGTGGATCATGAAGTGCTGCCAGCCCCTCGACATCTGGATGCCGGCGTTGCGCCACTCCTGCTCGCTCATGAGCGTCGACCGCGGCAGCGTCTTGGCGAGCTCCTTGGGCATGATCACGTGGCGGTACTCGTAGTTCTCATCATTATATTTCTCGGAGTACTCGATGCGGCTGATGAGGTCGGAGTTGACCATCGTTCCGCGGCCGGGCGACGCTGTACGTCGTGGGCCTTGTGCGTCGCGTTGGAGATGATGGACCTGCGTGCGGCGGCGGCGTGGGCGGGCTGCGTGGCTGGCCTCGAGTCCTCTCGCGCGTTGTCTGGCGTGGGGGGAGCGAGCCACGTGCCGGCCGCCGCGGCCTCGCGACGCGCATCCCTCTTCGATGCGTGCGATCCGCGCGCGGCTGGCCGCCAGCCCTCTCGATGTGAGTTGTGGCTGGCGCGGCTGCTCGGCAGCGCCCGAGGCGCCGCTTAGCCGACTCCACGATGAGCAACCGCCAGATGCCAAAACCACTCGAAACGGGCTGGCGCCACAGCAGGGGCGGGCTGGCGTTAGCAGGCATCTGAGAGCAGCGAAAATATCACAGACACGGCTGGGCACCGGTTGGGGAATCCAGATTACCCAGCAAAAGCCGCGCCAAAAAACGACTAAAAAAAGCTAAACTAAGTGTGTTTACGCTAGGTGATTAACTTGCAACTCAACATGACAAGGGGCGCTACGAGCCCGCATGGCTCCGATAACTCGTCGATAAGCAGCCAAGATGGCCAAGCGCGCCGTGCGCTGGGCGGAGGCCGTCGACGTCGAGCAGACCACGCGCCAGTGGGCAGCCCCAGCACCACCCGCAGCAGGCGCGGGCCGCCCTCGGGGCGTCGGCGGAGGAGGCGGAGGCGCTCCACCACCATCATCACCATCGTGCGCCGTGTGCGGCGGCAAGCCCACAGAAGGCGCCGCCCTACCGTGCTGCGCGCGGCCGCTCTGCGGCAGCTGCGGCGTGCCGCGCCGGTGTCCCCGCTGTAAGGCTCCGGTGCCGACGAGCGAGGCAGCCATCGCCGCAGCGCTGCAGCGAGCAGCGACCGACTGCGCATCCGCGGCGCGGCGCCTGGGCGTGGCCTACGCGAAGGGCGAGCTCGGCCTCGCGCAGGACGAGCGCCGCGCCGCGCAGCTCTACAAGGCCGCCGCGGCGCGGGGCGACGCCGCCGCGCAGCACAATTTGGGCTTGATGTACATGAGCGGCGGCAAGGCCCCAAAGGCCCTCAAGTGGTTCCGGGCCGCTGCGGCGCAGAACCACGCGCCCTCCGTGTACAACCTCGCGACGGCGTACGCGTTCGGCACAGGCGTGCCGCGCGACGCCGACGAGGCTTCAACGTTGTATCGGCGCGCGGCGATGCTCGGAAGCGCCGACGCGGCCTACGCGCTCGGGCGCCTCGAGCCCGACGCCGTCGCTGCGCGCGAGTACTTTGTGGTCGCGGCGCGGCGGGGGCACCGGCTCGCCGCGGCGGCGCTGCGTGAGGGGTAATTTTTTGTGAATGTGAATTGTGGCTTATACCGACGGCGTCTCGCGGGCGCGGAGCGCGGCTCGCGCGTTTCGCAAATCCCGCTCAACCCCCGTTGTGAGCGGGTGCGCACCGCCGAGCAAACGCCGCACGATCGGTTCAATCTCCACGAGCGTCGTCACGGCCTCGCGGACATCGTCGAGCGTGGCACCGGGGTCTTTATAGAGCGCCGTCGCGAAATTCCACCGCATCTTGAGCGTGAGATCATCACTCTCTCCAAGAACGCGTCGCGCCACGGATACTGTTTTGCGGAACAGTGCCTTGGATTCTTCGAAGCGCTGCATTTCAATAAGGAGATTCGCGTAGTTGCTGGCCGCTCGGAGGGTCTCTTCCTGCTCTTCGCCATTGAGCTTCAAACGTCCGCGGTATACATCTCGCTCCATGCTTAGGGCCTTCTCATGGCGTCCAACCGCTTCATACGTGGCCGCAAGACAACTCTGCGTGTTTATCACGGACCTGCTCGGCGACGTGTTCACGGGCGGTGGTCCGAGGTGCTGGCCAGAATTTGGGTTGCAGTGGGCGCGCGAGAACGGGTTCGTGCCCGTCCGCGTGCAGCCGGGCGACCCGTGCGCCTACCAGTACCCGTTCCTGTACTTGTCGAAGCCGTGCAAGGCCGGGGCGCTGCTGGGCCGCGCGGGGCCCGTCGGCGCGAGCGACCTCGCGTACGCGTTCGACGACGAGGTCCTCCGCGGCCTCGACGTGCCGTTTCTCCGCGACGTCGATACACTCGTCGAGGCCATGGTCGCCGAAGATCCCTCGCTCGCCCGCGTCGCGCCGGAGATGGTTACGCGGGACCTCTCTGAATAAAGTGCCCTTCTTTCCTTCCAGGCTCAGGCTAGTTACGTCGCGGGGCCCCCGTACCCCTCCCGCTCCCCCCGGGCCCACCCGTCCGGCTGGACTAGGACGCAAGGGGTGAGTCGCATGCTTCCTTCCTAGTGCCTTACAGGCCGCTAGCTAAAGCGCTTGAGCCGAGCAGGAGGCAAGTGGAAGCTACAGCGAGTGGCAACGTCTTTGATAGGCAGCAGTGCTGGTGAAAATCCACTCCGACCAAGCAGGCTCGTGATTGCCATCGCTGCCGACCGCTACATTTTGAGCAGCTGCACACTGCACGCTGCACAACTGCACGCTGCACACACAGCTCGCTAGACGCCATCGCCGCAGCGCAAAAGCAAGCAAAAAATGGCAACAGAGCCCTTCGCCTGGGCCTCCGACGAAAGACTCCTCCTGCGCGTCGCCCCCGACGCGCCGCTCGCGCTGCGCGGCGCGGTGACGCTGCGCTGCCTCCGGGGCGCCGCGGCGTGCCACGGCCACGTCTTACGACACAATCAAACAGTCCTCGCGCACGCGACGAGCCCGGCGCTCGTGCTCCGCTACGAGCGCGCCGGCGACGAGACGGTCGAGGACGCGCCGGCGTGGCTCTGCGATCATGTTGTCGTCGAGGTGACCGCGGCAACAAACCAACAATTGGCGGTCACTGAGGCGCCGAACGTGGCCAACATCGTGCGTTTCGAGGGCGTGGCCGTGGCGCCCGTAACACATGCAGCCATCTGGCGGCCCCTCGCGGAGCCGCAGCCCTGGCGCGAGGCAGCATTAAGGTTCGCGTCCATCACTTCGGTGATGGCCCTCGGCGCGCAAAACGCCGGCAAGTCGACGCTCTGCCGTTATTTGGCGAACGCGTCCACACAAAAGGTCGCCTTGCTCGATTTGGATTGTGGCCAGCCCCTAAGCGGCCCGCCGGGCTTCGTCTCACTCAGACTGCTCGATGGCCCCTTCCTCGCGGAGACGGCCGCCGACAGCAATTTTGAGCGACGGATATATCTCGGCGCCACCACGCCCTCGGACGCGCCCGACGCCTACGTCGCGGCCGCCGCTTTACTAAAAGCGCACTGGGCCGCACACTTACGAGACACGAAGCTCGTCGTCAACGCCTGCGGCTGGGTCACGGGTTTGGGTGCCGAGATTACCGCTGGTTTGATTTCCACCATAACGCCGGACGCGTGCTGTATTTGTGGCGACGACGCCTTTTCTCGGAGGCCGCCGCTATGCAACGTGATCCCGAGCCGCATCGACTGCGGATCCATAATCTGCGAGAATCGCGGCGCGCCGGCGGCCGCGCGGCGCGTTTTGAGGCTCGCGGCCTACTTTTCCCAGAAACTGAACGTGGACACCGGCCCGCGCGACGCGAACGGCGCGTTAGCCGACGCGACGGGCCGCGTCGCCGACGCAATATGTCGCGCGCGCGGGACGCGGCTCGCGCTCTCTTCTACTGTTTTGGTAATGGTCGGCTCCGCGCGCGACGACGCGCCCCGTTGTGGCGAGGAAGCCGTCGAAGTCTTGCGGGGCGCGTTGGTGGCGGTGGCTTCATCCATCGATGATGTGCCTTTGCTAATACGCGCGACGGCGGCGACGCCTGGAGTAGCTCTAGGCGGCGCGTGGAGCGACGCGTTACATTGCCGCGGCCTCGCGCTCGTGCGGGACGTCGGCCGCGGGTTCGTGGACGTGTACGCGCCCTTTGAGGTATGTGAGGGCGACCTCTTGCTGCGGGGCGTGCTGGCGCCGCCCGTCGAGCTGCTGTACCGGGGTCCCGACCACGTGCGCTTCGACTTTTTGTCGTCGGAGTCGGTCGGTGCCGACCACGCCATGCGTGGGCGGGGCGGGATCATGCGCAAAGCGGCGAAGCGCGGGCGTGATGATGATGATGATGGCCGCGCGTCGCCCGGGCATTACGGGCCCGCCAGCTAATGTTGTTTGTTCTCTTTTTCGGCTTTTAGTCGATGTTACGGTGCCTTTTTCCTTTTCGTCAGCTAGCGGTAAGACACTAGCAAGCAGCCGGCTTTGCGGCGGGCCTCGTAAAAGACCGCGCACGACGAACTATACGCGCATCGCTCGGCAACAGACTCTGGTAGTGCAACGCGGCCAGCCGCCGTATCGTCTTTGATACGTACGACGCTGCGCGCATCGCTGCAGCCGCACGCCATCGACGCGCCTCGTTGACATATGCCGCCCGCGCAAGTCGCGCCGGGCCTCTACCTCGGCGACCGGAAGGACGCCAAGGACCGCGCGGCGCTGCGGCGCCTCGGCATCCAATCAATCGTCAACTGCACGCCGCCGAAGAGCGAGGATCCGGCCGCGGGCTGCCCGTCGTTTTTTGAAAGGGAGCTGCGTTATCTTAGAGTGCCTATATATGACTCGCCGGCCGAGGACGCGGCCGAGCACTTCGCTGCCGTGCTCGACTTCATCGCCTCGAGGCTTCATTATGGGGGAGTTCTTGTGCACTGCAACCGCGGTGTTTCTAGATCGGCGACTTTCGTCGTCGCGCACCTGATGAAGACGCGGGCGCTCGACCCAGCCTCGGCGCTCGAGCTGGTGCGCGCCGCGAGGCCGCAGGCGGAGCCTAATGCGGCCTTCCTCAAGCAGCTCGACGTATTACATACGGAGCTCGAGGCGTCCCGGAAGCGCGACGCGCAGCGGATGGGCGGCCCGGTCGCGCCGGCGAAGCCTCCAGCGCCTCGCCCCGTCGCGGGACCGGCGCGGCCTGAACGACGCGCGGGCCCCGCGCCTCGACCGGTTGCCACGGCACCGGCGCGACCAAAATGCGCCGGTCCCGCGCCGCGGCCACTCCCCACGGCGCCGGCGCGGCCCGAACGAGCGATCGGAGCGCCTCCGCGGCCCGGTGCCGACGACGACGGCCGCGCGGAGGCGTTCGCGGCCGCGTTGGAACGCGTCGCGGCGGCGGCGGCAGCCGTCGGCCCCGAGAAGCGCCCCGCGCCAGGTGCGCCCCTCGGACCGTTACCGAAGAAGCCAAAGTAAATTTGACACTATTATGTTTAAGACTGCCCGTCGGCGACGGCCAGCGACCCTATCCAATCACGCGAGGGACTTCTCGAGCACCCACCCGTTCCAGGCGAGGTGCTCATCCGGGACTTTCTCCAAAGCGTCGGCCCACTCCGCCGCGATGCCGCAGCGGCGGATCAGCACCGCGTCGGCGGGCGACTCGAGGCGCTCGCCGTCGGCGGACGGCCGCGTCGCAAGCACTAAATCAGAAATGAAGGCGTCCGTGACGGAGCGGCGCGTCGCGTCGCCGCGCGACCAGACGTTGTGGCAGAAGAAGCCCTCGCGGTGCGCGCGCCACGTCCGCTCCAATTCCCGGTCCTCGACGTTCGCGAGGATGCTCTCGACGGCGAAGGCCGTGCAGAGCTGCAAGGCCAATTCATACGTTGCCGCGCGGAAGGGCGACGCCCTACTCCCATCGGCATCCCCCAGCCGCGACTCGTCGAAGGACGGCCGGTCCTCGTCGTACAACGCCCGCGCCTTTGAAAGTTCATTGTCCTTCCGCGGCAGCTCTCTCAAATCATCGATGAGTTCGCCCGAGATCTGCTCCCGGATCGCAAAGAGCTGCCGACAGATCGCCTTCGGGCGGATGTCCATCGTGTACTCGTGGTAGCGCTTCTGGAGGTAGGGGTTCACGCTCCGGTTGATGTACGTGCCCGTCCGCGAGTCGTACGACCGCGACTCGTGGCCGCCGCCGCAGCCCATCTCCTTCTTGATCAAGATCTCGATGTCCGGCTCCTCCAGTAATCTACAGAGGTAGTCCCTCGACGTAGATGTTGGTAACGCATCCACGCCGTGGTAGTCCTCGTCGAGCGGCGGCGCGCGCGTGCGATACTCGTCGTCGCCGGGGGGCGGTCTTAGATACTCAGCCAGGTAGTCGTGGCTCGTGCCGTCGGCCGTCAAGGAGAAATAGTAGAGCTGCTGCTGGACGCTGCGCTGCGTCACGAAGCGCGACAAAGCTTTGGGCTCGACCAAGTCCGGTGGCGGGCCGCGCTTCGCCCACCTTTCCGGCGGCGGCTGCAGCGCGGCGGCCGTCGCGAGCACGGCGAGCGATCGGAGGCAAACCATTCTGTTTCTGGCGGTTTTTTCGCGTCGATCGCGTCGAGGGCTGACAAGCAGACGTGTGTGTGCTTGCTTCGTCCCTCTACGCGCGGCGAGACGGCTGGAAATATGAAAAGAATTTGGAGCTCTCTGCCTTGTTGGGAGCCCTGCCGCGTCGAGAGCCAACCAAAGGCTGCCAACGTGTTGCAGAACACAAGTTGGCAGTCTCCTGGCTGCTCCTACAGTCCTAGGACGGCTGCCAGCTCGCAGCGCGTCGAGCGGCGGTTTTTTTGAGGCTAATCCCCGTGGCTAGCGGTATGTAAGACACTAGCAAGCGGAGCTTATCGTAGATTTGTCCTAGCACCGTAACTATAATAGGTTTGATATAGCGATGGTGCGTCCGGACCGTTCAATTTCAGAAACAACGTAAGGTACAAGTCAAAACAACAAACTTACGAGCCCGGTGGCGCCGAGGCCGCGGCCCGCTCGGCCTCCTGGATCCTCCGCGGCGCCCAGGACCCGCAGGAGACGCCCGCCGCGGCGGCGGCCGCGTCGTCGAGCGGGATCGTCTCCGGCGCGTCGAGCCACCCCCCCAGCTGCGCGCGCGCCGCGGGAGTGGGCGCGATGCGCGGCCGCCACTCTTCTCTTAAGTCCCGGAGCTCGCTTTCGTCGAGGTCGCCGACGAAGTGCGGATACCAGTCGAAGATCCTGGACAACACAAGCGCGGTTGCGACCGACAGGTTGAGCGACGACGTGAAGCCGCGCAAGGGAAAGTAGACTTTCTGCGTCGCCGCGGCCAGGAACGCCGGGTCGCAGCCGTCCGCTTCTCTTCTGATCACGACGGCGACCTTCGCCGGGGTTAAATCAGGCGGCCGATCGCTTCCGAGCTCGACGGCGCCCTCCCCGTCCGCCGCGCACCAGATGTCCCAGCCCTCGACGCGCAGCGCCGACACGCACGACGCCACGTTATCAAAACGCTGCAGGCTCAGCCATCCATCAGCTCCCTTCGCTACACTCTTCGTGTCGCGCTTCGGCCGCTTCTTCTGCGGTTGGAGCGGCGGTGCGACGGTCCACACGTGCTGCACACCCAGCGCCTCGGCGCAGCGGTGCGCCGCCGCCTCGTTGTGCGGGTCCGTGATTCTATCGAGGACTAACAAAACGGACTTCGTTCGCTTTCGCAGGACGCGCTCGCAGCGGATGACGCGCGGTGGGCATTGGTCTGTTGCAGCGGTGTGCTCTGCTTGCATCCTGTTGATGTTGCGTTAGCACGCACTGTGTGAGGAGCAGTGCTAATATTGGCCACTAAGCCACGTATCGGTTGCGGCTTTGCCTGCAGCGTGAATGGTGTGACTGATAACACCTTTTCCTGCGCACAATGATCTCAGCAGCGTCTTAGCGCTTGCGTACGGCCTCAGCTTGCTTGCCTGGGGCATCCCTAGTGTCTTACAGGCCGCTAGCGGGCCGAAGCGCGGCGGTACCCCTCGCCTCGCCCGGACGCATTATAGTACCACTCCTTACGCATTACTCTCCGCAGAAAGCAGCGCGACGTAGTCCTCGTAGTAGATGCGCCCCGTTTCTTCATCTTTAGCAACTTCCATGAAGGCCTCGATCTCCTTCTCGCGGAAGGGCGTGCCCTTCGTGATTAAGGCTTCCCGCAACTTCGTGGCTTCGACGTAGCCCCTACCTTCCTCGTCGAAGGCGCGAAAACATTGCAGTAGTGTTTCATCGCTATCGGGCTCGAACTCGCCTCCAGCTAATAACTCAAGCATCTTCGGTTCAAACGTTTCGTACTTCACGAAGGCAGAAGCTTCTTCCCCCATCATGTCCGGTAGAATCTCCTTTACGACGGCTCTCTCCGTAGGATAAGCCCCAAGGTACCGCATGATCGTGGCCACTTCTTCTTGCACGACGCAGCCCTTCCGGTCCTTGTCGAAGAGTTGAAACGCTTCCCGGATGCGTTTTTTGGTTTCTAAATACCAAGTTTCATCGCGGGGCTCCCCCATGGCTGCCTACCGTACTCTGGAGCAAGTTTTTGGGGCAGCACAGTCTCCCTTGGTCCGCCGCGCGTCGTTTCAGCTGCAGCGGTGCGTTCGGTGAGTCCTACCGGGCGGCAGGCGCGCCGACGGCGTGTGGCAGGGCGTTTATAGGCTGCCCTGCGCTGTGCCCAGCAGGCGGGCTCACCGCTAGGGACCGCGCCGTCCTCCGGGCCGGCGTCCGACCTCTCGCAGCCCTCGCCGCGCGCGGTAGGACGTCTGTCACGCCGCGGAACAACCGGCGCAAACCCGTCACACGATCTCACATGCACTTTTGCAGAGCAGCCGAACAAACTGCCCGGAGCTCCGCCGGGGCAGCTCCATTCGCGGCGTCGCTGACCATGGCCATGCGCGTCGGCCTCGTCCTCCTGCTCGCGCACTGCGCCGCGCGCCCGGCGCCGCCGCGCCCTCTTGCACTGAAAGGCGGTGCCAAAAAAAAGGCCATCAAGCATGGTAAGTCATGCTTCCACGCCATCGACGCGACGCCAGCTCGACGGCGTAGCGGCGTGGTTCTCACCGGTCGATCTGCGCGCAGGCTTCCGCCACCGGATCCACCCCATCCATCTGGGGATCACGGGCTACGCTGGGTACGTGGCCCTCAAGGAACTGAACGAAGAGCTATACGACCTGGGCCACCACCACGGCCTCGCGATGCTCGTCGCGAGTCGCTTGTGCCGAACGCTAGCGACCATAGAAGACAAGGCCATGCACGAATTACCCTCATTAAAAAAGATGTTGGTTGCGCAGACCACCATGCATATACTATGCGCGGGCGCCGTCGTCGCGGCGGGCTGGGAGGTCTACAACGACCTGAAGCCTGGTGGGCACCATGGCATGGTGTTATTGGCGATCCACGAGGTCCACGAGCTCCTCGAGGAGGCGGACTGGGATCCCAAGCATCATAAAGCATTGCACTCGGCTACCTTGAAATTTGTGATCGCGGGCGGGGCGTTGGCCTGCGCCGTGGTGGAGCTCGTCGAGGATTTGGTGCCGGGCGCACATCACGGCGTCGCTTTACTAGCAGCGTCGCACGTGTGGTCGTCTATTGGTTTAATTCGCGCGGCGCGGAAAGCGCGGTCGTGAGGGTTCCTAAATCAATTCATTTTACCCAACCCGTCGTGTCGACGGCGTGGGAGCATAGATAACACAACACATAGAAATTAATCCGGCTTGGCGCGGCGGCCCTCCTCGTCGCCCGGCGCGGGCTCCTCCTTCGTCTCGCCGTCGCCGCGACTTTCGACGCGCGCGTAGGTGGACGAGCTCTCCCGCTCGACGACGCGCGCGAGGCTCGACAGGATCGCCGCCGAGCAGAGCTGCAAGCCGGCCGTGATTAAAAATGTAAATCGGTACCCATACAAGTCGACGAGGTGGCCGCCGAGCACGGCCGAGCCCGACCAGCCGAAGCGGTTGATCGACTCCGCCGCGTTCCACCTCGCACGCTCGTCCTTCCTTACATAATCGTTCAGGATGCTCCTTGTTAAACCGGAGCAGCAGTTCGCGAGCCAGGTCCGCAGCAAATACAGCACGATGATCAACGGTCCGTCGTCGACGCGCGTCATGACGGCCAGCAGAATGCACGCGCAGACTTTCGTGCAGACGGTGACCCAGACCCGTCCTATTCTTTTTGAGAGCTTCTGGGCGACGAACGCGCAGCAGGCGATGCCCGTCGGAGCTGCCACGTAGATGACCTGCACTTTGATGGGCGAGAGGCCGACTTCCCTCCAGAAAAATAGCGGGAAGAACTTGACCGTCATGCCGCTCCCGAGCATGGACACGACGTCCGAGACGCAGACCGTCGCCGCGATCCGCAATTCTTGTTGTCGTCGCTCGGTCGCGTCGCCGTCGTCGGCGAGGAGCGGCCGGCTCAATTCACCCAAAGTCTGCTTCTCCGACAGCGCCAGGGCCTGCGTGGACACGCCATCGACGCGACGTCGTCCCCGTGACTGCATCTGCCGATCTCCACGCCATCGACGCGAGATTGCCTCCATTCGTGCGTCTGCAATAACCTAACTCACAGATTGACTTCCACGCGGGCCAAAACCAACAACGCCGGACAAAAAAACAAACAAGCGCCGCACGCGATGACGATCTCGAGCTCGCCCTCGCGCCAGTGGTCGCCCACCGTCGCGAAGACGACAACAGCTAACAGAGGCCCCGCGGCCGTTCCCAAAACGCGCAGCGACTGCTTCCTGACATATAACCTACTTCGCGAACCGGAAGGGATCGAGTCCCCAAAAATCGCCTCGACGGCCGACGACTGCGAGCCGACGAAGCAGCCGACGATCGCCGTCGAGGCGCAGATGCACAGGAACTGCTTGTTTGCATGGATATGGTCGCCGAGGACCACGGACGCGACTAAGGAGCAAAAACCAAACGCTCCGATGATCACGGCCGTCCGAATCACGGCCGTCCGCGACCACCGATCCGCTAACCACGCGGCGGGGAACGCGGCACACAAATTCGCGACGCCCATCGCTCCCACGGCGTAGCCGACGCGCGCGTTGCTGCCCGTTCGTAACAATACGTAGGCCGCCAGGGGTGATGCCGTGGCGAGCGACGTGCAGACGTTGAGCGACGGCTGGTAGCAGAGCGTGATCTTCACGTTGCGGTTGAGCGGGCGTTTTGGGGCTGATAGCTCGTCCGTGTTGCCCTGCTCCGCGTCGGCGGCGGCCTGTCGCAGCGGGTTGCGAGCGGTCCCCTCCTCGGTACCATCGCTGGGGTCCGCGTCCGTCCGGGCCCACTCCGGCTCGGCGGCGCTGGCTGCTGCAGCCTGCCTCATCTGTGTTAGCGCTGCAACTTTTGGCCTTCAGGCGCTTGTGGTCGCTGTATGGCCTCAATGCGGCTATTTTGCTGACGAATAGCTGAGTTTTAACCTTGTTTTGGCGCACTGCTGCACGATAATCGATGCTGCAGCGTGCGGGGTCCCCGAGACGAAAAACGACGGAGGTGTCTTGGAGTAATCCTCCTGGATGATTGTAAATACGAACGCTCCAAGAGCGCGGATTGCCCAGCGGAAGCATGCTCAGTCTTCACACCTGAGCGCAATTGCAGTGCTAGCCGCTTGGAAGGGCGCTATCAGGACAGAGATAGACTCTCGGAGCTCTTCTAGATCACATCTCTCCAGCACCCGTCGCTCTGAACGCGCCGCGCCCTGGGGCCGGGCACAGAGACAGTGCACACCCAGAGAAGTGTCAGCTGCAGTAACGCCGTCGGCGCGCACCTAGACGATGCGCCGCCTCCTCTCGAGCTGCGCCACCAGGGCCGCGCCAGCGACCCAGCCGCGCCTCGCCGCGCTCCGCGAGACCCTGAAGAAGGAGGCCGCCACCCCGGCGAAAGCGCGCAAGCCCGCGTGGCTCAAGGCCCCGGCCGCCGCCGGCGCGAACTACGAGCGATTGAGAAGTACGGTGCGCAAGCAGAAGCTCGCGACGGTCTGCGAGGAGGCGCGGTGCCCGAACATCGGCGAGTGCTGGGGCGGCCGCGCCGCGGCGGGCGACGAAAGTAATGAGGAGCACACGGCCACCGCCACCATAATGATCATGGGCGACACGTGTACTAGAGGGTGCCGATTTTGTTCGGTCAAGACGTCGCGGCGGCCCGATGCCCTGGATCCCGAGGAACCGTCGAGGACGGCCGACGCCGTGAACCAATGGGGTTTGGATTATGTCGTCGTGACGTCCGTCGATCGCGACGACGTCCACGACCACGGTTCTTCACATATCTCCGAGACCGTGCGCCAGCTGAAAGCGAAGACGCCGCATTTGCTCGTGGAAGTACTCACACCGGACTTCGGCGGCGTCGTCGAGCGGGTCAACGAGGTCGCATTGAGCGGGCTGGACGTCTTCGCGCACAACGTCGAGACCGTGGAACGCCTCACTCCTAGAGTGCGCGACCGGCGCGCGGGGTACCAGCAGACCATGAATGTCCTGCAAGCGGCCAAGGCCGCGAATCCCGCTCTGGTGACGAAGTCGTCGATCATGCTCGGGCTCGGCGAGACGGACGACGAGATTTTGCAGACGCTCCGCGACCTGCGGGCGCACGGCGTCGACGTCGTGACCTTCGGCCAGTACCTGCAGCCGACGAAGCGGCATCTGAAAGTGGTGGACTACGTGACGCCCGAGGCCTTCGACCGCTGGCGCGACGCGGCGCAGGCCCTGGGCTTCCTCTACGTCGCGAGCGGGCCGCTCGTGCGGTCGTCGTACCGCGCGGGCGAGCTCTTCGTGAAGAACGTGCTGCGGGGGCGGAAGCCGAAGAAGGCCGACGTCGGGGCCGCGGCCGAGTCGCTCGCCGCCGCGGCGGCGGCGTCCACGGCGGCGGCGGCGGCGGCGACCGCTGCTGCGTAAGTAACTATGTGTCTAGGACGCCGCCAGGATTAGTGACGTGATTAGTGGGCGGAGCCCTGGGGGACCGTGCCTAAGCCGTGCGGGTTCGTTCGTGTTCCACGGCTAAGCGCGGCTTCCAGGGCTCCCGCGCTTTAGGACGTGGGCTAGCGGCCTGTAAGACACTAGCAAGAAAAAGGAACGTAGTGGAGATAATAAGGAGGATCAAGGTGAACGCGTAAACGAGCCCACGGCGCGAGCAGATCAGTGCTCGCTACAAAGCGGTTACATCTGAATAGCATAGCAATAAACTTACACTATGGACCAGCGTCGCGGGGTCGCCGTGGTTTCTGCGCTGAGCACGGGCCTCGAGTTCAGTTGGGACATCGCGGAGACGAAAGGCCAGACGCTCTCTTCGTCGCATGATGCAAACGTGGCTGACGCATTGGGAGGGGAAGCTGGAGGCGGTTTTAACATCGGGCGGCGGCGCCTGGAGTCCACGGAAAAAGGGGTGCCCGGCTACGCCTACCCCGTCTCGGGCCGAGTGCTAGCCGTGTCCAAGAAGCTACTAGAAGTGACGCCGGATTCGCTAGATGAGCGGCGGCGGCTGCTGCAAGCTTCCGATGTGACTGAGCGGCGGCGACTAGAAGAATGGTTTAGCAAGTCCGTTAAAGATAGAATCGCATTTTTTGAGAATGGAGGCCCAGGGAGCGGCGGTTCGCAAGCGGCGGAAGGATCCGGAGAAGAATCGCAAGCAGGAGCCAGCAAGGGCGAGGCCGCAACGAAAGAAGAATCTGTCGAGCGCGGACGGGCGCGGGGCGACCTCGGAACGTACGAAACGATATAATTATGCACAGATCCTACTCCTGCTTCCCCGCGAAACTCCCCGCCAGCGCCCGCGCGTTCGCGAGGCGGTTCAGCCGCCCGAGCGACGCGACGCCGACCGCCAGCGCCGCCGCGGCCCAGCCGAGGGAAGCGCCCCAGCCGAGTTTGAGTTTTTTCTTGGCGACGTAGAGCGCGTTCAAGGCCTCGATCGCGTGACAAAAAAGAAGCAGCCCCGCGAGCTGCTTCAGGCCCTCCTTGTGGGGGAACGCGAGCATACAAAAGTCGCGCAGCGGCTGGAGGAAGCCTACCGACGTCAACCCGGCCAGGAGAACGACCGCCATAACTACAAAAACGACCGCCCCCGCGGGCTGGTCCGCCGCCGGCCGCAGGACGCGGTGGTGGATCGCCACGAGTCGCACGCGCGCTTCGCCCGCGTCCGCGAGCGGCGGGTCGAGCGGCCAGACGAGCGCCCGCCGCTTCGGGACCTTGCCGTCGACGACGTCGAGCGTCACGGAAGTTTTCGTGATGGAGCTCATGCGCGCGCGTTTCGCCGTTGGGTCCAGCGCCAGCGCCATGGCGAGAACGCTGGCCGCATGATCCTGGTTCATATGCTCGCAGATGCGCTTGTTAACGTGTGCTTCGAAGGTGTCTTTGCCCTCGGCCATTTCTTTCTTCGTGCACGCTGCGCTGGTGCCGTCGTAGAGGTGCAGGGGCATGCGTCGCGGCGGAGGCGCGCAGTGCTGCTGTGCTGCGTCGCGGCAGAGGCGTGCAGTTACTGTGCTGCGGTCGCGGCGGAGGCGTACGGTTACTAAGCTGCGGCCGCGGCGGAGGCGTGCAGGACACGTGCGTGCTGCTGTGCTGCAGTGCTTGCTTGCTGCTGCTCGGGATGCGACGAGGCCTTGCGCAGTGACACAGCAGTATCGGAGAATGCAATACTTCTCTCGTGTGAAAAGCGCAGCGCGCCGGAGAATTGGGGACGACCGGCATTTTGCAGCTAGCAGCTTTAAGGCACTAGCCAGCAAACCCGGAACGCGCATGCAGCTATTTGAGTATCCTTCAGTTCGCTACTGGTCCAAAGAGATCAATGGGACACTTAATGGGGGCCAAAAAATTAATTTTTTTAATTCGCGATATTGACGCCGCCGCCATGGCGGGCGCGTCGATGGAATCCTGTCGATTCGTGGCCCGGAGGTCTCCCTGGGGTCGTTTTTGGGTCGGTAGTGGTCGCGTGCAATCGCCTACGCCGCATGCGCGGGCGCTTCCAGCGGTAGATAGATATGGCAATTCTCTTAGCCAGGCACTTCGTTTGCCCATGATTTGCCAAAGATTTCGATCCAGAGCTCTCTGGGGAGCTCCAAGTACGAGCGCATGCGGCATAGGCGACTACCCGACCCCAGACCTATCCCAGAGGGGGTCCCAGAGCCGATCAGCCCCCGAAAAAAGTGTGTAATTTGGACCCGATGGCGCCCCGTTCCCGTAAAAAACGTCAATTACCCGATGGCCCCCAGTAGTCGCCGTAGCGGTCTCGTTGGACCCTATACTACCCCACCGATAGTCAACTACAAGTATATGACATCTACACCACGAGAAGGGTACTTTTGGCTGCCCACGCTCGGGACGTGAACATCTTGATCTGGAGCTCGCGCAAGTCAGTCGATCATGGAACAAATGATCGCGCCATGGTCCATGGTGATGGTACACGGGCTGATGGTCGTAGGTCCGTGCCTTGTGTCCAAATTATTGAGATAACTCGGCCGCGAGTCCGACGAGCCGCCGGGAGCTTGAGGGACAGTAAATCAAATGTGTGACCGCTCAGGCGATTAGGCTGACCCGTCCCACTATTAAAGCGCCTGAAACGCGAATTTATTTTATAACTCACCGGTCTGGGGCCAATTCAGTGCCCCGCGTACGTACCGTCGTCCGCGGAGAACGGGCAAGTCGGTCGATTGTGAGTAGAACAACGGCGTTATGGCCCAGCTATATAATGGCGTCGCTGATAATCGCGAGTCTAGGCTTCGAGCCTGTTTAGGGATAAACGTGGGGTCGCGAAGTCGACGAATCGCGAGGCTTTAACGGAGTACATGATCATGCTGGCCGATGTCCAGGCGGACTGGATGACATCTACCCCCAACAAACGGATGGAAACGAACATAAACTCGGGAGTTGTCTAGTAGAATTCTTCTCCCGCCCTCCGAGCGCGCGCCGTCGGCTCCGGTTCCGTCCAACTTGTATGAAAACTGGGCTGGAGTTGATATAATGTCCTATCTGGACGGTAGAGGGCGGCGTCAATCGCTGGTCTACTTTGGCAAGCCGGAAGACTCATCCGTGAATGTCGCGGGCGGTGCCTTCCGGGAGGCGCGAGGGTATGTTCCCGGGCCGCTACTCTGAAATATTTGGTCGCGGCGAACGACTAGGATGTATTCTGAATTTGGGTCATTCTTTTGACGCTATCGAAGCGTATCTTTGAATTTGCTAGTGTGTAGTTACGCTAGCTTTCTTTCTTCCTTTCGACCGCGCGAGTAAAGGCCGGACCCTCACAGACCCGGCCAACGCAAAATGATCCTCACAAATTGCGCCGCCTGCGCCGCCCCACTGGCCCACAACGCGCCGCGATGCGTTAGAGGCGAAATCTGAAACCTTACGCCGACGCGCCCGTGCACAAATCGCAACTCTTTGCGCAAAACGCGATCCGGCGGGCGCCGCTCGTCTCGATCCCGACGCCGCCCTCCTTGCATCCGCTGGTGACGCAGACGAGCTCGGACATGATCGGCGCCGCGCTGAAGCAGGAACTGTCGTAGTTTGCACATGCCTTCCCCACGCGACTGGGCCCGCGCGCTATGAGATAACTTGAACCCGTATATAAGTCCTGGAGGCGTCGTCGTCGATGGCGTAATCGCCGAGGGAGTCCGTCCCTGGGTCGTCGCCATAGACCCGCCGTAGGACGCGCCGGGACCGGACGAACAGGGGATCTCGTTAGGCGGGGGGAGGGCGGGAGGGGCGGGGCGGGGGGGCAGCGGCGAATTGTCTAGGCCTGGTCGTCGCCCGGCGGCGTCGGCGGCAGGTCCGGAGGGGCTTCTTCGGCCTCGAACGTGTCCGCCAACATGGCCTTGAGGCGCTCGCGCTCCGCGATCTTCTCGAGGACCGACGGTTTCGTGGAGGCGTAGTCGTCGCCGTAGACCTTCGTGATCTTGCCCAGTTCCACCAAACCACTGGTGGTCTTGTCGCCGATGAGCTGGAGGTGGTCGCCGACGCCGCCCTCGCCGAACTTCTTCTGCCTCGCCTCTTCGGGCAGTTTCAGGTCTTCCTGCTGCTTCGAGTAGACGGCGGCGGCCATGGCCGCGGGCGACGACTTCCGGATCAAATCCGAGCCTCGTAAGGCCACGACCGTAGGATTGCCCTTCGACTTGGACCGCACCAAGCCCTTGAGGCCCTCACCACTTCCTAGTCGGGAATTGTCGATGAACGTCGAGTTGATCGAATCCAGGTCGCTCCACATGCTGTTCGTCATCTTCTCCAAAGGTAAATCCGAGTCGTCCTCGCCGTAGGGGTCGTCCAATTCGAGCGACACGATGTGGATCACGGAGAAGAAGGCAATCACAATGGCCGTCAAGACCAAATACCAAATCACGAAGAAGCCGTTGGACTTGTCCCACAACAAATTCATTTTTTCTTGCGTCCGGTTGAGCTTCGTCACCATGTTGTAGGCCATGAACTGGGGGAAGAGGATGATGCAGAAGGCGAAGCGCATGATGAGCGTGACCGTCTGGATTCCTGAAGGTACATGGGTGGTCTTGATCTTCATGCTGCTGTAGAAGCATCCCAATAAGGTGCCCTGGCATTCGAGGGCCGCCTGCTGCTCGAAGTTTCTGAGAAGGCCTAGGTCCGAGCAATTTCTAATGGCATGGGCTAACCAAGAATGGCACAACAGTATTCTACGGTCGCTCCGAGCTAGTAGTCTCGCTCTTTCTTGTCCTAGTGCCCTTAGTTCATCCTTGTCCAGCTCCTGTAAGAGTTTCCTCACGGACTTCGAGGACCGTAGTCTCTTCTGGTCCGCACTTTGAGCCGCTTCCTGGACCAAGATGTCGATCATCGTCGCGACGTGCAGCTTACACACTAATCGCAGCTCCAACAAAGCCATGGCCTGGTCCATGGTGGGGGCATCGGAGTTCGCCGTGATCATGCTTGCTAAATTGCGCATCTTCGTCATCGCCGTGCCGATGAGACCTCGGGCCTCCCACCAGCGGCCAAAAGACCAGGACAATCTAAACACGAGGAGGAAGGAGAGGGCCGAACCCATAATAGAGGTAGCGGTCCCGATGGCCGGGATCTCGGGCCAGCCCGCAGCCACGACCACGGAATTCTGCGTGCCCATGGGGAAGTGGCGTTTTTTGGCATAGTACCACATCATCAGTAACCCAAACCCGACGCCGAAGATCTCGTACCAGAGGATGTTCATGAACCTGCGTGATGATGGACGCGTCGATGGCGTGCGGCGGGAGCCGCGCCGCTGGCGGCGGAACGTCGCGAGTCGGACGCGCGAACAAGGACGCAGCGTCGCACCAGTAGATCATGTTGGCCGACGCCCCCAGCTTGTGGCCGAAGAAGTTGATGTCGAGCTTGTTCGCGCGCCCGACCCAGCGCCAGGCGAGGATGCCCGGCCAGCCGTGCCAAGGTCTCGATTCGACCTCGTCCTCGAGGCGCTGCGCCGTCGTCGAGATGTGGGTCTTCATCTTGGCGTGCATGCTTGAAACGCCGTTCGGGCAGCCCCTCCTGCGCGCGCCGCGCCGCGGAAGAAAGCAAAAGCTCGCGATGGGCTTTGGCAAGCGAGCTGGCAACTAGAGGGAAAACACAGGAGCTCGGCGGTTCGTGTGGATGTAGAGGCACCGGAGACCGGTCGGAGGGCTGCCCCGCGCGCGAAGCAGGGGTCGCTTGCTTGCTAGTGTCTTACGCCGCTAGCCTCGTTTCCAAGCACCACCAACGAGCCGCCTTTTAGCGCTTCTAGCGCACGCCTGTGGCTCAGAAGTACAAATTGTAAGCTCACGGTGGCGTCTGAGCAAGCTCCGGCCACCGATTGCAGCAATGACGCACCACAGCTAGGATGCGGGTGCTAGGCTTAGCACGCTTGTTAAGGGCCGTCTGCCGGCGCTGGCTCGGCGGCTTGATTGTGGTAGACGACGTCCAGCTCTCGGTCTTCACGGGCGAATTGGAGTTGGTGGACTGCGAGCTGGACGGGCCGAAGCTGACGCGGCTCCTCGCGAGATTAGGGCTGCGCTGCCGCGTCGTGAACGCGCGCGCGGCGAAGGTGTCCGTGTCGCTGCCGATCACGTGGCGCCGCGGCGCCCGGATTCGAGTCGTCGTGGCGGACCCCGGCGCTTCCCTCGAGCTTGACGACGCCGAGCACGAAGAAACGCCGCAGAAGCCGCGCCGCGCGCTCTGGCGTAGATTAGCGCTGCGCGTGGCCGAGGCCGTCGACCTCGAGGTGCGGAACGCGGCGGCGCGCTGTTTGTTGAAGGACGGCGCGGCCTGCGGTGTGGGTCTGGGCAGCGCCGCGATCGCCGCCACCACACCAGACGGCGAGACCTGGCGCAAGCGTGTCGTGATAAGCGGCCTCTACGCTTATTGTGATGAGGACGCCGCCGAGTGGGACGCTCAAGACGCTTACGCACTTTCTGCTGCATTAGTTGCGGACGCGGCAAATGCGTTGTCTGTGGAGGAGAACGTCGTGCTAGCGCCGGCTTCACTCACAGGATCGGTGGCGCTGACGCGATCTTCAGAAGGATTGCGCCTCGATCTAGATGGAGAAACTTCACACGTCTGGCGCGCGACCGCCTCCGCGAAACGACTGATGGAGGCCGTCGCGCAGCACACGCCCGTCAAGCGCTCTTCCTCAAGCCAGTCCCTCGACAGCGTCGGCGACGCCGGCTCCGTCAATAGCGAGGATTTGCATGAGGATCAACAGCTGAAAAGGGACATCAACGCTGCCTCAAAAATTATCATAGGCGGTTGCCTGCGGGGCGCCCTGCGTTTACAAGTGCGCGACCGTTCCGATCGGTTATTTTGCCACGTCGGCGGCTCGTTAGATTTGAGAGGGAAATGTGAGGTGGACGAGACTGGTCTGCGAGACTATGCCGTGGAAGCAGCGTTGGACGATGTTTATGTGGGTGACGCCTCACCATGTACGTCTGCGACGAAGCGGTGGCGCCATTTGGTAAGGAAGCGGCGCGACCCGTCTCCCTGTGACGAGCATGCTATTGGAGAGGCGTGGCTCTCCCAATCTCCAGCTGTCGTGAAGCTGACCGCCAGACCCGGTCTTAGGATCGAAGTCTACTGCCGCCACCTCGACGTCGTGCTCCATTACCCTTTGATCGGACGATTGAAGGGTGCCTTCTCCGGTGAAAGTCAGCCGTTCACGACTTCCCTAAGGGTCGAGTTCGCGACGTCCGATTGCACGGTCGAGCTGCCCTACGACTGGGATGTGGATCGAGGCTCGGCGCGATTAGGGTGGCATGAAGCTGTGGGTGCGTTGGATACGTCTCGGAGCGACCCTACAGTCAATGACGACTTTGACACGGACTTCGCCCAGTTCTGCGCCCGACGCTTAGATGACGCATACGACGGCCTCATCCAAAAGACGCTCTTCGGGGCCGACTGTAGAAGTACGGGCTTCTACCTTCATGAGAGGGCACCTTTGGATTATGATTTTCGCGTCGATCGAGCGCGGTGCTCGTCGTTCCTGGCATCGTCGGCAAATATAGCACCCGTCGTCGCGACGTTGGAAGGCGCCTACCTCGCGCTCGGTGTTTCGCGCTTTGCCGAGCCCGGTAGGCGCATCGGGCTCAAGGCTGGGACGGACACAGCCTGTAAACTAGTTGTGGACGGGCCGCGACTCGCTCGCATCTTGGCTGTTGTCGGCAAATACCTAGGAGGCCCGCCGCCTTTGGATTCGGACGGGCGCCGCTTGCCGCCCCTCGAGACGGATGAAGCGCCTCGGACGAATCAGGTCGACGTGGCGTTGGACGTACCACTTTGTAGGGTCGTGTTGTTGGGGCCGGAGGCCTCCTCAAGATGTCTGGTCGTGACGGTGCGCGACTTATGTGTCAGGTTTAGACAAAGAGGCCACGGCGACCGGGGCTTCCGGGCGCAAACGTACAGATTCCGGGACGCGACGATCGCACTAGCGAAAGAGCGCGACGCCCACGTCAACCCGTCGCGGGACAGCGCGAAGACCATTGTGAGAGGGACTTCTGATGGTGCTTTTGAATACTTGTCAAGGTGGCCCGCGCAGCAGCGACCACAAGGTCCTTTAGGAGACGTGTGTGCGGATGCTTTATCATCATTATTCGGTGATGCGCCGTCCGAGCAATGTCGCGCGCCCGACGGTCTGAAACGGCTCGTTGTGGATCAACCTATTGTCAGGTGCGCGGTCTCAGAAGCTTTATTTGGCTTCCGCTGCCTGCTGGCGTTCCTGAAGGGCTTCCAGGCGAGAATCAGGTGGGTCGCCTACGACCCCACCGAAGAAACCGTACCGATTGTCAATGCTACGGAGCGGACGATCGCGAGGATAGCTGGAAAAGTAGACGTGTCCTCGGCCATTAAAAAACGAAGAGATCAATTACTACAGAGGGCCGCGTCTCGAACGTCGCGAGAACTGAAATCGGAAGTCGTGGAACGCATCAATTCGTTCTCTGCTGATGATTTGAGATTTGTCGCTAGGCTCGAGTATGATCTGCGACGGTACGACGTGGTCCTGACGTCGACAAATGATCGGCGGCCTCTGGTGAGGTGTCGGGGCGACGCCGTGTACACGACGGACGACGACCAAGTGAGTCAGCTGGAACGGGTCGTAAGGTTAGATGCAGTGCGCGTCGATGCGTATCGCGTGCGCACCGCGAGGTGGGAACCACTAGTAGAACCCGGTTTAAGTGGCACGGCGTGCACTTCCGCCAAAGCGGGCAAGCCTTCTCGGTGTTGCTTGGCCTTTGATGATTCTGCTACGGTGGAAGCTACCCTTACAAGAGATGCTGCTTTAGCTTTGCGAGGTCTGTTGGACGAAGTCAAGGGCGCTCACACTTCACATCTCACGATGAAGGACGACCAGGTGCAGACGCGTCTTCTTAATAAAACTGGTGTCGATGTGCTGCTGGACGTCTTCGACCACGAAGGATCGTTCCTCGAGAAGGTCCGCGTTTCTAGAAATTCGGAGGGGACGTTGTCTCCTAAATCGGCTCATGCCATTATCAGTCTGAGAGACGGCGAGACGGCCTGGACCGTGGAGCGGCCGTTGCCTTGTAGGACGGCGGCGCGCGTCGTAGCCTCGACAACAGCTGGTACACGACGTCCAAAGAGCCCCTCGCACACGCGTCGTCGAGGAAGGATTGGCCCGCCCCTGACCTGGTCCGGCGCCTTCGACGGGCGAGGCTCTTTACAACTCACTGTCCGAAGTTCATTAGTAGCTTCCAACGCGTGCGGGTGTGATGTGGTCGTGAGCGCCGGTGGGAGAGATTCGGTCATCGAACGAGGGCCACCCGATAACCCAAAGGAGACGTCGTTGGCGTGGCCCTTGGCCGACGCTTTGTATTTCAATGATGACGATGACGAAGATGCACCGAGGAGATTGCCGAAGCTGACGGTGGGTGCCGGGCCAAGAGCTGCCTTGTTGGATGCCAGGACTTCCCTATTAGACGCGCCCTGGCGGCTGGCGCGGGCTTCCGTGCTTAAGAGGAGGTGGGTCCTGTGCAGGGTCGTCGCCGACGGAAGCACGAATATGGTCCGGGGCGCTCGGCTCGAATTGCGGGCTCCGCTCATTGTGAGGAACCACCTGCCCGTTGCTGTGGATTTACAAGTCATGCAGCAGCAGGGGACTGATAAAAAATGTGCCGCCGAGAGTCATTTACGACCTGGCGAATCTCTGGCCGTGTCGTCGGTCGACGTAAGGGACTACTGCTGGCTCAACACCCGAACTGATGGGAAGTGGGTTTCTGCTAAAATTAATTCGCGGAGCTGGCGAAGGGCTGTTGCGGCCTCGAGAGCGCTGGGGCGGAGACCTCCCAAAAGACGCAAGGCTTTGGAGGCCTCATCGTCGTGTGGCTACGTGCTCGATGTCGCCACGCCCGACGGGGATTTGAGTCTGGGGCCTTTACTCTCGACCGGTTCGGCGCCGGCCGTCGCGCTCGAGTGCACACTACGGGCCCCCTGCGTCGTCGTCGACCGGTCCGGTTTAAGCGGCTTGGTCTTCAGCGCGTCGTCCATTTCATCTGTGTCATCTCTAGAAGCAGGAGAAGCACTCGTCGATGCGACTACGTCTGTCGTAGTACCTTCATCATTACGTTTTGCGGCGTACTCTGCTGTTAGTACAAGACCCCTCTCGTCGAAAAGGAGAGCGTCAGCAAGGCACGAGGGTTTATTCTGGGTGCCCGACGGCGACGGGGCCTTCCTGAGGCACCCTTGTACGAGGCAACTCATGACCTGTGGCACTGATCTAGTTGATACTGACTTCACTCTATCAGTTGTAGCGCGGAGCGCTTGTACCATTTTAGTAGCCTGCGACATGGCACCGACGTGGCTTAATAACAAGGGTTTCGCGCGGAGCGGCCACGAAAGACATAAGATCCTCCACGCGCGATCGGATACAACCTTGACGGCCTTCTCCCTCTATCAGAAAGAGCTACAAGAGGGCGAAGCCTTGACACTCCTACAGGCTAGTGGAAGGTACATGTACGCCGCCTTCTGTACGACGCAAGACGATGAGGGATATGCCTCTGCAAGGTCCGAGGAGGAGGAGGACTTCTACGAGTGCGTCACGGAGGAGGCGTCGCCCGTACACGTGCTGAACGCGTCGCAATCATTGGTCGTGTCGCGGGATGGTCTCAGTACTTCCGTTAGGTTGGCCGACGCCGCGTCGCTGGGGGGGCCGGTGCCTTTGGACCTTGGCGGCGCTAAATTGGCGATCTGCGTCGTGGCGGAGGGGCCCACGCGTGTGGCCACGGTCGTGCCTCGGGTTGTCGTGGCGAACGCTCTTGGTTGTTCCTTGTTGTTGCACGGTCTGACCATACCATCAAACGGTATGGAGAGCTACCACGGGTCCCTTACTTCATTAACAGTAGGCGCATCTACCACGGGTGACCTACGGTTAGACAGACACGGCAGCCAAGCCGTCGTCTTATCGCCTGAAAGACGTACAGTGTCTTTGAAAGATGCGTCGGTGTTACGGGTCGAAGCGAGGCCTCGATTGGACGGAGACGACTTCGCTACTTTGTGTTGTGTGGGTAGAGATAATGGCGACGCGCCTTTACTATCGGTTGCGAACGAGACCGACGTCTTGGTGGCCTGCTGGCAATCAAAGGTCAAAGACGCGCCCGTCTGGCTCGTCGAGCCGCGTTCAGCCTCAGCCTTCGGCTGGAGCGAACCTGAACTCAGTAAGAAGCGGATTTGCGTCGTGGCGTTTGCGTCTCGATCTACGAGTGACGCTGAAAGTGTCGTCGAGTCTCAATTCGCCAAACTAGTCAAAGCAGCAAGGGCGCTGCGCCTGGACGCCGCCGAGGAAAAACGATTACCTCTACCACTCATAGACGCTTCCGTTGATTTCCAAGTGTTAGATGGACCCTGGGGCGTCGACGCGCGCGTCGACCAAAGAGCTGGGGGGAGGGTGCTGCGGTTGTGTGCGAAGAGCGAAAGTGCTTATGATGTTGACCTCGGAGACGCTTCACTATCAGGAGAATTTGCCTTTCGCGCGCCCCGGGCGTCGTTGTCGATTGTGCTCGATGATAGTGAAGGGAAGGCTCGGAGGGAAGCCCTGTTTGGCCAAGTCAAACGTGTGGACTTGAGCTGTCGGAGCGCGTTGGACGCCTCCGGTAAACATGGGGCCGCTCTGGATTTGACCGTTGGGGATGTGCGCGTCGAGTCCCACGCGCGGAACGCCCGCCTGAGAGTTGTGCTGGAGCGGGACGACCAAAATGACGAGGATGTGCTACATGCGTCGCTCGCGCGGCAGCGCGACGGCGCCGCGGAGGTCTGGAGGTATGCTGGTTTACATGTTGCACCTCTAGCAGTGGCATTGGATAGAGCCACGCTCGCCGCTCTCTTCGACACCTACTCGTCCATCGTATCACTAGCTCTAGGGAAACAAGGCGATACGTCAATAACAACGTGGGCCCGCAACCTCACGGACCGTGATTTGAGGAAGAGGACCGGCGACGCGGCGTCGCTATTCAAGGCCTTCTCGAAAGAACCCAAGTTATTTGTGGACGCGGTCGAACTGGATCCCACGGAGCTGAGGTGCACGTTGGCGCTGGCAGCTACCGCATCATCCGACGATCATTTGGACCACATCGATTTGGTGGCGCCGCTGGCGGCCATGTCCGACGCGTCGTTTAAGGCCTCTCCCTTCATATTGAGGCAGGCGTTATTGCCCGCGAGACAACTTAGATCCGCTCTAGTAGCTCATGCTCGCCGAGAGTTGGTGAGACAATTGTTCGGCGTCGTGCTAGATGTCCCTCAAACGTTACTCCATGATCTCGGCGGCGGCGACGTTATATCAGGAGTGACCAATACTATGGCGGTTCCTACCACAGTCATCAGTTCGGGCGTCACGGCATTGGGCGACCGGTTAGCAGGAGCGCACGCCTTGCTGAGCGGCGACGCGGCCTACTTCTGTGAAAGAGCTCGAAGAAGGCGTCGTAGGAGACGACGGGCGGACCGGCGCGACGTCGGCCTCGCGGGCGGGCTGAGAGCGGCCGCAAGGGACGTGGCGCGCGGCGCTGCCGGTGGTCTTGAGAGTTTGTTGTTGGACGCACCGAGAAGCAACGATGCGAGGGACCTGTGCGGGGCGCTGGTTGGTGCAATAGTCAAACCAGCGGTCGGTGCCGCCGACGCGCTGGCTGCGGTGGCCGCTGGTATCACGCATGATTGCCGCGGCGGCTCTCATCATGAAAGACGGCGATCATCCATACAACAAACGGAAAGGCGCACGGCTCGAAGACGAGCCCTGCCGGCTTTACCAGACGGCGCCGGACCTCGAAGATTAGTGGCACCCTTCTCGGCTAGAGGGGCGGCGGCCCAGGCCCTGTGTCGGGGCGCGTTCCCGCGGAAGCACGACGAACTCATGTCGCCGTTGGCACGAGCGATTCGAGTCGATCGACCGCGTAATGACGACGACGACGGCGGCGGGCTGAGTCTTGGAGGGGCAGACGCCGACGACGACCGGGGCGACGTCGCGGCCGACGGCGAGCCCTACGTGTGGCACTGTTCCTTGGCGGACGGGGGGTTAGTCGCTCTAGCGACGCCTGGCGTTGTGGTGCTGACACAAGATATCGGCAAACCTTGGGTGGCCCGGTGGCGCGACGTGCGGTGCGCCCAGGACGGTGTTGCGTCCATAAAATTTGAATCGGGGCGCCACGACCCTTTTACGAGTTCTATCAACGAGTGTCGCGTCGAATGTACCGATGTGCGAGGGGCGGCGCGGCTGCGCGCTTCTTTACGGGCCGTCGGTATATTAGTGGACGGCGGCGGCGACGACGGCGACGCGGCCTTTGATGATGTATCGGACGGCGACGCGCCGCTGCCGCCTTGGTTGGAAAGTGCAGCCAGGGAGGCCACGGCGCCTCCCGAAAGGCGCAATTGCTTGAGGGAGCGGTGCAAGGATGCGCCCTGGCGCCGCCATCCTGTCGAGGCTGATGATGATGATGTGCCCTCGCCTGGGTCTACGCCTCGCGCACTGTTGTAGTAAATATGAATTGTCTGTTCAAGTTAGCTACTCCCTTTACTAAACTGCGCCGCGTTCCGCGCGTGGTCGAGGAAGTCTCGCGCCGGGTCGATCCGCACGACGCCGCGCGCCAGAATCTCGGCGTCGTCGAAGAGCGGCTCGAGTGGTGCTTCGGCGGGCAGAGGACATATTGTGTCTGGCCGCGGCGGGTTCTCGATCGCGTTATACGCGACGATGAGCGATCGTCGCCAGCTCGGCGACTCGTTCGGCGCCGAGCTGTGGAGCAGATTCGAGTGCGTGAATAATACATCGCCTGGCCGCATCGTAGCGTAGACCAGGGGAAATCTCTTCACCGCTCTCCCCAAGGCCTCTTGGTCGACGCCCGCTTGTTCGCCACTCACGCCGTGCGCTAAACGGCCGACCCGATGCGAGCCGCTCAGGAGTTGCATGCAGCCGTTCTCAATAGTGTGGTTGTCCACAGCTAGAATCGCCGACAGCATTTTGTCGGGCTCGAGGCAGCCGACCTGATACCAATAACCGAAATCTTGGTGCCATTCCCACGTGCCGCCCACTCGCGGTTCTTTCAACATGACTTTTGTGTGGAAGTGATAGATTGGAGATCCAATCAAACGCCTCGCTGCGTTCACCCATCGTCTGCCACGAGCGAAATATCCGAAGGTGTCGTTGCCTGCTTGATTCCAGAGCGTCAACTTCGACCGCGCTCCAGCACTGTCGACCATCGGCATGTCATTTGACGCGACGAGCGGGTCCGTCTCGATCGCTCGTCGCAGCACGTCGGCCTCGGCGGCAGAGAAGAGGTTTCGGATGATGACGTAGCCGTCTCTCTTGTATCGCTCCACGTCTTCTATCGCAAGCGACGACGCGCATTCATCGGTCGCATCGGTCGCGCGTGCCAGCGCCGCGCACAGCAGCAGTGCAGCCGCAAGCTTCATTTTCTGCTCTCAAAGCTGCGCGCGACACGGCATCGCTGGCTCATCGATCGCAGCGATGGATGCAAAGCTGAACACGTCACAGGAGCTCTGTATCTGCGTGTTCGGCGCAACTTTTGGCCGATCGGAGCTAGCGTCATGTAAGACACTAGCAAGCAAGCCTGGCTCGAGCTCAATCTGCCCACAATTAGGCTCGTGGAAGCTAATTGATCAACCAGCAGCTCTTTGGCATTGATCTAAAACCACTGCGAAGCTTGTGGCTTGGACTCCGCAATCCGTGTTACACAACAGCTACAAGCCTCTCAAGGCAAAGCCAAGATCGCACCAATCATGCTACGCGTTCTCCTCTCCGCAGTGATTATTGGCTCCAGCCACAGCTTCTGTCCGGCCGCAAGAAGTGCGTGTCAGCGGCACGGCATTAGTGCGGAACCGGACGACGCGGTCGGCGACGATGCCACGAGCGAGGCACTATCCACCAGCGACATCGCCACAACCGCGACTGCGGCCGCCGCCGGCGCGACGGTCGCAAGCACAGTCGCCACCGCGGCCGGCACCGTCTGCGCCACCGGCGCGTGCACGGCGGCCGGCGCCGCGGCAACGGCGGCGGCTACGGGAACTGCTGGCGCCGCGGCGGGAACCGCCGGGGCGGGCCTGCTTTCACAACTGGCGTATCCTATCGCCGCGTTGGGCCTCTCGGGCGCATTAGCCCTGCAATCCGGTCCCGAGGCGCTCATGGACCAGGCGGCGCACAGCGCGCTCTACGCCGACGCGATGCGATCGAACCACCCCGTGGTGCTCGAGTTCTACAGCAACGATTGTCGCCATTGCCGGCACGCGGCGGCGTCGCTGGCCGAGACCGCCGCCGCGCACCCGGGCACCGACTGGGTGATGGTCGACTGCCAAAAGCCGGAGTCGCGGTCCCTCGTGGAAAAATACAACGTCGGGCCGATCCCGCACTTCGCTTTTCTGGACGAGTCCAAGACGTTGCGGCGAACAGAAGTCGGCGAGAGTGGCGCGAAGAGAGCCGATGCCGTTCTCCGCGCGCTTGAGGGGTCTTCTTCGTAACTTGAACAAAATTTAAATTTACTAGACAGAACCATCACGCCCCCATGCCGCCGACGACGATTCCCGCGAAGACCACGACGAGCGCCACCAACTCGGCCACCGACAGCCAATACAACTCGCCAAACCGCACCCAGAACGAAAACGCGTAGAAAACGAGAAAGATCGCCCCGAAGCTGGCGTACGTCAAGGTACAGAACGCGTCCCTCAACGCCTTCGACGCGATGGCCTTTGGCACCGTCGCGACGACCAGCGCCTGGTAAGCAGCGAGCATCAGCAAAAACGCGAGAGTGGAGAGCGCGTGCTCGCCGCGCATTTTAGACATTGGCGTCGCGGCGACAGTCACGATGCCGTGCACCGTGAAGCACGCAATGATGACCCGGGCGAGTCGCGCCGGTGCGGGCCGCGCGAGCTCCAGCAACGGCAGCAGGTCGAGACTCAGCGCGAGCCCGATCGTGGCGAGCTCCGTCGCCGGCGGCCGGTCCCACGCAGCTGAAAGGCGGTAGTCGTCTTCTGTAAAACCGGGTAAATGACCATAGTACGAACTGACCGCGTACGTCAGCGCGATGACCGCGACGGCGCCGCCGACGGCCGCGATGCTCAGCCAGCGCGTCCACGACGCGGGCGGACCTGTGGAGACGCCGACGACGACTCCGCACGCGTACCAGATAAATCCCACCAAAGCGAGCGCGTTCAGCCGGTAGGCGAAGACGACAACCGACGAGAGCGGCGGGCTTTCCATGGCGTACTTGTAGGTGCGCTCGAAGGACGCGCGGAAGGCGTCATTCTCCTGCGGTGTGGCCATGGTTGCTGACTGTACGTCTCTTGTGCCGCGTCGATAGCGTGATTGGCCTTACGTAGCACCAGTTCTGCCTTGTGAGATGCAGTGCCTGAATTTGCGCGGCAATCTGTTGCACGCAGACAGCTCTGAGGTGGTCAAATCTCAACGAGAGCTGTTGGCTAGTGTGTCAATAGACGCTAGCAGCGAGTTTTGGCACAGGGCCTTCAACAGGGCGCAAGGAGGTTAAGGAGGGTGCAGTATAGCAGCAAGCGGTAGCATTGATCGCAGCGGCAGCGCTGCGCCACCCATTCGTACGCATTCGAGACATGCACCCATGAACGCAGCAGAGCAGCCTCCACGGCGCCTGCAGCTAGTTGGCGAGGGCGACTTCACGCTCGCCCTATCCTTGGCGACACAACTGAAACACGTAGCAATAACTGCCACCGGTTTCGACGCCCATGCAGACTTGATAAAAAAATACCGCGACGCTCCAGCGACGCTGCGGCGCCTTCAGGCCGCCGGCGCAATCGCAAAACACGGCGTCGACGCGTGCGCGTTACAAGGGTCGTTTGACGAGGTGCACTTTGGCCACCCGCACCTCGGCGTCGAGAACGCGGCCGCGCACCACCGATTACTCGCGCACTACTTCCACAGCGCTAAACAAGTCGCGCCCGTCGTGCGCGTCACGCTCGCGAGCGACCAGGCCCAGCGCTGGCGCTGCGACGCCGCTGCAGCGCGGGCGGGCCTCGCGCTCAAGGACGTGGCGCCGTTCCACGACGACGCCTTCCCGGGCTACACGCGGCGGCGGTCTTTGAGTGGAGGCAGCTTCCGCGCGCGGACGGCGGAGGCGTCGGAGACGCGGACCTACGCGGCACGAGACGTCGAGGTCGCGCCGGTCGCGTGGGCGGCGCTCCCGCGGCGCTCGGAACAAGTGAACTGCCCGACGTGCGGCAAGCCCTGCCGCGACGCGCGGGGCCTCGCGATGCACCTCCGCGACGCGACCTGCGCCTACGCGCCGCCGCCTCGGCCGCCGTCGCCGCCGCCGCTGCCGGCCGACGACCCGGCGGGTTGTGAGATTTGCGGGGCGTCGCTCCCGTTCGTTGCCGCGCGGAAAGTCGAGGGGCCTTCGCGTCGATGGCGTTCGTTCAGGCCCAGGCTGACGACACACCACGCAGGCACCCGCCCCTACAACCGGTCGCGCCGGCGGGCCTCGCCTGCGCCGTCTGCGCGCGGACGTTCAAGGACGACCGCGCCTTGCGCCAGCACGCGGCGACGTGTTCGCGCAAGCAACGGCGCATCAAGATCCACTACGTCCACGGTTTGGAGGCGGGGCCGAATGCCTTCAAGGCCCGATGTCTCGCCAAGGTCGGCGACGTCACATCTCCGGCCATGGCCACGTCGCTCTGGAACCCGTTCTGCGAAAACGCGTTCCTCGGGCGCTTCCTGGCGCACCTGTCGTGGGGCGCCGCGGCGCGGGACGTGCTGGACCGATGTGTTTCGATCCAAAAAGACGCGCTGGCCGAGCCGGACGTCGTCGTCGCGTCGTCGTGGGGCGCCGCCGTCGCTTTGAAATTGTTGGCCGATCGCGCCTGGACGGGGCCGACCGTGCTGTTGTGTCCCGGCCACCGGCGGCTCCTCTCCTCTCAAGACGCCGACGCGCTCGTGACCGCGTTCCGGGCGCTGCCGAAGAAGACTTTGAGACGCGTCGTGCTGGTCCACGGCACGGCCGACGCCACGGTGCCGATCGCGGACTCGCGCGAGCTCGCCGCAGATAGGGCGCGGTTGGTCGAAGTCCCCGGCGGCTCGCACGGCCTCGGCGCCGCGGCGGCGGACGGGCTCATTTCGTCTGTGGTGGTTGATGTGCTGGCGAAGAAGTATGGGGCTGAGCGAGTGGGGGAGGTTTTTTTGCTCGATAGTTAAGTTGTTTAAGAATGTAATAATAATTGTAATAATGTAATAATGTAATTTTGTAATTTTAGTCAGTCAGTCGCGCGGGGAGGAAAAGGAGAAGGCACTTCCGTGGTGAGCACCTAATAGCTGAGACGGTAGTCCGGCGGCATGGTCCAGAACACGTCGCCCTCGACTTCGGAATCGCCGTCGCAGTTTACGCCAGAGCAGGCTGAAAGAGTGAGCCAAGACGCCGCTTTTGCGAAAAAATAAAAAGACGCCTAGGCCTCAACGCAGGCCGCCTACGACAGGTCCCGGATGGGTGCTTGCGCCTTAGGGCGGCAGTTACGCGTAGGTTGCTGCGCGTTCCGAGCGCGCGCGATGTGCGTAGCATAAGAAAAGAATTACTCACCAAGGCCGCGTCGACGCCACCGCGCGAGACGCGGCCGTCGCCTCCGTCCGCATCGACCCGCGCGACGCGACGGAGCCACGAGACATAAGGGACCGGTCGTCGCGCCATTGCGCCATGACCGCGTTGCCCTCCTCCGCGTCCTCAGCCACGGAGTATTTTGAGAGCGTCGCCTCGAGCAGCTCCTCGTCGCCCGCGCCGCTCAAGACCGACCGCAGCTCCGGCTCCCGCAGTCCCACACGACTGGACCGTTTTCCGGCGGCGCGCTTCTGCGCGCGTCTATCCCTTGATAAGTCAGTAGACCTCGCGAAGAGCTTGGGCTTGCCGCCCTTGCGGCCCTTCTTCGCCATCGCCGCCTCCGAAGCCCGCGTCGCGGCGTTCACCTGGGCGCGATACGGCCCGAGGTCGGCCCACTCCTTCTTGTGCGGCACGGGGAACGGGTTCGTCATCTCGTTCGCGCCTGCGTTTGTCAAAGGTGGCGCGGGGGAGGCGAACTCTCGACGACTCGTCGCGGCGACGGCGTGGCGAGCTCTCGAGGTGCCAGCACGCCATCGACGCGATCCTTTCGGGACGTGTGGAGTACGCTCGACGACGTCTCGTCAACGTCCGCGCCGTCGCGCAGACACGGGTACGGATTCGGACGCCGCCGCGCGCAGTGGTACCTCCCAGCTACGGACGTCGTGGAGGCGAAGTGGGCCGAGGCGTCGTAGGCGGGCCGGCCGTCGTAGGCGCCCTGCGTGTGCTTCGTGTCCCACTGCAAATGGGACGAGCCGAGCAGCGACTTCATCGTGTTTCCCGATTCGTTCTGTCGAAACAGCTGCGACTGGCGCACGCAGGGTCTCGAACCGAGCTGATTGCCCTGGTTCTGGGTCGCGGCGCTGGGGTCGTGCCAGTGGCCGGCCATCTGTTCCGGCGCCTGCTCGATGGCGTGCAGGGCCTCCCGAGTCTGAAGGGTTAGATTGCCCCGCAAAAGTGGTCGACGACGGGTCGCAGCTAGGCGCGTCGTGGTCCGCCGGGGCAGCCGATTCGTCGGTCGCGGAGAGGGCGCCTGTTACTGAACCTGTGGGCTGCCCGCAGCGCTGAATCGATAATCTGATAGCGTCGACACACATACTAGCTTAACCGAGCTTCGGCAAAGCTCGAACCCGCACGCGCTGCTCCCTGCGCATGCTCAGAGGTCCTGCCTGGGGCGGCCAACTCATCAGCCAGGCGTATGTTAACAAAAGACGGGCCTCCGCCAGATACCACGAGCCCTCCCCCTAACGCCGACGACGAAGGAAAGCCGCACATACTTTCACAATCAATTACTACAGCTCCCCCGCGTCGAGGTCGATGACGTCCTCCTCGCCGTCGTCCTCCCCGACCGCGTCGTCGACGGCCTCCTCCTCCACAACTTCCTCCTCTTCCGGCGGCGGCGGCGGCGGCTTCGACGCCTTCTTCTTCGGCTCCGGCGGCGGCCTCCGGTCAGATAACAAAGTAGGGAACTTCGCCGCCAGTCGCAATACGAGCTGCGCGAACTTCGAAGGCGTGTCCGCCTTTATCAGCAGTTCGTCGACCTTCGACACGTCACCGTCGTACCGCTTATAAATATGAGATAAAGTCTGCCGCCGCCGTTCCTCGGCGTCCTTCCGACCTTGACACATACACGCCTTCTTCTGCTCTTCACTATGCCAAGAACAGCCGCCGCGCCAGGGCCAGTCGCTCCCGATCTTCCCGTCTTTCAGGCACTGCTCGTGTTCGTCAAAATCGTCGACCTCGTCGCACTCTTTCACATAACACTCGTCGAAGGCTTTCTTACAAAGTTCTTCCGTGATACCACAAATGGTAGCGCAGGCGTCCCGCTCGGCGCAGCACTTCGCTAGGTGTGGGGACGCGCCCTCCGGGCAGGCGCCAGTACCTCGAGGCGCGAAGTACGGCGACCGCGGTGCGGGATCCTTTCTTCCATAACATTTGAACTTCTTGCAGGGCTTGGGCTTCGTCTCGACCTTGACCTCCGCCGTCGCCAGTGCTACTACGAGGGCGAGGCGCATCGCTGGCATCCTGCCGCGTGGAGGCTGCATTCTGCAGCTGGTTTACCGCTGCAAATGTTATAGCTTGCACCGCTGCGCGGCGGCGTCGGCGACACGCGGAGGATGAATGCGACTGCAGCGCCTGATGCTACCGCTGCAGAACGCCAATTGCTTGCACCGCTCGGCGGCGTCGTTCGCGACACGCAAGACGATGAATGCGTAATTACTGGCAGTTGCAAGCGCCGGACGGCGGCGCTCTGCACAAGTGCCACAGCAAGGCAGCAGTCCTGAGCAATCGACCGCATGGATGGAAAGGCGTCGCCGTGCGCTGCCGGAGGAGTCCTCGGAGCGAGCTAGAGGTGTTCTGTGCGCAAAACGAATTAGCAGTTTTGGCAGGCTGGCTGCTGAAAAACAAATGCCTTGCACCGGCTGAATTGCTGCCGCGCGACCACAAGGAGTCGCGGCGCGACTCGCCAGAGTCTCGGGACGTTCGCAAGAGCCAGCTGCGCGCAACTGCTCCCGCGCAACGAGCTGTAACCCAACCTGAGCAAGGCAGCCACAAAGAGCAGCAGCAGAGCTCGCAGCGTAAAGCGCCGCCGACGCAGAAAAGATGTCGCGCCCCGCCGCGAGATCGCCGGCGTCCCTCGGCGCCGGCGCGCGACGGGCGCCGCCGCCGTCCACGGCATGGAGCCCCAATACGATAGTAAACGCTGTCAAAAGAATGGCGTCGCGCGACGAGCGCGAGATGCTGCCGCTCATCGATGCTGGTAGGGCGTCGTCCTTCGACGACAGGACAGACCGACCTGTGCCGTCACCCGCCTCGCTCCGGAAGCGGCTCGAGATCCGCCAACCCAAGCCGAAGAAGAAAGATGGTAGGTTCGGGTTATATGCGCAGTACTTCGCGGTGGGCGTCGTCTACGGCGGCCTCCTCCAGACGATGTACGGCTTCTTCCTAGGATACCTCAACGTCGACGCGTATGCTTATGCCGCAGCCACGACGGTCGTAGCTCTACCCTGGTCCTTCAAGTTCGTGTTCGGTGCGATCAATGATGTGTGCCCCATCAACGGTGAGAGAAGACGACCGTACATCGCGCTGGGCTGGGCGTTCTGCGCTATTGCTTTATGGTTTTTAACGATGATGCCGCTACCCGAACCCTACTGGTGCATCGATGATCAATCAGGAAGGTACATCACGACCGCAAGGCATCGGCACGACGGCGTGAAGGTGGCGGCCGAGCCGTGCAATAGTAACGCACCGTTAGCTGGAGGACCCTTCGCGTTGGCGATGATGGTGGCGTCGTTCGGCTATTGCGTTTCTGACGTGGCCGCCGATGGGTTGACCGTCCAACTCGCCAAGAAAGAAGTTGAAGAGAGGCGGGGCCAGACGCAGACGTCGGTCTATTTAGTTAGAACGATTGGAAACATCTTCGCGGTGGCCTTTGTGGGCCTAGGCATGAACTCGCGGGAATATAATGGTTCGTTCAACAGAGGATTGTCCTTCTCGTGGGTCATGGGCGCCTTCGCGTTGTTAGCTACGGCCATGGTCCCCATCTCACTACTATTCGTGAAGGAGCCCTCTCTCAGTGTACAGCCGTTGTCGACGACGGACGCCACACCAAACTTAAGAGCGAGAATCAGTCGAAGAGTGACGTGCGAGCAGTACCGGAAGAGCGTCTGGCAGCTATTGCGGTCGAAGGCCATGTTCTACTGCGTCTGCTACCAGTTCCTGACGCCGGTCATCGGCGCGGTGTATACGACCGCTTCCCCCGAGGTGAAGCAGCACTGGGCCCACGTGCGGTCGCTGCAGAACTCCCTGTTTTCGTTGGTCGGATTAGTCGTTTTTTCCTGCGGGTTGTGGCTCGTGAAGAAAAGGCTCTTACATCGGTCGTGGCGGGAGCTTACCTTGGTCACGACCATATTCCTCAACGTCATTGACATGCCCTTCAGCTTCTGTACGATCTACGACATCGTGCGAGACCCCTACTTCTATTTAGGAGAAACGGTCCTGCAAGGCATCCCGGACGCCGTGAATTTCGTCGTTTCTACCTTTGTGATTGTGGAGATGGCCGAGGGCGGCGACGAGGGCATCGTCTACGGTTTATTGACCACGACCTATAATGTCGGCGGTCCCTTCGCTTCGGCCATCTCGAACCAGCTCTTTGGGTTATTTGAACCGAAGTTGTCAGATCCGAAGAACTATGTGGAAGACCGACCGACGTTCCGGAACACGGTAGCTTTATCTTTTGTCGTGACTTATGCCGCGGCGTTTTTGTCATTGTTGACTTTGCCGCTGTTACCTAGGCAGAAGGCGCAAGTCCAGCAGTGGAAGCGCGACTGGCCTCGAAAAGACGCGTATGCGTGGGCGTCGTTGACCATCCTCGTCGTTGGTTTGGTCTACTCCTGCGCGCTGAACGTGCTGGCCGTGCTTCCTTCCACGATGTGCCTGGAGGTCGTCGGCGGGGAGGGGTGCTGATCCTCGTCCGTTGTTTTGTTGTTTATTTCGCTCGGTTTAACTTATCTATATATAATACTACTTTGGCGCGTCGATGGCGTATGGGGTGTCCTCCTCAGCGCGCGACTGCCGCTCGACGAAGTCCTCGACGACCTCGATGAGTCCAAGGTTCAGGAACGTCGTCGGCACGAGGGCGAGCTCGAGGATGTTCAGCAGGCAGAAGAGCCCAAATACGCCTATTTCGAGCGGCACCCGGTCCAGGGCGCCCGCGGTTCCGGCCGAGAGCGCCGCCGCGTCGCGGAGGAGGATTTGCGACGCGAAGCTGACGAGCGACGACACGCTGAGCCACATGTTAAATTTGATCGACGCGGCGAAGTAGTCGGGTCCATCGGCCCCGAGCGGCCCGAAGAGCTCCTGGACGCGATTCGTCGTAGGTCGGTTGCTGCCGAACGTCTCAGTATATATTTTCTCGACGAAGCGCGTCGGCGGCGCCCAAGGCCAGGAGAGCAGTCTTCATTTTTTAATCAATAGCTCCACTCAGGAATCAAACGCGTCTCATCCGCGACGCATGTGGCATCGTATGGTCAATAATACGCAAGAACTGATCGCGGAATGAGCAAGGAGGCGACAAAAGCTGGACCCGTGAGCTAGCGGCTGTAACACACTAGCAGACAGGCAGCAAGCATTCTTGGAAGCAGCCGCTGACGGCACTGCTGCACATCCGGCGCTGCCAAGGCTCCCATAGCACTCATCGATCATCGTTAGCAAGTCCTACTTGCGCCACCACGCGTACGGCCCCGCACTCCTCAAAAGCAGCACCCTGCTCCAGCAGCTGCCAGGCAAGCCATAGCGCTCCAGCTGTACGCCAGCCGACGTGCGCCCACACTCCTCAAAAGCAGCACAGCAGAGACAACATCATGCTCACAACAAACACAAGCTACGAGAACGAAACGAGCCCCAAAAAGCCGTCATTACAGAGAGGCGCCGCGCAGCTGCGGGACGGCTGGCACCATTCCCGCTTTCAACCCTATTTGAAGATGCTCGCGCCGGCCATCGCGCCCGAGGCCACTCTATTAGGCACTGTAGCACCTAGAACGTGCGCGGAGATCGACGTCGGGGCGTTGATAAACAACGCCAAAGCTTGTAGAGAAGCCGCGGCGAAATCCGGCACGAGGGTCATGGCCGTGGTGAAGGCCGACGCCTACGGCCACGGCGCCGCCGTCGTCGCGCGCGTGCTGCACCGGCACTGCGGCATCGACTTTTTTGCCGTCGCCACATTGCCGGAAGCTTTAGAGCTGCGGGCCGCGGGTCTTAATGATGGTGTCCGCGTCTTGGTTTTGGGCGCCTCGGTCCCGTCGGAGTGGCCCGTCTACGCGCGCTTTGACTTGGAAATGGTGATCGAGTCGAAGGCGACCGCCGATCGGCTGGCCGCTTTACAACCGCCACCGAAGCCCATCAAGGCGCACGTCATGCTCAACACGGGCATGAATAGGATAGGGCTGTCCACATTCGATAGTACGACAGAAACGCACGGTATTAAAAAAGTCGAGGAGTCGCGGAGCATCGGCACGCAGCCGTGTGGAATCCAACTTGTCACTGCGTCTGCTCGATGGCGTGGAGGCTCACGAAGGTTTCTCGCAATAACACAACTCACTCGTTGATTCCTCACAGGCAAGCAAGGGCTCCAGGACCTGTTCAACGACCTGCCGCCCTTGCCGGAAGAAAGCGGGCAGACGCCGCCGCCGCGACCTCCTTTGAAGCGGAGCGGATCTGGAAGTTCATTGGGCTCGACGGGTCGCCTCCAGGAGTACCACGGCATTCTCGTCGATCAAGCTGTCGATATTGTCGCCATGGTCGCCGCCGCACCAGCTGTAGAATTTGCTGGTTTATGTACGCACATGGCCGACGCGCAAGCTAATATCCATAGGTACACGCAGCGCCAGTTCAAACGGTTCCGGGATGTGGTGGACGCGCTGCGAGCGAAGAACGTCCCCGTGCCCTGCGTGCACGTCGAGAACTCCCAAACGTTACTAGATGCTCACGTCGGTCCCGAGAGAATGAGGAGATTAGTAGGTGATGGTGCTGGATTTTGTCGTGTAGGAGGCGCGCTCTACGGCCAACGGCACCACGATGTACTGAAACCTGTATTATCATTAAAGGCGCAGGTGCGGCATGTGCACCGCCTGGAAGCGGGCATGACCGTAGGCTACGATCGAAGCTGGATCGCGCCGCGGGATAGTGTAGTAGCCACTCTGTCGATCGGCTTCGCCGACGGCTACCCTCGATCGTTATCAAATCAAGGCGTCGTCTACATCCGGGGCCACGAGTTTGTGGTGGCGGGCAAAGTTTGCATGGACATGGTGATGGTCGACTTAGGGGCCAAGGGCGGCCCCGGCGAATCGGTAAGGGTCGGCGACTACGCGACGCTGTGGGGGGATGGCGGGAACACGCTCGCGGCGACGGCCGATGGGTTGGGGACGGCGCAGTCGGATTTGACGTGTGACTTATCTAGGAGGGTGGCGCGGCGCTACGTCAATTTGCCGCCGGACTGGCGGGCGCCCGAGGACCACTACGTGATCGCATAGCATGTTTCTTTCGGTCGTTCGCCCTTTAAATTTGTAGTACTGTTAGCCAGGGTCGGAGGAAGCGCCTAGTAGTCGCCGGTCTCGAAGCGCGCGAGGTGGTCTCCGGAGCCCGTGCTGGTGCGCGGCGCGGACCGCGAGGACCCGGTGCTCGACCGGTTGCGCGGCGTGATGCGCGTAGGATGTTCCGGACTGTGTGGAATCAACCAGTGAGTTAGGTTATCGCGTCGATGGCGTGGGGCGCCCGAAATTGATTTCCACACAGGTTCCGACGCGAGGTCAGAGGAGTCCTCGCGCTGGGCCGCGACGCGCGCCGCCGCGGCCCTTCTAGCTTGAGCTTGCTGCCGGCGGTGCTCGGGCGACGCGTACGACTCGACCGGCCCCGAAAGGGTCGGCGGCCCCTCGACCTGGTTGTGGCCCGTCCACTCGCCGTCGCCGAGCCACTGTAATAATGACAAGCGCTGGATGGCGTCGTCCAGGTGTCTTTCATCTCTAATCGTCGACCGACTATCTCCAGCACGTTTATCAGCAGCAACCAACAGCCGTCGAGCCTGGACCAGTTCCTCCAACAAAGCCTCCTGCTCCGCCCGTCGCGCCGCCTTCTCCGCCGCGAGCTCCTTCTCCAACCGATCTATATCACTATGGGCTTCATCAATCCTCCCTTGAGCCATCGCCAGCACCGTGTCCATGGCGTGGGCCGTCTCGGCGGCCAGTTCCTCGGCGTACTCCGCCGCCGCCTCGGCCGCGTCGCAGCGGTCTTTGGTTTCTCTGAAGTCGACGTCGAGCTCGGCGTGGAAGATAGTAGTCGCGTCTTTCTCTTCTTTCGTCTCCTCGTCGTCCTCGGCCCAGCTCACCTTCTTCTCGACGGAGCCGCCGGACCTTGGCGTGGGCGGCTGGTCGTCGACGACTTGCCGCGCGGTGCGGAAGGCCGCGCGCGCGTTCGGACCATGTGTTGGTGGTTGCGGCGCCTCGTCGCCGAGCTCGGAGAAGCGAGATCGGCGCGGGCTGCCCGCGTAGCCGTCGTCGTCGTTAAAGTCGTCGACGGCGTCGTACTCCGCGTCCAGATCGACGTCGTCATCGTGGCGCATGGCCGCGAGCGGGTCCGCCGCGAACTCGGCGAGCGGCGACGCCGCGCGCCGCGGCTTGTCTCGACTAACAACGTAGGGCGGCGCCGGCGTTCGTTGAGGCGCGGCCGGCCCTTGCACGGAGATGGACATGTCCGAGGTGCGCCGCGGCCGCACGCGGTGGACGTAGCCCTCATCTACGTCGTTGCTGTCGCGGCCGGCGAGATCATAATCGCCGTCTAATTCATCGTAATCCCCTCTGTTCGCCTGGATGGGCTCGGCGTAGTGGCGGCTCGTCGCCGATTGGGGCGGGCGGCCGCCCCTCATTTTTGTTCACTTGTAGCGCTCCGCGGCGACGGCGTAGCGATTTCAAGCAGGGAGAGCCAAATGTAATTTTTTACCACTGTCCTCGTTATACCCGAGGCGGCCGCGGCGGCTCCAAATTGTACACGAGCGAGGCCACTACAAGAGCGCCAACGCGTGTGAGCGTGCGTTTTTTGCAATCAATAAGCCAAGCAAGCAAATGCGGGCAAAGCTTATGCTTCTAGTGTCTTACAGGCCGCTAGCGATGCTCGCAAACGTCGAGGAACGATACCCCAGAAACAAAAAGAAGATCCCACGCGCTCGGATCTATCGTGCGGGGCCTTAGAAATCACAAGCTCCATCAGGAGAGGCTCTCAAAATCGAAGGCATTCATCGAGCTGCAAGATTGCACCAGGCGCTTGTGCAGCATCGGAGTAGTCCGCGAAGAGCTGCAAACGGAGTCGATCGCTGCGACGCCACCGCTGCGACCCAAAATGGCTAGCTGGACCTCACGCCTCCTGGGCGCGCCGCGGTCCAAGTACGACGAGCCCGCCGTTGATGACCTGATCGAGGACGCCCCGGCAGCCAACATAGGCTACACCCTGCAACTGATCCGGGGCGTGCCCCAGAACCCGCTCTTCGACAGAAGTCAATTCGAGGGCATAATAGACCACTTCGCGACGAGGGACACGGACACGTACGTGTGCACCTACGTCAAGGCGGGCACGACCTGGTGCCAGCAGATCGTGACCCTACTCTTGAACGGAGGCGAGCAGGGCGCGAAGTCGTACGGTGAGACCGTTCCCTGGCTCGAGGCGTTGTGCGCGCCGCCGTCGACGCCCTTGGCGTCGCGGGAAGCGCCCGGCTTCGCCGACGTCAAAGCCGTCGACGCATGGGAAGGCCCGCGGTTCTTCAAGACGCACGCGACCGTCGCGGATTTACCTCGAGGCAAAGCACAGGTGAAAGTCATCGCGGTCGCTAGGAACCCCAAGGACACGGTCGTTAGTTTATTCCACCACGCGTCCTCCAAACCGGAGTTTGAATTTAGCGGGAACTTTGACGACTTTTTGCGAGTGTTCATGGCCGGCAACGCCGAGAACGGGTCCTGGTTCGCCCATGTGAATGATTGGTACAGAGAATCGAGAAAATCGGATCGGGTGCTCTGGCTGACCTACGAGGGCATGATCTGCGATCATGAGGGCGCGGTGCGCAAAATAGCTGCATTCTTGGGGTTAAATGTCTCTGATGAAACCGTGATGCGGACGGTAGCTCATTCCACAATTGATAGCATGCGCTCCAATAAAAAGGCGAACATCGGCTTGAACCATCTGCGGAAAGGCGGCATCGGGGGCTGGCGGGACACGTTCACTGTTAGTCAATCGGAGCTGTTCGACAAGGTGTACGCGAGGAAGATGGCGGAGTCCGGGTTGGTCTTCGACTTCGGGGAGGGGTTGGTCATGTAACTACAGTTTATCACACACTAGTCTCGGAGTCGTTGCCGTCGCCCGGGATCACGCCCAGCGCCACGAGCTTCTCCACGAGCAGTTCTCGTGACGGCGCCTCGCCATTACCATCGAGGAGCTCTCTACCGATAAGCCTCGCGCGCAACTCGCCTCCAAAGTAGCCGAAGATTGCCGGCAGGGACCCGAGCTTTTCTTCAGGAACGCAAAACTTCGCCTCGACCCTTCGCAGCTCGCAGCCGCCCCTTCTACTGATGGGTATGCTCTCGAGGGCCTCGAGCGTCGCTTCACATTTCGGATTTGGGGGGTGGTCCAAGCTTACAAGGACCCACCGGTCGCTCGACGCGTCGACGACGAGTCGCCGCCAGGCCGTCGGGTCAACCCTCAGAGCGCCGGGCGGCTTGTTTCTTCGTTCCGCCGCTTCGCGTAGTTCCGCCATGCGCGCCTGGCCGTAGGACTCCATCGGGGCGCCTGCTAATAAAGCTTCGTCGTCGCTCGACTCGTCCTCTTCTGCCATCTTGGCCGCCATGAAGTCGGCGCCGGCGTGGAAGGCTGCCAGGGTGTTGGGGCCCATCTTCTCGCCCATCGTTGCAGCGCTGCGATTTTTGTGCTGCCTGCTGGAGACCTGCACCAGGCTTGCTCGTGCACTGTTTGCAATGAAATTTGCAGGTCAGCAGCGCGTCGCACGGCTGCGATCGTTCGTGCTGCGACAGAGCCTCAGTGCCTCAGTGCGGCGTACAGCAGATGCTGGCCCTGTCTTGCTGGCTGGCTTGCTAGTGTCTTACAGGCCGCTAGCTTAGCCCTGGCAAACAAGGGTACGTGGCGAGTGAGTTTCGTCATAGGCGGTAAATAATTCGTATTCAGGAATGCGATTCAAATGAACCCCGTACGAAGAGTACGATTGATGGTGTTCAGCGTACAGAGAGAGCCTCATGTGCTGGCATCGATGATGGGGCCGCGCGCCAGCATGACGGCGCGATAGCGTGACACCAAGCGGGGCAGCCTCCCTCCACAACCATGGCCAACGACAAGACAGCAAAAGTGTCCCCCGGCCAAGGAGCCCAGGGCAAGGCCACGCGCAGCCGTAGAGAGTTAAAAAAGAAGCTCAAGAAGGCCGGCCACGTCGCCGTCGCCGCGACGGAGCTCGAAAAGGGCGCCAAGGACGTCAAGGACAGGTACGGCAAAACAAAGGGCGAGACGCTCCGCGGCGCGCAGGGCCGCGACAAAAAACGGCAGAATCCCATCGTGCCCAAGGCCATCTCTACGAGAGCCGCCTCGAACAAAGCTAATTTAGTGATGGCGGCCAAGATGTGCAAGGACCCGGTGCAGATGTCGATGCGAGATGTCTGCACTGATTTCCTCGACCCCTTCCACCAGTGGTCGTCGCAGAAGGTCGGCGATGCCTACCTGAAGAGGATGCAGCCCATTGATTGGTTCTCTAGAGATACCGGTTGCAGAGGAGCATGGTGTTTCACTTCTGCCTGGAGGTGTGCTAGTCGATTGGGCAGTGCAGGTACGGACGCCGCGGGCTACGCCGTGGCCTGGTCGGCTCTAGGCTTTATTGGAGAAGGTTTACATCGAAATACCTACATCGGCTCGTACGTGGCCGGCCCGAAAAGGGGCCGGAGATGCGTCGTCAAGCGTTTGAAGGGCGAAAAGGGGTCCTGGACCGGAGACCAGATGCCGGATTTTTTAAGGCAGGACATCGGCGTGTCGGATGTCTGCATCTGCTTGGCTGGGGAGTTCAACAAATTGCAACAAAATAACCGGACTCGTACCTTACGGTTCAACAAGTACCTTGCTTTACGGGTAGGGAGTGCGGGTCGGTTATCAGGCTTCGCACCGGGCGAGTGGGTGACCGTCGAGGACTACTATCCCGGTGGGTTTGAAAAGCTCGTGGCCAATAGCGGTGTTGTGGCCTATGAGAACAATAGGGGTTCGCTCGCTACATTTTCTCATTGGACCTACCACAGAACCCAAGGGAAATTCTTAGTGACGGATATCCAAGGCGTAAGGCCAAAACTGGAGGAGATCTATCTACTCACGGACCCGGCGATCCATTCGGTCGATGAGCGTGGTGGGTGTCTGGACCACGGCGAAAGCGGGATTCTGAACTTCTTCGCCACGCACGAGTGCACTAGTCGTTGCAAGGATCTACTGAGGCCTCGTGTGAGCGAGGAGGAGCTGCGGAAAAGACGCGATAGAGTAGCAAAAAGGCCGGGCGGCTGGCGCATGGCGAAGGGCGACAGCGACGAGGAGGAGAAGGATCCCGCTTCCAAACCTCCTTCGTTCGCGCATGCGCAGCGGGAAACGCGACTCATCTTCCAGGCTCCCAAGACCAAGTAACTTATTTATTGTTCGTACTAGTCCACGTCCGTCGTCCGCGGCTAGGCGGCCTAGCTCTAAGCAAGCACACGTCGACGGCGTATGGGCTGTACCAAGAAGACTCGGTCGCGCGGGGAGGCGTCGGCTCCGCGGCCCGGCGGTCCTGGCGGCCTCGTGTAGCTCTGGACGCTCGCGCAGACCGCTAACCTCCACGCTGTCGAGGCGATATCTAGTCACAGTCTTAGGACCCTTCGGGGGGGTTCCGGAAGGCGCGCACCAACTCCCAGCACCGCTCCTCCATGCCCTTCAATTCAGTATGCCACGTCTCGTAGCGCGCCTTCTCCAGGACGCCTTCTCTCCCATCTTGAATCTCGCGGAGCTTCTTCGCGACGGGCTCGGGGTCCACGGCCGGCTCCAAGGACGCCAGCTCCTCGTTCGCCCGTCGCAGTCGCAGCGCGAGCTCGCGGATCTCCTCGTCCAGAGCCTCTTCATCCACGTCGTCGGGGGCATCGGTCGGTACGTCGCCCAAGGGCCGCGTCTCCCGCGCATTTGATGCAATCTCGGGCGCTCGTCGCGGCGCCAGAATATTTGTTTGGACATATAGCTCAAATAAATCGGCCTCGACGTCGAAGAACTCCTGGAAGCGCGCGAGCATGCGCTGCGTGCCGAGTCTTACCGCTACTTTCAGTTCGATCTCCGTCGGTTCTGGGGGTTGGTCGGCCATGGCTCCAGCGCTGCGCGCGCAGACTCAAATTCCCGCGTGCTTTGGAGGCAAAGCAAAACAAGCAAGTGCCGGAGCGCAGGACTCGCGGAGAGCTTCTCTGTGCTGTAGGGCAGCACTGGTGTAGCTCAAACACTGCTCGTTGTGTGCTGAGCGGGCAAATAGGGTGACTTTTTGCTGTGGCTCCAGTTTGCCAGCGCTAGCGTCGTAAGACACTAGCCTCGAGCCGATTTCGATGCAGTGCTGTGGGCGCTGTAGTCGTGCAAAATCGACGAGATAGGGCGCGGGGCAGCCGCGTGCATAGTAAAGAAGCAGCCCGCACCATGGCCGAGCAAATCAGCAAGAGCCAAGCCCAGCCGATGCGCCGCGATGAGGCCACGACCAAATCATTGATCTCGGCCTGCTACGCCGGCGACTTAGAACGAGTCGTCGCATTGCTAGGCGACGGCGCGGACCCGAGCGCGACGGATGTGGTGGGGTGGTTTCCGTTGTACCAGGCGGCCTGCGGCGGCGACTCCCACTCCGAAGACCATGCGAAGGTCATCGCGACGCTCATTGATCACGGGGTCCATCCCGATCAAAGAACGCCGAACGGCGAGACGGCGCTCATGGCCGCGGCGTACCGGGGCCACGCGCCGTGTGTCGCGATACTAGTCATGAAGGGCGCGGATGCCCATACAACAGCGTCATCAGGCCCATGGGAAGGTCGGGACTGCTTCTGGATCGCCAAGACAAGTGTGGAGCAAAAAGTTATGAAACAGGAGGAGCTCGAGGTGGTCCTGGCGGCTTTGAAGCTGGAGCGCGGCACCGCTCCACCGCAGCCGGCATCGGTACCGCCGCCGGCGCCCGCAGAACCACCAAAAACACAAGAGGCCTGCGCCTACTGCGGCGACGCCGCTAATCGTAGATGCTCGCGCTGCAAGAAAGTGTGGTACTGCAGCGTCCTCTGCCAGCAGGAGCACTACAAGAAGGGTCATCGTAGTAAATGCTGGGCCGCCAAGGGCGTGAAGGCGGCGCCGTTACTCAAACCGCAGAAACCGGCGCCGCCACCGGCGCCAGCCGCGGAGGAAGACGACTTCTCCGCGTTGCCGCCGACCGAGGCCGCGGCGCGGGCCGGCGCGCGCGCCGCGCAGAAGGTCTTTGATAAGGGCGGCAGCGTTCAAAATGCGGCGACGGAGGCCGGCCGCGCCGCGTCGCTGGCGGCCATGGCCCGGGGCCTTTCGATCACGGACGCGGCGGCGGCCTCTCGAGACGCCTGCGCCGCGGTGACCGGCGACTAACACTATGTAGTTTAGACCCACCCCCCTGGGAGAGGTATGTACATGACCCCCGTCGCGTCGATGGCGTCGAGGTGGTGCCGCACCGCCCTGGACGCCACCGACGCGACATCCAATCACGAAGCCAGCGCCTTCACCACGGCGCCCGTCTCCGCCGTCCAGCCGACAATCCCCCCCTGCGACACGATCATCGCCAGCGTCGCCTCTTTAAACGCGGGGATGTACGACTCCGTCGCGTCAGAAACGACCAAGACTTCGAAGCCTCGATCGTTTGCTTCTCTTGCAGTAGACTGGACGCAGACCTCGGTGGTCACGCCCGTCATGATTAGGTGCGTGCAGCCGGCGGCTCGCAATTGCGTTTCGAGAGATGTGGCGTAGAAGGCGCCCTTGCCCGGCTTGTGTATTATGATCTCACTGTCGCGTGGTTGCAACTCATCAATGATAGCATTGCCCGCCTCGCCCTTCACCAGCACTCGTCCTAACTCGCCCTTTTCGCCGATCTTGGGACACCGCCGCTTCTTCGCGGGATGCACATCCGACAAATCTTTTGAATGAGCCTCGAGCGTGTGGGCGACCGTCAGGCCCTTGGACCTGAATAACTCAAGCAATCGCTTCGCGTTCTGAACACCTTGTCGTAATGATGTAACATCATTCCCTAGCGACGCGCCGAAGCCCCGCGGGTCCAGGAAATCGTTCTGCCAGTCGACCATCAGCAAAGCGACCGACGTTGGCAAGAATGAGTAGGGAAAGGGCTTCGCCTCGGCAATGGTCTTCGTTAAAAGATTCCCCTGTGGGGCTAGGACGAGGGGCCGGAAGGGCCGTTGCGGCCACGCTGGTGCACCTTTCATAGGATTAGTAGGCAACGCATCCAGCACCTTGAGAATCGCATTTGAGGAAGCGATGCACCCAAACACGCCGTGCTGCATCGTGACCATCTTGTGGGCCGCTTGATGATTTCCGGGATCAGTGGCGCCCGTGCCGTCCGTGATCAGACAACACTCGAAGCCCCGGTCATTACCCTCGCGCATAGTAGTGTGCACACAGACGTCCGTCGTGATGCCTCCCAACAACAATGTAGTAGTACCGGTCGTCCGCAACAACATTTCTAGGTCCGTGGCATGAAAACTACCTTTGCCGCACTTGTCTATTATATCTTCGTGAGGTAAGGGTAGTAGCTCGGGGATCAGATCCCAGCCCGGCTCGCCCCGCACCAACACACGACCACACGGCCCCGGCGTGCCGATGCCCCCCGAACCACCGCAGATCTGGGCTGATCGCCACCTCTTATTTTGTGGCAAATCTGCTAATGAGGGCCTATGCCCTTCCCGTGTGTGGATCACGCGGCAGCCCGTCCGGCGCGCGGCTTTGAGAATGCGCTGTAAAGGTTCGATGGGCGCCCGCGTCGCATTGATGTCGTAGCCCATCTGGTCCACATACCCACCGTGGCCGCAGAAATCGACCTGCATGTCTATGAGTATGAGTGCCGTCTTGGCTGGGTCCAGGTCGCCGTCGTAGGGGAAGGCGTAGGGCTTGGCCTCGATCTGGGGCATGGTCGTCGTTGGTGGCTGCCTCTTCTCCGCGGGCACCCTTTGCTCCTATAGCGTGACTGCTGGGTGGGCAGCCTCTCTGCTCTTCCAGAGCTGGAGACCTTGGCTGCCCCGCACGATCAGCCCGCTGCATTTTGATTAACGGGGAAGAGCGACTCCTCCGAGAGGAAGCGCAGACTGGAAATCTGTCCTCGACGCGCAAAACCCGTCAAAAAAACTTCCTGCCTCAGCTCCATCTGGCACTGCACGATATTCTAGTCCAGCAAGGGCCTGCTGTGCATAAAAACATCTCATTGCTGGCCCCCCGTGCGCTGCTTGCTTCCCGCAATAAATTACACACCACACGCGGAGCACTCTGGTGCACAAGAGCAGACATCATGAGAGTGCTCACCTCACTCCTCGCCACGACGGCCGCAGCGTGGACAGTAGACAAGATGAACCGCCCACAGGGCCGCGTCGCCGACCCCGACGGCCTCCTGAAAAACCCTGACGCCATCGAGGATGCGCTCGCGCGGCTCGCGACCAAGCACGTCGAGTGGCCGCCAAATTCGCCCTGCGCGACGACGAACGTCGACGGCGTCGAGGCCGTGGTCGTCGTCGTCACGCACTTAAGAGGCGTGCACCTCAAGCAAGAAGACGACGAAAAGCGGAGGCGCGCGGGGGAGTTCGCGCGCGGCCTGCATGACAAGTGGGGCGTCGGTTCTAAGAAATGCTCGAACGGCGTGCTCATCGTCATTGATTATGGCGACCGCGCTTTTTATTTGAGCACCGGCGATGGCGTGCGTGCCGGCGGGCTCCTCTCGGACGCGCGCGCCACGCGAGCCCTCGAGGCGAGCGCGCCGTATTTGAGGAGCGGAGCCATCGACGAGGGCGTCCTGAAGACCATAAAGAAGGTCGACGCGTTCCTGGCCCGGGGCCCGCCGACGTGGAGCGAGTGGCTCGCGTCGTTTGTGTCCAATGACTTTGTGTTACTTTTATTCTGGGTTTTCATTTACTGGTTGATTAAATGCTGTGCTGGTGATTGGGAGTTCGTCCTTCCGTGGCGCGACCGGCGGCGCCGCGAGTACGAGGCCGCGACGCGCCAGCTCAGGGCCGTCGAGAAGTTCCGCGACGCCACGGAGGGCGAGACGTCGGCGGCGGAGAGCTGTCCCGTCTGTTTGGAAGATTTCAAAACGACACCGAAGGCTTTGGGCTGCGGCCACGTCTTCTGCGCGCCGTGCCTGAGCCAGTGGACGCGGGAGAACGCGACGTGTCCTATTTGTAGAGCGCCCGTCGCCGGCTCGGACTACGGCACGGCGGCGGCGCCGAGCTACACGCCTTCACAAAGACGCGACGACGAGGTCGTCTACCGGCTGCGGCGGGTCCACCGCATGTACCCGACGTTTTTCGAGCGGACGAGAAGCGACGAATTGTTCGACGGCGGCTACCGGTCCGGCAGCCTCTCGCGCTACGCGCGCGCGCCGCCAGCGCCGCCGCCGCGGGCGTCGTACTCGTCGTCGCGCGGCTCCCGCTCCGGCGGGTACTCGTCGTCGTCGTCGACGTACGGCGGGGGCCGCAGCTCGGGCGGTGGTGGGGGCGGGGGGTGGTGAGGCCCTTCTCTTGCCTGGCCCAATTGTCCCAATTTTTTTACAGTTATTATCACTTACTTCTAGATGAGGGGGACGTGCGAGGCCATCAGGCGACACACGACATCGCCTGGTATGTGGACTAGCGTTGTCCAGGAGGAGCAGTCATCTTCGAGGACCTTTATGGTATTGTCATTTCCGAAGACCGCATATTTGCCGTCGATGCAGCCGCTTGGACAATAATTATCCGGGCGAGTGTAGCTCTTCCTCTCCGTTTCCGCGTTCTCGTCAGTCGACTCCCAATCCGGTACGATTTCGTAGATAGTCCCCGAGCCGGTCTCCGGATCTAGGTCCTCTGGGTCGTACATTTCGATCAGCTGCTGCTGCCTGGCTCCCGAAAACCAAATCTCGCCCCCGACGACCGCGGCGTGCGCACCCCAGCGATAGATGTGGTCACCATTGTCATGATCGTAAGTTGGAGTACATGTCCACGTGTCATTGTCAACGTCGTATACCTGCACTATAGGACAAGTGATACGAGTGTTAGCATTCGCACCGCCGATCACGTACAGCTTGTTGCCTAAGGCGGCGCACGCGCCCTGCCACACACCGACCTGCATCTCAGCCCGCTGTCGCCACTCGTCCGCGTCGACGTCGTACTCGTAGACGCCGCATTCGGCTGGGGTGCGAAGAATGTCCGTATCCGGCGTCATCGAGAAGTAGTCGTCGTTGGCGCGGTGGTCTGCATTATGCAAGACCGGCGGTCGAGTGATGACGGCGCCACCCGCACAGAAAAGCCGCCCCGCCACCACTGCGAACGCTGGAGCCTCGACCGGGGCCGTGGCCTCCTCTCCTGCCCCGAGGAAATAGGGACTGTCGACCGGGGGTGCCGCCAGCGTCCGCCACGTTCCTTTTGATACGTTAAAGGCGTGCATGTGGCACAGAGGCGAGTCTATCCTTCGGTGATTCATACCGTCGCCACCAATAACCATGACCTCGTCGCCCAGGACCGCACACCGCTCGAAGCCGTCCGCGCCCCTGCCGGGACCCCGGAGGAGTCGGCCGTCGTGAGTCACGAGGAAGCTCGGCGTCGTCTCGAGGCTGCCATCCCGCTCCCAACCGTTGTCGTAACAATACACGAGACATGTGCCCGTCTCGCCGATGGCGCGTCGCGCCCGCTCGAACGGCTTCGACGCGACGACGTGCCGCCATTGCTTGCAGACGCTCGTGATGGCCGAGCGGTCGGCAAATGACACCGTGGCGAGTATGTGGTTCAGGACGTCGTCTCCAAAGCTCTTGAACAGGAGGATCGTGCGCGCGCCGCGTGCAGAGCGGGTCTGAGGCATGGCAGTGCTACTGTTGTTGGGGCGCGGCGGTGAAACACAAGCACGCACGCCTTGCGCCAAGAGGTCTCGTTCACTGCACTATTTTATCGCAGCCCAACGCGTGTGCAAGCCTGCGCTGCTGCGTGTTGTCCCCCAAGCTGTGATTTGTGCTCTCCCTCAGCTGTGGCCTCAAAACGCAGCGCAGGCGTGGACGTTTGGCACAAGACCTATATTAATAACGTTTCAGACAAATATCGACAGCGGACGCAGCGCTGCGGCCTTCGCGGCCGGTCCCAGCTCTGCCAGCAGCACTGCCACAGACTGCTGAGCACAATGCGGCTCGCACTACTCCTTATTTGTCACGCATACTGCCTGCGACCCGTCGCGAGGCCACACTCTCGCGTCGACAGGCGACCGAGCGATGGACTGACGCCCGACGAGGTCGCCGAGCTCCTCAGCTTCCCGCCGGGCTGGCGGAGCCGCGTCGCGCTCAAAGTCGACGCGCCGCCCGCCCGCGAGGCCGTCACCAGGGCCTTCTATGCGGATCTACGGAAGCGGGCCGACGAACTAGGAGGCGCGAAGAAGTACCGCGTCGACGCGCCGCGGGGCTTCTTGAATGTCCACTCCGAGCCGGACGACCCCTTCCGCCTGGACAACGTCGTCGAGCAGCTCGACCACGGCACCGTCGTGACGGCCGTCGAGGAGCGCGACGGCTGGGTCCGCCACGACATGGGCGGCTGGTCGATCCGCGAACACGGCGGCCACGCGTTCCTCGTGCCGCTCGACGACGACGCCTCCGGCGCGTAGACGCCGTCGACGCGGCAGCCCCATGTGTTAAATGTATGTATTCTATGGTATACGCAGTATAAGCGGTGCCCAGGACACCGTGAGAGTAGAGTAGTCTATGCTTAAGACCGGGGGAGACTCCTAAGCCTCGACGTTCTCGTCGGCGACGTCCGCCTCCGTGCGCACGATCGTCTCGCCGGCCTTCGTGCCGTCGAGGGGCGGGTGCGCGACGGCCCACGTCTTGCGCACGAGCTCGGCCTGCTTCGCGTCCGCCTCGCTCGAGTCCGCCGGCGTCTCGTTCACGGACACGGCGTCGACCATTGGCTTGGCCTTGGCGCGGTAGGCCCAGGCCTCGCGCGCCCGCGGGTCGTCGGACTCGCGCTCCTTCGCGTCCCAGGCCGCCTCGGCCGCGCGGTGGTCCGCCGTCGCGGCCGCCGCCGCCGCGCCGCCGTCGTCCTCGATCTGGGGCTCGTCGGCCTTGGCCTTGTCCTCCGCGAGCGCCGCGGCGCGCTTCGCCGCGTCCTCCTTCTCGGCCTCGAGCGCGCGCTCGGCGTGGCTCGCCGCCGGCGCGTCCGTCTCCATGGGCTCCGCCTCCTCCTCGGCCGGCGCGTCCTCGTCCATCGCGTCCTCCGCGGCGGGCTCCTCGGCCGCGGGCGCCTCCTCCATCTCCGCGTCCGCGTCCTTCTTCTTCGACCCGAGGTAGTAGTCGTCCAAGGCCCCGGCCTGCGGCTCGGGCTTCTTCTTCTTCTGCGCCGCGGGCTTCTTCTTCGTCGGCGCGGCCTTCGCCGCCTCGGACAGGAACTCGGGGTAGGCCTTGCGCGCGACCTCGACGATGCTCCGGCACTTCTTGCCGCCCTTCGGATCGAGCCAGTACTTGTCGACGTGGTCCGACCCTTCGCGCTTCTTCTCCTCCTTCGTCCAGCCGTCGGCGGCCATGCGCTCCTCGAGGGCCTTCTTGTCCGTGACCTTGCCGCCCGTCGACTGGCGCTTCTCCGAAGGCTCCTTTTTCTCCTTCTTCGCCTTCTTCGGCTTGACCGCGACCATGGGCGCGTCGTCCTTCCACTTCTGCTTGGCCGCGTCATCCAACTTGCCCCACATGTCCGCGAGCTTCTTCATGATGGCCTGGTTCTTCTCCTTGGCCGGCATGTCGGGGTTCTCGGCCTCGATCTCGGCCTTGGCGCTGTCGCGGTTCTGGGCGTTGTGGTACATGTAGCCGGTCTGCTTCTTCATCTTCGGCTCGCCATCATCTTCGGCCGGCGCGTCCTCCGTCTTCTTGGCGGCGGGTTTTTTCTTCGGCTTCTCTCCGCCGGCCTCCTTCGTCGAGGGCCGCTTCTTGCGCTCCTTCTCGACGGCCTTCGTCGACATCTTGGACACGCCGCCGACGCGCAGCTCCAAGCAGCCGCCCTCGGCGGCCGCGGCCGTGCCGTGCTCGCCGTGTCTCAGCTTGCCGAACTCGGTCCGCGCCGCGGACCAGCCCGCCGGGAAGTCGTCGTGGAGCGTCTCCTTGACGTTGCCCTCGGCGTCTAATCGTACAATTTCGATCTTGTCGGCCATGCTTGCTGTTGGGGGGCGGCCCGAATTCAAATGCAGGCTGTCTGGCGGCTTGACGCGCCTGCGGGATTGCGCGGTGACTACGGCGCGCCGCGGGCGCACAACTCGGTGAGGGCTCGATGGCAGCGTTTTGAAGGCGTGGCGCGACTCTGGAGGCGGGCGGGTAAGCGTACGCACCGGATGCTCCAAAGTTTGCGCGCGCGCAAAGCAAGCTAGCGTCTCAAGGCTACTAGCATTTGAATCTTAGACGCGAAAGTAACGCGCGCGCCTGCTCCTATGATCTCTCGGGAGAAAAATCACCCGAAAACTCCGTTGCGTTGCGTTGCGTGCGGGTGCGAAAATCTGAGGCGCTGGCAGCTGGCGCAATCTGAGCTCAGGATTGCGTTGCTCTGTAGCGCTAATCCAGTAGGCAGCTTGAGGCTCACCAACAGGGCAGCCCCGGGAAGGCGCAAGAAGGGTGGCATACAATGGGCGGCGGTGTATCATCTCTCCCGGCCGAGGTCTCGCTTGCCGAGGCCAAGAAGCTGGCGGGAGCCAAGTGGCAGCCCGAATGGGAAGAGAAGTTCGCAGAAGCCAAGATTTCCAAGGACGAGGCGCTGCAATGCTGGAAGGAGGCCAAGGCTAATGCGGACGGCCCGGCGAGCAAGGGCGCGGGGCCAGCGGACGAGAACAAGAAGAAGAAGTCCGCCACCGCGAAAGCGCTATGGAAGAAGGGCGTCGCGAAGGTGGGCTGGATCGCGCACGCGAAGGCGCGGGCGGCGGCGATCGAGCGCGCGCAAAGGGCAGGCATTTCGGAGCAGCTCTACGAAAAACTCCACGGTGTCGACCGCTCCGGCGTTGCCGAGGCGCTGGACTTTTCGGCCATAATAGCCGAGAAACGCGGGCAGCATCTGCCGGGCACGCGCGAGTGGGTGTTCGAGGCGGTCATGCGCTGGCGGACGGATCCGGAAGCGGCGAAGCTCTTCTGGCTCGTTGGTGGTGGCGGCACGGGCAAGAGTGTCGCCGCGGCCGAGTTGCTGGCACGGCTGCTCGACAAAGAGAACGTCGCGGCGTGGCACTTCTGCAAACATACGGAGCCGGCGCGGTCAGCTCCAGCGGCACTTTTGCGCTCCTTAGCCGGCATGCTTTGCGCCACGGTCGAGGGCTTCGAAGACGCCTTGCGCGAGGGCGGCGGCGGCGACAACGCGACGGACAAGGTCGACGAGCTCTTCCAGGCGCTGATCGTTGAGCCGCTGGAATGCGTCGAGGAGACACGCGGCGCGGACGATGCTCTAGTGTTGATAGTCGATGCACTCGACGAGCTACCGCGAGATGCTTTGCAGCCCGTACTCTCGCTGCTCGCGAACGAGCTCAAGACACTGCCGCCGTGGATTAAACTCGTCGTCACCAGCCGCGACGAAGCTCAGATTAAAGCAAGACTCTCGTGCTTCACGCCGTCGGAGCTACGCGTCGACGAGGCACGGAACCGGCAAGACGTTCGCGCGTACCTGACGGTACTCGCGAAGGAACACGTCGAGCTCGAGGTGACGATGGACTCGCTGCGGCACGAGGTCGAGGCGAATTTCCCGGGCTTGAAGAATCTCGACACGTTCGCCGACCTCGAGGACCCGCTGCGGCGGTCAAAGGGCGCGTACGACGAGGCGGTCCGCGGCGTCGCCGGGATCCACGAGCTCGAGAAGTATAAGGAGCGACGTCTCGACTTGATACAAGACGAGACCGACTTCGAGAAGCTCTACGCCGACGCAGCTGTGGCGCAGACGATCTTAATCGACGCGCTGAAGACGCTCCCTGGCGACGTCTCGGATCCAGGCGTGAAAGGGCGCGGATCCGCGGAGCGCAAGCTCGCGGACAAGTACACCGACAAGAATGGGGTGCCACATCCCGAGAAGTTTCGGGATCTAGCCCGCGCGACAGTCCTGTTCGAGAACGCCGCCGACCTTCTGAAGGTGCTGACTGAATTGGACGGCGGCAGCCTCGGGCTGGATATCGCTCAATAAAAAAACAAGTTCGCGAGCCCGACGCCCCTCGGCTACCGCGACATGAATTTGAACGTCAGCGTGCGCCTCGACGACGGTCGAAAACATCTCGCCGAGGTTCAGCTGAATTTAAAAAGCGTCGCGGACGCCAAGCACATCGCCCACGAGCAGTATGAGGTGATTCGATTAGCACTACCGAAGATGTGCGAGGGCACGAGCGTTGGCGCGGGCGCGCTCGAGAAGTATATCGCTGGTCGCTTGCGGTCTTCGGCGCTAGATTCTGCCGTGACCTCGCTTGAGCGCAAGGCTGGCGGACTCATGCTCTACGCACGCCTCATCGCAGAGCAGCTCGCGTCCACGACGGGCAAGATCGACTTTGCGAGCGTCGGCGCGCTGCCGGCGGGCCTCGACGAGATCTACGCCGAGAACTTTCGACGCGTGTTTGTTGATGATGGCGCGTGGGGTGATGCGCTGCCGCTCATTGAATTAATTTGCGCTGCTGCCGAGCCGTTGACAATTGACGCTGCGAGTGTGGCGCTCGGCTGGGATCAGGATCGCTGCGAGCGTCTCTGCGCGAATGTGTCGCTGTTGTTCCCGCTCCGCGAGGGCGAGGTGATTGGTGTTTTACACAAGACAGTGACGGACTGGCTAACCGGTGAGGCGCCTTTCGACAAGCGCTCTTCTGAGGACGCGTTCTTCGTCGCGCGGGACGCGGCGCACCGGCGGCTGGCGCGGGCGTGTGCTCGGGCGATTCGTGCTGAGGGTCTGGATACGGAGTCGTACTCGAGCGACGCGGCTGCGGACGTGGTGCTCGCTTCATTCGTCGAGGGCGACGGCGGCGTGGCGTCGGATGCTTATGCGTTGCGCTGGTGTTTGTTTCACATGAAGCGGTCCTCTTCCGAGGGCGAGGCCATTGCCGTGGCGTGTGCCTTGTCGTACGTGCAGAAACGGGTCGAGGCTGGCGACATCGGTGCATTTGCTGGTGACCTCGATGTGATTGAGGGTCGTGACGCGCTGCTCCTGCGTGATGCGTTGGTGTTGTCGCGGCGCGCGCTCTCACAGGGCGCGGTGCTTGTCGAGCAGTTGTGGCAGCGCTTGACACCACGCGCCGATACGGAGTCGTCTCCTGCCGCGCGCCGCCTGGCCGACGATGCGAAGCGTGCGGCGAGCAAGCAGTCGCTCTTGGCCGTGCGACCGATGCTTACTGCTGCTGGTGGGGCGGAGCGGTGTCGCATTGAGGTCGGGTCTGAAGTGCTTGCTGTGGCGACGTTCGTGGATCCGGCGACGGGTGAGCCGCGGGTTGCTTGTGCGTCTGGAAACAAGGTGGAGATCTATGATCCGGTCGCGGGTGGCGCGGCGCTGGTCGTGATTGATGTGGGCTCGCGGGTGTATGCGCTGGCGGTCTTCAAAGACCCGGCGACGGGCGAGCTGCGGCTCGCTTGTGGATGGAGAAAGGTGCGCATTTATGACCCGGTCGCCGGTGGCGAGGCACTGCTCGTGCTCGAGGTGGGCTCTCGGGTGAAAGCATTGGCTCTCTTCGTGGACCCGGCGACGGGCGTGCTGCGGCTCGCTTGTGGCTGTGGATCCGGCGACGGGGGCGCTGCGGGTCGCGACCGGGTCGGATGATGGGACGATTCGCATATGTGATGCGGAGACTGGTAGTGCGCTGCTCGTGATCGACGTCGGCGAGCGGGTGTTAGCGCTTGCGTTCTTTGTGGACCCGGCGACGGGCGCGCCGCGGCTCGCTTGTGGTACGGGCAAATGGGACCAAGGGACGCGGTCAGATATTGGCGACGTGCGCGTCTTCGATGCGGTCGCGGGCGGCGAGGCGCTGGTTGTCCTTGATGGGCACACAGACTACGTGCGAGCGTTGGCATTCTTCTTCGCGGACCCGGCGACTGGCGAGTTGCGGCTCGTGAGCGGATCGGACGACAAAACTGTGCGCGTCTTCGACCCGGTCGCTAGTGGTCAAGCGCTGGTCGTGATCGACGTTGGCTCGGACGTGAACGCGCTGGCGTTCTTCGCGGACCCGGCGACGGGCGAACCGCGGCTCGCGACTAGCTCTGGACAGGTCTTTGACCCGATTGCGGGCGGCGACGCATTGGTCGTGCTCGAAGGGGGCGGTAGCCCGCTGGTCGTATTCACAGACCCGGCGACGGGCGGTCTTCGCCTCGCGAGCGGATCGAACGAATCCGTGCGCGTCTGGGACTTGGCCGCGGGCGCGGCGCTGTTCGTGCTCGAGGGACACACAAGCGCCGTTTTCGCGCTGACGGCCTACGCGGACCCGGCGACGGGCGAGCCGCGGCTCGCGAGTGGGTCATGGGACAAGACCTTGCGGGTGTGGGACGCGAGCAAGGGTGGTGCGGCGCTGCGGATGGTTGCTTTTGATGACGAGGTTAGGGCCTTGGCGGTCAGTAGCGACATGAGCGGGCTCTTTGTGACTTTCGGGAAGCGGTGGGGGGAGTTTCGCATCGAGAGCGGCACGACGCCACTGACGCTTGCGTGTTACAAGGGTGACGTCGCCGCAATAAGCGATCTTCTTCAGAAGGGCGCTGGCGTCGACCAGCAAGATGATGACGGTTATACGCCACTATTCGTTGCAAGTTTGAAAGGGCACGTCGATGCCGCGCGCTTGCTGCTCGATGCGGGTGCTACGGTCGATAAGAGGCGTGAGGGTGATTGGTCGCCGTTCGGGATTGCGAGCGTTCGTGGACACGTCGACGTGGCGACGCTATTGGTAGACCGAGGTGCAGCTGTGGATATGTGCTTGGATGGTACGACGCCGCTTCTTGTTGCTAGTCGTAACCAGAACCTCGACGGAGCCTTCACTGTGCCCGATGACACGAAAAAGCGCGCGGTCTGGCTTTGGGATAAGGAAACGGTGGCGAAAGCGCTAGAAGAGGCTGAGCTCGACGTATCGGCGCCTAACAGAAACGGAAGAGATATTCTGCTCGGTGGGGGTGGGGATGACTGGACAGAAGATGAGTCTGACAAGGTAATGGAGGAGTTCCATCGGGTCGCGCTCAAGTTCATGCAGGACCAGGCCAGAGCAGGCGACGGAGCCTTCACTGTGCCCGATGACACGAAAAGGCGCGCGGTCTGGCTCTGGGATGAAGAAACGGTGGCGGAAGTGCTAGAAGAGCTAGAGGATGATATGGAAGGCTCGGCGCCTGAGCTGAACGGAAAACAACTTCTGCTTGGCGGAGGTGACTGGGCGGAGGGTGATTCTGACAAGGTGATGGAGATGATCCGTCGGTGCGCGATCCTGTTCATGCAAGACATGGCGATGAGGGATGATGACGATTAGATCGACGGACGAACACGGCCACGCCACAAAGGAACACGGCCACGCCGCCGTCGTCGCAAAGGCCGACGCGACTAGCGCCGACGTCGAGCTTCCCCATTTTCAATCCCTCCTTTCTTTATCGCCTCTTCGGGCACAAGTCAATGCCGCCCCAGGCGGGCACTGCAGAGTTCCTAAGAAAATCCCCCTCTAGCTAGCTAGCAACTACCGATACCGCTCGTTAAACCCTAGACCACCCCGGGCACGAACATGCACGGCACCTTTTCCTTGTACCGCGGCCAGTCATTTCCATATTTCTCGGCGCAGGCGTGGTCGTCGCGCAACGCGCGATGTATCAAAAGCACCAGGAAGTACGTCGCGTAGAAGTAGGGGATCGGAGAACCGAAGCCACAGAGTAGACACCACGACAGGCCCATGAGCCAGTCGCCCGTGTAGTTGACCTTGCGCGCGGCGCCCCAGAAGCCCGACGTTATTAATTTCGTACCTCTCTTGGTCTGTAGGTATGTGGTACCTCTGTCGATGGCCGTTTGCGGGTCCCTCCGGAATGAGTCTTTCTGGGAGTTGGCACCTCGGAAGACCACATAGCCAGTAAAATGCAGTAACGTAATCACCACCAAAGACAAAGTAGACAATTGAGCATCGTAGGACGCCAGGTAGCGCGCTTGTAACGAGTACGTAAAGGGGACCCAACTCAAATCGCCAAAGGCCAGCATAAACCCGAAGCCGTCCGTCGTGATGTCCATCGTCGTTAATATACTTCTCTCAAAGTACAGGGCGTCCCAGACGTACTGGAGCTGGAAGATGTTTACTAAGAGCATCGAGGTGGAGACTTCCCGTTGTTTGGCCAGTGCGCCCAGGTTGAGGCAGACCCAGCCGATGAGACCGGGCCTCAATTCGCAAAAGTACTTCAGATCAAAATTCGAAATGCGTGGGTTGAGCTCGCGGCCCATGAAAAAATCATATATACGTATGCCGGTGTTGCCCGGCTTGGCTAACAGTGGTTTTGCCGGTCTGAACGATGCGACGTACAGCGCTATCGAGAGGAGCAGAGAGAGAATACAAGATGCGACGGCTAACGGCACGAAGTCATCATATAAAGTAGAAATGTCTATCCAACGGTAGTGGTCCGCCAATGCCACTGCGACAATGGAGCACCAGAAGGCGGCGTGGCCGTTCAGGACGTAGTCCAGGCGTTTTGTGGAGCCGGGGAGCGGTGCGCCTTGTACACGGTCTCCGGGCAGGGCGACATACAGTAAAGCTTGGAACGCGAGCCAGCCGAGGACCACCCCAAATGCTTTGATTGTGACGAGGTTCGATGGGACGCGGAACTCGCTCAATGTGTTGTACCCCACACAAAAGTCATCGTCGCAAGCCACAGCTAACGCAATAACCACGAGGGGCAGGAAGACCGTCGTCGCGAGGGCGCCGAGGGGGCCGCCGAACTCGAACTCGATTGGCGCTTGCTGCTTGCGGGGTTTTCTCGCTGGCGACTTGGCGCGCGCTGCGGGCTTGCGCGCCGGCGACTTGGCTCGTCGCGCCGGCGAGGCTGCTCGAGCGCCGCCGGCTGACTGGCGGCGCGTGGCGACCATTTCTACTGCTTGTTTTTGGTTCTTGGCAGCGATGCGATCAATAACGAGCACTGCTATGACGTCGGCAGAGTTTTTGAGCCTAGCAAGCGAGCAAAGCTGGCGTCGGCCCGCGCGAGCTGCTCTTGCTAGTGTCTTTAAGCGCTAGCTGCCGCTTTTGCCCTCTTCGCGTCCTCCTCGTATACAAACAAGTTACTGTCGAATTGTTCTCGTTGCGATCGATTTGATCGATTTGTGAGAGCTGCGCTGCTTTTATTGCTCGCAGGAGCCGGCCAAGACCGGCAGCCTCGACCCACCGCCCAAGTGCGCATCGAAGCGCGGGCAGCGAAAGCGCTGCCGCGGGAGCCGGAGCCACAAACAAGCACCGCTGCTGCCACCACAGACGAGCACAAGGACCAAAAGTCACCAGACAGATGAAGCGCCGCGCGCCCGCCGACGCAGCGGCGCCGCGGCGCAGCGCCCGCAACGACCCGGCCCAGCGGGCCCGCGTCGCCCGCGAGCGCGCCGCCGCGCAGGACCGGAGGGAGCGGGAGGCGCTGGACAAAGCCCTGGAGGCCGAAGCGAGGCGCATCCAGAGGCTACCGGAGGTTGCTTTTGATGCGGCCGGGGCCGCCGCCTCCCCAGAAGGCCTCGCGCGCTGGAAATTGTCCGCCGCGGACCTCGAGGCGTTGCGCGGTGCCCAGGACGCGATCGCGGCGCAAATCGACAAGATGCCGTGGGCCGGCGGTTCTGATGATGGAGATAAACGCTGGCGGGGCTACGGCCTGCCGCCGGGCGCGCGGCGGCGGCTCGGCGCCTGGATGGGCGATAGGTTTCATTCCTTCGAGACGCCCTTGGAGTCGAGGGCGGCCGAGGCAGAACGGAACTGGAGGAGCTGCGCGGACTTTGTGCTGACCGAGGCCGTCGAAGGTGCGGCGCGGCGCTGCGCTGAAAATGCCTCAAAAGCGCTGCCCGCTCATGCCAGAGAGCTCGCCCCCGCGAACCTAGTCGCGCTCCAACCGAACGCGCACGCCGGCAACCGGCACCTGCCGCGGCACCTGGACTGGCCGCGGCACGACGGCTTTGGCGCTGTGATCATCACGGTGGCCGTGCGCGGCGCCGGGACGGTGGTGCTCGAGGACCGTGAAGGGAATATTGTCCGCTTCGACCTGCCGGAAGGCCACGCGTACTGCCTGGCCGGCGCCGCGCGGCACGCGTGGCTCCACGGCGTCGTCGGGTCGGACCCGGACCGCGAGTCGCTCAATTTGAGGTTCGGGCTCCACTCGCATGCGCGGGCCCGGGCCGAGGTTTATGAAAAGTGGGTCGACGCGGCCTGCGATGCGGAGGGGCCGGCGGGGGACGACGGGCGCGGTGGGGGCGAGAGCGTGGCGCTTGTGTGACTGTTGCGTAATGTGCTGTGTTTACATAGTTCCATGGTTCGATCCCCGGCCCTGGGGCTGCTGCTCGGGCGAGTTGTACGATGAAACCCCCGGCGCGTTTTGAATTTTAAACTCGCGGTTTCTTCCGCCGGAGGTGTCTCAGGTGGACCTCGGAGTGCTCGTGAGTACCCTGGTGAGGCAAACTAGAGATTGCGCGCGGCGGACAAATCTAGTATGTCAATGGAGCTAGCTTTGATTTTACTATTTTGCTGCGCGAACCCGTGCACCGCCCGCGTTTGCCCGCTGCGTCCTGGTTATACTTGAAACTCCTCAAAAACCTTCTTTGCCCCCAGTTCGCCGCGTGGCTGCGCGGGCGTGTCTTGCGGCGACTCAAATGAGGCGCGCCAGCTCATTTCAGCTGGGGCCGTCGTTGGCGGGTTCCGCTGCGCCGCGGTGGCCTCCCAGAGCTCGCCACGCAATGGAGCCACCCCTGACAGCCCCTGGCCGCCCACTGGCCGCTCCGCGGGCCCGGCGCAGCGGTCTGAGGCCCTCGTCGTGTTCGAACGGGACGCACGCCCCACGCTCCCGGAGCGCGGGCGCGCCTGCCACGACCTCGGCGGTCCCACGAGGCGCCACACACGCGACGATGGCGCCGGCCCCACGACGCCCACACGCCGCCACCTACCAACGCCGCGCGCCACCTCGTTACCGCGACGCCCCCTCGCAGACCCCCCCTCGTCAACCATGGCCGCCCTCGAGTCCGGCATCAAGGACGTGACGAACATGATGGAATCGGCCACCCTCCAGAAGCCGAAGCGCGCGGCGTCGCCGCCCCCCCGACCCAAGTCGGCGCACAACTCGCCGGTCCGCAAGGCCCTCTTCGTGCCCAAGGGCGCGTCGGAGATGAAGAAGCGCGAGCTCGCGGGCTCGTACGAGGACTTCACGCCGGAGCCCTTACTGATGGAGAACCCGAACCGCTTCGTGCTCTTCCCGATCGAACACGCTGATGTCTGGGCTATGTACAAGAAAGCTGAGGCCAGCTTCTGGACGGCGGAGGAGATCGACCTCTGCCACGACATGAAGGATTGGGAGCAGAAGCTTAATGACAAGGAGCGCCACTTCATCTCGACGGTGCTCGCGTTCTTCGCCGCTAGCGATGGCATCGTGAACGAAAACTTAGCCCAAAATTTCGCCACTGAGGTCCAGTGGGCCGAGGCGCGCTGCTTCTACGGCTTCCAGATCGCTATCGAGAATATTCATAGTGAGGTCTACTCACTCCTGATCGATACCTACATCCGCGACCAGACCAAGAAGGCCGAGTGCCTCAACGCCATCGAGACGATGCCTTGTGTTAAGAAGAAGGCTGATTGGGCCCTCCGCTGGTGCGACGCCGACCGCTCGTCCTTCGCCGAGCGCATCGTGGCCTTTGCCGCGGTGGAAGGCATCTTCTTCTCGGGCTCCTTCTGCGCCGTGTTTTGGTTGAAGAAGCGCGGCCTAATGCCGGGGCTCTGCTTCTCGAACGAGCTCATCTCGCGCGACGAAGGCATGCACTGCGACTTCGCCTGCTTATTGTATTCCAAGCTCCGCAACAAGCTCTCCGTCGAGACGCTCTACGAGTTGATTGGAGACGCCGTGACGATCGAGAAGGAGTTCGTGACGTCGGCCCTGCCCGTCGAGCTCATCGGCATGAACTCCAAGACGATGTGCACGTACATCGAGTTCTGCGCCGACCGCCTCCTCCTCGCGCTCGGCGCGCCCAAGCTCTACAACGCCGTCAACCCCTTCGACTGGATGGAGCTCATCTCGCTCCAGGGCAAGACGAACTTCTTCGAGAAGCGCGTCGGCGAGTACGCCAAGTCGGGCGTCGGCGTCAAGGAGGAGGACAAGCAGTTCACGACCGAGGACCTCGACTTCTAAGCTGCCCGTCATCATGCCGTTCCCCGCGCGACGACCTAGATCCGCGAGTCGGGGGCACCTCACTAAGCTATTCGTGTTAATTTACGCCCTCGACGCGACAAGCCTCACCGCGAAGCGCGGCGCATAGATTGCACCCCCGCCGCACCCTGTCGTGGTAGACACCCTCAGCCTCGACGCGCCGCACCACCACGGCCTCGTAGAATGCGTCGCAGGCGCCTTCACTCTCAGCGAGCCGTAAGACTGAAGAAGGGTCGTCGAGCACCAGGTGATAGGACACGCGTTCCCGGATGGCCGCGAAGACGCGGCGGAAGTAGTCCGCCAGACAAGACGCGCAGACGTGCTCGTCGTCGACTTTTCGAGCGCCAGCTCTGAGAGCCTCCAGGGCGTCCGGATCGGCGTTCGCCTTGTCCAGGGCCTCCGGCGCCGACGCCGCGTTTACCACCAGGTGCGTCGCGCCCTCTGTCAACCCTGGATAGTACCACTCGACGATTGGCGTGTCCCATAGGAGTACGATGGCGCCCGTCGCCCAGAGGTGGTTCAGGTTGCGCGAGTAGCTGCCGCCGGTCTGGCCCCTATATGCGTACAATCAATGGCGTATCAAGGGAAAGGACGCTGATACACATACGGTAAATTGAGCACGTACTTGTACGACGCGTAGTCCAGGGCGTCGGACCATTCGTTTGTAGACACCTGATCCGGGTACCTCACGACCAGGGAAGACGCCTCGTCCAACCAGGCCCGCTCCTCCCCAAAAACGCAGGTGTGGTTTATCGGAGGATCAACAATCTGCGAACACCTCACGTCGAACAAATCGGGACGCTTCGCCGACAGCGCCGCCCCGAGCAGCCGCGCGCGGTTGCCGCTGTTCACACGTTCGCAATGAGGGCGAATTACGCGGCAGTGCTCTACAATGACCCCGACGCCACGCTCGACGATCTCCGCGAGGCAGTGTCGACGCTCGAGGACGTGGTACAGATAATGAGGCGCGTTCTTGGAAAATCGCACCCGGCAGCAGTGCAGATTGAGACATCCCTGGGATACGCGCGAGCCGCGCTCCGCGCCCGCGAAACGCCGCCGCCGCCGCCGGGGAGCGCGTAAGCAATGGTAGCATATCGCAGCTCGGACGAAAACCATCACAAGTCCCCACGCGCCGCGCTGCAGGGGACTTCGCGTCCGGGCCAAACCAGCCAAACACGGTCCCGCCGCCACGCGAGGCCTCCGCTCACCACAGCGGACTCTAATAAGCTTCAGACGTTGGTTGAACAGGCTACTAGGAATAAGGGGAGAGCGGAGTGCCCTCGATCGAGAGCGTCGACACAGAAACGAGACCACGTTCGAGCACGCGGCCGCCGCGCCCGCCACGGCCGTGGGACAAGCGCTCCGCACGCATTACCCACCGCCGCAACAGCCCGCACGCCAAACGGTGCCATTCGCTGCGCCAACAAGTACAACACGCAGCCCCGCGTCGCTACAACACGCAGCCCCGCGCCGCCGCGGCGCCGCGATGCTTCCAAAGCTGGAGAAGCCGCGCAGCCCCACGAGCATCCTCGAGAGTGCAGCAGCCGCCGTGGCCCTCGTCGTCACCGCGCGGCGCGGCCTCGTCGTCCGCGCGGGCGTCGAACTCAAGTCAGCAGAGGTCGCGAAACTAGACAAGGGCGTGCGCTGCTTGGCTGATGAGGAACGGGACAGTGATGGCAAAAGACGAGTGCGTTTGATAAACCCCATCAAGGGCTGGGCCTCGCGGAAGTGCCTGCGCGCGGCGTGGGCCGAGGAGGCGAAAGCGACGGGCTGCGTGCGCTGGGTCGTCGATGTTATGAAGTGGACTCCATCTGATCAGGAATTCGACTTCCTGCTCGCATTGATCCCGGAGGCGCCCGAGCGCGACGCCGTGACGCGCTACAAGCAGGTCGACGACCGCAAGCGCGCCCTCGTCAGTCGCTTGTTGATCCGACGCTGCGCGTCACTATGTCTCAACCTCGACCAGCTCGCCTCGATCAAAGTCGCGCGAACGAAAGGTAGAAAGCCCTTCCTCAAACATGCGACCAAGCCTGATGATCGTCTTAATTTCAACGTGAACGTGTCCCACGAGGGCCGTTATGTGGTCCTGGCGGCGGAGCCCTGGTGCCTCTGTGGGATTGACGTCGCGGCGCCCCGCGACACCAAGCTCGACTCGTTGAAGCAGACGCTGACGGCGACGGAGTGGGCCTTCGTGGATGGCGACGACAAGCGGTTCCGAGCGTTGTGGGCCTGCAAGGAGGCCTTCACGAAGGCGCGCGGCGACGGGCTGGGGTTTCCGTTCGCAGACGCGGAGTTTACTCTGATCTATGATGGAGACGCCTCCTTCGAAGCTTCTGTCGCGGTTGATGGTGCCACATTGCCCGACTGGCGGTTTCGCGGAGAGACTCTGAATGACCACGTCTGCGTCGCGGCGCGCGGACCCGTATCTGCGATAGTGGACGGCGAGGGCGCCTTCCGCCGCACGATGGCCGCGCCCTTGCCGGCGGGCGCCCTCGACGCGCCCTGGCCCGCCTTCTCATATCTAACGCCGCGGGACCTCGTGCCCGACGGCCGCGCGGCCGCGCTCGCCGCGCTCTCTAGCTAGCTGCTCCCTGCCCCTCTCCCCCTGTCGTCTAAGAACTTGTATACAAATGTTATTTCGGCCTACGGAGCGTCGCGAGCACCGCGTCCTTCGACAGCTTCTCGCCCGCCAGGGGCTCGCTTGTCACCCGAAAGCCGTGCTCGTCGGCGCAACGGTCGAAGAAGGTCTGCTCGCGGCCGTGGCGGACTTTGTAGCCGATAATTGCGTCCGTGGCGAAGAACGCGAGCGTATCAGCCAGAGCCGCGTACTGCGACGGCTCGTAGAGGACCTCGGACGCGACGACGAGGTCGAACGGCGGCTCCGACCGAAAAGCGTCGAGATCGTCGGCGTCGCCCCAGAGCAGCTTCTCGGCGCGCGCCGTCGGCGCGTCGTTGAGCGCGACGTTCCGCCGCAGGAACTCGAGCGTCGAGATACTATCAGCGCCTTTGCTGAAGCGCGTCGGCAGGCCCGGGTCCGTCAGCGTGACCTCGGCTTTCGTCGCCAGCGCGAGGCCGATGCCCAACAGCCCGACGCCGCTGCCCAGCTCGAGGACCCGCGGCGGCCGCCCCAGCGTTGTTTCGAGAGCCGGCACGGTCGCCTCAGATAAATGCTGCAGCAAGGGCACGGCGCAGGGCCAGGGCCGCAGGCCCGACCGGTCCGCCACGCGCTGGCCCTGGCGCGGCTGCGGGACCGGTGTGTCGAAGTAGTGCTGATCGTACGTGACGGACACGCGGCCGACGTCAACGGTCGTTCGTGTTATCGCGGACGCGGTGGCAACCACATGGCACAATATGTGCGCTCGCATGGCCGCCTTGCCTCTGCAGTGGTGCGAGGCTCTCCGGACGCTCTCGTGATTTACGGCTATGGAGCCGCCGAACGGATGCAAATTGCGGCCGCGGCTATGGCAGGAGACCGTGAACGAACACTTGCGCAGCCTTAGATGGTGTCCGGTCTCTCACACAAGCGGCTCGGCGTCTTTGGGCTAGTGTCTTACGGTCGCTAGCTAGAAGCTATTGCGTCGACGGCGGCGCCTCCTGCTGATACTAGACTGTGTGCAAGCGCTGGAGTTCAAGCTTTCACCCGCCACACGCTTACTGCGATCGCTGGTGCGCTGAGATTGGGAGCACTGCAAGCAAGCAAAAAGAAGCAGATGGCCGCCGAGCGCCGCAGCGGCGCCGCGGCAAGGTGCTGGCAGGCGTGCACGGCCTGGTGCGCACTGCCGGCCGCATGGGTCGGCGTCGCGGTCCTCGTCGCCGTCGGCTGCCTCCTCGGCTCCTTACAGGTCGCCGTGGCGCTGGTCGTACTGATCTTCTCCCCGATTCTGCGACGGTGCATGCTCGCTCTGGTAAGACACGTCTACCCGACGGAGGCCGGCCGCATCCACGTCTGGAGTCTGCTGTGGTTGAGAAGGTGGTGGTTGAGAGATAGGCGCCACGCGCGACCGTTACGAGTAGACTTACGCCCCCATTGCAACGACGAAGAAAGGTGGGTGGCGTCCGACGCCGAGCCGCGGTGCTCCATCCACATTGTCGCTGGTTTACTGGACAACTACAGTTATATTCTCGTGGATAGGACCTCGGAAGATGTCCTGACGTGTTGTATTGTGGACCCGGGCGACGCCGACGCCGTCCTCGAGGCCCTAGCTGAATTGAGAGAGCAGCACTACGACCGCACAAGCACCGGGGTACGCGTCGAGTCCATCCTCGTCACGCACAAGCACTGGGACCATCAGGCCGGGGTGAGGAAATTAGTGAGAGTGGAGCACATCACCCAGGTCTTCGCCGGTCAAAATGAACCGGTCAAGGGCGTGACGCACAAACTAAAACCGTACGAGCGGTTTAGTGTAGGCTCGTTGATTCTGGAAGCCGTACCGAGCCCCTGCCACACGCAGGGCCACACGATGTTCGCCTTACTTGACTCAAGTGAAGGAAGAGTCGAAGCTTTATTTTCAGGAGACACCTTATTTTGTGGCGGGTGCGGCGCGCCCTTCGAAGGGCCTTCAGAGCACGTCGCGTACAACTTCCGGGCCTTGTATCATAGATGTGATGACGCCACGTTACTTTTCCCGGGCCACGAGTACTCGGAAACGTTACTGTTGGAGTATTTTGGAGGAGGACAGCCAACACCAGGCACGGCGAGACACTTCTCGGCGCTCTGCGACGCGCTGCAGCGGACGCGCGACCGGCTGGCTCATTCATTACCGTCGGTACCCGTCGTGCTCGGGGACGAGGTCATGTACAACCAGCACTTTTTGAGTTTACACTCTTCGGTTGGTGTGGTGTGCGACGCGTGGCGCGTGTTTAGTAGAGCGGTGTTGCGGCAGGCTTCACAATACAGTCAGCCGCCGGAGGCGCCGCAGCGCACGGCGTCCACTCTGAGAAGGTTGCTCGAGGGCGTGCAGCAGCCGATGCTCGAGAGCGGCGCGCCGCCGGCCGCCGACGCGACGCCGGCCGACGCCGACCCTTTGCTCGAGGCGTCCTTCACCGAGGAGGACCACGCTTTGGAATTGGTGGATCTCGCGCGGCCGCGGCAACGGCGACCCACACGAGACGTCGTCCGCCACCGCGTGGTCTGTCGGAGGAACTGGAAGCCCGGAGATAGGGTGCAGTTGCGGGTCTCCGGCGTCGACTTGGAGTGTACGGTGCCGGACGGCGCGAGCCCTGGTCAGGAGTTCGTTGCAAGGGTAGAGAGAGCTCGCCTGCCTTCGCTCATTGCACTCGATAGGAGGGATTTTGATCCATCCATGCAGCGCGTCTGGCGCCGCGATTTGGAGAGGTTGCAGTCCTTACTCCAAGCACAACGCTACGACCGCGCCGATACTCTCTCGAGGAAGCTGTTGGGGGACCCTTTGAGGGATGCGCGGGACTGGTCGCAGACGCCGGGGAGTGCTGCCAAACGTAGAGCCACGACGCACCTCGCGCCGGCGCACTACCATACGAGCGACGAGCCGCAGGCCGACGCCGCCGCCGCGTTATTAGACGAGGAGCCCTGGGATGCCGGTGATGTGGATCTGAGAGCGACGGCCCCCTTCGACGACGGGGGCTTCGCCGACGCGTCCAATCATCAACGGCGTCCGCTGCCCGTCGCGACGGCCTACGGCGACATCATGACCCGGGAGTCCTTCCTCTTCGATCCCTCGTCTCCCTCAAATTGGCGCGAGGAACTGCGCGAGGCGTCGCATCTGCGAGCGGCCTTGGCGTGCCTGGCTTCCCTAAACCACCGCGACGGCGACCCTACTCTTTTCCGGGATTTGGAGGGTGAGGAGGACGACGCCGAGTGCACGGACGCGGACTTGAGACGGGCATTGACAACCTTAGGGTCGCGGCCCCTGACGCACGCCCAGGTCACGGATCTGCTGGCCGTGGCGGCCTTGTGTGGGGCGGCCGACGGCGGCGCGCCCTCGTCGCGGCGCCGCGGCGGCGCGCCCGTGCCCGTGCGCGCGCGGCGCCTCGCTTCCGTGTTGGCGACGGACCGCGGGGTTGAGGTCGCGAAGCCGCGAAGGTTTTGTGGGTGTTGCGCGGTTTGAGGCCCCCCAGCCTTCTTCGCTCCGCTATTTTTTAGGTGTGTTCTAACTAATGTCGTGATAACATAGCGCCCGGGTTTTGCACCTTGTCAAAACACGTTTTACAGCGCTGCGCGTGAAGTCAGCTTCACGCGCGTGAGAGCCGCGGCGCGACGCCATCGGTGCGACAAACTAACCGCTGTAGCTGAAACTGGGCCACACTGTCATCCTGGCCCATTGGTAAAATGATGTCTCCCAGCCGCGCCGGCCGGCGCCGCCCGTCCGAGATTAATCTGCCGCAAAAGAGCCCGACGAAGATCGAGCCCTGGACGCCGCGCCGCCGCCGGCCGCGCAAGGCGTGCGTCGACCGGCCGTTCGTGCGGGCGTGCTTCTACGTCCTGGCGCTGAGCGTCTGGCCGACGTGCATCTACCTCCAGAGCACGCGCTGGAGCGAGGAGTGGGATGCGACCGCGCGCGTTGAACGCGGCGACCTGCGAACACACGAGGCCTTCCACGCGCTCGACCCCATTCTCGTGGTCAACCGGAGAGAGTACGTGCCGAACGCCGACATCGGCATGGCACCGCCGGGCATGGGTGACGGGTGGGACCGTACACACTCGGAACTGTACGGCCTCGGCACGGAAAGGCCCGTCGAGCTCTTCTACAAGCTCGTGTTGGTAGATATTGCAAAAAAGTCGGCCGTGCCTTTGTGCCAGTTCGTCCACACGGGGGACATGCACCGCATGCTGCACGACGCGCACTTGCGAGCTGACGGCCGCGGCATCGACTACTCCGGAGTCAACTTGGACGTCATGAAGGTCATCGACCGGCGCCTCTACGACCCGATCACAAATCAACTGAAGCGGGCCGTCGAGACCGGCAGAGGGGCGAATGCTGCCCTGGCCGAGGCGCGGCGCACGAAGCTCACGAAACACCACCCAGAACTCGCCCAACTCGTGGAGGACGTGCGGCGGATACACTAAGAACACATTATTTATCCCACTCTACTAAACTCGGCGACGGCGGCGTAGGTCGTCTTCGTTCGACCAACTCGGACAGCGTCCCGACCTCGTACTCCTTCACTAGACGGGGACACAACTCGCGGAAGACCTGCACGTTGTTCCGCCGGTCGTGGGTTTCCCGCAGGTCGGGCGTGTGCAGCAGCACGATACTTCCGGGCCGCGCCTTCTCCAGCACGAAGTCCACGAGCCAGTCCACGCTCCGGACCGCCGTGTCCAGCGGGAACACGTCCGCGAGCGCGACGCGATACCCCAAGCGATTTAGAGGATCGAGCATCTCCTCGTTCAGGTAGCCGCGCGGCGGCCGGAACCAGCGCCATTTTCTCCGGCGCCAGGTCGGGTCGAGCCGCGCCAGGAGGTCGTCGCACCGCAAAAAATCCTTCTCGAACGCCTCGCCCGTCATGCCGTAGCACGACACGTCGTCGCACATGTGGTTGCCCAGCTCGTGGCCTTCGCGGACCGCTCGCTCCAGCAGCTGCCGCCGCGCGTAAGTAGAGCAGAAGTCGGCAATCACAAAAAACGTCGCCTTGACGCCGCACGCTTTCAGGGCGTCGAGCACCGGACCCAGCAGGTCGGAAGGGGCGTCGTCGATCGTCAAAGCGATTCTTCTAGAACCGGGACGCACAGGGACGTGCGTCAGCGCGTCGCGGAACGCCGGGAGCCTCCTTTTTAATCGTTCGCCGAGCTGCCGTGGATCACTAATACGATGCGCCGCGGACCAGAGGGCGCGCGCGATGGGCTCCGACCACTTCGGGGGCGACGCGTCTTGTGGGGCCTCCGGCTCGGTCGATACGTCTGGTTGTTGCCGCGCCAGCGCCAAGTCGACGTCGCGGCGGCTCGGCGCGGACTTGCGGCGCGCCGCGCGCTCCTCGAGGCCAAGCTCTTTCGCACGGGCCGCAAGCGCGCCGGCGTCGTCGCCGGCAGCGTACGTGGCGGTGCTCCGCGCGTCCGGTTCGGGCTGTGGTGCGTCGGGTTCGCTCCACCAGAACGTGGGACGTCTCTGAGTCTCATCCTGCGCTGTCGCTGCGGCTGCGACCGGTTCAGGCTGTGTTGGCGTCGGTGCAGCGGTGGTCTCGCCCCAGCGCCAAAACGAGGCCGTCTGCGTCTCGTCCTGCGGTGTCGGCTCGCCCCAGCTCCAGAACGACATTTTTAACCCCTCTGGTGCGCGTATTTCGATCCGTACGAGTGGGAGAGGCGTCTGCCACCCAAGCTCACAGATGGGTTTGCCGGCCTTAGCGCTGCTCGGAGGCGTCGGCGCTGCACTGTGGCTATCCAGTGGGGCTGCTCAGCCGACCACTTGCAACGCTGTCGCGCTGCGCGAGTTATGCGGTCGCGCGCGCTAGCTGAAAGACACTAGCAAAAAAGCAGCTCTCACGATCCACGGAGAGCACCTCTCAAAAAGTGCTTCCCACGCCACACCAGAACGCTCCTCGTCATTATTAGCTGTCTCGCAGTGCACCTGTCACTTGGACGTGATCGCTGCGACCCAGCAGAGCAAGATGCGCTACCTTGCAGCCCTGCTCCTAGCCACAGCAAACGCAGCCGATGTGTGCTCAAACACGCAAGCCATCGATGGTCAGCAGTTCCCAGACTGGATCAAGTCCGGTGGTTCGACAAGGCAATTAACTGGAGGCGGCACTAGGTACAAGTATGGAGTCGCGAAAGTCTACGCGCTCGGGCTGTACATCGACGAAGGCGTTGCGACTGGCGCCCTCTCGAAGTTTGCTGGCAAAGAAGGCAAGCAGCTCGCCGCCGACCAGAAATTCCACGACGCCGTGATCCAAGGCAAATTCGGAAAGACGCTCCTCCTGCAGTTCCACCGCGCGGTCGGTGGCGAGAAGGTCGCCGAGGCCCTCAAGGACTCGTTGTCGGATAAGCTTGATGCCAAAACTCTGGAGGCGTTCAAGGACAAGCTCTTCGGGGTCATCTCGAACGGCGTCAACAAGGGCACGAAGCTCTACTTCGAGTGCTCCGGCGGCGATGTGGGCATCTCCGTCGATTCTCTCAAAGCCCAGGCGAAGGCACCAGCCACAGTCTGCGACGCTCTCTTGAAGACGTACTACGGCAAGGCGCCGGTCAGCGCGCAGGCCAAGGAGGGCATGGCCCACGGGTTCGCGGCGCTCGCGGCGGCGGCGTAGAGGTGTCTAATTTGACCCCTCTCGAGATATACTTAAACAACAGAACTAGGGAGGCGGCGTCCGGCTCCGCCGCCGCGCCGGCCCGGAAGAAAAGGCCTCGGCGTCGATCTCGCCGGCTTGGGCCCGCCCGTGCGCCTCCAATGCAGCGAGGCTGTTGGACGACGCCCGCGCGTCGATGGCCGCGACCTCGGCCGCGCGCCAGCGGTGGAAGGCGCGGTAGCCGCTCAGCGAGAAGATCGTCTGGACGCCGTTCGAGTGCTCGTTGAGTTTCGCGAGGTCGCCGGGCGTCGTCGCGGCGCAGAAGGCGTCGAAGTCTTTGTCCTCGGCGGCCTTCTCGCGCTTCTTCGACTGCTTGCGCGGCCGTTTTTTTGGAGGCAGCTTCGCGGGCGGCGCGCCGTCGGCCGTCGGCGGTCCTAATAAAGGCGCTCTTTTGCGGCTCTTCGTCGAGCCCGATTTCCGACGTTCGTCCTCGGCCTCGCGCTCCATGAGCGCTCTCAGCTTCTTCAGTTCTCGCGCGCTGAGGCCCATGGCTTCTAGGTCGTCCATAGTGGGAATTGGGGCGCGGCGGCTGCGCTAATGCTGCGCGGCGGCACTGTTGCGCTAATTATGGCGCGGCGGTGTCGAACGGGTGCGGATTTTGACCCGCGTCAGGACGCGCTGGTGTAATCGTTGTGTTGCGCGACCGAGGAGCTTCTGCCGGGCGCGTAGGCTGCTGTGCGCGACAAAACCCCTTTCTTGCTAGTGTGTCTTACGACCGCTAGCTAACTTTTGCTCTCCGGCAGAAGAGGTGTCTGTGCTCCTTGTCTACGCATCTTCACGAGCCTAGACACTGCGGACACGCCCCTCGCAATCACGCGCAGCGACTGTGCGATTTTTGCATCCAGCGGCGAGATTTCTGCAAAGATCCACAAGGCCACCCCCTGAGAAATGACGGCGACCGACGACGAGGAGCCCGCTCCGACGAGCGGCGAGGACGCCATGTTCAGGGCCATGTTCGGCGACCTCATGGCCGAGGCGCGCGCGGGCCGACTCACGCAGCGGGAGTTCCAGGCGGCGTGCATGGCGCGCATGAACGCGATGCCGTGCAATGCCAATGACCCGCGCAACCCGGGGGGCGTGGACAACTCCGCCGCCGCCCGGGACGCGATGCGCGTCGAGACGGACGAGGTCGTGGCCGTGCTCCACAAGTCGCGCCCCGACGCGCCGATCCCGGAGATTTCTGAAGAGTCGTTCGCGGCGCTCAACGCGATCATCTCGCTGCCCCCGTCGAACGCGCCGCAGCGCGCGCGATGGCCGCGGGGCATCGTCCTCGATTCCGATCCCGTCGCGACGTGCAAAATTATTAGAGACGCCGAGGGCACGCCGGCCGTGTGCCTGGCGTTCGACAGCGAGGACTGCGCGCGCGTCTGGTGCTGGAAGCTCAACTACGACGTCTTCTACGGCGAGGGCGCGGGCATGCCGCACATCCAGAACATGGTGTCGACCAGTGCAATTGCCACACCTTTCACGCGTCGATGGCGTGGGGCTGACGCGATCGATCGTTCACGCACAGGACTACCAGGGTTTCCGCCTCACGGAGAACATGAACCACTTCATGAACTACTTCATGCAGGGCTACCTCGTCGCCGACCCGGAGACGGGCAAGCTCAAGCTCCGCGACGGCGCCGACCGCGAGGGCCACTTCGAGGACAACCAGGGCGCGGGCCCGCGCCTGCGCGAGATGCTGAGCGAGTGGATTAATCGCACGATCCGCCGCCTCACGGGCGAGGTCGTCTACCAGACGAACCCGGAGACGGGCCCGCCCGGAACGCACGGCCCGGCGTGCGGCTGCCCCGCGTGCCTCGAGGCGATCGCCGCGGCCAAAGGGATCGCGTGGAGCGCCGCGGAGTAGACGCCATCGCCGCTCTAAGTATGCGCATACTTACACCGATCCCCCTTCCGGCACTTCCCCTTCTTCGCCCACGTGAAGCACCGCTTGGGGCCGTTCGCCACAGGAGGCGCTGGTTTCTCCTTCGCGACGTGCGCGAAGGGGCACGCGTCGCCGCGCGAGCACCTGCCGCGCTTGCGGAACTCGAGGCACTTCTTCACCGACGCTTGCGACGCCACGAGCGGTCCCCCGCGTCCAACGGGATGCGAGAACTTGCACGAGTCGCCGTGCGGGCACCTTCTCTCTAACCAGAGGCGGCACACGTCGTCGGACCCGCGGTTCACGTCCGACACCTTGCACGCGTAGCGCGACCGGTCCGGTAGCCTCCCTTTGATGTACTTCGCCTCGAGGGCGGCGGCCTTGCCGCTCTCGTCGTCGAAGACCACGAAGCCGAAGCCGCGCGACGCGTTCGTGGCCGCATCAAGCATCACCGATGCGCGCGCCACGGTACCAAGCGTTCCGCACTTCTCGGCCAGGACCTCGTCGGTCCACGTCTTCGGTAACCGCGAGACGTAGACGCGCTTCGGGTCGAGGCCATCGTCCTCCTTGGGCTGCTTGTCTGTCTTGGGGCGGCGCGGCGGCGGCGCGCCCGAGCCGTCAGCCTCCAAGCGCTTGCGCTTCGCTTGTGCGGCTTTGCTGCGCACCATTTGTCACCACACAGCTGTACGAGCTTGTAGAGCGGCCGCGGCGGTAGTTTCTTGCTGTCGTTCGTCCGGTCAGCGACCAATGCAGTCACGCACAACGTCCTTTCTAATCAATGCGTGTGCTGCGCGCTTAAATTAGCTGAGCATCGCCTAGCCAGCTGCAGCAGCTGCTCTCCGGTGCTTTTGACGCCCGTCGACCTAAAGCCCGGCCAAAATTGGCGTCGCATCGATGCATCGTCACCGTGCAGCAACAATATGGCTGCTTATCGCCGCCGCGCGCGCCCTGCAACCGGACGCCAACATGGCAGGCACATACAACCTCCTCGCACAGCGCTGCATTGCGCTGCGCGACAGTAAAAAACGTCAGGTGTGGATTGGCATCACCGGCGGACCCGGTGCTGGGAAGAGCACGGTCGCCGAGGCCGTCGCCGCGAAGTGCAGGGACCTCGGCGTCCGCGCTACGGCCTTACCCATGGACGGTTTTCACTTCTCGAAGGCAAAACTGCGCGACCTCGACCCCCCAGACGCCTCCACGCTGCTCCCGCTCCGGGGCGCGCCGCAGACCTTCGACGCCGAGGCCTTTTGCGCGGCCGTGGCGGACGCGCGGAGGACCGGAAGGTGCGACGCGTGGCCGACGTATAGTCGCGAGCTGAGCGACCCCGTGGAGGGCGGGGTCGTGCTCTCTGGTGAAGATGCAATAGTGCTGTGCGAAGGCAACTACCTCCTCCTCGGAAAGCTCGACGGCGCCGAGGCCGAGCGCTGGCGGCCGCTCGACTTCGACGAGTCCTGGTTCGTGCGGCCACAGGGCGGAGTGGAGGAGCAGCGAAACAGAGTAGTAGAAAGGCACCTCGAGACGTGGACCGACGAAAAGACTGCAGCGTGGGGCGCCGCGACCGCGCGCGAGGGCGCCGAGCGCCGAGCCGATTCCAACGACGTGCCGAACGCGTATTTAGTGGATCGGTGTCGCGGCTTCGCAGATCTGGAGGTGGAGAGCTTGTGATGTTAACATATTTACTTATCCATGGCCTCCGCGGCCTCCTTGCGTGCTTCTCCTTTCTCGAGCGCCTCCGTGCGGCTCAGCGGCTCCGTCTCCACAGGTTGAGACTCGACTTTCAGAGCCAGCTCCAATAATTTATTGAGCCGCGGCAGCATCGTCCGCGGGTCGTCCATCAATCCCGCCGCCACAATTGCATTATCTAGGAGCTGGTGCGCCGCCGCCGTGGCCCGCGCCTCGTCTTTTGTCGAGGCTTGGGCCAACGCAACCACCACGGGATGCGACACGTTCAGGCGCAGTTTCTGGGGCGGCAAGGGCGGCAACGCCCCGCCGTCCGCCTGCTGCGCGACCATGGCCATCATGCGCCGCATCGCCCCGCTTTCCGCGTCGACGACGACCGCCGGTGAGCTCACAAGTTTGTCCGTGGCCTCGACGCTCTCCAATCTCTCGGGTAACGTCGCGAGCAACCACGCCTTCAGTTTATCGCTATCGGCGGTAGACAGAGCATCGGCAGAAGGAGCCTTGTCCTCCTTTTCTTCCTCCTTCTCGTCAGTACTCCCAAAGTCCGCCGCCTCGGCCGTCACGATCTGTCTTCCATTATGTTCCCGCAGATTACTCATGACAAAATCATCAATCGCGTTATACACAAACAAACACTCCCTCTTATTTTTCTTGAACTGCTCGTAATAAGGTGATGCTAATGCTAATTCGCGAGTAGGCGCGTGCAAGTAGTAGATCTTCTCGTCGTCCGACGCATCTCTTCCAACATATTCGTCTAGCGACGTGAGCCCGCCCTCCTTCGACGAGTCGAAATACAGCAGCTTGGCCACTTCCGTGCGACGCGAGGCGTCGTGGCAGGCCCCTTCCTTCAAAAACATGTTGAACTCCTGGTACCATTTGAGGTACTTATCCCTATCCTTTTTGGCCTGGTCTTGTAAGTATCGTAACAGCTTCCTCACGACGACGTCCTGGATCTTCGCGAGCAACCGCTTGTCCTGGGACTTTTCCCGCGAAATAGATAAAGGTAGGTCCTCGCTATCGACGACGCCCTTGACGAAGCGGCACCTGCGTGCGGACTCGCGGTGACGGTGGAGCGGCGACCGGCGATGGCGTCGCGTCGATAGCGTCGCGGCCATGGCGCTTCGATGGCGTGGCGGCGAGACGCGATCGCTGCGATGGCGTCACGTTGCAGGGACACTGCCGCGGCACCATTCCGGCGCGATGTCCGCGCACGGGTTCTCGATCAAGACTTTCTTAGAGTACAACCCGACCGACGGCTCCAGCCTCCCCAAACCGCCCTTCTCCGTGTGGAATGAGGGCATGAACAACACGCACTTGATGTCCAAGGGCGCGTCCGCGCGGAAATGTAAGGTATACGTCGGCGCATCCCAGGCGCCCTTGAAGGTCGCCCTATAAAACGATTCGTAGGTCTTCTCGTCGACTTCCCGCGGGTCCTGGGCCCAGACCGCGCCCGTCGTGTTCGCGAGTTCCCCGTCGATTTCGATCGGGAAGCTTACAAATGAAGAATATTTTTGCACGACCTCGCGCAGTCGTGCCGGTTGCAGGTATTCTTCCGCGTCCTCCTTCAGGTCGAGAACGACGCGCGTGCCCCGCGTCGTCTTCGAGCCGCCCTCGCCCAGTGAATAGGATTCGGCGCCGTCGGCAGACGACCACACAGCATTGACCGCGTCCGAATAGGACTTCGACTCGACGGTAACTTTGGATGCCACCATGAAGGCGGAGTAGAAGCCAACCCCAAACTTGCCGATGATCGCCGACGCGTCCTGTTCCTTCTGAGCAGCTTCGGCGGCGAACCTTCGGGAACCGCTGAGTGCGATGGTCCCCAAATTCTCGGCTAGCTCTGATTCTCTCATCCCAACGCCCGAGTCCTCTATCACGAGTTGTTTCTTTTCTTTGTCGACAGAAATACAGATCTTCAATTCGTCGTCACCTTCACTTACACTCTCGTTGGCCACGCGCTTTTGCCGCAGCTTCTCGAGCGCGTCGCTCGCGTTCGATAGCAGTTCCCGCAGGAAGACTTCTCTTTCCGTGTATAACGCGTTCGAGACGATATTCAACAAAGAAGCGGTCTCGGCCTCGAAGCGGCGTTCCTTCGGTTGCGTGGTGCTGCCGTCGGCGGCGGAGAGGCAGCGCAGAGCTGGCGTCGTGCGGCGCACCGTTGCGCGCGCGGCCAGGAGCGCTGGCCGCCGGAGGGCGCGGAGCATCGGTGACTGCGTTTTTGTAATCTATGCGTGATGTAGACGAGCGCTGTGAGCGGCCGGCGATTCGCTCTTAGGGCTTTGCGCTAGTGTCTTACGCCGCTAGCTGCACGGGCGTTCCGTTATCAAGCACACGAGTTTACTTAGAAGCTCCACAAAAAAAAGAGCATGGACTCGGACGCTTCCCCGACCACGCCTTGCGTCAGAGCTCGCCCCGCGCTTTCATCCTGGACAGCTCCTCGTCCTGAAGGCGCTTGAAGCGGCGCGCCTCTTTTGAGTGTACGTTCTGCATGATCTTCCAGGCGGTCTCCCGCGCCTCGCCGGTGTATAGCTCGCGCTCTGAAAAAACGTCGTCCTCCGAAAGCTCGTCACGCGCGAACGCGGCCCGGCACTCGTCTCCTACCGTCGCGTTGCGCAATGGACCAATTATGACGGGCTCGGTGCCTCGAAGCTCCGCCGCCGCCAGGGTGGCTTCTGCGCACGCATCGACTGACAGGTCTACGCACTCTATCGCGGTCGCCTCGTCCGCGCTGAGGTCGTAGTAGTACGCCTCGTTCCGCGCCAGGCAGCCGAGCCTAAGCGAACAGTGGAGCCGGAGAATTTCTATTTCCTCTTCTGTAGAGTAGTCTTTATATATATCGGTCGGGACCATGTTCTCACAGACGTCGTCGCAGGAGTAGCCGTGCCTAGACATATCCTCGGCGGCCTCGGAGGTCACGACGCACTCCAGGTAGCTGATGACCTGATGAGCCATGGCGGCCGGCAGCTCGCCAAGCTCCTTCATCATCGGTATTTCTTCAACGGTTGTGGAGACATAGTCTCGGATATGCTGGATCATCCACTTTTCCGTGTAGCATCCGTCACTATCCACGTCTTGTGAGTTGTGCACCGCGACGATCTTCGCCGCCGCCGCGCGTTCGAGCCTTCGCGGTAGGTGCTTGCGCGCGCACGCGCGCCCGACGTCAATCACGCAGTCGGTGACTCGCCCGCAGACCTCGGCGCCCGTCGTCAATCGTGCCAAAAGTGCCAGGGCCACGATCATTCTAGCTTATTGCGAACCTATCTCAGATGTTTATTGCGCCGCGCACCGCAAAGACTTGTGTGAAACTCCACAAAGTGCTCACACTCAGTACAGAAGAAACGATTGCCGACCGTGCTTCGCACAGCGACGGATCTCGCGCGTGTCTGCCAGGCGAATATACGCAACGACGCCAATCAACGCCAACGACGCCGGGCTAAATGAGGAAACCCGTACGAACACAACAACAAGTTACCCCCCCTCCGTGTCCCGGGGAAAACGCCGCCGCGCCGGCGCCACCTTCGTCGCGAGGTGCTGCCACCGCGTCTGCGGCGCCTCGTCGCCCGAGGGCGGGCGGCCCTTGCCGAGGGCCACCGCCTGCCGCTTGTCCCCCAGGGTCGCCGGCGTCGCGCCCACGAAAGGAGGCGCCTCCGTGCCCATGGAAAAGGGCCGCGCGACGAGACTCTCGGCGTAGGACAACAGGTTCATCTTGGCAATGCGAGCTCGGGAAGAGCGCATGTCCGCGCGCCCGTACCGGTTCGCGTGGAAGAGGACCCAGTTGTTGTAGCCCGTGCCGTACATGCCGTCTCGCGTCAAAGAATCAACAAAGATGTCCGTCGCCAGTTCCGGCGGGAACAAAGTCCACCTCAATCTGGGATTCCCGTAGAACGACGGCTCGGCCAAGGCCCGGTTCACGATCCTCTGGTCGCCCGTGCTACCTCGCCTCTTCTGCGTGACCACCCCGCCGGCAATGCGCCACATGTCCGCGACTTGATGAGAACAGCGCATCGCCATGAATCCTAAATTGCCTTGCAACGACCGGTCCTCGTCTCTTTGAAAGACGATGTCATAATCCCCCGTCGCTATCGCATCGATGAACGGCCGGATGGGCCGGAAGAACCGGATATCCACATCGGAAATGATGACATAACTACCCGGCGGGTTCTCCTCGATGGCTTTTAGTATGAGATCAATTTTCGTGCCAAAGCGCTGCGTCTGGTCCTCGCCCGTGTTTCTGATGACGACCTCCCGTAGCTCAATATCATCAGCAGAATCCTGGAGCGAATGCACGAACCTGTCGCGCATCTCCCGCGAGCCCTCATCATCATGACTCGAGAAGTACATCGGGATCGGTCTTGTTGGTTTTGTCATGCCCTGCTTTCGGGAGAGCCTCTCCGCGCCCTGTTGTACTTCTTTGATATCAAGCGCCCTCGTATGAAAGGTAATATGACGCAAGCAACCCCGGAAGTGGTCTCCCAACGTTACATTAACGGGAGCGTCCACGAGTACGTGGGGCAGCCCGGCGAAGGCGCCGCCGGGCAAGCCACCTGAAATTTGGGCCGCGTCCCTCGCGACGGCGTCGCCGGGCCGTTCGCCCGTCACTCGGAACGTGCCAGGAGCGCGTGCTCCATCAATGTACACATGCAGTTCAGCCGTATCATGCAAAGACGCAACAACAGGGATATCCCCATCAGAATCGATGGCACCGCCCTTCTGGGCCCGCCGTCTAGCTCGCACCACGACGATGTCGTGCCACGCGCCATCACTCAAGCCAGGCGCCTCCGCGGCAAACGTGTAGTCCCTCACGGGCCGCGCCGACTGCCGCATCACCCCATGACCGCGGGCGTTCTCCCCAAAGTCCCGGTGGCCCACGCCGAACAGCAAATGGTCGAGGTAGAAGCCGTCGTTCGACGCCTCGAGCGCGACGCCGAAGTCGGATCTAGATCCTCTTGAAAAGACCTCCTCGAGGAACTCGCGCCGCTTCTGCTCCTTGCGGCCGCCGCCGCGCGGCGCGACGAGGTCCTCGCGCGGTCCTAGCGGCACGGCTTCCCGCCGTTCGAGCCACCACGCGGTGCGGTCTCTGAGAAAGCCGCGGACGCCGCCGATGAGTTGGCAGCCGCCCGCGTGCCACTGGTCCGTCTTCTCATATGTAGGGTGCTTGCGGCAGGCTCGCTTGCCTTGCGTTTTGACTTGGAACGAGATCGTGAACTCGGCCGCTCCCGTCAATCCCGGCACGCGCGCGTGGTCGAGGCCGTCGAAGCAGCGCTCCACCGGCTGCGCTGTTACCTCGACGGACCGCGCGTCGTCGGCGTCGTCAGCGAGCGGTGCGGTTACGTCGGCGTCGTGATGCGGTGCTGTTACGGTCGCGTGGTAATTGATCGTGTTCGCGGCGCAGAGCAGGAGCAGCGCTACGGCCGCGGCGGCGAAGGCAGCCATGCGGTAGTTGCTACCCTCGGCTTGGTGGTGGACCCACGGCCGGCGCCGCCCGCGCATGGCTGCTGCGGGTGGACGCTGCCCTTTACAGTCGTCGCGTCGCACGCGTCTGATAGCTGGACTCCACCGCGCTTTGCACAAGGGGTCGTGTGCGCCTCGGAAATCGGTCGCAGCGCGGCGCAGGCGGCTCTTTGGGCAGCCCTATGCCTCGATCGATTAATTTTTTTGCTTCCTAGTGTCTTACGAGCGCTAGCTAATCGCGTTTGCCTTGGCTTCAATCGTCGCGCACGCACAGTTCAAGCCGTTAGCGGTGTGCAAAACAAGCACAGGAGCAGCATTGGTCGCACTCCTTCGCCGCCCGGTCGCGCGGTGCACCGTTCTAGCCGCTGCTAGCCGTGCAACACCTGCACAGTGAGCAGTGCAACACGAGCGGCACTGCTCGCATGCGTCTCCTCGCGGCAGCAGTCCTGGTCACGACGATGCCTGCTGCGGCCCTGAACCCCGGCGTCGCGCTAGGCATCGATCTGGGCACGAGTGGCGTAAGGGCAGCAGTAGTAGAAAAGAAAACAAACGGTGGCGTCGCCGTGCTCGAGGAGGCGAGCGCGGCGTGGAGCGATGCGGAGGGCCGCCGGCCCGAGGTCTGGCTCAGCAAGCTCCGGGAAACACTCAAAGGCTGCGATCAGCTGGCGAAGGTCGAGCGCGTCGCCGTCTCGGGCACGTCCGGCAGCTGCCTGCTCGTAGATGCTGATACCGGAAAGGTGACGCGCGGGCCGCTCATGTACAACGACGCCGTCGAGCCGTCTTCACTAATAGACGCGGCCGCGCCGCCGGGCCACTGCACGCGGTCTGCAACCTCGGCGCTCGCCAAGCTGCTGCACTGGGCGCGGGAACGGAAGCTTGAGAACGAAGTCATCTGCCACCAGGCCGACTACGTCGCGTCGGCCCTCGCGAGCACTGAGAAGCCGGTGCTCGTTTCCGACTGGCACAACGCGCTGAAGCTTGGTTTTGACATCGACGCGCTCGAGTGGCCGAGCTGGATCCTGGAGCGCTGCCTCAACGCGGACGAACGAAACACGCTGACGCGGCTCCGCGTGACGCGGCCGGGAGATGTCTGCGAGCGCGTCGTCTCCGCCGAGGCTTCGGAGGCGTGGGGCCTCCCGGCTGGCGTGGAGGTCGTCGGCGGCACGACGGACTCCATCGCGGCCTTCGTGGCCTGCGCGACGGACATCGACAAGGGCGCGCTGAACGTCGCGGCCGGCGACGCCGTGACGTCCCTCGGGTCCACGACGGCGCTCAAGCTCGTCAGTAAGACGCGCGTCGACGACTCGAGCGTCGGCGTCTACTCGCACCGCCTCGAGGACAACTGGCTGGTGGGTGGCGCGTCGAACGCGGGCTGCCGCGTGCTGCGGGACTTTGAGTTCACGAACGACGAATTGGAGGCGCTCTCGATGGGTCTCGACGCCGCAGCTACTAACACGAAGGGAATTTACCCGCTCGTGTCAACGGGCGAGCGCTTTCCGTACAACGACGCGAGCAAAGAACCCGTCCTGCCCCCGCGCGACGGCGGCGACCGCGCGGCCGTGCTCGCGGACCTACTTGTTGGTATTGCCGACGTCGAGCGCCTCGGCTGTGCGTCCGCGGCGTCAATTGCCTTCGCCTTTTGAGAATCGCGTCGACGGCGATGGCGTCACGGTTTACACACGCAGACCTCGCGTTGAAGGAGCGCGGCGCGTCGCCTCTAAAAGCTGTGGCGACGGCGGGCGGCGGTGCGCGCAACCCTCAATGGGCCGCGATGCGCTCGAATTTACTCGGCGTCGACGTGGTCCGCGCCGCGAACTCGGACGCCGCGTTCGGGGCAGCGGTGTTAGCACTGCGGGGTTAACCTGTTGTTTGTCGACTCGGAGGTTCGGACGGCGGACCAATTCGGTGACCCTACGTATCAATAAATGTGCATTTTAGGGGGAAGATAAAATCGAGGGAGGGGGGCGGCACAGATGTTCTAGTCCGAGTCCTCGCCCCACGACGCGGCGCGGCCGAAGATGTCCGCCTCGGCGGGCTTCTTGCGCGGCGCGTCGACGTCGGCGAAGATCTTCTTCAGCTCTTCCTTGTCCATCTCAGGACTCGGCGGCGTCGGCGGGCGCGGCGGTGGCGGCGGCTGGTGTGCTAGATCGCGTCCTCCGCCTGGTAGATCGCGCCGCCCGCCTGCTGGCGGGCCGCGGTCGCGCGCTCCAAACGAGCCGCCGCGCTCGCGGCCGCCTCCGAAGCCGCCGCCGCGGTCGCCTCCGAAGCCGCCGCCGCGGTCGCCGCCGCCGTAGCCGCCTCGGTCGCCGCCGCCATACGAGCCCCGGTCACCGCCACCGTAGCCCCCCCGGTCGCCGTAGGACCCGCCTCGGTCGCGCCCGCCGTAGGATGAGCCGCCGTAACCGCCGCGGTCGCCGCCGTAGCCGCCTCGGTCGCCATACGAGCCCCCGCGGTCGCGGCCTCCGTAGCCGCCCCCGCGAGACCCAAAGCCGCCGCCGGAGCCGCGGAAACCACCAGAGCCGCCGCCGTACCGCGGGTCCAGGTCATGAGCCCCTCCTTTAACGCGCTCCGCCGGCTTCTGCGCCGCGCGCACCGCGCCCCGGACATCACCAGAAACGCCGGCCCCGATCATGCGCGTCGCCGCTTGCGGCGCGTTCGACCGCGGGTCGTTCCGCACGCTGTCCACTGCCGCGCCGCGAGCGGCCTGCTCGCTCTCCCGCAGCGATTGGTTCCGTTCTGCCCCTCGCTTTTTGGCCTCCTCCGTCCGCAGAAACGCCGCACACTCCCGCGCGACGCGCGCGGCAGTCACGGCATCGGCATCCAAAGCCGCCTGTTCCTTCCGCTTCGCCGCAATGCTCAAGCGTTGCGCCTCCTTCGCCGCCTCGACCCGCGCCTCCTCTTCGGCGACCTTCCGCCTTCTTTCCTCCCCCAGCCGTTTCGCCTCGGCGACCATCTTGGCCCTTCTCTCTTCGGGCGTCATGGCCGCTTCCTTGCGCTTCGCCTCGGCCTCCAGCGCGTGCTTGGCCGCCTTCGCCGCCCGTTGTCGGTCCTGCTTCAATAATTTCTCGGGAGAAATCGGTGGTTTTTCTTTTTTCTTCGACTTCAGGAGATTGGGCGACGCACACGGTGCCGCCTTCATGGCCTGCGCCCGCGCCGACGGCGTCGGCGGCCCCGCCTTGATGGCGGGATCATGCAAGTAGGGGCACTCCTCCGCCCTTCGACAGTCGCCCTGAACCCAGAAGCGGCACGGCGTCTCGGCCGGCGGTTTTCGTTCCTTCTTCTTCCTTGCTGTCGTAGTAGGGGGCTTCTCCTCGGCCTCATCCTTCGAGCCTCGTCTCGGGCGTGGTTCCTTCTCGCGGAACTTGGGCGCCGCGGCCGGCGCGTCCTTCAAAGCGGCGCTGCGTGCTGAGGGAGTAGGCACGGGGCGCGGCGGTCGAGGCGGCCGCGGCGGTTTCGGCGTCGGTGCCGGTGCCGGTGCGGGCGCCTCCTCTGCCGGAGCGGGCGCCGGCGCCGGCGCGCGCTTGCCGCGGCCCTTGCGCGTCGACGGCGGCGCGCCGTGCGAGAATTGGCAGGAGGCGCCCTTCTCGCAGTTGCCCATGCGCCAGTACTTGCACGGCCTTTCGCTCTTGGGCCGCGGCGGCTTCTTCTCCATGGACCCGGCGCGGCGGCGCGGCGTCTCTGTTGCTTCCTTCTTGGGCTGCTCGTCCTTGGAGGCGGAGCGCGGGCGCGTGGCGTCCTTCGAGCCGGCGCGGCGGCGCGGCTTCGGTTTATTTTCCTTCTCCGGCGTCGGCGCCTTGTCGTCGGGCGCCTTGGCCGCGGGCGGCTTGGCCGCGGATGCCTTGGCCGCGGGCGCCGGCGCGGCTGCCTTAGGCTGCGCTGACGCCTTCGGCGCGTCCGCGGGCTTCTTGTCCTGCCTATCTTGTGCAGCCGGGGCCTTGACAACCCTCACTGGGGCGCTGGCGTCCGGCGTCACTTCGAGATTTATGGCGGGACCACTCATAGGTGCTGCCGGATGCGTTGGAAATGCATTCACGATGCTCAATGGGCTGTAATAGGCTTTCAGCGGAGACGGAGCCCGAAATCACATTTTTGGCTAGTGTCTTAGGCCGCTAGCTGAGGTTCGCGAATAATACTTCAAAAACTTACAAAACGCACCCCCTCACGCCGTCGTCGCGGCAGGCATCAACCCAAGCTCCGCGACCCACACCACGTCCCCGCCGTCCGCGAGGCTACAATCCAACCCATCGATCTCGCCCTCCTTGACGTTGGGCACGTCCTTCTTGATATGAACGATTTTCAAATCCTTCTTCGCTTCCCTCAAAAATGACGACGTCGCACATTTTTCACTTTCCGCAGCTGCCATCGCGATAAATGCGGTCGCCTCCAATCCGCGAGCCACGGCGTGCTCCAGCCGTCGCTTAATCTCCTTCACTAATGACACATGTCCGTCCACCATCGGCGTCAGTTCGGCCCCGACGATGAACTCGCGCCAAGCATTTTCTTGGGGCAATTCTTTCAAATTCTTCTCCGTAGCTGTCGGCTCGTGCGGCAGGATGCCCTTGCGCACGTCGGGGTCCCACATGTACTCCTTTGCTGGAGGTGGATCGTCCTCAGCATCTTCATCACAGCCCCACCGGACCCGACGAACGATGATCGGCGCATCAGACCCTTCTTCTGTGAGCGAAGCGTTGGCACACGCCAATTCCACAAATTCATCGGTCAGAGTCACATGGCCCGCACCGGCGGCTCTAAGAGCCAATCCCAGAAACCCCGTCCCGCAGCCGAGCTCGAAGATGCGCGTTTTTGGGGTCATGTCTGGGGCTAGATAGCGTGCTAAGGCAATCGCGCCGGGCCAGACCACACCACCTAAACCATCTGCTCCTTTCGGAGACTGCCTTATGAGGATCGGTAGTCCCTGCTCCGGTGCGTATTTCAATAGTGAAGCTTCTCGGTAGAGGGGGTCCTCTTCGTCAGTAGTTGCTCGGAGGACCAGGACGTCGCCATCGGATACGGTCTCGAACGTATCCAGCATGCTTCGCAAGCGCCGGCGCATGGATGCGGAGAGTGCTATGACGACCGGGGCATCTTTTTGCCGTGCAAAGGCCCTTATCACAGAAACCGCGGCGTGCGCGTCCTTTGCTTCTAAGTCACCTACCACAATCACAGCATCGGCTAAAGCATAACCTGTCAAGGCTTTTCTACAATCGGCAAAGATCGCCACGGACTTGGCGCCGGCGTTTTTTACGGGCGCATAGGCGGCGTCGGCACCTATTACAACACAGCGCCTGCCCTTGATGACGGCGGCGTCCTGTTTTAGGTAGTTTGTTAGTAACTGTACTGTTGGACTGAGAGCCGACGAGTAGGTCCGCGAGACGTAGCCGGCCATTGTTGCTGTGTCGTGGCGGCTGGCGTTTTTGTGGCAGCCTTTTTTGTGAGTGGTCTTTTGTGGAACGCTGCGCTTCAAACGCTTCGATATCAGAGCGGCTGCTACCACTGTTCGATATCTGTTGCTGAAACACGCCAGCGACTGGCAGGTACCGAGGTAGAGCAATCGTATTCGACGCGAGCAAAAGTGAAGCTAGCGTCCTGTAAGACACTAGGGATCCAGAACGATGAATCGGCGACGCGCGGTGTGTCTCCCACATAGGGGCACCGCCCACTAGTCCTAGCACCGTAACAATAGACCCACCTCCACTATGCACCTCGCGTCCTCTCGTTACGGTCCACAAACAAAGCTCTAGAACAAAGCTCGGCGTCGACGAGGTGTATGAACCTTACCCGAGAGGAACACAGAATCTAGCAGCGCACGCGCTCGAGGCCCGGCTCGATGTAGTAGTAGACGTTGCCCTGCTCGGCCCACTCGCGCAGGCAGATCGCGCCCTTGTCGTCGAAGTCCTCATTAATAAAAACCTCGCAGTCCTTGACCTTGGTCAGCAAAAACTTGCAGGCCGTCGGCGCCGTCGCCATGAAGGCCTTGATCTCGTCCTGCGGCACGCCGGCTTCCTTCTTGGCCTTGCGCATGGCCTGGTAGTAACTCTTGAGGTAGGTCTTCAAGGCCGTGGCCGACATCTCGTACTCCTGGAGGTGGAACGTGTGCTCGATGGCGTCGACTATTTTCACGTTGTCGTCGAGCTCCTCGCCGCCGCCCTCCGCGGAGGCGTTGCCGCCCGTGTTGATCTCCTCGCCGCCTTCCGTCATGTTGCGGGACTGGACCTTGATGATGCCCGGGGCTTCTTCCACGGGCTCGGCCTTGAAGGCGTCGCTGCACATCTCCTTGCCACTCACTTTGCAGGTGAGGATCTCGAGGCCGCCCCGCAATCTCAAGACGAGGTGGAGCGTGGACTCCTTCTGGATGTTGTAGTCGCTCAACGTGCGGCCATCTTCCAGCTGCTTGCCCGCGAAGATCAGGCGCTGCTGGTCGGGCGGGATGCCCTCCTTGTCCTGGATTTTTTGTTTCACGTTGTCGATCGTGTCCGACGGCTCGACGTCCAGCGTGATGGTCTTGCCCGTCAGCGTCTTGACGAAGATCTGCGCGCGCGCGGGCGTTTTCGCGCGGCGACGGCGTGGGGGGCTTTTTTGCCGAAAGGTTGCTCTCTCGCGTCGCACGGCGGCCGTAGGGACGCGCGGCGACGGCGTCAGGGCCCTATCTCTCCGCATCGCTGCTCTCTCGCGCCACAGCAGCCGTATCGCCTATCAGCTAGACAGCGCTTGTTTGCCGGCAGTGGTGCGTATCGCAGCGCGTGCAACGAACGATGGTTGGCTGGAGGAGTTTAGAGCTCACCTGCATGGTTGCCTTGGCCTATTTAAGCCTCTGAGATGCCAAAAGGTCTCCGGTTTCACGGCTCGAGATTTTTTATTTTTTTGGCTAAAAAACGGGTTTTAAAGTTTGAAAAGATGCGCTCCTGGACGTGCTAAAAGCGCTAGTTACAACAAGAGACCCATGGTGCACGTCTTTTGCCCAACAAGGCGCATCAGTTCCTCACTCCGCGCCCGCGGCGCGAGCGTCACCAGTCCCAGAGAATGTTAAAACCTTACGCTCACCAGCGCAGGTTGTCCGACGGGTGCCGAGCGCGCAACGACGACGACGACAACCGCCTAAGGAGATCATCCACCGCCCGTCGCGGCGACGCCGGCTCCCGGTTCCGACTGCCCGAGGACGTATCCAGGTCCCGGTCCACGGAGTCAAACAACGCCGACCGTAACGCAGGTAACGACGCTTGGTCGCGATCCGCCAGGGACGCCGAGAGCTTCCTTCTGAGATTGTCCCGCTTCCTCACGAACCTCCGCACTTTCGGGAGCGCGTAATCAGCCGCCAGCCCCGCCATCCTCGTCAAGCGCCAGTAGCACGACGCGGAAAAGTCCGCCACGGGCTTGATCTCCAGGAACAGGTCCATGGTGCCCCCCTCCAGGTCCTCCGCTAATTGCGATTTATTTCTCAGTACTTGGAGCGTCGCGTTAACCTTGGACATGCTAGGCACCTTCCGACAATCTCGAGACCGACCGACACAAACTAGCAAGACATTCAACCATCGTCGCAGCAAAAGATACCAGCCGGAAACACCGCTTTCCCCGTACACGATGACGTCGCGAAACTCTCCTCCACTACTATCAACCACCGACACACCTACCACCGTTCGGACGCATCCTGTACTTCTCATTTCTCTCACCGGTAGGTTATTGACATAACAACCGTCGCAGTGCAGGTCGCCGGTCTTCTGACATCGCATCGGTGGTAGCAATTCAGCTACACTCATAGAAGCTCTACACGCAAAGACCAGGTCTCCCGCCGAGATAGAATGCCCTTGCTGCCTCGTCAAGTTCGTCGTGACGCAGAAAAAGGGCAGCCAGCAGTCCTCGACGTCTCGTCGCGACCAGACCTTTCTTCTCACGACTCTTCTAGCATCAGAAGGGTGTTCCTCATCATCATCGCTTTCGTCGGACAAACACGAGTCGTTTCTCCGTCCTATGGGTCGGGACCAGGCGAAGGACAAACCCCTACGCACCGCCCTACTAAACAGTTTACCGGAGAAAACACTGAGTAGTGGTAGCGTCAGCTCCCAAGCCAATGAAGGCGGACTGGTCAGCGTCCGAGCGATCTCCTCACTTGCAACGGACGTGGCCTCCAGCCGATCATCATTGCGCTGCGGGAGAGCGTAGGCCGCTGCGCAGTAGGCGCCCTGACTACACCCAGCAACCACATCGGGCATCAACCCGCCTTCCTCCAGGGCCCGCAACACACCTAAGTGGCCCAGGCCGCGACCGCCACCTCCACCAAGCACAACTCCAACAGCTCGACCGGCAACAATTCTGGCAACACGTCCTAGGTCGTTTGCATCATTCCTCACACAGTGTAGCAGTCGAGGCGCGCATCCTTGGGTCGGTGCCGGTCTCGCAGCCAACCACCTACTACTCCGTTTCGGTGGAGGGGCGTTGCGGTCGTGCACGAGTAAAACTATACTTTTCTTCCTGGTTATTTCCGAGCCGCCGTACAACGCTCTTCTCTCCAATCGGCGAGGTGCCACGGCCGACGAGCGAGCCGCATCCGCGACAACCAACGCCACATCGCTTTGCGCCAACGCCAACCGAGCCCACGCCCGCGCGAACGCCCTTGTAGGTACTATGTCGTCCTCCTCGTCTTCGCGGTCGAAGCACTCCAGGACCACGAACCGGTGCCGCTCTTCTCGCTCAGCGAGCCACGAAGCCACACGTCTTCTCCACAACGCGGGCGCGACGTGGCCGTGGTGCGACGTCCACGGGTCCCCGAAACGCTTCGCTATTGCTGCTGGAGTGACCACCAAAGCTTTGCCCTCCTGGATGGCCGTGAAGGATCTACACAAAGTTTCGGCGTTGGCACCAGCTGCCAAGTTGCCCGCGCCGTCGACGCCCGTAATCGCGACCGTACTCACTTCGTCCTGCTCCTTCTGGCCCTTCAGCCCATGGGCCAATTTCGCCAGCCATAGCGCGCCGTTTCCATCTAGCGCTTTCCGCGGCACCGCCACCAGCTCCGAATCGCGGAGACACGTCGCGTCAAAATCGAGGCGATGCTTCGCTGCGAGGGCAGCGGCGAGACCCACAACGCCACCTCGCGAGACGTCCTCCACCTCTTCTATGAGATCCTCGTCATATCGCAAGACACGGACTCGTCCCGTGACGACGACATAGAAATGGTCGGGCGCGAGGTCGCCTCGAGACATGAGCTTGACGCCCGCGTGCAGCCACCTCCGCGACAGTCCCGCATCGGTAAAAGCTCTTACATCGGGCGCCATGGCCGCGACGACGCCCAACAGACATTTCGAGGCGTTCGCCGCTATACTTAGATTCGTGCGGAACGCTCCTTCTGGGATCTTCGCGAGCACCACTCCGTGGTCGTCCGGGCCGTTCGACGCCATGACTTGCAATGCTTTTCGTAGTCGTTCCGTGGTACTGCGGCCGTCGTCATCCAAGAACCGAAACCCATCTAGAACAGCGGGCGCCGTGACGCGTCTCGTCCTCGACTCGTCCAACGAACCACCAACGAGTACGGAACCTTCCAATAACACATATAATTTGCGCGGGTCGTCGAGTTTGATGATGGTGGAGGGAGCATGTCTCGAAGCGAAGGGCTTCAGTGAGCTATAGTCGTCCTGCGAAAGTGACGCTGCTGAATCTCCACAAGTGTTCATCCTGAGGAATTCCCGATTCGCGAAGCGCGCGACGCGATGCAGTCTTGATAGCGTCCGGCGAGCATACGAGAGTAGAGCGGCGGGCCTTTCTGTAGCTAGATCGCGAAGAGATGCCGCGTCGAGCTCACAAGTGATCGTACCACCTTCCGTCGAATGCGACACGACCCTATGGGGTGAGGAAGACACATCTTGATCAGAAGCGGCAGCGGCCACGACGGAGAACTTGCCCAGCGCTTCCAAGGGTCCTAACGTCGCGACGACCTTCTCGCGCGGCGACTGCTCCGCATGTCTTGAAGATACGGTGCGGTCGTCGTCCAAGTCCAAGCCCACCGCCGTCGACAGCGACTGGGACCGCGCCGCTCTTTGGACCGTCGGCCGCTCCACATTTTCGAGGTGATCCTCTTCGTCGTCGCTCTCCTCGTCGTCTTCGCGCAGGGCTTTTATGGCGAGGGAGCCGCTCACTACTAGGATGAGGGTGTCTCGGAGAGCGCCTCGCGCTTGGACGGTGGCACCAGGCCTATAGCGCCGCCACCGCACTCGTTCTAGGACGGCATCCCTCAGAGCCTCGTCGCTCGGATCATCAACTAAAAAACCAAGAGGAGTGCCCGCGAGCCACCTCGCTGCTCTAGCTGCATCAGCTGGTACTAATTTAGTGCGGCTTTCTTGCGTGCCTTGTCGGTAATCTGTGGAAGACGCTCGTCGGAACGACGGCGTCTGCGGTACTATCAAAGGTGCCACCTCATCATCCGAATCGTCGTCCGAGAAGGAGGCGGTGGTGGCTTCTCGCCTCGCTTCCGACGGGGCCTGCTGCTGCTGCGCCCGCAAGCGCCTCCTATGTCTTCTCCGTCGTCTCGCGCCACGGACCCACGCGGCTACCGCCCAGGCCGACGCGGCGACGAGCGTTACGGTGCGCGTGGTTCTGCGGCCGCCGCTGCCCATTATGAGCACCTCTTCTTTTTTAGTACACTGCTGAAGGAAAGGCTTGCAGCCGGACCAATGCGTCTATGAGATAACTGCAGCACGCCCAAGCTAGCTTGAGCTGTGCTGTTGACTGCTCACCACAGCAGCAGCACTGCTTCCGCTCTCCCCGAGAAACAGCTGAATTGCGAGGCGCTGCTCTGAGAGAGCCCTAAAGCTACGCGAGACGTACTAGCGTCGAAGATAAAAAAGGCTCAAGCGCAGGCGGGATACATATGTAGTCGCCGCGACGGCGTGGCGAAGACAAAATTGGGGAAAAGGGCGGGATTTGTTCGCGCGGTTGGCGGCGCGGCGCGACTCGATGAGATTATCAACAACAAGCTTAGCACAGCGACGCTATCCGAGGGCCGCCGCGCAATCGGCCATCGCGCGGACGAGTTTCTGGCGCGCCGGCGAAGACGGGTCCGCTTTGAACGAAGCGTAGCCGACGGACCGGACCGGCGTCAGATCATTCGTCGTCGACAAGACCCAGACCTCGTCGGCGCGTTCCAGGTCGGACAGGCGGTGGACGCCCTCGTCGACGCGGAAGTTTTCGGCCGCCGCCGCGTCCAGGAGGAGTCGCGCCGTGATCGACTCGAGCATGCCTAAGCGTCTCCAACAAGGGACCTTGAGCACCTTGTCCTCGAGCCAGGCCACGGCAAAGTTCGGCCCGTCGAGCACTGCACGGTCGCCGAGCGGACCGTCGTCGGCAACACCCCAGCCGCGGGCCAGCAACAGCGCGTCGTCCGCACCGGTCCTGCGAGCCAGGCGCGCCGAGTGCATGTTGGCCCCATAGGCGAGCCACTTGATCGTCGCCCAGTCTTTGCTGAAGCCGGCCGGATGCCATGGCGCGCAGATCGGCTCGAGCGCGAACGTCTTGGCGTCGTCCGCAGTAATCGGCTGCCAGACACAAAAGGCGTTTGCGGGGGCGTCCAAATCGGCGAGGTGGTCGCCGTAGCCCTGGCTCCCACCGCCGCGCGTCACCATGAGCCGCACGTATCCGCCCTGGCCGCCGTTGCGCGCCGCGTCCCGCAGCCAGCTCTCGAGGTGGGCGCGCGGCGGCAGTTTGAGCTCCAATGCGGCAGCTGAGCGTTCTAATCGATCGAGATGCAACGACACGGCCCTCGGCGCCGGCACGCCGTCGCGGTCCTGGACGACCCTTACGGCCTCGAAGACGCCGTCGCCGCGCTGGAACGTGACGTCCCAGATGCTGCACTTGAGCGATGCCGCGGGCGTCGGCACGCCGTTGAGGGATGCAAATGTGCTGCTGTGTCTGCTGAGGCTGCGGAGCGTCCGGAATGCCATCTCTGGCTAGAATATCTCGTTCAGAGGACGGCAGTGGTCCAAAACTAAGGTTCGCGTGCTTGGTTCAGTCGCTCGTTGCCGCACGACGCCGCAATCGTTTTGGCAAGAAATGAGCCGCCGGAGAGCACCGCTCTTTGAAGCAAACTGGGCAGCGCTGCGCGCGCACGACTGCTCCGTACCAGCTGCAGAGGCCAACACGACGCCAAACTCGTCAGAAACGCACCGCTAATGGCCCGCGGCGCTCGATGAGACTCGTGCGCCTGGCGTCACTGATGAGCGCCCTGGAACCCTCGACGACGCGGCGCTCGGCCGGCGCGCTGCGGCGCCTCGCCGGCGGCGACGGCGACGACGCGCCCGCGAAGCTGGCCGCCGCGTTACACGACGAGAACTGGCGCGTGCAAGAAATCGAGGCCTGCAAGGACGCAAGCGGCAAAGGTCCTTTACATTTTGCGGCGTGGCGCGGCGCGCCGAAGAACTGCGAGATCTTGATCGACGCCGGGTGTGATGTGGAAGCTCCGGCGACGGGCGAGTTCTCGTACGGCAAGACGCCGCTGTTCTTCGCCGTGACGCGGTGCCGAGACGCGACCGTGTTAGCGTTGCTCGCGCGAGGCGCCGCGACGAAGATCGTGAACAACAAAGGGCAGTCCGTGCGCGCGCTGGCAATATCTCATTTGAAGCCCGAGACCTACCGAGCGGTCGTCGACGCGGAGGAGGCGGACACGCGCCCCTGGATCAATTGGAGGGAGACGAAGAGCGACGGCCTGACGTACGGTGATCTGGACGCGCGCTTTCTGGAGCGGCCGCTGGAACCGAGGGATGTTGTTGATGACGTCGCCGTGAACCCGACGACTCACATTTCAAGGCGCGGCGCCTTTCTTCGCAAGAACCCGCAGAGGCAGCAGAAGCAGCAAGCACCACCCGGCAAGCCGCCCAAGCCGTCGACCTACGCGCCGTCCGCGCCACCTGCCGACTCTGAAGCGCTCCTGCAAGCTGTGTCGGACGCGTCCGACGAGGTAGAGACCGTCGGGGCCCTTGAGGCGCTCGCGACCGCGTGGGCGGACCGCAAGGGCCCCTGGCTGCCTCCTCTCGCCGACGCCGTCGCAAAAGTAGTGCCGCGAGATCGCCTCGAGGCCGCGGCCGCGACTTTGGGGGAGGAGGGCTTGGCGGCGCGGCTCGCGCGGCGGGCCCTCGGCGGCGCGCCGCGGCCGCCCGCGCCGCCGCCGCCGCCCAAGGCCTTTCAGAGACGTGCCAAGACGCCGGCGGCGCCGCCCGTCGACGCGACGCTGCCGCCGTGCGCGCTCTCCGGCGAACCGACCTGGGTCGACGACGACGTCGGCGCCGTGGCCGCAGCCGTCGTTACGGCGAAGCGCGTCGCGTTCGACTGCGAATTTTCTGCTGTTCCGGATCGCGTGGCGACGATTCAAGTCGCTCTGGACGACGGCCGCGTCTTTGTCGTCGACGGAACGCTGAACCTAGACCCGCTCGTCGACGCGTTGTCGGCGCGACGGGTCCTGGGCTACGGCGTCGGCGAGGATTTAAAGCGATTACCGCGCCGGGACTGGAGCGTCGACGACCTCCAAAGGCGCTTCCCGCGGCACAAGGCGCCTTCGTTGCAGCGCGTCGTCGCCGAGGTCCTGGGCGAGTACGTCGACAAGGCCCTCCAGCGGTCGGACTGGGACTCTAGACCGCTGTCGTCCGAGCAGTTGCGGTACGCGGCGCTGGATGCGGCGGTGTTGTTGCGACTTGAGGCGGCGTTCGCGACTTGAGGTTTCTGTGTTATTCTGTTGTGTACTATTAAAACGAGATACGTAACTTTGGACTCGCGACAGGTATCCCAAAATACCCGCACTATCGAAAACCCCACTAGCCCCCCTGAGCTTGCACAGGCCCTCGCACGACTGCAACCGGCTCATACGCCGCACCTGTTGCCGTGCAAACAGAGAAGCGACTAGAAATAGCTCGCAAGTAGCCCCGGAATCCAAAGCAGCCTCTAAAAGCGCTCAACAATGGTCCGCATTATCGCTGCAGCTCTCCTGGGCTCTGCCGCCGCATTTGCGCCGAGCGCGGCCCCTACGGCCACGCGCACGGTGGTCTTCGCCGGCGAGGACTACGCCAGCATGGACGGCCCGGCGCTCGCGGCCGCCATCGACGGCAAGCGCAAGGAGTTGTTCGACATGCGCCTCGAGAACCGGCAGGGCCGCCAGAAGACGACGTTCAAGAGCAACGTCGTGCGCAACCTCAAGAAGGACATCGCGCGCATGATGCCCTTCCTCGAGGCGAAGCAGGCGTCGGGCTCGCCGAACGTCGCGCTGCGCGAGCAGGCGAAAGGACGCCGAGCGCGCAAGGAGAAGGTGGAGGCCTAGGCGTTCTGAGGCGTGCGCGGCGGCGCGTGAAGTAATACGTTCTCTTGTTATCAGCCATATCCAGGCCAGGCGTGTACACGTGGCGGCGGTTATATATCACTCAACTTAGATCTCGTTCACCGCCCCGCACTCCGTGCACGTGAACTGCGCTCCCGGCTCGGCCCCGCGGACCTGCATTTGTGCACCGCACGCGCCGCACGAGAAGAGGTCCCCCGCCTCTTCTACTGCCGGTGGAGGCGGCGGTGCCGGCGCGGGAGCCGCCGGCCGCGCGTACGGCGCCGAGCCGAGGGACCCGCGCATGGAGTGCGCGTAGGGCGGCGGTGCTGGCGGCGGCGCGGGCGGCACGTAGCGCCGCGCCTGCGGTTCATAGTCCTGCCGCGGCGGCGGCGCGTAGGACGGCGCCCTAGTTTGCTGCTGCATCACGGGGCGACCGTACTCGTCTACACTTGGTTCGGAAGCGTAGGCCGGCGGCGGCGGCGGTTGCGGTTGCCGGTAGGGTGCCTGGGACGGCCTTCCATATTGATCGTACTGCACGGCGGGCTGCGAATACGTCGGCGTGTCGTAGACCGCGGGCGCGCGCCGCCGCGCCGCGCGCGCGTGCTCCTCGGCCTGGAGGCGCCGCGCGAGCGCGGCGTCGGCGTCCTCCTGGACCTTTCTATCCGTCTCTGGTGAATGGGGAGGCGCCGGAACCTCTTCGTCCTCGCCGAACAGGGAGCCCCAGAAGCTCTGTTGCGGCGGCGGCGCGGGCGCTGGAGTCCGCGCTAACCTCTCAGCTAACGCCGCGTCCGTGCGCTGCCTTGATAATTCGGCGTACGAGTTCGACTTGCGCCTTTCTTCCTCTCGTTGCAACCGCTTCGCGAGCTCCTCGTCCTCCTGCAGTCTTTGTAACCGCGTCACCACATCTGGCGAGACGCCGACGCCGTGGGACCTCGCTAGTAAAATTTCCCTTTCATCTTCAGCAGCGGAAGAGGTAGACACTCTCCGGTCCTCCTCCTCGGACTTTTGTTGCCGTAGCTCCGCCGTGTCCCGCGCGACCGCCGCGAAGAAGTCCTCGTTCTCGACTTGTGCGGGTGCCTCCGCGGCCGCCGCTAGAGCATTTCTCTTCTGGTCATCTACTACGAGCCGAGCCAGCGTCCTGCAAACAATTCTAGCCTCCTCATCCGAAGATAATAAGTCGGCGAGGGCCGACCGCATACCTGAAGCGGTCAGATCGCCGGCCGCGTAGCGCCGCGTCCCCTGGACGAGTTCGGGCAGTCGTTCACTTCTATTGAGTTGGTCTAGTCTCGCGCGCACGCGGCGCACCGCATCTCTCTGGAGCTCCGCCGCTTCGTTGCCCGTCGCGAGCGTCGATTTTTCTGGAGACGGCTCAACAACCTTCTCGAGGTACGTTGTGGGCACGGCGCCCGACCTGCCTTCGTAGAGACACTCGGTCCAGCCATCCGCATGATCTTTGATGGCTTCGACGATATCCCCCTCCTTGACGGACATCTGCCAATTTTCAGCCGCGGCGAAGGCCGCGACCGCGCGGCGCGGCTCGGTTTCCTGGGAAACCTTGGTCTCCTCGGCCGCCGCTTGTTGCGCCTTCTTCTCGGCCTCGAGGGCGGCCAATTGCCGCTCCCACTCGGCCTCGCCGGCCGCGGCGGACTCCGGCTCTTCCTGGGTCGCCGCGGGTGCCTCCTCGGCCGCCGCGGCCGCCGCCGCCGGTTCCAGGGGCTCGGCCGGCTCCGCCGCCGTCGTGGATTCGGCGGCCTTCCAGACGATGCCCGTGCAGCCCTTCCGGTAGGCGCCGAAGACGCGGCCGGGCGGCGGTTTGTCTTCCGTGTACGGGCCGCCGGGCTTTCCGTCGGCGTCGTAGCCCGCTTGAGCTCGCTCGTCGGCGGCTGCCTGCGCGCCTGCCACGGCATCAGTGGGCAGGACGTTGCTTTGGGGGATGATATCAGGTGCCGTGAGCTCCTCTATCATTTCGCGCGACGCGTCCGCGAACGCCACTGGCGTAAATAAAGAGGGGTCGGCGGGAACGGTAGGCTCGGGCGTCGCCGGCCGCGGCGTGAAGAGGGCCGGGTCCGCGGGGACCGTCGGCGTCGGCGTCGAGGGCTCCTCCGGCGTTTCCGCTGCTGGCGCTTCCGGCTTTGGCGCTTCTGGCCCGGCGTCGGCGGCCTCCGGCGCGGGCGGCGCCGGCGCAGGCTCGTCGGCGCTTCCGGCGCTTCCGGCGCGCCGGCGGCCCTTCTTCTTCTTTTTCTTCTTCTTCTTGGCGTCGGCGGCGGGCGCGGGCGCCGGCGGCGCCTCCACCGTCGGCGGCTCTTCGGCGGGCGCCGGCGCTTGCGCGGGTGGCTCCGGCACAGGCGGCTCCGGCGTCGGCGCTTCCGGCGCGGCTGGCGCTTCGGTCGGCGCCGGCGGGGAGGGCTCCGGCGTGGGCGGCTCAGGCGTGGGCTCTTCCACGGCCGGCGCAGAGGGCTCGGGCGCCGCGGGCGCGGGCGGCGCCGGCACGGGCTCTTCGGTTGCAGGCGCGGGCGCCGCTGCGACGGCCGCAGGGAGTTCCGCGGGCGGCGCGGGCGCCACAGGCTCCGGCGCGGGCGCTGCGACGGCCGCGGGCTCCGGCGCGGCCGCGCCCCCGTTCGGAGAGTCCGCGCCGAGCACCTCCACGACCCCGGCGCCGCGCGCCGCTTTCAGTAAGGAACGCCTTCTATCATCATTCTTCACGAGCCGCGCGAGAGACGGTAGTAACTTGAGCGACCGCTGCTCGCCAAACAGATCCGCCAGCGTGAGCAAAAACGAATCAGCATCCAGGTCTCCCTTGCCATAGGCGCCGGCCGCTCTTATAAACTCTGGCAACCTCTCGGCTTTATTGTCTTTTTGGAGCTGCTTGGTCACGCCGTCGATGACGAAGGCCTGGAAGGCCTGGGCCTCGTGGGCCGCGACGGGCGGCACGTCTTCTGGTATTCCGGCGGCCATCGCTGCTTGCTTGGCTTCTAGAGGCCGCGTCGGCTCTGACGCGTGTGGAATTTGCGCAGTGGTGGAGGGTCGAATGAGCCCAGCGCTGCGTTTGCGCGAGTTTCACGCCTAGCACGGGCTGGTGGCGCTGCAACGAGTCGTATACTCAACAACTGCGCCGCTGCCTTGCGCTCACAGGCCTCCGAAATTACGATTTCGCAAGCCTCTCCGCTTGTTGCTTGGGCTAGTGTCGGACTACGCTAGCTATCAGAGCTCCGCGCCGCTGTAAACGCGTGCGCTAGTCATCGCCACTGCGCACCACTCCGTCAAACTACAGCTCTATATAAGCCACAAGGACCACGCTCGAAAATCTGGTGAGAATCGACGCGGCAGTCACATTTTACGCCCCGCCGCCGCGACGCGCCACAGCGCAACCATAATAACAGCGCGGAGCGGTAAAACCACGCAAAAGATGGCGACAACCAACGGCAGCCCGTCCATCCACAGCGCACCCTGCGTCGCCCTCCAACTCAAGGCCGCGAGCTGGTCCTCGGACGCCGACGAAATCTCAGCCTTTGAAACAAGAGCCGCAGAAGCGGCCTCGCGCTTCGGCCGCGTCCTAGATGTGCGACTCGCGAATGGTAGTGGCACCACGCGAACTGTAAGAATCTACTTCGCGGACGTCTCAGGAGCCGTCTGCTGCGCCACCCGTTTCACGTGCAACGGCGTGACCCGAGAAAACTATACCTACGAGAACATGGAGCCGCCGTCCCTAGTGACGTTCCGGGATCTTCCGAAGCCGAAGGACGCGTCGGAGTTGGCGCGAGACGTCGGCGTCGAGTGCGGGGAATTCGGAAGGGTATTAGACGCGCGATACGTCGACGACACGGTCGTGATCAGCTTCTCCACGCCGTCAGGCGCCGCGGCGGCGTCCATAGCGTTGGATGGGGCGGCCTTTGACGGGTACCGGTGCGCGGCGTTTTTCGGTAATAAATCAGAAGAGCCGTGCTGTGTCCTGCGAGGGCCCCTAGATGGTATCGATGATGATTTGTCCCAGATGGAGGTCGTGGGAGATGTCGAGGAGGCCTGCGCGATGCTAGGTGAAGTGCGGAGCGTCTCTTCTAGAGATGGAGCTATCTTGATCGCCTATGATGAAAATAGGGGCGCGGCGGCCTGCGCGAGGACGATGCACGGTCGCGTGTTCGACGGGCGGGAGGTGAGTGCGACGGCGGCGCTACGGGGCGGGTATGAAGCGGAGGCCGAGCTTTGCGCCGCCGTAGTCAATGCATTGGAAGTGAAGCCTCCGGAACGGCCCATCGAGAAGAAGAAGGAGCTCACGAAGGAGGACACGCTCAAGAAGGCCATCCAGGCCCTGAGGAAGGCCGTGCTAGCGTCGCCGTCCGATGTCCAACTCAGAAACAACCTAGCTGGTGCCCTTACACGTATTGGAGGAGTGGGAGAACTAGAAGAGGCCTGTCGCCACGCGACCCACGCGACGCGCCTGAAACCGGACGACGCCTGGGGCCACTATAGATTGGGCGTGGCCCGCTTTCAGAAAGGTGCTGACTCAGTGTAGATTTTGAACTCGAACTTGACGTGGTCGCGTCGATGGCGTCCTCGCGATGCTGCGTCGCCTCGACGCCGTCGACGCGGCCGCACGAGAGTCTACGCGTCTCGCGAGAGAGTCGCGGTCGTGTCGCGACGGTGTTACTCACAGGTGACGTGGCCAAGGCGCAAACGGCTCTCAGACTTGCAGCGTCACTCGCGCCCGACCGAGCTGATTTCGCAGAAATAGCCGCGAAGGCCGACGAAGCAGCATTAGCGTTGCTCGACCCGATGGACGCCTTCGCGGCCCAAGCAGAAGCGGAAGCGAAGAAGGCCCTCGTCGACTCCGAGGCCAAAGCGAAGCGGGAGAAGGAGACGCAGCGGTTCGGCAAAGGTAAAAGAAAGCTGGAAGACGATAGTGATGACGAGGGCGAGTTGTTGAATGTGAACTCGCGGGCGCATTGCTACATCTGCAAGCAGTGGGGCCACTCCAAGAAGGACTGTCCGTTAGCGAGGTGTCAATACTGCCATGAAATAGGTCACAGAAAATCAGATTGTCCCTTGTTTACGCAAGCCTTACAAAACGCGGCCGAGGAAGAAAAGAAGGCTCGGCGCAAGCAGGGCTACGAGAAGAAAAAATTAAGGAGGAAGGAGGAGTGGACGAAGATGCTGCGCGAGCAGACGGGCGTCGACGGCTTCGCGGCGCTCTACCGTGTCTTGGGGTTGCCTGAACGTAAATTAGCGACTGCCTCGGAGATAAAGAAGGCGTACCACAAGCGCTCATTAGCGTATCATCCTGATAAACATCCGGACGATCCGGATGGTGCTAAAGAAAGGTTCCTGGAGATCAAAGCTGCGTATGAGTTATTGTTAGAAGGCATGGAAACGGGCGGGGCGGGCCTGGGCGGGGCCGTGTTCTCTGCCGGTGAATTGACCGATGCTGCCGCGGCGTCTGCCTTGCAAAAAAAGGTGAAGGCGCTGGAGAAGAAGGTGAAGGCGTCGGCGGCGTGGAGCGGGTAAGTAGTCTTAGTGTCGAAGCGCGGCGGTGCTTCGACGCGTAAGCCGAGGAGTGGCGCGTGCGAGTCTACCTCGTGGGGCTCGCTCGGGGGGGGCTCTTGGCGAAGGTCGCCGACCCTGATTTTCAAATTTAGCGTCCCCAAAACCGTACTAGCTACTACTTGCGGGACCCCTCTCAGTGTGCCTGGAGCAAAGATTGTCTCTTGCTGTCCCTGGCAAAGGTCAGGACGCGCTTGGTGCCAGCTGTCGCTCGGAACTCGGCGACGATGTCGCTGCCTGTGCGAAGGCTGCCGCAGTAGAACTCCCGCCCGGGCGCTCTGATGCTGACGAGCCGATCGCCGACCGAGACACGGCCCGCGAGCGGGCTCGACGCCGACACGCTGATGACCTGGTGTCCGGTGCCGGTCTCAAAGCGGAGTCCGAGTCTCCCGGGCGGCGCCTCGACCTCCACGCCGCCCGGGGGGATGATGCCAACTGATGCCGCCTCGACGACCTCGCCCTCCCGGGGTGCTCGGGTGCTAGAGTTCCCGAGCGACGCGAGTTCCGCGCGGCGGTCGGCGAGCTTGCGCGAGTACTCATCTACACTCCCTGGTTCATCTTCTTGCTTGGCCTTGGCTAATTTGTGCTCAAGTTTTTCTATCTCCTCCAATAAATAAGCCTTGTAGAAAATGAATTTGCGCACGTCAATAGCCACAAGGTTAAGGATCACCAAAGTTGGGAAGGTCGATGCGGCGACGAGGATCACACCAAACCAGGGCACCTCTGTTGCCAAGGCCAGCGCAACGACTGCGCATGCTCCGACGATAGGCCCACCGATTGCAAGTGCTTGCCATTTTGTATACTCCAACGCGACTGGCACCATCATGAGCGACATGTTGACGTATAGCGCGGCGATGGAGAGCACGGTGAACCAGTACAGGCCTGAGGGGCAAGACGAATGGGAGCCAGATATGTCGATGTTGATTGTGATGACCAACCCGAGGATAATCCACACCCAATGGATGACGAGCAGGTAGAACGTGACTTGTCTGTGGAACCGTGCCTTCCTTTCATCCTCGGTTCCTTTCAGGAAGATGACGAAGTAAGCCATGATGAAAGCCTTCCAGCAAAAGCTGGTCAGGTTCCAGATAGCCAAGCCAAACGGAGCAGCATTGGATGAGCACTTTGAATCGTCGTCCAGGAACACGATCCCCATCGTCAACTGCGCGATGAGCCAAGCGATGATGGCGCACATTATTCCCTTAAAAATAGGGCTTCCTCCCACGGCTGAAGCTATGACTGTGAGCCACAGTGGCGCGGTGCGGTCGCCTGGGACAACGGCGAGGGGGCCCAGGAGGCGGCGTTCGTGCCCAACGGCCGAGTGGACAAAGTCGGTGTTGGGCCACGCCACGAGGCGGCCTGGGACGACGGGCACCTCGCGCGCAGCCGGGCCAGAGCCGAGCACTAGTGCGCCGTCTCCGCCGAGGTAGACGATGGCGATGTATCCACCCCGGTAAGCCTCCTTGTTGGCATCCAGCTGCCTGGTGGCATCCAGGCTTTGTGCCCATGGCGCCGCACTCTGGGGCTCGTCCCGGTGCTCCGCGGTGGGGCCGTGCATGACTCGCGCGGGCAGCCATTCTTGCTGTGGCGCGCCTCCTTCCGTGGCCTCAATGGGGACAAGTCCCAGCGAGGCGTCAATCTCCGAGCGAAGCCGGTCGGCAACGGCGGGCACGTTGATGAGGAACTGTCGCTTGGCGGGGCAAGTGGCGGTCTGCTGATCGCCGCGCTCTTGTTCGAGGCGGTCTAGCTGGGTGAGAGCATCAGAAATCTCCGCCTCGTCGAGGAAGTTGTCTACGATGAGAATCCCGGCGGGCGGACGGCTGATGTCGAGCGGCTGCTTCGCCTCGTGTGTGGCCGCGGCCACGCTGTGCTCGGTCCCAGCGGCCATGGGCTGGGCGGGGCTGCCCCCGGATTTGGCAGCAAATGGGAGAGCCAGGATTTGCAAAGACGGACGAGCTCGGTCGCGCGGGACCGCTGTTCTCTGGGAGCTCTGGAGTAAGCGTTCACAGAGGTAAACAAAGCTGCACCATCGACGAGAGCTAGCGGCCTGTAGGACACTAGGAATGGCACAGCAAGTTTTGCAGGCCAGCCACACACGCGCAGCCGTGCGACGAGGGGGCCTAGACCACTCTTTTGATCGATTTCACTGTGCTTTCCACGCGTTCGGCAATTGGAGCAGCATTTAAGTACAGCATGGTTGAGCAGTAGGAGACTGCCAGCACAGCACTGCAAACAAATGCGGGACGACGAGGAAACCAGCGCGGCATCGAAACCACCACCGCAGCAAGCGAGCTGCGGCGCCCGCCACCTCATCGTGACCCTCGCCTTCACGACGAGTTGCTGTTTGAGTGGCGTCGTCTTCGGCTGGCCGGCGCTCGCCGTCGCGCTTAAACGAGAAGGCGCCTACGCCGACAAATGTGCCGACGACGACGACGAATGCAAGTCGCAGGAGGTGGCGCTCGCGCGCGTCTTCACGATCGGTGTGCTATGTATGTTCGGGGCGCGCCTGCCCGTGGGGTTAGCTCTGGACAGATTGGGAGCCCGGGTCACGGTCGTCATCACATTGCTAGGCGCGGCCATCGGAGCGTTACTGTTCGCCTCCAAATATTACGCCGTGGGGTTTGCGCTGATCACGGGGTGCGCGAACGGCGTGCACGTCGGCTCGATGCACCTCGCGCAGCTCTTTTCGGGACGGGAGGGCTCGGTGACGACGATCTTCAATGGGGCGCACCAGATGGGGTCCCTTGTTTTTTTGGCCTTCCTCGGGATCTATGGCAGTGGCGTCTCACTATCAAGTATCTTCCGGGGCTATGCGGCGTGTCTGGCGGGCTTCGCTCTGTTGCATGGTTGCGTGATTCAACCATCAACACGATACCGCAAGGGCGACCACGTATCGCTCACGTGTGCTGTGCCGTGCTTGCGGGCCCACCAGTCAGTTGATGAAGAAAACAAGCCCGGCTTCGTCGCGTCGGCAAAAGCTGTCATCAAACACACCGTGTTCGTACCGTTGCTGGCGTACAAGGCCACGATCTTGCTGAGTCTGCAGTTCTTCGTCGCTATGTTACAACCGCGCTGAGCGGAAGACGGCCGCGCTCCATCAATCGCGCGGGACATGGTCATCATCTTCAACGTCTTTTCAGCGGTATTGGGACTGGTCGTGGGCCTGCCGGTCTTCGGCCGCATCCTCGACCGCGGCGACACGATCACGGTGTCCCGCTGCGCGACATTGTTAGCCGTTATCTACGACTGCTTACTCGCGTTGAGCACTGTGTGGAATCTGCACGCCATCGTCGATGGGGCGCCCCAAAAAATAGATTTCCACGCAGGCTGAGCGACGCCCTGGCCTGGCCTCTGCTCTATGATATCCCGTCCTACGGCGCCTGGGCGTTGGGACGCATGGCCTTCTTCGCGTACTTCTTCGCGCACGTCCTGAAGACGTTCGAGGGCAACTTCGGCGTCGCCGTGGGCCTGCTGTCGTTCGGCGCGAGCGTCACGGCGTTTTTGATCGTGCAGCCGCTCGCGGCGGTGGCGTTGCGGGAGGACAAGATTGCGGTCGTGTCTGCGGCGCTGATACCCGTACTCCTAATGACGTGCGCGTGGAACGAGCGGGCGATGCGGCGGCACGCCGCGGCGACGACGGACGACGCCCCGAGTCGCGGCGATGGCGTATGAGCTCTACTACGCCATCGCGGCGGCGCTTGTATTTTGTATAACGTTGTTGGTTGTCTAGGCTACTCGGCGCCGTCGCCGCGACATGTAGGTTGTATAAATGTTGTTAGTTGTCTACTCCTCTAGTTCGCGAGGACCATGCCCTCGACCTGCGACTGGTTCGCAGCAGCAATCCCCTTGGCGCGCTCCTCCTCCTTCGCCTTCGCTTCTTCCGGGTGTTCCGCGGCGTGCAAGTCCTGGTGGTAGACGCGCGACGCCTTGAACCACGCGTTCGGGTGATTACCCACTCCATCTAAATTGGCCACGACCTTCTTGCCGTTGACGGTCTGCTTCTTGTGCGCGAACTCGAAGTGGCGCTGGCAGGCGATCTGGTAGTTGCGCTCCTTGGCCTTGCCTAATACTAGTGACTGCTCTCCGGCATCCAATGAAGTCTTCGACAGCACCGCCGCGAGGTGATCCGCGTCGAAGTGGCGGTAGGGGCAGCCGTGGTACTCGCCCGGGCCCGGCGCCATGTCCATCACTAATTTATAGCAGCCGTACGGCGAGTACTCAGTTCTTTTACCTTCTTTCCCGTAGCGGTGGCGAATATTATAAGCATACTCCTTGCTGAACTGGTCGTGCGTCATGATCTTCGTGAACTCGGCCTGGAAGAAGCGCAATTGATCTTCCATGGACAACCCAGCGGCCTTGAGGAAGAGGCCGTACTGCTGGCGGCCCCAGTGCTTTAGTTTATGATCTCTCTTCAACGCGTAGTGCAACTGCTGCATACATAAAGGCATGGACTGGTCCGCCAGGGCGTCGATCTGCTCCGGCGTGATGCCCTCTATATCATCATCATCCACATCTTGGCGTTCCAAGTCGTGTTTCTCGACGTTCGTTAACAGTGGACCAAGTCTAGGGTCGGCGGCCGCGGCCGCTAGCGAGCCGGAGGCTTTCGCTAGGGAGCGAGAGAGTGACGCTCTGAATCTAGATACGACGATGCTATGTAATTTCGCTTGAGGAACATAAGCGTAGCCCTTCTCCAAGTATACTTCTCTCCGCCCTATCAAGTCAATGGCTTCCAAGAAGGGCACGCGATAGTACGTCGCCGTTTGAGCTGGTACGTTCTCGTAGTTCTTGATCCTCGCCAACGATGTCACGCGAGCGTCTCGTTCGCTGTCGGGCACTTCTTCGAACCTGAGGCCGTGCTCGCGCAGGAAGCGCGCGAAGCCGTCTCCTCTCAAGCGGCTTAAGCGGTGCCTGAAGAGCGCACATTCTTGCGTGAGGAACCACCTCCGCAGCTCCTCAGAACGGGAATACGCTAGTCTCAAGATAAAGTGCGAGACCGAGTCTTTCCTCGCGTCCGACGGGGCCTGCGGTCCTGCTGATGCTAATGGCAGGAGTTCGCGCACGACAGGCGCCAACTCGGCCTCGAGCTCCTTGGGCTTGAAGCCCTTCTGGCGCAGCGCGTCGATTGTCCTCAGTACTTTGAGGCGGTCCACAGCGAACACCTCGAATTCTTCCAGCGTCATCTCCTCGCGGGGCGGCTTCTCGTAGAGGGAAACGGTGACGCGCTGGGACGGCGCCGCAGAAGCGCGCGCCGTGCTGCGGCGGTTGCCGACGAGCATGGCTCAGTGCTGCTGTTTTGCCGCGCGGGCGTCTTTTCAAGCGGCCGCGGCGGCAGCGCGCGGTCGTGGCGCTTGGGAGCACTGCTGCCAGCGCCTGCTCGTCCCAATTTGGCGTCTGCGCCGATTACAGCGTCGGCGCTTTGCGTTTTCAAAATGCGTCTCGCGCGAGGTTGAAATCGCGCAGCTGTCCCAACGGCGCGCGATGCGTGGGCGGAAGAGTATTTCAACACGGCTCAGCGGTCCTGATGACGTTTGCGTTCGTGCGGGTTCGAGCACTCAGGGTCACAACTTTGGTGCTTGCCTGCGCCCGCATACATGGACTGGGTGTCCCGCTGACCTGGTTTACGACTCATTTGGGCATGGCTGCGAACGCACAACGAGCGGTAGCGCTGGACGTGCCGTCCTCGTCCCAGGTGTCCAGCGTCGACGAGGAGGAGTTCGAGGACGCGTCGTCGGACGCGTCGTCCTCCTACGAGGAGCTGCAGAACCAGGCAGCTGCGCGACGTAATGCCGTGGCCGAGGCATTTGATGTGCTCCTTGCCGTGCGCGCGACGCGCGCGGCCCGATCGAAGGTCGACGGCGCCGGGACGGGCCCGCCGGTGCGCAAACACCGATTCTTGATCGAACGCACCGGTGCTCTCGACACCGTCACGGTGCTCAAAGTCGTCACCAAGACCGGTGAGTTGGTACCGGCGACGTCGCTCTGCGAGTTCGTCCAGCAGGCGGCCGCCGAACAGATAGAGGTCTACCGCGAGTTCCAGCGGCGCGGCCGCATACCGCTTGAGCTGCCTATTGATGCGCCCTACAATGCGGCGGTCGGCACTTTCACGGGCATCGAGAAGGGCCGGCGCAAGTGGGACGCGTACGTGGATTCTGAACTTCGAGCATTTGAGGATATATACAACGATGAGTATGACAACGACCGCTACGCCTGCGACGGGGTCCCGGGCGACCCGACCGGCCGCTCCCTCTCGTTCCTCGTGGACACCGCGGCCATCGCCACGCTCGCGGAGCGGCAGGTTTCAGCGGGCGCAACGGAGCTGGCTCTGGGCCAGGCGCTGGCCGACGACGTCCTGGGTCATGTGCTCCGATTTGTCGGCGCGCTCCCGCGCAACGACGACGAGGCTATCGCGTTCCTCAAGTACCAATGTTCGACCGAGTGCGGTGGCACCGGCGCGGACGGGACCTACCTCGAGGTCGCCGAGTCGTATACCCCTGACCAGACGCTATACGTGGAAGCGGTCCTCTTCTCGACGCGCGAGGGCGAATTTTCGCGCCTGGAGCCGCGAGCCGAGCTGCCCACGATCCCGTCGCCCGTCTATGCAACCATGGAGGGGGGAGACGCGCCCTTTCGGGCGAGGCATGCCTTTTCGCGCGTCATCCGCATCCGAATCGGTCCCGCCGAAGACTATTACACGTTCGCCGCCGCCGGCGCGTCGGAGCCGGTCGTGTCGCTCCCCTCGCACGAGCTGCTGCGCAAGAACGCGGAGTTCGAGCGGCTGAAGCAGCGCATCCGCGAGCTGATGCCCGGGCTCGCGTGGTGAAAGCCTACGTCGCCGTAGACTGTGCAGTCTGTGTAAGCCATGTACCACAATTCATGTTACGTCGTCAGCGCCGCCGGCGCCGGCGCCACGCCACCGGCGAACGCCGCCCCCCGTCGCTTCGACCGCGTCCGCCGCGAGACCTCGGACCCCTTTTGGACGTCCACACAAACCACCAACCCGACGCACGCTATAGCATGAAACACACAGACGAGGGCCATACCGAGCCGCATGGAACCAGTGCCCTGATAAGTAGCCCCGAACAAGAGCGAAGGCATCCAGCTTAATGAAGCACCGAAGAAGTTGTAGATGCCCAGAACGCGCCCCTCCATGCCGCCCGGGACTAGAACACTGAAAACGTTCCGTTGTGCTGGGTAGAGAAACCCCAGTCCCAAACCAAGTAAAACAGCGAAGACCCACGGTAATCCACCTTTGGCGTGCGCCGGCTTGTAGATTACGAATGGAACGCAGAAGATCACCAGCGATAAGAATGCTAAACAACCAGCGTGCGCTCGTTTCGCCCGTCCCCCTTGCGCCGCTTTCGACGACAGAGCCGCGCCAGGCACCGTGAAGACAATCGCACACACTAATACTACAACATAGTTGCACATCTCGAGCTGCTCTATGAGATAAATAGCCACCAGGCCGACGACACCTCCCGTGCCCGCCTCGGAGAACGCGTAGGACACGAGGAACTTCAGTAAGTCCGGGGCCTCCTCGTAGAGTTCTTTGGTGGTTTCTCGTATATTGACGAAGCCATATAACAACAAGTTTGCGTTTTCGGGTAAGACGCGACTTGCTGGTCTCTCGGTGAAGTACCGCCAGCTCATCAATGTGATGACGCCACCTACTACCGCTGATACAAGGGCAGCCACTCGCCCCGTGTCGACGGCGTCCAATTTCAGGACAAGTTGCGAAGCGGCCACGACGATCATATACAATAACATGCAGGACATCTCCTTGACGCGCGCGCGCCCGTTGATTGATGCTAGTATATCATCATCTTCCGTCAATTCCGGTAAGTAGGCCATGGCGCAGGTCTGGTTCGCCATGTAGCCTAGCATGTATATTGTAAAGTATAGTATCAGTAAAACCTGCCACGTGTGCCTCGTCACGGCGGCCTGCAAGCCGCAAACCAACCAAGCACCGAACAAACCAGCCATACCAATACTTTTCCTATGATGCGAATGGTCCACGACGCTCCCGACGACGGGCATCAGGCAGGCGATCGTCACTTGCCCAATGGTGAGGCCGAACGACACCAAGGCCGCGGGCCGCGCGCCCCAGACCTTGCCGCAGTTTTGTGAGGGGGTTGGTACTGGTGTCGGGTCTCTATTATTGTCCTCTTCATCGATACATACGGCGTTCGGGCAGCCCGCGGCTTTGTTCGCTAAATATAGATACGTGCCCAGGAGAAATAAAGCAGCATTAAATAAAACGCCGCGCCCGACTTGATTGAGGACGAAGCCCGTCACGTCGGGGTTGCCTCTGTTGCAATTCATTGTTTTGAGCATGGTGCTCAGGTGCTGTGCGCGGCAGCCCCGGGCCGCAGCGTTGCTGCCTGGGGCTCGGGAGGCTCCGAACCACTCGGAACAGGCGCGAACTGGCACGCAGGGCACTGTAATGGCTGCCCAAAAGCAAGCTTGCTGCTGGCTTTCTAGTGTCTTACTTGCCGCTAGCGCACGCCATTACCCCAAAGCCAAAAGAGCTTCGCTGGTGGCTCATTGGGACTGATTCTGGTGCGAAGAATATTGCTTTTAACTGCTTACAGCGCACGGCGACGCACGCTGCGTTCCATTGTGTTCCCGCACACCTAGAGCCACTGCTGCAGCATCGCTCCTTGCCGCCGCACGCGCACGTATACGCGTGGAGAAAAAACGCCAGCGCCGGACGCGACCGACGCGGCAGGATGGCATCGCACGTCGACGACGACGACGACGACGCGTGGTCCGGCAGCGGCTGCGAGGCCGCCGACGAGGAGCCGAAGGTCGCGGCCCTCACCGACCCCTCGAAGCTCTTCGCGACGGCTGCAGAAGCTCTCGATTTCGACAAAGCGCAAGGCTTCGACCTGCGTGCCTGTAAAGTCACGGATTTCTACGGCGCGGTGAAGCTCGTGAACTTCGTACGAAAAGCAGTGGCGGACGGCGTCCAGGCGAGCGAACTCCAGGCGATCTGTGCGTCGGTGATCGAGCTCGACGACGACCATTTGAAGCCCGTGCTCGAGAACGATGAATTATTATCGAGGCTCGAGGAGGTCTTCGACCTGAAAGAGGACTCTGATTCCGCGGCGACGGGTAGCTAGCAGCGTGACTGGGGGGTTACTTCATGAGGTTGATGCACAGGTCCCCCCCAGCTCTGCCAGCGCTGCCACCAGAAGTTCACGACAAACACGGCGACGGCGTGCCGCTACCACCCCGAGTCCTTCAGTGGGGAGGACAGCCAGCGCTGGACGCCCGCGGGCGACAAGCCGCCGGAGGGCAAGAGCACGGTGCACTACTTCTACTCGTGCTGTGGCGCAGCCGACGTGAACGCCCCCGGGTGTGTCGTCGGGAGGCATCTCGGGTTCGGCGAGGAGGACGACTGGGGCCGGAAACCCGATGACAGACCTCCTAGTCCATAAAAATTATTACATGTCTCGCTCGACGATCGTCTCCGTGGCCGTGCACAGGAAGCGGATCGACCCGACCAATAGTTCGTCGTTCGACGATAGGGGCACGCGCTCCTCTCGCAAACGGACCCACGTGCCGTTTGTGGAAGACGCGTCCCTCAGCACGAAGCCCCCTTTCCCAACATCGTAAGTGATCGTGGCGTGCTCGTTCGATACAGAGGAATCAACACCCACTGGCGTCCCATCAACGTCCCGCGAGAACGCGATCACGTGCGACGCCTTCCTACCCAGAGTGGCGCCAGCTGTCCCGACATCGAAGACCTGATGCTGTAGGGGCGAGCCCTCGGGCTGGACGCATTGCAATTCCAAATGCGGCGGGTTCGATTCCACAGAGACGACGCGCAACTGGTGCTTGCCCACGAGGAAGACCTCTCCGGTTCGCAAAGCATGCTCCGCGCGTAGTCGCGTGAAGGTGCCCGACGCGCTCTTCAGATCGCTCACGTAAAACCCGTCGCCTTGCCTGGAAATCTCGAAATGCCGTCGACTCACTGTCGCGTCCCCAAACGCCATGAACAGTGTCGTGTCGTCGTCGCCCCGCCGTCGACCCCCAATACATCCTTCGGACCGCACCTCGAAGGTCCGCCCGTGCCACTCGGATTCGGCAGGGCCCAGACATTTTAAGAGAAGTACAGGTTCTTTTTCGATGCACGCGTGCCGCTCAATTTTTTCTTCACATTTCTCGTACAACCCGGCGCCGCCCTCCCGCACCAGGTCGTCCACGAGTCTCTTGAGGTTGTGATTCGGCACCAAGGCATTCGATGAAAGCACCTCGCCGCTCTTGGGCGACGTGTCGTGCGTGAGTAACCAGGTCTCGATGGCCTGCCGATCGTAGGTGTGGCCGTCACTTGCAATGACCGGCTGGCGCATGAGCTGCCTCGTTATCGGACAGGTAAATTCATCTCGGAGCATCTGGTGCGCGCCCAATGGTACCACAATTGGCCGCTGCGTCTCGGGGGGGCTCGATTTGGGCTCCATTGTGTCTCGTCCGTCGTCGGCGTCGCGCGGCGTGTCGGCCATGGTTACAAACGATTTGTGCGGCTTGCAATGGCTCCCGCAGTCTTTTTACCAGTAGGTCCTTATTTCGAACTTTGAGCCTCTGCGGCGCCGAAGGAATGGCTTCGCTGGACTGGAGTACTGCAGACAAGTCCTGCGTAAATTCAGGAGTGCGTAGGAGAGGCTGTCGCAGCGATCAAGCAGCCAAAGTGCGGCTGGCTTGCTAGTGTCTTACAGCACTAGCCCTTGCTCGGCAGCAAAAGTATACTACCCTCACGCCACCGGCCACAGGAAGCGCAGACCCGCAATCGATAAATAAATTGACGCGGCAGCCCTGCCGCAGCGTTTCGAAGAGTACTCCGCGCAGCCAGGAGCTTGGGCTGTCCCAATCTAAGCCCTAGCGCTAGGCGCAGCGCGAGGCGCGATGGGCAAGATCGTCGCCGCGCTCACGGCCGTGGCCGCGGCATTCTCGCCGGCCGTGGCGGACGTGGCGAAGCTGCATCAGAGCAACTCGATTCATCATCCTGATTTCAAGACCAACGGGAGGCAGCGGCCATTGAGGGAGAAGCTCGAAAGATATTACGGGAAAGGAGGCTTCAGATACGACACGGAGCTCGTCGAGAAGGTCGATGCTTGTATGGACTGGTGCAAGCGGCTCCTCGGCCTGATCACCTACGACAAGGTCGTGTCTGTAGCGAAGAACAATTGGAACATCACGGACCGCCAGGCGCACAGCGGCTTGGGCGCGGCCGCGCGGTCGTCGGCCTTCGGCGGCTTTAGGACCTCCCACCACATCGCACGCGGCGCCACTGTCGAAGCGCCGCACTACGCTGAGGCCGCGGAGGTCAACGACCTCATCAACAAGATCCAGGCCAAGGGCGGCTTCGAGGAGTACGGGGACTCCGTCGAGTTTTTACTCTTAGCGTGCAGCATCTACATGGTCAAGGGCACGGGCGCCGAGCACGACAAGATCATGTCGGCCGCCGGTCACAACGCTCGCTGCATGTACGCGCACTTCGGCGTGCAGGTCCGGGCCGGAAATTTCGCGTCGTCGAAGGCCGAGCTCGTCGATTTTCGGGAGGACCGCGGCGAGATCGACGCCGAGGTCAAGCGCGAGTTCCGGGAGCGCACGGCGGGCGGCAAGACGGCCCACGTCTTCGCGATGGCAATGACGGGCGCCGAGGAGCTGGAGGAGGGCCACGCCGACCGCGACAAGCGCTGCGTCGGGCGGCTCAACGCGACGGTCGCTGCGGTGGACGCCGAGGTGCTGCGTGTCTCGGGCGACAAGGCGGACCGCTTCGTCGAGTACCCCTTCCACCGCTGGTTTTTAGTAGTGCTGACGCTGCACCTGGGCCTCGTTTTGCCGGTCGAGACGGCCGTGTGCGAACTGGCGCTCTGGGCGTGAGACTCGGTGTCCTCGAAGCTTCAATGACGACCTCTGCTCCACGCCATCGACGCTGGTTGACCTACAGATTTATGCACACAGGTGGGGCCGCAGCTTCCACTACGATCTGACAAACCACTTAGGTTTCAAGAAGGCGGCCGAAGAGCCGCCGCCCAAGAAGAAGGCGCGCACCGCGCCCGCGCCCGCGCCGGACGTGACGTTCGTGCCGTCGGAAGAGGACGTCGGTTATGTTCCCGGCGCCGTCTTCAAGGAGGGCGCCCAAGGCAAGGGCTACTACAAGGACCCTGGTACGTTGTCCGAGTCGAGATCGCGCTGCCGAAACTCACCCGTCGACGTCTGCGCAGGTGCTGATGACGACAGCGACTCGTCCGAGGACGACGACGACGGGGACCGGTACGTGACTTGGATGGGGTGCACGCTCGTGTACATCTTCCTCACGGCGGCCCTCTACGACAAGCTCTCCAAAAAATTATTAGCGCCGCACTACTCGCTCAACCTCTGCGACCGGGAGGTGTACCGTCTCATCGAGGAGGCGGCGCAGTCCGGGGAGTGCAAGGTCGTCGGCGACAAGGAGTACCTGAAAGACTACCTCAAGAGCAAGGACTCCTTCCATTGCACGAAGACGTGGCGAGGCGGGTCCGCGTAGGCGTTGCGAGACGGGTCCGGGTAGGCGATATAATGATGTTGATATATAGCCTATAGCCACGCGACGGGTCGGGCTAGTCGACTTGGCCGCCTGGGCCTTATCGCGAGGTTGCGAAGGGGCGCTTTCGGCGACCCGTTCCGGGGCGCGGCACGCGGGCTGCGCGCGAAGCCCGCGCTGGGGGACGCCCAAGCTTACGACGGCTTGATCGCCGGTGGCCGGGCCGCCATTTGGCGGATAGACCCGGGCAACACTCTGGAAGGGAGACCCTTCCACACAACGACAATACACGAATCACACGAACGTCACACATGTTTACCAAGCACAAAATCTCGCGGCGCCCGCGGCATCCTGTCAGTGGCGGCCTCGAAGCGCGTCGCGGTCCTCAGGGACGCCGCGTCCACAATTGTGCCATCGGCAGTTGAGGCAGCGCGGCGATGGCGTGATCGGTGGGTGCGGAACTAATGACATCAATCGTCGACTCGCGGCGTCGTCGTCTGCCGGAAGCGCCGCGTTGGCCCAGGCAGTAGTGGGATGATGGGCAGCCCCACCGTCCTACCCCTCCCGCGCGATAGGCTGGGGCGTCCCGTCACGCTGGAATACGTTGCGGACGTCCGACGAGCTGCCGCGGTCGCGTTAGCTCGCGGACGGCGGACGGGGCCGCGCCGCAGAGCAAATCAGCTCGGAGAGCAAGCTTTTGGCACACCCAGAGCGTCCGATGTACGTGTCCAAATCTCTGCTTGAGACCTTGGAAGGGCCTCTACGCACGCACCGGAGGACAGCTCGACTCTCGATTTGGCTGGTGCATTTTTGGCCTGGCAGCGCGGCGCAAGTTGCTCTGTATCGCGCGCACACCGAGCCGCTGGGCACGTGGGTTGGCGTGACAGCGCGAACCGTCCATCTTGCCGCATAGCTGCCGAAAGAAGCAGCGGTCGGCGCGCCCCTCGCGGCAAACGGCCTTAACATCCCTGCTGCGCCGCGCCGCATTATCGGCCACGCCGTGAGCTCCGGAGCCTCGGTAGCGCGCCGAGCGAGTGCGCCTATACTGTCTTGCACTCGCCAGCGTTGAGCTCATGGCGGAAATCATCGACGCCGACATGACGCCCGCCGCGGACTTGCGGCAGCAGAAGCGCAGCTTTGCAAAAGACATCACCAACAAAGATACGACGACGAGCTCGCGCAAGAAGTCGAAGCCGGAGTCCCCGCCGGAGGAGTTCGTGGGCGGCTGGTCCACGGAGGACCTCAGCAGTTCGGAGCCTCATAGCGATGCAACCGAAGAATCAGAAGTGGCGCGGCGCACTTATGGTATGAAGGCGGTCGTCCAGCGCCGACACGCGCCCCAGATCTCAAAGGACACCAATTACTACGAGCACGTCGAGCCGAACGCGGCCAAGGCGGCGAAAGCTAGACAGAGCGGCGAGGGACTACTGACGTTTGTGCTGACGTCCGAGCAGCCCCTCGAGGATATGCCCATCGACGGCGGAATTTCTCACACGAGCCACGTGCCCGAGATCTCGTCGGACGTCGTGGGCGTCCACGAAGCACGTTCTGCCGGTGCCAAAAACAGTAACGAGGTGCAATCACGAAAGAAGCAGGGTCGAGGGAAGGGGACGAAAGGTCCTAAATTGAAAGGAGTGACGCGGTCGCCCCCGTTCACCGTGTGGTTCGGCGACGAACTCGTGGGCAAGTACGAGGGCGGGTGGCAATCTGCTCTGCCCGATATTAAGCGAAAGCGTCCGGGCGAGTACATGACTCAAAACTTGCTCTCGTGCTTGCTCAACATCAAGAGGGCAAAAATACTCAAAGATTACCCAAAAGTCAAGAAGGAGTACGAGGTTACGAAATTCACCGCCAAGTACTAGTGTCCAGATTAGCAAGAGTAACAATGCTGCTAGGAAGGCTACGGGTGTCGCGCCGGCGGGCGCAGGTCTAGTCTGTCTTAACAACAATCAAAATTAGTCGATCCACGCGTACGCGCTCTCGGGCGGCTGATTCATCCGATCAAACTCCTCGAAGAGCTCGTCCTCGAAGTCGGACGCCTCCTTGATGCCCTTTTCCAACTCCTCGAGGGCCGTCCGCGCCACGTCACCGATCGCGACGTCGTTCGTGGCGATGGCCTGTGTGGAAATAAATCGTGTCCGCACTGAGCGGTGAGGAACCGGCACCGCCACGCTATCGAGCAAATTTGATTTCCACACAGGCAATAGCTCTAGAGAACCAGTACCGCGCCACGTCGTAGTCGACGGGCGTCCCCTGGCCGTACATCGTCATCCGCCCCAGGTTAAAGCAGGACCCGCCGTGGTTCCGCGCCGCGCCTTTTTGGAAAAGCGTCAACGCCCGCGGCAGGTCCTGCGGCGTGCCCGGCCGGTCCCCGTAGGCGTGCATCAGCGCTAAATGATATTCGGCCATGGCGTGGCCATTACTAGCCGCCGTCTCGTACAAAGCTCGTGCTTTTCTTGTGTCCCTCTCCAGCCCTAGACCATATTCGTGCATGACCCCGAGCCAGTGCAACGCATCGTAACTTTCCTGCTGGGCCGCTTCGGTCAGCCACTTCTTGGCTCCATCGAAATCCACGTCGCACCCCGAACCCTGCAAGAGCGACTGGCCGAGGAGCCACATCCCATCAGCATGATTGCGCCGCGCCGCCTCGCGGAACCAAGCTAACGCGCTCTTCTCGTCCTTGGCGATGCCGTGGCCCGCTCTTGTTAATGTCCCGAGCGCGACCATGGCGCCGGCGTGGCCCTGTTCGGCTGCTCTGCGGAAATGAATTAGCGCTTGCTTCGGCGATTCGCTGACACCCCCCTTCCCGTACAAATGCAACAGAGCAGCAAAATACAAGTTGTCGGGCCGGCCATCGTTCGCATCTTGCAGCATGCGCGCGCCGTGGGCCTCGTCGACCTCTTGTGATCTCGTGAGTCCGACATCTCGGCCGATGGCGTCGATGAGGCCTCCTTTGGCTGTTGTGGCCGTGGCGAGGAGCAGGGCGACGAGCATCATTGCGGTCGCCGCAGCATCGTTGCGTCGAGCGCTGGGCAGCCCATTTGTACCATTGTGTGGTAGACAGACATACTAGAATTCAAACGCACGCGGTCAAAGCGGTCCCACCGGCTCACGTACGTGTCCAGCGCACGCCGTCACGCCTCGGACGCGTGGTTTCGCTCTCGCCTTGGGCCTCTCATTGGGCTGTTCACCGGCTGGCATTGCGGCCTTGCAATTCGTCGCGCCGTCGTGCACCTTGCTCCTTGCGCCACAGGAATCCTCGCAGCGACTTGCTTAAGCCTCTGCGCAAGCTTCGAGTGAGTAATTGTGCGCGCCGCGCTCGCACAGCCTTGTGCACCCAGCACCAAAAAAAAGTATGGCGGCGAACGTCATCGACCTCGCTTTGTCGGATGACGAGAACGAGCAACCGCAGCAACCGGTCGTCGCGCCGCAGCGCTCGACCGCAAATATTTTACAATTAGCCTTGGCGAGGGCCGGCGGCGCGCAGTTCCGCCAGCCGCAGCAAGCGAGGCAACAAGTCCTCCAGCAGGCGCGGCAGGCCCTCTACGGCGCACCCGGCTTCGGCTCCATGCAGTCTTCGTATCAATTTGAAAACGTCGTACTAGCGGTCGCCGACGCCTCGCACTTCCGCATCACCTCCGACAGTAGAATGCCCTCGTCCGTAAACCAGGTCGCCAACGCGACCCCGGAAGCGACCTGGGAGGACGACTGCTGGAAGGTGCCCTTGGACAAGTACCAGACCACGGTTTATGCTTTAACGCAAGCCGGCGTGAGGTTCGAACCCATCCCGACGCAAGTTTTGTCCGCCCTATCAGCTGCCGATGATTCCAACAACGACTGGCAGGCCGGCAATTCCAGAATGGACGAGGAGGGCTACGCCAAAGGTGATCAAGATGATGCCGACGCCGTGTCAGATGTTCCGAGGAGCGTCTGGCGAGCTTTGGCGCCGTTTCAAAGATACGGCGTCTCCTGGATCGTCAAGAACAATGGCCGAGCGTTGCTAGCCGACGAGCCGGGTCTCGGAAAGACGATTCAAGCGATAGGCGCGGCTACTGCTTATTACCACGAATGGCCTTTATTAGTCGTGTGCCCGTCCTCAGCCAGATTCCACTGGGAGCACGAGTTCCGGACCTGGCTCCCGGACGAAGATTATATACCGGCCGGGGAGAGCGGCGTGCTTGTGGTCACGAGCCAAGCGATGGCCGAGTTCATCGGAGAAGCCATGATCGTTATCGTATCTTACGACTTAGCTCATAGAGATACCGTGTGTGACGCTTTGTACAAGATGCGTCCGAACGTCGTGATTTGTGATGAAAGTCACTACTTAAAAAACGGCAAGGCTAGACGGACCCAGAAATTGTTGCCTTTACTGACGGGCGCGAAACGAGCTATTTTGATGTCAGGGACACCCGCTCTCTCAAGACCGAACGAGATCTTCACGCAGCTCAAGGCCATCGACCAGGACAAGTGGAACGACCCTCACTTGTTCTCGAAGAGGTACTGCCAATCTAGGAGAGTGAAAGAAGGCGACACCTACACGCACGCGTCCAATATTGAGGAGTTACATACGCTGTTGACGGCCTCGATCATGCTCCGCCGCATCAAGGCGAACATCCTCAAGCAGCTTCCGAAGAAGAAGCGGTTGACGCGAACAGTAGCTGTGGAGGACAAGACCGTCGCGGCCGAACTCCGAGCTGATTTGGAGGAGTTCCGGGAGCGGGCGTCGGAGCTCGCGGAGTTATCCGCCGACGCGCGGCGCCTGAAGCGGAAACGACCAAGGGCGGCGTCCTTCGTCGAGGAGGAGAAGACCCAGGAGAACGCCGTCATCGACATCGAGGCGCAGCAGCGGCGCGAGATGGCGCAGCAGAAGAAGGCCCTGTTGATGTCCTTGTTTCGTAGAACCGGTCCCGCGAAATTACCGGCTGCGGAACTTAGGATCAAGGAATTATTGTCAGATGAGGCGGGGGAGAAGATTTTGGTTTTTGGCCATCATCGGACAGTGCTGGATTACCTCAGCAAAGGCATATTGCGGACGGTGCCCCATATTGTGATTAACGGGTCGACGGCGCCCCGAGATAGACAGGCTCTGGCTACGAAGTTCCAGACGGACCCTCGCGTGCGGGTGGCTGTGCTCGGCATTACCGCCGCGGGTGTGGCACTCACATTAACTGCAGCCTCTCGTGTGATCTTCACGGAGCTATACTGGACGCCGGCCGCGTTGTTGCAAGCGGAGGACCGGAGCCACCGCATCGGCCAGACGGCCGAGGTGAAAGTTGAATACTTGTTGGCGCCGGATACGGTCGATGATTTGTTATGGCCTTTAGTACATCACAAGATGAAGCTACTCGGCGAGCTATTTGATAATGATCGGGAACAGGGCCTGGAAACGGCGGAGCGCAAGAAGAAGCAGGAAGAACTAAGTGAGGAAGAAGACGAGGAGCACCGCTTCTCGGAGGACGAGGAGGGGGACGACCTCATCTTGGACGACGAATTGGAAGCCCTCGATCGGGAAGATGAGGACGCCAAGGACATCGCCAGGGTCAACGAGGACGAGGACGGGCGCGTGTCGCCGCCGCCTCCCCCTGCTCCCGTGGTCCAGCGCCAGGCTTCCGACAGCCAGGCGGCGCTCTTCGACGACGACAACTTCGTCTTCTAGGATTTTTATATATGGCCTCGGCCTCGTGTAACGAACGTAGTAATTAACAAACCAAACAACACTTACTGGGGCGCCCCCCGCCCCTCGCCCGGCGACCAGGCCCAGAACGCCCGCCGGTGCGACCGCCGCGCGCGCCGCCGCCGCCGCCGCTCCGAGCGCGCCTCGAGCAGGAACGCGCGCCGCAGGGCCCGCCGCGCGTCGCGCGCGACGAGGTCGCGGGCCAGGGCCCCCGCCAGCGTCCGCGCGACGTCCGGCGTATCCACAACAACCGCCTCCACAAGTTTCTCTGCCAGAGCCGCCCCCACGTCGCCCGGCGAGAAGGACCCGGCATCATCTAATGAAGGAGAATAAATGGAGTAGGCGTTCAGTACGTCGTCGTCCAGAATCAATTCGTCCGGCGACACGGCGCACGCGTCGACTAACACCGGGCAGTCCCACAAATCCACGCGCACGGCGACGAAGCGCAGCCCGAGAGGCAGCCGCGCTCGATTCGGGAAGCGCCTTGATGAAGACGGCTTCGTCGTGGGGCGCGTGTCGTTTTCTCGGACATTTTCCGTCGCGCCGTAGGCCAGGTCCCTTCTCAGCTGCACGGCCACATCCCTCAGCACGTCTCGCGGTCGGTTCGAGCACCACTGCTCGAACGCGTCCGCTCTGCGAGCCGCCCGCCGTTCCGCGCGCGTCAACGAGGGCGACCGGCGATGGTCCCGCTGCGCCGACCTTTCGAGCGCCACGCGCGTGGCCCTCAACGACGCCCCACATCTCTCCGCGAAGCGCGCCACGTCGCGCCGCCGCCACCAGCGCGCGCCGTAGGCGTCTCGCGCAGAAACAACCTCGTCACCCGACGACGACGACGACGCGTCGAGCGGCAATAAATAAAACGCGCGGGGCCCCGGCTCTGAGTCGCTGGACGTCGCGTCGCTGTGGTCCGAGAGCTCCTGGTTGACCGAAATGCGGCGCCTTGTTGTTAGTGAAGCTTTGCGCGCGTCCCGCACTTTCCTATTCGCCGACGCCCAGTTGAAGAGGCCGTCCGGCTCCCGTCGTAACCGCAGCGTGACTTCCGCAAATCTAGGATCGATGAGCACCATGGGCGGCGGCGGCTCGTCCCGTCTAGCGAGGAACCACGCGATGACGGACCGCATGCCGACGTTCGCCTCGACCGACCCGATGCGCAGCGCCGCGGGCCGGCGCCCGTTCCAGTCGTCCACGCGCACGCCTTTCACCTCTAACCTTCCCGAGAGTGACAATTGGACGGACTTGATCGAGGTACGTGTTCCTAGCGATGAGGATAGCTTCCGCTCCAGCCACCGTCTAAACAAAGCGTCCGCCGCACCCAATTTATAGGCCAAGAAAACCCCGCCAAAGCACAACACACTCAAAGGCACGGCCACGGACCGCGTGCCGCTCCCGAGGCCGTGGCCGCGGGTCCAAAGCCCGAATTCCACAAACGACTTGGCCAGGGGCTCGGAGACCTGCGACAGGCCCCGGTACGTCGCCGCGCCGGCGCTCTCGAGCGCCTGGTCCCAGTAGGCCTGGAGCGAGAAGGCCTTGGAGGCCTGCGACGTGATGGCCTCGAGCGCTTTGCTCGCCTCGTTCGCCGTCTCCGTGAGCGCCTTCGTGGCCTCGTCGTAGCGCGTCGTCGGCTGCCTCCTCAGTTTGAGGGCGTGCGTGACGCGGGTCGCGAGGCCGGCGGACGTGTCGGCGGGGTCCATCCGCGCCGCGGCTCCTTGTTTCAAAAGCTCTGAGAGCTGTGTAGGAATGAAGCGGCCGCGCCTGCACGCTTACGCCTGTGCTGCTGTGGCTTCTCAGCAATACTTGCACACGACTGTAAGTCCACACAGCTCCTCGAGGCCCGTGAAACGGCTGTACAGGCTGGCACCGACTGTGGCAAATTAGTCGGGTTTTGCAGCCCGGGTCCCGGCTTTAAAGCCCAGCTACGCGTTGCCGGCCGCTCCAACGCTGCGAGCACATCCTTTTCAAACCATTGGACGCAGCGCTTGAGCCTCGGCCCACCGCGCTGGCGCCTGGACAGCCGACCCTGCACCACTGCAGGAGCAGCCTAACGCGAGCAGCGACGCAGCCGCGTCGCCGCGGATAGCCGCGGACCGACGCGTTCCAGCCGCGCTGCCGGCGCGCCATTCATTTCACCGGGAGCACCGCGACCCGGACCGCGCCGCCCGCGCGACCCGCGCACTCCACAAGAGACATGTCTGAGGAGGGCATGACGGACATCGACCTCGGCCCCGCCGCCGAGGACCCCTTGTCGTTGTTGGGCGCCGTGCGCCGCGCCCCGCCGCCGCCGCTGCCCGCGACGCGCGCGCCGCCGCCGCCGCCGCCCACTGATTCTCCAGAAACCATGTTAAGGAAGGCCCTCGGCGGCAGCCTCAACCCGCCTCCACAAAAGCCGGCCGTCGTGAGGAAGCCGCCCGCGAAGCCCGCGAAGCCCGTGGTTTCGCCGCGGCAGCCGCAACGGGACTGGGCTTCGCTGCTGGGCTTCGAGGGGGCGGCTGTTCAACCGCTGTCCCCGTCGACCGCGTCGGACGAGCTGAAACGGCGCGCTGCCGCAGCACCGGCGCACACCGCGTTAAACGCTTGCGCGCAGGGCGGCTCGCTCGACGCCGTTTCGACTGTTGTTCGCAATTACGACGCCGACGGCTTCCGCGATGCGGTCGGTGCTGCGTCTCTAGCCGTGGCGCTGGCCCACGGCGACGCCGGCCAGGCACTTTTACTGCTACGAGCCGCGACGCGGCGACTGGGCCTCGTCGAGCAGCGGCCGATCCTCGACGCCTGTGCCAGTATCTTGGAGAAGACGGACCCCGAGCTTCACAGCAAGTGGGACCAGCTCCGGAATACCGCGAAAGTTTTCTTAGATGGCGCCTTTTCCGCGTTGCATGTCAAGGACGCGTCGCAATTGTGGGCATCATTAACCACGGAACCGGAGCTCGCATCTTCGGCTCTGGCGGCCTGCTGCATTCGGGGCCGCGTCGCGCTGTTGGATGACGGTCCCATCGTCATCTCCCAGACGACTGGTCTCGTGAATGAAGCTAGATGGTTATTAACACCGAGACAACAACCGGGAATCGCGGTCGCGGAATTTGGGGAAGGCCCTTTAGGTATCCTGCTGACGAAGCGCCCGCGAGGATTAGTTGTGAGTTCCTTCTCCAAGCCAAGAAACGAGGCCGTGCCGCGCGTCGGCGATGCGCTGTGTGCAGTGAACGGCCGGCAGATACAAAAAGACTCCACCCTAAACGACGCCGTCGCCATCCTCAAGGGTGTTGGTCGGCCGGTGTTGGTGGGGTTTCGGCCGGCCACGGCCGAAGAGCTACGAAGTGAACGGCCGCCGGAGCCAGCACACTGGCCGGTCGAGCGGAAACCGAGCCCACCTCCTACGTCAAGGGCGCAGACGGACCTGCAGGCTCTGGCTTCCTACGCGCGGAGCGCCGTCGAGACCGTGACCGAGGCGCCGCCCGTGGACCACGGGGAACTCCCTCCCGGTCTGGATGCCAGGCCGCCGCCACCACTAAGCACCGCTCCGGTCGCCGCCGACGGCTGGGCCGTGGCTACCTTACCGGGCGAAGTTTTGTTCGCTAGAACGAACGCGCGCTTGCAGGACTATGTGCGCGCTCGCTCAGGATCGAACCAGTTGTGCGGCTGTGTGATTGATGGGGAATTACATGTCACGTCGTACCGCGTCGTCTTCCACCCGATTGGGTGCGGCGCCGTGCCGTCCTTCGCTTCTCAATCGACGGATTGGGAGATGCCCGTGCGGGCCCTGACCGCGTGTTCTTTGAAAGTGGACAGCGGCCACAAGTTGAGTTTCAAATGTAAAGACGGCCAGCGCCGCGTCTTCACGTGCGCACCTAGGGACGGTGCTGCCGCCTTAGCTTGTGCTAGAGCTGTGCACGCTTTAGCGTTCTCGAGCGCGTCCGACGCCTTCGCTCGCGTTTGCTGCGGAGTCCTTTCGGTGCCTTCCTGGTGGAATCTAGCCGCCTGCGCGCCGTCGACGCGGCGCCATTCACGCGCCGAGCGAAGCATATTGACGCGTCCCCGCGCAGGCCTACAAAGCCGCCTCCACCGAGGACCCCGCGTTCGCCCGGCACCTCCCGAGGACCGCATCATACTCTTTACGGGACGAGTACGCTCATTCTGTCTTGCGAGGACCGGCCGCGGACCAGCTCAAAATCATCAGAAACGAGCACGCGCTGGACATCTGCGAGACCTACCCTTTGGAGCTTGTGGTACCCTCCGCGACCACAGATCTAGAACTCAGAAGGGTCGCGGCCTACCGTTCGAAAGGAAGGCTACCCGTCATTATCTGGTCGCATCCGACGAATGGCGCTACCATATCTCGATCGTCGCAACCGAAACCCGGCGTGCAGAATAAGAGAAGCTCAGACGACGAGCGGTACCTCGATTCGATACGAAGACTAGCCCAAGGGCAGAGGATGGTCATCGTCGACGCGCGCAGCAAGGTCGCGACGCAGGGCAATCGCGTCATGGGCCTTGGTACCGAGTTGGTACGGTACTACGAGGGCATCGAGCTGTTCTACGGCAACATCGCTAATATACATACGGCGCGCGATTCGTTATCTGAGGTGCAAAAGCTTTGTTTTGCCCGCGACTTGACGGGGAACGATGCCGATTCGGGTGGCGCGACGTTCTGGGGCCGGTTGGACGGCACGAAATGGCTGTCGCAGGTGCATTCTATATTGTGTGCGGCCTTGAAGACTGTTGAATTAGTTCATTACGAGCGAACGGCTGTGCTGGTACACTGTTCGGATGGGTGGGACCGTACCCCGCAAATTACTTGTTTAGCATTGATGCTCCTCGAGAAACGGTTCCGGACCATCGACGGGTTCCTAACCTTACTGCAGAAGGAGTGGGTCGACTTCGGCCACAAGTTCGATGAACGGTGCGGCCACACGGACGAAAGCGCGTCGGACCAGCGGAGCCCGGTGTTTTTACTGTTTATCGACTGCTGTTTTCAATTAATACAGCAGTTCCCTTCAGCCTTTGAATTCAATCAAGACCTATTACTGCTTCTACTAGACCAGCTGAACGCGTGTCGCTTCGGCACGTTCCTGGAGAACAACCAGAGACGTAGGTCGCGGAAGAGCCTGGACGACGCGACGCGGCACGTGTGGGCCCACGTCGCGGCGCACTTCGATGCAGTGCGGAACGGGGCCTACGTCGACGACGAAGATGCTGCACCATTGCTACCGTCGCTGCACGCGCGGAACGTGCGGCTCTTCGAGGCCTATTTCCGGCGCTTCGACGCGGCGCGCGTGCCGTTGAGCCGCGCTAGGACGTTCTACTAAGTTATATCCTTGTGTCACATAGTAGATTATTTACACACAGTACGCCGTCGATGCGTCACGGCGGCACACCCCCGAGCGCCTCGCCCTCCGCACCTTCCCACCAGGCCGTCCCCAGCAAGTCCAACAGCCCGAGCAGCCGCTTGTCCCCGTCGAAGGCCTTCCGATCTCCGTCGCCCATCGTCCGCTCGACGGCGGCTAATCGAGCCACGTCCACGAGGGAGCGTTTTGATGCGATCCGCTCCAACAAGCGCCGGTGGTCCGACCGCTGCTGCGCTCTCAAAGCGTTCCGCTGCTCCTCGGCGGCGCTCGTGTGCCGCGCCGCTAAATCGGCGAGGACGTCGTAGTCGTCCTTTTGCATAGCGTTGGCCGCGCGGCCCGCCTTGAGGCGCGACGCGAGAGCTTTTTCTGCGCCGTCGATGGCATCAATCAACCCCGCGACGTTCAGCACGCCGGCGTTGCGCGCCGCGGCCATGAGCCGGATCATGCCGTCGTTCGTGGCCACCAGGGTCGCGCCGTCGCCCAAATTGCGCCGCTCTTCCGCAATTTTCTCGATGAACGCGTCCGCACTTTCCATTCTATCGGTGAACACTACGGTCGTCCGCGGACTCCGCACGTCCTCGATCCTCTCGTCATCCGTCTGCGGCGCGTCAAAAACCACGACGACGTCCCAGTTTCGCGCAGAGGCGACGGACTCGCAGCCCGCGACCAGCGCTTCTCGCGCCTGGTCCAGGGACTTCTCCGACATCTGCTTGAGGTTGGGACTCCCGAAGACGACGTTGTAGCCGTCCACTAATAACAAACTGCGCTCGTAGAGGACCTCGGTGACGTTAGCTCTGGTCTCGTTCCGCTTCGTGATGCCCGTCCGCTTCTTCTCTCGCACTTGCTTCGTTGGTGCTTGCGCGTTGTTCACGGCGCGTACGAGGGACAGCTGCGTCCTTAATGACAGGCCCGAGCGCTTGACGCCGTCGGACGTGATCCGTCGCGGCCCTTTTGATGATGGGGGCTTGCTGCTGCGCTTCGCTTCGAGGAGCGTGTGCTGCTTTGTTGGTCGTCGTGGGGCTTGGAGGCTGGCGGCCAGTGCCAGCGTGGAGAGGAGCAGCCTCATTTCGAGACGTCAGCGCTAATGAAAGCCCGATTGCTCACGCGCACCAACAACAGAGGTATCCAGGAGCACAAAGATGCACGATGAAGCCGTCTAGGTGCGTCTGTGATGCGTGCAGGAGGCACAAAAAAGCTGACACACAATGTCATCCGCGTCTGCTAGTGTGTTACAGTACGCTAGCGCCAGCTGGTCCTCGGAGCTCCAAGCGGCGGCGTTGCGAGGAGCCCGGCTGTTATCGGCACCACTAGGCATTGCTGTCGTCCACCGCGAAAATTTGCTGCAGAACTGTGGTTCGCCATCGTCGCTGCAAACCGGCTGCACACTGGGCTGCACACTGTGCTTCACGCTTCCGCTGCGCAAGACGCAGCATTTGTCGGAAAGGCACGTGCGCGATCAGCGCACGGATCGCTGCAACGTATCGTGCGTGAATTGAGAGCTCACGCGTGACGACGTCGCTGCATCGCTGCACCGATGGCCGCCGACGCGCCACAAACGCTGCGCGAATGGCTCCGCGAGGGCTCCTTCAGCCTGGCGCTCTCGCAGGGCTTCTGCTGCTTCCCGGCGCTGGCCGGCGCGCTGCTCGCGATCGAGGAGGCGCTGGACGTACCGTTAAGGCGGAAGGTCCACGCGGTGAGCGGCAGCTCAGGGGGCGCCATCGTCGCGGCCTTTGTTGCCGCGGGCCACAGCGTGCGATCACTCGGCCCGCGCGTCTCGGCGCTCTCGCCGAACGAGCTGATGGATCCAATCGGCGACTCGGGCCTGCTGCGGGGCGGTCTCTGCGCGGGCGCGAAGACGAAGCGAGCACTGTCGGAAAATCTCGGTGCGAATGACTTCTCGGACCTGCGGATCGACTTCGCCGCGTCGGCGTTGCGCCTCGACCGGCTGCGACTCGAACGCGTCGACTCCGGTGACTGCAGCGCCGCGGTCGTGGCGTCGTGCGCCGTTCCCGGCTTGTTCGCGCCGCAACGGCTGCCCAGCGGTTTGTATGCGGATTTCGCGGTATTGCTGGACCCGTGCGGCGAGTTCGCGCTACCATCGCTGCCGCCGAGCGGACGCTTGCTTTCGCTGGTCGCCGGCGACTGGAACCCGCGGTGCTGGGCCGAGGCGTCGCCGTCGCGGCTCCCGCGTCGCCTCGGCGGCGATGCTGTCGTCGTGTCGCTCCGCGTCTCCGGCGTCTCACGAGTGTGGCCGTGGGCCATACGACGCCTCGGCGCGAGGGCGCACCGCGAGAGCTATCTCGCCGTCCACGCGGCTCTTGACCGGCCGCTCGACGCCGGGCGCGAGCCGCGGCATTTTCGGGTGGAGGCGGTGCCGCCCTCGTAACTAATGTATGTTGTGTTCTGTACTTTGTTCGTTAAAGCCCGCGCGCGGTGAGACGCTTCGAGAAGGTACCGCCCCGGGGCGCGGCTTCCAGGGCTCCCGCGTTAGAAATCCGCGCTAGCGGCTGTAAAGACACTAGCAAGAAAATCTCGATTCCTCACAGAGCGCCCCCGGAGAAGAGCGGTCTGCTGCCCCCTTTGGACGCCGAGACGCGCTTCGTCCAGAGCAGGCTCTCCCTTGCTCAGCCTCCACGCCATTTGATCACCGTCGAGCAGTCCCTCAGCATGATGAGAAAGGGAGGCATGGCCGGCACCCTGGGCGGCGCGCGCAAGATGCGCGACGCGGCCCTCGCCGCCGTCGCGGGCCTTTTTTTGTTAGGCGCGCTGGCCGGGGGCAGTCGTCGGACAAGTACAGAACTCATGTCCGTGGCCTACGGCCTGCTGCCCATTTCGGAGCGCGTCAGCTTCTCGCAGGCCGCGGCGCAGTGCCCGGTCACCGAGAGTGTCCGAGCGGGCGTCTGGGCCGCGGTCTGCCCGACGGGCGACGAGCTCATGTGGTGCTCGCGCATGGCGGACGCCGTCGTTGATGATGTTGTCGACGCGACGAAATGTGAGGACGACACAACGTGTCGGGCGATGGCGGCGTCGCCCTGCGCCGTGGCGTGCACCGGCGCGCTCGACTGGTGGGAGGTGTGCTCGTGGCAGGCCGTGGCGCGCTTCGACGACGTCTGCGCGGGGACCTTCGTGCCGACCGCGCCGGACGCGGCGCCGGTCGAGGGCGCGCTCTACGTGCCCCTCGCGGACGACGGCCTCGACAGCTGCGACTCGTACGCCTTCTGCGAGGCGTGCATGTCGTCGGTCGACGCGCGGCAGTCGTGCGCGTCGCGCCTGGCGCTGACGGGGGGCGTCGTCGTCGCCGAGATCGACGGCGTCGCGAAGGAGGGCTACAAGCACGGCGGCACCGCGGCGACGGCCCTCCTGCTGAACGCGGCGGAGGTCTGCTCTGCACGGCGATTAAGGCGTCGATAGGAGTCGGCGCGCTAACTTCCCCTTGTTTGATATCTAGATGAGTCTTGAAACAACATTGGGATTACAAGCAGATAGAAATGGGGGGGGACGTCGACCGCCTCGCCTACACGTCGAGCGCGAAGAGGACGTCCTCGCCGTCGAGCTTGTGCGTCAGGTCGAACGCGACGGTCGTCGGCGAGGGCGAGCGGCTGGAGGCTTTGGCCCGCGGCGAGTCGCCGTCTTCCGAGACGAGAGGCGAGCCGACTCTACGCCACATTACGTAGTCTTGTAATGCGGCCTCTGAGGCGCGGGCTTGTAGAGATGCGGCGGTGACCGTCGGGACGTCGCCGTCGTTGATGGCCGTGAAATTGCCAAATTCTCCGCTTGCCGCAATCGGAATCGGACGGCTTCGCTGCGGCGTCGGACGGCTTCGCTGCGGCGTCGCCTCGCGTGCAAAGCGCGAGGAGTTCATGATGTCGCTTCGCAAGGATGGAGACAAAAATGCGTGTTAGCGCCGCCGACGTGAGTTTCACGTAGCGGGTAGGTGCGCACAGGTATCTATTCTCCCCAGCAAGCTACAGATGTTCAATCGGTGCTCTCTCGGCAGGCATTAGTAGCTCCAAACTGCGAGTCGCCTCTCGATTCATGGCATCTGTAACGAACCAGAGACCTTGTCGCCTGAATCACTGCGTGCGAGCTGTCAACGACTTGCCCCGACGCGGTGCTATGGGTCAGGGGCGCCTCCGGCGCTTCCGCAGCCAGCTAGCCTCGCGCGCGTGCGCGGGCACTCGAAACCAGCCGATAGAGCAGCGGCCCAGCGTGGTCTTCGAACACACCACACCCAAACGTGAAATGGACAACATTATGTACTTACTAACAGCCGGGTCCGCCCGATGTGCGCCGAAGCCACGGCGGCGGCGGAGGATGGAGGTCTTGGTGGTTTGAATTGGGTGGCTTTGGAACGGCGCTCTACACCTCGAGGGCGAAGAGAGCGTCCTCCCCGTCCAGGCCCGGGACGTCGAACGCCACGCTTCTCGGCGAGGGACTGCGGCGGCCGCTCCTAGCGGCGTCGCTCCGCGTCGGCTTGCGCGGATCAAGTGCGGCTGGTTTCCCCATGCGCTCCCAAAATAGCAACGCGCGCCAGTCCGCGTCCGACGCCCGCGCCTTCAAAGATTGCGCCTCCGCGATCTCCCTGGCGCCGACAAAATCGTAGCCACCCGTGATTTTGATCGGCAGGGATGAACTGCGTTGCTGAGGCGCCGCGGTCGCGCCGCCGTCGTCGGAATCCGAGCGGTCGTTGCGATTAATCGCCATTCTAGGTGTTGTTGCCATTCTAAGCCGCTGAGCACGCGATTTTAACGCGCCAGGTTGCGTAGCAGCCGCAGTACTATGCCAGCTCCTGCTGCGCAGTGTAAATCTGTGACCACTGCAATATTGGCGGATTACCAGGACGCTCAATAGGCACTGGATCCGCCTCGGCAATTTTGGAAGGCGGTTTTTGGACCCCTCCAAAACCCCCCACAAGACGCCTCATCCCACTCCCATAGCGCTCCGCAAGACTAGCTCAAAAAAAAACGCGAAAAACGGCGCCTCAGGCCAAAACGCGCGCCCCGCGGCGGACGCACGACTCGACGACGCCATCGACGCGCCATCCTGCGATATACACCAAAATGCGCTTAGTTCGAACCCCAGACCAACAAACCTAGCAGTCCAGGAAGTTCGCCGCCATCAAGAGCTCGAGCGCGACCTCCGGCTCGATCGCGAACTCGGGGATGCGCACCTGCGAGTTCTTGTAGGAGGCCTTGTAGTAGAAGTACTGGATGACCTTCTCGAGGATGGGCGTCGAGATCTCGGGAAATTTTATCTCGCCCGAACTCTCCGTGAAGGAGCCGGAAAGCATGGCTTTGATGGTCCCGCTCGTCTGCGCGCACTGTCTATCTACAAAAAACTCGTGGCCCTCCGCCGAGCTGTGTGGAATCAACCAGTGAATGAGGTTGTCACGTGGACAACGTCGCGTCAATGGCGTGGAATCGCCACGCCATCGCGCAGATGGAGTTACGGAAGATCGTCGCGTCGATGGCGTGGGGCGCCCGAAATTTGATTCCACACAGCCCAAGACATGAGCTTGACATACTGCGACGGCGCCGCGTCGTCGACGGCCGCGCCGACGGCGTCCGCCAGCGACCCGGGGCCCGCGGCGTCGTCGGCCATTTTATATTCCGCAGAGATGCGTCGACTGGCGTCTCGCGGCGGGTGTTTGACCGTCTATAGACGCGCCGGCAGCGTCGCGCAGCGGCCCTCGAAGGCTCGAGATAGCCTGGCTGCCAAAAGTTGTGCGACGGGCGCCCACACGCAGCTGGCGTCTCCCGTGGGGTGAGAGACCGTACAGCGAATGCGCTAAAGGCCTGATATAAGTGCAAGCAGCACCAAACGCCTGTCCGCGCTGTGTTTTTGTGCTTGCTAGTGTCTTACGACGCTAGCTCGCGCCCAGAGCAAAAACGCTCTTGCTGCCCACAGTCGTCGTGAGGAGTCTATATCGAGACGCATCCTTGTAGTGCACCCCTTCGCAGCGTCGCCACCTAATTTTCAAGAGAGCTGCTCTCCCACATGCCGCAAACGAGAAGCCAGACCAAGGCGGACAAGGTCGACGCACGAGTAGACAGCGTCGCGTATTATTTGGCCGTGGCCGTGCCGCTGATCTTCCTCTACACCGTGGCCCAGAACCTCGGCTATGCGTAGTAGCTTACTCCTCGTCGCGGGCGTTGTGGAGGCGCTCGTCGGCCCGCAGCGGACCGCCACGCTCGGCCTCGGCTGCTTCTGGGAGCCGTCCGAGACTTTACTGAAGCTCGACGGCGTCGTCGACACGAGGTGCGGCTACGCGGGCGCCGCGTTCCCCGACGCGAAGCCGGATTATAATAGCGTCTGCGGCGGCGACGGCAACGTCGAGTGCGTGCCGGTGTGGAATTCTGCTCGATGGCGTGGGGTTCAACATAGCTCACTGGATGATTTCCACACAGGTGCGTGCGCGTGACCTACGACGAGGCGCGCGTGTCGTACGAGGACGTTCTGGATGCGGCGTTCGCCGCGGCCAAGCCGGTGCTCGGCTCGCGGCAGTACGCGCCGATCGTCTTCGCCGCGAGTGATGAGGAGGCGGAGCGCGCGGCGGCCTGGGTCGCGATAGGCGGCAAGCGCGACGACGGCTTGGAGCGGCGCCAGTTCGCCGTCGAAACGACGGATACGTTCTGGCTCGCGGAGGGCTACCACCAGGAGTACTGGCAGAAGTGGCGACCGCGCTACGCAGCCCTCTTCGCCCTCGTCGGCCTCCAATACGCCGATTCCAAACTAGACTTCCTGCCCCCGGCGGCCGACGCCGCCTGCACGGCTCTCGCCGTATGCATCGGCCTCCTGTTCCTCGGGGAACGGGTCCTCGACTCCGAGACGACAAAGCTAGGCGCCTAACAAACAATCAAATTAAACAAGGTCCCCCTCCTCGAACTCGTCGCGCGGCCGCTGCCACCGACTGTCGTCCTGAGGTCGATCGTCCACCAGCTTAATAAAGGCCGCGACCGTCGCAAAGATAAACACCGCCGTGAAGACGAGGAACGTATTTCGGTAGCCTATCTTTCGGACGGCGAGGCCGCCGAGGGCCGCGCCGACGCCGGATCCCCCGTTGAAGGCCGCCGAGAAGAGGCCCTGGGCGAGTGTCTGCCTATCTGAAGGCATGCGCGCCTTGGCGCCAACCACGCCCGCCGTGTAGAACAACGCGAACGTGATCCCGTGCAAAGGCTCAACTAATAAAACGAGCCAGGGCCGCCCCGGAAAAAACGTGAGAAGGGCGTAGCCCGCGCACCGCGCCGCGTACAAGAGCAAAACGACCACCACCAAGGTCTTCGAGCCGTGCCGCGCGAGCAACCCGTCGGCCGCGCGCATGACCGGAACCTCCACAGCACATTCCACGAACAGCGCGAGGCCGCAGAGCGTCGCGGCGCCGCCGAGGCCCCGCACGATGAACACGAAGAGGAAACTCATGACGAAGCCGAAGCCGGACCCGACACAAGCGCTCGCCGCGAGGAACGCCACGAGGTCGCCCTCGACCTGAGCTGTCCGCGCCTCGTCGTCGTCGGAGTCGGCGCCGATCTCGAAGGGGTTTATGTTCTTGTCAGGACGAGTGGGCTCGGCCTTCTCCTCCTCGTCGTCCGACTCGAGGCCGCCAATCTCAAAAGGATTGGCGTCGGCGGCCGGCGGCGCGCCGCCCTCGTCGGAGTCGGCGACGGAGAACGGGTTGAGGACTCGCGTCGTCACGGACTGGCGGTGCACCTGGTCGTAATTGCGCTTGGTCTTGGCGGCGGGCACGACATCAACAGCGAAGACCGCGGCGCCGCAGCCGAAGAGCGCCGCGGCGGCGACGCACGGCGAAAATCCATAATTCGCATAGACGTAGCCGGCGACCGGCGCCGTCAGGCCCCAGGACAGCGAGCCGTAGAGCCGCGCCGCGCCGAAGGACGCGCGCGCGACGACGCCGGCATCCACAAAAGGTATCAGCGGCGCCTCGAAGACGCTCCTCGCTATCAAAACAAGGGCCAGCACACGCGTCCGCGCCGCGACCAAGACCAGGGGCGTGAGCAATTGCCAGCAGAGCCAAGACAAAGCGAAGATGGGCCCGCGGCCGCACTTCGCGTCGGCGAGCCAGGCCCAGGCCGGCGAGGCGGCGACGCCGACGAGCCGCGTCGCTCCTAACAAGAGCCCGAGCTCCGCCTCGGACACGTATCTACTGAGGAAGAGGGGCAGGTAGGGCCACACCAAACAAAGCGCCACGAAGTGGAAGAAGTAGACCGCGTTCTCCGCGAGAGGCATCAATCAATCCGCGGGATAGGCTTGTACTCCGGCGCGCCGGGCGTCTCGGACGAGCCGTAGAGCTTCTTCGCGATCTTGCGGTGCTCCTCCTCGATGGCGAAGGCCTTCGCGGACTGGCTCTTCTGCCGGAGGTCGCGCGCGGCGACCGTACCGCTCGTGAAGCGGCTCAGGAGGTAGCTACCGCCGGCGCAGAAGAGGAGCAGCGGTGCGCCGCGGGCTGCCAGCTGGAGGAAGGAGGGCTGGGGCATGAATTACAGATCAATGCGGCTGCTTGGCACCCCTGCGAGGCTGCTGCACAGCCCAGGCTGCTTGCTCAGCCTCAGCAGCTCAGGCTGTCTAGGCTCGCTAGTGTCTTACAGACCGCTAGCCGCGGGCGCCGCGCTGCGGATAGTGACATATCATATCCCTTCGATAATAGTCAATAATTAATTAGTTTGTCTGCTCCGCGCGAAGGGAAGGGCTTGCGGGCGACGGGAGGGGCCAAGACGCGGGTGGATGCCGGGGGCTGCTCGACTTAGAACGCGACGCCGAGGAGGGCGACCGTCACGAGGAGGCCGAACGCGACGGAGCGGGCCTTGGCGCCGTCGCTGCCCAGCGCGGCACAAGTCGCGAGACTCGCCGGACATTCGCTTGCGTCTTCCTTCTGCTCGACGCCGCACGACGTCGCGTCACACTTGGATTGACCGGTTCTGATGTCCACGTCGTCGTCCACGCACCAGCCGAGGTCCTGGTCGAAGGCCTCGGCGCGGTCGAACATCCACTTCATATCCGTGACCTGGGCGACCTGCCAGTTGCTGAGGTCCTGGTTAAAGGCCGAGGCGACGTTGAACATCGAGTTCATGTTCTCGACGTTGTGGACGCACCAGCCGCCGATCGGTTGGTTGAAAATCGTGGCGTACGCGAACATGTTGCTCATATCCGTGACCTTCGAGACGTCCCAGCCGCCGATATTCCCGTCGTGCACTATACCGGCGCAGCCATTACAGGTCGAAATGACATTGTTGAAGGTACTCGCGCCCTTGAACATCCCGTGCATGTCCGTGACGCCGGAGGTGTCCCACGCGCTGATGTCGGCAAAGAAGCTCGATGCGCCGGAGTTGTAGTAGGCGCAGCTCGTCAGCTTGCAAAACAACTCCGACATGTCGGTCACCCCCGACGTGTCCCACGTCTCTATTTTGCCGTACGTCGCGTCGGCGGCGGAGCGGTCCGTAAAATATAGGGTCACTGCCGTGCGGATGGTCTCATCATCCATCGCGTACTGGAGCTGACCTGTGCGTAAATCAACCAGTGCGTCGGGTGCGGTTTGATTCTCATGCGCGGGAGCTGACGGCGCGCGTCCGCTGCCGCGGCGGCGACGGCGAGGATCGAGAGCAGGTGCCAGCATGCATCGAGGACGTTCATCGCGCCCCAAAAAAGGTGTACCTACGCTGCGGTCATCCGCGCGCCGCCCGGCTCGGGGTGCGGGAGCTAGGGGCAGCGCGAAGCTGCAGCGCGGCGCGCGCCGGGGTAAGGGGGGGGGGCTCAACTTACGCGTGCAAGCAAGCGGCGTGGACAGCTCTTCAAAGCTTCAACGTTGTGGGCAGCTCCTGAGGAAGCTTGCTAGTGGCTTTATAGGCCGCTAGCACGGATTTCCTAAACCGCGGGCGCCCAGCTTGCCACGATCAAAACACACACACTTTTTACTCGGAGAGAAAATCCCGCACGCGCCACCGCGACCGGTCGGCCGGCAGCACGGAGTTCGACCCGTGGAGGCCGTCGGGCAGGGGCCAGGCGTGCTGGGCGGACACGGTGCAGTAGAAGAGGATGCGTCTTTTATTGGACGTGTTGCCGAGGCCGCAGTGCAGCACGCGCGAGTCGAAGATCGCGACGTCGCCCGTTTGTAAATTTGACTGGACGGCCTTGCGGGACGAGATGTAGGTCTCCTGGTCCTGGCGCCGCACGTTCCAAAGCGTGTGGTCCGTGTGTGTTTGTGGTAAAAACAGCGTGTGGCCCATGTCGTCGTCGACGTCCTGCAGCGCGATGAAACACGTGTACAGCGGCTCCATGCTGGCGGACGGGTACTGGGGGCAGGGCAGCACGATCGTGTCCGCGTGGATGCACTGGCGCGGCGCGCCGGGGTCCGCCACGAGCGACGAGATCTCGTGCAAGGTGGCGTCCAAGCCGACGAGCGGTTCGAGTAGAGGCCGCAACCGCTCAAAGAACTCGGATAACGCCGCCCGGACCTCGGGCGCGTCGACGGGCTGGTACAGGTCCTGCCGCGTCCCGAACACGCCTTTCCCGCGGCAGTTCACGCCGCCGAAGCGCGACTCGAAGGGCGCGCCGCCCTCTTCGACCTCGGCCATGGCCACGTCCCGCCGGTCCTCCACAAAAGCGCGCAAGGTGGCGGCTGTCTCCGGTGTTAATGCCTCCGGGACACCAACGCAGCCCTCCCGTTCGAGCAATTTGGCCAGCGTCGGACCTTTCTCGGTCATCATGCTGAAGGGCGCGGCCGGCAGCTTCTTGACGTCCTTGATGAGCTTTTTCCCTTCCTTCACCGCCAACATCTCCGCGTTTTTGGCAGCCACGGCGGCGAAGAGGCCGCCTTGGGAGGTCGTGGCGCCGGGGTTCGCTACCGGTGCGGCGAGGCCATTGGACGTGGCTGCGCTCGCGGCGAGGACGAGCAGTGTGAGTTGCATTGCTTCGCGGCGATGGCGTCTCGCCGTGAGCGTTGCGAAATGTTGCCTCGTGTGTCGCTGCGATGGCGTGCGGCGGTGGCACCTACAGCCCAGCGCGAGCGATGGCCTGACCGCTGAGTAAGGCCTAGCTTGCAAAGCCTCACAGCAACCTCGGAAGTGCAGCGAAACCGTCTCTTCAGCAGGATTGATGTTAGTAGTCTCCCGCACGCAGCTCGGTTGTGTCCAGTAGCCGCTAAAATGCCGCTGGCGTGTCGTGCAAGCACGCGCACGCGCTAGCTAGCGTCCGGTAAGCCACTAGCAAACTCTCGCTCCCCTACCCAGCTTGATTTCGGCCTCGTCGTAAGAAAGGAGCCAGCGGCCAGTTCCACATCCTGATGGGGGGCGTCCCGAAAGAGGGGGGGCGTGCGAGTCCATGCGACTCAGCCCTTGCGTCCTAGACTCCTAGTCCAGCCGGACGGGTGGGCCCGGGGGGAGCGGGAGGGGTACGGGGGACCCTGCGACGTAACTAGCCTGAGCCTGGCGTAGAATATTCAATCAACTTTTTAGAAGGGAAGGAGACGAACTACCTCCCGCGCCCGCCCATCAGCGGGTTGATCATGACCGCGTCGTGACTCTCGACGACAGGAGGCGCCGCCGCCGCGCTGTCAGCCGTACCCGACGTCCCAATGCACGTGTGGATCTTGTCGTCCGACGTGTCCAACGCCTTCAGGATGACCTGCAGGTCCTTCACCGTGACCTGCTCCGCCAAGCGGGGATAGTCGCGTAAACCCATTAGAGTTTTTTGCGGGATCGCGTCCATGCCACAACCCGTGAGCTGCTCGCACCAGTACTTGTTCGACGTGAGTTCCGCGAGATGTCTGTTGACCAACACCCGCCTTGCCGCTTCCAAATTGTCCGCGGTTGGCGGACTGGAACCACCGAGCGCCTGCAGCGTCTCGCGACACGCGTCTAACGCTTTTTCGGCGTTCGCCGGCGAGGCGGTCACCGAAACGAGGTACCAGCCGCCCTTGATGCGCTCGTGCTCGCTGAATCTGAAATTCGCGTCATAGGTGAGTTGCTTCCGCTCGCGCACGACGGAGAACAACCTTCTATTAGCGACCTCCTGCACTAATGACAAAGCTACGGCCGCAAATAGAGGGTGGCGCCACCGTTCCGGCGCTTTCGAGAGGTCCGACGTGCCTAGCAACCTTTCAACTAGTGTTCGGCCATCCGCGAGCACGCCTAGTCGGTTCGGCGCGGCGCCCATGACGTAAGCCACTGCCCTGGGGTCGGAATCAGGCACGTGGACCCGTCGAGGCTCACCTGGAGAAGCTGGCAACTTAGCATTCGTAGACGAGGGATCCCTATCAGTCAAAGGTTCGACGTCCGTCGGCCGTGGAACAGCACCGACGTACGCGACAGCGAGTCGTTCACACTCCGCCGCGTCGAAATCCCCAACAACCGAAATCTCGACGTTCGCCGGGTCGAGCTGCGCCATCATGCACTGCTCCACATCCTCAAGCTTGAGAGCATCGGCATCGGCCTTACCTAGCGAGAGGAACCTCTCATCTCTACCCAGCAGATCTTCCAGTAATTTTTCTTGAGCAGCACCTTCCATCGACCTCAACGACGTTTCTGTTTGTTGCTCGTGGCCGATCTGGGCCCTCCGAAACGCGTCGGGCTCCCACAGGAACGCACCGGGATACAGGATCTTGTGCACCAACTGCAGCGCCGCTTCCACACCGGAACACCCACCACTCCTAGGCGGCGGCGTCGGGAAGCCAAAGTCCACGGTGATCTTCTCCTCAGAACAGGTCACCTCGACCATGATCAGGCGGTCCACGCAAAATAGCTCGACCTGTTCGCGCGACCAGGGGTCGAAGGCGCCGCCCTCCTGGAGCGTGCGGGCGCCCACTGCTGCCGATCCTAAAGCGGATTTGAGGGCAGCCTCGCCTTCCCTGCCTCCCGCCATGGTTAATCGTAGAGCGCCGCGCTGGGCTTCATGAGGTAACCCTTTCACCATAATTCTAGCACCATTGGCCAGTCGCTGCGCGCGGACACCTAGCGCAGCGGCAGCTTTGGCCTCCTCGTCCCCAGCGACCTCCGCGAAAGTTCTGGGAACGACCTTCTCGGGAAGCATCTTTGCCACATCTTCGCGCTCCATCAACGCCGCCGGGATGATGAGCTCGGGCTCCGGCTCGATGGGCTCCGTCGCGGCCTTCGCCGCTACGGCTAGTAACTGCTCCGAATCGATCTTCACCGGCGTCCCATCCGCGAGGAACGCCGGACTACACGCGATCATGGCAGAAGGTCTGGCCGCATCTGGTGCGCCGAAGTCCACCACATGCGCCATCAGATCTCTCGCGACGGCGTTGACCTCGTCCAGCTGGAGCGATTGCACCGCGAGGACCTGCGTCGAACGACGGCGTCGCGACACTCCCCTCACGAGACGCGTGGACTCTCTGACGGCCGCGTCGACGGCGTCGATGCGACTCGGCATCGCGTCGACGCCATCGCCGCGACAGCGTCACGTTCACGAGACATGTAGACTCTCTGACGGCCGCGTCGGCGTCGAGGCGACGCAGTCTCATGAAGACGCCATCGCCGCGACCTCGAAGTTCGGAAAAGTTCGGACACCGAGGCGGCACGGTGGCCTCATGAGCAGTGGCCGGGTCCATGAACGTGTGCTCGCAGGCCACGGTCTCCATCAAATGTGTGAGTTGTTCCCCATGCGCTAACTGGTCGCCCATCGCGGCTAATTGCTCCGAATCCGTGACCAACGCGGCGCCGAAGCGCTCCAATTCGGACTGCGTGAGGCCGAACTGGCCCATGCGTCGCGTCTCCTTCACGGCGGCCGCCACCGCCTCCTCCCACCGCGCCGCGTCGCCGTTCATATCTAAAGAACACACCGCACACGCCTCCCGCGCCGAGTCGAGGTGCTGGAACTCGACGAACGAGAACAGGGGCTCCGCTCTGGCTAGGACATTGAGTCGAACTTGTAGCGCCGACAGCACGATGCGCTTCGTCGTCACGGCTCTGTGCTCCGCTAGCGTCGTGATTCTCTCCACGGGCCTCTTCGCGAACAAGTGAAACGAGAACTGCTGCAGCAGCTCGTGCTGGAACACATGAGCGCGTACGGGGACACCTGTAGAAGGATGGGGCACGGCCGGGACGTCGAGCGGCAGCAAGTACTCGTTCTTCTGGTCATCCGTCATTTCCAGAATACGTTCACCATCAAGAGGCACCGCACTCGTCTGGTCGAACCTCCCACCGGACCATTCATGGACAATCGGAGGAAAGTGCCGCGACTGGGCCTTCAGGCAGGGCGGCACGGGGTTCGGACTGGTTGCCTTAGGAACACCGTCGAACGCCGTGCGGATGGCCAATTCCACGTCGTCGGCCTTGACGTCGCCCACCACATACAGCAAAGCGTTGTCCGGCCGGTAGTGTTCGCTGTGGAACTTGACCACATCGTCGACACTCCATGCCTTAATCTGCTCCTCCAAGCCGATGGGAAACCTTCTCGCCAAAGCGTTTTCGGCGTGTAGCGTCCTCAGGATCTGGCACTCGACGCGGTACTCGATCGTGTTGACCATGGACATCTCGGACAGGACCGCAGCGCGCTCCTTTTCCACGCGGGCCGGGAGGAACTGCGCTTGGAGCACCTCGCAGAGAGCATCTAAAGCTCGTGGTAACATGGCGCCGCCTCTCCCCAAAAGTAACTGGTTGAGAGCACCTTCCGGTAAGGGCGCTTCCAGCGGGCAGCACGCGTAAAACACCGTGTGGTGGAAGTCCGTGTAGGCGTTCGTCTGTGAACCGGTGCCGAAGAGCCGTTCCCTCTTCCTCGAACCCATGTAGGCCACGTGCTCGACCAAGTGGGCGATGCCCTGCTGGTCTTCCCGCTCGTCGGCCGAGCCCGCGAAGACCTCGAGATGGGCTTCGAAGCGCCCTGCTGGTGAGGCGTTCGGGAGGATGACGTACTCCAGACCATTTTTGAGGGTCCCTTTCCGGAAGGCCGGATGTGTGGGTAATTTAGCGTCGGGCTTTAGGAGCGTTTCGACCATGGCCGGCGCCGCGCGTAAGGAGGGCCGCGCCGTCTTGAGCGTCGGGAGCGGCTTCGCGACGAACGCCGCGGTCGCGGCGGCGTAGGCCGCCGCGAGGACATGGAACAGCGCCATGGCTCAGAGCGCTTCGCGGTCAGGCGGCGCGCAGGGAAGGTCGCTCTCCTAGCAGCAACCAGGTGTGAGGGCTCACGGCGGCGCGTTTCACACAACCACACGCAGCCGCTGCGACCTATAATCGCTAAGGCAGGCGCGCAGCGCTCAGCTCTTATCGCGCTGGGGCCGCACGACGCCACGCTCCTCAGCAAAGCCTTGGCTTTGCCTCACGCCCATCTCTCAGCGCCTCGCGCTACGCGTCTTTTGTACCCTCCAGGACGGCTCTGACGCACCGAATCAGCGGCCGAAGCCGTTTCTGCGGATTTAGGCTTTTTCGTGCGGGTTCCTCACTCGAACGAGTACGCAGCGCCACGCCCTCGCCGCGACCCACCCCAGCCCCGAAGAAGGAGAAGCCTAGTATGTATACCCGACTACTACTAGAAGCGCCAACGATGTCCGCAGTCCGCGCACTCGAAGAACTGCGTCATGGGCTCGTCGCCGGACCGCGTCTGCTTCTCGTAGTTCGACACCTTCGTCGACTTGCACTTACCGCAGGGGTACATCGTTTTGCTATTATCAATCCCGATCGACTTGTCCATGCGATCCCTATTCTTTCGTTCCCAGTCTAGCGATCTAGCGTCGTGCTGATATTCGGCCATTTTTCTTCGTTCTTCTTGCTTGTCTTTCGTGGCTAATTGATCAGCATCCAATTCGAGTAGTTTTTCGGGCGTTAACTTGCGAGAATTGACGTCGCTTCGCAATTCCGAGTTTTTCTTCAGGTTGAACGACAATTGTCGTAATTTCGCGACGTAGTCTCTCTTTTGATCGGGAACTGCGAGGTTGGGCCACTTCCTATGCAAAGCTAGTTCTACGGCCTCCGCGGCGGGGTACGAGTCGGCATCGGACGCATCTTCACCTAGCGTCGCCTGGAGCTTCTTTCGGGCCGCTTGCCTTGTTGCGTCTCCTAAATCCTCGACGGCGAACGAATGTGTTTTTGGGGGTGGTGCCGGTGCCTTCGTCTGAGGCACGCCCGCAGCGGCGGCCAAACCCTTCCACTGCTTTATGAGTAACTTGGCCTCGGTAGCAACGCTCTCATTCTCGTGCTTCCTCAACTTAGAAACGACGGCGCCGCACTTGAGCTCGTGCAAAATTGGGACAGTGACCGGTGCTTTGGCCAATGCTCGCAGGACGTCGGCGATCTGTTCTGGTTGGTCGGCTTTCGTGAGGGTTTTCACGAGGCCGCGGACCTCCTCCATCGCTCCGTAGCTGTCGCGTCGATGGCGTGAATTTGGGCTGTCTCTGGGCTCGAGCTGAGATGCTGCACACCGCGACGGCGCGAGTCCTTTCTTGTCGCGTCGATGGCGTGAATTTGGGCTGTGGGAGCCTCAGAGGCTGTAAACGCTCCTTTCCGGCTACGCCGCGAGTCCGCAGGCGTGCGCGGGGTGAAGCAGCGGTTCTCTGGACTGCCCGGTGAGTGCGAGCCGGTCTTTTAGCCGCCAGAGAGACGAGCTGGCAAAGCGGCGGGCTAGCGTAGTCCCCCACTAGGACAAGCTCTGGTTTTTAAGCAGTCGACAGTTTTGCACGTGGTGGGTTATAGCTTGTTCACTGTTGCTGCATATTCACTGCTTATTTTAGCGTTACAACGCATCGGCATCCGCTGCACTGTTAGAGTTCAACGCGCCACCTGCGACTCGAGTAGTCAGCAGCAATGCGCCAACTCCTGCACCTCGTGGTGGGCAGCTGCCTCGCCGCCGGCCTGGCGCTGCCGCGGCTGCCACGCGTGCCGCGGCGCCGGCGCGCGGTCAACAGAAATAGTGCTGCGCTGCGCGGCGGCGCCGAGCCGGCGCCGGCCGTCAAGCCCTTCAGCGCGGAGCTGAAGCCGCAGCGCGCGTCGGCCAAAGACGTCTTCGCGACGGCCGCGCGGCACGCGTGGCCAAAGGGAGACTGGCCGCAGCACGCGCTCGTGGTCGCGGCGGTGGCGTTTCTCGTGGGGCAGAAATTGTTGAATGTGCGCGTGCCGTTTCTGCTGAGCCGCGTCGTCGACGCGCTGCAGGCGTCCGAAGCCGACAAGGCGTCACAAGCGGCCGCGGCGTACGTGCTGGGACGCGTGCTCACGTCGGCCTGCGGCGAGCTGCGGAGTTTGTGCTTCGCGCGCGTGTCGTTCGGCAGCGGGCGGCGCTTCGCGCGGTCGACGTTCGCGTCCTTGCACGCGCTGCCGTCGTCGTGGCACGCGAAGCGGGCCACGGGCGACGTCGCCGTCGCCTTTAGTAGAGGCGACCGGGGCTTCCGTTCTCTACTAGGCTTGGCGGCGTTCACGGTCGGGCCGACGTTCCTGGAGCTAGCATTAACTGCGTCTGCTTTAAAGAGGCGCTTCGGCACGTCGCGATATTCACTCATAGCGCTCGCGACCTTCTGCGCTTATGCTCTATGGACCGCCGTGTTAGTAGATGTGCGACTGGCGCGACGACGACGGTTGGCAGCGCTCGACCGCATGCGCGGCGCCGCCTTAGTTGATTCTTTGAGCAACCACGAGGCCGTCAAGACCTCCGGCGCCACAAACGAGGAAGTCGCGAGGTTCGATTCTATTTTGAGAGAGACGCAGCGCGTCTCGTTAGGGTCCCAAGCGCTTGGATCGCTGCTGAACACTGGGCAAGTTCTTATTTTCTCGTCTGGTTTACTGGCTTCGCTGAAACTCGCGCTCCGGAGTCACTTCAAAGACCCGTCATTCAGTGTCGGCGACGTCGTCGCCGTGAACGCGTTGTTGCTGCAACTGGCCCAGCCCATGAACTACCTCGGCTACACAGTCTCGGAGATCCGCCAGGGTTTGGTGGACGTCGACGCCGTCGTCCAGGCGTCGAAGGCGGCCTCTGCCGAAGCTGCCTCAAATGTGGATGATCTAACAGTGGAGAAGCCGCCCGCCATATCATTTGAATCAGTCTCTGCGCGGCGCGACGGCGAAATTCCAGCTCTAGATAATGCTTCCTTCGAGGCCCCGGCCGGTCGAGTGACGGTGCTCTGCGGCGCGTCTGGTTCCGGCAAGTCGACGGCTCTCCGGTTGCTGAGCGGCTTGGATAGCGTCACGGAAGGTTTGGTGAAGATGGACGGCGCGCGCGCGCCGGCGCGGCCCGATGCTACGAGGTGCACCGTCGTGGCCCAAGACGGCACTTTATTTGATGAGACCGTCGCATTTAATGTCAGAGTCGGCTCGTCAGCTTCCGACTCTGAAGTAGCGGCAGCTTTAGCAAGGGTGGGTCTCGACTTGAGTTTAGAGGCCCGCGTCGGCGAGCGCGGCGCGCGCTTGTCCGGCGGCGAGCGGCAGCGCGTCCTGGCCGCTAGGGCGCTGGTGCGACCACCAGCCCCCGTCCTGCTCCTCGACGAGGCGACGTCGGCGCTCGACGCCGGCACTGAAAGACGGGTCTTGGACGCGCTCCTCGCGCCGAAAAATGGCATGAAGCCCACGACGTTAATCGTGGCGCATCGATTAAGAGCCGTCGCGCCGGCGGCGGACCGCGTCGTCGTCTTTGACAATGGGTCTGTGGTGGCAACGGGGACGCACGACGAGCTGCTGGCGTCTTCCTCCGTATACGGGGAGCTGTGGCGGGCGAAGGAGTCGCTGAAGGCTGACGCGACGTCTGTGGTGTAAGTTTCGATATCGGGATTCTTCTCTTTCGATGGTTCTATTACTGAGCAACGTGCGGGTTTTGGCCCGGTCGGCCCAAAAAACCGGCTTCTCTCTCTCTCGGTCCTCGAGGCCATCCCGAGAGCCCTCCGAGCCCGAGGACGCGTGCGGCTCCGTGAGGCTGAAGGTTGCACAGGCACTGCGTAGGACGGCGAGTTGAGCTCTGCGTAACGCGCTAATAGCAAGACCAGGCTAATAGACCGTCGCTACGTGCAGCAGAGATACTGCAACGATGATGCGGTCACTGGTTTTCGCCGCCGCTGCTCTCTCGGCGACAGCCTTCGCACCTGCAAGGCCGAGCACTGCCCTCGCGCCCGTCGCGACGCGCGAAGCCGTCGTGTTGATGGCCGTGCCGAAGAGCCGAACGTCCAAGAAGAAGACTCGGCAGCGCAAGGCGAACTGGTTCGCGAAGGCGAACATCCAGCGGGAGCGCGCCTTGACGTTGGGACGGTCCGTGCTCTCGGAGGGCGAGGGCTCCTTCATCTACAATCCAGACGAGGAGGATGATGACGACGACGACGAGTACGAGGATGACGACGAGGAGGAAGAGGACGACGATGAGGAGGACGACGAGGAGTAAGCAGCGAGCCGCTTCGTTCGTGTGTAATACTATTCAATAATATTACAAGGGTGGGGCGTCGGGAAACGTGTCGGGAGGCGGTCCCGCGCCGATCGACTCGCGAAACCGCAGCGCGGCGCCGTTGATGCAGTAGCGTTTTCCACTCTTCATGATGGGTCCGTCATCAAACCGGTGGCCGAGGTGCCCGTCGCACTTCGCGCACTTGCACTCGGTGCCGAACATGAAGCTCATGAAATTGCCCTTTTCGAGTTTGACGTTGTCGTCGACGGGGTCCCAGAACGAGGGCCAGCCCGTGCCCGAGTCGTACTTCGTGTCCGTGCGGAAGAGGACACTATCACATCCCTTGCGCGCGCAGACGAAGTCACCGCTCTGCTTGATGTCGTTTAAAGGTGAGGAGAACGCCGGCTCCGTGCCGCCGTTGAGCACATACCCTGCCAAACGACTACGCGGCGAGAGGTACGGGTCGTCGTCCTCCTCCTCCGCAGCGTGCCGCGCGCTGGTTCGCCGTCGCTGCGTCGTCGGCGGCACCAGCGCGGCTGCTGAGAGCATGAGGCCTAGGAGGGCTGTGGTGAGTCGCGCCATGGGTCGATCCTCTGTATCGAGGCGCTGTCTCCTCGATCTATGATCGATTATGCGCCTTTTCTGGCAGCAATAATGCCCAACAGAGCAGCTATGTGGCACCAAACTAGCTCGGCTGCGAGCTAGCTAGCGCCAGTAAGACACTAGCAAGAACTAATTTTTGTACCTAGAAGCCAAACCAAAGCGAGAAGTCGCGGTATCGCAAGCGAACCAACTGGCGACCGCCCGTCCTCCTGGGTTCTCTCATCGCCTGGCGCTCATCAGATCATTCTCTCGCGCGGCCGGCGCGCCATCTGGAGTCCGTCCGGATTCAGGGAGAGGACTCACAGGAGACAATCTACCAATGAACCATTCGCACATGTTCTACGACGGCAAAGTGTTAGGCATGACCGACGACGGCCTGATGGCGTACTCCTCCATCGTTTTTGGTCTATATGCGGCCTACCAGTGGCGCCGGGAAGCGCAAATCGCAAGTTTGATCGCATACGCGGCCGTGATCTCGTACGCCGAACACATTTTGAGGTACGAGCTGCTGACCTGGCTCGACCGCGCCGCCGCCGTGTCCCTCGCAATAGTCCTCGTCCGCAGAATAGGCTTCATCCCGCGCCGGTGCCACCTCGCCGTAGCACTACTCCTCTGGGCGACGTGCGACATCCTCTACGGCAATTTGACACGCCCGCTCTACGTGAGCCTCCACTCGCTCTGGCACGTATGTATATGGACCTACGTCGCCGACCTCCCCCAAGACTAGTAATTTATTTATACCCCGCCTCGGCCACCATCCGCTCCCGTCTCCCTCGAAACTTGTCCAGTTCCCGCAACGCCGACTGTTTCTGCTTGAACACGCCCCTTTCGACCAACAACAGTTCGGACATTTTGGCGGACCGCGCCTTGTCGGGATGGGGAATGCCCCCATAATCATTAACATGGTACAGGCTCATGCCGAACTTGTTCTTGTACCTCAATGAGACTTGTAAGAGATACCCTCTAGTAGCGACCTCTTGGGAAGGCATCAGCGCCGTTTTCAGGCAGGGTCTACTCCTTTTCACGAGTTCATCATCATATGATAGTAGTCTTTCAGGCTCCCACAGCGCGACGTTGACTATTTGTTGGTCCGTGGCCGGCGTGATGCCTCGCACCGACGGCACGTTCGGTCCCCTAAACACGCCTCCCCTCATACCCTTTGCGGCCGCTGTTGCCAAACCAACAGCTTCGAAGAGGTGCCGTACTGACTCACAAACTCGTAACACAATAAACCCCATGTTGCGGTGCAAACTATGATCATCTTCCCGCTGGAAGACCGCGTCACAGTTCGGTCCACACCGCTCCAGCGCATCATCGACCAAATCTGCAATTTGTGCTGATGCGTTGCCAAAGAACCGCACATCAATCTCCGTTATAATAGCATATGTATTATCAGGTTGGGAGTCCATGGCCTCCTTGATGAGGGCGATCTTCGACCCGAAGCGCTGGGCCATCGTTTTTTGGGGCCCATCTAGCGTGCTTTCGCGCGGGACGACTCGTTTCGAATTGGTCAGTAAACTACCAAGAAACAGGTCGGCCATCTCCCTTGAACCAGGGTCGCTATGGGCCGAGTAGTAGACGGGGTACTCGCGCTGTACTCTCCGGGCGCCGGCGGCGTTCCTCAAGTATAGAGCAAAGTCGTCGGCGCCTGCGTAGGAATTGTCACGTCGATGGCGTGGCGGTGCGGGTCTCTCGCCGCTCGGACGCGACGCCTGCTCGACGGCGTGGCGGTTGATTTCCACACCGGTCGGCGCCGAAGGCCTTCCTCAGAGTTTGTTCATCAAAGGCCTTGCCGATGATAGAAGCGCCGCGAACACATCCTGTTAGTAATTGACCAATAGGTACCCTGGCAGGAGCGTCGTGCAAGGCCAAAGCGCCCGCGCCACCGTCGAAACCGTCTCCTTCCACACCTTGTACAAGGGCCTCCCGTCGACCATCGACCCACACTTCTAGTGTGGATGTTGTATCCGATAAAACCCGTCGGATAGCGGCAATGTCGTGCCATTTCTCATCAAATAGCTTTGAACGACCAGACGCCGTCGCTTCCCCCACGGCTCGCACCGTGTTCTGGGGCACGCCCCGCTTCTCACTTCCATAGACCCTCAAACCGGCGCCGAAGTGGACCGAGCCATCTTCAGCGAGGGATATGCCCCAGTCGGCCCTCGCCCCTGCTCTTCGCGCCGCGGAAAGCTTGCGCTCAGCGTCGCGCATCTCGGGCGTGATGGGCCTGACCGAAGCCGCGGCCCGCAACTGCGCGAACCGCGCTTCGCTCACGAACTTTCGTCGTTCCTTCATCGCGCCCGTCGACCAGGCCGGCCCCGGGGCGGTCGCGGCGACGGCGTTTAATAAAGAACAGCCGCGCGCGTACCAGGGGGCCGTACTATTGTAGCCGTAAGCCCCAGGGACGGCCTTCCGGCAGCCGCTCGCTTTGATGGAGGCGAAGGCCGTGAACGAAGATAGTGACGCGCCGCTCCCGTCCGCGAAAATGCGGGCGTGGCCCTCGGCCGCGTAGCAGTCCGTCGTCGGCGGACGCGGGAAGTAGGGCCTGAGCTCCTGCGTCGTGTCGGCGGGCCGGCCGGTGAGCGCCTGGGCTGCTGTTGCCAGCCACAGCATCAGATGCATGGGCTGCCCCGGCTGCATCCGCATCGATGCTGTATCTATGCGGCCACCATCGATGGCTGACGAATCAGTTCCGTGCTGCCCTTGGGCGTTCGCAGCAGCGCTCAATTAATGCGAAGCCCGGCCGGCAGCCGCCTCGACAGCGTGCGGGGTGGGGTGCCCGGATTCCCCTCAAGTTCGAAGAGAAGTAGCTTTAGGACTCGTCCCGCGCACCACGCACAGCTATTCCATCTATAACAACCAAACGACTCTCGAGGCAATGCGATGATGCAGATGCCATTGGCGCACTATTATAGAGCGCACGAGCAGCCATTGCTCTAACTCACACGCTCATATAGCATCTAACGAGGCGGCATTACTCCACACACGTTGCAAGTAACCACTGCGCCCGTTTCACTAGCACAGCAGTCCTGCACAGCACAGTGCATCAGCTGCAAATCGTAAACCGCGGCGCAAATATTGCATCAAATCGCGGTAAACGATGCTGCGCATCACCGCAACACTGGCGCTGGCGCGTGCATTTGCTGCAAATGGACCGCGTAAGCTGCGCGCGATCGCATTAGACCTCGACGGCACGTTGTGCAACAGCGCCGGCGTCGTGACGGACGCGACCGCGGCAGCGCTCGCGGCGTTCGATGGCACCATCATCATCGCCACGGGACGCGGCAAATCGCACGCTGCTGGTATCGCGAGCGACTTACGCAAACGCGGCGCCATCGTGGACGCGCTGGTCTGTTCCGACGGAGCCGTCGCCTACGCCGGCGACGCGTTCGACGAGCTAGTATTTGAGCGCGTCGCTGTTGGCTCTGTTGTCGCCGAGTCGCTTCGAGTAATCGCCGACGCCGTGCCGGGCGTGTCGTTCGGCGCGGAGATCAACGCCGCCGACGGAATTGCGGTCTCCAGCCAGACATACCTCGACACGATCGAACGCTGCAATCCCTATTTTTTCGAGAAAATGCTCAGCGGCAAGAAACCGGTCGACGACTTCTTCGCCACGGTCGCGGCCGCGGAGAGAGTGAACTGGGTCCGGTGCATCGGGGTCGGGGAGGACGACGGCTCCGGTAACTTACTGGCGGCGGTGCGCGCCGTCACGCCGGCGGGCCTCCGCTGCGAGCCGTCGACAATTCAATTACCGGGCGGGCCCGAGTCCGTCATCGTGAAACCGGACACGAGCAAAGCCGTGGGCATCGAGGCCGTCGTCGCGAGCCGAGGCATCGGGCCGGAGGAGGTCTGTGCGTTTGGCGATGCCGAGAACGACCACGACATGCTCTCCTGGGCCGGCTTTGGTGTAGTACCGTCAAATGCGCGGGACGGGGCGAAAGAGAGAGCTACATTCGTCTCCAGCCTCAGCAATGACGAGGATTTTATCAAAGACGCGCTCCAACGACCCCTCGCGGAACTTAGGAGAGAGTATACAACACCATAGGTTAGTCTGCGAATTGTTGCCCGCTCAGAGGGCAATGATCTTCTGGCCCCGTTCACCGAGAGACGTCGCCGTCAGGAAGACGAAGTTGCCCGGGTAGGCCGTCAGTAGAGCCCGTAACGGTACGGACTTGACGGTCACCGGCAGCTTGTAGACGCCGCGTAAATACGCTCTAATCTTGTGTAACGTCGAGGCCTTGGGAGCTTGCGCGCGCATACAGTCCAAGACGCACTTTATTATCGGCGCGTCATCCCTGGAACAGGGCCAGGCTTGCGTCGGCGCGTAGCCGTCGGCCGTTAAGAGCTCCAGTTGCCTTGCCACGCCTTCGGTAGGGGGCGCTGGAAATAAACCAGGATCCTTCGGTATGAGAGATGACGGAGCCCCGGGCTGGATGTTCGGCTTCCCGATGGGCGCGTGCTCGATGGTGCGCGGCGGTTCTATGGTCGTAGTGGTCGGTCCTTGAGGACAAAAAGAAGGTGCTGCGGCTCGGAGTTCCCCGCCGCCCTGGTTGATGTCATCAGCGGTCGAATGTTCCAGGTAAACCACATCGTTCTTCGGCACCCAGAGTATTCTCACGTTCGCCATCTTTGACCTCCTATCGAGTTCTAAGAAGGTCAACAACCCGCCATGCGTCGCTTTGACCCTCGCTAGCGTGTCCATGCCCACGCGTTGGATCAAGGCATTTCCGAGATCGACAGCAGTCAAAGCCTTGTCCGAAGCGGTAGTCAATATATCGACCACATTCCTAATGACGTTCTCTTCATCAGCCGGTGAAGAGGGCTCCGTGACTTCGACTTTAACGGGGTGCGTGGGCTTCAGCGGTCTTGCATCTTCGGGTTGGGGCTTCGCCGCCTCGCCGCAGACCGACACGTGGTTCATGGGCCGGTCGTGGTGCATGCGAAAATGCGTCGGGAACCTTTCCAGCAAACCTCGTAACCCGTCAAAATTCGTCTTGATCACCGCGTACGTCTCGGGATCTTCGGCCTTGCACACGTCGCCCAATCTTGCGGACTGGGCCTTGCCACCGAGCTGCCGGATGACTCGCGCGAGGAAATCAACGTACGGTTTTGCTGAACCGAGATCCGCACTTTCTTTCGCCTCGTCAAGAGCTCTCGTCACGTTTTGGAGGGAGAAGCTGTCGTTGGATGAAGACGGCGGCGGTAAGGAAGCTACGGCCGTTGTTAATCTCTTGGCGTCCTTCGCCTCGAGCCCTGCTTCGACCAGATCGTCGGCTTTGAGGAGTGGGAGGGTGTCCTCATCAATATCTTCGTTCGCGAGTAAGGGAGCTACCTGTTCTAATCCTATTCGTTTCACTAGAGCTTGTATACCACCCAATCGTCTTAATGTCTCGCCGATGCCACCCCCGGCCAGTGATCGAGCTGTTTCTAGATCAGTAGGAGTATCTATCTCGACGCAGCCCATGCCCGTCACGTCGATCACCCGCATATCCAGTCGATCATTATCGACCAATGACGCGTGGAAGGCGTCTTCGTAGTAGTCTTGATCAGAGGCGTTCTCCAGAAACAAATCTAACTGTGCCTCTCCAAATGACTCCCCAGTGATAGAGTACAACCCGACGCACTCGCCCTGGGCGTTTGGCGGCACCTGCTTGCCGATGGCGATGACCACATCATCATCAACATGGGCGCGCACCGCCTCGGCGTCGTCGCAAGAAAATTCTAGGGGAGAAGGCCTCGCAACCGCGGCACAGGTCCCCGGGAAGCGCGCGACGGCGTCGAAGGCGCCGTCTCCCACTAGCAAATCGCCATCAACTAATAAGAATCCGGTCTGTGCTAGAGCTGGTACCGCTCTCACCGCGCAAAGTAGACTCTTGGCCGTATTTGTATTACTATACTCCTCATTCGAAATGATGGCCGGCTTCGGTAGACCCACGGCAGCGCAGGCCTCCCTGCAATGGTCTGCGACTTTTTCACTTTCGTAGCCGACCACAACCACCAAAGCTCGAACAGCATTTCTTTTAGCGTGTCGACACAACCGTTGGAAGATGGAGGCGCCGCCCACATCCACACAACACTTTGCGCCGAGTCCTAACCTAGAACCGATGCCCGCACATAACACCACGAGGTAGTCGGAAGCTCTAGGTACAGAGGGCGCCGGCGGCCACTGCGCCGCGAAGTACTGGGCGTGGTTCGCCGACGTGCGTTGGTGCGTCGTCACGCGGACACCTAAGCCTGCTAGCGGGCCCTTGTCGACGTAAGTGGCCATGAAGCCCCCGGCGGGCGCTATCAAGGTATTGCGAGGTGGTAGGGGTACGAACAACCCCTCCGCCGACTCGCCGACGCCGATCCACCGTCGATAGCCCTTGGCGGCTAGTAGAGCATCCAACAAGGGCCCGTTCGTGTCATTCGCGCGGCCGCCCATGGATCCCGTATGGCCGAGCCCGAAAACACCCAACTCGACACCATTACTGGTACAAGCGTGTCTCAGTGATCGTTGAGGTCCACTGCCACCTAGATCGGCCTCCGCCGCTGCGACGGCCACGAACCGACAACCTCGTGCCTTGGCGGCTTCGACGCAAGCGTTCGCGTCGATCGAAGCGCCCCAGCCCACTTGGTATCTATATATAATAGCGTCGGCGAACTCCGACGACAAAGCTTCCCCTCTAGGCCCGTTCGACGCCACGAGGACCGCTTCCAAAGGAGGCGGTGGTATGCCTTCCTTCCGCGCTAGAATGGCGAGCTTCGTCTTCAAAACTGCCCTATCATGCGTCGACGACGAGCGACGACTGCGAGAGAAGGGCATGACGGGCTTGTAGTGTTCCTCGCGCAGCGGTTGTTTTCTTTTTACGGCAGAAACTTTATGCTCGGGCCCATGGGCGTCGGGCTCGACGTAGTAGACCTGTGTGGAAGTCAAATTTCGGGCGCCCCACGCCATCGACGCGATGCTGTCTCCGTAGCTGCGGCGGCTCGACGGCGTGGAGGTTCACGAAGATATCCTCACTCGATGCTTGATTTCCACACCGTAATAGACGGCCATGCAGTCCTCGCCGAAGGCTCGTACCACATAAGATAATGGTTTCGGCGGCATCGGTACGTTCTTGAGGGGCCCGAAGTTCGTATTGGTCCACGTGTCTTCATTTCGTAAAATCACTTCTCTCGGCCACCTTCGGATAGCCAACCCAGCACCTCCTCGTCGATCGAGCTCGCCGAAGTGATACAAGGGCCACGCATCACTTGGTAACGAAGCGCAGAATTGCGTAGCTCTTTCTATTTCATCTGTGGCTTGCGGCTCGCCGTTTCGCTTTGTTGATACTGCTTTTCTCAGCTCATCAAGTGACGCGTACTCCACGAGTAAAAAGACGTCGACCCAGGCCTTTGGCGACGACTTGTGTCTAATGCGGTCCCACGGTAAACCTTTTCTGCCACCCGCATCTTGGTAGTAGGCTCCCCTGATAGCTTTAAGAGCGCCTCTCGCTTTGCCCACATTCGGCCTTCCAACAATCGCAATATCGATATCGTCATCACAGAATAGAATCGACTCGGACCGAATGGCACCTAAGGCGCTGCCTCCGGTCAACGTCCACGGGACGTTGGCGCCTTCCAGGGCCTCTTGGACCCATCCAAGCAATTCATACAGGGCGTCGACCTCCTTGTTGCGCAACAAGACGGGCGCCGGGCCGCGTGCCGGCGGTCTCTGTCTACTCCGGTCGTAGGGGGGCGTCGGCGGCCGCTCCCTTCTGGAACGCTCCGGGGGCGCGGGTGCCTGCTCGGCGCTGCCGCGTTGGTACCCCCGGGGGGAGACGCGACCATCCGAGGCCCGCCCGGGGGGTGGGGGCGGCCTCCTCATGCTGTCTTCTGTCTGTGCGAGCGCGCGCGCCGCTGAGAGGCTGTGAGAGGCTCCCAGCGAGAGCTGGGCAGAGAGCAGTGAGGTCACAACCGGTGCCAGCAACTTGCGCCGCGGGCCTCAAATTTCAAAATGGCTGTCCGTGATAATTACTGCGTACCAATAACCTCGGCTGGTGGCCGGCGCCCAAGAGTGGTCCTTGCTCGAGTGCTTTCTAGTGTCTTACCAGGACGCTAGCTCCGCACTCTTGCCTTTTCTGTCCCCAAGCTCCTCGATCAGCCGTCAAATTAATACAGCGCGGTGTCACAAAGCTTTAGAGAGACCACTCGTCCATCGCTACCGCAGCAAGAAGCGCTACAAGACCAGCTCACAGACAGGGGACATGGGGAACACATTTGGCTGTGCCCAGTGCGCGGGCGACGGAGAAGCTCCCGCGAACGCCGCGCCGACGCCGACGAGGAGGCCGCCCCCAAGGAGCATGAATTTGCCGACGCCGCCCGTCGTCCGGAGACCTCGCGGCGGCGGCGGCGGCACGTCGGCGCTGATGCCGCCCACGAGCCACCTGCAGTCGAACGACGCCGCCACGACACCGCCACGGACGCCGCCGCCGAGCACCCCCGAGCCGAAGCAGAAGCTCCTCTTAAAACGAGTGGGTTCGCCCGGGTCGCTGCGAGCGCTCCTGCGCGCCGACGCGGCGGCGCGGCGGCGCGCGCTCGGCCCCGACAACGCCGTCGAGGCGCCGGCGGGTTGCGAGGAGGATCTCTGGATCGACATTCATGTGGTGGAAGCGTTCAACGACCTGCACGCGCTGTGGGAGCAGGTCGGGCTGGACGAGAAGTGCCGGGCGAAGCTCGGCGCCAACCCGCCGACCGCCGGCGACCGCACGTACGCCTGGGACCCGGACTCGGACGACGACGACACGATCATGGCCTGGGATTTGCCTGCGGCGGACTACGTCGCGCGAACGTTCGAGTCGTTTACGAGAGCGATTCGCGACCGGGCCGTGTTTCCGGAGCCAGATGGAGGAGCGTTCCCTGCGGGGTTCCGGCCGGGCGCGCGGAAGGCCTGCGGCCGGCTCCTGCGGTGCTGGATGCACCTCTACCACAACCACTTCTCGGCCGTGGCGGAGGCGGGCCGCGCGGACGGTGCGAACGCGTGCTTCAAGCGCTTCCTGACGATCGCGCTGCGCTACGAGTTGGTGGACCGGGCCGAGCTGGCGCCGATCGAGGACCTCGCGCAAAGCCTCCTGGCGCCGCGGAGGACTGTGGACGCCAAGGCCCTCGCGGGCGAGGAGGGGTGACGGTGCTGTAAGATTATGTTGTTACTCTGTTTAGGGGTGGCGCCAATCTCCGAGCCACGCGTACTCGACGACCCGGCAGAATAACTCTTTCGGCACGTCCGCGAAGCCGCTGAGGCTCCCAAAGAGCCGCGCGACGACTACGGTGGTCTCGGGCCCGTGACGCGCCCTCCCGCGCGCGAGCAGCGACCGCACGCGGAGCAACGCCATGTAGTCCTTCAGCACCCAGCGCTTGTAGCTATGGCCGGCGAGGCGCGTGCCCGCGAGGATCTTAGCAGTTTCGGCGTAGCTATTGGCTCTATCCAAGTCTCGACCGTCATCCATCCTTGTTAGCCTCACTGTGGGAGGCCCCTCTCTGGCTTCTGCTTGCTGTTTGTAGAACGCAGCACGTTCCTGGGCAAGCTCTTCGAGACTATTAATACCATAGGTGCTACTATCGAAACGAACAGTAGTGAGAACAACGCCCTTGGCCAATAGCATTCGCACGATACGCGGAGAACCCAGTGCTTCATATGGACGATGCCTGTGCAGCGCGTTCTTTCTGCATATTATCTGTGTTTCATCTACAATCCCGGAGGTCTCGGCGCCGCGAGCAAGGAGATATTCAACGCAATCAACACTAGCTCTTAATACTGCCCATATGAGCGCGGTGTAGCCTCCCACCCTAACGTTTACGTCCGCGCCGGCTTCGACGACGAGGCGCACGACGTCGAGTCGTTCCCTAGACGCAGCGGCCATGAGTAATGTCGATCCTGGGTTGTGGGAGACCCTTCTCCCCATCATAGCCCCAGCTGGAATCATGTCTTCGATTGCTTGCTCGATGCCCTCATGGGTTGCCACCTTGCTCTAGCCAGTTTTGGATAGCGGCGAGGGCCGCGAGGCCACCCCCCCGAGCAGCATTGAACACCTCGGGCGGGAGCATTCTCACGCGGATGCTAAACAGCCGCCGCGTCCAGGCGCCTGGTTAACCGAGTTGCAATATCCAGTAAACCCGTTTTTTTTAGCGTAGGGGGGCGCGCGTCGTAACTAACGCTAACCCTAGCGTGCTCGTTTCCGTCCTGCAAATGTAGAACAGAAATCACCGTCGTCACGCCTCCGTCGACCACGTACACCGCGGCGGTTGAAAGTATACCTATAAAATTTAGTCCGAGTCGTCCTCCGCCGAGTCGTAGGCGCCGGGCGGCGGCAGCACGTCCCGGTTCAGCACGTCCAGCACGGACTCGATCTCCTGCAAGGCTTCCGCCTGGACCAGCCGCGCGTTTCTTCGCAAATCGCCCTCGGCCGCCCTAAACGGATTGTCCTTCGGTTTCGCTTGCGGCTTGTATTTCTGGCGCGGCAGCCTTTTTGACACAGACGCCTGAGTCGCGCGCGCCGCGACCGGGACGTCGCCTCCCCTACGAGTTGGCGCCGCTTGCACATGCAAAGTGGCCGGGTGGTCCAGCGCGAACTTCAGGGCGCGCAACGCCGATTGGAGCTTCGCGGGATCCGACCGCCGCGCCGGCTCGATGGCGCGCGCGGCCAAGACGGCGGGTGCCACAATCGGATCCTCAGGCTCCTCGTAAATCTCGTCGGCCATGAGCGCCTCCTCGAGGGCGTCGTCGTCCTGCAAGGCCGTGACGAAGAAACTAGGGTCCTTGTCCGTTGTTGGTTGCGGAACCTTCTTCTTCGTTCGCGGTTTCCTCCCGGCCTCTTTCTCCAACGCGTCCACCAGGGCCTGGTGGCCCTTTTCCCGGAACTGGGCCGCCGTCGGGATCGGCGCTTCCGCTATCCGTTGCACGCCGATCCTCTCGAAGCGCCGGTCGCACTTCGCGCCGGCGGCCGCGCCGGCCGTGCCGCGATTCGGACGTTTCCGGGGCACTTCTGTTGTGACATCTAAATGGCGCGCCGTCCAGCCGTCGCGCTGCTGCGTTGCCGTTTGTACTAGAGTTCTGACCGTTTCTCCTGTTGGATCTTCACCAGTAGCGCCTAGCAACGGATTGCCATAGAGCGAGAGCTGCTCGAGCTTGGGCAATACCGTTAAGTCGTCGATGTCCTTCTCGCTGCGTATGTGGTTGTGGGCGAGATCCAACGCGACTAGTTCGGCGAGGATTTCCGTGTGATCTAGACTTGTGGCCTCGGCCATCGCGTCGATGGTCGGAGTGGATGTGACCTTGTTATGTGCCAACGACAGTTCTCGCAATCGAGGACACTTCGCGAGACACGTCAGGGCGTCTCCTTGTAGTCGATTCCTCTCGAGGAACAGCTTTTCCAGCGATTGGAAGTCCGAAAAGACGTCCGGCAGCTCTACTAGTCCATTTCCCGTGAGGTCCAAGTCTCGCAACCGCGGCATCGTCACGAGCTGACTAATTCCATCTAAAGTCGCGGTATTGTAGGACAAATCCAGTACTAAGAGACGGGGGAACCAGTCTTCACTGACTGAGCTACATACGGACCAACTATTCGCGGCAAACCTCAAATCTTTGAGCCGAGGCAGGCTCCCAAAATCCTCCAAAGGCAATCGTGGATTATCGGACGCGTCGACCCAGCTCAGATTCGGGAAGTACTCGAGATCCGTGGAGGACACTTCCGTAGCATGCCTTCCCGAGACGTCCGCCCGATGCCCTTCGTCTGGAAACTCGACGCCACACGCATCCAGCAATAAAAATCCATCAATAATCCGGGACTGGCCCCGCGTCAGCTGCGCCCGCAGTAGGTCCGCCTTTTTCCGCTTCCTGATCTCGTCGTCGACGTCAATAGAAACAACGCCCAGCCCGCGCGACGGTAATTTAGGCCTCTGTGTCTTGGCCTCGGCGCCGGGATCGACAAAGTTCATCTGGGGCAGCAGGTAGCGCGCGCGGCCCTCGGGCTTCTTGTAGGGCTTGAGCGGCATGGCTGCTGGTGAGGCTGCCCCTGGCCTTGTTTGTGGTGCTGCTGGCTCGTCGCAGGACGTCGGGGCAGCCGAGGGCCGCACGTATGCGTGCGCTGAGCCTTCTCTTGCGTCGGGCGGCGGTCGCTGGGCCGTCCGTCCCGGCCGAGACAAGCGCGCTGGGCTCGAGGGCTAGAGTGTTTTTTCCCACTTGCCCCCAGCATACGAGCTTGTACGAGGACTCCTCCGGGGCCGCCGTTGCCACCGTGTGCTTCCGCCACATTAAGTAAACTAGTATGACAGCGAACTACAGACCGCGTCCAGCGCCCGCGAGCAGCCCTCGAGGAGCCCGAAGGCCGCCCGCGCGTCTCGATCGGCGCGCGCGAGGGCGCCGGAGTCGTCTCGTTTGCTAGGACGGAAGGTCGCGGCGACCGCCGGCCTGACGTCGACGCCCAGGAAACGCGACAGCTTCGTCGCGTTCGCGTAGGCGTCCGGGTACGGCGCGCAGACGAGGAACCGCGGGTCGAGGCGCCGCAGCTGCGCCTCGAGGCGCCGGCATGACCGCGTCAGGGTGGCGATGCGCCCCGCCGTGAAGCCGTTGTAGGGGTCCCGGACGATGTCGCGCGGCCGCCGCGTCGCGACGATCACGCGAAGATCGAAGCCCGCGGCCTCCGTCGCCGCCGCGAGCCACGGCAGGTCCGGGTCCCACGTCGCCGGGGGCTGTGTGGAAATCAACCAGTGTGTCGGGTGCACAATTCTTCACTAAGTCATTCTCGGCGATGGCGCGGCCGTCCTAGTTCGGTCGAGCGGCGAGGAACCGGCATCGCCACGCCATCGAGCAGGCGTCGCGTCGATGGCGTGGAGGACGACGCGACGATTCAGGACAGACGCGCCGTAAAATTTTGATTTCCACACAGGCCGGGGCGGTCCCGCACGGGTAGGAGCAGCTCGGCAGGTGCAGCAGGACGTCGCCTTGCGTACGTGCCAGGTCCGCGCGGAGGGCCTTTTCTAGTTTCGCGTCGTCGGCGCAGGTCGTGGCGCGGTCTCCGACGTCGTACGCATCGTAGGCGTTGCGCCAGGGGCCCGGTTGCTTGAAGACGCCGTCGTGCCAGAGATGATGACCGGTATGCTCCAGACCGGCGACGTACGCGACGCGGCCCCGCGCGCCGGCCGCGAAGTGGCGCTTCTCAATTAATTCTCCCTCGTTGTAGTAAGTGCTGGCGCAGGGGAATGCCGCCCCTACGTCTTCGCGGGCCCGCTGCGAGCCTGGGCGCCGCAGGTCAGCGTTCGCGGCGCGCAGGAGTGCGTAGAATGCCAAGTGCAGGCTGCATGGGCAGCCTATGTAGCGGCGCATCGCTGCCGCGCGTGTGTGCGCGCCGCGGCTGCAGTTGCGCCGGGCGTCCTGCGGCCTCGCGGTTGCTGTTTTGAGGGACCTGGGCAGCTTTTACGGCTGCTGGCAAGGAGGCTCATGTCATGCTGTTTTTGCGGTCTAGTGCGAGGAACTCACTAGCACAGCGCCTAGTACATCGTAGAGTACCGCTGGCAACAGCCAAATACCGATCGAGGGGCGCCGGGGGCGCCTGGAAAGTCCACATGCAAACGCGGGGCCGTCCGCGACGCAACGCAGGGCCCCTACGCCATCGAAGCGAGGCAACCCCCAAAACCGCCGCCGCACCCAACCTAATGCTTCTATCTTACACAATAGCCGTCTCAGGCGGTGGCGACCGTCTCCAGGTCGTCTTCCTCGTACTGTTCTTCTTCGGCGAAGTCCATGCGGTCCAGGATCTTCCACTCGCCCACGTCCGCGTCCCTCATATCTACCAGGGCCAAGCCGTCGAAGCGCACGGACCCGCCGAGCGCCGGCCACTTTTCGCGAATTTCATCCACAACGCCTTGGTTCACGGCCGGCGACCCGATCCAGTCGTACACTAAAGACGTGTGGGGCGTCGGCTCCTCGTAGTCCAGCCCGAATACGGCCGCAGCCTGGGCGTGGAGCGCGTCGAGTTCTTGCGTTCGGTGATGCGTCAGGCCGATGGCCCGCATGTCGTAGGGCGCGTGGTCGCCCCAGTACTCCGGCGGGCCCGCGCACTTGAGGTCTAACGGCCCTTGGCCTTGCGACTGGAGCTGCTCTCTTAACTCCGTGAACTTTGCTCGGGCTTGTTTCTCGTCCGAGCCCATGTTATAATGTAATGTAGCGTGGGCCTGGTAGCGCGGGCAGTTCGGGTTCATGGCGTCGATGGTCGCTTTTATGTCGGCGTTCTTCGTGACCTGCGCGCGCGATGATGTCACCGCATCGCGACGGAATCTCGCGTCTGTAACGCGCGTTTCGCGCGGTTTCGACCGGCGGCGGCGCGGCGGCGGCGGCCTCGAGGACGAAGACGGCAAGGACGCGGGCGCGGTACAAGCCAAAGCGTCAGGCCCTCGAACTTAAACGCGTACGGACCCTCGCGCGCCGCGACGGAGAGCACGGGGCTCAGCTGCGCGGCCAGCGGGGCCACGCTCGCGCCGGAGGCGACGCGGCGCATCGTAGCAAGTCTATAGCTTGCAATTGCGGGCGCGTCGATTGGGGTTCAGGCTGATTCTAGCCGGAATGTTTGGTCTCGGCCTCTGATGCACGGCAGTACTTCAAAACCGGCCACGGGCGGTACCAACACTGCGGTACTTTATAGCGCGACGCGCAGCTACAGAGGGATCATGTTGACCCGGCGGTCCAGTCTGGAGACCGGCAGTGCTCGGCAATCGCATGTCGAGTCGACTACAGCTTTACCTCCGACAACTCCAAGCACCGGTCCAGCAGGAGGTGCTGGACTGCTGGACCAATGCAGGGCTCTAGTCGGCGCCTTGTCTTTTCGCGCGGGTTGGGCGGGCAAACGCTGCCATTTTGTCTTTGTACCGGTCCCGCCTTAGCAGAAGGGCAGGCCTCGGGAACAGATTTGAAGGATCTAGCTCCCAGCGATCCAGCGCACGGCTCAAAATTACAAGCGCGGACAGTTGACTGCTCCAGCTCCAGCTATCCAAAGCCCAAGACCTAATCATCGAAGATGGCCGACGACGAGAAGCCCACGGACATCACCGAGTCGGCGCCCGCACCAGAGGCACGCGCCAGCGTTGATAACATACGGCGGCGGCCGCCTCGCGCCAAGACGCGCCGGCGCGAAACCGCCCGGAACCTAAGAAACGGCCCGGGCTACGGCCGCGCGGCGCTCGCCGCGACGGAACCAAACGCAGAAACGCCGCGGCCCGCGAGCGATGCGCGATACGCCGTCGCCGCGACGAAACCGCCACACACGCGTGGCGCGGCTCGCCGCGAAGCTGCGAAACCGCCACGCCCGCGCGCAGGTCCAGGCCCCCGACCCGGCGGACGTCGCCGCGGCTCTGAAGGCCAACGACGACGTCCAGAACGCCATGCACGTCCAGAGTTTACCGATCCGAGCGTACCTCGACACCACCGTCGTGCCCGTGTTGTTGGATGGCATGAGCGCGCTCGTGAAAGAACGACCCCCGAACCCGGTCGAGTGGCTCGCGACGTACCTGATCAAGAACAACCCCCAAGGGAGCACGAACCACCAGGCCTGATTGTACCTTTTCTGTTGGCTCCTCAGTGCGCGCGCTGCCAGTGGGGGCCCTAATTTTCTCGCCGGTTTGCACCTTCTCTCTTTCTTTGATCGCGTCGATGGCGTCGGGGTGGGCCCGGAGGCACGCGTGTGCTCGCGCGCTTGCGCTAAGCGCTCAGCTCGCGCGCGCCGCTCGCGGCCGGTAGAGACTCCTAGGGAAGCGAGCGTCGCCTGAGCACACGGGGAGCGTGGGAGGGATATCCGGGTCGATGCGCCAGCCAGGGTGGCTCTGTCCCCGAGCTTGTGTGTCCGCGCCGCGGCGCGACCATCCGCAAAAACCCGAATTGAAAAATTCAGTCAGAAGGACGGCCTGGACCCCTCATTGCGTCTTGGAGAGGCGCCGCGAGGCTGCGCTGGAGGCCTACGGCGCAATCAATCCAAGCATGGAACAACATTTGCTCCGGCAACCAAGCCGGTGAAACGCGTGCGCTAGAGCCGCATAGATCATATAGAGGTGACAGCGCAGGGCCGGAGGCTCCCTCGAGCCTTTGTCAACTTTTGGTCACGCTGCGACGTCCTGCCGCGACGCCTAAACAGCTCTCCCGCTGGGCCGGCTGTCGCCGTAGAACAGTTAAAAAGGCGCTAGCGGCGTCGCTGGCAGCCGTGGCCCCGGCCAGGCATCAGTAACGAGTCAAGACAGCGCCCAAGCGCCGCTGTCGCCCTGAAAAAGAACAAAGGAGCGGGATGGCCGAAACAGCCCCCCCGAACACCGCCGCAAATGGCGCAAACGGGTCAACCGGCGACGACCAGAACTCCGTCATCAGCGAGGACTCCGACGACGCGCCTTTATCGGCGCTCATTGTCAGGAAACCGTCGGTAGAAGAACGCGAGCGCGGCGTCTCGTTAATCGAGGAGCGCTTCCTCGCGGACCACAACAACGACACGCCACCGCAGCAGCCGCCCCACGAGGTCACGCCGGAGGACGGCTTCGCGCCGCCCCTGTCGCGAGCCGAGAACAACACGACCCCACCGAGCCCGGGCCAGCGCTTCCTCAGGCCTTCGGAATTATTCGCGCAAGACAATAGAGCGGCCGTCCGGGCCGAACATCCGGGCGACTTGGATAGGGCCGTCCGCAACCGCCTCTCGGAGATGTGGCGTTCGGTCGACGACGCGACGCGAAAAAGTTACGTAGAGAGAGCGAGAAAAGTCCGAGAACGCGCCCGGTCCGAGTCCCAGGACGACGACCAGCCCCGGGACCCCAGCCAACCGAAGAAGAAGAAGCGCAGCCCGCCGCCGAAAAAGAAGAAGCCGCCGCGGCCGCCGCAGCCGAAGCCGCCGTCGGCCGCGGCGGGGCTGGGCCCCGGCCAGCCCGTCTGCTGCGCCAACGATCCCCAGCGGCGGGGCGTCGTCGTGAAGCAGACGGCGGGCTCCTGGTTGCTTGTTCGGTTTGCGAGAGGGGGTGAGACCAAAGCTAGACCTTCTCAATTACGAGCTTTGAGGAGCGACGAAGCTCTCACAGAAAAAGAGAAGGAGGAGCTCGCGAAGCCCTTCGACCCGGTAGCGCGCGGCGTCCCTCGTCGACGCGGCGACGGCGTCGAGGCCGCGCCGTCGATGCGCCGTCGACGCGAGAGCGTCGATGGCGTGGGGGCGGAGCGAGTCGAGGGCGTCGGCGCGCCATCACCACACCACCCACACAGGTCCGCGACGTCCAGGACGCGGTGGACGCGGACGTGCGCGTCGCGGCCGCAGACGGCGGCTTCGTCGGGAACGTGTTTATAGATAGGGACGGGACGGAGCGGCGGCAGTTCGAGGCCTACGCGTTACCTGGAGGTGGTGTGGGGGCGAGATGTGGCGTCTGTGGGCTGGATCAAGTGTTGCCTGAAAGTGCCGTGGCCGATGGGGGCCGGGGGAAAGTCGTCCACGCGCTGAAGAGCCACTGCGGCTACTACGCGGCCTGTTCCATGTCGGCGTCGAACGCCCACATCGCCGCTCTCCAGGAGTTAGTCGCGGAGCCGCTGCGGAGAGGCATGCCCGGAGACGCCGAGCGGCCTCAGGCCAAACCAAGGTCTGGTAGTATGAAAGATGATGATAGTAGGCCTCGCAAGCGTCCTGCTGCGCAAGCAGCGACGCAGGCCCTGACGGGGCAGGGGCGGGACCGATCCGGGAGCGCGAATCGGTGCGGCACTTGCGTGAACTGCCGCGCGAAGAAGGGTCGGTCGTGTCTGGAAAACCCGGACGAACCGGAAACCAAGAAGAAGAAGGCCGTGAAGCGGTCGCCGGCCCAGCGCAAGAAGCCGGCGCTCCAGACGCCGTTTCTGCCGGCGCAGCGGGGCTACGAGTCCGACGAGTCGTCGACCTTAGGATGGGTGGTGGACGTGCCGGCCTGGGACGCCGACGAGGCGGCGCGATTGAAGGAGAAGGACGCGGCGCTCGACGAGTTCGCGAACGACTTCTACCAGCGGGTTTATGATCCCTCGAAGATCGCGGCGCTGGACGTCTGCGCGGAGCACGCGCGGCCTAGAAGGGCGGACGACGACGCGTGTGCGTGTGCTTTGAACAAGGACGCGGACCCGGTCAAGGCCGGCGGCTTATGCAAGGACGCTTTGGACGCGCTGGTGACGCGCGGCGTCCGAGACTCATTCGACGCGACGCGTCGCTCGCGCCGCCGGCGGGAGGGACCGAAACGAGACGCCATCGACGCGAGGGGCCTCCGACGCGCGCCGACCGCGGCGATGGCGTACTGATCGCGGCGAGGGCGGGGGGCGCCGCGAGAGCATCGACGCGGCGGGAGAGAGTCGCGTCGGCGGCGAGAGTCACCACAAAAACACCGACGCGCCTCGACCGCGGCGACGGCGTACTGCCTCCACGCCATCGATGCGAGGGCGGGGGCAGAAACAAAACCGCAACGCAGGCGAAGCGCCGCAACGGCTGCAACGGCCCCGGCGCGCTGGAGTTGCGGTGGGCCCTCGGGGCCCGAGGCGCCTTGGCGCCGAAGGACCGGGAACGAGCCGCGGCTTTGTTAGATGACAACGAGGGCCGCGGCCTCGACGCGTGCCCCAGAGAAGTCGCGAAGGGCCTCTCGCGGCCGCTCGGCGATGTGCTAGCCTGGTACTACGCAGCCAGGGAGCCAGACGACAAGGAGGGCGAGAAGGACGCGTGGCTGGGCGGGAGGCGAAGGCAGGTCGTCGACGGGCCGCAGCGGGCGCACCTCAACTTAAATCAGCTGCACAACGTCGCTGATGCCAAAGATGATATTGATCCGTTGAAGAGGAGGCATCTCGACGCTCCGACGATCGAGGAGAAGCCCTTGATCGATGAGGTCCCTTCATTAGTAGAGGGCAAGGCGCGGCCGCCACCAGCCACCAAGTTCTTGGTAGGCGAGGTCGACGTGGGCCAGCGCTGCTGGGTCGTCGGAAGTTCCGCCAAGGAGGTCGCTGCTTCTCGTCGATTGGATTTAGTACAATTGGAGCATGCCCAGGGCACGTTCGTCGAAGGCACATCTACCTCAGTACTATTACCTACCCTACCAGCCTTGCCGGCGCCGTCGCCGCCGTCCCAAAAGGCCGTGGAACGGCGCCTCAAGTGCCAGGGCGGCGAGGTCCTCGAGGTCGGCTCGACGACCCATGGGTGTCGACTGTGGTACGCGCCTCGCACGTTCGAGACCTGGAGGGATGTGGCCCACAAGCTCAAAGGCTTGCATTTGGCGTCGCCGAGCTTCTTCCCGACGACGGGGACGCGGAGGGATTTGTCCGCGGCGGCTCTCGCGGGCTTCGGGAGCTGTGCCGTGTCGGCGCCGCGATGCGCCTACCGCGAAGACACGCGCCAGACGGACCCCGCCGCCGCCGAGGAGCTCTGGGCGGCGCAATTGGCCTTCTGCGCGCCGGGCGAGGCCTTTGCTTCTCGCGCTTTTTCCGGTGATGACCGGATCATCCGGAGCCTGCCGGAGGCAACATCAAACAGAACAAGACCCTTAATATTGCTCCCATTAAGGCCGGGCTGGCCGCGCGTCGACACGAAGGGCCGCAAGGGCGTCCCAGCCACGCGAAAGGCGTCCTCCGACTCAGAGGACGAACCGGACGTCGACGGCAAGCGGGGCGACGCGTCCTTCGCGGCCCGGCGCGCTAGGGTCTGCTGCATCGTGCCTCCTTCGTTAGCCAAGTTCCGGGGCGACTTGGAGGAGGAGCCCGACGAAGCTGATGTTTTAAGGGATGGGGACCGGTTGTGGGCGAAATTGCCGCGGGGCAAGGGCGCGGCGCCGCCGCCGCGACGGCCTCGCGTACAGTCGGACGGCGAGCCTAGAACCAAACCTGTGACGCTGGACGCTCGTTCAGTTGCCACGGCGGCCGTCGCATTGGGCTGCGACCCCGTCGCCTTGGAGAGGCGGAATAGGGCATCACCAGGAGCTTTTTCAGGAGGCCAATACGCGCACGAGACCGAAAGGTCCCTTGGTCATGGGTTATTACTATTAGGACGGACGGGCGCTTCCCTACGAGGCCCCTGCGCCCGGTGTAGGGTAAGAGGCGAAAGGCGGGGCTTCCGGTGCCGCGCCCTTCGAAGGCACGACGCGCCGGAGTGCCACCTGCCTCCGTCGGGCGGCTGGAAGGTCGGGTCGAGGATACGATGCCGCTGGGCCGACGAGGAGGACCAGCGGACGGTGACGTGGTACTACGCGAGCGTGACGGAGGTCGTCGCGACCGACGGCGACAAGGCGACGCTGCGCGTTTTATATGACGACTACGCGCCCGACGACCCGGCCGGCCAGGATCTGATCAACGTGCCCGACGACGACACGGTCACGTGCGATCCGGCGCAGCCGCGCGTCAAGGCGTCGGCCGACGACCGACTGCGCATCGGGAAGACGTTCGTTTGGTCGCGGAATTCGCCTCGAGAGAAGCGCGAGCCGGGCCGCTGGCGCATCACGGACATCTTCGACTCGCTCGAGGAGGGTATGGACCTGAGTGGAAATCAACCAGTGTGTCGGGTGCACCCGACGATTCTTCACTAAGTCATTTCTCGGCGATGACGTGGCCGCGCTGGCTCCGTCGAGCGGTGAGAAACCGGCATCGCCACGCCGTCAAGCAGGCGTCGCGTCGATGGCGTGGAGGACGACGCGATGATTCAGCACGAAAGCGCCGTAAAATTTTGATTTTCACACAGGCGCGGACGGCGTCGTCGCGACGTACGCGCGCGTCGAGCGGCGGGGCGACGCCGCGGCGGACTCGAGCGACGACGACGCGCGCGCGGCGCCGACGCGCGCCGAGGAGCTGCACCTCCTCGTGAAGCACGCGCGCTGGGACGACGCCGCGCCGCCGCCGCCGCCCAAGCCGCTCAAGCGCCGGAAGGAGGGAGGCGAAGGCAGCCCGCCGGCGAAGAAGAAGAAGAAGAATTCCGACGACGGCGCGGCGGCGCCGAGCGACGCGCCCGGCGAGGAGGCGGCGCCGGCGCCGGCCGCGCCGGCGCCGGCCGCGGAGGCGGAGGCGGAGGCGGAGGCGATGCCGCCCGAGCCCGCGGCGGTCGGGGACGCGGCGCCGAGAGCGGAACCCATGGCCATCGGGGCCTGACTAAGTTTATATGGGCAACAGCTGTCCCTGCGCTCTGCTCCACAGGCCTGGCGGCTTCGGATGCGCACGCGCCGGCGACAAACGCGGCGATACGCCCTACGAAATTGTACAACGTTTGTTTAGTAGATATGAACTAACGCGTAGGCGAGCGTCCAGAAAAGCACGAACGACAGCGCGTAGCCCGGCGCGCCCATGATCACGAACTTCGTCAGAGACTCACTCGTATAGTCCACCGGATTGCACCGCATGCGCGTCAGCAGCGCGACTGATCCCAGTACATACGTGCCGACGAAGAACAGGAGCCCGCGCAGGCCCGTCGCCTGTGTGGAAATCAAAATTGTACGGCGCGTTCACGTCGTCCTCCACGCCATCGACGCGATGCCTGCTCGATGGCGTGGCGATGCCGGTTCCTCGCCGCTCGACCGAGCCAGGTCGGCCGCGTCATCGCCGAGAAATGACTTAGTAAAGAATTGCACCCGACGCACTGGTTGATTTCCACACAGCCCGTCGCGCCGACGACGCCCGCCCCCACGGCGCCGAAGAGCGTCAGGTAGCTCCGGCAGCCGTCGACGGCGTTCAGGTTGTGCGCCATCGCGTCGCGGTCGAAGAGGTTCTTCGCGCTGCGGGCGGCGCGCGGGTTTCGTCGCGAGGGTTCCGTGCGCGCGCGCGACTCTCGACGAGCCCTGCGGTCGCGCGACGCGCGCGCGGCGGCGGTGCAGGACGCTGGCAAGCACTCCTCCTCAGGCTCTGGGCTCATGCTCATGATTGAGGGTGCGCGCGCGGCTGGTGTATGCGATGTGAGTCAAATGCGATCTTGCAGCGATCGGTGCGTTCAGGCGCAGCACGTTGGCTGGCGCGCCGAGCTCACTGCGCTTGACTCGCGGGTTTCACGCGCGACGCGGGCTGCGGTCGCAGCGCAAACTTGGCGCGAGCCCGGCTCTCGGTGCTCCTCAGCGTGCCTAATACTCGCGCATGGATCGCAGCCGCAGCGGGTGTAGTCAGCGCGCCGCCGCTTGCTGAGATTTGCCTCGGAGAGCATCGACAGCTATTCGGGTGATACAGACAAAACGCGGGCACATCGCGGCTGGCAGAGGCGCGGGATCGGCCACTGCTAAGACCTCGTAGAGACGGACTCGTAAAGACCTCGTAGAGACGGACTCGTAGAGACGGACGCTTCGTGTGGAGCGATGGCGGACGCCTTCGCGCTGGCTCGGCGCTGCGTGCTACATCTCGACCTCGATAGCTTCTTCCTCGCCGTCCACAAGCGGCGCGACCCCACTTTACCGCTGGAATCGAAGCCGGTCGTCCTCTACCAGTTCCAGGACGTCATCTGCGCCAATCGGAGAGCGAAGGCACTGGGCGTCCAGAAGCACATGCGCCCCCGCGAGGCGCGGGCGCTCGTCGAGCCGCATGGCTTGGTGATCCACGCGTTCTGCAGGGACTGGCCGGGGCCGCGCGTCCGCTACGGCCCCTACACCGCCGCGTCGCGAGAGTTCTTCGACGCGCTGGCTGACGCGCTCCGCGCCGCGACCGGCGGCGGGGCGGCGATCGAGCGCGGTTCCATAGACGAGGCCTACGTCGAGCTGGCGATGATGCCGCAGGACCCGGCGGCCTTCTGCGGCCGACTCCGCGCCGCCGTCGAAGGCGCGACAGGCCTGCGCGTCACGGTCGGCTGCGGTCCGAACAAGCTGCTCGCCAAGCTGGCGTCGAGCGCCGCCAAGGGCACGGACGCGGCGGTCCGGGTCGTCGACGGCGGCGCGGCGGTCGACGACCTCCTCGCCGCGTCGCCGGCGTCCCGCCTGCCGGGCCTGAGCAAGCCTCCGGCGGGCGCGAAGACGATTTCCGACCTCCGCGCCTGTGGCGCCGAGCTCGACGACAAGCTGCGCGACAAGGCCTTCGGCCGCGACGACGCGACGCTCAAGTGCGCGCCGCCGAAGACGGCTCAAGTGGCGAGCTGGACCGGACATTGCGACATGGCGACGCTCTGCCGCCGCGGCGAGACCGCCGCCGTGGCCTTTCCGGCGCGGCGCGGCGGAGGGTCGTGGCTGTTCGAGCCGCACGACGCCGAGGGGCGGTCGAGCGAACTCACGCGGCCGCGCTGGGTCGTGCTCGCGCTGTGCATCGATCTCGAGGAACGTTTGCGGCACGACGCCGCTTTGTATCGGAGGCGGCCTACGCGCCTGACGCTGACGATACGGCAGCCGGGCACGGATCCCCTGCCCATACCGGGAAACAACTACACGGAGGGGGGCTCGAAGTCGCGATCCGTGCCGTTCCCCGCGCCGCAGCCGTCCCCACCGGAGGAGGCGGAGGCGCTCGTCAAGCGCATCTGCGGCGGCGTCTCATCTGAAAGCGTAGACGTGCCCGACGACGCGTACGGCCGAATTAGTGCGCTCGTCGACGCCGTCGCGACGGCGCTCGAGGCCTGGGCGCGGGAGCAGGGCAACCCGCGCGTGGCACACTTATCCCTAGCTGCGGGCCACTTCGACAGCGGCCCGGCGCCCGTGCCGATCACGGCGCTGTTCAAGCCGTCGCCGAAGAAGAAGAAGCGCCCGGCGCCGGCACCTCCAGCTTCTCCGAGCTTCGCGGGCATCGACGGCGCCGACGTGGACCCTGCGACGCTCTCGGAGTTGCCGCCGGCCGTGCGCGCGGACGTGGAGAGACAAATGCGCCTCTGGGAGGGATCTCGCAAGCGGGGCGGCGGCGTCTCACCCTCGCCGCCCGCGACGCCGGCCTCCAAGAAGAAGCGGACCCCGACGAAGTCGCCGAAGATCACGGCCTACCTCCCGCCGTCTCCGGCGTCCCCCGCGCCCGCCGCCGCGCTCGACCAGATCCTCGCGATGGGCTTCGGGCCCAACCGGGCGCAGCGAGCGCTCGACGCGGCCAACGGCGACGCGCAGCGCGCCATCGAGCAGCTGCTGGGGGGCGGCTAAACTTGTGTGAGATGTCCTCTGAGTCAAGTTATATATATAGGTCTGTTACTCACCGGGGTGAATGCAGCACGTCATTCATTCTTGTCACGCCTAGTCGCTGCTGCAAAGGGAGGATGGGGGAGGCGGTCGCGGCGACCAGGCAACTTCAGTACGTCCGCCATAAGGAGGGGGCCGAGCTCGTCATCGATGCCCGGGGTTCGACGCCGTTCGTCCGCGGCGTCGGCGGGTGATGAGTACAGAGCGCCACCGAAAGGTGGCGAGAGCGGCGACGCCGTCGTCCAAGAGGTCGACGGTGCCGCCGGGGGCCCACCGGTAGGTCGGGCAAATAGGGTCTTGGGCGTCTCCCGGCGGCACCGCCGCGCCGGGTTCTTTAGGTCCACCACGTCGGCGTTCTCAACGCCGACCGGGTCTTGGTGCGACGCCGCCGCGCCTCGGAAGAGACGCGACGGCGCCGCGGGCGCCGGTCGCGAGGACCGACATACAGGACCTGATCGTCATCAGGTCCTCATCGCTCTGCGTGCACGGCCCACCTAGGAGCATCAGGTGGGCCGAACTCGTTTGCGGCGCTTCTCCGCCGCGCCGACGAATAGTCGGCGCGACGGCGACACGGCTCCCTCGTACGATTCATCGGTGCGGCGGAGGACGCCGTGCGTCCACCGGAACCGCCGCGGAACTCGTTCTGTTATTGAGGGGAGGGCATCGATTGGGTGGTGGTGCCACACGTCGTCAGCGTGTGGTTTGCGTCCAGGTCATCTGAGCGCGTCCAGCGTCGCGTCTGCTCGGCTCGGCGGCGTCGGACAGCCCGTCGACCGTGAGGCCGACGGGCGGTGGAGGCTTGATGTATGCGCGCGGCAAATCGCCTACCTTACTTTTTCGCGCGATGCCGCCGGCCTCGAGAAGGCGCGGCGGCGTGGTGGATTACCGACAGGTCGGCAGGTGCGGCGGCGCCGTCGTCCCCAAGAGGTCGACAAGCGCAGCCACGAGTTTTCGACACAAGGTCGGCTAAAATTTGGGTGACGCCGCCGGCCCCCAGCGTAGGGCGCGACGGCGTCGAACGGCCTCAAGAGGCCGGTGATCTAGAGCGCGGCCTTGAGAGGAGGAGAGATTGGCGCCGGAGTCAGAGGCGAGATCGGCGCGTCTGGCTCCTCGGCAGCATCGTCCTTGGCCTCCTCGGCGAGGTTGGCCAGGTCCTCAGCTGAACCAATGCTGTCCACTTTCTTCTTCAAGTAATTGGTCGCGCTCCCGAATGACTCGGAAATTCTCCCCACGTATTGGTTTCCCGATGCCGCTGAGGCTGCGTAGGTACTTGAGAGTTCAGAGAAGAGGATGTAGAGAGCCACCGAGAAGGTGAAGAGCCCAACAATGACGCAGATCGCGGCAAAGATTGCGCCTTGGAATACTCCCTGAGGGTCACCCGCCTCCTCGTCGTCCGAGTTGCTTCGCGCCTGGAGCATGGTGGCGCCAAAGAACGTAAAGATGACCTGCACTGCCGCGACTTTAGCTAACAGGTCGTCTGAATCATCAACGTAAGGCTCGAAATGAGCCATGACAATGTAATAGACCATAGCTCCCAAGAGGCCGAGGGCCGTTTGCGTGGTAGTCGATGGCTCCTCGTCAGAACCGAAGAAAGCTAAAAGACCCGTGAGGTAGAGGCGACGGATGAGCTCGACGACGGCGAACCACCAGTAGCGCGGCTCGTATTCTTCGAAGAGGAACCTAATCCGGTCGAGGCGGCGGTCGTTGTCGCGCTTGTTGATCTTTTCGTCCATGCCGTCGGAGGTCGTGGTCGGGTTGATCCGCTTCCGGTACCAGAAGAGCGTGGCAAAACAGAGCACGGGGATTCCGATCGGATAAATGGCTACCATGATCCAGGTGAAGATCGACGTGAGCTTGTAGCGTCTGCTTCGGCAATTGATCGACATGTCGGCCATAAGCACCTTAAGCTTACCTGGACTGCGGCCCCGCGCATCGAACTTTACGCAGTTGAAGTAGCGCAAGACCGCCGAGGAGTTGGACGGAAAGACGAGGTATACTAGAATAAATGCAAAGTACGTCCACTTGTCTACTTTTTTTGCATATCGGCAGGCAAAGTAAGTCAGCACCAGGACGACGATGGGCCAGATCGTCGAAATCTCCATCGACCAGATGTAATCTACCCAAGGAAACATGCAGGCCGTGCGCGCCACGCCCGAGAGGTCCAGCGACGCGAAGCCAAAGAATCGAGCGACTTGCTCGTAGGCCACGGGCCACCTGTGTGCAAATCGACCAGTGAGCCGGCGGAATGTCATTTCTCTCGACGAGTGACAGTCCGATGAAGGCAAATTGAACCTTTATTTGCGCACTGGGGGCAACGGAATCGTGGGAAATAACGGATGAACGCCCGACACAATCTGGTAGCACCCGATCACGATCTTGAGTTTGGTCAACGCCGTGGACCGCTTCTTCTTCTCCCGTGCCGGAGCTCCGATGCTAGCGTCGGAGGAACGCGCCTCGGCCGGCCCCGATTTTGGTGAGGAGCGCTCGGCGGCCTCCGTGTGCGCCTGCTGCTTCGCTTTGTCTTCGGTTTCAGAGGACCGTCTCTCCGCGTGGTCGACGACGCTGTCCATGACGGCATCGTTGCAACAATCTTGATCGACGCATGCCGTGACCGACGCCTCCCACGTGTCGGGGTGAAGACTCACGTACAGCAACGCCGCGAGCAGCGCAAATACGGTGATAACTATGAGGACGAAAATCGCTATTGAGGTCTTAGCGCACTCGTCGCACGTGAGATTAGTAAACGAAAAGTAGTGGTTTTTCTCGCACACGTTGCAAAGCGGGCCCTTATGGCCCTTGCGGCAGAGGCCGTCGCCGTAGCTGGTCTGATTCTGATTCAGGCCTGGCTGCGCGCCCTTGCAAGATTTCCGGTAATAACAGCGGTAGATCGAGTCCTCGAGCTCCGTGGCACGCCAGTACCGCTCCTTCACGGGCAGGGCCTCGAGCGTCGTCGCTTTGCGGCACGTATCGACACCAGACCCCAGGGCGTCACACGGTTCGCAGCATTCCTTAAAGACACAGTCATTGGGGTCATCTTCGCTGGCACACTGCTCTTGCAGGGCCGACGTATTGCTACAGGACACGCCACTTGTGCCAGCCTCAAAGGGGACCCGATAGTAGCCTTGGAGGCACGTGAAACAACCGGTCTTGCCTTCGCCGCTCGTCGTGGAAAACGGCACGCACGGCTGGCACGTACTCTGCCCAGACATGGACGTATACGTGCCCGTGAGGCAATCCGAACACTCAAACGCGCCGCTCTGAGAAAATTTCCCCGCCGGACAGTCTCTGGTTAGGCCGACGAACGAGCCAGGTGGCCCGACACGGATAAAATTCACGTCAGAGCGTCTGATACCATCTAAGCTCGCGTCCTCGTCGATAGAGGCTGACGAAAGGACATCTGAAGCGTCTAATGACTTCTGAAGCGTCCCGGTTTCGATGGCTTCTAGGAACTGCGACTTGAAGTCGTCCAACATCAGCGCTGAAACGTTGTCCATGTTCTCGCCCCAGACGCCCGTGTAATTCGCCTCGACCGTGAAGAAAAGATTGTTCGAGAAGCTCTCCGTCGAATTGGCGGAACTAAAAGCGTCCTGTGAGAGGGCCGGTTCAATTGTCACGACAACAGGTTGATCGGCTAAGTCCCCAATGACGTCCTTCAGCAGACTCGCGAGGGCACTTCGATTTTTCTGGCTGTCGAGGTATCCTTCTAGCTCGAGGCTCGAGTCTAGAGTAATCACGTAGCTCGGATTCGCGTTGGTGGCTACTCCCGCTTCCGCCAGGGCGCACCCTGACGCGCCGGCTTCGCTCACCGTTCCTGGTTCGCAGGGCGCGCAAGAAGACGCGCCCGACCCGCTAAATCGTCCCGCGGCACACTTGGACGGCTTGGTCGCTCCCCTCGTGGCGACGTATTCGCCGCCAGAAGCCAGGTCGCACGCCGTGGCCCGTTTTCTAGAGACGTACCGCCCTTCCTCGCATTGGATGCACTCCACCGCTCCGGCGCCCGGGGAGTAGGTGCCTGGAAGACACCGTTCCTGTTCGAAAGCTCCCGACTTTGCCACGAAAGACCCCGCGTCGGCAAGCTTGCACTCGCCCCTGCCCTCCTTTTTGGCGAATTTGCCTTTCTCACAGGGCTTGCACTCGCCAGGGCCAGCGGGCTTCGCCTTACCTACCTCACACATGGAGCAACTGGTCGCTCCTTCCTGACTAGACTTCCCAGCATCACACGACGTACATGAGGCTTCGCCCTTTTTTGAGCTAAACGTGCCGGCCGCACAAGGGTTACATGTCGAGCTAGAAGACTCCGCGGAGAACTCTCCCGCGGGACACTTCGTCTGTTCCTTTGCCCCAAGTTCCTTCACGAAGAACCCAGCATTTGCCAGCGAGCACGCGGGCGCGCCTTCGTCAGGCATATACTTTCCTGCTGGACACAGGGCCTGCCCCGTCGCGCCCGTGCCCTCGGCATAATTTCCGGACTCGGCTGCCTTACATTCGCCCAGGCCTATCTCGTCCGCGTACCTTCCCGGTGCGCATAGGGAACACTCGGAGCTACCACTTCCACTCGCGTGTTTGCCCCTTGGACACGGTTCTTGCTTTATTGCGCCCTCGGAAGCGACGAAGTGGCCAGAGGTCGCAGGCGTGCAGCCAGACTTGCCCATGTTCACATTGAACTCGCCCTTCGGACATAAAGAACACTCGGTGGAACTTGGACTACTCGAGAACTTTCCAACTGGACAGCTCTCCTGACCAAAGGCGCCCTCGACGCCAACAAACGATCCAGAGTTGGCCGATACGCATCCAAACAATCCCGGGCCGGGCGAGTACGTTCCGCGTGCGCATATTACATCAGTCGTGGCACCCTCCTCCGCGACGAAGTAGCCTTGCCTCGCGAGCGTGCACTCAGGCGTCTTGGCCGATGCGGCGTATTTTCCACGCTCACACAGAGTGCACTCCGAGTTGCCCGAGCCGCTCGCGTGATGACCCTCGGGGCACGGCTCCTGCTTAGAAGCGCGGTCCTCAGCAACAAAACAGCCCGGCTCGGCGGACACGCACTCGATGGCGCCTTCCGAAGCGGCGTATTTTCCCGCAGAGCAAGGGGTGCACTCGCTCGAGCCCGAAATGGAGAACGAACCTGGCTGACACGGCAACTGCGCCGTCGCGCCCGTGGTACCACGCGCTCCATCCTCCCGCAATCGTCTCCCAGGATTTGCGGCGAAAAAGCCAGCGACTGCGAGAGAACAGACGGCCGTGCCCCCCTTATCCGCATAGTAGCCTTCCGGGCAGTTCTGGCACGCACGGGCTTCTGACGTGTCTGCAAACCTCCCAGGGGCGCAAGGTGTCGATTCCGTCGCTCCAGGCGCGTCGACGAAGGAGCCGGCGGCGGCAGATGTGCACCGCGAAGAGCCCGGGTCGACAGCGTATTTGCCTACAGGGCACTCCGTCTCCTTCGAGTCTCCTTCGACGGCGACGAACCAGCCTGGCTTCGCGAACGTGCACTTTGTCGCGCCCGTGGCCTCGGAGAAGGTCCCGGCCGGGCAGACCAAGCACTCGTTGGCCCCGGGGCCCGGCGAGTAGTAGCCTTCCTCGCATGGGATCTGTTTCGTTCTATCACTATCCTTGACGTAGTGGCCCGCCTCTGCTAGAGAACACGTCGCCGTGCCCGGCTCCTCGGCGTAGGAGCCAGGCTCGCACGGCGTGCACTTAGTAGCTTTCGGACCAGAAAATTCACCAACCGAGCACTTCGTCTCCTCGGACGCGCCTGTGTGGAAATCGACGAGTGAGTAGGGCGCACTCGGTTAAGTCGAGCGTGGGACCCGCACCACCACACCATCAAGCAGACGTCGCGTCGATGGCGTGCTGGTCGAAGGCGACGTGAACTAGTGACTTCTGCACGGCGACGTGCCGACGTCCGAGACGTAGTAGCCGGGCCTGGCGTCAAGACAGCTCGACTGGCCCTCGGCGTTCGTGTAGGTACCGGCCTCGCACTGAACCTCGTCCAGAGCGCCGAGCGCTGCGACATAATATCCTTTTTTGGCGTCATCGCAAGTCACGGTGCCCTCGGTGGCGGCGTACTTGCCCACCGCGCACTCGAAGCACTCTTTGGCCCCTTCGCCCGGCGAATAGCGGCCGCTCGGGCACGGCACCGGTGCCGTTCTGGCCGTGTCGGTGGCTAAGGAACCCACCGCGGCACGAGAATCGTTTTCGGGGACATAGAAGCCAGCTTGGGCGAGGTCGCAGCTCGCTGTGCCCGAGGTGGCGGCAAACGAGCCGGCTGGACAAGATTCGCAAACAAAAGCGGCCGGATCTGAGGTTTTGCCAGGCGGGCACTCCTCCTGCTTCGACGCGCCGACGGCGTCCACGAAGTAGCCAGGCTTGGCGTCGAGGCAGCTCGACTGGCCCTTGGCGTCGGTGTAGGTGCCGCGCTCGCATTTCTTCTCCTCGGACGCGCCCTCCTTGTCCACATAATGTCCGAGTTCGGCTAGCTCGCACAGACTCGCCTTGTTGGACCGGGCGAAGGTCCCGAGCGAGCATCGAATGCAGTTCTTGCCACCCTCCCCCGGGGAGTAGCTGCCTTTGAGGCACTCCACCTCCTTCGTCGCCCCCGTTCCAACCTGTGCGATAACAAGTTCACGGCGCCTTCGACGCGACGTCTGCTCGATGGCGTGGCTGTGCGGATCTCTCACCGTTCGACGTAGCCAGCGCAACCGCATTGTCGCCGCGAAGGTATTTGTGACGTACCCGATTTTCCACACTGGTTCTAACAACGACGAACCCGGGCTCGGCCAGCGTGCAGGTGTCCGTGCGTTTGGTAGCCGCGAAGCGCCCCGCCGCGCAGTCTTGACACGAGCTCTGGGCCGAGCCGGAGTATCGTCCTGGATCACAATCTATCGGCGACGAGGAGCCCTCTTTGGGCACGTACGTTCCGGGATCTGCGGGCAAGCAGCCGGACTGGCCTTCGGTGTCCGTGTACCTTCCTGCAGCACATTTTGTCTGCTTGGAAGACCCCGGTTGCCTTACGAAGTGCCCTTTGCCAGCGGGCGTGCAGCTAGTGGCACCGGACTTGTCCGAGAACGAACCGACCGCACACTCGGTGCACTCGAGCGCGCCTGCTCCCGGCGAGTATTTGCCCGGATCGCACTCCTTGTCGTCCGACGCGCCATCCTTGGCGACAAACGATCCTTTTTCGGCCGGGTTGCAGCTGACCGTACCGTCCTTGTCGGCGAAGGTGCCCTTCTCGCAGGGTTCGCATCGCTTGGCGCCCGACCCCGAGAAAGTTCCTTCAGGACACTGCTTCTGCTCTCTTTTCCCTTCTTCGTCAACATAATAGCCAGGGTCCGCGGGCAAGCAAGCCGATTGGCCGGACTCCTTTGTGTAGCGGCCAGCTGGACACTGCTTTTGCTCCGAAGACCGCTCCTTGTCCACAAAGGAGCCAGCCGCGGCGAGCTCGCATTCCTTTGCGCCTGTCTTGGCCGCAAACGAGCCTAGTGAACAGTCGATGCACTCGTCGAGGCCCGGACCCGGAGCGTGAGTCCCGATCGGACATGGCAGAGGCTTCTTTGTTCTGTCGGCGACGTAGGATCCTGCCTGGGCAAACTCGCAGCTCGCGGCGCCCGGCTTATCGGCGTATGAACCAGATAGGCATGTCTCGCACTTGCTTTCGCCGGAGCCAGAGAATTCGCCCCTGGCGCATTCCTCCTGCTTCGACGCGCCGTCAGACGGGACGAAGGAGCCGGGCGTGGCGGGCAGGCAGCTCGACTGGCCCTCATCGCTCGTGTACGTGCCGCGCTCACACTCCTTTGGTTCGGACGCGCCCTCCTCGTCCACGTACCAGCCAGGCCTGGCAGGCTCGCACCGAGCTGCCTTCTTGGACTTGGCGTACGTACCCAACGGACACTTCGCGCACTCTCGGGCCCCTGAACCCGGCGAGTAGTAGCCCTCGTCGCATGGGATCTCTTCGGTTCTGTCGTTGTCCGAGACATAGTGGCCCTCGCTGGCGAGTTTGCAGCTCGGCGAGCCCGAGTCTTTGGCGTACGAGCCAGACTGACACGGGGCGCACGAAGTAGCTTCTGACCCCGACGTTTCGCCGGGCATACACTTTTTTGGCTCCTTCAACCATCCCGGCGTAGGGACATATTCCCCGGGCTCAGCGGGCAGGCACGTCGACTGGCCCTCGGTCTTAGTGTATTTTCCAGAGTCGCACTGCGTCGGCGCCGTCAAGCCCTCGCGGCCGACGTACCTGTGGAGAAGTCAACCAGTGAGTCGCGGAATCGATGGCGTCGATCACACCATCGAGCAGACGTCGCGTCGATGGCGTGGAGAACGACGCACGAAGGCATGAAGTCTTGATTCCTGCACAGGCGACGCACTCTCCAGGTAAAGCTTTCTTGCAGACCGATTGGGCCTTTGCATCAGTGTACGTGCCGGGTGAGCACTTGACGCACGTGTCGGCTCCCGAACCCGGCGAGTAGGAGCCCTTTTCGCACGGGATCGGTTCCGTTCTATCGCCGTCGTCCGAGACGTAGTAGCCCGGATCGGCGAGTGTGCAGCTCGACGAGCCCGCGGTGCTGGCGAAAGAGCCATCCGGACAAGTTCTGCACGCATCAGCGGCAGGATCCGACGTTTCGCCGGCCTTACATGCCTCTGGATCGCTCGACCAGCCCTCGTTAGGGACCTTGAAGCCGGGCGTGGCTGGCAGGCACGCCGACTGGCCAGTGGTTTTCGTGTAGAAGCCCTTCTTGCACTTCGTCTGCGTTGACGATCCCGCCGCGTCCACGTAGCTTCCAGCCGCTGCATCCTCGCACTTCGTGGCGCCTTTGTCGGCCGCAAACGTACCGAGCGAACATGCAATGCACTCGCTGGCGCCTGGACCCGGCGAGTAGGTTCCGTTCGCACACTGGATCTGTTTCGTCCTATTATCGTCCGAGACGTAGGAGCCCGCGTCCGCGAGCTTGCAGCTCGCCGAGCGCGGCTTCGAGGCATACGTGCCGTTCGCGCAAGGCGTGCACGCGCTCTCGCCGGAGCCGGAGTACGTGCCGACGTCACAGGGATCTTGCGTCGACGCGCCGTCGAACGGGACGATGGAGCCGGGCGTGGCGGGGAAGCACGTCGACCGGCCCTCGGCGTTCGTGTAGGTGCCGGCCTTGCACTTCGTCTGGTTCGATGCGCCCTCATTGTCGACAAAGTAGCCCTTATCGGCTAGCTTGCAGCTGGGGCTACCTGGCTGCTCGGCATAAGTGCCGAGTGAACAATTGCGGCACTCAACCGCGGCCGTCCCGGAAGTCTTGCCCGGTGGACATTCTAAGGCCTCCGACGCCCCCGTCGTGCTCACGTACTGTCCAGGGGCAGCGTCTCTACAGCTGCTCGATGAAGCAAATTCGGCGTATTTGCCTTTGGAGCAGTCCGTGCATTTAAAATGACCAGCGCCCGAAAAGGTGCCCGCCGGGCACGGCAACTGTTTGTCGGCACCAGAGTACGCTCCAACCGTCGGCGAGGGCGTGGTGGTGTTGTCAACGGTTTCGGGCGCAAAAAACTCGACGGTCTCGCCCAGGCCAAAGTCTCCATCCGAGCTGTAGATCACGTTGCCGTTCAGCTCGAGGTAGTACGATCCGTCGCCAAAACCGCAGCAGATCCCATCGCTCGCGCTATCTCGGATCTCGAAGGTGTAGTTCTGGCCCCCGCAAATCTGAACTTCTTCTATAAGCTCCGTATCTCGTTGCGAGTAAGGCCCGCCGCTATTAGGATAACAAGGAGAAGTCACGCTCCAAGTGGTCTCACTCGGGTAGTTATCCGTCTTCAGGATCAGTTTGAACGTCTGGTCGCAGGAGGCTCGACAGGTTGTTGTCGGCGCGCGCGTCGCCGTCGGCGCGGGCGTCGCCGTGGGCGCGGGCGTTGGTTCTGGCGGGCAGTCCTTATAGTACATCTCGTAGGCGCCATCACATGTGTTGGAATCAAGAGACGGAGGGCCCGGGCAAAAGCCGTCGCCCTCGCAGTAGTGGCCGCAGGCCACTTCTCGGCAATGAGGGACGGAGCCGTAGCCGCCGTAGTAGTAGTAGTTGTCCCCGTAGCTCTCAAACGGGAAGCAGCTTCCCGTGTTCGTGAACGTCATGCCGGGAATATCAGCCGCGCACTTGCCCACGCCGTACGATGCGGGGTCGGTATCAGGCACGTAGCCGTCGGGGACCTCGGGCAAGCCAGTCGTCGGCTTGGGTGTCACCGTCGGCGCGAATGTAGGCCTAGGCGACGGAACAGCCGTCGGCGCGGGCGTCACCGTCGGCGCGGACGTGGGCGTCACCGTCGGCGCGAACGTAGGCCTAGGCGACGGATCGGCCGTCGGCGCCAGCGTCACGGCCCCGCAGTACTTCCTGTAGACGTCGAAGGCACCACAGTTGTCCAGACTACCATCGGTCCCACACTCGCCGTCGCCCTCGCAGAGCTCGCCGCAGGCCACAATGTCGCAAGTAGCAAGGTTTGGATCGTCAGGACACTCGTCGACCGAAACGGGCACGAGCACACCACATGGGTCGGCTGTCGGCTCGGGCGTCACCGTCGGCGCGAATGTAGGCCTAGGTGACGGGTCGGCCGTCGGATTATGCGACACCGTCGGTGCGAACGTGCCACCAGCAAGACCACCACCACACGCGCAACACTGCTCGCTCGCCGTGAAATCCTCGTCGTCGTAGCTTCCACAACCTCCAGGAAAGCTGTCATACCACGACGAGCAAGTATCACCGTAGCTATCCGCGGTCGAATCGTCGTTCACGCATGGGCCGGCCGTCGGCTTGGGCGTCACCGTCGGCGCTTGAGTGTCGCTCGAAACAAAGTCGTGGCCGTAGAGCTGGAGCGTCCACGACACCAGGACGCCATCGTCGTCCCCGTCGTCGTCGGCGTAGTACCACTCGGCCCAGTATGGCTCCGACCCGAGGTCGTCGTCGTCGCCGCTCCCCGCTCTCCGATCCGCCACGCGGAGCGTGAACGCGCCCTCGTCCGCGCGCTCGCCCCAGTGTCTCAGGGTGGTATACTTGTGGTGCGTGTAGCGCGTGCCGAACTCGAGCTTGTCGTCCGTGAGCAGCGAGGTGACGCCGTTCCTCTCCAATTCGATCCGCAGATCGCCCCGCCGGGGGTGTTCTATAGTCACGTAGACCGCGACGGCCTCGATCACAAAGTCCGAGGCGCCGGCGAAATCCGCAGCCGTCGACTCGACCCAGTGCTCAGTTCCGTTGTAATCGAGCAGGGCCTCGCCGCTCGTCGTCAACGTCATGTTCGTCAGCTCCGCGCCCCAGGTCGTCCAATTCGTCGCCGCCGCCGTCGCTGCCAGCGCGTCGACGAGCCCGAACCCGTACTTGTAGCTATGTTTGACGCCGGCCTGGTTCGTGGTCCACTGGCCAGTCTCGTCGTCCTCGTCGTTAAAATCGGTCTGCGCGGTCGCGGCGAGCACCCCCTGGACGTCGCGCCACGTTAGACTAGGATTTGCTTCCAGAACCAGCGCGACGACGCCGGAGACCAGCGGGGCCGCGTAGGACGTGCCCACGCCGACGTTACCACAGTTGTCGACGGCGCTGAGAGCGAGCGGCAGCGCGGCGATCATGCCGTATTCATCGCCGCCTGGCGCGCTGATGAAGACCGGTGCGCCGGTCGAAGAGTAGGACGCGTGCTTGAGGTCGCGGCCGACGGCGCCGACGCTCATCGTGAACCGGGAGTTCTGGTAGCCCTCGTAGTTCACGTCCTGGCCGACGTCGTACGAGTTGCCCGCCGCGAAGACAAAGACCATGCCCAATCCACCTCTACCGTTCGTCACGCCGTCGAGCATCGTGTCGTGGCCGTGGCTCGACATCTGGCCGAAGCCGCACTGGACGAAGTAGTGGTCCAATTCCAGACAGGGCGTCGCGTCGTTCTCGAAGTAGTACGAGCAGTAGCTCACGACCGCGGCCTCGCAGGACGACGAGAGATTACCACTGGACCAGTCGTCTCCATCACACGCGTCGCAGGGGCAGGACGACGTGCCCGAGGGGCACGAGAACGGGCAGTCCGCCGAGTACGAGTGGCGCCCGCAGAGATCGTAGCCCCAGCTGTTTGAGGAGATGTCGTTGACTTCGTGGTTGTGCGAGATGAAGGTCCCGTTAGTGGCCTGGGACGCGAACGGGCCGGGGTCATCTCCGAGAGGGATGACGCACGACGCCAGGCCCGCGTCCGGCGCCGCTCCCACGCCACAATGCGAGTTCGAGTCGCCGGCCGCCAGCGACGCGCAGGCGGTCCCGTGCGCATTATCCCCCGACGGGGCATACACGTCACACGAGTTGGCCACGTCGAGCTTCGCCAGGTCCGGGTGCGTGTTGTCGACGCCGTCGTCGTTGATGAGGATCTGGACGCCGGCGCCCGTGTAGCCCGCGGCCCAGGCTTCGGGCGCGCGGATCGCTTCAAGGTACCACGCGGCGTCGGGGTAGTACGGGTCCGACGGCACGAACGTCGCCGTCGCCGTGGCGAGCCCGGGCTTAAGGGCCGGCGAGTCACCTTTGTCACCTTTGTGCGCAACCCCGGAGTGCTGCTGCGTCAACTCGGGCGCATCCTCGTCGAGGCGTCTCCGAGCAGTCGTCGGCGCTTGAGTCATCGTTGGCGCGAAGGTTGGCGCGGGCGTAGGCGCTGGCGTCATCGTCGGCGCGGGCGTCGGCGCGAAGATTGGCGCTGGCGTAGGCGCTGGCGTCATTGTTGGCGCTAACGTTGGCACTCGTGTCGGAGCATCATAAATAAGGTCGGCGTAGTTACCGGGGTCCGCGGGAACGCAGGCGACCGTGCCCACGGTCTCCGCGTATTTTCCTGCCTCGCAGTTTTCACACTTTGCTTTGCCAGCCTCGCCCGAGAACTTACCCTTATCACACTTTTCCGCCTTCACCGCGCCAGGATTCTCGACATAGAAGCCGGCTCCGGCGAACAAGCACGTGCGAGAACCAGTATTGGGCGCGTAGGTCCCGGGTTCGCACTCTAGCTGCTCGTACGCTGTAGAATTTGGGACGTAGTGCCCTTCATCGGCCGGGTCACAGTCGGCCATGCCCTCAACCTTGGCGAATTTACCTTCCTCGCAGTCCAGGCACTCTTCGTTGCCTTTGCCGCTCGCATGCTTGCCCGCGGGACACGGCTCCTGATCGGACGCGTCTGCTAATGGTACGTGTCCGGGATCGGCTGAGGTGCACTCCGGGGAGCCTTCCTTGGCAAATGTACCCGGATCGCACGGGATGCAATAGATGGAGCCCGATTTCGAGTAGGTGCCGCTTGGACACGGGAGCAGCTTGATAGCACCGTCTACGGACGTCGGCGAGGTCGTCGGCGAGGACGACGGCTCTGACGTCGGCGCGGCCGTCGGTCCAGGCGTAGGCCCAGGCGTAGGCCCCGACGTTGGCTCTGACGTTGGCGCTGGCGTTGGCCAGGCTGTCGGCTCGGGCGTCGTCGGTGCAGGCGTCGGCACAAACGTGGGAGCAAACGTCGGCGAGACCGTAGGCGAGGCGATGGGCGCGGCCGTGGGCACGGGCGTAGGTCCAGACGTAGGCGCTGGCGTAGGCGCTAGCGTCGGCCTGGAGGATGGCGCCGGGGTCGGCGTCGGCGTGGGCCGCGGCGTGGGTTGGCGCGTAGGACTTTCCGTAGGCAGGGGCGCCGGAATCGGCGTGGGCCGTAGCGTGGGCTTGGGCGTGGGCCGCGGCGACGGGCTGGGCGTCGGCCGCAAAGTCGGCCACGGCGTCGGCGCTAAGACCGGGCTGGCCGTGGGGCTGCCGGGTGTCACGGTCGGCTCCGGCATCGGCATCGGCGTCGGGCGCGGCGTCGGGTACGGCGTCGGCTGCGGCGTCGGCACCGGCCTGTGGGCAATTCAAACAGTGAATCGGGGGCGCGCGAGAATTCTGCACCAAGTCCCCCTCTCGGCGAGAACGCCGCCGTGCTGGCCGGAACGAGCGGTACCAGACCGCAACGCCACGTCGTCGAGCTCGCGTCGCGTCGATGGCGTTATGCTTCGGCAGACGCGCGGCGAGTCGGCGACGGTGATTCATGCACTGGTACTTGCGTCGGGCCCGGAGTGGGCTGCTGCGTCAGCATCGGCGTCGGGCGCGGCGTCGGGTACGGCGTCGGCTGCGGCGTCGGCACCGGCCTGTGGGCAATTCAAACAGTGAGTCGACCGGGAATTCTGCACCAAGTCCTCTCGGCGAGAACGCCGCCGCGCTGACCGGAACGAGCGGTACCAGACCGCGACGCCACGCCATCGAGCGCGTCGCGTCGATGGCGGTGAGGTCATGATCCTTCAGACGCGCGGCGAGTCGGCGATTTGATTTATGCACTGGCACTTGCGTCGGCGCGGGCGTCGGAGCCGGCGTCGGAGCCGGGGTAGGCTGCGGCGTCGGCATCGGCGTCGGGCGCGGCGTCGGGTACGGCGTCGGCTGTGGCGTCGGCACCGGCCTGTGGGCAATTCAAACAGTGAATCGGGGGCGCGCGAGAATTCTGCACCAAGTCCCCCTCTCGGCGAGAACGCCGCCGTGCTGGCCGGGACGAGCGGTACCAGACCGCAACGCCACGTCGTCGAGCTCGCGTCGCGTCGATGGCGTTATGCTTCGGCAGACGCGCGGCGAGTCGGCGACGGTTTGTTTTACGCACTGGCACTTGCGTCGGGCCCGGAGTGGGCTGCGGCGTCGGGCGTGGTGACGGAGCCGGGGTAGGCCCAGGCGTAGCTACGTTCTTGTCGTCGCACACTATGTAATGATAGTCACCCGCGGGCCAGTAAATCGCCGAGGGGCACTCCGACAATTCCACCTCGCACCAGCGGTAGGGGCTGCCGTCGCAGGCTACCGCCGGGCAGCCCTCTTGGGTAGCAGGACAGTCGACGTTGCTCCACGAATCCTTGCACAAGCAGGACGCCGTCGGCGAGTCAGGCGCCGTGAACACGTAGGTCTCGCCAAAGCCAAAGGCTCCATCCGAGCTGTAGATCACGTCGCCGTTCAGCTCGAGGTAGTACGACCCGCCGCCGTCGCCGTACGAGTCGAAGATTTCGAAGGTGTATGTCTGGCCCGCGCAGAGAAATAAAACGGCTTCTGTAATCTCCGTCAATTGTTGCGAGTACGGCCCGCCACTCGCGCTGCCGCAAGGAGAGGTGAGGCTCCACGTGGTCTCGCTCGGGTAAAAGTCCGTCGTGAGGACCAGCTCGAGCAACTGGCCGCACACGTCCGGACAGTTAGGCGAGCAATACGCGCACGTGCCGGGTCCGATTTCGTATGAGCAGTAAGCCTCTTCTGAAGTTCCATCGTTCGCGCAGACGGAACCCTCCTGGTCGAAGTGAGGTGGGCCCGGAATGCAACCATTTTCAGAGACGACAATTATGTTTTCTAGTGGGCAGTCTTCTCCGTTGATCTTCTTAACGCACAGCCCGCACGCCAAAGAGCAAAAGTCGAGCATGTAACCGGGGTTTGCCTCGCATTCGCCAATCTCAGCCCAGAATTCGCAATTTGGGTTGTCATTGCGGCAGAGATCATCAGAGCCGTTGTCGTCATCAGGGCCGTAGTAGCCAAAGTCATCAAAGAGGTAGTCGTCGTTGTAGAAGTCGTCGCCGTAGAAGTCGTCGCCGTAGTGATCTAGCCGCCGCGACACCACCTCAGCGTCGTCACCTTGCTCCTGGGTCGCCGGGCCTCGCTCATAAATCTCCTTCGGTCTAGTCGCGGCGTCGACGAAAGAGTCCTGATCCAACCGACGTCGTGCGTCGCCATCATCGTGAGAGTAAGAGTAAGAGTACGACGGCGCTGCCGTAGCCGTCGTCGACGTCGGCATCGCCGTCGGCGCTTGAGTCGGCGCCCGCGTCACCGTCGGCGCTTGGGTCGGCGCCCGCGTCGGTGCTTGAGTCGGCGCCCGCGTCGCCGTCGGCGCTTGGGTCGGCGCCCGCGTCGGTGCTTGAGTCGGCGCCCGCGTCGCCGTCGGCGCTTGGGTCGGCGCCCGCGTCATCGTCGGCGCCAGCGTCATCGTCGGCGCGTGAGTCGGCGCAAGACTGCAACTCTCTGCATCCGCACTGACCGCGCAGTATCCGGCCTCCGCTCTTATGCAGGTAGTCGAGCCCGCGGTGCCCGTGTAATAACCTTCTTCACAATCCGTGCAGGTGATAGCACCGGGTGTATTTGAATACCTCCCTTTGGGACAGCTCTTCTGCTCCGTCGCGCCGGTATTTTCGACATAATAACCGGCGGCGGCCTCCAAGCACTCGCTAGAACCCCTGTTGGGCGCGTAGGTTCCGGCCTCGCACTCTAGTTGCTCAGACGCTCCAGGATTCGGGACGTAGTGCCCTGCGTTAGCAGATTTGCATGTGTTGAGTCCGCACTTATCCTTCTTTGCGCTTCGGTCATTTTCGTCGCATTGTGCGATGGTGGTGTAGTCATTGCTTTCAAACCGATTGTCGTACTTGCCCCTTTCGCACTTTGTGCACCTAGTGTTTGAGGAACCGCTCGAAAACTCGCCCTGGGCGCATGGCTCCTGTTTCGTCTGGCCTTTCTCTTTTACAAAATACCCGGGATCCGCGAGTCTGCAGAAACCTTTGTCGCTGTCAGGTTGATAACGTCCTTTGAGACATTCGGTACATGACGGCTCGCCACCCTTCGATTGCTTCCCGGCAACGCAGGGCTCGCATTCGGCTTGGTCCGCGTTCCTTGACCTGCCGGCCTCGCAGTCGAAGCAATTTGGGGCGCCAGGGTTCGAGGTCTTGCCCGGGATACACGTCAAGCAGGTGGCCGAACCGGCGCCGGAGAAGGTACCCTTGTCGCAGGGTTTGCACGATCTCAGATTGACCTCATAAGTGCCAGCCGCGCATGGCTTACAGTCGAATTGACCAGCCTCGTCCTGGAAATGGCCTGCGTCGCAGTCCTCGCAGGTTCCACCTTTCCATGATTTGCCTTTTTGGCAAAGTGTACACTTGGGGTCCTTATCATTACTGTCATCATAATACCGTCCATCTAAGCAAAGCGTGCAACGATCCGCCCCTTCCTTTGAAGCGAGTCCGTCGCCGCCCTTACCGTCGCCCGAAACTTTTCCTGTGGGGCACTGTTCGCATTCGGTCATCGTACTATTTTTGTATGTTCCGGCGACGCAATTTACACAGCTGTCCCCGTCGCATCCCCCGCTTTGCTTACCGGCTGGGCAACTCGTGGGCACTAAGGTGGGCGCCGCCGAAAACGTAGGTTGGGCCGACACGGTCGGTGCTGGCGTCGGCCGCAAAACCGTCGTCGGTGCAGACGTCGGAGATGGAGTCTTCTGCGACGTCGGCGCAAGGGATGTCGTCGGCGCGGGCGTCGGCCTCAGGTAAGTGTTTGTACTGCAGAGGTAGCTCGTGAAGCAGTAGTTGCAGAAGTTGTCGTCGAAGATGAAGCCAACTCCCTCATCAAATCCGTCAACGCTAAGCCAGCAGCCCGCCGTGTAATCGCCGTTTGGCTCGGAGTAAGACGTCGACCGCAAAAACCACGGCGAGCCCGCGACGCTGGTCCAGGGCTCGCCACTGAACCCATCGTAGGCCTCAGAATTCATCGCCACGCCCGTGCATCCGCCGCAGGAGTTATCGTCGCGGTACACGCCGACGAGGCTGGTGAGGCCCGCGTCGTTGACTTCGTTTACGACGGCCTCGGCGTGCTCGTAGCTCTGCGGGACCCAGATTTCGAAGCCGGCCGGGCAGGAGTTGTCATCGTCGTACCGGCACGTCTGTTTGCCTCCTTTCACCTCCAAAACGTCCACGACCACGCCGTCGAGCTCGATGCAGCGGAGGGTGCGGCCGTTGTAGTCGAACTTGCCAGCGCCTCCCTCGCAGACTGCTGGGGTCTGCGTCGGCGCGAACGTCACCGTCGGCGCGAGCGTCGGTCCAGACGTAGGCGCTGGCAAAGGTGCTAGCGTCGGTCCGGATGTCGGCTCAGCCGTGGTAGGCGCGGGCGTCGGCCGTGGGATCGGCTGTGGGGTCGGCTGTGGGGTCGCACCGTCAACGGTCGGTTGCTGCGTTGGTTTCAACGTCGGACCCGGTGTTGGCGCAGAGCTCGGCAGCGGCGTCGGCGCAGAAGTCGTCGGCGGAGAGCTCGGCAGCGGCGTCGGCGGAGAGCTCGGCAGCGGCGTCGGCGGAGAGCTCGGCAGCGGCGTCGGCGGAGAGCTCGGCAGCGGCGTCGGCGGAGAGCTCGGCAGCGGCGTCGGCTCAGAAGTCGTCGTCGTTGAGGTCGGCATCGGCGTCGGCATCGGCGTCGGCATCGGCGTCGGCAGCGGCCTGTGGACAATTCAAACAGTGAGTCGACCGGGTGCGCCCGAGAATCCTGCACCATATCCTCTCTCGGCGAGAACGCCGCCGTGCTGGTCGGAACGAGCGGTACCAGACTGCAACGCCACGTCATCGAGCTGGCGTCGCGTCGATGGCGTTATGCTTCCGCAGACGCGCTGCGAGTCGGCGACAGTTTCATTTATGCACTGGCACTTGCGTCGGGTACGGCGTAGGCTGCGGCGTCGGGCCCAGCGACGGCATAGGCGTCGTGGGCGCCGGCGTCGGGTTCGAAGACGGTTGAGGGCACGTCGGCTCCGCGGTGGGCTCCGAGCTCGGCTGCGCCGTCGGCGTGCTGGAAGGCTGCTGCGTGCTCGGCGAGAACGTGGGCCCCGGGCTCGGCCGCGGCGTAGTGGGCGCGACCGACGGTAGCGGCGTCGGCATAGGCGTCGTCGGGGCTTGCGACGGGCTAGCAGTCGGCTCCGAAGTAGGCGTACTCGAAGGCTGCGGGCTCGTCGGCGAAGACGTGGGCCCCGGGCTCGGCCGCGGCGTAGTGGGCGCGACCGACGGTAGCGGCGTCGGCATAGGCGTCGTCGGGGCTTGCGACGGGCTAGCAGTCGGCTCCGAAGTAGGCGTACTCGAAGGCTGCGGGCTCGTCGGCGAAGACGTGGGCCCGGGCTCGGCAGCGGCGTAGTGGGCGCGACCGACGGTAGCGGCGTCGGCATAGGCGTCGTCGGGGCTTGCGACGGGCTAGCAGTCGGCTCCGAAGCGCGCGTCGAAGGCTGCGGGCTCGTCGGCGAAGACGTGGGCCGGGCTCGGCCGCGGCGTAGTGGGCGCGACCGACGGTAGCGGCGTCGGCATGCGCGTCGTCGGGGCTTGCGACGGGCTAGCAGTCGGCTCCGAAGCGCGTACTCGAAGGCTGCGGGCTCGTCGGCGAACGCGGGCCCGGGCTCGGCCGCGGCGTAGTGGGCGCGACCGACGGTAGCGGCGTCGGCATAGGCGTCGTCGGGGCTTGCGACGGGCTAGCAGTCGGCTCCGAAGTAGGCGTACTCGAAGGCTGCGGGCTCGTCGGCGAAGACGTGGGCCCCGGCTCGGCCGCGGCGTAGTGGGCGCGACCGACGGTAGCGGCGTCGGCATAGGCGTCGTCGGGGCTTGCGACGGGCTAGCAGTCGGCTCCGAAGTAGGCGTACTCGAAGGCTGCGGGCTCGTCGGCGCCAACGGGCCCCGGCTCGGCCGCGGCGTAGTGGGCGCGACCGACGGTAGCGGCGTCGGCATGCGCGTCGTCGGGGCTTGCGACGGGCTAGCAGTCGGCTCCGAAGTAGGCGTACTCGAAGGCTGCGGGCTCGTCGGCGCAACGGCCCCGGCTCGGCCGCGGCGTAGTGGGCGCGACCGACGGTAGCGGCGTCGGCATGCGCGTCGTCGGGGCTTGCGACGGGCTAGCAGTCGGCTCCGAAGTAGGCGTACTCGAAGGCTGCGGGCTCGTCGGCGAAGACGTGGGCCCGGGCTCGGCCGCGGCGTAGTGGGCGCGACCGACGGTAGCGGCGTCGGCATGCGCGTCGTCGGGGCTTGCGACTGGCTAGCAGTCGGCTCCGAAGTAGGCGTACTCGAAGGCTGCGGGCTCGTCGGCGAAGACGTGGGCCCGGGCTCGGCCGCGGCGTAGTGGGCGCGACCGACGGTAGCGGCGTCGGCATAGGCGTCGTCGGGGCTTGCGACGGGCTAGCAGTCGGCTCCGAAGTAGGCGTACTCGAAGGCTGCGGGCTCGTCGGCGAAGACGTGGGCCCGGGCTCGGCCGCGGCGTAGTGGGCGCGACCGACGGTAGCGGCGTCGGCATAGGCGTCGTCGGGGCTTGCGACGGGCTAGCAGTCGGCTCCGAAGTAGGCGTACTCGAAGGCTGCGGGCTCGTCGGCGAAGACGTGGGCCCCGGGCTCGGCCGCGGCGTAGTGGGCGCGACCGACGGTAGCGGCGTCGGCATAGGCGTCGTCGGGGCTTGCGACGGGCTAGCAGTCGGCTCCGAAGTAGGCGTACTCGAAGGCTGCGGGCTCGTCGGCGAAGACGTGGGCCCCGGGCTCGGCCGCGGCGTAGTGGGCGCGACCGACGGTAGCGGCGTCGGCATAGGCGTCGTCGGGGCTTGCGACGGGCTAGCAGTCGGCTCCGAAGTAGGCGTACTCGAAGGCTGCGGGCTCGTCGGCGAAGACGTGGGCCCCGGGCTCGGCCGCGGCGTAGTGGGCGCGACCGACGGTAGCGGCGTCGGCATCGGCCTGTGCGCAAATCAATTTGTGAGTCGGGCGCCGGAACGAGCGGTAATAGACCACAACGCCGATCTTCGAGCTGGTGTCGCGTCGATTGCGTTATGATTCGGCAGACGCGCGACGAGTCAGCGACTGTTTATTTTATGCACTGGCAGTTGCGTCGGGCCCGGCGTGGGCTGCGGCGTCGGCCCAGGCGTCGGAGACGTGGTCGGCGGCTGCGTCGGCGCGGGCGTCGGCGCGGGCGTCGGCGCGGCCGTCGGCTCCGGCGTAGCTACGTTCGTCTCGTCGCACTCTATGTAATGATAGTCACCATACGGAAGCGCCGAGGAGCACTCCGACGGATCCACCTCGCACCAGCGGTAGGGGCTGCCGTCGCAGGCGTCCGTCGGGCATCCCTCCTGAATGGTAGAACAGTCGGCGTTGCTCCACGTGTCAAGGCACACGCAATGCCCGGCGGCGCCACGTTCGTATCGTCGCACTCTATGCGCCAGTAGTCACCATACGGAAGCGCCGTGGAGCACCCGACGGATCCACCTCGCACCAGCGGTAGGGGCTGCCGTCGCAGGCGCCCGTCGGGCATCCCTCCTGAATAGTAGGCAGTACAGTCGGCGTTGCTCCACGTGTCAAGGCACGCGCGCGCCGCTCCGGCCGCGTAGCCACGTTCGTATCGTCGCACTCTATGTAATGATAGTCACCATGCTCCTTCGCCGAGGCATTCTGACGGATCCACCTCGCACCAGCGGTACCCCCAAACCGTCTCGCACTCTGAGCCTTCCGCCGGGCATCCCTCCTGAATAGTAGAACAGTCGGTGTTGCTCCACTGTCAAGGCACGCGCACGGCCCGGCCGCTTAGCCACCGTCGGAGCACGCCGCCGGGCGGCTGCACGGCTTGGGCGTCGGGCGCGGGCGTCGGCGCGGCCGTCGGCTCCGGCGTAGCTACGTTCGTCTCGTCGCACTCTATGTAATAGTAGTCACCATACGGAAGCGCCGTGGAGCACCCGACGGATCCACCTCGCACCAGCGGTAGGGGCTGCCGTCGCAGGCGTCCGTCGGGCATCCCTCCTGAATGGTAGAACAGTCGGCGTTGCTCCACGGTCAAGGCACACGCAATGCCCGGCGGCGCCACGTTCGTATCGTCGCACTCTATGCGCCAGTAGTCACCATACGGAAGCGCCGTGGGCACCCGACGGATCCACCTCGCACCAGCGGTAGGGGCTGCCGTCGCAGGCGTCCGTCGGGCATCCCTCCTGAATAGCAGTACAGTCGGCGTTGCTCCACGTGTCAAGGCACGCGCACGGCCCGCCGCGTAGCCACGTTCGTATCGTCGCACTCTATGTAATGATAGTCACCATGCTCCTTCGCCGAGGCATTCCGACGGATCCACCTCGCACCAGCGGTACCCCAAACCGCCTCGCACTCTGAGCCTTCCGCCGGGCATCCCTCCTGAATAGTAGAACAGTCGGTGTTGCTCACTGTCAAGGCACGCGCACGGCCCGCCGCTTAGCCACCGTCGGCACGCTGTCGGCGGCTGCGGCGGCTTGGGCGTCGGGCGCGGGCGTCGGCGCGGCCGTCGGCTCCGGCGTAGCTACGTTCGTCTCGTCGCACTCTATGTAATAGTAGTCACCATACGGAAGCGCCGTGGAGCACCCGACGGATCCACCTCGCACCAGCGGTAGGGGCTGCCGTCGTCGCGCCCGTCGGGCATCCCTCCTGAATGGTAGAACAGTCGGCGTTGCTCCACGTGTCAAGGCACACGCAATGCCCGGGCGGCGCCACGTTCGTATCGTCGCACTCTATGCAACAGTAGTCACCATACGGAAGCGCCGTGGAGCACCCGACGGATCCACCTCGCACCAGCGGTAGGGGCTGCCGTCGCAGGCGTCCGTCGGGCATCCCTCCTGAATAGTAGTACAGTCGGCGTTGCTCACTGTCAAGGCACGCGCGCGCGCGGCCGCCGCGTAGCCACGTTCAGATCGTCGCACTCTATGTAATGATAGTCACCATGCTCCTTCGCCGAGGCATTCCTGACGGATCCACCTCGCACCAGCGGTACCCCCAAACCGTCTCGCACTCTGAGCCTTCCGCCGGGCATCCCTCCTGAATAGTAGAACAGTCGGTGTTGCTCCACGAAGCCTTGCACACGCACGGCTCCGGCCGCGTAGCCACCGTCGGCTCGGCAGTCGGGAAAGGTGTTGGCAGCGGGCCGCAATCCCCGCCGTCGTTATCCTCGCATCTGAAGTCGCAACCGGAATTGCCATCATCGCAGACACCGTCGCCGATCCAACTCGCTGGGCAGCAGACGCCGGGCAGTCCGGGACTTGGCCGGAGTCGCAGGTCTGAAGACGCCGTTGTGATGCAGATCCGGCGTCGTGTCGCGCAGTGTAGGCCGGCCGCGTCGTCTGCGTCGCCAGCCTGCTCTTGACCATCTCGGCCGCGCGCGGCGCGCGCCGTCGAACCAGAGAGCGCCTCGCCCTCGCCGGCGACGCCCTCGATGTCTTCAGTGTCGAAGGCCGCGGCCTCCGACGTAATAGTTTGGGGCGCGTCCTCGACATGCGAGGCGCCCTTGATGGACGCGGCCGGGTCGCCATCCCCGTGCGCCGCCGCGTCGATGGCGTCTCCGCCCTTGTTGTGCGCGTCCGCGAGCTCGGCGAGCGCGGCGTCGGCGCCTTGAGTTTCGTGCTGCGAGACCGTGTCCTGGTCCCGCGGCGAGACCTCCGTCTCGAGCACGGGCCGCGCGTGGCCGCCCGTAGCGTAGGCCGTCTCGGCCTTTGACTTGATGTCTTTGACGCGCCCTCGTGGGAGAGCGTGCCCTTGATGGACGCGAGGCCGAAGAGGCGGCGCAGCCCGAGGCCGAAGCCGCCCTCCTCCAAGTTCGTTGCCGAGATCTCATCGGAGGACGCGTCGGTGTTCGCGTAGTGGTTCTTGGCGTCTTCGGGGACGCTCAGGTCGCGGTCGCGCAGGTGGTCCTTGACGCGGCCGCGGAGGTGCGCTTCTGGGAGCGCGTTCGCAGAGACAACGAGGCAGAAGAGGACGACACGCATTATTTTTTCTTTTTTGTTTTGTTTTTGGTATGCGTGCCTTCTTCCTGTGCCTGCGCGCGACGGCAACTTTCGATGGCCCGGCGCTGTCAACGGGTCACGAGCGCCGAGCGGCCGGGTACCTCAAAAAGGCTCTCGTTCGACCGATGCGACCTCTCGCGGCGACGGCGACCGAGAGTCTCGACGTCCGCGGCCGTCGCCTCGCAAGGCCGCTCGAGGAAAGGTAGAGGGCGCGTGCGCGTCTCAGAGCGGCGAAGGCCTCCTCAATAAAGATAATTGACGACGTCGATTTTGTACCCGGTGCTTCGACGAGCAGCTGCAGCGACTCAAGAGTTGCTGCAGCGCCGCCCGTCTCGTGGTCGCTTGTGTGCTTCTTCTGTACCTGTGCGCGAAACCGTCGCGCCGATGCGGCGAAGGAGGCGCGAGGGTCGCTCCGCTCTCACGACAGTTCGACGCGCGACCGTTTCAGCTCTCGCGTCGACGGCCACGGGCGCACGGGCGCGGCTCGGCCGCTACAGCGTCGCGCGGCGCCGGCGACCGGCCGAGCTCGCTCTCACGGCGGTTTCGTAGACTCTCGCGCTGTCAGGCGTCGGAAAGGTGTGTCATGAAGACCTCGTGAAGCGCGCGCCTCGCGAGGCTGGGGCGACGCGCAATACGTGTCACTTTTTCCAAGTCGCCCAGCTCCCGCGCGCGCGGCGCGGCGCGTCTTCAAGGTGAGCTCTCTCGAACGTTTTTATGCGAGTCCTGCGGTTTGTTCAAAGCTTGAATTTGAGGACGCCGGTCCCCACTGCTAGCTCACAAAGGTTGTCCTTGCCCTCTGTGCTAAACTTTGGCTCACGACTGTGCCGTACCCGAAATCGGCGCAAACGTCTTCCGGCGCCCAGGACGGTAGGCGTAGGGTCCCCGGCTTGCTGGGACCCAAGTTTGTCGCGGGCCGCGACCGCGCAGAAAGCCGCCGTCCCGGGGCATGGCTCGCAGATCCGACTATTTAAGTCACCTCGCGTTCACGGCCTGCCGGTGATCATTTGCCAGAGCGGCTTCGCGAACATTTGGTGTGCTCATCGCGTTCGGCGGCCTCGTCGCGTAGATGCATATAGAGGCGGAGGGCGTGGTGCGTGAGGCGCCGTCGCGACGATGGCATGGCCTTGGTCGTCTTCGAGCGCCCTTCTACCCCGCCAGTAGCCCGCCGTAACTGCGGTACCGCGCGATTATATAAAGAAAAGAGTTTTTGTGATGTAGATCGGCGGCTCCTGAACTTTCTTTCGAGTGGTTCTGATGGCGCTTACTACTTCCCAGTTCAAGTCTTGCATGAATTATTTTTCATGATGTATCGAGCCGTTAAAGACTTTCGGCGGTGGTATTTGTTTCTATATTGTCGATTGAAGCTGCGTGATGGAAGCTCGCGTCTCGGGCGGACAGAACGCGCCAGCGCTCGCCGTCATCGAGTAGGAGACGTCCTCCATCTCTCAAAAACGCAATAGAGGTGACTGCTCTTTGAACCAGGCGCGGATCCAACCCTTGAAACCGCAACACCCGGATGAGCGATTTCGCTCGCCAGCGAGCGCGATTTCAGTGGCGGGGGTCAACGGCTGACGAGGTGTGACCCTCGAGAGCCCGCTTGGCCGCAGTCAGCTCGCGTCATTTTTTAGAGAGTGGTGGTGTCCTGCATCGTTTCTTGGCTTCACTTTGCGTACGGAGCAGCAATCAATCGCCGCAGCAGCGTAATGCATCGCTTGCCGTTTGGCGCTTGGCAAGGCGTCATGGTGCCCCATGTTATGTGGTGCGCTGGGCATCGGCCCCGGGCAACTGATGGGGCTGCCTCGCGGCCCTGTTCGATCGGTTGGGCTGCCTCGCGGCCCTATTCGATCAATGCCGCAGTTTGGACGGCCTTTGTGGCCGTGAACGGTGTTTGCATGCACTGCGGAACCTGTTTTTGAAGATTCAAGAAACGCGGCATGCAATTGTTTGAGTATCGTTCGGATCGCTAATGGTCCATAGACATCAATGGGACTCTTCCTGGGGGGCGAAAAAATTTAATTTTTTAATTCGCGATATTGACGACGCCACCAGGGCGGGCGCGTCGATGGAATCCTGTCGATTCGTGGTCCCGAGGTCTCCCCGGGGTCGCCTAGGATCTGTCCTAGACGTGCGCAATCGCCTACGCCGCATGCGCGGGCGCTTCGATCAGTGGATACAAATCAAGACAGGTCCCCAGCAGTGCGCGGACACGTACCATGATCCCCCAAAGTTTTCGATCCAGAGCTCTCTGGGGAGCCCCAAGAATCGGCGCATGCGGTCTAGGGGACCACCCGACCCCAGACCTATCCCGGAGCGAGTCCGAGGGCCGATCTGCATCCACAAAAAGTAAATACTTTGGGCCCGATGGCGCCCCGTCACCGTCAAATACGCAATTACCCGAGGGCCACCAGTAGTCGCCGTAGCGGTCTCGTTGGACCCCATACTACCCCACCGATAGTCAATTACAAGTATATGACATCTACATTATAAGAAGGGTACTTTTGGCTGCCCACGCTCGGGACGTGAACATCTTTATCTGGACCTCGCGTAAGTCCGTCGATCATGAAACAAATGATCGCGTCATGGTCCATGGGGAAGGTACACGGGCTGATGGCCGCAGATCCAGGTGTGGTGCCCATCTAAGCCAGATGGTGGGCTCGCGAGACCGACAAGGCGCGAGTTGTAAACGGGACAGGTAATCCAATGTAGTAGACGATCAGGCCGGTTACCTGGCCCGTCCCACTACTAAAGCGCCTGAAACGCGAGTTTATTTCATAACTCACGGGTCTGGGGCCAATTCAGTGCCCCGCGTACGCACCGTCGTCCGCGGAGAACGGGCAAGTCGGTCGATCGTGAATAGAACAACGGTGTTATGGTCCATCTGGATGGTGTCGTCGCTGATACTCGCGGGTCTAGGTATTAAGCCCATTTTTGCACAAACGCGTGGTCGCCAAGACGACGAATCGCGAGGCTCTAACGGAATATCTAAAATAGCTCAGTGGTCGCCGAGGCGGGCTGGATGGAATCTACCACTAACAAACGGAAGGAAACGAACATAAACGCGAGAGTTGTCTAGTAGAATTCTTCTCCCGCCCTCCGAGCGGGCCGTCGGCTCCGGTTCCGTCGATTTTGTGTGAAAACTGGGCTGGAGTTGATATGATGTACCATTTGGACGGTAGAAGGCACCGTCAATCGCTGGTGTATTTTGGCGAGCCGCAAGACCTAGTGATCTAGCGTATCAACATACTAGGATTCGTATATACGCGTACGCGCATATCCGCGTGTATGTACATACGCATATAGCGTATTTTTTAGTAGGCGCCTAGGCGGATGGATGGCTTTTGAAAACAGACCTCTCCGACTGACCCCCGACTGTCATTATGGGTGTCCTATCACGCCATCCCGCCTAGTGAAACTGCGGGAATTGGCATATTGCCAGGTTCTTCGTCATAGATCGCTGGCCGCTGCGCCGGCGGCTCCTGCTCAGCCTCCACCCTTTCTTCAGGAAATTCATCGTCGCCTCCTCCTTGTTCGACGTGATCTTGCCGCCGGGTGGGCGAACGTCCGCTTCGGCGGCGGCGGTGGCGGCCGCGCCGCGTCGGCGGCGAACCGGCCCGCCCGCTTTGCGCGCCGCGCGAGCTCTCCTCGGACGGCCCAGGCCCGCGATGGCGGGGGTTTTCGGCGCGCGCGCTCCGCCGCGCCTTCACGCGCAGCCCGTCGGCCGTCAGGTCCAGCTGGCTTGACTTGCGGACCGCCGCCGCGAGCACGCGCCGGTCGTCGTCCGCCGTCTTCGCCGCGTCGACCGTCGTCGGGAGGCGCTATATAGAAATAATTTTCGGCGATAACCCGACCGGCATCGGCACGAATACGCCGTGCAGTTTTGATTTCCACACAGAGCAGCGCCGCGATGCGCGGGAACGTGAAGAAGGCCTCCAGCGCGACCGCGCCGTCCTCGTCCGCCAGGCTCTTGAGAAACGCGTCCTGGCCCCAATTCCTCGGCGAGAAGTAGTACTCGAGCTGCTGCCGCACGCTGACCCCGCCGTCGGACGGAGGCGGCTTCGTCCGAGTCGGCTCGTTCTGCGCCGACAGCTTCGCGGCGCAGTCGACGCACGTCGGCCGGGGCTTCTTCCATTGCTTCTCGACGAACATGCTCTGCGACCGTGCCTGGCCGCAGTGCTTGCACGTCTTCTGCGTCCCTGGCTCATCCGCCGGCGCCGCGGCGGGCGTCGGCGCGGCCGCGGGACCACCCAATGCTGTCGGCAGGCCCATCGCCGCCATCAGGTCGCGCTCGCTCGGCGCGCCCGCGGCCTCGACTGGCTCGGGCCCGGCCGCGGCGGCCCGCCGGGCGCGAAGGGCCCGTGCGGCTTGGACCTGTGCAGAAACCGGCGGCGCGGGCTCCTCGTTCGAGGCCGGCTCGGGCGGCGGCGGCGCGGCGGCCGCCGGCTCGGCTGCGGGCTCAGGCGCGGGCGACGGTGCCCCGAGGCCGAACTCCTCCTCGTCCAGCGCCGCCTGGAGGCGGTCGACGAGCACGGCCTTGAGGCCGTCCGCGGCCAGGCCCCGCCTTCTCAGTTCGGCGCGCAGCTCGACGACCTTCAGTTTCTTTGGCTCCACCATTGCTTGTGTTGGGGCCGCGTCCATGGGTGCTTGCGTTGCGTCTCTCGGGCCGCCCGCGGCAAGCTCTGCACACAGGCTGCACTGCTCCGATGCTTGTGCTACACGCCAGACGTCTTAACTAGTGCGGGTTCTTACCGGACCAAAGAGTGGTGCAGCTCCTGCGTCGAAAATCAGTCAAAGCGAATCTCGTGCGTGCCCGCCCGCCCGCCTGCGCAGCACAGCCCTCGGCTCCAGCCCATTTGCTAGTGTCTTACAGCCGCTAGCGCGTAATGTCGCACGTTTCGCGCGAGCGGCGACGCGGGGGCGGTGCTCTCTTCCAGACCCGCCGACAAGCAAGACAGGTCGCCAGGCTCCGAGCCTAGGATGGGCGCGCTAGCCTCCTCGCGGTCGCTTCCGTGGCGTACGCCTTCACGCACGACGAGTCGCCCGCCTGCCGCGTCGCGGTACCCGGACCTCCACGCAAGATTCTGCACGACCGACCGCTGCGATCGGCGACCGAAGAAACCGCGGCGAAGAATCCACAGAACAGCCATATTACGCCACGCGATTCTTCACGTCGCCGAAGATGCGCCGGGCCCCGGGCCGCGGCGGAGGACGTTTGCCGCGCCGCCGCTCGCGCCGCTCGATCTCGGCTTGCAGCGCACGCATGGACGCCTCGAGGGTCTCGACGTCGGGCTCGGGCATGCGAGCCATGTCGACCTCGCGGCGCGCGGGCACGTCCTCGACGCGGGGGCTCGCCGGCGACCCGAGGTCCACGGCTTCAGCGTGCGGCGCGCGGCACGGCGAGCACGCCTCGGCGCCGGCGCCGGCCCAGACGCGGGCGGCGCGCGCCGGCGTCGACGCCCGCGGCGCGTGAGGCCAGCGCCGCGGCGTCGTCGCGCGGCAGCGGCGGCGGCAGGCGCGCCATGACCTGGTCGTAGGTCAGGACGTCGTCGCCCGCGCCCGCGAACCACTCGCGCATCGACATGCGCTGGGCCTCCTCCTCCTCCGCGGCCCGGCCGTCGATCGCGAACTCGATCCGCTTCATCGGTTTCGGCTGCGGCTCCGCCAGCACCTCGAACACGACGCGGTGCTGCGTAGGCGCCCGGGTCGCATCCGTGCGGTCCCCGCGGCCCCGGGCTGCCCCGGCGGCGTCGCGGGGCGTGGCTCCCTCGCGGGCTCCCGGGACGCATCCGTGCTCGCGGCCCCGGGCTGCCCCTCCGGCACGGGGTCTCGGGGCTCCCTCGCGGGATCCATGCGGTCCTTCGCGGCCCGATTACAAGCGCTTAAGCTCGTACTGGCGCCAACCAAACCAAACCCGCCCGGTGCGCGCGCCCAGGGCTCAACAAACGAGGCGTCCTCCGACTGCTCCTCGGCGCCCCTCGACGCCTGGCTAGCGGGCAGCGTTTGAGAAAACCCGTCCGGCGGTTATTTGGCTGCCAAGGCCGAGCTGCCAAAATCCGCTTCTCGACGACCGCAGCGCTCGCGCGGTGACGGCTTCTGGCGCTGGACCACACCGACGCGCCCGCGAGCCGTGCGAGGGGCAGCCCCACGCCGCCGTACAAGGATGGCCCTGGCCCAGGACCTCGACCCCAACCGGCTCCTCCCGTCCCCACCCGGTGTTGGGGACGCGGCGCCGGCGGCGGTCTTCGCGACCATGGGCGTCTTCACGGGATTCTCGCCGGAGGTGCCCGGCGCCAAGGATCCCATTCCCATCGTGCCGTGGGACGACGATGGAGACTCCGGGAGCGACGACGCCATGGACGATTTTGATGAGGACCCGCGCGAGCTCTTCGCCGAGGATGAGGAGGAGGCCGACGCGCAGCGGCACGGCTTCGACGCGTCGGAGCGGCACCAGCAGTACCTCCAGAAGGTGCAGCTCGAGAAGCAGCGCGCGCAGCAGGAGGAGCTCCTGCGGGCCAAGAAGGAGGCTAGAAGGCGGAAGAAGAAGCAGGCGAAGTTATTAGCGGCGGCGGAAGCGCGCAAGGCCATGCGGGAGGTGCCGCCGCCGGCACCCGTGCAAGAAGAGGTAGAAGAGGCGGACCCGGAGGAGGAGCAGCTCGCGAAGGAGGCGCGGGTGCGCGAGACGCGGCGGCGCCAGAAGCAGCAGTACAAACGCTTGATGAAGACGCTGGCTCTTAAAAGACGGCAGGATTTGGCGTCCGCCGAGGACGACAAGGCGAAGGAGGACGAGTTCAAGCGCAAAGTGCGCGAGAACGGCCTGCGGCGCGCGCGGCAGCGCCGCGAGGAGGCGCTGAAGCGGAAGGAGGAACTGGGCGAGGTGGTGGCGGACGTCGTCCAGGGCTCGGCGGCGAAGGCCGCCTCTTTATTGAAGCAGGCCGAGCGGAACGTGCTCGAGAAGCAGAACGTGCTGACCGACGAGGACTTCCTGAACGCCGAGGAGGCCAAGGAGGCGCTCAAGCGGAAGCGCGCCGAGCAGGCGAGGCTCCGCCAGGAGCGGACGCGGCTCCAGCTCGAGAAGATCGCCGCGGACAAGCGCGCGAAGGTCGAGGCCGAGCAGAAAAAGGCCCAGAGATTACTACGACGCCAGGAATTAGTCAGGGAGCGCGTCCTGAACCGCGAGCGGCCCAAGGAACTCGTTGACAGGGGCGAGGACAAGGAGAACGAGCCCGTGCGCAAGGTCGCGGCCAAGGAAGAAGCGCCCGCGAAGCCCGTGCTGACCGAGGAGGAGAAAGAACGAAGACGACTAAGAAGAGAGCAGCAGGCCGAGGCCATAGCTAGACTCAACAAGGTGTCCGAGAAGGACCAGCCCACCGGTGCTGTGGGAAGGGACTTCAAGGACTACAAGCGCAAGTTAGGGTTATCGAAGGACACGAAGGTTTTTTGCATGACGGGCTGGTACCCTTGTGTGAAAGACGCGTTGCTCGAGCGCGGCTGGCACTTCAATGACGACCGCGAGTCGACGTTCTACGACCTGAAGTGGACGCTGCGGAGCAACGACATCGACAAAGGCATCAAGCCGAACCAGCTCACGAACCACTTCCTCAAAAACACGGCGATTACGACGAAGGCGGGCCTGACGCGTAGCTTGTGTGAGTTGCACTGGCACTGCGACGACCACAGCGACCACGTCTACCCGCGGGCCTACGACCTGTCGTCCCCGCATAGCCGGGGCTTCCTCGACGACTTTCGCGGATTGGAAGCGGAGAAGTGCCTCAAGAACGTGATCAGGAGCCTGGCGGGGGCCTCGTCCAGCGACGAGTCGTCCTCGGAGGACTCGTCCGAGTCAGATTCGGAGGTGACGGACCCCGCCGCGTCCGCCGACGAAATGAACATGGAGTCGACCGACGACGTCGCGGAGGCGCCGGCGCCGGCGCCCGTCGCCGAGGCGCCCGCGCCGGCCGACGACGCGTCGGACATTGATAGTCTGGAGATGGACGAACTCGACGGTGTCTTAGGAGACAAGGAGGCGCCCTTGTTGTTCAACGAGGAATTGCTGCGGATCGCGCTGCGGGTCTGCCGGAAGAAGCTGCGGGTGCTAGTTGATGACGACACGGAGCTGGACGGGGGTTCGGGCTACTCTGATAGGTTAGTCACGGACCTCGAGTGGGAAGCTATGAGGCACGCCCAGGGTCGGGTGGATTGCTCCCTGGCCCTGCCGAAGGACATGCCCCCGACCTTGGATGATCTGTTGCATTTGAAAGACGTACCCGACGAAGAAGAGACGCGGAGCTCGTTGGACCAGGCCGGGTCCATCCTCGCGCGCGCGCGGGAAGACAAGTTGGAGAGAATCCGGAAGGCCGAGCTCACCGAGAGACGCAAGGAGGCGCGCCGCAACTTGATGCGCGCGCCCTCCCCGTTGAAAGATGATCTGAGGAAGGAGATCGAGGCGGTCCTGGCGCAGTTGAGTTCCCTCGACCCGCAGCACCAGCTTAATGGTGGCCCCGCCTCGACGCGAAATACCTGGATCGCCAAGCCCGCCGCGAAATCAAGGGGGAGAGGCATCGCGACCTTTGATGATTTGGATAGACTACTGGACCACTGCGACGCGAAGACGGGCGGCTCGGGCGCGCTCTGGATCGTCCAGAAGTACATGGAGTCGCAGTTGTTAATTGCGGAGCGGAAGTTCGACCTGAGGCAGTGGGTCCTCGTGACGGACTGGAACCCCCTCACGATCTATTTCTATGACGAGTGCTACGCGCGGTTCACGTCCCATAAGTTCACGGACGCGCGGGAATCCTTGGAAAATCCCTTCGTGCACCTGGTGAATAATAGTATACAAAAGGATGGGGAGAACTTCCATGATGACATCGAAGCGGAGAACGGTGTGAGCATCGAGGACTGCATGTGGACGCAAGAGGACTTTGCCGGTTTTCTGGACTGGAAGATGGCGCGGACGGACGCGACGACGGATAGGTTACGCAAGTGTAAAGACTCTGATGACGTCTTCACTGATGTGGTGCAACCGGAGATGCGCAAAATTGCCGTCGAGGTGCTCCAGGCCGCGCGCGATTCGATAGAGCACCGGAAGAACTCCTGGGAGCTGTATGGCTACGACTTCATGGTCGACGCGGAGCTGCGGCCCTGGTTGATTGAAGTGAACTCGAGCCCGGCGTGCGACTACTCGACGGCCGTGACGGAGCGGTACGTGAAGAAGGCTTTGGTGGACATTCTGAAGGTTACGATCGACAAGCGCGAGTGGGAGCGGACGCCCGTCGGCGACGAGCCGGACACGGGCGGCTGGCAGCTCGCGCACAAGGGGCCCTTCGTCGAGACGCCGATCGCGTCGCTGACGGGCGGCGACATCTACGCCGAGGGCAAAAAGGTGGAGGCGCCGCGGGCGATCCGGGCGCGCGCCCGCGCCGCGGCGAAGGCCGCGGCCGCCGCGAAGCGGCTGCGCGAGGAGCGGAAGCGGCGCGAGGTCGCGGAACGCCACGCGGCGGCGCGGCCGCCCTCGCCGAAGCACGACGACATGGCCGAGCTCGACGGCTTCCTCGAGGACGGCGCGACGGCGAAGCCGCCGGCCGTCGTCGCGCCGCCGTCGCCGCCGCGCGGCGCCGGTCGTCAGCGCCGCCGCCGGCGGCCTCGCCAGCAGGTCGTCGCCGTGCCGGTGCGTTCACGACCGGAACCGCGATGTATGATACCCTAACTTTTCGTTTCTCTAGCCGTGCCCCGGTCTACGCCACTCTGCCCCGACCGCAGATGCTCCGCGCCGGCGCGCAGCTAGCGCTTGTAAGACACTAGAATTGCAGTGGTCTCCGGATCCGGTGCCGCGCGAGCGAAAGCGCTGCCCCGCAGCCCGCGCCGCAACGCTCTTGGAGCTGTTTGATCGACGAACCGGTGCTCACCCAAGTCCGCCCGGCTCCTCGGTCGATTGGGGTGCCGACAGGCTCACGCCCGAACGAGCAGTCCCGGCGCCGCGTGCGGGATTGCCAGCCGCGCGACCGCGACTCGCGCGCGCAATGGCGGCGCCGGCCCAAGCGCCGCCGCCGCCGCCGCGCGCCGCGATCACTGTCCATGCCTGCGACCAGCAGGGGAAGAAGCAAACGTTTAAGGTCAACTCGACGACCAAGATGCAAGCGCTCTTCGACGCCTACGCGAAGAGCGAGGACGTAGACTCGCGCTGCTTCCTATTTAAAGGCTCGCGCGTCCACGCCGAGCAGACGGCCGCGGACCTGGGGCTGGTGGAGGGTGACCAGCTCGACGTCGAGCTCGTCACCGGCGAGGAAGCGGAAGCGGCGGGGGACGATCCGGACCTTCTTGGCAATTTCTATTTGGATCGGCTGCGAGGCGACGCGGCGACGCGGCCGATCTGGGCTCTCTCGCGAGGTCTGGCGGGGGTTGTGGACGAGGCTTCGGGAAATTACGAAAATGAATGCTCCATGGCAAGACCGCTCGCCGCGCTGGCAGCGACCTGCAAACGGGCGCGGGACCTCTGTACGCCGGGCCTGCGCGCGTGGACACGAAGCACGTTTGGCGGTGCGATGGACGTTGTAGCCATACCGCCAGAAGGCCACTCTCGCGGAACGGCCGACGAACGCGAAGCGGACCACGATGCTACGTTCGAAGCTCTTATGTTCCTGCGCGCGGCAATTATACACCGCGCCCCGTCCGTGCTCCACCTGCGCGAGGGATTAGCGACACATTGCCTCGCGCTCATACGCGACGCCAGTCGCTGCGCCGCCTGCCGCCTCGCGGCGTGCCACGCGCTCGCGGGCTTGTACGCCAGTCTCCAGGAAAAGGATACGGCGGAGAGCAAACGTCTGCGCCTGATGATCGCGGCGGGCGTCTGCGAAGGTCTGAACGCGGATGCAAAGGTGGCGCCCGAGCTGAACGCCGACGGCTTCGAGCTCTTCGACCGCGCCGACGGCCGCCGCGCGTGGCCGGAGCTGTGGGACGCGGCACTGCAGTGCGTCGACCTCGAGCCGTGTTATGTGCATGAAAACGTCAGAAACGACGACTGCGGCGCTCGGACCATCGCCATTGCACGGATCGCACGCCGGGTCGACGATAGCGTAGACGCACCGATAGCCTGGGACACTGACGACGAAGACGACGTCGAGCTCGACCTGGGGCTGAGCGTGGCCGGCGGCCGGCGGCGGCAGGCGCGCGGCGAGTTGGCGGACGAGTTTGTGCGCCGAAGTGCCGGCCGCCTGAGGCGAGAGCTCCGGGAGTGCGTGGGAAGCGTGATCGCGCTGGCAGGCATCGCCCTCCGTACCGCGACATGCGACCTCGATGACCAAATGCAGCGCTGTCTCTGCGCCCTTCTCGCGGCCGCGCTGCGCACCGACGGGCAGGACGACGACGAGGACTGCGATTCCTCGCAACGCATCGCCTACACCGCCGCCACCGTCGCGGCCCGGCTCCTTTCAAATGCACAAGCCTGGAATCTGCGTCCGGTGCGGGCGAGCGGGCTGCCTCGCGCCCTTGCCGCTAGATGTAGGCGGTCCAATTTGCCCCCTGTCGGCCCAGATGACATAGATGAACTCACCTCGCTAAGAGATGAGTTCAGGAACCTGAACGATGCCTCGGCATTGCCGGAGATGGTGCTGGCGTATGATCTTTTTTTCGGCGACGGGGACATGGCGATTGACAGTGTTATAGCATCCGTCGCGATGGTGGCGCTCGTCAACTACGTCCCAAAGGCGCCGACCGACGGCTGTGCGCTAGTCTTGACAACCTCTTGTCCGGAGGCGCAGGATCTGAAGGATTTAATAAATTCAATGACTGCCAAGTTCTCGCTCTCGGCGGTCGACGCCGCGATCATGCGCGTCGCCGCCCGCGACGCGGACGGCGCCGACGACGAGGCCTACCACTCGGCGGTCGCTGTGCTCGTCGAACATGTTGTATCCGCTGGCAGCACGTGGGTGGACCTGACGGACCGTGGTACCATTGACGCGCTAGTCGATGTGATCGTGCGCGAGAGCACGAGGCCCGCCATGCTTGGTGCGGTTCCGGGAACGTTTTCTCATTTGTTACGCGTGTCGACGGATACCCCGCGCACGGACGCGGGGCTTCTGAGGAATCTTATACGTGTGGCCGTTGCCCTCTGCCGGCTCGCCGCCGACAGTGATGAGGCGAGCACAAATCTGATCACCGATTCTCTTTTGGCGCTTCTGACAGCCGCGCCGCCTTCGCGCGACGTGGTCTACGTCATGGCGCGGGCCCTCGCCCGCGGTGGCGCGTTCTTGAAGGGGGGTACCAGAGCCGGTGTCCTCGTCGCTTCGCTAATCAAGCACACGACGCACTCTCCACCAGGAAGGCTGGGCCTTGTGCCACTGCTCATTTGCGACGAAACCGTAGAGGTCCTGTTGCCGCTCTTGAGCTGTGCCGATTGGATCCAAATTCCGACGGACGTTGGTATTTTCGAAGTCTTTACTGCTTACCCGTCCCCCGGCTTCTATGACAAACATGACGGCCGCCTGCAGGTGAGGGACGTGGCCGCCCTGCTGCTGTGCGTTAGGTCGCTGCGGTTGCCTGACGACTTCATGGCAAAGTTCGACGATGACAATTGCTGGGACTTTGGCGCGGGACTCGATAGCGCGGACGGCTACGACTACGATGACCACCGATGGGAACACGTCGGAAAACTCACGCTTGAACACTTTCGGGCGCTGCTCGACATTGTCAAGGACAGTGCATAAATCTCCGCCACTGCTGAATTATGACATCCACGCCATCGACGCGACGCCAGCTCGACCCGACTCACCGGTTGATTTATGCACAGGCCAAGGACGCGGGCCGGCCGTCCGCGCGGATCGTCTACGAGTTTCTGCGCTACCTATCGCAATCGATGATGCGAAAGGACTCGCCCGAATTTAGCAAGGCCTTGTTCGTGCCGGTGGCGATGGCGCTCAAGGAACACGGCCACCTCGCGAAGTGGGGTAAAAAGGGCCACAAGACGGCCGAGAAGCTGCTCAAGACGCTCATGAAGCTGGGCGACGACTGCGTCGTGGTCGCGCTCGACGCCTTCGCGGAGGCGGCGATAGGAGTCCAGAAGCGCATCGCGAAGCGGCGCGCCGCGCGCGGAGGCGGCACTGGCGGAGGCGGCGCTGGTGATGGTGCGGCTGAGGACACGGCCGCGCGCCAGGCGGCGGCGGACCAGGCGGCGGCAGATCTCCTCGCGTCGCTTGAGGCCGAGGAGCACAGGCCGGGGACCACGAAGAAGTCCAGAAAAAAAGGCAAGAAAGCGTCGGTGCCGCGCCGCGCCCGCGCCAGCGCCGGCCTCCGCCGCGGAGGTGTCTTCGTCTTCGTCTTCGTCTGAGGACGACGACGACGACGATTTGCTGCTCCTGGCGAAACAACAAGCTTCGCGGTCGGCGCCGGCGCCGCGCGCCCGCGCCCGAACGCGCCCCCTGCTGCGGCGCCCGCGCCCGCGGTTAATCCCGCCATGGCCTTCGCGAGCGCGCTCCGCGGCTGGATCGTTTCCAGGGCGGCCGCATCGTCGGTACGGATCTCGCGCCCTACAAAAGCCCGGCGGCGCGTGGACTTTCAGTGCCGAAGGGCGGCGCCCTTAAGCTACTGCGGACGGTGGCCGCTCCTGCCGGCCTGCGTATCTCTCAGGACGGTCCGCGCATTGTTATCTCCAGCGTCGGGGCCGTAGCGATGCCTCCGCCGCCACCGCCGCAGCCGAAGCCTCCCGCCGCCCCCACCGCCCCCCGCCGGGCCCTTTCTGACCTCGCCGTCGATGATGATGATGAGGACGACGCGACGCCGGCGCGGAGGACACGACACGAAAACGCGGATGTCCCGAGGCACGCCGTTGAGGATTTACTGAAGCTGGAATCAAACGCCGGGTCAATAACGGAAGAAGCTTTTGAAAGGCGGGCCGCCTCGCCGGACGCACGGCCGGTAGCCGCGCCGTGCCGGCCGACGAGGAGAAGGCGCCCGACGCCGGCCCCGCGCCGTCGCTCCTGCCGCTACTTACGCGCCGGCGGCGGACGCCGGCGCGTCGCGCGCCGACGCCCCGCTCGCCGCCCTCCTGGCGCGCCTCGACCTGAATCACATAGCCGGAGCGCTGGCAGCGGAGGAGATTGATATCGAGGCCCTTCCGCTTTTGTCGATCAGTGACCTCGTGGACATTGCGATCAAACCAGAAGATGCTGAGAAGCGCTGGTGGCGGCCGTGGCGCCGCCGCCCGCAGCGCCGCCGCCGCCGCCGATCGCGACGCCGTCGACGCAAGAGTGCCCGCTGTGCATGGACGGCGACCGCGAGATCGCGCTGGTCCCGTGCGGACGCCCTTCGCGCCGGGTGCGCGGGCCGGCACGCGACGGAGGCGCCCGATGTGCCGGCAGGATGTGGCGTCGACGATGAGGGTGTATTTCTTTTCCTGTTATGTGCAATTGGACAGGCGCCTAGGCTAGTTACGTAACTATGGCGCTTTGGACTTGCTAGTGTCTTACGGCCGCTAGCTGCCCCTTCCTCTGCGCTTTTTGCGCTTGGCTGCCTAGCCACCAGCCGCCGCGGGTCTACTTGTGCTTGCAAGGGCTAGACTAGACCCGTTGCACTGCGTGCTGTAACGGTTATCCATCCTAATCTATTGAGTGTCACCGGAGACAATGCCGCAGCCTCGACGCCATCGATGCGGCACGCTACTCCTTCTGCTGGCCGGCAGCAGCACAGCTGCAGCATCCGAAACTCTCCGCGGCACGCTGCTCGTAAGCCATCAGGCCTTCGTCGAGCGCCTCTACATTTCCAGGAGGTACGAGCGCTGGTTCGGCGGCGTCGCCTACCTCGTGCTGCCGGGCACGGCGGGCCGGCGGCGCTCGCACGAAGCGACGGGCGCGACGGCGACCGTGCCCTCGCAGGACGCCTGCGACCGGTATGGGGTCGCCTGCTTCTTGGCCCGCCGCGGCGCCGGCCGGGACCCCTACGTCGCGGCCTACGCGCAGCTCTTCGGGCAGCTCGCGACGTTTTCGAGGCGCGACGAGCCGCCGCCGTGGCTGCGGCCCCACTGGCGCGGGACGGGGGGCGTCACCGGCGCGGTCGTGGCGCACCTAGATTTCTGGCTGGACCCGCCGTCGTTCGCGCACCGCGTCGACGCCTGTGTGGAATCAAATTTACGGCGCGTTCGCGGCCACGTCATCGCCGAGAAACGACTTTGTGAAGTCCACCCGACACACTGGTTGATTTCCACACAGGTCGACGCGGGCGCGTTGGATCTCAAGCGGCCGTGGACGCTCGCGGCGGGTTTGAATCGCCCGCCCGACGACGCCGTCCGCGAGTTCCGGGTCTTCGGGCGGTACTGCCTGGGCGGCGAGGCGCTCGACGTCGATAGAGAATGGACGTGGGGCCACGACGCGAAGGACCAGGCGCGCCGCGCGTGGGCCGCGAGCGCGCCGACACGTGCGAAGGAGCCCGAGGCCTGCGCCGCCTGGGCCGACCTCTTCTACCTGCCGTCTCCCATCTTCGCGGACTTTGCGCAACTCTGCGGGACGCAGTTTAAATTCCACCACGAGGTGAGCGTGCCGACGGCGCTGCGCTTCCTCGAAGTGGAAGGCCGGGCGCCCGCGCCGCAGTTCTTGGATTGCTGGGGCTGCTCGCAGGCCTGGGCCAAGGACCCCGCCGTCATCGACCAGCACGCGTGCGGCCACCGCCTCGACCTCGGCCAGCGCCACGTGCGCGACGCCTTCCGCCACCGGCTCGACCGGCGGCCCTTCGCGCGCGACGCCGTGCTCGAGAGCCAGATTTATGAATTGGACGCGGAGCAGGGCGGCGCCTGGGACGGCAAATCGCTATACTGGGAGACGGAGCGCAATCTAGATAGGTGGACGAACGGCTGCTGCCGGCTGCCCTCCGCGAACCAGACGGCCTGCGGCTGCGTCGGGCGCGACCCGCCGCGGACGGACGCGGCCGCGGCCGTGCCCTGCCACGGGGCCTACGTCCCGTCGACGGTCGTCGGGTGACGGCGTCCATGTATGTGTTGTTACTAAGAATCTTAAAACTAGCCGGCCGTGATATCCCGCTTGATGCCCGGATCAGACTCGTCTAAGGGAGTGTCGCGGACGACGCACTTCTCGTAGAGGGCCTTGTACGCCGCGATGGCCTCGGGCGTCGTGAGCGCGTCGAGCCTGGAAAAGTCGTCCGCGTCGAGCGCCGCCGCCAGGTCAAAAACGTCCGCGTTCTCGACCATGCGCTCCCGCCGCGTCGACTTGGGCATGTAGATGGCGCCCTTGGCGACGCACCAGGCGCCCAGTACCTGGGCCGGCGTCGCGCCGTGCCTACTCGCGACGGCGTTGATCGTCGGGTCGTCGAATGCCTTGCCGTCGCGCAGCGCCCGGTACGCTTGGATTTTGATGCCCTTCTTCGTGAGGTAGTCCAGCGTCTTCCTTCTATACAAAAAGGGGTTGAACTCGATCTGGTTCACGGCCGGGACGACCGACGCCTCCCTGAGGAGCTCTTCGATGTCCTCGACGGCGTAGTTGGAGACGCCGATGGACTTCACGAGGCCTTCCGCTTGGCATTTCTCGAGCTCGAGGTAGGCGGCGACGTGCTTCCCCGGCACGGGCCAGTGGACCAGGTACAAATCGAGATACTCCGTGTTTAAATCACGCAGCGACCGCTCGACTTGCGCTCGGACGGCGGCCGGCCCGTCATATATCGCATCGGACCAGCACTTCGAGGCTAAGTATAAGTCCGACCGGGGAATTTTTGATGTTTTAATCGCCTCGCCGACCTGGACCTCGTTCCCGTAGAACTGCGCGCAGTCCAGAAACCTATACCCGACGTCCAGCGCGTCCCCGACGATGTCCGTGGCAGTGGCGACCTCGCCGCCGCTCTCCTCGGCGCCGGCGACGGCCGCCGAGGCGGAGGCGGGGATGAAGCCGACCTTGTACGTCCCGAAGCCGATCTGCGGGTGGCTCGTGCCGTCGTTGAGCGCGACGGTCGGGGCGCTGCTGAGCGAACTCATGCGCGGCGACGACCGGGACAGGCCGCGGGCCGCCCCTATCATTGCCGTCGCGAGGCGCGAGGCGAGCCGCATTGTGTTTCACGGGAGCGACAGCGCCAGTTGTCAAACAGATGCGAGCGGTCGAAATATCGAACTGTGGGACTCTTGCGCCGGCGTGCGGCTGAGCTGCGACCAGGCTCTCCCAGCTTGCTAGTGTCTTACTGGACGCTAGCTCGCCATATTCCCAGCGCGCTGATCTCGGTTGATCGGGCGCGCGCGAGTTCCTTGCTCATCAAAGAGGCCCCTCTGAGTGCGCGCATCCAGCGGAAAAACGGAAACCTGTGCTCCTGTCGCGGTTTAGGCGCCATTGAAGCCAATCTGAGCCATCGCCATCGGCTTGTTCCTGTGGGGCTTCGGAGTCTGGGTGTATTTTCTGGCCTCGTCCACGTCCTTCCACCACTCGTCGCTGAGCAGCCGCCTCGGCCTCGGCGGCGGCACGGGCATTCCCTTCGCTCCGAACTGGTGGGGCGTCGTGTTTCCGATGGTGACGCTGACGATGTCGACGTACCAGATCCATACGGACACGGAGTGGCGCTTCTTCAAGGTCGTCGGGCGCATCCTCGCCGCCGTCCTGACGCTGACGGCGTGCTACATCCACGCGCTGACGATCAAGCACGCGGTCACCCCCAAATTCTGGCACGGCTTCCACCCGAAGCAGACCTAGTCGACGCGCCGTCGACACGTCGCCGTCGTCGCACAACTTATCGATTAACTAACGCTATTAAACACTTAAGACTACCGGAGCCGCCAGGACCGCACCTGCTCGTAGGGCGGCACCCTGGACAGGTCCTCGCCGTGCGCCGCCATGGATGGAGGCGCCGCGCACATGTATTGCCCTATCCTCAAGATATCTTCCTCCGTGACGGCGTCGACGGCCGCCGTCATCTCCTGCAAAGTTTGGCGCCTCCCAAAAGTCGCGACCTGCCGCGCAATATCTTCGAATAACACCAGTCTAGACTCGAGCTGCGTCAACACGTTGACCTTGAGCATGTTCTTGGCCCGGTCCAATTCTGATCTCTCAACAGGCTGCTGGCCCAACCGCAACAGATTGGACATGAGCACCTCGGTCAAGTGATGCGCACTTGCAGGAGCACACGCCCCCACAATACCTAATAACCCCTCCCGATCGTGGATGGACACGAAGGCCTCGCAGGCCTCGACCCAGTGGTACCGGTTGAGCACCTCTCTGTATAAGCGAGAGTACATTCCCTTGCCGGGTCCACCGGCGGAGAAGGAATCGCCACCCCCCAACAGAGTTTGGAGCACACAACAAGCGATCAAATCCTTCGAATGCCACCCTCCTTCGGGCGCGCGCATGGCGCAGGCAATCCTCACTTGAGGTGTGGCTTCAACAGCATAACCAGACGGCGTCGGGGCCCGCTCCTCGGCCAGGACGCACCCGCCCACGTAAGGCGACTGTGTGATCGCCAGTGGCGCTGTTGATGGAGGCAGGTGCGGCTCGAAGTGTTTTTCGGCCAATGCAATAAGTTCGTCGTGGCCGACACCGCGCCCGCGACGACCAGCGATTGGGGCTGCGTGATCAAGGCGCGGAAGTCCGCGAGCGTTTTTGGGGACAAAGTGTGCAGCTGGGACGGCGGGCAGAGGGCGGCGCGCCCAACGGCGATGAACCGTACGCGGCGGCGTGGATGTTTTCCCGGACGCGCGCGCCCCAGCGTCGCGCCCAGAAAAGCTAGCTCCATACCCTCGCGCACCTCGTCCATGGCGCCCGGCGCCTCGAGGTCCGGACCCAGCAGGCACGCCTCCGCAAGTAATTGCGTCGCGTCCTCGAGCTTATCTCGCAAAGCATCAATACAGTAGAGTCTGCTCTGCTCGCTGCGCGTTCGCGTGCAGGTACGCCCGCACGCCTCCGCGCGCTTCAGCACGTCGGCCGTCGACGAGTTCCTCGTCCCTCGCCACGCGCACACTTCCGCGAGCTGCGCGCCGCCCACAGTCCCGAGGTGGGCCTTCTCGTCGGCCGCTCCACCACAAATCACGACGCCGATAGCTGACATATAGGTGTGCGTCTCCTGGGAGACGACCCGCAAGCCGCTCGGCAGCGTCGTCAATTGGGTCGTTGGTGCAATCTCCGGAAAGGGCGGCTGGTGCGCGTTCCAGCCGCCGCGGGGAAAGGGCGGGACCATGGCGTAGTCCGCGGGCATGCCGCTCTTGTGGCGCCGCCGCCGCGCCGCCGTCGCGCGGCGCAGGGCGGACCGCATGGTGCAACGTCGCGTCTCCGGGCGTCGAAATCGCTGGGCCAGAGGCAGGGAGAGGCCCGGGCCAGAGGCTGGGCGCCTGTCGAAATCGCTGGCGCGGCGCAGTTATACGTTGCAAGAGAACTCCTCGCCGTCAAATGAGGGCACGTATGCTGCGCAGCGGCTGCGCTTGGCCCCTGCAAAAGCGAAGGCAGCTAGCGGCATGTATAGACACTAGCAAGCCATTTTTGTCGGCTCTCTTTGGCGGCTCCAACAGCTCATCCAGCAGCGCGAGACGTTCTGGCCGTCTCATACTGCCGCCGCACGCATAACAAGCGTACAGAAACGCCCCGCTTCCGGCTAGGCCCCGAAAGGCCCCACCGCCGTGCGCAGCGCCGCGCGTTCCGCCAGCGCCGCAGCGTCAATCCGCCGCCCGCAAGCGGCCCAGGGCTTCGCCAAAGCCGCCCTTGCGCCGCCGACACGCCGACGCCGCCGCGGCGCGCCCGCCGCCCACGCTCGACGCTCGACGCCGCGGTGCCCGACAAAGAAAGATGCCCGTCCCACGAAATTACTCGGACAACTACCTCTCCGGCATGGACCCGGACCCGAAGCGAAATGTGGCGGTGGAGTGCTTCCAGATCGATACCACAAGGTTCGCGGCGACCTACGTCATGCTCATTCTGATCGTCTACGGCGCGATCCACGGCTCGGGCTACACGTCCGAGCAGTCCCTGTCGGCGACGAACGTGGCACACGCGCTCGTGACCTTCGTCTTCTTCCACTGGGCCCGCGGCTCGCCGGACACGCACGCGCAGGGCGATTACGATGATTTGACGGTCTGGGAGCAGCTCGACGGCGGCGCGTCGTGGTCCGCCACCAAAAAAGTCTTCCTCATCGTGCCGACGCTCGTCCTGCTGGCTTATTTAAATGCGGCGGACTTTTCGCGACAACCGACCGACCGCCGTCCCCATCTACGCGCTCCTCTGCATCCTGCCCAAACTGCCGGGCATGCATCGGTGCGGATCCTGGGCATCAACCGGACCGTGGGCTTCAGGTCCGACGACGAGACCAAGAAGCCGGGTCGTGAGGTTGCTTCCTTTCTCCTCCTCCCTCCTACGGCGACTGGACATATCGCCTCCTTTTGGGACGACGTAGGATTGATCGCGTGCAAGAGCGCGCAAACTTGGCTTCTAGTGTGTCTTCTTAGCGATCTGACAATAAATCGAGGGTACGTGGTGAGTGGGTGTTTGGTTCGGCAGTAGCACCTTTGCGAACGCCTCTCGGATCGATACGCGACCACCGTGCTGTGTTGCATCTGACGCGAGCATTTCTACGTGCAATTTGACGCCGTAGACACCTCTGAAGCAGCTTGCATCCATCTGCACTGCAGCAAATTTCACGTTGTAGACAAGAGGAGCTTCATCAGCAGCGCAGTAAAATGATTCTCCTATGGTGGGTGCTGCCCGTACCTTGCCAAGCGATCGCATTCCTGGCAGTGCTTATCGCCGCGAGCGCCCTGCAAACGCAGCCGATGCAGCTTCACGAGCGACGGCGCGTCGTCGCATCAGTCGCGCGGGTCGAAGTATGCACGAAAAAGCACTGCAAGAAAAAAGGTAGCTTGAAAACGCTACGCATCTTCGAGGCGTTGGCGCCGGACGGCGTCGAGGTGCTCACCGCCGACATGTCGCACACGGAGCACGGCTGCTTCGACGAGTGCACGATGGGCCCGAACGTCCGCGTCGACGGCGCCGGCCCCAAAGCCGACGGCGGGCCGATCGTCAACGGCGTGCGGGGCGCCGCGGGCGCCGCGGAGGTCCTCGGCATCGACGTCCCCGAGGGCTGGGAGCTGCCTAACTGACACAACTGTTTACTCGAACCACCGGCCCTCGCCCGCGACGACGGCCTTCTTCAGCGACGCGAGGTAGGCCGCTGCGGCGCTTGCTAATTGCGCGCTCGACGTCCTGCTCCGGCGCCTTCTTCTTCCTCCGCTTCTTGTCGCGCTTGCGCTCGGCGGCGTCGAAGACCTGCTCGACGGCGCGGTCGTCCGCGCGGTCGCGCATCAACCCGTCGTCCACGACCTTCCTCGGAGCCTTCGGAACTTCTTCCGCGCCCTTCCGGGCCCGCTTCTTCTCCAGCCGGTTCGCGATGCGCTTCTCCCGCCGCCGCTCCTTGCGCGACGGCCCGTCCAACGGCGCCGTCGCCTTCGCCTTCGCGTCGTCCTCCCGTTTCTGGCGCAGGGCCACCTTCCGGTGGTCCTCGACGACAAAGGCCACGATCGGCCGCGGCACCTCACTCCCCATTTTTTTGCCGCGGGGCACGCAGTAACTCGCTAATTCCGGGTTGTTGTTCGCAAACCGCAAGACCCGCATGGCGCACGCATGACTTGAAAACTCGGCAAACGCATAACCCTTGGACTTGCCGGGTTTGGGCTTTTTACCGGGCACCGTCGGCACCTTGTCCCGGGCCACGTGCACCGCGCCCACATCCTTCGGAGAGACGCCGGCCGCCTCGATCAACTCCTTCAGGAGGGCCGCGTCGACGTGCGGCGCGAGGTTTCTTATGGATAACCGCTGCGGGTTCACGTGGAATAATGGATTTCTCAATTTTGTGGCCGCCTCCTGGCGCGCCCGTTCTCTCTTCTTAAGATCGTTTTCCGGAACACCAATGGCCGCGGGGTCGCCCTTCTGGATGAGACCCTCTCTACTCAGAGCCACGTGGCGCCGGTCGCCTCCGACCAACGCGTGCTCGAGCTTGCGTTTTTTCGCGGGGCCGACTTCGTCTCTCAGCTTCGATGCTGTCGACTGATCAACCGCTAGAGCCACAATCAAGGGCCGCGCGTCGAGGGCCCACGCCTCCATCGTCGCGTTCGTCGCGCTGTCCGCCGAAGAATAGCGTACGAAGCACGAGCCTTTCCCCAGGCCCGTGGCCTTGTCCTTGACGACGTGGACGCTTTCTATACTACCACTCTTCGCGAAGAGCTCGGCCAGGGCTTTTCGGGTGGCGCCGTAGGGCACGTTCCTGACGAACAGCGTCCGGCCCTCGGCGACGTCGTCGGGCTTCTTGTCTTCCGAGGCCTCCTCGTCGTCCGATTCCTCGTCGTCGTCGTCCTCGGCGGCGTCAGACTCCTCGCCACCCGCGTCTTCGTTGTCCTCCTCGGCGGCGTCCGACGCCTCGGCAGCCTCGGACTCGTCGCCCGACGCCGAGGCGCCGTCTTCGGACGCCTGGGCGGGCTCGGGCGCCGCCACGACATGGTCGGACTTCGGCGTCGCCTGGTCCACGGCCACGGGCCGCCCCTTCACCGCAAATTTACCAGAAGACGCGGCCTTCAAAGCGCGCCGCGCGTCGCTCTCGCAGAAGAACTCGACGAAGCCAAATCCCCGCGACTTTTCGCCGACGCGCGGCACGCGCGCCTCGCGCAGCGGGCCGTACGCCATGAACGCATCCAACAGGTCCTCTTCCAACGCCCTAAAATGCAAATTGCGCACGACTAACCTACCTTTCTGTTCATTTGATCTATCGACGTGCGCCTCGAGGCGGCACGCGAGCTTCGACCCCTTGAACGTAGCACCATCGAGCCGCTGGCACGCTTGCGACGCCTTTTGTAAAGATGAAAATGTGGCCACTGCTAAGGCGCCCGCCGGCCGCATTGCTGCTCCTTCGACACTCGTCACTTTCTCAAAACCTTCTAGCTTCCTCAACCGCTTATAAACAGCCTTGTCCGACGCGCCCACTCCAAAGACGGGCAACAACCGTGTGGAAAAACAGGTTTTAGGCCACAGCCACTCGGCTACAGCTCGAGCTTCACGCCCTGTGCGGGAGCTCTGAGGCGATTTAACAGTACTGTATCATCGTCGGAATACTACGGGCACGAATTTCGGCGCTCGTCGCGCGGCAGGACAAAAAACAGCCACATCCTGGAGGAAGCCTGTTTTCCCATCGCGGCGCACGCGTCGCGCGACCGACGAGAAAGGAGTGGAGGGACACGACAACCGGCCGCTGATTCATGACGAGCGAAACCGCCGCGCAGGTCTCGGGACTCGGGACGCGATGGCCGACACCGCCATGGGCCCGGCGCCGCTGGAGCGCCAGGAGAGCGTGCCGATGGAGATCATGAACAAGTGCGCCTACGGCGAGCCCTCGACGAAGACGATCATGGTCATGGGCGCCGTCGCCGCGGTACTGGCCTCGATCACCGTCTACTGCATCGTCTCCTGGGCGCGGCGCTCCGCGCGGGCCAAGTTCAAGGCCATGATCAAGAGCGTCTTCGAGGAGGTCGACCACGACCACGGCGGCACCGTCGACAGCGACGAGCTCTACACGGCCGTCTTGCTCGTCTACCTCCAGGTGAGGGAGAGTACTTAAGCGGTCACGAACGCTAGACTAACTCGTGCGCCGGCGCAGGTGAATAAGGCCATCCGCGTCATCGGCGCGGTCAAGCCCCCGAAGCGCCATTCGGTGGATGAGGTCCTCGCGCAGTACGCGAAAGACAACAAGTCGGGCAAGGAGCTCAACCAGGACCAGTTCGAGGACGTCATGAAGATCCTGTCCAAGGACGTCGCCGGCCGCGTGACGGTGACGTGCGGCATCATGGTCGGCTGCCCGATGCTCGGCGGCATTCTGGTGAATATGGCGCTCGCCAAGTTCGGCCGCCCGTCGGCGGCGCGCCCCTGCGGCAGCCTCCTGTTTACCTTACTCGAGCCCCAGTTCCCGACGATCGTCTCCCTCGTCCTCATGCTCGTGCTCCTTCCGTTATTGCTGGACGCGCTCGACAGCTACCTCGAGAACCGCCAGTCGAAGCTCGGGGCCATGAAGGAGCTCGTGCGCGCCGACTCGACGCCGAAGGCGACAGCGGCCGAGTCTTCCGTGCGCAAGGAGGCCGACAAGCTCGCCCAAGCCGTCGAGACGGCCGCCGAGGAAGTCAAGCCCGTCGCGGAGGCCGCGCCCAAGAAGAAGAAGGGCTTCTCGCCGTTCAAGGGCTTCGGCAAGAAGAAGGAGGCCTGAGCGGCGCGCCGGAGGCCTCTCGCGGCGGCCGCGCCGCCGCCCGCTCCCGGAGGCCTAAGCCTAGATCACAGAATTACGCAAAAACAAAACAGTTAGTACCCGAACACGCGCAGCCCGACCGTGTCCTCCTTGCCCCCCTTGCCCGTGCCGACGAGGAGCTTGTACTTGCCCCGTCCCACGATCTTGTCCCGGTCCCAGACGCCCTCGTAGCGGTTCCCGTTCAGGTACGTCAGCTCGCCGGGCCCGTGCCGCATGTTCCGCCAGTACTGGCCCCTAAAAACCGTGCCGGATGCGCTCAACTCGGTACCTTCGCCGTGGCGCTGGTTGTCCTTCCACTGGCCCTCGTACTGCGAGCCGTCGGGCCAGACATATAAACCGCGGCCCGTCATCCGCTCCCGCAAGAAGTCGCCCTTGTAGTAGCCGCCGTCCTTGTATATTAATTTGCCCGTGCCGTGCCTTAGGTTATCGCACCATTCGCCCTCGTAGGATTCGATGGGGTCCTGGAATTTATATGTGTACAACCCAATACCGTGCCGCCTTCCTTCGACCCAGTCGCCGTCGTAGCTCTCCTCCAAAATATTGCCCGGTGAATAGGTCAATTTGCCCTTGCCGTGCTGGATGTCGTCGCAATACTCGCCCTCGTACGTGTTGCCATCGACAAACCGGAAGAACCCATGACCATGCTTCTTATTGTCCCGCCACCACCCTTTATAATAATGATTTGTGGTCGCATAGACCATCTCGCCCTCGCCCTGCATGCGATCTTCCCGGAACCCGCCCTTGTAGACATTGCCGGTCGACCACTTGTAGATGCCCTGGCCATGTTTGCGATTGCGCCGGAACTCGCCCCGATACGAGTCGCCCTGCCTGTACTGAAAAATGCCCTTCCCGTCGATATCATTTTCCCGCCACCAGCCGTCATATCTCGAACCAGTACCGAAGACATAAGTGCCCTTGCCTGATTTCTTGTCGTCGACCCAGTTTCCACTATAGGCGTTGCCCCAGTTTCTGTACCAGTAGACGCCGTGGCCTTGCGCTAGTCCTTTCACGAAGGTCCCATCAAAAAAGTCCCCGTTCTTGAAGAAATATCTACCTCTTCCGTTTTTCTAAAAATCTCCCATCCCCGCAGTACTTCTCACCGTCCGGGGACACGAAGACGCCGTACCCCTCGTGGTGGCCCTTGACCCATTTCCCTGCGTACCTCGCACCGTCCGCATATCTACATGCGCCCCTACCGTGCCTCAGATCATCGTAGAACTCGCCTCGGTACACCTCGCCCGTCGCGAAAGAAAGTATACCTCGGCCATTCGCCATGCCCCTCCTAATCTCCCCCAAGTAGGCGTCGCCATTCATCTTCGAGAACCGACCCACGCCTTCCGGCTTGTTCTCCACAAAAAGTCCCTCGTAGGCCGCCGTTGAGCGCGTCAATCTTCCGACACCGTGCATGCGCCCCGCGCGCCACTCGCCCTCGTACATCTCGCCGCAGGGATGGAAGAGGCAGCCCCAGCCGTCCCTCCGCCCTTCCTTCCACTCTCCCACATACTCCGTCCCATCGGGCTTCGTGTAGATCCCTTCTCCATGCCTCTTACCATTCTTCCAGTCGCCCGTGTACCTCCCTCGATCCGCCGGCCAGACACAGGTCCCGAAGCCCTCAAACAAACCATCTTTCATGTACCCCTCGGCGCGCGTCCCGCCCTGGAAGAGCTTCAAAGATAAACCCTTCCTCTTTGGATATATTCTTTTAATAAAATCATCCAAGTTGTCTCCCACCGGTTCTCTACTAATCCCCATGTCGCCCCGCAGCTTCTTGACGCGCTTTTCCTCCTTCTCGAGGGCCTTGGCTAATCGACGAGCTTCGGGCGACGCGAACTCCTTCGCTTTTTTTTGTTTGCCTCCCACATCCTTGCCCATCTGGTCCTCCGGAATGTCCGTGGGACCGTCGGGGCCGTCGCCTCCGGAACTCTTCGCCTTGGCCGCCATCTTCGCCGTCCTCCTCTTTACTGTCGTTTCATCGTCCAGATCTTCGTCCGAGGAAAACTCGCTGATGTCGTCGTCATCGGAAATCTCCAGCACCAACCCGCTCTCCGTGATCACGATGCCTTTATCTTCTTCCTCCTCTTCTTTCTTCCTTGACAGATAAAAGCCCTTGTGCCACGTCGCCTCGGGCGGTCCGACTAATAATTCATCCCGTTCTCGTTTCCGTTGCGCGTCGTAGATGCGCTCCCTCCTCCTAAGACCAAAATCTAGGTCTTCGGGCCGGCCCCAGGTACTCCTATACGTATCGGTCTCGAGGTACCACAGAGCCCGCGTCTCCGGGTCGTAGTACTCGACCCACCCGCCTTGCGAATGGGTGACCTCCGACCGCTCTTGTAGTCGTTCCAAAGCGGGCATGGACTTGACCACTGAAGCCTTCTGCCATCTTTTGTACTTGGCCGCTTGTCGCCCGAGGTAGCCTCTGTACAATCGTTGTGCCAATAATCCCGCCCAGATCTGCTTCCTAAGAAATCTCGTCTCGTAGCGCCCGCGAAAGCCGCGAAGCCCCGCTTGGATCGTCGTCGTCGCCTGGCGCCGCTGCTCCTTCGAGTTCGCCGCCTTTTCGTTCTTGGCCTTTTCGGCGCCGGCGGCCTGCTCGGCGATCCATTTCTGCGTCTCGGTGGCGCGGAGCCGGGCGAGGCGATCTTCCCGCGTGCGGCCCACGGCGACGCGCATCGTTTAGGGTGGGGCTGCCTCTTCAGCCAACACGAGGAGGGCAGTCTTGCGGCGCGGCCCCGGTTCTAGGGTGGGGCTGCCTCTTCGCTTGCGGCGGCCGGCGCGCCCGGGGCTCAGGTGCGGGCAGCCTTATACCGGGGGCCCCGGTTCTATTTGTCTTGCCTTGCCCAGTCCGCGGCGACCGGCGTGACCGGGTCTGTGTACGGCAGCCTCTTTCCCGGCCCTCGGCCCGCTTTGACAAACGCTGCGCGGCGGCGCTGGGCTGGAAAATCTAGTGTGTTACACAGTAGTCAAGTTCATGAAGCTTACGACGCCACATCAGACCCAGGAACCGTGTAATTGTGCTTGAACGGCATCGGCTCCGTGCGCGTCGTCTTGTTCCACGCGCCGAGCTTCAACGGGGCCGCGACGCGATGATTTCGGGGCCGCGACGCCGGCGGCGGCGGCGGCCGAGGCGTCCCGTGGCGGCCGCGAGCGCGCGTCGAGGCGCGCGTCGGCGGCGGCGGAGGCGCCCGGCGCGGCGGCGGTGGCGGGAGGGCGGCGTCCGATGGCGCCGGCGCCGCCGGCGCCGCCGCGTAGGCGCCCTCGCGCCGCCGCGGCCGCCGGTCGATGCGCGCGGCCTCTTGCTGGTAGAGGACGTCGACCGCCGCCGCGGCCTCGGCGAGCGAGTCGCGGGCGCGCTCCGCCGCGACCTGTGTGGAAATCAAAATTTTACGGCGCGTTCGTGCTGAATCATCGCGTCGTCCTCCACGCCATCGACGCGACGCCTGCTCGATGGCTTGGCGATGCCGATTCCTCGCCGCTCGACGGAACCAGCGCGGCCACGCCATCGCCGAGACATGACTTAGTGAAGAATTGTCGCACCCGACGCACTGGTTGATTTCCACACAGGCCGCGACGTGCTGCGGCCCCTTGGCGCGCTGCTTCGCGCCGCGCAGCGAGGCCGCGAGCGCGACGTCGCGGCGGCGGCGCTGGTCCAGCGCCTCGGCGTGGCGCGCCTCGCAGGCGGCGATGGCGTCGGCCAGAGCCTGGCGGTGACGCTGTTGCTGTGCCGTCGCCGCGTCCTCGAGGGCCAGCGCGTGCGCCGAGAAGGCCCGGTCCTCGGTCTCGCGCACGGCCTTGGCCACGCGCCGCGCGGTCAGGCGGCTCGATGCCGACGCCGCCGCGGCCAGCGCGGCCTCCCGCGCGGTGTCCGTCTTCGCGCGATCGGCGCGCTCCTTCCGCAGCGAGTCGACCGCGCGCGCGCGCGTCGTCCGCAGGTCGGCGAGTTCCGCGTCGACGGCGCGGCGCTGCGCGCGGAACTCGCTCACGGCCGCGGTCCGTCTCGACTCCTTCTCGTCCGCGATGGTTTGTTGAATGTCGGGGTGTGCGATGGCGCCGACGGCGCCGGACGCGCCGGCCGCGGCCCGCTCCGCGGCCGTCGCCAGCGCCTCAAGCCGCTGCTGCGCCTGTATTAACCGCGCCTCGTTGCGCTGCGCGGCGACGGCCATGACAGCACCCAATGCGGCGTCGCAGCCCGTCGTCGCCCGGGCGTCGCGCTCCTCGACAAGGGGCGCGATCGTCGGGAGGAGCTGCTGGCGCCGCGTGGCGACGTCGAGGATGCGCCGGACGGGCTCATTTATATCGACGGCGGGCTCCTCGACGCTTTTCCCGGAGAACGGCCGCCGACGCGCCGCGTAGATCGCGGCCGTCTCGAGGAGGGGCTGCCGGTTGTCGCGGAGCCCCGCCCAGGCCGCCCGCGACGTCGTCGTGCGCTTTTAACAGAACCTTCCGGCAGAAGTCGTCGCACTTGGCGTTGAGCGCCACGACGGCCTTTTGGGCCCGCAACGCGACGGCTGCAGCCGCCCGCTCGCGCCGAGGAGCGTTCTCAGCGCGGCGCTTCTCGATGGCCAATTCCGGCGGCAGTCGTTGAGCTGGCGCTTCGCCTCGACGGTCTCGGCCGTGAGCCGGTCGAGCTCCGCCGCGAGCTTCGACTCCGCCTCGACGTGGTCCATGGCGAGCTTCCGGCGGCACTCTGCGAGTTCCTGCGTCGCCGCGGCGTTTTCGGCCGCGAGGCGCTCGTTCTTCGCCTCGGCCGCGCGCAGCGCGTCCAGCGTGCCGCGGCGCAGCTCGTCGAGGCGCTCCTTCAATATCCGCTCGCCCTCGGCCGTGTCGTAGGCCGGCGGTGCCTCGATGAGCCGCGCGGCCTTGGCCTCGGCCTCCGTCGCGCGCGCGGTCTGCCGCGCCGCGTGCAACTCCGCCTGGCGCACGGCCTCCTCCAAAGCTGCCACGCGCGCTCTTAACGCGGTGGCCTCGCTTGGGTCTTCCCGCGGCATGTTTTTCAACCGCTTCTCGAGCACGGCGGCGCGCGTCCTCGCTTGAAGCCACCAGAGGATCGGGAGGCTGACGCGCGGCACGCGCTTGCCGAGCACGGTGACGGCGGCGCTTCCACGCGGCGTCGTCGGCGGCGACCGGTACGGGCTCCTGGCGGGAGACGCGTAGGGGCTCCGCTTCCCAGCGCGCGTGCGCGGCGGCGTCGTGAGGCGCACGGGCGACCGCGTCGGCGACGCGCTCGATATGCGCACACGCCGCGTCGGCGTCGATGGGTTGCGCTCGGCCATTCTGGTTGTGTCTATAGGCTGCCTGCTCTCGTTTTTGTTTGCCTAGGGCTGCCCGTCGTTCGCTGTTTTTGGGCAGCCGAGTCTGTGGTGCGTTGATGGCGCACGACTATGCGTGCACGACGTCGCGCGCCCTGTTTTTAATTGGGCTCGCAGCCGAATCGAGTTTGAGCCCGCACGCCGGCGGAGAGATGCCGGGGCCGGCTGATTGAGACGGTTGGCGCTGCTTATCATTCGGAGGACTAGTGCTTCCCTAAGTCTTGTTTGCTAGTGTCTTACAGGCCGCTAGCTCGACTTTCACGCAGCCGCGATTTTGGCGCTTGTAATGCACTAGTGGATGCAAATAAGGCTCGCAAGCCGCATCGATTCGCTGCAACAACGCTAGCATCGTTCGCAGCTTCCGCCTTTGGGAAAAGCACCAGCAGCCTTGCGGTAATCATCTCCGAGTCGCCGACAGCTTACGCAGCGAAACAATGCAAGCCGACACGGAAGAATACCTGCGCGAGGCCGCCGGCCGCGGCCACGAGATGGTGCAGCAAATGGTCCAGAAGCTGAGCGGCGCGCTCATCTACCCCGACGCCGCAACGTGCAGACGAGCGAAGCTCTGGGACGTCTACGCGAGCGAGTGGGGCGCCGAGGCAGGCTGGGTCGCCGGCATGGCGGCCTCGAACCGTGAAGCCAAAGAAACATTGGAAAACGTCGGCGACGAGTGGGCCCCGGCGGCCCATACAAAACGCGTCGTCGACGAGTGGATCCTCAGCGAAGTTTCACTGAAGACGCATTGCTGCGAGATCGGCAGCGGCGGCGGCCGCATCGGTAGAATGGTCGCGCCTCGCGTATCGAAGCTCCAGTGCTTCGACGTGAGTGCCAAGATGCTCGCGGCCGCGAAACAGGCTCTCGCGTCCCAGGAAAATGTGACCTTCGCGCAAATCCACGGCGACGCCAGCGGCGCCGACGCCGGGTTTTCCGACAAGCCGCGGCACTACGCTCCGCAACATAAACACGCGTACGACTTCGTGTACTGTTTTGACGTCATGGTGCACATGGACGCGCACGCCATGTTCCGGTGTCTGAAGCGGATCCGAGCTTTATTAAAGGATGAGGGGAAAGCGTTCATTTCGACGTCGAATCTCCTGGCGCCGGACGGCTTCCGGCGCTTCGAGGCCCAGGAGAAGTACTCGGTCGGCGGGTTTTACTTCGTCACGCCCGAGACCGTGCGGTGCTTGGTCTCGCGCGCGGGCTTGCGCGTCGTCCGCGAGTTATCAGCGCCGGACGCGTCGAACACGTACTACAACCGCGACTACCTCGCGCTGCTCGCTCCCGTTGTCGAGGCGCCTGCCATCGCGCCGGTTGTGGCCGTCAGCCCCACGGTCAACACGGCCTCGTCGCCGGTCAGCCAGGACGCCGCGGCAGTCGCCGCCATGGACGAGGACGAGATCGTCGACGCAGTCGAGGCGGCCGAGAGCTCGGGCGACTGCGCGGCCGTCGTCCGCCTGCTCGGGAGCGCGCTCGCGCTGGAAGAGCCGGAGACCGCGGTCGAGGCCGTCGCGGACGCTCTGCTGCGACTGGGCAGTGCGCACGCGGCGGCGCTCGGCGAGGCCGGCGCGTGCGAGCGCGTCGCCGCGGCCCTCGCGCTGCCGTGCTGCGGCGACGAGCCCTCGCTCGCCGAGGTGCTCCTCGGGTGCTGCCGCGTGCTCGCGAAGAGCGGCGCGAACGCGGCGAAGCTGCTCGCGAACGACGGCGCGGCGCGGCTCGTTTCTGCCATGGAGGCACACGTCGCGTCGGGCGAGCCCACGCTCCAGGAGCAGGGGTGCCTCGCGATCGAGGCGCTCGCCGTGGCCGGCGGCGCCGCAGCGCTCCGTGAAGCCGGCGCGGAGGCCGCGATCGAGGGCGCGCGCGGCGACATCGTGAACGAGCGGAACAAGACGTACCCCGACCGCGCGCTGGCCGCGCTCGCCGGTTCCTAGCAAGCACCCTTCTGTGAGAAATTTTAGTATGACAAATTAGATTAGGGGTTCGGAGGGGGTCTTCGGTCTTCGGTCTCGAGCGTGGTGATGATCGATCAGAGGTCCCAGAGCGCGGCAGCGAAGGCGGACCGCGCCTCGTCCTCGAAAAGCTCGCCGTCGGACGATTCGGACTCGGACTCGTCGTCGGACGGCGCGAGGCGGTTCAGGCCCGTGCGGTAGCTTCTCGCCATGCGCAGCGCCGACGACAGCGCGCGTGTGGCGCCGCGTGACGCGCGCCGCGCGTCAGCCCGCCGCGTCCGAGCGGCTTCGGCGTCGCCCCAGCTCGCCGTGCGGGGCCGGCAGCGCGCCTGGCGAAGGTTATCCTCGATGCGCACTCGCTTCCCGCTCTGCGCCCGCGGCGCGAGGCGCCGGAGGTGGCGCAGCGGCGAGGCGTGCTCCGTCTCGGAGTCGCGCTCGTCGTCCGCGTCCGAGTCCATCGTCGGCGGCACATCGCGGCGGATCTGACTGCGGCTGCGCGACCGCGACTGCGACCGCCCGCGGTCGCGCGCGCGGGCGCGGCGCCCAGCGCGGCGCAGGGCGCGCGCTAATCTTAGCACGCGCGCCTCGAGCTCGGCCGTCTCGTCGTCGCGCTGCAGCGGTGAGATGGACAGCGTCCGCGGCGGCGGCGCGCTCGGCGTGCCGTTGCTCTCGCTGCCTGATGACACGGTATGCGTCGCGCTGCTGGGCGGTTTTGCGCCACTTGCAATTTTGCATCATCCCAGCTACCCTTGATGCTGTTGGACTTGGCGGCGGGGCAGGGGGGATTCCAGAAGTGTTGCACATCGTTGGATTGCAATTTCGCTGCGCGCAGCGGCGACCACGGCGGCAGAGCGCCGCTTCCAACGTGGCACCTACGGCACCCAAGCTGAAAGTCGCCGCCTGATTCGTCCTCGGCGTTTTGGAGTGGTCGCCATTGTTCTTTTCTTCCAGCTTGGGCTTTTGTGCTCGAGAGTCTGCGAGAGCCCGAGCCCCCATCATCGATGCAAAACTTGGGCAGCCCCAGAGTTCGAACGCCAATCGACGCTCCCCGTGAACCGTGGGGTGGATCGAGCGTGCCGGCGCGTTGAAGCAGCCCTGGACACAGCAGCAGTTATTCCCACACAATATAGCAGCACAAATGGCTGCCCTCGCCGCCCTGTACCCCGCGAAACTGCAGAAAGTCGCCAGCTTTGACCGCTTTGGGCACTACCGCCTCGAGACGGGCGAGCAGCTCCTGGTCTGGACACCAATCTATCCGGCCGGACCGCTGCCTCTGATAATTTACCTGCACGGTGCGTCGTCCAGGGGAGACGACATCCAACAGATTTTTGAAAAAGGGCCAAACTGCCCTCCAGCACTCTTACGCGCCGGAGACATCGCCCCGCGCGCCGTCGTCGTGGCCCCGCTCCTCGCAGCAAAAAGGGAGTGGTGCAAGACGTCGCGCGAGGCCGCACGACCTTGAAAATCATCATCGACGCGTACTTTGCGGAGGAGGCAAGAGGTGCCATGGCAGCGGTTGATCGGGACCGCGTCTACGTCACGGGCCCGTCGTGCGGCGGTTTAGGGGCCTACACGCTCGCGGCGCGCCTCGCGCGCCGCGGCGACGGCTTCAGCGACCGCTGCCCGCCGGCCGCCGCCGTGGTTCCCGTGTGCGGTGGCGGGAGCGTGGTCTTCGCGCCGCTCCTCGCGAAGACGCCCTGCTGGTTCTGGCATTCGGAATCGGACAGCGCCGTACCATGTAGCGACACCGAGGCCCTGGTGGCCGCGCTGGAGAAGCTCGACGCGCCGGTGCGCTTCACGAAGCTGACGGACGAGGAGACGCCCGAGAGCCCGCCATACGTCGCGTACATGGAGCACCACAACGCCTGGACGCCGGCGTACAAGGTCGACTCGCCGATGTGGGCCTGGTTGTTCGCCCAGAGTCGTGGGGAGGGGGCATAAGTACACTGTTTGTCACAACAAGAACATTAGGCGGTGATCTTCAGGTGGTGCGTCACGTTCATCTCCTTGAGCACCTCCGCGTACGACATCCGCGCGCCCGGCCGGTGCCAGTGGCCGCCGCACCCATCAAAACGGAACGCCAGGGGCGTATTTTCGGCGTAGGTCCCGGCCCAGTCCGCCTTCGGGTCCCGATCCCCATCCTTCATGCCGGTGAAGAACGGGCCCTCGCAGAAGGCGGCGACGCCCTGGCGCCCTCGTGGGCCGTCGCGCGTGCCCGGCCCCGAGCAGCTCCGCCGCCGGCGCGTGGCGGAAGGGTCGCAGATCGTCCGGCCCAGCGTGAAGGGCCCCGTGACGTGCAGCGTCCGCGGCTGCTTCTTGGGCGGCAGGGCGCTTCGCTTCAAAAATGTTCGAGATCTGGCGCCGAGCGTCGCCTTGAGCAGCGGGTGCGCCCTTCCTCCAATCACCATGAAGCGCACGTGGCCCTTCCGTGGCTCGCGCACCGCAAACATGTCCAGCGACGCGGCGCTCTGCAGATCGCAGGCCTTGGCGATGGGACCCGGTTTGAGATCTGAATCGAACCACCAGCCGCCTTCATAAATGAGCCACGCCACCTAAACAGGTCCGCGCGCCCGGCGCCGCTGTTGAGCTTGCGGTAGGCCTCGATGCAGCCTTTAACTTCGCAGCGCGCCGCCATCCACGCCGCCTGGGCCGCGTCGTCGAAGTACGTAAACTCCATCTCTGGGTTGAGCGTCCGCCATTCCTCAATGTTCCGCTTCAGCGCCGCCGGCGTCTCGTCCAGGGGCAGCTTGTGCGACGTGATCAGGCGCTTCGGGATGTCGGCCCAGGCCGCTGCTGCCCAAAGGACTGCGTATTTCATCGCAGCGATGGCGTTTGCGGCTGCCCCCTTTGTGCCGCGGTGCTGTGGTTGATATGTTGCGCTCGAATGCAACGAATTAAGACAGAATTACAGCAATCCTACTGGTTTGCTCGACTGAATTCGAGGTCGAAGGCTAGTATGTCGAGACACTAGCACTTCCTAGCGCTCGGGGTCCGTACTACCTGGGGGTGGGTTCAATAAGTGGCTCTCTCTCTCTCTCTTTTCCCCGTTTTGGGTAAGAAAGGCTAGGCTTGGCTCTATAGGAAGGTAGTCCACTCAACCAGCCGCCGCGCAACCCTGACTCGACCACAGAGCAAACGCACGGACGAGTCCAGGACCGAAAGGAGAGAGTCATGGAGTTACAAGGGGATGAAGGGGGAAAGGGCTCACTCCTCCTCTTCCTCTTCCTCCTCCTCCTCCGCGGCCGGCTCGGCCGCGCCGGCGTCGGAGAGGACCTCCTCGTCGTCGTCCACGACGTGGTCGCCCTTGAGGCGGAAGTGGAGGATGCCCACCTGGTTCTTGCCGTCGATCACGACCTGGTTCTTGATGTTGCCCTTGACGATCGCCTCGAGCGTCTTCTTGAACGCCTTGGACTCCCTGGACTTGGGGCGCTTGAACGCCTCGCGCAGCGCGCCCGCGTGCGCCGCCGGCAGCGCCGTCGACGACGCGAACGCGTCGCGGACCGTCGAGATGTGCACCTTGGCGTCGGGCTCGGCCACGAGGCGCTTGCGGCACCACTCGGCGCAGACGGGGACCCACGCGTCCGCCGGCACGCGCGGCGCCGGCGGCGCGGCGGGCGCGGGCGCCGCGGCCGGCGGCGGCGGCGCGGCGGCCGGCGCCGGCGCCGGCGCGGCGCCGCCGGACGAGCGGCGGCGCTTCGGCGCGGGCGCCGGCGCCGCCGCCTCCTCCTCGTCTCTCGTCGTCCTCGTCGTCGGTGCGGCCGTCGGCCGGCGCGCGCTTGGGCGGCCCGGCGAGCGCCGGGTCCTTCTTCACGAGGTTGCGGAACTTGTCGCGGACGTCGGCGCTCGTGCGGCCGCCCTTTCTGAGCACGGAGAACTCGCGCAGGATCTTGGCCCACTTGTCGCCGTACATCTGGTAGCCGTCCTTGACGGCCGTCTCCTCGTCGGCCGTCCAGCGCCGGCGCTTCCGCGAGCCCTTGGCGTTCTTGCCGCGCACGGGCGCGCCGGGCAGCAGGCCCGTGAGGTCCTCGGCCGCGGCCTGCGACTCCGAGACCGGCGCCGGCTCGCTGATCTCGTCGTCGTCGTCCGAGCCGAAGCCGAAGGACCGCGCGGGGCTGCCGCCGCCGGCCGTCGCGCGCGCGCCCGTGTCCGGCGTCGCCGCGCGGCGCGGCGGCGGCGGCGGCGGCGGCGGCGGCGACCGCGGCGCCGCGGGCGACCGCCGCGCGGGCGGCGGCGGCGCGGGCGACCGGCGCGGCGGCGGCGGCGGCGCGCGCCGCGCGGGCGACGCCGGCGGGAAGCGCGGCTGGGGCGGCAACGCCGGCGGCGGCGGCGCGAAGCGCGGCGGCGGCGGCGGCTGCGGCGCGAACGCGGGCTCGGGCGCCGCCGCGCCCGCGGCCTCGACGAAGCCGGGCGCCGCGCCCGCCGCCGCGTCGCCCCTGATGATCTTGGCGAACTTGGGCTCGGGACAGTACTGGTTCTCGATGTCGAGCAGCATGCGCTCGACGCCGGCCAGCGCGGCGCGCGCGGCCGTCGCCGCGTCGCCGTCGCCGAGCGCCCGGCGCCGCGCGGAGGGGTCGGCCGCGCGCAGCCGCGCGGCCGCGCGGGCCCGCTCCGCGCAGTAGTCGAAGGAGTCCGGGCCGCGGTCGGCGGGCGCGCAGGCCGCTGGAGCGCCTGCTCGAAGGCCTGAGGGCCCTCGCCCTCGGCGAAGAGCATGGCCGCCCTCCTCAAATCCGCGAGCGCGCGCTTCGCGTGCACGTTCCAGGGCTTGACGTGGATGTGTGTGAGGATGTTGAGCGTCATCTCGAGGCAGAGCACGCACTCGCGCGACGAGCTCACGCCTTCGTGGTGGAAGCGCGCCGCCTGCGCGATGGCCACGCGCAGGCCCAGCGGCGAATTGGAATCGACGGCCAGCTCGCGGTCCGCGACGGCGGCCTTGAGGTGCTCGATCTGGGGGTAGCTGCGCCGCCAGCACGCGAGGTCGAGCTGCGCCTCGACGTAGAGCTGCTCGCCGCGTGCGCAGAACTCGCGGTCTGGTGGGGTTGTGTCCATGATTATCTTTTTGTCTTTTGCCGGCGCGCGCGCGAGGCGGGAGTGGCTCCAACAGTTGATTTGTTTTTTAGGCTTGCCAACAAAGCGGCGGCTCTGACGCTGCGGCCACGACAGCTGCGGTATGAGGAGCGCTGGAAAAGGTGCTCAGTGTGTCCGCGGCTCTTGCGCGCGGCTTGTTTGAGGCGCGGCGCCGTTCCTTGTCCTTTAGCAAAAAAATAGGCTAAAAGACGCTAAATCTGTGCCTCCGTTTCTTCGCCCACCTCGTCGCGCACGTCCCGTGGGACGCCGTCCGGCCGAGAGGGGTGAGGGTATCCTGCTCAGAGCGAAAGTCTTCGTCACGGTGCGTACCTTGGCCCCATTTTGGATGCAAGCTCCGTGGCAAAGTCCATCCAGAGAGCTGAAAGTGGCTCTGGAGCTTCGTCTTGGTCTGCATACTTGAGTGGCAGCAAAATCGGCGCTGGAAAACACCCCTGTGGGGCAAAAAAAGGCAAAAAGAGCATTGCATTGCTGTATCTGGCGCCGCCGCGACGCGCAACGCCGGAATGATGGAGGTGGAGCCGCAACAACAAGCGCCGCGACGCGTCACGCCGGAGCTCCAGCTCCGCGACCTGCCAGCGCGAAAAGAGCCGCACGCGCTCTGGCGCGCGGCGCGGGCCGGCGACGTCGACGCCGTACGCGAGGCGGTGTCGGCGGGGCTCTCGCTGGACGCGCGCGACGGTTTAGGAAGGACGCCCTTAGTCGTGGCGGTGGTTCACGGCCGCAAAAGATGCGTCGACGTCCTCCTCGACGGCGGCGCGGACCCCGAGACGCCGTCGGGCCACCGGAGCCGGCCGCTCGCGTACGCTGCCTTTCGGGGCGACGCGGCGCTCTGCGCGCGGCTCCTGGGCGCCGGGGCGGATCCCAACAAGAAGGCCGCCGATGGGTGGACGGCCCTACACGTCGCCGCGCGCCAGGGCGCCGCCGACGTCGTCCGACTACTCTTGGCGCGGGGCGCGACGCGCGACGCGCGCACGGGCACGGGCCGCACCGCGCTTGTCGTCGCGACGGCCTTCGGGAGCTGCAAACGGCGCGCGCTGCTGCTGCGAGCCGGCGCGCGGCCCGACCTGAACTTGCTGGCGATGGACCCGGCCGAGGCCGAACAGAGTCTGTTCCCGCTCCTGCAGACGGTCCGGTCAGAATCCGAAGCGCGCGCGCGAGTGCGGCGGGGCCTCGACACGCTCCGGGCCGTGAGGGCTGCCGGTTCCTGGAGACGCCATCTGGCCGGCCCGAGACGCGACCTTGTGGTCATCCGGGCCCTCCAGACGCGCTATGCCGCGCGGGGCCGCGCCGCGGGCGGCCTACCGCTTGATGAATTGCCGGACCCGCTCTTCCGCCACGTCGCTTGCTACTTCTGGGGCGGCTGATTGCTTGTGTAATTACCATTGATCGCATGACAACAGATTATGATACAACATCCCCGCAATCAATCGCGGGTCGGGGTACTCCAGTCGCGCCCGGTCGCGCTGCGCGGCGGAGACGACGCCGGGCATGTCGTGCGTCGCCGGCGGAATGAGTGAGACCTGGAAGTGCACGTGCGGCGCCCAACCTCCGTTCTCGTGCGATGCGCCGAACGCTCCGATGCGCTCGCCGCGCTCCACCACCTGGCCCACGCGTTTGAACGCCACCGACGCGGAGTCGAGGTGTCCGAAGAGCATCCAGCACCGCACGCCTTCTATCACGTGTTCCGTAACGATAACGTGGCCGTAGTCGCCCGCGTCGGGGTTGTAGCCGAAGCTTTGAATGACGCCCTGGGCCGGCGCGTAGACCGGCGTGCCCGCGGGCCCGCCGATATCAAGACCGATGTGCACGTCGCGGATGCCCGCGTAGCCATCGATAGTTTTCGTCGCGTTCTCGAACATCTCTGTCGTATACATGTTCCGCCGCACCTCGTCGTAGCGGCCCACGTACCAGCGCGCGCACCGGCTGTTTGCCGGTCTGCGGGCCAAGCGGCGCAAAACGCAAGGCACGCCGCGTTTCGCGGAGATGGCAGCTTCGATTCCCCTGGAGAAGTCCATGACATGAACGTATTTCGCCGCCGGCAAATCGACGAGCGCGTGGAAATCAGTTGCATTGCAGGCCGCCGCGAACGTTTCTGCGAGTTGAGCCGTCACGGCGACGGCGGCGGTGGCGTCGTCGCCGGAACAGCAGTGCACAAGCAGCAGTGCGCCGACGAGTCGTCGGCGCATGGTCAACGCCTCGCGGCCTAGCTCGCGCGCTTTGCAGGCTGAGAGGATGCACCCTGCAGCAGTCCAAAGTTTTTGCGAGGTCACGGCGCCGGCAAATTTGTCCTAGCTACAGCCAGCTGATAGTGCTGCACTGTTGCGCGAGGCCTCTGTCGCACGCGTGCGCGTACGCTCCGAGATTACGAGCAGAGAGCACCTCACAAAGCTGACAACAAAGCTGTGTGACCAAGCTCACAGAGCTAGCGCGGCCGTGCAGTGCACTGGTGGGCGCAGTGGTGCGCATTGGGTCGCACTAACGCTACGCAACGTCGTGGAACGAGAAACGCGGGTACGCCACCTCTGGGCAGGAGCCAGCTCACACTACAAGTTTGCATTTGAGGGCTAAGCGAGCTCGACGCGGGCGACGCTCGCATCACTCGCACGAATTCGCAGCCATGCGACTCTTCATCTGCTCGTTTTTGCTGCACGCCGCCACCGCGTTCATCGCGCCGCGGCCGCCGCGACCGACCCCGCTGCGGTCAAGCAACGACTTCGAGAATCCGAACCCGTTCATGAAGGACGTCATCGACGCCGTGCCGACGCTGCGGGAGGGTCGCACGATGCAGTTGGTGCTGGGCAGCGAGGAGCCGACGCCGCCGTCCGACGCCGAGCAACAGAAACTTAGAGAGGCGGCCGCCGACGAGCTGCGCAATATTGATGGAGCCGAGCGAGCTAGACGGCTCGCCGCGGGGCGCGTCCTCGCCGTGGTGACGCTCCTGCAGTCCGCGTTCCTGTGCGCGGCCCACGCGGCGTTCGTCCCGCGGCTCTCGCTGCTTCCTGGTTTATTTCTGTCGCTCGGGTTATATGATTCGGCGAAGACGGGCCTGTGAAACATCGCCCAGTCCGGCCTCTGGGACGTGGCCGGCACTGGGCTTGAGCGCGCACCGGATGGTGTGGCGAAGCAAATCTTAGATCGAGTGAACTCGATGAACGTCTCGACGTCGCTCAAGGCGCTCGCCGTCACGGTCCTGTTCGCGAGCGCGGCGTTCCTCGACCCGCTCGCGCGCTAGGATTGTTTCTGCGAGACGGCAGGCCACCCATTTATGACGCGGCGGCCGTGGCGGCTTCTGGCCGCGCGACCGTCGCCGACGCGGGTGAATTGCTCCCTCTCTAACGTGGTATTTTGTGAGTTCGGCATTAATGATATCGATGTTACGGTGCTAGGACTACATTAATCGCGCTAGCGGCCGTAAGACACTAGCCAGCAGTCGTTTTTGCTCTGAAAAACGAACGGCTTACAGCTCTTGACGCGCCGATAGGTTGCACGTTTTGACTACCAGTACTGCTCACTCTTGCCTCCTTGCGCGGCTCAGCCTCTCGGTCACCTCTGCGGCCACGTCATCACACAGATCCACAACTGGCTCATCAGCCGTTATTCGCCATGCTGCGTACCCCCGCGAGCCTGCGGCGCCTCAGCCTCGCCGTGTCGAGCAAGGCCTTCGACCCGCAAGCCGGCCTGGCCTCCGTCGGAACGGCGGCCCTGCTGCGCAGCGCTACCGTCAGTCTCTGTGCAGAAATCAAATTTCGCGGCGCTTCTCCGCTTACGGCTGAATCATAACTTCCACGCCATCGACGCGACGCCTGCTCGATGGACACAGGTCATGAGCGCGCTCCGGCTCCCGGGCGGCACCGCCATCGCGCAGTCCACCCTCCAGGCCGCGACGACCTCGAGCGTGGCTGCCTCGCTGGTCGGCGCCGCGGCGGAGGGCCGGTTTGTGGGTGGCGCGACGCTGGAAGACGCGAAGCGGACGGCCGCGGCCCTCGCCGAGGACGGCATCGCCACGATCGTCGATCACGGGGTGGAAGAAGCCGATGATGTCCAGCTCGAACTCGCGCGGAAGCGCCAGCTCGTCGCCGCCGCTGGTGGCCTTACCGTGCCGATCAAGCCCACTGCCGTCGCCGACGGAGCGATGCTCCGCGCGCTCGCGGACTTGATACAGCAGGCGCCGGAGCCCGACGCCGCGCGCCTCGACGGCGAGCTGGTGACGCAGCTGAGTGAGGAGCATCGGAAGCACTTCGACGACGCCGTCGAGGGCCTGGTGCGCCTCGCGCGCGACGCGGAGGCCGCGGGCGGCGCGCTTTTGCTCGACGCCGAAATGACCGACCTGCAGCCGGCCGTCGACCGCCTGTTCCTGAGCGCGCTCGAGGCGTGGGCCGCCGACGCGGACCGCGCGTTCGCGACGTACGCGGCTGTGTGGAAATCAACCAGTGAGTTCTGTTACTTCGTGATCCTCCACGCCATCGAGCAGAAGCTGTTACGAGGACAACGTCGCGTCGATGGCGGTAGAATCGCCACGCCGTCGAGCAGACGCCGCTACGGAAGCACGTCGCGTCGATGGCGTGGGGCGCCCGAAATTTGATTTCCACGCAGGTACGCGGGCCGGCCGGCGCGCCCCGGGCCGCCGCTCTACAACACGTACCAGTGCTACCTCGCCGGCTCGGAGGCGCGCCTGGCCCTCGACGCCGCATTCGCCAAGGACCTCGGGGTCGCGTTCGGGGCCAAACTCGTGCGCGGCGCCTACGTGGCTGAAGCTAAGGCGGCCGGCCGGCTCCGCGGGTCCAAGGCCGAGACGGACGCGGCCTACGACGCAGCCGTCTCCCAATTAATAGAGGCCGCGGCGGCGGGCGACGACGTCTACGCGTTCCTCTGCACGCACAACGCGGCGAGCTGCGAGAAGGCTTTGTCGAAGGCGGACGCGCTGCACCTCGAGCGGGGCGACGACCGCCTCAAGTTCGCGCAGATCCTGGGCCTCTGCGACGGCCTGACGCGGTCGCTCGCCGCTGCGGGCTGCCGCGCGCACAAGCTCGTGCTCTTCGGGGCGACGCGCGACCTCGCGCCCTGGATCGGGCGGCGCCTCGCGGAGAACGCCGACGCGCTCGGGGCGCCGGCGGCCGAGGCTCCCGCCTTATGGCGAGAATTGGCGCGGCGCGTGGTCGGATGATCTCGCTCCTGTTTAAACTTAGTTCCTATCTATATCCGTCGTTCAACGTGGTTAGTCAGAGGGGAAGGGATGGGATGGGCTCTAGGGATGGGCGGCCGCCGAGTTAATCGGGGCGCGCGGGCAAGACGCCTCAGGCCTTCTCGGCGACCCGCTCGTTGACGGGGTTGTGGACGGGCGCGAAGACGGGCTTGCCCTCCTTCTCCTTCTTCGCCATGGCTCCGATGCAGCAGAGCGCGGCGATCGCAATGACGGCCGCGGCGATGAGGCCGCCGACGAGCCCGGCGTCGTCGTAGGCGCGGCGTCGCGTCGCGTCGGTTCGCAAGGGGCGATTTACGCGCGCTCTCATCAATGGCGTGGCGTCAACGTTATCTGGAGTGCCTAAGACGAAGGTAACGAAGCGAGGCGCGCGCGCGTGCGCCACTTTGCCTGCAAAGTTTCACTGCACCAAAATCAGAATTCGCTGATAGCGATGCTTTTGCAAAAAAAAGTATAGGGCGTGTCGTTTAAGGATCCCTACGCCGCCTTGCTTACGTTTTTGAGGTCTGTACGTGCCCACAAGGGGCAAACAAAGCTTGACTATCTTGATTCGGAGGGCGTCTAGTATGCTTAACGCTAGTCTGTCTTTTCGATTGGTTTAAATCACTTACATGCACACTAGAAGAGCTCAAGCGCTGCTCGGTTCCGCCACAACCCCCGCAAACACGACGCGCCCCGTCGCCGCGTGCTCGATCGCGAACACGAAGGGGCGATCAAACTTGAGCACGCGCGGCGGCCGGGGCATGGCCCGTTGCGCCACTATGACGGCCGTCGCCGCGGCCGCTTCCGTACCCTCCTCGTCGACGGAGATGACCGCGCGGTGCAGCACGGAGTCGACGTGGAGGTCCGGCCGGTCCGCGATGCCTAGGAAGCCCCCGCCCTCGCGCTTGATGAGGCCCAGGCCAAACGAGGCGTCCAGCACGTCCATCAATTCAACAACGCCCGAGTCGATCTTAAAGCGAGGCAGCACCACCACAACCTTGTCCTCGGCGAGGGGCCGGAGCTCCGCCCAGCGCGCCGGCAGCGCCGCCGCCGTCGCACGCGCGCCCGCGAGTCCGTCCGACTCGGGCAGAATCAGCACCATGCGGAGGTCGTCTTTTGCATACGGAAGAGCCACGGCCTGACCGACGCCAGCGGCGTTATGAACAGCATAGCGCTGCTCCTGCCGCATGAAGTCGACCTGCTTCTCGCCACTTGGTGCCTGGAAGGCGCCCGGCCGGGAGTTACCCTTCTCGAACTTCTTGAGCCACGTACCCTTGAAGTACACGGCGTTTAGGAGAATAGCCGTCGTCATCGGGTCCCGGACCGTGCCGTCGTCAATAAGGTTGGTGATCAGTCCCTTCGTAGCCTTGGCCACAAACTCGTTGATGGGCGCCGCCGACGCCGGCATCGGCGCCGCGGCGGCGTTGAAGAGCCGCTTCAGTTTGTCGGCGAACGACGCCTTCACATCGGCACGCGCGTACAACGCGTTCGCCGCGTCGACGCCGGCCACCTGGACGTCGATGCCCCCGACCGCCTTCCGGAGAGCCGCCTCGTGGCGGCTCCCGGGCGTCGCGCCGGCGAGCGCCATCTTCAGGGCCGTCGCGATGGACAGGGGGCTCACAAAGACATTCTCGCGATCAGAGGACAGGGCTTTGAGGAGCTCGAGCGCGAACGCCGGCGTCGCGCCGTCGCCCTCAGCCCGCGGCGGCGCGCCGCCGACGAGGTCCTTCGGTGAGTACGACGGCGGCGGGTCGTCTCGGAGGCCCGGAAGGGTGCGATACGCGTTCTGGCGCGTGAGCTGCGGGCGGCCGTCGCGCGGCGTCGGCGTGCGTAAGGCGCGGCGGCAGAGCGCGACGACCGCGATGGCGCACGCACCGACGCCGAGCATCGTTTTCGTGGTTGGCATTCCGCACAGTGTGTGCGCGCGTTCTTTTCTTAGTGCGTCGACAGCGCAGAGAACGCAGAGGACAAGAATGCGTCCGCCGTTCGCGCTCGGATGCCTGCTGGGATAAAGCTCCGGGTGTGTTTTACGTGTGCTGGGGCTTAGAGCTCAGAGTTTTCAACTCGGTTGCTGAGAACAGGTACTGACGGCTCTACTTTCACGGCTTGGCAGCAGCGCTTGGTCTTTAGCGGGCACTATCAGGCCCACAAAAAGCTTGTCTGAGGGCTGCCAACACAGGTTCCTACGCGTGGCGCACGGAGACATCCATGCCATCCCAGGATACTGGTAGGCAAAGCTCCCGACGGGTATCGAGGAGTAGCGGCGGCACGAGCGTGTTCGTCGACAAAAAACGCGCCGCGCGGCCACGAAAAAAAAACAACAAAAGACTAAACCCGCTCCTTACGCAGCTTCTTCCGCAGCCCCCGCCTCCGCGAAAACGCGTGCTCGACCGTGTCGCCGCGCTCGAGCGCCGCCACGAGGTCCGTATTGGAAGAATCGACGAACGAGACGGCACTAGCAGCGGCGCCGCGCGCGCCGCCCTCCCAACACGGTGCAGGTGGCTGGCTGCGTCCGTCGCGTCGTACTGCACCACCCTTTTGACTTCCGGCAGGTCCAGCCCGCGCGCGGCCAGGTCCGTGCATACGAGGACATTAATCTTGGCCGAGGCAAACAAATCCAAAGTGGCCAGGCGCCGCTCCGGGTCGACGTCCTTCGTGTAGGGCGCCGCCGCAATACCACCCAAAGCGAGCCGCTCTGAAACTGCAGAAGCGCGGTTCGCCGTCTTGCAGAAGACCATCGTCCGTTCCGTGCTCTCGAGCAAGTCATTCAATTTCGCGTCGCGCTCGTCATCACTTTGTACACTTTCAAACACATGTTCTAGGGTCGAGACGACGCCGTGCATCGGCAAATCCGCGCATCGCGTCGCGTTCGCGAAGTACTTTGTCACCAGGCCGTCGACGCTTCGCAGCCCCTGGTTGGGCAGCGTCGCGGCGACGACGACGCGGCGGCACCGCTCCGGCACGTCCTCCACGAGATCGTCATTGCCTTCCCTCCTCCGCTCGACGCGTTTCAGTGCCACTAAACACCGGTCCAGCTGCTTCTTGAAGCCACCGTCCAAGAGCATGTCCGCCTCGTCCAGCACCAAGGTCGACAGGCCCTCCCACAGGTCCAGATCTCGATCAAAGGCCGCGGCGAAGGACGGCGTCGCGACCAGAACGTCGGGCGCCTTGCCCGGCGCGTAGGGCCAGCGCCAGCGCGCCGCCGTGGCGCGCCTCGAGCGAGAAGAGCTTGCTTTCGTCGGTGAACGGCGGCTGCGTGTCCGCGCCGAGTCGCGCCGCCACCCGCCGCAACTGCGTCCCGAGCTCGCGGTTCGGCACGAGCACCAGCGCCGCGGGGTAGGGCGTGTGCTTCCGTCGATTCGCGACGGCGCGCTGCGCCGCCGGTAATAGATAGGCCAGGGTCTTGCCGCTCCCGGTCTCGGCACCCACGACGGCGTCGTCTTCCTGCTTTAAAAGAGCGGGCAGCGCCGCGCGCTGGACGGCGTTCGGCTCGGGCCACTGTTTTGAAACGAGATCGCTCATATCGCTGTTGAGGCCCAGGGCTTCCCACGCCGCAGCGCTCATCAGGCGCGTCGTCGGCGCGCGCACCGCGGCGCGTGCAGCAAAGCCTCGCGCGCGCGCGATTGTCAGGAGCATCATCGCCTTATGCAGTAGGGACATTTGTTGCAGGTGTGAGCAAGCGTGAGTGATGCAGCTACGACGCAGACCAATGCTAATGATTTAATGTCGCATCGATGGCGTCTGCAGCGTCTTATATCGCTGCGCGCGCGAGTTGAGGCCGGAATTAGCGTGTGTAGACATACTAGCTTATTCCCGACGTCAAAGAATTTACAAGTGCGAGGGGCTGCCGCATATATGGCGCACGATACATTCTGTACCACGGCATGATGGTAGAGCAGCCCCACGGCATGACTAGACCATAGCAGCAAATGCTCCGCATCCTCCTCCTCGCCACCGCCGCGGTCGCCTCAACCAAGCGCGGCCACAAACACAAAAAACCAGCAGCCGCCGCGCCGCCGAAGCTGGCCTACATGGCGATCCCGGGAGCAAAAGACGAGACGAGCGCGCCGCGCGCGTGCTGGGCCGCGCCCAAGAGTTGGAGAGAGGGCCTGGTGGATGCCTACGGATCCTCAGTTGTTGTGTGCTCGCCCGAGGCCCTGCGTTCAAATAAAATGTGCGCGTGCCGCCTGTGCCCTGTGGATGAATGCGTGTCCAGGAATGCGCTCGCTCAACTAAACCTCGACCACGCGCTGGGCGTCGGCTCCGGGAGGGACAGCGACGCCCTGCGCGAGTTCTACCGTCTCACGGCGAACGCGAGCCTCGTCACCAACGTGCCCATCAGCGAGGGTCATACGACGAAGCGCGAAGAGATGTGGGGGTCACTCGTGGACGTGGTCATGTCCTTCCTCAAAACAGTGAAGCCTCCTTTAAAAATGAAGCCCTGCGCGCGGCCGCCTTCCTCAAAATGCGCTGCGGCGCTGGCGGCGCCACCATACCAATACGCTGGCGCGCCGCGTGCGCGCGGCGTTCGTGGGCTCCGTGCAGCCCACGAAGGTACCTTTATCGTTCTTCCAGAAGTTCGACAAGGCCGCGGGGTTGGATTTTGTGCGGCGCTTCTCGTGGCACTCTACGGCGCGGACCGCGGCAACTACTCGGGCGCGCCTCGAGGCGTGCTCGACGCGATGAACCTCTCATCTACATTCCACGGCCGCGTCGACGACGTCCAGGGGGCCTACTGCGCGGCCGACGTCGCCGTCGCCTTCCCGCTCCACGACCGGAACCCGCGCGTTCCCACCGAAGCTTTGAGGGCGGGGCGGCCAGTCTTCGCGTCGCTCGAGGCGAACCTGGCAGGAGCGGTCGCTTGCCAGCCATTTGTGGGTGCGGTCTCGTGGCGGGATTCGCGCCGAAACCTGATCGCCGCCTTTCAATCGTGGGCGCTCAACGCGACGGCGGCGGCGCCGGCGGTCTTCGACGCCTTCGCGGCGAACTGCCTCGACCGCACGGCGCTCTTCGACCGCGTCTGGCGCGTGCTGGAGCGCGTCAAGGACGAGAGGCAGGGCGCGCGGCGCGCCGTCGCGTGCGAGGCGCCGGGCGCGTGTCTCAGGCCGACGTGCGGCGACGGGCCGACCGTCGAGGTCGCGGCGCGGGCGTGCCTCGGGGTCTCGTGATGATGAGTTAGTGGTGGAATGGTGTTAGTCAGGCAGCTCGCGCTCTCCTCCTTGGGTTCCGGCGCCGGCGAAACGAGGCCAGTGGCTTCGAGCACGGCTCGTGTCCGGGACTTTGGCTCGGGCTCAGGCTCGGGCGCGGCCAGGCCCACGGCTTCAAGAACGCATTGCGTTGTCGATTTTTGTTTGGGCGGCGGGACGTTCTGTGGTGCGGTCGACGTCGCAAACCAAGGCTTTGCCGCGGGCTCCTTGGCGTCTGCGTCGCTGGCGAAGAGGCTCCGGCGGGGCGTCGCGGCCGGCGTGCCGCCGCCGCCGAAGACGTAGTCGGAGAGCGCGCCGGGCGACCGTGCGCCCGGCGTCGCCGGCTCGTCGGCGCTCTCGCCTCGGAAGAGGAGACTAAAGGAGTACTCGGAGCCGCGCGGCGACGTCGCCTCCTCGCTGTCCGATTGCTCCTCGCTTTGGCAAGCGTCGAAAAAGGGGCAGAGCAGGTCGCTCATCGCCTCGGCAGCAAGGGTTTGGCCGGGAGCAGAGGTTTTGGCAGCCTGGTCCAGCGGGAGGGCGGGGGCAGCCTTGAAATCTGAGCTGCCACAGAGCATCACATTGGCGGAGAGCCCGTACGGGTGCACGGATTCAAAACTCGAGGTGGCCTACATGAAAGATGGGCGCTTTTGCGTATTCGCGCGACGCATCCTGACGCTGCTAGTGTCTTACAGCCTCTAGCTAGCTATTGCTTGCGAAATCGTGCCGCGCTCGGGCCGCGTGCTCACGCAATTGTGGGCCATAGACGTGCTCAGGCTGTTTAACGCATCGCTGCGACTGTCCACGCGAGCTCACGCAAGTTTCGAGCATCGCTGCCGGCTCAAATTTGCTCTCTGTATAGAGCTCACTGCCGTGCAAGAGATGTCGCGCCTCGCGGACTACAGCAAATTTGATAATCTGGACGACAGCGACGACGACGCGCCGGCACCCGCACCGCCACAACAGAAGCTCGACCCCCAAGGCATCCCCGAGGGCGCGCAGTACACGAAGCCGACGATGACGAATGAAGTCAAGGGCGGCAACGTCGCGCGCACGCGCGAGGCCGCCGGGCCCGACGGCCACGTCATGGACGCCAAGGGCGGCGTCCGGTCGGTGGGCTCGCTGACGCCCAAGGGCAGCGAGGTCGGCCGCTACCAGTTCAAGCACGAAGGTCGATTGATTTATGAATGGGACCAGAGCTTGGAGGATGTCAACATCTATGTGAAGCCGCCTCCTGGAGTAACGCCGGACATGATCGACTGCAAGCTGACGCCGTCGCATTTACGACTTGGGTTAAGGGGCAACCCGCCGTTCCTGGACGAGCCGACGGGCGGGCCCATCGTCGCCAAAGAGTCGCACTTCTACATGGTCGACGGCGAGATCACGGTGGCCATGTCGAAAATGAGAAAAGGAGAAACGTGGGGCACGGCCTTAGGTGGAAGGGGCCAGGTCGACCCCTTCACGCGCCAGGAGATCCAGCGCGAGCTCATGATCGAAAGGTTTCAGGAGGAGCATCCCGGCTTCGACTTTAGGTCTGCCGAATTCAACGGGCAAGTCCCCGACCCGCGCGCGTTCATGGGGGGGGTCAAGTACCCGCAGCAGTCCACCCATCACCGTAGTATAACGCCCGTCGCTGCTAGCGGGAGAGGCGCCGCGCGACGACCACCACCGCGGCGGCGCGGAAGAAGAGGATGAATCCGGCCAGGATGCCGATGTTCACCCAGTAGTTCTTCTTCCAGCTGCCCGTGTAGTCGGGCAGCTTCAACCTCGTTTTGAGGACCTGCTCGCCCGTGTCCAAACCGCGCCCGGCGGCGCGTTGTAGGTTCGATCCTGCAACCCGGCGATCGCGAGCGCCTGCCAGACGTAGTTCAGGTAGTCGATATAAGTCGCCCATCTAAATACCCACGTCATGTCGCGCTGGTTCACGAAAAATCCCGACAGCAGCATCATGGGCATGATCGAACCGGGAGCACTCAGCACCGCCAATTGCATCGTCGGCGCGACGCTGGACAGGAGGAATGACCACGAATTCGTGCATACCACCGTCGCGAGGCACGCGAGGTAGACCCGTATAAACCGCGCACCGTTGTTGCCGCGCGTGAGGCCCGTCACGTTGCCCACGATGGCCAGGTAGAGCAAAGGCGGTATGACGAGTAGGGGCGTCTCGACAATGAACTTCGCGGGAGTGTAACTGGTGGGCCGGTACCAGCAGTTCCGCACCTCCTTCTGGGTCACGTGGATCTCCGGCAGCACGCTCAGCACGACGGGCAGCGCGCTCGTCAGGGCGAGGAAGACCATCGTAAATAAAAGCAGACTGATCGTGCTGTTGATGCCTTCGAAATTTGAGTCCAATTCGCCATACAGAATCGACAACACGATCGAGACGCCCACCGCGGAGCCGATGCGCATGCGCGCTAAGATCGGTTCCCTGACCATCGCGCGCGCGTTCCGCACGCAGTGGGCCCGGATCTGGCCCGGCAGCGAGAGCGCGTAGCGCGGGCCCGACGTTGAAATAGGCGGCGGCGGTGGCGGCAGCGGCGGTGCTTCGGGAGCCGCCTTCGTGAGCGCGTCGGGATCCTCCGTAAGAGCGTCGAACATCGCGTCCGCCGGGTTTGCGAGCTCGTGGACCGGCCGCCCGATGTCCGCGAGCATCTTCGCGGGCTGGGCGCCCGGGGCGACGGGTCCTTCGTAGACCAGCGACCCGCCCGCCCGTAGCAGCAGCAAGCGATCGAACGCGAAGAACGCCGCCGCCGAGGGCTGGTGGATCACCGCGACGCAACACACGCCGCGCCTCGCGAGCGCTTGCAGCGACCGCACGAGCGACATCGTCGCGACGGCGTCCAGGCCACTGGTGGGCTCGTCCAGAAACAACGAGGGGTCGCCGCAGAGCTCCAGCGCGACGGACAGGCGCCGCCGCTGGCCCCCTGATGCTCCTCGTTTTCCCTCGCCCGGCCGGCCTACGGGTGTGGAAAGGCAGTCCACGAGCCCGAAGCGCTCCGCGAGCTCGTTCACCTTTTGGTCGCATTCCAGCGAATCCGCAGCGTGGCCCGTCTTGAACAGGACCGCCTCCCGCAGCGACTCTTCCACGGTCAGGCAGGGCGTGAGCAGGTCGTCCTGCGGCACGAAGGACGCGACGCGCCGCATCGTCCCGGCGTCGAACGGCGCGCCGTTCACTTCGACACGACCGCTCGTCGGCGCCGCGGCGCCGGAGACGCAGAGGAGCAGCGTGGTCTTGCCGCTGCCGCTCGGACCCATGACGGCGACGCTCTCGGCGGGGCCGAAGTGGCCCGAAACATCATCTAAGATGCGCTTTGTTTGGTCTTTGCCGGTTTTCACGTCTAGAGTGATGCCCGTGAATTTCACTTGCACGGGTGTGGCCGCCGAGGCGGCTTCGACGTCGTCCATGGCTTTCCTGGCCTACCAGGTGACTGCTCTGATCGCGGTAACGGCGCGTCGAGGCAAGCGCATAAATCGCAAATCGGCTGCGGCTGCGTATTGCTGCGTAACCTAGGCCCAATGGCTGTAACCAATTGCGTCTAGCAGCGTACGGAGCCTGCCAAATCTGCGGCTTGCTAGTGTCTTACGGGCGCTAGGCGTTGCCGAGCGCCCGGGGTCCGTACTACCTGGGGGTGGGCACAATAAGTGACTCTCTCTCTCTTGCCGGACTCCGTCCTGGGAACAGCTTTTGGCGAAACGGAGGAGAGGAGGCAATTCAACAGTATTAATTACGCCACCACAGGTCCCGCCTTCAGCAGCGTCGCGACGCAGTCGTTGTACGCGGGTCTCGTCGTATACGTCTCCAAGAGCAAAGACGCCTCCTTGCCCTGCGCGAAGAGCTGCCACGGCTCCGGGTAGACGCGAAACAACCATCCTGCCCGCCCCTTGTCGGCGACGTTTTTCAGCACCACGAGCGCCTCGGCGTCGACGACGAAGCGGTCGACGCACTCCGCGAGCTTCGGAAATAAAGGGCGCGGGTAGAAGCCGCCCCGCAGTTTGTCGAACGCGCCGTTGACCGACACCAGCAACCCGTCGCTCGGTTGGCAGCGCTCCAGATTCAACCAGTCCTCGAGCGGGCCTCCGTCGCCGGGCTGGACCGCGACGACGACCTGGGGCGCCGGCGCCGTCGTGGTCTCCGGTTTTGCGCCGAGGTTCGACGTCCCGAGGAGCCCCTCCGCCGCGCGCGCGAACGCCGCGCCCCACGCCTGGTCCGACGACCCGCTCAGGACCTCGGCGGCGTCTTCGAGCGTCGTGAGCGTCGCCTTGGCGTACGCGGCGCCGGGCCACTCCTCCCGCGCGAGCTCCAGCTCCTTGCGGTCGGGGAACGCGAGCCACAGCTCGCCGTCGAGCTCGCCCGCGAGCGGCTGCATCGACGCCATGCACCAGTCCCGATTCCAGTTGAGGATTTGCACCTGTGTGGAAATCAAAATTTTACGGCGCGTTCGTGCTGAATCATCGCGTCGTCCTCCACGCCATCGATGGCACCCGACGCACTTGTTGATTTCCACACAGATGTGCACGTTGTCGACGTCGTCAAATGCCGTCTTCTCGCCAAGTAACGCAGGAAACTCAATCTCTCCCAGCTTCACGTTGGCTTCGCGGGCCGCAGCGATGGCCCGTAATGCGACCGGCGCCAGCGCTTCGGCGGGTCGATTTCTCGTGCCGGCCGCGACCTCGTAGGCATTTATGCCCGGCGGCAGCGGCGTCAGGGCTGCTGCGGCAGCGATGACCAACAGCGTCGCGTGGTGGCTGCGCATGGTAGCGCTCGACAGCGATGCGTAGAGTGCAGTAATGGTGCAGGAGAGCGCTTGCAGCAGCAGAGTGCGCACTCTTAACGCTCCGTTTGTGCAGTATGTTCGCGTTTGGTGGCGGCTCGGCGGCGCGAGGCTAGCGTCCTGTAAGACACTAGCCAGCTATACAAAGCGGCTGACCAACGGCAGATTGATTTCAGGGCTCCTGCGCTACCACGCAGCTCCACGCAGACCTGCTGGCCGCGGCGCAGCGGTGGCCAACATCTCCACGCAGTCCTGCTGGTCAGGAGCAGTGGCATCAGGAGCAGCGGCATGGGCAGCAATGAGACCCGCAAGGCATTCCTGCGCGCCGCCTTCCGGCGCCGCGCCGCATTCGTCGCGACAGCCGCCTTGCTCGCCTTCTTCTTCCTGCTCGACTTTAAACCAGCAGAAACGCAAACAAAAATCGCCACCGCGACCTACGGCGCGTGCCCGGACAAGATCGAAGTGACGCGCCGCGGCGCGACCATCGCGGGCGCGCGGCCAATACTGAAAGGCAAGGTCTGCGCACAAGCCGTCGACGCGGGCTTTTGCATCGACGAGCCGAAGAAGCCGCTGCGCTGTCTGCCCTCGTTTATTGTGGCCGGGGCCCAGAAAGCCGCGACCGGCTGGCTGCGGCAGCGCCTCGCCGCGCACCCTTCATTGGCGCAGGGCGGTGGGAAAGAAGTTCATTACTTCGACAAGCTCCAGAATCTACATGAGTGGCGCTCGACGTACCTCGATAATTTTGCGACGCCTTCTGCTTTGATCACGTACGAGAAGACGCCGGACTACCTGCCGAACGCCACGGCCCTCAAAAGTATATACAGTTTGATCCCGTCCGTGTCATTAATCTTCATGCTGCGCGACCCGTCATCTAGGGCCTATTCGGCGTACCAGCACCACTGTAGGAAGGGAAGATTTTACGAAGGTCCCAAGTTCGCCCTCGAGGAGGACGTGACGGGGCGGCCCCTCGCGGCGCCCTGCGCGCCCGAGGACTTCGAGGCCTTCCTACGAGTTGATAAAGGCGTTGTGACGAACACCCAGACGCGCCTCGTGACGTGGGGCCTCTACGCGGATCAAATCAAGCAGGTGCGCGCGCTGGGCTTCGACGATGCCCGTCTTTTAGTTATCATGTCCGAGACAGCGATGAAGGATCCATCAAAACTGCTCGACGCCGTGGTCCAGTGGCTCGGGCTCGAGCGCTTCGACTTTAGTTCCCTGAGAACGTTCACGGACGCTTTAGGAAGGGACCAGCTGCGCGAGCCCGGAATCACGGGCTGGGCCAAGGCGACGTACATGCGACATAACGCGATGATGGTGCGGCGCCACTCGCCGCGGCCTCTACTAACGTCGACGCGCGCGGCGTTGGATGCGTTCTACGCGGCGCCCAATGCTGAGCTGGAAACGCTGTTGCGGACCGCCGCGGACCGCGTGGCCGTGTACCCGGCGCGCGGGGCTGGCGCGGTCTTGCCGGCGTCTTGGAGTAGGAATTCTTAGTGTGACTATTTTTGTCTTCTCTCTTCTTGTCAGGCCCAGGCTATTACGTCGCGGCGTCCCCCTATCTCCCGCTTGGATGCGGGTTTTTCCATTGATTACGCAGACTTACGCAGTGCAATCGAGGTTTTACAAGGCTTCTCGGGCGTCTCGGACCGTCGGACGTTGGCGCGAGCATCATGAGGCTCTTAGCGCATCTGCTAGGCGTCTTTGCCGCCTGCTCGGCGAACCCATTGCTCTCCCTCTTCTCCAAGGCCAAATCATTGGCCTCGGCAAGGAACATCGGCATTACCGCCCTACTGCCGGCTCTCAATACTGTCCGGGAAGCGGCCAGTGCGGCCGAAGACGACCGCCAGGGACTCAAGGACTCGTTGCGCGAGAAAGCGAGCGAGACGGCTAAGTACTGCGTATGGCTCCACCTCGACAGAGATGAGAAGGCCGCGAAAGAGATCGATTGTGATGAGTTCACCAAGATGGTCAAGACAGGCCTGCCGCGCATGAAGAAGAAATTGCGCCGCCGCGGATTTCTTTCGCGGCTGTTCACGTCGACGCCGTCAAACGAACTCGTCGAGATGTTCCTGGAAGAGGAGATCGCGAAGACCCTCAAAGAGAAGAAGGTGAGTCTGAAGGATGGGGACAATGGAGGCTATCTTCCTCATCTGGGCGCGAGGAAGCCAAGCGAAGCTGCCTGCCGCACGAATAAGTCCGAGAAGGCACCGAAGGAGGAGAAAGCGTGCCCCAAGGGGGCGCTGTGCTTTCCGTGGCCCAAACTCGCTTGGATCAAGCCGCCGCCGATGTGCACGATTCCTAAAGACAGCACGGTGGCGACGCAAACCAAGTTCGGCAAGCGGCTCCTCGTCGCGGTCACGTCGGCTCTCCTCGGCGTCGCGCTGCTGCCCTTCAAGTGAGACTGCTCGCGCCGCGCTCCACTCCTGCCTAAGCGCACCAATTGCTAGAAACACCGGAGATCATTAGTCCCGGGGAACCTCAGACGCTCGGGATCGCGTCCCCACTCATCCCGACCGCGAAGGCCAGGAGCAAGACGGCGCCGAGGCCGCCGAGGATCATCATCGAGCCGCTTTGCTGGTCTTTTGACTCGATCAAGATGCCGATCTGCGCGACGACGTCCCGGCCGTTCTTCGCTCGGTAGAGCTGCTCGCCGACGGCGGCGTCCGAGTCGATCACGGGCGAACTGGCGCGCGACGCGATCGAGCGCCACGAGCCGCCCTGCTTCTTTTCGATACTGATGTTGCCGCCTTTGTTGCTCCAGCTCAGCTGGACGTGGCCGTGCTCCTCCGCGGTAGCAGGCGTCTCGACGACCTTCGCGTTCATGCGCAGGCCGCCGCCGCCCAGCTCGGCGGACGCGCCTTCGATCGACATCCCGATCAGGCCGTCGGCCGCAGCTTTTGCGTATTTCTGCTTGGTACGCTGTTCTCGCTCCGATCTACTGCGCGCCGTCGCCGCGTCGTCGACCTGTTGCTCGAGCCACGGCGCGTAGAGGCGGCCGTCCTTGTTGACGAACTTGGACGCTGCGCCTTTTAATTTATTCGTATCGTAGCTGTCGGTCCACTTGTTGTAGGCCGCCAGGGGCGCGAGGCGACTCGGTCTCGCCGGCTGACCAGCCCTTGGGCCACAGCAGCTAGGGATGCGAGCAGGATACGCGTAGACATGGTGAGGGTGATCTGGTCTGCAGGGCTATGTTGTCAGCTTTGCACGCTTTGTGCACAGTCTCCGATGCCCGTGAGGGCGAGCACAGCGCGTGGTTCTGGTTCTGCCAATCTGAGCGAGATAACTAGCGGCCATAAAGACACTAGCGAAACGGAATCGCTGGATTTGGGGAGGTATCTACAAGAGAGGCGACCCAGAGACTACGAGCACAATATAGATAAACTTACGTCGGGTTCGCCGCGAGCAGAATAAAAGTAAAAGGCAGGATCACGAGGTTCGCGAGGACCAGCAGGCCCATTAAAAAAGCGAGCCAGTGCCACGGGCGCTTCAACGCGCGCATGAACGGGTACGGGTACCGTCCTACTAACTTGTAGTTCATCAGCGTCAACAGGCAGTAGGAAGCACAATAGCACGACGCAAACAACGCCACATTCATCACGTTTCTCATAGAAAGCGGGAAGACGCCCGGCCGCTTCGCGAGGAAGCAGTCGAGGATCGCCACCGGCAACGGCGGCAGGTGGCTCACCAATGTAATCTCCGTGAAGCGCACGCCGCGCGCGTTCGTGGCCTCCAAGACCTCGCGGCGCCACGTTTCTTCAAACCAGTTCAGCTTCAGGTACAAGAGCGTCAGGGAGACCGCCACAACAGCAGCAAACGGCGCGAAGAAGTGCGTCAGCGCGAGCAGTTTACCCGAAGCCACGCGAAACTCCGCCAGGCAGCTCACGATGAGGTGCGACGTCTGTATGGTCAAAGCTTGCTTCGTGAAGAAGGCGTACGGACCCAATGTCGACGCGCAGGCGTGCGAGTCCGACCCTTTTTCCGGTGGGGGATTGCGCCATGTGTCCGTAAATAAAGATGAGCCACCACAAAGTAGTAAGAAAGCCGAGGCGACGCATCGATACGACGAGAAAGGCACGTCCACGGAAGGTTGGGCGAAGGACCGCGACGCTAGTAGTAGTGAAACCACGACGCAGAACACGCCGCGCTGGACCCAGCGCACGCTCCTCGCTTTGACGGCCGGGTCGTATCCGAGGGACGTCCACCACGCGTCACGATCCAAAATCTTGTCTATTTTTGCTTTCTGTTTCTTTATTTTTTCCTTAACTTGTTTTTTCGTGCGCTTTACCTTGTCCTTGACCTGCTTCTTTTTTCTCCTTACGGTCTCCTTGACGCGGTTCTTCGTCCTCCGTATGGAGTTGGTGAGGCTCTCCATTGACGAGGACCGCGACATCGTGCCGCTCGGGCTCGCCGGCGGGCTCAGCTCGACGGCGAGGTCTGCGGCCTGCTCGGCGGCGCGCTGGCGGCGAGTAGCAACCATGCTTGTGTGCGGTGCTGGTGCGCAGCGATGGCGTGCTGAGGTGCCGTGCAGCTGCCTCCTGAAGAGTATGAGTGTTTGGCGCCTTCAATCAGTGCAAACGTGGAGCGCTGGCCAACAGCGTGGGTCGTGACAGGCGGCAGCAGTTTCGGGTGCTTGCTCTCCTAGTGTCTTTATGTACTAGCGCTGCGCGATGCGGCGTCCCCTCGTGCATAGCACGGGTTTGCGCATCAGTTCCATCTCCTGTCCGTCTCGCAGGACCAATCCGGGAGCTTAAGACGCCGAGGAGCCGGCCCGGCGTCGCGCCGCGAGCGGCCGCCTCCCAGGAAAAACACTGGAGAAAAACACAACAGAACAAAGTTAAGCCTCCAACGTCAACGCGGCATCATCACCAGCAAAATTCACGAATGACTGGAGCGACGCGCGGCTATCGCCAGACGTCCAGCCCTGGACCGCGTGCGGCCGCTGCACCGACAACATCACCAAATCGCCCGGCGCCACCTCCAGCACGATTGGCGGCGGCAGGCGCGCCCGCAGCTCCCGCTGCGCGTCTTCATCGATGGAGACGAGTTTGGAAAGAGTGTGCGCGTTCGTATAAAACTCCCACCTATTTTCAAACTGCAGCGGCCACAGCTCCAGATGCCCGCCCTCCGATGGCAATTTCAGGTATAAATTCGCCGAGAAGTGGCCTTTCGAAGGAGACATCGGCGCCAACTCGTCGACGTGCACGAAGCCCTGCGACCATTGGGTGGGCCCGGCCATGACCCTTCCTAACCCGACGTGGTGCGCGCGGCCCGCGTCATCCTTCTTCGCCGAGCAGCCGCCCGGCCAGGCATCGTCTAAATCGCAGCGCAGCCGATCCAACGCGTCGCCGCCCGGCAGACTCCTCACCCATTTCTTCGCGTTTGGGACGTCCTCCACAAAATACCGCTCCGTGTCGCCGGACGCGACGCACATATTGTAGGGCGTGCCGCCCACAGCTTTTACGTCCGAGGACTCCATGCCGCGCGCCGAGGTGACCGACCAGTTCCGGGCCGTCTCGCCCGCTTGTTGGATCGCGTCGGCAAGCGGCTCCGGTCTTTGTACAAAGTTTGGAATTACTAATGCCAGCGTCTCCAGCGCGAAGAGGCGTCTCAATGATTGCGTCGACAGCGCGGCGCTGCGCTCTACTCGTAAGTCTGGCCGCAGCAGCCGGTCCAGATTGCCCCAGCGGCGCTCGACGTCTTTGAACATCTCGGCTATGGCCCGTTGGCGCACGGCGCGCGACGCCATCGACGACATTCTTGCGCTCTGCGTATTTGTGCGTAGCTTTATTGGCACCACTAATATGGAGCTGTCTCGTGTGGCTGCTCACCACTCACCGCACGCGTGCCCGGCGTGCTGTTTCGCTTCAGGCCTTTATCGGTCACCTCGCGGCGATGTGCTACGCAAGTTAAGAGCTATCACAAGCTGTGCTGTACCGCCCCACGCCCAGCCAGGGCTACTGGCTAGCGTACAAGAGTACTAGCTTTTGGTTGTTTGGAATCAGATCAATAGGGCTGCACACACGATGGTAAACGCACGATAGAGCGTACACACGTGAAGCACAACAAGCCCTCGACAACGCCTCGCGGCTCCGTGACTCGGCGGGCAGCCTTTTGTGTTGGGGCAACAGCCAACAACAAGACGCCCGCAGCGCGGGGGCTATATATCTCTGGGCGGCGAAACGCACCGGCATAGATCAGCAGAGGAACAACCATGCACTTCTCCTGCGAGCCGTCGCCGGGCCCCCAGGTCCCGCCTAGAAGCCCGCGCCGCCGCCGGACGAAACCGAAGCCATGGAGACAACCGGTGCAGCCCAGCCCGCGCCCCTGGGGCGTGCCGCCGGCAAAGAGACGCGAAAAGTCGCAAAAGCCCAAACCCTTCCTCGCGAAATGGCTCGAGCTCGAGCACCGGCCAGCGCCGGCGCCGCCTAAGCCCAAGCCCAAGCCCAGGCCCAAGCCCAAATTGCTCTTACCGGCGAGCGCGGACAAGGCCGTCCAGCAATCCGTGGAGTGCGTCGACGCCTTTACATTGGTGCACCGCCACGACGACGACGACGCTTCCAAAATCGCGAAACTGCGCGTCGCGAATGCGCAGCTCAAGGGCGACGAGGAGCGGGCTCAATCGGAACTAACGGAAGCGCGGGAGAAGCTCGCGACGGCGCGCCTCGCGGCCGAGGCGGCGCGGCGCGACGGCGAATCGTTGCGCGAGGACTACGAAGCTGAGAGTGAAGGCGGGCGGCGCGCGCGACAACGCCTATCTGCTGGCCGAGAACGCGAAGCTCAAGAAGCAGGCGGCCGCGGCGGAGCCCGCCGTCGCGGCGGCAGCGGCGGCCGAGGCGGAGCTGCGCGCCGCGGCGGAGCGCGCGTCCGCCGAGCGCGTCGCGACGAGCAAACGGATCCGCGACCTCGACGAGCAGCACCGGCAGTCCTCAAACCGGGTCCGGGAGCTCGAGGCGACCGCCGCGGCGATGGCCGAGAACCACCGGCGGGCGCGGCAGGACTCGGAGAACGCCGCGATGAACGCGAACGCGGCGCTTGCGGCCGACTCCCAGCAAAAAATCCGGGAGCTCACCGAGTCCCATAAACGCGAGCTCGCGAAGGCCGAGGCAGCGGCCCAGCACGCCGAGGCGGCGGTGAAGGTCGCGGCCGAGACGCACGAACGCGAGCTCGCAGCGCTCGCTGCGACGCATGAAAAAAGCATAGGCGCGGCCAAAGCGACGGCCGAGGCCGCAGCCCAGCAACGGGCCGCCGCCGCCCAGAAGCGCGCCGCGGACGCCGAGGCCGCGGCCAAGGCCGAGGCCGCCGCGACGGGCGCGGCCAAGACGCAGATCGCCGCCGCGCAGGAGAAACTCGCGAAGGTCCGCGCCGACCTCGACGCGCAGGCGACGCGGCACTCCAAGCTCGCGGACGACCACGATTCTTTAAAGAGGTCCCACGCCGACGCGCAGACGCAGCTCGAGCAGCTCGCGGCCGCGAACGCCGACCTCCGCAAGAAGGCCGAGCAGCGCGCCGGCCAGGCGTCGGATCTATCCACAAAAAACGTCACGCTCTCCCAAGAACGGGCCGAGCTCCGCAGCGCCGTCGACGAGGGCCGGCGCCGCGTCGACGCGCTCGAGGCCAAGGCGAAGAAATTGATGGACGAGCGCGCGGCGCTCCAGCAGGCGAACGCCAAGCTCACGAAGGCCGGCGAGGACATGAAGCGGAGCGTGTCGGCGTTGGAGGCTTCGCACGCCAAGGAGAAGACGCAGCTCGAGGCCGCCAACAGTAAGCACACGGAGCTCCAGCGCAAGCTCGAGGCTTCCAATAAATTGGCGCGCGACCTCGCCGCGAAGCACAAGGAGCAGGCGTCTTCATCAACTGAGCTGACCACGAAGAACGTCCAACTGTCGGCGGAAGTCAAGGAGCTCCGGTCGCGCCAGAACGAGGCGACAACACGACTCAAGAACCTCGAGGCCAAGGCGGGTAAGGTGCCCGCTCTGACTGCCGACAACGAGACTTTACAAGCGCGCCTCGCGAAGGCGGCCGCCGAGCTCGACGCTTTGACCAAGCAGAACGGCGCGCTGCGCGCCGAGCGCGACGCTGCCGCGAAGGCCGGTGCCGATGTCGAGGCGCTAACCAAGCAGCAACGCAAAAGCCGCGAGACGATCGAGGCGCTGGAGGCGAAATTCTCGCGAACAACGGAGAAGCTGGCGGCCGAGCGCGACGCGGCGACCCAGCGGGCCGACGGCCTCGCGGCCGCGCACGAAGAGGCGCGTGGCGCGCTCGAGGCGCGGCTCGCCAAGTCGGGCGCCGAAATAGATGCTCTAAACAAGCAGAGCGGGAAGCTGCGGTCCGAGCGCGACGCGGCGACCGCGGAGGCCGAGAAGGCGCGCGGCGCCGGCGGCGCGCTCGAGGCGCGCATTAAGAAGGCCGCCGCCGAAATAGACGGGCTGACCAAACAGTCTCAGAAACTGCGCGCCGAGCGCGACGCGGCTCTTAGTGAACACAAGCAGGCGCGCGCCGCCGCCGGGTCCCTCGAGGCGCGCGTGAAGAAGGCGGCCACCGAGATCGACGCGCTGCATAAGCAGAGCAAATCCCTCGCGACGAAGCGTGACGAGGCGCAGAAGCAGGTCCGGGCCCTCGAGGCCTGCGCGGACAAGGTGCCCGACCTCGCGAGGAGCGTCGCGTCGCTCCAGGCCGAGAACGCCCAGTTGCGCGAGGCCGGCGACGCAGCTAAACGGCGCGCCGACGAGCTGGAGGGGGACAACGCCAAGCTGCGCGCGGCCATCGACGACGCGCTGCGGCCGCCGCCGCCGCCGCCGCGCGGCGCCGAGAGCCCGACGCGGACGCTCGCCGAGGTCGATTTGGGGAGGACGGGCCGCGGGCGGTCGTCGACGTCGTCCGTGGCCAGCTCGGAGTCGGGCTTCGCGGGGCTGCAGTCGCTGCAGCGGGAGCTCGAGGAGCGGCGAAACGCCGCCGTGCCCGAGAAGAGGTCCATGTCGTCGCGGGCCAAGGCGACCGTGGACAAGCACGTCGGCTGGGTCAAGGGGACGATCCTCGCCAAGAAGGCGGCCTCGACGCCCAAGCACTCGACGCCGCGAAGCGTCGCGACTCCCAAATTCTTCACCGCGCGCTCGAAGCGGAAGGACGAGACGCCGGCCGATTTGCCGCCGGCGGAGGCGGCGGCGGCCACTACCATGTCCTATCCTTTGATGGAGTCGCCGCCGCCGCCGACGTCGCCGCCGCCGCCCGCCGCCGCCGCTCTCTCGCCGGAGCTGACGGACCTGGGGGAAGAAGTGGCTGCCGCCGCCGAGTCCGCGCTCGTGAAGAATGCATTAAGGGCGAACCGGCCCGCGACGCGGACGACGGACTACCCGCGGACGGACGACCTAAGATTTAGTGATATTATTACGACCCACGCTTCTTCCGCGACGGTTTTTCGCGGGCGCCGGCGCCGGCGGCGCCTCCTCCGGCTTCGCGTCGAGCTTCCAGCAAATCCTGATCAAATCTAAACCCGCGCGCGCCGGTTCGGCGCGCGCGGCCGCCGCCGTGGTGGCCGCGATGCGCGCGCAGGTGTCCTCGTCCCCATAGTCGTTCTCCTCGAAGCCGCCGTAGTAGAAGCTCGGCTTGGGCGGGTCGTCGGTCTCATTGAGTACTTTCTCGGCGGCTTTCAACTCGTCGGATTTCTTGGGGAGCTTCTCGCCCGTGTAGTCCCCACTTTTTTCTGCCGCTTTCGCCGCCTCTTCCAGCGTCAATGCGACCCTCACACAATCCCACGATGCCCTTCGTTCCGACAACTCCAGTTCCTCATCAACTTGTTTCTGCGTGAACACGCCCTGTTCTTGCAGATCCTTGAAGGCCTGCTCCGCTTTAGCTAAATCAGGCATCGTCGGCACCTTTTCGGGCGGCGGTTCTCGTCCCTCAGCCTCCGCCTCGGCGATCTCGCGCTCCCGTTCTTCCCGCTCGTGCGCCTGCCTCGTCCGGTAGCACTCCCACTGCCAGTCGCCGCCGTCCGGGAACGGTGTTAATATACCTTCTCGCCTTTTCAGGATCTTCTCCTTTGCTCGATCAAACCCTCGAAAACACTCTAGTAAATCATCAACATCTTCGGCTACTTTCTTCCAGCGCCTATCGTGCTCCTCCTGCATGATCTTCTCGGCCTCCTTCCGGCCTTTGTCCGACTTCGGGGGGAGGTCGACCTCCGGCGGGTCCTTCAGGAAGTCCACAGCTCTGACTTTTTCCATGAGCTCCGGTGTTACTGTGGCACCGCCGTACTGCAACCGCATCTTCCAGTTCAGGTGCTCGTCGGGGACCGGGAAGCCCTCCTCGTACATGCTGTTCTTTTCCTTTGACCGCTTGTCGTAGAGATCCCAAGCTTCCATGCCTTCGCGCACAAATCGTTCCATCTCGCTCTCGTCCAACATTGGATTTTCTTCTCCCTTCGGACCGGCCGTCGGGACGTTGTCGTCCCATTCATCTAGTTTCGTGGGCGCGCCGGACTCGTCCTGTTGGATGTCGTGCGGCAGGCGGCCGGCCGTGCCCGCGGGGGCGTCGAGCTCCATGCCCTCGTGGTGGAAGGAGGCCATGGTTTCTTGCTATTTTTTTTCTTTTGCGACGAGCGCGCCTCACTGCTGTGCAGGGCAGCAGCACCCAAACTAACTAGTCCTGCAAACGTTGGCGCTGAAACTCACAACGCTTGATTTATGCGTGAAAATACAATCAATAAGAAATTGCCAGCGTTGTCCACCGACCAGCGGCGGCACCAGCGGCGTTTTTAGCCTTGCCTGTGCTTGTTGCTTGCTAGTGTCTCACAGGCGCTAGCCCATGGAGGCTTGCACGGACCTGGTGCTTGCGGTGGAGTCTTCAGAACGGAGTACCGAGGCTTGCTACGATTTCTGGCTCGTCGAGACCACGGACCGTCCTCTGCGTCTCGGTGCTGAGCCTCCGCGTTCGCGCCAGTCGACGTAAGGATTGACATACACGCTGCCGGCGCAGCGCCATAGTTCAGAACTAGCGCGCTGCGTGATCTTACGCTCTCGCGCTCGCCCTGCGCGCCGAATCAGGAGGGAAACCGATCTCAGCCGAGAACGCGCCGCGCAGAACGCGGCGCGCTGAAGAGATGTCCACGGGCACCTACCTCAAGCCGTTCCGGCCGCCGGGCGCCCAAGCCCGGCGGGGCCAGCAACGCGCCGGGCCGCAAGCCCTGGGCGCGGCGCCCGCCGCCCAAGCTCTGCACGTCGGGCTTCCTCTCCGGCTCGTGGAAGCCGCCCAAGCGCGTGACCGTCGCCAAGCCGGCGACGAGCCGCCTCGCCAAGCGCTGCCGCGAGGTCGCCGCGGCGCACCCGCCCACGGTGACGAACGAGGACGAGCTCAGCGTCGAGTCGACGGCGGCCGACTCGGCGCTATGGGAGGCCGTGGCCAAGGACGCGGCCGAGCTCGACGAGACGGACGGCTGCGAGGAGATCGACTTCAGCGACGTGCGCATGGACGAGGCCTCCGAGGCGGCCGCGCGGGCGGCCAAGCGCGCGCGCCGCGAGTCGGGCGCGGACGGCCCGCCGGTCCTGCGCCCGGCGTCGGCCGCGGTCGGCAAGCCCGAGCGCCGGGAGACGCTGGTCGTCAACGACGACGCGCCCACGGTGGAGGTGGCGTCCGAGGCGTCGGCGCCGGCCGCGCCCTCGCCGAAGCTGAAGCCGGCGAGCCAGAAGGACGAGGCGGCCGAGGGCCGGCGCCCGCGCCGCCGACGAAGGAGGCCGAGCCGCAGGAGCCCGAGCCGACGGTCGAGGCGCCGAAAGCCCCGAGGCGCCGGTCGAGCCCGCTTCCACGGCGGCGGCCGAGCCGACGGCCGAGGAGCCGCCGGCGGCGCCGACGAAGGAGACCGAGCAGACGCCCGAGCAGCGCGCGGCGTGCCTCGGCGCCTGCGACGGCGTGCTCAAGTACCTCCTGCGCCACAAGCACGCGGCCTGGTTCGCGGACCCCGTCGACCCGGTCGGCATGGGCATCCCGCACTACGCGGAGATCATCAAGCAGCCCATGGACTTCGGCACGATCAAGGGCAAGTACAAGGGCGGCCGCTACGCGAGCGCCGAGGCGTTCGCCGCCGACGTGCGCCTCGTCTTCCGCAACGCGACGACTTTCAACACGGGCGCGGACGAGCCGGTCCACGTCGCCGCCGTGCAGCTCGGCGCCAAGTTCGAGGAGCGCTTCGAGAGCGCCATGGAGGACGCGCTCTACGAGTCTTCCGACGACGAGGAGGAGGAGGAGGAGGAGCCCGCGCGCCGCCGCCGCTGAAGATGTGCTGTGCATTCCCCCTCCCCCTCCCGGCCTTATAAGAAGACCACACGCACGCCACAGGCGCATCATGCACGTCGTGCGCGCGCCGCGGCTTCTTCGGGCGGCCAATACCCCAGCGCTTCTCGCAAATCTCTGCGAACGCAGGCCTCAGGACCGGTGGCAGGCCCGAGCGCAAACCGCGGGCAACACTACACAAAGACCTTCGCCCGGCCGACGCGTCTGCCCCGCCGTTGCACGGCGCTGCTACGTTCACAACTAGCTCGCCTCCGGGAACGCGTCCGCGAAGTCCGCCCAGCCCTCTTCGAGCGGCGCCGCCGGCGCGGACGAGAACGCCGTAAACTCATCTTCCTCCAACACAGGCGGCGGCGGCGCGAGCTTCGGCACGGGCGGCGGCGCGAGCTTCGGTACGGCGCCGGCCTCGCGCCGCGGCGGCGACGCCGACGGCGACGCCTTGTCGCCAAAACTCAGCTTCAGGCCGCCCTTGAGGGACATGTCGACGGCCGGCGCGGCGGCGACGGGACTCGCCGCCGCCTCCTCGGCCGCCTCGCGCAGGACGGCCGCCGTCGCCTCGCGGCGCGCCGCGCGCACAAAGTCGTCGATCGAGGCCTTGAAGTCGTAGGCCTGGTCGCGCTCGCGGAATCCGACGCCGAGGTACGCGCGCCGGCCCTTCGCGTCCTCGCAGCGGAACACGAAGTAGCGACTGCTGTCGACGACGGCGCAGACCACGGCATCGACGGGCGGCGCCTTGTCGCCCGTCCGCACGGGGCACACGGCCACGGGCGCGTCGTCCCCATCGTCTTGCTTGAGCACGCGGCACTCGAGCGTGCTGCCGACGCCGACGAGGTGCAGGCGGCCCGTGAAGCGCGGTTCTCCGAGGTTTGTCTTCCGCGCGGTGGCCCGCCGCCGACGCTTGCGGAGGCACTTTGTAGCAGAAGACTTCGGGACAGCGCAGCAGGATGAGCTCGACTGGGGTGTGAGCGCTGTCGGCGTCTGCGGTTGCTGTGAGTTCACTCATCCTCTGTCAGTGCAGCTGAGGCAAGCTTTTGCTATGGCGCAGGGGTGGGCCGCACAAATGGCAGCGAGTTGAAATACGTAAAAGCAGTCAATAAGAAGCACTTAAGAAGATGGGCTAGGTCCGCGCGCGCGCGGATAGCCGGAGCAGCGCCGTTTCTAGCGTGATGTAAGGCACTAGCGCTCAGCCGGCGCTGTTGCACAGGTTGCCGTTCAGAGCGCCAGTGGTGGCGTGCAGCACAAGGCGGGTAGCCAGTTAGCTCGTCAATATAGTGCGCACGACGTCACGGGGCGCTGCGCGACTCGAGACACCGGAAAAGACACCTGGAAAACGACGGTGTCGCCAGGACGCTCGGCGGCGCGTCGCACACCTGTTGCGCGCGAGGTCCGGGCACCTCAAGACGCCATCGAGGCCACATGCGCCTACTATACATACGATTCATGCTCCTTCTCTCCGCAGCGCGGGCGCTGCACCACATCGCGCGCCCGGCGCTGCGCCGGACGCACCTCCTCGCGACGCGGTCCGAGCTCGAGGCGCTGACGGTGCCGGTGCTCAGGACCGCCTGCGGTCGCTGAGCCTGAAGGTCGGCGGCAAGAAGGGCGAACTGGTCGAGCGGCTGCTAGAGAGTGAGCAGAACGGCGCCGCCGCGGCGGAAGCGGAACCGGTGGTCGTGGACGGCGTGCGCGTCATCGACGTGGGCGACGACTACGACTGGGGGTTCGATGATGATGACGACGGCGACGAGGACGCCGGGACCGACATGGCGGACCGCCTGGCGCGCGCCTCGGCCGGCGACGTCGGCCACGGCGGGGCGCGCGCGTCCCACGACGAGCGCCGCGGCGCCCCGGATTTTGCTATTGAGGTCGGCGCCGGGAACTGCGGCGGCTGCGGCGCTCCGTTTCAATGTCAGGACGAGGCGCGGACGGGCTACGTCCCGCCGAGCGTCTACGCGCGCCTGAACCTCGCCGGCGAGGACGACGACTCGCCGGAGGCCGAGGTCGAGCGGCTGCTCGCCGAGGCGCGCGCTGGGCGCCAGGAGGCGGAGGTGGAGGTGGACGAGGAGGACCTCGCGATGGACGAGGAGGAGTTCGAGGAGTTGTTGCAGGAGTTCGAGGCTGTGTGGAAATCAAGTTCTGCTCGATGGCGTGGAGGTTCACGAAGATAACCTAACTTACTGCTTGATCTCCACACAGGCTCGAGGAGGAGGAGCTCGAGGAGGCCGAGGCCGCGGACGTGCGCCGCTTCGAGCGGGCGGAAGCGAAGCGCCAGCGCAACGCCGTGCCGATCTGCCAGCGGTGCCACGGCCTGCGGCACCAGAAGAAGGGCGGCGAGGCGACGCGCGCGCGGGCCGGCGCGACGGACGACGCGCTCACGCCGGAGGCTTTTGAGAGGCTTATAATTGATGAGGTCCGCGACCGGCGCGGCGTCGTGCTCCTGTTCGTCGATTTCTTCGACGTGGAAGGTTCACTCGCCTGCTGGCGCAAGTTGGGGGCCCTCGTGGGCCACAAGCGGCGCGTGCTCGTCGCGGCGAACAAGTGCGACCTCCTGCCCAATGATGTTTCGCGAGCGCGCGCGTTGAGCTGGGTCGTGCGCCGCTGCAAGGAGACCGTGCCCTACTTGCGGGACAACCTCAAGGAGACGGACGTGCAGCTCGTGAGCTGCCGCTCGGGCCAGGGTATTGGTGATTTGCTCCAGGACGCGCGCGACGCCGCGGCGCGGGCGCGGGGCGACGTTTTTGTTTGCGGGGCGGCGAACTGCGGCAAGTCGTCGTTCGTGAATAGGGCGGTGGGCGCCTACTCCGGCGGCCAAAACTACAAGGGCGTCAAGGCCTGGGGCGTCACGGCGTCGGCGTCGCCGGGGACGACGCTCGGCGTGGTCAAGATCAATCTTAGGGATGATGGCCCCGACGTCTACGATACGCCTGGTCTGTTGCAGCCGGGTGCCTTGGGGACGGTTCTGACGGAGGAGGAGCTCCAGGCCATTACGCCTAAGAAGCTCGACGTGGTCACGCTCCGTGTGAGCGAGGGGCAGTGCGTGCTCCTCGGAGGACTTGCCAGGGTCGAGGTCGTCGACGCGCCGCTCGGGGCATTCTTCCTCACGTTCTACGTCGCGCCGACGCTGACGCTGCACCCGACCTCCGCGAAAAACGCCGACGCGGCGTTCCGCGAGAAGCACGCGGGCGGCCTGCTCTCGCCGCCCTTTGATAGTGAAAGAGTGGCCGAGCTCGGAGACTTTGAATCTCACACGGTAGAGATCGACGGTCGGGGCTTCGAGGGCGCCGCGGCAGATGTGACGCTCGCCGGGCTGGGCTGGCTCGCCGTCTACGGCTCGGGCCGCTGCTCGCTGCGCGTGTCGGCTCTGCCCGGTGTAGCCGTCGCGACGCGCGAGCCGCTCCTGCCGTTTGAGGATCTTCGACGCACGACGGCGAAGTTTACGGGCGGGCGCGTGCTGCGGGGGCAGAGCAAGGCGAAAGGAAAGAAGCCGTCGCGGCGGCGAAGGCGGTAAATGTCTATTACTGTTTAGTCACATCTGTCTCCGAGTCGCGTCTCACGGGGCCTACTTCTTCGCATCCGCCTTGGCCGCGCGCTTGCGCCAGGCCACAAAGGGCGCGAGGGGCTCGCCGCCCTTGGAGAGCTTGATGGTGGCGCCCTGGTCCTTGCAGAACACGAGCCACGACTCGACGCCGAACGGGCCGACGCCGTGCACCTTGTGCACCGACTTGCGGTCCGTCTCGACCTTGAACTCGTCGGCGCGTGGCGACTTCTTCTTGGACGGCTCGAGCGGCGCGCCGCGGAGGAACGTGTCCGTCAGAGCGACGAGCGAGCGGAGCCGGTCGTCGAAGAGCCCGAGCGACTTGATGGCCGCCAGCACGTTGGCCGAGTCGGACTCCTCAGCGAAGGCTGTCGGAGTGGGGTACTTCTCGAAGAACGCGGAGATGCACTCGTGCTTGGTCTTCCAGGAGCTCACCCTGCTCATGAGGATGCACGAGACCAATAAGCGCCACGAGTCGGCGGCCTGCGCGAAGACCGGCGGTAAGTCACTGACGCCATCGACGCGACGCCTGGCGTTAAGGTCGAAGGCACCTTTGACAACACCGCACGCCACGTAGTACTCCTGCAGAAAGTCGATCGGCGAGACCGGCGGCGGCGTGCTGAGCCGCGACTCGACGAAGAGCTTCCAGTCGCGGTCCTCCTTGCCCGCGCCAGCTAAAGCGCCCCAGCGGCGGATGGCCTCTTTGCGCCAGTCGCCGCTCTCGCCGCCCTCGGGCACGGAGAGCACGAGCTGCGCCTCGCGGACCTCTTTCAAATACGCCATCGCCTCCGCTCGCATCTCCGCGAGTGCCTCGTCGTCCATCTCTTCGGCCCTCGCGCGCTTCTTCGGGCGGACCTCGTCGTCCTCGTCGCCGAACGAATTGACAATTTCCGCGCCGAACTCGGCCTCCTCGCCTTTCAGGCGCGGCGAGCGCCGCAGCGACTCGGGTGGCGGCGCGATCTTGGGGCGGCGCGGCGCTCTCGGCTTGGAGGGCTTCTTCTTGTTGCCGGTTCTCATCGCTTCGACGGGGTCGACGGCGGCATCGGCTAACCCGAGCGAGACGAGAAATTCGTGGTTGCGACGGATATGCGCCAGGCGCTGCAGTTCATAGTCCGATAGGTTTGTGGGCTGCTCCGCCATGTCTGTACGAGCTCGTACTGCGTAACTGGTTTAAATCTGCGAGAGCTTTTTGTTTGTTTGGCACTTAGAGCACGTTTGGCAGCGCGTGGGTGGCGTGGCGCTGTACAACGGTGCAGTGAGTGTTGAGAACAGCGCGTGGGGCGACGGATAGTGGCTCTCAGGCTGTGGTCTCGGCAAAAGGGGTATTTGTGAGCTAGCGGTGTAAAGACACACTAGCAATCACGCAGCCGAACGCCACCAGCTTATATTGCCCGTATACGACCCGGATAGACGGCGTGGAACGTAACACAGCGTCTCCGTGTCATTGCCCTACCGACGGCTGCAACAGCAGAACGCTAGCTGGCGCCGGGGAGCAGCAATCCAGCTCAGAGCCGCTCAGAGCTCTAATATCACGCACGATGCGCCGCATCTCTAATTTCCATGATCCGCTGGAGGCCGCATCTCTAATTCCAAACGCCCTCGTGTCGAGCTTGGACGGCTTAGTCTTCGGCAACAAGCGGCGGAACTTCTCGTCGATCTGCATCTTCGTCTACGGCGCTGGCCTGGCGTTCTGCGGCTTCTTCGCCGCGCGCTATCCGACCGAGTCGCTGGCGATGATGGCGGACGCGTGGGACGTCCAGCTCGACGCGGCGAACCCTGCGGCGGCGTTCTCGCGCCACGTTCTTGCGATCGGCGGCATCCATCTCAGCGCTTGGGGCATCGGTTGTATGTGTTTGGCACCCTCAAGTGCGGCTCCTCGCACGAAGAAGCTCGCCGCGTTCCTCAACCTCATCGCTGCCATTCTTGCCGCCGCCTGCTCGGCCTACCATCCCGAAGCCATAGCCGCGCCGCGCTGCGCGGCGTCGTCGGCCGCGGCGGCCAAGTGCGTCAAGACCGCAGCCATGTGGTACTTGCCCGTGGCCGTGGTCGCAGGACTCGGGGTGCTGTTCGCGGACGCGGGGCCGCGCTTGGTGCGTTTGGATGCGACGCGCGCCATCCTGCTCGACGGCGCGGTCGACAACGCGCGGCGCGGCGCGGCCCGCATCACGCGCGTGGACAGCCGCGCCGACTTGGTCGAATACGCGTCGCCGCGCGTCCTCGACCGCCACAGCAAGCTAGTACCGAAAGCTGACGCCCGGACGGCCGCCGAGTACGCGGGAATGGTAGATGAGGAGCCGCCCTCGACGCCGAAGAAGCAGCAGTAGTAGCAGGCTCGGTTCTTATAAACAAACAAATTACATACACCTAGCGCGCTCCTCTTGGCCCCAAACTCGGACCCGCGAGGACCGGCGGAACCTGCGGCGCCTGCCGGCGCTGCACGCCATCGACGCGTCAAAGCTCGCCCTCCTCGACCCCCAGCGGCAGGAAGCCACCAACGCGGTCGGTCTGGAGCCAGTTCGCCGCGTGCCACGCCGTCCCGGCCGACTCGACGACGTGGAGCTGGAACGTGTGGCGCTGCTGTGGAGACGTGTTCGGGAAGCTCAGGTGGTCGAGCGTGCCCGCCAGCAGGACGAGGTCGCCGGCGCGCGCCGGCAGCGGCGCGAAGCCGTGCAGCTGCGCGGCCTCCGGCGTCATGTCGGCGCCCTCCCACGGTGCCTCGACGACGGCGCGCGCATTCGCCGGCGGCCCGCCGAGCCGCTCCGAGAAGTAGAAACGCCCCGGCGGCGTCCTGACCTGTGCATAAATCAAATTGTCGCTGCGCGTCTCCGCCACTGCTGAATCATGACCTCCACGCCATCGACGCGACGCCAGCTTGATTGTGTGGCAGTGTGGGTCTTGCACCACTCGATTCAGTCATCAAGGTCGCGTTGTCGCCGAGAAATGACTTTTCGCAGCCGACGCACTGTTTGATTTGCGCACAGGTCCTCACAAACACCATCGTCGCGTTCGCCTCGCCGCGGTCGCGATCCCTAACAAAGACGCGCCGCAGCGGCTCCCGGTGCGACCCGGCCCGCGCCCAGACGCAGCCGTTCTCCGGCGTGGCATCATCCAAGGCCAGCCACAGCCCGACCACGGTCTGGTCGGGTCCGTCCTCAAGAACGTCGCGTCCTGGTGCGACGTGACCGCGCCGCCGTGCAACGGCGCCTTGAAGATATACATCGACTGGGGCAGCACGGGCCGTTCGTAGCCGAGGTCCCGCAGCAGGGTTCGCACCTTCTGAGTAGCATACCGCCCGAAGGCGTCGTCCCCGAGGTGGAGCGCGTGGCCGGCCTTGTTCAGCGCCGCGCCCTCGGCCTCCTCGAAGAACTCGACGCGGTCCGCGCTCTCAAAGAACTTCCGCGACCGGGCCTGCGCGGCCTCCTGGCCCGCGTCGGTCCGGAAGACGGTGGGGTCCGAGCGCTCCGCCCAGTACGCGTCCGTCTTTTCCTGCATCGCCGTCTTCATGGCGGCGACCTCGGCGGCGCTCGCGAAGTTCTGGACGATTGCGTAGCCATTTTTGCGGAAGTCTTCGACTACTGTCGATGCCTCTGTCGCATCGATGGCGTGCAGCAGGAGCACGGCGAATGCAGTGTGCATTCTGCTGCGGTGCTGTGCTCCGGCGGAACGCGTTCAGATCAGCGCACGCGTCGCGCACGTATCGTGTGGAATAAATGCTGCTTCGTGCGGATATTTTGTGATTGTTGCACAGCTTTTAGCGCCCCAAAAAGCAACACATGGCACTCGAAACCCGTTTTGTTCCCGCGGATTTCGCTTTTCTCTTCCGCGGGCAGAGGCACTCTTATAACGGTGCGACGGCTCTCGGTCGCTGAGTCACGGATCCTTGAGCACTGCCATTTGCCATCAGGTGCGCACAAGAACGCCGTGAACGAGACGCACCATGAACGAGAGCGTACGGAAGCGGTGTCCAGAGACAGTTCGAAGTACTGGTTTGCATGGCCGCAAGCCCCGGCATCGCTGCTGCCGTGCAACCAAGATCCATGGGTCAGAGCCTTGGCAGTGCGCTCAGGATGCGTCGTTGCCGTCGCGCGAACGCCTCGTCAAATAGCGCTGCGCTGCATCGCTGCGCTGAGACGTATCGGAACGCTATACGCCATCGCCGCAACGCGCACACGCACACCCGTCACGCACACAGGTCGACAACATCCTGCCCACGGGCAACGTCGGCAAGAAGCGAAGAGCTTTTAGTTCGGCGTGCATCTTCTTCCACGGCGTCGGGTTGTTTGGGGTCGGCGCGTACTATGTGGCCCAGCCGTCCGAGAGCTTGGCATTGATCGCGGACGCCTGGGGCGTGTCGCTCGACGGACCGAAGAAGAAGACGCCGGAGCAGCAGGCCGTGCACGTGCTGGCGAAGAACCTGGTGATGGTGGCCGCGGTTTACCTCGCGGTCTGGGGCGCGACGTGCATGACCCTCGCGACCGCCGCGTTACCGCGGACGAAGAAGATGGTCGCCGCTCTCAACTTGGTGGCGGCCACGGTGACGGCGGTGTGCTCGTCGTTCCACCCCGACGCGGTCGCGTCGTCGGCATGCTTGGTCGACCGCGCGGCGGGCGTCGGGTGTCTGAAGGTGGCCACGCTGTGGCACGCGCCTTTCGTCGTGCTTGATGTCTTGGGTATTGCTTTTGCGGAAGCGGGCCCGCGGCTCGTGCGCATCAACGACCGGTCCGCAGTACTTTTACATGGCAATTTGGCGGAGGAGCTATACCACGGCAAGGGCACCACTATTCTCAAAATCAACTCGCACGCGGACCTGATGGCGCGCCGACGACGGGGGCATCAAGAGCGACTAGTCGCGTAATAACTCGTATTCGTTTATAAAAATCCCTCTCGTGCGACGTCTCGTGCGTTCCCAGGTAAGTATATGGGGTATATATATATATCGCGTCGATCGCGTCGATGGCTGCGCGAGCGTCCGGAGTAGTCCCATGTACCAAGGTGCGAGATTATTCTGCTCCGGGCCCGCACGTTGAAATTTTAAGGACTTGATAGTAGAGAACCCGAACTCACCCTAGGGGGTCCGAGCCTCAATCTACCAGACCGCGCGAGCGCGCGATACGGTAGGGAAGTGTCTTCCGGAAGCAGAGCTAGCTAGCGTTGAGATGTTACTGCTGCTCCACACGAAAGGTGACGATTGGGACGCGGGGGAAGAAACCTGCAGCGGGGCAGCGGACGTCGGCGCGCGCGTGTGTGTGTGTGGAGCAGCAGCAGAGCACCTCGAGCTGGAACGGCGCTATAGAACCCGCACGTTGTGTGAAATCTCTCAATGATCGAAGGCAAGAGCAGGTGGAGCTGAACGGCCGGCGGGAGCGTGTAGAGGAATACAACCCGCGGCGGCGAGGTGCAATGGACCCGGACGCAATGCGTTCTCCGGGACCTCGTGAAGATCACAAGCACGTTGACAGAAGAGCCAACCGAGCTAGCGTATATCGACACACTAGGAAATTCAGAGAAACGCCTCGATAGCGTCAAAAGAATGACCCAAATTCAGAATACATCCTAGTCGTTCGCCGAGACCAAATATTTTAGAGTAGAGGCCCGAGAACATACTCTCGCGCCTCCCGGAAGGCACCGCCCGCGACATTCACGGATGAGACTTACGGGTCGCCAAAATACACCAGCGTTTGGTGGCGCCTTCTACTATCCAATTAAGACATTATATCAACTCCAGCCCAGTTTTCATATAAGTTCGACGGAACCGGAGCCGACGGCCCGCGCTCGGAGGGCGGGAGAAGAATTCTACTGGACAACTCCCGAGTTTATGTTCGTTTCCTTCCGTTTGTTAGTGGTAGAGTCCATCTAGCCCGATTGAACACTCACTGAGCAGAATGAGATGCTCCGTTAGAGCTGCCCAAAACGGAGACTTCGCGGCCACGCTTCGATGGCGTAAAGGGCACAGAACCCAGACCTGCGAGTATCAGCGACGACACCATCCAGATGGACCATAACGCCGTTGTTCTATTCACAATCGACCGACTTGCCCGTTCTCCGCGGACGACGGTGCGGAGACGGAGCACCGGAAAGGCCCCAGACCGGTGAGTTGTGAAATAAATTTGCTTTTCAGGCGCTTTGGTTGTGGGACGGGCCAGATAACCGGCCTGAGCGTGTACTACATAGGATTTTTGAACAGTAATCTCCACGGCGGCTCGGCCACCCTGCCACCCACTGATCTCGATAATTTGGGCTAGTTACTTGGACCTGCGACCATCAGCCCGTGTACCATCACCATGGACCAAGACGCGATCATTTGTTTCATGACCGACTGACTTACGCGAGCTCCAGATGCAGATGTTCACGTCCCGAGCGTGGTCGGCCCAAAGTACCCTTCTCGCGGTGTAGATGTCATATACTTGTAATTGACTATCGGTGGGGTAGTATGGGGTCCAACGAGACCGCTACGGCGACTACTGGGGGCCCTCGGGTAATTGACGTTTTTGACGGGAACGGGGCGCCATCGGGTCCAAATTGCACACTTTTTTCGGATGCAGGTCGGCCCCTGGACGTCTCTCGGGGTAGGTCTGGTAGTGGGTAGTCGCCTGTGTCGCGTACGTCATCGATGCGGCCGTCTAGTGCACTCGGAGGCTCCCGGAAGCATTCATTGCCAATCCATGCTCATGCTCAAATGGTTGCAATGCTGAGAGAAATCGGCCAAAAATGCTTGAAGCGGCGGCGCATGCGGCGTAGGCGCTTTACGTGTATAGTACCGACCCTAGGCGACGACAGGGGAGACCCTTGGGCAGGGATTGACAGGATTAAACCGGCGCGGCCGCCATTGCCCGTGGCGCCGTCGCCGGCCGCGAATTAAAAAATTTAGTTTTTCGGCCCCCAGTACGTCCCATTGATCTCTTTGGACCAGTATCGAACCGAACGATACTGCTCGAACTGTTTACATGACATCTTCTAATCAAGCCTAGTGTGTCTCTAGCCTTAGCTATGCCGGGCGCGCCGGCTTAAATTTGGGTCTGTTAGAGCATATAGGGCTGCTAATTCTGGCTGGACGATATATAGATTCATAGTTTCCACAGCCCTGTTGCACGAGATAGAGCAGTGCTGCCACAATGGACCTCTCCCTCATCGAAAAAGACCCCGCGGCTTTTGCCGCATTGATGATGGCGAAGCCGCACGGCTCGGCCTTCACGCCGCCGATCCATGAGGACGGAGCTGATATAGACGGCGCGTGGTGCCGCGCGACCGACGCGGCCGTCGACGCGCCGTTCCTGATCCGCGGACATGAATCGGCGGGCCTGAAACGACCAGAACTCACAATAGACGACGTAGCCATACTCGCGGGCCCGGACACGGAGGTGCCGGTCCTCGACGCGGCGACGCAGGAGCAGCAGCGCCGCTGGACGCTACGGGAGTGGGCCGCCTACATGCGCGAGAAGACGCCGACAACGCACAAAGTTTTGAACATCCTGTCGCTTGAGGTGAGCGGCACGAGGCTCGGCGCTTTGGTCAGGGCGCCGCAGTTCGTGCGCGACGTGGACTGGGTGTCGAAGACGCCCGAGGACCAGCGGCCAAAAGTCAGAAAGTACTGCCTCATGTCCGCGAAGGGGGCCTTCACGGACTGGCACGTCGACATGGGCGGCTCGAGCGTGTGGTACCACGTGGTGGAGGGCGCCAAGGTCTTCTGGTTCGCGCCGCCCTCTCCCAAGAATCTGGACGCGTATGCCAAGTGGATCTCGTCGTCATCTCAATCCAAGACGTGGTTCGGCGACGTGCTGGGGGAAAGCGAGGTGTCCCGCATCTCGCTCGAGCCCGGCTACGTGCTCTCGCTGCCGGCGGGCTGGCTCCACGCGGTCTACACGCCCGAGGACTCGCTCGTGCTGGGGGGCAACTACCTCCACTCGAGAGCCTTCGCGACGCAGCTCGCCGTCTTTTCGCTGGAAAAACGGTGCCGCGTCGACGCCGAGTGCCGCTTCCCGCACTGGGTCGAGACGGTGGCCTACGGCGCCGCGGCCGACGCGCGGCACCCGGCCGTGTCCGCCAACGACGCCGGCGCGCGGCGGTTATTATCAGAAACGCTCAAATCGTGGTCGAGCGGCGGGGGGTCGCTGACGGCGTCCGAGCGGCGGCGCCTCGAGGCGGCGCTGGCGCGCGTCGCCGTGGACTTTGCGGCTTTGGAGAGCGACGTGGTTGGCGAGGCACCTAAACGTACAGAGGACACGCTCGACGCGTACGTGGCCCGGGGGTTGCAAGTGACGGCCGCGGAGCGCGCGGAGTTTTTGGAGAGCGCGGTTACTGTGCGCGCGAAGGCGCTGCTCCGGGCGCCGCCCAAGGACGACAATGATGATAAGAACGACCGCGACTGGGGCGCGCCAAAGCCGAAGACCTTGTACGACTCGGACGACTCCGACGCGAGCGACGAGGACGACACGACGGGTCTGGGCATCGCGGAACTCAAAGCTAGATATGGGGTCAACAAGGGCCCGCGGGAGAAGCGGCCGGCTTCATCAAACGGGTCCGGCCCGAAGAAGCGCAAGAAGGCGCTCAAGGCTCCCATCGATAAGTTTGCCAGGCGGCGCGACCCGCGGCTGTCCATCCAGGACGCGGAGCGCGGCGGCGCGGCCAACGACGCGGAGAAGCGGCGGCGCGAAGACCTCGCTTTAGCTGGAGCGAGACGCAGGGCCGAGGCCATGGCCGCGGCCGAGCGCGCCGTCGAGGCCTTCGACGCGGCGGCCTGGCTCGAGGGCGCGCGCTGCGCCGTCGACGCGGCGGCGCGCGAGGCCGCGGACCTCCCGGGCCTCCTCGCGAAGCTGGAGGGTTGGGCGGCCCAGCACGACGGCGCGCCGCGCGGCGACGACTGGGCGCCGCCGCCGCTCGAGGCGCGATTGGATCAGGAGACGCGGACGGCGTCGGCCGAGGCTGCCCGTTTAGCTTGTGAGACGTTCGGCATCCTCAACGTCGACACGCTGTTCGCGAAGCTGCGCGCGGCGGCGGCGGCGCCCGTGGCGCCCGAGGAAGAGCCCGCGGCGCCGGCGCCGCCGCGGACGTACAAGCGGCCGACGGTGCGGGACGCCCCGCCCCGTGAGGCGCCGTCCTTCGCGGCGGCCGCGCCCGCGGCGGCGCCGCCGCCGGACGCCAAGGCCGCGCTGACGGCACTGCTGCGGCGCCGGTCCGACGAGCGCGAGGCCGAGGCCGCGCCGATCCCGACGACGGCGCCCGCGCTCGCGCCGGGAGCCTCCTACGCGACGCTCCCCGATCGAGTGTACGCGGCCGTGGCGCTGGAAAACGACCCCTGGGGGCGGCCGCTCGACGAGGCCCTCTCGGCGAAAATCACGGGTATGATCATGGACGCCTACAACCCGCCCTACGTCGAGTCGCTGCTCGTGGACGGCATCGGCCCCGCGATGGACGAAGCGTTCTCGGTCCTCATGGCGGCGGGCGTACTTCAGCAACAGCAGTTCGCGCCGACCGTTCTGTCGGTGCCGTCGTCGAGGGATCCGAACAAGCGCACGCCCATCGCTTCCTTATCGCCGGATCGGCCGTGCTGGCCCGAGCTCGTCGTCACGGCCTACGAGAAGGATGCGACTCGGGTAGAACTGTGCGACGCCGTCATCTTCGGCGTCGCGCCGGAAGGCGTCGCGGAGCTCGAGAAGTTCCTCGGGTACTTGGAGTCGTCGCAGCGCGCGGCCGTCGTCCGGTTGGACGCGGCGACGAAAGCGTACGTGCCGGCGCAGACCGTCGACGCGACCGCGCCGGCGCTGGTGTTGCGGCCGTTTCATGCGCCGCGCACGTAATATTTGTGTTTGCTAGTGTCTTACAGGCCGCTAGCCCACCCTAAGCGCGCGGGAGCCCTGGAAGCCGCGCCTTATGATTTTTGTGGATTTCTAGTATCTTACAGGCCGCTAGCTATAGCCAAAACGGAGACAAAAGCGGCCAAGCGTGCTATACAAGCGCGGTAGAGCAGTATCTTGGTCCGAGTGGCCTGTTGTACCGTGCCGCATCTGTTTTCCATCTGTGCTGCCGAAGCAACGCATACAAGCTCGTAAGGCAGAGAGCCAAGGATTAGACAACAGCCTGCACAACTCGTACAAATGGTCAAACACGTCGCATGCGTCCTCTGGGCGCTGACAGCGATCGCTGCAGCCTTCGCGCCGCCGACGCGGACGACTGCATGCGGTCGCGCGCCAGTCGTGCGGCCGCGACACGTCACGATTCTTCGCGCGTCCGACGACGACGACGCGGAGCCGTTCTTCGACGCGCCGCCCCCCGCCCCCGCGACGAATGACGATAAAATAGTGGCCTACGTCGCGGTCGGCTCGACTCTCGTTTTCTTCGGTTTGTACGCGTACGAGACGCTTCGATTGATGGCGGAGGGGGAGTTTTACATGCCTCATTTCTAGTATTATACGGAGAGGGAACGGAGCGCCTAGCGCTGATAGAGGTCCTCGACGACCGGCTGCGGCAGGTGGGGTCGCACCATCCGCGCGAACCCCACCTCCGCGATCGAGATTTTACGGCAGTACACTTTTTGTCGACGTGCGCGATGTACGGTTTCGACGCGCGCCCGCGACGCGCGGGCGGCGTCTATAGCCAACCTCTGACTCGGTTCCGGTGCGTCGCGCGCGCATGTCTGCTTCCTGCTTCTCTGGAAATTTTTGTCGTAGTGCTTGCGACGGTTTCTTGCACGCGCGCGCGGTAGACGGACGCGGCGGCGTACGGCGGACGTGAGGACCACGTGTGAACGGTGCTCGTGCGCGCACGTCGCACGGATGTGGCGTGTGGGCTACAAAAACTTAAGTACTTGCGGCTCGACTCGAAACCCGGAGGCTTCCTTGTCGCCCAACATGTCCACACGCGGCCGCACATCTACTGTAGCCTCCACGGACGCCTCCAACCGCCCTCGGGTGCCTTCAGGGAACAGCGACGCCATATGGGTACCAACGCCGACAAGCTAGCCCCGGCTGATCCCACTGTGGAAGTGAGCTCGCTCGTCGGACGAATGTGTCGGCGGTTCTACTTTGTATTTAAGAGAGCACCGTTTGCGATACTTACGCAGGTGGTGTGGATGATTCAGGTTCGTTGAATCGCGGAGGAAAGGAGTCGTCGCCCGGCGCCTCAGTCCTCGAGGGCGGCGTGATAATTCCGCATATATGCGCGGCCGCGCGCGCGCGCGCCGTTGCACTTCGAGGCGCTGATCTTACCGGCGAAGGCGTGGATCTCGTGGAAGCGCTTGCAGCCCTTGCACCACTTGAAGTAGGCGCCCGACGCGTTGTGCTTCCACGTGACCGTGTCGCAGATCTTGCAGACGTCCTTGTTCTGCTTCGGGATCGTGACGCAGTCGTCGCCAGTGCCCTCCAGTTTGCCGCACAAGACGCACCAGTTCGTCGCGCCGCCGCTCTTCTGACGTGGAGTGCATCGCGTGAAGTTGATGACCGAGTCGTAGGACGGCGCCTCCTGGATTGGGATGCTGCTGAGCGGCTGCAGGGCATCGACGTCGATCGTGGTGCTAGAGCTTAGGTGCGGGCCAGGCGATGCAGCGACGACTGGCGGCGCGGCGCGCGGTTTTGCAGCGGCGCCGTCGGCGCGCGGCGGCCGACCCCCGTCGACGTCAGCATCGCGACCGTCGTCGGCCACGGTCGCGTCGGCGGCCCCGGCGCGCTCCGCGGCCGCTTCCGCGGCCGCCGCGGCGTCCCACCGCATCGCGTCGGCCTCGATCTCGGCCCGCGACCTCAGGAGCGGGCCAAAATCCTCGTCGTCAGAATCGACGGCCGTTCCGCCCGGCGCGTCCCTCGACGTGCGCGGTTTTGAAGCGGCGCGCGGTTTAGGAGCGGCGCGCGGTTTAGGAGCGGGGCGCGGTTTTGCAACGGCGCCCGTTATTGGGCATGATTGGAGCCCAACGAGCCGCCTACGATGGCGAGGGTATCGCAGCGGCGGCGGCGGCGGCGGCGTCGCGTCGGGCAGCGCAGGCATCGCGAACGGCGCCACTGCTGGCGCGGCCGCCGCGGCCGCCGCCGGCGTCGTCGCGAACCGCGCCGCCAGGTGCCGCCCTCCTGGCCGACTCACATCAAACACGCCCGTCGCCGCGAGCGCCGCCTTGACGGTGTCTTCGTCTTCCGACAGGCACGCCGTCAGCGCTTTCGCGAAGAGCCGCACGAGGGTAGGATCCGCGACGGTGAGCCGCGCGAACGCATCGCGCGCCCGCGAAATGACGAGAGCGGTGCGCCGAAATCTATCTTCCAATTGAGCCGCAACGCGCGCCAGACGACGCACCGCCCGCTCCGCGTCCCGCAGGCCGACGTCGCCGCGTCGCTCGTGAGTCTCCGCTTCGTCCCGCAAATCCTTCATCATCTTGGCGACGCTAGGGGGCACGGCGAGCACCTCCAAGACCGCGGCGCCGCCGTGACCAAAGAGGGCGCTGGCCCTCAAAGCGGCGCGCGCGCTAGCACAAACGGCGTCTACGCCCTCGATCAAAGCGCCCGCGCGAACCACGGCCGACTCCTCCTCCGACGGCGCGCGGGCGCGGAGCTCGCGACCAGTGGCCTTGATGGCCCTGATACCCTCGGGCGTCGCGCACGCGGCCGCGACGACGGCCTCGACGATCTCGTAGAGCTCGGACATCACGACCATCGAGAACATGTCGATGATCCGCTCCCGTGCGGCCGCCGTCGGCGCCAGCTCCACCGCCGCCTCGAGTCCTCGTCGCACGCGCCCGTTCTCGATGAAGAACCTGCGAGACGTCGCGTCAGATGGGAACAAGGACCGCAAAGGACGCCGGCGAAGGACGGCGCATCAAAATAATAAATCAACGCGAACACGACCCGGATGCGCTCCTCTCGCGTCGCGCAGAGGAAGTCGAACAGCTCGTCTAACGACATCACCGGTCGCGCCCCGGCCATCATCTGGTCCAGCATGGCGAAGAACGTCTCCCGCTCCGTCGCGTTTCCCTTGTTCGTCCGCGACGCGAGCGCAATATAGCCGACCATGAAGTCGTTACCGCCGCACAATAACCACGCGCACAGGAGCATGTGCACGGCCGGGACCGCCGCATACTTCCTGGCGAGGTAGATGAGGCGGGCCGGCTCTTTCTTCGTCTTCTGGAAGTAGGCCATCATATCCATGAAGAAGTGAATGTCGCTGTCGATGGTCCGAGCGGCGGTTCTCTTATGCGGGAAGCAGGCCGCCAAAAAACCGATGACCTTGTCGGCGTCGACCGTAGAGGCTTGGTCGACGACGACGTCACTACCAGCATCGATGGCGTCTCGCAGCTCACGAAGCGTCTGCGCTCGCAAGTAACCAGAATACTTTGAGTAGGCAACAGGCTTGAATGGTCGGATGGCTGGGGGGGCCTCACGCACGGCCTGCGCCGCATCCCGGACGTCCGGCCTCACGAGATAAGACAGAGCCAGCACAGCAGGATGATCTTGTGGTAGCTGGGCGATGACTATTTCTAGTGCATCGCGCCGCAAGTCGACAGTTGGAGCCGACTCCCGGCTTTTGGTATCCCCGATACCACCTCGGACGACGCAGTGCGTGATTCCTAGCCCCTTGAGCATCACGCCGATCGCCACGTTTCGATCATCTGGATTGCAGTATTGATGGCAGTCGACATCTGCATCAGACACCACGAAATCGAGCTTCTGAAGGTCGTCCCACCAGACTTCAATGAGGAGCCGTTTTAAGGCGCGGCAGAGCCAGTCTGGTCTACCGTAGACGATCTCTACGTTTGCTACTATCGAATCCTTCTCCAATTTGAACAAACCGGGAAGGCCCATGGCGAGGCGCGCCCTCGCTGCGATGGCGTCGGTCTTGGAACGGCTTCAGCGCGCAGCGGCGCGACGTCGGCGAGTTCGGCGGCGGTGTGGTAGATGATGATGATGCCTTTGCCAAAAAAAAAGGTCGGCGCGGCGCTCGGCGAGAGCGACGGTCGTCGAAGAGCTAGCGAGGCGGGACGCGCACTGGTGCAGCGTCCGCGGCGTGACCGCGGCATCGCTGCGAAGCAATGCCGCAGCAGCCAGCCCGCTAAATCGCTCGGCCAGATTGGTGGTGATGGTGGACCTTCGGCACGGCGCGGCGGCCGCGAGGCCACCGCGCCGGCGCGCGCCAGGCGCGCGTACTAACAGCTGTCAGCAGAAGATCCGAGGCCTCTTGAAGTATCGCAGAGCGTGTGTGTGCAGCGTTTCAAGCGCAAAAAGGCTAAAATCCCTTTTTTGCCGCGAAGTTTAAATTTTAAAAACGGGTATTTCGACGCGGGTTTTGCCTTCGCTTGGGCCTATGTGCACCTCAAATTTGAGCGCAAACGGTGCTTCTGGTGCCGAGATAGGGCGTCAGAACCCGTTTTTACGAAGATCGGCTTGAAAAATAATTTCCTAGAAATAGAGGAAAATGCCTCGCGCGTCGATGGTGTTCGAACGTGTCTAAGGCCATCCTAGCACGTCCGAGACTGCTCCGCACCTCTAGTCCGCCGAGTTGCAAATCAACGCGGCGGTCCGCGGACGGTAGTAGCATATGCAACCTCTACTTAGCAAACTCCGCCGCCGCCCGACGCGCCAAAACGACAGCCGCCCGCACGACCGACGCCGCCTGGTCCGCTTTTAGCCGCGCCTCGGCGTCCGCGAGCCAGTCGTCCAGGGGCGACGCGATCGACGTGGGCCGCACGGATCGCGCCGCCCGGAGGCAAAACAACGGCGTACATGAATTAGCTCAGACATCCACACTTCCGGAGCAGAGGCCGAAGCCCATTAAAGAAAACAATCTAAGTTAGATCGACACGACACGCGCCAGCTGCTGGATGCGGTTCAGCAGCACGTCGCCCGACTTGATGATCTCCTGGTACTTCTTCGACTTGAGGTCCGCGCGCGTCGTGTGGACGACGTTGTCGACCTTGTCGACCTTGGCGTTGAGGCGGCCGCACGAGATGAACCGCGCCAGCTCGCCGTCGATGAACTCGACCGAGACGCCGAACGCGGCCGCCATCGAGGACAATGTAACGGTCTTGTACGCGTCGAGGAACTGCGTGTAGACGAGCACCCGCAACTCGCGGATGACGTATCTAGTGTGCTGCGAGAAGTAGCGATCATCTAAGAGCACCTTCTCGATCTCTAGTAATGATGCAAAATATACCGAATATTCGCAGTTGTAGAGCGACTCGACCAACGTCGAGAGGTGGGGGATCTGCTTGATGACCTGCAGGACTTCCGGCGAGTCGATGATCCTCTTTTTCAAGTCCGGCCGCGGCAGCGCCAGCACGTTCGTCACGACCGCGTAAAAAACGAATTCCGGGTACGTGCAGAGCTCCACACAGGTGAACGTCGCCACGCCGCCCAATAACTTCTTGGCGGCGCCCTTCAAATCCCGCGTCACAATTAAGTAAGCGGACTCGTAGGCCGACAGCCGGTTGTTGCGGTCCCAGTCGCCGCCGTCGGCCGCCAATCGCCGCGCGTCCTCGAGCTGCTTCTTCGCGTTGCCCACGTCGTCAAAGAAGAGGGCCACGCGTATTTTCAACATGACGGCGTCGATGCGTTTCCCGGTCGAGATCTTCGGCCGCTCGACGATGACGTCGCACGCGGCGTAGGCGCCGTCCCTGTCGCCGATGCGCGCGTGGTACTTCGCCGCGTCGAACAGCGCGTCCAAGACCTCCATGTCGCCCTGGTTCGCCTCGGCGTCCTCCTTCTTGGCCGCCAGGGCCGCGATCTCTGCCGCGTTCGCGTCCTTCATCTTCGCGTAGAGGCTCTCGTCCTTGCTAATGCCGAACGCGGCGCAGACGCGCGCGTAATAGGGCGCCATCTGGCGTTGCGTGACGAGGTCCAGGATCTCCTTCTCCGACGCGGGCGTGGGATTGCGCCCGTGGCGGAACACGGACTGCGCGAGGCTCATCGGCGGCTCGAAGGTCTCCTTGCTCTTCTTCGGCGCGCCCGGGCGCGTCGCTCACGAGCTCGGCCATGGCCGCTTAGGTGCACGCGGCGGCTGGCGTGCGCGGGCGAGTCTGCTGGGAGAGGCGCGCCGCGGCGGCTGGCGTGCGCGGGGCGCGAGGTCTACCGCGGCGGTATGAACCGGCGGCGAGTCTGCTGGGCCGGCTGAGAGCGTGGCGCGTCGAGAATTAACAGCGCCGCAATCTCGTGGGCAACGATGAGTCGCTGGAGCTGCAGAGAGCACAGATGTGCAGTGTTTAGGGGAGACCGCGGACGGCCAAAGACTGGGACAGGCTAGTGTGTCGCTACACTAGCTTCATACTCGCGACGTAATTAGCCTAAGCATAAGGACAAGCACCTCTACCTAGCACCATAACAACACTACACATAAGGAAGGTAGCCAAAACCCGGCTTGTTTGTTCAAACGCATCAGCGCGCTCGGGACGCGGGGCGGTAAAATGCCCATCGATCTACGGAGCGAAAGAACAACGCCAAAAGAGAAACAACGCTACTTATCAGGACCGCTGCGGCGCCGAGAGCATCGCCTCGAGGTTCGCCTTGAGTTGTTCGTTGATCTTCTTGAACTTGTCGACCTCCTCGGCGTGGGCCGCGTCGTCCTCCTCGCGCCTTTTGGCTTCCCGGTCCTTGATGGACTCGCATCTTTCTTGCAGTTCCTTCACCTGTCCTTCCAAATCCTCGCGCTCGGCCTCGAGGGTCCGGACCTTATTGTTGAGTTCCGCTTTCGTGTGCTCCGCGGTCAGCGCCTTGCGCATGCCGAAGGCGATGGACGACTCGTAGAGCGTCTGGTAGGCCGCGATCGTCATCCTCACTTCATCTCGCACTCGCAGCAAGAGTAAGCCGCGCTCGGCGCAGTTGATCGTCACCTGGCGGATCACTTCGTCGAAGCACTGCGCGTACAGCTCCTCGCGGACGGGACAGATGCCCGTCTCGCGGGCCTGGCGCTGCTGCAATTTTCTATCTAATGATTCCTGGAGGTTGACGACGTCCAACCGCGTCGCCGGCGTCGACGACACGTACTGGACCCAGAGCGTCCCGTCTTCTGTCCACTCTCGCGGCGGTAAGATACTATTAAGAATGTCTTCCGTTTGGGTAGAGGCCTTCTCGGGCGTCGCCGGGCCCTTCTTGCCCTTCTTCGGCGCCGCGCGGGCCGTCGTGACGACGACGGGGCTGTGGTACTTGACCAGGGAGTCGTGGGGCGGGATCATCGAGGCCATGGTGGTCTGAACCGGATCCGCGGCGGCGGCGTCTGGCGCAAGCGGCTCGCGGCGCAGCGGCAGGGCTGCCCGCCGATGGCGTCTGTAGCGCTGGACGGCGGAAGCGGCGGCGTCCGACGACGGCTGCTTGGACGGCTAAGGCTGCCTCCAAGCTCAGCTGTTTCGACCGACGACGGTGCTTCGGCTGCGTCGAAATGAGGCCGGCGCGGGGCGCTCGGCTGCTGTGGGGTAACTTTGGCTTCGCAGCCCAAAACCACCCGGCCCCGCTCAGGCGTGCCGGCGAGACGAGCCGGCCCCCGCAAGGCTCGGAAGGGAGTGAGACGACTAGTCTCGCGCTGTTTGATTTCGTGCGGGTGCTATTTGTGTTTGCGACAAAAACTCAGGTTGCTTGCTTCAGTAGAGGCGCAAAATTAGTGCACGAGACGGCCAACGTATAGCATCGCTGCAGCATCGCTGCGCGGCGTGCAAAAAACGAGGCGTGGGAGCATCCCTAAGCTCGGAGAGGGCAGCAAGCACAGCACAAAGCAGCACAAGCACGCACAGAAATGGCTCCGCCCGCATGTGCATCGGGCGACGTCGAAGCCTGTTTCCAGCGAAGTTTGGCGGACGGCACGCGCGCGGCGCCCGTCGCCGCCATCGAAGCTTTACTGGGTGTGATAGAAAGGAGCGGCGCGCAGACGATGCACGGGCTGCAAGATGAACTATGTGAAGGAAGGAAGGCATTAGTGGAGTTCTGCGAGCAGCGACCGGCGTGCCTCGGTGGGAGGACTGAATTAGGCGTGTCGAGTGGCTGCGAATTGTTTCTCAGACATGTCACTAGAACATTCTTAGAATTCGGCGACTTCTCGGAATGCCGGGACGAGATTCTGCGAAGGGGCCGGGCCTTCGCGGCGCACGCGACGAACGCGCGCGACGACATTGCTGGACATGCTTCAAGTTTCTTGAGGGACGGCTCGCGAGTGTTAGTGCACGGCCGGTCGAGGGTGGTGCAGGCGACGCTCAAAGCGGCGGCGAAGAGTGGCGTGTCGCTGGAAGCGGTGGTCGTAAATGGCGCGGACGACTGCGGCGCGTGCGTGGCCCAAGAACTGCGCGAGGAGGGTATTACTACAAGAATAATCGCGGACGCCGCCGTCGCGCGGGAGATGGAGGTCATTGACGTTGTTTTAGTTGGCGCGGAGGCCGTCGCGGAGAACGGCGGCGTCGTCAATAAAGTGGGGACGCTGACCGTGGCTTGTTGTGCTAGAGCCATGCGGCGGCCGTTGTATGTCGCAGCAGAATCCTACAAGTTCGCGCGGGCCTTTCCGTTGGGCCAGCGCGATTTACCAAATGCTGACGTCGACTACACGCCCCCGGACTTCATCGAGCTCCTCTTCACGGACCTGGGCGTGCTGACGCCGGCGGCCGTGAGCGACGAGCTGATCCGGCTGTACCAGTAGTAACGTTCTTGTTTCTTACTTGCAGATCTGTCCGTGGTGACCGCGGCGTGCGCGACCTCGCGTCGACGGCGTAGGGGTGGTCTCCGAGACTTGAGCGACGAGGACCGCTCCGCCGCTCCGGGGGTTTATTGTTACGGTGATATCGTCGCCGGGCAGGACGAGCAAGCTAGTAGGAGAGAAACCCTCTAGCCTACAGGCAATGGACAGCGCTCACATTAAAGCGCCGCTCGTAGACGCTGCCACGAGGCCGGAGAAGGCCAGCTGTCGCATCCGCGTGCTCCGAGGAGCAGCCACGACCGGCACGCGCCGCAGTCGAAGCGCGTCGGCACGCCACCGCGGGCAAAGCACAGGGGCAGCCCCATTGACGGACCGATGGCGGGCCAGGGCTTCGCGGCCGACGACCGCCCGGACTTCCCCAAGATCCTCGAGTTCTTCACGGACCCGCGCACGGAAGACCTCCAGGCGCGGCAGCACGCTTTACTGAAACGCGTCGTCCAGAAGTGCCAGCGTGGTTTTAGGTTAAGGGAGCTCCCGGTCGTCGCGGAGTTGTTGGATATCGTGCCCAAGCGTATTGAAGGATTAATTGAAAAAGACGCGGAAGAAAGCGAAGAACTCGAGAGGACGCTCTGCAACATTATAAGGATCACCGCGAGACCGAACCTAAGGCAAAAGGCCAACGAGGAATTATTAGCACCGGGTCTCAAGGCCGCGGCCCAGATCTTGGAGCAGTTACTCCGCCTACAATCATCGACATCGGTAAGGGTGGCCGTCGAAGCTACAAGAGCATTGACCGCCATCGCGACCCCCGAAGATACCTCTGCCGCGGGCAAGGCCCAGAAAAAACTAAACAGAAAGCTCCTGCTCGAAGCCAACGCCGTCCAGGCGACGTGCGCGAAAGTAGAGGAGAATGCGAACATTATCCTAGCTATTGACGACGACGGCACGGAGCGGAAGGTCTTCGACGCGCGTGCGACCGTCGACTTTATTGATGCGGACACGTCGGATGATGAAGATGTCACCATGTCGCGGTCCTCCTCCAGAGGTGGTCGAAGAAGGAAGCCGCGGTCCGCCAAGACCGACGCCTTATTCAGCGACGTTTTGTCCTACTCGACGCACAAGCGCACGCTCGAGTATGCGCAGTCGCAAGTCCTTGCGCTTGTACGTTTTGCTGAGGGAACTATCTACGATGATGCGCAGTCTTCGTTCGACCTGGTGGAATGTGGCGGTGCTCGGCGTGTGTGAAACTACTGCGGTGCTACCTCCACGATCCTGCCGCGTCGGATGTCGTCCATGCGACGGTAGAAATTCTCTGGAACGTCCTCGAGCACTGCCACGACGTCACCGACGTCGCCGGGCCGCCTGCGGCCTCTCGCACCAAGCTCCTATCAAGGAGGCGCTTCACCTCAGCTATGTACCAGCTGTCGGATGATGCGACCATCGCGGTCCTGAGACAGATCCTGCAGCACCTGTTCCTGACGGGCCACAAGGCCGACGACAAAAGACTAAGGAACGAGGTCCTCATCGTCTGCTCGTTGATCGCGTCGCATCGAAAATCGCACGCCGCCTTCCGACGGCAGCGGTTGATCCACTTGCTGCTCGATTATGCTTGTGCGGCCGAATTGCCCGAGGACGCGATCGAAGTGCGGACGCAGGCCACACAAAGCCGCGACCCGCGGTCCACGGAGCCGCCGTTGGCGGATCGGCACACCTTCGCCACGTCGTCGAATGAAGACTTGGAGACGAAGCGAATTTTGTGGTCCATGTTGAGTGATCTGGGCCGGGCCGAGGAGGAAAATCTCAAATTAGTTGTAGAAGCGGACTTCATGGGCGCCTTGCTCATGTATCTAGATGTGGAAGCCTTAGATGCGGCCGACGAGCCCGAGGAATGGGACGACGACGAGACGGCCGTGTCGCGCGACACGGTCTCGGTGAACGGGCGGCGGATCCCGGGCATCCTGAAGAACCTGGAGCTGACGAAGCTGCATGTCTTACAGCAGCAGGCCATGGCCGTGTTGTTGAATTTGGCGCCGCGGGCGCCGGCGGCATTCCAGAAGCTCCAGGGCCACATTTTGGCACTACGGTTCCTGGACGCGTGCGATGAAGGTAACGACGAAGCCACCCAGAACACCAATGCCACAAGACCGTCGGCGAGAAGTGCCGATGGGTTGGTGAGGGGTGCGTTGATGCTCCTGATCAGTGTGGTGGGCTTACCGGGCCTCCAGAACGAGCTCGGCAACTTAGATGGGGTCGAGATCATGCTCAAGCGCTTCGCCGATTCAAGGGCGGGCGCGAACATGCGGAACGACGCCGTCATGATCCTGGCGAAGCTCTGCGAGAACCACGAGGACAACCAAGCTCGGTTACGGCGGGCGCACGGCGTTTCATTGTTGATCCAGGAGATCGACGCGTACGTCAAACGGCGCGTGCCGGTCACTAGATCGCGCCACAAGAATTTGAGCGAGGCGGCGCGCGACGCCATGCCGTCGTCGTCCTCCGCTGAAAAAGTTGATCCATTGATTGTCGGTGTCCTGGACTGCCTCTGGCACGGCGTCGTGGGCAACAGGCGGTCGGAAGCTCGCTTGCCGCCGGTTGATGGTTTGGATGCGCTTCTAGCTTTATTAGAAGTAGGACCGAGGCTCATGCGGCTGCAGGTTTGTGGTGTTTTAGCTGATTTGGCGAGAAACCCCAAGCTCATCTCGTACATCCGGGGCTGGCGGTCGGACAAGACCATGCGGTCGACGTGTCAATTGTTAGCACATGCCTGGGAGGACGAGGAGATCCGGCTGGGCTGCGATAGAGATCGGGGCGTTTTGAGCGACACGGCGCAGCCTCTAAGGAAGAAAAAACCTTCCCAAAAGGAGGAGAAGATTATTACGACGATCGCTGGAGACAGCTCGGATTCCGACGAAGAATTAACAGTGGTACAGGCGCCGCCCGCTGATGCTCAAACGACCATGAAGTTCATGCAGCGTTCCGCCGGCGGCGCGCTGCAGACGTCGCAGGCCGCGCGCGCCGAGCGGGCTTTGCGGCAGGCCGTCGCCACGCATGATTTGCGGAGCAAGGTCGCGCCGATCTACGCCGCTTTGCTCGCGTCCGGCGACGCCGGTGATAGTGACGCCCCCGCCGACGACAAAGCTACTTTAAGGATGGTGGGCCACTACGCGCGCTTTATCGACGGCGAGGCTTGGAGTGATGTGCAGCACCAGCTCGCGACGGCCGGTGTGAAGCCCGTGGCGGCGGACCGCACGTTGTTGGATTTCAACATCGGCGCGAGCGTCTCGTTGGCCGAAAAAACCAAAGCCGACCAAGAAGTTTTGGCAGGAGAGCGCAAGGCCGAGGAGAAGGCGGGAGAGGAGTCCTTCTTCGGCTCGATCCTCAACCAGCGCGACCAGGAGATCAAGCAGCTCATCATCAAGCGGGACGCGCTCCGGCCCAAGCGGAAGTTGCTTGAACGGCAGGCGGCGCAAGAGGCCGCTGCCTTGGAGGAGGGGGATGAATAAACAACACTTACAAACAACAAGTTGCGTCGCTTCACCCGTACGCGCCCGTCGTCGCGTAGTTGACGACGAGCTCGCCGCCTCTTCCAAAACAGGCGTAGAGGTGGCCGACGGGCTCGGTAGGGACAGGCGAGAAGGCGCTGTCGCAGTAGAGGAAAAGGCGCTCCGTTTGAGGTAATTGTAATTGCTTCGCGAGGAACGTCTGCACCGCGTGGAACGGCTCTGTTCCGTTTACCGTGAGTTTTGGTTTTCGTAATAAGGGGGCGGAGCCGACGGCTTTGAAGTGGAGCTTGACGCGTTCCGGTGGTGGCTGTGGTGCTGCCTCTGCGCCGGGTGCTGGGGATGGCTGTGCTGCCATGCTGATTTTTCTGACTGTCTGTGAGTGAAATCGATGCGGATTTGTTTCGTCGCAGCTCGTGGCACGTCAAAAATAACGGTGCGGTCCAGCGGTAGGCCTTTCGTGCCGCGCTAGCGCCCGGACAAGGAGCCAGGCTAGTGTCTTACAGGACGCTAGATGCGTCGCGGCGGCAGTTTCTAGAGCTACGGGACAGTCTACATAGGCTCCGGCACGCGCAAGCGTTCTACCGAGACCCAACCTCAGCGGCTTGCGCTTGCTGCACTCTGCCGGCTGTCGGCAGCTGTATAGACCGACACGCCACTGCTGCAAAAAACTCCTCGGACGCCGCCGACGCGGAGCGACCTGACGCCACTGACGTGGAGCCAACCCGACGCCAGCCGACGCGGAGCGGTTCGACAAGATGGAGTCCTGGGAGCAGCTGCGAGCGCAAGCGAGGAAGATCGAAGGCGACGTGGAACGCGCCCTCCCTCAATTAGCGTCGCTCGCGGCCGACGGCGACAGCGGCGCCGAGGCGCAGCGGCTCCTGAAGACGGTGGAGGACCACCTCAAGGCGCTGGCGCGCGTGCGCGACTCGCTGCAGGCCGAGGAGGCGCGCGAGCCGTCGCCGGCGCGCAAGGCCGTCGTCGAGCGGTGTCGCGCCGTTGTTGTTGATTATTCGTCCGACGTCGGCCGCGTCGCTAAACAACTGCGCAAGAACGCGGACCGGGCGAAGCTCTTCTCGGGCGCGGACGACGTCGTCGACTTGGAGGGCGGGCCGGACCACCTCAAGGGCGTGCACCGCGAGCGGAAGGCGACGACGAACGCGCTGCGAGGAGTGGGCGACGTCATCGAGCAGGCCCACGAGGCGCAGTCGGACCTGGCGTCGCAGCGCGAGACCCTCGAGGGCTCTACAAACACGGCGCAGTCGCTGACGGACCGGCTCCCGTCGATCGACTCGATCATCCAGAAAATGCGCCAGAAGAAGTACCGGGAGAACGCCGTCGTCGGCGTGACGGTCGGGTGCTGCGCGTCGTTTTTGCTCTGGGCCGTGCTCACTTGATGGTGTGCGCGTAAGATTAAAATACATACGTACACTTATACACTCGGTAGCCGCCCCCAGGCAGCTTCCTGACTACTCAGCTCGCGCTCCGCGACGCCGACCTGGAGCAATTCACAATTTCCGCGCGCCACCGTGCAGCGGTGGTTGCAAAAGCGCTCCTCGCCGTTCCAGAGCTCCAGTACGAGGACGCGCCGGCGGCCGCTCTCCACGCGAGACACGCCGTGGTACTTGTACGACGGGAATATTAACGCGTCGCCGCGTTCGAAGACATGTTCGAGCGTTGAGCCGTCCTCTTCCAAAGTCTGAAACCGGCCACCCGCATCGGCCTCGCGCAGGCACACGTCCAGCGTGACGACACTTCCGGAGTCGAAGTGCGTCGGATCGTCCAGCCCCGCTCCTTCGCCGCAGTCGTGCAGTTCGACGCACCGGGTTTCACATTCTCTGGCATTTCCCGAAAAATGCTCGTCGTCGACGTCTTTCGCCAATGTGACCAGGCGATCGAGCAGCTCGCCAGCTTGCGTTCTCGCGAGGCCGTCGGCGTTGAGATACTGCGTCCGCCACGCCGTCCGCGCCGCGACCGGTGGGCCGTGCACGAGTGCATGCGCACTGCCTAGCGCATCGATGGCGTTGAGCGCGCTGTCGTCGAGGAATTTCGGCACTCGTATGACCGGCAGCCTCTGCGCGGCAGCCCGGTCGACCAATGCCTTGCGTGCTCGTGCTTGGGCTGCGCGCAGCGCCATTTCTGAGGAGACTAACGAGCTCTGGTGCCAAGGCGGGCACGAATGCGTCCCTGGGGTGGCACAGCTGGCACCAGCAGAGCAGGTCTGCTGGTGTCGCTCAACCTCGAGGTTTCCGAACAAAAGGGCTGAATCGCCCGAGCGAAATGCACAATAGAAGCGTCTTTCGGTCCCCTTTGTTGCGCAGCGGTGCCGCTGCGGCAGTTTCTCGCAGACAGACGAGCTAGCGTATGTAAGACACTAGCAAGCGGCAAGCCATCCTGGGGCTGCCACACAACCTGCGCAGACCGAGGCTGCCCAAGTGCGCCAAAACAATTGATCTTTTGACTTCCGCACCGCTCTCCCAGCCGCGATGGTCTTCGTGACACCTACAACCACAGAAGTGCTCCAGTGGGAAGGGCTGCACCTCTTCCACTTTGAAAGCAGCACATGCAGCAAGAAAGTAAGGACAGTGCTCGCCTTGAAAGAGTTGAGCTGCACACTGCACCACGTCGACCTCACGACCCACGAGAACAAGACCGAATACTTCCTCGGCATCAATCCACGGGGGCTTGTCCCGGTCCTGGTGCACGACGGGAAGGTCATACTCGAGTCGAACGACATTGTACAGTACTTAGACGACGCCTTCGGCCCGGACTCACCGATTCCCACGCGCCGTTTATCAGATGCGAACACGGAGCAGGCGCTCTCGGCCGAGGACGCGCTGCACATGGCGATGCGGACCCTAACCTTCAGCTTCCGCATCCCGTCGGCGCTCGGCCGCGTGCCGGACGACAGGCTGGCCCTCTACAAGGACCGCGGGGCGAACATTGAGGGCAAGGGGCAGAACCATGGGGAGCAGATAGCGTTCTGGACGGCGTATAACCAAAACGGCGGCTGCTCGGGCGACGCCATCGTCCAAGCTTATGACGCGATCCGCGCGGCCTTCGACGGATTGGAAAATGAATTGAATGGCGCCCAATTTCTGTCCACGGCAGCTGATGCGCTGTCGCTGACGGACGTCGTCTGGTTCCCGACCGTGCGACGGGTGTTCCTCTGCGGCTACGACCTCCGGCGGCACCCGTCGCTCTGGGCCTGGCACGAACGCATGCGCGCGCATCCCGCCATCGCGCCCTTCGTCGAGCCCATGGGCGGCCTCGGCAACGCGGCCTCGTGGTGGCGTACCACGGGCACGACGCTCGGCGTCTGTAGAGGCGCATCGGCGGGCACAGCCCTTCCGGCTAAAGGTTTAAACAACAAATTTAAGCATCACCTGGCGCCTCCGCGAAGTTGATCGCGTCGACGGCGCCCGGCGGCGCCACCGTAACGTAGAAGACGGGTCGCGACGCGTCGCCAGTGTTCGGCAAGCCGCGGTGCAGCGTCGAATAAGAGAAGAGTACAATGTCCCCTCTTCTAAGTTCCGGCGCGCACTTCTCGTATCGATCATCGCCTTCCAGCGTCGGCGCGTAGGCGACGGCGTGCTCGTCCGCGTGCGACCGCAGCGCAAATTCTGTAGGGCCTAGGTGAGAGGGCACGTCAACCAGCGGCACGAACGCGTTGTAGAATTCGTCCATGCCGTCGGCGTGATACAACTGAGGGCCCGCGCCGGGGCGCGAAATGACGCAGCCCGCCGTCGCGACGTCCCACTCGCCTGGATTCGACTCGGCTATGACACGCCTAGCAATCCCAGCGACGCGGTCAGCGAGCTCAGACCAGCGCGGATCCGCCGTACTGTCGTCCAGTCGCACGTCGTGGCGGAGCTCCGACCGTCGAGCAAGCGTCGGCTCGTCAATGGCGGCATCCTGTCCACGGCCGGCGAGTCGATCGTCGAGCGCCTCGACGGCGGCCACGGCATCGCCCTTTTGAACACCAGCAAGCAGCCCGTCGACCGACCGGAGCACCACGACGCCATATTCACGTAGAGCTGCAGATGCTTCATTTGTTTCGCGGTCCGACGGCGGCGTCGATACCGCGACGGTGATGCGCGACGTCGGAGTGGCCTGGAGCATCTCGCACGCGAACGCGGCGTCCGCCTCACGTTCCCTCCGCACGACCGCGCCCTCGGCGCACACCCTGGCGAACGTAGTACACAGCGCCCGAGACTGCAGCCTTCTGAGGTTCGACGCGCGCCCGAGGTCGCGCTGGTGGCGCTCCGACGCGGCGCCGTCGTACCCGTCCACGTTAACTTCAAAGCCGTCGATTTCCACGAATCCCACGGCAATAATGCGCGTGCCCCGCGTCGTCCGGCGGCCGCCGTGGCGCGTCTGGCCGGGATGCAGCACGGCGTCGCCCGCATCCTCGTCGACGCCGTCGAAATCGGCGTCCACGAACGTCGTCGCGCCGCCGTCGAAATCCGACCCGTCCGAGAGCAGCACGTTGAACGAGAGCGGGCCCGCGTCGCGGTGCGGCGCCAGCTCGGCGCCGTCGCCGGCGTCGGCGTCGTATCGGACGACAAAGGCGTCGATGAGGCACAGTGCCGCCCGGAACCTCATAACAATGAGCCAGGCGCGCGCGGACCCGCGACCAGACTATCGAATCGAACTGGGGTTCGACGTCGTGCGCTGAAGTATCGAGGGTCGCGTAGGAGGACGTGGCGGTCCGACGCCCAGGCGGACGGCGGCAGCGCGAGCGCTTTTTCGCCGATGGCCAGCGCGTCTTCTCGGGGTACGCATTGTTTTATGCGGAACGCGGTGCCCAAACGCCCCGGGTAGATGCGGTGGCTGGTCGAGGACAGCGCGGTCGCCGTCGCCGCGAGGAGAGCGATCATAGCAATCATCGATTCTCGGCCTCGGCCCTCGCGCGCGCCAGTTCAAAGTCGGCCTGGTGGATGGCCTGGTCCAATCGCAGGATGCCCAGGTCGAGCGCCTCCGGTTCGCCCTCGGACTCGACCGGCTCGCGCTCGAAGAGGACCCTCGCCGTCGCGCGAAAGAGCAGTGCGAGGTAGGCGCCGATCGTGCTGAAGAGCGCTTGGAAGGTGAGGTGTAGCGGCGACGGCATTGAGTGGTGCACTAATTTACGCTGCTGGATGCAACGGCTTGGCGCCAGGATGCTGTACGCTGTAAACTCACAGAGTGCAATCTGTGCAGTGCAGCCTTTGAGCAGTTCTCTGAGTACTCTGAAGGTTCTGCCGCTGCGGGCTGTAGAAATGGCGAGTACTGATGGGTCGCGCCAGACAAATGATGCCTGGCGCGCGTTATTGCCGTTTTGCGGTCGGCAAGATGGAATTAGCTAGCGGCCTGTACAGGTAAGACACTAGCGAGCGGCCAACCAGCGGTCGTTCCAAGGAGCATCGATCACCGTAATACGGCATCCTCCTCCAGGCAAAAAAGTAGCGCCAATCAAATTACACAGCCACCACGACGCGATCACTCGCCGGTCGTCGAAGACACGACCTCGACGACGGGCTTCGACCGCAGGATGAGCGACGGTAAGGGCTCCGCCGCCGGCATCTCGAATTTCTTGACGTCGTGCTTTGACGGCTCGTCGGCCGCGGCGTCGCCGTGGTCCGCGTGTAACGCCGCTTTTTGTGCCTCGCGGCGCTTCCGGGACCGCTCCTCGGCCTCGCGCTTCCGCGCCGCCTTGGCTTCCGCGAGCTGCGCCTTGCGCGCCTCGACCTCGGCGTTGTGACGAGCGAACTGCGCCGCCTCTTCCTCCGCCTTGGCCTCGCGCAGCAGCGTGATGTGCGCCTCGAGAAGCGAGTCGTAGCAGCAATATTGTACTTTCTCTGGCGGGAAGAAGCGCTCGAAGGCGCCCAGTCTTACCAATTCCTGGCGCAGCTGATACGTTGTAAGGCTGCTCACGCTGTGGAGGTCGTATTTAGGCGTCGTCGACGGGTCGTAGGCCTGGTCGCAGACGGTAACGTGCTCCGTCATGGTCGTTTCCACAAGGGCTGCGTCTCTCAGCCGGCTTTGGGCAGCCTTGGGCAGCAGTTGGGCGTATCTCGGCCGCGCAGCGCATCGAACTCGAGTCGAGATGCCCCGCACGATAGCGCCGCGAACGCGCTCGAGCCAAAGTTCACACGAACACTAGACTTAGGCTTTCTCGCCCGCGACGGCGACGTCCTCCTTGGACTCCTCCTCCGCGGTCGGCGTAGCGTCCTGATACCTCATCAGTTCGCGCTCCTTCTGCTTCATGCGCCGCCGGAGCAGCAAGTAGGCGACGGACCGCGCGACGACGAACATGACGAACAGCGCGACGATGGCCTGGCCCGTCGTGAAGCGGTCGAGGTGGTACTCCTCGTAGATGTCGTTCACCGAGATTTTGCCGTCGCCGCCGGCGTCGCACGAATCGGGGAAGAGCGTGCCGTCGTCGGGATTGCCGCACTTGAATTTTTTGCGGTCAATCCCAAAAATGGCGTCCGCCGAGAGCTTGAGGATGTAGATCAAAGGATTGGCGTAGACGGCCCACGGCACGGCCGTCTGCGAGACGGGCACAAATAAACCAGTGAAGAGGAAGACGTAGGTCACGTAGATCATCGCCACCGTCACGACGTTCTCTCCACTTACTCCAGCGGAGAACATGAGGCCGATCGACTGGAACGTGAGGAACGACGCCACTAGCACGGCGTACAACGCGAACCAGACCGCCGGGTTGCTCGACACGCCCGCGAGCACATAGAAGATCTGTGTGGAAATCAAATTTCGGGCGCCCCACGCCATCGACGCGATATTTTCTCCGTAGCCGCGTCTGCTCGATGGCGGCAACCTAACTCACTGGTTGATATCCACACAGCTCTCGACCGTCAAATGCATCAAACTTTGAGCACACATGGGCACCAAATTCATCGTCGAGTCGACGACGAACCACGCTTCTAATCTGTAGGCGTTGCACGCCAGGTCCTTGCGGAGCATGTTTTGAGCGGCGCCGAACCAGGGCAGCGCGTCCAGCAGCGGGAAGAAGATCCAGGCGATGGGTATCGCGAACGCCAGTGTGTAGCGCGGGAAGACGTCCTTTTCTTTGTAGCCGAGCTGCCACCACATCAGGCCGGCGAGCGTCGCGTTGCCGCCGTGCAGCAATAATGACGAGCGCTTGAAGACCTTGGGCGCCACGGCCTTCCACGACCGACGGCTGAGGACGGCGATCTGCTCCGTGAGCGGCGCGGCGTAGCGCTGGCGCCGCTTCTGGGCCCGCAGCGATCGCAAGGGCTCCGTCCGCGGCGGTAAAGTTGAGGGGCCGTAGCGCTCGTCGAGGACCCGCTTCTTCTCATCATCACTATCGACCTTGTTCTCGACCACAATCTCCATGAGCCAGTCCGGCGCACTGTAAGCCGCAGGGCACGGCAGGTGGAACGGCGCGCCCGCGAAGGCGTCGCCCGCGTCCGCCGTCGAGCCTCTGTAGGTAAGACCGCCCTTTCGCAGCAATAGTAACTCGTCGAAGAGGAGAAAGAGGCGCGACGACGGCTGGTGAATCGACGCCACGACGGCGACGCGCCGCTCCCGCGCGAGGTCGCGCAGCGCCTCGACGACGACGCACGCCGTGGCGCTGTCGAGGCCGCTCGTCGGCTCGTCGCAGCACAGGAGTCTAGGTCTCGTCAGCATTTCCTGCCCGACCATGAGCCGCTTGCGCTCTCCACCGGAGATCGTCTTGCCGCCCATGCCGCCGACCGGCGTCTCGGCGCACGATTCCAAGCGGAGCAGCTTGAGCGTCTCGTCGACTCTCTCCAGTTTTTCCTTCAATGAGGCCGCCGGAAGTCGCAGGCGCGCGGAGAACGCTAACGTTTCTCTAACGGTCAGTCCTTCGAAGACGAGGTCGTCCTGCTCGACGAAGGCGACGTGGCGCTTCAACGCGGAGGACCAGGCCAGGTCGTCGCCGTACCAAACCTGGCCACCGCCGACCGGGCCCCTCCGAGCTAATGCGTTTAAGAGCGACGTCTTGCCGCAGCCCGTGGGCCCCATCAGCGCGACGGCCTGGCCCGCCTCGACGTCGCCCGAGCACGGCGCTAATGCCTGTACGTCCTTGAAATGCACGCTGAGATTGCGCCAGTGGACGCCTAATGTCTCCACGTATTCTACGTTCTCCTTCTCCGCGCGGATGCGGCTCTGGTCCATCTTTGTCGCAGAGAGCGTGCGTTCACCTTTCCCCATCGTCGCCTCTTGGAGAGCTTGTGTTGTCAGGGCTATTTTCTCTTCGCACGGATGCGTAGTGATTGCGCGCGCTGCGCAACTGGTTGTTCCCTTGCAGGGACTGCCTTGCACCAATTCTTGCACTGTAAGAATTAGCGTGGGCAACGTGACAGTCGTGCAAAGCTTGGCATGCGTGTTTCTAGCGGGCATGTATCACTAGCAGAAGCCTCTGCTGGCCTCCACATCCGTCGTCGCACGCATATTTACGTGGCCATAACATTCCTTTGCAATGAACAACCGATTAGCTACCTCTAGGTTCCCATTTCTAAGCGACGCGCGGCGGCCCGACGCCGGGCAGGGATTACCGACACCAGTACGACACCAGCACGCCTTCAGCGCGAAGCAAGAAGAGAAGGAAGACTACAAGCAGCAAAGGTTAGGAGCACCGGTCTACTAGTGGTGGTGGTGCGCCGCGTCCTGCGTCCAGTTGATCGTCGACAGATCCACGCCCTCCTGGACGAGCTCCCAGAGCGGCGACATCTCCCGCAGCCGCGCGACGTGGACCCGCAGATCAATCGCGAAGTCGACCTCGGCTTCCGTCGTGAACCGCCCCAACCCGAAGCGCAGCGGCGGTGGGCCAGGTCTCGGACACGCCGATGGCCCGGAGCACGTAGGACGGTTCTAAAGAGGCCGACGTGCACGCGGACCCCGAGCTTACCGCAATGTTCTTGAGCGACATCAGTAACGATTCACCTTCCACATACGCAAATGATAAATTGACGTTGCCCGCGTGGCGCTGCGTCGCGTGGCCATTTAATACAACTTCGGGCACGTGCTCCCTGATCCCAGCCATGAGTCTTTCCGACAATCGTTCGACGTGGGCCATGTCGTTCGGCAGCTCTTTTAAAGCGACGTCCGCCGCGGCGCCCAGACCGACGCATAAAGCCGTCGGTAATGTGCCGGATCTAAACCCGCGCTCCTGGCCGCCGCCCGACAGAACGGGCTCCAATCGCACGCGAGGCCTTCGCCGCACGTACAACGCTCCAATACCCTTCGGCCCATACAACTTGTGCCCCGAGATCGACACGAGATCACACCCGATCTCGTTCACGTCGAAGGGTAACTTCCCGACCATCTGCGCCGCGTCCGTGTGGAAGAAGGCCTTGGCCTCTTTCGCGATCTGGCCGATCTCCTTCAAAGGCTGCAGCGTGCCGATCTCGTTGTTGACGGCCATCACGCTCACGAGGCACGTCTCGTCCTTGCGCACCGCACTTCTCAATTCGTCGAGGTTCACCATGCCCGTCGCGCGCTCTACTGGTAAATAAGTGACCTCGAAGCCCTCCCGCTCCAACGCCCGACACGAATCCAGCACGCACTTGTGCTCCGTTTGGGTGGTGACGATGTGCTTCTTCTTCGCGCCGTAGAAGCGCGCGATGCCCTTGACACTCATATTATTCGACTCCGTCGCGCCGCTCGTGAAGACGACTTCCCTAGAATCGGCTCCGATCAGTTTCGCGAGGGACTCGCGCGCGTTCTCGACGGCCTTTTCCGACTCCCAGCCGAACGCGTGCGTTTTCGAATGCGCGTTTCCGAAGTTGCCCAGGAAGTAGGGCAGCATCGCGTCCAGGACCCTCGGGTCCACGGGCGACGTCGCTTGCACATCCAAATACGCGGGCGCGCCGTTTCTAGCCATGGCGTCGATGCCAAAGCCCGGCTCCATCGTGCGCGGTGCTTCCGTGTCCTTCTCGAGAGCCGAGAGCGGGCGCGCTCTCGGCGCGGTGCGGGCGGCGCGCGCGAGCGTCTTGGCGGCGGACGCGACGCGCATGGTTGTCTAGCGGCGGAGGGAAGCGAGCAGGTGCTCTGTGAGAGCAGGTCGGCTGCTAAGCTATCTGAGCGCGCACAAGCTTCGCAGCTTTGTGTGGGCACCGAGAAGAGAATTTCTAAGGGGTGGCCGGAGCTCCCGCCGCGATGCTTGCTCGCAAATTAGACCAGCTCAATGCGGCGCTCTCGGCTCCCTAGTGTCTTACATGCCGCTAGCGCATTTATTTACTGCTGGATCAAACGAGTCCACAGGCGCCCATCAATACGAATCAGTGGTCGAGGGTTAATCGTAACACGCCCACTGACTCACACAAGTGCGCGCGGCGAGAGATATTTGCGCCAAGACGAGCGCTAAGGAGATCCAGTTTTAAAAAAAAGGCCGAGGCTGTGTTTGGATGTCACGCGACGGGCCAGATAAAATTCGTCGTACCGGGGCTTGGAAAACACGGCGAGCTCGAGTCCGCCGCCCGCAGCCGAGCAGCCGCGCGACCTACGCCGACCTCCTCACGATAGGTGGTTTTTCGCGGAGGCTCTCTACGAAGACCCCGACGCCACGCTCGACGATATTCGCGAAGCCGTAACGACGCTCGAGGACACTGAACCATTGCGCTGGCGCGGCGCGTGATGGGCGGCGCGCACCCGACCACAGAAGCCGGCTTGGGACTTGCCTGCGAAACGCGCGCGAGCGTGCTCCGCGCCCATTTGACGACGCCGAGCGCGCAAGATTCACCTAACGCCATCGCCGCACGCACGCACGCATACTATGCATGGCGGCGCGTAACTAACTGCGAGCAATATCGTCGACAACCAGCTTCTCGACGGCCACCGTCGTCGCCGAAACCGTCTCCTCGTTCTTCTTCGGCAACAGGCGCGCGTACGGCGGCGCGTGCGCGGCCAGCAACTTTTCGTTGCACTCCCGCAGGAACGGGTCCACGTTCGCGTAGGCGGCCTTGAGCTTCGAGGCCGCGAGCGAACCCAGCGCCGCGTTAAGCTCGTCGTCGGGGTCCGATTTCCGCCCGCGGACGTCGAGCTTGATGGCGGAGCACGTCAGCAGCAGGCCCGTCGCGGCCCGCGGGTTGTGCTTCGGGCCGAGCAGCTCCAAGCTCTTCGCGAAGTAGACGCGCGCTTTTCTGTAGAGTGGCTCGCGCTTCGCCGTCGTCGACGCAGCCCACGAGTAGTAGAGCTCTCCCAATCTCCGCATGTAGTGCTGCGCCGTCGGGTCGAACAATGTGAGTTCTTCGTAGCAGAAAATGGCGTCCGAGAAGCGGTAGGCCGCCGCGTGGGCCTCGGCGAGGGCCTGCCACGCGCCGCGGTCGCTCTGGCACGTCGCCGTCAGCTTCGTGAGTGCCGCGATGACGGCCTCGCGCCCGGCGCCCTTGGCCTCGACGACGCAGACCTCGCGTTTCAGAGCCGTCGAGTTCGCCGGGTTCTGCGCGAGGACGCCCTTGTACCTTTGGAGCGCTGCCTCCCAGTCGCCCGCCGCCTCGGCCACGAGGCCCTCCAGCCGTTCTAGTCGCTGGGACGGCGGGTTCGCGCCCCCAAACCTCTTCAGTAGAGCGCTCTGGCAGGCGTCTCGCAGCGGCGCGTCGTCGACGTCCAACGCCGCCACCAAGGTCTGCTCGTAGACGGCCCAGACGTCGTCGCCTAGAACACGGGCCGCCCGTCGGGGGTCCTGCAGCGCCGTCTTCCCGTGCGTCGCGACGACCTGGGACTGGCGCAGCTTCTGCGTCCGGATCAGTTTGAGGAGCGCCGCGATCTTGGGCAGGCTCCGCGGGTCCGCCTGGACGGCGGCGTGGAGGTCGGCGTAGCTAGCCATTTTTTGGTAGCGCTGCGGCGCGGCGGCGCAGCGAGTCGGATGGACTACTAGCCAAGCGGCACAGCGGTGGGGCGCGTTGGCGCGCAGGCGTTGTCGCGAGAGCTAGAGTGATTCCTGGCCGTGCGTGGACGAGCCCTTAGCTTGCAGCAGCCTCCAAAAAAGCCCCGCCGCGCGTGCTAGGCATCCCTAGTATCTTACATGACGCTAGCTCGCGATTCCTAACTTTGTCGCGCGGGTCTAAAATTTGTAGACCGGCGACGCGGGACTCATAATTATAACCTGGCGTACTTGCAAAAGCATGGCGACCACAAATAGCTCGCCTCTACTGGGCCTTCCAGATGACCTCCTGCAGCGCGTCCTCGTGGGTATTCCCCGCGACGACCACGGCGCCGCGGCCGCTGCTTGTGGCGCCTTTCGCGCGATCATACGTGGCCCGAGATTTCTCCGCTTACGCCGGGAGTTTGGCTTCGCGGAACGCGCCGTCCTCCTCCTCTCAGGTCGTTTTAGAATTAACCAGGACGAAAGTATAGACGGATGTTTGGAGATCCACGCGGCGCAAAAAAGGGGGTTCGCGGAATCCTTTTTTGAACACAAAGTGTCTATAATTGAGTCGACGACCGACGGCGCCGCCCGGATATTTTTCTGCACCAATGTAAAAACTGGTAATGAAATCTTAGTTATGGATGCCTCTACATGCCGATGGAGTCGGTTCGCAACGCTCCCGCAAAATCAAAAGGGGCAATGCATGCTTTGGCACGGCTCCGGGCTGCTTTACGTCGCCGGCGGGTACGTGGCCAACACCGGGGGCTATCTTAGTTCTCTCCACGCGTTCAACGAAGTAACGGGATTGTGGGAGACGTTGCCTTCTATGCCACACGCCTGTATGTGCGCGGTGTCGGCCGTCATCGGCGACCAGCTCTTCGTTCTAGGAGGCTACGAGGCAGGCCCGGAGATGGCCTCGACAAATATTTTGCAGATTTATGACATCCCCACTAGGACCTGGCGAGTGGGGGCGTCGAAACCGGACGGTGAAGAATTTGCTGCGGCGCTTGCTGTTGACGGGAAGTTATTTTGTGTCGACGGGAGCTTTTCGGTGAGGTATGACCCTCACTCCGATACGTGGACCGAGATCCCAGGCCCGCCAAGGCCGGGCGGGCGTCGTTGCTCCTGCGTCCACAATGGCCGCATCGTCGCCTTTTACCACGACGGCGCGGCGTTTGAGCGCGCCAACGACGGCTCGTGGTCTCCTTACCAGGCCGTCGCCGACGTCGATGCACTCGACCACAGGAGTCTGGCATGCTTCGGGTCCGTCCTCCTCGGCTAGCTAGGAATCCCCGGGCCGCGTAAGGAACTTGGTCTACTCTTAAGATACGTTGTTACACAGACGCGCGTCGCTCACTCCTTCACCTTCTTCACCTTCGGCGGCCGCGGCAGCTTCGCGCCGAGCGCGCGCTCGAGTTTCGAGATGATCGCAGGGTTGGGCACGGCCTTGCCCTGCTCGTACTGCTGGATGACCTGGGGCTTCTCGTTGATCTTCGTGCCGAGGTCCTTCTGGGACATCTTCTTGGCCATTCTAGCTTGCATCAACGCCTTGCCGAAGGCGAGGCCCGTCTTCTGGACCTTGAACGTTTCGGTCTCCTCGGCGAGCTTGCGCGCGCCGGCGCCAGCCGAGGTGCCCATCGGGCCGTGGCCGCCCACAGATTTATTCGCGGTGGCGAACTGGCGCGCCTGGGACACGGCGGCGCCGCTCCGCTGCGCCGAGGTCAGGCTCTGCTTCTTGTCGCCCTGCGTCGGCTTCTTGAAAGGCTTGGTCGAGCGGCCCACATTTACGGTCTCCCAGTCCTGGCCGGCGTTGCCGCCGAAGTTGGACATGGTTGCTGTGCTTTTGCAGTGTGCAGTGTCTGGTTGCTGGTCAGTGATTCCCTGTGGCGTGCGCACGCAGCGCGGCGAGAAACTTGTGCAGCAGCGCGATGCAACGAGCGATGCGCTGATACGCTATTCAATCTGTGCGAGCAGACGCGTAAAAGCGCAATCGACGCACACTCGTCGATGTCTCTGTCTGTGCCCAAGCCGGGCAGCGAGCTAAGACTCTTCCCGAGGGCTGCTCCACGTGCTGCTGTACCCTGGAACGGCTCTACCGCTTGACACGCTAGCTCTACACGCTAGCTAGCTCTCTTGGCGCGAAGCAGCTCTCGCAATTGGACGCCCAAAACGAGACGCACAGTGGCCACAAGTGCTGCGCAGCTGCGACGTCGCCACACCCAACCAGTGGAGCACGCCTACAGCGCGCGCGCACTCCAGGCGTCCGCTAGAAGCGCAAGCTACCGAGCGCGCCAGGACCGAGACCGCCCAATTTCAAAAAGCAAGCACTAAAAGAGCACGCCTACAGCGCGCGCGCACTCCAGGCGCCAGCAGCGAGCACTAACTTAGCCCGCGCGCAGCGCAAATTCAAAAGCAGACGATGGTCGCCCGCCCGAGCCGCGCGCGCGCCAAGCCACGAAGCTTGTACGACGAGCAGGCCGAAGAACTGAGGAAGAAGGGCGTCGAGCTCCAGACGCAGGACGACGACGAGGAGAACGAGGAACAGGACGACGACCGCTCCGCGACCTTCGTGGCCGAACCGACCCAGAAGAAGGCTAGAGCGCGGACGGGCGCCGTCGCCAAGCCGCGGACGAACGCGGCCCCCAAACAGGCCACGGCCCTCTTCAAGGCCGTGTCGGCCGCCAAACAAGGTAGAAAAAAAGTGACAACCCAAAGCGCCGCCGAGGCCTGGGCCGTCGAGTTCGCGACCTCTCCAGAAAAGGGCGCCGCCCTATTAACGCGCTTCGCCTTCGAGTGCTGCGGTGCGGTGGACGCGAAGGCTATTGTGGGCGATTCCCTAGACGAGGACGCCGACGACGCCGCCTGGACGCAATTACTAACATCACTCGGCGACCAGCTCGGCTCGAAGGCGACGCCGCGCGCGTACCCGCTCCACCCGACGGCCGGGAGGGGAGACGCGTTCGAGGAGCGCTTCCGCGGGGCCTGGGCCGAGGTCGTGGACGCGTCGGCGCGCGGCGACCGCGGCGCCTACGAGGAGACGGCCATTTCCTTGATCGTCGACGTGCTCACGTGCAACGCGGCGTCCTTTGACCTCGATCCGACCGATCGCGTCGATGGCGTGAGGTGGAGCGAGACACTGACTCACACAGGCGCCTCTCCGGCTCGGCGGTGGCGCACGCGCGGCACGTCGGCGGCGCCGGCGCGATGGCGGTCGGCGATCGGCTCGCCGAGGCCGCGACGTCGATCGACGACCGTTTAGTTATTGCCAAGAGACAACTGAGAGCCGCCCTCGGGTCCTCCAAGACGCCGAAGAAGGGCTCCAAGGCCGAGACGTGCCAGCAGACCGTCGACGACCTCGAAGAAGCGCGCACGAAATGCGACGAGGCCCTCGACGAACTCTTCGAGGGCGTCTTCTCCAAAAGATATCGCGACTCGAAGCCCGAGGTGCGCGCGGCCGTCGTCAAGGGCCTGGTCGGCTGGGTACAAGCGAGACCATCGAAGTTCGCGGCCACAAAGTACCTCAAGTATGCGGCCTGGGTCCTCGACTTCCAGGACGGTGCTGCGGTGCGAGCGTCTGGAGCTCGTGTCTTAGCCGCGGCCTTCGCGTGTGCGGGAGACCAGAAGGACACGCTGCGGGACTTTGCTTTACGGTTCGCGCCTCGATTAGGTGAAATGGCTCATGATGTCGACCCGGACTGCCAGGCGGCGGCGATCCAGGCGTTGCGGGCCCTGAAGGACTGCGGGTTATTGGATGAGTTGGAATTGGGTGAAGACGAGGACGCGACGTTGCGCGACAACGTCTACGCGAAGATCGTGGACCAGGCTTGTTCAGCCGATATAAGGAGCGACGCCCTCGCTTTTGCGTTGGATCTCGAGGAGTTCGACGCCAACACGTCGCAGGGCGACGCTCAAAGATCTTTAAGAGACCTGGGCCGCTTCGTCGAGGCGTCGGTCCTGGGTGATGACGGTCCCACTACCTTAACAAGCCTGGCGGCCGACGCCTTCCTCGCGCTGCCCGAACGAGCATCTCTACTGAGAGACTGGCGCGCCTGGGTCGCTTTGTTGCAGCGCGACGACGTCGACGCCGCCGCGTCGCAAGAGAACCAGCGATTAGTGGACGTGCTGTTACGACTGTGCGCCCGGTCGGCGGAGACAGATTCACTAAGCGCGGCGCCCGCGTTGCTAGAAGCTTTACCGGCCTTGCTCACGAAGTACGGCGGCGACGACGACCTGCTCCAGACGGTCTGTGCCCTCGGCGAGAGCGCCTCGCAAGCGTCCACGAAAGACGCGCGCTACGTCAAGGCCTGCAAGGCTCTCTTAGATCGCGTCGCCACGACCTCCGACGACGCTTCCCTGAATGCCGCGGCGAAGGCCATCCGGGCCTTCTCCGCCAACTCGACGGACAAGAAGCTATCCAAGGCCGTCTCGAAATGTATTAGCGAGGCGGCCAAACCCTTACTCGAGGAGCCCGCCGGCGATAACGACGCCGTCGAGGCGGCATTGATGGCGGCCGTGAAGCGCATTCAAGCCCTGGCGCAGGCCGTCGACGTCCCGGCCGCGTTATCGGGTGGCGCGGCATTGGCCGAAGCGCTGGCGGCGCGCGCGGCGCAGCTGGCCGACGACGGCGACGTCAATGCCAAGGCGTGCCTCGAGGCGCTCGGGGCGTTGGTGTTGTGGCGCGCCAAGGCGTGCCTGGATAATATAGATGACGCCGGCGACGCGGAGCCGCTCGACCCCGTCATTACTGCGTGCGCGGACGGCGCCGCGCGCGCGCTGGCGTGCCGCTACGAGGCGCCGACGCTGGCGTTGAAAGGAGGGGACCTCCACGACCTCGAATTGAGGGAGGACGACGAGAACACGATGCAAGTGACGAGGGCCGCGTTAGATGTGGTTGCGGTGCTCGCGGCCGCGGCCCATCCTGGTTTAAAGGAGCGCCAAGGCTTAGAATCTATGGCGCTGCCCGTCGAGACGGACGCGCAGTTGTGTTCGTTGGTCGCCGACGCCTGCCGCCGGGGCGACGTCTCCCTAGAACCGTGCGCGCACGTGGCCGCCGCGGCGCCGCCCGAGACGCCCGCGCGGACGGACCTCTGGGCCGCCGTCGTAGCAAGGGCCGCGAAGGACGACGCGGACTTGCTCCCTTCTCTCTCTTCGCGGCTGGCCGGCACGGGCCCCGACGACGTCGCCCGCGTCCACCTCAAGGCGCTCGAGGCCGAGACCCTGGACCAGGTGACGGCGAAGGCCCTGGCGAAGAGCCTCGTCAAGGCGGCGGCGACGCGCGCCGACCGCGCCGACGCGCTGCACGCGCTGCTGCACGCCGGCGTCGACGCGGCGCTCGCCGACGCGCCCTCTACCTTAATTCTGCTCGGCGCGCTGCGGCCCTACGTCGACGCCGCGCAGCCCAAGCGCCGCGGCAAGGACGCCGAGGCGGACTCCAAGGTCGACCGCGCGCTCGTCGCTTCGGTCCGGGACGCATGCGCCGCGCGGGCCTCAGTGATCCGCCGCGACGCCGACGACGATGAGAACTGGGATTTACTAGATGCCTTCGAGGGCGCGCTAGGCACGCACGCGCCGGCCAAGAAGAAGGCGCCGCCTGCTCCAGAGGAGGAGGAGCCCTGGGACGCGCCCGCCGAACCACCCAAGCTGCCCAAGGCCAAGAGCCCGCCGCGCCGCCGCGCGCCGCCCGCGCGCCGCGGCTCGGGCTACCGCTCCGGCGCGTCGAGCCTCAGCGAGCCGCTCGAGAAGATCGCCGAGGCGAGCGACGAGGACTCGGACGACGGCGGCGCCGCGCTTCTCCAACGTCGCTCGCAGGACGACGTGCCCGACGACCTGTCGGCCGTGTCGTCGCTCAAGGACGACGACCAGGCGGGTTCGAATTCGCGCAAGCGCAAGCCGCACCCGCTGTCGCCGATCCCGAGCGCGCCCGTCGTCGAGAGCGACGAGGAGCCCGCCGAGCCGTCGCCGAAGAAGAAGAAGACGCCCAAGAAGTCGCCGCCGAAGCGCAAGTCGCTCGGCCGCGCCGCCAAGAAGAGCTCCTGAAGCATGTTCCCCCCTCTCCCCACGGCGACTAAGCGCCATACTACTCGAACTCTTACACTTCCTAGTCCAGCGACGGCATCGTCCCGAGGTTGATGTGGCTCGTCTTCGTCTTGATGACCTCGTCGATGAGGCCGTAGTCCTTGGCCTCGCCGGGCATCATGTAGAAGTCGCGGTCCGTATCCTCGGCGAGCTTGTCCGCGGGCTGGCCCGTGTACTCGGCCATGTACGTGTTGATGACGGCCTTGGTGAAAAGGATCTCCTTCGCCTGGATCTCGATGTCGGCGGCCTGGCCCTGCGCGCCGCCGAGCGGCTGGTGGATCATGATGCGCGCGTTCGGCAGGGATTTCCTCTTCCCTTTGGCGCCGGCGCCTAATAAGAACGCGCCCATCGACGCGGCCATGCCGAAGCAGACCGTGCTCACGTCGCAGGGGATGAACTGCATCGTGTCGTAGATGGCCATGCCCGCGGATACCGAGCCGCCGGGGCTGTTGATGTACAGCGTGATGTCGGCCTCCGGGTCCTCGTTCGCGAGGTAGAGCATCTGCGCGACGAGCACGTTGCCTACTTCGTCATTTACCTCGCTGCCGAGGAGCAAAATGCGGTCCTTGAGCAATCGAGACACGACATCGATCTGCTCGCCGTTCGAGCCCGTGACCGTCGGCATGATGACCGGGCGCGGCTCGGGCCTCGGCTTCTCGGGCTCCGGCGCGGGCGGCTGCGGCCCGGGCTCGGACTGCAGCGGCGCCACTCGGCTTCTCGGCTGCGGCGCCGGGCTGCGTCCCGCGCGCGGCTGCGGCGCCACGAGTGCGCTGGCACAGGCTGTGCTAAGTAGCAGTGCAACCGCTCGTCTTGGCGCCATTTCGCTGGTCCAGCAGGTTTAGGCCAGAAACAACGTTGTGTCAAGCCTCGCTCGCTGTCAGGATATTGACAAATGCGGCGCGTACGCAGCACTCGCGGAGACGGCAAGTCGAGTTAGCTAGCGGCCTGTAAGACACTAGCAAGCAAAGAGGCGTCCGTTTGCTTCTCTGGCGGTTCCAGAAGAGTCGTCCGCTGAGCGAACAAGTCGCCACGACGCTCACCAGCCAGCTGCAGTGGACATGTTAATGCGGCAATTCGCAGCCGCCACTGCGAGTCTCAGGCCTCATGCGGCAGCATTCGTGGGCTCAGGTATCATACAATTGAGTGCGCAAGCGATTTTGAGTGATGAGGACCGTAGTCTTAAAAACACTGCTGTCTAAGGAGAGGACAGCACCTCTCAAGCTCACGATACCAGAGAGCTGGGGAGGCGCGCCGTGCTCGAAACTCATCAAAGCGTGGTCCAAACGGAAGCAATGCAGCGGCGAGCTGTACCTCGCGTCCAACGACGGTACGCCCATTCCCGAGGACTGGCCGTGGGAGGCGGCCGTCGAGCTCACGGCAGCACGCTGCGCGGGCCGGCGGCGGCGTGGACGCCGGACGACGACGACCCGGCCAAGCGGCGCGACGACGACGCGGCCACGAACGCCCGCGCTGCGAGTCTGCTGCGCGCGCGGCGCCTTCGACGAGGCCGACCGCGCGTTCCGCCGCGTGCTCGAAGGCGGCGCCGCGGCGTTGGGTGTGTGCGTCGGAGCGGCTGGAGACGCGGCGACGGTCGCGAGTGAAGGTCTTGACGCGACGACCGCGTGTGCGGCGGACGTCGCAACGGCGCGGCGCGAGCTCCTGCGCGCGGACGGCACCGACGATGGCGCAGAAGTCACGCGGCGGCTCGAGCGGGCCCTCGCCGCCGCGCGCGTCGCGAAGCAGACCGCGCCCGAGTCGGCCGAAATTAAAAAACTCGAGGCCGCCGCGCTGTGTCGCCTGAAGCGCTGGCCCGAGGCGGCCACGGCGCTCGGTGGGGACGAGGTGGACGCGCCGAAGGGAGCCGTTCCGAACACGATCGACCGCCGCGACGCCCTGGATCTCCTGAAGGCGCTCTGCTACGGCGGCGACGCCGCGCGAGCGGCCCGCGTCGCGTCGGCGTGGGCGGCGCGGTTCGCCCGGTCGCGGGATTGGTGCGCGAGCCAGGCGCGGCGGTTCGGCTCCGTCGCCGAGCTCAAGGACAAGGGCGACGCCGCCTTCCGCGCGGGCGACGCCCGGGCCGCGGAGCGCTGGTACGCCGCGGCGCTCGACGAGGACCCGGAGCACCCGGCGCTGCACTACAATGCGGCCGCGTGCCTCGAGAAGCTCGGCCGCCCGCTCGACGCGGCGCGCTGCTGCGCGAGCGCCCTGCGCTGCCGGCCGGACTACGCCGCGGCGCGTTTGCGGCGGGCGCGCTGCCTCGCGCGCGGGGCCGCCGCCGACGGCGACCGCGGGGCGAACGCCAAGGCCTACCTCGAGGCGGCGCTGGACGAGTACGCGCGGTGCCCGGACGCGGCCGCGGAGCAGGCGGCGTGCCGGAAGCGCCTCGCCTTTTGCGACACCGCGGACCCCGAGGCCGACGCGGCCGCGGCGCGCGCCTACGCGGCCCGCGCCCGCGCGCAACAAGCGCCGCCGCCGCCTCCGAAGCCCAAGGTCGTGGGCCCGACGCTTTACGACGTCGTCGGCGCGCCGCGCGACGCGTCTCCATCAATGCTCAAGCGCGCGTACCGCGCGCGGGCGCTGCGCATGCACCCGGACAAGAGCAAGGCGCCCGACGCCGAGGACCGCTTCCGCGAGCTGCAGGCGGCCTACGACGTGCTCTCGGACGCGCGGGAGCGGGCGGCGTACGACCGGGAGACGTTTGTGTAAGTTTTTTGTGTTATTTATGACGGTGTAGTGAGCTTAGTCATAGTAGTTAGGAAAGACGTTGGGGCGGTAGTCTGGATGCGCCGGCTTGCAGTTTGGAGGAGGTGGCGGATTGCCGTCCTGTTTGAATTTGATAAGGTATTCGGGATACGCTTGCGCGTCGTGGTAAGTGACGAAAATTGATGGGTCCTGGGGGTTGTCGACCGTCGAATCGTAGTGCGCGTGCGTGGCCGCGTCGCGCACGTCGGGCGTGAGCGCGTCTCTGCAGGACGCCGCACGACGTCGACGAGCACCCGGTGCCACTGAACGCGCTGTACAGGTCCACGTCATCGTCCACGCACCAGCCGAGGTCCTGGTTAAAGGCATCGGCTTCGCGAAACATCTCGTACATCGTCGTGACGCTGTGGACCGCCCATCCACTGAGGTCTTGGTTGAAGGCCGAGGCGAAGTAGAACATCCCGTCCATGCCCGTAACGCCAGAGGTGTCCCACGCGCCGATGTCCTGGTTAAAGGCGTAAGCGTGGTAGAACATCCTGTACATGCTCGTGACGCCGGAGGTGTCCCACGCGCCGATGTCCTCGTTAAAGGACGATGCGCCCGAGTTGTAGCAACTGGAATACTCAGGAGAGTTGCTATCGCAAAACAAAAACGACATGCTCGTCACCCCCCCAGTCGCCCACGTCGAGATGTGGCCGTACATGCGGATGGCCTCGTCGCGGTTCGAGAGCCAGAGCGTGACGGCGTCGCCTATCGAAAGGTTGTCAGCAACAAGAGGTGAAACTGTGGGCGCGAACGTCGGCGCGGGCGTCGTCGGCGCGGGCGTCGGTGCTGGAGATACCGTCGGCGCGGGCGTGCCGCTGATTTTGACGTTGATGCGCTGATCCTTAAAATGGCAGGCCCCACACGCGCCGCCGCCGTGCACAACCACGCGATTCGCTCCGGTGCACTCCGCTGGGAACGTGCTACCAGAGAAGACTTCGCCGTTTGGATGCGTGCACTCTACCTCACACTGAGGCTGCCAGCCGTACGGGGTGACAGTATTACCATGCGCAATTACGTGGTCTTGCAGGTCAATTGTCACAGACCCGGCTGCGTTGTATCCTCCGACGCAAGCAATGCCCGCAACTAATGTGACTTCATCCCGAAGTTGCGGCAGCTCCCAGTTGCTCGCAGGTGCAAGGTCCCAAAATGGATCAGTGCTAGTTTGCGTCGTTTCAACGTAGTAGCCAGCGCTGTCCTGGCTCACGGCGAGAATTAGTTCAGCAGACTTGCCACAAAGAAAGTTTGACCAGAGCTCGGCATTCGCACCTAAACCAGGAGAGCACCACCCCGTAGTCGGCCCAACAGAGGTTGAGGCCGTGAGCGACCCGTATGTCAACTTGCGACCCGTGGTCGGCGATGGCGTCGGTGCGGAAGTTTCCACCTCGAATAGAAGGGCTTGCGTGCTGTCATATGAGTCCACCACGTCGCATGCTACGAAATTATGGCACCACCCAGGTTGCCAGTCGGGATTGTCATGCCACCACGCGTATTTGCACTTGTAGTTGGCAGGCGCCGTGCAACCATCGGGGATCTCGCTCACAAGACATTTCTGCTGACACTCTTCAGCTGACGTCGACGGCCAGCCGTTGCACACGTTGTCCGCACAGTTTGACGTACAGCCAGAGCATTCCTTCGCCCCGAGAGATTTCATTCCAGCCAGGCTCTCTGCCAGGCTTGGTGTCGCCAGCACCAGACACAGCAACAGTTCGACCCGTAAGTGATACTGTGCTGGCATTACTGCTCGCAGCATCAGCTGGCCTGCATCAGCATATCAGGACAGGTGTTGTGTAGTGGTCATAGCCTCGACGGGGCTGCCGAGCGCATCGGAAGGAACGTCGACGCGCACATAGGGCTGCCCACGCGTGGCTACAGCGGCCCGCAGCGCACACAGCGCGCGTCGGAGCGTGCTCGCTAGTATCTTACTGGCCGCTAGCTGCGCACAGGGTTTCCGAAGCGTTGGAGCCCTGGAAGCCGCGGCCCGGGGCGGTACCCCCTCCAGAGCGGATAAGACACGAACCCGCACAGAGTCGCCCCACCCCTCCCCGACTCATCCTAACGGCATCGTGAAGGCCCCTCGGGACACATGAGTATTTTATCAAGAGGTAAGGTCGTTTAAAGGAATATGGAAGTAGAAAGCGGAGGAGTTCCGGGAAAGTGAAGCGTCGCCGGCAATGCAGTCGTCAGTCGGACACGACGCGCGCCTGATCTGGAGGTTCGGTGGCGTGCGCTTGGACCATTTCAACGGCACCGGGCGGCACAGGGACGGCAGTCGCCGTCGGGATCGGTTCGACCGAAATCACGGTCGCATGACGACGTCCAGAGTCCAAGGCAGCCGCCTCGTCCCCCTCGCTGCCGCCGCCTCGCGGTATCGCGCCGCCTCTTCCCGTTGCCGCCGCCTCGCGTCGCGGTCTCGCGCCTCCGAGGCCCGATCCACGTGACGACGATGAACTCGATTCACGACATCGGCAGTTCCCCACATTGCTTGTCGTTGCATGTTTATAAATCTGTTTGCCGCAGCGTCGAGGGCGGCCGGGCGCTCTCGTGGTGCGCGCGTGGGCGCTCCAGCGGCCGCCCATGCGCGCCGCCGCCGACGGTTGCAGGTCGCGGTCGCACGACCGCCCGACAAAGCGGGACACGGCGCCTCGTTCCGAGGCGGATTGGTGGCCAGGACTTGCGTGATGCACTGGCGGCAGAAGCTGTGGTTGCACGGCGTCGTGACCCGGTCGCTGTACGGCTCAAAGCAGATGCCGCATTCCCCCTCCGACTGCGGCCGCGCCCGTCGGTTGGGGCGGCGTTGCGTGGTCGGTACGAGAACTTGCAGGAGGCTGCGCACGGACCGTTGGCGGCGCCACCTCGACGGGCGACGCCGTCTCGGCCGCGGCCCGCAGCCGGGCGTTCTCCGCGGCGAAGCATCTCTGCGATGGTCTCTGCCGGTTCCGGCGGCGCGGCGGCGGGAGACGACGCGGCGGCCGGCGGCACGGCGGCCGGCGGCGCCCGCCTATGCGCTGCAGCCGCGTGGGGTCCCTCAGGAATGATCCGGCCTGGTGGTTGCAGGTCGCGGAGTCGCACGACCGCCCGGCAAAACGGCACGGCGCCTCGTTCCGAGGCGGATTGGTGGCCAGGACTCGCGTGATGCACTCGCGGCAGAAGCTGTGGTTGCACGGCGTCGTAACCCGGTCGCTGTACGGCTGGAGGCAGATGGAGCACTGGCGGGGCGAAGTAAGGGTAGGAGAACTTGTGGGAGGTTGACCGAGGACCGACGGCAGCGGCGCGACCTCGACGGGCGACGCCGTCTCGGCCCCCAGTGGTTCTCCGCGCCGGATACGCGCGAGGTGCTCGGCCCACCAGGGTGCCGGCCGCGCGGCGGCGGCGGGAGACGACGCGGCGGCCGGCGGCGCCGGCCTAGGCGCTGCCGCCGTCTCTCCTCCTCCTGTACATCCAAAACAAATTGCGCTCAGCAAGAAAGTCCCTATAATTGGACCCCGGAGAGTACTTCGAAGCAACCACGTAAAAATAATGGCAACGTTCGCAGTGGCCAAGAGAATCGCCGAGACCTTTCGTACGCTCTCCGGGATGCACGGCGTCTGGCACACCATTGTCCGACGTTCTACAAACTGCCGCACGCCCGGGGCGGCTCCTTCTTCGGTCGCGGAAGCCTCCCAGCAACAGGGCGTCTTCGGTCGCACGCCCTCTACTTTATAAATTGGAGCCACACAGCAGCAGCAAAAGCCGACGGCGGGCGTGTCGAGTTTGTCGCTCTCTACTTCCTCAACCCGAAACACACAGCAGCAGCACAAAGGGAGGCAGGCAAGGACAAGGGCGACGAGGATCATTGTAGTCATCATGGGAGAGTCATCATCATCATCATCATCATGAGGCGATTGGGAGGGTTGGTCAGTTGGACCGCTCACGGGCGTCGACTGATCGCAAATCATCCAGTAGTGCCCATGGTACGAGCTGTAGAAGCTCCCGTCGCAGCCGGCGGGTTCGACTTCGCACCAGTTGAAGGACGAACCGTCGCAGGCAGTTGCTGGGCAGCCCTCTTGGTTGGAGCAGAAGGTGTTGCTCCACGTTGCTTTGCACGAGCAGGCCTCTGCGGCAGCGCGCCCGAGGCAGCCCGCCAGCAGTGCCACTGTAGTGAAGGCCATGCGGGGTTCGAAGCTTTAGGAGGACCAGCGGCGGAGCCCCAGCGACATATTCGCCGCCGGTCACCTTTTTACGGGCAGCAAGGCAGCCAAATGCGCTTGCCTCGATCTGCCACCATTAATGATTCGCTCCACAGAGCGCGTGCCTCACTGCATCGATGAATGGGCAGCCCTGGTGAACCTTGCGGCGCAGCCCGGCGCAGATCTAGATCTTGCTACCTACTGCGCACACGCTGGCGGAACCATGCTTTTTTCAGTGGCAGCATGCAAAACCCAACGCGCCCCGACCCGCCCCAGGTCCCTCCGACTGTGCCCCCCCACGGCCTCGCGACGGCCCCAAACGTGAAGTCAAAAGGCACGGGTTTCGAGGGCCGCAGCAGTTTAACAAAATAATACAAAGTGCAGCCCGTCAGGGCAGCCCACAAGACCATGGCCTGCGTCACGAAGCTGCCCGACCCCGAGAAGATCATCGTTAGTGAAGCGAGCGCGCTCCAGCGGGCCGCGGCGCTCGACGAGTACGGTGAGGACGTTGCCAGCTACTCCAAGCGCCTCGACGAGAAGCCCGCGGACTGCGCGACGCTCTGCAACCGGGCCTTTTGTTATGTCAAGCTCGGGAAGTTCGAGGACGCGCGCAGGGACGCCGAGGCCTGCATCGCGGCGGACGAATCGTTCGCGCGCGGGCACACGCGCCTCGCGCAAGCGCTGGAGCGGAGCGACCGGCCGGCGGCGCTGCGAGCCTGCCGCCGGGCGCTTAGTCTAGATCGCGACGACGCCATGGCGCTGAAGCTGCTGACGACCCTGGATCTGGACGTCGCCGCCGGCTTGCGAGTCAAGAAGCGCCTCGCGGACGCGGTCGAGGACCGGCGCGACGCCGTGCGCGGCGCCCTGTCCAAGGGCGAGGCGGCGCCCTTCTGCAAGAAGTGGGCCAAATTGGATGAGAAGAGCCGGAAGCAATTGGTGGAAAGGATGCTCACGCGGGCCTTCAACGAAATAAAAGGCTGCTTCCAGGAGGCCTTCTGCCCCGCCCAGGGCGACGTCTGCGAGACGGCCGACGACCTGCCCAAGACCAAGCAGGTCGAGGTCATGCGCGAGCTGCTGGCCGTCTATGCGGTATGTACTGCGGATTTGACGCACGACGACGTGCTGCGATTGAGCGCGCCGCGGCGCGTGCCCGTGGACACGCGCGACCCGTCGAAGGAGGACGACGACGACGCGTGGGACGAGGACGGCGAGCCGGCGATGATGCGCGTGATTAGGGACGCGGCGCGGGGCAAAGAAGTGGAAGTCCAGGGCTGCGGGCCGGTGATGCGTCGGCTCATGGAACTCTACCGCTTCCGGCCCCGCGGGGCACCCGCGCCAGGCGGACCTGAGCCTGGGTCTGATCGAGGCGCAGCGGTCGACGCTGTGCTTGGTCGTGGCGCACATGCTGTTGGGGGCGACGGCCTGCCGACGCTGTCGATCCCGACGAAGGCCTTCCTCGACGAGGCGCTTGGCCGAGCTTCGAAGGAAATGAACCCGCCAGCGCCCGGTCAAGGACGTCGTCGCGAAGAAGAAGGGCGCGGCGAAGCCGCCGGCGCCGCCGAAGGCGGCGGAGGAGGACCTGGACGCCGTCGAGGCGGGCACGGACGGCCACATCGTGACGCCGGTCGACGACGGTGGCCCGGGCGACGGCTGGGCGCAGGCGGAGGCCGCGGAGCCCGTCGAGAAGCCCTTGACCAAGGACGCCGACGAGCTCGCCGAGTTCGAGAAGTGGGCCGCCGGCGACGAGGGTGCGTTCGATCCAAACCAGTACAAGGACGCGCCGCCCACGAACGACGAGGACTACAGCGACGACGACGAGTTCTTCGAGGAGGAGGACGCGCGGCGGCGCGTCGGCCCCGCGCGCAAGGGCGCCGACCCGACGGCGCCCGCCGCGACGCGGCGCCCGAACCGTCTGTCCACGTCGGCCGCGGACGCAGACGAGGCCTTCCGAGTCGCGGCGGCGATTGCTGAGCAGCGAAACCACTCGGACTCGAGCGACGGCGAGACGGTCAGCGACTCGGAGGCGTCCCAGTAGCGTTGTAAGAGTCGTAAGAGTCCCTAGCGCGATGAGGTACTAGCATATTTCTTTGGCAGCTTGTTTATCGCGAGTTGAGGCACTTTAAGGACGTAATGATGCTGAGATAGGCAGCAAAATATAGTCCTGTACACCCTTCGTGCTGTGACAAGCTCGCTCTGCCAGCAAGCGCCTTCTAACACTATCTCAGTGCTGCTCTCCCTGCTCTGAGTTGATCGCCGCGCTCGAACCCACTCCAGCTACCGCGTGGACAAAGAATGCGAGAGGACGCCGACGCCGACGAAGTCACCGCGCTCCTCCAGCTCCTGGCGACCGTCCCGAACGTCAAGGCGGCCGCCGCGCGGCGCGCAAGGCCGTCGAGGCCGAGGGCGGCGGCCGGTCGCCGCGGCCCTCGATCGCCGTCACGCGCGGCGCGCGCAGCTTTTCCGGCGACGACGAGGGCGAGAAGCCGGCGGCGGCGCACGAGCGCCGCATCGAGGCGCTGCGGCGGCGGCTGCTCCTCGAGGACGCCGCGCGCGCCGCCGCCGCCGCCGCCGTTGCCGCCCTCGGACCTAAAGCCGACGACGGAGCTCGATTTGGCCGCGCTCGGGACGGCGCCGGCGGCGGCGAGGAGGCCGGGCCCGCGAAGGCGATGGGCGATCCTGCGAAACGGAGGGCGAGCGCCTTCGAGCGCGGCGCATTGGTCAAGACGATCCGGAACGACTTCTGGCACCAGTTCGCGAGGGCCCTGGACCGGGGCGACCTGAGCCCGTGCTCGCTGCCGCCGCCGGGCGGCGCCGGCATGCGTTTATTCGGGCGGGCCTACTCGTCGTCCTGCGGCGTCGTGCTGGCGCGGAAGAAATTACATCTCCCGCAGGATGTCTGGTGCTGGCCCGCCGGCTTCTTTGCAAAAACAGAATTCAGCACGGGCCGCAAGAAGAGCGAGAGCCTCGATTCCAGTAGTTCGTCGTTCTTCGTGGCCGACGAGCTGCGGAGGAACGCCGTGCCGCTCGAAAAGCTGGAACGCATGGCGATCCGCAAGGAGTACGTCCACTTCGGCGAGACGCGCGCTTCCACCGAAGTGGCGCCCTACAACGAGGTCCTCGCGCCGGTGACGCGCGAGGCCGTCGTGGCCGTCTTCGCGCGGACGACACGGCCCGACCATTTGTTGTTGGCGATGGCTGCCAGAGATTTGCTCGCTGTCGCGTCGGACACGGCCCTGCCGCTGCTCGTGCTGGATGCCGGCGGTGGCGCCGACGCCGTCGAGTTCACGGCTGATCAACAGGCGGGGCTCCTCGCCAAGCTCGCCGACGCGAAGCCGTCGTTCTGCCTGCGGCCGCACGCCGACGTGCCGCCGCTGCGCCACGCGCCCGGGGCCCTGGACGCGCAGCTCGTGGCCCACGGCGCCTACGGCCTCGCCGACGACGTGCTCCACGCTTTACTGAGATCCGCGCCGGCGCCGGCGCGGGCCGCCCGGGACGCGCTCGCGCACGCGGTGCGCGCCGACAACGCCGAGGCCGCGCGCGCCGTGGCGGGGGTGGTGGGGGCCGAACTGTCGACCTTCGCCGCCGACGAGGCCTGCGCGCCGGGGTCGGTCCGCCACGCGAGCGACCGGTGCCTCGTCGCGAGCGGCGCCGTCGCCGCGCTGATCGCGTGCGCGTCGGGCGCGCTGGCCAAGCGGTCGCGCGACGCCGTGGCGTTACTCGACGCGTGGCTCGAAAAGGCGGATCAAAGCCTGGCCTTCCGCCTGGCGGCGTACCGCGACGCGTCGAAGACGGCCGGCGACAAGGAGGGCTCGCTCCACGCGCCGCAACTGACGGCCTTTGCGGGCGGCCGCGCGCTGGCGAATCGGCGTGCGTTCCGCGACCGGCTCGCGTCGCTGGCGCGGAGCGACGGCTCGGCCGTCGACGCGGCGCCCGCGAAGCTGGCGGAACTCGCGGCGCTCGCGTCGTCGTTCCACCGGCCGTCGCTGCGCCTCGAATTGTTGCAGTTCGTGCTCGGCCTCGAGGACGCGGCGGCCTGGTCGGTAGATCGGCTCGCCGGGGCGCTGGAACTCGCCGAGCGCGTCGTCGTGGCGATGCCGCGGCAGTCGTCCTTCCAGGAGCTCGAGGGGCTCACCCGGCGGCCGGACCGCGGGGCCGTCGACGATTGATGCTCTTCCTGCTCCTTTTCGGCACCCCGATCGCGGGGTGTCCGATCGAAGCACACACAGAATACTGGTGCTATGCTGGTACTGTAAGAAGCCTGTTTGTTTGAGAAGTGCGTGCAGTGATGCCTCGCTAGTGTCTTACATGCCGCTAGCACGCATCGCGCGGCGCCGCGCTGCCGTGGTGGACGCATAGCGCTGCACTGGAATCCCCTTGAGTGTAAAGTGTCCTGCACTACTGCGCCGGACCGCCGCGTAAGCTAATTCCATCTGTGTGGTTGCAGAGTGTGCGTACAGAGCATCTGGCAATGGCTGCTCGCGCGGCATCGATGCTCGCAGCATTTGTCATTGGTTGTACGGCGTGGCGACCAGCTCTCATATCGCATCGTAATGCACTGCGCGCAATCCGCACGAAACGACTCGCGCAGCCCGAAGCCGACGAGGAATGCATCGCTGTCGACGACTGGGCCGTCGGCGAGTTCGCTGCTCGTTGTGCACCGATGGAGCCGTCGCAGGACCTCGGCCCGGGCCAGGTCGTGAGCGCTTGTTTCCGCGGTTTGCAGTTCGTAGACATCCCGACGAAGAACGCTGGTTTAGAACGGTGCCACGCGTTCATGACGCTGGGTGCGCGGGTGGCGGTCACCGCTGTAGGCCGTCAGGAAGAGAACCGCGGCGTGGACGTATTCATCGAACGCGGCCAGCTCTCGCCAGTGCTGAGGCCATTCTTCGGAGCGTCGCGGATAGACATAGGCGAGCTAACAGAAATCGCCGGAACCGCCAGAGGCTCTCGCGTCGGTGGCGTTGAGGCGGTCGGCAGCCCAATGGGGGCGATGCGGCACCCGTCCGGTATTCCCAAGGACGACATCGCGCTGAGCAACGCGATCTTCGCAATACGCCTAGAAAAGCAAAGACGACCGCCACCGCGCGACGTCTGGCTCATCACGGACATCATCGACACCTCCTGCGTCGGGAGCAACCGGCCCCTGTAAATATGTTGTACATAGTATTATTGCCCAGTACTTGTATAAAACCGGAGCGCCCGGAGGTACGCGTCCACGCCGGCGGGCGTCGCCTCGACGCCGTCGGGCGACGCGGGCGGCGCGTCGTCCCTCTTCGCGTGCAGCGCGCGGAGGTACGTCAGCGGGTCGCTCGGGGGCCGGTCGATGGCCTCCATGACGGCTTCCATCTTCGAAGCGAGCTCCCTCGCCGCCGGCGCGACGGCGCTGCGGGGAAAGCGCGTGACCTCCTGCTCCGGTATCGGGTCGAAGACCGCGGCTTGCGTCGCTATAGATTTGGACCGTCCCTGGGGTAATGTTGAGTCGCTCGCGCGCAGCGACTCGAAGGCGTTGCTGTACGAAGCGTCGAGCGCGATCTCGCGCCGTATTAATGTTTTGTCGAGGCCGGTCTCGCGGTCGCCGTCGTCATACAGCACGTCGTAGGCGTCCCCTTGATACTCGACGACGCCCAGCGTACCACTCGTCGCCGCCCTCGTAGCGCGCCTCGACCCGCGTTCCTACTCCAAACGGCTCCGCCTCGAAGGTCGCGCTGTACCGCTCGGACTCGGGCCGCGACCGCGACAGCTCGGGCGTGTGGAACGAGTCCTGCGCGTAGGAGTCGCCCGGCGACGGGAGCGGCGTCCCCCGAAAGGACTCGAAGGAGTCGCCGTAGCTCGCGTACGACTCGTCGACGCGGCGCCGCCAGCGCCCGCCGGTGATCGGCTCGACGCGGACGTCTGCCTCCTCCTTGGCGTACCAGCGGTCCGGCGGCAGGGCCGGCAGCGCGAGGAGCTGCGGGAAGGCGCTTTTAGCTTCCGTCAGCTCCGCCATCTCGACGGCCGTGGCGCCGTTCCCGTCGGCGCAGAACGGGTCGGCGCCCCGCTGCAAGAGAGCGCGCAGGCCCGGGCGGCGCCCGCACGGCCGCCACGAGCAGGGGCGGCGTCCGCTGCGGCCCCGACGGCTCGGACGTCGCATTTCAGCAGCTCTATTACGACGCCCACGAGCGGCGGCGCGCGCACGATGCAATAGACGAGGGGCGTCAGCCGGCGGGTGCTCGCCGAAGCTGCCCGGCAGCGCCGCCACGTCGGCGCTCGTGAGGACCCACGTCAAGACGGTCGCTTCTTGGCTCCGGACGGCCGCCTCGAAGCACCGCCGCTTCAGGGACGGCCGCTTCGCGTCGCCCTTCAGTAAATCCACGGAGAACGCCATTTTCGCGAGGAGGAACGACGCGCAGTCCACGAAGCCCGCCTGCAGCGCCCGTTCCAACGGCGTCGCGCCCATCACGGGCGTCTCCCACCGGGCCACCTCCAACAAAACGGCGCACGCCGTCGCGTCGCCCCGCTCTGCCGCGCAGGCCAGCGCGTCCCGGTCGCCGCACCGCCGTTGGACACACATTGGATCGACGCCGGCCAAGGCGCAAATCGCGTCCTTGTTTCCCGACGACGCGGCGGCGTAGGCGCACGTGAGCCCTCGATACGTGACGTCGAAGGTCGCGGCGAGGGCCTCGTCCTGCGCCAGCGCGGCGATGCACTCGACCGAGCCCTTGAGGCACGCGGTCCAGAGCGGCGTGCGGCCGTCCTTGTCCCGGCGCGTGCTCAGGGCCCCGTGCTGCAATAAGCACGTGACCGCGTCCGCTTGGTCCGCCGCGCACGCCAAGGACAGGGCCGTCCTGCCTTCTTCGTCCGACGCGTTCGCCCGCGCGCCTTCGGACAGATGCGTGAGGAGCAGGTAGCGGTCGCCCGCCGCCGCGGCCGCGCCCATGAGCGCCTCGAGCTCGCGCTGCCGCGCCTTGGGCACGTTCCGCGCCTCGGCGCGCGCCCTATCGAGCGACTGCCACGACGTGAGCGAGTCGTCGTCGCTCGCGTTGTCGAACTCCGCGCTGTAGGACTCGTCGAAGTCCGCCGAGTAGTCCTCGCCGGCCGCTGCCGCTGCCGCGCGCGGCGAGTCGAAGTCCTCCGAGTAGTCGTCCGCCGCCACTTGTGCGGCGCGCGGCGAGCCCGCGAACGAGGCGAACGAGTCGGTCGAGTAGTCCTCGCCCGCCGCCACCGCCGCGGCGCGCGGCGAGCCCGCGACAGAAGCGAACGACGAGACGCTGTCGAACTCGGCGCTGTAGTCCTCCACTTCTTGTGCTTCATCGTCCAGTGTAGCGGTGAGGGCGGCCATCGTAGCGTGGGCACCTTCCGCTGTTGCTCTAATGGGGGCAGCGGTGATGGCGTGCTCTATGGGGGGCAGGCTGTTGATGCGTGCCGTCGCGCAGCCCGCAGGAATTGGTCGCGACCACGCGTTCGACACGTTCCCAGTCCAATGCTGCGCGGTGCAGCGCACGTTGTGAAGCGGCCAAAAATCAAACTAGTCTAGTGTCTTTATCGGCTAGCTGCGACCGAAAGAATAACTTACTCCTCCTCGTCGTGGAGCTCCACGACCTGTTCCACCGCCACTGGCGCCGGGCGGTAGATCAGGTCGTTGTCGTCCTGGACGGCGGGACGGGGCGCCGGCAAGGAGACAGTGCGGAGGAGCGGACGATTCCTCAGGGCCGGGCAGCCAGATGGACATGCCGTGTCGATATGGCGCCGGCACTCCTCCGCCGAGAGATATCCCTTCTTCTCGGTGCCGCTCTGCGCCTTCCAAAGCCCCGCGTAGAGACCCTTCGGTTTTTTCGCGAGGACGGCGTGCGTCCCTCGTTCGACGGCGCGCCCGTCTCGCAATACGATAATCTCGTCGGCGCCGATGATCGTCGAGAGGCGGTGCGCGACGACGAGCGTCGTGCGGCCTTTGGAAGCCTCCGTCAGGCTTTGCTGGATCGCGCGCTCCGTCGTCGTAAGAGGAACTTGCCCGTCGCCGACGCCGGCGCCACGAGCGAGAGCAATTTTTGCCGCGGCGTTTCGCCGCCGTCGTATTTGTCGTATTCTTCGTTTGTAGAATCCGCGCTCGCCGGCTCCAAAGACCCATAGCCCTCGCCGCCACCGGTCTCAATTAACTCATAGCTTGCAGCTTTTTGCTTTGGTGGTGCCATTGCTACTCAAGTTCGACGAATAGCGATCGTGGCGTGCGTCGCGCGCAGGTCTATGCACGAATTGAGCTCCTTTGCAATTGTGAAGGACCGGCAAAAACCCGATTTGATGCCTAGCTGAGCCTGAAGCAGCTGAGGGCTGAGGAGCGATGAAATAAATTGCTCTTACCCTATAGACACGCAACGCCGGATTGCTCACCCGTTCCCCATATCACTGTAATCGACCTTCTTGCCGCGCGTCCGCGACTCGCTCTCCGGTAAGACATAACTGCCCAAATCCCGCGCGACTTGGCGCTCCCGCCGGATGGCCCGCTCCTGCTGCTTCAAGATCGACGCGCGCTCCTCGCGCTTCGCGGCCACGTGCTTCGCCAGGTCGCGCAAACACTTCGCGAGCCAGAGCTCGTCGCCGTCGTGGCCGCCGATCAGCTCATTAGCGATCGTGTGGATCTGGCGCGCGCTGCAGGCGATAGCCTCGGCCGACGGATTAGAACGCTGGTCCCTCCGCGACGGCGCCGCGACCTTGGGCCGCTTCCGCGCGCGCTCGTGGGCGTGGGGTCCGTGCGGCGGCGTCCGCGTCGGGTCCTTTTCCCTATATAACAGGCAGCCGCCGACGTCGTCCTCCATGCACCGGTACGCGCGCCCCTGCGAGTCGACGCCAATCAGCGTCTCGTCGATGAACTGGCGCGGGTACCAGTCGCGCGACTGGCCCGTGTACTTCTCGAGCCGCTGCTTGACGACGCCGCCCTGGAGCGTCTCCTCCGCCAGCACCCGCAGAATCTTCGCCCGCCGCCGCGCGTTCAGCCCGTTCAGCTTCTCCCGGATGTCCGCCTCCATCTTTTCTTTGTACTCCTTGTTCTTCGTGCGCTGCTCGGCGCCGGGCCGGCACAACCCGATGGGCACGGCCTCTTCCACAGTCCCGTCGTCGTACCGCACGCCCAGCGTCAGCTCGCCCACGGACTCGACCGTGCCCTCCCACCATTCTGCTCTACCTTTCCACTGGGCTTCTACCGTGTCTCCTACACTAAACTCGTCTGTACTTTCTGCCGGCTCCATGCCTACCGGTCTACAAGCCTGCAATTCATCTTGATCCACGAGCCAGCTCGACATCTCGACGCACTGCATGATCCGCAGACAATCAGCCAAAGCCGTGCACCACCGCGGCTCCTTCTTGGGGAGGATGCCCGTGTTCCGCAGATAATTCTTGCAGAGCTTCTCGTAGGCGCACGGCCCCTCCTTGTCCCACTCCACGACGCGCTCCAGGTCCGTCCGCAAACAGTCGATGAGACTCCTTAAAGGTAAAGACGGGTAGCCGAACCTTAATTGTACTGAAGCCAGCACGAGGAAATCCACACATTTATCTAAGCCGGCGTGCTTCAGCGCATCTAAAATAAGATCGGGGTCGCCGCTCTCCTCGTGCTCGACGATCGTGGGGACCGCGGGCGCCTGGGGGATCATCGTCAGCGGCGTCACGCCGCCTCTCCTCCTAATACACACCCTACAAAACCAGTCGTCCTCGGGGATGACCGTCACGTGGTAGCATCTTTGATGGAACCCTCGGTCGCAGCCGTCGCAGTAGACGATCGTGTCCTCCAGGCAGTCCGTGTAGGCGCCGCCACAAACCTCGCACGAGTCCTTGGTCTCGGGGTGCCAGTAGGCGCGCGGCCGCGGCTCGGGCAGGAACCGCGCGTTCGACCGTCTGGCTAGATCCCGCTCCCCGAGAAACGTGACCGCCGACTGGCCGACGCGCTGCGCCGCGTAGGCGTCCCTTTTATTGGGACGGCCGCCGCGCGCCGTCGGCGGCGCGCGCTCGCGGGGGGCGTGCCGCGGCGGCGCCGGCGCGAAGAGGGGCTGCTTCGGCTCCGGCTCGGGCTCGGGCTTCGGCGGCGGCGGCGGCGCCGTCGACCGCGTGCTGTAGCGCGGCTGCAGGAAGGCCGACGGCCGCTTGCCGTGCTTCGGCGGGCCGAGGGCCGCGGCCTGCTCGCGCTGGTACGCGGCCCGGATCTCGGCGATGCTCGGGCCGGTGTACTCCTTCTTCTTCGGTTCTTCCGGTGGCGGCGCGGGCGCCGCGGGCGGCGGCGCGAAGGGCAGCTTGATGATCACGGCCGCGGCCACGGGCGGCGCGCAGCCCGCGGCCGCGGCCGCGGCCGCGGCGCGCGGTGTGACCAGCCGACACGCGGCGCAGACGGGCCGCTGGCATTTGCTACAGGCTACGCGGCCGGAGGAATTGATATTGGCACAACTCGCGCAGATCCAGTCGAAGACGCCGGGCGGGACCGGCGGCGCGACCGGCGGCGCGGCCGGCGGCGCGGCTGGTGGCGCAGCAGGCACGGCTGCGGGCAGCGCGACGGGCATCTGTGCTGGCGGCGCGGCTGGCGGCGCGGCTAGCGGCGCGGCTGGTGTCGCTGCCGGCGGCGCGGATGGTGGCGCGGCCGGAGGCAACGTCGCGGCTTGCATCACGACCGCGGGCGATCGGGAACTTGCGGCGGCTGCTTGAGGGACCGGCAGCGGCGCGTCGGATGCACCTCTCGGCTCGTTTAGGGGCTCCGCGCGCGCGGGCGCGGCGGGAGCGAGGCGTTCGGGTGGTTCGCCATTGCTCGCGTTCTGTAAGGCGTGCCCGATCGTACTTATCGGTGCGGCATCAGTATAAGCCGGTGGAGCAGCGCCATTGAACTCCATAGCGGGTCAGGCCCCCCGGAGAGCGGAGTTTGGGCGCGACGCGGTCGCATTGTCCCTAGTATGTATGTACGCTAGCGTAACCGTGCATCGATCTCGGATTCGACCGCCAACGATCCAAGAGGTCGCCGGGAACGCCTCGAAAAGCGCCGTCGCCGCGCGGACGACGCGAAGCCAACGACGGCGACGCGCGGCGCCCGCCTCCGGGCCACTAGCCCTAGCACCGCAACACAACGCCATTCAGAGGGACAAACTAACGCACCCGCGCGGGGTGTGGAAGACGCCTAGAACTGGCCCGTCCGCGCGCGGTAGGCCGCCTTGGCGCCGCCCGTGAGGAAGGACTCCTTGCCGGAGGCGATCTGGTTGCGCTCGAGGACCGTGAGGCCGTCGTCGAAGTAGTCGCCCGCGCCGTAGTTGCCGACGCCGGCCTTGTCGGGCCGCGCCTTGGCGAGGAACTCGGAGCTCCACTCCCACTTGGCGCAGCGCTCGGCCTGGCGCGCCGCGAGGACGTCGGGCCGGCCGAAGGCGAAGAGGAAGCGGCCCGGCGTGGGGATGAGGTCCTTCTTGCACTCCTCCTGCTTCGCGAGGGCGCGGCGGCGGCGCGCGCGATCTGGGCGGGTTGCGAACGCCGGCTTGAAGGCCGCGGGCGTCGTGCCGGCCGTCGTCGGCTTGGAGCCGAAGTTCAGCGCGCCGGCGGCGGCCGCGAGGAAGACGACGACCTTCACCATGGTTGCGACCTGCGCGAATGCGATATGGTGAGCGTCTCGGCGGCGCGCGATGCGATGGTGAGCTTCTCAACGTGCGGACGTGCGATGGTGCGCGTCTCGGCGTGCGCCCATGCGATGGTGCGCGTCGCGACTTAGCCTGGGCTCGCCTGGCCGGGCCCCGGACGGGGCGGGCGCGGCCGCCGCGGCCGGCGGCGTACTGAGCTTGTATGCAGCGCGCCGGGCGGCAGCTCCCGCGTGCGCGCGGCCGGCCTCGGCCTCCGGTCGGAACCAGGGCTGCATGCTGCGGCTGCCCCGCGGGCCGCGCGCGCCAGTGCAGCCCGCCTCTGCCCCAGGCCGAATTTTGCAGCTGCCCGCGCTGCCCGGCGCCAGGCGCGCCGGCGCGGCACCGGAGCTCGCCGTGGACCACCACGCTGCTCGATGCAGCCTCAAGTTCGATAGACGCCGCGAATAGACTCCTTTTATCGTCACCTTGAGCAAGATAGCCCGTGTGTGCTCGCGTGAGCCCAGCGAGCCGAGAGGCGCGCCGCCCGCCGCGCACGCAGACACGCCGCATTCAGCGGCGGCACGGAATGCGCGACGCCCCCCTATAACCCTCACGACCCCCGCGCAGCGGGCCTCGCCCTCTCACATGGAATGTAGTATCAAAGACGACTTCCTTACACAAGAATTAGGCCAGGAGCCCCTGGAGGAACTCCGCCGTCACCTCGGACCAGTCGCGCACCGTCGCGGCGCAGCCCGCCGCAAGATCGCGCCGCGGTCATCGGCGCCGTGAGGCCCACGACGACGCAGCCCGCGGCGACGCCCGCCTTGATGCCCGTGCGCGAATCAAAAAACGATACAGCGCGATGGCGGCAGGCCCACCCTTGATGCCCCCTCGATATAGGGGTCGGGATGCGGCTTCGCCCGCGCACTCGGCGCCGACGACCAGGTCGCGTATTGCTGAAGACGCGTCGGGGCAGTGCGCCTTGACGTGCTTTAACAGCGCCTGCAGCCGCCCGCGCGCGCGTTCGACACCGCGCAGCATGGGATATTCTCGGCGCGGCACGTGGTGAAAAAGGACGATAGCCCGGGGACGATGTCGCAGCCGTCGCTGGCGACGCGCGCGCAGAAGAGCCGGTCCTTCTCCTTGGAGGCCGCGTTCGCGCGGCCGTCGTCCACCGCGCCGGGCAGCACGTTCTTGAACACCACGGAATCGACCTTGCCCGCCACGTGCTCCGCGAACCAGGCCTCGTCGACTCCACTGACGCCTTCGGCGGCCATCAAATCTTGAAAGGCCTTGACGTAGAGCGGGTCCGTGAGGGCCAGCGTCCCGTCGATGTCGAGCAGGCATGCAGCTTTTGGCTTCGACTGGAAGAGGCCCATGTTTCGTTCGGCGGTGGCGATCGCGCAGAGCGCTAATAAGACGTGGAGGAGGCGCGCCAGTAGCCCTTTGCTCCGCTTCTGCAGTGCGAAGCGATGCTAATCAGTGGAGGAGGCGTGCGAAGCGATGCAGCGGAGCAGCAGCCTTTGTGTGCGGCACGAGCTATTTAAATGCAGCGTAGCTGCCCCTGGTGGTAAATTTATGCGCGGAGACGCAGACGACCTCAAAAAATCGAGAGCCTACGGGTTTTCAGCGTGGCTGGAAAGCGCTCAGCGGTGCAAATTCAGGCCTGTTTTTGATCGGAATGTTAGAGACAGCATGGCGAGGTTAAATGCTTGGCATTATCTCTTGGCATTGGACCAAGAGCATGAGTGATTGTGGTCCTTGCTCACGTTAGAATTACGCGTGCGCTTCGATACGGACTGCCAACAACCCAAATCCTTCAGAACAGAACGATTTTGCATCGCTTCGCGCCGGCAGAGCGCAAAAAGCACAGCACTGCAAAATGAGAGCAGCAGCAATCATCCTGTCGCTCGCGTGCACGGAGGCGTGGGCGAGCCCGCGGCATCATCATGACAGAAAGCTGGTGCTGCGAAAAAGCGGGGGCGAGGAAAGCCTCGCCGCCGGCGTCGCCCGCGCCGCCGCATTGGTCGACGCGAAGCAGCTCGACGAAGCCGAAGCGCTGCTCCTGGAATTGAGAGCAAGAGATGCTAGAAGAGCCGACCTGCCGCCGGAACTGCGCCGCGGCTTCGCGCATTTGTTTGAAGCGCGCGCGGACGAAAACGAGGACGACGCTGGGCCGTGCGACGCGCTGGCCGCATTAGCGGCGGACGCCGAGGACTGGGAGGCCGTGTACGACGCCTGCCGCCAGGCCATGGCGCGGGGCGGCGCGACGGATAGACGGAGAGCCCTCGCGCTGCGCGCGCGGCGGTCGACGTGGCGCGGCCTCGAGGAAGACGACGGCGATGCTAAGGATACGAAGGACGCCGCGGAGCTCGTCGAGGCGGGCGCGGTGCCGCCCTTCTCGGCGCTGAGTTTGGGTGTGTCCGGCGAGGGCTGCGCGCGGCGCGGCCGGTTGAACCTCGAGGAGGCGATCGCGGCCGCGAAAACGACGTCGTCGGACAAACGAGCGCCGCGCCGCGCGGGCGGTCGGCGCCGGGAAAATGAAGCTCCCGACAAGCCGTCGGTGGCCTTCCTGACGCCCGACGCCACCGGAGCGCACCCCTTATCTCAATTACTACCGTCCGCGCTGTGCGCCCTCGACGAGACCGAGTTTCGGAATATTGTCTTGGTGACGCTCTGCGCCGACGACGGCTCACCCGAGAGGAGGCGCGTCGAGAAGGGCTGCGACGTCGTCGTCGACGGCGAAACGGCGACGACCGAGGAAATCGCGAACGCGATCCGGGATTTGAACGTGGACGTGCTCGTGGATATGTGCGGCCACGCCGGGTCGAGCGACGTCGTCGAGATTATTGCAAGGAGACCCGCCCGCATCCAGGTCGTGGGCGGGCTCGGGACGCCGGCGCCCATGGGAGGCACGGGCATCTACGACTACGCGCTGGCGGATGCGGTGGTTGCGCCGGCGCGGCTGCGGGCGGCGGCGGGCTGGGCGCCCGACGAGCACCGGGCGGTGCTCGTGCCGCACACGTACCAGGTCGGCGACGCCGAGGCCTACAAGCGCCACGAGCTGAACTACAAGGAGAGCCGCGAGCCCACGTCCCGCAAGGACCACGGCCTGCGCGACGACGCCGTCGTGCTAGCGTGCATGAACCGGCCCCACAAGGTTGATTGTACAAGCTTCGACGCCTGGGTGCGTATTGTCAAGGAGCTCGCGCACGGCGCTCCCGCGGTCGACACGCAGCTTTGGTTGTACGCGCCCGGGAGCGATTCTGGTAATTCGCTGCGGACGCGGGCGCTCGCACGGGCCGCGAAAACTTTGCCGGGTGGCGAGGAGGAGGCCCGGGACCGGTTGGTGTTCGCGGGGCGCGAGGACCGGCCGGCGCACCTCGAGCGGCTGCGCCACGCGGACCTCGCCCTGGACACGCGCGCCTACAACAGCCACACGCTCGCGGCGGACTACGCCTGGGCCGGCGTGCCGCTGTGCACGGCGCTGTGCGACGCCGAGCCGCGCTGGGTGTGATGCGGCGTCCTTTTTGAGTATCGTCGACGCCATCGAGCAAACATGTCAACGCACGCAGGCGTCGCGCGTCGGCGCCTCGGTCACGCTCGCGGCGGCGCGGCACGAGGGCGCGCGCGGCCTCGTCGCCGACGACTGGGACGGCGCCTTCGCGGCGAACGTGTTGCGCCTCGCGCGCGACGGCGACGAGCGCCGGCGGCTGAGCGTCGCGCTGCGGCGGGGGCGGGTCGACGCGCCGCTCTTCTCGGCGAGGAGGTGGGCGCAAGGCTTTGAAAGAGCTATCTCCAAGATGGACCTGACGGGAGATATCGAACTGCCGGTGCCCGTCGACAGCTGCCACGCCATCGTCCTGGGCAGCGCGCCGCGGCGGGTCGAGAGCTACGAGCGCCTCGTGGCGTCGTGCCCCGAGATCAAGCGGCACAAGGCCGTGGAAGGGAAGGACGCCCACGCGCTGAGTCGCGCGCTGAAGGACCTCGGCGTGCGCCTCGCGACGGACGTCTGGCAGGCGACGGTGGGCCAGGTGGCCTGCCTGTGCTCCCACGCGCAGCTGTGGCGCCGGTTCGCGCACTGCCCGAAGCCCTTCTTCGTCGTCCTCGAGGACGACGCGGTCCTGCCCAACGGGCCGGACGCGTTCCGGGAGGCCGTGGATCAGGTCTGCCGGGGCCCGGATTTTGATGTGTGCTACCTCTACGTCTACCCCGACCACTGGCCGCAGCCGCCGAAGAAGCTTAATCCATCAAAGGTCCGCGTCGCCACGACGGAGGGCTTCCGCACGTGGTGTTTGTTAGCCTACGCTGTGAGTCGAGAGGGCGCCCGCAAGCTCCAGCACCTGATCGAGACGGAAGAGGTCTACGCGCCTATTGATTGTATGGTCGCCGACTGGGGCCAGCGCGGTTTACTAAACGTGCGCTGCGTCGACAGCCAGGGCATCGCCGAGAACGCGGGCCAGTTGGATATGCGCGTGCCGCAGAAGGACGCGCTCCCGTCGAACATCTGGGGCACGGGAGACTTCAAGGGCGGCGAGCCCGTCAAGAGCCACGCCATGCCCGTGGCGTCGGGGCGCGCGGACAGTGATGGGTTCGTGGACTAAATTTAGTTGTGTTTCTACTGGGGTAGCGTCGCACTCAAGAACCGCGACTCGACGGCCTCGAGCGTCTCCGACGGTCCAAAGCAGGGCTTCTTTTGGCGTGGAGGTTCGTCGCCGTCTTCGGCAGCGGTCGTTGGCCTCGGGCGGGCGGGGGGCAGGGGCGTGGTCGGTGGAAGCGAGCCGGGCACCGGGCGCGTTCGTCGACGCCGACCGGCGGCCGGCGCTGCGGGGGTCGTGGGGCCGCCGATAGGTAGGTGAAACGGCGTCGTCGCGGCGCGCGCGCGCGTAGTAGAGGCCTTGAGCTCAGTAGTCGCGGGCGGCGCCGATATAGGCGATGCGCTCGATTCGGGTCTCTTCTTGTTGGCGGCGGGCGGCATCGGCGCGGCCTCTTCTTCGGCGAAGGGCCGCGGCGACGTGAGCGACGCGGGCACGGCGGCGGCTCGCACACCATCTGGTGTTAAATGCCACTCGCCCGCGAGCACGACCTTGTGCGGCCGCCCCGTTAACACAGCATGACCACCCCTCGGCAGGATCAGCATCGTATCTCCCGGCCCAAATTCGTCATACTGCAACAAACCGCGGTTCAAACAACCTAACAAAGCGTCGGCCTCGAATTGTAATAGACGCGCGTCGGCGGCGTCGCCAAATGATTCGGCGGCGAGGGCTTCGCGCGCCGCGTGGAGGCAGTTCGCGACCGGCCGCGGGACGCCCAACACGCGGTTCTGGCCCGCGACGTGGTGATAGACGACGGCTTGCGTTCGAAGTCGCAGTGCGCCGGCGTGAGCCCGCCCGCCCAGCCAGCATCAAAAATAGCGGCGGTCCGCGTCGCCCGCCATCGATCGTCCGCGCGGCCCGAAGGTCCATCCTTCACTCGGGGGGCACACCGTCTCCACGCGTGCGGTCGCGGCGAGCGTCTCGCAGTAGGCCTCCAGCTCGGACCCGGCGCGCATGAGTCCGTCGTCGACCATGCCGGGGTCGTTCGCGCACGACCGAAGCGAGTCCAAATCAACGAAAGCTTTGATGACAGCGTTGGTCATAGTCTCTGAGAGGCTTTGCGCACGACACCAGCGCGCGAGCTCGGCCATGATGAAATGAAAAAAGTCTCGGAGAGGCTCTCCGCTCGAGAGCTCAAAAACGTCGCGCGCTTGATCGTTTTGCTGTGGCTTCAAGACTTAATAATAACTCAGGAGAAACCGCCCCCGACGCTAAATCGCAAGAGCTAAAGCAATCTAGATTTGCTGCGGCGTGAAAACCCGTCTCGCATGAAAAAGCAATGCTCCGCAAGCCCTAGCATCTCTAAAGCGGGCCGCCAGACGGGTCAGACACGCCTCCGTAGCATCGGGCGTCGAGGAGGGAGAGCAGCGCTGTGTGTGCAGCAAGAGAGCATAGCGGCATTAGCGGCACAAGAAGGGGCAGCGCCGCGCAAAACGGAACGAACCAGCTCGCCTGCGACGAGCGCTGCATCGATCAGAAGAGCGCCGGACAAAGGGCAGCATCAATGCCAAACCACTAACAAATGGGCAAAAAGCCGCCCCCCGAGACGCCCGAGGAGAAGGCCGCGCGCAAGCAGGCCGAGGCGGCGCGCTTTGGACAGGGAAATCAAATAGAGTCCTTGGTCGAGGCCGCGGGCTGCTCGTGCAAGGGACTGCGGTTGCGGGACGCGATAAAGTCCGCTATACTTGGCGAGATCCCCGAGTTCTTCGAGAAGGACGAGGAAAGATTAATGAGACCTGTGCGCGCGCAGCTGCCGGCCTGGGACCCGAAGGACAAGACGCGGCGCATGTTGGATGATTACTCGGAGATCGTGTCGGAGTTGCGGCGCGAGGAGATCAACCAGGACCGCGCGAACACGTTGCGCGTCGCGGGCCACGTGCAAAAACTCATAAAAGGCCCGGGGCCTCCTTCGGTAAGAAAGGTCGACCTCATAAAGAGGCACGCGCGGGGCGAAGGGTTGACCGTGCCCGAGTACTTGTCCGAGAAGAAGCGGGAGGACTCGAAGAAGATTGTCAGGAAGCGGTTCAAGCTGAAGGAGCTCGGCAGGCGCATCACGGCCGAGGCCAACGACCCGCGGCCGTCGCGCGGCAGGTGCGTATTGGGGCGAGGCCGTATTTTATCACGCTTAGGATCGCGGGCCAAGGCGTTGGCGGCGAAGCGGCTCAAAAAGGCGAAGCGCAAGGGGCTCAGGGCCATGGTCCTGTCGGAGTTGGTCTATTGCAGTCATTTGGTGGGCTTCGCCACTTCCAGATGGACAACCCCCTCAAGATCGTGGAGCGGACTTGTATTGGGCCGGCGACCGGACGGCGCGCGACAAAGCTGAATTGATCAAGGCGGGCATCACGCACATTGTGAATTGTTCTCAAAACATACCGAACCGCTACCCGCGGCAGTTCGTCTATTGCGCGTCAGCGTGGCGGGGGTCCAAGGCCCGTCAAAACATTTTGTACGAGGAGTACTGCATGGCCGCCGCCTTCATCAAGGACGCCTTGGAGTTGGGCGGTCGGGTCCTCGTCACGTGCGCCACGGGCTACGACAGTTCGGCCTGCGCGTTGCTCGCGTATTTGATCAAGGTGCGGGAAATGCCCCTCGCGCCGGCCTACAAAGTCCTGAAGGTGCAGGAGCCGTTGCTTGAGCTATCTAGGTCAAACACGCTCTTCATCACGCTCTTTGAGATCGAATGCTATAAGGCGACGTCCATCCGAAAGCATAAAGATCTCGCGACGCCCGTCTTTACGCTCGTGCGCCAGTACGTGCCCTGGGAGCAGCCCGGGGGCCTCGGGAGCTACTACGCGTTCGGGAACGTGCAGATGGCGTCGATGCGCGAGTTCGCCTTCGGGCGCGCGCCGCTCGTCGAGCCGCGGAACCCGGCCGCGCCCAAGAAACGGCTGGCCATACACAAGGCGGTGTATCATGGCGTCAAGGCCATCTATATGAAGGTAAGGACGGGCCTGAAGGGCTACCAGGAGGCGACCACCACCGCTATCTGCACCGGGCCCCTAGAACGACGGGAGCGGCGCCGCGCGGCGAAGCGGCGCATCACGCACTACGACGCGACGCGCGACGACCCGCCGCGGCCCTGGCCCCGCACGCCGCGGGAGGCCACGCTCGGGGCGCAGGGCGCGCTCGTGCGGCCGCCGAGCGCCGGCGACGGCAAGGCGCGGCCGAGGAGCGCCGCGGCGGTCTTCCCCGACATGGACGTCGGCTGGCAGGGCGTGCCGCGCCTCTCGCGGCCGCCGACGCTCTGGACCGCGCCTGAACAAAAGGCGAAACCCCTCGTGCGGCCGCCGTCGCGCCCGGGCAGCCGACGCAAGAAGGCGCGGCCCGCGTCGGCGCCGGCGGGGCGCCGCCGCCGCCGCGCGAAGGTTCAATTGCTGGAACCGCTCCCGACGGTGCCGCAGGATGCTGCCGCTTCAATCGAGGACCGCGTCGACGGGCTCGTGGCCGTGCAGCTGCCGCCTCTCGCGGAGTCGTCCGAAAGTTTCCCGCCGACGCCGCAACTCTCCGCGCGGCCGGCGACGGCCGGCGGACGGTCGGCCGAGGCATCGATGGCCTCCGACTCGCTCTTGAGTTGGCAGCCGGGCCTGTTTCTCCAGCCTTCACTGGAAGAGTCGCTCGCGTCGCTGGCGTCCGAGGAAAGCGCGAACTACTGGGCGAAGCGGCGGAGCTCGCGCGACGACAAAACGGAGGGCGAGCTCTGCGCCGCGATCGCCCGGCGGGACCACGACGCCTTCGAAATGGGGAAATGAGCCTTGGCGAAGGCGACCGCGTCCTCGTGCTGCGCGAGGAGATGTCGCGAGAACCGGGCTGGGTGTTTGCCACGTGCGGCGACGATTGTGGATACGTGCCGCGGAACTACGCCCGTGCGGATATGCCGGGCGTTGCCGTGACGAGCGAGTCGACGGCGACGGCATCTCGGCGTCGGCGTTTTATCGGATGTTTTATCTGTCATTCTCGGGACCCTGAGGCGCTGTGGCGCTTCTTAGTGCGAGGGAAGGAACCCTTCAGGCTAAGCCCCCCGAGGGGCGGCGTCGGCATAGACCTGCGTGGCGAGTGTCGCGGCGACGGCGTGGCGGGGTCTCGTGCGCGTATGAAGGCAGCTCGGGACGCCGCAATAAGAACCAAATCAAAGGTCACTTGGAGGGACGGCGCGCCGTGCTTCCGCGGCCACGGCGCGAGCGTCGCGGCCAGTAGAGGCAAGTCGAGTTGCTTCCCTGACGTCACCTCGGACAGGGGCACGGCGACGGTGCCGAGGAAGTCGTCGCCCGTCACGGTGTCGTCGTCCCAGCACTCCAATACCACAACACAGAGCTCCGGTGCGGCCAACGCTTGCGTGAACTCGGCGTCCCACTGCGGCGCGACCGAGTTCTGGACGGTCTTGGTCTTCCACCAGTCGCGGCAGTCCTGCGGCGGCCCGCCCGCGACGCGCGCCCGGCAATACACGTCCGGCGTCTTCTGCGCGCGCCGCGGCGAGGTACTCATTCTTGTCCTGGCGCTTCGTCTCCTTGTGGAACTGGAGCTTGCCCGCGCAGCAACCCATTTTTTTTAGAAATTGTACTTAGCGGTCACGATGACGCCGCGACGCGCGGTATCCGCTTAGGATTGAGAAACTTTAGGAACTGCTCTAGAATTGAGATATGGCGCGTCACGGAGCGAGATCGCGAAGTGGCTCTGTCCGCGAGTCTTTGAGGAGGCTCACGCGTGGTAATTACGCGCGGCGCGTCTCAGCGACGGAGGCTTGTTGGATTATATTTCTGGGCTAGCGGCCTGTAAGACACTAGAAGCAGCTTGCAGGTCGACGCATCTCGCAGTGTGCCTCGCACACGAATAGTTAGGCTGTGTGGAGTACGATTTAACATAATAGCAACGAAAATCATCGGCGTGCATCGAACGCTGCGCTCTGAGCGGGCTTGTGGCGCTCTACAACAGCGCTGTCGGAGAGGCATAGCTTTGCAGCAAGCGCACGTAGCAGCACAGCAGCAGCCTAGCAACGATGCCGCAACCCGCCGGTGTAGTAGCAGAAATGATGCGCACGGTCGTCTACTGCGCGAGCCTCGTGACCGTGACCGTGCTGGTCTGCCGACGGGACCTCGTGCCCGAGGGCCTGCGGGGCAAGCTGCCCGACTCCCTGGAGCCGTACGAGCCCGCGACCGAGCGGACGCGGCAGCTCTTCATCTTGGCGCTCATCGGCGGCGCGGCGTTCTTCATGCGCTTCAAGGGCGGATGGATGCACCAGGACGGCGGACGGTCGACATCGTGATACCACCATTAGACCATCGTTTACGCGTGAACCCGCGCTGGTCGTCGCGTGCCGTAGGCCGAGAACGCCTCGTCCTCCGGTTCCTGACGACACCGACACCGCCACGCCGCGGCCAGGACGCCGGGCAGGAGGAAGAGGAGCCACCCGACCGAAACGCCGGACGACGGCGGCGTTTCTTCAAGTGGAGGTAGCTGCCCGAGGACCCTGTCGGCGCCGACGTGCAGGAGCCCGAGCATTCCCAGCAAATCCGACTTGTCGACGGCGTCGTCGTCGCCCTCGGGGCCTCCACTAAGGTCGGCCACGACGACGTCGGCGCGCCAGCCGCCGCCCACATCATAACGGAAGCGCCGCGTGGCGCCCGCGTCGATGTTCGAGTGCACGAAGTGCTGGCGCGCGAGGTCGTACTTGTCCCGGCAGAAGCGGAACTCGGGGCAGCGCTTCTGGCGCCCGCCGCAGGTCATCTTCAGCGCCTTCCACTCGTTCTTGTCGATGTGCAGCGCCTCCTGGTACGTGAAGTTGCGGTAGATCTCGCCGTCGTATTCCATGCAACCCGCGGCGCCCGCCATGCCCAGCACGGCGTGCCAGAGCGAGTACTGGTCCTTGAAGCCGCACCGCCGCTCGAGCCACTCCTGTGTTTTGAGACGCTCTTCATTTTGCTCGATGGCGTAGACTCTCCGCGCATCGGCGCCCCCACGTTTGCGTACTCACGCTTCGACGCTCGACGCCATCGACGCGAGAGGCGATGGCGTGAAAAGAAATCGGACGCCGCCCGCGCGCCTTGAGGAAGATCCGAGACAAAGCCACGTCCCTTAGATAAAACGTGTCGCCGTGCAGGTGCCAGAAGAGGCTCTGGTCCCGCGCGTTCTCGAAGAGCACGTCGACCACGTCGTCATAGTGCACCTTGCGAAACAACGAAGGCACGGAGGAGAAGAGGGCATCGGGCCTCACGTAGGCGTCCATGTCCACGTAGTACAGGCCCGTAACATAAGGATCGGCGAGCAACCGGTAGGCCGCGAGCATCTTCGCGTGGTGGTTGCTGGACTTCTGCCGCGGCGACCCGTAGTAGCTCTGCTTGAGTCGCCTACTATATAGCGATTGCTTCTGCTTTGAGGCTCTACAGCCGTCGCCGCTCTTGGCGGCGACGATCTTGGGCAGCTCGCCGATCCAGATTGAAAGGCGGTGTCTTGTCGAAGACGCCCACATTACTTTATTAATGAAGTAGGGCCACAGTCTAAACACGTAGTCGACGTTGTTCGCAATTAACAAGAGAGAGGGCGACGGGTCCGTCTGTTCGGTCGCCAGGGCACACAGCCGCGGTTTGCTGGAGAAGGCGTGCGCTTTAGAACCAGTCAGCGCGTGGGGCACCGCCGTCCACGCTTTCCCATTGTCGAAGCGCAGGTCGAGGCGCGGGCCCACGCTGCTCGCTCCCATCGAAACCAGGCCGGCGCGGGGCGGCGGCACGACCGTCGACGTTACCAGGATCGTCCATCCAGCAGAAGGCCGTGTTCGGTTTTGATTTGCATTTCTCGCGGTAGCTTGCCAAGTCCGCGGCGTAGTCTAGGCATGCTACGGTGCCCAGCAGCGGCAGGAGCCGTAAGGGTGTCATCCTATCTGCTCGTGTGGGGCAGCCCGAATCTGAGTGGGCCCCCTGTGTGTTGTTACGGCTGCTCCTTCCGCTGCCTACCGCTCGTATGGACCATGTAGTGTGAGTGTCTAGCAGCAAATGTGGCCGGGCAGCGCGAGATTGCGCGTGCTGGCCTGTGCTGGGAAATCGTGTGCTTGCTAGTGTCTTACATGCCGCTAGCTCGATCACGCCAGCTTGCTAGCTTTTCAGGCTCAGCGCTGCTTAATTTGCAGAGATTAGGCCATTTTCACGACCCCAGTAGTCGTCTCCGCGAGCCCTGCGAGCGTACGTGGCTCCAAGAGCTTGTGAGAGCCCGCTCTCTTAACTTGGGCCCAAGGTGTGATACGTCGTCATCAAAGCACTCATTTACGCTGCTCGAAGATGCCAAAGTGGTCCATGGCGCTTCTGCTCGCGCTTCGCCGCGGCGCCAGCCTCACACCCGTAATACGCCGCCGCTGCGGTCGCGCCTTGGCCAGCCTGCCCAAAGATGATGCCGGCTGGATGACGGAGCTCTCGCCGAATCAATTCGCGGTGCTGCGCCAGAAGGCGACGGAGCCGCCCGGTTACTCTGAAGGTACCGAGGGCGAGCTTGAGCACGACCTCAAGCGTGATTACGGTACGAAATACCCGGACGTCGGCGTGTACGAGTGCGCGGGCTGTCGGGAGCCCTTGTACTTTGCTCGCACGAAATTCAACAGTGGTTGCGGCTGGCCGGCTTTTTACGACGGCATACCCGGAGCGATCCGCGAGGTGCCCGATGCCGACGGGATGCGCGTAGAGATCGTCTGCGCGAAATGCGACGGACACCTCGGTCACGTCTTCAAGAACGAGGGCTTCCCGACCCCGACCGACGAACGCCACTGCGTCAACGGTATTAGTTTGAGATACGAGCCCGCGGGGTATCAGCCGGACGACACGCCGAAGCTTCCGGCGGCTCTGGTGCCGAAGCCGATTCCTCCGTGAGTAAGTAGGATGTGTTGATAGGCTTTGCTTCGTGCTTCGCCGTGGGCGGCTCGAGCGCCGCCGAGGCCGCTGGGCACCACTCGAATAAGCCGCCGCGCGGCCGTGCATTTACCGCCGTGACGCGCTCTGGTCTCTATAAAACGAAGCGTGCGAGCGTGTGCGACGCCGCGACGCCGCGGTTTAACCAGGTGAGCAAAACTCTATCAAAGCCAGCATTGTTTCTCGAGCGGCGCGAGCGGCCCCGGCGACGCGCGGCCGCGATGGTTACCCCGCGAGACACCTCATCGCCGCGCGACGGTCGCCGACCACGCCGCGCACTTCCCCAAGTGCTGACGCGCGTCGACCGGACGCCTCGCAGGTACGAAGCGCAGGATGGTCCACACGCACGGCTGGGTCCGCCGCAAGGTGAAGAACTCGGACAAGTGGGTCCGCAGATGGCTCGAGGTGAATAAGCACGTGCTCTACTCGTACCAGTCGTGCCCGGCCGACATGCCGTCCGCGCGGGTCATGAACATGCTCGACCTGCGGAAGACGCGCACGATCGACGTCGTCGACGGCGAGGAGGGCCTCTTCGTCATCGTGCCCCAGTCGGCGGACGACGCCCACCCGGGCTACCTGATGAAGGCGGAGTCGCGGGAGTCGGCGCTCGCCTGGGTCGCGGGACTGAACGCGGCGCGCGACCGCGAGATCGAGAAGAGCGGCGTCGGCGCGGCGCGCCGGCCGGAGCGCGGCTGCTGCTCGCTCTGCTTCGGGTCGAAGCGGGCGCCCGAGCGCGACCCGCTCGTCCAGTACTAGAAGCGTTCGCGGCATAAACATATGTACAAACAACCCGAAGCTTAGAATCACTCCCCCGGTGGAGTATCAACTCTCTCCGTGGCCAGCGCTGCGGCCAGGGTGGCCCCGAAGTCGCCGCCCGAGCGTGACGACGCCTTCAGCTTAGAATCACTCGCCCGGATAGAATCACTCGCCCGGAGGACGGGATCGACCGCCGCGTTGGCCAGCGCCTCGGCCAGGGTGGCCCCGAAGTCGCCGTCCGAGCGGGTCGACGCCTTCAGTTCCCAGTCCGCCGGCGGCCGCCGCCGCGTTTTGCTCCGCCGCGGCGACAGCTCCGCCGAGTCGCGCACGGTTCTAATAGCGTCGCTCTTCAGACCGAGGTCCTCCAATAAATCTCGCGTCGCAACCGGCGGGGGTTCGAGGAGCGTGCCCCGGACCGGCAGGTCGTTCCGCTCCAACAAGTGGCGCCGCCGCGGCGACAGGGGCTCCTTTATCCGATGCGGCGCGCGATGGACTGGCCGCTCCAATCGCGCGTCGGCCTCGTCCAGGGGCGCGTCGGCGATCTCCTGGGCGACCTTGCGCGCGCCGCCCGTCGCGACGAGCTCCGCCGTGCCGGCGCCCATGACGACGGACGCGGGCGCCTCGCGTCGTAACGTCGCCGCCAGCGCTTCCAGCGCGCCCGAGCGCTCGAAGGGGTCGTCGGCCTTGCCGAGGTCATTTAAAGCAGTCCGGATCTCGCACATGGTTTGTTGATCCGTGCGCGGCGACCGCTGGAGCGAGGTGGCGGGTCGCGCGCGCCGTCCGCGACAAGCGGCGTCCGGCTGGAGTCTTTCCACTTCCTTCTGGAGGCGCTCGCCGTTCTCCCGTAATTCCTTCGCCTGGCGCAGGGCCCGCTTCTCGCGGTACCTGTGTGGAAATCAACCAGTGTGTCGGGTGCACCCGATAATTCCTCACTAAGTCATTTCTCGGCGATGACGTGGCCGCGCTGGCTCCGTCGAGCGGTGAGGAACCGACATTGCCACGCCATCGAGCAGGCGTCGCGTCGATGGCGTGGAGGACGACGCGACGATTCAGCACGAACGCGCCGTAAAATTTGATTCCACACAGCCCGGTACCGCGCGGCCTCCATCATCTGCTTCGAGGCGTCCGACGCCGCGTTCGCAGCCTTCGCAAAGTCCGTGGCCGACGCCGCCGTGTCCTTGATGAACGCGGCCCGCGCGGCTGTTGATGCCGCCACGGCACTCGCCGCATAGTCGCAGCACATCCTGTAGCAGTCGGCCGCGGCGCACGTCGCCTGGCGCGCGGCGTCGTTGTGGTAGATGCGCGCCGAGCCCATTGCTAAATATCTATCGGCCACGGCCTGCATCTGTTCGTAGACGACGTCGTCGATGCGGTCCGTCGACGAGGCCAGTTCCACCTCCAGCAGTTTGACTGACATTCGGTGAGTGTCCAGGAGATCCGCGCCTCGCGGCAGGTAGCCCTTGAGGTCGTCTTCCAACCCTAAACGATTCAGTTGCTGCTCGTAGAACTCAGACGCGACCTCGGCCACTCCAACCATCATCGTGTCCCGCGCGCCCGCCGCCGACACGGCCGACGCGGCCACGCCGAAGTTGCCTCTCGCGGATCCTATATCCTTCTGGATCTCCTCGAAGAGCCGATTCGCGTCGACAAAAGCCGTCGCGGCCTCGTCATTCAAATTGAGCAATCGAATCTTCCTAAATAACTCGTTGACCTGCTTGAGGCCGTACTCGGCGCCCGCGAGAGATGTCGAAGCGTCGCCCATGACTTCCTTGAGGAACGCTCTATCAGCATTGGCCGTTTCTCGCAGCGACGGCGGCCGCGGCGGGCAGTAGATGAAGGACGAGGTGTCCATTGGTATACTTCGGCCCTGGCGCGGGCTCGCGTCCCGCAGGTCCTCGTCGCGCGGCGTCGCGTCGCCCCTGGGAATCTCCTTGCCCTGCGTCGGCACCTCGTCGGGGCTGAACGGCGGCGGCCGCGGCGTCGCTTGCGCGTCATTATTGATGGTGTCGTCGTCGTCGTCCCGCGGCGTCACGCGGGCGGACGCGCCGCGCAGGCGCCGCTCGAGGGCTGCCTTCGCGGCGGGCGACGCCATTTTTGTGATTCTTGTGAAACGTGCGCGTCGCGGAGCTGCCCGCGCGCACCGGCCGGGTCGCGGGCGGTCGTGTGTAAGCGTGTTCGGGCCTACGCGACTGTTTTGGCTGCGTTTAGCACGCCCAACACCGCACCGGCCGCTGCAAAACCCCGAACCCAAACTGGCGCTGCAAGCAAAAGCTGCCCCTGCGCGGTTCCAGGCGGTCACTCGGCGCTCCTGGCACGCTTGGCGGTCGCACGGATCCCCCTCCGTCAGACAGGGCGCAAAAAATCCGCGCACGAACCGCTGCGTGTGGCCTGATCTTGGGGGCTGCCCGCTCACCCGCCGCACGGCCTGCTAATCGTCCGCGCGGCACGCCCACGCCGTCCCTCGACGCCGCCGCGGCGCCGCGCCAGCAGCGGCGCGGTGATCGACGACCATGGCCGACATGAAGGCCATGATGCGCGAATCCGCGAAAGCGAAGCGCGAGATGGAGGAGATGCGAAGGAAAGCGGAAGCGGACCTCGACGAGATTTTGGATGAGGCGATTGCCGAGTTCGAGGCAGAAGAAGATCTGACCGAGAAACCGGAAGACGACGAGGGCGAGCGCATGGAGACGCTGCTGGCCGGCGAGAAGCGCGCGAAGCGCATCGATTTGGCGATGGAAGAGGAGATGAAGGACGACGCGTACAATCGCTTGGACTCGCTCGTGGATAATTTAAGGAATCCTGCGTTTAAAGACACTCTGGAGATGACCCTGCGAGCGTTGTCGGGCAATGAAGAAGGTGCGAGAACGATAGAACAGTTCGTCCGGGACCAGCGAGATCGGGCGGAGCGGTTAATCTCGGACGAGGCGCCCGATGTGGAATTGGATCGCGGGTTAAGTCGGACCATGGAGTTATTAGCGACATCTTCATCGAATATGGAGGGGCTGGAACCGGCGCAGATCGAGCAGAGCGGCGACGAGATGATGACGAACATGATCGCGGAGTTCGAGAAATTGGGCCAGAAGGAGGACTTCGACCAGATCGTCGAGAACATGCTGCGCCAACTGTTAGCGAAAGATCTCATGTACGAGCCGATGTCGAAGGTCTGCGACAAGTACCCGGAATGGCTCGCGGAGAAGTACGAAACTTTAAGCCAGGACGAGTATCAAAGATATGGCACGCAGTACCAGTACTTCCAGCGCATCGTGGCCGTCTATAAATACGAGCCGGACAATTTTCCTCGACTCGTGGAATTGCTTCAAGATTTACAGAAGTACGGGCAGGTGCCCTCGGAGATCATCAAGGAGCTCGCGCCGGCCCTCGAATTCGGGCCCGACGGCATGCCGGTCATGAATTTGGGGGACAACATCTTCCCGAAGCCGGGCGCCGCGCCGGGGATGCCTGGTTTGCCGACGCCCGACGCGTCCGCGGCGAACTGCTGCGTAAGCTAGTAGTCTGTTTTCTTTTTTCCCGGCGCGGTCTGGGTGTTCGCCCTCGCTGGGCGCCCGGCGGTCCCGGCCCGGGTGCTACTCGCACTAGTAGCCGGTGCCAGTGGTGCCCTCTGGTCTGTCCACGCTCTTCTAGGCTCCAGCCTCTAGTTCCACTGCCGAGCGCACTCCTGCGGCGCCCCCGACGCCGTCGACGCGGCGGCTCCCATAGAATACTTAGGCCAAATCTACTTGAGTGGGCATGCTGCTTCTTGCCGAACTTCTCCTGCAGCTCGCCGAGCACGCCGAGCGACGCCGCCGCGACGCCCGACCACTGCGTCCCGTTCAGCACGTAGCCCCGCGACACAATATCTAAAAGCACGGAGAAGATCTTGCGCGTCGTCGTCACCGTCGTCACGAGGAGCGGGTCGAAGTTCGCCATCGTGAAGAAGATGGCCGACTGGCCGATCGCCGAGCAGAACGAGAACTTGGCCACGGCCGTTAATAGGTCCGGATGATCTAAGAGGAAGGCGACGCCCCCGAAGAACTGGTCCAACGCTAACGCCATGACCAGGGCCACACCCAACATGGCTGCGTTCGTGAAGAGCATGAGGTCGTACGGCGCGAGGCCCTGGCCCTGCGTCTTCTTGTACTCCTTCTTGAAGGCCGTCTGCTGGCCGCCCGTGATGCCGTCACACACTAACGATAACCCGAGGCAGGCCATTCCAATAACATCGGCGTGGCCTCCGTCCGAACCCGGCTTCCTAGCTTTGCCGACGGTCACGAGGACGACGCCTCCGATAATCAGCGCGACCTGGGCCCACTTGCGCGCGGGGTACCGCGTGCCGCTCAGGACGATGGCGCCGACCATGACGGGGACCATCTTTGCGTTTTTCACTAATGTTGCTAAAAAGAAGGGCACCCCATAGATCTGGGCCTTCTGCGTCATGGCCTTGGCCAGGACTTGCGTGCTGCCGGTCAACAAAAACGACTTGTAGGGGATTGCCGGCGAGGGCCCGCCCTGCGTGAGGATGAGTCCCGCCAGACCTACTAAAACGTTGGCGGCGGCCTCGAGCACCTGCAGGAACCACTCGCGCTCCAACTTCGAGCCGTCCTCGGCTTGATATTTCACAATGTCGCCCATGAGCTGGCCGTAGTAGAGGAACGCGCCGAAGATCCCCACGACGCCGATGGCGAGCTTCGCGGGGCTCGCCGCGCCGTCCGGCGGGGGCGGCGCCATGACACTGCAGCCGGGGAGCAGAGGCGTGTCCGGCTCGCTGTCCTGCGAGTCCTGCGACTGATACGTCGCCTTCGAGTTGTTGCTGGCGGTGGCGGTGGCGTCGCGCCGCGGGGACGCGCGGTTGCTCTCCGTCGTATTGATGGGTGGTGGGCGCGGTGCGTCCGCGTTGTTATGTGCAGCAGCTAAAATTTCGGCTAGCGCTGAAATTTTTGCAAATCCGCGTCGTTGTCTTGGTGCAGCGATGCGTCGGTAGTCCTGCAAGGCTCCGACGGCAAGGGCAAGGCAAGGCAGTCGCGCTAGCGGTACGTAAAGACACTAGCAAAAAAAGGAAAACTCCATAAAGGCGCCAACTGCCTCTTAAAGCGATCGTATGCGTCGCATCGGACGAGTTCCCCCATGATGTCGCTTTCGAAGCGGGCAGCCTGGTCTGGCTTGGCAAACGCACCAGCACGGCCACATTCGTGACAAGCGGCGGCCAAACGACCGTCGCATCGCTGGTCTCTCGTATCTGTGCGCTCGTGCGTGCGGCGCCAGCATCGCTTAGCCTCCTATCACTGAGATCACTCTGAGCTGGTGTAAGCAGTGCGCTGGCATTTGACGTTCGCGGGCGCATCGCTCCAAGCGGTGCGCGGTCATGGCAGCTCAGTTCCTCCCCGCGTCGCTGCAAGAGCGCCTGCGCCCGCAGCACGGCGCGACGCTGCCGGCGCCGCGCGACGCCGGCGCGCACGTGCTGTACTGCATGCGGACGGCGTACCGTAGCGCCGCGAACCCGTCGTTGGAAACGGCACTGCGCGCCGCCAACGAGCTGCGCGTGCCGTTGCTCTGCCTCGCCGTGCTCGAGGACTCGTTTCCGGCTGGGCTAAGTCGCATAGGCATGCGGCCCACAGATCGCGCCACAGCCTTCCGGCTCGAAGCGCTGCGCGAGCTGCAGCCGGAGATCGCGGCGCGCGGGTCGGTCCTGCTGGTGCATGTGGAGCGCGACGGCTCCCGCCAGGCGGCCGCCCAGTCCCTCGCCGCGCGGGCTCGACTGGTCATCGTCGACGAGCACCGGCGTCGAGCCGCACATGTCGTTCGCGGACAAGGTGCGGCGAACGGGCGCGCCGACCTGGTTGTGCGACTGCGCCTGCACCGTGCCGTCTAGGACGCTGCCGGCGCGGCGCGCCGTGGGCGGCAACGCGGGGTTTCTGCGCGCGACGCGCGACGCGCGCCGCGCGCGGCTCGCCGCGACGCCGCTCGCGCCGGCGCGTGCCTCGGCAGCGCCGCCCCCCGCCGCCGACGTGGCACCTCGACCTCTCCGGCGAGGCCGCGGTCGACGAGGTGCTGGCGGCGCCGAGCCGGCGGGACACCTCTGTGGGACGAGTGGCGCGGACGCGCGGCGGGCCGCGGGCCGCGGTCGCGCGCTGGGAGGCCTGGGTCGCAAACGACGGCCTCGCGGGCTACGCGAAGAGGAGGAATGATCCTTTGGACGTCTGTGGCTCCAGTCGTGCGGTTCCGGAGTCTGACCATTCGCCTCCACGCCATCGACGCGATTTGATACACGTGTCCACTGCACGCCATCGACGTGATGTCTGCTCGACGCAGGCATGAGCGCGTACGTCAACTGCGGCATGATCGACCCGCTCCGCATGGCGCGCGATGGCGCGCGCGTCTCGGAGAAGTTCGTGAGCGAGTTTTGCGGTTTCCGCGAGAGCGCGCATTTGTGGTGCCTGCGGAACCCCGGCGCGTACTTGGACGCGTCGCGGGCCGTGCCGGCGTGGGCCCGGAACCAGCTGCGGGCGACCGACCCGGCCCCAGATGTGGAGGCTTTAGCTCGGGGCGCGTCGGGCGACGCCTACTGGGACGACTGCCAGAAGTGCCTCGTGCTCTCGGGCGAGTTGCACAACAACGTGCGCATGGCCTGGGGCAAGGCCATCCCCGCGTGGCACGGAGCCGTCTTGAACGGCCAAGAAGCGACGCCGGCGACGCGCCTCCAGGCCGCGCTCGATCTACTCGTGCGATTGAACGACACGTACGCGCTCGACGGTGGTGCGCCGCCCTCGTACGGTGGACTTCTGTGGTGTTTGGGTTGGCGCGACCGGCCCGGCGCCGGCGGCTGCCCCAAGCTGCGACCGACTAGCGTTATCGGCCGGCGCGGCGTGAAACCTGGCGACCTCGAGCGCCTCGCCCGCGTCCGCGTCGACGGCTCCGAGCCGGCCAAGAAGCGCCAGCGGACCATGGAGAGCTTCCTCTCCTCGCCCAAGTCTGTTGTTGGATAAAAGTTCTGTTCATATTCGATTCTTCACAAAAATCACCTTACACAACAAGGTCCTCGCCACCGTCGACGCCGTCGAGGAGCGCCTCCGACGTCCCCGCGGGAACGGGTCGGTAGAGCACGTAGTGCTGCACGAGGAAGAGCACATCGAAGACCATCGACGTGACGCCCAGGCCGAACTTGACGACGTCGCCGGAGATGCCGCTCCAGTCGTTTTGATTTGCGCAGTCGAGGATGAGCTGGAGCGTCGAGAGGGCGCCGCCCGTGAAGTCGAGCAGGATGTTGTCGATCGGCCAGCCGACCGTCGATCGCCGCCTATAGTTCAAGAGGAGTTGCGGGAGGTATTTGCAGAACGTGACGGCCATCTTGCCTGCGTGTTGATACGTTGCACCCTCCACCTTCTCCCCTGCACGCCATCGACGCGACACCTGCTCGACGGCGTCGCGGTGGTGTGGGTCTTAGCACGGCCGCGTCGTCGCCGAGAAATGACTTCGCGAAGAATCACGCCATCGACGCGACGCTGGTTCCTACAGTACGAGAGCGCGTAGAGGATTTGTAGTGCTTCGTGGCCCACGATAGCGGTGCCTGCTACATAAAGCGCGAGCGCGGCCAGGCCGTAGCGCGCCGGTCGACTCGGCTTTTGCTTCGCGAAGCCGTCGTAGTAGGCGATCTGGCCCACCGTGACCGACGAGAGCAGCAGGGCGTGGAGGCAGAAGAGGACGTCGGCGAAGCGTACTTCTGGTGCATGGTCGTGGTGTCGCTTGTACTGGTGGCGGATGCGCGGCGACGCGTACAGGGCGAGGGTGTACGCTGAATAAGCGGCAAACGCAAACGCGTTGAGCACCGCGAAATCGGGCGACAGGCCGACTGTTGTTTTTCTCTGTTTGTTGAGCAGCACTTGGGGCCAGAAGGAGACGCTCCAGGCTACGAAGTACAGGCCGCCCAACGCTGCGGAGATGTAGGCGTAGGGTTTCGTGAGCGCGCTGTCGTCGGGCGTGACTGCGGCTACTAGTCCCGCAGCGATCAGCATGCAGGCGAGGGTGATGAGGCGTCGACGGAGTCGTCCTTTCGTCTCAGTTATATTTGGTTCCTCTGTGTTGTTTGCCAGTGGTTCGTCCATGGATGCTGCGCTGGCTCGTCCTTCGTGTGCTCGCGCGGCTCAAATTTGACCTCACCTGGCAGAGCTGCTCTTTATCTCCGTGACTGCTCTTCCAACGCTCACAAAATTTTCACACAAGATCTATGTGGCTATAGTAGAGCTGCGTCCTGTTCCAGCTGTTAGTTTGGAGCGCTTGGCGCGGCACGACGGCCGTCTCACAAGCAGTCCATCGTGAGTCGAGTCGAGAGGCCGCCGCCGCCCATCAGGAGCGGTCCAGGAGGGTCACATGCGTCTCCGGGAGGGGTGGAGCGTTCCGTTGCTGGTTTTGGCTGCGTTTGGCTGCCCAGTCCATAAATCCGCCACAGATCGCCACAGATGACTGAAGGGGTCCAGGGCAACCCAGGACGGGCGCACGGACGGCCCTCCGGGACTCTTTCATGGAGGAATGCGCCCAGCTCATTCCCCCGTGTACGTACTCCAACGGACGTCTGCGTCGACATTGGAATCGAACCAGCGCCGACCGCGATAATTTTATACGGACCGCAAGCTGCACTGCTGCACGTACCAAGCAGCGCGCAACCTCTCAGCACCTTCAGTGTGCCATAGAAAGCGTCAGCGCGTCAAACGACACGGTACACGCGACAAAGGACGTCAAAAGGCGCCATCTCGCATCTTAGCCGGTAAACGTCCACCACGACGTCCGTGCTAGAAAAAGCAAATCAGCTCATCCGAAAAGCGGAAGAGCTCAAGGCCAGGATGTCGGAGACGATGAGATATCGTTCCGACTCCGTTGTCAGCATCGATGAACCCGCGCTCCAGCTTGGTCTCAATGGAGAAGCGGTGATGGAAGAGGCCGTCCTCGAGATGTTGCAGACGAACAACGTCGAGGAGCTAAGAAAGGTCGACGCCGACGCCCTCGCGTTGGCGACGACCGCGAAGACCTACGCGCTCCACGAGGCCTGCGAGGCCGGTTCTATGGACGTGGTAAGATTCCTCCTCGAGGAGGCCGAGCACGATATTGATATTCGCGACGCCCAGCAGTGGACGCCGCTCCACTACGCGGCGGCGTTCCAGGGCGACAAGCCTGAATTAGTTCACTACCTCCTGTCGAAGGGCGCCGACGCGGCCCACGAAGACGAAGACGGCGACACGGCCTTGGACGCTCATTTGGACGAGTCCGACGCGGACACGGTCGTCGCCGACCTCCTCAAGAAGGTCGAGGAGCACGACGGCTACGAGCACTGGGCCCGCGCGCACGCGCGCGCGCCCGGTTTGTACGGCGAGCTCGTCAAGGCCGAGCGCCCCAAGTACGTCGAGGCGGAAGTGCGCCTCGCGTTCGGCGTCCTGCACGCCCAGGCCAACACCCATTACGACCGCATCAAGGAGTCGGGCGTGTCGGCGGAGGCCTTCATCCTCGGCGCGCACGGCGGCCACGTCTGCTTCGACCACGTCCTCACGTTCATGGCTTAAGCGCGCCGCTCTTCTTTTGAGTGGCGCGTTTCGCTGTGAACGTGTTGTACATTATTGGTCCTCCCCCAAGTCTAGCAGAACTAAAACCAAGTCCCTATTCTCTTTTTCTTGCACTGTTCGCGGCGACGGCGTCAACAACAAACCAAAGTTTAGGACTGGGTAACACTCGGCGGCTGCTTCGTCTCTGGCGTCTCCGGAGGAGGCGGCCCGCCGGGCGTCGGCGGCGCCCCGCCCGGCGTCGCCGCCGGCCGGCCGGCCGAGCCGTAGGTCACGGCCGGCGTCTGCGGTGGCGCCGGCGACGCGAGGGCCGGCGTCCGCGGCGCCGGCGACCGGGCGACCCGGCCCGGCGTCCGCGGCGGCGGGCTCCGGCCGCCGCGCATGAGCACGGCCGATGGCGTCGCCGGCGGTGCCTGCTTCTTTGCGCGCGACGGCCGGCGCTCGCCGCAGGCGGCGCACGCGACCATGGCCGCTTCTGCCGGAGACGTGTGCGGGTAGGCGCACTCGCGACAGGTCCAGGAATCGACCTCCTCGTCCGAATCGCCGAAGCCGAGCGTGCGCCGCGCGCCGGCCAGGTCCCGCGCGGGCGCGCGCGTGCGCTTCTTCTTGCGCGGCGCGGGCGGCGGCCGCAGGCTCGCGGGCGCGCGGCAGAAGTCGCGCTCGCACGCGGCGTCGGCCTTCTCGAGGCGCTGGATGGCCCGCGCCAGGGCGTACGCGCCGTCAGCGACGGGGAACGACCCCGGCGCGGCGCCCGCGCAGCGCCGCGCCGCCTCCACTCGTTCCGCGGCGACCACCGCGACGGACGCGTGCGCCTCGCGCTGTTCGGCCAGCGCCTTCAAAAAAGCCGCCTGGCGGTCCGCGAGCGGCAGGCGCAAGCATGATCGGCAGAAGGCGGCTTTCCGGTCGGCGTCTTCCGTTCGGGACGAGCAGTTCACGCACAGCGCTTCGGCGCGGGGCTGCGCCAGGAAGAAGCGGTCCGGCCGCTGCCGTGTCGGCGACGGCGGCGCCGCGGACCCATCCAGCAAAACGGAGGCGCCGTCGCACGAGAGCTTGCCGCTGCGCACGATCGACGGCGGCTCGTCGAGCAGTTTCTTCACGTCGGCCCGCTGCGCAAAGGGCGCGAACAAGCGTCTCAAGTCGGGCAGCAGCTTCTTATCTCTATATAACTTCAGGTCCACGGCCGCGTTCGTCTTCAGCACGGAGGGAGGGTCCATGACGCCGTCCTTCTGGGCGTCCCCCCTCAAAGATTTACCGTGGACCATGGGCACGAACTCGCCCAACCGAAACCGGAGGCCCGGGTCCTGCTTCAGGCGCTTCGTCGCCAGCGCGACGTGCGGCGTCCTTAGCGTGCTATCGTCCTCGTCCTCGCCGCGCGCGAACCGCTCCAGGTCCGACTGGTCCACGCGCCACAGGTAGGCGCCGCTCACGAGCTCGTCGAGGGCCACGTCGCCCCGTAGTAATTGCTCCTGGCGCGCGGCCGCGAGCGCGCACGCCGCTTCGACGCCGCGCTCGAGCAACGCCGTCGTCGAGTCCCGGAGCGTGGCTCTTACAAAATCCGTGTCGCCCCGCGCGCTGCCGATGCCCTTGATGACGACCTCTCCCCCAAAATCGCGGCCCGCGTAGCGGTTCACGTGGAGGAGCAGGAACGGGCAGAGCGTGTGCTCGTGCTCGAGCGTCAGGCCCTCGGGCAGCGCCGCCGACGCGGCCGCGGCGATGCGCGCGCCCTCGGCCGCGGCCTCGGCGTGGCTCCGGCCCGGTAGGCGTATGAAGAGCGAGTCCGTCTGCGCGTAGAGGACTTCCGCGCCCTCGACCTCCGCCTCGATGACGTCGCGCGCGCGGCGGCAGTACCAGTTGCCCCAGCGCACGCAGCTCTCGGCGAGGGCCTTGCCCCCCAGCGGCGAGACGTCGGAGCCCGTGAAGCCGTAGGACGCGTTCGCGCAGAGCTTGAGCGAGAGCTGGCGTGCTTGCCTGTGTGTGTTTTCAAATTTCGGGCGCCCCACGCCATCGACGCGACGTTGTCCCCGTAACTGCGGCAGCTCGATGGCGTGGAGGTATAACCTAACTCACTGGTTGATTTCCACACAGGCACATGCAGGCACTCCGCCTCGTTCGTGTCGCCGCGCTGCGCCGCCGCCTTAGCTAAAGCCTTCGTGCGGCGCCGCGTCGTGATCAGGGCCTCTAGTAACCGCGGCAATAGTCCGGGCCGCTTGGTTTTCGAAGCGAAGCGGTGCGGGTGTTTGAGTTGCGCCGACGCCGGGCACACGGCGTCGTCGGCCTCCGCGCCGGCGCCTCGCAACGTCGTCCAGCAGATGTTGTGCGCCACGAAGAGCGAAGGATAGAGCGACGCGAAGTCCAAAACCACGACCGGGTCCTTTCCATAAAAGCCGCACGAGCCCACCGCGCGCGAGTGGCCCATGAGACCGTTGGAAATCAACGCCGCCTGGTGGTCCCTTAGTTCACTCCGTGGCGCGGGGTGGTGGAGGAACGGCGTCGTGTCCTGCACCCAGCCATTTTCTGCCGGGAACCTTTTGAGGGGCAGCGCCACGTCCAGACGCTTCGCGGCGCCCAGTACTAATTGTTCTGTGCGGACCGCCGTCGCCCGCCACAAAATCGTCTCCAGGTCCAAACCCGTGCAGCGCGCGTATTCTACGGTCTCGGCGACGGCGTTGAGGCGCCGTCCTAGGGCCAGGATCGCCCGCGCCTCGCAGGCGGCGACGGCCGCGCGCGTCGACGCGTCCAATTGTTGCCGTGCCGCCGGCGTTATTGTGGGAGGCGCCGCGTCGAGCACCGCGCGGCACGCCTCGGGCAGGTCGTACCGCGTGAGCTTGGGCTGCTGGCGCATCACCAAACACCTCAGTAAGTCCACGCCGAGTCTCCCACCCAGCCCCGAGCAGCGGTGCGTCTCGAGGTTGTTCGCCGAGGCCATGCGCCTCTCGGACCTATCCTTGATCCAGGCCTTCGAGTAGGTCGTCACGCTCGCGCACGCGAGGGGTGTGGCGTCGAAGCGGCCGAGCTGCAGCGCGCGGCGGTGGCGCGCGCGGAAGCGCTGGGCTAACAAACCCAGGCGTCTATCATCAAAGGTAAAAAGCACGTCCGGGTCCGCGTTCCGCAGGTGCGTCTCGACGGCGGCCAGGAGTCGGCTTTCGTCGCGGAAGAGCGACACGCGCGCGCCGCACGCGAGCAAAGCTTCGCCGCGGCCGCCGACGGCGAGCACGTCGACGCCGTCGCTCGTCGCGAGCGCGACGGCGGCGATGGAGTCCTTACTTGATTTGTCGGCGTCGCTCCACCTGCGCGCGTTGTTGACCCTTTGTTGTTGCCCTTCCTTTCTTCGACAAATCCACTGCCTCCCCTGCCTTGGCCCGACGCCGTGGAAGGGGAGACTGTCCATCCCACTCACGCCATCGACGCGCCGCTGAATTGAAGGCGCACCTCAAAGGACGCTGGACCACGGACGCGTCGTCGCGGCCCGACGCCGGCTCGACGCGCAGCGCGAGGACCTTCAGGTCCGGGATCGACGCGAAGCGCGGCGCCGCGAAGGTCTGGCGGAGCGGGTCCGGCGCGTGGCCGGCGACGTCGGCGTGGGCGCAGCGGTAGCCTGCGCAGTCCGAGTGAGCCCCCACGCCATCGACGCGACGTTTGTCCCTGTGTTGATTTCCACGCCGGCGGTCACGGCGGTCGCCCGCCTCCGCGACGTTCCGGGCCACGAGCCAGGCGCCGCCCGACAGGTGCGTCTCGACGAGGAACCGCCGCAGGAGGGGCACGCCGTCCTCGCAGGGCGGCTCGGCCCAGAGCTGCTCGCACTTGCGCACGAGCGTCGACTGCGCCGCGCCGCAGCGGTGCGCGACCCGCAGATATGTCCGGGGCTCGTGGATGCCGCAGAGGAACGTGCGCGTTACTTTTGTCACGGACACGGCGTGCGCCGGCGCCGCGCGACACAGGTCCGCCTGGCGATTTGTCGCGTCCACATCATCCGCGACGGGGCCCACGTAGAAGTGCGGCCGGAAGCCGCTGACGACGAGGCGCGCCGGGCGCCTGTCGGCGTCGACGCCTTCGAGGACGACGTCGTCCTGGGACTGGGCGAGGGTGATGAGGAAGAGCTCGAGGGGCGGCTGGGCCATCGTTATTGCTTCTGAGCGTAGCGTGTCCAGCAACAGGCCAATGCAGCCTTTTTTGGCTTGGGTGCTGGAGCTCGACGCGTGCTTTGCGGAGGACGGCTTTGGCCCTTGTGCTGGTACGCCTTGAATGCTGTGGCTCCTGTGAACTATGCTTTGCAGCGATGCGCAGCGCTTCGAGAGCGGCGGCGGCTTAACAGAGAGCACCAGCCTTCGCGCGCAGGCCCAGAGGCGCGACCGTGGCAAGCAGCCGTCGGATCGTTCCGCGAGGTGTCTGCGAGCGCTCGTTCGGTTTGTGTTTCGCGGGCGCGGTGAGACGACCTCGCCACACTCTCGTCGACCGGGGACGGCGGGACGGGAGGAGCTCCCTGGGGCTTGGGATGACGGCGCGACGGCGGCGTTGGGAGGGCGGCCCATCGGTTGTCCGACGGCCGACGCCGCCGACGCGGGCGCGGGTCTTTTTGGAATCTCTATGTCTGAATCGAAGCGAGATGACGTTCGCCGGACCTCGCCGTGGACGATTCAGGCTCTGGCATTCGCGCAGCCGGGTACTAGGCTGCCCTTCCGTGGGGCAACGTCGAGCGCGGGGCGGTCGGGCTGCTGCGCCGTTCTAAGGGTACTCGTGGCTGGTAGAGCGTTGCGTGGAGGTGGGGGTGGTGCTGGGGCGGCCTGGGTGGGCGGGTTGCGTTGGCATGTGGCTGGTTGGCCCGGTTGGAGGTCGTTTCTGGTCCAGGTACCCCGGATGGGCTGCTTTTGCTGGCTGGACCAAAATTTTTGTGTTCTCGGGACGCTGCGTTTTCTGCGGCGACGTTCCATATCCGCGGGGCAGCGAGCCAAAACTGGCACACTCTGGCACGGCTCAGAGCATCACACAAAAGTCCGCCACAGCGTCCCAATATCCAGCCGCACATTGAAAAGCGTGTGTCAACGGCAAGTTCGCAGTCTTCCCGCTCCCTCCAGCGCTTGTCCGCTCTCGAAACGCCTGCGTGGAGCGCGCACAAGCCCAATCTCGCAAAATCGGCCTTCTCCCAATGTTTCCGCGTCCCCCCGCCACCGCGCGGGCCTGCCCGGCTCGCAGCAGGGCTGATCGGTCTCGAACCCCGGTTTGACCGCTACGCGGCGCCCCTCGACGTCGTTCACACATTTATTTGGCCGGCTTTGTGCGTCGGAAAAAAACACCGGCCTCTCACGCGGTACCGAGGGCAGACCGCGCGACCGCCGTCAATTGAGAGACAGCCCTTGTTCACACAAACACGCCTGTAGACGCTGCGCGCGCACGGACGAGTTATTAACCCGTACGCCCTTCGCAGATAATCACGCGGACGAGCACTTCGTCCGCTTCCACAAAACGCACAAAAACTCACCTCAACTAGATCATGGCGAAGAAAGGTTTAAAGTCCGCGTCATGATCAACCGCGTGCCCTCGCACTGCGCCTCGCGTCCGAGGACGGTGCGGTCCGATGGCCGCCGGCGACCTCGAGACGACGCCCGTGGCCCGCCGCGGACCGCCGACGCCGTCCCGCCGACGCCGTTGGCGCCCCTCCCCATGCGGGCGCTGCCCGCCACGCGGGCGCTGCCGCTGGAGAGAGTGAGAGTGAGCGGCGCTCTCCGTGCTTTCGACCGCGACGACTCACGCCTCTGTTCCCACGCAGTCAAGCAAGTGTTCGTCCAGGAGTCGCAGCTCCGCAAGAGCACGCGCCCGCGTCCTGCTTCACCACGGTCCCTTCACATCGACCCGCGGTCGCCGTCGACGCGATGTAAGCGCGTCTGCTCGACGGCGTGGAGGCCGGCCTACGCCGTCGCCGCGGCTTCGTGCCAGTGGTCGCGTCTGGTCGTCCCGGTGGCCGCGCCTGCTCGATGGCGTGGAGAGATACGCGTACGATATCTCGACGTCGCCGCGTGGCCGCATCTAACTTCGAGCTGCCCTCGCAGAGGAAAAAAAGAAGATCGACAAGGCGCGCGCCATGATCGAGTACCACAAGTGCCGCGTCAGCTCGTTCTCCAATTGGGCAAGCTACTGTGCAGAAATCAACCATTCGCGGCCGCAATTTACCTCGTATTCGCACAGGGCAAGGCCGCGTCGCCGGAGAAGCTCAAGCACGAGGCCGCGGTCGCCGCGCTGACGGCCCAGATCCAGCTCATCGAGCTGGAGGCGTCGCAGCGCGACCCCTTGTTCTAGACCGGCGGCGCCGCGCGCCTCCAGTACGCCTTTTAGGCGGCTGGGCCGCGCGCGGCGCTGCGGTGGGCCCACCGAGTGTTGTTCTGAGGCCGAGCACGTTCGGAGCGTGAGCGGCCGTCCCTTCATCTGAAGGGGCGGCCGTCCCGCGCTTCGTTCGTCTTGTGCCCGTCTCACTCCGCGTTGTATTGGAGCATACGCTCCGCCCGACGACCGGCACGAAGGTCGGCGTCCAGCGCGTTCCCCCCCCGGTCCGCCGCCGGCAATTGTTTCTTCCCGCGGCCATATCGGCGCTGAAGTCTAATTAATATATGGTCATATATCCTGGCTACTCGTCGGCGGCTCGGGCGCCGTAGCAGCAGCAGCGCCGCGCCGCCGAGGCGGCAGCGCGACAGCGTCTGTGAGTAGTCGCGCTTGGCCCAGGCGCCGCCACAAGTCGCCGACGACGCCGGCGCGAGCTAAGGATTCTGGAGATGATTCCGGGCGGCCCGCCTCCGCTCCAGTGCCTCACGAAAGGTCGCCGCTTGAATATCTGCTGCCTCTTGACTAAGCCCCAGGAAGATATAGCCAAATGTCTCGCGTAGCGGTATGCCGTAGTCATCTCGAACAAAAAAATCGTGCCAGCCATCGATGGTTCGCAAAGCCTCGTTTATTAGCGAGTAGTGGAAACCCGCAAGAAAGGTCAGGAGAAACACGGGTTCAAGGATCGCCAGACCACCAGCACGCCCCTCGTCGAGCTTAGACTGCCAATCTAGATGTAAGACCAAACCTTCCATGGATGGTGTCGTACCAACGCCGCCGAACGTGACCTGCAAACACAGGTTGACCCTAAATTCCAATCTATCCGTCGAGAACAGGATGTTATCGTCCTCGAAAGAGTAAGAGTGCAGCCGCGAGTTGTTGGTAAAACTTATGCTGCCATGATAATCGCAAAGACCCAGCGGGATCATCGCTTGGTCCTTGTCCCTGATTGCAACGACGGTAAACTGCAGACGCTCTAGATACGAATCCATGGCGTCACCGGGGCAGTCGCCCATGTTGCCGCTTTCCACCATCGCGGCGCAAGCTTCAGAGAGAGGGAGCCGAAAGTTAAAATCACTTCGCTCGCTCTTCAGGTCGCCCTCCCAGATCAAACGACCGTCTTCGGTGACGCGCACAAAGAACGTGAAATCCATGGGTGCGTTCAAGGAGGAACGGAGGTCGCGCCGGCGTCTCCTGGCACAGGGAGTCCGCGAGCACGCGCCGGCGGACGTGGGACCGCACGCGCGAGGCCGCGTCGCTCTCCAGCGCGGCCCGTACAGCTCGCGGCGCGTGCACTTCCGCTAACCGCTGCCCGCAGCGTCTGCCTCGCGCACGTCTCTGCGGAGCGTCGCGCTGCAGCACGTCAGGCGGCACAAGGACTGCGGCGACATGAATTGTATGATCTCGGGTCGCAGCGGTATTGTTCTGGTCGCTCGCGCGGATCGCTGCGCGGCATTTGCACGGCTCTCCTGCGTGCTCACAGACAAGGCGGTCAGCTCTGCCGCGAGAGCCGCGTCGATGGGTCCTTGCATCGCTGCACCAGCAACCAGACTATTTAACGGAATTTCTGACAGCGTCTCGGCGCCGTCTGCCACCCGTAAGCGCTGTCTAATTAGTTTGCAATTACCGGGCTGTTGCTAGTGCCTTTAAGCCGCTACCCGACTATGTCTTAGAGCTTCGAAACTACCTCCTTGAAGAGGGCGTGCGGGAGGCCGAAGAGCGAGTTGAATAACTTGACCCTCGCCAAAAAAGTTGCCAAAGCGCCATCGTCGAGGAGTCGGACTTCGGCCGTCACGCGGCCGCGGATCGCGTAGCTCCGGAGGCGCGCGATGGCTCTGCGCGTCCGGGTGCCGTACACGAGGTTTTTGAGCGTGCGGAAATTTTCGTCGTGGGCTAAATTGGAGTCAAATTCCATATGCGCCAAAAGCTGCTCGGCTGACATCTCGCCAAGTAACGACCCGGCGCCAAGACCGGCGCAAATAACACGGTCCAAAGACGCACCAGCGCGGAGTAGGATGCGCGAGATTTTCAACGCAGCCTCGGTGTCGTAGACGGTGTAGGTGCCGTTGTCGTCAATTCTAACGTGACTGCTCGAGTGCATGGCGGACGCTAGTGGCTTCATATCATCCCCGTTATTGGTGTTGAGGTCGGCGGCACCAGCATCGAGGAGTAGTGAGACCAAAGCTGGCGACGCTCCACGATGCAAAAAAGTCGCGTTATGCAAAGGGGACTTCCCATCCGAGTTACGTATATTTACGTCCGCACCGCGAGCAATTAGCTGTCGAACCAGGTCGAGCTTGGCCGGTGTGACCGGGTTGCAAGCGAGATAAAAGAGCAGCGTGTGTCCGCTGATGTCGCCCCACGGCGCCTTCAAGGTGTAGGTAGCGTTTATGTTTTGCGTCTGCTCGATCCAATTCCTCACGACTTCCACGTCCTCCGCGGATCCTCTCTCGCTTCCACAGCGAGAGGCGGCGTCAATAATGTGCCTAGGCAGGCCCATTTGTGGGTCTTCATGGCTCGGGACGACCCGGTTCCGATCTGTCATATCGACGTACGAGATTTTCGCCCCCTCGCTTCGACTCTACAGGCAGAGCACGCCACTCACGCGTTGGTTAAGCCGCTTGGGCGCTTCCTAGTGTCTTACAGACGCTAGCTAGCAACTTGTTCGACTCTCGGGAGTCAAAGACCTGCTGGGGCCATAGTAGTTTTCCACCGTCCACCCAAACGACGCAGCACTGCAGCGCCGAGACGGCCAGGCGCGTGGAGACGCCTCCAAAAGAGCACAGCACAAATGGCCCAATTGGCCGCATGGCTGCTCCTAGGCTTCCTCTGCTCGTCGCAAGCGCTAAGCGGTGGCTTCGGCGCGCCAAAGGCAGCGAAAAGAAAGAAGAAAAAGCGACGCGCGCCCGCTGCGGCGCCAGCGCCTCCGCCGCCGCCGCCGCCGCGAGCTAAGCCAGCAGCCAAGGCTGGCGCTGTCGACGAGCTCGCCTCCTTGATGGCCTTGCAGTCCTCGCGCGCCGCCTACGAATCACGAATCGCCCAGCGGTGCGAGTCCATCGACCTCAAACCGGGCATCGATGGCGGTCTAGCGGTCATCGACGATCTGCTGGGCGCGGAGGCTTGTGCACAACTACGTAGAGAAGCTGAGCGCGTCCACGCGGACTTTGTGCCCGGAACTCTCGACGAGGCCGACGTCTCGAACACGCGAGCCGAGCTGATCCGGCCCGAGGACTTTGCGACGCGGCCGCGCATCGTGGGGCTGGCGCTGTCGCTCGCCGCGGCTCTGCGCGAGCCACTCATGAAACACCGCGGCGGCGTCGAGCTCACGTCGGACTGCGCGGCCAACATGCTCTCGGTCTACGCGGCGGGCGGCGCGTTCCCGGTCCACGTCGACAACCACGGCGGGCCCGACGATCGACGACTGTACGGCGCCATCTACTACATGAATCCCGACCTCGAAGAAGGCTCGGGTGGCCACTTCGTGCCGCACCGACGGAAGGAACGCGACGTGCTGCGGACGGCGGCCGACCTCGAGCCGCTCGAGCCCGTCGCCCCAAAGGGCGACCGCCTCATCATCTTTGAGGCCGACGCGCTGGCGCACGGCGTCGAGGCCTACCGCGACGCGGCCTACTGGAGGTACGCGCTGACGGTGTGGATCCTGGCCGCGGACAACGTCGCGGACCTCGACGCGGCGCGCCGTGACGAATGGCGGCCGCTCTCGCCGACGGCGACGCACTCGTCGATGGCGGACGCGGACCGGGCGTCTTCCTGAGGCGCCCTGGCGCAGCGGCTGGCGTCGCCGCTGCCCGTTTTTGTATTGTGTACTAAGAATCTTGTGTAGCAAACTTAAGAGGGTCGCGCCGTGTGTGCGTGCCCAGGCTACTGGCCGATCCCGAACACCTCGCCGTCAAGCTCCGCGAGCGACCGCGACGCCGCCGTGCGGTGTTCCGTGGCATACACTCTAGGCACCTCGAAGTGGTCGTGGAAGGACGGCGGGCGCGGCGGCCCATGTCGGCGCGGGCGATAAACCCGCTCACTCTCTTGCGAGAGGTCCATGCTCACGTGTCGGACGATCATCTCCTGCATCGTGGCGCCGCGGCTGTTCCTATGTATGTAGTTGCAGATCCCGACCGTGGGCGCCCCCGCGGACAGAAGAACGCCGAAGATTGCCGTGAAGCCTCGCGCAGCGGCTTCCTGCAAAACAGTTCGGCGCCCGGGACCTAACGGCCGATGGAAGAGGTGGAATCGAGGCTGCGCGAGGATCAGCTTGACGATCTGGAGGCGATGTTCGATGAAGTAGTCGTTGTCGTCGCGTGTCCGCAGAACGGTATCCAGGAGATCGTAGAGGTTGCCGTGCACTACTCCAAAATGAGCGACGGTGGAGTAATCTCTCTCGGCGTCGATTCGCGGGAGCAGCGCCGCGACGCGGCCGACCTCCAGCCTGATCACGGCGAACTCCAGAGCCACAAAGCCCTCGCGTAATTTGGCCGGGCCCTGGCTGCCTGGCGTGGCGTAGATGTCGTGCGCCGGGTCGTCGCGCCGGCTGAAGATTTCGAGGTGCGGCTCCCCGGCTTTCCGCGGGCCGCGGTCCACGAGTAGTTCGCCCACCGTGTAGTCGGAAGAACCGTTGAATGGGAAGAAGCCGCCCCCGCACGTCACGCACGTGCGGCCCGCCGCGTCTTTTATCGTGAATTGGTCCGCGACCTGCACGACGACGTGGCAGACTCGCATGTCCGGGTCACAAGTTGCGTCGAGCCGCCGCGCCGCCATCCTACCGTGGCCTAGGGAGTTCAGATTTAAAATCAATTTGACCGGGGTCTTCCTGAGCTCTAGGGCATTCGCGGCCATCTTTGATTGATTTCTGGGCCTCCGGGCGTCGGTGCCGGTCCTCTTGCCCGGGTGGCGTGTCTAATCGCGCGCGCGGGCGCGCGGATGCTGGCTAGTATCTTACTGCCGCTAGCTATGGCAGCAGCCGGCTTTTACACGCGCAAGCTGTGGAATTGCGCCCGCCCGCTCGGGCAGGCTCGTCAATTTGACATACTGAACCAGCCGAAGAGGCCGAACGCAGCGATGCTAGAACCCACAGACCACACAAGACCCCAGAGACCCCACACAGTCTACGCCGCCCTCCTGCTCATCCAGCTCAATTTCGCCATCGGCGCGGTCGCAGCCGCCTTAGCGCTGCCCAAGACGGAACCGCTGACTTTCGCACTGATCCGCGAAGTCTGCGCCGCATGTCTACTGACGGCCTACGCTTTGAAACAAGGCGAGCCGGCCGCCCCACCCCGCGGCAGCCGCGCATTGATGGCGCGCCTCGGCGCCTGCGCGTGCGCGACGCAGGTGCTGGCGATTGTAGGACTCAAACTCTCGGCGGACCCGACGGCGTTCGCGCTCTGGCAGCCCGCGCAGCCCGTGGTCGTCGCCGGCGTGTCAATACTGCTGCGCTGGGACCGGCCCGACGCGGGCCGCGTCGTTGGTGTGGTGCTGGCCGCTCTCGGATGCTACACGGCGGCAAAAACGCGCGGTGGCGCCGGTCTCGCCGCGCATGGCTGCTTTGCGTTGGCGGCTGCGGCCGGCGCGTCCTACCAGCTCGTCTCGAAGCCGGCGACGCGGCGCCACGCCCCCGTCGCCGTCGCAGCGTGGGCCTACAGCTACGCGGCCGTGGGAACGGCGTTGTCCGCGGCCGCGCTGTGGGCCTGCGGCATCTCGCTCTGTCCCGAGTGCTCGTCGTTCTACTCCGTGCCTCTGGAAGCGTGGCCCGCCCTCGCGTGGTGGATCATCTGCTCGACGTGCGTGAATTACGCCCTCATGATGTGGTGCGTGAAGCGGAGTAGCCCGACGCTCGTCTCGGCGGCGTCGGCGCTCCAGCCGCCGCTTGCGGCCGTTTGCGCCTTGATTGCCATCGCACTCAGCGGCGGCGCCGCGGCGTGTGGCGCTGGAGAGGGTCGCTGCGTCGCCGCGCCGACGGTTCGCGACGGCGTCGCGGCGTGCCTGATTGTGTGCGGCGTGCTGGCCGTCGCGCGGTCCGAGAAGAGCGCGGCGGCGACGGCGTCTCCTCCGGCGGAGTACGTCCGCGTGCCTGTGGAGGGTGTTGCGTGACGCGCCGCGGTGGCGTTCTTGTTGTAAGTAATGGCATGGGACGCGTATGTTGACGTTGGGCGACGGCGACGCGTTTCGCGGGCTAAATGAAATAATCGTCCGGCGGCATCGTTCATGACTCGCCGGTTTGGGGGAGGGGGATGTTGTAGTACGGCGGTGGCGCCTCAGAAGCTGAGCCGCGTGCGCTTGATGGGGCTGAGCGGCTCGTCGCCGTGGCGAAGCAGAGCTCCTTAGGGTCGGGCCGCGGCTTGACGTACTTCCGCGACGGCCGCAGCGTTTCGCGGGCGCAGAAAGCTGCTTGCGCGTCTCGATATTCGTCCCCAATATCCACTACGAGCGGATGCGCGCCACCGAGCACGCGCCGCGCGGTCCGTTCCGTGTCCTCGAGCGTCGTCACGGCCTCGCGGAGATCCTCGAGCGTGGCGTCGGTCGCAAGAAAGTGGTGCTCGTCGAGCCGGGGCACGTCGAGGAGCTTGGAAGATTTCCGAACGGCCACCCGCTCGCGGGGAGCGCGCGAGCCGACGTGGACCTCGACGTGCTCGACGATCTCGAGATTTTTGAGACGGTGATCGCGCCGGGCGACGTCCTCTACCTGCCGGCGAACTGGTGGCACCAGTTCGAGCAGCCGTTCGAGGACACGGGCGCCCTCAACTTCTGGACGCCTCCTAGGGACACCGAGGACCCGCGGCTCCAGCTCCGTCTCTTGTGGGACGGGCTCGAAAGGGAACTGGTGAACTTGTTCGGAAACCGCGCCGGATTCATGCACGAGCGCATGGCGACGGGCGAGGTCGAGCAGGACGCGCGGGCCGGCATAGGGACGATGGACGCGCGGCAGGCGTGGGGCGCGCTCGTCGCGCACGCGACCAAGTGGAAGGAGTGGTCCGACGGCTCGGACGAACGCTACGAGGAGGCGCTCGTCGCCGTCTACCTCACGGCCGGGCGAGGGCTCATCCCGCGCCGCGGCGACTGGCTGCCGGGGACGGCGTGGGACATGTCGGACCTGGCGCCGCTCTCCGTGGCGGAGCGGTGCGAGCCCGCGCCGGAGGACGCGACGTTCACGCACGTTTGTGGGTAACATGTCTCGTCCTTCACATCCTAGTGTGTTACAGGACGCTAGCTCGCATTTTGCGGCTGAACTTGCGTGGGACCGCTGTGGGTGATATTTTGCACCGTGCGATAGCGCACGCATCGCTCAGCGTGTGGCAGCTTCACTACTCGCATTGGTTCGTGCAGCGAGCGCACGGAGAACTGGCTATCAGCAACTGAGCAAACTGCAACCGGCGCGGCGGCGAACGACGCGCCCTCGCGGGCCACGGCACGTCCTCACTAGCGTCTGCACCGATGCGGGATTCGCCTGCTTGCACCTTGCGAGCTGTGTGGGACACCGCTCGTCGGCCTGACGCGCCAGTGCGGCGACCAAGACCTGCGCGGCGACGTCGCTCGCTGCAGCAGCTGCGAGGCGCGTTCATGGCCACGCCATCGTGCAGTCCGCGCCGCCGCCGCCGAGGAAATCGTGACCGCGGTCGTCCTACGCGCCTGCGGCTGCCTACGACTATAGGAGCCGGTCCAGGGCGGCGTCGCGCCGGAGCTCTACGCGTCGTTCGATGCCTGGACGGCCCGGCGAACTCTTCCGGTCGATCCGAGGACAAAATCCTTTGAGCGGCAGGCGGCCGGCCCATAACGCGGGAGTTGTGACATGTTGCCGGCGCAGAAGGTAACGCCAGTCGCTTATTGTAACGAGTGGCGTGACGCGAGGCTTCGCGCGTGACTGGGGCCCGCGGGTGGGTCGTCGGGACGGCCTCGGGCAAGGCCGCCGAGATCAGGGGTCGTGCCCGTGTTTTTTTATACGTTGGCGCAGCACCGGCGGTTGTTCCGGGACGCGAGCGTCGCACCGAGTCGCCCTACGTGGCGACGCCGTCGCCGCGAACTCGTGAAGATCCTGGACCGGCGGGTGTTGCCTCGCCGGCTGGCAGCCGCTCCTCGCCTCGCGCTCGACGAGGCGTCGCGCCATCGAGGTCCCTCTGTGTTGTGTAATTGGCAGGCGTGTGGCGCTGCGCGCTGCCAACGGTGGTGTGGGGGAACAGCGACGAACGGGGGGCGCGCCGGCCGTTTTGCGCCCGGCGGAGCCTAAGGACACCCCACCGAGTTTAGGGCGGGCCTAGGTGTCTCGATGGCTCGGTTGAACGCTCTTTCGCGCAGGGGCGAGCGTCGGGAAAGAAGGGAATGGCCCCGGGAATAAGCGGCCTCATCGTTGTGCTGCGGTGTCAAAGAGCGCAAATTCAACGCCAAATCGATCTCAAACGTAGCCGCCCGTGTCTCTACCGCTCAAGATATTTCGCCGCCGCCCTACGCCGCGAAAATCGGCGCGCAAATCCGCTCAGCGGGGGCGTAGCGGCGGCTATTGCCCGTGAGGTCTTCCGGCCTGCGCACCGCAGGAGCGCCCCCGCGCCGGCCCCCTCCGCCCGGCGCGGCGGCGCCCATGTACGCTTACGCCGCTCCGGCCTCGAGAGGCGCGACTGACGCGGTTTATCGCCCGTTCGCAGGCTATCGCCTCGTGCCGACGCGCCGACGACGTCGACGCGCCATGAGGCGCTTCCTCGCGTTCGCGCTCGCGGGCACGGCTCACGCCCTGCCCTCGCCAGCGCGCGCCCGCGTCGAAAATGGCCCTCGTCCTCGACCGGCTCCGGAGAGGTACCGCGGCCGGTCTCGCGACGCTCAACACGCACCACCCCGCCGCCGCAGGCGCGCAACCTGCCCCTTGTCGGGGCCACGATGAGCACCACCATACCTAGCGGCACGGACTCGGAAGCCACGCCAGGCGAGCTCGACGCGTTCGCGCAGAACTTCTTCGGCTTCGACTCGATGGCGGCGCTCTGGCAATTTAACTGGTGCCCCTGGCAACCTGCTCTCGAAGACGCATTCGCATACGTGGTCGCGACGTGGGAAGCCGAGTCACAAGCCGAGTTCCACTCGTGGTGCCTCAGTTGGCTACCAGACGCCGCCCTCCCCTTTCATTGGGCGGAATATCTCGGTGTGTCGTTCACGCCGTGGGACTCGGTCTGGGACGTCTTCACCTCGTGGTTCTACTCCTCCTCGCCCAGCGACAATGATATTAGCGGTGAGATGGTCGCGCTCGACCACGCGGGTGACCCCGTAGTGGGCTACGTCGTGGCCGTGAACCCCGATCGTCAAACGTGCGTCGTCCTTTTCGGAGATACTTCTGTGGGACGCGACGTGTCGGTGTGCAGCCTCATCGTATTGCCGACTGTCGCGTCGGAGCCGGTCGCCGACGCCGCCGCGCTTGGATCTTCCGAGGATCTCGAGACGACGCGGCGCTACCAGACGGTCGGAGAAACTTCTGTGGGACACGACGTGCCGTCGACCGGCCTCGTCGCGAAGCCGACTGCCGGCGCGTCGGGGCCGGCCGCCGACCGCGACGCGCCTGGATCTGCCGGAGATCCCAAGGAGACGCGCGGCGGCTGGACGCCTTGGATTTTTCGGGACGCGCCTTACCTGTTCTCGCGCGTGCGGCGCCTCATCGTAGATCCGGAGACGGGCGAACCGACCCGCGTTGTAGCCCACGGGCACGTTGAGGCCTACTTGCCGGCTTCTACGTCGAACTTCTATGATGACGACGGCAAGCCGGCGGCGCTGTGGCGCGTACGCTTCACGTCGAGCCCGATTAAGGGCGACTCAGAAGATCTGGAGCTGCATGAAGTAGAAGAAGCCCTCGTTACGCCGCAGAGCGTGAGCGCCGATACGGAATTTATCGTCCGCGCCGTGCGGCGCTTGGACCTGAACGACGAGGGCGCGGACGGCCGGGTCGGCGCCGTCGCTTCGCCGAACCTGGGCGAGGACGACGACCGCCTACGCGACGGCCACGACGCTGCTTTACAGGACACTTACACCGGCGCCGGCCACGGCCGCGCCCACGCTGGCGCCGCCGGCGCGGCGACGTCATCTCCGGGCGCAACCGACGCCGCGGCTTCAAACCTCCACCGCGCCGCCGCCGCCGCCGCGGGCACGGGTGCCTCGGACGCCATCGACGCCGACGCGGGCACGTGCGACGCCGACGCGTTCTGGTTCGCCAGAGCGATGGAGCCGGACGTCGACTGGTCCAGCTCCGCGTCTCTGCGCGCATTTGTTCTCAAGCATGACGTTTGGCCCTGCATGGGCCACCCGCTGCGAGAGCCCATGCTCGAGGCCATCGCGGCGCTCGAGGGCGTCAACCCCGACATCACCTTCAGCGATTCGGCCGCGCTCGTGCCGACCGTGGGCGCCGCCGAGGGCGTCGGCGTCACCGCGGCGATCGGCACCGCCGCGCGCTCGTGCTTGGATCTGGCGTACGGCGCGGCTTCCTGCTGCGCATCCGCGGCCTTCAGCTGCTGCTCCGCGGCTGTCAGCTACGTGTCCGACGCTTGTACGTGTTTCTTCGGCGTCTTGCCGAACGGCGCCGCGAAGACCGCAGTCGACGCGACACCTTCAGCCGACGGCGCCGCCGCGTCCGAGACGTCTTATCCTGGCGACGGCGGCGCGACCGCGGAGCCCGGCGCCGCTGTGACCGAGGCCGGCGGCGTCGACGGGCACCAACCGTTCCAGCCGCCCGAGGGCGAGGGCGACGAGTATTGCGAGACCCCGACGAAAGAACCTGCGGCGGCGGCGACGGAAGAACCTGCGGCGGCGAACGTCGCGACCGGCGACGTCGCGGAAGGTCGTGATCGGGCTCAAGCTGAAACTGAGGCCATCGCGGGCCTGACTACTCTGTCTTGCGGCGACGGCGCGCCCGCGATGCCCCACGATGGGTTTGTGTTTCAAACCGTCACGGAGCGCCCGCGACGGCCACGCCAGTCGCTCGCTCTCCCCGCGCCGCTGCCGCCCGTCGACGGCGCCGACGAGCTCCAGACGTCGTTCACGGCGTCGGACGACTGCGCCGACGAGCTCCAGTGTCCGGTCCTAGGTCAGTGCGTCGAGGTCTTGTGGGACCCCGACGGCAAGTACTACCGCTGCAAGTTCACGGCGTTCGACGGCAAGGACGTCACGATCCTCTATGACAATGGCGACGAGGAGACCGTCGCGCTCGCCGGCCTCGTGTACAACCCCCTCGATTCCCAGGCCGATGTCGACGGCGCCGCGTCGCCTTCTTCGGAAGAGTCCCAGGCGCTCGAGCGGTTCAGACTCCTCACGAAGGACGAAAAGTACGGACCGAAGAACCGCAAAGAGGTGGAAGAGCTCGCGAAGATCCAGCAGAAACTTGAATCGTTCCTCAACGACGAGAACTATCTCTTAGATGATCTGGACGGCTTCAAACTCGGGCTGTTATTCACGGGCGGCCGCTATAAGGTGCGGTGCGTCCCGGAGGGCGGCGGCGCGTTGGAACCTTATAAGGCAATTGTCGAGCGTCTGAGAGATGGTCCAAAGGTAAAGTCGTCGAAAGGTGTGGCCTTGTCGAAGCGCCCGGCCAGATTAGCTCATGTCCTCGAGGAGGCCGGAATGGACCCCGACACGGAGGTGACCAAGGATAACGCGGAGGAGATCCTCGCCGCGTTCGTCGAGGCGACGGGAGGGCCCCGCTTCGAGCACGAAGGCGATGATCTGTACCTTTTTGTGTCGCGTTGTGGCTATTTAACAATTCGTACGCCATTGCGCCCGTTGGCCTCCGCAAAAACCGATGATGATCTGGCTTATAGCTCCGGTCTGACGTGGTCCGAGTATTTTAGAGAAGCCAGGAGGAGAAGCGGCGATGCGCGGGTAGCCGCGGGCAAGCCGCGGTGGCCCCCCAGCGACAGCTGCGGCAAAGCTACAGAGGCCATCAAGTCCGACTTCGCGTGCGACCTAAAGGGAATGTGCGTCGCGGGCATGAAAGAGCAAGCCTATGATCGCCTGATGTCCTACCGAGGCACGGAGCCGAAGCCGCTCGACCAGCTCTCCGACCGCGGGCCCGAGGGAGCGATCAAATTCATCTGCAGGGCCGTTATTGATGGCGACACGATTGGGGCGAGCGACGCCGAAGGCCGAACCAGTGGCGGCCACTCCTACTACCACACGATGGCCGTCCTCGCGAGGCGTGCGAGTGACGTCGAACCGAAGCTCATAGTGAGGCTTTCGTCCGCCGACCTTCCGAGCGTCTGGTGCGAGGAAACCGAGCGCATGCAGCCTCAGGAGCTCGCCGTCGCGAAGGCGGGCGAGCTCGACGACGCCTTCTGCGACGTCGAAGCGGAGCTAGGTGCTGGAGGAGCCCTCGTTGCTTGGGGCGGCGGCGACCGGCGGTACCTCACGGAGCACATGTTGGGGCGCGACGAAGACGTCGTCATCGTCGATGCCATGTATGCCGTGCGCTGCATGCTCGGGATGACTGGCCGCGGCGAGTTCCCCACTACTCACGGGCTCGCCCTCGCCGGCGCCACCGATGCCTTCTCGACCAGCATTAAATTTCTCGGCGAGATATTGTGCCCGGCGGAGGGCCCCTTCGGCCACATCAACCGGGACGGCTTGCGGCACCACGACCCCGAGTACGACGCGGGCGTAGCCCTGGAGGCGACAATTGAGTGCGCTCGAGCGTACGTGCGGCGGTTGAATGGCGAGGCCTCGTGTGGCCCGTGGCCGCCGGTAGCCCCATTCACGCGCGACCCGGACAGCGCGTACTCGCGGAGGCTCACTCGCGAGCGCGAGGACAGAGCACTTGTGCGCGCGGCCACGGCTGCTGCTGGCGCCGGCGCCCCGGCCGCGCCGTTGACGAAGGACGAGGTCGAGAGCCCGTCGTTCACCGTCGCGAAGCTGAGAGCGGCGCTCGCGGCCCGCGACCTGCCGACGGACGGCCTGATGGCCGAACTCCGGGCGCGGCTCCTGGAAGCCCTCGAAGAGGACGAGGTGAGTTGCAGCGTCCAAACTTCGCGCAGCGCCTCCAACCCATCGACGCCGTAGGTGGCCGAGGGCGACGCTGCGCCCGCCGCGGCGCCCGCCGCGGCTACAGTGGCCGAGGGCGACGCTGCGCCCGCCGCGGCGCCCGCCGCGGCGTCCGCCGCGGCGCCCGGCCAGGAGGTCGCCGAGGCCGCGGCCGATCTCGTCGTGGCCGGCCACAACGAGGAGGTGAGTCGCCGGCGTCCAAAACTTTGCCTCGACCTCCACCCATCGACGCCGTAGGTGTCCGAGGACGACGTCGAGAACTTCGAGCCCTACGAGTCCGAGTCGGACGACAGCACGGAGGAGGAGGTCGGCCAAGGCATCGTCGGCGACCGCGTCGAGGTCGTGTGGGACGGCGACGGCAAGTACTACCCCGGCGTGATCACGGCGTGCGACGGCGAGGAGGCCACGATCCTCTACGACAACGGCGAAGAGGAGACTGTCGCGCTCGCCGGCCTCGTGTTCAACTTCCTCTAGACGCAGCCGGGGCGTCTCCCTTCCCTTTCCCCTTTTCGTCTTTCCTCCTCCCCCCGCTTATAAAGGGTTTCGCGTGAGGGTTTCGTCGCGGTGCCGGGGCTAGCTCGAGAGCGCTGCGCGGCCCTGGAGGCGGCCAACCTGGCGGACTGGTGCGCCGCGCGCCCGAGGATTTTGTTTTTGTTTGCGGCCGCACTTGCGTGCGGCCTGTATTGCTACCTGGGCGGCGTGTTTTTTTTCTTTTTGTTCATCGCTTGTCCGCGGCAGCACTGCGAGGTCTTCGCTACGTTAGAGCGCATGTCTGCGAAGCACACGCCCGATCCCCGAGGACGGCGGCGGCGTGCTACCGCGTAGCCGTTCGTCGACAGCCGGCACAGTTTTCGTGTCGAGGACCCGCCCGCGCACTTGGATGAGCCGGCGCTCGTGTCAATTGGTTACTGGCCCTCGCAAGCCAGGCACGGTTTCGCAGGCGGCGATGCGCGGTTTGAGCTGCCGCGTCGAAAGCGAGACTGTCAGGTGCCTTTCGTTTGTGTAACCGCGTGCGCGAGGTCGGCGCGCGTGCAAAACACCGGGCCTCTGCCGGCGAGGGATGCCTAGTGTCTTACCGCCGCTAGCGGCTGACTAAAAGGGCTGAAGTGCGTGGGCTGTGGGTGACATCTTGCACCCGTGCAAGGCGCACACATCGTTCAGCGACCTCACTGCTGCAACCGAGCGCCGCAGCGATTTAGAATTAGTAAGCGCTGCGCATAACAGACGTCAAGATGACGAGGTGGCACGCACTGCTCCTAACATGCGCATGCGCCGCGGCCTTCGCGCCGACGCCGCCGCCGCGCGCGCCCCGACAGACGAAGGTCTACTTCTTCGACAAGCTCGCCGAGTCCATCAAGGGCGCCACGGACCTGCTGAGCGGCAAGAGCCGCATGACCGAGGCGAACACGAAGGGCGCGCTGCGGGACATCCGACGCGCGCTGCTCGACGCCGACGTGAGCAAAGTTGTGGTAGACGACCTCGTCGAGCGCGTGACCAAGAACGCGCTCGGCGGCGAAGTCACCGAGGGCGTCGACCCCTCCCAGCAGTTCGTGAAGATTGTCTATGATGAGTTGAAGCGCGCCATGGGCGGCGACGACGAGGCCCTCATGTCCGGCGGCGAGGGCGAGCAGTCCGTCCGGGCCGAGCTCGAATATAGGGAGGACGGCAAGCCCACCGTGGTGTTGCTTTGTGGGTTACAAGGCGCCGGTAAGACGACGGCCGCGGCGAAGTTGGCCTTGCGGTTGCAGCAGGAGGAGGGCCGCAAGCCGCTGCTGGTCGCGGCCGACGTCTACCGGCCCGCGGCCGTCGAGCAGCTCAAATTGCTGGGCGAGCAGGTCGGCGTCCCGGTCTACGCCGAGGACTTCGAGCCGGGGCAGGGCAACGCCGTGGCCATCGCCGAGCGGGGCCTCAAGGAGGCGCAGGCGAGAGATGATGTGGACGTGGTCGTCGTGGACACGGCGGGGCGGCAGGTCATCGAGGCGGACCTGATGCGGGAACTCCGGGACGTCCGGCAGGTGACGCAGCCCGACGAGACGCTGCTCGTGCTGGACGCGATGACGGGCCAGGCCGCCGCGGGCGTGGCGAAGCAGTTCGACGACGCCGTGCCGCTGACCGGCGCCGTGCTGACGAAGTTGGATGGTGACGCGCGGGGCGGCGCGGCGTTGTCGGTGCGGGCGGTTTGTGGGAGACCGATCAAGTACGTCGGCGTCGGGGAAAGGGTTCAAGATTTAGAACCGTTCTTCCCGGCGCGCATGGCGAGCCGCATCCTCGGCATGGGCGACGTCGTGTCGCTCGTGGAAAAGGCGGAGCGCCTCCAGTCCAAAGACGACGCCGCGTCGCAGATGGAGCGCATCGTCGCGGGCAAGGCGACGTTTGACGACTTCCTCGAACAGACGAAGATGATGGCGAGCATGGGCAATTTACAAAATGTGGCCAAGATGATGCCCGGGATGGGCGGCCTCGACGCTGGTAAATTGTCGGAGGCCGAGGCGCGCATCAAAATTCAGGAGTCCCTCATCATGTCGATGACGCCCGCGGAGCGCCGCGACCCCGACCTCGTCATCCGCTCGAAAAGCGCCCTGTCGCGGCAGCGGCGCATCGCGCGCGGCGCCGGCCGCGACGCCGACGCGTCGCGGCGCTTCGTCAGCGAGTTCCAGCAGATGCGCACGATGATGCAGAAGATGGCCGCGGGCCAGAACCCCAACGCGCCACCAGGCCCTGAAGATGGCCCGGCGCTGAACCGCGCGGCGCGGCGGACGAAGAAGAAGAAGTCCAAAAAGAAGAAGCTGACCGCTGGGTTTGGCTAAGGACATGTGTTACATACTAGAGGTACATGCGGCGACGACGGCGCGTCGAGTAGGCTTGACAATGTGTTACATATACATTTGGGCTACGGCCGTGCGTCGGTGGGGTTGTGGTGGCGCGTCGACGGCGTTGTGATGGGGGCGCGTCGATGGAGTTGGGGTGGTGGATCGCGCGCGGGGGAAAATCTCAAAACAGCGCGAGCTGGAAGATGCCGCACGAGTGCTGCCGTGGCGCTGCCATGGCGAAAACGCGGATGCGTACGGTCACCGCATCGACGCCGCTACCGGGTAGTGCGAACTCCTGGAGCTCGGCGCGGTCGAGGGTCTCCGCGCGTAAGATCCCGTAGTGCAATTTCCCGTCCACGCCACAGCAGCACACGTCGAAGTTTCTGGCGGAGAGGGGGCCGTAGGGGAGCGGTGGGATCTTCATCTTCACGCCAGCGACGCGACGGGGAAGCCCGTCGCTGGACGTGGCGAGCTCGACCCACTCGTGTTCGAACTGCTCCTTGAATGTCGAGATCCACCACGTGTCGTCTCTTGGCGACAGCAGCTCCGACAGCGGGAAGTCGCCGCGATTCGACGACGCAGCGCGCACGGACACCTCGCTCATATGTACTCGCTGCACGTAGAGGAACCGCAGCGCGTACCGCGCGAGCTCCTTGGGCAGCCCGCGGCCGTGCAGCAGCGTCAGCAGCAGTGCTCCGTCTTTTTCTCGCACGTCGACGCCGAGGGCCAGCGGCTGCTTGCGCGGCGACAGGCGTCGAAGCGCTGCGGTCGGCAGCACCATCGGGTCCAAGCCGTGCAGAGCGACGGCCACGCCCTGGTCCGGCGGGTGTACCCAGACCGTCGTCTCCGTCGTCCGCGGCACGACTATCCCGCAGTGGTGTTTCAAGTTTCGCGGCGGCTGGTCCTCGTAAAAGTCGTTCACTACTTCCACCAGTTCGCCGTCCTGGAATTCATCGTGGTTCCGGCGCCAGGTGGATGTGGAGCTTGCAGAGTCTGTGGAGCCCGTCGAGGTGCGCATCGTTGATGTGGTTGTTCTGCCGACTGCGTGTCTCACGAAGTGTGAGTGGCACTGAGTGCAGTTGAGTGTGTGCTCTCCTTGAGTGCAAAGCGAGAATCGCGAGCCAGGAATGCAGCAAGCGCAAAAGTGGTATAGATAGAGACGTTCGGAGCTGTTTATGGGTCGCGCTGTTCAGCACCACGCGAGTACGAGGCCCTGTGGTGGTGCACTGGACAGCTCGAACTCTAGAGTGTTAGTATATAGCTGCCGCGATCGAAGCCGGCCAAGCGACGTATCGCTCGGTCCAAGAGAACGTACTACAGAAAATCGAGCCGGAAAACGCGCGGCGCCGGGACCTGGCGCCGGCGCGGCAGACGAGGCAGACGACCTCGGATCGAAAAAAAAAACGAAACGCGCGAGTAAAACCAAAAACCACCGCGGACTATGCTGCATCGTTCCACAAAAAACAAAGCACGAGCACGAGCACGTTGTCCATCGTGCGCTCCTTGCGCGCCTTGGCGACGCAGGCCGCCGCCGCCTCCTCGCACAGCGCCACGGACGGCGTGCCGTCGCCCAGCACCTTGTTCACGCAGGTCACGGCCTCCTGGTCGCTCACGACGTCCCAGAGCCCGTCCGTCGCCAGGATCGCGAAGCGGTCGCCCCGCGTCAGCGCCCGGCACGTCACGTCCGGGTGCGGCGACACGAGGCCCGGGTGGCGCTTGCAGACCGCGTCCCCCAGCGTGCGCGACGTCGCGAGCATGAGCGGGCAGTCCGGGTGCACGACGCGCGCGCAGGCGCCCCGGATCTCGACCGCGCCGCCCGCGTTCTGGACGCGCCGCGCCTCGTTCACGAGCTCCGGCTTATGATCTGTGGTGCAGCGCGTCGCCTTGGGTCGCTTCCGCGAGCCGCCGCCAATGACGCAGCGCGAGTCGCCGACGTTCGCCGTCGTGAAGTTCGTCCCCTCGACGACGGCGCGCAGGCCGTCGTGCCGCCCTTGATCCCGACGTGATGATGCCCCTCCGTCTTGTGGAAGGCATCTAGTAATCTCCGTCGCAGCGCGCCGGTCCCGGCGACGTGCGTGTGCAGGTTCGAGGCCGCGTAGGCCGCCGCCTTCGAGCCGGCGTGGCCATCGTATACACCCGCGAACGTCGCGCCGTCGCTCAGCACGCAGCCGATGCAGCGATCCTCCTGCGTCCGCTTGCGCCCGACCCACTCGGCGACGCCCCAGGCGAGCGCCAGGGGCCCGTGGCTGCTGCCGCGCTTCTGGCGCCGTCGGGCTATACGCGCTCGGCTCCTCGTCGTCCGAGTCCATCCAGTCCCGTATGCGCTTATCGTGGCGGCTCAGGAAGCCGCCCATAATTGCTCCCTCGGCGCGACGCGGGCGCGTCCTCAAGCCGCGCGCGTCGGCGGCGGAGCAGTCTGTAATGAAGTCGAAGGCGGTGCTTCGCGTCGGCGCCGCCGCGGGCAGCCGCGTGCGCGCGTGCGAGGCCGCAGGCGGCACCTGGGTTCTCGCTGCGGGCCCGCTTTGCTGCGGGCTGCGTGCGGCTGGAAGCGTGTGCCACTGCCAAACAACAACGCACAAAAACTGGTGTCCGATGGCGGGGCGTGACCGCGTGAAGCTCAGGTGTCTCGAGCATGATCCCCAGGGTTCCGGCGATACCCAGTGTCTAGCATGATGCGCCGGTGTCTGGCCCGCGGCAATCTCCCCAGCGCACGAGGTACAACAACAAACACCCTAAACTCACACCGACCGTGCTCCGCCACCACGTCGCGTAGAGCGGGTCCGGCACGCAGGCCGCCTCGGCGCCGACGACGCACCGCTTCGCGAAGACGACACCCGTCCGAGTCCGGCGCGGACGGTGCGCGCGTACTGGTACGCAGAGCGCGCTGGAGGAGGAAGATGAACCGGGCTCGCCGTCCCTCAATCCGACGCGCCCGTCGTCCGCCTGCAGCGCCGTCAGCGTCTTCGGGAAGTCGACTCTAATAAAGACCGTCACCTGGCAGCGTTGTGTGTCGTTCGAAGACGGGCAGGCCCTCGTCTCTTAGGGACAGCGTGGAAGGAGCTGAAGGCGACGCGCCGGTGCTCCACGAGGCCGCTCTCCACTTAAGCCCGTTAGTTTCCGGTCGAAGCCCAGCAACGCGTCCAACAACCCGACGGACGTTGCAGTACAAATTCTCCGGCGCCGCTTCTGATCTAGAGAACACGGGGTGCTGCGCGACCGTCACGACCAGGATCAGGTCGCCCGTCGCGCGCTGCGGGTGCTCATCCCCCAGGCCCTTGAAGGTGATCTCGTGGCCGTCCGGCGCACCTGGTGGTATTTCGACCCTGACTTCCCTTCGGACGTCGACGTAGCCCGCGCCGTCGCAGGCCCCGCACGCCGCGCCCCGATTATATCCAGTGCCGCCGCAGGCGCCGCAGCGCGTCGTCACCGCCTGGCGGAAGAAGCGTCTGGAGTTTCTCCAGTTTAGCCCCGCGGAGACGTGCGCCGCCGCGCCCGTGCCCTCGCAGAGGCCGCAGGTCTCCCTCGACTCAGATTCCGCGGCCCCCGTGCCCGCGCAAGTTTCACATTTCTGGCGCCGCGCGAGCGTCAGCGTGCGGTTGACGCCCGTGAGGAGCTCGGCCAGCGCCACGACCACGGCACGCAGCGTCGCCTCGACGGGCCGCACGCCGCTGCCGGAGTACCTGAAGCGGAAGGCGCCTCTCCTAAACCGCGCGTCGACGCCGAGGGGCGTCTCCGTGATCTTCGGCGGCCCGCGCTCGGCCTCGCGCCGCTCCCGCGCCTCGCGCGCCTCGTCGCCCTCCTCGCTCATGCCCGTGTCGTCGTACGTTTGGCGCCGCACCGGGTCCGTGAGCACCTCGTGCGCGAGGGCGAGCTCGACGAACGCCGCCGTCGCCCGCTCGCGCGCGGCGTCCGACGTGTCCGGCGGCAGCTTGTCCGGATGGATTTCAGCGGCCATTGAGCGGTAGGCCTTCTTGATCTCCGCCGTCGTGGCGTCGCGCGGCACGCCGAGGACCTCATAGAGGTCAGTAGTGGCCGCGCCTGCCAGGAGGACGAGGCCGCACAGCATGATGCTACGGCCCAGCAGCAGCCGCATGGTGCTACGGATGGGTTGAGAGCATCAGTGCTACGGATGGGTTGAGGGCATCATACGAGAGCGTGGGGCAGCCATGCGGCCATTCGTGTGGCCTAATTGGCAGCTTTTTTGGGGCTGCGCGAAATGCGCTGCTAGCGGGCTGTAAGACACTAGGATGCACAAACGCGACATGCAGCCGTTTGAGTATCGTTCGGTTCGCTACGGGTCCAAAGCCACATCACGCGGGACTTACTGGGGGGCGAAAAAATTAATTTTTTTAATTCGCGCTATTGACGACGCCACCAAGGCGGGCGCGTCGGTGGAATCCTGTCGATTGGCGGCCCAGAAGCCTTCCGGAAGTCGTTTTGGGTCGGTACTAGACATGTGCAATCGCCTACGCCGCCTACGCCGCCGCTTCCAAATTAACATACATCTCCCGGCGCTATACCTCTATTTCCCATGATCCCCAAAGTTTTGGATCCAGAGCTCCCCGGAGAGCTCCAAGCTCTCGCGCATGCGGCGTAGGCGACTACCCGACCCGATACCTATCCCAGAGGGCGTCCGCGAGCCGACACACATCCGAAAAAAGTAAACAATTTGGGCCCGATGGCGCCCCGTTCCCGTCAAAAACGTCAATTACCCGAGGGCCCCCAGTAGTCGCCGTGGCGGTCTCGTCGGACCCCATACTACCCCACCGATAGTCAACTACAAGTATATGGCATCTACACCACGAGAAGGGTACTTTTTGCTGCCCACGCTCGGGACGTGAACATCTTTATCTGGAGCTCGCGTAAGTCCGTCGGTCATGAAACAAATGATCGCATTATGGTCCATGGTCAAGGTAGACGGGCTGATGGTCGCAGGTCCAGGCCTCGAGCCAAATGAACCAGATAGTGGGCTCTCGGGATGGCCGAGCCGCGCGGAGCATCGTGGGGTTTCGAGCAATGTGGTACACGTCCAGGCCGGTCATCTGGCCCGTCCCACTACTAAAGTGCCTGAAATGCAAATTTATTTTACAAACCACCGGTCTGGGGCCTTTTTGGTGCTCCGTCTCCGCACCGTCGTCCGCGGAGAACGGGCAAGTCGGTCGATCGTAAATAGAACAACGGCGTTATGGTCCATCTGGATAGTGTCGTCGCTGATACTCGCAGGTCTAGGATCTGCGCCTGTTATTGTAAAAACGTGGGGTCGCGAAGACGACGAATCGCGCGGCTTTAACGGAGTACATGATCATGCTCACTGTCGCTGAGGCGGCCTAGACGGACTCTACCACTAACAAACGGAAGGAAACGAACATAAACGCGAGAGTTATCTAGTAGAATTCTTCTCCCGCCCTCCGAGCGCGGGCCGTCGGCTCCGGTTCCGTCGATTATGTATGAAAACTGGGCTGGAGTTGATATAATGTCCCGTTTGGACGGTAGATGGCGGCGTCAATCGCTGGTCTACTTTGGCAACTCGTAAGACTCATCTGTGAATGTCGCGGGCGGCGCCTTCCGGGAGGCGCGAGGGTATGTTCCCGGGCGGCTACTCTGGAATATTTGGTCTCGGCGAACGACTAGGATGTATTCTAAATTTGGGTCATTCTTTTGACGCTATCGAGGCGTATCTTTGAATTTGCTAGTATGTTGTTTACGCTAGCTTTGCTTGCAGGCTTTTTGGCACAGTACTTTGTCTCCTGCGATCGTACTGTAATCGTCTCATCAATCGCTGTGCTGCGGAGAAGAGGAATCTAGATCATCTAATTTACCGGGCTCCCCCTGGTAGTGCCCAGCTAGCTGCTCGGGAGGTAGACACACGAACGCCCGGCGCACCGACGACAATGGCGGAATGCCAAGGTTGCTTGTGTTTTCAGTGCGTGACGACGTCGGAGATAGGCATTATCGAACGCTGCGGCAGATATGAACGGCTGGCGCCGCCCGGATTGCGATGTGTCTGTTGGCCGCTAGAGACAGTAGCGGGACGCATTAGCCGACGGATCCAGCAGTTGGACGTAGCCTGCGAAACAAAGACAAGTGATAACGTATTTCTAAACGTGATCATATCCGTACAGTACAAAGTCAAAGAAGAATATGTATATGAGGCGTTTCGTGCTCAATGATCCATCGGAGCAGATCAAGAGCTATGTGTATGATGTAGTGCGGTCGACCTTGCCCTTGTTGACGCTCGATAAAGCGTTTGAATCGAAGGAAATGGTGGCCCAATCCGTTAAGAGGGAATTATCAGGTGTTATGAGCGAGTACGGATTCGTCATACACAATGCCCTGGTAACTGATATTTCGCCCGACGGTCGGGTCAAGGCTGCCATGAACGAAATTAATGCCTCGAAGCGCCTCAAGGAAGCTGCTTTCGAAAAAGCGGAGGGCGAGAAAATATTGCTGGTGAAATCCGCAGAGGCCCAAGCTGAAAGCAAATATCTATCTGGTGTCGGCGTAGCGCGCCAACGAAAAGCGATCGTCGATGGCCTGCGGGATTCGATATCGCAGTTCTCTGGTAATGTCAAAGGGTCGACACAAAGGGATCGATGATCGATCTCTCTCCTGACTTTTTTACGACTGTTGGTTAGGTGGGAACTCAGCGCGGTACACGTGCAGTCTTCCTCCCAAGAAAGAAGAAGTCCCAGATTAGTGCTTTTCGCGACGGGTTGTTGCAGGCGCAGGCGGGGAGAAATTAGTACTGATTTGTTTATTTAATTTACACGGGGCTCGGGTCTCGGGAGACGGGATTTTCTTGGGTGTCTGCGAGTACCTCAGGAGACGGGGACGGCCCTCGAGCTGTGGCAGGACCGGGCGCCTCCAGCGTGCCTGGCACGTGTGAGGGCGAGGACGACGACGACGACTCCTCGCGCGGACCTTTGGTCGCGCAAGACCTGTCGTCGTCGCCCTCAGACGAATTCACCGTGGAGTCGGAAGACACCACCGGCGGCGCCGCGGGCGGCGCCGCGGCGCGGCGCTTCGAGCCGCGCCCTTTGCGAGGCACGACGACCTCGCCCCGCTTTGGCGGCGCAGGAAGGTTGCAGCTTCGCGGCGCCATTTGGACAGAGTCGCGACGGCCCTATCAAAGCGGCGATTGTGCGTCGCCGCCTCGACGAGGGCCCGGTCGTCGACGTCGACGCGCGCGAGCTGGTCCACCGTGCGGATGCCGATGGCTGCTAACCGAGCCACCTTCTTGGGGCCCAGGCCCGCAATGTGGCCCGGTCGAGCGGCGTCTCGGCGGCGGCGGCAGCCGCGCGCGCGCGCCGCCCGCGCGCCGTCGAAGAGCTGGGGCACGCCGAGCGCCACGGGCCCGCCGAAGACGCGGCCCTCGGCGACCACCTCGTAGCCGCTGCCAGTGGACCGGAGCACGGGCGTGGAATCGGGCGCGACCTGCTGGCGGCGCGGCGGCGGCGCGGGCGCCGCGTCGCGCTCCAAGAGGCCGCTGAGGAAATCTAAAGCGCGTCGTCCGTCGGGTCCGCGGCCTCGGCGAAGACAGCGTTCCGCGTCGTCGTGATGACCTCGCGGCCCGTCGCCGGGTCCACCGACGCGCAGGCCGGGTCCTTCAGGGCGTAGCGCGGCGCCGTCGCGCGCTGGAGCCCGAGCCGCCGCTTGCTTTGCTTCTCGGGCGGCAGGACCTGGTCGGCATCGTCGACGATGGACAGGGAACACGGCAGGTCGTAGACCGAACCGTCGAGCGACGTGCGCTGCGACGCGGCCGACGAGTCCATGCCCGAGCGCCGCGAGCCCACGCTGCGCCGCGACCCGTCCATCTGCGTCGACCGATCCAACGCCATGGTTGCCTTGGGCACGGCGAGGACCGGCACCGCTCGCACCACGTTCTCGGAGTCGGCGCCGCGACCGCCGTCCATCTCGCCGTCGCGCGCGCGCGCCACAGCGCGCGCGCGAGCCGTCCATCTCGGCGTCGCCGATCTCGGGCGCGAAGCGCGCCGACCGCGCCGAGCGATCCAGCGCCATCGTCGCCTTGGGCACCGCGAGCACGGGCACCGCCCGGTCCGTGTTCTTGGGCGAGAGGGGCCCGACCCGTCCATGCCCTTCCGCCCGGATCCGTCCATCTCAATGTCCACGGACCCGCCGCCGCCGCGCGTGGGGCACGCGGGCGACCGGGGCGCCTGCGCGACGAACGCCGCCGCGCGCGGCGCGAGGACGTCCTGCGCGTCGCGCCGAGGAAGGCCGAGGGCGCTGGCGCGATGTTCGGGTCCGCGACCGCGTCCGCCTGGTCGAAGGCGCGCTTGTAGAAGGCCGCCGCGAAGAGCGCGGCCCCGGCGTCCGAGCAGTCCGTGCGCCAGCCGACGGCCGCGACGCCGGCTTCCGCGAGCGCGGCGGCCAGCCCCGCGCTCCGGCACCCGTTGCAGAAGACGGCCTCGATGTTGCGGCGGTACGTCGCGACCAACGACACCACTTTTTCCGTCGGCACCATCGCCTTTTGCGGGTCCTCCAAGTGGAGTTCGGTGGCGTGGCCGGCGACGTGGAGCCAGACGCGCGGCCGCGCGCCGCAGGGGAAGTCGTCGCGCCGCCACGACGTCGCCCGCTTGAGGGCCTCGCCGAGCGTCTCCAGGGACACGCACTCGACGACGCGCGCGGCCGCCTTGCGGGCGCACGCGCGCACGGCGTCCAGCTCCCCGTCGAGGTTGGGCAGGTCGTCCGAACTGCCCCGCACGATCAAGACGACGCGCGGCCGCGCCACGTCGAAGGGCTCGACGTCGCGCGCGCCGAGGTGGCCGACCTGGTGCGACGCCCAGAACTTCTTGTAGAGGCTGCCGTCCATCTTCTCGAAGGACTCGTCGATCCTGGGCGTCTTGCGCCGGCGGCCCAGCGCGCGGCGGAGGCTCCGCGCTAACTTGCTTCGATAGTACGCGGCGAGCGCGACACACAGCACGAGCGTGGTCCACATGGCGACGCACCGCGCGATGAGGCCCGGGCCGCGGCCGACGACGCAGAGCGGGCAGGGGAACTTCGTGCACATGCTCGCTTGGGTGTTTGGTTCGTTTCTTTGAGCTTGGTTGTTATGGGGGTGCTCGGGCTGCCCCACGCCCTTTTCGGTGCGCTTCTTTTTGCTCGCGACCCAGGGCGGTTCGTTGGTGGCTCAGGCGCCACGCCCTCCGTCGGGGGTGGCCGCGCTGGGCCGCGCTTAGCGAAAGCGACTGCTTCAGCGCTTGCCAATCTCCCGTCTTGAAATGCACTAGCCTCGAGGCAGCAGCGCTCGTCGCAGCGATGGCTGCGGCCTTCGCGGAGGAGATTCCCCGAGGAAGGGGCCTTCAATTTGTTGCGGGTTTTTGCGAGATTTTGGCTTGATTGCATTTGCAGTATTGCCGCAGCTATAGGTGCCGTCTGTGCGGTTTGTGCACGCCTTCATTGCCTATACATAAAGCTCATCGCGCTGCGTTGCTTGCTGCATTAGCATTTTTGCTGCAAACACCTTGCTGCATTGCACACGCTGCATTTTGCACCTACTTGCGCTCATTCCTCGCTTGCGCGCATCCCTCGCACCCATGCAGCAGCCGCGCACAATCGCACTGCTGGTCGCAACGCTGCTGCATGTCGCCAGCGCGCACCCCTGCGACGCCGAGGCGATGAAGGCCTGCCCGTTCGACGGCGGCAAAGCGCTGGGCGTCTGCCTGAACGACCCGTCGAAGCACGAGGAGAAGGTCGAGATCTCGGCCGAGTGCGCGGATTTTATGAAGTTGCACGAGACGTGCAGCGCCGAGTTCGCTGGGCGTGCGTGTGGCGGGTCCGCCTTCACCGACGACGCCCTGCTGTGCCTCACGTCGTGGATGAACCCGGCGGACGCCCCGAGGCCTGCGCGGCGGCGCTGCCCGCCAAGGAGGAGGCCAAGGAGGAGGAGGAGGTCGACGAGGCGACTCTACTGAAGCGCGCGCGACGGAAGCACGCGCGCAAAAAGGCGGCCGAGCAGGTCCGCAAGCTCAACGAGAAGAACGACAAGAGCGCCAAGCCCAAGAAGAAGGCGAAGAAACGGAAGTCTTAGTAGCGGCGGCTACGGCGACGACCTCTAGGCTAGACTTAAAATCGACCGCAAGTTATAAATGTCATCGCCTTATGAACGAGTCACATGCTTAGTCGCCGCGACGGCGTTCGCCCGCGTCCTCACGCGCATTCGCCGCCGCACGTCCACCTGCGGGCCTAACAAAGGTGTCGTGTCTTTTACGCGTCGGCGCGCGAAATGATTGCATGACAATATTTACGTTGCGCGGGAGTTTGCAATTGCTCCCGAGAGGCGTGTTCGAGTGACTCTGCTGGCCTCTGAGATACCCGCCTGGGCGCATGTTGCTAGATGCTAGCACTCTAGTAACTGCTCTCAAACCTGAGGGTGAGCCACGGCGTCGTCGCACCCGGCGTGACTGTCCGAATGGCAGCACGCCGGCGCACCGGCGCCCTTGCTGCGTTACGCCCCAAGAGCAGGCGCGTCCCGCGGCGGCGACGTGACTTATTTGCTGCCCCACCATCCCCAGCACCCCCAGCTGCGTTTCTGGGAGCCGCGTACTGGGGCGGTGACAGACGGCGAGACGAATGGACATACGTTACGTTGGATACGAACCGCACCGCGAATTACGATCGGTCGGGACGCGCTTTGTTGGCCGCGCGATAGTCGGCGGCCCGTCGCCGCGTCGCCGCGCCATCATTCTTTGACGGCGCCGGCGCTCGTAATCTTTCGTATGATGTGATGTTGATTGTTCTGTACATATTATTATTGAGGCTGGGACTCGCGGTTGGAAACCTGTTTTAGTGTGCTCTGGGAGCACATTTGAACTGAGGGAGGCTAGCACTCCGCGTAGCGCTCTACCGCCTCTCAAGTTCTACTCCGCGTTAGCTCTCACTGCAGCGACACCGCGCGCCGCGAAACCTTTGCTCAAAGGGCACCGCCAGGCCCTCAATAGAGCCCAGTCTTTGGGAGGCTGAAAAGCAGCCTAGCTGCCGCCACGCGAGCCGACGGCGCGACAACACCTAACGCGGTACGTGCCCGAGACCTTCGCGGACGCCGCCACGCGCTTCTCCTACGTAACCGACGCTTGCAAACCAAACGCTACGTATTCCGATGCCGTCGCGGAAACAGGAACCGATTCCATGCACCGTCCTCCCCGAGTTCTATGGGAATGTCTATGAGGTCAACCTCAGCGGGAACCGCGGCGAGGACGGCGTCGTCATCAAACCGGACAAAGGGAAGCTCTGGGACGTGTCGATGGAAGTCCTGGACGTTGATGAGGCCGAGGCTCTACTAGACTCGGTCCCGAAGATCCGCGAGGTCCGAGACCTCGCCCGCGCGGCGCTGGCGCCCTACAAAGAGCACGACCCGGACATGCGAAAAAAGGGCGGCTCCGGCACGATCGGGCTGACGTGGAGCCTGCAGAGGAACCGGCGGGGCGTGCCGAAGCTGACGCAGCTCTACTTCTTCCAGAAGAAGCTGGGCATTGTAGTGAGTGAGGACTACGCCGGCTCCTTCCGCATAGAACCCGTCATGGACGCCTTCTTTGCCGAGGACGCCGAGGTCTACCAGCTCGATTTAGAGGTCACACAATGCCCACTCACGCACAAGGCCGAGGGCGTGGCGTGGTGGAGCGGAGTGACGTACTTCGGGGCCGCGGAGAGCCATTTGATCCAGCAGATGCCGATCGCGCGCGTGCCGTCCTACGGCCTCACGATAGCCCAGCGGGCCGTTATTGAGAGGCTCGTCGAGGAGAACCCGCAGCACGGGCTGCGGTGGCTGCTGCGTGCTGACGGCGGCACGGAGTTCGAGGTGGGGGTCTCGAACCTCGGGAAAATGACGCCGGAGGCCGCCGCGGCACACCTGCGGTACGTGGCTCAGCGTCGAATTGGCGCCTTCAGATCGACCTCACGGTTACCAAACTCACCGGTCGACGTCCCGCAGGCTTGTCAACGCCGGACTAGCTTTACGAGGCAAGGGCGACCTCCTCACGATCTCGGAGCCGTATCGCTTCACGGCGGGCCCCACCGGGACTGGGGCTACCTACGGCAAGGCCACTCAGTTCACGGCGGGCCCCAACGGGTATGGGGCTCAAGTTCGCTACCAGTCTGGCGAGGACCACCTGTCAAAAACGCAAGCGATGGAGCCATGGATGCTCGCGAAGTCGCACGCTCGGAACTACTTCATGCTTATTAACCTCGCGTTGCACTGCGCCGCGACGGACGAGCGGCCGGAGTCGTGGGCGAGCCGGTTGCTGACGCGGCCGAAACTAGCGCTCGAATCGCTCAAGACGTTGGAGTTCCGGGACTCGGTTCGGACCGGGGCGCCGGTGGAGGACCTGAAGATCGTCGGCGCGCGCGTGAACCCTGGTAGGGGCGGCTGGGAGCGCAAGTACGTCTTCGACGTGCTGCGCGAGGACGGCGGCGTCGGCGAGTGGGCGTCGTATGATATTGCCGTCGCTTTGAAGTTGATCGGCCCGCGGACGAAGCCGCCGTCTTCACCGGGGGGAGGGGGGAGACCCTGGCAGCACCTGATGAAGCCCTGGCCTGTATTCTCGCGCCGGCGCAAGCGCGCGCGGCGCTAGGCATGTGCTAAGGAGATATTAGGATTTACAATGTCGGTACGTATAACGAGTCACATGCTTACTAGTCGCGTATCAATAGAAGTTCTGCGGCGGCACGGGTGGCATCGGCGGCGCGCCATACTGAGGAGGCGGGTATTGCTGCGGCGGCGGCCCCAGGCCGTACAAGCCGCCCTGGTTGTTGTACTCGGCGGCGAAGCGCCCGTCGGCCGGCGCCGCGCCCTGCATGTAGCCGCCGCCGCGCATCGCACTATATGAACGCACGGGCGGCTGGAGCGTGTTTCGCGGTGGATAGCTCCGGTCGACGGCGCCGGCGAAATCCGGCGGCGGGCCCGGCTGGTACGGTTGTGCCGTAGCGTTGAATGAGTTCGACCGTTCTGCTCGAGGTCGTGGCGGCGGCGGGCCCCGTCTTCCTAATTCCAGTCGTTGTAGAGCGGCGAAGTCCGCAGGAGCGCCTCCGCCGCGCGCGCGGCCACCACCAACACGGTCGTGTGCACGTTGCCGTTGGGGATCGCGGGGATCGCGGACGCGTCGGCGACGACGACGGACGGCTCGTCCCGCAGCCGCAGGTCGCCGTCAACGACGTCGTCCTTCCTATCGCCCATGGCCGCCGTGCCGACCCAGTGCGAGTTCGTGAGCGCGCGCGCGCGCACCCAGGCCAGGCGGGCCGTGTCGTCCGTCGGCGGCGGCTTGTCGACGACGTCCACGGCGCCGTTGAGCGGCGGCGTCTCCGTGAGGCGCGCAACAAAATCAATGCCCTCGAGCAGCACGGCCGCGTCGCTGTCCTCCACCCAGGCCGTGTCCGTCCTACAAAAACTCTCGGGGCACCGCGGCGGCTGGTACCACGTCGGATCCTGGGGCCCCCGTCGGATGAGCGGCGGGCCGTACGGGTCCGACACGTTCAGCTCGATCGAGTGGCGCGCTTGCGGTCGTAATAAGGCTACCGTGACCAAGGCGTCTCTTTTCACGAAGAACTCGCGCGACTTCTCCTTGTCCGCTAAGACTTCGTCGACGCGTGCGGTTCTTCCTGCCCCGGCGCGAACAGCGTCAGCTGGAGGTCGGCCGGCGCGTTCGCCTCGCACTTGCTCGAGCGGAGGAAGGCCCCGACGCTCGTCCCGGGCGAGGCCCAGAGCGTCTCGGCGCCGTTCTCGCTGAAGGCGGCGAAGGGCCCCGGCGTCCGGTAGAACGCCTCCGTCGACAGTCTCAACTTGAGCGGCACGACGGGGTGGTCGTGGAGGTTCTGGCCCACGCGACGGCCGCCCAGGTCCGACGCGAGCAAAAGGCGCGGCGTGTTCAGCGCACCGGCGGCGAGCGCGACGCCGCGCCGCGGCCGCACGACGACCGCGTCGTCGTCGTCGTCTACGACGTACTCGACGCCGACGCCTCGGCCGTGGTCCTTCCGCAGGCGCCGCGCCGTCGCCCGCGTGATGACCTTGACGTTCGGCGCATTTTGTATGGGCTCGAGGAGTGATGCGTACGCCGACGCGCGCCGGCCCCGCTCGTCAATATTAAAATGGTACGGGCCCGCGACGTTGCCCCGCGACGTCTGGGCGTTGAAATCCGTGACCAGCGTGTGGCCCGCCGCCTGGCAGGTCTCGAGGAAGGCTTGCGCGAGCGCGTCCTGCTCGTACAGCGGCGCGCGGCGCGTCGCGAGCGGCCCGGCCCAGCCGCGCTGCGGCCCGCCGCCCCGTCGCGCCACGCGCCCCCGCGTATCTAGTCGTCTTTCAAACCGCGCGTAGGCCGACGACACGCCCGACCACGACCAGCGGCTCACGTTCCACCGCGCGACGTCGTAGGGTAGTCCTCTTAGATAAATCATGGCGTTCATGGCGCCGCAGCCGCCGACCATCTTCGCGACGACCGCCGACGTGATGGGCCACCTCAGATTGTCGACGCGCGACACGTCCGACCACATGCGCGGCACGTCCGTCGGCGCGGGGTTTTTGGTCCGGTCCGTCTCCTTGATCTCGCCGAGGTCCCAGGCCTCGCCGAAGTCGGGGTTGCCGCGGTAGGGGCCGCCCGCCTCCAAAATCAACACGCAGTGCTGGCCGTCCTTGGCGAGGCGCGACGCGACGACCGAGCCGGCCGGCCCGCCGCCCACGATGGCATAGTCCGGCGCGCGCCAGTCGCACACGGGAGGCGCGGGCGGCTGCGCGAGGAACTTGCGGGCGCGCTCGGCCAGGGCCGCGCAGGCGGCGATCGCGACGAGGCCGGCCGCGACGTGCGCGGGGCGCAGGCACGCGAGCCGTTCGCGGCGTGGCGGTTGTCGTGTCGTCGTCGTTGGCAGCTCGGCGGACGGCAAGGCGCCGTACGCGCCGATTTTCGCGTCCATCCTGTGGTCCCTCCCTGACTCCAGTTGTTCCCTGACTGCTGTTTTGTAAGGAGCGGCGCGTTAGCACTGGACGATTAGTGCTGGGTTTTTGTTAGCTGTAGCATCGCTCCGAGATACCGATGAATGGCAGCGCGAGCCTCGAGTTTGGCACACCGCTTTTTGGCTCCTTTACTTGGTCCTTTGCATGGCCAAGTCGAGGTGCCAGATCTGCCAGAGCGCACCCATAAAAAAAGTCCCATACCGCCTTGGGAGTTTACCGGCGCTTTGTTAAGTTCCTGCGGCCTTGGTGGCCCAGCGGGTGGGCCCGCGGTCCCAGCGTTTGGTTACGATAAACGCCATACAACCGCCGGCTGGTTCGAGACGACTCTATGGACAGGCAAGTGAGCCGTGAGGCGCAGTGTGCCGCAGAGACCCGCACGCAACCATTTATTTTTGCCCAAAATTGGCACACAAATAGGTTGCTGCACGCGCCGAGGGCTGCCTTTGAACTACAGCCAGGGGCTGCCACGAAACGCAAATTTTCGCCCGCACCGATCGGGCAGCGAACCGTCGACGCACACCACAAGGAGCCCTGCCCAGACAGCACGAGCAAATAGACGCCATCGCAGCGATGGCCGGCGACGACGGCACGGCCGCGCCGTCGCAAGTACCACAACAATATCACCGACGCACATCGAAGAGACCATCTTCAAGATCGTGGAAGTCACGGACGCGCCGTCATACGCGCCGACGCTGCCGCGGCCGACGTACGCGCCGACGACGCCCGCGCCCTCCTTCACGTACACGATGCAAGCGGGCCAGTGCTACGACAAGGTCTGGCTGGAGCACACGCAGCCCTACGACCCGCGGTGCGAAGAGAACTGCGCGCGGATCGAAATTGACGATTGCGCGCGATACTGCGACGGCGCGGGCGTCGTCACGATGGCGAGCAACGACCGGGGCGGCCTGGACGCCTGCACCTGCGCCACGGCGTCCAAGGAGTCGTGCATGGTCGTCGGCGGCTACGACGAGCCCTTTAGCCTCGCGCGCGCGGCCCGGCGGTTCCCCTTCGACGGGACCTGCGTCCTCGGCGACACGGACTTGCAGCTGACGCGGTTCTGCGACCAGATGGGCAAGTTCGAGCCCGACGAGTACCGGCCGACGCGGCGGCCGACGACGTTCCAGCCCACCGCGCGGCGCGAGGTCGAAGTCAAGGCGGAGTTGACGCTCGTCGGCCGGCGCGGGGCGATTCTGATCGGGACCTGCTTCGCGCTGGCGGCGTTCCTGCTCTTCTGCCTGCTCTTCAGCCGGTGGCGCGAGCGGCGGCGCCTCAAGCGCATCGCGGAGATGTCCTCCTCCGCGGCCGACTTCACGTCGGACTTCTCGCCGCTCGACGACGACGGCCAGAAGTGGCTCGAGATGATGTAGTAACAAGTAGTGAAAACGCGGCTAGTGTCTTACTGGACGCTAGCAGCCTCGAGGCGCGCGCTCGTGCCGCAGTGGGCTACACTGCCCGCGAGCGACGGTGCCGTAGTTGCGGAGAACCGGCTATCGGTCGAGGTCACAGCGGTCGAGGGCGGACGCCACTCATTGCGACCAGTAGTGCCTCAGGCAATAAGGCAGGCAAGCAGCGGTCGTCCAGAGCTCTGCCGCGGGACGCGCGTCACGCATGCGCTACACGGCGACGCTGACGTTTGACTACAAGGACGCGCGATCCGCCGAGGCGGTAGAGGCCGCGCTCTCCGTGGACGCCGAGCTGAGCGCCTCCGTAACGAGAGCAGCGTCGACGGCGCGAGCGTCGTCGTCACGTTCCGCTGCGACGACGCCAAGCAGCTGCGCGTGAGCGTCGGCGGCTTTTTCGAGTTGGCCGAGGTCGCCCCGCGGCTGTCGCGGCGTTCGCCTAGTAAACATGGAGGCCACGCCGCCGCGGATAACGTTCCGCGATGCGCAGCACCGCGTGCACATGGACATAGTCAAGACGCGCATGTTCCTACTGGGCCTCGGCAGCGGCACGACCCTGACCTTATTCATCGCGTCCATCCTCCTCATGGTCGCGTCCTACTCGCCGACGGCCGGCGCAATCAGCGTAATCTGCGGCTGGCCCTATCCGTTGTACCGCGCGGCCTTCCTGGCGTCGCTCTGTGGGCTGTTGTACGGCGCGGTCGTCTTCGCGTGGCGGCGGAACTCGGTCGATTTCCGACGAGCATTGCACCTGTCGCCGGCGGTCACGTACCAGGCGATCCTCTCCTACAGCTATGCGTGCTTCGTCATCGTCTTCGCGTGTTTTGTGCTCTTCGCGCTGCTCTTACTAGCGCCGGACGCGGTGCCCGGCGCCCGAAAGTTCCGCAACACGCTGCCTCTCATCGCCTTCATGGCGCCGTTCCTCGTCGCGGCGTGGCCGAAGGACCGCGCGCCCGGCGCGTGCCTGGCGACGCCGGGCGCCGCGGGGGCGCGGCGCGCGCTCGCGCTGGAACTGGTGGGACCCGTGCTCGTGTCGCCCTTCTCGAAGGTGACATTTGCGCGCACGTTCGTCGCCGACGTGCTGTGCAGCATGCCGAAAATTTTCGCCGACGCGCAGTACGGCTTCGCCATCGTGTTCGACTGCGACACTGACTCGGCTACATACATACACATCGGCTACGTGCTCGCGTTTCTGCCCTTTGTCGTGCGCCTGAACCAGTCGCTGCGGGCGGCGTTTGATGATGCCGCGCACCGACGAAAGAATTGTTGGAATGCCGGCAAATATTCTCTGCAGATCGCGCTCGTGGCCGAGTCGATACGCGCGCAACATAGCGTGCCCTGGTTCGCGCTGGCGCTCACGTCGACGCTGTGCAATTTCTTCTGGGACGTGCACATGGACTGGGGCCTGCCGCGCCAGCACAAGCGGTTCCCGGCGTGGTTCTACCCGTCCGCCGTCGCCTCGAACTTCGTGTTAAGGTTGGGCTGGGCGGTCTACGTTTCGCCGGACCAGAAGGTCGTGGCGCAACACGTCATTCTGCTGCTCGGCGTCGCCGAGGTGTTCCGGCGGTTCCAGTGGGCCGCGCTGCGCGTCGAAAATGAGGCCCTGAAGATAGGTGCCGCGCCGCACGAGGGGCTGCGGTACGACTCGGTCGGTGGCGCGCCGCCGCTCGTTTAAATTCAAGTTTTTTACATACACTAGGCTTTCACACAGTAGTCTCGTCGTGGACGAAGGTCCGGAGCCGCTCAAGGTAGTCCGGCCGCCGCTCGACGTCGAAGTGCCCCATGTCGTCTCGGAGGAACGGTTCGACGCGGGTTTCCTCGGGAAGCGCTCTCAGAATGCGATCCGCGTGCCAAGGCGACAATAACTCATCGCGTCCGCCGTGGACGACCAGGGTCGGCGCATCGAAGCGCGCACAAAGGCGTTCGACCGGCCAGACGTCCAGGAACGACGGGAGCCCGCCGACAGGAGCGTAACTCATGGCATGCTTTTGAATAACGTCCGTGGCCGCCGCGACGCCGGAGATGAACGCCGAACGCAGCACGACCCCCCGTAGGCCCCTTCCGCGGAGCAAGTCGCCGGCGAGGTAGGCAGTAGGCCCGTTCCCCAGCGAAAAGCCGTAGAGAATCGTCTGCGACGGAGGCACGCCCAACTCGTGCTCGAGATACGCGGCGGCGGCTTTCGCGTCGTCGAGCGTAGCGGAAACAGACGGCTTTACCCCCAGCCGATTGAAGCCGTAGCCAGAGTAGTCGTAGTAGAGCACGTTCACGTCGAGAGACGCGGCGAGCTGCACGCAATGGAAACGAAGTTGGCCCATGTCGAAGGATCGACCCTTGGAGTAGAGTAAGGTCGGTCGCGTCGGCGACGGTTCCGTCGAGTACACGTGCAGGAGTGCTATCTCGCGATTGCCGCCTGCGGGCCGCAGCGTCACGGTGTGCGCCAAACTCGCTGTCTGCCCGGAGCCGGTAGCAAACACGATAGGACAGCCATTCCTGTAGTTGTTCTGCGGCGACCAGTCGTCGTCGAAGCGCCACGCTTGTCCGTCCGGGACCAACGCGTACGTCGGTGGCGCTGGAGGCTGCATGGCCTTGCTGCCCACTGAGGCGACTAAACCCATCGATAAGGGCGTGAAGCTCGTTCACAGCCGCTTAGGTGTTTTGCTCTCACAGTGTGTGCGGCTAAATTTCACGCCAGCGATGCTCTCTTGCTGTGAAACGTGCAGGGCATATACTCATGAGCCACTGCGAAGCTCAGCGTCCGCCGACATGCATGAATGTGCTAAAACAGCCTCTGACTCCGAGCCTGGTGCCAGCAGCTCAGTGCCAGCTGCCTCTTTGCTGCTATAGTCTCAAGCTAGCTGTACGGAAAAGCTATAGTCAACCACGTGTTAGATGCTCGAGTACCGTCCCCGCCGATTCTTCTGCCGCTCCTCGAACTCGAGGAGCTTCGCGTCGAGCCGGTCCAAGGTACCGCGCGGCAGCATGTCGTCCGTCTTCTGGACGAGCTCGAAGCAGAACGCCTTGATGAGCAGCGCCCGCGCGTCGGCGCGCGCCAGACCACGACTCTCGAGGTAGAAGATGGACTCCTCGTCGAGGTCCGCGACGGTCGCGCCGTGCGTGCACTTGACGTCGTCCGCCACAATCTCTAGAGAGGGCATCGCGTCGACGGCCGCGCCGTCGTCCAACACAAGGGAGCGGCAGAGCTGGTCCGCGTTCGTCCGCTGGCCGAGCTGCGGCACGTCGATCCGCCCCTTGAACACTAATCTCGCGTTCTCGGCCGCGACGTTGCGAATGTCCTGCGCGCTGTCGGCGTCCGGCGACGAGTGCGTCAGGGCGGTCCGCAGATCCAAGTTCTGGTCCGAGCCGCCGAGCTGCACGCCGCTAAAGTCGAAGAAGGCGCCCGCGCCCGCGACGTCGCAGTCGACGCAGACGCGCGACAGCGCGCCCGCGTCCGACAGCGTGCGCGACTGGAAGGCGCCGTCCCGGGCGCACACCGCCGTCGCGTGGTGGATGTGCGCCTGCTCGGCCTCGTTGCCGTCCAACACGTGCGTCAGCGTCGCGCCGGCGCCGACGCTGCAGGTCGTCCGCGCGTTCGTGAGCGCGCTAAACCGGTCCAGCTTCGTAAACCCGACGAAGGACTCGCGCACGGCGGCGTTCGCGCCGGCGCCCGTCGAAATCACGGTCCGCGCGTGCTGCGCGCCCTTGGCTCTCCGTCGCGCGTGCACGACGTGCGCGCGCACGCACGCGGCTTCGGACTCGACGCGGTCCGGCGCGTTCGCACGCGCGGCGTCGGCCACCGCCAGGGCGTCCGCGTCGTCCGCGACCCAGACGACGACGGCGTCGGGCGCGCACGCGGCGTTGAGGCCGCACAAGGCGCCGCCGCCCAAGGAGACGCGCTGGGGGATGGACTCCTCCTTCACGACCTCGGGCAGTGACGCGTGCAGGGGGCCCATCACCTTCAAGACGTCCGGCGGCGCGTCCCGTATGGACCCGACCCAGCTCTTTCGGTCGGACGAGAAGCCGAGGTTTTTCGACAACGCGGCGTCGACGACGCCGTCGACCAGCACCGCGACGGGCTCGTCGTCGTCCGCGGGCAGCCACGGCTCGAGGTCGCTCGGCGCCAGGGCGCGGCGTCCGCGAGCTCGCGGCGTCGGCGCGCATCGCCACAGGTCGTCCAAGCGCGTGAAGCGCCAGGGCTCCTGCTTTTTGGACGGGAGCACGACCGAGGGGGTCGCTCAAGCGCCGCGACGCCCTCGCTGCTCGCCAGGGCCACGGGCGGCGCGCGCGTCGGGTAGTCGGCCTCGGCCTCCTGGAGCGCGGCCTCGAACCACGCCCGCGCGCGCAGCTCCGCCGCGGTCGGGCCCTTGCTGCGCACGACGACCTCCTCGGCGAAGGCCTCGCGCTCGAGGTCGTCCGCGGAGACAAAGTCCGTCTCGTCGTCCACCGCCGGCGCGGTGGCCGGCGCGAAGCACGGTCGCGTTTGTTGCTTGAGCGGCGGGCCCGCGAGCAGCGCATTTGTGTGCGCCGCGAGTATCAGCGGCGCGGCCAGCCTCCGCATGGTGCAGTATGGCACTCGCTGCGATGCGCGTTTTTTGCGGTCCCAGTTTTGAGCTGTATGTTAGGCGCACTTCTTAAACGCAAAAACTGCCAGCTCTAGGCCTGCGGTGGTGCGCTGCTTGTGAGTTTGCCCTGGTGCAGCCTCTCTCGACTCAGTTTGGAGGCATCGCCACTAGCCCATCCCATCCGAGCCGCGACGCGAAAGAAGAAACGAGCCCCTTAGGGCTGCGCGGAGGCCGTTCGAATTGCAATCTGGCGTCCGCAAGTCAAAAAACGATTTTCAGCCGCGGCGCAGATCCTGGGCGCGCCGTTGGCGCCCAAAGCGCCCGGCGATTGGACTGATGGTTACACAAACAAAAAAAACGCCGCCGCGCCACGCGCGGTCACCTGACCGGCGAGGAAGAAGTCCGCTGCTGCTTCCGCCGCGATGATGACGCGACCGAACGCGGAGAGCGACGACGCCACGGACGACTGGCTCAGCTGGCTCCGGGCCGTCGACGGCCGGCGAGCCGGGCGAGCCGAGAGGACGTCACCGCCGCGGATCGCGTCCACCGTCTCCTCGACGAAGGGCGCAGCGCCACGCGGTGCGCGTGCGCCGCCGCCGCGGCGAGGCGGCCCAGGAGCGCGGCGCGGTCCTGCGCCGCGAGCGCCGCCGCGCGCCGCGGGTAGACGACGGGGCTGAGCCGTGGCCGTGGCCGCGCGCGAGCCCGGCCGCGACGGCGGGAAGACCGCGTCGAGACCGTCGTAGGCCGTCGGCGCGAGGCGCGCCTCCGTCTCGGCGTCCGCCCGCGCGTCGACGGCGCACTTTGAGACCAGCGCGACGACGGCGTCCGCGGCCGCAAGCTGGGCCGCGCCTCTCCTCCGCAGCATCTGGACGCGCAGCGCGTATTTTCGCGCGTCCTTCTCGGTCAAGCGCAGCAGCGCTCCCGGGTGCTGGTGCGGGCGCGGCCGCGGCTCCTCGCCCGGGGCCACGGCCGCCAGATCCAAGTAGCGCGGCTTCGGCGGCGACACCGCCTTGTCCGACGACGCCGTCGACGGCACCGGCGAGGCTGGGAATTCCTCCTCGACCTCGAGCGCGGCCTCGGCCTGCCGCGCCGTGTCCTCGGCGACGCACACCTCGTTGAACAAGACGCGCCGCCGGTCGCACGCGGCGCGGTGCGCCCGTATCATTTTCTTTAGCGCCCGCGTCGAGAGCTTGAGCTCCTCGTGCTTCTGGCGGTGCGCGTCGTCCACGTCCTTCGTAATCTGTTCAGCAGAAACGTTTGTGTTTTTCTTCGCGGCGGCCTCGGCTCTTTTCGCGACGTCCCGCCGGCTCTCCTCTTTCGCTCGGATGCGGAACCGCTCCCAGGACGTCCGTTCCTTCGCCAGGGTCTGCTCGAGGTCCGCACGGCGCGCCCGCAGCGCGGCTCGAGCGCGCGCGGCGCGCGCGCGATCGTACGCGTCGCCCGTCGGGAAATCGTAGCGCGCCGCGGCCGCCGTGATTGAGGCCGCGTCCGGCGCGGGCGGCGGCGCCGGCAGCGTCTCGGGCGCGAGCATGCGCTCGAGGGCCGGCGTCACGAGCGCCGCGCGCCACTTGGATGTTTTGCGAGCCTCGACAACGGGCGGCGGCGGCTCCGCCTCCTCGACTTCGGCCTCCTCCACGAAGTCGTCGGGCCGAGGCAGCGACAGCTCCTTGCGCGCGGCAGCTAGCGCCACCCGCGCGTCCTCCTCGCGGCGCGTCTGCGCCCGGATGGCCTCTTCGTGACTCGCCTGGGACCGCGCCAGCCGCGCCTTGTGGTGCCGCTCGGCGCGGTCGAGCTCGACGCCGTCGACGACCGCTCGCCGCTCCAGCGCTGCGATGCGCTCAAAGTCCGCGTCCAGCTGCTGCTGGAGGAAAAAGTACTGGTCGCGCGCGTCCTCGCGCACCTCCGCCAGTTCTTCCTCCAGGCCCGCGTGCGCGGCGCGCTGCCGCTGCGTCTGCGCCGCGGCTTCCGCCAATCCTTGCTCGGCGTCGGCGTTGCTGGCCTCCATGCGCGCGCGGGCCATGGCCAGGACGCCGGCTTGATACTCGGGCGCGACCTCCGCGCCCTCGGCCGGGTCGATCTTGTCTTTCTTGCCCATTGTTGTGTGCCTTTGCTGGGAGCGGATGCGGCGTCGGCGCGCGGCCGGTGGGCGCAGGCGGGATTAGACCGCGCTACGACCGGGTTGGCGTCACCGAGGCGAGCTGTGGGACTGCCGGCGGGCTGGGCTGCCCAATTCCCTGCTCCTGGCGCTGGGACAGAGAGTCCGCAGACAAGGCTTATCCCAGCCCTGTATAAGGGCGCGAACGCCTCGCCACTCAGACACCTCTCGTAGCAGGGCAGCTTCGCCTCGCACCGAGGCTACCCAGGTGCTGAAAGGGCTGCCGCGCCGCGGCGCATATTTCGGTGTGACAACAGGGCAGCCAGCTGCCACGCGAGGAAACAAAACATGTCGTCGATGTACCGCGCGGCGCAAAAGCTCTACACGTCGGCCACCGCGCCGTCAAAAAAACAAAAGGCCAAGCAGGAAGGATGGCGCGTCGAGAACCTCGCGGCGGCGCCGTCGCCGTCGCCGCAGGAGGACGACGTCGTCGTGCTGCAGGCGGCGCACGAAGCCTACGTCGCTGTTGACGTCGCGGCGCCGTCGCGCGGTGGCGGTGATACGAACGGCGCCTTCGCGCGCCAGGCCGTCGAGTTCGACGTCGAGACCGATGTAGCGCCCGACCAAGGGACGCCGGCGAGGCCCCCGGCGCGGTCGCCCCGCGCCGTCGCGGAAGCGGCCAAGGCCGCGGCGGCGCGGAACAAGGCCGCCGCGGCGGCCGCAGCCGCGCCGGCAGACGCCGATATCGACCGCGACGACGACGACGCCGACGCCGAGCCCGAACCCGTTCCACCGCGCGTCTGGGACAAGTACCGGAGGTACCGCGAGAGCGCGAGCCGGGTCATCGCGCAATTGAGGATTGAATAACATTAACTTAAACACATACAGATTCACCGAGCATGAGGTCTCAGCTCGGCCAGCAGCCGGAGCGCCTCCTCGGCCTCGACCTGGGCCTCCCAGTGCTCGAGGACGCGCGCGCCGGCGGGCTCCGCCTCCGCGCGGTCCGCGAGGCCGTCGATCTCCACGGGCCGCCGGAGGCCGAGCTGCGCCCGGCAGGCGTCGACGGACGTCTTCGCGTCGGCGGCGAGTTTACGTAACGTTTGGTACTGCGCCGCGGTCGTGCGCACGCTGCTGACGGACGCGTGGAAGGGGCCGTAGCGCTGCTCGAGCAGCTGCTCGACGGCGCCCGTCGCCGTCGCGAGCTGCCGCTGGAGCCGCTCGTACGCGGCGCTCCGCAGGTGCACCGCGCCGCGGGGTTCGTCCGGCAGCCAGACGCCCGCGTCCAGCAGCGTCGCGTCGTCGTCCTTGACCAGCTCGAGGCGGCCCGCCGCCGACGCGTAGAGCCGCTGGTCCGCCGCGGCCACGCCGACGGCGCGCGCGACGGCGCGGCGCAGGTCGCGCACGGTCGCCGCGGGGCCCAAATCGGCGAGCGTCGCCACGGCGCCCTCCAACGCGTGGACGCGCACGCCCGTCCGCAGCGTGTCGTCGTCGCTGTCGTCTTCCGTCGTGTGCTTGGCGCGGCGCGCCTCGGCCGACAAGATCTCGACGAGCTTGACCATGGGCTTGAAATTCGGCGAGAAGTAGATCGGGTCGACGTCGGCGTGGAGTTTTTGTGCCTCCGCCATTTGTTGTTTTTGCTGTTTTGTTTGCTGCTGTTTTTGCTTGCTTTGCTTAGAGAAGGCCGCCTAGCCGTGGACCGCCGCGGGGTCGGCTTTTTACGCAGCACTTTTTTACGTCGCCTGCAGCGGCGGGAGCGTCTTTTCTCGCGCGATTTTTTTGCTGTGCTGCTGGTTGCTTGTATTCTAAAGGTCTGTCCTTAACACAGTCCACGCCCGGGCCTGGCAAGATGGCTAAAAGCGCCTTTTGGCTCTGTTATATTTTTTGTGCTAGCGGCCGGTAAGACACTAGCAAGCCTCTCAATTTGTTCATCGCACGTCACCGCCGAACAAGGACACCGAGGCTGCGAAACAAAGATCGGAAATAGTCTACCGCGAGGTCTCTGCGAGTCTGCTGTGCTTTTTCGATCTCGAAAGGGCATCTAGACGCAATTTACGAGGTCCAGGTGTAAGCTCTCTCTAAGAATTATGAACACTCTCGACAAAGGAGCCATCGGTGACGGTTTCGAGGACGTGGCCAGCCCGATCGCAGCCAACGAAGCCGTCTCCAAGAGCGACCAAGAAGACGACGGCATCGTCATCGCGACGCCGAGCGAGAGCTGGGTCTTGCTCGACTCCAAGAGCGACGACGAAGAGGTGACGCTCGACGAAGCGTCGACGGCGTCGCGGCGCCAGCCCGGCCTCATCGCGGCCGCCGTCGCCTGCGCGCTGGTCGTCGCCGCGGCCGGCGCGTTCGCGGCCACGCGGCCATCCGCCGTTGTCAAGCCTCCTCCGCCGCCGCCGCCCGTGAAACGCTTCGTCCTGGCTTCGGCCCTCGACAGCGTCGCCGCGGCGGCCGCCAAGGTCCGCGCCGACGGCATCGACGCCCAGTTCGAATTAGCAACAGGGCTTGACGGCAAGCTGGCGCCGGGCGGCGGCCGTGCGGCTCGAGGCGCTCGCGAAGCTCTCCGTGACACGCTGTGTTGAAATCAAATTTCAAGGCGCCCCTGATGCATTCCACATAGGCGGCGCGCCTAGACAAGCTAGACGAGCAGTACGGCGCCCAGGAGAAGCTCGACCGCGCGGTAGTCGTGGTCTCGGACTACGTGGAGAACGCGTCGCTCTCCGACGCCCGAAAAGCTGCCTCGGGCATCACGGACGTCGTGCTTGGCGGCGCTTCGTCGCTGGCGGTGAGCGTCTTCGGCGACGCCGCCGTCGAGCGGGTCAAAGAGGAGGTCGTCGACGCGAGCGCGGCGCTGGTCGGACTCTTCCCGGAGTCGCACCGGCCCGAGGCCAAGACCCTGGCGACGTCGGTCGCGCTGGGCCTCGGAGGTCTCGCCGTCGGCGTACCGTTCGTCCCCGGCATCACGGACAACCTCCTCGTCGGCGCGGCGCGGGCGCTGGCGTTGCCGCCTCTCCGGCGCGAGAGAACGACACGCGCGTCCCCATCCACCCCATCCCTGTCCCGTTGTGATCATCGATTGGCGCTACCGCATGCCATAAAACAACAGAGTTACTAAACGAGCGACACGCACGACGCGCGCTCCTTTTTCGCGAGATCGCTGACCGCGAACGGCTGGACGGGTTGCGCGTCGACGATGGTTTTGCGGTCCCCGGCGTCCCCGAAGACTGGCGCGGACCGGTGCGCGTCGGCGTGGTACGCGTCCGGGTAGAGGTCGAAGCTCGCGACGGGCGGGTCCTGCCGGAGCCGGTGCGCGTTGACGAGGCGGCGCTGCTTGCCCGTGAGCTTCGCGTGTGGCACGGGGGCGACGACGGCGCCGGGGGTCACGGGGGCCTCGGCGCGCTGCGCGTCGAGCGCCTCGCGGGGCCCGCGCTGGCGGCGCAGCGCGGCGCGGCCCGCGGACGCGGCCAGTTCCCGCGTCCGCGCGGACGTGGCCGAGCGCGCACGGTGGATCGACCGCGTGCTGCAGCGGTCGCACCCGCGAGCCGCTGCGACGCCGTCGGTCGCGTCGACGCCGGCGGCCTTGGCGAGCGGCGACAGCGCCGCGAGCTTGTCGCGCCGGCGCCGCGCCCGCGCGTCCGCCGTACCGGCCTCGTCCTTCCGGACCGCCGCGCGCGTGGCGCTGAGGCGCCGCCGCCGCTGCCGCTCGAAGAGGGTCATCCGCGCCAGCGTTTGCGCTTGCTGCTCGACGGAAATGGTGGAGCTCGCGGCGCCGTCGTTGGTTTCCATATACTCCTTCAGTGAGGCATCTCCACCGAATTGCTTGCTGCTGTCCATCTCTTCCTTAAGCTAGGTTGTCACAGACTCTGGGCAGCCAATCTGTTCCTCCGGTGTGCTGGTACCGTTGGCTCGTGATCAGAAGTTCCGCACCGTTGGTGCACGAGGATCTGGGCAGCCTCTCGCGTTGTTGCGGAGGCGCGGCAGCACGGGAGCACGGCGCTCTCGATCAGCGCCTCTGCGGCGCCCCGCGCTAGTGCCCATTGGCGGCGCCCGTTCAAACCAGGCCTTCCCACCGCTAGAGCGCACCATTCCATGGATGTGTGAGTCGGTTGCAAAACTTTGAGACGGGCGAGGAGCGGTGTTGCGTAGGACAGCGTGTTTTGGTTGCTGTCCGGAGCGTCCTTGCTGAAGACCGTTTCAGGCATAGCGTCTGTGCTGCGATCGACCCAGTACGCCGTATCAACGAGCCACGTCAACCGTTCAGCGTTTCAGCCGAGTGCACCGTAACAGAGTGCAGCCTTGCGCCCTAGGAAGCCCTCGCCCGACCAAGCCACTCAACACCATGCGGACAGCAGCGCTGCTCGTGGCCGCGACGACGACGGTCAGGGCGCTCCGCCCGGCGATGCCGTCTCTTTATCAGCGGCGGGCGCCCGTGGTCAATCTGCTCGACGCCAAAGGCCAAAGCATAGCGCCGGTCACCCCGGCGGGCGGCGGCGCCAGCGACAAGGACCACGACGTGCTGCTCGGAGAATTGATCTTCAGCTCGCGCGACCCGCGCGAGGACGTCGCCTCGGCGCCGGAGCTGTACACCGAGGACTTTCTCAAGTTCGTCTCCGACAAGGCCGAGGACAGCGACGACATGGAAGAAAGAGAAGGCCTAAAGAGCCTCGTGGACATGATCCGGGCGACGCTGGACATGGTCGAAAAAATGACGAAAGAAGCCGAAGAGGCGCAGGCTCGGATCGAAGCCGAGGTCGAGGCCGAGGCCGAGCGCGCGGCGGCGCTCGCGCGCGGCGAGGTGGTCGTCGACACGGAGCAGGTCCTGGGCGCGGCGGCCGTCGCGTCCGGCATCGAGCAGTACGCCGAGATGGCGCGCGAGGCGCGGAGCGAAGGCCCGGGCGAGGCGGGCCTCTACGGCGACGCGCTCCGGACGTACGACGCGCTGCTGTCGGAATTCGTCCAGGCCGAGGCCAAGGGCGAGCTCGCGGCCGCCGTCGAGGGCGCGTTCGAACGGTGCGACTACTCCCTGCTCGCGCTGGCGACGGAGCGGCGCGACGCGGGCGACCGGCCCGACACGCAGGCCCTCAACGCCATCATCGAGGCGGTCAACTCGCTCTCGGCGAAGCGCCTCGAGCAGGCCGCCGCCCGGCTGGGGACCGTCATGCAGCAGGGCTCGCCCGAGAAGATGTTCGCGAAGATCCAGGAGCTCGCCATCATCAACCAGATCGACGCGCCTTTGGTGGAACTGCTCGACGCGAACCGGCAGCAGGCGCTCGCGGCGGGCGCGGCGGGCGCCGGCGCGGCCGAGCTCATGAAGAACCTGGCGAACCGGTGCCGCGACGAGATGGACAAGCGCATCGCCAAGGACGCGCCCGAGAAACGGTTGTTGAGAGCGCTGCTGCGCACGGACGACGACGAGACCAAGAAAACGATTCTCCAAAGAGCCTTCGAGCCCAAGGAGGGCCTGGCCCTGAGCTTCGGCGAGGACTACGGCAAGGACGCGGCCAAGAAGACGCAGGAGGGCCCCGAGGTCGACCCGACCAAGTTCATCGCCGCGTGCCAGCAGCTCATCGCCGACTTTGGGAACATCGACGACAACGGCGAGCCCCTCATGGTGCGCATCAACCAAATCGCCGCCATCGCCGAGACGGTGGCGACGGAATTGTACGGCGACGTCACGAGCGCGCGCGAGCAGCAGGACCTCATGTGGAACGAGGCGACGACGAGCGTCTTCGACCTCGAGGCCGCCGAGCTCGCGGCCGAGCAGAAGGGCGAGCAGATGCCCTGGCACAACGACTCCTACGACGGCAAGCTGCCCGACGGCTTCACGGCCGACCAGGCGGGCCAGTACATCAAGAAGGTCGGCGGCGGCTAGCTTTTTCGGCAGTCCTTTTACCTTCTCCCGTACTAAATATATAGACTGTCGCGAGTATTGAACAAACAGACTTACACACGAGTGTGACGGAGTCACGAGTCGGGCGGCTTTGGCGCGAAGCCGTGCCGCGCCTCGTCGTCGCCGTGGCTGAGCGCGTGCGCGCGGCCGCGGCGCCGCGCGGCGATGTCGTCGGTGAAACCGTTCGCCCGCGCGAGCTGCAGCGCCGAGACGGGCCGTCGCTCCGCGTCCGGCTTGACCGCCCCGCGCGAGAAGACGTCGCCGATGCGCTGCACGCTGTTCTTCCCCGCGGCCAGCGAGCTCAGGAAGCTCACGAGCGCGCCGCAGCCCATCGTCGCCAGACTAAAGTGGTTCGGCGTCCGGAAGGCCTTCGGGAGCATATTCAGGTGCCGCGCGCCCAGCCAGCCCGTCGAGCCGATGAACACGCCGGCGACCGCGCCTCGCAAGCCGGCGGTCCACACGTCCCGACGCACGTCGGCCACGCGGCGCGCGTCGTCGGCGGTGAGTTGGGGCGGGATGCTGCCGGACATCTTCTTTTCGCAGCGATTGTGCCGCTATGCTGCTGTGGCAGGCACTGCAGCCTGAGCACTCTGCGTGGTCAGAGCTGCTTGGATTACAATTGAAGCAGCGGCTCGGCAGGGATGCCTGCGGCTCGTTTCAGTAGTCACACCGATTTATATTGTGCGTAACCAGTCGAGACAGCGTGCCACTGCAGCCAACATGCTGAGCCTCGAGCCCGGGCCGACGACCGGAGCGGCGTCGGACAGCGAGAGCAACCGTTCCAACACGCGGTAGGAGTCCTCGAACTGCCACGACGGACTGCTCAGGCTGGAGGCGCGCTGCAGACGCGCGCGCTGCCCTCTTGCAAACAAGTTGATTTTCACTTCTGCTCGAATTTGGAGGAATGCTCCAAGACGCCTACAGACGTGCGCACGGCGCACAGAGGGATCAAGGAGCCATCATACCAGTACCTCGAGCTTTTGCTCGTCGTCGCTTGAGCGTGCGCGGCAACCGCCCTCCGCACTGCTGGGACCCTCGGGACGCTGGTAGACCTCCTCAGTAGGCCGCCAGCGATACCACAGCGACGCGCCGGTCTTCCCCAGGCAGCGGCAAGAGGTACAGCCAGAGCTGCACCACAGGGGCAAACAAGGCGCGGCGCCGCGGCCGAGCAGCGATAAAGCCGCCGCAAGACAGCATTTAGAACCGCGCAGCCTTCGCGCTAAGCGCAGACGCAACTATGGCTCAAATGGCCACCAGCAGTACCGACGCCGTCGACGCGGTGCTGGAAAAACTCCTTAGCGTCCGCGGCGAGCGCCCGGGAAAACAGGTGGCGCTCGAGGACAACGAGATCCGTATGTTATGCATTAGGGCGAGGGAGGTCTTCATGGCGCAGCCCATCCTGCTCGAGCTCGAGGCGCCCATCAAGATTTGTGGCGATCTGTGTGGAAATCAACCAAAGTGTCGGGTGCACCCGACAATTCTTCACTAAGTCACCTCGCGGCGATGGCGCGGCTGTCCTGGCTCGGTCGAGCGGCGAGGAACCGGCATCGCCACGCCATCGAGCAGGCGTCGCGTCGATGGCGTGGAGGACGACGCGGCGATTCAGCACGAACGCGCCGTAAAATTTTGATTTCCACACAGGTGGCGATGTCCACGGCCAATACCATGATCTATTGAGATTATTCGAGTACGGAGGCTTCCCGCCCGAAGCAAACTACCTCTTCCTGGGCGACTACGTAGACAGAGGCAAACAATCCCTCGAGACGATCTGCTTGCTACTAGCTGTGTGGAAATCAAAATTTTACGGCGCGTTCGTGCTGAATCATCGCGTCGTCCTCAACGCCATCGACGCGGCGCCTGCTCGATGGCGTGGCGATGCCGGTTCCTCACCGCTCGACCGAGCCAGGATGGCAGCGTCATCGCCGAGAAATGACTTAGTGAAGGATTGTCGGGTGCACCCAACACACTGGTTGATTTCCACACAGACTACTCGCCTTTAAAATCAAGTACCCCGAAAACTTTTTCATCCTGCGGGGCAACCACGAGTGCGCCTCGATCAACAGAATTTACGGCTTCTACGACGAATGTAAAAGAAGGTACAACATCAAGATGTGGAAGACCTTCACGGACTGCTTCAACTGCCTGCCGGTGGCGGCCATCGTCGACGAGAAGATCTTCTGCTGCCACGGCGGCTTGAGTCCGGAATTGCAGCAGCTCGACCAGATCAAAAAGATCGTGCGGCCGACGGACGTGCCGGACACGGGCCTGCTGTGCGATCTGCTCTGGAGCGACCCGGACAAGGACATGGTCGGCTGGGGCGAGAACGACCGCGGCGTCTCGTTCACGTTCGGCGAGGACATCGTCGCGCAGTTCCTCCGCAAGATGGACTTGGACCTGGTCTGCCGGGCGCACCAGGTCGTCGAGGACGGCTACGAGTTCTTCGCGCGAAGGCAGCTCGTCACGATCTTCTCGGCGCCGAACTACTGCGGCGAGTTCGACAACGCGGGCGGCATGATGGCCGTCGACGAGACGCTCATGTGCTCCTTCCAGATCCTAAAGCCGGCAGAAAAAGCGAAGCGCCAGGCGCTCGCGGGCGTCGCGCAGCGGCCGGCGACGCCGCCGGCACGCAAGGGGCCCTGAGTTCCCCACCCAACAACACCGCTCCCGCCCGCGTCAGACGGATGGGGGGCATCTCGTGTATACTCGTACTTCTACTACCATCTGCCTCGCGCCATGGGGCCACGTGCGGTAAGTAGTGCGGTTCGAACACAGCGCCGCCGCCTTAGCACAACAAATAAAGCGGCCAAGTCCCGTCCGACTCGGGCTCGGCCGCGGCGCCACTGGAGGAGGAGAAGCCGGCCGCGGCACGACGGGCGCGGCGAGAAACGAAGGTGGGGCGTGCCGCTCCTGGACAACGGGAACGACGCCCTGTACCCCAATCGTCGAGCCACGCGCGGTTCACGACCGGGGCCCCGTTGGCCGGCGGCGCCGCGGCCCAGACGTCGGCGAGCACGTGCGTCGCGGCGTCCGGGGCCACGACGGTCGCGCCGTAGAGCCGGAGCCGCGACGCGAGGCAGGCGGTCTCCGGCGCGACGGCGACGCGCGCCGGGCGCAGGACGCGCGAGAGCGGCGTCACGCCGTGCGCCGCGAGCGCGGCGTCGGTGTCCGGCGCCTCATCAACAACAGCGTCGTCGTAGAACCAGTGGCCGCCGCGGTGCGCCCGCGCGTGCGCCGCGCAGGTCCGGAGCTCGTCGACCGACGGCGCGCGAAATCTAGGCAGGCCCCAGACCGGCTCGAAGGTCTGCTGCAGCTCCTCGAGCTTCTGCGGCGGCGGCGTCGCGAGGTAGTGGCGCGGCGCCGGCGCGAGGCGCACGCCGGCGGCGACGCACTCGGCGCACCAGGCCGCGTCGAGCACGGCGTAGCCCGTCGACGCGTAGGCCGTGACCATGAGCAGACGGCCGTCGCCCGCCGCGCCGAGGACGATCAGCGGCGCGTCGGGGTCGAACTCGTCCGGCGCGGCGCTCCGCACGACGCCGCCCGCCTCGGCGATCAGCTGCAGCAGCGCCGGCCGGTCCAGGTCGCCGCAGCGCGCCGACGGCAGCGCGAGGAACTCGTCCTTCTTGAACACCTTGGGCTTCGTCGAGGCCTGCCGCAGCTCCTCGAGCGCCTCGACGTCGACGAGCTGGTCGCGCCGGACGCCGTCCGCCTGCTTGCGCGTGATTTTCTTCTTCTTCTTCTTGCCGCCGGCGCCGGCGCCGCCGATCTTGGCAACGGTGCGCTTGCGCTCGCCGACGCGCCGCACCTCGTCGAGCGTCGACACGTCGTCGGCGCCCTTGTCCTCGCGGACGCGCTCGACGCGCGGGAACCGGAACGTGCGGCCCACGCTCCCGTATTCGGTCGAGACGACGAGCTCGGCGCACTTTATTTCCAGGACCAGGGACTTGGACGGGTCCCGTACTATCAAGTCGGGCCTGTTGTCGGGTTTTGGGTGCCACCCGCCGTCCAGCCAGTCCGGGCGCGACTTCGGGTCGTAGTTGTCCAGATTGCCCTTTAGTTTTTCGTGGATATCCTTGACGCGCGCAAAGCCGTAGCCCGTGCCCACCCTCCCGACCGCGTAGAAGCGGCCCGTGTGCGGGCACCGCGCCGCCACCGTGTACTTGGACAGGCGCCCCGTGCGCCCGCCCGTCGCCGCGTCGGACCAGTTGCCCGCCACTATTAAATAGTCGAGCCGCGGGATGTCGCCGTCGGCGCCGTACTCGGGCTTGAGCTTGATCCACGCCCGCGTCGCGCGCGACCGCTCTCCTAGGATGTAGGGCGAGTCCAGGAGCTTGACGACGACGCCCTCGCCGCCCCTCGAGACGACCTGGTCGTAGAACGCGTGGAGCTGATCGACCCGCTTTTTGTCTTCTGTATCTGTAATGTTAATATGCTCCACCATGCGGATGCGCCGGAACGCCGCGTCTTCCCTTCTCGTGATACGCTCGGCGATGCGCCTTCTTATTTTCAGGGGGAGGTGCCCGAGCGCGCCCGGCTTGATCTTCTTGCCGGCGTCGTCCTCGCCCAGCAGCTCCTCCGCGCCGTCCCCGCTCAGATATAACGCATCAAAGCACACGAACACCAAACGAGCCGTCTTGATCTGCTCCGCGTCCACCGTCGAGTCGTTCATCTGGGCCACCGACTCCTCGATCGACTTGACGACGTGCTCGTCGTTGGGGTCAGTGCACCGTCGGCAGCCCTCGATCCTTAAGCGCACGCTCGACGCGCGAACACGTCTGGTTCGACCCGAAGCGCACGCACTCGCCCGTCTGCGTGCACACCGCGAGGCACTCGCCGCCCAGGATCGCCGCCGCATCCCTGCAAGCACTTAAGGAGCGTCTCCGAGATGCAGGGCCCGTAGTGGGACGTGTAGTCCGTCGGGCTCCGCGTCCAGAGGCGTATCTCGCCGTTCACGAGGTGGGCCATGATCCGCCGCCGTCGAGCTTCACCTCGCACGTGATCGGCGGCACGCCCTCGATGCCGAACCGCTTCTTGGCGACGCGTTGCAGCTCCCGCACGGTGTGCGTCGCCTGGTCGTCGATGTTCGGCTCGCCGTGCGCCAGCATCGGCTTGAAGGACTCGCCGGGCTCGACGCGGCCCGCGGGCGTCGCCGCGGCGTTGTGGCCCGGGCCGCCCACGGCGTACTCGGCGCAGACCTTTTTCAGGTTCTGGCACTCCGCATACCGGTCCTTCGCCGACCGGTGCAGGTGCTTGAAGATCGTGTTGTCCCCGAGGCCGCCGAGCTTCAAATTGCCGATAATGACGCGCGCGAGCCACTTGTGCTCGCGCGGGCTCAGGCGCGTGTAGACCTTTTCGAAGATCGTCCGCTTCGTCTCGCTCTTCGTCATGCGCGCGAGCTGGTCGAGGAAATCGTGCACCTCGCCCAGCGTCATGTCGCCGTGCGGCGGCACGCGGCCCTTCAGCACTTCCACGAGCGCCGCGCCGAGCTCCGCGCCCATGTGCGTGCCGCGCGCCGACGCCGTGCCGGCGAAGAAGTGGAGCTTGCCCGCGGCTTTATTTTTCGCCGGGTCCGCGCCTTTTAATCCAGTGAGCTGCAGGTAGAGCTGCGCGAGGCCCTTCTCCTTGAGGCCAAAGTTCCGCCGTCCGACGTCGAGGCTCGTGCACAGGAGCCGCACGACGGGGTAGAGCGACTGCTTGCCCGCGGCCTTGAGGAGCTCTCGGTCGAAGACGAGGCCGTGCTTCGCCGACTGGGGCCCCGGCGCTTCGGCGCGGTCCAGGCGCGCGCAGATGCTCGCGAACGACAAGGCGTGCATGTTGCCGCAGCGCTCGTGCTCCGGTAATTGCGACTCGTCCTCGACGACGGACGGCTCGTGCCGGCGGCCGCTGTGGTCCGCGCAGCCGTCCTTCTTCCCGCCAAAGTACTGGCCGCGGTTCCACGACATCTGTGTCTTTTTGATACCGTCGCGGGTCTCGCGCGCCGCCTGGCGTGCGCTGCTAGTTTTGAGTGTGAGACGGCCCGCGCTGATTAGTTCTGCGCAGGGCTCGAGAGTTGTGCTCTGAGCTATGCTTTTACAGTGTTTCTTGCGCCGTAGGTCCTGCCCGGCACGCTGCTCCAGGCTGGCTCGGTCGCAGGAGCGGTTCGGCCTGGGGAGGCTAGAGTCTTACAGCCGCTAGCTGCCGACCCTCGGGAGTTCCCTCGGGGCAGTATCTAAGCGATGGGCAGTATCTAATATGTCGTAGGTGCTGCCCCGACGTGCTGCAGCCGGCGGTCCCACACCAAAGGCTCTCCCCCTCCTTCTGTATGAGAAGAGAGAGCCTCCCCTGAGAGTCTGCGAGGTCACACACCAACAAGGAGCATGGACGGCGACACGAAGCACGGTCCCGACCGGCTCGAGGACGACGACCCCCTCGCCGTGACCGCTAGCACCTCACCACCGGAGAAGGAATGGGCCATCGATGCCGAGTCTAAATGGTACCGCCGCTACTGGTTCGCGTCGGCCCCCGTTACGCTGGCTGCCGTCGCGCTCGCGCCGCTGAGGCTCGCCTTCTGCGGCGACGCGTCGACGGGCGCCAACGCGCTGGCCTGGGGCCTCGACGTGTTTGCGTGGTGCGACGTGGTGCTGCTCACGTTCGTCCGGGCGCCGGACGAGACGTTGCGATGGCGCGGGCGGTTGGAGCGGGACTGGCTCGAGTACGTGGGCCGGGCGCCCGGTTTGATCCCCTGGGACGCGTTCGCGCGCGGTCGCGGGCCGCTCAACGCCGGCCGCCTGCTCGGGCTGCTGCGCATGCTCCGGTTCCGGCGGTGCTGGGCGGCGCTGAAGGAATTCGGCACGCTCGTCTGGCTGCCGCACTGGGTGAGCGTCGTGACGGACTACCTGGTCTTCTACCTGCTGGCGGGCCACACCGGATGCTGTTTGTTTTACCTGCTCGCACGGGGCCGGAACTTTGCGGACAACACCTGGGTCGCGCACCACGCGATCAATCTCGACGCCGAGCCGCTGCGGGCGCGCTACCTCAAGAGTCTGTCGTGGGCCTTTACGACGATCTCGACGGTCGGCTACGGGGACGTCTACCCCGTCTCGCAGCCCGAGATGATCTTTACGATCGTCGCGGTCGTGGCCAACCTGGGCCTGATGTGCTACACCGTCGCGAGTATCTCCACCATGTTTCGGCGCGAGGAGGAGGTCGCCGCCTTCCGGCAAGAAGCAACCGAACTGACCAAGTACCTCCGGGCGAACGGCGTGGAGCCGACGGAGCGCAGAAAGCTCGTGGCCTACAAGGCGCGCGTCTTCCGGACGACCGCCACGACGCACGTTTTGGACGGCTTCCCGGCGGCGGTGCGGACGCGGGTGCTGTTCGAGGGGCGCTGGTCGCAGATGCTCGCCACGACGCGCCTCTTCGTGGACGTGGCCTCGCGCGCGCGGCAGGAGGTGCTCGGGCGCGCGACGGAGGCGCTTTATATGGAGGGCATGGTCATCTGCGGCGCCGGCGCCGCTCCGACTGCTGCCTACTTACTCCACGCGGGCGCCGTGTCCGTTGTGGTCGGGGGCGAAGTCGTCGGCACGCTCAAGCCGGGCGCTCCTCTGTGTTGCGAGGCGTTCTTCGCCGGGGCGCTGCAGCGTTGGACGCTCGTCGCCGCGACGACCGTCTCGGTGGTGGCGTTGCCCGAGGGAGCGTTCCGCGACGATCCCGCCGATTTGACCATAGTGCTCCGCAACTTGCGGCGAGACGCGAACGCCTTCGCTCACCACGCGCGTGGCCTCGGCGAGCTCAAGCGCGAGGACGACCCGGCGTACACGGCCGCATTCGCGCGCATCGAGCTCAGCCCGGCGTTCGCGGACGCCTGTGACGCTGCGGTCGACGAGCTCCGAGCGGCGGAGCAGCGCACCGAGGCCTCCCTGGCCGAAGTGCTCTGCGACTACTGCGCGCGGGCGACGCTGGCGCGCGCGCCGCGGCTGCTGGAACGGCTGCCTCGCGGCGGTCGCTACCGCGATTTAGCCGACTACGACAAGCGCTCGCCCGCGCATTTAGCGGCGGCCCACGGGCGGACGGAAATCCTGCGGCTCCTGGACGAGTATGGCCTCGCCCTCGACGGCGTCGATATCTTTGGTGGCACGCCGTTGTACGATGCGGCGGTGAAGGCACACGACGCCGAAGCGGCCGTGGACTTTTTGAGGGAGCGCTGCGGGCCGCTCGTCGTGGCGGACCTCGCCGGGACGCTCTGTCGCTTCGCGTTCGACGCCAACGTGGCCGTCTTGCAGCGATTGCTGCGGGCCGGGGCGGACCCGGACGCCGCGGACTACGACCAGCGGCGGGCGCTCCACATCGCCGCCGCCGAGGGCCACGCAAAGACCTGCCGGCTCCTGCTCGACGCCGGCGCCCCGGTGGACTGCCGCGACCGCTGGGGCCAGACGCCTCTGATCGAGGCCGTGGCGGCCAAGCACCTCGACTGCGTCGTATTGCTCCTGGAGCGGGGCGCCGACGCGTCCGCCACGGACCGCGGCGGGCGGCGCGTCGCCCTGGCTGCAGTCGACGCGGAATCGGACGACTGCCTGGCGGCCGTGGTCGCCGGCGGCGGCGCCGACGCGGGAGATGACGTCGCGGGCGCGACGAGGCTGTGCGCGGCGGCTGCGGCGGGGGATTTGACATTGGTGGAGCGGCTCGTACGGGCGGGCGTCGCTGTCGACGCGTCCGACTACGACCGCCGCACTGCCCTACACCTTGCTGCCGCGGAAGGGCGCGTCGCGGTGGTCATGAAATTGTGCGAGCACGGCGCAGACATCCATTTCCGCGACCGCTGGGGCCACGACGCCATCGACGCGGCGACCGGTGGCGGCCACGCGGACCTCGTCGCGCAGCTCCACCTGCTCGAGAAGCATTGATTTGTCCATAGTGAACATAGCGCCTGTTGCGCCTATTTACGTCCTGGGCCGGCGGGCCACTGGCAGTCTTGTAACACGCTTCGTCCAGACGCGCACCAGTTGGCACCAGTCAAAAACAAACATACCATCATTAAGCAACAAACGCGCTCGGCGTCGCGGGCGCCCTCCGCCGTCGTCGCGCCCCCTCAAGCGCGCGCGCGCCCGCTGACGCGCCAGCACCGCGCCCTCGGCGAATGCGCGAGCGTTGAGGAGCTTGGCGTCGTAGCGAAGGAACGGGTGCGGCCGCTGCGTGCCCGCGCCCAGACCAGCAGCGACGACACCGGTGCCGCGTGGACGCCCGCGCCCGTCAGGATCGACACTTCGACGGTAGGCAGCGTCGCGTCGACCGGCAGCGGGTCCGACAGGCCGCCGTCGTGGTGGAACAAACCATCTTCGAAGACGTCCACTCCCACGAAGTCGAGGCAGCAGCTCGCGGACACGGCCCGAACACGGCGGGCGTCGCCGGCAAAGTCCGTCAGCGAGACGTTCCGTGGCCGGAGGCGCCGTCCTCGAACGTCGTCGTGTGCGCGACGAGCTTGCCCGAAAGGCGCCGGGCCGCGCCGTCTCGCGTGACGCCGACGGCGTCGAGCGTCCGCTTCAGCAGCACGTCGTGCGGCTTGAGCACCTCGCGCGCCCGGAGCTCCTCGAAGAACTCGCCCGAGACATAGTGCTCCAAGCAATCGCGAATGGCCTCCGGCGCTTCGAGGAGCACGAGGGATACGATCGCGCCTCCTGACGTGCCGTGGACGCGGTCGACGCGGTCCATCAAGCTTGACTTCTCGGCGATCGTCGCGGCGATGCCGAAGTGATACGCCATCATCATGCCCGAGCCGCTAAAACTGAGCGCGAGCCGCCGCCCGTCCGACGTCGCGAGGGAGCGGCGCGCGGCAGCAGCAGCAGCGCGCCGCGCGCCGACGAGGACTCGCGCGGCCCGCATGCGCTGGATCGCCTGTGAAGCAGGGAACTGTCGCGCTACCGCGGCAGCCGCGAGGCGTCGAAGACGCGCGGGCGGGCTTTGCGTTGGCGAGCGCAGGGGCCCTTCGCAGGGCCCGGTCCGGCTCTCCCGGGCACTTCGGCTCCGCACGTTCATTGATTAACGACCGGCGGGAATTTGACATGGCCCGGTGTCGAAGGGTCGTTTCTTCACGCCGCGCCGCACCTTTGATCAAACGTCACCGCCTCGAGAATAGAAGATGCGCCTGCGGAGGAAAGGCCAGTGACACGCCGCACCCCCCTGGGTTGGATCGGGCCGCGTCGCAGCGAAAGAGGCTTCATAAATCTATCCATAGGTGTTGTTCGTCGACATGTACGGTTCGGAGTGGTGCATGAAGGGTATAATCACGAGCCGGGCGCGAAAGGTGGGGTGGCGACGCTGCACGCTTGCGAGAGTCTCCGGCGCACCGGTAGCTCTGGAGCCTGCGGGGACCGGCGCGGTAAAGGCGGCGCGATCGCCCCGAGGGGGTTCAATCGAATCAACGAGCGGTGCACTCAAACAGTATGAATATCCAATTTGTGAAATCACGAAAACCGGTCTGTTACCTCCGGGAGTCATAAACACAGGTGAGTTTGTTCATCATCGTGCTTGGGTTGGTTGCGCGAGTCGGACGCCGCGACGCGCCTTTGTTATTATCGGGTGCTATCGCTCGCTCGCGAACTGGTCTCGCGCATGCGTGCGGACGTCCCGCGCGTCGACGACGGGCGCAGCGCCTGCATGCCACTGCACAGCAACCTCGCCAGCTTCACCTGCAGCGCGATGCCAGCCCTCGGCGAGCCAAACTGAGGCGAGCGCCGTCGAGAGCGGCTGCGTGCGCAGTAGAAGGCCAGCCACTCAGCCCTGTAGCGGTAGAGCTCGAGCTTCAGCCGGCCAAGCTGTCTAGCGTCTCATAGACACTCTAGACGACGGGCAGCCGTCCAAAAACCGCCCAGCGCGTCCACTACACAGCGCTGACATCCGAGTGCCGCGGATTAGTTTTCAAACAGCTGCGACGCGACAGCACCCATGGCCGAAATTGCGTCCGCTACGATGCCGGCGGGCGAGATGCCCAAGCCCAGGCGGCAGAAGAAAGTTTTCAAACCGCCGTCGGATGCGCAAGTCTGTAAGACCAAGGTCCGCTCCCCCGTGTACCTGGATGTGCGCGCCTTCGAAAATTGGAGCGAACGCGCTCAACGCACGGCCGCGGCGACGTCGCTCGACGCCGCTGGAGCTCCTCGGCCGGATACCGCCGCTTGACACCGCTCGCCGCCGCATGACACACCACTCGCACCTCATCAGTCGCCTCCGCGCAGGTGTCGATCGCGCGGCGCCTCGTCAAGGAGGTCGCGCACTACGAAGCCGAAACCAAAAAGGACGAGGCGCGCGTCGAGGCCATGCGCGCCGACCCGACCAAGGACGAGTACGACGTGAAGAAGATGCTCGAGGTCGTCGAGGAGTCGAGGATGATGATCCCCGACGCGACGCGGCGCCTGGGCGAGGCCATCAACGAGCTCTTCTCCTTCATCGAGGAACACCACGCAACGACGGAGGTCCTCGAGTGCGAGTCGTACGCCGAGGCGACGGCGTTGCTCGAGAAGTACGACGACATGGTCACGGACTGATAAGTCAACTTTGTTCTAAATGATTCTGCTCGAGGCCCGGTCCCGGAGATGGTCCCGCCTCAAGTCGCAGCCCTGTTCGATTCTTGGGCCCTGCCGGCCTTACGCAGGTACGATACCACCGTGACTATCTAGGCACCTGGCAAATTCCACTACTTACGACCACGAGCCGGGAAGACGATGAAGCCGCCTCCCGAACATCCCGCCTGTCGACAGACGGCGCCATCGGATCCTCGGCGGGCGACGCGTCGCCCGAGCGCCGCTGCTGCCGGCTTCGCGCGCGCCGCGCCGCGTGGCTGATCTTTGCTTACCTGTCAATGTCCCGACGCGGTCGTCGTCAGAAGATGCCGCCCACGACACGGCTGGCTTCGGGCTGAGCTTCGGCAGCGGCGACGGCGGCGCCTCGGGCGCCGGCTCGGGCTCCGGGGGTGATGGTGGCGGCGACGGCGGCGCGGGGCGCGGCCGCTCGACCTCCATTCGCGCGAAGAGCCGCTCGAACTTGTTCAGTTCTTCCCGCGCGGAAGCGTGGGCCGACCGCGTCCGCGCGGCGCTTGCCTCTTGCTCGTCCCGCTTCTTCTTGGCCTCGATGCGCGACCGAAGCGCCGAAAGGTTCGGCATGAGCTGCTCGGGCGTCGGGCCTTCGCTCGCGTCGTCGGGCGGCGCGAGCACGGGGCTAATGACGACTTCTTCCTCCTGGCCGCCAAAGTCGTCGCGGGTCGTCGGTGCGACGACCACGACCGCGGCAGCCGCGATGCGATCCGCGTCGCCAAAGGCCGCGTCCGAGAGGTAGCGGCCCGAGACCTTGGCGCTCTGATTTCTATACAGGACGACGGTATGCCTGACGCCGAGCGCGACGTCCTCGGCGCCCCACTTCCCGGGCTGCTCGCTCATCAGCGGCGACTCGAGCGGGCTGGGTCGCCACGCCGCGCCAGGTCGACATGAGCGAGGCAACTTCGGGTCCGAGACCGAGCTGACCCTCGTCGGAAAAGCCCCACATGAGCACCGCACCCGAGGCCGTCACGCAGGCCGAGTGCCGCGCGCCGCAGCTCACGCGCACGGCGCCGCCACTCCGAAAGGGCAGCGCGACGCCTTCCGGTAACTCCACCGGCCGATCCGATGCGCGCCCGAGGCCGAGGGCCCCGTGCTCGTTGTCCCCAAACGCGTAGACGCGGCCGTCGCTGAGCAGCGCGAGAGAATGCTGGTCGCCGCCCGCCGCCGCGACGACATGCCCGGAATGCGGATCGTCGCAGATCGGCAGCAAGACGCGTGCTGGCAGTTTCTGCGCGCCCGTGGCGCCCGTGCCGAGGCGGCCACGGTCGCCAAAGCCCCACGCGTAGAGCCGCGCGACGACGACGCCCGCGCCCGCGCTGGCCGGCTCCCAGGCCACGGCGAGCGTGTGGTGCAGGCCGCACGCGACGTGCCGGATCAGAGCCCCGCGCCACTGGAAGAACTCGACCGCCGCCGGAGCCGTCGAAAAGTCGGCGTCGTTCTGCTTTGGAATCGCGGCCTTGCGCGTCTCGCGCTTGACCGGCTGGTCATCGTCCTCGCCGGAGCCCTGGCCCAGCTGCCCGCCGCGGTCGTCGCCCCAAATGTAAAGGGCGCCCGCCGCCTGGCCGGCCGCCGCGACGACGACGCCGCCGCGCGCGCCGCCGGCCGCGACGCTGATGATCCCGCCGTCGGGCAGGCCCTCGACGCGCTTCGGCGCAGTCTGGCCGCGGCAGTCGCCGTGCCCGAGCCGCCCGCGCGCGCCCGCGCCCCAGGTGAACACCGTCCCGTCGGCGAGCGCGACGACGGCGTGGCGCGGACCGCAGGCGACAAGCCGCGCCGCCGCAGGCCGCCGAGCGTCTTCTGACGACGGCGCGCGGCGCGTGGCCGCGGGCGCCGTGCCGGAAGATCGGGCCGCCGCCCCAGCCGACGAGGCGCCCGTCGGCCGCGACCGCGATAGTGGCGCTCTCCGCCGCGGCGACGGCGCACAGGAAGTCGCCGCTGGGTCCATCTCGCCGCCGCCGTCCTCGTCGAGGTCGAGGCCCGCGAGCCACGTCACGTACGCCGGCCCGCCGTCCCCCGGAGCCGCCGCCGGATCGGCGACGCCCCGACGCCGCACGCGAAGAGCCGCGTGGCCGTTTCGCGCGCTGGGAGGCGGCGCTGCTTGCACGGCGCGGCGCGACTTGCGCGGCCGCGCCGCGGCCGTCGCCAGTGCCTTCTCTCGCCGGTCGAGCCTTCGCAGTTCGCCGTCGAGGTCGAGCGGCCGTCGCCGGGTTCCGCGGCCGGGCGCCGTCCGCGACCGCCGGCGGCTGGCCCGCGGGGGACGCCGCCGCGATGTCGTCGTCATGCGACCGGCGCCGTCGAGCGGTGCCGGCCGCAGCTTGCTGCCGCCGAGGGGAATGCGCCGCGACGGGCGGCGCCGTCGCCGACGCGACGGACGGCGTGCGCAGGGACCGCGTCGCGGAGCCCTTGCCCAGGTCCAGGTCGGGCAGGAGCTGGAGCTTCTTCATTGACTTTTTGCTCGTCCGGACGTCCGCAATCTCCGCCTTAAGCTGCTGATTTTCCTTCAGGACCTGGTCCAGCATGAGTCGCATCGTCTCCGCATCCATCTCGTCGACCATGGCTGCACACGCCGCGATGTGAGGCCCTCGAAGAACGTGTTCGGGCAGCGCTCGACGCCGTCGTCGCGTCCGCGTCGGGTGAGCGCCGGAGCAAACCGGCTTGGCAGCCGGCTAGCCCAGTCGTTGTCGGGCTCGGCCCGCGCGAGCCGCGCACGCGGGCGAGGAGAGGGGTGCCCATCGCGTTTAGAGTTCTAGGACGTAATGGATCGACTCGGGCTCGAGAATACGAATCAATTCATAGGGTTAGGGTTCGGGCCAGCTCACCGGGCAGGGCCCGAAGGGCCCTGGCCCCAGGGCCGAAGGCCCTGGGGCAGGATGTTAGTGTTCTGTGTCAGGATTGAGGTTATGGGTAGTCTTTGGTGGCTGGTGCGGGACATAGGGTTAGGGTTCGGGCCAGCTCACCGGGCAGGGCCCGAAGGGCCCTGGCCCCAGGGCCGAAGGCCCTGGGGCAGGATGTTAGTGTTTGGAGTCAGGATTGAGGTTGTGGGTAGTCTTTGGTGGCTGGTGCGGGACATAGGGTTAGGGTTCGGGCCAGCTCACCGGGCAGGGCCCGAAGGGCCTTGGCCCCAGGGCCGAAGGCCCTGGGGCAGGATGTTAGTGTTTGGAGTCAGGATTGAGGTTATGG